CCCCGACTAACGCTGTGACACGCAGCGTGAACAACCACCCCCCCACCCCCCCCCAAACCCCCCCCCCCCCCCCCCAACCCGGGTTGAAACGGGGAGAGGCGAGGGCCGGCGCCGCCACCCTGACACCACACCTTGGGGACTGCGGTCATCAGGAGTGACCAGGCAAAGTGCCAAGCCGACAGGCTCCTTTGAGTAGTCCTGTCGTTCAACGTGGGGTGGGGAAAGCTGGTAGTCACGATGGTGTCCCCAGTTCGGACTGTCTGCAGCATGGGTAGAGTTCCTCGTGGGAGGTTCTCGACCAGCAGCAGAGCAGCTTCGAGATCTCCGGCGACGGCGGCGCATATATCGACCTCTTGCTGCCCCTTTTGCTCTTCCGTCATTTGTAGGTCCTCATCCTCCGACGCGACGTAGTTTGCGAGGAGGAGGTGTATGCTGCGGACGTAGCGGAGGGCCGCAAGCTTGGTCTGTCCGGTGCTGACCAGCTCGGCGGTGGATAGAGCGCCAATGTCCGCCGGGGCGCCAGGTGGAGTGTGGAGGAAGAAGGAGGCGAGCTTGGATTTGATGATTGGGGCGTGATAGAGATGGGGAATTCCGGCGATGTAGAAGGTCTGTGAACGAGTCAGCACATTCTCCTGCTAATGTATAATCACATCCAAGTTTGACATACTGAGTTGACAGTAAGTGCGCTGAGTTGAGGGTGCGGCACGTCGGGACCGAGAATGTGCAGTAGCACATCCATTATGACGTGGATTGGTAGCTGATCCATCTTGTTTAGATAAGCCGCCGCTAGGCTACGGAGTCTGATGTAAACGAGGTCTCCGAGTAGGTGTCGGCTTGATAATACGGCAATATGGTATATGAACAAAGGCAGAGATGTGTAGAGGTGTCACGAGTAGCATTTGCGTCTCCTTAGTGGCGACAATTAAGCTTAAATCTGGGCGGCACGGTCTCCGGCCGGCCCGGCCGAACAAGCTCCGTGCACAGGAATGTACGAGTAGGCAGGATTTCAGGCTAGGCGCCTAGTAAGGTCAAACTTCTTGCTTGCAGGTCCAGACTCCAACTGGAGGTACAGTCGCGACGGCCACGTTTAGACTCTCTACGGCCACTCTATGATTTTCACTCATCCATCGCCATCCGCTACGGCCTCGTTCCGCCTGAGCCTCCGCGGCGGGACCACATGTATAGATCAGCTACCAGACTGAACGATGATAGGCGGAGACGCGCTGGGTGAGTCATGTATGCTTGGATGTTAGGGGGAGATTGGTGATGGGAAGGAGAATGAAGATAGATAGATGGATTTGCTGCGTCGAGTCAGCGGTCGATTTCATTGCAGCGGACAATCTGCTTTTCCTACTCACCTATCGCGAGATAATTCCGCAACCTGGACAGAGAGGCATCTGGGCTATGGTCCGCAGCTCGATCTGCACCTCTCTGCACGACACCAGTACCTGATCTCCGCCGATGCTTTGTCCTGTGACAGCTGCGTTCCTCGCCATCCGAACGATCTCGCTCGCAGGCCGCATGTCGATGGTCCCCTCGATTGGCTGGTCGGTAGTTGTCTCGAGCCCTCCGATGATTACGCGCGTGATAGGTGCGACTTGTGCGAGAAGCTTTAGATCCCTCGACGGAGTATGGACTAGCAGGGAGCCCCGGATGGCCCAGCCTAGCCAGTCCCCGCAGATGTCTGGCAGCCCCTTGTAGTCTCCGAGTGGTGAAATCCAGAGTTTGTCCCTTGTTTCGGGTTGGATGTAGATGTAGGTATCGCCTCCCGGAATGATGTAGGGGTCGTCTTCGAGAGTAAGATGCATATAGCAAGTGGTCCTGCCTTGTTGGAGCGGAGGGGGAGAGACCATGTCCGCGGGTCCGGCCGGTTCGGGCGACGTATAGACCTTTGGGTCCGCCTGACTTCCCGGGAACGGGTCGAGTCCGGGTGAGGTGCCAAAGCCTTGGCACCAGACCGTGGGAGAGGCCTTGCAGAGGAGAGCTCGCTCTGTATACCACAATGCCCTCGTTTTCCGAGACGCCTCAGGGGTGGACAGGCTGACCGAAGACGAGCGTAATCTCAGAACATCGCTGTCTGAGATCCGAACAGTGTGTAACATGGGAAGAGCTCCTCGACGGAGCCCCTCCACATATTCACAGGCCGCCTCAAGGTCATCCGCGACCTCAGTGCACATGTCCGCCGCCTTTTTCGCTTTCTCCGCAGCCGTCATTTCCGCGTCGACATCGTTATCCGCAACGTAGTCTGCTAGGAGCAGGTGCAGTTTGCGCACATACCGGAGCGCGACGAGCTTGGTGTGGCCCGCCCGGATAAGAGCTGCGCTGGAGAGGCCATTGACCGGTGTGGGATTGTCGCTGGTGGAGTAGAGGAAGAAGGAGGTGAGATTTGACTTGATGGTAGGGGAGTGATAGAGATGGGGTATTCCCGCGAGGTAGAAGTTCTTTGTACTTCGTCAGCCAGGATTCTGCTCCAAGATCATCAACTCACTGAATTGACGGTGAGCAAGCTGAGCTGAGGTTCCGGTGCGTCGGGGCCGAGCGCGTGTTGCAGCACCTCGGACAAGACGTTGACGGGAAGTCCGTTCATTATCTTGGCTGATGCCCTGAGGCGAAGATGATTGGCGTGCGTATGAAGCGGCTGTGTACGCTCTCTATGAGCTCACGAGTATGTATACTGTAACAAACGAAGTATGGATGGGGGACGCTTGTTGGGTGGGGGAGGCGCTGGAACGACCCCGCCACGCGCATGCCCGTGCGTCTTCCCCAAAAGTCAGAAGGGAAGATCGGACGTGTTGGTATTCTCTCTGCTCTCGTTACTTCTCATATACAATTCAAGACCTATAGCTCATCATGACTGGGGACCTCATGGACATTGCAATCGCGAACGCCCGAGGAATCGGCGCGCTTGTCGTTCTCCTCGCGCTCGCAGTGGTCTTTCTCGTCCAGAATGGTGGGTCTGTGCCGAAATCTAGAGGCAGGTTTCGGGTCAGGAGCTGATATCTCATAGCGAACCAGAAGCCACAGAGAGTCTTGGACCCGGTGGAGTGGAGATCTTTCAAGCTCATCGCGAAAGACCACCTTTCTCACAACACTGCTCTGTGAGTGGGACCCTCCCCAAGCGCCCTTTAGATTTCTTCGTAGTCTGACCAGGGCTTGGGCCGAGCTGACGATCAAGGTACAAGTTCGGTCTTCCGCGCCCTACCGACACCCTTGGACTCCCTATCGGACAGCACATCTCAGTGATGGCTGAATTGGACGGGAAGCAGGTCATGCGGAGTTACACCCCAACGACGCTGGAGGAGGACAAGGGACATTTCGACTTGGTAGTTAAGGTCAGATCCAATCCACAGTCCATACTGGGATCAAGCTGACGACGACAGACCTACGAGAAGGGCAACATCTCGCGATACCTCAGTCTCCTCACTATCGGCCAGGAAGTCAAGATCAAGGGGCCCAAGGGGAAGTTCCACTACTCGTGAGTTTGCTCGTATGGTCACCGCGCAGAAAGTGCCTAGACTGACGCTGCAGTGCCAACATGGTTCCACACTTGCTCATGATCGCCGGTGGTACTGGTATCACACCGATGTACCAGATCATCAAGTCGTCGATCAAGGACCCAAAAGACAACACCCAGCTCAGCTTGATCTACGCCAACGTGAACGAGGATGACATTTGTAAGCTTCATCCGCTCATCGACATAGGATACCCGCTGACCATCAGTGTTGAGGCAGCAATTGGAGGTTCTCCAAGACAGGTCGAAGGGTCGCTTCAAGCTCTACGTGAGTTTGACTTGGGCAGCAATCACAGAACCGACAGCTGATGTCTTCCAGATGGTCCTCAACAACCCACCAGCAGGCTGGACAGGCGGCAGCGGCTTTGTTACACGCGAGATGGTCGAGAAGCACATGCCATCTGGCGGTGTTGGATCAGCGGAACACGGGAAGGGCGGCAAGGTCTTGCTGTGCGGTCCCCCACCGATGCTTAACGCCATGAAGTGGGTTGACGGGATAAGAAATATGGTGTACGAGGCTGACGGAGCAGGACGCATCTGGCCGGTATCGGGTACCCCGCACCACGAGCGCTCTCGAAGCTCGAGGATCAGGTGTTCATGTTCTAGGCTGCTTGAAGAGATGTGGGAAGGAAATTGAGGAATCAGGGGCACCGAGGGGAAGACGCGGATTCGACATATAGCATACGCTCACCGATATAGAAGCACACCAAGGTAGACGAATACATTAGCCAAGTACAGCACCACATTTAGTATCACGAGAGTATATCAAACTAAGCTACATACTAAGGCTACTGACCTCTATCAGAGCTATAAAGAAATACCGTCTAACCTACACAGGCGTTGTGTCGCTGCACGAACAGCTCACATAAGGGCGCTACTGCCTCTACACCATATCGCCTGTATGCCTGCCACCTGCGCCAATCGACACCTCCCCGCGCCTTCCAGCTCGAAGTCCCTTGTCAGGCGGAAGAGCCGGTGGCGTATCAGGCATATACAGCTCCGCGCCCGTCTTCGGCTCGTACAGACTCGGCAACGTTGGATGTGGGCTCAGTCTGCCATCGGAGAACTCGGTCGTCCTTCTGCGAGCCTTGTTCAGCCCTCTTCCTCGGCCGAGACGGGGCGTCAGTGGGAGTGTCGAGGCTGGGCGAGAGGTGTAAGCGGACGGCGAGGGGAAGTCTACGGTGATGGTGGTCATTCGAGCATTCGCGAGCGAGTTGGCGCTGAAAGGGGCGGAGAGGTGACGAGATGGCAATGCGAGGGAATCGCGGTGGCGTGCCGGCTGGGTGCGAGGGGAGATCATCGAGGTGGGCGTTCGAGGTGGGGCGACGGAGAAGTCCACAGAGGCGCCTGGATGACCCCCGGCAAATCTAGGAGACAACGGGTCGGGCTGTAGGAGAATCGCGCCGGGTGGAGGCGGTAGCGGCTTATGAATGTACTCGGAGACGTCAGATGGTCGGCGCGTGTGGGCGATCTTGGACAGCTTGCGGACAGCAGGATGGGCGACTGGCATTTTGACTGAAGCCGAGGGCGTGTCGATGGTGGAGGAGCGCTTGGGGCTGGGTGTGTGTGAGCTCCGCTTCTTCTTCTTTTTCTTCTTTTTCTTGTCGCCCGATTCGTCTACTACATCCCCACCTCGAGACTTGGATTTGGATCTGGTCTTCTTCTTCAAGTCCTTTACTGATGCCTGCTGACCGAGCACGATCTCGGGCGACGTCGACGCGCTGTCCAGCCTCTCCCCAGACGGTGGCGGTGGCAGATCCTTCTCCATCCTCCATCGTTCATCGTCCCTCTTCCGCGCGGCCGCCTCGGAGCCAGCCGCTTTCTTCGCCAATGCCGTGCGGTGGTCTTTGATGTCTTTAACGGAAGTCGAAAAGGAGGGAAGGGTTTCACGGGTTTTGGAAGTAGCGAAGGTGAAGACGCTGGATTGATCGGACCACCGGTCGGCGAAGCTCTCTCTTGGCGGGGGCCGGGATACTATCTGATGAGAGGGGTTGAGAGGCGAGGCAGCGGCGACGTAGCGAGGGGATCCAGGCTCGTATCCTGGCGACAGAGCGAACGGGTGGCGGAGTGGGGATGGCTTCATTGACGCGCGCTCCGGCACCTGGATCGACATGCCTCGCTCTCGGTGCGGATCCCGGTCCCAACCCCCTCCCTGCAGCGACCTAGCACTCGCCAAGCCTGACGCAGCTACTCCCCGCTCGTGTGTGATGTCGAAACTGCTCCTGTCCGTGCGTGACGTCGCGGTGCTAGCGAAGCTGGTGACCTTGTGCCGAAGCCTTTGCGTCGTAGTCGCATACCCCTTCGATATGGGCTTCGGCGCCTTTCGTGGGTTGGTAAAGAACGTTTCGGACCACCTGGAGATCCTCGACCGATCCTCTCCCTTTTTTCCCGCCAGAGAGCCAAAAAAGCCTGCTGAGCCTTGTTGCTCCGGCCGAGGCGTGTCGGGGTCGGGGAACGGCAGACCCGCTGGCTCACCCCTACCGTATCCGCCTTCACTACTAATGCTCATGAATCCCTTTTGTCGGGTCTGGGCGGCCTCGTCAAAGTCGTGGCGTTTTCTCCAGTACCGGAAGAGGAGGAAGATCAGGACAAGAAGGATAATACCGCCCGCTACTCCGCCAATGATGGCACCGAGACGGGCGGACTGGCTCATCGTAGAGCCTGGCGAGCCGTCAGTGGCTGTACTCGCGGGGTTTGAAGAGGCGGGCGAGTGAGGTGTCGATGATCCCGGTGGGAAGGAGCGGAACAGGGTGGTGGTGGCGACAGTCGGTGCTACGGTGGTGGGCCCGCGTGAGGCATCGAGGGCTACGATAGGGTTCCATCGTGCATCTTGCCAGGGGTGGAACGCATAAGCAGGAAGTGTGAGCACGATCTGGGCAAATGACACGCTAACAAGTCAGCGAGGGGGCTTCACTGGATGATGGTTTCGACCGAAAAGGGACAGGCGCACCTAGTGTCATTGTAGGCTGCGCAGTCCTGCCGCCACCGCTTTTCAGTAACCCAAGATGCTGAGCTGCCGATCTGACACCAGGAGCAGCCTGCCTATCCACAGTCAGCTCAGAAACAAAACCTTGAGGCCAGATATGAGCTCACCATCAAGGCATAGGCTACTACAGTGCACTGGCAAAGACTGTCTTTCTCTGTCGATGAGGGCGGATTGTATCCCCATGATGCGTCTTGCAGCGGAGGAACGTTGATGTTTGACTGAGCGGGGAGGCAGAGGGACTGAAGCTTTGACCATGCCAGGCTAGAGAGTCAGTGCATGCCTCTCCGGAGTGAGTCAGTCAGTACGGTGAGAATATCGACGGACCAAGGAGATTCGCCATCAGCGTTGAAGAGCCAAGATGTCGTTTCGTTTCTGTTGCAGATGGCGTTCGTGCTTTGCGCGATCGAGGTTGGGGCAGCCAGCAAAGAGATCAAGATGAGGAGCATGGCGACCATCTGGTTCGCAGCTGGGACGCTCGAGCTTCCCGGTCGCCTGAGGTATTTTATGAGACCGTGATCAGGTCTTGCTTGATGGCAGCGGTTGAAGCTTGAATGCACTTGACATCAGAAATTTCACCCTGATAGGGCTTCTCTGCCAGGCTGAGGGGGAGAAGCTGTTCAGTACGGTGAGAGCAGCCAATTATAGGACCTGAGCAATGTGGGCGAGATATGGAACATGCGCGAGCAAGGCCAGGTCGATGAACATAGGTAAAAGCAAGCGTTTTAGGCCTCCTTTCACCCATCATCGACCCCTAACGCACAGATGGTCTGGTGCACCTTTGTCCTAAACCGGCTGACAGTCTGTCAGAGATAAACGCTATGGGTGTCAGGTAGCTCAGTACCGCCAGGGGTCAGCCCTGAGCTCGCAGCATCAGTGCAGGCTTGATGTATCGGACGAGCAACGAATGATCGATCCAGGGGATATGGCTAGTAGTGGGTTAGAATCTGCATAATACGGGGTGTGATGTCAGTCTCTTGATCTGACACCTCACTTTCAGTTCTGCAGGACTTTCAATGCTTGGTCTAGAAGATTGAGAGGCAACGCACCATGTCATCCCTTCTGGAACCGGCTATGGCCCAAAGCGAGACAACCGAAGTCTGCATTCCTCGGGCCTCGAAAGTCAGCACGACCACTTGATCTCCTGTTCATCTATCCGGTCTCCTTACCTTATCCTGTATATCGGCCACCGTATATGAGATAGCTTAACCGTGCAAAGATGTCCGCCCAAACTGATACCCCTCTTGGCGAGATCGACGCCGTACGCCCTCTCCATCACCCGTACTAGGGATCCATCCGCTAATCACCCTCAGATCTTCGACCGCCTCAAGACCCGCTTCGCCTCCCGCGCAACCTACTCGGTCGACTATAGGACATACCACCTCAAGCAGCTGGGGTACATGCTCAAGGACAACCAGCAGCAGATTTACGATGCGCTCAAGACTGATCTGGACAAGGGGAGCTGGGCGTGCGATATCGAAGAGGTGAGCTGCCCTTACTTCGTGGCAGCCGAATTGGTCACACCGGCGAGCCTTGGCGAGCGGGTAGCGAAGGACAGAGCTGACGCCTTCAGCTGTACCCCATTTACAACGAGATCGAGCTGGCGATCCGCAAGCTGCCCGAGTGGATGAAGACAGAGAGCCGATCCAAGGACGCGATCACGACGTTCAAGTTCATCTGTTCGTACCCCTCACTCTCGCTCGAGGGACCACCGATAGATACAAGGCTGACGGTCCAGCTCCACGAATTGTAAAGCAGCCCAAGGGCGTCGTGCTCATCATCGGCCCTTGGAACTTCCCCATCCAATGCGTCTTGATCCCGCTCGTGAACGCTATCGCGGCCGGATGCCCAGTAATCCTCAAGGTGCGTCTTCTACCTCCCTACTGCGTCCGATGTCTAAGCAGCCCAGCTAACGGGCAGCCATCCGAGCTGTCTCCGGCGGTCTCGGTCCTCCTATCGCAGCTCATCCCGCGATACCTCGACCCGGAAGCATACGCGGTGGTTGCTGGTGGGATTGAGCACGCCACAAAGCTACTCGAGAAGGAGTGGGGTCACAGTATGTCTCGCTGCCCGCCGAGAGGTGGATATTGTTGATGGGCAGTCATCTATACTGGCTCGACAAGGGTCGGGCGGATTGTAGCTGCCGCAGCAGCCAAGACGCTCACGCCGACTACGCTGGAGGTAAGTCGTTGATGGCTGTCATGTGGCGAGATCTCGCTCATTCTGTAGCTTGGCGGTAAAAGCCCGGTCATCGTTGCCGAGTGCGCCAACATCAAAGTGGCGATGAAGAGGCTTTTGTCGCTCAAACAGGCGAACATCGGACAGGTAAGCTGGCCTCCCCGCTTTCACTGTGCGGTCTCAAGCTGACAATTCAGATGTGCGGTACGTCAATGCATCCAAGACCAGCTTATTGCCCAACATGCTGATTTACAGTGAGCCCGGACTATATCCTCTGCGTCCGCTCTCGCGTGGACGAGCTCGTCAGCTTCTGCAAGAACACGTAAGCCTTCCTCCGGACTCTTCAGAGCAGCCGCACACCGCTGACGCTATAGTCTTGACGAGTACTGGCCCAAGCACCCGCACCCCCAATCGTTCCTCAACACCCAAGCCACCGCCCGCCTCGCCTCGAAGTCCGGGTACAACCGCCAGCTCTCCTTCCTGGAGCACGCGGAGCAGCAGGGCACGCTCATCTACCGCGGCGAGACGGATGAGGAGAAGCAGCGGATGGGTATCAGTCTGGTTCTGCTTGATAAAGGCAAGGATGGGGGGAAGGTCATGCAGGAAGAAGTGTTCGGGCCTGTTCTGCCCATCATCGTGGTGGAGGTGAGGCGGTTCTCTTGAGGGATGAGAAAAAGCTGACGTGGTAGGACCTGGATGAGGCTATCAAGTACATCAATGATAGGCCTCACCCGCTTGCGCTGTACGGCTGCACTACGACCAAGAAGGCCCAGGACAGGAGTGAGCTCAAACTTCATCCGCTAGAATCAGACATGGCTAACGTACCAGTCATCGCCGAGACGATCTCGGGCTCGCTGACCTTCAACGACTTTGGTGTCGCGACTATTAGTGAGTCATCGTAATCGTGCGACCCGCAAGTACACAACTGACCGAGGTAGACCGATCACTCCCCTTCGGTGGTGTAGGCGAGAGTGGATGTAAGTGCTTACCGCGGCTAGTACAGGGGTGAAGCTGACCGATTTAGGGGGCTCCTACCACGGTCAAGACGGCTTCAACACCTTTACGCACAACAAGCGTAAGCCATACCAACCTCTGCATCTCCTTACAACCTGCTGACACCCATAGCTGTACTGAATTCACCATTCTGGTATGTCCTCGAAGCTTCCGCGTAACTCAGCTGATCAAGCAGGACCGAGACGATCCAAACGATCCGCTACCCGCCTTTGACCCCTACGAAGGCCTGGATCGCCCGCCTCTCCTTCCTCATACCGATGAACTACAAGCGACCCATCTCTGTCGAGCAAGAGTACAACCGACGCAAGCGGCGGGCGATCATCAGGTGGCTGGCCATCATGCTGATTGGGCTGAGTGGGGGGTGGTTTGGGCTTGCGGCGATCATGGGGCGGACTACCTAAGCCGCGGTCTATGGTGTCTTGGACTGATGGAAGAAGTTTTGTAAAGGATCGTGCTCGGTTCAGATGTGTAGCCCCATGCAAAGTGTAGCTATGATACCCGTTCAGAGCGAACACAGACTCAAGAGGAAGATGCCGGGTGGGGAACCCCACCGGCCAGATCCGAAATGGCTTCGAGCAGCTCAACCTCTTCTCAAGCGCAACTTTGCTCTTCCTGTTGTCCTTGTTGCCTCCTAGCTCCTCCGCCAGATTGACCGGCTTGTACGAGGGTGCTCGTCTAGCGTAGGCAACGCCGCTTGCTACTGTCGCTTGCTACCAATATCCAATATCCAGTAACAGCTCAGCCGGAGTGGACTGTATCTTGCTCGCACAGTTACATCACGATGGCTTCGCTCGGAGGTGCTGGCGGTTTGGCAGGCGCCATCGACCCAATGCTTGCGTATCGAGCCAAGAGGGATAGAGAACGCCGAACGTGAGTTTCAAATGCGAGTTCCGTGACCGCTCTGCGAGGAGAGCTCAGCTGACAGGAAGCGTACTGAAGACTTACAAAATCCTGGGTTTCATCTCTTCTGGTGAGTACCGCTTGTCACGACCGCTCAAGCCAATATAGAACCTTAGCGGTCAATAGCTGACATCAATAGGGACCTATGGCCGGGTCTACAAAGCCGTCCTCCTCCCTCCCCCCAAACCCAAATCTATCCCTCAACAACGCATCAACCCCTCCTCCACCTCCGCCTCGGGTTCTGCCTCAGGCTCAGGTTCAGGCTCCGGATCAGCCTCGGGACCCGTCTCGCCCAATCTCCCTCTCTCTCTTTCTGCGGTAGGTCCGGGGTATATGGACCCCCTACATAATCCCGAAATGTGTATGCGGCCGGGGGATCTGCCGGCGAAGGAAGGGGAGGTGTTTGCGATCAAGAAATTTAAGCCGGATAAGGAGGGGGATGTGATGACTTATGCGGGGATCAGCCAGAGTGGGGCAAGGGAGATCATGGTGAGCTGCCAGGATCAGAATGATGGTTTCGACGGAGCTGACGGTGTAGCTGAATCGAGAGATGCATCATCGGAATCTAGTCGCTCTGCGTGAGGTTATCCTGGAAGATAAAGCGATCTACATGGTCTTTGAATACGCCGAGCATGACTTCCTGGTCAGTCGTCGCCCTTGCATCTCTACATCGCTGGAAGTCAAGCTGAGATCAAGCAAATCATCCACCATCACTCCCAAACCATCCGCACCCCTCTCCCCACCCCCACGCTCCGCCGGCTCCTGCATCAACTCCTGTGCGGCGTCCACTTCCTCCACTCCAATTTCTGCCTACACCGCGACCTCAAACCCGCCAACATCCTCGTCACTTCCGCTGGGGTCGTCAAGATCGGAGATCTGGGTTTGGCGCGGTTATGGCACAAGCCGCTTGCGCAGGGGGGTCTGTTTGGGGGTGATAAGGTCGTTGTGACGATTTGGTATCGTGCGCCGGAGCTTATATTGGGAGCGAAGCATTACACGGCCGCTATTGGTGAGTGTGCACGCTTTGCTTCATGAGGGTCAAGAGCTAATTTGGGCAGATATGTGGGCTGTGGGATGTATCTACGCCGAATTGCTATCGTTACGACCGATCTTCAAGGGGGACGAGGCGAAGCTGGATAGTAAGAAGACACTGCCGTTTCAGCGAGATCAGATGGGTAAGATCTGTGAGGTCCTAGGTCCGGTCAAACGTGAGTTCCTCGATATCTGCTTTGATAAGAGGACGAGCTGACGACAACAGCGGATGTATGGCCCGGTATCACCCATATGCCAGAGTACAAGACTTATCTCAACTCTGGACCGTGAGCTCTATCCTCAGCATTGACCACTCGTTGCGTCGTATCTATGTGAGCTGACGGACAAGCTATCCCACTCCTCACCCACTTCCGAGCTGGTACTCGTCCCGCTCCAGCTCAGCGACGGGGTATGAGCTCCTCTGTAAGATGTTTGAATGGGATCCCGCACGGCGGATCACGGCGAGAGAAGCGCTCGGGCATGGATGGTTTCTAGATGAGGGCGGGGTAGATGTCAAGTGAGTTTAACGCAGCTCCACGCTACATTGCAAAGCCAAGAGGAGGGCGTGTGCTGATCATACCAGAAGCGTGTTTGATGGTAGTACGATCAGCTACCCCCAAAGACGGGTCACGCATGAGGATAACGGGGACGCCAAGATGGGATCGTGAGTAACGTCTCGACCGGTCTTCCGGTCTGAGCTGACAGGATTCTTGTAGATTACCGCCATCTCTGGCGAATCCACGACTTCCCGGGAGCAGCAACTATCGCCCAGCAAGCGTATCACTCGCGGCTGCAGCGGCAAAGAGGACCAAGCTGAGATGACCATCTCTGGCTTAGCCTGGCGAGAATGGTCCCTAGATCTCGGGTACTTTGTATTGTATCTGCTGAACGTTAAGATGTCATGTTGTACAGTTCGCCAACGCGTCACTGACTGTCACTCGTCCCGCGAAGCATTGGGCAGGTATGGGACGGAAGATACATTGGACCCAGGAGGAAAGCACGAAGAATGGTTTTAGATCGATTACAGAGTCCTTTGCGTTACGGGCAAACTCAGCCTATTCGTCCGAAATCTAATTCCATCAGCTCTGATCCGTGACAACAGTCCGCTCGATGCGCAAACTCACCTTGGGCGCCAAGAAGAACTGCAGTGACCCCTGCTCGAATTCGAATTGGACCAAGAGAGGCACGTCATTCGACATGTTCAGGCTGACCTCCTTGGCGAGCGGGGCGGATTTGGCAAAGTTGGAGAGGTATTTGAGGGAGAATGTGAGGGATACTTGTTTTTCGAGGATGATGGAGACGCCGACGTCCGAGTCGTCCGCTGCGGCGGCGGTCTTGCCCTTTTTGGCGGGCTGCACGTCAGCGAGGTGAAATATTACGCCGGGGTCGTCATAACCAAGTGGTCCATCGTGTCCAGGTTACAAGCAAGAATTCGAGACTATGGCCCACCTTTGCAGCTGCCTTGCCGTTCGACTTCCGCTTCTTTGGCTTGACCTCTTCCTCCTCGTCTTCCTGCTCATCCTCTGCATGATCAGCGATGAATCTTTCCTGAAGAGCCAAGAAAACTCACCGCCCTCCTCATCGACGATTGGCTTCTCATCCTCCTGCTCCTCATCCACCTCTTGCCCCTCAGCCACCTCATTCTCCTCATCCGGATCCCGCTTGGGCTTCTTGGCACCGCTCCCACTCGCACCGCCGGCATCACGCCCCGCCGACTGCTTGAGCAGCACACTTCCGTTTCCTACTTCTCCTTCACAGCTGAACCGCACGCCCTCCTTGCTCGCCTCGATCTTGACGCTCTCGCCGAGCGCACCGAGATCACGGCAGATACGCTGGAATTCGGCAGAGGACATGGTGATGGTCGCGTCGTATTGGGTGTCGGGGATACCGAGGTGCTCTTGGTCGATATCCATGAGCTTCATCTCGTACTCTCCTACTCGGTCCTCCTCTGTCGTCGTCAGCTGGCGATTCTCTCGCGAATCTTGGACGAATTGACTGACTGGGAGATTCGAAGACTAGGCCTAATGAGTCCGCATCGTCCGCGGCCTTGAGAGTGACCACATCGTTGTCCTTAGCGCATTTGAGGATCTTGGTGAGGGATGTAAGCTGAGAGTGAGCTAAGTACCTCAGGTGGTCGAGGAAAGGGCCGGCTCACATTGACACCCAGTGGCATATTGCGATCGCACCGGTAGCTCTCGAATTGTTCTGCCGCAAGTTTGAGCGAGACGAGGGCGACGTGCGAGTTGTCCATGGCTTGAAGGGCCTGAATCGTCAGCTATGGCGGCTCCTTGTCATCGCGGGCTAGCTCACGATGCCCTCATCGGTACAGTCAAGGTTACCATCGGTCACGAGCTCCTTGATCGCTGTCTGGTCAGCTTCGGCGTCCAAGAGGCGCGATGATAGCTGTCTTGTATTCCACAGCAGTCCTTGAGCCAGTCGCTTGAAGCACAAGCTATGTCCCCCGCGCGTGTGACCCGGCGCACCGGAGAAGTTGGGTCTGGGATATTTCCGAGCCCGAGGAAAGAGAAGACTCACCGTCGAGCAGCTTCTTGAGGACCGACGCTTGCTTGACACGTGCTTCGAGCATGCTGGGAGAGTAGGTTAGGTGTAGATATGAAGGGGGAGGGGTGGGTGATGGGTGATGGAGTAGCTATGTATTGGCTGAAGAAGTGAGAGTCAACGGATAGAAAGACGCGCTCGCTGGATGGGAAGGACGCGATCAGAGACGCGTCAACTCGGGCGGTCTGATACCGCCGGCTAAGAATACCACGTCATGTTCACCCCCACGTGCCTGGCGGGGGATCGTCGGCCGCGGCGCTGCTGGTGGTGCCGCAAAGGTATGATATCTCTCTCTCAGTCCTCGCATCTATCAGTGAGAACAGCAGAGCAGATAGCAGACACGGAAATCTCATAGTTACAGCATCTCAGCAGATACAGCTCTCCGCAGACTTCCTGCTTTCGAATCGCCCAAAATGGCCCAGCAGCGCTTCAACTCGTTGCCGGTACGTCCACCTTACCCCCTTTGTCCACCTGCTCAGCTGAGACCTCGGCTGACCTTTGCTCTAGTTGCACGAGACGCTCAACCTGTATGTCTCCCCAACAGCCTACGTATTCGAGCCAGCCGGCAGCTCCTCCGCCGGTCTCGGCGAGAAGGAGGCCAAGGAGAGCCTATTTGTTGACAGACGCACGGGCCGGATGGCCTTGAACGGTGCGTACTGCACCTGAGGTCCTCGGGTCAGGGACCGCCGCTGACGGGACAGAAAGTATGGATGCTCCGGTCGGGAAGGAGAATGTCATTACTTGCTATGGTATCTTGGGCGTATTGAGCCTTGCAACGAGTATGTCGGCCGTATGCTGGCCCCGGGGCATGGGCTGATCCCACAGCCGACTTTCTCGTTATCATCACCGGTCGAACCCCCTCATGCCGCCTCCTCTCCCAGGCCATCTACCTCGCTACAGACTTCCGGCTCCTCCCCCTCTCTCCGCTCTCCACCTCCTCATCCATCCTCAACCACCCGGTCGAGAAGGAGCTCGTCTCGCTCGTCGAGCAAGGTCTCAAGTCTGGGCGCATGTGGTACTCGTACGGCCTGGACCTCACGAATACCATGCAGCGGCAGCAGGACTTGGAGGATCGGGGTCAGGGAGTCAAGGACTGTCCGGCGTGGAAGCGGGCGGATGAGCGATTCTTCTGGAACCGGTACTTGTCTGGGAGGATGATTGATCTTACGGAGAACGGCGGAGTCGATGTGAGATGGTCCCTCTTTGACTGATTGCACGAGTACTTAGCTGACATCACAGTTGAGCCGATTCATCTTGCCTGTGATCTATGGATGTAAGCTCACCAGCGGGTCGCCATCCTGGTACCCAGCTAACGTGCTCAGCTGTTGAGCTCCGTCAGACCGCCGTCAACAACCGAGACCTGCTCTTCTTCCTCATTTCTCGTCGCTCCAGACATCGTGCCGGTACTCGTTACTTTTCACGCGGTATCGACACCCTCGGTAATGTCTCCAACTTCAACGAGACGGAGCAGATTGTGCTCTTTGATCCTATACCGCCCAATGGCGAGATTGCTCGTCGAGGAAGAGTGGATGGAAAGGAACGGATGAGCTATGTGCAGATCAGAGGGTCGGTGCCAATGTTTTGGGCGGAGGTGAACAATCTGCGGTACAAGCCGGATCTGCAAGTGATGGAAATCCCAGAAACGGTGAGTATGGCCCCAGATCCGGAGACATAGGGCCCACTCTGATACATCAGGTACCTGCGCTTAAGCTGCACCTCCAGGCACTCATCCGACACTACAACGAAGTCCACCTGATCAATCTTGTCAACCACAAAGGTCACGAACTCCCCATCAAGGATGCGTTCGAGCGCAACGTCACTGCGGCCGCGCAGTCCGACGCCGACATAGCCGCCAAGGCGCACTATCTCTACTTTGACTTCCACACCGAATGCAAAGGGATGCGATTCGACCGGATCTCGGTCCTCACCAATAAGCTTCAGGCGAGTCTCGAGAGGATGGGCTGGTTTCACTCCGGTGCGGCGGTATTGGAGAAGACGGGCAATGGAGAGGATCAGGTGGAAGTGCGGAAGCGGCAAGAAGGGGTCATCAGGAGTAACTGCATGGACTGCCTGGATCGGACGAACGTCACTCAATCGGCATTGGGCCAGTGGGCTGTCAACGAGCAGTTGAGGCAGGCGGGGGTTTTGAGTGTCAAGGAGACGGTAGGGGAGCATCCGGAGTTTATGGCCATGTTCCGCTCGGGTGAGTGTTCTTGATTGGCTGTGGCTGGGTCTTGGCTGACATGCAGTCTGGGCGGACCATGGAGATACGGTCTCTAATGCTTATTCTGGGACGGGCGCGCTCAAGGCCGACTACACCCGGACGGGCAAGCGGACAAAGCAGGGCAACCTCGAAGATGGATACAAGAGTGTCATGCGTTATGTCAAGAACAACTTTTTTGACGGTGATCGACAGGTACGTCCACTCCGGCCTCCGAGTCAGACTGGAGCTGACGCTCAGGACGCATTCGATATCATCACCGGCGGGTACGTGGCGAAGCGAGGGGGCATACCGCCTTTGACCGACACTCGACCACTTCTCATGCGAGCGGTACGTCTCGTCTAATCTCCCTAGAGGGAATTGGCTGACCGTACAGATGCCATATGTCCTCGCCTTCGCGCTGACCATGATCTTGGCTGCTTTCACCCTCCCGCGCACATCAGGTGAGCTCCCCGCCAAACTCATCTCTAAGGCAAGAGCTGACACTTCAGACCTCTCCCTATCATCCTTCATCTACTTTTGGTTCTTCCTCGCCTTTGTCTCCGGCAGCTACATCTGGGGCAACGTAAGTCCTCCCTCTGTACATTTGCCTACAGGCCATAGCTGACCTTGTAGGGCGTGTCGTATGTTGCCTGGCCGAGACTGAACCCCCCGATTTCGGTGCTGTCGTATAACGGCCCCGGTGCCCGTTCGCTGCAGCGCGGTCGAGGCTTGACTCTGGGCGGGATGGTCCCCTTCTCGGGTTGGAAGGCCAAGGCGATCCCGGCGCAGGGGAGGGATAAGACGGGGGAGCTGGAGATGGGGAGGAAGAAGGGGGCGCTGATTGATTGATCAGATATGGGATTCGAGGTTCACGCCTTGCTATTGTGCAGTCTACTAGAATTCGGATGCTTTGTCATGATATAAATGCCTTGGTATGCTGGCAGAGAGCCTCCGTTTGCGGTGACCGGTGATAGCCTATCTCGTATTCAAAGGACTCGGCTTCGTGAAGAGGACAGATAAGAGAAACGTCAGAGATTCAGGGGCTCTGTAGAATCATCCATGCCGCGTCAAGTCGAATATCGTCTCAATCTCTACTGTATCTGCGGTGCTTGGTATATTCTATGTCTAAGTTGGGTATCTGTCTCCGAATCCAGGCTCCTCTCAGATCTGAAGTCCGCTCAATACTTCTGCTGCACCTCATGGCCGCCAGGGTTCCGCACCATCATCTCCTCGCTGCCCAATGTCGTCCCTTTCACTGTCTTGTCGTCCGCTGCGTCCAGGTATCGAGGGGGCCACACAATAGCCCAGATCGCGATCCCGACGAAGAGCGATAAGGTATCAAAGGTGTAGATGTACCACTCGGTCGTCCGGAGCTTACCGCTGTATCCTTCCGAGTATTCGGCAACTCGGAACGCGCATCGGATCTGCAGTGTCAGCGATGGACTCAGGTAGAGGTGGATAGGGGAAGAAACATACGAGAATGAAGACACAGGTCCAGATAAGCGCGTAGTACACCACACGCCAGTTGGTACGCCAGGATGAGGTCGAGCCGGACCATTTCTGGGGGTGATGCTTTCGGCTGCGAAGATCAGTTGTGCTCCGAGCCTGACGGAGGATGCACTTACAGCTTCCAAGCGAATACAGCGACAAGGAGGCAGAAGGCGCCGAAGGAGATACACTGTGCGATGAGGCCGATCAGAGCGATCTAGAGCCGTCGTTAGCGCAGTCCGCCGTGTGCGGTCTGTTCCATAGTACTCACCTTCAGGCCGGCATCAGTGATGCTCCGATTGGAGATGGCAGTCATACCACCGCCAGCGGCCTGCAGGAGGAAGACCGTCACGTCGATCCAGACGAAGGTGCGTGCGATGAGCCGGGGACGGAGGAGGAGGCAGTCGGACGCATCGAGAGCGGTAGCGAGACGCGGTAGGAGGAGGTAGGCGTGAGCGAGAAAGGCGCAGGGCGAGAGGAGAGTGAGCTGGACGTCAGCATAAATCCTGACGGAGGTTGACGAGGACGTACGAGAGTGGTGATGATGTAGATAGTGAGCCCATAGGGGTCATTGGTCATCGCGATCCGCACAAAGAAGCCTATGCTCATGCAGATGCTGCCGATAGTGAGGGAAAGCATCCATCGGTGGCTTCGGCTCTTGAAGAAGACTGGGTGGTCAGCGTTGATTTAAAGCTGCAAAGCGCCTCGACATACAGTAGGTGAAGATGGCCGAAAGGACACTGAAGCAGGCGCCCGCGACGATACTGAGGGCCATGCTGGGCACATAGCCGGTGCTGAATAGTCAGCCAGTAGTTCAGCAGTGCAATTCATAGCCAGCGCGTAGCGCAAGTCTGATAAGACTCCCACTCACACTAAATATCTTCCGGTACTGTCGACGGACATGGCGAAGGACACTTGGGGGAACTAGGACGAATGTAAACGGAGCTCGAGGTCGGAGGTCTCTATGCCCGCTCAAGTCTGATGACTGGATCAGAGATGAATAGATGAAGGTCAGTACTCTTAAAGGTTAAGTCAGAGGGGATGTCCACCTTGGCGGTGCGTGGCTCGACCTTATATCAAACACGGGCGAGATATGGCTTCCTCGGGCTCCGCAGGAGACTCGGGAATCCCGTGTGCTCCGGCACGGCTTGTCGGAGGTAAGGAAGGACTGGGCGTCGACCGCCCCGGAGGCGGTATACTGTCAGCCGAACGAGGCAAGCATTAATTGGAGGCTGTGCTCTTAGCTGTGTGCCAGTGTTTGGCATGCCTATGGGATGGATAAGGGGTGAACTCAAAGCTAACAGCATGGATGAGTGTGAGAGATGATAACGGAAGGGATGAGGAATGTTGTCGGGGAAAACCCGAGACAAGACCCCCCTATAACGTGCGAACAGACTGCTGCCAATGTACGCTGCACTTCTATTGCTACAGAGTACAGACAGCGTCGGCTTCGACTAGCCTTTCCAACACTCGTCCGCCGGATCCTCAGAAGTGAAGCTACAATGGCTCCGACTGATCATCAATCAGTGCGCATGACCCGCGAATCACTCGAGACTCCCCCGCGAATACAGCTGATTCAAGCAGCGATCTCCAGATGACAGCCCTCCTCCAGCGAAGCGACCCAAGGTCTTCCGAGCGTGCAACCAATGTGTCACCTCCAAAACTCGGTGCGAGGATGTTAAGCCAAAAGGGTGTTGGCTATGCCGTCGGAGGGGGAAGGGTTGTTCCCTCGCCGGAGCCATCTCTGTAGCGCCGCCCTCTCCGTCAGATACACCGCTACCGCCAACCACGCATCGCGAGGATGGGACGTCTCGAAGAAGCAGTATACAACCGCCCGCTCACCCCTCGGTCCGCCCGTCCATAGAGGCCGGCCCATCAGAGTGGGGACCATCTTATTCCAGAGGAGGAGAGCGGGCGGAGCCGGACTGGCGGGTGATATACAACGCCGTCGACGAAACGGCAAGGTCAAAGGCGCGGATAGAATCGCTAGAGGAGGAGGTCAGGGAGCTGCGGAGGGCGATGTCCGGTCGAGGCGCAGCAGGCGATGATGGCGTCATGCGATCAGGTCTTCCTCACAGGCCTCACACCTCGTCCGCGGGCCGGGATGGGCCTTTCCCATGGGCAACGGACTCTCCAGCTGGGCCCGACTCCCAGCTGACCCACCTGGCACACTATGCTCAGCTGGAGGACTTCAGCGAGACCATCTTCTCGCTTAGTACCCCGGACGCATTCCCCTCGGTCGTATCTGCCGGGATCCTCCGGCCGGGGGAGATCGACCTCGCCTTCCAGTCCTTCAAACACCACTTCTCGACAATCATCCCCCTCGCACCCTTCCTCTCCATCAGTACGACCGCACCTACACACAACTTCATCATCCTCGCTATCCTGCATCATGTCCCTGCGTACGCCTCTCCCAGACTCGCCGAGCTCGTCGACAAGAGCATCATCGTCGCCTTATCAGGAAACGTCAGCTTTGACGCGGTACTCCCGCTTCTCATCTTGTCGCTCGCTCCGCCTATACCAGCCGTGGAGGGGGAACCATCGAGACCATCACCCTTGAGACTCATCTCGCTGGCATATCAGCTGGGGAGGGATCTCGGGATGGATGCCAAGGTCGAGGGGTATCTCCGGAGGGGTACAGACCTAGCGGAAGGCTATTGGGCCGAAGCTATGCACATGGCACAAGTGGTACGTGCAGGGGGTTTCACCGCTGTATATGGGCTTCGCTGATCGTATTAGTGGGCGCTTGTGGTCAGCCGGTACATCCTGTGAGTCACTATACGGTCGTCGAATGTGGGTTCACACACTGAGCAACCCAGTCTGCATCTCATGCATGGACACGGCCGACAATTGCCCTCTTCACTTGCATCCCTTCTACCTCGCTCGCCAAACCCTATCGTCCAGCAGACCACGGACCACTTGATGGACGAATCCCGGTTGATCTGTGCTGCTATCCAGGCGATGAAACCGCTCATGGAAGTCGAGAATGGCGAGCATGATTTCGAGGCGGTGAGGATCCGCATGGAGGCGTTTCAGACGGGACTTCAGGATCTCATTGCGTGGAAGCGAAGTGGGGGTTCCAGTGAGTCATCTTCCTCACCAGCCCAACCCGTGGCCTCGAGGCTTGGCAAGGGGCATCACAATTGGAAAGTAGGTATCGCAGCTGATCTCTCAGCCCTTCTTGACCTGGATCAAGGCTGCCTAGAGTACATTGCTATCTCTCGCCTGTCCTTCCTCTTCCAGCGCATTCCGTCGCCGCTTCAGCCCATCCGTCAGACCCTCATCGCTGGGATGACCGCGTTCGTCTCCACAGCCCAGCGCTTTCTGGGAATTCTTTTTCCCGACCTACCTCCCGATCTCCCTTCCATATACGCTTCGCCATTCACGCGCCCTTACCTCTCCCATCCGGCTTCGACCAGCTCCCTATCGCCCTACGAGCATCAACCCTTCCCCACCAGCCCGATTCGGCCTGAAAAGCGATTCCCGGCCCACGTGTCGATGTGCGCCTCCCTCGCCGTCTTGTCCCTGCGCGGGACCGCTGCGCACATCCGGCAGACACAAGGCGCGCGCGGCTCCTCGGCGTTTCTCCAATCCTCACGGCTGCAACAGGCTGAGGTGTACCTACGGGGTCTGGGGGGACGGACTGAGGCACTGATCCGTCAGGCGGATAAGGCGTTCGGGACACTGGACGAGATGGTGCGTTGGTCGGAAGAGGGACACCTGGACCTACCGAATCCCCAACTAGCAGGTGGGCTGGGGACGGACGAGGGCGTAAGGGATCGTGGTGAGGGAGCGGGGCAGGGTCACAGCTCGGAGCAAGCGCATAACTCGCTCATGAGCTCCGGGCTGTTTGACTTTGATCTTTTCTCGTGGGATCCAAACTTCCTGAATCCGGACTGGCTACCTAATACTGGGCAACCTGATATCACGACGGGGTGGGGATGACGAGCGCGGTCGACCGGGACGTCTGGGGACACAGTTTGCGGTAGCTCAGTCAAAGGCGGGATATACGGTATGAGGTCATGTAGTAGCATTGCATCTATCTTGCATCTATCAGTCTACTGACATTCTCCTTACTGCGGCTTTGGCTCCAAGCGCACATCACTCTCTTCCAAGACTGCGACCCGCAAGCACCTCATGCGGTCCTTTGCGGCTGCCGAGTGATTGTTGAGGCCGCCAAAGAAGGCCTTGCTAGCATCCCGGAGGGCAATCTCTGAATGCGGGTTATTGAGACCCGTTGAGCAGGCCGGAGCGCTCTCGCCTTCGTGCTCTGCTCCTGGATCAAGAGGGGCTGTGAAGAGGAGACCGGTGGCGAGGGGAGCGATACAGTGGTTGATTAGGAGCTGCTTGCCTCCGGGCTGAGCTGTCAGCTTGGATATGTCTTCGCAGGACAGGATCGACTGACATGCTCATCCAGGTACCCACCAACATCCACCAAACATCCCTCAATCAGTAGCAGCACCATCCGCCTCCTTCTCCATTCCTCTTCCCCCACATAATCCACGACCCACTGGCCATGCCTGGCCATCGCCTCCTCCTTCGACCAGCGGGGCAGGTCCGCCAGAGACTTCGCCCGCTGTTCGGCCGGGATCGACGAAGTGAGGCGGTCCGCCTCGGCGCGCAGAATGCTCGCTTGGGCCTTGAGGATGGAGGAGGAGGGCGTACGGGCGACCGAGGGAACGAGTGGAGTGAGATGAAGGAGGTAGATGATCCACTTGCTCGGGTCCCAATCGCTGGTCATCAGTTCAATCTGAGTAGGAGGGGACATGCGGACTAGTACTTACGCTGGGTTAGGGCCATTGCGGAAGTCTTTGGGGAAGGCATGATGGAAGCTGCGGGATGAGCTTTGCGGTACGCATTGTCAAAAAAGGTTCAGCAAAGATTCACTTGTGGTGACCTTCCCCGGAGGTAAGCAGGGCAAGAAGCTATCCCGTTAGCTCTATCCGCAAGTCAAACTCGATGATACGCACATAGTTGCCCCTCGCGCTGACTTCTTCCGTGTAGGGTCTGAGACCAGTCCAGTGCGCCAAGCTGTTGATGCAGAATGTGGTATGCCAGATCAAGAGCCGTGCTACTGCGCCGCCCCAGACCAAGCCGCCAAGTGCGTCGTTCCAGGTATAGCCAATAAGAGCGGGGAGGATGAGACCGGAGAATAGCGCTATGCTGAAGTAGTATTTGTGCTGAAAGTAGACCACTGCAGCATCAGCCTCATGCCACATCCAGGTTTGAAGATGCATACCGGGATCCGCGTCCAGATCGGCTCGGTCGATGAGGCGCATGCGGGCATATCTGGGTTTGCGGAAGATCCAGCCGCAATGCGAGTACCACAGACCCTTGCTCGCAGAGTAAGGGTCATGAGTTGGACTGTCGGTGAACCTATACGATCAGCGACATCTCACTCGTCTCAACGAGGGCCTCCAGCATACTTACCGGTGGTATAGCCTGTGCCTCAGCACCCACCACTTGATACTGCCTTGGAAGCCCATACTGCCCATCCAGGCAAGCACCACCCTGAGCGGCATGCGAGCTGTAAAGGCCTGGTGGGACCAGAGGCGGTGGTATCCGATCGTGATGCCAAACGAGGCAAGCTGCCAAGATATGAAGCAGAGTATGAGAGTCGGTAGGGGTGTCTGTGACAGCGGGGAGAGACATGTTGCGCCGTACAAGGCGAAAACGTGCACTGCTAAGGATCGTGAGCTGCTGAGCAACGTACAGGAACACAAACGACTCCGGGGTTGAGCTGACCTGTGAAGAAGATGCCGTTTGCTGTCAATCAGCAACTTATCAGTTCAATCGAGATGAAAAGAGACCTACACCACCAGATCTTGCCTTGATCTCCGATTTCGCGCTTCGGGCCTTCAACCTTCTCAACATTCGACGACATAGCGACTTTCAGATCAGTTGATGAGTTGATGAGGAGAAACGTCAATAGATTAATGGTTGATTATGGATGCCACTAGGCTTGATAGAGAAGCACACACTGCTTCGTGATGTCAAAGAGCCCCTTCGCACACCTCCGTAAGCAGGACAAAGGAGGGTTTGGGAGAAGATGTCCCTTGGGCCTCGCTCGGCCAACACCCGATAGGCTGATAGACTCGATTCCGACATTGCAAACGCTTGCTCGTGCTCTCTTCCTTACCTCAAACGCCGAGACCTCACTCATACGGACGGCCTGAAGATCGTGGAAGCAGCATGATGAGTGTATATAAGATCGAGCGAGCCTCGGGCCGGCGCAACCTTAGCTTCGCCCAGTTTGACGTTTGCGCCTGCCGTAAGGGTTGTTGTCTCGAAGTCACCGCCTCCTCCGTCGCCGCTCGATCTCTCTCTCGTCTTGCACCCCTCATTATCGATAGCTATATACTGTCGACTCGGGTAGGAGCCGGCCGACTACAAAGCGAGCTATATCAAGCACCGTTCACCACAAAATTCACCAGTCGCAGGCGTCAAAGGAGCCTCCATTATTGTCCGGCCGAGCTCCCGAATCCTGAACCCGTTAGCTCGCGCTCTTGGCCCCCTGCAACGAGGTACAGAGCATGACTGGCCTATCTCTGCAGTAGCGCAGCCCATATCAGCCACCGGCGGAACGGGATGAACCTCTCCATACCCCGCTTTACCCGCCTGCGGCGGCTGGTCCGTCTCATCCTCGGTCCCTCCACTCCCACGCCCGACGACGAAATCCCCTCCCCGTCAACTCCGCTCACCTCCTCATCCACCCTGCCCAATCATCGTGCATGTACTACCTTCCCGGATAAAGGCGTCTATCGTCTCGCCACGTCGTGTCGGCTACACTACGCGCTCATACCGGTCTTACTGCTCTGGGCGACCGCCAATGTGCTGCTCATCCGGGAGCAGTACTTTGCCCCCTCCAGTCCGCAGACTATCGGCTGTACGGACTCGTTATGGTCCGATTGGCCGCCTGATGCCTGCGGGCTGAATGGGACAGACTGCGACGTGGCGCTGAACGGAGAGGGAGGAGGGAGGTATAGGTGTCTTGGGGGATGCACCTACTCGCCGTTGGGGAACCCAAGATGGGTTGGAGGGAGCGAAGTGAACAGGCGGCCACTAGTCATTGGCGGTGGAGACGGCCCTACTTACCGGTATGTCCCCCTCACAAAATTATCTGGGCACAGCTGATTGTCTAGCGCGGACTCCTGGATCTGCGCATCGGCGATCCACGCCGGGCAAATCAGTCCCACACTGGGAGGATGTGTGGATGTCAACTACGTCTTCGCCTCTTCTACATCCAACCTACTCGGCGGCTGGTCGAATGGCATCCTCTCAGCGCCTTTCCTCCCCTCCTTCCCCGGCTCGTATACCCTCAGTCCAAGCTCCGGTCCCGGTTGCTGGGACATCCACCCTTTCATCAGCGCCTTCAACGCACTGATGCTCTTCCTCACCACGGTCTTCCTCCTCCCGTCGCCTGCAGTCCTGCTCGGCACCTTAATCATCCTCGGCTGGGGCCAAATCCAGCTCGTATCGAATCCTCGATATGTCCCGCCGTTCTGGGAGTACATCTTTGCCGGTCTCCCACCAGCCCTTCTTGGCGGATACTGGTTCTACCGCGTCGCCTTCAAGCGGAGTTTGGAGGGATTCAGGGAGTTACCGGTGGAGCTGGCGCTTTGGCAGGGATTAGGATACTGGATCGGTATCGAAAGCTCGACGATCTTTGCGCGATTACCGCTGTCGGGGAGAATAGGCTACGACGGGATACCGCCAGATGGGAAGGGCGTACTGGCGGTGTTGATCCTGATCGTGGCCTTCATTGCGGTCCTGCAGGCGTGGGATTTGCGGAAGTACGGCATGCTGCAGTACTACATCGTTAGGTGAGGCTTTCCACCCAATTCCCATGAGAATCGAGCTGATGGTCAGGTACATATGGCTCGTTCCCGTCCTGGTGGTGCTCTCGCAGATCCCTGGGTACACTCTGCGCATACATCACTGGTTCTACCCCATGCTCGCCATACCCGTCCTGTCTCTGCCGAATCGAGTCAGCATCTTCGGACAAGCCATCATGCTTGGCCTGTTTTTGGACGGTATCGGACGATGGGGATGGGCCGGTATCATCCAGCAGACAGCTTCGGTAAGCTTATCTCTGTATAGATCCATACCTTTGCTGACCGGCAGCTCCTCGGTGACGCCAATTCCGGAAGCTACATCCCCGACGTCAGCTTTGCAAATTCGACCTTGACGATGCTGTCCTGGTTGGCGACTCCTCGCAATCTGACCAGGTTAGGCATCACGGGCGTCCAGGTGGTGGTCGACGATGTCTTGCGGCTAGCCAACCACACAGCGACGAATGTCACGCTGGCGCAAGTCGGGTTAGGGGATGGCGGCGGGATAGAGCACTTTTTCCGACTTGCTGTGGGTGTCTTTTTGCGTTGCACAAACTTCTATCGGGGATAGTCCGCTGACTTGATAGTACATGGCGAACGATACTTCCCTCGACTTCACAGATCCGATCGTCCGCTTGGTCAATGGCTCGTACGCGTTCGCAAAGCCATGAGGCGACGAGGGGTCTGGTTTGATTCAACAGGGAGCTGCACAAGGACGTTGTATCTAGTAGGACTGTATCTTATGTATCTCGCTGCATGACCTATTGCTGCGCCGGCCTATTGTCGCGAGTGGCACCTACGACACACAAGCCCATCCTGGGCCTGGGGGATCGCCTTTGGCATCGGCACATACTGACAATTCCTCAAAGGTCGCACAAGAGAGTATGCATATGCTGTGCAGTCCGATGGAAGCCGCCGTTGCTCTACAAAGTGCCCTTGACGGCCTTGCTGACGCTCTCCGCAAAGTACTGCGACATCAACTTCCATCCCTGGCACCGATTGTGATTGCTCATCGAACTCACCTCTACATTCCCGTCGTTGAGACCCGCCATGCTGATCCGCCCATCCTTCGTCAGGTAGATGCTAGCCTTCTCTGCGAGCTTCTCGACCTGCTCGGGCTTGAGGCCGGTGAAGGAGAACATTCCAATCTGGGACTTGATGTGCTTCCACTCTCCGGGAGTCTCGAGCCTGACGAGCGTGTCGTACAGCTTGGTGCGCATATCGATGATCCGGTCGGCCATGCCCTTAACCTCGACGAGCCTGATGGTCAGCTAACTCTCCATAGGAGAAGATGGTTTCAGGGTAGGAGACAATAGGTATCGTACGCACCACTCGTTGTACAGCTCCTGGTTGCCCAGGATCTCGCTCACGAGACGCGCACCGTGAACGGGCGGGTTGGAGTACATCGGCCGGACAATGATCTTGAGCTGCGAGTCGACCTTGGCCTTCTCTTCTGGAGAGTCGCAGACGAAGGACACGGCACCGACACGTTCACCGTAAAGACCCATGTTCTATGGAGTCAGCTGACATTTCGGTCACAAGCTGATATTCGCGGGCGCTCACCTTGGCGAAGGACTGGCAGAGCAGGATCTGGTGGCCCTGCTCAACAAAGTATCGCACGGCGTAGGCATCCTTCAAGATGTCACCGGAAGCGAAGCCCTGGTACGCCTACAGGATCAGCTCGAGCCAAAGATCGTGCAAAGGAAGTATGCTGACCATGTCGAAGAACGCAAAGTGCTTCTTCTCCTTGACGAGGTCGGAAAGCTCGCGCCATTGGGCCTCGGTAGGGTCAACACCGGTGGGGTTCTACAAATCAGCTCGATACATATCAGTGCCAGCTCCAGCGAGGACTCACATGTGCGCAAGCGTGCAGCAACACCTGCCAGATCAGCCATGGCTCGGGATTGGAACAGGCAATAGCTTACAATCGATCCGTCCGGCGCAGACTTGATGTCGGCCTTCATGCCCTCAAAGTCAAGGCCGACCGTGTCTTTGTCGAAGTACCTGTACGAGTGAGCTATACTCCCTTCTTGTACGCTAACAGGGGCAGGATAGCTCACTTATAGTGCTTGACAGTAAGACCCGAGTCCTTGGCGATTGGGATGTGGTTTCCCCATGTGGGCGTAGGGAGGTAGATGGTCTTGGAAGTCTCGTGGAACTTGCCAAGGAAGGCCATAGCAATACGGAGAGCACCGGTTCCGGAGATCGACTGTGAGATCGCCAGCTACTTGGTCAGTTCTTCCCTAAGATCCCTCCAGGAGCGATGGAACTCACCCTATCCTCGACGAGCGGCTTGGAGTCCTTGCCGTACGCCAGCTCAGCAGCGAGCTTGGTGAACGATCCAAGACCCTGCCCATGTCAGCTTCTCGCACGCACGCCTGGATTATGCGCTTCGCCCGGCTATCGCGAACTTACAGTGATAGGCAAGTACTCCTTGTCCATCTTGGCCTCGAAAAGCTTCTGCTCCGCCTTCTTTACGGTCGGCAGGACGTATGGCTTTCCATTACCGTCACGCTAAAGTGTCAGCTGCGCCACCTGACTTCCAAAGCGCTCTGACAACTGACGTAGGCACCTAGACCATCAGCTACCCGTTCTAATCAGCCAGAGAGGACTACTCACCGACACCGAGGTTGATCTTCTTTGGCGACTTGTCCGCCTTGAACTTCTCGGTCACACCTGTCCATCAGTCTCTCATCACCCCTCTCCAGATCTCTCATCTCAGCTTCAAGCGCGACATACCCAAGATCGGATCAGGAGGTCTGCAAGCATCAGCTTGCTTGCCCTACATTCAATTCTCGTCAGCTCAACTCACCCAGCGACAACGCTTCCCCAGACTGAGATCCCCCGGCGAGCCACGGCGATCGGTCGGGCTGCTGCGCGCGAGGCTGTGAGTGCTGATGTGGAGATCATCTTGGATATGGGTAGAGAGGCAGAGACAAGAAGTTTGAAGGGTTGCGAGTCGGAGTGATCTCGCTGGGTTTAATCGTTGCCCGGAGACAAAGAGTCCCCGGAGGAATGCTGGGACTCGGTCCGGGAATTACCGGCCGGCGGAAGCGTGGATGGTTGCATGCACTATGAGCTCAAGCTGTTCTGGAAAGTCACTCTACTAGCAAGGGGAGATAGATGAGCAGCAGATGCATGTAGCAACCGCAAGGTCCGAGAAATCCGCTAGATAACACTGAAGTAAAACCCTAAGATAGCAAAAGCACTACGTATGACTACACGAGGGTAAATCGCACTAGATGAGGAAAGAGACTATGGATGTACGGAGAGGCAGACGTCAAGTCCGCGATGGGTAGGTGTGGAAGATGGTGGTATCGATGCGGTGGTATACAAACAGTGGGTGCAATGTCCGATTGGGTGCGAGGCTCGAGATGCGTGGAGGTGGTTGATATGGTGATGCATGCCGAGGGGGTGTGGTCGTTAATGATATATGGGGGAGCCGTAATTTGGTCGTGGATGGGCATGACGTGACCGATGTTCGGCGGGGGGACCTAGTTGCTGAGCCGCCGCATGGTGCGACCTGGTAATGCCAGACCGTCCCCGCCGCCCTGTTGGATAGGGTGTAGTGGTCCCCGCGCAGCCGCGTACGCCGCAACGTTGATTGACTGCCCGTTCATGATGCCGGCCTTGGCCATGGCGTGCAGGTCGGTCGACGAGTTTGACATGCTGGCGGTACCGCCGTACATTTGCGGAGGCATGTTCTCTTTCGAGACCGAGCCGGCCGAAGCGACGGTAAAGGGGTAGCCGGAGTCGTGCTGCGACATGGGTGTGATGGGGGTAAGGGGAGCATCGTCGCCCGCTTCCGAAGAAGCGCACGAGATGGAGCCGCCAGAGGGGGAGGTGGACATCCAGGATCCCCGCTTGCCTGGCCATGAGCCCGAGGGTTGGAGACCGGGAGTGACGAGGGTGGCGGAGACGGGGGTGACGGGGGAGTCGGGCTGGTAGATGAACCGACGACCCGAGAGGTACCACTCGCGGACAAGGGTGGAAGCGCGCATGTAGTAGCTGGGCGCGTATTTGCGAATGACGATCTCGGAAACGCCCTCGAGCTTTTCGGAAAAGTGCTTGTCAATGGCAAAGGCGATGCGAACAGCAATGTTGTCGTACTTGGTAGCAGCCTGAAAGGTCAACTACTGTTCTCCAAGCGAGGCCGCAGAACCAAACTCACGCGCCTAGGCTTGTTGCAGATGAACCTCGCCAGCATCAACGCGCCGTTCGCAATGAACGAGCTTTGGATCCCGACAAACTCGCGGTGGAAGAGGGTGATCTCCATGAGGAACCGTGCGACGTGCTGAACCTTGACATCCTCCGCCCGCTCGCCCATGGTGTATGTCCGCAACCATGCTTCCGCCGAGGGGTGACCGGTGACCCAGCCGATGGTGGACAAGACATGACCCTCCATCTGGATGAAGGCCGACTCGTCATACGCCTTGCAGCACATGTCGGCGAGCTCCCGGACGAGAGGGACCTTGTCCTTTCCGTCCTCGAACTTGGCCGCGATCCAAAGCGACGCGCACCCGACGAGCTGGTAGTGCTTCTTGTAGACGACCCGCTTGGACACGTATCGGTCGACGATGTTCATGGCGAGATAGAGCACCTCTGGACGAAGCCGGAATTGCTGATGGACCTCGATGAGAAAGTCGATGAGGTAGGGGCGCATGAACCATTGAAGTTCTGGTTGCATGTCCATGAGTTCTGCCGAGGCAAGAGTGGCGTTCTGTATATCAGCCACCACTCCATATCTATTAGACAGAAAGCAACTCACGTCCATGGCAACCATGTACCCCGTGATCTCCTCCCTGTGCTCCTCCTCAAAATACTCCGCCTCGTCATTACGCCTGGGTACCGCGGGGGTAGAGCTGCTGCTAGCCTGCATTGTGTGCTTTGACCGAGAGGATTCGGCGGGATAGCTAGAAGAAGGGGATGCTGAGCGTTTCTTGGAGTAGTAGTGGGCGTTGGAGGTATCCAGGGTGGGTCGAGTGGGTTTAGCGTTGATGGGGGCGCTTGGCATACTCCGGGTGAGTTGGGTGAAATAGCGGTGAGGGGTGGGGGTGGGTGGGAGCTGAAAGGTCCTATATCGAGACCTGCTCGATGGGAAGGACCGGTGGAGGAAGGAATGGGAGAGTGGTGGATGAGGGCGACAATGAGGAGCCGACCGATGATTGAGGTGGAGTTAAGTAGGCAAGCGAACGCAACGCAGCACGCCGAGACAAGGACGAAGGTCAATGGGGAGGGCGTGGCAGGTGGGTATTGGCCGTATTGATGCAAGCGTAGCAAGGTGAATCCGAGTCAAATTGAATAGTCGATCAATTTACACGACCGCCGTGGTTGATGCGCGCCAAATGAGGAGGTGGGAGATGGTGAGATAAATGAGTCCAGATTGTTCCAGGCGAGATGAGTACGACCAGGACGGTTCCGAGGACGTAGATACCGAATGATGCGACCGACGAGGGATGAGCCAGTCCGAACGCGTGATTGAGCGTGGAAAATGCGTGTCCAAGCGGGGAGGTCGAATGGGGTAGGAGGATGGCACGCGCCGGTGAATCCGAGGAACAGGCGGGAGTCGGGGATGAGGAGGTCGCGCGGTGAGACAATTGTGAGACAATTGACGAGATGGTGTAAAGGGAGGGAGATGAGACGAAACCAAACGTGAGCTTTTGGCCGTTTGGGTAGATGTATCAGACAGGAGGAGGGGGTAGTCTTTGGCGCCGTTGCTGTCGTTGCTGTACCAAAAAGAAGGGCGAGGAGGAGGAGGGTAGATGGGGGAATATCCAGCCCCGATTTTTGTTGGCTCTGCCGGGATAGGAGTGATGAGACTAAGCGTCGTCAAGATCGTTTTGTCGTTGATGATGGAGAGGGATAGCCAGAACCCAAAAGATAAGATCAAAAGACGAGAGCGAGTGGTGAGAGCAAGAGCAAGAGAAGAAGGAGAAGAGAGGTTGTCGAATGGTCCAACTTGAAGCTTTGTACCAACTCCAGGAAAGTAGCGGGCAGTAGAAGCGTAAGGGAAGGGGTGCAGCGCCAAAGGGGAGAAGGAGGTTTACAGTCATTCCCACAAGGCGTATCAGGAAGGGGTGAGGAATTCCTAGCCCCTAATCATCACGCTCGACGCCAACTGGCCGCTCCATCACCTAATTCCCCCCACCTTGGGTCACGCTCAACCTGCCACCCGCATGCCACCAACGGAACCAAGGGAATAAAGACGCCGTTGGCTCTGAAAGGTGGAGTTGACCGAGATCGAAGGTTGGGTAAACAGGGTCAAGGGAAAGCATAAGGTGGTTTCCTCCCCCGAGCACCCTCGGCGGCTCTGCCACTCAAAAGCATAGCTTAGGGTTAATCACGTAGGGTAAAAGGGAATAGGACAAGAGTCAAAAAGGTCAACGCAAGATCGTTGTAGACCGGGTGAAAAGTAAAGGAGATAACAGGGTGAGGAAGGGAAGATGGCTGTATGCCGTAACAAAAGAACAACCCGCTACTGCGTCACGCCGAAAAGCGTGACATCTTACGCCAGCCCCGTCCGATATCCGTCCCGGTCAATCGCACATCCCCTTCCTCGGAAGAGGACGCGATTGACCTTCCGACAGACCATATCCAGCGCCCCCGATCCAAGAAGCTCAAGAAGGGGTAGCAGAGAACCGAAGCATAGTCACAGCCACCTCACGCAGCAGACAGAGTCGAGGGACCACCCCGAGAAGTGTAGGGGAGCGGAGAGGAGCTCACGGTATGACTAGTCACCTTCTAGCTCGCAGGATGCAGCTTGATCGGACCTAGCGCGAGGACGGCGGGCCGAGTTCTTCGCAGAATGTCGAGAGCGGGAGATGGCGGGGCTCCTCGTCTGCGTTACAATTAGCCGTTATCTAGGGTCAGGAACAGGCAAGGCACGCTCGGCAGGAGGCGCAGTTACGAAGCTACCTCCGAGCTCCGGTACCGCCACCGCGTGCTGAGTCACTATCAGGTCCCCGCTCCTCCAGAGATAACGCAAATGAGTACAGCCACCGCCGTCCTACTCCCATCCACTATGACGACCTCCTTGTCACCAGCGTCCATGGACACCATGCCAACCGCCTCGATACGTCTTCATGCCTCCCTTGCCCCGCCCGAGCTCCGAGAGATAGATACACTCTAGCGTCCTTCTCCACTGAGACCGGACAAGCTTTCTCCGTCTGCCCCGCCGAGAAACCGGACAAACCAGGCACGAGACATTCCTAGAACCCAAACTGACAACCTCCGAGCCGCGCCCCGCTGACCTCCTATTCGCGCTAATTGGCCCCACGTTCCAGACTTTCGCGCAGATCTCCGGCTGCTCCATCCGCGGATGCTAGCGTGCGCCACCTCCGCTTCTCCACCTCCGCCACCGCCGCCAGACCCAAGACAGAAAGAAATCAAACACTACCAAGACCAAGCGGGAAGGGACGGTAACTTACGGTGATGTCCGGCAGGCGAGTTCCTTCCTTCTTGCTGAGTGGTGATGGATGGGCGGTCTGATAGATATCAGCATCATCCTCTTCGACAGCACCGCGGCTAGCGTCGAGTGGGCCACATGGGCCGACCCAAGATGAGAGGAAGACCGAAGTGGGACAGCTAAAGCAGACACGTACCTCGCTGTTCTTTCCTCGTCGGCTTGGGGGCTGAGTGTTTCAGAGACAATAGTCGAGAAGGAGGTAGTGCTTTGGGCGATTGTAACGCCGGTCGGAGGGAGGAGGAGGTATGAGAGACTAAGATATAGGTGAGTATTGAGAACAAAAGAGATATGGAGGTGGTATAGAGGGGAAGGAGGATGTGACTATATGGCGAGAATCAGGTGGAGCAGCGGGCCAGACTGCGAAGCATACTCGCATGCTACCCCTCATCCCAACTCCTTTGGCGCCTAGATTGTCTGCGAGTACAGTGGAGGGAGCTGTGGAGGGAGGTGAGAAGAGGGGGAAAGACACATATGGCCGTACTCACCCTTTAGGACCAGTCCGCTATCCTCTTCTGGCTGCTCTCGCCTCGCGCCGTATCAGAAGCCGAGGACGTCCGAGTACACAGCCGCCGATCGCTACTCTCCGCTCCTAGCCGGTGCTTGCTGACCCTTGAAACGGCGATCCGGGAAGGAAGCGGCCGTGTGAGTGGTGTCAGGTGCAGCTGCGGCAGTATCGGCCAAGGTGTGGGGGACGGGAGGCGGGGGAGGTCTCAGCTGATGTGAGAGGAGGGAGGGACGTTTCAAGGTGAAGTATACGGTGTAGGACGGAGGTGTGATGGGTGGAGTATGGATAGGAGGATGAGGGTGTGTGGAGAGGGAAGTGGACGTCGGCGCTGTCCGAATTTTTGGGTGGCTTCAGGTGTGAGAAGCTGATGCGAGCTGATGCAGCTGCTTTTGGGTCGTAAAGTCGAGATGTATGGTCGTAGCGTATGCAGTGGTCGTTGTCGTCGCACCGAGAAGGTCGTTATAGAAATCAAGAGAGCTGAACTGATGCTGAAGGGGAGCGGAAAGGTGATGAGGGTGCGGACGGCCTTGGGTGTGTGCGAAGGGACGTCTTTTTTTGGCTGGGGTCGTTTGGTCGTCGCTGTGTCGTATGTATAGTCGTTGCGTCGTGGGCGCGGGCGTAAAGGTCGTGCAAAGGTCGTCTCAAGTGTACACTAAAGAAGAGAAAGGGAAGAAAGGGAAGAGAGAGGGTAAATGTATGGGCGGTGAGGGCGATGAGGTGAGTGACCGACCCCTTGATGGCAGTGGCGGATTAGAAACGGGGGTGAACCCAAATCAAAGCGGAAAGGGAGCCGTTCCTGGCCGATAGAGTAAGCTACTCTGTAACACTGCTCTGATCCGGACTGATCTTGAGTGTGATCGGTCGACAAGCAAGACACGCCGAGGTCGGGCGAGCAGATCTGATGGTGTCTGCGGTGGAGGGGGATGAGGATAGACTAGCAGCCAGAATGTGGAGAGAAGGCCTGTATCTATTGCATACGACTCATCCACTTGCCCCTCAGCATGATAGTCCGAGCAGAGCAGTAGTTCAGGATCTCACTCAGGATCCCGCAAAGCTGCCCGTGGCTTGTGGGGAGCCCGCAAGGAAGAGGGGAGCTGTCAGTGCGGCGCAGGGAAGGTGAAGGTGCCGAGATCATAAGCAAGGATGCATGGCAACCCCCGTTCTAATCTGGAGCGGAGCAGCGGAGTTGTCACTCTAGTGTATATCTAGTTGGGTGATGGAAGGACGAGTGACAGGCGTGACAGGAACTGGATCAAGGGTGAAACGTCCGTTTGCATGGGATAGCTCCCGGAGAACGCAGCTGATACGGATGGAAAGGCATGCTGCGGAGTCAGATCTGTGGAGCCGCAGACAGCTGGCTATGATCTGTGGACCAATGACCGTCGTAGAGCTATGATTTCCAAGATATTCGCTCGACAAATGGCCCTACGGCTGTCGCTGCAAGCGGGATGGCCACCGCTCGCAGCCCTTCCTCGTATACTCAGGTGTCAGCTTGCGGTGAAGGGTCCGGTCTTCTAGCCCCGAGTCTATATCAGCGCCTCTTCTTTCCTCAGGTCACGCTCAAGGGACATCATCGATCAGAACGGACAAGCTGTGTGTCTTGCCACACGCCACCCTTGAAAGCCACGCTGAACCTGTGCGTTTCTCAGCGATCATGATGTCACGGCTGTGTACTGCCGAGTCTCGGCGTGATGAGTCATATGGGAGCCATGTTCCATGAGGGTGTGCGGCTCGAGCGTCCGCGTCCGCGTCCGCGTCCGCGTCCGTCCTTTGCCAGCAGGACGTTTCAGCTACCTTCCTTTACTTCGGCACCGAGAGGGCCGATATCGAGGGAGATCGTTCGGGTGGGACATATAGGCTTTGATCTGAAACGTATCTGAGACATGTGCCTGATCGCCCATGCATGTGCATTGTCTTGTGCGGCTGAGATCCTCTGAGACCCAGCTGATACATGTCTCACAAATTTGGTACTGAGGGGCTGGAGGGTGGGTGTTGCCACTCATTGCCACTGGCGCCACTCTCGCAGGTGCCACAGTGGAGCGCTGCGGTTCCGCAGTGAAAGTTCTTTGAATAGCTCTCGGCCGCAAAACGATAGCGCAGGATAGCGCAGTACCCGCTCGTCGACGCTCTCGTTACATCCCCCAAAGCCCAGATCCTCCCAGATCCCGGTTTGCTGTTATCATCGATTCATCAAGCTTCTTTGCGTGCAGCACAGTCAATCTCATTCAAGCTTGCTTTGCGGTAAGAGCTCCATCAGGCTCCATCTGGGCCCGGGAGTCGCAAGCCACGGCGATGCTATCGTGGCTGCGGGCCGCCAAAGGAAAAGCCGTCCCCTGCACCCGGCTCCGACAGTTTCGGGGTGGGTTACCGAGTAACGCTGACGTGAGTTTACGACAGGGCACCATTCTGCTCGATCATAGCTTAATCGCAACGATCAGAGATAAGATAATGACGGCAAAGACCGCTAGCTAGCTAGTGCTTCATATCGATATCATTTCAGTCATTCGAGAGCTACCAAGCTTGATCGCGATCATAAGACGTGTATTCAGCTGACGTGAATAATGGAGTGATCTGGTTCACATGCTACTGCGCACTCTATTGGTGGTGTAGATGATGCGGTAAGGAGGGCAAGGAGTACGACGAGCCACTCGGCTTTGCCGCCTATGGGGTGTAAAACGTCGCAGCGTGACTGAGTACTGCTGAAGCACTCAGTACTCAGCGAGGAGAAGACGGTCCACTGTGCAAGCTCACTTGTCTTTGATGTACGACCGCCCAAACCCTGCAGGACAGCTACACCCGTAGAGTACGGCTAGGAAACTGACCCATCATCGGCCAAAAAATAGTATCAAGATCCATCTATGCTTTAACCCACTATCCTACTCTATGGCAGACTCGATAACTCATGAACAAAGCCAAGAAGAAATCCTAGCTATATCCGACTCCAAACCGTACTCAAGCAGCTCTAAGCCATCCCAAACTTGATCCCTCCTCTCGCCTCAAGCGCGACCCCCAGACTCCTCGTCCACTCGACCGCCTCCATCGTCTCTTTGCCCGGCTTCTCCCCTGACCCGCTCGCCAGCTTTGCCAGCTCCCCGAGCACCCTCTCCACCTCGCCCTTGTACGCCTGTGCCACACGGCGCCCCCACTCCTCAGCCGCCCCAAAGCCAGAGAGGACCTGACGCTCATACTCCCCCTTCGGCCAATTCCAAACGTCCGCCGCTGTGCGCAACTTGAGCTTGTCCAGCCCATTCGGGTGTTTCTCCGAGGACTGGTCGGACGTGCGCGAGAAGGGGAGGGTGGATAGGGCCAGGTTTGCCTGCCGAGAAAGGATGGCAAAGACGGTGATGGCAGGAAGGTCCTCCCACGCATCATCGAGCGCCTCCTCGGCGAGGTCGTCGATATCGTCCCGGATCCGACGGAGGCTGGCGAGCGTACGAGCCGACGCATTGGGGCCGTGCATGGACGCGCTGACGATGCGAAGGGAGGTGAGAGCCTCGAGAGCCTCGTGGAGTGCCTCCCGAGCGAGATGCTCGGTTGCGTTTGGGTCGGGAGTGACGTCCGGACCGAGAGGCTGAGGGACGAGACCCCCGACGAGCCGCTTGACGAGCCCCTCGAGGCTCATGAGAGCGTGCGTGTCAGGGTCGACGCGAGGTGCGCGCGGGGGAGAGGGAGCTCGAGAGGCCGAGCGTGAAGGAAGAATGGAAAGGGGGTTGGCGAGCTTGGCAAGCGACGGTGCCATCCGATCCGAGACGACCGCAGGGGTGGTGTCGCGCTCCTTGCCTAGACTGTGCAATGCCTTGCTGACGCTGCTGGGGCTTGGAGGACGACCGATGGATGTAGCTGGCTCCTTCTCCGCCATGACACACATGCCCTTCCATACCACCGCCACCAGAACATTCGTGATCCACGCCTCCCCATCGTCCGCGCACGGCACCGCCACAATCTCCAGCACCTTCCGGCTGAGGTCTATGCGGGATGCGAAATGCTGCAGCGCCACCGGGATGGCGAGGGAGCGAGCGACGCCAGGCTGAGACGGCTCCTTGGTGAGCCGGGTTCCGGGCTGGTTAGACGCCTCTCTCTTGACTGGAACGTCCGGACCGGGAATAGTGGGATTGGGGATGGTAGCGAGACCGATGACACGCCCGCCAGGCGGACTGGTTCCCTCGCTTTTGGACAAGCTGGCGACGAGGTCCCGCTTGAGGCTGATAAGCAACGGCTGAGTCACCTTGCCAACCACCAAGTCCAGCTTGTCCATCACCGGCCTGAGCGTCTCGCTGACAAACTTGGGCCACTTGCCAGTGTCCAGAGCCTGCTCCAGAACCTCGCACGTTTCCCACGCGGCATGGGCAATGCTGACCGCGTAGTGCTGTGCCGGGTTGAGGGGGTGGGCAAGGGGAGAGGGCGAAGAGAGGTTGAGCGGGCTGACGAAGGATGGGTCGGTGAGGGCGGGGAGGAGCAGTGACTCGAGCCGCGTAATGTAAATGGAGAGAGATCGGACCGCCGTACGTAGGACCGCTCGGATGAGATACGCATCGTTAGGTGGGAATGGCAACTCCTTGACCACTACTTCCCCCACAGACCACCCGTTCCCCTTCTTGAACCCCTTCTTGGCTTTGTAGTCCACGCCCGCCGACGCCTTGTTGACCGCCTCGTTCAATCTCAGTCCCAGTGCATCCATGTATGCCCCAGCAGGAGCAGCCGCCTCTGCGGGCAACGCCGGCGGCGGGACTCGTGGTGTGACCGGCCGGCTGGTGGGAGGCGAAGGAGGCTTCATGCCGTTCATGCCTTCAGGACTGGTGACGTGCGATGTCACTGGGGTGACGCCGGTATTGAGGTGGAGACCGACGACCTTGTCGGTGAGCTGGCGGGAAAGGGAGCGGGAGCGCGCTTTGAGCTCGCCGTTGGCGGCGACGGTGGGCTGCTGGGTGGTGCCGTTCGCGGTGGAGTGGGTGACTTGAGCGGTGGAGGGGGGAGCAGGTGAGGCTGGGCGGGATGGACGGAGGATGTCAAGGGTTTTGAGAGCCTGCATTTTGGCGGCGGATGGGTGTGAAGGGAGGTAGAAGGACGAGCTGGCGGGGCTTTGGGGCGGGTCGAACGGCTAGGTCGACACGGAGTGATGGTTGGACGATTTATCCCATTTGTTCGTAGAGGGTAGGTCGTGAAGCAGATGACGATGGCGATGATCAGGATAGATCAACGAGATTGGGGGACGTGAGGGGGTCGCCCGAGTGAGATGGTATGGGGAATAAGGCCAGTTATGGTGGCTTTCCTGCCGAGTCGAGGAGGGCAATGATCAGGGGTGGAAGGCGGAGGCGAGTAAGTCTGTTGGGGGGAAGGACGGTTGATAAGAGAGGCGAGGTGAGGGGAACGTGCGTGATGGAGATAGCGGCGGAGTATAGATGGGGAAGAAAGGAGTGGTGTAAGCGATAAGAGAGAATGTCGTTTCAGCTGATGTCTCTTGCAGTGTGTTCCCTTGATCCAGCTCGTCCATCGCCTAACGCCGCGCTCTGGACCACTCGTGTTCGTGCCCCGGCATACCGCATCGTTCAGGATGGAAACGCAAACTCACCCTCGTCCGCTCAGAATCTTTCCAGAATAGCCACTACAAGGAAGCTTAGATTTTCTCATCCGGTTGATACCTGATTGAAGGTGTTGGGTGTAAGGTTGCCAGTGGGCAGGGGTGTGAAGGCAGCAGTAGCAGAAGCTGTAGGCGTATATAGCAGGTAGATGTATATAGGAAGTTTAACGACTCAGGTGTAGCCCAGGGTAGGGTCCGTCCGAAACGCGCCTCCATGACGCAGCGAAAAAATCCCTCAAAGCGGTCATCGCCGAGTGTGGCGAACCTTCTAAGGTTGCGGAATGAGGAGTTTGCCACCTTGAGATAGCACTGTTTGCATCTGCCTATATACCTCATCATGCGATCTGGTACACCAGCTTCTTTCCCGATACCTTGTCCTGCCTGATCAGGTCCATGCCCTCAGCGATCCCGTCCAGGTCGCCCGGTCGGAGCTCGACGGGATTGGGCTTGGTACTGGAGAGGAAGCCCGAGTCGCCCTGTGAACGCTTGATGAAGTCGATGTACCAGGCCTTATCCTCGGGGATAGCAGGCAGCCAAGGCAGACCGGGGAGCATTTCGAAAGACTGGAACATTAGCAAAAAGCCGATCCGCGTGGCAAAAGATGCAACTCACATAGCCGCAGACGGTGAAGATCCCGAATTGGCCAATTTTGACCTCCTCCCTAATCTCCCCCGCGCCATCTGGGATTTCCGTTATCGTCGTGAGTAGACCTCCCTCCTTGACAAAAGAGTTGATGGCTACGAAGTAGTTGTCGTCCCCCCCAACACACTCCAGACCACCAACAACACCACCGCCCGTGACCTTCTTGATCTCCTCGAGGGCTGCGTCTCTGTTGTGGTAGTCGACGACATGGTCCGCCCCGTACGATTTGACGAGCTCGAAGGAGCGTGGAGAGGCGGTAGCGATGGCTTTGACGCCCAGCTGGCGGAGAAGGGAGAGTACGAAGAGGCCGACGGAGGTTGAGCCGCCTGAGACGAGGAACTGCCAATTTAGCGATGTCCTCCACGCTCAGCCAAGCAACTCACCCAGCCATCTTTCTGCTCTGCCGGAGGATACTTGTAGCCTTGAGCATGGAAGACCGCCTATGAATAAGCTTGAGCCTCGAGAAAACTGGTCACAGCATGACATACCATGGCGGCGGTGAAGTAGCCGACGCCGAACGTAGCAGCGTCCGCATCGCTCATCCCGCTCGGGATCTTCATCGCACACTCCCCCTTGGTGACGAGATACTCTGCGAAAGATCCCCTCTCCGGCAGCTTCCCACCGTGTATCATACCGCACACCTTATCACCGGCCTTCAAGGTGAGGCAGTCGTCTCCAACAGACTCGACCGTCCCTGAGAAATCACATCCGAGCGTTGCGTTTGGGTTGCCCATCGAATCCAGATGCTTCCAGTCGCAAGGGTTGAGTGCGACGTGAGATACCTTGACGAGAACCTCGTCGGATTTTGGCTTGGGGACTGGGCGGTCGGGGTGTATTTTGCCCTGGTTCTGGCGATATCAGCGCGAGCAGGCAGAGAAGAAGGTCGGGAACTCACAAACTGCTCCATCACCAAAGCGCGCATTTCAGTTGGCTGGCTTGACATGGTTGCTGAGCGATAGTCGAGTTGTGTTGTACGGGCAAGCTGCTGAGGGATCTGGCTAAGCTCATGTACAAGCGAAAGAACTAGTCGTCAGATTATGCAGACCGACGGCCACGATCACGACGCTGAGGCCGACGGCCATGAGATCCCCAAATGCCGTCATGGCCGTTTCAGGCTGTTCTTGTGCAATTTCCCGGCCGCCGGTAGCTGAGTGGGGCCCAGGAGGACCTCTGAAAGTACTGATATAGCCTTGAAGCAGATCCGGACACGGTTTGGCCTTCCAGAGGCACAGTGTGCAGCTTCCGAGTTTCGCCGGCAGGGAAATAGAGGCGAAACACAGGCGAAACACGGTCAAACGGGCGAAACACAGGCGAAAGGGATTATTTTCCCTTGTGTTTCCGGCCGGGGAAAAATCAAAAATGGTCCGATTAGAATTTAAACCGGACGGCTGTGTACCGGCGGGCTCAGGGATCAATGGCTATTAACCGATACATGACGAATTCCGACTTTTTGCCTGTGTTTCGCCACTGTTTCGCCCGGGTGAAACACGGTCTTTCGCCCGGATGCGAGCGAATTATGCCGGATAATAATCCCTTTCACCTATGTTTCCCCTATCTCGCTTGGCGATATTTACGGGCCTGCACGCTGTGCCAGAGGTCAGATGTTTGAGGTGGATCCGGACATTTGGGTGGCAAATCGCCCAAAATCGCTCGCTTAACAATGCCAAAGCACGCCTAGCTCGTCTAATTTAGGCACGGAGGCTTACGGCACGCGCGGACTTACCGCTTTGGGTAATAAAAATCCGGACATGGATTTCGCCCCCCAGTATCAAACCTCGATCGGTACTTTCAGAGGTCCTGGCCCAGTAAATGGCCAGACGCTCTGAAACGCTGATCAGCGTTGACGGTGCCGGCGGCCGGCGCCCGACACCTTTTCACTACCGTTGGCACCGGTAGGTAGCCATGAGGCGCAGCGACTCCAGGACATGCGGGAACCGGTCGTCTCTACTCAGTATCAGCGATCAGCTTCGAGCACAGGAGCCGGGGCATTAAAGGGTCCGACCGGCTCCTCCTCTGCTACCTCTGTCGTACCCAGGATATGTAGGCGTGCTGCGTAATGTACGGTCACCTCCCAGAGTTCCAGCTCGCCGCTGGCAGAGGGGGACCAGCTGCAGCAGGACTGAGCCAAAGTGGAGGCTATCATCTGCTTCCGGCGGAGCCCCGATCGCTGTTGTGAGGTTCCCCGCGTTCACTGCGAAGTGCAAGGAATTCTCATGTTCGCAGTAGGCAGCTTCGGCATCATCATTCTCACTATACAGACTGCGCCAGGACGAGCGGACGCGATACTATCTCGGTGTGGATAGCCAAGGGAATAGTCTCCGGAGAGAGAAGCCGCTGTATCAGTCCGGTCAACTCGAGAGCGCGGTCGAAGGCCGCCAATTCGGGTCTCGAGGAGCGATTGGGGTGTATTGCGGTGTCCAGCTACAGATCTCGACTGTACTGTCGGAGCCGACACCGGCAAGATGTCATACGTCTCTCGTCCATCGTATGAGCATGCCACAGCCTCCAGCTCGTCCATCTTCAGCGGGGAAGATGAGGAAACCGATACCGTATGTTGCTGCCTTCCTTAGGCGTTCTTCTTGACAATCCCAGATAGCTAACGGATGCAGGTCGACGGGCTGATGAGTAAGCTTGCCATCGAGCGAAGAGTCCAATATGGGGCCGAGAAGATGCTGGACGTGCGTTCCTCTACCATTCCAACAGCCTGAGGGTTCTTGCTGACTTTCAGGTGATTGAGCAGAGAGGAGATTCTGGCGGGGACGGGCAGGAACAGATCAAGGACCGAATCACAGCGCAGCTAGAAGCAGCCAATCTCCAGATCAAGCATCTTGAGATGCGGCTCGAGAAGGTCCGAGGTGGTGAGCTGCATCTCCTGTACTGTCACTCTCGATGCAGCATAACTAAAGAACCAGCAACGCCAAACAAATCCCGCCGCCGACCTCCCGCTCGTCTGAACGGCTTCGCCTCGAGCTCATCTCTCGGCCCGCCCTTGTCCAAATCCATGTCATCCTCCCTTCTCTCTGGTCCGTCACGCCCGCGGATGGGCCGGAAAGGCTCCAGCCTTACCCCCGACAGGGGCGGCGGCTCGCAATACAGCTCCGGACCCGGTACGCCCTCCCGGAACGGCGGTGGGCCCAGCTCGCCCTCCGTGAACAGCTCCCCCGGAATGAGGCGCACAGGCAGCACAGGCCAGGAGAGCATTATGACGGGTATATCGGACATGGGACGATCTGAAATTGATATACTCCGAGGGGACATCTACCAGGACGACCAGAATATGGGAGTGCTAGTGGAGACGATATCGGTGACCTTGAGGCGGCTGAGGGAGATGACAAGGCGCTCGGGGAGAGGGAAAGGGAAGGAAGTGGAAAGAGGGGATGAGCCATGGAATTGCTTGACTCGCGTGGCGGATATGCTCAAGAAGTCTCCAGGACTGAGAGACAATATCAGCTTTACAGAGTTGGTTCAGAGGTGAGTATTTCAGCCTGAGTCAACGGGACGGCTATAGAGTAATGCTGACTTAGCAGCATCATGCCCTATCTATGCGACTCGTCCTCCCCAAGACGGCGCTCAGCTGGCTACCGCGCTCTCCGATACGCCCTGAATCGGACTTCATGGGGCGTCATGCTCGACTCAGGCCTCGAATGGCCGCTCACCCGGTATATCATCTGTTCTGCAATCAGCATTGGGCATCAAGCTGACGCGGTAGCACCTTCACTCGAGATGCCAAAGCCGTCATCGAGCGAGAACATGCGCTTCGCCTCCTTCGCGCCGTGATGATGCTACCTCACGAACGCCCTCGCCTCAACTCTCGGGTCAGTAGCCGCGACTCGCCATCCCGCCGTTCTCCGATGTCACCTCGGAAAGCGGCGGATAGGGAGCCGAGTGCTGTGGATGTCCTTCTGCAGAAGAGGGTGCCTCTGTCCGGAGGGATGATACGTGCCATCGTATCCGTAGCGGAGAACCCGGATGATGCGCTGCGGACGGTGTGTATGGAGACTCTGATCGAGATCGGTGAGTGTCTTACAAAGGTAGACTACGCTATGAGCCATAGCTGATAAACCAGCTATATTGGATCTGGACCGCATCATCCAGGCCGACGCGTTCCGGACGATCCTCCTCGCGCTCAAAGACGGCCCGGCCGAGCTTGGCCCAGCTATCACCGGCATGCTCATTCTACTCGCCAATAGCCCGGAGACGCGTGAGCGGATGGTTCCTGGATCTGACGTTGAGGTGAGCTGGTAACGTCTTCTTCAGAATCATATATTTCTCGGCTGACCTTCACAGCTCGTTCTCGCCGGTCTGACGGAGGAGTACGGGACACATTCTAAGAACCCCACAAAGTATCTCGAGCGCCTACAGGGTAACGTGCGGGATGTGGGTATGATAATGAGCTCCTGGCCAGGTGATTTTCTGTCGCTTGATATCATGTCAAGCTAGGCGTTAGCTGACCAACCAGGTTTATTGTACCTGTGCATGGACGACTGTCGGGCTATCAAGAGTCTGATCAATTCGCTCTATGTGCCAGTAACGGAACTACGGGTGCGTCTTGTTTATTGGTGGAAGAACAAAGATGAGGAGCTGATAGCACAGGAATCTCTGACAGATCTGATCTTTTCGGTCTTGCGTATCAAATTGCCGACTTTCACTGAAGCCTTTCTTGAGGGCAAGCGCTTGACTGGTGAGCTTTGGCATAATCACTGATAGATACGCAGTGGAAGCTGAAAAAAAGTGTACAATCGAACTCAGCAGGCTACGTCGCAGACCTTACACGATGTCTTAGAAGAGGAGGACGGGCCGCCAGCGCTCAACATGGTGGATCACTTTGTCGCCTTCACTCTGGCCGTTCTACTCGAAGCTGGCTTGATGCCCGTTAGCTGCCTTCGTACCCAATCCTCTCTAGAGGCTAGCTGACAACATAGGCGCTGACCACCCTCATCGAAGAGAACACGCCTCTTTCCCGTAAAGCCACCCTCCTGCTCGGTGAAGTACTTCGCCTCGCCAACCGGATCCTCCCCCTTCAATACGCCGCGCAGCTCCAGTCACTCCCGCGCTTCTTCAACGGCGCTACCGCGTTTGGGAACGCAGGACAACGCAATTTCGCCTTGACGGCCCTGTCGTCCATCGATAGTCTGAACCGTAATCAGAGTCGGGCAAGGCAGGCTGTACCCCGAGAACGAGCCGGATCGACCTCGGACATTCGAGATCCCGTCCAGAGGGGTCAGCGGAGCGTGAATGCTAGCAAGCTCAAGGCCAACATGAACATCGAGGATAAGCAGTTTCAGCAGATGGTCGTTGATTCCGGAGTGAGTCTAGTCATGCTGTATGGCGACTGCCTGGCTGATCATGAAGGTGCTTCTAGGCCGAGATCACACCAAGTGGAACTACGATGTCATTGTCGAATTGATCGAAGGACCACTGCTCAACCCTAAACGCCTGGACGAGGCTATTAGAGCAACAAAGTTCATTCGGCGGCTGTTCTCCTTTCTGCACCCCTACAACAATCGTTTCTCCAGCATCAAGAAGACGAGGGTGAGCTGCCGTGATCCTCATATCGCGAACACCAGCTGATGCCGCTAGCCGAGCCATAAATGGGTCCGCTTGGGCTGTACTCTGCTCTCGACGATGCTCATGTGTCCCGAGGGTGTCAAGTTCCTGGCGGATGACAAGCTGCTCAAGGAGCTAAGCCAGTCCGTCGTCGAGATTGAAGCGGTCAGTTTGACAGGATTCGAGTTCCTGCCCGCCGACCCGAAAGCTGACGTACCAGAATCCAAACCGTATCCGAGCCATCTTTTCGGCGGATCGAGTGGAGAACTCGCTCTCATACGGGTATTTTGAGATGCTGGGTGTCCTGAGCAAGCACGAAGAGGGCATCAAGTGGGTCGCATGTGTGGCAATGGCATTGTTTATGGCCAGGACAGCTGACGGAGCAGGCTGCTGGAGAAGTTCCGCTTCTTCAATTCGTTTTACCACCTCCTGGAGCTGAAGAAGCGGGATGACCTCGTTCAACTGATCATCGAGAATCTAGACTATACATCGTAAGCTATGATTTACACATCCCATGGGGCTAGCTGACCTTTGCAGTGACTCGCACGGCCGCATCTTGATGTCCAAAGCCTTGACCTCTGCCGCTCAGGTGAGTCTCCCCGACAAATCAAGCTGACAAGCAGGAAACTCGCCTCTTCGCAACTCATCATCTCGGACGACTTTTGCACGACCAGCCGATCCTGCAAGACTGGGCGCTGCAGCTGTTGATCACCCAGCTATACGATACCGCCATGGAGGTATGCGACGTCGCGGTCATGTATCTCGAGGAAGCGGGGTCGGACGCGGCGGCGCTGGAGAAGGTGGTTTCGTACCAGCCTTGTCTGGAGCATTTGGACGATGTGGGCTATCCGCTGTTCATGCGGTAAGCTACAGATTTCCCCAGTATTCCGAACGACGAAGGGTCATGAGCTGATCACGCAGCTTCGTCTCTACCTCGATCGGATTTGCGTATCTGCACCGAGCAAGATATATCGATCAAGAGCTCGAGAACTGGGTGACGGTGAGTCAGGCTTCTGAAGAGAGTCTGTTGTCGACGCTGATCATATAGGAGCGGAACCTTCAATATGTCATCGAAGTCGAGACCTTTGTCACGCGGACCATCCGGCCGTTCACCAGCGACACCGTCGAGGAGTACTGGTAAGCTAGAACACAATTCGCTATTGCGGTGTCCGTATAGCAGCTGACGCATCCAGGCTCACGAGTGGTATGGCGCCTACCCATTTCTTTGGCGAGCTCACCAAGACGCCCGAGGGTTGTCGATATCTGCGCGAAAAGGATCTGGTGGCGGAATTAGCGGAGATCGTTCGGCTGCACGGGATGGAGAGCGTTGATCAGGTCGTGATGACGAATGTCAAGAGCGTTCTCTGGGCCTTGGTAAGTGTCTACATCGTAGAATCCTTGAGACTGGAGCTGATCATTACAGGGTCATCTTGGCTCGAATCCTGGCGGACTGCCCTTCTTGGAGGATGAGGAGATTATCGAGGTGATCATTGAAATTGCTGAGCAGTCTCCTGTCTTGACCATGAAGGGGTGAGCCCCATCTTTTCCTCCATCTTGGGGTCACGCTGATGATCTAGGACCTGCTTCTACGTCCTCGGCCTTATCTCCACTTCTGTCATGGGCGCGGAGATACTGGAAGAGTATGGCTGGGTGTCGACTCGTACGCCTCTGGGCAAACCGACGGGGATTTGCCTCCCCAGCGATATCGCCCGCTTTGCTTTTGTGAGTGTTGAAGTAACGCTCAATCTTCTGCTTGACCGTTATTGATCGGCCAGATTGAGCCATGGACGCGACCATCGGTGTCTACTTCTTTGACGCCGCTACCCAAGCTCGCAGGGCTGGAGGAGGAGATTATGACGTGTATCGCCAAGCTGAGCAACTTTGTTCTCGCCGCAAAAGCCATGAATAACCTCAAGCGGTAAGCCCACCCATAATCGTCCATTTCTAGGTAAAGCTGACCGGTAGTCTCCGTACCCGCCATCCCCGCTACTTCTCCTCCATCACCCTATACCACCGCGCCCTCCGCGTCATCTCGACCAATCACTTCCAAGCTCCTGTCCGGCGTTTCATCATGGACCTGTTCGACCTCAAAATCGAGCCCGAAACGCTCATCCAGCTTCGGCATATCGAGGCCTCCTCATCTACGCTTGGCGGTGGCCGGTCACAGGCGTACCCGGATGGTCCGGCCAGTCCTAGGCCGTCTCCTCTCAGCCCAACAAGGAGGAGTCAGACGATGGGCAGCGTGGACGAGGGGGACGTACATGAGCGGAGGAGAAGAAGCGCGAGTAGTCCTGGGCCGGAACCGCCTGGCAGGGTAGCGAGACTGAGGGGGCTGACGATCTCTGAAGTGAGCTAGCGAGAGGCGGAGCTCTGCACAGGCCGCTGCATGTCGTGCTCCTGCACAGTATGCATATACGCAGCACGGCATCCGAGACTCCAGTAGCACCGAATTGTACACATCGTCCTCCTCCCGCAGAGATCCACTTGTCCCGTCTACAACGCAGACTTGCTCTTGAGCTCTCCCTTGACAGCCTTGCTCATGCTCTCGGCAAAGTACTGTTCGCGTCAGCTCAACAGCCCTTGACAGTTCGGGGCAATTCCTAGCTCACCTGGACGTTGTGGTCATTCAGCCCAGCCATCGAGATCCGCCCATCCTTGGTCAAGTACACGTGCGCGAACTCGGCGAGGTCACCGACCTGCTCTGCCGTCACTTATACCATCAGCTATAATCCTGAACGATGACACGGAAGGGGTAGCTCACTTCCAGTGAAGGAGAACATGCCGATCTGAGACTTGATGTGTCCCCAGTCTCCGGGCGTGTCGAGCTTGACGAGCGCGTCGTACAGGACATCACGCATCTTGATGATTCGCTCCGCCATCATCTTCACTTCCGAGAGCCTAGACGTCAGCCTCGGGCTCGGGCTCAGGTCAGACAGGTAGATATCGGACATACCAAAGTTCGTATAGCTCCGGAGTGCCGAGAATGGTGGCGACCAGCTGAGCGCCGCTACTTCGTCAGCTTTGTCCAAAACCAAGCCTTCGGCATGACGAGAGTGAACATACTGCATGGGAGGGCTCGAGTAGAGGGGCCTGATGACCCTCTTGACCTGACTCAGGACACGGGTCTTCTCCTCGGTTGACGAGCAGACCATCGAGAATGTGCCCGCACGCTCTCCGTACAGACCGAGATTCTTCAGCGTCAGCTTTATCCTTGACAGAGGAGAGCGTGAGAGCTGCAACTGACCTTGGCGAACGACTGGCACAGCAGAATCTGGTGCCCCTTCTCGACGAAGTAGCGGGGAGCAAAGGCGTCACGATTGAGGTCACCCGATGCGAAGCCTTGGTATGCCTGCCAATCAGTTCCTCGATATCAAGCACGTGGGCATCGACTAACCATGTCGAAAAGCGGAAGGTGCTTGCACTCGCTGACGAGCTTCTCGAGCTCGATCCACTGGTCCTTGGTGGGGTCGATCCCGGTGGGATTCTGAGCGCAAGCGTGGAGCAGGATCTACCTGTCAGCTATAGTCTGAGACATCATGGGCATTTTGCACAGCTGTACGCACGATTGAGCCGGACTTCGCTTTCTAGATGTATCAGCTCTGCGCCTTTCATGGGGTTCCAATCTGGACAGCTATGCAACTCACCTTGATGTCCTCCTTCATCCCCTCAAAGTCGAGACCGACCGTCTTCTTGTCAAAGTAGCGGTATCGGACCACCTTCATCCCAGTCTGCTCCACGACTGGCAAGTGGTTTCCCCACGTCGGGTCGGGAAGGTACACCTCCTTGGGGCCCTTGTGGTACTGCGAGAGGAAGGTTGTAGCTATCCTCAGCGCACCGGTCCCTGAGATCGACTGAGCGACAGCGACCTGTTGATCAGCTGGCCTACCCATGCTTGAGTATGTATGTTCCGCTCGAACAATGCTTAGACGGAAACTCACTCGACCCTCCTTCAACGGCTTGCTGTCCTTGCCGTACGCCAACTCCGACGCCAGCCTGATGAAGTCCGCATTCCCCTGGAGGTCAGCTGAAGTCCGAGCTACAGACGTCAGACGCGAGACAGCTAACCTCGATTGGCAGGTATTCCTTGTCATTTCTCTGCTTGTGCAAGATGTCTTCCGCCTTGTGCACAGACTCGAGAACCCATGGCTTGCCATCCTCGTCACGCTGCCTTATCAGCAATCTTGCGCTTCTGATACCAGATTAGCGGACTCACGTATGCGCCTGAACACGATAAGCGGGTCAAAGGAGCGATGCAAGGCCAAAGATAAGGCGATTGAGACAGCAGAAACCGCATTTCCGGAGAGGCGCGGGGGAGTGGGTGACGGGTGGTGCAGACGATTGCAGGCATAGTCGTGAGCGGGGTGACGCATGAGACCATCGAAGAGTAGGTAGTGGAGTCGGAGAAGAGAGAAATCTGTCAGCGGATATCTCACTGCAATGCCCAAGATGTAAGGCTCACCGACACCGAGGTTGACCTTGGATTTGGAAGTGTCCTTCTTGAAGGCATCGGTCACACCTGTGCGTCAGCATTGGCTTGATATGTTCTGCCCAGCTCGACGCAGAGGAGCGGCATACCAAGAATCGGATCAGGAGGTCTGCTCGTCAGCATCATCAGCATCATCAGCCGATATTGATGCAGAGAACAAAACGTACCCCTGAGGCACATCGGTCCAGAAGCTCTGAGCACCTGGTCCATCAGCCTCGCGCTCTTCCCGCTCGATCGCTGGGCTTCGAGACTCACTCATGATAAATGGAGTGGTGAATGGGATGTAGATGAGCTGTGTGTGTCGATGCTGCTGTCTGTCTACGAGCTGTTATAGCAAGATGAAGTATGAATGGTCCGCGTACCTACCGGTTCCTCGCCGCAATAGAGCCGGCGGGCGAGAGGCGTTACGTAAATGTCCGCCACATTCCTCACATTCCTCATCCGGCCTATTTTGGCTCCAACTTCTCTCCTCCTTCGCTTGCCTTTGCCATATCATCGAGCGTGAGAGCAGCGGTAGGACATGGCTTCGTAGACAGGCGGGTCTATGTACAAACTGGCGGCCTGAACGTAAAGGCTGAAGAAGAAACGAGCGTCTCATGGCACGTGACTTACGCACGGACCAAGGATGTTTTCCTGCGCGTCGCGATCAGAGCAAGCGGTGCAAGTCACAAGGGCGTTTCAGGTGTCTATTGCTCTTTCCACTCGCTGAACATCTCCCTTTGACCACCGGTGGCCATAGGGATAGCTTGATCACGACACCGACCTCAACAGAGGCTGTGCTTCGCTCAAAAGGGGGCCTTTCACAGGAGGAGTCATCTCAAAAAACCCGTCACTTGGGTCCAGCACCTCGACTTGACTATCGCCGAGCGACCGTCGCTCTCACACGACACCTCCGAGTGTCTGCATCAGACGGGCACTGGTCGACCATGGCGTCTCTCGCATATCGGTACTCCCGACTCCCACGCGCAACACAGCGGATCCTCCTCTTCATCTCCCTGGGGCTTGGCGCTTTCCTCCTCTTCCAGATATCCCAATCCCCAAGCTCCGGGGTATGGGACGCTTCTTCAGCTGCCGACCGGCGAGCGGACTCCAGTAGCAGCTCCCAACATCATTCAGGCGGACTGGGGCAATGGCTGAAGAAGGCGTTCGGCCGTCCAACAAAGCCTTCATGGCTCCAGGGCACGGACACCATCCCTCCCGCCTACCTCTCACATAGCGGCGGACCCAATCTCTCTCGGCTCAACCGGACAGCCCCACGGAGAACACAACGTGGGGTATCTCGGACCGTCATACCGGGCAGTAATCCCGAACAATACCATACGGCGCGGCTACCAACTATTGAGGAGGCGTTTGCCAAGCTGCACCCGTTGTTGAAGAAGATCAAGGATGAGAATACGGTGGTGCCGAGGGAGCATGAGCTGTGGAGCCCGATCTTCCCGCCTTTCCTCACGAAGGATCAGCAGGATCGGTACCAGCATCTGAGGGCGGTGTGGGATGAGGACAGGAAGGAGTGGAATGAGGTGGAGAGGAGATGGATGATGGTCACTGTGTGTAGGCAGGTAGCTGGTGAGCTTTCGCGTCCTGATGGCACCCAGGAGCTGCTGCGACTGAGCTGATGTCACAGGCATGCTTGCCGACTGGTTCGCCATGTGGACAGTACTGGCTGATTATCTCGGTCCGGAATCGCTGGTCTTCTCCCTTCTGGAGGGCGGATCCGACGATGGCAGGTGCGTGTGACCGACGCATATTCACGATGTAGAGCCCGAAGCTGATTGTCTAGCGGAGAGATCCTATCCGGCGCCATGCGTACGCACCTACTTAACATCGGCGTCCCACCAGCCAACATCCACATCCGCACCCTCCTCCCCCCAATCGACTGGGAAGGGCATCACCGTATCGAGCTCCTGGCGGATATGCGGAACGCCGGTATGAAGCCGTTCTACGACACCATCCCAAGCGGGACCAGCCCAGATGGGAACCCCTGGACTGGCGTCATCTTTTACAATGACGTCTACCTCGGAGCTGGGCATGTCCTTGAGATCATGCACCAGGTGAGTCATCATTCGAGGTAGAAGAGACGTTGCTGATCTTCAGCATATGTCGCAAGAGGCGGATATGACATGCGGATGGGATCATGCTGGTCGGTGGTTCTACGATGGATGGGTCGGAAGGGACATGTCGGGTGATTTGTATACGCCGTTCCCGGTCAAAGAGGAGGACAAGGATCTGCCACAAAAGGTGAGTCCAGTGCCAGTCCCAACTTCCAGCGATATCTCTCCAAGCCTAAACAATGACCGCTGACCCATAGCTCTTCATCTCCTCGCCGGCCACCAGGGAGCGTCACAACCGTATCCTTCCCTACCAAGTCTTTGCCGGCTGGAACGGTATTGCCCTTATGCGTCCCGACCCCTTCTATCCTCCTTACAACGTCCGATTCCGGCGCGGCAAACCCACCGGTCTCCCCTCCGACTACAACACCAACGAGATCCTCAAGGACGAATACGAGTGCCAGGCGTCCGAGTCGTCCTTCATCAGCTGGGATTTCTGGAAGTACGGCTTTGGGCGGATCGCGGTGGTGCCTGGAGTACATGCCTGTTATGGCAAGGACGATGCGAGAATACGGGGCTGGGTGGAGTATCCTGAATTAGAGGACGAGAAGATGGGCTATTCGGAGAAAATCGCGTGGGATGATGAGTGAGCTCTCGTTGGTCTCGCCAGGAATGCAGGAGCTGACGAGTTGCAGGCCACCAAGAAGGGTCAGATGTCACGATTGGCCAGATAAGCCAGGGAAGGGTAGGTCTGGCATCTTCTTGGGAGAATCAGGCACGGCTGACACCTATAGGCTACTGGGCTTGGGATACCGTCAGATGGGTGGAACCACCAGCACTGGTCATACCCGCGGGCGCAGACGGTCAACCACATCCACCAGAAATAGTTGATGCGAATATCACCAAATCCGCCTTGGTGGAGGATTTCCCAGAGATGGAAATGGAGAGGCGGAGATGAGAGGGTGCATTTTCTTGTCGGGCTTGGTACTAGCGCAGCATAGATGTCTGTATCAGCATGAATCTGCAGGTATTGCGGATAGACCTTGCCGGGCCGTAATCCGTATCCACCAAGTCAGCAGGGAGTGAGCAAGAGCGAGAATCCTCAGACAAGGAGCTTGCGGATAGTCCTTTTATGATGCTAGCGTGCGTAACATTCGATGTTTACCATACATTTGCTTCAACCCGCTATACAGCACGACCCCGATTCTTTCGTTGCGTTTTTGCTCTTCCTCTCCCCTGGTGCTCATCGTACTGCCGGCTCTCGCGGCGTCTGGTGCCAGACGTCTTCAACTCATCGCGGATGGTTGGTCCTCACAAGCTGTCCAGCGTCAGCTATCTCCACCAATGATTCCCAATATAGCTTGATAGGCTCAGGACTCACGTCAACATCTGCAATCCCTCAAGGAAGGACTTGACGAGCCCGACCAGTGTCTCCTGGTTGGCGTTCTCGGCGCCTTCGATGATCATGATGAGGGTGGCTGTGCGAGCGGCAATGAAGGTCTGAGGTATCAGCTCATCCTCCTAGCAGATTACGCCTCGGACAGTCTCCGTCAAGGTCAAGGCCATTCCAGATCTCCTGAGAGAGGATGGAACGACAGTTGACTCACCCTTCCATCCTTCTCAGCAAGCATCATATCCCCATCTCCGTTCTTGACATCCGCCTTGCCCTCGTTGCCCAGCGTGATGTGCTTTGGGGGAGTACCGGCTCCGCCTGCTGCGGTGGGATCGTCGACGCGGGAGTAAGTGAGGAGACCGTCGAAGATCTGAATAGTCAGCTCAACATCCTAATGCTACTTCCCCGTGACCGTTGCCCCTGGCCCCAATGTCAAGCCTGTCCGTAACGGCCTGGTCCATCTCAACGCGCCGATTCATTGCCCTCCGCTCGAGCGCCCCAGCTTCCTGGGTAAGAGCTCACCTTCCGGACATCCTCGGCTCCAAGATCAAACTTCCCGCCCTTCCCGCCCGCGGCGACACACTCAAAGTCATCGTGGTCATACAGCGCACCCCGGGCGACCTGGTCCGAGCTCAACAGGCGGTTCTGGAGCAGCTGTTCGGGATCGCCATTGTCCCCGCGGGTCTTGAGCTGCGCGACGGTCGCGTGCTCCTCGGTTGGCTCTTTGTGGCCGGATGAGCGGAGGGGGCCGGTGTTCTGTCTAGTCAGCTAGAGCGGGACTGGCACAAGCTGGAACGAGGGGAAGACGAACGAGATTCTGAGTAGTCATATCTGGAGCTGGATGTGGAGCTGTAATGCGTTTAGGTTAGTGATGTGAGTACAGTATGTGTAGTGTACTAGGATGTGGTAGCTGTTTGTATGACTTCTACCCTCCTCCCTTGACGTCACCCCTTGACTATGAGACATGCTATGATCGATGATGATGGTGGTGAACCTCACAGCGCGCGCGAGATCGAGCGGAAGCCGCGATCACAACAGCGCCATGTCAGTCGTGGGAAAGTGGCGGGCTACTAATGACACGCGACTGATTTTGGTTGGACAACTAGTCACCGCATGCAGCTTGACTATCGCATGACCATGACTACCTCACAAAACAAATGCTCTGGGCCGAGAGCCCGCCGCAGAGACGAGGAGATATGCCGGTCGATCGAACAGATCTGAAACACATCAACACCAATGTGTATACTTGCTCCCGCGAGCCAAACATTTGCCACCCTACCCCCTCATCGCCTCGACCCGCCCCGTCCCAGGAGAGAGCCACATACGATATTCCCGGGAACACCGTAAGTCGCGCAGCTGGACATCGCACCCTCGACTCCGCCACCCTACTAAGCATCAGACGCAAGCTTCCAGGCATGTTAGGACACATGCTTGTCGAACTCGCAATAGCCTTAATAATGTAAAGAGCATACGAGGGTTGTACCTGCGCTACTTGAGCGGGTCCTGTGAGCTGCCAGGCTTAACAGGATTCGGCCTGGCCTCCAGTAGTGTGGGGAACAGAGAAGTATGATACGGGTCATTGCGAATGCGTCACTATCTTTTTGCCGGGTTGTGGATTTACAACGTGGACGGACCAAACACTTATAGCGTATGACAAAATGTATGTACCGACTATAGTGGGACAGTGGAGATACCTTACGTTAGCTGAAGTCAAGCAGTGACTCTGCTCTTCCAGGCGCTGCAGCTAGGTGGAGTGCTTGACTGACAAGCTCCCCTAGTGGAGCGAAGATCTAAGATTTATGTCCATCTGTTATCGCCCTCCTCATCGCGCGCGAGACGCTAGCAAAGCCGATCCAGAAGCTGGGGAGACTCGCCGGGCACAATGCCCGCTCTGTATCCCCCCCGCAGAAGTTTTCGGACCGGTAACAACAGCTCGCGAGCAGTCTGCGCTTGCATTGCATGAGCTACATGAGATAGCTTCGTGATCGCATTCGGGACTATCCGATTAGGTCGTCCAACTCAGGTGGCTCTTCGGTTGCTACACAAATCAGCCAGCTCTTCTCATCGGCAGGCTCGCCACGCACACACTGTCTCGATGTGGATGCTATAAAATACCAGACGGCCAGAGCGGCCAGGGTGGCGAATCGGAATGCCAAGAGGCTCGCCGAGCTCATCCCGCCCCTTCCACCTGGCACCATCGGTAAGTTCCCCCTCTTCCATCGCCGCTGGTCGGAGGCACATACACCATCTTCTCCCAGATACTCAAGCTGTGCGCGGCACTCTGACACTCCCTCGCCTAAACACACACCTTCCGGTCCGCCTTCATCGACGCGCGACGAGCCACAACACATTCCTCATGCCGTCATTTGCCCAAACGCTGCGCGGCGGGGGGCGACGGGCTTGCTGGAAAGTTGAGATGATGAGATGGAGTCATATCCATCCACCCAAGGCATACCGCATTACTTCGGACGCTCATTTATAATCGCTGCTTCAGATACGCTCTGCTGGACTCTAGGTTCCAGATCGCCTAGCGGGATGAACCGGACCACTCCACGACAGAACGGCGTGTTGTCGCCCCCTCCTCTTCTGAGTATGGGCTCGGGCACGAGCTCCCCGGCTCGCCCCAAGTTCCCAGTAGATCATCTCAGACCCTACTTGAAGACCGTACGTATCCCATTACGGATGCAATCAGCTCGCGCATGTCTTGATGCTAATAGTCTAGCTGCTCAGCAAAAGCTTAACAGGTTAGCAACCTCTACCCCTTCCGACCGCCGCGACTTTGGGCTGATCAGCTCAGGAGTTACATGGGATCCGTCAGATAAGAGGAAGATGGCTACACTGAGCAAAGAGATATCAGAGGTGCGTTCAACCCCTCAAGACCAAGGCCGCTGTCTCCCCTCTTCCGCGAGGACGTCTATTGACTCTGGGCAGAGGGCGAAGCAAAAGATGCTCGAGATTGAGCCAAAGGGCTTCAAGTATATAGTCACGACGACCCTTTCGGAGAATCGAGGACAGGCAGGAAGGTGAGCTCAGCGCAGGGTCGGAACTCCCCCATGAATACGGGCGCTGGCTGACCTGTCCAGAGCGGATATGTCATGTCATTGGGAAGAGTCAGATACGGTCGTACAGGAGATGTACAGCAATGTGAGTCTATCTGGAGTACCGACCGGCTCGTACGACATGATCCGACTGTTGCTGACTAGCAGGAATCGATCATATTTGTTTGCGTAGCATTTGCGGTACGCGTTGTATGATACAGCACGAGCTTTCCGGACACCGCCCTATCGCCTCGCCCGGTTACCCCGCGCGACCGTCCACGTAATATCACCAAGCAGGGCGGACGGCTTGCAGCTTGCAGGCTCGCAAGCCTGTTCGGATCAAGAGCATGCGGAGTATATAATGGACAGATGTATCGAAAGCATGCCATGGTTGTCCACTAATACCGGGAGTACTGGCAGGGATCCCCTAGCCCGGTCGACAATCGCAAACAGAGCAAGCCAGATACATATACCCAAGATCACTAAATATCAACGTCTCACTTTCTAGCTCGTACCCGACAACCAAACAACCTCCCAGACCTAATCCGCCAATCTCCTGATAGTCCTCTTTTCCCTCTCCCCAACAACCTTCACCACCCCCTCCTCCGTCATCGCCTTGACCACCGCCGCAAACTCCGCATGGTCCGTCGGGATCGAGCTCTGATTATCCAGCGCCTTGATCGCCGCGACCCACTTGAGACCCGTCCGTCCGGCGGCATCAACGAGCGTGAGGATCTCGCGCTTGAGATCGGCATGTTGACGCCGCTTGGACGTGCCCGCGCCGGTATTGATGAGATCGAGGTCGATCTGACCGGTAAGGGGGTCGGTCTTTCGGTCAGTAAACAATCTATGACACGAGTAGCTTGATCAAGAGCAACTTACAGCACTCTCCCTCAATGCTGAGCGAATCAATCTTCCGGCCTCCACTACATCCTCCAGGTCCACCGTCTCGCTGAATCGCATCCGAGCGTGCGCTTCTGACAGCCTGATCATAGACTCCAACTGACGAGTGGTGGCTGTGATCCGCTTTTCTTGTGTACGCGAGTCGGTGCCCAGCTTCCGCATCTCGACGTAGGCGTTGACGAGCGCGTCGGATGCTTCTTCCGTAAGGGTGGGGGTGATCTTGGCGCGGGCGTAGGTGATGAAGGCGGTCAAAGTCTCGAGGGGCTGGATCATTAGCTTGCGCCTCTTCAATTGCGGCAGGATGACTCACAACAAGATCCAAACCAGCAGTATCAGGCCGGTCTTCCAGGTACAGACCAACCAAATGCTTCGCGAGGCGCCGGTCATTCATCTCGTCCACCTTGTCGAGGACGAGGTAGAGCAGATCAAATCGAGAGATGAGGGTAGGAGGGAGGTCGATATTGGCCGGGATGGGGAGTTTCGGGTCATATCGCGAATTGATAGGGTTGGCGGCGGCCAGAATGGATGTTCGGGCGTTCAAGGTGGTGATAATGCCTGCTTTGGCGATGGAGACGGTCTGCTGTTCCTGACTGAGTCAGCCGGCAGTTTCGTGAAAGCTGGACAGAACTCACCATGACTTCGTGTAAGACTGAACGGGTCGCATCGGACATCTTGTCAAACTCGTCGATACAGCAGACACCTCCATCTGAGAGGACCAAGGCTCCACTGAGCGAGTCAGCTTATTGCCCGACCATGAGCAAGGTTTAAGTCACCTTTCCAGGACGAGCTGCTTCGAGTCTGGGTCTCGGGTGACATAGGCAGTCAGACCGACAGCAGATGATCCCTTTCCAGAGGTGTAGATACCACGAGGAGCGATCTTATGAACATACTGAAGGTATCAGCTCCTATACTCAAAGGCCTAATGCTAGACTCACCTGCAGAATCTGAGACTTGGCGGTACCCGGATCTCCCACCATCAAGATATTAATGTCTCCTCTGTACCTCGGTCCTCCACCTCCACCTCCCTTCGCGATGCTCTTGTTCGTGCCGCCAAACAGCTGGAGCAAGATCCCCTTCTTCACATCCTCCAGCTCCCAGATACTCGGCGCGAGCGATCTCGCCAGGATCTCATACACATCGGGATGCTGAGACAGCTCGAGGAGCTTGGCCTCCATCTCCCTGGACGCGGACCATGCCTGGTCAAAGCCATCATCGTCGTCGTCAGGCCCTGCGGCATGCGCGAGGGACTCGTCCTCGTCGTCCTCTCCTCCGACGCCGATACCGGGCGCGCGCTCGCCTGAGCGGGTAGACGGATCGTAGCCCATCCGAGCGACGTTGGTCCGCTTGACATGGACGACATCGAGATATGTCTTGAACAACGATTTGATGGACCGCATCCGAGGGTTGACGCGGACGGGGATGGAACGGAAGATACCGGTGATGACGACCCGGTCTCCGGGCTTGACGAGGTCGACCAGCTCGTCGTACACGCAGAGCGAGACAGTATGGGGTGTTTGTCCATCCGGTACCGCATCGGGCGTCTCCTGTAGCCGGATGACCTGCTTGTCGGTAAAGTCGCACCGGTTGTGGATGAGGGACATGGTGCCCTTGGACTCGCACACGTCGCGAGGACATCGCTCGGGCTCGGTAATCTTGCCGCGATCAACCTCGGACTGGACAGTGTGTTGGCAGACTAGGCAGCGGAAAAAGGCTGTGGGATAAGCTAGGCTCACCGCATTAGGAGCCGCAGAGCTTACCAGATGTCATGTCAGGAATGACGGGAGTTGCACGAATGACCAGACCCTTGATTGTGACCAACTTGTCGGTATCTGCAGAGTCAGCCAAGTCCTTTGAAGCAGTCACCAAGACCTACCTCCAGGGTTGAGATCTCGCATGTTGACAGTCCGCTCGCCAGCAAACGGCCTGACTTTGAATACCCTCCCCTCTACATCCTTCAAATCGTCCTCCATCTGCCTCAGCTCCAGCTCGCTAAGCGACCCCTCGGCATACTGGTTCTGGGCATTCTCCAGATCCTCATCCACCGTCTCGATCATGACGTCCCGCAGGACCTGATCCATGATCGGTACCACTTCCTGCGGGTAGTTGACGAGCTGGTTGTAGAGCCGCTTGGTAGGTGGGAAAGCGATGAGGTTAATAGCGTCGAGGTTGAGATTGGTCTGACCAGTCTGCCGGAGCTGGTGCAGGTAGGTCTGGTACAGCGCGACCTCTGCCCGCTGGGGAGTGACGATGTCGTACAGCGCCACGGTAGGGGGCGCGAGTCCGCCGGCTTCGATAGTCGACCGTGCTTGGTCCGCGTTGTACTTGGTCCGATACTTGATTTTGAAGTCCCGGAGGAACGCCCGGAAGTCATTCATCGCCTCTTGGAGGGAAATGGTCGTACCCCAAATGTACTTGACGATCCCCTCTTCGTCGTCGCCGTTGTTGTCACCGGACTGGGCGGCTTGCGAGAGGGTCAAACCGGATATGGACCGGGCCTGGGATGGCGGATCACCGCGAGGGGTCCGACCACCATCCATTCCGTCGTCATCACCGTTGTCCGAGTTGCCATCGAAGCCGCGATTGGTAGGAGGGCGGGCGGCTCGACGAGCGAGGGAAGGTGAAGACATGGGGAAGGACGAGTGGATATCGCCTCTTCGGTTTCGCCGGGGTGTCGAGCCGCCGGATCTGGCTGATCAGCTACGATACTGTGAGAGGTTGTATAGGCCTGCTTACGCTGGGAAGAACAGGGGTGTACCATCCCTTCGAGCCCGCCCGCTCATCCTCTGTGCGCTTCGTTCAATCGCCGCATCGCTGGATGGGGGCACGCTGAGGTTGGACCTGCCAACCGGCGCTCGGGCCTGCGCACCAGATCCTCTCGGCGAGGATGACGGAAAGTTCAGAGGTGATGAGGATGCAGCAGCTAGGTGACATCAGCTGAGTGCCCGCTCTGCGCTTTGCAGGAGGACATACGTGGATTGCCATTCCGCTGAGCTCGAGGTGTACCTGCCGCGGACGAGCTGGGGAAGTTGAGGGGAGACGAGGAGCGAGGAGGAGCTCCTGAGCCGTTGGCTGTCGACATGGCGCTGTATAGGCTGTATGGACCTTATCGATAATGCAGTCGAAGGTGAAGCAGAAATGAGAGAGCGGTTCAGACGCGTTGACAAGAGACGCGCGACGCGTCCAGATTCAGGGTTGACTTTTTGATCCCGCTCACCAGGCATGGAGTTCAGGTGATCCCCGTCTGGGCGGTGATCTCGGTGTTCGCCGCCCGACCTCCCTCCAGCTGGTGGTGACGGTTGCGCGTTCAAGCATTCCTTATCGATCTTAATAGCTCCAACCCTCTCACTATACCTCATATACCCACCACTATGCCAGTCGCTACCGCCACAACATCAGCAGGTGAGCCGAGTATCCTAGCCAATAGGCAGCAGAAGAGGGAAGGGAGCTGATCGATTAGCTGGATCATTGGCGCTCCTCCAAGACGAGGATCAGCATGTACGAGTCTACGCTCTCCAGCACTTGCTTAGTATCGTCCCTCAATTCTGGGCGGAAATATCAGATCAGATAGGATACCTGTGAGCTAACAGCTCTATCTCTACAGTAGACGTCCGAGCAGAGCTGACTTGCACAGGGAAACGCTGTCAGAACCCTTGAACAAGGAGATTCCTGCCGATGCTGCACCTTATGCTGCCCTTCTCACCGCCAAGGTCTACTACTTCATTGGCGAGCTCGATGAGGCTGTGAGCTTCGCATTGAAGGCTGGACCAGCGTTCGAGGCGGAAGCGGATGGAGAGTTCAAGCAGACCATTATTGGTAAGTGACACCTTCTCATCGCTCCCAGAGGCGCTTTCTCACCCTTCAGCCGGCTGTCTCGACCGGGCCATCGCTCTGAAGCTGAAAGAGCCGTCAAAACAGCTCGATGCGGAGACTATGGCGGTCGTTGACGGTGTGATGAAGAACAGCAAGGGCGAAAATTCGAAGCTTGTGAGTCTGCCCATTCCTCATCACGAATAATTGCTGACTGTCAGGCTATGGGTCTTGCCCTCGCTCTGCAAAGACTAGACCTCATCGAGATGCTGTATGAGTCCTCCGCTTCGTCGCCCCAAGCATCATCATCAGCTGCAAAGGGACCGGACGAATCTTTGCTGCGGTATGTGCTCAATGAGGCGGTAGGCGGAGCTAGCGGGAACGAAGCATGGACACCAGAGTTCAGGCAGAGCGTAAATCATATCCCTTATAGACGACTGGAGCGGATGAGCTGACATATCAGCTCCTCCAACTCCTTTTCACCCTGTTCTCGAAGAATACCATCAGCACCGACTGGTCCTCCATCACCACTCTCTGGATTCAGTCCAATAACGCCCAATCATGCGGCGCTCAGCTTGTCAAGATGCTGAATGACGAGAATTTGCCTGAGGCATACCAGATCGGTTTTGACCTCGCCGAGGCGGGATCTCAGGCATTCGTTTTGGCAGTAAGGAACGAGATTCAGACGGCAGGCGCGGGACCAGAAGAGGGCATGGTGAGTGATGAGAAGTCTTGGATCGACAGTAGCTGACAGACAGGACGCAACACACCCTCAACGTGTTCTCGACGACATCCTTCTTGGCGAGCGCTCTGCCGAGTTCGTTGTCAACTTCTTGTCGAAAGACAACAAGACCGACCAGGCCATCCTCAAAGTCACCAAAGACTCGCTCGAGGACCGATACTCCATCTACCACTCCGCCATCACCTTCACCAACGCATTCGCCAACTGCGGTACCACGTCCGACAAGTTCCTCCGGGAGAACCTCGACTGGCTTGGACGCGCCAACAACTGGGCCAAGTTCTCGGCGACTGCTGCGCTGGGTCTTATACATCGGGGAAGCTGGGTCAATGGTGTCAAGGTCGTCAGGCCATACTTGCCCGGTGGATCTGCACCGAACAAGTTCTCGGAGGGAGGAGCATTGTTCGCGTTGGGTCTGATCTATGCGGGACGGAAGGGCAAGGCGGAGGAGGACCTGCGGAAGTCGTTGGCGGAGGGGAACGACCCGGTTATCCAGCACGGTGCCGCTCTGGGTCTGGGTGTCAGTGCTCTGGCCACTGCAGATGAGGGTGAGTTGACATGAGCTCTATCGCCCAAAGTGCACAAGCTGACACAATAGACATCTACGAAGAGATCAGGACCGCCCTTTTCCAGGACAATGCTACTGCCGGCGAAGCATCCGGATACGCCATGGGTCTCGTCATGCTGGGCACGGCGAGCGAGAAGGCGTTTGACGAAATGGCCAGCTACGCCCGTGAAACTCAGCACGAAAAGATCATTCGGAGTTTGGCAATGGGTATCGCTTTCTTGTACTATGGTCAGCGCGAGGCCGCGGATACTGTTATTGACCGGTTAAGCCAGGAGAAGGTCAGTTTCCAGCTTCAATCCTCGGTAGCGCCAATCTGACTTCTTCAGGACTCGATCATGCGGTACGGTGGCATGTTCACCATCGCTCTGGCCTACGCCGGAACCGGGAACAACAAGGCTGTGCGCAAACTCCTCCACGTCGCCGTCTCGGATGTCAACGACGATGTCCGACGAGCAGCGGTCACGGCTCTCGGATTCGTCATGTTCCGCAACCATACCCAGGTGCCACGAGTCGTCCAGCTGCTGGCGGAGAGCTACAATCCGCATGTTCGTCACGGAGCGACATTCGCTTTGGGTATCAGCTGTGCGGGTACAGGTCTCGAGGTGAGCCCTTTTAAATCAAGGCAGGAGCAGTAAGCTGATTATCAGGCTGCTATCGACCTCCTCGAGCCAATGACCGACGACCCGGTCGACTTTGTCCGACAAGGTGCCTACATCTCCCTCGCCATGATCCTCATTCAGCAAAACGAATCCCAATCCCCCAAGGTCAACCAGATCCGAGACCTCCTCGCCAAGGTCGTCAGCGACAAGCACGAGGACCCTATGGCTCGCTTCGGTGCCTCGCTCGCGCAAGGCATCATCGACGCCGGCGGCCGGAACATGACCATCTCCCTCTCCACCCGGGCCGGCACGCTTAACATGGGCGCCATCGTCGGTCTCACCATGTTTGTCCAGTTCTGGTACTGGTTCCCGCTCGCCCACTGCTTGGGTCTTGCCTTCAGCCCCACAGTCGTTGTTGCGGTAGACGAGGAGCTGAGGATACCAAAGGTGGACCTTACTTGCCACGGACGCCAGTCTGCGCTGGGGTACCCGGTCAGGGAGAAGAAGGAGAAGGGAGAGGTCAAGGGGAAGCAGAAGGCGGCGGTGCTGAGTACGACCGTGCGGGCCAAGGCGAGGGAGAAGAGGAAGAAGGAGGAAGAGGGCGATGGCATGGACGTGGTAAGTCTCTTATTGCGATATCGGAATGAGCTATGCTGATGATTAGGACGAAACACCAGCCGCCACACCCGCGGCTGCCCCTGCTCCCGCACCCGCCGCTGCCTCCGCCGCCAAAAAGGAGCGGAAACCCGCAGAATCCGCTACCTTCTCCGTCCCTAACTTGTCTCGCATGACACCCCTGCAGGCACCTCTCCTCTCCTTCCCTGAAGGCCGATACACCCCCGTCCGACCTATCGGTGATGCTTCCCTCACCTCCGCTTCCGCCGACAAAGCAGCACCTGCTGCCCCTGCGCGGCGTCAACCCGTCCAGCGATACGTTGGCGGCAGTATCGTGCTTTTGAGGGATAGCAAGAAGGGCGAGTCGGGCGAGTTTGTCGAGCTGGACAAGGCGCTGTGGCCGGAAGATGTCCCGGCACACGCAGAGGCGCCCGCTGGGACCGCTGGGGCAGTGGATGCTGCTGGGGATGCCGTGATGGGTGATGAGGAGGAAGGGGAGGCGGAAATGCCCGAGCCATTCGAATATCCATTTGACGACTAGGTGCTATGGGCGATTCTAGAGTGAGGAGGAAAACAAGGTATCATGCACGAAGTGAAGCTCCCCACGGCCAAGCGACATAGTATACAAGTACTAACCTGATTATACACTAATCTACGATGCCATCTAATCATCTATCTAGTCTGTAACAAGAATCCCTTCCCCTCTCTGACAGAAAACAACCAGATCCAACCATTCCCGCCCTTCTCCCCTTCCCCGCTCGACCCACCTCCCGCACCTCCAGCTCCTGTGCTGCTGTTGAGCCCGCCGCCTGCTCCTCCAGTACCCACACCGCCCCCTGCTCCGCCTGAGCCCGCCGATCCAGTCACCGCATCCTTAACGGCCGTCCTTACTGTATCGGCGTACTTCCGCTCCGAGGCCCTGAGCTCCGCCAGAATGCCTCGCCACTGCTCGTCATCCTGTACCCAAGCGGTCGAGACGGTCAGGCGAGAGATGAGCGCAGGCTCGAGGTCGATGGCGATGACGGGCAAATGTGTCCCTACGCGGGTCGCAAACTCCTCGGCCTTCTCATAGTAGATTGACTGCGTCATGAGCTATTTCCCTCGCAGCAGCACAGAGATCAGCTTACCTTGGTTGTGTGCCGATGTTTTCGGACAGGCCGTCCCTTTGTATTCTTCGCAGAGTTCGGTTCCGGCGGCAAGACGAGCTTGATCTCCGTCTCACCGGCTTTTTGATCGCCCGACGAAGGCACAGAGTAGGCCGTACCGCCGGTCTGATCGACCGAGGCGTAGCTGGCATCGATACGGCGTTGCTCGCTGACCTTCTCGCGGAGGTAGGACACCAGCTCATTACGAGGGACTAGCCTGTCAGCTGCGTCCACGAACAGGCTATGGCCAATTTACAAGAAGCACTCACCGTCCTGTTCCGCCCCCTTCTTCAGGATAGGTCGGACTTTCACGGCCTGTCTGTTGGGGCGCGGTACAAGTAGGAACCTAGGCGTGTGAGCTCGCCTCTTCGATCGACAGTCGGACTACTATCGCTTACAGGGTGTTCTGGTCAAGACACTCCCGCTCGACCTCGATCTGACTCCTGTCATCATCGTACTGCATGTCCGCCCCGATACCAGCTCGCCACAACTCCCCGGTCAACGCCATTCGCCCCGACAGGTCCAACCCCGCAGCCACAACGTACACATCGCACCTCGCCGGCGTCCAGAACCCAAAGGACCGCTCCATCTCCGCCTCCTTGTTCATCAGGCGCGCCGATAGCGCCGACTCGTACTTTTTGACCGTCCGAGCGAGGACGTCGGTCGAGAGTGACATGCCCACGCCAAAGACCTGGCGAGCGGGAAAGTCCTTGGCTGGGTCTTTGAAGTGAGATAGGAGGGTGTCGTATCGCCCACCGTACGCCAGGATGTCGCGCGACTTGCCGCGGCGGACACATTCGAACATGAATCCGCCGCGGAAGTAGTCGGCATGGCGGGACATGGTAGGCCGGAACAGGATGCGCCGGGAGACGCCCGCGGCCTTAGCGAGTTGGAGGACGGTCTCGAGCTCCTCGAGCGCGGGAGCCAGACGACGGCGGGACGAAGCGGACGTGAAGATGTTCTCGAGCTTGGCACGTACGACGTGCACCTCGTCGACGAGGCAGCACTGGTCGATTTCGTCTAGCAGGGTCTTGGGAATACCGGCCAGCCCGCTGAGCTTGGCTTTGGACTCCTTGGTCCAGGCTGACCCAGAGTCCCAGAACAGCTGCGCGACGTCCCCTCGCTGCTTCTCGGGTACCGCACCCAGCATGGTAGCAAGCACGCCTTCATGGCTGACGTGCAGGTCGTACTCGGCAAAAGCTGACGTCTTACCGTCTTTAAACTCCGCCAGGACCTTGTCAATAAGGTCCAGCAACTCCGCCTCGGCCGCAGGTGAGCGGATAGGGGAGATGATGTCGAAGCTCAGCTCCCCATGGACGGTGGGCTGACCCTCAAACTCCGCCACGTACCGCTCACCGATGTGATACCGCTTGATCCGCTCGATCTGCCGACGAGTGGCGTTCCGCGCCATACCGAGGAGGTTCGACACGGGGAGGCGAGTGAGTTTCCCGCTTGCGTCTAGCATTTTGGCAGGTTTCCCGGGCGGCCGGAAGGCACTGAGGAGGGTGGTGTCCGGTATCAAGAGGGGTAGATGGGTCTCAACGGCTCCATGGCGCTGGAATAGCTGGACGAGGCGCTGCTGGACCACCGTGATCCAGACCTGGAGGTCGTCGTCGTGCGGATTGTCGTACGTATAGTCGTCGAGCCGATTGTCCGCCGCGGTCGAGTATGTACGACGCTCCGGGTCAAAGAGCGCGGTGACGAGCTGCGGATAGTAGGAGGATGCAGGATTGGACACCTCTGTGATGGCCTCGTCGTACTTCTGCTGATCCCGTTCCGGATTTGGGAGGAGCGGGTCCCGAAGAAGCTGCCCCGCAGTTGGCCGCATCGCCGGATCATGCTGCAACAGCATCGTCACGATCTTCTTTTGGTCCGCCTTCTCCACCCATGTCGGGGGAAAGGTGACGCTCGGCAGCCGGATGGCAGTGAGAATCTGCGCCCGCTCCATCTGGGTATCGAAATGAAAGCACATTTCGAAAAAGATGACTCCCAGCGAGTACATGTCTGCCTTCTCGTCGTATGACCGAGAGACCGCCACCTCGGGAGCGATGTATAGGCCCGTACCAATGTTCGATGTCCGGTCCAGCTCGACCCCAGGGATGCCGGGGTCAAGACTGCCAATGTGCCCGGGGTCGACCGCCGTCATGTCCGTGGTGGAAAGACCAAAGTCGGCGATCTTGACCTGATTATGCGAGTTGATGAGGATATTACCCGGTTTGAGATCCCGATGCACCACCTTGATGCTCGCCAGATGCGCGAGAGCCTCCAGGATCTGCTTAAGCAGGGTCCATCCCTCCTCCTCCGTGATTCCGGCTGTGATCAACTCCCGCAGAGTCTGCTTCTCGACGTACTCCATCGCGATGTAGAGGATCGTCTTGACGACGTGAGCCTCGGACGTGGTATCCGTCACCGACATGGACGGCTTTGGCGGGATATTGGACCGCGCAACCGTACGACCACGCGGGCGAGATGAGGGGTCCGGTATTGTCCCGTCCGAGTCCGCGTCCGAGTCGCTGCTTTCATCGTCGTCCACCTCCTCATCCTCGTCTTCGTTAGAATTGGCAAAGCGTACCGAGGGGAAAGAAGCGCTCTGTGACCGTTCCGGCCGAGAGAAAGACATGTCGTTGATATCGAACTTAAACATCGCCTCATCATCCGTTCCGGGCGTCTCGGTTTCAGCCGACTCGGCGCCCGATTCCGATTCCTCATCCACCTCGGGCGGCGGCTGTACGTCCTCCAGCCAGCAGGTAAAGTACCGGACGATATGCTGGTGGTTGACCCCCGACATGTTCTGCACCTCCCGATACACCCTCTGCTCGTCATCCCCTTGACGCAGCTTGACCTTCTTGATCGCGTAGACCCGTGAGTCCAGCTTGTTCCGCGCCTTGACCACCTCGCCGAATCCGCCCTTCCCGAGGAACTCAACTTCGACAAAGTCTTCCCGGTACCGCGATTGGCGAGGAGCGGTGGACTGGGAGAAGTACGAGCCCGGCCGAAGAAAGTTTGGGGATGTACCTAGGATATCGCTGGGACTGTGCATTGCGCCGGTAGATGAGGTGGATCTGCCGAGAACCGTCAAGCTGGGCCCGCCCGGTTGCTTCAGCCGACTGATGGCGTCCTCCGCCGACAGCCGCTTTTTGGGATTCGCGTGCATCATGGCTGACAGCAAGTCGATCGTGGGGTCCGACAGTGTCGAGTGCTGCAAGAGAACGTCGAGCCGGGGGTACACCGCCAGGCATTGCTGCCCAAAGACGAGTTGGAGGAAGAGGAGGGCAGCGAGCCAAATGTCCCGCTTCGGAATATAGTCGTGCGGCGCTTCCAGCTCGTCTGGGCTCTTCCATGACTCGGGGATGGGGTCGGTATAACTTTTAAGGAAGGGATTGGAGAGGTGCAGATCGCCGATGCGCCGTGCGAAGGATGTACCGGCGATTTTGATGGTCTGCGCCCCGGGTCCGCTGGCACAAAGTAGGACGTTGTCCGGATTGATCTGCTTTTGTGTAGCTTTGTTCCGGTGGATCTCGGCGAGTCCATCGAGTAGATGCGAGAGGTAGACCCGGGCTGTGGTCTCCCCAAATCCCTCCTTTGGCAACCACTCCCTAAGCCTTCCGCCATCCCCAACCTGCTCCGTCATGATCATGAGCCGCTCCCATCCTTTCGGGCTCTTCCCCCGCTTGACCGCCAAGATGGGGACGACATTCTCGCAGCGGACGCTCCGCAGCCGCGAGATCTCATTCGCGAGCGCATCGATCTTCTTCGTCCCCTGGCTGACCGTCTCGTCCGCTTTTGTCGAGTAGTACGAGCTGGCAAAGTCGACGACGTGGACCGAGACTGTAGGGAGCGTTGCCCGGATGAAGGACGAAGAGCCGGAACCCGAGGCGACGTTTGGCTCCGCCGAGTATGTGGTCCACATTTCCTCCTTTTTCCCGCCAAACAGCACCCAGGTCCTCCAGCTCCCCTGATACCCCTCGACCTGTACCTCCTCATCCATTGCCAAGATCCGGCTCTCCAGCTCTCCATCCCCGACTCCTGCCAGGATCTCTCGCTTCCTCTTGGCGTCCGCCTCCTGTTCCGCCTGTTTGACACGCTGCGTCTTTCGAGTCGCATCCAGTTGGATCTGCTCCGAGAGTTGACGCTGTTCCGCCGCAGCGACGGCTTCGAACTCTTTGCGCTCGGCCTCTAGGCGTTCCTGCTCAGCCTGTATGATCAGCTCGTACTTTCAGGCGACCCAGCAATTTGAGGAGCACTGACATCTCGCTGGGCCTGCTCCCGCTGTGCCTTCTGCTCCATCAGATTCAGCACGCCCTCCAGGGATTCCGGTAGTTTGAGGTGGTTCTCGCTCATCCAGTCTCGGCAACACTCTATCACCTGACGAGTCAGCTGATGCGGTATTCCGGTTGTTCCCTATCAAACTGCGACTCACCTCGTACACCATCGCTTCTCCAATCTTTGCTTTCGCCTTGCTCTGTAGCACATGGTGGAGCTGCTTGACATGCTCAGGCGATAGGTTTCGAGGCGATGCCAGTGTTATCTGAACGGGATGCTTTGGATAGCCCTGGGGGGGTCAGCCTGCACTGCAGGCCGGCGTCTCATAGTGGAGGGGCTCTCACCTTGGGATACACCCCTTTGATGACTACGCCTACGGACGGCAGATCAGGCACACTGACATCAATGTCGAACGTCCCTTCGTCGACAAGCGTTCCCCATGCTGATTTGGCTGGGGGGTGGAAATGCCACTCCTGCTGTGGCTGCTTCAGCTGCGGACACATGAACGAGACGAGGGTATGCGCACTGGAAATATGGATCCAAGAACTTCAGCCTCCGAGTCTAGCTCGTCATTGACGACCTTCATGAAGTCATGTAGCTGAGCTGAGTGCTCTGCACGACTGATAGGCTTGAGAGTATCAAGATAGCAGGTAGTACCTGGTCCGCACTCGAAGCACTCGACTCCATCTTTCAGCCTGACCTGACCTTCCAGGCACGGTTTGAGATGCCACGTGGCGTAAGGAATGTGGAGCCGGACCTCCTCTCGCGGCCGTGACAGATCCATCTGCCCGCCTTAAGCTTCATCTCAGGGCCTGCATCACTCCCGCCAGCAGCTATGGTGCTGGCCACTATCGCTGGACCATCTCGAAAGATGAGCTCGAGAGCCATAGATGCCGCGCCGGTTCGACTCGTGCTCTTCGACGTATTCGGTCAGCAACTCATTCCACGATATCATGAATCCTGAACACCAGCTCAGATTTACAGATACGCTATGCACCCCTCGCTTACCGATCCACGAGCAGTGCGTACATACGACTGGCCGAAGGGTCCGCTCATCTGTATTCATAACTTCAGATACTATGAAGAAGCCATTCGAGCGGGGATCCCCGCAACGTCGATCTCCGCTTCATCCGTCCGCGCAGGTTTCAGGCCAGGTCGGTACCACATATGACGTCAAGAGCGGCCGATCGGCTGTATCATAGATGAAAGAGCTGAGCAGTCTAGCATTCAAGAAGGTCTCAAATGACTTTCCCCTCTACGGCAAGAAAGCCAAACCTCACGCAATGTCGCCTGAAGAATGGTGGACCCGACTCATCCGAAGCTGTATGGCGCATGCAGGCGCCTCGCACGAGGGTGAGTGGTCATACCGGCTCCTCGGGTGTGATGGAGCGAGTATGTCGCTTACCCATTGTTCCAGATCTGGACCGCTCGATGCCTTCTTTGGCTCCAAGACTGCTGCAGCGCTTCGAAAGCGAGGAAGGCTATCGCAACTTCTCGGACACCCTTCCCTGTCGTATGTCGGTCAGCCACTCGGACCGGAGCTCTACTGACGCACAGTGGAGAAGCTGAAAGCGATGGGGATCAAGACATCGGTCGTATCTAACGCTGACCCACGGATACGTGAGCGATGTCTTCCATCTGAAGCGATAGTTAACGCTGAACCTTTTCAGTCAAAACACTCGATGCCCTCCACATACTCCCACTTTTGAGCTATCCTCCAATTCTATCGTGGGATGTCGAAAACTCGAAGCCTGATAGACGGATATACGACCACGCGCTCGAGTCCTGCGGGGAGACTGACCGCAAAGGCGTACTGATGGTGGGCGACGAGCTCGAAGCGTGAGTATTCCTCCCCAACCCAGTGAGAATCCGCTGATCCTTTAGAGACTATCGGGGAGCAAGAGCTGCCGGTGTCGCAGCTAGACTGATACGTCGACAGGGCGAGTGGAGCGATGGTGCAGCGAGAGCTTCCGATGAATCGCTCGAGGATGTTGAGGTCGTGAGGTCGCTATACGACATTATAGATCATATCGAGGAGCGAAATAATGTGAGCTAGTCAGATGCGGCGAGAGCGGTCTAGTCAGTAGGTAAGCTCAGCATACTGACCGACCCTCGTGAGCGCAAAGCCGGTCAATTGCGGTCGCTTGTGCGAGACTGATATCCTACCGTTATCCGGAAGGCCAAACACTGGAGTATTCCGTGGGGATAGATCCTTTCTTTCGCTCAGATCCTTTCCTGTCCTTAAAGCTCCGCCATCAACAGGCCGTATCAAGTACTCATTCACCCCCTATGCGCCACTCGGTACATTTCAACCTCGACACTGGAAACCATGGCAGAGATTCCCATCAACGCCGGCCCCAACGACTACAGGTCACTGCTCCTCGAGCCTACCGTCGGCTACGCCACTCACGTATCTACCCTTTCATTGACTGATCTGACGGGGTTTGGCCAGTACATCAAGGATGTACGAGGCAAGATCTGCGCTACTGCTCAGAACCTCAACGAGCCATCATTCGACGCGGTGGCAGGAATGCGAATCATGTCTGCGCTACAGATCAGAGAGGACATCGCACAATGGGTCAGCCCGCCGAAGGGTCGCCACCGCAACAGTGACCGAGATTGTCTGCAAGGTGATCCTGAGTGCTCGATTGGATGAAAAGGGGTGAGTACAGGTCCGAACCCCATTCAGATTAGCGCTGAGCATTGGTGTAGCGTATTCGGCGCGTTCATTTCGAGCCCGAGGGCGAGTGAAGCCCTGCCGGATGACATGGCCGGTTTTGCGCTGGCCCTGCGCGAGAGCAGCTCGGTCGAACCCTCTGCCCATACCATGTGAGTGACACGATATCCCGATATTGTGAATGATAAGGAGTTCCGAGACGCTCATGTGACAAGCGATCTCTGCAGCTCGGAACCTGCAGATTTCCTGCCGTCCGGGGATTGGGAGGCTTCGGTGGCAGGTCTCCTTCAGTTCGACCTCGCCGTCCCGCGCTCTTCCGTCCAGGACCCGCAAGACCCTGAGCATGGCAGCCCATACACCCGCGTGCAGCTGGCACAACTGCTGAGCACCGCTGCATGGGCCAGTGGTCCACCCGTCGCTGATGCTGACGAGGACGCTGTCTGACATTCAGCGGTGCAGTATCGTGCTATGCATTGAGTGGATGCGTTAACGATTATCAGTCCCATACGCAATGCCTGGGCCGGGCGCCATGTTCATGGCATCGGTCCAACAATGTGTCATGCTCCCACAAAAATCAGTAGCCTATATACAATGACGCCCATAAGATCTTTAAAGACAACATCTACCCCTTCCAATTCCCCTCAAGCCCGCCTCGCCTGCTCCCCGATCCAGTTAAGAGCACTCCCAGCCCTCAACCACTCCACCTGGTCCCTACTCATCGTATGTCTCGCCCTGACCTCATACTTCTCCCCACTCGGCCTCGTCACCTCCAACACCACCTCATCTCCCTGCAGCGACCCATCCAGCAACTTGTCCACGCCGCGGGTCACAATCTTGTCAAACGCGGAGATGCGCGAGTAGTCGCTCTTGTCGACAAACCAAAGGGGGAGGATACCTTGCTTCTTGAGGTTGGTTTCGTGGATCCGGGCGAAGGAGCGGGCGAGGATGAGGGCGCAGCCGTAGTAGCGGGGTTGGAGTGCCGCGTGTTCACGCGCGGAACCTTCTCCGTCTGGAACGTCAGCTGAGACCCTAGGCCAGCCGTGGAAGGAGCAGCTTACAGTTATCGTCGACGACCAGCATCCAAGGCTCGTTCCGCTGCTTGTACTTCTGCATGGTCTTAGGGATAGTGTCCTCCCCGTTACCGTCGTTGGCGATGTTGATGTGTCCGCCTTCGTCATTGACAGCGGTCATAAGGGTGTTTTCAGAGATGTTGCTCAGGTGACCCTTGTACTGGATCGTCAGCTCAGATCCCGTATTTCGGGAATGATATGGCACACCTTCAGCCAAGCACCAGCAGCAGAGATATGATCCGTCGTGCACTTGCCCCTCACGCGCATCAAACACGTCAACTCTGGTAGCTCTCCCTTCCCGCCCTTAAAGTTCGACGCAAACGGCTCCAACACCTCCAATCGCGCCGAGGTAGGGCTGATGGCAATCTCTGTCTCTCCGCGGGGTACAGGTGATGGCGAGGGGGCGTAGGACAAGTCGCCCGGTGTGTAGCCGGAAGGAGGGAGGCGATCGCCTGTAGGTGGGGAGAAGCGGAAGGGGCCAGAAGGGGTGGGGATGGAGTCGGTGACGGGGTTGAAGTTGAGGGAGCCGGAGAAGGCCATGGCGGTGACGATCTCGGGGGAGGCGAGGAAATTCATGGTTCGGAGGTTGCCGTCGTTACGAGCTTTGAAGTTTCGGTTGAAGGAGGTGAGGATGGCTGGGGAGTCAGCTGATGGATACATCGTACCGTTTGAGACAGCTTACCGTTGTCCTCGCCCTTCTTCTCATCTCGCTTCCATTGGCCGATACAAGGTCCACATGCGTTGGCCAATACAGTCGCGCCGACGTCCTCCAGGGTTGACTGCAGCCCATCCCGCTCAACAGTGGCTCGGATAAGCTCAGAACCAGGTGTGACAAGGAATGGGACCTAAACGTCAGCTTTGATCAACGACGCCAGTCTTCCCTGATTCTACAACTGACCTTGCTCTTAAGACCCGCATCTTTCGCCTGTTGGGCGATACTAGCTACTCTCGACATGTCCTCATACGACGAGTTGGTACATGATCCGATGAGGGCAGAAGAGAGGACGGTGGGGTAATTGTTCTCGGAGAGGAAGCCGGGGAAGGAGGAGAGGGGGGTAGCGAGATCAGGTGTGAACGGACCGTTGAGGTGGGGTTCAAGCTCAGAGAGGTTCTACTGATCAGCTCTATGTCGGAAGTCGATCCTGCTCAGTTTACAAGACTCACAATCTCAATGACCTCATCGTACTCTGCTCCCTCATCTGCCTGCAGGAATCCCTTGGATGCCGCCTCGTCCGCCGCCTGAGCGACCGGTCCTCGACCAGTAGCGTGAAGGTATTCGCGCATGTTGGCGGCGTAAGGGAAGGTCGAGGTGGTCGCGCCGACTTCGGCACCCATGTTGGCGATGGTGGCAAGACCGGTACATGATTGGGCTGTGACACCAGGGCCAAAGTACTCGAGTATCCGGCCGGTCCCGCCCTGTTTGATGAGCCATGCCCGTTCAGGCTGCAGAGGCACTACTTACTCGTACTGTCAACCTCCCCGCAAGATTCAAGATCAGATCCTTTGGCGTCGCCCACCCGCTCAGCTCCCCTGTCAACTTGACCCCCGTGATCATCGGCGCCTTGAGCTCCCATGGCGTATCCGTCAAAGCGTCCACCGCGTCCGCTCCTCCCACTCCAATTGCCAACATCCCCAATCCACCCGCATTCGGCGTGTGCGAGTCGGTACCCAGCATGAGCAGACCGGGAGCTGCGTAATTCTCCAGGACGATCTGGTGGATAATCCCGGATCCTGGCCGCCAGAACTCGATACCGTATTTCCGAGCTGCGGACTCGAGGAAGTCAAAGACCTCCTTGTTCTGGTCGATCGACTTAGCGAGGTCCGCGGAGGCCCCGACGGAAGCTTGGATAAGGTGGTCGCAGTGGATAGAAGCGGGAACGGCGCAAGTGGGGAGACGGCAGGTCATGAATTGGAGGAGAGCCATTTGGGCCGAGGCATCCTAGAGGTCAGTCCTGCTCGACCAAATGATCACGCGACTTACTTGCATAGCTACCCTATCTGGCCTCAGCTTCAGGTATCTCTCTCCCCTGATCTTGCCACCCCCTCCCAGGCTCTCTTCTGGGTTCCGCAGATGACTGTACAAAATCTTCTCGGCCAGAGTCAACTTGGTCGACTTGGGCAAGACGCGCCGGACCTGGTCCAGAGTCTTGAGGAGCCGTGGGTAGGGCGGCGTGATGGACGTGCAGTCCTTGATGGGAAGGGACGAGGGGGTGGCGAATGACCGTGCATGGCGGACTGTGAGCCTTGACGTGCTCGCTGTGGACCGCAGCATGGCTGATGGAGCTGCTATAGCTATTGTTGTTGATGAGAGATTGCAGAGCTGTGAGTGGTCGCTGAACTTTTCTGGCGGTGGTGATGGTCGGCCGGGAATGATCGGCCGAGCTCAGCCGAATAATGCCGTAAGACTGGCCCGGATAAAAGCGATTTAATGCTGGAACCGGATTATTTTTGGGTGAGCCTCCACTCGCCACGTCCAGCGCACAGACAGTAACGCGTTGGGTGACTGTCTACATTAGGGTGGGAGGGGGTTCTTTCCCTTCTTCCCTTCGTACTTCATCCTTCTAATACTCTCTCTGCGCTCTTTCTTCATACTCAGACCTATCCCAGCCAAACAATCAGCTCACAATGTCTGAGAACGGCGATGCTGTACGTGATCCCCCTTCAGCTCGCTACTCGTTCCTGCCCTACAGCTTCGAATCATTACTTCCTTCCTCCTTCTTCCGTCATGACATCATGTCCTTATTTACCTCCCCTGTCTCATTACTGAACTCGAAGTCTCGTTCGAGGTAAAGCTGACCCACGTAGGAAGCCATGAGCGAGTATGCAGTAAGCTACGACCTGACCTCGGGGTCCAGAGAAAAGCTGACTTCCTTCCTCAGTCCGTGGACGACCTTCAGTCCCACGTGAGTCTCTTCTCCTTCCTTTGCTGTCCGTTTGTTCTGCTCCGGGAAGCTCAGCTGACGTACTTAGGGTATCAACGTCCAGGACATCCTCAAGCTGAAGGCGGCCGGGATCGTCACGGTGCTGGGTGTCTCTCAGACCACCAGGAAGAACCTTCTCAAAATTAAGGTGAGCTATCAAGAGCACGTGGATTACCAAGCGATCCCGGTATAAAGCTGAAGCTGACTTGACAGGGCTTATCAGAGGTATATGTGGACCAGCCACTCACACGAAACTTTCCGAAAGCAGCCGCTGATTTCCATCAGGCCAAGGTGGAGAAGCTGAAGGAAACCGCGACGAAGATGCTGGTAAGTCAAGAGCTATAGACTCTATCGCTACTTGCTCAGACTGTTGTCTGAAGGGTCGTATTCAAAAGCTCATTACACAGCCTCCTCTTTTCCAGACAGCCGCCGAAGTATCCGAGCGAAGGCAGAACGTCATCCATATCTCAACCGGGAGCAAGACGGCCGACACCATGCTCGGCGGCGGAATTTCTACTCAAAGTATCACAGAGGTCTATGGAGAGTATCGTACGGGGAAGGTGAGCTTCCGCTTCCTGCCAACATACCCTGTGGACCCAGCTCATACTCTCAGACCCAACTTTGCCATACGCTCTGCGTTACGACCCAGCTTCCAGAGGATCAGGGTGGAGCTAGCGGAAAGGTCGCCTACATCGATACAGAGTGAGCTAGGTTGTCTCTTTAGAATGTCCGGAAGACGATAGCTCACACCATTAGGGGTACCTTCCGTCCAGACCGTGTCCGAGACATCGCGGACCGCTTCGGAGTCGAGCCTGAGATGGTCCTGGAGAACATCCTCACTGCTCGTGCTTGGAGCTCGGAGCAGCAGTGTGACCTTCTGGTGGAGCTTGCTCAGCGGTGAGCTCATGATACATGGCCAAAAGTCGAACTGGAAGCTGATGACATAGGTTCGTTGACGATCGGAGCTACAAGCTGCTTATTGTCGATAGTATTATGAACCTCTTCCGTGAGTCATTTGAGGCCAGGCTGAGAGATCGTGCTGATAGACAGGTCAGGACTACTCCGGTCGAGGAGAGCTCTCTGAGCGTCAGCAGGTGAGTTGCCGACTTGCTTCTTGCCCCGGAGCTCCGAGCTCATAAGTAGAAACTCAACCAGTTTCTCGCTCGGCTCCAAAAGATCGCAGAGGAGTTCAACGTCGCTATCCTCATGACCAACCAAGTCCAATCTGATCCGGGAGCAAGTTTACAATCGCTCGAGAGATGCACAGGACGAAGCTGACTCCTCCAGGCATCTGCTATGTAAGTCTCAACCTCAATGCGTCCATCTCGTTCTTGCGCTAATGTCCAGGTTTGCTGCTGCTGCGACGGTCAAGCCGGTTGGAGGTGAGTTGCTCGAAGCACGACGGCGATGACGGGACGACAGCTGACAACTTCCAGGACACGTTCTCGCCCATGCGTCAGTAACCATGCTCACCCCGCAGTTTGTCATACTAATAATCAGCTCCGCAACTCGCATGCAGCTTCGCAAGGGTCGAGGCGAAGAGCGTATCGCCAAGCTGCAAGACTCGCCTGATATGCCCGAGTCGGAGGCGGGGTACAAGCTGGCTAAAGGGTGAGTAACAACTTTCTACATCTCTACGGATCTTCACCGAACAGATTGAAGCTGACTGTATCAGTGGCTGGGAAGGTATATACTCTGCATGCCACTGTCATGCGGACCAGAACTGACTCCACCAGATATCTAAAGCCGTTCAAGACACGCATCATGCTTCTCCTTCCTGTACTTCACGACCCTGTACTATAATCAACCGCGACACCACCATGCCAATCACGCCCATCACATCCACCAGCACGAATCGAAAGTGTATATAGTAGCATCTCAAGTCCTCGTCCATCATGCCCGTATCGCTCAATACTGTATGTAGCCAAAGCCGTATCATCACCACCATGCATGCCATCATCGTCTCCCAGGTCTACCTGCCCATCTCACAGATCTGAACAGCTCCCCCTACTGTCCGCTCTGCCATGAAAAGGAACTCACTGATCATCCGATTGAGAGTCCCAAATCCTGCTTGCAGCCGTCTCCGCCTCATGGCTATTTCCACTATTGACTAGGCCACCTGTCATTAGTAGATCACCCAGACACACTGCCCCATCCCATCTTTCTCCCTTGTCGACCTCTTGTCCTCGCAGACCTCCCTGTCAGTAATGAAACGCGCGCGCAATAGCACACCCGACACCGCTATGACCCAGGACCCTGGAACAAGGAGGTACTGAACAGCCACACAAGCCAGCGAACCTTTCTAGGTTTCTGCGTCCTCGCCTCTGGTACTGATCAGTGTGGGATGGATGTACCCCACGCTTCAGTCCAGATCTCGTCGCCTCTGCGCATAAACCCCCTCCTGGGAATAGAGAAAGAAAGCAAGAGACCAAATTTCATTTTCCGCACAGATGACTCTTTCCCTTTCCACCACCGCCTTTGGCCCACTCTCGGCGGTTTTCTCCTTCCCGTCTTACTCCTCAGCAAATCTCCCCCTGAATAGAATTGTGTGATCCCTCAAAATTGAGCCACTGCGCCTATCCGCCCACTGCCCCTTCGCGTCAACTTCTTCCGTCTCCTTCCCCGTCCCATCTGCCCTTCCCAAGAATTCTTCCCCATCCAACGGATCCATCCCACCTCCTGTCCGTGCCGCTCACTTCCCAGCCCTCTTGTCCACCCACTCCCTAAACAGCCCATCCAAACTCCTCTGAATCATACCCACCGGCAGACTCCTCACAATATCCTCCACCTTCTCCCTCACCGCATCCCCCTCTCCCGCCTTATCCGCATAAACCATCGTGAGCCTATACATCTGCAGCACCGCGAGCGAGACATGGGTCTGATGGCTCGCGTACGGCGAGTCGGGGCGGATCGCACCTGCAAGCGACCCAAACCCGCCACCACCGCCGCCTGAGCCGCCGTGCCCCGATCCGACGGTCGGGTTCCGATCGCCCCGCGCGAGACGGAGGAGAATCTCGAGCAAGTCCGCGGCGTCGTTGGAGGCCGTGAGGGAATCGATGAATGCCCGACGATCGCCGAGGGTCCCGGAGGACGCACCGGCCGTCCAGCTCGTCAGAATCGACGAGAGCGTCGGGGCTGGATCGGGATCGACAACGTGGAGCCTTCCCCGCCAGCCGTCAGCGGTGGTGTCGAGCCGACGGGAGGAAAAGGTCTCAAAGAGCCACTCGTCGGCCGAGTTGGAACGGCACCATTTGGGCTCGCTCAGTGGCCGCTTCTTGTTGAGCCAAACGGTGATGGTCATTGGGCCTTGGGTGTGGAGTGGTGGTATGGATTCCGCCTCCGGTGTAGAGGTAGCATCGGAGGACGGGTAGATCTCGGCCAGGCGAGAAGCGGAGAGAGCGACGAATCGTTCGTCTGTAGAGTCGTACATTTCCATCTAAAACATCAGCTCCTGTCTGCCATACAAGATTCGAATTATGCGCAACTCACCAAGACACCCTTTCTCAATTCCCCTTCGACCTTCTCCGCCTCCCTTTCCTCTTCCCCTTCGACAGCCACCACCGGCTCCTCCTCCTTCAAACACACCTCAATCTTCCCTTCAGCACGATATATCCTGACACTCTCCACCGCCTCCGCATCCACACAGATCCGCCGACTGCTCTCCTCATACAGGATACTGATCCGGTTGACACTTGGTTGAGGACCGGCCGGTACCGCATCCACAGCGGGCGCTGAAGGCGCGGATGCCTCAGCGTCACCGTTAACAGTGGCTGTACCGTCCGGATGAGTAGCGTGCGAGCTGACGGAAGATCGCCGGCGTGTCCGAGTGGCGATAGGCTGTTCTGCCGTGGCCGGCACAGCTTCCGCTTCGGAGGGGAGGGCGGATATCGCGTCGACCGCGTCGGTAGCAGGAGCTTCCGCGCTGGGTTCGCCAACAGACTCCACCTGAGGTATAGCCTCGACTGCAGCTTCCGGTGCCTCAAGCGCTGCTTCCGCCTGCTCTCCCTCCGCCGCATCCGCGTCATGCCCGACATCTGTCCGCATCGAAACGTCGCCCGCTCCGGTCTCCTCTTCCGCACCCCCTGTCTCTTCATCCGCTGATGCACTCTCAGCCACCACAGCCTCCGCCACTGCCTCGGCTGCTGGATCGGCCTTCCTTTCCCCCAGCGCCCCACTCGAGTCAGCATCCGCCGGGATAACCGGTACCTCCCCCTCCACCACCTCAGCACCCGCAATCACCTCTTCCGCCGCCTCCTCCGTCCCAATCTCAGCCTTCACCTCCACTCCCACCGGCGCCTCTCCAACGACCGTCTCCGCCTCGGCACCCTCCGCTCCTCCCTCCGGTACCTTCTCCTCGGCTTCGCCCTCAGCCTGCGCCTGACCTTGAACAGACGGCGCCACACTGCTGCTCTCCCTCCTGAAGCGCTTGTTGATTCCCCGACGGATCGCTTTGGGTATCCGATCCAGTTCGGGTGGACTGTCAAAGTAGATCCGGAAGCGGTTTTGGGGTTCTTCGAATTTACTCAAAGGAGGTTCGGGTTCAGGTGTAAGGGTAGGGGCGGAGAGTTCGGGACTGGGTACAGCTGCTGCAGAATTGGGTACAGCTGCTGCAGAGGATTCACCATTTATAGTGACAGTATCACCGTCGACGGGCTGGGCGGTCTCGGTCGAATCGACAGGCTCAACCTTGACGTCAGTTTCTGCCGCAGCGTCCAGCTCGGGCTTGGGCAGATCGACCGAGCTGGGCGCGAGCAGTGCCTCCGGAGCGGGAGCGGCGGCCTCGGTCGTGTGATCCCCAGCGTCAAGAGCTGCGCGCTTCTTGCTCGAGCCTTCCGTTTCGTCTTCTGCACAGTTGATGGTCACAATGGAAAGTAACGTAGAGGGGTAGTGGTGGTGTGAGAAGAACCGTGATCAGCGCTGGCACCACCGTAGACATAGAAGAACACTCACCGCCATCCGGTGTCTTTGCTTTCCGCTTCTCACCCCTCTTCTCCTCCGCTTCCACCGAGCCGACAGCTTCTGGCTCCTTCCGCTCCTCCTCTTCCACCTTGACTTCCACTTTCTCTCCTTCCTCGCCCGCCTCCTTCTTCACCTCGACCTCCACCTCTTCATCGGCCTTCTCATCCTCCTCCTCCTTTGGCGGAGGCGGATGCAGTGCCCTCGCCTCATCTTCGACCCAACCCCACTTCCACCCCTTCCCCTCCGCCTCCTCCGCCGGCGAGCCCACTCGACTGATCTGTATCCCGACGATTCTGAAATCCGTCATGGTCGTATTTGCTCCCTTCTCCTTCTCCCTCCTCCGCTCCCTCTCTTCCCGCTCCCTCTCCACGCCCGCGGCGTACGCGCCCCTTCTTCCGCCCAGTCCAACCACTGCCGCCCCTCGGCCCCGTCCAAAGCCGGACATGCCCGCTGGGCCCCTCGGTGCTCCTGGAACATGTACACCTCCTCGTCCACCCCGGCCCGCTATGCCGCCTCCGCGCGCGAAGGACGGTCCGCGAGGAGCGATGATGCCCGGTGGAGGAGGCCCGCCCATCCCGAGATGGATCGGCGGCCGGACGATCGGCGGGGTTGCGGCAGCGACAGGTGCTCGTGCTGGTCCGCCAAGATGTATAGGTCCGCCGCCGACAGCTATGGGTGGTCTGCCTGGAACAGCTCCGAATCCGGGTTGACCATTATTGATTCCCATGGCTCCTGGCCGAGTCGCGGGCGGGTACATCCCCGGTGCACCTGTAGCTCCGCCTCCCGGACCGTCAAAGCGAGGCCGCTTCGCTGGTGGAACGCCCATACCGCCATTCATGGGCATGCTGGGCGCAGGAGAGGGAGACATGCCCATCCCTGGCGGACGGGGCGGGCGGGGCTGGTATGGCCTGACCGGACTGGGATTCATCCCCGGCCGGAAGCCTGCTGTGGGCGGCTGTTGTTGCCCGTAGAATGCCTGCTGAGCTTGCGGCTGCTGAGGGTATTGTCCAGCCTGGACAGGGAACGGCTGGGCAACGGGCGAGTTGTAGCCGTACCCCGCTTGAGGCTGCATGGGCGGGCGATACCCCTGCGCTTGCTGCTGCTGCTGTGGTACGGGTTGCTGAGGACCGTAGTTGGCATATTGTGGCTGACCGGGAAGGGGTGCACCGTACGCGCCAGCAGCGGCCGGCGGGCGAGGTTGCTGTGGGTATTGGTAGGCCCCGTAAGCCTGCCCTGCTTGCTGTTGCGGGGCAGCTTGACCAGGTTGCAGATGATTCGCGTGGGTGGCACCGGCACCGTAGCCGTAGTTTGCGTACGCGGTGGCTGCTCCGGGAGCTGCAGGGTTGGGGGAAGTACCGACGGCTTGAGGTTGGGCTTGGGCGTAAGGATTGGGTTGGCCAGTTGCCTAAAAGACATCAGCCAAAGCTTCCGCTGCTCGTTCAGACTGTTCCATCCCTACACTCCTCTTCGCTCCCCCGCTGGATACCACGACCTTATGCTTCGGAATGACTTACCTGGTAATACGCCGCCCAAGCCGCCGCATGCGCCGCAGGATCCACAGCCTGCGGTCCGCCCTGCTGTCCCCCTTGCTGCCCGCCATACTGCTGTTGCTGCTGCGCTTGCTGAGCAGGATACTGCTGCTGCCCATACTGCTGTTGCTGCGGGACCTGCTGTTGCTGATACTGTGGCTGTTGAGGATAGCCCAGCGGCATCGGTCCAGCAGGTAAGGGCGGAGCTGGGCCGGGAGTGGATCCGTAGCCCCCGACGTTGGGTACGCCGGGATTACCTGGTTTGGCTGGGAGCCCGGTGGGGCCTAGGGGCCGCTTGTTCATTGTGATTTTTGGTGATGGAGCAGAGATAGGAGAAGCAGACGTTTTGATGGGCGAGATATAGGTCGAGGAGCGGATTTTTCCAGGTGAGGGACCAAATAAGGTTTGTCCTGCATCACGATCGGCCGCCTTCTCCTGCATGCCAACCGTGTGCTAGCGATACAATCAGAGAGCTCCGTCATCTATACATATCGTACAGGCCACAGCGACTAAGACAACCTTCATCTACGAGAAACTCAAATCGACCAAAATAGTGATAATACCCAACACAATCTCCAGGGCACTATCTCATCAGCTCTGTCCGCGCACGAGTCCTTATCTGCCCGAATCCCAAAGCCTGACTCACATGAGGATGATGACAATAGCCTCTAATCGCTCGCCATGACTGCTATTCACACTCTCCTTGAGCAGCTTCAACATGTCCTGTAGGACGTCGACACGGGCATTGAGCAGGTCGATACGCTGGGAGATCTCTAGGTAGGATCGGGCGGCGGCGTAGAGGGGTTCCAAGTCGGGGAAGGTCCTGACGATGTCAGCTCACGTCCTATTGGACAGGAGTCGAGACGACAGCTCACCAGAAGAATTCCTATGATCATCAGCTACTGCCTTACAATGATTCAGCCCCAACAGCTTACCGGTGAATCCAGAATCGACCCGACCAAGTTAATATTTATCCTCAGAATGAAGAGATTCCCAATCTGCTTCATAATCTCACTTCTTGGCAACTATACTTGTCAGCTTGTGAGCCGGATGGCGGCCAAGCAGCTCACCCCGATCTTGCCGGTCTCAGACATGCTCTTTGGGATATCCTTGGTCTGCTCGATTGTGCTGCTGATCAATTCCTCGAAGAGCGAGATTTTGACGGATTGCGAGAGCGCGTGAGAGAGGGCGAGTTTCGTCCTGTCAGGTCAGCTTGCGTTCCCGCTCACAGGATGTACGGGGCGTCCAGCTTACATATACGATGACCCTTTCCTGAGGGTGATCACATCATTGTATATGCTGCGTTTGTCAGCTTCGCTGTCTCACCGATCGAGATGAGTCTAAACTGACCGAGAGTAGTCAGCATAGTAGAAATTCAGGTCCTCCATCTCGATGTCCTCGTGACTCAGGCGCTCAACCTCAAATTTCTTTCTGCATGATGTCAGCTCATGTTCCTCGCGGACACCGCGGCTAAAGAAGCAGACAACTCACAAACTCCTCAAGAACGCCTTCTCCTCCTTCTCCGTCATCCCCCAAATGACCACCGTCCCATACTCAAACAAAAACACATCTGGCACCCACTCCTCCTCTTCCCACTCATCATCACTCTCATCCTCATCTCCCGTCCCCGCTCCCGGTCCATACTCTTCCGTCTCTTCCGACGTCTCGCTACTTTCCCTCTGTACCGACTTTCTCCGCCCGCCTGCTTTCCCACCAGGGCCTTTACTGAAACCCGTCTTGCGCCTACTTTCCCGCTTCTTGCTCGAAGCACCATTCTTCCACCCGCCGACGGAAATGACGCCGCTTTCTGCCTCGCGCTCGGCTTCGTCGGACCCATCGTTCAGATTCAAGAGATCGCCTTCGGGAACGTGCGTCTCGTCTCGGTATTGAGGCTGAATGACGGGACTGCTCATTCCGTTGATGTGGCCCCGGAAAGTTGAGGAACCGGATGGAGGGGGGAGGTAGGGTGTGTGGATACACTCGGCGTCGAATACGCGTGGGTGGGTGCGGTACGAGGCGGGCCGAGCGGCAAGGTGCGCTTGGATCGCGGGGAGGTTATATGAACTGCGAAGGTCAGATTATGGCCATCTGAATTCTCCCTCTTGGCACATTTGCCAGTCGGTCGCCGATGTCTACGCAGACTTGTCACTCACGCAGCAGTACAGAACGCAGTCACCCTAGGCAACTTTGCCTTTTCCGTTTTGGTCAACTTTTGGGCATCCCGCCGAGCCGTACCCGCCGGGATCTGCGATAATGGCGTGTAGAACTAAATCATGGTCAGCTGATAGCCCCAGCTCTATTGCATGTACTGGCCAGCTATCTCACCTCGACGCCTTCCCCATCATGTCGATCCTCAGGCTCAAGCCTGTCCTCGTCCTCATCCTCTTCGGGAATGGCGTACGTGTCCGGCTGTGTCGGGAGGACCTTCAACTCTGCAGGGTGGACACAATAGCGGATATGACAATGAGCGCAAAGAGAGTGGGAAAGAGGAAGAGAGGGCTAGGTCAGCTCGGATCTTCTAGACGTCTGACGCTTCTGTACGAAGAAGACATACTGCTTCCCAGCTTGGACGTTCTGACAAATCAGCTGGATTCTCGCGTCGGTATTCATCTGCTGCTGGGAAATGCCAGCGGACAGAGACGTACCGCATAGGCTGCCTCATTTCTCTTCTGGGCTGCGAGGGCACTGGGGCATATGGCAATGGCAGGCCATTTGGGCGATTTTGCGACATTTCGACGGCGCTTTTCTCCCGGCAGATCGTTTCTCTGGCGACTGATACGTCTATCTGACCTGTTTGTAGGTCGATCTGTACAGTAGAAGTGGTAGATAGTAGAGCTATAGAGGTAAGAGTCAGAAGTCGGAGGTTGTGAGCCAAGAGGGTGAGAATGAGGGACACCTATGACGTGGCTTTATTGTGTGTCCCTTTATCAGTGACGTGAAGATGATATCGATGAGATTTTGACCGACACCCATGTCCAGCTCTTACATTTGGATTTTATACTTACGCTAAGCATTCACGACGCCTTGCTAGACTCTCCTCACTCGCCCAGACGTCACTGAATAAGGAGGATCGACAAGATGCGCCAAAAAAGAGCGAAAACCTACAAGCGGGTGATGGCGCTATACGTCCAAACCTTCAATTTCAGACAACCATTCCAGGTGTTGGGTGAGTGATGCTGCCTTCCAGATGTGCATGGAAGGACCGGAGCTGATTAGATCGTAGTATCAGATGATATACTTGTCATGCCCGCTGCACAACAGCTTGATATCGTCAAGTTGCTATCTACCTGCGTTCAGGCCGAGATCAAGCCTAGTACGTTGAAGCGGGCTTGGCAACTGTATTGGCAGTAATCATAGTCCGGCGAAGCTGACGCTTCAGTGATCACGCAATGCTGTGTTGAAGCTCTCTACGCACTCGGTCCCTCGCACCAACGCACCACAAATCTCGCAAAGACCCTTGAGCGTCGACGGTGCAACCACCGGACCGCCCTCCCCTCAGACGAATGCCTCGCGGACGTCATTGGTACCTCCAACAAACATCGCTATGTCCTCGCTGCACAATCGGCCGAGCTGCGGGAGAAGATGGATAGGATACCCGGCGTACCCGTTATTCACTTCAACGGGCGGGGAGTGGCGGTCCTCAGTCCGCCGGGTGTGGCGACTGTCAGGGAGAAGGTGAAGGGGGAGGAAGAGCGGCGGCTTGGGGAGAAGGCAGCAGAGGAGGGGATGGAAGATGGGGCGAATGTTATCGGGGCGCAGGCGGGGAGTGTGGCGGGGCCGAGTGGGAGAGGGAGGAAAGGGGCGAATCCGAATCCTCTTAGTATGAGGAAGAAGAAGGTGCCGGTCGCTGCAGAGGGGCCCAAGGCGGAGGGAAGTAAGAAGAAGAAGAGGGATCGGAACGAAGAGGAGGAGGAGGATGCAGAAGAGGAAGAGAAGGGGGTGGAGGCGGCAAACGAGGGAGAAGAGGCGGGAGGGGCCAGTCGGAAGAAGAAGAAACGGAAGCGGAGAGGAAAGGGGGAGGTGGCGCTTGCGATTGAGGAGTTGAACGCGACGGGTCTGGGCGGGGTTAAGCCAATAGCAAAGGGCGGGGACGAGAGCGGAGGGGAAGGACAGGAGAGTGATTGAGGAGCAAGGTAGAAGTAGGATGTAACGAGCCTGATGACCAGACGGGAGCGCCAGCGTAGCCTTGATCAGTATGCTAGCTGGCTGAGGCTGTGATGAGCAGGAGAATTAGCTGTGGCGGTCGGCAGCAGGGGCTGCCTCGGGATCGCTAGCGCCAAGACGTTGGAGGCGTTTCGAATTTCCCATCCGCGTTTCAGATTTTCGAATCCATCTCAAGCTCGACTTTTTTGCGCCATGTAGCAACCGCTTCTCTACGCTATCCTCTCATAGCTAGTCCCAGCCAAGATGGCGCACAACATGTCCCGCTCGCGTACACCGACACGCCGAAAGGTCTTGGTCATTGGGACAGGAGGCACCATCGCGTCCGAACCGACCGAGACTGGATTTTCACCCGTACGCTCTTGATGTCCCTTGGTCGTCCCCGGCCTGAATGAGATGAGCTTACTCCTGTAGCTCCGTAACGATGCCTTCTTCCGCCGTATCCGACAACATCCCCTCCTCTCCGACCCGCTCTCGCCTTCCCATGCCGCCTTCTCCGAACCGGTCGAGACGGTCCAGATAGGCGCGAATACCCGGTACCCCGCGCTAGTCACGCCGGCCATGAATGATGTGGGGAGTGTGGTGGAGTATGAGATACTAGACTTGGGTCTACATATGGACAGCAGCGAGATGACACCGGCTGGTAAGCCCTTTTCAACGTTTCGCGTTCATGGGGCGGCCTTTAACGGGGCAGAATGGAACACCATAGCCGCGCTCCTCTCGGATAATTGGGACCTCTACTCGGGCTTCATCGTCCTATCCGGCACCGATACCCTTGCTTACACGTCCTCGATCCTTACCTTCCTGTTTACGAACGCTGGCAAGCCTATTGCAGTGACGGGTGCGCAGATCCCACTCAGCCAGCCGAGATCGGACGGGTGGGAGAACCTGCTCGATTCGTTGGTATTCGCAGGTGAGAGTGGGTGGGCAGGTGTCGGCGTTGTTTTTGGACATCAGGTGAGCTGATCCTACGTGGACGTCCTCCCGCCCTGGCATAGCTAACGCTCAGGTACTCATGGGATGCCGAGCGACCAAAATCTCCGCCAACCTCTTCCACGCCTTCCAGACTCCCTGCGTCCCACCTCTGATCAACATGAATGTCAAAATGAGTAAGTCTCCACCACCTAATCTCTCCCCTTCGCCTTCTTGCCATCAGCTGATCCTACACTAGCAACCGACCAGAACCCTCATTTACGACACCGCGACTCGGCCCTTCCCCCACGCACAATCACCCTCCTAACCACACCCACCGTCCTCTCCTGCCACATCTATCCCGGCATCACCGGCTCGCTGCTCTCTGCCCAGATCGCCGCTCTGCCGGAGTGCCGTGCGGTCATTCTGTCAGCGTATGGGAGTGGAAATCTGCCGATCGGGGAGCGAAGCGGGGTGTTGGAGGCGCTAAAGGGGGCGGTGGAGCGGGAGATCTTGGTGGTTGTGATATCGCAGTGTGAGCTAAAGCCTTGCCCAGCTGCTTGACGCAGGGTACAGGAGGAAGCTGACTCGCAGGCTCCATACCGAATGTGTATCCCCTGTACACCCAGGGACGGACACTCATCTCGATAGGCGTCCTGCCGGGCTACGACCTGACGCACGAGGCGGCATTCGCAAAGCTACTATGGCTTGTGAGCCGGAAAGACTTGAGCTTCAAGCAGAGGCAGGAGCTATTTGAGACACCAGTTGCGGGGGAGATGACCGTCATATGATCTATCCTCAGGTCGTTTGAAGGCTAGTATCCGAAATCAGACATTCTTGACCCTACATTGAAATGCAACGTCTACTGCCGCCTGACGAGATCTACACCAAGATGTACCAAGCCCAACGTCCACACAACCTACTCTGCATCCCTTATCGCCGCCATCATCCCCAACACCTCTCCCGCCGCTCTCACATCATGTACCCGCACAACATCCACTCCCATCCCTTTACCCATACACCAAGCCAACACCCCCGCATCCCCCATGCCCCGCTCACTAGCCACCTCCCTCCCGATCACCTTGCCCACAAACCCCTTCCTGCTCCCTCCGACCAACATAGGCAGTCCCTCCAGCCCACTCCCCGGCGCCGTCATTTCCCCCAGTCTCCTCAGAAGCACCAAATTGTCCGTTCCCTTCTTGGCGAACCCCAACCCCGGATCCAGGGTGATATTCCACCTCTTGACACCCGCTTTTTCCGCTCGGCGGACCATATCCGCCATTTCTGTCCGGACGCCGGGGACGAGACCGCCAAGCGCCGAGTAGTCCTGGACGTCCGAGGTGGTCATACTGCTCGAATCTCCCCTGGAGTGCATGAGCACCACGGGTACCCCCAGATCCGCCATCGCCTGCAGCATCCCCTCTTCTCGTCCGCCCCGAACATCGTTGATACATGATGCGCCCGCCTCGACCGCCGCGCGAGCCACGGCGGGGCGGTATGTATCCACACTGATAGGGACATCGCGTATCGCCGCATCCTCGTCTCCGAGAGCCCGAATGGCTTGAATGAGGGGTACGACCCGCTCGAGCTCTTCTTCCAGTGTACAAGGGGTCGAGTGGGGCCGGGTCGACATGCCGCCGATATCGAGTATATCTGGCGGATAGGGCGTGGCGAACATCTCGCGTAGAGACAAGATGACGTGTGGGATGGACAAATTGGACGGGGAGCCGTCAGAGAAGGAGTCGGGAGTGGCGTTGATTATGGCCATAATGAGGGGTGTGGGGCGGTGTAGGCGTGACGGTCGAGCGGGGGACGGGAAGGGGATAAGCGGGGAGAGTTGGGGAGGTGTCGTGCGTGGAAGCCGGGCGAGGAGGGTGCGGAGTGGGACACGGAGTCGGGGGTCTGTAAAGTCTGGTGCAATACTACTTGTCAGTTCCGCTTCGTCGTTTGACTTTCGTCGTGTACATAACAACTCACTCGGCGAGAGGGCGAAGCACAAACTCCCGCTCTGCTAATCCCCAGTGCGGCACCTCCAACCACCCCACCCCGTCCTCATCCTCCACATCCCCCTTCTTCCCAACCTTGACCACCTCCCCACCGTAATACACCAAATCCAAATCGACGACCCTCGGGCCATTCGTGAACGTCTTGGTCCGCCCCACTTCCCTCTCCACCCGCTTCAACACCCGTAGTACGCCCATCGCGTCCATCTCCTTTGTCGCTCGCACCTCAATAGCGGAGTTCATGAACCGCGCTTGGTCCTCGACGTACATTGGCTCAGACTCGTATATCCGGCCTGTACGGACCTGGGCGAGGCCGTATTTCTGCAGGAGAGAGACAGCGCTGATGAGGTGCGAGACTCTATCTCCAATGTTGGAGCCGAGGGCGATGAATATGCGTATTGGCCCAGAAGGAGATGAGGTTGCCGAGGTTGTGGGTAGGATGGCGGGCAGGCGACTAGGTCCGGCTTCCGGCTGAGCGGAGTCCTCCTTGGACGGGAAGCTGGAGCGGTGGACCGTAATGGAAGGCACAGCGAATGGCAGTGCTGACGGTTTACGAATGACAAGCTGTAGCTTCACGGGGAAGGCGAGCGATACGAGCAGGTGCTCCGCCAAAGAATGAGCGAGAGATTCAATCGTCCCAAAGCTGCTGTTCTCGAGGTACTGTACTGTCAGTCGTCTTTCAGAGGGAGCATGCCTCAACGTCATGCTGTCCAGCATGAGAATACTCACGGTAAGAGCAGTATAAGCGATATTCCTGTGCCCCTCACTCTCGGCCCATCCTTTGAATTCCAGATCCACCTCTAACCGCTGCCTCTCTGCCCTCTCGTGCGGATGCAGCCCAATCACACAGACCACCCCCAGCCCCTTAATCTTCATCGTCATCTCCTCCTCCCCTTCTCCCCCGCTCGCAGGCAGTACAGCCGAGTAGACTACCGACTGGGCATGAAGCAGCGCCCTCGGTAGTTCCAGCGATACCCCAACCGCCTCCACCGCGTCCAGAGCTAGCGGGACAGCTGCCGCAGCATGGATCACCTCGCTAGGCGTGCTGAATGTCCGCTTTGGGTCAGAGAGGAGCGCATAGACCTGTTTGCTGACGGACGAATAGTTGACGCCGAGTCCGAGCATACTGTCCTCGTCCGCCGAGACGATCCCGTCTTTGAGGTGGATGTCGAGCGTGAGCGAGATTGGACATGGTGGAGGGTTTGGCAGTCCGAAAGCTGACGGACCTAGGCCGTTGGCAAGATGGACCTGGAGATCATTGATAGAGATAGTATCGGACATTGTATTGGGCGAAAGTACTGTAGAGTGGAATGTCAAGGCAAATCGAGCACAAGGCCGGAATGGAAATCTGTTGAACTCCGGCTCAATCGCGCGCGCCTGCACCGTCGTTCGGCTCCTCACCATGAGGACTCCCCAGCATCATTCTCCGATGCGGCACCGGCAGAGGCCCTCCGCCCCGCGCACCAGAGACGTACCCCAAGGTGCAGGTCGATGCCAAAAGGATGAGCCAGCCAACAAGGGATGGCAAAAACAAAAAGAATATTCGTAACGCCGCCTCGTTTCGATCGAGGGACCCTCAGGTGACACTTTTAGTATGAGCCTGATAAACTAGCCACTGTTCCACGGCGTTCTGTGAAAATCAGATTTTTGCGCAAAATATACTCAGCAGACGAAAGATTGTGGGACTTATCGCTCGGGATCCAGACGAGATCTACCTACAACTTGCTTCCAAGACACATACGCTTTTCATCGTATAGCAGTCCTTTCAGCTTGAGGGGTCAGAGATGCTGTACAACCCTACCGCCCAAACGACAAGATGACGACCCCCTCAGCGTCCTTCCCGCGAAGTACGCCCCCCTCCCTCCTCATCCTCATTCTCGACATCCACCCCCTCTCCTGGTCCCTCCTCTCCTCTATAGAACCGCCCGACCCCCTCGACTCGCCCCCACCTATCGCCCCTGCAGAACATCATTATCTCCTCGCCCGAGCGCCTATCGGCCCCATAACACTCCCGGACTTTCTCAATGTCCTGCTGGTCTTCCTGAATTCGCACCTCGCGAGCAGGTGGGGTAATCGAGTGGTCGTTTTTGCGGCGAGCGCGGGCAAGTCCAAGTTGCTCTATCCTACAGCGGGGGGATATGATGGGGAAGAAGGACCGAAGGAGCGGCCGAATGTGTATAGTCCGTTTGGGATGCTGGATCAAGGGCTGGAGAGGGGACTGAAGGATATGATTGCGGAGGAAGAGACTAGGATGGATGATCAGGATGGAGAGGGATTGAATGGTGCGTCTTTTACTACCTACTGCTGTAAAGAGCCTGTGCGCCTGCTGATATATAGACCCACCCGCAATCGTCTCAGCAATGACCAAGGCTCTATGCTACATCAACCGTCACTCCCCTCCGCCCTCCTCTGAATCCACCGCCCCGACAAACGAGACACGTATCCTGGTCATCAACGCCACGCCCGGCGCCGGCTCCAATTCCAGCGACAACTCGTCAAGCACCAAATCAGGCGGAGGAGGGATGCGGGGCGGCTATGTCGGGCTGATGAACTGCGTCTTTGCGGCTCAAAAGGCAAAGATCCCAATTGATGTATTGACGTTACCGCCAGCGTCGACGGGGACGGAGGCCCCAATCTTTCTTCAGCAAGCAAGCCATCTGACAGAAGGGGTGTACTGGCGCTGGAATGGTCGGGGAGGGCTGTTGCAATATCTTCATGTAGGTTAAGTCTTCGGTACGCAGTGGACTGAGCTGATTTGCAGACAATCTACCTCGCCCCACCTGCCCTGCGGCAGACACCCTTCTCCCAGCCGCCGCAGGATGCGGTAGACTTCCGTGCGGTCTGTTTCTGCCACCATGACGTCGTAGACGTCGGCTTCGTCTGCAGCGTGTGCCTCAGTAGTACGTATTCTGGTTCCCCGTCAGCATACTCTCATGCTGATCATCTAGTCTTCTGCAAGCCGCTCCCAGTCTGTCAGATGTGCAAGTAAGCTCATACCCGACTAGGTCCCCCTCGTCGAGCTGACATGCAGGACCAAATTCCCCATCAAAGCGCTTCCCATGCTCAAATCACTCGCATCAGATCTCCAGTCGATACCCCTCCCGCAAACCATAGCGCCCCCGCAAGTCAAAGAGCGAAGCGAACCCAGGGAGAGAAGCAAGAAGCGCAAAGCCGACGAAGTCATTGTTGTAGATTAGATCATAGAGCAAGGCATGTAGAGGTACCCACTACTGAGAGTGTGAGGGATCAGCTTGTTCCAACACTGACTATAGCGGACCCCCTGGATCCTTCTGTCAGTGGGTTTCCAAATCTAGATCTCATGCCGCTAATGACTATAGACATACTCCTATACCATACTGACCCTACTGAGGCATGCCACCAATACCCGATGGCTACCGCCCAAACCCACCGCCTTCTCCCGGACCCATGGGCTGCCGCAGAATCCCAGGCGCAGGACTCCGCCTCACCGCCTGTACCGGCACCGGACTCAGCCCCGGCTGACCCGTAAACTCATCGTACAGCCTCCCAGCAGGCGGGATGGTCCTCTCCCATCCGGCAACAGCTTGGGTAGGTGTCCTCGCTCTCCCGCCGTTACTGTTTGATCGACTCGGTTCCCCTATACCGCCCTGCCCCGCTGTAGTCGCCGCAGAGGATCCGCCAAAGATACGCTCCCTCGCCAATCGGTACTCCTCCTCCCGCTCTTCCATCGTCTTTGGCGGCGTCTGCGTCCCGCCGCCGCGCTTCTTCTCGGCTCCGCCCGGCTGACGTCGAAGGATCGTTATACCCGGCTGAGGAATAGGGGAGGCGAGCGCGATGGATGGAGAACCGATAGCGGTGGGTAGAGGAGAGGGGAGGTGATTGTTGCTGACACGTCAGCTTGTGGGTCCCGCTCGCCGGTCAAAGGGACTAACGCTGCATCCCATATTTGTCGATTCGAAGCGGGTTTCGGACCCCTGAACCACTCATCTCCGCCTGAGCTACCCAAGGGGGATGACCTTTTTGGCTCATCTTGAGTATAGAGAGCAGGTCGAGCGATGTACGGCGTGGTAGCGGGTGATTGTCGGGACGGACCGGCGTCACCTGACGACGAGGTAGCGGGACGAGGTGAAAAAGTTGGCGCACCGGCTCGTAGAGAGAGCTTTGATTTCGCCTTTGCTTCGCTTAGACCTGAAGAGAGGTCCGCCTGGACTATGAGCTATTCGGCCTTGGCTACGGAAGCAAGACGCACCGTTTCCCAATCATCCTCCGACATGATGTTGAACAGAACCTGTCCTCCAGCCCTGCTCGCCGCCTAGATGTCTTTGGATTTTTCGCCTTTCCTCTCGATAGACCCTCCTAGCTGAGCGATGGCATGCCGGGCGGAGTATGAAGCTATCGCTGCTGCCGCCAGCTGCTTTGGGGTGATATACAAAGACAAGAGAGAAGGTGCTGCTGATCGGGATCAAACTCTATACCGTAGTCAGTCTAGTTACGTAACGGACCGGGCAAAAGTTCAAAATCTACCACGGATGTCACTCGACCATGTCCAGCCAGCCTCCTAAGCTATAACATACACCATACATACACCTACATAGCATACTAGCCGCTCAGGCACAAGATGCTCGTACCCAACGGCCAGCCGGTATCCACTACCTCGCTTCATCGGGTCCGCTTCTTTGACCACGCCCCTTCGCCCATCACCGCCCTCGCATTCTCGCCGACCCCTCTACCGGCCGCCTCCGACCCTGCTGCAAAGGGCAAAGCCAAGCAGCTTAGCCATGAGGCTGCGAATGAGCTTGGTGTGCTCGTAATAGCCAGGGAGAACGGAGAGGTAGAAATATGGGAATGGGTCGCTCCGGAGGAATCCTCGATGGGGAACTGGGTGCTGGAGAGGGTGCGTTGCTCTTGGAACAGGCATATTGAGGGCGCAGGCTGACAATCTCAGATATTACCACCCACATTGACACATCCGGGCGTATCACTCATGGCTCTTGTCATTCGTGATCCTTCTGCCTTCTCGCAGAAGGCATACCGAGTCCCCAAAGTCGCCGATCTGAGACTGTACACCTCGGGGTCGGATTCGGGCGATCTGGTCGAGCGGTGTCTGTCTACTGGGCGCATACTGGTGAGCTACCAACAAACAGAGTAGGATTGTAGCTGACCGTTCAGCAAGCATACTCTATCCCTGCACCACCCTTATGGGCCATGTCAGTCAGCCCCACCCACTCTATTCTCGCCCTCGCCACAACCTCCCCCACACTTCATTTCCTCTCCCTCACCTCTTCCGGTCTGGAACCACCTCCCGCCCATCTACTCCGATGCGAGCCGGTCCCGTCGCGTACACGAACCGTCTCGATCGCTTGGGGTCCGCCGCGCTTGGCACAGGACGGCAGCGAGCAGGTCTGGCAAGATACCTACTTTGTCACTGGAAATTCAGATTCCAGCTTCCGGAAATGGGAGCTGCCGTCCAGCGATCCGAACGCCCCTGGAGCGGGGCGGGTATCGATCAAGGGGCGATCAGTGGTGGAGAAGATCAAGGTGCAAAAGAAGGGAACAAAGGGGACTATTGTATGGGGCGCTGCGGTCCTCCCGGACCACACCATCGTCACTTCAGACTCACTCGGAACCGTCATTTTCTGGGACGGCGCCTCTCTCGCCCAAAAACAATCGTTCAAGGCGCACAAGGCGGACGGGATGGTCCTCATACCCGGACCACATGGAAAGACAGTATTTACCGGTGGACCAGATCAGCGGGTCTGCCAATTCACCCTCGTCAACGGGCAATGGCAGATTACCGCCTCGAAGCGACTCCACTCGCATGACATCCGCGCCCTCGCCGTCTTTCCCGCCTATACCCCTGCGCCTCCCGGAACCATTCCGGCCAACAACGAGGTGGCGCCCGTCCTCGCTAGCGGCGGTTGGGACATGAACGTCATCCTTACGCCTTGCGCATCTCCCGAGATCCTCGCGTCAAGGCTGCGCAACCCGCTCGGACGGAATAAGGGGCTTTCGCGGACAGTCTTTGAGGAGGCGTACATCCGGCGGATGAGCTACCTCGGCGGAGGCAGAGGTACCGGGCGGATCTCCATATCGACGGGATCGCGCTTGGTATTGGGGCGGAAAGAGCGGTCGGTCGGGATTTGGCGGATATTTGAGGAAGAGCAGGGATGGGAGAAGGTCTTGGAGATGGATCTGAAGCTGCGGACTACATTGGTCGCGTCGGCGATTTCGGACGATGGGCGCTGGATGGCGGTATCGGATCTATACGAGACCAAGCTGTTCCGTCTCACCACTTCCCCGGCCGGCACCTTGATCCCTCGCCGAATCAAGACTTTCGTCTCGACACTCATCTCGGCCGAGTCGACCTCGCATCTCTCGCTCGACACAGAAGGAACAGGATCGGGCATTCTGGTCTTCGCGCCCGACTCGTCTCGTCTTGTCATGGGCCTTGCCATCTCGGGACAGGTCCTCGTACTCGGTCTCCAGGAGGACGAGGAGGACGTGGAAGTCGCGGCGTGCTTTTCTCGGTCGGAGGCAGCCATGCCGGGGCGGATCATCAAAAAGGGCAAAAAGGGGAAGAAGGAGATGCCACCTCCGGATCTGCCGAATGGGGATGACGACGAGATGAATGGTGATGGCGGAGAGACCGTGGAGGCAAAGCGAAATGGAGATCTGGCGAAGGTGGCGTGTATGGCGGTCAGCAGTGATGGGCAGTGGCTGGCGGTTTCGGATCTGGGCGGAAAGGTGTCAACCTATAATATGGACACATTACGGGTAGGTCGTAACTTCATGAGCAAAAGACGTAGCTGACAAATAGCCACATTCGGTGCTGCCCACACTACCCCAATCCCCATTGGCTCTCCTCTTCCCCCCTACCCACCCTTCCCTTCTTACCATCGTCCTCCCCACTCAATCCCTATCCTTCTACCATATCGACGACCGCCGACTCCTCGGCTCCACGCCCCAGCTCGACATCCTCAACCGCGCCCTGCGGGACCAATTCCTCCCTATCCAATCCGCCTCGTTTGAGCCTTCCCGCTCCTCCCCCAAAGCCGCCAAGATCGTTATCTGGTCGAGCGACTGGGTATGTACCGCGCGTCTCGACCTCGACCTCATCGGCCGAGTGCGGAAACTAGGCAATGGAACGTCCAAATCGTTTCAAAAGAATCTGCGGCGCAAGTGGGCCGAAGAGGCGCGGGATCAGCTGGAACGTACTTCCGCTTCCAGTCCTTCTCTCTCTACTTCGGACGCCGCGCCGTCTACGCCAAACGGAGCGATAGGATCCCCATTATCAAGGCAAGTATCGAGCGAGCCTTCGGCGGGGAAGAGCTCGAGCGAGGATCCGGAATTCGCAAAGTTTACGCATGATCGCTTTAGGGCGGTGGCGGGGATAGAGTGGGTAGGGGAGGGGGAGATGGTTGTGGTGGAGAGACCAATGGGAGACTTTGTGGACGAGCTGCCGGCGATGTTCCATATGGGTGGGTATGGGCGGAGCTAGGTGGTGTCGTGAGTAGGTGATGATGCAGGATATCTTGGAGGAACAGGGACTTGAGCGGTACTGATATCGATCTGATCAATCAGTGTGCTTTCGTCTCACGTGGACTGATGTCGCTGTGCGTCTCGCAGGGGGCCTGCGCCCCCTTCATATCTTTTTGTTGACAATCGTGCAATCCGACACCTCCGCTTTCCTCGGTGCTCTGAGTGTGTGGCTACTGCTTCACCGAGCGCGCGCGGCCCCCTTGATAACGTAGGCGTGGCACACAACAAGGCATCATCAGGCCAGCGCCCGGATCCTTTGATCGTACTCTCCGGCGTAGGAAAATTGACCCCTGACGACTGAAACTGTATCGAAACTCACATGACAATCTCCGTATCCCAGGGAGCCAAAGGACAGCTGGTTGAAACTTGTCTCAACTCTCCGGCACTCACAGGGGGATGTATCACAGGCGCATCCCGCAGAGACTTCGAGTCTTGGGTACTATACCAGTTCCGCCCACTCCTGTTCACCGTGTCATACTTCCCTTCCCCAGCTTACAACGTATTCCACTCCTCCAGCCACCTTCACTACTACACCTCGCTATCCCATTCAGCCCCCCCCCCCCCACCCACACATACACATCTAGCTTTGACATCCTGCTGTACGATAACACAACATATCGCGCCACACATCCTTCTCCTGACGTCCCTACTCGACCGAGCATCGCGCCACAAAAGGATCGCGATAAGAGCATGCCTACGCCATCCTACACCAGTGCCTCGACCCGCGATGTGTCGGACCAGACGTACAGTACTACAGTACAGTATTCTGCCAAAGAAACCCACTTCTCGTCCGAGGAGGACGAAGGAAGCGACACCGAGACTCTTCGTGGTAGTACCCGTCGTCCACGTACAGGTCGCTCCGAAACGGCTTCCGGGAGGACCATGACTGGCCGAGAGCCATCGCAGCTCAGCCGCAGCCAGGCACACTCGGGCCGTTGTTCGTGCCATCATACAACCGATGCCACCACGTCCGGACACGGGCTGCCTACATTCTCCCGTACGACTGCCGGCGATAGTGCACGAGAATCAAACCGCTCTTCGAGCCGATGGTCCAGATCCACACCTCCTCCGACTGATGCCTCTACGATGTTGAGTCTCTCAACGGTCAAGGACAGCTTCTGCAGCTACACACGGCTAGCCTTCGACAGCGCCGTTAAGGCCAGTGGTGCCTATGCCGGTAAACGGCTCACAGTCACTGGTATTTCCAAAGCCTCGGAGATCTGGCAGAATCAAGACATTTCTGCCGCTATGAGCAGTATGGCGAGGGAGGCCGCCAGTTTCGGATCGGCAATTCCCACTGCAGTATCCGAGGCGACTTCCGCGGCGTCGAAGTCCCCCTGGACCGGTCCTGTCTTGGGGACGGTCGCGGGGGTTGTCGCTTATGAGCTGGTGTCAGGATTACGCGAATATATGAAGAGTACAGACGGCGTCTCGAATTCGCGAGAGAGCCGCTCATAAGATAGCTTCGATTAATACAACCTGCAGCTAGTGTCGACCGAGAGGAGATCGTACAGGTGTCGATCGGGGAGTCCCATTGGGTCTGGGAAGTCTACGTGCTATTGCTCCGAATGTACCTGTGTCTCCAGGATCATCCTGCAGCATGCTGACATCTATCTACCCAAGCGCAAACGCCACACCCCCCAGTCACCTTGATGGGGACTTGTGCGGTACTGACCCGTTCAATCTAATGAGCTTCAATCACCGAGTCACACGTGCGCTCATGTCGCTGCGTAAGACCGGTGCTCCCCCGACAACGCAGCAGGAAGCTGACTGCAAGAAGCAAGTCGATACGTGCCTCGTAGTGGGCTACCGCCTTCTCCCATCTCTCATTGTCGAAATTCGCGTGATCCGGTGCCTCCGCCAAGACGCTATAGGCCTTCACCTACGAGTGGCGTTCTGCCTTCGTTCCGATTCACGTCTTCGGGATTGTCGCCGCCAGCTCGGAACTTACGTTGGGGAAGGTCTCGGTCCTTACCTAGAAGGCCCCTTTGCCCAGTGTCCACTGGTGCTGGTGATCGGCGAGCGCCGGGCATCCTTTATCCTGCAGCGATGACAGGTCTTTGACGCGATGCGCGCCAGATGAGGCGAAGGCGCCAAGCCTCGGCCACATCGGCGAGATATGAGCACGGGTAATGCGGCGAAAACGAGCTAGTCAGGCGGAAGGCCGATGCAGTGAAGGAGAGGACTATAAGAGGCGGCCAGAGGGGGTTAAATATCGTACGACTCACAACCTCATTCACACTCGATCTCATTCTCCAAACGTATTGAAGCGAAGCGACTCACCACCACACACCACACACACTCCTCACGATGTCCTCCAACTCCAATGTAGGTCTCACATGCAATGTGCCCATGACAAGCGAGAGCTAACCATGTAGCCCGGTGCTTCCACGCTGCGTCCTCAGCCGACCTTTGAAGAGTACCTCGCGTGGCTCGGTGTAAGTTTGGCCATGCCATTGGGCCGCTTCCGCTTTGATTTAACCCTTCCGTAGCTGATGAGACAGAAAGCTTCCCACAGCAAGAGCATCACGGACTACACGGCGTGGCTTTCGAGTCAGGAGGCGACCACCTGGTCATCGAATCGGAGCAAGCAGAGCAAGCAGTGAGCCTTGATGTCCAATTGCGATCGTGCTCGCATCATTGTCGGAGGCGTCGTCGTGGGAGCCAAGCTGGGTCTCTAGATGTCTATGTATGAATGCTGCCCATACACCATACGACCATTTGTGCCTCCAGGACCGACCTACAGCATGCTAACATCTGCCAATCGCTGCCACACCTGCCGCCACATTCCTCACGAGCCAAGAGAGTGGTGACGAGCGGGTGGCGCAGATTTTCCGCCCTAAATGTAATGATGCCGTAAGAATGTCTCGGACTCTTGTGGAGCTTGGACTGTTCGTCCGAGAGCGGTCAAGAGCACGAGTGCGACGTCGAGGGAAGGTGAGACAGGGGTGACGCAGAATTTCGGTAGCCGCAGCGAGGCCGAGGAGGAGCCGCGGAGCTAGCTGAGGGTATGCTCACCAGTCTCCGTCTTGTCAGCCATCTCCTTTCCGCATTCCTTCCATCCATCTCTTGAACTGCTTCTCCGATACACTCGTAGCAACACTTTCGCCACCCTGCGATCCCGTATTTGAAAGGCATAACTCTACATCTGGACCGAGCACGGAGATATCAATCACTGGCATCACTCTGTCACACCGTCAATTCGTTAAGGTCGATATCCCCGCACGGCGCACAGACGACCCTCCACTTGGCCGATTAGGTTTCGCGCTTGGAAGCTTTGCGGGAACGAAGACCCCAAAGGTTAATCCTCTCCTTTAGATTGGATTTCCGCTTGTTCGCTTCACTGCGCCCTCGGGTTTGCGTCCCATCACTTGATCAGTCAATCCTCCGTCCCGGCATCCTGTACATATCTTCTATCCGGATCCACCTCAGGCGCCTCTCCTCATCAAGCGGTTCCCTTCCACATCGGCACCCACGCGAACGAGAATGTTCGCGGCTCTTTCAGCAGTCGCTGCGATTTTGGCGGCATGGGGAGTTGAGGGACAAAGTCAGACGGCAGACTCCAATGGGTGTCTTCGACTGCTAGGGAGTGTAGCGTGTCCAGGCTGTAAGTTCTGCTGGCTCCATCTCTACCAGTAATCGGCTGATCCACCAGTCCAATACGCCTACATCAACCCATCCAACCTATCCAATGCCTGGCCTTGGCTCGCGGGTGTCACGACCGTCGCTCAATTCGATGTCGCGGCGCTCAACTACTTCGTCGACCCAGATCAATGGCAGCAGACCAAATTTGTCAATCAGCTGGGGTGTACGAATGCGACGGGGCGGGTCATCCAGTATGAGCGGTCAAGACTGTGCAGTAATTGGGTGAACAGTGTATGGGGACGGGCATGTACGGCCAACTACAGTAAGCTTGGTCTCGCCTGACAAGTCATAACACGCGCTGACCGGTCAGACGGAACATCAGCAGCTACATCCCAGAAGATGCTCTGCCAGTCCACCTGCCTCCAATACGCAGCTTCCGCCCGGAATCTCGTCAACTCCACTGCATGCCCTGGACCCGATACAACCAACGGCGGACGGGAAGCGGCGCTGCTCAAGGACTATGTCGATTGTACCGACTGGTTCACCCTAACTACCAACAATACCCAAACCTGCGTCTCTGGGCAGGACAACGAGGGGAACTGCGGGTTCGGCTCGAACACCGCCGAACTCTGCAACTTCTGTCGAGGAAACAACGTCGACAGCTGTTGCTACAGATGTGAGCCTGTATCGCCATCCCGATTGGAGCGAAGCTGACCCTGCAGCGAACACTGATGTCTCGGTGTGCGGCTACGTCCTCCCAGTCCAGCCTTCGTCGACCTCATCCAGCGCGTCTTCGACGGGAAGTTCGTCCGCTTCCAGCTCAGCGACAGCTGCGATGAGCGATGCTGGAAGCAGTTCGACCCTTACTGGGGGCCGGTTGGCAGGTGCTATCGTCGGCGGTGTCCTAGGAGGTCTCTTGGTATGCAGTATATCTTCTTATGTTTCGACAACGCTGATGTTCAGCTTCTCGCCTTACTGGCTCTCCTCCTTCTCTGCCTTCGCCGACGTCGTCGAAACGCCGCGAATCGCCACTCTACCTCATCCTCCTTCGCGCCCGCCGCTGCCGGCACACCCGGAGGGCTCTCTTCCCTGTTCTCCGCCAACTCCCCTCAGCCCAACGCATCCGAAAAAGGTCTCATCGGCAACTCACGCACCGCCGGCATGTCCAGTCCAACCATGGGGGGCGATACCGTATACTCCGGACACAACAAATCGGCCCTCTCAAGCGGTCTCCTGGGCGGCGCAGGGAACCGAGCCAGCGCAGGCACAATCCCGGGCATGCTATCTGCTCTTTCCCTCGGCGGCGCTGGGGCAGGACTCGGAGCGGCTGCTGGATCCGGCGCAGCCGGATCAGCACTCAGCGGTCCGGGCGTCCGAACGTCCGGTATCGTCCTTCCGCGCGTACGGGACGAGAACCAAACAGCACCAGACAAGTGGATCGAGACGGGCGCAGAGGTCTCGGTCCTCTGGCCATATCAGGCGACACTGCCGGACGAGCTGGATCTGCGGCCGGGGATGAAGTTGAAGGTGCTAAGATTGTATGATGATGCGTGGGGAACAGGTGTGATCGTAGGTGGGGAAGACGATGGCAAGCAGGGGGCGTTCCCAGTGGTAAGGTCTAACCCTTCTCGCACAGGCGTAGTAGCTGACATTTCAGGTGTGTGTCTCGGAAGGTTCAACTCTAGGCTCTTCCGGCGCAAGCAGCACAGTGTCACACTAGCCCGTCATTTCGAGGAGAGATCATGTGATTGTGTAGCTATAGCGCAGATTGGTCAGGTGGTCGTGAGCTCAAGTATAATAGGGAATAGTCGATCAGGTAGATATAGCTAACATAGTTGGTGGATGAGCTCCTCACTGTGAAACGTTATCCATCTGTCCAGCCATGGCCATACAGGTGCAGCATGTTTGTTTGATGCAATGCGAGACCCAGATGTCTACCTGATACGAAAGATACAACTCCCCAACCTCTCTCTTCCCTCCAGATGTAGTCCCAAAGCGCCAAAGACCCTCTCAGCACCACCTAATCGCCAAGCTAGGTGATGGGCTCGAGGAAGCTGCAGATCACCAGCCCGATATCTCCGTCCTCTTTCCGCCCGACCAGTAGCCCGTCATTCTCCACGCCGATCTCGGGGTATGGGAAAGCGGGCAACTCGTCGATGCGTCCGACCTCGTAGAAGACGCTATCAAAGTCAGCAGTGCGATGCAGATATACTCAAGGTAGCTGGAACTCACTCGATGAGATCACCAGTCGCGACTGGGAGGAAGCGGAGTTTGCGATATCGCCTGCTTCCGACTTCCGTGGGATCGCTATAATAATTAGCTTGGACTCTGACCATGTCTGTGGTAGCTTACAAGTCCGCCACCACACCACACTGATACAACACCCGCTCGTTCCTCCATCCCTCGCCCGCGTCGTCCTCCAAAACCCCCTCTCTCTTTCCCATCGCTGTCGACGCTCCACTCCGAGTTGGCGGCGTAGGAGGCACGACCGCCACTTGTCCTTGTACCTGACTGGACGAGCCGCTGCGCACCCGTTCGATCTCCAGACCCTCCAGGTCCGCGACGGCCGGTGGATCAGGCATCATCCCGCTAGCTTGCGACCGGGGCGTGAGGCCTATCCCGCTGAACGTCTTTTCCTCGCTCGGACTGATCTTGGGTAGACCGAAGGATCGACGATCAACCGAAATGGCGTCACTCTGGTCCGTGGAGGCCGGGTTGGATGCGCCTGAACGAGTGACGGAGAAGCTAGCCGGAGCGGGCATAAGGAGGCTGGCCGATCGGCTCCGGGTGGCAGTATCCGTTGAGCCCGCGCCCATCCGCCGTACGCTGCTAGCGGGCGAGACCAGCTTGGCCCCGTTCGGAGCTGGGCGCTGAGCAGACGAGAAGCTGTTGGCATGCCTCAGATCTGGCCGCGAGGCCGAGGCGCTGATGGAACCAGTCGGAGAGGCGTTTCCAGATCTGTTGGATCCGGTCCGTACATGCCCCCGTCCACCAGTCCGCTCGCTATAGCTCGCCATCCGGTCTGCCATGCTCTTGGTGGCGCTCCGCGTGATGCGGAAATGGTCCATCGCGTCCGCGTAAGGCGTCCACGCGGCCTGCCAGGTCTGGACGATCGATGAGGCCGCGGTAGGCTCCAGCGCCGTCTCCCCGTCATCATCGTTGAGATCAATCGTGTGGCTGTCCGATGATAGAGTAGGTGACCGAACGGCGGACTTGGGTGATTGAGCCTTACCAGTCGCGGGACTGGCAATCCATGTCCGGAGGTACGCGTCGACCTTGTCCCGCACCGTCGAGTGGTACCGGGCTTGCGCACGCGAAAAGGCGAGGACAGCCAGATCAAAGATCCGGATGTACCCCTCGAGGAATGTTGGCAGCTCCTCGACCAGCTGGGTATGAAGAGCGACGAATTCCCGCGCCGAGTCAAGGGTGCCACGATCGGGTGTGCGCAACCGATCCTTTTGCTGTGTGATCCGGGCGTAGTCGGCGGCTTTGCCATCCCGCTTGAGTATGACTTTGCGGGGGTTCTCGCTGCAGTCCAGCAGCCTGGAGAGGGCGGGCATGACCTGGTTTCGCACCTCGGCGTTCTGTAATCAGCTGAGCCCCGCGGCGGGTGACGTATGACGCACCAATTCCACCCAGCATCCGTCGATCAATGCTTCTCCGACCTTCCTGAACGCCCTGAGACGCTTATCTCCCGGATCGGTTCCATCCAGCTTGACGACCCGTTCCCAGCTCGCAACGAGGTTCAACTGCGCCACAAACACCTCCTTGGCCGCCGCGGTATACTGCACAACCTCCCTTCCTGTCCTTCGTACCATCCGCTCGGCATCCTCCAGCCTCTCCACGAGGAGCCGATATTCGGTGAACGAGACCTGCGGGATGGTACCGCCGAGCAGATCCGTTGGGGAGGGGACGAGTGTGGCAGTCGACGCAGTAGCGAGCGAAGCGGTGGACGGGTTCGCCAAGGTGTTGGCTAGGGAAATTGTACTCGCCCCTCCCTTATCTTTTCGGAAGAGCTTCAGTCCGCTCTTCTTTGGGGTCTTTGCCCCACTCCCTCCACCGAGCGCACCAGGTCCACTGGAGACCGGCTTCTTGGATATCACTCCGGCAACAAGATCTTTCCGGCGCTTCGCCTCGTCAATTTCCAGCGCCATGGCCCGACACTGCTCCGCCGCCGACCGAATCGAAAAGTAGTCGGGATGTACCGGCGTCGTGCACGCTAGCAAATCATCAAAGAGTAGGGGGTACTTTGTGATTCGCTGGACCGGCTTGATGAGCATCGAATCGAGATTCCACGCGTGTGTATGGGGCCGGATCTGCTCCCATCGATCTTTGAGGTAGGTGGAGTGTGAGGGATCCGCCTGGACTTCGACGAGCCGGACCGAGGCGGTAGATTGACGAGCGCAGTAAAAGTTGTACAGGGGCCGGATACGAGGTAGATTCGTCATGAAGACCTCCCCGAGCTTGTCTGTCCCGCCTTCGCCTTCCCGGCCTGTAACGCCCGGACCAGCTTCCTCTTCCCCTATTGCGCGCGCGAATTCCACCGCGAGGTCCTCCGAGGCAGACGCGAGCTGGTCGATGTTGAGAAAGATGGCGCGAATATCGGCCGGACTGAGGGGTTTGCCGATGGGCGAAGCCATATTCGCCCCAATGACGGAGGTGCGAGGGCTAAAGTGGGGTAGAGGTGATAGAGAGGTGGAAGAAGCAAAGTACGAGCTCATTCCGCCGATCTCGGCGGATGCTGAAGGACTTCTAGGAAGTGGCGAGGCCGGAGGAGGCACATTGGCCTGGGTGGATTGAAGGGAATAACCCGATGTAGGGCGACTGTCCATGGACTGCGAGGCGGGCATAGAGTTCTTGATGATCTCCCAGCCTGGGCTGAGACTGCCGTTCATGCTGTCCGCCATGGAGTGAACGGAGGGACGGCGTTGTTGTTGGCTGATCACCATGAACGCATCCCGGAGGAGAGCGAGGTCCGTCGCGTATGCGCGCTCCGTCATGGCGATCTCGCGGATGAGGTGGGATCGCTTAGAGAGGCCGGCGCTGACAGGGGGTTCAGGAGCTTTGGCCTGGGCCGACGCCGAGATGTTGGGTGTGGTGGGCGAGCGGAGCATAGGTGGAGGGAGGAGTCGGTTCTGCGCCGCCATTGGGTCGGTCCCGCTCCGCAGGTGGGGCTGAGCCGACGGGGACAGGCCAAGTAAGCGAGACGCCTTCGACGGCGGCGAGCCATGTCCGAGCAGCGGCATCGAGGGGGATTTGGTCGGAGTGTGTCGAATAGGCTCCGGTGTGAGCGGAGCTTTCGATGGAGCAAGTAGAGGTGTGGAAAAGGTGGTAGTGGTGGTAGGGATCGGTGGGGTGATTTGGCGCTCGGTAGCAACCTCAGGAGCTGCCTTCCCAGACGAGGCCGACGCGATCTCGAGGGATGTTTTCTGACCTTCAGCTAAATTTCATATATCATCGGGACTTTACTCACCTGCTCCACCTCCCAGTCCGCAGCTTGGATCATCGCCTCCATTTCACCAGGCGCCATAATTCTCCCGCGCCGCTTGGTGCTCCACTCTCCCTCCCCGTGCGCGCTTCGAGACCCATCCTCCCTAGTCCGCCTGCTATCCGTTGACCCCGCTTGACTCCTCCTTGTACCGCTCGAGTATCGGTCATCCTTGTTGCCCGCGGAAAGCGGTAACCTCCCCGAGCTCCGTCCACCTGGTGAAACCCCTTCTTCCGCCTCTTCTGCTGGCGAGTCGAGGAACAGCGAAGGTGTGCGGGTGATGGGTGAGTCCCCTTTGGTCGATCCGGAGGCCATTCGTCGGCTTGACGCAGCTGATTCTGGCCTAGAAGCCAATTGACGCATTGGATTTCTGGCTGGGATGGGTGGACTGTTTCCCGAGCTAGATTGCCGCCGAGGAATAGCGATCGCCGAGGTGTCGACAACTAGGCCTTGACGGTTCCGTTCTGGTTTGGGACTCTGACGGGGGAGGGTTGCACCGCGCTCAGAAAAGTCTGGAATGGCAGCGGGTGGTGCGGCGTAGTCGGAATCAGGAGGTATCTGGCTCCCTCTCCTTCCGACCCGACTGGGGCGTTGAGAGGTGGTAGGACTTGGCATAAAGTCTGAGTGGTCTGGCGGGGCCGAAGGCGGCATTACCTGCACCTTTGCAGACGTCGGAGATACCTCACCCAGATGGACCGCCGTTGATGCTCTCCGCTTGGCATCGATTGGCGGCCGACCGGGCGGAGCAATCATCTCCTGGACACTGCCTATAGTGATCAGATTCTCGCGGGAAGAGAGTCGAGGGGAGATCGGCGGCCGAGCAGTGAGCAGGGCCCGCTCATCAGGGGCGATGGAGGACGTGCGAGGGGCGGTGTCGACGCGGAGGGGTCGAATTGGAGTGGTGGGGTCCGTTTCGGGAGCAGTAGAGGTGGAGAGGGGATGGGCCGCATCGTGCGGACGCACAGAGATCGACTCTTGATCTACCTCAGTGACTGATTGAGAGGAGGACCGCCCAGAGCGGCTCAGTCTCCGGTTGTCTGCACCTTTTGTTCCGCTCCCATCTGACAGTAGGCTCGATATGGATGTGATGGAAGTCCGGGGCGTGTGAGATTGGGGACGCGGTCCCGAAGGTCGCCGACCGGGAGAGCCGATGCTTCCTGAGGAGGGCCGCCGCCCGCGTCCGAGTGAGGGAGGGGGGGATGACGATGTATGGGATGGTGAGGAGTTGGACAGGATGTAGGATGTGCGGCGTGAACCGGGAGGAGGGGTTCGAGGCACCCTTGGCACGGTCGTGCCCGGCTGTGGATCCGGGTCTTCTGGAATACCAGCTTCTCTGGGTGCAGCCTCCGAGGATGACGTGCGGATCGACTCTATTGAGTCTGATGGGCGAAGTGGCCGTCTGCGCGGGGAGAGCACCGGTATTTTCGAGCCGGGATAAGGAGCTGCCGGGGTTTGGGAGCGGGAGCTTGACGTGCTCGCTGTTGCACTCGTAGCAGCAGAGACCCGACGCACTGGCCTTGGCAGCCGACTGGGCCCTGCCTGTCCCTGTGATACACTTCGAGGATGTGGTACCGATCCCGGTGAACCAGCGGAGAGTGGTGGTGTCGCTCGAGGGGCAAGACGCGTAGCCGATCCCGAGCTCGACGCTATAGGGATGCGCGAGCCCGAAAGTGATGCTCTGGGAGCTGGACGTGTTGGTGTGGTCTCACCCGAGATGGCTGTTCGTCTCCCTGCGACCCCCTTGACGGGCGTAGGTGACCCTTCACGACTGTCATTCCCTCTTCCCTTCCCTCCGGATCCGCCTGCTCCACCTCCCGCTTTGTCCAGCACCTCCTGGCCTTCCTTCTCCTCGCCGATCCCACTCGCCGCGCTGGGTCTCCTTGAGACCACAGGTCGCGGAGCAGACCGAGGCGATGGAGGTTCCGACCGACTCTCGAAATAGTCTACTGCGGAGGAGACTCGGTTGCTCCCTGATGCTGCCGGCGACGCCGATGGAGGGGTAAAGTACTGAGAGCCGCGTCGGCGAGTAGATGTCGGAGGTGTCGAAGCGTCAGGGCTCCGTGTCTCCATGATGGATATTGATCGCGGACGTCACACCGCTATAAAATGAGCAAGGGATCGATCATGAAGGGTCTATGCTATCATCTGCTGTGCCTCGTATGTGAGACGTTTTGCGTACATTCAAGCTGCCTGCCAGTCCCTAATATCCACTCCTCTGATCTCTCCTCTGCTCTGCTGACTGTGAGTACAGTGATTGATGGTAGTAAGGGTGAAAGAGGATGTCTTTTGGGTCACCCAAAAGGTCGTTGAGCTTGTTATCGTTGGGGTCATTACGTAAAGCATCCGGCGATCGCCGCCGCGACTCATTCCTGCGCTGCATGACTTGTTGCTCGACCCAGACATCCATCTACCTCTTTGTGCTTTCCTCTCATCCCAAGCTATCATGTCAGCTCAAGCAGGTCCATCCAAAAAGCGCCCGGTCGTAAGTCAGCCTCAGAGCTGGCGATATACCAAAAGAGATCAGCAGTTGACACTCGATAATAGATCGTCGAGGAGGATGCGACGAAATTACAATTCGGAGGTCAGCCACCCTAAGCTCAGAGCAGTCATGGTGTACAGAGCTCAATCCGAGCAGAATTCGCAGATGGCGAAGCTCTGACGGTGATGGAAGTCCAACTGTTATTAGCGGCCACGAGGAACGCACCGGGAGCACCAAAAGCACCAGATAACAAGTCAGGCTGGTCACTTTGCGCGGCTGTTTGCCGTACTGAGGTGAGGCTGACTACAACAGGGTGTATAAATTGACGAGCGAATACGTCAGCGAGTTCTCCAATGCAGCGTCAGACGTTGTGGATAGTATGAGAACGTGAGTTTTCTTGAGACTCAGCCTCGGCCGGAACAGGCGAGTGCGACCCGGCACGCGACCAGTACTCATGCGCAACAGAGCTCTGATGGCACATACTCAGTTCCTCAACAAGTTCGAGGTCGCGCAGATTTTGTATCTGAGGCCTGAGTCCGTCGAGGTCGCCGTGGCGTTAATACCAAGGTATGTCCGCGAAGGCGACATCTGCCGGGGATGAGCTGATGTGCCAGTCTGGATAGGCATATGGGTCAGGACGACACGACCGAGACGCTCTCGCAGATTTTGGAGGATGTCAGGGGGATAGCGAGATACGGAGGCAGGCCATAGCCGAGTCTGTAGAAGGGGTTGAGGTGCAGCTGTCGAGAGGATGGCTAGAAGACGGGAGGAGGTGGCCGAGGGCCTTACCTGGCGAGGAGGAGGAAAGGCTCAGCGGTATAGGGGGTCACCACTCCGTGATCCCTTTAGATAATGTAGAAACGTACGTGTCCTGTCAACAGTCAGGCCTCGATAGGGGATCGCATAACCAACAATTAACGGAGGCGTCTCTGGCATAATCACATCAGAGCAGATTACACTGATGCTAATTCTCACTAACACCCCTCAAAATCTTGGTAGACCAATCAAGCCTTCCTGGCCAGACTTTGCAGCCCACTCGGCCAGCTCTTTCGTGACTTTGATCTGGCACCCTAGTCTACTCTCACCATCCCGATACGCCAGCGCGTAGCCAAGCACGTCCAGCTCCTCCTCTGAAGGTTCCGGTATTGGTGCCGACGAAGGGATATAGACATGGCACGTCGCACATTCTGCCCTTCAGCTCGATCCCCCCGAGTGTATGGCGGGACCTACCGAGCTTCCCTCCGCATACTCCTTCGATAGCAGGCAAGCCCTCTCTCTTGCCTACTTCCAGCAACGTCTCCCCAACTCCAGCCCTCACTTCCCTCACTAGTCCCTCGTACGTCTTGAACCTGATTCCCACCTTCTCCGCCGGCGATGTCTGAGCCACAGACCCAGCCTTGACCGCCTTGTCCTCGGCTCGCTTCTCTTCGCCATGCGCCCAGGCGACGCCGCCCCAAACCCCCGCCTGCTCCACCTCTGACAGCCCGTACCGCCCGCGCCAGTGCTGCCACATATCGTCCGCTTTATCTCTACCGTCTATGATCCACGAGAGGAAGTGAGGAACGTGCTCCGAAGTGAGATTGGACATCATATCCAACGAGGGGAGGACAATGGCATTGGCAGCGTACCTGTTGTGTCAGCAATGGCTCTAAGCCTGATATAAGAAGTTGCGCACTTGTGTCCGCCTACGTGCGCTACCTCCCGGACAGACACCTTCTCCTGCAGTCCCCTCTTCTCTATATCCGCTCTCAGCGCACGAACCACCTCCCCACCCGTGTCCCCACACCGACAATCCCTATTTCCATGCGTGCAGACCAGCACCTCCCACTGCTGCCCTTCCCCTGACGTCTGCCCGTCCCCCGGACTCAGTGCCTTCTCCTTATCAACCTTCCGTCCCAACAGCTCCTTCATCTCCCGAGACATGATCGTCCCTTTCGAGAACTTGTTGAAAGCGTGCGAGGTCCCATCGGGCCAATACAGCCGCGCAGGATACACCTCCTCCCCCTCCTCAGGAAGATCAAACTCCGCCGAAGAGCCAACTCCGTCCCATACCGCATTCACTACAACGCCCTTTGCTTTCAGAGCGCGCGAAGCGAGGCCGAGGAGAGGAGACGCAAAGTCGAGCTTGGCCGGCCAGGAGGATGGGGGATGAGGGATAGTCAGGAGCAAGAGGGCGAAGGAGGGGTTGATACTGCGTGGGAGAGGCTGCGGGTGAAGCGCCTCTGTGGAAGGTGAGGGTGCGAAAGGGGTGTACATGGGCCGAGGGGGCGGAGCGCGCGGAAGAGCGGAGGTGGAATGCATTCGGCGGTGAGATAGGACGCATGTCGATGTTTCGAATTCATGGTCTGGCCGATCTCGAGCTGCGATCCAGCGAGAGGTACTGCTCCCCGATCGACCGAGCTGCAGAGCCGCTGGAGGTGGTCGAGGGATGCGTTTAGACATCGCCACAAGCACGCTCGGCTTCATCTTGTAGACAAGCAAGGCTAAGAAGGTGGATTGACGGTGTAAAGGAAGTTGACGGACGATCGAACGTCGAACGTTCCAAGCTTCCAAGGTGGAGGTGGTCCACACTAAAGTGTCAAGACACTACTACTGCTACATGGTGTATATGGAGCGGTGCCATGAAGCTATATACAAGACATCTCAATCATTCTGGACTTGGCACTGAGGATCGTAGCTCATCACTGTTTGACCTCGACATGTTCCACCTCCGTACCGTCCATCTTCCGTGCAGGCCGCTCATAGATCCTGGCCTGGATCGCTTCGACCTGGTCCTTGCCATCTCCCGATATCAGCATGTTTCTCTCACCGACCATGACAGCAGTAGTGGAGGTAGCCTACCAAAAAGGTTGCCGACCTCCTCCATCGTCATACCCTTGGTCTCAAGGTAGAAGAAGTACGCAAAGACGAGGAAGAAGAGCTGCAGCGCAAAGAAGAGGAAGTAGTATCGCCAAGCTGTTCTGTCAGTATTCACCCCCGATACTCAAGATAGACCTATAGCTCAAGCTACTCACCGATAGCCTGAAGTGCGATAGCTGGGCGATCAGCAAAGCACTCTCTAGGCCGCTTCTGACGAACACTCACGATTGACATATTGATTATAGGTGACGGCGATTGACAGGACAAAGATGTAGATTCCGATACCCTTGGATCGAAGCGTGGTCGGCAGGATTTCAGTGCAGTACATCGCGCTCAATGCTGACCAGGTCGCACACTGTATCGTCAGCCTCGCCAGCACTTCCGGATGCACTGCACTCACATAGCAGCCAAAGTAGAGGTAGATCATCGGGATCGTTGCGACCCCCATCATTGGATTCTTGGTCGCGTCGTATCCCGCCGACAGACCGATGAAGACCAAGAAGAAGACTGCCTGACCTGTCAAGCCGACCAGCCAGATCGGTCTCCTCCCGATCCTCTCCAGTCCAAACGACGCGACAAGCACAACGACCACGAGGCCGAGCATGTTGAGCCCGGAGAGCAGGGCGACCTGCTGCGATGGCGAGGTGATACCGACGCTCGTGAGGATGGGTCCAAGGTACGCCGAGATCAGGACGCTGCCGGATAGCTGAGTTCCGCTGGCTGAGACAACGACGACGGCAGTGCGCCGCCTGTTTCCAGGCGTACGAATGAATTCGCGGAGCGAGATCGCGTTGGCTTCGACGGCGGTTCGCTGAACCTCCTCCATTTCTGCCAGCTCGTTGACGACTAGCTCGTCGTCTAGATCCCCGTTGGCGTGGTACTTCGCCATCACGCGGTGGGCCTCGTCTTTCCGCCCGACGTTGAGGAGCCAGCGGGGCGACTCGGACATGACACCGAGTAGGACGAGGAGGACGGTCCAGATGGATCCGAGGGCCTGGAGAAGTGTCAAGGTTCGCCATGACCACTCGGACTGCCAGCCGAGGACCGCAAAGCCGAACCAGCCGGCGCAGATCGTGCCGAGGAAGTACGAGAGGTAGTACAGGGATCCACAGGCTGCTCGAATTCGCTGATACGTTAGCATTGCAGTCCTCACGCCGCGAGCAGTGAAGCTGGGGAGAGCGGTGACAAGGTACTGATGTGAATCGATACTCACCGGATGGGCGAGCTCCTGTAGGTAATAGGGTGCAACAGTCTGCTTGAATCCCGAACCAAAGCCCAGGATCGCCCGACCTCCGATGAACATGTTCTGCGAATTCGAGAGCGAGACGACCAGTGCGCCGGCAATGCAGATGCAAGACCCGATGAACATGGTGGGTCGACGGCCATATCGGTCGGAGCACCAGGCCGCGGGAATGGGCGCGACGATCTTGGCTATTGGGTGAGCTCAGCCCTGTCGGAGGGTAGGAGGGAGAGTCGAAGCCAACTAACGGAAGTAGAAGCTGGCTGCGATCAGGCCGAGGGTATTCCCGACCGGGTTGTTGAAGTAGGCCTTCCATTGGGGCATGATGAGGAGCGAGGCGAGAAGGGAGCCATCGTACTTTTCCGTCAGCTCAGTCAAGGCGTAGGGAAAATGTGAGTACAGGTACAGACTTACTCCGAAGGTGAAGCACGCGGCGTAAATCGAAGTCAGGCAAAGTACCATCTTCCGAAGTCCCTTATCGCGCCACCATTGTGGATGAGTATTGTCTACGCTGATCAGCATGACTGACCAACATGGCCATCCAGCCAGCAGGACCCAGGAACCCACTGTTCCAGGTCGAATATACCGGTACTTTCTCGATGCTGGACATGATGAATGACTGGAGATGATGGGCGGTAAGGCGCGTACAGAGTGAGTCAGTAGATCAGATGAAGTGGCTCTCAAGTCATCCTGTTATGAGCTACCGTCCTTTCCTTACCGATCAGCCAGCCGACCGGACCATTTCTATCAGGCTCCACCGTGCTCATGGGGAGACGGACGATTTCTGATGGACGCTCCGGAGGAGATCGATAGGCTTGCGCTCAGAGACGCTGCGCATCTTCGGGCCCAGCAGTCAGCGATGTCAGCTGACACTCGCTCGTCCGCCGGTCGCTTTGACCGTGGGGTGTCTCGGCCCTCAATCTATCTCGTTGGCCCCACTCCGGGTCTGATCAATACCGAAGTCCGAAGAGCGCTAGATCGGTAGAGCAGCTTGAAGTTCAGTATGGTGTGGCCGATATGGCATGGAAGCCGGTGGACGGATTCTCGGACCATATACGGTAGTTAGGTGGAGTGGAGGCTAGTGGAGATGCCGAGCTTGCCGAGTAGTGGTAGTCAGCTGACAGAGATGTATGGCCCGAACTTCAGCTTGGCTTCGGGGCCGGATATACCCCGCTAACTGAGGAATGTCATCTTGAGACCCCATCGAGTCTTGTAACTCTATACTCTACTCGTTCAACGCCGATGTGGAGCTGGGTGCTAGTGCAAGAGTCAATGGTCCGTCGGGGCTCAAGGTAGCATCCTGCCCCCGGCGGACCGCATCACCCCACTCAGTCTTCATCCCGTTCTCGGCCCGGTCGGGACGTCGGGGTACTTGAGTACTTGACTGCCTCACTCAGTACTCACCTCTCCTTCTTACACTAGCTGATCCTTCGCTTCCCCTCACCAGACGCGATGACCACCTCAGTCAACAGCGCGTTCGAAGCGCACTACATCAAACACGCCCGCCTCGCTCTTCAGCGCGAAGCCGGCGAGGCCCCTCCTGCCTCTCCCAAGCACCCTTCGGAACTTAAGAGCGTCCCTCTCTTCCTTAGCGCGCAGAACTTAGTACACCCCAGCGAGCCTCCCATCAGCGCTCTCCTATACGGCGGCTTCCTCGAGCATCTCGGGCGGTGTATCTACGGCGGTATCGTGGACGACTACCGAAATCCCAGCCCGGCCCAGCTGCTGATCAAGCAGGATGACGGGACGGCTCATGCCAAGGGAAGGCTTGGGTGGAGAAAGGATGTCAAGGAGATCCTGGCGTCGGACGGCGAGTTGGAGGTGCCGATGATGCGCTGGCCTGGAGGTACGTCTGGCTGCTGCAAATGCGAGGCGGGAGAAAGGGAAATGCTGATGAGGTAGGCAATTTTGTGTCGAACTATCATTGGCAAGATGGCATAGGACCCATAGCGGACAGGCCCAAGACGATCGAGCTCGCGTGGCTCTCGGACGACCCGAACATCTTCGGCACGGACGAGTATGTCGAGTACTGCCAGGGTCTTGGGGCTGAGCCTTACATCTGCCTCAATAGTACCTCATGTTTCGAATTGACGCTGGACTAGACTGTGCTGATACAGCAGTGGGATCTGGGACGTTAGAAGAAGCTCTTGCATGGGTGGAATATTGCAATGGTACTAGCAACAGCAAGTGAGACTTTCATTCTCAGCCTGCCGAGCAAGGCTGATCGGCAGATATGCCAAGCTCCGAAAACAGAACACCGGAAGGGAGGAGCCGCATAACGTCAAGTATTGGGGACTTGGAAATGAGAGTGAGCCAGCTCGTCTCGGTATAATCAGAGATGGGCTGATCAGTAGACTACGGCCCCTGGCAGGTGGGGAACATGAGCGCGACAGAGTACACCATGAAGGCCAAATCTTGGGCGCACGCCCTGAGACTGGTGGATCCTACTATCAAGCTTGTCTCGTGTGGGCACAATGTGAGTATGAAGGGGATGAGGGCGAGCAGCAGACTGACTCGGCAGGGAGCGACCGCTTGGGATCGGGAGGTACTGGCTACGATGGTCGGCTATGTCGATCTGCACTCCATCCACTTCTAGTAAGCCTTTCCTTGCACTCATCCCCGCCTTGGCTGTTCCAGAGCCTCGCTACCCCGTATTCACCCTTCTGCCTCATTCCACCCTTCCTCCTGTGCCCCTGGGCCTCTTCCCTTTGAAAGCTCCAGTCTTCTCCTGCAGGTCCAGACACTTCGCCCGGCGGCTCCCGAGCTAAACCCTCCTCCTCCCCTTCCCTCCCCTACCCCCTGCGGACTCACTGGCCATGTGCATACCAGCCCCTTCGCACTCAGCCCAAGCTAATACATCAGTTCTATGGTCTATCACGAACGCTCCCCTCCTGGCTTCCTTTACGAAAAGAACGTCTTCGGTCCTGCCATCGTTGAGCTGTACATCGACGTGTGTCAATCCTTGATTCACCTCGCGAACAATGAGCGCGCGCTGCTCGATATACCTCCGCGCGAAGTCAAGATCGCGTTTGACGAGTGGAACGTCTGGGATAAGGCTAAAGGGAATGCGGACAATGGATTGGAGCAGTGGTATGACTTTACGGACATGTTGGGGTTTGTTGGCTGGCTGAACGTCTTTGTGCGAAAACACAAGGAGGTCGGGCTCGCTAATCTGGCACAAGCCGTCAATGTTGTGAGTTCAACGTGGGGGAGTGGGGGAGTGGGGGATTGAGGGAGCGGGCGCTGATGGACAGATTGCGCCTTTGATGACGACAAAGGATGGCGTAGTGAGACAGACTACTTTCTATCCGTAAGTTGGGCTATTCTGTAGGGGGCGAAGGGCACCGCTGATGAGGCAGGCTAAAGCTGTTCTCCAAGTACATGAAGAACGGGAGACTGATGGCGACGCCAGCTCAACCCGATACCTAGTGAGTCCGTCGGACGCTTCTGATGGAGTAGAAGCTGACGATGTGCAGCATTGGGCCCACATTTCCCGTGACCATTCAGACCCTCAAGCTCCAACCCGCATACATCGACCTCGTTGCCATAGTCGTCGATACGACCGACGGGATCAGTATCCGGGTCTGCGTGCTCAACCGTCATCCGACGGCGGATTGGAAGGCGGACTTTAGGCTGGATGCTTTCGGTAAGCCTTGTCTCTCGCCATCTGCCCACCCCTACCCCCGGTCATGTCACCAAAGAGAGGGCCCGAGCTGACTTGACAGATCTCGACCATGTGGAGATCCACGAGATGTACTCTGACGATCTTGAGGCAGTGGTAAGTATCCTGCTGGAGCGTGAGTGCAGTGATGAGCTGACTTGAGCAGAACACTTTCCACAGCCCCGACACAGTCGTTCCGGCGGTGAGCAAGGTGGAGGGGGAAGACTGGAAAGGGACGCATACCGTTCGCAAGCATTCCTGGTCCTTCTTCCTTTTCAATGGCAAAAGTACTTCGTAGCGCCGTGAGTATAACAGATTTGCGTGCTAGATGTCAGAAGTGATGTATCGATTAAGGTCACCGAGCCAGTGAGCCAAGCTCAAGACAAATGATGCCTGCTTGCGAGGGGTTGTTCACGCCCATCACCTCCTTCAGACAAGCAACAGCGCGCATGGGACTACTCGCACATTCCTGCTCGTCGTACAGTCACCTTCAGTATATACAGCGGGAGCCAAGGACCAAAGCGCTCATGACCAGCTGAAGATTCTATCACTTGCATGCTGGACTCTATATAGCAGCCTTCATAATTGCCACCTTGATTCTTCAGCATAAAGCTCTACAGGGCAAATCTGAAGTCCAATCTGAGTGATCAGCCTCGGCCCGAACTGGCCACAGATTGCGACTTGTACTCACCGCTTATTGCCCACGTCCGTCGTGGTCTGCAGGTACACGGTGCGCTGTTGCTCCGTGTACGTATCCCAGATCTTAGCCTTGGAGGCGTTGCGCCAGCGATAGTAGAAGTAGGTACCGGGATACAGAGCGACCTTTGAAGTCAGCCATAGTCCAGTCTGGAAGAAGGATGGACTCACGATGTTGAAGACGATTAAGCCGATGAGACCTTTGTTGGCGCTAAAGTATCGCGGAGCATCTTCGGCTACATAGACTGCCGAGTCAGCGCAGGTCTGGGGAGTGAACAAGACTCACTGTTTGCCCCAATCATAGCACTGGCCTGGACCATCATATTGTATGCGCTAATGATCAGCTTACTTCGGAAATCGACTCACGCTGATGCGACTGTCCTTGTCTGGACTGAGCCAGAGTTCCTGCTGGTCCATGCCACATGTATGGCGTGGACACTGCTCGTCAGCTCTGATCTTCTGATCAAGTCAAGGCTAGGGTACTCACTAGGGATAAGCGAGAAGTACAGTCGAGATGGCAAAGTACTGCCAAGAAGAGGGGTTGTTGACCGCGACCAGAGCTATAAAGTTGGGCAACCACCATATGTTCTGAGCGGCCGAGACGAACGACCGGTTATCGACGAGTTCGGAGACGATGGTGATTCCGAGCAAGTTGATGATGGACCAGGCGGTGGATGGGAGTGTGAGGAGGTTGGTATCGATGACGCTGAAGCCGAGACCGCGGAATGAGAGGGTGAGGTAGCTCGCGACGGGGTAGCCGGGGATACCAAAGAGGAGACCGATGAGGTATAGCGGGTACATGTCGTAGTCTGCCAGACCCTTCAGGATCATCTTGACTGTGAGTGCTTGGCGATTGTGCATGCCCGCCTTGCCCGGGTCGTCCCGGATTACGCTGTTGACGATAATCTTGACTTGCTTGTCGGTAAAGTAGCCTTTGGGACGGTGCCACGCTTTGGTCTTGGCGGGGGCGGTGGGCATAAGGAAGAATGAGGCGATACCAATGAGGACTGTGGTGTCAACTGGAGTGTAGAGGGTGAGCATGGGTGTACGCACGAGTCAAGAGACCTTCGATGAGGAGGAGCCACTGCCAGCCTGCCGCGCCTGCGATACCACGCATCTTGAGCAGACCGACCGCCGCAAAGCCCCGGAAGATTCCAGCTGATGATCAGCTTGATTTCACGGGGGTCGAGGGCGACTTACTGAAATCGGCTGCCACCCAGAAGAAGGCAAGACGCAACGGCAGCTGCCTACTGGGGTACCAGTAGCTCAGGTACAGGACGATATCGGGGATGAAGCCACCCTGGAAGACCGCACTGACAGTCAGTGACGATTGCTGTATCATGTCGGAAGACCTACATCAAGAACCTAGTAGCAAGGAAGGACCCCCGACCGGTGAGGAAGAACTGCATGGCCGAGATGAAGCTGAAGCAGCAGATCTGGATGGGGATCCACCTGTCGGGGCCGAGACGCTTGGAGATGAGCTGCGAAGGGAGCTCAGCGAGGAGGAACCCAAGCTTGGCGAGTGTGTTTCCCAGGTTCTGCGGTCAGCTCAGCCTGGATCCGTACATACATAGTCCGCTTGTGTCAACTTGAGATCATCGAGCATATTGTCCGAGACGGCATTCCCTAGATTCCCTCGGTCCACGTTGAGCGCAAAGAACATGACCGCCACCCAGCCCTGGAGGTCAGTGCAGGTCTAGCTGTGATCAAGAAGGACTGACCATGATCTTCCAGTCAATGATCCGCCGAGTCTGGCGTTCTTCCCGCCATGTCCACCTGAAGCTCGGGTCGAACGCCTCAAAGTTCTCCCATTCGGGCGAGATGAGCAGCTTCTGGTACTCTTCCGCCTGATCCGTGTCGAATACGCTCGGCTGCGTCGCGACCTGTTTGTCAGCCAATGTCGTGTACGGACGGAAGAGATGACTCACGGCGTCAAGCTCATTCAGGTGCTCTCGACCCTTGGGCCGGATGCGGAGGGTCTGCAAGAGCCACACGGCCAGGGCGGAACCAGAGCTGGTCTCTTCCTTGGTGGCGAGAGGCAGAGGGGCGAGCTGACCGTTCGGTGGGGTCGGTACTTCGATGGAGGACTTGTCGTCAGAGTAGCTGCCATCGAGGGTGGAGGAAGGCGTGTCTGAGGGTTTCCGGCCGGGTAGAGGGGTCGACATTGTGAAGGTATGGCTGGGAGGGGCTGGTCAGTATACTTGCCCGCAGGCTGGTATATAGGAGGCACAGTTCCCGCTGGCAAGTCATGCCATCACCAGCCATCTTGCGCCATTTTCCTGCGTCCGTACGACATACGCTGCACCCATGTCAAGCTATCAGCATGAAGACGCAGGTCAGTGTACAGTAGCCAGTGTAAGCGGCCCGAATTTGCCGGCGGTCTGAGATCTCGGGCCCCAAATTGGTCTGAAGGATAGCGAGAGGAATCTCAGAAGCACGACTGGACTCGTCACTTCCGCCTATCTCCGCCTTGCACGAGGCTCAGCTCTCAACCGACCGGCCTTGTTATGCGGTGGGTTATGCGGTGGGCATGAGCGAAGACCTGCTCTCAGAGCACGTTTATCGACGGTGAAGGGGATGGCGCAAAGGGATGGCACAAGATGATGTCGAAACGCATCGTCAACGCTTAAGCTAGTTTAGTCCGAAACGCCATCAGTTTCGATGATGACGACATCAGGCACCATATGAAACCGTGGCAGGTGCGTGTGGCGGAATGGACCGAGGCCCGACGACCCGACGTGCTCGCCTCGCACGCGTCCGCCCTATTATATGTGCGCAGATGACAACATACCGGATCTGCGCCCGGTGGTCTGGCGCAATCTTGCGCAATCTCGCAGGCGGAGCATGAGAGCGGGGTGCTAGATGAGCAGTCCCAACCGGCTGGACCCGAAGTGGGGAACTCCGAACCCCACTCCACTCCAGCTATAAGGCCCAGCGCCTCGGCTAGCTTCAGCCACAACTCATCCACCCAAGTCCCTTATCATGCCTTCCACTGCTACCATCACCGAGTCAACCACTGCCGCCGCTGCTGCCGCGCCGCACAAGCTCAACCTCCTCGGTCAATCCCCTCCATCCTCCCCGAAGGTCGCCACCAACACCCACAGCGGAACCAGCACCCACGCCACCCCGCCCGCCGACTATCCCTACGCCAAATTCCTCCCGTCCTATGACCCCGGGCTCAAGCTCCCCCCGCTGGAGCCATTCGAGCATGTCGACCCGGGCCACGCCGCTCTGCTAGACGCCAACCCCCGGTCCTTCCTCGACGGGGCCAAGGAGACCTCGCTCACCCCCAAGTTCGGGTCCGAGATCGAGGGTATCCAGCTCAGTCAGCTAGACGCCAGAGCCAAGGGGTAAGTCTCTTCGTTTGATGCGATGGGCAGTGGCTGATATATCAGACAGCTCGCGCTGTATGTCGCCCAGCGAGGCGTCGTCGTTTTCCGGGACCAAGACTTTGTCGATCAGTCTCCCGAATGGCAGCTCGAGAGCTGGGGCAAGTAAGCCTGTCCCCCCTTCCTCAGCATAGACACTCGCTGACGTGCAGAACCTTTGGCCGGCTCCATACCCACCCCACCTCTGGCCAGCCAAAGGAGTACCAACAGTTCCACCTCGTCTACCGTGATGGTGCCGGTGCAGACGGACCGGGCGCCGCCAGCCTCGTCCGCAACTACTATGCCGACAAGCTCACCTCGACCCAGTGGCACAGCGACGTGACGTACGAGGAGCAGCCGCCGGGACTGACCACCTTGTTCCTCTACGCCACGCCCGAGTCAGGTGGGGATACCACCTACGTCTCTCAAGTCGGTCAGTACCTTCTCTTTCTGGCGTGGATCCACAGTTGATGATTAGAGGCGTACAACAGGCTCTCGCCCTCATTCAGGACCTACCTCGAGACGCTCTTGGTCGTCCATTCCGGCCAGGATCAAGCGGACAATGCCCGTCGAGGTGGCGGTGTCATCAAGCGCGAGCCGGTCGAGAATGTCCACCCCCTCGTCCGTCGCCACCCCGTCACTGGCGCCAAGGCTCTGTTTGTCAACAAGGGCTTCTCCAGGCGGATCGTCGGGCTCAAGCAGGAAGAGTCGGAGGCTATCCTCAACCTGCTGTAGTAAGTCTTTTCACCTCCGATCGTTGGCAGGCGCTGATAGCCAGCGCGCACATTGCGCAGGGTCAAGACTTCCAAGTCAGGGCGAGCTGGAAACCCCGCTCGGTCGTTCTTTGGGACAGTGAGTTTCCTCCATTCCGTCCAAAATGTGAGCTGACGGCTAGACCGCATCACCGCCCACAGCGCTACCGGGGACTACACCCCCGAGGCCGACGGCTTCAGGCACGGTGCCCGTATCACCCCTCAGGCTGAGAAGCCCTTCTTATAGATCGCCCCTATAGCTTGTAGTCCGAGGACTGATGGATGTCGTCAGAAATGTATCATTTAAGATTAGCAAGTCAGTGACCTGGTCAAGCTCTCTACCAATGCAGATCTCAAGACGAGCTGTGGTGGTCTGCGATCTATCGTCTCTGCTCCCCACCTCACGGCTTGAGGTCCTGCACCCGCTCCTTGACCCGCTCCTTTGCCGTCCGGATCTTGTCCTGCGCATGAGATGCCGCTCGCGTGTACCCGCCCTGACATGTCAGCCATCACTCCACCTTGATACCTCGTATTCCCTTTGACTCACCTTGCCGACCCACCCTCGCCTCGTCAACCACCCCACAAACTTCGGTGTCCACGCAACCGTCAACCCCGCTCTCACAGGCAACAGCGCGACCTTGTGTATAGGATACGCGAGCGCCATCTCCGCAAGAACAGTCCGGCTCATCCATCCTGACTTTTCCTTCTTCTTCTTCCCCTTCCCGTGATCCCTCTCCTCCGCCTCCGCTATCCTCTTCTCCTCCGCCGCCTCTTCGGCCGCTTCCACTGCAAGCTCGGCCGCCCGCTCCTCGCCATACCGCTGCCGCCTATACCACCCTACGGCGCCCGCCAACATGGGCTCGATACGCTCCGCGCCCGCCAGGTGGATCAGGACAAAGACGAGCGAAAAGTCCAGCGCGGAGAGTACGGTGTACATGCCCAGAGCGTACCATCCGTACCGCTTGAAAAGGAGTTTGAGGCGCGCGTACGCCGAGAGGTTTGGGTCGGGTTCGGGGTCGTCCTCTTCTGATGGGTCGGGGTCGGTGCGGGAGGTTCTAGGAGGGGTAGTGGTGGAGGGGGCGGTGGTTATACCTCGACGGAGGAGGAAGGCGGATGGAGAGCCGATGAGGAGGGGACGTAGGTCCCGAATAAGGCTGCGGATGGATGGAGGACGTGATGGGTTAGATAGGGGTGAGGGCTGCGTTATTGTGGAGTGGATGTGGCGTGATGAGATGCCCAATAATGCTATAGGCAGCATCAGGGTTGAGGGACGCCTGAGCTGGGAGAGGGCTCGAGCACCGCGTACGGGTTGACCGAAACGGCGGACCGCCGCCAGTGTCGAGCTTGACGAGGAAGCAAAGGCGTTCATAGTGTCGACTAGGCTTTTTGGTATGAGGAGGATGGAGCCTGTGCCTCGTCAACGATGATGGACTGCAAGTTTGGTGTGTATAGAAGCAGACTCAAGGCGGAAGAGACAAAGCAGTGTGAATGCGCGACTTTTTGGCCGGGCTAAGTTTGGCCTCGTCATTCCTCGGCAAATCCTCGAGCTCCCTCGGCCTCGGTCATAAGACGGTCTCGCATCTACCTCTTACCCTGTATGGCTTGGGCAGTACCTTCATCATGGTACAGTGACACCTATCGCTCGCCGAGCAGCTATCTAACAAATGCATGTATATTCTATACACGGACACCCAAAATCCCCATCACCTAGAGGTAACACCTGACCAGCCCCGCGCCCGCCTCGCTCCCCATCCCATGCGCCAACCCCTCCACCTGTCCCTGTAGACACATCAACTCGAGCCTGCTCGGCTCCTTTGTCCCGCCCCTCGCCTCAGCCGGCAACGACGGCAACTCGACCAGCCCCTGCTTCTTTCGGCGCAGATTCTCCTCTTCCCGCTCCCGAATCGCACCCTCGTGGCGCGTCTTTTCACGCGCGATTTGACGCGAGAGGAAAGCGACATTGTTGGCTTCGTGGTTGTAGAGTGTGAGCGCGTCGAGGGTGTCGGAGAGGTAGGCGGGGAGGGTGGTAGGGAGGGGGTTGGAGAGGGACTGGAAGGCCGCGGGGAGGGGAGTGGATGGGGATTTGAGGGAAGACGAGGGGGTCGAGGGGGAGACGAGGGTCGAGAGGAAGGCGGCGAGGAGAGGTGGGGAGGAGGTGGTGATAGGGAGGGATTGGAGGAGATTTGACGAAGTCAGGCGGTGTTCAGTGAGTCTGAGGGTTAGCGAACAGTCACGGGGGTTGGTGTAATCTTGTCCCTGCCCGGTCGTCCCTCCTTTCTGACCTTGTCCAGCCCCGCGCTCCTTGTCCCGCCGACATCTCCAGATCTATCGCCCCATGGTCAGAATGCGACTCACGATGTCCCATCCCACTTGCCGTCCTTCCCAGCAGCCCTCCCGCCCTCCGTCAACCGATATGCCCTGACGCCGCCATCACCCCGACTCGAGCTCGCATCGTGCACCAACAGCACAGCCTTTCCGCGCCCCATGAGCTTCTCGACAGCGTTCAGCAGGTCGATCGTCGACCGAGTGAGGAAGCCGCCATTGTGTGTGGAGAGGTAGAGACCGATAGGCGAGGAAGGGGTGGAGACGTCCGAGAGGTGAGAAAGGAGGTGGGTGGAGTAGGAGTTGGCTGAATGTCAGCAATAGTTTTGATGGCTCTCTGTTACGCCGTGAACGTTGTCCCCAGAGCATCTGTACTGCCTCGAATCCCCACAGCCCTAAGGCTGATCTGTCCAGCCACCCTTCACCTCTCCCGTCCGTCCGTCCACCCCGCTACCTTTGCATTGTTCCAGTCTCCCAACTCACGTCCAAGATTTGTCTCTCCGCCAGGCAGCGCAAAGCAGTCCTCCACCTCGAGCACACCCTCCAGATCCAGTCCCAAGATCACACCGACCGCATCCGGATGAGACGACAGCTTGGTCGCTGGCGGAGCATTCCTGTCCTGCTGATAGGTCGTTGATGGCGGAGGAGGCAGAATATCCGTCGAGTGCTTCATGATCTTGAGCAGGGCCTGAAGGTCAGTTTCCAGGTAGCGTCATTATCAAGCGCATAGCTCACCAAGCTGTTGAGGTTGACGCTCTCGACCTCCCTTGCAGCCTCCACATCCAACACGCCCTCCATGCGCTGTGGGACTTTGGCGGATTGGGATGAGCTCTGCTCTTTTGGTTTTTGGGCGACAACGGGTGCCGGAAGCGAGGCGGCGAGGGTAGCTGCCATGGACGCCATTTTGTATAGGTGTCTATTGAGTAGTAAGGTTTAGCTAGTGTAGGGTAGACGCGCGAGAACAATACAGCTCAGCTCAGCTGGCGAAATCTCGTGGCTGTGGCTGGGCGGCGTTATCCGGAAATAAAGATTTGGCTGGGCTATAGGAAGATGGGTGAGTCCGTGGGTGTGGCACTTTTGGCTGAGCCTATTCGGCTGACGGGAGACCGCCTAATCCTTGGCGCAGCGGACAGGCGCCTATCTTCTACTCAACCAATACCGTTCCTGCTTGACCCTTGCGAGCTCCTCTTCTGCTCCATCTTTCATCCTTATCCGCCATGTCAATAAGATCACTCGCCCGCTCAGCTCAGGCTATCAACGCGGCTCGTAGCGCCCAGCCTATACAGGCAGCTCGCTGCATCTCCTCCTCAGCGCCCAGGCGAGCAGGTCATGGCGCAGATGAGCACCATGGTGATTCCAGCGCAGACACCCATGAAAGTTAGTCGCTATGCTTAGAGCCAGGCAGTCTGGGACCGGCGTATCAAGAGAAGATCGCCGGTGGAAGTACCATACTCAGTTGCGCTAACGTCCCAGGCTTCTTCTCCCCCGCCATGCGCAACTCCCTAATCCTCACCGCCCTCCTCGTCGTCGCCTACCCCTACTTGCCCTCCCCAGCCAAAGGCTCCGCCTCTCCCTCCCTCTCCCCCGACGCTCACTCGTCAGCATTGAACGATACACCCTACATCACCCGCTTGCTCGCCAAGTACACACCCAGCGCCCAGCTCTGGACAGAGCGGAACGACAAGCACCTCGAATTGACAAAACAGGCCGCGGAGGATAGGCTGTTGGTGCAGGAGGCGGAGAGGCCAAAGGTCTGGAGGATGCGGTATGCGAGGTGAGTAGCGGGGCTGTGCGATGGGAGACTTAGTCGCTGATGTTTAGGTCGTTTGAGCAGGCGTCGCCGCATTGCATTGCGGTCGGATCGCAGACCGACCTTTCCGACCTCAAGGTCACGCGCGACCAGGCTTGAGCGAGGCGGCTGCATGCAGAATTGGAAATTTATGTGCATGATTGAGGTGCTTCACTGACAAATGATGGTTTTGATACCCCCACGGCCATGCTCAAGCTGGCCGGGCCGATTTGTGCGGCATTGCGCATCGAGGCAACACGATACTGACATCATCGATGTGCCGCGCGGGCATTTCAAACGATGTCTGGGCTGCCTGGCGAACACGATGACTTAGCCTTCAGATCGCCAAATCTCAACTCCACCGGCCACCATCGATGGCTGGTCTCGCGTAGGATCAGCCCCAACGAAATAATGTTTGCTTTACCACGATCTATCGCATGTTGAAGCGATACATCTGACCTCAAAACACGGAATACTCAAGCCCTCCCTCTCCGGCAAGTTTTCTGAGGCAAAGGAGTCCTCACTTGTCGGCCCTGTCGGCCGTGTTGCTGGCCGGGCGTGATGCCCGACTTTCCCTCTCCTCGAACTCCGTCTGGGCGGTCGCAACAGTATCAGCGAGCCTGAGCAGATCCTTGAACAGCGGATGATTAGAGTAATCGGTCTTCGAGGCCTTTCCCGATGCACCGGCCCGCAATTCGGCCATCCGCGTTGCCCATCTTCCGCCAGCTTGGAGTAGTCAGCTCAATCTGTCTCGCGCAAGGAAGCGGTCTCCTGGCCCAACAGCGACCATCACTCACATGATCCGCTGGTGTGCTCGGTTCGGTTGCTGGGATCGTCGGCCATGGTGTTTGCGGACTCAAGGGGGAAAAGTGATTTGGGCGAGTAGCTTGGGTAACGAAGGCAAGTGGACAGTGGATGGATTTGACTCACAGTCCACGGGCTTTTTGAACACCTTTCGACCGCGCCAGTCGCATTCAACTCGCTCTCTAACCCTGGATCTGAAAGGAATGACCCTTTGATGAACCCGAAAGGGGAACTCACGCTCAATCTGCTCTTACGCGCGACATCTTCGAAAACAGATCCGTTCACAAGGGATCTCGGCGACTTGTTGTCGCCCGGGCTCACGAGCCCTCCACAATGGGCATGCCAGCACTGACACGTAACAGGCCTTAGTATGATCCGGCCAGCAAAGGATGTGCACACCTATCGTAGTACGCAGTACATACCCTACTGCACCGCCTCAGACTGCGCCTCAGACTGGCTGACACACGTTCGACCGCTCCCCGGCCGGGCCCTCAGGCGCTACCTCTGTGTCCTCCTATCATGTATGCCTACATCCGTTCTCCTCTAGCTTTCTTTGTACTTCAGACCACCTATGTTTTCTTTACCCCTGCCTCTGCCCCGTGCCCACCTTTCACCCTGTCGTCAACAACGGAGTCTGCCTATCGATATGATGCTACTCCTGCCCTGCTTTCACGACAAATAGCCCTACAGTCTACCTGGCCTCTTCCAAGTCAGAACTCTGCGCCTATACGAGTATATCCAATCTTCCTGAATTTCGATCGTCATGCGCCTTAGTCCTCTTCTCGTGCCCCTTGTCATCGCCATGCCCGGCGCTCTGGGCAACGTGCTGGTCACCATCAAGGCCGAAGACTCCACCCTATCGATCTTTGGTATCGATGGCCCGCGGGAGACCCTAGGTTTCCTGACCACCAGCGACCAGCAAAACCCGTACAAGCTCGCATTTGCCGACAAAAATCCTACCGACTCCAAGTTGTTGCCAGGCAATGCATCCTTCAGGCACACTTCGGAAGGCAAGCACGTCGATGTGAGTATCTCTCCACGTCAGAGGTCAGACTCGTTATGGTGAATCTGCTGACTCGCACTAGTGCTCCATTGAAGGCATCCCAAGCGGCGATCTCGACTCGAACAAAGACTTCAGTGCCTACGGCGGAGGTACTTACGCTACTTCGTGGAAGCTCGCGAGCTTGTCGGACACGGCTGCACAGCCTTGCGCAGAGAAGGGCGGTATGAAGCTGGCTTGCAAGGTGTTCGATGACAAGGATAAGCCCCTTCCCGACATTCAACAGCTGTGTATGAGAAAGTAGTTGTGCAATACGTGTTTAAGCCTACAGTCCGCGGCAGAGTTGTACAAGTATAGATAGCACTGAGCAGTCGGTATGCAAGATTAGGAAATGCTGTCCATTTCGGTCTGCTGTGTGAGATCTGGCTCCTGCCCTATATCTCCTCTATTGCTAGCGCAGTGATGTGACATTGTGACGCCCTTCAGAGCCTCAAGGCGCAGCACTTTCTGGGCGGTACACTCGGCCTATGAGACGCTCTATAGCCCAGCTTACTTTCATATATGATCACCGGCAATTAAGGCCTCTTAAAATCGTCCTGCCGATTTGCCCCCCAGACGCTGATTCAGACGGTCGGACGCTCCTTTCCTCTGCTTACTCCAATCGTTCGTGCCCTTGCCGGTCTCCTTAGCCCTGTCTCATGCCCATAACGGTCTCCTTAGCTCTGTCCACACTTGCGACGTGCTGCTTTGTACCCCTGCCTCCGTCTCGTGCCCACATTCCTTCCAATGATCATCAAAGGAGAGGAGCCCGTCTCGACCAGTGTGATCCCTACCCTGCATATTCACCGATATATTTCTCTGCCCCCCCTCTCCCAGCTCGGAACTGTGTAATTCTGAACCAAGTTGAACTTACCATCGACGTACCACTAAACCTCGATCGCCATGCGTCCGAGTCTTCTCTATGCGCCCATGCTTATCGCCCTGCCTGGCGCTCTTGCCCGTGTCATGATCAGCTTCTCGTCAACATCCGAGGATGCCTCCCTCTCGATCTTTGGTGTCAATGGCCCGCGCACCTCCCTGCACTTCTACACCACCGGTGACCACGAGAACCCATATGTGCTCACAAGTGCCGACCAAGATGCCGTAGGCATGGACACTCGACTCGGCTTGAAGCCAGGGCACGCAGCCTTCACGCACACATCGGACGGGAAGCATGTCAACGTAAGTCTCCCTCTACACCGAGACTCTGAGCTCCTTCGCGTGAAGCTACAGCTAACGCCCTCTGAAGTGCCACATCGAAGGTATCCCGGCCGGGGACCTCGACGCAGACGAAGACTTCTCCTTCATGGGCCGCGGTGAGTATCATACGTGGTGGACGCTTGCGAGCTTGTCGGATGAGGCCACGCAAGTATGTAGAGACAAGGGCGGTATGAAGCTGGTCTGTGAGGTGTTTGACGACAAAGATCAGCGCGTTCCCGGCGTCCAGCAGGCGTGTACGTAGGCGAGATGTAGATCGAGATCTAGACATGTTACGCCCGCGCCGTGGAGTTTAGATAGCACGAATCACTTGTGTCCATCCGTCGTGCTTGCATCAATACCTTGTGAGGAAGTGACCATTAGTTACGGGCCTGGATAGGGTCAGTGGCTCAGCTGAGGCCAAGCGTCCTTGTCAGCGATCTGTGCTCACGCTCTCATTCCAATATTGTAGTCTATGTACAACATCTAGCCGGTGTTCTGCTCTCACCGATCCTATACACCACCCCGCCGTTTCTATCGACCCACTTCCGGACCCCTGCGCCTGCCTAGATCGCCGCCTGGCAATCTGGACACACCCAACAATCCTCTCTTCTCCCTCTCGTCCCTTCATCCTCCTCATCCAGGTAACTCCCCCGCGCCCCGAACACCTTCATCCAGGCCGCCACCTTCGCCTTCGTCTCCGCATCTACATGCTCCGAGAATTGGTCACCGCCTATCTCCACAACCACCTTTGCCCCCCTCTTCCGTTTCCGCATGTCCGGCCGATTTGCAGCTGCGTCCAGACACTGTCGGACGCGCTGGTACACCTCCCTGGCCTCGAGCACAGCGCGCGCATTACCGACTATACCCATGGCGTAGGTACCGCGAGTGATGGATGATTCCGCTGCGCGGAGGAGGGAGATAGGGATGCCGCGCTCGTCGCGCGGTAATCGGGAGAGGTGGGATGTCAAGGAGGATGCTTCCGCTGATGCGGCGTGCTGTTCGATATAGTCGCCGCGGGTGAGACGATCGGTGTGTAGGAGGTCCAGGCCGGACGAGGTGAGGTCGGCGATGGCCGTGGCGCCGTGTAAGCGATGGGCGGACCGCTTATCGAGGCAGGAGAAATGGAACCATTTCTTGCAGCCTGCGGGTCAGCTCAGAGTAGGAGATCACTGACCATCTCGAGGACAGAGCACCATCGGCTCTGAGCCAGCAGGGAGAGGGATATACCGCCTGGCGCAGAAGCAGGTCGTAGGGTGCTCAAACTGTAAAGTCAGCTTAGAATTTCCGCTGGCCGAACAGCTTTTCCCAGCTCACCTCGTGCATGGGGAAACGAGCGTTCCACATCCGCGACTTGCGCGTCTGGCTTGTACTCTTCGCCGCTGCTGCTTCCTGCTCCATCAGCTCGCTTTCAATACGTATAGTAACGCACTCACCTCCCTCTCGATCTCCTCATCTGTCGATGGACGGAACCTGGAGCGATAGAACGCAGTCCCATCATACATGATCGGAGGCTGCAGAGGATCCGCCTCGTCGAAATGCACGACTTTGGCATAGTCGTTGATGCATTGTATCGAGATAATCGAACCGAGTTGCTGTCCTTGGCCCAGAACCACCTCGGTCGGGAATTGTACGGTCTTCTTATGGGGCGGATTGCGACAGTTCTGGTCGAGCATCATCTTCATGCTGGTAAAGACCCAGTCGACTCCACTATCATCAGCGAGTCCAATGGAAGGACATACCAGAAGACACGTTGTCCGCCTTCCGCTCTAACATGGAGGATGCGGGCAGTCCAATCTTGGCTGGCAATCAGTGGCTGATGACATACAGGGGCAGGAACGTACGGTATCTCCTGACCCTCGGAACTCTCCCCTTTGACATGAACACTGCGATATCAGAGGTCAGGCCATGCCAGTCCGTGATGAGAGGACGTACAAGTCCCCTACTCCCCAGGTATTCCCGCTGAGCTGGCAAGTCCTGCTTGTCAGCCATGCCTAGCTCGAACTTGGTCTGCTGACTCACTTGTATCTGATGAAGACATTTCTATCATCCCACTCATCCGGCCGTCTGCCTCGTCAGCATCGCCCCTCCGCCTCGCGTCTCTGATTCGCATCACGCACGGATACGTCGGATCAACGAAATCGTCGACAGGTGGCAACGGCTTCGCCTTGGACCGAGCAGCAGGTAAAGACGCCCGTGGTTTACCTTTCGCCTTGTACGATCTCTTTTGCGACGGAAGTTCGTCTTCGGACACCACGCGTGCTGCACCTCGCGTCGGTCGAAGGCGTGTGGAAGAAGGTGGGGGTCTGTCCCCGGCCCTTGAGGACGGACCGGCAACAGAATTTCGCGATGACTTCCGGGTGGTCATTCCCGTGTGTACGGTATCGCTGTACGTGTAGGTGAACAAGATGTATGCGTAAGGTATATGTTGAAAGGGTGATAGGATGACTGGACATGTGGTGTGTGCTGTCTGGGCGGGGCGGATTTGTTTGGTTTGGCACCGTGCCTGAATTAATTCCAAGGTCCCGGGGCCACCAGAAATTTCAGCTGATCGATGCTGCAGACATGTAACCTTTGCCTCTTGTACCTCATACTGATCATTCTCACCGCATCACAGTGTCCGACTGCGCAGTATCGGCATGAACGTCGCAGGTCCGAGTCGACCGCTCTTCCAAGCTGCCCGGAGATCCTGCGTGGGCTGCGCTAGGAGCTATGTGGCCCGGCCTTACTCGACCGAGGGTTCGTCTACAGCTGCCCCGCTCGAGCCAGCGAGCAAGAAGCTCGTGATACCTCGCGGAGAGCTCAAGGCACTACTGCCTACTATGGAGGATCTCGGAATGAGACAGGGTGATCATGGTGAATCTGCTCCTCCAGAGCCGTTCGAGCTGTAGAGCTGATCGCCAGTGACGATGGCGATGTCTGGCGGAGTTGACTCTTCCGTGGCACTCCGGATACTGAAAGACATGGTCCGTCTTGCGTATCTCACCTGTTACTCAATCAGCTGATGCCCCAGCCCGTCAGCCTCAATGTCCTCTTTATGCGGAACTGGGATCCCCTCCTCTCCGAATCCGCGCCGCCCTCCGACCCCTCATCCAAATCCAGCTCCTCCCTAGCCGATCTCTCCTACTCCTCTGGCTCCAAGAAGGGGAAGGGCAAGTCCGTCTGCGCATGGGAGAAGGACTGGGAGGATGTCCGGCGAGTATGCAAGCATCTCGGTATACCCGACAAGCGAGTCCGAATGGTGGACTTCTCGAAAGAGTACTGGACAAGGGTTTTTGAGCCTTGTGTGGGCGTATGGGAGGACGGGGGGACGCCTAATCCGGATGTGATGTGTAATAGGTGAGTCTGCTAAGCTTGCTGGTCCATAGTCCTCAATAAAGCTGATGCGGTAGTGAGATCAAGTTTGGGGCTCTGCTAGACTATATCGCGGCGAAGGAGTCGAAGGATCACCCTCGGCATATGCTGGCGACCGGTACGCTTGATCACGGCGCTCCAAGATTCTCAGCTGATCAAGTAGGTCACTACGCTCGGGTTTATCACCAGCACGGGCTGGAGAAACACCGCCTGTTCCGCGCAAAGGATAAGACGAAGGATCAATCTTACTATCTCTCTGGTTTGAGCAAGGCTCAGATAACACGGGTAGGTATTTGCAGCTAGCAAGCCCCTTGTCTCCGGCACAAAGGAAAGGTCTACAGCTGATTCTTTAGGCCGTACTTCCACTAGCAAATATAACGAAAGGCTGGACTCGGCGTCTTGCTCGGCACTGGGAGCTGCCCACCGCGGAACGAGCGGAAAGTATGGGGGTGTGCTTCATCGGAGAAAGAGATAACTTTGGCGACTTCATCAGTAAGCTCATCCAATGCCTCTCCCGTTGCACAGCGAGCTAATCTTCCAGCGCAGTATACCACGCCAGCTGCCGGACCGCCAGGCAACATCGTCACTCCCTCGGGCGAGATTCTCGGCCCTCACAATGGGTTGTGGCACTACACGATAGGCCAGCGCGCGCGGCTGCCGAGCAGAGAAGAACGGTGGTTTGTCTCTCGGAAAGGAGTAGGGAAGGAGGGGAAAGACGTGATGGTCGTGCCGGGCGCGTAAGTCCCCTCCCTGCCCTCAACATATGACGATTTCAGGCTTTCGGACTTGTTGAAGACTGATTTGCTACAGTAGACACCCCTCTCTGCTCTGCTGGCAAATGCACGTGCCCAACTTCAGATGGCAGAACGACGTCCCTCCCAAGGGCATATTAGCCGCCAACCTCGTCAGAGTACAGGTCAGACATCGGATGGATGACGTCCCCGCAAGGGTGAGAATATCGGACGATGGTTTGGGGTGAGCTATCTCTCTTCTCATCGTGACTTCCGAGAGGATCCAAGCTGATGGTAGCAGTATAGTATGCGAGCCTGTCGACCTCATACCGGCTGTCGCCCCAGGCCAGGTCCTCGCGCTGTACCGCAACGTCGAGTGCCTCGGGAGCGGCGTTATTGCATCCACGCGATGCTTAGACGACCTGGACCCGGAGAAGCGGTCCGGACCGGGCTCGAAGACGTGGACAGGGAACCAAGGGGCAGAGGCGAGTCGGGTTGAGGAGGTCAAGGCGTGTATGAAAGAGAAGACGGCGGAGCACAGGTCGGACAAGGAGGCAGCGGGGCTGGAGCAGAAGGAGGGAGGATCTACTTAGGAGGTCGTGATTGAGATTTCGCATTAGCAGCTCGCCCTGCATGTAGCCACTACTTTTTGTATGGCGACCCGCTATCTGCCCATCGAACATATGTGGTGGAAATCAGAGTCGTCACATATCATATCATTCGCCGCTGTACCTACAATGTCCTCCTTACTACCCGTCACTCAACCTTCGCGATCCAGGACGTTCGCGTCTGGAATGAAAAGCTCCGGGTAGTAGCGCCTGAGTGCTGCTTTGTGCTTGTCCGTCGCGCGCACTTCCTGGAAGTACTGGCGGACCCGTAACGGAACCGCGAGATCGGTGTCATCAGGGATTGATCCATTGCGTTCTTCCAGTCAGTCCAGTTCATGATTTGAGTTCCGTATTGAGCAGAAGATACTGACGGGCTGGCAGTATCTGTTCATGCGTCGACTCGTCCACATCTCGCTCGAATTGATCCGCCTTCCATCCGGCCGACTCCCCACCGGCTTCCGCATCGGCCGCCTCGTCTTCCGCCTCCTCGATCTCCGAATCAACGTCAATCGATGGCGGACCAGCCGGCGGATCATCTACCTCGTCCCCGCTGTCTCCCTCGTCCCCGCTGCTAGAAAGGCCTTCGACCTCTCCGCCTGCTTCGTTGGACTTCCATCCACCACCTTGCCCTTTCCCCTTCTGACCGAGATCCGTACCCTGCTCTGGTCGGTTGTGGTCGGGGGGGACGGAGTTGGCGTTTAGCGGGGTTGAGTCGAGAGGAGTAATCGAGGGGATGATTGGGTTGTGTTTCGCCCAGGTTGCAGGCCACCGTAAGACGCCCTGTGGATTTCTGGGCTTGCAAGTTTTCTCGCAGAAACAAAGTCTTTGGCGCTGGGAGGGCGGACGGTCGCTATCGCCTTGAGCTTCTGAAGCTGAAGATTTGCGTTTGGAACCTCCTGAGGGTGTCAGCCACAGCTGATGATGATTGTGTGAGCCCGACTAACTTGTCATCATCGCTGCGCGCTGTCACAGGCAGCGGGAACAGGGAGCAAGGCGCTTGCGGTCGGCGACGCGTCCAGCTTGGCCGGAAAGGTGAGATGGGATCCCTGGCAACCGCGCGAGCTGGGCGCTGGCAACAGGTATGCAGCGGTAGCCAGTACGGGAGCGCGTAGCGGTGTGGCAGTATAGGTTGCAGAGTACGTGTACCGGTCCAGATGGAAGGGTGCAGTAGACGAGAGATGGGAGAGACGCGACGAATATGCTCTGGTGAGGAATGCTTCGCTTCGGATCTCGGAGCCGAGCATCGAGAATTGTGGTTCATGGGCCTCGTTCGTTGAAGTCGGCCCCCCTCGTGAAATGAAGTGAGGGGCTTGGACCGAGCCTAGTTCATGGGTGCTATCGGGCTAGTCCTGAATCCTGGAGTACCCCGACCCAAGCAATGAGGCTTCTATAAGGACGTTCATGAGGTCTCTGGCCACTAACGGGGTCGCGGCTTAAAGCATGGGGTTGTTACCTATAGTGTAGCGGCCAACTTCCTCTTCTCCCATCCTGCTATTCCCTCCTTCAGGCCGGCCACCTCCCCGACATCGACCTTGACCAACCCACCATCACTCTGCCTCGCCAAAAGTGGGCACAGGGACATCTCCGTCCATCCTTCCCAGAGATCCTGGACCGCCTCCAGCACCGTAGGGGTGTCGACAACGAGAAGGAAGAGCGCGTCGAATCCCCCGGCTTCACCTGTCAGCTCCTTCGATCATCCGATGTGGTAAATGAGCTTACCGCCTGGAACACCCCCGCCTACCACTCCTGGGATCTTCATGCTGGCGTTCAAGACGCGGGATTGCTCTGCTGGTTCGACGGGCACTTTGGACGCGGCGGTGACGAGGCGGAAGAGCTGACGCAGGCACTACAGTGTCAGCTTTTACAATGTGAAGCGAGATAGTCAACGAGCTCACGAATAACGTCGAGTAAACCCTATACAGCTGCTTGCCCAGCACCGTATCTCGATCGAGCTACATCCATTAGCCAAACCCAACTTCAGCCGCGATGTAGCTTACGTCCTCCATATGCTTTTCGGCGCTCTCCTCCATAAACCTCGTGTACCCCTCATCTTCCTCCATACTGCACAGTCCCTCCAAGTGCTGCCTGAGCAGTCCGTTCGCTTCTGCCAAGCTCGCCCACATTCTCCCGGCCTCTTCCGCCTGCTCGACCTTCCACCACAGCACCTTGTTGACAAAGCTGGGCGTATCCGTCCCTGCGTCGACATCGGCAAGTACGAGCCTGAGGCCTTTGGGCAGGCGCAGAGGAGCGGTCGTTTGGTCCCATTTATCCCGGGCGAGCGAGTCTTTCAGGTTGGCAGCGCGGATAGGAAGATGCGGGGAGGACATGAGTGGCGTGAGGATGGCGGGGGAGAAGCGACGGTAGGCGTGTGAGCCGTATACGGCGGAAGAGACGTCGAAGCCTGAGCCGACCTTGCCTTGGGCGAGGCAGTGTGCGAGCTGGGCGAGAGCGTGCACTGTGTCGAGGGATGTGGTCTCTTCGGGCGTGGGGGAGGATGAGGAGGAAGGAAGGGTAATGATGCCGAAGTAGGAGAGGAGGGCGGCAGTGAGGGATGTGGTGAGTGCCGCGGAGGAACCGAGGCCGGTCTTGTTGATTTGGTGAATAGGGCGAGGGAGGGGGTTGAACGGGGGCAGTTGTGTAAGGGATGAGATGCGGCGTGGCAGGTTCCGGTCAGTGAGCTGTCTGTCAGCTTAGGCCTCGCGAAGTTTCGAGCGATCCAACTAGCTCACCTGCTCGCGCTGCGAATAGAAGTCATTATCGGCCATTACGAACGCCTCCATACCGCCTCCACTTCCCCTCATTCTCCGCAACAGCTCCACTCCCGCCTTCTCATTGTCCCCCTTATACTCCTCCCCCTCAGAGATAGTCTCCAGAGCCAGCTGCAGCGTCTTCGCCAGCGCAATCTCGACAAACTTGTTCTTCCCGTTCCCAGGATTCGTCTGCTCCAGGTCGAGATACGCCAACGATTCCGGCCACGGCGTATCGTCGGGTATGGATTTGACCGGCGCCGGGTAAGTCACCAGATTGACGCGGTATGACCAGGAACATTCCGCCGGGAACTGCGAGGCCGAGATGGTGATGGTTGCGGATTTTGGGTCGGCGGTGGAGCTGGACGCAGCGGATCGAGTACCGGCGGCGACGCAGTAGAAGCGACTAGACGTAGCGAGGACAAGGCCCTCGTGTTGACGTTCAAGGACGAGGTAGCCGCCTGCCATGAGGACCTTCCCGGGTGCGGAGACGCAGACCGCATCGTCCGGCAGAAGGAAGTCCGAAGGGGTCGCTGATGGGACCTCTCCCTTGGGAGCAGCGGGGCTGAGGCTAAGACTCTGGAGGTCATTCGCTACGCTGAGAGCTGGATCTGTAGAGGTGGGAGCCATGGCCATGGTCCCTGGTCTCTGAATATGATGTGTAGAGAGTTGAATGAGGAATGCGGCGCTCGGACTTTTGGACGCGAAGCTAAACTCAAAATCGCCCCCGGAACCATTAGCCAGGCACCGGTCCTGCCGTAAGTCGATTTTTGGCAGACGACCACTTGGCATATGTAAGACCTTATCTACCCTTCACCTCCTGTATACATCTACCCCACACAGAGGTCCAGCGCCTTTCCTCCCCCGGGTATCGACATAAGCCCCTATCTTAGTGCTCGCCACCCGGAAAATACGGCCTACGACATGACGTCCCCGCCCGATGCGGTCCCCATCCCGGCGGCACCCGAGATGCCTCGGCGGCGGAGTGGGGTCGTGCAGAGCAGTCTTGACTTGGTCTTCAGCTGTATGTCCGCTCTTAAGCTGTAAGAGTATATCACTAACAGGCAGACTCCCGCTCGCAGCAGATGCGATATGGACAGACAGCCGGTTCCGCTCCATCCTTCATCAACCCCTCCTCCCGCTCTCAATCCTCCACGAGCGACTACGGGTCCGTCCGGCGGCGTCGCAACTACTCAGCGGAGGAAGACGACCTAGACGAGGACGAAGATATCCTCGAAGAAGACGCGGAAGAGGGAGACGGAGTGGACGACCAGGAGACGCCGAAAGGCCGGTCCAGCGATATACCGGGCATGCCGGATTATGGAGATGAGCGGGAGTTCGACGACCTCGAGGCGAGCGTATCGACCATCACGCCTCTCAAGGCTGCTCGGTCGGGTGTATCGGCATATCCTGCCCCGGGGAGGACGGACGGCTCGAGGCCGACGTCGGTTCTGGGGAGCTCGTCCAGCTCGAGAACGTTTCATCCTGTCGGAGCGAGGTTGCCTCCTGCAAGCTCGGCGGGGCAGAGACTCGACACTGGCCGGAAAGACATCTCCCCGACGTCTTTCGACGCGGAAGAGGTTGCGAACGAGACGACGCCCTTGGTTCCTGCATCTCAGGGGGCGCGGAGACGGAGTAGCGTTGCGGCACGGCGGAAGAGCTCGGTCGGGACGCTTCAGGCGGGACGGAGAGGTAGTACGCGATCGAGAAGAAAGAGTATGGTGGTCATGGAGTGGGGTGAAAGTACGGATGGACAAACGGTGAGACCATCAGCTGCGTAATATGGGCGACACATCCAGCTGATACGTTCAGCTATTCAACGGGGTTGCTGTACTTGTCGGTATCGGACTCTTATCGCTTCCTCTAGCTTTCGCATACGCTGGATGGATAGGTGGTACGGTCATGCTCGTTGGATTCGCAGCTCTGACTTGCCACACGTAAGCTGATATGCGGCCGCTGTATTGCTTCTCAATTGCATCCAGCTGATGATCTCAGTGCGAAGCTTTTGGCCAGGCTGATCAGAGCCGATCCGACTTTGAGGGGTTATACCGATATAGGCAAGAAGGCCCTTGGTGGATGGGCGGGAGGGGCTATCAACGTACTGTAAGCCGCTTGTCCAGGTGTCTAAAGGCTTGAGCTGATAAGCAGGTTCTGCCTAGAGCTCTTTGCATTGGGGTGAGCACCTCCTTCTCACTCTGAGAGCTATACTAACCGATACAGTGTGGCTCTGATTGTATTATTCGGTGACTCGCTCAATGTCATCTACCCCGACATCTCGGCCGATACTTTCAAGATTGTCGGGTTTATTATGTAAGTTACTGCTCAACTGGAGAGGACCAAGCTTATATTTCAGCGTCCTCCCTACCGCTCTCCTCCCACTATCTCTCCTCTCCCTTCCCTCACTACTATCGACGCTATCCTCTCTCCTCCTGATCGTGATCATCCTCATTGACGGCTTCTCAAAACCTACCGCACCCGGCTCCCTGCGCGATCCGTCACCTACCCACTTCTCCCCAGAATGGACTGGGAGCAACTGGCTAGGCGGGATAGGGCTCGTACTGGCGGGCTTTGGGGGTCATGCGGTCATGCCCAGCTTAGCAAGGGATATGAAGAATCCTGAGCACTTTGATCGGGTCATCAATCGGGCTTTCGTGAGTCCCCCTCAGAGCTGAGATGTCTACTGACTGCATCTGAAAGCTGATCCTTCAGGCCATCGCGACCGTCCTCTCATTTGTCGCCGCCGCAGCTGGCTACCTCATGATAGGTCAAACCGTCTCGGACGAGATCACCCGGGATCTCATGCAGCCGAAATACGCCTATCCACGCTGGCTCAACCTATTCGCCCTCTGGATGATCGTCATCAACCCAGTCACGAAGTTCGGGCTGTGCTCGCGCCCGCTCAACCTCACCCTGGAGACGGTCCTGGGCATCGCGGAAGGGGTGTTCCGGCGCCCGGCACTGGCGGTGGGTCAGGAGGAGTCAGCGGTGCTCGATTCGCCATCTATCAGTCCGGGCGAGGCCCCCAAACCCCAATTCGGACCTGGGGATCTGGTCGATCCCGAGTCGGATGCAGAAGCCAAGTATCACTCGGCGGAGCGGAAAAAGTTTGCCGCTCGTGTGATTAGCAGGACAATCGTCACTGGCCTGTGTACGGTCGCTGCGATCTACTTGCCCGGTTTCGGGAGGGTGATGGCTTTCTTGGGAAGTTTCAGCGCATTCTTGATCTGTATCATCTTGCCCGTGTGTTTGAGCCTCACCTCTTCAATTTTCATTGAAGACTGACTCCTTCAGATATTGTTCTACCTCTTCCTCGCTCCTCGCCTCGGAATCGATTCGGATCACTCGCCGTCAAAGCGCCGGCGGAGCCAGGTGATTCATTGGGGATTGGTATTGGTTTCAGCGGGACTTATGGTCGCTGGGACGACTTGGGCGTTCATACCCGGTTCAGGGCATGGCGGGCTGGAGGAATGATGTCCGAGGCGAGGGCGAAGGGGCGGTATCTATTCGGGAGACTGTCGATTTTGTTGTATCAGCACTATGTATGTAGCTATCTACGGCCGGTCTCAGGAAGGTCGGACGGCTGTTTGGCTCTGGTCTCGGGCCGCTCTACACTTAGTATTGCAGGCCACATTAGTCATGCTCGAGAAATCATCCCCTCTGACAATCTCAAACTCCGCGTGGAACACAACAAGGCCGAAATAATACATATGCTATAAATTAGATCAGCATTGCGTGCTTGTCCAGCTTCTTCATGACTTCTCGCCATGGACGAGGACCGTGCCCTGCCTCAATGAGCCTCCACTGTTCCTCCAACAACGAGCGCTGCTCATTAGCTATATAGCGCCATGTAGGTCAGAATATCACTTACAGCACATCTCAGATCTTCGCAATAGTCATACTGGAAAGCGTCGAATAATGAGGACACCTTTTCCCGCTTCTCCGGCAAACAATACAAGCCCGCAATGAGCAGTGGCCAGGTGAGCATGACGGACATGCGCATCGCGGTGGCTTCGCTGCAGAGCTCGAGGATGCTATCGACCGACTGGGCGATACGCGGCGTGGAGATGGGCTGTTCGAGTATCTTGCCATCAGCCGAGCTATGGATTCATACTCACATCAGCGAGGATGAGGACGACGGTCATGTATTTGTAGATGTAGTCGCCGCACTACAATCAGCACACTCCAGATTCTGGACTCACAGTAACGCGATGATGCTGAGGTAACGCGCTCAGACTGTTTCCCCAGATATCCGCCTCGAGCAGTAGGCAGTGCGATTCACGAATGAAGTGTTGGCCTATGACCATCATTTCCTCGGGATGGTCGCTCATGACGATTCCGAGGCGGCGTTTCCGCGAGTCGAGGGTGACGACTCGGGCGACGAGCTCCACCATGGCGCGTGAGATACCGAAACTGAAATCAGCGCCGCCTTGCTCGTCACTCACGTTCTCTCTACCGACTCCCATTCCCACCGCGTCTGAGACGTTTCGACGCTCTCAAACCACCAGCAGTCATAGTTGCCAAGTAGCGCTGGCTCTTTGCCGGTAGAGAAGCAGCCTGAAGTCAGAAGGTTCTGTTGGCTAACTCACTGAAGACATCGTGTGTAGCGAGATTCTCCAGCAAGTATCGCCGGGTAAAGTTGCTTGCCCCATTGGTAGTCTTGAGCATGGCCTGCGGTCCGCCCTTCTTGTGCGCAAGCTTTAGCACGAACTCCATATTGTCCGCCCATGTAGGATCTGCGCTGATCACCTGATCGTCAGCTTCGGGAAAACCCTGACTTACATCTCGAATGCAGATAAAGGTGCAAGCGGCAAGGATAGAGTCAACTACAAGATGAGCTCGGTTCTCTGAGCATACATCGATACACTCACTGGCTTCGGGACTAGTCTCTGTCGTCTCCGCCATGAAGATGTTCGATAACGCAGCCTTCTTAAACTTTCGCCCCACCGCATCTAATCTGGCCCTCGTGCTCGCCCAATTTCTCCCTAGATTGGCCGCGCCCACTAGATCGACCGTCTCGTACGTAAAATGTGCCATACTCGTGCTGAGCAGACTCATGCGGATAGCGGCGGAGGCGGCGGACGATGTGTCGAGGAGTTTGCTGGGGGTGCAGAGCGTGACGAGAGGGTTCGGACCGATATTGCCCATGGTGACGAGAAATCGAGCCGAGACGTTGCAGTAGTGGTGGAAGAGCGTGCGGGCAGAAGGGGAGGAGAAGGCGTTCGAGAGCACATCCGTGCCGCCAAACCCTCTGGAGCTTCCCGGTAGAGATTGTATGACGCGTCCAGAAGGCCCAAACTCAAATAGCGAGTCATCAAACTCGCTCGCTCTGCTGTCAGCTTGACTTGCTATTGACACTCACTGTAGGATAGTCTCTATCAATAGCATCCGAGGATGTACAGTAGAATTTGAAAGGGGCGAGATTCCCCTGGAGACAGCCGGTGCCGCCATATTCTGATTGGCTGTCCGACGGGCGAGTAGCCGAGATTTGTTCAAATTGGCGAATTGAGGCAAGGGGTCCGTTTGTGAGGTAGGTGCTGGAGTGGGCGCCAAAAAGTTGATGGGAAGGATCTGGGAGGGGGACGTCTCCAAGGGTGGAAGGGTAGGAGCTGGTGTAAAGGCGAAGAGATCGTTGAGGAAGCTGAGATCAGGGCTCGACTGACATCAGCTACGAGTGTGTATGACGACTCACATGATTCCCCATTCCCATACCCATCAGGTAATCCCGACTTCCACCGGCTTGCACCTGCGGAGGCGATATTGCCCATCCCCTCGCAGCCCATTGCCCGCTGCCATCGTTCCCGGACACCATACCCATCAACCCTGCACCATATTCCTGCTGCGTAGCTGCTGCCAGGAGGACATCGGTCTCCCCTACGCCACCGGACTGCATAGCCTGAGGCGGAGCTAGGGGTGCCTGCCCGCCCACCAAACCATCCATAGCCGAGTCCGCTTCTGACGATTCCTGGCGTGTCGCAGATTGAGCTTCTGAGACGCCCCGCCCTATTGTCGGTCGGCGCGAACGTCCAGTCTCCGCCTTTCGCCCGGACGCGTTCGCACTGGCATAGTCACAGGATCTCTGAGCAGCTACGCAGCGCAAACAGCACGGCAATGTCTCGTCACATTTGACCTTGTGCTTTCGGCATTCTAGACAGCCCTTTGTACTGCGGGTGTACTTGAGCTTCTTCGGCGGCCGGGAGGTGGAGGATTCGGCTGCTGTAGGAGGGGCCGAGTCGGAGCTAGTATCCGCTTGCGACATCTACCCTTAGCTAAATCCCGGGTGGAGCTCACTACTTGATCAACGACAGCTTGCGCGCGGTTGGCATCAACAATACGGCCTATCAGTCAGCTTCTTATCTTGACAGATTGGCAGGGCACGCGGCTGGACTAACGGGCATGTCGGGAGATCTCTGCATAGTCGATTTGGGCAGACATGGCGTGATAGCGTGCCCGAGCTTGCGCTCGCAAGTCAAGTCGGAATTGGGTGATTCGCGCGTCGCGCGCGGGACAACAGTCTGACTATATAGCTGCTAGATGGAGTATCAAGGGCGCTGACGGTGAGATTGGAGGAAAGTGACAGTGCCAGCTTATAGGGTGAGCTATAAGCTTGAGCGTGAGTGGGGGAGAGACAATTGCCCAATCTGGAAATACCAGATCTGAGACCAATTACGTTATTCTGGAGACCCCATGCATGCCTCCACTGCGAACGTCTGCTCTCCGAAGATTACAGTTATCGACCTTGCGTGCGAGTCACACAGCTCTCGCACCCATTGAGAACCCCCCACAGCCAACCCCCTGACCACCTAGACGATCCTAGCCCTGGGGATCGGCGAGTATGTCCTATGAAGCCCGTCAAGCACAGATTGCATACCAAGAGATACAAATCGACCGAAGAACCCAACCCATAACTTTACTATGACCTCACCAGTACCACCGCCCTAAGCCTTGACTTTCGGCTCGTTCAGATGGCTGTCCGCCACGTCGTCATGCTCCAGCGGCTTCTCAGGCACCAGTCTGATGAGGAAATACAGTGCAGGAAGGGTCACGACGAAGACCGCGATGTTGACCCACATAGGCACGTTCTTGTTGGCGGCGGTGGCGTTGATACCGTACGAGATGGCCTGACCCGCGGTCTCGAAGGCTCGGAAGAGACCACCGGTACGCGAGGCCGACTTCACGTCCGTAGAAAAGGTACCGAGGATCCAGTAGATCGAGAGCTGACACCAGTAGGAGGTGATCAACATGATCGCGTAGGGCATGTAGGCTTCGGCCCAGCGGGCACCGTGGCTGGAAATCAGCTCGATCTCTTTGCCAAAAGTGGCACACTCACATTCCGTAGTCGTAGGCAATCAGAGGGGTTTGCTGCTTAGCAATCTGAATCGAGACCCACACGAAAGCGGCGCCCTGAGGGATGACCCAAGCAGCAACACAAACCCACGCGCGCTTCTTTTGCGACCAGCTGGTGCGGTCGAGGATGAGTTTGCCGTAGGCGACAACGAGGGGGACGGTAAAGGAGGCTGAAGATCAGCCAGGCTCTCATTTGAAGCGAGAGTACTCACGGACGATGAGGGACGAAAGAGCCCTGGCGCGAACGGAAAAGTTGAGTGAGAGGTAGGTTCCGAAGGTTCCGCCACAGAAGAAGGAATAAAATGCGGGGACGAACATGAGCCAGGTCTGCATGTCAGCTCCGCAGGGACCGCAAGATAGAGTGCACGTACCCTAGGGCTCTTGGCGTGTTGGTAGAGCGCGATGAACTCCTTCTTCCACGACAGAGGCGGGGAGCTCGGGATGCGCGTGCCGTTCTTCCGGCGGACCTTGGCGGTAGGGGAGAGGAGGAAGGCCCAGATTACCCCGGTGCATTCAAAGCCGATGAAGATAAGGTAGGTCGACCAAGCGATGCCCCCAGCGGTCGAGGACGAGAAATTCGTGGCGAAGTTGATCGCTCCGCCTAGGATGAAGCTCAGCCCAAGTTCGCAGCGGCTGTGCAGTGGACAGGCTGCTGCACTCACCCATGATACTTCCAGAATTGCGCATCGCACTCCAGATCCCCAGATAGAGACCGCGGTCGTCCTGGAGGGGGTAGGAGAGCATAGCAGTACTCTCGCCGACATAGAGGAAGCCGCCAGTAATACCGCCGACACACTAAAATCAGCTCCGCCGAGGTGTAAACTCACCCTAGCCAAGAGCAGGTACCAGTCGATACCCAAGCGAGCACGGGTGTAGTAGCCGCTGCCACCGAGAGGCATGCCGAAAGCAGCAATGACACATGCCCACTTGATGCCGACCTTGTTGATGATGGGTCCGCCGAATAGGGTCAAGAGGCAGGACATGGTGTAGTTGAGGGCATTGGCCAAGTTGGCGAGGTAGGGAGTGGATAGACCACCTCCACCGAGGTTGGAGATGGCATCGTTCATGGAAGGGCCGACGAACGACAGCCTGTGATGTCAGTATCAATTGGATATGCAGGTGCTAGCCACCAAACTATGCGCACGGAGCGCAATCCGCCGATCACTCGATACACACACGAACACACATCCTCGCACACAACTTCCCTACTCCTCATTCCTCGTTTTGGTTCACAGCAGCCAAAAAGCAGGCGCGACAGGACTGTACTCACGCGCCGAAGAGTACCATCTGGAAGAGGACCCCGCGGAAGAACTTGGTCGTCCTGGAGGCGACGAGATAGTTCTGATCGACCTCGAAGGGGTCGTACTCCTCATTGTTGGTGACAGCTTGAATGTCGTCGGAGGAGCCGCCGGGGTGCTTGTTGTCGAGGTCCTTGTCTTGCTCAATAGGGTGAAGCTCGACTCCTGCGATTTCGTCTCGAGGGTAGGCCGGGACGTGTGACATGTTGACTGATGGAGATGAGTTGGGAAGAGTGCGGATAGGCGAGATAAATCAGCTGTCCTTAAGGGCAGGACTGCCGGACCGGAACTGTCGGGTCTCGAGGTCCGCCGCTCGCCAGCCCGCTATCTCGAGATGCCCATCGCGTAGACTTCGGCACAGAGACTGGGCGGCTTGCCGCCGCTTGTGCACGCCAGGGAAGGTAATCATGCCGCTAGAGTAAGATCTGATCTGCGTCAACCGGACTGATAAGCCACCCTGAGAAAAGAAGCTTACCGACGGACTGATAGATCTCGGTGCCGGCCAATCAGATGCGCGGCGCGAAAAGCACTCGCGCAGCCGATTGCCAAGATTGGCTGAGCCAGTGAGCCGGCATCCTCATGCGACGACTTGTGTATCCGCAGAACCTCACGTAAACGAGATTGCGGAACCAACGGATAGTCTTGGCCCGGCCGGGATCAAGTGGATGTGGCAGTGGCACATAAGGTGGCGACAAGCGAAGCTCGTACAAGTAGAGAGTGACTTATAGAAGGTTCGCGATGGGCCACCTGATGTGTGATGCGACTGGATGCCAAGGTGTGTTTCACAAGAACTGGCAAGTCATGAAGCGACTTTATATAAGGGATAGGTGCTGCCGGGGCGCCAAAATAACAGATTATGAACTGTGTTAGGTCGGAGGCTTGATCTGTACTTGTACTGTATACCGAGAAGCACCCATTCAGAAGAGCGGTTTGAGAATGGCATAGAGTGTAAGCCAGATCGATAGGGCTACTTGTACGATAAGGCCGACACTGGGGAACCCTAGTGTCAACAAAATCAGTATTATCACGTGGTGTAAAATTCGCAGTATTAGTGACCGTTAACGCAGATTGTGTATGTCAGACCTATCCATCTAAACCCAGATATCCCTTACAACCTTCCGAACAACAGCAACCCTCATGCGACGATGGCTCGGATCAGAGAATGACGCAATTCTTCTTCTTGCGCTTGTTTGCTGCACCCGCTCGGTCGCCTGCTGGTTGGAGTACTGCGCGGATGGCTTCGTCGAAGACATTCTTGAGCCCTTTTTGTCTGCCTAGTCAGCTTCCCGCCTACATATGGCATGGCCTGGTCTCCCACGTCTCCTCGTTCCTGTTTCCCTGTTGACCAACTTCCACTATGGGGTCGCTCCCGTCCCATCTCGCTCCAGTAAAGACCTGGCAGCCACGTCGCCCCACCTCAACCCTACGCATACCCTAGGACACTCATAGAACGCCGTAGCTACAGGGCACGCTTGCCCCCTCCGACTGGACTCACGTTTTACTGCTAGCTTCCAGGTACTTGATCGCCCCGACCTCCCTTGCGCACTGCATCCCCATGGAGTACGTTATAGGGGTGAAACGCCGTTCCTTGAGCCGCTGGAGGGTGACTGGGTCGTCGCGCAGGTCGAGCTTGGTGCCGACGAGGATGAGAGGAGTATTTGGGCAATGATGTGTAATCTCTGGGAGCCACTGTCGAGTCAGCTGCAGCCCGATCATTCCCAGATATCCGCGAGCCGTTCCCATCTCCTTCCGTTCTTCCCACTCCATCGCTGCCTCACTCCCTCCTTGTCCTCAGATGCCCCTCCTCCTCCTCCAGAAAGGCAGCGGTGCTCACCTTTGTGCGAACATTCTCAAAACTCGGTGGTGATACCAATGAGAAGCAGACTAGGAAGACATCTGTCTGGGGATATGAGAGAGGGCGCAAGCGACTGGAGAGTCAGCGTGGTCTTTGCCTTCAGAGCCTCTCGCTGCCCCATCGCAAAAGCATCTGTTGACTCACTCGTAGTCTTCCTGTCCCGCGGTATCCCATAATCCTAGTGATATAGGGCGGTTATCCACCAGGACTGACGCCGAGTAGTTGTCAAACACAGTTGGTACATATCTGCTGATCAGCAGTCGACGGCAAAAGTTGAGGACCGACGTACTCTCCAGGGAAGGCGTTGGTGGTGTAAGATATCAGGAGACAGGTCTGGTGATCAGCATCCGGGCACCCACGTTGGAGGGGCAGCCCGTCGCGAAAGAAGAGGCCTTACCTTGCCAACAGCACCGTCGCCAACGACCACACCTGATCAGTCAGCTCCAGCCCACCCGTCTCCAAGCGATGATACCCACACTTTATGCTTTGGATATGACCGTATGACATTTGGTCGAAAGTTGGTTTGTCGCGAATATATGGTCTACTTGCGTTCTCTGCCGGATTAACAGCTGTATCCTCGGTGCGTTGTTGACCTGGGCTGCAGCTTTGGTAGGAGAGCTACCGTGAGAGCTGGGCAGAGGTGAATGTATAGGTCTATGCACAAGGTAGATGTCAAAATAGAGGATGTCTCAGACCGTCAACAAAGAGCTTGACGCGTTTTGCTGGCCGGGCCAAACTCTTCCAAATCCCCGCATTTGCTCACCCTGAACGTGCAGCTGCAATCTACTTCTACCGCCTTGCATCTTATGTCTGTATCTCGACTATCACACAGCTATAGCTGTGCTTGCTGAATCGAGCCCAGACTCGCAGGCAGATCGGGAGGGCGAAGCAAGCCCAGTCGCGATCCCTCGGCCGAGCTGAACCAGGCCGCTGGGGATGACGCTGGGGGACAACCGTATATCGGAATTGGTGCTTTCGCCGCGTTGACGGTTGACAGCCTGACATTACTCACGCCTCAGGTGTCAGCATCAATGGTGCTGGGTTGAGTATCACTGCCGCGAGCGACCGCTAAGACGCGCTGAGATGGACACCTCATTCCTGCCTCACAAAGGACCCCAAATTGTTTTAGGTTCGCCCGCGACAGCCGGGCCGAGGGGTGCGCATGGAGCCCTGGGGTGGCCCATGCAGTTCGACATGTGTTCAAAGGACTGACTGAAGGACTCAATGTTGGCGGGGTCAGGCATGAGAACTGAGTATTGAGTGTGTATTTGTCCTCCTATGTAGGAGCCATCCAAGGCGGTCTGTTGAGCCACAAACGGGCCATCACTAACCTAGATCTGTCTGCACTTAGGCGCTCAAGCTCTCTCTACACCGCCAACACATCCTTCACCCTGCTGATAGCTCCTCACAAGGACTTGTCCATAATGGCCTTACATTGAAACAGCTGTCAAAGGCCCTTTCCTCGCCAGCCTGCGAGCAGCCCGTACCGCTCTCCGAAACAAAGGTAATATACCTCCGAGATCTGGGGTGTCCAAACCCTATTCAAAAGAAGCTCAGATCCTCTTAGATAACCACCCTGTGTCTGTCGCTATTCCGCTCATCCGGAGAGGACATCACAATCCGCACACAAGATCTGAATTTTTGCTGTGCCCGTCGTCTTCGCTTCCTCTGTCCTGGCAGCACTGGTTTCCTGGCGAGCGTACTGAGGCTTGAGCATCAAAAAGGCGCGGTCATATCACTCATTCAGCAGGAGCTCTACCTCCCTCTCAAGCAGCGGTCAGACATGGACGCTTCTACCTGCCCAAGAACCCCCCTCCCTACCTCCATTCCCCATATCGAGTACTCGGTCACCATCAAAACCTCATCCCGCCCCTTATCCTCCTTTGACGGTCCTTTCGTCCTCACACTCCATTCCCCCCACAGCGAGCCTGCAATATACGACTTTCCCTCCGGTCGCTTCCCCCGCAACTCCAGCGTCCGCTTCTACCTCGTATATGAAAGCGCCATACCTCCTCCCTCGGCCATCTCGGTGCAGGCGAGGTATGCTTTGGGGTGGACCAAGTGGCGTATCTCGTCGATACGCCTGCTAGCGGTGGAAGCGTCGGAGCTACCGTCGGAGCTGGTCGCTGGCCGATATCGCGTCCCTGGCATCAGCGACCCGCCCATCCAGGCGCCTCTGGCGGCAGTCCCCACTCGAAGCGCCGATCGAAAAGGGAGCGGCTCGGCGTGGGTCCATGTATGGCTCCCGGCCTGGAATCTCGCTCTCCATCAGGCCCCGGACGATCAGCCCTCCAACACCGCAGTGTCCACTCTTTCCTCATCCTCCTCTACTCTCATTTCCCAGAAACACGAGCTGGACGGCTGGACACTACGGCCATCCCTCGGCCATCGGAAGGTATCCTGGCCGAGTCAGCCCCGATCCGACGCCCCACTTGCGGGCCGCACCACCTTTCCCACCCCTCTCGCACCCATTTTCACCGCCTCCGCAGTCGAATCATGGGGTCACACCTCCATGTCCATCTACGACTCCCCCTCACCTCCCTCTCCTCCTACGACTCCGGCCGATCCGGACGACTTCGTCTCCCTCTGGCCCCAAACACTCCCCGGCACCCGGATCCCCCGCATCATCCAGAATGTCCGAAAGATGCGGTGCGAGCCTCGTTGGTCTGCCTCGCTGGAGTCAGACAGCGACTTGCAGCGTCGTCCCCCAGATGTCTCTATTCCCTTCAGCGGCGTAGACGTGAGCGGGGTGAGAAGATGGGCGGCAGAGATGAAGCGTGAGGGGCGAAATTATACCCTGTTGGACTGGAATTGCGCAAAGGCGATATTTGAGGCGTTGTCTGTGGGGCTGGCGGACAAGCAGGAAGGCAACAGTGACGATGGATGGAATGGGTCGGGACGGTTGGCGGAGCGCGGGATGCGTGCTGAAATGTGGAACTGTGAGGCGTACGTACGGTACCTCACCGAGCGGCGGGTAGAGAAGCGAGCAGAGGGAGTTCTGGGGATTCTAGCAGAAAAGATAGGAACCATGGTGCCAGCGGATCTGATTCCGATTGTAGAGAGGATTAAGGCCGAGGGGTATTGAGATTATTGTAGTCAGTATACAGGTCAGCGAGATTTTGTTAGATGAGATCCTAGCAGCTAGATCATAAGCTCCATGTCCATAAAACCCAAATGAACCTCCCGTTATCCAGTTCGAGGTTCCCCCAAAGAGACCTCGCCTCCGCGCCCTACTCCTTGGGAGCCTCCACGTACGCCCGGAAGAACACCAGCTCCTCGCCCCCCTCCCATTTGACCTCCTGTCCCGCCCCAACAAACAGCACGTCCCCCTTCCCAATCTCCTCTGAGCCGCTCTTCTTGCCCTGCCACTGCACCTTCCCCTTTCCAGCCGTCACCACGACCAGACTCGGCCCGTCTACCGCCGCATGCCCCGCTTTCTCCCCCTTCTGCAATTCCACCCGCAGCACAGAGAACTCGGCGATTGGGGGGTCGTATAGCTGACTCTTGCCGTCCGAGTCGCGGGACCATGTCTCGGGCCTGAGCAGCTGCTTGGATCCCGGTCCAGCTTCATATGTCAACATCGAGACGAGCGTGTCGACGTCGCGGAGTTTAGGGGTAAGACCGGCGCGGACGACATTGTCGGAAGTGGCCATGCACTCGATGATGTCTGATTAGCAGAGTCGGGCTAGGGCTCACCTCCAGAGATGTATGCGTGCGGCATGTTGGCGCCGAGGAAAGCAGCTTCGCCCTCCTTGAGCTGCACCACGTTGAGCAGGAAGACACAGAGCACGCCGACGTCCCCGGGGTATTGCTCATTGAGCATAAGAGCCAAATCCACCAGCTCCTTCTCGCTCTCCGCAATGTCCTTCTTTGCGCCGTACCGAGCCACGAGGCTGGAAATGGCGGACTCCACTTTGGCCTCGGGCGCAGACATGAACGCACCAAAGATCTGCTGGAGAAGCTTCTTTTGGTCCGAGGTGGGTGGGGTGGATTTGGCTGATGTGAAGTCTGAAGTGTTAGGGGGTCGAGTAGTAGGGAGTGAGAGGGATGACGCGAGCGAGTCGACCAGGTCTGAGGAGACGAGCGCCGAGAGTTCCGGTACCGAGAGGAGGTGCAGGAGGATCATGGGGAGAGGGAGGAAGTTGAGGAAGGCGAGGAAAGGTGTGAGGGCGATAGCCATCTCGGGCTTGTGATTGTTGTCTATGAATCAGCTTAGACACGTTGACAGGAACGCACCCTTGTACACGTCCGGTCGCTCCTTGAACAGCCTCTCCGCCAGTGGCTTGTCCGGATGCGCTTGAATACTCAACGCTGTGCCTATGCTCAACACCTTGAACAGGAACGGCAATGACCCGTCCTTGGTGTCTGGGAACGCCTTGCCAACGGCCGAGCCGATGAGGGCTGGGTTGGATGAGAGCGCATCAGAGAGGGTGGTTGAGGAGGATGCGGTGAGGCGAGAGGGAAGATTGGGGTGAGTGCCCATCCACAACTATCTCGTTAGCCTACTTTGGCAGCAACTGGGCAAGTCCAGGCGCGAGCGCACCTCGGCGTAGGTCTTCTCCTCATCGACCTTGAAATCTGAGATGCACCTCTCGCCGAGCTGGGCCGCGAGACTCGACGACCCCTTCTTTCCCCACGCGTAGGACTGGATGCCCGGCGTGATCTTGAGTACGGGCGCTGTCATGCTGTAGATGAGAATATGGGTGAAAGTGAGGAAGAGGAAGATCAAAAAACGCGTCGACTCTCTCCCGCTCAAGGCCGCCGCATCCGGAAATCGGATCATACAAGCGCGTCGACGCCGATGCTATGGCTACATGATAATCCTGACCCTACTCTACGCACTCTCCGCTCTAATTTGACTCCGATTATACAGCCAATAAGATGTCCAGATCGCTAGACAAGCCACTAAACTAGCGGCTGAAAAGACGTAAAAGATGTTGCCCTCCCCCTGATCGCCGTGGCTGAGGTATTGCTGAAGAGGGAGGAAGACGCTGCCCTATAGCGATCAGCACAAGCGGATACTCGATGGGCATAGCTCACCGCTGTGAAGTTGGTCAACCAATTTATGCCAACTGCGACACTGCCCACCGCCGTCCTAGCTTCTGGGGGGACCACCTCGCTCAGCACGACCCAGGCGATCGGCGCAAGGCCGATGCTGAAGGAGATGACGAAGCAGATCACCGCGGTACCTGACAAGGCCTGATTGGATGAGTTGAGGCCGATCGCGAGGAGTAGCGAGAAGAGGGAGGTGCCGAGCGCGGAGGTGAGGAGGATGCGCTTTGATCCAATTGACTGCATGGTCAGTCTCGCTCCTGGCGACAAGAAAGGACTGACCGAGGGCAAAAGTCCGGGTAGGAAGTTGAAGGGGGTCCCAACAGCCATAATTCCCAGCACGACCAGTTTGGATTCTGCCTTGAAGACGGGTTGGAGAATGCGGGACGAAAAGTACATAACTGCAGATCAGCGAGGGCTGGTGACTGACATACCTGGCGAGATGCCGCAGACTTGCTGCGCAAACTGGGCTACGCACACAATCAGGACTACATATCAGCCGGTAGCCTTTACTACGACGACTTACAGCCTGATCGAAGAACCGAGTCATCGGAAGTGAGCAGATCCTTCACGCTCAATGGCGGCTTTTTCTGCGCTGGAAGTGTCAGCTTGAACCCGGCAAAAAGCGAATTTCCTCACCTCGATCCCCCAACAACGCTGTACTCTCATCTGCCGAGCTGCTCTCATCCTGCTCTTCTTTCCCGACGAAGAGCCCGACTAGTAGCAAGAGCGCCCCGATCGCCGCCGCAACGAGCAGCTCTACGCGCCAAAGCGCCTTCTTGGCCAGCGCCAGCGACAGGCTCTGGGCGACCAGCATTCCAATACCGATCGACGACTGGTGAAGAGTTCCAAAGACCGTGCGATACCTCTCGGGGGCGATAAGCGACAGGAACGGCGGGATCGTGACGAGGACCAAGCCAGACGAGATGCCAATGATAATTCTGTCTAGTCAGCATTGTCAGACAGAGAGGGAGCCAGACTTACCTGGCGATTATGACCATCCACAGGTGTGTAGCTGCCGCCACAGCCAGAGCGCCCAGTATGAAGCCAGTCTCTGCAATGCGGAGTGTCCCCAAGCGACCAAATCGGCGTGACGCAGCGTCAGCGCTGAGGGATCCGACAAGACCGCCTAAGGTCACGATTGTCACTGCGAAGCCGTACTGGTTGTCCTTGATCTCAGCTTCCGCCTGTATCACCAGCACGAGTCAGACTGCGGCAACTCACAGAGACGTCCAGACAATCCCATCGACTCCTCCCGGTTGATCCATCACAGATCACAGCGGTCTGAACACCGTTGAGCGAGGCAATATGATAGCCATAAGTAGCCGAGTGAGCGATCGCCCACAGTGCTACAGCTGCTCGTCTCGCTGTCGACATGGTGATATGTACGCAGCTGGACGACTGGCGATGCGATGATGACCTAAATAGATCAGTCGATCGGGCCGGGAATGACCGGTCTCGACGTCGCAGGGCAAGTGGAATTGACCTAGTGAGAGTATCTATGACGAGCTTTCCCAAGCTGCTGCTCCAGCGATCAAGACACGGTGCGCAGGCGGCTGCATGAAGGCTGTGAATAGAGGCTGACAGGCATATGTCTGGCAACTCTCAGAGCAGGTCTTGCACCAAATCTTTACCCATCGTGCCTGAGCCGGTCGTATGCCGTAAGCGGGAAACCTTAATCAACGTTGATCCATCCCCTTGTTCTCCTCTTGCGTCCATCATACATCCACTAACAGCATCACACCGTCATCTCAAGCCATCATGAGGGGCTACGAGCCCGTAGCGTCATCCTCGGGCGAAAAATCAACACCCTCGTTCTCTCAGCGCCGCCGGAAACCCCTCTTGATCCTCCTTTTGGGGTCTATTCCCGCTCTGGCCCTCCTCGCTTGGCTCGGGCAGGATCGGTTACCGTCGTGGTCTGGCGAGGTCATTGATGGTGGAGGCGATGGCTGGGATTATGTGGATCAGGTTGAGCGGGAGCGGGGGCTTCGGCGGCTCAGCTGGGGTGCGTTAGAAAGACAAGGGGCGAGAAGCAGTATCAGGAAGAATTTGAGAGGGGATAAGGGGTACTTGTTCAGCATGTATGGTGCGGGGTGAGTGCTTAGCTATACTCAACGAGAATTCAGCTAACTCATAGATGGAACAACCAAGTCATACAAATGATGAATCGTAAGTTGACCTTTGACCCAGCTGACCCCAGTGATCTACCTCGCCCACCTAACGGATCGAGTCCCCATCATCCCCTCCTTCCGGTGGAACATGCATCCCGCATCCCCAGACGCAGCGGTGTCAGAAATATTCGACCTCTCTCAGCTCTCCTCCTCCCTCAATGACATGGCTATCATCGAAATGCACGAGGTCAAGGGGACAACGACCGAGCCGGAGCGGCTCAAGACGGTGGTGTACGACGGCGAGAAGGAGCAGTACAAGAAGGACGGGTCATTGAGGAGCGTGGGCGATCTCATATACGCCGAGATGATGGAGGATGACGAGGTGGGGTGCTGGAGTATGCACGCGAGCAAGGGGGAGGAGGTTCATGAGAGCGGGCGGGATTTGTACTTGATCAGTAGGTCGTCCCTAATGGGCAACTGCTGACTCCAAGAAACACCCTTTACTCCCCTTCCGCGCTCCGTCTTCAACTGGGACGAGGATCCAGGCCGTCCTTCCTTCCCGCGGGTCGCTGACCTTCTCCGCGCGCGTCACGAACAAAAGCCCGAGGGCTCCATCGCAATCCTGCGGAATTACTCAATGCCCGATCCTTCGGTCTGGCCAGATCCTCACCTTGCGTGCATCGACTCGACCTTTGGCTTTGGCGAGCAGATTGACCGATATGATGTAGGTGGCGAGTATAGGTCTGGGACGGGTGCATGGGCAGCGGTTGGGAACAGGATGCGGTTCAGTCGGGGCGTGGAGCGGATAGGAGAGATGTATCTGAGGGAGATCTTTGGTGGGGATACGCCACCGGTGAGTTGATGAAGTGCGGATGAATGAACTCAGCTGATTGCAGTACATCGCTGTACACATCAGACGCGGAGGTGGGTCCAGCCCTACCTAGGTGTTCCGACCGCCGCTAATTTGCAGACTTTGGGGACGCCTTCCTTGCGCTCAGTCAACGACAATACGCTCATGCTGCTTGGCTGGTGAAAGAGTCGCTGCGCATCAAGCACGGAGTCGAGATCAAGCACGTACTGGCAACATCTGACGAGACGGACCTACAGTGGCTGTGAGTAGCCTTCACCGCTTGCGGGGTCAGAGCTGAGTCTCATAGGTCGGTCCTGGAGGACTATGGCTTCACATTTGTCAACCACACCCAGCTCAATACGGTCGAGCGCTTCGGACCTTGGTGAGTAGCTTATCTCCATTATCTGTAAGGTTCTAACACTTAAGGTTCCCCACCATACTGGACTCGTACCTGCTATCGAGCGGTAAAGGCTTCCTTGGCGTGATATACAGTACAAGTGAGTCAACCATGCGTACTCCGGAAAACAAGCGCTGACGTAGCAGTGAGTATACTGGCGTACCGACGGACTATCGATTGGAACCAGGGCGTTGCGAGGATGATTGAGCTGGATCATCAAGTGGAGGCTGACTGGACGTGGTCGTGATGTGGATATTGACAAGTTGTGCATCTTGTATACTCGGGACAGATATGGATAGCACTGCGGTTGGTACTCGTATGGTCACGGCTGTTGGGACACGGCAGCTGACAGGGTGGGGAAGGTGGGGTCCCTGAGCCATTTACGATAGAGTAGATAGCGTGCCTGCTTTACAGGCGACGGTTGGTCAACAGCCGACTCTCAACGAGATGCGCCCCTCTCCGATCCGTCCGCCGCGGTACACCGATAGGCCAAGTCCAGTCAATAACATACTGCAACTCGTCTACTCCTCTTGTACGCCATTCAATCGCAAACATGATCGACGGATACTCGGACGCGGCCGTCACGGTCACCTTATCGGATAGCAAGCTGGAGGAGATCAAGGCTCAATTCGACCGAGTTCACTACTATCCAGATGGCACGTTCCCCGAGGAGCTGCTGGAAAAGATCGACATCTGGTACACGAGCTGGCTGGGCTTGCCAGAAAAGGTGACGGATGTTGCGCAGGTACCGCGGACCAAGATTGTGCAGATGTCTTCAGGTGAGAGGCGGTCTTGAGCGAGACTGACGCTCAGCTGGAGCAAACAACTTTTTGGCGAGTAAGGTCATGTCGTCCGACGAGGCAAAGAAGCAGATCAAGGTGTGCTCTGCATCTGGTGAGTTCCCATTATCCCCCAGAAACCATAGCTAACGGGCCAGGTATACATACCCTGTCCATCCCTCAATATGTCATCGCTAACATCGTCAACCGTGAGTCATGATACGGTACATAGCTGAATATAGTGTATGTGAAGCTCCAGGTGCAGTTCCACATCGTACGGACAGAGGCGAGATGGCCATCCAGGCCAGAGGTGATCAAGGCGGCAGGCTTGACAGAGGCAAAGCAGACGGGCAACCGGAGCTTGAGGGGAAAGACGGCTGGCTTCCTGGTGAGTACCTCTCGTGTGTCTGGAGCTGACGAGCAGGGGTATGGCCATATTGCTCGTGAGACGGCCCGGCTCCTCAAGGCGTTCAACTGCGAGATTATCGCTGCCAACACCAAAGGCGATAAGCGACCGGAAGAAGGCGTACGTTCCCAACTTATGTCAGAGCTGATGAGCAGTACGCCATGTCTGGCACTGGCGATGCGGACGGATCGATCCCCTCTGCTTACTACGCCACCTCCGACCCCGCAAGCTTCCGCGAGTTCCTCAGCAAATGCGATATTCTCGTTGCCAGCTTGCCGTCAACCAAGCAGACCCACTACATGCTCACGGCGGACCACCTCGGTATGTTTACAGTCTGTTCAAGTACCATAGCTGATCCTCAGCTGCTCTGCCGGAGGGGTCAGTCTTCGTCAATATCGGCCGAGGGGATCTTGTCAAGTCTGGTATGTCTACCTTGTAACCCCGGAAAAGCATATCGTGGGGCAACGCTGACACATGCAGAGGACATTCTAGCTGCTCTCGATGCACCGGGCGGTCTCGAAGGTGTCGCACTCGACGTGACTGATCCCGAACCGCTCACGGACGGCCACCCCCTCTTCACCCACCCCCGAGCGATCATCACGCCCCATACAAGCGGTAGCTTCGAGGGCTACTTTGACAGTGGTGCGGACGTGCTCCTGTTCCAAGCGGACAGACTGAAGGCTGGCCGTGACCCCGTCAACGTTGTAGACCCCGTCAAGGGCTATTGATTACGGATGCATCAGCGCATGAAACACGGACACACAACTATGACGTTGGGATCCCCTCTAGAGCTACCCCTTGAAACCTCCTTTTCCCGTTTCAAGTTTGATATTCTGAGCGGCTTTGGTCCCCTGTAAGCAATTCCCAAGATACAATGCATACGAGATATAAACTACGCCTCTACTTGCCACTCCTTCCTCAGCGACTTGCCCATACGCTTCGCCCCCTCCTCCATCTCCTCTGGCGGGGGAAGCGCAAACGAGATCCGAAGATACGAATTTCTTGCAGCCTCCTCGCGGGTCAAGACCGTCTTGGATGGCGCCTTGAAGTACACCGACGGTACACACAGCACGCGATCCTCAATCATCGTCTGGAAAACACTCTGCTCGATCTCGTCGGCCGAGCGCTTGTTAACGTCGGGGTGCGACTCGATCTTGAGGCGGACCCAGAGGAACATGCCGCCACTGCCCTTGGGAATCTCAATGGTGCTGGCAGGTGCGTACCGCTCGAGCAAGGAGATCATGTTGAGGCAGCGCTTGGCGTAGATGTCTGTTATCAGCAAAGTCAAAAGCGAAACATACCGGAGATGTAGGGGATGTATTTTTGCTCGAAGCCCTCGTGTCCGCCCCAGGCACGCAGGACCGCCGAGATGGCGGCGACGGAGAAGCCAGAGGGACATTGCTATCGTCAGCACAGTCATGATTAGACTCACAGTAGCACTCTCGCGACTGTTCATCAACTTTTCAGCCAGCACCTTGTGTGCCGAAATGTAGCCAAGTCGACTTCCAGGCGCGACGATCTTGGAAAAGCTGTCGATACGGATGACTCGGCCGTCCGTGTCCAGGGAAATAAAGGTGGGGATGATGGGCGAGTCGGCACCGTTGGGTCTGATCTGGAGGAAGCAGTCTACGGTTAGCTCGATCGCGAGATAGACTTACATGGATCATCCTCAACGATGAGAAGGTCCCACTTCTGGGCGACCCGGTAGACGTCCCTCTTGCGCTGCTCAGACATGGTCATACCGCAGGGATTCGAGCAGGTCCTGCTATCAGCTCGATTGAAGCTTGTACGTACGGTACCATCAAGATCAGCTTCGGGGTCCGGCCCTGAGTGGCCTCGTCCCAGTTCTCCATAAGCTCGTCAAGAGCGTCCGCCTTGACACCGTCCGTGTCCATCGGCACGCCAACGCAGTTGATGCCTTGAGTCGCAGCGGGACTCAGCAGTCCAGGATAGGCTACGATCAGCAAAGTCTAGTTTAGCACTCACCAAACTCCTCGACCAGCATAGTGTCGCCCCGGTTGCACAGAGTCCGCAAGACAGCATCCGTCCCGTCCGTATTGCCCGCAGTGAGGCAGACCTCCCAGTCGTCATACTTGGGCGCGTGAATCCGCTTGATGGACTCTTTGAGCCATACCAAGAGGTGCTTTGCGCCGTAGGTTGCGCTATAGGAGAGAGCGTCCGCCAAGTCGGGGATGAGCGGTTCCGCCTTGGAGGGGGCCGTGTATGGTGCCAGGGGTAGGAGGGATTCGGGCTCAAGGCCTAAAGTCAGCTAGATCTCGGTACGACTCACTGTTGTATCCTGGAATGAACACGGACTTCTCAGCAAAGGGGATCGAGATGGTCATGGCGTTGACGGGGAAGGTCGAGGGGTGGGGGATACCGGTTCCAAACTGCTGATCAGCATTGACCCCAGCAGCGACTCACGCTGACCATCCCGGGAATCTCAAAGTACGGTCTCAGCACCTTGAGCGCCGAGCGCTGCCTGTTGACAGTCTCGACGCTGAAGTACTTGGTGAAGTCCATAGGGGCGGCTTGTTCTTCCATGTAGGGCATCTTGTAAGAGTGGGTAGAATTGGGAACACTGGTTGAGATCAGATTGTAGACAGTTTGGACGTGACTCGCGTCCAGTTATGTTCTGTCGACTCGAGTGCGAGAGTGACTAGTGACTAGTGACTGCTAGCACCCCTACCACCCATGTGCATCCATCCCATCCGAACCGCCGGCTCTATGGACCTCCCCTTATCGTCGCGCAGGTCCGATACCATAAATTACTGGAAGGGGCAATTGCGGGGCCGATGCACCCGAGAGGGCGTTGGTATCGTCCAGCTCCGTTGTCTATACAGTAGTACGCAGACGGTCACTCCAGCATGCCAACACTACTGCCGACCACACCATGTCCGAAGGCAAACTCCTCCCAGTCGCCAATCGCACCGAGTCATTCTGGCTCACGGAGCGGGACCCCGAGCTCAAAGCTGCACGCACCACACCCGACCTCCCCTCTTCGGCCGATGTAGTCATCATCGGCAGTGGCCTGACTGGGGCGATGATGGGGTACCATATCATGAAGAAGGCGCAGAAGGAGGGAAAGCAGCTCAAGGTGGTGATGCTGGAAGCAGACGAGTGCTGCGGTAGTGCGACAGCCAGGAACGGTGAGTCCGACTCGGAGGTAGAACTGACTTTAGGTGGACATTGCAAGCCTGTCACCTTTATTGGCTACCGCTCCGAGGCCAAGAAGCACGGCGCCGCTGTCGCTAATCACCTTCTCACCTTTGAGGAAGCCGCTCTGGGCCTGTACGCCGACGTCGTCCGCAAGGAGGATATCGACTGCGACCTGCACGTCACTCGAGCGATAGACGTCTTTTACCGCAAGGAGGACGCGCAGAGCGCCAAGCTGGATCTCGAGGCGCGGGCGGCTGCATTCCCAGATGCTACTCGAGCAGGCGATATACGGCTTGTGGAGGATCCAAAAGTGCTGGAGCAGATGGCGGGGGTCACTGGGACTGCGATGGGTGCCAGCTATCCCGCTGGACATCTGTGGCCGTACAAGCTTGCCACGTCTTGTAAGTCTGTGAGTTGTTCGCGCTGACGATAGTGATACGCATCGCCATCCGCGACGGTATGAGCATCCAGACGTACACTCCCGCTCTATCCATGGAAGCCGCTGGCGCCAAGTGGACGGTAATAACCGCACGAGGCAAAATCGCCGCCGGCAAAGTCATCGTCGCTACCAACGCTTACACCTCCTCGGTCCTGCCCGAGTTCAAACCCCTCATCATCCCCGTCCGCGGCGCTGCCTGCTCCATCACTCCTCCACCCAGCCATTCTGCAGCCGGCATACCCGGTCCCTTCCGTTACTCTTATGGCTTCCGTCACGCCCAAGGTCAGATCGACTACATGATCCCTCGTCAAGGAAGAGGTCGGGTACCAGGGGTGGGCGATACTAGCCTCATTCTTGGCGGGGCCAAAGGCGTATATCTTGGTCATCTTGACCGATGGTACAACAACAAGCACGACAACGAGATTATCCCGGGGACGAAGGAGTATTTTGAGGGGTACATGAGCGACCACTTTGCGGGATGGAGGAAGGGAGAAGGGAGTGTGGATCATGTGTGGTCAGGGGGTGAGCTATAGCCTGGGTCGTGCTAACGACAGTCCTTGGCTATTCCAGCGATCTCCTGCCTCTGGTAGGGGAGCATCCCGACCGTCCCGGAGTATACGTGATTGCTGGATTTACGGGGCATGGTGAGTCCAAATTCAGCTGTAGCTGACCTCAGGTATGCCTCGTATACCTGGCTGTTCGGATGCCCTCTCCACGCTGGTCCTGAGCGACTCGCAATCAGCGCAAAAGACGTTTGAGACCGCTCTCCCCAAGCCATACTGGTTGACTCGTGAGCGCCTCGAGTCAAAGACGAACGCGATCAAGGCGGCGATGGGTCAGGGTGAAGGGGTGTCGGCAGCGAGGGAGACCAATGACGAGGTCAACATGCTGGCTCAGGCTGTAAAGGCGAAGTTATAGTGATGTATCTGCCAATGCTCTGCTGCTGCTATCTACGGTTATGCAGATCCAAGATCTCCACCCCTCGCTCTTATGTAGGACCGCCAAGTCTGCGGCGATCGCCGGGAAGAGCCTGCAGCTAGTCCTTCTCCCTCCTTGTCCTCTGCTGCATGATCTGCTCGCTCCTCCTTTCGCTCCTCCTGGTAGCCTCTGTCCACACCTCTCCCTCTTGGGCCGTCCGCGTCCTCCACTAGGCTAAATGTCAACTAAGCCGCACGGGATGCCGCCCCGTCGGTCACTGAGGCATCAGCACGCCGCAAGCGACCCATCGTTAGGATCGCCTCCCTCCGCCGCCCGGGCGGTCTACAACATGGTCGAGCTGCGCCAGATCATACTGCGCCTGCTGGACCCTCCAGATCTGGCGATGATGATGCGGGTGGAGAAGAAGGGGATGTTTATGGTGGCACAGGAGCTGTATGGGGTTGTTACGCACGAGTTTGCGTGCCAGATGAAGCGAGACACGGTGAGTTCTGTTGCTATCTGTATAAAGGACGAGCCTGACCTTCAGCCACGACAGCGGATGTACACTGCTGCAGTAGTTGAGATCAACGCTAACGACGGTCATCTCTCACCGGCGGCATCGGCGGCTCTCAGGCATCGGGGCCCACTCCTCCCCGACGGCCACGAGGTGCGGCGGCTCGCCACCCTCACGCTCCGCAACCGCTTTGCGAATCTACGCAGGGTCACATACGGTGCGGATGCCTATGATAGGTACGGGGAGTGGTGGACGGTCCACCATTTTGACCCTGTGGATGGGAATAGAGTCCTTAGCGCCGCTCGTCCTCCCACATCGGCGGATTATGGCGCCCAGCACGTCGAAACCTTCCACTCGCATCTTTGCGATGTCGAGGACCTCCCTCCCCCTACTCTCGACCAATCGTCGGTTTACGCAGATGGTCGGACCGTCACAACGCGGTTTGATCTGTGCCTCACCCGTCGTACATACCACACCCCCGCCAGTAGCCTAATAGACGCATGGCTGGCTGCTGTGCGGTCTGAAGCTATGGGGAGCGTCTACCGGGCCGCCGACTTTGGGATCCTCCCCATCTCTCTATACGACCTCATGGACATCTACATACTACAGGAGAGGCGTCAATATGTGGTCCGGCTAGAACACATCATGGCGTTACATGCTGAGCCGTTCCACCTCGGCGCATTCCTGCAATTTGCAGAGATAGCGTGCTGGGCGGTGACGAGCCTCCTTCTTACATTATCGGGCCCGGACGGATACAAAGAGGATGCCGTCGGCATGTCTTTCGAAGACTTCGACGAAGCCTCGCAGCACATCATCTTCTACATGCCCAATCTTCGGCTTCTCTCCATGGCGCTCAAGGGGATCGAGACGGCGGAGGCTTACTGCGCGACCCAGCTCCGGGCCAACATACTGGCCAATCCGGGTACACTGGAGGGACTGTACATAGTTACCGCCGACTTCAAAACGCCGTTGTTCAACGTCATTCGCCTGATGGCAAATCTCCTCAAAAAGGCTACCTTTACGACGTTACACATCGGAACAGCTCGTGGCGCATGGGGACGGGCAACCCAACAGGCGGTCCTTTCATATCTACGCAAGTGAGTCAATTACTTGCGGTACAGTGCAGAGCTAACATGGCTCAGTCAATCCCCAGACCGTCGACAACACCCTGAGACGGCCGACTTTGGCGCTCTCGACGTCACCGAGCCATATCAGCTGTTCGAACTCTCTTATCATGAGGACGGGCGGCCAATACGCCGGAGGGAGTCCAAGGCAGCGTACTGGAGGGCGAAGATCAAGCAGGAGGGGGATCTGCTCTTGCTCAGCTTGGCGGCCCTGCGACAAGCTACAGCCGACGTCAATAGCGCGGCTGCTGCACTCCAGGAGGCCGTGGCGGGGGATGCTCAGGAGTGGCGAACGGCGAACGAGAGGCTTAGCGGTGCTCTGAACCAGCAGCGAGTATGTGCCTTAGCAGTGCGGGAGGACGAAGCAAGGGCCGAAAAGAGCGGACGAGAGATGTCCTTGTACATACATGATCTTCCATAGCAATGTACAGCGCTGTCTATTCGGGCATCTCCTCTGCGCTGGATGGGAACTGCACCTCCTGCCCATTCCCCTCTGCCCGATGTGCCCTGCTCATCGCGTACACCTTCTTCCTCAGGCGATTGATGCTCCCCAATGGCCTGTGATCCGCCAATCCGCTCCAAGGGCTCAGCGCAATCTTCTCCTCCCACCACAGTCTCCGCGCATCGCTGTACGTCTCCTGCTTCGGAATATCGAGCGTGGCAATGTCATGCCAAGGAGCAGTCTTGACATCCCACTCGGTCGACGCGTCCTCGACCGCGTGCTTGGTGAGGTCGGATGCGAACTGGGCGCGGAACGTGTACGTAGCGGAGTGGGAAGTGTAGTATTCGTGGAGGGATGTGCGGTGGAAGGTGGGACAAGCGTCCGACGGGATGAGCTTGTTGTGGTATTCTTGCTGGTCAGGGGATGTGGGGGTGAGAGAGTAGTGAGCGGCGTATGGACCGTATGAGAAGGACGCTACCATCAGCTCAGCCTTAGATAGACTTACATTGAGTGAAGAACTCGTCCCCGATAATGTAGTGATTCGGCAGCATGCCTGGAGCAAACTGCTTCATCCTATCACTCCTCTTTGCCAGCTCCAGCTGAAGCGTCTTTGGAGAGTCAAAGTACTTCTCCCTCAACTGTATTATCTCCAGCGTCGTGTCGATGTCCGTCAACTCGACCATCGGCGCATTGTTCATGAGGAAGTCCTGCGTTTCTAGTCCGTCCTCGGAGAGTCGGGCGCCGGAAACGCCAAACACCTTGAAGGCAAAACCGCGGGGTGCCTTCTCGAAGTCTGGTTTGATGAAGGAGGGCTCGTTGGCATAGCGGCCGATGAAGGGGTAGGATGCGCCGGGCTTGGCAAAGAGGCCGTGCTGGAGGTGGGAGGGGAGGTCCGATTTGACCGTAAGAGTCCCCTTGACCAATCCGAGGGATTTAACCTAAAGTCAGCCTGGACTGCTAGGTAGACTTACATGAGTACCTCGGTACTTGTGCTGGTGCTCATCAAAGTTGTGATTCTGCATCTTGCGAATCAACTCGCCAATCTGCTCCGCCTTGCCATCCTCATCCCCCTTGATCTCTTCCACTTCGCTCGCCTTGAGCCACTCATCCGGCTCGACGGGAGGCTTGGTGGTGAGGTTGAGTTGTTCTGCGACGGCTGAGGCGACTTGCTGTACTGACTCCATGGTGTGCGGTGATGGGAGGAAGATAGCATGGTGGGTGGTGTCTATATTAGGCTGACGGTGAATAGCTGTCGTCTATCTCTGTGCGTAACAGGTGAGGAATGCTGACACAAGGCTATGACGTGTACTGCCGTAACGCCGCCAACTCGACCGCGACCAGGCAACAACAGCAAAGGCATCCTCTTCTGATCTCTCTAGCTTATCTACTTGACGATCATAGCTATACTAGGGCCAGCGAATCGGGGTCGCCTCCAGAAGCTGATCACGACTAGCGTACAGCCCCGCTGGGCGCCAACAAGATGGACGAAGAGGCGGACCTCGCCTTGCTGGCAAGTCCGTCTCCCTTGGGTCCGTTCGCGCTCTGACGCTAGCAGGATCAGCATCTGCTGAAGACCAACCTTCTCAGTCAGCGAATGACTAGTGAGACATCTCTACTGCGCTATGTCGCGATTCTGACATGGAGGTATCCTCGGACAACTTGACACGCGTCTTTCTCGGCTGGACAAGACAATTGCTCCGCTCGGACTGCAAGTGCTTGCGCGGAAAGCGACCAGTACGTCCATCACCCAGAGCCAGACTCTTGCTGATGAAAGATATCGACCTTACATTGGCGTCTCTGAGTCCAGCAGCCTCGGGGTCTAGCTCGAGCCTGACACAACCCCCTACTCATGCCCGCCAGGTATCTCAACCTACCCGCCCTGCCCGTGCTGTGCCTCCTCCGGCCACAACCTCCCGCTCCAAGTTGGAAGGGTACAATCTGGGTCCTGCTATCTCTTCACTGGCCCCCATTCCTGCCACGCCGAGCGGTACAGCACCGCCATCCGCAAACGCCACACCTGCAGATGAAACTGCCATCTTGACGCGAGGACCGGACATTATGGCTCTCGGAGAGTACTTCGGGGCGATGGATTCGGTGGTAGGGGATCTGGAGCGGATGTGGCGAGGTCTAGTCGAAGGACGGGGTGGTGCACGAGAAGCCGGTGTCAAGGATCTATCGAGATTGGTGGATGTGGGGCTGGAAGGCCTGGTACAGCTATTCCTGCAAATAGCGCGGGATGGGACGTCCAGGCTTTTAGATCCTGATCATCTTATATCGAGTGGTGAGTAATCTTTTAGACTTGGCTGACGGCAGGTCCACCCACCCCTCAGAACCTATTTCCCGCACTCCAGACCCTTGTCCCGCTCTCAAATCACCTTCAGCAATACACAGATCCCCGAAGTCCACACAAAAAGACGCAAGAGCTTGCGCTGCCCCAGCGGGACCAGCTCGTACGAGGCCTGGCGGATATAAGAGGGGAATGGCTTCGGCGGACCCTCGGTCCTGTCGTCGCGAGAGTAGATGAGGTGGATGAAGGCGGGATATGGGAAGGCGGCAGGGGTCGGGAGAAGGTCAAGGCTATCACGACGTGCTGGGAGGTCTTGCTGGTCTTAGTAGAGGTGAGTACCGCGATACCGTTCGCTGACTCTAGGCTGAAACGCTCCTCATCTCGTCTCTTTTCCCATCGTCGCCACCGGCAGACCTCCTCCCTCTTACCCTCGCCGCGCCGCTCAACACCCTCAACAACTCCATCACACCCACCGTATCCACCATCAAACGCTCTCCCGCCTCGCACGCGTTCGTCGCTCTCGACTTGTACCAATCTCTCACTCGCCTTCACAGCAGATGGGAGCCAGCAACAGCCAAGTGCTTCTCCATGCTTGATACCCCTCAGAACTCGGCATACTCGATAACGTCCGCCCTGCAAGGCCACATAGCGACTTTGCGTCAGCTCTCCATCCGCTCCTTCCCCGAGCTCCTGGTCGACATTCGCTCTGCTACCGGGCAAGGCACGGCACCATCGTCAGCAATTGGCGATACCACCTACTCGACCCTGACGTATCTCGAGACATTGCCTGGATACGAAAAGACGGTCGAGGGGCTTCTCGGGAGCAGTCAAAGCCAGAGGAGCTGGTTGATGGGTCAGAAAGAAGCGCCCAGTCCAGTACGGGGTGCAGAGGAAGAGGGTGGAGTGGTCCATCTTTTTGTTGGTCAGTACAGTGACAGTCTGCTCAGTGTAGGATTGGCTAATGTCGCAGCCGACGTACTGGGGACTTTGATCATAAATCTCAATCAGCGATCTGGCAATATGCGAAAGCCAATAGCTCAGACATTCTTGCTGAACAATCGTGAGTGCTTCCCCGGTGTAATGACTGATCGTAGTGTCGCATATCCGAAACACCACCGCTTCCCTCAATTCGGATATCATCGGTCCGGGCGCAGAGGACATGCTGAACAAGGCATACAGAGAAGCAAAATCGTGCGTTTGCCCGATCTCGGCCAGAGCTTGGCTGATATCCAGACAATTCCTCTCAGAGTTCACATCCCTAACCTCCTTCCTCACCGCGGCTCCCCAACCTACCCGTTTCGTCCCCACCATCACCGCCTCGACCGAGCGTCAGCACCTCAAAGACGCCTCGATGCAGTTTTTCGATCGGCTCGCCGAACTCGAGACGATCTGCGCGCAGTTCCCGCTCAGTCGGGGTGATCCTGATCTGCGAGATAGGGTGGGTAAGGAAGCTGGGGACTTGATTGGTGGTGCTTGGAAGGCGTTCTTGGGGCGGTGTGTCGGGAAGGGCGTGGACAAGTGTAAGTTCTGCGTTGGAATTGTGGGCCTGAGCTGACAGTCAGATCTGAGAGGAAGTCCAGAAGAGATCGTCAAGCGTGTTCAAGCTATCTTCAGATGACAAGAATTTGATAGACGACAATGCATGTAGCTGCAGAATACAAGATACTCTAAGACTGCTGACCCGTCTGACACTGACTAGTCACCCTCGGCACCACCGTGAGCGGCGCCCACGACCTCACCAGTCTGCTCTGGCTCCCCCTTACCCTCTACCTGCCTCGCCACCTCCTTGACCGCCTCGCGCATAGTGCTCAGCATCTCTTCCACATCCGCCTCGGACAAGATCAACGCCGGGATCATGCGCAGAACGGGATAGATACTGGTGGTGAGGGTGAGGAGACCGCGATCCATGCAAGCGTCCTGGACGAGCTTGTTGAGGTTGGGCGGGAGGGTAACGTTGGGTCCTTTGGAGTGGGATGAGGTGAGGGTCGAGTTGGGGTCTTTGAATTCCATCGCCACCATTAACTGATGTCAGCTAGTCCTTTCTCAAAACCCACTCCTTTTCCGCGGACCTCTTCAATCATCCATCCACCATTAGCAGTGTCGGCCTGGATAGCACGGAGTCCAGCAAAGATCTGCTCGGAGCGCTCGTTGACGTTTCCGAGGATATCGTGTGTGCGCATATAGGTGGTGGTGGCGAGTGCGGCGGCGCAAGCGACAACGTTGCCCGAGTAGGTTCCACCCTGAGGTCAGCTAGGTCAACCTTCTACTCACGAGTGACCCTGGCGGCATCGAGTCCATGATCTCTTTGCGGGTGACAATGCCCGAGATGGGCATTCCGTTCGCAAAGCCCTTGGCGTAGATGATAAGATCCGGCTTGACGCCAGAGTGCTCGATAGCAAACATCTTTCCTGTCCGTCCGAACCCAGTCTGGATCTCGTCTAACATCAGCTACGTCAACTCCCAAACTCACCTGCAACGAGGAGAATGCCGTGCTTGTCGCAGACCTTCCGGAGATGCTGGAGGAACGCCTTGGGGGCGGGGACATAGCCGCCCTCGCCAATGACCGGTTCGACAAAGATGGCAGCTGTGTCTTCTGGGGCGGACTGCTGCTGGAGGAGATTGTCGATGGAGAGGTTGGCCTGGCGGACGAGCTCCTCCTCGGATGTCTCCTTGGGTACGCCCATGGGGTGCCAGTACGGGAAGGCGGTGGTGTAGACGCATGGCTGGGGTCAGCTCGTCCAGACTCAAGCTCACCATCAGAGGCCCAGTCCCCTTGAAGAAGGACGTCTTTGACCGGGTCAATGCCGCCGCGCCAGACGTCCGCCCGTGGTATCCACCCTGCATGACCACAATGTTGTTCCGCTTAGTAGACGCCCTCGCGACCTTGATGGCCGCCTCGACCGCCTCGGATCCGGAATTCCAGAAGAAGAAGCTGTCCAAGCTCGGGTCGGGCATCATGGTAAGCAGCGATTCGACGAGCTGGACATAAGGCTCCGATAGGGCGATGGCGCATTGAATGTGGATGATGGACTGGGCCTGGGCAATGATGGCCTCTGTGACGTCGGGGTGGGCATGGCCGAGAGAAGTCACTCCGATACCAGATGTAAAGTCAAGCAGCTTGCGCCCATCCTACAATCAGTTCAGTCAGGGCGAGCGCTCACGGTAGTAAGCACGCGCAGCCCCTTGCCTTCCTTGAAGACGTGGTCACGGAGTCGTCCCAGACCCTTTGTGATATGGTTGTGGGCGATCTCCTGCAGCCCCTGGGTGGTGGTGGTGATGGGCAGCCCCTGCTTCGCAGCAGGCAACAGGCGGATGTGGGCATCGGGAGCGGTGGTGAGGGAGGGCATGGCTGAAGGGGTGGCAAAAGTACGGTGATGGGTAGTGGGAATCGAACGTCGGAGAGTGGGGAGTCTAAATCTCATCTGACACAGGTGTATACACAGAAGTCTTGCTTTCAAGATATCGATGGTGTGTCAGTGGTCCGAAATTCATGCTGAGCTCTCTCACCTTCGGATCTGAGTTCCGCCTGTAAGCAGCTCTCTAAGCGAGGCTTTTAGCTCCGGCGCTGTTCGCGCCGGCTGTGTGTGCTGCCGTACAACTCTGCCGTACACCGAAGCTCCGGACCCGCCGGGGCTCCTATCACGGCACTCATGCGCGAGGCTCGAGCCGAGCAGTGGGGCACAGATAAGGCGCTATATAGGAGATGGGACCCGTGTCCTACTCAAGCACTGCTCTCCACATCAGCTCGCATCACCTTCCAAATTTCAAGTTCGTACCGTTTCACAGCCTCCTCACCGAAACCACGCCCAGACAAGATGCCTTCCGTAGTCTGTGAGTTCACATTGACTCGCTTCAAGCGCTAGCTTCAAGGACTTGGCTGATGTACCAGTCGACGTTGTGGGAACTTGTTGTACGTCCGGATCATTATGCTGGGATCTAGCTGACGTCTAGTCTCCTACGATAATGGCGCACATGCCGTCCAGGCCCGCCTCGGCGACAAGCTCGCCAAATACGGTATCCCCTCCAAGCTCCTCTTCTACGCTTGGGTCTGCGGTACCGAGCGCGACTACTCCTACCTCTCCCAGATCAAGCAGTACAAACCCTTCTTCGACATTCTCTCCTCCACCCTCACTCGCGTCCTCTTCCAGGCCGGCGTCCCAGAAAAGGACCTCAACGGGTTCTTCACCAAGGACGACCTCGAGTACATCCGGTCCGAGTACAAGGCGCTCAGGCCCCGTCCGGGACTCGGCGAGATGATGCAGACCCTCAGGGATGGCGGCTTTGAGGTGTGGTGCTGCTCGGACGCCAATGTCGACCGGGTCAAGGGTTACTTTGACAAGGCGGGCGTCGAGATGCCCCTGGACCACATTCTGTCGGCGGACATGGTCAAGGCGGGCAAGCCCGAGGCGGAGGTGTACAAGTTTGCAAGGGAGAAGGCTGGTAGCGATAAGCCCGGAGAGGTCTCGGTCTTTGCTGGTGAGTTAGATGTTTGGGTCGAGCTGACTTTAGCTTCGCATGCCTGGGACTGCGCAGCGGCCAAGGCAGCTGGATTCCAGACCGCGTACACCACAACATATGAGTACGATGAGTGTGTAGATATCTTTGGCAAGCAGGATCTGGTTACCCCCGATCTTCCGTCTCTGGGTAGGGGAATTGTAGAGAAGTGGGGAAAGAAGTAGACATTTGGATATGCACCACGGATCTACTCTTACAGCGTTGTCTTCTCCAGCATTTGCTTCACGTTAGACTCAAGTGCAAAATTGTGACCCATGGACAAGGTACGAGCCGGACATGGTGGCATTACAGAGTGCTCTTCCTGTCTGAACCATATCTCATAGGTATGTATTGCATGATCCATCCGTCTGCTGCTCGAGCCACTTGATGCCTGTGTGTACCACTCCTGTCCGATCTGCCTGCTCCTCAACTGCCGTACGATATCCTCCCTTCGCAGCCCGCCATCCGCCATTCCTAGCCTGTCGTGCAGCTGTCCCGACTTTCGCTCACTCCCCCACCCTCTGCGTCTGCTTGCGCTGCCTCGCCGTCCTACTCCCTCCTTTCCTCAATGGTATAGGCCGCCCAGCATTATCGTAAGCGAGCGACATGAGATCTTCCGGCTCGACGACGCCAAGTGAAGCGAAATCGGCCTCCTCGAGGTATTTTCGGCGCATCTCTGATTGACTGCTTCGCGTCAGCTTTGCGCTGTACCAAAAAATCAAACAACTCACCCACGCAGGTATAGGCGCACTTCGCCTTGCGCTGCCGATCCCCACAAACGCCGTTCGGTTCCGATAGCCAGCATCGGCGCGTTTTCCCGGCTAGCAGGGGCGTGACCGAGCGAATAACGTTGAAGAGTGGAGGGTCATGATCGGCCGTGATGATGCGCAACGATGTCACCTTTCCCCTCGCGGAGAGGTGACCATGGCTGGTCAGGGTTCCGCAGAACGCCTCCGCGGTCTCGATCCCCTTCAATGCGATGTGGAATTCTTCGAGATTTGGCAGGTCCAACCGGATACATGGTATCAGGGCGATGAAGTCTTCGAAAGACATGCCGACGGCTCCCTCCACGTACCGATCCCGCCCCGCTGGAAGCGACCTCAGCGAAGCGCTGGAAATAGCCGACGAGGAAGCGCTCGATGTAGCGCGCATCGATCCACCCGAGTCTCAGATTGAACGGCCGTCCCGCCTGGCGCACGTAGATGTTTGTGAGGTCGCCGAGTGTGATTGGCAGACATCCGAGTCTCACTGTCCGATAAGTGTCCCCGATGGCATTGGACCGAATTGCGGTCAGCCACGAAGCAGACTGCGATGCTCCTGTTTCGGCAAGAATAAGAGTGAAGAATCTTGCCGCCGTTCGACCGTCCGCGTAGGTCACAATCGAGCCGAGAGGTTGGGAAGGCGGCATCGAGCCTAGGGGGAAATGAGCTATGCGATGGAGAGTCGCATGCTGAGCTCCGCAATCTTCGGGATATTGCGGCTGGAGCTGGGCGCCGTGTGCTTCGTCCGTCCTGCCAGAGTCGAAATGGTGTATAGTCCAAGAAGACCGAAGGGCACGCTGGAACATGCGACGAATCGTGCGCAGATTTGGGTGCCGCTTGCGCATATAGAGCGCCTCGTCCGGATAGAGAGGATATACACTGTGTATCTCTCGCACAGCAGCGCGGTACATCTCTGCGCGTTCCTGACCATCAGGAACTGACAGTCCAATCAGGCTGGACGAGTGAATTCTGAACTTACAATGTCCCTTTAAACCACGTCTTGCTCGCAAGCTCGTGCGAGATGACACCATACAGCTCCTGCGCAACCAGTCCCATCCCATATCTCTCCACCCGCATCATGGCCGCCAGATCCGGCGGTGCGAGGCAGCGCATTATATTGATTCTGAGCTCCACCACGTTCCAGACCCGCCTCGAAGGCAGCTCGGAGTTGGCAGCGCCTTCCTCGAGCCTCAGCGGCCTCTGCGGAGGCATCGTGTGCTGCTGCGAAGCTGTCTGATGATTGAGGGTAGGGTAATTGGGCGGTTGATGGGTAGTTGATCAACTCGTCCGAGCTAATTTTACGCTCGTCACCAAGCCAAATGTCGCCCGTGCTGAAACCTTAATAAGTGGGATCGGACGACCTCTATCTTCTGCTCCACTACCCCTTACCATGTCCCACTCCATGCTAGCAGCAGCTACAGGCAGGTCCTCACCTGGCCTTCCAGCGCGTCTAGTAGTCCCGCCCATGCCGCCACATTTGCACCGGCGGCTCTACCTCAGCTTGCGCAGCGACGGCGTTTCGATTGATCCGGCAGTCAAGGACGGTGCGGAAGGATTGTCGTTTGACTGGACGGCTTCGGGAAAGGCTAGGAAGCGACCAACACCTCAGCAGACCTCTTCATCAGCGCTACCTATAGCTGGAATACTGGGCGTGGTCACCTTGTGGGATGGTGAGTTGATCTATGAACCCGCTGACAATAGTGTCCTACCTCTTCATCATCCTTCCGAGCGCCTCGACCTCCGCGCTCCCCGGCAGCTCGGACGAGGTGTACACAGTACAAGGTCTGGCGGCTATACCGCTTGTGCAGGATAGAGCTGCAAAGGAGATTGAAAAGCTTCTGGTGAGTACCATACCAACGTTGCTGATGGCAGAAAGCTCGTCGTGCGAGCGGCGGCTTCAAGTGGCCATTCCCACGTCGCCAGACCCGACGAGACGGCGCTATTTCAGACGACGAGGAGGAAACGCTTCTGGAAACAAACCTCGACAATGATGACCCACCCTCCACCTCCAACGACGCTCCCAGCGCCCGCGCGACCCGGCGCGAGGTCGAAGCCAAGATCATCTCCCAGATCCTGCGCGAGTTTGGCGGCGGTGGCTTCTTCTACAGCTACTCCACCGACCTCACTCGGACGATCGCGTACAAGCGGCATCGGCTGAAAAGCCGGCTCAAGTCGGCGGACGCACTGGCGGAGCTGTTGGGGAGTGCGACAGTGGAGCCAAAGGAGGGGAGCAAGCTGGCCGAATCGCCGACACTGTCAGATCGCCCAGAAACCCAGCCGGACGATGTGGAGCCGGACATCCATATCCCTCTCTGGCGACGAGTCGACAAGCGGTTCTTCTGGAATGAACACCTCCTCAAAGACCTCATCGATTCCGGGTTCCACTCGTTCATCCTCCCCGTCATGCAGGGATGGGTACAGACCGCTGTCATCCCTGTTCCCGCGCCCATCACACCTACGGAGTACAAGGATACGCCTATCCAACTCTGTGTCGTCTCACGGCGGAGCAAAGACCGGGCGGGCCTGCGGTATCAGCGGCGGGGTATCGATGACCAGGGGCATGTTGCAAACTTTGTCGAGACGGAGATGATCCTGCGGGCGGAGGTGGAGGGGAAGGTGTCTACTTTCAGCTACGTCCAGATCAGGGGCTCCATACCGCTCAAGTGGTCCCAGCAGCCATGGTCCATGAAGCCACCGCCAGTGCTGGACACGCCAGTGGAGAAGGCCTTCTCGGTAGCGAATCTGCATTTTGACGATATCGTCGCTAGATACGGGCATATAGTGAGTACCCGTGAGATTGAGCTGATTCAGACCGCCATCAACCTCTCAGAACAGCACGGCAAGGAAGGCGCCGTTACGATGGGCTATGGCGAGCTACTTGCCAGCCTCGACCGGAAAGACGTCACCTACAAGCCGTTCGACTTTCACGCCAAGTGCAAGGGGATGAAGTGGGAGAATATATCAGAGTTGACGGCCGAGCTGGACTTTGACGGGATGGGGTATACTTGGGTCCTGGACCGGGATGTAGTGCGGGAGCAGAAGGGCGTGTTTAGATCAAAGTGAGTTCAGCTTAGACTGGGCTGATGATAGTTGTATCGATTGTCTGGATCGGACGAATGTTGTACAATCAGCCATAGCGAGGCGGAGTTTGAGCATCATGCTGGCGCAGCTGGGGCTGACGAGCAAAGGCGTGGAGCTAGAGCGGGCATTCAACGATAGTGAGTCTGGGCGGGGATGAGCTGATGGCAGTCTGGGCAAACAACGGAGATACCATCAGTCTGTGCTATGCGCATACCTCGGCTCTGAAGGGAGACTTTGTGCGGACGGGAAAGAGGGATCTATCGGGGATGCTACACGATGGTGTCAGCTCGTTGAGCAGGATGTTTTACGGAGCTGTGAGTTATGTTAAGGGTCAGCTGATATCAGGTATCCGACTTCTTTGCTCAAGCTGTCATTTCATTCTTCCTTGGTCACCGCAACCTCAGCGTCTTTAGCGAGTTCCTGGAGACTATGACCAGCTCGGATGCGTCAAATCTGATACAGCTGTCCAGGGTCAGGGCTGCTGCTAGTGAGTTTGCCCGTACACTGTGAAGCTTTAGCTGACGCAACAGTCGAGACGAGCTCTGCACGCGTGCTGGACGGCGAGCAACGATTGGCAGGCTGGACTGTACTCTCCCCTCAAGACCCCAACGTCAAGATCAGCGCTACATTCGAAGAGAAGGTCGTCCTCCTCACCGAATCCGCTCTTTTCGTCGTCTCGTTCAACTACTCCCTGGACAAAGTGGTCGGCTTCACCCGCGTTCCTCTGCTCTCCATTACTGGGCTGCAAAGAGGTGAGTCTCCCTTGGATCTAGCTGATACCAGGCGCATACATCATCTCCCCGCTGCAAGAGTCTGGCCGAGACGGAACCGAGAATGCCGGCCTCGTCGTCCGCTTCACCCTACACGAAGGCCGCTACTCTACCTACTCGCTCCAGAACCGCTCAGCACCCAGCAATACCGAAGAATTCTTCGCATTCAAGGTCCTACCCCGCGAGTTTGTCGCCCGTGGGGCCTCATCCTTCGAGGATGAAGATATCGATTCCGAAATGGATGCCAATCCGACAGAAACGTGTCAGGCGGTAGCAGCGAGGATAGTGAAACGTGTTCATGCCGCATGTAGTGGGCTTGGCCATGATCTGCCGATCTTGGAAGAGGACGTCGTGAGGTATGTAAAATCCCCACTTGCGAGGATCTGGCTGACCAGCAGTGTGGCGGAAGCATCCGCATCTACGAGCATAGCGGCGAGGATGAATTATGGGGTCAAGCGCCTGTTGTGGTTGTAGCAGGGTGTGGGCCATGCACCATACCTGTTCACACCATTTTGAGTTCGAGGAATGTTCTCAATCCCGATTTAGCCGGATGTCCACCATTGCTTCGTGCATCGTGAAGACTCGCGCAGCAAGCATCAAGCACACACGTTCATCGATCGCCTCGCCCACCCACTAGTACCAAGCAGGCAAGATGGCTCCAGATATCATGCATGTTACATGAGGCGGCTCCACTGCTCTCCACTGCCATGCCGGAACTTGCTCGGCCGAAATAGGGGCATTGCGTAAAGCTCGAAGCCCGAGGGAACGTGCGTCGAAATGATCCACTAACATCTCTTGCTGATCGAAGCTTCTCCCCTCGTGTGTCTTGTCGCTGGTGGTCGTGTTTAGCCCGGTCAGGAACCGCCAAGGGCAGCATGGGCGGGATGGCTGCATGGGAGACCGGCGCCGGTACTTAACAAATGCACTTCTTTCCTCAACTCCCTCTTCTTCCCCATCCCCATCTTGAACCTCGACAAAAATGCTGTCCAACGTGCTCCTTCTCGCGCTGGTCTCGTCCTCGGCCCTCGCTCAGAGCTTCAGGCGTACTGGTGCATGCCCCAAGCTGGGTTGTGTCTTCCCTCCTGTAAGTTCGCCTATTGCTCTCTTTTGGCTCAACTGACAAGCAGGACCAAACCGACTTCATCGCTGGTCAGACTTTTGACATCCGAATCGAAGCCCAGGCGCCCGTAAACGGTACAGAGGCCTACAACGGCGGTAAGGTCGACCCCGAGTTCTCTCTCCACATCGGCGGCGAGGGTGCCGAGCTCGTCCCTATCACCCAGTTCCTCGGCGTCCCCGAATCCACCGTCTCGTCCTACAACTTTACCTACTTTGAGGACTACTTTGCGCAGGATGCCGGAGCTCGTACACCCGTCAACGTCCTCGCCAAGTCGTACCGCAACGTCCAGCTGCACAACCCGGGAACTTACCGCGTCGTCTTCAAGTACAACAATGGTATGACCACCGAGGCCAAGTGGTGTGTCAAGCCCCTGGCCAAGGTGGCCAAGGCCAAGAACATGATCTTCTTTGTCGGTGATGGTAGTGAGTACCATTCCTGAGGTTGATGAAGGGGTATTCATACGGGGAAGGCTTGTGTGTGGTGGGACAAGTAGGCGGGTAGAGTGGGGAAAGTGGGGACGCACGGACCGCATGGACTCCGCTGATATTTTCAGTGGCCACCTCCATGATCTCCGCTGCCCGTCTCTTGGCCCACAAGACCATCAACGGAAAGTACCAGACTACTCTCAAGCTGGACGAGGCGTGAGTGCCTCTCCCAAACACGCCCTTTTCTGAGGAGTATAAGCTGAAACATCAGTCCCGCCTACGGATCCCAGATGACCCACTCCCTTGACTCCTTCATCACCGACTCGGCCAACTCTGCTTCTGCTCTGTTCACCGGCAAGAAGATGACCGTCAACGTGGGCTCAGTCTATTCTCCCAGAGTTCTTGAGCTGACTTGCGCAGGGTCTCAACGCCTACACGTAAGCCAATATTGAAATCTTTAAGAGCGATTCTCGCATCAGTATGTAGCTGACTGTTCAGCGACTCCACTGGCCGCGGCTTTGGCAACCCCGCCGTCGAGTCCGTCTTTGAGATGTTCCGTCGTATCACCGGTGGCCAAGTCGGTATCGTCTCCAAGGCCTACATTGCCGACGCCACCCCCGCCGCCGTCTGCGCCCACACCGCCCAGCGTGCCCAGTACACCTCCATCATCGAGCAGTACCTCAACGGTATCAGTGAGCCTACCCTATCCTGTTTAGATTCCGCTGACATCTAGGCGGCAACCAGTCCTGGTTCCCCTGGGGCGGGGTCGATCTCCTCTTCGGTGGTGGTGCCGAGGACTTCCTCCCCGGACCCGGTAACGGCAATGTCTCGCAGTTCGAGCGATGGCAGCAGTTCGGCTACCAGCTCGGTCTCAACAACACCCAGCTCCAGGCTTTCGACAACTCGCAGCGCGCGCTCGGTCTCTTCACCCAGGGCAACATCTCTACCTGGCTCGACCAGAACGTCTACAAGAACGCCCTCGACCTCGCCGTCAAGCCCCGCGGTGGCCGTGGTGCTTACGACCAGCCCGGACTCAAGCAGATGACCACCAAGGCGTGAGTACATCGGGTCTAGCCGAGATGTCCCGAGCTGATAGGCAGTATTGACATCCTCTCGACTCGTGCCAAGGCCAGGGGTACCGGATGGACTCTTATGTCCGAGGCTGCCCTCATCGACAAGGAGATGCACGTCCAGGTGGGTCTGCATGGTCCATTAAGGTGATGGCCAAGCTGACAAACAGGATGTCGACCGTGCTCTTGGTGACCTCCTCGAACTCGACGACACTGTCCGCGCCACCCTCGAGCACCTCAAGGAGATCGGGGAGCTCGACGACACCCTCGTCGTCATCACCGCCGACCACGGACACGGCTTTGACGTCTTTGGCTCGGCCGACACCAAGTACCTCGACGCCCAGACCACCGACCGTGCCAAGCGCAACGCTGTTGGTGTGTACGAGCAGTCCGGTCTTTCCGCCTACCAGGTCCCCGCTGGTGTTGCTCCCAACAACCAGACTATCTTCAAGGGCCCCAACGGACCCGGGTTCCCCGTAAGTCCATCGTCCCAACTGTGCGGAAGGCTTTTTCGGTACCGAGCGGGTCAATTTGGAGTGAATCGAGCTGATATCCAGGTCAACTGGGACCCGCGGTACACTATTGCTCACGGATGGTCCGCTTTCCCCGATAAGCGTGAGGATTTCCAGGTCAACAACCAATCCGAAGTGAGTACCAAGCTTTGAGCGGGACTGGTAAGATAGGTTTACTGATCATTCAGCGTGTCCCGGCCATCCGCGCCAACGCATCTGCCGGTTTCTTCTTCAACCCCGCAGACAACCAGCGCGGGTTCAGCATGTCCGGTAACATTGGCGGGTCCAACGGTCAGGGTGTCCACTCCCTCGTCGATGTCCCCATCTACGCCTTTGGTCCCGGCCACGAGCTCTTCCGCGGTGTCATGGGCAACGTCGATCTCGCCTTCCGTGTCGCCGAGGCTCTTGGTCTCGGCCGTGACTCTAACGTCACTGCGCCTTACAAGAAGTAAAAGATTCGTTTATAATTAGAGGATTTAGATGGGAAGGGTATGGTGGACAGTTATAGTCGTCAGTAGAAGTCAAATGCAAAAGGTTCAAGTAGTATGGGTGACACACAATCTTTGCGGGCTTCTTTGGACCAGATCAGCGTCCCCTCTATGCCATAGTTCGAGTATATCGCCGGGTAATGAAGGCAGAGGAGGACATTGTGCGGGAAGCATGATGCAAAATCAGCCACGTGGTGCCATGTTGACGTCACACCTGTGCGCTGCTGCAAAGTCGCACAACGATCCCACTTCTGCTGATGTTTCAACTTCTTGTCTGGCATACACCATGCACTTGACCAAACAGCAGACACCATCGCCAGGCAGTGAAGGACAGAAGCGCAAGTCCTTCCTGCGGCGGATGTCATTCTCGAAATCGTCAAATGGGAGCATGAGCTCGTTCATCGATTCTCCGCCTTTGCCAACCCCGCCCGGCCAGCTGAGGGGGCCGTCGAAGAATCGGTCCTTCACGGCGCCGATAGCGTTCCGGGAGCCGCACCCGGTCGGAGGAGTACCGTATGAACAGCAACAGCCTGCCCGTCCAGCACGTCGAGTGTCGGGTGATGCGGGCGCGGCGAAATCGCTATCGCGGTTGGAGATTAGGGATGTTGCCCCAAACACACCGGCGAAGCTTAGGCCTCCAATATATCCTGCGATGGCCGCGCAGAGATCGCATGAGATGGTGCCTCCTAGGAGAATACCCAGCGGCAGTGTCCAAAACGGCTCGCCAAGCATCCCCATCTCCCCTCAACATCAGCGCCCTCCAGTATACCCCGCATTGGCCTCACCGCCCAACTCTCCCCCTCAACCTGGCACTTCCAGTTCCCCATACGGAGCGGCTGCTCCTCGACAGTCCACACTCCCTACACCTCTTCAGTTTGGCCCTCCTAAGCTGGAAATCATCGCGTCCTCGCAACCCCCCGCTCGTCCACAGCGTTCCAGCTCGCATCGTGCACCGCCTCCATTAGAGGCCCGACCGTCTCCCTTTACTCGGACCAGCTCCAATGCGACCGTCATGCCTGATCCGTCGGTCTCGGAAGCCAGCGCCTATGCGCTCGCACATCGCGGACCCACCACTCGTAATCCTTCCTCCCCACCCGTTGTCGAGCGGCGGGTCTCTCGGCCTCTCCCGCGCCCTCCATCCATCATAGGAAAGTCCGCATCCGGAGCGGACATGCACCTGCTCTCTTCCAGCTCCCCTTCCAAATCTCCTTCACATCCAAGCATCCCCATCATCGACTTCCCCCGTTCACCTACCATCCCCGCCCTCATCGATCCACGGCATCGCTCTCCAGCCTTGTCCCCAACATCTCCGAGCCAGTCGCAGGTCTTCCGGAAAGCTGCTCGGCGGCCCAGACGGTTGACTCTGGCGTATATTGTGGCTCAGCCACGCGTGCAGGCGAGACTGTTGCCGGTACTACCGGTCAACTCGTTCTTGTCGCTAGTCGGGGCGTCTCCAAATATACGCAAGGCATTCACAGGCGAGGCGGTGGGAAGGTGGGTAACAAGAGAATGGGGAATCAAGGTGGACTCTGAAAAAGGGAGGAGCTGGCCAAACTTGACAGTCTGGGAGGGGTTCCGTGAGTTATGGTGACATACTTGAGCTAATACTGCAGTCGAGGCCCTTCTTCACAACCCTGCGACATACCACACCTATCCCCCAAAGTGGCATAGCCTGCTCCAGCATCTCTGCTTATCCTACACCCTCGTCGTCCTCCACCTCCGCAATCTCCCTGCGACCTGCTTTCCGGACTTGCCGTACGACGAGGAGCTGGCAGAGGCGCCCCCGCCCGCGGCCGAGCCCACGATAGCCGGTCTGAGTAGGATGGCGCGTCATGAGCGGCTCGTTGAGCTAGTAATGCCCTCACCGCTCTCGTCCACTCCTCCGGCGGATATGGTCCCTGACCCCTCTCTCCACCGACGCGGATCCATGGCGTCCCTCTCTTCCGCTGCTTCATTCTCCTTTCCCCGGAAACGCAGCAACAGCCTGATGCCTTCCAACGCATCGATCAAACCCCCTCCCTCGTACCCCCAGCCAAAGCGGTACGGCTTCAAATCTGGAGACGGCCAGCGGTCTCGCACCTCATCGGAATCGGGACGGCCGGGATCAGTATTCTCGTATCAGAGCTCTCCCTCCATTCGGCCTTCGGTGCAACATCGCCAAAAGAACCTGCTCAGGGCGAGCTTTGCGAGTAGCGATCACGGACGGACACCATCGCCCAAGCCGGTCCAGCCGACGCGGGTGGAGCCGATCTTTGATCAGCCCCCGCCTTATACCCTAGGAAGGGCGCCGGTGTTGAGGGTGTTTGTGCCATTGTCGGAAAGGGTGCCGCGATGGCCATCTGCGGAAGGGGCGATGTGGACTGTTAAGGAGTTGGACAAGTGCGGAGCGACCAAGCGGTTGCGTTTGGGAGATCTAGTCGTGAGTTCTCTTGCATCACTCTCCTCGATTCCGATAGACGGGCCCTTCATGTCTCCGCGCTGTCCGATCGCTTCGTAGCAGAGATAACTGCGCCTTGCGAAGGACACGGAAGCCACATCCCTCGCGCCTGACACTCTGTTCCGCTTACTACGGCTGACTCGACAGGTCAATACTGCTATTCGACCAGAAGGAACCGGGCACATCCTCATCTTTGTCCCCTTTGTCAAGCACCTACTCGTCCCCCTCGAATACGCTTTTAACAGGCTCGGCCAACTCCCCTCCTACATTGACGCCTTCTCCCTTCCTCCATCCTACTATCACCCCCTCTTATCGCCCATCATCCTCTCGCTCGACCTCGCCCCATTCGTCAGTCAAGCAATGAGTGCTCTTCGACTAGCCTACGACCGGCGAGACGTGACCGTCTCCTCTGGCGCGCGAGTCACGGCCAAGCGATACATCCACGTTACCGGGTTCGAGGTGCAACCGACACAGGGAATTGCGCCAGAGTGGCAAGGAATCGTATCGCTCGAAGCGGAGGGGACGGTTGAAGGCAAAGCGGAGATTGAGAAACGATTGGGCCATGGGGATCCGAGGCGGGCAATGAAGGGGCCATGGGAGGTTGTGAGGGAGAAATCCATGCGGGGGAACGTATGGTTGAGGCTGGTCGTGCCTGCACAAGGTCCATAGCTATCTTATAACCGGCCTTCGACTGGGGGATGTGATCTCATGGGTCAAGGGAAGATTGTTGCATTCGTCATACGACGTAGTTGCCTATAGAGTAGCCAACGAGCATCCCAAAAGCTGGCGTGAGAGGGTATGCCTGCCAAGGTCGATCCCAGTCCAGCGCGAGGAGTATAGCCCCTGCCCATGTCCCTAGTACGGCGCCGATCGTGGAGTGTACCATGACGCGCTCAACCGGTGTTTCGGGGCTGGGAGTCAGCGTAGGCTCAAAGTGACCAGGCCAAAAGCGGCTTACGACAGTGAGCAGAACATCCGGGTGTACTTGAACCGATGCGCGAAGCCTTTAGAGCCGAGTGATGGGAGACCCATAGCTTGTACAGCGGGCCAGACGACCAGAAGCGCGAATTGTACAGAGAGCATGAGTGTTTCTAGCGATTTACTGGGGTCAGCTCGTCGCCTGGGGAACACTCACTTCCAAGGAGCGCCGAGTATGTACAGCAGGACGAAAAGGCATGGGATGGAAATGAGTGTAGCTATCCCCGCATCCTTCAATCTCTGTATCTTCAGCCTGACCCCCTAAGCGGAAGCGCAAAACTGACGGTTGCAGTCCGCTTGACGCGCTCATCCCTATCTTTGATCCTGACTCCCCCTTCGGACCAAGTCCGGAGATGCTGACCCCAGAGCATAGCGCACACTCCTGCACCGATGAGGTACCACGCCATCGTCCTGATCGGGCTGTAGGTGATGGGCGTGAGGAAGGGGTGTTCGGGCCGGTCGGCGGAGGTGCGTTGGGTCCCGACTTTACTGGAGCGGGGGAGAAAGACGAAGGATGCGAAGAGGAGACATTGGTGGTATGTTGCGTGGGTGAGGTACTGCTTTGTGTTGAAGGCGGGCATGATGGGCGAGTGATGTGAAGCGGATGGAGGGAGCACGAATTTGGCGCGCAGATGGAGAACAGAACGCGACCCGTGCGCGAGGAATGTGGAGTTGAAAATAAGGTTCTGATGCAGCAGGTACAACTTTGTCTGTGACATCACGCCGAGCTGGCCTTACTGAGACTGTATACAAGGTCTAGCTGCTCCATCGTCTGCACAAGCGCTCCTCGCCACTCCCTCATCCCATCGATCGTCTGAGCCACCTTGTCATCCGTAAATGGGGCGGGTAGCGGACCGAGAGGAGACGTCTGCCCACCGTGCGTTCCGCGAGGCAGCATCAGAGATGATAGCGCGATGAAGGCCCCACTGCGCCCTACTCCGGCCGAGCTATGGTCAGCGCTGTACCAGAAGACCTACTTACCAGTGTACCCAGACCTCCTTACCCTTCCCGACCTCGCCAATCTCCAGTACGAGCCGCCGGAGCGCTTCGACCCCATCGCCTTTTGGGACTCCAAAGTCTGGCCACCCGCTGAACTGGTAGTGTTTCACCTCTACCCCATCCACCTCGAACTCTGTAATGGTAGAAGCGATCTCTGGTCGCTGAGTTTGCCGATCAATTTTGAAGAGACTACATCAGCGGAGTTGATTGTGAGCTTACTTGAGATATGGGTCGGCTTTCCTCGCTCCTGCTTCTCTGTCACCTGTGAGCTGTATGATGATAGCTCCGTCCGTCTCTGCCTGGATGAGGGGGTGTTTCGAGGCGGCCTTGTGATGAATGGCGTCAAAGAACGTCTCGAATGTATTGGGTAATGGGGCCTTGAATCAGCTACGCTCCCACCTCCATCTTACCTGAGAAGCAATCCACCATCTCCCATACCCGTCCTTCACCACATTCGCGTTCAAATAGTCCTCATTTACAGTGACCGCCGTCCGGTCATAAGCGAGGATATTGGAGTACCGGTTACACTCGCGATTACTAGCGGATTCGACGACCGAGTAGAACTTCTCCGCGGACGTCTTGGGACGTTTTGTCGCGGAGTAGGCGACACGGTGGCGTTCCCGCTGGACAAGCAGGTCCCATGCGGGCTGGACGGACATAGGTGCGGGTAGTGAAGAAGGGGCGACCGAGCGGGATTGGGCTGGTCGGCGAGAAGCGAGGGATTGGCCCATATGTAGGACTATGTACACATTCGTTAGGCGGGAACGAGCGGTCGCGGGGGTGTGTGGGGAATAGGGAGTACAAAGGGAGTGTAAAGAGAAGGGTGAACGCGTCATGACGGGCGGGGAGGAGCGTGTGTCAGGTGTGCACGTGACCTTTTTGCCCCTGCCCGATCCGAGATCTTGATCCGACCAAAAAGCTCTCGGCTTTGCGATCTGTATTTCTATATCGCCATCAATACCATAGCTTGACAGACAGTAGTTGCTGCTTCAGCGCGCTTAAGATCGGTCACATCATCTTTAATTTACAGTGCTCTGGCTGAGCCAAGCCGTTCCCATCCAGCATGTCGCTCAAGATCGGCCTCCAACGGCTCGCTCTGCCCACCTTCGAGCGCCTTCCCCTTCGCTGCGCCTCAATACCCACCCCGTTCAGGACAGCTACACGTCTACCTCGGACTTTCCCCCGCCTGCCCTCCCGTCCCCTCTCCCGCCCGCTCAGCACCGCCACCGCCTCGATCCCCTTCCCTTCCCCCGCCTCAGCGTCCACGTCGAGCTCCTCAGCTACTGCCGTTCAGCCAGTAGTCATCCCCCGATCGCTGCCAAATTGGCTCTTTGGCTGCTCGGCTCTCGTATTCGGTATCGTGGTCATTGGTGGTCTAACCCGTTTGACTGAGTCCGGGCTGAGCATCACCGAGTGGGAGCCATTCACGGGGATCTTGCCGCCGATCTCGAATGCCGAGTGGGATGTCGAGTGGGAGAAGTACAGGGTCTCGCCAGAGGGTATCATGTAAGCTTAACACTGTGGGAAATGACTGAGCTGATGTTCAGGACCAATTCCAAGATCGAGATGAGCGAGTTCAAGAAGATCTTCTACATGGAATGGGCACATCGGATCGCGGGACGAGTACTGGGCGTTGCGTGAGTCTCCGCCATTCGACCAGTTATATGCTGACCCACAGCTTCATCGTACCCACCATCTACTACTGCACACGGTACAAGCTTCCTCGCGCCCTGCCCTTCAAGCTCGCCGCGATCGGCCTCGGAATCGGCTTCCAGGGGGTCATAGGGTGGTACATGGTCAAGTCCGGCCTGGACCAGGAAATCATTGACACCAACTCTGTCCCCCGGGTTTCGCAATACCGTCTCGCCGCCCACCTCGCTGCTGCCCTCACCCTATACGTCGGCATCGTCTCTACTGCCATCGGTGTCCGGCGTGACATGCTCGGCAAGACCTACAACGCTACGCCCGCCATCAATCGCTTCAGACGCCTGCCATTCGTCGCGCTCGGTATGGTCTTCTTTACGGCCGTCTCGGGAGCCTTTGTCGCTGGACTGGACGCCGGGTTGGTGTACAATGAGTTTCCCACGATGGGCGGTAGGCTCGTCCCGCCAACGGATGAGCTGCTGGACAAGCGATACTCCAAGAAAGAGGGGGATACTTGGTGGCGCAACATGCTGGAGAACCCCGTCACTGCCCAGTTTGACCATCGCGTCTTTGTGAGTCAACCGCCAAGGTCGAGCTGACAACAGGCAATGACCACATTCGCTGTCCTTCTCTCGATCCCCTTCCTCGCTCGCAGAGCCAACGTCATGCGCAACACGCAACGCTGGGCAAATGGCGTAGCCCTCGCAGCGGTCGGACAGGTCACGCTAGGCATCACGACCCTGCTGTACCTCGTCCCAATCCCTCTTGCGGCGTCCCATCAAGCAGGGAGTGTCGTTCTGCTTACGACATTACTAGGGCTACTGGGGACATTGAGGAAGCCAGGGAGCGCTGCGCGTGCTATCCGAGCGATACAGACTAGATGATCTATGCATAGACACCCCTTCTCAGCTGTAGTTGATTGCAAGGAATGTGACCCTGCCACATGTTTCAAATCTTCGGGAATAGCGGGATTATCTTTTCGTGCAGGCGCGCCTCCTCTGATCTATTGTTCTCTTACATCTATTGCATACAGCATACATTCAGGCATCATGGCGGAGTACGATCTCACTCAAGTGCGTATACTGCAGCGAGAGGCGAAGCTATGGCTGACAGGCAGAAACTTATCCCTCATTTGGATAGGCATCTCGCCATTCCCCTCCTCGCCCACCTCTCCGACATTGCCCTCTTCCCCAGCGAACAATTAGCTCGGGCGCAGTATGAGCTCGTCAAGGGGACCAACATGGTGGATTACGTGCAGCAGCTGCAGGAGCAGATTGGCGGGAGCGCACCAGGTGAGCTCAAGGAACGTGATGGAGCTGATGGTAGATTTCCAAAAGCTCCGAGACGAGGCGACGGGGCGGTACAAGGATCTGCAGGAGAAGGCGCAGCCAGTGATGAAGGTAATGGAGGACCCGGCGGCGGTAGAGAAGCTGAGAAGCGGAGCGGATCGGGAGAAGAACCTGGACGTGTTGCGGTCAGAATATAACGTGAGTCCAACCCTTGACGTAGCTGATGCCAGATATCACTGGACCAGATCAACGCGCTGTACCACTTTGGGCAGTACCAATACTCGCTCGGCGCATATAGCGATGCCGCCAACTTCCTCTACCACTTCCTCATCTTTTCCCCCTCGCACGACCTCAACCTCTCGGCTCACTGGGGTAAACTCGCCTCGAATATCCTGCTGGGACAATGGGAGACGGCCTTGACAGAAGTCAAGGATCTTCGGGATATCATCGACTCGCAATCCTCCCCTCTCACCCAGCTTCAGGCGCGGACATGGCTCCTCCACTGGTCCCTCTTTGTCTTTTTCAACCTGGGCGAAACCCTCCAGGGCCTGCTCGACATGTTCCTCACCCCTTCCTACCTCAACACTATCCAAACGTCCTGCCCCCACCTCCTCCGGTACGCCGTCGCGGCCGCCATCATTTCTCGCCGGAGCTCAAAAACGTCTCGCCGAGACCATATCCGCGAACTCACCCGGATCGTCCAAATGGAGGAATATCAATACTCGGACCCGGTCACATCCTTCCTCAAGGATCTCTTTGTCGACTTTGACTTTGAGAAGGCGCAGCAGAGGCTGGCGGTGGCGGAGAATGTCGTACGGAATGACTTTTTCCTGTCGGGGTATGCGGACGAGTTTGTCGAGAATGCCAGGTGGTTGATTAGCGAGTTGTTCTGCCGGATTCATCAGCGGATAGATATCAGGTGAGCTAGACCTCTTGAAGTAGCTGACAATAGTGACCTCTCAAAAACGCTCAACCTCACAAATGAGGAGGGCGAAAAGTGGATCGTCAATCTCATTCGCGATTCGCATATCGACGCCAAGATTGATCTCAAACAAAATATGCTGCACATCAGCCGTCCCCACACCACCCCCTCCGCCGACCTCATCGACACCACTCGCGGTATCGCCTTCCGGAGCCAGGCTATACAATTCGCCATGCAGACACCGGAGCGGAGGAAGCGGTAATGTAAAAATATGGATACAACCCTGAGGGGTAATGCATATCATCTCCCTGTACGCTTTCCAGCAACTATGGCGGCTTGCTCGATGGTCCAGACGACGGCTTTGATCCAGTTGAACAGTTCGCGTACGGCAAGTTCCTGCTGTCAGCTTCGGTGAAGGGTGGACTCACGAATCGTTCCGGATCGTCTATTAGGGTACTCCCCCGCTCCTCCTCTTCCTCCTCCTCCTCGTCATGTTCGCACCCATGACAGTCGCAATCGCAGTCGTAGCATTCTTCCTCAGACTCGTAGTATTCCTCCCCGTGTCTATCGTCAGCCCGCACTTGCCTTGCACTCACTCGTGACATGTACATTCCCCATAGTCCTCCTCGTGCATGACCTCCTTGCCCTTCCCATTTCCTATCGGATGTACATGCGCATGACCATGTCCATGCCCATGATCATGCTCGTGCATGTGGTGCTGAGCATGAGCCATCGCATGCGCCATAGCATGCGCATGCGCCGCCGCCGCTGCTGCCTCTGGTCCGACCGCCCCGCCCGCCGCATCCTTGTACCCCTTGAGCTCCTTTTGCATCCGCACCAACTTGGCCTTCTCCCTATCCAGCGTCAATTTGGCCTCGAACAGCGCCGCCAGACTCGCCGGGAGGTCTATTCCTAGACTCGCCGAACCGTCGATACCCGCCGCTGCGCCGGCGATGGCATTCAGCTGGCTCTGGGATAGCTTGGGAAGCTGGTCCAGTCGCCCCAGGGCGGATGTTGTCCAATTCTGCCAGGCCGTACGAAAGTTGGGGTCGTTCAGGTCGACGGAGGTCGAGGGGGGTATGAGTGATGAGGGAAGGGGAGAGGGAACGAGATCGAGAGGGATGAGCGGGGGGAGCGGGAGGCGAGATGTAGGTGGAGCAGCTGAGGCTGAGGGTGGTGCGGCGGGTGCTGGGGGTTTCGCGATGGGCTTCTTACTGCCTCGTGCCTTGGACTTGCCCATGATGCTGGTCGTTGATGGTATATGGAGATGTAAGACCTATGTATGGCTGGGCGAAAAGGGAATGAGATGAAGCTGCAGCTCAAGCGTAATTTCAGAATTTCCAAACTCTATCTGTCCATCCCCATCATACCTCATCCCATCATGAAGCGAATCACAGTACTTATATCAGGCTCAGGTCAGCCAAGACACCCCGACTCTAGCTCGGACCCCGCTGATATCTAGGCTCCAACCTCCAAGCGCTCATAGACGCCTCGCAGTCCCCGCGGCTACCAGGGCAAATCACCTTCGTCCTCTCTTCCCGGTCCAACGCCTATGGCCTCACCCGAGCCTCAAACGCTGGCATCCCTACCTCCATCTGCGCCCTCAAAACCTACCTCACCAAGAACCCCGGCTCTACGAGAGTAGAATACGATGCCGAAGTCGCCAAGCGGGTCATGGAGAGCCGGCCCGACCTCGTCGTTCTCGCTGGGTGGATGCACATCCTCTCGCCGGCGTTCCTAGACGCTATACACGTACCGATCATCAATCTCCATCCGGCGCTTCCAGGGGCGTTTGACGGGGCGAACGCGATAGGGCGGGCGTATGAGGCGTTTGGGAAAGGAGAGGTCAAGGGGACAGGGGCGATGGTGCATCGTGTAGTGAAAGAGGTGGATAGGGGGGAACCGCTCGTTGTGAGGGAGGTGGAGATCAAAAAGGGAGAGACATTAGAAGAGCTGGAAACGAGAATACATGAGGTGAGCTAGAGCTCTTTGAAGGGGCTGAGCTGATTGCAGGTCGAGCACGAGATTATCGTTGAAGGAGCGAGAATAGCGTTAGATGCATAACCAACTATAGACTGTACTACTACTTTCGCCCCCTCAGACCCGACAGCAGAATGTCCTTGGGCGTCTCGCCCCGCCTCCTCGACTTGAGATGATCCGCCAATAAGAAAGCAACATCTACCATCAGCCCAGCCATCGCCCATGCTCACCTAGTGATTGCTCGTAATTGAGCCGAGGGTCGCAATGTGTCCGATAATTGAAAGACAGGTCCTTATCTTCCAGCTCCATCGACCCGCCAATACACTCTGTCACGGAGAAGCCGTCCTCATTCACCTCACCGGTCAGCTCGAGGTGGACACCGCCGAGAATGGTTCCCTTTTCTCGGTGGATCTCTATCGAGCGGACGATTTCTTGGATGATGTCTGCGAAATGGCGCGTCTTGAGGCTCGGGTCGGTGATGGAGGATTTGGTGCTGTTGTCAGCTAAGAGGAAGAGCGTATAGACCTACTTTCCGTGCTACGATGTCAGCATATTCCGTTTGAAGGAAGTGGCAACTCACCATAGCATCACATTGCCAGACGACGACGTGGTCTGTCGCCTTGACAGCGTCAATGTGGGCGGGGAGGTACTGATCCACCTTGCCCGCGCCGTACCTGCCGATGATAGTCACCTTGCCAGCTATACGATCGGGATTGACCACTGCCATCAGCTAAGCTTTGGGTCTTACTCACCATCCAGCACCCGGACCAGCTCCGCCGGCTCCATAGTTGGTCCGACCTTGATTCCACTATCATCAGCTCCATCTCGTACTACGACTCACATAGGGTTTGCGATCCCCCTAAAGTACTCGACGTGCGCCCCGTCCAGCTGCCTTGTACGATCACCGATCCAGACAAAGTGCGAAGAGACATTGTAGTACTTGTCCCCGTGCGCTTGGAGGTTGGGATCAGGCCTCGAGCGGATTGGCGAAGCGGAAGGCGTCGATTGTCCTGAGCGGGTCACGGAAGGTCCCTGACGCCGAGTAAGAGCCTCTTCGTACTCCAGCAACAACGCTTCGTGACTATCGTCAGCTCATCCGCAACGCAACATACCTGGTGTAGATATCAACAGTCTCCATCCCTCCCCTCTCATTCCCGCCTGCTCCGCCCGTCGCGACGCGCATAAAGTCCAGACTGTCTTTGAGGGAATCAATGACCGCCCCGAACGCCTGCTGGATCTCCGGCGAGCGGACATGGGAGAAAGACCAGTCGAGCGGCTTATGCAGATCCGCAAAGCCCGATAAGAGCAATGTCCGGATATAGTTGAGAGTAGCGGTCGAGTGGAAGTAGGCGCCCAAGAGGCGATCCGGGTCAGGCTGGCGGTCGGTCGGGTCGTACCCGTTGACATTGTCCCCTCTGAAGCTGAGAATCTCCTTCTTTTCGACGCCGTTCGGACCGGGCATATCGACCATCTCGGTCGGCTTGCTCCGGGGCTTGGCGTACTGTCCCGCTATGCGCATGATCCGGACGACGGGGAGACGCGAGCCGTGGATGATGATCAGGGACATGAGGAGGACTCTGATGTTAGCTGTGTTATGCATGGGGACTGACAATGATAGCTTGTGCTCTAAGGGGCCCTGGAAGTCAGCTTATGGAGCCCGTCTCAGCATTCGAAACAGCTCACCGATGAACAATCGTCAAACAGCTCGGCGCAGTCTCCACCCTGCAACAAGAACGCCTTCCCAGCAGCGACATCGGCGAGTTGGCTCCTCAGGCGGTCAATCTTCCATCAGCTCGGCCAGTGGAGGTACCATACCTCTGTAGGAGACACCAAAGGAGGCAGGCGGCGCAGCTTGCTCAGTACTCTGTCGAGATGGGCCTTGTCGCCATAGGTGACATCCTGGGCTTCAGCTCGGGACGGCAGGGGTGTCTGGACTAGACTGACCTGGGCGATAGGCTTTTCTCTCCAGGAGGATGGAGACCAAGCGGAAGGTGTTTGAGACATCTCTGCAGAGTTTTGTACGTCTGCTTAAAGCTATAGGTTATAGGTATATGTATCGCTGAGTCGAACAACGTTGCTGGGATATCGTTCGAAATCTCGACTGGTCCGAGTGGCTGACGTAATCTGGCTGGCCGGATGCCGTAATTACCGATTAAGCTTTCGGCCGCATCGTGCATCAACAGAAATGGGGCAAAAAGTCCATTACATTCTATACATCGTTCTCTGTTCAATCCACATTCATATCTAACAGGGCACACCCCTACGCTCATTCCTGCGTCTTCCGATCTGTGATACGGCAAGTCTGCCCACGAAATCCGCACGTCGATTCTGCCTCGCCACGGTAGTCATCAAGATCGAAGCTGATCAATCCAGCCATCCTCGCCACTATGACTTCCGTCGCCCCACCCTACCCGCCCTTCTCGCTCCCATCGGGCCATTTCCTCTCCCTACCCCCATCCTACGCTGGGCCCAGCACCTCCCCCTCCACCTCCTCGGCGCAATCAGGCGGTCTCGCGCCCAATACCGCCTCGCTCGCCTCGGCCGATTTCGAGGTTGATGTCCGCACGGGATTCCTTCCGGGATCGAAGAATGTTGAGCGCCTCCCGCAGCCATGGGAAATATGGGAGGAAGCGCTGGATGCTGCGCGGGGAACTGCAGTAGGTGATGGACTGAGATTAGGGGGTGGGAGACCAAAGGAGGTGCTCTGGCGTGCGGGTATTGAGGTGATGGCGGTCGTCGACACCGAGGCTTTGCAAACCTCCATGGGCCTCATGCGGAGAGCGCACCTGGTCCTATCCTTCCTCCTCCACTTTTACGCCCACACCTCCCCCTCGGACGCTCCCAGACCACTCGCCATTCCCGCCTCCATCGCCATCCCAATCCTCCAAATCGCACCCAAACTCGGCCTCCCCCCTATCCTCACCTACTCCGACACCGTCCTCTACAACTTTCTCCCCTCCCGCCCTGACGCCTCCGTCTCTATCGTGAACCCGCCCGAACGCGCCCTGGTCACCTTTACAAACACGCGATCGGAGGAGCAATTCTATGTGATCTCAGCGCAGTGCGAGATTGCAGGTGCGGAGGCACTGCGGATCATGCGTCAGTCACTGGATGAGCTGTTTGTGGGCGATGATCTGGCGTTGCGGCGGCTGGCGGTGTACCTCCGGAAACTGGCCAAGCAGATTGATCGCGTCGGGGATATCACTCTCTCGATGATCCAGCATATCGATCCAGAGGAGTTCTACCATCTCATCCGGCCGTGGTTCAAGGGCGGGGACGATGGGCCGGGAAGTCTAGGGTGGGCGTTTATGGGTGTACCGGACGAAGGGGTGGCGGCTGTCGCTGCGGCGGAGAATACGGCGGACCGGGCAGAGGGCGTCAAGAGGGGAAAACTGTTCTCTGGGCCGAGTGCGGGTCAGAGCAGTCTGATCCACGCGATCGATATCTTCCTTACGGTCGATCACTCCCCCTCGGCCGACGAAGTCCAAAATGAGGCGTCGTTCCTGCAGCGCATGCTTGAGTATATGCCGCTCGCGCACCGCTCATTCCTCGGTCATCTGGCGGACCACCCTACCCCCCTTCGGCCGGTCATCACGCACTATGCCAAGACGCACCCCAAACTCGCGGCGGCGTATGATTTGGCGCTGGATGCGCTCAAGCGGTTCCGCGAGAAACATATGCGGATCGTCAGTGTGTTTATCGTACAGCAGGCGAGGAGGCAGCCTAGTGACCGGATCAGGGTGTTGTTGGGCACGGCGGAAGAGGGTGAGGAGGTGGAGGTGGAGGTGGTACAGGCGGTCAGTGTCGAGGAGATGAGGGGGACGGGTGGATCGCCGCTCTTCAAGTTCTTGAAGCGGTGTAGGGACAATACGACTAGAGCGATGATTGCCGCGCCAAAGGGGCCGGTGTACGAGTTGAAGTAGATGTCTAGATATAGAGGATAGGTTGTATATAAAATAGACCGCTGGTCGGGCATTAGATGCATTGTAGCTCCGGACACTAGCTTCGATGCGCCTGCGGAGCCGGCTGCTCTGGTCCATCATCGGCCAGAGCTCGTTTTCGTTTCGTCAGATGCGCGAGATACGCTAGCGAATGGGTCGGCCGCTGTGATTCCTGAGTTGATGGAAGTGGTGGGCCGGAAAACCACATCACTGCTTGGCGCGCGTCGCGGTCAAACAGGCGAGCTACGCCGTCAGCTGCAGAGCCTCGTGTACAAGCTCGCGCTGCACTCACCCGTCTCCACCGGCAAATACTCCTTGTACGCAATCATATCCATCGCCTGCTGACCCCCGTACATCGCTCCAAACGTCTTGGTAGATCCGCCCGACGTTGCCGTCTGGGGCCGATGCGTCGCTATCGCCGAGCCCGAAGCGGTCGCAGGCATCGCCGTGGCGGGCTGGGTACTACGCTGCGCCGGTGCTGACTTGGCCGGGGGAGGGGGGGCTACCTTATCCTCGTCTTCCTCTTCCGTGATTTGTCCGCGGGGCTCGGCGATGAAGCCTGGACCTGTGATGCCGGTCCCGCTTGACGGGAGTAGAGGCGAGGGGAAGAGGAGGGGTTCGATGGGGCGTTCAAAGTTGACGAGAGACATGAATTCCGATTGACGCAGTTCCTACATTGTCAGCTGGGCCAGGTTGTGAGTGCCTTTGAGCTCACCTCGGGTATGCAGCTTGCCCAGTTCTTGATCCGTATCGTTTGCCAGTATCTATCGTTGAAGCGTGATTGGCATACATCTACCCAGTCAGCTGACGTCTGCAAAGAGCACCCCACAACTCACACAAGGGCCATCCCGGAAAGTACTCTCCCGCCCTTGACCTCCCCCGCACATATTTCGACAAAAACTGTACCGACACCTTCTCAATCAGATCATCTACCGGATGATCACACAGATGACCCGTCTTGAGCAACTCGCGGTCCATAAACTGTCGATCCGCCGTATGCACCGTCTGCTCTGGACGGAAATACCAGCACACCGTCACGTGATGACTCGTGCTTCCCTTGGTTGGCACAAATGTCCTAAACACTTGTCCTACGATCGGGCGGGTCGCGTCGTCCGGATGAATAAGGTGGACATAGTCGCCGAGACGATACGAGACGCCCTTGTGCCGGACTTCGGGGGTCCCGATCCGGTCCTTATTGGGTACTTTTTGGTGGGTGATCGCGAGGGTGCTTTCGGTATCTGTTGTGGGGCGAGCGCGGCCGGGACCAGCGATGATGGTCGAGAAGTTGGTAGATGAGGGGGCGGGGATAGGGAGGGGGGAGACGGATGGTTGAGAGGAAGTGAGCGCGTTGTAGAGCCGCTGGAGGATGAGGGTGTGGCCGTACTCGGTCGTTCCTTCGAGGTACCACCGGCGAGCCCGCTCGAATAGTCGCGTCACCTCGACATCCGCTTCTGCGAGCGATCGGTATTCGCCCCGATCCGACTTGTGCCGAATGGCCGCAAGCGATACGCTGCCAGAGTACGACAGGTAAGGGAGGTCGATGAGTGGTGGGACACGGTCTAACGTCTCCGCAAGGCAAAGATTACTACTATCAGTTCTTTTCCTATGTGGACTCACTCTTTATCTCTGTAGCCGGTAACAGCGTTGATCACGTTCCGTATTCTGGATGACCGACTTCCCTGTCCCGCAGGAGACGCCTCGAACTCAGGCTGATCCTCGCCCCACCACCCACTTCCCCTTACCCCACCGACCTCCTTCGGACCGGGCAGGACAGCCACTGGCCCAGACCACCGCGGTAGCTTCGCATCGAGCGCAGCGACGACCTGACGATCCGCCGCGCTCAGGCCTCGGGGAAGAGGGTGATTTGGTGATTGTGGCTGGGGAAGGACGACCGGCGCTGATCGTGTTGGGCGGGACGAGGATGCGACGGGCTGCGCGGAGACAGGTTTGGGCGGCTCGGGAAGTGGAGAGGCCGCAGCGGGAGTAGCTGAGTTCCGCCCTTCTGCCTTGGGAGGCTCGAGTCCGCCCTTCTTGCCTTTCCGAGTCTCGGTTTTGGGCAGGTGCGGCTCGCCCTTGAATATGCCCTCTGCGGCGGATTTGCGCCATTCTGCCCAGATTTGTTCCTGCCAGGTCAGCTCTGCGCATCGGTTGTGACGCAAGTAGCTGACCTCAAAGTCGGTTGCGTCTTCGTACAGTTGAGACCCGTCCTCGTTGTCTGTCCATCAGCCATGCCCAATCAAGCCGGCGAGACAGCTTACAGTGCTTTGCATTGAGAAAGATCAGCAGTAGCTGCGCAAAGAACTTGTCGGGCGTCGGGAACGCCTGATCAGAGAGCATTTGCTACTATGTCAGCTGCGGAATGGGCGACACCACAGTTATCCTCATAGCTCACCGCGACGTTGTTCAGGCACTCCGGCTCCGGGATCGTCTCGTAGTAATCCGAAAAGTCTGTCCTATCGGGCAAGTCGCAAAAGATCTCCGCTATCCGAATACTATTGATCAGCTTAGCCTCAGGTAGCAATCATCAGCTGGGTAAAAGCTGAAAATACGTACCCATCCTCAGTGGTGTTATACACGCCCTCGACCATGCGGCGACATGCCTCCCATTGAGGCGCTTCTAGCCCCTTCCCATCCTTCTTACCAGGGTAAGTCGAGCTACCGGGTATGATTAATGGCGGAGCGATTTGTACAGCCTTCTGCTTGTTCTTGCGAGGGGGCATTATGCTAGTGATGAAGAGGTATAAAGGTATAGACGACAGAAGATCAAGGTGTGAAGTCCCTCGGCGCGTCGCCTGTCAACAATGCATGACGTGGCATTAACATTCCTCACAACCTTAACCTTGGCCAGATCCGGCTCGCAGCCGCCAGCCTCCACACGACCATCCATCTACCCTGCATACATCGAGCATCTATACTACCTATCCATATAAGCATAGCCATATCTCCAGGTTCATAACCAGATAGACACCTGTCAATATGCTCGATCACGTTTCAATATCCCACCAGAGTGAGCTGCTGCACTCACGCAAGCTCGAGGACCGAGCTAACATCTAGGCGGCCTCATCCTATGGTCTCGGTCGTTCACGCCCGCGTTCGCTTCTTTGGCACAGACGCCCGCTTCGCCCGTGAACGCTCTGGTGCGGGAAGTCTTCATAGAAGGAAAAGTACGAGGTGAAGACGCGAGCTTTGAGCGGGACGGCTATAATGTCCGGTGGACTATGGAGAATGGGCTAGGGCTTGTCTTTGTAGTGAGCTCAGAGCTTCGCCCTGCTTTATACGTGCCACAGCTGACCCGCAGGTCGTCTTCCCAGCTCTCCTACCGCTCACATATATCCCCGCCCTCCTGACACGAACGAAGCAGCTCTTCCTATCGCTATTCCAGCAGTACATCCAGACTCTGGTGGATACGCTCTCGGCTACTTCGGGTGTCTTGACGGAAGCCGCGGGATCGGCTCTTAGGGTGCTACAGCAGCGTATGGACGATGAGAGATGGGCGCAGATCTTTGACCGTTGTCTGCGGAATTGCGAGGGAGACCAAGTGAGCTACACCTTGACCGCAGCTGACGAGCAGGCTCGGAGACCAGCTCAAACGCCTATATCGCTGCACCGCCAAGCGCAGCTCTCCGCCGCATCTGGCGCTTCTACCCCCGGCGTCCCAGATACTCCCACCGACTCGGTCACCGCCGAAGAGATTGCCAAAAATGTCGAAGCTCTCAAGTCCAAGATGAAAGGCGGTCGCGGCAAGGGCGGGAAGGGGACGGGGCAGACGCCCTCCCCCTCCCCCTCCCGCAAGACCGGGGCCGCCGCCAAGCTTATGCGCAAGTGGGGCGACTCGCAAGTCTCCGCGGGCGACATGGCGGCTTTGGATTACTCGACGCCTGCGCCGGAAACGCCGAATGGGCAGGGAACGCCTATTGACGTCGAGGCGCTGGTGTCGAGGGATGCGATGGGTCAGAGGAGTAAAGATGGGCAGTACGAGGTGGCGGACTGGGACTTCCGTGGAGGGAAGCGTGCGGCGGCGGAGGATCTACCGTCAGAGGAGGAGATTTTGGCGAGGGGGACGAGCAGGTTGACGATTGACGATAAGGAGGATAAGGAGGAGGTAGCGGGAAGTAGCTGGAGTGGCATCTTCTCGAGGTTGACGGGAAGCAAGGTCTTGTCGAAGCAGGATCTACAGCCGGTATTGGCGGAGATGGAGAAGCATCTGATGGACAAGAATGTCGCAAAGGATATCTCGGAGAAGATGTGCGATTCGGTCGGTGCGGCTCTGGTCGGGAAGAAGCTCGGCGGGTTGTCGAGTGAGTCTCAGCCGAGGATCCGGTGCAGTGCTGACTTCCAGGTGTCAAGAGCGAAGTCCAATCCTCCCTTTCTTCCGCGCTCACCCGTGTCCTCACACCTAAGACATCTACCGATCTCCTCCTCGACATTCAGCGTAAACGCTCCGCTTCCACTGTGTCATACGACAATGCGCTGCCCGACCCCTACACGCTCACCTTTGTCGGCGTCAATGGCGTCGGCAAGTCCACGAACCTGTCCAAGGTCTGCTTCTGGCTCCTCCAGAATGGCCTGCGCGTCCTCATCGCCGCATGCGACACGTTCCGGTCAGGCGCGGTGGAGCAGCTGCGGGTGCATGTGCGGAATCTGGGCGCACTGCAGGATGAGCTGGGCGTAGGGGAGAAGAAGGTCGAATTGTACGAGAGGGGGTATGGGAAGGACGCGGCAGGCATTGCCAAGGATGCTATAACTTATGGTGAGTCAGTGTATGGGCGAAGCTGATGGTAGCCAAGGAGAACAAGTTTGATGTCGTCCTGATTGATACAGCTGGGCGGATGCAGGATAATGAGCCGCTCATGCGGGCTTTGGCCAAGGTGTGTTGACCGTATCACTCTGGCGTAACCCAGCTGATCCTCAGCTCGTGACCGTAAACAACCCGGACAAGATCATCTTTGTCGGCGAAGCTCTGGTCGGAAATGAGGCCGTCGACCAACTTACCAAGTTTGACCGCGCCCTGAAAGACTTTTCTGGCGCCGGTACAGGCGGCGGCCAGAGGAAGCGGGGTATAGATGGAATTATCTTGACCAAGTTTGATACCATCGTAAGTCTCGTTTGGCCAGCTTCAAGACCGAAGCTGACGGACAGGACGACAAGGTGGGCGCGGCACTGTCGATGACCTATGTCACGGGACAGCCTATCCTGTTTGTGGGGTGTGGACAGACGTATACCGATCTGAGGCAGTTGAGGGTCAATCATATAGTCCAAGCGCTGTTGAACTAGGTTGTATAATGATATTGTGCTGGTCTGACTGGCCCCCAAGGTGGTCGAGCAAGACTGCAGCTGCGCGTTTGTGTAAGAATCGTTCCGCCGGAAGCGGTTCCGGCGGTCCACTCGCTCAGGCTCGCCGGCGAGCTTCACTTCTTCACTTCTTGCTTCACTTCAGTATCCCGGTTGCGATGCCATCTCTCCTCTACACAGCGGGAGCCATCCTGGGCACCGTCATCGTCGGATGGGGATCCTTATGGCTTTACAACATCGTATATATCTGGTGGCGCCCTCTACTCTCGGTTCTGAGATGGAAATTCGCGCCAATCGCCAAACCGCCAATAACAACCACGCCCAAACCGCTCTCTCGCAACAAGATGAACCCCTCCGACATCCCAACCGAAATCTGGGAACAGATCCTCTTCCATCTCCGTCAACCCACACCACTCCCAGTGTCTCGTCCACCCCGCTCCGCACTACGCCAGCCGCACTTGGCCGCGTGCGCCCAAACCTGCTCGGTTCGTTACCCCTGATGTGCTTGCGAGATCATATTCTTGGGCTGACAGATAGATGTTCCGGGCGATCTGCGAACCCCTCCTCTACACTCACATCGTCTGTGACAATCTCGTAGACCTCCTGGCGGACGCCTTCAAGCCCGCCCGCAGACGCCTGCTGCTACACACCAAAACACTCCATGTCGAGCTGTCCCCCAAGGGCGAGGAGCCCACCTATGCGCAGCTGTGGCGGGAGGGAGGTATCCTGTGGAAAAGGTGCGGCGTAAATGCGAAGGACAGGGAAGCGCAGAAGTTTGTGGAATGCGCCGACGAGCTCGCGCTCCTGATCGAGCTCCTCGAACCGCTGTCCAATATGGGGATGTCCACGATCCTCCCGGCGCTCCGGACCATCGCCTCCTGCGGCATCTACGGATCCGATGGGCTCCTCTGGATCGATTTCCACGGGAAATGGGGAGAGGGCTTCTACCCTGCTCACATCCCCATGCCCAGACACTGCAGCCGGACGACGCCCCCCACATCGGTCGCTGAAGGCCACTGGAACACGTTCGTCGAGTCTGGTAACCTCACACATTTCTGCAGCAGGGAGACTTCCGGTCCATACTGTATCGCCAAGCTATCCAAACCCAATTCCACTACCATCTGCGCGCGGACCACCCATTTCACACCTCTCGTCACCGACTTGCCGGTCACGATGGGCGTACCGGTACGTTGGGTGTTGGATCCGGAGGAGTCCCATGACGACGACGACTGGAACCGTATCACCGACTGCATGGCCGCCTGTTTCGATGACGCGGTCTCTATGCGGAATCACTTTCCAGAGATGGGAAAGGCGGGACCGACCTCTATCGATGTCTATTGCTCGACTGCAAGGAGCAGGCCAGTCATGCTGTGCAGACCGGATCGGCCGGCGGGTAATAGAATCCTGAGAAAGGCGGAACAGGAGGAGATCGTGCAACAGTTGCAGCAGTCGGGGCAGAATCTGTTGAGGAAGAACTCGGGGTGTAAGGATGTCGTGCGGTGGCATAGGAGCGGGAAGGAGCCGATGTGTGTGGCGTGTGGAGCAGGGCCGAAACGGGTGTAGGATGGGGACATGTCTTTGAGGAGTCCGGGTCGCCCCGCCTGCATAAAGGTGAGTATCGTAGCGAGCTTTATCCATGAATAAAGCTGATCTGAAGATGTCTTTACGTACCACTATGAAAGATCGAGCTACATATCAGATACCACCTACAACATCGCTCGAAGCTGACGTATAACTTCCCGCTTGGCCGCTATCTCCTCCAACGCCTCTGCCGCCGCCCGCTCTACCGCCAAAAACCTGTCCGCCAATCTCATTCGACGCATCTCCGCTATCATCCGCTCCGCCTTTGCCTTCTCTACCTCATGTCCCAGCTTTCCCGCCAATTCCCTCTCCGTCACCTCCCTTTCCATCCTGCTCGCGGCTTCTCGCTCCTCGCTCAGCTCCGTCTTGAGCCGCTCAATCTCACGCTCCTTTTCCCTGAACACCTCGGACACTGACGCCTTGCCGGGTGTCGCGAAGGCGGGTATGCCAGGAATAGCTAAGTTACCGACCGAGTCATCCTCGGTGAAGCTGTATTCGGTATCTTTGATTTGGTCGATACTGGTTCGAGGTCCGTTCCAGGGACTGGCGCCCAGGTGGAAGGGGAGTGGACCGGGTCGGAGGGAAGAGTGAAGGGAGGTACGATGTGATTTGCGAAGGGAGGACGCGGAGAAGGAGGTTGATGGGAGGGGAGAGGGGGTGGGTGGGAGCGGAGAGGGAGTTGGCGCTGGAGGAATCAGCTGATTTCGATGTGAGATGGCTCAGCTCACCTTCGTTTGTGAGAGGAGACGGGGCGGGAGGCACCTGTACGAGCCGCGTCTCTGGTCTTTGGGTTACAACGCGCAACGAAAGTTGTTTGGCCCCAAAGGAGGGTTTCGCGTCCCGCTTGCTATCGGGGGCGACGTTCAGCAGGCTGCGTCGGGGAGCTGTAGCCCGCTGGGGGAGCAGCTGGCTTCGCTTCCGGACAAGTAGGGTCCCCTTCTCGCCGCGAGCAGGGGCGGGGACGGTCTTAGCAGGTTGAATTGGGGGTGGGGGAGCGAAGAAGTTCTCCTTAAAATTGGTGGACGAGATCCGCCTGATCGTAGGTATCGGTTTTGATGGTTCGACTTTACCCTCAAGGGCTTGTCGTACGGTACGAGGGGGACGAAGTGATAAATGGGAAGAGGGCTGCCGCAGAGTCGCCGTGCTTTTGACAGCGGCGATGCGGCTCTTGGGTAAGGGGATGCTGGACCCGGTGGCTCTCAAAGGTTGATTGACGGCGAGTCGCGCTGACGGGATGAGTGTAGCCGAGGATGGAGCTCGCGAGAGAGTCGCTGTGGAAGTTGAGCGGGGTATGCGAGTTGGCCGAGGTTGCTGTGACATGGTGGACATGTAGGGAGGTGGGAGGTAGAATATAAATCAACCGCGCCTGCAAGTCACTTAGAATAGGGTTTACGAGAGGTATGCTTGAGTCCCTAATTGACTGCGGGAAAGATGGCAAAGGCGCGTCGTTATCTCTGTTTCCCCCTTCCACCACATCTATCCCGCTGCAGACAAAGGGCAGAGGGGCGCGGCTCCTGCACAGCTTGACCGCAGCGTCGTCAGCATATCATCTTCACGTCTATCACGACCATCGCACGACATCACGACTGAGGGAACGGATTTTGTATAACTCTTTCCGCCTTTCCGCCCTTTCTTTTAGATATCACCATGCCAGGCAGCGTCTCGATACCGCCTCACCTGATCCAATATGTGGCCTCCCCGGCCAACACTGTCGAGTCGGCCTCGGAAGCGCTGGAGGAATGGATCATTACGCGGCGGAGTAAAGGCGATACCTTGTTTGAGGTTTCCGTCGGTCTTGCCGAGCTAGAAGATAGAGTGAGTTGCAAGCTAGATCTGGCTGATTGTAGACACCTCCGCACTGCGGCGTCGCATTCTCCCGCGCTCGATATATCGCCAATGTCCCCCCTCCCTCCGACCTCACACCGCCAATGGGCCCGTTCCCCCTCTCTCGATCAGCATCGCCCGTCACTATCCTCCACCACCTCCTTTCGCAGCCTCCGCCGAGCGTCGAGCACTCGCGCGAGGTCATCCTCGAGTATGTTCTCTCTCGAGAGGCAAAGCTTCGCGATAAAAAGCCTGGACGGGGCGGAAAGGGGACGCTAGGCAGGGAGGGGTTTGAGGATGTCGCCCGGAAGCTGGCGGAAATTGAGGACGGGCTGAAGCTGCCTGGTATCGACGCCATGCAGCTCAGTACGAATCGGCAGACGGGACTGGCGCTTATCCTGTCGCTGAGAATGTCGCTGTCGTACTTTACCTCGGTAGAGCTTGGGTTCCAGCTGTTGAAGCTTCATACACCAGACGCGGAGCGGGTCATCACGCAGCATATCCGGAAGAGGGTCGAGGGCGAGGGGCGGTATGGAGTGGGTCAGGAATTGGAACAGCTGGAAGATATGGTACGTTCGGATCAAACTCTGTTGACGCTAGACGGTACGCCGAGCAGCACTTCGACCCGCTTTCCGCTCGGCCAGAGCGCGGACGACCCTACCGGAACGGCCGACCTACAGGATCGCCCTCCCCGCTCCGTCCAAGTCTGGCTGCATCAAGCTCATCACCAGCTTTATAAGGGACGTTGATGCTGGCATTCAGCCGTCCGTCGGTATCGCCTCACCCGCAGGCGACAAGTCATACTTTTCGACAGGCCCTTCCAGCGGAAGCCCCTCCACACCCTACACACCTCTCCCCCTCGGTACATCATCAAGGCGGCCACTAGCGGATCCCAATCCGATCGCCAACTTTGTCTTTGAGCTAGTATGCGAGTTCATCACGCGCGAAAAGCGCGAGTACATGCTCAAGTGCAAATGGGCGATCAAGGGGAGGGAAGCGCTCAGCAAGGATCTGAGCGAGATCGAGTCGGCGACATGCCTCGGCAAGGGCGGTGCATCACCGCACGCTGGCGAGCTCATACCCATCTTCCTCGTCCTGCGGAGGTCCCACAATCTGCCCAAATCCTCCCTCCCAATCTCCATCATCGAGCCGTATCTCGACCTCGTTCCCGCTCCGCCGGATGAGGATTCTATCCCATACCGCGAGCCAAGCGTGGCAAACACCACGGCCAAGCTGTACGTCAACCCGCGCCTCGACGACACGGCGGCGTACGAGGTACTGGAGGAGCTGCTAGATAGCGAGAGGGAGCTGGTGGCTGAGAGCGAAGCGGATGATGCGAAAAAGGCGGAATACTTGACGGAGCAAGTGGACCTGATCCAGAAAAGGGTGGGTCAACGTATGATTGGAGCTGATGTCAGTTCCCGGACGGATCATACGAAGCTGTGTTCGCTCAGATCAAAGGCTTGATTGCCAATCCCGTCACCGCTCAGGCCATGCTCAAGCCGCCGCCGGTAGAAAGGCAGCCATCCATGCACCGCCGCGCCCTGTCATCCGCCGCGTCCGGCAACCTCCAAAAAGACGCGCTCGATACGGACCGCCTACCAGCTCCACAGAGCCTGGAACGGAGGCTATCGCACAATCGCTCGGCGAGCATGCCGTCGCGGCAATCCACGTTTGATCCGCCGGCCCAAGCAATCGATCTCAACTCGGACTCGGAAGAGGAGATGGCGCCTACTCCATCATCCGTGGCGAACCCCAAACCCATCCTTCCCCCTCTATCTACCAATTCCGGACCCTATGACAACCAGTATCTTAGCCCTGGAGCCGTGTCGGGCGACCGCTCAAGCACTGGCAGCGCAGGGTGGTGGGACGTCATCTCGGCGGTTGACAACGATCATCGGTCGTCACAACCCTGGCGCAGCCCCAGTACACCGGCGAGGCTTGAGCTAAGCTTACCGCCTGGCGCGGAAGCGGCTCGCGCCCCGGAACTGGCTTCGCCCCTGGACGAGAGCTTCAACAAACTTGACCTGGACTTTTCCGCTTCCCCTTCCTCCCCCGAACGGTCCCACTTTCCAATGGCCGAAAGCTCGCCCGCTCGGCGCGCGATGACACGCGCGGTTAGCAGCGCGCCTGGGTCGCCCGGTGGCGGCGGGAGTCCGAGGGCCGCCGCACCCGTCTACCGACCTCCTCCCGTACCCATCAACTTTGATCGGCCCAGCTTCCCCTCACCCACACTGCCCAGCTCGGCCCTACCCGCCTCCCCTCCAGAAAGGTCGCCCCCGGTCGTCAAATCCAAGCTGGGAACGTTTGGTCGCTCCCTTTCCATTGCAAGCAAGACGATGCTCGCGAGGTCTAAAGAAAAGGAGCGGGAGAAGGAGGCGCTCAGGGAGGGGAGGGAGAAGCTGGAGGTGGAGCGCGAGGGGGACAAGGAGAATGAAAAAGTGGCGGCGATGCGGAGGGACAAGGTGAATAATAGCCCGGGAAGGTGGAACAAGGATATGGTGGCGAATATCATGGGGCCGCCGGTGGACAGGAAGTAGACACGATATACGTGACCCTGCACGATTAGGCTCTGGCAAATATAGAGTAGCTTGATGATAAGATCTGACGGATTTCGGCCGACATCCATGCGGCATGCGGCAATAGCGGGAACGGCGCGGCAAGCTGTCGTCAATGGTGCTCTTATCTTTCATTCTGTACATATAGCCTGCATCATGAACTTTACCAGTGGAGCGCCCGTCTCGGAGCTCCTGTCACTCGACAGGATCAGGGAGCAGCTCATCCGTCTTGAGGACACTATCATCTTTCGTCAGTTCCTCCCGCAGCGCGCCCATCTGCGCCATTGTTGACAATCCCGCAGTCCTCATTGAGCGTGCCCAATTCTCGCACAACCCCATCATCTATCGCCCCGGAGCCTTTGAGAAGGAGACAAACTTCAATGGGAGCTGGCTAGAATGGTTCTTGCAGGAGATAGAGTCGTTCCATGGTTAGTCTCCCGCTGTCCAATGAAACTCCGCTGACTCGACAGCCAAAGCGCGAAGATACACCAGGTACTGACTTCTTCTTTGAGCTCGACTCAGCTGACAGCCTAGTCCTGATGAGCATCCCTTCACACCAATAGAGCAGCTCCCGCAGCCTATCATTGTCCCGCAGACTTACCCCTCGATTCTGCATAAAGAATCCTACGACCACCCATCTACCAATGTCAACCCACGGATCTTGGATTTCTACGTCAAGAAGATTGCTCCTGCCATCACCAAGCCTGGCAAGGGGCGGCTGGAGGATGATGGGAACTACGGGTCAGCGGCTACCAGGGACGTGGAGGTGTTGCAGGCGCTAAGCAGACGTATACACTACGGTACGTCTTTCTGCTTGGCGGAGGCACGATGGCGCTAAAATACAGGCATGTTCGTGTCCGAGTCCAAGTTTCAATCCGCCCCTCACGACTTTATCCCTCACATACTGTCCAACCCGCCCAACTCGGAAGCCCTCGCCGGACTGATCACCAAACCGGCGGTAGAAGCCAAGCTGCTTATTCGCCTCGGCAACAAGGCGCGGGTGTATGGCGGGGAGATGGATGCGGACGGACGTGTCGTCGAGGCGGAGGATGAAGCAGCGAGGAAGATCGATGTGGATGAGGTGGTCAGGCTGTACAAGGACCATGTAATTCCGCTGACCAAGGATGTCGAGGTGAGTCCTTGTCCTGGTACTCTGGGTTGAGCTGATGAGATAGGTGGACTACCTGATACATCGGCTAGATGGAGTACCGCAGGAGCAGATTGATAAGTGGATGAAGGGCGCTGCTCAATAGGATCAGTCACAACATGCATCTATCTCCAAATCTCTAAAACAAGATACCCATTACCTTCTGGAATTTGGTATCCGCCTTGTAAGTCTCGGCGTCCCGCTCCTCCATCTCGTCCAGCTCTCGCCGACCAGTGATAAAGTCCATCTCGGCCAGCTTGACCCACTTGGTCTTCTTGGTCAACTTCCATCCGATCCAGCAGCCAGCAAATATGGGGATCGCTGTTGAATCAGCTCTGTAATTTGACAATTGAGCCGTTTGACTCACTGATGTAGGCAGCGATAAAAGTGCTGGTGTCCCAGTTTCCCTCGAGGAATACCTCAAAGCCGTTCAACTGTAACGTCAGCGAATCTTCCGTTTCTCTTGCTGAATGCAACTCGCCAGAATAATGACGGTGAAGCAGATGAACTGGAAAGTCAGCGCCAACCATGAAGACTTCAGACCGCTACACTCACTCCGTAGTATGAGAAGTAGGGCTGGAATGGCGCCTTGTAGGGGAACCCCTCTCGGCTGATACCCTGGACCTTCAATCCGTGGTAGAATCGGATGTACGAGAGCAAGATTCCCCTAAAATGGTCAGCTGAGACACTCAGCAGAAAGACGGATTACTCACCACCAGGTCACAAGCCCTGTGATGGAGCTGACGTTGTACAGCCAGTTGAAAGCGGTAACAGCGGTATCGCCACCAGTGTTCATGTACGACAGAAGTCCGAAAGCGCCGGTAATGACGACACACCAGATTGGCAGTCCGCGCTTTGTGCACCGCCTGAGAACAGCGGGCATCTGGTGTTCGAGGGCCAAAGAGTAGAGGGTCCGGCTAGCGGCGTACAGGTCCGAGTTTCCAGCGCTCCATGCGGCGGTCAAAATAACCGCGTTGATGATGGAAGGAAGAGCGGCGATACCGGCGTTGTTGATAGCGATGACGAATGGCGAGGCGCTGGCGTCTCCAGATCCGTTGAGGAGCATGGGGTTATCATAGTTGACCAGCACGGAGATGATGAAGATACCGCCGATGTAAAACACGAGGATACGCCAGAAGACCCGCTTGATGGCCTTGGGGACGGTCTTGCGGGGGTTCTTGGCCTCTCCAAGCGTGGTCGCGATGATCTCGGTACCGATGAAAGCTAGACATAAGCTGAGATCGCCTCAACATATGGCACTACTTACAGAAAGCAGCCTGAACGAGACACGCCCAGAAAGCGAGGAACCTGCCCCAAGCACCGGGAACATACGCCCCATCTCCACCAAGCGAGAGCTGGTTGAAAGGTCCCGGGTCAATCCAGTATCGGAATCCGATAGGGTCGTGGTTCGGTCCGCCGCCAGCCATAAGGATAATACCGAGAATGATGAGACCGACGATGGTGACGACCTTGATGGAGGAGAACCAGAATTCGGCTTCTCCGTATGCCCGCGCTCCGAGGAAATTGATGGCCAGGATGAGAACGAAGCAGACCGTCATCCATACGGCCGCATGGGTCGTCTTGTCCCAATAGGAGATGACGATCTGGGCCGCGACGATTTCGACTGGGATGGTCTGTCAATTAGCTGTGCTGCTTTGGTCTCGGTCCGGGGCTGCACTCACGATAGCATATGAATACCAGTAGTTGACACCTACGAATCAGCGGTGTCCTTCCGAGAACGATGGAGGGCTACTCACCAGTTGCAAAGCCAAGAGCCGGGTCAACGAATCGAGCAGCATAGTGGGTGAAACCACCAGCAACAGGGAACAGCGAAGCCATCTCTCCGAGCGCAACCATCACTGTCCGTCAGTACCATCCAGTAGCGCCCCTCGTTGAGACTCACTCGAGTACACCATGGACCCCATGAAGATGTAACCCAGCCAGACACCGACCGGTCCTCCAGTAGCAAGAGCCGATCCTGATCCGACAAACAGACCTGGCCATCAGCAGAGCTCTCTGCAGCATAAAGTCTGCTCACCTGTCCCTATCGCACCACCGAGGGCGATCATTGCCATGTGGCGCTACGTTAATCAGCCCAGAAATCGCCATGACTTACCTGCTCTAGTGTCCGCTTGACTGCTCCCTCGCCCTTGTTCACTGCTGGTCAATGACGCTCACACTCGGTGGCAGCAGGTGGACTCACCCTCTCCATCAATGATGATCAGCCCCTCGCCCGCCTTCTCCCCCTTACCTCCTGCTTCGGGATCGCTATACAGTGGACCAGTCACTGTCCCTGCGAGCGAACCCCCATCCGTCTCCTTCTTTTCTGGATCTTCGTAGCCAGACATGTTAACCGAATATGAGTGGTGCTGTAGGCGGACAAGTGTTTCAAGTGTCGCTGCCAAAGGCGGGTATTTGATGAGCTGATAAGAATCGGTCAGTGGTATGAGTCAGAAGCACTTTTCTGCAAGCACACGACCCGCACATGGTCCCCAGACGTCAGATACAGGATAACCAAGGAGACCCCACAGAGAGGGGCGACTGGAAAATTTGCCGACTCGACTATAAATACTGTGCGGAGCGGCAGCGGTCCAATGAGGAGTTGATTACGTGGCCGGACCTTGGGCTTGGTGCTGGACCGGCGGCTCGGAGCTTGCGATAGAGCTCGCTTAGAGCGGCCATACCGTGTAGATCGGCGACGGTGGAGAGTAAGTCTATCGTTCCCTAACCTCGCATCCCGCTCTTCGGCACGCAGAGCCGAACAGGACGGCATGTCCGTGCGTTCGAGCAGAGGGGATCTGAAGCTTCAAGCTTCCAGCGTGGGACCGTAGGAAGCGGAGCGAGCGGGTGAAGATGAGCTGAGCGATTTGCAAGTTGCCTGGCTCCCCCTGCACGACGCAGAGAGTCCAGAGCAATCGCCATTTTCATACCCGTGCATATAGGGTCAGGCAGCATGAACGGTCCTCTTCCCCCTTCCTATTGCTTGGCCTCATCCTTTACCACTTTCCGATCCCCCTGCAGCCATTCCTTGGGAAATCCAGGAACGTTGCCCACAGACTCCACCCTGCCGCTTCCAGATCGCTGAGCTTGACGGAGGGCGCTGCGATCAGCCCGCTTGCGCTGGCGAGCGAGGAGTGGGCGAGGGTCCAAGGGGGTGTCGGCTGGCAATGGGGAGTTTGCGTCCTGGATTATCAGCAATGTTCACAATATTCAACCTAAAGACAGGATGCTCTCTTGGGCTGCCCACTTGTAGGCAAGTGTAGAGGGAGAGTGTTGCAACCCACATTTGCAGCTGCCAATAGCCGCTCCAGCATATCTCCCGCCGACTTCCGGTTCATGAGTCCATCCGGAAACTTCTCCTCGCTGATCTTGATCCATCCCTCCTTCCCCTCGCCGTCCTCTTCAGTCACCTCCATCCGCCCTGGCCTGCCTATTGTCCATCGTGGACCAGCAAGCAATTTGAAGCGGTGGATCGCCTCCGGTCCAGATAATGGTAGCTTCGCTACCGGAGCGAGAAGTACGCGCTTGCGATGTACGAGTGATTGTGGATTTGAGAGGTCGATGGTTTGAGATATCCGAATAGGGGCAGAGGGAGGTGTGAAGGGTTTACGTTGAGCTGTACCGTCAGGATGTGAGTATTAGATACAGTACGACTTCAGCGCACCTTGCAAGCTTGGCCGATCGACTTCGACTCGCCGTATGATTTCCTGCGCCTCCCGGATCTTCTCCAGACGCATGAACCCCAGTGATGTAGCATCGTCAAACTGGAACTCGTCCAGTCCGCTCATGTTAAACTCCCGAAGGGGTTGTCGACGAGTGACAGGACGTTTCGAGGCGGATGCTGCGGGCGCTTCCGCAGAGCTGCTCGCCGAAGAGCTGAAAGAGCGCGCTAGAGACACGGTCGCACGAGCTGTGCGTACGCTGGAGAATGCCATATTGTTGAGGCTCGTTTGAAAGATGCAGGTGTGATAGGGGAAATGATTGAGTGAACTGAGTTCATAAGGGGTTTACAAGCCAGCAGCAAGCGAGACTGCTGAGCGTTTCTTTTCTGTTTCTTTGTATGATCCCCCCACAGGGTGCGCCCCTAGCCTAAACCCCCAGCAAAACACGGCGTTTTACGGCGTTTATGCCTGTTGAAATACGCATCAGGCTCGAGCGATTCATCGTCGAGTTTGCCGTAGACCAACCGTCGACCCTACCCTTATAAACAATTCTTATCGCTCAAGGCACGCTGTTCTGTCGAGCAAGGGCAAAACTCCTTCGCGCACGCCATGAAAAAACATAGAGGCACTGACCAGCCGCGCTTACCTGCAAAATCGGCAAAATTGAGAGCGAGGCTTGCCATGATGTTTCAGCATGATCACGACCCCCAATTCATTTGCCCGGCTCACATTGATAGGACTGACTTATGAGTACTGATCTACACTTGCTTGATGTCGGCAACCAAATCAGATCTGCTTGGTATAAAGCATGACATTAGATGATCCCTTCCTGGTTCTTGCGCAATCCTTCATTTCTTTTCGTCCTGCTCTTTCGTTTCTTCAAAACCTTCTTGTTCTACCATGTCTACCTTTTATTACCCCTCTTCCACACTCGACGTTCCTTCCAGCAAGTCGAGTGCCTCTGGGGAGTTCTTCCCAGAGAGCCGGCGAGGCAGCTGCACCGACAGCCTGTTTTCGGACCGGTCCGGTTCATCTTCGATTACCCTCGTTTCTTCAACGGGGCAGCCAAGGAAACACTCCCTCTCCGGTCTGGAGCTCCCTCTTCGCCAGTCCCACGACACAAGCTGTCACCTCTGCGGGTACCCGGTACAGCCTATCCCCATCCCCGCCGCCTCCGCACCCGACCTAGCCATTGAAGGCCGGCCCTTCCCCATCAACGCGACGCGTGACCTCGTCATCGACCACCTCAAACCCCTGCTTGCGTCGGTCGCCAGTAGGGGCAGGAACCTACGCATCGTCGGTCTCCTCATGTCCGAGGATGAGGGATGCGCGATGTACTCCAAGATGACGGGTGTGAACTGCGGGAAGCTTCAGGTGGACTATGAAGTACGGGACATGCGGTCACAGCGGGACATGGCGGTGCTTCAGGCGGAGATCAAGCGGCTGAACGAGGATATGGAGGTGGATGGGTTGATCTTCTACACCCCTTGCTTTGGCGTGGAGCAGGTAAGCATTCCGCTCCTTGGGGTAGGCAGTCGCTGACGAGCTAGGACAAGGAGATTCGATCCTGGATATCCCCTCGTATCGATGTCGAAGGCTTCCACCCCTCGTACTGGTCCGAGGCGACTCGCATTGCCCCTCCCCTTCTCACCGAAAATACCAATTCTGCATCCCTCGCAGACGCACCGATTTACCCCTGCACACCGCTCGCCGTTGTCCGCGCTCTTCAGCTTCAGGGGCTGTACAACGTCTCTGCTCCAGCTGGATCTAGGCTGGCTGGGAAGGTCGTGACTGTTGTCAACAGGTGAGTCTCTCAAGCTCAATCGCGCATGGTCGAGCTGACGTCCAGATCTGACACCGTCGGTCTTCCCCTCGCCAGCATGTTCGTCAACGAGGGAGCCCTCGTCTTCTCCATCGACATCACCTCGACACAGGTTTGGGAGAGCCACAACCCATCCCTCGGACCGTGTATCTCCAACACCATCCTCGACACCAACACCATCTACTCCATGTCCGACGTCGTGGTCTCTGCCGTCCCATCTCGCGCATTCAAAATCCCCACCTCGGCACTCAAACCCGGCGTCGTGGCCATCAATGTCGCAAGCGGGATGAACAACTTTGAGGCGGACGTCAAGACAAAGGCGAGCAGGGCAGCGGAGCGGATGGGGAGTTTGACGGTCATGATGCTGGTGATGAACGCGCTGGCACTGCGAGCGAGGTCGGTCTTTGAGTAGTATATCTGGGAATGGGATTCTGCAAGGACAGTACATCTTGGATGGGATCTTTTACATGGCCATATACGCCTAGACGTGATCTATGTATCGCATCTTTGCCTTTGGTATCGCTCTCATACTGGCAAGGCCGACCGGCCCGGACATCGGCCGGCTCCGACGCCATGACGCTGCGCGTTCTGCAGCTCGCTGTTCGTTCGCAATTCTAGAGATCGTACATATAGATCAAATATGTCGTTCTTCCACATAGGTACGGCAGTAGACAGCAGTAGGAGCTGACCCCAGTCTCCTTCTCTACGCCGGACGAGTCCACCCTCGCGGCGCTGACCACAGCGCTACGAGAACTCGAGGAGACAGTCATCACCTCCGATGGCAGAAAGGCGATCAAGTCGTTCCGAGGCGGCAAGCAGGTCAGCGAGGAGGGACATGACAAGGGGATGAAGGTGGTCTTCTTGATGGAGTTTGCTGTGAGCTATTAAACTATCGTCCTTCTGACAGGACTGGCGGACCTGACCACACAGAGCGATGAGGATTTGCAATGGTATCTCTGGAAAGATCCTGCTCATCTGAAGTTCAAGGTATGTTAGCAGCTTACGAGTGAAGGTATGATGCTGATACCTGATAGTCGAGGATCAAGTCAGACTTCCAGGTGGACGGTGTGACGGTACTGGACTTCCAAGACGGGTCATACTAGACAGGCGGCCCATTGCGCGCTCAGTGCTGAATATGTACATGTGTCTGCTGCTTGCCGTCCCATGCTCACATCATCACCGCAGCCTGAGTCAGCGTGCTTACCGACCTACATATAAGCATCTTCCGTGCTCTATCTTGGGCTCGGGGCGGCAGCTTCAGCTCAGATCAGCTACAGCGCCTGGGGACACTTCCTTAACGAGGAATGCGGATGTGACGTCATTCGACCGAGCAGCCCAAACGCGCACTCTGTATCGGTCTAACCCCATTTCCGTGTATCCGGCACGATCACCAGTCCAGAACTGGCACGTAGCAGACCTACCGCTCCATAGGCTGTCTTTGGGAGCAGAACGATGCATGGAAGCAAGAGAGACGTCGATATCGTCGTGTTGAGCGGAAGCAAAGCTCAGAGCTCAAAGTGAAACCAGGTTTTGCCGCCAACGAAACGTCATGGTATCTGCGCTCCTTCTACTGTATCTCCTCCTTCCCTTCCCAGTATCGGTGGACAGCATACGGCAGGCCATTCGAGACCGCATCCAGAGAGAATCACCTGTACTTTTCCGAGATCGACTGAACAAGCTCATTCTGAGCGTTTCGAGCAACGAGCGAGATGTCAACAATAGTTGATGCGCGACCTAGGGGGAGCTACACTCCCGCCGATTGCCCGTCGTAAGTCAAGGTCCTCGTACACCGAAAGCCTAAAGCATGACCGTCCCTACGAGGTCTTGACAATGGGCGCAGGACTGACCGAAGCAGATGCTCTAGTCAGCAAGAGTACCTCGTCCCGCCTACATTCATCGGAAACTTGAGGGTCAGATGCGGCCAGTACGTTGCTTTTGCTCAGCCACTCTATTGCAAGCTGACCCACTGCTAGATGTAAGACGCTGTTCGTACACCCTCAGCCGAAACCGTCCTCCTCTGCCGCAAATGCAGGAACCAGCCGTGCCGGCGCAGCAGGATCAAGCACGGGAGCAAGCGGACGATCAGGCGGGGGAGGCAGGAAGATCGGTACAGATGCCAATCCCATAGATATGGCGTACTACGATGTACTTGGATTGAAGGCGGACTGCTCGGTGGATGAGATCAAGAAGGCATATCGCCGACTTGCCATCAAGGTGAGTGCAGGATGATGAAAGTCCGGACGGTATTGACGATACAGCTCCATCCCGATAAGAATCGCGACGATCCTGATGCCGAGGAGAAGGTGAGTTATCTACTGAGGTCTCGTTGCTTGGAGATCATACTGATGATTCAGTTCAAGGAGATCTCGATAGCATATCAAGTCTTATCTGATCCAGCACTACGACGCAAGTACAACGAGTTTGGCCAAAAGAACGGCGGAGGAGGCGGATCCGAGCCCGCGGGCGGGTTCCAAGATCCCGAAGAGGTCTTTGGCAAGATGTTTGGCGGGGATCGCTTCGAGGACTGGATTGGTACCATCAGTATCGGTGAGTAGCAAAACCCTGCCCATGATACCTGAAGCTGACTCCGGAAGGTAAAGACATGAAGGAGGCGTTCCAACAGCAAGCGGAAGATGGAGATGATGTGACTCTGGACGCAGCTGGGAAGCCGGTCATGTCGAGCGATGCGATGCAGCGGAAGTTGGCGAGGAACAGGGCAAGGTCGGAGCGCGTAAGTGTATCACTGTAGAACGTTGTCATCTGGCTGTCGCGACGCGCTGACACCAGGCAGAAAGCGCAGGAACGGCGAGTCCGCGTAGAGAAGCTGGCTGTGAACCTTTGCAACAAGCTGGCGGTGTTTGCGGAGGGTGCGAAGAATGCGAATGACAAGGACATCGCAGCGCTGTTCAAGGTGAGCAATCAAGCTTCAAGACTCTCATAGAGGTACATCGAGCTGATACACTCAGGAGAAGTGCAGGTTGGAGGCGATCGAGCTGCGGGACGAAAACTACGGAGTTGAGCTCTTGCAAGCTATCGGGCGAGCGTACAAGTCAAAGTCGGACCAGCATCAGGTAAGCGCTATACCTCTTTGCGCAAGGAGGGCACCGCTCAAGTCAGGCTTCATCGCAATTTGCACCGCTCGGCTGGTTCCACGGCGCCAAGAGCACCTTCAACACTGTGTCCGACACGTAAGTCAGTCTACGCATCCCATTAAACCTCGCCTGACAAGGCAGGATGTCGACTCTCAAGTCAGCCATCGAGCTCAAGCAGGTCTTTGACAAGCTGCAACTCGCAGAACAGTCGGGCATGGCGGCAGAGGATTTGCGCAAGCTCGAAGAGCAAGCGGCGGAACAGGGTCTGCGCACAATGTGGAAGGTGGGTCCAGCCCATACGTATCCACGGGTAGATGCTGACTGTTACAGGGTGTCAAGTTGGAAGTAGAGAGTATCTCCAGAGAAACGGCCGAAAAGGTGTTGACCGAGCCGGGCGTGCCAAGAGAGAAATTGGGCATGCGGATGATTGCGCTGGATCTACTCGCCGATGTGAGCTGCTTCTGGATTAGCGGGGGCTCAGCTGACCCGATAGGCGTTCCTTGCTGTCAAGAAGGACGGGGAGATCGAAGACTTTGTCAAAGTCGACACGCCATCCTCGAAGCAACGCGAGGCTGAGGCAGGCAGGACATCTGCTAGTGAAAAGTCAAGATACTCCCAGCAGGCACCAAATGTCCCGCCCCGACCTGCCGCCAGCCAACCCCCTCCAACTCCGCCGAGGCCGACTCGTGCGACGGGAACAACGCCAGACGCGCCTCTATCCGCGGAGGAGCGTGAGAGACTGCTCAAGGAAGCATACAAGGCTTGTGAGTGATGCTATCAGTCGCGTTGAGTGTCGCTGACGTCCCAGATGAGGACAAGCGGCAACCATAGGGATCTCTGGCATACTAGATAGACGTGTTGTATCTAATGGATCTTGTCAATCACAGACCGAGCTCTCCCTCCGCCTCTTTTGGCCATCCCCAGAACCGCCTCTCCCCACCTGACGATTTTACATCCCTCGGCAGCTTCTCATCCCTATCCTTCACGATCCCGATGTACTGCCTCAGCCCCCTTGGCCTCTTCACTGGCGCCAACGCCAGCTCCCTGCCCGCCTGCTGAATTGCCAGATCCGCCTCGGTGGAGTCCACCGCGGATCGCTCGGTATGGGGGAAGGGGAGGTGGTGCGAGTAGAATTTAACGTATCCCGGCTCAAGGGCGAAGAGGGTAAAGTCTTTGCCTTGTCCGACGGATTGGCCGGGGTGAAGGCCAGTGCCTCGCTGGCGGACGATGATCTGGCCGGGGAGGACATATTGATCTGAGAATGAGCATTGTGTCGAAGGTTGGAAGGGAGCATCTCACCTGTGAACTTCTTGACGCCCAGTCGCCGACCAGCAGAATCTCGACCGTTTTTAGATGATCCACCGCCTCGTTTTGTGGCTGTTCGGATCTGAAGGTGGAATGCTACAGGATCAGCGTCTATCCCGGAACAGTGCGCGATAGGAGCGAGGTTTCCATCGCAGGGGCTTCGGAACTTTTGGCGAAACTCACTCGATGGTCCCGCAAAAAGTTGCTGGCGGAGGTCCGAGCCAAGAGGCGCTGCGAGAGCGCGTATACGAGGAAGGGGAGCGGCGCCGAACATCTTTGCGAGGGTTTCGTCTGTGTGGTAAGGGCTGATGTAGAGACGTAGATGGCCAAAGACCAGAGCCAAAACTGACGCTGGTGATCCATTTGGTTCCTCGCTTAATTCGCCAGTTTCCCTTCTGCCTCCACCAGCATCACCAGGGGCACACTGTATAGGGCCTGACTTGTCAGCTTCTTCCTCATCCCCGCATCAACAGCACAGTATGGACGATCTCAATCACATAGATGATGCCCTCAGATCGATCAGGCTCGATGCCTCGGATAGACCCCCACCGCAGTCACTCTCGCTGGACAAGATGTTCTCCCGCGCTCATGCCTGGAGCCTGCGACATCAAGCCGCCGCTGGAGCAAGCGTGATCCGCCCCCCTTCTCCCCCTCGGAGACGGCCCATACAGCCTCTGCCTATGCCCCTAGAGGGTACAACCATCAGCCCACTAGCGGGACTGTTCGAGTACCCCGAACTCATCCCACATGTGCTGGCGGAGTTTGAGCAACCCAAGGACCTTGCGGTCTTATGCAGAGTCAGTAAGGCGTTTGACTGGCTGGTGCGGCGAAGGCTGTACGATCATATCTGGATCAGACCGTGGGAGGAGAACTGCCACTACAAGGTGAGCCGCGGAAAAGAGCTCAGCTGACTTGCAGCTGGTCTTGCTTTTCGAGAGCCTATCCAAGTCGCCACATTTGTGCCGGTTGGTCAAGCGATTAGGTCGGTCGCTTCCTCGTCTCGAGTGAAGTTCCTGACGTACAGATGTACGCTTCTTCCCTCTGTCTGCGAAAGGGGACGACCGCTACGATTTGGATGACCAAGTCAAGGTCGCCATCTCGAGCATGGTCAACCTTGAACATCTTATCTGGACCGTAGGTCTCGCCAGGTACATCTTCACTGGATACTGATCAGCAGCGGGACAAGTCATTACGCCCAGAGATCGTCGAGGAGGTCGCACGGTTACCGCGCCTCCGCACACTCGAGATATCAGGCCACGCCTACCGTTACTACACTCCTCGCCTGTTGGGCAGCATGTCCGCGCTGCAGGATCTGCGCTTCATGATGCCAGACACAACCGTGAGGGACAGCTTGGTACACATCGCACGAGAACTAGGCGAGCGAGCAAATGGCGGATTAAGGGGATTGGGTCTCATCTGCAGAGTAGGTCCATATCAGAGCTGGGCTGACATCAGGACTCGCCCATTATCACAGACGAGCTAGTGAAGGCGTTGTCGAAACACCTCTCTCGGCTTCGACGGCTGACCCTGTGGGGCTGTAGCCGGGTCACCAAGACGAGTGTCTACCAAATCTTGGAGGCAGCGGAGGATCTGGAGGAGTTGTCGATCGATGCTTTGCCCCACTCTGTAAGTGGTAAACCCAAGTCTCGCTGACGCACAGGGTATGCTTGACCTATCTGGTGCCCCCGAATTGCCCAATCTACACAGCTTCTCCCTGTCCATCACACCTCCACATCGGACTCCAGTACAATTGCAGACCGCAGATCTTCCGCTCCTACCGCGGGACCTCAACCTCTCATCTCTCCACATCAACCTCTCCAGCGCTATAGCCCATCTGCCTGTTGGCGGGGTCGAGCACCTCACTTCGCAAGTCGACTTTGGCCGCTTGAAGCGCCTCTCACTCCTCAATATCGTGGTGGCCGCCCAACAGCTATCGGCGCTTATCGATGCCGCACCTCATCTGGACGAGCTATACATCTCGACGAACGGCAAGCAGGCATTGATCGACTGCTCGGAGCTGACTGGACGGCCTCTGCGCATCTTCCACGTCATTGCGCCGGAGAAGTGGGGTCCAACGGCGGATGATCTCGCCGAGCTCGCAGGGAGGCTACCGGAGGTGGAGCAGATTGGGACAGGGAACAGGGTGTACGAGGTGTTTAGAAAGGAAGGAGGCGATGTTGAGCTGGCCAGGTGGGGAAGAACGGTGGTCCCGGGGTACTTTCAGGTGTGGCGGGGGTAGATAAGGGATCTCGATGGACGAGCTATCTCTGATGATGACCTTTGACACGGCGTGCAACTGACTTCTGCTGACACCGGACGAGGTCGAGCTGGCCAGATGGGAAGGGATGGTTGTGCCGGGATACCTCAGGTATGAGGAGGACAAAGGAGGTCACTGAAGTAGTTGTGACATTGACGCAAGAGATGGATGCAGCGGCCTTCTGACGACGCCATTCAAATTCGGCCGAGATCCGATAACCCTTTCAAGTGGCGTGCTTGGAAGACATGGAGAGATGGGAGCGACCGATGATCGTGTTTGATATCACCAGAACTCTTTCAAGTGTCTGGCCCCCCTCACAAGACCCAGAAGCAGAGACCCGAAGCGATCACCAGGATGGACGCGCAACGAATGACCGCCTATCCGAACCCGTGGTCCTCCCAATCCAAGAAGACCCGCTACAAGCAAGGGACGTTTTCACCCGAAGTTGAAAGGCCGAAAAAGATCTCCTCGCGTCCAGAGTGGAGCGCCATGACGAGGTCGCTCGAGAAGATGCTCGTTGCCTTTGGAAGTTGGGCATCTGCGCACGGTATCGCTGAGAAGAGCAAGGTCCCGCACCTAATCGGAAGCACGCTTGGAGAGAGGCTGAATCATGGTATGATGTTACGGAGAGAGGACTGGCTGTGGAGCCTTGGCGCGCTTGAGCAGGACAATCATGCTTGCACGATTGGTCTGGACTGGGAGTTTAGCCGGGAAGGGGAAACCTTCAAATTACGCCTTGCGATTTGGGGGGATGTCCTGCGCGACGGTGTGCCCTGCGTCATGACCGACTCGCCAAGCACCGTGCTGCTCACCGAGTCTGACGAGGGAACTGTGACACGATCGACCCGCAGTCCAGCACGGTTCAGCACAGATATGGGGAATGGCCGAGTCTACCAAGAATTAAATGATCAGCGCCTTGACATTGTCGGGACCCGTAGGCTGAGCTGGTGGACACTGATCACACCGCCGCCAAGCTGAGATTGTAGCGTGAATGAAGTCTATTTTGCGAGACTGCACCTAGCATCGCTTCATAGCTATGGTCATTCTTCTCCGCTCATTTCCACATCACTCCCTGCCCCACCCTCTTCCTCTTCGTCCTCATCATCCGAATCGTCCGGCATGTCGTACGATAGCCCACCCACTCCAGCCCCAGCACCCTTCTGCGCCGCCCACTGCTGAGCAGCCTGGAAGAATTTGAAGGTGGTCGGATTGGCGTCCTTTTCGTCGTCGGGGAAGGCGAGGTCCCAGTACTCTTCGAGCGATCCGCTTCCGTCCTCGGCCTTCCGCCACCGCTTGCGAGTCGCAGGCATCATGTCCTGGACATGTTGCTGGTCGGCGTCGGAACCGTGCGAGTCTTCAAAGTTCTTCCACGCTTCGAGCAGCAGTGCACGCTAGGCGTCAGTTAGGCCTTGACACTGCACTTACATCTTCCTTCTCGCCTCTCGCACGCAACGACTTGTATCCCCGCTCAAACACCTCTCGCGCCAAAGCCGGAACGCCCGCCTCGCCTTCAATCTCGTTCCCATCCTCGTCTTCTCCGCCTCCGAGGGTCGAGATCTCCATGAGCGCGAACGAGATCCAGACTTTGACGTGGGATGTCCGCTCGAGAAGCCGCTCGTAGAGGTTCCTAGCGCGTTCTCGCTCGCCTTCGCCACTCTCAAAGTCGATGAACGCCTTCCATACGACCTCGGGCATATCGAGGGGTTGTTGGACTGCGAGCTCAAAGATGGCGCGGACACGCTCAAAGTCTTCGAGGGCGCTTTCGACCTGGGTCCACTGGATCCAGGCAGAGCTGAGGGAGGGATCGTACTGCTGTCAGCTGGGTCTAGAGCTGGACTTACTGTCAGGAAGCGCTCGTACAGCGTCCGAACTCGGTCAAACTCTCTCAACCTCATTTCCAGCTCGATGTAGCCCGAGAACAGCTTGGGCTTGGGGCACATCCCTACGCCAGCGCCGAGGACCTTGCGAGCAGCATTGATGTCGACTCGGCGGACTTCAAAGTGTGCAAAAGCGAGCCAGAGCTGGGGTCAGCGCGTTCTTGCCTTGATCGGACTTACCTTGGCAAATGTAAATTCCTTGTGGGGTACAATTCTGATGGCAGCCTTGTAAACGTCTCTTGCGCGATCGTAGTCTTTCGTGTCAATTTCTTCGAACGCCGCGTATTGGAGCCAGAGATACTGTCGTCAGCGGAGGTCAGGATATAAACTTACGATGTATCGCCTCCAGTACCGCTTTTCCGTCGCCGGCGGAATATTGGCCACCGCCCGCTCATACACCTCCCGGACCCGCGTCGGCTCGATATCCTCCCCATCTTCTTTGTCCGCGCGGTAGGCGTCCTCCTCCAGCCGAGCCAACGAGAACCAGGCGTCATAGTTGGTGCCATCGTACGCTAATTCCTCCTCGTATTGGATCCGCCGCTTCCCGAGGACGGTTAGTTCAACGCCGGATCTATCGCCATCTAGGGGTCAGCTCGGCGACGTGAGGTGGACATACGTTGCTTCTCAAACTTGGTGTACTGAGCATACACTGATCATTAGCTGTATTCCGACCTCCAGTGGATACTCACAGCTGGCAGATTTTGACCTTGGGAGCCGGGCCAGAGCGAACTTGTAAATCACTCTCGCCCGGTCAAACTCCTTCAATCTCGTCTCCATCCTGGCAAAAGCCCCAAACACCGCCTGAGCCTTCTCCACCTGCTCCTCTTCATCCCCAAAAAACTCCAATGCCGTCTGGAACACCTCCCGCGCCTTATCCGCCCGCGTCCTGTCCTCCTCAAATTTGGCCCATGTCACCCAGTTCTTTGGGATGGGCCGTACGCCAATCCACCGTTCGTATATAGATGAGGCGCGGTCGAGCTCGTTGTATCGCTCCTCGAGCTTGATGTAGGATTTCCACGCATTGTCGTTTGGTTCCCACTGCATCCATCTTTCAAAGATCTGGCGAGCGCCGGCGATATTGAGGAGGAGCTCCTCGAGGTAGACGTACTTGTACCACAGCTGGTCTACGCGGGGGAGGAGGATGATGGCTCGGTCAAAGAGGTTTCGAGCGTGGTTGATGTTTCGCGCTTTGAGCTCCATGTCGGTGTATTTGAGCTGGGGTTAGCCGTGCTTGATTAGGTACTCACCCATACTTCGACGGACCGCGGGTCAACATCCAGCGCCCGTTCGTATACAGACCTCGCCCGGTCAAACTCGTTATGGCTGGCTTCGAACTGGGCATACTTGATCCAGGCTATCATTCAGCTATGGGTTGGTGATGACATACCTCTTATGCTGTCTCGCGAATACCTAATCCGCCCCTCGAATTCTGTCCTCTTTCTTCCCTGGAATTCTCTCAGTTCCTCCAGATCCTGCACACGCTGCTTGGGTGGCTTGATAGCCGGTTCCTGTCGCTCTTGAGCTTCGCGAAGGAGCTGTTCCGAGGTGATCTAGACGGTCAGCCAATATTCTGGCAGGAGAGCACAAAGTTGAGATCTTAGCCAGACCAGCCGACATACCTGAACGGGAGCTGGCGCTCGATTTCGTACGCGTGGCGCACGATCCTTGGGGTCTCTACGTTCGTCCGACATTCTAGCTGATGTGTGGTTGCGTCGTTCTATGTGCAAGCTTCAGTGAGATGGATATGCGACTTGAGGCAGTTGCGAGCAAGTCGGGCAGTGAGCAGTGGCGGACGGAAGCAAATTCAGTGTGGCAGCAGACCTGGCAGCAAGCCACTTGAGCCACTTAGCCAACAAGGCAAGAAGCCCGGGACACTCCTGGGCCAGCCAGCGTTCCCGTATACCCGGATACACGTTTGGATATGATGAACAGAGGCGGGGGGGAGGTATCATCGGGGAGGTCAGGTCACAAACAAGCGTAAGTAACCAAAAAAGTCCCACCAGAGGGATCCAGTGGCCAAAAACCAACCTCAGACCGCCCCGCACTGCAAAAAGCACTGGAGGATACCGGATTCGAACCAGTGACCCCTTCAAACCCACAGAATAGAGCTGCAAATGAAGTATCATACCCCTAGACCAAACCCCCGTGTCCGAATCAGCATTCTCTTGTAATATATCACCGGGTTTGTCGGCCCCACCCGCCTCCTTTCCCAGCTTCCCGGCTCGAGAGCTATCCGGTCTCCTGAGCCTCGAAGACGCGGTAGACACCCTTCACTCTACACTTCGGCCCTTTCAATCCTTGCCCCGACAGCACGATCTTTCCGCTCTGCCGATATCAAAAGTTGCTCCTCGGTCGGGAAAGGAGCGGGTGGGGCTGACAAACCCGCTCATATATTACAGGAGAATGCTGATTCGGACACGGGGGTTTGGTCTAGGGGCCGAGCGCTACGCGCGCGGGCGCTCCGCGTGGACCTTATGAGGATTTCTTGACCCCTTCTTCCCCCCGACTCTTCGACTGCCCCGACCAACTCTCGGAAGGCGATCATGTTGCAGAACGGTGAGGCACAGCGCAGTATACCTTGCTTCGGCGGTAATACCAAGCAGTATTCTGTTCTCAGGCAGGATGAAAGGGAGTGGTGGGGCCAACCTTTGCCTGTCTTGCGTCCATAGACCACATTGACGAGAAAGCAATGGACACCCATGAACCGCCACTTCCGTCCAACCCAAAACCTGAAACGCTGTCCGAAACGGGAAGCCAGGCTGAAACACGTACCATAATCTGATTCCGTATGACGTAGTAGGGCGGTGTGAGGAACCGCGGCGAGCCAATTCCACCTTTGTTGAATTCAACCTAGAGTAACTATACCTTGCCACTCTACTTTGACATATATCGTATAATTCCCACCATCAGCCAATAGTCTCACACTTCGAGCGCGAGGAACAGCGACATGTCTGCAATTGCCGGAAAGTTGGTGATGGTAAGTTAGCGCTCGGCTTGCCACTATGCAGTGACTGACAGCTTTATAGAAGGTGATCTCGAAGAGAGCGGAGCAATACGAACCACCAGATCCGTACTATGAGTACGTCACCGACGCCAGGGGGAAGAAGCAGAAGCAAAAAGTGAGCCATCTGCAGCCGATACTGTGCGCCGGAGGCGGGGGCTGGCCGGCGTGACGAGCGGGAAGAATTACTGAATCAGAGCTGACTATGTAGCGGCCTGTTCCCCCTGGGCTCTCGCAACGAGACGAGAAAGCGCTCAAGAAAATCCGAAAGCGGGCGCACAGGCTGGACAAGGGAATGAACCTTTGTGGATTCCGCGTTGGGTATACATTCTTCATCGGTATGTCTGCTCACAATTTGACCTACGTCCTTACAGAGGGGCTGATAGTGTCAGGTATCATTCCCGGAGCAGGAGATGTCGTGAACGGATTGCTAAACTACAACCTCGTCGTCAAGCCGGCCAAGAAGCTGGATCTGCCCAGTGACCTGGTGACGAGGATGATGTTTAACAACGCGATCTCCATCGGTATGGGGTGAGTAGCACGTCATACACAGAAAGATTACCAGCTGACCGGACAGAGTAGTACCTCTGATAGGAGACGTAGCGATGGCTACTTGGAAGACCAACTCACGTAATGCAGGCCTGTGAGTTTTGATTTCCCCAGAGCTATAGCCCTTGTAACCAGAGCTGACAAGCAGGCTCGAAGCTTTCCTCACGATTCGCGGGCAAGAATACCTCGCTTCGATCCAACAAGGCACCTCTGCCATTCCAGCACAAGGAGAAGAAGGCGTTTCAGCGTCCGAGCTGAGGAAGGCGTTCCTCCCCGGGGCTGGGCAGGGCAGCAGCGCCGCGGAGCAGGGGCGGATCGGGCAGGGGACGGTCTTGCCGCACGAGCGACCTCCACCAGCCGTGCCCGTTAGGAGGTAGGGGATAATGGGGGAGGAGGGGTGTGCCCGAGGTCATATTGTTGTCTATACTGAATATTCTCCATACACGCTAGTAATAATTCGATATGCCGATCTATCTTAGTATCCAGCTGCTCCCTAGACCTACTTGTTGAGACCGAAACAGGACAGCCTTACATGTGCACAGCATCATCCTGCCCGCGGGTCCGAGCCCGAGTCGCCACCCGGCCTAACCCGGTTAACGTCACCGCTTCGCGTCCAAGCGTGTCAACGGTGCATGAAGCCTCCATTCATCCCGCATCTGTACTTCGACTCGATCCGTCAATCAAGTCAGAGAGGGATTGGACTCTTCACCTGATAGCACCGCAGTCCCTTCCCAAGCGACACCCGCTCCAGCAACGCATGATCCCGCGTCCATTTCTGGCTGCCTTATGCCCTCGACCGGCCTCGGGCATGGGGTCTCAGCAGGGCGGCCAGGGCGGCCACAGCAAAGGCAGGGTGAAGGATACTTCTCTCAGACCACTGCGAGTAGCGGAGCGGCTACGAGGGGGGCTCCAGCACGGAAAGCCATACGTGAGTGGACCCTACATCAGCCTATGATGCGAGCTGATGGGATCAGCCATAGCAGTAGAGTAGGTCTTTCGCTATCCTGCTACTATCATACTGACCGTTCAGCGACGCCAGACACCTACTCTCGCCGCTGATCGATACCTTGCCAGCTTTGCCAAATTTGGCGTCTCTACGGACATTTTTGCCTACCTCGCCTCCTCGAATCGGCTCCTCTCACGACTCTCAGCCACAGTTCCAAGGCTACTCCAAGTGGCAGAATGTAGACCTTCAGGATGGGAAGGGGAGATGGTGAGCTACCTACCTCAGGCAGCGAATCCGAGCTGATGCAGTAGCGATCTCCTCCTTGTCTCGGCTGCCGAGTGTGCATTCCGCCTGTACCGTATCAGCTCGAGCAGCATACCGGACCCGCCGCACGTCGAGGAAGAAGCACCCGCTCCGGAGGAGATATTCAGCCTGGAGAAGATCAAGCGGGACAGCGCAACTCGGACCGGCAAGCTGCCAGGCGCCAGAGTTGCAAAGGAGAGGGAGGACGAGATGGTTTTATCGGCGCAGATTGTGGACAGAGGGGAATTGGTGCAAGAGCACGGCCCGCTGATCTTCTGCGTGTGAGTGGATTCCATGCGCATGGCTCCCAAGCTGATAAGCAGAACGTCATCAACTACACCTCGCAAGGGGTCGGCCGACTTGAGACTCGTTCTCGTCGCGCTGAGAACCGGTCACGCGGTGTGGGACGTCAACCTAGGTCAGGGACGTGCAGCAGCTGTATTAGTCTCAGCTCGAACGGTCGCAATTGTCAGTTGCCCGCCATCACATCTCGCTAGGCCCGAGCTGACTTGATAGACGTTGTCACATCCGTCACCCTCCCTCCACCTCTTACACCCCACAACCCTCCAGCCCTTCTACTCGATCCCCGACCTACCCGCTGCTCCCAACTCCCTACCGACCGCCGCACTCGCTGGGCGACTTTTGGCGCTCGTCACAATCGATTCGCCCAGATCTACCGGCTCGGACGGGCTCGGAACGCTCATCACCGCTCAGTCGACCGTCCGGAGTCGGGCAGCGTCAGAAGGACCGACACGCCCTATACCGGCTCGCAGCCCCAACTCGACCTCTGCTGTCATGTCTTCCGCGATCAGCATAGGTGGCGGCGTCGCCAGAGGCGTCTGGGCCGGTCTCAAGATGGGCGCTCAGGCTGCGCAGCAGGCGAACACTGCTCGGCTGGCCAAATCTGCGCCTGCGGATGCTATGCTATCGAGGGGGTTTGAAGATCATGATGGCGTATCCGAGTCGATGGAAGGTAGCGCGATGCTGGATTGTCCGGCGGAGGACGGAGGGGCGGGAAGCTGGATCAAGATCATCGATCTCGGAAGATTGCCGCCGACAGAAGCGCCCATCTCGCCATACGAGACCTCACCGGCGATATCGACCCAAGCCGATCACATCAGGACCGTGGCGCACTTTCGGCTGCCTATTTCGGCATCGAGTGACTACCTCACTCATACTCATTCCCTAGGCGGTTCCGGTCCGACACCCCGAAACCAAACTATAGCTGCTCTCAGCTGGAATTCCGACGGCACGCAGCTCTTTGCCGCTCCGGCGGACGGCCGGGTATTCCACATCTTTCAGCTGTACCCCGATGCCCCAAGAAGGAGGAACAGGGAGACGCAAGGGGACGTTCTGCATCTGTACGAGCTAAACAGGGGAAGTACCGCTGCGACGGTGGAAGGAGTTCTATGGGATCCTGCAGGAAGATGGATAGGGGTAGCGACCGAGCGGGGTACCATTCGTAAGTCGGCAGCACGGGCCGGCTGACGCCTAGATGTCTATCCTATACACCCCTCTGGTGCCCCCGCCGGGACCTGGACGCATCTCAGCACGAAGATCCCCAACCCCGCGCGGCTCTACCCGCTCTCTCAGGTCGTCGAGGCTTCCGCTCGGCTCCGCACGGGACATCCTCTTCACACTACGACTGCTCCCGCTCAGCACTATCCAACTGCATTCTTCTTCGGCAGATGGCAAACCGACCCGCTTCATCCAGGCACATTCTGCCAAGATATCAACGTCTATCATCCCTCCCTCCACGTCATCGAGTTGCAGCGACTTGCAGTCAAGCAGGAGGCAGCGACGAGCCCGATGGCGGTCAGGCGAGCTTCAGCCATGATCAAGCGAGGAAGCGGGATCTCCGAGATGATGCGCCTGAGATCCGCAACTGCCGCGGCGGGAGATAGTGGCGGAGGGAGTCTGTCAGTGGAGCAGGGAGTCAAGGCTAGGTGGAGAGTGCCAAGCGGGGATGTGGAGGATGTCCTGATCAGACCGTCAAGGGTCACTAGATCGCGGTCACTTGCGTGAGTGACGTTCATCAAGTCGCATAGCCTAGCTGACGCTCAGACCCCTGTCTCACCCCCTGTCTCACGCCGAGATTCGGACCTACAGCGTCAACCCCCGCATCCTCCCTTCCTCCATCTACCTCTCTCATCAACTCGACCTCTATACCGCGCCTCATCTGCGAGTGGACTCGCGCTATCCTCTCGTCTACCGCAACGAGGTGGAGGTCAGACCCCCTACCGAGGGGGCATCTTTCGACGAGCCACTCTCGACCGCTCTGCATACCCGCCTTGAATCACCCACGCGAGGCGAGATCCCCGGTCTCCCCAACGGTTTTCCAGGCTCGGGTGGCAAATGGAAAACGCCCATCCCTATCCGCACTGTCGCAGCAGGCGTCGGTGAAGGTCTCGACCGCGTCCGGCATACCTACGCCAAGTCTCAAGCGATCCGGCGGCATCGGCGGGCGAGCGAGCATCTATCCAACCGCCTCAGCTTTGAAGAGGGGACGATCTTTGCCTCGTCTCAGGGCAGTGATCGGCTCGGACTGGACATGGATGACTCGTCCCCTTCATCGGAAGCTGTCCCGGACAGCGCGATAGCTGGGGATGAGGATGAGGAGTGGGCGGAGGGATGGGAGGAGGAGTATCGACATGCCGTGGAGATTGAGGGGGAGCCCGACGATCTTGTTCTGGGTCTGATGGATGAGGAGGGGGAGGATAAGGGGGTGGCGGGAGTTGAGAAAGGAGGTGTGGCGCCACTCGCTCCGCAGGGGAAGAAGAGGCGGTAAGTGTGATCTTGTACGATGACGACCAAGGGGATGTAGTGCTGTCAAGCACCTGACGAGTCCAGCGTCACTTGGCAACTGACCCGTTCCCCGCCCGTTCCTGACCCTCTCCTGACCTGTCTTTGGAACCGGACAGAACGTGCTCGAACGCGAAGACGATCAGCAGGCTCGGGCGGTGCCCCGACAACCCCTATCGGTCTGCACGGGCAAATGACGTCTCAGATACCCAACCGGCGCTTTGGCCGATATCTAGCAAGTCCTCAAGGGAGACTCGCCTTCTTCCTCAAAGGATATAGATGACGTGCTAAGGTGAGGCTGTGCAGAAAGTTCGAGCAACCCACCGGTCTTTCCATTTAGGCGTTCTGACATGTCGCTGATAATAACATCCTTTCATCCAGGACCCAATGAGGACTGGGCACGTTTGTAGGGAGGGTGGCGAAGTAGGACATATAAGCTCGCCACCCTCTTCTCGCCTTTCCACCAATTCTCCACCTCCCCTCAATTTGCCACCGGCCATTACACCTTTGACTACAACGACTACCGTACCATACCCATACTGGACATCTCTTTGATACATGTGGGGCTACGACGGGAATGCGTCAGCTCCGGCCCTCACCGGCACGGAGTTGCTGGACGGGATGACGGACGATTATGACCCGGTGAGTTGTGCTCGCCTGCTGCCAGTTATAGCATTTGCTGATGAGCGCAGGTCACGAAGAAGCACACCTTCCACGCCGCGGTACCGAAGCCAGCTAAGCTTTGGGCGGTGTGAGTCAAGATCTTCTGGTGCTGCAAAGTGCACTGCGACTGACTCAGAACAGTGAGACCGCCTGCAAAGTGAACGATGGCTGGGATATCAAGCTCGGTGGGCCGATGGGAGACCGGAAGCTCGGGTCATTCTTTGGCGGTCTTGGGTAGGTTGCATACCGCCTATACCCTCCACGCTACCTAGCTGACACTCCTTAGAATCATGGGTACCATCGCCACCACCAAATGGACCGAGCGGCTGTCCGAGCTGTCAAAGAATGTCAGCGCCGTTCGCACTGGTCTGACGGACAACCTTACCCACCTCTCGGAGTCCATTTGGGAGGATCCGATGAAGTGGGGCAAGTGGGGTGCAGCAGCGTTTGCTGCAGGGACCGCAGTCTATTACGCGGATCAGTACTTCACCCCAAAGGTCGCCTCCGCCGAAGGTACCGACAAGTCCGCTGCGCTCAATGACACTGACGGGACATGGACTGAGAAGGAGCCCACGACCGCGGGGAATACGAGGAAGAAGACAGTGCGCTCAGCGACCGGGACTACACGACGAGGTGCGAAGGGCCCGATCAAGTCAGGTCCGACTCAGACTGTTCCCGAACTCTCCGATGGTGGTGACAGCGAGGCGAGCTCCTCGACCGCGGATGACGATCCGCTTACCCCCATTGCTCTTGCCCCTCTCGGGCATCACGAAGACGGCACTCTTGCCCTCATGGCGAGCCAGATCCCCCTTCCCTCCGACATCGCCGACAGCACCAAGGATGACAAGACCGTTACCACCGGCGGCGGCGACACGTTTGTTGCCCCCACGACATCCAGTCCGTCCGCAGTTCTGAGGTGGTTGGTGAGGGCGTATGGGGCTGATGCGATCACCAGCGCGTACAACGAGCTCGGGAGGAGCGGCGTCACTAACAGTCTGCTGTCTGTAAAGTGATTGCGATTACTCAGTACTTCAGTGGTCCCTTGTCTGCACAATGTGTATAGCCTTACCTGATCCGCTACGTGGATGCATAGAGTAATCTTCCACTTCTTGTGCGTGCCACAGCTTAGAAGGCTGTCGAACAACAATGGGCCGATTGGAAATGTGAGTAACACCATGCCCTACTCATTACACGGCACCGCACGCTCCAGCTGAGTCCTCATCGCCAGCGCTTTTCTTCCAGTGAACTGCACCTTGTCCCAGGGATCGTGGTCAAACGTGGGTCAGTGGCTTACTATTTTTGCTCAATCCAGCCCCATCGTTTCTTGACGGGAGGAAGAGCAACAGCGATGTGTTGCAAGCTTGGCGTCGGCGTCGGCGGCACTCACATTCTGACCGCAGGCGGGATAGCAAGCTCACTGATATATCGAGAGTAACATATTTCGGACGACATGTCAACATGTCGACCCGCCTCGCCTCCCATGTCATGGCATGGTACCGGAACATATGTCCGTATAGGCGGATGAGCCGAAGTATATATTCTTGAGGATCAAAGATCACAGGGTGGCCGATGCTAAGGTAAGTTGTCCAAAGCCAGATTTTGACCCTCGACTGTCGCATCCTTCGGCCGACATCCCGCGATCCTCCTCATGACCTTACCATGTCTGAGCACCATGGACAAAGGAGCCAGATGTCGTGCGCAGGCGAGTACCCTGTCGGTACTTGGTCTCAGGCGCATCTGCAGCTCGTACCTCCCGCTCTCCTTTCATGACGGCCGAAAAGAGGACTGAGCACGTCTGTCGTCGGGTCGGAGAGGTGAGTATTATATAAGCTCGCCACCCGCTAGGATTCCCACCTTCTCTTCAAGTTACCTTCATCTTCCAATCGCAACTCAGTCCCTTTGCTCACAATACCAATACTTTCACTCTTACTTACCCTTTACTTCCTAAGATGTGTACCTGTGGTCAGGTTCATGCGGATCCTGCGGCCGCGTCTGCTCATTCGACCCTGTCGTCCTGGTCCACCGCTGCGCCTGGCGCTCCTCCCGCTGCTTGGCATCCAAGTGCCCTGCATGGGACCGTGCTGGAGGGTGAGGATGGGGCAAGTCATGCTTCATGTGTCCCTTTAGGTGCGAATGAGCTGACATTGTCGTAGAAACGGCTCACGCTCGTGGCACGCGTCCCAGATCTGGGCGGGCCAATCGGGTACGTCTTCCACGCCATACATAAGCCTAGCAACCGCTGATCATGCGCAGATGGGCAGTCAATGGCATCGCCTACTCTCCGCTGTTGACGACTGGCCTTTCATGCATGGGCGAGGTGCCCTTCGGCTCGTGCTGGAAGGCTGGAGAGTACGTCGTGTACTGTCCATCATGCAAGATATACTCTGGCGATAGCTGACCTCGCTCAGGACAGTCATCAACTTTTTCAGGCGCCCCATCACCGAGCAGCTCTCGACGCTCAAGAAGAGCGTCTCGTCGTGCTTGACCGACTTCTCAAACAACTTCAAGACCTTCGCGGAAGCCGATACCGCCTCACAGCTGACGGTTGCGGGTCTCGCAACAGCCGGCGCGTTGGCAACGTGGGGACTGTACAAGCTCACCGGCCCTGGCAGTTACGCGAAAGATACCGCCGACCCAGTCTCTACCAAGCTCGACGCCATGGCTGCTGAGGCAGAGACGCAGAGCGCAAGAGCGTCGATGGGGACCCTGCCGACAACGCCGTCGCCTTTCCTCACCGCAGACGGCGAGATCTGCACCGCTGACGGGTGTCACGACACTCACCCGGACTGCAAGAGCACCGGCGTGGTCTTCGCTGGTCTGTTGGGTGCTTTGGCCGAGCTGCAGACGGCCAATGCCAGGCTCGAGCGCGAGCGCAAGGCGGACAATGACCACTTCAACAGCCGCTTGAATCAGCTCTTTGCATTTCAGAGTGGTTCGGACGTGTCCACCCCTGCGCAATCCGATGACTCGGGTGTGTCTACTCCTGCGCTTTCAATTGACTTGGGCGCCGAGACCCCCGCCGAGACTATCCTCCCCACTCCCACAGATGGTCAAGAAATCGACAAGGATGCGGCCGTCCCGTCATTTGGTTGAACCGGAGGTCGTTGCCAAGCTTGCTGCGGATAACCCCTTCTCTGTCCACCCCTCGTTGCCAGCGTGAGCATTCGCATCGACCTCGAGACGTACCCTACCCTCTGACTTGTGCATCCCGACCTTGCCACCTTGGAGCTTGTTAGATTCAAGCATGCATCGCGATTGTCCTGGCAGAGCGCACCACGACCATGATCCACTTTGAGCTTCTAGTACTTTCAGGCTGACTGATCCCTTATGCCGCATATGAGATACATCCAGAGTCTATAGTCAACCCATCTATCTTATCTATCCATTCAAATCACAGCCGTATTTTTGTCATGACGAAACGAGACCCGCACATTCACCGGAACAAACGGCCTACTCGCGCTCGATGGCCATAATGTCAAGGTCGGTCGGGTCAGACGGGACCGAGAGAATTCGGAGGGTGTTGGTCTACATCGTCAGCTATGATCACACCGAGGCAGTAAAGAAAGCTTACGTGGCCGAGACCGCCCTTCCATCCCTGAACGGCCATGACGGTCTGCTCGGGCTTGATAATGCCCAAGTCGAGCGCGTTCTTGAGACCGAACCTAGATCTGTCAGCTGAGAACAACAACTAGGATTCGGTAGCGTACCTGATCCGGTTGTCGACATCGACCTGCCACTTCTCGGCGGGAACACCACGCGCCTCGGGGTACCAAACGGGGTAGACACCGCGGGAGAGGTGCATCTGCCTCGCGCATTGGAGGTTCCGGGTGACACAAATGATGGGGCACTGGGGGCGGTACTTGGAAATCAGGCGAGCGGAGACACCCCTACAGATCAGCGCAACCCCTCTTACAGGTAAACTAACTTACGAGGTGGAGAGGACGACAATGGCTCCTGCGTCCTGCTCGATAGCAGCAGCGACGGCGGAGAAAGCCAGTGTCTCGGCGGTCTCGGTCGGGCGGGGGGTGAGGGCGCGGAGCTGGTCAAAGAGGGGCTGGTAGGCGATGGCCGACTCGGCGAGGAAGGCGGTCTCGGCCATCATCTTGACGGCCTCGATGGGGTACTTGCCCTTGGCGGTCTCGCCGGACAACATGACACAGTCGGCACCGTCGAGGACGGCGTTGGCGACGTCGGAAACCTCGGCACGGGTCGGGCGGGGGTTGACCTAGAATCAGCTTTGCCCAAACCTAGACTCACAGTCATGGACTCGAGCATCTGGGTGGCACAGATGACGGGCTTGCCAGCGACGTTGCACTTGGCAATCATCATCTTTTGCGCCAAGAACACCTGCGACGCGGGAATCTCGATTCCCAAGTCTCCACGCGCCACCATGACACCGTCCGTCTCGCGCAGAATCTCGTCAAAGTTTTGCACACCCTGCTCATTCTCAATCTTGACAATGATCTTGATGGTGGCACCGTCGGTACCGAGGACCTTGCGGATGTCACGGACGTCCTGGCCGGAACGGATAAAGGAGGCAAAGATCATGTCAACGCCGTTCTTGACACCGAAGGCGAGATCGGCCTTGTCCTTCTCGGAGAGGGCGGGGAGGTCGACGGGGGTCTTGGGGAGGTTGACACCCTTGCGGGAGGACAGAGTGCCCGAGTTGAGGGACTTGACGCGGAGGGAGGTGCCCTCGATGGCGACGACCTGGAGGGAGAGGATACCTATATGTCAGCTTCACCACACGAGTGGTCATATTGGGCATGACAGCTTACCGTCATCGACAAAGATGGTCTTGCCGGGGGAGGTGACCTTGGGGAGGTTGGGCTAAAATCAGCTCTGCCATAAAATCAACTCACGTAGTCCATGTAGATCTTCTCGGCGGATCCAGACTCGGCATCAGCCTTGTCGGTGGAGATGATAAACTCGTGGCCGGCGGTGATGGGGACCTAACATCAGCTAAGCCCAGGCTTGAGCTCACATCCTGGTCGTTGGCCATGAGACCGGTACGGATCTCGGGACCCTTGGTGTCGAGGGCAATGGCGATGGGACGGCCGGACGAGAGCTTGGCGGCGGCAGCGCGCGAGTTGTCAATGACCGACTGGTGGTACTCGTATGAACCGTGCGAGAAGTTCATCCGGACTGCAAGTCAGCTGAGGTCTTCATAGGGCACCGAGCAACTGACCGATGTTGAGACCGGCGTTCATGAGCTGCTCGAGCATGTCGACCGAGTTGGTTTTGGGGCCGATGGTACCAATGATGGAGGTCTAGGATGAGCTTTCTTCCTTATCTCTCGATCGGTCGAACGGCTCACCTTGCGGAGGAACTTTTGCTCATCGGTAAAGTCGTTGAAGCTCGTCTTGAGCGACGAGAGCCACGCGAGCTGGGAGGTAGGAGCGGTGTTCATGTTGGCTGCGGTGTGGTGTAGGTGTTGGTGGTTCAGGGGTGGGGAGGGCTGTTGGCGTGAGCTCGAGGGCAGGAGGAGTGGGGAGGGCGGGGTGGAGTAGTGGCCTGGGACAGCTCGGACAGGGGGAGTGAGGAAGGGCATGATGGTGGGGAAAAGAACGGGAAGGGAGCGGTGCACGAGAGGTATATTCGGCTCCCGCTCAACCCAAAGGACCGAGCGATTGCACTTGGCACGTTCGCTCCGTCCTAAAAGTTGGAGCTGAAGGGAAAGCGCGACACGCGGGGTAAGTGTGAAAGGAGCGCCCTGTCTCGACCTGTCTCTGGAGCATGAACGTGTACTCACTACTGTACTCTTTGCTTGTCTGAAACGAAGTATAGACTCTGCTTGGACGCTGGTCTGCTGCTATCTTTCAACTTTCTCAGCTGTCGTCAACGTTCCTTGCCCCACCCCACAGGCGGGACCAGAATGAACACGGCGAACGCCGCCACCACCACCACCACCAGCACCAGCGAGATTTCGAGGTCCACCTCTTCTGGCTGGTTCACGACTACCGCTTCATCCTCACAGCTATCAGAAACTACCATAGTCACACCTCCTACGCCCAAAGCAGACAAAGCAGCGAAGACCACATCGAAACCTGCAAAAAAGCCATTCAAGAACACACCCGGAGAATCGAAGCGCACACCCCTCGAAGACTATTTCCACGAACAGTCCAAACTCTTCTCGAGTCTTCAGAAGCGGTACGACGCTTTCCAAGAGAGAGCAGCAGAAGAACGAGGAAAAAAGCCCGTCAACAAGGCAAAGGCGAAACCGGCGAAAGCAAAGACAGCAGCTGCACCTGCTAGCCAAGGAAAAGGAAAGGAGCCGGCGACGAAATGATTGGGTCTAGCTCGAGTGCGGTCTGGCGGGCGGCCAGCATTGGTAGTGTATCGGTATGTCCGCTACCTTGACGAGTTCTCGAGCACTTAGCTGATGCAGTCAGAAATCAATCTCATCCACTCCTCGAGCAGCTATCCTCGCTGCCCGATCCTTCTCCTCATCCTCTTCCTCCGCGGCAGCCTCTGTCGCAACCCCCTCCCGAAAGAAGAAGGCCACCGTTAACCCCGACGCCATGTCCCTCTCCGAAGCTACCCGTATCCTCCGAGTGAGCCCTTCCCTCTTATCTTCACCTCCGAGCTAATTTCAGGCCCTGGAAATATCCAACCCCTCCTCCGCCTACTCCCTCACCCTCTCCACCCGAATCTCCAAATCCTCCGCACCCCTCCGCGGCCGTCTCGCACTCCCCACCGACCCCCGTCGATCCGCCGAGGTCATCCTGGTCTTTGCGGACCCCTCTTCCTCCTCTGCTCAACTCGCCAAGTCCGCCGGAGCGGCGTATGTCGGCGGCGAAGAGCTGTTCGCGCGGATCCTCAATGGCGAGATCGTACCCACCAAGTGTCTGGCGACGCCAGGAATGATGCCTGCTGTGGCGAGCAAGCTGGCGAGGTTTCTGGGGCCAAAGGGGCTGATGCCGGTTGCGAAGCGGGGTGGGGTAGGTGAGGGGGAAGAGCTGGCCAAGCGGGTGAAGGAGGCGGCCGGGGGGATGGAGTGGAAGGGGGACAAGTTGGGGGTGGTGCGTGCGCCTGTAGCAAGAGTAAGTTGCCATGGACGTCAGAAACTCTGCACTCGCTCGCCCCAGCTAACATACTAGATGTCGTTCCCGCTTGAAGCAGTCAATGAGAATGTTCGAGCTTTCGTAGCTGCAGTCAAGGAGGGATCGGCAAATGCCGCCGCCAGCGCAGCAGATTCAACATCGCGCAAGCGGCCACGTTTGTCCACCCTTCTTCGTCGCAGGAGTTGACGCTGATGATGCAGCATCTGGTATTATCTCCGCACGGCTGGAGACCACACAAGGACCGAGCATAGAGCTGAGTGATGTCTTGTAGCGCATGCAGCCGTGTCTCTGGTTGAACCAATACATCTAGGTGCATGAGGAGCTACAAATCTACCTAATCGCCATGAAACACGTCTTCAGTCTCTGATGCATGCCCCCTCAGATGTCGTCACCGATCGACAGCTGAACCTTCTCTCCAGGCTTGAACGGCGGCATACCTGCTGATCAGCTAATGTCATGCCTAAACCTGCAGCAGACTCACCCAGATAAGGACAGCTGGTACACCTGAACGCATCGCCCAAATAACAGCTCCCGCAACTACTCGTCTTCTTCGCCTCCCCTCTCTTCTCCTCTGGCCATACACCCTCGACCCCATCTGTCGCTTGGAGCATATGACTCGGGATATCGTCGTCCCCCTCCAAAAAGAATCTCTGGGCCTCCTGCACCGCCTGTGCCGATTGGGCCTCCTCGCCATCCTCCAATTCCTTCAGACCGCAGGTACAGTCCTTGCATGCCCTGCGGCGCTTGACGGGCTTGCCGTCCGATGCGGGGAAGATGCATTCGGGGCGGGAGCGGTCTTCGGGCGTGAGCAGGGAATGACCGCCGTCCGGCAGGAGTGGAGATTCGAGGGCCCATATGGCCGACTTCTTCTCCCGGTTCGAGGCGCGCTTGAGGGCGAGAGGGCGGATCGCGGAGGTGGAGCTGGAGCTGGAGCTGGATGGCGCGGCGGGAGGGGGGATGGACGTGGATGGAGAGGTGTAGCCGACAATGTCGGGTGAAGGGGTCGGGAGGAGGGGTGCGAAGTTCGCGGAGGAGAGAGTGGAGTGGAGGAGCGTGACGAGCTGGGGAGATGCGGAGGGTGGCAGGTGGATGAAGAGCTGGGTCGAGGGTGGGATGATGGAGAGGAGCTGCGAGGGAAGGGGAAGAGGAAGGATCGTATGGATCGTAAGGGGAGCAGACGGCAGTGATGTTGCTGGTCTGTCAGCCTTGTCCTCCCTCGACCAAACCCTGCCACCTCGTCGAATGTGTGCCACAAATCCTACTCACCATTATCAAGCACACGATCAATCATCTCTCCCTGCACCTTCCCCTGCGCCCCCGCCCCTTCCTTGAGCTGCGTCAGTACCCGCTGGTACTCCTCCGCCCGCTCCATCGAGCCGAGCACCACCTGGGTCGTCATCTGCGCCGTGACCATTCCGTTTGAGCTGGCTGTTGTAGACATTTCTTGTGGGTGTATTGATGAGGTATAGAAGGTCAAGGACTGGCTGCAGCTGTAGACTTTTCTGACTCATCACATCATCGATGCGACAAGCGGGGGTCGCCGCCGATAAGAGACCAGAATCAGCTCACGTAAGGCAGGCAGGGATAATCCTCGGTTAAACCGCTCGGCCCGAGCTGGTCCAAGCTCCGCACGCGCCCACCCGCACCTCCCCCACTTTCGGCCCTCGCGTCGGCTTCGGGACTCGGAGGATTTCAAAACCGCGCAATACCGCGCGATGAGTCGAGCTCACCTTGGAAGGCCTTGAAAGTCACCGGATCAAGCTGCGTCAAGCCCGAAAGCGGATTTGAGATCTGCGGGCTGGTATGAATGAGGTGCGAGTGCGGGGGGATGGTGTATATAGGTGTGGGGAGAGCTTGAAGAATTCCCACTGCCTTTCCATCATCTGTCCAGCTTACTATATCGTCTGTTGTCGCATCATTTACCTTACCTGCACTCCATTGCTCACAGCTTTGGTATATATACAGACGACAAGGCATCCGTGCAACAACATCATCGTACCAACCTTTCCCGACCCACCATCACACATCGCATCACCCATCATGCCCGCCACCGCCCCCGCCCTCATCCCCTCCCGTCCCACTCACACCCCCTTCGCCTCTCGTTCATCCACATCGAGCAGCCCCAGCTCCCGCTCCTCCTCATTCGGCAGCCTAAGCGGCTCCCCTCCGACCTCATCACCTATCTCCGGCGCAATCACCACAACGCACGAGCACCCGTGTCCGCACATGTCCGAGCTGGTCCGGGCGCTGTATAAGGCGTATAGGGGACGGGCATGATCCTGGACGAGGTTTCGACGTATGCTATCAGCGCCAGGCGGGAAGCGCAGGCAAGGACGACGGTAGTCCAGGGGATGTTGGTTAGGATGAGAAGGAGCCAGCAGGGAGGGAGGGGAGAGACAGAGGGAGAAGGGATGTGGCGTGATCGGATTTATGGCAAGGTTCCGAGGACTGTAGTCGAGTGGAGAGCGAGTGAGTCCACCAGTGTGCATACCGTCGACGACAAGAGATGGAAGGGGCGAGTGCTGACTGCTTAGGTCTGTTGAGGGGATGTGCAGATGTCGATTCACGACCATCTAGGAGTGATCAGAGGGGAGGGGAGGGGCGGCGAGCGCTCAGAGCGGACATCGACCGCTGTACCACCATCGTAACATCACCCCGCACTGCCCTGAGCGAAGAGGACGGGCGTCTCGACGTCTCCGTCACACTCACTCGACGCGCACGGATCACCCTCCCCCACCCTACACATCGCCATCACCCCTCAATCCCCATGTGGTCCCTCGCATTCGACTCACGGCCCCAGCAAGCGGCGCTGCAGCCGGAGATAGGGGAAGCGGAGCAGATCGGGGGCTTGGGGCTTGTGGGGAGGAGGAAAGAAGCAGGCGGTGCGGCGGACCGAGCTTGATCAGGGGGATTGATCAGGGGGATTAGCGGATTCAGATTGTGGGGTTCCAAATAGCGCTAATATAATCGTTATAATCGTTGTAATCACTTCTTGTCTTGTACTTCTCCCTATATACCATATATTGGATGTAGCTATAATCATACCGTTGCGCTGCTGGACGCGCTTCACCACATCAGCTGGCAGGTTACATCTGGCAGAGATCAGATCTCGACAGCGAGCTCTGCCGCTCCACGTGCCCCTGCCCCGCCGACCCCACACACAAGCTGTGTGCCTCACGGACGATCTTCTTCGTTTCATCCCTCAAGATTGATGCGGACAAGGAGGGACACGGACGCGGCCTCGGCGCCCCTGGTTCACCGCTGAGACCCTCGGGATCTAAGCTTTCGGCGCGTGAGGGCGATGCTGATTTCTGACGCGTTGTTGTCCAGTTTAGTGTCCTCCTCGGAGGACTTCTGACCGAGGAAGCAACTGTAGCCATGCTTCTTTGTGCTCGAGCACGGGGCGGTGGTCGTCTGGCTGACATGATGAATATTCGACACCTTCTTCACCTCGAGCGATACATACTCTCTCACTTGCCTGATCCACCCCCACATCTTCTAGCTGCTCGTCGCCATCAGTCAACCTGATACACCCGCCGCCGGTAAGTTTTAAGTCGTGACAGCATCTACATCCTTGTCGATCGAATCAGCCTCATCTATCACATACCTAGCCTTCAAAGGACGCGACTTTCCTGCTGGTAGACCTACCTTTGGCCAGTCCTTTCGCCTCCCGTTGAGCTCCTTTCCCTCACCCATCTCTCGCTTGCGGTGTCAACAGTGGCTGATGATCAAGGTTCGACCCACACCGCGTAGGCAAAGGACGAGGGACGTTTCACAACCGTTCCCGAGGCCGTCCTCAGTGAGTGTCCACATTCCTACTTCCTCTCCATCTCACTCTTCCCATCCTTCCCCACCCGTCCGTTGTACCCAGACGCGGCCAATATGGCTGACTATCATAGCAAGCGAAGGACGGCTCCAACGACCAAAGGTCCGTCCCTTGGGCCGTCGGCGCAGACGCGACCGTCTATCTGGTTGAGCAGGTAGGTTGTTGACTGGACTTGTTTACCCCGTCCTGTGATCGCATATATGCCCCTCCTTCCCCCTCAAGGACCCCTTCAATCGTACCCCTTCTTACAGTTCTACAGCAAGGAGATACTCAAGATCAACCACTGAATCTCCTAGCCCAAGCTCGCAATCTCATCCTCAACGGCCACGCCGCCGCTTCTCATCAGTGCTGCTCCACTCCGAGCGATACCGATAGATACGTCTCGTGAGTCAATAGTCTTCCACTCAGACCCCTCTCGCGGGGCGTTTCCAGGCTTGGGAAACATCACCTAAGCGGGACGTTCCCCTCTCGACTGCCCTGTGAGAGCCTCCTTCAAGTGGAGCCTAGCTGACGCGCATCTCTCTGCTCGCTCATCTCTCCTTCTTTACGCTCTCGTCTACCACTCAACGGACCCCTTTGCGACTACCCCCTTCAAACACCCCCGGTCATCCTTTCCGACGTCGCATCTCTCTCTTACCTCCACCTCGACCGACTGCGGCTATCGCCTACCGCGCACTTTCCTTTGTAGTCCACCGCCTTTCTCACCTCTCCGCTCCCGCCTCAGCTGGTGCGACACCACGGTAAGCTCCACATCCTTCGCGAGGCGCTTGAAGGGGGTGCCAGTGCAGCATGGCCGCTTCGGGGGCGATGGGGAGCAGTGCTGACTCGCTCTAGGCTCTTCCATCCTCCAGACCGCCAGTCCTTAAAGGGCGCGCCCATCTCCCGTTGACCCCCTCAACGCCCATCGATATCTTCTACTTGCTTATCCTTCCAAGCAATCCCTTACCATCTTCAACGCCCTTCACCATCTACCCACGCCCTTCACCATCTACCCACTATGACTCTCCAGCTCCAGTCTTCGAGCTTTGAGCATCGCCCGCACTCCCACCACGGTATCGCCACCCACTCCCCGGCCCCTTCGCCACCCCGGATCCAGCGCCCCGTCTCGCAGGCGTCGGTCCATCTCGCGCCCCAGTCGGTCCTTCCGTCTCCGGCGCCGAACCATGAGCAGTTCTCGGCTCTCCCCTACACCAGTCTCCCATACCGCCCGTACCAGCCAGGTGGCTTCCCCCTCCCTTCGCCCCAGCAGCAGTTTGCCTACCCCAGCAGTGCCCCGCCCATGGCCTTTTACCCCAGCAGCAACGCATACGACCCCCGCTCTATGCCCATGATGCGTACCGTCTCGCACGCCCACCCTCTCAACTCGGCGGACCAGACCGCCTCATCTCGCTACTCGTCCTCTCCCCACCTCACCGCCATGGACGCCCCCGCGTCCGCCTCGTATCAGTGGCAGATGGGTACTCCCGCTCTCTCCGTTCAAGAGCCTACGGAGCGCCACATCAACCCCTCGGTATTCAGCAACAATAGCAACTACCCCATGTCCCGCTCCACCTCGGGCGCTAGCGATGCGGCCGAGGCTCAGCGCCTCCTCACTCCCCACTTTGAGTACAGAGAGCAGCTCTCCCCCGCCGCGGCCGACATTCGCAAGGTCTCGGATACGCTCGGCGGTCAGCGATACCAAGGTCTCGAGCGGTATAACGCCCCACCAGGTTATCCCCAGCCCCAGCCGCAGTACTGGGGCAGGGACCCGCAGACCGGGTACCAGTACGCCGTCAAGCAGGAGCCGCAGTATCAGCAGCAAGAGGTGGCGCCTGAGCCGGAGAATGATTATGAGAGGGAGCGGATGGAGCAAATCTCGGGGAACAGAAAGTTGTTGGAGACGCTTGGGCTCGGTGGTCAGCCAGTAAGTCTTTCCTATAGTAAAGTGGCTATGCTGACTTCCAGCGCCCCGCTCGTCAGATGAGCACCTCGGATATGCGCGGTCGAAAGGTCACCACGCCCAAGAGGAGGCTCCCGGTTGATGCAGACCAAGGTAAGCTCATTGTCAGGCATAGCTGATATCAGTCCGCTCTTCCCCTCGTATCGCCTCGCAACACCGCAACGTCTCCTACATGGACCTGGACGGCGTGCCTGGCTCCGAGCACAGCGACGACTCTTACGAAGACGACGTCATCTACGAGGAGGACGACTTCCGCCCGGCCAAGCGTGGTAAGGGGTACAAGCAGAGTCGCAAGGCTTCTTATGCGCCAAGGGTGAGTCTTACCTCTCGTCAAAGCTAATATTAGGCTCGCAAGCAAGACGTCCAGCTCTCCCTTTGGGGTCTTCTCCAGGTCTACCCCCAAATCCCCGATCTATACCCCCTCTTCTACTACACCCTCAACAACGATCTTACCATCAACCCGGACTCCGTCCCCCTCATCGGCTCTATCCCCTCGACTGTCACGCCCCTCGAGAAGGCCGATATCCTCCGCGGCTACTTCCAGCGCGGCCGTCGCGTCCTCGCCCAGCTCGACAACTTCACGGGTCGCTCGGACCGCAAGTACGAGGGACCGGAGGAGCGCTGGCCCGAGATGGACCACCATACCCGTATCGCGGTAAGGGATGTCCGGCGCAAGATCGTCGAACGGTGCGAGAATTACAAGTACACCCGGCGTGATATCCTTGACAAGTGAGTTCTTTCTCTTTGATGGTGGACTTGACTGATCAGCAGGAACGTTGGGAAGCACAAGTGGCAGCAGATCGAGGTCGGTATGATCGAGTGGAAGTTTGGCATCACCGTCGGCGACCCCGCTGGCGACTTGTCCAACGTTACCCTCACCCTCCCCACCCCTCCTCCCGGCGCCATGATCCAGCAGCAACAGCAGCAGCAGCTCGCTCCGGACTACCACCAGCAGCGCGTCATCCGACCCATGCCCTCCCGCAGCCGTCTAGTCTCCTCAGCCAATCGCTCGGCCTCCATCACTATGGGCGAACCCTCCTCCGCCCCCAGCTTCCCTGGTACCGCCCTCAGCCTCCCGTACGGCGGCGCGCACTACGGCTCCGTCTCGCCCGCACCCCCCATGTACGGTGAGGACCAGGTCCCGATGACGGTCCAGATGCCGGTCCTTATGGGTACCCCGATGCCCTCGGCCGCGCTCGCTCCGCCCATGTCCGCGCCGGGCATGGCCAGTATGGATCCTCGAGCAAGCGTCGGCGTCCACACCCCCATCCACGTCATGAGCTCAAGTCCCATGGCTGGGGAGGCAGCAGGAGGGGATGCAAGGGGAGTCAAGAGGGAGAGGAGTGGGAGTGCCCATACCGAGCCGGAAAGCGAGGAGGAGTAGATGGCGGCTACGTTAGGAACGTTAGGAAAGCGAGGAAGTGGCAGGCTATAGTCAAGGTCAGACGATACCCCTTCCTTTAGATACCCCTTCTCCTTGTGATATGGACGCTTGCAAGACTTGTAGTACTCTATTTTCGGACGGCGATCTCAGTGTGTAGATACTATATTGGGCGGTGTAGACTATAGTTGGCGAGCTGGGGGTGAACAACCTGGACCACTGGGTGGCTCAGTGGGATATGCAGATCATGTCTGAGACTCTTTTACTCCCTCGCGCTGATCACTCGTGCTCATCTGGTCTTGCAGGTATACGATAGGTCACATCCTAGCGCCTGCATCCATATTGAGTGATTGCCAGCCGAAATACCTGAGGATGACGGTCCTCCATACGACGCGCCCGAACGACGACGCTCTGGCCATCACGAAGGCCGGAAAGCACGCGACAGGAAGATGCCAAAATCGCTCGGTGTCTCGCGTAGTCCTTTGTCTGGCCAAGCGGAAGTCGTGAGTCGTGCTCGATGGTGAACGTGTGGAGCCCTCAAGCCAAATCCACATTCTGCCCAACATCCATCATTGGCTCACATCGTCTCCCGACTCTGTCTTAGCGTACTCATCTACTTTCCCGCCTCCACAACCCGTATCTGCCATGTCAGTACCAACCAGGAACTGTACCTACTACCGCCTGTCCCAGCCTATCAGGCGCATCGGATCAGGCTCCTACCTCCCCTCCCGCGGCGCCGGGTCCGTCATCTGCCCCAGTCACCGGAACAAGGAGATCAACGCCAACACCGATACCCTCGACAAGATCTCCCACGAGATGCCTCTCGTTGTTGTCGATTCGGTCAACAAAGACCTCCCAAGCTTGCGAGCCGAGCTGAAGAGTCTGTTCGACAATGCGAATACAGTCGTCTCGGATGGGTGGGACCCGCTGTTGACCTGTATGGTCATCGCTCGAGAGAGCGAGGAGCCCGAGGACAAGACAAGAGTGTCCGCGTACATCAGCTGGTGGGTCCAAGCTTCGACCGCTTTCAGTCTGCGCCGAGAGTTGCGAAATGCCAGACCGGCGGAGATGCCTGTTGCTTGTCATTCTATCGACTGAGGGGGGATGCCGACTGGCGAGTGTACTACTGTTGTCTATCAGCAGATGTGATGCCAGGATCTGCGTTGGCTTGGTCAGATGTATCAGTATCCAGTAGTGATTGACTCCTAAGTGCACTGCTTGCGCACCGGTCATCGATGTGCAGGAGCGTACAGGATACATGTTCATGTCGAGCAGTCTCGGACCGTGAGGCCAGGTCGACCGTCTGCGACTACTGATATAGCACCGGCTCCCCGCCAGTCTGTGGGAACTTGAGCTTGGCGAGCAGCACCGCGTCCCTACGCTATCAGCTCCGCCATCTCCAATGAAATGCAAACTCACCTCGGACCAGCAGCCACCGTCGACACCTTGCAGATATACTGCAAATCCGGCTCCTCCGGTACCCTCTGCCTATTCACTGTCCACGTCCCCCATGGCTCCCCGGGCTTCCGCTGCGACTCGGTGTGAACGTTGAACATGAGCGTCGTACGAGGCGCAAACTGCGATACCGCCATCGCGTAATTTTTGGCCGATAGCGTTCCGACGACGATGATGACATCCTCTTTGGCGATGTGGTGGGCGTCGCCAAAGTACTTGAGGATCCAGTCGATATTGCCTAAGAGGTAGGCACGGGCCTCGGCGTGGGATTTGTAGATCTCAAAGTCGGCATCGTCGACGACGAGGACGGCTTGCTTGCCTCCTGGCTTGAGAGGGAAGGGGTATTGACGACTGATTGATTTCCTGCCATATCAGCCATTTCCTAGTACTGAGCGAAGCCGACTTACTGAGACTTCTCGCCCGACGACTTGATAAAGTTCATCCACGCCGAATGTACCAGTCCCCATCCCTTATCCGCCACATTCTGCACACTTACCGCCGCCCGCTTGGTCGCCAACGCCGCAAACTCATCCATCTGCAGCACCGGCGGGAGCTCCTTGATATCCGGCGAGGGCCGAGTGGCATCGAGGAGCCGGACGAATTGACCGTGACGGATATAGCCGACCGAGCCGAGTGGGATCTCGGCGGGGAACCATAGCGGGATGCTGAGCCGGTCGTCAAAGTCATGATTGAGATAGTGACGGTAGTGGCGCTCGGCGCGGTCCGACTCGAAAGATATCTCCTTGGCGAGATGCTGCGGGATCGACCGGATGGAACCGCTAGAGGAGGAGAAGTCGTCGTCGTCTGGTAGGGGACGATGAGCGAGCTGAGGAGAGAGCACATGCTGCTCCTCCTGCACGATCGACTCCGGAGCAGTGTCAAAGGAGCCTGTAGACGTGCTCGGAGTCTGCTCCCGCGACTCGAGCCGACTCTTGTCCGATTCGATGATGCTGATGAGGTCCTGGACGATGATCTCGAATGTAGGCCGGTCCTCCGGCTCGTGCGCCCAGCACCGCTCGATTAGCGCCCAGAGCCGCCTCGGGAGTATGTCCGGCCTGTCTGGGCGATGCCCATCCAGTACCGACTGCCGGACGACGACGTCATCGACGTAGCCGTACGGGATGATCTGGCCGACCTGGACGCTGTACAGCTCGCAGATCGTCACGGCAAAGGCGTAGACGTCGCAGGCGGGCGTGAGTGGCTTGCCGAGTAGTCGCTGAGGACTTTGCCACCGCATGGTTCCGCTGGCGCAGCGATGTGCCTCCGGATCTTCGTCCGAGCGGCTGGTGAGGTCGGATTTGAGCCGGCTCAGACCAAAGTCGCAGATGAGAGCTTCGCCGATATCGCTGACAAGGACGTTTGCGGCCTGGATCAGCTATGACAATCATGAGCTTACCTTAAAGTCGCCGTGGCATATGTCTCGACTGTGAAGGTATTCCATCCCCTCAGCCATCTCGCGAACGAGGTGGAGTAGGCGCTGACGACGTTCCGCGTTAGACCAGGAGCTCTTGCGTATGTGATTGAGCACGTTCCCGTTCTGCACTGCCGGGTCAGCTTGGTCTCAGGACAAGAAGCCGAAGTGGGGCTATTGCTCACTATATGGTGACACCATGAACCAGGGAGGCGGACCAGTCGTGGATGACGCGCCAAAGAACGGAAGGACGTGCTTGCTTCGCAGGCGCCGCCAGACTTCCACCTCGGATATAAAAAGTGAGCGGTCGATATTGCGGTGTAGCTCCTTGATGGCCACCGTCTCGCCTTGCCACTTGCCCCGCCAAATCGTTGAGAAGAAGGAGTTTCTGGACATCAGCCTTAGCTCCGAGACATTGGGAAGACGCACGCTAGGCGAAGCTCGTGAGTGATCTCCAGCGAGGTGATTGTCCAGTCTGGAACTCCATAGTCCGTACTCGCTGAGCGTCGACGGAGCACCTGACAGTCAGCTCCATATAAGGTCAGTGTTCACTCACATCTAGCGCCTTCTCGATAAAGATCCGTCTCGGATCACTCTTATCCTGTGCCGAGCGGAACCCCAAGGCTTTGACCGCAGGCGTAATCGTGGTCCCTTCCGCCTCTGCCGATCCCACCTTCTTTCCCATCTCATCCACCGATCCCGACTGAATTGCTTCGGCGGAATTGTCGCTCGTCTGCGCCTGGACGCTGAGGTGGCTGGTATCCGTCCTGCCGCTCGAGAAGGATGCCGATGTAGATTGTCGCCCCGAACCGAGGCCGGTGGTACCTGATGGCCCGGGAAGCCACAATGGATTCGCACCGGGAAGACCTATCGCGAGGCTCGGCGGACTCTCGATGAGTTGGGCTGAGTATGAGTTGATATCTGGCGATCCGCCTGGCGAGTGGGCATAGTCGGTCGCTTGACCTTGCTGATATCGGATATTGTCGAGGGCGCGCTGGAGAGTCTTGATCGCTTCTTGTTGCTCGTCCGCTGTCCTGTCAGCTAGGTACTAGGAAGGGAATCTCGACGACGGACACCGACGCAGATGAGACAACTCACCCTTCTTGACCAACATGGTAAGGAGGACATTCTCGTCCTTGATACCCTCCTGTATCATATCTCTCAGTATCAACTGATCCGCCTCCCTATCCAGCCTCGCCTGCTCTAGCATCGCATTCGCCGTCATCGCCGCCTGGACGTGGAAGATGTTGAAGAAGCACTCGATCTCCGCTGTCGCTTCGGCGATTTGGTCCTGGACCTCTCCAACATGAAGCCAGAGCTTGAAGAAGGGTCGGCTGGCGAGCTTGGTGAGGAGGAAGGCGGTATTGTGGACATTCCTGCCATGTCAGCGATGCCCCCTTCCCAGAGATAAGACTAACGTGAGGAGCCGGTTGATATCCTGCCGAAAGTCCAGCGAGACTTGGCCATGTTCGGTTCGAAGCTTGCTCATCACAGCAAACAGAATATCGGCACATCGCTCGACCTGCTCATCAGCACGATCCTCGAGCACGAGATCGATTCACGCATGCCTCAGGACGTACCAATCGCAAAGCGGCGACCTTTGCTATCCCGACCGCCTTGGCCATCTCCAGCATCTGCACCACCGCCTGCACCCCCGGCCCGACCATAGGCAGCCAGACACTCGCAGCCGACAAGGCCTGACCCGCAAAGCCTAGCCATACCGCGGCCGTCTGCATCCGGTCCACCGAGGTCTGAGCGGTCTCGACCGCGCGCCTGAACTGGTCGCCACTTGTCGGAGCGGCGGGGGCGTTGGCGGGGCCGATCGAGCTGGCCGAGCGGAAAAGGGGGTCATTGCCGGTGATGGAGATCTGGAGGGCATTGGAGGTACCGGAGGAACTTGTTACGAGGCCTGGAGTGGGCGACGAGCTGGAACCGGGCACCGGAGCGGGTGAAGGGGTGGCGATGGGGTGTCCACCAGGTGGGGAGCTGACACTTGGACCTTGGGCCTGCGAAGAGCTACTAGGCAGAGGGGCGACGTTGGGTGTGGGGGACGCGAGCGAAGCGTGGAGGGGAATGGTCGTCGAGCTAGGAGTGACGGTCGTACCCGTACTCGGTGCCTTTGTGTCGGCAGTGGGCGCTGCACCAGTATTTGAGCCTCTGGCGTCCGAAAGCAGCGAAGAAGAGGACGGGGTCCGTTTGTCCTTGCTGAAGAAGTCCTTGACTTTGGCTGCCAATTTGCCACCCTCCTTCTCGGTAGCGCCGCTGTCTGACGAGCTGGACTTGTCGTCGGTGGAGTGGACGGAAGGGCGAAGAAGGTTCGAGAAGGAGGGAGATTTGCGCCGAGGGGATGATGCCGGAGGTGGGGATAATGATCGGACGATCTTGGGTGGCGTAGGGGGAGGTATGGGGGACGACATGGTGAGAAGAGGGTGAGGCTCGCTCAGGGAAGAGGATTCTGTCTGGTCAGCCGACGGAAGGGAACGCGGAGTCAACATGGCGGGACTTACTATGAGGAGCGTGGTGGTTGCATGTGATGGTATCGCTCACCGAATCTGTGTGGAGTAGTATCAGAAGAAGAGTCAATGTCAAAAGCTGTGAGCGGTGAAGCAGTTGAGTCATCCTTTGGAATCCATTCCATCCTCCTTTAGCTCAAACTTTCTTTCCATCTGCCGCAGCCCAATGAAAGAGGTCTAGCGAGCGGAGTGTACAGTTTGCCATTAATTCGTGACAAGTTTCTGAGCCGGGAACCTGCTAGTCGATGAATCGAGCATCTGAATGGCGATGGTAAGAATGGATGGCTGCGAGTCTACCCAGATGAGGTGACCTAACCTGACTCGAGTCCGGGTCGTGGATGCCGTGTTGCGCCTGCACAAATCATGATGAGATGAGAGCTTTATAGCAGAATCAGGATGCTGAAGCGCCTTGCGATATGTACAACGGTCAGTTAGGAGGCAGAGATGAATAGAAAGGCTTTGGATCCCGGGCTGACAGCACGCTGACGGTCGCTGACCAGGTGTCAGACCGATGACGTTTTGACCGCTGACAACTCCGCATTCCTCGTGAGCCTCTAGCTTTGTTGACTTCCTTCTTCCTGGAAGCTTGATCCGCCCGCCCCAAGCAGCCGGGCCACTGGTAGGCCGAGCGCATGCGCAGATGCTGCCGCTACTTCTGTACACCCTGGTCTTCGGGATAGCGATCTTCATCGCGCTCGCTATTGTCTGCCTCCCGCCAGTCCAGCGCGAGTGAGTTGCCCTGGACTTTTGGGCCGTCAAGCAGGATCGCTCACACAGGCAGACTTATATACTTGCACCATGCGAGCTGGCCTTTCGGCTCCTTAGCTATTCCGGAGAAGTTCGGTCTGGCGCGTAAGTCTCAGCTGCTTCGTCAGACAATGCAACCTGCAAGCTGACGTGGTGGCTGCCAAGACTCGGAACTTCTACCTCGAAACCGCGGACGGGAAGCGTATAGGGATATGGCACATCCTGTATGTACGTCCCGTACTAGCTCGGAGCCATCGCTTCCGAAGACTGCGCTAACCGAACAGTCCAAGATCAGTCTATCAAACCGTTACTGGCGGCTTACCCCCTCGCGAGCCATTCGGTAAAGAAGTCTACGAGAAGGCTTTGACGCAAAGACCGACTATACTATTCTTCCATGGGAACGTGAGTCTGGCCCTTCCGCGTCACGTCGCGAGCTCATCAGCAGGCAGCGAACAGGGCAGTCCCATACCGGATCCGCATCTATACTGCGTTGTCTCAACAGCTGGACTGGTGAAGTTGTCCCTAGTCCCCGCGTGGTACCCGGCTGACTAGTTAGCAATGTCATCGTCACAGACTATAGGGGCTTCGGCGACTCCACTGGTAACCCAACGCCCGTCGGCCTCATTATCGACGCTCGAACGGTATACGACTATGTTACTAGCACAATCGACCGGCAGCGAATACCTAGACAGGGAGACGCCGAAGCAGGCAAGGCAGATATCCTCTTGATGGGACACAGTCTGGGTACAGGTGTGATATGTCAGCTATCAGCTCAGCTGTCCGATGAAGGTGTGTCATGTGTGAGCCTGGCCTGCAGGAGCTAATCTGCTAGGTCTCACCGAGCGGCTCAGGGCGGTAGTCCTCGTCAGCCCCTTCACCTCCATGATGGACGTCATCCAGGACTACACTACGCTTGCTTTCTTGCACTTCATGGCCCGTCTCGGCCGTATACCTGGAGTAGCTCGTAAGCGGTCCACACGCCGCCTCTCAGCTTAGATCTGACATCAGCAGCATTCCTCAAGTTCGCTGTAAAGCACCAATTCGAGTCAATCGTCGCCCTCCCCGTGAGCCCCAGTCTCCTTCGAGAGCGATCGAGCTGACAGGGTAGCACATATGCCCCACCATCCCTATACTCCTCATGCACGCGCGAAACGACTGGACGATCCCTATCACCCATTCCCGCCGCCTGTTCCAGACTCTCCGGGATCGAGAAGGTCCCGACGCCGACCCAGCTGACGTGGTGGAGATGGAGGTACCTCACTGGGGACTAGTAAGCACATTCAAGGGCAAGGGAGGGGGAGAGGTCATGTTCTGGGAAGGGGAATTAGGAGGACATAATGATCTGGGATGGACAGAAGGGGGACTGGATCTAATCAAGAGGATAGCTCGAATATGATCTCCGTTGTCGGGCAGGTGCAGCCATTTGACTTTTGTTAAGCCACAATCCCATCAAACGATACTATTACAATAACAGTCTTCAACCTTCGTCGCCTCCTTCAGCTGCCGATACTGCATTGCATGCTCTTCCGCCTTCGCCCAGGCCTTCTTTGCCGTTTGTCGTTTGAGTCACGCGTCCAGGTGCCCTTGCTGCATGTGTCAATAGGTTCTGACATGACTGCAGGAATGAAGAGTAATCGAGGGTGCAGTGCGTCTGGGATCCCCCAAGCGGACAGCTGGACAGCTGAGTACCAAAGACGTTCCTTCCACCTGTCCTCAGGCTGGCGGGCCATCACGCCATCGGAAGGCGAGGCCAGGGTTGGGTACGGTTCAGCGCGCTGGGGTTCAGCTCGCCAGCGCGCAAGAGGGAATGGCCCGATCACAGATCACGGCGCCCGAGGAAGCACCGCCATGTCAGTACGACTACGCTGCCCAACTGGACGGACAATCTGAACGGATCACATGCATTGGCTCGAATAGCACGCCAGATCTCCTTAGTCTGCGATGGTCAGTCGCAATAACACTCCCCTTCCAGCTCCGCCGCCTTCAGCTGTCTGTGAAGCATCGCATGCTTGCTCGCGTCGTCCCAGGCCGCCTTTGCTGCGTCCGTCGCCTCTTTCGAGGTGTCACTTCTGCTAAGAAAGTCCTCGAGCGGTTGCCACGTCGGTAAGCCAGTCTCGGTTGTTCGCGCCAATAACTGCTGCAGCCCATCGCGCAGTCTGACCTTGCTCACTTCAGAGTTGGTTGAGACGAGGTCCAGGACCCGACTTGAAGCGGTCGTATAACCGCGTTCCGCTTCGCGTAAGGCTGGACCGTAGTGTTTCTCGCAAAGAAATTTGGTAGCCAGGTCGCCGGTCGCAGCAAGCGTATAATGACTCCAGACGGACCGATAGTCATCTTCGGGATCGGGAGGCCCGTTGTCGTTGAAGCAGGAGGGTAGCGGGGATTTCGACATGATAGGCCGGGTTTGCGAGCTGGAGAGTAGAGGAAGAAGAGGGATTTGCCACCATCCCCGCAGGTCTTGTTGTCAGCGTGAGTGACGCTTCCTTTCTCGCCTGACGGAGTATGCTCGTCACGTGGCCAAGCGAAGGGATGTCGCGACCGGCGGGCAAATTGAGGCCCACACTGGTCACTGGTCTAGCATGTTCGATGAAGCTGAGTGCCTCAATTCTGTAAGTCAGTCAATTAGCTGCTACCGCCCTCAGTTGTGTCAGCGTTTGGAACACAACGTCGCGGCGCCAAGCCTGAACCTCGAGAGTATCGAGTCGTAAATGGTGAATGAGATATGATACAACACCGCCCCAAAAGGCCTGATAACTGACTCGCTCACTCCCTACTCGACGTGCATCCCCATACCCATCCCGCCGCCAGCGGCACGAATGAGCCTGCTCTCCTTCCCTCCTGCTCCCTTGCCCTTGACCATTTGCCTGGCCATCTCTCCCCGCTGCTTGGCGCGGACCTTGATCTTCTCCTTGATCCGCTGGCGCTCGCCTTGTTGCTCGACGGGGACCGCGCGGGGCTGAACGAGCTCGATATGCCGTGCGACTTCTTGTGCGGATTGTGCGAGGTCGCGGTTCTTGTTGCCAGCCATCCTATTGAGTCAGCTAAGCCCAGGGAGTCTCGGTGTCGCTTCAACTGACCGGTTCTTCCAGAATGCCTTTTCTCGCTTTGCCCGGATCTCCTGTACCCGTTCCATCGCCTTGAGCGTTGTGGCGACAAGCTCTCGGTCGTATCGGACGGGGACGTTTCTGCGCTTCTCAAACTCAAAGGTGGAGTCCTAATCGTCAGCGCCGGTTCTCCTGGATTGGATGACCAAGCTGTATCTCCAGCCCGCCCAACTCGACCAATGCCTTTGCCACCAACACCGTCCACCCGACCACAACTGGGGCTCTCGCCTTTCAAAGTGCCGATCCACGCCAGTAGGACAACTCACAATGACCATCTCTTTGCCATTTGCCCTCCTGAACGCCTTGGTCCACCTGACCTTCCTCGGGTTCCGCTTCATCTTGAAGTTCTTGTGGCACTTGGACCCACAGAACCGGAAACATTTGGCGTCATTTCTGACAAACATGTTCCCGTTCCCGGGGTAGACGTTTGTGGAGCAGAAGTAGCACTTTTCGATACGCATCTTGGTGTGAGTGTGGGTGAGGTGGGTATGGTGAAGGTGAGGATAGAGTGAAAAATCGCCGCAGAGACAAGCCGAGCCAACGGACGCTGGAAATCTTGGGATAAATCATCCGTTAGTACAGCCAAGGAAATAGATCGACAGGCGGCGGATCCCGCTGCTTGTGTCCGATTCCGGTTTATTTTTCCGCTTTTCGGACAAGGCTAAAATTGATTTTCCCTGATCCGGCTGGTGCTGCGGCTCGGGAGCGGCGCTGGCGGATTTACCCTGAATCTGCTATGTACGACGCGATGTGTGAAGCGAAGAGAGAGATCAGATTGAACGTGTCGAGCAGCAAAAGTTCATCACGTCCATCTCTTATCTCAAACAGTACTAGGCAGCCTTACACCTCAGCTCAACACCTCACGATCCCTTACCCCACACTCCTTTTCTCGCAAAAATGAAGATGAGTCCAGCGCAGCGCCTTGTGGACGTTCAGTGCGCAGTCGAGCTCCAGCTTATCCCCTAGTACGCTCTGATTCTTGTCGGCGGTTTCGGTACACGTCTTAGGCCCTTGACTGTGAGTTGAGCTTGCGCGCCGAGGCTGCAGTCTTTGTAATACGCTGGAATAGAGCTGATTAGGCCAGCTGTCATGGCCCAAACCCCTTGTCGAGTTCTGTAACAAGGTATGTTGGGCTCCATCCGCGGGAACGCGTTCCAGAGCTGATGGTCCAGGCTATGATGTATGTCCGACGCGCCCTCCTTCGCGTGGCCTCTGCTGAGCAGCGATGATTATTGCGCGCCTGGACCTAGCTCACCATGTACAGCTTGCACCAGATCGAGGCCCTTGTCAAGGCCGGCGTAAAGGATATCGTCCTCGCTGTCAACTACCGTCCCGAGGTCATGGTGTCGGTCCTAAAAAAGTCAGAAGAAGAGTTCGGCATCAACATTCACTTCTCGGTGGAAACAGAACCCCTTGGCACTGGTGAGTCCCGTCGAGCTGTGTGTGCAGAAGCGGAAAGGGACAGACTTTCGGCGTCTGGGCGAAAGGGGGGACAGTAGCTGATCCCATCAGCCGGCCCGCTCGCCCTCGCTCGTGATATCTTGGGCAAGGACGACACCCCATTCTTTGTCCTTAACTCGGACGTCACCTGCACATATCCCTTCGAGGCTTTCCGGTGAGCTGACCTGCCTATTGTTCGGTGCACAGAGCTGACAAGCAGTGACTTCCACATCGCCCACGGCGCCGAGGGATCCATCATGGTGAGCTGCATCGAGGTCTGGCGTTGTCCGTACTCAGCTCACAACTATAGGTCACTAAAGTCGCGGAGCCCTCAGCATACGGTGTCGTGGTCACCAAGCCCGGAAGCACCGTCATTGACCGGTTCGTCGAGAAGCCCGTCGAATTCGTCGGAAACCGTATCAACGCCGGTATCTACATGTTCAACCCTAGCATCCTGAACCGTATCGAGGTGAGCTTAAGTGATCGCGACTTGACGATTGTTTCAGCAGCTGACATGTAGCTCCGACCGACTTCCATCGAAAAGGAGATCTTCCCCGAGATCGCTGCCGACGGACAATTGCACTCTTACGATCTCGCTGGCTTCTGGATGGATGTCGGACAGCCAAAGGATTTCATCTTGGGTACGTCGTGATCTCATTGGCAAACATAGTCCTGGCTGATTTGGCAGGTACCTGCCTCTACCTCTCCCACCTTACCGCAACCCACTCGCCCCTCCTCACCGACCCCGCAAAGAACAAGTGGGTGTACGGCGGTAACGTCCTTGTCGACCCTGTAAGCTCAAGCCCGCTCTCTACTACAGAGTCAGAGCGTCGGCTAACATCTCAGACCGCAGAAATCGACCCTACCGCCGTCCTCGGCCCCAACGTCGTCATTGGTCCCGGTGTGAAGATTGGCGCGGGTGTCCGTCTCCAGCGATGTGTCATTATGAGCAACGCGGTGGTCAGGGATCATGCGTGGATCGCGAACAGTATTGTTGGCTGGAACAGCAATGTCGGTAGATGGGTGAGTTGGGCTTTGCTCTGACGAGTGGTAAACAGCTGACATCCAGACTCGCGTGGAGAACATCACGGTTCTCGGTGACGATGTGACGATCAAGGACGAGCTGTACGTTAACGGAGCGTCTGTCCTGCCGCACAAGAGCGTGAGTATATGATCCCTTTCCGCGAGGTTCCAGCTGATCAGACAGATCTCGAGCAGCATCACCGAGCCCCGAATCGTCATGTAGAGGACCCTCTGCACACTTTTGCGCATATCTTGAACATGGTTTGGCTGGAATTCTGGGCACTTCTGCGAGGGGATCCAGAGTGCTTTATGCATTCTTATCTCATAGCTCTCTGCCCATGACTCTCAATTGCGCTTGCTGCATGCTCTCACATATAGAGGAGACACGATAGATCTGTCACAGCCATTTCAGCTGACATCGACCGCGTCAGTCGAGATGTCCCACCGGATGGGCCGAAACCTCGGGTGGGGAAGGTCCCGGGGTAAATTCCCATGTTTGGCCGGTGCCCGCAAGCGCGACTGCAAAGCTGCTGCATCTGGCGCGTATCGTGCTGTGCATAGCATCGACTACTCTTCTACCTACCCATACCCACCCTCTTCATCCCTGTGCCCAACTCGAAGCTGCAACCCGACCCTCCCACGCCCTTACTGCCGTCACCAAAGACAACGTTCAAAACAAACAAAATTACGAAACGCGCAAACCCCCTTGCTCCTCGCACGTCCCCTTACTTAGCCTTACCTTGGCGCGTGTGTCTTCTCCTTCACCTCTTATCTCCAGAATATCCCTCTTTGTCGATTTGCGACCCACGGCTCGACCCTCCACGCTCCTTTCTTCACTGCTCGTCTGTGGCTCCAAGATCGGACGGTCAATCAGGAATCGACGCGTCCTCGACACTCTTTTTTCCCGGCGACACAAACCTTCAGCTGGGCTTCAAGGACCATTACGCTTGATCTGTCATACCCTGCCCCCTTGAGGACCGCTTTGCTGCGTGACACCATCATCTAAGACAAGGTATGTTGAGCCCGGCCATCGAAGAAGGAACTGGCTTCGCGGGCGAAGGGGAAGTATGAGTTGATCGATGGCGCGGGAGGCTAGCTAGCATAAGGGTCGTTGACCGGGAACGACTGGGAGCAGAGAAAAGGTGGTCTTTGGCGGGAGTGTGGAGCGAGCAGTCTGAGCGGCAAACACACTCGGCGGACCGCGGCAAGGACTCCTTTGATCGGCGGATCAGTGGTGGATCTCCTTTGATCCCCATGCCATACGAACGTTTCGCGGCGTCGTCTGGCAGGGCGTTCCTCATCCTTCGTCTTCACCTGCTCTGTCATAACCACATTCGATACCCAGACTGACGCATCAGCATCTCGCATCTATCACCATGTCTCCATCACCTCAAATCACCCCCGCCCCGCTCCCCTTCCTCTCGACCCCCTCTTCCCCTAACAACGACGTCGAAAACAACCTCGTCCCTCGCCAAGCGTCCATCGTCACCCAGACTGTCGTTGCGTCGACCGGTATTTCCGCGCCAACGGGCTCGTCCAGCTCGTCCAGCAGCGCGTTCCCGGTAGCTGTGGCGGTACCGGCGTTGATTGGTGGGATGGCGTTGGCGCTTCTCGGCGCGTTCGGATACTGGTGGTATCAGCGCAGACGTACGAGGGAGCAAAAGGTGAGCTCGACAGACCTCGACGATGAAGTGCCTGGGACCCAGCTGACCTGCTAGCGTCGATGGGAAGCGCGTCAAAAGCGTCAAAACAAAAAGCGCGGCAATTCCAATGCCACTTCCCGTCCTTCCATCTCTGGAAGTCGCCCAACAGGCGGCCGATCCGGACTCAGCGACAAGGAGAAGGATATCGGCGGATTACCCGGCTCCATCCCTCCTGTTCCTCCACTTCCCACCCTGTCCAAAGAATACGGATACGGCCAGCCTCAGCCGCACGCGCCCGGCGGACAGACCTACCCCGGCCAAGGTCAGGGTCAGGCGTACGGTGGTCAGCCCCAGTACGCGCACGACCAGTACGCGCAGTACGACCAATACGGCCAGCACCCTGTTCAGCCCGGAATTGACGCGTACGGCGCCGCCCCCGCGACAGACCCCTTCGTACCCGCCGAGGAGGACCACGTGGAGGAGTACAAGCCAAACGGTCCCGCCGCTATCGCCCTCGCCGCTCCCGTTTCCGCTCCCAAATCCAACTCGCGTGGCGCAAAACGCGTCGAGCTCGCAGAAAGCAAGGTGGCGCGGGATCAGGCGGACCCAATGACTCGGTGGCGTCCCAACAAGCCGAGTCCGCTTGCCCTTGCGGCCGAGCAGAAGCGGCTCGAGGCGGGTGGCGCTTCATTGTCGCCTACCAGATCTACGGGTGGCGGGTACGGCCAGCGCACATCGCTTGAGCCACCCACCTCCGCCGGCGAGTCGAGCTGGGAGTATCAGGAGGAATTATCGACGCCAAACGACCCAAATTACTTGGATCGTCGGTCGGTCGAGGGTGGCGCAGGGCGGCAGGTCAGTGGGGAGTGGGGAGTGGCGGGCGAGGTGCACAGCGGCGCATCGGCCGGACCACAGTACGGTGCAGGGGCATACGGAAACGATCCGTATCTCTCCGCTCACGCTGGGCAGGAGGATGAGTCGGGCGGGTACAGGGCGCCAAGCGGACAGTACTCGGTCGACCCATACTCGGGGTATCATGGCGGTGCCGCTCCTGCGGCGGGCGGAAAGGCCAAAGTAGGCGGGTGGGTATGAGCTCGTCGCAATCTTTGGGTATCTGGGTCACGGGATCTGGTGGAAGAGAGAAGGGGGAGGACATTCTGATAGGGCCGATCCATATAACACATTACACTCATTTAGTCGGTAGTGCTTCGTTTGTACCCTTCTTTTTACTTTACTTTCGGTAGATAGGCGTCCCAGAACGAGGTATATCTAGTAGACGGATCTATATTGCCCATGTTGATGCAGCGCTATAGTGCTCTTTATAGTGCATCATTCTACAGACAGGGCCTCCAGCTCTGGATCAGGACTTATCAGGTCCAAGCTGAGATAGAACCCCTCCCATGTATCGCCATCCCCGGCCCCCTCGGCGCCTCCGACCCAGTCATATACGACCCTCGCCAGCTTCACCGCCTGATCCCTCTCCGCCTCGGCTGCTATCATCTTCTCGTCTGTCGGTGTAGCCGCGCCGGCCGGTTTGGGTGGGAGGGAGATGATAGGGTCTGGTCGTCGCGGGTACGAGTCATCTTTCCGCATAATGTCGATATCTATATCTTCTTCCAGGTCTTTTCGGCGGGTGAGCTCAGATTCGTCCTCCTGAGCGGTGTCAGCTAGTGATGTTCCCGTGCACGGGAGCGCATATCAGCTGGGATTTACGATATCAAACTCGTCCTCCCGCTCGTCGTACTCTACATTCTCCTCCAGCTCCTCGAAACCTGGCGCAAATGCCGCCCAGTTGTCCGGCGCGGTCGTCTGCCAGATCTGCACGTCTCCCGACGTTGTAGTGGACGCGATGATCGGTCTTGTAGGGTGCCACTAGGTGCATCAGCTCTGGTCCACATCTACAGGTTCCACACAGCTCACCTCGCAGTCACCCAGAGACTCCTTCGGCCCTTCCAGAACCTTTAACAATACTCCCGACTCCCTGTCCCAGACAAAGATGTTATGCGCCGCCTTGTGCCCCGCTCCGCCCATCACGAGCTCGCTATCGGGGTTGAAGCCTATAGCGTGCCATGGTGTTCTGTTGACCTGGTCTTGGAATCGATGAGAGGCGGTGAGGGCGCCCGAGTCAGGTGAGACGGACAGAAGGCGGAGTGCGCGGTCCGTTGCGGACGTGAGGAGATGTCTGGGGCTCAGCTGGGACTGCAGTACTACAGTAGATGGAGGGGACATACCGGCCCGAAGCATCAAATATGATTGATCGGATAGCAGAGCCAGTGACTGGTAGTCGGTGTGTTACCTACTTGGGTCAGCAGTGTTTGTGTCCCAGGCTGGCGGGACATACATAGCGAGTAACAGGATCTATCGTCAGGATCTTCCCCTTGGTCGTCCCGGCGTATATCCGAGAGCCGCAAGGTGAGAAGCTGGCGCAGCAAAGTGCTCCCCTGACAGATCAGCGAGCGCCCTGGCCATAGCTCATCAGCCAAAGCAAGAAAGAAGGAACGCACTTCTTCTGCGATCCCTCCGCTTCATCCTCATCGCCGGCCTGTCCAACCTCCGCCTCTGTGATATCTTGCAATACCCACTTCCCACCGCCCTTTCGCCGATCAATCAGCACAATCTCGTTGCATGTCAACGTGGCGAGTACGACGAGCGTCGTACGAGGGTGGAACTGCGCGGTAGCGACGGGAGCGTCCAGCCTGATGGTTGCTACTCGCTGGTGTGAGGAGCTTGCAGTCGAGGAACCGGCGCCGAGGGGATTGGTAGGCCGTAAAGAGGGCTGAGGGAGGACAGATAGGTCCCAGACGATACATGTCGAGTCGAGCGAGGCGGTCAAGAGGTACCGGTTATTCCTGGACCAGCTACCCAGTCAGCTCGAACCCCGGTGGCTGCAGCATTAGGACGGGTCGACACACCTCAGTCCTCCTACAGCCTTCACATGTCCTCTCAGCGTCCTAGCCACACCCCTGGTCTCGACGTCCCAGACATTGACAGTCCCGTCAAAGTTCCCCGCGGCGAGATAGTGCCCCGCGTATGGTCCAGACGGATTGAAATTGATGGCTGCCGCTTCGGTCTGGAAGGAGCCTTCGTTCGCCTCGGGGTATTTCTGCGCGAAGGGGTCTAGGCATCAGCATGAGGCAGGGATAAGGCTCAGCGAGGTGCTGTGGACTTACTGAGGAGTTGTTGCATGGCCGACAGATGATGGTGAGAGGAAGGATGTACACTCGAGGAATGTGTTGTGGAAATGTTGACTTTGGAAAGTGGAGGTTTCGCTCGCTCAACCGCCTCTCTCACTCGACCATAGAGCGCGATACAAGCCGCGCCTACGACTCGACCCAGCCCCTTCTAGCGTGTCAGAGAAGCAGTCCACTCGCTCGGACTCGTCGGCGGTCCTACAATCAGCATCACCAAGCCCTCCGCCACTCTCTCACTGGCTTCCCGGGTCGCGCGATGCAGGTCCGCCCATCTCTCGGAGGGGATCGCTACGTACCCCCTACTGCGCCGCATATCCCCAGCAGCGCGATCCAGTCGCTCATACCCCGTCTGACAACGACGATCAATGACATTGACGCGTTCAAGAACCTCTTGGGCCAGGGCGCCGCCAACGGGTCCATGCCGAACTGGTACGCCTCTTGCCTTCGCCCGGGAGATAGCTTATAGTCGTAGGGGAACCTTACTTCAGCGTTACTCTCTCCTCCTTGGGCGGATCAATGCGCTCTCAACCTACCTCGCCCAACCTGCACCCGCACCTCCCGTCCGAACAGGCGTCCCCCGTGCCCCACCCGACCCCCGTCCCGCTCTCGAGCGATACATCGTCCACCCCCTCAATCCCCTTCCGGCATCTGCGGACCCCATAGCTCCCGAGGCGTTCTTCCAAGTGATCAACACCCAGTCTCTACCTGCCGTCTCGGACGCCCAGGCCGAACTGCTCGCCCGGCGCGAATGGAAGGGCAAGGAAGAGCTGCGGGGGCTAGGCGAAATGGATCTAGGGCGGATCATGAGTGGCCTAAAATCGAGACTGGAGCGGGAGATGAAGATTGCCGAGGGGCTTAGGGGGGCGTTGGAGAGCGCTAGTGAGGAGTATGAGTGGGGGATGAGGGTGGATGCTGCCGAGGGAGAGGAGGATGGGGAGAAGAAGGATGAAGAGGATGATGATCTCTTTGGGGAAGAGGGGGAGATGGAGGAGGTCAAGGCAGCACAGGCGGCGAAGCAGCTGGCGCCGAACCCGAGGGAGGGGTGGAAGATAGCCGATTACATGCGGTATATGGATACAGGCGTGCCTCCGAATGTCACGACATGAGGGGTGCGTAGCGTATCCATTGGGGGTACGCAAGAAGGTGACAGCGCTGTGTAAGTCCTCCCTCACAGCGTCGGGACCTAGGTAGGGCCAAAATGAACGTGCAGTGCCTTACCCACCATATCTCATCACGACGGCTTGGTCATTACTCGGCCGATCACGAGCACTCCCCAACCAAAGCGGACTTGCTAGCGGATTAGAGCAGAAGATGACCATCAGCTGATAGGCATGTTGGACAGTCGCACACGCTGGAGCACCACAGCAAGACATGGGCCTGTACCGGCCTGGAGCAAGAGGAAGGGAGAATGCATCGTCTGATCTACGATATATGAGAAAGTCACCGGCGGACTACTTTTGCCTCAGTCCTGCTACCTTCAAGTCCATCCTCAAATCCCCAACTCCCAAGCGGATCCTTCGTGACAAGATATATCGCCCTCTCCCTGCAGCCCTCCCCCACCCTTGCCCGAAGACAAGGAACAAGGGGGCTAGGCCCAATGACCCCAAGCGCCCGACTAAAGGCCCCCAGTGATCAGGAAATTGAGCGAAGCCGTCTAGTTACGACGGCCGGCGTGATTCTGGCCCCTCTTTCCCAGTCCGACCCGCTCATTGGTGGAGCGGCGTACTTGAATAAAGGGGCGTGTTTGTGTGGCGGGGTGGAGTGGATGGTGAAGGTGTAGGATAGGTGCGAAAGGGTGAGGATGGGTCAGTCGGAGCCGGGATGAGGAGCGCTGAGTCAGTAGAAACCGGATGTTGGAGCGGCTCTCGGTGCGGAGTACGAGACCGAAGGCGGAGGCTACATGCCCCTCAAGTGAGATGGGTCCACAAAGATGGTTGACGAAGGGTAAAGCGAGGTAGAATTTCGGCTCGCGACAGAATCCAGAGGATCCAACCAACTTCGATTTCGCGGCCTTCTTGACACGGAGAATTGCGGCGTTATGGGTTTCGCTCAATCAGCGATCTCGTTTCAAGTGAGTCACGGCATGTTTCAGATGATTCATACTGATCACAAGCTGTCGCCAGCCCCCTAGGGCGGCGAGTCCGGCGGCGGGGAATGGCAGCGTCCCGTAGAAGCTGGATACATAGCCTCGTCACAGAGTCTCAGTGTCCAGTGCCAAAAGATGATGATCAACCCCTCGCATCCTACCTACTCTCTCCGGCTCGTAGCCTTGTTCCTCTGTAAGGCCCAGCGATTCCCCTGCAGTGGACAACCGAAGCGCTTCCGTCTATCGGGCTTATTGACCTGGTCTGATCCCTTTCCCCTGATGGATACTGGCTCTTGGTTTTTGGCCTAAAGACATCTTGATTTGTTATTTTGACAGATATGCCCAATCGGGACTTGCTAGACTAGTGGTTTACTTGACGCAAGAGATCGGTGTTGATCCGAAATCTTAGAGGTTGACCATCTGACGATTGGACTTGTTCCTGAGCCCGAACGCTTGGAGTCCACGCTCGCGACTATTGGCGTTTCCGGTGATACCGTTTGGGGCGGCCGCATGGCCTGACTCAGCCCGCCACCTCATCGCGTGGCAATGAGAGGAAGGGCCTTCTCATGCAGACGGGCGAGTAGAGATGGCGAGTCCTCCAGGCGAAGCGGCGCTCGTATCGACTGGATGTACGATAAGCTTTGCGCTGAAACGCGCAAAGACCAAAGGAGGCGGGTATCTGTTGGCATGTGTCGAAGGTTGATTGACCACTTCCCAACCCAGATCTGGTGCAATGGGTGCGATTCCTCGTATGTTCCCCGTACACCTTGCTCAGCTTTATCTCTCTCGTATCCATCGGCAACGCGGCAGTACTCCCAGCGACCTCAGCGATCTCGAGCAAAGATGACCGTCAGAGCTCCAGGACTACGTCCGTCGGACCAGGTGGCGCGCATCCCTCTTGGCCCCAAAAGCTGTAATCTCGACCCATTCTGCAACATTATCTCTCTTGCGGACGAGCTCCCCACTCTGGCGTCCAAGACCCCGACCAAGCAAAGGCACCAGCCAACAATATACGGAGGCGGCGAGCTTGACAGTGAGGGGGACAAGGAGAATGTTGCGCCCAGTCGAGACCGTGAGTTGGTTAGCGCAAATGCATTTGCAAACGTGTGTTCTCCTTAGCTGACCGTGCAGCGCTATCTCACGATCCGGCCCCAACGTTCTTGCTGTGCCGACTCGCGGCCCTTCGCATATCCCGTCCTTCTGAGGCAGTTCCGGATCTTCCCGGAGGCCAGCTACGTCCAGCATCTCCTCTGCGGCGGTCTACCCTATCAGCCACGCCTGCCCTCCTTCCTGCCACTCCTCCTCCTCGAGCGGCAAGGACGCGGCGGACAATCATCACTACCCGCTACTTCATCAAGGACCAGCAGGCTGCTGAAGCGTATTTTCTCGCCGCGAGGGAGGCCGCCCGGATCGCCACGGCTCGGTATGGCCACCCCGAAGACGTCCCAGCTCCCATACTACCTCTCATCTCGGATCTGCAATCACATTTCGAAAGTTCATATACACCGTATGACCTACCCCCGACGCCACCGCTCAAGGCCGGATCATCTCCATATCAGCGCGGCCAGCGGTCCCTCCATCGCCTATCGTTCGCGCCGGAGCAAGTGAAGAGAGACGCAAAGAGGCGGGTCATGGGTCTGTGGGAGGAGCTGCTCAGGGCGAGGACAGGGGAGCCAATCACGGGGCGGGACGATCTGACCGAGGGTCTGAGGTGTGGTAACTGTATGTACTGAGGGTATAGGGTGTCATAGTTGTATACAGTACTGGCCGCTCGATCTGAAATGTCACATAGCTACATGAGCATGCATCGCACGCATAAGTCTATCCCAGTATACACAGAAGCCTCCGAGAGGCATACGCCACTACTACACAGTGTCCAATCCCAACTCCCCGACCCTATCCGAGATGACATGACTCTGCTCGCTCGCCGTCGGCCCCTCTACACACAGCCACGTACCCCGCCTGCACATGAACCCACCGTCGCTCCTGGACATCCAGCCCGAAAACCCTCAGACAGTATTGAGGTCTCTGAGGTTACGAGACCATATTTCCACCCTCGGGTGCGCCTGCACCTACGGATGTTCAACTATGACCACAACGACTCCACAGGAAATAACGCAGCTCACCTTATCGCCACTGAAACCCATGACCTGCAGCCCCTCGAGGGACGTTGCTCGCGACAGCGCAACGTACGCTTGGCCCTTCTCGAACACCTTGCCGAGGTCGACCTTGACTCGTTCTAACGCTGATCTGGGTTAGCTAGAATGCACGGTAAAGATTCAGAGCTATTTTTGACATACTTTGTCCCCTAATAACGTCAGCTACGCCCCAAGCTCGTGGATCAGAAGGGAGACTTACTGGCTTTTATGTATCGACATCGCCCAGGAAAGGATGAGAGGTAGCTATGAAGTCAGCTAGATATCGTAACGTTAAAGTCGCTCGAACTCACCTGAGACCTTTGCACCTGCACTTCCCCATTCGGCAGCTCATTTTTAAACGTATCGTGCTCCACCAACATGTGCCTTGTCCCGCCCGGTACCCTGAATTCCACCACAGGTAGTACTTTCATCGAGCTTGACGCCCTGGCCAAAAGCATCTCGCGTAACCGCTCTCGCTTCTCCCTCTCATTCTCCTCCAAATCCGCCAAATCTCCCTCGGGCATCCACCGCCCCTGCAAGTCGGTCGTGAAGAGCGCCTTGTGAACGAAGCCCATGACTTTGCCGATCGACCCGTTGACGAGCTGCTCATCGACGTTCTTGATGAGCATGACCTGGGCGCCGACCCTTAGCTCGAGTTGTTGAAGCGCCATGAAATTGGCGAGCATCTTCTCACGCTGTACCGGGTCGGTGACTGCCCCTGTGTCGCTGGCGGTGTAAGTTTGGGTCTCAGCATCGAGCGCGTTGAGCCGGAATGTATTGGACCGCTCGACGTCCTCGCGGCGCGGGAAGAGCTCCGTTGGCTGAATATCGTCGTCGAATTTGAGCGGGCGGTTGAGTGCCTTAAACCGCGCGATGGTGTCCTGAGACATACGACCGAATCGCATCTCGTTCAGCATGTTGACAAAGGCTGATTGTCAGTTTTGACGCACTGCGGCCACAGTGGAGTTTCAAACTCACTCTGATCCTTCTGCCTGAACACCTTTGTAAGATTCACCTCCATGCTGATCGTCTCCTTCCATGTCGCCGCGTCAAAGCAGAATTTTGGTGACTTGCCGCCCTTGGTGACCGGTGGAAGCTGGAAGAAATCGCCAGTGACAATGACCTGGATCCCGCCGAAGGGTTTCTCGTTCTTGCGCATCTTTTGGCCGATCTTGCAAAACTTGTCGAAGAGTTCGCCGTCCACCATTGACACTGTAGAGTCAGCTGTATGTACGATCACAAATGTCCGTTATCGCCAACTCACACTCGTCGATGATCAACACCTTTGTCCGCAACCACCTCGCCGCTGCCTTCTTATTCTTCTTGATCTTGGACACCAGCACGTCCACCGGCTCAAGACACAGCCCCGCCCCGCCAAACGAGTGCAGTGTGACACCGCCGATGTTGCACGCGGCGATACCTGTCGAGGCGGTAACGGCGACAGCATCGGGCGCTTTGACGTGCTTTTGTCGAAGATTCTTGATGATCTCACGGAGAAGGACGGATTTGCCGGTTCCTAGAGGTCAGCTTTGATTCAACATTATGTCTGGAATCTAGCATTTCGCAGACGACGACCACGAGATCGATCTCGCACCCGCTCCCAGCTCTTCCGCCCCTCTCCTAATTCCCCGTCCTCGCATGGGAATATCAGGCAGCCTTCCGCTTCGGCTCGCTTCTCATATCTTTCCCGTGGCTGGCTGGTGCCACCCATCAACTCGAGAGGAAGCGACGTACCTGCTGAACCCGTGAAGAAGATGTTCTTGCCCTCTTGTACCACCAACGTCAACACCTTCTGCTGCTCCAGACTGAGCGATATCTTTTGTACGATATTCATCGCCCCCGTGCTCGCGTCTGACTTGTTGCTCTTGCTCGATGTGGTCCGGACGGGCTTCTTGTTTGGTCTGTCAGGTCAGGTGCGGCCAGCATGCGCTTCACAGGCACGGAGAAGCTTACTGGTCTCCCTCCCACGGCATCGACCGCTTCTTGTCCCCCCCCCACGCAGCCGTCAAACTTGGCAACTCCTGCACCTCCCGCAGCGGCGCTCGGGCACTACTGCTCGTCCCTACAGCCGTAGTGGACGACCCCGTTGTCGAGCGAGACGAATTAGACGAGCCAGCGACGGGTCTGGCCGGCGCACTGGCCGACTTGGTCGGCGGCGCAGAGTTCTGGTCGCCCGACATGGCGGCCAGGATGGCCTTTCTTCTTCGGTCCGCGGCGGTCTCGAGGGGGTCTTGCATGGGTGGAGGGGAGGGTTCGCGGGTGGGGAGGGCGCCTTTTCGGCCAACTCTGAAGGGTCAGCTGCGTCTCCTGCGCGGCGAGCGAAGCCCGGGTGGAAGCTTGACGTACCGTGGTGGACTCTGCGACCATGGTACCGCCTGTTCCTCCTCTTCTTCCCAGTCGCGCTTCATGCTGTTGATCCTAGAGATCGGTCTCTTTGTGGGAGCGAATGCTGCGGCTGGCATAGTGTGTAGCTGTATAGTGTACGATGGAGGAAGGTAGAATTGACTAGGGATAGGACGCGCCTTACTTTTCTCTTGTTGTGAAGGCAATGGGGTGGCGAAGGGCAATGACGTGGAATTCGAGAGGCCCTAATCAGTGACGTAAAGGCAAGATTTACTTGTCCACTTGCTGCAATGGCAGAAGAGTGTATCTATCATCGACTATAGCAAGATCATCAGCAGCTATTAGCTGCTATACCCACCATGGCGCCCGAGGGAAAGATCAAGAATGCTCACAAGCGGTCAGAAATACACCGCAAGACTAAGCGGGAGAAGGAGCAGGTCAAGCTCAAGAGGCGGATGGAGGTGAGCTGAGCTTCTCCTACTTATGAGTCGCGTGCAGATAGCCGGCGTATCGGCCCTATCAGCTGTCAGGTCGACCAAGGGGGACATCACAGCTGATAAAGATAGATAAGAAAAGCTGAGAAGTCAAAAGATGGAGGCGCGGAGCTCAAGAGGGTATGTCCTCTTATCGGCGTGCTGAAGACCATGGTGCCGGAGCCAGGACTGACCGGCTAGGAACGACTAGCGAAGAACATCCCTCGGACTATCGACAATACAAGAGTGTACGACTCTTCCTCCTACCTCACTGCGGACCCGGCGACTCTGCGTGCAGCCGCGGAGAAGGCAGCTGAAGCGAGCCGTCGCCTTAACGGCGAGGGCGACGATGACGAAGAGGACGAGGAGGATGAGGACATGGAGGACTCTGACGAGGAGGATGACGAGGAGGAGGAAGATGAGACTCCACAGGCGGGTCCCTCGCGACTCCCCGCCCAACCTGTACCTGTCGTCTCCGCCTTTGCGCCAGAAGAAGGGGAGGTTGGGGCAACATCCGACGAGCCCGCCGTGGACCCTACCGCCCTCCCTTCCCAGCCTACACTCCCACCAGGTCCCCCACCACGGATCATGATCACCACCTCTCCTTCGCCATGTAAGGATACCTATGCGTTCTGCGAGGACTTGAAGGGGATCTTCCCGGGCGGAGAGTTCTTCAAGCGTCCAAAGGGGAAAGGATTCGAGATCGGGCGTGTGGCGAGATGGGCGGCCAAGAGGGGGTTCAAAGCTGTTTGCGTGGTGAACGAGGATCACAAGATCGCTAGTGAGTCGCTATCCTGCCTGCGGTCAGGAAGAGTGGGAGCGCGAGCTCATAGATAGACGCAATAACAATCATGTCGCTCCCGGCTGGACCAACGGCATACTTCAAGCTGACGAGTATGGTGCTTGGCAAGAAGATCTATAAGCATGCCAGACCCACACCTCATTCCCGTATGTCTCTCTCCTCAACCATATCCTTCTTCCATACTCTCCTCGTAGACACCGCTAATCTAGCAGCCGAACTGATCCTCAACAACTTCACCACTCTCCTCGGTCACTCTGTCGGCAGACTCTTCGGTGCCCTCTTCCCCCCACAACCCCAATTCCGCGGCCGACAAGTGGTCACCCTTCACAATCAGCGCGATTTCCTCTTCTTCCGGCGACACCGATATCAATTCGAGAGCGTTACCAAGGCGACCCTCCAAGAGATCGGGCCGCGCTTTACGCTCAAACTTCGATGGATGCGGAAAGGCCTGCCAGCTGTTACAGCAGCGGATGGGCGGATACCGGGCGGTGCGCGCGGAGATGGGGAGGAGGACGCGGAGGATGGAGAGGAGGCGACAGTGCCGGATGAAGATGAGGCGATGGATGAGGACGCGGCGATGAAGGAGATTGGGACCGCTGCGGGGAGGACGAAAGCGCCGACGAGGGAGGAGCTGGGCATACCCGCGCTGGATGAGGAGCAGGAGTATGAGTGGAAGTGGAAGCCCAAGATGGAGGTTTCGAGGCGGACCTTCTTCTTGTAGCTTTGTATCTATGCACTGGACATAGCCAGACTGCCTATGAGGGTCTCTGTATCGCCGTCGTTCACTCTACCAAGCATACCCCTTCGCACTGCGCAAACGAAACGCTTTGCGAGCCGCTTTCGGTCTGCGCCGAAGTTGAGCGAAATGACGATGGTGCCTGGCTTGGGACCATCTACCAGCCTTGTCTTTCGCCATCCAACCCTACATCCACTAGCTTAGACCCACCAAGCGCTTGTCGCTACGTACAACATCATACACTCATCAACATGGCGGTAAGCTGCTACCGAGAAATGAGCGCAACGAGTGTGCACAAGGCTGACGCGACAAGGCCCTCGCGAAGAGTCTCCTTCCTCAAATCAAGTCTATCTTGAGCAAAAGTGACCTGTCTACAGTGTGCGTATGCTCTGCGTCTGAAAAAAGATGTAAGGGAGGGGCCATGCTGATCCTCTAGCTCGGCCAAGGCTATCCGGAAGGAGCTGGTCAGTCTCGGAGCGGACGAGCGGGAGGTGAAGGCTGCGCGAAAGGAGATTGATGAGGTGGTGAGTCATCCTGACTGATGACTGTGCACTCCCCGGGACGCATCAGTCCGGTCATCAGAACTACACCTGACACTCCAGATCAGCGACATCTACGACCGCCTCACCACCGGCCCCGCTCCCGCAGCCACCGCCTCCTCCTCCCGTCCCCCTGCCTCGAACCGGCACGCGGCCGCGCGTTCCGAAACGCCGACCTATGCACCCTCCTCCCAGCCCATCCCCCTGCTCGACGTCAAGCCCAAGGTCAAGCGGGAAGTCAAAGCGGAGTATGCGCCAGTCAAGGAGGAGACGGACGCGGAAATGGCGGAGCGGCTCCAGCGGGAGTATGATGGGTTGAACTCGGGGCGCGCGAGTCGGAGTACGGGCGCAGGCGGGCCCAAGCCGAAGAAGAAGAGAAAGACGCCTGTCAAGAGGAAGAGTAGGGCAGTGGTGGGGAGTGGGAGTGATGGGGAGGGAGGCGAAGAGGGTGGAGAGAAGAAGAAGCGGAAGGCGGGCGGTGGCGGGGCGTTCAATAAGGAGTTGATATTGAGGTGAGTTGGGTCTCAGGGGTCGATTGTGAGGGTGCTGGTCTCTGATTGGGAAGTGCATGGACGCACTATCGATCAGGGCGGTAGAGAAGAGCAATGTCAGCTGAGGCGGGTTTCGTTGAACTGTAGGGCTGACTTTCAGTGACGCCCTCTCCTCGCTTGTTGACGAGCCAACTCTGTCAAGACCGCAGACCGTCAAGCGGATATGGGAGTACGTCAAAGAGCGGGACCTCCAGGACCCCTCCGACAAGCGATACATCATGTGCGATGAGAGGATGCGGGCCGTCTTCCACACTGACAGGCTACACATGTTCACGTGAGTCCCTATATCTTGACCTATCAGAGACAGCTGGCAGCTCCTCGCACGGATCTTAGCTGACATGTAGGATGAACAAGATCCTCGGACAGCACTTTATGGACCCTGACGACGTGATCGACCCGAACGAGGACAAGAAGGCCATCCCGCGCGAGAAGAAGCCAAAGGTGGAGCGGGACGATCGAGGTGTGGGCGCCTCTGGCTCTGGGTCGAGATCGCACATGGCTGCGTATGGAGCAGGGGCGGCAGAGGAGGAAGAGGATGATGTGGATGGGGAGAGTGGGTACGAGAGCTCAGACTATTGCGGGAAGTCGTCGAGGCTTCTATGAGGATTGGGATCCGAGGGGGAACGTGTTTGTAAATAATCAGTCTGTGTGAAGATCCAATCTAGTTGAATGTATCAAGCTACAAAGACCGAACAGTCCTACGATGTTCTCCTCTACTACCCTACGATCCCCTAAGCCTATCTCTTCCCCTTTGGCTTCCCAGCGCCCACCTTCTCCTCTATCGCCCCCTCGCTCATCCACTCCAGATCCGTCTCTGCAAACGCCCTCTTCTTGGGCTCCTTCTTCCCTCCCTCCCCACTCTCCGCAGCAACCTCCCCTTCCCCATCCCCCAGCCCCTCCGCCTCTCCCGACAACCCCTCGAACCGCCGTCTGAATCTCCCCACTCTCCCTTCCTCCGCGCCTTCCCCAAGACCCCGCTTCTCCGTCCCCGGCGCCCAGATCGGGTTGTTGGTCACGTCCCGCGTGAGCCGGATGGTCGCTGGCGAAGGGGCGGTGAGGTGCGCGGTGAAGGTGGATCCGTCCGAGAGGACGACACGTTTTGGGTAGAGCGCAGGAAGGGGGTTGGGGTGGGTAGGTGTGGACCGGCGTGAGAGGTGCGTTTTGGATGGCCAGGCGGAGGCTGTGGATGCTGGACGGGAGAGGGGAAGAGTAGAGGAGGAAGCGGGGGTGGGGGAGGAGATAAGGGGCCGGAGGGCAGAGCGGAGGGTGGGTCGGGACATTTTGCTTGAGGCGGGTTGGCCAGGACCGGGATGGATTTGAGGTGGATTGTCCGATGACGCCGAGTAATTTGGCTCTGTGTGTTGACGCTAATTGGCGCTGCCTCTGCGCTATGGATGTGTTGGGTGGATGTAAGGTCAGTAGAGAGGTGCATGTGTGCGAAACTCAGCTGGCGGTCGATCTGAACTTTTGGCTGGAAGCAATCGTGGGAAATTGACTTTGTCCAGCTAAAGAAAGTCACAGCGAGCTGTCAACAGGCCAACAGGTGTCAACAGCTGTGTCTACCACCTTATATACATCCACTACCTACAGGCAAAGCAGCCCTCTGTACAGTCGACGCGGCTGCTTCGAAGGCTCAAGACAATATGGCGAAGTCTCGCTTCGAATACGTCCGGAACTTTGAGCTACCCGACCCGCTCATACCCAACACCTACATTGTCGTCCGGATAGACGGTCGAGGTTTTCACAAGTCAGTCTCTCTCAGCTATGTAGACTTGGAACGACTCCCAGCGCCGGAGTCCTGATCACAAGGTTCAAGCTGAAGAAAGTAGATTTTCTGACGCTCATGGATTCACTAAACCTAACGATGTACCCGCATTGGACCTCATGAACCGCGCAGCGAGGGCGGTGATGGATGACTTGTCGGACGTGGTGCTTGCCTTCGGGGAGAGCGATGAGTTCAGGTGACTACCTTACCGCGATAAGAAATAAGGATATAGCTGAGACTGATAGACTAGCTTCCTGATCCGCCGATCCTCAAATCTCTACAATCGACGTCGAAGGTCCGTTAAGTCATCTGGTAGCGCCCAGCACGCCGAGACCATGCAGCTGACACCAGTAGCAAGATCAACTCAACGGTCTGCTCCCTCTTCACCTCGGCGTACGTGTTCTACTGGTCCCAGTACCTCCCGGACCGACCACTCAAGTATCCGCCGACCTTCGACTCGCGGGTTGTTCTCTACCCGTCCGAGCGAGAAGTCAGGGACTACTTTTCGTGGAGACAGGCTGATAGTGAGTTACGTGCTTCGCATGGTCGCAGCAAGCGTGAGCTGACGAGTTGTAGCCCATATCAATAACCTGTATAATACCTGTTTCTGGGCGCTGGTGCAGAGCGGCATGAGCACGACTGATACGAACAAGGCGCTCCAGGTGAGTCAGACCAGTTCGACATCCCTCGTCACGTCCTCCCTGTACCGCTCAGCTGTTCATTGTCAATCTACACTATGCGTGAGGGAACGGCACAGCTGACAATCTCAGGGGACCGACTCGAAAGCCAAGAATGAAATGCTGTTCTCGCAATTCGGTATCAATTACAATAACCTCTCGCCAATGTTTCGCAAGGGCAGTACGCTCGTACGATCCGCACCTGCTGAGCCAAGTAGTAGCGGAGCGGGCAGTGCGACCGACATGCCAGAGGCATCGACGTTCGCCGTCCCGGTAACTTCCTCATCGAAAGGCCAGCCAGGTCGCGTCGGACTGGATGAGGGAAAAAGCGCGACGCTGCCAGTAAGCGGGCCTGAAACGGTGGGCTCGGATGCGCTGGAAGAGCTGCCAGGTCCCGCGGAGGTTCCGCCAAGGACATTGAGGGCGAAGAAGCCAAAGAAGGTACGGCCGTTCGAGGGGCTCACTGGAGAGGTAGTAATACTGCACGAGGATATCATAGGGGACCCTTTCTGGCTAGATAGGACGTGGCTCCTGGCATGACATGCCTGTTGCCCTTCTTCACTGTTGCAGCACGCAGCGACCTGCCTTCGCGTACCTCATCCTGAATGCGCCCGGAACTGTTGCGCCGGCTCTGACCGGATCTTGGATCTCGAGGACCCCAACTCGCCAAAATGGTCACTGTCGTTCACCTTTCTACCTCTTGTCTTGTCTTGCTTGTGTAGCATCCAAGCCTTCGCTCAAGGTGCGGAATTGAAGAAGGATCACGTTCGTCAGAATCGGCATACAAGAAAGCGCGACTCCAAGAAGGCCCAGCTCTCGACAGCTCTCCCATCAAAGGGATTCGACCTACGTCCACACTTTTCTGGTGTGCAAACCCCTGTCGCACCTAGCCACGGATTCCGCTCGCCGGCTCGGTATCGATCGCCCTATCAACTTACTCTGCTACCATGTCCTCCTCGTCCTCCAAAGTCCTCACTCCTGGCCCGAGCGCTACAGCTCCCAGCGCAGCGGTCGTTCCTCAACGAACCCCGCTCGCACCTCTATCGCTGCTCGAGTCGTTCGCTTGTGGAGGTCTCGCAGGATGTGCAGCCGTCACGGTTTGTAAGTCTTTCACTGCTTATTCACTGAGGCGTTGAAGAGGCCTGTGCTCTTCTGCTTTTTCAGCAAGGGCGGATCTGACAGTCTCAGCCAACGTCCCAGAGGTCATGAAGACCCGTCTGCAACTCCAGGGCGAGCTTCAGCGGGCAGACAGTAACGCTCCAAAGGTGTACAAGAACGTCCTCGATGTGTTCCAGAAGACATGGCGGCATGAGGGGATCAAAGGGCTACAAAGGGGTCTCTTACCGGCGGTACGTTCATCCGTTCCACCTAGACGTGTTTCCCTTTGGGTGCAGGTCGATTAGAGCTGATCTTGGATAGTACGGCTACCAGATCCTCCTCAATGGGTCTCGGCTGGGCTTCTATGAGCCAATCCGCCGTTCTCTGACCGCCACTGTTGGCCGGAATCCAGACGAGGTGCTGGCGAGCACAGCGATCGTAGCTGGGGCAATGACGGGATGTATTGGAGGTGAGTAGAACGGAGCTTTCCATGGTTTTGGCTCTCCAGAGTGTAGTGCAGTAATAGGGCTGACTTCGTAGCCGCACTGGGATCTCCACTCTTCATGGTCAAAGCACGGATACAGGCTTACTCGCCCGCCCTCCCCGTCGGCGCACAGCACTACTACAAGGGCTCGTTCGATGCCCTGCGGACTATCCTGAAGAGCGACGGGATACTGGGACTGTGGAGGGGTGTCAATGCTGCCATCCTGCGGACAGCTATGGCAAGCTTTTCCGCTCGCCTCAGCTGCCATGCCCTTACCCGAGGACAGTTCAGCTGATTCTGCAGGGCTCATCAGTACAACTACCCTCTTACAACCTCGGCAAGAAGTACTTGATTTCGTGGGGTTGGAAGGAGAATGGGTACTCGACATATCTCGTCGCTAGTGGAGTATCAGGTTTCTGCGTTTGTGCGGCCATGCAGTAAGTTTCTTATCTTCGGTAGGACACCCAAGCTGACGCATAGACCCGCCGATACGGTCCTCACTCGGATGTACAACCAAAATACCGTCAAAGACCCGATCACCGGTCGTGTTCGCGGTGCACTGTATACGAACCCGATAGATTGTCTCTGGAAGACTTTCAAGGCGGAGGGGATTGCGGGGTGGTACAAGGGTGAGTGATCTTCAGCTGGCATGCGCCCATGGGCTGCTCGGCGTAGCTGATGAGTTTAGGGACGACAGCGCATCTGTTGAGAATATGGCCGCATACTGTCATTACGCTCGTGGCGAATGAGTTTGTGATGACCAAGTATAGGGCAGCAAAGATGCGCTGGGCCGGAGATGCGTAGGAATATATCTCAAGGCAGGACATCTAACGAGGTGGATGTATGCGCTGCTTTTGTTGCCGATACGGAGCGGACGTTCTCGTCTTGAGCCTTCTAATTCGGACTGACTCGTTCTCACGCCCGGTATAGCGCCTGACTGCGCTCGATTCCCATCGGAGGACAGGATGAACGCGGAATGATACATGACCTTCGCGGCTATAGCTAAACAGGAGACTACGCCAATCCTGTATGAACGGTGCGCTGCTAAGCGCTATACCTATGTTGGTGGTGTGAAGGCGTCATCGTACATCAAGACTATTTGATCAGTTCTGCTATCCCCGTCCAGGACAATGTTCACACGACAACTGACTGTGTGTCTCTCTGGCGCCTTGATCTACATGATGGTCTTGTACTTCTTCTCCCGGGCAGCCATGACCTCCTTGAGCTTCTCGACCTTCTCCCCCTTGGTCGTATTGTACTCGACCGAGACCTGGTTGAAAGCTGACCAGATATCAGCGATGTTCTCAGTGAAGCAAGAGAGAAGAGACAAGACGTACGATTCTCCGGCGACCTCTCAAACTTCTTGAACAGCTTATCTCGCATTTGGTTCTGCCGCAGACCGGGGTGCTGGTATGTTAGCTATGTCCTCAATCCTTTCTGGGTCACACATAGATGCCCAGCTGGAGGGGATAACCCACCTCATCACGTAGTATTGGGATCTCTCGCTCGAGGTAGGCTTCGAAGGCAGCTTTAAACCGTTTCTGAGGACGGTCAGCTCGAGATCGCCGACAAGAGTGAAGAACACCATACCTCTGGGTGTGCCTCAATCAGTCCCGCCTAAGATGTCAGCTCGGCAGCACCACTCCTTCGCAGAGACCAGCTTACCTTCGCCCCCAGCGCGTCCTTGCTCGTCTTCTGATTCACCACCTCCAGCGCCTCCAGCATCTCCTCCACCCCTCTCGCGCTCAACTCCGCGACCGGTTCCCCTTCATCATCTCCCAGCCCTGATCCACGCAATCCCAGAGGGTCGTTCGTCGTGAACGAAGCAATGCCCTTTCCTGCTGCTGGAGCGAGGACACCAGAGTCGGGCTTCTTCTTGGCCGCGCCAGCTTTGGGAGCTGCTTTGGGCTTGGAAGGGAGGGAGGCTTCTTCAGCGGCGAGTAGGGCTTCGCGTTCTTGTTTCTTGCGCGCTGGGTGTCAGCTGCGTGAGGCAGGAACGGGAAGGATAGAAGAGGGGACGTACCGGCCTCAGCAGCCTTGGCGGCTGCTACTTCCTGCTTGCTCAAGCCTTTCGCTGGTGTTTCATCAGCGATGTCGTCAAAGCACAACTCGGTGGCCATCACGTACCTCCGTCCTCCCACTCCTTGGCCACCTTGGCCGCGACCGCCTTGTTTACCACATCCTTCTTCTTCTCCTATAGTGAGTCAGCGAGATTGTACTCCGGAAGGTGGTCGTGGTCTTGTGGCTGCTAAAAGGCTTGTGTCCGACAGCAATAGCAAGTCGCGCATGATCAGCAGCAAAGGGTGAACGAACCTCATTCTCGGCCTTCTTGGCTCGTCCGCCCTCCTTCTTTGCGTTTCCGCCTTTGGCTGGGGGCATGATGTTGCGCGTTGACAGTCACAGGAGAGGGTGTCCAAGTTGTAGAAAGAGAAAGTAGGTGATAAGAAGCAATATGGCAGAATAAGGTATCTTTCGGCGCGAAAGGACCGCTCAAGTGGAGGTCTTCAGTCATTCGGCCGAGATTGCGAGAGAGCCTTCGAGAAAGCTCTCTGCTGTCTTACACGAAATGAGATGACACAGATGACCCCACAAAGAGCACAATGCAGTGTTCCTCGACCGTTCGTATACCTCACAGCTGCTCTGACAGTAGACTCGAGCCTGGACCGTTGACTTTGCCTTGAGAAGGCGCTGAAGGGCACCGAGCAGGATCGAGCGATGATAGAGCTCAACAAGTCAATAGGTCCGCCCTTATTGAGTCATAAAGTATCTGCATGCCCAATCCACAGCTACCCTACGCCTCGGTAGCCTTCTGGCGCCTCCTCTGGTCACGCTCCTCAGCGATCGAAAGCTTGACACCCTTGCCCTTGGGCAGGGACACCTGCGCCTTGGAGCCCTCGCCGATGACGAAAATGTTGGAAAGACTGGACGTCAGCTGCCGCACAGATTCGTCAACCGATACAACGTACCGGGTAGCGAAAGTCCTGTCCAAAACATCCCTGACGTGCACAATGTCGAAACCGCCCAAATGCCTCTCCCTGTGGACGATCACTCCGGATCGCCCCATGTTACGACCGCCAGTGATCATGACGACGTTTCCGGCCTCGAATTTGATGTGGTCGGTGATCCGGTTCTGGACAAAGTCAAACTTGACAGTGTCGTTGACCTTGATCGCCGGGTCGGGGTAACGGATGGTACGGCCGTCGTGGGTGACAATGTAGGGGACACCCTTGGCACCGAGCTGATGCTTGCGCACCTTGAGGAGCTTGAAGTTGGCCTCCTCGGGCGAGATGCGGTGGATGGTGAAACGACCCTTGATGTCGTAGAGGAGACGGAAGTGCTCGCCGGAACGCTCAATGGTGATGACGTCTGACCATCAGCCCTGTACCATCGTCCAGTCCGTCCCAACTCACCCATGAACCCAGCAGGGTAGGTCTCGTCCGTCCGCACCTTGCCGTCCACCTTGATTATCCTCTGCTTGACAATCTTGGTCACCTCGTCACCGGTAAGAGCGTACTTGAGCCGGTTGCGGAGGAAGACGGTGAGGGGGAGACATTCCCGGAGCTTGTGGGGACCGGGGGAGGGTCTGGGAGCCTACGCCCAAGTCAGTCATAGATCTCCTTGTATTCCGCCAGTGTCGCCCAAACTCACGTAGGTCCCGCCCAATTTGTCGAGCATCCATGACGATGGAGCTGCGAGACGCTTCAGGTGCTTCTTAGGTCCTCTTCCCTACAGATGGGTCAGCTTAGTTCCATTGAACCATTCCTAACATCCCTCCTATTCCCTAGGTCCGCCTATTGCACGACTCAGCCGAGCGTATCCTTCGCCGTCGTATCCTCCCGCTGCTCCCTGCGGCTGAAAGCTCATGCTTTATTGGGGATCGTGACTGACCATTGTGTATGTCGATTAAGAGAAAGAGATCAAACAAGCTTTCCTCATACAAATCTCTACCACCCAGCTGCAAGCTCGGTTGCCTGGCCTGGCGCGTGGGAAAGAGCGGAACTAATTAAAACGCCGAGGGCCCAGCGAGCGAGGACGGATGAAGCCGAGTGTGGCGATCTGAGCTGTCTCTGCCGCGGGACCATATCGCTGATAGCGCTTAACACCGAAAGCTGCGTCAATTACGTGACGGCGCGTCCACCCCGTTCCATCGCGTCGGTGCCTTCACTCAGGTCCTCACGGTCGGGGGGTATCGAGAGCCTTTTGTCCGCTTACCTGTCCGACTGAATAGCCATCCCCCACCAGCTATCACCTCTGGCCTGTGCTATACTTATCCAATCTATAACGCTCACGGGTCACATTCTCACTCTTCCTCTCTAAGCCATGGCATCCCACATCCCAACCCCGACCCCGCACACCCTCAACATCCTCTGTTTCGGCGACTCCCTCACCGAAGGCTACAGCGAATATGGCACAAAGATGACACCCTACGGCACAGCAACCCTCGCATATTTCACCTCTCGACTCGGCCCTCTCACCAAAGTCCACCTATGCGTCGAGGGCAAAAGCGGCGACCTCGTCACCGCAGGGTTCTCGAGGCGGATGGAGCGTATCTGCCGGTCTTCATCCTCAGCCGGGGGACATGGATCCCTCCACGAGAAGGCGACGCAATGGGACTGGCTGGTCTTCCTCGGCGGCACCAACGACCTCGGCTACGGACGGAGCGTAGAAGCAATTTGGGAAACCATTTTCTCGGTCACTTCTATCCCAATGGCACGCGGAGCAAAGGTCCTTCTTCTTACCGTCCCGGAATGCTCGGCGAAGAATTCTCAGCTGGATAGGAGGAGGAGGGAACTGAATGAGAAGATCCGAGGGGATGATAGGGAGGGCGTGTACGTTTCCCATTTCCCTCCTCTCCATGAAATCGTAGATGCTGATCTATGTGCAGGTATATCCTCGACCTCTACAAGAAGATGCCTTATCACAGTCTAGGAGAAGAGGAGAGGGAGAAGATCTGGGACAATGGTCTCCATTTCACGGAAGCAGGGTACGCGAAGATTGGGGAGATAGTGGGTCGACGACTGCTTGGTATCATAGCAGGCGGCGAGGGGAGAGTCGACATAGACTGAGCCGAACCGTGATAATGTCATAGATATGTGTACCAATTAGCAGATATGAGTTGGCGCACTCTTGTATATAATGATGCATGCCTGTACAGACCCGATCATTCTATGGGTTCAGATCCTCAGTCGTGTCGTAGAACTCCTTTGCGAACCGCTGCTGAGTCTGCAAGGCCGTCTCGCCCTATCACACAGATCAGCTCAGTCATCGACACAGCTAAGAATACTCACCTCGGCAGGCGCCATACCACGCATCAAGAGGTACTTTCGGCCAGCTGACATGTCAGTTGCTATCTTTGATCCGGTACCACTTAGGGCTGAAAAGACACCGCGTAGCTCACCGATGAGATCAGCGTCAACATCCCCACTGAGCGAGCTCGTCTTGGAGCCAAAGACCGCTCCGCCGGCCTCGTGCAGGATACAGATACCCGCCTGACCGTCAGCTCGGTATTGTTCAGCTGCCGAAGGAGTTACTCACAGTCACGTCCCAAGGCCAGCACTGAACTGGTCAGCTAGACCCTCCGGATTTCTCGGTCGAGTTGAACTTACGCCGATCTCCCAGTACATGTCCAGTCCGCCCGAAGCGACCACGGCGATATTGATCGCTGCAGATCCCAGGCTGCGAAGCGAGTGTGCCATTTTGCCTCCTTCCTTGACATCTGCGGCGAGGGTCTGGAACGTGCGGACTTTTGATGGGAGGCCAGGCGAGAGGCGGTTGGAGCCGTACTCGACGCCGATGCTGCCAAGTCAGCTCGGCTTTCACTAGTATTGGTGCCTCCTAGCTGTGACTATGAGAGACATACAGCGCATGCCCGAGCGAGAGAAGCGGCTTCGCCTTGCCAGTCAGAGGAAGCTTTTGAGTTTGGTTCAGGTACGCTCCGCGCCCTTTCGCAGCAGAGTACTACGATGGTGAGCTTCACGCCCGCTTATCGTAGCGCTAAGGGGAGCAATTGAGCTTACCAATTGATCCATGAAGGGGTTGTAGATGACGCCTACGACTGGGACACCCTTGTGCGCCAGGCCGATAGAGGTGCAGACCATCGGGAAGCCATGAATCTCGCCGGTCAGCTTCTGCTCTGCCCTACAATGCGGAGCCCTTGGCAGCTCACAAAATTTGTAGTACCATCGATAGGACTGCCTATATTAGCTCTGTAACTCTTACGGCTAATGACTTTGGCCTACTCGACTGAGGCATCAGCTGCAGCCTTTACGAGCAGGAACCATAACACGACGAGCTGACTTACTGATCCATGTCGGGGCATCAGTGATCTTCTCTCCAGCATATGTCTCCTCTCCAATACTACATTCATCAGCCGGCACTCGTATAAGCGTCCGAGCAGCGCCAGGAGTACGCACAACTTGTGCTCCGGGTAGGCCTCGCTGATAGCCTTCTCGATGAACTCCTGGACTGCCTTGTCCACCTCTGTGACCAGCTGTGATCCGTCAGCTACAGCTTGGAGATCCTCGTCATGCAGTGACGGGGTGGATCGAAGTCAAGCTTACGTCCACGCTGTTCAGCTTGGCATCCTCTGAGGCAGCTTCCGAGGCGAATCGCTTCGCTTGTCCATCACGGATCATCTTGCCCGCCTGCCGTATCAGCCAAGCAGTACGGAGGAGAGTGTTGACTCTTATGGTATGAACCGAAACTCACATCTTGCGCAAGGTTGATAGCAAAGGCCAGAATGGCATCGAGGTCGACTTCGTTAGTGGACATGGTGAGACAGCTTCCGTCGAAGTCTGTTGGTGCTGAACGCGTGACCGGCAGCTTAAAGCTATTTGAGAGATACCTGGTCTTGAGATGAGGCTATCTTGTGTGTTTGCCTTGATGTACCGTTACTCTTTGTGGTCTATGCTGTTATGCTGTGTGTCAAGAGTACAAAGCAACTTAACACCTTCAGAAGAAGAAGCGCGTCAAGCTCGTGCCTCCACCAGGCACCAGCCAAGCATCGCCATTACGGCAACCCCCCCTTTCGGCTCTGACCGGCTCGGTGAGCCGCCGGCGTTTCCGGTCCGCACTGGCCCGGTGGACCGAGGCGACTGCAAAGATCAAGAGAGGTCGCGGGGATCTTTACCGTTCGTACTCTCTTCTTGTCTCCTGTCCCAGCCTCACATCTGCCTATCCCGTCCCATACCCATTCTCAGCAAAATGTCCAAGCCCCAAGTTCTTATCTGCGGTGTGTCCTCCGTTGATCTGTGGCCGTGTGGCAGTAGGTGTCTGGCGCTGACCCGCAGCCAACCCGACCAAGGGTGTTGTCTGGTCCAAGGAGGAGCAGAAGTCGAAGCTTGGCGCTGTCGCTGAGGTCTTTGTGAGCTACCCGTTTCTGCCTTCCTCACGGAAAAAGGTGGAAGAACACAGCTGACATCCTCCAGGAGTTCGACTCCAAGACGCGCGAGGCCTTCTTCGAGGACTGCAAGGGCAAGTACAGCAAAATTGTCGCCATTTACCGACACAACGACTCGGTAGCCAGCATCGGCCTGTTCGACAAGGAGCTCATTAATGCGCTCCCCAAGAGCTTGAAGTACATCTGCCACAACGGTGCTGGATACGACCAGAGTAGGCTTTGTACCGGGCTCCTGGAGACCAAACAGAGCTGACCCTCTAGTCGACGTGGACGCATGTACCGCCCGCGACATCCAGGTGTCCCACACTCCCATGGCCGTCGATCACGGAACAGCCACCGTCGGTGCCTACCTCACCATCTCTGCTCTGCGTCAATTCCACCGCGCCGAGGTGAATGTCCGGAACGGCAAGTGGAAGGGCGGTCTCATACCCGCTCGGGATCCCCAGGGCAAGGTCCTCGGTATCATCGGTATGGGCGGTATCGGATCGGTAAGCTCTCCTCACCCACGGGACTTGACTCCGCTGACTTTCAGACCATGGCTCGCATGCTCATTCCCTTCGACATGACCGTCATCTACTACAACCGTCGCGAAATCACCCCCGCCTGTGACTTCCCATGCGAGTACGTCTCGTCCCAGGAAGAACTCCTGCGGAGGTCGGACGTCGTCTCCCTCAACTTGCCTCTGAACGACAAGACCAAGGGCAGCTTTGGCCGTGAACAGTTCAGCCAGATGAAGGATGGAAGTGTGCTCGTGAACACTGCGCGAGGGGCTGTGGTCGATGAGGAGGCGTTCCTTGAGGCTTTGGACAGCGGCAAGGTAAGTAGACCGCAGGTCGGAGTCAGCAAAAGAAGGTCAGGCTGACTTGCAGCTCTTCTCCGCCGGTATTGACGTCTTCCCGGACGAGCCCAACGTGAACCCCCGTCTCGTCAACAATGACAAGATTACCCTTCTCCCCCACATGGGTACCGAGACCCAGGACTCGCAGAAGAAGGTGAGCTATCTGCCGCAGATCCGTGTCATAGCGCAGTGAGCTGATATGTGCTAGATGGAGATCCGAGTGTTCGATAACATGATCTCGGCTGTGACTGGAAAGGGCTTGATTAACCAGGTCCAGGAGCAGAAGAAGTGAGCGGTGTCAGTAGAGGGGAATGATGTTGCGTTGGCTCTACTTAGTGTAGTTGGGTATCTTTGGGTGTACATATCATCTACGTTGTGCCGCATCATTGATACGCCCGTCCCGTGTTCCTTAGAGCATGGGGGTCAACTTCCTTTGCACTAAGCAATCGGTACGTTGACTCGCCCGCCGGGTTGCACCGAACTATATCTGAGAGACGTGATCGTGATTACGGTTGAGCTCAAACCCTCGACAAAGGTCACTGACGCCTTGTCGACGCGCCGCGCAGGAGAGGAGAAGGGGGAACAGCCCCCGTGACTTGGCTCGTGTTTGGGTTGCCGAGACCACGTTAGCGCAAGGTTAAGACACAGGACGAGGCGGTCAATATAAGCTGCATGACATGAGGGTGAGATATACAACACAGGGCGTACTTGATAGTGATATGACGACCGTAGACGGGAAGAGCAAGCACAAGAAGGGCAAGATGAGTGTAAAGACCCTAGTTGTTGGTAGAAGTCTGATCTCCACAGCTCATACACTACATCATCAGCTCTTTCTTGTCATGCAAAGCTCATCGCAGGTCTCAAGCTTACCTTGTAGAAGATCGTACTACCTTCATCCGCCGACCGCAATTGCATCTCCTTATAACTCAACCCTATATGCCCACACTTTTGACATTTTTCTTGCGCCTACACAGAGTCAGCTACTCCGCCTAAAGCTAGACACGTAGGATTGGCCGTAGACCAGTGGAAAATAGCTTACAATTGGATCTCTGTCTTTGGCTGCCTCGCCGCCTGTCTGGGTATTTTGCACCAACGCGCGCTTGGCCCGGAGTTGACTTGGGAAAGCATTAGGTGAGGAGTAAGTCTTGGTGGGGTTGTTTTCGTACGCTATAGTATCAGCACCTGAGTACCGTACTTCTCCCTCCGGATTGGATAGCTCTCGAAGCGGGAGTAGAGACCAACGCACATGAAGCAGGCTCAGACCGGCCGCATTGATGGCACTCGATATCGTCCTTGTCGTCCGCGGGGAGGTCAAGGAGCGTGCCGCATACGGGACAAAAGAGGAGCGAGCCTATCCGCTGGGCTTTCGATTGGGGGCGGGAAGATGATGCTATGCCGGACATGGTGTAGGTATTGGGCGTGTGAAGGGTGGATGCTTGTTGTTGCTTTGCCTGCGTGGAAATTCTGGTTCAGTCAAGGTGGAGGTCGTTCCACTAGGGGGATCGAATAGCGTCTGTACAGCTTACACAGAAGAGGAGCTCATGAGCACGAGGAGCGATCTGGCCTGCTGCCTGTCATTCGCATCATCGAATGCCATGCATGATCATTCCTCTGCCGACTAATCCACGCCTCTCACCGCTAAGCAAGAGTCAAAGAAGAACCGAGCAAAAGGGTCGTAACGACAAAGTACGAAGCGAAGGTTTCAAGCTGTTCATTCAGGAGGGGAAGGACCGACTGATGCGGCTAATTAAAGGTGATAAGGCTATATAGGTAAGACAGGCAAACATGCACAAGGCAAGGATCTAAGGGGAGGCGCCGAAGGGAGAAATGTCGTTCAGGCCGCAGTCGCTACGACGGGGGCGGCTGGGGGTGCAGCGTGGGTCGTCGTTGGTGCGGGCTTCTACGATCGTCAGCTGGGCTCACGGCAATGACTATGATAGCTTACCTGCTCCTCGATCGAGATGGGCTCGGAAGGAGTGGGCTCGGCGATCTTGGGCGCCTCATCGCTGACGACCGGGGTCGAATCTGCGGCGGCGGGCTCTGCGGCGGCGTCCTTGACGTGCTCCTCCTTGCCGGCGTGGTGCTCCTTCTTACCGATACCCTTGACGAAGGATGTCAACCGGGTCGATATGCGGCGGTGAGCCTTGATGGCCTTGACCTGGGAATCAGCAAGTGACCGAGTGGAGAGTAGAAGCACTCACGTCCTTCTCGGCGGCAGTGGTCTCCTTGGTCTTGGACTCGGCAACGGGCTCGACCGGGGCAGCGGTGGTCTCACTGATAATCAGACGATATTCAAGCAAGTATGATGCGATGACTCACGTCTCCTTGACAGCTTCGGGCTCAACAACGGCGGAAGTGGAAGCGACGGGCGCCTCCTCGACCTGCACGGGAGCCTGGGCGACCGGCTCGGCAGCGAGTGCGACACCGGTGATCTCAGCCTTTGGCTCAGCGACCTCCTCAGCCTTGACCTCGGCAATCGGCTCGGTGGCAGCGGGGGCTGGGGTATCTGCGGCGGTGACGGGGGTGGGGTCAGCCTCCTCGGTCTAGAGATCAGCTCGGCGCCAAACAAAGGTAAGCAACATACCTTGGGGGTCTTGACCTTCTTCTCCTTCTTGGGGCTCTTGCTGCCGCCAAACAGCTTGGCGAAGAAGCCCTTGCTCTCGGCCTTGGTCTTCTCGACCTTCTCCTGGTATGTCAGCGGGGCTCACAACTGACACTATAGAAGACCTACCTTGACCTCCACCTTCTTCTCTTCCTTCTTCTCCTCCTTGGTCTCGGTGGCGGGGGCAGCGACAGGGGTCTCCTCGACGGCGGCCTCGGCTGGGGTACCGTCAACGGTGGTTGCAGCCTCGACGGGGGTGTGGAGGGTACCTGTCTCGGCGTGAGTGGTGGTGGGCTGCTTGTGGGCCTGCTTGTCAGCTTGAACCGCGAGGGCAACGAATGACTCACTTCCTCAACCACAGGCGTCACCTCAGCGACGGGGGCAGCCTCGACCTCTGCGACAGGGGCGGGGGTCTCCTTGACCTCCTCGGCGTTGACAGCCTCGACGGGGGCAGCAAGTGCGACAGGCTCAGCGGCGACGGGCTGCTCTTCGGGAATCGAGGGCACGAGAGCGATCATGGTGACCTCGGGGGCAGGGGCAGATACAGGAGTTGGGGTTGGTTCAGAAGCGGCGGCGTCAGGGGATGCGATAGGGTCGGTGGGCGCATCGACAAAGGCGTCCACGGCAGAGTCAGAGGGGGTAGGTTCGTATACAAGCACAGGTGGTTCGGCGTCGATAGGTGTGACAGGTTCGGATGGGAGGGGAGTGGCTGGGCGAGATTTGGGAGAGAGGTGGCCAGCGAGGTGGGTTTGGGACATGTTTTGAATGTAGTTGAGGAGAGTCATTGTGGTGGGTATAGGTTGGGTTGAGTGATAAAGAAAGGTGTTAGCGAGCGTCTCGATGGGGTCTATGCAGAAGTATGTAGAGAGGGAAGATGAAGATGTGAAGCGTTTGATAAGAGGGATGCAGGAGAGGATGTTTGGGTGTTGCGCAGCCAACATGGCGTGTCGACCAGCCCAGTCAAGGGGTAAGGTGAGACAACAATAATGGACAGCGGGGGCAGAGGAGAGGAAGGGGTCGCGGAGTGGTGTGAGGGGTGTTTCGTGTTTGATGTCCAGTAGATCTAGGGCGGAGGGGCGAGCAGACTCAGGCTACAGCTGACCATGGATCTCATCACCCCTCGCCACCTCCTCGACTGGTGGAAGGGGATGGAAGATAAGGAAGGGATCCAAGCGGGGAAAGAAGACTCACCTTGATCTCGGTAGCGGTGGACATGATTGCTTGTTGTTGTTGGGACTATTAAGGAGTGTGGGGGTGATAGTTGGTGAGTATGACAACAAGGATAGAAGTGATAGAGAAGGAAGGATGAAAGGAGATGGACAGAGTCAAGAGGAGTGGGTGGCGAGAAATAGTTTCGTGCAGCTCAGAGACGCTAGCGGAGGCCCAGCGCGACAAGCTTGGATCCCCTCCGTGTCCCTCCTTCCCCCTTACTCCGTGTTTCAACTCATCTAAAGTGTCCAAATAGCTCGGACCCCACCCTTGTTCCCCCTAATGGAAGCGTGTGCCGCCCAAAGGACCTCGCCGAATGTGGCTCTTCCATCGGTAGCTTCCACTCATCTCAGTGCTGCTGTCTCCCATTGTCTGCCTCGAAGGGAACGCAAGTTGACGCGTTCTGTGCCGGCGGTATGGACAAGGTAAAATTGTTTTGGTCGGAGGTGCGGGGCAACTGAAACGCCTCCATTCGGTGGCAAATCCCTGGATTGCGTAAACCCAATTCGTAAGCAAGCTCCGCGCCGACTCCGAGCGCGGAGTCCGAGCGGCGAGCCGGCGATGCCGTGCAAGTCGAGAGAGGTGCAAGAGACTAGTAAGGCAGACGAAGTAGGAACGATACAAATGGCTAGATTGTATGCATTGATGTCTGCTCTTCCTACCCCCTCTCCGTGACCTTGCACTACAGCGTTACCTCCCCGTCTGGATCGACTACGCCTCGCACTGACGGTCTCGACGCGACTTTGCTATAGACAGCTCTGCCCGTCCGCGTGAGCTTCGCCAGTCCCAGCTCTAGCAGTAGAATGCTCTTGTCTGAGCCCACTCCATGGCCGATGCCTCGACTAGAACTCGGTCATGCCCGCTTGGCTCGGGGCGATCGAGGACGTCTCGTCATCTCCCGTCTTGTACCCGTACGCGTACATCGACGCCGTGGGGGCGTCGCTCTGCGCCATACTGCCCACTGACAGCCTGCGCCGCCCGACCCCACTCATCCCTGCATTGGGTACAGCTCCGCCAGGCAAGCGGTCAAACTGGTTGTACGTGACGCGACTGCCGGGGAGGATGGAGCCGGCCTGCGAGACCGCGTCTGAACCCGACATCCCGATGGGCTGCTGAGAGATGATGGACGAGGCGTAGCCGGTGTAGGTCTTGTTCTTTCCGTTGGGAATGGCAGAGCCGAGAGGGAAGGAGGAGATGGCTTGGGAGACGACGGATTGGGCATCGCCGGGAACGTAGGCGGTCGGGTCGTGCGTGCGATAGTAGGACGGGTCGAATCGGCCGTTGGCAGCCGGGGCGGGGGCACGACCTGCTGATTAGCTCCTATATGATTGATCAGTGGGCAGACAAACCAAGGAACTCGTTGGCAGATGTCTCGTGCCGCTTGAAGGGGTCCATAGCAGCAGCAAGTGTCTTTTTGGGCCGGCTGAACTGGATCATGCTGGGTTGGAGGTTGCTCAGCGGACCCTCGACGAAGGTGCCCTTCTCCTTGAAGTGGGTCAAGAGGTACAGCCAAAGCGGGTGCTGCTTGTCAGCTTGTCCCTAATTTGTAACAGACCAGCTCACCTTGCTCAAGACCTTTGGATTCCCCAAAATCACCGCCCCATATTTCGCCCTCGTCAACGCGACATTCAACCGCCTCGGGTCATTCAAGAACCCAATCCCCTGATGCTCGTTACTCCGCACACACGAGAGGATGATATAGTCCTTCTCTCTCCCCTGGAACGCATCCACACTCGCCACCTCCACCTCCTTGTACAGCTCCTTCTTGAGCGACCCATGCAGCTGCATGTATGTCGCGATGTACGAACGCTGACCCTCGTACGGGGTGATTACGCCAATTTGGGACGGCAGGACGCCCGACTTGAAGAACCGAGTGACCATCCTTTCGACGTTGCTCGCTTCCGTGCGATTGAGGAAGGAGGTACTGCTGGATGAGATCTCCTCGGTCCCCAAGTTCTGGTGGAAGAACATGGGGGTCTCAGGGACCGGCCAGGGGAAATCGACGTTCTTGCGCAGCCGCTCGGGCGCGGTGACTCCGTTCTGCAGCGTGCCTTCGTAGAACATGTTGGAGGGGAACTCCGAGAGGCACGGGTGCATTCGGTATTGCACCTGCAGCCGGATGGGGCGATTCCCGAGGACGACGAGGCGTTCGAAGAGGGACTGCGATAGTCCAGCTTTGGCGGCCTTTTTGTTCATGATGACCGGTCCGAGCTGCTGGTGATCGCCGACGAGTACGACCTGCTTGCATCCCATCACGAGGGGGATCATGCATTCTGGAAATCAGCATCGTCCTATTCACGCAACCATCCCCTTCTCCCCTCTCTCCTTCAGTCAAGACTCCTTCGTTCAAGAAGCACTTGACACAAAGCTGTAGCCAAGAATGGAGATTGAATACAGGGGGACTGTAGTATCGCAAATGAGAGTTGATGGCTCACCTGGCTCGGCAGACTGGGTCGCCTCGTCAATCAAGACCGTCCTAAACTTGAACTTGGCCAATCTCGGATCACCCGCCCCCACACACGTCACGCAGATGACGTCCGCCGCGTTGAGTATATCCCGCTCACACGCCCTCACGAGCACCTTGTATTTGCGCTCGTCACTCTGACTCAATTCGCCCATGCTGTCACGAAGCTGGATGAGCTTCTGGAGTTCCGGATGGGTATCGGCATTGGCGACCTGGTTGTGCAGAGATAGAAACGCGACGGACGAATCGAGCGCTTCTCGCGATTTGGCGGCGAGACGGACCACCTTGAGACCGGTGTGGTGGATCTTTTCGCAGAGATGGTCGACCGCGACGTTGGAGGGTGCGCAGACGAGGACTTGGCCAGAATTCATCTTGGCCAGGTGGTAGACGATCGAGGCGGATGTGACGGTCTTGCCGGTACCTGGTGGACCTTGAATCAAGCTGAGCGGTTTCTGAAGTACCGCCTTGACCGCTGCCATTTGCGAGTGATTGAGTTCGGGCAGGTTGGGCGCCGAGAACCGCTTGGGCATCTGGGTGCGCAGAACCTGAGGTTCGAGCTCGTGGCCGAGCAGCTTGTGGTACTGCAAGTCAGCTGGAGCACTATGAAATTGTTCGCGCAGCTCACGATGTATCCGCTAACACTCTTCTCGTCCACCGCAAATGTCTTCATCGCCGCCTGCATCCTGTCAAAACTGGTGGCTTTCCAGACAAAGTCGACGGTGAAGCCATGCGTGCAGTCGACCGGACAGTTATCGCTGCGGCGGAGCTCCAAGCAGATCTCATCCGACACGTCTGTTCATCAGTCCAGTCCTTGCGAGCTGATGATTGACTCACTGTTGGGGATCTTGACCACACTCCCCACACCCTCCCATGTCGAATCCGCATGCCCAGCGCCCAGCCTGTTCAGCGCTTGCAAACCCCTCATACCGCCCGTCCCCGCCGAGGTCATCCCCGTAAACTTTAACCTTAGCTCATCGCCCACCGCCAGCTTCAGTTCCCCACTCTCCAGCTTTGGCATGCTGAACCAAGCCAGACGCCGCTGGTTCAGACCCATATCCCATCGCACAATGATGTCGCTCTCGGTCTGCGCCTCCTTCATGCGCTTGTCGTAGTCCGCCTCGATCTTCACGAGCGGGCCAAAGATGTTTTGGTACTGATAGGCGTCTTCGTATCTGTTTCGTCAGCCATGCACTTGGCCGACCCGGGACACCACTCACCTCAGAAGGATGGGCTGCATCTCCTCCTCTCCCGTCTGAGCCTCAGCATCCTCCAGCTTGGCCATGGGGTTCTCCCGCCACATCTCCTCGAGCTTGGCGATCTGCGACATGGAGATCTGTCTCGCTCGGAGCTGCTCCGCCTCGGACGGCACCTTGACCAGCCAGGACAGGAAAGACCGGTCGTCGATGATGGCGGACCACTGTGAAGTGTCCCAGTTGATATCGCGCGAGCTGGTGAGGGCTGCGCAGGGTTGACTGAGGGTCAGCCAGGGACAAGATACCAGTATCGAGGTGGACCTACCGACAAAGCAGCACAACGACGGTATCGCTCTTGGCGGGGATGAAGCCCAGCATGAAGACGTTCTTGCTCCCGCAGTTATAACCTGGACGTCAGCTTTACCCTTGTTCAGACAGGAAGGAGAGACCCTCAGCTCACATTCTGGGATGGTCTCGCCGAGCGCGCTGTCCCGGTGCAGAACAACCTCCTTGTGCTTGGCCTTGACCAAGTGGTTGACGATATGCGATGCCGAGGTGTTTCCTCGGGAGTTGCAGAACCACTTGTTGCAGGGAAGGCACTGGTCATGTCAGCTAATGTCAGTGGGTCAAGGCTGCCGACAGCAACACTGACCTTGACGACACACTGTGGATTATGGATTCCACAATAACTGCCCGTCAGCGTTTGTCCACCCTTCGTTTGGTGTAGACCCACCTGCACGCATGCTCCACATTCACCTCCTCCACTACGTCCTCTGCATATCCCTCAAAGTCCTCTTCGTAGCCATTCCGTACAGTGGCGTGAATGTGGTTCGACGTCGTATTGTCCAAAGACAGATCTTCTAGCGCCAGGCTCAGATCGGACGAGTGTTGTCCGTCATGCGCTGCCGGTCTGCTGGGAGCGACAGCGGGAATCCGGACGGAGACCTGAGATGGAACGGAAGAGTAGAAGGAGGTGGAGTCGTCCTCGGCCCCGTACTGCTTGTCAGCCAAAGATGCGAAGGAGGTGGCCAGAGTTCAGCTGGGAAGGTCGATTTACCTGGCTTGCGCCCTCGAAATTTGTAAACGGATCCATGACACCAGCTCTGTTTCTGATACAGAGTACAATAGTACCGGGTACCGGGATGAGGACACCAGGCGGCAGTAATGATAGATGCGAAAAGCGAGGAGAAAGGAAGTACAAAGAGCGAGGAAGTTCTGATCGGTGACCTCCACCGCTGCCCTCCACCTTTGTGGTCTTTGCTGTGAGGCAAAGCACTGAGTTCTGCCCAAGCCTGTAAGGACGATGTATACTGGCATTCAAAGCCATTCCCGAGATGCATAGCGTCATGGCGCTGTATCATGCCTTGACTAAGATACAAGCTACGCTACCCAATGCCCGCCGGATGTCCTGGTAGTCCACATCATGAGCTAGTCAAGTCAGTCCAGTCTCCGGTTTTACAGGTATCCTGCAAAGCACTCACTGTCCTCTACCTCTCCCCACCGCCTGATCTGGTCCCTGACCTCGACGTGCGCCGCTTCAGATGCCTCGTGCGCTGTCAGATGGCCCTTGCAAACTGCCAAAGCGATAACAAAGGATTTTGAGGCGTATACTGCGCGCTCGAACGCTACGTTGTCAGCCAGGGGATCGCTAACGAGAGCGGCTCTGATTTAGGAAGAAGAACGAAGGGATTCAAGAATACGAAGCTGATCGACCGAGTGGGGAAGCAAAGGAGGAGGGAGCAGTGTAATGCTGGCTGGTCACGGTGGGGCTGACGACAACTACCGATACGCCCGCCCGGTAGCTGTCTCACACTTATGTGTGTGACGGGAAGCGACGGAGTCAGACTAGGAAGCAGGACTCACCGGCAAGCTCCCAGTGATCCATGTCCTCCACTACGCCCCGCAACACCTTCACGGTCTCCTCTGGCTGCTTGGCAGGTGAAAACCCCTCTGCTAGCGCGAGCTCAACCCCATAGTTCTTCTTCATCAAGTTGAAGAGCGGGTCCCAATACTGATGCTGCAGCTTGACGAGTGATTCGGGCTTTTCCTCGGGATAGCTGAATGTCAGTTCCAGGCATCGGAGAGAGACTGAGCGGGACTGACCAGATCGTATCTGTCTCGAGATAGTCCATGAGCGCGTCGATGACGCCAGGCCTGATCTTTGGATCTTGCATTCCGTCTATAGCTCTGGACGCTAATGATGTCTGCCATATCAGCTACGATCTCGTCTCGCTACGAGGAACTCACCAGGGGCAACGCATGCTGCTTTAGGATCTCATCCTGATTCTCCCACTCATTCGCTATGAGCAGCGCCAGCAATCTCCGATCCTTTGGCAGGACCAACTTTGTCCCGGATGGCGTCTTGAGATTACGATGATCCAGCGTGATGAGCAGCCCGTCCTCTTCCTCCTTGATGTGCACGGTCTTCCAGAACCGACGGAGTGTGATCTCAGCTCCTGGAGGGCGATCAGCTATGCGCTGACGCAAAACTAGGTCGACGTACGATTTGTCTGACTCAAGGCAGGTCCAGGCTTTACCTCTGCCCATCTCCGGCTGGTTGTCCCGAACGATCGGATAGTAGGGATCGCAGTGGCTCGCAAGGGCAGCCGGGGGAGCTTTGTCTGGCGACAGGCCGAGCACGTCCTCGCGGTCGCCCCAGCCTCGCTTGCTAGCTTGAAACCTGTGCGCATCGCGGCCGACATGTCGTTGTTGATGGTGATTGATGGTGTTGAAGTGGGCTCAGCAGGGCTCAGCGCAAGTGGACCGGTGTTGTTGTATGCATGGAAACTATCAATATGACACTTTTAAGCCTACTCTAATCGGAACCAGAGCTCGATAGTGGGCGCGTTACCGGGAAACGCCGGTAATCACGAGTCGAAGGTGTTGTAACGTGTCTACACGGCGCCAATTGGCGGGTACCCGCCCAATAACACTCTCATTCATCTGGGATTAAACACTCCAGGATCGCAAACGATGCCAGGCTCGAACCCGGGACATCATCACTCTATTTAAACGTCTTTTAATGACGGGCTGCAGTTTTACCACTTATTAAGCCACGGTGTGGACGTCAACGGCAACCGAATTTACGCTCCCGAAATCGCTGATGGCAACCGTTTATATTCCCGCCAAACGCCGACTTTGGTAGGATTCGAACCCCCAGGTGGATCGTGGGAAAACTGCTCAACTCCTCGTTCCTTATGTCAATCTGAAACATAGCGAAAGTGGCGACCTGATTCTTCATACATTTCATTTTCCCTTGCCCTACATTCAAAACAAAGTCAATCCTAACTACAGATACTGACACAAGACCTAGACTATGATCCTACCCGTCCTCCTCTGCTTCTCAATCTCCTGTCTGACCACCTCATCCGCGTCAATCTGCTCGATGGGGTACTTCTTGAAAAGGTAGTTTGCAACTTGAGCGAGGATGCAGATAGCACCCATCCAGGCAGTCGTAGCCGAGAAGCCTGGAATATACCGTGGCGCGTCTGTGGCGGGCCAAAGGAAGACACCGTAGATGGATGCAGAGTTACCGAGGGCGTTGACAAGAGCGATGGCGACCGCACGCTTCTCGGCGGGGGCGCAGAGGATATTGGGTACCCAGGTGAGGATGAGAGGAGGGAGGGCGTAGATACAGCCAAATGCGAGGATGATGAAGACGTACTGGACCATCCGGACGGTATTGGCGACGACGATGATGAAGAGGACACAACCGAGACCGCCAGCGATCGAGATGAAGAGAGGTTTTTTCTGCAGACGGTCTGCGGCGAAGCAGAAGAAGAGAATAACTTATATTCGTGAGCGATGGCTGACAGCGACATTTTTGAGCACTCACACACGAACGCGCAGGCATATAATGGGATGGTATGATACTGTCCGACGAAGCCAGTCCATCCTAGAGCGCCTACCAAAGTGGGGACGAAGTACCTACCAGCGTCAGCTGTCTACTTTGAGATTTGAGATAGGTACGGAGGGGGCAAGACTTACTGTATGGTCTGGGCGCCGGTGCAGAGCATGTACATGACCACAAAGAGCCACGACCGCCAGTCCTTGAAGACCATCTTGCAGGCCTCCCATTCGCCGACGTTGGCGGTGGCGCCTTGAGTGTGACCGATACCGTCATAGGCGAGACGCTGAGCAGCGAGGATACGCTCTTCGGGGGTGAGCCACTTGGTGGTGGAAGGGTAGTCCGGAAGAATCAACCAGGCGAAGAGACCGGCAAAGGATGAAGCCAAACCCTCAATGAGCTGATTGTCAGTATGGTTGATAACATCTGTGAGTAGAAGTACGCACGAAGAGCCATTGCCATCCCTTGTAGCCGCGAGCCCCGTCGAGATACTGAGTAATGACACCGGCGAGGAGACCAGAAAAGGCGCCCGAAACGGCGGTGGCGGTGTAGTAGATACTGAAACGAGATGCGAGTTCGTACCGCTTGTACCTGATGATCAGTTTAGCTCGTTGTACCGCGATCACTATCCCATACGCAGCTACACAATACTCACCAAGAGGACAGGTAAAAAGCGACACCAGGTGCGAACCCAGCCTCCGCCACACCGAGAGCGAAACGGACGGCGGCGAGTTGCTGCCAGTTGCTGACGGCGGCCATGGACGCAGCGATACCTCCCCAGAGGACACAGAGGGCAGAGAGGTATACACCGGGACGAACGCGCTGTACATGTAAGCTCTTGTCGACAGGTGGCGAGGATATCTCTCCCAAAACCCGAAAAATCCCAAAAATAACAAGAATCGCCTTCTTTTGCCTGAATCTTCACCCAACAATGCGAATCAGGACTCACGGCGATCAAAAGGTTGCTCGGGATCTCGAAAAGAACATAGCTGACGAAGAATACAAGAAGCACTATGGAGTACTGGGTCGAGGAAAGGTTGAGGTCACGCTCGAGACCGCCTGTTTGGTCAGCTCGGTCTGAGAATCGGGACGAGCACAATCTCACCTGTTTTGGCATTCCCGATGTTGGCTCGGTCGAGATACCCCAACATGTACAGCAACCAGATGGTGGGCTGGATGAGTTAGCTCGGCGACGAAAAGCACCCTCGAAATAAAAAAGAAGACTCACGATAATGTGCTTGTCGATCTTCCAAACCAACGCCTTCTCGGCAGCGGTTCCAGGAACGTATGACGCTGCCATGGCTACAGCATTGAGATCAACGCTGCCAGAGTCCTCGACATAGTCGTGGGACACCTTGCGGTCATCCGCGTGGTCGGACATGGTGGAGGTGAGTGAGATGGTAAGATGAGATCGTTTTGCCACCCGGTGCGGTTATGCTTGGGGTAAGATGCAGTGAGACCGAAGAGACGGGGCACCTGTCAGTTGTCTGGGGTACTTATAGAGGATTCGTTTCGCGATTCTATAAGTCAAGAGCCATTTCGGGCAGGGGGAGAGACGGCGTACTTGGCGAGGCCCCGCAGCGATTGTTCCGGGGATGCGGAGAGGTATGCGGGAGTGATGCGGGGCTATCTATAGCTTGAGACCGAAAAGATGGAGGTCCGAAAATCCCGACAGGGATCGGCACGATGTCTGCTGCAGCGCAGGACAGCCTAGGACAGCCGTCGAGCGGAAGGGAATGAAACTCCGAGGGCCGAGGGACTCAAGGCGACCAACGGCCGGAACGATGCGACTCTAGTCGTCAGATGCCGAGATGTCTCAGGCGGACGGGTCACATCAGCCACACTGATCCAGTCACAACTTCAATTGCTTTCTTTCCGGTAGCGTGACGTGACGCACGGTGTGATATGGTCACAGGAGGCGAAGTCACATGTCACCGGGTTCAACGTCCAAGACAACGCAATCCGCGGGAAACGTAGCCGGCCCTAACCGGGCCGGCCCGAGGAGGGGACCGCTTCACTCGAGCATGGGGGATGAAGCGATCAAGCAAGTCAAGCGTCAAGCTTTCAAGACCAGCTCGACTATCAGACTTAGCTCATCTACATCATTAGCAGCAACCAAATCGGCCAACGCCATGTCGACCAAGAACAATCACACGCTTGATATCCTCGCCAAAGCTGAAGCTGGCGGCTGTGCGTTACGCATTAGAAGGCGCGACGTGGAATGCTGACAAGGGCAGATGGTGTCCTGTCGCAAGTCTGCTACGACTGGGCAGAAGTAGTCGGTGTCATTCGCGCTGCAGAGCGCTTCAAGGCTCCTGTCATTGTGCAACTCTTCCCCGTGACTCTGCAGTACGGCGGAGGACCGTTCCTTCAGCTCCTGCTTGACATGTAAGCGCCAAGCACCTGTAGTAAAGCTGTCGCTAACATTTGCAGGGCGCACAATGCTTCCGTCCCCGTATCTGTCCACCTCGACCACGCTACAAACGATGAGCAGCTCGAGCTCGCTGTCGGACTCGCGGAGAAGGGGATCAAGTTTGACTCGATCATGGTGGATGCGTCGCACGCGGATGTAAGTTGTCGCCGCCTATTCACCATATCAAGCTGACGGATAGACCGATGAGGAGAACATCAACATCGCCATTCCCTGGATCAAGCGATGCAACGCCGCTGGGGTGCGAACCGAAGTGGAGCTCGGTCGTCTGGAGGGCGGTGAAGCCGGTCTCCGTCAGGTTGAGGGGACGATTCTGACTGACCCCGCAAAGGCTGAGGAGTTCTTGAAGAGGTGAGTCCAGTAGCATATTGAGCGAGGCTGATAGCGAAGGACTGGAGCCGACATCCTCGCACCGTGTGTTGGAAACCGACACGGATCGTACGTCCCATTCGGAGGTGCCGATGGCCAGTGGGACATGCAACTGTGAGCTTAGGCGATGTGTAACTGCTATGAAGCTAATAATGTAGGCTTGAGACCTTGTCAAAGCAGTTCAAGGGTCGTATCCCCATCTGCGCTCACGGTACCGACGAGCTCCCCGAACACATGTGGGGCCAGATGATCAAGGCTGGTGTCAGCAAGGTAGGTTCTTCATTCCTACCAGTGTGCCTCGCGCTGACGGACAGATCAATGTCAACTCGTGGATTCGTGATCCCTACATCGAGAACCTCTGCGAGGGACTCAAGACTAAGCCCATGCCCGAGGCCATTGAGGACGCGACCGAGGTGGTCATCAACGAGTGCGAGAAGTTGTTCAAGCTGTTCGGTTGTATCGGCAAAGCTTAGGGAGCTATCTAGATCATGCAGGTCGAGTCAAAGTGTACATCTCAGCGCGGACACCATCATGTCTGAAGGTGGATTGGCATTTCGATGTTCGTGAAGGTTTACAATCTAACATGAACGGCCGCCGCTCAGTCCAGTAGATGATTTTGCTTTCCTCGATAGCGATCCTCACGGTTCGCCTCAACAGACCAAGGTGCATAGCATCTAGTTGACTTTGTCGAGCCTCTGGATCTGGAAGCCGCCGATCAGGTTGTCCTTCTGCGACATGAACTCTGCGTTGTCAGCCGGTCACAGGCATGTTGCGAACGCCATGACCCACCCAAGTATGGCTTCCCCTTCCGGTGTACTAAAGCATCAGCAAGCTCCCATACCCAATGCATCTATTCGTTCATACTGGTGACTCACCGTCCTGAAGAGCCGCATCGCTCTCGTACTATCCTGGTCAGCAGGCTCATCGCTCAAGAAGTAGAACCGACGCACCTCCTCCCAGAGCCAGATGGTGTCCGAGTTTTTGGTGTCCACTCCGATGTGGTACTTCTTGGTTCCAGGCTCGTTCGCCTTGACATCCTCGTACACCTGCTCAAGGTCTGACAGGTCAGCGCCATCACCAGGAACATTCGCGCTGTCACTTACGCCTCCGGATCTCCGCGCCCTTACCCTCTTTCGCGTTGATGGTGACCAGCTGAGCCAGTCAGAACGTGTCCGCCGGTCAATACTGCATCCTTACCTGAATGAAGCTCATTGTGTATTCGAAGTGGGATGTGGGAGGTGAAGAGCAGAAGCAGCCGACCTATATAGTGCCGAGCAAAGTGCCGAGTGGAGGGGTGGAGGCAAGTCTTGATCAGCCGAGCGATGACGTACTTCGGCTAACCTCAAAGCCGAGACGCGAGACGTCCTCTCCTTGCAAGCTGTCCTTGCTCAGTCTCTGAGGACTTGAGGTCTCGGTCGCGGCAGTACTGAGCATCTTACTGAAGGGATCACGGGCAGGAAGAACGCTGTGCACCATATAATACTCACTATGAACAGATCGTACAGTATATTAGATCTTCATTGCCGTGTATTGCCCTGTCCTGACCGTATAGCCCCTCGCCTGAGTCCTGAATCATAACCCGCCCTAGACCGCCACTCGCGCAGCATCGCTTGGTGCCCCGCTCATAGTCCAGTCAGTCCTCCAACCACCCTCGCTCGCAGCAGGGGCGTACATCCGAGTCTCGCCGGTCGAGTAGTCGAATTGAGCGTGGTGCATTCCCCCGTCGGTGGGGTGACGGTGGAAGAGCGAGGTCGTGCCTGATTCTTCAGTGACTTACTCCCTTCCAAAGCTGGGAACTTACGAGGCAGTAAGATGTGATTGAAACGGAAGTCCCAGGTGGCAGCAAAGGTCTTGCGGTACGCGACGAACGCGCAAAGGGTGCCGGTCACCGCTCCGCCGAGGCAGTCGTACCAGTTGTGGAACTCGTCAACCGTGAGAGAGGCAGCAATAAGCGAGGCGCCAAGGAGAGGCGCGATCGTAAGGACCATTTTCCAGTACCTGTGAATCAGCTCTCATCCTGCAAACATCAGAGGGAAGCTTACGCGGGGCGGTGGTTGGACATGACCTTCAGCTGTGCGTTGAAGTAGAGGAAGAGGTACTGCTGATCAGCCGGGCTCTCCTGATCTAGTCAATGACATACCACAAAGCCCGCAAACGCGGCCGTGGAGTGGCCCGACCTTCACACCATGAGCTCCGTTCTCACGACTTGTATGCAAACTGAGAACTCACATCCAGCTCTCGAGCGAGTCATTGATCTCGTTCTGGTCACTATCACATCAGCTTGGCCGGAGGACGATGACAGCGTGCTTACCCGGTACAGATACTCCGGTCGTACATGATCCGCTGGAAGCCGTTACCAGATGGTGTGATTTTGGACACGTCTGGCTGGCAAACATCTGTTGTATCAGCTCGTGGTCTTGCACTATACAAGGCGTACATACCCAAGAAGTGAGGCCTCAACCCTCCAATGAGCCACTTGTGGAAGACCTGGAATACCGCTCCGGTGACTAGAAGGTCAGCTCATCCACGCAAGCTCAGGCCAGGTCGTACGTACTCAGTGACTCTAGCAGACCCATCGTCGTCCCTAACAGCGACTCGATGTTTCGGATTCTGATCTGGAAAAGCACAAAGAAGAGAGCAGGGATGAAGAAGGCCTAGGTTCGTCAGCTTCGCGATGTCTCCACTCACCATGAACGCGGCCGCCCAAATGGGGATAATGTTCTTTCTGAGCTGTCTATATCAGCCACACTTTGACCAGTAGATCCATCTGTGAGGTGAACGTACTGGGTACGCAAACTCTGGGTATGCGATGTTCCCATCCAGGTTGAAGACTGGGAAGGAACGGCTTGGAGCTGGCCAGTCAGCCGAGGTTGATCATGAAAGTGAAAGGACGTACCTGGATTGGCCTCATAGACACCCAGACCGACTGCACCCATGGCAGCCATAGTGATGAGGTCGATGCCATGCAGCCTGGAGGTCAGCCCCATCAGGATCCAGCTCGCAGCCAGTACTCACTTAAGCCACCTGAGCAAAGAGAAGCCCTGCGAGAACCCCCTCCGATCCTGCTGATGCTGCTGTAGTTCCGCCTCGCCGGCCTGCTTGTGGCGACCACCAAACATGGATCGCTTGGCGGGCTTCTCGGTCATGGTTGGGCCCATGGCGCCTGGTGCTTCAGGGGTGACGGACATCGTGGATCAGGTGGGATGAGATGTTAAAGCAAAGTTGAAGATGGTGTCCTCCAAATTTGTTGAGCGTCCGTTCCAAAGGACTTGAGGCGCTTTAGGTTCGGCTCAACGGCAGAAGCGGAGGTGCCGGCGGTTTCCGAGGTTGTGCGTCGGCGGGTGCGGAGGTCGAGAGACGAGGAGAGGCGAGTGATCCAGCAGAGAGAGAAAGAAGTGGCAGGAAGAGGCGAGTCCTCATTTATTCCTCGTCCCAGTTCTTCTCCCCTGTCCAGATCCCCCTCTCGCCGCTCCGCCGCCGTCCGCAAGCAGCTGTGCAGAGTTAGATCCGAGACTCACCACGTCATGATATGGTTTGAAACACATTCCAGGCGTGTATTTTGGGACTGAAACCAGGTACGAGCTATTCTGAGATCACGCGTCATGAGTGGCATTTGAGTACGCACAGCCGCGAAGAGCTGCGAGTCAGAAGCGCATGGAGTGCGGTGGCCTGCAGCACAGTACCCAGAAGACCAGATACATGTGGTACATAATGCCCAAGAAAGCAACATCTAAGCGAGACCAGCCTCAACAGCGTTCTTGAAGCGTTGGACAATAGGTACCATCCCTCCCTCGTCCGCCACGAAACCCAAACCACAGGGGTAGCTGTTGTCAAATTTGGCGGGCCATGAGCCGACAATACGACGGTTGATGGGGTCATCCTACAAGTCAGCAGACGAACCATGCAATACCTTCATGACTCACCTTGAACTTGACCAGTTTCAACACTTCTGGCCCGGCAACCTTCTCCAGCGCCTCGAGCTCATCTCTGACGCTCGCAGTGAAACCAGGGAGGTAGACCACGCGGGTCTGGGGGAGGAACTTGTCGGCCGGGACGTGCTTGGCAATGACAAAGTTCTTGATGGTGGTCTCGGGACTGGCGAGCCAAGCCGAGAGGCTGAGCTCGGGCGAGTCCATGCCATTTCCGACGGGGCAGATACCCTCGACGCCGTGGAGGGGTTCCCGGATGATGCCCGAGATGAAGGCGGATGTGGCGGCGGAGGGGACACCGGGGCGGACGACGATGGTAGGGAGACGGAGGATACGGCCATCGACAAAGCCGCGACGAGTGTACTCATTGACAAACATCTCGGCGACGAGCTTGCCCATACCGTATGACCCCTCGGGAGTGGCAATGGTGTCGATAGTGACGACGTCCGGGAGAGGTCCACCGTAAACGGCGAGGGAGGAGGTGAAGATGAAGCGGATGGGCTCGCCCGATGCTGGGCGGTTTGCCCGTGACACCTCGAGCATCTCACGAATGGAGTCGACATTGACCTGAGAGTCAGCTAGCTCGTTGTGCGCGTAGCCTGTAAAACTCACCTTTACACCCAAGTCAAAGTTGTCCTCTGATCCCCGCGACATGATACCGTGGAAACAGTAGACCGTGTCGGGCACACCAAACTCGGTGGTGTACAGCGACTCGACCTCTTTGCGGTCGCAGAGGTCGGCCTTGCGGCAGATGACGTTCTTGGCGCCTTTGGGAGCCTTGGGCTCGACAATGTCGGCGAGGATGAGGTGGACATCGGGGGTTTTGGGGTCAGACAGGAGCTCGCCGGCAAGCTGAGAGTTAGCGCTGTCCATCACCGCCTGCTCGAAAGATACTCACAATGCCACCGAGCCATCCTCCGGCACCGGTGATGAGAACGACGTTCTTCTGAGGGGATCCGTTTTGTGCAGACATTGTGAGGGTTTTTGAATCGGAGAATGGGGGAATGGGCGTGCAGTTTACTAATGATGGGTGGGAATATGGTATCTGGCTAAAGCAAGATGGGTTGCGTTCTCCTATATACTACCCCTTCTCCGTATACTCGGGCGGAAGGCAGTCCGGCACAAGGTGCATAGGCTTTGCCCGACATCCCGGACTCCTTGTCCGCTCCATCGTCCCGCCCGGAGCGATAGATAAGATCAAGTTGGGCCCGTTGGATATAGCTCCGGGGTGACGACCCTGAGCTGCCGTGCAATGCCGAAGGGCCGAGACAGGTGGAATGTGGCACAGTGGCGACGGTGAAAGTGGCAGTGTGGCAGTCCCCCTGTGACGCTGGTACACTGCCAGTACCAGTCTCATCCAATGTAGAGAGGGCGACTGAGTAGCTCGATTCACAGCATTACATATAAATGCCCATACAACCGATGTAACAGACCCGCGGGTTTTAGATACTTCCCGCGCCTCCCCCTCCAGGTCCCCCAAATCCTCCCGCCGCACCCCCCAGTGACCCTGACAACAGCCTCTCCAGATCAAGGCTATCAGCTGGCGCAAAGCTCATATTCTCTACTGTATACCCCGCCATGAGATCCGCGAGCCAGTACGGACTAGCGTTGTCCCGTTCTGACTTGGCGATGCTTTCTTGCAGGGAAGTCTCAGTGGCGGGAGCGAGATTGCGTGGGTCGTCCTTATCTGTCGAGAAGCGCTTGAGGAGTCCGAGGTCGGGGAGGGAGATGAGTGTTTTACGGCCCGAGTGGGATGTGGCTTTGATACCGGAGCCTACGGATCAGCACCTTTTTTATTGTGAAGGATTAGGCTTACGCTTCTCCAAGATGGTTGCCACATAGCCTGCTCCCGCCCAGTACTGTTCCATTCTGGAGATAGCATTCAACAGCGCCGTCAGATTCTGCCTCGCCATCGACAGCAAGAACATGTCCGAGGCGTTCCCCGATGACTCAGCGACAGATACAGCTCTCATCTCGTGTATAATCGCCATGCTATTCTTGTCAGCCTGCACCCTTGACAACGAGCTCGAGGATCATAAGACTCGGCCGAAGTGGACGCAGGCGACAAAGGCGTCCCGCTCGAACAAAGAAGGGGAGAGATGTGATGAAAAGGATCTGACAGGATAGCGGACGTTGGGAAAGAGACTACACCGAATATGGCCAGACAATGGGGACGGAAGGAGAGAAATTGGCGCTACTCACGCAGCGACAAAGAGAGGCTGAACCAGGAACGGGGTACTGGTATAGCTGCTCGGCGCGACCAAGTCCGCAAACACCATACACTCGCATATCTGCCGACTGCTCGCGAGACTGAGCTTGATATTCCTCGACATGCCCTTGTTGAGTGGCGTCTCGACACCCGAAGGGGATTTGAGGAGTTCGGGGTGGTAGATGAGAGCGAGGACCGCATGTGACCAGAGATGTATGGCGAGAAAGCAGCCCTAGTCATAAGCACAGTCACAGTCGCAGCATAAGCTAAACTCACTCCGTGACCCCTCGTGTGCTGATGCCTGAAATTATCCGCTGACCACTTCAAGCTCTCTGGCAGCCCCGCCACAAACTGCACCAGGCGCATCTGCAATTCCACCAGCTGCTCCGCTAATGGCTCAGCTGTCGAGACTAGCGTCCGCGCCCGCCCTCTGCGTCCATTCAAGACATTCGATATCCTCCCGCAGATGATCATGAGCCGGACAAAGTAGACAAAGGGGACCGGCTCGATCGTTTCTGGTGGGAAGCCGGGCGTGTTCCTGGAAGGGTCCGGAAAGAAGTCCTTGTCTTCAGGTAAGGGCACCTCGACGATATCCTCCGATATAGACGCGGGTCTGCCGGTCGCAAAAGCGACGATCCGGTCCGTGATGAACAATGTCCAGAAGAGTAGGCGAGTCCGAACGATATGGGCGGGCGACTCGTACAGATCCGAGTTCTCGTGGATTCCGATGTCGATCGCCATACGAATGGCCATCCCCGAAAACTCCCAGAGGCCGCTCTCGGAATTCTGGCCGAAATTGGCCCAAGCGAGAAAGATGAGACCCGTGGTGGTTTCGGTAGTAGGGAGGTGGACGAGGGGGATGATGAGCTCCTGCGCTTTGGCAATGAAGGGTGCGGACGCCTCGGCTTGGCGGTCTTTGGCATCGCTCGAGAAGCGCGCCCCGCATGCGCAGATGCAATTGGCAAGGAAATTGGACATAGTGCCTGATTCGTACCGCTCCGTCATGCGCTGGCGGGAGACCGAGGGGAAGTGCTGCGACATGTTGGCGAGGAAGAGGTCGAAGAGGGGCTGCCAGACCGAGAGGAGGGGCATGCCGTTCAGGTCAAAGAGCTCAGCGGGGTTGCGGGGGAGGTAGGTGTCTAGGATGGGTGGTTTGTGGTCGTCCCGCTCTGGCTGAGGGGCGGCGGTGAGAGGAGATTCGCCGGTCGTGCTTCGGCGTTGTAGCTTGAGCGATATACGGTGTATACCAGGTTGTATAGCCGTTGATCCAGCCTGACTATCAGCACAATCCGGCAAGAAGAAAGACAAGACGTACGAAACGGTAATAGAAGAGCTCCAAATCCTTGTCTTCTGCTGGATTCCCCTCAATAAACGCCGCTTGGTTCTCCAGCGCATTAATCAAGCGCATATCTGTGGCAGGACTGTGTTTGTTCGACATGAACTGCGCCATGATCGGTTCCGCGGGATTCGAGTCGTTTGACAGCCCAGAGGGGAATTGGGGTAGGGTGATATCGGGGGAGAAGCCTGTTGGCCAGACGTAATTTGGTGTCGGACCGGTTGGGAAGGGCATGGACGATGAGATAGGTCCAGTCGGCAATGCAGTGTTGGTCGTGGAGGAGGGAGTGGGGAAGGACCAGAATTCCGATGGGTCAAAAGCCGCAGCAGAGAGGTCGGCGGAGAAGGGTTCGTTCTGCAAGGTCAGCGGCAGATCTTCGCCGGGATCAGGCAATGTACTTACCCCACTCCCGTTGAAGAGGCTGTCAAAGCCCATCCCCGAATCGCCGTAGCCAGGCATGAACCCCTGCGCCTCCTGCGGCCGAGGCAAGCCCGACTGATACCCAGGCCCATGCGAGGGCCCAGCGACCGGCATAGGCGGTATGACTGGATCCAACGGAGCCGTCGCTGGCTTGGGCGCTGGCGCTTCGACAGCCGACTTCGCCTTGCCCGTCGAGGTCGATGCTCCTGCGTCGGTACTGCCCCCAGCTGCAGCTTCCAGCAGCTTGGCCTCCTCCATCTCTTTGCGCGTCCGTTTCTTCCGCCGTCCAGAGGGCCACTCGCATATGACTGCCGCCTTGAGACATCCCTATGCCGAGTCAGCTACATCCAAAGGCGGGACCGAGGGAGATACCGTGCAGACTGGCTTCTCTCCGCTGCACCGTATTCGCTTGTTCCGGCAGTGCAAGCAGGCGAGCTGGACTCGAGGTTCTTTGTCTTCTCCTGTAGAGCTCGTTCTCCTGTACCGTATCAGCACCGTCGAGGGTATGCAAGCAAGTCACGCGATACTCCGCCCGTGCCTTCAAGCTTCAGGCCAAACACCCCGCCCCGCTGCTTGCCGCTACCATCTTATGTGAAGGCCTGCATGCACTCACAGGTGTAGAGGCGCCTGCCCAGCCGCTCCATCTTCCCCTTCATCCTTCGTATCCTGCTCAAAGACCTGTGCAGAGGTCCCTGTCGCAGCCAGAGAGCCGCCCGAAGGCACGTCGGTACCCGCTCCCGACATCGAGGAGACGGCGGACCATCCAGTTCCCCCACTTCTCGACGGACCCGCCTGATTACTCGCTGGATTGGCTTGACGGTTGGAAGCGGATGGGTCCATGGTGGTATTTTGGCGTCTGGCGGGGTTATTCGGATCGCGAAAAAGACATGTAGCTGGAGAAAAAGTAGAGGCAAGATGAGATCAGGAGTAGTTCGGATAATTGGATCTCGTGCTCTCGATCAAGGTCGCGTCACATGCCATGCCCCGCTGAGACGGGCGAAGCCCCGCTTTCCCCTACCATCCGTTTTGCGGTCTTCGTCTGCTCTGCCAGACTGGCTAAGATCCACCCTGACCAGCGAGCCAGGCGGGAGCCAGCAAGAAGACGCAACTTACTTCACGACCGGGGGCGTTCATGAACAGGTCCAGCTTCTCATTGGCTTTCGTCTCCAGCCTCGAAGTGCTTGCCTATCATTTGGGCTTCACCGTGGACGCTTCACCGTGAACGCTTCGCCGTGAACAAGTGAATGCAGACCCGATACTGAACATCTACCTCATTTGCTGATCTTCATACTCTACAGACTTCTCATTCGTGATATTTACAGGTTTCTCATTCGTGATATTTACAGGTAGGATGGAGATTTCACCCCGCCAGGTGTTCTGAAGAGGTGTAACGAGAAAGCCCGGATTCTAGGTCGCGATTTTGGTTAAAACTCCACAGGAGTTCTCTAACGGCTGAAACGTCAGTGCGATCCCTAGCCGTGCTAATAAGATGACTTACTCCTCCGCCCACTCGTTCTCCTTGCGGATCTGCTCCTCCTCCTCGGGAGTGAAGCTGAGTCGTCAGCGCAGACACAAATTAGTCGTGTCATAGGCAGAAGGGAGCATGCTCGCTCTCCCCCTGCCGCTCGGTGTCCAGTGGGAAGCAAGGCGAGACACTTACTCGTTGGTGATGTTGAAGAGCTTTCGGATCTCCTCGGGGGTCTTGCCCTTGATCATGTTGGCAACGGTCTTGCACCCAACGTCGCTGTAAAATCAGCTAGTCCAGATGGCCACATAGATATCGGGTAGCTCACAGCAGAGGCTTGATGTCGAGGTAGCTGAGGAATCAGCAAATTTCACAAGGAGACGCAGGTGTACTCACTTGGCAGCGAGAATGATCTCAAAGAGCATCTCCTGGTCGACTTGCTGATACAGTCAGCTTCTATTCACAATCTCTGTGACATCAGGGTAGCTCACAATGAACTTGGAGTCCCACTCGCCGATCTCGGCGGTCTTCCTCCTCGCGTCATCCTGGTCGTTCGCGTCCGGCGCAGGGAGCGGCTCCGACTTGTGGTGGTCGCAGTACTCGAGGATCTTGACCATGACGCTAGATGACACGTTGGGGAGGGGTATGAGGGAACCTTCCTGAGCTCCAAGGTCTGCTGAGTGAGCTCAAGTGCGACCTTGATGGGAGCAGAAGAGCGTAGACCGGAGGCAAATTTGGGGGTTATCTGTGGTGCGATGAAGGAATGAGGAGTAGAAAATGTGATGTGAAGCGTATACGCTGGTCCAAGTAATGAATTTCGTCCGGAGAGAGAGAGAGAGAGTCAGGTAGTAAAGGAAGAGTGAGGGAAGAGGTAAAGGAAGAACTGAGGTGAAGAGACACCCCGGTCCCGTCACCTCGCTCCAACATTCCTCTCCCTTCAACCGTGATGCCGCCCCTTCAGTCCTTCCATTCGGCACCGCTTTGTTCTCCTGCACGCGTCTGAGAAGCCCATTATACCCTCAGCCCCGCGTCGTACACCCTCCCACCCATAAAAGCCCCGAGCCGCATCAAAAAGGTGACTCACCCTCCATCATACTCTTGATGAGCGCGCTGCGCTCTGCGACCTTCCTCTCGACGGTGAATTGCTCGTCATCGGAAGTCTGGAGGACGACAGTGTCTTTCTTTGCCTCTGCCATTGTGATACTGCTGCTGATGTGCTGTAAGGAGACGGGTCTGAAGGGATGAATGAGTGATGGATGGAATATGGGAGAAGAAAGGGGAGAAGGAGGGACGGAGGAAGACGTGTACAGTAATGGGGAGGGTTGATTGAGCATCAGGAAAGATCCGAGTCAAGCCTAGTTTCTCCCGAGGCCTGCACCTATCTTTTGCGGGGATGCCCGATGCGCCTAACTCTTCGGGGATGACGCTTTTCGCCCGAACAAGCGATTGATAACGTAGCGAAGCGAGGATGGCCATGGAGCTGGAGCCAGCAGCAGGGATATGGGTATTTGTTTAATCTTACTCTACCTTGCTCCTGTCTTCACACATCACCCATTAGCAAACCCCCCTCCAGGCGCTCACCAAATCACGGCGAGAGTCGTCAAGCGTGATCTGATCGCTCTCGACAAAGATCGACCGCTCCCAGCCCGGGTTTCAGTTATACATAGTCTCTTTGCTGCCGAAACCAACTTCCGGCACGCAGCTTACGAACGGACCGGCGGCGAATACTCTCCACTCCTTTGGCCATGCAGCGATCCAGCGCAGCAGAGGGGAACGGGGAGATGTCCTCCCCAACGTATCCACAGCCCAACTTGTACGACCACAACCAAGGGCCACCGACAAGCATGGCGAGGGGGATGTATTATCCCTACACCCAGCAGGAAGAGGTCACAGGGAGCTGGGCGTCATATACAGCTCATGAAAGCTATCCACCCCAACCTCCCCATCCCCCGACTTCATTGTGGTACGCTGCACAAACAGATGGTCCGGGTCCATCGTACGGCGGTCCCAGTCATGGCTCGTCGCCCTACCCTGCGCAATACGGCCGGCCATCATTCTCACAGTCGGACTACGCACCCGTCTCTTCGGCCCCGGGAAACGAAGAGGAGCCTGCGGCTGCCAACGGAGCCGAAGGAACGAGTACACCAGTCAACGGTACTGCCAAGGAGAAGTCAGCCGGGAACAAGAAGAAGAAGCGGAAGAGCGAGAGGGAGCCCAGCGTAGGGAGTGGAGATGCGGCCGACAAGGACAGGGAGAAGAGGATCAAGACCGGGAGAGCGTGTGATGCTTGTGTGGGTATTCAACTCTGGAACATAGGATCAGCTGACGAATAAGCGGAGCAAGAAGATCCGGTGCGATATCCTATCAGCTGGCGAATCAGATGCCGAAGGTCGGCCTCCCCTCTGCGCCCACTGCAAGCAGTACAAACTGGAGTGCACCTTTTTCCTACCCATCACCGAGACGAGGTTCAAGAGAAAGAAAGCAGCCCCGGCAGGTGAGCGTCTCACTGTATGACCGAGTGAGCTTTGCTGATCAGCCAGAGAAAGAGGTTGAACCAGCGGTGAATTATACGGAAAGTCCAGTGCGGCCGCCAGGGGAAGTTCCAGGCCGAATAGAAGGTGAGACTCGCCTCTGACTGGTACTGATCGGCAGGTCCAACTTCTTTATCCTTCCTCCTTCACACCTCACTCCCCGCATCCGCCTCAGAAGCATACGATCTGCGGTATCATCACTCCTGGGAAGTCTCCGAGGACGGCAACGGTCTCATCCGGGTCAAAGCCCCACCCTCCAGCAACGACGGGCGATACGGCGAGAACGGCGAGAACGGTGATCCCTCACATACCCACAACAAACTCAATCGGCCGGTCATCAACGCCCGAACCATCTCGCTTCTCGTCAATGCGTATTTCGACCACTTGGCTCACCTCTTTCCCGTCATCTCCCGGTCGGAATTCGCGGCGAAGCAGACCCCGCCGCCTTTACTGCTGTACAGCATCTGCGGAGTGGGGTCGACGAGAAGGGAGTTTCCAAGGGAGATCTTCGCTGGAGTGAGGGGTATCATCAATGGCTTGCTGAGGAGTAACGATATTCTGAGCGATGCGCGGATAGAGAATGTCCAGGCTCTGGTGAGCTGGCCTATCCGTGACGATGAAGGAGTCGGCCTAGCTTACATTTCAGCTTGTACTGGCTCAAGTCGGTGATCTACATGCTCAGCCCACCGCAGCCACGGCCAGCGCCTCGTTGATGCGAACCGGTTCTGCTATCCGCATGGTATGTCCAATCCCATATAGACGACCTTCGCTGACCATCAGGCGCAAGATCTCGGGCTGCATCGCGAATCCCACGTCCGCGCCCAGACACCCAAAGACCTAGCCTACGTCGAGCTCCGTCGGCGAATCTGGGCAACCTGCGTCATCATGGACAGATGGTACGGCGCCGCACTCGGGATACCCCTCACGGTCGACCTGCTCGACTGCGACGTCCTCCTGCCGGCCGGATACGACATCATACAGGACCAGAACCCATCTACGTGGCCGATCGAGCCGTCCTTTTTGGCATTGACGGAGCATCTCAAGCTTAGTATACTGGTCGGAAGGGTGTTGAAGACGATATATAGCCCGACGGGGCTCAAACACGCCACGGACGAGCAGCTGTATTCGATCCTGGAGGATATGCGGGCGTGGAAGGAGGGACTGCCGGAGGGGTTGCGATTAGAAGGACCAAAGTCGAGCTTTGCCACCGGTGAGTGTAGCGGTTTAACTTGTAGGACGGCGCTGATGCCCAGGTCTGCTTCATCTTGCCTATACCACGCTCCACTTCCTACTCTGGCGCCCGTTCATGCGGATCACGTACATCTGCCCGCCACATCTCCAATTCGCCCTCGAGACGATGCACTGGTCCGAGATGGCCATGTGGGCGACCGAGGCGCTCGACTGGCTCAATCACAATCCCGAGGCACTCGATACGGTCTTTGTATACTCGTACGCCGCGACGAGCTGCGCATTGGTGCAGTATCATACCTGGGTGCGGAGGCGGGAGCCGGGGAGTCTGGAGAGTCTGAAGCAGGTCCGCGAGACGGCCTTGAGGTGGGAAGAGGCGGTACAGCCTGGTCAGTCTTCTATTACCGGGTATGGGCAAGTGCTGACGATTAGACCAAATGTCGATCCGGCGCAAAACGTGCGAGACCATGACACTCTTGTACGAAGCAGCGCTCAAGACCAATCCCGAAGACGATCGGCCACCGGCGATCAACCCTACCGCCGGCGTCCAGCATCGTCCCGCACTCGGCAAAGCCATCTGGAAACGGGACACTTTAAACCCGTACGGCGGGATCTGGGTCGCGCAGGACAACGAGGAGAAGGAGGATTCGGGTCTGACGGAAAACTCGGTGGTGATTATGGGGGATGTGGGCAAGGAGCGTCCGCCGCCCGAGATGGAGAGTACGGACCCCTCCATCCGTGCTCGGGCGATGACTCGGCTCGGACGGCCGTCGGGCTCGGGCGACTCGCATGGGAGTGGGAGTGTCGACCATGGTTTCGGGGCGGGATTTGATCCTGCCCTATCGAACGGGCGTCCACCCAACGACATACATCCCCGGCTCGCGCATGCGGCCCCTCTCGCCAACACCCTCCATATCGACCAACAAGGCCAGACGCACGGACCGCCGGACGATCCCATGCAAGTCTTCAGGGATATGCAGATGGCGGGGAGTAGCGTCAATGTCAATCCGCAGATGAACTTTGCTGGGCTTGACTTTGGGGGGGATGTCAGCGGAATGGCCAATGGGTTTGCCGATGTGAGTTGTTGACATCGAATACTTGAGAGTGAGTGCTTACTGTTTAGCAAACTGCATTTGCGGGGTACGACCCGGCGATGCTCGATGGACTCCCCGTGAACGGCTTCAACTTTGATCAGTGGAGCGCGTGGTTCAACAACATCGAGCGGATGGCGCCTGTAGGTGATATTGGTGCTGCGAATCTCCAGCATCAGCCTCAGCAGCTTCAACAGCAGCAACAACAGCAATCATCATATCAGGCACAGCAACATCCCTACTCGGCGCAGACGGGCGGAGGCTGGATGAATGGGGGTGATATATGAGGGTGGAGGGTTCGCTTGAGCTCGAGGATGGTGTAGCTTCTTTTGTATACTCATGGGGTAATCGTTTCTGGGGGATTGAACGGCATAGAAGACCTAGTCTAGACGCATCTACATATAACAACCTTTATATCATCCTGTGTAGTATATCTGGCATCACATTCTCCTCCCACTCCTACGCCTCATTCTCATAGTCCCCTATCACCGCCACCTTTGCCGCGCTCGCTGATGTAGGGTCAAACTCGTGGCCCAGCCACTCGCCAACCAGCTTTCTCGCTACTTCGATGCCAATGACTCTTTGGCCGAGGCAGAGCACCTGGGCGTTGTTTGACTTGACGAGCCGCTCGACGGAGAACGAGTCGTGCGCTACTGATGCCTGGCCTCATCAGCTCCATCTCCCGCCCTGCTGTCAGAGAGATGAATAGAGCTCACCCTGATCCCCTTGACCTTATTAGCGGCAATCGCGACCCCCATCCCCGTCCCGCAAATCAGCAGCGCCCGGTCCGCCTCCCCACTCGCCACCTTCCGCGCCGTCGCCACACCCGTGTGCGGGTAGGGCGTCTTGAAGTCATCAGACCCCTTGGTGACCCCGCAATCGATGACCGCTTTGACGCGCGGGTCCTTCTCCATATCGGCTTTAATGAGCTCCTTGTACTCGGAGCCGGCATCGTCGCACCCGATCGCGATGGTCCAGGAGGGAGGCATGGTGTAGATGTTGGGCTGAAGATGGGTGTGGAGGAACGTGACTCAGTTGATAGCCAGAAGGAAGGCTTTGGCTCCAACTACAAGACATGGCAAGCCAATCTTATACCCGTGACTTGCCGGCATCTCCGGGCCGGGCCAGTCGAGATCAGCCCGAGGAGAAGCTCCGCCTATCCTCCGGAGACATCGCTGGAGCAGCTTGTCCAACGGTTCTCCTGCTGTCATATACAAGCAGCTGCCCTACTATCTCTAGGCCAGATCATCTGCTGAACCACTAAGCAGAAGCATCGCCAAGATGACAGACCGTCACATCTTCAACGACCACACAACCCTCGTCGTCCGCTCCCTCCGCGGCCTCGTCGCGGGCCACCCTTACCTGAACCTCATCCCCTCCCTCAAGGTCGTCTACCGCGCAGACCATGACTCGTCCAAGGTGTCCCTCCTGTGCGGTGGTGGATCTGGACACGAGCCTGGAACGGTCGGCTTTGTGGGTAAAGGGCTGTTGAGCGCAAGTGTTGCGGGGGACGTGTTTGCGAGCCCGTCAGCAAAGCAGGTCAGCGGGGGGATGAAGGTGGTGCCGAGCGACAAGGGGACGATTCTGATCATCACCAACTGTGGGTCATGAGCTGAAGCTAATAAGCGGGACAGCCATGCTGATCAGTAGACACTGGAGACAACCTCCATTTTGGTCTCGCTAGGCTCATGGCCCAGTCGGCGGGGATGAAGAACGTCGAGCTGGTCGTGGTAGGCGATGACGTCTCGGTGCCCAAGACAAGAGGGAAGCTGGTCGGGCGCAGGTGTCTCGCAGGCATCACTTTGGGTATGTTTACCAAGCTCCGCCGAGAGTGAGGGCACAAAGCTGACTGAGCAGTCTGCAAGATCCTCGGAGCTGGCGCCGAGGCGGACATGGGCTTTGAAGAGCTCGTCACTCTTGGTCGATCCACATCGACCAACACAGCCTCGATCTGCGCTGCGCTGGATCATTGTCACGTCCCTGGCCGGACGGGGGACTGGCAGATCCCCGAGGGGAGGGTTGAGATCGGTCTGGGACTGCACAACGAGACGGTGCGCTGAACATTTTCTGGCCTGTGGATGTAGCTGACGAGAAAGGGAGTCTTCAACATCCCCCAGCCGAGCGCAGAAGAGTTCATTACCAAGCTCCTGGACTTGCTATTGAACCAAGATGACCCTGAGCGATCATACGTCAAGTTCAAAGACGGGGATGAGCTCGTCCTCCTCGTCAACAACCAGGGAGGCATGAGTGCGCTCGAGATGGGCGCAGTAGCAGACGAGACATTGACACAGCTTGGTGAGCTCCTTCCAAAGCGCTGACCGCTTTCCAGAGCTGACGTGCAGAATCACGCGGCATAGTCCCCAAGCGAATCTTTACCGGCCCCTTCATGGGCTCCATGAACATGCCTGGAGTCTCCCTCTCCCTGCTCAACCTCACCAACATCGCCGAGGAGTGCAGCTTCACTTCGACGGCGCACCTCCTTGAGCTGATTGATGCGCCGCACAATACCCCCGGATGGCCAGCGACGCAGAACATGTACCCTGTACCTGCGAATTTGGCGTCAAGGAAGCGGGCGGACCAGTTTATTGAGGTGGAGAAGGAGGAGAAGTTGGTGCATACTGGCGGACCCAAGCTGATCGGTATGTCGGCCCTGAGGCGGCGGAGATAATTGTGCTGACACCCGTAGTGGACGCCAAGGCGTTCCGGGAAGCTATGAAGGTGGCGTCGGACGATACTATCGCTCTTGAACCCGACTTGACGAGATGGGACACGGTGAGTTTATTAGCTCCGATGAGGTGAGATGTCGCTGAAGCAGTAGATCGTCGGCGATGGTGATTGCGGAGAGACATGCGCCCAGGGTGCACAGGCGACACTTGGAGCACTCAAAGCCGGTCTTGGGGAGGATGGTGATCTTGTCAATCTCTTCCGAGAACTGACCGACATCATCGATGGTGAGTCACACTTGGGAACAGTCAGCTTGTGGGCCAGAGCTGATGTCAGATGCCTGCGGAGGTACCCTTGGCGCAATCTTCTCCATCTTCCTCGCGGGGTTCACCACCTCGCTCATCGACTCTGTTTCGGCCGACCCATCCCTCAAAGCCACACCCGCCTTCTTTGGCGAGACTGCCCTCCGAGCCCTCGAAGCGCTCAAGCAGCGCACAGCAGCCCGTGTGGGTCATCGCACAGTCATGGACTCGCTCATTCCCTTTGCCGAGTCCTTGGCGTCGACGGGCGACTTGAAGCAGGCGGCAGCAGCAGCGAGAAAGGGCGGGGAGGCGACCAAGGACATGACGGCCAAGCTGGGGCGAGCGACCTATGTCGGTGATAGGGCAGACAGGGATATGCCGCCTGATCCGGGAGCGATGGCGCTTGTTGCTGTGGTGGAGGGGTTGGCGAAGGTTCTTGGTTGATGTTTGATCTGAGAATAGGTGTATGTATGCAAGTTTGCCACAGCGGAATTGCCAGACAGCAGATCATTCCATAGATAGGCTAATTCCTTGCTAAGCTCCGCATGATCAACTCGTACCTGAGCCGTCAGCTACTGCTCTTTTCAATTCTAACGCTCGACGGACTCACGTCAACATCGTAACCGCGCTATTTGGTACAGTCCGGACCAAGTTGATACTCAATCCCCGGTAAAACCCTTTCCACCCATCCTGCCGCTTGATCTCCAAGAACGTCTGCACGATCCCGCCTTTCCGACGCCATATCGGCTCCGCTGGCTTTTGCACAGCTGACCCTGGGTCCGCGCCCGGTGCAGGTACCCGCAGTAGAGCGGCTGGTGCGCTGAGAGGTAGTGGCGGATGAGAGCCAGTCACCAGTGGCGAGTAGAAGTGGGCATGCGGGCCTTTGCCGCCATTTACAGAACTCGCCAAAGCGTTCACTGAGGCTGTCGAGGAATGGGTGGTTGACGTGATCGGATGGACAGCATTGGCGGCCGCGTTGGATGGACGGCCATGGGACTTGTGCACCTGGAGCCGGGTGCGAAGAACTTCGTGCGGGTAGGTAGCGACCGAAGCGATCATTTTGGAGAAGGCCGAGCAGACGAGAATGGTAGATGCCGGTAAAGATGCGTTATTCTCGATATCTTGGGCTGAGCGGGTGTCTGAGCTCAGCCTTTTCCCAGTGCAGACCTGTGACAGTGCTCACCTGCCCATGTCTTGGCCTTCTCATACAGCGGAAACTGCACCGCAACGTGTACTACGCCGAACAGGGACGGTAATAATCCCTTGTAGAAGGTCTTGAACCCCTCGGTACGGTATATTGTCGCGAACGCCTCGAGGGTGCTGCGATAGCGCGTCTCTGATGCCGCCATGGTCGCTTGAGCCTGATATATCAGCTTAGACCTACACAAAAGTCGAGACAGCGGCAGACTAACCATAAAACGAGTCTTGACCACCCAGATGGGATTTGTGAAGATGGTTCCCGTGGCACCGGCAGTCATCGCGGCTATGATGTGCTGTATTGACGTGTCGACATGAGGATGCGCTGCAAGATTAGTTCCTGACCTGACTGATCTCCAACTCTATAGGGAGGTCCCCGGCTACTGCCTGAAATCTCCCCCTACCCACCCTCTTCCACCTCCTGCTTGCCGTCGTCTCCTTGATTCTGAGGGTCCTATTCGTCCTGTAAGACTCACATGGATCACTCGCCCATACACCCATCCTATCCTTTATCAAGTCATACACCGTGAAATATATCCCCCACGTCGGGAGATACCCCGCCAGCGTCGGCCCCAATCCTCGATAAAACCCCCTCAGCCCAGCCTGCCGCCATATCCTCCCAGCCGTCTTCTGGACACCCTCATATTCCGCCGAGCCGGCCGCTACACTCGACGCCTGTAAAGACGTCTTGAGCACGTCAAGCGGGCAGGTGACAATGGACGCGACGAGGCCGGCGCATGCTCCCGAAACCATGGAGTGGAGTTGGGGTGGGATGTTGATGTGAGGCATTGAGGATGAGGAGGAAGGTGAATGGATAGGGTATCGGGATAGGACAGATATTGGCGGTCCAAGTTGATTGCGCGGATAGTGAGAGCCTGTCGGAGTGGGTTGGGTGAGGTGGGTTGGTGATGGGGATTTAGCGTGAGGCTCGGATCGGACCCGGCTAGATGGGTGACGCGGGGCAGAGGCCACCAGGCCGGAGTCACCCAGTACTATTTCTCGAGCGCCCGCCATGCCTGGCACCGGTATCGCCGATGTGGGCTCTCGTCTGCGCGATGTAGAGGCTTCGGCGTTCCCATCTCGGGAAATGAGCATATCGTTTGCTATTGCTATCAGCGTCAAATCCTCTAGAGATGCCAAAATCAGCTCGGGTACGGTTTACTGTGGCACCACATGGACAAGAGATGAAGCCTACCTTAGTTCCAGCTATGATACGGCGCGCGGTGAACTGATCAGGAGGTCCAGTGCAGGGCCGAGATGCGGGGAAAGGGGTGCTAATCTTGCAGAGCGTACTGCCGGTAGTGATCGTGCTGAGCCGTTCGTGCGAGAGTTCTGGGAGATAGCTTGAGCCGTCTATTTCTGGTGGACGCGGGTAATCGCGGCGCCTCCGACTACGGGCTCTTGGGTGTATTGCTAAGCACACGATTTGATACAGTTGAACTGGGAAAGCAGGTCTATAGTCGCGCTCCTGAATTCCCCACCCCGGCGATCGCCGCATCTCTGCGATAGTGGCGCCCGCGCGAAGCTCCATTGAAAGCACTACGGTGCGGACTGTGATGGGGCAAGACGACACCTTGGGATAGGACAGACATCTGCGATATCTCGGAGATGCTGGCCTCCATCAAAAAGCTGGATGGTCCGACGTCAGGTGTTTGTAGACTTGGGCTACGTCTCGTGACCTCAGCATTGGTGGTCCACGCTGTCCAGACTCTCGCTTCGCCACCCGGAGATGGAGGCCCAAGTCGGACGATCTCGAGCTAGACGCCACAAGAATGAGATGAATCGAAAAGGCCGCTAGCAGATGCACAGTATTCAAAGCGAGTACAGGTACAGAATGGGAAGCCTGACTCGAATCAACGCTGACTCAATACTCGAGGACCTCTTTCCCAAAACCCCAAAGCTCCGTGTCATCCTCAGTCCTATACCTGCCTCCCCCTCCTGCCACAGAGTCTGTATCCTCTGATTCAGCGGCCTGGAATTCTTCTTGTCCCATACCTGCCTCTGGCTGAGGGTCCTTCTGATTGTTGAGGCTGATGACCGGGCCAACCCCTGTAAAAGTGATGACCGCCCGCCATTCTGGGTCAGTGACATCTCCCCACGATTCGACAGATCCATCGAGTGTATGGACTTCCCCATTCGGCCAGTGCTTGAGGCTGAACTCGCCAGGTGCGCACTTCTTCAAGTAACGTCTACCGAATCCCTTGTGTGTGACCACGGGCAGGTCGATGCGCCGGCTCCGATCTTCGGCGACGGTGGCCAGTATCTGGATGATCTTTGCTTGATGTTCCAGCGCGTCAAGGATTCGTTCATCGATATCGACGGCGGACTCTGTCGTGCCATCACTTCGGGGATCTGTGGAGCGGTAGATTTCAAGAAGGACAGCGATACGCTCGTCGATCATCGGATCAGTCTCGCCATCCTTCCTGGTGGGTAGGCGTGCATGTCTCGCGAGTCCCGACGATGCCATCTCGCGTATCGTCTGAAGTGTCAGCAATTATAGAAGGCGGCATGATGACTTTCATCGGTCTCACCTCATCAGCCACAGGCTTCCGCCCCTTACCCAGCGTCAGTATCGCGCTCGTGCAGGTCCTGTCGAGCGGAGAGCACAGCACGACCGAAGCATGAAATCGATCAGCTTCCGTCAGTGCATCAAAGATCTCGCCTGTTTGCTCGGCCTTCGGAATGCTCTCTTCAAGCAGGGTAGCATTCTCTTGCTGTGGTATATCAGCCAGGCCAGAGCCGTCCACACTGAAGCGTCGCTCACCGACTTGCCAGCCTTGGCAGCCTCCTCGGCGGATACATTGTTGTACGCTGTATCATCAGTGCAGCCCCGACGAGCTGCTCGTCAGTATATATCTACCTTTGAAGTGTCGCATCACCCAGTTGCGGAATGCTGCGCTGCCCGTGCAAGTCATACCTGTACGAGTCAGCTTGAAGAGCGGGCAGGCTGGAAAAGGCGGGCTGGATGTCGTACCGCCTGATGTAGTTTCTCGCTCCGTCCTCATTTGAGCGTACTGGTCACGCTGTGCAGAAGTCTCGAGCGTCAGCCGATAATCTTATCAGACGGTGGTCAGTGTTAAGTCTCACCAGAACGGCGTCCAAGAGAGCCGTACCAGACACTTTGAGGCTGGGCAGCGTGGCTTGGTTGCTGCGCGGTGCCCGACTGGACCCAAGTCCGATCTTGTAGGTGAAACTGTCATCAAACGGCTCAGTGGCGAGAAAGATGATTCTCCCATCCGGTAGTGTGAACTCGCTGTCCAAGTATCGTCTGTCGGCCCGATTCTTCTCTCGCTGCGTTGCGCTTCGCATATTGCGGGTTGATGAGGTGAAATTCGGAGAGTATTGGTAAGAGGCAGAATGTTGAAAGAAACAAGCGCGATGCGGGTACGGTAGAAACAGACAAGCCATAGTGAAGGATGACATAAGACTATGCTAGCCCTGAGTGTCAAAGGATGTCAAATAGTCCGATGAACCCAACTCCGGCCGGATCTTGGTCGACCTCGAGAATACCTACTCGCTCGTAAAGTAAGCTGATAACGTGTCAGATTTCAGGACCGAAGCGTCCGACAGATATGCGGGTCGGTCGGCTCTCAGCGAGATCCGATGATACTGGCAGGTCAGAAGTCAGATCAGTTGTGAATGTCAGAGGGGGCTATCCGAGGTCCCCGACGCGCCTCAGAAATCCCACATCCCACGTCCGCACCTAATCGAAGCTGATCTTCTTCCCCTCCCCAGGCACAATCCCCACCTTCTCCCTCTTGGCCATAGCGAGCGCCGCGCCCGGTCTTGGTCTTCCGGCAGCCTGCCACTTCTTCCCGCGTACATCCTCCCTCTTCTTCCCGCCGCCGCCGCCGCCTTGATACCCTCCGTACCCCTCACCCTCGCCCTCATCATGCCCACCACCGCCGACATTCCGGAGCACGTCGCGCGCGATCGCCGAGGCGTCTTTGGGGAGGTATGCGCCCACGTCGGCGTCGACATCGGCGTCGCCTCCTGCGTCTCGGTCCTTTCGGTCGTATGATTGCCGAGGACGTTTCAGGCCGCCCTTGTAGTCGTCCCCGCCGGCGGCACGCACGGGCCGGGACCCCTTTCCTCCAGCTCGCTTGGTAGCTGAGTCTGAGGCGTACTGATCCGATCAGCTTCGCGCTCGCAATCTTCAAATTTATGAAGCTTACTTGGAGGATGAGCTTCCGGTTCTCAAACCAGTGGTTCTTTTTATTTGACAAGGCAGCTGTGGCGAATTTTGGGTCAAGGAAGTCAAGGAAGGCGAAGCTGTTTCATCAGCTTGTGCACACATCACGAGGTACAGCTTGCAGACGCTTACCCTTTACATCTCCCCGTGTCCTCGAATGCACCCAGCCGGACCTTTCTCAGCCCACTCTTCCGTCCACCTCGATACGCCTGCTCCGCCTTGGTCTCCTCATCCAGCTCCTCCGCAGCGTCCTCGGTGTCCCCTTCTGCCTCATCATCACTCTCCGCCTCGTCGTCCTCTTCTTCATTCTTGACGCCTCCAGCTGCTTCAGCCTCCGCCTTCACTGCCTGCTTCTTCAACCACTTCTCGCGCTTCGCAGCCTTCTTCTCATCTACCTCTCCTTCCTTCTCGGCTGCCGCCCTCAGCGCTGCTGCATTCCCCTCGAGGTGATCCCGGAGCTTCTCCTCCGTTGCGTCAAACGGCAGATTACCGACAAAGAGAGTGGGCCCTTCGGGATTGGGCTGATTGCGAAGGATGGGGTTGGTCAGAAGGGATTTGGCAGGTTTGGGGGTACGTGCGGATTCGGAAGCGGTGTGATCATTTCCTGAAGAGATCAGCTAAGTCTAGAGAATGGAGCCCGAGAACGGAGCTCACCCAGCTTGATGAGCAGCTTTCGTCCTTCCAACATGCCCTCCGACAGGCCAACGGCGAGCTTCTGCACCTCCGGCGTGGCGAGGTCGACGTAGGCAAACCTGCATTGTCAGCTGGGTATACTTCAACAAGAACGGGATAGCTCACCCCTTGCTCTCCCCAAAGCCACCCTTCCCGGCCTTCTTCGGCAGATTCACCCTCGTGACGCTCCCCTCACCCCCCGCGCCCGCCTCCTCCAATTTCCGCTCAAACCACTCCCTCAGGCTCTGCGGTGTCGTCTTGAACGCCAGATTCCCTACCCAAACCGAATTCTGCTTCTTGACCTCCCGGCCCGCGCCGTCCGCCACACCGCCTTTCGGCTTCTCCTCCTCGTCCGCCTCATTCGGGTCAAACTCGGGCAGGCGCTTTCTCTTCTTTGGCTTCTCCCCCTCCGCGGGCGGTACGTCGCCCCGCTTCGCCGCGCGCTTAGCGGCTCGAAGCTCGGCCTTGGAGAGTGGTTCCGGCGCTGCCAGGTCGATCTCGTAGTCTTCCGCGTTGACGCCCTTGGGCTGTTTGTCCACTGGGGCCGCGGTGGATCCGCTCGGTCCGGCCTCATTATCGACCACAGCGGCTGATTTTTTGCTGGCTTTTCGCGCCTCTCGCGCTGCCTTCTCCTCGGGCGTCCTAGACGTCTTGGGTGGCTTTGTTGATTCTGCCATTGCTATTGATGATGTATGGATGCAGGTTTGACCCACCTCCACCTCCTCTCCCTGGCAACTTTACTATCGGATAAAAGCTCAAACCTCTTTTTAAACAAATCAAAGACATCCGTGCGCCATTCCACGCGTCTCTCACCCAAAAGACCTCTCCTCAGCTCAGCGCCTCAGCTCCAGCATCCGCTATACACCTTACCGCTCCATACACTAGCCCAAGATGTCAGGTATGCCCTACATGAACTCGCGCTCCCCGCCCCCACTTCAACACCCGAAGCCTACACATCCCGCTTACCCACCGCCCGAGCCACCGCACACGCCCGGGGCGTCCACAAATAGCTCGCCCTACTCCCAGGCCGCGAGGATATCCCAGGACAATGGTACGGCCCCCTTATCCCCAAGCTAGAGCTGTACTGAAGAGACAGAGTATATGCGATACAGCTCTCCACCTGTCGACGCTGCGCCTCGATCCGCATCGACGGCAGCTTCATTCGCTGCGACCTCGGGGGTCAACCCGAACCCGTATGGTGCCCCTGCAGCGTCAGGACCCTCACAGCGCGCTTCAGTGGGCTATCCCAATCCACATGGCGTGCAGGGGTATGGGCATATGGGAGCGATGGGGATGGGCGGTGCTCCTACCCAGGGCCAGGACGGTTTCGCAGCTTGGGGGAATATGAATGACGCGACGGCGCAAATGGGGGTGCAATTTGGAAAGTCGGCGGTGGCTGCAGGGCAGGACTACGTCGAGAAGAATGTGAGCTGAGTGTTACCGATTCCGGGAATGAGAAGCTGATGATATAGTTCACGCGCTATCTCCCCGCTCAGCTCATCAAGACCTCTTTCCAGGTCACCAACTCCTACGTCCTGCGGAAACTCCGCCTGATCCTCTTTCCGTGGAGACATAAGCCCTGGGCGAGGCAGATCAGGAGAGCAGACAGTGGCGGTATGGAGGGATGGCAGCCGCCAAGAGATGATATCAACGCGCCAGATCTGTATATCCCCAGTACGTCCCTCTGTGTTGATCATTGAGAATTGCGCTGATCCCCAGCGATGGCTCTGGTCACCTACACTCTGCTGTGCGGTCTCTCCAGCGGCCTGCAGAGCCGGTTCCACCCCGAAGTCCTCGGCGCCTCGTTCTTCCGGGCTATGGTGGTCGTCATCGTTGAGTTCTGCTTCATCAAGCTGGGGTGTTATCTACTGGATGTGCGGGGCGGTGGAGCGAGCGGAGTCGAGTTGATCGGGTATGGAGGGTACAAGTTTGTCGGGTAAGCTCGACATTCGTCTCATTTCATGATACCGAACCAGAGCTGATGTTTCAGTATCATCACCACAATTATCGCAGGCTTCCTGAAGCTCGGCACACTAGCTACGACCGGGATCTTCGGTTATACCTTTGCTGCCAATTTCTTCTTCCTGGTAAGCTCACATGAACGCAGCTTTACATATGCGACTGAGCTGACTCTATGTAGCTTCGGTCACTGAAATACGTCCTCCTCCCCGACCCAGCAACGACCGGCGCGCCGACTCTTTCGCACGCGCAACGATCACGGCGGATCCAGTTCCTCTTTGTCCTTGCAGCAAGCCAGCTGCTGTGGATGGGTTGGTTATCACGGGTCTGAGGGAGATGTAGTGCTTGCTGTGATGCAATTCGAGCCATCAGATCATCACGGAAGCCAATACAAGCCCTCGCTGAGCAGCTCGTACTGTTCTGTGACTTAAGACATTTAGTAATGACGACTCACCGCTACGATAGTCAATCACTATCGGACCTCACCTAAAGTCGCGGCCAGTGACTGGGGAGCGAGTGACCTGACAGGACCAAAAAAGGCCTGAATGCTCGTCTTTGCCAAAGACCTCTGCATCCTCTACCTCTACGCGTTATCTTCCCGCTTGGCCTTCAACCACGCCTTGACCTCTCCATTCTTGGCCGCCACCCCTCCATCATCCTCCACGACCCTCACGTCGATCTTCTCCCCCATCGCTGCCCGACTCGAATCCCTGAACCCCTCAAATGCCGTCCGCGCACCCCCACTCTCCAGACTCTCCCTTGCCAGCCTGACCCCGTCTGTCCAGTCCTTTGCGCGTCCCGAGACATGCAGCAGCGCCGCGGAGTTGAGGAGCACATAGTCTGTGATGCTCTGTATGGACGGTGAGTCTGCCGAGGCGGGCGCGGAGAGGTGGGCAGGGACCTCGCCGGACGAGCCGGAGAGGATGGATTGGAATGTTAAAGCATTGAGGTCGGGTGTGGAGCCTCGGACAGAGGAGAGGGGATGGGTGGGGAGTCCAAAGTCGGTAGTGGGGTGTATGGAGCCGGTCTTGATCTCGCCATTCTCGAGCCACCAGGTCTGCACGTCAGCCTAGTCCGTGCGTGCTAGAGCAAAGACGTACCCAGGTCTCGCCAGCTATGCTGATCTCATCTAATCCCTCTTTACCGCACACCACCAGTGCCCGCTCCACCTTCAATAGCCGTAGTACCTCGGCAAATGTATCTCCTAACTGCTTGTTGGCGACACCGAGCAACATCCGTTGTGGACGAGCGGGGTTGATGAGCGGTCCGAGCACATTGAAGATTGTGCGGAAGTTCAGTGATCGGCGTATGGGAGCGATATGCGCTAGTGAGGGGTGATAGTGGGGAGCAAAGAGGAAGAGGAAGGGTGAGTGGGGGAGGAATTTGGGAAGTTGGTCGATAGGGAACGATAGGCGGCAGTCGAGGGACATGAGGAGGTCCGCTGAGCCAGAGGTAGATGTGGCAGCTTTCGAGCCGTGCTATAGTTCAGCTTGAGATCATTCCCCGACCGGATGGAGGCTTACCTTGGCTACCCGGACTCCTGTACCAGCAACAACGACCGCCGCCGTTGTTGACACGTTGTAGGTGTCCCACCCGTCCCCTCCCGTCCCTACTATATCCACCATCCCCGTAAATCCATCTCCCTCCTTATCGGAATCTCTATAGTCCCACTCCCCAGACTCGTGCTTGCCCACGGGAGGTGCAATATCCTTGACCACTATTGCGTGTTCACGCAGTACCTGCGCACAGGCAGCTACGACCTCGGGAGACGCGTCGAGACCGGACAGCGTCAGAGCGGTGAGGAAAGCACCAGCCTATATCAGTCAGCTAGGTACTTGACGGTCCTAGGAGAGCGTCTCGCACTTGAGCATCTGAAGCCCCCTGCACGCAGAGATGCCTGAAGCACTCGGCACAGTCCTCGGAGGTGAAGTCGGTTGGAGACTGAACGAGCTTTTTGAGGAGCACCTTGAAGGTGTCTGGGGTGTATTTCGATTCCTCCTTGGCCATTTTGAGGTGCTGCGCCGCTGCCTATCAGCGTATATGAGGTGTATGAGCTGTCTATATAGGCTGAATTGACCTTTGAGGTTGGAGTCGAGCGCAAGTGGAGGCAAGGAACGGGAGCAAATTAGCAAGGACGAAACTGCCTCTTAATAAAGTTCATCGACCTCTCTCTTTCAACCAGACGTCAACCACCTTCAAATACTACATCTGCCCATCATGAACCCCCTCGCGCCCTTCGCATCCATCCTCCGCCCCTCCCTCCACGCTTCGACCTCCCGCCTACTCCTCCCTCCCCTCCCCCTCTTCTCCTCGCAATCGTTCTCAACCTCCCCTCCCGCCCTCGCATCCCGCGATCGCCGCATGCGCGCCAAAGTCAAGCGAGACCGGCACGTCAAAGCACAGTCTGAACGCGCCGGTGCCGTATCGAGCGAAAATGTCGACCATATCCTCGGTTACGAGCCCGTCCCCGGGGAAAAGACACCATGGGACGGATGCAGATTACAGCGCGTCCTCCTTCGTCCCGAGGCGATCTATTCGGCACCGCCGGTAGAGTACGCAGCTGGCGAGGCGCCGCAGCAGTACCTACCCGGCCTGGCGATCGAGGATCAACAGATGTTATTTGGGGCACTGCCTTATACATCTACATCGCTCAAGGCACGGCGGGTCCTGCAGAACAACGCCTCGCTGAGGCAGGAAGAAGACGATCCGCATGCGGCATTGACGGCTGCGGAGGAGGACAAGGTGGAGCAGATGCAGCGAATGCTGGATTTGCGAAACGCGAGTAAGAGGGGGATTGAGGTGGTGAATAGGCAAAGGGTGATTGAGGAATTTGGCGGGGTGAGAGAGGGCAAGGGAGTCAATACGGGGAGCTCTGAGGTCCAGGGTGAGCTTCCTCGTCTGGATGGCCGGGCCTTGGACGATTAGCTGATACCCCTAGCCGCGTTGCTGACCCAAAAAATCCGCTCAGTCATGGAACACATCATCTCGAATCGCAAAGACAACTCCAACAAGCGCGCACTCCGCGTACTCGTACACCAACGCCAACAAATACTCAAATACTTTGCTCGGAAAGAGCCAGAAAAGTACGACACTCTGCTCGGCGATCTGGGTCTCACCCGGCGGGGTGTAGAGGGAGAGATCAACCTGGCAAATATACTATGTACGTATCTATTCCCTGCGAATATCCTACCACACCCTTCCCCTTTCCTGATGCTCCTACAAACCTGATTTAATGAGTCCGAACCGCTTGCGGTCTAGATGCCAACCTACTGTACCTGATCCCTTCCTTCACTCTCATATACCGAAACACAAATCTGCAAAGATACAACAGCTTACTCCTTTGCCAGAACTACCAATACTTGCCCCTCCTCCACCACCATCCCCTTCTCGGCCCCCACCTTCCCGACCACACCATCACGTCCCGCCCGGACGTTGATCTCCATCTTCATACTCTCGAGCACGCACACCACCTGCCCGCTCGTCACCGCCTCTCCCTCCTTGACCCGCACCTCGAGCACCCGCGCCGGCATCGGCGACGTCAGGTTGTCGGACGACTGGCCCGACGCAGAGGCGTCGGCGTCGACCTCGGACGGAGATTGTTGTAACTGGTAGTGTTTACCTGAAGTGAAGAGATGTAATCGGAGTCCGACGGGGATGACTGTTGCGCTGGTCCGCGAGGTGGCGAATTGCGTAATGAGCTCAGTATCGCTGATGAGCGTGGGATTGACCTGTTCTGACTGTCCGTCCACGACGACCTCGATGCCGGTCGCGAGGTGCCGAATCCGCACTTCGTGCTCGTCAAAGTGGTAGACCCGCTCGCTGACGTCTCCGAACCGCTTGAAGGACAAGGTAGCCCATGTCCCGCCGACGCCGGCGCTTTGTTGGGTTTCGCGAAGTGAGAGGAAGAGCGCAGCCTGAGCGAGGACGTTGGACGGTATTGGCTCAACCTTGAACAGCTCGTCGTGGTTTTGCTGAAGAGTCAGCTCCAGGCTAGCAATCCGAGGCCAATCAGCTTACCGGGATAAAGTTCGTCTCTACCGCTCCAGCCTGGAAATCAGGATGCCCCGCCACGGCCTTCAAAAACTCGATATTCGTACTCGGTCCCACCACCTGATACTGCCCCAGCGCCCGCTGGAGCAGACTCAGCGCCTCGGCCCTGTCCTTGCCATGAACGATCAACTTGGAGATCATCGGGTCGTAGTAGGACGACACCTCGTCTCCTTCTTGGAACCCCGTTTCGAGGCGGTGTGGTGCGTCGGTGGGCGGGCGGATATGGAGGATGCGTCCGGCGTCGGGAAGGAAGTTGCTATCCTCGTCAGCTTGTGCTGGTTGACAAGCGTAGGAGGTGGGTAGCTCACGCTTCAGGCTTCTCGGCGTAAATCCTCGCTTCGAATGCGTGTCCAATGCAAGGTACCTGATCCTGCGTCATTGGCAGCGGGTTGCCGGCTGCTACGGAGAGCTGCCACTCGACGAGGTCGATACCGGTCACCATCTCCGTCACTGGGTGCTCCACCTGCAATCGGGTATTCCTGGCACATCAGCTTTTTTGATGCGGCCAAACCCGCAAAATCCAGCTCACATTTCCATGAAGAAGTACTCGTCCGTCTCGGCGTCCATGATGAATTCGACCGTGCCCGCTCCGACATAGTTGACCGCCTTGGCAGCAGCAACGGCCTTTTGCGCAAAGTCACGCTTCAGCTCGGGGCTCAATCCAGGTGCAGGAGCTTCCTCGATGATTTCTGGATGCGTCAGCCCTCGCCCAACCTCCTTCTGTCCAGTACTCACTCTGATGCCTCCGCTGGACCGAACAATCCCGCTCCCACAGCCCCACACACCCGCCTTGCTGGTCCGCAAACACCTGAACCTCGACATGCCTTGGTCGGACGAGATAACGCTCCAGTAGCAACTCGTCATTCCCGAAGCTCTTAACGGCCTCCCGCTTGGCAGAAAGGACTTCCTCCTCAAAATTGGCCATATCATGTACTATCCGCATGCCCTTGCCCCCACCGCCATGCGTGGGCTTGATGAGAATGGGGAGGCCGATTTTGTGGGCGGCAGCGAGGAGTGTGGGCGTGTCTTGGGCGGCGCCGTGGTATCCACTGCAGCGTCAGCTTCAGGCTCCGTTCGCGGTGAGTGTTCGACTTACGGGACACAGGGGACACCAGCAGCTATAAGCTATCAGCGCCGTTCTCGTCCAGACCAGACCGTGACGCGGGTGAAGAGCTCACCGAGCATGATCTCCTTGCTTTCTCGCTTACTTCCCATACTCCTTATAGCCTCTGGCGGAGGTCCAATGAACGCAAAGCCAGCCTCTTGGACCCGCTGCGCAAACACCATCGATTCGGACAGGAAGCCGTAGCCTGGATGTATTGCCTGCAAGATCAGCACGTACCCCTGCTATGTTGCCTGACACCGAGTAGCTGACCTCTGCACCGCTCATCTTCGCGACTTCTAGCACTTTGTCGATCTTCAGCTGGGCGTGTCAGTGGACAGTCCTCCTTGTGGCGGATGTTCCGAGTCGGGGAACGTACGTAGCTCTCGGAGGATGCTGCTGGACCAATACAGTACGCCTCGTCTGCCTGCGCTGTCAGTCACGCTCAAAAGGCCGAGCCGGGCGAGGAGAACATACCATGGCAACGTGCATACAGTCCTTGTCGGCCTCAGAGTAGACCGCGACGGTGGAGATACCTAGCCTCCTTGCCGTCCTGATGATTCGGCAGGCGATCTCCCCTCTGCCATCATCAGCGTCCGCCTTCCCACACTGTCCGCTTCGGAAGCGCCGGAGACTTGCCTATTCGCAATGAGGATCTTCTTGAAGCTCCGCTGTCCCTCCGGGATAGGCACGTAATTGACAGCTCCATCCCCCAGTACACCCGTCGTAGCTTGGGGTAAGACCGACCCTGCCTGACGCACACGGCCTGAGCTCGAGATACATCGCCCGCTCTGCACCTGTATCTGCTGCTGAGCAGGGTGCTGACGCGCCAGGACAGCCGCCGAGGCAGGCGCGAGGGGGATGGGAGGTCGAGAGGCGGTCGCTCCTCTCAGACCGTGAGCGGCTGAGCGGCGCGCTTTGCTCGCTATGGACTTCATGATGTGGCTGGTAGGAGTGTTTAGTGTAAGCGCAGTAGCGAAGTGTATGATAGATAGCTTGTGCTCGTAGGGCTATCCATGGGCCTGAAGAGAAGGCATGCACGCGGTGGTCACGCCGGGTATGTGACCGGCCGGCGCATGTCCTCCGCGGAGCCGAGCGCCGCCGAGATCCGGCCGGACCTTGACAGATACCTTAAACTCAGCTGAGACAGAGTGGCGGTTGGGCTCGAGTGGTCATGCATCATGGACGTCTGCCAGAGTGCTGTCATAGCATGCTCGGTGGGGTGTAGGGAGATCGGACAGCCCCAAGTACATATCTATCGCGCAGACTGCTGGCTTACGAGCAGGCCATGCTGGGGGCCTATCGCGGCCCGGATATGAAGCCCTGCCCGCTCAATGCCATGACCATGGCCGGATCCCCTACACACCACTGACGGGCTCATGCTCGTCGACCGGTTGTCCATACCGATAACTTATACGTACTGATACATGTTTTTGTTCTACTGTTACACCTCCCATTCCCCTCCATACCCCGCGCGAGACCCCGAAATAAGCACCTACAAGTCCGGACCCCTTATATCCCAGCTCCTTCCTGATGGTCAGAAAGCCTTACCCGGCGCCGTTAGCCCTGTCGTAGACTCAAACGCCTTCTCATCGACCTCATCGGACCCATCGTCCCTCCTTGCCATCTCGATATCGATCTCGCTGTGGGCTGTGGGACCGCTTGAAACACTCCAAGACTGCTTGTCGATCTACATCTTCAGCTTGTCTTTCAGGATGATATGTCAAGTACAGGGACACGGCAACTCACAGATACTTGAGCATGCCTGATCGGAGACCGATCCGTCACTTCTGAGCGAGGGTCGGACGTACGAGCCTGGTCGTCAGCTCCGTCCAGTCCTTGGAGCCGAAGCCAAGGGTTGGGGACTATGTACTCACGCTCTGACGGTTGGAAGGGTAGGACACATTCACTGCAGCGACTGGTGCTTGGCTAGCTCGGAGGTTCAGCGTGATGAGCATGCCGAGCGTGTAGACCTTGGTCATGACCGCACTACGACATCAGTGGATCTTGATAACGCTCAAATCATCAAGTACTGACATCAAAACGAGTGCGACTTGGAACTGCCTGTTCCAGGCTACAAAGTTGACAATAGCGCTACAAAGTCAGTTATGACTCTACTGGCGTATGCTGCCGCACAGCTATAGACATACCTGATCAGTGCGGGTACTTGCGCCTCGAAGCATCGACTAACAGGGTCAGCCGTGTTGGGTCCAGAGGGAGGAGGAGCTTGATACGCACATCATGACCCGACGCAGACGGGAGTCGGTGTGTGCCCACCCCGTCTTGACTCGGTAGAGACCATGCGTCATGATGATAGTAATGATGAGGTCGGAAGCGAGCACTAGAGAGAGCTGCACGAGTCAGCTTGTGCCCAGATTCAGCCTAAATGGGCAGAGACACCCACCCAGCCGTAAATCGTGCCCTTGATTTTCTGCATGATTAGCATCCACTTCCAGGAAGGATCAATCAAATGGACAAGGGCGACTTACGATGTCGTTGAAGCCTTCAGTGTCAATGTACTTGAACTTGGTGTTGATGTAGTACTCGGCTGCAAATCCGAGTGTGGCCCCGCCGACCCTTTGGATCAGCATAGTCTCACCCCGTGCAAAGAGGTAGCTGGCTCACGTGAGGGGCCCAAGGAGAGCAGCGGGCCACCAGTGACGGTAGAGTCTGCATGCTCGGTCAATGTAGAAGGTCTTGGTGGTCAGCTTTAATCGGAGGTTTGAGGTCTTTCGACTCACGTGAACAATCAAGACATTCGCAAAGTCAACGCCTAGGTATCGGAGGATCCCTGCTTGGTCAGCCCACACCATGTCCAGCGGGAGACGACGCACATGTGATCTCGATGAGAGGGAGCCAATTCGCGAAATTCCAAACGAAGAGGTACTGCATCCATGACAGTATACTGGGTCTAGTCAGCGAGGCCAAGGGAGAACTGGCAGCGGAGGACTGACATGCCACTTGCGACCGTCGAGGCCAGTGTAGTGAGGACCTGCTCGAACTGAGCGAAGTCCACTAGCAGCCTGGGAGGCAGGAACCCATGCTCACCACGAGAGCGACAATGTGCTTCTTGTCCGTCTTGACGAAGCGCCAATACGTGAACACCTGGGCTACCACCAAGCCCATCAGCATCGAGTCAAGCCACCCGCTAATTCGTCAGCTTCATCTTAGGACGTAAGAGGCAAAGAGACCCACCTCATGAAGAATGGCATGATGTTCAAGCTTCTGTCTGCGCTGAGGACTTTGCCCGCTAGAGCCTCCATCAGTGCAGGATTGTTCATGATAGAAGCCATTGTATGAGTTCAGTGGATGATGATATGTGAGCAGGTGAGGGAAGGGCGTATCGGCGTATCTCTTGCGGGGGATTCCTCGCTCTTATAGCTTGACCAGCTGCTGGACCGTACACCCAGGGCCCGACCGCCGATCTCTCGCCTTCTCCAGATCTACGGGCCGTATCCGGCGAATTGCACACTACACATCCTCCTGCTGCCGCCACGAATGTGTGAAGGCACACGCGCGGATCCATAGGTGTCAGATAGAAGGACACATGCGAGTACGCAGCAGCATGAATGAAGGATGAGTGCGAAGGAATGCGAAAGGACGGAATGTGTGTGAAGGGGACGCCTCAGATCTGAGATCTCCGCTATTCGGTCACCGAGTAAGCCTTAACCCTATACCTCGATCGCCTCTTGCCTCCGTCTGTCTGGTCCTCAAAACGCAATCATTCGAACTGTCCTCGAACTATCGTCTGACGTCTATGGAGTCGAAGGGGCACATCGCGCTCATATCACTGAAGGCCCAGCCGAGATGACGAACGATTACTATGTCCGACGACAGCCGCAGACTCTCACTGACCTGGGGACCGGGGTCCTGGCAAGCTGACCTCATTCTGGGTTCCGTCCTCGTAAAGCCCGGGTCCACTGCTGGCAGACTCGGTCCGAGCAGGAGCACGCGCCACTGACCGTCTGACGGAAAAGAAAGAGAGTCAACGGCAGATCTGAGAGGGAGACTTTAGCGAGACTGAGTGAACCGAGTACCTTCATGAAAGGGGAGCGAGGGCGGGCGGCGGGGGTCAGAGCTCGCTCCTTTCACGAGCTTGGCCGAAGGCTACGGTAGACAATCCATTGCGACTCTTCATCCCCTCCCCTTCGCCCCTGATCGCCTCTCGTTCTCACTTCCCGTGACTGATACTCTGACTCAGCCTCAGTATGAAATCTGACAGTTCTCAGCGCAGCTACTTTGGGTCAGGCCCGGATACCTCCGAGCTCGACAGCGGGCTGGGTCTCATCCTGGCACATGCATCCCCGCCTACTCACGCCCGGCGGTATGAAAGCTCCGGAACGTACAACGACCTGTAAGCACACATCTTTGCTATATATGTCCTCTCCTGCACTGATTTGGCTGACAATCCCAGCGTGGTCGTTGCGATGACTGCACGCAAGACCCTGGCCCCGACGTACTTCAGCGCACGCCCAGACTGGACAAGGATTCTCGTGTCCGAGTATGGCAGGGCTGTGAAGACCCAGCTGATGACAGCACTGGCTGAACTGGATGTCGGGCAGAAGACTGCTCTCCTTGGCTTGTGAGCGTTTTTGCATCAACTTGGCGTCGTTTTGATCCAGTATGAAAGCTGACTGACAGCATCGCACAATTCCCACGGACAATTTCAAGCATCGTCAGTGTCGCCTTTGACAGTTTCGTTCATACCCTGTACCCCGAACCGCCGGTGACCCTGCACATGCTCCAGACTGTGGAGGACTCCGCCGTTGATTTGCCGCGCGTACCTGTGTGGCAGCGCTCGTAGCCGCTCTCTGTTCCTTTATACTGCTCCTATGCACGGCGATGGCTATCAGTAGTGCAACGAGACCAAGCCGACTCATGCTGACAACAGCTACGGCAGTCGAAGCCAGCTCTAGATCATGAGCTATCCGTCAGTAACATCAGCGTGCTGCGTTGGGCAACTTGGAATGCCGTGTCTTGCGTACCTTATTCCCGGTAAATAGCCGTCGATCCATCTTGTTGGAGACACATCGGTCAGACTCTACGTATATCGTCACCAGCGCAAAGCCATGTCGCAAGCTCAGGGATTAATAAGGCATATCCTCTGCGTGAAACAGCGAGTGGCGATCTCGGGCCTGGTGGCAAAGGATATCTGCCGCATTCGTGCTAGCACGCACCATGGGGTAGAGGGTGGAAGGGAAGCGCAATCAGTTGGTACAAAACGCTATGTACTTCGGGAGGACAAGGGATAGACGGCGTTCTCAAGTGGTCGTACTGCCTCATCTGGGTGTCTACAAGAGTCTATGCCTGACCCCTCGTTGCTTCACTCGTACATTTGCATCACTGTCCAGCCCCACACCTGGCATCCTACACCACACTCACCCCCACGAACTTCGCACACACCAACAATGAGCGACGAACAGCGGGTCCCGTACAGTGACGAGGCCGATGAACGTTCCCCTGAACGATGGGGCCAGTATTCTCACAGGTGCAACCCTCAACGATCATGACATTCTCGTGTACCTCGGCACTGCCAGTCTGAAGGATCAGTACGTGACTTCAGGTTTATACGTACCATGTCGGTGGAGACTGCTGGATCTCGTGACTGATGACCTGCAGTTGGCGATTGAAGATGATCGCGACCATGCGCTGGCCCCACAGGGTGCCCACGGTCCCGATCGGTTGGGCAGAGGCGTGGGAAGTGGCCAAGGAGGAAGATCCGCGGGTTCAGATGCTCTCCGATCTACTGAACGAGGCACTGGATAAGGCAGGCCTGACAGATGCCAATTCCGCTTACCCGGAGAGATGCTCCGTACTTGGGCTGTAAGTTCGAATCTGCCGGTACTGCTGGAGCGTAACCTGTTTACGACCTCATAAGCTGAACGTGACCCAGGCTCGCAGACCACGATCTACCTGACCGCGGTCAAGTCGACGAAGAGACCGGCATGGTGCAATCGGCAATGTACGTTTCTCTTGGCTCACGCCGGCGCCGTTACGATGGCTCAGACGTTCACGAAGTCGTCGTGCTCAACAACATCCCGCGTGACGAGACCAGCCAGCAGATACCCTCTCTCGAGAGCACCGCTCAACCGGAAGCATCGACGCGCACCAGCACCAGGAGGGTGGTTGCATCAGTCACGCAAAGCGCTCGCGAAGCCGCCCGAAGAGCTCTTGGGAGACCCGGTCAACAGGGTTGATGGCAGCCTATCTCCGCCCCATGATTGCTCCCGCCCCTGCTGCACCGACCGATGCGGAATTGTGATATCGACCTGACAACTTTGCCCATGTTCCGCATCTGCTATCCCATACGTTCCCCTTGATATGTATCCCTTGTGCAGATACTCGAATCCGATCGTGCCGCATTCTCATGAGTGGCCGACATTGGCGTTTAGTATAGGGAAGGCAGGCCGACATTCTTCATGTTGCCGGGTTGACGGCTGACGTTGGACCATTCAACCGATCGGTGTTGCCTCCTCACCGGAGTGTGATGACTGTCCATTGACGTCAAAGCATTCAAGAGTGAGCGTGTGAGTCTATCGCGTCACTGTCCTCCATAGTCCTTCCGTCGTGCTGGCGCCGGCACAAGACGTCAGCGAAGTATCTCAGATACCCCCAATGCCAGTCAGACGGCAAACCGATACCCAATTCATCTAATACCCAGGGAGATTCCTGAAATGCTTGACTGTCACAGCTGCCGGGTCGAAATTCATCGACGGCATCTTTTCCCTACGGTCATCAGCTTATGACGTTCCCCTTGCTCAAGACGAGAAGACATACCAAACAGGATCGACATCTGGTCCGTCCAAATCTCCAGCACCGTCCCAACCCCAACACCACACTGCAAGGTCAGCTGCTAATCTTCCGACATTCCTGCTGCTATGTACAGAGAGTTGGAGAGAAGCTTACCGTGCTCTGGTCCAGCCTTGAAGTCCATCTCGTTGAACTCCGCCTCGACGAACAGTCTATCGTGCGGGCCGAACCAAGATCGATCTTGCGGGTCGGAATGAGGATCGTCGGGGAGACCGCCGATACGCTTGTACCCTCGGATAGCGGTCAAGTTCCGTCGTTCGGGATGGATGATATCGTAGACCTTCTTGTCCTGTGTTGTCAGCTTGAAGACTCGACACAAGATTTTGTGAAGCGCACGTAGGCTAGCTTGACTCGGGGCACCACTGCTCATATTAGCGGACGCTCGACGTCCATCATTCATCTGAGACGACGTACTGATGATCCGTCCCCAACCTTGATGCCAGAAGTCATCTGAGGAGTCAGCTCATGCCCACGTCAGAGGACCTCACAGCTGAGAAGAGGACGTACTGCAGATCAAACTACATTCACTCGCAGAGCACTCTCCGTCGGGTAATCTGGCCATCCGGAACTTGACGGGTTTGGGGGCATAGAACGGTGCAGGGTCCAGGACGGCGATTCCATTCCAGCAGGATTGGACTGATGAGTCAGCAATACTCCAGAAGAAGGTGAAGGGGGAGGATGACATACCTTGGACAGGCAGATGTTGCTGGAAACGATGATTTGATTCGGTATGATGGAAGACCTGCTCGAAGGGGGCGTTCTCGAGAGCGGTACCGTTGATATCCCGAGCAACCCAGTTATCGTAGAAGACCGGTGCTCCCTATAGAGTCAGCTCTGTATGTAGCGCAAGAGGTGTTCCGACTCAGGCAGAACTTTATTCCCCCCTCCCCGTCACTTGCGCTTGTAGCCGTGATAAAGAATCACTCACAATATCGTCGTGGTACATGTAGTCCGCCGCACATGTAATCCCCGCATTCTGCCGCCTACTTTGCCAAATCAACTCCAGCAGATCATCCACGCAGGGCAAGATATCGTTCATAAAGATGATCGTATCAAACACCTCTCCCTCCGCGTCCCGCAGCTCATGCAGCGGCGTCATGGCCGCATTCCGGACCTCCGCAAGGTACTCGATACGGTGGTTGAATTGACCCCTCGTCCGCATAGACGTCCGGATGATGACTCTGAGCCCGACCGTCCGCGCAAGGGCGTCAAAGATCTTGAGCAGGGACTTTGTCTGGTCGTTCGATCCGTTCTCGTATATCGACACAAAGACGTTGTGGTATCCGAGCACCGCTGCTGTCCGGAAGAGCGTAGCGAAGATGTCTGGAATGACGTCGAACGAGTTGTAGAGGTTGATGGCGAAGAAGTATTTATGTTCCGATGAATGCGAGAGATCCCGCTTGATCGATTCCCGCCGCGTGGGGGCTGCGAGTGTCTTTTGACGCGCATCTGATCCACCCCATAGTGACCCCAGCCAGCCGGACGAGACCCAGCTGGTCCTGTGCCCTACCAACGCTTCGTACCGCCTCCCCGCTTGCTCCTTGTACAGCGGCTGCAGATGCCGCGTACATTCCCGCGTATGGTGTGGTGTCAGACTTCCGAGGAGCTGAAGGATGTGGAGGCGTTGGGATATGGAGGGGAGGGTCACCTGCGCACGATGCTGTCGTGATGTACCTGTATGAGGGCGGACTTTTGCGCCTGATCCGCGCCATGATTCTTGGCGTGACTGCTGGATTAGCTGGAGGACACAAGCTGCGGAGACTACTCACATCGCCCCGTCGTAATAACTGTCAAGTCAGCCTAGTGCCATTCCTCCTGCAAGGACCAACTCACACTAGCTACAAGCAGTCCGACCAATATCCCCACGAGCAGACTTCCCGCCGATGGTAATCTCCGCATTACCGACATGCTGAAATATTGCCACGCCTATGATTGTCGCGATTCGAAGCTGTCCTAGGTTGATGTACACAGCAGGAGCGCAGACCACTGTCTCGAGGACGCGCTTTGTGGGCGGGATAGAGCAGTATTAGGGTAGATATAGTACGACGCTGGCTGGCACTGGCAGGGACATTTTGCTATCTCTTGTGCCGCAACGCGTCCGAGCCCCGTGCCTGGCGATACAGAAGCGAAAAATGCCACATCACCGATCCTCATTCCTCAGCTGAAGGTGACTCCCCTCTCAGCGATCTTATAATGCAAAAGTCTTGAGGGATGCATGGCTACACTACAACCAGGACAAGCGAGGATCATCTACACAAGGAGAAGCCGGAAGCGGAAGAAAAGGAAGAATCGTCGTTACAGACTCGAAACACACGGCACGAAGTCCAGCCTAGTCGACCTTCAATTCTTCGGGCTCGCCGATACCGTTCGCACTGACAGGTCAGCCTCAAGCTCGCTGCAAAATGCCGGAGCCGGTGAGGGATAAGACGTACTTGATAGCAAAGATGGCTTCGGCCTCCGGGAGACAAGGGCTATCGACGATCTTGCACACCCGTGATGCACCTCGTCCTTTCCGTAGAGATAGCCGTGTAGTAGAGGCGTGCGCCATGATGTTACCCCCACTGCTCTGTCAGCTCACATCCCACCCAAGTAGCTAATGATTCTTGATGGGAATATGTGCTCACATTGGCTTCTTTGCGTCCGCTCCGGCGAATTGCCCTCCGTCGACCTGCGCTACTACCTGGTTCGTGACGACGACAGCGACACCAAACTGCGTTGTCAGCACTGGATAAGGCTCACAAGGTCGACGAGAACTCACCTCATCCGCAAGACGCATCAACGTCCTCAGGAACTTGGCCAAATGTGTTTGCCGGGCAGAAAGTTCCCCTCGTCCTGAGAAGTCCGTTCGGTACAAGCTGGTACACGAGTCGACAATGAGTAGGGCGAACCTGGAATATCAGCTCGGACCGGACACCCGTCAGCAGTTCTCAGCTCACCGTGACTCCGCCATCATAGCACTAGCCTGCACCAGCAGTTGAAGCTGATGATCGGCGTTATAAGCCCTAGCATAGGCAATGTTATCTAGGACTTCCTCCCCATTCAGGCCGTATCGCTCTGCAACCGCGAGCATTCGGACCGGACGGAAGGTACCTTCCGTGTCGATGTAGAGACACTTGCCCTCTCCGCCGCCCATGGACACTGGGAGCTGTATTGTCAGTTCAGCACAGATCATGTAAAAGTGCGGTCCAGCTCACTTGACATGTCACAGCCAAAGTGTGGCAGATCTGCGATTTACCAGTCCGGAACTCGCCTGCGTCGTCAGCTATACCACATCAAGGAGACCACGCGAAGATACGGGACAACAGACGCACCGAAAAGTTCAGTGATAGCGCCAGTCTCGATACCGCCTAAATGGATCAGCTGTACCTCGGTGATTTGGTTCGATGGATCAGCTCACCTCCAAGAATGGTATCCAGTCCTTTCGACCCGGTCGATATATGTACCAGCTCTGACCTCCTCGAGTGTATCTCCGTCGCCGTTGTGAAGCCCATCGGTACGAGCTTGCATGCTGGTCCAGTCAGCTTTTCCGTTTGGGTGGCAAATGACCCAAATGAGTCGCTTTGATTCTACCTGGCCTGGCCTCGGCAGGGAAGGGCAGACGTACCCTCAGCTAATATCTTATCCGCCTTAGCCTCGCTGATCCCCTTGATGATGCACAGCTGCTTCTTTGGCGTGAACGCTACAGCTTCCACGGTGTGATATCCGGCCTCCGAGAGCTTCTTGGTGTCTGCTGCCGAGATACCTCCTTCCTGTAGGTGTCAGCTCTGGAGCACATTCACCTGCTCCAGGCAACGGTCTCGCTAGCTGATTACAACACCTACCTGAAGCTTATCGACGAGCATCGGCGCCATGACCTCGAATGCCTCATCGCCGCCCTCAAACGGATCTTCTTCCTGGGCCATGCTTGCTCGAGGTAAAGGGGGGATCGGATGTGAGTGCGGCTGTTCTGTCAAAGATGACGCTGTGACGAAGCGATATAGGAGGTTGACCTAGAGAGCGACGAAGGAAAGATGATGGATGATGCAACGGAGAGGTGAGGTGGACAAATCGAAAACAAGACGCGTCGCGCGTACCTGATTAATGATTTCATCCCAATCAGGTAATTCCGACCTCATTCCGGCAGATTACGTATTCTGGCGGAGAGGTGGAGGATCTTCGAGATTTTTGGCGGCAAGAGGGTGTTCGTCCATCTTGCTCACACCTTGTCAACAACAGCTAAGATGAACGGCCCGTCATCGCTCAATCAGTCCATCACAGCTGGATGGGCCGTCACGCCTGTTGCTTCCTCATCTACCAGTACCGCATCCGCAGCGAACGGATCAGCCAATCTGACAGCAAAGAAGCGTCTTCGCCGGACCAACCTCAACAATGCCTCTACCGACCCACAAGGGAGTGGTAGCAATGCCGACCCAGACCGCCCACCCACGCCTCGGCGAAAGAAACCAAAGTCAGACCGGGGAGCTGTACCTTCGAAGTACGCCCCACCGGACCTCAAATTGTCGTCTTTAGGCGGACTGCGGGCGCAGATCACGCAGTTGATGGAGATTGTGGTGTTGCCTCTGTTACATCCGGAGATCTATCAGCACACGGGTGTTCCGAGGCCGAGAGGAGTACTACTCCATGGTGTGCCAGGAGGGGGAAAGACGCAGCTGGTCAAGTGCTTAGCTGGAGTAGGTCCAATTCATCGCCAATCCTATAGGCTCGAACTCACCAGCAGGAACTCGGCTTCCCCTTCTTGAGCATAAGTGCTCCCAGCATAGTCAGCGGGATGAGCGGGGAGAGCGAGAAGACATTGAGAGATACCTTTGACGAGGCCAAGGTGAGCTTTCTACCCAATCTTCATCTCGTGGCGTGCCTACAGCTAACTTGGCGCAGAAGCTTGCGCCATGTCTGCTCTTCCTCGATGAGGTCGACGCCATCACACCGAAGCGGGAGACAGCGCAACGAGAGATGGAGAGGAGAATAGTCGCGCAACTCTTGACTTGCATGGATGGTGAGCTAAGCGATGCCCGCTTGTTAGAGCCAAGCTGACATCCAGATCTTGCATCGTCAGATGAACCGGTCGTCGTCATTGGAGCTACAAACCGACCAGACTCACTTGATCCGGCGTTGCGGCGAGCCGGAAGGTTCGACCACGAAATAGAGATGGGCGTGCCGAGCGTAGAGGGGCGGGAAGAGTGAGCTCACTCCGCGCCATTCTTGCACTGAAGACACAAGCTGAGTTTCAGAATCATCCGGGTCCTATGCGGGAACCTGCATCTATCCGAAGAGATTGACTTCCGGTGGCTTGCCAAATCGACGCCTGGCTATGTCGGCGCGGATCTCACCTCCCTCGTCACCGAAGCAGGAGTGATCGCCGTCAAGCGGATCTTTGAGGAAATAGGGGAAGGCAGACTCGTCCTCCCCTCAACGCCTACAGACGGCGTCGAAGCTATGATTCTGGATGAGGTCGACCCATCTCAGCCCTCGACAGCCGAACCTACCGCCCCTCCCACTCCTAATGCCAACACCACCGACGCAGCCCCTTCCATCCCCCTCGACCTAGACCAACCGTTCATGACCCTCCCCCTCGACATCCGCTCCACACCAATAGCCAAATTCCTCATATCCCATCCCGGTCCTCTCGATCCATCGCAGCTCGCTTCGCTCTCGCTCAAGTCTGACGACTTTACGCAGGCGCTCAAGATCGTTCAGCCCTCGGCTAAGCGGGAAGGTTTCGCCACCATTCCGGATGTATCATGGGCGGATATTGGGGCGCTCGAGACGATCCGGGACGAGCTGCACATGGCTATCGTCCAGCCTATACGGCATCCTGAGCTGTTCTCGGTGGTGGGTATCGATGCGCCAAGCGGAGTGTTACTTTGGGGTCCGCCAGGATGCGGAAAGACGTTGCTGGCCAAGGCGGTCGCGAATGAGAGTAGGGCGAACTTCATCTCGGTCAAGGGACCGGAGCTTTTGAATAAGGTCAGTGGAATCGAGGGTTCTGTAAACCGCAAGCTGATATAGCAGTACGTCGGAGAGAGTGAGAAGGCGGTCCGTCAGGTCTTTGCTCGTGCTCGAGCTTCATCCCCCTGCGTGATCTTTTTCGATGAGCTGGATGCGCTCGTACCGCGAAGGGATGACTCTATGGTGAGCTAGCCGTACCTCGAGGTCCGCACTTCAGCTGACTCTTAGTCCGAATCTTCTGCACGTGTCGTCAACACCCTCCTGACCGAGCTGGACGGCCTCGACGCTCGCAAGGCCGTCTATGTGATTGGAGCCACCAACCGACCTGACATGATCGACCCTGCCATGGTCCGTCCCGGCCGACTCGACAAGCTTCTCTACGTCGACCTGCCCAGCGCTAGCGAGCGTTGGGAGATCCTCAAAACCCATACTAAGCGCACGCCCATCCCCACGGAATGTATGGACGACATCAAGCTCATTGTCGAGAGCTCGGATTGCGACGGGTTCAGCGGTGCGGACATCGCCGCGCTCGTCCGCGAGGCTGCTACGTCTGCTCTGCGGGGCGCGCTCGAGGCGGTCGGGGCGTTCGAGAAGGAGATGGCGTCCCTGAAGCGGGGTGAGGGAGCAGGTGATGGGGCCGAGCACCTCGCAGAGAGGAAGGAGGTCCGGGTGCGCACGGAGCACTTTGCATTGGCGGCGAAGAAGACGCTGCCGAGTGTGAGCAAGGAGCAGAGGGGGCGGTATGAGCGTATGCGGGACAAGTACGCGGGACTGCCGACGAGACGGAGGGGGAGGGAGAAGGAGGAGATTGGGAGTGGGGAGCAGCAGAGTGCAGGGGACAAGGAAGGAGCGAAGGAGAAGGATGGAGGGATGTTAGCTTGATCTGATGTATCGCATCTCGAGGTCTCATGACTGTTACTGGTGCTCAGGCCCTGCTTCTTCGCAGCTTGAGGGTCCTGGCGATGGCAGAGAAGCTACCCTACATCGCCCGAGCATATGGGCAGAGCGGGGAACCCCGTTTCTTTAGCCGGATCCGCGTTCCTGGATTTCTAGCCCAGAAGAGGGGGTGTCATGACAGCTATGACTCGTTGTGTCTCATCATCTTTCTACTCTACTTGATCATCCGGCCTTTTGATCATATCGGCCACTGATTGCGCTGATCCACTGCGCATCGCATAGCTAGCGCGGATCACGCCCGAACGACCCCTCGACGCGGTCTTACATTCCTCGTACCCCTCGACCTGCCTTGATCCCTCGACATCGATCATTGCCCGCCTCAGCTTCCTTTCACGGTGGACATCAACGCCTGCCCCCTCGCCCTAGCCGATATCGCGACAGCGGAGTTCGGAGCGGTACAGGTCTTACATAGGCAGCAGCCTATCCAGGCCTACATATCGCCTTAAAGACGCTCTTTGAAGGCTTACTCCAAGTGAAGACAGCGTGATGAGGCCCAAGGTACTCGAGATAGCGTACGTCTACTTCCTGCTATGTCTGAGCGGACTCTCAGGCAATACATACGCATGCTCCGGAGGACGAAGCTGACGTGCTCAGCTGGCACGAGACCCAAGCGGTCTACTCGTGCGACTTCCAGCCGCTCCCGCCCGCGCAATTGAAGCGCTTGCTTCCTATAGGGCACGATGACGAAGACGGGAAAGACAAGGAGAGGGAGCGCGAGCGGGCGGTCATAGCGGGCGGAAGAAGCTACCGGATGGCTACAGCTGGAGGGGATTCGAAAGTCCGGGTAAGCCCTCTTTCTCTACGGACGGCCGCTTGCAGCCTTCGCACTTGCTGACGCTCTCAGCTGTGGATGATCCACCCAAATATTCCTCTCGCGAACCTCTCGGCGCACGTTGCTGCGACGGGACAAGACATTGCGCCTCATCCACCACGGGCCGAGTACTTGACCACGCTCAGCAAGCATACTGCCGCTGTGAACGTTGCGCGGTTTAGTCCGAATGGGCAGACATTGGCTTCAGCCGGTGATGGTGAGCTGCTCATCGCACGACCTCAATCACGGAGCCAACTGACATGCTCAGATGGGAACGTCATCCTCTGGGTGCCATCAGACAAGCCTGTGACCAACTTTGGGGAGACGAGCGAGGAGGTCGACAAGGAGAATTGGAGATTGCAGAAGATGCTCCAGTGAGCTTATCGGTACCGAGACCTGGTGGGCGACGAGCTGACAGTGGAAGGGTGACAACGAAGCACGTCTACGACTTGGCATGGAGTCCCGACGGGGAGTTCTTCATCGCTGGTAGTACCGATAATACCGCTACAATCTGGAAAGCTTCAACAGGTCAGCTCCTATACACGCGGAAGCGACGAACCAGCTGACGTCCAGGCGAATGCGTCTTTGCGCTTCGGGAGCACTCGCACAATGTACAGGGGGTGTCGTGGGACCCTCTGAATGAGTACATCGCGACTCAGAGCTCGGATCGGTGAGCTGAGATTCCTGTGTCTGCTCTGTACTGGACCAAGCTGACTCATCAGATCCGTTCACGTCAACACCTTCCTCTTCAGGAATGGCTTGCCGGATGTACATCCCGTTTCCCGCGCCAGTCGGATGGAGTTGCGCCAGTCTCGTACACCCTCTATGCCATCCTCATCTCGCCCATCCATGGTCCGAAGGGGATCAGCCACTTCGGATGCCGGCTCAGCAATCACCTCGGCCTCGGAGTTGCCAGACCTTTTCCCTGGCCTCCCACCAGTCCCTCATTCGGCCAGCGCTACGCCTATCACTCCTTCCGCATCGGTCCCTTCCACACCTCTGCCCGGAGCGGCCATGAACCCTCCTCATTCAACTACGAAACCCGGGTCCCGCCGTTCTTCCTTCTCCGGCAGTCAAGCGGCTGGCTCTCCTGCCCTCAGCGCAGCCGCCTTTCCCGGTCGAGGTCGGAGTCCAAGCCCCATGCCGCAGCTTCCGGCCATTCGGGCGCCGCCGCCGGCGATCATGCAAAAGTTGTACGGGGATGAAAGCGTTACTCGCTTCTTCCGTCGGCTGTCGTTCTCCCCGGACGGAAGTCTGCTCATGACCCCGGCAGGGCAGATCGAGGACCAGCTATTCAAGGGATCGCCCATGCTCGGTCCCCGCTCCATGTCGCAGGACGGCTCCGAACCTCCTGTACCCGCAGGCGGACTCACCCGGCCCAAAAACATCGATGCCGGCCGACCTACCGTTTTCATCTACTCGCGAGCCAATCTTGCTCGTGCCCCAATAGCCCACCTACCCGGACACAAGACCGCCAGTGTCGCCATCCGCTTCTCGCCCATCTTTTACGATCTTCGGAGTCACGCGAGCAACGCCGAGCCAAAACACGTCATGCTCGACCGAGAGGAGAAGGGACCGGTACATGTCTCGTTGACCATGCCGCCCCCTCCACCGCCGCCAAAGGAGAAGGACGGGAAGAAGGAGGATGAGAAGGAAAAGAAGGAGGGTGCGCTGGGGAGTGTGTTCGCACTCCCGTATCGCCTGATATATGCGGTGGCATGCCAGGACAGCGTATTGCTGTATGATACGCAACAGGCCGGGCCTATTGCGATCTTCAGGGGGCTGCACTATGCGGGATTCACAGATATCGCTTGGTGAGTTGTTATGATCCTGCAATCTTTTATTGGGATTCGAAGCTGATCCATCTAGGTCACCAGACGGCCAGACTCTCATGCTGGCCTCATCGGACGGGTACTGCTCCATAGTCGTTTTCGACCTCGCCGAGCTCGGAACAGTCCACCCTACCCAGCAACATCACCGTCAACTCGCCGCTATCGCACAAAACCACGCCTCACATCCAGTGCCTGCCCCATTGCACCACCACTCCTCATCCCTCTCCAACTCGGGCGGCCAACGCGACTCGTTCGGCGGCGCGTCTGTACCCCACTCACCTGCGGCCTCGATGATGCGCCAGTCACCCGCGCCGACCCGGTCAGAACGGGAAGGGTCTACCAGCTCGAGCGTCCTCGGTCTGGGACCCTCGCAGTCGCTCAACCTTCCACTCTTTGTGCCTCCGCCATCAGCAAGCTCAAGTACGGACCGGACGGACCACGTCATCTCTACGCCGAGCGAGGAGGTGGATGCGTACAGCTGGCGCACAGGTCGAGGGGGACGAAGCGGGAGTGAAAGCAGTGCCAGTGCGAGTGTGAGCACGATGGCCGGAGCGGCGGGACGTTTGCCCTCGGGCGGAGAGCAGTACGAGAAGCGGCCGAGCAGCGCGCAAGGGGGACAAGGGGACGGTGCCGCTGAAGAGCAACCAAAGAAGAAGAGACGAGTCGTTTTGACGCATTTGGGGTCGGAGGATAGTTGAGGCGGTATTGGGTTGGCGCAGTGGGGTTCTTTCGTTTGTGAAGCTTGGATTTGATTGAGCCATACATGTATATATCATCATTCGACTATCATGTCGTGGCGGCAGAGCCAATGACCTTTCACGGCAAGCATCAACACAGCATAGCCACAGGCACCTCGGCGCCACTGACCTGAATTTTCTGTGCCGTCATTTCCCTATTTTTCTCCCAAATGTCTCACCGGCCGTCCTCTCCGTGTGTCCACAGCCAACAGCAACCATACCTTGCTCAAGGACATCTCTATCTTCTTCGTTCATACTTCATCTTTCATATCCCCCTTCTCAAACAGCCATGTCTGACGACGAAGCGGGAAACTCGTCACCTGTTCGAGCTCGGAGCGAAAGTCCGGCGGGGACGGCCGAGCAGCAGCGGGAGAAGGCTGGACGGAAAAGGGTGAGCTTCCGAAGACTAGCATTATAAGGCGGACATGAAGCTCATTTGTTCAGCCGAGGGTAGCGGATCCTGATGGTATGTCCGTACTAATGAGCTTGCGACGAGACTAAGCTGACCCGTCTGCGCAGAGGATGACGATGTGAGCTATTTCCGCCGAGTCATTGTCGGAGCAAGCTGACTTGTTTGCAGATGGGAGACGATACCGCGAATGGCTCTGGAGCAGGGAACGGGAAGGGGAGAGCAGATGATGAGGATGGAGAAGGAGACGATGATGAAGAAGAGGAGGATGACGAGGAGGACGATGAAGAGGATGATGAGGAAGGCGGGGATGGTGAGTAGTCTTGGTCTAAGGACGGCTGCCAATGAGCCAACGCTGACGACTTAGGTGGCAAACGGAAAGCAAAGAAGGTGCGCTAGATGTTGGAGTTTAGCGACGGTTAAAGCAGGAAGCTGATCGATTAGCGGAAGCGGAGACCCAAGAAGTTCAGGTTCTTGGATGTTGAAGCGGAGGTAGACGACGAGGATGACGAGGACGAAGAAGCGGACGACTTTGCCGATGGTGAGCTGGCTTTTTCGTAGTGGGCATCGACAAGAAGCTCACGACTATCAGTCGCCGAATTCATCGAAGAAGCGCCAGAAGAAGCATCCGGGCGAGACGATGTCGCCCACCGACGGCTAGACCGAAGTCGAGGCGAGGCGCAGATGGAGAGTGTAGAGGAGACGGTCGCGCGTTTGAAGCAGCGGTACGGGCGGGGCCAGGCGGCCAAATATGACCCGGATAGCGATCAAGTGCCGCAGCGGCTGTTGATGCCCGGGAACGGGGATCCCAACTTGTTCCAGGTCCGAGTCAAGGTATGTACAGCCGTTTCCCTGTTAGGACTGGAGATACTGACGTTACAGGCTGGAGAGGAGCAGAACCTTATTACCAAGATCTTCCGCAAGGTCTTCTCAAACCAAAATTCGGCCAACCCCTTCGAAATCTATTCTGCCTTTTACCGAAACTCCCTCCCTGGCATGCTTTTCGTCGAAGCGCGCGGAGCCGCCCCTGTCCTTGCGGTCCTCACGGGTCTCGTCGGCGTGTTCCTGTCGACACCACCGAAACTCGTCCCGATTGAGGAAATGGCGCCCCTCCTCAAGATCAAGAAGAAGGACGAGAATATCCAGCCGGGAATGTGGGTTCGGATGAAGCGGGGAAAGTACGCTGGGGATCTCGCGCAGGTCATCGATGTGGACCAGATCACGAACGGTGTCGCTGGTCTCAAGTTTATCCCTCGGATCGACCTCACTCCACGGGAGAAACGGTCGAGGGACAAGGGGTCGAACGGAAAGGCGCTTGGCGGAAACGTTCGGCCGCCATCCCGGCTCTTTGCCTACGAGGATGTCCGGAAGATCTACGGCAGAGGGGCTATCCGGCAGACCGCTACCAGCACCTACGTTTGGGATGGGGATGAGTATGTCGATGGCTTCTGCCTGAAAGACCTCAAACTCAACCTCATCTCGGCCGAGGGGGTCAAGCCGACGCTCGAGGAGGTCTCACGCTTCACTGGCGACGAGGGAGAGACGAGCAGGATCGACCTCTCGGCCATCGCGGATGCGAACCGGGATATCGGCGCGTCGGGTCTCTTCCCTGGCGACAAGGTCGAGGTGTACGAGGGGGAGCAGAGTGGGCTGTATGGACCGGTCGTCACGGTCACGATTGACGTGATTGCCATCAAGGCGATGAATGGGGATGTGAGGGGCCAGATCATTGAGGTGCCGAGTAGGAGTGTGCGGAAGCGGTTCGAGCTGGGAGAGCACGTCAAGGTGTTGAATGGGCCGAATAGGGACGCGAGCGGGATGGTGGTGGATGTCAAGGGGGATGTAGTCACTTTGATGTCGGATCAGGGAGAACAGGAGGTGAGTCAGCTGATCGCGTTGCTTGGCTGGACCTGATATGGCAGATCAAAGCATTCTCGAAGGATGTTCGGAAGGCGGCAGATATTGCTGGTGGTTCGCAAGCCAAGGGAGCTTTCGATTTGCACGACATGGTGATGCTTGAGTGAGTTACAAGCCCCGCAGAGGTGGATAGAAAACTAACTCTCCAGCTCGGCGACCGCAGCTGTGGTCATCAAGGTCGAAGGCGCAATGCTTCGGATAATGGATCAGAACGGCGCTGTCCGAGTGGTCACTCCGCATGAGGTCACAGCTCGTCGGGACAACAAGAACTTTGCGGTCGCTCAGGATAGTAACGGGAATGACATGAAGGTCGGGGACGCCATGAAGGAGGTCGGAGGCGAGGTGAGCTTAAGGGTTTTAACTCGATCGCCTACAAGCTGATACTGTAGAACCGCTCTGGCGAAGTCCTCAACATCTTCCGCTCAATCTTTGTCTTCCTCTTCTCCCGCGAGATCCTCGACAACTTTGGTGTCTTTGTCGCTCGCGCCCAACTCCTCATCTCCGTCACGCCCAAAGCGGCCGCCAACGATCTATCAAAGCTCAACCCCATGTTGCAGAGTCAGCTCCCTTACGGCGGTGCCTCGCTTATGGCTCCTCCGACGACCATGCCCAATAAAAATCGGCTGATCAATACTCCGGTTGTCATTGTCAAGGGCACCCAGAAGGGGTTGATGGGTATCATCAAGGATGTACAGGGGGAGAAGGCTAGAGTGGAAATGGCTAGCAATAATAAGGTGTTGACTATCGATCTGACGTCGCTGAAGCGGAAAGAGTAAGCTCGCCGGTATCCAGATTGGTGTCCAGCGATAGCTGATCATTTGCAGCACCAGGACAGGCACTACCTACCCTCTCGACTCGGCCGCTGCTGGCTCGTTTGGCGCACCACGACCCGGCGGTGGGAACTACGATATCAACCCGTACGGCCAGATGGCCCCGCCGAACGGTGGAGCGACCCCTGCTCCGAACTACGGTGGACGTACGCCGGGCGGTGCCGCTCGTTTTGGTCAGACACCCAATCCATACGCAGCTGGTGCTGGCGGGTTCGGTGGAGGCAAGACGCCCAACCCGTACGCTGCTGGAGCAGGTGGTCGGACGCCAGCACCTGGCTGGGGCGCAGGCGGAGGCAAGACGCCAGGATGGGCTGGAGCGGGTGGAAAGACGCCTGCGCCTGGAGCAGGAGGGTATGGCGGTGGTGGAGGAAAGACACCTGCGCCAAACTATGGTGGTGATGGTGGTCGAACACCAGCTTGGGCAGGTGCGGGTGGAGGTGGAGGAAAGACACCCAATCCCTATGCCTTAGGATCGGGGTCGGGAGCTGGGGGTCGGACGCCTGCTCCGGGCGGTAGTATGTACCAGGACCCGGGCACGTCGAGGGTGAGTTGTCTAGAGACTGTATCCCTCCAGAACTGGAAGCTGACATTTGCAGTATGGTAATGGTGGTCTATCGGCCCCTACCCCGTATACCGCTCCACCTACTCAGGCGGCCGTAGCTGCCCAGACCCCCGCGACTACTCAATATTCCGCGCCTACGCCATATGGCGCCCCGACTCCATACGCCGCTCCTACACCCTACTCCGCGCCTACTCCCGGTGTTGGCCTTACCGCGCCCACCCCCGGCGCTGGTGCAGGACCCTCTCACAACGGCGCACCAACCCCATACGGCGCTCCGACTCCCTACAACGCACCTTCCACCTCCAATCAGCCTGCCGCCCCCCAAGCTTCAGATCTCCCATGGGACTGGGCTCTCGACTTCCGAAACGTCCGCGTCGAGGTCGGACCATCCACAAAAGCCGGGACCCGCAATCCCCTCCACTTTCAGCGCGGCGCTCTCGACCGCCAGATATTCGGGTACGCCGATATCGCCGAGGGCGAGAGTCCGCACTGTATCCTCCTGTCGGACCCGACAGTCACGGCGGATATCCCGGCCGAGTACCTGCGGCCTGTCCAGCCCACGGCGCCCGGCCAGGCGATTATCGTCATTAATGGTCCGGATGGGATCAAGGGGCAGCAGCGGACCACCGAGTATCTGAATGAGGATCAGTGGATGATGGTGCCCGATCAAAGTGTTGGAGAGGTCGTGCCGATGATTGTGGGCGGTGGGGATTTGTGTAGGATATGGCAGAGCTAAAAGGTGGAGCAGCGGTGTCAAGCTTTTGTAGAGATCGATGCAGTCTTTTTGGTGTACCATGTGCACAGTACTGCATGTATTCAAATGGTCCATATCGAGGAGTTAAGGCAGACAGAGACGCGGTTGCGGATACAATACATGCTGGCCTTGCGTCTAGACATCTCCTACTCTCCCTCACCCGCCCGCCTCAGCTCAAGCATGCAGACTCATCAATCGCTGCACGCTCATCAACGCCCTATACCGCACATCGGCATTATCATGCCCCATGAGCTCAATCATGCGCGTTTTGCCCCCTTGCTCCGCAACCGTCGCCTTCGCCTTGTCGCCCACCGACTTGACGTACTGCCCCACGTCGCTCGCTGCTACAGCAAGCACAAGCGGGTCCTTTGACGTCTTGAGGAGCTCCACCAGACGCCTGTTGCATCAGCTCTTACCAATGTTCGCTTGCCCGGTTACTCACTTGATACCCTTCCCGCTATCCTCCTGTCCCAGTCTCGCTCCATTCTCTTTCCAGAAATCCTCGCTCTCATGCGTCGGACTCCATACCAATTTCCCACTCTCCAACTCGCTCAGGTACTCGTCGTACGTCGTCAACCCCTCCAGGCGCCCCTTGAGCTCGGTAGAGAGGTAGGTCAGGTCGTCCTCTATTTCCTCGTCAGACCATTTACGTTCCTGGAGGGAGGAAACGAGTGCGAGTGTCTTCTGGACGAAGAGGGATGGCAAGTTTTGGGTAGGAGCTTGTGTGAGAAGGTTCTGGTCAGTAAGCTCGAAGTCAAAGCGTCCTGCACGACCACCCAGCTCACTCGTAAAGTCGCGATCACCATCCGGGTTACTTTCTCCTTGACCGAGGCTTTCGCCACAGTTGTGAGAAGCGCTATGATATCGTATTTCCTGCCGCCAGTCAGCTGACCGTCCCAATTGATCGACGCAATAGCTCACCTGTCCATACCTTCCGCCGCCTCCTTCTCGAAACTCAGCATCCACAGACTGCTCAAGCTCCAGTACTGCGCCTGCGGGTTGGCATTCGTCTTGAGCGATTTTAGAAGACCCGAAATGCACTGCTCCTCTGCCCATACCGCGTCTCGGAATTGTTTCCGACCTAGGATGGCGCCGAGAGCCTGAGCTGCGACTTCCCACAGAGGTTGGCGGGTCCCGTTGAGGAGGGTGGAAATAGATTTGAGGAGCGGGGAAATGAGTGTCTGGGGGAAGGGATTGGTGTCGGTTCTGATCGTTCAGCTCGCTGTCACTCAAAACAGAAAGAGGGACATACGCAATGAGGACACCCAATATCCGCAATGATCCGAGAATCGCAAACTCCTCGTCCATACTCAAGCACTTGACGATGGGTCCATACGGATCTTCTGGGTGCTCCACCGTCGATAAAGAGTGGAACAAAGGGATGGTCGTGGTCGGGTCCGAGGTGAGCATGTCGTTAATGGCGACCAAAACCGCCTGGACCGTGTCGACCCGCTGAAGCTTCCGGAGGAGGTTGATGTAGAGGGAGGCGTACTGGGCGCCTTGGGTCGCAAAGGTCGTCGAGCGCTGAGACTGGGGCTGAGGTGTAAGCTACGGCGTTCCATGGAGAGGGGATTTGACAGCTTACCAGTTTGTTGATAGACTTGAGCAGCTGTACCTCATCGCCCGAGACCAGCTTGGCCCGCTGGTAACCCTACACCTATCAGCTCGACCCCCCACGTTGCTATGACGTTTTAGGAGAGGGGACATACCTCCCATGGCACTGGCTTTGAGTTGATCTTGTTGCACTGATCGTCCAAGTACGGCGAGTAGAATGGAGGCGGTAAGAGGGCTGCCTTGGTAGCTGTTTTACTCATAGTGTATAGTGTATGTGCATGTAGATAGTAGAGTGTGAGTTGAATGGTACCCTTGGGTTAGGGAGACGTTTACAGGGGGGCGCAATTAAGGTCAGGCTTGGCTGGTTGAACTGGTCGCCACCCAATCCTTTACACACTCAATTGCCCTTTTTACTTTGTCTCAACAGGACTCGCCATGACGGCCCCTATCTCGTTCACAGTTCGCCCGCCAGCAGCGTCGGCGCCATATCGCCCGTCACCGCTGGCGAATGGCTCGCGGACGAACTCGAGGGCAGGTCCGCCGTCGAGGCGGCTGTTCGAGAATGGCCAGGGGGAGTCGGATGATGAGGACGAGGACGGGCTCGACCGTCGAGTCAAGACGGAAACATCAGACAGGGGAAGGGATGATCAGGGCTCGGGATCTGGCAATGGGCGAGCCTCGGGATCAGGGTACGCTCAACCTTTGCCCAAAACCTCTGTCTTCGCTGATGCTCATAGCGCCCAAAAGTCCTCTGCATCACTCGTCATTCCCGCCTTGCCCAACCGGAACTGGCGCGAGAACAGTAACCGCAATGTGCCGTCCTTCCGTCCCGAGGCGCCCAAACGCGAGGCGAGCGATATGATCACGCACGAGCGGATAGGTGATGGACCGGCCAAAGTCGGCCTGGAGCGGTTCGGGAAGAAGAGGGAGGCGGACGCGGATGAGAAGGACGAGGACGGGGACGTCAAGATGGAGGTGAAGCTAGAGGAGGGAGTAGCTACACCTTCAGGTGGAGCGTCCACCCAGGATGAGCCTCAAGTCAAGAAGGAGCCTCTCTCGCTCGAGGAGCAAGCTCTTCAAGAGATCCTCGCGGGCGAGGTCAAACAGGAAACGGCGGAGGACCGAGCCCAGCGCGAACTCGTCATCGCGATGCAGGACAACCGGGGCCGAGTCATGTCGGAGACGGAAGCGCTTCAACAGGCCATCAAAACCCTGCCGGCCGAATCGACCCTCGAGGACTTTGAGGCGGTACCCATCTCGGCCTTCGGCATCGCCGCTTTGCGCGGAATGGGCTGGGACCCCAAGTCGACCGAAAACGTCAAGGCGAGGGAGGTGCAGCGGCGCCCGCAGTTGCTCGGCCTGGGAGCTACGCCCATGGCGGTGGATATGCCGTCCGGGAGCGGGAAGAGCCGGAAAGAGCTAGAGAGGGAGAAGGAGAAGCGGGAGAAGAAGAAGAGTAGGGATGAAAAGACGGGAAGGGGGTTCTCTGCTGCGAGCCTGCTCCAGAAGATCCCGAATGGGAGCGGTTCGTCCACGCCGGTCATCGGGAGTAGAGCCGGGAGCATCGAGACGGGCACCGATAGCGATGGGAGCCGGCGGCGGCGGAGGGAGGACGAGGCGTCGTCAGGAAGGGAGAGTAAGAGGCGGGACGATAGAGATAGAGACGGGGACAGGTATGAAACTGAAGCAGAGCGGGCGAGACGGAAAGCGAGAGAGCGGGATGGTGGCGGGGATCGCTATGAGACGGAGGAGGAGCGGGCGAGGCGGAAAGCCAAAGAGAGGGAAAGGAATGGGAACGGTGACAAGTATGAGAGGTCAGACCGGGATAGGGATAGGCGGGATAGAGATAATGGACGAGATAGGCGAGATAGGGATAGCAAGGATAGGGATGGCGATAGGGAGAGACGCCGCGAGCGATACTAAGCGGTTCATAAGTAGATAGACACTGTAACCAGGTAACATGTATCTTTGTAAATCTGTACCAGCTCGCGGGTCACCATACATCAAGAAGACTCTATGTTTTCTGCATGCTCAGTGGAATCGATCCAGCACGTTGAAGCGCTTCAACGACAGCTCCCCCTCAATCAGCTCATCCAGTCTCGCTGCAAACGCTACGCCATGAGCCGTTCGCTCGTAACATGTCAACCTGAAGCGGAGACAGCTCACCCATAAAGTTCTTTCCACGCTTGTGCTCCTCGAACGCCTCGTCAGACTCATACTGCCGCCATCAGTACGTTCCGCTGCGATCCAAGAGAACAAGTCACGCACCTCCTCCCAAATCATGATCCGTCTGGGGTCGTCCTGAGCCTGGGAGAACTGATACTGAAGGCATCCGCGTTCCTGCCTCGAGTCCTCCACGATCGGCAGGATGGCAGACGGGTCAGCGCAGTTACAGGGGCGGCTCTTCGGGACAAGGAGAGCTAGCTCTTGTGTCGCTGGTTAGAGTCCAGATATACCTTTGATGATCTCCTCAGTCTTCCCTTCGGCAGCAAGCATGGTAGCGACCTGAGACCGTCAGCTGATCCGAGTGGGCTCTGGTCGGTGAGGCGGAGGACACGAACAAGGATGAAAGACATAGTGCTGGTGATATCCTGTACGGCTGAAATAGGTAGGATATGTATGATAGGCTGATGGGATTCCTCTGAGATAGCTAGAGCAGGCAGCTTGTCAGCTGTCGGAGCTAGAAGGGTCTTCGGCGCTGGCAGACGCAAGCTGGCTCCGGACTGTTCGGCCTCGGGCATCCCCGATCTCCGCGGGGAGTCTTCTGGGCTACTTTCAGCTGCTTGTTCACAAGACACCATCATCAAGAGCCTCTGTTGTGCGAGCTCGTAGCTGGGGGGCTGTCCAACCACGACCAGATCAGAGTCTTCTTGCGGTCAAGGACGCTCTAAGATGTCGGCTCGACGCGACCTGCAGCCAGAACACATTCGCACGGACTGGACCATGTCTTTACGGCATGCACATGCAGAGCTACGTCATCACGTACGTCGGAGGCTGATATCAGCGATTCAAGCCAAAAAGTCCCCACCTCCTCCCCCATTCACCTTGTACATACACTCCTACTGACCCATACCGCCTACGCGCCCGCCGAGAAGACAGCGCATTCCGATGGTAGCCATAATGAAGAGTCGAGCGAGCACCCCGAAGGTGTCACAACCTATCGACATTGTGTCGTATTTGACGCCGCCCGCGAATAGGCCGAATATCAAGCTACCTCGCTTGCCGGCCGAATATGAGCCGCAGCTGCAGAGCTTGCAGTCGCACTTTAATGACCATGATTTGAAGCTTGATGTGAAGGAGACGACGGGGTATGAGGAAGCTGGCGCGCCCGAGGTGGAGAAGCGGGGACTGGACGAGAGGGAGATGATGTATTTGGTGAGTCGTCCAGCGGCGCGTACAGGTGTATAGCTCACCTCTCAGTCGCGAGAGACATTTGTACGGTGAGCTGAGTGATGATGTGTCACTGTTTAGAATGAAGAAGCTGACTGAGCAGGTACCTGCTGGGTGAGGCTTTCTCCTATCAATCGATTCCGCAGCAAGCTGTGCCGAAGCCCATCAAGACGCCCCGTGCACTACGCCATATACACTTGACTGACAAATATAGCCACTCGAGGTGATCTGCAGACAACGATAACGCGACTGGAGCAGTCCATTGTCTGGCGCCGGACAGAGCAGATCGAAGATGTAGAGGCTCTAGCCGAGCGGTACAAGTATCAGGCGAGCTTGACTTCACACTCTGAACACGTGCTGCGCGGATAGCTGACTAGGCCAGAATCGTACAGGCAAAGGTATCGTCCTCGGCTTTACACCAGACTCTCAACCTATTGTGTACTCGTTTATCAACCGGAATCCTACACCGGTCAATGAGCGTCGAGGGGTAGATACGGTGCGTCCCGCTATCCAGCTTGGAAAGCTTGGCTGTGACTGACGAGGGCAGACCTTCATGATAGAAAGAGCTACTGATCTGATGGTCGACGGTGTCAGGTATGTTCACTCCTAGCCGCCTGACATCGCAGAACGGTACTGACGCGGTAGCGAGTGCCTAGTCATCTTCCAATACGGCGGAGAGAAACTTGGCGAGTCCTCGACACTGAGTGTGAGTCTTCCACGTTTCGACTGGCAACGTATCGATGACGAGTCGCGCTGACATCCTACAGACCACCCGAGACATGCTCAACATCATCTCGTCACACTACCCTCACAAATTCTCCTTATCAGCTTTCCAGGGCATGCCATGGCTCGTCCGGACAGCCACAAACGTCGTTTGGCCTTTCGTCGACATCGGCCTGAGAGAAAGGGTCAAGTATGACAAGGACTTAGTAGGAGATGGGGATGTCGTAAAGGAGGTGCTACTGAAGCAATGCGGAGGGGGTCTTGATGTAGGTCACCTATATCTGTCGCAACGGTAGCGGGTCTCGGAGCTGACTGTTCAGTACACGTATGATCACGAGCAGTATTGGGACACCTTGATCAGGGTGTGCATGGAGCGCCGGAAGGATGCGCTGGAGAGATGGCGGGCTTTAGGGGAGAAGCGGACGGGGAGGGAGGAGAAGCTGTTCAAGGTCAGGCCAGGGGTTCACGCTTGACATTTATGATCTATTAATCTAGCTTGTAGACCACGATCACATATCGCCATACAGACTGCGCGGGCTGATGTTCCAGCTACTCATGGTCTGCGAGACATTCTGCATGCCACACCACTAAATGTCCCTTTGTGCAATCTTTGCCGCCGGAATGGCCTTGACCAAACTCCCATTCCCGATCCATCCCTCTTCCATCTTCAGATCCCAACCCCAATCTTCGGTGGCCATTCTGACTGTCGCGTACCCTAAATCCGCTGCGCTGATGACCATCGATAGCCACAGCACGCCAAATATCGCGCCCATCGTGCGGAGAGCTGTCGCCGTCAAGATACCCATATGGGCGCTGTGCTGCTTTGATCAGCTCCATCTCTAGACTTTATATGAGGGGCCTCTGCCTGATTTCGATCCAGCCGAAAGCTCACCTCGGCGGTAGGTATGATTCTTCCAGGGCTGATCGAGACCGTCATGAAGCTTTCGGTCTCTGCCAATTGCAGAGCCTTCTCGGTTCGCACTATCACCTCTCTAAGTGGTTGCGAACCTTCTCCGACAAGCCTGCCCCTCCGCCGGATATAAAGATGAATTTGAAGGGCTTGTCGGCCGTCCCAAGGGCTGAGAGGGCTTTGCCAAAGTTGAGGGTGTAGTCGTGCGTAACCCTTCCCCATCAGCGCTCTGAGTGCGTACGAAAGACCCTTGACGATAACGATAAGAGATACTCACTTGACATACTCCTCCTTTGACATCTTGGCCTGATTGCCGGCCAGAGCCCATATAATTGCACTGTGCCCTCTCAGACGCTCGACAAGCTCAGGAGAGCATGTATCGAACCCGGACGGGTAGTCGGCGGAGGGCAGAAGGATGACGGCTAGTTTTGAGTGGGAAATTGGGACGGGACGTCGAGAGAGGACGGTCACTTCGCTGACTTGTGGGCAAGCCAGCGCGGCTGCAAGGATACCTGAGCCGGCTATACTGTCAGTCGGGAGCGTCGGGATATGAGGGCAGATTTTGGACTCACCATTGCCAGTCGCCCCGGTGATGATGAGCTTCATGTTTGGGCGGACTTCGGACGGTGCGGATTGTCATGTCATAATGCCCTCCTTGCTTACCACTGGCTGTGTATGGGTGCCAGGACGTACACATATATGATCAGAGTGAATGCTTTTAAGGCAGGATGACCGACGGGCAGAGTCAGAGCCAAAGGAGTGTGCCTGTCAGCAGCCGAACGGACGCTTGGTCAGCGGATGAGCGGCCGGCAGCCGGCGCCGGCGGCCACCCCATCCTTCCAAGGTTAACGTTCAGTAAGCTCAGTATCAGTGTCAGCCAGTATCTCGACACGCTATCTATAGATTCCAGGTGGACGCTGATGTCTGCCCTCCGAGCTTCACCGCGCACAGCGCAACATCGGTATCGTGCGACGATGTGGACAAGGAAGATAGATGCCCGATCTTGGCTCCAATCGGGAGTCATTCGGGAGTTGTTCGGGGGAAAAAGTCGGCGATTTACGGCAATACAGAAAACCAGTCGCGTTTGCGATGTGATCACTCCGCATTCCTCGTTGGACGCGTCGAGTTGATTTTGATTTTAGACGCGTCACTCCTCCTGCATTACACCACAACATGGCCGCTTCCGCAGCCCGCAAGCGCGCTTCCGATATCGTATCTACCTCTGATGCTCGGGGGGAGCTGTCTGACGATAGCTCCAGCTCGAGCTCAAGCAGTAAGAAGCAGAAAGGCGTACCAGACGTCCAAGGAGTAGTCCCCCTTGAACAGCCTCCGCGAGAGGGGCCCTGGCTCTTCAGTGATCCCACTGCGAATTTCTCTATCTTCTCCTACGGAGGTACAGAGTTCAGGATACACGTGTACCAGCTTCTCGCTGCAAGGTGGGTCACTACTCGACTGGCAGGAATAAGCTGATCCATACAGCCCGTACTTCCGAGCTCTTGATGCGGCAGGGGAATTGAGAAGCCCCTATTACCTTGGGGCCGAGTCTCCCCAGACCGTCGAAGACCTCCTTACACTCATCGTCCGTCATCCTCTCCGTTTAGGCTCCCCTCCCCTCCATCCCAACGACAACACGCCCCTACACGACTCCCCCGTCTATTGGCCGATCAACAATGCGCTCATCGGGCGCGTGTCCAGAGTGGTCCGCCTCTGTAAGATGCTCGACTGCCGCTGCATCATGGAGCAGATCACCGCCCAGCTTCGCGACGCATATCGGCTGCCCGGCTACGATGCCTTGTCCGTCTTCCTCACCGCCGCTATGGTCCTCGACGACGCCGAGACCTGCCGGCGCGTCCTCCCCGCAGCGGCAGCCAAGAACTGGCCCATGCAACGTCGCATGTCCAGCGAGCTGACCCTCTCGCTGGAGAAGCCCTTCCCTATCTTTGACGGTCAGCCGAGTCATAGCCAGCTGGACGTCCGAGCTATGCCGCTGTACATGCTGGGCGGTCTGCCACCCAAGTACATTGCAGCTCTAGGGAGGGCGTTCCTGCTTCGGTCTACAAACAAGAATGGGACGGAGAACTGGGTCAAAGTAGCGGAAGAGTTCTACAAGCTGGTGACTGCGCAATCGGTATGTCTGCCTTTGTCAACCTCGCAGATTACGCTGATATTGCCAGCCACGTCAAAACGATGGGCCACCCGGTTTAAGCTAGGTCTCGCGAAATATGAGCCGCTAGCAGTGAGTCGCAGTGTGACTTAGCAAATCTTAGCTGCCTTCCAGTGACTGACCACCTAGCGATGTACATGCGGACGATAGTAGGCCATCTCGGTGACCCGTCAGTGGGTGGGGGCTTGAATTCCACTTTCATGAGGGATCCAGGTCCTGAGGAGGGCCGATATGTAGCTTTTTCATAATCTTCTGCCATGCTTAGTACATCGCCATCGAGATTGGCACAGAGTGCCAGCCCAGTTGTACACGGCGCTGCGGCACGGCCTCGTCATCAGGCCATCACAGACGCACCTTTGCATGGTCCGCGCATAGGCTGAGTCCTCATTCCTCCATAAAACTTTGTCGCACCGAGAATTACGAAATCCCAAAGCCGGATGCGGACCGATCGCGACCGGATTAGTGGACTGAGAAGGGTCCCAAGGTTTGCTATTGTCCAGTATTCTTGTCGCCTTCTAGGTTCACCTGTCATCCTCCGCTCATCCTCTCACCAACTTACGCCTCCATGTCTGACGTCAAACCACAAGTCGAGAGGCCAGCGGCGGTGACGCCTGTCAGGCGACCTCGGTCTGCGAGCGCGTCCTTATCGCCAGAGGCAGACGCGGACGCGCATCATGTCAAGAGGGAGCGTCACCAGTCTATCGGTCGCGAAGAGATAAACCAGCTAGCAATGGCACTTCGTGCGCCACTCGTGGAGATGCCTGCTCGGCCGGTCCCGGCTTGGTTCGCGGCGAACGCACTGAGACATGCTGAGGCAGCTGGTCCAGCTCCGCCTCGGATCGTGGCAGCCGTACCAGGACCGGCTCAGGCAGCTGAGCCTGCTCCAGCGCCGGCTACTGCTGTCGTGGCCCCAGGCGTACCAGCGGTCGAGGCCGTGCTAGCGGTCGAGGGCGAGGAGGAACCGCATCGGGAGGTGTCTCTGATCTACAATGATCCCACGGCCGACTTTGAGCTTATCAGTCGAGAGGGCCTGTCCATACGGATCCACGAGTTCTATCTCCTCGCAAATAGGTAAACTATCCTCCGCGAGGCTGTGCGAGGTATTTGGATCTGGCTGATAAGTTTAGTCCCTACTTCCGGAGACTCAAAGCTCAAGGAACCCTGGTCTCACCACATCACATGCCCCTCGACAACTCGGAAGCCATTGAGGAATGGCTATCCCTCGTCACCCGTCGCCCGTTCGCTTGGCAATACGACGAAACGCTCAAATACCACATCGGCCGGCTGGTCGCCACTTGCAGACGCCTCGAGTGCGACTATCTCGTCGAGACCATCACCAATATACTGCGGCGGGAAGTCAACAAGCCAGGAAGGGGCGGTATGAAGGCATTGAAGGTGTTTATGATCGGCGCGATCGCTCTTGACGATCCTGAGCTCTGTCGCAGAGCGATCGCGGCGGTCGGAGGGCAGAAGTGGGAGGCGGTAGGCGCGACGGGGTCGGTCCTGATGCTTGGCGTAGAGGGGCGTAGTGTGCTGGACATCACGGCCATGCCGGCGTCGATGTTGGGCGATATACCTCCTCGGTATCTGGCGGGATTAGGAAGGGCGTTCAAGGTCTGGGATCCAACGAAGGATCAGAATTTGATTTGGATAGATGTGGCGAAGGAGTTCTACAAATTGATGCGGCTATGATGGGTGAGTCCTTTCTCTGTCGAGGAGACCTGGGCTGACCACTCAGATCAGACTGCTAGGTACAAGTCCGCGGACGAATGGTTCCTGGGAGATGTCTTGGGTATTATTGCTTAATTAGGACGACTTAATGACGTACATAGGCAGGTTTGTACAGTATCTATAAGCGGATACAGACATCGCACGGCTCCGAGAGACTGCTGCCATACATATCACTTCGTCTGAAGCATGTACATATCCCACAAGCGCCTCTGCTCCTCCGTCCCTTCCCACACAAAGTTGACGCCTCTCACCTCGTCGAACCCCTCGTCTACATGCGGCGCCTGGTAGTCGTTTTTGTACCCCCAGAAAGCCGAGGCAGGGAGGAGCGTCCGCTCCGGCTCATCCTTGGGCGCATAGACCGCTCGATACATATTGTTATGGCGGGCGAGCTCTATCGGGCAGAGAAAGTGGAAAAGGCGGATCGGGACTTTGAGTGTTTCTGCGAGAGTGACCCAGTATGCCCGGGTGGCAGCGTTCCGGTTCGTGTTGTCGACGACGACGGACTTGCCGCTTTTGACCAAGAGCTCAGCACGCGCGATGCACCGGTCCCTGGTCTTGAGTATATCCTGGTTGACATGCTCGTACCCCTTCGGCAAGAAGTTGCGACGGAAGAAGGACGTCTTGCCGGATGCAGGTGACCCTACGAAGACGGCTATCTCGGTTTCCGTACGAGTGATCGGGGTATGCGAGGGAACAATTGCCGGGACTGTCCTTGTGGATCAGCTACATTCACTCGCGGTAGGCTAGGTAATGACCCACGGTTGGCTAGACCACCCAGAAGGGAAGGGCGGAATCCGACAGGCGGTTCAGGAAAAGGCGGTCTGGCATCACCAAGAAAGTGCTCCTGCAAGATCAGCTTTGCGTACATCGAGGGCCTCAACCTGGCTTACCTCTGGCGTCACAAATCTGACCCCTACATTCACTGCGAATTGCAGATCCGTATTGCTGTGATCTGCTCTTCTGCCTTTCCCAGCGACCCGTCCCGCCGCGTCCCCGACGAAGACTGAGCTGGCTAAATCGATCTCATACCCCTTCTCTCGGTAGAGCTGCTCGACGACCTGATACATCCCGATATTCGGCTTGCGGTAAACGTCGGTCTTAGAGAGGCCTGCCAAGATGCGCAGAGGGACATCGGGTATCTGCAATCAGCTTGAATGGCGCACGTCCGAGCAGCTCGGCTCACCTTGGCAGCTATGAGGGGGACTTTGGCCTTCCATTCCGACCTTATCTTCTCCCTGGAGTCTCCTTGATTACTGATCACTATCAAGTGCTTCCCCTCGTCCACCTCCTGCTTCAGCCGCTTTGGCACCGAGGGATGCCACCACGCCCAGTCATCCCGGCCGTTGGGGTACGTGTTGGTCCCTTTGGTCTTGATGAGTGTGCCGTCCAGGTCATAGAAGATCACTGAGATCTTTTTGGAGGTAGAGGTGGACGAGCTGGATTCGGCCTCGACCGGTATGCCCTGAGCGGGATTGGGTGCCGAGCTAGAGGTTGAGGCAGTGGATGAGGGGTAGTTGAAGGGATCGTTGTGCAGGAAGTGGACAAGAGTAGGTGGAGATTGCTGGAAATTACCCAGCGTCTTGGCTCCGCCGGTAAAGAACGAGTGTACGGCGACTTGGGGGTTCAGCTATGCTCGCTGGGGTGTGAGGAGATGAGCTCACGCTTCTTCGCTTCGGAAGGGCCGGCTCCACTACTCGACGCTGCGGACTTTCGCTTCGTTCCTGCCTAGTCAGATTCCCTCCTTCCAGCCTTCTCTCTGGACTGAGCTCACCACTCATATTGTATCCGCCATGGCTCTGTGTAGGTGGTGGAAGATGAAGACGAGAAGGGCTGGCCGGCTCGCGTCGATCAGCCGCCTCAACATTCCTTGCGCACGGGCATCGCGCTGGTGAGAGTGGCGGTGGAGGTCAAGATGGCGAGGCGGTGGCCAAGAGTGACGCAGAGGACGGCACGATGGTACAACGCGCAGGGATGCCAGCCAGGCTAGCGGGAGGAAAGAGACAGAAGTGAATTGCCTGGAGGGATCCTACCAAGGGCTATATCCGGAGCCAAGCTGATGAGGACATCGTTTGACCTCGCTTGATTGGGATCTCGTCGAGGTGGCTGATCTACCTGCTACGGCCTGCGAGAGGCATCGTTGAGAGCTATACATGCCCTCTGCATATTTCTCACTACTTTACTACTATTCTCATGCCCCCCATGAGACATCACCCTTTGTGACCCTCTACACGTTGATCTGATGCTGCCAGACTTCCTGGATCTGGCGGGAGGAGAATTTGCTCGCGTCGAGGATCCGGCGCATCTGGTCGACGCTAGTGTAGAGCACTTGGCGAGCGACGAAGAAGCGCAGACCCTCGTTACAGGGCGGAGTTGTTAGGCTCCCTTAACGATCAGCAGATGCCCCAAGACGATGCGGCAGATGAAACGCCTCACCCCGGTAAGTCCAGAATTCGCTAAAGTTCGCCACCTCCTTCACCGCCATCATCGGGCTCATGGACGCCTCGACCGTCTTATTGACGTCCCGGAATGAGATGGGCGGCGGTATCTGGCTGAACCATGCGGACGCTGAATTGCCAGGCGCGATTCGGATAGACAGTACAGCGCGAGGCGTACCGGCCGTGTCGGCATGGACGAGGTGCATTTCCGCCTTGGAGTGGACGCCATCGACGGTATGGTCGCTCGGCGCGTGGATGTGCCAGCCGATCAGGAAGACCGACTCGTTCTTGCCGTTCTCCTCGAAGGAGAATGAGGGGAGACTGGTGAAGTTGCCCTCGGCGCGCGCGTAGTTCATTGCGGGTCCGAAGCCCCAGTTGCTCATGGTTCCGGCGGCGTTGATGTCGTATCCCGCAAAGTTGGGAAGGTGGTTGTACGCGAGACCTTGATCGACCCGAAGAGGGATGGGAGCTTGCATGGTGCCGTGCTGGCAGGTGGCGAACTCGGGCGAGAGACGCCCCCAGTCGTGGCTGAGGTCATAGTCCCAGGTGATACCGTTGGTTTCGCCCGCGCGCTTTCGACCGGCGGAGTGGTAGTTGTGCTCAGCACAGGCGAGAGCGGAAGTGATGAGGACGGAGGAGATGACGATGGTATTGCAGATCATGGTGTGAGAGGTAAACAGGGATGAAAGCTGCCGGATCAGCCTAAGCCTTTGAGGAAGGAGGACACCGATACGCAGGAAAAAGCTCACCAAAGCTGGGGGTCGCAGACCGAGAGGTTTGGTAGGTTTGGTAGATAAAATAAGGAGATAACTGATCGTCAGGCACCGCTCAGCAGTTGACTTACCAAGCGGACCAGCCGAGGAGTTGAGACCTGCTCTGACAGAAGAAGGTCTGGTATGGGATTAGCTGCGTCGAGACCAGGAATAGTAGATCACTCACAAGAATACCGCCTGGAGAGAGAAGATAGAGATGCGATGCTACAGGTAGACTCATACGGCTTCTATTTATACATACTGCCACCTCATGCGAAGCCATACTAGACCGCCGCCGTCGCGCCAAGCGACCTGACCACCATTGCCAAGGCCAGTTGCTTGACGACGGTAGCTGGTTTGCCACTCTGAAATGGGTCTCTAGGCTTATCGCCTGTCTTTGCCTCTCGACATCACTGATGCTCGTCAATAGTGTCGACGCCAAGCGAAGGCGATAGCTATTCTCGGACCAGAGAGGCACGGCACACATTGAAGCAAAGTCGAGGGGTATCGAAGAATCTGCCACTTGCCAACTCCTCATTCCTCGCTCATCGTGCCTGAAGTGCGTGTCCTTACTGCGTCAATTACCGTCCATATATCTACGTGATCCGCGAGCCCGTATGGTACATCATGGCTCGCATAGTAGGTGCCAAGAATGCATATATACATGCCCTATGCCCGCATCTAAGATCTTCACCCATAACCCTTCTCCCCACAATCCCCAACTTCGCCCCTCTTGTCACCACCTCAATCCCTGTCTTCCCTCTTGTTCCCTCTCTCCCAGCTCAACCACTCCCCATACATGTTCGGCCTCTCCTGCCGCAAATACCCTTCAAACGTCCGCTTCATCACCGCCGACCAACTCAGATCCACCTCGTCGTCCATATCTGCCCGAGTGGACACGTCAGGGCTGTCCCCTACTGCCGTGAGTCCCGCCTCCGACTCGGAGTCACCAGCTGCGAGCCGGGCGGCAGCGCGCTGAGCATCGCGGAGGGCCTTTTCGCCCTTGATGAACCGAGGGCCGAGGTCAGGGAAGTTGCGAGATTTGTCGAAGGGGAGCCACCTGAAGATCAGCTACTGCTCATGAACAGACGACAGATGGACAGAATTACCAGAAATTGTGGAAGTGGTACGAGAAGGCCCCGCGGAAGAAGCCGTCGAAGCCCAGCTGTTGTGGTCCAGCAGTATCCATCCGGTCATTCGAGAAGAAGACGGAGAATCTGAACCAGTCAGCATCATGCCCCACCCCGCACGCAGCAGCTGACTCACTCTGGGAAGTATGGGAAAGGCGGCCGCTCCCTCTGATACCTCTCCATATTCAACCACGCCGGATCAAACAGCGCATCCGGTATCCGGAAAAGCAGCTTATCCAGCCCCGCATCCTTCAGGTACTTGCTAACCGTCATCGGGTGGAAGTCCATCCCATTCTCCAGGGCCGTCTTGAAGAGGAACGTGCCCAACGCACTCCCCTTGTGCAGCTTCAACACCGCCGTATTGTACTTTTGGTGCCATGACCACCGGTACGCAAATTGCCCGCGATAATTCCACAACTCTTCCCAGTCGCGCAGGAAGATTGTATCCGCGTCGAGGTAGATACCGCCGTATCGATGCGTCAGGACGAATCGGGCCATATCCGACAGAATGACGGAGAGACGGTCATAGTCTGATTCCGAGGTCGATCCGACCTTCTCAAAGAGCCCATCCTTCTTTTTACGAGGGACAGGAGCTTCGGTAGTCTCGACCGCCTCGACCACGTCGCCCATATTGGGCTCGTCCGCCGGAGCAGGAGCAGCCGTCGTCTGCTGAGCGGGCGCAGCGGGCTTGTAGGTGTTTCCGCCCGAGTTGAAGATGGGCATCGTCCGCCAGTGATCCCGGAGCTCGTCGACCCCGTCAAGCTGTTCCGTAGTGTTCCACATTTTGAACTTGACGACGTCCAGGAAGCGTTCATGCAGGAACGGCGCGGACCATGGGTTGGTTGCGAGCTGTTCGTACATTTCCCGCTTGGCCGAGGGGTTGGGTACCGCCGCCGCTGGGCCCGGGTTGATCCAAACCCAGAATTGCGGTCGGCATGCCTTCCGGATGGTATCCGACCCGCTGGCGATATCCGAATCGAGACCGAGGTTCTGAGTGAAGAGGAAGGACATGACCGCCATGTAGGGTTTGTCGGAGAAAGGTCCCGCCCAGAACATGTGGAATACCCGTGGCCGGTCGGGGTCACAGGGCGTTGTGGAGGATATGGAGGTGGGGAGGGGTAGGAGAGGGTTGAGGGTGAGGGGTGTTCGGGAGAGGGAATGGTCGCGGGAGTGGGAGGGTGTGAGACGTGGTGTCCAATTCTTCAAGTCGTGCGTCGGAGGGGATGTTTCGTAGTACATTTGCTTGAATGTGCTGAGGTAGTTGCCGCGGCGGACTCGACGGCCATTGTCTAGTCCACCGCCGACTCGAAGGAATTCAAGGCAGTCTCGGACGTACTGTACCGTCAGCAAGTACTCACCCGGAAAATGCGCATTGGCCCCTCTCTCTCATCCCGAGCAGATCGGCCCCGGGACGGCCAAAAGCTATTCGCCTCATCCCCCATCTTCTATCCCTATATAACCCTCAGATGCGCCGACTCACCTTGTAGGTCCCGAAATCACACCGTTCCAGCATAGTGTCCAGGTCCATCACCAGCCCCGGCAGCGGTCTCGCTGGATACCCATGTACCGCCTCTCCGCCTTCCCACGCCGCCACAAATGTCCGTTCTGGTCCTGATCCGACAAGATGCCCTTCAGGCGCTTGAGATGTGCGCTGATGGTGCGCGAGGAGGGGTGAGGAGGTGTCGTTTGTCGTAGAAGGAGCGAGGGAATATGGGACGGAGGGGTTGGTGAGGGCTGACAAGAGGGGTAGATGGTCCGGCGCTGATATATCAGCTTTAGACCCGACCACCCTGCGGCCGCGACGAGGCTAGCAGCTGAGACTCACGTTGCTGTATACTGGGATGATGCCCGCTTAATACCTCCCATTCCCATATCGCAGCGACCTCCTCATGCGTCAGGACCAGTGAGTCTGGTTCCGAGAATGGCGGAGACCACCCTCCTCCTCCGCCCGGTCTTCTCCTAAATCCCAGCAATAGCACCAGTACGCCTAGCAGCAACAAGAACGCCAGTAACGCCCGTATTGGCCTGGAAGGGTGTACGAGCCGCGCATACAACCTCGGGGGGATGGGCAGGCATACGCGGACATACCGCGTCTGCCGCGTCCGCTTCTCGTGGTAGTCGTACCGTGATGATCCGGCCGTACCATTCTCGTCCGCCGAAGTCCGGAATGGTATGCGAGGAATGGGGAGGTAGACGGTGGTGAATAGGCCCGAGGTGGAGGTCGAGCCTGATGCGGGGTGAAAGCGCTTCTCGTCGGCGCCGGAGAACATGGGTAAGGGCGACCGACGACCTTTTGGGGTGAAGGGTGGGGTATGGCGCTTGGTCTGACCGAAGAGCGACATGCTGTGGGACGCCCGTTGCGTGACTTGGCGAAGATAAGAAGGTTTGGAGGGAAGCTAGTCTGGCCTCCTGGTCGAGTGGGCGCGCAGAGACGCGGAGGAGCGCGAGTACTTTTCCGCTGATAGAAGGACGCGCAATGCCGAAGCTACTCCTTGCGCGCTGTGTGCCTTTGGCAACGCCGCCGGTCAGGCAAAGCCGCAAATGGGTTCGTGATTTTTCGCCCACTTGGCAAAAGCCCGTCGCGACGAGATCTCCGGCGAGACTGATGGCAATTCTAGCGAGCCGCTATCGTTCGTACCGGCTAGAGCTGGTACCTGCCTTTAGGCTGCTGTAGCTTGAGCGATGGAGCGTGAGATGCGCAGAGGGATGCAAGTGCTGGGCGAGAAAGTCGACTGCAACGACGACAATCTCAGCGCACGGAATGAAGCTTGCTGCGGAATGCTGGCCGGAAGCGGCCATCGCCGCGCTCATGTCGATTCAGCTGGTATGAACGCATGCTGGATGCCAGAGCTGGCCGATACTATAAAGTATGGTAGATCCAGGATGAGGGAAGCGACGAGACTGGTCAAGCAGGTGGAGCGGTGAGGCTAGATGCATATGCTAAGTAACGGACATCCTGGTAGCTCGTATATTGACCCGCACGCCCGTCTACCCATCTATCGACATGTCGTCGTGTCAAGTTTACTTGGTCTGAAACAATCAGCTGAGTCCTCGGGTGCACTATGCGAAGCGAGGATAGAGGGACCGCGGAAAGTGGAATTGGAAGAATGGTGTGAATTGAAAAGATTAACTTACCTCCTTCTCGAGGTAGGTGATCAGGTCGTTCCTGTCCTTGGCCTTCTTGAGACCAGCGAACGCCATCTTGGTACCTGAAGAGTCAGCAAGGTGCTTCGCAGCGCTCAGTCTTCGCCACCTCGACCCCGCTTTCCCGTTCTGACGCTCTCGTGTTCCGGCAAGTGCGGACCGACACGATCGCCGATGTCCTCCTCGAACGAGTCCTCGCCCGATTTATCAAAGGGCCGACGCGAGCAAGACGGCTCGGCGCATGCGCCTTGCCATTTTGCACTACTCTCGGCGAAGGCGAACCTTCGATGGGCCCACAGGCAGTAACGCCAACCCATGTCCGCCTCCCTCTGACAATTCCTCCCCAGTCGCACCAGCACACCCAGCTTCGGACGTTGACTCACCGGGAATGTACTTCTTCGGGTTCTCGAGGTACTCGAACAAGGTGTCGTTGTCCCAGTGAACACCCTTGTTCACGTTGGCGGCAGTGTATGAGAAGCCCTCGACCTGACCGGACTGACGGCCGAACAGACCGTGAAGGTTGGGCCCGACCTTGTTGGGCTCGCCCTTACCGAGGGTGTGGCACTGGGCACACCGGGTCTGATTATATCAGCTTTGTGCTCCGCATCGGCTTCAGGCTGCGTCGCGCAGGTCTAGCAGTTCTCGCCGAGATCGAAGTGCGCCCGAGGGCAGATATGGCCGGATTGATCTTGCGCAATCGCAGATTCGACATCGATTGTAGATGCGATGGGGACATGGAGGACCGTTAACCCACCTTGAAGATACCCGCACCCTTTCCGGCATCACCTATACCAGTCAGCATCGCCGCGCCACCTCATCGAAATTGCGCGAAAGACAGCAGTCTCCAAGCGACATCTCGCTGTGTAGCAGAGGATCTACGTACCAGCTTGGAATTTGTCACCACCGGCCATTTTGTCTGAGTATTAAAGAAGGTGAGGAGGTAAGACTTTGGAGATATAGGTAGATGGTATAGTTGACTTTCAAAATTCCTGTGCGAGATCGAAGATGCATCTCTCGGCGGTTTGATCCGTTTGATCCGTTTCCGACTTGTTCCGCCCAATCAGAAACCGTACATTCAATTTCATTACAAAACATATTTGATCCCGCTAATCAGAAAAGATTGCTTACGTATCTCCAGCGAGAGAGCCAAGCGGAGATCGCCGCCTGGTGGATCAGGTGCTGTTGCTGCAGCCGACCATCTGAAGAGCCTCTCATACGTCTCCCAATAGTATCAAGTATAAGACAGTATGGTGAGTGCACGCTGACAGCCAAGAGCCAATATGAGAAGGCACAGCTGACCATATAGGGCGCAGGAGTGAGTCAGACAAGCCAGACCGTAAATGGAGCGATGGAACCACCTCGACAAGGCGTCTCGGCCGGAGCGATAGCTATGAGCTTCAGCTAACACCCTACAGGCACACTACCCTTACCCAAAAGAGGTCTGGTCACCATCAGGTGCGTCTTCACGCTCAGCTGCTGCAGCAGGCATGATGGAATCTCGCTGACTGAGCTTCTTCACCTCACCACTTGGCTCTTTCTCTGTACTTCCCACCCGCAATACTGATCTACCCGTTATCAACCTCTCGAGACGCCCTTCTTCTACACCGGACTCACACATACAGGCGGATGGTGGACTCGCCCCAAGAACTGGGGATCCAACACGGTCGTAGCGCTGTTCGGGATTGGTTTGGCAACATGGGGAGTATGGCGAGTGAGCGCAAGGAATGAGGTGAGCTATATGCGTTAATCCTTGGGCTGTGGCGCCACAAGGTCCGAGGCCATGTGGGGCCGACGCGAGCGTCCTGAAGCTTGTTCCATTTGCCTTGCTTAAAACCCAAGCTGACTTTGGCAGAACAGACATCGGGCACCAACAAAGGCCATTCCATCGCAGAACGTACGTCTGCTCGCAGCCTCGCCTCGTCGACTGATTAAGAAGACTGAGCATTGAGCTGACACATCACAGTGGTCTCCGCAGGCACGAGAGTTGGGCGTACGGAAGGAGTAGAAGCGCGGAGGGATTCTGGACGGCCGTCTGAGCGGGCAGAGGCGTTTCGATGCATATACCAGTATAGCTACCCGTGCACTGTCGGCGAAGTGCAAGCACTGACTCGCATCACACTAGAATATAGAGTATACACAGATCTAGCTTTCAACTGACACCTGCACGACTGGAATCCAAACTCCTCGACCATCAACAGCCTATCGTTTGTCCTCCCTGTCCGACTCGCCGACCCTCATTCATCGTCCCCTTCTTCCTGATCCTGCTCCTCTCCCTTGTTTCTCGCGACATTACTGATGATCCCCTCACTGCACAATCAGCATCTTGTTCATACCCGATATACCTCAAAGCTGGACTTACCGCTGCAAGAGCCCCTCCACACCCTCTTCTCCCATCTCCCAATCCACCCTCACCCAGTTCCGCACCAACTCCCCGTCCTTGTACACCAGCATCGTCGGCAGGACATCCGGGTCCGGGATAGCCCTCGGCCTTGAATCTTCACCTTCACCATCTTCATCATCATCCTCGTGATCCTCGTGTAGCGTGACCGAGCCCGAGCTTGAGGCCTCACCGGGGTTGAGGAGGGAGAAGCGGAGCGAGCTGGCGCGGGCGCGAAAGAGGGCCAAGGGGATGGAAGGGCCGGAGAATGACGCCGGGGTTACGGGGTGGGTGAGGGAGAGGGCGAGGAGGGAGGCGAGGAGTGTTTGACAACGAGGAATATCCTGCGGAGTCAGTATCTAGTTGAACAGTCTGGCCAACCAAAGATTGCGACATGTCTCTCCTGCTCTTCGCCCGCCATCTGTGACCCAGTTATCACTCAGATCCCACGAGATCACTGACCTCAGGTCAAGCTTTGTGGTCCAAGCGTAAACCCAAACTCACCGGTTCATAAATGAGCACCACAACCCACCCCCTTCTCTCTACGGCGCCCAAGAACCCTTCCGTCCCCACCTCTCTCAGCCCACCGCGCTGCACACCCTCCTGCGCCCTCTCGCGCTCCTTCTCCAACTCCAACTCGTGCCTTCTTGCCCGCCTCCACCGCTCGCGCGCTTCTCCATCCTCCTTACTTTCCTCAATCCGCCGACGGTACGCGTCCTCCTCGTGGATAGTCATGCCCACCATCGCCCGCTCCACTTGCTCCGCGGCGAGAGTGGTCTGCTTGTCCCGCTGAGCCCGCTGGGACGCGAGCGCCGAGGCCCGCCGATCATCCAGGACGCCTTTGACGCCGGTCTGGCGCCCTTGGGCGTTCGCGTATGGTGCGGCCTGCGGGTCGGGGCCGGGGGCCTGAAGGGAAGGGTCCGCGCGGCGACGACGGGTGTGCGAGTCGGTATAGGTGTCTTCATCGTCTTCGTCCGAGTCCCCATCGTGGTCTGCCTCGGGGTCGTGCTCGGTGTGTTGGCGGTCAGGGGCGGACAAAGGAGGTTGGAGGGGTTTCCCAGCGATAAGCGCTGCTTCTATCGCGTCGGGGTTCATATTGCAAGTTGCGCGTGTTGAGGCGGGATATGGGAGTGGACTGCTCCAGGTGCAAGTGATAAGGATGGACGTGGACAGATAAAAGGAATGTATGCGCGAGAGGTCCAAGCCCAAGTTGAGCTTCGCTTGCTTCGGAACGGAGTTGAGAGTTTCACTAGTTCCAGACTTCGGAGTGATCGACCGTGCCTAGAGTTAAGCTTTTTTGTACCTGGATCCGTTGGGTTCATTACCGCCCCTCTACCTCCTCGGCCTCTTGACGTCCGCTCGCAACTGCCGCCGGAGTGCACCGAGGACCACTCAACAAGGTAGACCAGGAGAGGTCGCTCGGAATACTCAGCGGGGGCTGGGAGGCGACGCTGTGTATTGCATGAAGTCCGACCTGACGTGATTATATACCTATATACAACTCTGCGTGACACACTAACGACTGACCATCGTCGTCTCCCTGCTAAACCCGCTTTCTTTGACGGGACTGAGCTGTCCGCCCGACCCTGCACCTCCACTCGCGACCGTACCTTCCCTCCCATCCCCGCTCAACTGCCTCATCGACGCCAGCGGACTCCTCGACCTCCCCTCCGGTTTGGGCAGATTGAAGCTGAGGCTGCTCGGTGTTGGTCCCGGTTGCTGAGGAGAGGACATGCTCCCCGCTCGACGGTGATATGGCGAGGGGAGGGGCGAGTGCATCCCTGGACCAGGGGAAGATCCCCTCCGTCCGTTCCCTGTCCCGCTAGTGGAGAGCTGGAGGCCAGATCGGTCGATAGAGGAGTTCCGACGTGCGGGCGATCCGAAGGTCTGCTGGAATGACTGGGAGCGGGATTGTTGCGGGGAGTTGGAGTGGCGGGAGGGTGATCGGCCGAACGAGTCTTGCCGGAACTGATCGGTGAAGCCATCAGGCAGTAAAGAGGATCCTCGACGCGAGAGTCGGCGGGAGCGCTCTTCCTCGAAAGCCTCTTCTTCTTCAATAGTGAAGTCTTTTGGGACTGGGGCTCAGCTCTATTCCTCAAACAATGGCCCGAATGACGGGGCTTACGCATGACAGCACGATCGATAGCGACTGGCAGACCACGATGTCTTCCTCGGAGCATGACCAACACAAGGACAAGCTTGCCGAGCGTAGAGAAAGATCCCACGAATCTGGCCTATCAGCTTTCGTTGAAAAGCAGAAGAGACAAATATCAAAGTCGACTGACGAGAAGTTGTCATACGGCACACCAAGACTGAGGCCCACCGTACCGTACGCGCTGACAAGCTCGAAGATGATGTTGAAGATGTTGAACCAGGTCGCGTTGGTGTTGTCGACGATCGCGCCGCGCTGATGGTATAAGCGTCGATCTTCCTTTATTACAGGATGAAGACACGAGAGCTCACCTCGATGATGCAAATTAGCCAGAGCGCAAAGCCTAGCCACCAAATATCGAAAGCAAGCTGACGGCGGGCACTGTCTCGTCAGCTTTGATTCCATATTGAGGCGGCCGGTGAACTCACTGCCACCCCACATATTTGGCCACCGCCTGTGCCCCCTTTTCACCATAAACCGTATCATCCTCCTCATTCTCCGCGTCCTCCTCGAACAGACCCAGACTCTTCTCTTCGTACACGTTCGTAGCTCGCACTGAAAGCGCAATGGGGTAGACTGAGATGTACATCATAATGACGTAGAGCACCCTGATTGTCAGCTCAGATCACGGCAGAGAAGTTGCCGTAGCAACTGACTTGACTGCGGGAGCAAGAGCAGCGAGGGGGACGATGGCGAAACCTGCTGCTCGGACAGCTGCGGATTGAAGGAAAGCAGCGCTGATGCGGGTTCCGACGGGAATGACCTGGATCTCCCTGTTGAATTCAGTTCTGCCCGATATGACCTATGATGGCCCTCGACGCACTCTGTTCCGATATCAAGAACTAAGAAGCAGACGAAATCGACGAAGCTAGATCATCAGCTTGGCGCTCGCCATACTGAGAAGAGCTCAAGGGGCGAAAGACTCACTATAAGCTGAACATGACGATAGCGAGCACCCAAGTCTGCGTCGCCGGGAACATATAGACAAAGCACCGACGGGGGTGGTCCAGCAGAAACTTGAGCGATTCGCGTATCCGAGAAGTCTTGGGCGTCATTTTGTAGATCGTCCATACGGTGAGGCGAAGGCTACCAAGCGGTCAGCTGGTTCTTGCTAGGCTCACGCCGAGTCGTTGATCTCACAAGACAGGCTAAGATCGTCAGCTGACCATCTGAAAGGACAGTGCAGTATCATCACTCACATAAGCAGTATTTCCAGCAAAAATCAAAACGACAACCACTAGTAACGTGAGCGGTCGTCCAACGCATTGTGAGGCTAGCACTCACAAGCAACCATGAGATATGCTTCTTGAAACGGAATCATACTCTGATCCGCCAGGCTCATACCGGTATTACTGAATGCCGAGACGGCCTGGAAGAGGGCGAACCAAGGGGTGGCGACTTCCTGGGGTTGGGCGTCAAAAACGTACTCGTATCGACCTCCAGCCATGATATAGGGGGCCATGATGATGAAAGCCGCGAGCTGGACAAAGAGAAAGTACTGCTCGAGTCAGTTCTGGCTCATCATTTTTGCAGGTAGAAGCTGTACTCACCCCGATGACGATCCACAACAACACCCTCAAGGCCCTATACTCCACCCCACCGAGCTCCTCCATCTGCTCCTCCGTCAACCCCTCGAATCTCGAGTTCCGCCCGACAACCGCCGCGAACGAGATGTACGCCACCTCCTTCTCCGGCTCCGTCTCCATATCGGGTACGATGGTACCCTTGCGCCCAATGGTGTTGGTACGGGGCATGGTCATAGTCTGCTTAAGAGTTTTTGCGCGCTCGGGGAACGCCCGCTCAAAGACCTTCTTTCCGATCTCGAGGGGAGTGGGGAACCCTCCAAAGCCGGAGAGTTTGGATTCTTGCTTTGCGCGCGTGGTGGAGGGGCGGAGGGAGTAGGTACGTGGGAAGCCAGACGCGGTGGTGCCTGTCCGAGGGAATGCGGACCCAGCGGCTGACCGGCCAGTAGCTGTGCGGGGGAAGTAACCGCCGCCCTCGCGCGCAGAGGTGAAGCCGCGCGACTGGCCGTATCCCTGCCCCATCCGGTCATGATCCAGCCCGTCGTCGTCGTCCTCGAAAACGATGGTCTTGGCGCGTGGGAAGGCATCATCATCGACCGCTCGACCGGCATAAGGAGTTTTGGTGGGCATTGAGTCGGAGCGGTCCGGGTCGGTCATGAGGTCCGGCGAGCTAGTGACGAAGCGCGTAGTCGGCACCGACGGTAGTCCGATTGGCCCTTGCTCTCCTGCCGTCTGCGCATTGACGGCCGTCTTCTCGTCGAGGAAACCCAGTGCACTCCTCTGCACCACGTCCGCGGGCGGAGCTGCATCGGCCGTAGCTGACGCCTGCCTCGCTCGTCGTCCCCGCTCGACCTCCTCCGCATCCACCTCCGGCAGCTGGACATCCCCATGCCTCGGACTGACTCCTCCCGCCGGCGTCCGATTTCCAGGCGTATGTCCAGGACTGTTGTCGTACCATCCCATAGGGTTCACCATCCCCACCCCACCACCCTCAACGCGCTTGATCATGTCCTTGTTGATCTTCATCGTGCCCTTCTTCGCGGGCTTGGCGGCCGACATGGTACGCGAGGGTAACGGCCTGCTGCGCTCGATATTGGGTTGGACGGGCTTCATTTCGATAGATGATTGAGGGGTAGACGCGCCGTCGCCTGCGGGACTGGCATGGGCCTTGCTCTTATCTTCAGCAGGCTTGTCCTGGACGGTCAGCTACCTCCTACTCCAAGATACGCCGGGAAACCTGCGCTCACCTTGGTCGCGCTCCCCAGACTCATACTCAATCTCCGCCTAACGTTCTTCACGCCTTGCACAGGGTTCACCCTCGATATCGTCCGCCCTAGACTGAAGTTCTTTTCCCGCTCGTAATCCAGCCGCCGTTGCTCCTGGATGATGTGCTTGAAACGTTGCCGGAAAAAGTGGAGTCGGACCAGGATCATCAGGATCGAGACGAAAGTCTGTGCTGTCAGCTAGCCCACAGTTTATTGGAGCCGTAGGAGGGAGCTCACCAAAGATCCCACTGTCATTTGGATAAACAGCAATACCTGCTGCATCACCGACAGGGTACTCAGGTTGATAGTTGCCAGTCCAGTGACCGTCATGGCTGACATGCAGTTGAAGAGGCAGTCAATGTAGGGGATCTGATAAGCCGTCGAAATTCCGTACATGATCCCAGATACGACAAGGGGGATCTGGGAATCAGCCTGGCAAGCCTCTCCAAACCCAAGTCGCCAGCTTGGCAAGGTGTAGCTACAAGGCTGACTTACGAAGGTAAAACATAGCAGATGTATACGATAGAAATTGAGATTATTCAGCGCAAACTGATACACCTTGGACGCCTTGCTCGGGAGACGGAGGTGGGCCGGTAACGACCGCAGGGTACTCATACGGTCGAACATCCTGGGCAGCGGCAGTGGAGGCGGCAAGTCCGGCTGACAGAGATGTCAACAAAAATCGAAAAAGGATGAGATCGGCGGCGACGCTCAGCGGGAGAAGCGATGCTTGCGAGGGGAGATGGACCGCGGGAGTTGATGTTACCGGACGAACATTGGACCCGTAAAGTACAATACAAGTAGTCGGTCTTGCTAATACAACCGGAGCGGACGCGGGCGACAAGCGACAGGTGACTGGCGGTGCACGTTCGCCGCGTGTCAAATCGATATAAGAGCTATCAAACGTGGTCGAATGGTTGAGCGGGAAGCTGTACAGTATTCACAAAGGACGCCAAGGAGAGCGCGAAATGATGGTGAGCCAAGATCGGAAAGGTAAAGGTAAAGGGAGAGGAGGATGAAACGTATTGCGAGGGCACAAGTGGACCAGGATCATCGCGGGATCTGAGGTTTAATTTTAGCTGCTTTGGGATCTTCCCGGTAATCACAGTGGCGGCAGAGGTATGCTGATGCCGCAAAGACATGGGTGCGTGGCTCGGAGCCAGCACTGAAGAGCAGGATGAACGTGAGATGTGATGATGGTCGCTATCGATGAGCGCATCACACGTGTCCGTTGCAGGTATCCCTTTGGCGTGATGGGACCTGAAAGTTAACCTTAGAGGGCACCTGAAACAAGTGGGTTTCAGGGGGTTCCTAGGTCGCAAATCCACGATCTCAGCCTGCCCATCACACGCATCAAGCTCAAACGCGGTACACCGCGCTGCGTGCTCGCATCAAGGAGTCGCACGTGCCAGCAACCGCTTACTGGCCAGATTCGATTTCTGACGTCGTTCTGCCTTGACGCGACGGAGAGGTCGAGCAACGGCGGGTCCGCGCGCTGACGACCTGGAGCAGTTCGTTACATAGATGACATCGATCACGTTCGAGCTATAGTAAATTGTGCCTCTCTCTTCTATACAGATTTCAGATATTCCCCAGACATTGCTTTTCTTCCCTCTACTCGTTTTTGGCTTCGTTCGCCTTCTGTCATGGCTCAGGGTCGGGGATGTGAGCGCGCTGCAATGATCAGCTCAAGCTCGTAGATGCCTGCCGTACTCCTTGGCGATCCGACACTCACGATGTAGGGATGATTCAGAGCTTGAGAGACTGTTATGCGCATTTCAGGGTCAAAGTCTAGCATCCGCACGATAAGGTCCAGGCTGAGAGAGTCAGCTTATGCTCCACCGAACGTGGACTCGAAGCTGGCCATGGCTTAATACTCACAACAACTTGTTGTGCTGCGAATTTGGCGCAATAATGTCCTTGAGACTCTTCAAGCCTTTGACGAAGCGCCGACTGGACTTCGACACGCTCGGATTTGGGTAGTCGACCTTGTTCCCGCGGAAGAACTCGGGTTTCTTTTGCCTATGTACATCAGCTTGCGTTCCCAGCATGATCGTGAAGAAGCCGTCAAAATTCACTTTCCCTTGTCAACCATCCTTGTTGACATCTTGCCCATGACCACCTCCATCATGGCGAGATGTTCGAGATTGTCGTGCGTCTGGAACAGCGCATCACCAGTGAAGAACTCGACAAGGATGCAGCCGATCGAGTAGATATCGCAGGGATAGGACCAGTTCATGCCTGACATATCAGCTGAAACTCCTATCATCTCTCTTTGGACTTACCCAATATGATCTCAGGTGCTCGGTAATGCCGTGTCGATACGACCGAGGAGTGATACTCGTCCTCGAAGGTCGCCGAACCGAAGTCGATGAGCCGGATGTCGGTATTTCTCAGTATCCGCTTTGTTTTGGCATTCTTGGTCTAGATTGATCAGCTGCAGATCTGACGACTCCTCACGCAATTTGCGAAGCCTAACTCACTCGGTCACCTATTTGGATCGCGTCATTCCCCACCAGCAAAATGTTTTCCGGCTTGAGATCTGTGTGAACCAACTTCAATTGGTGAAGGACTGCTTGCATCAGCGGACCATGACGAGATGAGGTAGGAGTCGAGACTTACATTGCACGCTCCTCAGCAGACTCTTTGCAAAGTCCTGGATGTGCTTCTCCGGGAATGGTTGGAACCCATTCTGCTTGAGAAAGTCGAAGACGCTCATCCCGTACAGCTCGGACACCAGGCAGGGGTGACTCCGGAAGTCAAAGTACTCTTCGAGATGGATACATTTGCTATGTTCGGTCAGCCCGGCCCTCTCTTGCCTCAGAGCCGTCAATTGGACTCACTTGTCATTCCTCGCATCATGCTTTCTTAGGGTCTCCAATACCCTGATCTCGATCTTGCTGGCATCCCGGTATTTCTGCACGGCGCGGATGATCTTGATGGCTACTTTGCGGCGGGACTCAATGTGCCGGGCCTCGACGACCTTGCCGAAGGTACCTTGGCCAAGTAGTCGGACGATCTTGTCTGGATTGTCAGCTCAGTCGGCATCAAAGCGATGAACAAAGCTCACATCTGCCACCAATCACATCGTCGGGCTTGACGATATAGTGGCCCTCGGCATCGTCCCATGGTGGATGGGTTCCGGCAGGTGCTTGGACCGGAGCGGGTGCCTTAGCCTGGACAACCGGAGCGGCATATGAGGATTGCGATGTCTACCGATCAGCTCAAAATCATAATAATAGCGGGTCAGACTCACTGCTGCTTTTGCCTTTGCCTTCTTTGAGGCTGCTGTCTCGCTGCTCTCGGCAATTTTCCTCTTCTTCCCGCTCCCTCCAGCCGCTACACTGCTCGCGACACTTCCATTGACTTTGCTGCTGGTCTGCTTGTCCGCCTCTTCCGCAGCCGCCTCGGCCGCGGCCATGGCCCGCGTCCTTTTCCTCGGGATATGGTCTGGAGTATTGGAGTCCTCAATGACGATGATCTCCTTCCTTGCGCCCGTAGAGTCATAGGTCTGCTCCATCGTCCACCCCATCCCCTTGCCCGAGGCTGACGCACCGCTTTTCCGTCTGCTGCCGGATGTAGATGAGACGGTCTGGACGGTAGAGGTGGGCGTCGCGACATAGTTGGCGGGTCGCCGTGCTGTTTGCATTGTGCGCGGCATGGTGGTTTGGGGGTTGATGGGGTAGGTCGGTGGGGATGCCGAGTAATTGAAGCGAAGGGGAGGAGGAATGTTCACTGGGGGTGACTGTCCCGTTTGGATGGCCGGGAGTTGGTTCCCGCCGTGTGCGACCTGAGAGAAGTTGGGGAGGTTATTCGAGGTCGATGCTTGCAGGTGAGCGGGATATGGGAAGGGGAAAGGCAGACGAGGGGATTGCGCGTAGAGATGCGGTTGTGATTGTAGTAAAGGCTGTTGCAGCGTGATTGGGCTGATGCGATTGGGAGCCGGGACCGACGTGAGCTCAGTCAGCGGTGACGAGTGGAAGGGCCGGGCGAGTGCTTGGGGGTAGGGTAGCTGCGAGCGGTCCGCTGGAAGTGGAGGGGGCCAGAGGTGAGGCGCCGAGAGGCCGGCGGTGAGGGGAGGATGAGGGCTACGGAGGGCACGTTCGATACCGACAGAAGACGAAGTTGAGGACGATAGCGGATGCGATGGGTGCAGGAAACCTGGCGTATAAGGAGATAGGGCAGGTGGGGAGACGTAGTGGTAGTAGGAAGGATGAGATCCGCTTGCGGTTGGAGGAGGACCGTTTGGATCGTACGTCGAATATCCCGACGATAAGGGGCGTGAGGGAGGGGGAAGGAGCGGACTTGGGCGGTGTTTTTCCCGCGCTGACGCCGACGAGGCAGATGTCGAGGCGGTACTGGGGTAGTACGCGCCGTAGGGGCTCTGCTGTTGAGGTAGAGGGGAGAGGTACGAGGGTGATGGATGAGGGAAGGAGCTGGGAGGGAGATGAGACTGCTGACTGGGGTAAACGGGGGCGAGTGTGAGGTGAGGTGGAGCTCGCGAGGATGATCCCGGTCGATTGTGGGCGACCGAGCTGCCGCTTCCGCTGCTATAGGTACGCGCGTCGGCGTAAGCGTAGGAGTGTTGACCGGCCACGCTAGGGCTGGGATTGCTGTAGACCCTACCTTGTGGATAGGCGGGCTGGGTGTTGTCAATCTCGGAATCGGCGTTATGGGTGGGTTGCGAAATGGCTGGTGGGTGTAGGGGATTATGACTTGGGCTAGGATAGTGGCTCATCAAGCTGACTGGGGGGCGATCCAACTACGCACAGTCCGTCGGCGTCGTCGGTGCCGCTCTCGCTGTTGATATGAAGTAGAATAGGAGTATGAAAAGTGAGGGATGAAGGGCAAGGCGCGGCCGATTCTGATAGGGTGGAGTGGGTTCGATGCCGATTTTGATAGCTGCGAGTCTGCTTCTGCCGTCGGGTGTCTTGCTACAGGACGCTATGTACAGAGCAGGTCACGGTAACAGCAGGACGAAGGTAGAGTACAATGATGCACTGCGTGACCCCCTTGATACACGATTACCCAAGGGAGGGAGCACTAAAAGCCCCTGTAGCTTCTCACACACACCATGCTCAAACCCCCTCGGCAACCCTGTTTACTCGGAACCCCCAAAGTCCCGCTCTTCCCCTTCATCCAAGATCCCCTCGGCATCTTCGCGAGTAAGTATCTGCAAGCTGAGCTGAAGCTCAAACCTCTGCTACTCGTATCCTTTGACTGATATCATACGGTCAGCTGTAGGGCATATCGCGGAGTCACGAAGGGGAAAGGGGCACGCAAGGGGCTCGTGCACCGGCCCGGTCCGCAGCTGCCTTTTGTCGGCGACAACGGGTGTGGCACCGCGCATTCGTGGCAGCTGATAGCCGCAACCACAGTGGAAGAGCATGCATGTCTATTAGATGGGATGGATGAAGCATAGCGATGCGAGATATATACAACGGCGATTATATGTACAGTCATGCTTCACTTGTGGCCGAAATGACGGATATCCACTCGCTCATCTCCTTCTGATTCGGGGCTTGGAGGATGAACGAATTGGTCGGGGTAAAGATGGTGAACGCGAAGCGGCGCTGAGAGGAGGTGAGCTCACAACTCTGGCACGGACGGTATGACTCACCTCAAGTAGTTGCTCGACGTCCGGGCTGGGTACCGCTCGGGCCTGGGTGAGGTTGATGATCTGGATTTCGCGATGTGCGGTCGAGGGGTGGATGTACAGATAGGGCCTGGTTGGTCAGCATAGGCAGATATGCAGTACGGGAAACAACCTACCTTCGCAGAGCGAACGTCAACTTGTCCCAGGAATTGGTCTGAGAGTCCCGCAGAATCATGAGCATGCCCGCCTTGATACAGCTGTCCCTATGGCTGTCAGCTTGCTCACGCTAGCCGTGCTCAGAGGTCAGCGCTTACGATTTGGGTATTCTAGTGATACTTGGGACCAGCTTGGTCTGCAGATCAGGGAGGAGCTTCCTCAGCTTGCGTGCGACTTCCGTTTCCTCCGGGCTATCGCGCTTGAGGTCAATCTGCCATGTCATCAGCTGCAGTCAAGGCCGACATCGTGGTGCGCGAGCTCACCTGTACACGCTGCTGCATCGCCACCTCCCACAGCCCGACACATCTCCTCAGCATCGCTTCCTGCTCCGCCTCATCTCTCTCCTCTGATTTCAGACCCACTTCGCCAACCTGTTCCAGAACAGCCTTAGTAGCCTGAACATCTCCCATCCGCCTCGCCGTCCCCTTGAGCCTCTCGTGATCTTCCAGCAAGCTCAGACTCCTCGGCTTCCAGTCCGCCAGCACCTCTTCGCCGGGGACATGCTTCCGCGCGGTGTCCAGACGCCAGAGGTCTGAGGCCGATTGAGCGAGAGGTGGAGTTAGGCAGATGACAAAGATGGCAGTGAGGGAGGGGTAGGCTTTGGCGGTTGACCAGAACTTAAAGCTGGACCGGCGGGCATCCCGATCGAGAACCCGGATGGGGAGGTCGAGTGAGAGTGTAGCCGGCTCGTCGAGATTCTCGACATCGACCATGAGGACGAGCCGAACAAGGATCTGCTGGTCCGTCGCTGTCTTGCGATTGAGCTGGACCGCATCATGGGAGGCGGTGTCCCACGTTCCCGTACCGACCAGGGTTGACGTCCCATCTTTCGCAAAGTCCAGCTCCGCCGCTATCTTCAGCTCCACCTCAGGCTGGCTGACGCTCTCGGCGACGCCTTTAGCCAGGACGCGGATATCGCTGATGCTGACGTGACTGAACCGCGTCCAAGGTAGGGCATGACCGGATGTATGATGGAGCTTGATCCCGATTCGCCGCTGCAGGCCCTGATGGAGCTGGAATGTATCGTCGACGACATCAGCGGGGACGTATTCACCGCTCATGGACATCTCGAGGATCTCAACCGAGGCGAGTATGTCGTGGTGTTCCGGGCCGATAAAGTCCGTCTCGTTCCGCCGCATCCCCAGCCGGCCATCTGGACGGAGTTTTGACGGTGTATCAGGTACGGACGAGGGCGCGGACATCTCCCGCCGGCGGTCCCAACGTTCCAGACGATCCAGGTACTCGGGCGTAACCGTGGCGAAAAAGTCGATACTGGCGGTCTCCGTTTGTAGATGACGCAGGATGGCCGGGGAAATGATGGTTGAGATGGTCTTCCTGAGAGACAGGCTGGTGAGGGAGGACTTATTCAGGTCGACCGGCATGGAGGCGAAGGTGTCCTCCGAGGCGATGCTGTCGCCCAGCAGACTCGTCAGGCGGGTCTGAGCGTGAACGGAGGCGAAGTCCGATGATGATAGGCCCCGGATGCCGTCGACCGTGAGGGATATGGTCAGCCTCTCTCCTGGAACGATCGGATCCAGGAGAGGACCAGCGAGCGAGTCTGGGGTGGTTAGACCAGACGTTGACTCTGCGCGGGTGGGAAGGCGAAAGTCGACCCGACAAGATCCGATCGCTTCGGCGGTGTACGGACACAGGATTGGGACGTTGATTGTAGAGGATATGCGGTTGGTAAGGAGGCGAAGGGGTATTCGGGCGGCACCGATGAAGGAGAAGGTGGGGGCCGGGCGGTCCGCAAATGGCTCGTCGACTTTGAAGTGCTGCGAGTAGCCCGGTTTACCGCTATGTGCGTTGACTTGCTTCATGCGGGTGAGCTGCGAGGTGAAGCGAGCCGAGTCCCAGGCATACACAGCTGGTTGTCAGCTCCATCTTGGCTAGAACATACCTGTTGCGTTCCTGTCGACCACCTTGACCATCAACCGGGCCCCATCTTCCGCTCCGCCCGCGCTGGAAACATCCTCAAACTCCACAACACCGCTCAGTCCGTCCAGCGATGAGGTGGGTATCGCGTCACCTGATACAAGAAAGTTGTATGAGGCTCGCTTGTCCATCTGGGTACTACCTTCAGCTCAGCAACTTCCCCGGACTTACGATATGACATTTGCTTCTCGTAGACTGACTGCCCCACATAGTATCTGCTCGGCTATTACGTATCCCCTTAACCGCCTCCACTGCTTCACAGCCCCCTTGACGAGTCTCAGCTCCCTCGCAGTCCAGTTGCTCGGCTCCACGCTGACGTGCTCCAGCGCTCTCGCTTTGGCAGCTTGCGAGCGTATCCGCTTCACTTCCTGCGCGAGCGTCTTGAGCTGCTTCGTCAAGTGCTGCTGCTCCAGAGCTGAGTCTTCCGCACTTTGACTCGGCGCTCTCCCGTATTCCGCCCCAGCCTCAATGACGGTGGGCTCGACCTCGGCGAAATCGGGCTTCTGGGGAGTCCCGATACTCAGCGAAGTCACGGTCGTGTCCATCGCGCCAGCCCACGGGTTGCCGAGGGTATCGAGCGTTTCCTCCGTCTGCGATGGGGTCATCTGGCGGGACTCCATATCACCGAGGATGTCGGCGCGGCTTTCTGGCCGCTTTCCGCGTAGCGTTCTGACCTTTATCTGAACGGTCAGCTTCACCAAAAGTATGGCTTAGGCAGAAGACTTGCGATGTCGTCAAAGAGCTTGTCCAGATCCTGATCCCCCATCTTTTCGATATCCGCCATTTCCCTCCGGGCTGCATTCCAGTCCATCATCTCCCCAGCCGCCAAAGAAGGGGTATCAGACCGAGTCAGCTCCCCGCTGATCCCCTCCATGCTCGTAGACGTCGCCATTTGTTCCCGCTCCTTCCGGACTGTAGCTGGATCGTTGAATCGGAAGACGTGAAAGTCGCCTAGGATGACTCGGAAGCCATTGAGTAGCTTGACCGGCGAGTTGGCGGGGATGCGCTTGCCATTGACGAAGATCCGAGCATCCTCGACGGCAGTGACGGATACGGTACCGGCGTTGTTGGTGAATGTGCAGTGCTCCGGGAGGATATGAGAGCCTGAGAGGCGAATCTGAGCTAAGGCGGTATCGGGACTGCCGGCGACGGTCGGTCCAGGCTTGAGCTGATAGACAAGGCACTGTGACTTCAGCTGAGAAGCCGGTATGGAGTGCGAAGGCACGAACCTCCGACATCAATGGGTCTACAAGGTCAGCTAAGTTCGCTAGACGACTCAACGGAATCGCAACTCACCCTCGTTGAGGTTGACCAGAGATGGGTGCTTTTGGGGAGCGTGCACGCCGACCATCTGACATGTCAGCGATCTTCCGTCAATACCAGATGCGTACTTACGTCCTTATCAATGCTGATGCCCATCTCCTCCAGCGCTTTCTCTCTTTCCGTATGTATGGCCCTCGTCTGCTCCATCTTCTCTTCCCACGTCTGATTCAACCCTTCCATCAACTTCTCGCTCGCCTGCAGCTGATCCTGCAACTCCAGCTTGGACACCTTCCGCACCTCCCCATCCTTCGTACGGAACGTCACCATCTGCTGATCCAGCGGCACACTGGGGTCGTACGCCGCCTCCTCAGACATCCCCGCTGATATGCGCGAGCGAAGCGTATCCAGCTCCTCCTTCAGCTCCCGGATGAGCTTGGCGTTCGGGTCCTCATTGACCACCGCGTGGGTCTTGATCTTCTTCGCTGCGTCAGCGTAGCGCAGAGTCGAGAGGGTCTCCTCGTAGTCCGCCGGTGAGATCGCAGCGATCATGGCTGTTTTCGAGTTGCCGCCGAGCGATTCCTTCAATAGCCAGGTAAGGACTGAGTCTCGGTATGGGACATGATCGTCCTTCCGCTTCCTTTTGTCCGAGCTGGCGGAGGCAAGCGCAGCGATGACCTTTCCTAGGGTAGTGAGGGATTTGTTGATATTCGCTCCTTCCTTGAGTCGGGTGCCGGTCGCGCCGGTAGATGCTTGTCGTTCGGATCCAGCGAGATCGACGAGCGAGATCTTGGAAACTTTCTCGCCCACCATATTCGTTTGTGGATCATGCCGTTTTTGAGTCAACTGAGAGGTCAGCCCTATTACTAAGTGATAAAAAGTAGACTTGCGATAACGGTGAAGACAGCGTGACTTCGAGATGACGTCTCATTCATGTTTGTGGAGGCGACGGTCCGAGCCTGACTATCAGCTCAATACAGCTAGAAACAGCGGGGTCGATAGGCTCACCTTGTTCCCCTCATCCATCAGAGTCATCATTTGCCCATAGTCCTCCACCACCAGCCGGCTCAGATCCTCCACGTACGGCCCCAAAGACGGATGTTCTCGGACGCGCAAGTTCCCCTTATTCCGCGGATTCAGTAGGTCTCGAACCCTGCTCATCAGCAGCTTTCCTACTAAGCAGAACGTATGGCGTACTTCTCGTTGTAGATCTCAATGTAGGATACCTCGACAGTGTACGACAGATTTGGCGTTTCCTTCGTCCGGGTCTCGACTCGGTTGAAAAGCTCCGCGGTTGTGAGGGGGATGATCCCCTTGTCCGCACCATCTGTCCTCAGCATTTCCCGGTTGTAAACTAGCAGAGCGTACTAACAGCCCATCATGGAGTCTACAGATTAGCCGTTGCCATAGGGGGATCAAAGCAGGAAGACCTACAACTCTTGCCGCTGCCAGTCTGCCCATCTAGCTTATCAGCTCTGGTACTGCTCAGTCAGCCAGGAGCTCTACTCACAGGCAAAGATACAAGTATTGAAGCCATCAAAGCTATGGTCCAGCAGCTCGACTCCGAGATCATCATACAGCGTGCTCTGACTAGCATAGTTAGGCTCGTCGCGAGCTCCGGCAGACCAGTATGACTTATCTGCCTATATCAGCCTTGTTCTTTCCCCTTACCCGCCGAAGTCGACTGAGCTTACCGAATGAGAAAACCATAGGCTTCTTGCCCGCTGATCTGCTAGACTCGGCTTGCTCTGGTGGGTCAATGATGGTCTGAGACCCCTCCATCCGGATCAACCCCTTCGCACCCCTCGTCAGTTCTACTGATCAGCTTTGCGCCCCCTGTGTATTTCGAGCGTCTGATGCACCTCGGGAATTGAGAGGCCGACATCTACGAGAGTCAGTCAGAGGCCAGATGTACTGCTTACGCGCCTGCCGGGCTCACCGTACCACCACCTTGATGTTACCGCCCGCCATCCTTCCGTATGGGTCGTCTGGGGTCAAGGGCCTCTATACGAATCAAGACTGGCAAGCATATGCCGGGAGAGTAGACGCTGCCGGCTCAGACTGCAGTGCCCAGAGGGCTAGTCGAGCAGTATCTGCGGACGCATCAAGGTCATCCGCGAAGCGTGAAGACTGGTTTAAGATGGCTCAGAGCCTGAGATGCAGATGTCTGAGCACAGAGCGGTATCGGGGCCCCGCAGACATTGACGGTGGCGAATAGCTCGTCAACAAATATTTGTATGTGGCGGACATCCGCCACTTTCAGACAGCTGTAGCTGCCGTCCTGCCACATGTGGCACTATGCGCCGGCGTTAGGCATCCTTTGAGCAGCCCCGCGTATCAGGACATCCCTTCAGATGACCTGTCTGGCCTGCGCAGAGAGGGGTGACGTGCCTATAAAAGCCCGCCACCGCCCCCCTCTCATTCTGCTTTCGTACTTGTACAATCCCCCCCACTCACCTTCCTCCTTTCCTCCAACTCACCCCTGCCACTCACCACATACTCACCACCTGAGGTTCTGACCTAATCCTGCACACACCTCATCCAGTACCTCGTTTCTGACTGAGCTTCCCAGGATGGCTACCGCTGTACAGACGATGCCCGGCGGTCCAGCGTCGAGGCTCGACAAGCCTTACACAATGGCCCCCTCCCGCCGGTCGACGGCTTCCTCGGCGTCTACCCAGACCAGATCGAACCAGATCGCTTCGATCGAGGAGTTCTTGGGCAAGTTGACTCCGGAGATGTACGCGAGAATGTCCCCCGAACAACAGATGGGTGTGGCGCACCTCGCCTCGGCCATGTACTCACCCATGCGAGAGCCGGAGGACGAGTTTCTCGGCAACTTGAAGGCATCGCGCGAGGGTATCAGGGCCCTGATCCAAGTATGTATCCTGACGCATATGTCTGTCCGGCATCTCGCTCACGCACTAGGATTCCTACGCCCCCAACTCGTCCGGAAGTGAGCTCGATTGTCAAGCTTGTAACACGAGATGACGGACGATCGAGCTGACCCGTCCGCAGACAGCATCCAGTACGCTGCAGACCGTAGCTACCAGACCAAATGCAGGCTCGAGCACATACGGCACGCCATTGGTGAGTTGTGCTCCTGCTGCCCCATTGGATTGAGATTACTTGAGGAGCCATCATCCTGCTAAGCCATATAGGGCTACACAACCTGCGGAAGCCGGGGAAGGAATACAAAGTCAGCCTGACTCTTTTTCTGTATCATCTGGCAACACTGACGATCAGGGCGACGACGCATGCCTTACCAACTTCGGTGTTTACTCGGCCAAGCGGGCGAACGACGAGAGGATGGAACTCGAATCGCAGGGGAAATGGGAGTTCCCAACGATGGTTGGGTGCAGCTCGGCCTGGCGATGTGAGCAGACTGGCCGAGAACTTTTCGAGTCCATCGACAAACGAGAGGCGGAGCTTGAGGCGCAAGGTCTACTGGTTGACCCTATCCTGAAATTCATCCATTGGGTGCGTATGATGTAACCGATGGAGAGAGCTCAAGTCGAGCAAAGTTAGCTGATGAGCCCAGGCTGCTCGAGAGGAGATCTCCTCACAATTCAAACACGGCCAGAAAGGTGCGTACGGAGCCTCGTTTGTGGCGAAGGACAGGGACTTTGGCAGATACCTCGGCGATGACATCCGACATTTGAACGGAGAATCCGCCACGCACCCGGATCAAGACCTCTTCAGGGACAAGGACGGCAAACCTTACTGCAATGAAGAGGGTGCCATCGAGCGCATGTCGACGCAGTACCTGCCGAACGTGATGGGCCTCGCATCGGAGTACCACCGGCACACGGGCACCGACAGTAAGTAGGATTCCGCGGCCGCTCTCTCGCGACCCCATTACCTGAATAGCGGGATGGTAGACTGCTTCTGGGCTAGGGCTGACTATGCCAGGCTTCAAGTTGACAAGTCTCTGTCACGCGGACACCAGCACAGGCTTCTTCAAGGACCTCATCGACATGAGATACAAGAAGCCTTTGGAGAAGAACCACGAGGACTTCAAGGCCTGGGGACAGAAGTGGATGGCATACGAGAAAACAAAGGACTCCGACACAGGCTCCATGTTGCTCACCGAAAGGAACAGGCTTGGGTCCGAGAGGCAGCGGCTGGTGACCGAACGTGAGCATCTGAAGAGCCAGGTCAAATTCTACAATACCACAGCCCACGACGTTCTGTTCACTGTCGAGACCGACGCGAATGAAGAACTGTCTCTCGTCGAGAATGAGAGTGGCAACCTCTTTGACTTCGAATTCCATCCGGGCAGAGAGTATCAACTCGCACAGTGGGCCGAGGACTTCCGCCGAGACCATCCCGGTGTCGACCCGGATGAGCCGTCCGAGTTTGCCCCGATCAAGTCAGACTGCTCGACTGCGACTGCGAATGTGAGCGCATCCACGGCCACGTCCGCCCTGTCGAGCGATGCCACAGCGTCTGCTTAGGCAATCCCTCATATCGATGTCGAGAGAGTTGTAAGTAGCTTGGCCGTTGGTCGATATGAGGGGCTATTGCTGATGACAGCAGCGAAATTGAGGAGCTGAATTCAGAGTATCGATTTGCTGTTTCCATTTGTCAAAAGGGGCTGTACATACACGTTTAGGTTGGAAGAGAAAACGAGCTGTCCGTGGATGCATCTGCGTGCGCTCAAGCTCGGACTGATCAGCTCCCGCCGAGAAAGCGCGAAACCGTCTTGGCTGAGGCTTGTGCGGGGTGCTAGAGTACGTGGTCTTGTTGGACCTGACGATCGGTGGCGAGACTTTTCTATCCGCCGTCACGTCGGAGCGGATGAAGGGAGTCTAATGTTCAGATATTGCTAGCACGTTCCACAACACGAGCGTTAGTATGCGTAAGTCTATATCCACATTTAGAACCCTCTAATGACAGTCAGCGGCCGCTAGGTTGCTCGGAATGGCCGGATAGCTTGACGGCCAGGCGACCTGCGCACATCATGATCATCCGTCACGCAACCGGATCCACCATCATCCCGCCATTCACCCTCCCCCCTTCCCCTTCTTCCTCCTCTTCCCCAAACATCATTCCCGCCATCTCCTTGGCATACGCCGTACTCCGCACCGCATCCGAGAAGTACTGATACGCATCCTTGATATCCGGAATATCCACCATCGGGCTTTTCCGCCTCAGCGCCAGGAGGGAGGAAGGAGCGATAAGGTTGAGGGCGTAGCGGAGGGATGTTTGGGTGGCCATATTCGCCATGAGGTCGAGGGCTGGTTCGGCGATCTTGACGTCTTCTTCGTCCGCCCTACATTGTCAGCTCAGGTCGGAGTGTGGAGGCAAACGGGGGACATACCGGATCTTGACAATCTCCCTCATCTCGGCCTCGTTGTACATTCCAGTACTGATGATCAACATCCGGTCGAGCAGGTCGACTGGTATACCGTGCGGAGACTTGTATTTTGTGCCTCTTATTCTGGTGATCCCGCGGTTCGAGGCCATGACCACCAGCGGGGCGAGCTCTCCCTCCATCGCTCGGTTGAGGAATGAGAAGCACTCGATGTCCAGCATGTGTACTTCGTCGATGAACAGGACCTGCCGATCAGCATGTCTCACGAGAACAGCAGGAACGAGGTCTGATATACCCCTGGGACAATCTCTGCCTTGCCCTCTTCTCGCCATTCCGCTACTTTGGTGTTGATCTGATCTCGAAGTTCCGGCTTGATCTCTCCAGTATCGCCTGGATCATCAGCTTCTTAGTTAGGCATCGTAAGCTCACCTGCAAAGAGCGCAAGGAACCCCTGCGTCCTCGAGTTGATCACGTCAATCTCATGCAGCGACACCGTATGCACCACCTCTTTCCGGACCTGCAGCTCTCCATCTGGACATGCGACGAATCTTGTCTGACGAGTCAGCTTTGATCTCTCAAGCCGACACAAGCAGACATGCGACCATGAAAAAACTCACGTCTGCGCCCATCGCATCATAGTCTTTCGCCCGACCAAAGCTCCGGCCCAACTTGGAGATCCTCCCGCTCGCCTTATCTATGCTGACCACATCTCCAGCTAGCACCTTCTCCTTCTGGAGCTGGTCGATCATCTTCGAGCCGAGGTCGTATACCGTCTCCATATCTGTTGTTTTGAGGGTCAGACGGCCGGTCTTCGTAGCCTATACCATAAGCTATAGCCTGTCAAGACCACAAGGCAGAGCGTACCCCGGTCACACTCCTATCCACCTGAATCTCCACCACCTCTCCCTCAATCAACTCGGTTTCCTCCTTTATCCGCACACCGATAGATCTTCTGAACGCCTGAGTTAAGGACTCTGTTTTCGAGATCTGCACGGTTCAGCTGTGCTCAGGTGTATCCACGCCAGTAAGCTAACCTCTAATGAGAACACCTCGCTTGCAGTGAGCATAACGAAAGGAACATCGCTTCCCAAGGTCTGCGCCATACCTGTGATATGAGCTCTCGAGTCCGATACAGTACCGGGCATGCCAGCTCACCCATAGCAATAGCAGTCTTCCCTGAGCTCGGCGGACCCGCCATGAGAATAGCCCTCCCCGCAATCCTCCCTTCTTGAACCATCCGCAGAATCACGCCTGCTGCCTTTCGCGCCTTGCCTTGGCCTATCATCCCCTGGGCATTCTGGCGGGGCTCCAGGTTCGCATCTAGACCGAGACCGTGTATGTGCGAGTGAGCGCCTGACGATCAGTTTGACAGCTCCATGCTGCCGTGTGGCTGGGAGGTGGACCAACCTATGCGCTCCATTTTGGTCAGCTCCCTCGAGGAGGAGCTCGGCTGGATTGAGATGTTAGCTGCCTGATTTATCAGCTGCTGCCTGCCGCTGGTTTGGACGCGTCAGCTGACCATGATGCTGGATGTCTGATGTGGATGGTGTTAAAGGGTGAAGTATAGTCACAATATGGCTTAGTTGAGCTTGTGGAAGGTGGACCTACTTTTAATGGTTTCCCCCTTTTCTCCCATTCCTCATCTCGCTTGGCTCGCCAATCCCCTCTCTGACTGTATTTAGGTCAAGAATTGGCCACAAGCCTAGCTATCACACCCACTCACTTGCCCACTCATACCGTCAAGTCTCACCCAGACATGGCTCCTACAGCAGCGCCAGCCGCGGCACCTGCGCCCGAAGCCTCAGCTCCAGCTGTAGCACCCGCTGCATCCGAGTCAGCGGCAGACGGCCCGTCGACTACAGCTCCCGCAGCCGCCGAGGCTCCTGCTGCTCCCCTAACTGCGCCCAGAGTACCCAAGAAGCGCTTGGATCCACATGATCCCTCCCTGGAGCCCATGTCGGAAGTGATGCTCCGCCGACTGACGACGATTCAGAAAGGAGATAACGTGCTGTTGAAGCTGCCGAGCGACAGCGTCAAGGCTGTTGTCGCTTCGGAGACGGGGTAAGTTCAGTCTCACACCTCGATGCCCTGCTGCTCGAGCCATCTCGGATCTCGAAGGTTGCATCAAGGCTGATCCGATATAGCCTGGTCAACCTCGGCAAATTCGGCTCCTTCCCCGCCAGCCTCCTACTCGGCCTTCACTTCGACATCACCTATGAGATCTACGTCGACACCTCCGCCCCGGCCCCATCCGCCATTTTGGCAAAGCACGGGGCGCGAGCTGAAACAGCCGCACAGACCGCGGGGAGGATCATGACGGATCGAGGGGAGGGTCCTTCTGCTTTCGGACAAGCAAAGGGGAAGAAGGCAGCCAAAAAGGGGAAAGAGAGGGAGGCGATTGCGGGTGGACTGTACAAGGGGAACCCGGGCTGGCGGAACTTGCTGAGACCGCTGAAGAGGAGTGACGTTGTTGATGCTGTCGTTGGTGAGTATGCAATCACCAAGTGCAGGAGGATGTACTGATGGGGTAGACGATATTGTCGAGACAAACGAGTTTATCGACGATACCGATATGGTCCAGCAGGAGTTGTTGACGCAGGAGGAGATAGCGGCGATGAGGGAGCAGGGACTGTCAGCGGACGAGATCATGAAGGCACAGATTGCGCGACATGAGCGATTCGGCCTGAAGACGGATTTCAGCAAGGAGAAGTGGAGGAAACGAAAGGAGAAGAAGTGGGTCCTTCCCCATCAAGCCCGGGATCAAGCTGATATTCAGGTATCAACAAACCATTCACGCCATATCCCCCTCCGCCCATAACATGACCAACCACTACTTTGCTCGATCCCCGCAAAGTATCCTGAACCTCCGGGAAGATACCCTCTCCCAGCTTCTCACTCTATCCCACGTCCGCGAGGGCGGTCGATACCTCGTCGTGGACGATACAGGCGGGCTCGTCACTGCCGCCTTGCTGGAGCGGATGGGGAGTGACGGGCGGATCATGACGTTTACGGAAGCGGACAGTCCCCCGGCGTGGGGCGTGCTGAATGTAATGAACTTTTCGCCGAGGGAGTTGGGGTGCGTCAAGTGGTTGAATTGGATGGAGGCGACAGAGGAGTATGAGCGGCGTAAGTAGCTATCGCGTCGGAAGCAAAGACAAAAGCTGACATGGTAGCACCACTGCCTGAAGAAGTCGACATGCCCTCGATCTCCGAGTCCAAGACGATCGCGAGGCAGAAGAAGCACATGTTCCAGACGAAGGAGTTGAACAATACGCGGCGGGAGCTTCACTCTGGGAATTGGGACGGGTAAGCATCACCATTCTTCTCAGCTCCGTCAGCACTGCACGCACTGATCATCAGCCTCATCCTCGCTACCGACCTCAACCCAATAGTCATTCTCAACCGTCTCGGACCCTACCTCGCCGGAAGCGGCACCATCACCATCTTCTCCCCACACCTCCAAGTCCTCGCCGAAACGCTCCAGTTCTGCCGTCATGACCCGTCGTACCTGAATGCCAACCTCACAGAGAGCTGGTCTAGGACATATCAGGTCTTGCCGGGTCGGACTCATCCGATGATGAGTACGAGCGCGACGGGGGGTTATATCCTGCACGCTACGAAAGTGTAAGTCCTTTTAGGTATTGATCGTGGGGGTGTGCACCTTGGCTGACTCGGTCAGGTTTGTCGGGAGGTTCGAGCCAGACTCGCATGTTCTCAGACATAAGCGACAACAGCAAGAAGCGGCGAAGCGGAAGAGGGCCAAGGCGGCTGAGGCTGACGCTGGGCCGAGTGGAGAGAAGGCGGGAGAGCCGGCGGTAGCGGACCAGGCGGAGCAGGAGGAAGATGAGCATATGGACGAGGCGGAGGAGGTGGACGAGATGGAGATATAGCGTCTGCTTGTGCCATACTTTTGTTCTTGTTGCTCGATGCAATCTTGCTCAAATATCACTGATTCGCTGGGCGAAGGCACTCGCATGTATCGACGCAGTGCTATCTAATTATGTCTTGTCCCCCTAATACTGTACGCCTCACGTCCAAGCTAGACCCTCCAGCGCTCAGTATCCTCTCCGTTGCGAGTTCCAGCAGCGCCCTGAGCTTTTCTGGGCCGACAACGAGATTCGGCGGTAATGAAGTAGCAGCGGATGGATCATCCAGGAGACGCTTCGCAGCCTGTAACAAGTCAGCTTGGGCTGTGAGGGACGGTCGTCTCTGAAGATGATATCTAGCTTAGCTCACCTGACGGATGCCCCACCAGTCTCTCGTGCTCGCCGGACCGTCGGCCGCTGTACCCGGTGGTGGGGTCGCCATCTCTATTGCTCGGAGGTAGTATTTCAACGCCAGCTGATAGTCCCTAAACGGTCAGCTAAAGGGTTCGCTAGAAACATCGCGATGATCCATCTAGCTGACGTAGACCCATGAGAGATGGCGGAATACTCACCCCATCGTATAAGCCACACCTCCAGAACGTGACACAGCTCCCCCATCCCAGCCCTGAACGACCAACACATGGCCCAGCGCCGTCAGTCCCTGCGCATACAAGCCCAGCTCGCAGTACAGGTCCGCGAGCAGGGACCAGCCCTGCGCGTCGGTATAGTACGTGTCGAGGTACGTGAGGAGTAGAGGGATAGAGTGGGAGGGACCGAGTGGGAGAGACAGGGCGATCAGGCGTTGATGTGCGGACTGACGGTCAGCTCTGGACTTGACTATCTTCGAAGACCTAACAACTGACAGTGTTCGTTTCTTCAAACTCTAGTATAGCCTCGTAGACTTTCCGCGCCTCCTCGGGCTGCCCGAGCGCCTCATATCGAAGCCCAGCTAATATCCCGACTCTAGGTGAGTCGGGGAACTGCCTCTCTAGTGCTCTCAGCTGATCCTAAACCATCAGCTCATTCTGTCAAGCACTATCAGAGAAATCGGCTCACCGTGGCCCATTCCACCATCCCCATGTCCAGCGCAGCGAACGCCAGCTGCTCTCGGACCGCCCACTCATCCTCGCCCGCCGCGCCTGCGCTGAGGACTTTGGGGGCTAGCTCGACTACTTTTTCAGAGTGCCGGGCACCGATCTGTCGCCATCGTGCGAGCTGGTCTTTGTCTGAAAGGGCCATTGGGTATGTGTGTATGTAGTAGTTGAAGGTATACTGACACCGGTGGCCAGTTGGCTGGCCTGGCCATGATGCATGACAGTCTTGGTGTGGAACATTGGCTTTCCCACGATGATGTGGTTCCGGGGGCACTGGGCAGCGGGACCGCTCCGACCGTCGACCTTTGACCGGCCACCTGCGTTCCGCACTCTCCTCTTACATCCCATCGTAGATCTTTGACCTTCACCATAGCTACTACAGCTTCCCAGATAGAGCTCACAAACGAATCTGAGGGAAACAAGAGACTTGCACTTGAACGTCCCGTTCACAGCTCCAGGACCCATACAGCTAGCGATTAACGCACAATGGCGGCCCCTCTCTACGTCACGCAGTCCGGTCGGCTCTGGCACGCCGGTCTCATCCTCATCGTCACGGTTGGTCTTCCAGGTGAGCTTCCGCCTCGATACGCCTCGTCGGCATGACAGAGTTCTAGCTGACCCCCTCTAGCTCGGGGCAAGACGCACATCTCCCGCGCGCTTGAACGTTATCTCCGCTGGCTCGGAGTCAAGACCCGCGTCTACTCATTGGGGGACTATCGTCGCAAGGTCCTCGGTGGAGCAGAGAATATCCCAGCAGACTACTTCAAGTTGAATAAGAGTGAGCTCGTAGGCCCTCCTTGCGGGAGAAGCCGTAGCTGACAGTCATAGCGGAACGGACGGACGAAACGAATACGCTTCGGCGCAAGATCAAGCTGGATCTGGAAGAAGAGATCTGGGACTACTTCCAGGTCCAGGGAGGGCAGGTCGTCATCTATGATGCGAATAATGGGAATATGAAGTCGAGGAAGGAGACGAGGGACCGGTTTGAGGAGCGAGGGGTACATGTTATCTTCCTTGGTACGTCCACGCTTCTCAAGACGGACCAGTACGAGCTGCATATGCTGACCGCCCAGAATCCCAGTGCGACAAGGAGGACATCATCACTGCCAATATCCGCTCCGTCAAGCTTTCTTCACCCGATGTAAGTAGACAAACACATCAGGGGAGGGACGAAGCTGACCCCGCAGTATCAAGGCTGGGATGCCGACCGCGCGGTCGCAGACTACTGGTCCCGAATCCGCGACCAGCAGGTCTTCTACGAAGAGGTCACGGCCGAAGAAGGACCGTTCATCAAGGTCATGAATGTCGGCGAGCGGATCGAGGTCAACCGGATTGAGGGTGAGTTATGAAATTCAGATCGCGATGCCGATGTATCCTGGTCGTGCCAGATAGCTGACTTGTTAGGATACCTGCAGTCCCGATGCTGTTTCTTCTTGATGAACATACATACTTCCCCTCGAACCATTTACTTTGCACGAGTCAGCTAGCCATTTCGCGAGGTCTTTTCGCAGGCCCCAGCTGATATACCAGTCCGGCCAAAGCTTGATCGAACACTCCTATAAGGCCGACTCGGACCTCTCTTCGGCAGGTTGGGAATACGCAGATCGGCTCAAAGCAGCCGTCATGGCTCGTCGGAAGGCTGTTCGCGCTGAGAGGCGGCGAAAGAGCGAGGTTGGTGGAGAGAGTGAGGAGAACCCGTTGATTGTGAGCTGAGTGCTGCGTTGACGCGGACACACACAGCTCACGTCGCAGGTCTGGACATCGGCAAGAAGGCGAGCGTACCATACCGCCTGGCCTTTTGTCCATTCAGGGTACAAGGTGGTTCAGAAACCCATCATGAGCGAGATCAACCCGTATGTGAACTACAGCTGCGCAATTATCATCAATGCGAAAGCTGATGGCAACAGTGGTGTATGGGATGGTCTGAGTACGCAAGAGGCGAAAGAGCGGTACCCTGATGAGTGGGAGCGGTTCTTGGCCGATCCATATGCTCACCGCGCGCCTCGAGCGGAATCGTACCACGATCTATCTGGTGAGCTGTAACGCTGTGACCCGATCTAGTCCGAGCTGACCATCAGTCCGGGTTGAGCCTATTATCTTCGAGCTCGAGCGATGTCAAGAGGACCTGCTCATCATTGGACACGCCTCTGTTATTCGTTGTCTCGTGAGCTGACGCTCGCCCGGAGAATTCCTGTTGGCCAAAGCTGAATCCGCAGCTCGCCTACCTTGTCGGCCTCCCGCCCAACGAAGTGCCCGCAGTCGAGATCGCCCGGGGCGACCTCGTCGAAGTCACTCCCGCATCCTACGGCGTCGTGTCTCGCGCCTTCCACTTCTGGTCCGGCGAAGGCAGAGGCGACCTGGCCGGCGGAAACCTATACGAGAACTTTGCAGAAGCCACCACGGGCAAAGGCCGGATCCCTGCCGAGTCGGGTGTCAACTTTGCGGCGGACGCGATGGACATGGAGCGCGAGGCGAGGGATGAGCAGGATATGGATAAAGAGAGGAAGAAGAGGATGTCGGCCGGTATGGGGTTGGGGTTGGAGAAGATGAAGAGTCTGGAGGGGGGCAGGGGGACGGCGTCGGCCCCGCCAGAGGTTGTTAGGGAGGAGGCGGAAGAGGCGCGGGAGGACTTGTTTGATGAGCAGGAAGGAGAGGCGACTGGGCAGAAGCGCGATGGGAGGGCTAGTGAGTTGTCCGTCGCAGGTCGATGGGCGGGAAAGCTGACAGCGATAGTGAGCATCATTCAGATCTAGGCCCTGCTTGACTACAGGATATGAGGGGGGATAAGGCGGCACGCGAAAGATTGCGAAAAATGGGGTAGATTTGGTAACTGTATAGGCCGGCTCAAGATGCATCTGGTTGTAGAGTTTCCTGTCTTTGATGCAGCAGACGCTGTATTATCTGCTCAAGATCACCGCCATCCCCATCTCCCAGACCGCTGATCGCTTCGGCGTCTCGCTCCGCAAAGGCCTCATTGGAAGGGTCTAGCACGGCCCAATTTGGAGATTTGCCTTCCCGGACCCAATCAAAGTCCTGCACATCGTGATGCTTGCTGGTATATTCCTGCTCGGATGAGCTCTCGGATCAGGACAAGCGAGATTATGAGGGAACTCACTGGTTGTTGCAGGAACAACGGGTAAGGCCCAAAAGCGAGCGCCGAGCAGTGTTCGATGATAGGCGTTGAGGGTACGTGGAGGAGGATAGTCGTACTTCGAGAAGAATGTATACGGAACTGCAACAAGTCAGCTGTTGTGCAACGGTCATGGGTACCTATCAACGGACCTGCTGCGCTCCAAGAATGACCAAGCAGTCTTCCAGGCCTTCCATGATTGCACTCCCTTCCATCACGGGTACGAGCAGCACGCACCGCCGAAGGCTCTTGGCATGGATTGACGTTGCTTGCGCTGTCGAGGGAGGAGTGGCGTTCCTTCCGCTGGTTCCTGAGGTTTGCGGAGGCGGTCGAAGATCAATTATACAGGACGAGAGCGACTCGAGGGTAATTGTGTATCCACCTTCGACGTCCGAGGGGGCTCGCACGAGCTGACTGGAGAGATTCGAGATAACATGAACGGGACCGGCAGCCGTAGCTGCGTTTGCTGATACCGGCAGAGTGGACTGTTTAGGTGTAGGAGCTGACGGTGCCGATGCCGAAGAACCGGGAGTCGGTGCCTCCCCTTCTGCCTTGACCGGCGCCGCTTTCGATTTCCCGGCTGAGAATGCGAACCGTGACTTCGGCTTGTCCTTAGACCTGAGTTGCGATAGCTTCGACTCGAGCTCTTTCAGCTGCTGCTAAGGTCAGCTACTCCATTTCTTTGGCCCAGAAAGGCGGACAGGGAATCATAGCTGACCAGCTCACAGCTCCGCCTATCGTACGCAGGGAGAAACGCCAGATTTTCATTCAGTCCCGCTCGAAGAGCGTGAAGACGGGTGGTGATGTCCGTGAGCGAAGGAGGAGTGGCTTCGAATAGCGATAGGATGTTTAGACTCGTCAGCCGCTAGCCAAGCCACTGGAGAGCGCGAGACGCGAGGAGGCGTTACGGGTCGGTCTCCTGCGTTTGGTCCTACTTACCTCGCTTATCGGCTTGAAAGGTGCTGTGGAAATCTGCAGAGACGGCTGTGGACGTCATAGCGAGCGTCAGAGATGGGCAGAGAGGGTGTGGTGGGTGTAGTGCAACAGGTGGAGAGGCGTCTTGGCCGTCAGATCGACGACAATTTCTGAAACACGCGCAGGGATTGAATTTGGCCCTAGCTCTTTGCGCCTGTAGCTCTCTTCACAAAACCCCATCACTGCGCACACTGAGGTCTGCACCGATTCCTAGCTAGATTTATACATCCCCTATGTATGCCGCGAGATCCATCATCCCTGAGTCGGCAAGTCGAGAGAAGCTCGTGAGACTTCTGACTCGTCAGCCAAAGCACGCGCGTGAAGGAATGGGTATGGACTGACCTTTTCCCTCTCAATCATCCCCCGCCCCCTCCTCGTCCCTCTTCCGCTTCATCTCCTTTGTGATCCTCTGCTTGGCCGCATCATGCCTCGCCAGTTCGGGGTTCATGATCGACAGCGGTGACTTGGAGATCTCCTGCTTGAGATCATACATGACCTCGTCGTCGCTGTTGCTGAGGAAGGTGATGGAGAGACCGCGTTTCCCGGCTCGACCGGTACGACCGACACGATGGACCCATCGCTCGATAGAGTCTGCCATAGCCCAGTTAATCACGAGCGACACTGCCTTCGTTAGCTATATCTTTGAAGGTGTAGGTGGAGATACTCACCATCTGGCACATCGATACCCCGACCCGCGATATCCGTCGCCACCAACACCGAGACCTCTCCATCTCGGATCGCCTGCAGAGACGCCTCTCGCTGAGCCTGCGATTTGTCGGAGTGCAGACTGATAGCCGACAGCCCCGCTTGCTGGACATACTTGACGACGACGTCGGCGGTCCTCTTTTGCCCGACAAAGACAATCATGGGCGGTGGGAGACCGATCGTCCTCAAGATCTCAATCAACCTTGCCTTCCTCTTTTCTTCACCCTCAATGAACTCCACTCGGTGCTCGACGGTATCGACCGCCTCACCGGCAATACCGATCGTCACCGTCGCGGGCTTCCTCAGGTACTTCCGCGCCAAGCGGTCTACCGCAGGAGGCATAGTCGCCGAGAAGAGCGTCGTCACTCTCCATCCCTGGAACTCCAACAACGCCTTCTCATCGACATCCTCCGGCTTGGCCAGCGTCGCCGGCATAGCGTCCAGGATGAAGTTGAGATCCGCCTCGAATCCCAAATCCACCATCCGGTCCGCCTCGTCCATGACCACATACCGGCACTGCGAGAGCACAATCATGCTCTTGTCAATCATGTCCTTGAGTCGACCGGGGGTGGCGATGATGATCTCCGCGCCGTTCCGCAGGGCAAACTGCTGTTCCTCGACGGACCGACCACCGATGATGGAGACGGAGGTGTAGCCCATCCGGACGGCGAATTTGGCTGTTTCAGATTCAATCTGTTGTGCCAATTCACGAGTAGGGGCGAGAATGAGAGCGTAAGGGCCGAGATGGCGATTTTCGTCGGTGAGCTGTCCGAGGTGACCGATGTACGCTAACATGGGGATGACGAAGGCGGCGGTTTTACCGGAACCTACAGGTATCAGCTTCAGCTTCGCAAGGATGTTAGGCCGGCCAACTGACCTGTTTTGGCAATACCGATCAAATCCCGATTCTGCATTCCGATAGGAATAGCTTGCCGCTGAATAGGACTGGGCTCCGTGTATCCGACCTCGTCAATGACGTCCAGGATCGTCGCTGGGATAGTCGACTCGCGCCATGAACGCAGAGGTAGAGGTATGGATCCTCCTCGCGCCTGAATCGAAAAGTCTTCTCGGAAGATACGCCAGTCCCGGTCCTTCATCTCATCCAGCGGCTTGTCAGACCAATGCCGCTCATCCGTCGTTCCTCGTCCAGCACGTCTCCGCTCCAACGCATCAGCATGCCTGAACATCAGCTTGACCTACAGACAGAAAGTAATGACGCACTTGTCTGGTATCCCATCCTTGCTCGCTCCATCATATCCCGCCAGGTTCCCTCCCAGCATGACACCGCCCGGACCGAGCCCCTTCGCATCCAGCACCATATTTGGATTATGTCCGCTTGTGTCCTCGTCCGCCTTCCAATCAAAGACAAATTTCTTGTTCCCCTCTTTCCGCAATCTCGGTTTCTTTTGGTCGATCTTTTGCCCCAGATGTCTCGCTCGGATGGTCGTCAACTCCAGGTCGGATAGCGGAGCGAGGTCTCCGGGCTGGCTGGGACGAGAGGGCGAGTTGGATGTAGAGCCGTTGGTCGGCGCAGGGGAAGAGGTGGAGCCGCGAGGACCGCTAGGTGGGGCCAAACCGCGAGGACCACTTGGCGCGCCGTTCGGACCGCCTGGACCAGATGGGCCGCTTGATGGTTGACCTCGGAAGTTCTGGTTCCCTCCACCTCCATAACCGTTCTGCGGCCCGCCATACCCCCCCTGCTGCCCCTGTCCTTGCTGTCCTTGTCCCTGGCCAAACCGGTTGTCCTGCCTCTGGTATCCCCCGTTTTGACCATAGCCGCCATTCTGTGCCTGCCTATCATCTGCAGAGTCAGCTGGTGCCCTCTTCACTGAGTAGCATGCAATCAGCTCACACTGCCCGCCCCCATTCTGCCCATGTCCCCCATATCCACCGCCACCGCCATTCCCATACCGTCCCGCCTCGGCCGTCCTCCTCCTCTCCTCCTCGGCCGCACGGTCAAACTCCGCACGTGTCTGCTTTTCCGCGTCTGCCTTCGCCAGATCCTCCTGCACCTCCGCATTCCGCTTTTCGAGAGCAATCTTCTGACGCTCGGCCTTGGTCAAGAATTTGGGCTGCAGGATGTCAGTTGTGATTGCTGGGAGAATTGAGGGAGAAGGAGCTCACCTTGGCCGCTGCTTCTTTTTCGGCACGCTGCTTCGCGAGGATCTCGTCTACTGAGAGAGGGCCGGCCATCTTGTCTGTGCCGTATGCGTGAGAGTCGTGGAAGAGGGTGAAGGGCAAAGCGAGAAAGCAGCAAGAGAATTGGGTGGCAATACGTACAAGTCAGAGTGGACCACGTGGCGGTGCCGCGCGGGGCTCCAAGGGTAGCTAGCAGGTGCCGGTGCAGCAGCTGCAGCTGAGATCTCGACGCACTACTTCGTCCATCGTACATCATCATCACCGATAGCTGCACCCCACAGGATGTCTTACGCAGCCCGCATGAGGCAGGCCTACCCGTTCAAGGCGGCCTCCACATCGGTAGACCACCTTGTCATTGGCGGAGGGGTCCTAGGTCTCTCCGCAGCGGCTGGACTGGTCAATACTGCCGGTCGAGGGCGGACCACCTTCCTGGTCGAGAAGAGGAATCAGGTGGGTCGCGCTAGGTTCCTTCGTCTGCGATATAAGCTCATGGTATAGCGGTAGCTCTGGCAAAATACTTCGTAAGCCACACTATAATCGAAATCGAGCTATTATTGACTGAGTCCAGCCAGCGGAAAACAGACGTGATACAATCAGGTCCGTTACAGCAATCCATATGTTGCGCTAGCTGACGATCAGGCATATAGTGCGTAAACAGGTTGGCAACTAGTTATGATCAAGCTGATGGTCAGCTACCCGATTGGATCCCTCAAATCGCAATTGTCTATACGAGGCCGCCATCTGCTGTACGACCGGTGTGAAGCGCTCGGCATAGAACACAGGAAGACGCAGAAGGTCAGCTTACATTTGGTGCCACTCACGTCGGACTGAGCTCACGGATCTCCAGCTGGTGGTTGCGACCTCAAATTCACAAATACCTTACCTCGACTACCTTCAGGGTATATCGGTCAACGAGCGGCTCCGACAAGGAACAGGGGTACAAAGTTCCAGCCAGAATGACTCAAGCATCCCTGCATACTTCCTCTCGGGCGATGATGCGCGGGATATGGAGCCGGATCTGTCGCCCGCTGTGAATGGCGCGGTCATCATGACGGAGACGGGCATACTCGACCGAAGAGGTCTCATCCAGAGTCTGGAGAAGGAGGTGGAAGAGGAAGAGTACCTGGAGACACCAGTCGGTGTCGGACTGGGCGTGGGAAGGCGGATCAGAGGTAAAGGGGACGGAAGGGGGCATGGAATGATTGTGCGGGGCACGAGAGTAGTGCGGATCGATGCGGACGAAAAGGGCGGGTGGGTGGTGCAGCTCGAGAGCGGCTGGAATGGGGAAGAGGGGGTCAAGGGGGAGATAGAGGCCGTCAGGGCTCAGGTGGTCGTGAATGCGGCAGGAGTTGGCGGTGCGGAATTGACGGAGGGTGTACGGTCGGAGTGCGGGCGCGTGCCGGAGGAAGTGGTCAGAGGTGAGCTGCAGAGCTTCAGTACGACTGATGAAGTGAAAGCTCATGTGCAGGCGGATATCTGCTGTACACAGGGCCTGGAGTGGAGAATGTCTCGCGCATCATTCATCCATGTCCCACGCGCCACAGCGATGGGGTATCGGCTCGATTGGTAAGCTTTGAAGACCTACGATCCTTCTTGATCAAGCTCATCATCAGTCAATCGATCTGGACGGAATCATTCATTTCGGTCCTGACCTATCGTTCCTAAGTCCAGCATCCCAGGACCCGTCAGATTGGCCTCAACCATCCGAGTCAGACCTTCAAGCGATCGGGCAAGCGATCCAGGACTATCTTCCCAACATCGACCCGTCTCTTCTCCAGCCCGGCTACTCGGAACTACGACCAGCTATCACACATGACGGAGGCATAGGGGATTTTATGATTCGCCACACCGAAGACCGGACGGGCTTGATCGAGCTCTTGGGCTTTGATAGTCCTTTGACCCCAGCTTTGGCGGTCGGTGAGCTCGTAGTGGATAAGGTCAAGAAGGAGATCTGGCGGGGAGGGAGGCAAGTCGATGAGCTAGCTAAGGGCTGGGAGTAGGATAATGTCGCGCGATATGCATCAACGTCATGACGCAGGATTTAGAGTTTTGGGTGAGACTGCCACAAAAGCGCGTCACCTCCACTTGACTCATTCGCGACCCTTCTTTCCTTCTCATCTCACCTTTATCCTTGCCTCGACTCGCTGTGTCATCTACCGAGACAAACCGCGTCCAGCTCCGGCGATAGCTGTACGTAGCACCGCCTCAGCCATCGCGCCCAAATAGGCTTCGTCCGACACGAAAAGGCTGGACGGGACTCTTTGAGAAAAAGCAGGCGTCGCTTCGCCTTCTCCGAGGTGGGTGGGAAGCGCCCAGCCACACCGTCAGCCAAAGCGGACGCGTGACGTCTTCTGTCGTGCTAGCGGAGGAGGGACGATCTCTGCACATCCGCCGCAGCTGGCCAAAAGACACTGAGAACCGTACGAAGGGATGGACACTGTGTAGCACCGTAAGTCAGCCCTTTCTTCCTTCCTTTTCCCCATTCATATTTCTGGCTCTCATACAGAGTGGTCCCTTCCTCGCCCTGGAGGCCTTGACAGCGCTGTCAGGCTTATCAGCGCCTATCACTACTGCCCTTGCTTCGTCAAAGGTCTTCCTGCCCTTCCTGGCCCTACCTTTCCCTAGACTTGTATCCCCTCCTTCCTGCTCCTTTGATCTGCTCCTTCGATCTTCTAGCTCAGAGCGGCGCATAGTCCACTTTTGATCCTTTGTTCGCCACAGACGCATATATGGCGACAGGCTGACTCTGGCAGGACCCCCTCAATCTCTTCTTTCCTCCCCTTGTCGACTCACCCTCACGTCATCCACTATAATGAACGGTCTCTCCCCTCGCTTCGGCCGGGCCGCTACTAGCGATATGGACGACCACGCATCGGGCTCGCGGACGAACGCCGCTCCGCCGAGTCCGTCCGGGTCTACCAGTACCGCTGGGATCGTCTGGCGTAATGGCCAACCTGTGTTGCAGATGCAGGACGCGGTAGTGGAGACTGTGTGAGCTAGCTGGCGCTGTGATGACGATGACAACCACAAGCTGATAGACTAGTGTCACTCACACCACCCGAACCACCACTTCCTTTGCGCCAATCTCCCTCCCTCGGCTACCGGATCCCGACCACCTCCCCATCCCGACCCACCTTCCCGCCGAGATATACCCTCTCGCCACCGAGCCCATCCCGGAGGACATGAAGTTCTTTGCGATGCACATTGGCGGCCAGCGGGTCATCGTCCAGGAGGATGGTACACCTGCTGGACCTTCCCAGATGCTTCCGCTCGAGACGGGCGGCGCAGGCTGGCGGCGGACCATGCAGAGCTCGGGATTCCGCAATGAGATGCCCCGTGTGGGTCTGGCGGGCGCTTTGTCGGGAATGAAGGGCAAGGAGGCTGTAAAGGACATGCGGAAGCGACCGCTGAGCTTCACAAGAGCTGGCGGGCCGTCTACTGCGCCCACGCCGCCAGTGACGGGCGTGCGAGGGCAGAGTCCGCCTCGGAAGCGGGTCCGAGGGCTGGACGAGACCCACCCTCGCGATGGGGCGCTGCTATCGCCTCTGCCGTCGCCGGAGCAAGAAGCGTCCAGCTCGTCCAAGGCGAAGCAGGCATCTGCTTCAAGCTCTCCCAAGCCAAAGCAGAAACCAAACGTCGGCAGCGGTAACGAGCTCGCCGCTCTCTTTTCCCTTCCTACCCTCGTCACGCAATTCGAGACACTCCCCGACAAGCTGCAACAGCACGTCATGATGCAATTCCTGCGTCGGTCTCGAATGCCGACTATCCAGCGGCTCACCTCGTTTGCCGCCATCGCGCTCAAGCGGGATTTCATCACGACGCTACCGCACGAGCTGGCGGTCCAGATTCTGCGGTGTGTCGATACCCAAACGCTAGCGCGGTCCACGCGGGTTAGCCAGAAATGGAAGCGGACGATCGATTCCGAGCGGGCGGTATGGAAGCAGCGGCTGGTGGATGATGGACTGTGGCAGGGGCTGGGGACGGAGGAGGAGGAAGAGGGCTTAATGAAGCAGCGGATGGAGGTGCTGCGGTGGCATGGCCGGATCATGCCCAAAGGGGGTACGCCGAGCGAGGAAGAGCTCATGGACATGCCATCTGCTGGTCCATACCCAACCTTTTCGACTTCGATGGAGCCAGAAATGGCCATCCCGCTCAAACACGTCTACCGGCGCCGGTACATGGCCGAGCAGAACTGGCTGAATCGGACGCCAACACATCGCTCGTTCCCGGGTCAAGGGATGAACGTGGTCACCTGTACCCAGTTCGACCGGGACAAGATCATCACGGCGTCAGACGACCACTCCATTAATATCTATGATATTCAACAGGGATCGCTCAAGCGCCGTCTGGACGGGCACGAGGGCGGGGTATGGGCGCTGGAGTATAGGGGAGATACCCTCGTGACAGGCAGCACGGATAGGACGGTCCGGGTATGGGATCTGGAGACGTACGAGGAGGTCCATACGTTCCATGGGCACAGCAGTACCGTTCGATGTCTCCAGATCGTCGAGCCGGTGCTGGATGAGGCAACGGGCGAGTACATGCCGCCATACCCCATGTTCGTGACGGGGAGTAGGGACTCGAGTCTGCGGGTCTGGAAGCTGCCAAAGAAGGGCGAGCCGCGGTGTAACACATACGTGAGTCTGCGAACCATGCGTGCTGGATTTGAGCTGAATTTGCAGAATGAAGATGGGATAGAGGAGATTCTCAAGCCAGAGGACAACCCTTTCCACCTGCACTTGCTGGCGGGTCACTCCCAAGCTGTCAGGGCGATCGCTACGTACGGCCGGCTATGCCTTTCGGGCTCATACGACTGCACCGTCCGAGTCTGGGATATCATCAAGGGTACTTGCTTGCATGTTCTCACTGGCCACGAGGCGCGAGGTGAGCTCTCCGTCCATTCAACTTGACCTGAGCTGATCTTCCAGTCTATAGTCTGGTTTACGATCGGTTCCGCAACCGCTGCGCCTCCGGGTCCATGGACAATACCGTGAAGGTATGGGACGTCGCAACCGGCGAATGCCTGCATACGCTATCCGGCCATACCGCCCTCGTCGGTCTCCTCGCGACATCGCCCAACTACCTCGTCTCGGCCGCGGCAGACGCCTCGCTCCGGATCTGGGATGCCAATACCGACTCCCTGAAGCACATCCTCGGGGCGCACGGCGGCGCCATCACCTGTTTCGCGCACGACGAGACCAAGGTCGTCTCGGGGTCGGAGGGGAGTATCAAGCTCTGGGACATCCGGACGGGGCAGTACATCCGGGAACTGGTCGTCGGGATCCAATCGGTCTGGCAGGTCGTCTTCAAGGACAATATCCTCGTCGCTGCGACGTCTCGGGCGGGAGCGACCGTCTTCGAGATCTTCGACTTTGGGGAGCTGGACGACTGTAGCGGGCTGGACGACGCGCGGCTGGACGGATACGCCAAGCCCGCGTGGGAGCGGGATGATCCTCGCGAGCCGCAGGCGTATCAATTTGACGATGATGTAGGGGAGATCATCCAGAATGGTACAGGCGGGATGGGGTACCCTTACATGGCCGGCGGGGGCGGATCGGCGGTACGATATCACGGCTCGCGGTTTCGGAACCCGAGCTTCGACCCGATACTAGCCACGCAGTCTGGGCGGATCGGTCCTGCGCGGCTAGGCGCATCTGGCGGCTCAGCTCGGGCAGACAGGGGCATTGCCGGCTTCCCAGAGGCAGTACTAGATCCGGCTGACGCTGCGCAGCTCGCGCAGAATCTGCGCTTTGCCAGTGATCTGGCAGTTCTGGATGCGAATGCCCAAGCGGGGCCGAGCGACCATCACCAGCATCAACCCGGGGACCGGCGATCGAGTCAGCTATCTCGGCAGTCGGACTCGCCTACTCCAGTTGGATCTTCGAATGGCGGTAGGGATATGCTCCGGAGTCTGCGCGGAAGCCGGTCGAGTGCGAGCGGAAGCGGAAGAGGTGATGTCATTGAGGACGATGATGAGGATGGCTGGCCCGAGGGAGTAGACGTCGAGCAGGACCTATACCGGCAGTACCTGGCCCCGAGCGACGGGATAGAGGAACCAGAGGGAGGCAACCCGCTAGATGCCTACCCGGAGGAAGACGATGAGGACGAGCAGATGGGAAAGGAGGACGGACTTGCCGAGCGCGCTGAGAGGTTCGAGAATGACCCAGAGCTAGAGGAGGAAGAGGAAGAGGTGGAACTGGAAGAGGAGAGGTCATCGCCTTTGCCGGGGCTAGGGGCCAGGGGCGGTGGATCGGGAGGACTGGGGAATGGCCAGATGTTTGGTTGGGATACAGGGGTGGATTAGGGGGCTGCAGGGCTGGAGGGAGCTGGCTTAGTGGGGACGGCACTGTACTGCAGGCTGAGCTTAATATGAAGGGAGCTCGAGGTGGCGATAGAGCAAGCTAAGGTCGGGAGACACTGTACCTTATAGAACGAGACCATCACTGTACGAATGACATCTCTTCTTGACATCAGTGGGCACTTTCTTTCCGTGTTCTTGCACGTCATAGCGCGCAACTTGCCAGTCCTCCGCATTATCCTGCCGGCATGACCTCCACCTTTGTTCTCCCCTCGGGCTCGGCGCTCGGCGCTCGGCCCCGGCCTGCCAGCGCCTTCCGCTCGTCTCCCACTGGCTTTTTCCATTCACTTCACCACTCGCTTGCTCACTACATGCTGTAGCAGGCATGGATAATACCCTAGCTAGCACGACAACCCCTCACGCCTTGGTCGACCAGCCATCACACCGCTCCTTCCCATCATCCCTCGAGTTGAAGACGCACATCGCCACCTGCCTTCACCTATCCAATACCCGCCTGATTGTCGCTGCCGACTCGCCCACCATCGATGTGTACGACCTCCACACTGGCCAGCTCCAGGGACAGCTGAACGGTCACGCAAGCGGCGTGTGGGCTCTGGCGTGCAAGGGAGATGTGCTCGTTACGGGGAGTACGGACGCGACTGTGCGGGTGTGGGACTTGAAGGAGATGAAGGAGATCTGTACGCTCCGGGGGCATACTCTGACTGTCCGGTGCTTGGGGATATCTCAAGCTCCGGGGAACGGAGGAGTCGGCGAGGGCGATTTGTTTGGGACTCTCATAGTCTCGGGGAGCAGGGATGGGGATGCCAGGGTATGGCAACTAACTGAAGCCGGCGCTGGGGTCGGGGGAGACAGTGTGAGTGTAGCACTTTGACATTCGAGAGCTTATCGCAGCTTTGACTGATCCTGCAGGTCAGTACGACCACGTCCGACATTGGTCAAGCGGACGTGAGGAGCCTATACGTGCTCAAGGGTCATACACGGGCCATACGAGCCATGGAGGTTGACGGGCGGATCTGCATTACGGGGTCCTACGACTCCACGATCCGAGTATGGGACATCGTCAAGGGTGAATGTGTACATCATCTGACAGGACACGAGAGTCGTAGTGAGTACCTAATAGTGCGGAAGTATGAGAAGTCGCCACTTGCGTTGCTAACTACCTAGTCTATAGCCTGGCATACGATCCGCAGCGGAAACACTGTGCCTCTGGCTCGATGGACAACACCGTCAAGATCTGGGATGTCAGGACAGGCGAATGCCTTCATACCTTACGCGGCCATACGAAGCTCGTCGGTCTACTAGAGATGTCCTCTGAGTACCTGGTTTCTGCTGGCGCGGACTCCGGGCTGCTGATCTGGGATACGAGTACGTATAAGCTCGGGCATACCCTCGACATGGGAGGCGCAGCCGTCACTTGTCTAGCGCAAGACGATGGGCGATTAGTCACCGGGACACAGGACGGAGTGTCGCTCTGGGATCTGAAGACGGGGAAGACGATACACGTAGCAGGTCTGACGGAGGTGCAGGGGGTGCAATCAGCGTGGCAGGTCACCTTGAACGGGGAGGTGTTGGTGGCGGCAGTTTCAAGGGGTGGGGAACTTGTCTTTGAAGTGTTGAATCTGCACAGCGAATGGTGGGCGGGAGGTGTATGAGCCTGTCTCTAGGTTAGCGCAATTCCCCTCATGAGGGGGCGGCTTGAGCTATGCCAGAAGCAATGCAGTAGATGTGCGTCTGTCTTCCGGCTCAATTCAAAACCAGGCGCCCAGGCACGCATCCCTGGTTGAGCTTAGGGTAGGGAGGGTGCGTCGCATCGCGTCAGGGGTTGCCACATCCCTCATGCACCGCGCAGGGCTGCTGGACTGCTGCCTCTCTGATCAGTACTCTAACATTAAGCTATTGGGGAATGTATCCACAGTGCACACATCCCAGAGGAAGGGTGAAAGAGTGTTGATGACCCCTTTTGTAACTAAAAACTGTACTACGATTCCCGTCACTATATGGTCATCTTCTTTGCAGGCAAAATCAAGTATTATAATCGATGCATGTCTACCTTTCTATTCCCAAGATGATTACCAAGTACTTTTACGCTCAACCCCAATTATAATCCCCATGTACCACAACCAAGTGACCCGAGACCGTCACCGATCGCAAAGGATTTGCGGTCATCACGCGACGTTGCGACCCCCTACTTCCCATACAGGATGCTCCTGAGCGGCTCCTCGAAGGTCTCCCGGGGGTCCGCGCCAGTACCCAAGGCAAGCATGAGCTGGATGCGGGACTTTTGGTTGTTGACCAACCCGGACGAGATGGTGGCGTTGCCGGTGGGTACTCGCTCGCTGGGCGCAATCATGCCGACGTTGATACGGACGTGGCGGACGACTGGGATACGGCCGGCAACTCGGGCGATGGCGGCATCGGCGCCGACACCGCCGTTGGGGGAAGCGATGACCAGACCCTTGACGTCGCCGAAGGCAAGAGCGGCCTCGAGCAGGCGGCCATCGAACTCTTGCTGACCGTAGACGATGTCCACGCGAGGGAGGGAGGTGAGGTTGTTGACGTTGAAGGTCTTTTTGACTGAATGATCAGTGCTGACACACATCTATGGAAGCGGAGCTAGCTCACAGGTGGGGGTAGCAGGGCTGTTGTAGTAGAACAGCTCGTTGTTGAAGAAGCCACCAAGGTATCCAGGCTCGGGCGCCTTGAAGGTGTCGAGATAGTTGACTGTGACGTCAGCTCGTACAGTGATCTGGTCAAGACGCTAAGGCTCACCGTGGGTCTTCTGGGTGTACCAAGCGCTGCCGACACGATCGTTCATGGTAATGAGCGCCCCTCTATCCTTTGACAGAGGCGAGGCCGCAGCGGTGACGGCCTGGAGGAGGTTGGCGGGTCCGTCCGCAGAGTAGGCGGTAGCGGGTCGCATAGCACCGACGATGACAACGGGCTTGCCGCAGTTCACAGTGAGGTCGACTGAGATGTCAGCTGAGTCTCGGGATGTTAGATGGCATGACATGATACGCACGGAAGAAGGCGGTCTCCTCGAGAGTATCTGAAGATCAGCGATACCCCAGAGTGGGAGAGGGAAAGACGTACCAGTACCGTGCGTGACGACCACACCGTCCGTGACGGAGCCGGGGGCGCACAGGATCGCATTCGCAGCCTTTGCGATGGCGAGCTGGATCGTCGAGTTCTTCGATATCAGCCTGAGGCATCTTGGAATAGTGGAAAGCGACTCACGATCGAAGGGGAACCGACATTGGCGATCTGATACCCGTAGATGTTGGAGATGTTCAGCATATCCGGTACCGCTGAAAGGTAAGCACCATCCTGGCATAGCAGCTGAGACTCACCTTGAATCAAAGCTTCGACACCAATGGCACCTGCAGAGTAGACTCCCGAGCTGGCAGCACCCGCACCCGATCCGGCGATGGTCCCTCCAGTCGCCATGATGACAACATTAGGGAGAGAGCTGTAACATCAGCTCCCTCTTTGTGCACTGAGAAAGCGAGGAGAAGCTCACCTGTTGTACTTGGACGAGTAGGTCAAGTTGAGACCAGAAGGCGAGACGAAGGGAGAGACATTGTTCCGCTCCCGGACGACATTGACCTTGGCGGGAGAGGCGGCGGCCAAGGTAGAGAGGACGGCAAAGAGGGCCACGGAAAGCATGGTGGTTTTGTGATGTGCGTGAGAGAGGAGAGAGGGGAGTGGTTTTGGAGGATGAGCCGTTCCGCCGACCAGCTATATATCCCTTCGCTCACCTCATCCACTCAACTTTCCTTATCTCTTCGGTGGAAAAGATTAAGCGGGCGCCGAGCGGAGAGGCCTTCGGGGAGCTCGTTCGGGGCGGATCGAGGGCCAGCTTGGCCGTTCCCTCCCACTCGTCCTCGACCCATTCTTCTACTTTCGGAAGACCCAGAGACGGGCCGGGTATATTGATATCGGAGAGGGTTGCCGAAGGCTCCATAAGAGGTCGAGCTTCCAATGAGAAGGGTTAGATCGATATCGGTGCACATGGCCTAGTCTTGGCATTCCTTATCGGCCTTATCGGCTTATCGATGCCGTTACCTACCCCTGACTGAGCGACACTTTGTGTTGAGCTGCAGCCATCAACCATCCGGACGAGCTGAGCAGCACGGACGGGGAAGACGCTCGCTGAGCACGCATGTAGCCGCCAGACAGCCTTGACATGCATCCGCTCAAATTAGCACCCTTCATATCCAAGCTATTATCCTCCGCGCCCAACGGACGATGCCCTCCCCCGGTCACTTATTCCGAAAGATGGAGGCCGCATCGAGATCGACTTCCGCCTAAGACATTGTCCATCTCCATGCTCTAGTCCTGAATCTGAACCTTGATAGCACCCTTGGTCGGGTCTGCGGCAATGTGGAACGCATCGACCGCTTGCTCGAGTGGGAAACGGTGTGTAACCAGGGGTTTGAGGTTGATGAGGCCGCCAGAAACGAGCCGAAGGGCTTTGGGGTACTGCTGATCAGCCGATATCTTCCATGCGACCGCAATGACTCACTTGGTTGGCATAGCGGTATTGAAACTGGAGATCAATCTCGTTGGCCGAGAGGTATCCAAAGGGGAACTGAAAGTCAGCCCGAACGTAGTGCACAGCGACTGGGACTCACCTTCTGCTCGGATGGCCCGACACCAATGACGAAGACCTTTCCGCCGAACACAACAGACTGAGTCTGTCAGCGATCATAACACACGCCCAGCTGGTGACCCCAACTCACGTAGATTGCAGCCCTGATGCTCGACTCGAAACCTGTACAGTCCATCGCCACCCTGACCTTTCCGCTAGACTCTTCCAGACCCGCCGCCAGTCCCTGCGCTGTAATCGCCGCGCTGGTCTCCAGCTCGTTCCATCCTCTTTGGATCTGAACGGTTTTGACGGTGGGAACGAGCGTCTGAGCGAAGGAGAGGCGAGACGCGATAAGGTCGGTAATGATGATGGGATAGCAACCAGCTGCATGTGCGGCTAGGAGAGTAACGAGACCGATGGGACCAGCACCACTGAGCCGTCAGCTCAGGAGCGGGAGCCAAAGCTTGTCTCAGATAAAACGTGAGACCTACCAGATGACGATGGGATCACCAAGCCTGATGTCTGCCCGTTCCAGTCCGGCGAGAGCCACCGCCAATGGTTCGCACAGTGATCCCTCTTCATACGAGACGTTGTCGGGTAAGCGGTGGAGCCATTGAGCCGGATGGGCGTGGAAGCGAGTCAGAGTCCCGTGGTAGGGCGGAGTGGAGAAGAAGACGACGTTCGGGCCTGCTTGTCAGCTTACGTCTGATACCGCACAGAATCGACTCACAGGCATTGTATCGTCCAGTCCTACATGGTCCACAGTCCGCTCGGGAACATGGTACTCCAGCCTCGATAGCGACTCGGTCCCCAACAGCCCATTTGGTTACGCCTGCACCGAGCGCAACGACCTCTCCCGCAGACTCGTGTCCCGCTCCACACTCGTCTGTGACGATCATGGTGGGACCAATATGGCCGTGCTTCCAGAAGTGTACGTCGGACCTGAGGATCAGTATGAGAACGCACACTTCACATCAGTACTCACCCGCATATCCCCGTCGATCTGACGTGCACCAGCACCTCGCCCTCACCCACCACCGGCATGGGCTTGACAATCATGTTAACCTCATGCTTGGGGTTATAAGCACAGGCCAAGTTGGCCTCTTTGTCCTTGATCTTGGGATCCGACGCGTCGAGCAAACGAAACTCGGGGTGGGAGATGACCGCCTTGGGGTCATAGTGAGATTCAAAGTGGGTGAGAGGTACGGCGGGTGAAGTAGCGATGGGCATCTTGCGGGAAGTCGGGAACGGTAGACGATGGAGGTGAGGAGTGCCAGTGCTCTTTGATGGTTGCCATTCTATTATGCATTTTGGCTAAGGTGATATAAAGGTCCTCCTCGAGCGTAAGAAGCAGTCAAAAAACGTCCGCCGGACGTCCGGCTCAGTCACGTGTTCCGGTAAAACGGCCCGGTCGCGGAGCCCCCGAGGGAAGCCGCGAGGCGCATGAATGGACTGTAACCCTCAACACGATGTGCGGCAGCTATGTGTCCCCGAGCCTACCGTACGACCGTGCTGATCCGTTGCAGTAGTACTGTAGCGGATGTTTAGGCGCAGCTATGTCTGCGGAGATTTACCATAGTCTAGTGCTAAAATCTCGTGTCGACCTGACCCGTGCAGTCCGTGTTCTTTGGGTTTTCGCAGATGGTATTCTCTGGGATCTCAAGTGGATCAATTTCCTGGGCATTGCTCATGCCCGCTTGCTAATGCTGAGCTGATATCGCCGTAAGCCTAGCCGCGTCCAGCCACACTGGCCTGACAGCTAGAGCTACGGCTTCATGACGCACGGGCCTGGTTTCAGAATGATTACGAGAACGGGAAGAGGGATCTGGGCAAATGCCGTAAGACGATCCCCATCCTCAGAATGACGACTCTTCCAAGCTTCAAAGCGGTGTGAGAAGGTAGCTCCGATGGAGGGCTGATCAGACTGACTGCGAGGCCCGAACCCTAGAATCCAGAAGCCAGAAGCTTCGCTCCCTCTGCGCCTTGCCCACCTTGGCGCCCTAATGCCGGAGTCTTTGCGAGAGAGGGACAGGGACGAAGGGGCCTTGGAGGCAGACGCAGGCGTCAGAGGAGGACCGTCATGACATCGGCCTCCGATCCCGGGATGCCCTAAGGCAGTATATAGTCGCAAGCTCTTTCCCTTCCTTGCTTCAACCATCCATCTACCTCCTCGAAGCGCTCGTCTAATAGATCACTTAAAATGCGTTTCTCATCTGCCCTCGCTCTTGTTGCCGGCGCTGCCACCGCTGCCGCCCAAGTCGCTCTCCCTTCGTCGATCTTCGGCTTGCCGTGAGTCTAAAGCACATGACACACACGAGCGGGAAGGCTGACAGCTCAGCTTTGGTGCTCAGTGCCAGGGAGCTGTCCTCCAGACCTTGACCAACGGATCTTTCGCTCAGTGCTTCCCCACTGCCGATCTCCTGCCTCGTACGTCTGACCTCTTGGGATCAAACCCAAGCTGACCCGCAGTGCTTACCACCAACGGCTCGATCATTCCTATCCTTGACAAATTCATGACCGATCTTTGCTACAAGTCGCCATGCTCCAACGCGACCCTCATGGCTGCTGCTCAGGCCATTACCACTGGCTGCGCTGCGGACCTCCAGACCGCCAAGCTCCCCAACACCACTGTTGCCGCTGCTTTCGGTATCTACCCCGTCCTTCGTGAAGTCCTGTGCTTGAAGACGTGAGTAATTCCAACATAGATGGAGATGGAGGGCTGATAGACAGTTCCTCGCCTTACACCGCTCAATCGTACGGCGGTATCCTCGGTCCCGCACCCATCCCCATCTCTGCCGCCTACAATCAGACCAACGGCACCTTCTGCGTGTCGTCCGTCCTGACCCAGTACTCGGCGTACCTCGGTGCCAACCTCACCATCCCCTACATTGTTGGCGCGGCCACCGGAGCCAACTCTACCGCCGCTTTCCTCGTCAAGCAGACCAACCCCAACGCCCTTTGCAACGAGTGCATCTTCGGCGCTGTTGGTGTGATTGAGGCTGCTGCCCCTATCGTCGGCCGTATCCCCATCTCCTCTGTCCTCGCCTACGTCAACATGACCTACCCCGGGGACAAGAGCGCCACGCTCAACACGATCCTCAACAGCACCTGCGCTTACAAGCCCCTCGCCGTCAACACTAGTAAGTGCACTCTAATCGGATCTGGACATCCAGCTGATTGTCCAGCTGTCCTCCCCCAGAACGTGACTGTGTCGATCGTCAACTCGACCTTCACACCCCGTCTCCGCCCCGCCACCTCGGCTTAAGCGATCTAGATGTGGACTGAACATAGACTTCTGGGGACGTTTGTAGCTCTTTGCTCCCTGTTATAATCTCATTTGCTTTATAGTATAGGCATGTACACGCCATGATCAAGGACACCCCACCCAAAAGAGGACACGGTTGAGCTCGTAGATGAAGCCCTTCATGACGACGTCATCGTGCCGAAACCTGAAACCGAAACACGCGCGCCTGGCTGAGAAACGGACTGACCTCTGATCACCAGTCTGTCAACAGTCTACGTTTATATCGACTGCTTCAGCTATTAGACCTTAGCAGCCCGTCGTGGGCGATAGCCCGACATGCCTGCGTTCTCATCGACCAATGGATCGATCAGCAGCATGTGGGCGGGACTATACGAGTCCCTCAATTGGTTCAGAATACACCTCCTCGCGTTTACCTTCCTCCCCCTCATGTCAGTACAAGTCCCTTACACAAGCGTATAGGCTGGTCCCCGAGCTGACATTTTCAGCTTCTCTGGCTTCTTTGCAGCTGCCAACCCCGGTGCAGGACCTATCGCCAGCTATGGTGCCTTTGTCACGCAATACATCGACAACCTGTTCATGTGCTTCTCGGCCATGACGGGGAGTGGGGTGTCGACGATCAGTCCGAGCCAGCTACAGACTGCCCAGCAGGCATTCCTACTAGTCTTGATCATCCTGGGAGATATTGTGAGTGGTTAATCGGGGTTTGAAGGGCGCGCCTGATCATTACAGACTGTTGTGAGCCTCATCACGCTCGGATGTAGGCTGTAAGTCCAATTCTGTGGGATCATCATCAGATTGAGCTGATCAGCTGATCACGCAGAGTGTGGTGGCATCGCCAGTGCGGCCGAATCGTTCGCTCTACCCTGGTTGACGACCTCTACAAGCGGCATGGCGCCTCGCTCGATACCCAGCTGGAGAATGGCCGCGCAGACGAGCCTGGAACCGACTCCAGAGATGATGATGGGGATCAGGGCGACTCTCAGGATGGTGGACGACATCGCAACAAGGATAGCGGGAACCAGAGGGAGGTCCGAGCCCGCCGCAATCAGCCCAAGTCGGACGACTCCAAGCGAGGCCGCGCGGTAGTCCCGCACGCGTCCTCTGGTCAGAAGCGGCACTCTGGTCGAGGCGGCTTTCCGGGCGTCTACGAAGTCGCACCCAACGTCCTGCGCCTCATCTCCCCCAGCTCGCACTCCTACCTATCCGATCTGCTTCGGCAAAACGACAATCCATCCAGGACTCCTCGCGAAGCTATCGGGGATGCCATCAAGAAGCCATTCAAGGATCGAGAGGAAAAGAGCGAGAGGCGACACGCACTGGCGGCCGCTTGGCTACCGAAAGGCGTCAGGCGGGTGGTGACAAATGATCGTTCAGAGTTCTTCGAGGAGGAGCTCAATGAAGAGGATTTAGAGGTGTTGGGTGTGCTGGAGTACCGGGCCACCAAATTGATGATGGTCATTCTTTTCGCGGTGAGCTGCTTAGTGTCTCTACCTCGATTGATGAAGCGCTAATGATGCAGCATCTGGTCTTTTGGATCATGATGCCGTCGTCTGTCATTGCCATCTACTTTGCTCGTGTTCACTACTGGGACGCAAGCTTTGTCGCGAATGGTGCAACGCAGATTGGCAATGTTCACACTACGTGGTTCGCGTTCTTCCAGGGCGTCTGTAAGTCCCTTCAGGTAAGATCGAGTCGATCTCAACTCACGCTCCAGCCGCATACGCTAGCTGTGGACTATCGTGAGTACAATCCCTCTCTTTAGAGCTGTTCAGTGGCTTACCTTTCAGCCTAGTAGACGAATTGATGTTGCCCTTTCAGAACTGCTACCTCCTCATTTGGGTCCTCTTCTTCCCCATGTTGGCGGGAAATCAGGTACTCCCCATCTTTCTTCGATTCGAGGTCTGGATCCTGTCCAAGATCTTCCGAGACGGCAGCGAGACTTCGGTCCTACTCCACTTCATTCTGACTCACGGCCGACGGTGAGCCTCAATCTGTGCTTTTGATTCGCTTCACTGATCTTACAGCATGTTCTTGTATCTGTTCCCAGCATATCAAAGCTGGTGGCTCCTGTTCATCGAGTTCTTCTTGTGGTGAGAGTATACCTCTTTGCGATAAGAGTCCGCGGACTGACGTCCAGGGCGTTGGGCACAGTGCTCTTCATAGCCTTCAATCAGGGCTTGGGATACTACGATACGCTCGGTGCGCCCTTTGAGCGATTCTCGGTCGCGCTCTTTCAATCCCTCTGCGCCCGCGCAACGGGATTTGACATTGTACAATTGGCCTATCTCGCTCCTGCTACTCCGTGGGTGTAATCCATGTTTCAGCATATCATCATAGCTGACTAGCATAGCTTCCTGTACACAGTAAGTCTGGACGATCGACCTGTAGCGAAAAGCTGACATGGCAGATGATCATCTTTACGAGCAACTACCCCGTCGTCATGGGCATCCGCTCGACCAATGTTTACGAAGAACGAGGTGAATCAGCAGCTTTATCTGCACTTGACTATCGGCTGATCCTCAGCACTTGGTCTGAACGCCGACCACGCTCCGGGCCAGCACAACGAGAAATCCGAGCGAGACCACGGAAAGGGTCACATCTACTCGAAATACCTCAAACAGCACCTCCTCCCGCAGATCTACTTTGATCTGTGGCCAGTCTTTGTCGGAACGCTGCTCATCTTGATCATTGAGCGGACGAACCTCGTGGATCCGAATAACTCGGGATGGATCGGAGTGTTTCAGATACTGTTTGAGGTGACGAGCGCGTATGCGAACGTAGGGTTGAGCTATTCGAACCCGTATGTCCATCACCTTGTTCGGCAGGAAGGAGGGAGCTGATGCTTCCAGGTTCAACAAGTCCAGTCTTACTGCGACATTCCGCAATCTGAGCAAGTTCATTGTTAGTATCCGCTTCCCATTACGCTCCGCAGATCCAGCTGACAAGACCAGGTGATTCTCTTGATGCTGCGCGGTCGACATCGTGGACTGCCGCTGGCGATAGATAGAGCGACGATGTACCCAGTGGAGTATGAGCGGTTGAGCCCTGGTCAGCGGGAGCATGTAGAGGAAGATAGAATACAAGAAGCAGGCGAGGAAGCAGAAGATGAGTGAGCGAGCATTGTAGCATCTAGTTATTTTGGGATAAATGGACAACATGCTTGATATCTAGTCCCTGAGCTCGACAACAGCTATGCTTCCCCAAATATCTATGGCTATCAGCTGCGTACACTATCGTCTGAGCATCTCCGAAACTCACTTCTACCAAAGCCGCCTTTGCCTGCGGCTTGCTCCCCAGGAACGTCTTCAGGCCGCCCCTGAGCGCCGGCTGCTTCTCCACCACATCCTTCAACCACTCTTTCGGCAGCTGCAGCAGCGCACCAAAGCTATGCGGCGCCAGTAATCTCGCCACCTTGACGAAACCGTCCCATAGCTGAGGGTTTGTCCATATCTTCTTGGACACCAGCTTGGGTAGCACCGTATTCGCCACAAAGGGCACGAGCGACTTGTACGTGCTGACCGCCTGGATGACCGTGCGCATGAATACGAGCGGGAGGGTGGGGAGGTCGGCGATGCGTGTGAGGGCGGAAGCGAGGACGTCGGACCGGAAGACGGCGGTCATGGAGAAACAGATTCCGATGGCCTCGATGGTAGATTTGATATTGGATGGCGCCGGGGTTGGAGCGGAGGGATCATCGGAAGGCGGTGGTACTTCGCCAGAATGCAGGATGACGAGCAGGTCCGCCGGAGTGAGCTTCTGCAGCACACTGGCGAAAGCTGTCCGAACGAGGTCGCGCGAGTCAGGCGAGGCCAGTAGCGAGACAATCCGAGGTATCTGCTTTTCGATCTCCGTCTGATTGTCAGTGCTGTCCGCGCACTGTAAGATACCAGACCCACCCTTTCCAGTGTCCCGATAATCGGAATGATGAACCTCGGATCCAGCTCCCGCTCACTCATCAACGCCTTGACCAGCTCCCTGACCACCGTAGTCGCCCCTTCGGCCGAAAGCACCGTCATTGTCCGAAGAACCAGCTTGTCCGCGCCTGGTGGGAAGTCTCGGAGGATCGACTGGAGCTTGTCGGTCGCGCCAAGGCTCTGGAAGAGTGGGCTTAGCATCTGCTCCACTGTGTCCTGAATGTCGGGCGCGAGGAGGGGGTACAGCCGGAAGATCTCGTCGAGGAGGTCCTGATGCCGCCGGGACAGGGCGAATGCGAGCTCGACGTGTTGTTGGACATTGTCCACCGTGACCGGGGAGGAGGGGATGTATTTGGATTCGGGTGATGGCTCGACATTCACCTTCTCCTCTTTCGCCTCGTCAACCTCCATCTTGACATCCTCCTTCTCCGGCTTCGCCAGCTTCAGCCGCATCAAGACGTCCAGCGCAAACTTGACGATCGTGTCCGACATAGCCGAGCCCGGCACCCATCGCCGCACCGTGCTGATCGCCAGGACCCGAATCTTTCTATCGGGATATGTACACAGCTGGAGCAGTGTCCGAAGTGCATATTGCCGGACGGGAGGGCGGGCCTCGATGAGGTCCCGCAAAGCGAGGAAGCCAACGATGGACCGCTCAGAGTCTTCGCACAGCTTTTCGAGCTTGTCGACGACGGAAGTGGGTATTTCAGGGAGGGAGGTGAGGAAGGCGGATAGGGATTTGTCTTTGCCGTCGATTTTGGGGAGATAGGCGGTGAGGATGGCGTCGAGGTGGGAGGTATAGCGGGTAGGGGGTTCGCGAGCAAGTTTCTGGGCGTACCATTCCTCATTCAGCCATATGCCGGCGAATTTGGATCTATCTGATCAGCCCGAGAGACCCTTCGATGTGCTCGCGAAGCTTACCGAGCTGCAAAGTCCGCAGTGACAAAGTCCCCTATAGCCTTCCTGCCTACCTCGCCCCGCGTCGCCAACCTCGCCAATAATAACATCCACATCTCCTTTGGCTGCACGACCGGTCGTATCCCGTCCGACAAGGTCAGGTCGTCCGGTAGATCCGCTAATGCAGCTCCGTTCGCCCATATCCTCTCCATCAGGCTAGTGAGAACGTCGTCCTTTTCTGCAGTATCGAGCGGTTCTGGAGGAGGTAATGTGAAGTCGGCAAATGTGATGGCTTCATCTAATGCTTCTTCGTCTGCAGCCTACACGATCAGCCAGGACCCAGAGCGCCAGCAGCAGGAAAGACACACCATCAGGTCATCATCGTCGTCGTCATCCATATCCAGCGGGTTCAATACCTCGTCTTCTTCTTCCTCCTTGACACCTTTTATTCCTAAGACTTGCGCGAGTAGAGGTATAGCATCTGCATTTCCCTCCACGAGGTTCCGCTTTGCGGTCTGGCTCTTCAGCTTTTGTTCATTGACCCAATATTCCCTGACTTACCTCGAATGCTTCCCGCATCAACTCGGCATCGACTACCGCAAGTCCCGCCATCACCACATCGATGACACTTTCCAGCGGGAACGTCGATACGTCCGCCTCTGGCCCCTTGCCCTTCCCAGATCCCTGCGAGACGAGGGGACCATCGAATCTCGCCCGCTTGGCTCCCTGGGCGCTTGACTCTGCTTCCAAGGGGTGCTTGTCCATCCCGCCGTCGCCAAATCCCGACCTGGAATCCTGCTTCCGCCGCTTGGCTTCTTGTTCAGCAGCCCATGCGGTTTCGAGTCGTAGCTTTTGACGGAAGAGCGCGTCGTTCAGCTGAGCACTGAACTGGCTGAGGGGTCCATATCTGGAAGTCAGTCTAAAACCTCACCCTCTAAGTTGTTCTGTTGACGCGAACTCACTTCAAGAGATGAGCCATCGCCATCCGCAGAGTCTTCTCCACAGCTCGGACGACCATAGCCGGTCGACCCCTTGCTTCGATGGCCGCTGGAGTCCAGCTAGTCAATGAAGTGATGAGCGCTGGAGCCAGTACAGGTCGCGACTTGCAGAGCAGAGGGATCGTCTGGATGATGGGGTGGAGGAGTGCGGGGTCGCTGGGGAAATCAGCTCTGATACCCTGGACAACGAGTGAAGCGGCGATGAGCTCACCTCAAAGTGAAGAGTTGCGATACAAGCTGATTCCTGAGCTGTATAGCTTCTTCTTCGAGCTCTGGAGCAGAGAGCATCGATTCGCGCGATATGATACCGATATTTGGGTCGCTGCCGGTCTGCTTTTGTAGCTGGGGCGTCAGCTCTGTGCGACTTACGAACACCGGATGTAAAGCGTACTCTTGGATCTGCTGCTGCTGCTCTTGTCCCCGCTAGTAGCACCTTTTGCACAAACTTCCAAGCCACAGCCTTGACGCCCGAGTTCTGCGGTTGTGCAGCGGGGTCGAGAACGAGGGAGATGATTCGTGTTTTGGAGGATATAAAGAGGTCGTGGATCTGTTGAGGGGGTCGAGATGTTGCGCTGAAGGTAAGCTCGAGATCTCACAGCACGTGTGCGGTATCTGGGTCGCCTCGGACGCTACTCACAGAAGCTTGAAGAGGATAGGGTGTATAGTCGCAAAAATCGGTATGACTGCTTTGATTGTAGATACCGAGTTGCTATGAAGCAGCTTGTTTAGAGCTTCCAGGGACGACTGGGCCACTTTCATGTCAGCTCCCATCCCAGGTCCAGGTGTCCACACTGATAGCAAAACTCACCCTTGACCTTGACCTCCCCAGTCAAACCGCCCCGTCCCACCGCCAATCCCACCATCTCCAGCGTCCACGCGCGCAGCAGTCCCTCCTCCCCACCGTCCACCACCATCGGCAACAACTGCGCGCATACCTCCGGCAATGCCTCGGGATGCTCCTCAAACCTCTGCCCGGCCTGCACAAGCGCCGCAGCCTGGGCGGCCGACTCTCCGGGTAGAGTGATAGCTGCTGCAAAGGCCTGCAGGGGGTCCGCTGCCGCTGCGGGCGTCGTTGAGACTGCGGGCGCGGCATCCAGAGACGAAACAGTGATGTCCTCATCCGCGTAGAGGGACATAGTGACCCTCCTGGTGCCCTGTAGCTGTATAGTATCGTGAAGGTATGGAATGTCAACCTTTGGCAGCTTGTCTGGCAGAGATGGAGATGAGTTTACGGCATCCTGCGGTCACCAGCCAAAATAGGTTCCGTCACTTCATCCAGCTCAAGCTCGAGCTCAGCCAACTCCTCCATTCATACCCTATACGCTATAGCTACTACACCAATCATCAACATGGTGAGCTGATCACGCTGTAGAGAGTAGGGAAGTCACTAATTTTCAGGCCGCAAATTCTCAGGGAATCCAAACATTGCTCGAGGCCGAGAAGGAGGCCGCTATGGTCGTCCAGAAGGCGAGGCAATGTAAGTTGACACCCTGTTCTTCCTGGCATGGGCAACCCCATCTATCAGAACGGCATCCCGCCTGGAGTCCAGCTGTACTAGACCCTTCCATCTCAGTCGGGCGATGCTAACCTCCCAGACCGAGTCCAGAAGCTCAAGGACGCAAGGAGCGAAGCTGCAAAGGAGATTGAGGAGTATCGGGCGAAGAAGGACAAGGAGTTCAAGAAGTTCGAGAGCGAAGTAAGTCTTCCTTTGGTGGCTAAGAAACGGCCCGGGAAGAGCCTGCGCATATGGCTGTGCATCCTCAGCGTCGATGGATAGTAGATATAGGCCTAAAGAGCGCACTGTCGATGGCCTACCTGGACTCAGCTGACATCACAGCACACATCCCAGACCACCACATCGCAAAGCACAATCGACTCAGAGACCGACGGTCAGCTCAAAGACCTTGATGCGGCCGTAAAGAGCAACCAGGGCGGCGTGGTCAAGACTATCGTCGAGCGGGTACTCAAATGCGAGCCGGAGCTGCATCGGAACCTGAGCAAAGTCGGGGCTTAGGGGTGATGCCTTGGACGGTACCGGCGATGAGGAGGTCTGGAGCATAGATGTATTGTATACGAGTCTGTCTGCTGACGGACGTCTGGGCGAGCTGTAGGGCCTCAACTGACAGGAAAGGCGGATGCTGACGACTGACCAAACTTCAAGCTCGTGGACTGGCATCAATACATACAGTGACGAGAATACAACCTAGCAACGAGTATATACGGCCGTCGGCCCTGATCCATGTACAACACACCGCTCTATCTACAGAGTCACCGTACAGCTCAACTCTCATCTCGGACAACGCCTATGACGCCTCTCCCGGTTCCCATCTCTTCCAGCAACTTCATGCCTTCACTGTTCCTCCCTTGACATCCTCATCCTCACTCACCCGCCTCATGCGGAGTCATCGGCGATACCCTCCAGTACTTCCTCGGTGGCGCGACCTCAGCCGATCCGCCTCCCGTGTTGCGCGGCCGATGATAATCGACCTGATCAGTTGAGACCAAGTGCCATCTCGGGGGCAGGAACGGTCGATGCGACGGTAAAGGTTCCGTTGTGAGAAGCGGCGTAGACGCAAGGAAGGGAGAGTCCGGGTCATCCAGCCCGCCCTGAACAGGAAAAGCGGGCGTGGGATCTTGATCGCTACGATACTCCCCGACGCTAGTGTGTGGTCGAAGGGCAGCGCTAGTAGGGCTTGTTTCGATGTACGTGGCGAACGGGGAAGAACTGAGATAGGGAGAAGGGAGAAGGCCGTAGGCAGGGATGGTCGAGCCCGCGCCGTTCCCGCGAGAAGTGAAGGAGTGGGGAATGGCGCGATATCGGAATGGAGAATTGAGGACCTCGGGGGTCCATTCCTTCTGGACAGATGGCTCGGGGTATGAGATACGCCGAGACGGGATGTAGGGGTTGAAAGTGGGACCAGCACGGTAAGGGGACTTTCCGCTGTGCCTCCGAGTTGGGCTGGGCTGCTGGCTGGAGGAGGGGGTCGCGAGTGCGGTGGTCGCTGTGGACATGGACGCCAGGCTCGATGCGACGGGGGCAGGCCCGGGATAGGGTGGTGTGAAGTAGGGTGATGGAGGTGTCTGGCCGATGTGTGCCGGTTCTAGACCAGTGCTTGAGTCGGCGCTGACCGCCGCCTGCTCGGTATGATCTCCGTGAGACTTTCTCATCAGCTCAGTTCTTGATCAGTCATATTGCACTCACTCGCAGGTGGCGCTTCATGTTTGAGCTGACCGAGAAACGCCTCCCACATCCAGCCTGTGGGCAAGCATGTGCTAGACCCGATCAGCTCTGACGTCGCAAGTATCGCGTGATCAGGCCGACTTACGCCTTGTACCTGTATGTACTGACATGTGCGCGGTCAGAGCAGAAGGGCGGGAGAACATCTTATCGCAAACGCAGCTGAGAAGTCAGTGCAAGTGACCGGTACCGGTCTGGACGCGGTGACTTACCATCTGTGTCGCTTCAGATCGTGCCGTCCTGCCGTAGACCTTGAGACTGCTATCGGTGTCTCGTTCGCCTCCGGTTGTCTCGCCCAGTCCTCAGCGGCATCCGAGGGGCCCGCACGCTGAGCTCCCTGTACCTCTCTATCCTCCCTTCCTTGCTTCATCCCTCTTGCCCAGCCACTCCCTTCCTCATTATTCTCTGCAGTCCGCCCGCGATCCATTGTTGTCTCACGATCCGCTCTGTCGTCTTGTAAGGAGGGTCCTCGAGCTAGGAGGTGAGTCCGATAGGTCAGCGTGGGTGGATACTGCGGAAGTATGGCTCGTCCATTCGGGCTGATGCTGGGTGGCGAGGCGGCCGGCATTGGGTTCAGCAAGGTCGAATCGGTGCCTGGAGGAGACGAAGCTTGCTGTTTCGGCATATGGCGCTTGATATTGGATTAGGGGCGGGTTCTGCGGTGTCAAGCTATACCAGCCCCATATACCCAAGACTTATGAGGTAACCTCTATGGGATGGGTTCGAGGCGTAAATGTTGTGACTGTGCAACGGGTGGCGCATGTCAGAGGCGTTATCGCTAAACTGTAAGTCGAAGCTCTGCGCGCAGAAGAAAAGAAGAGTATGAGCTGTAAGAAGTCAAAGAAGGTCGAAATCAGCGATAGTTTACGTCTCCGTCCTCATGAGGATGAGGCGTTAAGGGGTGAGGGGTATCAAAGGGACCCCTTGATTCCCATCATCACCAAGTGAGAAGACTGGGGATCTGCAATTAGGCTGAACCTAAGCAAGGGATCTGAATGAGCTGTGTGTGGGTCTTCGATGTGTGATGATCGCTAGTCTACGAGTCTTCTTTCCCTACGCGGTCAGCTCGTGAGTGCGCCTCCCCTCTACGATCAGCTAAACCTCATCCACAGCGCGCGCACACATGCATAGCGCCGATATCAGCGAGTCAGTGAACGCCTGACAGGAAGCATGGAGCTGGATGTACAACCTCGGATGTAAGCTTGTCTGGCTTATCGCGCCGCTGCAGAATGGATATACTGCTGCTTCGTAAAGCCGCTGCCGCAGGCACCCGAGATCGCCCTTGGCTTTCGGGATTGTCCGGCATTGCGCACCCCTCCGTTGTGCGCCGACGACGCGAGTCACCGAGGCTGCCCACGTGCGACTCAGTGGGGAGGGAGGGTGGCAATACTGGGACGGCTCAGATCGGTCATCCGCTGTCAGGCTTTGCAGTGGTCTGTCGTGTTACTGATCGTGCTATCTTGCCCACTCGACAGCCCCCACTCTACCCCTTCGCCACGAAAGCGGGGCCAAGTGAAACCTCTTCTGCCGAAAGCTTGAATTCAGGGGTCGGCTTTACGATTACACCCGAACCCGAGGCGTCATCGGAGTATCTTCGGCGAGATTATCAAGCCAAGATCTTCGCTCCGCTTCCCTTTGCTTACTGCCGCTTTTTGTTCTTCTGCGCCTCCCGTAGCACTTCGGGAAGGGCAGAAAGCCAGGGTGGGCCAAGGACCTGTTGAAGAGTTGAGGTGGTATGACGCGGCCGCAAATATAGGCTGATCGAGTACCTGAGAACGAAGAGGGAGGACGATGGTGGAGCTGTTCACATCGAGTCTTATCAAGTGGAGCGGAAGGCTGTCCCTTGCTTCAATCAAGATGATCGTTGGCGCTCCCGAGGTGATCTAAGGTGACTCGAAATGCAGGAAAATGACGCAGTTGAGTGAGGAATAGCAATCTCAGGTACTGTACGCCATGCCGGCCCATGCAGCGGCACTCAGCGGCATGCTGCGGCTCTTACCACTGTCGATCTCGCACATGCCGTACCCCGTGGCTCCTCGCACTAGATTTCCGTCCACTTCGGAAACTTAACCACCCTGCTCCGCTTCGCGCCGCACGATCCTACTCCTTTCCCCCTTCCTTCCCCATCTTCCCCTGTCTCAGTATCAGTGCAAGACTCTCAGCGTCATCGTACCGCGTGAGGCCATCTCGCAGATCTACCGGTACCGCACCGCCGACATCGGCTTGTTAAGCCAGGTGAAACGACCCTGTCGATTCCGGCGAAAATTGGGGTCTGGCCAGACCGTAAGGACACAAGAGTGGGGCACAAAGGCAGCGGAGCATTTGACAATTATTGGCTCGGCGACTTTGTAGATGTCAGGCGGACCGGCGGCATATAGAGAGAACTCGCGCAGCGGACCGGCCAAGGCTGACCGGTGCTGAAACATCCCCCTTCGCCCGCATCCCCCCTCCCTTTCGCTTCCCCTCTCCTCGTCCTCACGACACATAATCTCAACCTTGCGTTTGTCTATACAACACAAAGGTGTCCTTCATACTCTGCTTCTCTTCTCGTACCGGTACCTCGGACCGTCGCCCGCCCGTCCTTCGCCCCTGGCAGCTGCCGCCTAGGCCTTCGGCCCCGAATCCCTCCCTCGTCCTTTAGCGCGGACCTTGCCAATCCCACCGTATCGCGCCATCACATCAACAAAGGGGGTACACAGCGACAGCGTAGCCCCTCGACCCTCGCCACCTATCATCTACCTCATCACTCCATCAACAGCAACACCTACGTTCAACGCGCGTCACTCCCTTCACTCTCAACCCCATCTCACCTCATCAGACACCTTCTCGACGTCGTCTTCTTGGTCCTTTATACCCCGCTTCACGCGGTCGCCCATCACTCAAAGCGGCTTCGGCGCGTATCCCGACCCAAGATCTAAGGTCCGACCGTCTCTTCGGGCGCAGGCACGAGGCGTCGGTGATATACCCTTGTGTATCTACAGCTCCACCTTCCATCGATCGCTCAGCCTGCCATGACTACCTCTGGAGGCAGGCGGTACGACCTTGATCAGCGGCAGAGCGCCAGCGGATCACAGCTATCCGCGCTTCTCAATAAGTCAACCCTGCAGTCGCCGCCCGCGCCCGACTCGCATCGACGTCCTGAGCGGGGATACGACACCGCGCCTGATCACCCTCGGCAGGTACAGCGTACTCTTCCTTCCCCTCAACTCCCTCCTTCGGCCGCCATGCAGATCCCTCAGCGTCCACATCGCGACTCGTTCAACTTCACTTCACCCCTACAATCCACATCACACTCGGACCGCAGTCCCCACTCTCATCCCAATGATTCGCACCCTCGCCACCCTACACTGACACGACACGAGTCATTCTCTTACCCCTATCCATCGTCTTCATCCGCTTCGGACAACGCCCGGCCTCGTCCTCCGCCGCTCCGCACCGCTCACAGCGCGTATGCCTCGCGCGTCCAAGGCCCTCAAAGCCCGACAGACGAATCGGGAATGGGTCTCATCGAGGAAGAAGACGGAAAGCGAGACGGTGGCGGAGTGGACATGGAAGAATTGACGACCAAGGGGAGGAAGAGGAAGCGGCTTGCGAAGGCCTGCAGTGCCTGTCACGTAAGTCATCAGGGATGCATGCGGGGCCAGGAATGTGGAGTTTGGGCGGAGGTGGTCGGGGATAGTGGGGCTCGATTGAGGGTCAGGCTGATGAAAATCAGAAGAATAAACGGCGATGCGACGGATTCGCCCCTTGCTCGAACTGCGAGTTTTCATCAAGACCGTGTCTATATCTCAACGCGATGGGGGAGACTATACCGCCTCCGAGAACACGGGATGGATCTGGCCAGTCTGGCGGTGCTGGTGCTGCTGCGGTCGGCGCCGGGCAGAAGGGAGGGAGCAAGCCCATGAGCCAGACGGGAAGCGGACATGGGAGTCAGGGGCAGAGCAGGACGAATGGTCAGGACGGCATGTCTGGGATTGAAGAGCAGAGGGGTTTCTACACGGAGCGCGAAGATGGACGATACGATGTTGGGCGGACTGGTTGCGGCGGGAGGATGGGGATTGCGGCGCCCGCGGAGAGGAGAAGGACTGTCGTCGAGGTGGTAGATGAGGATCCAATCCTGAGTGCCGAACTAATTGATAGTGAGTGGGATCAAGTAGTCATGCGGGCAAGCGCTGACGGCCAGCTTTCTTCCGCACCGCTTCTCCCTTCAACGCCATGTTCCACCCCGCCACCTTCCACCACCGCCACTACCTCAATCAGACGGCTCCCATCCTCCGCGACGCCATGTACGCATTTGCCGCCCGCGTCGCTCCCTCGCCGGCCCTCATCGCTTGCTACCCTCCGAACCACCCGACTTGGCTCCGCGGCGAGCTCTTTGCCGAGCGCGCCCATGCCGAGGCCGAGCGGATCGTCGCTGCTCGGGCTGAGCAGAACGAGTCAGATATGACTGGTCAAAAGAGGGGGACATGGGAGGAGCTCGAGGAAATCCAGGCGTTCTCCATCCTGAGCATATACTTTGCGTGTCTCCGCCAACCCGTCCTTGCGCTCTTTTATCTCGACACGGCCATCGCCATGCTCCGCCCCTCGACCAATTCGCCTATTCCCCGCGCATCTGAGCTATCAGCAGTCGAGCAAGCGACGCTGGGAGAGAGCAGGAATCGAACGTTCTGGCTCGTCGCGCTGCATGACCTCTGCGCGGCTGCGAACGGCCGACAGCGGATGTTGGCGTATAGCGAGATGGAGGGGATACCGCTACCGGGTGGCGAGGGTTGGTGGGTGCGTTTTGGTGGGGCTGGGCGCGATGCGAAGGAAGGAGAATGGAGGCAGCGTGATGGACTTGTTCCTGGGTCTGGCAACTGGGCAGGCGATGAAGGACAGGTCGGCGAGCTAGGCCATGTGCTACGAATCGTGAGTGATCTGGCACTGTGATGGCTCGAAGCTGATCTTCAGCTCTCGATCTTCAGCGACATCATGGCGGTCGCGAATGGTGGTGGTGCGGGATCGAAAAATGTCCGTCTTACACCATTACACCAGCATCAGGAAGCTTTGAAGGTCAGCCTGAATTACCTCGTCCATTTACTCTGCTGACCGGCAGTCCTGGGCACAGAGCCTCCCGGTACATCTCCAGTTCGACGAGCACAACCTTTCGACCTCTGTAGCCCAGCTCAACTCGCCCTTGCCCCACGTCGCGCTCTCGGGCTGGGCTTTCGGCTACATGCACGCCGTCGCCGAGTGCGGGATGTTCTACCTCCAAGCGGCGGTGGCTCAGCAGCCTGGAGCGAGCTGGACCGCCCAAAGGCAGAGTCAGGCAGTCGACAACATCGCGGTTGTACTGGATGCCATGGGCGAGAAGGGTCGTGAAGGTCCATTGCGTATGTCCTCGCGGATCTAGAATGGGGCTTTGCTGATTAGCAGTGATCTTCCCCATCGCTGTCGTCTCCAATTGGCAGGATCATCTCCGCAGCACGCTCGCCTCCCCTACCCCACAACAGCTCTTGCTGGACGAGCGCCTGAACACCTGGTGGATCGAGGCAAAGCAGCAATGGGGTGTCGAGCGGGCTCAGGTACTCGACCGCGGCTTCTATCCCGGCGCACAGGGATCCGTACTGTCTGGTTACAACGCTCCCGAGCGGAATGACCAGCCCTACCAGAGAGGCAGTGCTGTCTTGCACGGTGCCTCATACGGGAACGGAAACGGTCTTCGACTCGCGCCCCGCGGCTATGAAGAGCCGTCCACTTTGCAGCAAGGCTTTGTCCAGCAATACGATATCGATCGGTACGACCGGCGATACTCGGACCAGGACCGCGAGTATGAGTATCAGCACCGTGCGCGCCAGTCCCTGGATGCCAGCCAGAAGCGGGACCGGCCTAGTCCATCCTCTTCGCACCATCTCCGGCATCTCCTGGATCCATCGCCTGTCCCCATGTCTTCTGGTGCGGCGCTCGGACTGTACGGCGCGGCAGAGACCAGTCCGCGGGACCTGCTGTCCAGCTCCCAGCACCGCAGGTCCCCGGAAGTATACCTCCAGACGAACCCGTACGCCCGGTCCCGCGCTCACACGTCCGAAACCCATCCGGGATCGTACCATCTCTCCCCTCCCGAGCTAGGGCACTCATCGTCCACGTCCACTTCCCTCCTCCTCCCTACCCCATTCTCCAGCCGGCCAAATCTCCCCCCACTCCCATCGCACGGCGCTCGGCCCAGAGCGACCAGCTCGGTCTTGCCATACTCGATCACTCGGACGCCCAGTCCCAGTGTGCCTCCTGCCAACCTATCCACCAGCGTAGGCGGCGGGAGCAGCGGACAGCGGTATTACCCAAACCAGTCCTTCTCTGGTCGGGAGGGAAACGCGGAAAAGACTGGCGGGTCCGACGTGCCAGTCTCGGCTTCGTTGGCCGGCGCGGGCGGATTCTATCTCCCTCCTTCGGCAGAGTTGAGGCAGCTTAGGCGGCTGGATGAGGTGCCTCGGCTAGGTAGCGGGTCGGCGGGCGGTCTGGGCCTGGGCCTGGGGGTATCGAAAGGGTGGAGAGATGGCCCATTCTCCCCTCCACGTGATAGCCACGGTTCCAACCCCTCAAATGCGGCCGGAGCGGAACCGCTCGGTATTGCCGCGCTCATCTCGGCGGCGGAGAGCGAGCGGGAGAAGGAGGAGAAGCGGCGCGAGAGCGAAGGGAGATTGGCGGAAGAACAGCGACAGAGCCCTGCTGGCTCTGCGCGGGATGGAGCGGAAGTGCCAGTGTAGAGATGCGTGAGGAAATGGACGAGGCGGCGTCAAGGCAGCAAGCGGCGGTGATGGCGTAGAATGGGAAAAGGAAAAGGCAATGGTGGAAAATGTAATTGGTCGAGCTGAGGCAGCTGATAGTAGTGGCAGCGGGGAATCCATGTATAGTAGTCAGCCTGTCGCATTGGTACGGAATCTTAGATTGCCAGATGTATTTCGTACGAGCACACAACACAGATAGAGATATTCAGGCAAGATCACAAGCTTTCATTATAGGTGCTTCTGAAGTACAATGCTAATGCTGTCATCACCGAGATCTACCCGCATCTTCGGCCGCCGAGCCGCTCAGACCGACCCAACCGTCCCCGGTCCAGACGGCACCCCCGCACTCCCCCCTCCGCCCGTCGAGTGATTGTCCGCCATAGACCCCGACTGTGGTAGAGGCGGCGTATTCGCTCGACTATCCAGGACCTCTGCACCAGGAGGTGGAGGCGGCATCTGTACAAACGAGATTGCCGAGAACTGCGGCGTCAGCCGAAGGTGATGCTGGAGAGCGGGGGAGGAAGATACTGACCATATTGCACCAATCCCGTATCAGCTCCTGGTCCGTGTCGGTAGCGCCGGTATGGGTACACAGAGCACAGGCGATATGGAAGACTTTGGCGCGCACTGACTCGCCGTTGGATGCAAGGTCTTCGACAGGGATACTACGGGATCAGCTCATACTCTGCACAATTGCGGTAGCGGGAACTGACTTCATCAGGAGAGAGTGGATCTCTCTTGCATTGGCTTCGCGCTCCCTCGCCAGCTGATCTTCGTCCACATGAAGCGCAGCTCTCAGATCGTACTATACCAGTCAGCGCTTGATTTCAAGTCCAATTCCGAACTTGTCGACTCACCAGAGCGAACTTTGCGATCGCAGCAGTAATCAATATATTCGCCCTCTGCATCGCAAATACCCTCCGTCCCGCCTCGTCCGGATGACACATCGGATCCTGGATCGCCGCGGGCATCTCGCGAAGCACAGCATGGAGCCGGTCTTCCGCAGCAACGGTCCACTCGGTCCCGACCGTGGGGACCTGCATGGCGGAGAGGACGAGACGGTGGTGAAAGAAGCATTCGGAGAGGATGATGAAGATCTTCGAGAGGCAGACGAAACCTGCGAGCACAGAGGTACGGGAAGGAGGTTGTGGGAACATCCCTTGGGAGGTGATAAAGTCATCGTCTGTTCCTTCGGGAAGGGAGGGTACGCCCTGATAGTCGTTGATGAGCATGGGAAAGCCGGGAATGGCGCGGGTTCTGAAAGTCAGCTTAGGCTCAACGGGCGAATCGGCAAGTCGTAATTCACTTGTCGCTGGCGTATAGCTGCCAAAAGACCCGCCGTCTCAGCTGCACCTCGATAGCGTCAAGACCGAGCGCGTTGGTCTTCGCATCGCTATGCAGACCCATCGAGAAGGCGAGCTGGATAGCTTGACCGACTCGCGCTCCGGCGGTATGGCCGAGGCCGATCGAGAGGAGGTAGAAGACATCGCTGATGGGTCAGTTGAGCACGGGACACATGAAAGAGTGCTAAACTCACAAGATGATCGTGGTGATCTGGGTCAGGTTCGTGGGCCCGTAGTATGTCCGCTGTAGCGCCTTACAGGTCCGGTGGCATCTCCGTTGCAGGCGCTTCAGGCCTTCTATATCGAAGTTCTCGTTGACGAGCCGGCTTGTTGGGAGCTGCGAAATCACATAGGCGACTAGAGAGTCAGCATGACCTCGTCCTGGCCGACCTCTCGAGCTGTCCCGTACTGACCTATACTCAGCAGCAAAGCCCTAAAGTCCATATCCTTCTTATCCCTCCTAGTCGCCAGATGTTCCGCAAACGTCGGCCGGTGGACAAGCGGTAGAAGAGGGTAGAGGTATTGGAGGAAGAGCGAGATAAAGTGCGATATATTCGCCCAACTCGTCACATCCTCCAGCTGTGGTTCGCGCTTCATCGGATTAAGAAGGAGGTTGAGACTTCCGGATACCGGTACGCCGCTACTCCCTGACCCCTGCAGATTCGCCAACAGATGCTCCGGTGACTCTAGCGAGAGCAGTTGCGCCTGGTCCGAAGCGAATCCGCCTACACCTTGGCCTTGACCGTACACGTTGCCCGAGGTCGTACCGGGATCTATCCCGTCAAAGGAGGACGAAAAGCCGGATGGATCAAAGATGCTGTCGAGCCAGTTGAGGCCTGGATCTTTGAACCCGCCGGGAGAGACGGCAAACGAGGAGTACGGTTGTCGCGAAGGTGGGGGATGGGAGTAGGCGGATGGCTGAGCGTGGTCGAATTGTGATGAGGATGGTCTGGCGTTGGCACTCCCGCTCATACGTCTGAAGCCGAATGAGTCAAGTGAGGGATCGAGGGGGAACCCCGTAGATGAGGATGAGCCGGGCGTGGGAGCGAAGGAAAAGTCGAAGGGTAAGCTCGGGCGATGGTAGTGGGTATGAGAGTGGGGTTGAGAGAGGTCCGAGGGATTCGCCGTGGTGGGGTAGGTTGGTTGATGAGGATGATAGACTGGATCCCCTGTCTCCGTCTTTACAGCCATAGCAAAGCTACCCAGTCAGCCGATCTCCAGACCCGAGATCGCGGTTCCACACACAGGACCAACAGGGCGATTCAGGCACTCACGTGTTCTTCCGCCCCGGCTTTTTCTTGACATACAAGAATAAACAGTCCAGTCCCAGCTTGGTACACCCCTCACAGGGCTGCAAGGGCTCCACATCTTCATCGAGGACGCACTTGATCTACACGAAGGGAAAAAAAAGCATCAGCTCGCACCTTTCACGGGGGATTGATGATAACGGGGCAATGAAGGGGTATTGTGGGGACCCAGCGGGGTCCAGTGGATCGCCAGATTGTGGTCTGTGGCAATGACTCACCTTTCTTTTTCGACAGTTATCGCATGTCCGCCCTGGGGCTGGCGGTTTCGGACGTGATACCTCTGGCTGTTCAGTCATTGGGGCGAGGTGTATAGGGTGTAGATAGTGTATAGTGGAGGAAGGTTAAGGCGGATAGGCGGGCGAATGTGATCTGCACGATCTCCCGGCTACTAACGAGAAGCGGGAGAGCGGAAGCAAATTAGGCATTAGGAAATAGCTTCAATACATGCAACCATTAGCAATTGACTGCAGCAAACAATTCTATTAGGATTCCTAACTGAACTAGAGTATGTATTGTTACTGTGACCTTGCATCAACATATCTCACCTTTGTTATACCTTTGCTCCTTCCGACACCATGTCCTCCTCGGATGTTCGCGCCATCCTCGACCTCCCGCACGCCTCCAGCTCGTCTGCGGCTGCCGGACCGAGCAGGAAGGCGTCACAGCAGATCAAAAGGCCAGAAGGCATCTCGCGCGAAGTATTCGCTTTGATGGGCAACAATGCTGCATCCATCATGCCATCGTACCCTTCAGCGGCCAGATATAAGGCTCGGCCCGTGCCTTCTTCTCAAAAGACGAGATGGTAAGCTATTGCTATCGATACCCCGTTGCGGAAGGAGAGCTCATCAATAGGGAATGGTCCGCCTTCAACCCCATGCCGAGCGAAGAGCGACCACAGGTTCTGCATCACTGGCGGAAGTCGGTCGGCGGAGACCCCGCGCCTCCACGAGGTGAGCAAAGTCACTTCGAAAGCTGACAGCCAGAGGAATACTTTGCGACCTTCAACTCGTCTGGCCCATCCGTCATGCAGTTCAGTCAGATGGAGTACGACCAGCACCTCAAAGACTCGGACTGGACACAACAGGAGACGTCGTATCTCTTTGCCCTGCTGCAAGAGTACGATCTGCGCTTTGTGGTCGCTGCGGACAGGTACGCATACACGGATACGTCAGTGCCGGGCGCTACCAAGCGACGGACGGTCGAGGTGAGTTTGTTGAATTCCCACTTGATTCGAGCTGATCAAGTAGGAGATCAAGGACCGGTACTATACCATTTGTCGTCGCTTGATACGCACAAGGACAGCTTTAGATCCCCAAGCGCAACAGCAGCTGCTACAAGCCTATACTTTCGACAAGTGCAAGTCGTCTCTGTTGCCCTTCGGAGTGCAGCTGATACGACAGCTCGAGAAACCAAGCGCAAGCAGTATGCGTCGGAATTGTTCCACCTCACTGCTGCCGAAATCGCCGAGGAGGAATCGCTCTACCTCGAAGTCAAGCGGATAGAGCAGAATGAGAAGCGGTACCGCGCGGACCGCGACGCACTGCTGCGGTCGGTCATGGGGCTGGACAGCGGGGTGGTCAACCTCGACCAGGCAAACAGCGAGGGTGTCGTCGGTGTGGATAGGGTGAGGACATCATTGATGCCGGTGTTTGGACGCAAGCTGATGATCAGAACAAGAAACGAAAGCGCCTCGAGGAAGAGACCAACGCTACTCCATCGACTGTCTCCGCCTCGACCATGCCGAAGAAAGCCCGTGAATCTGCTGCTTTCGGTATGTTTAATCATGCGACGAGGAAGCACATCTGGCTGAATCTCAGATGTCGCACACTGCATCCACCGCTCCGCTGCCGCCTCCGAGTCGACCTACGCCCTCGGTCGCCACCCAGCACACGTTCCCGCCTTCCTCCGTTCTAGCAAGATCCCCATACCCAAACAGAACGCCTCGATCCGCATCACCGAACTCCTCTCTGAACTGGGTATATCGGCTCATCGGCTCGTCATGCCCACCCGCGAAAACATCGAGATCTTTGATAGTCTCTTGGCTGCGGCGGGTGGGCTGATCGATATGAAGCGACAGGTGGATAGGGTGGAGCAGGAGGTGAGGACGCTGAAGGCGCAGCTACCGGGGTACATACCGCCAGTAGCCGGACGGGTGAGTCGGATAATCGCTGGAAGCTCCAGGTCAGGATGCTGACTCGCGCTAGCCTGCTCGATCTGAATCGGTGACGTCCACAGCTACAAGCACTACGCGGCGCAGGTAGTTGGTGTCCGATAGCAGGGCCTGCTCAACGGGACAGAGGAGATGTCGAGCGCAGAGGAGAAATCCCTATCTGCTCCATTCGCTACGGTGGCTTTACAGCTTATATCATGTGATCATGTACGCCCATATCTGCGCCCTCTACGTAGCAGCGCACAGGGGCCAGGGAATGCAGCTCGTGCATCATAACTTCACCACGCTTGCACATCACTGCGCAGGGCACCTCTGAGTGCAGGGGTCCTGTTACGTAAATGCGCTGCAGCGAAGGTGGAATTTTGGATTTTGTTGACCACCTCCCATACGCTGCTTCCCCATCTCTGCGTCTCTCACCTCCCGCCTCCACAGATATACTGAGTCATACAGACACAATGGCAGCAGTCATCGAAGCGGGACCCAGCCGAGCGGCTTCCGGCTCGGTCGAGCCCAGCACTTCCAGCTCCGCCTCCACCCTCCTCCGGACCCTCAAATCCTCCCAGCTCACACATGACGAGCGGATCGCTACTGCCCGTCAAGCACTAGAGGAGAGTAAGATCCCACGAGCGGTGGAACTGGTCAGGCAGTGGATTCTGGACGAGTGGCTCGCTCCTAGCAAATCGTACGTCTCAATCCTAGCTCCTTCGTGCCTGTCGCTGATCTTCAGTTCGACTGCACCGAGCATAATACAGCCGGTGTACCACGACCTCTTCGCGCGAGTCAACGGTCCTGCTTCCTCTCCACCATTTGCGGTCCTAGTACGCTGCATCTCGGAGCTCGAGAAGCACGCCACACCCATCCGTGATGCCCCCTGGGAGTCCATACGGACGATGGTCGTCTCCCATACTCAGACGTCGACGTACGCGCGATGGGTGGAGCTATGGGCGGGTCTGGTGGCTTGGCTAGCGGCGCCTGGTGTGATAGATGGAGCGAGTAATGCAGAGGTACAGCAGGGGAAGGAGCTGAGCGATGCGGTATTCCAACATGTCGCCGAAAGCTCGGATACTGTTCAGGCGGAAGCTACTGTGAGTCCCCCGTCTTTGTCAAGCTTGGCAGCTATAGCTGATTTCCCAGTCAATACAAGTCCTTGTCAAGACGATCCCTCATCTGGCCACTATTCTCTCCCGCCAGCCCGCCCTTGGCGAACACCTCTCCGTCTCTCTAGGGGAGATGCTCCGCTCTCTCCCCCCTGACGCCCTAGACCAATTCCTTCTCCCCTCCTTCTCCCCCTCGCACACTTCCATCGCGCACCTCCTCCCGCTCCTCCTCCGCTGCCTAGCCGACACTCGCTCTCGCGCCCGATACACTATCTTCAGCCAACCTAGCAGCAGCAAGGTGGCGTACGAGACGCACATCGCTACAGCGATGCAGGACGCGCTGTATCGGGATTTCGCGCAGGTCATGGCATTCCTGGAGGGTGTGGCTGTGTCAGGGGCGGCGGTGGGTGATGTATGGGAAGCGAGGAGGGGGTGCTGGGAGGAGATCAGGAGATTGGATGTAAGAATAGAAGGGCAGGAGAGGTGGAGGGTGCTGGTGCTCGAGGCGGCGAGGGGCGCGAGGGCGGTTTTAGCGGGGAAGGATGAGGGGGCGGTCAAGATTTGTCTGAGGTTACTGGCTTGTCTGTCAGTGCTCGACTATGATGCCGCCGGGGTGTCGGATGTGGTAGTGCAGCTGTGCCTACAGGTAGGTCTATCAGCTTTCGAGTTTCGTGATCTGGTAAAGCGGGGACCAGCTGATGTCCAGCAACCATACCTCTTCTCGGCCGAAGGGAATGACCTTCTCCTCGCTCTGCTACATCACCACCGCCTAATCCGCGCCCCTGCTACCTACATCACCCTCCTCTGCCGCTGTATCTCCACGTCCTCTCCGACGACCACCGCCGGCACCACCGCAATGTCCACTAATAGCAACATCTCCTCTACCCTCCTCGGCGCGATCCACGAGCTCATCACGTACGGCGGCGAGACACATCTCTGCTGGCGCACCCTCATCTCCACCTCGGAAGATCTCTTGGCTCGTCCGGAAAGCACAGGCGGCTTGAACGCATTCGCTGGTCTGCTGGCCGCTCTGGTTGTCTCCGGATGTCCAAAGGACGTTCTGCTTGAACTGGGATCTGTTTGGACGTTGGACAGCAACGCCCTGCGGGCCATCGAGGGCGGCAAGGCCGGGAAGAAGGGCAAGTCAAAAGCCGCCTCTTCGTCAGAAAGGGAGGGAAGGCTATCCGCGCTCCTGATAGTTCGGTCGGCAGTGAGGGGTGAGGTTGAGAAGGGGGTCCTAGAGGATCTAAAGGCGGCAATGAAAGAAGAAAGCATATCTGAAGAGCTGGATATCGCGATTGTAAGTCTTGCCGGAGAGATGGGTAAGGTGGAGGGCTGAAGCGCAGTGTCGCTTCTTGCTCGCCATGCCGATCGAAGTCTTGTCTGAATCGAGCATCATCGATGCCTTACTCGCACGACTAGCTCAATCGGACTCCAGTGCTGAGGCTTACTGGCCACTCATCACAGGGTCTGTTATCAGCCGCTTCGAGTGAGCTTCATAACGTTTACGGCTGCTGGACACATGCTGATAGCTCCAGATCTCATACCTCCGATACCCAGCTCGAAACCCTCGGCCAGGCCTTACTGGCGCACTCACCTGCTTCTCGGCAATTATGGCGCACCACGAGTTTCTGGGAGCTCACACGTTTGACCAAGACTCTAGCTCGCCTGGCTGTGGCAACCGAACTAGTCGACCCTAGTATCAGCTTCGCCCTTCCTCACACCCTACAGACCCCTGCAATTGCCAGTCGACTACTAAAACAAGCTGGACAGGAGGCGTACACATCGGAGATGGTAAAGCTGTGGCTGGAGCAAGCTAGCGCCGAGGCTTTGGCTGTGAGTCTTCGAGTGAGCGGCGAGTGCGGTCAGCTGATGTATCAGGGTGTGGCGGTTGATGATGTCCTCGTTGCGATGCTTGATCATACGCGGAGAGAGCTGTCTCGCGTGATAGTATCGCGCGTACTACAGTATGTCTGGCGGACTTACGCGCGGCCGAGCTCAAACCTGTGCTGACTTGTAGAAACTCGCCAAACAAATTCCCAGAATCCCTTGTTCAGCTCATCCGCGCCGTTCGGACAAGATTGGAAAGTGGAAAACCCACGCTCGATAGCTGTGCGGCCGCGATGCAGACTGTGTCCCTCTTGACAGGTCGGAAATGGGCATCGTGAGTGGACGTGCCCAGGGTGTTTCGCGGCTGATCTAGCAGTATTCCAACCGAGGGACAGACCGACCTAAAGCAGATCGCGGCTGTGTCAGCCAAGGCTCTGCAGAAAGGTTTCAAGAAGAGTCCAGAGGCCGATGTCGAAGCGAAGGGGAATCTCTGGCTTGACTTGCATGCTTTCTCAGTGTGGTCTAGCGCTGAGCAAAGTGAGCCCGACAATCTGCGGGTAAATTCAATCGGGCTGATGTCTAGCATCCACGGCTCCCTTCCCCGAACAGCTATTGCACTCGATGCTAGCCAATACATCGTCCAACTCGACCCTGGTCCTGCGGTTGATAGCGGCCAAAGGCGATTCCGAGCTTCTTATCGCCACATACCTCTTCCTCCGTTCCCAGACCAGCGCATCGATTGCTACTGTTGACGGAACGATGTCGGATCTCATCCAGAGTGCTAGCCCTGACATGTACGCTTCATTCTGGCAGGCAGCGAGGGGTTCGGCTGCTGGCGGTAGTCTGCTTTCTCTGTTGCTGAGCAATACGCGCGAGGGTGAGCCAGCCCCTCCTCGCCGTTGCAACGTAGCTGACGAGGCAGGATCTGGCAAGGTGGTACGTGGTCATCTCGGACCTATTCTCGCCAGTATCCAGGCCGGACCCGGAAACCCAGGAATACTGTCTGCTCTCTGGCGTCATCGGGTATGCCTTTCCTCGCTGTGATCGATAATCTCATGCTGACTCTACAGGCGATCCTCTTTGACGACGGCCAAGCCATCGATTCCTGGGTCACATTCAGCGGCATCTTCCTCTCCTCCCCTTCCAGCGAGACCGCCTCGGACCTCCTCGACGCTGCCACCTCATTCACGCAACAACGAAGCGATCTCCTCCCCTTCACATCGTCCGCCATCGCCTCCTCTATCTGCTCTGTCTTCACCTACCTCCGGGGCCGCGTCGACGTCCCCCTCGCACAGAAAGTCGCGCGGTTCCTTGATTCCCTCGGTCGGGGTGCGGGAACAGTCACTATCGGGAAGCGGAAATCAGGAGGCGACGATTCGACAACGTCCCGCCAGAAAGTAACGCGCGCGATGGCACGGCACGTACCTGTCATTCTGGTCGCGTATGCGCGGGCAACGACGGATCCCGTCCGGAACATCTCGGCCACATCCCGCCGGGTCATCGATGGGAGTCTGGCAGAGCTGTGCATGTCGACAGACGCGGCGACGGGCAAGGCGTTTGATTCGACGGGGTTGCCGTATGGCCTCGGAGAGGGTTTGGCGGGCGAGGCAGAATCGGCGGTCTGGGCGCAGATATGGCGCTCGTGGAAGAAGAAGAGGTACACTGGACAGGGGTAGGCGGGGCGGCTCTGGATATGAGGGTGCATTTGGCATGGATGAAGATTGCATAGATTGTTAGATGTACAACGAGAATTGAGGGTTTCCTCCTCGCTCTGTCCTGACGCCAACGCTTGGAGCTCAGCCTAGCCTCTCCCTGATCCAGGACCTAGACCCGCAAATAGCGTATTCAGAATCTCCTGCTGTCGATCACCTGGGGGAGGGCGATGGCCGTACCCCAGGCCTGGTGGGCCCATGGGGCCGGGACCAGGACCCAATACGTGCTGGGGAGGGGGACCGGGCATGTGATGTTGCTGCTGCGACTGGAAACCGGGCGGACCAGGATAGTAACCCGGCGGCATGGGCGGACGGCCATATGGACCCATGTTCGGGCCTGGACCCATACCCATCCCGAAACCCGGAGGCGGACCTTGCTGCTGCTGCTGCTGCTGCTGGGGCGGAGGAGGGGGCATCATCATGTGCGGTGGGAGCTGGTTGTGTTGGTGCTGTGGTGGCTGCTGCTGCTGGTGCGGGCGGGGAGGGCCGGGGTTGTAGAGCTGTTGGAGGAGGGCGTGGGGGTTGTTGTGGTCGAAATGCTGCATTTGGGGAGGGGGAAGGAAGGGAGGTGGAGAGACCATCGGGTGGGCCATATGAGGGGGTTGGGTGTGGTGAGGCATTTGGGAGGGATGAGGGGGTTCGCGAGAACCTTGGTCAGACTGTGGATGTTAGTACTATCCTTTCTGACCGATAAGTCCGCGCTCACTAGTGATAACAAGCCCATCAGGCGTGAAGCGTGATCGTCCGCCTTGGGTGGTGGCGCAGATGGAGGCGGGGCTGGTACTGCTACAGCCGCACTCGCAGCCGCCGCGGCCTGATCCGCCGCAAAGAACCGCTGGAACCGACTCGCGAACGCCGTACTTGGTTCAGGCTGGGCCACCTCAACCGCCTCTGGCGCCTCCTGTATGACCTTGTTCGGACGGAGGTAATCGGCATTGTTGAAGACTTTCGGCTTGACTTCGACAGGCGGAGCAGGTGGTGCGGCCGGATCAAAGCGCCAGCGCTGACCCAAATCCCTCTCCTTCATCTGCGCCTTGTGCTTCGCGATCATGTCCTCGCCGGGGACAAAGTGGATAAGTGGGTCGTGCTGTACCACAGCGGGGTCTTCGAGAGCCGCATCGTCCATCCATGCGGGCTCGGACTCGTCTTCGTGGTGCTGCCGCGGGGCGGGGTTGTAGTTGTCTGGTGGAGTCAGCTCTCATTACAGCAGAGCGCTTGGAGGTAGCTCACCTCGCCTCCACTCGCCTCGATTGTGGTTGTTGTTGTTATTCTGGTGATGATCGTTCCGCGGTAGATTTCGCTGACCCCCTCGATCTCCTCTATTGTCCCGACCATCTCTCATCTCCCGGTTATCCCGTCCATCCCGCCCATCCCTGTGATTCATATTCTCCCGATGATCATTCTGCGGCAGTTGTCCGCCCACCTTGGCAACCAACTTGTTCATTTGCTGCTGGATTGTCATCTCGCCTGATGGTGTAGAGTCGTTCTGCCGGCGCAGACTGCAGAGTCAGCTGACCACTCCAGACAAATTGAACCAGCGATCACGTATGTGCTCACCCAATATTCCTCCCTCCGCCTCTTCCTATCCCTCTTCCTCCGCCTATCCCACCGCCGAAGCCGAATCCCTCCCCAAACCCACCCGCGGCCCCCGCACCACCGCCTCCACCTCCAGCTCCTGCTCGCCGCGACGACGCCCCTCCATGTCCAATAGCTGCGATAGCTGGATCCGCCAGATGAGCACTCTTCGTCTCTGTTACCTTCCTATCTCATCAGCCCGCGCCCACACCGGCTTCCATGACCCTTAATCCGTCCCAAACGCACCCAAACCACGTCTCGAGCGGTACCAGGTCCTTTGGCCTCTCCCATCCCCTCTTTTCGCACTTCTTCGCAATGCCCAATAGCTTCTCCCGGGGATAATACCGCAACTGCCCGCTCTTGGTCGGTTTCGACGGTGTCAGGCTCTGCGCAACGGCAGTAAGCGAGTTCTCGGGCAGGTCCGGGGAGAGCGGGGCGAAGGGATTGGAGTTGGATTTGAGCTTGGCAGGTTTGGGCCGAGGAGAGATCCTTGAGGACGCGGAAGCATGCGGTGGGGAGACTGGAGGATCAGCGGGGTCGGTCGAGAACGTGAGAGAAGGACGGGACTTGCGAGCGGGCATGATGGGTGTATTGGAGCTTCCAGGATCGAGCGTGGGGCTGATAGATCGATATCGTCGCTGATGACTCAAGCTATTCCTCAAGCTCGTGATGCTGTTTGAGTGGGCAAGGTGTCTCGCTGCTGATGAGAGGATGAGCTATAGGTAGAAGGGAAGGATAGGGAAGGAACGCGGACGTGCACCACCACAAACGGTGATCGCCGGGCTCTTTCCGCTTCCGACGGAACTTAGCTTGTGAGCAGTCCGTGCGTTCCGAAACGTCATTTCTCGCTCACCGATCTGCCGACGTCGACCACCTCTTACCGTATCTCCTCAAGCTCTGTTGATAACTCGTAGTAGCAGAAGCACAAGTCTACCGGTACAGCATATACAGCTCGCTCGCCGAAAACCAAATAAAAAAAGTCTAGGAAAAATGCTGTCAAGAGCTTCTCCTCTCGCCCGGTCGGCCTTCCGATCGGTGAGCTTGAGAGTCCGACACGCTTGGATGAGCAGAGCTGACAGAGCCAGGCCCAGCCCGTCGCACGTCGTGGCTACGCTGGCGCTCCCAACGCTGCTGCCTCAAGTGAGCTTGAGCGTCCGTTTTTAAGGCCAAGCAGCTGACTTAGCAGATACTCCCCTCTTCCTTGGTCTCGCTGGTCTCGCCGGGCTTGGAGGCTACGTCTACCTTCAGCGCAACCCCTCCATCGGCGCCAAGGCCAAGTCGGAGCTGCACGATGCCAAAGACCAGGCAAAGAGCAAGTTTGAGGATGTCAAGGGGGACGCAAAGGCCAAGTTGGACCAGGTCAAGGGGGAGGCCAAAGCAGCGACGGCCACGGCGTCTACTGCTGCTGCTGGGGCGTTGGTAAAGTAAGTCTGTCGAGTATTGATCTCGAAGTCTTAGCTGACACGATATAAGGGACGCATGGGTGCCATTCAAGCTTGAGTCGGTCGAGAACTACAACCACAACACCAAAATCTACCACTTTACTTTCGGAGAGGGGAACGAGAACAAGTCTCGAGGCGGAGAGATTCCCAATGCGCTATTGGTGCGCTCGCCGGAGGGAGATGGAGAGGTCAAGGATGCCAAGGGAAAGCCTGTCATCCGGTGAGCCTGACTCGACGAAGATCCACAGACTCAGAGGACACGGAGAGCTGATGAACAGCCCCTACACTCCCATCTCTGGTAACGACCAGAAGGGTGGTCTCAGCCTCATGATCAAGGAGTACAAGGTGAGTCATATCACTCCAGGGTTGGCCTTCGCTGATGATCAGGATGGCCTCCTCACCCCATACATCAGCGCTATGAAGCCCGGATCCGAACTTCTCTTCAAGGGTCCTATCCCAAAGTTCAAGTATGAGCCCAACCAGATCGACCGAGGACTTTGCGTTTCGGGTGGCTCTGGTGTCACACCGATGTACCAGCTCATCACCCACTCGCTGAGCTTGCCGGAGGACAAGACCAAGTGGACCTTGGTCTTCTCGAACGTGACCGAGGCCGACATTCGTGAGTTACTGCGCTAGTCCTTTACTGCTAGACTCAAGCTCATATTCTAGTCCTACGTAAAGAGTTTGACGCACTGGCCAAGAAGAACCCGGACCGCTTTGAAGTGAAATATGTGCTCGACAAGCCGCCCAAGGGATGGAAGGGCGAGACCGGCTTCGTCACTCCCGAAATGATCTCCAAGGTCTTCCCGAAGGGCGACGATCGGGTCAAGGCGTTCGTCTGTGGTCCTCCCCCACAGGTCAAGTCGCTCGCTGGACCAAAAGACGGGCCGAGGCAGGGTGAATTGTTGGGCGCGTTCAAGGATCTGGGGTACATGGCGGACGAAGTCTTCAAATTCTAGACTTATCTAATTACTAGACAATATATACTATTGGCACTTTGCACTTTGGTCTCGCAGGGCCAGCTGCCTCAATCGTCAGCTCCCTCGATACTCAGATATAGCGCTCAACGTCAACCTTATAACGTCGCGAGACTGGCCGCGCGAGACTATAGCCGTCGAGCCGGTCTGCCGGTAATTACGCGGACCGGGCAGGGCTGCAGGGCGCGCACAAACCCAAGCCGTTGGCGATCCTAATCTGTCTTAGTACCTCCCATCATCCTCTAGCAATCATGTCAGTCCTACACGTCCCGGGCGCCAGCTTGCAGCAATCCGGTGGTCAGACCGAAGGGATGTCGAGAAAGAACGCAATCATGGACAAGTCCGATCAGCTCTGCTCCTCCAGTCAGTCCCCCCTCCCCTCCCCAATCAACCTTACCTGTCCGCTGACCCATAGTCATGCTAGCCAAGCCGCACTCCTCCTCTGGGATCCACCATCACGCCACCCAAGACACCATCATCTACGCCATCCGCGGAAACGGCTCCATCTCGTTTGCGGACGGCCGAGAGCGGGTGGACCTGAAACCGGGGGACTGGGCGTTGATTCCTGCGAATGTGGAACACAAGGAGATGAACGACGGGGATGAGGAGGTGGAGTGGGTGATTGTGAGAGGTGGGAGAGTGGCAGCGGTGGAGAATGTGGACGGATGGAAGGGTGCATAAAGGGCAGGGACAGGGTCTCGGGGAGAAAGGGGTGGTGTTGAGCACTTCGCGCGTTTAGGTTGTCATTCGTATGTATCTCATCGGCAAGGTAGCTGGTCATCGGTTGAAAACGACTGATATAGCCATTCCTTCGACTCATCGCTGGACCGGACTGCATTCCATCTATTCTATGATCTATGACGAAGAGAGAGGCTCTAAGAGCGGAGAATGGGGAAGGCGGCGATGAGACGACAGGACAGTCTACTGAGAGCCCTCAGTCTCCTCCTGGATATGCTTGGAGCCGTGCATGCCGGTGGTGTCCCTGCTAATCAGCTCTGTTCATCCTCGCATATCTTCCACACTCACCATCCATTAGCCTCAAGGTACTGGGTGAACAAGATATCCTCGTCCTCGAGCTGGGCTCGGCGATTAGGGACGAGCCACATGACCCACACCGCACCGAGCGCGCAGATACCGGAGCCGACGAGGAAGATGGCTTGCTGACCCTTGATGGGCGTGGCGAATTTGGTCTGGATGATGGGGAAGATCTGGGTGCCGATGGCCGCGCCGGTCTTGCCCATAGCAGCTGCGAAGCCTAGGCAGTGTCCACTGATCGTTAGGCAGGCCAGACTTGATGACTCACCGGATAGCGGTCGGGAAAGATTCGGAGCTGATGACAAAGTTGTTGTTACCAGGACCGACTGAGAGGAAGCATTGGAAGAGACCAAAGAGGATAACGAAGGCGGCGAAAGCACCAGTTCCGCCGGTACGGAGCGGCTCCATGGCGCCGCCGATGGTGAAGCCGAGGACGGCCACGACGACCAGGCCAAAGGCGTAGGTCTGACGCGGTCCCATACGGTCGATGAGCAGACCTAGGTGTCAGCGGAGCATGTGAAGGGGGTTGGGGACTCACTGCCAAAGATAGCACCGGGGAGGGCGAAGGAGTTGACCAAGGTGGACCAGCCGTTGGTCTGCAAGAGGGACTGATTGGGCGCGAATCCAGCGACGATGGTGGGAGCGAGCAGGTTGAAGGGGTACACGACCATATTGTAAAGGAACCAAACCCCAGCGCAACTAGATGATCAGCCACACCCAACGAGGATCTAGGTGAGCTTACCCAGCAAGAGACTTCCAGTACCGCTTGATAGCCAGCTTGTACGGGAAGCGCCTTCCTCGTACACCGTGCTTCTCAAAGAGCTTTGAGTCGGCCATCCTCAATCGGAAACCAAAGACAGCAAGGGGTAGCTAGCGATCAGCGATGTGTTGAAGCGGGATCTCATGACCAACTCACAACGCATCCCACACCAAAGCTGATCCGCCATACGCCATCGCTGGGACGACCACCGTAAGCGGCGAGTACGACGAGCACAACTAGCGCGCTGCCGACGAAACCGGAGATGATGGCGACATTGGTGGACCAGGCGACGAGCAGGCCACGACGGCGACGCAACCTGGCTGTCAGCTGACTCCTCAGAACTACAATGGCTTGCTCACTCGGGGACGTCATCCGCAGCTTCGATAGAGGAGGTCGTGCAGACAGCATATTCGCCTCCAGCACCGACACCGGCAACACCTCGACCAATCTGTTTGTCAGCGCTTCCCTAGTCAAGACTCACAATCATCATCCAGAGCATGCCCGTAGTACTGGTTCCATGCGCGGCGGTCGCCAAGACTACTCCGCCTACCAGCAGGAGAGTACAGCCAATGATACCCCATCTTCGCCCTATCCTGTCCGAGGCAAGACCGAAGGCCAGCATACCGATAATGTCACCGACGAGAAGAGAATTGCTGAGTCGGGTCCGCATCTCGACAGTCATCTCGACGGGGTATAGGGCGGTCAGAACGGTATTGGTATAGGCTGGGGTCAGCATAGCCTGCGATTTGACTCACCTGTGACTTGGATATTGTATCCATCTGAGAAGAGGGCGACACCCGCGACGATGACTGCCAGGAGCTGGGTGAATCGTGTCTTGGTGCCCGGACCCTTCTCGAGCTGGTCCAGAGGGACCTCGGGAAGCGTGCCATCTGGGTTACCTGGGAACCCATCCAGCTCCTTGGACGGCGACTCAGCGGTCTTTTCGTTCTTGTAGGCGGTCTGCATGATGGTGAGTTGTGGTCAGGACGGGTCAGCGGAGGATCAGTGCACATCTTATAGAAATTCTTCCCTCAGTCAGCTCGCCAAGTCCAGCAAGAAATTTGCAGGACAGGGTCGCGCTCGGGCGACACGTTCTTTGCGGCTCGACCAGCCGTAGCTTGACTGGGGCGTCGGAAGATAAGAGGAGCTCTGCTCAAACAAGAGGAGATGCAAAGAAGGTGATGATCGGACACATGGGTCGACAGGCACAATTCCGAAGGTGTCTTTACCTCCGAAACCCGAAACACGTTCGTGAGTCCATACTTCTCACTCGTCCATGGAGATCTAGTGAACATGCAGATGCCTAGCAGTCCTCAGCGCCTCGGCAGTCCCTGTAGCACTATCGAACGTGCGCCCAGTGACGTCTTGCCCGCGGCCGCATCCGGGGTCAGACGACCAAGTCGACCAAGCAAGGCAAAACTGATCTGGAGACCGCCAGTCCAACTTGACGCGTCAAAATCATGCTCGAGACAGCTAAGACAGCTTTGACGACAGCTGCACTGGTAGCGGCGTGGAGTCTAAGATGGAACGTCTATGTCTTCCTGCGCTTGGTAAGTCTGAGCCTGGCTGAGCTAACGACAGCTACCATTTGCTAGCAAGTCCCTGCCGAAGATCTGGACCGGACTTGCTGTCCACCTATCCGCCCTCTCAGCAATGTGGCTTTCCCGCAGCAAGAAGGCAGACCGAAGGACTGGCCTTGCTCCAGCTCTTGGGGTCCTCGGCATCGCTAGCGGCGCAGCGTCAATCGTCTGGGCAGTGGCGGTCGATCTTGTGCTGGTCCTGATGTCGCTGGACATGTGCTATCGAGCCCACTATCTCCATCCAGCCGGCGCACTCAGCTTCTCCCGCACCGGCTTCGTCACCGACACATCGGCCAGCCTTCTCTTTCGGTCTACGTCCCAGTCGTTCAACCTCACCTACGTATCAAATGCTGCTGGATCTGTCAAGATCCCGGTACATGTGCCCGCCGGCAGCGACTCGACCGTCTCGGTCCATATCGACGGACTCCAACCAGGAGAGACGTACAGCTACATCTCGACTGCTGGACACGAGGGATCGTTCTTGACGGCTCGAGCAGCCCCGGAGATATTCTCTCTCGTCAGCACGAGCTGTCAGAAGCCAAACTGGCCGTACTCGCCGCTGAACCATCCTCTGCGCGTGACCGGGATGGAGCACCTTGACAAGCATGTTGGCGGGATGAGGCAGAAGCCAGAGATGATGTTATTTCTGGGCGACTTCATCTGTGAGTGATAGCTTGGCCCTGGCTGATGCAGATTCCGACCTCCCCATGCCCCTCGCGCCTTACACCAAGTCCTACTATCGCCAACTCTACCGCCAGCTCTATGCCTCCCCATCCTGGACCCGCAACCTCCTCGATCTTCCCTGGATCCACATGTTTGACGATCACGAGATCATCAACGACTACTCTACCGATCCAAAGCACACCCCGCTGTACCCCGAAGCGATCGACGCTTTTGCCCACTATCAGCTCTCCGTCAATCCCCCTCCCATCAATCCTGCTCAACCCACATACACTTCCTTCAACATCGGCCAAGTGGCCTTCTTTGTCCTTGACAACCGATCTTTCAGGTCTGCGCAGCCATTACGGAGCGGGTCGAATTCCACCGGTGGTCAAGGGGAGCGGACCATGCTGGGAGTTCAGCAATTGGCGGATCTGAGGGTCTGGGTGGATCGAGAGGGAAAGCGGGAGGGAAGGCTGCTGGTCCTCGTGAGCGGTGTGCCGGTGACTCGGAATTGGTCAGAGGGCGGGGATGAGTTTGATAGCTGGGCTGTAAGTTCTTTTGCCCTGGCTGGCTGGGTTGAGCTGACCTTCAGGGATACCTTGACGAGCGAGAAGAGGTGCTGGAAATGCTTTGGGCGGTGGGCGGCGCAGTCATCATATCTGGGGACAGGCATGAGCATGGTAGGCCTTTTAACTACTCAACGAGACCGAAGCTGATAAGCCAGCCACCACCGTCCTTCCACCTTCCCCTCACTCTGGCCATCCGTCATCCCACTCAGTCATCGAGTTCTCGACATCCCCTCTGTCCTACTTCCATCAACCTTGGCTGCGAGAACACGTCGAGCACCGCCCCACGGACATCACACTGCATCATGAATGGCGGGGTATGAGTCGCTTCGGCGCGTTCGACTTTGACACGTCTGGGCAGGAGCCCAAGGTGGACTTTACGTTGGTTGTAGATGGGGAAGAAGAGTGGAAGTACACGTGGTGGAAGGGAAAGGGTATCGCTATCTAGAGGCTGGTCATAAGATGATGAAGGGGGTCGTGAGCTCGAGATGTGCCGGCCTTGGCTGACTCATACTGATCGTTGCCTGACCTGACATTTACTACATATAGACCTACAAAACCCTGACTGACTACCTGATCGAGTGTTAGACCTGTTGACGCTCCCTGTATTCTCGGTCCGCCTCCGCCGCATACTGGGCTGTGGTCTTGTATGCCTTGAATTTGCGAGCTGGCACCTTGGCCTGAAACATCTCGTCGAGCTCGGCGTATGATCTGTTCTTGTACTAGATAAATGTCAGCTAACGTAACTCATTGGCTGGCCTGTGGAAGGCTCACCTCAGGCAAGAGGAAGTAGAGGCCAGCTGTCGCGCAGCAGCATGTGCCGAAGAAGAAGAACGCAGCTCGGATGTTCCACTTGGCGAGCATGAGGGGAACACAGTAGCTAAAGACAAGCGACAGTGACTGGGCTGTCGCTTGACTGGTCTGTTAGCTGTAAGAAGCGAGGAAATCACTAGGAGACCACTTACGATAGACTGTTGGTCTTAGCTCGGAGCCGCGGCGTGGCGGTCTCGCCTTGGTATGCAGGACCTAGGGTGAATCAGCGCAGACCTGTTACTCTCACGACTAATTCCAAAACTGGCTCACCGATAGGAGCGATGCCCGAATTGTACCCAAAGGCCCACAGACACATGAAGGAGATCAAGACGGTCGAGCGGGCGGTGGTATCGGGGATGACGGACATGATGGCAATGATGAACAGAGAGGAGGAGAGGATGACCCCAGCACCTAGAGCAAGAGGTCGACGACCGAAAAGATCAGAGGTGAAAAAGGCCCCGAGGACGCCGAGCAGGCCGATAAGGCTGACAATCATAGCCCCGCTGTTTGAAATCAGCAAGATTCGGATTCAAGGCATCAGGATCCGATTTTACAGGAAAGGATTGGCCATTCCTGCGAGCTGGAAGAAGTCTAGCGTCAGCCCGAGGGAGATCATGAGACTTACAAGACGTATAACCGTTGACGAGCGAGTTTCCAGAAAGCTGAGCGAAAAGAGGGATAGCGGCTGAGATGAGGAAGCGGCGCTGTCGTCAGCGAGATCAAGCAAATGCACTAACCAAGTTGGACCCTCTGAAGATCTCGGTAAAGTTGGTCTGACCAGCCTCTGCAGCGAGCTTCCTCTCGTCCTGAAGTACAAGAGTCATGAGTTTATCTGATAATCAGCCCGGTCCCACATGCATTCTGGAAACCTACACTCGTGCTCGGCGTCAAAGTTCTTGCCGTATAGCTTCTTCAGGGAAACCTTCGACAGCTCGTGGTTGTCCTTGCGAGCGTGGTACCAAGCGGTCTCTGGCACGAAGGGCCAAGCGAGGACAAACAATCCAGTGAACACCCACTGGGAGTATACGACGCGGCGGAAATCCAGCACTTCAGGGGACTGTACGTCAGCTAACCTAAAGACACGGACCTACAGTAGCCAGAATCTGAAGGCCGATAGCACCGCAGAGTCCACCAAGCTGGTAAAAGAGGGCGTAAGAGGCGAGGAGAGCGCCTCGGAGGCGGATAGGAGCGACTTCGGCGACGTAGATAACACATTGGGTCTGGACCAGGCCATTGCCCATGCCCGTGAAGATCTTGGCGACCGCCCAGACCTGCCAGCTGGTGGCAACGCACTCGATAGCGACACCCTGGGATCAGACTCGCCCGGACTGACCACTTACGATAGCCAAGAGGATGGTCAGCCATGCGAGGATATACTTTCGGCCTATGACGTCGCTCAGGCTATAAATCAGCATTGCTGGTACCAGATACTCACAATCCACCGTATAGGTTGCCGCAGATGACGCCACCCTGGAAAATGCCACCCCACGCCGCGACAATGAGAGGGTCGAGCTGGAGGAGACCGGCCGAGTCGGTGATCGTTCCTGTGTGGTCAGCTGAGTATGCGGGCAACTCGCTCGTTACGGCTCACCGAACTGATTTATAAAGCCCCTATTTGCGATGATGGACCCCGGGATCTTGGTCTGGAAGCCATCCATTGCAGCCGCAATGCTAGCGAACAGACAAAAGATCACAGCCTAGAGATCAGTCGAAACTCCTCATTCCTCGCAAAACTTTCGATGTCTCACTTTCCAGTACTTCTTGACCGTTTGCTTCCGCGATAGATCCGCGAAGGCAGAGACGATGTATGCCTCGCCTGCATCTTCGATTTTGTGAATGGACTCCTTGGAGCTTGCACGAGCGAGCTCATGTTGCTGTTCGATGGGGACGATGGCTTTGATTTCGACCGACATTGTGTTGGGGTGCGAGAGTGGAGGTGCGGGGCCTGCGAATGCGGGGCAGGGGACCTAAAGTTATATAGACTCGCATGTTGCTGGGAGCTACGATCGGGATAATGGTATACTCCGTGAGCGTGTCTAAAAGGAGCCTAGCTGTACATCCACGTACAGACAAGAGCAAGCGTAGAGATATGCATAGCTCCACGCCACAGCTTGCGACCTCTTGCGACCCGCTGATATTACCCGGGCCGGTGCCGGGCCGTAGTCGTTCGGCGCTTCGGCGCATTCGTCAGCGCGAAATCGAGGCCTTTGCCAGATGCTTCAGGTTGCTTCTGATATCCGAAGGCCATCTATCTCCATCTTCTCCATCCGAGTCCTGATATAGCATCTAGTCCAGCCCGCTATATCCGTCGGCCCCGAAGCCCGAGATGCCTGTACGGAGGTGCACGGCCGGCCATCGAGTCGGCGCGGGGCATTAATTGTTCCGTGGCCAGGACTGATCTGGACTGATGCGAGTGCGTTGCGACAGACGCGACATGCGTCCGACTCTCTTCCAGGCCACGTCCATCACTGCTAATAATGAGTGTCCAGCAGCAGATAGACGCGCTCCACCGCAACTGGGTCTGGGTGAAGGACTGGCAGGACTCCTCGCTCGACAACACCGTCGGCCGCCTTGTCACCTTCACCCGCAAAGTCCACCTCGACACCATTCCCCAGACCGCCGGCATCCACTGCACAGCCGACACTCGGTACAAGCTCATCGTCAACGGTACGCGAGTATGTATCGGTCCCTCCCGCTCCAGCCCGGAGCGATGGCTATACGACACCATCGACCTCTCTCCCTTCCTGGTGTCCGGCGACAACACCATCACCTTTGTCGTCATGCGGTACTTCTACGCCACACGGGCAGCGATGCCGTTTGTACGGACGGGCTTTGCAGGATTGACGCTGGTGGGGAGCGTGGGGGCGGAAGATATCGGGACGGGCGAGATGGGGAGCTGGGAGGCAAGGGTGGACATTGGAACGCTGTTCCCGATAGGTCTGGAGGATGATGTCTTCCTGCATGTGAGTCTAGGTCATGGTGGGACTGATGTAGATCAATGAAAGGACACACTTGCAGAAGAGCGCGAAAGTAGAGATCTCCGCATACGGTCTCCGCCTGGTCAACGGGGAGCTACCGCCCTGGCGACTCCATCCTCGCCAGATTCCTCTCCCAGAGCAGACCACTGTCTCAATCCACACCGTTCGCGCCCTTCAGTCTTCCATCAGTCAGCCCTCGTGGGAGCAGCTCCTGCAATCTGGCCAGCCCCTTACACTCCCCTCTACATCCTCGCACTCCATCGACCTTCAGGCCGACTGCCACTCCACCGCCTTTACAAAGTGGACCTTCCGCGCGTCCTCGCCCACCACTATCCGCCTCAAGGTGACCTACTCGGAGGGGTATGAGCTCGAACCTCGGCGATATCCCTGGCTTCGGACCAAAGCGGATCGGCTCGACTCTAGCGGTCTCATCCTCGGTCCGCACGACGAGGTCACGCTGGATGTCCCGGCAGGAGAGACGTCGTACGAGCCATTCTGGTTCAGGACATTTCGCCTCCTCCGCGTGGAGCTCACCTGCGGTCCTAGCGACGTCGCCCTGGTATCCCTCAAAGCCACCCAGACCAATTATCCCCTCTCTATCAAGGCGGCCTGGTCAGAACCGGAAGATCAATTCAGCGGCGACATCTTTGACATCTCCATACGGACGATGCGCAACTGTATGTTTGATGCCTACTCGGATTGCCCTTTCTACGAACAGCTCTCGTGAGTCCAGACCAAGGCCCAGCTGATATCAGGTATTCTGGTGATAGTCGCTCGGTCGGCCTTTTCCACTACCTCCTGTCCGGAGACGATCGCCTCGTCCGGCAGACCATCACCTCCTTTGCCGGCTCTATCACGCCCGAAGGCCTTACCCAATCCCGCTATCCCTCTCAAGTCCAGCAAGTCATCGCTGGCTTCTCCCTCTATTGGGTCCTCCAAATCTGCGACCACATGCTCTACTTTGGCGACGTCAGCTTCTCCAAACCCCTCCTCCCCCTCGTTGACGGCGTGCTCGACTTTTTCGATCGGCACGTCGACCATCTCGGGCTGGTCAGCGCACTCCCGGCAGATGTATGGCAGTACGTCGACTGGGTTACCGGCTATCACGAGACCGAGGAGCACCCGAGTAAGGGCGTACCTACGGCCGGTCGCAAATCGAATCGCCACACCTACTTTAGCATGCTGTACGCGTGGACTCTGCAGCACGCCGCCAGGCTCGTTCGGCAGGTCGGTCGTCCTCAGTACGCCTTGGAGTACGAGCAGAGGTCGGACGCTCTGCTTGTCGCCATCCGTAGGCACTGCTTTGACCCCAAACTTCGGATCTTTACCGACAGCACGTCCGATGTCCCTCCCGACACACCCACTCCCTACTCCCAGCACGCCCAAGTCTTCGCGGTGCTATGCGGCGCTGCCGATCCTGAAGACTCTGCACGTCTTCTCCGCACCGCCTTCCATCCGGACACGTCCCTCGGCAAATGTTCATACGTCATGATGTTCTACGCATTCCGGGCGTTCGCCAAAGCGGGGATTTACGACGAGATGTACGCGGACGCATGGGATCCATGGCGAAGGATGATCGGTCAGAATCTCTCCACATGGGAGGAGGATGATGTGCGGCAGCGTTCAGACTGCCATGCCTGGGGCAGCGTGCCAGTGTACGAGTACCTCTCGGAAGTGGCGGGTGTGCAACCGCTTGAGCCGGGGTTCAAGGCGGTCTTGTTCGCCCCGAGGCCAAGTCTGAGTGCTGCTTTGGAGGCGAAGGTGGCAGTAGGGGCGGACAATGCTGCGCACGTATCGTGGGGGAAGGGAAAGGCCGGCGATGGGACGAAGGCGAGAATGACGCTGGATAAGGCGGTAAGGGTAGTGACCAGGTCAGCCGATGGGCAAGACCACGATCATGGGGTGACCAAACAGGTCGAGGTTCATTATTGAGCAGAGAGACGCATGAGATGCCATGCTCCAGGCCAGGGGCTCCCAATTTGCTGCGCCGGGCTACCGGAGCTGAGATCTGCCACTCCGCTCGCAAGAGCCACGGACTGGTCTGTCACCCGAACCATACACCGCATTCCTCGCGTCAAGCTTTGAATTTTGAACCTTACGCATCTTCCTTCTTCCCGTTCTTGCGCCTCATCATGCCCAGCCTACCTGATGTCCTCCACCTTATTCCCCCATATATACGCGACATCGAAGACTACCTGGCGCTGAGTGTCACTGGCCGCGAAGTCCGGTCACTCGTACAAGAATATAGCTCGCCCAGCACCCTCCTCGTTCTCTGCTACCACTCCCGCCGGACCTTCTTTCGCCCAGACCCACTCTTTCTGCTCACTCCTCTCGCACCACCCCTTTCCATATGGGCTCGTAGGTCCACAGAGAATCTACGACGTCTCGTCCACGCCTTCTACTACGGCGAAGAAGCGGTGCTGGATCTCGGCATCTCGGTCCCCGCCGTGGCTATCGAGGCAGAATGGAGCATGGCCAGAGTGTGTCAACTCTGGGAATGGCGTATGAGGGTTGTCACTCCGTTGACGGACCTCATCGATCGGTGTGTTGGACAGCAGTGGTATGCCCAGGCAGACTTCTGGGATGGAGGCGTGGAGGATGCGGCGACGCTATATGCTGAGCCGGCGGAGGTGGTGTTCAGGATGCTCATCTACGGTGAGCTATTCAAAGATGGATGGCATGAGTGGATAGAGGGTACTGACAGGGTGAGCTGTTCCTCCGCCTGGTATGTGCAGATACGGGCTAATCCAACCAGAGTCAGCCCGTGCCCCCTTTTGCCGCCCTTTCCACCCGCTTGGAATACGTCAAATACCTCCTTCCCGATTGGCGATCCTATCCGACCGCCCACGACGGTACCCCTGGAATCCGTCGAGGAATGGATATCACCTGTGACCGTCCATATCACCCTGGCGAGATCGTCACTCTGCCTCAGCGTCTCACTCATCCCATCACCGGCCACGTCCGTACGATCCACCCATTTCGAGCTATACAGGATGGCTCGACCCCCTATAGGGATGCCATGCGGGAATACGAGCATCAGACGGTTCTTCGGCATCTCCTCGGTGCGAGCACACTCTGGGGACAGGTCACTACTGCCGTCCGCAACATGTGCGGCGGGGATTTTGACACACCTGTCCACAAGTTGAGGGCGGTGGGGGGCGACGTGGACTGGAAGCAGGGCTTGTGGGAGAACGCGCTGTATCTCCTGGGGTATGAGGGAATGGAGATGGTGATCCAGGTGTGGAACGGGATGAGGGGAAGTGTAGGGGAAAACGGGGAAAATGGGGAATATGGTGGGGTGGACCAGCGGGGACCCGGATGGGACAAAATGCGACGATACCGCAGTCTCATTGCAGCCATGACAGAAGAGCCTGAGAAGGTTCAGATAGGGAAGAAGTGGACATACGAGATCCCTCATCTGTATAACGATCTCGGCGTGGCGATGTGGGACAACTAGAGGTGGACATGCATCAATGCATCAAAGGTGTCGAGGTCTAACTGACTAGACTTCCGCCGATGCCTGCTGCCTCTGGGCTATTTTGCCGACTTGGTAGTCGAGAGTCCACGTTCGATGCCATGAGCTGGACGAACTGTACTCTGCTGAACTGTACGGTCAGCTGATTCAACACGCTCACGTACCAAAGACCACCAGTCCTGCAGCATGTTGAACCATTCTTGCGACTCGCCGTTGCACTTCAGCAGGCCGAGAAGGATCCGGAAGATTTTTCCTCTCTGCTGATCAGCTCGATGTCACCCCGTCCAGTGCTATGACGGACCATGCTCTCCCCGTTTGCGGCTAGGTCATCCAGACCAATACACGAAAGCGTCTCGTACGCTTCTTTTCCCATCGTAGCCCGTTCAGAATCGAGGATTGTCGTTCCAGGCTCAACAAGTTCAGCTTTGTAATCCGCCTGGAGGTCAGCTTGGCTGATCCTGATAGCGCGAAACTCACCAAGGCGAACCGGATAGAAACAGCAGTAATGGCGAGATTGGCCCGCTGCATCCCCATGACTGCCAGCCTGATCTCATCCATCGGCTCGTCGAATGTCCATCCCAGCTTCAGTATGTCTGGGAGGAACTGCATGATCTCGTCCAGCTCCAGAAGAGCGGTATCGATCCACTGCAGCTCCGCCTCGACATCTTCGTATCGCGGTCTTTCTCCGCGTTTGCGGCTCGACAAAAGGGTCCGGGTGCGGCGGATAGGCTCCTCGAGGAGAGGAAACTGGCGGATACAGGCGACAAAGCCGATCATGTATGACGTCTGATTTGGGGGTTGTGGGAAGGACCCCTGTGAAGTAAGGAACTCGTCGTCCACTTCGAGGGGAAGGGAAGGTCGGCCTTCGAAGGCGTTGAGGTGAATCTTATTCCCGGCAGAAGCTTCGGTACTGCTATCAGCTGGGGCCGGGCAGGAACCTACATGTCTACAGCATGAACATGCCACCATATCCTTCTCCTGAGCTGGATGTCCACAGCGTCCAGACCCATCCCAGCAGTGGCGTCGTCATCGTGCATCCGCATAAGAAACATGAGCTGGCAGGCCTCGGCGAGGAGGGTCAAAGCGCGGTTCGTCTTTCCCACTGATTGACAGTAGAAGTAGCCACTGATTATCAGCGGCGGCATAGTCAGCAACTCACGCTGATAATGTGCCGACATGCATTATATTGGGCGTCCGGTAGCTGCGGTCTAGCAGCATCATGCTCGCGCGATGACATCGATGCTGCAGGGACGCTAATTCGCCGCGAGTAAAGTCTGTCATCCGGCCGAGAGGCGACTGTCCTATCGTATATGCCACTAATGGTCAGTGCCCCGCCCTGCGAAGGGTGAAAAGGACTTACCTATACCTAATACCAGCGCTCGAAAGTCCCTATCCACCTTATCGCGTCTCATCGCCAGGCTTTGGCTGAATGTCGGCCGATGGACCATAGGGAATAGCGAATGGGAGTATGCGAGGTACAGCCGAATGATGATTGATATGGTACTCCAGGGAGCGACGTGATCCAGCTGAATGTCCGCGCCGCCTGTGGGGAGGGGTATCTCGGGTACGCGGCGGGAGGAGGGAGGTACGAGCAGTGTGGGAATGGGCGGTCTGGCACTGACGTCAGGTAGATGATTTTCTGCCTGACCGGGATAGGGTTCCGGAACCAGACCGCCTGGTCCTGGTATACGACCCGATCCGCTTGTACTCCCGGTAGGCCAGTCAGTGATGAGATCATGCTCCGACCACTCGGAGATGTCGAGCCCGGCGGTGAGAGGACGTGCTGGCGAGGCGTTTGCGAGGAACGATAATGGGTCGATCGTGCCTGAAGTAAATTTGCCCTCAGGAAGCGATCTCCGAGGACCGAGAGGAGAGAAGCGGGGAGCGTAATTCGCGTGCCCACCGTTGGCTGTCACCGAATGGGAAGACGCAGATTCATGCTCCGGCCGAGAAGACTGCACGTCCACTTGATAACCAGCCATGGCGGCGACATCATCCTGATAGGATAGCCGCCCGCCATTCCGTGATGGTCCACCTTGGCTGTCCGAGCTGTGGAAGGAGGGCAAGCTCGGCCGATTGCCCGCCTGCGAGGGCATTGGTGGAGACCGAGAATGAACATCGGACGGCTCCCCTGATCCTGACTCTCGGGTAAAGCTGGGCTATCAGCCACCGCTGAGGGGATGGACTTACGATGTGGGCCTTCCTGGACGTTTGTAGACGTGGTCATAGGTGCACTTGATCCCGAGTCGAGCGCAATTCATGCAGGCTGCCTCCTTGTCGTGCTTCTCATTATCATCTGATGGCGGTAGGCATTTCGTCTGTACAGTCAGCACCGGTTCATTTTGTGGATATTGGGGTCGCCCTGGACTTGCCTTTCTCTTGCGGCAGATGTCGCAGGTCTTGTACTGCATCGACGGCATGCTGGTCGTTGATCTAACAGGTTGAAGGGCAGATGAGCAAACAAAAACACCGCCGGTGCGCCGGATCATCCATTGCCGGCTCGACCATATGGCCATCTCACGCTCTCTACTCTGATGATGCTTTCTTACATTGTGCCTCCAACAGAAGATCAAGATGGCGCTCTCCATCGACTACACAGGGAAGCTCGTTTTGATCACAGGCGGAGGGCGAGGGATTGGGCTAGGTATCACCAAGGCTTTCGCTAGCGGTTAGCTGCTTCCCCTACATATCCTCCGAAGCGTCCACTGACTCCGCAGCTGGCGCAGACTTGGCCATCACCTATACAAGCCAGGACTCTACCTCACTCGCTGCTGATCTATCCAAGAAATACGGCGTCTCGATCCGCGCTTTCAAGTGCAACGTGACCAAATCAGCCGAGATCGATGCGATGATCCAGGAGGTCGAGGCGAGCTGGGGCAAGAAGATCGATATGGCAGTAGCCAACGCGGGGATCAGCCAGTGGAAACAGACTATTGACAGTACTGATGGTATGTGTCCCTACCGTTCGCAGCTGAGACCTCAGAGGATATTGAGAAGATGTTCGCTGTCAATACGCTCGGACCTTTTTACCTGTCGAGGAGCCTAGCACGGTCGTGGCTCGACCTCCCGGTCTCCGTCGGACCAGACACGGTCGATGTGTCAGAGCTGAAGGGCAAGAAGCTCGACAAGCAGATCTTGTTCGTATCGAGTATCAGCGGGCTGGTAGCGATGAGCCCGCAACGACAGGCAGCATATAATGCGAGTAAGGGGGGATTGACCATGCTAGCTAAGGTGAGTGCTGGTTCCCCTCAGATGCTCAATTACTGATAGTCACAGTCACTGGCTCAGGAATGGGCGCACATAGGGATCTACGTCAACGCTATATCACCAGTAAGCCGGTCCGCGTTCTCGAAGCAGGCAAGATATCTGGAGCTGATCTCTAGGGCTACGTTGCGACAGACATGCTCGGAAATGCTGCGAACGAGAAGGAGGCCGCATTCCCAAAAGAATGGGACTTCAGGACACCGGTCGGACGGTAGGTTGACACTGGTGACCGCCAGAGATGCGAATTGACACTGCAGCTTCGCTACGCCCGAAGAAACGGGCGAATTCATCGCGGTATTGATGTCAAGATACCAAGGCGGCGGAGGGTTTATGACTGGGTCAGATGTAGTGTATGATGGTGGTGAGTCAAACGGCGGCCCTGCGCAATCGAATGAGCTGACGGGCAGGTTACACAACTTTATAGCATACAATGATGAATGTCTCTCAACTACTGTTCAGACGTAGCCGCAGAGCCTCACAGCATGGTCAATCCCGGCCCGAAGAAGACGCCCCCCGGAATCGACATTGGATCCGCAGGAGGAGCCGGCGCAGGCGCAGGCGCCATGCTCGGCTCTTGTGTGTTCCGCTTCTCCGCATCCCTGGCCCTCTGTGCCCTCTTTCTCTCCCTTGCCTTCTCCCTCTCCTTTTCCCGCCTTTCAGCTACAGTCGGGTCGTTCCTCTCCTCTTCGTGCCGGAGAAGTCTCGCAGCTTCTCTCTCTCCCCGCGCCGCCCTTTCCCGGTCTCTTGCTCGCTGAGCTCGCTTTCTCTCCCTTGCCTTCTCGCGAACAGTTTCACTGTGAAGGTAAACTACGGAGCCATCTCTTTCGGCCCTATCGGCGGCGGTGGAGGATGATTCGGCTTGTCGGGCAGGTGTACGAGCGACACTACGGCGGCTACATCTAATCAGCTTGAGCCAATTGAACCTTGAGGATTGGACTTGCGCTGAGGTCGTGTTGCGACCGGTACCTGGCCCCGCCGTCGTCCGCTTTCGCTTTGACCCAGTACCGGTGGTCGCGAGCCGCCTGAACGTGATCCAGCCGCGCGAGCGCCCCTTGAGGATGACGCAGTCGCATTGGTAGCGTTCATCATGCTCTGCTGCGGTCAGCTTGTTTCCAAGCGGAGAAGGAGACAACACACATTGATAGAAGCCCCTGCGTGGCCATGTCCCGACTGCATGGCCGTCACTTGCAGCATGTTCAGGTCCGAGTTGATGTTGGCATCTCCACCATTGTTGGTGGCTTGGCCGGTCGGCTGCCTAGTCAACGGAGATGCGGAGCTCTCAAGGGGAAGGCGGCCTCACGTAGAGATATAAAGATCCCGAAAAGTTCCAGCCATTACATTGTGCTTGGAGGCTCATGTACATGGGCGCGGGTGCTGAGTAGTCGGGCATACCCTCTCGTTCCATGTCAGCTGGTAGTGAAGATGGAGTATGGTTGAGAAGGCTATTCACTCGCCAAGATCAGGTAATAAAGATCGTCGGTCGGTCCGGATGCAATATATATTGTCAGTCACCTTAGTCACGTCGAGCCGAGCTTAAGACATCGTCGGGCCCTGTCTGGCCCTCGCCTATCATCCTATATCTCAGCGGCACAAGCATCGCATCCCACACGGGAGGAATGGATCAGGCAGCCATATCATCATCATCTATCCAGGACAGCCCCTGTTGAGCGTGTGAATGGCGGTGGGCTACGAGCTATTGCGCACTGGGCCCGGGGAGGATGTGGAGGATGAGCTGGATCAACCCATAAGGTTGAGGCGTGACGGGTCAGTCCATCCCGGCCTAGAGGCTACATGTAGCGTTCAGCTGAGCCGTATGGCCTAGCTTGCTGACCCTGCAGCACTCGGCGGCGCTTTCTGCCCTCTCGTCTCCCTATCTCCAGGTCCCGGCTCGTAGTCCTCTCGTTCATCCTATTGGGCTTCGCCGCCGTCATCCTCTTCGCGCAGGTAGCACTCCCGGACGAGCAGCTCAGACCGACACGAGACGAGCTGGACGCTGGCTATTTTGAGACTGGGGACGTTTGGGCGCACAATTCGGCCGTCTCTGCCCGACTAGACCGGTGCGCGTCCTTCGGCCTCCTTCGGAACACCTCCACCCCGCACTCTGCTCGCCTCACCACGGTCCACCCCGAGTCCACCTACACCGCCGCTGGATGCGGCTTGAACGCAACGACGCTCATCATCGTCTCCTCCGTATACTTCGCCGAGGCGTACAACGGGGCGACGTTCGGCGAGTCCATCTGGGCCCAATCCGTCATGACCGCCCTGAACCGCTGGGGGTACTCGTTCATGTTCAGCTCGCTCGGATGGTGGAATCACGATATGGCCAAGACGATGGAGATCTACGCGCAGTATTCGGGGCAGGTCAGGTTGGTGGTAGCGGATCCTGAGCAGGTGGTAGTTTGTTTCGGGGAACAGAAGGGGAATTGTCTTCGCAGCGAGGAGAATCCAGGGGGGATGGAGGAGTGGAGGTTCCTTGGGTTCAACTTCTGGGATACGTGAGTGCTCTATAGCTGCCTGACTGATGCCAGAAACGACCCCACATATGGACCCGCTTGGACACTTCCCGATCACCCACGCGGACCCCACTTTACCCTTTCTCCCGCTCCTGCAGCGCTCACCTCCCACTTCTCCCTTCCCTACTCGATCGAGCCTTCATGCCGACAACGACCTCACCAGTCTTCCGCCCGCCTGTCCCAGCCAAGGGCGTATCTCATGGCCAAAAAGACGTCCTACCTGTCCCCAATTGCTCCGTCGTTCCCCTGGACCCTGCCTGCCCTGGCGGAGATAGCGTCGGAGCTGGATGTCCAGATCGCTGTTGGGCTGAGCGAGGACGACGCGCCAGCAACGGGCAAGCTATTACGGGAGAGTGCGGTGGTTGACCTGGGCAAGTTGAATAAGGAGGGCTTCATGGGTCGCTTATCCGAGAGCTTCGTGCTCATTGGTGCTGGCAGGCCCTTCATCAGTCCCAGTCCATGGGATGGCTTATGCCTTGGTGTTCCAGTGAGTTCCAGGTCAAGTGGGAGTGGCTTCGTGGACTGATTAGTAGTTCATCAACCCCATCCTCGCTTGGGATGAGAACGATCTGGGCAACCGGACAAGCTGGAAGATGCAGCATGGGCACATGACTGATCTCAACCCGTAAGTTCTCCCCTGAAATCCGGGGCCGAGCTGATGCGTCAGACCATACGTCTACTCCGTCCATTCCCACGACCATCAGGCGCTTCGAGAGGCCATGCTAGCAGCGCTCGAGAACCCTATCGACTCGTATATTCCGGGCCACATGACGTTCGATGCCGTCTCGGGCCGCGTGGGGGAGATGGTAGAACGAGATTGGGAAAGGGTGTGGAAGGAGGATCGGGAGTAAGTAGAGTGGATCTAGAAATTAGAAGTATTCGGAGGGTGTTTACCAGGCCGGCGCGCCTGTATGTAGCTCTTATATGATAGACGATTCCGGGGCACATGCATGTCGTGCTGATATCGTCATGCCGCTTCTGCGGTCTGCTTGAAGTCGTACCGCATCCCGTACGCATCCTCGCCATCTGCGTCTGCGCATGGTCAGCTCAGGATCAACTAGCTGAGACGCGAAGCTCACAATATGACTTCTGCACCTCGTGAACCTCAAAGCCCAGCGTATCTCGATACAGCGATATAGCCGCCCTATTTGATTTCCGGACGTGCAGCGTGATCTGCGCCGCTCCATAGTGCGCAACCATAGCCTCCTCTATTCGTATCAGCTCATACTCTGATCTGGAAGCAAAGCAGCTTACGCGCTTGTCTCATCAACCTATTTGCGAGCCCCAGCCGCCTATATGGTCTGATCACTGATATTGAGGTGACGTGCCCGTGAGGCTCGCCAGCGGGTTCCTCCTCCCTGTACCGTGAGCTAAAGGCTCCTCGAAAGGAGGCGATGATACATACATCTTGGATAGGATATATCCGACGACCCGACCCTGGGGATCCACCGCGACGTACGATAGCTCGGGCCATGTGAGGGCGTGGTAGAGATCTATATGGGTCAGCTTGCTCCTCAAGGTATCAGTTCCGATTCAAGCGTCCTCTCCGCCTCGCCCAGCCCTCTGATTCAGACCCCACCAGAGCGCCCGATCTCCCTCCACCATATTCTATCGCTTCCGCTTCTGCGGATGCGCCCTCTTCGAGCAGAGCAAGCCGAGCAACTAGAGGGGAATGTGAGCTAGGACAACGAACAGTATTTGAAGGTGTAATTTTCGGGCAAGTTGAGCAAATTGGCATTCTGCATCCCCAACAGGTCGTCTATCTGGCTCATATCAGCTGCTGTCTCTTTTCACATCGACGACCGAGCTCACTGTCGCTTGTCTGATGTCCATGTTGACGTAGGGTTGAAGGCTACTTGACTAGAAATGATTGATGAATGCAAGCCATGAACCTTTGGACTGCAGCAGCAGCTCGCACCGTGATTCCATGCCGTAATCGACTTCATGGCAAGCTAGTCAAAGCTACGCATATGGTCTGAAGCGCTCTACTGAAATGCCGTCGCCGGCAGCTGATTGATATCGGACTTTCTAGATGCAGAAATATCGCGCCATCCCATTGGTGAGGCAGTACATGGCTAAGAGGAGCCCCCTTTTGGAATTGGGGTCGGGAGACCCCCTTTGATGCTCTAGACGAGCCAGACGCCCGGTGCAGGATGCACATCCCTGAGTGAGCATTCACTCCTTAGTTCTCACCCCTTTGTCCTTGTAGGCGACTAGCTTAGCATTCCCATCGTAGCGCCTATAAGTAGGTCGATCCCTCATCTGGCCGTCTCATCTGGAGTACCTCTCGAGCTCAAACACCTCAAGTTTCAACCATGTCTCCTTCCGTGTTCCATGTTTGTGAGCTCATCCCAGCATCCAGCGACACACAGGAATCAAGAGGCTGATGACCTGTGCAGGCGCTTACAAGGTCGCCGATCCCGCCGTCATACCTGACCTGATCAACGCAATCCAGTCGGTCAATACGTCCTGTGCGAAACCGGACGGATCCGAGTACATTCTCTCCGTCAAGGGCGGGAAGCAGATGAGTCCCGAGGGGCTGGATCTGGGCGTTCAGCTTGTCTTTGTCCTCGAGTTCAAAGCGAGTATAATCAGCTTGCCCATATCCCTGTCGTCATCTTCTCATGCCTGTAGGACAAAGACGACTTGATGTATTACATTGACGAAGATCCGGCTCACGTCGCTTTCAAAGTGAGTATTGCTAGCTCAGCTCTCATTGTTGAAGTTCAGCGCTGATGTCAGACAACCTGCGTGGAGAGGTTCGGACTTGGCGGCGGGGCGGTCGTTGACTTTATTGACGGCGTGTTCTGAGCCACGATCTCGTACCTATAGCCGCGATGCATCTGCCTTGTCCTCATCTCCGCCTACCGCCCCTGTTGACTTTCCGATCATCCACCTCTCCCTCTTCGCCCTCCACTTCCCCCTCTTCTAGCCCATTCCGGCCCGGCGTTGTGGAGCTTCGGAGCCCACTGGGACGCTGAGGGAGACTCGCCGACGCCGCCCTGTTGCCTGACGCTGCTACACCCCTGACAGCGCTCGGCGCAGTAGGTATGACCGGCGACTTCCTGCTTGGGCGAGTTGGAAGTGCGTGCGATGCGGACCGGGCGGAAGGGGCAGATGGGGGCGTGGCGGCGTTGCTGCGGGAGCTGCTGGCGCTTGAGGAAGGTTGGAAGGGGAGGGCGGAGCCAGATAGGCGGGCGCTATCTGACGCTGGAGCAGCCGGTTCGGGCTCGCGGGAAGCAGGCATGGGGTCGTCGACGTCCATAGGTTCGTCGGTTGTGTCTGTGCTTGTCTCGACGGGGAGCTCCATTGCCTTGACTTCATCAACGATGGGGGTGATGCTCGAGAAGGCGTCGATGCGTCGTTGGACGATATCGAGGTAGGTGGCGTGAGAAGTGCGATGTGCCTCAATCTGGGCTTGGAGAGTTACGATTTGCCTAGTGTGTCAGCTATGCCATGGTCTCGTCGATCGCGTACGGCAACCTACTCCTTCAGCTCCTCCTTGGACTTGGGACGAGCGGTGATCTTGGCATACACCGCATCGCACCGGATCATATGATCCCGCTCTTTCAGCTTCGAAGCGAGAAGTCGCTTCTCGTCCTCTAGGGTGGCTTCGAGTGCTTCCGCTTGTCTCGCTAAAAAGGTCAGCTATCTCCCAGACGGACTGGCAGACATCACCAGTATCAACACTCACATGTCTCCTCTGCCCTCTGCCTATATCGCTCCCCCTGCCTCCCCAGATTCTTGGCACTCGCCATCACCCTCTCCACGCTAGCTTTCCACTTCAGTACCTCGATCCTGGTGATCTCCCGCTCCATCTCCGCGTCTACTTCTCCGCCTTCCGGAGTGCCTCCCTGCATGATACCCTCATCATTCGTCGGGGTAGCTGCCGCGAGACCAGGAAGAAGGTATATGCGCCGAAGGAGAGTTCGGAGTTCTTTGTCGGGATGGGTGATGCGATATCGATTGAGCGCGTCTATGATGTAAGTGTATTTATGATTTGCAGCGTGGTGTGGGCTCACCATCCGATAATACAGCGGGCATGACGAAGTGATCTGAGCAATGTGCGGCTGTATGTAGCAGGAAGATGGCGAAGAGTCTAGTGATGGCGGCCGAGAGCACTCGCGAGGACATTGCGAAGTGGCTTCTTTCCGACGGAAGCCTCTGACAAATTCAAGCTCCGCCAAAACAAGCGCTCCGTTCGCCTATCGTCCACAACCACACCAGCCACCAGGCAAGATGGTCAACCAAGGTCTCATCCGCCAGATCGTACAGGTCCTCCTCAAGGTCTTTTGCGGAGGGGACCAAAAACAACATAACCAACATCAGCAACAGCAAGGGCAAGGCGGTTTCGGCGGTCAATATCCCGGCCAACAACAGCAACAGCAGCAACAACAACAGTACCCACCTCAGCAAGCACCATATCATGGCGGTCAGCAGCAAGGGGGGTCTTGGGCCCAAGCGGCGGGTGGGCAGCCCGGTGGTCAGCACAAGCCAAATAAGCACAGTAACCAGCAACAACAGCACGGAGGGCAACAGCCGTTCTTTGGGAACCAGCAGCAGCAGCACAGGCCGCAAGGGCTGCCAGCGGGCGGTATCTTGGGCCCATATCATCCGGGGAAGCAGGTAAGGCTATCATTTGATGGCCAAACCTGACAGAGCTGGCACGGGGTATCATGAACTGACCGGTCAGGACGATAACCAAATCAACCAGGCGAACGAGCATTATATGCAGCTCCGAGCGCAGGCACGGCACGAAGGGGACGAATCGCACCGGTGAGCCAATGCTCCAGTCGCTCGGCTGTTTCCTCGCCGAGTCTTAGCTGATGGGAAAGATGCTTCGCTGCCAGTCAACAGGCTTATCAGTGAGTTTCGTCCATCCTGACCCTGCTGTCTGCAGTAGTATTGAGAGAGCTGAGGCCTATCGCTGACATGCAGATCTGGAAATGGTGCCAAGGCCCACGACCTCAGCGCGGAAGGCAAGCAGCATGCTGCTCGTCAAGATCAGCTAGACGATGAAGCCTCGTCATGGATTTTCATCGGTATGTCACCCTCTGGCGTATGCCACACCCCTTCCAGGCATATCCTCTCAAGGTCCGAGCTGATCCCTCAGAGAACAACCGAGACTCACCGCCCGGAACTCTGGATCTGCACGGTCTCTACGTCAAAGAAGCCATCGAGCGGACCGAGAGTGCCATTCGGGAAGCACAGGGTCGAGGGGACACCGAGATGCAGATCATCGTCGGTAAGGGCTTGCACAGCCAGGGACACGTTGCAAAGATCAAGCCGGCTGTCGAGGACTTGATGAGGAGGTAGGTCACGATGCTTTCGGCTGACGCGGGACAACAACCAACGCCATATTCTGGACTCTGCTAAGACCGCAGATACAATCTCGCAGCCCACATCGACTCGCACAACACGGGTGTCCTTGTCGTTGACCTTCGCGGCGGAACCCAGGGAGGCCGCTCGAGAGACGCCGGCGGTCTGGTCGACCAGATGCAGAAGGACGAAGGGGAGGGGTGCATCATCATGTGAGCTTTGGGGAGGTAGACCTTGGAGTGGGGCAGGTGGGGGCGGGTATCGACGGTATCTTGTTCATCATCTCGGGTATCTATTATCATCATGCATTTGAGCATTTGAGTCTTGAGGCCGTGAGGTGACAGGAGATACGCGGGTCTATTCGATCGCACCCCTCTGGAGCAAATCGGGAACGATCTCTAATGAAATTCTCAGCGGCAAGAGGAGGTGGCGCTGCTGGAGACCCCACGAAAGGGCCGCGGCCGAAGCAGCAAACCTCTTCGGACAAGGCGCCGGAGCGCCGTCCGGGATCAATTGATACATGTGTGTGGCGAAAGAGTAGAGCTTGAAGTTGGCAGTTTGGGCTCATTAATGGCAGCAGAGCATGTATAGGAGGCCTGCAGCGGATATGAAGACCTCTGTGGCTAAGGGCCAACATGTAGCAAATTTCCAGGTTTGAAGCAAGTGGCCCCGTTCCGCTTCAGTCGGTGTTCCCTCGGGCCCATTAGGAAATGATCGTCCACTTTGGGTAATATTTAGTGAGCGCCGCACTGTCGCCACCCTTCCTTTTCGTTACAACAGCTCTGCTCCTCTCGCTTGGATGAAATTCCCGACCGCCCATAGAGCATAGCCAAAAGACTTGCTCCTCAATCTCTACCTCTTCATCACCTCCCTCCCTTGCCCACTGTGCAATAGAGCAGCTCAAAGGCAAGCAAATCCTTCACAGCCCCATCCACTTGGCCTTGAACCGGCAACAAAGCGGCGCGGCAAACACCGATTCCTCCCTATCCTACTAGCTTGGCCTCATTAACCGCTCAACTTGTCCTTCCTATTCCGCTTCGCTTCTTTCCATATTCTCATCTCATCAAACCAGTCCCCTCCTTTACTCGACAGACCTCATCGCGCCCTCCTTTCCTCGGTGTTTTAGGGTATCGACCGCTTCCGATCCCCGCAGCACTCGTCCTCTTTGTCCTCATCTTGCTCCACTCAGGCCGGATAGTACGATTTGTCAGCAGCATTGATTCGGGCGGTAGCCAAAATCATACAGCATGGCCCAAATCATCCCATCTATCGTACGTTCCGTATCAGCTTGCACGAACCAGAAGCTGACCAAGCAGACATCCCTTCCTGTGGACTCATCAGCCGCGCCCTCGGTGGAGGATATCCAAGATCGCCTCCCGTCGATATGCGTCGACTATCTCTCGCATGACTGGTCAGAGGAGGATGTGTGGGCGAGCTGGCGGAACATGACGAGACACAAGCATGAGATTGCGAACGGGGTCAGGCTGGAGAATGCTAGTTGGCGGACATGGCAGAAGCAGCGCAACAAGCTCAAGACGATCAGTCCAGAGACGCTGAACTGGTGAGTGGCGTTTCCATCTCCAGCGGCGGGTTTGCTTGATCATACGGGGACACCAGGGGCGGAAGGATGGGCGGCGTAGAAGGATCAATCGAAGGTTTCTGGCGGATCACCGAGAACGGGAGGCTCATCTCAGCCCGGACCAGCGCGCTGATCATCAGGCTTAAAGACTCGGACGTGACATGGCTGTACGGTCCACTACACACCGCCTCGGTCGAGCCCGTCCGCCCACCTCGGGAAGCAACCACGGCTGAGCGGCTCGGTATCGACGGGGTCGGTATCGACCGCCCCATGGAACGTCCGGTCGTCTCGGGACCCGTCAAGAAGCCCATCTTGAAACACCGTACGCTCTCAGAAATGCTCACCATCCCCATGCCCGCTTCCCCCATCCTCGAATCCTACGCTTCCGGTGCGGACGGTGACGTTGATGATATCGACGACCACCGGCCGGGTCTCATCCAGACCAAATCGGATACCAACATCATTCGGTCTCGGAACGGTATGGGATCTGGCAACCGCCGGAAGTCCCCCTCTCGGGCTCCCATCTCGGGCAAGAATACCCCCAAAGATGGAACGCAAACCCCGGTCAACCAGATTGAGGATCCTCTTCATACTGGCGGTTCCTCCAAGCGGCATATCAGCTTCAACACCTTCGTTGAGCAGTGCATGGCTATCGATGACCCCAGCGAGATGCCCACTATCGACAGTGACGAGGATGAAATGCTGGAGATGCGATCTTCATCATCTCGGTCATCACGCCCGTCATTGCCCCGGACGGCATCAACCGGTTCGGCGGGGTCAGACCACCTGACAATCGCCAAGATCGCACCGACAATGCTCAAAACCCAGGCATTCTCCAACTCGGATCAGCTCCCGCAAATGCGGTATCAGCCTCCGGCGGAGTACCTCTCCCCTGTTGCGCACTTTGGTGGGAGCCCGTCCCCGCGCGAAGATTGGGGAGACGAGGGCGATGGGGGGTCGCACGACTACTTTGGCGGTCCCACTTTCCAGGCGGACGAGACCAAGGTCCAGTCGGTCCCGGTGCATCAGGGCTACCGGGCGCCTACCGTCAGCCAGCCTCCGTCGCAGCCAAAGTGGCGGCAGGGGCAGCAGGCCAGCCCGGCGCCTGGCTCAGCAGCGGCTGGTGTCGGCGGTCAGCCCTCATCCATTGATTCGTCTACCTCATCCTCTTCTGCTTCATTGCAATCCGCTTCTCCCCAATCCTCCACTCCGGTCCCCGCTCGCTCCATCCTCAAAGTTCGCGCACCGGGTCCAACACCCCCAGAACCCGCATCGCCACCGAGCAACTACTTCAACTACACCCCATCAGCGGCCACCGGTATCGGCGGGATGCGAGGCCAGTACCCCGACGGTGTCAACACCGGCGCATCTGGTACTTCTCCCCTTGTTAGCCCGGCTGGCGTTGATGATCGAGGCGGGAGGGGGCGGACTACCTCAAGGGAGCGGGGAAGCTCGGCGTATGACCGGAGTGTGTCGAGGGGGACTACCAGCAGTAGCACCTCTGGCACTTCCATCTCTCCTGGCGCATCGCGGTCTCCAGTCGGGGCTCAGCGGAAACCTCAGCCCCCTCAGGCGCAGGTTGCGGACAGGGGGATGTTTGTGGAGAATGTCGATGCCAAGCCGAGCGAGGCGGAAGACATGGAGATCGAGGAGGACGAAGCCCCGGAGAGGGGTACCACTCCGACCCCGCATTCGAGCCCGCAAGTGAGTTTGACACCTTTTTCAAATTTAGCTCCCGGGTCACCCCTGCCGAGCGCAAGTATAGACTGATCTAACCAGCAACCCTTTTCTGCTTCTTCCACCTCCACTTCTTCTTCTGCACCTTCGCAAACCGTCCAAACTCCTCACTCTCAATCCCGCCAATAGATTGCTCTTCGGCGATTACACGACACATCGCCCGCCTCCCTCCCCCACTATTCCTCTCAAACATCTCTCATCGCCTCCCCCGATCTCACCCACTCCCCCACGTCCCCACTACCATGGACGGACCCACCCAACTCTCTCTCCCCACCCCCTAATACGACATCGACCAATCATTCCGGCGGAAGAGCGACGACTGCGCAAGTCTCGACCCAGGCCAAACCGACCATCCAGAACAATAAGAGCGGGGGAGAGGCGGTGCATCAGGCAGAATCAGCGGCGAGTGGCGCAGCAGCAGCAGCGGCGGCGGGAGGGCCGCGGTTGGGAGGGAGCGCGTTTGGGAGGTTGCAAGGGCAGGGGCAGAGAAGGGTGGTTTCGGGCGGAGATGCGGGCTTGGGCGGATACCATAATAATGACGACGATGATGGGAGTAGCATCATGGGCAGGGCGGCGAATATTGCGAATACCGCCAAAGACCTCTTTGGGGCTTTGTGGTATGGCGCGAATCAGCCATCGGGTGGCGCGGGGGCGGGCGCGGGAGGCCCCGGAACTGGGGCGGGAGCATCAGCGGCGCAGGGGAGTGATGCGCAGAATCAGGCAAAGAAGACAGGGAGGCATAAGCGGGGGGCGAGCATGGGTTGATTTTTGGGGATGGGGATGAAGCGGAGGTGGTGGAAACAAAGCACACCCTGTATTACTGTAATTAGCTAATGGCTCGGAGTTGGAGAATAGGATAGTATCATCATTGCATGAACCACGTATGGCCAGTCCACAGTCTGCCCTGCTCAGGTATTCCTAAAGTCCTGATGTATAGGTTAGGGAGCAGTGAGGATCGATTTAGAGCTAACCACCGCTGACGTCGACGATGAAAGGCCAGCCAATCTCCCTGGACATCAGAACTGATACTTTCCGAACGAGAGTCACTCCCGATACTTGCCGAACGAGACTCGAGTGACTGCTCAGGAACTCACCCATCACTCTCGCTCGCCATCGTATCGCCGTCAAGTCCCGCTAACGGGTGCCTTCTTGCGGCTTTCCGCCGCTAACGGCCGGTTCATCCCCCAGTAGTAGGTCGGCGCGGTAGTTTATAGGCAGGAGGAAACAGTACAGCTGACGCCTGATGATAGCCCACCTGGTGATCTTCGGGGTCGGGACAGTCAGGTCGGTTTCGGCTGGTACAGGCCCGAACGACGCCGGAGAGCAGAAAGTTGTTTGCTCAGAGCCAGTTCCGATCGAGGCCGGACGGCTTGGGTGGCTTGTCGAGTTGCGGACTTTGTCGATCATCTTACACTGAGTACTAGGCTGCTTGGTGGTTTGGTTTTAGATAGATGCTCAGTCGCTGAGCTCACATTAGGCGAGCGTCGCACAGGGACGTCAAGAGATATCGCGTTCGAAATAGGAGCTCGAGGCCAAAGGAGCACGTCCGGTGAGAGGTTAGCATCAACCAACAATGTGAAACAAGGGGGTCAGAGGTCCTCGATCAGGACAATCAGTGCTTTCCCTCGAGATCGCCTTATCGAGTTCGTATACATGACATACGATACTATTTCTTCTGCGCTGAATGTGAAGTCAGGTCGAGATCGACTTCGACCCCTCATAGCTGCACCTTCTTTGCCAACCCCTTCTCCCGTCCTGCTTCTTCCGCCCCGGGCGCAAAGCTCCACACCATCACGTCGCCGTCATCTGCACCGTCAGCTCTACCCCTACGCGATTTGTCCACGGACGCAGCTCACCTGAACCAGAAACAATCATATCGTCGCTGAGCTGCAGACTCGTCACTGATCCTCGGTGGCCTACCAGCGTTTGCACGCAATTGCCCGACTCGCGATCCCAAACCTTGACAGTTCGATCTGGAGACATCAGCCCCTGTCCCGACGTCCGTATCGCCACGCTGGGGATGTATACTCACCATGACTAGCTGAAGCTATTCTTAGCGCATCCACGTCGACCCCCCAAACACCCTCAATATGCCCGAACAGCGTCTTTTCTTCCTGCCCCGTGGCGACGTCCCAGACCTTAATTGTCCCGTCCAGACTCCCCGACATCAAGACCGCCCTCTTTTGTCTTCCGCCCTCTTCCGCATCCGTCCCAGCCTCGCTCTCGTCGACGTCCATACCTTCAGCATCGGTAGGTGGAGCACCGTGCACAAACACCTTTGGCTCGACGCCCTTCCCCCGGATCGCGCGGTGGAGGTGCGGATCAAACCCCTCGGGAACGTCGACGAATCGCCCCTGGACAGCTACGCCGCCCGCTGGAATCATGGGTGCTTGGCTGGCCGGACCCCATCCGCCGCTGCCCGGACCATGAGAGGGAGGAGTCGCCGATCGCAGACGCTTCCGTGCGGCGATCTCGGCTTCAGTCATATCGACCATGAGCACCCGGAGGGTCTGCACGCCCGCCTTGTGGCCCGAGAATGTCCGGATACACTCGCGCGAGGTGAGATCCCAGAGTTTGATGGTCTGATCGTCGGAGCAGGAAAAGAGCATCGTTCCGGGCTCGATGGACGGAGGGGCGGGCGTAGTTGTGGAGGATGTAGAGAGGGATGCGTTACTGAGGAATGGGGTGGATTGTGTGGAGTGGAGGGGCGGCATCGAGGGTGTACCGCCGTTGCCAAAGGTCATCCCGGTAGCGCCGCCGCGAACGGGCGAATTTGACCGCTTCGATAGTCCCGCAAAGCTAGGCATCTGCGCCGGGTCGACATCTCCAGGATTGTTTTTTCCGTCCCAGAGCATGACCGAGTTGACCCACTCTTCGTGTCCACGTAAAGTGAACTTGGCGCCACTCCGGAAGTTCCAGATGTTGATAGTACTGTCCTTGCTCCCGCTAGCAAGGAGGTAGCCATTGTACGAGAGCGAGACGACGCCATCCGAGTGTCCTTCGAGGACACGAAGGCACTCGCCTGCCCGCCAATTCCAGATGCGGACGGTACCGTCCATGGCGCCAGTGAAGAGGAGGCGCTGGTCGAATTGGAGTGCTCGGACCGCCCGGGTGTGACCTCGGAGGACGCGAAGACAATCGCCCGTGTCGAGATTCCAGATTCGGACGGTCTTGTCGTATGAGCCGGTAATGAGGACAGGGTGGGAGGGGGTGGCGAGGGAAGTATGGTACTGGAGACACATGATGCCGTCTTCATGGCCCTTCAGTAACATCAGCACTGCCCGAGTCGAGAAGGAGAAAACATACCTTCAAAGTGGTCATCTTACATCTCCCCTTCCGCCAGTTCCGCTCAACCACCAGTCTCTCACAGTACACCGACTTCCACGGCCTTGTCATCCGCACCTCCCTGCTCAGAGATCCCGCACTGCTGTTCTCCTCTGCCGCCCTCGCCTTTCCCTTGTCTCTGGCCGGCCGCCCATCCGCTCCTTCAGCGATCTCTGTTTCCGAATCTGACAAAGTGCTGATTTTGACCCGCTTGAGCGCCGGCGTGGGGACCGAAAGACCGCCCGAGCTGGATGCTTCTCCGTTCTCCGATCCTCGCTTGACTCCGAGTCCGACAAATGCCGCATCGCAAAGCCCCGAGCTCGCCGCCGTTCTCTCCGCCTTGGTCCCGAGTGTCTCCTCCCTACTCGCCACCGCCACCGCCTCTTTGTGTACATGCTTCATCTTCCCCTCTTTACTTCCCGCACGCGTCCCAGATCCGTCATCGTGGTGATGATGCTCATGTACGCCGACGCCGACGGCCACGCTGGGACTCCCCTCGTTCAACTCGCCGCGCAGCCTTCTTCGCTCCAGGAGAGGCAAGCCCCACCCGCACTTTTCGCATTTCCGGTCGATATGCTGACCGCACATACGACGCCAGAGGAGGTCGTCGTCTGCGAGCGCTTTCCATGACTGCGAGACCTGGGCGGCGCGACCTAGGGAGATAGCGTCGAGGTAGCCGAGAACACGGAGGTTGATTTCGCGGGGTAAGAGCGAGAAGGGGTCGATGCGGATGAGGAGGTTGAGGGAGTCGGAAAGGTGTGATAGCTGGGAGCTGCTTTGTCAATGACGGTCACTTCCGAGTAATGTGGCTCTACTCACAAGCAACACATAGTCAGGATACCCTCGAGGATGAGCTTCCGCTTGGCGTGTGGAGCATTCGAGAAGGTAGACCAAAGATGGGTAATATGGCCCCGCTCAGTGGTTGGGAGATTGTCGAGTGACTAGACAGTCAGCGCCAAGTCCTGAAGAAGCACCCTGCCTTCGGAACCTCCTGCCCGTCTGCTTGGTCACACGACATCATGTTCCACTGACTCACCCTTTGCAGCTTCTGGTTCACATCCTGATTGGCCATCTGCTTATGCCGCACGCAAAGCTTTCTCCCTGCCCTCGTTGGCATAATATCAAGAGGCTCGTCGTCTGCCGGTATCATTGATGCTGGACCGGGATGGTGTAGGCCGCTTGTTGCGCCGACAGGTCCGTCCTCCTCGCGAAAAGAACGGGATGGGCCCGCCTCGCCGTTCGAAGGTCCGTACATGATGAGGGTCGTGTGCTGATGCTGTCTTCGGCGCAGGGTAAGGTGGCCGCTGACCTCAGTCGTTTCAAGATAGCCGTCGTGCCAAGGGATGTCAAGGTGCAAGAGGTTGGAGTAAAGGAGGGTACAGCCGTTGATTCCCGTCGACCTTGTTCGAAGGGGAACGACTGATCGAAAGGTGTATGTTCGAGAAGGGTACAAGATGACCAAGCGATGAGACTACTCGTCTGCCTTGTGTATGAGTAGCGTTTGATAAGGATGTATGTGCAAGTATGGCGACAGCGACTATGTATCTTGCTCATCTCGTCGTTGCGAGCTCGCCCCGCTCAAATCCGATATCTGTCCGCGTGGCGAAAATCACGCCACCCCCGGATCTCGCCATTCGGAGCCGAAAAGAGGGCCCCGACCCGGCCGTCCGGACGCAAATTCCGGATGGCGTCACGATTAATCATGTCGAGCGTTTATCGCTTATCTCCAGGCAAGCTCACCCATTCTCAGCCACCTCTTCGGCCTGCCAAATTTCCATCTCCTCCTTCTGTCTATATCATCCATGAATCAGCCTCATAAAAGTCCCGCCCCTTCGGATATGCGACTGGCAGCTTCAGACTGGCCCGCTTAATCGGCTCTGAAAGCCTTAGACGCGCGTTGAGAAGCGCCAGCGCCCGCTCCTGAGCGAATACGAACCCCCTCTGACAGCTGACACCCCCTCTCCCCCCCCTCCCCTCCCCTCCTACACTCCCACCACGGCTTCATCTGCGCGGCCTTGCATCCCCAACGCGAGAACCGCTTCCTGAAGTAGCCCAGATCAAAACACCGTCCAGGTACCCTCATCTCCTGACCCTCCTTGGCTCCACGGCTATAGGGAGGCGACGGGGCGAGTGGGCTCCATCTCTTTGCCCTGTCCCCTGTTCAGTGGGACCGGTGCGAGAGAAGGAGCTGACATATCCCATTCGTCAGTAGCTTGAAATTGTCCAGTCAAGATGCATCAGGTCTACATCAAGGTGAGGCCAGGCATCAAGCCGGCCAGAGATCGAGCGGTGAAATCGAACGACGTGCGGGATACTATAGACATCTATTGGGCCTCATACAAGATACTCTACCGCTACCTGTTCCATCACTTCCACCTCTTTGATCTACGCTCCATGGTGACGTTTACCGCCCAACAACCTGATCGTCAGCTACACCCTCGCAAATCAAAACTGATAACTCACCTCCAGTGCGAAACGGCCTACGACCCTCTCTGCCCCGTCCTTGATCTCGACAACCCGTACATCCCACCTGCCCTTGACCTCCTGTCCAGGCACACCCCACAGCTCCATATCCTCCCAGTGCAGCCATTCGGGCATAGACTCGAGCCTGATGACATCGCCAGTCCCCCGCTTCTCCTCATACACCTCATACCGCGCTCCTTCGGGCGTCAAAGGCTTGCCGTCGGAAGAGGTGTAGGTCGTGTTCAGCGTGTAGGCGGTCGTGGACGACAGACCGGTAGGTGAGGCGAGGAGGAGGGGTGGGTAAAAATGGAATGGCTCATTGACGCCAAGAAGCACCCGGGTCTGCGGGGGAAGCCGGGAGGAAGAGGTAGACGAGCTCGTGTTGGTAGATGAGCGGTTGGAGTTGGGGGCAATGACGGATTTAAATGACTTGGCGGATGCGAGCGAGCGGCCGGTGGGGAGAGCCGGCAAGGAGGGGAACGACTCGGGCATCGGCGGCGTAGGCGACCGAGACCGGTCGATATGGCGAGACGAGACCGACGAGTTGCGCGCACGGTGCTTGCCCTTCTTGCTGCTAGCGTTGGAGCGCATGCTGGCGACGGAGACTCCGGTGGGCAAGGGTGGGACCGAGTCGTTTCCAGGGTGGGCGGACGAGCGGATAACGCTGACACGCCTGGGGCGAGCCTGGGGTGTAGTCTCCCCACTACCACCGCTGGGGCTGGATGGATCCGCTTCTCCTTCGAGCGCATCCTCGTCCGGATACTCGTAGTAACTGACCCGAGTCCCATTCTCCGATTCCGAGTCGAGTACGGCTGTCTGACTCTCCTCCCTCCGCCCAGCACTCAACGGCCTGACAACCACCTTGCGCTGGTTCCCGAGATTGACGAGCCGAGACTGCGCCTGGCTGACGGGCGAGTGCGGCATCCGCTCGGTATAGTCCGACTGGGGCGAGTCGGCGAATCCAGACCCGCAACCGCTGATGGGCGAGTCGAGGGTATGGCGAGCCGAGATGCGAGAAGCGGTAGCGATGACGGCGGTAGATGGGTCGAGCTCGGACGGGTCCGACGAGGCTTCAGTACGGGCGATATCCGACTCGGTTGGGAAGTGGATATTGTCGATGCTAAAATCCGCAGCCTCCATCTCGGTCTCGTGAGACGGAGTGACGACCTCGTGCCGGATAGTCCCGCGGACCGAGCTACCGTGATCGACCGACATCGAGTTGCGGTCGTCGTATCCCGAGCTCAGGTGAGAGCCGCCTGGAGAGCCGCTCGAAGAGTCTGAGCGAGGGCGGAAGTCGGACCGCTGGACTGGCGGGTCCGAGTCGAACGTCTCCTCAGTCATGCCTCCTTCTTCAGTCCAGCCATACTCGGTCGTCTCAGCCTGGGTACTGCCTCGCCTGCTCTCCATCCCATTATCCTCCTCCGACTCCTCAGCTGCCTCCGTGCCAACGCCGCCTCCGACTTCAGTGTTCCAGACGAATGGCGCTCCGCTCTCCCAGCTGGCTCGGTCGCTATCCTTGTTGGACTTCCACTCCTCTCCGCTCTCCCCGCTCCCTCGCTTACCCACCACGCTGGAATCGCCGGCGGCGCTGGCGTGACCGCTCTCCGCAGCATCACGGCCAACCTCGAAGCCCTCGCTCCCGGTGACGTCGGTGGTGGTGTACCGGGCTGTGTACTCGGACGTCGGGCGGTCAAAGTCCGTCTCGCCCTCACCCTCGCCGCCGGAGGTGGTGTAGCCGTTGGTAAAGGCGGTGCTGGCCCCATAGGTCTGGTCGCCGACATATGTCCCGCTGGGTGTGAACTCCGAGATGGTCGTGGTGGCGGTGGGCGCGCCTCTGCCCATTCCCTCCTCGTCAAAGGTTCCGCCGCGCGAGACGATCCCCTTGGCATCGACAGCGACAGCCAGAGAAGCCTGGAAAGCGGCGTTCGAGAAGCTAGGGTGGAGAATGGGGTTGGAGATGACCGGGACCTGACGGACTTTGGTAGCGATGAAGGGGTTGGCGAGGAACTTGCGAGCCTTGGATGCGGCCGAAGCGATAGATCCGGGCGAGTCGGTCTGACGAGTGATTTGGCTGTTGGGTGTGCCAGGCGCGAAGCCGGGTGAGGCCGGCTGTAGGTCGTGTGCGAGAGCCGTCATGAGGACCGTGGTCGGCACCGTCGAAGTACGCTTGTGCCATCCTGGACCCATCTTGCCCGCCTTTTCGCCAGCCAAGGGTACCATCGTCGGCTCCCCCGGTCCCCGCTCATTCTCCTCCGCCACCGCATTCTCATCCTGCACCTCCATAAAGCTCTCCGGGCGGTAAATTGGCCCCGCCGCAAATCGCTCCGGGTCCTGGTTGACGTCGGTATCGTCATCATACCCCTCCGCCTTCTCCCCTGCTTCACCCGCTTGCCGCCTCTGTCTCCGCTTCATCCACATCCACAAGAACACCAGCGCCAATATCACGTTGAGCAGTACCGCCGCGACGATCCCGCCAATCACCGCCCCGCTTAGCCCTCCCTTGCTCTTCCCCTCGGCCACGGTCGCTTCCTCCTTGTCCGACATGTTGAGGACGAGCGCGGCGTACGACTTGGTTCCGTGCTCCTTGTCCAGCGCGGTCAGGTGGACCGTGACGTTCTGGATGCCCGAGTCGGACGGGACATCGCCAGTGATCGCCATCTGCGTCTCGTCAAGTGAGACCCAGCTCGACGCCTGCGCTGGCTCGAACGTCGCGTTGACGTCGTACGAGGACGTCCGATTGGCGAGGAATCGGGTGATGGGGATGTTGATCCGATCGCCAGGAACGACATGGACGGGACCGAGCTTGTCGCCGGTAAAGAATGCGCCAAAGTACGTGACGCTCAATGTGGTGTTGATGGCGTCCCCGTCCTGGCTCATCATCGACATGTAGATGGTCTCGACGCGTCCGCCGTACCCTGCAGGAGGGGAGCCCGAGATGGTACTGTTGTCCAGGTTGATGCTGTACGCCGTACCGTCGACATCAAAAGCGGCGAGATCCGACCGAGCGAGCTGGCGGCCCGAGATCCGGAACGCCGAGAAGAGGTCGATGGGCTCCGTGAGGGGGTACCCCGCCGTGAGGTTCATAGCAAGCGGCCGGACCTGCTCGATCGTCTTGGTGGCGACGCGGATCGTAAAGTCCTGGTACTGGTCCATGATCCCGCGGACGTCCGATCCCCAGAGCCGGACTTTGAACACCCCGTCTGACCCCTTGCGTTCTAGTGCGGCCGGTGACGGGGTGATCCCGTCAAAGGTAATGGTGTTGTTGTTGAAATGCAGCCACTCCGGGAGAGCCGAGCCATCAGGCTGGGTAGCGAGGTAGTACACCTTACGCTTATTGACCGCCTGGAAGACCGGGAGGAAGCCGACCGAGAAGGACCATCCTGGCGGGACGCGGATGCCCGGGAAGAGGGGCGAGAGGGGATAGAGGCCGTACGCCGAGGTGATGGCCGGATCGCCAGCCTTGAACTGATCGCCAAGGGGATTGAGGAGAGTGACCCCCTGGCTCGACTCGACGGTGAGCGGGAAGGAGTCCGACGAGGCGTGTCCGTCCGCCGTGGTGGCGGTGAGGCGGATCGTCCGCGTCAAGCCAGACGTGGCGGTCTCGAGCGCAGGCGCCGTACCGTAGAAGCAGAGGCTCGCCGAGTCAAATGTGAGCCAAGAGGGGAGATTGGCGGTAGAGTAGGTGAGAACCGAGGAATCGGTAGTGAAGGTCTCGTGCGAGACGTTGAAGGAGTAGGGTTTGCCAGCGAGAGCGACAGATGGGTTCTGGGCCGCTAGGGGAAGGGCGAGGGAGACGGTATCCGCCAAAATGGCAGGGAGGAGGGCAAAAAGGGGGAGGAAGAAGAGCATAATGCTAGGGCCCTACTCCATGAGCTTGGGCGTCGCAGATAATGCAGAGCGGACTCACCAAAGGCCAAAAATGTATCAAAGGTCAGACCTAGAAGGTTACGCCGGTCCTCTCTCGTCCACACCTCGTTTACTCGTCAAGGAGGTCGTAAAGTCGTCAACGATCGTCACGGACAAACAACGTCAAGCTGAGAACAAGGGCGAGCGGGTCGAAGAAGGAGCGAAAAAAAGACGAAGGTAGAAAGTAAGGAGCGAAAGAAAGAAGGGCGAAGAGGGAGTAGGAGGGAAAGGGAAAAGGACGAAACACAACACTGAGAGCAGAAGAGCAAGTATGCAGTACACAGTGTTGTGGTGGGCAGTGAGCTGTCCAAACAAACAGTCGATCACCGGGTATTCCAGGTGAGACATTGTCAGCCTGGCCTGAAACAACTTTTTGGTTGTTATTGGGCTAGCCCCGCCGCGGGTCGCAGTGACGGCTCGCTGATCTGTGCGATCGGTCGAAGGAGGATGAAGCTGGTGACCGAGAGCCAAAATGCCTCATGAGATCCGGATGATGTGCGCATCTGACGGTATTCTCGATGCATGTACAAGTCTATTCTTCTTAAAAGTCAGTCCATGGCCCCTGCAGGTACCTCAGAAACTCACTTTATCGTCTGCTCCATAGTCCGTATCGCTTAGTCCGCATACAGCCCAGTCGCCTTATCCTCCTTCCTCGTCACGTCGTCATTCTTCTCTCCGCCCTCGGCACCAGGCACATTCTTCCCCTGCAACCACCCATCAATCTCCGCCCTTCTCTCCTTGAGCGCATCGACCAATGCCTTGCCCACTGATCCTACGCCTGACCGGGACTCATCCTCGACCGCGTGAATGGCTTTGGTGAACGCCGATGAGAGCTCTTGGAAGGTGTCTTTGAACATGAGAGGCTGGGTGTGAGCTGGATACCTTATAAAACATTATATCTCAGGCCGCAGTGTGGTGAGGTTTGCGGGATGCTCTGGAGTGACGGATGAAAGAGGGGAATAAGCTTACATTGCTGAAGACCCCTCGGGCATCACCTCCGTGATCTGGCGCTCCGGCCCCAGGCATACCTCCCCTGGCTGGCATGTCTCTGGGGTCGATCTGCGGAAAGACCTTAAGTATCAGGTACAGCTCTGATAGGGACAGGTCGAAGCCAGTTATAGCCTGCGATCAAGTCGACTGAAGCAAGGATGGATCAACGTACACCTCCGGGGTTCTCACTAAAGCAAGTCAGCTGGATGTCCCTCGCGCTATCTGCGCGTAGGTTGATGGTAGAGCTCACGCTGTCGGTTCCGGCCCTGTGGCCTGATCGTACATTAATGCGCCATCGCCCGTCCTGTTAGCAGCTGCCCAGTCAGCGTAGTGTCCGCGGATCTTGATGCATGGATGTATTGCAGGTGGATGAGGTTCAGGCAGCGCCCTGTCATACCCAACCTGGTGAAAGGGGATGATCTTGGCGGGTACGTGTAAACCTACGCTGGTTTGTGCTTCCTGAAAGAGACATGCTGTCAGTGTATTTACGTCGTTTAAGGGGCGGTAGGAGATAAGGATAGGGTAGTATGGAGCTATGGAGAGGATGGACAATCACAGCTTCACCGTCACCGCTCCTCATCGTCTCGCGCTCTGAAGATGGTCGCGTTGACGTCATAGCCAACTTTTGATCCCGCCATAGGCTTGAGGCCATAGGTCATGCAGATGGGAGGGTGGATTGTAGACCATGGACCATACGCATGGAATTCTAGGACGCCGTAGCGACTGATCAGGCGAGTCATGAGCATGTCTGGGGATAGTATGACACGCAAAGCCCATTTCCTCCTTCGGTACTTATCGTTCACCCAGTAGGCAAATGGGGAAACAGGCTGAAACACGCTGAAACAAGCTGCAAACGCCAACATTCCTCGTCGAAGCTTACCCCGTTTCGGTAGCTGAAGGTGCAAGATCGCTCTCAAGCGCGAAACCGAGTCTTTGCTGGTCCCGCATGAGCACTCCTACAGTGCAATTCGCACCACCATTCCAATCTGCAAATCAAACTCTATAAGATCTAGCTCGCCGGCTGCGCCGCCCGACTCGGTCTCGCCCGTAACGTCCCTCTTCTATCTGTTGCGGGACCGACAATGACCAGGTCCGCCAATCCCACCACGTCCACTCCTCGAGCCGATCCCTCCTCGCTCGACTCAGAGACATACGCACCGATCCCAGCGAGCTTGTCTGCCGCTGAGTGAGTCAACCCCCCGGGCTCCATGCCAGCTGGTTCCTCCGCTGTAGGGTCGGTCGGGGCCGGTTGGGCCGGCTGCCCCGCCCTTCGCTTCGCCCTAAGCTTCCGTCTCCGGACCCAAGCAACCAGCTCTTTCAGCATTCCGACCAAGATTGGCACTGCAATCGGGGCGAATAAGGGTGTGTAGACCGCAAACTTGTGTTCGTTTGGCTACGACTAATTAGCTGTGGTCGGATGAGATCTGATCGTCATCACTCACGAAGTACAGCAGGCCCATCATGGACGGATGGAAGAATGCCTCGTTCGCAAGTGCTACGGCATCCCGCGACAGCACAAACGCCTCAAGCGGGTCTCTCGTCTTTGCCATCTTTCAGTCAGCTCAATGCTTCAACTCCAGCTTGCAGACTCACCTTCTCCAGCCTGTCTACAGCACCCACCACCCGGCCCCTCACTTCCTCACCCACCTGCATCTCCTTGATCTTCTTGACCAGCCTCCCGATCCCCACAAGCGTCTTTCTCGCCTCGTCCTCATTTTCCCTCATCCGCTGCCGCGCTACCGACTCGAGCTGCCACCGATTCAGTCCATCCCGGAGTCCGCTCGGTTCCATGCGGGGATCGGGTGGCGGGCACGGGTACACCTTGGGCGGTGTCCCGGGGAGGGCTAGGAGGGAGTAGAGGTGTGACGTGAAGAGGTGGAAGGAGGATTTGAGGGCGGGTGGGGTGAGGTGGTAGGTCGGCGCAGAAGAGGGTGGGTTGAGAATGACGACGCTGCCGAATTGGGGAAGGAGGAAAGAGGGGGGCGAGGATGATGGGGCGGAAAGGAGCAAAGGGCGGTGCGAAGGCGAAGGGATAAAGAGGAGGAAACGGAGGACTGGGTTCTGCGAGATTCCAGAGTCTGAGCTGTCAGCTGACTTCCAGTATTGAGAGGGACGAAATGGGTAAGGTTGCATCAGCTTACCTAGAGTCCACCTCTCCGAGTTGACAAACACCTTCATCATCTCCTCATCGACCATCCACGCCTTCTCCCTCTTGTCCTCCTCTATCAGCGCCTTAGCCACCTCCTCGGCCCCTTCCTTGCCCTTCTCGGCCTCGCCAAGCGCAGACTCAATCTGCAACTTCACGTCCTCCCCTTGCGAGGCTACGTCGGTCCACGTCGGCTCGAACGAGAGGGGCGCGTGATAAAGCATCTGAGATTCGATGGTGAAATTGAAGATGGGTCGGAGGGGTTCCAAGTGGGGTGTAAAGTGCTCTGCGCAAGTCAGCTGTGTCCAGCTGGATCTGAACTCATCGAACATGTAGACCCACCTCGGATCGCAGCCTCGATATCCCAGCCCTGTACATACTCGCCCTCCGCCGCGTCCTCATTAAGCAGCACGAAGCTCAGCGTGACGTTCGGCGAATACTTGATCGCCCGCAGGGGTATTTCTGGCGGTTCAGAGGGGTACAGCCCCAGGATAGAGTCGGTGATAGCCAGCTTCAGATGTTCTGCCATATCAGCCAGATGCCAGGCGATAGACGTGCTCAGCGATGGGACATACCCCGGAGATACCGATCGCCGACCTGTTTGGGGTGTATGGGGATCACCAACGTCCCTGCTTTGACCCCACCAGCTGCGCCGCCTGGACCCGGTATGCCCGCCAGACCGAGGTGCGGGGTTTGGACGTATGGCTTCAGCGGGAAATCAGTCGACGCATACTCTGAGCGCAGCAAGTGGACGTGTAAGGCTGGCGCATCCCCTGGCATCGTCAGCGCAGATTACTGACCAATGTGTTTCCAGGCTTGACTTACTTCCCCCACCCTCATACACCATATCCCACCATCTAGTCCCCAGCCTCCCCCCCTGCTTATAGTACGCCTCCGTACTCTTGATGACTGAATCCCCTAGCGCCTCGCAGACCTGCCTCGGGCCATATGAGGGCACACCAGGCGGAGGTGGTGGATATGCGTCTGGCGCGGAGGTGAGGAGGATGGTCGACCTCACTGTCGTGACCTACAGTATATCAGCTTTGTCCCCGCTAATCTTGTAGACTCAGTCGTGGCGAACGGCATAGCCCATGAGGCGCTCGGCGCGGAACGTACAGGAGCAGATTCCAGCGCTGCTATCCTTTCCACCGGCAGGCTCAGCCGTTCGATGCTCGTAGACCACCACCAGAAGGGTACGCCCAGCAAGAAGAATAGCGGGAAAGATAGCAGGATCAAGACTCTGCGGCGCCGGGAGGGGTTGACTATTCTTGTGGGGTCCAAAGGGGTCTGGATTCCACCTGTAGTCCGAGGTGATTTCGGGTCCGCTGGGGTCGCAGGGCTAGCTGTAGTCGCGACTTCCGCTACGGCGATCCTGCCCGACTCTGGCGGCACAGCAGAAGAGGACATGATGTGTCCGCGCGGTGTTTGAGCAAAGGGAAGCACTTGCTGCCAAGTGGACCTTGAGACGGTGGACGCGACTTTCAACTTTGGGCGGCTCGGCCAAACCTTACTCCGTTACCGACGATCCTGAAGAGGTGGGCAACGGCGGGCACACGAAACCTGTAGCCAATTGGTGCAGGTCGACTACCAAGACCACCTCAGTTAGGCTCTGGGCTTTATGATACATCTTCACTGCGCTCTCATACTCCCTTCTACTCCACAGCCATTCCTTCGTCCTTCTGCGCTTGAGCCTGGCTTGCTCCAGCCTTCTTCTTCGCCTCATACTCGTACCACAGCTCGTTGACATCATAGTTGGCTACTTCGTCAGTCTCATCTTCCATAGCGTACAGACGAGCGACATACCGATGAACTCCCATCCGTTCTCGCGGACATGGAAGAGGTTACACGTGTTACCTGAGAAGGCATCTCGGTGACCTGCGGCGATGATTGACCGTCTACCGAGCTCCTGCGCTTCTTCGTCTGAGAGATCGTACGAGTATCCCTATTGATCAGCTTCGACTCCGAGAGCGGTCGGCTACTTCAACTGACCTGGTCCAGAACACCGTATGCAAATGTACTACCTGATCCAACAGAGAAGAGGTCGCCCTTCAGCCGGGATCCATCCGAGTCGACGTAGAAGAGCGCAGGTCCCTGGTATATCAGCAGATCCTCCAGATACTCCAGTGAGGCTCACTGTCTTATCCCATCCGCAGATCATAGTACCCTGACATGTAAGCTGGGGTATTGAACCGTCAAGGCGTCGCGCTAGCTTACCATGCTCAATCCCATACCCTTGTACTGGTAAACGATATTGCTCAGGATCTTGCTCGCAGCAGCGACCGATATCCGCTCCTTGTTCCGGAGTTCATGAAGCCGACACTGCATACCGAGGTATGTTTCCCTGTCCTGTCAGCTCGGCCCTTCGCTTTGGAAATGCAACTCACCAATACTGGCAATCTGCCGCACCACCCGCCATCGTACCCAGCAGGTAAGGGTTGATCTCGATAACCTTCTTGACTGTTCCACTGGCAATGTAGCTTCCTGCTGTAGCTCGCGAATCGACGGCGACGATGATGCCTCCCTTGAATCGGAAGGCGAGGGTGGTTGTTCCGTGGGCGAGCTTGATTTTGGCGGCGGGGTTGGAGGAGATCGAGTCGGTGTGGAGGTTGAGGAAGGCGGCGGGCTATAGTGTCAGCTTCTGGATTTGTCACAGCTGGGGATCTAGGGGCCATTGCGGAACGGGCTTCCACGCAGTGGTTGACCAACGCCTGGAGGCGGGCGATCACATCGTAGCCGGCTAACCCTTCCTTTCACCAGATCGACACTGACTGATACCGCGTCTCCACCACCTGAACGTTCCGCGCCTCCATCTGGTCACCAGCCGGAAAGGAGACTTACATCTGGTACCCGAGGAACCATCATCCCTCTGACACCACCCCTTTGGTCCAAGTTGCCATACCCCCAGGCGTCCTCCTCATCTTCGTTGGTGTGCCTTGCTGGCGGTTGCAGGCTTTGCAAGACAGCGTTCATGATGGTTCTCGAGCCTGTGTCTGGACGTGTGGGAGTAGCCTGATGATGGACTAGACGGTGACTATAGCGAGGTGTATTGAGAAGGTACAGTTGAGGAATGTGTAGCTTGGTCGTCGTCAACGCGCAGGCGTATCTAGAATGGGAGGAACAATTAAGGAAGACCGCTCACGGAGTGACCGAGATCTCCGGGCTATCGGATTGCGTCATAGCTGCCCGTCGATCTCCATGCAGGCTCAAGCAACGTTGAAGCAACGCGCTGGGCGACTTGATGCATCGCTAGCTATCCGGGTATAACAGATCATACACAGCACCGCTATACAGATGGTCAGATCAGGACTTCAGCAGGACGTTATCAACATGTACAGACAGTGAGCTGATTGAGCGGGCCCATTATGCGCAAGCCACGAGCTGATGCCCTCCAGGGGGGTCAAGAATGCGTTCTCCAAGCCTCTTGTACGTGTCGACATCGGCGCTGTCACCAGAAGTGCTGAAGACTGCTGGACGCATATCTTTTAGAGGATTGCTGACCTGAGCAGGAGGCAAGGCCTGCATTTCTCCTTCACTTGCGTTACAACTTCCGCGTTCCCAAACTCGCAAAGCGAGACTATACCGCCATAGAACATCAGGTCAGACCCTACCCGTCGTCCCTCTCACGGCTCCAGCTGACGGTGCTAGCAGCTCAGACGAATGTCACATACCCTCGAAATGCTCTCGTCCAGCTCCGTCACCCGCTTAAACGTCAGCGGAAACATGGTGGATTGGTGGGACAATGAGATCGGGCAGCGGAGGATGGCGTCCTCGTCTTCTTCCACGACAGATACGCATTCATTACCGGAGGCAGGGAAGACACCGGAGCCGCCAAAGAAGCCGGAGGGGTCCGAGTCGGAGAAAGGGGGACAGGGGGACAAGGCGGGACCAGGGGAGAAGAGCGGAGGGGATGGGGAGCAGGCTCTCGGGGACGGAAAGATGCCTGGTCCGGGAGGTACATGATCCCCCAGTAGGAAGAACATCAGAAAGTCTGTATGTCATACAGACTGAGTCGTGCGGGAGCATAGCCGCTGATGCCTCGCAATTGGCCAAATCTCACATTGCTCATCAAGTTTACTTGGCAGATTGACATAACCTAACAGACCGGCGCCTTCCCTCCAAGAGCATCTCCGCAGGTCATCTCGAAGTCTGCTGACTTGCCACTGCACGGCTCCAGGTACTTCCCCCCATTGGAGATGGTGAAGACATCCGGGCTGGTAGCTGGGGCAGATCCACCTGGCGTGAGGCGCTTGACTGAGCACTGACAGGTCAGCTAACATCACTATCGTAAAAAAGCATAGAAGCAGACTCACCGTCACTTTCCCATCACCTGCGTCCAGCTCGACAGTCAAGCCCTCGTCGGGGATGTTGACAGGTACGAAGGTTGGACCCCTGAATGCGCCGCCCGGGAATGAGATGGATGTACCGGCGTTAAGGTGGAACGAGATGACGGCGGGACCTTGCGGCGGAGTAGGCGTTGACGATACCATTCTGGCGACGCCCAGACTCAAAGCCAGATGGGATAACCCGAGGAACATACTGTACTGTATGTGTTGCTATTCGCTGAGTAGTACGTATCAAATGAGGTAGCGAGTAAGGTCTCATCAGAGGAGACAGTGCAAGACATCCAATCGGCCCCCTGAATGAGGGCAATGTCTACCTTTCACACCCCGGAGTGTACCGAGAAAGGAAGAGGGTACCTGCCCGGGGTCCCTCGATCAGTGGAAAGGTCCAGACCTGTGCGCCTACTGCTTCAGCAACTGCTCGCACAGGGTGACTGACTCTGAGGGTCTCAACCAACCTGTCGCCGCACTACCAACTATGATTACGATTCCGGCCTGACCCTCAAGGGCTCATGGCCATGCCATAGCCCAGGTGTGTCATGTTCAAGTAGCACGACGATTAGTGACTGAGACCTGCCTCTTTGAGCTTCACAGTGTTCACTCTGTGCTGGCCTCGTGTGTGAAATGGTGAGCTGGGAACAACGTGTTCCACTGTATGTGTATCCGACACGGTGCTCCCATGATGTTCCGCCCTGGCGAAGGTGAGTGCTGCCCTCATCAACGGCAGTTCAAGATCCGCACTCTATTGCGCTGAGCAGGAATGTGCGCACCGTGTCTCGCGGACGCGACTGCTCAGTGTGACATATCATCGACTTTTTCATAGCCGCAAATCAGAACGATTCATCACTGTACATGCTCGTCATGTACCACGCCCAAAACAAAGACACATTCATTGCTCGCGCGCCACTCAGATCCTTCCTACCGCTTGAAAAGACCGATCGCCCTTGATGACAGGGATGGCTTCGGGTTGTGAACGGGGTGCCAAGGGAGAGGTGTGCGCGTGGTGGCGTCACTTCGAACAGCAGTAACCGCTCTCTTGCAGAACGTCTCCAACTCCGTTCGCGTCGCGGGCACCGTTAGCCCGTCAGTCTCCCTGCTGAAGGGGGGTCAGCTGCGGCTTCCGTCACTTCTGGATCGGCTGGCAAACTCACCCGCTCTCACTCTGCATGATCGTCTCCACCAGCGTCTCGAGGTCCTTGGCAGCCTTTCCCAGCAGGGTCCGCCACGTCTCATCAACGACGTAACACTTCATTCCAGCGTAGTGGGCCCTCTCCATGACATCCCACACATCATGCCTCGACTTGAGGTCATTGGACGGACCAACAGTTGTCGCATTGAGGTAAGACGATTTGAGTTTCTCCCTCATGTAGTCCTTCGAGAGCTCGCCGTCAGAAAAGGCCGTCACGAACCCGAGGATGTGGCGACCGGCGATCTGGGTAAGCTTGTCCACCTCGTCTTGCGACAGCCCATCTCGGCTGGCGGGACCGACGATGAGCTTCACTCCGGCATCACTGTAACCCATGTCGTCTGTTTCTCTCAAGGGGAGGCGTGTGTGTGGATGGGTGGGATGTCAGACACACGAAGTATGATGGCAAGAGTATAGTGGCGAGGATGCCCCTTCTTATCGTGCTGTGACGCCTCGTGTGACACGACGCTCCTTTTACTCACGCCTAGATTGCCCGATACTCCACGAGATCCCTTCTAGCCGCCACACCTCATGATAACCCGCCACACCGCATGTCGCCGACACACATCTTCTAGTATGTTCCATCGAGACAACCCGCTGGGGCAGGTATAGATCAAGTCAGTCACGATTAGTATGTGAGCAGGACTACCTTGCACAAGTCAACGCTGGGCGACAAGAGGGCTAGCGGGTCAGCAGCGGTGCGAGCGTCGAATTCTTCATGTGTCAGCCCATACTGACCCAATCATGACAGCGTATCCGTCCATGATCCCATCCTATACACCGCCGTCGACCCACCGCCCTACTTCATCTCCACATCCTCCCATCCCTCACCCCCCTCCCCATCATCCTCCCCGGCTTCCACAATAGCAGGCACGACCCCCCGCTCCTTCAGCTCATCCAGCAGCTCCCCTACATGCCCTCCAATCCCCTCGTCCGGATACTCCTGATCCTCAAACAGCTGCGCGCACTCAATGAGAGCGCGGAACGACTCTGACATGCACTCCGCCGCAGAGAGGTCCTCCAGATCCTTGTCGTCCTCTCCTTCCGTTTCTTCCGACTTGTTCTTCTCCGCGTCGGGCGTGGCGGTGACGGTGCCCTCCTCGAGAGCTTTGGCACGGAGGTAGTATGCCCATCCTTCCAGATAGGCGCTCTCGACCTCGAGGCTGTCTTCTTCTCGGGCGGTGAGGAGGATATCGAGTGCGAAGAGGTGGAGATTATGTTCGAGCAGTTGTCGAGCGAGGGCGAGGCGGGTAGGGTATGATGGTAGTGATGGCGAGACTAGCGGTCAGCTGGATTCCTCAGGCCAGGGAATAGCCTCACATGCTTCCAGCTCTCTTATTCTGTCGTAAACACCCTCGACGACCTGCTTCGCCTCATCCACCCGGCTCTGGCTCATCCGGATACTTGCCAACGTGAGCTGGACCTCAGCGTCCACCGGTGCCATTGTCGTTGCGCGTGTGATGAGCGTGGAGCAATTGTCCTCAGCTGCTGGTTCCATGCTGCCTCCGTCAACCCTGATCGCCCAGACAGTCAAGGGAGAACTCACCAGAGGTCTGACATCCATATTTCAATCATAGCCACCAACGCCCTCACGCCCATCGCCCTCATCTCGCCTTCCCCTCCATCGAATTCGCCCGAGCTCGCATCGGTACTTGCAGGTCCCAGCGTATTCTCAATCATAGCCGCCGCGGTACTGTAGTAGCCCAGCGCCTCGTGGGGGTCACCAGCTGTTTGCGCGAGGTAGAGATATGGCGAAGGGTTTGTGGGCGGGGATGGCGTGTGGGGAGGGAAGAGGTGGAGCAGGTGCTGTCGATCAGCTTTGTCCCCACACAAAGACGGTAGCAGCTCACGTCTCTTCCAACTTCCTCATCTCCACCTTCCAGCTCCGCCACACCGAGGACTTCTCGCACTTCAAGGTTGTCCGGCTCACACTCGACTGCCCGGTTCAGAAACTTAATCGCGAGCTCAAAGTTGGACTGAGCGAGAAGAGTGTGCGCCTTATCTATAGGGTCAGTACCGCTACAATTCTAGTCGCGAGCGTGGTACATACCGAGCAGACTAGCTACATCCACAGGTTTTGAGGGACCGGCACCTGCCGTAGCGCTTGCTGGAGCAACCGCAGCGGGCTTGCCTGTTTTCCGCTTTGCGGCATTCTTTGATCGAGTCATATCGGGGGTTGTCGGGCCAGCTGTATGATGATCAAAGGTGATGGCCGTGTATGGGCGATGGAGGCAACGACTCTAGGCCAGGAAGCTCATGCACCTGGCTCTACGCGCGAGGCAAACATTTTTGCACCAACACGGAGATTGGGGGAAGTCCATATGACGTGTTTCAAATTAAGCTTTTAACGTTTCGCCACCACCCGACCGTTCGCGCGCAAGCTCTTCTGCCATGCCCTCCTATCCGCCCCCTGTCATACAGTATCATTCTCAGCTCGAGATAGAAGATCTACGCCTCTGCAGGACAGTGATCGCTGACGCTGAAGAAGCGCAGATAGCTGATCTGCGGAGATCCTGCCGCCGAGGGACATGCCGGCAGCATTCCTCTAATTTCCCGGACCGGCTGCGCCACAATTTTTGCGCCGTCTCCGCCCTTCTCCGCCGCGTCTCTGCTGTCTCCGCCTTCCGCCCTCTTCTGCCAAGCTCTGTCCTTTCTGTCCCTGTCCTCTTCAAGGCCCTTCGACGTGTGTCTGCACGAACAACAGCCTAAACGCAGCCATGGTCTCAGGTAAATCTCCGAAAACCCAGAAGCGACGAAGTGTCAAGTCAGGCACCATGAGGCACCCATCCGTACCGATGTTGCGATAATGATCAGGCACGCAGGAAAATCGACAGGTTAGTCATCGGGCATCTGCATCTCTGCGATGGCTCGTAGATCACCGGATCACCCTTCTTCACTTCTTCGTCTTAACAATCTGACTATCTAATGCGGCTGATCTTCTTCCTCACCCTCTTCGCGACCTTCCTCGCCCCTTCGATACCGCATGCGTCAGCGCTGGCTGTCGGTGTCGACACCACTTCGCTCCTGGATGAATCGAGGGAAGTGGCATATCCAATAATTGCCGCTGGATATCGAGTGAGACGTAGAGTCGATGTGGAGACGAATGCTCAGCGAATGCGGCGGTGAGTTGTCATGATCAGTTTTTGGGTGATCATATGATGGGCATAGCTGTTGGTGATGAGGGGTCTGATGCTGATTGTGACAGTGGTCTTCCGCCTGCTCCACCTCTGAAGCTATATGGTGCTCGAAGTGAGTCTGCCTGTTTTTACAGGGCCGAATGCGTCGTGTGAAGGGGTCAATGCAATGTCCGAGCTTAGATGCTGACGACTCAGGAGAGGAACTAAACAAGCGAATCGCGAACCCTCCGGCTCAAGCAGTCCCCAGTGCGTCTGCTCGGCGATACGAGTTCATTGGATGTTATCAGACTGCAACCGGTGAGTTTTGACCCTTGTTATGACATCGAGCCGGTCCGGTCTTGAGAACCCAGCTGATATACCTGCAGGCGGCACCGGAGACATGCGCTACGAATTCACTGTTACCAGTAATCAGGAGCTCGCGGACAAGTGCGCAAAACAGCAGGATGAGCTTGCGAACACAGCGGGAGCGATTCAGGGGTTCTTTATCAATGATTTTCTTGTGAGTTAGACCTTTCACCCTCCAACAGGCCAGCCTTTTTGGGAAAGGACAAAGCTGACAGGATAGCCACAAAACTGCCGTAGATCGGTGGCACCGAGTGGGACCGCTGTGACATGTGCCGATGCCTCAGCAGGAGGTACTCCACATGGTGCCTTCTACCGGCTGATCTAGAGGTCTGCACGTAGCGGATAAGAGCGGTGGCGGAATCGGTCTTCGCGAGGATGGTCCTTGGGCGTGCAGGGGTAATAGATCTAGATTTTTTGGGTGTAAGTCATTGATATGATCTATGGATCGTGGAATATGGGGCAGTAGAACCTGTCCGATGTCTGTTACACGCATAGGCTCTGTCTTTCCCGCTTCTGGCACCAGCCACACCCTTCGCAAGGCTCCCTTCCTACCGGTTAAACTTCGGCTAAAGCAGATGTTCTTGAAACCACGCAAGACACGCGATCCGAGGCCTGATCACCTGCTGTCCGTCCTCTACCTCACTACCGACGACCTTAGGTCAGGCGAACCCTAGACCGAGCGCGAGACAGCAGGCGGACCCGCTAGACCGCTCCACGGACATACAAGGCACGGCCTGCCGAGCGACGGCCGAGCTGAAGTCTCCAGCCGTGGGCGGTAACCAAGATGAGACGTTTCAAGTTGGCCCCCCTGCAGGGCGTGACCTCCTTCTCCTTCTCAGGTGTTCTCGACCTCGAGACTCCTTGACGACCATACCGACGAGTGCTTAGGCTTTTTCCTGTTGACTGGTTCTGCGGGCTGAAGCCTATTTTGGGGTGGACATCTCATGCCGATGCTGGCTTTCCTTACTTACGCACCTTCTACGCCTGTCCTGACACACACTGCCTAGTAGCTGCCTCATTGCCTCTGTCTGATGCTAAAGGATGCCTGATGTCTGGACCATCTATCTCTGTAAGTCTCTCCGTCCTGCTTATTCGGAGGCGATCTTCAGCTGATCACCGCGTAGCTCTCTCCCTCATCCCCATCATTCCCCTCCTCCTTACGCTCCTCCCGCACGCCCTACCATCCCGCCTGACCTCCCTCAGCCCGATATCCCGAGCTGGACCTATCGGCGTTTCCCTCATCTGCTTGGAGATAATACGAGCTGGAAAGACACTCTTATCACAGCAGATTCTGGAGGGATCACGGCGTGATGGAGGATCGCCCGCTGTGATACTGATGTGCGAAGTGGATACTGTCATGTGAGCTCCCTCTTCTTGGAGTGTCAGCTTCAGGTTCAGCGCTGAGAAACAGATCTGCGTATCTCTCTACTGCGCTCTTCGCTCATCTTCCGATGATAGCATACGTGAGTTCTCTATTTGCCCTGATCAAGCTGGCGGGCCATCAGAGCTGACAGCTGTTGCAGTCCCTCCTAAAGTCATCGCCTACCCCATCCAACCCACAGCCCTCGGTACCACGAACACGCTATCTCATCTCTCTCATCTACTCCTACGCGCTCATCCCGGTCCTGCCGATTCTGGCCGACGCGGGAATGGAAGGCTTCAGCAAGAAGGCGATACCCGGAGGTGGAAGCGTAGGCGGGGGTTTTGGGGAATGGTGGGGTCTCTACTGTGTTGAGCGGGATCCATGGTGGAGGATAGGTAAGTCGTGTCGACATCAAACTGCGGTAGACATATGTAGCTGATCGTCTGCTCGACCGACTGCGCTACTTCCCCCGCTCATCCTGACTATCCCCCTCACTCTGGCACTCTTCGCGGTGCAGTACTCCAATATCGGTCACCCGTCTGGCCATATCCGGCCTACCCGGCGATCAGTCCTCGCCGCGGTGCTGCTACTCCTGGCTGCAATGAGTGGGATGGCGTATGTGATCATGGAGCAAGTGCGGGGATGGAAGGCGGAATGGTGGGGACGCGCCTTCGAATGTGAGCTGGCCGTCCCACGAAAATGTGCCGAGGCGGACATGAGCAAGAAGCTAACGATGGGCAGGTGTTTCCGCATATTTTGTCTTGATGGTGTATACCTCGTATCCCGGTCTCTGGCGGACTTACCGGCACTGGATGCGTTTCTCGCTCGCACCCCCAGCCAACGTCCCGGTCGACCACCCGGACCCGCTTGATCTCCCTTCGTTCTGGACAAGCCACAAGCCGCGCCGGCCGACATCCTCCTTCTACGCCCCACCGACGCCTCCCCGCCGTTTACGGTCCACATCTAGGAAGCAGCCATCGAGGCTGCAGAAGGCGCAGCTTCCGGTGGGACCAGATGAGAAGGATGGCATTCCGGCATTACAAATGCGCTACTTTGTCGACAGCGTCTATTCGGACTCACCACCGCCCATCTCTCCTTCATCGGTATATACCAAAACGACCTTCCCTACGCTCACGGCTTACTCGAGCTGGACAGCCGTCAGCGCGGTGCCCGTCGAGAATGGCCGCTCGGGCCTATTCGTTCCCACTCGTCATCCCCTCCGGCTTAGCCGGATTTTACCCTCCCAACCAAGCCCATCCCGCCCGCCCCCATCCTCCCACTTCGGCTCAAGAAGCAGGAGCACCATCCGCTCCTTCCTCAACCTCATGCGAACCTCGCATCAGACTACACCACGTACCGCTCCGCCCTCTCCACCATTCATTTGGTCCATCCATGAACCGGAACCGGAACCGGGAATGGGGCTGCTGGCCCAGCCACCCCGAGCACGGCGGAGGGAGAGCGAGGTGTTCTCGGATGGGGCGTCGAGCGTCTCGAGGTACTCGTTGACGTCGTTGGCTACTCCGGAGGGGCAGCATGATCGGTATCTGGAGAGCTTGGAAAGGGATGGCGGGGGAGGGCGAAGACGGCAGGATAGTAGGGATTGGGTGTACCCCGAGGAGGTGTTCGTGGATTTTTCGCAGGAGGGGAAGTCATCTCGATAGATAGTGGAGCGCTCGTAATGGTTTACAGGAGGCATACATGGTTCTCCTAAGCTTCTGAGGCCCAGCTGCTGCTTGACTGCTTCGCCTTGCCTCCCTCCACCGCCACTACTCTCGTACCGTAACCGTAACCTTCCCCGGACAGCTCCGCATTGATGCCAAGCGCGTCATGCTGCGGTCGGTCGCCACCAGCAGCGCTACTGTCATGCCTATCTTTGCTATCATACTTCCCACTTCCCATCAAAGCCTAGTACAATGCAGAACCCCTTCTACAGCGCCCCGCCCCCGAGCTCCTCTTCTGCGCCTCCCCCAAGCTACTCCTTACGCCCAGCCCCACCAGCTCGTCCCGCCGCGACCGAACCCGCTCAATACTCTTCTCTCGCGGACCTGACCAAGAACAAGCCTGTTCCCCCTCCCCGACCCGGATCGGGGTTCAGCTATACCCCCGACTCGGCGAGACAGGGGTATAGTTCTGCGTTTGCCGCCAGTGGTGGGAGCGGGAGCGGAAGTGGGCCGGGAAACGGACAGGGAGGACAGGCACAGCATGGAGGGGGCTATGATCCGACAAGAGGGGATGGTAGGAGGATGCCGCCCCCTCCTGGGAATCATGGGGTCGGGATACCGAGTGAGCCGCCTAGGCGGGTGGTGAATGGTATGTCTGAGCAACATCTGTAACGTCGGCCTCAGTACTGATGCTGACATGGTAGCACAACCTGCTGCCGGCGCACCCGCGCTTCCAAACCAACCTCGGCCCGCTACCGGCCCAGCATCCTACCTACCCGCCAGTGCGCAAGGGTACGCCAGTACCGCCAGCTCATACGCGACCGCGGGTCTGGGACGGGCGAAGGAGGGTCTCGATAGCATGATGACCCAGCAGCGAAGGGAACAGGTATGTCTTGCTTCTGTTCTCGTACTATGTGCTGGGCTGATGCTGCAGGTTACGTCGAACCTCGGCAAGGCTGCTGCGGGCGGTGCCAAGCTGCTCGGACAGGGAGCATGGAAGCTCGGGAAGTTCGCTGCGAACCCATCGGGCAAGTAGTGTCGCTCCGCATGAGAAGAGCATGAAGGGTGGTATCGGATCTCTATTGTGTTTTCGTTGTAATATCCGTAAGCGCCTGATGAACACTGTGAATGGTATCCCGCTGCTCAGGCATGATCATACAGCCTGCATACTTCTTGTTCTATGTCGACAACGAAATGTTGCCTCCTTCTTGTCCACCACCTCCGCCCGATCCCTCTCCCGCTCCAATCTGGTCATCCTTCGTCCCGCCCAGCTCGTACTTCCGCAGCAGCTCGTCCAGCTCGGAAGGCCGGTAGATCTTGGCGAGGGGTTGACGGGTGGTAGGGTGGAGGGTCATCGTCGCGAACTCGACTGATTGCGTGAGCTCTTGACGAACTCAAGTCGATCATAGCAGCTCACGCTTCTCGCTTCCAAGCTTGGTACTGTCCATCGTCTTGCTCATCACCTTCAAACACAGCTGCCGCGCGTCCTCAAGCGACAGATCGTCCTTGTAGTCCTGCTTCAACAACGAGGTCGCCGCCGAGTGGTTGGAACCGATACACGTCGCCTTCCAGCCCGAGTAGTTGCCGGAAGGATCAGACTGGTACAGCTGGAAACCGTGCAGCGGGTCCCAGCCCATATAAAGAAGGGCAACACCGAAAGGACGCAGACCTGGAGTCAGCATTACCCCATGACTGAGATGGAAGAGGCTCACCTCCGAATTGCGTGTAGCCCTGCTTCATGTCGCACAGGCGCTGAACGAGCATTTCGACGGGGATGTCTTCATCGTATGTGAACAAATGCCGTTGCGCGCTGTTTCGGGCAAAGTTGACGAGCGAATTGGCGTCAGAAGTGATACCAGCGAGACCAGCGAGGATGTTGCTCAAGAGTCAGTCCTGTGGAGAAAAACCCTTCTCGACCGCTTACTTGTTCAAGAGGAAGATCTTCTCTCCGCCTCCACCCCATGCTTCAGTGCCGACACCGCCCATGCCTTCACCACCTGGTGCGAGAGAGAGATCGAGGAGTTTCCCTGTCACTTTCTCGCAAGACGTCAGCTACTCTTCTCGCATATGGCCTCATATATAATCAGGTACACGATGCTCGCAGAGGGATTAGCTCACCTTCTCCGCGGCCATGGCGATACCCTCCTTCGACATCACGGCGAGGACTGTTCCAGCGTGCGAGATGGCCTCCATGGCATATTCCACTGAACAAGTCAGCATTCGTCCCTAGACGCGGTAGTCGAGGCGCTAGCTGACCTTGGTACAGACGCCCTACATTCATCAGCTAAGTGTTCACTGATGAAAGACTTCTGAAGACTCACCCTCTGGGGAGAAGATCGTCGTTCTGCCTGATGGTGTGTGAGCTTGATCTCGTCATCGCGACGGGGCAGCTTACTATCATATCGTCGCGCCTGAGGAATCAGCTCGATCCCGTACACTGTGACTCAAGGGCTCAACGCAACTCACCATGTTGAAAGAGGTCTATCGAGGTAACGGAGGTTGGCTTGACGATTCAAGGATGCTTTTGTCCTGACGTTCCGAAGGGTTTCCAGGTGAGTATAATTCCAGCTCCGTACTGTAGAAAGTGGTATGGAGGTGGGTCTGAGCTATTTGAGTCACGATGTGGAAAGGTCTAATGATGAAGTAACGATGCAGTAGTGGCCTGAGCCTGAGCTGGACGCGGGTGCGTTGAGGAATGAGGAATGGGCAACACGTCACTTTTTGATAAGCCATGACGAGGAATGCAGCTGCGCGTTACGCGTGAGCCACAATTCCGTCGTCATGATACCTCATCTCAGCCATCTACACTGGGTAAGAGGGCTCCACGGACAGCCATGGCTCAGCCCTAATCGAAGAGAACTAGCCGTTGTGCTCGAAATGCCGCGCCGACCCGTCAGCCCGAGCGAAGCGGAGGCGTACGAGCTCCCATCGCTGGACAAGGGCAAGAGCCGTCGAGGGTCAAACGGAAGCGATGAGGACGGGGTCGACGAGGAGTACAAGCTAGCAGGCGGGCGTTCTAATGACGCCGACTTCGGAAGCGCTCTGCATGACGAGCGAGGCGGGAGGAAAGAAGGAGTCGCTGAGGAAGAGGAGGCTTTGCTGAATGAGCTGCCGCCGGATTATGAGGGGGAGGTGCTGGAGGAAATGGTTGGCAAAGGCACGAAGATCGAGCAGTTAATAGCAGACGTGAGTTATCGTTGCTCCTGCAACCATGCATCGATGCTATTTCACTTGTCTAAAGAAAGCCCTACCTGGTCACACCTGCACCCACACCTTCTTGCTTCTACGCAGTACTCACTCTTGCTGACCCACGCTGACAATCTAGACGGTCCCTTCCTCGGATGACCCCTCTCTCCCCTCACTCACTCTCCGCACTCTCCTCCTCGGCTCCATATTCTGCATCATCGGCGCCTCGGCGTCCCAGATCTTTTACTTCAAGTCCAACGCGCCGCAATTCTCCAGCTATTTTGTCATTCTCGCGACCCTACCGCTCGGTCGAATACTAGCGAACGAGCGGATCGTCAAGCCGCACTGGCATATAGCGGGAGTCAAGTTAAATCCTGGACGATTCAGTATCAAGGAGGCAATTTTGGTCAGGTCAGTATCGCTTCCGAGGTTTCGGCTAAGACTGGAAAGGCTGATCGCCTAGCGTCATCGCCTCGTCCGGCGCCGCATCCGCCTACGCCACCGACATCCTGGCCATCATGGACCTTTACTTCCACACCACCCTCTCCGCAACGGCATCAATCGTCCTCCTCCTCACAACCCAGTGTATCGGGTTCGGCCTCGCCGGAATGGTGCACAACCTCCTCGTCTCCCCTCCGGCAATGTACTGGCCCTCCACCCTCGTCACCGTCCAACTATTCACCACGCTCTATCCTACACCATCTGCCACTTCCTCGTCCGCAACTCTTCGAACGCAGAAACTTTTGACGGCAAAGCGGTTGAAGGTGTTTCTGGTCATCTTCCTCGCTGTGTTTCTGTACCAGTTCCTCCCGTTCCTCCTCTTTCCCACGCTTACTTCGATATCGGTACTATGCCTGATCGACAACAAGTCGTGGTGGCTCCGGACCCTCGGCTCGGCATATGACGGCCTGGGCTTCTTGGACTTTAGCTTTGACTGGTCCAGTATAGGCACGGCGGGTCCGCTGTACACTCCGTACTGGGCACTAGGCAACTACTTTGGTGGATTGGTAGGCATGGTATGGGTTGTAGTACCGCTTATGCTGGTGTTCAACTTCTGGTATGTGCATAGGATCCTCAAGCAGGAATTGCAAGCTGATGTGATAGGGGTGCTCGAGACTTTCCGTCAGCTGTATCACCCGGATTGTTCACCTCAACATTCAAGAAGTGAGTACTCCAGGCTAGAAGCATTACTGATGGCCAGGTTCGACGTTACGGCTGTGCTCAACAAGGATCTGTCGCTGAACGTCGAGGCATGGGACAAAGCAGCACCTCTGCTTCTTACCCCGTTCTTGTCAGCTTTAAGTCTCCTTGTGCTTTCCCACGAAACATGTGAGACTAAGACTGCAACTGACAGTCTAGCGCGGTATCATACGGTCTGAACTTCGCCGCTCTCACTAGCGTCCTGGTGCATGTCTGGCTTTGGCACAGAGACGAGATCAAACATGCCCTCACCAACAAGGGAGAGCTCAATGACACGCACAAGTAAGCTGCTTGGTCCTTAACACTGCCTCGGCCTGTGACAGCTAACACTCCAGCAAGCTCATGCGGTCATACCAGTCTGTTCCGCATGGCTGGTATATTGGTCTGCTAGCTCTGAACTTTGGCGCAGCAGGTGAGCTGTCATGATCTCCTCCAACTTTGCACAGCGCGCAGGGAGAGATAGCTCATCTAGCAGTCATCCTTGTCAAGACGACTCCGCTGCAGATGCCAATCTGGGCTTTGACCTTGTCTATAGCAATTGCTGCTCTCTTTCTCATCCCGTATGTTGGCGCCTGGTTTCGTGAGAAGCACTTGTAGCTGACTCGGCTCAGCGTGGGAGTCATTGCTGCGGTCAGTAATACACAGATCGGATTGGTGAGTATATCCTTTCACATTGCTGGAGAGGGTGGAGCTGAGCAGCCAGAACGTCTTGACGGAATTGTCAGTGCCATTACTGACGGACGTACTGCATCTGGCCGCTGATATCCAGTGTCGCTGGAGTGCTCATGCCTGGTAAACCCATCGGAAAGTAAGCTGGCCCGCAGGCGTCTCTCGGACATGGCTGACATGCGTAGCGTAACATTCAAGTGCTTCGGTTGTAAGCTGACTGTTTCTCGAGCACAGTCATCGGTGCATCAGCTCACTTGTCAGATATGGCCATGTCCCAAGCGCTGGGTCTGGTTGGTGATCTCAAGCTTGGTTGGTATACCTCAATACCGCCCCGTGAGATGTTTGCTTGTCAGATCCTCGGTACCGTCCTGGGAGCACTCACAAACTGTAAGTCCTCTTCCTCATCTTCTCTTAAGGCCGTCCTGATCGTATCCAGACTTCACCCTCGTCTCTGTCATCAACGAAAAGCGGCCCTATCTCGATGGCACCCTTCTCGACCCCACCGGCCAATGGACCGGCCGCGCCCCCGCTGTCTTCTACTCGGCTTCCATCATCTGGGGCGCTGTCGCTCCCGCGCGTTTCTTCGTTGGTCGATATCTCTGGTTGTATACCGGCTTCATACTGGGCGCGATCGTGCCTGTTGTGTGCTGGTGGGCGCATAAGCGGTGGCCGGGATGGAAGCTGAACAAGATTGTGTTTCCGATCGTGTGTCATGGAGCCACACAGGTGCCACAGTAGTGAGCTATGACTGCCTGACAGTGGAAATGGGAGGTCAGAGCTGATCTGTCAGTCCGTCCAATATTATCCTCACCAGCGTGGCGTTCGCTGTCGCCGCACACGAATGGGTGGCAAAGATGTATCCAAAGACATGGAATCGATACGTCTATGTCATAAGGTACGCTATCCCATCTTCGTTTGCCGGAGCTGTGTATGCAACAAGCTGATAGCCCCCAGCTCAGCGCTGGACGCCGGTACATCCATCACCGCTCTGACGATCTACTTTCTCTTTGGGGTGCTGACGCAGTGGGATGGGCCGAGGTGGTGGGGCAATCCAGCGACGGATTCGGAACATTGTATAGCTGGTAGTTGAGGGACCTTGGGAGACCGGTAGCTTTCCGACATAGACGTGCAATGTATACGCATCACCCATAGGGCCATTGTCCCACAGCCCCGCTCTCTCCGCCACCTTCATCATCAGCAGCGTATCTGAAATTAGAATTGATTAGCTTGAAATACCTAATCAAGGTTGATTCCGCTAAGGAAATTGCTTAATAGGGCCATCAATCTTAGCTGACCCCTCCCTTTACGCCCCAATCAACCGAGCTGCTGTGCCCGAAGCATGCAACCTGGCGCTATAGCGTACACTGTACTGTCTCGACCGCTGTATAGGCTTGTATACCAACTCTGACTGGGGGCTCCGTTATCGACTTGCAGCAAACGACCATTACGCACACTCCCCATCAGAAAGTCGGACTGGCAAAGGCGGCAAGGGAGGCGAGAGAGCTAGACGTGTCACGAGACCGTTGACTGGAGACACAGTTTGGCGAGGGTCCATGCGCGCGGAGCGGCCGCAAAGACAACAGTCTACAACTCGCTCGAGTCATCGCCGGTCGATATAGAGAGGACTGTCCTCAGTCTTCAGCCCTCTACGCTCGGGCAGCGCTCTTGACAAGATCGCTTTGCCCCGGAGCGGCCGCCGTTCGGACGTCACCGGTTCGAATAACGGGTACCCAACATGTCTGCTGGGATCTCGGAGGATGAGATTGAGCGCGAGCTACAGACGCTACGGTAAGTTCCTATTCGTGCCGCTGGCATCTTTCTCCGAGTCTGAATGTAGCTGACCCTCAGAAACCTACGACGGCGGTCCGCCTCCTCACCCGGTCCGGGCGCACTCGCCGTTGACCCGGATCTCCCGCCTCCATCCCCCTCACCTTCTGCATCATCTACAGCCTACACCTCCAACGACGATGTCACCCTCGCCACGCCTGACGGGCTGGACGATGACGGCTCGCTCTTCTGGGTCCCTGCGCACCTACACCCCGAATTAGCTCCGGGCGAGTTCAAGGCGTTTCTCAAGGCGCACACATCGGCCGACCCGGAGGATGCAGATGGGGACGATACGGGCGCGGCGCCTGGACTAGCGCGTTCTGGCTCTTGGCTGAACCGTCGGGGCTCGGGGCGGCGAGCGGGCGGAGATGGATTGGGAAGGAAGCGGAGTATGCTGTCCAAGCAGTATCAGCCCCGAGCGGGGGACGCGATCGAGGAGGAGGTTCCGCCTGTCCCGACCCGAAATGGGCGGGGAAGCATATATCGCGGTAGAGGAGGCGAAAAGGGATTGACGCTGCAAGACCTGCAGAGGTTGGAAACGATGGTGGACAGCGTGGAAGAGGGGTCGGATGATCCGACACAGATGCGGACGATGCTGAGGAGGAGCTTGAGTATGAATGTCGCACCAGGATGTGAGTGACTTTGGCGCGCGCTAGGTATAAAGCTGATAGTCAGTTCTCCAAGACGACGTAGCTCAAGGGGACGAAGAGAACCAAGCTGTTGTCACTCCTCGACCTGGCTCGATCATCCGTCGCACAGCCCGTACACGGATCCGGAAAGCGCATCTGTCAGGAGACGGCGGCGGGCGACGCTTTCCCGCTTCTCGTCGGCCCCGACAGGACGGCGAGGATGCGCGCCAAGCATCGGACGGGGATGATGGCGAAGGAAGCGAGGAGCACTACAACCCCCTCGAGCGCTTTGAGCGACCTGAGTCGGGCGAGGGGTACGAGTACGAGGAGCGGTACCAGGATGCTCTCGAGCATCAATCGTCATCCAGACGGCTCGAGGATCGCCGCGCATCGGACGAGACGACCGACGAGGGTGTCATCTTTGACGCGTATCGGTCATCGCGGACCAGCTCGCTCAGCTCGGAATCGGGCGACCGGAGTATGTCGGCCAGTCCCGACTCGTCACCCCCTCAGAATCGCAAGCTCAGCCTACCCCCAATAACACCCGGATACCACGGTCGGGAGCAGTGGGATTCTGGTGAAAAGACGCCAACGCAGGAATCGGTCAATGATCCCATGTCGCGGCAGTTCTCCAGTCCTAGCCCGGAGAACAGCGAGGAGGGGGCGCCGCGGACAGGGATGCGCAAAGTCAGCGGGATGAAACTGGAGGTACCACCCGCGTTTGACACACCCCGTCCACGACCTATTTCACCCACCAGTCCACAGGCGACGCAGCGGCCGGCGGCGGCGGAATACGAGCTGCCTCCTGGTATGGCTCCACCCGTCACTCGACAATCCGTCCCGCCCGGCTTGGCTCTTCAGCATCAGAAGAGTCAAGAAAGCCTCGGTCCCTCTCCCATCGACGCTCGACCCCCTCTTACCCGTCCCGACTCCTCCGCCTCCCTTTCGTCCACCGTTGCGTCATCCTCGTCGTCCGTCAAGGAAAAGAAGAGCGGGTTCTTTGGCAAAAAGGACAAGAAGGAAAAGGAAAAGAAGAAGGAGAAGGAGGGGTTCCTCGGTTCGCTCTTTGGCGGAAAGAAGAAGCACGAGGAGGTTGTGACCGTGTCAAACTTTGGGACGGCCGGTCCCGCGGCCGCTGCGGCGCTTCTTGGCTCGTCGAAATCGGCCAAGTCGATGGGCCATTCTCCCGCTCCATCCCCTACCACTCCCGGCTTCCAGACCAACGGCGCGGGCAATTTCGCCCGGTACCCCATCCACGTCGAGCGCGCTGTCTATCGGTTATCACATATCAAACTCGCCAATGCTCGGCGGCCCCTATATGAACAGGTCCTCATATCAAACTTGATGTTCTGGTATCTGGGCGTTATCGGTCGGAACGTCAGCGAGGAGAAGAAGGCGGATAAGGAGGAGAAGAAGGAAGTGGAGCCTGCCAAGCCACCGCCTGCAAAGGGAACCCCGCCCAAATCCCTCGAGGGAGGCCAGGCGGGGAACGGTCTGCCAATACATCGGGAGAAGGAGATCTCAGTACCTCCGCCCCAAGTCGTCCAGGCAGCACCGCCCCAGTCGACGCTGAAAAAGGGGTTGACCAAACCGGAACGTAGACGGGACGGGCGAGATGCAGAGGCGGCCGTGCGGACACCTTCGTACGGTATGCAGAACGCGCTGGTGGATAGCGACCTGCGTGCGAGGGAGGCGAGGGAGAATAGGGACTCGAGGGACTCGAGGGACTCGGGATTGAAGCCGCAGGCAGGGGCAAGGGGTATGAATGGGAGTCCGTCACCGCCACCACAGCAGCAGCCATATCAAAATTATGGTCCACCTCCCGGCGGTCACCCCGCTCGCTCTCCTTCCATTCCCAATCTCGCCCCTCCCGACTCCAGGCGACAAGGCCCACCTTCACCCAATATGCAGCAACACACACGTCCGGCATCGGATCACGGACACTCGGCTCCCATTCCGCGCGAGGTGCAGGGTCTGCCCAGAGGCGTACCGCAGTCGTCCTTCGGGCCCCCACCTCCACCTAATGCCGGCTTTGACCCTGCTCGGGATCCGCGTCAGCGGACACTATCGACGCCCAGTCCGGTACATGGACAGGGACCTCCGATGGGCGGGCCAGGTCCAGCGGGCCAGATGCGCCGGGTCGTCACGGAGGGTCGGCCCGAGCAAATGGGCAGTCCACCTCCAGGCTCGCGACCCATGCACCCGTCCCACTCTGGTCCTCAGCCTGGCCAGATCTTTCAATATCCCGGCTCAGTCAGTCCACATTCGCCGACCGGACTCGGCCCACCCGGTTCCTCTCAACCACAACCTCCCTTCCCAAGTCGCGCATCGAGCCATCCAGCTCCCGGCCAACTGTTTTCCCCTCCACCAGGCGCCGGCCCGCTGCCTGGTCAGGTGTTCCACCGGCCCCCACCAAATGGGCAGGGCTACCCACATCCCGGCCCTCGGCCAGGTCCACCCCCAGAAATGTGGGCGGGTCCACAACGACTCCCACCCCCTCAGCCTGGTCAGCCCATGCCTTACCCTCCACAACAACAGCAACAGTATCAAGCCCGACCGGACTTTGCCCACCCGCAGCCGCAGGTACCTTATGATCCCAGACGGGCGCTTCCTGGTCCCCCTCAAAACGGACAATACCCTCCAGCTCGACCGCAGGCGTACCCCCCTCGTCCGCCACAGCTCGGCGCGCCGGTGGGCGGGTATGGGGCTTATCCACACCCTCCAAATGGTCCGGGACCGCAACCAGGGCAGTCCGAGTACAGGAGAAGTCAGGCGGTACCAGGGCAGTACGGCCATCATCGTTGAGAGGGTGGTGGTAGGTGCTAGGGGGGATGTCGTGTATCACGCGGGGGAGATTTACGACTGATGATGTCGAGTAGATGACTGGTCTTAGCTAGTTGCACGGTAGAATTTGTATCATAGTATAGGCCATTGTTGACGGGAGGGGAGTTAGCATGCTACACGGACGTTTCAGTAGACCCTGATGCGCTGGTACAGAGTTATTGAGTGCTCGCACGACGGAAGGAATGACAGTTGTGGGGCACCATCGAGATGACCTCATCGCCCTCGGACGACCGACGCGACCACCCTCGCGACTCCCTCGCGTCGGGAACCCTTTCATCCCCCACCTCCTGAAAGCAAGGCTGTCCATCTCCTGTCCTAGGGTGCTCGTAGTGTACTCGCGCGCATCGCTATCTACCAGGAAGGCCACCGCCATCTTACCCCTCCCACACGCGTTCCGGCCGGAGCCACCTTTCATCCGAAGTCCCTGGTGTTTTTCCGAAAGTCCGAGATGATGCCGCCAGGGTGGGGAAGATGAGGGTATATAGCCTTGGCTCGTGACCTTCTTCCCCCTCTTCCCCTCTCTTTATAACTCTGTCTTTGCTCTCCCTCACTACTCACTGCTCACAGCCCCTCCCAACATCATGAGCAACCTGATCGCCAAAGGGATCCAGAAGGTCGAGAAGGCCTTCGCACCGGCACCGACTCCGGCCGGTCCAGCGCCGACCTCCATCGACCCCGTGGCGGTACTGAAGCAGCTGTCGAGTGAGGAGAAGATTGCACTTTTGAGCGGAGATGACATGTGGCACACGGCGCCGGTGAAGCGACTGGGCGTGCCGAGGGTCCGGGTAAGTCCTTTCCTCCCTAATGTTTTCGACGGACTGCAGCTGATCATATAGTGCAGCGATGGACCGGTGAGCTCTACTATTAAGGTGTGACAGACACTCAGCCAATATGTAGAACGGTGTGCGTGGTACAGCTTGTGAGTTCCAGCTTGTCTTTTGACGGTGGACATGGCTGATATCAAGGGACGAATGGCGCTGCAGCTTCCTGCTTCCCGTGCGCGACAGCTCTTGGCGCTTCGTTCGACGTCGACCTCATCCGTCGCATTGGCGAAGCGCTTGGCGAAGAATGTCGTGCTCGAGGCGTGCACTGCATCCTTGGTCCTACGACCAACATCCAGCGGCATCCTTGCGGCGGGCGCGGCTTCGAGAGCTTTGGCGAGGGCAAGTCCTTCTTCTTGGCCCCTGAGCGGTGCTGATATCGCAGATCCCCATCTTTCTGGCACTGCCGCTCTTGCCTGGATCGAGGGCGTCCAGTCCAAGCAGGTCATGACCAGTAAGTCCTCCTTTCATGTCGCAAGCTTGACGTCAGAGAGCTGATATACCCAGACCCCAAGCGTGAGCTGTCCCAACGGGAAGCGGCAGGCCGAGCACACATCGCTGATGACTAGACTTCTTTGGCAATGAGCAGGAGAATCACCGCCGGAGCAGCAACTCGGTCATGGACGAGCGGACGATGCACGAAATCTACCTCGAGCCTTTCCGAATCCAGATGAAGGCCGATCCTGCGGTATTCGTACGTCCTTCTCAGACAAGTGTGACCTACAGCTGACCGGTAAGATGCCTTCCTACAACAAGGTCAATGGGCAGCACGTCGTGGAGCAGTCATACCTTCTGCGCAAGGTGCTCAGGGATGACTTTGGCTTCCATGGCATGCTCATGTCGGACTGGTCAGGAACGACGCCGGGGTACGAGACCATCAAGGCTGGGCTGGACCTGGAGATGCCGGGCCCATCGATGGTTCGAGGCGCTGCTGTCGAGAGAGACATGATCACGGGCAAGCTCACTACGGCGGATGTGGATGAGTGTGTGCTGAGGGTGAGTTATGCGCCGAGCAGTACTGACGGCCAGGTGCTTGAATACGTCAAGACCGCCCAGCTCTCCGGTATTCCCTTCGAAGCGCTCGAGAGCTCCATCGACACTCCTGCTGTCCGAGGCCTCCTCCGCGAGTCAGCCAGCGACGGTGTAGTCCTGCTCAAGAACACCGCCAACGTCCTTCCCATCCCTTTGAAGGCCGGCCTGAAGATCGCTGTCATCGGTCCCAACGCAAAAATCGCAGCCTACTCGGGCGGCGGGTCCGCTTCGCTCCTGCCGACGTACAAGGTGACTCCGCTGGAAGCTATCACCGAGGAGGCGACCAAGATCGGGGCGCAGGTCTCATACACCATCGGAGCGGACGGCTCGAGCTTTTCGCCGCTCTTGACGGACTTTTTGAGCTTGCCGGCTGGAGTGGCGGATGTGGGAATTGTGTGTGCCGACTTTTACGAGGAAAAGTGAGCACCTTGCCTCGATTGGCAGTCGCAGCCCATCTGACACCCAGTCCATGGAATGGCAAGGAGGTCCAGCCCGTCTTCCGGAAGTGCAACAACAGCGCGTTCACCTACTTCATCGACGGCATTCCAAAGACCATCCCGGTCAGGGGATACGTCTCGCTCAAGACAGTCTTCACGCCCGATGTAGGCGGCAAGGTGTGTTCTCGCTGGGATTAGTGGAATGATAGCCTGATCAGTGTAGTGGATCCTGGGTCTGGGCGTGGCGGGCCAAGCCGACCTGTACGTGGACGGAAAGAAAGTGGTCGACAACTCGACGGATCAGAAAGAGGGTCTGCTCTTCGTAAGTCCCCTCTCTGCTGATCTCATAGTCAGCTGACACCTAGTTCAACACTGGCGCGGAAGAGCGATTCGGCGAGATCGAGGTCGAAGCTGGCAGGCCTTACCAGTTCGAAGTCCGCTTCTCCAACTTCAAGCAGCTGAACGCACACTCTCCCTACGTGAGTGATATCTCCTTTTCTTCGGTGCCGGGATTGACGCTACAGGCCGGTCGACGAGGAGGTATCCGGATTGGTGGTCGGCCCAAATACGACGCCAAGACTGAAATCGCTAAAGCTGTCAAGCTGGTCCAGGAGTCTGACGGTGAGTACCCATAGTACGTGGAAATGGTAAGTGCTGATCTCTTAGTGGCCATTGTCGTCATCGGCACAAACAGCGAATGGGAGTCCGAGGCGTATGACCGGTCCGATATGAAGCTACCTCCCGGTACCGACGACCTCGTCCGCGCTGTTCTCGCCGCCAATCCGAAGACCATCATCGCGAACCAGTCCGGCATGCCCGTCGAGCTCCCTTGGCTCGCTGAGTCCACCACGGTTCTTCAGTCCTTCTTTGGCGGGAACGAGTGTGGAAGTGGCATCTCGGACGTCGTCTTTGGCCTCAAGAATCCCAGCGGCAAGCTCCCCCTGACATGGTCCCAGAAGCTCGAGGATTGGCCGAGCCATGGAAACGGTCGATTCGGTGACGACGTGACGACGGTATATGGAGAGGGTATCGAGGTGGGGTACCGCCACTTCGACCGGCCAGGCAAGGTCAAGAGCGAATTCCCATTCGGGTACGGATTGAGCTACTCGACTTTCAAGTTCGGGTGGGTCTTGACCAACCTCACAATTGGGACCAAGCTGACATGATCTATAGTGAGCTGAGCGTATCCCCTGTCGAGCCCTACGGTGCCGAAGTGTCGTTTGACGTCACCAACACCAGCAACGTCGCCGGCGCGGAAGTCGGCCAGGTCTACGTTCACCAGTACTCGCCCAAGGTCGCTCGGCCGGACATTGAGCTCGCTGGGTTCGCCAAGGCTCATCTTCAGCCTGGAGAGACCAAGAGCTTGACTGTGGTCCTTGATGTAAGTCCCGGATCTCGTCTATCAGGCACATCATGGGCATACAGCTGACCTGTACCAGCACAAGGCATTCTCATACTACTCGGTCACCCAGAAGGCGTGGGTTGCCGAGAAGGGCACCTACGAGATTCGGGTAGGGTCCTCTTCTGTCGACATGCACCTCACGGCGCCGTTCAGCCTGGGCGAGAGCTGGACGTGGATTGGACGGAAGGAGCCGGAGAGGCTGGCGTACTGAGGGGTCTTTCGGGAGAGAGACGAGGAGTCTGACGGCGGGAGAGGGCATTGGGTTGATCTCGGCGGCTGATTGCGCTGGATGCATCTATCTGCTTTATTTATCTGCTGTAGGCTCCTGTTCAGGCTGCACCCTTGACAGAAAGATACCGATGCGGACCTTGCAGAGACAGCTACGCGCTACGGCCATATAGACTGCCACGTCTCGCCACGTGGCTCCTTACAGTAGGCCGCGAGGCGATGACGCTGTTGTCGCCACCCACCATGCAAGCGTTGTTGCAGCTAATGATTTGCGTGTGATACAACATCTCTCATACTCTTCCCATTCTTATCTGTACTCCACCGACCACAACCATGTCCAACAAGCAATCTTACGCTACTGCCGTTTCGAAGCAGACCGACGCTGCCGCGGGCGGGTCTGGACAAGGGGAAGCTCCTCCACCTTGTGAGTATACCTCCCTCCTGTTCTGAGTCTCGACCCGTCGAGTGCGGACCGCTACACCCTTCGTATGCAAGTCATAGGCATGGGATATACGAGGGACGCAGCTGAGATGTGGACGATAGACGTATGGGCCTGGACTGAGTGAATGACCGCTGATCAGTCTAGATACCGCACCCTCAGGCTCTGGACTGAATCAGCCGCCTCACCAGACCCACTTGCCGGTACGATCGCAAGGACTGGTCCACCAGCACCTCGGAGATGGATACGGTACGACTGAATCATACCATCCCACTTCGGAGGGCGGATGGACACCTCCCGCATCAGCCGCGGTGGCCAAGTCGCGAGCCCTCAGGCGGTTCTGGTTGGCGATGATGTGGGCTTGGTTGATCTGGATTGCTGTCGGGTGAGTTTCTCTGATGAGGGACTGAGGAATCTACGGTAGCTAAAGGCCAGTCTGTTGATAGGAGGCGGTATCTCGGATGTCGAGAACAACCCACCAGGGCGGAGCGGACACTGGGATAAGCACGGGAAGTGGCACGATGACCGCTGGGGATATGCTTCGCGTCTGCTCGGGAAAGGACAAGCGGAAGCTGCGGCGATGGAGCAGGTGGTGGTGATGGAGTGATCGCGCGATCACCGGGGAAAGGGCGAGGCGATTGCGCGGCGCGAAGTTCATGTATGTGTCAGTATGAATGGTCATCTACAGCTGAGAGCCTATTCCCAGGTGTTTATACAACTAATCTAAGACCCGCCTGATGAACTCTCTCGCTGCCCCCACTCAATGGTTGTCACTACCCCTCAACCCCGATCGCGTTCGGTGCACCTCCCCTTCCAGTCCACATGCGCTCCCACACTGGTCCAAGTCCCTCTCTAGCGCCCATCCAGAGCCGCACCCGCACCTCTTCCCACCCTTCCCTCCTCGCCCATCGCCCCTCTTTCCACCAGATGACATACCACTTTCTCCTCCTCTCCCTCGCTCTCCCTCTCCTTTCCGCTGGGTTGACCTCGAGGATCTGCGTCTCGACGTACATCAGCAAGCGCTGCGTGATGCGCTCGTTCAGCCTGTACACTTTGACAAGGGTATTGGCGGCTCCGATGAGGACGAAGAGGACGATCATAATTTGCCCGGCTGGAGTGCCGCCATTCCCGTTCCCGTTCCCTCGGCGGCGAGTGAAGATGCCGGTCCCGCGCAGACCGTTGGCGAGTTGGAGTGGCGCAAAGAGTGACAGGGAGAGGAGGAGGGAGAGGAAGCTAAGACTGCCCAGAACGGCGAGACCGAGGAGGAATCGGATTCCTAAGGCGAAGGCGATCATACCAACCCATTCCGGCGCCCCAAGCTCCGAGAAGAATCCGTCGCGTCGCAGGAGCAGCCGGTTGGCTACGTCCGTAAAAGTCTGAATAGAGCCCAGGACCACGTCCCACACTAGGGCGCCGCCTCCCCCGCCAACGATGATGACGCCGTTGTCAAAGGTATCCCAGTCTTCCTGGAAGATGTCAAAGATGCTGGATGTGTAGGAGCGTTTGGGAGTACGGAGGACGGCCTTGCCGCGGGATATGGTTGAGGGCGAAGAGCGGAGGAGGAAGGAGTGAAGGATATGCCCGGCGAGGAGGGAGAGACCGATGAAAAGGAGGGTCGAGATGAGGAGGAGGATCGGGCGCGATGATGCGAGACCGGATATAAGCGTGCGGCGGAGCGTGTAGCGGTGCTTGCACTGCGGACATTCTGGTCGTCAGCCGGATTTGAGGTGATGGGCTTCCAATCTTGACTCACCCATGAAAGCTTTCTGAAAGAATCAGCTGCAGTCCACTTGAGAGAATGCTCATCCAACTTACGGCGTTGGTCCCTGTACCTCGCCAGGCGTTGATACACTGGACGTGGACATACTAGAGTGTCAGCTTGTGCAGGGATCAGCAGACCGTGGTCTTACCCGCATGCTTCCCGAGCACAGGCAGGGCGAGATGAGCCTGCCCATGGTATCCTCCTCCTCTTGGCCAGAGAAGCAGATCCGACACTGTCTCTCGTCCGGCGGCTCCTCGTCATCCTCCTCCTCTAGCTGTGGCTGCGCATCGACCCCAGCATAGTCCCCATCCTCTGCCTGTATCTCTCTTAGGTCTTCTTCTTCCTCCGGGTCCGCCTTCACCTCCGCCCATTCTGGCGTGTCTTGCCGCTCAAGAGGCTGCTGGAATGCCTGACTGGCATGCCGCAGGACCTCTTCTTCCTCCACCGCAAAGCGATATGCCCGAGAAGGCCCAGGAGCAGCCTCCGCTTCGAAGGTAGGAGAGGCTGGAAGGGATCGATCTACGTATAGCTCATCGTCGGACGTGGAGGGCGAGCGGCGATGAAAGGGTCGACGCAGGTAGGGCTCGTTCGGCAACGAGAACAAGGGGGCTGGGCGGTTGCGCGACATAATGTGTATGAGGAGTAGTCGTGGCTAACTTCGCTCGCCAATGCTTTCACGTGAGCATAGATTATGAGGTGTAGTATATGGCTCGTGGAGGTGTGGACGTGGAAGGTCGCCTGATGACTTGGCGATTACGCTCTCGACGCTCGGCCGATGACCGAGGTGAACGTCCTTGCTGAACTCGCCTTCATACATCTCTTTCATTTGGCGACAAAACACAGTCACACTCCTGGGCGTGGTGTATACAGAAATCCGACATCCCATGACAGGAAACTCTGATAGCGTGAAGCCTCTTGAAGCCTACCGCACGCTCATAGGGTGCCGCCTAGTGCCGGCCTTCCGGGATCCCATGTTCCGGGCAATCCTTCTGGACAGCACACCTCCCGCTCACCGCTTCGGGCATGTCCTCGTATGCTATCACGCTCACTGCACTGACCAAGAGGTATATAAAGCTGAAGTGGATCACTGATGACGGTTGAATGTCCATCAACAGCCTCGCCGCTCAAGAGACATCTCCCTCCTTTCGACCCCCCACACTCTCTCCCCATTCACCCAAACCCGTTCATGACCTCGAGGACAATGTCTGACACTCCCGAATCCAGCTATGGACCCACAGCTGCGCTACTTTGGACCCTCCCCCCTTTCCGTGACAGCCTATTCAAACACCTGTCCCCCGCCCAATCGACCCAGGCGCTCACTTGGTCCCGCCCTTCGTATGCCCAGGCGCTCAAGGCGAAATATGGGGTCATACGGATGATGAGGTATCGGAGGTACCAGCCTAGATTCAGTGATCCCGTGAGCTGGTGTAAAAGTCGCGTCATCCCGAGCGTTGCCGCTGACCTTACAGCGCCGCTCAATCCTCTTTCACGCCTCTCCACGCGTGCTAGACTGCCGGGACTATGTACCGGTCCTGAACGACCCGGAGCTCCTCTCCTACTATCTCACCCTCTTTCCAAACGTCACCGAGATATTCGATAACTCGTATCGCCTGACCTTCATTCGACACGGCGCCGGATTCGAGGATGTGCGATTGGAGATCTTGCGCAAAGGCTTGGCTGTCCGGAGCCTTGAGGGTGTTGGAAAGGGAGAAGAGCCGGAGATTTTCTTGCCCGGGGGACTGGCGCTCGGATGGGCGCTTGAGATCGTGACTAGAAGTTCAGTTGTCTAGGCTACTATACGCTTGGGCAATGTGGTTGGGCCGCGTCGCAGGGGGAGGCAGAGGCGGACCGGAGACAGCCAGGGCAAAGCAAGGACAGAGCAGTATAGCAGTAACGCGGCATGTTTCAAGATCGATGTGTCATCCCTGCAGCTCGGCACGCGTGGAGCGGCGTTGAGGAGTATTACCGCCAGTGGCTGGCCAGGTCCCCGCCTGTGCCAGCTCCATTCGGCCATAGCGCCATAGTCCCATATGGTTGCTGACGTCAGGCTTATCACGTATCTACTTCCGACGGAAACAATCTGAAACAGGTACAAAAGGAATGTGGAGCTGGGCGCGGTCACGGCAGCTGTCACGTCTCCCATCAACTTCCTTCCCCCGATCACCTCCCTTCCCTCCGCCTGGCATACCAATCACAATGCCTACCACCACTACAGCAGACACCTCCCACGTCAACGAGGATATCTGGGCAAAAATACTGTTCTTCCTCCACGTCCCCATTCCCCCACCCCTCTCGCGCCCATCACGCGATGCTCTTCTTCAACCGGATCTGGCAGCTGCGTGTCTTACATCACGAGTGAGCACGATTTTATGGAAGAAAGGGAACATGGAGTATGAGCTGATCGTTCAGCTGCTCAGGCAAATCGCTACCCCACTGCTCTACGGCTCGATAGCCACCGACAGATTTCCTTCCCTCATATCCAATCTCGACATCACCTCCCCTACCTCTCCACTTCGATACACCAAGCGACTCTTCATTGAGTATCGCGAGAAGTCACATGACGTCACCTACTTGGAACTCCTCGAATTCGGCGAAGTCACGTGGAGATTCTGCGGAAGTCCCAGCCCAACTGAAAGGAAGACCTTACGGATGGTGAGATGCGAAGGAGAAGTGTGCGATATGGCGGCAGCTATGGAGCATGTAGGAGATGGAGGGTTTGGGGAGGCCATGCCTCAGCTGAGAATCGTGGCGGTGTCTTCCATCTGGGGCAAGAACGATGAGGACTGGAACAACTACAAGGAATACTCGGCGAGGGTTGACAACCCTGATATTTTCACGTCGACAGCGGACTGCGTGCTCGACTTCCAGTACAACCTCTCCCTCTCAACGGCCACCCATCTGTGTTTCCGGGATATCTGCGGGCCGCTGAGCATACCCGAAACGGTGGAGGAAGTCCCCTTGGGCCCCGGACCGGCGATATCAGGCCACTTTGGCTCCCTATACGACATGCCGGCCGGCTTGGGCGGACATGTCAACGGCGTTCCCAGCTGCCTCAGTAGTACGGTCGCCACCGATGACCTTCCCCTCGCTCTCGGTAGAGACGTGACATGGGTGTCGGATCTCGGACCGGACGAAGACTTTGCGAGTTTGGCGCTGCACGCGTCTGACCGGACCCGAGCGGTCGCGCAGCGTCGTCGGATCCAAAGCCGGGACAAGCGCAACACCGTCAAGCCTACTCCAGAGTCGGCGATCAAGCTCGAGAACTTTGCGTCCTCCTCTTACTGGGTAGCTCAGGACGAGCCGGCCCACCTCAGCGGCGCGACTATCGCTCAGCTCGGTATCAACACCCTCCCTTCGCGCACCCAAGCACAGAGGTGCCTCTTGACGGACGGACAGCAGCAGCAGCTGGTGGAGATGCGGGAGAAGGAGATTATGAAGTCGCTCAGGGACGACCAGGGCAAATATGATAAGGTCAGCTGGAGGGTTTGTGCGGAAACCCCTATCTCCGCTGCCTGTGGCTCGGGGCCTCCTCCAAGCGGGGGAGGTCAGACGTAGGGCTAGCAAGCGGCGACGTGGACGGCGCTGGGAGGCGGTGGGGGCAGGGGAAAGTGCATTTGTAGGAGTAGGCGGAGGCGAGGAGGAAACGCACGCGCAGGGCTACCGTTTAAGATGACGGGGGGAAGTATGATGTATGAGGGAGTCAGGGGAGGATATCGAGGTGGGGGCGCGCTTGGTGAGGGTCGAGGACGTCTATAAGGTATCTATCGGGGAGATCTCGATGATCTGCAGTTCAGCACCATATCAGTAGAGTCAGTAGAAGCAGGTAGACGTCAGCTCGTGTCCAGTGCTCCGAGGCTGTGGCCCGAGTCTCAAAGCTTGGAGACTGTGTGTGCGGTTTTGCCGCCCTACCTCCCGGTCTATGAACGTAAGAATTCTTGCCTCAACGACAATCCCTTCTGTCTTCAAGTGTTTGAAGCGCTGCTAAGCCTAGCCAGAGATGTGTTGGAGTTATACTTGCATGCCTAAATACCTAGAGAAACACCTGCCCTCGACCTAAAGACTTCTGACTACTTCGTGAATCTTCGTTACAGACCCCCACCCTAGAGACGCTCCACCCTCTCGACGTGCTCGCCACTAAGCTTCTCGTCGTCAAACTCGCCCTTCTCCTTGACACCGCCCGCTGCCTCTCCGGGCCGACCGGACTCGAGTGCCTGGCCGTAGAATTGGAGGTCCTCGTGGGCCTGCTCGCCGTCGAACAGCTGGGCGATCTCCTCGAGCGGCCGGGCGCGTCCGTCCTTGCCCTTGGTCTCCACAACGGCCCAGTAAAGATAGCAGAACTCGAATGCGATCCAGCACGTGTACACGATGTAATACTTCCAGTCGAGAGCGTCCATGGCGATGGGGTTGACGTACTAGAGAGTCAGCAAAAATTCGACCGAAAAAGACAAAAATCAAGCAAAACTCACCTGGTTGAAGACCAGACTGGCGCTGACACACATCTGCATGACCATGAGACCCTTGGAGCGGATGCGGAAGGGCAGACTGATCATCAGCAAGGCCCAGAATGATTCTGAAGGAGGAACTCACATCTCGACAGTGTAAGAGACGAGCAAAGGCGAGAGGGCGATGTTGTAGAAGCCGTAATAGAAGAAGATTGAAGCGAGGACGGCGTTACCCGCCGAGGTGTTGGCGCCGATGGGGTAACCATCCGCGTCGACCGTGGTGTAGCTCTTGGCGTAGGTGGCGGCACAGGCGGTCCAGACGGCGTACGAGACGCACATACCGGCGGTCGAGGTGAGGAAAAGGAGACGACGTCCGGCCTTGTCGACGACGAGGGCTCCGATGTAGGCAGTGACGAGGTTGTAGACCTGGAGGATACCGTTGATGAGGTTCTGGGGATCAGCAAAGGTCTCTGCGTTATCCAGAAGATGCTCACCTTCTGCCCCTCAGACCTGATGCCCACTCCGTCGAGCGTCTTGCCGAGATAGTACGAGACGATACCGTTGCCCGACCACTGGGAGAAGAAGGCGATGGGGATGATGATGAGCATCCTGCGACGGTTCCCGGGGTTGGTGAAGAGGGAGGCGTAGGTGCTAGACTTGTTGGCGAGCTTCTCGAGCCGGATGGCGTCCTTGATCTCGTTGTACTCGAAGTTGAGGAGCGGGTCGCTCTCGTCGCCGTTGCAGTGGTAGTAGCAGAGCGTCTTCATAGCCTTGGCGTCCTGTCCGTGGTCGATCTGCCACCGAGGGGATTCGGGGATGCAGAACCAGATGAGGAGGACCTGGAGAGCAGAGGGGGCACCCTGGACGAGCGAGGGGATGCGCCAGCCCCAGGTCGAGTCTATGCGGAAGGTCCCGAACTATCAGGTCAGTATTGCAACGAGCTGAGAACCAAACCAGTACTCACTGTAGTCCAGGCGGCAATGATGGAGCCAAGGTACCAAGTGGAGTTGTAGAGGGATGTGATGCTGATGATCAGCGAGGGCCCAGGTCAGAGATGGGATGACTCACGGAGCACGGTGGGTGGGGTATGCCAGCTCAGTGATGAGCACAGGAGCAGCAATGCAGGCGAAGGAGAGACCGAATCCGATGAGGAAGCGGGCACCTGCGAGTCAGCTCTGCCCTGCTCACTTTCGACTACACACGACTCACCAATGAACATGCCGATGTTCTGGGCGGCAGTCTGAATAGCAGTGGCGATGAGCATGAGGATGCAACCGAGGAAGATGGTCATGCGACGACCGAATCTGTCCGAGATGTAAGGGGCGAAGGGAAGACCAGCGATACCACCGATGTTCTGGATGGCGTTGAAGAGACCGAGGAGACCGCCCTGGGGATCGCCAAAGTAGCCCTTCCAGGTTCTGGCAATCAGCGGGATGCAGAAGACGCCGGGAACAGGCACTCACGACAAGGTCTGGAGACCGTTCATCATACTACCATCGTATCCGTTGGTGCTCGACGTGATGAGGAGGAGGAGCAAGATCAAGTTGAGCCTCAAGAGCCGGCCCTTGTACCATCGAGTCTCACGTCCTTGGAGCAGACGGTGGAGCTCGTTCGAGTGGGCGCTGTGGCCGACGTTGAGGGCGCCGGGTGCCATGGTGAATAGCTTGTCGGTGTGAGAAGTGGTGAGTGAGGGGTGGCAAGAGTGTTACCGATGAGAGGAGGTGGTCAGTCAGCAGCTGGACGTTTGACCTATATACGATCTTGAACAGTTTCGCTCTCGCCCATCTTGTGCATCATGAGATGTGTCTATCCTCCTTTCCGCCGAGTTCCGCCGAAGGGGAATCGCCGCACCCAAGGTCATGTGGGGTGGGAAGAGAGCGGCTCACTGAGACGCGATGCGGATGAGTTGATCGGTGGCGAAACAAAGGATGCACATGGAGGTGCCTGACGACTCCCGCTAAGAAGTCCCGCTTGGGTTCTTGGCTAAACCTTAATTACCCCTGAAACGCCCCGGTCGCCCCGGATTCCCCCGTGCGGAGCTCAACTGTGTCTTTCGGCAGCATCAGCGGCGCTGTCGGCGAAGAGACGCAATCGACGCCCTCTCCAAAGTCTGACATGGTTAATACAGACAGCCGATATCTGCGGAGGAAAGCAGGGAAGATTGGGCGATTATGCTCCTTTGGATGGCTCGGACACGCCATACCCGACAGAGATTACCGCATTAGCTAATACGGCTCTTTTGCGGCACCAAGATAAAGCGGCTGATTCGCCACCTATCGTCCGGAAATAGTCCGCCGCTGAGTGCGGCGGCTACCGCAGGCTGTAGGTCAGCGTGGACGAAGCACCAGCTTGGGAAGGCAGCTCTGGCGGTCTCTCACTACTCTCCATAGCTACAGGTACATGGTCGTCAAGAGCATCAGTGCATCGTCTCTATGGTCTACCCAGATTGACACCCATTCTTGACAGGCAACGGCGCCGCGTCACAAAGCTGCCCTAGACCCACCCTTCTCGCAATGACCATGTCTCACGCCTCCTCAGTCTTCTCCCGGTCCCGTCTCGTCATGCCCATCCGCAACCCACTCATCCTTCCTGGACTGCTCACACCATTGCCAGCATCCACGTTCATACCGCTGCTGACCGATTTCCGACGCCCCAGAAGCCCATGCTTCTCTGCGCTGGCTCTCTCAGGAGCAGCCCCAGCGGTCCAATCGAGCCGGAGTCGGATGGTCCCGGCGCCGCTGGTCAGGGAGACTGAGACGTCTCCAGTCGGTCGTGCGGGAGCAATATGTTGCCAGATCTACATTATCAGCTCGATGTCCGTGAGAAGATGGTCTGGCGACTCACGTCGACCTCAGCCTCGCCTATTACAGGATCTCGGCCAAAGGAGTGATGTTCTGGCGAATGAGCTAAAGCTCGGCATTCACATACAGCGGATTATACTCACCATGCAGTGCTACGCTGAGAACGCCGACTTCGGGAGAGAGGTGGAACGTCAAGTGCTCGTTCCTATTCCCATCAGCTTGTTCTAGTCCGGCGGGCTTCCCAGCTACTCACCATTCTGGCTCGATACCCTTGACATGATCCGTCTTGTGGCTCTTACTCCCAACTTTGACCGCCACATAGCTCTTCAGCTTTGTCCCCTCCTCCGACTTGATCTCCGTCCCGCCCAGAACCGTAACGACCAGCGTGCCCGCTTCGGACGGTCGAGCAGACACAGGCCCATCGATAATGGATTGACCATCCGTATGCGCGGAAGCTTCTGGCGAGTCGATGGATCCGTCCCCGATATGGTCATCCGGGTGAACCAAGATCTCCCGTCCAGCCTTATCCTTCTTCTTGATGAGGCCGATCTTGCGGCCGGCGAAGCCGCCCACGCTACCGACGCCCCGCCCGACGCCCATCGCTACGGCGCCGCCACCGTGAATGACACCTTTTCCAGCAGCGATAGGAAGCCCGCCGACCTGGGTGATGGCTCGACCGGCAGTGGAGAAGGTGCTGGTCTTGTGGCGTGTCCGGGCGATGACTGTAGGGTCAGTTGGCCACCTATGTTATGCCGCTACACTCACTCTCAGGCTGGAACATCATTCGGATCGTCAAAGCTCCATGCTCCCCCTTTTTGTCATGAACAACCGGTATCGTGACTTCCGTCGACTCGAACGGCTCCAGACTCGCCAAGTCGACGTGACCTCCTCCCAGCAGGTCGGCCGTTCCAACTCGATCCCAGTCGTGGATCTCAAAGCCGAAGTTGGCGCCGACGCGTGAGGGGATCATGACTTCGAAGGATTCATTCCACTCTGGGTTGACGGTCCTGTGCGATCAGCTCTCCGATCTGTCGCGAGAGCAAGCGACCGGGCAGGCTCACTTCTTCTTGGTTTCAGACTTGAAGACCTTCATCCCGTTCAGGCTGAAAGTGACGTTAGGCTACGAGATCAGCTTTTGCTCAGACGACCAGTCATTGGTGCACCTAAGCTCACATCGGATGACTTCCCGCCCCTGTCGACCGCAAGGAGGTTTTTTGCTCTCAGCACCTCGCACCGGAGCACGCCCATGTCTGACAATCAGCATGTCTCGCTCACTTACAGGGACAGACTCACTATTGATACTCTCCCGAGCTTCGAGCTTGATATCCACCGGTACGTATCTCGCACTGAGCTTGAGTGTCGAGTGGTTCGATCCGTCGGTCTGGGTGAGATGGAATTCGGTAGGTGCAGTCTGAGCTGATCAGCCTCTCCTCATTCTGCATGAACGCCAATAGGTGGAAAGCCAACTCACCAGACAGGCATCCAAAAACTCCCGGGTATCGCACTTGAACTCGGCAATAATCTCCTCCTTCTCGGAATCATCGTTCGAGTTGATACGGAGCCATATACGGCTAAAGTCGAGCTCCCTCACAAAGCCTTCACCAATCTGAAAAATCAGTTCGCGCCCTTCATGCCGTGTCCACTTTGCTCACCTGGTCCCACTTCTGGTGGTTGCTCCTAGCGCGAGTAGAGGTGAAGGACGGCCAGTAACCATCGTCAAACATGATCTCGACGACACCGCGGCGGGCCAAGTTACCGGATACGAGCTGGAAGACGAGGAGACCGGATTCTATGGGATCAGCTGTCGTACGACCATGAATCATATTGCTTACGCTTGGTCAGAAGCTCCTCCTTCTTGAGTACTGCGCCGACTTGAGGGTCCTCCGCGGCAGTCGCCTCTCCGCCTCCTCGACTCTCGGCCCCAGCCGCACCACCCGCTGCCGGAACGGTTGGTACACTATACCCCTGAGGACCATCTCTCAGGCTGGCCTTCGAGACTTTGGCTGTGAGAGACGGCGCGTCCACCGCACCATTACCCGCCGTCTCCGCCACCGCCTGCTCTTTGGCCGCAACCTGCACCTCGTTCGCCTCCGCCTCGAAGCTCACCCCTCCCCTCAAGCTCATGGCAGGCTTAAAGTCCACCTCATACACCAGCGTCCCCTTGTACGTGTTCGCCTTGTCGAGCTTGATCTTGTCGTTCCGCACCTGGTGCCCCTTACTGGCGAAGGGGTAGACATTGGCATTCGCGCCCGAGTTGGCCTCGGCACAGTCCGCCACCCGCAGCTCGACGTAACCGAGGGACCGGTCCTTTCCGATATTCTGGTAGTCCATGACCTCCAAAACGAGATTCTCGCGCAGATTGTGTACGGGGACATAGACGATCTGATCCCATTCCGGATTGAGATTGTTGTTCTGGACCTCTGTGCGCGCCAGGACCTTATTGTTGCCCAGGACCCGAACGTACGGATCCGACTTTCCGCCGAGGGTAGCTTCGACGTTCTTGACGTCCGTTGCGCGCTTGAGCCAGACGCGCAGGATTCCGATTGGAGGAACATACGCCGCCGCGCCAGAGATGGACCCCGCCATGGCCACCGGCTTCCACTCTGCCGTGAGGCGAATCTTGCCCGCCCGAGAGTTCTGCATAGGCAGCCAGTCCTGCCCGCGCTCTTTGAGCTCCAGGAGGTCCGACAGCTTGACGGTGATCCGGCCGAGGGTCGGGTCGTGCGCAAAGTCCTTGGAATCGACGACGTCGATCGTGATAACGCTCGAGTGCTTTTCCGGTACGAGGAACTCGCAGTGGCTCTCCCAGATGGGCGCATTCTGGCGCTTGAGTGTGGGGGTTTTGTGGACGGGGGTCTTGCTTGCGCCGAGAAAGACGCGAGCAAAGGGGTTGCGGTCGCCATGAGCGCGCGTAATGTCGAGATCTTTGGCCTGGTGGAGTGTGAGCCGGACGATACCGGTCGAGGTATCTGGAGGGGGCTCGAACGTCCCGTCCGCAGCCTTGATGGGCTGAAGGACGGGGAAGAACGATAGGTCGTATCGCAATTCTCCCCTGTCTTTGCCGCCGCTAATGATCTTCCCTACCAGTCCCTCCTTCTCTGCATCCTCCGCCAGCACGGACAGCTCTTGGCTGACTGTCCCGAGCTGGTTGTCCGCCCGGTGCTCATTGTAGTCCCAAAGACCGAGATTGAGGACGTCCGCCAAGGTATTGACCAGCACGAATTGCGTCTCGTGCCAAGACGGGTTGGCTGTCGACATGACCGTCTTGGTCTTGGTAATGACCGGCTTCGCACCGAGTGCGATAGAGACATACGGGTCCGGATCACCACCGCCGAATTTGACCGCTTTGAGTCCGCGAGCGTCATTGATGGAGATTTTGAGCACCCCGATGGCCGAGTCGAGCGGTGTACCCGATAACAGCGACTCGAGGTCGATAGTCAAGCTGTTGGGGTCGTACATCATGGGTCCGAGGTTGGCGTGGACCTGATCCCGGATGAAGGTCGATAGACCGGGGATGTTGTTGATGTCAAAGCCGAAGAGGTCGCCTCCGATGGGCTTGAGGACGTAGTCGAACGTAGGCTTTTCGATAAAGCTCATTTCGATGGTTTTGACGTGGGGGAAGTTGGTCATGAGCTTCAGCTTGATTCTGAGGATCAGCTGCCGACATCCACCGTACCATAGAGACCTACCGTAGTTTGCCGGTAAACTCCATATCCTCAAGCAGGATGGGGAGCGATTTCGAGATGCCTCCTTTTCCAACGCGGATAGAAAGCACGATCTTTGGGTTGACCCGCTTCTGTGCCTGCCGAGGGGTGATGTCCAGCAAGTCGTTAGGCGTAAAAGACACGGCCCAGTCCATGATGACGATGTCCTCGGGGCTGGTCGGATCAGCTACGGGCTTAATTCAGACCTGAGTTGTAACTCACGTCTTTGGGAATGTCCGGACAAAGTCAATCCGAGGTGCCTTCGTACCGACTACGACATAAGCTATGCAGCCACTTGTGAGATCTGCGTGAAATTCTTAGCTCACGTGTGAACGTAGTCATCCGGATACTCTCCAAGAAAGCGGGTGTGCTAGTCGCCAAGACGGAGTCCACGCTCGCGACAATCGTTTGACTCAGTACCGGTTCATATCTGCTCGTCAGCTCCATCTCCTGCCGCTCATCCCTCTGCCGCAGCACTCACATCAACCAGAATCGATCCAAGAACCCATTTAGCCAATCCGCACTCTCTGTCTCTGTCACCAGCCTTGTCTTGACCAATTCCCGCTGGATATCGTCACGCGCGCGCTGGCGCGTCCGGCGGATAGAGAGCGAATAGTATGCCGCGCAAAAGGCGAGGACGATGAGGATCCAGGCAAAGCCGAGGTTGATGGATGTGATGAAGCGGGTAGCGAGGACTGCGAAGAGGATCTGCGGGTGAGTTTGCGGTTCTGACTTCTATGGGGGTGGAGCTGGGACGTACGATTCCGGCGTTGTGATACCAGCCACCATACATCTGATCCGACCTGATATGGTCAGGCTCGGCCTGTACACGTGAGACTGACGCCGGCTTACAGGTAGTCCGCCAGTATCCCCGCGTCGGCCTGCTTATGGGGGTCCATAGCCGTAGCCGCGTCGATCCCAGCAACCTGTCTCCACCCAGTCTGCATCTGCACACATCAGCCCCGGTACCTACTTCTCCCACCATACACCGACTCACCCAGGTAGGTACAGCCGGCGCCGCTCCCGTCGGTATACTCCCCGGCATCGCGTCCCCACCCGCAATCTGCCCCTCTCCCCTACTGACCGCATCCGCATCTGATACAGTCACCGTAGGAACTGGCATATCCCCTTGACCAGCTACACCGCTCGTATCTACTCCTAGGGCGAGACCCGCATTGGCCTCCTCGATGGCTTTGCGGCGGCCGAGCTTGGGGAGGGCATCAAGTTGGGCTTTGGCAGCGCCGGCGAGGGCGGCTTTCTGGGCGGGATCGGCGTCGGGGTTGAAGGCCTGGGTGTCAGCACACACATGGACATGAAGAGGAGACTAGTGAGCCTTCTGGAGGGGTGCTGGCGTGGCTGGGAATGATGAGCTGGCGAGACGTACATGAACCGTAGCGCCTTTGGCCTCATCCCGCTGTAACAACTCCCCAACTACTGCTTTCTCGCCATTCGTCATACCCCCCGGAGCCGCCTCTGCCGCCGAGGTCGACCCATTGGGGTATGCGTGATCCTTCGAAGCCAAAGACATGACTCGGACGTGGCGGGCGGTGGAAGATGCTCAGGTTGAGGGAGACGTGGGTAAGCGGAGCCGTCTCTCGCGCGTCGCTAACCCGCTGCTGAGCGGTCCGAGGAGATTGTTGGCTCGTATAAGCTCAAGGGGCGACTTTGTGTCCAGCGAGAGGTCCGCTGCGGTAGCGGTGTGCTACAGCAAGCACTATGAGGATGAGGTATGGAAGCAAGAGACAGAGAGAGGCAGGCACGAGTTGCAGATCCACAGCCAACGAGGCCATGACGTAACGAATCCAGATGTCAATAAACCTTAATTTGAGTGTGTGGCCTGTGGCTTGAAGCTGCGGCTGTGCACAGCTTCTGATCCTCCTGATGGAAAAGGTAGTAAACGCATTCATCAGGGAGGACCAGAGCCGACAGTCCCCTCTCTGACCCACGTCCCACCGCACCCACACCCCGCCTCCCTATCCCTTCTCCAGCCCAAATAGCCCGCCCATCCCTCCCCTCGCCCCGCCGTATCTCCCATTCCCGCGTCCATCCCCATACTCATCCCCAGGCCTAGACCAAAGTCCGAGCCTAACGAAGCGGTATTCCAAGCACAGCGGTTGCACCGGATCCCAGAGCCCATGGGGAGGGGCTCGAGCGTTATGGCGTCGTATAGCTGTCCACCGGAGCTGGCTGTGTCGGCGAGAAGGAGGGAAGAGGGGGATGGGAGCGCGTCGAGGATAGGTGTAGTTGTGGGCAGAGATAGGAGACCGCCCGGGTTGAGGGTGAGATAGGCGGTCGTGTAAACTGAGACGTCCAGATCGGCGGGATCTACATATCAGCTTCAGCCTTTGAGCCTGACGGCACGTGTACGGAAGCTCACCTTCGATCGCCTCTAGCGCCTTCCCCCACAGCTCCACATCCACCCCCTCCCGCACCCCCAAGTCCCGCCCGCGTTCCTTCGCCAATACAGTCGCCCGCGCGTCCCTCTGCCGCCCTGCAGGCATATACCGACTCGGAGGCTGTAAGATCGCTTCCTCCAAAGTCCCCAAGAATCCCTTGAGAGCCTGTATCTGAGACAAAAGCCGGGAGACGAGCTGGCGGATCTCCGAATGAAGGACGTATAGCAGGCGGGAGCTTGAGTAGTCGGTAATTTCCCCGGCGATGGGATTGGGGGACCAAGCTGAGGAGCCCTTGTACAGCACGACAGAGCGGAAGGTGGCTGCTAGGACGCTCATCGTCCATTCGACAACAGGGAGGAGGGACCAGACCGTGTCGAGGTCGAAGGCAATCCCGGTTGGCGCGGGATGGGCGCAAAGGTCGAACAGACGGGAAGCTTCGTAGAGGTGTACCAGCTCGGCCGAGGTCGATTTCCTTTCGTCTTTGACTTGGCTAGAGCATCAGTTGTGCCCACCAGCGAAGCAGAGCGAGGTGGGAGGAAGGTAGCCCACCCGTACACCGCGACCTGTAGACGATGAAGCTCGACGCCTTCATCGACACCCAAATCGTCCTGCATGATATCGTACGCTCGGCGTAGTATCCGATGTCCCAAATCTGAACAGTCAGCTTCCGACTCCGTGCTGTCCAGACTTGGAAGCAGACGTACCACTGCGATCATCCTTATCTACCATCCCAAACGCCGACCGGATGACATCCGCATATGACACTCCCTGCCTTATCGCCAGAACAACTCCCATCGCCACTTCATCCTCCTCCCCATCTCGTTCCCCCTCTTTTCTTTCCGCATCCTCCGAGTCCGTCTGGAGAGATGGCATGATGACCAGCTTCGTCCCCTCTCCAGTAACCACAGCGACGATCCCCTTCAAGCCCCGCTGGACCGCTTGGCCGGGGACCAGCTCGACTTCGTCCTCGCCGTCATCCAGGTCGAGCATGATACCATCTCCGAGGATCCGCCACTCCGATCCAGAGCCGTCAGGGCAAAGGTCTAGATGTACCACCTTTGTCCCGTCCTGGTTCTGAACGACGGCGAGGGCCAAGGTGTGAGGTGGGACGTCGGACAGGGGTACGAGTGAGGTGATAATTGTAGAGGCTCCGGTAGGCGATCTGCTGGTCCGTATGAGCTGAGGCATGGTATACTGATAGTCAGCTCCGCCTCACACTATTCGAGGGTGCAGCTCACCCAGTCCCATGACTTGGTTACTGGATCCGTCTCTGCGAACCCGCCGATCTCGTTGAAACCCTCTACGAGCTCCACCTCTCTTCTCTCAAATCCCACCACCTCGATTCTTGTCGTTCCGCTCCTTGATGCTGCAGACCCTAAGTATACATCAGGGGCGTGCACGTTGCCAAGTTCATGGCGAACTTACCAGAATCGCTGATGATCAAAGCTGCTCCCACCAAGTAGCCTTTGGGCTGCTTGTCCGCGCCATCCATTTTGTCATTCTCCTCGGACTCCTGCCTCGGCGATACAGGCAGCTCCGACGGTACTGGGAAGAACGATATGCCCTGGACCGAGCGCGGACCGGAGAGCCCCGCCGATACAGCTGGCAGCGCGGGCATAGGTGTTGTTCTCAGGACTGCGGTCATAAGCTTGTCAATAGATACAGAGTCGCAACAGCTTACATGGCTTTCCGTCGACCATTCCGACTTCCGCCCTGATGACGCCGACCTCCCCCTTCCTCCCCCAACCCACCCACACCCCCTCATCACCGCCAACAGCATTCATCCACCCCCTCTCCACTCTCCAGCCCGTATCAGGCGGCATACTCCCCCCTGGCGAAGCATGCCACCTCGTATGTAACGGACACGTGAGCATGCCCACCATATAAGCCGGACTGGCGCTTCCTGTTGCTTGGGGATGAAGCAGAATCAGGCTCGTCGGCGTGAGCACGACCAGTGCAGGGCCTTGCGAGGCGTCATACTCCGCCGGTGGAGCTGGTCCTCTTGCCTTCGCCCTATGATGCGGAGGCGGGAGGTGCGGGCGGGGCTGGTACAGGTGATGTATGGCCAACACATCGTTCGGGAGGGGGAAGGTCGCGAGGGGGATTGCAGATGGCGCTGTAGGTGTCGAGATGGGCGATAAGATGCTCGAAGGGTAGATGGCTAGCGTTCCGCCCTCACTGGCTTGATTCGGGATAGGAGGGTTCGGATGGAAGATAGTCGCCCAGTCGCCTGTGGGGCTGATAGATAGCTCACGGCCCGGAGTGAGAACCGGGGGAGTGGGAAGCGGTCTGGGGGCCCGAGATGCGAAGAGCGGTGTTAGGAGATGGCCAGCGACTGTAAGCGATGGGGACGGGTAGATCAGATGTGATGTAGTAGGGTGGATAGCTGATCTGGAGCTGCGGACATCAGCTTCGAGGTCTAAAGCCGGGGATGAGGGGACGTACGGTCTGCCCAGTTTGGCAGGATTGAGCAGCTGACGCATCCGCTTTGCGCCCGCTTTCGAAGTCTCTGCTTGCTCGTCGACCTCCATGCCGTCCGTCATATCGGTCAGGCAGATTGCCTGTCTAGCTGCAGGTATGCTTCGGGGTCGAGCAAAGGCAAAGCATCATAGATAGCTGCTGCATGCCCAACGAGCCACACACCACATACGGTCCAGATTTGATCACGTGCCGACCTAAAACAAGCGGTGATCGCCGCTGACGCCCACCGGCGAACCGGTGAACCTAATTTTCGCCTCCCGCTCCGACGCGACTGACAGAGAGAGGGAACAGCCATCACCGACGCGTCCATCAACTCTGCCTCTGCCTAAATATTCGCACAGCCGTCATCCAGCTCCACCCGTCTGTCCTACGGTACATCTCTCACTGCCCCCATAAAAGCGACAGCTTTGATACTTCGCTTCCAAGCTCCAAGCTTCGGCGCAAACTTGAAAGCCTCAACTCCTCACATCAACACAGCTTCAAGATGGGTGCTGCGAAACCTGCACAATCGCTCGAGGAGCTTTCAGAGAGGTGCGTCTGGCTACTCTGCACGAGTCATGACCTGCTACCTAGCGTAGCGTAGGTAGTAAAGTCGATGGCTGACTGGAGCAGGATTATCTATTCCGACAGATGTAAGCCAAACGCCCCTTCCCTCCGGTCCCTTGTGTCCAAGAGCCGGTCAAGACCTTTCTGGCTGGCCGCTATCATCTGGCTCCGCCAAGGGGTCGACGGAGCATACACTGACGTCGACAGATAGTGACGATCACTACGAATACAGACATGTCATCCTGCCTAAACAAATGCTTAAGCTCCTGCCCAAATCGTAAGCTGTTGAACGACCACGACTTTGCTTAGAAGGACAACCTGGAACCTTTAGCTTACCTAAATCAGATATTTCGCACCCGATGACTCTGGTTTATTACGCATCTTGGCTGAGCACGAGTGGCGGGGAGTAGGGATTACTCAGTCACTCGGATGGGAGCACTTTGAGGTACATGGTGAGTGCCCAGTCCTCTTCAGTCACGGCGCCCCAGGAGCTCGACTAGACACCAACGAAGACAGAAGCTGATATCGCAGCGCCTGAACCCCATATCCGTGAGTCTTGACCCGTCTTGCTACCCAAGAGAATTTAAGCAAAAGGCTATGGCCTAGACAGCCGTGCCCGTCTCGGTCTGGACGTAGCTGACCTTTACAGTCCTCTTCAGACGGCCACTCGTAAGTCTGCCTGAGCGCAAGACACGACGTTCATCACTGACATCGCAGCCTGGGAAGTAGAATGTGAGACACAACGATAAGAGAGATCGGCGAAGGGCGAGACGAGCTGTACCATTGGACAATCTCGCAGCAGAACAGGGAACAGGCGTTAGACGGATAGGAATGGCTGGAGGCGGCGAGGCGAGGACGAGAGCGCCGGGACGGGTTATATCTATTTCAGACATCCACCACATATCCTCCTGTCACTACCATAGATCTTTGGGCAAATTTTGATGTAACACCTTGAACACCAACCCTGTACAAAGACAAACGATGTCACATGATCATCAGTCTTCGATACGGAATGAGTGCGGTGAAAGAAGAAGCGCCAGAGAAGACAGCAGTAGAAGGGGACGGCATGCATGATGTGTCTAGCCAAGACCAGCCTAACAACCACCCGCACGCTCCATCCTTTGGCCGGCATCTCACTCGAACATGGTCCGAGTAGATTAGTCGAACAGACCGAAGCCCTACCTCCGTCAGCGATACCCCGTGTACCTCGCGGCCACCGAGTCGACTCACCATGTCGTCGTCGGACTCCTCCTTCTCCTCGGCCTTGGCCTCCTCCTTGGGGGCGTCGGCAGCGGCGGCACCACCGGCAGCGGGGGCAGCAGCGGCACCACCCGAAGAGGCACCACCGGCACCGCCGGATGGGATGGAGGCGAACTTGGAGGAACCCTCAGCGATGAGCTGTAGGTCAGCTTGGGTCCTTGGCAAGTCGAGCAGCATCTCCTCCTTTCGCATGACTGCCAACCCATTTCTGCTCCTCTCAAGCCATACGGCCGTAAACTGCCCTCGATACCTTGTCCCCAATAACAACCATCTACTAACCTCGTTGATGTCCTTGCCCTCGAGCTCCGAGATCAACTTGTCGAGACGCTCCTGCTCAGCCTCAACACCGACGGTCTCAAGGAGGGCCTTGATGTCCGAGGCGGAGGGGGAGGCGTTACCGCCGAGCTGGAGGAGGAGGTAGGCAGCGATGAGCTTCATCTAAATCGGTCAGCTGTGGTCTTTCGTTCCTTTAGTCCATCTGCACCCTCGTCGTTCCCAGATCGATCCAAGTCCCATCCCTCCTCTTCCCCCTCCTCCATTCCCCTGCGCGTGGTGATCAGTACGCACTGTATGGTATGTTTTGTCTGGGCGACGCGAATCAGATTAAGCCTAGTAATGAAGGCAGACTCGTCGTACTGATGCCGGATTAGATGAGGAGAGGCAGCAGGCAGGTGTAGCGAAATTTGGGTGAGCAGCCCGCGGGACAGAGGGGGGTAAAGTGCCACATTGACCGGAGTTTCTGCAAGGCCGGCGATATTCCCGTCAGCGACGCTCGGACCACGTGGAGATTTCGCCACCCGCGCCTGACTTTCTGACGCAGCATTCCTTGACACCAACCTCCTCACCTCGGCTTCGAGCTTGGCTTCGAGCTCCATCAGGCCCCATCCACCTCAAGGCCTGGTCGCTTACATTGGTGTAGCACCTTCCACGCTCGGAGATATCGTACCAACAGCCATCACGCAACGCCCGCTATGTCCGCACCAGCTACTCCCGTCTCGGCTCAAGCATCCATTCGCATCCGGCGTCGTCGGTACATCCCATCCCCTCGAGCCCCGCTCATCGCTGCATCATCCGCACTTCCATCATCCGACCTGCCTCTCCGGATCAGACAACCTGCCGAGCGAACACGAGCGGTCTCGGAAGGTCCTACTATACGCGGTATACGCGTCGCGTTTGCCGAGACGCCTGTCAAGCTACGGGAGCTGGAAGTGGGGTGGAGGGAACGGCGGAAGGCTAGTCTAGTCCTGGCGGAGCGGATACAAGTTGGTACACCGGCGAGTCAGGCCGAGGCGAATAAGGCGGCCATATCTAGGCACGGTAAGAAGGAGCGGGAGGAGGCGCAGCGAAGGGAGAAGCGACTTCCCCAGCTCAAGGCGGAACCCAAGCCGACTTCGTCGGTGCCTCGATCTCGTCGCGCTACGGTCTCAGGCGAGCCACCAGCTCCACGCCGTGAGAATATACCGTCGGATCGGATCACCCAACAACCTACCAAGTCGAGAGGTAACGGTACCGGCACGAAATCTGGAACACAGCCTGTCCCCTCGCCCCAGCTCGCTCCTCCATCACCTCCACCCACACCGCCTCCCATCCTGTCCAGATCCAAAAAGCCTGACACAGTTCTGGCTCATGCTCAGCAGTACACCACTCGGCTCGGGTCTCAGCCTCGGCCACCCTTCCCGATCACCTCAGTTCCGCTTCCACCGACAAATCGTCCTGTTCCCCTCACCGCCCGCTCGCCCGATACCATCCATATCCACCCCGCTGAATCATTGGTCGGTATCACTCTCCGCCTCGGCCGTACCTCCCAGAGTATTACCATCACCCAAGACGGGCGAGTCATCACCTTCTCAGCGCAACCCGTCCAGGCGTCTCCGCGCCAACTCCGCCTGAGTAACTGGGCAAATTGGTCAGAGGAGGACAGGAGGGACTGGGACATAGTCCGGCGCTTGATAGAGGGATACAAGCGGCATACACCCAAAGTGAGCTCAATATCGCCTGATGCGGCAGGCAAGAGCTGACCCGGTAGCTAGGTCAGGCTATACCTACCTCTCGGACATCTCACTATCACCTGCTCGAGCCCACCGGACATTCTGCTCATCTTCGATCACGCGTCTATGTCGTCACCTGATATCCAAGCCGATCCGCCGGCCCGCACAAAGGTTCGCGTTCGCCTCTCACGCCTCACTGGGCAGCTTGTCGTCGATACCTCGTTCACATCCGGATTTGGCGAAGCCCTTCGGACCAAACGAATCGCCAAGCTTCTGCCGATATCCGCTAGCCCCACTCTGGCGGCGGAAGGTGCAGCACGACTTGAACTTGAGAGCATAGGGGGAAGGGCGGCAGGGTGGACTGAGGCGGAGAGGGAAGCAGTCGACAGGTTGAGGCGATTAAGGGAGGAGTGGGAGCGGTATGAGTGACCGTTGGCGATCGTTGGATTTTTGTTGTAATGCGCTGGTTCTGTAACATACAGCGTCAGATGTGACCCTTGTTCAGCTGGCGTGTTGTGCAGCAAAGACCGATCCAAGAGGGCTAGAGATAGAGCATGTTAGGGCGCCACTTGACTGCCACGAATTTGCTCCCGCTTCACCATCGACTTGGTCCACTCGACCAAAATTCGGCCACCTTGAACATCTGCCTATCTTCTCCTACAACAAGCACTAGCAGTCGGCAGCAGCGCCTACAGCGCCTACAGGATACAGCTGCGCCATGTCCTCCTCATTATCCCGCTCACTCCGAGCCCTTAGGCTCACGCCCAGCCTCCGCCCCCTCACCCGAAACGCATCCACCGACCCCTCATCTTCTACCCCTTCCCCCTCTTCCAGCTCGACCCCCAAACCCCAACCCGTCGTTCTCCCTCACTACCCCGTCCCGCGGCGTCTCGACCCTAATACCAACCCCTCCACATCCACATCGGCCGACCGGACGCAACATGTCTTCATAAACTACCCGCATCGCGTCTTCAACGCTCCGAGGAGTGAAGAGATGCCGGAGCGACTGGGCGGGAATGAGGCGGCCGAGAGGGAGAAGCTGTTGATGGCTGCTACGGGGTTGAGTGGGCCGGAGATCAGGGGACTGAGGAGGTATACTGTACGAGTTGGACGGGTGACGCAGATGACGAAGAAGGGGAAAATGTGAGTCGGGCTCGGGCTCAGCGGGGTCTGCAGCGGGAAAGAAAGTGGACGCCCAGGTAACCGATATGAAGGAGAAGTGCTGATTGCTGTCAGGCCGAGTTTCACGGCTCTGGTCGTGGTCGGATCGCCGACGAGGGGATTGGTCGGGATCGGGTATGGACGCGGAGCGACCAACCTCAAAGCGATGGACCAGGGCTTCCACAAGGGTATGTCCGCCTCTCAGCTCGTGGCTCGCTCCCATCTTTAGATCCCTGTCCCCGTCACCGGCGACCTAGCTCACTTCTCAGCCGTTCTCTCGATGGACTACGTGACGCGCTACGAAAACCGCACGCTCTGGGGCGAAGGCCGCGACCTGACCAACAAATGGGGCGCGACCAAGGTTCTCCTTCGGGCCCGCCCACCAGGGTTCGGGCTCATGGTCCCCCCCGCGCTTCATCGGGTGTTTACGGCGTGTGGGATCCGGGATGCCTCGGCGACGATTGAGGGGAGTCGGAATTCCGTCGAGGTGGTGAAATGTGTGATGCAGATGTTGCACGGCGGGGTGAGTTCATTTTTCGATGAGAAGTGGAGGATAGGAGCTGATGGTTAGGCAAATCCACCAGGGTTCGGATCGGGATTGAGCGGGAAGGGAAGGAGAGAAGATAAGGGGCTGGGAATCAGGAGTAAGGAGGAGATTGAGCGAGAGAGGGGGAGGTATGGTGTAGATATTGGTCGGCGGGTATAGTCAGTTTTCTGCGCTGGATGCACCGTCATCTGCCAACCTGCTCAGTGTACAAGTACACGCATACATGAAGTCAACGGAGGGAAAGATCAAATACCAAGACTAGTAGAAACCCGCCCGACGATAGCCAATATCACTACAGCCACCACCATCCGCCAGCTCATCCACCATCTCCCCTTATCCCTCTTTGTGACCTGTACCTGTACCGCCGCTCCAGGTCCTGCTTCTCCTGCTGCCTTCGCCGTACTCGTATCTCTCTCGCCATCCTCGCCTTCTGTTCTGATCGTGTTCGCTGCGCCGGTGGGTGGAAGAGGAGAGGATTCGCCAGATGGCTTTATTTGCTCAAGGGAGAATCAGCCCAGTTCTGGTAAAGGCACGGAATGGCTTACAGGATCGGAGGAGCTGGGCTGGACGCCCATATCCGGGAGGTCGGTCATGGAGGGGGTTGCGTACTGTGTCGGGTCAGCTCAGAATCCAGAAGCCCTATATGCGGCTTCGACGAACGGACCTTGGGGAAGATATCCTGCTAGGTCAGCTTGCTCCAGCCAGTAGTGGGTGGGTTGTAACTGACTCTGAATTTCTTGCTCTTTAGATTAAAAGCGTGAGAAGCTACCGCAAAGGCTTTCTTCTGGTCGTCTGTAGTCTTCACTGCTCCAGCTGTGATACTGCGACAGTCAGCTCGAGCGGCCGATTGGTCGACTTGGGAAGCTCACTCGTCACCCAGCATGAAGGACAGAAGACCGGTCAGGATGGTAGCTACCGACCAGGCAGCATTCCATCTGCAAATCAGCTACCTAGCACAATGCGAAACGTGATGAGGACGTAACGGACGTGCTGGGATGGCTGCACGGTCAGCTTATCGCCCACTGCGAGTCGATAGAGATAGCTTACTAGGAAGTCATGCTCATACAGATCTTGTGGCCAACTTCGAATCGGCCGCTCGGGGTGAACATCTTGACATCTGGTGGCTTGAAGGCTGATGAGTCAGCTCTGAGTCCTGCTTCGCCATGTGGTTCGGGATTGGGGACGAGCTCACGGTATTCGCTCGGGAACATGATCAAGCCGTGATACTCGCCTAATGCATTAGCCACAATACTCAGTAGGACAAATGCATTAGCCACACCAACACTCGCCTCCAGCGTATGGCGTATCTGGCGGTCCGCGCTGTACATCGTCAGCTGACGGCAAGCTTGGCAAGCGAGGCCTCATGTAGCTTACAATGATGAAGTGCCCTGCGTCGTGTCAGCTTCAGGCCACGCACAAACCGCAGGCACACACATCAGCTCACAATCTAAGATGTTCTTCTCCTCTGGGCTGGCCCAGATGAACGGCGGCGGAGAGCGCTGCATGTTCAGATACTCCTAGAGTGCTGTCAGTAAGAGCTCCAGGGTCGCGAGCTAGGTGTAGAGCGAAATACCTTCTGAAGCTATGCTCGTCAGCTCGAGTACCTGGGGAAAGCTGAGGCTTCGCAGAGCTGTACTTACCCGTTTCTCGGCTACTTTGCTCGCCATCTTGCTGAATCTCTCTACAGTAAGGCCGAGTGCGATCGCTGGGACTGGCCAGGGCCTGTCTGTATAGAACACTCGAACGGAGAGGTTGAATGTAAACAGTGAAAGGAATCACGGAGTTGGCGGCGACAATGAAACGCTCGGTCCTCGCCGATGCCCGATGTGGCGGTACCGTATGCCTACCAGGGCTGGAGAGCAAGATGTGATAGCAAGAGCTAGATGGACGTGAAGGTCATGCTTAGATGTACAGGTATGCTACAACGAGTCCCAGCGCTCCTAAGTCATAGGTGCTCATCTCCCCGAAGCCTGTGGTTCCGCCGTCAAGCCCAGCGCCGAGCCGCCCCTCCCTCCCTCCTCCGCCTTCGCCTTGCCCTTGCCCTTATCCAGCGCCTCATCCTCCACCATCACGACCTCCTCAAAGTCCTTCATCGACACCACCTTGAGCTGGTGACTCTTAGCCTCATCCTCCTTCTCCGCCCCCAGCTGCAACTCTTCGATCGTCAACGAGTTCTTTCGTTTTGGCTCCACGACTGGACTGGCCGCCGTGTCCTTCTCATCCTTCTCGTCCGCCTTGATCTCCTCGGCATGCTCGACCTCCGCCTCCTCGGTGCTTTCCTGTGCTATTCGAAGCATCTCCCGTAATGACGCATTCTCATCCTCGAGGCGCATAATCTCCATCTCCCGTTCCAGCGCCCAGTCTCCTTGCCCGTTCGTGCCCGTGTATCCTCCGCTTGCGCCCGGCTGGCTGCCGTGGAAGGCGGGCGGTCGAGGCGGTGCTCGACGAATCGATTTGGGGGCGAAGGATGAAGGTCGGGATGGGGAGATGGGGGAAGAGGCGGCGGAGGCAGCGGCAGCAACGTCGCCCTTGGTAGACGCGAGAAGACCAGGCAGGTGGGCTTCGAGGTCGAACTCGGCATCTTCGCCGCTGAGAGCGCGCAGGGCCGAGCGGAGAAGCGTGGATAGGCGGTGGAGCAGGAGGGAAAGCGAGGTGTTGTCGTGAAGATGAGCCGAGGAGTGGGCGGTTTGAAGTGTCTGGAGGAGGGAAGTGTAGTATGAGTGCAGCGATAGGTCATGTTGCTGGCTCGCATGCTGAGAGGATCAGCTCACAGGCCTTCGACCAAGGTTCCTCAGCTGGCACGTACCGCAACACCTCTGAACTTGCCCATGACAGACTCGAGAGTTTGCTCATACTCCTTCAGGAGCGTATTGAGTTGCTTATTCTCATGCTGTAGCTGCTGGTTCTCGAGGACCAGATGCGAGGAGAACGCTTCGAGCTCGGACGAGAACTCCTCTGCTAGCATCAGCTGGGGGTCAAGGTGCCTCAGCCTGGTCAGCTCACCGTCCGATATATCAAGGTTGAAGCGTCGCAGCGGGAAGCCAGTCCCCACATGTGCTGCCTGACCCTTGACGTTGTCCGACCGAGACTTGAGCTGGTTGACCAGATGACGATTGCTCTCGAGCTGTTCTGCGAATCCGTCAAATGCAGCTCAACGGAAAGCGAGGAATGAGGGGCTCGTACCTGCTAATTCGCTGACTAGGCTCCAGATTTTGGTGAGCTCATCCTCCTGCTCCTCTGCCGGTCGAGTCATAGCTGCTGGGTGATCTACGTGGGATGGAGTACGTTGAGAACGTCAAAATAGCCCTCGAGATCGCCCTCGGACCTCTCCTCGTCGCCGACGGACATCGCCGGAACTCCCTCCACCTTGCCGGTCCAACGTCCAGTCAACGCCCAAATCCTCTTTCCTTCTTTCCTTCAGCATCTCAAACCATGAATATCTGATACACGCAGTAATGGCGGTTCCCGGCTTCAGGACCGCACTGAAGGAATATGAGTCGGACAAGGTTAAAGATAGGGTGTCGGGAGGGGAGAGACTCCGGGAGATATTTAGGAACAGGGAGAACCTGCTCGCGTTCCAAGAGCACGCGGGGAACCGGGGTGGAGAGGGATGGGCGAATCTCTTTAGGGGGCTATTCTCGGCGGTGCATACAGAGAGGAAGGCGGTACTCAAGCGGGGTGCTACCGCGCAGGGTGAGTGCCTAATGTCTGCGAAGGGACGTAGCTGAAGCTGCAGCGGACAAACGCCTGGCTGATGCGGTCTCGCTCGTGCGCTGGTTTGCGGAACGGAGCGTACACTACCTCTCTCGAACCCCTCTCCTTAATATGGTCCGCCACATGACAGCTCTGCTCGTTAGCAGCTCGCAGATCTTCCCTCCGACCGTCCGGGACTACGCCAAGGCGCTTCGGACACTCCTCAGCTATCCTCCGCACCTCGAGAATTTGGAGGAGCAGGACTGGAAGCGGCTGATGAGCATCTGCTGGGCGGCGGCACTGGGAGACGCGGTAGTGGCGGATGAACAGTGGGAGGACGAGGGACATGACGAGCTGGACGAGACGCAAGACATGGACGACGACATGCTGGGCGACCCGTCACTCGGCAGTCGACCAAAAGCAGCGGCGATCAGCCAAGAAGCGACGGAGCTACTCAGCCTCATCCCCATTCTCCTCGCAAGCCCGAGAGCTCCCCTCATTCCTCCCTTACCAGAGAAAGCGCCCCCGGACGCGGCACCGCCAACTCCCCAAAGCCTCGCCTACTCCATCCTGCTCAAAGTCATCCGTTTCCTCGAAGGCCGGCCCGCCGAGACTGCCGGGCATCTCCCGATCCTCCGGTCCTGCAACATCATACTCGTCGAACTTGAGCTCAATGGCCGGGACGAGCTCGTACAAGCAGGAGTCAAGCTGCTGCCAAAGCTAGTAGCGCTGTGGTCCACGAGGAGCAAAGCGCTACGGGAGCAGCTGCTCATCGCACTGCGGCTCCTGCTGCCTTGGCTCTGTCACGAGTCGGTAGACGAGCGATTGAGGGAGGCGGTACAGGAGAGCCTGTCTCGGCTGTCGGAGGCGATAGGAAAGGAGTCGGCGTTGCGATGGGGTATCGAACCGCTCGATTTGCACTCTCTGCGAATCGTGCAGTCGGGAGAGAAGGAGGGGAAGCCATTCAGACTTGGCCCAATCGAGGTGAGTCCTCCTCAACTCTTGCATGGACCTTGCTGATTCCAGCCCGGCTTCGACTTCACCCATGAGATGGCATTCGGTTGGACCGTTCAACAACTCTACGCAGAGGTCATTGCCTATCTCTACTCCAACTCCATCTCCGTCAAAGCCGAGCCGCTATCCACGTCCACCTCGGGACCCAGCACCGGCCGAAGTGCAAAACGGCGAAAAGTCGAAGATCCCCTCGACACCCTCCTTACCGGCGTTCGCCTCGGCCTGACAGCCAGTCGGCTACTCAATCTGCAAATCCTCTCCTTCATCCTCTGCGATCACCACTCCCATATTCGCGCCCCTGAGCAGGCGCTCATCCGCGCGACCGTCCTAGAGGGTATCGAGGCAGATGACGAGAATCTCCAATCTTGGTCGTTCATCTGCCTAGCGTTCGTCCAATCCGCCTTCGGTCTCGGTTCCGATGCCCCGAAGGTTTGGGCATCAGCCACCAGGAAGACCGCTACACCGGGTGTATCCCGTGGGGCCAGTCTATGCGCCTCGACCATTCTCCATGCCGGTGTCATCGGCTCGGACGTGACCACCCGGGATATCGGCCACCTCCTTCGGCAGATCGACGTCCAGGGTCCCCCACATCCCTACGACTCGGTCTGCCACTTCCTTTCCTCTATCCTCGAGCTCGCTCAGTCGGATGTCCGGCTCTACTCGCAGGGCCTCGAGGACAAGGTCATTGCCTGGCTCGGCAGGCACGATCTCGTCGACGGTCCTCGAGGACGCTCCAGGATGGACGCGAGATCCGCGGCGGACGTACTGCGGCTACTATGTACCGCTGGATCGCTGGTCTCATCTACGGATGGCAGCTCGGACCCGGCCAATACGGCTCACCTACCGGAATGCCCGATCGTCGAGCGGGTCCTACAAGAGCAACAAACTAGACCAATCCGCCGATACGTCCTGTACGGCAAGTACCCCCAACTCGACAAGCCCCGCCCAGCACCTCCATCCACTGCTTCACCACCTACCACCCAGCCCACGCTGTCGAGCGTGACTGCTCAGAATGAAACGCCCAATGAGCAGACCTTCCTCGCAGGCCGTCAGCGGTCAATTTCGGACCAGCTCAAAGCCCAGATCCGGCGGGATCAGCTCGACTGGCTCTCTCAAACCACTACACAAGCGGCAAAGTCACCAGAGCGGGTCCGGAAATCGCTCGACCTAGCTGTTCTCGCCATTCTGTACCAGAATACGCTTCGAGCGAGCGGAATCGACACGGACGCGGACTGCTTGGTAGCGATCCGAGAGCTCTTGCTCTGCTTCCGCTCGGAGCTGGCTAGCTCGGGGCAGATTGCCACCCAGCTTCTCCTCTGGCAGGCATTCGAGCCAATCCTGCCAGTGGGGATGCCAGAACCGGAGGTCTGGCCGATAACGCTGGCGGTGGAAGGGGCACAGACGTCCGGGATCAGGTCGGAGCTGCTGCCGCCAGGTAGAGATGTGCTAGATGACGGCGGAGAGGGCGGGAAGAGGGAAGCATTCCTCGTTGCGGCATGGAGGCTGCCCGAGGTGAGCAGATCTCTACCCAGAGTCGAATCGCGCTGATGGCAGGTCGGTGATGCTCTAAAAGAGCTTCTCCTTGTCGCCCGTCAGCTATCAGACAGTCACTCCTCCCCTACAGCCGCCGCGCCCGGGACTCTCGCAGCCACCCAGCACGTCAATCACGATGACGACGACTTTGGCGAAATTCGTGTCGCCGAGACGGACGCGATGCCGGTGTCGAAAGAAGCCCTTGATGGGCAGCGGACCGCCATCCTCCTCCTCCGCACCGTCATAACCTTCCGCTTGACCGGCGCCAAGTACCTATCCCCCTCTCTCACCTGCCCAAAAGACACAAACCTCATCAACGCCCTCCTCTCAACGGAGGGCATGCGGATGCTGCAGCTCGGTCGGGTCATCTGCGAGGCGGTCCGGAATCAGCAACTCCGGCTCACAATCAACGCGGTCGACCTCATCATCGGGATGCTGGAGGAGTCGCTCTCATCCTACGGATACTCGCGCGATGATGAGCTCTACATCGTCACTCTTGCCTTCTTTCGCTGCTCGGCGTCGCTCTGGAATCAGGCCGAGCTGGCAGAGTCGGAGATGGCGGAGCGGGTCATGACGATCGCGCAGGGCATCGTCAAGAAGGCCACCTACGGCGAGATCAAGTCATGGCGCGTTCGCCTTCATCTCATCCTCTTCCTCGACGACTACCTCGACTATGATCCCATTTTCTCCCTCTGGAAATTATACCTTGATCAGGACGATCCCGTACCCGCCCCGCCCAACTTCATCCGGTATTATACCATGCTCGACCCGGATCTGCGGATTCGGGTCCGCGCGGCTACCTCGTGCGCTGCCGTACTCCTCCTACCTGAAATCACCCTATCAGACCACCAATCCCTGTATATCGAGGTCATGCAGGCGCAACCCGCACGGACGCAGGCATGGAACCTCTTCCTCACCGATATCCTATGGAAGCTGAACTGCTGCATCATCAGCGGCCCAACTCGTCCCATCACCTTGTACCACCTGTATGAGATTCCCTGCGCCACCGACGTGTACAATATGCATCTCCAGCGGGGTCTGGAGACCCTCGCCGCTCGGCTCGGTCTTGACTCCCTCGGGGCCTTATGGGCCGAGTACGCCGGCGCCTTCGGTCCACCGCTTCTTCGGGCCGGCATCAAGATGCGCGATATCCCGCCTGCCCTTTGCGGCTACGCCGACAAGAAGGAACGCGCCGCGTCGGACCTCCCCATGCTCGCTCCCTTTCTACTGGGCAATCGACACCTGGGGCAATTTGGGGCGTTATGCCAGGACGCGGGGCAGCCAGAATCGGAACACGCCCTTCGTCACCTCTATCCCACGGCGGCTCTCGTCCTCCTTGGCGTTATCGATCCCAATCCCGCGCAGAGTGACAAGGAGATCAAGGCGGGTCTCGCGGATGCCATGTCGAGCGTGCCTTCTGGCAATCTGCTGAAGAAGGATCAGCTGGCCAAGGCATGCGTTTCTATTGCGGCGTGCTTGGTCGGGATGCTCAATCCCGGTGAGAATATGCTGGGCCTGGAGGCGGTATTGCGGAAGACCAAAGGGGCGGACGCAGATCTACTGCGGCTCGCACCGGACCACGTCGACGTGCCGCTCGATCTCACCGTCGAGAAGGCTTACACTGCCACCAATATCATCCGCGGCCTCGTCTACCTGGATCACGTCCAAGCTCCTCTGGAACGGACAGAAGCGTGCTTCAACATCCTACTCCACCTCTTTGCACGGATCGATAAGATGCACCGCATCGTCGACCAGGCATGCCTCCTCGATCAGCTCGTACTCGTCATTGCGCTGTATCCGGAAGCATTCGCCGATGGCCGGATCCTGCAGCTATTCATCCTCGAGATGGTCTCGCTGCTCGACAGGCGGGACATTTGTCTTGATGCCCTACGGCTCGTCGAGTGGGGCTTCTCGCAGATCCCCCGCTCGGACAACAACAAGGATTTGTCTCGCTTAGCGGACGCTGTCGCTCGGCTGGGGCGGGTTCGGAGACGCGCCCACGAGGAGTTTGGGGCAGAAATGAATGCGTGGGTGGAAAGGGAGAGCTCGGGCTGGCGGGAGTCAGCGGTCATTTCGGGGTGTATGGACAAGGCGGCCCTACTCTGGCCGGAAGAGATGCGGCGCCATCTAGGCACCCTCCCCGACCCCGCTTTCACCGAGGTAGCGGATCTAGCGGCCGCAGGCGTCTCGAGCGACTCGATGATCATCTGTCAAAGGGTGTCCGAAATGATCGCAGTCGGGAACCTGGATGAGAATAAGCGGGTCTTTGCGGGCGAGTCGTTCTGGCACCTCAGATCCGCCCTCTCAGAGAGCAGTCTGACGGCCGACGGCGTGCAGGCCTTTGTCGATGCGCTGGCGGCGGTAGACGGGGAAGTGGAGGCGGCGGAGCATGGCCTGACCGGAGAGGATCTCAAGGTGGTCACCGATCTCTCGGTCAAGCTGGCGAAGGACCCAACCTCGCTCGTCAGAGCGCTGATGGTGCTTCACCTCATGCGCGTGGTGGATAAGGAGGATGGGGCGTCCAGGAGCATGGCCTACCTCGTCTTACGGCAGTTGTCGCCAAAGATGGGTGGCCTCCTCCAGCGCTCGCAGCTACCTCGGCCCATCGTCCGGGAGCTTGAGCTGCTGCGCTCTACACTTCCGGACGAGCTCGAAGTGTCAGCTACGTATACCATCGGGAGCCTCCAGGACGCCGAGCTCAACTCGGTCGATCAGCCTGCTGTATGGCTCCGCGAGCTTTGCATACGGCTGTGCGACATCACCGCACGGGACCTTGCCTTCTATGCCCGACTCCGTCCATTCGTCCTATCCCCGACCGCCGATCTAGGTCCAGTGCTGCCTCTCCTCGTACAGGCTTACTTGGCCATCTTACCGATTTTAGAGCGTAAGGCTTCACAAGGTCAGAAGGGAAAGGAGCAGGACAATGAAAGGGAGAAAATACAGGCAGCTGTCTCCAAGCGCCAAGCTCCACTCGAAGCCGTCATTCACGCCGCGCTTAGGAATCCGGCCGCAGCTGACGGGGTCTTGCAGGCGATCCTCGAGACAGTCCTTCACCTCCGATCATATCGTCCACCATATCGTCCCGATCCACTCGGATACAATCTATGGCTCAACCTCGACTACCTCCTTCTCGCAGAAGCCGGTGTCAAGGTTGGGTCGTTTGCTACCGCCCTTCTGTTCCTTGAGGTGGGAAAGCTTGATGTACCGATGTCAAAGCTGGAACTCTCTGATCCTCGACTTCAAAAGGTGAGCCTGCAACTCGTCATGGCTGATCTTAGGTCATGCTGGAAGTGTACAGCAACGTCAACGACCCGGACGGTTTCTATGGGGTCAAAATCAACAACGTGCGGGACTCGCTGCGAATGCGGCTCAACCATGAAGGCGAGCATCTGCGTGCTTTCGGCCTACACGGCGCAGATCTCGAATCGTCCAGCCTCGGCTCCGCCCCTTCGTCCCATCTCTTAGCCTCAGCGCGCGACCTCCACTCTGTCGGCCTACACCGGACCGCATTGTCCATCACACAGTCGGTCCGCGGCCAGATCGATCAGGCGGCCACAGCTAATGATCTCTTGTTTGAGATTGCATGGCGGACAGGCGATTGGGATCTGCCGATCCCTCCGTCCAAGCAGATGAGCTCCGCGGGCGCGTTCTACTCGACGCTCCGGTCGCTCCACCGAAGCCGGGACCAGGAGAGTGTGCGGATGGCGGTCGATTCGGCGATGAAGAGCGAGATGCTCCGTCTGAAGGATATGGGATCAGAGCGGATGACGGAGATACAGCAGGCAGTGGACAGCCTCTTGTCGCTGAGGGAGGTCTCGCTCTGGCTTGGACCGACTGTCCAGCGAGCGCTAGGAGAGGGAGACTACAGAAGTGGGGCGTTGAAGCAGTTCAGCGAGACGGGATCCTCTGCTCGGTTAGTCCTCAATATCAACGCTCTGTCCGCAGCTGACAGTCCAGGTACGTACTCGCAGAGCGGCTACACGCTACACGAATGTCCATCCTCTCTGCTGCTCAATCACGCGAGCGTCGAGACCTCATCGGCGATATGACGAGCCCGCTTCACGAGGGCATTCGAGATCTGCAAATCAAGGCGCACCTCGGCTTCAGCGCATACTCACGCATCTCGGGCAATATTCAAGCTTCCATCAATGCCATCACGGCTGCCCAGCAAATCGAAGGAGCGACCATGTCGAACGCGACGGCGGACGAGTATGGGGAGGTGCTATGGGCGCAGCACGAGCATGGTCTGGCGCTACAGCTGGCGGAGGAGCTACGAGCCGGGCTGGACATCGGTGTCAAGGCGACTGGAGGGCGGTGTGGCATCTTGACTGGGAGAATTGTGAGTCTGGCCTCTCAGATGAGAAGCTTGTACTGATCAACAGGCACATTGGTCGTACCGGTCAAAGCTCCGTGCGGTCAAGGAGACCGACGAGACATTCGCCGAAGCGCTCAAGCTTCTCAGAGCGCACAAGACGTCCGAGGCGGAGCTCGCCAATCTCGCCAATGACTACGCCAACTTTGCCGCCGAGCAGCAGGCGGCGCAGCGGTCGGCCCCAGAACTCATCGCCCTACGGACATATCGAGATCGGCGGATGGTCGAGCTGGCCGAGCTCGAGGCTGAGGAACGCGCCCCACCAGTCGTCCCCTCGGGCAAGCGAAAGAGTACCGGCGGACAGGCAGATCAGTCGTCCCGGGTCGATACCGCTCGCGAACATTCCAAAAAGGCCCTGCAGTTCAATCTGGAGAACGACATGAAGTCCATCAGAGACTATGAGGACAAGATCGATACCCTCACAAAGCACTCCCTGCGGATGTTTGCGGCCGCGCTGAAAACGTCGGACGGCTTCGACGACTCGCTCATGAAGATGTGCTCCATCTGGCTGGCCCACAGTGACCCAAGCACTGCCGAGGACGAGCGCGCAGCCGAGCGGGCGGACGGAATCGCCAAACACTTTGAATCACACCTCGAGCATATCCCGTCGATCAAGCTCGTCCCTGCTGGTCCCCAGCTGGCCGCTCGGCTCTTCGCGCCCATCGTTCGCAACACATTTAACGACCAACTCAACAACGCTCTTGCTCGCGTCAGCAGAGACCACCCCTTTCACATCCTCTATCAGATCATCCCGCTTGCGGAGGGGTGGAAGGTGTCAAGGGGCAAAAAGAGTGGCCCTGCCGTCGCGGGTGGACGGGCGGAGGCGGCGTACGATATCCTCACCCTCAACAAGTCAAATAATGTCAGCGATTTCACCCAGCTGGCCACGCGGGACATGATCTACTTCACCAAAGTCGCCACGCCCTGGTGCCTGGACCCCGCGCCCCAGGATCACAAAGGCAGGTCGCCTCCTTCGGTCAATATCTCATCCAGCGAGCCCATCCGCAAGATGAGCAACCTCCATATCCCAATCGCCACGCGGATCCCGCCACTCCGGGCGGATCTCGACTACTCTACGGTTCCCACGATCCACCAATACGGGAGCAGCTACGTCGTCCTCGGGGGCCTGCACAGGCCAAAGAAGATGAGGGTGGATGACAGTGCGGGCGGGATATACCACGAGCTGTTCAAGGGAGATGACGAGACCCGGCAGGATGCTGTGCTGGGTCAGGTATTTGGGATCGCCAACAAGATCCTGGCCGACGACCGTCAGACCAAAACTCGCAACCTCCGTTTCCGGACCTACGTCGTTATCCCTCTTGCGCACAAGTCGGGTATCCTCGAATTTGTCGCCGGACAAAGTATCGGCGATTACCTCAAACCGGCGCACGACCGGTACCGTGGGGAAGGAGATGTCTCGTCCTCACACTTCCGGGCGGCGCTGGTGGCTGTGCAGGAGAAGAAACTTGGGGATCCCGTCAAGCTGCGGGCGGTATACGAAAAGTACCTGCCCCTCTTCCCTCCGGTCATGCGCCACTTCTTTACGGAGAAGCACAAGGATCCGATGGGGTGGTTTGCTATGCGCCTCAACTACTCGAGATCGCTGGCGGTCACGTCAATGGTCGGGTGGGTGCTGGGAATTGGGGATCGGCATCTTTCCAACATCATGATCGATCTGAAGACTGGCGAGTCGATCCAGATTGACTTTGGGGTTATTTTCGAGGCGGTAAGATCATTTCTTGCACTCTAGGGCTGAGCTGATATTCAGGGAATGGCGCTTGCTATCCCCGAAAAGGTGCCTTTCCGCCTCACACACGACACAGTGGACGGACTGGGTATCTCCGGCGTTGAGGGCACGTTCCGCCGTTGCTGCGAACATACCATCCGGGTCCTTCGCGCGCATGGCGATCTCATCCTCACCGTTCTCGAGGTCTTCAAGCACGATCCGCTCTATGCTTGGGAGACAAAGGCGGAGGAGAACGAACGGCTCGCCAAGATTGCCCGAGGCGTCCAGGTTGAGCTTAACACATCGGCCAATATCCTGGAAAAGGCGGATAGGGTGTTGGGGAGCGTGCGGCAAAAGTTGGGCGATAAGCTCAGTGTGGAGTATACGGTGAATATGCTGGTACAGGAGGCGATGGATATCGACAATCTGGCAACGATCTATGTTGGTGAGTGTAAAGATCTGATTGATAGGAGCTGGAGCTGATCAATTAGGCTGGCACGCCTGGTACTAAGACTGTGTATATACGACTATAATGAACGGTTCCGGTACATAGACATTCTAAATGTTGTAGCTATATATCACTCATGCATGGTCAGTCTCTCTCCGTACCTGGATGGGTCCTTCCGCTTGGACGGCCTCCATGCTCGCTTGGCAGGAAGACCAAATCCAAGTTGAACCTGCTCCTCATTCCTCATTTTGCACCTTAATCTTGACCTTAACCAAGATCTCGACCCATACCATCACCATGTCCAGCAAGCCAACGAACACACCCGCTCTTACCCAGACCGACATCCTCAACGACCTCTCCACACTCCTGTCCTTACCGTCCAACACATCTCAGGTCCTGCTCGGCCAGAAACAACCGTCTCATCCCCCAAATCAATCAGAATCCGCCTCCCAACTCCTATCCAACTTCAGCCCCTCTGTCGGCCAGACGGACCCAAAAGGCGTCGATGCGGGCGTAAAACTCTCCGCGGCATATACAAGGGATATGCGGTCATTGCAGCAACAGGGATTGGAGGCGCAGCTGGAGAAGGCCGGTGAGGGGATTGAGGGGGTCAGGGAGCGGGCGGAGGGGGTGCAGAACGCGTTAGGGGAGGTGGAGCTGTGAGGAGGTTTCATGCATCTTGAGCCATAGTAAGGCTGTATCGAGGGTGTATAGCGACTGGTGAGCTTGGAGACGCCCTCCTACGCCCTCGGTAGTTAGCTCATGACTGGCAGGCACGAACGATTCCGATCCATCTCATCGCAAGCTCTTCAACCTACTACCACGTTTCACCCTCTTCTGCAGCCCTCCTCCATTTCCTAGGCCAGGCTGCCTCTGCTCTGCTCATGCCGGCGGCTAGTGACCCGTCCACAATCGCCGTTCGGCGCCTCCGATACAAGCGGGGAAGATTATACGAGTAGCGCTCGGGCAGATGGTGGCAGGGAATAACGGGATATGAGGCGGGGTGCCAGGGGTTTAGACTCGGCATGCAAGTAGTAAGATCAAGATGACTATGGGTGCAGAGTCCAGTAACACCCGCTGCCGTCTCGGGGAACAGCGGGCCGTATACTAGGAGGGCGCGACTGAGGTGTTGACCACCCGTGACGATCTTGGTCGTCCAGAAGAAGTCGATTGCTACGCTCGTTCCAAGCCCCTCGCGCTCAGAGAGGGCGAGGATCCTTCCATACCACGCGGGGCTTGGGACGAGCGTAGTCAAGTGCACATGGGCGGTTCACCACGGAAGACTAACTCTTACAGCAAGCTATTGCGATGTATTGCATTGTCCTATGGGTAGATTCCTCATTACTCATCTCGTGACATCCTCGACCACACTCCTTGACTGTACTCTCCCTCCCACTCCTGCTACTCTCAACATCCACTAAGCCAAAATCGAATTGGTTTTTGGTTTAAGCCAGAAGGGTCATTCCCGCTCCGATCGCCAACACAGCCGCCATCGCGCCCCATACGCCCTTGAACCCCATCCCAGCCACCCTTTCGCCCGCTGCGCGCGATGAAGAAGCAGCAGCCGCGTTCCCAGCATTGGCTGATCCGCTCGAGCTGCCCCCTGCGGCGCTAGACCCGGCACTTCCGCTGCTTGCTGCGCCTGAGCCAGCTGAAGAGGCCGAAGCGGACGAGAAGGTCTGGGTACCGACAGCGGGCTGGAAGAAGGTGCTTCCGCCTGAGCCGGACATGATGCGGGTGGCGGTGTTGTTGGAGGAGGTCTCAATGTAGGCTTCGGACACTGAGGGATCAGCTTGGTCGTTACATATTGACAAAAAAGCTTACGAGGCTGGTTCATGCAGCTGATGATGCTCTTCAACTTGTACTTGGCGTCCTTGAGGGCCTGGGGAAGAATGTAACCGACAGCAAGGTCAACAGACTGCTGGTACAGGTCGTGCTCGAGGACGATGAACCCAGAATCGAGCTGGGGGACGTAGGTGTTGAGGATCTGGTTGAAGCGGGACAGGGAGGATTGACCGTTGGCAGTTCCACCTGGGATGTTCCAGTCGGTCTAATCGTCAGCTCCGTCCGAGACTAGGGCAGAGGATCAGGCTTACGGTGTCAAAGTTGGTCCGGGTACCGTTCGCGACGATAGACGTCCAAATGATCGGGGTCAATCCCATCTGGGCAGCAATAGCCCGAACACGGTCATCAATGTCTCCATAAGGCGGGCGGAAGGTGTTGGGCGTCACACCCGTAACGTCCTTGATGACCTTCTTGGTCCATCCGAGCTCGGCGACGATTTGCTCATTGGTCAATTTGGTAAGGTAGGGGTGCGACCAGGTGTGGACCGACAGCTGGTGGCCAGCCATGTATTCGGACTGGACCATCTGCGGGCGCGAGATGACGCGCGAGCCGACGAGGAAGAAGGTGGTGGTGAGGGACTGGGCATCAAGGTAGTCGAGGAGGAGAGGGGTGTAGGGGGAGGGTCCGTCGTCGTATGACAGTCCCCAGGTGTTCTTGTCGGGGCAAGCAGTGATATCGGTTGATCGGGCTGAGAGTCAGCTTGGCCCTCCACTGCAACTCGGAGACTCACTGCATCCACCGCATGTCCACCAACACCGGCCATCGGTGATAGCTCCTGGGGTACCGCCGCACTACATTGTCAGCTAGGGCCGAGATCGACAAGGGGTGGACGCACGGTTCCGTCAGTCTGGCTGTAGTTTGGGACCTTGCTGAAATCGATCTTGGACAACCATTCCTTGACCTGGGCGGAGTCTGTTGGTGGGAGAACATCCAGAGATGGGTAGTTGGCGGGAGAGATGGCGGTGACAGCTGGGAGGGCTGGTGCGCCAGAGATCCGGGTGGGCGACGAGCCGCCAGTGTACGTTGTGTCGAGCGCGACGGTGGCGTCTGTTGGAGCGCCAGAGGTGAGAGCGGAAAGGTTACTGTGGGGTCAGCAAAAGCTCAGCAGAAGATGAAGGCCGACGTACGGAATAGTGAAGCTGGGCACGGTCGTTAACGGAGTTTGGGGGATGTTTGGGTCGATAGACAGTGACACGGTCGACGCTGGGATCGCCTGGGTGACGGACGCAGTCACGGATCCCGCGGGCGCCGATGATGACTGCGCGAGCACAAAGGGGAGGAGAGCGAGGACGAGGGCGGTGCTTGAGGAAGGCATGGTGGGCGCAATAGTTTGCTTTTGAGAAGCGTAGTCGTGTAAAAGTTGGTGATAGACGCTGTACCTGGAAGATAGGTTGTGTTTATGGGCAGTCGTGAGAGGTGGAAGGACAATGTGAGATCTGAGACGGGGCGGGTCAAAGTGACGCGAGATAGGAGGTGGAAAGGTGGACGAAGGATAGATGGTACAAGTAGTCAAAGCTCTTGATATACTCTTGTGTCTGTGCTGCTTGTTGCTTTCACCCCAAACACAGTCAGTCGCCACCCACCCTTGACCTAAAGTGCATCGCCTTTTTACGCGTCACTCCACTCGACCCATCTACGGCCGATAGAGGGCTCAATATAAAACCACGTCGGCGCGAGTGGAGGCCAAAAATAGACATGATCGGTCTTCTCCGACGGAACGCGAGATTCCTGGCGAGTAAGTCGGCTTTGCGATATCGCCGACAGTGAGCGCCACACTGCTTTTGGCCGGGATTATATGTTATCGCCCGGTCTGCTTGGCTGCCGTCTGCCGCATCGGCGATCGCCGCTCCCCGATTTCGGGACCCTTTGCTGTGGCTCTGCGTGGATTGTATGAGGCAAACCTGAGTGCATAGACTAGTTAGCATATACCACTCTTCCAATCCACTTTGAATCACAATGGGGTCGACACGGTAAGCTCACAGCTTCCTGTATGGCGGCGCCGCGCAAGCTGACGTCCAGTCTCTACTCGAAAGGCCGGATCCTCGGACACAAGCGCGGAAAGAGGAACTCTCGGCCCAACCAGTCGTTGGTAGCCATTGAGGGTGTCGACTCGGCAGAGGCAGCGAGGTCTTACCTTGGAAAGGTGAGCTGACGCTGTGATTGGGAAAGGGAAGGGATGGAACAGCGGGATGGGATGGGTTGGGATGGGTGTATGGGGATCTGAGCAGAAGGACAAACTGCCGGAGGATGGAGGAGAGATGGTCGAGGAAAAAGAACAGAGGAGGTGGACGGCTAGTGTTGCTGGGCGGCCCTGCTGCCATCGCTGGCGATAGCAGACGTCCGTCCTTCTGGGGATGGCAGCTGCCGCATGGCTGGAGGAGTGCCGATTCAAGGGGACCACGCCGACCCATTTGCCATCCCATATTATCCCTGCATCCATCTTGTCCGTCTCCCGGAACTCTTTGCTGACAGCCAGCGTGTCGCATACGTCTACAAGGCAAAGCGCGAGATCAACGGGTCCCGCGTTCGGGTCATCTGGGGCCGTATCTCCCGCCCACACGGCGGTAACGGTGTCGTCAAGTCAAAGTTCAGCTCCAACCTCCCCGCACGCGTGTTCGGTGCTTCGTGCCGCATCGTAAGTCGCGCGTCCACATTGGGGATCGGAATCAGAGGGACTTCTGGATAGGATAGGAAGGGGAGGGAGGGATGTTGGGCTAGTAGGCGGAGCAGCTTTGTGTGTATAGGAGGACACGGGACTGGGTCTACGACGGGGAAGAGGGTGGAGCCCACCCATTTGGATGGGCGGCTGGAGAGAAACGGGGAGGGTGTGATTAAGGAATCGCTGGTTGTCAATGTCTGATCAAGGGAAATGCTGACCCCCCCAGATGCTCTACCCTTCCACCATTTAAATGACGGCTCGCGCGGCGTTCGAATGGGAGTTGGGATTCAGGGCTTGTCACGATAGAGCGACTTGGTATCATTACGATGTATCGAGTTTCTGAACACATCTGGGGGTGCTTGGGAAAGGCTGCATCGGGGAGTTGTGCTGTCAGAGTTTGGGAGGGTTGGGCGACGCGGGGAGGGGGCGGTGGATCCAAGCTGACTTGTTTTGCTTACTGATGGGCGCGCCACGGCAGACGAGGTGGGAAGTGTGCCCCTCACACGGTGACCTAGAGAAAGGAGCACATGGCATCCCAGAATCCCTCTGGATTGCCTGTACTAGCGAAACAGGCAGACGGATAGGACGGGGCAAGAAGGCGGGAAAAGGGCGACAACGGACTTGCTGCGAGCTGTGAAGAGGCTTGACGCTCCTGGTGTGACGATTCAGCAATCTCCCGGATCACATATCCTGTACTAGGTTGGATGCTGGCCTGTGAACTACATATATATGCGTTGATGGCTACCTAGTGCCACTTTCTGGTGAAGCCTGAGCGACCGTGGCATCCGTCGTCCTGCCGACTGGTGCGAGCGCCTCAAGCCGCAACTCCCTCCTCTCCCTTGAGTTTCCGCCTCTCCTTCTTCTCCCGCTTCTTCTGCGCCTTGATCTCCCTCTCCCTCGCGTCGAGATCTGTCCCGCCTACCGCCCCTGATGGAAGTGGCGAGGCGGTCGCAGATGTTGAAGTAGAGGCAGAGTTCAACGACAAATCGAGCTTGGCACGCTTTGCACCGCCGACCGGGGTACCAGGTTCCGATTTGACCGCCGCCGGCTTTGAGCGTTTCTTCTCGGACTTCACGCCTGTACTGGTCGGTACGGATCCTGAACCTGATGCCGATGCTAATGCCGAGGTGGTAGCGCGTAGCTGTTCCGCCGCGGTCGATGGTTTCCGCTTGTGCTTCTTCTCGCCCGAGGCAGACGCAGAAGGGATAGCGGGCTTGACGTCGATCACTGCCGAGCCGGGCGGTGGACCTGGTCGTGATGAGGAGGAGGAGGAAGGGCGAGCGGGGAGGTCGGGAGTGTAGTTTGCGGGCCGGACGAACCCTGCTGCGGTGGTGTGAGGTGCGTCCCGAGGAGGCTGTTGGGGTTTTGGATTCCGCTAAGATGGTGTCAACAGCTGAGCGGGCTGAGATGAAAGATCTGGGATTCTGCTGGATGATCATGGGACAAGAAGGCTGGCTCACTTTTGGTATATGAGCCGGTCTGGACGCATCGTCCCCCTCTCTTTGCTTCCCAGCCTGTTTTGAACCTCGCGCAGACTCCTCCTCTCTGCGCCCTCCCCGCCTCTTATCTCCACCCTCATCCGCCTCACCATCCTTCACGTCCTCCTCTTCGTCTTCCTTCGCAGCCTCCCCGAACCCTCCGAAGGCCATTCTCCCACCTCCACCCGTCATTGTCCTCCCTGTCCTACTCGGCCCCGCCTCCGCTTCCGCCTCCCCTGCGCCCAGAAAGGGGAGATATGAGCTTTCAAACCTCACTCTCCCCTCTCCCTCTTCTCCCACTCTGCCTAGACTCAGATCCTCCATATCATCCCGGCTCGCAAGATAGTCAGAGCGCGAGTTCCCAATAAACCTTGGACGACGGGGGAGGACCCAGCGCGCCTGCGCTTCTTGTTCCACCTGGATACCGACGATAGGGGCGAGCGAGGACGGCTCATTCTGCGTCGACTGGAATTGCGATGGAGGGGCCGTCTGGGTGTATTGTGTAGATTGAGTAGATTGGGTTGCTTGAGACGGAGTAGACTGGGAGCCGGGGGTGTATGGTCCAGAAGGGGCAGAGGCGGAAGGGCGAGAAGGGGTCGATGTGGATCCACTTGATGCGGCGGCGGTCTGGGCGTTTCGGGCCGCTGCGCGCTGCATGAACTTTAGGTTCAGGGTGGAGGAGGAGAGCGACATCTTGTAAACGATGCGCTAGGACTAAGAAGGAGGTGAGGCGATGGTGTTGCTGATCGATGATCAAGAAGGAGGGTTAGGGTGAATGGGAGCAGAAGTTGGTCGTTGAGAATTCTTCGATCCAGTTGGATGCCGTAATTTAAGGCACACCAGCCAAAATGACCACAGCTTGGCCAACTGCTCTGCACTTGCCTTACGTCCTTCGCACACAGCATCCACTGCAATCTCCAACATGGCGCATGCACCCATCAACGAAGGCGTACCAGCTCCAGGCAACTCAGACGCGCCACTCCGAACTCAGCTCCTGTCGAACCTGACCACCCAAACGCACCTCCTCTCCACCCTCTTCACCCTTCTCGCCTCCCCTCCCCCCTCTTCCTCTGCATCCAGCGAAACGATCCAGACGCTCTACTCTAGTCTTCTTCACTCGACGTATGATCTCGAAGGGCTAGTGGACGAGGCGTACGCGCACCAAGAGGCCTATGCGCGTCTGATGGCGCTCAAGGAAGAGGCGAAGGGGTTGGAGGGGGAAGTAAGGGGAGCATTGAGGGCTTTGGAAGGTGGGGTGGGGGAGCTGGAGGGAATGGTGAGGGAGGGGAGGAAGGTCAGGGAGAGTATTGAACGGTCAGAGAATGGTATGTCTATCTCTTTGACAAGATGGGAGTGGCTGGGCGATGGATAGTCTCAGCTGACTCGTCAGAACCCCTCTCCTCCTCGACTCTGCTAGCTACCGCCCAGAACCTCGCCTCTCACTCCTCTGCGCCTATCTCTGCTCTCTTAGCCCCGCAGGACCAAGCGCAGTATATGCCCTGGCCAACGGAGGGTGCGATGCGCGCGGGGTTGTTGTTCATGATGGGAGGGAGTATGAGTGGGGTTGGGGATCTTGGGAAGATTGGGGATGGTACGTCCTCCCGTTTCCCTTTCTTCCTAACCTGCTGCTCTTGTCCGGTCAGCCAAGAAGGACTGCGCTGATATGCCAGAAATCGTCGACGCGAGCAAGATGGACGTTGATCCCGTTCAACCTCAACATCAGGCGGTCCACGAGGAGGATACTCGGCGGTATGACCCCAATGCCGTCTTCCAGCTCGAACTCAACTCGGACTCGGAAGAGGACGACTGAGCGCTTAGCGCGGCGCAAGTGCAGCGATACTCCTCATTGGACCGCTTCGTTCGTCCTTCCAGATCGGTCGCTCGGTGCTACCGCCCTCCTCCACATCTGCCTGTCCTGGAGAGAGGTACGTCCGTCATCCTTGCCTCGATCACCGGGGAAAGCCAGCGGGCCACTCATCCTTATACGGCGTCACATCAGCAGAGGCCGGGCCTATCTCAGTAAGATACCGTAAGCGAGGTGAGGAATGAGGCGCATAATCAGACGTCATTTTGGCGGGACGGCGTGTGATGATAAGGAGGAGTGTAAGGGAGAGTCTATGGCGATTTCATACCATACACAAGTCATTACAGCTACATCCCGCATCAATTCTCTCCCCCTCCCCTCTAGGTCTTGCTCGACGCCGTATCCTCACTCGTCTTGCTGTTGGCGCGCCTTTGTCCACAATCACACGCTGCCTCAGTTTCGAGGAATCTCGTTAGCGCCTCGTGTACAGGTATGACCGTAGACAGCAAGAGCCCAACATTGGCCCCTCGCCCTCGGATGTCCCCCTCGACGATGGCTGCCTTGGTCGCGGCATCCGATGCTTCGGCTTCTTCCTCGCGGGTCCGTCCGGAATCGCAGTCGGGACTGTCGGGCCTGTCGGGATTGTCAAAAGGCTTCAGATCATCAGACAGGCGAGCTGACAGGCGGCCAACGTATGTCCGAAGCCACTGCATCTGGTCCAACAGCTCGTGAGCCATCAAACGCGCGGAGAATTTGGCAACGCCGACATCGGCGGGCGGCTGAAGGGCGAAGAGAATGTTCTGTTGAAGATTCGGGTTCACGTGCTCGGTATCGTTGTTCAGCTGCGCCGTGAAGTCATCAGTCTCGGGACTGGTCGGACATCCGAACAGATCATCCAGCGCCCCGCGAACCTTCTTCACCTCGGACTTGAGCTGCGTGAGCCGCTCCTCTTCCGTCATGACGGTCCAAGCCTCACTGTTGCCGGTCGCCCAAGTGGTGCCAATTTCCCTCAGATGTGAGTAGTAAGCGGACAGGCACGCGTGAGAGTCCGCGAGTATGTCACGGACTCTGCCGAAGGACTCGGTGTTGATCTTGTTGCTGAAGGGAGATCTCGAGGTCGCGGCAGCTGTGGGAGCAGAGGCAAGAGCGGAGGACATGTTGTATCGGTGGAGCTTGAGCTTGAGTGGTGTAGCGCTGTTGGGTAGCAGGTACTCGTAGTAAAGGAAAATGGTGAGGCGACGATAAGGGGAAAAGGGCGAACCAAGGAAACTGCGCGTCCTCATGCCACCGCTGAGACGTGCGTGCGGTCCTCGAAAGGCCAACCTTTCACAGCCCCGTGCTCACGACGCCATCCGTGTATCACCTGTCTGGCATATCAAAGGTGGAATGATCGTCATTCACATCGCTCCAGATTCGCCACACTCGCCATGTAGAGTAGGCAGTCGAGCAGCAGGAAGCTCCTGGACGGCCCTAGCAGCTGCGCCATCACCCCGAGCTTTTGCCAACCGGCTTGCCACAGCCAGCTTTGGAGGAAGGAGCTCTGCGTCATCCCTTACAGACCGGGGGCAGTACCAGATGTCGCTGACATGGGCCATATTGTGAAGACGACATCCGAGGCGAAGCGGAAAGGGAGCGCGGCGGACAGTATATACATGACACGTCAAGCAGAACATCTTGTAATTACAATTATGCTGTGCCTCATCCTGGAGTTCTGAACGAAACAATGAAAGATCCCCTCAACCTTCCGCTGATCTGTAAGGATACCTCGGTCATCGCGCCTAGGTCCGCCTGGCCCACGCCACGCCCTGTCTTCCTTAGTCGTCAAGGTCCATCACGGCCGATGGGTCCTCGACGACCGCTCCTCCCTCGGAGGACTGGTACACCTTGATCCTCTCGAGCACCGTCTCCGCCGCTCCCAGAAGCCTTGAAACTCTCTCACCTCGCCCTCGAACGGCCAGCATTTCACCATCGATCTCCACGAGATCGTCAAGTGTGCGATGGTCTCCAGCGGCAAACTCCCTGTCCTTCAGATCGAAAGAGAGATAGTCGATGCGACAGCGAAGCTCCTTGATCGCATGCGACAGCTGGTCCGTCATGTCAATCGCTGTCAACTTGGCGGCCTCCAGACTGTCCACCTGCGACAGGGTGCCGCCGCGGGACTCTTGGTCCGAGACATAGGCCCCCATCGTGTATCCGGAGAAGCCAAACGATGCGGTACCTGACTAAGCGATGAAGAGCTTGTTCAGCTCTCCACGAATGATCTCGGCTTGTGTTGCGAAGTCGGCGAGCCGGTGAACACGCTTGGGACCGGGCAGGGTGTCGGAGGTGGCGATGCCGCGGTCCGGGGCTTGGCTGGCGATCTCATCGTGAGGTCCGGCCATGTATCGCTGAGGCAGCTCGAGGGATGCATATGCCTTGTCGAGAGAGTCGATGTTGGTGATCACTGCACAGTGCAACGGGGAAGGCCGAGTCATGGTGGTAGAAGAGGAGGCAGAGGGTGGGGACATGTTGAGCGGTATGACTGTCTTGAGGTGGTATGAGTACGGTTGTGCTTGGTGGCGAAGATCCAGAATAGAGTATTAAGTCGAGGGGCAAGGGAAACACAAAGAGGGGGCCTGCTTAAGTATCCAGGGAGACGGCCTGCCTGTCATTGCGAACCTTTGACGACCCCCTATCCAAACGTGTATCAGCGCGAGATAAGGCCCATCAAAGGGAGGAGATCCTCCACCGACCTCGATCACCACAAAAACGGGACAGCTGATGAGAGCGGTCCCTTGGACGCGGCTACGCGGGGATGCTCAGCGATGTGGCAGTCTTGAAGGAGCAGGGCACAGTAGTGGTCAGTGGTCAGCTCTACGCCATTCCACACGTAATGAGGACTGCATATCATGAGCGCTCGGATAAGCCGCCATATAACCCGCCGTACTAGACGCTTCGTGCCGCGATGGACCATCAGTCCGTCAGATCCAGATCAGCGTCGTGAACATTGTCGTGCATGAAGACCAAATCGTACAGATCCATCGAATCCCAAGCATCCCCGAACACCCAACTCCGCTGACGCCTACCAGTTCCGCAGCATCTCCTTGGACAGCGGCTCCGTCTCCACCTCGTACTCGACCTCGACCTGTGGCCTCTTCTTGCTCGCCGAGGGCCCCTTCTTGCTCGTCGTGGGTGGCTGCTTCCGCTTCGTACCCACCGATGGGCCCGCTTTGGGTCTTGCGGCCGCCTTTGGCGCGTCGTCCCCTTCTCCATCTTCGTCGTCGTCATCTCCGACGTCCAGGTCTGATGGGAAGTCCCTTCCTGAGCCCTCCTGCATCATCAGCTCCGACCTTCTCCCTTCCAGAGATTCAACAAAGCTCACCTCGCTCATGTAATCCTCCATATCATCCCCCGACTCATCCTCACTATCCACTATCTCCCTCCCGCCCCACACATCCTCCTCATCCCCACTCTCCCCTTCCTCTCCATCCTCCCCATCGTCCGACTCATCCTCATCATACAAACTTTCATCATCCACCATCTCCTCCTCTTCCTCCATCTCCATCTCGCCCTCCAGCTCCCTCTCCTTGCCCTTCTCCTTACGCCGGTCCATGTCGAGCACTTGGCGCCATACGTCCTCGTTGACATTCATCGGAGCGTCTCCGTACGCCTTGGACCGGAGTCGCTCGAGAAGCTCCTTTTCGATGGATTTTTCGAGGTGCGCCGCCGCAAGGGCTTTGCGCTCCCGCGTGGTCTCGCGCCGGTCGAGCTTCTTTTTGATACCGACCATTTTGGGTCTGGATGTCAGCTGAAGCTAATTGGGTTGCGAGGAAGTTGACTTACTGCTGTGCCATGCGTAATCTCCGCATCTTCATCAAGTACTGCGTAATCTTGGTGATCCTCTGCTTGCATTTATGCGTGATAAAGTTGGGCCAGTAGATGAGTTCCGAGTCGATCTGTGGAATCAGCTGGGACCTGTCTTCGTCCAGCACTGGGCAGCTGAATGTAATGCCGAACGTACCTGCTCCAGCGCCTTCTCATAGTTATTGCTCAACCGTACCCTCTCCCACATATTCGCAGGCGTATGCGCCCGCTCAATCGTTTTCATGTACAAATACAACACACCTTGAATCTTCAGCTTTCCGGTCTGAGCCACAGCGACCAAGCAGCACTCAGCTCACCCTCTTTCTCGCGGACGGTGGCATAGCGCGAGTTGGCCAAAGGGCAGGACTGGCGCGTACAGAAACCGGTAAGGTTGTATTCGTTCCGGCAGAAGTTTTGAGTGACGGTTCTGACTATGTGAGCTTGCTGCACGTCATCCTGGCAGTCTGCTAGCTCACTTGACTTTGTAAGAGCAGAACCTGTCTGTCAGCTTTGAACCTTTAAGATGTGCCGAGGAGAGAAGCAAGACGTACTGATGGTTGATGACCTGCCAAATGACCTCGTCGGACTGTCAATGATCAGCTTTCGGCCAGATGACGGGACCAGAACAGCTGTTGCTTCCATACGTACCTGCATGACGGCTAGTGTATCCTTGCTATAGGTTGTATAAGGTGTAGTGCAAGGTGGACTTGGTGGACTGGAAATTAAATTCTTTGCAGCTTCGCTTGGCTGTGGCGGCGATCTCCGTGAGAAGGAATGTGGCGATCACGCAAGCTCTCCTCAACGCGCACAACCTAAAGCTTGGACACTATACATCTGCCTTCAATTTCTCACTCAGCATGTCCCTCCACAGCATCCTCTCGCAGCCCAGCACAAGTCGTACGGGTGCACTCCTCGCTCGCCGTAAGCTCGCTCCTCCTCGATTGCTACTGGTCGGGACATAGCTCACCAATTAGGCCTCGCACATCCTCGCCTCCCTACTTTCGCCCCTGCTCTCGCCGCCTCGCGTCCCTTCTCGTCGACAAGACGTACCGAGACGTCACATTTCGACACGCACCTTTTCGTTCAGCGGCTGGAGAAGCAGGGGTTGAATCGGACCCAGGCGGAAGGGGTAATGACGGTCTTAGCGGAGGTGGTGGATGAGAGTATCAAGGGGATGGAGGCTGCGCTCGTTAGCAAGGCAGAGCAGGAGAAGGTGGGTTAAACTCTCCGGACTGATGGATCTCATCAAAGATCCTCTGGAACAAAAGAGTGGAGTTTGGGTCGGACGTGATCGAGGCAGTGGTGGAGAATCTCGTCCTGCGTGACAGGGATGCTATCCCAAACATGTTCAGCGCTAATCTCCCAGGAACGCTACACCCAGAAAGTCGACTTCGCAGCCCTCAAAGCCGAACTTCAACTACACGAAAAGAACGATCTCACCCTAATGAAGGCGGAGAATGATCGTCTCCTCGCCGATGTCGAGAAGCTCAAACAGCGGCTCCGCGAGGAGGTAACGCGGACACAAGCGGGCGTGAGGCTGGATCTGAACTTGGAGAAGGGGAGGATAAGGGACGAGAGCAGCCAGCAAGAGCTCAAGATCAAGGAGGTGGATACGCGGATCGAGAGTGAGATTGCGGGGCTCAGGACGCAGATTGAGCAGGCCAAATTCAGTATCCTGCAGTACCTGGTCGGTGTGGCGACGGGTAGCGGGGCATTGTTGCTTGCGTACATGAGGATGATGGTGCGTTGTTCTGCACCTGTTGGCCAAGGTATGGAGCTGACCGATGTAGAGATGATGCATGTGTGGGGAGCTGGAGTCGGACGAGGTTCTTCTGAGATCAGCATGTATGGTATCTACTGCGGCCGTGGCTTCCTGGCTGAGCAAATTGACTCGTGGACATCGCAACTTATTGAGTATCTTGTAAACTAGTTCATGGGAGTCGCCTCAAGTCCGGTCTGACAATTGAGCCTCAATCCAAGTTGACTCCCTTACCAAGCATCAACCACGCTTCTCAAGATCCATCCTTTGTACCGTTAAGCCAGCCGCGTAGACCCCTGATGCCGCCGAAATAGCCTATCCGATTGAGTATCTTTCAGATGTCGCCGGACCCAGGCGTTTGTCAGTACAAGTAAGCATCCTCCTCGGCAGGCACAGCAAACAGATCTGTCAAGCACGGCACGCAGATGCATCCCTCTGAACGTGCGCAAGCGCCTAGCCCAAAAGAAGACACACATCTCTCCTGCGTCCTGCAAATCCTCCATGACATCCGACCCGTCGCAAGCTCTAGGCTTACGAAGCGGGGGGAGCGCCAGCACCACGGCCGACACCGCCGAACCGCTAGAGAGTTAGCTCAAGCAATGAAATGCTTAGGGAACTTTTAGCTTACCGGCCTGTACTCGGCACCGGCACCCTCCTTGCCCTCAGCACCAGCGTCGTCCCTGCGCCTGTACTCCCTGTCGCCACGGGGGGCACGGTACGCACCGTCGCCACCGCCAGTGCGAGCACCAGCACCACCAGCCGGGCGAGTCGCGGGGCGGGCGGGCTTGAGGTGGGTCTGGGGCACAATCTCCGAGGGGAGGTGGAGGTACTCGCGGAGGTAGGCGAGACCCTCGTCGGTGAGGGTGTAGTAGTACCATTGCCAGCTGAACTGGGTCTTGACGAAGCCGCGCGAGGTGAGCGACTGCATGGCCTTGACGACCTCGAGGTTGCGCACGGTGGGCATGTCGGGGTGCGCGGGACGGTTGAAGTCCTTGGGGGCGACAAGGACACCCTCCTTGAACAGGGCCTCGTAGATCTGCCCGTCAGCACAAGCCCCTTTCCTTCTGACGAGAAACATACGGTGCGGCGGTTCTCCTTGGTGATGATCATGTTGACAACTAGACTCGAGGTTTAAATCGGGTAATAGTTATAAGGATTGCTTTTGCTTGAAATGCCGCTGACTGGAAATATCAGCTCAAAAGTTCCTTTCTCGGCCATTTCTGGCCGTATCTTCGAGCTTGGAAGCGTGGACAGTAGCTAACCTTCGGCCTGTAATCATCAGCTATGCATTCTCCGTATGTACCGGCTAGTACTCACGTGTTTTCTTTCGAGGATGGAAAGAAATGTGAAGCAGGACCCTTTGATGCATGCTCTGACTTTTGCCTCGGCCGCGGTTTCGGCAAAGACAATAACGCCGAGATATCGCCGGTAGAGCCATTTCAACGGAAAGACGAGTGTGGCGTTTCAGATCTGACCAGGTGAGACAAGCGGAGATCGCCCGGATAACCGGCGGTTCCACGTGACCACCTGGCTGGCGTGATGAGCGTGCAGGTCCAGTGCGCAACATCACTGCTTCTACTATTACCTTGTATCATACTGACCGATTGATACTCATCACTTATCCAACACTCCAGTACAGAATGTCATCAAGCAATCAACAAACATTCAGGAGTCAACTCTCCGGCTTCCGCTGGGCAAATAGCGTCCAGGACGACTCTGCCGCCGCCGCATCCGCGTCGGCCCAGGCTGGACCGTCCAATGCGTTCGGGCGCGCATGGACAGGTCTGAGCGGGTATATACCGCTGAGAAATGAGGGACGGAGTCAAGAGGAGGAGGCTTACTTCGCATTATCGGTGAGCTTCCGCGATCACTCCTCGGAGGACAAGCGCTGAGCTGACCTGCGGCAGCGATGGGAACGATTCTTAGGATTCTTGGCTTGTTGTCTGGGCGGGATGGCATGTTTTGGAATAGCTTTCCTGTTCCTGCCGCTTTGTGAGCTTTTAGCTTCTCCTGAATCTCAGGAAGGTCAAGCTGACACTGGTGCAGTGGCTGTGAAACCAAGAAAGTTCGCTTTGGCCTTTACGCTCGGCTCATTACTCTTCATGCTGGGTTTTGCAATTCTCCATGGACCTTGGAATCGTGAGTCAGCTCGACGCGTAGCTTCGGCTGTGGAACAGTACTTTCGATGAGCGACAGCTGACACCAAGCAGATCTGAAGCATATCCTTTCGGCTGAGAGATTACCGTTCTCCCTAGCCTACTTTGGCTCGCTGGCGTTGACACTATTCTTCGCGGTCGGTATCAGGAGCACGATCGGCACGCTCGTTGCCGCTATAATACAAGTAAGTCTAGTTACTATTCTTGGGGGAAGTATGGGCTGGACGTTCGAGTCTGGGTGCCGAGGCACACGATCAGGCACCACGGTCCTACCATCCTATATCCTGACACTTCTTCCTCAGATTCAGCTGCCGAAACCGGACCGCTGTCCCAGCAGTAGCAGTAAGGTCTCAAGCTGATACTCCAAGGTCGGCGCCCTTCTGAGCTACTTTGCAGCGTACTTCCCAGGCGGAATCACCACATTACGGTTCGGTGCACAAATGGCTATGCGGGGCGCGGGGAACATATTGCCCATATAGCGCATGCACTCGTCGTCGTATCCGGCTACCGCAGTACGTGGACAGGTCGAAAGAGGAAAGGCAGTGAGGAGCAGAGGGTCCTGTCCGGCCTTCGGGCGCGCGCCGTGGCTTCTGACATCACACTTTGATATACACTCTTTGCCATGTGTAAGGTGAGTACGTCTATGTCTCGGCCCTCGGCTCGGCTCCTGCCCTGTCGCCGACGCTACTCGTACTTTCCCTCTGCGCTGCAGGCGCGTGAGTCGATCGTCTGCCTTTCGGTCGGCTCCGGATCTGGTGCCCCATTCCTTTCCCCGGAGCTGAGGTATTTACCCCTTTGAGCGATTCCGTCAACTTAGCGTAAAGCTAGATAGGATTTTCATTCCACCAGCCAGCAGCTCGCTTGACTTGCCTCTTTGTATACTTTCTTGCCCATCATAGCTTGGCTATAGAGCTATACCCACACACCCTCAACCTCCTCCTGTGACACCTACGTACAGCTCGTATGCCTAGCTACTGCACTACCTCTTCCCTCATCTCCCGCACAAGCAACACCAACCACAATCGGACCCAAGCCCTCCCGACTGGCTTGAAACCACAGTCGCACCCGAACGACGACAATCATTATCTTATAGCGTGAGGCGCTGGGCTGAGAAATCATGCCCACGTCTACACCTGCAGCGATTCAGGGGAGTAAGGCAGGACAGGGGAGACGGAAAGGTGAGTTGGATTCAGCGGAGGAAGATTTTCCGGGAGGCTGGGTGGAGGCGGTCGTGTGAGGTGTGATGGCTTGAGGGGTCTCTGACATTTGCTTCTGATGATCAGGATAGGGGCGCAGTTGGGAGGGAGGAGGACTATCATGGTATGCGAAGCGGCAGTACCATTGTCACTGCATAAGCGGCTGTAGTAGAACACCTCCACACCAGGACATCCTTTGCTAACCCCTCAGCCCTCCCTGCCTCCCCCACGGCCCTCGCTCACCCATCCCCACTCCCTACCGTACCCCGTATCCGGCTCTCCATCCGTCCCAACACACCCCAACCCCACGCCGGCAGCTCCAACTCCCCCTCCAACTCCATTGCCGGTCCCTCTACCCAACCGAAGCGCAAGGTCGGCCGGCCGCGCAAATCCGACACCTACCACCTCCCCTCTGCTCAGCCGGCGCGCAAGACGGCTCGTACCAAGAAGCGATACAATGATGACGATTCCAATAGTGACAGCTCGGACCTGACGCCGCCGGAGGACGACGGGGATGAGTCCGAGGCTGAGGTGACGCCTAGGCGGAGACCGGTCGGTAGGCCCAAGAGCTCAGATAAGGGAAAGGGGAAGGCAGGAGTTGTGAGGAAGAAGGCGAGGACCGCGGCGGGGAGTGGAGTACAGCACGAGAGTGGACCATCAATGGCGGCGGCTGCAAGCAAAGTGACTGTCAGCGGGCCGGCGGGGAGGCAGAGGAGGAGGGCGGTCAAGCTGGAAGATTCGGGGAGGAGACGGGCAAGGGATGCCAAGTTTGACATCACCGAGGATGCGTTTGCAGGCTCGGTAAGCTAGATTTCGCTCGAGGTGTAGACAATAGCTGACTGTCAGATCCCACCAGAAGGCGCATTGCATATCCGGTCCTTTCTAGACTCTGACTCGGCGTCTTCGTTCGGAGATGACGAGTCGGACCATATGTCGCCCGCCGACCTCGCCGCGCTCGAAGGCATGTTGCATGAGAGTGACGACGACGAGACCAAAGGCCTGCCCGAGGCGTTTGCGGGGCAGGACATTGAGGATTTGGCATATGGCGCACATGCCGAAGTGGATATGGAGCGGGAAGTCCTGGCTGGGTGGTTTGAGGAGGAGGATGAGGAGGTGAGTTGACAGAGGCAGATCCACGCATCAGACCACAGCTGACATATAGATGTTCATCTCGCACCTCTCTGGATCAGAAGCGGACCAGCAATCCCAATCGTCAGCACACGACTCGGCCAATTCCGATGCCGATTCGTCCTCCTCAGAGTCGGAAGCCGAGGACGAGGTGGACGAGTTTGGCTTCCCTATGCCACTCTCCAACGCCCATCTCGGCGCGGACGACGAGGAGCAGCCCGGACTGGTACTCATGGAGAACTGGGATGGCAAGCTGGTGTTATACCAAACCAAACCTCCTCGGACCAAGCATCGCAACCGCTCCGGCTCGCGCGGGTCGCGGACGAACGGTTCCGTCGCTGGCAGTACCAACGCTCCATCCGCATCGGACCAACTGGACGCTGGCGACCGGGATCTGCACCTCATGATTGATCCGGAAGCCATGGCGGCCGAGTATGATGAGGATGCCACGTCGTCGGAAGAGTGGAGTGGGGAAAGCGACGAGATGGATGGGGATACGACGGACAGTATGGACGAGGACGATATGCCGATGCTCGACAGCCCGGCGATGCAGGAGCTCATCGACCAGCAGATCGGGCTGCCGAGTCCCGACGCGGCCGATGGGCTCATCGGAGAGCCGCTGATTCCTTCGGAAGCCATGGGGGCACCGGCCATCATCGTCACGGATACGGCTATGGTCGATACCACCATCGACACAACACCCATCTCCTTTCCTTCACCCATGCCTGCTCAGGCCGTTCCTCATACGTCACCCATGGCTGCCCCTCCCGTACCTCAGACCCCAGGCGGGTCTGTCATACCCATGATGGGCACATTCCTCCCCACCTCCACCGACCCCGCCCAACACGCCGTCATTGACGGTTCTGGCGCATCTACCAAATCCCCCTTCACCCACCGCCGCCGCTCGCGCAAGAACCGCGCCGACTCGGTCTCGTCCGGCGGCGCCCGGTCTTCCCGCTCCATGACGACCAGCATGAGCATGAGCACCGTCGATCGGAAACGCAAGTCTGGCTCTGCCGCTTTATCCTCTTCGGACCCGTTCGGTGGCCCGCCCATCATCCGCGGAATCAGCAAGAAGGCGCGGTATACCTCTATTCCTGGACACCCAAAATACGTGCAGGCGCAACAGCGGATCGAGGAGGATCGGGAGGGCACGAGTACGGAGGAGGACGAGGAAGGAGGCGAGTTTGATCTGGAGGATATGCTCGATCCGGCGCTGCTGCAGCAGCTTGCGCAGACGGGTGCGGGCGCTGGGCAGGCACAGGGTCAAGGTCAAGGGGGCGAAGAGCATATGCGGCATCTGATCAGATTTGATCGCGTGCCTGTATCGGCGTACATCCAGCGGAACTGTGGCGGAGGGAGTAGAGAGCGATTCGATGGTCTGAGCTCAAGAGGGAGGAGCTCGCCCGTTGGTGGCGCCGGAGGAGGAGGAGGGAGAGGGAGACAGGCGGGTTCGGTAGTGGTGGGGATGTTGCCGGAAGCGGAGGGGGCGACGACGCTCATGGGCGCTCATGCCCAGGCGAGGATGATGGTCAGTCCTCTGGTTGCGCCGGTAGCGGCTGGGATTGCGGAGCGACAGGTGGAGAGTCTACATATATGATGATGACGAGACGAGGCGGATATCGGTAGATGGTTTAGAGGGTGTAAGATTAGTCTAGTTTACGATGGTGCTGTGTTCTAGTCGTTTGGGAACCAGTCGTAGCATGTATCAGGCGTTTTGCCTTGTCGCCGAGAAGGATCAGACGACCGTGGTCTTTGACTTTGACAGACCGCGCGGGGAACTCGTTCTCCTCGTCAGCTTGACTGGCGCCATCTAGACCTCGTAGCATCTAATATGACCTCAAAATGACCGTACAACCTGGCCAGTATCTATGTAGTATTTTGATCCCCAACTCAGTGTCCTTTCAAAGCAATCCTGATCTCCCACGCAGGCCTCAGGCCGTGTGCAAACCATCCTGCCCTCTCCGCGTCCACCGCCCCCCCGCACTCAGCGTCCCCCGAACCCACTCCTCGATCCCGTTGATAGCGCCTATCGCACTGTTAACAAAACCCCTCTCCCGGATCTCCGCCGGTATAAGCGACAGCGGCCAATGAAGGAGCACCGTCCACACGTGACCCGTTTTGGGTATCCGGAGCGGGGCGGGCTGGACGTCCTGATACGGTGATATCATGATATGGCTTTCCGAAGAGGGCGTTCGGGACTCAAAGGAGACGCGGAGAGTGGGGATAGTCGAAGTAGTCGGAGGATGAGGAAAGGGGTCAGCGACCCTCAATTCGAAGGTGTCATCGAGGCCCGCCCAGCAGTGCGTGTATACCGTGTCGGTGGAGCGTTCGGCTGATCTGACTGGTAGGACGTCAACAGCATTGTCATATCAGTCTATAGCCTATACGTAGTACGTGGAGGTGCGCACTCACGTGTTGCCCATTGTCCAGTGACGCTCCAGAATTACTACCTCCAGATCCCCTTGTGTTCCGTACACGAACCACAGACTGAGCGGTGCCTTGACCGAAGCTCCTAGAAGACGCGGCATAGTGACGAGCCACACCTTCCCCTTTGGCTTCCCCAGACCCTCCTCAAGTAGTAGCGCGTCCAGCTTCCCCCGTAGACCTTTCACGTCAGGGAACAACCATTCCCGAGGGTCGACCGAAAGGACCGTGGTGAACCGCCAGCCGCTGTGCTTGAAGAGTCGATCAGGAAGGTCCAGCTCCCCCGCCTCCAGCGCATCGATATCTAGCGCAAGATATGGACGATACAGAGAATCCGGCATCTCGGCGTGTCGTGTATGAGTGCACACCAGGAGGGGGACGATGAAAGACGGTAGTCGTCTGGCCCACCGTGCCTCCTCCGCAGCGTTCGGGCCAGGATCGTCCCCCAGCAGCCAGTATCCCCGTGCGATTATGACGAGACATCCTCCGGCGGTAATCAGTGCGCCAGGCCAGGTGACGACCCATGCGCTGAACCTTGGTATGTATGCGGTGAGGAGGCCCAGGAGGAGGAAGGGCCCGAGCCCAAAGAGGAGGGGGCAGATGACCGAGTCGAGATACCGGACGGGCATCGCGCTGCTGGCGCTGCCGACGGGCAATCTGCCTACCGTGTAGAAGAAGCAGGCTCGTGGTCTTCTCTATCTTTGCAGTCGTAGCGGATAGAAGAGTAAGAAAGAGAAGCGAAGCCAAAGCGAACCAAGCTGTGGTGGGCCGTGGGGAAAGGTGGGGCAATTCTCCAGGTTCCGGGGGATTTTGACAAAGCCACCTCTGTCAGAAATTCAGCACCGGAGTGGATTTCACTCACTGTACATCTGTCACCTATCTCCAGCGCCGACAATATGCCCGCTCAGCCTTCTATGGCGTATGCCACCCTCTCTCAGACAATACCCTCCGCGCCATATATACTTTCGATCCTCCCTTCCCCATCAGGCCACCTGATCCTCCGGCATCCGGCGCCATATCTGACGATAGCCGACCCGCAGACTCTACAGGCTATAGGCGTCCTGCAGGGAGGTCACACCGGGAACGTAAGCGATGTCGTGGTGGATGAGCAGGCTATATGGTCAGGCGGAAAAGATGGAGGAGTGGTGAGATGGGACGAGAGGGAGCGGAAAGCCGCCATCAACTTCAAGGGTGTGTCAAGCCAACCCGGGTTGAATCTGGGCTGATGGTGCAGCTAATGTGCGCAAGGCCGTCCCTGTGACCTCTCTGGCAGCGTCCGAGTCGGATCATTTGATCATTGTCGGGACAGAGGTCGTCTCATCCGAGTCACATATCCTATTCTACGATACTCGCAACCCCAAAACTCCCGCTTACTCGCACTCCTCCACCCACTCTGACGATATCACTCATCTCTCCCTCCTTCCTCCGACATCTACTTTCACCTCCGCATCCTCATCCACCCCCCTCCCTCTTCGCTTACTACTCTCCGCATCCACAGACGGCCTTATCGCCCTCTCGGACATGCGCGAATCGGACGAGGACGAGGCCGTCCAAGCCGCCGAGAACTGGGGTCAAAGCATAGCGTCTGCTGGATACTTCGGCGGGAAGGTCTGGGGGCGAAGCGATATGGACTCGGTAGCAGTATGGACTATCGGGCGGGCGGAAGACGAGGGGCTGGAGCTCGGCGGGTTGGTCGAGTACCCTTCGGAGGAATTCAAGTTCCGGACGTATGACCTCCCCGCTACGAACGCAAACGTCGTCGGTCCGGCGGGAGTCAAGAAGGATAAGGTCCGGTCAGACTACCTCGTCGATGTCGTCCCGACCCTCGGGCTCTCGAAGGGCGGCGCACCGATGACCATCGTCGGCACCAACGAGGGCGATATGGTCGTCCAGCACTACTCGGGCTCTGCTGCTCCGGCATACAAGCCATCGGCCTTCCTCCTCTCCGGTCCGGACACCGCCACCCAGAAGCGCGGCCACAAGGACGTTATTCGGTCATTGTACCATGACGTCCGGAACGAGGCGATCTATACCGGTTCGGAGGATGGCGCACTCGCCGGGTGGTCTCTGGCGGGGATGGACAAGCTGAGGATAGGCAATCCAGAGGTGGACGATGATGGTGGAGACGGGAGGGAGGATGTGGATAGCGATGACGAAGGGGATGAGGAGAGCGAGATCGAAACAGACGAGAGCGGGATGGATGTGGATGATGAGGATGAAGAGACCGAGGAGGGGCCGAGGGATGGGCCTATACTGGGCCGAGGGGCGGAAAGGAGGGAGAAGAGGAAGGATAAGCGGCATCAGCCGTATTGATACTAGGTAGGTTATGCCACGACACTTGCGGCTCGGTCGCCGAAGTGGCGAAAGGACAATCTAATCGCTGAACTCCTTTCAAGATCGACCGCGCAGGTGCTGACTGAAAGGACGACTGACGCTGGTGGCTGCTGCGAGGGGTATATCATCGCGACCTGACTGCCCCCTTCTCTCTCTTCACTCATTTCTTCGCCACCCCTGCTAATTCGCAAACCACGAACCACTTCAATCTCATCACTGAACAACACTCCCTCGTTACTGCATCATGGCTGCGACCGCCACCGCGATAGCGATGACTGCTGGCCTGATTTCGCAGTGGGTACTGAGCGCCTACGTGCACCGTGAGCACTGGAAGTCCCTGAACCCCAGTGGCTACGGGTTCGAAGGACTGCGCAAGGATGCCGACACTGTCGAGAAGACGATCAATGCTGCATCGGCGATGAGAGGCGACGAGGCTGTTCTGTCCGAAGACGACCTCGCCACGATCAGAGACTGCTTCGGCCGAATGCTGCAGGAGGATGCAAAGGTGCGCAAGGAGATTGCCCGAGCCAAACTCGACGCAGCTTACGATGGCCGAAATGCCATGCTGCGGGCCTCTTGGAGCAATCTCACAGGGTCGATTGAGGAGAGCGGACAGGCGGCTGAAGCGAGCGGTGTCCCCACGAGATGGCCTGAGACCGTGGAGGAATGGGTCGAGCAGGCGAAGCTGGAGACCGCGCTGCGTTCGAAGGTAGGTTTCGGCCGCACTGCAAATGTCCAGGCGTCTGCCGTCTCCGCGGACACCGAGGCCCAGAGTCCTGCCCCGATCTGAGACTTGCCAGGCAGACTTCACATACTGTTTTTGTTACTCATTCTCCGTCATCCACCACATGTCCATAAGCCACATGCATCACTCACGCGACCACAAGACACAACAGACACTGACTCAAATAAATATCTCCTGATATCCGCCACCTTGGACCATCACCCGGTCTGCTCTTGCCGGATTCAGTCGGTGAGGACTGTGCTATGGGCCGATGTTTTCCTCATTGTCTCAAACACACCGTTGCACATGACAGTGCGCTCTCAGATGCGGCGAAATATCTCGTGTGAGACTGATATGCCTTTGACGCGATAATGCCGCCCCGTCCTGACAGTCTACGGTGTGCTCACTCGTCAGGGCGGCAACCAGCACATCTACAAGTGCTGACCGCCCATCTCAGGCGTTGGGAGCCTACGACGTAGGGTGACCTCACGTTAAGCAGCACAAAGAAAGGTATCAAGCGCGTATCAAGCAGCATCACTCGCCCTTTGATACTTGGTTGGTTATGCCACGAGTGTGAGCACGATCGTCAAGGGGGTGAAACGCAGTTTGACTCTGCTCCTTTGTGGTATGACGGACAGCGACTCGCTGCGGTCGATCCTGGGGGTCCTGGTGAGAGTCGGACCCCTCAACTATCTTGCAGACCTTCGAAGCCTTCCGCATGAGAATGGCTTGCACCGCTCACGATGCCGCAGCTGACGTTACCAAGATTCTCTACGTTGCTGCCTGCCATCTTGGCGATCTCATATTCAGAGCCGATGCCGACGAAGTCGTGCGTGCCGACACCCAGACGATCTTGGACCACATCCGGGCAGCTTCGAACGGGGAGGAGCCTGGCGAGGACAAGCCGTCTGTCATCGAAGCCACCGAAAGGTTGGCGTCGATTGAGAGCCAGATCGTCGTCACAGGGTGCGAATACCTTACCCCGCTTGACCATGTTTGTCTCTCTGTGATCGTGGGTTTCTGTGGCGAAATCAAGGCGATGATTCAAGGAGGTGAGGGACTCGAGGGGAGCTCGGTGGAGGGCAAGAGCAGGAGCTCTGCTGCCATGGCTACTGCTGCGAAGGCCTGGTTATCGCAATACAATGTGGCACGAGGACTCTTGTCTGGACCGGATACTGAGACTGAGCCAGTGCATGAAGATGACCAGAGCTGAGGGCAGGTTGAATCATGCAGGTGTTGTGGAGATTGGGTTTGGGGGTGTGACGAAACCTCCAACTGATCGAGGAGGATAGTGCACTGGTCACGCTGATGAACTGACCGCATTGGTGTCCACGAGGGACGTCCAAGTCAGCTTCTGACACTGAATTTGCTAGTTGCAAGGAAGACTACTCGTTATCATTAATTTTGAGCAGTATAAGGCCAAGACGATCGAGTGTTCTAGTGCTTGCCCCACCACAAATGTGGCGAAACGCTGATGAAATTCACGTCCTTTGAAGTACCAGAATCCCCAGTCCGTCACAAGGGAAGCCTCTGGCGACGTAGTGAGCGGCGATCAAGCGCAGCCTGCCCGACCGCACTCACTTTCCCTTTCCCTGTCAATTTCGCCACCCACGCCACTCCAATATATTCACTGCGGCCAGCCTCTTCTGCACACCTCATCACGACAATATGCCGAACAACAACTTCTCCAATGCCGGTGAGCGGTCTGACCTCAACAGGACGGGCGATAACATTCTGGGCTCCCTGTTCCAACCCCTCGGCGCCGCGATCCAAGACTCCCTGACCCGCCTTGCCGCGAACATCATCGTGATTCGTGATCGACAATAACATAAAGACCATCCAAACCTACATCCATGGTGCGCAACAGCCATCGGACTCTGCCTCTCCTACATTCTCATTCTTGGAGATAGCAAGCACGGAGTATCTGGCTTACCAACAGCTGCGTCTCGACAAAGCAGGGAGGGATGGCACAATGACATCTCAGGATGAGACGGCAAAACAACACTTGTCGTCATTCTTGGACACTGCCGAGAAGACCGCGTCTTGGAGCAGCCAAGGAACGGGCCTGACAGAACCACAGCGAATCGCGGGGTCGCGTCAGGCGGCAAGTGCGGCTGTCTGGCTGAAGAGCTTTGATACAATACTCAAGCTGAGGGCGCAAGAAGGCGGGTACAAGATGAAGCTGGACTGATTGGTTTGCTTCTCGCTTGTACTCCCATCTTCCAGTCCGCCATTCCCCCCCCCCCCCTTCTGTACATTATCCAGTTATGCAGTGGCCGTATGACGCCTGTTATGAGACCAGAAGTCGAGACAGGGGCCGCCGACGTCTGGGCTCACCCTCCGGTGCTCTGCCTGAGTGTGCGTCTTTGCGCTGCAGTACACCTGGTACCTGGCGTCAGGAACGAGGACTCATAGTAGGTACCAGCCGACTGGCGGAACACCTAGGCTGAGAAAAGAACTAATCAGCTAGAACAACCACCGATCAAGGTGATGTCGTAACCTGAGATTTTTGAGATGAACGATCAGTGTGAGCTACCTATCAACCTTGGCAGAAGCATATACTGCCTTTCCGTGGCTCCTTTCATACACCACTCCTTTGTACGTGTACAAGCTGACCGCCGCAGCAACATACTTCTCCATTCAAGCGACGATAGTAAATGATACGCCTCTCATGCTGGTTAGTTTTGTACCTACCACCCACGTCGACGACTCTCACCGTACCGGCCACCTATCAGTAGCCACGTGTAAGCGTATCTTTACAGCTTTGCGCATGTGCGTCTCAGCGTGCTACCGTGTTCGCACAGCTGATACAGCGCCGGAGATCGGGCACCCGGATAGCCATGTAGATTGTAGCCGGGCCTATCAGGTTGCGAGGATAAGGTATCCATGAGCGATTTGATACGGCGCATTGCCACCACGACCCGAAGGCGGCGAGGTAGTTGATCCGTCCGAGACATGTTTGCTCTGGAGATCTGCGCTGGTCACGCTTGATCGGGGACAGCGCTCGTGAAGGGGTACGGATCGAGTGGTAAAGCGCGTTCGATATGACATGCGTCGAAAGGTCCCATCCGCTTCGATCTGTCCCTATTGCCTTCGCAACGGAACTGACACGACCACAGGCATGTTGGAGGTCCGCGCCGGCGGTGCAGCGGCGATGCGGCGATGCGGCTGCCGAAAGGGAAACCTTGGCGTCGGAAATGTTTACGGCATGCAAGGAATGAGGAAGCGGATGAACTCGGCGTTACGCCGGCGCGCTCCACATCTCCGCACAGCGCGCTTCACTGTGAGCACAGCATGACGGAAACGCCCTACTTCTATTGACCGCTTCCGGTTATAGTCATCCGTCATTACCGACAATCAGATGATAAAAGGGTCGAGCTTCTGAAGCCCTCCCCTCCGCCCGCCTTCCCAGGCTACTAGATCTCCTCCTCCCGCGGACAGATCTTGTGTATATAACCACTCGTGACTTCCCTTCTTTCCCTCGACCCCATCACACCGCCTCGTCGCCTTCACACACGCATCCTACATCCCCACCCTCATCGTCGCTGGACTCTCACCTCACATCACATTAGCAATTGCAAGCGGCCCCAGCAGAATCACCAGTATGCTACTCCCGTTTACTCGCAAGTGGATCTTGACCGAGAGGCGTGCGGGAGGCGGTGGCGGCAGCAGCGGCAGCAGCGGCAGTAGCGGTGGGGGCGGTGGTGGGCGAGGGGGTGGTAGCAGTGGTGGGAGCAGCGGTGGTAGCAGCGGTGGGTCAAAGGGCGGAAGTAGCGGGGGCAGCAGCGGAGGCGGTAGCGCTCCGAAATCCCCTAGCAGCGGGGGTAGCTCCGGTAGTGGCGGTAGCTCGGGTCTTCGTGGTGGCTCCACCCTCCGCGGCGGCGGCGGGTCAAGCACCAACGGTCGACCCCTCACCTCCAGCGGACAGTCGAGCAGGGCTCGCGGCGGCGGTATCCTTGGTCGTCCCTCCACCACCTACTATCGCTCGGGCACGAACCGGCCCATCATCCCCACCTACTTCCTCCTCTTTGGCTTCTGGCCCATCATTTGGATCTACGACTATCCAGATGGCGGTCTCCCCACCAACAACACTCGTCCCGGCGGCGACCTCATCTCCGCCGCTGTCCAATCCCCTGATAAAGCCGCCAACGTCACCTACATCCTCTACGGGGACACCCAGAGCGTCCAGGAGATCATCCCTGCCATCATCGAGGGATGCTCCGCGGCCAACACCACCTCCTCGGCGTACAATAGCACTGCCAACGACACCATGCAGTACTACCGCGAGGACTCCTTTGCGCTCCTCGGCGTCGGGCTCAACGCTACCGGACGCAACACTACCTTTGAGTCGTGCCTCAATGACACCATCTCCAACTCCCTTCCGGTCCTTGAACCTGCTACTAGCTCGGTGAGGCCAAGCTCTACGCCGTACATGTACTCGGCGGGCCAGCAGGCGGTGGGTCCTATCGGCGCAGGATGGGGTTTGGTGGTACTATTAAGCATGCTGTGAGTCACTCTTTGTCTTGACCCATGCACAGACTAGCTGACCCTCATCAGGATCATGGGGATATAGGCGGATGTACATTTGTGGCGGTTTGAAAGGTTATTGATCGAGAGACAGCGGGGCTTGTAGGGCTTGTAAGATAGTGAGGGAGTCAAGTAGGAGATTAGTGAGGCCGATACGTTGTATATACCCGCACCCGTTTTGTAAACTGTATTCTATAGTCGACATGCAAAGTATGAGTAGCTCACAACTACACTCTACCTCCCGCTTCCTGCCGCGCCCGCTCAACCTTGGCCTGATTCGTCTTGGCCACGGCATACACAATGCCAGCAACCCCTCCGACCCCAATGGCCGATACATTCCCAAAGCTCGCCGGGTCCCCAAAGAACAGCATGCCCGACGCGGCGACAGGCAGCTTGTTGAGCGCGCCGACCATCGAGTAGGTGGTGGATCCGCAGACGCGGACACACCATGCGGTAGAGTAGGAGATGAGGACGGCGGCGGCGCCGGAGAAGGCGATTGCGGAGAGGAGGACGATACGATTGTCTGCCGGGCTGGGGTGTCAGCTATGAGATCCAAAGAGGCGCTCGGCGGTAATTACAGAGCGGCGGAAGACGTACAAGTTTGCATTGAGGCTTTTCGTTCCCCAGTCTTCCATGATGATTGATGCGACAGCGAGGACGGGGATAGACAGGAGATTGTTGTAGAACATCGAGTCCCAGTCTTTGAACCCGGTAATCTTGATTCGTTTCCGCATGTACAGGACCTGTAAGTCAGCTCAGATTACATCCTGGATATCGGGACTGACATATGCGGCACTGGCGAAGCAATTAAGAGCCATCCAGACGTATCCCGCCTGAGTGGATCGGTGATCTGAGACGTCGGTCCCTGCTGCCCACGCTGCGATGACGGATGATCCGACCTGCAAGTCAGCTTCGATTCGGCTATTAGGTATCCGTGCCGCTCACCATCAAAGCAAAAGCAACGAGGGTGAGCCCAGTGACGGAGTTGCCGAACATGAAGACCTCTCCGTATGCGATCAGGATGATCGTGAGGTTCTTGAAGATGCTATAGAGTCAGCATGCCGTCCAGTCATCACCAGGCAAGGCAAATTTTGGCTGTACTCACGTGTAGACTGGGATGGAGAGGAACTGAAGGGCCTTTGAGCCGGTATAGATGACCGCGACGAGGAGGGACGAGACGGGGAACCAGGCTTTGGCATCGGCAGTGTCAAAGTCACGGACTACACGATCAGCCAAGAATTTCACAGTAGGGAGGTCACGCCCATCAGAGGACCCACAGTTTATTATGCCTAGGCGCTTCACTGTGGTGACGACCAGGACGCAGACCAATGACTGGATTGCGAGAAGCAAAAAAGTCATAGTGAACTGAGCACCTGACACGACGAACTCTGCCTAGAGTCAGCGAGAGCACCAGAGAGTCCATCGAGACCGCGTGCGAACGTACTATTGACGACGGTCATGGTGATACTAGCGGCGCAGTAGGCCAAGATGGGAAGGACCTGTTCCCTTGTCGAGACCTCCTCGACTTTGGCCGACTTGAGCGAGCCGGCCCCGATCCGCGGTGATCCGCCGTTCATGAGGGCCTGCTTATCGAGGTCGATGACGGTCGGGGAGCGAGCACTCGACATGATGGCACCTCGCTCGAAGCGTACGGTAGTCTACAAAAGATAGATATAGATGAGGAGCCAAAAAAAGACGCGTTGAAAAGCAACCGAGATTTCGCGTTGCGGGCGTCGACGTCCTTGACGTTACACCATGCGCGGTCTACCCAACGGAGAGACACTAAACGGCGGTATGGACAAGCTCAAGGCTGTCGGCCACGATGTGGCGAACCGGTACTATCGCCTGAGCAGGCGAGGGAAGATTGTTATATGGTAGGTCGCGCACAAGCACTACACCCATCCCGAGCGCTGACTTCAAGGGGTATCGTAGCGACCACTATCGCGATGATCCTGGCGATCATCATCATCACGCCACATCGACTCGGCCAGTGGTTCAATGAGCTCGCAGTCTGGATACGCGATCTAGGACCGGCAGGGATGGCTATATGCTGCTGTATGGTCGGTAAGTCATCCACCTGTACTGAGGAATGCCAAGCTCAACATCAGTCATTGCATCGCATCCACCGCTCTTTGGGTTTTCGGCGAGCATGACCCTCATCGGATTCGCATATGGGATATGGCCAGGCTTCCTGCTCGCGTCCTTCTCATCCATGCTGGGCGCTATGGTCGCTTTCGTATCTGTCAGGGTGAGTCCAAAGCGGAACATAGCTGAAAGTAGCGCTTCTTCCCAGGCATGATCCGGTCGAACCCCAAGTGGGATGCCTTTGCGCGGGTCATGCGCGAAAAGGGCACCGTCCTCATCTGTATGATCCGATACTGTCCATTACCCTGGGCAATGGGGAATGGGCTGTTCGCGAGTATAGAAAGCGTCAAGTTGTGGCAGTACATGCTGGCCAACTTGTGGGTTTATCCCCCTCCACAGTCTACCCCAAGCTAATCTTCAGGCTCATTCAACCCCGACTCCTCATACCCGTATTCATCGGATCCCGCCTCACCTCCCTCTCCGATCCCGACGGCGAAGACTCGGCCCACTTTTGGCTGAACGTCATCTCCATCGGACTCTCCATGACGATATCCACCGGGACCGGGATCTGGATCTACAAGCTCACGCTGCGGCAGATGAAGAAGCTCGAGGGAAGGGCAGGCGAGGAGGCGGTCGAGGCGCTGGAAGAGGGGTTCCTGAATGGGTATGCGGACCAAGGCGGACCTGAGCTGGAGGAGGAGGAACCGCTCGTCCCGACACAAAGAAGGGAGCGGCCGGATCGGCCAGAGGGCATTATTCGGCGGTCGAGCTCGATGGGGGAGAGCGTATGAGTCTCGGACATGTATCCATATCGCGTCCTGTTCTCACTTCCGGACGTCACGCTCAGCACAGGTCTGCGGCTTGTGCGGGCTCTCAGCGATCTCACTGAAGTATCGAGGCACGTGCCCAGCTTGGCCAGCTCCTCATACCTCGCAACGGCGACCGCCGCCAGCTTGTATGACGCGCAGATTCCACAAGCAACAGCAAGCAAGATCTCCACACTGAATCAATATATAACAAGCCCACATAGCGGTGTACTGCCACAATGACCTACACAGACCAGACGTCTGCCTTCCGATCCCTCGTAGCAGGCCCCTCGAACCCCTCCTCCCGCGCCTCAAGCCGGAACGCGAGCCGCTCCAGAGCTCGAAAGCCCTCGTATGACCCCGAGTTTCTGAACGAGGCATACAGAATAGTGAGCCTCTCTCTCTACTCTGATCAGCCGGAGTGAAGCTGATAAATAGTACCAACACCTTGATGCGTTATCAAAGCATCTACAAGCAATACGGAAACCATACCTGTCCATCACTGAGCCGCCTATATCCCGGCGTCGGCGGGCACCTGAGACAGCTACAGAGGGGGACGACTGGGCGCAATGGGACGGGGCAAAGTATCTGTCAGACAGGGATAGGGAGGAAATTGATCAGCGGGGAAAAATGATTCTGAGGCGGTGTAGGGAGAGAGTCGGGATATTGGAGGATGGGGAGAGAGGTGAGTTGTGCCCGCTGCATGAGCGAGCATCTACTGATGGGCCAGCTCGCCAGAAAGAAGTCGCCCCTCCTCCATCTACGCTCTTCACCTTCCTGCCTTCACTCGCTCCCAAGCCGGCATCCACAGCCGACGCGGTCGTCACTGCCCATCGATCTGCCGTCATCCTTACTCTTTCGACTATGCTTTCACGCAACACCGCCACCCTTTCAGATTTGCAGGAAGAACGGTCAAAACGGCGAGCCGAGCGCGGCCGGACACTAGGCGAAGGTGCGGAGCGGGAAGCACAGCAGCCAATGTCCCTTCCTCAGGTAGCGACCGACCTAGACCTCTCACCCGAGCAGGTTCAGGCGTTCGAGTCGGAGAACAACGCTTTGATGACGCACCTGGAGTCAACCCTGTCATCGGTGTTAAAGGCGGAGAGGTCATTGCTGGAGGTATCCGAGCTACAGACACAACTGGTGCAGCAGCTAGTGCAGCAGACCGAGATGGTGGATTTGCTGTATGAGCAGGCGGTGGGTAGTGTGGGCGAGATGAGGGGGGCGGAGCAGCAGCTGAAGAAGGCAAAGGAGCGGGGCGGGGAGGCGAGGTTCTTCCTGCTGGTGTTCCTTATAGGTGCGAGCCTTGCGCTTCTGTTTCTGGACTGGTACAAATGATATATGCTGGGTATCTCTGGTGCTACTGGTATATACAACGACATCTCAAAAGACTCGACCCGACTAGTCACCCCTTGTGCGCCTCCTCCCGCCTGTGCCCTGGATCCTAGCCCAGTCACTCTCCATCTCGAGCTGGGTCGCGCTCTCCATCTTCTTGAGTTCGGTCAGAGCCTTGCCTACTCCGAATTGTGCCTGAGTAGCCCCAGCCCCCGCGCCACGCCCGCGCTGCTGCCCGCTCGCCACGGCCAACGCTGTAGCTGTGCCAGCAGCAGGTATGGGTTCCCCTTCCTTGACCGCCTCTTTCCCCCTTGGACCGCGCTTGGGATTCGGGTTGACCACGAGGGGACCCACGGGGGGCTGGACGAAGAGGGACGAGCCGAAAGGAGCGAGGATGTCGTCGGTTTTGATGTGGGCCAAAGTGGGGGCGAGGAGATTGTGGAGCAAGAGGTCGTTGTCAGGGACGTCCGAGTCGGACGCGGGGGTATTGATGGCGCTGCTACTGAGTGCCATCCGCCTGATGGGCTTTGACTTGGCCTGCGCCTCAAGCATGACCTCTGTATGATCAGTCCTGAGCCCCAAGCATACGCGACGGGACGTACCAGAGATAACATCCCCTCCTTCCTTTTCCTCGCGCAACTTCCGCCTCCTCTCCTCTATAGACGCTAGCAGCCTCGCCTTGACCTGATCCCTCGCATCCCAATACATCCCCTCAATTGTCTCCCTCTCGGCCTCGTACGCCCGCTGCGCCTGCCCCTTCTTGTACTGATAATCAATCTCCGTCGCCTCCAACAGTGCATCCCGCTCAATCGAGACAGGATACATCCGGAGGAGGTACTGCGCCGCAGTCGGAGGCTGATGATTGACCGCCGAGTTCTCATTGTGATAGTCCTTGTAGAGCTGAGAGAACTTTTCGTCCCGAGTCCGCCAAGATTCGTCGTGAAGGATTTCAATCTTGTTGATGGTCTCGCGCCGCTTCCGGTCGCGCTTGGATTCCGAATGGATGGGAGGGAGGATATTTGGGCCTGAGCCTGACGCGGTGGCGTTGAATTGGCGGGACATGGTGTGTGCGGGATGGGCAGTGGTGGCTGGGTGGATGAAGGAGGAGAAGGCTATAGCAGAGGCGGAGTTGCGTGCATGTGATCGGCACGCGGAGACCGTATTACGTTATGTTTCAGCCGAGACTCGCAGCGGCGATCGCCGAAAAGGGAGATATTTGCCACCACCGTCTACTGGTACAGGTGAAGCTCTATACATTGCTCAGGTCTTAGTAGACCGCGCATACACATCCCAAGAGGAACTTGGATCAGCTGGCAAAATGGTGAGGATCCTGGATCAATTTCAAGCTAATTTCAGGGTGTCCCAGCGCTCTTCCGATGGTTGTCCAAGAAATACCCAAAGATCGTCTCTCGGGTCGTCGAGGACAAGGGTAGTAAAGTCACCAACGGCGATGGAGAGGTGGTGGACGTACCTACGGAGTATGGGAGCGCCAATCCGAACGGCTTCGAGGTGGACAATCTATATCGTGAGTCCAGAGCTGGCGAAAGTGTCAAGGCCAATGTTGACGAGAAAAGTGGACATGAACGGTATCGTCCATCCTTGTACCCATCCGGAGGGTCGGCCGGCGCCCGAGACGGAGGAAGAGATGATGGCGGAGATCTTCAAGTATACGGAGCGGGTAGTGAATATGGCGAGGCCGAGAAAGGTGTTGATGATGGCTATCGGTATGTCTTGTGCTCGATCGCTATAAGTGGGAGCTGACAAAGTAGATGGAGTAGCTCCCCGAGCCAAGATGAACCAGCAGCGAGCTCGGCGGTTCAGAGCAGCTCAGGAAGCTGCGGACAAGGAGGAAGAAAAGCAAGAGTCGATCCGGCTCTTCGAGGCGATGGGTCACCCCGTTTCGGAGGCCACGCGGAACGCCAAATCGTGGGACTCGAATGCCATCACCCCCGGGACACCCTTCATGGATCTCCTCTCCGTCTCGCTCAAATACTGGATCTCTTACAAGCTATCAACGGAACCATCATGGGCCGGTCTCAAAGTCATTCTCTCCGATTCGTCCGTTCCAGGAGAAGGCGAACACAAGATCGTCGACTGGATCAGACGACAACGGTCATACCCAACCTGGGACGCCAACACGTCGCACGTCATCTACGGTCTCGATGCGGATCTCATCATGTTGAGTCTGGCGACGCATGAGCCGCACTTCCGGGTTTTGCGAGAAGATGTCTTCTTCCAGGGTGACAAGGGGAGAGGAAAGTGCAGGAACTGCGGAGCGGATGACCACATCGCGCCGAACTGCAAAGGTGAGCATTAACTCCCCCACTCCTGAAATGTGGCTAATTCTGTAGCTGCAAAGAAAGTGGACGATCCCAACGCTGTCGCTGTCGTCGTCCCCGTCGACCCCAAACCCTTCATCTGGCTGGACGTGGCATGTCTCCGCGAATACCTCGCCGTCGAACTCGCCCTGCCCGGTGTTCCGTTCCCCTTCGATCTTGAACTAGCGATCGACGATTGGATCTTCATGATCTTCTTTGTCGGAAACGATTTCTTGCCGCACCTGCCGAGCTTGGAGATCCGGGAGGGAGCGATCGATCTCTTGATGGGGATCTGGAAGCGGGAATTGCCGCGTATGGGAGGATATTTGACGAACCACGGGAAGGTCAATCTCGGGCGGGCGCAGATCATCCTGGAGGGGCTGGCTGTTCAGGAGGACGATATCTTCCAGAAACGGAAAGATGGTGAGTCTACCTTGAGGGCGTGGCTGATGATGAGATGAAGAAAGGCAAGATGCCAACCAAAAGCGTCGGCGGCAGGATGACCACCGACGACAGGACGAACGGTCCAAGCGGGAGACAGGGCCCAAGGCCGTCCACGCGCCTACAGGTGCTCCCGGTAGCATGCAGCTGAACGGCACGGAATACGTGCCCGTAAACGCCACTGCTCGGGGCGGCGCGCTTCACCCGTCCCTCCCCAGCCGGCCTCAATTCGATATCGTCGACAAGAAGCTGAGCAAAGCGGAGAAGGAGGCCGAATCCATCAGGGCAGGCCTGGCGAATATGGAGGGGTCAAACGAGGACATTGCGCTCAATCGCCGCGCGATCCGGATGGCGAATCTGGACGCGGCAGCGAGGCTCAAGGCCGAGCTGATGGGGACGCCGATGCCGGATGAGCCGGTCATAGAGGTGGAAGTCAAGGAGGATGATGAGAAGGCGGAGATGCCAGCGGAAGAGGCCAAGGCGGCTTTGGCGGACCAGGAGGAGGCAGAAGGAGGCGACGAGGAGCTCGACCCGGCTGCCTTGGGTATCGAGGACGATGCGACCATCGACGAGACGGAGACCCCGATGGAGTCGGAAGCGCCGAGCAGGATGAGCCCTGCGTTACTCGAGAAGGGCCGGGGGACGAAGCGGACGGCTATGGAAGCTGAGATTGAGGATCCGCCCAATCCGGATGCGGATCAACCGGTTTCCAAGAAGAAGCTCAAGTTCAACTCGGACGGGACAGTTGAGGGTTATGTCGACGATGTCAGGTGAGTCTGAGACTGTGTCATTGCTGATTCTAGATTGTGGGAGCCTGGATATAGGGAGCGATACTATGAGCAGAAGTTCGGGGTTCCTACTTCAGACCACGCTTTTTTGAACGAGTGAGCTACTGAGACCACGATATCGATTGTCAGAAGCTGATATTCAGGCTTACTCGATCATACATCGAAGGTCTCTGTTGGGTACTGGAGTACTACTACCAGGGCGTCCCCGCTTGGGACTGGTACTTTCCCTACCACTACGCCCCCTTCGCCCAAGACTTCCAAAACGTCGGCTCCCTGCAAATAACCTTTGAGCCGGCGGAGCCATTCAAGCCTTACGGCCAACTTCTTGGCGTCTTCCCCGCCGCTAGTCGGATACATCTCCCCCTCCCCCTGCAAAAACTCATGACCGACCCCGACTCGCCCATTATCGACTTTTACCCCTCGGACTTTGATATCGATATGAACGGGAAGAAGATGGCGTGGCAGGGCGTGGCGCTTTTGCCGTTTATCGATGAGACGCGGTTGTTGGCGGCGCTGGCGAGTAAAGAAGGGGAGTTGACGGACGACGAGAAGAGGCGGAATAGGTGGGGTGATAGTGTCATGTTTGTAGGTGAGGGGAGTGGGCTGTACGACACGTTCTGCGGTCTTTATGGGTTGAAGGCGGCTACAAAGGTGAGGTGCATGTTTCGGGTATGTGGCGAGCAGAGCTGATGTTTAGCCCATCGCGATGGACGTCAAGGAGTCACAAGGGGTCTCTGGGTCGGCGCTCAACGACCCCAACTGTGTCCCGAACGCAGCGGTCGACACGCCGATCCCATCACAACTCGAATGGCAGGACGTGCAAAACAACACCTCATTGTCTGTGCGATACTACTTCCCCAGACAGGCACACTCGCATCGCTCGATCCTTCTCGGCGGTTTCCGGCCACCACCCAACGTGCTCTCAGAATCCGACAAGGATTGGGTCCGGCGCGGCGGACCGGATGCGCAGCGCGGGGGCGGTGGAGGCGGACGGGGCGGACGAGGTGGGAGGCACTCCGGACCGGGACCGGGACAGAGGGATGGGCCCGGGATCGTCAATGGGCGGAGAAACGGGCCGGGGCAGGCTGCGGCCGGATTTGGATCAGCTCCAGGCGGGTACGGCGCGCCGGCTTACAATGCTCCCCCCGCAGCGTACAACCCGCCGGTGGCCGGCTATGGCTATCCCCCTCAGGGCTACGGAGGAGGATACGGTGGTGGACAGGGAGGCGGGTATGGCGGATACGCGCCGCCTCCTGTGGTTAACTACGGAGGATACGCGCCTCCCCCGCCAGGAGCATACGCCCCGCCTCCTCGGACCGGACCGTACGCGCCTCCCCCACCTCAGAGCTACGTTCCGCCAAGAGACCCGTACGGCGCTCCGGGGTATGGGCAGGGTGCATACCCGCCTGGAGCGTTTGGAGGTGGACAGTCAGGATACGGTGGACAGCCTCAGCCTCAGGGAGGGTACGGAGGGCGTGGACCTCCAAGACCGCCTTATCAGGGTCAAGGGCAGGGACAGGGCGGTCGTAGGTATTAAAGCAGTATAGAAGGTGAAAAAGAACTACATGTATTGGAAGATGTATTGTACATATCTGTCTAGTATATCTATTTGTTTGCCCATACTTTGACTGTACCGTCTGGGGAGTCAGCTGCGATCTCCATGATGGAAGGGAGGACGCACCTAGACTAGCGGTGATCATTTGCTTGCCATTTGGGCTGAGCTCGAGCCATGTGATTGCCTTTTTATGTGGTGCCGGGGGATTCGCGGAGAGCGGTTTCGCCTATACTATCAGCTGCTGATGACAAGAAGGAGGTGACAAGCTTACATCTAGCACGTTCCACGCCCACACCTTCCCCTCGTCATCTCCGGCCAGTACTATACTCTCGCCGTACCCCCAACACGCCCTCACGCGACCGTCCCCGACCTTGTGCCCCTCGAGCGTCTGCAACAACCCGCCATTCGACCGATCAAAGATCCTGACTTTTCCATCTGCCGAGGAAGTCATATATGTGTCCTTGGGCGACTGCGGGCTGGGAAGGACGCAATGTACAGGCGAGCCGATAAGATCTTCCGTCATTTTTCCCATACGCAGATCGTGCGTCCGGACGTGGCCGTCCAGGGCCGAGGAGATGATTTCGGCGCCGACGGCATCGGGGTTGGTAGAGCCGGGTATGGAGAGGGAAGTGATGGAGTTGGTAGCGTCCTTGAGGGTCTGTAGAGGGTCTCGAGACGCTGCTCTGCTGGTGTCAGTGGAGAGGCCCAGGGCGGGATGAAGGGGGATACACACCTCATATCCCAGATCATGATTTTGGCGTCAAATCCGGCTGTACAGAGGACAGTAGCTTCCTTATTGAATGCTACGGCGTTGATCTTGCCAAAGTGGCCTTGGAGTCTGCGGGTGATAGCGCCGGATGCTACATCCCAGACAAAGACTTGCTTGTCTCCCCCACTCGACGCAAATTTGGCATTATCGCTGGATCTACGAAGTATCAGCTTTGGGTGGACCTGACTGTGGGACATGGATAGCTTACATGTCCAGAGCGAGTACCTCTCTCCCATGACCCTCATACTTCTTGATCTCCTTGCCCAGCGTTGGGTTCCATAGCCGAATCGTCCGATCAGCGCTGCCGGTCAAGCAATATTTTGCGCCATGGTTATACCGCGCTACGTGTACCGGCCCTGTATGTCCATCCAGCCTATCGATCAGTAGCTACTCTTCGCTGCGTTCACTCACGACTGTACCTGCTGACTAGGTATACTCATGATCTCGCTGCATGAGCGATATAGAATCTGAAACAACAACAAAGGATGGTCGTTCGCGGCTGAAACGTTGAACGGGATCAATTTTGGGTGAGCATAACGAAATGTCCTGAGAGACGCGCTCCGCATTCCTCGCAATTCTACCCATCCCTTTCAACCCACCACTAATAGCTACCAACAGGGGCACCGCAGCTGGGACCATGATGCTCGGCAAGAGAGGATCACAGCCGGGCTCGCCGAGGACTTTTGCGTCGCCAATACGGCTCAGGTCGCCCGAGACCCCGCTAGATTATGCGTCGGAGATGGGCGCAAGGGATGTCTTGACGGGGGAGCAAAAGGCGGTGGTCGTGCTGGTCAATAAGGTCGTTAGCAAGGTACGTCCCGATATGAAGCAGAGCTGACAGTCAGCTGCCGTGTAACTCTGGGAATCGGCTCGGGCTGGTGGAAGGGGATGCAGGCGTACAGGCAAGCGTAGCCGCTCTCACGCGGATGCGGTTATCGCCGGCTGTACAGGCATTAACCAGTGCTCTGGAACAGCTGTCCAAGGTGAGCACAAGCAAGGACAAGCTGACAGCAGAACTCGATAGAGTCTCTCGATACCCTCCACTCCCAAGTCTACCTCCTTCACGTCCTCCACCAGTGCCTGTCGGCGTCATGGCAGTCCTCATCCTCGCGGTCGCGCTCGGACCCTCCCCCACTCGACGACCCTATCGCCCGGTATCTCCTCACTACTATCACATCTTACACACATCTGGTCGAGTCGGCGACCGCAGAGCCGCCAAAGCCTAGAGACACACCAAATAGCTCGATAGCCCGCCTCACCTCCAGCCTTTCGTCACATACCCTCACGAAATCGGTCTCGCGCCATTCCTTCCAGGAGAGCCCAAAATCTCGCGATGGCGGAGGGGCGGGACCGGTCTCGACCGAGTGTGCAGATACTGCCTCGGCAACGCGGCGGATGCAGACATATCTCCGTCAGATTGTCGCATACCTGACGGCGTCCAATTGGCCCATCGTATTCGCGAGAATACGGAGTCGGATACAGTACCTCTGTACGACAATCGAGGAGTCGCCTGACATCACGGATGTCCGTCTCATCGAATGGGCAGATCTGGACCGGCCGCGACTGGGACAATTACTGCAGGAACTATCGGCGTCCTTCCTCCACGTCAAGCGGCATGCGCAGGTCAGCATCGCCTCCGCTCTTCGCCAAGCTATCTGGGGATGGATCGAGAACCACGCAGATCAGTTCAATCAACTCGTCGAGTCAAATCGCAGACTAGAAGGCGGACCGGATATTCTATTTGACCATCTCAACTCGGCGTCCGACATTGGCTCCTCATCCTCGACCCGCCGCACCAAGGTGTTCTACCCCCTCATGGCGATGCTCCTCGTCCTCTGTCCAGACATCTTCAGTCGGGTCTCGATGGGCGAGACCAGTCGGAGCTCGAGTATAGGCAAGAAGGCGAGCTTTGTGGATAGCCTGCGGAAGGGATTGAGCACGAGCAAGGGGTTCGAGACGGCCGCGAGTTGCTATGTGGACTTTATCGGCGTGGCGAGTAGACTGGAAGCGGATGGGTCAGGCGTACGGACCTTGGTGGCGGATACGCAGTCGGATCTCAAGGTGAGCACTGGTCTTGGATGAGCTGATGTCAGAATGCGCTCTTTCATGGGTCCGTCGAGGTTTCAGATCCGGAGATCAGGGTGCAAGGGCTCGTAGGGCTCTATCGAGTCAGCGTCGGCGATAGCTCCATGTTCAACAAGCTCCTCGCGTCCGATACACATCGTCTGTATGCTCTGCAGGCAGCGCGCAAGATAGCAGAAGAGGGACAGCGGCTACAGCATTTCCCACCGGTTGCCAGTCTACGAAACGATCTCGCTGGGATCGTGCGCGGGTTCATAAGAGTGAGTGCAGTATCTTCCGGAATCTGACAGTAGAATCACTCCTCATCCTTCGCATCGCCTGAGCTTCTCGAAGCGCTGGAGCTGCTAGTTGTCGATCCGACTTACGCCTATGCCGCAACGGACAGCTTTCCCGCCTTCCTGACTCATCTGGGCTCGTTGGTGGTCGCGCCATGCCCTGCCGCGGTCCGGACTTTGGCGAATCAGGCGGTGGTTGAGATTTTGGAGAGCATGAAGGACAAGCCGAGTCTCACGATACAAAGTGGAGCTGCAATGTGAGTTTGGCCGTGGACAACGCTGATCCCAAGATGTTCAGTCCTGGTCGATGCCAGTCGCCAAACTCTCTCTGACTTTCAGACGTTACGATGGGACGCAATATCCGATTCGACAGCGGCCACCCGTATGACCGTTCACGCAGTCTTACATCTCGCCGAATCTTGTCCGGAGGTGAGTCGTCCGAGTTGATAGATGCTGATGTAGGCCATGACGACCTGCCCGCAAGCGATCCCGGCTGTCTCATTGACGGCTCAGACGGTGTTGACAACTCTCCTCGGGATGGACCACCGCTCCGCCGCTCTCAGCCAGCCGAGCTTGGGTGCCGTCAAAGATCTCTTCGCCTTGGTTCTGCAGCCCATCATGTCCAAACTCGAGCGTGAGGATCCCAGACATCCACGACTAGTGGAGATGCGGAACCGACTTCTGGTCTACGACGCAATGATCTACATGCCTCCAGCACATGGTGAGTCCTTGTAGGGATTGAACTGATTCCAGGTCGTCAACATTATCAGAAACAGCTACGCGCCGTGATCAAGAAGCTCGATCAGCCTACCGCCGCGTCCCTTGGTGTGTGGTACGGCTTGGAGGCAGCCTGGGTGCAGGTGTCGGCAAGGATTGTGCAGAGTGAGGGCAGCGGGGGAGACATTGCGCGTGTGGATGAGGTGAGTTCAGGCACGGCTTCGGCTGACGTCAGGAGGACATGCGATTCTGGCACGATACATTATCGGCGTTATGCGCATTGGGTGTCATCATGATCTCGAGCCATGATCCCGGTCCAAGCACCGCGGCTATGATCGGCGCCCATCTTCTTCCCGCCTATTGCAACTCGGACCAGCCGAACCGAGAGCGATTCCAGTCATTCATCCGAGACTGTGTCGCCATGTTTTGTTCACCAAGCGTGCCGGTGCGCGAGGCCATCAAGGAGGCCCTTGGTGCCGACTTGCCCATCAGCGCTGCTCCGATCCTGTTTGACCAAATCCATCGGTACGTCCCTTCCTGACGTTGCTAATGTAGATCCGCTGCTCTACTTCTCCCCGATAGCGAGAATGCTACCGTCTTCACCGAGCAGGCCGTCTCCATCCTCCGCCTCATGCTCGACCGGATGCCGCCAGGCGATGAGGTGGATATCGGGGAGCTCATCATGGTGTTGGGGCGATACATCCACCGCTTGGGACGGGGCGACGTTGCAGTCCGGATGAAGACCAAGTTTTGCAATGTCGTCGAGCTCGCTTCGACTCGTACGTCGCTGAATCAGCGGTTCGGCAACAATATCCTGGATGATATACTGGAATGGAGTGATGTCAAGGTGAGTAATAGCCTGGATATGGCTGACGTCAGGCCGAACATCTAGAATACAGTGCCCTGAAAGCTCTCGTACCCCTTACGGACGGCCTTTCGCTGCAGACATCAGAAGATTCGCAGTCGGCCCGACAATTCCTCCGCGCCTATACCTTCCTCATCCACGTCATCACCACCGACGAGCGGTCAAATACTACCCCAGTGGGAACATCATCCACTTCCCTAGCCATCTCCGTCCTCAGCAATCTCCTCGCCGCCAACGTAGATGTCGGTCTACAGCACTGCCTCGCTCTCGGCTATCATCGCGATCCCGTCATCCGCTCGGCCTTTATGCGAATCATGACACATACCCTCCAACATGGTGCTCGATTCGGCTCGCTCGCTACGAAGCGGATGTCGACGAAATCACGGCCATACCTCGATGGCCTGAATCTGTCTTTGGCGGTAGCCGTCGTCGACGTCTGCCCGGCGAGCGAGGTGGACGAGTTGTCGATGGTGCTGTTCCGGACATTTGAGGCAAAGGGAACGTTACTGGCGTTTCTGCGCGTCTTGATTGAGCGGGAGGTCTCGCAGACGAGTAAGTCAACGCCTGAGCGGAACTGACGGCAGACCACGAGTCGGAACTGTTTCGTGCCAACTCGATGACGACCCGTCTCCTCACTCACTTTGCCCGGACATACGCGTACAACTACATCCGCGAGACGCTCCAGCCTCTAATCTACTCGTTGATCGAGAAGCCGGCCGAGACTTCTTTCGAGCTGGATCCCGCCAAGGCTGGCCCGAACGATAATGTCGACAGGAACGCCGAGCACGTCAAGCTCATGTGTCAAGCCCTGTTGGATCTGATCTACGCCTCCGTCTCGAAAGCCCCTATGTAAGTCCATGCCAGGCATCGAGCTGATCCCAGAATGCTCCGCGTCATCTCGCATTATATCTGGGAAGCGGTCGAGGACGTCTTTCCTGAATCTCGCCATTCCGCCGTCGGATCGTTCGTCTTCCTCCGCTTCTTTTGCCCGTGTATAGTCGCCCCGGAGAATATGGAGCTGGACGTGCCGGCCGACTCGAGGGATCTTCGGAAGGGGCTGTTGGTGGTGACCAAGGTGATCCAGAATCTGGCCAATAACGTCACGTTTGGGAATAAGGAGCCGCATATGAAGGCACTGAACCAGTTCCTGAGGGGCAACATCACCGAGATCACAAAGTATCTGTCTGATATAGCTGTAAGTTCTACTTTATGAGCTCAGCTGATGCCAGATACGCCCAAGAAGTCACGAGATAGCGGCTGCGATCAGAAAGTCGAGGGATGATGCGGATAAGCTGCAAGATCCGGACATGGACGATCTGACATTGTAAGTGCAAGCGAGGGTTTTACTGAGTTTAGACACAACTTCATTCGCAAGCATATCGGACGACTCGGCGTTGCGCTCAATCAGCTGCCACCTTCTTTTCGGACACATCGGCCAGAAAGGACACCGCTGGATGGTCCAGCTGCCCTGGCGCAGATCCAAGCGATCATGGATGAGACTGGGCCGCCTTCGGAGACGATCAAGCTGGATCCGTATACTCGGACGAGGATATTCGAGGAGTGAGTTAGAGGTCATGATTGAGCTGACGACAGCTATATGAAGCAGAACTCGGGACGGAGTACAGATAGTGTCCAGTCGACCTTTTATGAGGGTCCAGCCGGACAGGTATGCCACCGCTAAGGGCAAAGCTGACGTGTCAGTCTGGCAGAAGAATATTCTATTTCGTCGCTGCCAATATCGGCGTCGCAGATTACGATCTCTTCGCGTACCACGCCTTCCAGGTCATGTTTGATGCGACAGAGCCGTTTGATATTATCTTTGACATGACGGGCTTTGCAGCTGCCAACGATCTCCCGCTCCCCTGGCTCAAGCGGATGATACAGATGTGCCCGCCTGCCATCATCGCTTCTGTACACGTAAGTCTCCCTTAGGCTTGGCTGATTTAGACCATCGCTCTGTACAACCCCAACACCTACACCCAGCGCCGGCTCCGCCGAATCGTCTCGGAGCTCTCGCCTCTCTGCGGCAGTGTCCCAAAGCACCTCGTGTCGGTCTCCCAACCGGACGATCTGCAGGCGTCGGTCCCATACGTCACGCTCAACCTGCCCGACTCGACCATGCAGCTCGCATACAACTCGGTCAAGGTGTATCGCCCGGTCTTTGTGATATCGGACCATGAGATGCAGATGCAGATTGGGCTCAAAGTGGGGGAAGACAGTATACAGCTCGCATCGGTAAGTCCGTGCTTGACCTAGCTGACGACAGTGGCGGTCGATGGAACTCCTCCCCAACCTCAAATCGTACATTATCGACATTCTCGCTTATAGGGATATCGACGATGTCACGTCCGAGCAGGACCGCCTGATCATCAAGCACGGTAGCGAGTCCGTCACATTCGTTACCAAGCCGGATCCACGGACGGGGAAGAGCGATACCTCCCGGGCGATACTGCGGATGCTGGAGCAGGATCTGCGGTCTGCGCGAGCGAGATTTCGCAATGCGCCGTCTCATCAGCGTACGCTTCGGCCCAATGATGTACCCGGGAGACTGCTCAATATCGCGCTGCTCAACCTGCACTCGACGGACGAGGTGCTCAGGACGTCAACGTACGGGCTGTTGCAAGAGATCGGGACTTGTTTCCGGTACGACTTTGGGCTCATCAAAGCGCCAAGTAAGTCTTAGACCGGAATGGGACTGACGTCAGATGTGCTGGTCCCACGCAATGCCCTCTCCTTCGCTCTCTCCCTGTCTAGAACCCTTGCCACGACCACCCCGCACCTGACCCTTGAGTTCGTCAAGGAATGGATCAGCGGCTTTCCCCGAACCGGCATCCCTCAGCAGACCGCTTGCATCCAGTACATTTCACCTTGGCTGGCCAACCTCGAGCCGTTCGCAAAGCCCTCCCGGGACGACGCGAGCGAGACAAACAAGCAGGTTACCGAGATTGTTAGGGGGTTGATCTCGTTGACAGTGGCGGAATACACCGTGGGTACTGCTGCAGACTGTAGCTGATTCCAGGGCGTACATCTTCTTTTGCAAGAGCGGATATGGCAGCCACTGCTGGGTCTACGCGGTGCTTTTATGGACGTCATCCTGGCTGAGCTGCTTCAGGCCGCGGTCGACGCTGGATTTGGCTCGACTAGGGGGGATGTTATCGCCGACATACTCGTCTCCCTGGCAAATACCACGGTCCGAGGGAAGGTCTTTACAAGGTTACGAAAGGTAGGTCATCTCCACGATCCTGCTGACAGTAGACCATCACACAGACCTACCTCCACGTATCCATCACCCTGGAAGATAACGAGTCCTGGCAGGAAATCTGCGTTCTCGCTCGCTTGAGCGCAATGCTCGCTTATCAGCCCTCGGCGTGCCTCGACATTCAACTCTTCCTTCCCGACATCATACATTCCGTCACGTTGCTCGTCGGGACCGGGCCGCTTCTCATGCGGCAATCGACCTATGCGCTGCTCGTCAACACCCTCCATTCGCTGGCTTCCACACAGCCCACAGGCGAGATGGACGGTCCGGTCTTGGTCGAGCTGCTGGCGATGGCGCAGGAGGCGGCGATGCTGGAGCATTTCAAGCTGGTCAGGGCTGGGAATGAGCTGTTGCCCATGCCAAAGGAGGGAGACCCTTTTAATGCGGTTGAGGCGGCGGCCGGGTTATTGAGCAAAGTGGTCATCGCTGCTGCACCATCAATAGGTGAGTTCTTTTGAGGAGTCGGCTGACCTCCAGACTGCGCCAACTCGTGGCGAGCAAGATGGATGGGCATGGTCGCAAGTACCTGCTTCCAGCACAATCCTGCCACCCAACCTCAGGCCTTCACCGTTCTGGCTGCCCTGGCTACCGAGGAAGTCGACGACGACATCATCTACCAAGTCCTCATCGCCATGTCGAGCATCCTCAAGACATACTCGGACCGCCACTCCTTCCTCATCACCAGCATGGCGCGGTGCCTCGCCAGACTCCTCCTTCCCCTCACTCCCGATAGTCGGTACCCTTCTGACCTGTTCTGGGTCGGTATCGGTCTCCTGCAAATGGGCCACCTCCCACTCGTCGCTACCGGACTCGACTTGGTCACCGCCGCCCTCACCTGGCTGGCCACCAACGGCGCGTTCCTCTCCGGTCTCGATCGCGCCCTTCTCGAAGATCGGTCGGGGAACGAAAAGCTTACCGGGGAAATCGACCACATCTCTGGCGTCAATTTCGAGGGCAATCTCCACTTCTCGCTCGTGTCCATCATCTGGAAAGGCGTGCGACATCCCGCTAGCAAGCAGAAGACAATCGACTGTCTGCTGTTGCTTTGCCGACTATCGTCCGCAGAGGGCCACCCATACTTTGTCAGCTTGCTGCCGGTGGTTGCGGGCTCGCCGGAGGATCTGGCGGCGCTGTTTGATGCGGTCGAGATGCCGGTACCGAAGGATCTTGGGACTGCGGCTATCTTTGATATGCTGGAGATAAGGTGAGCAGGCCATAGAGCTTGGCTGACAGGCAGGGACAGTAACACTGCACTGCTTGTCGTTACACTGGCGATCACCATGCTCAGAACAGCTTCGGCCGATAATGAGCGTGTCATCCTCTACCGCCTGCTCGCTGATGCATGCGAGCGAGTCCCAGATGTTGTTGCTTGGACGTGAGTATCGAGTCTTCTGTCTAATGAGGAGATACTGATTGATACAGCTACGACACCTTCATTCCCCGCGCGGTCTCCACCCTGGGCAATACCACCAACCCCTCCATCATCGCTACCATCACCTCCATCCTCAACCGGGCCATGGCTGATCCCAATTACTCCTTCCCTGCCGCCGAGATGGGGCCTATGGACAGCTCCATCAGCCTCAACCACGGTATGGGCAGCTTGCACGCACACGGCCGGAGCTACTCGGCAAGCATCGCGTCGTCACCCGTGCCTGCTGGACAGGGACCTGGGGCGAGGATGTTGGAAGATCTGAGGCTGAGTGGCCTGGGGGATATGAGCTTCAATATAGGAAGGAACGAGCGGTGAGTCTGCACGCTGTGTCAGGTACCGGGAGACAGCTGATAAAGCAGGATAGGAAGGATCGCTCGATTATCAGGAGAACTTATTGCGCGATTTACGGCTCCATGAGGATGGACGATGCGGGCTTACTTTGCTGTACTACCACGGAACGACTTAATGATCACGATTTACGACCCGGTCATAGCCCATCGTCCTGTACATACATCACCCTCGGATCCCTTGGAGATATCTAGATGGCTGCGCGAGCTGGACATAGAGTACGGAGCAGTAGGGGAGATCTAATGAATGCAGCTTTGGCTCTTGGTCTGACTCGAGACAGCACGTGAGGAGAGCCCTACATAGCGGATTGGAGCATGCGTTACAGGTCGTTCGTTCATTACAAAGTGTTGGCTACACACGGACCCCAGTACTGACTATCCAAGGCAGGTACGGCTCAGCCGTAGATCTCGCCCCCTCGCTCTCTCTAGCTCATGACTCCAGTATTCCCATCTCCCGCCATTTATCGCTCAATTGCGCCACCCCCTGACCCATTCCTTCTGGCGTCATGAGCTCCTTCATCCCCAGCAGCTCAAACTCCTTGCCAAACGCCAGGAAGTGGGCAAAAAGCGAGTTGAAGTGCGCTTCGACCGAGAGGTGGAGGATTTGCTCGAAATGGGCGTGGTAGAGGTGGGCAAAGATCCGGAAGAGGTGTTTGTAGATGTGCTTGGCGGTGTAGGCGAAGGAGGGAGGGAAGTCGCGGCCTGCATCATGTTAGCTACAGCTGGGAGTCGACGGTCCCGTGGGGTGCGAAGCTTACCACTCTTGGTTGGAAAGACAGACTCGTCGTCGAGCAGCTTCTGCAGCCATGACATGACAAAGTCGATATATGTCGGTGCAGGCAAGGAGACTAGTCTTTGTGACTGATCTGGCCAGAGAAAATTGATACTGCGATGTCAGCTGATAACAGATAGCTTCATCCCAACTGAAGGGACATACCTTGGTCCAGCAGCCATGGTGGGGCAGTTCTGCATGGTGCAGAAATCGGTCAAAGCGCCGTAGAAGTGATTCAGGTTGTGGTAGAAGTCAAATACTGCTCGAGTTAGCTCGCGTGCGACGATTTTTGACTTCACCGCTCAGGTGGGAGACAGCTCACGATTGACAGCTACCCATTCGTTCACGTCCACATACTTTGGCGGAGCGACAATGGTCTTGAAGCTCCCTTTGACCAGCGCGGCCTTGACGAACGGTTGGCATAGATATAGTGGCTTGGGCTGAGGGGAGTTACCGAGTGGATTCTGCCCGAACTCTAAGCCAGGGGAAGGGAGGGGGTCAAAGTACTGTTGCTGGCCCGGTGTGGTAGGGGAGCGCTTGGGCGCGCGGAGACGTCTAGCTCATCAGCGCTGGTGCCAGGGATGATGGTCACAGGCATGCTAGCACCAGACATGTGCTGCAACTGTACTGGACATTGTGACTTACCCTATCGAGTTCAAGAAGCCGGACATGGTGGTTGACGTGAAGGGAGTTCGTGAAAGCGGATCAACTGGTCGACCTGCGACTTCTAAGCGACTTCCGATAAGCGATTATTTTTGGGGGAATCGGTGATTATGAGCTCGCTGAGCGCCCGGAGACTGCTCTGGGAGTACTTGATATTAATATGTATAGTGCTGATAGAGTGCTCGAGCTCATAGCTGTTGCGAGTGGACGCGCGGGGATCATCGCGTCTCAGGAAGGCACGTGACTTTATGACGTGGCATTCCTCAGCTGTATCAGCCAGCCAGGTCACTCCACCACCCACCGTGACAGCACCCACGCTTAGCAGGTCCAGCTTTGACTATATACTTCACGAATACCACTCTCACGCCAGAAGGACTAGCTGTCAGAGTATCGATCCCCGCTCCTCTGTAACGGATCAGAGACGTACCCGCCGAAAGCGAAGCATACGAATCGCTAGGCCGCCGTCAACTCAGTGACTTCTGCCCGAAGATGGTGTACATTAAGAATTGGACCGAATTCGAGACGGTCAGTCAAGGACTGCTTTAGCTTGACTGCCGAGCTCTTGATCAATAGCTGACTGCAAGGCTGCGACCGGTCTATACGCAAAATCACCAAATACAGTCCGGTATTGCGTCAAGTTTAGGCCAAAGACGGGCATGCTCGTTCTCAAGCTCACCGACAATGTGACAGTAAGTTTGCATACACTTGCCCTTCTGAGACGACGCGTGAGGTGCAACGCTGACTGCATAGTGTATCATGTACAAAACCTTCTCCTCCATCATCCTGAACCGATTCGAAACTCTCAACCTCCGCCTCTTATCACAAATAGCCAACCTCCCTCGCCCGTCAATATCTGCAGTCGCTTCGACATCATTATTAGCTCCACCGGCAGAAAATGCTGGGAGAGCAGGGACACCGATGATGGACGAGGCGGAGGGAAGGGAGAGGGCCGGAACACCGGCAGTGGAGGCGGCTGCAGCAGGAAAGGGCGCGGGAGGTGCTGGAGCAGGCGGAGCGACTGGTAGCGGGACAGGATCGGGAGGTGGTGCAGGAGGGAAGAAGAAGAAGAAGGGTAAGAGATAGGATGCGGATAATGGGCATGGATACTATAGGCAGGCTGTCCGGAGGGGTAGCATCCAAGTCGTTGGCATACCGGCAGTCAGCAGGTGGGGGAGACGTGCGGCCTTGGTGGGGTGTTCACATGCTCCTTAAGACGTTGCATTCTTACCTAGATAACTCATCGCATCCGCGCCCCTGACCCTCTCGCACAGTCTAGGCCTTTGCTGCGCGGAGCTCATCCCTCTTCTGCCTGATGGTCGCTGCCAGTCTGCTGATCCCCAACTCTGCGTCCTCCTTGCCAATCTCCGAGAACGACACTCTGACGTGACTCGACTTGGTTCCCTCTCGCGGATAGAAACTACAATCCCCACATCAGCTTGGCCTCTCGTGATAGCTCAGAACCACTCACGCATACCCCGGCACTGCCAGCACCCCATTCGCAAGCGCCTCGACCTTGATCAATCGTTCCGTATCGTCGATTCCGCTCTTACTGCAGTCGATCCACAGGAACATACCCGCCACTGGGCTCACCCAATCCGCGAGCTCGCTCAGGTGTTTCCGGGCAATCTCCTCGAACCACACCCGGCGGATCCGGTAGAACTCCGCGACCGCTTTGGAGTGAGACAAAAGACCCGACATGCCCCAAGATTTGAGCAGACTGTACGCGAGGATCTGGGAGACGCCCGAGGTGTGCAAGTTCGTGCCGGAAGTCTGGACATCGATGGCGCTGACGATGGCGGTGGGGCCGGTAGCGTAGCCGAGACGCATCCCACCAGAGAGGATCTTGGAGAAGGAGTCGAAGCGGATGACTTGGCCTGGAGGGGAGATGACGAGGGGCTCGAGCTCAAAGTAGGACGGGATGAGCTCGGGGGTGAGGAAGTAGTATGGGTCGTCTGTTGATCAGCTACTTGCAACCAGTGAGACGGGACAGGATCTACCTTCAATGATGAGGATATCGTATCTCTTGCAGATCTCCAGGATGGCGAGCTTCCGCTCGCGGCCAGCAGAACAGCCAGAGGGGTTGCAGCCGATGGGATTTGTGCTGCTCGTCAGCGTCTGCCTCGCTCGGCCTACCTGCGACGCACTAGACACATCGTGGACGCTTTTGACCCTCTGGCCAGTTGGCCAAGGTGTCTTCGAGGGATTTGGGCGATAAGCCGCCGTCATCGATATTGACCTCTAGGAAATCAGCCCGACCTTTACCTCGAGCCGTTGACCGCGAGAGCTCACCGATGCAGTTGGCATCGAGAGCTTTCAGCGGCGGCATGGCGCCTGCATACAGCGGGGTCTCGACAAGGACCGAGTCACCCGGCTCCAGTACGGCCAAAAAGGTCTGCAAGTCAGCCGCGATGTCCCCTCGTCCGCTTCCCTACACGCATGATGATGAGATGACAAACCTTGTACATCAGATCCTGTGTCCCGCTTCCAAGACTGACAGCCCAGTCTCCCCTGGGCCGCTTGTGCAGCTCCTCCTGCACGTCCGTCAACAGGTTCCGAAGCTTGGCCAAGCCCGGTGTGGGCCCATACTGCAGAGCCTGATCAAGGTCTTGGCCCTCAATCACGACTTCGTCGCCTAAAGAGTGGCCATTGGGCGCGTCGGTCCCGTCGGCTGACGGTAGACGTGACTCGAGTGGGGATTTCAGGGAGAGGGTGATGCGTTCGAAGGGGAATGTAGTAGGGTTGGGTCGACCAGCACTGTCAGGGTTAGTGAAAGATTCGAACTTCCTCACCGACTAGTGTACTTACAGCTATCATGTCAGCTGGCTGGCGTCGGTACTGATTAACACTATAAAGTGGACGTACGAATGAGACGATACCGGGGCCTTCAAGGGGTAGCAGTCCTCTGACTGATCGATCAGCGAGCCTCCCGTCTTTGGGCTGTCATAGAGACACAGATCACGTACTGCCATCCGCCTTGTTGTTCCTCGCCCTCTCAGTCAAGAAGCGAGCTGGTCCGCTTACTCTCTCGCCGGAGCTAGGGACGACGTGCGGCATATCCGTCCCGTCTTCGGGCTTGGAATCCATAGCGCTCTTTCTTTGTCGAGATATGTATCTGATAGATAGTGGGGCGAGGATTGCTTATACGCCACGGCGATGTACTTTTGAGGAGGGGGGGCAGCAAGAGAGTCGCAAAATGAGCTGGCGATCGCGAATCTCGCAACTCGAGTCAAGCTCGTCGGTTCGGCGACGTCCGATTCGCCCTGTCAGGTGGGGAACCCTATGAAGTGGGGGACCGCAGGCGGAGCCGCAGGGCCACTGAGCAAGTATTATAGCCCGCACTGGATGAGATGGTTCGTGTCAGATGTGTTCTCTTGGCTCCAATGTACAAATCTGAGCTAGTATACATGATGCATCATCGCTGAAAATCGATGAACCGTCAGTCTCCTCCTTCTCCGCCGACGGGCCGTCCATTCGACGCGCACTCTCTCACCTGCCTCGCAACCCCACGATCAGCGCCCTCGGCCTCATCTCCCCTCTATCTCCTTCCCTATATCGATATCTACAACCGTCTGCTGTCACTATTCACCAGTCACTATACGCGTGCCCGTGCTCCAGCAGCTGCCGCATTCGCTAATTTCAGCTCATCAGACTTGCGCTTAGACCTTCGCTTGTATACGATTGCAATTATCACTACAAGTGCTAGTGCCCCAACAAGACCTGCGGGTAGATCAGCAGGAATCCTGCGGCTTGGCTCTGATAAAACTTACAGCCAGCTAGCGTTGCAATATTCCTCCTCGCGTACTCTCCACAATCCGAACCGGCCTTCAGTGTGAACTTATTCGTACAGACCCTAAACCCCCCAGATTCTGCCGGGGGAAGCGGGGCAGGCGGATCAGAGGGTTCAGGAAGTCGGACAGACTTGACCTCATCCTCTTCGGCAGCTGCGACGGGGGCTGCCTTGGGTGGCGGTTTCGGCACGGCCTTGGGGGTCTCGACCTCCTCGGGGTCTTTAGCGGGCGGGGTGGGGTCCGCTTTCGGCTTCACAGTCGGGGTGGGCTTCTCGGCGGGAATATCGGCATCAGGGTCAGGAATGGGGGCATCCTTGTCGCTCATCTTGGCTCTGGTAGTGAGGTTGTTGATCTGGACTTTTCTGGATATCGGGAGGGTCGAGTTGAGCTGTTGGTCTCCGTGGAGTGAGACAATGCACAGTCAGACGATATGTCGGGTAGACATGTCAGATGAGGCGTGTCGTGTGAAGTCCCTATCGCAGTACAGCACAGGGACCAGAGCCCCCTGATCTCCTCGCTGTGACAGTGTCAGTTCAACCATCCTTTGACTCCACGCCCGGCCAGTGTATGTGACGCGCCAAAGGAGCAGAAGGTGTAGCGTCTGAAGACTTGGTTGTATGTCAGGGTCCAGCCATCAGGGGTCCCCAAACGGATGAGCGAGTCATCAGTAGTATGGGTGAGTAAATAGTGAGCGCCCGCTGCGGTGCAGTGAAATCGGGATTAGAGCCCCTCGCGGCTTTTTCCCGGATGAGCATTGAGATGCTACCGGCGACACCTCTCCATTCGCCACCTGACATACTCCTCCTCCAGTACCCCACCCCACCGCCCATTCGCCCCGACATCTTCCTGCCCAACACACCATAGCTCGCATCCTCTGTGAGGCGCAAATGAGAATCGCCACACGGTTGCTGAGGGTAGCTCAGCCCCTTCCGGAAGTCCTTCCGGCGGAGTGGGGTCAGTGGGGAGGACGTGGTGCAGGACCATGGAGAGCGTTTTGTGTAGGAAGTGAAGAGGTGGGGAAGGGTGCCAAGGTGGATTTGGAAGAGCGGAGATGCTGTTCAATTCAGTATATTGCCAGGGGTTCGGCAGTGGAGATGTACAAGCGGGGTATGGACATTGTCTCAAAAGTCTGCCTAGAGCGGACGATGCCCGCCTCGTCTCGAAAGCCGACCTCCACTTCCTGGTGCTATCAGTGGCAACCGTGATTTTGGCGAACGGAGCACACACCGATATTCCAAGCAGCCACGATTGAGCCCAGTGCTTCAGCATCTTTCTATATGTCATCAGCTTAGCGTCCATAGTTGGGACTATGCCAACGTACTTGTGAAAGATCCCCTCTTGTCGTTCATTCTCGATGACTTTGTTGGTCTTGAGCTCCATACAGCCGTCGAGACCTGGATGTGGCGCCCCAACCTCCGCTGCGCATATGAGCCTTCCATTTCTCGTGCTCGAGATGCGAGTCGCACCTTTGACGCAGTCAACCTCTCCTCCAAGACATAGTGGTATCTCTCCTATAGCTGAGCGGATGACACTGACGCGTGAGCTACTTCCACATGATAGAAATCCTTCAAGTGAATGACTTACTTGCACCACTGTGGCCTGATCAGCCCAAAGACCGCGTCACACACGCTCCCGGTCGAAAGGTGGAACCCACCTGTACGTTCGTATTCACATCTCCACTCCAGCCTTCTGGTCTGTCCTCCCCCTCCGTATCTACCTCTGGGCCGTCATCCCCTCCGACAGTCTTGGTCGAGAAGGACTCGAATGCGTACCCCATGTAGCTCTGCCACGCCCATCCCGACTGCTTCTTTGCCCTCGCAGCTCGGACATCAGGTGGGTCGTGCAGCTCTATATACACAGATCCAGCCAGAGGGATAGCTGTCATCTCCCAGCCCTCGTTATCGTATGGCGCAGTCATGATCCTGCCTTGGATCAGCTTCTCCCCTCATTGTCTCACAGAGCGGCCAGCTCACCTTGTGATCATTCCCCTCCAGGTAATGATCCCTCCCTCCCGCTCCCCCTGTCTCCCTGCCTCCCACTCTCGCCTGAGAGCCCCGCACACCCCGTCTAAATGCTCCTCCTCGTCCTCCTTCCGCTCAACTCGCCGGTCAAAGCCATAGTTCAGGTCCGAACCGATACGGCAGGGACTGTAGTACGCCATTGAGCTATCTCCAGGTGTGATGGATCGGTCAGGGAGATGCGAGTAGGTTGTGATCAGGTGGGGTTGGCGCAAGGGCGGTGCGGGGTCGCGAAGGGAGAGTGGGGGAAGGGGGAGGTAGTGATGGAGTCCTGGAGCGGAGGAGGGGCCTGGTCTCGCTGGCAGAGTGGTAGATCGGGGCGCTTGTGCGCCGTATGCCTGTCTCATACTGCCGGTATAAGTGCAGCGGTGGGACAGAGATGTTGGACAGTATGGAAGTCCAAAGTTACTTGACGTTGCTGCAGCTCCGTTGCCCAGTGGAGGCAATGGTTCTTCCGAGATTTCTCCGACGCCCAGGCTGCTGTGTTGCCGCCAAAACCTCTCGCTGCATCTCTCTTCCCTCTCAAGTTCGTCTATCTACCATGAACCAACCTAAGCCAGTCCAGATCCGGCTCCCCTTCTCTGTGCCTCGCCCTAAGAAGGGCCAAGCGCCCCCTTCCAGAGTATGCGGGATGTTAGTGAGCTTCTTCCCCTTGGGCGGATTTAGACAAGCTTACGAATTCCTTCTAGCTGCCGAAAGAACGATAGTCGATATACCTGCCCGAGATGTAATGTCGCGTACTGCGGACTGGACTGTTTCAGGTCCGAGGTGAGCTAGAGTTCGGAGATTATCTGGAGCGAAGCTGACTTGGCAGAAACACGGCCAATGCTCAGAAGGGTTCTATCGCGAGACGGTAGTTAATTCCATCTCGGCCGATCCTGGGGCGGGGATGGAGGAGAAGAAGGGGATGATGGAGATGCTTAGGAGATTCGAAGAGGATCAGGATGGGGGAGAGGGCATGTTGGCGGAGCTTGAGGATGAGGGCGAGGAGGGGAATGAGCTGGCAAAGAAGCTTGCTGGCGTGAATATCGGTACGTCCGCCTCCTAGGCGTCGAGTTACAAGCTGACCCTCAGACGAGATAGACAGTAACGCCCTCTTCCATCTCTTACCGCCAGAACACCGAGACAAGTTCCTTGCCGCGTTGAAAGACCCAGAATCGGAAGCAGCGAAACACCTCGTCGAGCTTGCCGCTGAGGAAGACGAGGGGTCTGCTATGGCTATACCGGATGTTATGCCGTGGTGGGAGGCGCCGGACGTCCCAGATGACGAGGACGAGGGGGAGCAGTATGCGGATATGCCGGATGTTGTGGCTGAGGAGGTGTTGGCTGGGATCCACCCGCCAAGCGGAGTGGGGTCCAAGCTGGCCTACAACGCTGTCGCCATCTCGTACGTATCCTGCCGCTCCTCAGATCCACATACTGATCCCTCAGTCTCGCCTACATTCATACGCTTTTATCATCCCGCTTACCGTCTTTATCGCCTTGGCATCGTGCCGCGCAAGGGGTATCCGCAGATGACCTCAAAACCGACGTCACCGCCCTCATCCCTTTCCTGGCGGATCAAAAGTCAACAATTCGGTACACATCAGCCCGGGAAGCCTACTCGACGGTATGGGAGATCATAGGCACCACCCTGGACCCCGCGCCGCCGCCTGACCTCCTCATCCGCCTCCTATCACCTCTCCCTGGCCTGTTGCATCCGCCGCTCGATACCGCTTCTTCGCCTCGGTTGCTGCACCTCTTGTCTGACCTGTATAGGCTGCACAGCTTATCCCGGGTCGGAGCGGCGGGGAAGAAGCTGGCTTTCTATGTGGTCGCTCTGAGACAGATGGGGCGGGCGGAGTGGCTGAAGCTGGAGAGAGAGGTCCAGGGAGAAATTGGGCGATTGGAGCGGGAGTAGGGCGAGGGCGAGGGTGATGCGGAAGCCGAGCGCGAGCGATCGCAGCTGTTGCTGTAGCCTTGTCTGCAGGCATTTGTACTGCTGCGTCAGATTGTCTCGGAAAAGGTTCGGGGCGTCCACTGCCGGCGGCGATCACCCCGCTGATCTGGATCCGGTTTTAGCGGCGACGCGTCGACGCGTCGAGCCGCTAGATTTTCTCTCGGCCGGCTGAATGTTCGTGATCGGACCCTGCGTCCCTAGATTATAGAGCCAAAGGTGACAGACCTGTGACGGCGATGAGGCACAGGAAGAAGATGGTTGACGGCAGATGTGGAAAGGTCTTGGTCGATATCTGCAGCGAGAAGAAGGGAAATCTTGAATACTCCGATACTCTTGGCTATCAACATCAAAAACACCTCATATACTCTTGTACATCATTCAAAGGACGCCCTTTGAAACATCCATCCCACACACCAGCCCCGTCCTCATTGGAAGCATCTGAAACATGCCCTCCAAATTTCCATGGCAGCGACCTCAGCCCGCTGCGTCCAGCTCGACCTCCACAGATACATACACCAACTCCCCCAGCAACCCCTATGCCAACGCGTACCCCGCCGACCGGCGCCCCATCGCGTCGACTGCCACCGCCTCGGCGCGTAATCCCAACTCTCCCGCCGCGGGTCTTACCGCGGACTCTCCCTCTCAACTCCGATCGCGTATCAACTCGCCTCATAACCGTACCGTCCCGGATGTCTTTGCGAACGAGAGCAGGGGATATCCCTCGCCATCGGTGGCGGCGGCGGGAGGGAAGCGGGTGGTGTCGTTTTTGAAGAGGAAAAAGAAGGATGAGGATAGTCCAGGATGGACGCAGCTGGATGGGGATTCGCCAGGTCCTATACGCGGGGCGAACCCGGTGGGACAGGTGAAGCGGTACGACGCGCGAGGATACCCAGAGCGGGCGGGGAACGAGGTGGGAAGCCCAGTAGGGCTCAGCCCGGAGAGCGCCAAGGGGTATCTACGGACATCGCGGTCGCGGGACAGCCTGGCGTCCGAGGTATCGTCGACCGGTGCCGGGGTCAATGAAGAGTCGGGACGTTTCCTCGGGTCGAGTCGGCCAACATCGTACCTCGCATCGGATACCACGCCCGCTAGCGTTTACCCACCGGTCATGGACTACTCCCTGTCCGCCCCTTCATACGATCCCTACAACGCGTCGAATGGCGGGACGGGCTACGTGTGGAAGAGCGGCAACGTCAACGGGTACTCGGGCGATGGCGGACCCGAGCCCGCGCGCAGTCTCTACGCCCAGTCGATGATGAGCGTGCAGACCCGTGGAAGCGACTCGAGTCTGACCCATTTCAAAAAGCACGACCATATCCAGGACAGCTATGGCGCGTTCAGCATATCAAGTAAAGGAGGGACGAAGCATCTGGGCAAAAATGTGAGCAGATCATTGGCAAAGCTGACTGTAGTTCTCGCTGCCCGCTGATCCTGCTTCTTGGTCTTACCTCGGCCCAGAAGCAGACGACGACTTTCACGATCCCGACATCATATCAAAGAAGAATGTAAATAGCCAGCCTGCCCGGCTGTACTGATGTACAGAGCAACTACCTATCAGCGATCATCTCTCTGCGAGGGCTGTCGAATCTTGGATGTCTTCTGCTGCTCCTCGTCATGCTCGTTGGCCTATTGTGAGTGCTCAAAAAACCTTGGCTGACCGGCAGCGGCGTCTATCCCATTGTATCCTACTATCTTCCCCAAGTCTACCCTACCTACGGCGCGTACAATCTGGGCGGTATCAAGTGAGTTGAAACCCTGACCGGAGCTGATCTCAGTGCGACCGGCCAGATCCCCGACGTCGGCTCCTTTGCCCTTATCGACCGCGACACTCCACAATCCGCCTACACGCACAAATCCATTGAGAATGGCGAGTCTTGGGAGCTGGTCTTCTCGGATGAGTTCAATCATGACGGACGGACATTCTGGCCTGGTGCGTCTCTTCCCCGTTTCGAGGACATCGCTGACAAGGATAGGAGACGATCCCTACTGGGAAGCGGTCGACCTGCACTACTGGCAAACCAACAACCTCGAGTGGTACTCTCCCGAACAAGTGACGACGAAGAACGGCAAGCTGGTCGTCACGCTGGATAATATCGAAACGAATGGCCTAGCCTATCGCGGTGGAAGTGAGTCTTTATTCGATCTGGGAGAAACTAGCTGATAGCAGTGATCCAAACGTGGAATCGATTCTGCTTCACCAGCGGATATGTCGAGGCCTCAGTCAGTCTGCCAGGCAAGAACAACGTGTATGGCCTTTGGCCGGCCATTTGGTCGCTGGGCAATCTGGGACGGGCGGGTTACGGTGGATCGCTGGATGGACTTTGGCCGTATTCGTACGATGCGTGCGATGTCGGTACCCTGAAGAACCAGACTCTCAACGGTAAGTTGAGTCTCAAACTGCAGCTACCGAGCTGATTTTCAGGCCAGCCCCAAATCCCCGCTAGTCAAGGCGACAAGAACAACCTTGGCCACCTTTCCTACCTCCCCGGCCAGCGACTCTCGCGCTGCACGTGTCCAACAGACGCCACGCACCCCGGCCCAAAGCGCTCAGACGGCACTTTCGTTGGTCGTGGAGCGCCTGAAATCGACATGTTTGAGGCTGTCGTCGATTCCACCACTCTGCAAGGCGAAGTTTCGCTGTCGGCTCAATGGGCTCCGTTCAATCCGGCATATCAGGTGGGTGTACGATTCGAGCTAGCTGACCTCTCAGTTCCTTAACACCACTTCTAATTACCGAATTTACAACGCATCCGAGGCGCATCTGAATCCCTGGCTTGGCTCGGTATGGCAACAAGCCACAACAGCACTCGGGATAACCGATCAGAACTGCTAGTACGTCGGGTTTCTCTTGCTTGGACTACGCTGACTAGTAGCACCGGCGAGACTGGATGCTTCTCGGTCTACGGATTCGAGTACCGCCGAGGGGACGACGGGTATATCTCTTGGGTCAACAAGGGCAAGCCCGCGTGGACGGTACGGGGTGCAGCTATGGGGGCGAATTCGGCCGCGGGAGTCAGTCAGCGGCCGGTGCCCAATGAGCCGCTCTATCTGATCATTAATTTGGGGATATCGGAGAACTTTGGACCTGTCGAGTGAGTGGCTTACACTGGGCTGGAGTCATGGCTGATCATCAGTTACACCGGGTTGGCCCCTTTGTTCCCAGTGACGATGGAGGTCGACTACATTCGTGTCTACCGTGAGTCTGCTAGACCTTGCGATGTGAGCATAACTGATGAGGGCAGAAGATCCAAAGGACCGAAATATCGGATGTGATCCCGCCGACTTCCCCACTGCTTCCTACATCGCTAGATATCCAGAAATCTATAGCAACACGAATATTGTAAGTTGATCCGAATGCTTCAAAAGATCGCGCTGATCTGCAGACCGTCATGGACCAAATACCAAACTTCACGAGGCCAAAGAATAGACTTATAGACACATGTTGAGGAGTTAGTCCGTCCAGCCGGATCTGGATCCATGTATCAATGCCAGTAACTCTCCCATCCCATGATCACGCGTTGGCTGCCCCACTCTACTCGCCACTCCCCCACCCTGACAGATTCCTATGTACGCACGGACTTGTCCGGATAAATCCGAAACCGGGCAGCTTGCTGGGGCGAGCGGGATCAGAATTGGCGGTCGCTGGGGTGGGAGGGAGCCCCTCACCCAAAACTCACCGTTGGCGTCGTTGGGGCAAGCGATCAGTGCACAGTTCAACTATACCTTCTACCTATCTACCATCTACACCACCTTCTACACCCACGGCTATAGGTCCTCATTGCCTACAGCTAGCCACTCGCCGACCGTCGAAACAGGAGAGCCGGTACTTTCACAGCGAGACGACTGCCGCCCTTCCCGCTCTCCGCCTCCACTTTCCCCTTCTCCTCCCCTTTCCCAGGTCCACCGAGCTCGACGCTTCATCATGGCTTCGGCCGCTCCCAGTGGAAGCGCCCCAAACGGGAGCAATCCTATATATGACCACGAGAAGGTCGCTCATTTCATCGGTGAGTTGACTGAACCAGCCAGCTGAGCTTGGATCACAAAGAGAGGTTGGCCGTGATGGGACCCGGAGGTCGTGTGCAGTAGAAGCAGGGGATCCCAGAAGATCGCAACTGCGACATGTAATCTTGGCTGACTATCAGGCGCCAACACTCTCGCGGTCGCTACCCCCAGTCGAGTCACCGACTTTGTCAAGGCCCAAGGCGGCCACACCGTCATCACCAAGGTAAGCCAACTCCTCGTTCAGATCTGATTCCAGGTCCTGATCGCCAACAACGGTATCGCCGCCGTCAAGGAGATCCGCTCCATCCGAAAATGGTCCTACGAGACCTTCGGCTCGGACCGCCAGATCGAGTTCACCGTCATGGCAACACCGGAAGATCTCCGCATCAACGCCGAGTACATTCGCATGGCGGACCGCTTTGTCGAGGTCCCAGGAGGAACCAACAACAACAACTATGCCAACGTCGACTACATTGTAGACGTGGCAGAGCGCGCAGGCGTTCACGCTGTTTGGGCTGGATGGTGAGTCTCCCCCATAACCTGGCTGACGACAGGGGCCACGCTTCCGAGAACCCTCGTCTCCCCGAAACTCTGGCCAAGTCCAAGATCATCTTTATCGGTCCTCCCGGCTCCGCCATGCGCTCCCTCGGTGACAAAATCTCTTCCACCATCGTCGCCCAACACGCCAAGGTCCCATGTATGCCCTGGTCCGGTACCGGCATCTCCGACACTATGCTCTCTCCCCAGGGCTTTGTCACCGTCCCCGAAAAGGCGTACAACGATGCCTGCGTCTTTACGTGGGAGGAAGGACTCAAGAAGGCAGAGGAGATTGGGTGGCCAATCATGATCAAGGCGTCGGAAGGAGGTGGAGGAAAGGGTATCCGAAAGGTCGAAGAAGCAGACAAGTTTAAAAACTGCTTCCAAGCGGTCGCTGGAGAAGTGCCAGGTGAGCAAAAGTATAATCATCGCTGACTTTAGGCTCACCGATCTTCATCATGAAGCTCGCTGGCTCGGCGCGCCACCTCGAGGTCCAGCTCATCGCCGACCAGTACGGAAACGCCATCTCCCTCTTTGGTCGTGACTGCTCGGTCCAGCGGCGACACCAGAAAATCATCGAAGAGGCGCCCGTCACCATCGCCCGTCCTGAAAAATTCGAGGAAATGGAAAAGGCGGCGGTCCGACTGGCCAAGCTGGTCGGCTACGTCTCGGCGGGAACGGTCGAATACCTCTACTCGCACAGCGACGACTCGTTCTACTTCCTAGAGCTCAACCCCCGTCTCCAGGTCGAGCACCCCACCACGGAAATGGTTTCTGGCTGCAACATCCCCGCTGTCCAGCTCCAAATCGCCATGGGTATCCCTCTCCACCGCATCCGCGACATCCGTACCCTCTACGGTCTCGACCCCCACGGGATCACCGAGATCGACTTTGACGGCTCGGACCCCAACTCGGTCAACACCCAGCGCAAGCCCATGCCCAAGGGTCACGTTGTCGCTTGCCGTATCACTGGTGAGAACCCTGACGCCGGGTTCAAGCCATCGTCGGGTAACCTCACGGAGCTCAACTTCCGGTCCAACTCGAACGTCTGGGGATACTTTTCCGTATCCTCAGCGGGTGGTCTCCACGAGTATGCCGACTCGCAATTCGGGCACATCTTTGCCTACGGGATGGAGCGGTCAGAGGCGCGCAAGTCGATGGTGGTGGCGCTCAAGGAGTTGAGCATCCGGGGAGAGTTCCGCACGACCGTCGAGTACCTCATCAAACTCTTGGAAAAGCCGGAATTCGAAAACAACACCCTCACTACTCAATGGCTCGATTCCCTCATTGCCGAGGGAATGACGTCGGAACGGCCAGACACCACCGTCGCCGTCATTTGCGGAGCCGTCGTCAAGGCCCACATTGCCTACGAGGCGTCCTTTGCCAAGTACAAGTCGGTCTTGGACAAGGGGCAAGTCCCGCCCAAGGACACCCTCCAGACCTTCTTCAAGAGCGAGTTTATCGTGGACGGGGTCCGATACTCGTTCGCCATGGCCAAGGCGTCGCTCTATGCCTTTACCCTCTATCTCAACGGCGGTCGCATCTTTGTCAATTGCCGGAGCTTGTCGGACGGCGGTCTGCTCGTCTCCATGGAGGGCAACTCGCACACCCTCTACTGGCGGGAAGAGGTCGGCGCGATGGTGCTCTCCATCGACAGCAAGACCTGCATGATTGAGGACGAGCAAGATCCCACCCAGCTCCGGTCCCCCTCCCCCGGTAAACTCGTTCGGTACCTCATCGACTCGGGCGACCACGTCGACGCCGGCGAAGCCTACGCCGAGGTCGAGGTCATGAAGATGATCATGCAAGTCACCGCTGGGGAGAGCGGTATTGCCCAATTCATGAAGCAACCAGGCCAAACTTTGTCGTCTGGGGAGCTCCTCGGTATCCTCACCCTCGACGACCCCACCAAGGTCAAATTCGCCAAGCCGTTCGAGGGTATGCTTCCCACCTTTGAAAACAAGAACGGGCGGTACGGGACCAAGCCCCACCAGCGGCTCCGAGAGAACCTCGAGTTCCTCTACGACAACTTGGCGGGTTACGACAACAGCGCGTCCATCCCGGTCGCTCTCCGCACGGTCGAGGCGGCTCTCCGCAACCCAGACCTCCCCTACTCGCACGTCCAAGAGGTCCTCTCCACCCTCTCTGGCCGTATCCCCGCCAAGCTGGAAGACGAGGTCCGCGCCATCGTCGATGCTTGCCGCGCCAAGCAGATGGAGTTCCCCAGCCAGCGTCTGCGCCGGACCATCGACATCTTCGTCGAGGAAAATGTACCCGTCAAGGAGCGCCAGCAGGTCACGGCGGCCCTCACCCCCCTCGACGCTCTCATCGCGGCGTTCGCGCACGGGCTCAAGGTGCACGAGTGGCAGACCTGGACGGGCCTCCTCACCTACTTTGCCGACGTCGAGGAGCCCTTCGCGGACAGCTCGCGGACCCAGGAAAACGTTATCCTCAAACTCCGCGAGGACAACAAGGATCTCGACCAGGTCGTCCGTCTCGTCCTTTCCCACAGCAAAATCGCTTCCAAAACCAAACTCATCCTCTCCCTTCTCGACATTATCAAATCTGAATCCCCCTCGGCCTCCATGAACCCCGCGTCCGGCGTCATCAACGTCCTTGCCCGGCTCTCGGCGATCGACTCGCGGCCAATGGCCAAGATCTCCCTCAAGGCAAAAGAGGTGATGATTGTGGGGAGCTTGCCGAGCTACGAGGAGCGCTTAAAGCAGTTGGAAAAGATCCTGCAGGCGGCGGTGACCACGAGCTACTATGGGGAGCAGGGTGTCGGCCACCGCATGCCCGCCAGCGACGTCCTCAAGGAGGTCACAGACTCGCGCTACACCGTCTACGACGTCCTTACCACATTCTTTGACCACGAAGACCCCTGGGTCGCCATTGCGGCGATTGAGGTGTACATTCGTCGTGCGTACCGGGTCTACAACGTCATGCACCTCGACTATGAGCCCGGATCGCAAGGCGGTGATCCTCACGTCCTCACGTGGCGGTTCAAGTTCGGCGGACGCACCATGGAGCCCATTACCCCTCGGGTCGACTCTTCTCGGGACGTCTCTCGCATCGCTAGTATGAGCGATCTCAACTACATCGTCAACAGCAAGTCGGAACCGACTCGCTTCGGTCTCATGACCAGCTACAACCACCTCGCGGACCTCGAGCAGGGGTTCGAGGGGATGCTCGGCCGGTACCCCGCCTTCAACCACGACGACTTTATCGAAAAGTACGGCAAGGAGGCGCGTCACCCTCACGTAATGAATGTCGCTCTGCGGCTGATTGACGTGGAAGACATGTCGGACTCGGACTTGACGGAAAAGTTCAACACGGTGGTCAACACGCATGGCGCCAAGGTGGTGGGCAAGGGGATCAGGCGGGTGACGTTCGTCATCTGCCGCAAGGACCAGTACCCGTCGTATGTGACTTTGCGCGAGTCGGCGGATGGGAGCTGGAAGGAGGAAGAGGCGATCCGAAACATCGAACCTGCTTTGGCATACCAGCTGGAGCTGGGACGTTTGTCCAACTTCAAAATCACCCCCCAGGCCTCGTCCAACAGGCAGATCCACGTCTACCACGCCGTTGGTCGCGAAAACACCTCGGACGTTCGCTTCTTTGTCCGCGCCCTGCTCCGGCCGGGCCGCTTCCTTGGCAACATGAAGCAAACGGAATACCTCATCTCCGAGACGGACCGGCTCGTCGGCGATATCCTCGACACCCTCGAGGTCGTTAGCAGCCAGTACCGCCAGGCCGACTGCAACCACATCTCAGTCAACTGCGTCTACAGCCTCAACGTCACATTTGACGACGTCCAGGAGGCGCTGGCAGGGTTCATTGAGCGCCACGGGAAGCGGCTCTGGCGGTTGCGGGTGACACAGGCGGAGATCAGGGTGGTCATTGAGGACGACGAGGGGAATGTCGTGCCCATCCGAGCATTCATCGAGAATGTCTCTGGGTTCGTCGTCAAGTTTGAGGCGTACCAAGAGGTCAACAACGAGCGGGGCGTCTCGATCCTAAAGTCCATCGGAGAACAGGGCCAATTCCACCTCCAACCCGTCAACTTCCCCTACTCTACCAAGGAATCCCTCCAGCCCCGTCGATACCAAGCCCACATCGTCGGTACCACCTACGTCTACGACTTCCCTGACCTCTTCCGTCAGGCCATCGAAAAGGCCTGGCGCCAGCTCATGGTGTACCTCCCCCACATCAAAATCCCCACCGATCTCCTCACGGCATCCGAGCTGGTCCTAGACGAGCATGGCGACCTCATCGAGGTCAACCGGGCACCCGGCCTCAACACCTGCGGTATGGTCGCTTGGGTCTTTACCATGAAGACTCCCGAGTACAGCAAGGGCCGTCGCGTAGTCGTCATCTCCAACGACATCACCTACCAGATCGGTTCGTTCGGCCCCATCGAGGATGAGTACTTTTACAAGGCCACCCAGTACGCCCGCCAGCACGGTCTCCCCCGTGTCTACCTCTCGGCCAACTCGGGCGCCCGCATCGGTCTCGCAGACGAGGTCATGGCGCTCTTTGACGTCGCCTGGAGAGAACCCGGCAAGCCTGAAAAGGGCTTTGACTATCTCTACCTCACCCCCGAAAAGCTGGACAAGCTCAACGAGATCGGAGAGGGATCCGTCATCACCAACGAGATTGAAGTCAACGGGGAGCGTCGCCACCAACTCACCTCCATCATCGGTCTCAAGGACGGACTCGGTGTCGAGTGTCTCCGCGGTTCCGGTCTCATCGCCGGAGAGACAAGTCGGGCGTATGACGACATCTTTACCATCTCCATGGTCACTGCTCGGTCGGTCGGTATTGGAGCGTACCTCGTCCGGCTCGGCCAGCGTGTCGTGCAGGTAGAGGGTCAGCCTATTATTCTTACCGGTGCCCAAGCCATCAACAAGGTGCTCGGGAAGGAGGTGTACACGTCCAACATCCAACTCGGAGGGCCGCAAATCATGTACAAGAATGGTATCTCGCACTTGGTGGCGGCGAGTGATCTGGACGGAGCGTTGCAGATCGTCAACTATCTCATGTTCATCCCTGGTAAGTCTTGCCGTGGTCGACTGGGATGAAGCTGACATTCAGACCGCCGAGGACGAGCAATCCCTATCCTTCCCACTGGCGACTCTTGGGACCGAGCGGTCGAATGGAAACCTACCAAGGCGGCGTACGACCCGAGGAACTTTTTGGCGGGATGTTACGAGGCAGGAGAGGACGGACAGCAGGCGTGGAAGTCGGGTATCCTGGATAACGGATCTTTCTTCGAGACCATGGGTGAGTAACTCTAAAGACTTTGCTGACTTTAGGCGGATGGGCCCAGACCATTGTCACTGGCCGAGGACGGCTCAACGGTATCCCCGTCGCCGTCATCGCTGCCGAGACCCGCAGTATCGAGCGGGTCGACCCAGCAGACCCAGCCAACGAAAACTCTACCGAGAGCCGCGTCTCGCTCGCCGGTACGGTCTGGTTCCCAGACTCTTCCCGCAAAACCGCCACAGCCATCGAGGATGCCAACCGGGAAGGTCTCCCCTTGGTCATCTTTGCCAACTTCCGTGGTTTCTCGGGCGGAATGTCAGATATGGCGCAGGCGATCCTCAAGGAAGGAGCCAAGATTGTCGACGGGCTCAGCAGCTACAAGCAGCCCGTCATCGTCTACCTCGTACCCAACGGAGAGCTCCGCGGTGGAGCGTGGGTCGTTCTCGACCCATCCATCAACCCCGAGTACATGTCCATGTTTGTCGACAATGACTCGCGGGGTGGTGTGCTGGAGCCGGAGGGTATCGTCGAGGTCAAATACCGCAAGCCCAAGGTGCAGGCCACCATGGCTCGCCTGGATCCCGAGTACGCCCAGCTCAAGGCGGCGGCCGAGGACACCAAGCTCAGCGCCGAGGACAAGCAGGCGGCACTCGCCAAGCTGGAAACGCGGGAAAAACACCTCGGTCCCTCGTACCAATCCATCGCGCTCGAATTCGCCGACCTGCACGACCGGTCCGGACGTATGAAGGCCAAGGCCGACTGCGTTCCCTGCGACTGGGAGAACTCTCGTCGGGCCATCTACTGGTCGCTTCGCCGGAAGCTCTCTGAAGTGCGCATCATGAAGAAGCTCGCGGCGGCCAACCCGGCGCTCACGTACCCCGAGCGCAAGGCGATGCTGGAGGAGTTTGTCCCCACCGAGCTGGTGGCGGATAACGAGGTGGCGGCGTATATTGAAAAGTCGGGCGATGCGATCGAGTCGTATGTCCAGCAGGTCAAGGATGCGTGGGTGGCGGATACGATTTTGGGATGGGCGGGGTCGAATCAGGAGGGAGTGCTCGGCGGGTTCAAGCGGATCTTGGACACGTTGAGTCCAGAAGAGAGGACCAACCTTATCACTCAGTTGTCGGGTGGGGCGCAATAGACAAGCAGGGTCATATCAGTGGGCAAGTAGGGCGATATCATTTTTCCTTTATAGCGTTTAGCTTAGCTTTCTTTGTGTAGTAATTTCGTACGTTAGGCGAAGCATCGGATGATAGGATACATAGACATCTCAGAGAGTAGATAGTCGATCATGCAATACAAGGTTCGGATCATCGTCAAGCAGTGTCGACTTTAGCACTGATAGCTGGCAGATGGTCCTAGCGCAGAGTGTGTTGCATGGTTGATATCGAGTACAATTGATGCAGGAACATCCGCTATGGCTGCTCCCCTCTTGCCCAGGCGAGTATCCCCATCTTCCCTCAGATCATGTCGACGGCGGAGGTGCAGATCCGAATACCGCCTGTACAGGAGCCGCCGTTGGAGCCGAAGCCGGTACAGGAGCAGGGACGATCGGGGCCGCAGCTGACGCTGGAGTGGCGGTCGAGCCTGCCATAGGCGGTCTTGGAACAATACCGGCCGCCGGCGCGGTGGCTCCGGCATTGGGCGTGCCGGCCCCTTGCTTCGACTCGGGGACTGCGATATTCAACGCCTTGGCTAAACCCTGCAATTGCGCCGCGGAGCAAAGGGAGAGTTGTCTGAACGTCAGCTCTGGATTCCCCATCGTGAGAATAGCTTACACTTGGATATAGATATCCCCCGTGGATGCGCCAGGTACCGGTCCCTTGATGACCGCTGGGAACAGTGGTTGAGGGGGATGAGGTACACCGCCTGGCGGTACAGGCGGACGAGGCATGGCGACGAGACCGAGGCGTATCAATTGCGGGATAGCGTGGATCTTCATGACGAGGGTTATGGGGGGTTGACCTGGTTTCTGGGCGTTGGCTACGCCCGCTGGGCCGGGAGGTCGAGGCGTGCCTGCAGCCGTGCCAGGTGTGGAGATGCCATTGGGTGTGGAAGGCTTGGAGGGACCAGCGCCGGGGGTAGTAGGCGCGAGAGGGGCAGGCGTGGAGGGTGCGGATGGAGATGCAGCCTTGGCCGAGGGCGTAAGGGGTGCAGGCGACGTAGGCGTACTTGTCGAATGTTGAGTGAGGACCGTCTCTCGCAGGGATGGTGCCCCGCCTCGCGCGGTTCCCCTTCCTCTCGGTCTCCCGCGCCCTCTCGGCGTCCCCCTCGTCCCAGATCCCGCCGCTTCTGCTGCTGGCGATTTGGCCGGCGTAACTGCTTTCGCCTTCTCCTTCTCCGCCGCCGCTTTTGCAGCAGCAGCAGCAGCAGCCTCTCTCCGCTCCTCAGCCACCTTCCTCTCTGCAGCCTCCCTCGCCTCCCTTGCCACCTTGGCGTCGGCAGCCTCCTTGGCTCTCCGCGCATCATCAATCGCCTTTTGCTTCCTCCGCTCTTCCTCATCCCTGATGCGCTTCCGTTCCGCCTCCGCCCGCCTGATGGCATCCTGATGTCCCTTCCAGGCAGACTCGAGCCCCTGCAGTCGGGCCTGATGCGGGGCGAGCTCGGTCCGCATCTCCTCGGCCGAGTCTTTCGTCATATTGATCAGGGAGACCATATCGAAGGATCTGCGATTTGCCTGCAATGTCAGCTGCTTAGATGTTCAATGCAGGAATCAACTCACACTTCCCTCTCTCCGCCTTGCGCTCTGAAACCGCTCATTGATCTTCCGTATCCGCCCAACCAGTATCCCCGCTTCTACCTTCTCCCGCTCCTCTACCGCTTGTGCATTCTCCTTACTTCCATCCGCCAACTCTTCGTCGTGTATCTGCCAGACATGCCAGGGTAATAAGCGGTTCACCATATCTTCGTAGGATGTGAACCGGGCCGGGGAGGGGTTGGTCGCTTCTTCCTGGTCCAGGAGGAGGGATAGGTGCAGTCTGCAGCTGTCAGCTTTCGTCCATCCACGGTCTGGGTGGCGCAGCTCACTCAGTGCTACGCTGCTCGAGATGTTCCTGCTCTTCCCTCGTGTACCCCTGCGCGTCCCACTTTCGTTTCCGCCTCATTGGCTCCCTGATGCTCGTTGGAATTGACGATGGACCAGGGACAGCGTTGATCTGGCCTGGAAAGGAGCCCGGCGTCGAGGGGCGTGACACCTGGATAGGCGTGCCGCCATTGGATCTTGGAAGGGTTGGTCGGTTCGGGACCGAAGGGAAGGAAGAAGGGGTAGGGAAGGATGTTGAGCCCGTAGTTGGCGTTGATGGACCGCCAAAGGCCGAGGGAAAGCCGCTCGCGGACGCGCCTGACGGACCGTACGCCGAGCCCAATGGACTCCGGACGCCTGTGACACCATACGCTGGAGGAGGTCGCAGTGGACCCCCTACACCCCCCGAAGCAGGCGAGTACCCATTCGAAGGGGTGTATGGGGATACCTGAGCCGGGAATCCCGGATTCGGACTCGCTGATTCTCCGCCGTTGATAGGATAGGGGTACCTAGAAGCTATATCTGTGGATATAGGGATAGACATAGCCGCGCGGTGCTTTGACGTGACTGTGAGCCAGGGTGGACGTCCTCCACCTTCTGTTTGTTGATAGTCCTCGGGAATAGGCCAAGCAACCAGAGCCCAAAGGCGGAAAATCACTTCATCCTGCAAGGGACGGGGACGGAAGCAAATTCGGCTGTAAGAGTTCTGATCCGTGCGTATACTTCTAGGCCTTTTGGGTGTGGGATGGTCTTTTGCATCGTCACAGCTCATCTACGCTCTAGGCATAAGGCCCGCTCTTCCGCTTCAGGAGACAGTACTTGCCCCACTCACGCCCGACTTGCAGACCGCCGACAAAGGGCAGGTCGACCAAGCGGGACCACCAGGCCGAGCTCGGCCCGTCGAGGAAAGGCAGGCAGATCTCGACGTCCCATGCCGGGTCGGACACCCAGTCTGGCTCAAGCTTGGTGTACGTCTGCGAGGGTGCCTGGAGCGCAACGAGGTAGTCACACTGCTCAGCTTCGACCTGAAAGGTCAGCTATAAGCTTTGCCTGCGTTTGATAGCTCACAAAGGTGCCCGGCTCCTGTGAAGCCTTGTTCTCCCCGTTGAACCGTCCCAGCCTGACTGTCCTTGTCTCTTCCCTCGGCCAGACACCCTCAGCCTCCGCAGACGGCTCCCAAGGACGGGGCATCATCCCGTCAAACTCTGTCCTGATAAGGTTGACATCGACGCCATCCGGCACGAGGTAGCTCCCGGGGTATCGATACCATTCTCCCGCATAGCACAGCCTGACGCGCGGTTCCAAGTCGAGCAGGGCCGAATAGTCCCAGTGGGGCTTGACGATCTCTCCGGGACCGGGTTGGTATCCCTTCGGGGGCATCTGCGGGACGTAGCCTTGAGAGCCGAGAACCGAGGGGAGGGATTTGGACTGGAAGTGGAACGCGAGGTCAAGAGGGGCGTGGTAGAAGTTGTAGGTGGCCCAAATGCGTCCGAGGGAGAGGACTCCGGGGAAGAGGACGAGGAAAAGGGAGATGTTGGAGAAGAGGGCGCTTTTGCTCGCCTGATGGTCAGCGCCTACCCAATCTCCCCTGCTCAAGACCTACTCGGTAGGGCGACTTGGTGAGGTGGATAAAGTACGTCTCCACCCAGCCTTTGACCAGGAAAACGGCCACAGCGGCGTTAAAGCACAAGAGCGGGTACGCCGGGAAGAAGAAGCGCTCCTCCTTGTGCGGCTGGGCCGACATGATCCCGAGCCAGATGTAGAACGGCAGCAGCCGCATGACCAAAAGAGTATACGGCGACGTCTCGCCCGGAGCTGGCTTTTGCTGCCTCTTGCCGAGTCTCCGATTGTCGTACAGGTACGTCACGAGAAGAGCCGGAAGAGAGATGAGCGCGAGAGGGAGGAAAAAGTTGAAGTTGAGGAAGAGGTTGGCAAGGTAGTAGTACCATGGGGATGTGCCGTAGAGGTTGGGTCCGCCTTTGGAGAAGAGATTGTAGGTGAGGATGTTGAGCGTGGGGAGGGTGGAGCGGCCGTACGCCCACGAGTCTATAAGATAGACAGGGATCTACCAGTTAGTAGAGGCTCTGCAAAGCTTGACTCACTGTAATGGTCGCTCCGAGAGCTACAGCCCAAGTCATCGTTCCGAACCTCTTCGCTCTCAGGCTTTCTCTCGCCCCACCAGTAGCAATCTCTCCGCCGGTCAAGAACAGCTGTTCAATGACAAAGGGGATGCCCAGAGCTGCGCTGAATGGCCAGCCGATGATGGCGCCTGCCGCTGTCCAGACGGTTGCTTTGACCGCACGGCTCCGGCCAGTGTCGGTCGAGGTGGCAGGGTGGAAGCCGTACGAAAGCGCCAGGAGAGTGGTATACATGGTGAATGTGCTCGGCAGGAACGCTGCGATCAGCTGCAGGCTGAATGGGCGGCATCTGACAACTCACCGACCGCCGAGCCGAACATGCCCGCACTAAACAGCATCCCAAACAGCAGGTATCGCCCTACCCGCTCATTGACCGTATCCACGACAGCGCGGTAGAACTTGGCTTCGCAGAAAGAAGAGAACGCAGCAAGGAACATCCTCAATGCAAGGAACTCCCCGCGCTGCTTGTCAGCTGTGGCTCCCCCTCCTCGCGGGTAGCTCAGCTCACCTTCGTCAATCCCAGCATTCGCGGTATCACCCTCGCAAATGGCCAGTGCAGCAGCAGATACGCCCAGCCGCGGACCGCGAATTGCGGGGAGAGCTCCCATGTCTGGAAGCCAGTATTGTGGTGGAAGTAATGCAGCGGCTCCCAGAAGTTGAAAACTAGAGCGTCAGCGGATAGTTCTTCGTTTATGTCGCAGCAGATTTACCCTCATCACAGTCAGATATGATACTGTACATGGCGCCTAATGACCTGATGAGCCATAGCATCCGGAATGCGACCGATAATGAGGGAACGAGCGGGCCTCGGTTTTGCCTGACTGAGTCAGCTGACGCTCTCTCACACATCCAAGAAGCGGCTAGCTGGCTTTATGACGCACCGCCCGACTTGATCCTGCAGCAGTCCCTGGTGCCGCCTCTTCCACCCCTGCGGCGCCATCGACCCAAACTGGTCCTTCTTGGGCGGCTCGGGTACTTTGGGGACACGAGCATTGGGGCCGGTCGTGGGGTAGCGAAAACGGACCGACTCTGTGCCTGGGAGTGTCGCCATCTTGGACTAGTACCTGTAGGCGGGATAGTAGGAGCGGAGAGGAATGACTGGGCAGGTACTCTGCTGGTTCTTGCAATTGGCCATGTATGAATGTAACAGCTTTGTCAATGCGCGAAACGTGGACGTGTTTTCGAATTAAGTTTCGCCCGATGCCCGAACAGTCTAACGTGCACGAGCGCTTCGCCGACTGAAATTGCGGCAAAGACATATAGGACACGCTTGCACGAGCGGCTGCAGGACGCAAACCGGAGAGCATATGATCAATGGCATTATACTATGCTGTAGCCTCTACTCCCCTTCCACCCGTCGCCATCCACTCCTTGGTCTTTCCACACTTTGGGTTCGTGCACCCCTGACACCTCAGCCCCAATTGCTTCCCCGTCGGCTTCCCCGTCATGTCATACTGATCCAGATGCCCCTTGATCAGATCCGCCAGTGCCCGCACAAAAATGGGCGAGTCATTCAGACTCTCCGCCCGCTTCAGATCGACGCCCAGCTTGTCCGCCTCCTCCTTGACCTCAATGTCCAGCTCGTACAGCGTTTCGATGTGGTCCGACGTGAAGGCGATGGGGACGAGACAGATGTCTTTTTGACCGTTCTTGGCAAAGCCCTCGATAGAGTCGGAGGTCTGCGGACCTTGCCATGCCTTGGGGCCGACTTGGGATTGCCATGTAAGCCGGTACCTGATCATTAGCTACACCCGTGCTTAAGTATTCGGCGGCCTTACGGGTTGGAAAAGCCGAGCTTCTCCATGACAGAGTACACTGTCGCCGCCACTTCCGCCACGTACGGATCCCCTCTGTTGACAATCTCCAGTGGGAGCGAGTGCGCCGAGAACAGCAACACGACGTTATCCCGCTTTGCCTCCGGATACTGCTTGAGCGCCGCCCGAATATTCTGCGTGACCGCCTCGACGAGTCCGGCGTGTTTTGGCCACCGATCCAGAATGCTCCATTCCACCTCCCCATTCCCTCCCCAATTCTCCGCCCCCCGCTTGTTCTTGACCGACTGCACAAACAGCTCGTTCAGACTACTTCCGGTGGTGGAGCACGAGTACTGGGGGTACTGGCTGAACGCCACCGCCCGCGTCACCCCATCCGCCCGCATCTCCGCCAGACAGTCCTCTGTCAGGGGCTTGGCGTACCGGAAAGCGACGTATGGCTTGTGCGGCGCACTCTCCGGCCGCAGCTCATCCAGCAGCTCGCACATCTGCCGGCCCTGCTCCCTCGTCCATTTGAGAATGGGCGATCCGCCGCCGATCTCGGTGTATTGCTTTTCGATTTTAGGGGTGCGGCGGCGGGCGATCAAGGGAGCGAGGATGCTTTGCATGGGAAGGGGGATGAGATCGCGGTCATGAAAGAGTCGCGAGAGAAAGTCGTGGACCTCGGGGATGGTAGACGGGCCGCCCATATTCATCATGACAATTCCAGTGGGACTGGATATCAGCTGATGGTCCTTGTGCACCGCAGGTCCTCCGCTCCGCCCCTCGGTCTTCTACGCATCGTCGGGATCAACTCACGGTTTGGCAGAAGTTACGGGGTGGACCGTAGCAAGACTGCGGATGGCAGTCGTCGAGCCCGATGCGGGCGTCGAGCGAGCCAGCAGGCCGGCGGATTGACGAAGGCTCATGATGCTCTGAGTTGTGAGAGAGTGAATATGAGATAGAAGAGCGATCGCCTTGAAATCAGCGAATGACGATCTCGCCTTGACAGCCTTGCCGTAATGGTCACATTCCTGGGATAAAAAGCTGAAAGTAACGGTGAAACAATTCGCCTTACCAAGAGAGAGGTCCATGAGCACAGGTCCAGCTTTGACTTCACTACTACCACTACATACAGCAACAGGGGCACGATGGCAGCAGCGACGAGGCTACAGGCAGAGGATTACCTATGGTGGGCCATCTCCAGATCGAGATCAGACCGCAGCTCACACATAGGCCGCTCACCACCCTCCGCGACACCCTACTAAACCCCGGCGCGACGCTTCCCTCCCCCAAGCTCCGCCTCATCTTCACACACCACATCGACCGTCTCCGTACACCCTGGCGGCGCGCCAAATCCGGCTCGAAAGACGGCCCGAATGTATTCTCTCAGCCCACCGTCTCACCGGCTCCAGGCGTCCAGGTGGACATTGACGAGCCGAGCCGAGCTCTGGCGTCCAAGCTGGCGGAGTGTACAGGCATAGCCGGCGCGGAGGCTTGTCTTTTGGTCAAGAGCTATACGACATACGTGCAGGATGGCTCTGCAACAGAGCTGGATGCGCTGCTGGTGTGGTACTCGGAGGAATGCCTCGCGCTGGCGCAGATTGCGCTGGAGATACTGCATCTGGCAGCGCAGGCCGGGGACAGCGAGTGGGTGAAGCTCGCGCAGGACATCAGGGAGGAGATGATGCCGGATGCGGCAGAGTATATGGAGGGCCTGTTCAAAGGCTGGGCGGGATTGGCGCAGCAGGGACTTGGGGAGAAGCAGGCACGGCATGCGCTGTTCTGGTGGGTTCATCTTCGCCTTCCCGAGCCATCATAGCTTATATCAGGTCATCACATCAGCTCCGACTTCAATCCGCCGTCCTCGAAATTCTCTTCCTGGTGCTATACCAAACGCCCGAGCGCCCCATCCTCATCTCCGAAGGGCTCGTCCGCGGCTTCATGGCGTCCAGCTTTGCGACCGAACAAGCCAACCGGGATGTCTGGGAATCGGACACTGAATGTCAGCGGCTATCGGTACGGATACGTGACCTTGCCCTCCTCATCGTGCTCGACGCTATCGGTATCGGCGGTATCGTCGAGCCAGGCGAGAACGAGCTCGTCAGTGCTCTGCGCAACTCCAAGGATGCCATACTATCCCTCCATCTCTTCATCAATGATCAGACGTCCGGTCTTTCGCCTGGACCCGCATCTTCCGAAGGCGGAATGGCCCCAGTCTTCCCCATGACGCCCCTCCCGGCCGTCTCGCTCGCATGGGCAATCCTCCTCCATTCCCTCCCGCCAGATCGGATGCCGCCAAATACGGGCTACGAGGGACAGGCGTATCAGGAAATGGCTGCTCGGTCGCTAGCAGAGAGCTCGGGGCTCTTCCCTTGGCTCGGAGAAATCCTCACCGGTCCTCTGCTTTCGGTGTCACCCCTCGGTGCCTCTCGGGACCGGAACGAGACCAGCCGACGCAAAGTCCTCAAGGACCTCCTCATCGGTCTCGTAAGCATGATGCGACTCTCCAACCTCCCGGACCGTGCAGACTTGTACAACGTATGGGACATGCTTTTCTCGACCGGCTCCCCATCCACCTCCCTTGCCCTTTCCGCCGACTACTGGGTCGCGGATCATCCCCAGCCACTACGCCGTGCCCTCCTCGATGAGTCGCGGTACCCCTACGACCCAGCTCTCCTCCCTAACATCCTCACATCGCTGTCCGGCATAACGGACGAGAATGCTGCCGAGGCGGAACTGTTCGATGTCCGCCCAATCCAACGGGTAGCAGAGTACTTTTCCAACCTCGAGGCGGTCGTCATACCGACAGAAACGGGATGGTATCGCTTTCTCAACAAGGATGCAGAGGGGCGGATGCTGGTAGAGGCGGCGAGGGATTTGGTGCTGCCAGGTGGAAAGGTCGTTCACGCGGGCAGCCAGGGCGTTGTGCTCGAGGAGAAAGGGGCGAGACATCTGGTCACTTGGCAAATCCCGCTGCCGGGGTGGACAATCATGATAGAAGTCATGCGCGCTGCATCAGGATTGCGAGATCTGAATCAGCGGGATGCGGCAGTATCGGACAACTGCGTCTGCCTGTCGGTGGCGGATCTAGGCGGCAAGGGAGGCCTGCTTGCCGGATTGCGGCTCCTGAGCTGCGTTCTCAAGCCAATAGGGGGGATCGCGGCGCGACTCCTCACGCTCATCCCCCCCACCGGCGGGCATGCGGTCTATACCATTCTCGAAATCGTCTTCCAGACTTTACAGCAAATCGAGGCGGACGACTACATCGCTGCAACTTTATCCCTCGACATCCTCACTTCCCTCCTCCACTTCCATCCATCACTCGTCTCCGCCGCCATCCGCTCGACCGGCTTCTTTGGCGTTCCCGGCCGGAAGCGCGGTCTGGCATACTCGCTCGTCCACGCTGACTCCGCCCGAGGGACACACGAGATCACGGCCAGTCTCCACTGTGTCGTCTCTGCTATGGTCGCCTGCTCGTTCCAGGACCAAGAGGACGACGCAAGCTTGCGCGCGGCGGTACATCACACCTTTGCGGACGCGTGGTCCATGTTTGCCGGGTGGCGATATGCCGAACCTACCCGGAAATACGTCCTCGCCTCGAGACTGTGCGAGCTGTACGAGACTATACTGTCCCACCCTACCGAGGCGGATGGTATCACCCTCACTGCCGCTGCTCAGGCCACCATTGAGGTCTTCATCACGTCCGCATCAACCATTACCTATCGTCCCATTGTCGAGCTGCTCGTGCAGGGCCCGGCAGTCGCTCAACGTATGGCGGCAAACCACCAGGTTGGAGAAGCCGCGGCGGTCACTCGGGCCGTCGAGGCTGCCATCAACCTCTTATCGGCCTTACTGCGTGTATCTATAAAGTCTGGCGTCTCGGCTGCCAACCTCCCCTTCAGCCTGTTTTCGGCTACTTCGGTAGTCGACGGCGAGAAGGTGTCGCTAGTGGAGGCTATACTGCACCTCGCAGTATCGCCAAGTACCTCCGTCCGGACACCGCTCCTCAAGCTTGTCCGGACGTTCCTCAACTCGACCGCCCTGGATCCCCGCAAGCCTAGCCTGGCGGGGCTGCTTCGGAACGCGGATACGACGTGCGCCCAGCTGTCCCGTCTCGCCGCGGAGGATGCTGCCCCGGAGCAGCGGGCTGCCTTGTGGGACCTCCTCGCTACTATCATCTCTACCCAGCCGGGATGCGCACCTGCGTGCATCGGCCTCGAATCAGCCCTTGCCGCCCCCCTCGACCTTGCTGTCACCCAGCTGTCCGCTCCGGAGACATTCGACGACATTCCTCAGGTCCTCTCTTCCGCATTGGCATTCTGTCATGCAGCGCTCATCTTCCCCTCGGCAACGTCCACCATCCCCACCCTTCGCACCAACAAGCCCTTCTGGAAAGCCATCTACGACATCGCCAGCACCTCAGTGCCCACCCCTCCTACCTTCCAACTCTCCATCCACACACCGGATTTTGCGGCCCGTATCACGTCGTACGCGTACGCCACGCAGGCGAGGGCCAACGCGGCCGCCCTGCTAGCCACGGAACTCCAGCTGCTAGGTGATGACGAAGAGAAGAGCGAGGCTTTGGACCTCATCATGGGGACCTGGCGGAATGGGGAGAGATTGGCCGAGATGGTTGGAAAGGCGACACATAGTAGTTGTGAGCCAGAGTTGCAGGCGAGGGAAGGGAAGCGGTTGGAAGTGGCCGGAATAAGAGTGGAGAGATCGCGAAGTACGCGGATGCTCTGCGAGCGGGACTATGGGATTGCCTTTCTTTATGGTGAGTCCTGCCACAGGGTATGGCTGACGGTAGATGGCAACCCCCAAGCGCGAGATCCGGACCACCAGCCGGTCGTGAACCTTGCCCTAGACACCCTCAACCTCAACTGGTCCATGCTCGAAGCGGACATTGCGCTCACGCGTGCCTTCCGGTCCTTAGCGGATAACGTCGCGAGTTGGGCAGAGGGCGACCCTCTCGCTGCCAAAACGGCACTTCGGGCTGCCGCAGTCGTCGGCGAAATCACGGCGGATGAGCGGCGCTCTGGCGACGCGATGCGCGGTGTCCACTTTGAGCGGCTGTCGATCCTCGCGGTACTCCTGCAAATCGCACTTGCCGAAGATGTCCAGGTCGACTCTGCCCCCCTCGACACCATAAGCGCCCAGGTCCGGACCATTATTGAAAACCCGGAATTCCCCCCTATCCTCTCCATGCGCCAGCCCGAACTTCCCCCCATCCACCGCCCCACCCTCGACATCCTTCAATCCCTCTTTGCCCGCCTCGCCGCCCGCCCAATGACCATCAGCATCGAAAACACCGTCGAGGTCGGCGGGTCCTTCATCCTCGAAGCGGCGGACCTCGCGCTTGACTCTGTCCGACGAGGCACTGGCGCACCGTCCGATCTCGCCCTCACCACCACCCCTCTCTGCGAGATGATTGGCCTGAAAACCACCGTCTGGCTGGACAAACTAGCCTCTTCCAACCTCATCCAGCGCTCGCTCGAGCTGGTCAATCGGGTCCGGATCCAATCTGGCAATGTCCCAGCATATCTCCCTAGCGTGCTCCTTCTCCACCTCGCACTCGCCAATCATCCCCGTGCGGCCGAGAAGCTGGCGGTATCCGGTATCCTTCCAGCTTACGGCGACAATGCTATTGCGACCGAGGCAGAGTACGGCCGTATCACGCCGGACGTCGGCGAATACTCGGTCCATTCCGCTTGGTGCGGGATGTTGCTGGTCGTCAAGACCCTGCTGGCTTCTTTACCAGACACGGCCAGCTTTGTCCGGTCGGACGTCATCCCCTTTGTCCGCCTCACGACCTTTCAAACCATAAAGAATTTGTCGTGGGATGCCGACTCGCCACTCTCCCTCCCCGCCATCCAGGAAATGAGCAGCACCATCGAGCTCTTCCACGCCATATCCACGTCGATCGGCGCAAACATCACTCTCCTTTCCGACTTTTCATCCGCTGCTCTCCCCCTCCTCGTGTCGATCCGCTTTGCCCTCAATCACCCCCGCCTCCTCTCCGCCCAAATCGCGCCATCAACGGAGGAAGAGCAGGCCGCGCTGCACAAAGAGCTGGAACATGTCGAGGCCCAGCAAGAGGTGGTTCTTGTGGACTTTGCCAAGACGCCTATCCTCGGTAGTCGGACCGCCGACCTCGTTAAGGCCGCGCGGACCGTTCTTCTCACCCTTGTCGGTTTCAGTGGGGCATGGGACGTCATGACTGGCCAAAGAGACGCGGATGAGGGGTTGGTAATCATCACCGAGGAGGAGGTCAATTCCGCCTCGGCTGATCCGGTCGGGATCATCAATGACTTTCAAAGTCTGGCCAATACCCTCTCGGACCAGATCTCCGCCACGACCGACGAGGGCACCGTGCTCCTCCGGGTATGTCATCAACTTGCAGAGGCCGGGTCGTTATTGTCAGCCTCGCAGATCCTGCTCCGACGCGCGGTTCTGCCAGAGCGGCAAGATGAGGACAGTATCATGCGGGATGACGAGAAAGTGGGGAAGGGCGGCAGAGTGAGCATCGGGAGTGGAAGTGAGCGGGATAGAGCCGAGGGGTTGCTCAGAGAGCTGGAGGGAGATTGGAGAGCGATTAGTAATGGGGCAGGGGCGGTCGGGGACCGGGCGCTCGGGAGGTGGTTGGAGGAGGGGCTGGAAAGGGCTTTTGAGGATGTGCAGGAGTAGCGGTACTGTTGATAGTAACAGTGAGGTAGCTAGCATCTAGCAGTATGTAACTATAATGTAGAATATCGACAACTGTCCTCCGATGAGCCTTGCTTCAGGCTGGCTAGTGGAAGCAACGATCATGACGAAATATCAGAAGTCATACCTGCCCCTCGCCGGCCTCCAGATGGAATACCTTGCCAGCTAAAAGACAACCTCACCTCCCTGCAAAGTCATGTCTACACGGGAATTAGCGGCGTTATCGTCCAAACATTTGGTTTCAGATTTCAGACCACCCAGCTGTCCACCTCGCTGTCTACAATCGAGCGTACTACATCTCCACTCACCACACTATATCCGCTCAGCATGCCTTGGTTGTGGTCCAGCCCGACCCTTACGGGAAACGCCAAAGCCGGTCCTTCAACGCCCTTGCAGCCGATCGAGACAGCCCCTCCTGCATCCGAGAGCTCCGCTGGACCGAGCTCCAAACGTGTAGACGAGGCACCATCCCCAGCAGCACAGCAGGCCCGATCGGTCTCAGCGACAGCGAGTGCGGCGCCAGGATCTGCTCCGGCTCGGTATGAGCGGCTCTTGAAGGATGAGGAGACATACCAGGCGAAGCAGTTCCCTTCTTTCGAGGAAGTACCGGGGTGTATGCAGCTATTGTGAGTCTGTTTATGTATGCGTGTGGAACTGGAGTTGACAGGCCAGTGACGAGTTCATGATGTGCTATGGTACATCCTATCCCTTCTCACCGAGACGATAGCTGACGTCCAGCCCTCGTGCCCCAGCTTCGATCATTCTACCGCCGAGGCGAGTTCCACGACTGTTCCTGGAAATTCCGGGACTTCAAGTACTGCCTCTCGCTCAAGTCTGAGCCGGAGGACAGGCGGGTGGAACTATGGACGAAGAGGAGGGCGGAATGGTGGGCTACAAGAAGGTTCGAGGGGAGTAGCGAGGACGTGTGGGATGTAAGAGAGTGAGTTTTCCTCTCTGGCAGTTATGAAGCGGATGTAGGTGTTGATTGGCAGAAAACCACCTGCCAACTTCCCGCCTGTATATACGGAAGAGGAAGCGGACGTCAAGATCGTGACATGAACGGCGATATCGATATCTCATGTTGTACAATGCTCCAAACGACTAACGTCTGCTTCGCTGCGGATGCGTCAGGCAGGAATCACCGATCCATGATTATGCCTTTCGGGCAAGATTCGGAGAACGATGAATGCTAATCCGCGGAGAGTCACCTGCTAACTATCCGCCTGTATATACGATGGATGAAGCGGACGTCAAGATCGTGACATGAACGGCGATATCGATATCCATGCTGTACAATAATGCACCAGATCATCACTGCGCTACTCGCTGGAGAGGGCTCAGGCAGGAACCCCCGACCTCGACCCGAACCTCGCACAATGACCGGCAGCTCATGGACTGAGCAGCGCCTCAAGCGGCTCCGTCCTTGCCCTTGCTGGCGGTCGCAGCGGACGCCTGGCCATTCGGAGCGGTAGGCGAGGTGGGTGAACCGGTGAAGCAGAGGAGGAAGCCGCGCCCCGTTTCTTGGTGTGATCGCTCTCGGCCTTCTTAGCCGCGGCCTCGAGTGCCTTCCTGTCTTTCTTGCTCAACTTGGTGTTCTGTGGTATGAGCTTAACGGACTACAGAGAGTGATGATCAGCATGTAGGCTCACGGAACTGTGATCTTTGCCCATTCTGGCTGATGTTTGTATATTGAGGACAGAGAGTTCAGTACGAGTATGTGTTATGATGGCGGTGACGAGGGCGAGTCTGGACCTTGTCTTGCTTCTATAGCTGCGGACGATGTCCAAGCTCTTTGTGACGTGCTCAGTGTTGGAACCTCTACATAAAGGAGCTCGACATTCGAGCATGATCCTTCGGCGCTCATGCCGCTTCACGGATATCAGGCCGTTCGAAACGTATTCGAGAATGAAGAGAAGGCATCCAACCTTTGACATGGCATCTTCCAAATCTCCCCTCTATCCCCTAGATTACTTCTTCCTCGGGACATTCAGATGATTCTGCGGCGCTCACGCTGCTTCTCGGATGTCAGACCAGAACGTATTCGAGAATAAAGAAGGCACCCAACCTTCGACATGGCATCTGTCGGCGCAGTCGCCCAGCGACGCGCCGCTATGCTCCTACAGCCAACACTCCCCCTCGTGACCATATGCTCTTGTCCTGGGTCAGGGGTGTAAATACCGCCCTGATGCCCGCCCCTGGGTGTCTCAAACTTGTTACCCACTTGTCCTGAATATACCAAGCCACACACCCAACACCCACACACCATGTCCAACCAATCCTCCAGCAACCCTGGTCAAGCCGGAGATCCCCGAGAAAGTCGAGACCTCGCTCGGGGGTGGCGCAAAGATCTGCGAAGGGGAGACCGTACCGTTGTTCCAAGGAATGGGGACGGGCGAGTTGAACCGCGAACCATGGACGTCCGAGAGCATACGAGCGTACTGGGCGTAAGTGAGGCCCGGCGTGTCCGGCTGGGGAGAAGCAGGGCGCGGCTGCTCAGGCTCGTCGAAGCTGGCAAGCTGGACGTCAGCACCAGTCAATCAATCAAAGGCGGACGACTCACGAACTCCGCGATCTCAGCATGGATGGCATCGTTGTACCAGTCAGGGAAAGGGACACCGGCGTGATCAGGGTTGCTGGAGGATTGGTTGGACATGGTGTGTGGGTGTTGGGTGTGTGGCTTGGTATATTCAGGACAAGTGGGTAACAAGTTTGAGACACCCAGGGGCGGGCATCAGGGCGGTATTTATACCCCTGACCCAGGACGAGAGCATATGGTCACGAGGGGGAGTGTTGGCTGTAGGAGCATAGCGGCGCGTCGCTGGGCGACTGCGCCGACAGATCTCAGAACAGGAGCACGTCGCTGGATGTCCTTGCGACGTCGCAGCGACGTCACGGCGTCGCGGCGCCGCGCCGGCGCCGACTAGATCTGAGATAGCGCTAGGTGAATATCCGGGATAGTCACTGTACGGGCCGGACAGAATTGTCTGTCCGGGTGTCCGGACACTTTACATTAGTGTCGGACTGACGGCGCTGAGTGGCGGCGAGGCAACGCCGCCACCCAAGTATCCTATAGCACATAGAGACGTGAGACGTCGTCTAGCGACGTCCCAGCGACTCGTCGGCGTCGTGTCGTCGCGTCGGTGTCGCGACGCAGCGACGCCAGCAGGACTATATAAGTAGACCTGATCGTGTCCAATGCATCTTCATTCTGCTTTTGTACTTCTACCTTCCAAACTTCAACAGATTAGAAGTCTGATCTCCCTTTTATCCCCTAAATCACTTCTTCCCCGCGACATCCCAGATGACAAGTCGCCCATCCTTACCGGCCGTGACGACCTTGCTGACCGACCCGCCGCTTCCCCACTCGTACGCCTCGATATGCGTGATCGAGTTCTGGTGGACCGTCAAAAGCAGGCCGTCCGCACCGACCTCGATCCCGCCAGAGGCACTGCCAGCGGACGAAGCGGGCCTAGCCTGACCTCTCGAGTCGGCCGTCTTGAAGGCGTTGAAGGCGTCCGAGTTGAGCCGCCCGGGTCCACCACCGCTCCCCGAGACGACGCGACCGCCGGCGGCAGGCTTGCCAGCGGCAGACTTGGAGTCGAGGGAGGTGGACATGGCCCATCCAGATTCGTCGCCCGAGAAGAGGACGGGCTGGCAGTCGTGTCCTGCCGCGACGATGGTGTTCTCCGAGACGAAGGTCAGGGAGAGGTAGGGGAGCGCCGATGTGCGAAGGGAGATCAATGCCTGAGGAGGCGCGCCGGGCGAGGACGGGTAGACGAGGTTCACCGAAGAGTCGTGCGCTGGATGTCAGCTTGGGCTAAGCAAATGCTGGCTGTACTTACCGACAAATCCGAGAATGTCACCTGAAGGCGAGAAGGCCACATCGTGCACCCAACCACCGGCAGGGCTGCTGAATTCGCCGCAGATGGTACCGAAGGGGACACGCTCACCCCACACGGTCGGCTCGGGCCTAATCATCAGTTTACACCTCAGGTCCTGTAGGCATGACTTACTTGGAGTCGATGTTCTTGATGAACGCCGAGAAGACATAAGCCTTGGACTCGGCCGTCCCCGCCGCGAGCAGGACGTTGTTCGGGTGCCAGTCGATCGAGAGGACGGTAGACCGGAGAGGCTTCTTGATATGCTTGGACACCCACCAGTTGTTCTCCTCGTCGAACGAGCAGACAGCAATGGTTCTGAAAGCTGTCAGCTCGGACATAGACAGAAGAATCTCTGGCGTTGAGCTCACCTCGCCCCGCTACCAACGGCAAACTTGTCCTCCTTCGGGCTCCACTTGACGCAAGTCGCGGCTCGGTTGATACGGAGCAAGACCAGAGCCGGCTTCCATCCTTGAGCCGTGTGGGTCCAGACGTAGGCGTTTCTGTCCTGGGAGCAGGTCACGATACGGTTGGTCTGCGGAGCCCACGAGATGGCGGTGATGAGCTTGTCGTGCTACGCAGCTGTCAGCTAATTGGCGGAATAAATCTCACAGTTCAGCTCACCTCCGATAGGGTCTGCTGAAGATCCCACGTCTCGCCAGCCTTCTTGTAGATCTGCACCTCGTTGTTGTTGGGTGAGATAGCGACCTCTGGTAAGATCATCAGCCATGTTATTGTCGGAAGAGGAAGACCGACTTACCGGTGCGGTCGGGACCGAACGCAACACCGGTCAAAGGGCCGAGAGAGAGCTGGAAGGCTTCCGGGGTGGACATGATTTCTGGTTTCTGTGGGTAAGAGGACTAGCAGTCCACTCTTACGCTGGGGTGTGGGTAAAAGCTAGGTCTGAGGAGGATATACGATGTTGCAAGGGCAGCTTGCGACTTAGCCCGCGTGCTGCGGGGTCGTCTGTCTTTCCAACGGAAGTAAGATGGAGGAATGACGTATCAGATCAGAGGAAGGCATGCTGCTTGACCCGCCTTGGGTCCCATGCTCTGTATCGTATCATGCATGGATTCCAGTGCTACTAGTGCTCTTAGATAGCTTGTTAGCAGCTGAGACGTACTGCGTACTCGAGCAGAGGCTGTCGCATGCATGAACATCGCTTCCAAGTTGCACCGCCACAGTCAGTTGCACAGTTCGCCACTCTGAGCGGGACCTTTTCCGCTGCTGGTGTTGTGCCCACCAGCCTCCTTCCTACTACACTTCACCTTGCATCTTTCAAGGCTATATATCTATAAGTCAGATCTGAAGCGTGTTTGACAGTAGGATCTACAGGAAAGATCACCATGTTCTCTTCCACGAATCCGTACGACGAGATTGTCGGTACGTCCTCCCCATCCAGCCATATCTGCTTGTCCAAGCTGACCACCCTTTAGTCAAGGCGACCGATGAGAATCTCGCATCCGAGGATTGGGCGCTAAACTTGGAAGTCTGTGATAAGGTGTCTTCGGAAGGCGCTACCGGGTGAGTCCTCGTTCGAGAAAAATGGGTCACACGCGCAGCCAGCTTACCAACGCAGAGCGCGGAATGCTGTCGCTTCGCTGCAGAAGCGATTATCACACCGGAACCCGAACGTCCAGCTATACGCTCTAGAGGTAAGTTGTCTCGGGCGTGAGGATGTAGGCCTTCGAAGCCACGGACTAGCCGAAATCCGAATGCGGTCATGGCTCTTGGGTCTCACGGGGCAGACTGCCCTCTCCACATCAACAGCTAACCCCTCGCAGCTCGCAAATACCCTTGCGCAGAATACCGGCAAGCCGCTCATGGAGGAGCTATCTTCACGAAACTGGACATCGTCGTTAGATCGGTTGGTCAATGATAGGGTAAGCATTCCAGATCTCTGATTTTGCAGACAATCAAGCTGACTCACAGGCCACGAATGCGGCAGTAAAGAAGAAGGCGCTAGGATATATCAAGGCATGGGCGAAGCAGTTCGAGGACACAAAGGAACCCAACTTGACTTTGATGTCTGAGCTGTACGACCAGCTTCGCGCAAAGAGTAAGCCCCGAAATGCGACCATGACAGCTCGACGAAGCTGATCTTCACAGACTTCTCGTTCGGCGATGCCGAGCCTGTTCCTGAAGATGCTGTGAGTGAGCTTTTACCTCTACCAAAATCAGCTGACAGGCAGGCGGACGCTCGCCGAAGACAGGAAGAGGAGGAGCTTGCGCGCGTACTCGAACTTTCAAAACAAGACAAGGGTGGCCGCAACACCACTTCACAGTCCACATATCAGCCATCCGGCTCGTCATCCTCCGCGGCCGCTGCTTCCCGTACTCAGCAGCCCGCACCTGCCGCTCAATCCTCTTACCAGCCATACCAATCGTCATACGCGAACAACACCCAGGCTGGGGCTGCACCTGCCCGAGCATCAGAGCCCGAGCCAGCCCCGCTAGACGTCAATACCGCGACTCGCGTCAGGGCGTTGTATGCATTCTCCAGCGTAGAGGTGGGAGAGCTGAACTTTGAGCGGGGAGACGTGATCAAGGTGCTGGATAGGGGGTTCAAGGAGTGGTGGCGCGGAGCATGTAATGGAAGGATTGGTGTAAGCTGTCCACGCCATCTCCTTCGACGGGCGACACAGCTGACCCTCAGATCTTCCCAGTCACCTATGTCGAGGCGCTCGCAGAGCCGACTGCTCGCGAATTGCAGGACGAGGCACAAGAGGAAGCTAGAGTGTTCGCATCGCTCGGTTGGTTTACGGCTTGTGTATACTTCCAGCCTGTCAACTGATGATCCAGGCTTAGTTGATCAGCTCCTCCAGACGCTCAAGTCAATTGATCCCGCTCGCGGGGATAGGCTGGATGACCGACCCGAGGTGGAGCAAATGTATCAGGCAAGCGTAGGATTGCAAGGGCAAATCAACGCCTTGATTAAGAAGTATTCCGATCAGAAGGGTCAGTTTCACTTGGCTGGTCCTTGATCATAAGCTGACTGGACCAGCCGAGCTCGAGCATATGAATGCCAACTTCCTCCGAGCTATGAAGCAGTATGAGGAACTTCGCTCCCCTCCCCAACAATGTTCGTTGCGCGCTTTTGAACAGATATAATTAGGGACATAGCTGATGAGTACAGCATACTTCCCTCCCCCTCAACCCGCGCACGACCCCTACGCCCAGGCTCAACATCCAGGCTATCCTCAACAGCCTCAGCCGCAGCAACACCCCTCCCAGCCCATCTATAGCCCCCAACATGCCCCTCAGCAACAGGTGCATCCCGCTCAGTACGCTCCCCAGCCCACCCAACAAGCCTTCCCTGCTCCCCACCCGTCCGTCAGCGTCACCAACCTGCACGCCCAAGCGCCCGCCGCTTCGCCGGACGCGTACTACGCCCCTCAGCCAGGTCAACACGCCCCTGAGTATCCTCAGCAGCCGCAGGGTCAGGCTCAGACTCAGCGGATCCCGTCTGGCGCTCCCAATTTCCCGCCTAGCGAGCCTCTGCGGACCGGCACGGAGCCGGGGGCGGCGGGCATGGGTGCTGGCGCCGAGGGAGACGCGGCGCATAAGGCTGCTTGGGACGCATACTATCGTCAGCAGGCCGAAGCGCAGGCGCAGGCTCAGGCGCAGGGACAAGGACAGGCACCTCGACAGGGTAGCGGACCGTCCCCACCTCGGCACCAGGGATCGGATCCTAATGCTGGTCAGCAGCCGCACCAGCCGTCACAGGTGCCGTATGGTCAGAGTCCATACCCCGCTGCGCCGGAACAGCAGGGGCACCCGGGCGCCCCGGGGTATCAATACCCCACGGCCCATCCCGGTGTGGATCATCTCAGCCAGAGTGTGAACAGGATGTCGGTGCATGGGCAGTAAGGGTAGAGATGTATCAGATTACAAAGGAGGGGAAGCAGTCACACCCGGATGGTATCGAGTTGGACCATTACGATGTATTGTATATACTTGTACCGCTGACCACATCCTACTGATCCTTCTTACTCTCAACCTCTCCGTTTGATCTAATTCAATCTAGAGTAGGCGTTGATCACGTCCATCTCTGCGTCCAACGAGATGATGAGCTGATGATAATAGATGCCGGGATGAGGATGGAGTATGATTGAGGATGAAAATCCTGACAACGATCATCGAGGAGATAGTCCTCATTAACATTCCTCATGACGTTGTCGTGTTTCAGATCCAGCTGTGGTCGCCATGCGCTTTCTTTAGATGCACGACGATACCGAGGCAGTGGAGGGTGAGCCCGAACAGCATTGACAGGCCACACATCACATGTCGCGCCGGAAAGGTCTCGTAAAACTAAACAATCATAACGGCCTGACGAAATACTGGAACACAGCCTAGCTAACGCCCATCTTCACCTGCGCTACCCGTCCCTTGCGCCTTGACCTGAGTTCTATGCCTAATCGACCACTACAACACCCTTGTAAGACTCAGCCGCCAGAATCTTCCTCACCGTAGTGAGCGGGTCGTCCTTCTTCTTCGGCATTCCCTTCCCCTTCTTCGCCAACTCGGCCGCATCGTCCTCCACCGCTTCCCCCCCTCCGGTCATCTCCTCATCCTCATCCTCGACGTCTACCGCCTCCCAATCCTTGTCCATCTCTTTGGCGAGCTCCTCATCCTCCTCCCTTGCCGCCTCGCCCAGGAAGTACTTCATCATACTCCCCGAATACCCCGAGAGAAGCGACACCCCCTCCTGGTCCGCCTGCACTGGCTTTGGCGCGCCCGTGACACGTGGAGCGAGGTTCCAGAAGATGAGCTCGGGGACGGTGTAGCCGGCATCGATATACTTGCGCTTGATAGCGGCGTACTCCGTCTCGCCGTCCTTCCGCTCGGTGCACGCGCTGAACTGCATGTCCGAGAAGATGAACAGCTTCTTGACCATATCCACCGGCGCAAGATGCTGGGTTTTCGCGGTTGTGAGGATGAGGTCGAAGACTTTGTAGAAGTTGGTCGTACATCCCCAATTGGCCCGGCTGAGAGTAGAGGCACGATCCTTGAGGGGGAGGGATGGATCGACGTAGACTGCGGCGGGATCGTCCGAGAATGTGAAGAAAAGACCGCTCCATGGAGGCGCGGCGAGCTCGCCGAGCAGAAGGGTGAGAGCAATGCAGACATTGATGGGCTGCGGGTCCTTTGTGTCGCCGGTGAGGTAGGAGCCCATGGATCCCGAGACGTCCGCGATTGCGAGGCAATTGCGGAGCTCGGCGCTGCCGCTGGATCGGATCGAGTCGACGTGGCTCACCCACTGAAGGGCGGCCATGCGACCGAGGATGGCGTCTTGAGGCTCGAGCACTGTCTCATCAGCTCATAGCTCTAGGCTCGCAGGAAGACTGCACAGTATCACCATCCATTAGGATCTCGTGCGGAAACAGACTCGCCCCCGAGATGGACAAGCGACCGGTTGCCACCTTGTTGAGGTACGACTCGAATCCCTTGTGGTCATGCTGGAGGAACCAGTGCGAGTACCGCGCCATCGCTCGGGACGGGACCTTGGTGTAGTCGATCTTCCACTCTCCTTTCCCCATGTTGACCTCCGGCACCTTGAGCACAGCGCGGAGAGGAGCGAGCACCTCCTTCTGCAGCCTCTGGCGTCCGAGTTGGACCCCATCGCCCGGGAATAGGAGCATGCCGAGAGCGGTGGCGAAGCTGAGCTGCCGATCCGCGCTCTTCTCGGGGGAAGGGACCCACTTGGCGGCGTAGGTCATGCTGAAGAGGAAGGGGGACGATTGGCCGAGGAATGGCTTCCGAGCCTCGGCCGGTTGCTTGAGGAACTCCTTGTGCTTGTCGAGGAGGGCGAGGTCGGCCTTGAGCTGACGGACGAAGATGTCGACGACGACGCAGTAGAGCGCTTGGAAGTGTACGTCCGTCGTAAGCGCCTTCTCCAATCTCTCAAAAAGGAGCTTGTGCTTTGTCTCCTCTGCGACTGTCAGCTTGAGCCACGTCATATAGACTGAGATGGAGACTTACTGTTACTACAGCTCGCCATTTTGACCTTGAAGGCGGCTTCCGGATGCTTCCTCGCCGCCTTGGCGACTGTACCGTATCCCCTGCGGTCCATCTGACCTCTCTGACCAGCCTTTCGCTGAAGCCGATTCGCCTTGAAAGACTGCTTGGCGGAAGTGGGTGCGAACGCCTCGTCGACTGCGCTCGGTACCTCCTTGAGCTTGGCGTTCAGTTCGCCGTTGATATCGAGAACAAGCAGGTCGATGAGACTGGAGACCTCAGCTTCTTCCCTGGCTGGATATCTGCAAGGGCTTGAAGCTCCAACTCACTCGTCGTATGTCCCGTGCGGCCTAGGGGCGTACTCGGGCAACTCGCCGAGATTACGCTCAACCTCCCCGTCCTCATCGAGAGTGGCGACGCCGGAGGGCGGCAAGTCAGCCTTTTGTGCGTCCCGAGCTTTGGACCGGTCCCGCTTGCATGTCTGATCGACGAGGATGTGTAGACTGTGTAATCAGCATGGACCCCCGGCTTGATCACCGAGCAGATGGTCGCAGAGGTGACTCACTTTGCCAGCAGAGTTCGAGGATGTTTCTCGGCCAGCCAGCCTGCTGCGACCCAGAAACCCTCCTTGAAACCCTTGCCCTCATGGATTGAGCGAGTCTGGAAAATGAGGCGGACTGTCCTGCCGATGTCAGCATCATCCTCCTGTAATTTGTTTTCTCGAGTGATAACTCACGCTACCGGGTCCTCCCTGAATGCTTTGTCCAGTAGCTCCCGCAGATGCTCAGGCTGACGAGCGGCGCGCAGCACATGTGTCGTAAGAAGAAGAGATACCACCAGAGCCGTATCTGGTGAGTGCTAAGTGTTGTGGGCATAGTAGTGCTGTGGCCAGAGTCCGGTATTCTCGAACGTGGCCACCTCCTGCCTGCTCGTGTGCTCACGAGACAAGCCGTCCCGTGTGCACAACAGATATAACACACGTGGTCAGTGATACACCTCGCGTGAAGCACGGGACAGCGTGTGTGATATGTGCTGAGTGGTGAGTAGATGGGGTGCGACATGGTGTCACTGTCGCGAGTGAGCTCAGCGTGTGGTGATTTGTGTGTGGTGTGATTAACGGCGGGAGGAGTAAATAATTGTGTGGATTCGGTCGCAGGGATGTCGTATATCGGTCGTCTATGAAGTAGAAAGATACAATAGTGACAGGCTCACACTATGTCAATAGTCGGGTCAAGCACATTGTCATATCTCAAAACATACATTTTGACTGACTGCTAGTCGTACAGTTTGCAGTAAAACAACGTCTCTATACACTATGTCTGTGGGAGGAGTGTGCACATGCTGTAGTGAACAAAACACGTTGGACCCCTGTATAACATATAATGTATGGCGCTGATGTCGTAGCGAGATAAGTGGTTGTGGAAGAGATAGGGGTGCGGTAGAAGGAGGTAAACATGACGGTGCCGTGATGGGGCGTTAAGTCAGCGGATGCGAGTAACGCGACGTGTGCAGGACGTATGTGCTGGAACACTTGAGTCACTGCAAGATCATCTTTTCACGTACAACAACAGCACAAAGAAAGTGCGGTTCTCACAGTGCTGGTGGCTAATAGTCGTCTACTACAGCAGACAATATGAAAGACACTAGCTGATACGTGCGAGAAAATGTATATGATAAATAAAACAATAACATAAGAATGGCGGTCTGAGATGAGCATTGCATGTGAAGAAGAACAGGTATGTGAACGTGGTGAGAAGAGATAAGGAAATTCTCTTTACGCGCGTTGAGGGTGCGTGTGTGGAATCAAAGAATAAGGGACTACCGTTACATGACCATAATGTATAAAATGTAAACACAGGACTCGCACAAATGTGCAACTGATAGACGAAGGAACGCACGCAGAGCTGTATATGAAAGTCGAAGCGCGAAGAAAATGAATCCCGCGATGGCGGCGGTAAGAGAAAGAAAGCACGATGTGATATGCACACTATGCCTGCCGAAAAAAAAAAGTAGATCGTTGCAGACACATCAAGCGCACACCAAAGGACACAGGTGGGTAGCTCAGAGATCCACACGCACATGCATGGGGATAGACACATTTAATATTACATGAGTATCTGTCGACAAGAAGGGGGCGGGACTGTGCGATCAGGTGATATAGAAAAACAGATATTATTATACAAAGTGGTATCGACGGAAACGTGAATAGACTTCGGATAACAAGAGCACAAGTAGACACAAAGATGAACTAAATGTGCGCGCAATGACAGAGGAGACGTGCGCGTGAAAAAGACGACGTAGAGGAAATAGTGTAGATTGATGTAACGACGGTCCGCATATAGAGTAGTAGCTTAAAGTGGCCCAGGTACCCTTTGGGTACGCCGTTCTTCGACTGGATCTTCTCTCGATCCTCAGTCCCGCTCGGACCTGGGCTGGACCCGCTTCGCAGAGGGCTTCTTGCCAACGCTGTTCGTCTTTGCCGACACTGGTCAAGAGGTCCCGAGCTCTCATCGCTGTATGATCTCATACAAGCGCAGGTCCGTGCGTCCGTTGCTCCAGCTTCCGCCGGAAGCGCGCCCTCCTCCACTTTCGAGCAGAATTTCAGAAACGCAGCGAACACCTTCACTTTCCCAGCAACAAATCGATACATTCGCCCACCATGTCTATGCTGAGGACAATGTGAGCTGATCATAGCGTACAGGATACATGACGCTGGAGCTGACTCGATCTAGCAAGCCAAAAAATGCCCGGGTCAAGCGGGCATTAGATGAACGCGAGCCCAAGCTCGTCGAGAATGAGAAATCGGCCATCTTTGTTCGTGGACAGAACACTAGCGAGAAAGTCCGGCTGGCAATGAAGGACCTTGTAAGCTGAAGCGCTCTCTAGTGTGACTGGCGGAACTGATGATATAGTACTCGCTCAAGCGCCCATCAGCTATCTCCTTCTCGCGGAAGAACGATATCCACCCCTTCGAAGACGCTTCGTCACTTGAATTCTTCGCTGGGAAGAACGATGCCTCGCTCTTTCTCACCGGGCTGCATAGCAAGAAGAGGCCCGACAACCTCATCTTCACGCGGATGTTCGATGGGCGGGTATTGGACATGGTGGAAGTAGGAGTTGATGCTATCAGGGGAATGAGCGAGTTTGAGGTGAGTTTGATCGCTGACTGGTCGTTGTCGTCAGGATCACGATGGGGGAGGGAGGGTCTTGAACAGGCAAGGAACAGTAGAGACCGAAAAAGGATTGCGGCAAGCTCGAATGCTGATCTTCTAGTCCGTAAAGGCTTCGATTGGTGTTCGGCCTTTAATGGTCTTCCATTCAGACCTGTTCGACACTCACCCATCCTTCATCGCCCTAAAATCCATCCTCCTCGACTTCTACAATGGCCACGCCCTCCCATCCCTCCCCCTCACATCCGTTGAACACGTCATCTCCATCACCGCCGGTCCCCTCCCTCCCGCTCCCGTCCCCACATCGACCAACCCGACTCCTACCCAGCCCCTCCCCAAAGTGCACTTCCGGGTCTACACCGTCGCGCTCCTCCCTGCCCCCGCATCCGCCCCACCCCGGATAAGTCTCACCGAGATGGGCCCGTCCATCGACCTCACCGTTCGGAGAATACAAGAGGCGGACGAGGACATGCTCAAGCAGGCCATGAAGCGGCCCAAGATGGAGAAGCGGACACAGTTGAGCGGTTTAGGCAAGAAGAGGAAGAACATCGAGACGGACGAGATGGGAGACAGGGTCGGACAGCTGCACTTCAAGAAGCAGGACTTGAAGGGTATGCAGGGCAGGAAGATGAAGGGGTTGAAGCCGGGTTTCGAGAACAGGGGGAAGCGATCGCAGATCAAGCTGCCGGGAGCCAAGGCGGGTGGAGCTGCGGAAGGAGACGACGAATGAGCAGCGCTGCGGGTCACTTTGGGCTAGATGTCATCCTGGTTGTGTGTACTATGTAAAATATGCCATGCAGACTACGTAGCGGACTGACCAGCAATAACCCAGCTGGATCGGTACAGCTCGACGCGCACCGCAGTCACGGCAAGCTAAAAGTATATGCTATAGTCAGGCATCGGACCGCGGACCGTCTCTCGCCGACAACGCGTCATACCCGCGTCATACCTCATGCCTCATGCCCGCTCGACCTTCAAGGAAAGTATGAACTTTGCATCAGCCAGAAACTCCCGATGTTTGTGGTGCCTGATGCATGCTGTCATATCAGAGACCTCATACCAGTGGCTTTTCCGGCCCAGGAACGGGGGTGGCATGCTGTGGAGCAGCAGCTGTCCGGCTCAGGCACGGATAAGCCTCCGACACCTGATTCCGAAGTGGTAACTCGGAGACTTCCCGGTACCATTCCTCGATCCTCCTGTTATCGCCCCGCGCTCCGCTCCGTGCCCAGAGGTTCCGCCTGCTGACTCCTCTCCCAGCACGTCAACAAGGTAAGACTCCAGCTGAACGAACGCTGCGCAGTGTCATGGCTCAGGACCCTCGGAGCGTCGCGTCGCGCGCCTTGGGAAAGAATTACTGTTGTACGCTCTTCCGGACGCTTTCTGCGCCCTTCTGCTTGCGTTGACAAGTGCCTGACCGTGCCTGTTACCGACTTCGGCGTGCTCCTCCTTCTCCCCCGACGGGGTCTCGGCGGCCGTTCGGCGCGGACTCACATCACTCACCTCCGCTTACCTGTAAACCCAAAAGAGGAACCAAACAGCTTTTTGCTCTATTTTCTCGTCCGCTCTATGCCATGACACATGACCGCCCGCTATACCTCACTCGTCCATCGCGGTATTGGCATGACCCCATAATATCCAACAACCACTTCCGTGATGTCATCCAAACCTTGACCAGCCCAGCATACCTGCCTGCCGACTGTGCCGGCGGCGGTGCCTGAACACACGCTCAGCCATCACGCCCTCAACACAAGCTCGGCAGATCGCCCCCCTTTTTCGGAAAATGTCCTGCAAGGTGGAGGAAGGTGGAAGGACGGACGACCATGAGTTGGGCTTCCTCCGATAAGGTATAGGGATACGCACTGATCGGAGGTGGAGCTGGATGTTGTGCTGATGAGCATCGGCGACTCACCGTCATCGATAGGAGATATATAAGACCCACCGCGAACAGCCTTCCAGTCCCCCTCTTGATCCACTTTCATTCGTTCTTTCCATCTCGCCACACCTCCTCCCCTCCCCAACTCCTCCACCTCTTTCACTCACTCATTCCTTCGCTCAAGATGCGTCTCAGTCTCCTCATCCCCACCGCCGCCCTCTTCTCCTCCGCCCTCGGTGCTGCCGTCGAGCAGACCAGGTCCCTCCCCGTCCAGCCCATCTCGCCCCGTCTCCACGGTCTCGACAAGCGCCAATTCGCCACTCTCAACCTTTGCGCCACCATCCCGCTCGGCACATCACTCATCATCGACCCTACCGACCTCGGGCTCTTGGCCGCCCTTGGTCCCCAGGAGGTCAACCTCAACGAGAAGTAAGTGCACTTCTCTTCTGTCCCGTCGTTTTGATCTGACCCTTCAGCTTGTGTCTTTGTGTGGATGACGGTCTCCTCACCGGGACATCGCTCGACACCCTCGAGCTCAGCCTGATCAACAACTCGGGCCTCAGCGCGGTCCTTCTCGGCTTGGACACTAACGTCCTTGTCCCGGTCGTTGCTGCTGCCCTCGTCAACATCGTGAGTCCTTTCTCGACCCCAGTCCATGGCAGTTCGCTGATCCATAGCTTGGCACATCTCAACCCACCACTCCTCGATGCGAGTACCCCGCCGGCGCCATCCCTACCAGCTGCACCACCTGCGACTTTGGTAAGTCTCCTCATCATCACTCCCTTCGATACTTGCTGACGTGTAGACTGCGACGCTGCTGCCGGCTTCATCAAGTGCGGCACCACCTGCTTCGCTGGCGCCGTCTGCCCGTCCGCCCTCGTTGGTGGTAGCCGTCGTCGTGAGCTCCCCCGTGGCCAAGCCGCCAACCTCCTCTGCCCCGCCGAGATGACCGCCTGCGCCCTCCCCGTCGCCGCTTCCACCAAGTGGGCCCGCAACTTTGAGTGCCTGGACACCACCAAGAACGTCGACACTTGTGAGTTTTTTCATCTCCAATCACTGTCTTACAATGTTCTCCACCCTTCAGACTCTTGCTCGCGCTGATCCTCAGGCGGCGGCTGTGAGTTCCCCCTCCCGGACCAGCCCAAGGGCGTCGACTGCACCATCATCCCCAACACCGAGAGCGTCTCGTGTGTCGCTGGCAAGTGCGTCGTCCACGGTTGCGCCGAGGGCTTCGTCCTTGTCGAGTCTGCCTGTGTGGCTGTTTAGGTATGGACGTGCAGTGTATATCGGGTCATAGCTCTCGAGACTCGGACACTAGGATTAATAATATAGACACTGTATATAGGACAATTGGGATATCTAGGGTAATACACGTACATGTACTTGGGTTAAGCGGTCTTGCTAGAGCATGATTATTTGCATCAAGCTCCAGGCGTATGCTTGGTCGATTGAACGAACCCAAGCCACGCGGTCTTTACAGCAACGCAGGTTAGTAGCTGTGCATATCCAGGAGATGCATACGCAAGACGGCTTATCCCCTTCCCCTCCCGCCCCCTCTACCTCTTCCACTACCCCCTTCTCTACCTGCTCCGCCTCTGCCGCCCCTACCTCCCCTTCCTCCCCTGCCTCCGCCCCTGACTCCGCCCCTGCCTCCCCCGCTCATCCGCTCCACCCGCCCAATCTCCCGCTCACTGATCTTCAGCACACCACCATCGAACCTCCCCACTCCCGCACCTACTCCCAACCCCCTCTCCCTCTCCTTCCCACCCTTCTCCATCCCCTTCTTCTTCTTCTCCTGACCCAGGCCCAATCTCTCCTCTTTCCTCTTCATCCCACCCACCCCTTCTCCCCTCTTGCCCAGATCCCCTAGTCCCCCTTTCCCCCTAACCCAACTTCCCGCCTGCTCCGCCTCGGCCCGCTCTTTCTCTTGCCGCTTCGCCCCGGCCTTCATGATTCCCGTCTTGATCTTGGCCGAGTGACCTTTATGTTTCGACTCGGCGGCGGGGGAGGTGGTTTCTCCGGGTAGAGCGTACCCCGCAAGTTGGAGCAGACGGGAAGAGACCGCGTCCCGCTTTTCGACGGGTCGGGAGGCGGCATCGAGCGTGTGGGATGGGAGGAGCGACGTGGTGAGGAGAGAATGGAGCGTCTTGTCGAGGGAGGAGTTGGTAGCTTCCTCGGCATCCTCGGCAGTGGTGGGCTTGCGGGAGGAAGTGGCTGCGTCGGAGTTGGAAGGCAGAGCCATCATTTTAGCAGAAGTGCCGTTCTACCCTGTCAGCTTTAATTTGATGCACGGCCGGGGAGAGTATCGCTTCAGTCCGGACAAGCTTACCAGGAATGCTCTACGCTCAGCTTTTGATAGCTGCTCAGCGCCTCTTCCACCCGTCTGGGCAAAGACGACCTCCGGAACCCTTACAGGCTGAACTGCAGCAGCTTTTGATCTCAGCTCAGGCCTCCAAAACCCAGATGATACGGCTCACCTTTCACCGCCGCTCCGCCTGTCGCAAACTCGTCCTCGCTATCACTGACCATCCCATCTCCCGCGCCCCATCCATCATCGGACATCTCCTCCTCCTCATCGTCGCCCTCGTCAGAAGACGCCGCTCTCCGCTGCGCCATCGCGCTACTCTCAGCCTCGTCGTCCCCAAGACCCAATAGAGCTCGACTGTGCGCCTCGAGCGCGGCTAGCATAGACGCCTTATTGCTAGGCGCATCATCGCCGTCGTCTTCGCTGCTCGATCCGGAAGGCGAGGGGGAGAGGCGGGGACGTTTCGATACTGGCTTGCTCCTGCGTGATGAGCTAAGGCTTGTGACCTCATCATAAGTGCTTCAGCTCACTTGACCACGTTGCCCTTTGTACTCGATCCGGCCTTCCTCTTCTTGATGATCTGAGCTGCAGGCATTGATATCGAGCGGGGCTGGGCTATAGCTAGAAGGATGGAGCAAGTGCTGATGAAATCTTGCAGTGCTATCTGAAACATTCTAGTTGCCTCTTTGGGATTATCCACTAATCGGCTGAAACGTAATAACCCTTAGCGGAATCAAGTGACCCCCCTCTCCTAATCAGCCGGACGCGTACCCGGTGTTGCCACCCAACCCACCCACCTCCTCCTGCTTCCCTTCTCCCATTCATCACCTATCCTTCCTTCTACCTTACATCTAATACAAGCAGATACCTACACATCTCTTTCCTGTGCTTGCACGCTCAGACTACCCAGTAAGTCATCCGAACAGATCGCCTCGCGTAGCGGCCCTGGGAGGAACGGTGGACAGGCACGGTCCTTCAACCTCGCCAGGTCGTGCTGCGCGGCCAGCACAGGGGGTTCCCCTCCGGCGGATGCTCCAAGCCTAGAGCAAGAAGGCCACAGCTGACACGATATAGACCACCTCACTCAACCTATATATCAGCCCGGATTGTCAGCCATGGTCCGCTCCAAGTTCAAGGACGAGCACCCATTCGGTATGTCCCTCATTCCAGGTAGCTGCGCAAAGGACGCTGGGCTGACTGCTACTTCTTTTCTCACGCCGTCATACTACCCTTCCTATCTCTTATTGCATGGTCTCTTGGACGATACCGCGACTTCCACCTTGTTTCCGTTCCCTTGCATCGCCTAATCGACCCATCAACAGACAAGCGCAAGGCCGAGGCTGAGCGGATCCGCCAGAAGTACCCCGACAGGATCCCTGTATGTCCTCTCGACCTTCTCAGCTGGGATGTCCTCCAACGTGCGACGACTAGCTGATCGTCTAGGTCATCTGTGAGAAGGCAGAGAAGTCGGACATCCCGACGATCGACAAGAAGAAGTACCTTGTCCCGGCCGTAAGTCAGCTTTTGCACACGCATATTTGGTTGTGCTGGGCACCGAAAGCTGACACGCCAGGATCTCACTGTCGGTCAATTCGTCTACGTGATCCGGTAAGCTTCAACCTCTTCCGCTTGTCCAAGCGATGTTGGTCGCAGCTGACACGCTCAGTAAGCGGATCAAGCTCGCGCCCGAGAAGGCCATCTTCATCTTTGTGGATGACATCCTTCCACCAACAGCGGCTCTCATGAGTCTGATCTACGACGAGCACAAGTGAGTTGCCTGGCGTGACAGATAGGCCTGAAAGCTGACAAATATAGGGATGAAGATGGTTAGTTTCACTGTTCTACGGATTGGCCGCTCTTGTAGTTTCAAAGCTGACTGACCAGGTTTCCTGTACGTGCTGTACGCATCAGAGAACACCTTTGGCGGGTTGGAAGAGGTTGAGGAGTAGGCACAGGCGGAGAGCAAGGACCAGGGAGAAAGCGGGGGAGGCGCGTCAGGGAAGAGGGGAAGATATGGCCGAGCGGGAAGGGGATGACAAGGGTGAGAGAGGATGGAGCGCGGGTGTAGACTCAGGCGGCGAGGGCGGCGACGGCGTGTAACACCATATTCACCTCTCTATCACTTTACCTCGAGACCCCACAACTATCGCTGTGAAGGAGTTACCTTATTGTATGAATGACGCGATATAGCTTGCATCTCAGTCCTTCCCGGGGTCTTCACTGCATAGCATCCGCCTCCAGTCCCTGCAGTGTGACTTGCGGACTCTAGGTATGCCACGCTGAGCTTCACCGTTTGCTCGGGCCGATTTGCGCTTGAGAGACCCCATGGACGGTGCCCGCTCGTCGTCCGTATACACTGGATCTGGGCGGGACGATCAAGGGACCCGAACCGTGAGGTAGGTTCTCCACGCACCACTCAGTACTCAGTCTTTAGTTCCCGTCCCAGTTCCCGTCCGTGATTGAACTTCTGACATTTGCATCCTTCTCGTATTCTTCTTCAGTCTTCTATAATTACTCTTCCTCGAATTCTGGGTATCAAGAATCTGCCGTCCGACAGGCTAGTCTAGTTTGGGCTCGTCGATGGTATATGCGGGTAGTGGTACATGTACGCAAGGCCGAGAATAGGGCATAGAGGGCGTAGTAGGGCGTGGTGAGGCGTAGCGGACATAGTAGGCGTAATTGGTGCAGTTGGACATGGCGAGGTATTTTATGATAGCAGTAGGTGGTGCACGCCGCGGTGATGGGTAGAACAAGCAGAGCATGATCTGTGCGTCAGCCGCAAGCTCTTCAAACCCGTCGCCGCACCATGCCCCGGAAAGTAACGAAATCACTCACGAGCCAAAACGCAATAGCTCACGACAACTAATACCGACAACTATCCACACAGACCCACCCCGCGCCCTCCATCCACGCATACCCCCACTCGGTCAACCAGCTCTTAATACTGGTCCCGAGCCGAGTCTTGCTCGCTCCCCTTAGGGGATCCTGCATCCCCACGTGCTTTTCTTCCCCAATGAGGATATACGTCAATCCACGATAATTCTCCCGCTCCAACTAGACGCGTCAGCTATGCTTCCTCGCCTGAAGACTTTGCAGCGGACTCACCTCGGACAAGAACTGGCCCAACACCTCCACCCCTTCGGCCCCATGTAGGGTATGCAGATCCAACAGCGCTTCCATCCGCTCGTCCCCGCTCTGCCCTTGTCCAGCTGCCCCGCCCGCGCCCACCCGGCTCCGCGCTGCCACACCTAGAATAACACCCAGTCCACCACCGGCGACCTTACCCCGCTCGCTCCGATCCATGGGGTCGTCAGACCACGCGCCATCCCGCTCCCTTACTGCCCGCTGCGCATCGACCCGACGCTCCTTGACGAGCTGTAAAGCCGCCTCGGCCGATTCGGTCGTCATCTTCTCATTGAGCGATTTGCCCTCGCGCGAGAATCGCTTGGCCGCCGCGCCGTCTCCTCGGCGGAAGGCGTCCGCGGCGCGCGCTAGGCAGGCGTTCCGGGCGTGTCCAAGGCGAAGGGCCGTTTGACGAGAGTTCATGTATTGCTCGTTTGCAGCCGTACCGGTCTTGAGCGTCGGCATGAGGGTAGGCGGGCGAAGCTTGATCCGAGTGGATGGCCGCGGGAGGGGGACGACCGAAGCAGGTAATCTATCTGTCCCAGAGGCTGAAGCTTGGGGCGGAGCGAGACCCATTCGAGCGCCAGTGATCTGGACGTGCGACAGCTGGTTAGGCTGCATGGGTACCGGCCGTTTCAGTGCATTTGCGAAGCGGTTCCGACTGGGGTCGAAGCGGGTGTTGTTTCTAGCGCGGGCGCCCATGAGGTCGGGGAATTCCTCGGTCGGCGTGCCGGCGGGACTGTGCCGATAGGATCCGTCCGAGAAGGGTTCGAGGCGGGACATTGCGCTGGACAATTCGCGAGGATCGAATGAGGGCATGTTGGGCGGGAGCTGATGCAGGAATCTCATCTGTAAGCTTTTGCCCCGCGAATCTATGGCTTCTCGGCAACTCACTCGCAATTCGGCCCTTTGGCGCAATTACCGCGAAGCCAGAACCGACACAGCGCTCGATCCAGATCATGGCTGCCAATCGTCAGCTTATGGCACCTTGGAAGTCAGGCGAGCTGCAAAACTGACCTGAATCGACAATCTGACCGCCTACACTCGCCCGCCAAGAAATACCTGCACATTCTCAGCCCGCCCGGCGTCCTAATCCCACTCCCACCCCCCTGACTCCCGAACGTCTGCTGCGGCGGCCCACTCTGGAAGCTTCTCCCACCTCGATCGAAGTATCCCCCGCTCGGCGCGTGATGAGCGGTCTGTACTGCCCCCCTCGAGCCCACACCCAGAAGGAGCGGGCGGGGCGAGGCGGTCCGATGCGGGGTGGACGCGCCGGATCGCGGGAGCGTATACTGCGAGACGAGGATCGCCATCGCGCCTTCAAAGTCATACCCTGCCGAGTGGAGGGCAGACTCCAACTCCGCTTTGGGGACCGAGGTGAAGACGGAATGTAGAACGTCGAGGGGTGTCATGCCTGTTCCGGCCTCGACGCCGTCCATGTCTTCATTCTGCGAGTCGAGGGAGCCACGGGATGAGTCCGAGTGTGGCATAGAAGACGATAGGGTGGAGGACGAGTCAAAGTGCCCGTCCATGTCGATGCGGCCTGGCTCGAATGACTTGGCAGACATACGCAGCCCACCCGAGCTGCCGCTGAACTCCGGATGCTTGAGAGTGGGGATGGTGCCGAAGGGCGAGAACTCGTCGTCCTCGTCATCATCCGGGATGATGCCCTTGATACTGCTGGTCCGGGACAGAGAAGGGCGAGACAGATTGGTGAACGAAAAGACGTCCGGCATTTTGATAGTCCCCTTGTTGGGCGTCCCGAGGGGGGAGTGAAACGGGGACGACTGGTCGCTGAAGAGTGGAGCGGCGATGCCCCTGCTGCTACCCGTCCGCGACATGGTGGAGCCATTCATGAAGGGCGAAGCGGTCCGGGGCGGCTCGGGCGGAGCGTCTTTCCACGGGTCCGACGGGTTGAAGGACGTGCTGGTGGCGGTGAGCGGGCCACTGGGGAGGCGGGGTGATGGATTGAACGCCGACGCTTTGGCACTGAGCACAGCCGCTGTGGCGGTCGGAGAAGTGTTGACCGAGGATGACAGCTTGGGGCTGGATTCGGAGCGAAGCATGGATGGACCAGGGTAGGCGCCGGGTAGCGTGGGAGTCTGTGCGCCGGACGGGACGGGGGATTGGGGTCGACCGAGAGGCGTGGCGCCGCGGTATGAGGGGAGACGGGTGGGAGTGTAAGGTCGGAGGGTACTGGAGGAAACGGTGGGCGTGATGCGCGGGCGGGTGGGGGTGAGATGGGGCTGGTACGGGCGCTTTTCTTGGTCATCTGCAGGATGAGCTGAGCTCTGTCCAAGGGGACCACAACGTAGGGGGAGTATTCACCTCGTCTCCGATGCATGCAGTCAAGGCATACTTGCTCCATCAGGATGTCGTCCTAAGGGAGTCAGCTGGAGAGCCCAATGACGAGGAGCGTTTAGCTTACCTTGGCCAGTTCGCCCATATACGGCTTGAGCACCTCCTTGACTTCCTCCTCCATCTCCTCATCGAGAAGCTCCACGACCTTCCTCACAAGACTATCCTTGTCCACGTCGACCTTACTCCCTCGCCTCGAGGCCGAACCAGGAGCTGGCTGGCTCGACAAGCCCCCATTCCCGCCATTAGCCTTCACATCGCCATTCTCCCCTGCTTTACCCGGAGCGGGGACAGACCCCTCGCGCTCATCCCTACTCTCAGGCGGAGAGTGATCATCGTCGGATTCTCCTGAGCTTGATACGCTCAAAGGATGTTGACTGGTCTTGGGCGGTGAGGTCTGGAGGGAGGCGAGAAGCTGGAATATGTAGTGACCGAGGTGAGGGTAGTCGATGAGTGATGAGCCGATGGTTGGAGGGGTCGAGCGGGGAGAGGACGAGGCGCTACTTAGACCTAGACCGAGGAGGTTCTTGTTGGGTGTGATGCTTGGAGGGGGCGCGGGGGCGACGGGGTCGGTCATGGGGGAGTCTAGTTGATCGGACGTCATTTTGGCGAGTATGGGTAGGGTAGGAGGGAGGGACTATAGGGTTGGCATGCTATATTGCAGGCGAGTGAAAGTGTGGGGATGTTCACAGTGGAGATGGAATTGTATGGATGTATGAAGGGTGTTTGAAGCATCACCTGTATCGACCACCTACCACGCACAGGCCAGGCTCTGACTCTCTGACGCTGTGACGCACGTTAGACTTACCCCGGGTTAATCTATTGGAGCCCCACACAGGTGCCACACTCGGTCATCGCCGCTTAGCCCTCCTAGCCCCCTGGACAGAGGTCTACCCTTCTGTCTTCACCCTTCTCCAATATCTATATACACCGCCCACAATGTCAACAGCAAACGGTACAATCAACGCGGAAGCGGGTCCATCTAATGCTCAGCCAATTGGAATGGGCGCAAACGGCCAAGCGAACGGCTCAGGGCAGCTCGTGAACGGTACCTCTACCCAGGCCAACGGAACAACTCCTGCCGACGCCGCGACAGAAGAGGCGGCGATGCCAGATATGAACCAGCTGTATCAGGCCCGGAGGGATGAGGAGGCTGCGAGGCGGGACAGGAGTCTGGCAGAGTTCCTGGTCATGCTGGATGGGTATAAGCCATTGGTGAGCTAATAAATGCCCCTGGAGCGGACTCCGTTTAGCTGACCAGCGCAGATACCGGAAGAGGTCACGGAGTACTATCTCCAACGAGCGGGATTCGACTGCTCCGACCCAAGACTGTAAGCTCTTTTAAGCCCGACGCTTCTCCCGGATCTACAAAGCTTACCCGGGCAGAAAGCGCCTCCTTTCCCTCTCCACCCAGAAATTCATCTCGGATCTTTCGCGCGACGCGTTCCACTTCGCCAAGCTCCGCGTAAACGGAGCGGGAGCGGGTAGAGGACGTCCAGCAGCAGCTGTAAGCTTTATAGTCCGCCACGAGTCTGCTCGAACAAGCTGACAAGGAGCAGGATCGTAATCGAGTTGTGCTGACTATGGATGACCTGAGCCTGGCGCTCGGGGAGCACGGGGTGAATGTGAAGAAGCCAGATTACTGTCAGTCCTCGATGATCAACGCGGCATACAACCTTGCTGACGATGTACAGACCTGTAGAATCTGAAGGGTCGGGGATCCCAAGTCCTGATTTCGCGAGAACAGCATATCCCTAGACTGTGCATGTTGTACAACATGTAATGACCGATGTAAGACCCCCAAAGACAGCGTAAAGAGATACACATTTGCGTACTTTACAACTAGCTATAGACATGATCATCCCAGAAATCTCCTCACTCGCCCTACTGACCCATCGTAACTTCCACAACAGGCAGACTCCTCCTACTCCTAATCACCTTCCCCTGACCCGCTACCGGACCCTCCCTCGTCGGTCTCGGACTCCCCCCTCTTCCTCTCCTACTCCAGCTCCCACTCGCATTACCCCGTGCATGCCGCCCCCCATCCATGTCCTCCGGCTTCCGAATCAGCGCCGCCTGACCCTCCAGAATCAGCCGCTGGATCCGGAGGGTCATCCCGTCCAGCCGATCCAAGATCTCCTCTTGACCCTCCACGACCGTCGCGACTGCTTCTTCGCCGATCGGGATGGGATTGGACGCGTTATCGTCCGAAGGCGGTGTTGTGGGCCGGACGAGCGGGGGCGTCATTCCCCCAAGTCCGAGAGTACTGCGTTTTGGAAGCCCGCCGGACGGTATTCGAGGGCGCCGCTTCTTGCCTGCAGATCGGCTGGGAGTATTGTGGAGGAGAGGGTGTTGATGGCTTGATATCCGGACTGTAGGTGTACGAGACGTATTTGGCGTGATGAGATCCTCGTCGTCCAGCTGTCAGGGTCAGTACTGCTCCATATGCGTTGGCATCCATGACAAGGATTTTCAAACTCACCTCATCTGACCATTCCAGGTTATCTGCATGATCCCTCTCCCTATACGCTGGGGGCGGCGCAATCTCGCTTGTAAGGGGAGCAGCAGGCAGCGCGGGGCTGATTCGGGCTGGCGATGTGCTTGGTCCAGCTTCATCCTCCTCGCTCTCGTTGTCATTATTACTGGCGAGATTTGCAGGCGCAGACTTTGATGAAGGGATGCTCGGATCAAAAGTCTGCGTCGATGACTGCGTCCAAAGCTTGTAGGCGGTGCTGTGCCATCAGCATCCTTTCCGCTTGGCCTGATCCACCATCAGGGTATCAAGGGCACTCACACTCCTAAGGCCGCGCCGTAGACCCCAGCATTCACCGCCCCACTGACCAAACTGATCCCCCAGCCTTTCTTCCCCGTTGGTGATCCCACTTCCTCCGCCTCTCTCCGCTCCGAGCTAGATCTGCGTGCCATCCGACTGGCGCTCGTTCGTGTGCTCAGAGTGGATAGCTTCTTGTCCGGTGTCCGATCCGATCTGATGATCACTACTGTATCAGCTCTCGTCCCCGCTTCGTTACTGTCCGAATATAAAACGCACATTCTGATAATCCCCGTTCGACCCCTTCTCCCCGTTTAGAAATCTCGCTTTGCTCCCCTGTCCCCACTTTCCCAGCTACAGACACCACAGCCGCTCCCGAGCCCGACACACGCGTGATAGGTGCCCAGTCTTTCTTGATAGAAGGCGGAGTCTGGGTAGCTCGACGAGTCGACGGTGGCCTAGAGCCGCTACCGCTGCCGCTGCCGCTCCGACTAGAATTGGATGGTCCCGCCTTAGCGTTAACGTGGACGTGGGTGTGCGAGCTCGAAGCGATGGAGCTGGACACGGGAGTGGAAATGGCGTCGGTAAGTGCGGATTGGACCGACGATGAGCGAGGGGAAGGAGGGATGGAGATGGGCGAAGACATCTGGGACGAGGATTTAAAAGGGCTTTCGGGGGTTTGTTATTGTTGACATGTGAGGTTATCGCGAGGACGGCGACGCCGAGGGATCTTAAAATTCGAGTGATCGCCGGAGTAGATGTCAGGGTGTCGGAGCACGCTGAGAAGTCTCCAGAGGTGTGTCTGGGGATACAGAGCCCATGTAGGGTAGACTTTGAGCACAAGAGGAGATGAAACGAATGGAGTTGCCCAACGCGTCGAAAGCAGGGTGGCAAAAACTCCGCTTCGGTCAGGACGTCATTTCTCCGTTGCATGTGCCTCAGACAGGTCTCGGCGGTGATGCAGAGGGTCGAGGTGGGGCTGTATGGGGAGCACAAGCTAGGCGGCTTCGAGGAAGATCAAGCGATGGCGCGCCTCATCATTGATGATTGCTTGAGAAGATGAGGCTGAGAATGAGGAAGCAGTCCCCACCCAGCGCCCCTTCGGCGCGGGCTGCACCATCTCGCATATCTTCCGCCTGCGCACTGCATGTACGCTCTGCCATTGAATGCGCCTGACTCGCCCGTGTCCATACCGTAGATGCTATCCGCCCCCGTTCTGACCGTTCTCTCCTTGTAACCCAGCCTCCCCTTGCTCCCCATCACCTCCCTCCACCCCCTCATCCCCGTCGTCCCCCTCAAGCGCCACTCCATCCTCATCTACCGCCGCGCCCTCCACAGCATACCCAGCATCACCACCAAACGCCTCCCCTGACCCATCATCGTCCCGCGGCAGGATGTCAATAAGGAAGTCGAACATGTCGCTGAGAGCTATAGCGGCCGCGACGTCTGATTTTTGGAGGGTACGGCGTTTATTGGATTCGGCGATGAGCCAGGCACGGCAGGTGAGTTCGGAGATGAATACTGAGGTGTCAGCTAGAGGAAGGGTCGGAATGGGGAGAAGGTATGGCGGGAGGTGATAGATGGTATTGGTGAAATCGCGGTAAAGAGCTTGACTCACATTCGCAGGCTTTGGAGAAGAGGATAGGTGCCTCCGCTGAGATCATCTTCAGGCGTCAGCTCCTGCTCTTTGCGCGTCCTCATCACATCACTCTGTATTATCCCAATTCCATCCCGCAGGCGCCGGCTCTCCTTTTTCCAATCGCGTCGATACCACTTGTAAACCCAAAGCCAAACCCACCTTGACTTCCTCATCACTCTTCATGACCTTCTTTATCCTCGCTAGCGGCAACGGATACGTCCTAAAGTCCGGATTATCCCTCTCCACAAAATCCATCTGCCGCGTCCAAAAGCTCTCCAGAAAGTCATTCAGTTCCTGATGGGGCTCGACGAGCTGTCCCAGGCCTTCCCGGACCGGCGGGGTAGGCGAGGAGCGCTGATCTGGCTCTGCATCCGCTTGCTGGGCTTCGGACGGTGGTAGTGATGCCTCAGGATCGGCAGTCGGAGTCTGGTAGAATGGGCCGGAGGTGAGTGGGGTGGCGGGGTAGGCGGAGAGCATGGGGGAGTTTTGTGGATGCGTGAGGTAGGATGTGGGGATAGTTTGGCGGGGCTGAGAGGGGCCGGCTTGGGCGGAGTGGCCGTTCCATCCGGGATAGGACATAGCGGACGATGAGAGGGAGGCAGAACAAGAGTGACGCGGGTATGACTCGAGGATGGACAAGTATGGAAGCAAGGTGTAATTAGTTGGTATGGTGGCTCGCTTGGGTGGAGGAAAAACAATATGCTGGTCCGTGCGTTACATTCGGGTATGTGCGGCCGAAGCTCTTAAGCTGGAGCGATCCGCGATCCGTGATGCATAGCATGTCCCAGAATCTCATGCTGGGGAGAACCGACGCGATGCAAGCTGTGAATGGCTGGCTAGACTTGGAACTACCAAGCTAGGCCGGCAGGCAGGCTCACTCGGCGTTCCCCTCGTTCGCACCTCGCTCGGATGTCTGTACCATTTGCCACCCGCCGCCACTCCCCGAGGTTCAGTGGCTCCGCTAGCGAGTCTGACAGCTTCTGTCAGCCATCACCGGCACCGCTGGCACACTGGTCACGCACGGATTGCATGTGCTACATTTTACGCCAGCTCATCGTCATTACTCATAGGGCGCCCAGCCGGGACTCGAAAGCCGTGCCGTCACGCATGACCAATCGACGGGCTTGCGGCACCGCTCAAGGGAGATGGTGGATCAGCAACAAGATAATCTGCGATTTCTAGCGATATTGCTCACACCGGAGCTCATCGGTCTGGCTACTCGACCAAGCTTAAGGACACCAATTCCTGCTGCCACTTTCGGAGGCAATCAGAATCCGACGAGGAATGTGGAGCGAGTTCCTGACTCAGCCCGGATTACGTAGCCTCGGTGACGTCATCAAGCCCGAAGTAGCCGAGGTGGGGGAAGGCCTATAATCCATCTTTGACTGCCTCAGCTTACCCTACAGGAAAGTGGCGGGCTGGGGCGAGGACACTTCGTGCACTTATCAACAACCCACCCCTTCAGGTACTATCGCCATTAAGTCCCCAAAAATGTCTAGCCAGCCTACCGAGATGCGTGCTTTTGTGATTGAACAGCTCGTCAGTCCTGTCTGCCCCTTGTCTGCCCCGGCCTGCTGACAGGCCAGAAAAAGGGCACAGTCCAGTCCGGGCGTGCCGTCCCCAAGTTGGAGTCAGGCGAGGTCCTCGTCAAGGTCTCTCACGTCGCCCTCAACCCGACAGACTGGAAACACCTTGATCTGGTTGGAAACCTCGACTCGACCCTCGGATGTGACTATTCCGGTACGGTCGAGTCGGTCGGCGAGGGCGTCAGCAGGTTGAAGGTCGGAGACAAGGTCTGCGGAGTGGTTCATGGTGGAAAGTTCCCGCAGAGGGGATCGTTCGCCGAGTACCTTACGATCAAGGAGGACTTTGCGATGGTGGTCCCGAGCGGGATGAGCGAGGCGGATGCGGCGACCTATGGTGTTGGATTCTGTACGGCCGCTATGGTTCGTCGGTCGGCCGACATGCTGTGAAGGTCACAGACTGATCGTCCAGGCTGTGTTCCACGCACAGGGTTACAACTACCCCAAGGAAGAGCAGAAGCCAGGATGGGCGAGTCCCTCCTCGCCAGACGCAGCGAGATGCAGCTGACCCACCAGTTCCTCGTTTCCGGTGGCTCCACCTCTGTTGGCCTCTTCACTCTCTCCCTCCTTCGACAGCTCGGCATCAACTCCATCGCTACCGCCTCCCCCCACTCCTTCGACCTCGTCAAGTCCTACGGCGCAGACCACGTCGTCGACTACCACGACAAAGAGGCGGCCATCAAGGAGATCCAGAAGGTGACCGGGGGAGGTGTCGTCGGCGGTCTGGAGTGTATTGGCGGAGACGACAACTTCAACCTCTCAGTCCGGGCGTTCGGCGAGGAGGGAGGACAGCTCACGACGTTGACGCTTATTCCGGATGATGCGATCAAGTTGAGGAGGGAGGTCAAGATTGACCGGATCTTGCTGTACACCGTCTTTGGCTATGTGAGTGCTCCATCGGTTCAATAGTCAGATACTGAGCTGATATGCTAGTCATTCGAGTTCTTGCCCGGCAAGCCCCATCTCCCCGCCATCCCCGAGGACAAGGCCTGGTTCATCGAGTTCGTCAAGCGGGCGCAAGGCGACTCGGGCCTCGTCTCGACTACGAAGGCGAACCCAGTCGATCTCCGTCAGGGCGGTCTGGAGGGGATCAACGAGGGGTTGGACCTGCTCAGGCAGAACAAGGTATCGGGGAAGAAGCTGGTGTATAAGGTAGAGCAATGAGCGGCAAAGGACAGATGCAAGTCTAGCGGATGAAGAAACGGCGGCCTTCCACTCATTGCCACGCTACAGTCTTCTCGATTTACTAAAGACGGTTGACTAACTGACTACCTAACCATCACTCCACTGCAGTAGGCCAAAATAGCCACATTGAGATTACCGCGCGAAGCCGAAGTCACGATCGACCAAGGGCGACCATCGCGGCTGGTGGACGCAAATGGAGGTAAAGCTTCCTCATGTACGCCTCCCATCCAGCGCGGGATTGGCCCAGTATTGAAGGTCGGCGGGCCATAGCCTCCCCCTTTCACTCCTCGACTAGGCGGTGTATGAGAGGAGGGGCTCGAACTGCATCATTCCGGGGTCATGTATTCCGAAATGAGAATACCGGTGCATCATACAGATAGCTTCAGTAGCGCTACATGGTCGGAATCTCTCCCGCTCTGGATCCACGATGTCCATGGTGCCGTCGGCCCTGGAGATTCTAGTGATTTCAAGTCAGCAGTGCCTTGCCAGGATCCCGTGATTAGTCCCTTACTGCAACCTGAAGGGAACCCGCGAGATGTCTTCAAGATTGATAGTGTAGTAGTCTAAGACAACAGGTATACCATAGCTGACTGATATCCATACCTCTCAAACCCTCACCTCGAGCCTAACCAGTTAGATCGCCCCCCACCGCCCTTTCCAGGTTCTTCCTCATTCGCTTCTTCTGCTCCGCGATATCAAGCACCCCATCATTAGCTCCCGCCCTCCTCCGCCCCGGCGCTGGCGCGTCCTCTTCCCTTCCATGGAACATGACATTCTCAATGAAGGTCGCGGCGGCCTGTTCCGAGAACTCCACTTGACGCTGGCCCCAGCGCCACTCGATGGAGGGTGAGTCAAGCGCGGCCGGATTGGGGATTCTGACCTTTTGGAGGTAGTGTTGGCGGTCGAGAAGGTCCAGGTACTTTTGAAGGGTGAGGGGCGTGGTGTTGGGGGAAGTGCGGGAGTGGTAAGGAAGGACAGTGTCCTCTTCGAGGGAAAGGCGACGGAGGAACAGCTTGAGTTGTTCTGAGATCTCAGCTGGTACTGGATGCAGAGGAACTGGTGACTTACCGTCAGTCATGACTCGGCCGTTGCTCATGACCAAGCAGAGGATGATGGTGCGGATACCGAGCAGCGCGATATGGCCAGATTGGGTGCTGTCGCCATTTTGCCAGTCAAGAAGCGCCCCGTTGTCCGGTTCTTCATCCTGCACAGGATGCTCGACGGGTATAGGTTGCGGATCGGCCATTTGATTGACGAGCTTGGGCGCGAGGATGGATCGCAGAATGAAGAGACCAGTCGACGGGCCAGCTGCGGGGGTTAGTATTCGAAATTCAGAGTAGCCTCTCAAGGAAGCGAATCTACTCACCCTTGCCCTTCTTCTTTTTCTTCTCCACTACTTCCTCCTCTGACTCCTCCGACTCGTCCTCGCTGTCCTGCCGTCTTCTTCCCTTGCCCTTCTTTTGCGTCGCCTGCGTCGCCTCAGCTGTCTGGGACGCCACAGCCTCATCATGTTGCCTTTCGATCTCGCGGAGATCGTCCCCCGCCTTGTACTTTTGCTTGAGCTCGACCAGCTCCATCCCGAAGACCTTCTTGAGCGTCTCCTGAGCCTTGCTGAGGACGACCGGGAAATGGTTAGCCGGCTGTTTCACTGCGCCGCCATCAGCGATTTTCTCGCAATACCACAAAGTCTTGACTGACAGGTGGTGGACACATCCGCTCGCTTCAGTGGCTTCTTATTAAGCTCGCTGGCAAAGGCGAGCCGTATAAGCTTGGCTGCCTTCTTCTTGAGCACCTGAGATATTCAGCTCCAGCGTCCATGCAGGTGTCTGTTGTGCTGGTAACTCACCTCTTCTGACATCCCCTTTGTCCCCTGGGTAGCCGTAGCTTCCTCCTCGGAAGTCATATTGACCTCTTCCTCTTCTTCCCCCTCGGCCGGCGCCCCTCTCCGTCTCCGTCCAGGCTGAGACTGTGACTGTGTTGAGGATGAGCGAGGCATACTGGGACAGGTTGATGGATGGATAGGGGGAAGGAAACGCGTGAGATTTCGGACGCGCCTGGACGGCTTGGACGCGTTTGGCTCAGAGGGGTCAAGTTTCCCACGATCGTCCCCGTGCCTGAGCGGCGTCAGCGAGAGATTCTTGGGCAACCGACTTTTGATCGCAACTATCCCACCATCTACCCATCTACACAGCACTTCTAGAGCCACCAGCAGCACACGATGAGCACAGCTGTATCGCCCTCCGAGAGATCCTATATCATCACCGGTCTCGCTCACCCTACACATCCAACACGGCTCGACGGACGAGGTCTGCATCAGAGCCGACCGATCTTTATCTCGTACGGAGATGCACCGCAGGCGAGCGGGAGTGCTCGTGTCACATTAGGCGGGACGGAGGTTCTGGCTGGAATCAGGCTGGAAGTCAGCGAGCAAGGAGAGAGCTCAAGATGTCGGGTGGAGGTAGACGTGTGAGCTTACGTCCCAGAAGTAGCGCAGAGTCAGAGCGTTGACTGATTGCCCAGAACGCCGCAGGCATACCCAACGCTCGCTCCATCAGCGCTGACAGCAATGTCAACGCAGCTCTCCAGCGTGGTCTCAGACCACTTTGTCCCATCAATACCGTCATTACCGATTGTTCCGCAGATAAAGTAAGTCCGACTAGCTTCGCTGCCTGCTGGCAAGCTGATCTGGCAGATACTTTGTCCCTCATCTCCACCTCACCCTCCTCTCCAACTCCGGAAACGTACTCACGACTCTTATCCTCGCTGCCCGAGCGGCATTTCACGATCTGCGGGTACCGAAAACAAAAGTCATCTCGTCCGGCGCCGCAGATGATGTGGACGAGCAGAAGGATCTGAGTGGGATCAAGGCGGCAGTCAGGGCTGGACGGTCCGGAGGACGGGGCAAGGGAAGGGGGACGAGCGGAGTGGAGTGGGAACTGGACCTGGAGGGAGACGGAACCATGCCAATGCCGGGGAGGGAGACGTTGCCGGTCTTGGTCACGCTGAATCTTGTGAGTATTGCATCTGAGAAGACTGTACGCCGAGCTGATATAGCAGATACCGGACAGCACGACTGTCTTCCTCGACGCGGGGCTTCAGGAGGAGACCGCATGTCCAGATCGACTGCATGTCTTCTTCGATGCGGGTGGCAAGGTGTGCGGGATGCGGATGGAGGGGGAGGCAGGCCTGGATGTGGACAGGATACGGCCTTTATTGAAGGTACGCAACTCTTCGCGAGCTTTTTGGGAAGGGTCTACATGCTGACTGTTCCAGGAGGCCCAGGGCGTTTCGGTCGAACTATTTGCCAGCTTGAGCCAGATCGCAACATCCTGATGTACTCGAGTACCCAGGATTCGCGAGCTCCGGCAAGCGGGAGCTTCAACCTTACAAGCCCGCAGACCTAGCCATACTCCGGTCCTGTGCTCATCGTGCGGCTGCTCAAGAAGTCGGGACGCTCACTATCCTAATGTTCGCTTCTGATCACCGGGTTGCCACATCGTTAGGCGTAGACCGAGTCGTCCGGGCCGTGTCCTAGCCGAACTTACCCATCGGAGTGACCGATCTATACACGGCGGGAGGCAAGAATGTCTGCTTGAGCCTTTATCCTCTACGGTGAGATGATCGGGGAAGACAGACCGGACGACAAGCCTTGACGCAGGCCGGGCGAGTAACTGTACTTTATCTGCGTCATTCCTTCGGCCATCGTCGCTTCTACCAGCTCGTCGATTCCTTATGACGGGGTCTGCGTAGCGTAGCCATACTTTCAGCTTCTGTTCCGTCGGCAGCGAGCACGGGAAGGCGACTATCTATACTCTAGGGTGACAACTGGCAAGAGCCACTCGTCTTGTCTTGGCTTTCCGGGATTCAGTTTAACGTTACGCTGCGACTTTTGCCGATTGCGTCACTGCTTTTGTGAGCGCTGCAGCTGCGAGCTGCGCAAAAGTCGATGAGGTCCATGTCATACAAAGTACAAAGCATATAGCCCATCACGCCTTGACGAACTGTACATCTACCATCCTCGCCACCTCGCCTCCCCAGAATCATATACGGATTCGATCTGTCTCGGAGCTGTTCCACCCCAAACAAGAGGATTGCCAAGACATTTCTTGGTAGTTACGACACGACCGCAGCTGTCGACCAAGCAAAGCACAGCTCATCAACGCAAAGCCATCCTTGCTTTATATATCTATCCTTCAATCTAGACTTGACCATCACCTGAGGTCCTCTCACACGCAGTCCGTCATTCGCCCACCCCGGCGCCAAAAAGTATAGACGTTAACCGGTCCTTCGGCCGACGTCACCATCTTCGATGCTCCCCTCAATATCCCTCCTCTCTTCCCTCTCCTTCCTCCTCCTCACCTCCGCCACCCCCTCACCGACCCCAGAACCCCTTCGGCTCCCCCTCATCAACCTCGACTCCCGGCAATATGACCCCGACATCAATGTCCGCCGCTCATGGCTGGACGACCAAGCGGCGGGTCTCCGGTCCAAATACGCCTCGCAGCTCGAGGGCCGAACCCTCGATATCCACCGTCGGGAGCTCATTGAGCGGGATATGAAGAAGCGGGCTGTGGGGAACGTAACGTTGGTCAATGTCGGGATCGACGCGAGTTATGCTGCGCCAGTCCAGATCGGGAATCCGGCGCAGACATTCTTGTTGATCCTGGATACGGGGTCGTCGGATCTGTGGGTAGCGGGGAGTCAGTGTACGACGGCGACGTGCCGCGCGACGACGACGTTCACGTCGAGCTCTAGTAGCTCGTTTGCGAGCACGAATGACCCGTTCAGTATCACGTATGGGAGTGGGCAGGCGCAAGGTGTCATTGCGCAGGATACGGTGGCGATGGGTGGATTCTCGGTGAATCAGCAGGGGTTTGGTGAGTCGCTTCCTCATCGTGGTTGTCCGAGAGATCTGGAGTCTGACTCTACAGCTGTTGTCAACGCAACTTCTGCCAACCTCATTCGGTCCCCGATTTCAGGGCTCATGGGTCTCGCCTGGCGAGCGTTGGCTCAGACAGCCGCGACGCCATTCTGGCAGACGCTTGCTGCGAGTGGGCAGTGGAGTTCTCAGGAGATGGGATTCTACATGCGGAGATATAGGGGTGTATCAGGGGTGCAGAGCGTGGAGCGGCAAGGAGGGGAGTTCATCATGGGGTGAGTTTTCGCAGCACGGAGCTTTCGACCTGAAGCATGCCGCTGACTATGGTAGTGGCGTGGATACTGCCCGATTTACCGGAGACATCAACTACATCTCACTACCACAATCATCGCTTGATTTCTGGCGGATACCTGTCCAGGGCATGACCGTGCAGGGCAACAGCGTCTCCTTGGTGAGGCTCATCCTCCTTTTTCCTCGGGGCAATAGTAGCTAATTATTCAGAACTCCCCCCAAGCCGCCATCGACACCGGAACAACCCTCATCGGCGTTCCCTCCACCGTCATCAAGTCGATTTACGCCCAAATTCCCAGCTCCTCAGCCATGTCTGCCAGCTCGGGTTACGAGGGCTACTACCAGTACCCTTGCTCGACAAACGTCAGCGTTACCATGCAGTTCGGCGGACTGAGCTACCGGATCTCGGCGCAGGACTTCAACTTGGGCGCCTTCAACACGAGGGATCCGACCATGTGCACGGGGTGTTTCTTCGAGATGAACCTGTGGGTCTTTTCCTGCTTTCGGTATGAAGCCATAGCTGACAGGCTCAGGAGTAGCGCCAGTCCCGCCCAGTGGATCGTCGGAGCTAGTTTCTTGAAGAATGTCTACTCCACGTTCCGGTACAACCCCCCGGCGATCGGTTTCGCGGCCTTATCCGGCAGCAGCGACACCATCACAACTGGCAATGCAGCCAACACCAGCACAGTGGGCACTGGAGGAAGTAAGAGTGCTGCCGGGCGTAGTATGGAGCTCGGATTGGGGGCGATGGGTCTGGCGGTAACGGCAGGAGTGGCGGGGTGGCTGGCTGCTGTATGAGAAGGACGGGGTAGATGTTTGTGTAAGGAGTGAGAATCGGCTCGTAGACGGGCGAGGACTGTAGCATCACTAGCATCAGCACTAGCAATGGCTTGTATCAGACAGATATCGCATGCATCTCTCGCAGATAATGATAACAAGGCCCAAGGCATGATCGAAGACCCTGAGGGAAGATCTGTGATAAGGATAAATGAACGCCTCTTGGCAAAAGTATAGTCGCGCAGTCTGGACTCTTGTCGTTGCTCCTCATTCTTTGCTTATAGATATCTTCATCTATCTGTTTACTACTCTGCTGCAGGTCAGCTCTAGATTGCTCAGATCGACTCTGGGCGCCCAGAATCTCCCAATAGTCTCGACTTTCGATATAGTATAGATTGAAACGAACACTCAACTGTATTCACCACCACACGTGCCCACTGAGATCTGAGACCGCTCTGACCGGAGCACGAAGGGAGGGGCACCAACGCATCACCCCGCATCCGTTTCATCACAACCCCTCGCCTCCCGATTGTCTGGCGCACACAGCTATTGTCAGCTTGCCAAGAGGGCAACAGGAGGGGAAAGAAGCGAAAGGGCGTGTTTCAAAGTCCGATCCGAGTGGACGGGACTCAGGGGAGGGTGGGGTCATCAGCCATAAGGACGGTCCATTTGGACCTAGGTGAGTCTTACCAGCTGTGTATTGGCCACACTTCGAATGAGAGCCGAACTGATATATATCTTCCTTTACTTCTTGCTTATCCCCTCCGCCTTTACTCTGCACCGCTGTTCGCCACCCACCACCACAATCCACTTGCGACTGACCCGTCGTCGCTATGCCTCCTCCACCTTTCCTCGACTCGTTTGTCCGAGCAGACGCACCATCGGCCATGTCGAGCATACTCGAGAGCGCGATAGGCCATGCCGCAAGTCGCCTCAGGGAGCTGTCGCCGCGGGATATCTCGGTGAGTAGAGCTTGCCGCAAGGTCGGTGGAGGACAGGTGCTGATACTGCAGTCGACCATCCTCAATGGCAACGATCCAACAACGGTGGATCCTAGTCATGTAAGCTCTGGGGACTCTCTGAGAAGTCTCCGAATCTAACAGTACAGCCCATCACCCTCTTCATCATCCAGCTCCTCATCATCATCGCATTCACCCAATCCCTCGGCTGGGCATTCCGGTACATCAAGCAGCCCGCCGTCATCGCCGAGGTCATTGGCGGTATCATCCTCGGTCCCACCGTCATGGGTCGTATTCCCGGCTTCACCCAGCACATCTTCCCCCAACCCTCCGTCACATATCTCAACCTCGTCGCGAACCTCGGTCTTATCCTCTTCCTCTTCCTCATTGGCCTCGAAGTCGACGTCGGCGTCATGAAGCGAAACGGCAAGGCCGCTGCACTTGTCTCTGTCGCTGGGATGGTCTTACCATTCGCACTGGGCGCTGCCGGTGCTGTACCAACATACCACAACTTTGTGGATACCAGCCGGGTCTCGTTCGGCCACTTTCTGCTCTTCGTCGGTGTCGCCATGGCCATCACCGCCTTCCCGGTCCTCTGCCGTATCCTTACCTCCACCAAGCTCCTCGATACTCGGGTCGGAGTCATTGTCCTCGCCGCGGGCGTAGGGAACGATGTCGTCGGATGGGTCCTGCTCGCGCTCACCCTCGCGCTGGTGAACGCTGGTAGCGGACTGACAGCACTCTACATGCTGCTGCTGGCAGTGGCTTGGACCATCCTCATGCTCTGGCCGATCAAGAAGGGGTTCCGCTGGTTGGCGAAGCGGACCGGAAGCCTGGACCACGGGCCTACACCGGCGATGATGACTGTTACGCTGGTCATTGTCTTCATCTCGGCCTTCTTTACCGGTATCATTGGTAAGCTGAAGATCCCCCAGATGTCCGTGAACCGGGACAAGCTGACTCGGACAGGTGTACACCCCATCTTCGGTGCCTTCATCGCTGGTCTCATCATTCCTCACGAAGGCGGTTTCGCCATTGCGCTCGTGGAGAAGATTGACGATTTAGTCGCCATGCTTTTCCTGCCAATCGTGAGTAACGCCTCTTCTCGATCGAAGGGACCAAGTTGATCAGTCAGTACTTTGTCCTTTCTGGACTCTCTACCAACCTCGGCCTGCTCGATTCAGGCATCTCATGGGCCTACATCATCATGTTCATCGTCATTGGATGGTTCGGCAAATTTGCCGGATGTGCAGCAGCGGCAAGGTGGTTGGGCTATACGCTCCGCGAGAGTGGGGCTATTGGCATGTTGATGAGTTGTAAGGGGTAAGTGTTTTCTTCTGAAAAGCTGAGAGAGGAGACTAGCTAATACACAGTCTCGTTGAGATCATCGTCCTCAACGTTGGCTACAATGCCAAGATCATCGACCAGCGCTTATTCTCTATGTTCGTCGTCGTCGCTGTCGTCCTTACTTTCGTCACTACGCCCGGTACGCTCTGGATCTACCCCGAGAAACACCGCATCCGTGGTACCGCAGCCAACGACGGACCTTCTCGGCGCAAAGACAAGGAAGGGCAGACTGCCGGGCTCAGCACGCTAGCGGGTGCCTCGGGCGGCCGGGAGCAGACGGATCGGATCCTCGTCGTCTTGCAAAAGATCGAGCATCTATCGGCGGTCATGTTCATCACGCAAATGCTCGAGCCGGCTTTCAAGTCTCGCAGTCCGCCTGTCGCGTCCGACCAGGCGCTGATCAAGGCGTCGGCCGGGAAGCACCACGGTGGAGACGGCGACATCTCGGACGTCTCGGTCAAGTCGTCTCCCTCGCGGAACTCTACGGCTCTGCCTACTCTTGGCGAGCAAGCCAATGCGGACGGCGGCCTCCGAATCGACGCACTCAAGCTTATCGAGCTTACTGGGCGGACGTTCTCGGTCATGCAGTCGGCGGAGAAGGATCAGCTGCTCCTCACGGACGATGCCCTACAGCTGTTCAAACAGTTTGGCCGGCTCAGAGGCTTCGAGATTACCCCACATATCGATATCGTCGGTGCCGACTCGTACCCCCAAGCTATCGCTGAGCGCGTCACCAACCTCGACTCGGAACTCGTCCTCCTTCCATGGACCATCCCCGTCGTTGGCCAGTCCAGCATGCTGATCGACCCCTCGCCCGAGGCAGCCATGCGCGAGGGCATCCCCGTCGCTCCTTCCACTTCACCCTTCGAGTCCATCTTTGGACTCGACTCGCACGGCTCACCCATGTACACCCACTTTGTCCGTCGGGTCTTTGCGGAATGTCCCGCTGATATCGCCCTTTTCGTCGATCGGGGCTTCGGGTCATCCAGCAACTTTACGCCGGGCGCGGGTCAGCACATCTTTATGCCCTTCTTTGGCGGTCCAGACGACCGGCTGGCGCTCCGCTTCGTCGTGCAACTATGTCAGCATGAGGGGGTCAGCGCGACGGTGGTCAGGATTGAGAAGGAGGGCGAGGGTTACTTTGGCGAGTCGGGCGGTGATGAAGCTGCCAGGGCGCACCAGGCGGCTCTGCAGAACAACCAATTGACTATACATCCTTCTGTGAGTCTGCTACCTCGCTTGAAAGGGCATGGCTGACCGAACAGCAATCACCCCAGGTCATCAACAACCTCATGTCCGAGACAGCGGACGGTATCGCCTGGGAGTACTACACCTCTCCCGACAATGCTCACGTATCACACATCACCACCGCTCTCCAGCGGGTCACCTTCCACTCCCTCAAATCCTCCACTCCGCTCACCTCCACCCTCAACAACGCCGAAGTCACCGCGGCAACTACCTCGGGACATCACATGTGGCGGCCTCTGCTCATTGTCACTGGTCGTGGCCGGCGCGCTGGCGCGATGAACCACGAGAATGAGCTTAATCGCTTGTTGAGCGACAAGGGGCGGGATCCGAGCGTGGGCGCCGAGCTGAGAAAGACGGTGGGGGATGTTGCGACGAGCCTGATACTTGGTGGTGGAAAGGGGAGCGGGGCGAGCTTCTTGGTGCTGGAGAGTGGGGCGGGCAAGGGCGTGTCGGCTTAGGGCTTCCGGGCTGGGCAATGTACGATTAGGTATCAAACGTTAATTACAGGGAGTGTCGTTCTTGTCAATGTGCATGTACAAGTATTTGGCATATCGCTTTCCGTGCGGGATATCCACTCTCTGTGCGCACCGTATGTGCGCATGTCAGGCATTATACGACGAAGCTGTGCTCGGCGTAATTAGCGCATGTAGCTAGTGTTAGCACCGCCGCCGCCACACTCCGCCGCACCTATATCCTTCCCCGCCTTCTCCGCGTTCATGAAGCTTATTAAAGCATCCGACGACGTCATTCCTCGCTGTGCCTGAGCGTACCCAAAATTGTATTACCTCCGATGAGAAAGCTATTCTCGCCGTTGTACCCGAACGGCACACAGACTCGGCACCGCCCTCGCCGTCACGGGAAGATTGAGGCGCACACGACCTACGATGGCCATCGCATGGGATCACCCCGCCTTCACTACCTAGACACTTTAGCGCGATAAGATCGATCAAGATAGAGAGGCTGTGCCTTCCTTCTTCCTTCTTCCCCTTCACATATATTGTACATCCAGTATAGGTTCGCCCTCTTCAACGTCATTATCAGCTTGACATCCTGAAACGGATTCATCACATCAAAGGTAGGTCCTTTGGCTGCTGGGGTCCTTTGTGCCAGAGGTCAATGTTTCCGATGACGATGTGGGAGAAATAGTGGAGGATGAAGTTGAGGCGCTGAGGAGGACATCGGAGATCGTCATGCCAGCCCTACCCTTGCTGACTCGAACAGGTCGCACAGACAGTCAACTTCCGAACCGCCCATCCAACGAAGCTCGCTCTCAGAAGGTCTCATATACATCATCCGGGCTCAGACATCTAGCGTTCCTGCTCTGCAACACACCTAGTCTGCCGTCATGACCGCCGTAGCCACATATCACTCAACTCCCTCATCATCCCCTTCCTCCTCGGCATATCCCTTCCCTCCCGCTCCTCGCATCCCATACGAAAATCACCCACGGCGACCCTCCAGTTCCAACTCGCACACCTCTCTGCTCGGCCCAGTCCTTGAGGACGATACCGATCAGTCCTGCTCTATCCGCCCAGGGCGCAAGATTCTGCGTCCGAGCAGCTCGGTGTCCATGTCGAGGGGAAGTTCGGTGGAGGATATGGCCGAGTGGGTACTGGATATGATGGCGGTCCAGGGCGGCAAGGCGAGATGGGCAGAAAGGGAGAGGGTTGTTTTGGTTCTCGGAGGTGAGTCTATAATACTGTCCGTTATGAATGCATTCTCAGCTGATTGTCCAGACTGCTCTACGGATCTGCTTGAACCCCTCACGTCCAACCCGGCTTTTTCGAATACCCTCATCCTGGCCCCTTGCAATGCTCCGTCCTCTCCAACGCATCCTTCCTTCGAGGTCCTGGCGTCCGAGGACTTGCAAGACGCCGTCAACGAAGCCACTTCCTTGTCCGCGGCATATCGGAAAAAGAACAAGAAGAAGTATCGGTCGGCCCACGCTTCCGCCTCGGCATCCCCCTTCGACGCTATTCTGCACTTCCTGCCCTCCCCACTCTACTTCGACCCCACCATGGCCCTGCAGCGAATGCTACGGGAAGCCATCATGGCTACCACGGTCGCCCTCGCCTCACTGGCATCATTCAGGCACAATACCCAGCCGAGCAAGGGCAAATCGGCGCCCGCACATGATATGCCCATCCCGCTCATCCATATCATCCCCTCCGGCTCACCTAGCGCCCTTCCCGTCGTTGTTGAGCGATACCTCCTCCAACTTCTGCCTTCCCTCTCCGGCTCGGCCTCCTCACGCACCATCCGGCCCCTCGTCCTCTCCTCTTCCGCATGGAGTACCCGCAGTATCCCCTTCTCTCCCTCCGCACCAGCGATCGACGCCCTCCTCTTCGGCGGCCTCGATCCCGCCTCCACCCCTAAAGTGGCTTTGGCATCATGGGACCGCGTCCTCCCTACCTCGGCAGCGTCATCCCCAACAGCTCCGAGCTGGGACTCTGCGCTGGACGTCAACACGGACAGGCGCGACTCCTCCACGTCTACTTCGACCCTCGGATCCTCATCATCGCTCCACGGACCTATCACCCCGCAGAATGCCTCGTACGCGGACATGAGCGAGACTATCCGTCGGAGTTCGCAGCATATGCCGTCCAGGCTGAGTTATGTCGAGACGTTTGAGGATGAGGGAACGCAGGGAGAACAGGCTGGGGGTGGAACGATAGGGAAGAAGGGAGGCAAGGGCGTGTTTGGGTGGATGAAGCGGAAGGCGTAGGCGTATGGAGGAGTCTACCCCCTAGGCTGTCAAGTTGGGCAATTCCCAATACTGTACCTGTCTGTAGCACTAGATTAGATCACCATCGCATACCATACACATAGACATACATGCATGCTTTCTCTTTCAATAGATTGGCTCCTGATCTCAGCGAAGCACTGGAATATTTTCCAGATCCCAAGCGCAGAGGTCAACTCTCCTCCGACTTGGTCACAGGGATTGGGTTGGCTGGAGATACCAGGTCGGCACAAGAGCGCTCTGCTCTGCGTCGATGAGTGCGTGAAAAGGCGAATGATTGATTGTGATACCGTGACTATGAGTACAACATGATTTCCTCGATGTCCTGGATCCACCTCTTACAGGCCTTTCAGCGGCTCCAATCCTAGACTGATCACACCCGCCTCGACCTCATTGTTCCAGAACGTCTTGAGATCCCATCCTCCGCCTCGTACCTTCCCCTCCCTGTCCTCTTTGACCCAGACGACCCAGCTCCGCCCGTCCACATACTCCTCTTTCGGGCTGTACCAATCCCTGTAACCCCCTTCTGGTGGATTATAAGGTATGGCGACATAAGGTCCCGTATAGTCGTCCGCGAGCGGATCCGTCGTGTTCTCCTCTTTCGCCTCGTCTTTCGCCTGATTGGCAGGCATAGCTTTCGCGAGCGTCGCGGCTCGATGTTGCTTGGCCAGCTCATGCCGCCCCCTCACTTCCTCCGCCTTGGCGACGAGCCCCTTGCCCAGCGCATCGATGATCTCCACCTTGACCCGTTCTTCCTCCGCCCGCTCGAACCGCCCGGCCTCCTCTATCATCCGGACCCGCTCTTCCCGGCCGCGTTTGTCCACCTCGTCCCGCTCAGCCTGGGATAGCAGCTCGAGGGCGAGCCGTTCTTTGTTGGAGGCGATGAGGGAGGTGTTGGACCGGGTGTAGGATGCGATCGCCTTTTCGGTAGCTTCGACGTCAATCTCGTTGAGGAGGTTGAAGGCTGCTCGTCAGCTACCTGCCCGGCCTGCTATGAGGTCAAACAGGAGGTCATACTCCAGTTCTCCACATTCTCGAGGTAGTCATCATACTCCCTCATATTCTCAAAATCACTCTCCCGCTTATTGAACCTGATCATCAGCATACGTTCCAGGTCCCACCCGCTCAGAGGACGACTCACGTCTCCGCCATCCGCCGCCGCACGCTGACCTCCCGCTCCACCCTCAGATCCTCAAACGTCTGATGCTGGAAGTTGGCTTTTCGCAGTACACGCCCGCAGGTCGGACATGGCTCTGGGCCCAGCGTGAACAATCGGTCAATACATGACTCGCACATCCTGTGATAGCATGGCGAGACGAGCAGCCGGAGCGTCGGGTTGAATTGGCGGTCGGTATGGCAGATAGGGCAGACATCTTGCTCGGACTGCTTAATCAGCTACGCTCCCCGACCGTACCACGGATGGCTTACCGAGAACTCTGAGACGCGCTTGCTCCCATCTTTCACGCCAGCGAGGTACAGATACCCCTCATCCCCGCCCTTAGCGGACGGACCGATCCTCGACCCAGACCCAGACCCAGAGGCTATACCGCTGCCACTGCCGCTGGCTCCGCCGGACTTTCGGGGCGCGGAGGGCTTGATGCCGCGCGCGCTGAAGATGCCCTTCTTAGCTGCAGCGCCTGCTGAGGGCATCGCGAGTAAAAGGCTCAGAGGGATATGGTCAGATGAGAGTTGAGACGAGGAGAGTTATGGACCTTGCAGCACCGCGCTCTCTCAGCGGCGGATCTCGGTAACGTAATTCCTGGCTGCACCAACTTTCTGCAGCTGTTGCAGCCAAAATCTCTTCCTCTTGCACCTCGTCTCGACCAACAGCAACCATCCCAGAACCGCACACTACAGCCATGATCGCTTCTACAAGTCGCCTACCAGTGCTTGCCGCTCTTTCTCGGACCTTTGCGACGTCCGCGCGGTCTCTAGCGAAAGCGCCATTGGCTCCGAGCGGTACGTCCGATATATTATCCCTTTGTGCCCTCCACAAAGCTACAGGCCTCGGCCTGAACCACTGCCCCGACATCAAGCAAAGTGGTCCTTGTCGTGCTGACTGTATTCAGCTGAAGCAGCAAACCCTATCGATCTCCTCACCAAGATCGGACGCGGGGCGGAGAAGCGGTTAGCAGCACAGGCAGACAGCTGGGAGACACTTAACGGGGCGTGGATGAAGGGAGGTGAGGGACTCAAGAAGAGCGGACTGAGCGTGAGGGATAGAAGGTGAGCTCTGCACCTCGACATCACCTCTTACTTGAAGCCAAAGGTCTGGAGGAACTGAAGGAAAGAAGACAAGCGCTGAATCACAGATACGTTCTCTGGGCATTCTCGCGGTACTCTCAAGGCGAAGCTCTGGATTTTCTGAGTGGACCAAGAGTAGCGAAGAAGTACCGTGGGTGAGTGCAGGTCTCAAGTACCAGGTTGCGGGCAATGCTGACTATGCCTCCCCAATGCCTTTTCATGATCCTCGCTGCAATTCTATCCCGCTTCTTTCCATCGACGCCTCTCCCGCCATCTATCCGCCTAATACGCCTACATGATCACTCAAACAGCTGGGGGCCTAGAGTACAACATGGCATTCGGGTAAAGTAGTCTTGCTTATGCGACTATGCGATGATGTCTATGGGTTGTAGTCGTTGGTTCTGAAAGGTCAGCACGATGTCTGATCAATGTGATACGGCTATCGCCTCTGAAGAGGTATGAGATGGCTCACGCATGGTCTAGTGGGTCTGCACCTTTTGCCCAACTTGGCTCTCCTCCTGCTCGCACAGTCCCCTGTCTGCACATTCTGCTCGTCCGCATCGCTTGCTCGCAGCCAACCCTACTTCTTCGTGTCTCCCTCCAATTCCCTTCTCACCCTATCCCACTCCGCCCCGGCCAATCCTTCTAGACCATCCCCGCCCGCTGCTCCAGCTGCCTGTGCCCGCCTCTCCTTCGCCATTCCCCACTTCCAAGCTGCCAGTTCGCGCAGCGTATGTCCCTCTGGCGGTGCCGATCGTGGGTTCGTTTCGTGTAGATAGTAAGCGAGAAGGCCTGTGAATACTCCGAGGAGAGGATCAAGGGTACGTGAGAGGAGATAGACTTTGGGCATGATGCTGTAGGTGGGTGGTGAACAGGGTGTGAGGTGCAAAGGCAGAAGTTAAGGACCAGAGGGCGAGGGTTGGTGAATAGGATTAGCGGGATCAAATAAACCTAATGACGTTTTGAAACTTGAATAAAGTTCAGTCGACGTTTCAGAAGCGTATATGGGCAGCGAAGACGATGAAAGAGGCGACGTGGAAGGGCCATCGGCCAATCATACCATATCTCCTTGTATAGCAGCATAACGCTTCCTAAGGCTCGCTTCCATAGGATCAGCATCGCCCGCCAGCTCGCCTCGGCCTTCCGGCAGTCCCAGTCGCGCCAAAAGTGGCTTGACAGCGCTAGTGCCAGCACGTCCCTTACTGCCTCCGTCATCCATCTTCAACATGGTCGCGACTCGGTAAGCCTTCTGTCTTCCATTAACTGCGCCTCCATGAGCTGCCTGACCGCATACTGTAGCATATAGCCGTGGCTGACACCGCAGCGCCGCCTCTCGAAACCCCACACCCGCCCCCTCCTCCCCACCTCCCACTTCCCCCTCTTCTCCCGAGACGCCGTCATCAAAGTCCGAACGCGTCGAAATGACCACCTCTCTCTCTGGTGTAGAGACCACCCGCATGGCGACCTCAGCAGGCGAGATCACTGTCCGGCCTTTCCGGTCAAGCTCGAATGCGCAACTCAAGGCGGTGCTGAGTTTTACGCCGAGGACGTCTGCGCTGGACAGGCAGAACGTGGCGAGTCAGACGGACACATTTCGGGGATTCTTCACGCTTTTCTGGATAGGTGAGCTTCCTCATCACTTCCTCGGAGATATCCCAGGTGGACACAGCTGATATCATAGGCTTAGCGCTACTATTCTGCCGCACCTCCCTCGAATCATGGGAGACCAACAAAACTCCCCTCTCATGGACCTTCGGCCGACTGATCACCCGCGATGTCTTCGTCCTGGCATTCTCAGACGCACTCATGGTCCTCTCCATGTTCCTCTGCGTGCCCTTCGTTAAGGGATTGCAGAATGGGTGGTTCCGGTATCACTGGACTGGAGTGGTCATTCAGCATCTCTTCCAGACGGCGTATTTGGGCGTAGCTATCGCTTGGGGCTTTGTGAGGGACTGGTATTGGGTACAAAGCGGGTTCTTGGTCTTGCGTAAGTGGATCTTGGGCTCGCAGATTATCCGCGTCGGTAGACGAATGAGCTGACTGTTTCAGATGCGCTTTCCAATATGATGAAGGTCAGCTCATCCAGAAGTCACTATCCTTCCGGTCAGAGCTGACTTGGCAGATGCACTCGTACATGGCGCATAATGGGATGCTGAGCAACGTCGCCAGGCGTCTCAAGACCGAACGAGCCGAACTCGACCGATACCTTGGTACCCTCCCCGGCGGTCGGGAGGCTGCATTGGCGCAAGCTAGCCAGCGACGGTCCGAGCTCGAAGCAAAGGAGGCACAAGAGTCTACCACCCCGGTTGGGACGCCCGGACCTGGCACTCCCTCCCTGTCCGCGGCGATCAGCCTGGAGAATGTCGCTGGAGGGAACGGGACGATGACGCCTGGGAAAGGCAGGGGGTTGACGGGGTACGAGTTCCCCGTTGCCGCCGCGCAGAAGTTGCAGGCTACGGCAGAGGGACGATCTCGGAGTGACAGTACCGGCGCGACATCGCCTACGCGCCCTCGGACCCCTTCGTCCGCAGCGGCCAACTCCGTCCGCCGGCGTCGCAAGTCCAAGCACCTCGCTAGGGATGCGCTACCCACCCCTGAGCCGAATCTACCGCACGGAACATCCCTCGAGCCATCAGCCAACACGACGCCCCACGAGCCGCGCGCACCGCATCTGCTGGGCTGGTCAGAGGACGAAAAGATAGCGCTGCTCGCGCGGAACATTGATGCGATGGAGGATGAGCTGAGGAGCAATGGGGCAAAGGGGCTGGTCTGGCCTCAGAACGTGACGTATGCCCACTTTGCGGACTTTATGATCATCCCGACCCTGGTGTATCAGCTGGAGTATCCGAGGACAGCTACGTAAGTCTTCCTCGCTGGCAGGGGTATCAGTGGATGCGGCAGAGCTTGACCCTGGCTGACAGTACAGAATGAACCCCTTCGTCGTACTCGAGAAGATCATCGCCACGTTCGGTACCTTCTCCCTGATCTACACCATCACCGAGCACTACATCCTGCCATATACGCCCAAACCGGAGGATACGCTCTTCAAGAGCTTTGTCAATCTTGCTTTGCCCATGATTATCAACTATCTGCTGTAAGTCATGTTTCGCAGAGTACATGTTGGCGATAAGGCTTTGAGCTGACTAGTCAGTATCTTCTAGTATGTCCAGCTGACCATAACAGCTCGTCCCAATGGAAATATGAGCCAAAGCTGACAAGTCAGCATCATCTTTGAATGCGTGTGTCAAGGTTTCGCCGAGCTATCATAGTAAGCTACCATCTTCGTGCCATCCTGTGAAGCCAGCTGACATTGTAGCTTCGCAGACAGGGAGTTCTACCAAGACTGGTGGAACTCGACATCATGGGATCAGTTCAGCCGGAAATGGAACAAACCCGTACATGTAGGTTTTCCCCACTTTCCCCACCTCCACCACCAGATTACTAACTTTGTTTCCGTACCGCTACTGATATCTCAGACGTTCCTCCTCCGTCATGTGTACGCCTCATCAATGGACGGTCTCCGCCTATCGCGCATGTCGGCCGCATTCGTGACCTTCCTCCTCTCGGCGCTATGCCACGAGCTCGTCATGGCCGTAGTGAGCAAGAAGGTCCGGCCGTACCTGTTCCTCATGCAGGTGAGCTCTGTCCCTCATGGTCATTCGTCTAGGAAGGCGTGGAGGAACGAGCTGATTTGCGTGTAGATGGGCCAGCTGCCGCTCATTGCGCTGGGGAGATTACCGATCGTCAGGCGGAACAAGACAATAGGGAATATCGTGTTCTGGATTGGTCTGATGGCTGGTTTCCCATTATTGTGAGCTGTCTTGAGCACCGAGCCTGGATCATCAAGCTGATATCTGCAGGGCGATAGGGTATCTGAAGTACTAGAGCAGAACGAAAGAGGACAGACGGACCGATCCGCCATCTTGATAGCGGAGACGAGGAATGATGAAGCCAAACGATCTGAGATGCAGCATGTTGGTCTGGCTTACTACCAGCTCAGGTACACTACTGCGGATCAGAGCTGCTGAGGTGATGTTCTGCACTTTGATTCATTTCCTTTTCTATTCGCACTATAAACTACAGGGTGTCCCGAGATTCCAATCTAGACAACGGAAAGGGGAGCTCCTAGATAAACCGAGAAAAGATAGATGAGATTTGAGATAGTATAAGCCGAGACTCTGAGGAGCTGTTCTATTTCCGATCCAACAACGCCTGAACGCTACAACCACTACTCGTAACTCCCCAACTCGAACCGCCACAGACCGTCGACCAGCGAAAGGACCAATAGCAAAGTGGAGGAAGGGATGCCGTTAAAGTGAGACCGAGCCGAGACCGCCGAGACCGGGTGATAGAAAAGGAAGGGGGTGTCTAATTCGCAGGGAGGGTTTGTTTGGGTATCGTATGTACATATAGTTGATTGATCATCATCTCGCCGTTCGCCTTGTCGGTTCATCGAAAGGATCAGAGGGCGGGTGGAGTGTGCTCGACGCCCGAGTGCCGACTGTTGACACTCTCCGGAGACGAGTACGAGTCCTCCTGACCCTGCCCTTGCCCCTGCTCCGCCTTGCCCTCGCTCTCGTACTGCCACTCCCCGCTACCGTGGCTGCTGTGGCCCTGCCCCTGGTGGTACGGGTGCTGGTGTTGGCCGCTGGAGGAGACCGGAGTGGGCATGTAGTGCTGGCCGGGGGAGGGGTGGTGCTGCGGGTGCTGGAGCTGATGCCCGTGCGGATACGAGTTGTAGACCGGGACATACATGGGCTGCCCGCCGTGCTGGGCGTGGGGATGCATGGGCTGGTGGTGCTGGGCCTGGATGGGCACGTAGTGGTATCCCTGGGGCGGGTACTGCATGCCGGGAGGGGGAGGGAGGTGTTGGCCGTGCTGGGAGGGGACGGGGTACATGGGCTCGCCAGCGGACGACATGGGCGTAGGGGCAGGCTGCCAGCTGGACCGACCGGTACCCGTGAACGCGATACCGACGGAAGGACCCCCTTGACCGGACGAGGGAGAGTACGGCTCGTGCTCGAGACGGCGGCGAGGAGCTTCCGGCGGGCTGATGGTACCGATCGCCAGCTGCTTGGACCGCGCGGTCGACTTGGCTTTGCCCGGAGGACCGACCGAGGACGACTTTTTGACGCTGGCGTGGGACGCGGTAGGCGAGGCGTTGGCGCCGGCGGGAGGGTGGTAGCCGCCCGAGTGGAACCACGATTCGCAGCCCGCTCGGATCGCCCACTTGCGCGCACCGCCCGATTGGTCGCCGTACGGCCGAGGGAGCTTGACGAATGCCTTGCACATGGAGGTCTGGTGGCGGACACCGTTGTAGACTTTGGAGGGGTTCTGGCGGTAGTCTGTAGCATCAGCGGTAGGTCTTGGTGGCTGACGTTATGGTGCGGCAAGGTGTGTATGGATGGGGAGGTGTGAAGGGAGGGAAAGGATGATGAGTACTCACATGTGTACCTCCGCTTGATGCTGTCACTAATCTCCGACACGTACAACTGATGCGGCGCCGCAGCGAGCAACAACGCCTCCCCGATCAACGCCGCATAGCTCATAGGCGGGCGAGGCGCCGGGAGCTCGCCGGGAGCGAGGATGGGCTCGTCCATCTTGGTCGGGACGGACCAGTACTGCTGGGGAGCGGGGTAGTTGTAGCCTGGTGGCGGGCGAGCGAGGTACTGGCCGTCGGTGTGGGTAGGCAACGACGAGTGGGCAGGCCAAGGTGAGTAGGCTGGGTTGGCGTCGTACTGTGACGGATACGAGTGGGCAAGGTCGTCAGAGTAGGAAAGTGTGTGGGAGGATGCGGGTTGTTGAGGATGGGTGGCGAAAGGGGGAGGAGGTGCCGCATAAGAAGGTTGCATGTTGGACGGATGAGAAGGAAGCGAGCCGAAGGTTGGGTGAGGCACGGCTGACGTAGAAGAAGCACCGTGCGCGTGGTGATGATCGCCGTGTGCCTGACCCCTCGAGGCCCCAAGTCCGGACTGGCCGGACGACTCGTTCCTACCACCTGATGACCGGAGCTGAGGGGGAGGCGGGGCAGCATAGGTGCTGCCAGTGGGCGCGGTGGTGGCGAGGAGGGATGGAGGGTTGGGAGGAGGAGACATGGGACTGTCAGCGGTGGTGGGGCGGGCGCGCTCGTTGGACTCCATGGGCGGCATCATGCGACGGGGCCAGGTGGCTGGCTGGGTGATGTAGACGCCGTTACCGTTGTGCGAGAGGGTGGGGCGGAGGGCGGAGCGGGTCTTGGGATGAGGAGCAGACATGAAGACGTCTCCGTTGTGTGAGAGGAGGGGGTTGCATGAGGGATCTTGAGAAGCTCTGACGACTGATCAGCACAAGTTCTTTTTGTGTTTTGGGGTGATGGGACCTGATGGAGAGGTTGAGTGATGGGGAAGATGAAACCTGATGGAAATGACGAGACAAAAGGAGCAGAGATGAAACTGAATACTCACTGGATGATCTGAGGCTCAGAGACAATAAGCGACCCGCTGATACCATAGGATGGCTGGGGCGAAGGGGTGGTGGGATACGTCATTGGGCTGCGCTGGGTGGGGGAGCCGGGCCGTTGCTGGTGGTGAGGGTGGGAATGGGCGATCTGTTGGTGAAGGGTGTAGCGATCGGTGCCAATGTAAGGCGAGTCGGAGAGGGAGGGGGAGACGGTAGAGTGCTGCTGCCGCTGCTGGTACTGCTGGTGGGTGATACGAGGTGTAGAGGTGGAAGGAGGAGGTTGGAAGGAGTCGATCTTTGTGGGTGCAGATGTGGGAGTGGAACAAAGAGTGGAATCGATGGGGAGAGTCGCGGTCGTGGGCGTACTCATATACCTCGGCGGCCAGGACTCCTCCATACGCGTACCCTTTGGGGTGGACGGAGCGCCAAACATCGCGGACGGTGGAGGGGAAGTAGGCTCCGAAAGGGTGTGTGGTATGACGAGGGGGAAGAGCAGAGGCAGAAGCGACGGCGAAGCGAGGTGAGCCGGGAAGGACGAGGATGTTGTGCGTGTGGATGGTGAGCGGCGTCGGAGGACCAGCCAGCGACAGGCAGAGGGAGGGAGAGGGATAGTGGAGTGAGTGGACGCGGATCGTTTCAAAGGCTAGCTGGCGAGCGAGGACGAGTGAGATGAAGGTGGTGGAGGTGTGCGGGGGCCAGGCAGGAAGGATGAGTTGAGGGAGTGTGAGTGTGGGGGAAAGGAAGAGGTCGGCGGTGATATAGACTTCTCACGGGTGGGGAAGACGTCGATCTTCCACCGCGTGATACGGGGGAGATGAGGTGTGTGTGGTAAAGGTGTGTCTATTGTTCCGGTCGGAACCAGCGTGGACGGGGGACTGTCCTCGTGCGGACCTTAGCACGCGGAATGGAGATTGGCGATAGCGGAACGAGGAAGAAGAAGCGCACAGCCGTGGAGGATCGACGTTGTGTGGATCGAGGGAGGCGGGGCGCGGCGGATGATTCGGCGAGAAGCAGCTGATAAGAGCAGAGATGGATGGCCAGATGAGTGGTAATTGTGTGTGAGGAAAGGGACGAGCGGGAAGGCTTTTTTGTCCAGATGAGGAGGGGATGTGTGTGTGGTCGAGTGCTGGTGGAGGGAGATTGTGTTGGTAGGGACAAAGCAGGCGTTTCAAGTCCGATCTTGGCTGCTGGTCTTTTGTGAGCAAGCAGTGCAAGTAGATGTATGTTTGAGAGAGAAAGAGCACATGTCAATGCATAAGAAGGGGCATGTGAGTAGTCTTGTCAGCATAGCCTCCGTCCGCACGGTCAGTGCAGTGATTGGATCGGTGAAGGGGAAAAGTACGGGCGACAGGTCGAGTGATTGGCCGAGTGAAGTGTGGCACTCGCGTCCGACAAAAGTGGCACTCCTCCTTGTTTCAGATCTCAAATACACGTGCGATGGATTCCTCCTTGGTGGTACTGCTTGGTGGGAATCTCGGAGCCACATCTCATGGGTATGCAGAGGGATCGACAGTACTGCGGCTCTCGGCGCATGACCTGTGATGAGATGTCGATTGCTCGAGGACCGCTAGGCAAGAATTGGCTCCGGCCGATCGCTCCGCCGATCTGACGTGCTTATCGCGGCAAAGTGTGGGCGATCATTTCGCACAACACAGGCGCTCCATGTCAGCTGATCAGCACGTCTTGAGCTAGCATTAGCTGCCGACGAGACTCGGAAGTACTGCGACAAGCTCGCGAGCCAAAAGAGAGCTCAAGCGAAGATCTGAAACTCAAACCGCGACGCCCCCCGTTTCAGGATTGCTCCGCATCTCGGCATGCTTCGCCGGATCTTGCCGCCTTTGCCGGGTCCCCGACGATCCTTTGCGCCAACGATACTCAAGCTCACTTGATTGGAAGCGTGAAGCCTAGCGGAGCGGATGATACATTAGCTGCCGAGACGCGGACCAAGCCATATGCACATGACCTCTACGGAGCTATTCTATAACCTACATACGGCTGAGCCCGAAATGTCCCCGACTCTGCTCGCGTCCCGTCAGCTCGGAGACCGCGACGTCCTTCTCCGCTTCGCTCTCCCCTCTGCCTCCACTCCATCCCCCCCACTCCGCGACGCCGAATCTTCCCCATCATCCTCCTCGTCATCCTCCAGAGGGTCTCGCCACGCCCCCGTCGCAGCCCCTGTCCCAGCTGCTCCGTCTCCGAGGTCGGGCGCCGAAGTGAGGCCTGGACTTGGCGAAGTGGGTTGACGGCGAGTAGCTCCGGCCGAGTCATCCTCGTCGTCTTCGTCCTCGCTGGGGTTGGACGGCCAGTCGGGACTGCCGACTTGCTCCTCCGGCTCGACGTCGCCATCGACACCCACCGCCTTCTTCTCCCTTCCCTTCCCCTTCGCCCGCCCATTCACCGGCGCTCCGCTCCGCCCACTCGTCGCTCCGACCTCCGGAATAACCGGTACCTGCTGGCTTCCAGCCGAGCTTGAACTCGCGTCCCTCCCCGCCGATCGCTTGAGTCCGCCGACGAGGAATGGCTTGGAGAAAGCATCATGGAGGGTGTCCACTTTGGCTTTTCCAAGCCCTTTGACGCCAGCGAGGATTTGTGGCGACTTGGCAGACATGCTGGCGAAGGACTGATATGTCAGCTCTCACCTAACTCCGGACTGCTATTGCTAAGGAAGCGATGTAGCGCAACTCACTCCAAATTGGCTCGCCAGGTTGACAGCATCCGTCTTGTTGACCTTCTTCCCGCTCGTCAAAACGTGCTGAAGCTGATCATGATACGTCTGATGTACCTTCTCCTTTAGCGTATCGGCCGACTTGTGCTCGAATTGCTTGAAGGTCGTGAGGTACTGGGCGATCTCGTCGTTCGACCAGGCGACGATGGTGGAGAGGTTATTGACGATTGCGATCTTTGTGAGTTCGCGAAGGGATTGCTGGTGCTCGCTCTATCGGATCAGCTCGATCCCATGTGGTAGATCAACCGCGAAGAACGAAGAGCTGAAATACGTACGACGTCGCAAAGGATGATTAGGACGCGTAGGTTGTATATATTGCGCATCTTTTCGATACGACCATGAATATACTCCGGATGCAAGCGGTGGTACTTCAGACTAGACCAGTCAGCTCGTTCCCTGATCCACTTCGGACGCTGTCAACTCACCTAAGGAACAAGACGCCTGTATGTGTCCCCACCTGGTAATCCGCCGGAATATCGCCCAGCTCTTGCGGGACGTTCTTGATAGCTTTCAATACCGGATTTCCACGCTATCAATCAGCTTCGTCTATTATCCCTTTGACTCACCTGTACCGCGCTATAGATTATCGCATTCTTGCTATTGACCGACCGATGCACTGGCTTGACTGGTCCAGCTGGCACAGCCGGTGTCTCTCCTTCCGCCGGTCCGCCGCTAGAAGCTGAAGACGGAGTTGTGCCACTCGTTCCGGATGTTCCGGCAGCTCCTGAGCTGCCTGAGGTAGTGGAAGAGGACGCTTCCGCTGCTGCAGCGCTGCTACCGCTGGAGCCACCGCTAGACGAGGCGTTCCGAAGCGAGGCAGACGAGGAACCGTTGGTCCCGTTGGTCGCCGCGATCAAACTCGCTGCCGGGCGGAAAGCCGGAGGCATGGGTCGGGCCACTCTCGATGGTCCGGCTGTTGCGCCGTTAGAGATGCCGGTCGATGGCTCGGACATGTCGTGTAGGGTGTGGGTACTGTAGCTATGTAGATATGCTGGATGTGAGAAAGTTACAAGTGCAGAGTCAAAGGTGCAAAGGTGGAGGTCGCAAGCTGGTCCGGTCATCTTTTGGCTCTGGCGGCGATCGCCGTATCGTCACCCTGCGCCAAAGCGTAAACAAACGCGACTGGCTTCTTTCTTCCACCATCAACCTCTCTTTCGAGACGACTTTCGGCTTCTATCATACCAATACTTATCGCTTTACTTGCAAGAGCAGAAGCCTGCAAGGAAACCTATCGACAAGATCATCTAGAAGGGCTGAGCGAGATGGCAGCAGGAACAAGAGGGCCCAAAAGGGTGAGCTCGTCCATCGCCTCCCTTTTCCGATGTCTCTAGCTGACCCGTCAGGGAGGAAAGGAGAATGCCCCTCTAGCACAAGTAGACGACGATGTACTAGCAAGCGGGGTGGTCGATGGTAGATTCCTCCTACTCACCTACGGGGACGGAAGGCTGACGAAGAAGATATCCCGGACGTTCCAGTGAAACCCGCCAAAGCTGCCCCGAAAGCCGCAGCGAAGGGCAGGACCGCCAAGGCGAGAGCGGCTCCAGCTGCGGCCGCGGTAGAAGAGGCACCAACAGCGGTGGAGGAGGTGGAGGTGGAAAGGCCTGTCAAGCCGGAGAGTGCAGCAGGGAAGGGAGCGGTGTCGCAGAAGAAGGTGGATCAGGTGAGTACATCCAGTATGATCGCAGCTATCAGCTGTACAGAGAGCTGACAGACCAGCTCGAAGTTGAGAGCAAGCGTCTCCGAAGTCAACGAGACGACTATGCTCGGCAATTCGAGGAGCTGTCCAATCTGCGGAATACGTCCGCCGAGAGCACGCTGGAGAAGTTCAAAGCGAACATCGAGGTTCAGGGAAAGGGTGAGCTGATATCAATCTTGTCTTGCAGCCAAGGGCAGAAGCTGATATACTAGCCAAGGACGACATCATCTCTACCCTCACTCAGCTGAATGAGAAGCTGCAAGCCAAGATTCAAGGTCTCGAGAAGGCCGCTCGGGCCGACGCGCCCAAGGCGGACCCGAAGGAGATCAAGGCGCTCAAGGAAGCGGCGGAGAGGGCGGACGCGGATCTCGCAAAGAGGAATACAGAATGTGAGTTGAATGGATCGGAAGCATCGGCCCGTCTGCAACAAAACTGACGAAGTAGATGCGGAGCTAGAGAAGATGTACAAGGCGGAACAGCAGTTCTCCCAAGGCCTTCAAGCGTCCCGCTCAACCGCCCCTGCGCCGACTGTCGACAAAGTCGTCTCGCCTGACGAGTCCGCCGAAGACGCAGCGATCATCCGGCTCTACGAGGACATTACGGAGCTAAACTGCGTGGGCGTCAAGATCAGGGACGGGCGGTATGGGCCCAAAGACAAAATACTGGACTTCAACTGTATCCTTACGCCAGGACAGGGATCAAGTGAGCTCCGGCTCCGAGATCGACTGCGAATGGATTAAGCTTACTCGACCAGGTATCAACTTCCGCCTCCGTACCTTCAAAGAGCTCGACCCGGCCAAACAAGCTCAACGCGCTCGGAACCCCTACAACGCCATCGTCCAGTTCACACCCGAGCTCTCGCGCGAGACGGACCAGGCGTTCATCCAGCGCCTAGGCAAGTTCCAAGAGGAGATTCGGTTCATGCAGGAGGAATTGCCGGGGGTTATGCGGGATCTGAGGAGTAGGGTCGCTGGAGAGGCGGAATGAGCGAGTGAGATCAAAGGAGATATGGGAGCTGGGAACAGGAGGGCACGCCGCGAGAGAACAAAGACCGATGGGGTCCAGCGACAGGCGAGGATGCCGCTGCTCTCTGTCGGGGAAGAACACGCAGTCAGCCAGCATGGGGCTAGTCGCGCGGGCTTCAAATGCGGTGGCACTGTAGGGGGTACATTTTGCGGACGCGGAGCCTGTGCTGCTTCTCCCTTCCTCGTACGATGATAATTGCAAGCGATGTTAATATGTGACTGTACTCGGACTTCGCTGTCGCTCTTACTAGCTCATGATAATGTACACGGCTGCAGACATGTCCACCTTCAGCTTCTGTACAGAGGATGACTCTGCTGGGCTTCTGCAGCCAATTCAAACGCGTCCCACTTGGACCGTGACGTCACCACCGTCAGCCAGCGCGCACTGACCGCTAAAGTTCACTTCGCCGTTTCCTTCTTTCCTACATCATCCCTGTCGAACTCCATCATGCCTGCTGCACGCAAGAAGAAGGCCACGTCAGTCAAAAAAACATCAGTAGAGCACGCGTACACGCCCACGTCGTCGGTCTCGACCTCGGCTCCAGCCAAGCGCTCAACGCGCCAACGCACCACCGCCGAAGCGGACGACTCGGACCTATCGTCAGACGATCAGGCGTATGCCCCCACCTCTCCGGTCGCAGCCCCAGTCACGTCGACCCGCTCGACACGTAGGCGGACCAAATCGGTGCCCGGTTCAGCGGCAGCGGCGGAGGATGACGCGGCGGGGCGAGGCGGGAAGCACGCGAAGGAAGTCTACAATACCCTCGAGATCAGAGGCAAGATCTTTGATTTGCTGGATAAGGGCACGTTGGCGGGGATGCTGAGGCTGGAGAAGGCGGTGACGGCGAGCGTGGCGGAGGTGTTGTATCATACTATCCCCGCGGGAATAATCACAAGGATGAGCAGAGCGACTGTGGGTCATCACCTTACTACTCCAGAGGTCATGGGCTGACTGTGCAGGCCAGACGCGTTACCTACTGCGATGCCGTCCGGGTCATCGATAAGAACGCCCCTTCATCCATCGACGATATCTACCCCCACAAGCGGTCCCGCGCCCGATTCAACCCCGTGGTCTTCGATGCCAAGAGCTGCCTCAGGGAGATCACGCTGTGGAAGAAGAAGTACCCTCGGTTGACGACCATCCTTCACGACCGCGCATCATGTCTCAAGGGCTACAATTTCAGGGATGAGTTATACACCATCTCCGTACTGGACGAGACGCCCAAAGTCCACCTCGAAACGCAAGTCAGGCTCAGCTTGTGGCCTGATGATTTCCTCGATCACGCGGTGCCGACCCTACCTCCGTCTCCCGCACATGCAGGTTTCGAGGTCGCCCACACCATCGCACTCGACATCCAAGAGCTGGGATATACGTCGGACGCAGATCGGTTAGCGACCCGGAGCCGGTGCAGGTCCTGGTTGTTCGAGTCCGATCTCGATCGGCGCGTCACCAGCATCATAGTGGGCGATGGCCTCCTCCGCGCCCTCTCGTTCGACGAGGCCATTGCCTTTATCGCTCGCCGTCAGCGGGACGGAAACGTACCGTTGCGGGGATTCTCCTCGCGATGCGTCGAAATGCTCACAGAAGAACAACTCGGTCAAATCGTACGTCTGCTCGGTCCGGAGACCCGGAACCTCGCGCTTGAGGCGGTAGAAGGCGTAGCCTGGTACGACATTGTCGAGCTGTGCGCCCAGCACTGCCCTTCCTTACACACCCTCGAGATCAAGTCCCGCGTCCCGTCGTCGTACTCGACGAGCCCCGTCCTCTCTGGTTTGCCCCACCTGCGGATCTTGAAATACGGCGGGCCTGGATCGGCGGAATCCCTCACTCGCGCTCGCCAGCTTTATCGGCTCGGGTCTCGCGATTGCTTGTACCATAATGAGCGTCAGCCCGACGCACTCGCCGGGAGGGCGTTCCATGAGGTGATCCGGAAACTCCAGTCGTGAGTGCCTTGCAAACTGCTACATCGCAAAAGTGGACCTGGCTGACGATCAGGTCTCGCCCAGAATACGCTGCCCTTCACACACTCAACGCTCAAAATCTCGATCTTGAGGACATACAAGCAGTCGCAAGGTACTCCCTTCCTCCGGCCGGCGAGACCACTCACCGTGGTGCCTGGATCGAAACGGCGTCACAAGTCGCCAAACTTGAGACTGCGCAGACCCGCTTCGATACCCTCGTCGAGACACAGACGGCGGCGATGAAGCGATACCGTGACCTGCTGCACGGGACGGTGGATGGTCTGGCGGCGGCGGAGGGGGATCAGCAGGCGCAGAATGAGGTGTTGAAGGCGAAGTATGGGAAAGTGGAGAAGCGACACAAGGCGGCGAAAGAGGCGTGCGAGGCGGTCAAGGGGGTTATGGGGGAGATGGACGCGGCGATGGTGGAGATGAAGACGTATGCGGCGCGATGGGTCGAGAGGGAGAAGGCGAAAGACAAGGCGAAGGATACGGCCAAGGACGGTTCAGCTTAGGTTTTCAGTCTGAACAATTATCATGTTTCTCGTTGTATATAGTGCGTAGCTATAGATGTACATAGTCGACGAGCGCCAGCAGATCACCCCGCACTGAGAAGCTAGCTGCTAGCTGGAGGCGGCCTGCTGAACTTCGCTTGAAACATTCCTCGCATCTTTTGACCTCCACCCGAGCCAACGCCTTCAGCGCCCGCCATCTACTGCTCATTAGCATCAACTCCTGTCAATTGTTTATAGCCCATCATGCCCCCCTCTTTCCCCGCAGACGACGTCCCCGAGCCCCGCGTGACCTACACCTCCCTCACACACCACACAGCCTTCGAGACCGGCCTGGCCATCCGGAAACACTTTCTCGACACCTATCCCACGGTCGACGAGCCCGGAGGTCCAGGTATCGTCATCCAGATTCAGCTCTTCAGTGGGCACATCCTCTTTGCTGCTGCGGTCGGCTCGGGGCCGACGGTCGGTCCTGGGAATTGGAAGTGGGTAGAGGGGAAGTTCAATACGGTGCGCAAGTCAGGAGGGAGTTCGTGGAAGATGGGTCAGACGTGAGTGACACGACTACCCTGTCAGGCTTTGGGCCGTAGGGCTTGTCTATTGCAGGAGGTGGATAAATCTCCATCAAGGATTCAGCTGATACTCCAGGCTCAAAGCATCAGGCAAGACAGCAGAGGCTGTGGGTTTCCCGTTCCCCGAGTTCGCTTGCGCCGGCGGAGGGGTACCTATCTGGATCAAGGGGAACGAGGTGGGACCTGTCGGAGCGATCATTGTCTCAGGTCTGCCGCAGCGGGAGGACCACCAAGTGAGTCTGGCAGCTAGCTCTGAGATGATACTAGGGATATTATGGCTAACTTCGGCAGCTGATAGTATGTCTCTACTGCCCTGTTCTCCGCTCGACACCGTACTGATGCTGTAGCACAACGCCATATTCTCCACCCTCTCACATCTCGTAGAGCCGCCAGCTGATGGTCGATACATCACCGCCTGAGTATAACCATGTAGCCTTTATGCAGAATGTCGAGACTGCTGCTGCATCTTCTACCATCTTCTCTGCTGTACATGATCCCACCCTCTAGTCCCGCTTGAGCGGCATCGAAACCAGGAACGTCTTCTCCCCTCGTCCCTCTCCCATACTCCCCAGCTCCTCCACCTTCATCCCCGCCGGCAACTGTCCCTCATCCGTCAGATCCGTCGTCTGCCTTCCCTCCTTCATCACCACATACATCTCCAGCCCATCTCCCACCTCGATATGCCGTTCCGTCGCGGACGTGAACGAGTCCACGACGAGCCCGAGCACCGTCGCCATGGGTAACCGACCGGGCACAAAGGCTTCTGCGCCGGGAGCGGGTGTCTGGTTTTTAAAGTAGATTTGGTTGTCGAGGAAGGGTTGCACGAGGGATTGGGCGGCTCCGGCCGCTCGGCACGCTTCGCGCTCGTATGATCCGACAGGGTCAAACGAGTAGACGGCACCGGTACCGTCCTCTTCGATCCCGCCGAGAATGTTGTAGACGTAGTAGGGGAAGAAGCGGCGGCCGTAGAGCATGGTCTGGATCATACGGGCGATCGCTTTGAGGCCCATTGGCTTGTGGTGAGCGTGCTCGTACCACTGAGAATGTCAGCTGTTGGATGTTCACACTGCCATGCGGGGATTGCAGCTCACCTCCAGTCTCTGCTTGACTCGCTTGACAAAGTTCTTCCCATCTGCAGCAAAGCCGTTGGTCGCCAGAGTAGCATTGTCGGTCCTGCGTATGTCAGCTACTTCCCGGATCGTCCTGAGCAGATAGCATGGCAGCTTCATGCTGGATCCATGATGAGGGGTCGGAAGATAGCTCACAATTGCCAGACCTTTCGCGCATATCTAGTCTGAATGCTGTACCCTTCCGACTGCCTAGTGTCACCCGCAATGACAGCAAAGTCCGCTCCGGCAATAGCGAGGATGGTTCCACCGTTATCAGAGTACGGGCTGAATCGGCTATTGCTCATCAGCTCTAGCTCGCCCAAAGGGACCGGACGCTTATCGAGCTATATCTCGACAGGTACTGATCGGGAAGGGACGTACTGCTCGATAGGAGCCACTGTAGGCTCGTGCGCGTACGCTGGTCGTTGGTCGAAGAGTGCCATAGTGCTGTAAGGGGTTGCGGGTATAGGAGGAAAGAGCGGAGGTTGAGGTATTCTATCGCTGTGACCTGCCTGCGGTATCATCATCGCTGGCGCGTTCAAGCGAGACTCTCGGCGATCGCCGCCACATCCACATTCCTCAGTTTCGTTTGATTCCGCTCCTCGCCTTCCCCGTGTTTTGGAACGTTTTGACCGTGTTTCATCTGGCCATGATCACCTCTCAACTTTTGGGCGCTCTTTGTCCATGATACATCTCTCCACTCGAAGCGGTGAACAGGCGCTGCAGCGCGGACAATAGTATACGGACATGAAACACTATGGGAGGGAGGAAGAGGCATGGCGCCTTTTCACCCGTACGCTCTCTGCGTGGGAGGGGAGGATGGCGGTCGGGCAGGGATAAGGAAGGGGATCCCGCCACTGACGATCTCCTCTTCTTCACTTCATCTTACGTCCTCACTCACTCAGGCTCCTCACCGCTTATAATCTGCACTTTGCCACTATGTCCGGCGCAGAATACCTCGCCCCACCCCGAACCAACTATATCAACCCGGACCACATCGTCCCTCTTACCCCGCCCTCCACTCGACCCCCTTTCGCGCACTATCACTCGACCGCCTCTCTACCGCACACTCCGACCGATATGGACCGGTACAAGTCACCTCCACCCCCCGCGGCATCCGGTACCCGGCTCCGACCCCATCTTACCCTCGCTCCCCGGTTACTCCTCACTACCCTCTCCCCCGCTCTCATTCCCCTAATCCTCACTATCGCCCACCTGATCGCCAATCGCTCCTCTACGACGGACATGGCGGCCTCTCTCCGTTCGAGTATGCTCTCGGCGTGCTCTGGGCTCGCGAAGGGTGCAGCCACTCTGCAGACTTTGCCGCGGTACCTCGCGATGCAGACGAATGAGGAGATGGTTCGCGCGGCGCAGGCGACGATCAGGGGTATAGGGAGCGTCTTGATGGATGTGGTGACGGTGGTGGAAGTGGTGGTGATTTTTATGCTGGATACGTACAGGAGCTTGCTCATGTGCACGATTGAGCTGGCCGTGAGGGGAACGCTGGAGTTGATGATTGGAGCAGTCAAGGGCGTGAGTTCTGCCATTTGGATTGGTGTCCCAGGAGTCAAAGCTGACGTAGACAGATCAGTGACGGCGTCACATCCAGTCTCAACGCTGCCCGGTCAAATATCCAGAACGACATCGCCTCGGCGAACCGGTTTATTCAGGAGGCGGCTACGAAGCTTAATGTGAGCTCAGCATTCCAATTGCTCCTCCGAGACCCGAGCTGACATCTCAGAGCGCAACGAGCCTCATCAGCGTCAACATCTCCATCCCGCAATTCTCCATCCCCTCCCTGAGCAGTCTCCAGGACGTCAAAGTCTCGACCGACTTTCAGGACTCGCTCGTTCGACTCAACGCTACCATCCCATCCCTCACCGCCCTTCGCGAGAAGCTCAATACACTCACCGAAAAGCCCTTCAACCTGCTGAAGGCAGAAATGAACTCTACCCGCCTCGAGCTCGCTTCGTCCTTCAACACCTCTATGCTGCCCACCCCATCCCTGTCGTCCCTCTCGGCCAACGCGGCGCGCGAGATGGAGGCAGAGCTCTGCGGCAATCTCGATACCAGCCTGGTGGACGATACGGCCAACGCCCTGCACAAGCTCGCCAATATCTCGATTGGGTTGATGATTCTTGTGCTCTTCCTCGTTTGGGGGACGCTGTGCGTATGGGAGTGGAGAAGGTGGAAGGCGATGAAGGATACGGTGGAGCTGGTAGTTAGGGAGTGGGAGCGGGAGGGCAGAGCGGACGCTTGGCGCGCAGTGGCGATTATCGAGAACCCGGTATTGGAGAAGTACGGCTCGCCTGTGCTGAGGCGGTTCACGCGGAGCGAGCGGACCAGGATCAACGTCAGGTGGTACCGTAAGTCTTGGCTGCCAGATCCCACTGTCGTGCCTAGTAAAGCTGACCAAGTAGTGGCCTACCTCTCCCACCCCACCTGCCTCGCCCTTCTCTTCATAGCGGCCATCGGCTTCCTCTCTCTCCAGCTCCAACTTGTCGCTCTGAACGGTATCAGGAATCACGCCCGGGCCAACGCCAACGCTACCGTCGCGCAGTCTACCAACTCCATCACTGCCAAGCTCAACGCAATGGCTACCAATGCAAGTCGGCAGTACGCGGCAGATTACAACCTCGTCGTCGCGGGCTATCAGAAGCGGATCGACGAGGAGCTTTTCGGGCATTGGGTGAACACTACTGGAGTGGCTTTGAACGCGACGCTGGTGGATTTCTATGACGATATTGAGAAGGGTGAGCTGAGGCGCTGTGATCATCCGTCTTAAGCTGACATCTAGTCCTGAACCAAACCTTCGGCGGAACCGTCCTCTACAATCCCATCAACACCTTCATGTACTGTATCCTCGGGTCCAAGATCGACTCGCTCTCCGCCGCACTTACCTGGCTCCGAGACCACGCGCATATCAACCTCCCTACCCTCCCGCCCGACGTCCTCATGCTCTCCCCGGCGGCTATGGCCGAGATGACGGGTCCCATCTCCGCCGCTGCTGTCGGATCTGGAACTGGCGCCGACGGGAAGGATGATGAGGGGATCGTCGGGGACCTCATTCGTCATTTCCAACAGGCCATTGAGTACGAGCGCAACTTTTACGCAACCCTTATCGGTGTCTGGCTGGGCTTTGCGCTCGTCGGGCTGCTGGTGGTCGCGTGGAACTCGGGTGGGGAGGAGCGGTACCGGTCATGGCGGGGACAAGAGGGCGAGAGCGAGGCGGCGGGCCCAGGAGGAGGAGGGGAGGAGAAGGTCTGGCCGTGGACCAAGGAGAAGACACCGGTGTATGACGAACATACGGAGCAGCAGTTCCGCGGTACCGCTCCTCCCACTCCTGTGGCGGGCCAGCAGAGCTTCATCGACTACAACGACGCCGGTCACACCCAGCCTCGTCCATTTCTCCCCCGCAAATCTACCTTCGGAAGCATCGCCTCGCTTATGGCGCCCGGCGAGAACTTTCTCAAGTTTGGCCGATCGAAAACGCCCCTGCTACCGGACGACTCGGACCGGCTCGTCCACCCCGGAACCTCATCGGAGGGTTACAACTTTGCCGCCCAGCCCGCCGCTCGCGCCATGATTCAAGAGCGGGAGAGACAGCGACCGCGGTCGGACCTCGAGACCCCACCACCGTTCTGGGTGAAGCGATTTGCTGGGGATGGCGTCAAGTCGTTCTTCCCCAGCAGGGGTCAGCGGCATGGCGAGGCGATGCAAAACGGTGCAGGTATGGGGACGATCGAGCGTCTGGACACTGACGATACTGTCCCCAGCTTCGGGCGGACCGACTCCGGTCGGGACAGAGATGAAACCCCACAACCTGGCTACCCCCGCCCCATGTCCCGCGCGTCAACGGTCGCTACCGGTAGATCTATCAAGGTCGTTCCCGCCCGCAATCCCTTCGAGAACCCTCCAGCCATGCCGGGGAAACACGACTCGGTCGACATGCTCGATGATGGCGAGTATGACAACGCTCCGGTACCAGGCTCGGTCGACTACTCGCGGCGGTACTCGTACGGGAGCGAAGGGGAGCAGCATGGGTGGCCTGCAGGATACGATATCGTGGGCCACTATACAGGCGCAAGTGGGCCGGGGACGCCCATGTCGGAGATGAGTGAGGCGCGTGTCGAGTCTGTGCATGTGGGGAGGGCGGCGGAGGCTGGGATATTGATGAATGAGAGGAGGCGGCGGGGACCACTGGATGGGATGGGGCGGATCTAAGCGGAGAAGGGTTATATCTAGTTCAATAGTTTTATGTAGGCTTGCTACGCGGTATGCACGGTATAGAGTACGCAGACCTCGCGCCACCTTGCCTGTTCCCGCTACCGCCACTGCCACTGTCTCACTTCTCTCGTTTCTATGACATGGATTTGAGACCGAGGAATGCGGCGCCGGATTCGCTGCCGAAAGCAGGTTAAACAAGGTCACTGACGTCAGTGAGACAGATTGAATCCGCCACTTTTGCCGTAATATCAAGGCACGAATGTAACCGTACTCATTATTGTCGCCCACTTTCCACTTTGAGTAATTTGAACACTATGGATGATCTCCCCGTGTAACTGACTCTGCATTGTCCCACTCACGCCCATGCAAGGAGAACTCGCTTTGCTGCTTGCCTTCCCCAACTACATCTTAGGCTGCATCGGTTTGCCTTTGTGTCTTGTGGTAGATAACGCGCAGCATCAGAGACGGAAACAACAACTCGACTTCTTTAGCTCCCGCCATACACGCGCTTCGGAGCTTACATCATACACCCGACGCTAAAGGTAGATCAGCAGATCTACTAGTCCGACCGCCATCAAGTTCATACCGCATCTTCGGTGCTCGTACCTGCACTTCGGGAGCCGGCAGACTGGGCGACGGAACGAGCTGGAAATAACAGGAGGCGGTGATCAGGACAAAGGAGGACAAAAGGAGAGGGAATAGGACAGGAGAACGGACGGGTTTGAAGGGGAGTCTTGCTCGGCGACCAGCTGTCACACATATCAACACTTCAGCTTGGCTCGAGAAGCGCTCAACTCGCTTCCTCGAAAGCCCAACAACGGACAATCAGCTTCAACGGCCGGGGAGGAGTTCTTGGAATAGGATCACAGGATGGGAGGGGAACACAAGTGTCCCGTGAGCCTTCCTATGTTTCGGACTCCAGAAAGGGAAACTTTTGCTGATCCTGCTCCAGCTGTGTGATGCGACCTTCACCAGGCCGCAGCATGTCGGGCGGCATCTCCGGTCACATACGGGAGACAAGCCATATGCATGTAAGGAGTGCCCATTGCGGTTCGCCAGAAGGTGAGCATTTTGGTCCTTGCGATTACTTTGCGGAGGCATATTCGCACAGTTTGGCAGCCAGCTGATACTCCAGCGACCTTCTCTCTCGACACGTCAACAAGACCCACCGAGCGGAAGAAGAAGGAGGACCACCGAAGGAGAGCAAAAAGGGCAGGCGCAAATCTCTCGGCTCGCACGCGGACGGTCAGCCCATCTTGAAACCGCAAGATAGGGCTCGGGCTGCTTCATTCTCGCTCGGTCCTCATAATGCCTTTCGCCCCACCCCGCAGAGCACCACTACTGCCGCACACAATGTCGTGCAAGCCCCCGTCTACTCCCTTCAGACCTTATCGACCGACTACCCTGTCGCCGGCCCGAGCAATTACAACGCCAGCGCAGACCCGCGCTCATATCAGAACGCACCGCCGCCACCGCATCTTCCCCCAACATTCTCGGATCCTTTTGTCAATGCCGGGATCGCTGGGCCGGACGGGAGCAGCGTACAGACCGAGATGCCCCCGCCGGGGTTCACAGGCGCTCCCATGTCGATGCAGAATTCGGCGCAGGGGTCGTCGAGCAGCAGCATGGGACGGAACCCTTCGGTCGGGTCTTGGGGGAGCGGGCAGACCGAGCTTCAGGCGGGCCCAAAGAAGCGGGCGTGTGATCAGTGCAATCACTCGAAAGTCAGGTGTGACTTTGCGGAACCGTGCTGTAAGCCTCCCGTGGTTCTCGCCAGCTGGGGCATAGCTGACTTGACAGTGCGTTGTTCCAACAAGAACTTTGCTTGTTCATACACCAAGATCACAAAACCTCGGGCTGCCGCCAATCCTCTCGCGGCATTGACGACCACGGCCCAGCGTGCATCCTTGCCGCTCCCACTCGCTGTGCTCAACACGAGCGTCTCACCGCAATCCACCTTTTCCTCCCCCTACTCCAGCGTCAGCCCCATCATGCCCCAGGCCGGTCAATATACGGCCACCAACCCGCCACCCGTACAAATCCAACAAGCGGTCCGGAGGACATCAGCTGGGAACATTCCATCGCAAAGCCAGGTACAATACGCCAGCTCGGTACCGACCCACCTGTACAACCTGCATCCATCCCATCCGGCTCGGCAGAATTGGCAGCTGGCGGAGGCGCAGCCCCTATCAAACTACCCACTCACATATCGGCACGAGACGTACCCTCCTATCACACACGAACAGCCGCAGACGATCATCCATCCCAATCTCTCGACAAGCTCGTACTCGTCCGTTCCTCTTGGCCAGCCCAGCTGGTCACAAGGACCGCAGGGGCTGCTGTCTTCGGTAGCGCCTCAGAGGCAGCTATCGAACACTACAACCCTCCTAAGCGACCAATCCTCCCCGCTCGTCCCCCTGGGGTCAACGCCGGCGCTCACGAGCCACACGACCAGTCCGTCGGGTCTGAGCGAGCCGGAGCAGCCCCGAGCCACGTCGGCCGGTCCGATCTCGTTTGGCCAGATAGTGGACGCCGCAGCGGGACAGGGGCGGGAATCCTCCGTCACCCAACCCACCCCTTTACAAAATTCGTACGACCTCCCCATCGTCGGCGCGATGCCGGTCTCGCTCGATCCCGGTGCCTACCAGCCCAATTACGCCGACGCGTCAATGTGGATCCCCCCTCCTCCTCTTGCGGCTGGCACCGAAGCATCCGTGTCTGCCCCCGAGGCGCCCCTGGACCAGATGTACCACTTCCGTACAAACGGCGATCCTCGGGCATATGATGAGGACGACGCCACCGCCTCGCAAGCGGGATCATCGGTCAACCTATCATCCTTCCTTGACATGGACGAGGCGACCTTCCAGCAAACACTTGAACATCGGCGTCGGGCAAGTCTGAATGGCGGGGTCTGGGCCACAGCGTTCAACAACATGACGCTGCATGACTCGGCTGGCAACCCTATTCCTTCGGGTCTGCCCATGGCGCCGGGACAACTCTTCACCTCCGGCCAGTATCAGTACGAGCAGAAACGGCCGACCATGCTCGCTACGGCCGGTGACCACGCTACGGATCCTGCTGGCCGCATGCCGAGCATGTCGGACGTCAAGGATCTGTGGAAGCTGTTCATGACGGAGCCAATTACCGGTCCGACGCCTCGGAAAGAGAAGAATAGCTTCCTCGAGTCTGGAACGGCGGCGCTGCCTATCCAGACACCTCGGCCGGGTATGGGATTGCGGACGCTGTCAAAGTCCAATTCCATGCCGGACTTGACGTCCCCGCTTCTAGGGAACCACACCTTCTTCAGCAATTACTACAACCCCCTGGCGCCTCGCCTCGGTGATGGCGGCTTTGGCGGCACAACGCCGATGCCTGTTCCTTCACATGGTGCACGGGTGGCCGGTAGGGCCGCGCCGGAGGAGGGAGACGGCAAGGAGACAGCCGTGGCGGATGATGTGTCGAATGAGTGGAAGAAGGAAATCAAGCAGCGCCAGGCTTCCTTCAACATGTCGATGCAGCACCCGGGCATCAACGGTAAACGGGGCAAGACAGGCGCTTCCTCTTCCCTCTCTCCCGCCGAATTCCCATTCGACCAGTCTCAACCCCAAGCGCAACCCCCTGCATCCGCGCCATCCCCTTCTTTCCCCGACTACGCTCTTCTCCCTACCTCCTCCGCCCCTGCTCTCGGCCCGGACCCCGTCGCCCGACCCATAGCGAGCGTCTTCAAGCGCAATCAGGCTCTCGATCAGACCTTGGGTCCAGAACGGGCTCCCTCGTTTGGAATCCACGGCCAATTCGACCTCGGCGGCGGGATTACTCCTACTTCGGCGACATTCCCACGCATCATGTCGCAATACCAACAACAACTGTCTAATCTCCATCATCAGACTCCTGTCCAGGTCCGACAGCCGTCCCACCTCGCCCCAGCGCAGATGTACGCGAATTATACGCACACCCAACAGCCCGGCGGGAAGGTGACGAGCGCGTCGGCTCGGCCGGGGAATAAACGGCTCGCGAGTCAGACGTTGACTGGGGCGGATGGGAAACGGGCGAGCTTTTCCATGTTTGATGGAGAGGATGAAGGGGATGAGGAGGGAGAGGGTGCGGCGGGAATGTACGGGGAGTCTACATTCGGAGTGGGGACGGGAGGGGCGGGGCTAGGAAGTGGGTCATTGGCGGTACCCGTAGGATGGCAGAGTACGAATGCTTGATGGAGGTGGGGGAATGGAGGAGGACATTTGACGGAGAAACGTTTCGTTGTATTATAGCTTTTGGATCGGGTTGTTCATGCTGCGGATACGGTTGTCTAGTTCATTTTTAGCTGTTTGTATCCATAGTCCCAAGTCCGAGAGAAGATAGTATGAACCTCGTCAAACCTCTATTATGGAAGAGCTAAAACAGCAAGTAGGGCGTGTTTCATCGTTCTGCATCTGCTCGACCAGGTCCCAGCCCTGTCGCTATATGTTTTGTACCCACTGCCCGCCGGAAACCGAGAGAAAGGACAAATTATCTACAAAAGGGGGCTCCCTCATCCTTCCCACCGATTACCCCTGGACGGCCTTCCGCCTGCTTCGCCGCGAGACATGGCTGCGGATGGTGTCCTTCATCTCGCCCGCTTTGCGCGATAGGAGGCGCTTGCTGTTGGACCGGCTACAACGTCAGCTAGCGTCCAGGATGCTTGTCAATGAACACAGGAGCACTCAGCTCACCGGCAAGTCTTGTCTGCGACAGTAACCGTGACAGCCGGGGCGGAGTGTGTAACGGTGACAGTAGGGAGACCGTCCGAGCTATCGGCCGCCGAGGACGAAGCGGACTTGACGGGGTTCGCATTCAGCTGAACAGCGTCCATCTCGGACCCCGAATTGAGTTGGGAGGCAGCCGAGGACGCGGCAGCGGCAGTCGAGGCAGAGCTGGAGGCAGCAGCGGAGGAAGACGATGCTGGGGCAGGCGAGTCGAGCTTGACATCACCGTCTCCGACGAAGACCTTGGCGACGTCCTCTGCCGTCGATACCTTGACGTATTTGGCGGTATCCTCTGATCCCCAGACTTTCAGATAGGAGGATCCACCTCCGGGTGCCGGCTGGATACCTTTGAAGGTAGTGGGGCGGTACCAGTCGGTGAGCTTGTCCGTAGTGGCGTTGGGGTAGGCGAGGGGGATATTCATGCGTTGCTGCCGGTCAGCTATGCGCCAGTTTGCCAGAGTATCTAGCTCACCCAGTCAGACCTGAAGTATGCGTTCGGGGCGACGTAGGCGGGCTTAGGAGGCGCCACCGCGCAGGTCGGCTTGGTGTCGGACATGCTGGCCTTCCAGACGGGGTTGCAACCGGGAAGGTTGGCAAGGGGTGTGACGATACCGATATCCCTGGACAGTCAGCTTGAGCTTTGACAAGGCGAGATGTACATACTCTGCAGGCACATCACCCTCAAGACGGCAATTCCAGGCATCATCCCTGCTGACGGAGGGCGCGAACGGCGGGCAGTTGGAGACGCCATCGCCGACGACGCATTGGTTGATCGCATCCGTAAGGACCTTCTGATCCCACTGCAACCATCAGCAAGGTTATCAGGAATGATGATGAAGCACTTACGCCGTTGTGGAAGTCACCGTGGTAGGCGAGACCGGTAGTGTCCCCGTTGGAAAGCACCAAAAGATCGTCCTCGTTCCTCCATGGCTGAGCGTCGTTGAACCAATAGTTGTGCTGCGGGGTCAGCGTTGATGAGGCTCAAAGTCGCGCTTGGCTCACCTCGACAAAGACAGAAGGGTAGTGGATAGGGTGCCTTGATGTCAGCTACTTCCACAAGGGTGCGGCGGATCTTCAGCAGGACTCACGAGTCAGGGCAGTACTCGCCTGCGACGTGCGGTACAGGTGTAGATCCGACGTAATTGTGTGGCCAAGCCATGTGCGAGCTGCCAGATCAGCATTCACGTCTTCTCAATCACAGTAATAGCGACCTACAAGTGATCATCACTATCGAGCGAACCATCCGCCTTTCCGCAACTCGGGAAGAAGATTCCGAGCGTGACCAGTCCGCATCCTCCCGGGTGAGAAGTCTTGTTGGGCATGTAGCTCGTCTGCGCGCCGTGGTTGCAGGAGATCAACAGACCGAAGGCTTTCTCGTCGCTGACGTTTCGGGTCGAGGTCATACCGCTGATCATCCTATGGCCTGGCGGGAAGGGCTTGATGTTCGCTGCGTTGTTGAAGTAGTAGACGCGGGCAGATCCGAGCATGGGCGCCATGGTGTTGTCTTTGTACCGGTAGTAGAGTTGTCTGAGGGATCAGCGGGAAGTCCCATACCCCGATGAAGGAAGGTGACTTACGGGACCCAGTAGTTGGACTTGTCCGCCTGGACGTTCAGACTACTGCACTTGGACGAGAGCTGATCGGCGGGGCTCAGCAGGTTTTCTGGAAGCGTCAGCTCTGCTCCAATGTCGCATACCACTCAGGTCACACTCACGGCTGAATTTGGACGCGCCGAGGACATTATGGACGTGTCCCGCTATCCCTCCAGGATTGACGATGGGGTCTACCCGGCTCATCGTGATGGCCATACCCTCGGACATGACCCAGGCTTGTCCGACGACGGGGCTGACCAGCATGCCCAGAGCGGCGAGCGCGACGCCGAGGACCGAGGTGGAGTGGCGAACCATTCTGATGACTGGATATACGGGTTGACTCGACCTGCGAGGTTAAACCGTGATAGGTGAGGAGGGGGGAGGAGGGGTTGTGGCGAGATCGACGTCGAATCGAGTGATGAGGGTCCGCCCGTTGACTGATATATCGATGTCTGGGCTGTGTTGAGCTGTGCTGGGAGTTCAAAGGAGTGTGAGTGCCGGATTGGCTGGTGGAGGTGATCGCAGTGTAAGCGATGCGAGAGGGGGAGAAGAAGGGAGTGGGAAGGAAGAGAGAGAGTATAAAAGAGGTCGTGAACGATGTCGTGAGTATGTCAGTTGAGTATAAGGGCAAGATGAGAGGCAATATATATATGACGCCCAGCGCCCAAGCGCGTACCGAGTTGTTGATTGAGGGTAGCTGCGCTTGTTGAAGCTTGTGCACCCTCCTTTGATGATGAAACGGGGGGCAAAAGCTGAAAAGGGTGGGGCTCGTGCACATTCCACACACCTTCCAGAGCTTGTTTCAGCACAACCACCGCAGCCGTTTCATCGTACATACACCTCCACTTCCAGACACCGAGGGAGGGGACACCGAGGGAGGGCTGCAGCTTGGTACATTTGGACAGATGAGGGCGTGGCCGTAAGTCGGGTCTGAGCCTGGCGAAATACTCGTCGCTTGGAGACGAAACCTGCGGCCCGAAGGTGTTTAGGGCGCGTGTGTTGGTTTCCTGATCCTCCGACAAAATCGGCCGAGCACCGGCATACGGTTGAATGGTAAGGGAGGTGTCAGAGCGAGCGTGTGCTTCCTCGAGGCTCTCCGAGTGTGTGAGGAAGGTGAAGAGGTTGCGCCCAGAGCGAGGTCGACGACTCGGCGCTGAGGTGGGCGTTACGGCGTTACGACATTTCAACGCGACTGATTTGTTTCAGGGACGCCATTGGTCGTGTGCTCGGACTCTTGTGACAGCCATTAGCAAGAGGTGTTCTGGAAAGCCATCAATCCCCCTTCCAACTACGCTGAGACATGGACAGCCCTGAACAGACGACGCACAGTCGCGTGCTGGTCGCGTGCCCTGCTGCTGACTCTATCACCCTTGACCGACTGCCTCTACATTCCCCAAACCCTGCAGGTTCGGCCGTGACTTGACCTCCACATTCCGTAACGCTCATCCAACCCTGGTACCTGTCCGACATTTGTTGACCTCCATCTCCGTCAACAATCCCATTCAATCACAATCACCCATAGTGTTTCACTTTGCATCTTTCAGCTCATACTCCAAGCTCCCAGCATCGACATATATAGCACAGACAACTCAGCATCGGTAGACGGTATACATAGCTCTAAGCGACCACTTCACTCCACTTCGCACACAAACAACTTTTTACGGTCTGCTCTTCAGCATCGGTAGGTTCTGCTTCTCTTGCAGCGCGTTGGAATGCTCAGCGCGATATACGCGTCTGGATTCGCCGTCGGAGGGATACGTCGCGTCCCTTTGCCGAGGAGCAAGCTGACCCCTGCAGCACACGACACCCATCACGCCCTTGACGATCACATCCCACTCTCCAGCTCGCTTCGTTCCGCACTAGCATCCCACATCGCCACCACCCCTTTACAACCCCATCAGCCAGCATGTCAAAGTATACCCAAAAACCCTACTCGGCAGATGAGAAGCGGAAGGCCGTCGAGCAGTTCGCAGAGAAGATATCATACTCGCCTAGATATTCCAGTGAGTACACCCCTGTTCCAAAAAGGCGCACAATCTGATGAGACAGACGAAGACTACGAGTACAGGTACGTGCATCGCCGTCAGTCCGAGCGGTACAGCGCCGTGAGATGGCCCTGGGTACGTGACCCGAGCTCACGAAGCAGACACGTCATCCTCCCCAAACAGCTCCTCCGCTTTTGTCCACCTGGAGTGTGCAGCGAAGAGACATGGCGCGCACTCGGTATAAGGCAGTCACCAGGGTGAGTTCTCTGGTTCAAGCATACTGCTCTGAGTTCTGGATTTGAACTGACCATTCAGATGGGAGATGTACATGCGCCACGATCCTGTGAGTCCGACGTCTCGCGTAGGGGCACGCTGCCTTCTGTGTGGACTAGCGCTGACTAGGCCCCAGGAACCACATGTCCTCCTCTTCCGCCGTCCGAAGAATTACGACCAGATGCACCAGCCCTTCTCCCAGACATCCCAGGCTACAAACCGGCTCATCAACTTCGCTAAGAACTAGGCCGCAGCGCCTCGGCCGATGCTGAGCGCGAATCGGATTGGGAGAGACCGTGAGGACAGAGGGGGCGGCGGTGTCCAAGGGAGGCGAGCTATCGGCGGTGTAGGGATATGGGAGAGAAGTTGGGCTTGGGGTGTACGCATGTCACAGCGACGAAGGTCACATTGGGTTCCATTCTATAGTTAGCATTAACGGGGAGACGCCATGTCCTCCCCTTTTCACAGGTTACTCAGCATATTCACATGTAATTTCCCATGATGTCTGTTCTGATACCTTTCCCACCCCGACGCTCCATGTGTAGAGAGAGATAGACAGCTGATAATACATGCTCGTAGTGGATCATTTGTGATCGTCGTCATCTATACACAACCTGAGCAATCCACCCCCTTCTCACTTCCCGCCTAGTCCGAGCATCTCCCACTGCTCTCCGAGGTACGGCACTCCCCGCCTGAGCGCCTGCCCGACGAGTACCGCCACGAGCACCATGATGACCTTGTCGAGCGTGCCCGACCCGCTCCAGCTGAACGGGCTATGTGGCCTAGCTTGCGCTGCACGAGCAGTGGCTACGCGTGCGGACTGCGCAACAGCTTCTACCGGCGAAGTTTTCGAAGTTTTCGCGGTGCTGCTGGCAGACGGTACTGAGGTGGGCTGAATCAACGAGAAGAGGTGGGTATTGAGAGCGAAAGCGAGATTCGCTTCTTTCACGAGATGTGCTATCGTGTCAGCTATAGCTCATCCTCGATCAATATCCGCTAGCCGCAGTACTCACCTTTGAGATCCTTGTCCTCGCCAACCCCCTCGTTCATTCCCCTTCTATACCAATCCTTCAGCTCGCCCAGCCTCTTCCTTGTCTCGCCTCCCGGCTCATCATCCAGCTCCTCCGCCCCCCTCCCTGCCTGATCGAAATGGAAGAACCGTAGCCCGTCCGCTCCTTTCAGACTGTAACTCCTCTTGATCCGCGCAGCGATGAACTGGCCACCGGACATATCGCCCAGATACCGTACATAGGCATGTGCGAGCAGTCCGGATGCGGCCGTAGGTGAGGACGAGAGGGATTTGATGTGGGTCAGATAAGCGAGCAGAGCGGCGGGCGGGTCGGTAAATACCGGTAAGAGGAAGGGGGCGAGAGGGAAGGGTGGAAGGGGGGCTGAGAGAGCAGTGAGCTTGTGTGGAGGGATGGAGACGGATGAGGGGGAGGTGGTAGGTAGGAGAGTGAGAAGGTGGGTGATATCCTGCGCGAGGACGGAGGACCGGCCGAGCGTGCGCGGATCGTAGGTTGGGGCAAGGACGGGATGGTCATAGTGTTCCGACAGGGCCAGCTCGAGAGCGCTACCTCATCAGCATTTCCTCAGCCACCTCACCGTGACGCCCGGGCTGGGCTCGATGATAGACAGGCTGACATGCAAAAAGCCAACTCACTCATATACCCTCCATAGAATCACGTTCCACCGTATATACTCCTCCAGCCCCAACGTACCCCTCATCAGCTCCTTTGCGCCCTCACTATGCTCCGCATCCGCATGCGCACGCTGCGTCCCGATCTTGAGCAACTCCGAGATCGGCAATCCCAGGTCCAGGTTCTCGGGAAGGCTCAAATCGTCTGCGGAGACCGCAGCACCTTTGTGCAGCTGAGCGGCGGCGGCGGAAAGGTAGTCGGCAGGTGCGTTGGGCGCGAACGAGGGCGTCATGGTGCCGCTCGCGAAGGGGGAGGCGAGGGGCGGGGAGATGGGGCCGCCGTTGGGTGAATGGTAGCCACCGGGGGAGTGCGGAGCGATTGAGAGCTGAGGTATCAAATGGATGAAGGGGCAGACGGGAGGCATGTCGGCGAAGATAGAGGAGACTAGGAGCGGAGAAAGGAAGCAAGGGCGGCAAGGGAGTTGAAGGGAGTGATGAAGGAAGAAAGGAGACGGCTTGATTGGGTTTTTGGGAAGATCAAAGGGTTGTGCTTTATACGACGGACATGCGCCAGTATATTGCCAAGCCGGGTCGATAGTATATGATAGCACCACATCAGAGAAGCTGGCGGGCCATCGGATGAGGTCGGCCGAAATGGAAGAACAGACGTACCTGCTTATCTGATAAGATCGTTTCCATCTTGAAGTCGGTCCGCGAGACTTTCTGGCGTTCGCCAAACTCTACTATGATCCGATATGGATACTGGGACTTCTTGAAGGTCTGCTGTAGAGAAGGTTATGGTGCACCAGCGAGTGATATTTACCTTCGCAGCGTGCTTCGTCGCCACCGTTGCCAGGCCGGAAATCTGCTCCCGGCTAGAGGAATGCGGTGCCGTAGCTATGGTGCTTCTGCGGAGTACGAGTCCGATCACGCAGCTGGACCGACAGCAGCACGTGCATCAAGCAAGACACTGTACAAGGGTATGGGTATGGGTAGAGACAGGTACTATGACTAAAACAATGCAAAACCCTAGCAGCCCACGGCTAGACACCAGCCAATCGTGCCGGCTCCGCTCGGGGACTACGCGAACCGACCATCGGTCCTGCAAAAGCATTGCTCCCTTGCCCACTACCTAGGCGTTTCATGCCTGTGCCTCCAGACAGGGAGGGAGACGACATGGACGGGGACAGTGTCGATGCCTTAATCGTCTCTGAATTGGGCGGACGGGGGAGATGGTGCGCTAGCTTCGGCGAGGGCGTGGGGGTGATCATTGGCGAGACCGGGCGGTTTTCGCCGCGAAGCGGGGAGGAGCCTTGATGTTGGGGTATGACGTTGATAGTGAGGTTTCCGGGTCGAGGATGAAGGGGGAGCGGGTGGGTTGAGGGGGTAGGCGAGGGATTGGCGGAGCTCAGCGCCGGGGAGAGGTGGGAAGTTCCCGATCCAGCCGGTGAAGGGAAGTTGAGACTGGGCGACGCTGTCATGCCGAGCCTAGACGGGGTCGATGGCGTGAAGCCGCGAGAGGCAAAGGAGATGTTGATGAAGGCGTTGGCGGGCGGGTAGGCGTCCGACGCATTATACTGGCGGATCAGCCGGATTCCTCTTCATTGTTCCGGGTAGCTCACCTGGTATTCGAACGAAATGCCCTCCATCTCACTCTTCTCCACCTTCATCATATCCAGGATCCGCTGCCCCAGCACATTCAGAATTTCCACATTCTCCCGATCCCTCGTCCAGATTTGCAGGCGATGAGCACGAGGTTTGTTGCTCGCTACGATGCCGCAGACGCCGTCCTCTGCATCGAGCATTTGGCCGATGAGGCCCATTGTCAAGTTGGCCCAGGCGATATCGAAGAGGTGCGGACATTGGCGGAAGAGAATGACCCATTTCCCTCCGGCATGGTTCGCGGGATCTTCCCACATCTACACTGTCAGCCAAAGCTCAAGCTGATATAGGGAGAAACCCACCGGCCGGATATCGCCCTTGAACAGATGGTAGTTCGAGTTGGGCTTCAGTACAGACGGCAGGCGGAGATTGTTCATATGCCTGGCAAATGCCTCAACCTGCTTGATCAGCGCCGTCTCTAAACGTAACTGACAGATATAACTCACCGAGTCTATTCTCCCAACACGCAGCAATGACTTCTCATAGTCACCTCCTCCATCCTTCCCTGCCGACTGCTCGACTGGTGGCATATAGCTCTTTGCGTCAAAGTACATTGTCCTGTCAGATCAGCCCTGCTTGCACCACAACGGACGCAGGCTGGGACTCACCAAGGATGTTGGAGCATATGCTGTTGCCCCTTACTCGTCCGCAGCTCCGCCTCAATCGTAGCGCTCGTACTGGCAGTCCCCAGCGCAATATCCTCCCCCTTGTCGTCCTCCAACAATGTCTCGACCGTCTCCAAATCGTCCTCCTCATCGTGCTTCTTCCCCTTCTGGCTCGGCGCCGGCACCTGAGCCTTATCCTTGTCCTTGTCATCCCCCGCCCCTGGACCCTGAGCATAGTTGATCCGCTGCCGGATCGCAGCGAGACTCGGGACGTCCTTGTACCCCTCGACGTACTCCCTGCTCGCCTGTCGACTGTGCGTAGCGCTATCCGGCTGAGGGCTCGCCGCGTCCGTCCCGGCCAGCGGGCTGTTCTTTGCGCTATCCGGGAGAGCTGATTTGGGCGTACCTTGTCCATCGCTCGATCCGGTCCGCTCCATCTTGGCCAGAGATGCCAGTGTGACTACCTGCGAAGAAGATCCACTGCGCGTTCGCATCATTGCGCTAGCGGGGAGCTTGAGCCGGCCGGATGGGCTGGCAGTATATGGCGAGGGAGCCGAGCCGAGCGCAGAGCCCAATGCGGCCGACGAGGACGGCACGGTGGTGGGATTGGTATTGACCGCCAAGCGAGGAGGGGTTTTGGGCGAAATGGTGGAAGTGGGAATGTGAAGGTGTGAGGTGATTTCGGATAGAGAAGGCATACGCGCCATTCGCGGACTGATGGTCAGTCCTGTACTCAAACGAGAAAGATTGACCATACGCGGCTGCAGAAGTCCCCTTGATAGGCAGAGGCGGAGGAGGCATTTTCGCCCTGTCCACCTCTTTTCTCCCATTCTCAGTCGCGTCACCTGCGGCCTTTTTGGCAGACGCGCTTTTCCCCTCCGTCACCACGCGAGACTCGACGTCGCTGCTCGCGTCGGGTGTGTTGAGCGCCGAAGATGGCGCGGTAGATGTGTCGGGGAGCAGAGATGGCATGGCGAAGTTTGACGACATGAAACTTGATATCGCTGTTGGGTCAACCTCGACGCGCGCGAAGCCCGACAATCGCGATTTGGGGGGTACTCACAGATGGGTATATCTACAAGATGAAGTACAAGGTACTCTTCCCACCGCAGATCGAGCTTTTGGATGTCTAGCAAAGAGATACCACAATGCAATAAAGGGAAACCCTCCGTCTATTCCCGGTCTTGGCCCCTCAGGAGGAATTGAGCACAAAGATGTTTCAGAAACGCGTATCGTGCCTTTGACGGAGGGTCGATCGCCGCGTCTTCGATCAAGATGGTCCTGCCGAGATCGTATGCTCCTAGTCGGCGAAGGAGCAGTCCACTACAGAGATGAACAGTGTAGATAGGGCGAGATGGACGACTGAGGAATGGGTCGCTTGGTGTGCCAATTCTGAAACGCGTCAGGGTTCCTTGCATTGAGGATGCCGTAATCCGCTGTAACGCGTGTCGATCATGCATCCATACGAGGAGCTCGTGTGGCTTTGTGGCGGCAGCGAGTAGTGTGGGGCATTGTGGGGCTGGTGATTCATGAGCCGGCACTGATAGACTGTTTTTGTTTTTTCAAAGATGACATAACATCTGCAATCAGCAACGGCTGGCAGAAGATGCCAGAATTCTCAACTAGCGAAGATGGGTGGCAAAGTCCCGCTCCGATGGGACGCCAATTGAGCGAGCAGACGCAATGCCTAAGACGTTAACGTCGCCGAGAGATCCCTTCCAGGGCCTTGCAGGAGGGTATTCGAAGCTTGCTCTGCATTCTATCAATCAGTTCACGCGCATATATCTGGGTTCTGCCCAATGTCGAGGCGGGAAGAAGAATAGACGAAGAGCAAGCTCGAGGAGACAGGATGGAAGAAAATCAAGGCATGACAGAGGGATTTAGACCCTCTAGAGGACGAGCTCGAGGTCTCTATGCGATCATGATTGAAGGGAATGAGCGACGAGAAAGGGGAAAGCCATTCCGACATCAAGCATCAAGTGGCGGGCGGCGGAACGAAGCGGCCGGGGCTGGTCTTAACCCGTCGTTTGATATCTCGACAGCGACGAAGCGATCCGAATATATGAGAGACTCTGTGTCCCAATAAATGTATATCATGCCGTCTGCCCATATTGGCTGTATATCGACTGCACCCCATCAACTCTGCTTGGGGGCGCAGCCGGCCCAATCTGCAATTGAATTGCTGAATCCTCCCACCAGCCTGGTTTGAGCGATGATTCGATTACGCCCATACGGGCTGCCTGGTCATGCCCAGTCTCCGAGGCCAAAAGCCAAAGCATCACAGCTCCATCTTCCAATATCTCCCGCCACCCAGGCCGAATCCGGCTCCGGAACTCCGCATTCCTCAATTTGCCGGGCCGCTCCGATACGCCGCACTGTTCCGAGGCTCTTCAGTCAGCTCCGAGTACCTCCGTGAAGCTCAGCGTTCGACCAATGCCTTCTTCTTCTGCTTCTCTCATACATACGAAGACCCTCTCACCAGAATGTCAAGCCGAAGTCTCTACATCGCCTTCGCCCTAGGCATTCCCCTGACAATGACCGCCAAGCACATCCTTGACGTCTATCGACGAATCTCCCCCGTCCCTCTTACGCGCATCGCCAGCGCGGATAGCGTCCCTAACTCCCTCATCCAATCATCCGCCGTTCGTGAACACGTCAACCCTAATAACCATGTCCAGGTAGAGGACTCGCGCTTCATCGACGTGATAATTCCCCCGGATAGGTCCGCTCCGGCAGATGAGGCGGTTTTAGCGCAGTTTATCCGGGGCTTCTTTGGAGGCAGGGTCTTCGCACCGGAGCGGTCCCTTCTGAGGATGTTACGGCGGACTCTGACCTACTTTCCGTGTGAGTACCGCTTCCACCGCACTCCTTTCTATCTCCGGATCCAGGCTTGAGCAAAAGCTTACCGTGAAGCCATCAAGGTGGGCACCGCTACCCTGATCATCTGGTCCGTTGATGATCTCCCTCCCTCCCATCTACTCCCTCCACACACCCTCCTCTTCGGCGGCTTCCAGATCGCCGACATATCCCTCGATCACCACCCCTCAGAAACCGGCAGCCATATCGACTTGATCTTCGGGAGTGGCAACGGCACCTTCGCAGGCGTCCACCGGTTCCAGGTCTCCCATCCCTCATCGGCTACAGTCATACGGATCCAGTACGACCACATCTCCTGCAATCCTACGGTCAACACGGCGCTCAAGCCGGACTTCTTGCAGGTGCTACACAAGATTTATGCCATGTGGCTGTTCAGGGAGGGGGTAGGGGAGATCAAACGAAATCTGGCCTTAAAGTAGATTGTCTGTAGCGTAGTATTAGCCAAGTGCTCGCATCTGATCAGTATCATACAAAGTCCACTGCAGCTTCCCGAGCAATGGAAGACTGTCTGGCTCTGGCGATCGATGCCAAAGTCAAGGCGTGGTCTTCTTATTCCGTGGCGTCCAATTCCAATCCATGCATCCTCAACATCTCCTATCAATCCCTCTTCTTCTCTCCTCCTCTCGATACTCGAACATGAGCTGCACGCCGATGAACAAGCAGAAGCAAGAGAAGGTGAAGAAGATCCAGCCTGTAGGGTATCAGCCTTGTCTCAGAGCAGTCTCGGATCTCATATTGACCGGTGACAGTAGATGTGAGCTGCACCACCAGGTGCTTCACCCCGTCCAGACCAAGGACGAAGCCGACGAGATTGGCAGACATCATGAAGAGCATGTTGACGACACCGCCCACTGCGGCAACATGGCGATACCATGGCTCGTGCCCATACTACCAATAAGCGAACACCTCAAACCGGCGGGCCCGCTTAGACTTACTTTGCTATAGGGGAGCAGCTTCCTCGCGGCCAGCTCAGGCAGGATTAAGAGACTGACAAGCCATCCCCAAGCCAGCAGCTTGAATGAGAGATCGTGCCATAGTGCGACGAAGGTGAAGACGAGCAGTGTTGCCAGAGCGGCGTTCTTCGATCCGCCGACCGGTATATAGATGTATCTAGGTTATCAGCTATGTCTCATTTGCCCGCAACGAGAATATGCTAGCTCACCGGACGACCCAGAGATTGTAGCTCCTATGCCAGCTTCGCCAGAAGCCCAAAGTCGAGTAGTTGTTGGCCACACAGCGGATCATGTTCTCTGGAGGATCTACTCCGTCCAGAAGTGCCCAAAGCCGGAAAAAGCGCCAAGGTAGAAGTAGCTGATCTTATCAGCATATTCAATTTCGACCCCATGCACATGATAGACTTACTTTCAGCCAAACTATGACCAAATTCCAGAAACCTATCATGCTCAGATCCGCAGGAGAATCGCCAGCCCAAGCCTTTGTATCCTTGATCGCCACCACATACATGGTATGCAGGACCGCTTCCATGGTAAGGAAGGAGCAGACGAAGCGGAATGCGTATAACGCTCGCTCGCGAACGGTGATCTTCAGAGGTGCGTTTACCTATGGCATCAGCAAACCAGATCAGGCTAGCAATTGCCATGCTCACCTGCCAGATAAAGTCGTTGAAGGTGATGATCGGCCCAGCGATGTACAGAGGCGGATATAAGCAGTAGGCGATACAGTTCGAAAGCGAGTACTGGTCTTCCGACAGACTGCGGGTAGTGCGGCTTCGATGATCAGTCGGTACCTGCTGGTCAGCCAGTAAAACGCGGCTTGCACAGGAGCTGGAGAGCCCTCACTTCAGCCTGAGAGGCGCGTTCTCTCCAGTGGTAGTCCAAACCAAAGGATACTATCCGAAGCATCGTGATGTTGAAGTGGGCATGCCAGACCGGCAGTACCCCTCGCAAAGCAGACTATCCTGAGTTCATCATCAGCTGTCTCTCTGCAGATTGGCGGGCACTTACTGGTGTCTCCAGCAGCGGATGAAGCCGTCCAAGATCATACCCATTATACATTTCGTTGAGGAGGAGTATACCCATATTCGCTGCGATGAGGAGTCCTGGCCAGAATCGGCCGGCCAGAGGGGGAAGCGAGGACTTGACGAGCCGATAATTGGCATAGAGTATAGCGATGACTTTCCAGGCAGACAGACCGTGCAGGGCGATCAGGGTGAGGATGGAGGAGATAAGGAGGAAGTCCGACCTAGACTTGGCGGACGGGGAGATGCGTGAGTGGACGGTCGAGGCAAGGAGGTAGACGGAACCAAGGGCGAGTAGGCCAGGTAGACCGTTCCGGAAGGACCGATACTGGGCGTCGCTATTGTCCTACGGACGGTCAGTCAAGTATACTGAAGCGTGACCCCGGAATGCAGCTTACGACTGGCCGAGCAAAGAGCCAGCCGGGACTCAGACGGTGCGAGTAGTCGCCCCAGTTTGGATGTAAAGCTAAGCTCATTAGCTGTTCATCGAGCGGCTACTTCTATAGTGCATACTATAGACTCACGTGTACTCAATCTAGTTGGCCAGTATATCATCACCGGCAGCACGAGTACGAGCGCGAACCCGTAGAACATGAACTCCTTTGACCCCCATCGGGACGGCTGTGCCTCTGACGTGGACGGGCGAGCCTTGCTGTCCGGTATCGTGACAGTAAAGTCTGTCAGACGCAGTCTGCTTCGTGGCTGATCTTCGGGCGCTTCCGTAGAGCGAGAGTGTGTCGGCATCATCTTCCCTGACTGCAGCGCGTCAGCTGCGGATTCGCGCAAGGCCAGGCGATCAGGCTGGCTTGCGATTTGCGGTGTTACTGACTCGCTGTCGCGTACCAAATCCGGCAGGCTCGCTCATGAGATGCGAGTGGATGAGCCGATACGGGCCTTGATATTCATAGTCGCTTGTCAACGTAGATGTAAAGCCCAGGAGATATAGGAATAGTCGATATGCTCAGATCAGCGCGCCGGCTGCAGAGAGCCGCGAAGATATTGGTCCGTGCGAGCATTCCTTACAGCTCTGGCCAAGCTGTGCCTGCACTGCCTATGGCCTACGGCCGGCAGTGCCCAGACGAGACATCGACGGGGACTACATGACAGATGATAGGTGTACGACAGATAAGTATGATATGGACGATCTTGTATGACTCCTCCTCCCTCTTCGCCGGAGACACATCGCTACTTCTCGCTTCCTTCGACCGCCTGTACCGCCGTGCGCTCAGCGTCCCCACTCAGCTACCCTCCACCGTCCACCTTCAGATTCGACGCCCCTTTGGCAAGCTCGGCGGAGCTGCCACTACTGCCCTTCTTAGCCTCAGCCGCGAGGGCAGCTCGCTTCGCCCGCGCCGCCTCCTCGTCCCGTTTCGCCTTCTCCTTGTTCGCCTTCCTCTTCTCGGTGTTCGCCACGATGCGTAATACATTCGCCCAAATGGGCTCGACTTGAGCGGAGTAGCTCTTGAGTTGGCCGCTCCGCTTGAGAAGGGGAATGACGATATCGTCGAGGGGCAGCTCCTGCCCAGAGTCCAACGCACTTGAGTTGCGACGAGGAGAAGTGATCGGCCCGTGGGCTGACCTATCCGAAGGCGACACGACCCGGTTCGCCTTTAGCCAAGCGATAAACTCGGGAACGCCGTCGATGCGGGTGTGGAAGCGCTTGTACTCGATCCGCACCCCGTCCATCGTTCCCGCCGCCACCCTATTCCACGCATCCACCAGTGCCGATCCGGCAGGATTGGTCGTGATCCACCGATAGATCGCCACGTAGTTGTCAAATCCAGCGTGCCACACCGCCATGTCCAGACCGAGCCATTCCCATAGCTCGTCCTGGTCGTCGATGAGGGTGATTTGGATGATGGGATGCCCGGAGAAGGGTCGATGGCGGAGGCAGAGCGATTTGCGCTTGAACCATAGGGAAGGGGATAAGGCTTGGCAGGCGAGGACGAGGAGGGCAAAGACGATGTTGTAGGAGCAGGTGACGAGGTAGGCATCAAGCATGTCGGGGTGGACGAGTGCTATGTCGACTTGCCAAAATGCCTGGATAGTCAGATTGCGCTTCGGCGGACAAGAGATCACTACCGATAACTCACCTCTTCGATCTCGCCTGAAGGGCTAGTGACCGTATGCGGGACCTGCAGCGCGATGATAGGGTACCCGTAGAATGCGAGCACCCATCCGTCCGCCCCGAGTGCAGCACTGACAGTATCGCAGAACCGCCGCACCCGCACGACATTCCCTTCCTCCCCTGGCGCCTCTTTACCCGCCTCGATGGAGGTCACGCCAACTTCCGCCGACCCGATGCGGATGTCCGGCTCGTCGAACGAGCAGAGGAGGTCGAGATCACCATGTGAGGATTTGGAGGTGATGCAGCGAAGCCGCTCGATTCGGGAGAAGATGGCCGCGAGGGAAAGCTGGCATAAAGAGGTAAGTTTGTCAAGCTCGGCGGTGGTAAGCCTGGAGGCTGGTTTCGCGAAAGATTTACCGCCCATCTTGAGGATAATGCGTTTGCAGAGATGAGTAGTAAGGAGGAAGCATCATAACCATGGGCAAGCGACTCTGATAGCTGCGCTTTGATGGGGGAAAAAGAAGCGTCAGTACAGGAAGGGACGTGCGCGAGCTTCTTTGCGCCACTAGGTCTTGTCCTTGTGTGTCTCATCTGATTCGATGGAGCGTGTCGCTCTCTGAAAGTGTGATTGTGTGTGTGTGATGTATGGATGGACAATGTACAAAGTGGGGAAGCGAGCGAGCTTGCAGATTTGGGTGATGACGATGCCTGAATAAGGCGCCCGAGAACATCTTCCATCTTGGCAGTTCACTTCATCATCTCTTCATCGTCTCATCATATCTACCCCTTACAATCCCCTGCATCTACCATCCGGCAGCTCAGCTGGCACCGCGCTATCTCATTAGCGCAATGAACGTGAACAACAGTTCAGACCAGCTCGACCCCTGGGGTATGACCGGGCTGGCCCCAAGCAACGCGCTCCCAATGTACAACCCTCAGCCCGGGAGCGCAGGTCCATCCCGACAATCCTCAGGCGGCATCGCACCTCTACACAACTATATTGATCCCCAGGTCGCAGCCACGTCTCCCGCCAAGCAGTCCAGCGACCCCATCATCGCGTTCCTCTCCGAGATGCCGTCTGCCGCGGACAATCCTACGCGTGTCGCCATTTGGACGGAACTCGTACGGTTCAAGACGCGTACGCTGGAGCTGCAGATTGCAGAGGCGAAGCGGAAAGAGAAGGAGGCGGAGCTGGAGCTGGCGAGATTCAAGGAGATGACAGCGGGAGGAGCCAATCGGACTCCAGCTGCTGCCCCCATGCCTCTGGCGCCCGCCCCGGCGCCATCTCTCGGCAACTACGGTCCACCCGCTGCAAACCCCCTCATTGCCAGCCAGATCTACCCCTATTATCATAAGGCTCAACAGGCATTTACCCTGCCCCAGTCTGTGCCCCAGCAGGTACAGCAGCAAAGCAATGTCCCGCTGGACCAAACGCTTTCGCAAAACAACCTCACGCCCCACCCATTCCTCCCTCCTCAGTCCATGACCCCCTTCGACCTCCACGCGATCACCGAGAACTTTGACGACATGTTCAACTGGATGCCGGACTTTGACCAGGACGGGAACCTCATCAACGCCGGCGGGGCGGACCTCGGGATCGCTCCGAGCGCTTTACAGCTCCCGGAGATGCACCAGCAGCCAATGTACGGCGCGTCCCCCATCTCTCGGAGCAATTCGGACCTCCTCCCTACGGATGTACAGACACCGGTCAAGCGTCGCCCGTCCTCTGTGGCCGACAGCCTGGAGGACGAGCAGCCAACGACGAAAAAGTCCAAGCGGGGCGGCAAGAAGGTTACTGTCGAGGTCCTACCGGCTTGCTCGGTCTGCAAGAAGCCCATGGGAAAGGTACTTGTCCGGGCGCCGTCGGCGGAGATGCCGGACGAGATATCCGCCGCTTTCCTCTGCATTGAATGCTTGCCGGTCAAGCGGCCGCCGCCTGTCGGAGGTGACGCAGGATTAGGAGGTCCAGCAATCGGGACGGTCGAGACGCGTAAGAGGCAGCGGATGGGAATGGAGACGGAAGATGAAGAGAGGAAGGTCAAGGAGAGGCGGCAGTTCTGCGATGTATGCCAGAGGATCATCGGGTCTGGGCAAGTGAAGGGAGGAAAGGAGAATGTCGGATATTTGGCGGAGGTGATTTGTCATTCGTGCGATGCCAAGTACCAGCGGTGAGCTCCTCTCTGAGGCTTGAACGGGATGGACGCTGACTTTACAGCTGTACCGACTGCGGAGGAGGTGGTGGTCCTAGACAAGGTATCGGAAAGTGGCGCCTCAAGCAAGTCTTTCAGCCGGGCCGCAAGACGTGCAGTCTGTCGCATAGCAGGTAAGCTTTGGGATGGATGGACACATTCACAGAGCTGACCACATTAGACTCGGAGATAGACCACGGGAGATAGGTGTCCACGTCACGCCGTCCGACTTCACGCCGGAGCAGTTCAAGGAGGTCATCGCGAGGTGCAAAGCCTTATGGCAGGAGAAGAATCTCTCCCGGCTCGCTGTTCCGGAAATGATGGAGTGAGCTTTCCGTCCTTGCACCGGGAGTCTTGAATTGACATAAGCTGACTCAGACAGGATCGACCTTCCGTCCAATCTCGTCAACCCGCTTCAATCCTACGCAGATATCGAAAACCAAATAACCGGCAACTGGCCCTCCCGCGAGTCGATGATCCGCGCAGAAGGCGCCAACCCCGATCGGTTCAAGCGGATCTTGGGGCTGACATGGGCGCATCCCAAGCCGAGAAGAGGAACGCGTACCGTCGATCTGGAGGAAGAGCAGCATAAGGTTGAGGTGGAGGAGGAAGAGGATAACTCGACTGTGCTTGATAACATCAAGAGGAGTGAGTCATTCTGAACTGAGCTTTCACGGGTACAGCAGCTGATGTCATAGCGAATGTGGTCATACCGGCCGGGTGCGAGTTGATCGGTATGTGGGGTGGAGAATGGGATATCGAGCGTAAGCCGCCATGCTGATTGCGACTTGTGTCCGCGCTGACAAGTCGCAGAGGGTTCCATCCTAGTGTCCACCTTCATCCCGTTCGAAGGCACAGACGGCGAAGATTCAACTGCCCTTTCCGTCGGAGAGATCATTACCAAGGTCCAGACCCTACAGCACGAAATGAACGAAGCGAGGAAGCTGCAACCGCCAGGTTCACAGAGTTCCAAGGTGCCCCAAGTGGAGCACTTGTGGGTCGTGTCAGGAGTGAGCACCTGTTTGGCGCGGCTTGCTCGGTAGACAATAAGCTGATTCCCCAGGGGACTGTACCGCTCGTCCGCGAGCGAATGGCCGATATTCTGATTCGCAAGCGATCATTCGTACATGTTGAAGAGTACCTGACGCGGCATCCGAGCTTCGCAAAAGCTCTGAACGCTAGACCATGTACGTCCTACCGACTGAGCATGCTCTATCTCGATGGAAGCCGGTGCTGATATGCCAGATGGGCTGCATCCGACCGACGGAGTACTTCCAGCAGAAGACGGTACACGGCCACCTACCAATCCGCTCATTCTCGTCCGATGGCTCGGGAAGGACTTTGACGCCCAGCGCATCCAGGAAATCAAGCAGATGGAGTTCGGGGGCAAGACAAAGCCCAAGAAGAAGGCAAAGAAGGCGTAATTTGGTCGTCCTCATCGGTCGGATCGAAGCCTAATGCAGGATGATGTTTAGATCTTACATGTCACTGTATAATTATATTCTGAATTTCCAAGCGTAGATCAATTCTGCACCATCGGCAATGATCACCCCTAGGCCGCTTGCCCCTTCCCAGCAGCCACCGCCTCTAGCGCCTGCACCGTCCTCTTGAGCGTCAAGATCGCCCCCACAGTCAGATTCCCCATCGCATCCTCATTCCACTCCTCTTCTGCCTCTTCTTCCTCCACCTTCTTCCCGTCCTCTGCATTACCCTCGACATCCCCCTTGTCCATCAATGCCTTAGCGTGGTCGATGACGGACTGTAATTTGCCTCGGGTATGGTAAAAGTAGTTGAGCTCTTTCTCGAGACCGGTTGGTGGATGGGCGAGAGCTTGGCGGATGAATGCGCGGGAGAGGACGTAGGCTTTCTCCGAATAGTGCCGACTATGATCATGAGCTGTATGCTCCAGATGCATTGATGGAGATATCGAAGACGGTCCGACTCACGAGTTGACGCGACCTTCTCTGGTCCCTTCCAGCTTGGCGAACGCCGGCTCGCAGTGGTATGGATGTCTGACGAGGACGAGTCCAGATATCGAGACGAAGACCTGGAGCAATGAGGAGTTCTTGGCACTGTTGATGATCAGCTTAGATCCCGGTCATTCTGCTAGCGCGGCCAGGCGCGAACTCACCTCCAAGACTCGCTCTTATCGCCTGCCCATGTCCCAAGCACCGACAAGCAGACCTTTCCATCTTCGTACAAGTTGGCTAAGATTATCAGCGGTCTACCTGGCGGGCGGGCATTGAGAGCGACTTACGATTGCACCTTCCCTTGCCATTCGTATGAGAGTGGAAGAAAACGATCGGCGGTTCTTGTGGGAACTTGGTCGGCGAGAGGTACACATCAAACACGAACGGCGCGTCTCGGTACGGCGTCCCCTCTGGACCGATGATGAGGACGCGCATGAGATCCGAGCGGTCTTCATACGTCCGGACGAGGATGTTTTCTGCCCAGATCAACTCCACCCTACACCGAGAGACATGCCGAAAACTAACCTGGAAGAGAGGTCATAAGCGCCCGATGCTCCTTTTGCAACCTCGAGTGATACGCCTTTGCTGTGCCTTCCCTCGGTTCCGAAATGAAGTGATGGTCCGCCGGGGCCTCTTCGAGCACATCGAAGCTCTGCCATGCCTCGCCCGCTAGCGCTGCCAGTCCGCTGGACGGTTTCGGCTTGGACGGTCCCGCTTCCGCCTGCTTCTCCGGCTCCTCCCGCAGTGTCACGTCCCCATCTCCATCCCCCTCGTCCTCGTCGTCCGTCGCTGATAGCATCGGATCCACCTCCTCCACGTCCATCTCGCTCCCCGACAGCTCGATATCTGCCACCTCCACCCCTTGAGCTTCATTCACCGCCGCGTGAAGGAGGTTCAGTATAGGCTGCAGGCCGCTATTGGCAAGACTGCCAATACCACCCATGCCCATGTCACTCCCATCATCCGTCTCCCATCCTCCATCGCTCCCGTCATACCCCTCCTCTCCTTCCATCGGGAAATCCTCTCCATCCAGCCCCGCGTCTCCGATGACATCCTCCGACAAGGGATCGTTGAGGAGGATCAATTCCTTAATCCCCGCTTGCCGTATCTCGTCACCGGGCAAGCGGACCGAGACCGTCCCATCGAGGTGTAGATCCACGACTTCGCCCCACCACCTGATCGCCTTGAGATCGCCCTTTCCTACACGCGGGACGACAGCCGCGTCTGTATAGCCGATATGCGTGTCCGTGAGATTAACGAGCTTGACGTGCGCCCACGGTGGAGGCGGTCCCATTTGGCCCAGAGATGGCACTTCGGGCAAAGGCGAATCGTTGTCCGCGCAAAAGAGAACTTGCTGGCCGAACCCGACACCGTAGTTGCTCTTGCCCGGCCCGCCAGTATCAAGCTCCAGTACCGAGACAGTAGATCGAGTGTGATCGTCGGTGAAGAGGACGTCCGCGACGCGCTTGTGTGGATCGAAAGATTGGATACAGACAGGCCGACGTTGGCCGGTATCGTCCCGCCAAACGAGGTGTTCTCCCGGCCATGATTCGTAGCTGCCTGTCAGCTGGGCTTCCCGGTGCTTAGTGGCAAACGCACTCATCAACGTTCCGATAAGGCACCAAAGACGAGGACCAATCGTCCGTCTCCTTCCCATCCTGCCACCTGAGCCTCAATTTCGACCTCGACTCCGTCACCCTCAACGCCTTGACTCCGCCCCTATCGGCACTAGCACCGGTGGCAGCGTTTAGCCGCGGATACGCGGGCGGCCAACCCGGTAGCGACGAAGCGAGCGGATCTTTCGGGTCGCGGAGCTTCGCGATTGCGCCGAGCTGGACGGGGGCATAGCGCGTCGAGTCGAGTATCGTGAGTTTCTCAATATCGGCATTGTGCCAGAACCGCTCGGGCTCGGGGTGCTTGTCATGCTCGGAGTTGGGTAGCTTCGCGTCAGTGGCGCCCCAGTTCTCGGTGAGAGGGACTTACTTCTTGGTTGATGGCATTCCACGTCACAAAGACAATCTCGGCGTGCACCTCAACGACCAGGTCCGAGTTGGGCTGAGCGGAGCTGGGCAGCGCAGGCGGCCGTCGGTCATCGATAAATGTCTCCTACGGCAGTCAGCTTCAACATGCCGCCTGAGATAGATGACGTCGAAGCTCACGGCAACGGTCCTGCCCACTTCGAGAACGCCTCCACTGGCCCGGACATGGTACATGTTGTTTGAGGCCATCGCCCTGACCGTGGCTACCTCGAAGACCTACCAGTCAGCCTCACCACCAGGATACATGATCAGCTATACTTACCTCCTCGACAATCCCCACCCATTCCCCATACATGACCCTATCCCTCGCTTCGATCGCCATATCGCTCCGGAGCCTGTCCCACGGTATCCATCCCTTGAACTTCCGCGCGTCTATCGCATTCTCCACCTGCACCTCGGTCGTACATGCGACGACTACTGCCGATTCGACAGCTGTCAGGGAGCGCTTGACGATGTCGCCAATGTGGAACTCGCGCTGGTACAGGACGAGCGAAGATTCGGGTACGATGGCGAGGATGGGGTGGGGCATGGCGTTGACTCTGCCTGATTAGCCACGGCATGTAATGGATGGCGATGATACGCACGATATGCCCACTTCTCCGCGCAGGAGAGGACGATCAAGAGGGTGAGGCAACTCCCCTGGCGCTAGCTCGGGCATGGAGAAGTCCTCTTCGTCTGTCCAGCATCTCTGGAAATAGTCAGCTATACATACCAGCATAGCGTTGTTCCCATTCGGCTCACCACCACACGAGCCCTGAAGGAAGAGTCTGTAAGCTTCGAGACGATGTCATTGCTGAAGCACTGCAATATCAGCTCCTATTGCCTCGGAGACCCCTTTGATGATTCGGCTGACCTGAGGGGTGTAATTGGCGGGCAGACCGGGCAGAGATTTCGGAGCGGGCGGCATGTTGCTGAGGATGCAGAGAGCTTCTAGCACGATTTTCTGACAGGTTACTGAGATACAAGCAAGATATAAGTGGGATGTGAGGTACAAGATGGTGGTGAAGCGAGATTTGTCGCGCGACGCGGTCCAGTCAACAGATCACCTATCGGTGAAACTTTGATCCGCCTCAGCCAGGAATGACCCCCAGGAGGGGCTCAGCCAGCTCAGAAGCGGTGGTCCACCCTCACTGAGCAGCTGAGTAGCAGGAATCCGATGAATCGATGTGATAGAACCACATTGATATTTATTAGATACATACAACAACGCGCCATCTACAGCTCGGTAGCGCCATCTGCCACGTTCCCTGACGAACACCTCCAACGTCCTCGCGCTCGGATCATCCAGTCCAGCTGATCTTTGGGATATCGTTATGCTCACTGAGAGGTCAGCAACAGATGTGTCGGAGACCAAGCCGTGATGACTGCTGAGGTAGAGGGATCTGGGACATACGTCAGTTTGTCGAGCTTGGAGTTGAACTCTGTGACTCGGTCTTTATGGCTCATATTTGCCGTTTTGGCCACACGCTCATGTCGCTGTAAGGTCAGCCTAGGACATGCAGAGTAATCTTATGTCAGAGACCGGCTCGTGATCGCCCTCTAAAGCTCCCAGCTCTGCGTGGAGCACATCGCCATGCCCTGATTGACCCATTTGAACGGCCAGCACTGATGAACGAAGAACACTCCACTCACCCGTTTTCTTTGTATCTCCTCAAACTTCCTCTCCGCATCCGTCATCTGCCTCCCTCCACTCGACTTGGGCTTCATCGCCTCCTCCTTATCTCCTTCGTCATCCGAGTCCACCTTTGCCCGTTTCCGTCTCTCCGTATCCGTCTCCTCATCGTCCCGCTTCTTTTCCCGCGCTTTCGACGATTCGGCTATTGAAGCGCTTTCGGGCTTCTTTTCGGATGTGGTATGTGATGAAGACTTCTTCTTCTTCTTCCTGGCGAGAGTCAGCTCGGTCAGTGGGGTCAACAAAGGCGAGCGAGCCGTTCGAGCCGAGATGGAGAGGGACGCACTTGAGGTCGCCGCCTTTGAATTTGAGTGAGCCTCCCGGGATGACTGCGTAGTCGCTCATGTCCTTCTGAGCTACGGTGAGTGATTATGTGCTGAACTAGTATTGAGGTGATAGAAAGACAGTCTTGCTGTTGCCACCCAACTTGCGCGTGATAAGGTACGTACGCTGCCACTGCTCTTTCATAAATGCCACGTCATCACTTCCCTCCACCCATCCAGCTCTCACATCGAGATTTCCGGAAGCCACTCTTTGTATACCACACCACACCATACTATACCAGCAACATCGCCAACAATGTCCTCCGCCGGCCCTTCTACCGCCCAGATTCCCCAATTTGACGCTGCTACCAGGGTGAGCTGAAGGTCTCCCAGCCCTCGCCCGTGAGCCAGAGCTGACACCTTTGCAGCAGGAGTTGGAAGGCTTCCTCGAGCAGGAGTGAGTGCTCTCCCCGCTGCCAATGGTCGTGCACATTCATACATTCCCTTGACCGGAGACAAGGAGAGTGTTGGAGAAGGATGAAGCTGAGCGACTCAGGCAGGCAAAGGCGAAGCTCCAGGCAAGCGTGCATGAGCTCACCAACACATGTGAGCTGAGGCATCCAGCTCGCAGCAGAGCGACCGGACAAGCTGACAGCACGCAGGCTGGAACAAGTGCATCACCGGCGGCATCTCGACCAAATTCTCTCGGGGCGAGGCATCATGTCTCGAGAACTGTGTCGACCGGTTCCTCGATAGCAGCTTGTTCATTGTCAAGCAGATCGAAGCGCAAAAGCAGCACATGTAAAGGCGGGATGGGAAGGTATGTGAGAGAGGGCGGATGATATGGCGGACCTCATGAGGGGCGCGGATGATAGGATACGAAGGGCAGGGGTACCCTTCGAGGCGGAGCAAAGGGGATAGATTGTTGATAGATATCATTCGACATTCTTCCGGGCTGGAAGCATGTAGCACTACTCGATTCTTACATTTCCCAGCTTGTTGCCCGTATCCACCAATAGCGGCAACCACAGCGGAGTTGGAGGCTTCCACATGCACATGGAACGGAACATGATCCCGAGTGCTTGAGATTTCCTGCATCTCGCGTTGTCAAACCCTATGACAGATGCGCCCCCTTCAAAGTAGGTGCCCGGAGCACACCATCCTTCGTCCTCAGCTTGTGCACCGTCTTTGTCTCTGGATCTATCCACGCCGCATCGAGGTTGTCGAGCGTGGTGAAGTCCTGCAGAGTCAGCTACTACATCCGCTCCCATCGGTCGCATCATGCATAACTGACAGGCTGGATAGTCTCGAACACCTTCTTCTTGGGGTTGAGCATCTCCTCTGGTTTCGCATCTACCGCATCAGCTACAGAACCTAGGCAATGTTCGTTAACTCACTCTCGTACTTCTCGCCCTCAAAGTACACCCGCTCACCCGCCTTGCTCCCCTCTGGCGGGACCACAAATTCGATCCCGCCCTCGACGTCCTTGCCAACGCTCGAGCTCGCACAGAGAAGCATGGCGAAGGACTTGACGCCGCGCATGGTGACTGGTTTGAGATTGCACTGCGAGATCAGCAGTGGCCGCGATAGCGCTCGTCACAGAAACCAATACTTACGACCACAATGACGGTCGCCCCACGTATTTGGTCTTCAGTCATGTACTTGACCAGCCCCGAGCACACAGTCCGTGGTTCCGCCTCTCCCACGTCAATCTGCTCAACATATAGCGAGTCGGCCTCGGGGTGTTTCTTGACTGCAACGAAGTCAGTTCTGTCCCTAGAAGCAAACATGCCAGCGATAACAGCTCACCATCAAGGACCTTGCCCACTCGCAGATCGATCATACTGGGCATAGGCCCCGTCGGTGCCTCCTTCACCGGTTGCGCCTTTGCCGGCTTTGCCTTCTTCTCTTTCTTCTTCCCATCCTTCGCAGCCTCCACCGGCGCCGCCTCTCCCTCCGCTTCCCCGACAACCGCCGCCTTTACATCCCCAGCCGCCGTACTGAACGCCGCCGCCGCTCCGGCCAAAGCACCCTGCACCGCGCCCGCCGCAGATGCCGCCGCGCCCGACACCGTCCCCGCTGCACCAGCGACAGCGGACTGAGCCTGAGCCACTACGCCCTCCGTAGCCGCCTTGGCCTGCCCAGCGACCTCTCCAGCCTTCTCCGCCGCTCCGTCCGCAACGGCAGCAGCAGGCTTCTTGGCCTTCTTCTCCTTCTTGAGGTCAATGACCTCTCGTTCGGGGATGGCGAGGTCGGCAATGTTGATGTCAACGGGTGGGAATGAATTTGGGAGGGATGAGTGGGCGGATTGGACGGGAGGTAGGGACTGGATCTGGAGGAAGTACCGGGTGAGGGCGGGGTGGGAGGGGTGGGCGGAAGTAGGGAGGTTGAGCTGATAGGTTAGCATTAGGTCACGTGACCAAGACATTTTGGCTGGCATGCCCTTCCCTCGTTTCATGCATGCAGCCTTTTCTGGGACAGCGTCCGAAGGAGACTTACGAAAGTAGGATGAAGGTGGCAGTACAGGCTCACGTCAGCCGATGAGGGCTGATTCGAGTAAAGGTAGGTCAAAGGCGTCAACCGCGAATTGAGGGACTGGCCCCTAATCAGCTGATGCCCATGTCCCGTCCCCAGTCGCCTTTTTGAGGATATGACTCACAGCGACATCCTTCGCCAAGCCCTCCGTCTCCGTCGACAACTCCTGAATAGCCTGCTGGTCCTTCTCGTTCGACCCCATGAGGGAGGAATCCGCCTTCTCTGCGGCTGCGACGAATTCAGAGACGGACATTTTCGAGTACAGGCGTTTTGGTATAGCTGCTGAGTGGATGGTTCGTCGTATGGCTGTTACTGGGAAGCGCATCCACTTTATATAGGCAAGGTATAGATGGTCAAATTAGCTACTGAAATCTCGAGTTAAAGGTGGACCATGCTGAGTTACATGACGTGGCATTTCTCTTGTACTCAGAATTTGCCTCTCCCTCACTGCAGATTGACCGTCATAGCGACGTCCTCCTTTACCTTTCTTTGTTCACTCTACCTACCTATATCATCAACAGAGCTACAATGTCCGGTCAAGGACAAGGACAAGGGGGTTTCAACCCAGGCGCATACGTCTTCAGACCAGGAGGACAGCAGCCATTCGTTCCCCGGCAACAACAAGAGCAGGGGCAGGGCCAACCCGGAGCACCCGGTCAACAGGCATACGATCCATACTCGGCGTACGGGCAGCAAGCGCCCTACGGCGGCGCGCAGGGCGGGTATGGCGGGTACGGCGGGTATCCGCAGCAGCAGGGGTATGGCCAGCAGTACCCCCAGCAGGGATACGGTCAGGCCCCGCCACCCCAGCAGTACGCCTACCAGTCTGGCGGAGCGCAGCAGTACGCTCCCCCACCACCCCAGCAACGGGCGTATCAGCCGTCAGCGCGGCAGGTGCAGGGATTCCAGCCGCCAAACTTCTCGAGCGGGAGTGCGGCGCCAGGGTCGGGAGTAGGAGCGGGGGAGGCGGGCAAGCCGGTCTCGTTGTCGATTGGTGGAGCGAAGGCTGCGCCGAGCTTCAGTATAGGCGGAGGAGCTGCGAAGGCTGCGCCGAGTCTCAGTATCGGGGGAGGAGCGCCAAAAGCTGCTCCGAGCTTGAGCATCGGGGGTGGGGCAGCCAAGGCGGCGCCTAGCCTTAGCATTGGAGGGGCGGCCAAGGCGGCCCCAAGCTTGAGTATTGGGGGAGCCAAGAAGGAGGAGAAGAAGGCGGCACCTGTCGAGGCCAAGAAGGAGGTCAAGGAGACAAAGGAGGATGATTGGGATACCGACGCTGCAACGACCTCGAAAGATGCGACTCCGGCTTCTACCAAACCCTCCACCCCTGCCCCATCCGCACCCGCCGCTGCCGCCGCCGCACCTAGCACCGACGCCGCCGTCAAGGTCGTCGCTGAGGCGCCCAAATCCACCACCGCATCCTCGGCTGCCGAATCCACACCCGCCCCTTCCTCATCCACCAACTTTTCCAAAATATCCGCCAAGAACGACGCGGACGCCATCTACAAAGAACAGGCCGCGGCTGGCTCAGACGCCATGCGCGACTTGTACGGCGAGGACACCAAGGATCCCAACCTAAAGTCCCATCTCAACATCATCTTTACGGGGCATGTCGATGCTGGAAAGTCCACGATGGGCGGGCAATTGCTTTTCTTGACGGGCGCAGTGGATAAGCGGACGATGGAGAAGTACGAGCAGGAGGCCAAGGCAGCAGGAAGGGAGACGTGGTACCTGTCCTGGGCGCTGGATAGTGGAAAGGAGGAGAGAGCAAAGGGCAAGACGGTCGAGGTGGGACGTGCATACTTTGAGACGGAGAACAGGCGGTATACGATCTTGGATGCGCCAGGGCACAAGACGTATGTGCCGAGTATGATTTCGGGGGCTGCCCAGGCGGATGTGGCGTTCTTGGTGAGTTGATTGGAGCAGGAAAGAGTCTTCTGCAAGATCACAGCTGACTGGTGTAGGTGCTTTCCGCGCGAAAGGGAGAATTCGAGACTGGTTTCGAGCGCGAGGGTCAGACCAGAGAGCACGCCGTTCTTATCAAGAACAACGGTATCAACAAGCTCGTCCTGCTTGTCAACAAGATGGACGACCCTACCGTTGCCTGGGACCAGGGCAGGTGAGCTCTTTTAGCTGCATCAACGGCGACAATTAGCTGACTCGGCAGATACGACGAGATCAAGTCCAAGATCACTCCTTTCCTCAAATCTATCGGATTCAACCCCAAGACGGACCTCACCTTCATCCCCGTCTCTGCACAGGTCGGGGAGAACATGAAGGATCGCGTGGATAAGAAGATCGCGCCGTGGTATGAGTAAGTTACGTGGTCTATTTGTTGCAGATACCAGAGCTTACATCTCAGCGGCCCCGCGCTCCTCGAATACCTCGACAACATGCAAATCATGGACCGAAACCTCAACGCCCCCTTCATGCTCCCCGTCTCGGAAAAGTACAACGAGATGGGAACGACCGTCATGGGCAAGATCGAGTCTGGGCGCGTCAAGAAGGGCGACACTCTCCTCGTCATGCCGAACCGCGCGTCCGTCGAAGTCGCGTCGATCCTCACGGAGCAGCAGGAAGAGCTGGAGCAGGCCTTTTGCGGTGATAATATTCGGCTCAGGCTGAGGGGGGTCTCGGACGAGGATATCTCGCCAGGGTTTGTGTTGACCTCGGTCAAGGCGCCGGTCAAGGCGGTGATGGCGTTCAAGGCGGATTTGAGCATTATTGAGACCAAGAATATCATTTGTGGGGGGTACTCGGCGGTGTTGCATGTGCATACCCTGGCGGAGGAGGTCACAATTACGGTGAGCTAGCTGTCGCTCCCTCGATGCCGACGTGGAGACTGAAGCTGATCATCTAGTCTTTGCTGGCTTACTACGACAAGAAGACCAAGGTGGGCCCATGGGCTCCCGACGCCTCCGCGGGACCATAGCTGACACATCACAGAGAAAGTCCAAGCGTCCGCCCCAATTCGCCAAAGTCGGTATGCTCGTCTCGGCACTTATCGAAGTCAGCGCCCCAATCTGTATCGAACGGTGGGAGGACTACAAGATGCTGGGGCGATTCACGCTCCGTGATGAGGGTGAGCTTCCCTCCATGTACCTCACGTGAATCCGGTGGGATAGCTGACACGCTTCAGGTAAAACCGTCGCTATTGGCAAAGTGACCAAGTTGATTGAGCGGTCAGAGGACATGCCCGATGTGTCCAAGCTGTCGGTGGCGGCTGCGTAAGCGCAGAGCTAGGTCGTAGTGCATGGGATAGGACGGATGCATGTGTCGGAGGACTTGTATATGAAGCCATAGGATCGGATCTTGTGTGGTCATCTCTTCCGCTCACCTTCCCTTGCGCATTTTCAAGTGTCCTTGCCTGTACGCCGTAGCTCAGCAGATACACATTAGAGTACGCGGGGACCTCGAGTCTGTATAGCTACATGCTGATGTACAACCTTTCATCTATTATCGCCCATCAAGCTGAGTCCTGAGCTAAGCCGCCGGCTCCCTCCCCCTCTTTCCAGCAGTAGCCAAGCACCCCTCTACCACCTGCAACAAGTGCTGATTCTCCAATGCGGCCTGCACCCGCTCCTTATCATTCAATTGTTTATTGACCGCATGCTCGGACTGGTGTGTCCCTTCTTTGATCCGGATGTCGACGCGGAAGCGGGGTGGGAGGGCGCGCATGAGTCGAACGCGGAGGGAGAGGCCTAGGCGTGTGAGCTCGACTGCACCGATACAACGATCAGCGGAACTCAGCACACCTATTAGCGTACTCATTGAGCAATGAGGTATGGTCGGTGTCAAGTAGACCAAGACTCGGTTGCCCGAAACGAAGATATCGTCTGGGTTGACCACTCGTAGTTGTTCGAGAGACACCGGGTGTTCCGGGTCAGTGATAGACCTGAGCAGGTCTGAAAGTCAGCTGAACCCTCGAAGATCATCAAAGCCTGAGGCAGCTCACCAAACACCTCTTCCGCATCGATCTCCTCCCTCTCCCCTCGTCCTACATCCGCCTCCCCCATCCCCTCCCTATCTTCCTCATCATAATCCAAAAACTCATCCGCCCGGTCGTCCCATAATAACGCTTTCCCCGTCTTTCTCCGAGCAGACGTCGCTGGCGCGGTAGGCGCGAAGATCGTCGGGTTGTCGTTATCTAGTTGTCTTGACATGGTTGGCTGGAATGATGGTTGAGGAAAGGAGGAGGAGGAGTTCGCCACCTGCAGCAGCTGCATCTGAGGGGTGGAGGCGGGATCAAAATAAGCCACGCGGAAACTCCCGCTCACTCAAAGCCATCCCATGGCCATCCACACCGATTCGCTTGATACAATAGCCTTTCTCTAAGCATACAATAGACCATCAAGAGATCAGTAGAACAGCTAGTCAACATGTCAGAGAATCAGTGAGTAGCCCGCTCAGATTTCACCTGGAAAGCGACCACGGATGTGGAGCTGTAGCTGATCTAGTAAGATACGTCGTAAGCTGCCGCTCGCGCTTACCCTTGAGGGTCATGTATATGAGCTAACCTTGTCTTGTAGCTTCAGACCGCTGGCTTCGAGTGAGTTGCCGCGCACACAAAGCAACCGGGCCATCCTAAGGGAGCGAGAACTGATCTTGCAGTGCCCGATTCCCTAACCAGAACCAGACAAAGCACTGGTATGCTGTTCTGCCGACAACATGATTTGCATTGGAAGCGCTAACCATGTGTTTCTACCTTTGTGCTATTTGGCGTTCTCATATACAGCTGGGTGAGCTAGATAGAGCTTCAGCAGCAGCCAAATCATATAGCTGACATTACAGCAAAACTATGTCGACTACCACAAATGCGTAAACGCCAAGGGAGAGGACTTTACCCCTTGCCAGCAGTTCAAGCGGGCATACCGATCGTTGTGTCCTAGTAGGTCTCATCAGGCCTGCTGCGACCTGCTTCGGAATCGAGGCAGTGTGCTGACTTGACAGATGAATGGGTCCGTTCATCGGCGCTTCGCTTCGTATTGGGACCGAAGAGCACAACTGACGATACAGGCCGCAAAGTGGGACGAGCAGATTGAGAACGGAACCTTCCCTGCGTCGCTGAAGCCATAAGTTGGGCTGGTGGAGTTGGGCGGTGCTGAAGGCGTGGAGGTGAGGAGATGAGTGAGCCGAGGAATCGGGATGTAGATGTAGGGAACAGTAAGGGAGAGCATGCAAGGCTTTCCCATCTGTGCGTTTTGAGCGGTAATTACTTCGGATGAACTGACGTACTCTATCTGACCACCACGAATTGACAGTGCGCTCTGCATCGAGCTACTCAACTACCATCGATCAACCGAACAACCTGAATAATCCCAAATAGACATCGCTTCACTCTAGCTCCTGCCTATCTCGACCACCTATGGCGCCGCCCCTGCCGCGTTATCCTCATCCTCCACAAAGATCTCGTGATACTTCTCCAAGATGGTCTCGATAGCCTACAATATCAGCTTTCTTCTTCACTCACGCATCACTGCTACTCGATTGACTGACCTTGCACTGGAAACTCATATGTTCCAAATTCAATCCTCCTTCTTCTGGTGGCGCACCAAGCAACGTCGGGCCGAACACTATAGACAAGTTCGATACTGTCATCTGATTCGAGGATTCTCTATTCCGTATTCTATCCTTGTCAGCTTTCGACCTCCGTAAAGTCAGGCTGATAGCTGGACATACCGATCAAGATGAGCCATAAAGAACTTCAAGGTCGCATAGTTGGGATCTGGCAACTCGTTGACTTGCTCGTGTAGCCGGATATGTCTCAGGCGGTCGTTCTCGTAACCTATCCCGTCAGCTTCCTTTCGCAAATTCCGCGAGATCGATGGTAGCGCAACTCACGAGCAGCCTCGATGAATTGATGATACAGCCCATACGTCAACAGCGGCTCCGGTAGTTCTCGGAACCACAGCTTCAGTGCCCCCGAGACGACGTTGATATCCGCAGACCACTCGTCTGACATGACGTCCGTATTGTCCAGGTCGGTATCCAGCGCGCGCTTGAGTGCTTGGACGCGAGAAGAGGTTCCGCTCAGTCGGTAGATACCCATGCTGTCGATACCTGATCTATCAGCTCAGGCCTACCGCACTTCTCAGCTACTCTGTGAGAAGAATGTAGGTTCACGCACCGTAAGCCTCGATCGCCTTCGCACACAGCTCCACCACCCTCGGCACCTCCACTCCGTCCCTCTGTAGCTGCTCCCCAAGATCCACACCGAACGTCGCACCCGTCGACGCTGGGATCCCAGGCACAGAATACTGCTCCGAGCTGATCGATGGGGGTTTCTGGGCCGAACCGTTGGGCAGGCCACCCGCGTTCCCGCTAGGTGAGTTGTGAGAGCCAGGGGCGGAATGCGAGGGTTGAGGTGGATCGAGCGATTTTTGGATATGCGTTGGCATGGGTGGGAGCTGTAAAGTCAAACCTAATTCCCTGGGAGATGATCCAGCGGGCGTGCGATAAGAAAGGACTTACGAAGCCTTCCTCATATGGTCCATCCCGTCTCGGTCCCCTTGGTGTTCCCCGCGCTACAGCATAGTTCTGCATGTACGACTTGAAGTCGGTCCGATTGTCTATCGATTCGAAGATCTGCTTCAGGCCAAGTGCTGTTCGTCAGCTTCTACTCTTCATCCCGACTGGAGCTAAAGCTGGCTCACTCTCATCGGTCGCTCCGAGCGGACTCAAGATCGTCCCATCCCCAACGAGCGTAGACTCGTACAAGAACGCAAAGCGCGTCAGGTGATATTGTGTGCCCAAGTCCAGCTCGTCCGCACACTCCTTCAACAGCTACACAGGTCAGCTGAATCCCACGAACAATACCGCAAGGTACCAACTCACTCGTAATATCTTGGGAAGCTGGAAGTTGAAGTACTCCTGCCTCAACCCCTGACTCTCCAAGACCGCCTTCCTGAACGTCTCACTCGCCTGCGCCATCCGTCCCCTGACCTCATCTTCCTGCTTCGCAATACTCGCCGGTCCCTTCCCCTTGAATAACATCCCGCCCTTCGTGATCGCCTTATTGAACACCTTCTTCCCACCCCCATTATGCCCGCCTTGCCCGCTCATCCCCTGTCCGCCATTCCCCATCCCGCCTGATGAGTTCGAGGCGACGGATCCCGATGATCGCATCCCGGACTCCTTGAAGGATTCGCCCTCTTTGGCAACGAGGAGTCGTTCGAGCTCTTCGGCGGTTTGGTCGAAGCGGGATTTAGCCTAAGGGTCAGCTATCACGCAGGGGACGTATCTGCATGGATAAGCTGACCTTATCCATCACCATCTCGCTCTCCTGTAGTATCCCCTGATATCGAGCACCATTCTCCTTGTGCTAAAAAATAAGCGGCCGCATACTCAGATCTTGATTGAGCACCAAACGCACCTGCTTTCGCATCCGCTCACCCTCCCTCGATAGCGCAATCAACTCATCGCTCATCTCATTCAACCGCTGCGAGAATCGTATTCGATTCTGGGCGAGCGTTTCTTGAAGCCGTAACGAGGTATGGTAGGCGTTCACAAACGTTCTGGAGTGTCAGCTTTCGATCGCACGAGTATCTACAAGCGATAGCTTACCCAGCCTTGCAGTCTCCCCTGGCGTACAGATCGCCGGTAGTCCGACCGAGCTCGACCAGTGAGCGGGCGTACTTTTCTTCTATGTCGGCGCGAGAGCGAAAGAAGGTTGCTACTTGCTGAGATATCAGCAAAGATCTCAGGTAGTGCAACTGAGGGCACAGGACTGACCTTGCAGGACGATATGGACTGTTTGATACGGTCAGCGAGCAGAGGGAGGGCACACTGCTACGTTAGCCCTTCTTCAAGGTATGCTCGAAGGTTCGAGTGAGGGTGTGCTACGCTGCAGAGAGGTCCGCCACTCCCCCGGCCAGCTTCCCCTCCTCTCCACACAGTACGAGAAAGCAGACTCACGTCCATCTCGCACAATCCCCTCAGAACCCCCTCGTCGAACCCCACCGGCACCGCCTCCCCCTCTTTCCCTCCCATACCCACGCCCATCCCTCCCATTCCCCCCATCTGACTACTCCCACCGACCGTCATACTCCCCAGACTCGTCGCCGACGCCGCACCCATCATGTTCTGCCCCTGCCACTGTCCCGCAACTGAGATGCTCGTATTTCCCGAGGACTGCCGATGCTCCGCCAATCCCGGTCTTGGGGCTGAGATCGAGGGGCCGCCTGATCCATTACCTACAGGCGAGACGACCTGGTGAGATTGCGCCGAGTCAGAGAACGACTGTTGTCGATCAGAGAGGGATGGTCTGCTCTGGTTTTGCGGGAGCGGTTGGCCCTGCTGTGTCGAGGGGTATGAAGTTGAGGACGCGTATGAAGATCCAGATTGCGAGGAGGAGGACATAGGGTATGACTGATTCTGCGTAAGTCCGGAGGGGTGCTGGCTGTATGCCTGAGCCGACGGCGGCTGGTCCTGGCCTGCAGGTATCAGCGATTTCTCACCCACCTACCCGCCAACCGTCCTTGAAATGGGCATACCGTAGTTCCTGCTACCATACTGCTCGCGCTCTTCATACTGACCGCTCCCGTCCCTCCGCCGCCCGTCAACGGGAGACTGCGCAGGGTCATACTGCTCCGCTGAGCCCGACATCGCTCAGAAAGCCAAGGTCGAGGCGGTTTGTTTTTAGCGTCGCGTCACAGGTCCGTTCAAGGCGATTTCTTTCGCGGTTTCTGGGCGATTTTTTTGCAGGCTATTCGGTATAGTACGTCTGCGCTTCCTGTTAGGGAGCGGCTGATGGCGCTGTATAGGCGAGCGGTGAGTGTTGAGGTATGTTGACAGTATCAAGGTCAAGGTTAGTACCCCCATTCACGTCAAGTGCGGAATGACGGAACCAAACCTTGTTGCACTGCTGAGAACTGTCCATCTCCAACTCTTACATTGCCCGCTATACCTCATTCATACGAGCTATACAGTATGGCCACACCACTCATAGCCTGCCTAGCGGGCATCTGCTCGAAATCTATACCCAGCCATACCCTTCGCGCCATTGCTGGACCGTCCAAAATCCACCCCTTCGACCCAACCCACCACCTCCACACCTCCCCTTCCCGTCATGCTGCGCCTGTCAGACCGCGGCAGCCCGCCCCATCCGCCAACCCCATGTCCCTCAGAGACCGGCAAATCCCATATCGTACCGTACAGCTTGTATCTCCCACAGACAACTCCCTCTCAGAACCCACACCCCTCCGGACCATCCTAAACTCGTACGACCATGCCACCCATACCCTCTCGCTCGTCAGCCTAGAACCCCCCATCGTCAAGCTCCTCAACAAGGAGGATATCCGCCAGAAAGTGCGCAAGGCGGAAGTCAAGGCGAAATTGAACAGAAAGTCCGCGGTGGAGGAAAAGGAGGTGCAGGTGTCTTGGGCGTCAGCGAGTGGGGATCTGAAGCACAAGTGCGCGCAGGCGAGAGGGATATTGGAGAAGGGGGATAGGGCGACTGTTATCTATGCGGCCAAGGCGGGAAGCGATAAAGTGTCTCAAGGGGTGCAAGGGGAGATCACGGCGATGTTTGAGAAGGAGCTCGAGGAGGTGGCGGTGAGGTGGAAAGAGGATGAGAAGAGCAAGGCGACGTGGATCCAGTTCTGGGGACCGATGGCCAAAGTCAGAGAAGAGAGGAGGGCCAAGGTGGAGGAGGAGGAGGTGGGGAAGAAGAAGGAGAGGGACGAGAAGAAGGAGGCGAGGCGGAAAAAGGAGGAAGAGAGGCAGGAGAGGGCAGCAAGAAAGGCCGCTGAGATTGTAGCATGATATGTACAGATGTCTAGGTAGATACAACAGGTCAGATGCCTCGTAATGTCCGTCTCTAGAGACCTCCCTTGTCGCATGGAACACTGACAAGCACGCCTCGGTGTTCCCCGACTCGAACCTTCTTCCCGTCCAGACCTGACGTCGAGCCCAGAACCAAAGCAGTCAGCTGGCGCCCATACTGATGAAGTCAGCTTGTTCTACGGGCTCTCTGTCGGCATCAGCACTCACCACACAACCCGTATCTATGCCCTTGCTGTACGGTTTGATATCCAGGCCCCTAGCCGCTGTGAATGTCAGCCTGGTGTCCGATACAACGGCAGCTCTTAACTCACCGGCATGACCATAAATCACTGTCACAGGCGAGCATTTCAGCTTCTTGAGCTTGAACTCATCCTCGCTCACAGCTCCCGCCTCTCCCGCATCCATAGCTTGACCCGCCATCTCCCTCTTTTCCTCCTCCTCCAACTCCTCCACGCCCCCTTCTTCCTCGATATCAGCCATCGCTCCCGCTCCATCCCCAATACATCGGCCCATCTCACGCTTCCACACCTGACTCCATGGGGTCCCCTTCTTCCCACTCTTGGTCACTTTGCCCTTCTTGGACCCCTTTTCGTGTAGACCGCGCATGTTGATGAGGTTCCACGGATGCGTGTTTTGGGGGATATCGAGGAGGATGGATATTTCTTCAGAGGTGCGGCTGAGCTCGGAAGCCTCGTCTCCGCTGGTACCGCTTGACGAGGATTGTGATTGGCGATCTGCGGCGACGAGGGGTTGGGTGGGGTGATCAGGGTCGCGAAGGGGATTGGAAGGGAGGAGGCCGGCGTGGACAACGACCGAGTGAAGCGATGGTATGTGCAGCTGGAGAGGGAGCTGCTGGAGATACGCATACTGCTTCTTGTTTAATTTCCTGATGACGTCAGCTTTCCTCCCAGCTCGCTTGTCGGATAGTGGGTCCTCATGCCAAAGTCGAGAGCTGGCACTCACTTTGCAATGTGCCAATGCTCGCCCTTCCACTCCCACCCCTTCGGCCACTTTCTCCCCATCTTCGCCACCCTCATCTCCACCTCGCCATCGTCCAGCTCACTCAGCTCATCCATCATTCCCTCCCACTTCGCTCCGCCCGTCCACTCCATCCACGCTCTCCACTGAATCACGGGCTGATCGTGGTTTCCTCTTACGCCTAAAATCCGCCTTGACTCAAACCACGACAGAACCTCCGAGTTGTGTGTGCCCTTAGCGATAAGGTCGCCCACGTGAATAAGGGTGTCGGTGCTCGGCGAGTATGCTAGGCGGGACATGAGATGTCTACAGATCAGTCGGGACTCAAGTCAGGCACCAGCTAAAGACGTACTTTAATGGAGCGTAAGAGCCGTGGACATCCCCAACAAAGATGACTCGCCGACCGTGCCCTGATAGCTCGACCATGTTGGCGGGGACCGTGCGGAGCATGATGTACTGGTCGAAGTCTAGCGATAAGCTGAACGCTCAAGGCTGTATCTTGTGACCAACTCACCAGGCATGACCGACTCCTCCTCTTCCACTCCAGCCAGAGCTGCATCCACCGCGACCTCCTTCCCTGCCTCTGGGCTAGGCATCACAGCCTGCACGCTCCACTCCTTCTCCCCCTCGCTCCAGAAGACATTCCGCAGTCCTCCCGATCCAGCGCCCAACACCTGCCCGCCAGAGTCCGTAGCAGCCAGCCAAGTAGCCACGAGTATGAACACCACGATGACTCCTACAGCGCCTGTACGCCGAAGCAGGCCTCCGCCTGGAGCATTCGCCGACGCAGTCGAGGGTGTAGGAAGGATTTCATCGAGAAAGGAGTTGTAGCGCTCTTTGCTTTGCAGTGAGGGTCTGCGCCGGATGACTGGTGTGGGCAGGTAGGCTTGTTGATCGGGCGCAATGGGGTGGGAGGGGAGGCCGGGGGAGAGAGGCACAGCGGAAAAGCTGTATGAGGGATCTTCAGTCGGGTGCGATGAGGGGTTGGGTGAGGGGTCATAGAGCTCGTGCCGATGGTCCGACATCGCGGGTGCAGCGAAGGCCAGGAGGAAGCGGTCACTTGCAGAAGGCGAGCAGGAAGAAGACTGGCAACTAAATGTAGATTGGAGTAGATAGATAGATAGAAAGATAGATGTGCGAGTACGGTCGAGAAACGCAACGAACGTGTTTGAAATCGACGTCGTCATGCTGCCTGTGCCCTCGGCGACCCGACCGGCAAGTGCTGTGAGAAGACAACGCTGGACCGGGTGCGTGGCGCGATGGCGGCTATGAAACGTCTCTCAAGGTCATAGCAGTGCACGCCCACAGGCCTATACCATACATAAGATAGCTAGACTGTCTCATCTGCCTGGTCTCGGGCGGCCGCCTCCGCGGCCTCTCTTTCTCTTCTCCCGATCACGATAGGGCACTTAGGACGGCTTTCCGCATACAGATCCGAGTTGATGTACCGCGTCCAGTGCGCCTCCTGGTCTGTATCTGGTACACCACTGCCGAATCAGCCAAGTGACCAAGCCAGAGAGGAACACGGGGGGGAAGGTCAGCGCACCATTTGATCTGCCTGATCATCTCGTGAAACATCTCGACCTCGCCCCGCCTCTCCAGGTCACAGATACGATAGACGCAATGCCTGGTTCCGAGCCCCGCTAGGCTGTAGGCGGCGTGTCCGAGGTGATCCGAAGCGACGTCGTCAAAGGAAAGCATCCGAAGATTGCTCATGCCCGTCAAGATATGTTTGACTTCGAATACCTTCTTCCGGTACAGCGAGTTTGTGATGTGCAGGCTCTCAAGCTTGGGGAAAGCCGCGTCCATGATGCCGAATAGTGTAGGCCAGTTGCTTATGAAACGACTTATCGATCCTTCGACGATTAACGACCGAAGTTCCGGCCCGATAGTTTGGCAGAGCGCCTTGAATCTGACCGGCGTCATGGTCCCCGTAAGGTTTGGGATCCGGAAAGAGTGGATAGGCGGGTAGGCGATACCCGGGCACCGCCTTGCGAGGAAGGCCATGATGTCTGTGTTGAGCACCTCATCGTCTCCGGTGAGATGAGGGCTGAGGCTGATGATCCGCGGATCGAATGGACCAGACAAGTACCATTTGGCCCATCTACCTCTCAACGCCTTGAGCTCTTGGAAGTCCTCCTCATTGACATAATCCGCCGCCACATCGGCGCCGCGCCAGTCCCCCATGACCACCTCGACCGAGAACGTCTGGGTGATTGTGAGGCCGGGACAAGAGGGAGCGTTTAGAAGGATGGGGGTGCCGCTGGCCGATAGGCGAGCCTCGTAGTCCCTGAAGCGTAAAGGAGTGTGTAGCTCGACGTGTATAGAGCCGTCGCGTATGTGCACAATGTACGTCTCGTCGTGCGACCCGAATCCATGGTCGCCTAGAATGGTGCGTAACCGGGGAAAGAGCATGCGAAGATTGGCGATGCTTTCTGTGAGTTCCGGCAGTTCCGCCGGTAACGCCTGCCAAGCTCGCTGGCCAGGTGGTGGAAATCGGCCTATATGGCCTCGATCATAGGTGCGGACAGCGTTTTGATACAGTTCAAATCTGGACTGCAGAGTCAGCGGTCTGTAATCGTAGGTGAGGTTAAGTGACAGTCAGGGCAAAAGACGAGTCCACCTATGGTGCGGACATCTGCTCAACCACACGGCAAGAGTTTTAAGGAGACGCGCGAATACTTACGGATTTCAAGTTCGGTCGTAAACCCTTCTTCACCTCAGCGCCTGTTAACGACTCGTATAGTGCCCCAACTACACTCGCTACCGCCGCTTTTTCCAGCCACATCCCCGCGAGAGTTCTCCGATCAACCAGCTTGAAGATGGCATCCCGCAATTCGAGTATATCGTATACCGCCCGCGCAGCTGTGCGAGCTGGAGTTGGCTGAGGATCGCCCTTGTCCTTGGCCGGTGCCTTTGTCGCCTTGCGCTTGCTGGGTTTGGGAGGCATGCTGGAGGTTGGCTGCCGGTGGGAGCGCGACGAGCGGTCGCGTCCGTGATCAGAGGAACGCGATTTGGGGCGTGAGGAAGCGAGCTCGGTTGTCCTAATCTTGATTAAGCCTGAATTTCAGCGATCCCGCCTCGATGTCACTATCTACTAGGCTTACTTAGGTGGCTAGATATACCTCGTGGAGGCTCTCCGATAGATGCAAAGCAGAGTTGCGGATCTTTGGGTTGACCTGGCCGATGCCGTAAAAGGCCCGCTCACTCTCGGGCCAAACCTGCAGAGCAAGACAGTTTCGCTTCTCATCCTCACCTTAACACTGACCACTGCTAACGCTATCTGGAGCACATGGCATGCCGAGCCATGTCGCTGAAACGTCCTATACCCCGCTAGATCGACACCGGCAACTCCGTATCGTCCGTACGCGGCTCACGAACGCTGAAGACGGACCAGAACATGTCGAGTATCGCGTGTACAACTGGAGACGGCTGAGCAGCGGAAGGCTGGTCCGAGGGGACGCTTCGGCCTTGTCAGACGTACTGTTTATCTCTGTCGTCGTTCTGGCGGTATGGCGAGTACGCTGTGTCCCAGAAGGATGGCAAAGATGGCATACTTGGCGATGGGTGAGTTTCGCGAGAGTACCTTGAGCACCAGCTGATAGATTCAGTCGTGGGACCTTGCTATAGCTGCAGTCGTTCTGTCGCTCCTCTTCCTGAGGACCCGCAGCGTCCTATATAGTCAGTCTTGCTGATACTGAGCTTGATTGTGGGACCTCAGCTGATCTATCAGAATCAGTCGTCCCTCTTCCCCACCTCGGTCTCCAGCTTTCCACTACCCGAGGCCTCTCCCTACCACATCCGGGCCGCCCGCTCTCTGGCTACCGTCGCTGGCTGGTCCCTCTGTCGACATCACACACCTTCATACCGCTCTCCGACATCTCGACAGTGATCGTCAACGAAGGGCTCAGAAGGTGGAACGTGCGATACTATCTCGCTGTGGTCAAGCGACGTGGAGGCGGTGTCGTCGTTGCTCTAGATGTGAGAGCCTAATCTTCCAGGAAAGGGAGTTCGCGCTGATGAAGCAGGAGATTTGGGCGCCAGTAGCTGTTCTGAGGGAGGTCTACCATGGGGTCAGAGAGAGCTTGTTCGACGAGTACGCGGATCCTCCATAAGCACTGCATGCATCCGGACCTGTGGCTCTCTGTAACTCTCTTGTCATAGTTCGGTCCAAAGCTTAGGCTGCAGAGCCAGCCGGAAGCATGGGCGAGGGGCCGGGCAGGTCATCCCAGGCCCGATGATATGGCCGAGGACCCCGCATTCCTCCGGTCTCAGTTGGAACGGCTCAGAAACTCTGGAAGCGCTTTTATGCTTTGTTCATTTACCTGCGCCATACCGCTCATGTTCGGGCACATGGTATCTACTCGGTCTGCTACTGCTCGGCTCGGCGCGATGGCGGTCGCCCAGGGTACCAAAGCGGAAATCATAACGACGAAGCGGACCTCAACTGGTCCGCAGCCTTCTCGTACTCGGTTCGGTCGCCTTCGCGCGCATCTCGCCGAGTTCGCCGTTGGTGGGAGGGCAGCGCGAGAGGTCTATGACACTCTTGAGCTGCGAATCCTCATCTTCTCTTTGGTCGACAGGGACACGCTGGCGGGGATGATGCGGCTGGAGGTGGCGGCGGTCGAGAGCGTAGCGGGGGTGCTGTACAGGAGAGTAGCGGGGCTATATGCGCACAATATGGATACCACAACGGTAAGCTTGTCACTGGAATCTGCAGAAATGATCTGAAATGTTCACGTTGACAATCACAGCCTCGCCAAGTACTCTGCTGTCGAGCTGTACGCGTTGTCGATCTAAACCCCATCGCATCACTCGACAAACCCATCAAGGAGATGGAGAGGGCGTACGATGAGCCAGCCGAGCTTCTGCCCGAGATAGAAGCTTGGCGAGGGCAATTCCCACTCCTACGTACCATACTCAACGACATCCCCTTCGAGCCGCGGAGCGACGGCTACATCGTCCATTTGCGGAACGCGGACGGGGATATCCACATCGACCTCGAAAATCACATTTTCGTCGATACGGCTGAGCGCTGCTCCCCCAAAGCCCTCCCGAAGTTCTCCCCCTGCCCTACAGCCACTGGTATGACCATCAATCACACCATCGCGCTGAATGTCTATGACAGCTACGAAGAGGATATCTGCGACGAGGAGGAGCTCGACGAGGCGGACAATTTCCAGCAGTGGAAGGCTTGGCTGTACGATCCTGCCAATCTGGATCGAAGGGTGTCTAGCGTTATGCTAGACGTAGGAATCTATGAAGAGCGGATCTGGGAGGGTTTTTCGCTCGAGCTCGGCTTCGAGGAGGCGGTCGCGCTTGTGGAGCGGCGGGCTCGGGATGGTTGCGTGCCCTCTTCGCGCTTTGACATGCCTTTGTATCCCGCCATATCGGCGGAGGAATTGCGGGCTATCGGTACTTAACTCGGATCAGGGCTACGCTACCTCGCCATTCCCGCCGTCACCATCCACCGGATCGGATTCCAGGCGTCCATCACCTTATTGGACGATCTCTTCCCGCACCTCCAGGAATTGGTCATCACGCCGTCGGGACGGTATACAATCTCGCTGGACTGCCCGGTCGTAGGCCTTCCTCACCTACGGCGCTTAGTCTGCGAAGATCTGAGCGAGCGGGAAGATCCGCTCGAGCTGGCTGGGATCTTCCACCGGGTCGGGTCGGCTGATTGCGTCTACCGGTTTGACGCTTTCAATGACCGGCCCAAGCGGATGGCCATCAATAAGCTTATGAAGCAGATTAAATCGTGAGTTCATACTTGCATATCATCGCGCCTGGCTTGAAGCTGACATACCATGTTCCGGCCAGAGTACGCACACCTCCACGAGCCGCGCCGAGGCCCCTTCGAGCTGGACGCATATTATGACAAGAAGGACACTCGGTCTGACAATGAGGACATTCGCCGGGACCCTAACGAGTACTACGCCTACCCCGGGTACAGCTCTCCGCCCTGGTATCCCGACTATGAGGCCGCGGGAGATGGAGAGCTCTGGACGGAAGACATGATGGCTACGATGTTCTGACATCTTCGACGATGCGTGAGCTCCTGGGCGGGCAGCAGGACAGTATCACGCCCCGGGTGAAGGGATATCTAGATTTAGAGTATATACCGCTGTCTAGCTACTACCTAGGTGGACCGGCACTCACGATCCACTCGACCATAGTCTGTCTACCGTTCCCCACCCTACCCCACCCGCCAGGTTCCGGCGGAAGTGAATATTTCGGAAAGGCATGGTCACGCGTGCGCGCGCGTACTCGACGCGTTCTATCACCCTTGCTCGTTACAATCATTGCCTTGGTCTGGAACTCTCCCCCACTCCCTCACTTCCTACAGCTCCGCTCACAATCATCTTGACCAATCATGTCAGTGGACATGATTGTCCAGGCCGCACCCAAGGCAGCCCACGCAAAGTCTACTCCCCCACAACTCGTCCCCCTCCCAACACCCACCTCCGCCCCGACCCTCCCCGCCTCCTCCGCCAGCAGCGATACGCCAGCCCAGGCCAAGCGAGCCGCGCAAGCTGTCTACCATACACCCGAGCTCTTGCACCGTATCCTCGTGCTGCTGGATAAGTGCGTGCTTGCGGCCATGCTCACGCTGCACAAGGCGTGTTCGGCGCCCGTGGCGGCTGTGCTCTTTCGCACGGTGAATCAGAAGCAGGTGAAGGGAATGAATCGGGCGGATGTGAGTACTGTAGAGCCACTAGCCTGCGCGTTCGTGCCTCGTTGCAGAAACAGTAGCTGATACATCAGTCTCGACGCGCTGCCTATTGCGACGCCGTACAAATTGTCAACCGCTCCCCACCTCCCAAATTCAAAGACCCCTTCCGCAAAAAGACCAGGGCAAAAGTCTTTAATCACAAAGCTCTCCGCACCTCCTTTACCTCCCTCCGCAAGACCTTTCCCAATCTCCACACCATCTCCGATGAGCATCCGGGAAACGAATGGGACGATTCGTTCATCGCGCGTCTCACGGCCGATGGTACAATATCCGTCGATCTCGTCACACATTTTGAGATCGATCTCTACGCGGGTCCGTTCCCCACGCCCGGTCCTACCCTTCCCCAACCGAGCGCGGCGCCCCCCAAATTGGAGATCCGAGAGACCATCGCGCTCGATATCGTGGTAGGGGAAGAGTCGGATTGGGATGGGGTTACCCCCTCCTTCAATAGACGGCAAGAAGAGAATGGGAAGTGGGAGAGGTGGCTGTATCACAACCCACATCTCGACAGGCGCGTCAGCAGCATCAATGCTGACCGCGCTTCCGAGCTCTTCGGCTATGACGAGGAGGACTTTATTGGCCACCGTCTCGGCAAGGACTGCCACCCTCTCAGGCGAGTCGAGATCTGTCCCGCCTCGCTCGAGGAGTTCGCACAGGTCGCGGCATCCGTCGGTCCAAATCTGCGACATCTCCACATGTCACCCTCCATCGTCAGGAGTTTTCGCGACCTTCAAGGGCTTGTCCCACTCATCGACAAATATTTCCCCTTGCTCGAGGAACTCCACATCCAGCCGTCCTCCTCTATACAGTTCGGAGGTCCGCCGCCGCCTCCGCCCGCCGGGGCTCCACCTCGCGGTCTCGCCAATTTGCGCAAACTCAGCTTCCCCACGGACTACTCCAAAAACACGGTCGTCGCTCGCCATCTCTGGCGTCTCGGATCTGATCAGTGCATCTTCGCTACTGTCTTCGATGGTCCTCCTGAGGCGGACGATACCCTCACCCGGCAGATCCAGGACCTGAAATCGTGAGTCCGTCGCACCTGACGTGGCTTCGTTGAGGTCGTATCGCTGACTATTCAGCCGAGCACGCTAGTTCCAGTACTATAGCGACTTCCGCAAGGCGGTCTTGAAAGATGGACCGGGTAGAAAGATCAGTCCAATCAGTAGCGAGGCATCTTGTACTTGATGCTGCAAGGGGTATGCGATCGGAGCGACTTGACGCTCTAATCGAATACAGGTCCAGGATGAAACGCGTTACGTCATCGCCTTCTGACGCTTATTCGGTGGCCGAACAAGAGATGGTCGATGGACCGGTGACCGTGTCCAGCGCCAGCAAGGCTCTCTTACCATCATCCTTGCACAGCTCGCCGACTGTATATAGACCCGGTAGCGTACCCATCATTTCGAGCTGCACGCCTGACCCGCATCTCGACTGTTTCACAACACCAGCTGCCTCGGGACCATATCCGTCAAAAATGCCTTCCATCTACCCCTCCATCCCGATGCTGCCATCTCTGGGCCTGGGGTACCGCGCAGCCGATTTCGCAGTATACACCTTAGCCGCAGTGGGGTCAGTCCTGGCGTCGGCTTTCGCGTACCTCTGGCTATACAAAGACTGGGTCCTAACGCACAAGAATCTGCCCGGTATGTCTCTTCCGCGCGCTCGAAGCATGTGCTGTCGCGAGGGTCGATGAGCTTGGACTGGCTCGAAAAGATAGCTTGCTGATAGTCAGGTCCCCCCCGAGAGAGCTGGTTCTGGGGCAATTTGAGCTCCATCATCGCCGCCGAGCCCGCAGCGATGCACGCCCAATGGGCCCGGACTCACGGCCTCACCTACCGCTACCGCATGCTCTTCAATTCCAGCCGAATCTGTACCGCCGATCCCGTCGCGCTCAACTACATCCTCACCCACTCAGACAAGTTCCCGAAGCCGGAGCTCACCCGCAAGTTCCTCGTCGACCTCTTGGGCAACGGTGTCCTCGTTGCGGAAGGCGCGGATCACCGGCGGCAGCGCCGGGTCCTGAACCCGTGCTTCAGCCCTCAGTCCATCCGGGATGTCATGCCTGTCTTTTATGACAAAGCGGAGGAGTTGCGGGAAAAGCTGCTGGGGCTGATCGAGGACGATTCGGAGGGGATAGCCTCGCCCACACCGGCCGTCAAGGAGGATACGGTCGCTGGAGGGCGGAAGATCGACGTCATGCGCTTCCTGGGAATGTGCACCCTGGACGTGATCGGTGTCGCAGGATTCTCGTATGACTTCAAGGCGCTCAGTCAGCCAAAGAATGAGCTCGCCGAGGCGTTCAGCAAGATGTTCTCGGCGGGCCAGCAGTTCAATGCTGTTGCAATTATGCAGGCGTTTGTGCCAGGCATGGGCAAGATCGTGAGTTCCGTGGACCGGTCGGATAAAGGGGATGACAGCTGATCGACCAGCCGACTGAGAGGTCCAAGACCATGTGGGCAAGTCAGGCGACTACTCAGCGGATTGGTAGAGTAAGTTGTCCACGTGTCAGATGCTTGGGTTACCTGCTGATCGAGCGCAGCGCCTCATCCAGGAGAAGAAGTGGGCGATCAAGCAGGCGCATACTACTGGCTTGGAGAAGGGGGACGATATTGGCAAAGACTTGCTGTCACTCTGCAGTGAGTCATCTTGAATATACATGTCGGCTGAGCTGACGCCCCAGTCCGCGCAAACATGGCTGCCGACGTCCGACCTGAGCAGAAGCTCACTGACGACGAGGTACTCGCTCAGATCACGACCTTCGTAAGCTTCCCTTGACCCACTCCAATATCAGGGGAGCTGTAAGCTGATTGAGCAGATGCTGGCTGGTAATGAGACATCATCCACCGCACTCACCTGGATCCTCTACCTCATCACCCAAAACCCCGAGACCCAAGTCAAGCTTCGCAAGGAGTGCATGGCCGTCCAGGATGAGCGACCCTCAGTGTGAGTATTCATCTTGGCCTTGGCGACGGCGGGCGCTGACCATTCAGCGAAGACATTACAGCGCTCCCATACCTCGGCGGTGTTGTCCACGAGGCGCTTCGTTTACTATCGCCGGTTCAGGGTACTATCCGCGAAGCCGGCGAGGACGTCGTGATCCCACTTGGTACACCGGTCAGGGGTAGGGACGGTCAGATGATCGACTCGGTCAAGGTCTCGAAGGGATCTTCTATCTTCCTCCGTCAGTCCCTCTTGTCTTCCTGCCTCTACCCCAAACTGACGTTCCAGCTATCAGCGTCATCAACACCTCTGAGCATATCTGGGGACCCGACGCCAAAGAGTTCAAGCCCGAGCGGTACAGCGCCTCCGAAGGCGGAATGGACGAGAAGCTTCGCGCTGAGCAGAACTCTATCCCGGGTGTATGGGGCAATATCCTCTCTTTCCTCGGCGGTCGCAGGGGATGCATCGGATATCAAGTGAGTCTGAGTTCAAGGCAGAGCTGACGTCCAGTTTGCACTGGCAGAGATCAAGGTGATCCTCTTTGTTCTCATCCGAAGTATGGAGTTTGAGGAGTTGGCGAGTAAGCCTAAGATTGAGAAGAAGTCAAGGTAAGTTTTGCTGTGTGAATGGTCTTTTGAGAAGACGGAGGCTGATGAGGCAGTGTCGTGATGCGCCCGAGGGTGGTTGGGGAGGAGACTGCGGGCTTGCAGTTGCCTTTGATGGTCAAGCCCCTCGCGCAGAGCTAGGTAGTAGGGGCCGGTGTCGCGAGTATGAGCTTCAGAGCGCGGATCCGTAGGCGTTTGTAGATTTACTATGTGTGGCCCGGAGCCTATGTATTCGACAGGCTACTGCCACTGTCTAGGGAGCAAGAGTGGGCTAGTGGCGACTGATAGGGGCGAGACACAAGGCGATACGAAGCTAGGCTGAAACACATGCCGTGATCGTATCTTATCCGATTCGTGCACGTGCTGGCGCTGCCAAGCTGCACCATGCGGAACGCGCTGAAGAGAGTTTGCATGTCGACGTTGAACGCTATCCCAAAGGGAGGAACACGGAGCGGAGGGGGCCTCCCCGTGCCCTATACTGCACCGCTCTGCTCGAGCAATACTCCGCTCTGCTCTGCTCTCGCACTGATGGCAGATTCGCTCCTCTAACTCTGACCACACAGATATCACCTTCACTCTCTTTTGTCTGCCATCAAGTCGATCATCATGGCCCTGATCCCAGGTCTACCGTCTCTCGGTCTCGGACACCGCGCAGTAGATATCGCTGTGTACACTCTCGGGGCGATATGCTTCGTCTTAGTCACCGTCTTCGCCTATCTCTGGCTGTACTGCGATTGGACTCTATCGTACAGAGACCTGCCCGGTGAGTTCTCCCGTTCACCATCTGAACGATCAGATCAGGGCTACTAGCTGACGATCAGGTCCACCTCGGACGAGTTGGTTCTGGGGAAACCTCCAAGCCACTTTTGCGGCTGAGCCGGGCGCAATGCACGCTGAATGGACCGACACCTACGGTCCCACATTCCGCTACCGCATGCTCTTCGGTACAAGCCGAGTATGCACCGCCGACCCCGTCGCGCTCACCTACATCTTTACCCACGTCGACAAATTCCCCAAGCCGGGACTTATCCGTCAATTCCTCGTCGAGCTGCTAGGGAATGGCGTATTCGCTGCCGAGGGCGCCGATCATCGGCGGCAGCGCCGCGCTCTCAATCCCTGTTTCAGTCCTCAGTCTATCCGGGACATCTTGCCTATCTTCTACGACAAGGCGGAGGAGCTCCGCGGCAAGCTGCTTGGGCTCATCCAGGACGACTCGGAAGGCATCGCATCACCTACACCGACAGCCGAGGGGGATGCGGTTCCCGGCGGGCGCAAGATCGAGGTGATGCGCTACCTCGGGATGTGCACTATCGATATCGTCGGCCCCGCAGCTTTCGGCTACGAGGTCCGGTCGCTCAGCCAGCCGAACAATGAGCTCTTCGACGCGTTCTCTACGTTAGTCGAGGTCGGGCAGGACTTTAATGCCGTGGCAGTGCTGCAGACGTTTGTGCCGTATATGGACAGGATTGTAAGTCGGTCCCTCCCCCTGTAATTCCGACACACAGCTGACTAAACAGCCGACAAAGAGGATGGCTGCTATGAGGAACAGCAAAGCTACTACGCAGCGGATCGGCCGAGTAGGTCTGTGATTGTCCCCGGGGTAGACGCTTTGCTGATTACCTATAGAGCCTAGTGGCGGAGAAGAAGTGGGCAATTGAGCAGTCACACAGCAAAGGAGGGGAGGATGTTGGCAGAGACATCTTATCCACTTGCAGTGAGTATCTCTTTCCACCCCGGCGTGTCTCGTACCGAGCTGACCTCTCAGTCCGGGCCAACATGGCAGCAGATGTAGGGACCGAGCAGAAGATGACCGACGAAGAAGTCTTGTCTCAGATCACCACCTTTGTGAGATCTGCGCCCCCCTTCTGTTGGGCTGGAGCTGATCAGTGGATGCTTGCTGGGAACGAGACGTCGTCCTCGGCGCTAACTTGGGTTCTCTACCTCCTCAGTCAGCATCCCGATATTCAGGCCAAGCTTCGGGAAGAGTGCCTCGCCGTCACGGACACGAGACCATCACTGTAAATCGCATTCTCTAGCGCTGGACTAGACGTGTGGCTCATTCCACAGCGAAGACATCTCTGCGCTCCCCTACTTGGATGCAGTCTTGCACGAGACACTCCGCCTCTACTCGCCCGTCCCTAGCACGCTCCGCGAGGCTGCAGAAGATGTCATCGTTCCCCTGGGCACGCCAGTCAAGGACAGGAATGGCCGAATGATCGACTCGATGAAGCTGTCCCAAGGCTCTTCGATCTACATCCGTGAGTCGTCTTTGATCCAGCGAAGTTTTACGTAGACAAAGCTGATACCTCAGCCATCAGCGTCGTCAATACCTCCAAGCAGATCTGGGGTCCCGACGCACACCTCTTCAACCCCTCGCGCCACTTTAGCACGGACGACACGTTCGATGCGCAGCAAAAGTCCGTCCCGGGCGTATGGGGCAGCATTCTCACTTTCTTGGGTGGGCGGAGAAGCTGCGTGGGGCTGAGCTTTGCGTTGGCGGAGATGAAGGTCATCCTGTTTGTCTTGATCAGGAGCTTGGAATTTGAGGAATTGGCGAGCAAGCCGAAGATTGTGAAGAAGGCAACGTGAGTCCTCCCCGTCGTGCTAGAGGAGGTGGACCGCAGCTGATGGAGCAGTCTCACGATGCGCCCAGGGGTCATCGGGGAGGAGGCGGCAGGACCGCAGATGCCTCTGATGGTCAAGCCCTATACGCAGGCGCAAAGTTAGTGTGAAGGAAGAATCGTGTACATAGAACAGGATCAGACCGCAAGGTCAAGTCGTACGACTCAGGCTAGTGTCCATGCAATGCATTGAGAAACGTCTATCCGTTACGCAGGGTCTAGTCGAAAACCCCTCTCTGTCCATTCGCAACGCTGCCTCGAACCCTGGCTGTAGCGATACTTGGCGGGGAGAGAGAACAAAGTGAGGGAAAGACTAGCAGAGGGGGAAGAATGATGTAGACAGTAGGATATTACAGAAGCGTATCGATGGGGTTGGGGTGTCTATTTCCGTGTGTAAAGGCGAACAGGCGATGATGATGAAATGTCCGACAGGCTGTAGACTAGACTAGAATGATAGCTACAATGAATCAGAACTAGGATGGTCAGCGTCTATCGTATCACTGCATTGGGACAAGGTAAACTCACTTGATGCTGCACTTAAGCAGACAGACCCTCCACCTTCCCCGCCTCCCTGATGACTTCGCTCTTCTCGAAATGCTTCCCGCTCGCCCACTCCAGCCCCTCCCCGCCATACGTGACCTGCGGCAACACCTCCACCTCCGCCCCATCTGCCAACTTGGCCCCCTGCGCCTCCAACCACCTCTTCTGCTGCGCCAGCAGATCCCTCCGACTCGTCTCTGGCCCGTCCGTCGCGCTTCCGGGCGCATTCTTGAGGGGCGAGAACTCCTCCTGCCTCTCCACCTCCAACACCGTCAGACTGTCCGTATACGGGAATACGTCAAAGACGAACAGCTCCAGCTTCATCCCGTTCGGTTCTGACGGCTTGACAGGCGAGCCATCCTCCAGCGACACCGTAGGGATCTTTTTGCGGGCGATATGGAACGCCATCTTGCGCTCCATCGCCTCGACCCGATCCAAAAAGTCCATCGTAAAGTAGTGATTGACAATGTTGGCCGCGCGGAAAGCGAGCTGGCCGCTCGAATGCCGCATTTCCGACTTTTCGCGCGAGAGCTCCGAGTACTCAACGACGCCGAATGTTTGGCCACGGCGAGCGACGACGCCGACGGATTCGGTGGGGATGGTCTTGCGCACGACTTTGGCACCACATTCTGATTTCCGGGAGATGCAGACGCCGATGAAGACGGGGTCGGCGACGCGGACGAGGCAGTTGTCGACGCCGTAGACGTGGATGTGTTGGATGCCATTTGAGCGCATGTCGGCGAGGATGGAGGGGGATGAGGGGTCCGAGGAGCGCATGGGGCGCCGGAGCGAGGCGTACAGACCGCCATTCCCGTCAGGAGCGACCGAGAGGGATGAGGGAGAGGCGAGAAGGAGTTTTCCCTCGTTCGACAGAGCGGGAAGGACGCCTGCAGTGTCAGCGGATGCGTTCTTGCTGGGACGGCTGACGACTTACCCTGCTCGAAGAAGATCACGTCCTTCTCGTTCAGGCCAAAGTATCCCTGCTCCTTGAAGAACCGTTCCGTCTCCGGCCGCGTCGGCCCACTCGTCATGACATACCACCTGATACTGACGCTCCCGTCCTTCTTTCCATACTTGCTCTCCGCCATCCTCGCGAGCTTGGCAATCCGCCCCGCCTGAAGCGCAAATAAGGAGGATTTGGAGGGCAGACCAATATCATACATCCCTTTCGGGAGAGACGATCCCAGTCTGGTCCCCTGCCCGCCAGCGAGCAAGAGCACCGCAACCGAATTATCCGCGATAGCCTTCAGGCCAATCTCGCGCCATTCCGCCTCTTCCGCCTGGTTGTTGATAACCGTGGCGCAGTCTTCATCCCGGAGAGGAGACCATTCGGCGGTAGGAGGAGGGGAAGGGGTACGAGACCGACCAATAAGGTTGCCTAAGGTCTCGGCGACGGTGAGCGTGGCGCCGGACTTGTGGGCCTGGACGTCCTCGAGCTCCTTGTGCTGGATGACGGGGGTGTGGGGGCTGTCCGCGGCGACGGCGTTCTTGTAGATCCGATTGACGCGGTGCACGTCGATAGAGTCGAGCTGCGCAAGGAGGGAGGATTGGTCCGAGGGAGATAGGGTGTCGTAGAAGGTGAAGACGTGGGATTGGTCCGCTGCCTTATAGTCTGCGCGGAGCCGAGCGAGGAGGTCGGCGGAAGGCGAGGGAGAGGAGCCACTGGTAGTAGGCGCCGACATGGTAGGCCAGTTGAGTGGGGCACTAGCTGATAGAGTGATGAAAGGAGTCGACAGATAAACAGCGACAGCAATGGGATGTTTGGCTGTTCCAGTCAGCTTACGCATGGGGAACGCGGATGGGATTGTGCAGCTGGCTTACGTGGTCGATGTACAATGACAATGATGACTGTGCGAGCTGATGGCGCTTGGCCCTTAACCTATACGCAAACCAGACGGACGAGTAGAGTTGTTCTAGCGCTGATTGATGATGATCCGACCGGGACGAGCTGTGTGGAAATGACTGCGCTTACTGATCGGCGAAAAAGGCGAAAGTCGAAGGAGCGAGGTAGGCTCGGCGGAGTGTGCAGAGGACGGAACGAGGGCGTTCCGGCTCCGGTGCTTCTTTTGTGTATGACGAAGGCGGTGTGTGTCCCAGGGCAGGGGCCGTTTCAGGTTTAGAGGAACGGGGGTTGCGTCCGGAGGGAAGGAATCGAAACGGGGTGCGTCTTTCTTCGGTAGATGATGAGGCGGCTATGGACAGAGCTGGGAAGCCGAGGAGGTGCTGGGGGTTGTTTGGACTAAGTCTGATCTCGCCTTCAATGAGAGAGAGGAGAGGAATGACGCACCTTTGGCCTTTGAGTTTCAGCCCGAGCTCAACATACCTCAAAAGCAGTGTCACGGCCATCGCCGCTCGGAACAACGCCAAGCAGTGACGTAATATGCTGATACTGCTTATCCAAATATTCCACGTCATGCTTATTCGACGCGTTGGACGCCACCACCCGAGGACGCGCTTTGGCACGTCAAGGTGAACAAAATCACCCACAGCTCTTGTTTTGATCTGCTGCTGCTCACTTATACCTCATACCACGCCCTGTTCCTCCCCCAAGGGCCTGCTTTACACTCGCAATCACTGCGCTCTCGATAATCGGTTCAACAGAATCCGCTCACTCCAAAAATGGCGGCCAATATCGGTGTCCTCCCAGTCGCGTCCATTCCCGTAGGTCCACCTACCATACCCATACGCGCCTTGCTGACAGCAAGATTGTCTATGAAGAGGAGCTCAGTCAGTCGCAGCGGCTGTAAAGGAACGTCCGACCTGTACTGACACGCTAGTCCAAATCAACGACTTCCTCTCCACCTACGTCCCGCAAGAGCGTCGTCGCGGTCGGAACGCGCGCCAGCGCCAGCTCCCGGCTGACGATGATGCTGAGGCCGAGTCGGAGGAGGAATTGGCGGCGGATGTAGGGGATATGGACATGGGCGGAGAAGGCGAAGGGCGGAGCAAAGCAAAATACATGAAGCTGTTGCGGAGAGTTGCGAACAGGCAGACTACAGAAGTCGTGATTGATCTTTCTGACTTGAAGAAGGTATATTTCCTTTATCTGCAGCTGGGAATGATGGAGAAGCTGACTATTAGTTCTCCGAAGACACCAGTCTCCTCCACAACATTCTCAAAAACACCCGCCGATATGTCTCGCTCTTCTGCGAAGCTATCGACGCGTTGATGCCCGAGCCGGACGTCGAGCTTACCGACCACGCCGGGGACGTGCTGGACATCATCATGCAGCAACGGCGAGAGATGAATGACCAGATTGAGAATGGGGAGCGGCCGGCTGAGGGTGGAATGTTCCCGCCAGAGTTGATGAGGCGATAGTAAGTTTCCATTGCGAGGTGTTGAGAAAGAAGCTGACCTTCAGTAACGTCTACTTCCGCCCTCCTCGCTCGCAGGAAAACCTTGCCGTCCGATACGTCCGGTCCACTCACCTCGGCAAGCTCATCACCGTTCGCGGCATCGTCACGCGGGTATCCGAAGTCAAGCCCCTCCTCCTCGTCAACGCCTACACATGCGACTCGTGCGGAAACGAAATCTTCCAAGAGATCGCCCAAAAAGCCTTCACACCGCTCGTCTCATGCCCGTCCGACGTGTGCAAGCGGAATCAGACAAACGGTCAGCTGCACATGCAGACCCGGGCGTCTCGGTTCAAGCCATTCCAGGAGGTCAAGATCCAGGAGATGGCGGACCAGGTACCTGTCGGTCATATCCCCCGATCCATGACGGTCCACCTGTACGGTACTCTCACTCGGACGGTCAACCCCGGAGACGTCGTCCACTTTTCCGGTATCTTCCTCCCTACGCCCTATACCGGTTTCCGCGCTATCCGGGCGGGTCTGCTCCAGGATACCTTCCTCGAAGCGACCCACGTCCATCAGCTCAAGAAGCAGTATTCGGCCATGGAGATGACGCCGGAAATTGCCGAGCAGATTGAAGATCTCCAGCAAGACCCTATTCTCTACTCTCGGCTGGCTGCTTCGATTGCGCCGGAAATCTATGGGCACGAGGACGTCAAGAAGGCGTTGCTCCTGCTGCTGGTCGGAGGTGTGACCAAGACGGTCGGAGATGGGATGAAGATCAGGGGAGATATCAATATCTGCCTGATGGGTGATCCGGGTGTGGCCAAGAGTCAGCTCTTGAAGTACATCACCAAGGTGGCGCCGAGAGGGATCTACACGACGGGTAGGGGAAGTAGTGGAGTGGGTCTGACGGCGGCGGTCATGCGTGATCCAGTCACGGACGAGATGGTACTCGGTGAGTCAGCCCATCAAGGTCAAAGGCAAAGCTAATTTGACAGAGGGAGGAGCACTCGTCCTCGCCGATAACGGTATCTGCTGTATCGACGAGTTCGACAAGATGGACGAGTCGGACCGGACCGCCATCCACGAAGTCATGGAGCAACAGACCATCTCCATTTCCAAAGCCGGTATCAGCACCACCCTCAATGCCCGCGCGTCCATCCTTGCCGCCGCCAACCCTCTTTACGGTCGATACAACCCCAAAATCTCTCCTGTTGAGAATATCAACCTTCCCGCCGCCCTCTTGTCACGTTTCGACGTGCTCTTCCTCATCCTCGACACGCCCAACCGGGAGGACGACGAGCGTCTCGCTCAGCACATCACCTATGTGCACATGCACAACACGCACCCCGAGCTCGACTTTGATCCCATCGAGGCGACCATCATGCGGCACTATATCGCCCAGTGCCGCAAGGTCCGGCCTATCGTCCCGCCCGACATGTCGGAGTATATCGTCAGCAGCTACGTCCAGATGCGCAAGCAGCAAAAGCAGGACGAGGCGGATGACAAGAATTACAGCTACGTCTCGGCGCGTACGCTGCTCGCTGTCTTGCGTCTGTCGCAGGCGCTCGCGCGGCTTCGGATGGATACGACGGTCGGGCAGGGAGATGTGGACGAGGCGCTGAGGTTGATGGAGACGAGTAAGGCCAGTCTGTATGAGCATCAGGCGAGGGACAGGGAGGGCGGGGATGGGACCGACACGAGCAAGATCTTTAGGATTGTCAAGGAGATGGCAAGCTCTTCGGGCAAGGCGGAAGCGAGGGAGAAGGCCAAGAAGGGTGGAAGGGGCAAGAAGGCGCGTAAGATTGGGAGGCGGGCAAGGGGGCGTGCGCCCGAGAGTAGCGATGAGGACGAGGAGGAAGAGGGAGAGGAGGAGAATGAGGACGAGGAGGAAGAGCTAGAGGAGCTGGCGATGGTGGATGTGAGGAGTCGGGTGTTGGCCAAGGGCTTCACGGAGACTCAATTGATGGATACCATTCTGGAGGTGAGTGACAGCTGAATCATCCGGGGAAGCGAAGAAGAGCTGATCAGTCAGTACGAAAACATGGGTGTCTTGATGCGGACTGCGAACGCCACGAGATTACGCTTTGTTGCTGCGGACGAGTAGCGTGCGATGGGCCGAATATCTTGGGTACTTTGGCAAGGCGTACGAAGGAAGTCGTTGGGATCCGCAGTTCCGTTATCTAGCCTTTATACCCTGTTTTCGATCTTGTACAGAAAGTATCCGGTATCAAGTTTCCGTTGATATACCTGCATACCGCATTCTTACACACGCAGCACACTAAGCCTATTACCGCTCACACAGCCGAGCCATTCCCCTTCTCTATCGAAAGCCAGATTATTGATTCCTCCCTCTGCAGCCCACGCTCGCGCCGGCATAATCTCCACCGCCGCCTCTGCCGATGCACTATTGGCTCCGCCGTCGGGTGTGCCGCCTCGGTCGTCGCCCGACGTATTGGACAGTCTGGAGCGCGAGCCATCGCCCCGCATCGAAGCAGGGAGGAGGGCGGGGCTGTTATCCCGCGATGGCAGGAAGTTGGGGGATGCGGAAGGGGAGAGGATGGTATGTGTGTGGTTGTTGGGTTTGAGGGAGGATTGTTTGGGTTGAGATGATTTGGATTGGGTAGGTTGGGTAGAGGGCGGTCGGGAGGAGGAGGGGAGGGGAGAGGTCATGTCGTATATGAGCAGTTGGGCGTCGTCGCCTGAGGATCGTCAGCTGTCGTCACCCAAGAAATGGGCAGAGAGCTTACTGCAGCTCGCCAAGTAGCCACCACCGGTATCGCCCTTCCCGTCCCCGCCTGATCCCCACGCGATGGCGTTGAGAGGTCCCTGATGCCCTACCAGCTCGGCAACGGGATGCCCAGGCGACCGCATATCTAGTATGAGGACTTTGTTATCTTCCATACCAAAGCATGCTAGCATGTGCCTGTCTGATCAGCTCGGCTCCCTGTTCTGAGGCCGATGGAGAAGTCGGAACACCAAAATAAGAAGGAAGGTATGGTACTTACTGTTCCCGATTGCTGAACGCTATTCGTGCTAATGGTGTCTCCGAGGACGACTCATACAGGATCGTAGAGTGCTCTAGGGTACGCAAGTCGAAAGCCCGGAGTGACCCATCCGCGCCTACCGAGACGAAGATATCGGCCGAACGGGGGAGCCATGACCTATTTGTATCAGCTTCTGACTGTGGACTGCACGTGGCAGCTGGACCCCGTACTCACAGGTCATAAACTGCTCGGTCGTGCGCTATGAGCTGTGTCAGAGCTTGCGAGGTATTGATGTCCCATAATGTGGCGGTGGTGTCAATGGAGCAGGTGACGATGTTGTTGGGAGAGGAGGGGTTCCAGGAGAAGGAAGTGATGGGTGGGAGTGACATGGCCGGGGATTTGCTCTATCATGTCAGCTTAGTCACATGCGCAAGCGTCAGGAACTACCAGCTCACATTAGTCAGGACACTCCTCGTGCTCAGCGCATGACCCTGTGGCTGGCTCTGCCCCTGCCCTTGTCCCTGTCCCTGGCCATTATACCCATTACTCCGCCCCACGAACCCCCTCCCCCTCTCCTCGCTCCAGTCCAGCCCGACCTCCCATATCCGCAGTACGTCCCCTGTAGTAGCCAACAACTCGCCTCGCCCGCCCTCCTCCTCTCTCCCGGCATGAACGACCGACTCGGCCGGCTCCCACCCCACTTTCGTAGCTGGGAACATGAGGCCATGGCTCGCTTGCTGGTAGAAGTGCTGCGGGGCACCGGAGGGTAATTGCGCTTGTGCGTGAGAGGAAGAGGAGGACGAGAAGGGGTGGAGGGTGTCGAGCACGGAGAGCTTGTTGCTGGGTCCGGCGGCATAGGAGGTTAGGGCTGTGCGGAGGGGATTGAGAGGGGAGTTGGAGAAGGAGAGACCGTATATTTGGACTAGGGAGTCAACTGGGCAGCCGCAGATCATGAGATCTCGATGGACTGACATGGTGCTTCATACTGAAGCAGAGAGGGTTGCGCCATGGCAATTGCGGTATGACCAACAAGGTCGTAGGTTGTCGATATCGCTAGAACAGCTCTTGTGGCTCTTGTCCGGGCTCGATAGTCTCGGACGAAGTCCGTCTGATCGTTGCTGAGCTTCGTGCGTCCCTTTCAGATCGCTTGACGCGTCTAGCTGTTCTTGTATAGCTTGTCGTTGTGAGTGAAGGAATGAGGAGCGAACAACATGGACCACCCTCAGCTAGCTCAGCTTGGCGCGCACAGCCGGCATCAGCGGACAAATGGAGTTCAACGCGTATCTCCGTTGAACGATCCGTACGTCTGTTTGGACGGCCAAAACAGCCTCGGCGACGACATCGACGATACCTTTGTCCTCTGTACCCGCTAGATACGCTCAAGAACTGGCGCACAGAAGCTAGGAGAACAAACCAGCGCCATCGAATCGGGATCGACAACAGGCATGTCGATATCCGACTATGTCGCCAAATATCCTCGCCGCTTAAAGCTTCGGGAGACTGTCGAGACGTACTGGCTCGAAGAGCCTAGAAGTACGTGCTCAGCTAATCCGTCCTTGAGACCCTCACTGGGCAGTAGCTGAAGATGTAGAACCACCGGGAGCCCTCGACTCGTCCCTCAAGAAGCATACAACCCTGCTGAATCGCCTTCGAACGCTTCTGCTTGTCGGTCCGGCTGAGCCTATCATCAAGGACATCGATGGCTTGACGCTTAGCAAGTACCTGGAGGAGATCGTAGGAGCAGTCGTCGAGGGTGCTAGTAAGGGGAAAGGGGATCCTGAGGTTGCTGTCGACGTAAGTTGGCGTAAAGGGAAAGCCCAGGACGCAAAGCTGACACTCCAGATCATCGCCCACCTGCACACTCGTCTCTCGCCGGACTTCTTACCGCGCTTACTACCGGCCCTGCTGAGCATTCTCGCTCCTTCATCGACTGCACCAGCCAACTCGAAGGATGTAGACAAGGAGAAGGAGAAGGAGGACAAGGAGCGCCTGGGGCGTCAGCGGCCGGTGTTGCGTATGGTAGCCGAGCTGGCTATTTCGCATGCCTGGCCTGAGGGGGTCGTGAAGGGAATAGGAGAAGTGGCGAAGGTCTTGAAGAACCTGGTGAGCTAAGATGTTCGGATAGATATGTACCTGCGCCAGAAGCTGACTGACAGATGTCGAATGATCCTGCCTTCATCAACCTGCCTCTCCTCGCAACATTCTTGAAATACTTTGAGCGGGCATATCTGGGCGGTGCGGAGGTCGCTGGGGATGCGGGGGATACTTCTGGTGACCTCCCGGCAGGAGTCGACGAGCTCGTCCCCGCGGAGGAGCGAAAAACGATGCGGTCCCTCTTTGTCAGCTACTTCAACTCGGCGAGCAAGACACTGGTCAAGGGACAAGTCGTGAGTCATATCCTTTTCTCCTTGGAGCGAATGCTGATAACCAGAAACTCCTTGAGCAGGACAAGCGAAATCACGAAGCCTACATCAAGTCTGGCGAGATATTCGAGGACCGCCAGCAAGCGTACGAGCGGATGACCAAAGCCGTCGAGCGCCTCACGACTGGCGTCCAGTCGCTCGCGGATCTGCTCAGTCTCAAGATGCCCGATCTGCCCACATCGGCTACGCTATCAAAGGGCGGACTGCAGATCGTCGAGTCGATCAGCTCGTTCACTGTCCGGGAAGAGGGCCAGGGAGTGGGGATCTGGGATGACGAGGAGGAGAAGCGGTTCTACGAGGATCTGATCGATCTGAAGGAGGTGGTCCCGAACGGGTTGTTGGGGATCAAGGAGAAAAAGGATACTGCTGCAGGGGAGGCCGGAGCAGGCAAGGGGGAAGCGGAAGGAGAAGAGGCGCTGGAGAGGCAGAAGCAGGAAGAGGAGGATATCCAGCGACAACTCGATCAGATGATGCTCGATCCGGCGCCGGATTCGACTGCTCCCCCGCCGGTAGAAGAGCCGGAAGCCGTCAGCATGTCGAGATCTGCTTCAAAGACCTCTGCAAAAGCACCAGGCTCGCCCCTTATCCCAACAAACGCGCTGCCGGAGGACGAGGACGGACCGCCAGCAGACAGCGGAATAGTCGGCGAGGACGAGGGATTGCAGCCTGGTCCGGCTGCTCGGCTCACTGCGCTCTTCGCGGCGTTGCCGGAGGCGGTCAACAGAGAAATTATCGACAAGCTGGCGGTGGAATTTGCTTTCTTGAACTCCAAGGCGGCGAGGAAACGGTTGATCAAAGTGAGGCCTCCTGGACAGATCATGTGATCTCGTATACTGATCACCTTAGTTCCTCTCTGCTGTACCGAAGAACCGGACGGACTTGTTACCGCACTACGCAAGGTTCATCGCCACGCTGGATCGGTGTATGCCCGATGTTGGGACGGGTGTCATCGAAGTGGTGAGCTCAGCGACCCACCACCGTGGTCTCAAGCTGATGTCACAGCTGGAGGAAGAACTCCGATACTTGCAACGGAAGAAGCGCGTCCGCGAGCTCGACAGCTTACGCCTGAAGGTGAGCTATACGGCTCCCAGATGCGTGGAGCGAGGCAAAGCTGACTCCTGTAGAATGTACGCTTTTACGGTGAACTGGCCAAGTTTAAGGTCGCCCGCCCATATGCCATCCTCCATGTCCTTAAGGTGTTCCTGGACGACTTCAAGCCGAATATCGAAAATATGTCGAATTTGCTCGAGACGTGCGGAAGGTTCTTGCTGCGGAATGAAGGTACCGCTGCGACAGCCAAGAGTATGGTGAGTTAGCGATAGCTCCAACACGTAGGGCGACTTCCAGCTGACATTGCAGGTGGAGCTGATGAGGCGCAAACAGGCGAGTCAGCATTTGGAGCACAAGGAGCATGTCATGCTGGAGAATGCATTCTACCAGGTGAGCTTGGTCGAGCTCTAAAAAGACTTCACCCAGCTGACTTTGAAGTGTAACCCTCCAGAGCGGGTCACGAGGGAGGTGGTCGAGCTCCCGCCTATGCAGGGGTTCATTCAGCATCTTTTGCATGATGTGCTCATCAAGCGGACCCTGGATAAGGTTTTGAGGCTGTTGAGGAAGCTGCACTGGGAGGATGCAGAGGTGAGCTAGCCAACCTCGGACAGGTCAAACGCATAGCTGACGATACCTAGATATATGACTACATCCTCAAATCTTTCACCGAGATTTGGGAGATCAAGTTCGGCAATATCCCCTTCCTGGCTGCCCTGGTATACGATCTCCAGCGCTATCATCCCGAATTCAGCATCGCGGTAGTCGACCAGCTCATGGAGGATATCCGTATCGGTATGGAGGTGAGTGTCAGCTATCACGCCCGCGTGCACTATGCAGCTGACCCATCAGGAAAATATCTTCAAGCACAATCAACGGCGTATCTCTACCCTCAAATACCTCGGCGAACTCTACATGTACCGCGTCGTCAACGCCTCGATTATTTTCGAGACGCTCTGGTCGCTCATTTCGTTTGGACATACCGAGGGTCTACCTGTCCCAGGTCGTGACAGCCCGATCGACGCGGTGGACGACTTCTTCCGGATCAGGCTGGTCTGCACGTTACTCGATACGTGTGGGATATGCTTTGATCGGGGGTCGCAGAAGCGGAAGCTGGATCATTTCTTGACTGTTTTCCAGGTACGTTACTGAGTCTGTACTATCAAGATGAGCAGAAGCTGACACGGTAGCTGTATGTGACGTGTAAGAAGGAAATTCCGATGGATGTCGAGTTCATGCTCAACGATACGCTTGATGTAAGCTGTTCAGATCTGAATGATCTTGGAGCCTTAGCTGATACTTTTCAGGCTATGCGCCCCAAGACCGCCCACCTGCGCACGTTTGCTGAAGCGGCGGCTGCGGTGGATGTCCTCCTCGCCGAGCAGAATGGGCGGGTATGGGAGAGCGACTCGGAGGATGGCGGTGATGAAGAAGGGGAGCGAGGCGGCGCAGATCGGGAAGATGGGGATGAAGAGGTGTGTCTCGCTGGACAGCTTGGGGATATGCCGCTGACGCACCAGGTCTTGAATACTGCTGCCCCCGACGAGCAGGAGGGAGATGAAGACGACGACGCCGAGGATGTAGTGGTCATTCGCGAGCGCTCCACCCAGCACGACGAAGTCAACGAAGAAGCCCAGTCTGACTTTGATCGCGAGTTTGCGAGGATGCTGGCGGATACGACAGATACAAGGCGAGGGGAGCGGAAAGCGGCACCACCGATCTTCGATACGGCTGTGCCGCATATCCGAAGGCAGGCTGAGGGTGCTACTGCGCCTGGAGTAGCGGCTAGCGGTAAAGCTGGACCGGCGGCGGTTGAGCAAGAGCGGATGCAGTTCAGCCTTTTGTCAAAGAAGGGGAACAAGCAGCAGGTGAGCTCAGACTGCGCCGGTGCGGGTGTGGACCTTAGCTGATTCCTTAGATCCGCGAGATTGCCATTCCCGTCGACTCTGCTATCGCTGTCAACTCCCGTACACACCAGCTCCAAAACAAGGCGGAGCAGGAACAGCTCAAGCGGCTGGTGCTGCAGAACGAGCGCAGGCAGGGGCAGTCTGACAAGGATAGTGAGTACTTCCTGGTGCAACGGAGGGAGCGTAGTTGATGATCAAACAGAGCTCGAGCAGGATATGCGCGCACGCGGGATCCGCCTCAGATTCACCGGCTAGGGTCTGCTACTTCGACCCGCAATACCTGTGCACAACTCGGTATACGACCACGACTTCGAGTAGCCGGCTGGACCAGAGCGTGCCGCTGGTCTTCCCTTCGAAGAGTCCATCAAACGCGCGGTTCGTGTCGTCTGAGTTGAGTGACGTGGGGAGTCTCGGCAGAGATGACGCCGGCGGCCTGAGCGGTACAGATCGCGGTCGCCTGTAGTATCTCCGGATGCATCGCTTGCTATATCCTCAAAATCGCCTCTGCCCTATGCTCTCTCCAGACCGCGAGATCGTATTTCTCCTACCTCCGCCTGACTTCACCACATGGCCGTACCGCCTCTACCACATTTCACCACCCGGGAGCATAGTCGCCTGGACCACAGCTAGTCCGCCAAATCTTCGTCGTCAAGAGCAAGCCAACGAGTAGACCATGCATTGTACCGTGACGGGACGCTCGCTAATATCTGCGTCGATGTACCCCGGGCCAGCCTGACTGTATGGATGAACTCTCCGAGACCCGTCTGTTCTCCGGGCGAGATCTGCAAAAGTCAGCGCTTGATCCCTACAATAGGATGTACAGCCCTCCCTGGGACACACTCACGATCGCTGACGCCTTGCGAGATCGTTGAAGTCTTTCTTCGATTTTTCCTTTATTTCGGCGTTGTTTTGAAACAGGCAATCCTCCCTCCCAATCCCGCGCGATGCGCGACCGAACTTTGCTGCGTCACGTATGCGGTGTGCACCGCGTATCTCTGATCCCTCCAAGATCATCTTTCGTAGATGCGACATGCCCCAGTATTTGGGTAGGAAATCGGATAGTATGAATCGCTGGAGGTGGAGAACCTGGAGGCGAGGGAAGGCTTTGTCGAGCAGGGAAAAGAGGGCGTGGCCGCCGCCAGCGAGCTCGAGCGCAGATGCATCCACATGCAGGATCCGGAGGTCCGGTCCGATGAGGTCGACCATCTTTCGCAGATCCTCCCGCGAGGGAATCTCCTGCGGTCCGCCTCGCCCAGCGTCATCCTCATCCCCCTCCTCCTCCGAATCGTCATCATCATCATCCTCCGAATCGTCTTCCTCGTACAAGGGGGGAATGCTGAACTCCCTCATGAGACTGCACCCCTCCTTCCGCCGATTCAAGAGGAACCGAAGCGCCTCGCTAAACGACATGGGCTTGAAGTACATTGCCATGTCGACTTGATCCTGGATGATGATCCGAGTGAGGTTCCCGTCGAGCTTTGGGTCGGTGTACAGCCATTTCCTGTACGCCCTGATGCTCTTAATCCCTTCCTCCTCTTCGTCGCTATCCTCCTCCTCCTCGTCCCATGGATCGCGGTCGTACCGGCTCGTCACAGTGAGCTGGGGCGCCACAGTGTGATTGACCTTGATTCCGCCGAAATCGCCAAATCCGAAAGGGTCATAGGGGAGGTAGGGTACCCCTTGCTCGGGGAAGCGATCCCGGAGGACGTTTAGCTCTCCCGCCCATTCGAGGTCAAGCGTGAGCTTGTCCCCGTCGACGTGGACGACAAAGACATGGTCCACGTCGTACTCCGGGAACTCGTTCCGCACCGAGCGTAGATGAGGGAACTTCGCCCTCCACGCGGCAACGTCTCGGTGGATCTTCTCGGGATGAGGGGGTGCATCGAGGGGTGGTTTGAAGCCGGACAAGAAGGGATTGTAGGTCTCGGCGGTGTGTGGGGGAACGCTGAGGTCGATGTGGCGTACCGCGTTGCAGTACAGCGCTCGAGCGGGCTGCCTTGTAAGCTGCAGCACGCGGGTGGGCGAGAGTACATAGACTGATAGACTCACGGTTTCTCGGTTCATACTCTCCACCCGAGATATATGCACCGTATGATACAGCACCTCCGCCACACTTTCTACCGCCCCTTTCTCCGCCCTCATCACACGCGTCAATGTGTACGAGTCCAGCTGGTTGAGTAGCTTCCGCCGTAAGTCGACGTTGAGATAGAAGGCCTGGGCGGCTGGACCGCCGAGCTTGATTGCCTGTGGACCGAGCACCGCCTTGCGCTTTGTTGCTGCTTTTGATTTGGAGGACGGCAGACGCGATGTCTTGTGCGAGATAGACTCTGTCGTTTCTCGTTTGCCCGCTGGCTTCGACGATTTGGCAGATTTTGCGGATGGGCCTGCCATGGTAGATGAGGATTCAGCCTTCTTGCGGCTTGGATTGGACGGCATGGCGTTATAAGGGTTAGATGGAACTTTGGAAGGAGTCTAGGCGGGACGCAAGGAAGAAGGACAGAGAGAAGCTTGCGCAACAACGCCCCGGACGCGCGCTGACCTTTTCGAACGCACGGGCATGTCGGAATGTGAAACTAGTTAAGCTTAGCGTCAATCCGTTTCAGATATCCCAGTCATGGTAGCTTCGCTAGTACTGCCTTCCGGCGCCGTCTACCCGCCACTCCACCTCTTATTGTACCTGTGGTACGGGATATGCTGACAGTATCTGGACGATACGAAGTGGTCAGGGCGACTTCGGGGGCACGATAAGAGGTGAAAGGCACGTGCCCCGGATTCCAAACCTTATCGACCGATTGTCGCCGGGGTCCGAGCATGTTAACCTTCCCATGGACCAGGATGGGCAAGACACTTTTCCGACTGCAGAGTGGGGATGCATTGGACTCGACATGACCTCCTTATATATTCCAGCCTGGCGACTTCCTACATAGTGTAGGAAGTCCCTACAGTATATAGCAAGTTCCTACAAGCTATAGGAAGTTCTTACGCAATCCCCTACAAGCTATAGCAAGTCCCTACAAGCTATAGCAAGTCCCTATGTGCTATAGGGAGTTCTCTTCAGACCTGCGAATCCCTCTGAGCTCCTATACTGCATAGGAGCTCCTACTGTGCTGTCGGCGCCACACTCGGTCCGCCATACTGACATGCCACACTCTCCTGAGCTGTTCGGCATGGGATCTCGCCACTCTGGCGTCGCACTCTCTGGATCTCCTACTCGATATAGGAGTTCCTACTCGCTACGGAGCTCGCTTCCGAATAGGGGTGCCTCCTCGCTACCTATTCGCTTCCTGCTTCAGAGAGCCTAGAATCTCAGATTCCTAACAGAGCAGCGACCGACACACAAGCACACACAAATCTGCCAAAGGAAGGGGAGCAAGGAAACTTCCCCCTCACACTGCTCAGTTCATCTATCCAAACTCGTCATGTCTCTCTCTCTTTTCCATTTATCCGATAACAAGCATGGCCTTTCTCACCGCGCTCGGCGCGCTGGTCGCCCTCCTCGCAGCAGCGTACACTCATCTCTTCATTTACAAACAGTGGACCTTACCATGCAGGAACGTCAAGGGTACGTTCAGTGACTCCAGATATCCTCTGGACCTGCAGCTGACAGACAGGACCTGAACCCGTCAGCTTGCTCTTCGGTAATCTACTCCACCTCGTCCGCCACCATGATCTCGCTCAGCAAATGGCGGATTGGGCCAAAATTTACGGTCACACCTATAGGTACCGCGTCCTCCTCGGCAAGCCTCGGATCTGCACCATCGACCCAGCCGCCATCAACTACATCCTATCTCATACCGAGATCTTCGTCAAGCCTTCGGCCGGTCGAAAATATCTCGCCTCGTTCTTGGGCAACGGCCTGCTCGTCGCCGAAGGGGCGGACCACAAGCGTCAGCGACGCGTTCTCAATCAGTGCTTCAACCAGCAGGCAATCAAGGATCTCCTCCCTATCTTCTACGACAAGGCTGAGGAGCTTTCCGAGAAGCTGCTCGGGCTGGTCGAGGAGGACCCGCAGAACGAGGCGGCTCCAACACCGACCAAACCGGAGGGCATACAGATCGGCGGCCGCAAGATCGACGTCATGAAGTACATCGCCATGTGTACTATCGACATCATCGGTTTGGCCGGTTTCGGTTACGAGCTGGACTCGCTCAGCGGGACCAAGAACGAGATGGCCGAGGCGTTCAAAAAGATGTTCTCCAGCTTTGGTCCCTTGGCGATCGTCCAAGCTCTGATTCCCGGTGCGAGTCTTATCGTAAGTCATTCCCGACCTGCAGTACGGTATATACTGACGAGCAGCCAACCAAAAACATGAAGGACCGAAGAGCTAGTCTGGCGACGACTGAGCGTGTGGGACGTGTACGTTCCAATTCGTGCCACTTTGCACATAAAGCTGACAGCTTAGCGTCTTCTCGCTGAGCGCAAGGCCGCTGTCCACGCAGATCACGTCGAGAGTGTCAATAAGATCGATGTAGTGGGCAAAGATCTACTCTCGGTCTGCGGTAAGTCCTTTCCAAGCGGCGTTCCAGGACGGCAGCTAACAATGTAGTCCGGGCCAATATGGCGGCCGACCTCAAGCCTGAGAATCGCCTGAGCGACAAGGAGGTGCTCGATCAAATCTCGACATTCGTGGGTACAGATCATCACAGCTGCTCTGAATTTGACACTGATCCTACAGATGTTTGCCGGAAACGAGACCACTTCGACCGCCCTCACCTGGACACTCAGCCTGCTCTCTCGCCACCCTGAGATCCAAGATCAGCTTCGCGAGGAGTGTCTTGCTGTGTCCACCCCGAGGCCCTCGTTGTAAGCTCTTTTTGTCGTACTAACCTGACTTGGACTCCGCTGATCCTCACAGCGAGGAGATCTCGGCTATGCCCATACTCGCGGGTGTCGTTCATGAAGGGCTTCGCCTGTACCCTCCCGTCCCCGTGCTCATCCAGGAGGCGCAGCAGGACACCATTATCCCTCTCGACACGCCGATCGAGGGCAGGAATGGGCAGATGATGGATCACATCAAAGTGTCGAAGGGGACTGCTTTCACCACCGGTCAGTCTTCCGCCTAGTCTGGTGCTGTGTGATGCCACCAGGAAAGTTAGCTGACAGTCCAGCTTACAGCAACGTGCACTGCGCTGAGCGGACATGGGGTACCGATGCGGCCAGCTTCAGGCCCTCTCGCCACTTCCAGGCCAAGGCGGAGAGCGAGGGTAAGGGGTCCGAGGCGTCGGCTGGAGGCGTATGGGGCAACATCCTCACCTTCTCTGGCGGCGTGCGAGGCTGCATAGGCTACCGTATGGCTACCGGATGAAAGTCATCCTCTTCGTGCTTATCAGGGCTATGGTGTTTGAGGAGCTCAAGAGCAAGCCTCAGTTTCGTAAAGCCATCGCGTGAGTCCCTATCTTGCTTGTGGTCTGGGGTGGGGAAGTAAGGGCTGATTATGCAGTGTGGTCATGCGTCCCGAGGTCGTTGGCGAGAAGGAGGCAGGCGTACAGATGCCGTTGATGGTCAGGCCAGTTCAGGTGGAGAAGGCTTAGGTGTTCATATAGTCAGGTCCCAGGAAGGGTGGTCACACATGCGGAGGCCAGGTCTAAAGTACATGCCATATAGACGCGCTCGAGTCAGGTAGTCAGGATAACTTGTGTATGGTATCATCATGCGTTAGGAGAAACAGTCGATTTGAGGTTAGCGCAATCGGCCAGATCTCCTCCAGGACCGAACATACATGGTGTCAGGCATCAAGCAGATCAGTAGCGCGACTTCGTCTCTTCCACGCCCTGCTCTGACTGCTCGCTCAATGCCCATCTCCACACCCATTCTCCCGTCCGCTTCGCCATCTCCGCCGTCACCGCATGTCCTACTCCATCTACCACCCAAACCTCCAGCCCGTCCCCAATTAACGCCTTAATCCCATCCAGATCCTTCTGGCCCTGCCGGATCGGAACGAGCTCATCTGCCGCACCATGTATCGACAAGATCTTCTTGCCGGTGTATCGCTCCGCTTCGAGGGGTACGTCGGTCAGATGTTGGATTGACGGAGGCGCGAGGGGTGGTGCCCATGTCAGACCCATCGCTTCGGCTCGGGCGCGGAGATAAGGGCCGAAAGAGGAGAAGGGAAGGCCGATGATGGGTATGGCGATACGTATGCGAGGTTCTGCGACTCAGCTAAAGGCTTGCCGGGCACCGAGTCACTCACCTTCTCGGAGAAGACGCCAGGTCAGGTTACCTGCATTGTCAGCTTCATTGGAAGAACCACGCTGCTAGGACCAGCGTACTCACCTCCCAGTGATATACCAGTCGGTATAAACTCGTCAATGACCCTCTCTCCATCTGGGAAGAGATATGCAGCGAGAAAGTCCATGAGCAGCGACACGTCGTGGCATCCGCCAGCTGGAGTTTGTCAGCTCATAGGCCCTTGTACAGTCTCATTGAGACTGACTGATGCAAGCGGCCATATCAATGCTGAACCGTCAGCTTGGCGCTCACCAGCTGCTGGCTTGAGAGGAAGATACGCACAGATGATGCTCGTTTTCGTCGTACGACAGGTTCGCCTTCTTATCCTTCAAGCGAGAACCATGATTTCGCTGATCCTGGACGCGTCAGCTGAGTTCTACATCTCTTCAGCAGGAGCAGGAACGGCCTACCATAGTTACGACGATGACATCTCTTCTCCGCGATTTGCCCTTGCCCGCATCAACAGCAGCACCCAGCAGGCCATGCGCAAAGTATGCCATTTGCTCCTTCTTGTTACACCTCCCATGTGTTGCGACCTATACTGTTAGCTTAACGCAAAGCAGAGTCGTCCTGGGTCGACTAGCTACTCACTACAGCCGCGATGGGCAGCTTGCTCCCCTTGATCTCATCCAGACCGTACACCTTAACGTGCAGCCCAACGATGAGGATATCGGTACAGCTGCTTTCCGGGTGTCCGCTAGTCAGAGAAGGGTAGTTCGTTCCTTCGAGTACCGGAGCAGCGCACATTCTGGATAGGGTGCTACGGTATTGGAGTGAGGAGAACGGTGTACAAAGCCTCTGGAACGGCGGTCGACCTGCAAGTAACCTCACGGAACTCGGCACATTCCTTATAACCGGGTCGATGCCGATTGCCGAGAGCTCATGGAATCGCCTAAGCAAGTCGTGTCTGCTTCTTTCTTCACCACTGACAAGGGAGGATCCACTACAGATGATACATAAGTGAGAAAGACAAGCATCGAACGCGATTATAGTGATCAGACCCCTAGTGGACACCCTGACCAGCGGCACCTCCGCTATCCCTTTGTGATCGGCACATCGGTACAAGGGAAGTCTAGCAGCGCCTCATTGGCCAAGTTGGCGCAGTTGTACCTGGCCGTGCCGTTTTTTGGCGTCAACCGAGTATTGACGGCCGTGATGTTCTGACAGACTGCGCTGCACTCAAGCGAGGCGACCGTACTATTGGCCACCTTGCCTGAGGCTGTTCCGGTGACATTGATGAAGTGGACGTCGGATATTTGCACTGACATATAAGCTGCGTTCCCAAAGTACTAAGCGGCACATGTGAAGCTGACTCACGAGTAGCGGGGAATTGCTCGCATTGCTGTGCTGAGGAGGAGTAACACTGAGTGATGTAGATGGGATTGTCGACGTCTGCGAAAGTCAGTCACAATCATCAAAGATGAGAGATGGGACTGAAAGGACTCACTAGAGTTGCTAAAGTCCTGGAAGGTGACGTTCCTAACGTAGCCGCTACCGCCCCCCGACACCGATTTAGTGTCGTTAGAGCCGCCAAAGACCTTGATACGGGCACCATTCTCGGCGTTCAGCATGGTGATGTTCCGGACGTAGAGGTCCGAAACGATGTCGGCTGAAGCCCGTAAGCTATTATCAGAAGCCACGACGAGAGATGACCTACTTTGTCCGGCGTACTGCCCGAGAGATCCGACAGAAATACCGTGAGACCCACTGATATGGTCAGCACTGAACTCTACTCGGAGGAGCAGAGGGATCAACTCACTTGCAGATCATGTTCTCCACGGTGCAGAATGTGGAGTTTGGCTTGAAACTGACGCTGTAGTGTATTAGCCCGGCTCAATCATAGGGAAGACCAGGCGAAAACGCACCAATCGTCCCCATTCTGAACATTGGAGTTTCGAATAACAACGTTTGAGCTGCGATAGATGTCCCACCCATCGCTGTTGGCGGCTGGCGCGCTGGCGTTGTTGGAGATGGATCGGATCTGGATATTCTGATACTTGACGTCGTTGGACTGGTAGACAAAGCTAGATTGGTCAGCTCCGCTCAACGCAGCAGCATGTGCGGACTTACTTGTGCCAGAACGGCGAATCGATGATGCTAAGATCCTCGACGACGACATTGGTAGAGTTGCCGATGACAAGAGGGATGGGTCGAGCAAAGGTGGTAGATGATCCACCAGCTACGCCCTTATTGTTGGACCTTGCAAAATATTCCCACCAAGCTACACTTGTCAGCTGAGCCTTAGGATTGCGTGCCTCGGACCCACCTTGTCCATTTGCAGTGATGGTTCCGCCGCCATGTAATGTCGCTCCGTGTCCCTCGAAGAACCAGTAAGTAGTCGCGTTTTGCTATACCGGTCAGCATGCACACTATTTGGATATCAGAATGAGCTCACATAGGTCAGGTAGATGGACGAGGCATTCCAGTAGGCGATGTCCGGAACATAGCTGATAGCGCCTCCCAGGCGTACCTCGACGTTTGTCAAGTTGGTCCGAAGTACGGTGTGGACAGTGTAGTATCCGGGTAGCTCGATAAGGGACGACGAGGTGCAGAGCTCGTTCATAGCGTAGAGCAAAGCTGGCGCGTCATCTCGGCCACCACCCAATGGCTGTTCACATCAGCGAAAATGTGTATACTGCCGTCTGACTGGAGCTTACCTTCACTGTGCAGACAGAGCCCTGTACCGTCACCTGAGGGTTCGTGGACGTCCCCAACCGCTTGTTCAGACGATTCTGTCGAGCCTCGTTATGTGTGTACCCGGTCGCGGCCCAAACGGAAGAGGGAGCGAGCAGGAGAGCGAAAGCGATGGCGGTTCTCAGCATCCTTGGCTGTCTGTGTTGGTTGGGAGGGATCTTAGCAGCTTCTGGCTCCTGTCTATCTGGCTGTCTTAAGTAGATGAGCTGGGCTGGCCAAATGACCGCCTACCGGCCCGTACATGGCGGCCCGGAAGTGGTGAGAGGCTGGTGAGAGGTGTGGAGGCGAGCTGGAGAGCTTGAAGACGGACGGGCCGGGGCGTCCGCGGAGCACCAAGAGATGCAGCTCGCAAGAGTATCCGATGACAAAGATAGAGACGGAGTGCTATCTATAGCAATTGCGCCGCCATGTCCTGATCTAGTGGAATTGGTGGTGGACTAAGAAGAGGCTGCGGCAGCACGGGATGCGTTTGAGGATCCGGGTAACCCCGGGCCGGGCGGGATGCTCTGCCGAAATGCGGCAGGCTGCTCAGACGACCTTTTTGACCGCGATCTGGCGGATGTAGCGAAGTAACGAATTGACTTCATCTCATGTGGCTCTCTGCATGCCGTCTCCCAGCCATCATAGAGACCTGGAGGCCATGCTTGCCGCCAAAAAAACGCACGAATGAAACCGATCTTTCCGCTCACCCATTGCGGCCGCGGGCACACTGACCCAGCTCCTCATTCCTTAGCCCACGTGGACTAAGGCTGCCGGCATGCCATTCCCGTCCGAGGAAGGCCAATCAGATCATCATCAAACTCATAGTCCGGGGCGCCGACTCACCCTTGACAGAAAGTGCTATTACATGACCTGCATCAGATCGTTAAGTCCTATCATGTACGGCGATGGATCAGGTACTCACCGACCTAAAGTGGAACGATGTTCACTCGGACAGAAAACGTTGTTCCGGTCATGGCGGATCAGCGGAGGACGGCGTCCGTTTCGTAGACAAAGGAACGCCGATATTCGATTGACTGGCCCGTCGCGGACACGGAGGTCCAAGGCACCATCACGCCGACGCTCCGCTTTGTGGCGTGCGGACACAGTGGGGACGCTCTCGCAAGCGAGGCTATACAAGGTTGGGCAAGATTGAAGATTCGCGCTTCTAAACCTAGGTCTGCTTCTCTTCCCTTGGAGCTACCTGACTGGACTGACTCCTACTGATTCCCCTTCGACATCTACTCATATCACTGGCTGAGAATGTCTCTCTTTCCAGAAATCCATCCCGCTCTCCACATGGAGTCCTACTTCACCTACCTATACATCTCCGTCTTCATTGGGCTCCTCGCCTATGTGGTGGTATATCGCGTCTGGACTTTGCCCTATGCGAATCTACCTGGTGAGCTGGCTACACTCCGATTCTCTTGCGCATAGCTGACCACCAGGGCCTACCTCCCCCAGCTGGCTCTTTGGCAATACCAAGCAGATCTCCGCCGTTGAGCCTGGTGCCAAGCACGAAGAATGGGCCAAAGCCTACGGAACGACGTATCGCCACCATATCCTCTTCGGCAAATCCCAAATCGTCACCACCGACCTTACCGCCATCAGCTTCATCATCTCGCACGCGGACGAGTTCCCCAAGCCCGCTCTGATGCGCAAGTCCTTCGCCTTTCTCCTCGGAGAAGGTCTCGCCGTCGTCGAGGGAGACGACCACCGTCGACAGCGCCGCGTCCTCAACCCCTGCTTCAACCAGCAGGTCGTCCGGGGTCTCCTGCCCACCTTCTACGACATGGCCGAGCAGCTGCGCGAGAAGCTTTTGGCCGTGATCGAGGACGATCCGGACAATGCCGCTTCGCCTACGCCGGCCAAGGGAGAGGATGTCGTCCCCGGCGGTCGCAAGATTGATGTGATCAAGTACCTCACCATGTGTACCATAGACATCATCGGGAAGGCGGGCTTCGACTGGGACTTCCAGGCGCTCAGCAAGCCGAAGAACGTGCTTGCGGAGGCGTACGACAGCATGTTCTCGGCGGGGTACATCCACCCCCTCGCCGCGTTCCTGCAGAACGCCATCCCTGGAGCCGATCGTATTGTGAGTGACAAGTCCGATCGATGCTGATCTTAAGCCTACCAAGTATCAGACCATCATGAACGAAAGTCGCGCTACCACGCGCCGTATCGGTCAGGTGAGTCAAGCCTCTTGGGAAGAGCGACCCACGGGTCAGAGCTGATCTCTCCCAGAAGTTGATGGACGACAAGAAGAAGGCCATCAAAGCCAGCTTCGATGAGGGTCTCCAGAAGGGCGACGATATCGGCAAGGATCTGCTATCCATCTGCAGTGAGTTCGGATCTGGCCATGTAGCCGCTTGAGCATCTAGCTAAACTGTAGTCCGGGCAAACATGGCTTCAGACCTAGCTCCAGAGCAGCGACTCAGCGATGAGGAAGTTCTCGCCCAGATCACCACCTTCGTAAGTATATCTCCTCTTCTTATCGACGACCAAGCTGATCTCGCAGCTGCTCGCAGGGAATGAGACCTCCTCCACCGCCCTCACCTGGATCCTATACCTGCTCGCCCAATATCCCGAAGAGCAGAAACGTCTCCGCGAGGAGAGTCTCGGGGTCGATAATGAGCGTCTTTCCCTGTGAGTGGCCAGACCGCAATCACTCCCTCAACCCACTGTGCAGTGCTGACCATGCAGTGAGGCCATTTCGTCCCTCCCCTACCTCGACGGTGTCGTCCGAGAAGCCCTCCGCCTCTTCCCGCCCGTCGCCGGCAGAGTATCCGAGGCGGCTAAGGATATGGTCGTCCCGCTTGGTCGAGCTGTCCAGGGCCAAGACGGGAAGGTGATGGAGCACATCAAGGTGCCCAAGGGAACTTTGGTCAACATCCGTAAGTCCTTATACACTCACCTCTCTTGCCACTCCTTAACATGAGTACTCCGAATACAGCTGACAAACAGCGTACCGCAACGTTCACATCTCCGAAGACATCTTCGGGCCCGATGCCGCCCTCTTCAACCCCTCCCGCCACATCAAAGAAGGGCAAGATGACCACCTCCGCGCCACCCAGAACACCGTCCCGGGCGTATGGGGCAACCTGCTCTCCTTCTTCGGAGGCGCCAGAGGGTGTGTGGGCTACAAACTTGCTCTGGCCGAGATCAAGGTGATCCTCTTTGTGCTGGTCAGGGGATTGGTATTTGAGGAGCTGGCGAGCAAGCCGGTCATCAATCGCCACCTTGAGTGAGTGGCTAGCGCTTTCCCGCTTTGACTGTACATTGTCAAAGGATCAAGCTGACTGAGCAGTCTGGTCAACGTACAGCGACCCCGAGTCGTAGGCGAGGAGGCTGCCGGTATGCAGATGCCGCTCATGGTCAAGCCCCTTATTCGGGCTTGATTGTGGCGAGGTCGGACCGAGTAAAGTTGGAACTCGCAGGGGATGGGTTGAAGTGCAGGTCCCGAGGTATCAATGGTCCATGCATCTCCGGTATGTGTAGCCTCGGAATGACTGCATCTCCGGTAGCGGCAGTGAATAGGCGTAGCTTCGGAGGAAGTCCAGCGCCTCCATCCCAGCTGCAACCATCATCATAATGAGCGCACGGATTGGCGCGTTTCACCAACGCGCCGACGCGAAAGAAGTTTCAGCAACGACAATCTTCATCCATTGCACATCATACTACTATCCAAAGAGACTCTGCCGCAACCCCCTACGCAACGTGTGAGTACTCCCCGGTGACTGTTGGGCACGATCTTTGAGTTTGCCCGGTCTGAGTTGGCGAGAGTCACTCGAGTCTGTGTAGCGCGCTGGGGGCCCAAGCGAGGTCGTGGTGTCCCTCATCCTCCACTTCGCCCCTCGTCCCAACAACAGGACCTACAGCTGACAATACGCAGTGAGATATCAGGGGACTGAAAGCCTACTCCGTCCTATAACAATACTCTATCGATTGCTCAACGTCCAACCTCTCGACAAGCTCGGACTGCCCATAAAATGTCCACTCCAAATGGGACCATCTCAACGAGCGAGGCTCGCGAAGCCGCTGCTCCGACCACTAAAGCGGTGATCAAGAACGTCGATAGTGAGTATGAACCACCTGGGTGCGGGGCTGAGCTGACCTAGGCTCCTCCAAATTCGTATTATCTCCCTCCTTAAATTGTCCGCATTCCTCATCACTGTCTTGAATCGAGCAGTGTCTGAGGACATGCAGCAACGCGCTGTGGATACCGCTACGGCCGCACTGGAGCAGTACAATGTCGAGAAGGACATTGCCATGTTCATCAAGAAGGAGTTTGACCGGATGTACGGGACGACGTGGCATTGTATTGTGGGGAAGAAGTGAGTGAAACGAACCGGGCGAAGCGCGGTGTTTGAGGATATGGCGTGGAGGGGGAGTTCAGAGGAAGCGTCGTAATGCTACCAGCTCGAAGGTAGACCGGGATTGGTGGCGTGCCGGTGTATGTGGTGACGCGGAGTCAAGGTAGTAGAAGCTGATACCTACAGCTTTGGATCTTTCGTTACGCACGGTATGTCTTCAGCATGGAGTTTACCGCGCATATGATGCGAGCTAGGACAACCTGTCGCCAGCGGGGACGGTGTCCGAACCGTTACCGACAATTGTCGGGGATACGGCTGATCATCTCAGAAACGAAGAACTTCATCTACTACTATCTCGGCCCCATCGCCGTCCTGCTCTGGAAGACCTCATAGTCGCTGTCTTCCGATGACGATCTCGCCTCATCACCATCCCCACTTCCCAGCTGCATCACGAGAAAACGAAAACGGACAACTATCATCATCACTATCGATCTGTACATGAGGAAGGAAAGAAGGCGCATGTCATAGCTGTGTATAGTAGCAGAGAATCGAAAAATGCAAAGCAAAATGGACACTGCACAAATATGATCTCGTATGCCACCCGCGAAGCAGGTAGCGCAAGGTAAACAGGCACGACTCTCATCAACCGCTCTCATCTTGCTCTAATATAAACAACATTGCCTTCGGAAAGACACCTACATACCCGCCACTCCCGCAAAGCTTGCCGGCTCCCCCGGTACACCATTCACCCCGCCTCTCGTCCTTTCCCCCTGCTCATGACCACCGTCGTGCCCGCAACCCGCGATTCACTATGTCCTTGACAGGTTTTGATAGTGCATCGTGGTGGTCTCGTACTCTTTGACAAAGAGCCGTTTTTGCTCTTTTATCATCCAGCTGCAGGAATCAGCTCGAGGTCGCTTCTCGGCTGGATACTGGATAACTTACTGCATGATGTCGTTGATATACTCTCGGAGGATGTTCAGTGATTCGGTGTCGATATTTGTGTAGGCAATGAAAGGGCCAAAATTGACTGATCCCGATCAGCTCGCGTCTTTGCCAAAAGAAGGGACACACCAAACAATCGCAACAGGTGTTCTGCGCCGTAAATCTCGCTCATAGCTTTGTCAGAGATCGCCCGACGCTGCTCGACATACTGCGCCCGCTCGAACCGATAGAGCAGGTTGTTGCCGAGAGCTTTGTCAAAGTAGATGGTGATACCTGATATGATCTCGGATAGGAGTTCGGTAGCTCGTCTGCCATGTCAGCTGAGGTCCGTACGAAGGGCCCACACGCAAGAGCTGGTAGCGAAACAACTCACTCCGTCCGATCTTTCTTCGTATCCTGCACATAATTCCTATACTCTTCCAACAATTCTCGCACATTCGGGGTTCGGGGCAAAGAAACGAGCTAGGCCAGTCAGCTGAGTTCCGGAAGGGTCAAGAAGCGCGACTGACCTGATTGTGCTTTGTGATGTTCTCCCAGTCGTCGACCAACTGGAGTTTGAGGATGTCAGGGATGATGATCTTGACCTCCGGCCGTTTCATGTAGTCCGCCTCCTGCCAAATCAGCCAAGATACCCGAGGTCTCCGCTGGTAAGAGCTGAACTCACCGTATCTACTCCGCTATCTCTGACTCTCTTCTTGCCCAACAGACTGCTCTCTCCCTTCTTGCCGGCAGCTGGCATCGCAATCCCCACCTTATCCTTCCCCTTCGCACTCCCGGGTAGGCTGGTGGGCGTCATGGCAGCGCCAGATCCGGAAAGTGTTGGAGGTGTTGATCGGTTCTTCTTGGTCTGTGCCTCGAGAAGCTTGCGGCGGAGGGAGAAGGCAGCATCGTTGAGTTTGAGTAGGCGCTGCTCGGGTACCCACTCGTCCCAGCTGTATTTGTCAGCTTTTGACACGCAGATGGCGGCGAAAGAGCTCGAACCCGGATGGCTGCTTGGGGCAACGCTGAAACTCACGTCTGTTTCCAGCCCTTGTAGTGGATGAGGTAGTGTGGACCGGTGTTACCGGGATGAAGAGAATTGTTGTCGGTCCAATTTTCGGCCAGCAGGATCTGTAATGTGAGCCCATAGTCGATTTTGGCAACCATCGCCGAACGTCAAATCGAATGCCGCGAAAGCAGCCCAGCAGCAGGGAGAAGGGAAAGCTACTACTCACCCGCGCTTCATACAGCAAAGGTCCGTGGTAGGCCAGCACATACTCGTCGGTCGTAAATTGGTTGATACCCGGGGCCGTCATATCGCTACGTAGAGATCGCTGTAACACCTTGGGCGAGGTCACGATGGCGAGAATATGAGGAGAGACGGGCGCTGCTCGTTGTCAGCTTTGTTTCAAAGGTCCAGTACACCTCTGACGGAAGGTCGGACGTGATTTCGGGGGCGCGAGCACAACATTCCGATCAGAGCACTCACTGTCGATATGCACCGCCTAGCGATAACGCAGGTACACCAGAAGGGTATGAGGATGACGAGTAGATCCTAGCGGTCGTTTTGATACCACGTTGAAGGGTAGACCAAGGGATCCGACCGAGATCGATCAAGTTGAAGTTGCGATTCTTACCCGAAACACGCGTTTTGCGCGTGCACGGATATTTGTTTACGTGTCTCTTTGGGTACCGCGCGGCTGGAGTCTTCTCGACGCGCTGAAAGCGTCAGCCAGTGATTTTTCAGGAGTATCAGTAACACCTGACCCACCTGTGTATTGTTAGAGTAAGTTAGTATAGGTCGTAATAGCTGATGAGAGGTAGATGGCGAAGAGAGAGTAAGCTGGTGGGTGGGGTGGCTGCGCGAGGCTGTTTGGCTGAAACAAAGGTACAAAAGGGGAGGCACAAACAGAGAAACTGATCCCGCTTGCCTTGCCTCCTTTTCCCTCGCCTCACCTTGTGAATTCACCTACCTTGGTGTTGCATCTCTCTCTCTCCTCAGACTTATCCCTAGACCTTTTCCTTATCGGTCACTCCACCCAGCTTGCACAGCGACTCTATCCAGCTCAACACGAAGAGCAGGCGAGAATCACGCAGTCGCAGATAGGAACGGAAGATCGTTAAGGGAAACGGGCAGAGAAAAGAGGAAAAAGGATACCAGAGACGAAGAGCGAAGCAAACAAGAGGGGAATTGGGTAAGTTGCTCTATGCAGAAGAGAACATCCAGTCGCGCATGATGCGTCGCCCTTCCGGTCGTGGTGTCTCCCGCAGGATTGGGGAGTAAGATGGGATAGAGGCTATTTCTGGTCATGGGGGACTCTTCGCTCACACAGGCCTGTCTGCTTATCAATCTTCAGCACGCCCGCTCTGCTGGTGCAAACGATCGAGAACACCGTTTCAACACGGTCATATCTCCTTCAATCGTCCTCCTGAATCACCCACTGCTTCTCCCCCGAAAGCACAATTGCCTCAAATATGTTGGGTGTAGCAGGACCAAAGCCACCCGGGGTAAGCCATCTTTTGCCACCCACCCAACAAACGCTTCTCCGGCGAATACAGCCCCCGGATGAGTTGCGCACAGTACTGACGCATCATATCAGCCCAAATACGGCCAGCCGGTACTTCCTAACCTGAATGTCCGCCAGATCTGCCCGAATTGCAGGTCGGACCCACCGAATATCATCGAAGAATATTCAAAGGGGGATTTGGTAGGTTCCTTTTGCGATGAGGTAGGCAGGCAATTGACACCGCAGGTCTGTGCAGACTGTGGTACCATACTCGGCGACAGAATTGTAGACACCAGGAGCGAATGTGAGTTGATCGATTCCACCTTAGGATAAACGCTGACCAAGTAGGGAGAGTAAGTGAACACAGGTTTTTACCTAAAAGCTCTGCTGACTCCTATAGACCTTTGCTGGCGATGAGGGTGGTGACGACCCGTCCCGAGTCGGAGATGCCGGAAACCCTCTTCTCGGCTCGAACCACCTGGACACCATGATCTCTGGGCGGGACGGCATGACCGGCATGTCGCGTGACCTCCAGCGCGCCCAGAACCGTGCCAACGCCCACAATCAGAACGGCAAGACGTCCACCGCAAATCTCCAAGCTGCCTTCTCGCGTATCTCGGAGAAGTGCGACGTCATGCAGCTCGGCTCCAATATCACCACTCGGGCGCAGCATGTCTACAAGATCGCGGACGAGAAGAAGGTGACCAAGGGGAAGAATGAGAATGTGGTCATTGCGGCGTGTATCATCTTTGCGTGTCGTGATGGCGGGGCGAACCGGTCATTCACCGAGGTGTGCAAGGCGCTCAAGGTGTCAAAGAAGGTAAGTCTCCTGCTTGAATCTCGCTGTGGCCCTTAGTTGACATCTACAGGAGCTGGGCCAGGTGTTCAACGTCATCAAGGCCGCTGTACAAGAGGAGCGGAGCAAGTCAGGCACTCTGCCCTCCACGGCCGGAATCGCCAGTCTTTCCGAGACAGTCGAGGGTCTCATGGGCCGATACTGCAACTACCTCGACCTCTCGACCTCCCTCTTCAATTCGGCCAAGTACATCTCTACCCACGCGGCCAGCAAGACAGACATCGACGGGCGCACATACCCGTCTATCGCTGCTGGGGTTCTCTACCTCGCCTGCGTTCTCTTTGGGCTCACCACTGGCGCAAAGGACCTGGCCGAAGTGGCGGGTGTCACGGATTCTACCATCAAGCTGTGAGCTCGTCTGCCCCTTCGAAGTGCAAGTCGAGAGATGAGCTGATCCCGTGCAGGATCTGCAAGAAGGTCGCTGCGAAGCTTGACCAGGTCATCAAGCCTGAATGGGTGAGCTATCTCGTCTGCCCAATCGGACAACAGCTGACTCCGCATAGAAGGAGTCATATCCGAAAGGCTACCAGCACCTCCTGGCCATCGGGAAAGTCAACGAGCCCGGTACCAACGGCAGCCAGCGCTCCAGCACTCCGAAGACCAATGTGAACGGCGAAGCCCAACCCGCCGCTGCTGCGACCCCTCTCATCTCGGCCTGATGACTCCGTTCGGCACCTGTCACTGGGAATTGTACTCGTAGACCCCTCTCTTTAGCGTAACCACACCTCGTTCCCGCCGCTCTCGTCGTTAGCCAGTCCGCTTTAAGTCATAGGGAAATCGTTTTTCATCCCTCATGTATGTCTGTCACCTGTCACCTCAATCTCACTGCGTGATGCTGCACATTTACAGTACATGTTCTGTCTCTAATTATCTAACACTCTATGTCTGCACACTTGGACTACATTACGTCTAGCTAGCTTCATACTTCATACGACACTCCAAGGCTTCACTCCCCCCTCCTTGGTCAACGCTTGGATCACCGCCTCGTTCCTCGACCCCATCACCGCATCCCTCAGACCCTTCCTCAGCCTCGCCAGCGCCACCTCCTTCTCCTGCTCGACCGTCTTGTCCCCACCTGTCTCAACCTGCCCTCCACCATCTGGCTGAGCAAAGAACGCCCTCAGATGGTATATCGCCACTCCCCACATGAACTCCTGATTCGGCTTCACCCAACCCCTGACCACCGCCTGCCCATACGCGCTCAGCACCTCCGGGTCATTCTCCACTGGTTCGTAGAGAGCTCTGAGCGCGTCCTCCCCGCCGGGCGACTCGAGCGGTACGTTTTTGACTGAAGTACGGAGTAACCGGAGGACATTCGGGTTGGACCAGATGACCTTGCGGTAGTCTGAGGGGTAGCGCATGGAGAGGGGAGGAAGGAGGATTTGCGCAAAGGTCGAATCGCCAAATGAAGCGTTCTCGAATAGCGCGACGAGGTCCGTGTAGAACTGGTAGAAGGGTTCGAGGCCAAGGAAGGATGTTGAGGCTGTCTCGAGACCTCCGCGCGGCGCTGAGGCAGATGAAGGTATCGAAGATGGTGATGCGCCCGAGCCGACCGTCATCCCGCTCAACAAGTTTCCCAAGCACTCCTTGACCACATCATCCCTGAACAGCTCGCTCTCGCCGGTATTCACCATCCCGCCCGTCTGATGCTCCAGCATATACACCTTCATCATCCCAAACAGCAACGCCGAGCGGTCCAGCCTGTACCCGCACGCCAAAGCAAGGCGGAGGAAGACCAGTGTAGAGCGGACGATCTCCAGCTCGCTCGGCGTCCAATCAGCCGGTGCCTGCTGAAGAGCCGCCGAGTCGGCCGAGTGGAGGAGCTCGTCGATGGGGTGGAAGAACCATTCTGGGCGGAGTGGGAGACCAGGCGGTAGCCGACCAGTCTCGTCCGAAGAGGGAGGTGCGGGGCCGCGGAGGGTCCCGGTAGCTTTGAGGTAGAGGTGGTGTATGTGCGTAGGAGCGGTGATATTGGTAACGTCTGGAAGGATTGCATGCTGCAAGAGCGGCCGGAGTAAAGTAATCGAATCGGCATGTCCAATGCCCTTGACCGCCGAGGCGAGTTCTGGGACCGTCACCAGCCAATCGAGCTTGAGGAGGTCATCCAGCAAGTCAAGAGCGAGGGGCTCTTCTCCCGGTCCGAAGGATGCCAACAAGCTGAACGCTGGCTGGAGTTCCGACCGACCGCGAGCGGATCCGAGTAGAATCGATGAGCGGAGTAGCTCGTATTGGATAGACCGACCGAGCCCGTCTGGCTTGAGATTTGCCAATAGCTCGTGATCCTCCGGATTGTCCAGAGTGAAGCGCGCAGCAAATTGGCCCTCTTCTGTTGGAGCAAGCGCGAGGGCTCCTTGGAGGCGGAGGGCCGAAAGAAGCAGCTGATCTCCTGTCTTGCCTTCCCGCCGGCTCTTGAGTATGCTCCACAATTCCGCCTGCAGGCCTGACTCTTCAAGCCGCGCTCTTATAGCCTCCTTCTCCTCCTCTCCTCCCTTGACACCGTTGATGCCCAGTCCGGTCAACCATGCGACCAGCACATCGATTGCTGCACGCAAGACCCCCGTCTCCGCCCTCGGCTTCTGTACCTCCTTCTCCAGCACGTCGAGCGCCTCCTCCGCCCAACCCAGCCCGGATATTTGGGTCCAAGTGAGATCGTGCTCCGGCGTAGTGCGATGAGGATCGATGGCACACGTCGTCCAGCCCTCCAGCAGCGCCAGGTACGCTGCTGCGAGGTCAACCTCCTGCGCATCGCCCGATCCGAGGCACGACCGTACGTGTTCGCCCTGAACAGCCCACATGTCATGCGCTGTCCTGGCCGTCCCAGCGGCAAGACCGTACCGCGCCAGACTGCCGAAAATGCGAACGACTTCGATACAGAGCTCGATACCGAGCGGATCTTCCTCCGGCCAGGTCGAGACTACGCAGAAACGCAATAGTGACCCTGGCAGTTCCGCATCGACGATCTCGGTCGCGCAGAGCCGGGACGAGGCGATGAGGTCCCGCATGAGTCGAAGCGGCTCGAGGAGAGGGGCTTTCCCAGGCTGGAGAGGCCATGGGCGGCGGATGACGTGCGTCTGAAGTAATGGAGGGAGGAGGGGAAGGATGGTCTCGGCTGTTTCGCGGGATGAGGTGCTGGCTCGACGGAGGATGAGAGTGAGGTGGTGGATCGATATGGAGGGCAGGTAGTCGGGTGTGATGAGGAGTTCCGAGATGCGGGAGAGGAGCTCTTCGAATGGGACCGATGATACGGGGGCTGCTCGTCCGCCTGCGTCCGGACCAGGCAGGAAAGCAAGCGGTCCCGTCTCGTTCAGCGTCCAGCTTGGACCTCCCAAGGCCGTATAGAGCAGCTCGATGGACGTCTGAAGCAGCGTCACGCTCCGTCCGCCATACAGGGCATCCACAGCCAGGCTGACTGCCTTCTCGCACACCCTCTCCTCCTCGCATATTCGCCGAACCTCCTCACTCTCCCGCTCGTCCCCTAGCACGTGTACGCCAATGACTTTCGCTAGAAGTCCCATCATCCCCACCCGCTGAGCAGGCACCGTGCTCCGGCAGAGGTGAAGTATCTCGCCAAGCGTATAGCCGGCCATATCGGGCTGGTCTCCGTGATGATGTAGACCGAGGTGGGTGGGGAGGTCGGCTTGTTGTGAGGAAGAGAGGAGCCGGCCAGAGAGGTCGAACCGAAAATGACCGTTGTTGGCAGATGATGAAGTTGCTGGGATAGGTGATGAGGACATCCAAGCGAGTTTGTCTGGTTCGGCGGCAGTATTAGGGAAGTAGGTGGATTTGAGATCCGCATCTCCGAGAGGGGATGTAGCGGTCGCGTCAAAGCGGACGGATTTGCTTCGAGCAGCAGCAGCGGCCGTTGGAGGTGGTGGTGAAGGTGGGGGCGATGCAGATGCGCCAGCTGGTGCTGCTGTGGATGTGGTAGCTACATGATCAGCCAGCAACCCTCGGGTACGGGAGTGCCGAGACCTACCCTGACCGGTATCTCTCATCCCGCTAGACCCCTCCTCAATTGCCTTCCCAGCCCGTTTCTCCGCCCTCTTCCTTAGCGCCAGCAGCACACTCGACCCGAATCTCTCCTCTAGGTCCTTGACTTCCTCTTCCCTCTCCTCGAACGTCATCTCCTCCACCTTCCGCCGATTCTCATCCCCTATTTCCTGCTGCATCCGAGCGTATTCGGCCTCCTTCCCTCCTGATCTGGGCTTCGAGGGTCCGGCTTGTGCCGGGCCATCGCTGACTACTGCTGAAGCTGTGATCTTTGGTATATCGGTGGACTCTACGGCTCGTCCGACGCCTGTATCCCGCGCTTGACGAGCGGAGGCAGCTGCAAAGGCCGAGGGACGTTTGGGCTTTTGCGAGCGGTGGACGATAGTTGGGAAGCCAGAAGTGCTCTCGGTAGGCGCACGAGGAGCTGTGGGAGGCCTGGGGGCCTCACTGGAGCGTTCCACGATGTTGCCGAGCATGTTGCTATCTCAAGGGACGAAGTGCAAGGTAGACAATTTTTGGTGGTTTGGAAGCGGAATTCCTCAATTGCCTCCACTTCTCTGGTCCACACCACCTGTCCTGGCAAGCTAGCGCATCATCATAATTGGGAAGGGTCTGCAAGCTAGCTAGAAAGTGCGGGGACAGCAGTTCATCCACACCCTGCAGTCTCGACCTGGCAAAAGAGAATTATATCCTAGTCCTCCACCATCGCCCACAATTCAAGGTCCGCTGAGATTGATCAGCCTGACTACAGCTTGACTACCCTGCGTCCCCATAAGCCATAAGCCGAGCTGACTCACCTGCAGTCATAGCGCCGGCCTTCCCGATGATGATGTCGTCCTTCCTGTTGCGCAACCACCGCTCTGTGTAGAGTGACGCATCCGTCGCCGCCCGCTCCATCTTTTGCAAGAGCTCCCGCACGTCCCGTATCGCTCCTTGATACTCCTTGGTATGCCCAGCCACCTTGGAGAATTGTTCGCGGATGAGGTTCGCTTGCACCGTCTGATCGGCCGCGCCCTCTGTTGCTTTTATAATCTCCGCAAAAACTCCCTGCAAGCCCTGCGCAGCTGTATTGTGGGTATCGACTAAGTTCGCGAAGCGAGTGCTGTTGTCCGAGAAGAGATCGCCGAACGCGGTGGCTTTGGAGTGAGCGATCCGCCGAGGCAGGCCCTCGGTGCCAATGACGATATCCTGCACGTCGCTGATGCTGTATATGTCGAGATCGCGGGCATTTGCGTGGCGGAGATAAGCGTACTCAGGGCGAGATCTGTCAAAGTCAGCTGATGGACCAGATAGAGACGGTAGTCACAATAGTCTAGCCTGACTAACGATTTCAGCTTCTTGACGAGGGCATTGAATGCAACTGCGGTCTCGGGCTGCGAGTACATGCCGGGCGCGGCGTACATGTACGTGCAACCCCTGGACCCCAGGCCGTGGACATACTGAGCATATGCTAGAGGATCCCGGATGTTTAACGAGTTGAACCGGAATGACCGTAGGTTTGGCATGCCCGATAGCGGAGTGGCCGAGGGGGACGGCCCGTCCGAATGCCCCGTATCGGTGATCTCTAGTTCCTGCAGGGCCGGGAGGGCGTGATCGAGGGCAGCGATGACTGCAGACCAATCCGAGCAGTCGTTGTAGTCCGCTCGGAACCTTAACGACCGCAGCCCCGGTCCGAGGCAGTTCCGGGCGAACTTCCCCATCCACTCGGGACTGAGCGATGCCTTGCGGATCAAGCAGCCGAGCCTCACCCGCTGCATAGGCTCGCACTTCCGCTGCCGCCGCATGTTGAGGAAGTCGATATACTCCTTAAGAGATACCTCCAGCTCCGGCCAGACGCCCTCAACGTCGATGCCAACGACACGCTTGTCTAGCTTCTTATTGAGGAAAAGCCACTTCTTCCACCCCTTTACCTCCTTGACGAAGTCGTCCGGGTTGTCTGATGGCGGCTCCGATTCGTCGGAGCTGTAATAGCGCTCCGACTGGATTTCCGTGTGTACAGAGATGACGATGGTGTGACGGACCGTCATACCGGGGTGCTGGGGCGGAGATGGAAGTTCGGGCTCTCCGCTGGAAGCGTAGCCGAAGCTCTCGAAGTGCAGGTATTTGACGTCAAATTTGACCTCACTCTGAACTTCGACGTGGACCGATTCGCCGCAAAGATGGGCGACAAACGAATCGCCGCCCTCGTACACCGGATACTCGTGCAGGATGGTCCGGAGGCGCGGAAATTGCACGCGCCAGGCGGCAATGTCCTTCAGAAGCGCCTTCGGATCAAAGTCCTTAGAGCTCCTGGATCCGCCATACGAGTAATCCGGCTTCGACTGGGGAGGCGGGCTTTTGTCGATAGACCGAACCGCATCACAATAGATGGTCTGTCTAGGCTGATTGATCAGCTCGCTGCTCTGACGGAGAAACGGTGAGCACGCGAGACATGTACTCACGTCGTCCCTAGTCATCTTTGACGCGACACTAATATGGATATCCCGGTAAAGCACAGCAGCCACCCTGGCTGTCACTGTTTTCTCCACCCTGAGGAATCTAGCCAGCGTGTCTTGGTCAAGGTGCTCGAGCACCTTCTCCATGACCTCGAGGGTATTGTACAGCTCGACAGCCGCCTTGCTGTACGGCTCTGCTTCCGGCAGCTTGGCGCTGTCAGAGACATGTTGGCGCTTCGCCGGAGGGGGCGGAGACGTAGGGTGGGGCTGGGGAAGATTGCTGGGTGCAGAATGGGATGTCGACATCACGGACAGGCTTGAGAGGTAGGGGTGGGAGAATGTGGGGACAGACAAGGAGAGGATCTCGAAGAGGTAGTAGACGTCTGTGATGTAGATGCGAAGCACCTGGAAGGGGAGGGAGATGGAACGCTGATAGATGCAGTCGAGACCCGTCAACGCGTCGGACTGGACGCGGAGGCGTTGTAACAGGTGACCTGCACTGCCGGCAGGGCACGAGGTATGCTGAGGACGGAGGACTCAGCTATGTAGGAAGAAGTACTGGTCGATCTGAGTGTTGAGACCAATAACCACGGCGGATTGACGCATCATCGCCCACCCGCCCTGACTAGTGACTGCCCTACTCTCGTCCATACAATGAATAGCAACTACATACCTCGAGCCCGGACAGGCTCATATCGCCCGCTCCTCCTGCTTCCTCCTGCTGACCATACTCACCCATCGATATCGATGATCCGAATGATATCCGCCATCTTGGTCTGCAGCTCCATATGTCCCTTGAGCACGCTACTCACGTCCACATCCTCCACGCCGGGCTGGTTAACAGGCGCCAGACCAGCCGGGGAGAGACCGCTATTGAGCGTCGCAGCTCGGGATATCACTTCGTGTAGCCTAAATTGTCAGCTTTACCTGTTCACCTTGCTCGTCGAGAGGGGATATAGTCTCACCTGACGACACTAGCCAGTACCCAGTCAGCCTCCGAATAAGCATTAACCAACCTCCGCCCGACGACACTCCTGCAATTCTTCCACTCGTCCGCAGTGGGTTCAGACGGAAGGGAGATGAGGTACGCCGATTCGACGTATTGAGGCACGGCGCTACCGCCAGCTTCGGGTGAAGGGAGGGAGGCGAGGTAGATGAGGGCTTTGAGAATGGTCAATGCACCCAGCGATGAGCCAATCTGGCAATCAGCATGACCTCGCACTGGCAACAGAGGACGTACCAGGATGACTGGCCGCTCGCCTTGGACTCGCTTCTCCAAAACCTCACCCAATATTCTGCCCGCCTTGTTCGCCCGGTCGGTAGCTTGCATCCAGGTATTATCCAGCGACATGGACGCCATACTGTACACCGTCCTGACTGGTCAGCAGTAGTCCCACTTCCATTGCGGGCAAGAGGAAGAGCTCACATGGGCAGCTTCACAGCTGCAAAGTAGGCGTTGAGAACGGTGCGCTTGATGATCTCCCCCTTGATTTTGCCCTTCACCTTCTTCAGCGCTGTAGTGTCAGCCAAGCTATGCTATGACACCCAAGTAGAGAGGGTCTCACCCCAAGAGTTGATATCCCGCCCGGTCTTGAGCATCGTTCCGCTCTCAAACCTCAGATAGTACACATCCCGCCCATCCTGCAAGCCCAACCACTGCTCCATATTCGCAGAAGCCGCATTCGCGTCGTCCGCAGTGGTAGTCGGTGCGGTGGAACAGATAGCGCGCCAGGCAATCAGCGCCTCTACAGGTGACACGCTGAGTAGACCCGGCACGATGATAGTGGCCGTAAGCGATGGCGGTTTCTTTGCTGCCTTGATTGACGATTCGTCAGGGGCCGCCGAGTCCAGACGGGGCCGAGTGGATGCGGTAGGTGAGGATGGAGCGGGGTTCGAGTCGAGGTGCAGGTGGAGTAGCTGTTCTTCAAGTGCGTCCCGCTCCGATTCTACCTCTTTCTCCACCTCTACCGCCTCCTTCTCTTCCGCCTTGTCCACTTCTGCCTTGCTCCCTTCATCGATGGACGATTTCCGCTCCTTCTTCCCCTCGGCGCCTTCTTCGCCTATCTTCTCAGAAGCGCCGTCCTTAGCAGTGGCCTCCGCCTCCTTCTTCTGTCGAGCTTGATACCGCTCCCTCGCAGCCGCCATCTCCTCCACTTCCTCCTTTGTCGCCATCGTCCCAGCACCCACCTCCAGGAACCCAAACTCCTCTACACCCCTCCACCTCTCCCTCACTCGCTTCCCCGCCAATCCACCACCGCCGACTCCAAAGAGCGTTCCCAGCACTACCGGTGCCGCTCCTCCAGCTAGCAGTCCGCCGATTCCCAGAGGTGCGAGCAGAGCCGCGATTGCCGGAGCGGCCAAACCCCCCGTTACCCCAATCAATACCCCGCCCGCAATCACCCCTGCCCCAGTCGCTAGCTTTCGCCCCAGACTCCCTCCCCATCCCTGAGAGTGAGACGCCCGGGTCGACTCAACTTTGTCGTCCGGCTTATCCGCGGCTTGAAGCGCCTTGAACAGCGTGGACCCCAGTTCCCGCTCGGCCACTGGCAGCCTCTGTCCCGGCTCCAGCCCGAGAATGTCCAGCGTGCGGTGCGCGAGTGACCGGCAGAGAGGTGTGTACCGGAGCGCCTCCTCTTTATTCGCTTTAGCCTTCTCGGCTTCGACCGCCAGACTCGCCTCGACGAGCACTGACCCCATGCGCTGCGTATCCGCAGGAGACCAGTCCGAGCGCTGGGACTCGGCCGACTCGCGGACGAGCTTGACGTCAACCTCACCGGGGAGATTCGCCGTGTCAATATCGACGAGCTTGGCTACCGAGCGCAGCCAAGCTAGGGCGGTCGTGTTGTGCCATTGCCGGGAGGAGGGCGATGGAGTGTGAGCAGGGTGGACCGCGGCGCATAGGGCAGCGAGGCAGAGTATGAGCCGCGTCTGCTGCGGCAGCTGATGAGGCGCCGGGGCTTCCTGCTGAGCTGACATACTGTTACGATCTCATGCGGAAGATGCAGGTACGGACCGACGAGTATTCAGGAAGGAGAAGCTACAGAGATAGCGCTGTTGCTCGGCCTCCTTGAAGGGCATGACGTCATATGGGTTTAGCGACTGGCTTCGAAAGGCAAACCGCTGACAGCGCTGAGCGCTGATATATGATATATGATATCGACCCGGAGGGCGCGGTCAAGGGAGCTAGGGTATAGGAGACTGAACAAGACAAGCGATACATAATCAAGATACATTACATACAATGGGGGAATATCGACAAGACTGATTAGTCCCACATCCAGTGGAGCGTTTAATCGGAACAGGACATGCCCAGTCTAGACGTAATGAGATTCAATCTCCGCTTGGGCTCGGTCCGAAGAGGAGCCTAACCCCGCCTTGAGCATGCTTTGACAAAAGGTCGCGCGAGCTGGACGGGGGACTGCAAGCGTTGTGAGGGGGAAGAGAGGGGGAAGATCAGGTCAAGCAGGTTAGATGATCAGTGTGGTGATCCCGCCAGTACTGCAATACCAGAAGATCATATATCTGGTTGATCAGCTTGTTCCTCTAGTGAGGGGAACATAGGAAGGAGAGATCAGATATGCGATGTGTACGCCTCCCAACCAACAGCAACCTCTCCAGGACGAATCCCAGGGAGGGACCTGTCGTCGGTCGTCCTGACGTGCAAATGTCTAGCAGTTCATCCGGAACGAAGGAGGGGTGTGGGTGGTGGGGTAGGGGATGAGAGCTGGAATACGCAGTACTCACCTGTGCTATCATACGAAGATCATAGGGTACCTACCAGTAGGTATAGGGACAAAGGCAAAGCTTGGACCAGAAGAATTTCGGACTTGGCTTGCGGGTCAAGGGATAGGCGCGCGCACGAGGCGGCCTCTCTTCAGGCGCTTTGTCCGCAAGTTAGGCGCGGGCCGAGGTCATTGGAGACCCCACACGGAACCGTCGCGTTTTGAGAGATCGTCAAAGTCAAAACTCCATTCCTCGCACTCATCAGCCACTTTATACACCTATAACAGTACGTCAAGCCATCATATAGAAGCCAACCAGCTTCATACGGAGTGTGTCAGCGCTACCAGCAGTGCTAATTTCATAGATACCCTCTCCGTCTCATGTCGTCACCTCCTTCCGAGCCCGCTCGGCCCCCTCCCCAGCCCCTTCTCAACCCCAAATACCGCCACATCTCCCGCTCAGCCGCCAAGCGCGAGTCCGTCCAGCTCCTGGGCTCCATCAAAGACCTGCAGCGTCACTTCCTCCGGGCGGCGTCGATCGAGCACCGCCCAGGCGCAGGTATCGGCGTCAAAGGGCTAGGTACCCTTGGTGAGGAAGAGGAGAATAGGGATCCGGCGGATAGCTTGTCAGCAAGTACGAACGGCGGACCATCTCGGGATCGGAAGCTATGGAAGGAGGTGGAGCTGCAGCGGGTAGATATCGAGACCGCGCGGAAGGAGGTCAAGGCGATCATCAGTGATCTGAGAGGATTATGGTCTCTCGGTGGGGGGACACCGGGGACCTCCGCCTCCACCTCGCCAACCACCCCTACTTTCGGCCAGACAGACACTCAGCAGCTGCTTGTCCGTACAGCGAGGTCCATTCGGCGGGTCAGGGAGCTGTCGCTCTCGATCACACAAACGGGTCGAAAGGTGTCCAACGGGATGTCTACTCTGCCGCGCCCAAAGCAGGGTCGAACCAGTATCTCTACTCCTTCTCGCCCTGCTGCGACGCTACCACGAGCAGTTTCAGCGTCGGGATCGACCCTACCGGTGCGACAGTCATCGCTGGGCGCCATTGCTGCCGCGAACGACCCATCAGACACGTTCGGGTCACTGAGGCGAGCGGCAATGGAGGTGCTGGCGGGACTACGGGGCATGGAGGAGCGTCTGCGCCTGCAGTCCAATACCGCACCAGTCCTCGAGACCGGCTCTGGTCTCAGCGGGACTCAGAGCGTATCTGCCTCCTCGACAGACGACCCCTCGCGCCCGCCCTCGTCCATGTCCGGATTGGTATCCGAGCCAGAGTCCATGAACGAGCAAGAGGAGGAGGAGTGGAACATGAACATCTTGGCGGCGGACGGGGATCTACATCGGCACATCGAGACCTGGGAGGAGCGTATAGCGGCGGAAGGAAGGGAGTATCGAGCCATATCTTCGGGAGAGGCGGGCAAGGAGAGGGAGGCGGTCAGGCGGTGGCTGGGCGTGGTGGAGTCGGTGTTCCGCTCTGACGGGGAAAGGGAGGCGACTGGAAGATGGGCCGACGGGGACTGGGAGGGTTCGCAATCTGGTAAGCTCAGCTTGATGTGCCTGCAGCGGAGAGCGCTGATCAGGCAGAACGGATACATGACTTCCTCCTTGCACATCTTGCTTTAGATCTTCAGCTATATCTACCCAATGTTCAGCATCCGGATCTCCGCCAGGTTCTGCTTTCCCGACTGTCGTGAGTGACTTCAATCTATATAAGGGGAGATGCTGACCGCCAGCGATGGGTACATTTTGATCCAGGCATTCAATAATGCTCTCGGCTCGTCCTCGCGCTCGTGGGGCTTCGTACCCGATGATGACATTCACGACACCTTGAATGCCGTTCCAACGACACGCGGGGATGGATCAGCGACGTCCGAGGCGGTAGCCGATGAGAAGAGCAACGAGGGGTGGACGTTCAGGCGGATCGGTAATTTGACTGCTTGGGCTGCGTGAGTCTGCTCATCCCTCTCTCTTCCTGGCATAATGATTCATGCTGACCTCACGCAGGGCCCTCAGACAGAGGTACAACATCCTTCTCACTCTCCCTAGCCGGACCACCTCCTCTGCCTTCCTGATCCCGCCCACACCCCGCCCAACCGGCCCAGCATCATCCCCCGATCCCAAGCTGCGCCGAAGCTCGCCCGACGGTACTGGCGCTCCGGGCCGAAAGAGCGATGTCCCGGCTTATCTGTTTGATCCGGCAAAGGTGGCCAAGCGGGAGCCAGGGTGGGAGGAGATGCTCGAGGGGTTGGTCGTCAGGTGGATTGAGGAGGTTGCGACAGAGGTGAAGGGAGGGGGAGTTGTCAGGGATAGGACAAGAGGGGGAATGATCTAGCTATTGGTCTGCGAATTTCTGTGCGGATCGGTATGCGGGGTGCGCAGCTCGTCATGCTATGCCACTGCCATACTTCACGAATAGTCGCCAGACTTTGAGCACGATGACGGGTCATGACGCGTCGCCTGTAGATCTCTCGGGGCATGGCGGCAGCTGTACGAGCGAGCAGCGAGATTCCGATACAAGGAAGTGGGCGGATATCGAACTGTGGCCAGATAGTAACACACAGCTGACCTTGGCCAGCCTTGGCCCCCTCGACTGCATGGTACCATGCGACTCATTCTGGCGCTGCTCGTCATGGACAAGGACGGTCCGCGTTCCGACGTGTTGCGCATCGATTCGTCATGGCGGACAGACCGGTATCCGTCAGTAACCGGCTAGGGCGTCTCACGCGCTCACAAGTCACCTGATCACAGATCTGACTTTTACGGCGTGGGCGGTTTATCCTTTGCGCGTGCCTGCTTCAAGCGGACGGGAACTGTACGGCCGATCTGTCCTAGTTCCTGAGACTTGAACCATATCCTGAGCCGCCGGCTCGATAAGGGGAGCAAGGAGCTGCAAGGAGAGCAAGGCCACGAGAGAAGACGAGAGGATGTCATGCCGCAGCTGGAGATCTACACGGGCTGAAGGCACCCAGCGGAACGATGTTGCCAGCCTCACGTCATGCGGAGGGCCGGTGGCTGAAGGTGGCACACTCTGATCGAGATCAGTCAGGTGTCCGAGGGGGAGAAGTGCGGAAGGACGGAAGCCCTCCACGATCCACGACGGCCCCCGAATAGTGCTGAGTCGGTCCAGGATAATTCTTCTTGGAGCTTGTTCCTCGCTAGACCAGGTACCGCGGTTCCAGCTAGCTACGAGATCCTGCGAGATCTCGGCCGCCTGGGCCGGTACGGAATGCAGTTGAGGCACAGCCGGTCCGACCCAGTCCGCTATCAATGAGCGATGGTCCCCCGTCTCTCCCCCATCCTTCCCCTTCCTCGCTGCACTCGGGGGTATATCGGAGGTGGTGTCCGAGATCTCATTTCGAAGTGGAGGGTGCCTCCGAGCGGCTATACCACTGAAGCTGACAGCGTTGTCCCACATGGTCCATCTATAACAGGAGTACCCGGTCAGGCGAAAGATGTCACTTTGCGGCATTTGGGCTCTGCGACTTTTCCCTTTCCCGTTCAGCAATCCTCAAGTCATGGGGTACGGACGGAGCACCATGTCGGCTTCATGCTTGTTGACGTAGACCCGAGGATTTGGATGCACTTCAAGCTTTATATACTCAGCATCTCTTTCTGAACTTGGCGCCCACTTTCCCGTTCCACTCTTCGCTTTGCTGTAGTTACCGTATAGCCCGCTCGATAGAACAACGAAGTCTTCCTCCGCATACCCCATCCCGCAAATTTCCAAACTTTAGATCTCGGGAACGCGAGCGGCTAGCGTGTTTACCCTTCTTTACCTATACCTTCTTTGATCGACATACGACTCTCATCCATACTTTGTCGGGCTACCACTCCGCCAGCGACCACTCATCTCTACCCCGCAGTCGGTCCGCTCTAGGCACTCAAGACAGCTCCAAAAGATGTACGCTCCGACGTCGACGCAGCAGCCGGCAGCAATTTGCGCGCTCAAGTCGCCTGCTGATGCGTAAGTTTCGCTTGGCTGCTCGGAAAACTCAGCGACGCGAGCATTAAGCTGACGGTGACAGGATTCACGTGCTGGAAGCGGTCCGGGTTGGCCTTGTGCCTCGGGTGACTAGGCGGTTGACGGGGCATGAGCGGTCTCAGATCAGACCGGGGACAGTTTGGGTATGGGAAGAGGGTGAGTCACGTCAAGGCTGAAGATAGGGCTCGGCGCTAATGGGCAGAGGAGACAAACATGCGGAGATGGACAGACGGGCGGAAATGGGGAGCATCTAGGGTTGGCGGTGGAGGATTTTTGGTATATACCGAGTAAGTCTGCTCGGGCCAGACAAGAAAGTTCTGGCTGACGGGCAGAATAAACGAACATCACTCTCCACCGGTCAACCAGCCTGACGCGGCCTACCCCTACCCCAGCTTCTACCCCAACCCTCCTCGCGAAGCACTGGTCAAGCAGACCTACTCGACCAGTATGACTCACCCAGTCAGCGGCAAAGTGAAGAAATTTCACGTCGTTGGCTATTCGTCGAGGTCGAATCCTCAGGGCGACGCGCACAGCCCACTACCCCTCCCCCACGAGCTTCCACTCCTCTCGACGCTTCAAGTCGTTCCGGGAATATGGCCAGAGTGGGAGCGGCGGCGCGAAGGGACGGGTCAGAGGGAAGGGACGGCCGGAACAGCGGCGCCTGAGAGCAGGGCAAACAGTGGAGAAGCATCTTCAGCACGAAGGCCTTCAGCCAAGTCTGAGCTACCCTCTCCTCCCCAGTCCGCGTTGCCTTCGCCGCAGGTCAGCATGCCTGGCCTAGCGACCGCAACTCAGACCCAGCCCGCGCGAGGAAACGGCTACGCCGACCAGTCACATCCATCGGATTCTCGAGATGGCCTGTCAGGCGCGTATAACTCCCCCTTTTATTATGCTCCAGCAAACAATGGTCGCTCGGCACCATCCTACCCCGTCAACGTGCCCGCTCAGCACAACGGGTACGACCGGTACCACCCGTACCGAGACCGACCTGGCCAACATAACTCGGGCTTCTCATCTCCTGGCCTCCCCACTCCCTCCTCTTCTACCGAACAAAGCCAAGGAGACGAACGGCGAGCATCAGGATCAGCACCGCAATCGTTAGCTCCACAGCAGGGCCAAGGCCAGGGACAGTACGCCTACCCATTGCCCTCCATGGGTTCCCACGCCCCATATGGCGGTGCGTATCGGGAACAACAGCCCATGAGGTCACCATACACCTCACAATTGATGCCCCCCGTCCACAATGCCCCCTCCCCATACATCGACACCATCAACCCCTACCAAAACCCCTACCACCAGCAACAATCCCAGCACCATCAGCAATCTCATCAGCCTCCGCCCGAGCAGCCTCGGCAGCAACCCGCTCGGAGCCTGTCACACTCGCCTACCGTCCAGACACAGACGGTACCGGGGCAAACGGATCGGTCTCCCAAAATCAGCATCTCCTCTGCCTTGGCGAGCGAGAATGCCAATTCGGGCGGGTTCACCCTTCCCCCTCTCCGGGTGGCTATTGATGGTCAGAATACCCGGATCAGTCCGTCGGGACAGAGCCAGCGGAGCAGTCCGGGCAAGTCGCCAGTGCAGGACAGGCGGGAGCTGGGGGACTCGGGGAAGAAGGTGCCACTTTGAGGAGCTTGGTAGGTGATAAGCAGTAGAGCGAGCTTAGGGGATCTGAAGACTTGTACTGTGTATATATCTCTTGTTATGCATCAGTCTATATGCTAGATGTTTTGAGGCAGCTGAACTCACCGCTTCTGTTGACGAACAGCATAGCTTCTTGGCGATAATGATAAGGTTCAACTTCCCTGGAATCAGGCACGAGCTCAGCATTCCTCGTCCTCACGCGCAACGCTCAATGACGCTCAACCTCTCCGTCTGGTTTCATCTTTTGAACTCCTTTATCCCCTTCATAATCACGCGCAGCAGCTGCGATCCTCCCTTGCAGAGCTCTAGCATAAGTCACTCCTGCTCCCAATGCTGGCAAGATGACTCTGAGCGGAGAGGCGACCCCTCTACTCGGTGCAAGTGGGAATGGACCAAGCTCCAGGATCTTGTCCGAGGTGCGTCCGCTGTACCGAAGCGGAGGAGAATTAAGCTGAATCGCCAGACTTTAGTCTACCCTCTCATTCATCAAATCCGAGTGGATATCTTGTCCCATATCGGTATGCTGAAGACCTGCTAGGCGGGGCGATACAACAACTGACGGTTGGCAGACACCCCTTTGACATATGATCAGCTCCTGGCTCCTGACTCTACTTATACCATCGTCCGGTGAGCTCTTAGTCTCATGTACCGGTCTGGGGGAATCAAGCTCATGCTGTAGACCATTGACCGAGAAATACCTGGAGCTGCAAAATCAGTCGACCGGTCTGTACAGCTGCTCATCACGTCGCTTGCCGCAGTGGAGTATCTTCCAGCTGACTTGATCAGTCTTCTGTCTGCTTTTGAACAAGGTTCAATTCGTCCGGGACTCGCAACAGCTCAGTATCTCCACCTTGTCACTCTCAAGGGCGACGCTATGTGAGATTCTGGCGATCCGGGTACTGCGTGAGCCCAAGAGCTGCTTCGCGGGGCCAGTCTCAAGCTGACCGCAGTGCAGGAGGATGGTCCGAGCGGTCCTTACCCCTCGCCACGGTCCTCTTGACCCCATGGGCGATCTTTCAGGGTGCTTCAGAGGAGATCATCGAGAAGACGAGAGAAGAGGATGAGGATCTCTTGGAGCACTCGGCAAATGCCTTGGAGGTGAGCCTCTCGAAAGGGGGATCCGGAGGGGGTCATCGAGCTGACTGAGACAGATGGCTATTGTGAGCTCGTCTAAGCGGTTCATCCGAAGTCCATCCTGCCAAAAGGTCATAGGTGAGCTTCGACGTCAGCGAGAAATAGGTAAAGCGGCTGACGGATCAGAGGGTATATGGTCGGGACGGATCATCTACTCGGCGCAGAATGTCCGCGCTCTTATAGCGGATGTAGGCGATACTTTTGGACTTCGTCTAAGCGCTTGGCTGATCCTGGCAGAACTACAAGAAACGGCCCATCCAGATGTACAACCCTCACAAAGCGCCATTACTTGACCACTACCGGTAAGCTTTTAAATACTCCCCGGCCGCTGGGAAATCAGCTGATAACTTCAGTCTGAAAGTGCCCAAGATCCGTTCCATCATCGAGTACAGCAACTTCGTCGTCCTATTCTTCCTGTACGTTCTAGCGATGGAGGGTTTGGTGGACTCGAGGATGAACAAGAGGGAGATGGCGTTCGTGGTATACGCATTAGGTAAGCTATCCACTGAGCGCATCGCTGCAGCTGTAGCCTAAGATCCAGCTTACAAGGCAGCATTCTCTTTGGACAAGCTCGCCGCGGTGCGAGAGAGAGGTGTAAAGGGTGAGCTCGACGCTTGACATGTAAGCGGAAAAGGGGAAGCTGACACGCGCGCAGTCTTCAGCAGCTCGTTAGTCAACGGTTTCGACTTGACGTTCATGGTCATCTACGCGGTCTATCTGAGCGCGAGGGTATACGGCTTTTGGCAGCACGATGCCGAAGCGCTTCGTCTGGGAGCGAATTGGCTCGCTATTGGTGCGCCGTCTCTCTGGAGATCTAGACTCAGCTGACATCTCAGGTGCGGTCCTCATCTTTCCGCGACTTGCTTTCGTCACGCTCGCGGACAACCTGATGGTACTTAGCATCCGCTCGATGCTGACCGAGTTCTTCTGTAAGCTATGAAATCGACGCTGCTGGACGAGGCCACATAGCTGACTGGGTTTCATAGTCCTTATGGGAGTAGCCGTCTTTTGCTTCTGCGGCTTCGCGTACGCCCTTTTCACCCTCGCACAAGGCCGCTTTGAGCTATCCCAAATCGGCTGGTGGTTGCTGGAAGTATACTTTGGGCTCGATGCTTCGGGATTCGAATCTGCCCGTAAGTTATCTACTGCGCAGCTAAGAGGAAGTAGCTAATCCAGGACAGACGATTTCCATCCATTCCTCGGTCCGATGCTCATGGTCTCTTACGCGCTTTTGTCGAATACGCTGTTGTTGACTGTGCTGGTCGCTATCCTCGGAAACACGTTTGCGACCATCAACGCGGATGCGGCTGCCGAGGTGAGCTAGGTGGACCCTATCGCGCGATCGAGGCTGACTGGCAGTCCATGTTTCGCAAAGCTGTGGCAACACTCGAAGGGGTCAAAGCAGGTATGCCGTGACTTATCAGCCTATTGGACTGAGCTGACAAAGTAGACGCCGTGTTCAGCTATCAACTCCCCTTCAATCTCGTCGCCGTCATCTTCATGTGGCCGATGAGCTACATACTCAATCCGAGGTGGTTCCACAAGCTGAACGGTGAGCTGTTCTGATTATTAACACGGCTGAAGGCAGAAAGCTTACAAGGAAGTGACAATGATCCGGGCGTCGAATTTGCCGGTCTTGTTGTGTATTGCGCTGTACGAGCGGAACAAATATGACGACACGAGCATGGCGGAGCAGATTTGGGACTACGTGGATGACTATCTGGGTTACTTGCCTCGCAAACTCCGATCAGCAGGTGAGCCCACGTTTCCAATAGCTGTCTTGTAAGGTGTAAGGTAAGAGCTGACACGATAGCTGGATTCGACAGCTACACCTCTAGCCAAGATATCGGCTTTGTGTTCGAGATCGAGCGGGAGGTTGGCAGCTTCTACCGGGGATGGGATGACGATATCCTGGAAGATGATCTCCACCTCCTAGGCGAGAGTCAAGAGGACAAGGGCCAGAGTCAACCCGGCTCACCGCCTACCGGACGCGAGACTGAACGCCCGCTCTCATCCGCCCCGCCACTCACCGCATCACCCAGCCGGCTCATACGCGCTCCGGAAACGCCTCGGTCCCGGTCGAACAGCATGCCCAGCCGAGACCCTTCCCCTGACCGTCCATCTATCCCAGCAGGACCTCGCGCCCGACCTCGCCGTAACAGCTCGATCCATGAGCCGAGTCCTCTCGCCCGGCTCTTCGTGAAGAGTCCGGACCGGTCTCGGAGACAATCACTCATGCATGCCATGCTACCCGCCAGCTCCTCTCATCCCACACTCGCCAGCATCCTCAGTCCCACGCAACGGCGGAAACACTCGAGAGTCACCAGCCAGCCTATCGGGGCTAGCAGTCTCGGCCGGACCGAGCCAAAGACGCAGGAGGAGGAACGGCCGCGGGAGGCACCATGGTCTTTACCGGCCGCGGGACATAGTCGGGGGCTGAGTAGTCTGGAAGAGATCCCCGAGGGGTCTAGGCAGGGAACGACGAGGAGCGTCCGTTTCCCCGTCGCCCGGGATAGCCCAACTCGGTCCGCAATCGCGATCGCAGATGACCAGGTCAGTCCCATGACGGTCCTTCAACCCACATCGCCTCGGTCGGAAGATGACAAGCTGGAGGATACAATTGGCAAGGCCTCGCAGGTCGTGGAGGCACTGCGGATGCCTGGCGTGGGGGATGCCGTCGTTGCAGTGGGTGAAGTAGAAGAGGTGCGGACGAGGCTGGACGGGATCGAGAGTCGGCAGAAACGGATAGAGGAGCTGTTGCGGATGCTGGTCGAACAAAGGGACAGTACTACGACTCAGGGCGATGACAGAGCGGACTAATTGGTATGTAGCATAGGTGCAGATCATGGAATCTTCTGTATCATCTCTATCTGTCCAGCGAGCAATGGATGATGGAGCCCCACACAGGTCGGGACGAGAAGATACCAGATTTCCAGACCACTTGTTGTACATCGCCTTTCCACAACTTCAGAATCAAGATGGGTATAGCTGAAGCTGCTCCACCTCCCGAGGAGGTAGGTCATAATCTTTATGGCACTTTGATAGAAGACACGCCGAGCTGACTACACAGTACCCTCCCATCGTCAAAGGCGCCTCCCTCCTCATCGCCTATCAACTCAAGAATCGCCGTGTGCTCCTTATCGGCGGCGGAGTCGTAGCTTCTGGGCGTCTCTTCTTCCTCCTCGAGTCTGGTGCCCACGTCACTATCGTCGCCCCCTCCCCTCTTGAGCCCTCCATCGCTCACCGCCTTACCACCAATGCCGACGACATCACATGGCACGACCGGGACTATACGGGTCGATCCGACCCCATCATCGTCGATGACTTTGTCATGGTCCTCACTGCCATCGACAACAATCCACTCAGTCGGGAAGTCTGCTATATGGCACGGGAGAAACATATCCCGGTGAACGTAGCGGATGTCCCGCCAGAGTGCGACTTTTACTTTGGGGCGCAACTCAGGAGGGGACCGCTGCAGGTCATGGTGTCCACGCAGGGACAAGGACCGAAGATCGGGGCGATGGTGCGGGATAGAGTCATTGCAGCGCTGCCGGAAAATGTCGAGGAGGCTATCGCGGGTGTAGGGGAACTACGAGGGGAGTTGAGGAAGCGGGCGCCCGGAGTGGGCGGCGAGCTGGGACAGCAGCGGATGGCGTGGATGATTGGGATGTGCGACTCGTGGAGTCTGGATCTGATGGGTGACTTCAGGTCAGAAGCGCTCAGGAACAGGGTGCTGGAGGAGGGATGGGAGAAGGGGAAGAAGGTGGTCGGACCGAACGATGTGGGACAGTGCCCGTCGCTTTGGGCAGAGAGGGTGATAGGGGAGTACTGCAGCCGGCTCGGGGGATGGGCGACTGTATGCGGGTTCTTGGGAGGAATCACGGTCGGGTCTGTTGTAGCTGTACAATATCTGCAGCGTAGATGACTCTCATAGATACTCATAAGTTGTAGACACGAAGTCATAGATACCGCCCCCAGCTCTGAGATTGCAACATACGAATTGTGCGACCAGCTTCTACTCAGATCCTCTCTACCACAGTTCACTATCTACAGCGTGTATGAATCTCTCTGGATGGCTACAAGTTGTAGGCACACAACCATAGAGATACATGCCCTAGCTCTGAGATCTACAATATAATCACGGCGCGATCGTCTTCGCGTCAGATCCTCTATATAATTTATTGTCGTAGATGTACTGAATGACACTATTTGGCAACAGGTACCTGAGTTTTATGAGCTCAGTCCTCCGATGAGATCGAAGCCGGAAACTCACTTGATGCTCATCCCTCTCCGCACAAACAGCCTGACTTTCGTAGAAGAGATATCGTTGTAGATAAGCTGCTTGATGACAATCACATTCCGGCGGTGGTGGTACAGGATGTCGTGAGAGAGGAGGAACGCCCAGACATCGGATCCGGCGCGCTCGACGATCAAGCAGCCAAAGCGGCCGAGAATGATATGTAGCTGCAATGTCAGCTGGCTTGTTCCATTACAGTCAGGTCACAGCCCACTCACATCTGGCTCACTCCACACACCGGGCTCGCCAAAGCTCTCTATCAGATCCCCTCCAGCCAGCAGCATCACCTTGATCCTTCTCCGCTTCCCATCACTCATGACCAGTCCGCCACCCATCACGCCGTCTGCCGAGTTGAGTAGCTCATCAAAGTGTTCGAGGACGACCGCGGTACGCTGGTACTCTGCCTGTCCAGCCTCCCAAGGGTCGACCATCAACCAGGTAGAGGTGTGCTCGACGGCGAGCTCGCACATTCGGACGCGGTGGATCGCTGGGGCGAGACCGGACTTCTTGTACTTCGAGGACCTGCTTGATCAGCAGAGATACGGAGTCGCGCTAGCCAGTCACTTACACTGGAGAATAGTACCCGCCCATGATCTCGTATGTCTGGGACTCAACCACTTCGTCTTTGGCCATCTCGAACATTCGCAAGTGCAGATATGTCGGCGGTGAGAATGAGCCGCATGCAACGATAACGATGGGGATCTTCGTCTCGTCTGTAACATATCAGCGTGAGTCCTCTCCTTCCGGACGTTTGAGGAGAAACTCACCTTTCATGCTTGTCCGAAGTCTGTGTCTTGGGAAGACATAGTCCTTCATCCCGCTGAGATAGTCCTCCGTCCCTCCCTCGCCTTGTGGGGCCGACTCGTCCAGATCCGCCTCTCCGTCATTCAGTCCATTCAACGCATCCCACCCAGACTCCCTATCCCTGGTCTGCGTATTCCGCCTCGCACTAGGCCCAGCGTGACCCTTGACCAACCCATCATCCCGCCCCAGCCCCGCTTCTCGTATATCATCTTCACCTGCCTCCGCATCCACGGCGTCCGCCGTCTGTCCCAGACTGGGCTGAAGCTCCGACTCGTCCGCCTCCGTCAAGGGGGGTGAATCCAATCCATGACTCGAGAGCGGTGGAGTGGGGTTTCTCGATATGGGGATGGCAACGTCCTTGTGCGGATCGCCAAAGAGGTAGCCGGACAAGAGCCGCTTCGAGCGCGACTTGGACAGGTGCTCATCCTCGGCGGTGAGAATGCGCTCGTGCCCTGCTCGGCGCTCGGGCCCACCGCCTTCCGACTCGGATGATGCGTGCTGCGAGGCGATTCCGTTTGGCCGAGAAGGACCAGGGATTGAGTCAGCCGTCTGACGCGTGCCGGTGAGGGGTTGTCCGCCTGGAGCCGGATGTGGTACGGCCGCTTCTGGAGCTGCGTGTAGGGCGTGGATGGAAGAGTCAAGGGAGAGAGGTTCGGGATCAGGCTGCTCGGAGGCAGTACCTGCGAATGGCGGGCTACGGAGTCAGCAAGTGCATGCTGTGGCTCGTACAGGAGACCTGCGAAGCGTGGAAAAGATACATACGAGTCATTGTGGAAGCTGTGAAGACCCATAGCAGGGAGCACGGGGGCTACCCGCTTGTTGAAACCGTTGGGGACCGCCATTTTGAGCTCTCAAAGCGTTGGAAGCGGGGATACGAGCTTAAAATTGACGCGGCAGCTTTCCGACCGGTACGTTGAAGATCACTGGCTGTGCGAAGGTGTGAATAAGCTGATCAACAACACTTGAACAAGGAGAGAGAAAAGCAAGAGGAAAGAGAGACTACGTTTGTATCCGGATAGATCTCGGCCGATAACAAGAGCCCGAGCGAGTAGAATCACAGTTACCGCAAGGAGCAATTCGCTAACATTCCTTGTCCCCCATCCTGCGCTCACAGCATGCATGTCGAGTCAGAGGACCGTTGCAGCCTCCCTAAGACCACTCAGTGAGGCCAAGAGGTACTCAATCAGGTCTGGCGCGGGGCCATAGAAGTGTCATCTGCAGTCTTGGCCCCGTTCAATCAAAGCTGGAGGCGGATCTCGCGGGGTCTCCAAGAGTGCAAGAGTCCTGCCAGGCGCGAAGCGCTCTGTGGCCATTGTGGGATGAGCATGATCGACCATTGATCCACGAATCTACGGCACCGCATCTCTCTCTTCCCTGCGGGTATATTGCTGTTGCATTGCGTTGCTGCCGCAGAAGCCTGCTCGTTGAGAAACGAGACCCGCTCGATATGGCCGGTCCCCCCACTCTCTCCCCCACCTTGTCGGCAGCGCGCGGCTGATTCCGCCGTTAGACTAGATTTCCCCGAGGCTTCGAGGGTCTTCTATTCGCGTCTCCCATCGTCCTTCATCCCATCATCTCCGCAAACATTTACCTCTTCCTCTAGACCATAATAGACACAATGCCAGCTGAGTACATCCTCACCAAGGACGCCCCGGCGCCTCTTCCTATCGTACGTCCTCCTTTGCGCACGATAAGGGGGAACCTGGGCTGATGGGCACAGTACTCCCAAGCCGTCCGAGCTGGGAATTATGTTTACACCTCCGGATCGGTCGGTATGACGAAGGAGATGAAGATGGTCGAGGGCACTGTGAGTCCATATACCTGGGATCGGGTACCGACCGTTCATTGATAAGCCTGTACTGATGGCCATCAGGTCCAGGACCGTACCCGTCAGGTCATTCAGGTATGGTCCAAGACTGCAGCAATCCAACGTGTCCCAGAGCTGTGCTGATAACAAAGAATCTCGAGGCCGTCCTCAAAGGCGCGGGCATGACACTCGCCAACGTCGTCAAGGCCAACATCTACCTCTCCAACCTCTCTCGCGACTTTGACGCTATCAACGAGGTGTGTTTGTGACTTCCCATTTGCTAGCTCGGACTGCGCTCTTAGATAACAAGTTCTGCTGACTCAGAGCTAACAAGCACAGGTGTACAAGGAGATGATGCCCGACCCGAAGCCCGCGCGGACTTGCGTCGGTGTCGCCCAGCTCCCCGCTGGCGGAACCGACGTCGAGATTGAATTTGTCGCATACGACGGATAAGCCCTGCGATGACCCTCTTGTAGATCCACTCTAAACAAAAATATCAGACTCTATGCATGGCATCACTCGGAAATCGCGCTTCTCCCTGATGATAAAGGAGGTTGCCACTAGGCATTTAACGCCGATAACGCCGCCCGCGTCGGTTGCAACGTTCCGTAAGGGTTGTTTTCGAGATGGTGCATGAGATGCAGCTTCAAAGGTGTATCTGTATACGGTACTCATAGCATCAGCAACATGGAGCCAGGATTCAGTGAGTCGTCCATATTCAGGCGGGCTGCCAGCTTGAAACGCTCAAGCTGATTGATAGACGCGCTCGACGGCGCAGCTCCGTCGTACTCAAAATCCCGGTCAGGGGAGGATGACGGTGAGTTGGCGCTGTGCGGCCAAGAGGTATGCAAGCTGACTTTAAGGCCGAGGACACCGCAGTCATCGAGAGCGAGATGGAGACCGCAATGACCGTGGAGAACGGCGACACCACCGAGACGAACGAGATGACCGGCGCGAGCATTCCGGCCGGGACAGGGAACATCGTGGTCACGAGCGGGGGGAGAGGGACTCGTACGGCCGGGACAGGGATGACAGGGGAGGTGGTGGAGGAGGGTACAGGGATGACGGGCGGCGAAGGCGGAGGGAAGACGATGATGGAGGTTATGCGGAGCCGATGGGCGGTCCGCCAGCCAGGCGGATGAGGTACGATGAGGAATCGTTCGCCCAGCCTATGCGCGGAGACTATCAGCCCCGTCGAGACGACAGGGGCGGTGGCGGAGACTGGCGAGGCGGTGGAGGAGGTGGAAGGGGCGGAGGAGGAGGTTACCGCGGTGGTGGGGGAGGAGGCGGAGGCTATGGTGGTGATCGAGGGGGAGGAGGAGGATACGGGGGTGGTGGAGGTGGTGGATATGGCGGCGACAGGGATGGAGGGAGAGGCAGGCCAGAAGGACGGGGTAGGAGGGAAGAGTCACCCAGAGATCCTACCCCTCCAGGCACGGTACCCCTCGAAAGTCGGCATATCGAGAAGTCGCTCTGGGATCTCCGGCCGCCCATGTTCGAGGGATTGGGCGCGATGGAAGCCAAGATGACCGGTAAGCTGACAGGTTGGCGGAATGCCGAAGGCAAGCTGATCCGATAGGGATGTTCTCGTATGGCCCAGGTCGTGTACCTCCCCCTGCCCACCTCGGTATCCCACCTGCACTCATTGCCGGCTCGTTCGCCCCCGGAAACGTCGTCAACTCTGTTCGACAAGCCAAGCGGATCTATATTGGCAACATTACCGATGCGCACACGGAAGAAGTCCTCCGAAACCACTTCACTAAGCTCATGAAGGAGAACAACCTGGCAGCTGGGGCTTTGGGGGGTGACATCGTCCAGGAAGTTGGTATTGACGAGGAGAAGCGATTTGCATTCATCGAAGTGAATTGTTCCGTTCGAGATCGTCGTCACCGTGCTGATGATCAGTTCCGGACACCCGACGAAGCTACAGGAGCGATGCAATTCGACGGCGAAACGATTGCCGATGTCAAAATCACTGTCAAGCCGCCAAAGGACTATATCGGGATCGATACTGCGCTCGGCACCATGGCGGGAGGTGTAGGAATGACGGTCTCGGAAAGCCCGAACAAACTCTTCATCGGCGGTCTTCCCACATACCTGAACGACGAGCAGGTGATGGAGCTCATGAAGAGCTTTGGGGAGTTGAAGAGCTTCAATCTGGTCAAGGACGGTACTGCGTCCAAGGTCAGTTTGCTTGCTTGCTCGTCGTCAGGCTCACAGCTGACGTGCAGGGCTTTGCCTTTGCCGAATACGTTGACACCCCTACCACCGACATGGCCATCGCCGGTCTCCACAACTTCCAGCTCGGCGATCGTACTCTCGTCGTCCAGCGGGCCGAGATGGGCCGCAACACCGGTGCCTCCGGGATGGGCATGGTCGCGCATGCGATTCTCGCCCAGGCTTCCAACCCCGAAGCCGCCGGTCCCACCTCCCGCGTCATGCTCCTCCTCAACATGGTCACTTCCGACGAACTGTATGACGACCAGGACTACCAAGATATCCTCGAAGACATCAACGAGGAGTGCGGCAAGTACGGCGAGATCGAGGGCGTGCGCGTGCCGAGGCCGGTACCGAAGGACAAGACGTGGAGTGCCAATGATAGTGCGGCGCAGACGGAGGCGAGGGCAAAGAGGATCGACGAACATCATGGTGTGGGCAGAGTGTATGTGCTGTACAAGGAAGTGGCCAGTGCTGGGAAGGCAATGAAGGCGTTGGGCGGGAGACAGTTTGCGGGGCGGACGATTCTGACGGCAAGTGTGCCAGAGGTAAGCTATGGTTTCCAGAATTAAGTCACCCATCAAAGAGGAAATTAGCTGATCTTGTCTAGGAAGAATTCGCTGCAGAGCCGGATCAACCGGCGCCTCCGCCCGAGATCGAAAATGGCAATGCCAACGGCGACGACGTCAAGCCGGATGTCAAGGAAGAGGCGGCGGCCCCACCACCACCGGCACGTGAACCAACAAAAGAAGAAATGGACAAGGCAGCGGCGGATGCGCTGAATGACATCATGGGTGGGTTGGTGTAGTGAAGCAGCGTGGGCAAGCGTAGAAGCCTACTTTGTAGAAAAAATGCAGAAGCACAGTGTCACTCAATCACTGCACGCAACGAGCTCGAGTACGTGACCTGGACGAGTACCTCTCAGTTTGGCCAATAGCTCGCCCTCGACAATGATTCCGATGCATGCCCATCTAGCTCGACACTCTTCACTCCTTATCAGTCCCCAGATACCCCTGAGCCGGCACATGCACCTTGTCAGCCGGGATACTCTCATCCTCCGCTTCTTCCTCCGCAATCAACCTCTCCGCCTCCAGGGCCGCCATACATCCCGAGCCGGCCGACGTGATGGCCTGACGATACTTCTTGTCCTGTACGTCTCCGGCCGCAAAGACACCCTTGATCGATGTCTGGGCGGTACCTGGGACGGTGAGGACGTAGCCGTCGGCGTCGAGCTGGATTTGGGACTTGACGAGGGCGGTAGCGGGCTCGTGGCCTGATCATCAGCTTCGAGATGGGGAGGAGGAAACAGGGGAGAAGGGAACGTACCGATAGCGTAGAAGAGTCCGTTCACGGCAAGATCCTCCTCTTCACCAGTCTTGATATCCTTGATCGCCAGGGCGTTCAAGAGGTCACCGTCACCCTTGCACTCGGTAGCTACGGTCTGAACATGTCAGCTTGGTTCGATGGCACTCCAGAAGGACCTGCAAGAGGAAGCTCACGTTCCACAGGACAGTGACTTTGGGGTGGTTTGTCAGGCGCTTGGCCATAATCTTACTTGCGCGCAATTCGTTCCGGCGGACCAGGACGTAGACGTGCGAAGCGTATTTTGTGAGGTCTATTCGTCAGCCATCGAATTAAACACGTCGCACGCAGTCGAGCCCAAAACTTACATGTCGCTTCTTCAGCCGCAGAGTCACCACCACCGATGACAGCAAGAGGCTTGTTCCTGAAAATAGGTACAGCTCCATCGCAGACCGCACAAGCCGAGATACCGGATTGCCAGTAAGTCTCTTCTCCGGGAAGGTACAGCCGCTTAGCTGAAGCGCCGGTCGCAATGATGATGCTATTCATGTCAGCTTGGCCAGACCGGAACCGGAGGCTTGAACAGCTCACGTATCGGCAGTCATGAACTCGGCGTCCTCCTCCTCGCCCTCTGTCCAGTACTTGAACGGCCGTTGTGAGAAGTCCACCTTTGCAATGGTCTCGGTGATGATCTTGGTACCGAATCGCTCACTACCTTGGTCAGCTCTTCGCTTCCCCTCGCAGAGCGGCTTGCGATAACTCACGATTGTGCGCGGAACTTGTCCATCATTTCGGGGCCGGTGACACCGTCTGGGAACCCGGGGAAGTTCTCGACCTGTTGTTTCAGCTGAGAGCGCTCCCTGGAGTGCGATTTAATCAGCTTACGTCGGTCGTAGTCGTCAATTGGCCTCCGGGCGCGAAACTATTGCTTGGTCAGCGCTCGCTTTCTATTGTAACTGCTTTCATCCGACGTACCCGTTAGCGAGCATGCCCTGTATCGCTGTCAGCTTTCCCATGCTTGGACAAGGCTTCTTTAGCTCACCTCGTACAACACCGGTTCCAGGTTTGCCCTCGCCAGATAAATAGCCGCCGTGTGCCCAGCGGGCCCACTTCCAATAATGACGACCTGCGAGTGCATCCTCTTGCTCTTCTCCCCGCCCGCCTTGGGCTCGTGCACCTCAACATCGGCACTGTGGCCATTCGGGACAGGCGCCATTATCGACTGTTTGTTGTCGGTAGAAGAAGAAGGGAAGGGGATAGCGGTGGTCCGGCTAGAACTTGGGGGAGGGGGCGGAGGCGGAGGTGTCGAATTCGAATGCACGAAACGACGCAAGGGTGTTCGAAGCGCTGATGGATTGGCTAGCCGTTGGCGGGCTAGACGTAGGACCGGAGTACGGAGAGACAGGGTGGATATTGTTCAAGATGAGATGGAGATGCAAGAGGAGGAAAGAATTGTTAAGCGGTCTTGAACAGCTTGAGCTTGGGTCAGTTTGCCGGATGGAGCTGACGAGAAAGTGATGACTAATTGGGTTTGTAACCTGTTCGCCGCTGTTCCAAGGCCTTCCATCTGTTCACGCGTTCACGTTCACCGGTTCACCTTCCACTCTGCTGATGAACAAACAAGTAGGACAGGATAGCAAGATTGCTATTAGATGCTTCCAAGACCAAAGCTAACCTGCAGGCATACAACTAGTCCCTAGAGCTCAAGGCCGCAAATACTTTGACGGTCTCTTCTGGCTCCTTTTCCGCTTCTTCGACCGAAGTCCATGTCCATCTGCTACCATCAGCTGACGGCTCCCTGTCGAGAAGAGAGGTGGAGAGAGGGTACTCACTTACTCATAAGGCGCAGTGGCAGGAGCCATCATAACCTTCTGCTCCCTCTTCAAGTTTCGGACTGTCAAGCGACCAGCGAGAGCCTGGACGTCATCGACCTGCACGTCACCCTCGACGACCTTGACCTTCTTGGCCGACTCGATAGGCGCGGGGGCATCCTCGGCGAGCTTGGGAGCCTTGGGCTTGGGCTTGGAGGCGGCGGAGGATGCGGCGGGAGCGGATGAGTGGGAAGCGTGCGCGGAAGGTGCGACGGCAGGGAGGGCGGCAGCGGGGTCGGCAAAGGCAAAGATCTCGCCAGAGCCATGGGTGGAAGATAGGGTGTCGTCGCAGTCACCGTCGTCCTCCATGTGCTCCCGCTTGCTCTTGCCGGCGTGGACGGGCTCGGCGTCCTCCGAGTCATCCTTGCTCTGAACCGAGGCGTTGGCAGGGGTGAAGATCAAGGTGACGTTGTTGCCAGCGTTGGAGGATGCGGGGGCGGACTTGGCGTGCGAGACGACGGCGGAGGCAGAGGGGACGGCAGCAGAGTGCGAAACTGCAAAGGCGGTGACGAGTGCCTCGGCCGCAGAGGAAATGGCAGGAGTGGGGATGACAGAGGGCATGTCCGAGGGAAGAGCCGAGACGACCGCGGAGGGCTCGACCGACTCGGTGGGGAGGGCAGCTGCAGCAGTTGCCCAGTCCTCGGTGGCAGTGGGAAGCGCCTCGTCCTCGACGCCCGACTCTAGCGGCTCGGCGGTGGCTTCCGGCTCGAGCGCGGCGTCTGTGGGGGTGGGCAGGGCAGACGCGAGCGCCGGGTCGGTGGGTGTAGGCAATGCCATGACGCCGACGTCCGAAAGGGAGGCGGTGGGGGCGTCAAGGCTGGCCGAGACCGATACGGAAGGGAGAGCCGATGCTGAGGCGGTGGCAGAGGCGACCGCACTAGACACCGACGAAGCGATCCAGTCGGTAGGCATGGGGCCTTCGCTCGAGACCGAGTCCGGGACCTTGGACAGGAGCTGCTGGTTGGTCTCCGAGGGTGTCCAGTTGGGCTTGACCGCGCCGGTCTCGGGATCAAAGAGGAAGATCTGGGACCGCTCGTCCTCGGGCTCCTCGCACGGCTCGACCGTCATTGGCTCGGGGGCATTGGGGGAGGGGTCAAAGGTGGCGCAGAAGGGCTCGACCGCGGCCGACTCGGCGACAAAGACGGGGACCTTGAGGTTGACCTTGATCATGTCCCCTTCCTTGGGCTCACCGCCGGCCTCGGTAGAGTTGAGGGGAACGAGGAAGACCTGGGTGCGGACGGACGACGAAGCGTTGAGGACGAAGGTCGAGTTCTCGTTGGTACCGTTGGAGGTGGAGAGGACGAGGGAGGCAAGGCGGGTAGCCGTAGAGTTGAAGACGGGGGAGGTGATGTCGATGTAGCCCGGTGCACCGCCCATCTCATCCGCGACCGACCGCTTCGAGTTGGGCTGAGCAAGCAGAGGAGCACCGTGCTTGCCCGCCTCGCCCACCCCAGTGTCCTTGGCCGCCTCGTCCCCAATCACCTTGACCTTCCCGCCCTGCTTGATCATGTTGATCGCCGCCTCGTCGCTCTTCTTGAAGAGGTACGCCGGGCCGGGAAGGTTGCGCTTCTTCTCTCCCGGCCGAGCGACGGTGAACATGGCGTGCTTGACGGCGTTCTCGACCTCGGCCTTCTGCTCCGGAGTAAGGTTGTCGACCGCACTCTTGGCCGCTGCCATCTGGTCATCCGTGACACCGGCGTCCTTGGCGGCGGCCTCGAGACCGGCGAGATCCGAGTCCCGAGCGGCGAGGCGGTTGGTAGCCTCGCCAGAGCCGATGATGAGCCGAGCGGCGAGGTCGAGAAGACGATCGTCCCGCTCCCGAAGACCAGTGGCGATCTCGATGTTGAGGAGGGGGTCGGCCGGGACCTCGTGCGAGCCGGAGCCGATCACGATGACGGGCTCGGTACGCTGCATGTGGGCCTTGAGGTGACGACGGAGGACTTCCTGCTGCTCCGGAGCGAGAGCGCGAGTGTTGATGTCGAGGAGGGTGCCGTGCTGGAGATCAGCCAAGTACACAAGGAATGCGAGAGTACTTACCCCGTTGTGGTGCTCGCCGTCACCGGTGAGGTCAACATTGATGAGCTGACTGTCAGCTAAATCCTTTTGCAGACAGTGGATACACTCACGTAGTTGTCAGTCGCCTGCCTCCAGGGCCCACGAGCGCCGAGCTTGCCCTTCCATGCCCGCTTGCTGACCGATCCATCGCGAGCCTCTGGCTTGTGCACGTTGGGAAGAACCGCCGCGGATGAGATAGCCGCCGAACCGAGGAGGACAGCGATGGAGGTAGACTTGATGTGGACCATTGTGTTTAGGATTTGGTTGGTAGAGAAGAGAGGGGTAGAAGAAGAGGATGTCCTGGTGAGGGGCGGTTAAGGTGAAGGTAGTTGATTATAAGGTCGGACCTGCCGAAAGAGTGTGGGTTGACGTCGAGTCAAGTGGGTTCGCTTGCACTGCAAGGAATAGAGGGGTGGATCACCAGGAGTCCTAGGGAGTGGAGAAGAGAGGATTGAAGGGAAGAGGTGGTTTGACTGGAGAGTGAAGAAGAGGGGAGAAGGGTAGGTAGCATCCTGTTTTATGTGATGGCCTCGGGCTGCGCGATGCCGATCGTCCAGGGCGGTTCCGGACTGCAGTTTGCTTGTTTACCTGTCTCGGACGGCAGTGAAAGCACTGGGCAGCGAGAGACATGATGACTCGGCGCCTGAGAGAGCTGAGCAAAGCTAGATGTCATGCGGATGGTAAGTGAGTCAACATTAAGTCTGTGCCTGCCTGGTTCCAGACCGGTCAATCAGTCCGGATTAACGTTTCACCTTCAGCGGAATGCTCGATTACGGATCATCTTCTCCGCATTCATTGTCAGGCCAATGATGTCATTGACGTGTGATCTGCAGTCGCTGGAGAGGACGTGCTGATGCCAGCTGTGGAATGCGCCGGAGAACGCACCACCGTCTTTGGTCCGACCCGGTCTCAGATGAACGTTAACGTCGACGTCGACGCGCCGAGCCGGCCGAGGGGGCAATGTCGCTTCGCAGATCTTCCGAGGCTTCGCACAAGTCCTCTTCGATTCCAGCAAATTCCAGCGGCGTATGAAGAAGTCACCCTCGTCAGCTGCCAGCAGATAGACAACCTTGCTTTGCGATCACACGCGGCTGCAGCTTCCGCTCCGCGGAGACTCTTTGCGGAGGAATGTGTCACTAGATTTCAGGCACCAGGCACGCGGCGCTAAAAGTTTAAATATCCGAAGCCTCTGTCCCTTTGGATCATCACCTAGGCACTAGTCGCTTTCCACGTTTCACCTGACCCTCCTTCTCCTCCTCCTCCCCACCCCACCCTACTGCAACTCCACATCGCGCACACAAGATCAAACGAGGGTACTCGCCCGTCTTCAACGATGCGATCCACCCTATATACTCAATCACAATACCTCTAGGGCTCTGCGAGCCTTTGACCTGGTAATGGGGCAATCATGCCAGACGCGGACATCCCTCTCCTGCCATACAGGTCTCCCTCATCAGCCACCTCACCACCCCGCCCTCTTCCTGTCCGCACCTCCGCCCCTTCTTCCCCTGTCGATGTGGTCAACGCTGTCGCTGGCCCGTCCAAACCGCCCCGCGTGGTGCTCGCCCAGCCTATCAGTCCTCGCGCGACCCGGCGGACATCGCGCTCTCCGGGAGTGGAAGAGATCCAGCTCTCGCCTCTTGGAGCTTCGGGCAAGGGCAAAGCAAAGAGCCCTGTACCTGATACCAGAGAGATATGGGATCTCGATGATCCCTTTGGGAAGGATATCAGCGGGGAGATGGACACGCCTGGGTGGGACGGGAAGGGCGTCGGAATCGTGGGAGTGAGTCGTCGAACTCTACTTCACGGCTGATCACATGATACTACTGAAGCTGACGTGTAGCCTGGAGATGGTTCTGGTCCACATCGACAGCACATGCCGGTCCGACCAGCTCTCATCAACACTCAACAACCGTAAGTTCGCCTCTTCTTCACCACCTCGGCCTCACCTACCCTCCGCTGACGGTTCTAGATCTCGTCAACCCTCCATGTCCCCTTCGTCCAAGATCAAGCCACATATCCCGATTCAACTCCGTCCCGAAAGATCGACCATGCTGGGCTGCCTCGATGGTCCTACGCCCAAAAACCCAGACGATAGTACATGGAGATGGCTGGGTGAGTTTTCATACTCAACGTTCAGATCAGTATCAATGGCTTACAGTACAGGCGAACACTGCGTCGGGCTGGCGCTCTGCCAATGCTTTCCCTGTGGCAAGAATGCCCCGAATTATTGACTGTGTCCAAGGCTCCTTCCTATACGACCACCGAGCATTACGCGGCTCGCTGTGATAGTATGATGAAAATGTAGATGATATAGATAGATTAGATGTGAAGGGGATGTTGCATATCACGCATAGCGGTGTACACCACTTGTTCTCGAGTCGTCATTCGTCGTAGAAGCTCTCTCGCTCGCAGGGTGTAAGCCGAAAATGAGTTTTGCATGCCCAAACCAGACAAACATCTACCCAGGTCCTCGCTGACCCGAGTCCCCTCGCGCCACCCCTCACTCAAGGAGCGCGCGCCCACTACCTCAACACACCCCCTTTGCCCTCCTAAATCCACTGCTCAACCCTTACTTCTTGGGTGGGTTGTAGAAGATCTTGCGGTTCTTGACGACCGACCACTTGAACTTCTTTACGTAGAGCGACGCGGCGGTCATGGTGGAGAGGATGATGATGGCCTGAAATAGTCAGCTTGTTGTCCTCTGTCTTTACCCTGGACTCCCTAGCTCACCTGGAGACCCATCTTCTTCCGCTGGTCGTGCTCGGGCTCAGCAGTCCACGCCAGGAAAGTGGTGACATCCTTAGCCATCTGGGACGAGGTGGCGGGGGTGCCTGTGTAATCAGCTCTCGTCCCTCTGCCTTTTCAAGCATCTGGTCGGTCGAGCTCACCATCATCGTACTCGACGAGACCGTCGTACAGTACTCGGGCCATGGCGATACCGCCACCGGGGAAGTAAGGGTTGTAGTTCATGCCCTCGGCGACCTTGACACCTGGTGGCGGGTCAACGTAGCCGGTAAGAAGGGAGTAGATGTAGTCCTGAAGCCGTCAGTTGATACCACGGGCTTGGGGTCAATGTGCAACTCACGACACCGCCGTGACGGGCCTTGGACATCAATGAAAGGTCTGGGGGAAGACCACTGCGGATGTAAGCTTTGTTTCTTTCACTTTTGACAGGGCGAGAACTCACCCGTTGTTACCGGCACGGGCAGCCTCGTCATTGGGGTAAGGTGGGGGCATGTAGTCGGCGAGCTTTCCTCTGTCTGATCAGCTCAAAACTCTTTCGAGCCGTTTCCGCCGAGGATTTGAATCCAGATGATGAAGTGTCAACTCACGGTCGCTGGAACATCTCTCCCTCGTCGTTGGGCCCATCCGTGTACTCGACCTCCTCCGCCATCGCCTTGACCTCATCAACGGTGTGACTGACACCGACCAAGTTACGCCAAGCGATCCGGTCGAGCGAGTGGCACGCTGAGCAGACTTCCCGGTACACTGGGGATTTAGCATAATCCTCATTGCTACATTCAGTCATTCCGGCTTCGGCGCCACCCTCGGCGCCATAGCACACCCGCTTGTTGCACATCCGATCGCCTCATCGCACAGCATCAACCACCACATTCCGCTTAATTTTCCCGCCCGGTCCTCCACGACCCTTCTTGCCGCGCCGCCTCCTCGATCTCGCTTCGATCCGCATTCCAATTGACCCTTCCAGCTGCCTAGACACTCGCGACTCACCCTGGTATCCCCTCCTGATGCTTCCATGGTTGTATGTCTCCAAGAACCCCTTGTGCTCGAACGGGATCGAGGCGGGGTGCAGACCGACCTCGGCGGCGGTGTTGGCCGATGCCTCGGCGAGGAATGGCAACGAGCCGTACAGGTGGAAGTACCACGCAGCGGATCCAGCGGCAGCCGCTGTAGATGCAGCGAGAGCAGCGCGGGATGCGAAGGCGGAGGTGGGGGCGGAGGTGGATGCGAAGCGCGCCTATAAGGTCAGTCGTGGCTCAAATTGATCGCGATGATTTTTGCGGGACCGCGATTCGTCGGTATAGGAGATCGCACCTGTAATGGCGTTGACCTGAGTCCTGCGCGCGCTACGAGGCGCGGGAATGAAGCGCCCAACATGATGCTATAGTTGTAGTTGGATGTAGATCAATAGGATAGTCTTTTGCTTGGTCGCTGCTCTGCTGCTCCTGCTCGCCCAATCGTAACGAGCCGGAAACGAGGCTTCACTTTTTGATTCCGCTATAGCAGTCCCGTCGGAACAAGCCGGAGTTTCATTCTCACCCAAACGCGCGTGGCAGCTACAGCTTCACTGATCACGTCTCTCTCTCTCCAACAGCTATAGCATAGGCCCAGGCAGCATGTATGCTATACACTCCACACTCCTCGCCCCATCAGCAATACATCACACGCTTTACTTGCCGCACTTCACTCCCTCGACCATCTACCCGTTACCTCACGCATCGACGTCCACCGCAAAGGATGTCAAGGTCGTCGGAAACCTCATTGTCGGTGGTCTATCGGACCTGAGGGTCTTTGAGATCAGAGAAGAGCTGCGGCCGGTAGTGGCAGCCAAGGATGGCGCTGATGGCGATGCTACGATGCAAGGCGAGGGCGCCTTGGGGGACGGACAGCAAGTAGGGGATAGCTTCTTTGACGGTCCTTCGCAAGTAAGGCCATACCTGCCTAGCCATATGCATATCGTGCTGTCATTCCAACTTGTGCTGACCCGCTCAGAGAGCGCCACTGGACTATGAGACCCGCCGGACGCTGCACCACCTCACGACGCATCAAGTGCACGGAACAATCACTGGTCTTGCTGCTCTTCGGACCATCGATAGCAGCATCGACGGGCTGGACAGGCTGCTCGTCTCGTTCAAGGATGCCAAGATGGCCATCCTCGAATGGTCGCGAGGTGATATAGCGACGGTGTCGCTACATACGTACGAGCGGTGTCCGCAGATGACGACCGGGGACATGTCGACCTATGTCCCCCGGCTGCGGACGGACCCCCTCTCGAGGATTGCGCTGCTATCGCTACCAGATGATGGACTGGCGGTGCTGCCTATAGTGCAAGAGCAGTCCGAGCTGGATCTGATAGAGTCCTTCCCTCGGTAAGCTCGTTTCCTGTACCCCTTGGCCCAGCTGACAAGCAGTGATGTCCCCTATACCCCCTCCTTCGTCCTCGCCCTTTCTGACGTGTCCCCTACCATCCGGAACCTCGCAGATCTCGTCTTCCTCCCAGGCTACAACTCTCCCACTCTCGCTGTAATCTACACCCCCACTCAGACTTGGGCGGGTCGGTACCAATCTGCACGAGATACCTTCATCCTCGAAATCCGCACTATCGACCTCTCGGGCGGTTCCTACCCCCTCCTCACGCGCGTCGACTCTCTGCCTAGCGATACGCTATACATCGTGCCCTGTCCGCGCGAGCTCGGCGGTGTCGTCTTGGTTACAACCACCGGGATACTGCACGTCGACCAGAGCGGGCGGGTGGTGTGCGCGAGCGTCAATGCTTGGTGGGCGTATACGACCCGCCGGCCTTCCAACCGGGCAAACGAGCACCGAAAGCTCAGTCTGGAAGGGTCCAGGGCGAGCTTCGTCGGGGACAGAGATATGCTGCTCGTCCTGTCCACAGGCAGGGCGCATCAGGTCCGGATGGAGATGGATGGCCGGGCAGTGGGGTCTATCATTGTCGAGGAGGAAGTAGGGGTCTTGCCCCCTCCATCGTCGATATCAAGGCTGGGCTCGGACAAGGTGTTTGTGGGAAGTCCGGAGGGCGACTCGGTCATGTATGAGATCCAGATGGTCAGAGAGAAGGTGGATCAAGCTGAGGAGAGGAAACCAGAGATAGATATGGAGGTAGACGATGATGGTATGTCTCGAGCAACGTCAACGTCCGGATCAAGTTAACGAGTTAGACCTCTACGCCGACGCCGTACCCATCGCCAATGGAGCAGGCTCCGCGGCTGCGGAAGTCTTCACCGGTCCCGCCAAGCTGGAGCTGAGGGAGGCTGACCGCATAACCGGGATTGGAAAGATTATCGACATGGACTTTGGGATCGCAGTGACGGATCAGGCGGTGCGGACGTATCCTCAGCTGGTGACTATTGGGGGAGGCAGCCGGACTTCGACCTTGAACGTCCTCAGGGTGAGCTTTACCACTCATCTCGCTATCGATGAAGTAGCTGACAAGTAGCGCGGGATCCCCATCAATAAGCGTCGAAGATTTAACGAACTCAGTACTGCCGAAGATGTCTGGTTCCTCCCCATTCACCGAAGGTCAGGAGTCAGCTCAGGCCCGAATCCAAAGCAGCGTCAGGTCCCGGACGAACTGCGGACGACGTTGCTGCTCAGCTCGGAAGGGTCGCAGACTAGGGTATGACCATTTTTCCCTCCTGAGCGTGTAGTCAAGCTGATAGGCAGGTGTTCGCTCTGTCGAACAAAGCAAATCCCGAGCAAATCGGCAGACTATCGTCAATCACTGTTCAAGCTGCGCCGTTCTTTGGCCGGTCATGCGTTCTGCATGTATCGCCTCATTCGGTGGACTTGCTCGATGGCGGTGAGTTAAAAGATCGCCAGCCACAGCACAGGAGGAAAATCTTACCTGGTAGATGGAAAGCACTCGCAGAGTATCTATACGAGCGAAGACTCGCCGATCGTCTCAGCGAGCATCCTCGACCCTTATGCGGTCATCCGACGGGCAGATGGACAGGCCATATATCTTGTTGGCGATGCTGCAGCGCGGAGTATCTCTCAAGTGCCCTTCATACCTGACGTTGAGGTAAGCGCTAAGAGACACTCGCAAGACCCGAGCTAATCAGCAGGACCAACCCCTCGTCACAGCTATCGAGGTCTTTTCCGACTCGACCGGCATCTACCGCACCTTCGAGCATCAGACTGGCAAGCCTGGACAATCACGCCAGCCCATCGATCTCACCGGTAGCAGAAGCAGCATCTCTCATGCCGGCTCTCGCCAGACTGCGGCGGAGCAGATCGAGCGGCTGCAGAAAGAGAAGCCGGCGATCTCGGCGGGAGGCGCTTCTGTCGAGGAGAGCATGCAGGCTGAGTTGGGGACGCAGTGGCTGGCGGTACTGTTGGCTACGGGGGAGCTCCAAGTCAGTACACATCACAGTTGACATAGCGATGCGGTTGCTGATATACAGATACGCTCCCTTCCCGACCTGAGTTTGGCATTCCAATCTGAAGGTCTAGCGGCAAGTAACGCTACCTTCACGGACGACCTCCTCGAGGGCGGATCTTCTGGAATGCTTGAAGACCCCGACGAAGTCAAGCAAATGCTCTTCCACCCTCTTGGCCGCGAGACTCTCCGACCTCATCTTCTCGTGAGACCTTTCCTCCCACTTCATGATGTCTCCGCTGACACTTCAGGTTCTGCACAGATCCGGCCGTTTGAATACTTACGAAGCGCAACCCCGGTACACCCTCGATACGCCCAACCTCCCACGCCGATCCCTCGCGATCCGATATCGCCGCGTCCACACCCAACTCCTCTCCAGCACCCAAGGCTCCAAGCTGTCGTACAAGATGCACCCGTTCGCCGACCTCGAGGGGTACACGGGCGTGTTCGTGACGGGCGAAAAGCCCCAGTGGATCATCGGGAGCTCGAAGCATACTGTGAGGAGCTTTGGGTTGAAGCAGGCCGCGGCTACATTTGGGCGGACGACGCATCTAGGAGGGATGGGCGAGTACTTTACGAGGATAGAAGATGTGAGTCCATTCTTCTATCCTCGATGCCACTCCGCGGGATAGCTGATCAAGTAGGGCACATTCATCTGCTATCTTCCCTCAACGTTAACGACCGACTTTGAGATGCCGTGCGATCGATATGAGATGGATCGGGTGTATACGAATATCGCGTTTGACCCGCCTAGCGGACATTATGTCGGTGCGGCGGCGATCACGGTGCCTTTCCAGGCGTACGACGAGGAGGGGGAGCCGCAGATCGGGCCGGAGGGTGAGTTAGCCTTTTCGCGCGATGCGCCACGGGGAGTTGTAGCTGATGAGTAGGCGAGAACCTGGTTCCGCCGACGAATGAGCGGTCGACGCTCGAGCTGTTCTCACAAGGCTCAGACCCATGGCGCGTGATTGACGGGTGAGTTCATAGCTTCACGAATCTGGTTCTAGGATCTGGCTAAGCACCTCAGGTATGACTTTGATCAGAACGAGGTCGTCCTCTGTATGCAGAGCGTCAACCTCGAATCATCAAGCAGTGATAGCGGGTATCGGGACTTTATCGCCGTTGGGACAGGGTTCCACTTTGCCGAGGATCGAGCGACCAGGGGTAATGTGAGTCAACACTAACGAACTTGCTGCAGTAGCTCGGAGCTGATGAGCAGACCTACATCTTTGAGATTGTCGAGACTGTCGGTCTGACCGCGAAGGAGAGTGGCTGGCGCTTGAAGATGCGGGCAAAAGATCCGGCCCGGAACCCCGTTTCCGCGCTTGGCAACATCAATGGGTATCTCCTTAATTCGAACGGACCCAAGGTGAGCTCGCTCCACCTAGCTATTCTCCTGCCAGGGGTACCGAGCTGATCCCCAGCTCTACGCCAAAGGTCTGGACTACGACCAGCGACTCATGGGTCTCGCCTTCCTCGATGTCAACATCTACATGACGTCCATCCGGGTCTTCAAGAACTTCATCCTCGCTACCGATCTGCTCAAGAGCATCTGGCTCGTCTCGCTTCAGGTAAGCTGCCAATTTCTGCCTCTGAATGAATTGAAGCTGAGATAATCAGGATGAACCGTACAAGCTCTCAGTTATAAGTAAGGATCTGCGGGAGGTCCACGCCCTCACTGGAGACTTTTTGGTCCAGGAGGGTCAGGTCACGTTCCTCATCACGGACCGGAAAGGGGATATGCGGATGCTAGACTTTGATCCTGCCGGTGAGCTAACTCAGTCGCCGAGGCTTCGAACAAGTGCGGGCGAAGTCAAGGCAAAGGATCGAGCTGATCCAATGCAGATTCTGAATCGCTGAATGGCGAGCGCCTGCTCTTGCGGACAGAGTACCATATGGGCGCCTCAGTGACAGTCTCCAAGATGATTGCGAGGCGGCGGACGACGGATGAGGAGTTTGCGCCCCAGTCTCAGCTGGTATACGGTATGTCCTCCCGTCCTGGTCGAGCTGGACTTGAGCGACGCTGACTTGGCAGGAACGGCCGATGGCTCGCTTACCACCATCGTGGCTGTCAAGCCAGCCCGTTTCAAGCGGCTACAGCTCGTAGCGGACCAACTTACACGAAACGCACAGCATTCCGCGGGTCTCAATCCGAAGGCGTTCCGGTGAGGCCACAGTCCCGTTTCTTTGTCTGCGAGAGGCAAGGAGGATCAAGCTGACATGGCAGAACCGTACAAAACGATCTCCTTCCAAAACCGCTCACCCGTGGTATCCTCGATGGGCAGCTCTTGTCTCACTTTGCGCTGCAGCCGGTCAAGAGGCAGAGGGAGATGATGCGGCAGATCGGGACGGATGAGGTTACGGTGGCGAGTGATCTGCAGGCGCTAGGCGGGTTCTGGTAGTCATGTGAAGGGTAATCTGTACATGAACATATGTATGTGACTCTCTAGAGTGATAACAGATGTGAACAGCTCTTCCGCGGGAGAATGAGCGAACGGCCGGCTTCCGGCTGCGATACTATGTCTATGTTGCATGTACGCTGGGATATACCGTCGCGCCCTTAGCTACAGCCTCTGCTAGTATCTTCTCTGCCGTTCCCTGGAGCCCTGCCATGTCTATATCCCTGAATCCGTCCAAAGCTGGATCGCCATCGACCCGTAAAGACTCTGAGAATGCGCGCATTGCCGCAAAGATGTTGACCTGTTCCGCGAGCTGCTGTATCAGCCACGATCGAGCACGAGAACAGACCGGGGAGGGCGTGACTTACCGGTGTTCTTTCCAGGCCCGACGTACTCGGCGTGACCCAAAAATAGCAGTAGCTCACTTCCTCTTCGCCGTGTATGGGAGGAAGAGGGAGGCGTAGGGACCGAGGGGCATACCAGTCAAAGGCAGTCGTCGTGGCTGCTTTGCGGCGAGGTGTGGAAGCTGGTTGTGATGGCTCCATTTTCGCTCGTATAGGCGTTGAAGGACCAGCGGATGGAGTTTGCGGTATAATGGGCTTGATGTCGTCGCGGGAGTCGGCGTCCCGGTCGATATCCGTCAGAGGGCTCGAGGCGGATGATGCAGGTTCCCGCTTGACTAGATCCCCATCGCCCTCCTCCTGCTTGACTTCCGTGTACCCGTCGACTGACCCTCGCTTGTTCACCCCGACCGGTCTCCCGGACGATGCGCCTCGGCGTGGTTCGGCCGACTTGGCCGTCTTGCCCGCGACCGCCTCAAACACGTCCCAGATCTTCTTGCCGACAAAGCAGACAACGCGAGGGCGGAGACGGACAAGCTTGGCTGCGAAGGGGTGGACATTCAGGCGCATCTCGAGGGTTGATAGCTCGGATTGCTGGACTGTCAGTATCTCACTCCGATACTCCAAATGATGAAATACAGATATTCACCTCAGCTGTTGGACGTCCACAGAGGTTGGTCTGCAGATCAGCCACGTTTCGGAATCGACGGAAGAGGCATGACGAGGGGCTTACTAGTCCGTAGTTCAGCTCAGCCGGGAGCAGGTGGCATTCGTTGGGCGCGTACAAGCGAGGAGTCAGACCTGACTGATGCAGGGCACGCTGAAGTATCAGAAAGGCTCCACAGGCGTAAAGACAGGTGACCGCACCCAAAACTTGTTGGTCGGGTGGGCAAAGTGGGTACCGGTAGCGGCCGACTTTTTGCCTGCGTTTCGTCAGCCACGATCCCAAATGACTCACAGCCACAGGTGGTTATGCAGATGAAACTAACCCGGACTGGAGATCAGCGGGACACCAAAGGCTCGAGCGTATTCACTCACTTGATGCCGCAGAATATGACTTCGAATGTCAGTTCCTACCCAAGTATCTAGGTCCATGCTAGATCCTACTCACTATCCAGCCCAACGCCGAGATGATCCGGCGTATTCTTGAGATGCGCATACACCTCTGGTCCAGCATACGGTCTGGGAACCTTCTTGGCCTTCTTGGAGCCGGGAGAGCTCGCCTCCTTCGTTGGTGTCTTCCTCTTTCCGCTAGGGGCTACAGAGATGTCCTGCCATCGGGAGGGTCCAGCGACAGATCTCGAGGGGTCGAAATCCACCTCGGCCGCTTCATCCTGGAGGACCCCCTCCGCTTGCCCGGTAGGAAGCCTTGAGCCGGTCGGCGAGACCTGTGCCGATCTCGTGGAAGCCGCAGCTACCGCCCGTCGAGGCGACGGACCAGAGCTGGCGTAAGCGTATTTGGCCAAGCGAGAGGCAAGCGCTTTGGATGATGGGCTCTCCCGGTCCTCGCCAGTGGGCATGGCGGGTCAGTATGCGATGGACAAGGTCAGAGCGATAAGATTAGATCGGGAACGCTCCGAACGCTCCGCAATCCGTCATTCAGCCGGCGATGCCCGCCGCATGTGATGCCATGCCTGCCGTCCAAGCTGTGACCCCAGCGAGGCCTCGTTATCCCTCGTACAACTGGCGTCAGACTATCAAGGGCAGACAGCCGTAGCTGCTGTATTACCTACAAGCTGAGCTCTGAGCGTGCGGAACCACCAGCAAGCAAGCTGCTGCGCAGTGCTGCCCGCCACCCAACGCGACCGAGTGGAGCCCCTTCCCGCCCAAGATCTCGGCGGAGCAACTCCGTGTTTCATCGTCACGCTAAATGAGATTCAGGGTTGTACACGGAGATCAAAAGGGTCCGAAAGTGGCGTTTCACCTTTACGTACCCTTCGGCATGAACGGCTCCGTTGTCCGTTATTACCTCATCGAGAGGTTAATGAAAGTTGTGGAGTTGGAGCTAGTGCCTTATTGATCTGATTCCGTTATAACAATCGGTCGGCGCGTGGTTCCCAGCACTCACACCAAGTCAGCGTGATGTGTCAATGAATTTATTGATATCTCTGGCTGGACCGCAGTTGGTACAGAGACCTGCTTCTCTTGCACTCGCCATCCCTGCAAGCTTGTTTATGCAAGAGGCGCTCCCCGTCTTCTGTGGCAATCGAGAGCACCACCTCATCCAGCCAAACCATACAAAGACGTGAGCATCTACCCTGCTCCCACCCTCCTTTCGCTCATACACACTCACGCCCACCCAACTACCCCACCCATTTCACACAGACCCCCTTCCATATCACACCTCATACGCGCGCCGTGTACCTGTTGTCTCGGCCAATATAAAACCGGCTGACCCGCCTCCTCCTTCCCTTACCCCAACACCGCCTCTCACATCTACCCGTACTCGAAACCATCACTGTCTCGCCGCCCACTTCCCCTGATCGTCGCGACTCTCATGCTCCCCATCTCGACTTTTACATCCTCCCACCATCTCATCCCCTTCGGCTCGCCTGATATCCGGCCTACCACCTCATCATCCACTGCCACCGACGTCGACGACTGGGCTGCCTTCTTCATCATGCCTTCCACCCCTCCAGTCATCAGCACACCTGACGACATCTTCTCGGGCCCCTGGAACACCCCACTCGAGATCCCAGATACAGCCCCCATCATGGCGCACAACTCTTCCTCATCCTCCCCCACCGACTTTGCCTTCGAGCCACCGGCGGACAATAAGACCCCTTCTACCGGGTTCAGCTACACGCCCAGCACAGGCAACAGCTACGGTCTTCCCCTCAGCGGCTACTCGTCCGCCTCGTCCTTTTCATCCTCAGCGTCAGGCTCCTACGGGAGCAACTCGTTCTCGTCGGCAGACGCGCTGCCTGCGATATCGCGGGACTTCTCGCGGCCAAGCGTACAGCAGGCAAAGCGGCCTGCTACTGCTGGCGGGCTGCTACAGTCCAGGTCTCCCTTTGGGGGCCATGTAAACGAGGACAAGAAGGGGATACCGGAGGAGCCAAGCTTCGTGAACCCTTTCTCATCCTCGGCGTTCCCGTCTCACACGGAGGCGTTTGATCCACGGCAGCCCAACCGCCGCGCTTCAGAGGGACAGGGGTCCAACATGCCCCCACCTAGCTGGCCGGCCCCCGCGAATCCGTCCTTGGCTTCTGCTCCACCCACACAGGCGTCATTCGACTCGTATCCCCAACCCCAGCAGGCCCGCAGCGCCTACATCGGCCACGCCAACCGGCCGCAGACATCAGACGGACTCCCCTCATTCGGCGGTCCTACCCCTCTGCCCTCTGCGCGCTCCGTCGTTGGCTCATTCTCGAGTCTGACATCCCAGACTGCTCTGCAACCCCCTGCCCAAATCCGGTCTTCCTACGAGGACTCGACTCACCCTTTCCGTGATCGCTCAAACTCGGACGCGCAACCGCCAAGCACTTCCCGCTCAGAGGGCGAGCTGACCTTTGTCCCCATCGGCGGGCCGGTACCCAAGAAGCGGCCGAGGAGGCGGTTTGACGAGATTGAGAGGCTGTATAAGTGCGGATGGAGCGGGTGCGAGAAGTCGTATGGGACTTTGAACCACCTGAATGCGCATGTGGCGATGCAGTCACACGGAGAGAAGAGATTACCATCCGGTGAGTTTGCCTCGAGGTATCTAGAGGCCGCAGCTGATGATCAGAATTCAAAGACATGCGCAAAGCCTGGCGGAAGAAGAAGCGAGAGGTCACCGCCGCTAATGCGAACGGCCAATTCAATGCCTACGCACGCGGATCCGTATCGTCAGAGTCATCCTACGATAGGCGGGAATCTACAATATCCAACATGTCGTCGGCGTCGGCGGCGCGATTCCCACCCGGGGCGGTTTCCACGGCGTACAAGTACGACTCGCGGCCTACCACAGGCTCATCCGTCGCTTCTTCCTCGGACGGTCGGTCACATCACCCCCAATCTGGGGTCCCCCCATTCGGGTACGGGCAGGCCATGCAGACCATGCCTGCACCCACATCCTCTCTCCAGGCAAGGCGCGACTCGGCCCCACAGCACGTTAGCATGCCCTACCAACCCGCGCCCGTCGGTTTCAGGCAAAACGACGATGGCGTCACCCCTACTCCCCAAAATCCCTTCCCATTCAACTTCTCCATGAACATGTCGGTCAACCCCAACGTCCCGCCGGAACATCAACAATACATCCAGCAGCAACAACAGCACCAACAGCAGCAGCACCTGCATCAGCCGCCCCCCGGACATCATGCGTACCAACAACACCAACAGCAGCAGCAGCACCATCATCAGTCGATGCGGCCAGGGACGGGCGGGTTCCCATTCCAGACGTTGACGCAGCCGATGCCGATGGTGAATGGGCCGCAGTACGGGCAGTTTGCTTTTCGGTAGGCGGTAGGCTATGCAAGTAGGGGAGCGACTGAGGGAGTGACAAACGAGGGATAGGCGAGGCGCGAAGGAGAGCGCCCAGGGGGATACTGTATAGGAGGACCATGAGAAGGGGTTTGGGCCAAAGGAGGTACCTGTAGACGGGGATCTGGGAGAAGTCAAGATACGCAGAAGTCAAAATGTCGATAGGAGTGTCTCTACACCGTAGCAACATGTATCATAGGTTTTGGATCTCTTCTTCGAGGTCGTTTAGTACCAGAAGAACCGATGTGATCCGACGCAGTAGCCGTCTAGTGTACGCCGGGTCTTGAAACAGGTTTCCTTCATTGAGGAATGTCCGGTCGCGTCCACGCTGACCGAGTTATAATAATTGACGACTGTACATAGCCCGTTTCAACTTCATATACTTGCCATGGCTGCGTCCCATCGCGAGCTACCTCCCGAGGTCTGGATCCGGGTCATTGAGCACCTTCGCGGTCCGCGAGCTACGCCAAATGGGCGGAATGAGCGTTCCAGCATCCGTGCTCCCGAAGCCGTGCTGATGAGGGTGAACAAGGTGAGCACTTCCATTAATGGACGACGACGCAGCTTACACCGAGTAGACTCTGAACAACATCGTATCCGTACCGCTGTACAAGACAGTCATCACCGACCACCTCCCCTCCCTCTTGCACAGCGTCAAGCAGCCCGCTGCTGCTTCTGGCATTCGGTCCAAAGCGGAACTCCTCTCCCTCACTCAGCACCTCTTCCTGGAATACTGCGACAAGGGCCCTCCTACCTACGCGAGCCTGCTGTTCCACGGCGGTCCACACTTCGGCCTCGTGGATCTCATACGGCCCATAGAGAGCAATGCGCCAACCCTCGAGGACCTGAGGACCTGGGATACGGGGACGGCCGCGAGGTGGAATCCCCGCAACTCGTCGCGTTCTGCGGAGCAGAGTGCGACTGGATCGCTGCTGCTGCGAGCCAGTTAGCCTCAGTAGACGGGGGCCGATTGCTCAAAAACTACAAGACGGTCTCCACCGGGGCGTATCTCGGCGGACAGAGGTCTATCTGGCGCCCAATCGTCAAACGCCACCCCCCTAATCCGGAGATGGTCCGTCGAATCGACACTGCCCGCACTGCAATCACTGCCCTCGCCGTCGGATCTCCAGGCGTAGCGGCATTCTGCCAGCGGGTGGAGTATGGCCCGCTCACATACGCCGTGGCGGTATGGAACGAGTTTGAGCCCAAGGTGCGGGTCGGGGTGAAGGAGCACCGGTTCCGAGCGCATGTCATGCACGACTTGGGAACCACGCCTGCTGTGCTGGCAGGGAGCTCGAGGTGGTACTGCGAGTACAAGTCTCCCGAACACAATTTCGGTTGGCCGGCGGAACAGCTGCGGGATGCGGCGGGGGATCATATTCATGTTAGGGAGCAGTACCGACGGGCACTCGCTTTCGAAACCCAGAGAGCAGGGATCATCGAGCACTCCTCCCTCTCTACGGACGTCTATCTGCCGGGCAGGTTCATGACGGAGTTTACGCGGGGGTATATCAGCGAGTGTATCGACGAGGCGGTGATCGAGGTGGAAAATCCATCATATGGCAGGGATGGATCGATGAAGCGGTCGGCGGCGTCGTATAAGCGGGATCAGTGGAGGTTGAACCTTATCGACGAGGCGCCGCCTTGCGAGGCATGTGGGTGGTGTGTAGAGGACATGGATGTGAGTTAACCACTTACGAGGGACAGGAAAGGCGGTTTGGAGATGGCTGATTCTTCGCAGCCCGATCCGAATGACGAGCCTTCACCAATGTCGGACGGGTCAGATGTGTATCAGGCGGACGGATCAGATGTGTACAGCGATACGGAATCTTCCTAGTGAGCTGGCTAGACCTCGGCGACCTGACGGAGCGCACAACGCTGACGCTCGCACAGGACATAAAGAGAGAGAGTAGTGCCGTATCGCAGCTATAGACGTGATGTCTGGATCTTGCGTCCATTCTGAGAATCCGTAGCGATACTCTAGCTCTCCGCGGTCGATGTAGCTGCGGGCATCGACGCTGTCAATAGCGCGTGACCCGGCCCCCGAATCCCTGACCCCTGCTTGCCGCATTTGCGATCGTTATACTTCACACAGGCCTCTCTGGCCATGCTTCTACCGTATATGATTTCACACCACTGAGCCTTCAAAGCTTGAGCAACAGCAACCCACAGAGGCCACAAAGCCAATGCCAGCATTCCTCACCTAATCGGGTATCGAAATATCCGACCACCTCCAGGTTTTGACCACCCAACATTGTGGACCCGACCCTCCCTTACTCAGCCTCACCCTGCAACTGTATACACCAGAGATGCCTACTATGTCCTCCCGCTGGCTCCTACTCTTCGCTCTGCCGGTCCTCCTCCGTCTCCTCAAGACACGCCGCGGCCCATCAAGAGAGAAGATCATTCTTCCGCGCGAAGAACGGGTTGTTCTCCTGGGCGCGAGTTCTGGAGTGGGCAAGGATCTTGCTCTAGCCTATGCGAAGCGGGGCGCCAAGATGTGCGTGATGGCTCATCTACTTGATGATCGATTCTGTAAAAGGATGGTTGGAGCTGATGTACAGATGCATCTTTGCAAGGAGAAAGTCTAGCTTGGAGGCTGTCAAAGCGGAATGCCTCGCTCTGGGGTTGAGCGAGGATAAGATCATCCTCGTCACAGGTGATGTCACGAGTGTGAAAGACCTGGTCAAGCTCCGCGAGACCGTCGTTGAAGGTACGTCTCAAACATGAGCCGAGGAAGGGCTCCAGCTGACGAAGCAGCATGGGGCGGACTGGACACGCTCCATATCCTAGCGGGCGTCCCGTCTACTTCGACCCTCATGCAGCTGGCCGGGGTGCAGCTCGAGCCTGCTTCCGGGGCGCAGAGCAAGAAGAACCCGTCTCAGCGCTTTGTGTTTACGAGCGAGCAGGGGCAGTTGGGCGAAGCAGGACCTGGCGAGGAAGGGCTGGAGAGGCTGGCTGCTGAGGCGAGGGCATGCGCGGAGGTCAACTATGTGGGGACTGTGCTTGCTCTGGGGGCGTTCGTAAGTGATGCCATAAGACTGCCGAATAGACAGGATCATACAGTTGACATTCTAGGTTCCCCTCTTGGCCTCCTCGTCTCGCTCGCCAGCGCTGCATCATCTCTCCTCGGTAGCAGCCACGATCCCTGCACCCTGTCGCGCCATCTATTCTGCCACGAAGGCTGCTGGGCTCATGGCCATGGAGAGCTGTAGGGTGGAGTGTGAGGGCAGCGGAATCCGTTTCTTCTGTCAGTCTTCAGCTATATGGATATGAACCGCAGCTCATACTTAGCTCTGCTCCCTGGAACCATCGCCAACGATTTCAGGACCAAGACCGCTACGAGCGATACGGGCGGAAGGGACGAGACCAAGTTGGATATCAAGGGCGCTTGGGGGGAGAAGCTGCTCCTGCCTCCAGCAAAGGGTATGTTTCCGCCCTCCGTCTCGGATACTCGGATGCCCCAAAGCAGAACAAGGCTGACACCTCAGTCGTCGACACCATCTTCGAACACCTCGCCCTCCCACCCTCTCCGTACCCCCTCATCCCTTACCCACCCTTCTCGTGGATCTCCGCACTTTCTCACCCGCCCCGCGCGATACGGTTCTTGCCATTCATGTACCGCGCAGCGACGTGGATGCGGGATACACCGCTGGGGTGGGCGTATGTCGAGCCGAGTGCGAGGAAGAAGTATGGGCTACCCAATTGAGCTTGAGGAGGCGGTGGTGCATGAGCGGGGCGGATCTAGGTATTTCATCTTGGGTAGAGCTCGATATGAACATTTGCTCCTGTTCCTGTTGGATCTGGCCATGGGCAGCCAGTCGTGCTGTGCCAGGCATGCTTCCTTAGGCCTCAGGCCTCGGCCACGACCCCCTGCGGAGGCCGCACCGGCCCCCACGCGTCTCGGAGTGAACGCACGGATCAACCTGAAACCGCCACATTCCGTATGACGGAAGTATTAATTTTCGGCCCATTTTGGGTGGAGCTGCTCAGGTGATGAGTTTTCAGTCGGTCTCGCCCTTCCGCTTGCTTTGTTACCTCTCTCTCTCCTCATACCTCTTCCTTCTCTACTTACTATACCTATAGGTCCATAAGACCTCACTCATCTCTCACTTAAAACACACACACAGAAGCTTATTCAAGCTCATACCACTCTTTTCGCTCGTGCGACAACAGCAAAAAAACCAACTAAAACACATAACAACATGGTATGTCTCGCCACTTGCCCTTCTTGCCTTTGGTTCTGTGCTGACTCATCCAGTCTTACGGTGGTGGATACGGCGGTAGCGGCGGTGGTGGTTACGGAGGTGGTGGTGGCGGCTATGGCGGTGGCGGAGGTGGCTACGGCGGAGGGGGCGGCGGCTACGGTGGTGGTGGAGGTTCGTACGGTGGTGGCTATGGTGGTGGAGGCGGCGGCTACGGCGGTGGCGGCTTCGGAGGCACGTTCAGACGATAACTCATCGTCGCGGACAGAACACGCTGACTTTCGATAGGTGGCGGTGACCGCATGTCCAACCTCGGTAACGGCCTTGGCAACATTGACTGGGGAAACCAGCAGCTCTCCAAGTTTGAGAAGAAGTGAGTAACGAGGGAACCTCTCCGAGATTCTGGCTGACGATCAGCTTCTACATTGAGGACGAGCGCGTCACCAGGCGGTCCGAGGCCGAGATCGAGCAGTTCCGTGCCGACAAGGAAATGAAGGTGAGCTCGCCCAATACCATGATGGCGGCCAGAGCTGACACCACAGATCCAAGGTCGCAACATCCCCCGCCCCATCACTGCCTTCGACGAGGCCGGCTTCCCAGAATACGTCATGTCCGAGATCCGTGCTCTTGGCTTCCCCGCCCCTACCTCCATCCAGTGCCAGGCCTGGCCCATGGCGCTCTCCGGTCGCGACGTCGTCGCCATCGCCGAGACTGGTTCCGGAAAGACAATCTCCTTCGCCCTCCCCGCTATGGTCCACATCAACGCCCAGCCCCTCCTCGCCCCCGGTGACGGACCCATCGTCCTCATCCTCGCCCCCACTCGTGAGCTCGCGGTCCAGACACAGGCCGAGTGCTCCAAGTTCGGCAAGTCCTCCAGGATCCGCAACACTGCCGTTTACGGTGGTGCGCCCAAGGGCGGCCAGATCCGCGACCTTCAGCGCGGTGTCGAGATCGTCGTTGCTACTCCCGGTCGTCTCATCGACATGCTCGAGAGCGGCAAGACCAACCTCAAGCGGGTCACCTACCTCGTCATGGATGAGGCCGACCGCATGCTCGACATGGGTTTCGAGCCCCAGATCAGGAAGATCGTCTCCCAGATCCGTCCCGACCGTCAGACCCTCCTCTTCTCGGCCACCTGGCCCAAGGACGTCCAGCGTCTTGCCGCCGACTTCCAGCACGACTTCATCCAGGTCAACATTGGATCCATGGATCTGTCGGCCAACCACAACGTCAAGCAGATCATCGAGGTCTGCTCCGACTACGACAAGCGTCAGAAGCTCTTGAAGCACCTCGAGGCCATCTCGCAGGAGAACGCCAAGGTCATCATCTTCGTCGGCACCAAGCGTGTCGCCGACGACTTGACCAAGTTTATGCGCACAGACGGCTGGCCCGCTCTCGCTATTCACGGTGACAAGTGAGCTATCCATCCTCTGTATTTGGCGGAAGCTGACCCTTAGGCAACAAGCAGAGCGTGACTGGGTTCTTGCCGAGTTCAAGGCTGGCCGATCCCCGATCATGTTGGCGACAGACGTGGCTTCTCGTGGTCTTGGTATGTTCTCAGCTCCTTCCACCTCGCCATCATTTCGACTCGGCATCCTCGCTTAGGCGGATCGACAAAACCTCGAGCATCAACAGAGAGCGCTTCGAGACTTCTCGGACCCCTGCCAGCGGGTTTGAGAACTCTCGTATGTTGGCCATCGCACCCGCCCCCCTGCAAAGGGGCGCAGGTCGCGACGGAGGCAGTACTTCCCGGACTCACTGACTTGACTTGCGCTTGTCTTTCGAGTCCCGCGGAAGCACCGGCATCATCAGCACGGCTCTTTGCAGCCGTCGCATGCCACGCCTATACCGACACCTCAGCGCACCGCCCACGTACTTTGCAGTCCCCAAGGATCAGGCCGGCTGGACTTCCCCATGGAGGATCCGGTCGGTTTTGGTCTTGCAATATCAATTACGTGGTCGAGATCTCTCTGCGCTCTTTGGATTTGTCGACTCCTCCCGCCTTCGCGCCGCCTCAAGTCCTCGCCATCATCAGCTTTTGGCATGAGAACAATTATTGACGTATGCTCTTTTCCTTCATTCCTTCACCTCTCCTTCTCTTGCCGCTGTCTCTCTACCGTACGAACATATTAACTTCTGCAAATCCGCTCTTCGACTGCAGACGGTGAGTTCATCTTCTCCTCTTGTTTGAATTGAGGACAAAGCTGATGTATGCAGTCAAGGACATCAAGTGTGAATACTTCTCTCATCCCCTTGCCCTTGCTATTTACTGACTTTTCAGACGTCATCAACTACGACTTCCCCAACGTGAGATCATCTTCAGCCTCGCTCGGACTCAGCTGACTTGTCAGAACTGCGAAGACTACATCCACCGAATTGGTCGTACCGGTCGTGCCGGATCCACCGGTACCTCGATCACCTTCTTCACCACTGACAACTCCAAGTATGTCCATGACTGTTCTCGAGTCGAATATGGCCAGCGCTGACGAATCAGGAACGCCCGGGAACTGATTGGCATTCTGACCGAGTCCAAGTCCGAAGTCCCACCAGAGCTCGCCGAGATGGCCCGCTACGGTGGTGGTGGCGGAGGTGGTGGCTACCGCGGCGGTCGCGGTGGTGGCCGAGGCGGTGGTGGTGGTCGTGGTGGCTACGGTGGTGGTGAGCTGCATGGTGTCGACCTCTTCCCGTGACTTCGAGCTGACGGATCCAGGCGGCTACGGCGGTGGTGGTGGCGGCTACGGTGGTGGTGGTGGCGGCTACGGCGGTGGCGGTGGCAGATACTAATCGCTGCCAGCCAACGGCTAGAGCTACGGGTTCGGCTTCGGTTTTTCGGTCCTTTACATAGATTCCTCCTCCTCCATCTCCTCTAGTGTACATGATATCCTCTTATGATCAACCCTCCCGCTAGCGTATTTCGAGTCGTACCTCGTCATGCATCGCATCACGTTCTGAAGACACGACCTTGCCGGGTTGTCATTACACATACGATGTCCTCGCTTGACAGCTGGAGAGCAGGAGCTGCAGCTGGGGCGCTCGAGCGAGGCAACGAAGTGGAGGCGGACCACGTGGCGTGGCTTGCACTCGACCCAATTTAAAGGCTCAAGACCTCGGCTTGCAATTGCTGCTTGATACCTTCACTCAGCATACCCATCGCCTGCCTCTAGTAGCACACCCACTGGATCAGTCCGCCACTACCGCTGTAGTCTGTCAGAACGTTCCCACTCGGTATTCATCAACACGGCCCAATCCGCCAAAATACCAATCTGCTAATTCAACCACGAGCTAGCTGTCCCGAATCATCCCGTACAGTCCGTCAGCTCGACGATTCACTCTTCGAACACGATGGCGGAGCAGGGATCTATGGATGCCGAGACGCTGCTGGTGGTGCTGAAGGGGCTGAATGATGCGATCAGCGCAGGAGAGACGGCCGTAAGTCTCATGACAGGCAGCTTTGGTCCATAGGTCGGGGTACGGGGCAGCGCTGATCAAGATAGACGGCGGTGACGCTGCTACAGCGGATGAAGGAAGAAGTCAGTCCTACTGAAGATCTTCTGCGAGTGAGTAGTGCTTCACCAGCAGGCAAGGTCAGGATGGCGTTGATAAAGTCACCAGACTACCAAAGCGGGCTCCATCATGGCCAAGCACCGCAAGAACACCAACCCCGAAATCGGACCGCTTGCGAACGAAGTCATGAAGCTCTGGAAGGACGTGATTGAGGGGCAGCGAAAGCGGAAGCGCGAGGCCGAGGAAGCGGCGGGCAAGGTCGCTGCGCCCAAGAAGGTCAAGACGGAAGCGGGTGGAGCAGCGGCGGCGGCCGGGGTCAAGGCAGAATCGGGGACGGCTAGTCCCGCAGGCGGAGCGGTATCGACGCCGCCGGAGCGGGAGGTCAAGCCGCTGGGGAAGACAAAGAAGGCAGAGTCCTCAGCGGTGAAGGAGGAATCGAAGCCGGCTGTAAAGAAGGAAGAGGCCAAGACGCAAGTGGGGAACGTCAATGAGGAGGCGATTGCTTCCGGCTCGGGGTCAAGAGCGGGCTCGCCAAAGCCCAAAGCGGAGCCCAAGTTCGAGACGATCGATAAAGACCGGAAGGTGCCGAGGACGGCCAAGGCGGATATGATGGCGGACATCAAGGCGGAGGATGGGGGATCAAGGAGGGGCGGGGAAGATCCAGTGAGAGATAAGTGTGTGGTGATGATCTATGATGCGCTAGCGGGGGATAGTACAGCCTGTAAGTCCACTTGGTCTGAGTATTGGCCGGAGCTGACGACATTTAGCAAAAGACATTCTGGCGGAACGGGCGGTCAGTCTGGAAAGGGCGGTATATGAGCAGTTCGAGTACAACACAAATAACGACTACCGAGCCAGTGAGTCTGCTCTCCTTCATGTTGTTTCGAACCAAGCTGACAGGGCTAGAAATCAGGTCATTATTCCTGAACCTGAAGGATAAGGGAAATCCAGGCCTACGGGATAAAATCGTGATTGGAACGCTGCCCGCCGAGCATGTGGTCAACATGTCAAAAGAGGTGAGCTAGCCAGTGTATCGTCTCTTCGAATGAGAGCAGCAGCTTATCAGCGCAGGAAATGGCATCGGCGAGCGTCAAGGCGCTGAATGAAGAGATTGCAAAAGCCAACCTGTTCAAAGCCAAGGCTGTGACTGAAGTACAAGTGAGCTGCTCTGATCTGTTCCAAGGTGTCCGTGAACGAAGCTGATGTTTGACAGGCCGAGACCAATGCGTTCAAGTGCAGTAAATGCCAACAGCGACGATGTTCCTTCTACCAGATGCAGACCAGGAGTGCAGATGAGCCAATGACCGTAAGTTTACGTTGCCTACTGCTATGAGGATGTCATCGCTGACGGTGTCCAGACTTTTGCAACCTGCTTGGTGAGCACAATGAGTGATCCAGAAAGAGCCATCAAGCTGACTGTACAGAATTGCGGGCACAAGTGGAAGTTCTGCTGAACAGCCGTCCGTTATGGTGTCACGATGTTGTATCAAAGTATGATGGCTATACAGCACTACCTTCGGTCGTGGATGGACACCCTCGACGCCCATCGCATCACTCGTTGCGGAAAGTTGAGGTACAGGTTCTAACGATATTGATGATACACTCAATGCTCATCTACACATCGGATAAGAGAAGGTCCATAACGATATGTCTGATACCTCGCCACTTCACCACTTGAAAAGCTTCCCCTTCGCCCAGCAAATCACCAGTGTGTCACTTAAACACCTCTCAGCTCGACAACATCCTCTCTCCCCGTCCTCGAGGTATGATTTCGCTTGGCCTCGGATCATCTGAAGGAGTCGAGCAAAGTTCGCATTCACTCCCCGCACTACAATTTGGAAAGACGTACTTCTCTATCAATACGCCTGCAAGTGTCTCCCACAAGAGAGATGCTCGATCCCGGGGGCGCAAGCTGAAACTCAATGCATGATCGACTAATCCAGCGCACGTGGACGAGTAATGACCCAAAGCCCGTCCACTTCGTTCCAAGCCCAAAAGCAATCAGGCCTATGTGATTTGTGCTCATTGAATCCGGCATCGTCATCACTCTCGACGTCATCACGCCCTCCGGCCAACCTTGTCTCGCTCACCCCTGGCCACCATTGCGGATCGTACCCTTGGAAGGTGCTGCGGTGGTGGACTCGGTGATCTACCGGTTCCCAGTATGTGGGCTGTCCACAAGGTTCCTTGATGAGGCCGATGAGCGTCCAGCTTCGTTTTGGCGACCGTGACAAACTTTTTTTGGCGACCGCATCGTAAAGTGCTTGCTCTTCGTCGTGCGTCCTTGTCACCCAGGCAGATTTCGAGCCTCGTATCTGCCTACGTCCGCACCTTCCGTCCGTACCGGCACCGTCTTCGTCTGACATCGCCCCATCTTCAGCCTCATTGGGCGCGGCGTTGGATTTCGATCCAAGAGGCGGATACGCTGGCAGGTCCTCGACCATCCGAGTGGCGGAAACGCCCGCATGATTGTTACCGCTATCTTGGCCACTCAGTTGCGTTGGCAATGCCCATGGCGCACCCCCAACAGGCCTTCTGAACACGGGCTCAGTTCGCTCCACAGCTATCTCTGTTGCCTCAATATCTCCGGCCGACTCTCCGATAAAAGCTGGCGATTCGAGGGGAGCATGCTGGCGGGATGGGGGAAGAACGGGGTCGTCCTGTGACGCGCGCGCGTTAGCGATGAGTTCGCAACTCTGCTGGCGGGTGAGGACTGGAGTGTATGTTCCGCCGCCATCGTCTGTCTCGACGGTCTCGGGGTGGCTGGTGTCGTCGGCGGGGCACTTGGCGCTGACATGATCAGCCGTGTCGATCGTAGGCTGCGGCGGCTGATGCGAGTCAGATTTCGGCAGCTTGCGGCGATTCTTCTTCTTCTTCTTCTTCTGCGATTTCGCTGCGAATGGCGCCTGCGCGGACGAGTTGGCGGCCGTGACGGTCGATTGGAGCCGCTCCGCCAAGAAGCTTCGGAGCCGCCTCATCGCATCCACCACGCTAGGCTGTGCCTCTTCGCCTACTGGGGCACACACAGCGTTTCTTACATTGTCCTGTGTCTGCCCGTCCGTAGCTGCCTCCGTAAGTGCCTCGCGAAGCTGCGTCAAGAGCGACAACTCAGCCACCAAGTGCTTGTGCGACTTGACAACCGTATCGACTTTGCCCTCCGTCGTGACAAGGTCCGCCCTGGCTTCTTGGTAGACTTTGTCGTAAAAGTCATCAAAATGCGCATTCCACATCTTTGCCGTCTCCGCTTGGCTCGCCTCCGCCGCCTCTCCCTCCATTTGGCAAATTGCCCTCATTCCCTCGAGTCTGATCGGGCCGCTCGCTGCGAAAGCCTCTCCGTACGCCTCGTTGACATCGATGAGAGCGAGGGTCCCTTCGGCATTGGCAGCTGTCCACGCATCCTGCCTGGTTCGACACTCATCGGACAGTGCGAGAGCATAGTGGAACAGCTCAGCAGGTAAGGCTGTCTTGAGGGCGGCAATATCATCAGGCTCCAGACCGGCGATTGTCTGCTTGGCCACTTCCACGTTTGTGCATGGCTGAACCATCCACTCATCGCGATGCACAGCTCCCCCGCGATCGGAATGGTGATATTGACCGAGTCCCGGAAACGGGACGGGTTGGCTTTGGCCTCTTCCCTGTGAGCTATGAGCAGCTCTTTGCCTCTCTCATAACCCTCGCGAGCCTCGTCCAGGAAGGTAAGTCGGTCGTCGTATGAGAGAGGCACAGTGGATAGGTCTAGGCTCTCATCTCCGGGCCGGCGGGTAGGGAGCCCACTGAAGACAGGTTGGCTGTTCTTCGCCTTGAACCTTTGAAGTCGCTCTTTGATGGTGAGAGTTTTTCTCTCCAGGCTTGCCGAGACCTCCTGGGGCCCGAGAGTGAGCTCGAAACCCCCTCCAGGTTTGGGCCGAAGCGCGGAGTTGGGCGCCATAGCGAATGGCATGATCGTGGAAGTTGGTCTGGACATGATCTGAGTACGGGTGGAAGGGGAATGTGCTGACTAAAATCGCCCGAACATCCCCCTCACATACGTCGCCAGCGAGCGTCTTGCCACCACCCGAAGCGAAACGTCAAGACAAAGGATACCGCAATCAGGTCAAACGCTATAGGAGTCGAAAGCCGTCAAAGGAAAGTCAGACGTTGTAACACGTAACTCGCAATCCAGTCTACCCCTTTCATTACGCCTAAACTGGGCGAAGGGCTATCTGGAGGCTGTGCACGTCAGTGGAATTCCATGATTTTCAGTAGCCCCCTAACATTCCTTCTGGTAATGTCGATACTCCCCACTTCTCCTCTGGACAGGTCGAGCTCGGAGTAGGGGGTTGAGAGTAATATCAGAATATAGTTTGCGCGAGTCAGCAGTCAGTCCTCAATACTACCCCGCGAGACGTGATCAGTGATTCGAGGTCATATTTGAATCCGGCCGGACATTCTATACCGCATAAGATGCTCCTCGATCCGAAATGCTCCATCTCTGTCCCTCAGACCTTCTATTCCACGTCCTGGACACCGCTGTACGATTCCAGCTTACCGCTCGCGGCCTGCCAGTCCATCGTCCCGTTTACAATGGCATGTACGACCTCGATGACCGTGTCGATAGGGCCAATCAACTGAGATGTCGAGTCTCGTTCACTAAGATGTCAGCTTTCGCCCTTGCTCTCGGTAGTTTACGATGACCAAAGTGAATATGAAAACTCACCGAAGTGTCATAGTGCCCTTGGTGAGAGAGGCAAAGTCAACAGTGCACCCGAAAGGCGTACCGAGCTCATCGTTCCTAGCGTATTTCTTGCCGATGGAGGCGGACGAGTCGTCTACTCGAGACGCGATACCGATCTTGCGCATCTTGCGAGCTGACTATCAGCACCGATCCTTGGGCGTTCACAGTCTGACGAAGAGACCTACAGATGTCGTGGATGAGAATACGAAGTTGAGGGTCTTGCGAGATAGTGACGATAAGCACCTTGATAGGCGCCACAAGGGAGGGGAGGGAGAGGACCTGACACGTCAGCTGAGCTCGCCAATAACCGAAGGCGTTTGGCAGCTTACACCACGAGCCTTGTCCTGTTCTCGAGCCCAGTACGAGTGCTCGAGCAGAGAGTAGAGGATGCGGCCGATACCGAATGAAGGTTCAATGACGTTGGGGATGAATTCGCGCACTTGCGCATCAGCACAAGCACTCCCACTGCCGACTTGGAAGCTTACTGTATTCAGTCTTTGTGACGGCCTCCACCTTGACCAGGTCCGAAGTGATGTCGTATGACTTGCCGTCCGGACATTGGACTGACGAAGTACTGCAAAGTCAGCTTCTTGCTCTTCGCATCTCATCAAAGCTCAGACTGGACCTACCCCTTCTCCGCGAGCTCCTTCTTGATACACTCCAGCTTCTCCTTCTCCAACCCGCTCACAAACTCCTTAACCATCGGCGCGTCCTTCTTGAACCGCATGCCCACGTCCTTGGCGTTCCAATGACACTCGAATGTGTCGACAATCTTGGGCTCGTCAAGTTTTTGCTGGACCCGCAAAGACGCCTTGGTGCGGGCGGCGTGGACCGAGAGATCGTATGCTGATCGGTCGGCGCACCCGACACATTCGACCCAGCCGTATGAAGATTGGATCTCAAAGTCCCAGCAGTCCTAAGGAGTCAGCTTCATTGGCTGGGCAGAGTACAGATCTTAGAGCTTACAGCGGCATAGTGTGCCATCTCGTTTGCCATGTGCTGCCTGCATCGCATCCGCTTGGGGTCGATACCGATCTTCTCCAAGAATAGCTGAGTGCGAGCAAGGAAGTAGCCGAGAGTCTCGTTGTCAACGACTTTCTGCCCCATGTCAGCTATTGTCCGCCTATCGTGTACCTGGCAGCTGACCTTCTCGACTGCCTCCCCGACGGTCATCTGCGTCAACTCCGTGCGACCCTCCTGTTGCACCTCCTTCGGTAACAGCGTCAAGACAACATCCTTGACCTCCTGGAATCGAGCGTGGCGCTTGTCCAATGGGTCGACGTAGTGCTCAATCTCGGCCATGGTGAATTCTCTGGCTGCATCAGCTGCGGTATCCTGGCGGAAAGGCGGGGGGATGCGCGGTAGCTCACCGGACTCGCAGCAGACCCTGCTTGGGCGCAATCTCATTCCTGAAACTCTTACCGATCTGGGCGGACGCGAAGGGGACACGGCCGTTGTTGAATTCGAGGAGACGGCCAAAGTTGACGAAGTGCCCCTGCGCGGTCTCTGGGCGGAGGTAGCTGAAGAGTCAGCGGACTTTCTGATGTTCTAGACCGTGCAGCATACCCCTTGATCTGACCGGTAGGACCGATGTTACTCTCGAACATCAAATTGAACTCGACGGGCTCGGTCAATTCGTTGTTGGTGGTGGGATTGCGAATGTTGTATTTGCGGATGAGCTCGCCGAGCTGGGGACCGTTATAGTCGTCAATCTACAAATCAGCTCTGTCCTCCCCTCTCTCGCGCTTCGACCTGGTCTGAGGACCCGCTGGACCTGCCTTTCCCTGGATTTCCGCCCTTCTATCCTGCCCAGGCCTCGACTCACTTTGGCCAAGATATACTCGATATCTGTCACGACCTCATCATCCAGCCTGATCGCCTCCGACTTGACATTCTTCTTCTTCTTGGCCTTCTTCGGATCCTCATCCTTGACCTCCTTTGCCTTCTCGCCTCGGGCCTCCGTGTTGCCCTTCAGCCTTCCCTCGAGGACGGCTTCGACGAGGTGGTCCGCTCGGTAGATCTCGCCAGTCTGGACATCCTTCACCATCCAGTCGGTGAATCTATGGCGTCAGCTCTGTCCTCTGATTGACTGCTTCCAGCAGAAGGGAACTGACTTGTCAACATGGCCCGAAGTCTTGAGAACATCGGCAAGAGTCATAATGGTCGTATCCAGCTCCAACATGTCCTCCTCGATAATGTAGTGTTTCCTCCATGCGTCAATGACGTTCGCCTGGAGACCCGAGCCGGTCGGCCCATAGTCATACAGACCTGCGACACCTGCGGCTTCAGCTTTGGCTCTCCAAGGCGCGTTCCAGCTGACGTACCGCCATAAATCTCGAACGATGGGGCGAAGAAGAACCGCCTCAGAAGCAGCGCATCCAGTGCGGACTTGTCGAAGGCATGTGCGGTCTTGTTGGTCGGCACAGCGAGCTCCGAGGGGGTGTTGGTGGACGCTGCGGCGGCAGACATGACTTTGGTGGTGTGGAGATAGCGGACGGCGGGAGCTGTGGGTCTGGCGAGTAGGGTTTTGAATGGGGATAAGTAGGATGTTGCTTTTGCTGTTCTTATAGCTGCGTTGAGCATACACCTGTTGGATAAGAGTGGTATGGATGGTAGCAGGGGTTGAGCAGAGCCAACTTTTGAGTCGCTGCTTTGGCTGGCTTGGACTTTGTAGGATGACGTGGCACCACCTCCACCTCCACTTGCCAATGCCTCTGTTGACAAGGACCTTCTACCCCTCTTCCGCCCACACATAAGCCATGATAAGATAGCAACTCAGACCTCCCAAACGACGCGCACCATCAACAGTATGCGCCCGCTACGGAAGTCCGAAAAGCAATGGCTATTCCCAGCCTGGACGCTGCAGCAAACGCCCTCGCAAGAGGCTGGGATGACCTATGAGCAGGAGCTGCAGAAGCGGGCCCTAACCATCGACTATATCCGCAGCTTGGCGATGCGCGTCGAGCTGTATGTTGACCATGCTAAAGCTCATAAAGCTCTAGCTGACGGACCGCAGGCATGCTGAGATCGCGGACGAGCATTATCCCGAACTGAACGAGGCCAGCCGCGCCAAGGGCGTCTTGACTCTGGCAGCGACGATGGTACACCGGTTCTACATGCGTCGGGCTATACAAGACTTTCCGCCCGAAGTAAGTGGGAGGCTCCGATGGTACCGTAAAAGTTAAGCTGAACAATAGATCATGGCAGCGACCATCCTCTTTATCGCCTCCAAGATTGAGGAGGAGCCGCTCAAGCTGCGGCATATTGTCAATGCCTGTCTGGCGAAATTTGACAGAAATCTCAGTCTACGATGGGAGCCCACCGGAGATCACGGAGTGAGCATATCCCTTCGTGTTCGGACCATGATCTGGACCAGGCTGCAAGGAAAGCGAGCGTCTGACTGACTGATGTAGCCACCTCCGTCAGCAGCTTATCAGAGCTGGGAGAGGGACATCCTCATCGTTGAGGAGCTCACGCATGAAGCGCTCTGCTTCGACATGATTGTGGATCAACCGTGGCCGGTGCTATACCGCGGGGTACAAGGGTTGGACGCGTTATGGACGGATCAGGGCGGACCGCCGTCGTATCTCCTAGCTGGAGGACCCGAAGATGAGGCGATGAAGGCGGAGCCAGTAGAGGACGCCGAAGAAGGAGAAGTAGAAGAGAAGAAGCCAGAGGCCGACCTGAAGAAAGGAAGAGTCACCGAGTCGAGGATACTGACTCTTGGCTGGGCTATCCTGCATACCCTGTAAGTTCCTGCCTCGCCACCTTGACAGAAGGACGTGCTCATGACTCAGCTACATGTTCCCTCTACCTATCTTGTACCATCCCAACATCATCGCATTCGCTTGCTTCCGCATAACGATGAAGCTGCTTCTACCGGACGACGAAACGATGCCTTCATGTCTAGACGTTTTGGCCGACCGGTTCGGCCTGGAAGCAACACCTTCAGCGAAGAATGGGGACGAGGCCGGCGACATGGAGCTTGTCGAAGGTATGTGATGTCGCTATACGATCTTGAAGCCAGCTGATCAGTCAGCCTGCACCCAGCATATCCGCGAGTTCGCTGCAGTCGACCTTCAGATCAAGGGAGATCAGATCCTGCGAGTATTGTGGGATTGGGTTGCCGTGCGTTGCCTGTATCCAGGAGCGAGATGAGGGAGCTGATAAAGCAGGATGATCCACACAATCCGCCAAATACACAGAAACGCTTCTTGTCCCCTCAGCCCTCTTCGCCTTTCATCACGACCGACGAGATCAAAATTGAGCCGAAAGCCGAATTCGCCTAGAGTAAGACCTGACACCCTAAAACATCTGTAGCATCACCTCATAGAACACCAAGTGCATATAACAACCCATCCATCCCTACGATACTATATGTTCAGAACCCGAGTCAAAACCCCCCCACCAGCCCGCCCCTCAAAGAGGAAGACGGGCACAGGGGGGTCTCCGGCTTATATCAAGGTCTTGCTGCCCCGCCTCTCGCGTACCCGAAAGCACTAAAGAAGACGGGGAAGTGGAGTTGGTCTGTCCGGGCTCGCGGGGTACCGCCGCGTCATGGAGGGATGCGGCAGGGCCCGATCAGGTTGATCGGGTCGCGAGCGGAGGGCTGAGAGGGAGGGGAGGGCAGGGGTATTAGCGTGATGAGCGAGGTCAAGCCGTGACGCGCGCGGCAAGGTCATGGTCGGTATTTGCGGCCAAGCCAGCGAGCCGTTGCTTGGTTCGACTGGCAATGATGCGAGCTTGCATCGTCTGGACGCTTCAACAAAGACGAAGGTGAAGGTGAAGTGAGGAGAAGGCTGAGCGAAATTTGGCTGGCAGATTCAAACGCGGTCTCACGCCTATCTCGAGCAGGAGGAATAGGCGGAAAATCTGGGCGATAGGCTAGGCCGGCTCGCCGAAGATTAGGCGCAGAGAGCTCTTTAAGCTTTTGAGGCGTTTTCCATTACGTTACCAGCTTCTAGCACGGAACAGGCGATCGTCGAATGCATCCTATCTTCTCTCCAAACCCTCACCCCTCATCTATATCATGGGAAACGTAAAGTTAGTATAGTTCGGCATCAACAACTCAACAACCAAACGGACACCTCCTAATCGACACAGCGGCGCAACCACTTACTCTCATCTCGACTATCCACCGATAAGGTCCGTCCCCGAGTGGGTCTACGCCGACTTGAAAGCCCACATATTCGACCCCGGCCGCCCTCCCACTCCTGACTCCATTACCGGCCACGAGGACTGCGATCCCGAACACTGCCTCGGCGCGCAAAAAGTCATCCAAGACAGACTTGAACGGGAGCTCAGACGCGAGCGCGATCGTCTTCACAACAACTACCCTTCCACCCCCGGATCCCCCGGTTACCCATCTATAGCCATGTCGAGCCGGCCGCACAAGGTGACCATGGCGGAGCTCAAGCTCAGGCGGTTGACGGAGCACAACACGAGGCTGAGGGAGGATCTGGCGAGGCCTAGGATGAAGATCAGTGACGCGAGCAAGACGTGAGTCGATCCTCTCATCTTTCTGCGGCAAGTCACTGACAACTCAGTCTTCTGGACTATGCGACTACCACCAGGGACCCACTCGTAAGCTCCGGATTCCAGCAATGTGCCTTGACAATGTCATTGCGCTGCCAAGGCCTGAAGCTGACAATGCACAGATCCAATCCGTTTGGGGTCCGCCAGAGAAGGGAAAAGACCCGTACGCGCCAGTACAGGCAGAGGGCGGTTGTTGCTCTCGTGAGTTCAGTTGCACCCTTGCGATTCAAGGGGCACGGGAACTGATATCCTCAGTGATGTAATCCTCCACCCGCATCCTTTCCACCCTTCCTCTCCCTCTACTTCGCCCAACCCCCGCTCGACCTCCGCCGCATACATTGCATGATTGTACCTTCATTACAGTATTCTGGGCTTTTAATCTGTATCGCATGCTACCTCTGTAGCATTCTGACTGGCGCGGATAGGCGCTGGCACGACCCCTTACTGGCATGAGCAGAACCTAATCAGGCCGGAGGGAGTCAGCTGGCTAGTCAGCTGATGAGGCACGTGAAGGACGGGAAGCGAGTAGAGTGAAGAGGTTTGGCTGGTTGCGGAATGGGCTACCCCCTTTTCTGCTTCGAGCAACAGCCATGTTGTGCCTCATCTTCTCATCTCGTACTTGGCGGTTCTCCTGTCCAGCCACAGGAGCCACTTGTTGGGCATGGTATCAGTCTATCAGAGGCCCGGCCAGCATACCTCCCCCACCTTGTGGTTTACGTCAATGCCTTTGCGTCATCGGCCCAACTCTGCCTCGCGCGGCCATGATGATCGTCCGATCTTTCCAGTGATACTTCTCCTTTGACTTTGACTTGCATCTCAGCTCACTCAGCCTGAGACCACTCACTATCCTGTCTACCGCTGATATCAAACCAGCATGAATCTCGACTACTTGCGCGAAACGATCGCGTCCCACCCCACCCGGCCGATCATCCACCACCTCAACGCCGATACTTCCTGGCTCCTCCAAATCCCCATCCCCTCCTCCTCCGCCCCCTCCTCGTCCACCCCCGCTCGGAGATACTACAACATCCTCCTCGACCCCTGGCTCTCCGGCTCCCAGTCCGACGTCGCCTCGTGGTTCTCCCAACAATGGCACGCCACACCATCGGCCTACGGCTCCATCGCCGAGGTGCAGGACCTGTGCGCGACCGTTGAAGCCATCGCCGCCGGTGATAATTCGAGAGTCAAGGCGGACGGGAAGAATTACTTTGACGCGGTGGCGATCTCGCATGAGTTTACAGATCACTGTCATCGGCAGACTCTGGAGGAGGTGGATAAGAGTGTACCGGTGTTTGCGTGGGCGAAGGCTGCCAAGTTGATCAGGGGCTGGAAGTGGTTCAAGAATGTAGTGGAGATACCCGCGTTCAACAAGGACTGGAGACAAACGAGCAATGGTGAGCTGCCTGTTCACAGGGTGATTTCGGTTCAGTAAGCTGACATTCAGATCCTTTACCTGAGTGGCTCGGAATCGGACGCCTCTTCAACGAGTCAGACGGGCTATACTATCACGCCGCCCTAACCATCACCTTTGCCCTCTCCCCCTCCTCTCCCGCCGAAGTCGTCATCTACACTCCACACGGGTTGCACGCGCCCACCCTCACTCCTATCCCACTCGCTGATCCGCCCGTCCGACCCCTCTGCCTCCTGCACGGGTTGCACGACGTCCACCTCGACTGGCGGCAGCAGCTGAACCTCGGCGCACACCATGCGCTAGCAGCCCAGCGGATGTTGGGCGCCAAGTACTGGATGGGGACGCACGACGAGGATAAGAAGGGGACAGGGGTCGTCAGTTGGTTCTTGAGACGAAAGTGTTATTCGGTGGATGAGGCGGTGGAGAGGGAGATGAAGACGGCCGAGGCGGAGACGGAGAAGGCGGGCGCGGTGGATCGGGGAGAATGGGATGAGAAGAAGGGGAAGTGGCATCCGACGGGGTGGAGGGACATGGGGAATGGGGAGGCAAGGGTGTTGAGGGAGGATGGACTATAACAGAGCACTGTTACGCGGGGCTTCCAGCTCGCGAGCTGCAGGCAGTCATGAGATGGGATCAAGTTGTATGTAATCATCTGATGGTATGGCAGTACTCATTGTTCTCACTCATGGTCTTCAGTTTCGCCAGCAGGCTGATGTGAACGTAATGGTATCCATCGACTGTAGCGGCTGCTAGCAAGATATGTACCGCTACAACGCGGATGCCGCCGAAGCTGATGCGCGTACTCTGCTCGACACCCACATCGGAATCTCCTCCCTCTTCTTCCGGTCCATCTTCGGCACCACGGTGCCCAAATAATCCCTCGCGTCGTAGATTTGCCCCCAGAGTGCCGCCGTCGTCATCTCCTCAGCGGCTGTACCCTCAGTCGCGTTCGTAGTCGCGGCCTCCGTCGGCACATCTCCGAGTTCGATTTCGGGGTACAGGCCGGAGTACAGACTGTCGTCGCCACCGTCTCCCATGGCAGAGGCCGGCATGACTGACTCTGACTCCCCGAATCCGAGTTCTCTCGCCTTCTCCTGTAGAGCACTGCGAAAGTTTGCCGGGCTCTGTGAGCGTTGACACACGTCCCACAGAGACTCGCGCACCGCCTCTGCCGTGTTTGACCCGTTGGAATAGCGGCTGGCAAGCTCACTGATGAACGTGCGCAAGTGCGTCACTTCCTTCAGCACATCACGTCTGTTGGCTTCGAGGTGGACATCGCACTGTGGGTCGACGAGCATCGTGAAGCCGGGCTTTTCCTCTCTGCCTCGAATGGTCCCGATGCTCTGGGTCGGCGTACCGGTCTGTGGACGTACACGGAAATCTCCAGCGCAGTATGTGCAAGTCACCGATAATTGACCAGGAGACCACTTGTCCGCGAGTGTGACTGAGTTGGAAGTGGGGCGAGAGGTTCGTGAACGGTGAGTCCCGGAAAGATTCTTGATCATGTCTGTAAGATGATTGAGGATGGACCTGAGCTTGAGACACGAACGTGAGCCGGATTTTCGAGTCGAATCCTGGGTCGGTTGAAACCCGGGGCCCTGAGCTCAATCACGTTGGTCATAGTGAGTGGTTTGGGGAGGATAGGGATGTTGGCAGAGGCTGTTCGACTGTTGGTATAGGCCGGGTGATGAGGATAGAGCTGATGAGTATAGATGTGAGATGGTGGGGTTGAGGTGTAGGATGAGTAGGGATGAGCAGAATATGCGTACGTGGGAGGTCAGGCTATGGTAGGCTGGCCCATCCCGGTTGGGGTCGGAGACACGACTCAAAGGAAGCTTCCCAGACGCGTAGCAGCAAGGCTCAAACGCGTAAGAGCTTTTTCGACAATGGAAGCTCGCAGGCATCAAGTGGCGGCACCACCACACAGCATCATCGCACAAAGGTCCGAGAGCTGCTCGTGCCATCCACCGTGATCTGTGCCCTACACTTTCGATAATAGATCCGCCACTCGATCCGCCACACAGCCTGCGGAAATGCCAACACATGGTAGCGCTCCATTCTTGCCTGTCTGCAAGAACATGGGCGTGATCAGGATCATAGCTATACATGCACATCTTTTCCTACTTCCCAGGCCCCGCCAATGTCATATCCGCCACCCAGCAAGTCACAGCGGCGCTAGGTTGTCCCTGGAGTAGAACCGTCCGCGCTCTGGGCCACCCACATCTCCCTTTCGACCCGGTTTCTGGGATCGTATCCGGGCATTTCCTTGCCGAGGCAGTCCCTTGACTCCCGTAGAAGTTTCCACAGCTGGGGCGCGCCCAGTTCGGACCACTCCAGACCGCCTGCCATCCCCACCGGTACATCCTCCAGCGCAGGGTATTAGAGAGACCCGTCCGTCCCGCGCCCATTCGATCGCCTTTTGGCCAATCGCGAAAGCGAGCCGTTGATCCAGTGCGTCAGCGAGGAAAACCGGCTTCTGGTATCAAGCCGATTTTGAAAGTCGTCGAGAGCCTGGTGGAAGGCGTGTCTGGTCTGTGAGTCTTTGCACAGGTCCCAAAGGGACTTGTGGATGTCCTCTTTCGCACTCAATCTGGCGGCGCGGGAGGTACTCGGAGCCGCAGTGTAGCAACCGGCGAGTGCACTGATGACCTTATTGAGAATTCCCATCTCGGTCGCCTTGAAGGTTTTCGTCTGGACCTTGAGATGCGAATCGCAGAAGGGATCCGCAGACGGGTCATTGAGAGGAACTGAGACAGGGCCCCGGACTGCCTCCACCGTGCTGTCCGTACCAACCGTCAAATGAAGGTGGCAGATGCTGCACGTCGGCTGATCAGCATCCCATGTTGCGGCGAGTGTGTACATGAAGGGGTTGGTTGACGAAGTGGTCGAGGTTGACTGGGTTATGTGGGTGAGTGTGGGGTTAGTGGGCGCTGGGAATGTGGTATAATGTCGGATTCGACAGCGAAAGCATGGCCAGCAGCGACAAGGCGCAGAGGCATCAGGAGTCAGAAGTAAAGGATGAACCTCACACCCGTGTCAGATGGGAGAGATCAATGGAAGACCACTGACAGCGTGGCGCCACATCCATATAACACCGATGTAAAGCACCTAGTCCGAGTCGTCCACTACCTCCTCATCACTACTGTCCGCCCCATCTCCGCTTACTGTACCCCACGTACTCCCTTCAGCCTTTTCAGCAAACAAAGCCCCTCCAGCCTTCTTGACCATCTCCCATGCCTCCTCCCCACCCTGACTCACCCGAGGGACCTCCTTCCTCGGGTAACTCGTGACGATCACAAAGTCTGTGGGCGGCTCGTACCCCGCGGGCGGCCGATCTGGGTCTGATTCCGGGGTGTCAGAGTCGGGTATGAGGAGGGTCTCGGCATAGATAAACAGCCCTTCCGTTGAGCGTCCGGGCGTGAACTGTCGGACGTTCCGACTGGCATTGAGCGGGGTCCGCAGAGCGATACGCAGAGGTCCGTCCGAGGGCGATAAGAGGTGTTTCCGAGCATACCGCCTCCATACCGCCCGCTTCTCCAGCGCATCCACCTTCTCTCGTTCTGCCTTCGCCTTCTGATCACGCTCCGCCGCCTCGCGCGCAGCAATCGCTTCCCGCTCTTGCCGCTCCGCAGTCTCCTTCTGCCGTTGCGCGAGGATCTTGGCTTGATCCCGCTGTGCCGCGGAAGCGAAAGCTCGGTCCTGCTCTTCCCGCAAATGACGCGCTTCTTCGAGGGTAGATCGCTCGCGCTTCATACGCGCCAAAAAGGCGTTGGTTCGGGGGAGGACGGAGGTGGTGAGGGACTGAATGATGGAGGCGGAGGAGGTAGAAGTGGCGGGTGAGCCGGACAGGGTGGCGATGATGGATATTTTCGGAGCAGCGCCAGCGTGGCCCGGAAGGAGGGACATGAAGTAAATCGAGGGGTATGTCGTAGCCAATAGTGTTCCAGCAACTATGACCATCAGCTCTTTGCCCGATCCGCTCAAGAAGGCGGCTCACCCTGATATCCCTCCCGACTCCGTACATCCCCTGCCCAAAGCAAGATCTCCTTTTCCTTCAAGAATCGTACCATCTCCCCATCCGCCAGCGTCTCCCTCTTGAACTTGACATCATCCTCGTGCTCGGCACAGGTGACCAACACCATCCCGACCTTCCCATCTTTCCGCAGTGTGTTGAGGAATTCGCGGTAGGGCCCGATGTAGATCTCGGGGAGGGTACCGGAAGTGGCGGAACATCCAGTGAGCCGCTCGAGGTCCCGGATGTAGGTAAGGGAGGTGGTGGTGGGATCTTGGAGGCGGCGATTAGAGGATGAGGTAGATCGGGAGGTGGTGGGCGGGCGGAGGAAGGGAGGGAGATACCGCAGGAACGTGACAGGCATGGCGTTTCGGACTACTAAATCAGCTGTACGTCCAGCGCTCTTTCCGGGCAGATACAGCAGATAGCTCACTGATGAAGTACCATATCCCGCTGACGACACCCAATGCCAATCTGAACGGGCTCATCACCAGATCCAGCACGCTCATCCCGCCTCCACCGCCTCCGGGAATGCCAGCACCTCCATATCCCGGCTGGGACGGTCTCCTGGGGCGAACGTTGGACCCCGATGGTCTACGGGCACTCGTAGCGGGGCGTTGATCCTCATCGTCCCGACGAAACGCCGCTGGTGGTGTCCTGGCTGACGAAGAAGATCCATCCTGAGCATCGGCTGTGAGAGATCCACCGGATGCAAAGATCTGCTCGACTGTCGCCTATTGGATATCAGCCACTGACTCGAGGCATGACGATCACGGAGTGGCCGATCAGGAGAACAAAGGGGGATCACGGACCTGCACGTCCCACCCATTCTCCCTGAGCAGACGCTCGTCCCTGTCCCTTGCAGCTGTAGTGGTCGATGCCGTAATCGCGCTGAGCTGCTCGAGGGCTGAATGCTGCGCCGGTGTGAGAGACATGGTCGTCGTCACGATGCGATGATATAGTAATAGTCAGAGAGAGAAGCGAACGCGGTAGCTCGAGCGCGCAGCGGTAAACCGGTGACGTGCCACGCCGTGCCTGAGAGGCGGACTTGTCCGAGGTGAGGAATGAGGACCATGAGACCTGGATGAAGGTCCTGTGAGGCTAGGTGTGAGATTGAGCAGCGCCCTCTTCCCAGGCCACTGTGATATCTGCCGGGAGCAGTCCTCCAGCCCTAACTCCACTCCAGAAGGAAGAAAACGATGTCTAGAGAGTCTAGTAGTCCAGGCGGGGATGATCAGCAGCACAGCCCATCACTTCCATAAGACGGGTTCCATAGGACGAAACAGATGCGTGCTCTCTATATCTACACCGAGAATGACCCAGAAGCTTCCCACCAGTAAGCATGTCTTCTGTTTGCCATCACTGCTCGGCCCTCAACCTCTCGCTCGCACGTTCCCCCTGAATCCTTCGCTCCAACTAGAGATACCCCGTGCCGCCCGCCCTCACGCCGCTTGGATCCCCCTTGACGCTCTTCGAGCTCATCCGCTTATGCCTCTACTCCATCCACTCATAGTTCTCCAACTTGGGCACCGGTGGCGTCTCGGCCGTGCGGGGTGTCGGAGTCCTCTCCGACTGCCGCTTATCCCCCACAGACTCCTTAGAGCTCAGCTCTGCCGCCAGGGCTACCATCCCCGCCCATCCCAGCTCATCCACCACGCTCTGTGCTTTCCGCTCGTCCATGCGAGCCCAGGTGCCCTGGACCAGCCTCGCCGTGATATAGTGCCAGGACGACGCATCGCGCATGAGCAGGATCTTGATCTCGACGACGGATCCCCGGGGCGCCGTGGAGGGAAGGACGAGGTATGTCGCTCGCCGGCGGAGCGCAAGGGGCGCGGTATAGGGTAAGAGTGGGGAGGAGGGGGACGGGTACGCGTTGGTCTGGCTGTACTGGTTCCGGATGTACGCGCGATTCTTGGGAGGGGTATAGTACCGGGATTCGCGGGCCTTTGTCGTTGAGGGTGGTTTATCGAAAGAGGGGAGCGTCGGTGATGGTGCCCAAAGGGACTTGAGGTATTCATCACTACTCATCAGCTCATTGTCCGTCCTTGATCGCACGCTGGAGGACTCACCGGAGAAGAGCGCTGGACCCGTACTCCTCAGTTTCCAGATCCGATTCGGTCCCGCTCTCTCCATCCGTCATCCCCGGTTTGCTCCCATAGCTTGGAACGTCCGAGACGATCCTCAGTCCCCTCTCTTCATCCGCCACCCTATCCGCCCTGTCCTTCATATCCTCCAAATGACCTCGGACGAGCCGCTCGAGATACCCGCCAGCCCGCTGGAGGGTCTCCAAAGGGAGTGTAATGGCCGAAGTGTCGGACCGCTCGGCCAGCGAGAATCCGAATTCGAGCTTGATGAAGACCTGGTCGGTCGTGGTGGGAGCGGGACGTTGAACGATGTCAAGGAGTGTAGCGGAGAAAGCAATGGATGAGGGGGAGGGAGTAGCGACCGGCGTGGTGATAACGGGAGCCCGAAGGGATGAGGCGCGCCGCATAGCCGATTGAGATGGGACAGCTGGGGAGGGGGTGGGCGGGATGACACTTGTTCGTGTTCTCTCCCTGTCCTTGCTCCCCAAATTCGCCATTGACGTCGCTTTGTGCACCACCTTTGCCTCTGCGACCGGCGGGAGAGGACGCGGCGGGGCGCAGATAGACACCCGCCTGTCGCAGTCCTCCATCATGGGCAGATCGGGCGTCTGCGGGATGGAGGCAAGGACGGGGGCAGGAGGCTTGGTGCGGACCTTCATGATCCCCCTCCGAGCCTCGCTGGGGGTCCGAACAACCTGTGCGCCTGATCCGAGGGAGGGAGAGAAGTCGGCATCGGCGACTCCGGCGAGCGACGAGTGTGTCCGGTAGTGGCCTCGCGTTGTGGTTGAGGGAATGGCTGAGGCGGATTGGGAGGTGCGAAGGCGGGGAACGGCGGGCATGGCAGGGAGGGGAGGGAGGGGAGCTGTTGCAAAGAAGCGCCATCCTGACCGCTTGGGCTCAGGGCTCGCGCTGGTCGACCGGGGGGAGAAGAGCGACATCTTGTTGAGCTTGGGCGTGACTGTCGAGAACGGGTGAGGTAGATGTGTCAGAAGTCAGATGCCTCATCAGCTCTATATGCAAGCAGTGGTGTTGTCGTCCTTGCGCCTTGCCGACCGCAGCCGGATGTAAGGAGATCCTTCAGTCTCTGAATCTAAAGGATATGCTTTGAAACGACTGGAGCTGGAAGCGATGATCGAGGAGAAGGGAGGGGAGAACTTTCCCTGTTCACCTGTTTCAAATATCCCCCTTACAGCTGTACTCTACACCTATGTCAATCGTTTACATACCTTCCGATCCCAGCCCACCACGCAGTTACCAGCATAGCAACCGACCTGACTACTAAAGGGATAGGGAGGAAGGTTACTCGGACCACAACAAGTTTTTAAGCGCTGCTTAAAGGTCCTGTCACCGCCGTGCACAAAGTCGGCGGTATTGCCGGCGGCATCCCGGGTCTCGAGTCCCTGGCGGAAGCGACATTCCGGGGTACTTGGTCCATCCTGCGTACCCCGTCGGCGGAGCTCTATGAAGTGATCCGGTGGCTGCACCATCCCATCACCTCTGTGGAGCGGCAGGAAGCAGTCATCGCCTATCGGTCGGTAAAGACACTCGTCCTCGGCGACCTGGCGTCGGTCGACCTCCTCGCTCGGGCGCTCATGTCGTACGCCCCCGCGTCCGACTTCTCCCAGGCTGGGCTCGATAGATCGCCCTGCGACGAGTACGGGTGGGCTCATGAGCTATCCCCGGAGTTCGAGGCGCTGGTGCGGTCCGTGGAGCAGCTCGATGTTGAGGTTCTGTATGAGGCAGAGGAGAAGGGCAAGCGCAAGGCGGGACATGATCACAATGCGCGGATAAAGCTGAAGGAGTGCGTGTCGCAGCACCATACACTGTCAGAGATACGCAATAGTCTTTTCATCTAGGTTCATCATGTACATATAATCCTAAGTGCTACCCAATTGATACTGACATTCCACTACTCCCACACCGTAACCATCCGCCCGCCTTACGCCCACTTCTCACTCTGCTTCGGCTCCCCCTCCGCGTCCCACCTCGTCTCCATCCTTTACCGGTCCCCACACACGAGACACCCCAGCCCTCCGCCACCACTCTGGAACACGTACGCCTCCCCTGCACTGCCTCTGACCCTCACCGCCTCCCCATTACCATTCCACATATCGTTTCCCTTCTTCCGAGGTCGCTCGGAACCCTCCAGATACTTGTCCCGCTCCTTCTCCTTCTCCCGACGCGCCTCCGCCGACTCCGAGCCAAGGACAGCCCCCAGATCCTCCGTCAAACCCTTCGCCAGCATCGACCCCATCATCCCCAGCGCCTCGCACAATATATTCCGCCCGCGAGGAAGTTGGACCTCCCACGGTTTGCCAGTGGTGTTCCGCCAGCTGGCTTCGGCGGTATTGAAGAAGAGCCGGGTGCTGGGCGCGGGGTCGGAGAGGGGGATGATCAGAAAGAGACCGTGGTAGGTGATAGACTTGAGCGTCCAGTTCTCCGTACGGGGCTTGTCCAGCTCCGGGTAATAGTTGTAACGGATTCGTTGGATGATCTTGTTGAGCCGTTGGAATGTCGGCTCCTCGTCCAGACCACTTTCGGTAAAGTACCTGACGCAGATGTGGGACGGTCTGAGAGCGCGGAGGAACGCGCAGGGCACCCATACGTCCATGGGGTCCTTGTCCTCGGCCAGTCGCCATTGGTGGAGGAAACGAGGGGTGAATGCAATGTTTTCAACACTGGAGATGAGCTCCCAATCCGCGCCGGACTGGAACCCGCGAGCAAATCAAATGCCTCGATGAGCCGTTGTACCTGTGGATCAGCCGGACTCGTGCTGGGCTTACTCACATGTTTGGGAATGTTGGGGTTGGGCTCGGTGAGGCGGATATTCTGGGTTTTGTACCCCGTCGTGATGGCTTCCCATACCTCCTCATCCCCATTCCCCACCGTCTGAGTCTTGTTCGTCGAGAAGTGTAGGCACTCCTCGTGGAGCAGAAGGGCCTCAAAGCTTTTGATCGCCTTCTGAGCCTTCCGTGTCCTCCCCTTCAGACGTAAGGTTTCCAAGAAGAACTCCCTCTTCTTCCGGGTTTCCTCGGCGGACTTCATGACACCGCTGTCCGCCTTTGAGGCAGCTCGTTTGGCCCGGTCGCGTCCAGCTTCCCGATGGATGCGTTGGGCGCAGGTTTGGATCCGCGGGACGAGGAAAGCGACCAGGGCGGGTGATTTGCAGGAATTGGGGAGCCGGGCGAGGATCGACTCGAGGACGGCGGCGAAAAAGGCTTTGGCGCTGAGGATGAGGCATGATCATAATAGCACGAGCCATGATCAAAATAGCACATACCTGCTAGTCTCAACACTCGAAAGGTCCGGCGCCCATGACCTGATGGGCACGGCGGTGACAGGACCTCTAAGCAGCGCTTAATAAAAACTTGTTGTGGTCCGAGTAATGTCAAAGGCAAGCGAGGTGGTTCATCCCAAGTTGGATTTACTAATGAACGATTAGCTGAATTAGCTTCCGCTAATGGTAAAAGCGATAACGTGAGCGTCCTCGGGGGGCCCCACGCCGACTGCGACTCTGCGAAGGTGGAACGAACAATAAATTCAGAGCGATGCAGAGCTGTCCTCGGCTCCACTACACCTGACCCCACCCCGTAGCGCACCGCTCGACTCATACAGGCCTACTGGTACAGACACAGCCCTCGCGCTCACCTGGAGCATTCATCTTATTTCAGAGATCGCGAGCTTGCCCGAGCACCCTCGCCCATCTCTTTCACCATTCCACTTCGACGTCCGCCCAGCATGGGCGTCAACTCGCCTTTACCCAGTAGGTGCCTTCCCATCTCACTGGAGGCGTCATAATATGTCATCAGGGCTGACCAGCTTAGCCAGGCTCCAGGACGAATCCAGAAAGGCTGCCAAGATCAGTACGCTGATTCTGCCTTTGCATGTGCGATGGGAAGACCAGCTGACAAGGCGCAGTCCGGAGCTTCGTCGACAGCCAGAACAATGGTCTGGACAAGGTCGTCCCTCAATCCGTCCTTCAGAAAGCAGCTGGTTTTGCTATCTTTACCGTTTTCAAGGCCGGCTTCTTGTTCTCAGCGAGGGCGGGCTCCGGGGTTGTTATTGCTCGCACGCCAGACGGAAGTGAGCTGACCTGCCTTCGACGAACCTTTCACAGGCTCAAGCTGATATCTATAGGCTGGTCACCGCCGAGTGCTATTGGTCTTGGTGGATTTGGTTTCGGAGGGCAGCTTGGAGCCGAGTGGGTCTTAGCTTTTGCTGCTGTAAAACGCTATCCGAGCTGATGAGATAGGGTCACAGACTTCCTCATTGTCTTGAATGTACGCTGACAGCTGGCCCTGTAAAGTGACTTTGATGCTTGAGCTGACCTACCAGTCGACTGCTGCCGTCAAATCCTTCATGGCCGCCGGCTCCCTCACTCTCGGCGGCAACCTTTCCGTCGCGGTCGGTCCCCTCGGGCGCAATGCCGAGGGCTCCGGAGCTCTCAATTCCAAAGGCAAAGTCGCCGCGATGTACTCTTACTCGAAAACAAAGGGACTTTTCGGCGGCGTCTCTGTCGAAGGCTCGATCATTCTTGAGCGGCAGGACGCAAATCGGCTTGCGTACGGCGGCAATCCCACAGCCAAGCAGATCCTCAGCGGAACATTCGATGCACCAGACTGGGCACAGGAGCTCATTGATGGCATCGAGAGATGTACGGGACTACCTGGTGGACAAAAGTGGCGGAGCTGGGACGAAGAGGGAGAGGGCGGAGGGATGGGGTACGGGCACGACAGCCCCACAGGGGAGAGGAGCGGGTATGTCTTTGGGGAGGGCGTAGGCGGGCAGGGCAGCCCCAATTCCAAGCCGACAAAGGAAGGTCGGAGGCGAGGAGCGAGCGTAGGCGTATTCGACCAGCCGGTTCAGGCGGCAAGGCCTAGTCCGGCCAAACGGACCTCATCGTTCAATCCTTTCGGATCAGGCTCGTCTTCCCCGAAACGGTCTCCTGCTGTCTCTGGGATGGCGTCGAGCGAGGCGTACAATGCTGGTCTGACGTGGGACTCGGACGGGCCTATGGCGGCGTACGGGAACCGCTCAAGATCCGGCTCTAGCGCGCTGAGACCGGCGATCGACCTCGAGGGGCGCGCGAGGAGCTACTCGGATCCGAAAGCCCGGCGGGGACCGAGGAAGGCGGATGAAGGGTTGCTGGCGGATGAGAGCGAGCTGCGGGACGGGGTAGGGAAGGACCTCAATGCGACATGGGGACAGGCGGACGATCGAGGTCTGTCGAGCGCTTTCGGGCGGCTTCGGGCCAGTACGGTTGGAAGTAACGGGAGTGGGAGCCGGTCGAGATCAAACTCGAAACCTCCATTACCCAGCTTTGAGGAGGACGAGTACACGCCGTACGAGACCGAGTCGAAGTTTGCTGCTCGGTACGGCGGCGGTAACGGATCGTCCTCCTCTCCCCGCCGAGTCAACCTCAACGAGGACACCGACCCCTTCGGCGGCGAATCGTCTACCTCCGGTCTTGCTTTCGAGGCATACACACAACCCACTCGGCCATCCCATTCCCGCAATACTTCGTCCTACTCCAGTCCGAACCGCCGTACTTCCACCCCACCTATCATCACCCTCAAACCAGGCCTCACATCCGGTCTCCCAGAGACAGGCTACGCCCGCGCCATAGCGCTCTTTGATCTCCCGGCCGGTCAAGCTGGAGATCTGGCGTTGAAGAAGGGAGGGGTGTTGTTCGTGATGGACAAGGTGGGCACGGGAGGTGAATGGTGGCGCGGGATGAATAGCAGTGGGGAGGCTGGGATCTTCCCGGCGAATTATGTAGAGGTGGTGGAGATTCCGAAGGAGCTCAAGGGGGGTCTGAGCAGGGGAGAGCTGAAGAAGCGGGTGCCGGGATTGGACTTTGAGTAGTTAGGACAGACGATCAGCTTGTACACGTGGAACGGAAAATGATGGCTTCACAGCGCACTCGGTGACCGGCAGGTACTGGGTATCATCGTGCATACAACTTGCTATATACTCTACTCGAGCCTCCAATTCTCTTGCGAGTGTCCACTCGCGACAGCCGATACCACTACTTTTGCCAGACTAGAATAGACAGTCGGTGATTCCGCAGCAGAGCATACCAGCACAGCACGCGGCTGTCCAATCAGCGACGGACATATCGACGTCGCCTGTAGCGCTTGAGCTTACCTAGGCATCCCGCACCGCCGGCACCGGCCGCACCTCCAGGTCTGGACTGCTGAACGACGTAAGGCTGAGGCTGTTGGCTTCCGTAGCCCATTGGCTGTTGACCGCTATGGACATCAGTCACAGCCCTTCTGCGCGTACCAGCCCGAGCCACACTGCCAGGACAGCAGCTGAGCCACTCACTAGTATCCCTGGCCCTGTCCTTGGCCCGGCTGCCCGTACCCGCCCCCATAACCACCCTGCCCGCCCTGCTGTTGCTGCGGCTGCCAGTTCTGCGGGATCTGGGCCGAGGGGTACCATTTACCATCGGAGGCCTGGTACATCGACTGGCCGCCTTGTTCTTGCTATGAGGAGTCAGCTGGGAATGTCGGAAGGAGCAAGCGAGGCAGTCAGACTCCCGAGGGGGATGCAAGACGCCCTCTCCAGCTCCGGGGATGGGGTGTTTTATGGGGCTTGAGCGACTTACAGTTGGGTAATTTGGCTTGTTCATTTCTGCTGATGCTTTTCTGTGGTTTAGGAGCTGCTGGGATGGATGTGAGAGCTGTGAAGAGTGTGAGGGTGAGATAAAGTAGGAGAGTAGATGTTGTGGGTGGCGATTGTCAGTCCAGTTCATCAGCCCAGCTGCGGCGCCAAGCCAAAGCGTAACTTTAAAACAGCTGTGTCAGTTTGATTCCGCTCAGAGACTGCTGAGCTCAGCCGATGCGGAGACATGGGAGATGCATGCTGATCGTGGCATACATAACAACCGCATACAGCTGCAGATGCCTCCGCAGTACTCAACGGGGCGAGGTGTGGTGCGGTCTACCCGAGGGCGTTTGAGTAGGGTGGTGGCAAGAAAAGGATGGGAAGAGGGGATCGACGGGCGTATGCGCGATTTTCCGATCAGAACAGGCAGTCGAGGCAGCAGCAGCAGGCGAGACCGGCGACTACGAGAGTCAGCTCCGATAAGATACGATGGAAGATTGGAATCGCCATTCGTCCCTCTCTGGCCTTTTCGATACTTCTGCCCTTCCAATATGCCCTGCACTGGGGACCCAGCTCTCCCGACGAGTGGCGCACAAAACCGTCACTCCCGATACTGGAGCGATTTATCACTCACAGAGCCCAGCACACAGTCCTCCACCACCTCCTTTATCCTGGTCCCTCTGCTGTTCGACGTAGACCACCTGCGGCTGCCCATTCGGCTGCTGCTGGCCGTACTGCTGCTGCTGCTGCATCTGCGACTGGTTCCCGCTGACTGGATCAGCTGACCACCACTGACAAACAGAGCGATACTGATCAATCGATCGATCTTGGCTTACTAGAAGCTGTTCGCATGTCCATCCATGGCCGGAGGAGGCGGGGCTGTACTAGCACCGGGCATGGCTGAGGTGGGATACCACTGGCCATCGCTCGCCTGGTAGTGTCCATTGGCACCGCCGCCGTTTTGCTAGGTACATCAGCTCTACTTTCTTCACATTTCATCTCCGCCTGGGCGATGCCTGGGGGTGCAGCTGGGAATCAGGGGGAAATATACCTGCGGGGGAGGAGGGTACTGCTGCTTGTTATCCATCTTTGTCTTTCTTCTTTTCTGACGAAACGGTGCAAAGTTGAAGTACAACGCTGAGATGCATGCTGTCCTCGAGTTGTCTTGGGGTACATCGGTGCTATACCTGCCAAGAATAGCGCGGCATACATAGGGGAGGACGCATCAAAGGACGAGGAAAAAGGTCGACTGGCCTAAACGCGTTTTAGGTTCAGTGAGGGATTACCGCTTTGGGCCACCTGAAACAAAGGGGTCGAATTGGCGCCGGTCACTATAGTCGCTGACAGTACTGACATGCGAGACTGATTGCTGTCGCCGCTCGACAAGCACTCATTGACGATTCAGAAAGTATATCTGCTAGCTATACGCACAACGGTTCTTTAATGACAAGCGAGCGAAACATCTCCCAAGACTCCCTCTCTCCCTTTGAACCGCGCAGCCCAAATCACACACGACCACCTCGCGCCCCTTCGCCTCTCGGACTGGACGGCCCCGGCGCCCCACTCTGCATCCTCTCCTTCTCCCTATCCTCCTGTGCTCGCCTATGCCCGTCCTTCAATCCCGCCACAAACTCTTCAAACGGTATGACCTCCGAATCCGGCCTCGCAGCGCTCGCTGCCGTATACGCCGAGCTGTGGCTCGTGTCCGACAGATACCTGCTCCGTACGCCTTCCGTATAGGATGTGTACTGCTGTTGGAGCCGGACGGATTCAGAGGGGGATGGCAGAGGAGAGGGGTGCGTAGCGGATTCAGGTCGGGCAGGGGAGGGCGTGGTGGCATCATACTGAAACAAGGGGCTGGCGGTGATGGGGGATAGACCCGGAGGCGCGAGGGCAGGGGAGGGCTTGCGTCGGGTAGAGATGGCGCGCGGCATCTCGGCAGGGAAAGCGCTGGGAGGGGGTCGACTACCGAGACGCAAGGGCTGGGTTCCGCTCTTCCCGGGTATGTCAGCGCCGGCGCCGTAGACTGCGGCAGGGACAGCAGGGGCGTCCGGTTCCGGACGGAAAATATGGTCTGTAGGCGCAGATCGACCCGTATGCACCGACTGCATATCCCCATATTCCAGATCCCGCACGGACGGCGGGGCGGCCACGACGGACAGGACGTCCGAGAAGGAGATGGAAGTCCGACCGGAGGGCCCGTCCGATGGTCTGAAGCGCGCAAACGGGTGGGCATCGCCTTCGGACCGATCCCTGTCGGACAGGGGTAAAGAGGAGGAGAAGAGCGGGGAGAAGCCCGGATCGGAGGGATAGTGGCTGGTCGTACTTTGGATGTTTGCCCGGGTGGCGGTCGCCTTGCTCCAGTAGGCTAGCTCCGCCGCGCTGACGGAGGTGGGACTGCCGACGGAGAAGGGTGAGGTGACGCTCATGCCGATATCTCCCTCCTTCTCGTCTGGAATCGATCCCAGCGTAGGGGAGACGGGCGAGGGACTGGGTTGGCCAAGGAGGAAGTGAAACGGCTTGAGGAAGCTCGATTGCGCCGATCCTCGTCTAGGACTGGGCGCGTCGCTCCCTGGTCGCGACGCGGTCTTATCGACGGCAAAGCCAAATGGCGAGTACGCGGCGGAGGGGAGACCCAACGTCAGACCGGCGCTGTATAGCGCGTCTGAGCCGTCCTGCCCGGACAGCGCCGAGTGGGGATAGGACGTCAAGGCGCTCCGCCGATTCCTGTCCCGCTCGGTAGCGCTGAGCCGCTTCAACCCTTCTTCGTACGTCACCATCCCGTCCTCCCCCATCGACCGAGCACTGAGCGGAGGCTGGAGGCTGTATCGCGACCCGGGCGGTTCGGGCGCATAATAGTCCTTCTCGGCCATCCCGGAATGGGCGGAAAGGGCATCGCGCCCATAGTCCAGGTGCGAGGCCGGGAAGCTCTGCATAGACTCGTGGTGCCGCAGAGCTTTGTGGGTGGAGGTTGAGCCAGCCGAGGCGCGCCGACATGTGCTTCGACGCCGACGGCGGACGAGGAAGAAGATTGCGAGGCCGAGGAGGATGAGGGCGAGAAAGGGGATGACGGCGAAAGTGACGATCTTGCCTGCGAGCGTGGAGAGGAAGGGTTGGGCGGTGTTGCTTCTGCTTTATCAGTCTTGCCAGATCGTATGGTGACGGTGTACCACAGCGAGGGCGAATCAGACTTACAGTAAAGCAATTTCATCCTGACTCGGTGTGAGCACCACAAAGTCCAGCGCCATCCGCTTGTCCTCGAGATTGGTCATGACCACCTTGGACTCGCGGGAGGGATCGAGCCCAGTACGGAACCATAGGAGTTGATATGTAGATGACCAAGTTGCCTACCCCGTCAGCTAAGTTCCCAGCGACCAACCCAAAGGATGGAAGAGCTGACCGAGAAATTGAGCGATAAGTCCACTATCGCGTCGTCCAGCGAGATCGAAGCGGAGCTATACCCTGGTCCTGTGTTCCCATACAGATAGATTGCTGATCCTATCCCGTCAGTCTCCATCCCCTCAATCTGGCCTTTATGACGTACCTTTCCCCGTAAACTCGACCGCCGAGCCTTTACCGCCCGTACCCGCCAACGTCCTATTCCCCGCGCCCGATACCCCTTCCTCCATCGTCCAATCCCCCACATACTTGAGCTCCGCCCCCGGTCCTCCCTTTCGCGCACTATCAATAGTCACATTTCCCCAGCTCGGACCGTCATACGGCCTCGTACCGTCCACACCCCAAAACGAGACCTCTTGCCCCGTCTGCAGCGCGTTGAAGGTATATTGGAGCTGATGGATCCCGCGCGGGAGGTTCTGGAGGGTGATGCCGCTGGCGGAGGTGGGGCAGGCGGGGACGGGGGCGGAGCCGTTCAGCGAGAGGGTGGAAGTGCAGTTTGCAAAGGAAGGAATGAGGAGGGTGAGGGATGTCGCTGCACGTCAGCGTAGATCTTGAAGTGGGATAGAAGTGGCGAGAGGGGCGTACCGGTGATATCAAAGGTGATGGCTGCACCGCTCTGAGAGGCAAGGTGCACGGTCGAGTCCCACCCGTCGCTTTGAAGCGCGTAGCCTGTGTTCCATGCGGATGGGTTTATGCCAGAGTAGTGGAACATGGGCGAGCTGGGAGATCAGCCTGATTTCACAGTACAGCTGGCCACCGGACTGGACTCCCTTGGACCTGAGAGCAGCCCTAAATTGCCTTCCTGGTGATGGAGGAAGCTCACCTATCCGAAAGGAAGAAGCTAGTAAGCGCTGGCGCGTTCTGCCGCTTGCCGAACCGATCAGCCCCGGAGTGTCGCGAGCGCGTCATATCAAGCATGATGGCCTCTTAGTAGACACGATGAGGTGAGTGTATGTGAAAGATGACAGGCAGACGCGTAGATCAGTCCTTCGCCCCACCAGAGTGAGCAGTGTTGACTGGCATGGCCTCGGCGGTAACCCAAAAACCAAAGCCAGAGAGCTGAAACGTCCCAAAAGGACCGAAGGATGACTTTAGCGATAGTGAAGGATGGCATGTCCGCGTCATGGCCGCGTGAGTCAGTATACGATGTAGCCCGCGTCGATAGCAAGGACGTCCGGACTGCACACAAAGCTGTCCCTTCCGATCGCTGGCAGATAGACTTCAGCGCCGCGCGACAGCGATGGATGCGAGCCGAAAGGCGGTCGTTCCGCGCCGGCGCCCTTCCTCGCTACGCACTGCCCGAGCACCCTCCCTCCCACGGCCGGCTCCGAGGCGATGAACGTGGAAGGGCTGGAAGCGCTGGGGCAGAGCCATGCAGTGGGGAGATGTTACAGTCGGCTGAAGTGAGTAACCGGTGGCGCGTGTTGATTTCCTTTCCCCACACGACGTTGCTGGGGTTAAATGACGTAACTCTTGGATAGTTTGGTGGGGAAATGTCAGGCACGGAACCGTGCAGCGTGGGGCAACTGGATTATGATGGGGCGCACCCAGCCTCTCTATGCTATTCATAATATCCTTGTTCTCACACCAGCCTCCTGCTGCATTATATATACCTCACCCTCGCCCCTCATCCTTGCACGAACCCTCACTTACGACCACCACTTCACCGCACGAGATAATCGCTCAGACGCAGCTCTCCAACGCCACGCCCGGTCAGACGAGCGGCCTACATCACCCCCATCAGACCCCTACTGCGAGGCCTAAATATACGAGCCACTCGCTCTCTCTACTCAGCATTACACATCCTCTCAAACTGTACGTTCACTGGCAGTACTGCTACAAGCATCTGAAAAGGCACTCCGCTGACCCCCACAGCTACATTCCTTTCATACCCCATACCGCATTCCCTGCTCAGACGACCAGCACGGACCCCCTCCGTCCCTCCATCTCCCCTTCCAAATCCTTCAAACATGTCATTGTCCCTTCGTACCGAGACGCCTGCCTCATCCTACTCCCGCCGGAACGCCGGCTGGTCGCCCGAGACCTCCCCAACCTGGTCCGAAGAGAGCGAGTCTGACCAAATGGACTTTGAGTCTGATCTTCATCCCGCGCCCACCCCAACATCCCCCTCTTCCACCTCGGGCAGCATGAGCGCCCCACTCTCCAACGCCCAAGCCTCATCCTCCGCCTCCGCGTCCTCGGCCGGCCCATCCCGCTTCGCCTCTATCACCCCATCCAGCATGTCCCCAACCCCCAGTGGCTCCTCCCACCCGTACCGCGGTCACTCGCAGACCAGCCGACCCGCCTCCCGCACGCCCAGCGTCAGCCCCCCCAAGGTCAATCTCCCCAAGTCGCAGCCGCTGTCCAGAGCGCTGTTTGCCAGGATGGCCATGGCCGAGATTCCCCACGCGGGCATGTCGAATAGTGCGAACGGAGGAGGGATGAAGAAGGTGCCGGGGAAGCAGAAGATGATTGTGGCTACCAAGCCAATGCGGACGACGTTTGAGCTGGGGTTGACATCGAGCGAGTTGGCGAGGCGGGCTTAGCTGAGCGGGAGTGGCAGGCGAGGCGGAAGAGAGGAAGAGAAGCGAGGGAGCAGAGAGGGAAGAAGCCGAACACAAAGTGTACTATCGACTACCATGACCACCACGACATCCCAACTCCCCCCACGACCACCCATGCATCCCTCATACACGGCGAATCACAATGTCTATAATCGATCAACATTGAGGCGAGGAATGGCGGTTGGCAGGGGGACGCTTGATGAGTACGTGATGGGGTTGGGGTTTGGGGTTTGGGGTTTGGGTTGGACCACGTACATAGATAGTTAGCTAGTGACTGCTTGTTGTAGATAGTAGACAGACCAGACTGGGTAGATTACACGTCCCCATTTGTATATAATATGCATATAGATCAATCGATACAACAACGGCAAACGACAGTTTGAGCTGATAGGTAGAAGGGCTGATGACTATCCCAACTCATCGGCGTCAGGACTATCCCATAGCTTGTGCGGCGTCCTTCGGGGGCCTAATCATCTGGCTGAAAGTGACCAATCTGTCCATCAGCCCTGGACTTGACAATTCCCCCAGTGAGACTTACCGCTTAACAGCCTGGATCCACTTTCTGCTGACCTCGTCATTCAGCACATGCGCCACCACATCCTCCGTGATCTTTTCGCGCGCGCCTCGCTCGTGCAGTCCCACCGAAGTTACTCCAATAGGCCACGCAGCGTTCCCGATGGACAGGCGGAGGTAGGCATCGTTTGCACGCTGATATTGCCGTTGTTGGACGTGATGGCATAGCTCGGCTAGCTTGTAGATGAGGTCTGGAGGCATATCCTGGCATGTCAGCCGAGGCCGAGGATCCGCGATCAACCGACTCACTCGTGACCGGAGTTGCTTGAAGAGAGGCTTCATGTTGACTCCCGACTGAACCTGCGTCGCGAGCGCCACCTTGCCCGCTGTTGTCCGCTTGATATCGTCCGGTCGGGCCTCCATCCAATCTTCCCACTCCTTATAGATGTTCTTTGCCGTCAGCTGGTTGGACCCCACCTCCGGTCACACCACGGCCAGCTGAACTCACTTTGAACGCCCAGTACACCAGCGGATAAGCCTTATTCAGATCCGCCTTGATCGCGACCATATCAATCGCATCGTCTCCCCTCTTCACCTCCTTCTCCCCCTTTGCCTCCTTGTCCTTCTCAGCCCCCTCCCCTTCCGCCTCATCTACAGCTTTCCGCTTCTTCCCAGCCCCAGCCCGCTCCGCATCCCTCTCCAACAGCCCCGCCTCCACGCCCTTCAACGTCCGCCAGAACGCGTCCGCCTTGACGCCCGTCCCTCTATCGTCCGCGCCGAGCTCTATAGCCCGAAGTCGCGCGCGCCGGTCCTTGTCATCTTCGCCAAATAGGCGGACGGGGTGGCCTCGTGCCCGAAGACGCCGGGTCGTCTCGGCGGGCGTTATTTGGTATTCTTTATCCTTGGCCTGGTCCGGCTCGGGCGTGCCCGTAGCCGAGAGCGCCGAGCTACCGGTACCGGGGGTAGGAGAGCCCGCTATCCGCGTGACGGCGGCATTCCGAGCTGACTCTACCTATCAAAGTCAGCTTGAATCCGACCCTCTCTAGCCGATCAGGACGTCATAACTTACTTGCTTAGTAGAAGGAGCACCTCCCTTCTTCGCAGCCCGCTCCTCTTTCTCTTTTCGCAACTTCTCCCTAGCCGCCTCCTTCCGTACCCTCTCTTCCTCTTCTTTAGCAGCCTCGACCTCGGCGCGGCGCATGTACTTCTTGGGCCCGGCGGAGGAGGGACCAGCAGCGGCGTTCGCTGGAAGCTGGATCGCGGCTTTCTTGGCCTCAATCTCAGCTAGGAGGGCGTTCATCCTGATCTGCTGCTTATCGGAGTCGGTAGTGGGGTATACGAAGGCAGATATGAATAACAGACGAAGAGTATAGGATGGCCTGAAATCTGAGTGAGGTGGTGGTGGACATCCGGAATTTCCCGTTCTGGCAATTCCACTCTGGCAGTGATGGAATGAACCTCGACCCAACGTTAACCTTCATCTCACCTTCACCTTTCACCTTCATAAGTTGGCTAGCTATACCGCTGCGGCTCAGCTGATAGTGCTCATTCGATAGCTAGCTGGACAGTTAGAGAACCCTTTCATTGCGATTCCGGTGCTAAGATGGCGAAAGGTGAGCTTGGCGTCCTTGCCGCACTCTACGACTATCAGAGAGGGGCGCTCTTAACGGTCGTCTGACCCGCGTCACTTCCGGACGCCCTGCTTATCTCTCTAAGAAGAGGGTCGTGGACTCTCCTTTTACGGAAGAGAGCTCATACAGCAGTTCCTCGCAGTTTCCGCCTCCTCTCGGAGCTCGAGCACGGCGAGAAGGGTATCGGAGATGGATCCTGCTCCTACGGTCTGAGGGTGAGTCTGGCCAGATCACTCTTCTCACCGTCTTAGAGCAGCCGAAAATATGTTCATCCGCACTGGAGAGGGAGCTGATGCTATAGGACTCGGACGATATAGCAATGTACGAATGGAATGGGACGATTCTGGGCCCTCCTCATTCCGCATACGAGAACCGGATCTTCTCGTTGTCAATCTACTGCGGAGATCGGTATCCTGGTACGTTTGGTCTGTCTCGCTGGTGAATTATCAAGCAGAGATGTACTGGGTTTCATTGGTGGTCCGAAAGATATCACCTAAGGTTGGGTTTAAGATTGGCGCGAGGCGGCACAAGTAGGGCGGCTCTGTCGGTATGAGATTTGAAAGCAAGGTTAGGAATTGGGTCGGAGGAGGACGTGGGATGATTTGTTGTCCGGAGAAGTGATAGCAGCTCCAGGTGTCGATACTTGCGGTCCTGCCGCCTCGAAAATTCATGAGTGTTGGACCATACTGACTGAGCAGATATGCCCCCTTTGGTCAAATTCGAATCCAAGATCAACCTCCCCTGCGTTAGCCCACAAGGTTTGGTGAGCTGTTCTCTTCACATAAAATCGGTGCATAAGGAACCGAAGCTTACAACTGTAGGTGGAATTCGCCCGTATCCCCTCGCTCGCGAACTGGAGACGCGACTTTACGCTCGAGACTGTTCTCGTTGAGCTGAGACGGTACGTCTATATTCTCTCGATCCCCCATACATGGACTGCTCGCCGCGAGCTGTGTAGCGGGTACCACTTGAAGATTAGAGCTGATGAGCGCAGCGACATGAGCTCCCCACCCAACCGGAAGACGGCACAACCACCAGAGGGCGCCGAGTTCCCGCCAATGGACCTGTCCAACCTGGCCAAGCAGCGCAGGATGTGAGTAGGCACAACGCTAGGAGTGGATGAGGAGGGACGAATCGATGGCGTGGGATGTCCAGATATGCATGATACAATACGTTCACGCCTCAGATAACTCGGGTCGTCTTCTCACTTCTGCGCCGCCTCGATATGCTCAAACTCGCCCTCCTGCCACCCCGGCAACCCCTTCATCTCGCCCACCCAAGTCTTGACCGCCTCCCCGCCCGCCTCCTCCGTCTCCCACACCTTCTCCCTGGATTCGGGCGCGAACTGCGTGCTCCACATATACCACCCAAACACCGCTGCGTCCGCATGCGAAAAGTCGCCGCCGATAAACTTCTTGCCTTGGCTCGCTTGGTATTTCAGCATATTGTTGATGAGACCCAAAGACTTGCGAGCGGACGCGAAGCGTGCAGACGAGATCTCGGGGTCGTGTGAGTCTGCAAGGGCCTTGGAGGCGCCGTCGGCGTTGGAGAAGCGGGAACGGGCAAAGTAGTCGTAGGATGCCGAGTCGGGGGGTATACTTGCGCAGGTCTGAGTATCAGCACAGTACCATGAGAGAGCTTCGGATCGATCTCGACATACCCTTGGCCTAACAATAGCGCCGAGGTCAGGAGCGAGTACAGTGTCTGCCCAGAAGTTGACAAAGCGGCAGAACTCCCTCCCGCCTACACCGTGCAGGAAGAGGGATTTGCCCTTGGGCAGGGCGTGCGTCCGGTCCAGCTGAGATGTCAGCTACCTTTCTCTTCAGAAAGAACCTATTGCCGCGACTCACGTAGAGCGCAATTTCGAACGAGTCTTTGAGCCATTCCCCCTCCGCATCTTTCAGTACGGGTACCAGGATCTTTTCGTCCCCCAGCTCCTTGGCCAGGTCCGTCCGAATCCCATCGAATGTCCTCGGGTCTTCCTTGTAGTTGACTCCTAGGTATCTGGACATGTATCAGCTTGAAGACCGACGATCCACTATTACCCCTTTCTGGACGCGGGTCGCCCAACGCGGGCCCACGCAAAAGGCCTTTAAAGGTGGAACAGGTAAAGACAGGCGCGACCTACCTCAGCTCGATAATCGTCTTCCAGACAAAAGGGGAGAGCTGCACCGGCGCGTCTTCTCTATTGACGAGCGATACGAGCGTGTACGCTTGGTCTCCTGTAGGCGCTTTCATGTTTGCTTCGGGCGAGGGAGTGCAATGTGCGAGTCAAGAGAAGGGCAGGGCACAGGTGGCCGTATGCCGGGCGGGGAACCGTCGGATATCGGAATCGCGTATAGCCGCTTGGGCGCTATATCAGAGCGTCCGAGCTCCTGCATTTGACTCTGCTCTTCATAGATAGCTACAACAAGAAAGCATAGCCGCTAGGCAATAGAGATACCGCAGCCCTATACACCAATAGCAGCTAGCCATTTCCTCGGCCCATCCGCACTTCCTCCTCTTCCAAAGGCTCCTCCACCTCCGCCTCCGCCTCGACCGCCCTTCTGCCCCCCGAACGCAGAGGGGATGAGCGGGCTGGCGGACGCTGCTGAGGCTTTTCTGTTCCTGCTTGATGCTTGGACTAGCGGATCAGCTTGAAGGCCTCGAGGGGCGCGAGATGCTTGGAGTGTTTGGCCGGAGCAGAGGAGGCTCACCACATTGGCTGATCTCGTTGATATTGGTCTCTAGTACCAGTCCGCCTTGTATTATCTCGGACAGGACGTGGTGTACCTTGCTGTCAGCTTGAGAGAAAGGGCGGTACGTTGGGACAAGCTCACTTCGTCAAAGTGGAAGATCAGGTCGAGCTCGCATACGTTCTCGAATGACCGGTCGAGCGACTCGACAAAGACCTGTCAGTATGTCAGCCGGAGTCACAGATGGTACTCTGTGAAGACGGAGCGACGCGATCAGTATAGCCGCGAGAAGGTGTCCATATCGGGGCCATAGCGAGCAGGGGCAGCGAGCAGGGGCAGGCTTACCTGGATCAGATCCAAGATACCGAGCTCCGATTCAGCCTCATCCACAACGAAGCTGCATAGCATCAGCTATAGCGCTCTACTGGACCGCATGAGGCTCCACCGACAGGAACACTCACACAAAGTACAGCGTCGCATAGTGCCGATAAATCACCCTTGCCTCATCCTCCCTCCTCCCCAAATCCAGATCCCCCTGCTTTCCCTTTCCCTTCCCACTCGGGTCACTCCCGCTAGAGCCCGGTGTGGGGAAAACGAGATCAGGCGCATCGAGAAAGTTGCATACTCCGGCTGGACGGTCGGAGATCAGTGAGAAGATCTGGGAGATGAGGGATTGCTGGACGAGGGGGGAGAGGGGGGTGTAGAACTTAGATAGGCGGGGCTTGCCTGTACTGTCAGCTGCGATTTAACAGCTTGAGCGGGAGGACGGTACCTGCTGTGTTGAATATGAGGACTGCGTGGATCATGTTGGTCAGTAGATAGTGGGTGAATGAGCGTTCATATCGTCGCCGCAGCGGTCGGTGTTGTCGGTCGACTCGGTGTGAACGGAGTTGAGCGGGTTGGCGAGTTAACGTTTAACCGAGATTCAGCAAGACTTTGCTCGGGCATGATCTTGCAGCTGACTTTGCCTCTTATCTTTCAGTCAAACCCCATCGCAGCTAAGCAGTCTCATTATCAGTCCAGATTCGGTGAACTACCACCGACTTCATAATCAAAATGGGCTACACACTCGCCGTCCTCGGTAGGTACACCTCACCGGCCCAATTCGACTCGACCATCAACTATTAGCTGACATCCCTAGGATGCGGTACCATGGGCGTCGCCATCCTCTCTGGTGTCCTCTCGTCTCTCGAGTCTCGCCTGGCAGCTCCCGCGCAGCCAAATGGTACTGGCACCCACGAGCCCGCGTCGGGTATCTCGACGCCCACGGCGTCCATGTTCCTAGATGCGCCAGACGAGACGCTGCCCTCCAAGTTCATAGCGACGGTAGGCCGGGAAGAGACAGGACGGAAGTTGCGAAAGGTGTTTGCTGCGCTGGGCGGTAGGGGTGAGAGCGTGGAGGTCAGAGCGGGAAAGGGGAACGTGGGGGCTGTGAGCGAGGCGGACGTGGTTCTTATCTGGTCAGTCGTGCCATATGAGCACAAAGAGCAGGAGCTGAATCTCTAGCTCGAAGCCGCAGGTCGCGCGCCAAATACTCGAAGAGGAGGGCATGTCAGAGGCTATCTCTGGCAAGCTTGTCATCTCCATCTGTGCAGGTGTGACTTTGTCGCAATTGCGATCATGGGTTCCTAAAGACACGGAGGTCGTCCGAGCCATGCCAAATACCCCTTGCAAAGTAAGTCCGTCTTGCACAGGCATGCCTGTTTCTGAGACCCTGCAATCGAATCATAGTCCGCTGCCTATCTGACCGTCAGATCCGCGAAGGCATGACAGTCGTTACTCCACTCGAATCCGCCCACACCCGCGCTCTCCTCCTCGCCATTTTCACCTCCTGCGGCCGCTGTCGCTTCTTGGACGAAAAGCATTTCGACGCATGTACAGCTCTGGCGGGCTCAGGTCCGGCGTTCGTTGCGCTAGTGTTGGAGGCGATGGCGGACGGTGGTGTGATGATGGGATTGCCAAGAGCGGAGGCGTTGGAGCTTGCTGCGCAGAGTGAGCTCGCCGTTTCTTGAGTCCGTAAGGAAGGGATGGTAGCTGACTGGATAGCTATACAGGGTACAGGACGGATGGCGCTGTATGCGGGATTACACCCTGCGCAGCTGAAAGATAGCGTGACGAGTGAGCTTTACCGACCTGGCCGTTTGCGATAGGGGATGAAGCTTATTCGACAGCTCCTGGTGGATGCACCATTGCTGGTCTCCTGACAATGGAAGACGGCAGGGTACGGTCGACGATGGCTCGTGCTATCCAGGTGGCGACCAATCAGTAAGTATTCGTAACAGGAACCTCCAGGTCGAGGCTGACTCTCAGCGCTTCTGGTCTGGGACAAGACAAGAAGTAGTGCCCGTCACTGCGATCTTATATCTGAGATGTATCTGCTTGTTCCAAGTCGGCCGCGACTGCGACCGCGTCCTCCCCGGTCGAGGCCATCTCATGCGACTCCAAGTCCGTCTCTGAAGCGCTAAGTGGTGCATCAACAGGTCGTAGCGTCGTGTACCGCCCCCTATCCCCTCCCGTACCGCGTCATGCCGTCCCGCTCTGTCCCCGCATCCACTCCTCCACGCCCACTTTGACCCTCTCCGACACGCTCTGGAAGCTATCCAGCGCCGGCCGCACATCCAACGAGAACACCGGCATCCCGTCCTCGTCCTTCCCTGCATCATAGTAGTCAATGACATAGCGTGTCGTCGATGTCCGCGTCGCCGCTGCGAACGGTGATGGCGCCGATGGCTGAGCGGGGTTTGACGATGATGCCTGGGTTTGGTGATTGATGAATTGGGCGGCAGGGGATTGCTTGACTGGCTCGGCAGTCCCGTTTGGATCTGGCCGGGTGACGATCCAGTCGTGCCTGTCAAAGGGGGGCTCCGTGTTGAACATGGAGGGGAAGACTTTGCCCGCCCAGAGGTGCATCCGTGCTTTTGGCGAGAGGTCGCCTGGTTTCCCCTCGAACCGTGCCAATTGTGCATGTTCACCTCTGAACAGTCAGCGCCGCCTCTAGTAGTAAATCGCAAAACAGAAAACTCACCCAGGTAAACGCTTCTCCCAGGCCATGACCTCCTCCCATGCCCGCTCATTCAAAAAGTTGTGGATCGCCACCACCATCTCTATACTCTCTTCTGGCGTCTCCCATCCCTTCCTGACCAATGCATTGTAGAATTGCTGCGGCGACGGGTACTCCCACTTCCCATCATGCCTATCCTCTGGCAATAGGTCCTCCCCGTCCCCTACATGCTGCGGGCGGGGGATGGACGAGACCTCCCGCTCAGTAGGCAAGTCCAGGACCTGCCCCGGCGCCTTTTCCGTCGCTGACAGACCGAGCGGAATCCGGTTTAGGGGGTGCAAGGCACGCTGGTCGTGCGGTATAGGGCACTCGGCGGCTTTGGCTCGCGGGATCGAGGGGGAGGGAGTGGCGGGTGTGATGGCGGGTGGGGAGTTGTGCATGGGGCATCCGGCAGGTGGGGTGCCACCTGACCGGGAGGTTGAGAGGAAGGCGGGATGGTTAGCCGGGAGGAGGGGGGTCGAGGAGGAGGACGAAGCGGTGGTACCAATGTTCCACTTCATGGTGAATCCGATCGATGAAGGGCAATTGTTTCTATGGCTTCGCCTTATATGCGAGGGGAAGCGAGCGTAAGCTGCTGTGGGTCCTAGTGTGTGAGATCGCAAGCAGCTGTTATAGCAGTGATGTGAAGAGAGATGGATGTCTGGAAAAATCAGGAAGGATCGGCGGAAAATCCCGAAGTACGGGTGGCAAACTGGTTACGTCAGCAAACAAGCTTGATTAAAACTCAAAACCAAAGTCGCGTCCGTCTTGCGCGTTGACATCCACCAACACATCCACCCAACCAGTCAGTAGCCTGAGGAGCAGACAGCGCGGAGCTACCAACAAACACATCACCTGATCCAGACTCAAGGCCCCTGCCCAAACTCCTCTCGCTATGTCCTCCAACTCCAATCCCAAACTCCGGCACTATGCCCACCTCGCCTCGCGTCTCCGTAATCTCACTGTCGCTTTGCAGGAATCAGAAGTACAGATGGACAAGCTGTCGGAGCATCTGGGGTCGATGCAGAAGATAGGTATCAACTGTGGATCACAGTGAGTTCTCATCTACTTGTTCAGGCCAAGAGGGTCGAGCTGACTTTTCAGATTCATGGCTGTATCGCGGTTATTGGATGTCGAGCTGGGCGCGGAGGACAGGCGGATGAGGGAGGAGGCAGCGAAGAAGGAAGGAGGATCCCCATGACGATCCCCGGCCGGGACCAAGAACCACACGACCAGACCGACCGGCATGACCAGAGATCGGCTCGGAGCACATCCTAAACCAGGCGGTCGTCCGTCTGCAGAGCGCCCAGCAAGCGGACGGGTCGGGAGATCGCGTCAGGCGTAGGTAGCTACATGACAGTCGTAATTTGATAAGCTGGCGGTATTTGTTGATTTAGAGACGTCAATGCAGCCGGACCTTGCCTGTCTTGAAATGGTGTCGAGCTGGGCCACAGTCGCGTGCGCGTCGAGTGCGGATCAAGATGTTGAGCCGATTGTCGTCTTCATGATTTGTCTATGTATCTACAAGTAGAGTCCATATACACGCAGTACCACTGCCCCGTTCCTCCTGGTCCAACCTTATCGATCACGCACCCCGCCCGTCAAGGGCCAAGCTACTTGATCGATCCCAATGTAATCTCCGCCCCCCTTCTCCCTGCTTGACGACCCGCCTTACCAGCCTGAACTGTCCACCCTGTACTACCAGCCCATCCTCTGACCGCCTCGTCTTCCGCTTACATGTTGAGCTGCCTACGCCGGGCGAGGGGGTGGAGGTGGAGGAAGAACTTGAAGATGAGGGGGATGGAGTGGGGAGCTCGGTCGTGGAGATCGCAGTAGGGGCGGGTATGGGTGTAGTTGACGTGTCCGTTACGGATGAAGAGGATGAAGAGGACGATGAGGATGATGCTGGCCTCTCCGGTGAGAGGGTGGTAGTCTGAGCCGCGGTGATAGTGGGTGCCGTTGCTGATGATGTTTCAGAGAATGGAACCGCCGAAGAGGACGCAGAGGATGATGCTTCAGCGGTTGAGGAAGAAGCGGGCGATGGAGTCGAGGAAGTGGTAGGAGCGGTGGAAGAGGAGGTCGTGGTGGAAGGTCTGGGAGCTGGGGGAGTGACGATATGCTGATTTCCGACGACCGAGGTAGCCTCCTTTACAGCTGTACTGGTGCTGGAGGCGGCGGTGGATTGTGCCGTGGTAACCGAGGACGTCGAGCTCCGCGCTGCGGTAGATGACGACGAGGCCGGCGCCGACTCCACGCCCGCCTCCCTCCTTCCCTCTGACCCAGCAGGCGTTTCCCCCGCATATTGATCCACGCAATTCTCCCCCGTAATTCCCCTCGGCTGACTGATCACCTGCCCCTTGTAGTCCCCTCCAAACCGCACATTCTTCCCCGGGTTCGGGAACACCGGATCCACCCCTTCCACCGTTGAACACTTGTTCACCCCTGCGTTGGCGACAAACGGAGGCGGGTAGTCGGCCGGCGACAACCCATCCCCGCCGCCCGTGACCGTGATGATGGCGCAGTTTTGATACATCTCCCGATTCCCCTGGTGGTTGAACCACGACCACGAGAATACCGCCTCGCCCGAGGGGGCCTCGGATGGAAGGACAAAGTCCATTCTGTGGGTGTCGGTAGGGCAGCCGCCCATGATGGAGAGAATGACCTGCCAGGTGCGGCCATAGTCGTAGGAGAGGGAGAGTTGACATGAGCCGCCCCGGTGGGTCGCGCCGTTTGGGCCGAGAGTAACAGATTGGGAGGAGCCCGCTGGCCAGGTCTTTTGAGATATCCGTTCCTGTCGATCAGCTTGATTATGCCTTGACTCAGACAGGAGACCCACCTTTGCTGGAGCAGTCATCAGGTACCCCTTGCAAGGGTATGGCAGATCATCCCCCGACCACGTCAACGGCGCCATCATGTTGTAGTTCTTGACTTCCCAGCTGACCGCAGGGTTGGCAGGCGAGAGAATGGGGAACGGGTCAATCATCTCCATGTGAGCCATGACCGATCCAGCAGCCGAAGCGAGGAGGACGAAAAGGGCGGACAAGCGCATCTTGCGGTCGAGCTTGGAGGGACGTCGGAGGAAGCGAAGAAGGGAGAGGAGGGGAGGTGCCGAAGGGCGGTGGAGCGATCGATATGATCTAATAATGAGTCTGCACAGCAGCACTCGTCAATCCAAGAACGAAGCAGAGATGAAGTAGAAGTGGTAGGTATATGAACAGGAGACGTAACTGGCAGACCTCTTGTACCTTCAGATTGCCGGAGCGGACTGACACAGAATCCCAAAAACTCCGACGACCGACGTGACAGTGGCGTCTGCCTCGCGCTTGGCAGCGGACGCGCCTTATTCTTCGAGCCATACTGACGTCGCTGCATTGCATCGAGTGCGCGGGGATGGTGTAGTCAAGCCGCATTGAGATAGCTGTGGCATGAAAATGGCCGAAAGAGTAAGTGCGAAGAAGGTGTTGTGGAGGGGTGAAAATCAGGCACGTTCGCCGGATTCGGAAATTCGAAAAATAGCCGGTTTGTCCGGGGTATTACGGCATCTTCCTGTGGCGCCTTCTTTCATGCAAAGTCTGGCCTTGTGCAGCACGCATGTTGCATCAGCTGTAGGGCTGATGACCATGCTGCGGGACAGCGGAAGGCATCGAGATGCAGCACACAACGTCTAATGCATTCCTGTGTAGACAAAATTCACAACGAGCCTTCCGGGGCGATGTTTAGCAAAGCATTCTAGTGGGTGATCTCAACAGTCAAGTCGCCCTGCGCGATCGAGTCGCTTTCCTTGACAAGGACGCGCTTGACCTTGCCGGATACGGGCGAGGAGACGACAGACTCCATCTGCGCGGATCAGCCATCTTCCCTCACGATGATTCAAGTGCCTCGGCTAGCTTACCTTCATGGCGGACAGGACGCAGAGCGGGTCACCAGCCTTGACTTCCTGGCCCTCCTTGACACGGACGTCGATGACGACACCGGACTAGGCACATCAGCAAAGTCCACAATACCGCGAGATAGTTTACTTACCATGGGCGATCCGACTGATCCGGGGTCGCTAGACGCCTTCTCCCTGCTGACGTGCTCGATAGCAGCGTTGGTGTCCTGGATGACAACGGCTCGGGTCTACTGAGTCAGCTCTAGCCTACTTCGTCGGTAGGAGCTAAGTAGCTCACCTCTCCGTTGAGCTCGAAGAAGACCTCTCGGGTACCCTTGTCGGTGTTGAGCGTACCGACCGCGAGGAGCTTGATGGTGAGGGTCTTTCCCTGCTCGATCGAGATGGTCAACTCCTCTCCGATCTCAGGCTTGCCGAGGAAGAATCGGGTCGGGACCACGCTACCAAGTCAGCACTGTCCTTCTAATTTCACTGCTTGACTCACCTCAGATCACCATACTTCTCCACGAAGCCCTGGTACTCCTCGAACACCTTGGGGTACATGCAGTAACTCGAAACATCGTAGTCTGAGATGTGCGAGCCGAATCGCTCCCTTAGCTCCTCCTTGATCTTCTTAAAGTCCAGAGGCTTCATCTCGAGTCCAGGTCGCTTGTCGATTCTCGCCTTGTCGCGAATGATGTTGGACCGCAGGGGCTCCGGGAAGCCGCCGTACGGCTGGCCGAGGTAGCCCTGGAAGAATTCGACGACGGACTGGGGGAAGTCGAGGGACGAGGCGCGGTCAATGACGTCCTGCTTGGAGAGGTTGTTGGAGACCATGAACTGGGCAAAGTCGCCGACGGTCTTGGAAGACGGGGTGACCTTGATGATGTCGCCACACTACTTATTAGCTTCACATCATGCCGTTTGTAAAGACTTACGAGCTGGTTGGCCTCAATGTACTTCTTCTTGATCTCGATCCACTGCGTACCCAGACCCAGCTGAGAAGCCTGGAATTGCAAGTTGGTGTACTGTCCACCCGGCATCTCGTGGTCGAAGACACCAGAGTCTGACGCGCGGACATTGGCCTCGAAGCACTTGTAAAGCACTCGGATCTGGGACCAGTACGAGTTGAGGGCCTGGATGTTCTCGTGCGAGATACCCGTGCCGAGACCGGACTGCTCGAGCGCAATGCAGACGGCACCCATGGCGGGCTGCGAGGTGAGACCGGAGAGGTCTGAAGTCAGCTCAAGTCCTGCCGTGACACTCACCATCGATGGCGACATCGACGACATCGGCTCCGGCGATAGCACAGGCGATCATGCTGGCGGCGGCGATACCGGCGGTGTCGTGCGAGTGCACGTGGATTGGGAGGTCGGGGTACTCCTTCCTGATCGCGCCAATCAACCTGTTTGTCAGCTTACGATCAAGCCGTCAAGGGTCTGAGACTCACATGGTGGCAGCTTGAGGCTTAAGCAGACCTGCCATGTCCTTGATACCCAGGACGTGGATGCCCTCATCGACGAGCTGCTTTGTCAAGTCGAGGTAGTACTGCAGGGTGTACTTGGTCTTCTTGGGGTTCGCGACATCACCAGAGTAACAGATGGTACCCTCGACGACACCCCCAGCCTTCTTGGCAGCGTCGATACCGAGCTTCATGTTCTCAAAGTAGTTGAGCGAGCTGATCGTCAGCCAGGCCCCCACTCGTAGACTCACTCAAAGACACGGAAAATGTCGAGACCAGCCTCGACGGCCTTCTTGGAGAACTCGTAGATGGCATTGTCGGGGTACGAGGTGTACCCGACAGCGTTCGCGCCTCGGACGAGAGCCTGGAGGGGAATGTTGGGGACGAGCTTCCTGAGGGTCCTGAGACGGTCCCAGGGGTCTTCGTACAGGAAGCGCATGGCCACGTCAAAGGTGGCGCCGCCCCAGCATTCGAGCGAGTAGGCGTTCTGGAGGGCGTGCGAGGTCTCGCGGGCAATGTTGGCCATGTCGACCGTACGCATCCGGGTGGCGAGGAGAGACTGGTGGGCGTCTCGCCAGGTTGTGTCCATGATGAGCTGAACGTCAGCCATGACCTGTCTGGACAATTCTGAACTTACACAACCCTTATAGCCCCTGATGGCCTTGGCGAACGCCTCGGGCCCTTCATTGACGATGATGTTCCTCCAGCCATTCTCGCACGGCACGCTCGTGTCGACGACCTTGCTCGAGTCGTTGTTGTCAACAATGACCGGTATCATAGCCTCGGTTTTGAGACCCGGCTCGCCCATCTGGCCCATGATCGACGAGCCATTGACGGCGACGTCTCCGAGGTAAGCGAGCAGCTTTTGCGCTCGGTTCTGCGACTGGACGAGCTTGAAGAGCTCGGGTGTGTCGTCGATGAACGTGGTCCAGGTTTTGCCGGACTCGAAGACCGGGTGGGTAAGGAGACGGATCAAGAACGGGATGTTGGTCTGGGTCAGCCAATGCTAGCGGTCGACTTACCTTGACACCGCGAATACGGAACTCGACCAAAGCTCGGAGCATCTTCCGCCTGGCGACCTCGTAGGTGGCACCGCTGACGGAGCACTTGACGAGCAGGGAGTCGTAGTGGGGCTACGGATTAGCTTTGAGCTAAAAGCTAGACTGCGACTCACGGTGATCTGCGCGCCGGCGTAACCGGAGCTAGCGTCCAGTCGCACACCGTTTCCACCAGCAGATCGGTACACCTCGATCTTGCCGGTATCCGGCTGGAATCCAGCAGCAGCATCTTCAGTGGTGATACGGCACTGGATTGCAAAGCCCCTTCGGTGGATGTTCTCCTGGGTAAGGCCCAGCTGCTCGAGGGTCACGCCAGCGGCGATCTGGATTTGCGCAGCGACGATGTCGATACCGGTGATCTCCTCTGCAAAGTTAGGTCGGTACCTGAGAACGCTAGGCGAACGTACCGGTAATAGTGTGCTCGACCTGAATACGAGGGTTGATCTCGATAAAGTAGTGCCTGCCCTGCTGGTCGACCAGGAACTCGGCGGTACCGGCGTTTCGGTATCCGACGGCGCGTGCGAGCTTGAGCGCATCGTTGAGGATGGCCTGGCGGACAGGCTCGTCGAGGTGAGGAGCGGGGGCGACTTCGACAACCTGAAGGTCAGCTCGTCCATTACATGAGGTCCGCCGAGCTGACCTTCTGGTGCCTCCTCTGCACGGAGCAGTCTCGCTCGAAGAGGTGGACACAGTTACCCTCGCCATCGGCAAGCAGCTGGACCTCGATGTGCCTCGGGTGGTCAAGGAAACCTACCATCAGCTCCTCTCGCGTCCCTATACTTACGCTCGATGAAGACGGTCCCGTCGCCGAACGCGCTCTTTGCCTCGGAAACGGCTCGCTCAAAGTTCTCCTTGAAGCTCTCCTTGTCCCTAACAACTCGCATACCTCGTCCACCACCGCCCATAGCCGCCTTGATGATGACCGGGAAACCGTACTCCTCGATAAAGGCAGCTCCGTCCTGGTACGTGTCGACGGGGCCAGGTGTACCGGGAACGACCGGGACTTGGGTCTTCATCGCAAGCGTACGGGCCTTTGTCTTGTCACCGAGCGAGTCGATGGTCTCGGGCCTGGGGCCGATGAAGGCAATTCCTGCGTCTTCGACCTTCTTGGCGAAGCTGGCGTTCTCAGAGAGGAAACCGTATCTAGTTATCAGCAACTATCATCAAACGTTCCGGCAGCTCAGCTCACCCGGGGTGGATCATGTCAACACCGTGCTCCAGCGCAACCCGGATGATATCGTCCTGGGCCAAGTAAGCCGCAACGGGCGTCATGCCCTTTCCGACCAAATAACTCTCATCCGACTTGTATCGGTGCGCGCCAAGTCGGTCCTCGTGCGAGTAGATGGCGACGGTGGACATGGCCAGCTCGTGGGCGGTACGGAAGACGCGAATGGCGATCTCACCGCGGTTGGCGACGAGGACCTTTTTGAGCGGTCCAGAGTGACCGGCCTGCTTCTTTCGCATTGAGATGATACTGATAGTCAGCTCCGAGTGCGTGTACAGGCTGCTCCCCCTTAACTCATACTACGGCTTAACTCCCATTTCAGGGCCCGATATATACCCTCTTTGCCATTCATTCCCCACCCTCTTGACTCATACTTCTGACTCCAAACTCCCTCGCTCAGGAGCCTTTCAGGTATGAATTGAGGGAGTGCACTTTAGACTGCAGGACTCACGAGTTGGGCACGGCACCGACGCCGGGGGTACCGGGAACGGATTGGTCCGCTCCAAGGTGGGACGCCCATGCTTCGATCTGATTATGGGTAGAAGAGCCAGCAAGGATGGATTGTGCGGTCGACATGGTGATGGGTGAGGGTGGTAGAGTAGAAGCAGAAGAGGCTATATCAGCGGTCATTCAGGACAAAGCAGCCCATGCCAAGTTGTGTGGGGACCCTCGAAATCCAAAGGGGATGATCAGGCCTTAGGCAGGAACGTTCGTGGCGGACAGCAAAGGCACTCACGGGAATTTGAGGTTCCGCCATTGTATATACCCTCCTTGTAGTCGCAGGGGGAGATGTATGAACGAGTAAGCTATGCTCTGGGTGGGATCTCTGCGTAGCCGGCCCATGGCCCATTGGCAGCGGAGGAATGACGTTCCGGCGGGATCTGATTGGGAATGGGGAATGCGGATGCCGTGAACCCCTTATCGCGCAACGACCAATGGCAAACGATCTACGCTCTGTGATGTGGCAGTGGCAGCCATCGCAGCCAAGGCAGAGTCTCCTCAGCAACTACAAGACTGCATCGCAGACATGTGACTTTCTATTCTACCCGGGCAAGAAGCCCTTCCCTTTTTGATAGACGGCCCATGAGTCTAAGCGTACTCCATGAGCTTCTTGCTCGCGTTCCCCAGACCTTGCATCGCAGTGGCCCTCTCTTTCGCGACCTGGAGTACCTGGGGCGCGACCGCATTCTGCATCTGACCCCACAGAACACCCACGAGCCTGTTGTCGGCCTCCGACCAGTCGTGCTTGGCCTTGTCGATGTCTTCGCCCGCTGCGATGACTGCAGTTTGGTAGTCGCTGTAGACTTGGCGACGGTAGATGGCCCCGCCGCCGGCATATTTGTGCATCTGGACAGGGGCGAAGGGTGCGAGGGGTCGGAGGATGGCCGACTTGACCATGTCGCAGCGGAAGGCGAATGAGTTGTCCGTGGTGACGTTGCCAATCTCCTGGACGAGCTCGAGGAGGAGACTGTACATGGTGGACAGCAGGAGATTCGTGGTCCTCTCGACGATGTTGGCATGCTTGTCGAGCGACACTCCTGAGCTGTCAGCGGCATTCTCAGAGTGAGCTTAAAGACATACCGCCGAGACGATCCTGGCGGAAGGGGGGCAAGTCATGGAAGCCTTGTCGGACCTGGGTGGACTTTCGGGCCGGCGAGATGGAGCTAGGCTCTATCGTCTGGATCATCTCTTTGAGAGTCCAGACTAGGCCCTCGAGACTAATGGTGTCGTCGGTCTGAGCGAGCCCTTGGATCGTCTGGGCATGGATCTGTAGCGAGCAGAGAAGTCTGAGCATCAGCTCTATCACAGATGCTTGCTTTGATCGTCGACGACTCACAGCTTCAATTTCTCGATCCCTCCCGTCAGATCCCCGAATGCCCTGTACCCCATCCCACTGTCCGCAATCACGCCATTCTGGGAGTCAGCTTGTAACAATAGCGGGCTGCTGAGACTCACTATATTACCGCTGGCAAGTTGCAAGCCCTTGGCAACATCCCTCGCCTCAAAGGCCGTCTTGAGCGCCGCGAGCAGCTCGCGATAGATAGCCAGGTGAGGCGCAAAGAGGGTCTTCCCGCCGACCGGCGCCAGCTCTTCCGATTTCTTTGCGGTAACCCTGGGTACCATAACGCCCTTGTGCTGATCGACGTACGCCTTTGACGGAATGGCATTGTCGGTGCTGTCGTACGCAGTGGGAAGGTCGTCGAAGGAGGATGTCATGAAGGGGTCGACATCGGCATAGATCGATGTCTTGGGGTAGGGGTTGATAGGAGTGCCCGGCGGCGGAGTGATGATGAGGATATCATTGGGGGAGAGGCTGTCCGAGCGCTGGAGGTCCTTGTTGACCGTGTCGGCGTCACCGGTCAACTGGGCCTTGCCGAACGTCTCGCTCTCAGTGAAATCACCGATGTCGACGAGGCTGTGGTCGAGCGAGGGGATGACGATATGGGGAAGGCTGTTGATGGTGACCCGGCCTCCGGACGCCTTGTGCAAGCTGTCCATGAGAGCAGCATCGGAAGTGATACTGAACTCGAGGACGACCTTGGATTCGGCGGCGGCTGCAGTGTGGATGCTGGCGCCGGGACTGGAGTGGGTGCTGGAGGACAGCTTGGAGCTTGTGAGGGACCGCTTCGATGGGGTGACGGAAGACCTCCCGAAGGGGTTCCAGAGACGGCTTAGCATCTTGGGTAGTGGTGAGGGTAGTGGTGGGGGTAGAGACGAAGTAGGACAAGCTACTGGTATGGGTACGTGGGCGTTGGGAGATCAGAGGATAGAAGACCAGGGGATGGCGATTCGAGCGCTTTTATAATGTTTGGTGAGGCTGTGCAGACGCGGCTTACAATGACAGAGGGAGGCTGCACTACCATCATCCGCAGACTGTATGGCCCTGAGGAGGCGGGCGGGAAGAACTGACAAACAAAACCAGCATGTCCAGCCTCTCATCGTCATCATCTTGTTGGAACGGCGGAAACCGTGTGGAATAGGTGTGACGGCATTTTCGTGATCTGAAACACGCCAGGCACGGTGGGAATTGGTCCGCTATCGGGTCACACCGTTCTGATATATACATGAGTAATCCAAACTAGACGAAAGCATCGCCATCTAAGTACACCGAAAAGCTTCTACATTAAGATCTATTTCTCATCCCCCTCATCATTGGAACCCCGCGGCGGCCACCTTGTCCGGGATCTGACTCTTGAGATGCTCCACCAACGCCTTCATTTCCGCCTTGGTCTCGTCCGTCGTCTCATCCTCGTGAGCAGGATCCAGCAAGACGTGCGCAAACGCAGCAAGGAGGTTGTCCATATGAGGCGCGAGCAGTTCTGGGCGGATGCGGAAGATGGTAAAGATGGCCGAGTAGACCGGCCGGTTCTCGAGCGTGTCGTACCGCAATGGCAGGACCGAGACGATGACGGGGAGGACCTGCTCGAGGGGCATGGAGGTGGGGTTGTTGCTGATCATGCGGGAGATGGCGCCGGCGGCGTTGTCACGGGCGTTGTAGAGTGGTGGGGCAGAGTGGTCGGGGACGGTGAAGAAGGGTTGGAGGGCGGTGAGGAGGGCAGTGTTGTGCTGAGTGAGGTCGGCGTCGGAGCACTCGACGAGCACACCGGCAGCAAAAGCGGCGTTGGAGCGGACCTCGGCTTCCTCGTCGCGAAGACTGCGCGAGATGATTTGGAGGAGTTGCTAAGGGTCAGCTCGTCCTGTGGACCTCAAGGAAAGACCTACCTGGGTGAACTGAGTAACAGCGCCTCGGAGACCAACAATGATCTCTCCCAAGCTCCCAATCGCCATGCTCCGCTCAGAGTTTGCCCGCTTGGGCTCAGAGTACTGCCCGATAAGAGGCAGGACCGAGCCGAACGCCTGCGCAAAGTCCGGGCCGAGCACGTTGGCCATCGCGCCAAACACATCCGCGGCGTTTGAAATGAGAGCCGCCTCGTACTCGGACGAGTCCTCGTCGACATTGTCGTCGTCCTGATCGGGGTCGAGCTGGCACATGGCCTTCTTCTCGAGAATCTCGACGGCAAAGTGGGCGACTTGGTCGAGCTGGCCTTCCACAAGCGCAGGACCGCACTTGTTCATCGTCTCAGCGAGCTCGCTGCAGAGCAGGATGACAACAGATCTGATAGTCAGCTTCGGTTATCGTGACACGATCTAGACTGGAGTAGGGAATGGGAGAATCAGATAGTAAAGACAATTGTCTTGCTTCCGCACACGCTTAGCGTCGGAGTGAGCTGAGTAAATTGTGTCATCATGTAGAGGGGAAAGGGGCAGAGCGGGAGGGCACATCGTCAACTGCAGGAAAGAGACCCACTTGTCGTCTTCAGTCTTCCATGCCTCGAAGATTGGGGGAAGGATGTGATCGACGAGCTTCTTGACGTCGGCGTGGAAGGGGATTTGCTGACTATCAGCTTCATCCAACACTTTTGCAGTCAACTCACAACTGTAGCTCCCTGTACCCACTCCTGCGGCTCCGACAGCTCGTAGATTGTCCTGATGAACGAGAACAGCGCAACAATCACGCTCTTCCTGATGCCCTCATAGTAGTGGTCCAGCAGCTCAAAGAGCACGGTCACCGACTCCTCGACGAACGGCATGAACGCCGCCTTGGTAGCCGTAAACAACTCCCCGATAGCATCCGCCGCAACCTCCTTCTCAATCGCCACCGCGGAGTTGACCTGGTTGTACATTTGCTCAAGCGCATCCAGGTCCGTCTCGTCCTCATCATCCAAGTCCTCCTCTCCGGGAGTCTTGGACGAAGACGCCCGACCGCCCATCGAGAACGCCTCAGCGAGCTTGGCCGGGTCCGACTCGCCGTCCGCCTCGTCGATAAACTCGTCGGATGTCTCGAGTTGACGACACGACGCAAAGAGGGCGGGGAGACACTGGGGGAGGTAAGGGGCAAACTCCTGCTCAAAGACACCGGCCATGACGCCAAAGAAGATGAACGAGGATTCGCGGAGCCGCGGCTGGTCCATCGTCAACGCCTCGAAAGACGCCTTCATCATGTCGTGGAAGAAGGGGCGGAAGATCTCGGCACCGACCGCGTCCGCGATCGTACCGATAGTGTCCGTCGCTACACCGCGCAGATCGCTCTGCTCGGCGTCCGTAAGCTGGACGAGGGGGACGAGGCGGCGGATGGTCTGCTCAAAGTATGGGGTAAACTTGCCCTTGGCAGCATGAGCGGCGGACCCAATAGCGCCAGTGACGGTGATTTTGACGGGAATGGTGCCGTTCTCGAGCAGGACGAGGAGGCGTTCCATGAGGAGAGTGAGATAGTTGACAATGTCGTCGCCGAGGATCTCGAGGTACGAGTCGAGACATGTGCAGGCGTTCTTCTGGGTGGAAGGGTCGACAATGAGGTTGAAAAGAATCTAATGTCAGCTCGATCTAGTCTTTCGACTTACAGGGACGATGGTGGAATGCCGAGTAGCGCACTCCTCGGCCAGCCACTCGCAGAGACAGCCAAGAGCGATACACGCCGCCTTCCGCACAATCACCTCCGAGTCTTGGAGACCGCTCTCGATAATGGCCCAGAGTTGGTCGACGTGAGGGCGGATGAACTCGCTGCAGCCTTCGACCGATACACCGAACGCCATGAGCGCCGACTTGCGCATACGGGCGTCTCCAGCCATGTACACCTGAAGCTGGTTGGTGAGGACAGGGAAGACCTGCTGTGGGGGAAGGGCCTGGGAGAGGTTGTCGAGGACGCGGAAGGCAAGCTGCGGGTCAGCCTGGTCTTGACGTCGGAAGTCGAACTCACTCGTGATGGAGAATCCTCATCGACGTCTTCTGGGTCATCCTCGCAACCGATAGCCAAAAGACGCTCGATGATGGGCTTGGCGAGACCCAATGACTGAACCTTGCTCTTCTTACTGAAATCAGCTCATCTCTTCGAGCGCACTCACTATCTGACGATCCAAGAGAGCACACCCAGGGACCCCACTCGGATATCCGAGTCGACATCCTTGTTCCCTCCCACGCTGATGAAGAACTCCACCATCTCGCCCACGTGCTTGCTGACCAGCGGCGCCTCGATGATCAACAAGGTCTCAAACAGGTCAAACCCGTACTTGGCCGACTGCTCGTCGTCGTCGTTCACGACCTGCTGGAGGACCTGGAGCATAGGCACGATAAGCTCCTGGTACGCCTTGATGTCGTGCTTTGCGTCCGCCTCGATATACTCGGCGACCTTGGCGAGGGCGCGCATGGTGGTGACCCGGACCTCGCTCGACTCGGGGTCAACCAGAGACTTGGCAAAGAGGGGGAAAAGCTCCTTCATGTGGGCGTCGACCGACTCGGCGACAGTGTCGAGGATGGAGTAGAGGACGTAAATGGCGGTCTCACGCTGGGATTTTTCGGGGGAAGCGGCGGCGCCGTAAAGAGCGGGAAGGAGGGTAGGCCATTGGACGGGTTGAGTGGTGAGCTCAATGTCGGCGATGGCAGCGACGACACGGGCAAGGGCATGTCTGACAACGGGGCTACAGGTCAGCGCAGTCCCTAGAACATTAGAACCAACTTACATTTGCTCGCCAATTAATCGCTGGAGCAAGCTATCCTTCATTTGCTGCCTCAACTGCGCATCCACCTTCTTCCAAAGCCGCCCATCAGCTTGTGATATCCGTTTTCTCAGCTCGACAGCGGCAAGTTGTCGGACCTGTGTATCAGCAACCTTCCCTAGTGAGCAAATTTGCGCACGCACCGCCTGGTTCTGGTCGGTGCAAGAAATCTCATACAGGGCAGGAATACATGTCGAGTTCTTGTAGAACTGGGTGTTGAGCTGTGTGGTAGCCTAAAAGTCAGCTACCAGCTCGAATAAACGGAGGGCCGGGCAGCGCACCTGCTTGATGATGTTGGTGTCTGGGCTGATAGTAGCTGCCAGCAGCTGCTGAAGCGTGGACATGTAATTTGCCTATCGCTCTGTCAGCTACAATCCCCTCTCGTGGAGCTGTCTGTAGACGTACGTCCATCTTGTACGCTTATTAGATGATGTATAACAGTCGAAAGGTAGCTGTAGGCAAGTGTGAAGGGGAAAAAGTTGGCCCAAGCACAAGGTCGCGTTCAAATTCTCGGTTACGAGTGACGTGGCATTTTTGTGTGAACCTGAACGCGTATTCACGCGGGTGGCGGCGCGCCTGATATCAACCGTTCCTTCGGGCCTTTCAACCTCAACATCGCTCAGCTAGCTGCTTAGTGGGCCCATAGGTGTATACTGGTTGCATATCTGTAGGTCCCTAACCCGTCGTCACCGTGCTCCGACCTCGCCGTATCCTCCTCTAGAGGCTAGAGAGCAGCAAAATCGGCAACGGTCAAACCGACTGACAACTGCGATAGCGTGTTTCACTGATGATAAGACCCTCGCTCCGCGCCCTCGACATCATCTATGCCCGCCATGATCACGAGCCCGCTCCTGCTCCTTCCAACTTCTCGCTCTGCCATCATCCTCTCACCGCGGACATGGCGCTCAGCTTATCATTCCTCCAAGATTTGATCTCTCGGCACCATGCCGTACAGTTCCTGATGTCACCGATCGCTATCTTAAAAATAGAGAGCGGTCTTTTGCGGGAGGAAGAGCAGGTGGAGCAGCTTCTTCTCATCTCTCAACCATAACAACATGGGCCGCGAAACAGAACTAGACCACGATGGGGCGGAGGGAGGATACGGCGGGGACACACACCTCGTCGACGAGGCGGCGCTGTTTGCCTCGCCCTTGCCTATGGTCGGGGTGGAGCGGACGACCACTCGGAAAGAGCTCTGGGTAAGCTATTCCCGGATGTCCTGGACGCGTTCGTGGATGGCACTGACAAGCTAGTCGTGGTACGTCTACTACATCGGGAACTCTGGACTAGGTACGTTCTCAATGTGCGGTGATCAAGGGAGCGCTCGCTGATCAACAGGGCCGTTCAACTTTGCCATCTCAGCTTGGCAGAACCTGCTCTACCTGGCCGGCTGGGACCCAGCTTTCGATCGGGGGACCGTGCCATGCGGCGATGGAGACTGCTACCTCAACGCGTTCGGACAGGACCGGGACAGTCAGTACTTACTCCCTATCCAACAAGGTGACTGCTGATCAATCCCAGTCAACTCCATCGTCCTGGTCACCAACGGTCTCTCATTCGCACTGCAAGCCGTCTTGATGCTCTTGGCTGGATCATTTGCCGACTACGGAACCTGGCGCCCGCATATCACTACCGCATTCACCCTGCTCGGCTGGGGCGTAAGCTTTGGCTGGCTCGGCGTGACCACAGCAGAAAAGTAAGTCTTTACCCTTGAGCGGAGCTTACCAACAGATGGCAGATCGGGACTGCGCTGTACATTCTCGGTCTCATCTCCTATCAATGCGCATTGACATTCTGGACGGCCGCTTTCCCTGGTCTGGCAAGGGACTTGCCTGAAGTCAAGGCAAGCGAGGAGAAGCTCGCGCTCGGCGAGATCGAGTAAGCCCCTAGCCCTTTCTGCATGAGCTCCTTTGGCTGATCCTGCAGTCGCCAAACGCACGACAACGTCGATATGCTGGCTCGGAACCGACTCGCCAATGTCTCCTTCTTTGTCTGCTCGGTAGGCGAACTGGTCGTCCTCGGTATTCTCGCCGGTATCCTACAGGCTATCGTCATCCCGGACGACACGGAAAGCAACACTCGTGCGCTGAGTGTCGTTTGCGCCTACAGTGCGGGCGTGTGGATTGTGTGCGCCATGCCTTGGTTCTTCTGGGAGCAATATCGGCCGGGGAACAAGCTTCCGCCCAGGACGTCTTACCTTAGTGTGGGGTATGTCCAACACCCACATCCTTCTATCGCTTCAGAACAGCTGACGTCCAGATTCAAGCAGGTATACCACGCTTTCAAACTTTGCCGCCGGCTGAAGCAGACCTTCATCTACTTGGTACGTCATCAGCTGCTGCGCCTCATAGCGCTGAGCTGATCTCCATCCAGGCCGCTTACTTCTTCCTCGGTGACTGCCTGAACACTGTCGGTGAGTCTCCTCTCGGCGTGAATGTGCAAGTTTGCTGATGTCCTCAGTGACTGGTGCGCCATAAGCTCCATCGCGGCACAATGACATCGCTGACAACAGGTAGTCGTCGCCACACTGCAGAACAATGTTGTCTCATACGATACCAAGGTCCTGAACTAGTGCGTCCGGTTTTGCTTGCACGATCGTCATATCGCTAACTCCCTCCAGTCTGCTCATTGACGGTATCGGCGCACAGGCCATTGGGTTAGTCAAACCTACCGCTCATGGGATCGCCTACTGACACAAGCAGTATTGGTCTCTTCTGGGTGATCCAGAAAAAGTACACCATCCGGACCAAGAACCTCCTCCTCTTTGTACGTGCGATCGCTGCAATACTTGGTCCAAACTGACCCTACAGAACGCATTCTGGATCCTCTTACTTTGCGTCTGGGGCTGCATCGGTATCACCCAGGAGTCCTTTGGTTTCCACAATGTGTGGGAGTTCTGGGCGTACCAGGCTTATTACGGTGTACGTTCTGGTCCCATTGCCAATGGATGCCGCTGACGAGCAGATCTTTGTCTGCCCATGGTATGCTGTATCTCAAGCGATGATTTCCGAGGTCGTACCCCGAGGCAAAGAAGTGAGTATCCCACCAGCTCCATCTCTGATCTCATGCACTCCGCTGACGGCCAGTTCCTATTCTTCGCGCTCTTCTCAATTATGGGCAAGACATCCTCCTTCATCGGCCCCTTTGTCTCATCAGCCATCATTGAGCGATCAGGCAACACAAACATGCCATTCACCTTCCTCCTCGCCCTCGGCGTATTCGCAGTCGCCATCCTCTTTTGCGTCAATGTCGACAAGAGCCGGATCGAGTGCAGGGCGTACCTCGAGGAAGAAGCGCGCAGGGTGTATGAGATGCCGAGTGGGGCGATCACGGCGGCGACGCTGCCGAGGAGCGAGGAGGGGAGGGAGGCGGAGCAGGAGGCGGATGTGAAGGGGAGATGAGTGGGCGATGAGCGGTGAATTGAGGGTACTGGGAGGCAAGATGAAGGAATTGTCGGTAGAGGGGAGGCGGTCAGAACTATAATGTCGTCTATCAACCAAAAACATACGTGTAGCGGACAATGGATAGTGGTCTCATGCTCTCGCGAGCACGCCCAAGGCACGCAAGTCGACGCCCTACTTGGTGAGAGAATGGCAAGCAATGTCGAGGAATGAGGTGTGAAGTGGGGCGGTTGCAGCAGTGCAGCACAACCCTATTCATCACAGCTATCTCGAATAAGACATTCTAGACATTCAATGACCACTATAGAAGTACAGCTACACCGCTATATTGATCCTACACTATGATGATAAGTATACTCGTTCAACTGTTCCCCACAAATCCGACATGCGCCCACACGACGCGGTCTCGACCCTGAGTCTCACCCGCTACAGCCACTTGGATCAGCCGTCACACACCGCCTTCGGCCTTCCCGCGCCCACAGTCCGCTGGGACGGAACACCAGGACTAGCTGGACGAGCAGTGGCGAGTGTCGGAAGACCGAACCCCGCCGGGTCAAGGGCAGACTCCGAGCCCGCTTGAATCGAACTCCTCACATCCGTGCCCCACTAAACATCTTCATCCCCCTCCTCTTCGTACTCTCCTCCGCCACTCCACCCCAGCTCCGCTTCTTCCCGCTCGACGCAAAGTCGTCCGCATCGCTACTAGCCGGTCCAGCCGGGGAGCTAGACAGCGGGATGACGCCAAAGGTATTCGGCCGCTGACTTGGCGTGGCGAAGGGATTGCCCGCCCGCGGAGCAGGCGCCATCTGCGAGGAGGACGGCGACGTCCGTGACGACGATGCCGAGGGCTGAGAGGATGTGAAGGAGGATGAGGATGTAGTGGGGAGAACGGGGCGTTTGGCGGGCGCGGTCGGTCTGAAAGGGTTCGCTTTGGCCGGTGGTGCCGCTGGCTTCTTTGCCATAGATCCGCGAGGGGCTGTGCTGGGCCGTATAGGCGGAGACGAGCCAGAACCTGAAGCTGGCGTAGAGCGGGGCGCAGTAGTGCTCGAGCCCAGCAGCGTCCCGACAAGGTCGATCTTCCGTTTTGTCAAGGCAGCGGGGGCCGGTTCGGACGATATCGCGACCGCATTCCCCACTCCCAATTTCCACGATAGCGTTTCCCACCCTTCCTGCGCCACTCGTACCAACATCAACTTGGTATGGCCCCTGACCGTCCCATCATTCGGCGGGGGCGGCTTGGCCTGGCCACCCGCCGCAAACTGCTTGCTCCGCTCATCCGACCCGGGCCCGGCGCCGGCTTCTCCCTTCTTTGTCTTGATAACCTTACCTTTCGGCTTGTCCTTCTTCTCCCACCACCTGTCCTCCTTATCCGGCTTGGGATCCTTGTGCAGTCCCTCTTCCAGCGCTTGCATGTACAGCGCGGTATTCACATCTTTCCTCAGCGCCTGGACCTTGTCCTCAATGTTCCTGACGCCACCTCCGTACACCTGCCCAATCCCGCCGGCGCGGTATGTCGAAAAGTCCGAGTCGGGGGTATGTCTCGGTAGAGCCGCGGTAGTGACGAGGTAGTTGGGCAGACATTCTGGTGCAATGGGGATGTAGGCCGGGAGGAGGTTCAGCGAACGATGAGGACGTGGCTGCTTGTTCCGGGCGGTGGTGGGGATGAAGAGCGATCTCGAGAGGTGGGTGACGAGCTCCGCTGAGGATGTAGCTGGGTTGAAGAGGGGGAAGAGGCCTTGAGAGCAGATTTGGACATGGGCGAGTTTGTGCGGGAAGAGGGCTTCGGTCTGGCGGTTGAAGATGTTGATAGCCGAGGTCGTGCAGGAGGTATTGCGGATGTCTGATGATCAGACAGACCGACATGTGATGATGAGATACGTACCGAGAAGTAACAATCCCGGCCATCTCGCCAAGAGAGGCATACTCTTATCCCCCACACCCTTACACCCTTGGAGGTACCACGCGCGCAACCTCCACATTCCTCTGCCCGTCTCGGCCCCTTCCTTCCCCGGTAGCTCCAGCGCAGCTGCTAGCAATCGCACCCCACTATCCGAGACCCGCCGACACGCAATCATCCGGAGTACCGTGAGGTGCGTTGCGTACTTGAGCGAAATGATATTCTGGTCATTGACCAGATCATTGATGCCGTCAAGATGGAGCGAGGTGATTAGCTGGTATCGCGTATCCGGTTGGAGTTGGGCGTAGAGCTTCGGGATCCCGATAAAGGGGTGTAGGGGATTGGCGAATGTCGGCTTGGGAGTGAGATGCTGCAGTGTGATATCGATGGGGAGGGCGAGCGAGTGGTCCGCCGCCGCCGCCTCGGGGTCTGTGAGGAGCGATAGCGCCCAGATGGTCGCCTCGTCTGGCCGGGACGCGTCGTCCTCGTACTGATCGTACTCGCGGTCATGCCGCACCCGGTCAAAGATCCGCTTGAGCAGGACCGGCGAGACGTTGCCGAAGGACGAGGGGGTATAGTGGTGGAATTCCCGAGAGATTTTGGCGAGGCATATGCTAGAGAGGGATTTAGGCGGACCGTGTACTGTCTGCGGGAGGGAGCGGGCGGGTGCGACCTGGAAGAGGGGTAGAGGAACCAGGGTCCATAGTGGCCGAGTAGCGGACTTGGCCCTACTGCGTCAGGTTTGATCCTGGCTGACGGCCACATCTTTGGGGCTTACCTTAGGACCTGACCACACTTCTCGCCCCCGAAGCCGGTAGCGATCGCATCTATCATGCCGCTCATCTTCGCCTTGGACACCTAGGCAGTCGCGAGTACCAACGGCAGCGAGTACTGCGTAGATGCAAAATCAAGCGCGACGCGTCGGGACGCGCTTTGGTATCGGCGTGCTGGACGCCGGTCATCGCCGCCGTTTCAGATCGTAGCTGATGTTTCAGCATGTTTCATTGCCACCGTGTCTGCGAACACTGCAGTGAATCTGCCGCCTGGGTTAAGACGGCGCTATCGAGGTGTACCAGCCGGGATGGAGCCGTCGAGAGTACCGTACGGTATGCCAGGTGCCTGTAAGTGGTGAATGCACCGCATCATATCCCTTGGTCTGTGGATCCACATTCTACTGCCTCAAGATGGCTGGCATATCAGCGCCGGCCCAAACGCGAATATTTTGAAAGGGCTATCGCAGAATTCTAGAACTCTCAAGCGCTTGCGAAAGCGGGATCGATCACGTGCGAATCCCTTCGTCCCTATGTAACGCGACTCGAGCAACATCCTTTACCGTACGCCACCGCTGTGTCCCGCGCTGTCCATCGCTTGCTCGCAGGCACATAAGCCTGGAGGGGCTTCGTCATCCCCCATCATCCGCCATTCATCTTACGAATCGAGGAACCATTCAAGATGCCAGACGACACCGTAAACAGTCCAAATGCGCCACCTGAGACAGCCACGGAAGTCACCAACCAGCTGACTTACATGTCTGGATCCCTCGGAGATCTCCTCCGAAAGGCGCGGGCCAAAGAGACCCGCAGGTGCTCGAAGACCCCACGTTTCCGCGAATACCGGCAGAGAAGCAACGCCCGGGACACTGTCACCCAAGGTGTTCTGGACAAGTGGAAGCCGCCTGAGCCTGATCCCCCTTTCAATTCTACCCGCGAATCGCGACGTCATGGCCATCGGTGGCACCTCGCCGCACTCGTACCAGTTCGTTGGGTGGACAGATCTCTGGAGATATCCGTTCCCGCAGGCCTCGGGGGAGACCAGTACCATCGCGTTGAACGCGATCTGCTCGACGGGGATCTCGCTCGACACTGCGGCATCAATGAAGGCCTCGTTGGCAAGAGAACATGCCCAAGATCCGACCGACGAAGGAAGGGCGGTCAGAGTGGACACTGGGCCTTTCTACGATGGGAATACATTATTCATTGCCACAGCCCCCTGTGTCAATTGGGGACAGGTGTTCGATCGCACTCTGGCTGATTCCGACAATAGGCCAACATTCGAGACGGACATCATGTCTGCGGTGGAGAGCGGAGACCGCTTGACCATGGTCCTCAACTCGATTGCCCTTCCCGGCGCCATGAAGCTCTCCCTCGACCATCCATACAGAGGGCATATCGGCACCCTTCCTGATGACGCTGAGAGCGTGTAAGGCATCCAGTCATACAGCGGTGATGCGGATGTGAGCCTGGTGATCCTGGTCAACCCCGACCAAACCAAGCCCGAGGCGTCTGGGACTTGAAGGATGCGAGAAGGAGTTGATACTGTGTATTACAAGTAATGTGAAGAGGAGAGCGCTAGCATGCACGAACACCCATATCGCTTGTGATCAGCAGCGACCTTGCGGGACGTCGTGCGCAGTGACGTAGACTTTGTTCGAATTTGCGTAGAGTACATATACTTGTAGTTGCTATCCAGCCCACCGAGTCCCCAAAGCTATCTGCACGACTACACTCATTTCGCCTCGCCTCTCTCCCTCCGTCGAGTAAATGCCAGGTACTATACAGTTGTACAAAGTTACCCCTTGTGCCTTTTGCGCTCATTACCTCAATGCGTCGCCCGTCTTGTCGTGGTTATTGACGTCGTGGTTGATACCCGTACCGTACATCTAGTCGACCCGGTCCTGGAGGTTCGTAAGCAGCGTGGAGAGGCATCGTTTCGTGACGTTGTCACCCTTGAGCAGGGGTGCAAACGTGTTATCGCGGAGATGTTCCGGTAGACATGCTCGAAGTGCTTCTCTCGCTCTGCAAAGTCAGCGGGCGTCCTCTTCTGCTCCTCTAGCATACGACTGACCTTGGATTATCGCTCATCCTCAAATAACACCTCACCACGTGCTTCAACAGCCGTACCGCCTGACTCTCGACCAACGCCGCCACCATGTTCCCCAGTACCGCGCCGACGGCATAGAACCGCTCGTACGTTTGACAGATGTATTGTAAGCCGAGGTCGTCGAGGAGGATCTTTTGGACGATAAAGATGGCGACGGTCTTGGAGAGTTCGGAGCCGGTCTCCATGATGCGCAGGCAGAGGGGGATGATTTCGGTCGAGAGGAGGAAGTTGATCACGTCCGAGTTGTCGTTTTGCTAAAGGTCAGCTGAGACTCTCTAAGGATATAGCCGACATACCTTGACCAAAGCACCGATGACACCTAAAGAAGTGAGGCGGAGATACTCGAATGGACGTGTTTTGCTTGTCGTGTTGAGGAATGGGTACAGGAAGAGGGGTACGTGGGCTGACATCAGCACAGCTTGGGGGATAACTCACCATTGAGGAAGAGACTTCTTGTCTCCGAGTGACTTGCTACGCATTGGAGCAGGGCAAGGGCGTTGCAGACTCGATTTGAAGCGTGGGCGGTGAGGGTGGGTGGGGAAAGGGCGGGGTAGACATTGACGATCTCGAGCAACAGGCTGGAGAGGACACCTTCAAGTCAGTATAAGTCTGAGCATAGAGGGAAGAGACGTACCGAATCCTCCCCACAATACCAACGCCAAATCCTCGTACATCTCCCTCTTCTTGCTCAGCTCCAGCAACGCCGTCTCCCTTGTCGCTGGGTCCAACAGCTCCGTGATCAACTCGTATATCTTCTCCTCCTCGCTCCCGGCCGCAGGTGGACCGCCACTTGACCCCATCAACAGCTTCCCTGCCGGTGCAGATCCACCTGGACTGGATATCGAGCCCGGCATGGGTGATGTAGAAATAGGATAGCTGAATCCACCAGCGGATGGGTTGAGGGATTGCGCAGAGGGTGCGGGTGGGTTGTTGAGGTGCTGAGCGAGATTATTGAGGAGTAAGGGAGGACCACTAGGTGTCTGTTGGACCTGGGCGGATTGTGATGATGGTCCTTGTGAGGAGGAGAGTGGGATTCCGGAGGACGGTGGTTGTGTGAGGGATACACCGCCGAAGCCTGATCCTGGGCGGTGCTGGTCCGACATTGGTGCGAATACGCCTGGTGGGCCCGCTGCTAGTCTGCGGTCGAACATGGACATGGCGTGTGATGGGGATGAAAGGGTTCTTATAGGTTACAAGATAGACCTTAGAGGGTTCCATCTCCGCTGGTGCTGCTCGTGCTGCCGAGGCCTGGTGGTGAGCTGGGCGGGATAAAAGCTAGAAACCCCGGTTTTAAATAGATGATGACCTCGGCTATCGGGCATAGATTCCGGCCGGTGGATGGTCCACTCTGATCCGCGCCAGAGTTGCTGCCATCTCAGCGTCAGAAAGGAAAGGACCTCTGTAGGCAGCTGGGGGATAGCACAGCTGCAGTCAATACACGCGGCGCTCAATAACGATAAACAATCACCACAAAGCCACAGGTTCCGCTCTACTCTTCGCATATCATGTCAGACTACGCCCAGTCGCCCAGGCCGGAGCCCCTCCACCTCGTCCCGCCCGAGCTGGTCTCATCCCCCATTGCGATCCCACGTAGGGCTGGCAGTCCCGATCTTCCTGTCTTCATGAAGGACATCTGCTTCTCTGCGACCTCTTCCAATTATCCGCAGACCCCGCCATTGACATCATCGCTCACGATGTCCGCGTCGCCCGCTAGCCCACAGTTCCAGAGTCCCCTGTTGCGGACCCCATGCGAGGTGAGCTCGCTTGTCAGCAGTAGCTGACGGAGAGATCATCCACAAGGTGCTCTGCTCGTCCGGTGTACGAGACCCCGTCGGTCTCGCCCGGGCTGCAAGGACCTGTAAAGAGCTCGGATCCCTCATCTACGAGGTGTGTACATCCGCCCGTACGGCGAATCTCCCGCTGACGACGCAGAGCACGGATACGGCGCTCTGGCGGGAGATCCATCTTGAGCTGTATGATGATCCTCGGCTTTCGGGGACCGTCTCTGGAGGCCGAGATGTGGTTTGGAAGCGGAGTGTACAGCAGCGCGAGTTTGTCGGGCGGATCAGCCGGGAATGGAGCGAAGAACGGTTTGGGGAACTGGTGAGTGTCTAGAGTATCTCACCAGCGACTCAGCTGACATCCAGCCAATCTTACTCGAGCCTATCTGCAGTATCCTGCAGGGTCTTTACCTGGACATCCCGCCCACGGCGGCTCCATCCAACGATACAGATTCCGAAATGACGGACGACTCGGCCTCATCCATCAGTTCGAGTGCCAGCGCCAGCTCCGTCGACTCACTCAACATCCCTCTCCTCGAGGCGATCCTTCGTTCTCCGATATTTGCTCACCTATACTACAACCACTCGTACCGCGCGACCCGGCCGACTCTCCGGCCGTTATCAGGCCAGACCGCCAGCCCTCTCCGCCGGCAAACGCGGGAAGATATCCACCCCGTCCTATCGATGCTGCATTGCCTTCTCCCGCCTGACTTTGACGGAGAGGATGAGCACCACCGTACGCACAGAGGGTATCTGCGGGAGATGGTATACACCGCTTCGAACTATACGGAGAAGAACGACTGGGGACCCTTCAACTCGGACGGAGAGGTTGATTGGCGTTTGCTAGATGCGCTGTCAAGTATCATGAGTGAGTGCAGGAGTGCTCATCTTTGGCAAAATACTGTCGAGCTCATATCGCAGTGGCCAACGCGCGAGATGTGATTGCTCTCGGCGAAGATTCGTGGCGGCTGGCTCTGCAGCCCCTATCTTTCGGACTGGAAGCTGTGCGTGGCTGGGGATGGATCGATCTGAGACGGCCGGTAGACTTGGAAGCGGATGATGTATGGGACTGGGCGGGCGTAGAGGGAACATGGTGTGGCAGCTACGCTTTCCTCGAGTGAGTCTGCTTCCGACCGATCCACAGCTGGGTCTTGCCTCGACATGCCATCATCTTACTTCTCGCCTGCATCGCTGACTCCTTAGCTACGCCGACTGGATCACCTTGAATGAACCTCGCATTGTCGCCCTCCGGCGCCAAGTCGGCCAGCTCGATCTCGCCCGGTACGCCGAGGCCGTGGGCGACCTCCTCCACATGCACCTCACCATCGACCGGCCATGTGACAAGTCCAAAGACTTGCTACCACCCGTCACATCCGGCATCCCCACCGGCGATCTTCTCCCGCCTATACACTTCTCGGGCAGCTCCGCACCGACCAGTGCGGCCTGGCCTTCGCCTGCCGCCTCGTCCTTTGTGCGGGGTACGGTGCAGCTTACCGCGGACTGGCCGCCGCAGGTCAGGTGGACGATGGTCATTCGGTATGGAGGTGAGGATCGGTGGAAGGTCGAGGGGGTGCAGATGGGCGGGAGGGGGAGTAAGCGGGGCTTCTTTGGGGTAAGTACAGCCAGAGGGTCCAGCGTGGACATAGCTGACGAGGCAGGTATGGACCGACGCTACCAAGGAGCTGCACTCCCCGAATGGACCAGCGTGGTACTGGAAGACCTGAGCCTTCGACGGGCATGTCATACCACGCCGTTCTCATATCACATGGGTTAAACGCTGTACCTCGCCCCCCCCGGTTGTCTTTTAGCTTGTACCCAATTTCTCCTCTTGTTGTGTTCCTTCCTTGTAGCGCTACCTTCATCTTGTAGAGCCTCGTGTGCCAGATGTATCGACTTCTTGGGCGAGGAGGCAGCACAGGTCAGCACAGGTCTATACAGACGCTAGGTCGGGGTCCTCGAGCATGCCGCCGGGAAGATCGACATTGCGTCATCGACGATCTCTCTGAGATTTCTGCAGGCCAAGAGGCACGAGCTGTCTTCATCGACAACCCATCGTCCAACCGTCTCATATTATCAACCAGTTGAGCTCAGTACATGCCCATATCGGCTCCCAGACGACTACCTTCTGCTCTCCAGCCCCGTCAGACCTTGTTATACCGCCCGCAAATCCTCCTTCGATCGCGCCTCCCCACTCGATCATTCCCCCACTTTACCTTTCTCCCCCGCTCCCAGACAGTCCGCAGTATGACGAACCGGCCCTCTCGCTCTCAGGCACCACCGGCTCCTTCTCCTACAAGTAGCTTCTGCTTGGACTGTGGACGGGTCATGCGTACGTCCCCCTCCCACGCCTTCCGCCTTGACGCAATCCCCACCTCCCCTCTCAATATGACTAGACATCGAAGCTGATTAGCTAGCGGCTCCACTAGCTGATACCACTACGCCCCGGAAATACTGCTCTGCCTCTTGTCGCTCCCGCTCGAAAGACCGCTCAAGGACCGAAGGGCGGAAGAGGCTCATGGAGGCGTACAAGGGGCTGATGGCGAAGAAGGGAGCCAAGGGGGTCGTGCTGTGCTCTGAAGCAGAAACAGACGCCGCGACTTCAGGACCATCAAGCACTACGGTACAGGATACGGAAGGCGGAGCTAGCTCAGAGACCGCAGCGGCAGGAAGCCCAAAGAAGGGAGGCGGGGACCACCAGGACGGGCGGGAAGAAGCGAGACGGGCAGCACGCCGTCTCGTCAACTTTGGCTGGCGGTCCCAGGGGGTCGAAGAAGACCGGGCGGTCGAGGCTGTACAGGACGGGAAAGTGGTAGAGGCAAGTTTCGCAAAGGGCGAATGGGGGATCAGATGGGCAGGACGATGAGAAACCTATGTTCCACATACATCCGCCAAATCTAGCAATTCTACCTACAAAGCAATCAAGCACACTCCCCGCTGAGCAACTTCCGCCTGATCACATCCTCCACACTCGAGGTCCACGCTGAATAGGACGTCCGCCCGATCCGGATTAAGATATACGGGGATATTGACAGTTGATGCCTTCTTCTCTTCGCCGCCTGGCTCCGACTTGCGCCAGACCAGCTGACACGTCTGCAGTGGCTCGTATTGACCGTCGTTGAGCTCGAGGCGGCCAGTCTTCCAGGTAGCGCCTTCCACCTTCAGACCTAATACATCGGCTTGGCACTTCTCGCATAGACCAAGGAGATGCGAAGACTCACGGTCAACCTTGAACCCCTCCGCCGTGACATCCTCCACATCCAGCCCCAAAACCAGCTGCTCCAGGGACCATCCCTTCGCATGCGCCACCGCCTGCCTCGTAGCCGTCACGTATGCCTCGGGCTGGAAAAATCCGCCGAGCCAGACGCCCGAGTCCTGGTTTCCAGTGGAGATCCGCTCGAGCTGGGCAAGACGCAGGGTCATGCTCGCGATGAAGGCCGAGACCGAAGTTCCGCGTGGCATCTTGAACTTTCGCCAGTGCGAGGGAACCGAGCCTGTTCGTCAGCATATGCCCAGCGCGAGCGTATAAGCCTGACTCACCCTTATTGAGGTCAGACAGGAGCGTGCGGGACTCGTTGGTCTGCTTCAGCTGCCCGTCGCAGACCTTGACGAGATCGACCAGGTCGTGCCGGATCCGAGAGAGAAGTGACTGTCCGGTGGCCGTCTCGCGAGCGAAGAATCTCGCTAACGGTGAGTCCTCGGCGGGAGTGGACGAGAGTGTCTTATCCGTCAGCCAAGAGCCTGAGACAGAGACTGTGCAACTCACTTCAGGCAAGCTCTTCAACCACTCTTGCGCATGCACCTTCAGTGCAGTCATCCACGCTGGCCTCGCTTCAGCCGCCATAGTAGCCGATCCGACAGTCTCATCATCGTCATCCGTAGTCCGCATTTTCCTCAGCTTGCCAAGTATCGCCTCGCCTATCCCGTCAGCTTCACCCAAATCAATCGATCCTACGACTCACCTTCGGCTGTCGCGACGAGACTCTCCGCACTGCTCGGCAATCCCAACCACGCCGGCGGCTCCCTCTCTGGCAAGTTCTGCGCCCACGCGGTGAACTGCGGGATCTGCGTCCCTTCCGGAACAGCCAAATTCCCTCGATCACTCTGCACGAGCGCAAAGTCCGGATCATACGCCCGCGCCGAGAAGATGCGATCAACGAAAGCGTCCAGCACCCGCTGGTCAAAGTCCGAATCGACACGACCGCCGTATACCGCCTGCTTGATGAGGGTGCGAATGGCCAGCCAGGGTATCTGGGCAGGATCGACGTTGGCTTTGCCCTTGGCGAGCGCGGAAAGCCAGGTGTCGATCGTATTGAGCGCAGCGTCAAAGTCCGAGTCGTTGAACTCGTACGCTTTGCTCCAGCCAAGTGGAAGATACCGGAGCCGTTCTTGGACGACGGCATGAAACCATGCCAGGAGGAAGAAGAGGCGTGGCTTTTCGGCGGGACCGGAAGCGAGACGAGCGGGCTGCAGGCCGCGGAGGGTGTCGAGCAGGTTGGCGCGAACTCCGGGTGGGGGTTCGTTCATGATGATGCGAGACTGGCGGAGGATGTTGACGGGGACGGAGGGGTTGGTCTCCATGGTGAGGAAGAGGCGGAAGCTCGGGGCGGGGGATAAGCTGTGAAGTCGCTTCTCGAGCTGCCCCAGCCAGGACGGGGCGAGATGAACATTCTTGAGCAGTACCCAAGTGCCGGTACGTGCGGCGTTGGCGATGGCTTGGTCCGCCAAGCTAAAGCCTTCCGCGGAACCGAGAGCAACCGAGACGCAGGCAGTGCCGACGGTCCGACAGAGATTGTCGACGCGGTAGCTCGCGTCGTAGCCCGCGACCGAGGCAAGGGCGATCGGGTGCGTTGCGCGTACCTCGTCCTGGACGACTGTCTGGAGAGAGTAGTCGACTTGGCTGGTGAGATCCGCGCCGAATGTGGTGTCTGCAAACGCGGAGGATGCCTGGGCGAGCCGGTCGGGCCGGAAGAGCTTGGAAAGAAGCATAGCCCGAGCAGACTGGAGAACAACTGAAATCAGCTCAGCCCTGTTCTCAGGCTCACCATCTGTCACCCCGCCAGTCCAAGGCAAATCCTTCTCCGGTGCCGCCGCTGCCATGAAGGCAGACCATCGTTCTGGCCCGGCCGCCATGTCCTCCGTCATGCTCCGTACCGTGTCCGGACCCAGTCCAGCCAGCACCCGCCTCTGCTGCTCAGTGAGTTCCAGCCCGCCCGACGACACCTCCATGACTGCATCCAGCTCGTCCGCTACCGCCTCGGCCACATCCTCCTGCAGCCGCAGCCTCGCTAGCGAGATCGCCACCACCAGGTGATCCTTGTGTAGCAGTGTCCGCGAGACCCGCCTGTACGCCTGCAAGAAGAGATCGCGGAGGAGGATCGCTTTGCGCTCCACGGGATTGGTGATGCCGCCAAGGTTCGGGTTGGAGAGGAGGACATAATCGAAGATCTCGAGGAAGTAGTCGAGGGAGAATTGGTAAAAGTGATGGATATCCGAAAGCTGTTCGAGGGTAAAGTAGATCCCCGACGCGGCTTGCGCGAGCGGTAGATACTCGCTGGTCACCATCTCCACCTCCCGCATCACGACGTCCGTGTCCTCCACCTTGCGCGTGACCTCCGCCGCCTCCTTTTTGAGCACTTCCAACGTCGCAATGACCTTGTCATCATCCAGAATACTACCAGACGACTCGTTCAGCGCTTGCAGGAGCGACTTTTCGAGGTGCCTCAGTCGTAACCGGAACTCCCCCTGGAGCTTCATCAAGTCTGTCCGCTTCCGATCCACCTCGGGCCGCTCCACCTTGAGCACCTTATCGAGCGCCTGAGTCTGGAGACTGCTCCGTGTCATCGTAAAGTTGACAAAGGTCACGCGAGAGCAGATGTCTGGCGAGAACTCCACCGATGGGTCGCGGGTGGAGAGGAAGATCGAGAAGGCCGGGGAGAAGTCGATATCCTGGTTCCCGATACGAATGAGGACTCGGCCGCCCGTCCGCCGCAGCTCCCGATTGAGCACCGGATTGAGGATGGGGTCGAGATTCTCCACATCTTGGATGAGAAGGGGGTTGCCGAAACGGATCGAACTCTCCAGGTTCTTTAGGAAAGACTCGTCGAGGAAGCTAGTGACCGTGATCTTCCGGTCCTTGTAGGCGTTCTGGAGGAAGACCGCCGCTTGACCGGTAGGGTCGATAATGAGAGGATACCGATTGAACCGCTTGAGCATGATGGCGTTCTCAATGCACAAGTTGTCGACCGGAAGGGCATTAGACTGCCAGTCCAGCCGCTCGTCCGCCGTGGAGAGGAACTCTGACAGCGACAGCTCTGGCTTGAAGCTGATACCGGCGGCCGAGAGGTGGTCGACCCACTCCTGACGCATGACCTCGCGGTAATGCTGGTCAAAGAAGCCGCCGTATGCGAGGAACGCCGCCGAGATCAACACATCCCCGACGATGGTCCCCATCTCCCCCTCAAACGTCTTGCTCCCCTGATCCCACCGCTCCTGCTCGGACGACAGACTTTCCAGCAGCGTCACGCTCCGGTCCACCTTATTCTGCACCTTCTCCATCTCCGTCTTGATCGCCTGCGTCTCGCTGATCAAGAGCGCATACTCGTCCTTGTACTGCGCGATGGACGTCTCGAGACCGACCACCGTGTCCATGACGACCGTCGCCTGCTGCTTGGTCGTCCGAGCCTGCTTCTCCAGCGAAGCAACCTCGGCACGGAGGGGCTCGACCTTGTCGAGGATTTCGGAGAAGCGGACTTGGGCGATGACCCACTGGACAAGCGGTCCACAGGCCCGACTGGCCCGATTGACCGCCTCGTAGTTGAAGGCGGGCTTGGAGATGTAGTCCCGCATCATCTTTTCCCGGACCCGATTTGACATTTTGGCCGTGTCAAAGTTCTGGATGCTGGAAATGAAGTCATCCCGCCGGATAATGCTCTGGACCGATTTCCATCCGTCGACCTGGTGACCGAGGACCGTACAGGTCGATTCCATAGCCAGCTTGACCGCCTCGGGCGGCTGGGTCAGGGACCGGACTTCCGAGAGGTGCTGTTTCTTGATATTTCCGACCGCAGCAAGTGCTTCGAGGACGGCCGGCTCGGCCTGGTCAAGATCCTCCTTGACAATGGCCTGGCGCTGCTGGATGTACTCATCCTGCTGGACGAGCGCCGCCTGGATGTCGATCGACGCCGCCTTCTTGGCCTCCGCCTCCTGCTGGTCCGATACCATCTGCCTGAGCTTCTGATTGGCCTGGGTATTCTTTGCTTCCAGCTGGGTCCGCTTGGCAGCGAGGCTGTGCCGAAGCTCTTCGACTTGGCTGACGGTATCGCGCAATTTGTCGAGACCGACATTAAGGTGTCGCTGCTGATCCTCCAGCTCTTCCCGCTTCTCGCTGAACAGACGGACGTAGTGGTTGATGCTGCCAGTCAGCTCCACTCACAGAGACTAAACTTACAAGTCAAGGTAGTGCCTCGGGGTGATATGATTGTACTTCCCCTGCCTCGACGCCAAGCGCGAGCTGAGCCTCTGCAGCGACTGGTGGACAAACACCATGGCGTTGATGACCGCCGTCCGATGAGAGGGCGGAAGAGGCAGATCCCGGTAGACCTGGGGGAAGGACGCCGGGACCGTCCACGACGACGACTCGAGATCGACGGTTTGAGTAAACTCGTAGCCGACCTGGAACAGCGCCTGATCCGACCAATCCCCGAACCAGTCCAGAACGCATCGGTTGAACAGCGCAGGCGAGGTAGCCGCTCTGGAAGCGAGACCGTTGGCGGGCGGGTTCATAGTGAAGACGACGTGGAGATTCCGAGCGACTTGCTGGGTGAACCACCGGTAGAGCTCCTCGTGCGAGTCGAGCATGAGCCCGTCTCGCTGAGATCCCTCCTTGCAAGCCGTCATCAGCGCGGCGTGCTCGTCTCCCTCGAACAGACCGGGTACTTCCGCGTTGGCGAGTAGCGTGTTCATCCGCTCCAGGAAGCCCGAGTCGAGGACGTTGGATTCGTCCATGATGAAGCAGATCTTCTCGCCCTTGCAACCGGCACGACGGAGGACAGTCCGGAGGTCCTCGTCAAAGTCGGCCGCAGTGTACTTGTTGGACACCTTGATCTGGAAGATGCTGAGGCCATTCATCCAGGCGACAAAGCGGGAGAGGGTGGTCTAGATCAGCCCCACCTAAGCATCGAACTCACCTTGCCGCTTCCACTGACACCGATCAAGAGCAGATGCCCCTGAATCTGGCGGAAGACTCGGTCTATCCGCAAAACGTGATCTAGCACGTCATTGAACAGGACCAGCTGAACGTCCAGCTCCTCCTCGTGAAACACCCGCAGCCTCGCTTTGGTATATTCCCGGAGTTGCTCCCGGTCAACCGGGATGTAATGCCGGGTAGTCCAGTTCGAGTAGAGGATGGGCCGAGCTAGCGCCTCGCCGAGATTGACACTTGGGAAGTGGGCCTTGGCGGTGATATCGATGAGATCGTCCGTCCAGAGCTTCTCCGCCTCCGTGACCAGCCTGTCCTGGAAGAGCCGAAGCGCCTCATGCGCCCAGACTCGGACCAGTCCCTCGGCCGACAAGGTCTCCAGCGGTTTGATGGACTCGTAGATCCCCCTGCTCCACCGCGTGAGCTCTCGCGGAGAGTAGATGTAGTGGGCGTGCATGTCCGAGGTGAAGTGCTGTTGGGAAGCGAGGTAGAAGGCGACCATGGCGTCCGTGAGGGCGTCCGCTTGACCGCGAAGGTTGGGAATGACCTTGAGCAACCCTCGGTTGAAGGTGCTGTAGATCTGCTTGAGCGAGATTTCGCCTGGATAGTCGACCATGACGACGGGTGCATGGCGCATGAACCGATGGCTGAGGGGAACCCGTCCAGGGTCGGTAGGCGGATTACAGGCCCCGACGAACTGGATCCGCTCAAGGCTGACCCAGGCGAGATCGCTTGTCCGCCAGAACCCGTTCGACTCCATGAGCTGGCGGAGGAACGAGATGACCCGCTGAGTCCCGTACTTGTCGGTAGCCGGCAAGTTGATCTCGTCGCAGAAGACCACGAGCCACCGGCCGATCTGATTTGGAGCGAGTATAACGCCATTGGGCGTCTTGCGGTACTCGCAGTACTGCTCAAACGTTTTGAGGATGAGTTCCGGCGTGGTGGCACTGGAAAAGTTGAGTCCGACGACCTCGAGGTCCGGAAGTTTGCGGAGGGCACTGAAGAGTGTCATGGTCTTACCGGAACCGGGCGGACCGCAGAGGATGAGCGGCTTGTGCTCGGCCAACCACGAGTACAGGACCTCCTCGTGGCGCACAGTGTCGATCGTGGGGATGACAATGTCTGCCGCAGTGATGGCGTGGGTCTCGACCTCGACCGTAGGGACTCGGGATTGCCATGATGTCCAGGCAGCAGTGGCTACCTCGACGTCAAAGTCCACCAGCGAGCCGCCGGGCGAGAGCTGCGGGCATTCGATACCGGAGGAGATTCGCAGATGGTCGCCTAGCTCTGCCCTTGCCTTGAGCGGGGCGTCACCGGCGAAAGACCAGACAATGTCGAGGAGGAGATGACGGGTGACGTACCCCTCGATCTTGTCGATGGGGAGGGGGAAGTCGGAGTGGCGGCCATTATACTCGAGCACCCGCCGAATGGTCGCTTTGACGAGCGAGAAGAGGGTGTTGAGCGCGCGGATCTCGGTAAAGTCCATGATGTGCTCGCGGGACTTGACAAAGTCAAGCGCACCATGGACAAGGGCGCCGGGGGCAAAGTACGGGCGCAGAAGGGCAGCGATCTGCTTTTGGACCGCCAGCCGGTTCCCGGCAGTACTGCCCGAGTCAATGTCCTCCTCATCCGATCCGAGCGAGTCTTCGGCGATGATGTCGAGCTGCTGCATGCAGATCATGCCAAAGTCGATGGTGTCCTCGCTGAACCAGACCATCCCGCACCGACTGACCGTAGCGAGCGTGGCGTAACGGAGGTGCTCGACCTCGAACATGATTCGCACGTTTGGCGGAAGGTTGAGGCGTTCCCCATTGGGCAGGGTCAGGAGCTTGTTGTCATCGAGGACACTGTAATATCAGCTGAGACCACGTCAGCTTTGCCCCCCACTCACCTATTCAGATTCTCCACCCATTCCGGGTCGACATCTCCGTCAAAGACAATCCAGTGTCGCTTGGTCGTCTCGCCTCGGACGTTGTCGACGATTTTGCGCAGGATGTGGGTGAAGAGCCCATCGTTCCACTCGCGGGTGGTAGGGTCCAGCGTACCGTACAGCGCCTCCTTGTCGATAGCTTTCGGGTCGATGACGTACGACACCCCCTCCGTCCCGTCCAGCCTCTCCAATGCCGCCAGCAGCACCTGCCATGCCTGGGTCTTGCCCACCCCGGAAGGTCCGACCATCATGAGACCATGCGAGATGTTCTGGATTTGACAGAGCTGGACGACCTTGTCGACCCAGGCGTCGCCAGGGACCAGCCGCTTCTCAGCGCAGACCTCAACGATCTTGGTTCGGAGGGCGAGAAGGTTGACGGGGGCGTATTCGACGTTGGGGAAGACATCGCCGAGGAGACTGGAATCAGCTTCAGGACAAAACCAGACTCACGCTCTGAGAAGAGGCACATCTTCGGCCACGAGCTTGGGCACAATCGTCTCCGACACACTCTGCATCATGATCTGCTGCTCCAGCACCGCCTCATCCTCGACCGGCTCCGAAGCAAGCCGATCCCGCTTGATCGTACCCGCGCTCGCCAGCACCTGCTTGAGCGCTCGCAGCCCAAAGTCGTAATGCGGCTGGGAGGAGAGCTGTTCCGCACAGAGGTTGAAGAAAGGGACGACCTTGGAGGCGAGCACCTCGGCCATCCGGAAGCCTTTGGAGAAGAGGAGGACTTGAGCAATGAGCTCTTGATCCGGCCTGGTCATCGACATGCTCCGGAAGAGCTTTTTGAGGTTGTCGGGGAGGTTGGATCGACCAGCGTAGCCCGGGTTCATGGTGATAAAGATACCGGTACGAGGGTTGATCTTGAAACGCTTTCCGACCAACTCGACCTCCGCGGACGGGCTCTTGGCCGCTTCCGCCAAGCTCTGCTGGATGCTCTGCACCTGCTGCGAGACGGCAGACAAGATCCGCTCCTCCAGCCTGTTGAACTCGTCGAAACAGCCCCAAGCGCCGACCTGGCACAGACCGATAAAGATCCGCCCCATTGCTTGAAAGTCGAAAGTCTCGTCGCAGCAAAAGACGAGGACAAACCGACCGAGAGCCACGCCGAGGGCTTTGACCGATTCCGTTTTGCCGGTACCGGCCGGTCCAAAGGGGGACCCACCGAGCTGGTTGGCGAGCGCCTGGGTGAGAGTGAGATAACAGCGGTCCGTGAGCGGGGTCTGGACGAGCTTGTCGGGGACGCCGAGGTACTCGTAGCCGTACGGGAACACTGCGTCCGCCATCCGGACCTCCAGCTTGAGCAAGGGGTCGTCGACCGTTTCGTCGAGATAGTACCGCATGTGGTAGAGCCAGTCAAAGTTGGCTTTGTCCCGCACGCCCGAGCTGATGAGGGCCCGGATTACGTCTCGCTGGTGGACGAGCTCGGTGATGAGGTGCTCCGCCTTCCGCCGCTGCAGATTGAGAATGTCCTGCAGAACGGTATCCGCTAGCAGATCGAGGGTCTGCGATACCAGGTCCAGGACCGAGCTCAAGCCGTTGGTGGCGATGGCGGTCTCGACGAGCTCGGTCCAGACGACCTGAATAGCGAGAGTGACGAGCTGAGCGGGGAACCCGCCGATCCACTCGAGGAAGCCGGCCGAGTCCGGAGCCGCAGCGACCGAGAAGAGCGATCGAAGCTGTTCGACCGCGTGCGATAATAATGATGCCAGTGAGAGGCGCATCTCCGATTCGACCTTGGCGAGCCAGTCGTTGATTCTGGGATAGTCCTTCAGGAGGATCGGCGACCGGAAAGAGATCTCCTCGCCTTCCTTCGACGCAAAGCCCAGCAATTGCGTCTCCTCCTCATCCAGCTGCAGCGTCGAGATCCCCGCAAACATCTTTTTGAAATGCTTCATGATCCGCCGGATGTCCTTGCTATTCCCGATGATCTCTAGGAGGTCCTCGTCCCCGACGAAGTAGAACCGGGGGAAGGATGACCGCTCCTTCTCCAGGTACTCTCCGAGCGCCTTCTGAATCTTCACGAGAAGATCGGCGAGACGCTCGAGGTTCTTTTGGATTCCGGGGACATTGAGAATGTCGAGGACGAAGGGGGACTTGTTGACCTTCTTCATGACCGTCAAGAACTCCGAGTTGATGTTCTGGAAACGGGCGCTCTCGACGGGGAGTAGATGCTTGATGTCGGCACTACCGGAGAAGATACCTTCGAGGTATACCCATTGCCGCTGGACGTCGATCCACACGTCTGAGCGTTCAACTCGATCCCACCTGCAAAAGCTAGAAGCTACTTACCGAACAGTACATGTATGCGATTCAACCGCTCCTCCCAAGCGGCAGCATCCTCCTCAAACACCCGATAATACGGGGAGAGCTTCATGGCCGACAGCGAGTTGAGGTGCTCGCTGCACTTGTTGAAGAGGTCGTCCCAGCCACTTCCATCATCAGCTGCAGGTCTCTCTGAAGTTGAGCAGACTGACCGGATCAAGCGGCACTTGTTCTGGTAGTTGACCAGATCCAGGCCGTACGAGGTCCAAGTCTCCTTGACCTGCTTGATGTATTCCTCCAGCGCCATCTGGGGATCAGCGATAACTAGGCTAGTAGCTTACCTCTCCCTGCGCCTGAAGTGTGACCTCCTTGATGAGACTCTCATTCCGCTTGAGGTCCAGCTCGTAGACCTGACCAAGGGTCATACTGCCAAATCAGCTGATAGCTCGGGGTCCGAGGGGCCGACTCACGAAGTGGCTGAGAAGCTCGACGGGATCCGCAACGCCTTGTACAGCTTAGCCCAATGCCTCTCTCTCAGTGCCTCCGACTTGAGCTCCGCCACCAGCACGTTGGCCTTGAGCAGCGCGCGGATCGTCTCCTGGACGTATTCGAAAGCGGCGTATTGACGCATCCGGCTCGGCATGTCTCTGGTCGAAGCGAGGATGCTGTCCAACTCTTGGCGGAGCTTGCGGGGTTGGACTGCACTCCAGAGCTGTTCACGAAGTTGGGACAGACGACTCCAGATACCGGACAAAGCGGTCCAGACGGCCTTGAGGTCGCGCAGCTCCTCGGTGACGGGCTGCAGGCGGTCGTCCCGAGTATGTTCGAGGTCGAGGGCTTCTTTTGCGCGGCAGACAAGGTCATAGTCCTCCGTTAGGCGGGTGAGGCGGCCCTCAAAGACACTGAGAGTGTTGATGGCGGTCTCGGACTTGATGCTACCTTGCAGCGGTCTGCGGTGTAAGCTTCGAGCCCTGTCACTGCCGGGGAAAGGGTCGCTCACTTGCTTGTATCCCACTCTGCCAAATAGTCTCGGATGCGGCCATCGATAACCTTGTCCTCCGCCACGATCTTCAGCTGAAGACCGGCTACGATATCAGCTCCACTCTTTTGTCCGACTGGATCTGTACTTACCGACTTGCTCCTTGATCGAGTCCTCCTTCCGCTTCAGGATATCGCAGAAAGCGCTCCACTCTCCCTGGATCTGGTCCACATATAGCCAGTCCCCAGCAAAGGCGTACCTCTGCCTCTCGAGCGTCTTTTGTCCGATCCCAAAATGCTCAATATCCGGGCCCCACTGTTGGACCTTCCGATTGAGATCCTGGACGAAGGTGATGAACGAGACCGCCTGTGCGGTTGATCCGCCCTCGATCGACATGATCTCGAGGTCGCTCCTCGCCTTTTGGATGGCCGAGTACGTGTCCTTCATAGACGTCCCGAGCCGGTTGCCGTAGCGCGAGAGGAGTTCCCGCTGCCAGGCATCGTACTTGGCATTGACTTTGCTTTGGGCATTTGCATAGTCGATGATGCATACGCCAAAGTCTTTGCGGGTGTCGGTCGTGTCGAACGTACTGCGGGCTTGACGAATGTCCGAGAGGAGCTGGCTCCACCCAGCGAGTGAGTCACCGAGCCGATTGTAGACCGAGTCCGCCTCGAGGTCCCAGAGGGCTTGGAAGCGGAGCCACTTGTCGACGTACTCGCCGACCGACCGGACTTTACCTTCAATCAGGCTGACGGCCCGAGTGAGGACGCCCTCATCAAGGTCGGCGAGCAGTGTGGCGTAGGTGTGGTCCTCCTCGTCGCCATCCACCTGGAGACTAATCTCGTAGCGGGAGCTGCGGACCCGACCGAGGTTGCAGATGACGCCCATAGTGTCCTGGAGCTGGTCTAGCCAGTCTTGCCGGGCATACTGAATTGGCGGATCGAGGTAGATGACCTGGTTCCGGATGCGGATCTCGTGGACGAGGGGTGTGATCTTGATGGGCAGTGCCTGATATCAGCGCTAGCGAGAGAGGAATAGCGAGATTTGACACACCTTTGTCGAGCTCTCTGCACCCATGTTCCCATTCGGCAGATCTCTATCCTCCCCGTGCATACTCGAGAAGGCAACACACCACCCGTTCACAGCCTCCGCCAAACGCTGCTTGAGGACCACGTCGACTCGATCGTTGAGTGCCCCGACCCAAGAGTCGAGGTTGCTGTAATTCTCGAGGTTGAGGTGGTCGACCTGCAGTGTCAGCAACTACCGGCAGTAGATAGAAGCTTCAACTCACGGTCTTCTGCAGGACGTTCAACAGCGCCTCGAATGCCTCCGTCGTAAACTCGCACCTCTCCAGCTCATCCACGACCCGGTCAATCTCCTCCGAGATCTCGACCACCGCAGCCGTCTTATCCTGAAGCAGGGATATCGTACTCGCAAACTCCCGCACAAACACAAAGTGCCGGCTCTCCCGCCCATCCGTACTTCCCCCGGTGGCGAGTCGACCTCCGTCGTAGGCATTGAGCAGGTGATCCCACTGCATGTTCATGCCGCGGGTAATCATCTGCTGCGCGGAGGTGCGGTAGCTGGCGAGCAGGGTGGCGATGTCCGGCTTGGTCTCGATGAGGTCGGTGGTCTGAGTGTATACCCGGACCGACTCCATGAGGCTGACGGCGTGGGGATAGACCCGCTTGGCATCTTTGGCGCGGTGGCTGATGGTAAGAGGGACGGGGAAGCCCAGCCAGATGAGCGCCCGGACCTCTTTGAAAAGGGCGATAACCTGCGCATCAAACTGGACGACCAGTTGAAGCGAGCCGTTAGCGTTCGTGGCAGTAGGGCGAGACCGAATGACGTCAAAGAGCCGGCCGTTGACCGTCAAATTGCCCCGACGGTTGATATCGGCCACCCAGGCGTCGTACAACGGCCGGGTGTTGAGCTTGTCCCGGAAGGACTGGCTCTCCACCTGGAGCTTGTGACCCTCGGCGTAGCTCTCCCATCCCTTCCCCAGAACGTCCTCTACCCGCTTCATGTACGTCAAGAGCTGCCGCTCGATCTGCCGCGCCCAGATGATGGCGCTCGATACAGATGGGAGATCCCTCATCTGCGACATGTGGTACGCCTGCGAGTTCCGGTAATTGGCGGTGAACTTTTGGCGGAGGAGACGGATGTCCTCCTTGACCGAGTCGATCAAGCGAGTCTGATATTCTTGGATGGCGCCCCGGATCTTGGGTCGGACGAAGAGCGAATTGAATTTCGAAAATGCGCGGAACATCTCTTGCGCATTTCGGGCGGTCGCGAGCTTATCCCGAAGCCGCGAGATGATCTGGTTCTCGATCCGAGCGACTCGGTCATTGTACGCCGTTTCCGCCGTGTACCAGATCTCCGAGCCCTCTGTGTGATCAGCTCAGTCCCTAACAACATGGGGTAATGCTCACCCGGCGAAACATCCAGCACATCGACATTCTTGACGCTCTCGTAGCTTAAGCGCACCTCCTCGTCCATATCGATCTCAAACGGCGCCTCACTGCCCAATCCGCTGAACCCGCCGGTCGAGCTGGTCATGACCCGGAGCTGCTCGTGTGACCGGCGGAACGCTCGGAGGTAATTTACCCGCTCCTGCAGCTTGGCGTGTGCGGGGTTGATCTTGATCGAGATGAACTTTTCGGCTCTCTTGCGTGACACTAGTGAGTGAGTTTCCGCGCCTTCGCACAAGGAGGTAAAAGAAGGAACACACCTTCTCTTGCCACGTTCGTGAAGTCCTTCATGTTCTCGTCCCACGTCGCAAACACCTCCTGCGCCTGCGATATGACCACCTCGAACTTGGCGTGATCCATGTACATCAGGCGCTGGCTGCTGAGGACGCGAAGCAGCTGGTCGTTAAGATCCGATGAGATAGCTTCGACGAGGGGCAAGATACGGCGGATGGGGTAAGGACTGATGATCAGCTAGGGACTGATTTGGTGAGCACGGGAGACGCACGATATTTTGAGCTTTTTGTTGATGTGGGCGAAGATCTGAAAGATGCCTTCCTGGATTTTCTCCAAATCGGTCGCGGCGAGCAGCTCGTCGAGGGGAAAGTCCTTCATCAGGATGTTGTACTTGTGGACTGCTTGTCAGCGGGAGACCAGACGCCGTGGAGGTTAAGGCTCACCGAGCTCGGCAGCCTCCTTGAGACCGGTATCCGCGATGAAGCTAACGGTCGCGTGGAATCGCTTGGCATGCTTCAACACGTCCAGCGCCAGCGACACCTCTTCACCCCTCAGCTGCGCCTCGATATCCTCCAGCGCGTGCTCCATACTCAGCCAGAAGTTGACTTCCTGACTGGCAGTGCCCGACCCTACATCTCTAGACAGCTTCGTCACCGCCTGCACCTCCTTGACCCAGGAGTTGACATCCGCCTGTAACTTGTTGAGGAACGCCGGATCGCTGAGGAGGGATTGTGGCTCGACCGCGTCGATGGAGATGCGGTCGCCGCCGGCTTTACTGGTCGCGACGGCTTTGCGAATGGCGGGGTGGATGGCGAGTCGCGCTTCGGGTATCTCGACGTTTTGTTTGAGGTGTAAAAGGGAGAGCTCCAGCTCGGCAAACTTCTTCTTTGTGATTGGTATCCCCATTTGCGCCTCCCCGCCCTTCTTGGCAGCCAGCCCCTCCTGCAAAGTCTGCTTGGAGTTGACGTACGAGTCAAACCAGGGCGCGACACCCCAATGCACTAGGCTATGAAGGCCTTCGTACGGGGTAGATTGGGCTGATGGGGTTGACACGACTGTTGACGCCCCTGATACGCCTCCATCATCCGCCATGAGCATTGGAGCGGATGATGATGAGAGCTGTACAAAGTGAAGTTGTGTGCCGAGGGGAAGGAGGGAGTCAAGGGTCGGGGAGGTCTTGATTAGGGCGAGGGTAGAAAGGGTGGATGAGGAATGTGGAGGAGTGGGAGGAAGGTAAAGGCGGTAGCTGATATGTGTGGCCGAGATTTCTGGACGTCAGTCGGTGACTAAGGCAAGTACTGCAAGCCTGAGGTCTCTCCACACGTACCATCATCGTCCATCGTTGCGAATCGTTCCTTCGTGATGTAGACCACCTGACAACCGCCGTCGCCTGCAAATCGCAAGACCTGCTCCTCAAAAGATGGCTCTACGAACAATGAAGCCTCCAGGTCGGACGCCGAAGCCGACATGACTTGATTCATTAGCTCTCCCTTCGATGCTTGGCTGGATTGGCCTACCTGGAGGCAGCAAGGTTGAGAGGTACGTGCGGAACACCCCGACATCGAAAAGATCCGTGCCGTTTGTGGGCGCCCCAGGAACAGCTGGTGAGCCATCCTGAAGGCTGGCAGTAGCCATGCTGCACGGTCACGAGCTCTGAGAGTCCTGACTCTGCAAGATTGAGGTAGAGAATGGTTGAGTGAAGGTAACTTGGGTACTCGTTGCGCCAGGGGCGCGCACACACACGAAACGCGTCCACCTGAGCCAGCGGCGACCGCCGCCAGTCTTGACGTGTTTCATCGCCCGGGTGGCGTATCTGAAACGCGTGCCTGCCACGTACCCTCGCGCGAAGCACGGCCTGATGATCCCTGGCGGGGTCATCAAAGGAGAGTCAGAAACACAACCCATCCGCAACCTTTCAAAAGAGTCGATCCATTGATAGGGAAGGCGAAGCAGAGACTCACACGCGATCGAACAGCTCACGACTCGCCACCGAGCGGCGACCCTTTCCCAAGCGACAATTGGGAGTTTCCCCTCCGTACTCTCCTCTGACTATCATGCCGGAAACATCACACCTAACAAATATCGGCACCGACGAGAGGCCTACATGGAGGTACGATGGGAGAGTCGCCCACCAAGATACACAAAGCCGGAGTCTTTCGACGGCAGTCGCGCAGGGATGTGAAACCAACCGTCGTCCGTCGATCCTACGATTAAGTGAGGCGGAAAACTCACAGCTGTCTGGTCTATGGCAAAGACGCTCGGCGGAAGCCGATCTTCCGTTGGGAGACTTCAAGAAACGGTGGTTCATCCGGGCAAGATACGAGGCCACAGAATCGCGCCAAATCTTACTAGATCTGTCGATGGAGGACATGCTGAGTACCGATGCCTTCGGCACGCTATTGCCGGGGTCTATACAGGGACCTGGAGATATCCGATGGCTTCGTTGGGCTAGCTTTGTCGACACCAAGCGTCTGGAAGCTCTCACAACAGAGGTGCTCGATTACTACGATGACGAGTCTGATGGGATGGCAGAAGGGCAATCGATGACTGTTGACTGGCGTCCCGATCATACAGTGGAGGCGATTCACCAATCTCGGGCTCAACATGAGCGAGGAGCGTCAGAATATCCCATGGGGCTGACTGACCCCGGCGCCCAAATCTATCTCTTGAACTATCATGGACGAATCATTTATCACACCGAGACGCTTGAATACGCTGTGACGCAGTCCCGACGTCGGTCACTGAGCGAGATATCTGCGATGATTCCGGAAGGACTGCAAGAAGAGGTCGATTCTGTGCTCAAGATGCTTGCCCCCGAAGACTGTGAAAGCAATACATGGGAGCGCCAGACAAGGGCTCGAGTTAAGAAGGCAACATTGTGCGAGCTCCTGAGAACCCACGAGCGCTTGCTTGATATGCCCTTGCGGGTCATGGCTGGGACGGGAGTGTACGGAAGATGCAGGAAGGGAGAGTGGGAGCCTCAAGAGTGGTTAGCGTGGGCGAGAATGGTTGACGCAGAGGTCTTCACAAGGGGGCTGCCATCTGACGCTCCCGCTGGCGCCGACGTGGACGATCAGCGTGCCGAGGAGCTCGACATCACTGAAGCGACGGGAGTGGATTCGATGGACAGTGACGGAAGCCTCGGATCTGCAGACACGGCTGCTGGCCTCCGCGACGAAGATGGAGCTTCGGTATTCTCTGAGAGCCTCAGCGACGATCACTGGATCAAGGCGTATCTGCTCAATTATCAGGGAAGAATTGTCCATACCACCCAGATTCTTGAGGAAGCAGTGCGGAAATCCAGGAGGCTGTCTCAGCCCCAGATCTATGCGATGGTTCCGAAGGAGCGACACGGAGAGCTCAGTAAAGAGCTCAAGAGACTGGCGCCCACGGACTCTGAAAGCAAGTCATGGGACCGCGAGACAAGGTCCCGAGTGGAGCGGACAACGTTGCTGGAGCTCGCAAAGACACATGTGCGCTTACAAGACATGCCCTTCCGGGTGATGACGAGGACCAGGGCGTACGGAAGGTGCAGGAAGGGCAATTGGGAGCCCGAAGAGTGGAAGGCATGGGCACGGATGGTGGACGCAAAGGTCTTCACGAGCGAGGGGCCCGGCACGGAGATGCGCCATCCGTCAGCCCCAACAAACAACACTGCCGCTCAGATTGGCTCACCAGTCGCGGATGGGCATGAGCGACATCTTTCTGATGCGGATCTCATGGATGTACCGCAAGGCTTCATGCCAGCTGGGCATATCCTGGGACCCCGGGTGGATCAAGCCGACGAGCTGAGGGATGAGGACTGGGCGGAGATCCTGCGTGAATTGATCCCCGCTACCCCAGTGCCAGGAGATGGTTTAGCTCCGCAAGAAGAAGGTGAAGAAGGTCTCCGCGACTCAGACGCCGTCGACTTTGACGCAGACTCTGCTCTGCACAGGTCAGCTCTTGAAAGACAAGAGTCCCCCATGGATGAGTCCTGGGATGAGCTGCCTGCTCTTCCAGAATACATCGACCCCCAAGATCTGCTCCTCTCCCCCTCGCCTCACGGAGAGTATCGCGGCGAGTGATAGTTGTTTGATGATCCAGAAGTTGCTCATGTATCCGGCCATCGACCCTGTTGCGTGCTCCCCGCGTCCACTTTGCTGCTTTTGTACATGTATATCATTCTTGTGATGGTTGTGATATGAGAGGGCAGGTGTACAGTATAGCGCAACAGGTTCGGCGTCAGCCTTAGGTCTCGATCGTCAGCCTTTAATGAGTCCTCTATTGATATAGACAGGCCCGGGTCATGTCAAAGACATCAGTATCTGTGATCATTGTCCTGACATTACATGACTCCCTATCTACCACCAAGTCTACGAAGCCGCCCCCAGCTCTCCCAACGCTCTTACAAACGCCGTCGGATTCAAAATCTCCGTACTCCCATATGTAATCTTCTTCCCACCTCCTCCTCCCTCCCGCTGACTCCTCGCCGCCCACTCTAGCAGATTCCCATACTCCACATACCCACCTCCACCCACCACAAACACAATCGCCTCTTGATACTGCTGTCGCCCTTTACCCGATTGCGCCGGCGCCCTCCCTCGTGTCGAGCGAGGATCGAACGACAGGTAGTCATCCGTATCTTGCAATGCCTGCGTGGCGGCCGTTGTGGGCTCGGTAAGGGCTTCGACTATACGCGTGACGGGTAGCTCTTTTCGGACGGGGAGGAGGTTCTTGACGCCCGAGATGAGGTTGTCGAAGCCTGCGCCGGTGATTCCACCTTCTCTCAGCCGGTCAGTGATCTGAAATATCAGCCAGGTACACCATTCAAGGGAACGTCCAAGCTTACCCTGCTGCCAAGAGCGCCGAATCCTCTTGTCCACTCTCCACCCTGAGGAGCAGACGCCACCACAGCCGGCTGGGTCGCCATCATCGTCATCCGCGTCACCTCCCGCACCTTCTTGACATAATCCAGCGCCTTGACATCCACCCCATTCTCCTGCAACTGCTTGACCAGTTCCGCCAGGTCGTCCTTGGAAAGCGCCGAGTCCGGGACGGACAGGTAGTAGATGATGACGAGTCGGAGCTGGTCCTCGTGTGTGGGGTTGACGGTCTGTCCGGGCTCGTCCGTCTGGCCTTTGAGTGTATTGACGATGATGGATTTAGGCTGCTTGGTTGCTCCTTCTTCGACCTGGAAGAGATTGTCGAGACCGCGCTCCTTGATGGCCTGGAGCAGGGCAGTGGCGATGTTCATATGTGTGTCGAGTGTCTGTTTGCGGGCGGTAAGCTCGGGGAGGGCGGTAATGGCTGTTTTGAGGTTGGCAGTATTGGAGGAGAAGTCTCTGTACTCTGTCAGCTATGAGGAATCGTCGAGAAAGGGGGAAAACTGACATTTGTGAAACATCGTTGACATCGCTGATACCCGTTGACCTTGTCAACTCGGCAGCATCGGTCTTGTACCGCCCAAGCTCAGTGTCGATGTCCTCCGCCACCTGAGGGAACGGGTTTCCGGCGTTCTTGGCCCAGAAGAAGTCTTTCGAGTCGATATCGTACGATTTCTTCTGGAGTTTCCCATTCTCAGGTGACTGCGATGTCAGCTTGGCATACACTGAGTGGGCAAAGCAGCTCACCTCGACGGAGACTCGGTTCAGTTTCATATCGAGTACATCATGTACTAGAGCCTGATATGTCCACGAGTGAGAAAGCATGGGGATGAGATCGATATTGCGGTCAAGAATGACCAGTACTGCTCGGTAAGCTTGGTCCAGCGGAGCGAGACACATAACTTACATGGTCTTTGTAGACTTGCCAACGCGTCTGAGCCGTATGCGTCACGTCCACCTCCCCTCTGAGATGATGTCGCGGCGAGATGATCCCGCAGCTTAGTCTCCAGCTTCCGCCCGACCATTTCGGCAGCATTCCCCCTCGGACACCGGATAATAGGTGTGACAGCTGGTTCATCAGTAAGACTCAGTAAGACCTCAGCGTCGCTGACGCATGACATACCCATGGTGACTGCAACACTGAATAGTCCCTTTGCCACCCGCTCAACCTCCTCCTCGATGTCCAGCTCGCTCGCCCTCGGATCGTTCAACACCACATAGCTCGGCCGTCCTTCCACCTCCTTTTCTCTCGGCTTCTGGCTTTTCTTCCCCACTGTCCCATTTGCCTCCTGCTGGATCTCTCTTCTGGGCAAGAGCGAGAAGAGGTTCGGCGATGGAACGAGAAAGTCGAGGAACTGGTCGTGTACCGAGGAGATGAGCTGGCCGGTAGCTCCTGATGGGTCATCGGCGAGGATGAGGGAGGCAAGCTCTTCGAGCAGTGAGCGAGGGAGGGCAGAGGTGAATGAGAGGTGGTATGAGGAGTACAAGGGCGGGTTGAGGTCCTGCTAGATTAGCCTAGCCCAATTTCTGACAACGTGCTCAAGGTAGCATACCTCAGCTATTCGCTTGATATTCGCCAGAGTCGGAGACACAAAGTAGACTGCAGGTACGTCAGATAGAGGTGGGCGCTGCGAATGCAATTGCCTATGAGTCAGCTTCCGCACGCCGATACTAGCGCTCGGGACAGCTGAAATTAGCTCACATGTGAAGCGTTACCCCCTGCTCTCTCAAGTCCTGAACGCGCAGACTCGTCGCCAAGATGTCCTTGCTCAGCTCATCCAGGATCAACACCTTCCACACCAACGTCCCATGGGTGGCTTCATCGAAAGCCGCGTTCTGGGTGGAAGCTCCGCCGGTCGGGAAAGCGGAGGTGCTAGCGGAGGTGGAGGCTATTGTTGTTGGCTGATTCAAATTGAGCAGCGTCAAGAGCGCATTTGTTTGCGATTGCAGTAATGTGGGGCGAGTCATTTTGGCTAGTGTCCAGAAGGTGTATAAAGCTGATGGAGGAACGTTGCCTGTGCACTGGCGTTGCTGTTGCTGGCGTTGCTGTTGCTGCGGTGGCGAGGAATGCTGGCTGGCTGGAAGCGCGTCCCAAGAATGCCACGTCATGCTTCAGGCCCTTACGCGAACGTGAAATATGGTTGACCACCTCGCCACCTCCTACTTCAACACTTTCTCAACACTTCACCAGCTCATACACCTCCTCAGCACCCAGCGACGTCCGCAGATCTTGTACTGGACTGCGCGAAAGGGTCTCAGTCGTGACTCTAGCCGCTCGAATTGTCCCTGGGCGTCATGTTCCGCCCTCAGCTCGCACCGGTCGACCAGCAGGACAAGCAATACGTCTCGCAGGATGTCCCGAGGAGAATGTAAGCCCTCCCTGACATAAGATCGCAAGCGGCTCGCTGATCATCCAGAAAGCACATCCAATTTCAGCCCTTCACGCCCAAAGATATCGTTAGAATATCAGAGGTCGAAGTCTCCACCCCCGACCTATACAAGATACACGAGAATGGAGACCGCACGACCGCACCGCATGGGCCGCTGGACGGGCGCATGGGGCCGAATGAGAAGGGAAAGCAGTGTCTGACGTGTGGGGAGCAGGCGGTAGCTTGTGTGGGACACTATGGATACATCAGGCTCGTATTGCCGGTATTCCACATTGGATACTTTAGGCCCACCATCAACATGCTGTCCTGCGTCTGCAAGGTGAGCTGGCTTTATCCCACTTTGGCTCGATTCAGCTTACATAGGTAGAGCTGCGCTCGAATTCTTCTCCCCGACATCGACCGTGCCGCTTACCTCCGCCGTTTCCGCCGACCCGGCCTCGAATCCCTCCAACGGCAAGCCGCCCAAAAGGCCGTCCTCTCCGCCTGCAAGAAGGTCACCATGTGCCCTCACTGCGGCGCTGCGAACGGGATCGTCAAAAAGTCGGGCGTCATGAAGATCTCGCACGAGCCATTCCGAGCGTCCAAGATGGCGACGCAGAAGGAGGAGTGGATGGCGGGATTCCAGACGGTGATTGGGGAGCAGCAGGGGATCTCGACACATTTGGCGAAGGCGGTGGAGGATCTGAATCCATTGAAGGTGTTGGAGCTGTTCAAACGGGTCTCTGCAGAGGTGAGCTAAGTTGATCCGAAGAGAGGCATCAAGCTGATCCACCAGGACGCGGAATTACTAGCCCTACACCCCGAAATAGGTCGTCCAGAAGATTACATCTGGCAATACATCTCCGTCCCGCCTCCAGCTATCCGTCCATCAGTCGCGTCCGAAGCCGGAAACAACGAGGACGACCTTACCGCCAAGCTCGCCGAGATCACCTCTCAAAACCGGTTACTATCGGCCATGATGGACGCAGGATACGGTATTGAGAATACCATGACCAATTGGGAGGTCTTGCAGCAGCTGGTAGCGCTGTACATCAACTCGCAGGCGCCAGGTATGGCGGCAGTGGCGGGAAAGCCAGTGAGGGGGTTTGTGCAGCGGTTGAAGGGAAAGCAAGGGCGTTTTCGAGGGAATCTGAGCGGGAAGCGGGTAGATTTCTCGGGGCGGACGGTTATTGGGCCAGACCCGAACTTGCGGATTGACGAGGTGAGCTGGGGTATGCTCCACGAAGAGGGCAGTCAGCTGACCATCAGGTCGCCGTACCAGAGAAAGTGGCCGTCAAGCTATCCTACCCAGAACGAGTCACCGACTACAACATGGAACTCATGCGTGCGGCCATCATCAACGGCTCCAGATCACATCCCGGTGCGAACGTCCTGGAGAAGATGGACGAGCGGGGACAGCCAATACGGATAGCGCTGCACGTTGTGAAGGATATCGAGAACCGGAAGAATACCGCCAGGAATCTGAAGATTGGAGATATCGTGCATAGGCACTTGAGGGATGGCGAGTAAGTGCCGCTGCCGGGCTTGGACGACGGAAGATCATGAAGCTGATCGATCAGTATTGTTCTCTTCAATCGACAGCCAAGTTTGCACAAGCTGTCTATCATGTGCCATCGGGCCAAGATACGACCTTGGCGAACGTTCCGGCTGAATGAGTGTGTTTGTAACCCCTACAACGCCGATTTCGACGGAGACGAGATGAATTTGCGTGAGCTTTTGCGCCAGCTGACTTGTGCTCAGCTGACACTGCAGACGTTCCTCAGACAGAGGAAGCGCGGACAGAAGCTCTCGAGCTCATGTCGGTCAAGAAGAACCTCGTCACCCCTCGAAATGGGGAACCCATCGTTGCCGCCATCCAGGACTTCATCACAGCATCCTACCTCCTCTCTCGGCGGGACCGCCTATTCGACCGCTCCCAATTCACCCAAATCGCCTGCTTCCTCGGCGACGCCAATCTCAAAATCGACCTCCCTCCTCCGGCCATCTGGAAGCCTACCCGCATGTGGACCGGTAAACAAATCTTCAACCTCCTCATGCGTCCCAACAAGGACAGCCATATCCTCGTCAACCTCGAAGCCAAGTGCAAAACCATGGAAAAGCCCTCGGACCCAAACTTCCCACTCGACATGTCCCCGAATGACGGGTACCTCGTCATCCAGAATTCGGAGGTCATGTGCGGTGTATTCGACAAGGCGACGGTCGGAGACGGAAAGAAAAACTCTGTGTTTGGAGTTATATTGCGGGATTATGGATCGGACGAGGCGGCCAAGGCAATGAATAGGCTGGCGAAGCTCGCGGCGAGGTGGTTGGCGAACCAGGGGTTCTCGTTGGGAATCAACGATGTCATTCCGGGGGAAATCCTGCAGGGTGCGAAGGACGGGCTGGTAGAGGAGGCGTACGCGGAGTGCGACCACAACATCGACCTGGCGAAGAGGGGATTATTGCCGAACGTCCCGGGATGCGACCAGAGCGCGACGCTGGAGCAAAAGATCTCGGGCAAGCTGTCGGGCGTTCGACAAGCGGTCGGAGATATCTGTCTCAAGGAGCTCAGTCGGCATAACGCTCCGGTCATCATGGCGACTTGTGGTTCCAAAGGTGAGCTAAATTTACCTGCTTGCTTGCCCATAGCTGACATTCAGGATCCGTCATCAACGTCGCCCAGATGGTCGCCTGTGTCGGACAACAAATTATCTCCGGCTCGCGTATTCCCAACGGTTTCCAAGATCGTTCCCTCCCCCACTTCCGCAAAAAGTCCCGCACACCCCCATCCAAGGGTTTCGTCCGAAACTCCTTCTTCTCCGGCCTCACTCCTCCCGAATTCCTCTTCCACGCCATCTCGGGCCGAGAAGGTCTGGTCGATACAGCCGTCAAGACGGCCGAGACGGGATACATGGCGCGGCGGCTCATGAAGGCGTTGGAGGATTTGTGTACGGGGTATGATTTGAGTGTGCGGAACTCGGTCGGAGGGGTCGTGCAGTTTCAGTATGGAGACGATATGCTGGATCCGGCGTGTTTGGAGGGAGACGCCACCCCGGTCGAGTATGTTCGGAGTTGGACTCATGCTTGTGTAAGCTCGCGCCTTCAATCTTTTGCGAGGGGAAATTAGCTGACACCGTATAGCGAACGGCAGACCGGTCAGGCCGCCCACTCTACCCCTATGAAATCCTCCAACTCGCGCAAGCCATCTACCCCGAATGCCAGCCACAAGAGCTCGTCATCGAGGAGGTCGTCAAACCCGTCAAGGGCCGTAAGGGCAAGCCGGGCAAGAAGGCTCCGGTCCCCAAAAACCACATCGACCTCTTGCCAGGCTGGGACGGATGTCACAGCAAGTACCGCGAGAACACGTACAATTTCATCAAGGAGAACATTGTCAAAGTGATGGTCAATCAGCGCACGAGCCGAGGGCTTCCAGCGGCGGACAATGCGGAAGAGGCGGAAGAGTACCAGGCGGACTTGGACTCGGACGATCGTAAGCTTTCGTCTTCTGCTTTTTGAGGCATAAGCTGATATCGTAGCCGCCATCCAGGCCGTCCTTGACAACGCCAACAAAGTCACCGCATCCCAGATTGAGCGCTTCCTCGAGATCTGCCGAGCGCGATACCTCCAATCCAAGATTGAACCCGGATCGACCGTCGGAGCCGTCGGCGCTCAATCGATCGGTGAACCCGGAACCCAGATGACGCTCAAGACTTTCCATTTCGCCGGTGTCGCGTCCATGAACGTCACGCTCGGGGTCCCGCGTATCAAGGAGATTATCAATGCGGCCAAGGAGATCAGTACGCCGATCATCACGGCGCATTTGGTCAACCCGACAAGCGAGCATGCGGCGCGGATTGTGAAGGCCCGAGTGGAGAAGACTGTTTTGGGAGATGTAAGCTTTGTCACCCTCCCCTTTTAAGCAACTTGGAGCTGATGATACAGATCGCGGCGTGTATCGAGGAATCATGGACCAATACCACCGCCTGGATCGAGATCCATATCGACCGCGAAACCGTCCGTCGACTTCAGCTCGAAATCACCCTCACGACAATCAAAGAGTCGATCGCCAATGCCCCCAAGCTGAAAATCGGCATTAACTCAATCAACGTCAATGAAAAGAATTATCGCGTGCGGGTCTTTATGGACATGAAGGGGAAGACGGACGCTCCGGGTGATGGCGTGTACGAGCGGCTCAAGTTCTTGAAGCGCGCCATCTCGGAGATTCAGATCAAGGGAATGACGCAGATCGATAAAGGGGTGATCAGCAAGGATGACAAGAAGGAGACGCTGGCAAAGTACGGGTCGCCAAAGCATTGTCTGCTGGTGACTGGGTATGGACTCTCCGAGGTTATGGGCACCGACGGTGAGTTATCAAGGTCTCGCGTTTTAGGCCAAAAGCTGACGGTACAGGGGTGGACGGTATCCAAACGAGTACCAACCACGTCATGGAGACTGCCAAAGTCCTCGGAATCGAAGCTGCCCGATCGACAATCTACAATGAAATCCAGCACACCATGCAGTCGCACGGAATGAGTATCGACCCGCGACACGTCATGATCCTCGCGGACGTCATGTCGTACAAGGGCGAGGTGCTCGGCATCACCCGATTCGGTGTCCAAAAGATGAAGGACTCGGTGTTGATGTTGGCGAGTTTCGAAAAGACGACGGATCACCTGGTAAGCTCGCCTTTAGTCCGCAAAGGAATAGCTGGCTGATCTGGTAGTTTGACGCGTCGCTCTTCTCGAAGAAGGACGAGATCCAGGGTGTATCAGAGTGTATCATCATGGGCACGCCTGCGCCGGGGTGCGGGACGTCATTGTGAGTCTTGAAGTCTGAGGGGGGAGGATCACAGCTGATGAGCTGCAGAGCATCTATCGTTACTCCCGCACCGCTCATTGCCAGGCGCAAGCCCCTGCTCTTCGAAACGGCCTTCAAGCAGGGTAGGGAGAAACGGACCAACATGATGGTGGAGGCGTATTGAGGGGAGCAGGAGGTCTTGCGGGGGGTTTCTACACATTCATACAGGTTTATTTCGCACTTCACGCATCATCACGAATAACGCGGCGCTCCCGTACAATGGGCCAGTATAGGTATGCATGTATGTGTCACGTATTCTACCGGTGTCACCCGTATCACTCGTCCCTCACGATTTTTGAATCCAGAGGACCGAGACCTGTCACTATGCTCCGTGACCCGCTCAGATAGCAGCACCCAGGACCGGCGCAGCCTGACCACCCGACAATGGCGGCAAAGTCGATGTCTCACCGTGCCCTGAGACGGCTGAGGGAGCGACAGAGGACGAGGTCGGAGTGTGTGCTGCCGGCGCGGCACTAGAAGCAGCGTTGGCGCTGCTGGTCCCGAGGCGCTTGTCCATGATCTTTTGGACGTTCGCATACACCTCATCGGGCGACGGAGAGGAGTCGACCTATGTTCATCAGTCTCATCAGCGTAATGAAGGCAGGATAGTCGTACCTCCTCCACGAGGTCGCGCTTCCGGTAGTAGTCCACGACCGGCATAGACGTCTCGATGAAGGTCTCTGTTAGTCATTAGTAGTGGTTGCCGAGATAAGAGAGAAAGAAAGAAACGCACTGAAGCGCTTGGTGATGCTCTCTCGGTTATCGTCGTCCCGCCCGCTAGTCTTGCCCCGCTCGAGCAGTCGGTCGAGCATGACCTCCTCGGTCGTCGTAATGAACAGCACGAAAGAGGACTTGCACACCTGATGCCATTAGCGGCCTGCGTTTCTCACTCGCGGATATGATGGGGGATGCTCACAGACTCATCAAACTTGAGGGCCTGGTCCATCTTCCTCGGGAACCCGTCAATCAAGAAACGACCCTTCCCGCCGGTCCACTCCTGCTCCAGGTTCTTGGATGAGCCAGATGTGAAAGTAGGCGGAGACTTCAGGGTGTCGTGCATGGCGTTTTCGAGGAGCTACCGCTTTAGCGCAAACCCCACGTAGGCCTTTGAGAGGCAGCGGAGTGTCTCACCTTGACAGTCACCTCCATAGGGACGATCTGGCCCTGCCGGATGTGATCTTTGATCATCTCGCCGTAGGTCGAGCCTTCACGGTTCTGCTCGGCTCGGAGGAGATCACCAGCTGTAAATGTCAGCAGAAGCCCAGCTTCGGCGAGTGTGGTCGCATAAAGCTCGTTCTGCTAAGGAGCGTGAGGTGGCAGGAGATTCTGACTGACCTGAAAGATGCTTGAAACCGTAGTCTCGGACAAGGCGCTCGCATTGCGTGCCCTTGCCTGCCATCATCAGCTGTAATGCCCCCCAAGCGTGATGTTTGAATGGGGAACGCACCAGCTCCCGGACCGCCGAGAACGAAGATGACCTTCACCTTGGCCGCATCGAACGCGACTCCAGAAGAGGCGGCCGGAGTAGAGCTAGCAGCAGCAACGGGAGCTGCCGTAGTGCTGGACTTGACAGCGGCATCAGTCGGTGCGGAGGTAGTGGAGGCCACAGCGGGCTGGGCGTGATGGGCGTCTGTGCTCGTCGCGCCGGTCGCGGTGCTGCTGGAGCTGGACTTGTCCGAGCTGAAGACATCCTTGATCTTGTCGATGATGGGCATGATGAGATGGTCGTGTATGTAGCGGAGGGTAGGACAGCTGAAGAAAGAGGAGGAGTGAGAAGTTGAGAAGGCCGGATCTGGAATTAGCTCAGAGTGTTGACATTCCTTGCGGATGGGTGGGGCCAAAATGAGACATCGCATTCAAAGCTAGGACTGTTTGGATGCCGGGGCATGCAATCACTATGAACAGAGCCAGTACAGCTATTAGGATAGGCCCCCATGGAACGATGATGGATACATGGGTGACGATGTGCCAAGCGGCCCCCGGCTCCCTCAAATATTGAGACGCCCTACCGATAATATATCTGCTCGCTACCAATCGGCCTCGACTCATTCCTCGTCCTTGCCTGCTGGCTCATCTCCTCGCGCATCATCCAGCGCCCGGCTCGCCATCTGCCTCAGTATATCTGGCCGATCCGCGAACTCGATGAGGCGAAGTCGCAGGGAGTAGCAGACTGGTAGGAGTGAGCTTGACCAATCCTCGGCTGAGGTGAGGGTCGTAGAGCCTACCTTTTTCTATCTTGACCAGAGAGCGGGTGGTCTCGTCCTGCTTTTTGGAAAGCTTGTGGAGCTGATAAGGAGGTATACCATCGAAGTCTGCGATGTCAGCAAATCTCCTAAGCTGAGCTGACTCTTGCCCTTGGTAGCCGGGAAGAGGGTGACTTACAGACTTTGACGGTCCGCACAAACTCGCAAACAGCCAATGGAGTCTCGTGATCGCCTGTGCTCAGAGCTGGACATGTCAGCTCGGCGAAGGGCAGACCATGCGGGAGTGTACCCACCGTTTGTCGCGTATCGCATGAGCTCGCCAGTCAAGTCGGACATGCCGAGGATATAGTCTTCTGGTGTCACGACCACATACTGCAGGGTAAGCTTCTGAGGCTCGAACCCAAGCGGTTCTCCAGAGAATGCCTTACCGGTTCTTCTGTCTGAGGATTGGACAACCCCTTCTGAACTTCGGCTAAGGAGATCAAGCGTCCTGTCTCAAGGTAGAAGAGGAAAGAGACTGCTTCGATGTATTCCTCCAACCCCGGAGAACTGTCGTGTCAGTTACGTTGACCGCAAGCGGTTTGCAAGTGGACCAGAACCATCAACTCACACTGGCCGTGCCCATCGCCAGAAGCTCTCGGCTGACTCCCCGCTTCCCAGCTCCGCCCTGATCTTTTCAAAATTGGCGATAATCTCTTTCTCTTTGCCCTTGCCATCCCTGATGTTCTTCGCCCGCGCGACCAGGCCGGAAGTGGCGCCGCGATGGAGGTGGAAGATGAGCTTCTTGGACATCTGGGTGATTGAGCGGGACAAGATGATGAGGCGTTCTCGGGTCTCGGTCTGTGGTATCAGCTGTGTGGACCCGTCAGGACCTGTATAAGCTTACATTGGCGTCAAGCTCGGCTCTGTAGGCCTCAAAGGTCTTCGCAAGATGTTCTCGCCTAGTCAAAGCGGAGGTGGAGGAGGAGGGCTCGGCCATCATGACGTCCGCCATTTTGAGGATTTTCGACGGATGAGATTTTTTTCCAGTGACTCCTAGCGGTGTTCTGCGTGAGCTGGACTATTCACGTGATCCAAGCTGATCTAGGTAGGAAGATGTATGAAGGGAAGATTCATCGCGAGGAACTTGCGAAGCTTTCAAGCTGAGAAGTTACGCACGGATGTGCCTCTGAGCGTTGTCACGCTGCTGACGTCACACAAACACCATCCAGCTCGCAGCTGCAGCAGCTACCATCTGGCGACCACACATAGCGCTGCACCATTACTCGCCCAGTCAAAATGGCGTCCCTCCGCCGCCCCTCGCAATTCATCCCGGCCAGCCGAGGACCTCCACCCGCTCCGCGAGATGCTTTCCCCTCAGGCCCGAGCGAGCCCGAGAGACGGAGAGACGCGCGGAAGAGCAAGGTCGGGGATGCTATCAAGAGGCGCATGAGCATGAGGTCAGCTACCGTGCACAGATCGTCCAGCTCAGGCCGTAGCTGACCCCGTTAGATATGCAGGCCCTGGCGAGCTGTACTCTGAAGCCCCGCCTATGCCCGGTGCTCCCGGCTCCTCATTCCTCGGCGGAGATCCATATGAGGGTCTCGCGCCCCAGCCGACCATTCGCGAGGAGGAAGAGGACGACTTGCCTACCGACATGGGCGTCGCCGTATCTCGCTTCGACCAGTTCTCCTCACCTTCCTTTGCGCAGGGTGCAGGACCAGCGGTCCCGGGTGCAAAGCGGTCTCAAATCCAGAGTGGAGACGAGTCCATTCGGCGGCGTGGAGCGGTCGACACCAGCCGTGAGCAGGAGTGGGACTTTGACGAGTTTGGGAAGGATGGATTCGATATGGCGGCGTATATCAAGCGGACGTTGACGGGGGCGGATGAGGAGGAGAAGAAGCGGTTCAGGGCGGCGTTGGAGCGGTATAAGCAGCAGAACGCCAAGGAGATGCAGCGGAGTGTTTTCAAGCAGTGAGTCCGCCAAATGGGACCGAGTCCCTTGAGCTGACACCCCAGCTACGCTGAGTTCGTGACCATTTCCAAGGAGATATCCACTCTGGAGAATGACATGCTGGAGCTGAAAGAGCTATTGGGCCAATGGAAGGACCTGCCTCAGCTCATGGGAATGAGCGATACCCTCGCGCCGACACTCGATAAGAGCGGAAATAGTGCGTCTACGACCTAATTCAGCGATTGACCTTAGCTGATCTTGATAGTGGAGCGAAAACGAACTCTCCGGAACTCTATCCTCGACCTGCAACAGCTGTATCGCCAGCAGCTCACCACCCTCTGGTCCACCGTCGAGGGATCTCAGAAATATCTCCCTCTCGTACCCGGCCGACACCTCGTATTCGACACGCACAACTTTGTCGAGCTCAACCCAGCAACATACAAGGCGAAACAGTCGGTCAGCCTGTTTTTGCTGAGTGATCTGCTTCTCATTGCTGGTCGACGACGGACGAAAACCGCGGCGACGGCATTGGGAGGGGCGGATGAGAAGGGGAGGGAAAGAGGGAGAATGGTAGCTGAGCGATGCTGGGTATTGGCGGATCTGGTCGTCATCGACGTCAAGGATAGTGGTGGTAAGTTAAGAAGCCTCTGACCATATTGGCATAGCTGACAACTAGACCTTACGAACGCACTCAAGATCCGACGGGGGAAGGAAGTATGCGTCTACCGAACATCTAAAGCAGAAGACAAGAAGGCCCTGCTAGCTGCGTTTAGGCAGGTCTCGCAGGAATTGAGCGAGAAGAAGCGGAAAGATAGCGAAAAGGAGCAGGAGAGGAGAAGGACGATGTGGCATGGCGATGTGAGCTGCTTCAGCCTGGTGCGGAAATCGGGGAGCGCAGAGCTTACCTACAGAATGCCACTCAGGACAAGGCGGCGAGCCTGCTCCAGCCAAATCGACCTTTATCGACGATCGGCGGTTCCCTGGCAGATTCGAAAGATCTCCGTTGGATTGACGATTTTGGGGATGAGTTGACCATGGCGATTGCTACTCGAGACTGGGAAGAAGCAGTCGAGCAGGTAGAGAAGGGTGAGCTGCAGCCGTCCTTCGTATTTCTGCGGGGATACAGCTAACTGTACAGGTGAGGAATTGTTGAAGATTGCCGCTCCGAACGCATCCGCCCTCACCCTCCTCACCACTCGCATGAACCATCTCCGCCCAACCCTCATCGCGTCCCTCACCGCCGACCTCGCATACCCCGATATCCGGAAGAGCGAGACGATCCGCCTGATACACCTACTGGTGCGGTTGGGCCAAGGCAAGAAAGCCCGAGACAGCTTTCTGGGTGCGAGAAAAGAGTCGATGCTCCACCTCGTCCGGGCCATCAGGGCTGAGGGTGATATCAGCTTGTATATCAGCGAGCTGGCAGTAGTGTGCTTTACGGTGATCAGAAATACGGGGGATTGGTATATGACCTCGTTCAAGGAGAATGGAATGGCTTCTGGTGAGTTGTGATGGGGTTCTTACTCGACAGCTTCGGTAAAGCTGATATGTCAGGCTTCATCACTTGGGCAAAGCAACAAGTTGAGCTCTTCGCCGAGATGTTCCGCCGACAAGTTTATGCCCCCAATGTCGCCAATCAGGTTGCGGAGGAATGTATCCGCGTCACTGCATCTCATAATCGTAAAGTAAGCGCCTCGTCTCTGTCCAGCTAGAAGCTCGGATCGCCTCTCTATCGAGCTATTTAGCTGACTCCAACAGCTTCTTCGCGATGTCGGACTAGACTTCACATTCCTCCTCACCACCCTCCTCCAGCCGCCCGCATCGTCCAGCTCCCCCTCCGCCCTTCCGACATTCTCATTTCCTGACCCAACGCCAGCCCCGACGGGCGGGTTCCAGAACTACGACATGGCCTCCCCCTTTGCGGGGTATGTCATCCCGCAGACACCGATGGATGGGCAGGGGTTCCGCGGACACGCGCAAGCGGCGGGCATGGCGACGTCGCCGAGCGAGGTATTGCAGGATTATGCGTATGGGTATGATGATGAGGGTGAGGAGGTACAACAAAGAGAGAGGGAGAGGACGGGAGGGAGGAGTACGGCGCCGCTGGCTATTTCGTGGAAGGGGAGGGAGAGGAGCGGGGGAGGGGCGGCCGGAGGGTATGATGAGGGAGGAAGCCCGGGGATTGGGCCTGGTCCTGGAAGTGCAAGAGACGGTACGAGAGGAGGTAGAGGTGTATAGGGTGAGGGGCGATCTGGATTGATGCATATCTCTGGGGTTTTGCATGGTCTGTTCATTGCCAACAGCAAGTCTTCCAATCTGACCAGAGAGCTTGTTATTCGGGGACCGAGCAACACATTCCTCGGCATCGGGCAGGCCGGCGACACATAGGCTCGGAGCCGCTGAGCGGGTACGGGCCCACCAGATCCCACCAGCTATTCCTCAAGCAGCACATGTGCTGTCTGTGGCCGGTCAATGATAGTGACACCCACGTGCCTCGGACTCGGCCACTATGGGAGCATTGGAGGTCATCGCCGAACAGCCCTCGACAGCGAAGTATGGCCGATAACGCTGCCCGTGGCATATAAGACGGCCACGCTCTCGCTCTCCTCCCTCCCCACAACTCTCCATCAACAAGATCTCCGAATCGCAAAGCTTTTGACCCCAAAGACTGTCACTCCCAACATCACCATATTTGCTTTCTGTGCCATCAGAGCTTTTCTCCTACGATGATTACCGTTGAGACTGTCATTGCTGCAACCCCGATCTTTGTGCGAGATATCGTGAGTCTCGCTGTCCTCATTATCCTTCCCTGCCCTCCGAGCCAAGGGATAAAGCTGATGACGGGTGCAGTTTGTCGACTTTAGCAAGCTCCACGCATGGCATACTTCCGGCTGGATCAAGTCAATCCGGTCACTCACACCTGGAAAAACCTCGGGCGGAGAGTTGGTTGTTGGCGATAAGATGCGGAGCGAGATAGCTGGGATGTCATTCAATCAGACAGTGTTGGTGCGTCCTATGCTCATACCCCCGATACTGATGCTGACGAACCAGGAGAATACACCGACCACCTTCCGCTGGGTCGGACCATGGTACGGCGTCCTCACCGGCACCCACATCTTCACCTTCCTCCCTCACCCCACGCTCGCTGACCACACCATCTTGACCCAGTCGGAGGCCTTCACGGGTCTGCTCAGCTACTGGATGGAGAGCCCGGACAGTATGGGCGGGAAGAAGACGCTGATTGCTTTTGAGGGGGTCAATGGAGATTTGAAGCGGTACGCAGAGAAGGAGTGGACGGGCATAAGCGAGCAGCGATGATGTATCGGATCGAGATGTTGTATATGTCTGCATGTAAAGGAATAGAAGAGCATCTCCAAGAGACGCGCTATCGCAGTGGATCACAAGTGGTCAAAGAAGTCCGCTGGTCTACACAATCAGCTCGATCTGTCGTTGAACGTTGAGGCCCATATCTCACGATTGACTTACGGCTCCTCACGGCTCCTCACGGCTCCTCTCGCTGCCATTTCGCAACTTCTACCGCCGCCCGCTTCTTCCCCTCCTCCGTCTCCATCAACCACGGCACTCTCTCTCCTGCTGACCCATACCATGGCTCATCCCCCGTCGACACCGGATGCCATCCGCACGCCTCACACACCGGCGTATCGCACGAGGCATGCCACCGGACCTCGTCCGGAAACTCGTCGCACCCGTCATCCCGCATCCAGTCGTGCATTTCTGGACCGAGCTTGGCCGCCAGAGCGCGCTGAGCGTCGACCGGTACGCTGGCGTCGGGATACAAGCTGATACCCTTCTCGCCCGCAACCTCCAGGAGGGGACGGACGAGGTCGCCGTTGGTCTGACCGAGGACGCTGCTCGAGCAATAGACGTCGGCCTGGATGAGATAGGCGGCGTTACCGAGGAACTCCTCCATCCTGCTTCGCTGCATCGCCTTGCGGTGTAACTCCGCCCCGAGGTCGTAGTACGCCTCTTGCCAGCTCTGAGCCGCGCCCATGGCTGCGACCCAGCGGACCGGCGCCCCCGGGGGTGTCCTCAGCTCGTCCCGATCGACCGGGCTGCTGATGTGCTGTATGGCAAGTGGGTGGTGGGCGTCGGTACGAGGTGGTTCCGCGGTCAGGGTGGGCATCCCGAGAGGCCCGCCGTTGCCCCAGTAACAGCACTGCTGCACCTTGTAGACCGACAGGAAGCGGTCCCAACCGGCTCGACAGCGATCGAGGTCATCCCGCTGCTTGCTGTACCGCCGCCATTTGTCCGCTTGTGGACCGTATATTGAGCAGACGGCAACCGTCTTGAGCCGAGGGAAGACTTCCAAGGCCGCCTCGAATTTCAGATGGCGCACGAGCGTCTCCGAGAGACGTCGAACCTCATCCGTCCATCTCATCATGGAAAAGGCCTCGTTCCGGTCCGCCGTGAGGCCGACAATACCCCATTGTCCCTTCTCCATGAGGACGTCATAGGGGATTGAAAAGTCCTCTTCCTCGTATTCAATGTAGATGTGCTCGGTCAGGGCGAGGGACTCCCAGCGGGATTTAGTGAAGACCGGGGGTAAAAAGCGACTGAGATCGGCCGTCACGACCGACTTGTACAAGTGCGGACGGCAGAGGGCTTGGAATAGCTGTCATATCAGCTTCGACCTATGACTTTAAGCTGCCTTCACTTACACGACATGTTCTGGATAGTACAGCCAGGCTAGATTAGTGTAGCTCGGATCGAGGGGGCTTGGACGATGGAGCAGGAATAGGCTTGCGACAGGCTCGAAACACGGCCATCCAGACTTCCTTAGGGAAGACGTCGAGAGGATGCACCGTCATGTTGCAGAAGTATGCTTTGGCTCGCAATTGGAGAAGGACTTGAAGCAATTGCAGAAGGACTTGAAGTACAGGTTGAGCGTCAGCGGAACTCCCTTTGCGAATTGTGCGAAGACTTTCGGCCGGGCCACATTCCTCGATGACGTGGCTCCTTGTACCGGCCAGCCTGGCAGCCACTGCAGCTGACTCCAGCCAGAGCTGTTCAGGTCGGCGACAGCTAGCACACTGACAATAGGAGCGAGCCGAGGTGAGTCATGGGTAGCTAGAGCTGAGATTTATGCATGATAGACCGCATCACCGGGGCAGCTACTAGGAGCTAACCGAATCTTTACCACGAATCCTGCCTGGTCAGCTAATGGTCCTTCCTGCGAACCCTCATAAGGCGATGAGGCTAGCTTACAGAGTCTCTGTAGAGTCATGTCTCTGCTTAGGGATCGTCCGATTTCCCCGTGTCCACCCTCCGCGACTCCCCCTCCCCCGACTCCCCAAACCACGGCTCGTCCGCCGTGGACACCGGATGCCACCCGCACGCCTCACAGATTGGTGCATCGCACGAGGCGTGCCACCGCACCTCATCCTGGAACTCCTCCCAGCCTTCGGCACGCGTTCGAGCCTGCAAGTCCTCCCCGATCGCGGTCGTTATCGCGCGTTGAGTCTCGACCGATAATTTACCGCCGGTAGGTAGTGCGGCGAGATTGTCATCTATTAATTGCCTGAGCGAGCTGGGTAAGCCGAGGTTGAGGCCGGCGCGAGGTAGAACGACAGCGCCACTCGAGCAGTAGATGTCGGCTCGAAAAAGACATTCCGGCATGTCCACAAATGTGTCCTTCCGATTCCGCTTCCTCCCTCTGATGAAGACCTCCGAGGCCAAGAGCCGGAATAGCTCCTCCCAGCTTTTTCCTGCTGTCATGTCCGCGACCCAGCGAAAAGGTACGCCCGGCGGTGTCCGCAGCTCTGAGCGATCGACCGATCCGCCCAGGTGTAAGATAGGGGACGAGTAGTATCCCTTGGGATCGTACAGCTCGTCCTCCATCTCGGGGAGTCCGAGCGGCCCGTTGACGTCCCGATAGCAGCAGTGCCCAACTCTATGGACCGAGAGGAAGCGAGCCCAGAGGAGGCGACACTGGACGAGATCGGGATGATGTTCCGTATCTTCGCCCCATTTGTCCGAGTGTCGACCGTAAATTGAGCAGACCGCGACGGTCTTTAGTCGAGGGAAGAGGGTAGATGGCTGCGAGCCGCGAGGAGCTTCGCACTTGAGATGTGTTTCTAGGGCCGACGAAATGCTGCGGACTCTCTGCGCCAGACTCCCCACATGCTCCGCCTCGTGCGCTCTGGCCGCCCGTTTCCCCCGCGAGGCGACGGTGATGTGCTGTCGCTGCCCGAGCAGGGCGACGGGAGGTTCGACTTGGCCATCCTCGGGATACTCGACATAGAGGTGCTCTATGAGAGCGAAGGCTTCCCTACGGGATGCGGTGTGGATGGGGGACAGGAAGCGGGTGAGGTTGGCAGTCACGACCGATTTGTATAGAGGGGGAAGACAAAGGGTTTGGAACAGCTATGGGGTGAGCTTTAGCGTTCACGCACAGGCGTCGTCTTCACACACCTTGCAAACCCTTGAAAGTACAGCCAGACGGGTCTGATAGAGCTCGGACCGGGGCGGTCTAGGCAGTGCGGCCGGGACGGGATTGTGGCAATCCTTGACGATCTTGATCCATGCCCATCTCTTTGGGGAAGAGGTCGAGAGCATGCTTGGGCATCTCGGAGGACGTCGGAATGCTAGCGATCGTGGATGCAATGTAATCAGGCTGACAGGTAACACCGATATTAGGGAAGTAGACTCATGAGCTCTGTCCCTTTGTCCTTCGTCTCGCGAGGCACAGAATTGCAACTCCACATTCCTCGGTACACGTGGCATAAGCATCTTCCCGTAACGTAAAGTCGAATCCTGGCTGGCCAGTTCTGCAGCGAATTCGCAAGATAGTACTGCCTGCTTGCCTTCACCATCCTCCGACGCCGACCCCATATACGATGCCCAACGCAGTGAGTATAGGTCTCTCTAGCTACTCAGCCTTCTAGGTTCAGACTGGGTATGTCGGTGAAGAGGCGCTGAGCACTCAGACCTACATCCCTCCACAGGAGCAAGACCCGGCCGACCTCGCCTGGATGCGTGAGGCTCTCATCATGGTAGGTGCAGTGAGGTGCATGAGCTGATCGCCTAGGCTGAGGAAGCTCTAGCAGCCGACGAAGTCCCCGTAGGCTGTATCTTCGTCAAAGACGATCAAGCTATCGCTCGGGCCCGAAACCGGACAAACGAATGGCGAAACGCGACCCTGCACGCCGAGCTCGAGGCGATAGACCATCTCTTGCCGAATCACCCACCTCCACTCAGCAGTATCACACTCTATGTGACGGTAGAGCCATGTGTGATGTGCGCGAGCGCGTTGCGGCAGATTGGGATAGGACGGGTGGTGTATGGATGCGGGAATGACAGGTTTGGGGGTTGTGGGAGTGTGATAGATGTAAACTCCTCGTATGTCTTATGAAAGCGAAGACAGTCGCTGGAAGCTGATGATCTAGTGACCTCGTCAACACCCACGAGCCATTCGTAGCTGAAGGGGGATACTACCGTGAAGAAGCCATCATGCTGCTCCGGCGCTTTTACATGTCTGAAAATCAGAATGGTATGTCCCGCCCTCAAGATACATCATACCATGTAGATAGCTGATATAATAGCGCCAAATCCCAAGAAGAAGGCTTCTCGCGTTCTCAAGACAGACATTCCTCCACCTCCATCTGGCATCAACACCCCTTCTTCCCGGCCCGCCTCCGTCCCACCAAATCGCAATAATCGGTCCCTGAAACCGCCTGATGAGGGCGGGGAGGCAAGCGCTGCTGCAGGGAGATTGGCAGGGCTGGCGCTGGGCGAGAGCACTATCGTGCAGGGCTCAGGAGCAGTTGGCGGGGATGCATGAGTTGCCCTATGCTGCGGTCAAGGGTGGAGCAGGACGACGACCTGTTAACATCAGCTCGTTCGATCAATCACGGACACTGAATTACTCACATCTTCCTTGAAAAGCTTGACTATCCAGTCTATCTCCCTCAACCGCAGACCCGTCCGGTAGCTGATCTCATCAAAGCTCGTCGCGCCATCAAAGTACTGGACGCAAAGATCAAACTTGCTCGCCCAGACCTCATCCGCGCCCTCTCTGATCACCCTCAACCACCTCATTTCCTCCTTGACCGCCCTCGCAGGACGAAAGATGAATGTCCCTTCAAACTTGGGGATATCCTTCCTCTCCGGCTCCTTGAGCTCCATCGAGAAGTTCTTAGCCTCCAGCCGGTCCTGGTCGGACCGGAACCCCTCGGGCTCGCCGACGTCCGAATCGAGCTCGAGCTCGGGATCGTAGTCCATGAATGACTGGCCGAGGTCAGGGAAGCTCGATGAGCGAGTAGGGGGGATGCTAGGTATTCCGGACAATGGGGTGCGCTGGGCTTCGCGAGGACCGTTCGGAGGGGGAACGCTCATACTCATGGCGTCGATCGGATTCCCCTTGTCCGCTCTAGGCGTAATCATATCGACCTCGTCATCTCCCGCTGTCGACGTGCCGGAGCTGCCATGACTCCGTTCCGAACGCGCACGAAGGCTGCCGGCCCGGCTATTGATCCACCTCGATCGCCGACGGAGCCAGAGCCGTTTCCAAGCGATCTCTTTGACTTCCGCGCGGGCCCAGATCCGGACGTACGTATGGACCTGAATGACGAGGTCGTGCTTGAGCAGCCAGATGAGGGAGTCGAGGTAAACTTGTCGAGCGGGTATCTCGCCGTCAGATTCGGATGGTGTGGTGGGGATGAGGTCTCGAAATGGGGTTGGGGCGGCGGAGATTTGGGAGAGATACACTGGGAGGAGGGGAAGCGCAGGGAAAGCGCGAGAGAATGAATCGACATAGTCTTCGAGGGTAGTGCTGCCTGGATCAGCTTGTATTCTATCCGTGAACTCGAGGTAGGTCACCTGTGCTCGACGATAGTGGAAGGCATGACCAGTGTCCGAAGCCGGGTATTGACCACATCGATCAAGATCGCTTTCTTGTTCTGCACCAATTCTCGAGCGAGAGGAATGAGAATACCTTCCAAATCAAAGCGGAGCATATGAGCAATGTCGGCGAGTCTGGGCAAAGTCAGCTCAGGTCCCACTCAGCTTGGACAAACAGGAAGCAGCTTACGGTTTCGACACATCACAAGCCTCAATCAAGGCCTTCATGAGGTTCCCCTCATCCTCCTCCGCCTGAGCCTCCTTCGAGCCCCGTCTACTACCGCCCGCGGCTCTCCTGATCGCCTCTTCATCCTCCTCCTCATCACCCCACCCACTCTTCGGTCGCGTAGGTGTCCAGTTCCCTAGGCCCACCACAGCCGCCGCAGTCTCCCTCGCCCGCTCTTTCGCTCGATCCTCCACGAGCAACAGCGTCTGCCACGGCTCAACCCGCACTTCCCGCCCTCCCGACCGCTCGCCCGGTAGATCCAGTCCCGAATCAGAGGATGCCTCGGACTCGATGTCGTATTCGTTCCCATGTCCGCCTGAGCCCCAGTGCGCCCATGTCTCGTCGGACGCACCGGTGCGAGGGGAGAGGATCATGCTGATGGGTAGATCGGCGAGGCAGACTGTCACGGTCGTGGGAAGGTGGGTGTACAGGGGATTGACGGGGGATGTGCGGAACTTCCAGAGATTGTATGAGAGGTCTTGGAGTGCCCGTTCGAGGGGGTTGCCGCGATACATCGACAAACAGCACTTCTCGACCGAAATCCCTTAAACGTCAGCTCTGATCGAGATGCAGCCCCACAGTACTGGACGCACCTTCCGCCATGGACCTCTCCCTCGCTTTGGCCATCTCCCAGCTCTCCCTCGCCACCCAATTGTTCTTGACCTGGAGCGCATACGCCGCCGCCGTCCACTTGAACGCGATCTCGCGGTATATCTCCTCGAACCCCTCGCTGGGGGCAATGTGGTCCGTGCCGCCCATGGGTGCTGTTTTGGGATCCGGCTTGTCGACGATGAGGACCATATGGAACATGTCCAGAGACGGGCACTCCTCTTCCGCCCCATCCCCACTCTTGCCCTTTCCGTCCGCTCCGTTCGCGTCCGAACGCTTCTTTTCGGGCGAGTTGGCGAGTGGGTCCCGGTTTCCTCCTCCGATATCCGAGAGAGAATTACTCTCGGACCCAGAGCCCTCGACGACGGTCCTGAGGTGACTGTGTCCGACAGCCTCCCGCCTCCGTCCCCTCCTGTCCCCTTCGTCTGCAGTATTCCGCCTCCCATTCTCTTCCGCCTGACCCGCCTCCTTCGGGTATCCCCACTGTCCATCCGCCCCGATAGTGACCGGATGACCGATAAAGACGAGCTCGTCCACGCATAGCTCAAACTTGCGATTACAAGCCGCCCGTGGGGGCGTGAGCATGTCACTCAGGAAATCCAACGAGTAGCCGAGAGCGTAGCTGTACTGGCTCTCGATGGAAGCGTCGTACTTGACTCCCGGCGCACCGTGGAATTGCACCTGTCCCGCTACGATAGCAGCGTTACCGCTACTGAGATTGCCGTTCCGTCCAGAGTCGCCTTTCCGGGGTGAAGTCCTATCCGCCCCCTCGGCGGCTCGCGAGTTGACAAGCGTGTTCGTCTTGGTCGGATCCGCATATCGCATCAACTCCTCGTTGATGGATTGCGGGTTGATGACCTCCTCCATGATCCTCTTCCCGGATAGTGGGACCCGGTTAGAGCCCATATAGTATAGCCCTTCGTCGCTGTCGTCCGTCCCATCCGAATCTGCCCCTTCTTCTTCCTCCTCCATCCTTCCCCAGTCCGGCAGGTCTGCTCGGCATCCACCACCATATCTCTGATTCCCCGATCCACCATCCGAGCTAGCACCAAACGCCCGCCCGAGCCGAGTTGACCGATGAGCAGAGGACGGTTCCCCGCCGGACGCAGCGCTCGACTTGCGCGCGTCAGTGTGGGTATGGGTTGTGCTGCTATCCGGGAAGAGGCGGCGGCGGGATACATCTCCAAAGACATTGTCGCGCGCGGTATAGGTGGATGAGGGGTAGATGGGTTGTGAGAGTCGAGGGTAGGGGGAGAGGGGGTCGGGAGGGTATCGAAAGACGTTCCGCCCGCGAGAGGTTGAGGTGACAAAGAGGATACCGAGGATGTTCTCGGCCATCTTGGGGGTTATCTGTCCGTCATGGAGTCGATAATGGGGAAGGCGTTGAGCTGTGTGAGCCTGTCGGATATGGGAGGATGGAGGACAAGTAGAAGATGGTAGTTCGCGGTGGTTTCGGGTGTCTTCCGAAACAACCGTCCAAGTCAGCAGCCGTCCACAGCTTGTCTAGCTCTAGCTTGTGGAGGACTGCAGCTAGAAGAGCTCCCGAGCAGCATGATGATGTATATGCTATGTACAATCCGAGTCTAGACGCCTATGTATGATGCCATCCCGCTTGTTCCCCGCCTCGCCATCTCGCTCCCGCCCATCCGCCTATCCCCCTTGCTTCAGCACTCGGTAGCGTGTGCGCCCCCTTTCCAAGCTGCAAATCCCTCATCTCTAAGCCATCTTCATGTTCCCCGAGACGAACTCCTCCGTGTCCCAGCTCACCGCCCACTACGCGATCTCCTCAAACTCCCACCCGCACGCCTCGCAGACCGGGCTCTCCGTCGACGGCCGCCAGGAGGAGATACCCTTGACCTCAGGCATCCCCTCGCTGCGCAGCTGCTTCTCGCTGTGCTTGCGGATGATGTCCAGTGTGTCTGCCTCGGTGCTAGGCTTGCACCGGAGGATAGTCCTTGGGTCCGCCGGCCATTCGAACTTGCCGCGTGCGGGCGTGTAGCGGTTGCTACTGATGTAGATGTTGATGTCGAATTTGTAGTCTTTGAAGCCGGCGTTGTGGACCGTCTCGTGATAGGTATCGAGCACGCGGAAGAAGTTTCGCACGAGGAGGTTCATGGTGAATCGGTTCCGATCCGAGTTCTCGAGGAGCCAGCGAGTAGGACGATTGGGGGATGCACGGACGTTCCCGTCCCCGTCGGTCCCGAGGTGCATGGTGAAGAGTGGGATGGTCGCGGCGGGGAGGAGCTTTTTGCGGGGGATTTCTCCGAGGTGGCGCGCCGACTGAGTGGAGTGGGTGCCGGGGAAGGAGTCGTCCCAATCAAACGCGGCGGGGAGGGAGAGGGGCCCAGAGTAGCTTCGCTGACAAACGTGGAGGAGTGGGGAGGCGCGGAAGAGCAGCATGACGGATTGCTGGCACATCGCGACGAGTTCGGCGATAGAGGGTTGTTTTTTCCCGCCTCGAGCGCTTGATAAGTGCGCGAAGCCGCTCCTGGGGTCGACTATGGTGCTCCAAAGCGGCTCGTCGCCCCCAAAGATTGACCCGACGGCAAGGTGGGTGAGGGCGGGGAAGCGCGTCCTTTTGCCTTGCAGCTTCTCCAGGCACACTCCGATGCGCACAGCCTCGGCCGCGCCCACCTGGAGAGCGTCCACCTCGCGATTGAGCACGCCCAGGACGGTGAACTTGAGAGGCTCCAGCATGATGGCATAGTAGCTGGTGTCATCCTCCTTCTGTCCGTATTCCAGCCGGAGGGTCTTGATCCGACGGAGGAGCTGATTTTTGCTCTCTATCTCGGGGTGGGCGGCGGGGAAGTCGGCGGCGAATGCGAGACAGGGAAGATCGTCTGTGATGACGTGGGTGTATAGGTGGCGGGCCGCTTGGAAATTGAAAGCCTGTTGTCAGCTACAGCCAGCAGCTGGTACGACGGTCCCACGCAACTCACCAGGGAAGTCCTCATCAGCACCGCCAAATCTCCCGCCCGAATGTCCCGCCTCTTATATACCCGTACTCATTCCGGAGCCGATTGACCTTCTCCATCTTCTTCACCACCTCGTCGCCATCCGAGACGGTCTTCAGGTGCTCCAGTTGCTCCTGGGGTGTCTTGTTTCGAAACTCTTCCGTCTCCAGTGCTGCGCAGAGTTGACCGGTAAATTCCATGAAGTGGGTCATAAACAAGTCGCCGATGGCGTCGTCGGCTGTCGACGCACTCCGCGCCGTTGATTTTTTGGACATGATGGATGACTGCGATTTGGGAACGGTCACTTAGGGTTAGATGCCAATATGATGCGCAGCAAGATTCGAATCAGTGGTGTTGAAAACTTCCAAAGGCAGTCTGAGCGCCGCCCAAGCTCAAGCTCACGGGGATGACATCATGTGTGTGTGTTAGTGTCTGCTCGAGCCGACAGCCCTACTCATGTCACCCCTGCTACGCCGCGCAGCGTCGGGCGCAAGTGGCAGCGGCGGTCGCTGAGGAACCACTTCCGCTCCATACTATGCGCTTGGAAGATATCTGTACAAGTAGGTGAAGCATGATGTCGATCGGGACGATACCGTAGGTGACAAGTAGGTGATCAGGTCTCAGACCGAGAGTGATATCGCCATATCGCCGTCAATTGCCGACCCGACCGATACAGTGGCGGAAGGTGCTCCTCATTCCTCGTCGGACTCACGTGACAGCGTCCGGCAGAAGAGCCGACATCACCACCGCAGAGAGCTCCGCAGAGGGTCTGCAAAGCATGCGAGAAGGCGAAAGGAGTGAATACTAGTAATACGTATGTTGATATATACTATGTACATCCGAGTCAAAGAGCTGTTCACAAGGTCATCCTGCTTGCCTCCCATGTACGTCACCGCTGCTGTCTCGCACGTGCCGCCTCCATTTCCAACGCCTCGGTCACCGTTGTACCCATGCATGTTCATCATTTCTCCCTTCCCATACCTTTCCATACTCCCTTGCGTCCCCCCCACTACCACCTCACCTGTACTGCGCGACCGCCCTTCTCGCCTCGACCCCTATGCCTCCTCAAATTCCCAGCCGCAGGCCTCACACCTCGGACTCTCCGTCGACGCCCGCCACGACGTGATGCCATTGACATCCGGTAAACCCCCTTCGCGGTGGCCCTTGACGACGTGCTTGTGGATCATATCGAGCTTGGCGCCCTCGTCGCTGCGATCGCAGCGCAGGACGGTCTTCGCCGAGGACTTGGATTTTGCGCGTATAGGCGTATATCTGTAGCTGCTGATGAAAGCTTCGATATTGAAGGTGAAGTTGTCAAATCCGGCCTTCCGAACCTCCTCGGTGTATTCCTCGAGGGTATAGATGTAGTTGTCGACAAGGGCATTTGTGGTGTACTGCTTCCGATCCGGGAGTTCCAGGAGCCAGCGGGTGGAATGGATGGGGGACGCGCCGACGTTATTGACCGATGCGGTGCGCAGGTGCATGGTGAAGAGGGGGATGGTAGCGGCGGGAAGGAAGTCCGCGCGGGGTAGCTTTCCGAGATGGCGGGACGAAGGGTGCTTTTTGCCACGAGAGGCGGGGAAAGCGTCATCCCAGTCGAATACGGCGGGAAGGGAGAGAGGGCCGGTATAGCTGCGCTGGCAATAGTGGACGAGGGGGGAGGCGCGGAAGATGAGCATGATTGACTGCCGGCACATAGTGACGAGGTCGGCGATGGACGGCTGAGTACCGTCGCCTCCGTGGAAGACGAAGCCGCTCTCGGGGTAGGTGACCCCATCCCAGAGAGACTCGTGTCCGCCGAAAACCGAGCACATGGCGAGGTGGGTGAGAGCGGGAAACCGCACCTTGCCTCCTTGCATATCCGCCAGGCAGTGCGAGATCCGCACCGCTTCGTTCGTGCCTTGTTGGATGGTGTCCACCGCCGGGTTGAGCTCGCCCAAAAAGGAGAACCTAAGGGACGACTCCATGAGTTCGACGTAATTCGTGTCGTCCTCCTTTTGGCCGTACTCGAGCCGGAGGGTCCGGATGCGACGGAGGAGCTGATTCTTACTCTCGATCTGGGAATGGGCGGAGGGATAGTCGATATTGTAGGTAAGGCCGGGAAGGTTGTCCGTGATGACGTCCCTGTAGAGGTGGCGAGCGGCTTGAAAGTTGAACGCCTGTACTATTAGCTTCTGCGACGTTCCAGTGCACTCCATTGTGAGGCGTAATGGACACAACTCACAATACTGGTTCGCATAAGCACAGCCAGCTCCCTAGCCCGTATATCCCGCCTGGACGTAGTCCCCGCCTCGCCCTCCTCCGGCATATCCTTGTACATGCCCTTCAAGCCAGCATCGGGATGATTGGCGAGATAGGCATACTCCCTCTTCGTGACTCCAGAAAGGGGCTTGGGAGTAGGCGGGACGAGGAAGCTGAGGACGCGCGCCCAGATCTCTGGTCCTAGCGCGTCGAATGAGCCTGGCGCGGGTGGGTCGGACGGATCGGGCTCGATGGGAGAGAAGAGATTTTTGGCGGCCTGGGCGAGCTCATACTTCCTGAGGTCCTGCATCATGTCAGCCACCTGATCTACATGATCTTAGAGGTCTGTGCGGTGCTCACCTTTTGCTCGATGTCCTCGTCAACGAGTCCATTCCTGTTCTCCTCCTCGAGTCTATCCAGCTCCTTCAGGCGCTGCTCCAGGACAGGGTCATTGGCGCAGCCTCTGAAATACTCGTCCTTCTCTTCGTGTGTCTTGTTCCGGAAGTCTTCCGACTCGAATGCCGAGGACAAATTTCCTATGAATCTCATGATGTGGGTGGTGAGGAGCTCCTCTCTAGCGGCAGTCACATGATCGCGAGGCATGATGAAGGGCGCGGACAGAGAGTGGTTGATGGATATGTCTGAAGGTGAGTCATGAGGCTAGTCAGATGCAGCACTCGTCAAAGGCAGTCTGAGCGTCTTAGCTCGAGGTCCGATCTGATCTAGTGCTCTGGGCGGGCAAGTGACATCATGTGTGTGTGTCCAGGGGCCTGTGTCAGCCATCAGCTTGACTACAGGTGCGTAAGGTTTAGTAATGTATGATCACACGCTCGGAGGATTGTACGCCCCTCGGAATATTCAAGTGGGAACGTGTCGCGAGAGAGATGAAGAGTAAAAGCCAGAAGCGATGATGCATGGGGTCTCGAGGGCGAAAGTGGACTGAAATTGACCGTCTTGCAACGATATCGCCGTCAATTGCCGTGTATGGTTCTTCCCCGCCGGCCCGCGGCGAGCTTGGCCGGTTCGGGAGCAAAAGATGCGCCTCATTCCTCGGCCAACCAGGCTCCAGCCAACCAGCGGCCAGCTCAACCCTGTGCGCTGTACACTGCCAGTGCACATGAAGTAAGGCGCTATGCCCTCAGGATGCCCTCAGCAGGTGGTCTTGTATCCTTTGAAGATTCCTCTCGCCCTAAAATTGGATGTCTCGGCCGTAAAAGTAGGCGCACCCTATCGACATCGGTATCGCCCAACGCGAGACTCTGGGTCTCGCTGCCGATAACAGCTCCGCTGCGCGTATGGAGAATGGCTCGCAGATGCTAGACTGACCTCGGCGGGGCTTGATGGGAGCTCAGACAAGGCGCTGAGACCCTGAGCGCTTAGCTTGGTCGTCTGCGCACACACCATGATGTCATACTGATTTTACGGACGCTGCGCTCGGACTGCCTTTGAACATTCAAATTAGCTGACTGCGATTGACTCAACTTTCCTACATTCTACATCTTACCTCTCTTTCTCTCTTAGCACCCTCTCACCTCTGCATACACACAGACAGACGTCCCTCACAATGCTCGACAAACCCAAAGACGCCATGGGCGAGCTCCTCGACCTGTCTATCCTCAAGTTCTTTGGCAACCTCGCCGTGGCGTGCGAGGAGGAAGAGCGCCGTGGAGGAAGCCACGAGGACGTGATGAAGCGCATGAGGAGCCTGCCGAAAGACAAGGAGTTTGAGCAGCGTGTTTTCGACACACACGCGCTCAAAAATCAATTTGGATACGTCGATGAGGATATCAGCCAGAAGGTCAGCAGCATCCTCGGTGACGATGAAGAACGACCAACAGCTGATCTGACGCAGGACCAGAGACAACACGAACTCGACCAGTATAGGCAGCTCCTCTTCTCTTCCTCCAACCCGGATCCAGCAAACCCCCCAACACCCGGCTCCTTCGACTCGCTCACTCCCCATATCTGGTCGCGCATTGTCAGCTTCCTCGTCCCGCCCAAGCCCAAGGCTCTCTCGGGGATGACGAAGCGGGAGTACTCATACCTCGCCAACCACCCAGATGTCGACCTGAAGAAGATGTACACCAACATGCCGGACGAGGGGGAGCCGGGGACCATTACTAGGCGGGATATCCGGGCGAATGACCTGGCGGTGCTTATGCGTGTCAGCATCGTAAGTTGTGTCTAGGCGGCAGATGGAGCTTCGAACAATCTACTTTGTGCAAAAACTGATATGGTAGCCCTTCAATTTCCACGCCGCCCGCTACCTCTACAAAGACGTCATCTGCGACGACCTTCCCGGCCTCATCTGCCACCTCGACTTCCCCCCGGTCCACCCTCAAATCGAGAGTAAGAACCAGCTCCTCCGCCGGATTCGGACCCTCCGCCTCGAGTACGGCCAAAAGGAAGACGGTACGAGCTATCTCGACATTATGGTGGAGCCACTCCACTACCGGAACATGGGCATCCTCAATCGCGCGGTAGACACCATCTACCAAGGCCTGGGCGAGGCTTTGCGGATCTCGAGGAGCCTCACCATGCTCCAAGGGAGCAAGACGCGCTTCCCCGCCCTGACCCACCTCGCCGTTTGCTCGGTCTTCGGCGGTCACGAGTCTCTTTGGGACGGGGTCACCTATCGGGACAACGGCTTCGTCTTCTGCGACAACGGACGGGGTGACGGTACCCAACCTCCCGTGGCCGACCTGGTTCTCATGTGCCAACAGTCCGCCATGCTCATTTTCCGCGCCTCCCCGCTCCTCCACTACTGCCAGCGTACCGCCTTCGGTCCCTTCGCTCTTCCTGCAGCTTTCGATTGGGACGACTCCTTTCCGGCTACACATTCCAAGAAATACCCCGGAGCGCGAAACCTCAAAGGTCTACCCAACACTGCGTTCCCTCCTGCCGCCTCGATCCCCCTCTTCACATCACACGTCCGCTGTATCGTCAACGTCAGCATCCGGGCTTCTCCAAAGTACCCCACCCGCTGGCTGCTGGAGAACTCGGATCGGAAGGAGTACACGACGAATTATCTAGTGCACAACTTTATGTGCAAAGTTGACGACTTGCACGCGACGATCCTGGACGCCGGATTCGAGGGCTACGCCGTCGACATCGACGCATATATCAGCAGCCATCGCTATACACCGGGAGGCCTTCCTCGTCAGTGGCCGGCGGATGCCAAGTCCATCCTTAAGTCAAAGAACAGCGCAGAGGGCGTAGTTCTCGACAAGATCCGCAAGCGTATCGTCAAGAGGGACCGCGAGGCGGGTTTGCCTGATAACGAAGGCATCTCGTCTTGGCGGCCGTCGACGGAGAGTCCGAAGTGCGAGGCGTGTGGATGGGAGTTCGAGGACGCGGCTTAGGCGGGCAAAACGAGAGAGAGGTCGGATGTGCAGGGAGGAGCATCGGAGGCGGAACACGGTAGGAACGCAGGGAGCGGAAAGAGCGGCAGGGAGACGAAAAGATGGCATGAGATGGACACTGTACATAGGCTTATAGGTCAAGATCAGGATTGTACATAATATATATCTTCATGCTGCTCAACCGGACGAACATGACGCGGTCCATCTGCCAGCTCGTGTACATAGCGAGCCTGGTTACATAGTCGAAGTCGAAGACGGCTGAGGCCAGCTTCAGACCCCTCGGGAGGTCTGGTTGTTTCGGAATCGACATCGAGTTTCACATTTCGTCGCGTTCGACATCCACCATCGTCTTCCACTAATCCGTGTCTTTCGCTCTTACTGTCACTTAAGACCGAGCACTTCGCGCCAGTACGGGCTGCCCGACCTACGTAACTACTCGACACAGTATACCAAAAAATCGAAGCCTCACAATGCTTTTGACTACGACCCCCGCCCCATCACTCCCTCTCCCTTCGCACACCTACTACCCCTATCCCCTAACTTCGCGCCTCAAGACCCACTCTTCCATCCTCCAGCCCCTCTCTCCACACGCCTACGGCTACCAGGACCCCTCTGTATCCCAATCGAAAGCAACAGCAGGGCCTGGACCGTCTTCCGCTTCAAATGCGGAGAAGCGGGAACGGCACCGGCTCGCTCTGAAGCGGGCGGAGGAACGGGCGTTAGCTGGGAAACGACCGGCAGGGGTGGAGCTGGGCAAAGAGGCGGATGAGATGAGTGATGAGGAGGGGGTGATACAGGATGAGCGGGTGAGTTTGCGATGGCTACAGGCGGAGAAGGGCACAGGGAGCTAATTTGAGCAGGATCACCTCAATCTGTTTGGACATCGCTTCTTGCTGCCCTATGGGAGAAGACAGACTCAGTCCGAGATAGACGCAGCACCGGTAAGTCCTTGCTAGCTGTCTTTTCCTCTCTCCAACGGCTAGACGCTGATTACAAGGCGTCACCAACACCGTCTCAGGAGCAGAATGACCGAATGCAGGAAGACCCTCAGGGCGGCGTAGGCGGAAATGTCAACATGGCCGCTATGCCCGCATCGGATGATCTAGGAGACGGGGAAGAAGGGGAAGAGGTGGATCTGGACGCTAGTGTGGAAGACATGGATGGAGATGATGGCGAGGACGGGGGTGCTATGAGCGCAGACGAGTAGATGTCCACCTGGATCCTGGGCATGCATTATTGTACATTACTTGAAGTCATCCTGGATTCTCACTTGGCATACCAAAAGTCGACACTCTTAGGCGCTATCAATCAGCTCAGTCCATGTCATCGTCTGATCCAGACTCACCCTGACCCCAAGTGACCTTATCCGGCAATTCCACTCCATCGCCCGTGATATCCAACAACCGCACCTTGAGCGCAATCTCCGTCAACACCTTGACATACACGCTGCTCTCCAAGCTCCGCATCCCTCCTTCACCCCTCAAGACCCTGACTCCATCCACCCATTCCGAGAACTGCGCAGAATGTACCGCGTCGAGATCGAGCAGACTCATTTCGGGTCCCGAGAGGAAGGAGAAGGACATTTTGGAGGCGGTGCCTTGTGAGCGGGAGTTGACTGCTGTGGATGTAGAAGGGAGGACAGAGGTGATGTTGCTGATTTCGACTAAACATGTCAGCGTTGACTCCACCTCGCAAGGTACATGTAGCTCACCTCGTTCGCGCAGTGTGTCGTACGGCGGCGCTACGGCTGTACGCGTGGCAAAGTCGGCCCAAGCTAGGGTCTTCCGATTTGGGGACTGTCGCCATTAGCTAGTTTTTCATTGGCCGAGCAGCCAACCACGGAGCTCACCAGTCTGACGAAGCGCAATGGCCTCGTTGCATTCGGCTTGACGGTCGCCTGAATACCACCTAGAACCAGAGTAGCAGCGTTGAACCAAGCGCCTTGGAGCATACAGCCGATACTGCAAATCAGTCACTTCTCTTCTCTATCACCACGAGGCCGGGAGAATACTCACCGTTGATCCGAGACCACCTCGTACGCCTCTCGCCCCATCGTCTCCCTCAAACCCCTCACGCCTTCCTTACCCATCATCCCATCCTCCTTTTCCAGCATCTCCATCTGTCTCTCCCGAATGACAGAATAATCGCTCTCTAGCAGGTCTTGCTCGAGGCTGAGCCATGTCGCTTGCGACTCGTTTGCTAGCGAGAAGAAGAGCTGAGAGCGGACGAGGTTGGCGAGTCGAGAGAAGTCGGAAGAGCGCGATTCGGATTCATGCCACATCCTACTACAGTCAGCTTCTGCTGCAGTGTTACGGAAGCAAGCAATACATACCGGAGGAAGAAGCTCATGGCGATATGGTGTAAGCGTGGGAAGGAGAGCAGGAACAGCTGGAGATGCGCTGGATGTACGTGTCCCGCTTGAGAGATCTTGTAGTGCTCGCACAGGATCTTGACGCATTCCGTACTGCTCGTCGGCTGATGGTCACCCGAGGACAGGGGACAACGCACCTAGCTCGTCCGACAGGACATCTCCTATTCGCCTGTCTGGCCTGCTGCTCGTTGACAATCTGCAGATCAGCTCCGCACTACGATATGAGACTATGGGCCAAAACTCACATTGCCAAAATTGCCCTCGTGTGTGGCATACCAGTGCTTCATGATCAGCTTGGATACCCTGTGCATTTACTGCCAGTGACGGTACTTACCAGACACTCCAATCCCAACTCTCCGACATCCCTGAACAATCCCCCTTCGCCCTCAGCATCACCTTCATGGCCCTCCTCCGCCAGTCCCAGGGTCTGCCACCCCCGCAGATGCCTCGCGCCCCGCCCCAGACCACCTAGCGCCCAGATATCGGCTAGTATCTTCTGGTGATTTGGATCACGGTGTGCCCGGACTGGGGTGAGCCGCTTGCGATGTAGGATGGACGTCCAGCGGGATTGGAAGTTGAGGATTTGGGGCTCGACGGCATTGGCGGAGCTTGTCGACATGAGGCGCTACATCATCAGCACCGCGCCCTTTACAGAGTCGTTGAAATTGGACATACCGAGACGTATTTCCGCACAGACAAGTTCTCTAGGAGCGCTATGAGGGCGGGGTAGTGTGCAGAATTGTGTTGATCCGCTGTTCGCAGACAAGCATTAATGAGTCCGAGACTACAGAGTCAGCTATGTACCTTGGACGGTCGCTGCGAGTCCACTCACCTCAGAGCGACCAGTTCTAGATCACCCGTCCCTTCCAGGCGCTTGAGCACGACCCGCCAGAACTTCTCCATATCGCTCCCGTCTCCTTCCAGGTCTGCGCCAGCCCTCCCCATCCTCGCCCAAACAGCATCAAAGCCAAACCGACCATCCGCTCCTCCGCTCGGCACATCCGCTCTCTCTTTCCCCTTGGACTTGCGAGTCGCTACGGGCGTAGTATAGGCATCACCATGCTGCGCGGTCCCGCTCGAGCCCTGGCCCTGCAGGTGCGGAGCGGAAATGACAAATTTGCGGATGATGGCCGTTGCTGGTCGGAGGACATTGGGCTGGGCGGTCGAGCAGAGAATAGAGAGGATCCGGTCGATTTGTTGGGGTTCGATATCTGCCCATCCGGCTTCGAACTCCAGGAGGCCGCGTATCCCTTGCAGGGCGTACTGCACCCATCAGCTCTGCTTCTCTCCAAATAACGAGGTAAGGGTGATTTACAGCCAGACTATTCCCCGTCAACGCCCCTTCACCTTCCATCAATCGCAGCAGCATCTTCACCCCTCCCTTCAGCATAAAGTCCACCACAAAGTCCTCCTCCTTGATATACTTTTGCAGGTTGAACAGCGCAAGCTTTAGCGAAATCCCATCCCGCGCATGCCCGTCCGTACTGAGGTTGATCGAGGACTGGTCTACGCTCGGGATCCGGCGGTGCGTCTGGGGCTGGGCCAGATAGGCCTTTAACGAGGTGATGACTGCTAGAGCTTCGGTCGTTGGGGATGGAGCCAGTCTGCGGATCAGTATCTCTAACGCCGAGTATGTGTGAAGGAAGGCGTACTTGAGCATCTCGCCCTTGGCAACTTTACTGGCGAGCTTGGGCTGTGTGACCAGGTGGTCTGCCTCATCTCGGAGACAGAGGGTGATGTGGTGCTCGCTAGCCTCGAAGGACTGCGCCATGATCTCGACGATATAAGCGAGGCGCTATCTTGTCAGCTTTCTCCCACCCTTCCCCAATTCGAGTGGCTCACAGCAGCTGGGTCGATACGAGCAGGTATCTTCCTGCCTGTGCGCATCAGCTGCACTCCTGTCATTCGCTCGCATGGCCCCAACCCTACCCTTGTAGGTGACCGTATTGGTCGGGATGGCCTTGCTCGACTTGGGTGTGGCGTGAGCATCTCTTGGCTGCATCTTGACCGAGTCTGTGAGTAGTCAGATATAGAGCGAACGCTATACAATGTGGACAGTCGTCAAGGTGGTCGAGGATCTACATACCATTTTCAGGCACCGGATGATCCCGACAGCAACAAAGGTCATGGAAGTCGCGCCTGCTATCCTCTTCTCATCTTGACATCTACTTTATCTGACCGACACTGACCACATGCCAAGATAGCCCAAAGCAGGATCCATGGCTACTCCGAAGGAGCCTGTCGGTATAGCTATGACCAAATTCCATCAGGCTCAAGGGTCATCGGGGCGGTCAGTCGGTCACGCCCGAACACCATCCTCGGATATGAGAGATGCTGGACACGCTGGGTCCGAGGGGGACGAGGATGAGGAGGACGTCGATGCTTTCATAGCAGGTACATCCGCCACTGATGGATCTCTCGGCTATACTGACCGAGCAGCTCATGACTCATCTCAGGATGCTACAGGAGGTCGATACCTCCGACCCCGCCTGTTCGCCTCATTCCTCATCTTTGGGCTACTCAACAATGGTCAGTCCTGTGCTCATCGCTGCTCGCGCCGCCGTGGCCATGCTGATGAGCCAGTCCTGTACGTGATCATCCTCTCAGCGGCCCTGGATCTAGTCGGCGCCGACACGCCCAAAGGCGTCGTGGCATTCTTCAACATCTTCCCGGCCTTACTCGCCAAAGTCGGCTGGCCTCTAATATCAAACGGGAAGATCCGATATGGTCGACGCGTCGCATTCTGCACGACCGTCAGCTGGCTAGGTATCGTCGTGAGTCTCCCTGTCTGCCTTCCGCTACGTGATCGGTCAGGCTCGTACGGTAGGTAGAAGCCTCGACTTATACCGCAGACTATAGCGTTTTCCCAGACCGTTCCTCCTCGACTCTTCGGGATCGCCCTTGCCTCGCTCTCTTCGGGACTGGGCGAACTCAGCTTCCTGCAAATGACGACCACGTACCCGTCGCGCGCGGCTTCGCAGACCGCCCTGGGCGCCTGGTCGACTGGTACCGGCGCCGCAGGGATCGCGGGTGCGGGGCTATGGTGGCTACTGAGGGGTCTGGGCGTGAAAGGCGGGCTTGGGATCTCAAGCGTGAGCCTTTCCATACCTAGAAGCGTCTAAGCCAGAATTGAAGACGCAGTTCTTACCCCTCTTCTTCCCCTTCACCTACATCTTCCTCCTCCCGGCCCAGAAGCACTTCCACGAATCGACAAACGCGTATCAGCCTCTCGCTACAGACAGTACCGCGCAGGAAGTCTATCGAGAAGACCCGGCCGCTAATCGAGATCCTGATGAAGACGGCCTCTACCCTAAGACGCAGTCCGCGCCGCTGCGACTGATGACGACCGAGAAGCTCGCCCTTATTCGCAGTCTCTTCGTGCCGTTCATGCTACCTCTTGGGCTGGTATATACCGCCGAATACATGATCAATTCGGTAAGTCCCGTCCTCACGGCTTCGTTTCAACACCTGAACATGGCCAGATGGGAGTCAAGCTGACTTCTATAGGGAGTAGCGCCGACTTTGGTCTTTCCGGTACCTACCGCTGGAATCTGGTCCACCGTCTTCAAGTCGCCGAGGGACTACTACCCATTCTGGTCTTTGACATGTGCGTCACAACTATCCATCTTCTGAACCTGATCATACAAGGGTGCTCGAGGCTGACAGGCACTCAGACCAGACCTTCGTCTTCATCTCCCGCGCCTCCCTCTCCCTCGGCCTCCCGCCGCTGCCCCTCCGCCTCCTCCCCCTTCCCACAATCATCCAGACCCTCAACCTCTTCCTCCTTTCCTTGCAAGCATCTCGCTTCATCCTCTCCTCTGCTCCTCCTTCTCCATCAACACCAACGTCCATATCCGCCGAATCAAGCGGGGAGTCAGGGACAATCACGCGGGTCTTCCTCCTGATCTGCCTGGAAGGGCTATGTGGGGGCGCGGCGTATGTGAATGCTTTTTACCATGTTGGGAGGATGGGGCAGGACGAGGCGGCGGAAGGAGGAGAGGGCGAGGAGAAGAGGAAGATGGAGAGGGAGTTTAGGATAGGTGCGACAGGAGGAGCGGATTCTTGTGGTGAGTCGTTGGGCATAGGCTATTAACCTTGGAAATCAGAGCTCATCACTCAGGTATACTGTTCGCCAGTCTACTGTCGATGCCGTTGGAGACTAGCCTGTGTGCTGCTCAGATTGAAAGAGGACGAACATTGTGCCGGGATCTGTGAAGCGTCTTTCATCTTGTTAATCATCAACTATGCGGTGCATGATATATTGTTGGGTTCATATTTTGGAATAATCATTGCTCGTAGATTGGATCGACCTTGAACATGTCGGCCTTGGATGGGACCTGGACTGCCTCATCTCCACTACAAATTGTCAGCTGTGTTTTGCCTTTGAGAGATGCATAAGAAACGATCAACTCACTAGATCTTGTCAGTAGCAAACATGCTTCCCTTGACGGGGATATCGAACCCGCTCGTCCCGTTCGACTTGTACACCTTGACCCCGGCCTCGGTTGACGGTGCGGCAGCGCCAGCCTCAGTAGACTTTGCGGCAGCCTTGGGTGCCGGTGTCTTGCCCCACGACCCCTTGGCGCCTCCGGTCTTGACGGTCTCGGCAGCGGGTGTAGCCTTGAGCGTGACAGTCTGAAGCCGGCCACTACGCTGTCAGCTGAGATCCGGCCGGACAGACCAGAGAATCTACCAACTCACTCTGGAATGAACCCAAACTCCATCCGTCCATCGGCATCCTTCGTCCCCTGGCAGATATAAAATCCCTTCCGCTCAAACTGGATGATATCCCACTTCTTACACCCCTCCACCTCCCGACTCGCCAGCGCCTTGACCCGATACTCGGTCTTGGGGTTGACAATATCCGTGAGGTTATCGTCCTCCTCGAGCTTCTTCTTGGTAATGAGGTAATCGTACTCGATGAGCGTGACGGGAATGAGCGGATAGTCGTCGGTAGGAGCCGCGAGCCATGTGACTTTTTTGGAGGTCTTTTTGAAGTCGCCGGCGAGGTGGAGTTTGAGGGAGAGCGAGGTGATGGGTGATGAGCCGGTTTTGGAGGAGACAAAGGCGTTTCCCCAGTCCATGACTGTGATCTAGAGGTGTCAGCCGTATGCCGATCGCTGGAGCTCGATATGACTTACTTCCTCGTTGTCGCCGAATGACAAAGCGTCCTCTTGCTCCATGATCAGCTTGCTGGCGTACACCAGCTTCTTCTCCCCAATCTTTGGGTCCTTCTTGTGCAATGGCTTGCTCTCGGCAACATACTCCTCTGTCTCCCGTCCGGTAAGCTCGACCTCGACCCTGTATTGTCAGCTTGTGCATGCGGATCCCACCAGATTCCATAGCTCACATGTTCTCCTCGGCGATGGCCCAGTATCGAGGCGCAACCGGGTCAATGACCTTCTTGTTCTGCGTCCAGACCCCATCCCATTCAAGCTGCATTTGCATCTGCGATGCGCCCTGTCCGATAATGTAGTCTTTCAGACCCTTGACGGTCATTCCGCGAGATCGAATACCTGTCAAGTGTATCAGCTGAGTCCTCCTTGACACTAGGTGAAGATAAAAGAGGGGGGGAAAGCTGACCTCGCACGGTAGGGAATCGAGGGTCATCCCATCCCTTCACCACGCCCTGCTCGACCAAGAACTTCAACTTTCGCTTGGAGAGCACAGTGTAGACAAAGTCAATTCGGCTATCAGTATCAGCTATGTCCGCGGGGATGGTGCTCGACATTTAGCTCACCTGAAGTCAAAGATCTCGATCTTGGGCATACCCAGCTTCTCCAAGAACCACTGATACTGCTCGTGACGGGCATAGTACTCGTTCGCTCGGAGGGCATGGGTGACGCCGTCGATGTGGTCGATAATGGGGCAGGCGAGATCGTACATAGGGTAAGCCTTGAATTGGGTCCTACAATATCAGCTAGATCTCGTGCCTACATCATACAGGGACATGAAGCTCACCCGGTGATGTGGTGTGACCCCTCGACACAGCGATACACGACCGGATCCCTCATTGTTCCATTCTTATGCTCAAAGTCAATCTTGGCGCGCAGACTCCACTTCTTGCCTTCCTCCGAGCCAGTGAGCATCTCCCTGAACCGAGCCAAGTTGTCGTCTATTGATGCATCGCGGTTCCTGGAGGGAATGACAGCTCGGCGCTGCTCCTTGACCTGTAGCATAAGCTTGTGTCCTGATCTTGGGCTGAAGAGAATGTAGCTTACAGTCTCGGCGTCTGTGTCATCCATGAAGGCATCTCCTTGCCTGATCAACTTCTCGGTGTAGTCTTGGATCTTGGCAAAGTGGTCCGAGGTGTGCACGACCTTGTCGTAGGCGATCTCAATCATGGATAGATCCTCTTTGATGGCGTCCTCAAACTCGCCCTATGATATCAGCTGAGCGCAGATTTCTTCGTGCGTGTGCTAACTGACCTCCTCCTTGAGCGGGTTGGTGTCGTCGAATCGGAGGATGAACTGCCCCTGATACTGGTCGGCCAAGAATCGGTTCAGAATAGCCGCCTTCAAGTGACCGATATGAAGGTATCCTGACGGCTCGGGAGCTAACATATCAGCTATCGAGGCGGACGCAAGTGCTGCATAGCTCACCAAACCGCACGACGACCTTCCCAGGGATAGCGTTCGGCAAGACCACATCAACAGTCTCGGTCCGCTTCGCCTTCTTGCCCTTGTCCATATCCGCCCGAGACTTGGCAGCCATCTCGAGCACCGTACGGGGCACATGCTGCGTCTCGACGTGGTTGAACCACCGGGAGAGGTGAGGGCGTCCAGGCTTCTTCATGGAGCCGGTAGCGGGTGTGTTGCCTGAGGATTAGCGAGCTGAGTATGGGAAGGAGGGGAGAGCGAAGCATACCTCGAATGGTACCCCAGATGGTGGCGTCACCAAAGCCAAAGCTGAAGCCATAGAAGTAGGTCCTTTTTCATGTTATCAGCTCTGCACCTTCTGCATGGGGGCTGCAGGTAGCTCACCTGTAGGCCAAGTGATCATCCAAAGCGTCAAGAATACCCTGGACCTCCTTGAACCCGGTGTTGCTCTCGAGCATAATCGGTAGAGCTGGCAAGGGGATCTGTCGTCTGTCAGCTAAGAGACCCGGAATCGACGCCAGAGATTAGCTGACCTCCTTGCCTGGCAGACCCTCCTCGAGCGCCGTGCGGACCTGCTCAGTCCCCTTGATACCTTCATAGCTAGGCTCAGCCAGCTCGTTGCTCGCGTCCTCCCATTTCACGTCTGCTCCTTTGAGGAGAGCCAGCGCGAGGAGAGTGTATGGCGGTGTGTGTGATAGCGGGACTGATAGAGTGGGCATGATGGGCAGCTGCTGTATGAGAGAGGATAGTCAAAATGTCAAGCTTCGGTGCAGTCAATTTCGTTCAACCTCCACTTGCTCGAGTCCTAATCGAAATTGATCCTAATCAAGGTTTGTATTCGGCCAGTCAGCCATTAGCGGGATCTAATGTACTAACCCGCTTTGGCTATTTCCTATTAGGACATTTCCTAATACGACTGCGGGTGCCTGAGACTTTGTTATTGAACTGTATATCCTGTTTTTGTATTAGGAAATTTGTCTAGCCCTGACTTGACCTCTCTTTTGTCCATCCATCTTGCTTGTTTGCTTCCCGAAGTGCTGATAGGGCATTGCTTGCCTTACCCATAGAAGTCCCAGCTGGGACTGTGCCCTCATCTGGCTATAACGAAGCCGTCTCCACCAAAGCATCACCCAGGTCGACAGCTCCAGCTCGCGTCTCATCAAAAATCACCGGCTGTTGACATCTGAACACCCACTCGGGCTGCCTCCCCTCCGGTGGCCGAACGCCACGCGCATAGTCGCCTCGGATGCCGCCCTCCGTGGCGTCAAGCTCGACGCACTACGCCCTAGTAATCGACGCCGGCTCCTCCGGCTCGCGTCTGCAAATCTACTCGTGGCGCGACCCGGACCTTGAGCGCGCCGAAATCATCGAGGAGGTCCGCTCCTCCGAAGCGGATATTGCGGCGTCTCTCAGAGGAGATGATGGGCAGACAACGGGAGGATGGCCCTGGGTTGAAACACCCAAGGCGATGGGAGAAGGGAGTCGGAAATGGTGGTGGCCGTCAAATTATATGCCGACGCGGAAAGGGAAGGGAAAGGATGTGGGGTATGGAGAGCTCGAGCAGAGGGCGTTGAGACGGCTGGTACGTGTAGGGAAGGGGGTGGAAGGTGACGAGTGGGTCAAGCGGGCCGAGCCAGGTGAGTAGAGGCCCTTGCGCGTGGAAAGCAGGAAGCTGAGACTTCAGGCATATCGACCGTTGCTCCAGCCGATATCCCAGCTTATCTCGCACCTCTCCTCACTCATGCGCTTCAGCAAATACCTCCATCACAGCACGCCCTCACTCCCATCTACATCTACGCGACCGCCGGGATGCGGCTGCTCTCATCCGAAACCCAGTCCGCCATCCTCCAAGCCACGTGCGACCTCGTCCGCAAGGACTACCCCTTCCGAGTCGGGCGGTCAGGCACAGAGGGACCTTGCGGGGAGAATATCCGTGTGATCTCAGGCGAGGAAGAAGGATTATGGGGATGGGTTGCCGTCAACTACCTGATGGACGGGTTTGGGCACGCTCCGCCATATGGAGCAGTCGAAGCCCCGCCCTCTTCTTCGCCATCACTACTACCTCTCGCTCCGCTCGCCGAACCACCACCCTCTTCCGCACAAGACTCTGTCACACCAGTCGACGTCTCGCATCACTCGCCCACTTTCGGTTTCCTCGATATGGGCGGAGCCTCCACCCAACTCGCATTCTCCCCCTCGGAGCTGGAACTTTCTCGCTCCGGCTACCCGACCGATGAGCTTCGCAAAGTCTCTCTTCGGCTCTTGTCTGGGGAAGAGGTAGACTGGCAAGTCTTCGTCGCATCTTGGCTCGGTTTCGGCACCAATCGCGTTCGGGAGCGATACGTCGAAACCCTCCTCGCTTCCTGGCGCAACTCTGCCAGAGTCGCCGACCTCACCACTCCCCTCCCTGATCCCTGTCTACCGGTAGACCTCCTCATACCCTCCGCGGCAGACGGCACCTCTCCGCCCCTCATCGGAACCGGCTCGTTCGATACATGCCTCAAAGACCTGAAGCCCCTCCTCGATAGGGCTCAGGACTGTCCCGCCAAGCACTGCTTGTTTGCGGGATTGCCGACTCCACAGATCGACTTTGAGCGGGACGATCAGCGCGGGTTCATCGGTGTCAGCGAGTACTGGTATACTGCGCAGCAGGTATTGGGGCTGGGCGGTATATGGGATTGGGGAGAATGGGAGACGGGAATGGGCGATTTCTGCGGAAGAGATTGGAAGGCTGTCGAGGAGGAGGTCGAGCGAGAAAAGGGATGGCGAGGGGCGCAAGTGAGTTAGATCCCACTTACGCATTGTGGACCAAGCTGACCTATAGCTCGAGCTATCCCGACTTCAGATGCAGTGCTTCAAAGGCGCTTGGATCTCGAATGTCCTTCACGAAGGCATTGGGATTCCTCGGCTCATCGACTCTGGCGGTCGGGAGACCCTTACTGGCGGCGAAGTGGGCGATACCAATGCGGAAGCGGAGCGGCGGGCGCGCGAAAAGGGGCTCATCGAGGGCGATTCTTCCAGCGGAGCCCGACACCACAAAAGCAAATCCCACTTCCAGTCCATGGACGAGATTGGCTCCACTGCCATCTCGTGGACCCTCGGCAAGATGGTCATCGAAGCGAGCAAAGCCGTACCGCCCCGCTCGTCCGCGCAGGAATCGGCATGGCGAGACAGATTGCCCAGTCTCGGTCTCGTCGGGGTGGTCGGGACCCGGTTGGAAGATGCGGGTATCCATGCCGCATGGGCGTATATCGGCTTCATCTTCCTGTTCCTCGTCCTCGCTTGGAACTGGGTCAAACGGCGCAAGTTTCCGTTGTCGAACAGCCCTCGATCGTCTGTTCGCCGGAAACCCAGTCTGAGCGGCGGGTCACCCATGGCTGCATCGCCCACCTCGTGGTCGTTCTGGCCTGCACCGGCAGATACCATCTCGCTGGAGGACGGGTATCGCTCGGACTCGTCTTCCTCACGCTCTGGTCCCCGCTCTGCGCCCGCGAAGCTACGCGCTCTATCACTCCGGTTGACCAGCTCCATCCGCCGCTTACTCCCCTTCTCCCACCGGACGGCTTCGGGCTCGTACGACGCCCCCCTCCTTCCACGATCGTCAATGAACGGCCGATCAACCAATACCTCCCGCCACGCGTCCATGCCCATCCATACCTCCTCTACCGCTTATTCACCATCCTACTCCCAGCCCTCCTCCCCACGCGGAAGCTTCTTCACTCCTGCTCTCTTTGGCGGCTCCAGCGACTCGGACAGTGTTGGCCTGACCGTCCCTTTCACTCGGCCCGGCTCGACCTCGCCCGAGCCCCGGCGTATGCAAGGCCTCAGCTCCAGCCAGAGCGTGGGCGAAATGTCATCAATGAGCGGGAGCGGATACAGTCTCACCCCGCAAACAAGCCCGCCACGTAATAAGAGCCGTCCCCTTCGCGCTCGACAGAACAGCTACAATATTGGAGGAGGACCGTCGGCTTCGGCCGCGACGGGAGGATGGAACGATCCGCCCACGACGCTGTTCACGGCTTCGCAGGCCGCGCATGGAGGGTCGTTGGGGATGTCGATGGTGGATGGGCTGGGGCCGCATGAGAGCGGGTCGAGTAGCGGGGTCTTGACGCCCTCGGCGGGCGCGGCGGATCGGGTGTTGAGCAGGCAGAGCAGTCGGGTGAATCTGAGCGATATGGGGTTGAAGGAGAGGAGTGGGAGTAGGCTGGGGCTGCACTAGGTGGTTTGCGAAGGGGCATGGTCCGGACGTCATCGGGGAGCGATCTCAAGTGTTGCAGTGCGGACCCTTGAGTTCAATATATCTACTGTTCATATCTACCTGCAGTGTTCATCGAGTCCGATCTGTCAAACAGTCTCCCCATATAGTGCTTAGATATGGTGCCTAGCTTTCATAGTTGTCACATTTTGTAGTTTGGAGATGGACACTTGCGGCTGAAATTTGGTGCTGTAGGCTAACCCATCACTGGATCCCTGGCTCCTATGACCCTAGCGGCCTTAGCTCGCCGCCCATCCCTGCGAGTTGCCATAGAGTGCAGGAACTCCAAGACGTCAAATACATTCACACTATAGATCTGTACTATAAATCGGGAGTCCACCTTCCATCGTCCTCCTGAACGCCTCGCATCCGCTAGTCCTCTACCGCCAGCTCCACCGATCACAATCTCAAGATAAGACACTCTCAGATCAACCTCTTAGACACCTCGACAGCAGGGCATCCATCTCGGCTCCAGCGCCCTTCCGGATCATACTTCATGATCGTGCGAGTCGCGGTCGACATGAACGACCAAATGACCCAACTTCTTCTTGTGCAACAGCCGCTTGACCTGGATTGTCAGCTGGTCCGAGCAGTAAGGGCGGGCCGCGCTACATAGCTTACCTCTTCCCATACCGTCTCCCGCAGCTTGACCAGGTCGCGCGCCAACTCCGGTCTGAAGCCCCTGAAGATCAGCTTGGGTCCAAGAGAAGACAGAGCTAATCGGTACGGTACTTACAACAAGAGGTTCCTCGCGTAGTTGAGCGCCTTGAGGGAGTTGTCGTTCCGCTCTTCCACAGGCGTGATGACCCATTCGACCCGCTGCTTGAGCTGTTCTGGGTCGGGGATGTGATACTCGGGCCAAGCGGCGCGGATCGGGTGCCACCACATGAAAGGCCCTGCCTTGTCAGCTATGTCTGCGCGGTATAGCAGTCGATAACTCACTTCCATCCGGAAGGTTCTGCGGCCCGGACGTCACGCCGTATGTTGTCAAGTGGCCGGTCGAGAGGTCGAAGCGGTGTGCGGTCCATTTCTCAGCCTAAATGTCAGCTCGTTCGCGATATACACCGGTATCTGATCCGTCCAACTCACCTCGTTCCGGTGTTTGGCGAGCGCAATGATGACCCTCGGTGGAGTCTTGAAGCCAAAGGCTGCCGCATCAGCTCAGTCTTGACGGATTACACATCCGCACGGGTAAACTCACGATACCAAAGATCCTCGAGGATTTGGCGCGCGTTATCGATCTGCTTCTGGGCAGAATCAGCATATACCCAAGGGAATGTGGTTGAAGAGGTGCTCACGTTGTGGACTGCCTTGTTGATAGCTTCAGCCATAAGAGGCGGTACGAACAGCTTGTCGCACGCCTTGGGCGGGTTGGAGGTCAGGTTCCGGTTGAGCAGCCTATATTGGGCGTCAGCTATGTCTACCCAGACCCGGATAAGGACATTCGAGCTCACCGCTTGAAAGTCATCATGCTAAACACCGTGAGTGGCATCATCTCCACCTGCCGGCCCAGCGCCAGCCCCTCGAGCGCCTTGGTAAAGCTGTCATCCTCCCAGACCAGTGCCCAAGTATACAGCTGCTGCGTAACGCGATCCCAGGGACCCAGCTCCGGCGCCACCTCAACCGCCTCCTTGACGTAGATTATGTCCTTGCCGTGCTTCTCGGGGTGACGAGTGAAGTGCGTGGGGGCAGTGACGGCGTCTTGGGTGATAGCTGACGGCTCAGTGGGATGTTGAGAGCGATACGAAAGTCCGTTGGTCTCGCCATTGCCATTCGCCGCCGACTTGGCGTAGGTCGTAGCCGGCCTAGGAGCGTGATTCTGGACCGGCGTGGACGACCTGGACTGCGTCGGTCGAGACTGGTACTGGTCATTACTGAAGTAATCGGCCGCCGCTCCTGCTCCCGTTCCCCTGGCCATCTCGGGGCTTGGCGCAGTGGACCGTACGCTGTGCTCCCTCGCATCAGGCGTATCCGGCAGGCTCTTCTCCGCCATTCCCGAACCAGGGATAATCTGCTCCTCGATCAAATCGATCTCCGTCCGGACTGGCGTTCTCGGATCCGTCCTGGACGGAATACTCGCCAGCCTCGTCCGAGCATTACTCTCCGTCGGTGGCTGGACGTTGATCGTCGGACCGAGAGGCTGGCGTGGCTTGGGCGGTGACGCTCCCGAGGGCATCTCGACCTCCGAGCCCCACGTGAGGGTGACGTCCCCGCTGTTCTCCCGCGCCTTGTGGCTGGGCGTTATGGTCCGGATCTTGGCGCTTGGAGCGTACTCGTAAGTCGCTCCGGCGTGGACGGGCGGACCCATGGGGTAGAAGCCGGCAATATCGGCGGTGAAGGCTGAAGTGGGCAGACCATGGAAAATCAGGTCGTTGATGAGGTCTTGGGGGATGGTGTCGGTCTCATCGTGCATGGCGTCCGGGCTCATGTGGGTAGTGGCTTTGCGCAGCTCCGCCTGGAATTGCTGCTCGGCGAGCTGAGCAAAGCGGGCATCGAGTTCCGCCATTTGGTCGGTCAACTAGTTTGTCAGCTCTGTACCGCACAGGAGGCTGATGAGGAACACACTGTTTGAGCCCATTTCGGCGGGATGGACTAGACCAGTAAGCTCGATCCCCCACAGCTAGATACCTATGCAGGAACTCACCTCGTCTTGCACGGGTATCGCTGCATACTCCTCCACCGCCGACATAGTAGGCTGCTTGCTCTGCTTCGCCTTCGACTTGCTCCTCTTCTCGCCAGAGCTGGGTGGAGTGGGATACCCAGCAGGGACGGTAGGGTAGGCAGCAGAAGCCTGTCCGATCAGCTGCTATTCCTGTCATGGACGAGACACCTCAGCAACTCACATCGCCCTTCTCCTTGATATCCTTCAACTCAATGACCCTCGCCCTCGCAGCGCGCTGCAGCGCCTTCTTCGCCTCCGGCCCGATCAGATTCAGTCTGGCCGCTTCGAAAAGCTCGCAGAGCGTCTCATCATGGAATGAGCTGTCCTTGACGATCTTCTTGACGTTGGACGCGCTGGTTGGAGCGATCGAGGCGGGAGCGGGTGGGTGATGATGACCATGATGCTCGGGGCTGGGTGTCTTGCCGCCAAAAGTGCGGTGGTCGGAAGCGACGGTATGAGCTTTGTGAGTCCGCTCTGTCGGCGCGTGCTGATGATGAGCGGAAGGAGCAGGCTTGTCGTTCTCGGTCCCGTCCCTGTTGGTCCTGAATGTATGATCCTGGCTGGGCTGGTGATGGTGCGAGCGAGCCGACCGGGCTGTTTGGGTTGGCGCCTTTGAGGCATGGGTCGGTGCTCTCGATCGATGATGCGCTTCGCGCTGCTGAGCCATATGCGGCGGATACTGCTCCGGGTCGATGGCGTGCTGACCCCATCAGCTTGCAAATCGACCACAGATCTGTCCGGAAGCTTACCGTCTGGGAGTCATAAGGATTCTGCATGGTCTGCTGGCTCATCCTCATCGGGTTGAGCTCAGATTCGGTCCTCGCCGGAGCCGGCTCTGCCTGGCTGGCAGTTTGTGAAGGTAGCGACTGATTCCGGACTTTAAGAGTGGGCGTCTTGGGCTCTTGCTCCTGCCTGATCAGCACCGGCCCAGCGGTTTTCCTCGAAAGGTGCCCAGAATGAAAGTTCAGTGATACTTACATCCTCCACAGTCTCGACGAAAGCACTCCGATCGTCCCTCTTCCGACTCGCCTCGCTGACCTCCGGCACCTCCTCCAATCTCGCTCCCTGCATCCCCAGCCCAATACTCCCAATACCCGGCCCCATTCCCACACCGGTACCGGTCCGCATGAGCACCATCGGCCTCGGCAGATTGGCCGTCATGGGGACGCCGAAAGGGATGCGATAGAACGCCCCACCCGACTGGGCATTCTCGCGTACCATTGGAGCTGAGCCGACGCCCATGGGAAGCTGATATGACTGCCGAGCGGAGGTAGGATGGCCATCTTGGTGGTCGATATGGCCAAAAGAAGGCCCGCTAGTCTGGGTGTCGTACGTCGCGCGCGGACCTTTCGGGCCTGATGGCGGGAGATCCGGAACGTCGCCCCTGACAGCTTCGAGCCGAGCGAGCGCCTCAGCATGAGCCTGCTGGACGGCAGCGGCCTGCTTCTGTGCCGCTTCGTGGTGCGAGAAGGGAAAGTCGTGATGCGGACGGTGTAGGTGAGGCTGGTCGTCCGAGTCGTGATGGGGCGGCTCTGCGACTGGGGCGGGCTTACGTCCCAGACCAGAAGCGGTGGTCCTGGCTTGGGGAGTGGGTGGAAGTGGGTCCGTTGGAGGGTCGTGGGTGGGTACTGGACGGATTGGAGCAGACTTGACTGGAGAGCCGCCTCGGCTGGTCTGTATTATCAGCTATGTGCCCACGCGGTAATCGAGCCAAGCATAACTCACGGCCGCTTTCCTCGGAGACCGATGCTCATTCCCGTGCTCTGGGCTTCCACCTCCCTCGGTCCGGCTCGACCCCAACTTTCCACCACCAAAAGTGCCCAGCGCCGCCTGGTACATGCTCTTCAGGCCTGCTCCTCGGCTCATGACCTCGCTTTCCCGCTCTCGTCCATCCTTGACGGGTGGCGCAGGACCATGATCGTACGTCTCGTGCTCATGCCCGACAGCAGCAAATGGGATAGTGGCGGATGCGGTATAGGCGAAAGGATGGTGAATTCGGCCTCGTGGCTCAGGAACGGGCGCTTCGTGCAAAGTCGGCATCCTCGAAGGCGGTACTGTATTATTAGCATGGGCTCGGAGAGGCATGAGGGAACTTACCTGAGTCGTATGGTCCAAACATTCCGTCCGGTATCGTGCCAGTCTCGACTCGTTCAACCCAGGGTAGGACTACATTGTCAGCTTTGCACTCGAACCCGATGCCGCGTAAGTCAGCTCACCTTTCGCTTCCGCACTGTGCTCGTTAGCTGGATTTCCAGATCAGGTGGAGCATCTAGCTTACGGAGGTGTCTTGTCCAGATCTGTGCTCTTCGAGTTCTGCCTTGGCGGAGTTCCCGTCGCGTCTCGTTCGAAAGCCCTTGGAACCGGTCCACCGCCTAGAGCTTGTCCGCCTGTGAAGAAGTCGACAGTAGAGGGAGGATCGTATGTGGAGATAGTAAATGGGCGAGACAAGGTCAGCGACATTATCTAATAGTCATGTCTGATGTGGGGAGGTAGAAGGTGGAAGTGGGAGGGGAATAAAAGGAGGAGGGGGAGAGCTTGCTGTCCCCACAATCCGTCCAGCTATGCGTCATTCGAGGTTGAACGAAAGGTCTGTCCAGCGAGGCTAGTCATAGCCAGGGAAGGAGTGCAGAACAGAGCAGCAAGGATGGGGAGAGGGTAGGTATCGATACCGTCGGTGTGGAAGAGGACGAGGGGGAAGGAGGTGATGATGCAGCAAATCACTCACCCGTATCAAACGTCTCGACCTGCTCCGATACCTTATGAAGCGGTTCATTCTGAGCAGCGGCGAAATGCTTCAGTGTCCGCATGAAGGTAGGCATGGCCTATCGCTGCGCCCTATAAGCGGTAGAGGCGGTCGGCAAGGCAATCTTTGTCGCGTAGATCTTCACTCAACCGGATGAGCGAAGCCTAAAGACAGAGCGGGAGGGTGAAGGCACCGAGGTGTATCGATTGTATGAGCGGAAGGATGATGGCGTGTAAGCGATATGGCGGGTATTGAAAGGTATAAATGAGTGAAGAAGGTGAAGGGAAGGACGAGTGATGATGTGAACAAAAGGAAGCGGTCGAACAGAGTTTGGCGGAAACGTGCCTGTCGTGCGGTAGCTCGGACCCCGTCCTTTGGGCGTGTGTGTCCATGTGTGCGGGGGCGTCATTGCGGAGTGATGAGCGTGATGGCCCTTCTATCGCTATGACCCTCATAACGTGCGATGCTGATTGTTGAGGGATGTAACCGGCAAGAGCTCCACCACCCGCAGCCCGATATCCTGCTGCAGGCTACCTGAAACCGGGCGGAAAGCTGAAACCGCAGGTTCCCCGCGTGTTTCGAATCTCCGCACGGATTTCAACCCTCTTCTGCCTGGAGAAGACCCTCAGTCTCCTCGCCTTGCTTTCTCTCCGCCCAGGTCCGCGCCTCTTCCCGCCCTCTCGTCATATCGACCCGGATGAGGACTGGTATCGGTACCGCGAGCATGATCAGGAGGAAGAGGAATCCGAGGCGGATGTTGCCGGTGAGATCGGCTATGATGCCGACGATGAGGGGGCCTAGGAATGAGGCTGACTTGTCGGTGAGGGCGAAGAGGGAGAAGAAGGAGGATTCATGGCCCTGAGAGTCAGTATCAGCCACAGCAATTGATTCGGACCGAGTAAGCTCACAGGTGGAATAAGCTCGGCAAATACCGCTCTGGAGTAGCTATTGAAGGGTCCGTAAAGCTGCATCTTCAGCTCTGCCTGCCCACACACAGCTGCGAAGAGTGGAACCGAGCACTCACCATGCCAAACCATACCGCCGCGACGTACATCTCCCCTTCGGATCTCAGCCCTCCCCAGGGCAGTATGAGCCCTAAGCACGCATACAGCGGCAAAGCCTCTGCGAGGAGTACGATTCCCAGCAAGAGCTGCAGATTGCCATATCTCAGCCGGTTCTGTATTCTCGGCGCCACGACGGACGAGATGACCGCCGTGAGCTGAACGAGAATCCCAATGAGGATGACTTTGGCGGAGGAGAGGTGTAGAGTAGATGAAGCGTAAAGGATGGCGACATAAGTGGTAGTGTGGAACCCTGATATTGTCAGCGGGATGATCTGTATCCGAGGACTGGTCATACCGTCAGAGAGGAAGATCCATGCCAGGAGGAACATGTAGAGATTCGGGATCGCCCGTATCTCTTTCAGCCTGACCATTCTCCCAACCCGCTTCCAGCCTTGGCCTATCCATCCAATCCGAGTCCCTCCGACCTCCCTCTCTTTCTCTCCGCCTGGCAGTCCCAGCGAAGCAGGGATGAGGAAGATTCCCCACCACAATCCGCTGAGCGCGATGGCCACCTTCAGACCCGCCGTCGAGCCCTGGAAGGTCATGACCGGTATCAGGAGTAGTGCTAGTACGGATACGCCTGAGAAGAAGCCGATGGCTGTACCGATGGACGACAGACGGGATGTCGTGGATGAGAGGAGGGCATCGTAGTGCGAATGAGGTGAGGGCGGAGGTGAAGGCGGGTGGGCGAGCTCCGCTGTAGAGATGGACGATATGACCCGCTCGAGACTGCTCCGGGCGGCCACAATGGGTCCGTCGTCCACGCCAGCATCGTCCCGCTCGTGCCCATCGTGCGCGACAGACATGCTCTTCCGCGCAGCTCGGACGGCCTCGTCCTCTTTCGCCAAAGTCGGCAAGAAGGCATTACTGCACACATTCGCGACGGCATACGCGATGTTCCCGACGATCGTCAAGAGCGCAGCGAAAAGCGGGACGAGACCGGACGAAGACGAGGACGACGGCAGAGCGAGGAAGAGGATCCCGGAGATGGCACCCAGGAGCGCAAAGGTGACCAGTAGTTGCTTGCGCCAGTAGGCTGTCAGAGTCAGCGAGATATCTCGGTTCTCCCAGGACATATACCCACGACTGTCGGCTAGCGGGCCGACCGAGATGATACATAGTGCCTGTAGAGCGACCGCTACCGACTTGACGTACATGCTGCACCGTCAACTTCCCCTTCCAGCGGCGCATTCTGAGCTCACCTGAACGAAGCTGTATCTATCCAAACACCCATGATCCTCGCCTTACAGACCAACAGCTCATCCTCTGAGCTCCCAGCTATCACTTCGGAGCATGGCCGAAGTAGCTCGGGCGAGACGAAGCCAACATCCCTCGCCATATCTTCCTTGTCAGCCCCGCGATCATCGTACGGTCGCAGTCAGGCTGGACGTGGAAGACCCACGCTCAAGGGTGATTGGCAGGAAGATAGCCTGTTCAGTCAGCGTTTCCCCTTGATTCCTTCTTTGCTTGTGAGGTAGGACGTACCATAGCACAAGCCGCAAAGACCTCCGCGGCGAAGGCGTAGCAGTACCACGCCCTCACATGCCGAGGAGGGAGCTTGAAGGCCCTATCCGACCTCGCTGAGAATGGCCAGCGAATCATGCTTGCGTTGAGTAGTGAGGAGTGGCCATCGCCGGAGAGAGTTATCCGCCAGTCTGCTAGCTAGTGCTGCTTGACGAGAGAGAAAGGCACAAAGGAAGAAAGGTGACCTGGCGAGCTTCGGCGGTGGAGGTGGTCCGCTCGGGTCTGGCCGAACGGCCGAAGGCTTGGCACCTCTTCCCTGGTTTGTCCCGGACGTGTCAACGACCAACCTCATAGCATGCGTCGTCTAATTAGAACTACCTACAGCTACTCCTACCAATATCCCTGACCCCGAATTCCGACTGCCCTAAAGATACAACCTCACTACCATATACCCAATTACTCTAGATACATAAAGACCGTTCCCTCCCTCCCCTCCCTCGCAATCTCCTCTCCCACATCTTCGTCCATTCCCCACTCCAACCCCGCCTCATCCCCTAGCTCCCTCGCCAGCCTCGCCAGCCTCGCCAACTCCCTCTCTGACCTATCTCTCCGCCTCTTCCTCGGCGTCGTAGCGGGAACCACCACCTTCCTCGTCATCCCGCTTCCGCTTCCCCCTGCCCAGCTATCCGACCTCTCCGGGGTGGCGCTGGATGTAGAGCGCTGAGAGTACGCCGCGGCGGATACGGACCGACTCCTGGCGCGAGATTGAGCAAGGACGAGAGAGGGAGGTAAGGCCGTCCGGAAAATGATGGGTTTGAAGTCGGGTTCCTCCTTGATCCCAAGTGGGGGTTTGCTCCGCCGAGGTGTTTTGGGAGTGCGCGATACTTCGATGGGAGGGGCAGCATCAGAGCTGGAGCTGGGTGTAGAAGGACCAGGGGTGGAGCTGACGCTGCTGAGTCGCCGAGGGGGGACGGGCGGGGGAAGCATCAACCCGGCGGTGCTGCCGCTTTTGCTGGGGCTCGGGGCGGGGCGCGAAGGCGTGGACGCCCGGGGTGGCGCAAGCAGAGTGTACACTTTCCCCGGCGTAGCCATCTCCGCAGGTTCCGGAGACGTCCCAGAAGAGGACGCACCGCCGTAATCCGGATAAAGCGCCTGCATCATCCCCTGCGTGATCCGACCCGTATGACCCGGTCCCAAGTGGAACCCAGCATCCGCCGCCCGCACACTCAGTTCTGTGGAGAAGGACGGACTGGATGAGTTGATCCGCCCCGCTGCTGGCAGCTGCCAAGGCGAGACCGACTCGTATCCCGTGTCCAGGCTCTCGGTATCGGACTGCCCAAACAGGTCGGATAGGTCCACCCCCGGGCTGCTCGGCTGGAGTGAGAATCGGGCGCGCTTCTGACTCTTTGTGGTAGAAGCGGAACCGATGCTGCTGGGGGTTCCGCGCAGGATTGGGCGGGGACGAGTGAAAAGGGCGGCATCGCTCGAGACGGACGAATTGCGCCCATCCGCAGAGGGTGGCGGAGTGGGTTGGAGCGCATAGTGCGATCCGCGAGGGAGAGGGAGGATACGCCGGGCGGCAGGCGAAGTGGGAGGCCAGAGCGTCTTGCGAGCCGACTGGTCGATCCGTTCCGGCTCGACGGATACGGTGGGTGACGGGGTGGGCTGGTAGATGAAGGGCTGCTTCTGGGTCGGAGGAGGGCTACCTGGCGGCGAAGATAGCGGAGGGGATGAGGTCAGAGAAGCGACCAAAGCATCAGGCGCCTGGGAGAAGACGTCCGGGGGAGGCGAAACCGATACCGGGGTGATGATCCGCCTCCTTGCAATCTTCTTGACCGAGAGCGGGACCTCCGGCGCTGGAGGAGAGGGTATCGCTTTACTGGTAGGAAGGGCCGATGGGGAATTGGCGACAACGGCAGCGGGCACAGGCTCTTCCGCCTCAGCGACCGCCAGCCCTTGGTAGGCCCGGGGCAAGGCTTCCAGCCACGCCGCCTCCGACTCTGCATCCGACAGCTCTTCCGGCGTCGGTTCGTTCTGCTGCTCGACGAAGTCCTGCCTAGCAGGCGACGGCGTGGCTCCCACTGCCGAAACTGACCTGCCCCTTCTATCTGGGCGACCCGATCCGAGCGCTTTCTCCTCGGCCAGTACCTCCTCAATCGTCATTCCCCGCCGCCTGGCAAGAACGTACACTGACGTATACGTCCGCACAATCTCCTCTCCCAATTCCTGCGCAAAGACGCACTTATACGCCGCGATACGCCCTTTACAGTAGTACGACCGTTGTTTGCGGAGAGCATCGGTAGAGGCCCGGCAAGTCTGGCAGAAGCGGAAAGTTGTAGAGGTCGACCGATGCAGTTTGGGAAAGTACCGCGTGGTATCCGATGGGACTTCGAGTTGCTCGGGAGGGATGTAGGACGGTTCTTCCGCGAATCGACTTTCGGACGAGCGCTGACTGACAGGGATGAGCTGTGATCTGGGTGTGGTGGCGGGCCAAGCAGGTGCGTGTAGGATGAGGCGGGTAGGTCGTTTGGGGGAGCTCGCGGGTGGGGCATCAGACGACGACGACGATGGCTCCGCGAAGAGGTCGTCGAGGGTGGGAGGGGAGGACTCTGGAGGTGGAGTAAAGAGGTCTCGCAAAGTCTGGGAGGTCGACCGACGAGCATGTGGTAGTCGGCTGGGTCCTGCCTCCGCGTTGGGCGCGGCGGACTGCCGGGGCAAAGAGACCGATGGAGGTACCGTACGCTTTGGGGTGCGGATAGGAATGACGACTTCAGGAGATAGCTTCACGTTCAGCTTTGTTGAGATTGACCTGGATGGGCTGACTCACGTGGTGCGGTCTCACGGGTGTGACCTTGACTGCATCCGGGTCGAAGGATAGTAGCTCGTCCTCTGAATCCGACCCATCCAAGTCGTCTCCATTGACTGCGGAGTCCCCATTCCCCGAAGTATTTGGAGACGATGATCGTATGGGTGATGATCCGGACGCTTGGCTGGCGCCATCGCCTTCTTCATCCGAGCTGTCAAGCTCTTCCACATCCCCATCGTCCCCATTATCGCCCAACTCCCTCAGCTCCGCTTCATCCCTCAGAAAGGCCGCCAGATCCTCCCTATCCTGATCTGTCCACACCCTCGTCGGCGCCTGCTCCCTCGTCTGGCAATCCACGTCTCCCAATCCGGCCAGCACGTCCTCATCCGACAACACCTCGTCCTCCACCTCCGACGCCACAGTCTGCGTCTCTGCATCCTCCTCGTCACTCTCCTCGCCTATTCCCTTCCTTGGCACCATCGCTTTTATCCTCCCCCTGTTCTTCATGATCTCCCCCGTCTTGATGTCAATCTCGTCATCCTCATTCAATCCCACCGAGCCGTACTTCTCCCGCAAGAGGTCCCAGCTATCCACCATCTTCTTGACCGAGTCGGCGCGCTTCTTGTTCAATAGCGCGTCATCGTCGTCTTGCTGCGTACGGGAGCTGTAGGCCGATGAAGAGCGCGCGCGGGGTGCAGGCCGGATGGGCGTGGAGGAGCGCGAGGAGGAGGCCTGCCGGGAGGCAGATTCCCGCGCGGGGGCGGCTGTCTCGCGCAGGGCATCTAGGCGGAACGGGCGGGGGAAGTAGGGCCGAGAAGGACCAGCGATGGGGTCGGAAGCCGTCATTCTGGGTTCGACGGGGTGGTAGGTGATGCGCTACGCGGATCCATCCCCTTGCATGGGAAGGAGAGAGAGGTGTTTACAAAGTCAAAGTGAAAGCTTGTCTGAATCTTAATTTGCTAATCACACCGAGCATTTCCTAATCGTTTCCTATTGAAGCTATTTGACTCCGCTAATGGAATTACGCGATGACTGGTGCGTCAGAGCTTGGCAGCATATCTGTCAACCATCACATCCATCTAACTAGCTATCACTCACTCGCTCGCTCACACAAAGTCGACAGCTATGCGAACTTTGCGGACGCAGATCCACCGAACCAGAAGAGCATAGAGAGGTTGCGCTGCCCAGGCCGCCGGAGCTCTCGGAGCCACATCGACTGCCGCTCCTCCACCTTTCCAGGTCACTTCAAGTCACCATGCCTTACACTCCTCATAGACGACATGCAGTCGGTACTGTCAGTCACACCATCCCGCTGACAACCTCATGATGGTAAGAACCTTTGCTGATCTACAGATCTCAAACGTCTCTCAAGCCCTCAACCTCCTTGAACACCTCTACCAGCCCAACCTCCTCATCCTCCTCAGCCGCATGCTCGCGCAAATGCAAATACAAGCCGCGGGGCTCATACATCCAAATCGATCGCTCATGAGCCTATGCCTCATGTTGACGCTCATGAACGGTACCGCGGCGCTCCTGCATCTGCTAGACTATATGGCTGGACCAGGGAAGGGCTTGATGCTGGATTTTGTTGGGCAGGGTGGGTGTGCATCCTCCTTTGTCCCCTCCATCTTCCTCGGCTCAGGCGCTGACGTTCAGTCCGGATAGCAAGTCTTACACGGATGCTGCTCCTCGATGTCCTGATCTACATCCTGCAAATACATTCCTTGACGATCTCTTACCTCAATAACAAAGCGACGAACGCTATACGCCAGGTACCGGCGCTGCCATATACGGATATGCTCCTTCCGACCTCGGACGTGGTGGAGGATATATCTCCAGAGGATTTCGATATAGAGTCAGGACTGAGACGGAGGAAAGGAAAGGGAAGGACAGTGGAAGAAGAGGAGGACGAAGAGGTGATTTGGCTAGATGATGCGGATGAAGGGGAGGTAGATGTCCGTCCGAGTGAGTCCTTTCTCCTCGCTCCTGTACGAGCATCCGGTGGAGGTGCTAGTACTGCGGGCGCCAGAGCTGACGTCTAGGCGAACGAGATCGTCTCCTCTCACAATCCACCCCATCCCGTAGACGCGCACGCGAACCACCCCGAATAGTATCCCTCTCCCTCCCCCACCTTCTGCACGTCATCATGCACCTCCCAGCCCCCACTCCTCCTCGACCCTTCATCGCAGGAGCAACACCCGCTGCTTCGCCCCCGGTCACTACATCGGCACTGCCAAATACTGCCTCGACGGCGGCCGAGACGCTGTATGACGGGCAGGCGGACGATGAGGACGAGGATGAGGACGAAGGCGACTATGGGGACGACAGTGAGGAGGTGGCGCGGAGGAGTATACTACGGTCTCATGAGAGGGAAGAGGAGGGACGACGAAGTGAGGATGGATCCGATGCGGATAGAGGGGGAAGAGAGCGGATGCCGGGAGATTATTGGGTCAGGGGGAGAGGGAATGGAGGTTGATGTGAAGATGTAACATCTGTTGTCGGCTGTACAAAGCGCACTCATCTTCCTCACGTGTGATGGTAGCAGCCATCTGGGGAAGCTTGAGGGCGACCCCGGATGGCTCTACTTGGTGGCACAAGGCATGGTGAAGCTAGCTATGAGTCGGGTCCACGCGAGCAGAGTATCTATGGGCCTAGTAGCGCTGACTTTCCTGATATCAGGCTAAACCTCCCCAGCTGTATACATGTCCCTCACCCCCGCATACCAGGCACACCGCCAATCCCCTCAGATTTCCCCCTCGGTACTGTCCCGGCCCGACCTGATGTGCCAGCATATCCGTTGCCCTGCAGCCGCCTCCCTCTTACCACCCCACGGCGCATGCCGGACAAACAGCACCGTCTGCAGTCGCCGCCCACCGGCTCGATTCGAGAATCGGCTGGGGAAAGGCCAAACTTGTCTTCATTGACAATGCGGGTCGCCGCCGGTCGAAGCTGGGCGGCGAACGAGCTCTGGGTGGTCCTCGACTCGGGTATGAGGGCGTGTGTAGGGGCGGAGCCCCCGCCGCCGATACTGCTGAGGGCGCCCGATGCGGTGAGGTCGGTCCGGGAGATTATGGCTGTCGAGCAGGAGATAATAGTTATCGATATCGAACGCTGCCGTCTGCTGCCGCCCCATCGGGTGAGCCCCGACACGGACAAGTTCTTCCCGATCTCGCGAAGCAGCTTAGTCTAGTCAGCCTATGCTCTGCCCTCATACGTCCAGCGGACTGGAGCGCCGGTCACATTTCCGATTCGCTCCACCTCGTTTTCGACAGCATTGGCACGTCACGCCCGTAATTGGGCCGTTAAGGTGCGACAGGGCTGATAACCGTGCGGAGGAAAGCGTAGTGATCGCGAGTACAGAAGTGCCGGTCCCGAGGAGTTCATGGAATATCGAACACAGCCTCATAAGGTCGATGGAGGGAGGAAGGAACGGGTGACGGGGTCGCGCACGTATTGGTTCTAGTCCGGAGAATGCCCGCCGTAGATTGAGGCGATAGCGACGGTTTCGAGTGCCGACATCATTGTAAGACGTATACTGTTGAGCGATTCGAGGGCTTTGTCGGAGTTCCTGCTCCTGCCAGCACTCGCACCGGATCCGTCTCCTCTTCCCCTCCTCGGTCGTTCCTCACCGCGCCCACGCATCACCCTTGCACGCTTTACAACGTTTCTCCCGTGCGTCCGCCCGATAATCGTCACTGCTGAGCTGCACGATGCTCATGCGCGTCGGCTCCAGTCCGTGATCCCTGTACACCAGCATCCCAGCCTCAAGGACTTGGTTAAGTTGAAACGCCCGGTCGGTTCCTGCTGAAGCTCTCTTTTGTATTTGTGCACTTCGTCCAAGATGACTTCGGTGTGAAAGAGGGGTCGGCAGATCTCCTCGGCAGTCTACACAGTCAGCTTTCGGCCAGAAACGAGGCGAAAACGGCATCACTGTCATGATCGACGCGCATGCACGCTACAAGATGAGGTTGACAAGTCGCAGATGTGGGCGGCGCCGCCCGGAGGAACACGGGAGTAGTAGCCCCGGAGCAGGCAGGAACGAGCTGGAGGGGGGCCGTCGGCCCGACCGGATCGAGCACGTTGTTCTGGTCGTCGAGGAGTGTAGACAGCAGCTTAGCAGCAACTCGTATGGTACGCCTTGAATGAGGTAGCAGATGTGAGAGTCAACGTAGCTCCCGAAAGAGATTCAAGAGGAACGAAACGTGAGGCACATCAGCGCGGACGCGTATGTGATCAGTGTATCAGCCTGCGTTCGACGCTGTATCAGTGATGCCTCCTTTTAGCACGGCACCTTCAGCCGATCCCGGGCATGTTTGTGATTAGCGCCAGATCAGGCCCCCACGGCCCCCACGCTGATATACGGACACCCGCTGATGGACATCGCAGAGTCATCGCAGTAGAGGAGATGACGTGGATTTCCGACAAGCCTTATCAAAATCTCAAGATTTTCGGGACGAGAGCAGCAGGACGACCAGCCTGATCTGCATCATTGCTACACTCATCGCATACAATCTCCTCCTACACACATCATCGTCCATCTACAGAGGCCATCTACAAAGGAACCGAGCTGTACATCCGCTCAAAAATCAGCGAGCACTTCGGAACCCTCGAAGCCATTCCATCTACTCACCCCACCCCGCCAAGAAACTTCCGCCATGCTCGTCCTCGCCGAGACCGCTATTGGATTTGTCGTGTTCAAGCTGAGCAGTGATGCCAAGATTGACAACAAGGATCTGTGGAAGGAGTTCGAGACGCCCGAGAAGGCCAATAAGGCGTAAGTTTAGCTGTTCAAGCTTGACATCAGGGGCAAAGGCTGATCTTCAGCTTGAAGGTGCAGGCGATTCAGCGATTCACATCGACTGCGTCGGCCGTGGAGGATCTGGCGGCGGTACAGGATGGGAGATTGACGGATGGATTGAGCAAGTTCTTGGTAGATGCTGTAGGAGGCGGTGCGGATGGGGACAAGAAGAAGAAGAAGTCCAAATTGGAAGAGATGCTCGTTGTTTCAGAGCCCAAGCTTGGTGAGCGACCCTTGTGCCTAGCAGTCAAGAATCTGAGCTGACTTATAGCCTCGACTATCCAAAAGACCCTCTCCATCCCCGTTCTTTCCGACTCGACCACCCAGGACCTGTACCGTGGTATCCGCCAACAGCTCGCCTCGTTGCTGGGCGGTATCGACCAAAAAGACCTCAACACCATGTCCCTCGGTCTCGGTCACTCTATGTCCCGGTTTAAGCTCAAATTCTCGACAGACAAGGTGGATACTATGGTCATTCAGGCCATTGCGCTGCTGGATGATTTGGACAAGGAGATCAACATCTATTCCATGCGTGTCAAGGTGAGCTACTTGCTTTTGACAGACGGATACCGGGAGTAGCTGACAAGTAGGAATGGTACGGTTGGCACTTCCCCGAAATGGGCAAGATCATCGTCGACAACCAAGCCTACGCCCGCGTCGTCAAAGCCATGGGCTTCCGTACCAACGCCGTCAACACCTCTTTCGACCTCATCCTCCCCGAAGACCTCGAGGCGACCCTCAAGGCCGCCGCCGAGTTGTCTATGGGTACCGAAATTTCGGACACGGACATGACACACATCCACTCCCTCTGCGACCAGGTGATCTCCATCTCGGAATACCGCACCCAGCTCTCAGAGTACCTCCGGAACCGGATGCAGGCGATCGCACCGAACCTTACGGCGCTGGTCGGTGATCTCGTGGGTGCGCGGTTGATCAGCCACGCCGGGAGCTTGATGAACCTCGCCAAGCACCCGGCTTCGACGGTGCAGATTCTCGGAGCGGAGAAGGCGTTGTTCAGGGCGCTGAAGACAAAGCACGATACTCCCAAGTATGGTCTGATCTACCACGTGAGCTCTCCCCAGTATGAGTTGGTGGCAATAAGCTGACTCTCAGGCATCACTCGTTGGCCAAGCACCACAAAAGCTCAAGGGTAAAATGGCCCGAATGGTCGCTACCAAGGCCGCCCTTTCCATCCGTATCGACGCCCTTTCCGACGCCGACTCGCGTTCCGACGCCGCCGCGGCCGAGGTAGGCGTGACCAACCGCGTCAAGCTCGAATCCAGATTACGCGCCCTCGAGCACCGTGCGGGCATCCAGTCCGTCCGGCGCGTCACCACCGGTACCGCCCGCCCTACACCCCGCTGGGAAATGAACGGCGCTGGCGCCACAAACGGGTACAATAACGCCAACGACTCGGTCAAGCTGGAGAATGGCGTGAGGGAGATGCTGCCTACTCAGCCGGTGGAGGCTGTACAGGCTGCGGTGCAGGCGGTTGTGGAGGTCAAGGAGGAGAAGAAGCGGGAGAAGGAGGAAAGGAGAAAGGAGAAGAAGGAGAAGCGAAAGTCTGTGGGACCTGTAGTGGATATTGGGGATGTGAGCATGGGTGGGGATGATGAGGAGAAGCCAGGAGAGACCAAGGAGGAGCGCAAGGCCAGGAAGGAGGCCAAGAAGGCTGTAAGTGTCAACATATCTCAGATATGAGCTCAGAGCTGATCGCTCTAGGCCAAGGCGGCAAAGAAGTCGGCAGAGGGCGCAGCAGCAGCGCCTACACCAGAAGTCAAGGAGAAGTCTTCCAAGAAGCGGTCAGCGGAAGATGGGGACGCTGACCGGAAAAAGAAGAAGAAGCGCGAGTCGACGACCGCCTAGTGTGGCTCTTTGATTTCCGTTTTCTATTTCTTTTGGCTTGTATCATCTTGTGGCGCTACTATATTCTGCTGGCATTGAGACGTCTGTATGCATGCTTGGATCGTACTGGACTGGCGGCGACGATCTCTTGCGACGAAAGCATAAATCTGACCTGCGCTCGCGACGATGCAGGTCGTCATGTTGTCTGCTGTGTTGCCGCGACGACGACGTGTACACGCACCGACGACGAAAGTTCCCACCAACGACGAACAACCCGCGCCGCCACGGGATTTAGCGGGGTTATGGTCGACCAGCTTTGCGGGGATTTCGGAATCAAAACAACTCTGAAACCTCTTTCAGGGACTGGAGCCAAACAAGGGTCTCTCACCGGATGGTTGAAGTCACTTTTCAGTCTGTGCTCAAACAACCCCTTAGCAAACGCTTACCTATAGCATCTCCTCTATACTCTCTACCTGCATACACCCTACACGCCGACAGCTCGCCTTACTCGGTCGACACCCACACTCGTTCATCCCGCTACCGACAACTCACGCGTAAACAAGGCGGAAAACATCCCCCTCGTTACCTTTCCTTCCTCCCCGTTCGCACTCCTTTGAGTTCGTTCCTCCTCGTCTAATCGATATCGATTGCAAGACAGACTAGCATCTGTCCATCTATATACTCGTCCAAAACAACACAGCATCTACGCGATGAAGGCGGTCTTTGGAACTCTGGCTCTGGCGGCTCTGGTTAGCGCGCAACAGGTGAGGTATATTCCTTGGCGACAGGGGGGTGGCGATGCTGGAGTTGAGAGGAGAGGCGGTGGGCGGTCAATGTGCAAAGCGGAGGAAGGATGCGGAAAGATGGACGAGGAAATGATGAACGCGGAGAGAGACATCTCCAAAGCAAGGACCCAGCTGAGACCACAGGCCAATATCACCCTCATCCCCTCTGGCATCTCCAACGATTGCAACACCCTCCTCCAAGCCATCAACAGCGATGCTGCCCTTACCTCCTGCGTCCAGCCCCTCATCACCGCCACGGCGTCCTTCAACCCTCTATCCGGCGCCAACCTCTCGACATCAGACATCAACTGGTCCCTTGCCAGCATGTGCAAGGCCAACACGGGGTGCTCGGACTCGGTCATCCGGACCTGGTTGTCAAGGTTCTACGCCTCGTGCTCGGCGGAACTCACCAACCCTACCACCTACAACGCCCAAGTACGGGAGCTGTACGACATCCTGTACGTCGTCAACCCGCTCAAGGGCGCGGTGTGCTCGATCGACTCGGCGAACCAGCAGTACTGCGTGAACCAGGTCATTGGCGTCGGGAAGAACTCTACGGGTCCGAGCGCGAACAAGGGGGCAGGATCGGCGGTATCGGGGAGTGTGTCGGGTAGCGCTACGCCTACGCCAGGTGTGGCTGCGTCCGTGGCGTCTGCTGCGTCCGCGGGATCGTCGCTCGGGGCTGCTATCAGCTCCGAGTCGGCCTCGCTCGGTGCGTCGCTTGCGGCGTCGGCTTCTGCCGCGTCCGCCTCTGCTTCGGCGGCTGGCAGCGCCTCCATCTCTGCCTCCTCGGGCTCCGCGTCCGCTTCGTCCGCATCAGCGTCGGCGTCCGCCAGCGGATCCGCCGTCCCGGCTACCAATGCCCTTTTTGCCAACTTTGCCTCGACCTGGTCCCCCGTCCAGTTCGCCGCGGACAACCTGTACATCGCGTACTCGTCTGCCTCCCAGCTGTCCCGCCGGATGATCGACCTCCTCCCGCGCCAAGACGCCGGCTCGTCCCAGGCCACCCTCGCAACCGTCATCACCCCCAACGCGACCACTTACCGGTCCACCAACCTCCCCTTCCTCTTCCTCCAGCCCTCCTTCAACGCCGACCGTCTCTGCACACCCTGCACCCGCGAGATTATGGTCGCGTACATCAAGTGGGAGACGGCCGTGCCTTATGCGCTCGGTCTCGCCCAGTCCCCTATCCTCGGCGGACAAATGGACCTCTGGCAGTCGATCGACCAGACTTGCGGATCGACCTACGTCGCTGCCATCAATGCTCAGGTCGGGCAGTTTGTCGGTATCTCCAACTCGTCCAGCTCGGCCAGGTCGGTCTTGGCCGCGCCGGGTGGCGGGATCGGGTCGGCTGTGTTCGGCGCGGCGGTCCTAGCGGGTCTTGCGGCGTACATGGTCTAGACGGTGGAGGGATGCATTGCAGTGGGGAGGGTGATGGATTTATCTTTTTGCCAGATATGGGGGGGAAGAGGATGGGGAGTAGGAGAAGGGACAGAGGGGACGATTCTCGGTATCATACTTCGTCAGGACACTTCGTGACTACTGTCCCTCCATTATAGGCACTGTATAGATATTTCACCTTCACCACAGTTTTCGGATCTTCACTTGCTCTTTCTTCTTTCTTTGCGAGCGTAGGGCATAGATGCGGTGAATTCTGCCGGTGCTTTGGTGGTCCGCAGCTTTGCTGGAAGTCTTTGAAGCGATGCAAGCCCGGCACACAGCCACCGCCTCAACCGCAGATATAAAGTCGTGCCAACTCCACATTCCTCGTCTTCGCACTTCTCCACCATCCCGCAATCGTCCAAACCACTCGCCCATCATACCGCGCCTACCCTCGTCTCAGCTCCTGTGGATCCTCCTGGTCCCCCTTGTACTACTATTCATCTACTTTGAGCCTCTCCCGCTCCTACCTCAACAGACGTCGTCTTCGAGACCCAGCTTACCCACTTCTGTTCAGTCAAAGGCGGACGAGATGGCTGCTACGCTCAAGCACCTCAAGGTGAACCCTAAAGAAGCTCATCAGAGCACTGTGATTTTCTTACATGTGAGCTGCACGATCTCTCTCCGTCGCTACCCACGCGCTGGTTCTGTTCTTGCCTGCTTTGAAGGATACTCCTCTGCTGCGTGGGCTGGACTGTCAAGCTGATCTATCAGGGACTCGGCGATAGTGGTCAGTCATCCTGACTCTCTACTTAAATGCCATTAGAGGCTACCCGCCAGCTCAGGCTCTAGCTCCTGCCCTGGACGCCCCGCTCACATCGCAGGTCACGGCTGGCTGCCCGTCGCCAAGATGCTCTGGTCTTCTTTTCCCAATACAAAATGGATTCTGCCCCATGCCCCTTCCATGCCTGTCACACTGAACGGCGGTATGTTCCTGCCTCTCTATCATCATCTCTGTTTCTATCCCTCACGCTTCCTATCAGCGCCCCGGCGCCGTCGTCGTCGTGAAGATGTAGCTGATCTCCAGGCATGTCCATGCCAGCCTGGTTCGACTTGCACAACCTCTCCAACCTCACCGACTCATCGTACGACGACGAGCGCGGCCTCCTCGCGTCCGTCGCGGCGGTCGACCAGCTCGTGCAGGCCGAAGTGGACGCTGGGATCCCAGAGCACAAGGTCATTGTCGGCGGGTTCAGCCAGGGCGGGGCGGTGGCGGCGTTGAGCGGGCTGACGGGGGGAAGGGCGCTGGGCGGGGTCGTGGTGCTTAGTAGTTGGGTGGTGTTGAGTCACAAGATACAGGAGGTGAGTCTGGGCTTGGGTAGGGGTTGGGGAAGAGACTAAAGTGCTGTACTGACTGGATAGATGACTAAAGCCGGGGCTAAGGATATACCGATGTTCTGGGGACATGGGAGGGAGGACCCCGTGGTACAATATCAGTGTAAGTCGATTCCCCTGCCTCCGTCTCCCCCTCCTACGTGCTGGACCTGTGGCGTATCGATAGCTCAAACGCGCCTCGCTGACACCACAGACGGCGCCAAGTCTGTCGAGCTGCTAGGCAAGCTCGGCTTCCCTTCTGTACCCAAGGGCAGAACCTTTGCTCGCCCCGGACTCCGGTTCGAGAGTTATAACGGTATGGGCCACTCGAGCTCGCCGGAAGAGATTGAAGATCTGAAGAAGTGGTTGATGGAGGCGTTGAAGTAGATCTAGAGTGTGGTTTAGCGACCAGCACAAGGACAGCAGTATGATGTGATTGTGTAGATCCACTGCAGGGGAGTCTTGCCGTATAATTGCGAACGGCTGGTTTCTGCGGGCTCTTCTGGGACCATGCCTGTGATTGCGCACCCAATCTATTGCGCTCGGCTCTTTCAATCTGCCTTTGTACCTAGCAGCGCCGTGGGCGTAAAGTGACCCAGTGCCCTCAGTCATCCATGTCCGAGATCAATATCAGTAGAAATCAGCTACACATTCCTCGCTCTTTCACACCTCATCCCACTAACTCTACTGACCCGAATACCCCGTTTAACACTCTCATTCCCACGACAGCGGCTCAGTGATGGCTGCTACATTAGCGCATATATCTGTGGCGCCTAAGGCTGCTCATAAGAGCACCGTGATATTCCTGCATGTGCGTGCAATTCCTGCACCCAATTTTTTGGACTCGTCTCAGTCTGACTGATGCGCAGGGACTGGGTGATAGCGGTAAGCGCTGACCTAACTCCTTCTTTGATTTGACAGCGAGCTCCGTCCGCGTGAAGCGGGAAGGGCTCCAGATGGTTTGCGCTCTGCTTGACTGGTACTGACCAAGCAGGCCACGGCTGGCTGCCGGTCTTCCAGCGATTCGGCACCCTGCTGCCGCATACCAAGTTCATCCTGCCTCACGCCTCCGAGCGTCCCATCACGCGACATCGAGGTGGGTCCTGGGTTTCTCGGGGTGCAGCCTTTCTGAACCCTGAATGAATCTCTGGATACTGACATAATTCCAGGCGCAGTCCTGCCCGCATGGTTCGACATGCGTGACTACGCAAACGTCTCCAATTCGCAGATAGACGACGAGCCCGGTCTTCGAGCCACCTCCGCCCAAGTGGACAAGCTCATCCAGGCCGAAGTGGACGCTGGGGTCCCGGAGAATGAGATTGTACTGGGTGGATATAGCCAGGGAGGGGCTGTGGCGTCTTGGTATGGCGTGACGAGCGGGAGGGGGCTGGGTGGGGTGGTGGTATTGAGCAGTTGGCTGCCTCTGAGCCATAAAGTACGGGAGGTCAGTCTTTTGGCAAATTGAAGGGCCCCCTTGCCTTACTTGCGAATCTGCGGAGAGTTATCCAATGTATGCCCTGTAATTGGGCGATGAGCTGACTGGACAGGAAGCCAAAGCGACCGCAAAGGATGTCCCTGTGTTCTGGGGACACGGCGAAGCGGACCCGATAGTAGCGTATCAGAGTACGTGGTCTCCCTTCCTATCGGCACGACCAGCGGATCCCTCGGGCTGATTATTGCTCCAGATGCGGTCAAGTCCGTGGAGATCCTCAAGGAGCTCGGACTCCCTTCTGTACCGCCAGGCGAAGCATTCGCGAGGCCCGGAGTCAGATTTGAGAGTTATCCAGGAATGGAGCACACGACGTGCGCGAAGGAAATTGAGGATCTGGCAGGGTGGCTCAAGGAGGCGCTGCCATAGACAGCATTACTAGCTATGTCAAGTATCGAGTAGACGAAAATTCACGCTGACGCTGTCCGTCCTCGCTCCGAGCTCGCGTACGTGTGGCGCACAGGCGGTACAAGCACCAGTGGACGCCCCTTGCAGTGGGTGTTAGATGGTGCTATTGTCTCAGCCAATACGATGCTCATGAGGCTCGGTCAGCGGTCATGTCAGCTCTCCACTGTGGAAACAAGAGATGATCATGAGACGGCAGAGTGTCACATACAGCATCGCGTACATGCTCAGTAACCACCCGCAAGCACTGGGGCGATCTTCTCTCGCCTGCCGTTTTTGTTCTACAATCTCAGCCTCCGCCGAGGCTCCCGATAACCTGCCCCGTAGGCCCAAACCGCTCATGCCTCCTGCGCCACCCCATTCGCCCCAGGTACCGCCTCCTCCACCCCATCCTGTCCCTCCGGTATCAGCCCCTCCGCCAGCATCCTCTCCAACCTCCTGACCTCATCCGCCGTCTGCGCCCTCGTCAGCGCCTCGACGACCCGCCGTTTTTCTTCCGGCGTCATCAATCGTCCCTTCCCGCCCTTGATCGCCTGACCCGACTTTTGCGCCGCCGCAAACGCCGACGGTGCAGCCGCCGTCACTGCCGCCGTGGCGGATACAGTCGATGTTGAGAGCTGCAATGCCAGGGCGTTGGGACCGGCAGTTATGGGGTCTATAAATGTCTCGTTGGCCGTTTTTCGCTCAGCATCTTTTATGCGGGTGTAGTCGAGGGTGTGGAGTTGGCCCTTGGCGGCCTTGTAGATGGTGTAATGCCGGTAGTGGGGAAGGTCGGCGACGGGATTGGAGGAGAGGGCGAGGTGGCGCAGGTGGACGAGGTGTTCAAGGGGGGCGAGGGTGGAGAGGGCGGCGATGAGGTTGTGGGAGAGGACTGAAATGTCAGCTGATCATCATTCGCGAGCCCTCATTGCGACTGACCTAGCGTGACTATGTGGGGGATCTATGGGTCAGCTTAGGGCGCAGGAGGTTAGTGCATTCTAACTCACGCTTTGTGGTAATGATGGCGAGATGGAGGAGATCTGATTCTGTGCCGCATGTAATTGGCGTAATCTCGGCGCTGGATAATCAGCATGCCATCCTATATCTAAATCTTGGCCGCCCCAGCCTTATCCGACGAACCAGATCCCTTCTCAGCTTCCGCTTATCCCCCGGCCGTCTCGCTCCCATGATTCCTTGTCATCCTCCTGATCTCGCGCCTGCACGGCACAATCCGCCCTGGATCTCCCCCAACTTCTCCTGCCTCTTCCTTTTCCTTGAGCACCATCCCCATGTCGGATGCCACGCGCAACATTCGTCGATTTCTTCTTTCCCCCAGCCGAAAGCAAGTGAGCAAAACTCGCCTAATGGGATGTTCCCCAGCACCGTTATCGAGTTATCCGTCAGGTTGAGGGTATCATATGTCCCCTGATGTGACGCCAAGTTCTCTATCACTGGTATTTGCAGTCCTACCGGGTCAGCTGTTATCCTCATCAACATCAGGAGACCATACAGCTTACCTCGCAATTCCAGCTCTCTTTCCTTCAGCGCGTTCAAATGCTTGACCGTTCAGCATGGCCATCCACATGGGGAGAGGGGTCAGTAGAGGTAAGACTAACGGATGATCGCTGGGACACGAACTGAAAGTTGTCAACAGAGAACTCGATGTTGAGGTGGAGGTGCTCACTTCAGGTGTGAGACGCATTTTGGCTAATTCGAGCTAACTCTTTCAGGGTAAGTCTGAGTTGCGGATCCAAACGGTGGCGTCGTGGTAGCTCTTCGTTGCCTTTTTGGAGATGCTTGTATAGGACGTGTTAGCGATAAGGTGTATAAGGTATTGAGGTGACGCTGAGCGCAGAGCCAGAACGCGCGCGCGCGGAGTTATCTCACTATTTCCGGATGTGGCAGCTGTGTTTTGGCCATTACCCCTTGGATGTTTCAGATTGATTCCGCTAATCACTAATTAGAGTTGGTTACGTTGGAACGCGCGCGCTTCGCATCCCCATTCCTCAACGTTATTCACAGCTTGCCTTCGCATAGCCTATCCAACCCCTTTTTATTACCTTCCTCTTACTCCTACCCAACATGTCAGACGGGTACTACGAGCAGCGACAGTCAAACGGGCACGGCACGTCCGCCGGTCCACCCCTTGGCGCTCCTATCGATCACTACCAGCATTCCCAGGACACAAGCGCACGGTCCATCACGCCTCATACGGGCGAGCGAGACGTCAAGCCCGAGGCGCACCAGCTGGGGATGAGCGGAAACAGTAATGGATCTGCGAACCACGCAGGAGCGGGGGGTGCGGGCGGTGCGGCGGCGGCAGCACAATTGGCGAGAAAGAAGTTGGCGAGTTGGGTGGGGTTCAGTAATTTGCCAAACCAGGTTCACAGGAAGAGCGTTCGGTGAGTTGCAGAATTATGCTGGTGCGAGAGAAGGGTCGACGACCTTATGATGGCTGCCTTATCAGGCGCCCATGCCCTAGTGGATCTTAGCTGATACATCAGGCGCGGGTTCCAGTTCGTCGCCATGGTAGTCGGTGCGTCACTCAACCTCCCTTTCGCAGAAGGTCCGAGCTGATATACTGCAGGCGAATCAGGACTCGGCAAGTCGACGCTCATCAATACTCTCTTTGAGACGCGGCTATACCAGCCCAAGGCGATCCCGCAGCCTGGACAGGATAGAGGCAAGACTGTGCAGATTGAGAGCATCTCAGCGGGTATGTCATTCAGCTCCTTGGCCTTCGGCGATCTCTAATCTATCGAGCCGGAGCTGATCAAAGCAGAGATCGAGGAGAACAACGTGAGGCTGAAGTTGACTGTGGTGGATACTCCAGGTTTCGGTGACTTTGTCAACAACGATGAGTGGTGAGCTTCCACGCAGATGAAGCAGCGGTCTTGGGTGCGCCCGCAAAGCTGACACTGCCAGCTGGAAACCCATCGTCGACAACATTGAGGCCCGATTCGACGCCTACCTCGAGCAGGAGAACCGAGTGAACAGGAACAAGCTGGTCGATAACCGTGTCCACGCGTGTATCTACTTTATCCAACCTACCGGGCACTCGTGAGTTAGCCGGAAGTTTACGTTGGTTGTCAATGAACCGGGCAAGCTCATACATCAGGCTCAAGCCGATCGATGTTGAGTTCATGCGCCGACTCCACACCAAAGTCAACCTTATTCCGGTGATTGCCAAGGCGGACACGTTGACGGACGAGGAGGTAGCGCTGTTCAAGGAGCGGGTGAGCTGACGGTCCCACAGAATTGTGCGGTAAAGCTGACACCTGAGATCTTGAACGATGTCGCCCACCACAACATTCGGATCTTCCGGCCACCCCAGTACGAAAATGAGGACGAAGAGACCGTGCAGGAGAACGAGGAAATCATGGTGAGATGTCGGGGACATTGTGAAGTCTTTGCGAGCCGCAGCTGACCATCAGTCCAAAGTCCCCTTTGCAGTGGTCGGCTCCGACTCTATTGTGCGCACCAACGACGGCCGCGAAGTCCGAGGTCGGGCCTACCCCTGGGGCGCGATCGAGGTGGACAATGAGGCGCATTGCGACTTTGTCAAGCTCCGTCAGATGCTGGTTCGGACGCACATGGAGGAACTGCGCGAGCACACCAATGACGTGTTGTACGAGGATTATCGGTCCGAAAAGCTCCGAGGGATGGGGGTGAACCAGGATGAGAGCGTTTTCAAGGAGACCAAGTGAGCTAGATATTCCGCCTTGTCGAACAGTGGCAGTAGCTGACGTTTGTAGCCCCGCGGCCAAGCAGCAAGAAGAGCGCGCGCACCAAGAAACCAAGCTGGCCAAGATGGAAGCCGAGATGAAGATGGTCTTCCAGCAAAAAGTGCAAGAGAAGGAATCCAAGCTCAAGCAGTCGGAAGAGGAGCTGTATGCGCGTCACCGGGAGATGAAGGAGGCGCTGGAGAAGCAGCGGTTGGAGCTCGAGGACAAGCGGAGGAGGTTGGAGAGTGGGCGGCCGTTGACGCCGGAGAAGGGCACTGTGAGTTGCTGTTCTCGCTGTGGTGAGAATTGAGCTGATATCGTGTAGCAGAAGAAGAGGTTTGGGATTGGAAAGTAGATGGGAAGTGCGGATCATCATGAGGGGTAATGTGGGTCTTGACGTTTGAGGTGCTGTATGGATGCATTGTGTAGGTTCCAAGTACTTTTTCTTTGGCGCTCATTCGCGAACGGAAGATCTTGAGGAGACGAGCGCCTGCCTAATTGTTCATCCCCGTCTCGCCATAATCCCCTAGCATCTTGGTCTGCATTCTATGCTCTATGCTTCTACTATCTATCCAAACATCTTGGCGTACGCCTTCTTCTCCCTCTCCTTCCTCTCCTTCCGCCTCACTTCCACCTCCTTCAAAGCCCGCTGCACCCCTGCATCACCGGGGACAAGCCCACTCGCCTCCCTCAAATCCTTCTCGGCCGCCTCGTCGTCCTTCACCTGCACCTTGCCCAGTGCGCGGCGATACAGCGCCTTGCCCCGTTCCTCCTTGGTCAGGTCCGGCACGCTCAGCGCGCGCGTCGCGAGCGAGACCGCCAGCGAGCCAGCGGGCGGGTTGCACTTGAGCGCGGAGAGGGAGGCGTTGGTCAGGAGTGGGAAGCGGGTGTTGCGGTAGGACGCGACGAGGGGGGCGGGGGCGTCATCAGGAAGGACAGGGTGGGTGTCAAGGTATCGGAGGGCTTTTTGGTATTTGTCCAGCGCGAGGGCGTATTGGCCGGCTTTGAACTCTCTGCGCCGAGTGAGCTTGATCCAAGGTAATACAGCAGATCTAGCTCACCTGGTACCAATCTCCTTGAGTTTGGTAGCGACCTGCAGAGCCTCTTCAGGCTTCTCAGCGTCAATACGCTCCTCATCGACCGGGTAATCCTATTTATCAGCTTCATACCCCACGCTTCAGAATACTGTAAGCTCACCTCATAAAGATCCTCCCCATCAACATTCGCCATTGCCATCTTGTTGGCTTCCTCCTCCTTCTTGACATCCTCCTCCGACAGCACGCCCGCAGCGGCAATCGTGACCGCCTCCCTAGGCTTATCATTATCCGTCGGGAGCGCCTCGATACGGCGCACGAGACCGCGGTTGGAGCGGACTTGACCAAACACGACGTGCTTCCCGTCCAGGTGGTCAGTGGGGACCGTGGTGATGAAGAATTGAGAGCCGTTGGTGTTGGGCCCGGCGTTGGCCATGGAGAGTAACATGGGCTTGGTGTGTTTTACGGGAAAGCCTTCATCTTCGAACTGAAGTGTCAGCTACGACTCGGTCACGGGGCCATGAAAGAGGCAGCGAACCTTCTCGCCGTAGATTGATTCTCCGCCCGTTCCATCGCCCTTCGTAAAATCTCCACCCTGGAGCATGAATCTAAATATCAGCTTGAGCGTTCCGTTGTGGGTCCGGAGCTTCGGTCAACTGACCCCTTTATACACCGGTGAAACCCCGAGCCGGCATAAGCCAGCTTGACCCCGCTCGCATTGACCTTGTCTCCGATACAAAGCTGCTTGAAGTTCTCCGTGGTCTGCAAGGCATCAGCTGGCTGTCTCTCATCGCCTGCGTAGCCGAAACGTGCAGTAGACATACCTTGGGAAGGAGCTCGTCGTACAGCTCAAAGGTGATCCGACCGGCTGGCTGAGCGCCAATCGTAATATCGAAATAGCAGATGGTTCGCGACATCCTTGAATGGCTGTGTGGGTGGGCTTGTAGACAGGTCAATTAGATGAAGAATGAAGGCAAAGAGACAACGGTTTGCGAAATTAGCACCTTCGCTTGATCCACCTCCACATTCCTTTCCGACGGAACCTGATAGGTGTGGAGACCCCGCACCGCCCGTTTGCCGGTTCGCAACCGACCACGACAAGGACCACGACTCCACGACACCCTCTTCACACGCACCGCCAGCCCGAGGCATATACAGATAGAACCATGTCCGACCATATCGCCCTCGCTGAGAATCTCACCCAGCCCGTCAAGAGGCGGATGCCACGGGTCTACCTCGTCCGCCACGGTGAGCTTGCAGCTCTCGTGGCTCGTCATCCTCTAGGACGACGGGGGAGCTAAGCTGACGGGGTACAGGCGAGACTGAGTGGTCTTTGAATGGCAGGCATGTGAGATAGCCACGCATTCACCACCTTGCTGTGAAGTTCATCTGACCAGACAGACCGGTGTATCTGACATCCCGCTCACCGAGAATGGGGAGAAGACGGTCAAGGAGATGGGACCCAAGATGATGGGAGCTGGCAGTAAGTCTCACATTCCCAGAAGCAGCAGCAGAGGACGGCCTTCGAGGTGGAACATGCTATGACGGCCGCCCGCAAGCCCATTGGGGCAATATGGCCGCCGAGCTGATTCCGCCAGAGCTGATCGACCCCACCCACCTCCGTCACATCTTCGTCTCCCCGCGCAAACGCGCTCAGCGGACCGCAGAGCTCGTACGTCGCTCTTCCTCCGTCGTGCATCCTGGTTACTGTTTCTGACTTGAGTTAGCTCTTCGGTGACAATAAACCCGACAAGATTAACATGTCCACCGAGCCCGAAGTGGGAGAGTGGGACTACGGAGCGTACGAAGGCAAACTGACCAAGGACATCAGGAAGGAGAAGCCGAACTGGGACATCTGGACAGATGGGTGCGCCGCATTCTTCGATTTTACTTGCGGGGATATAAGCTGACTTTCAAGCTGCCCGGCTGGCGAGACGCCCGGAGAGAGTCCACAGCAGATGTCGGACCGGGTCGATCGGGTCATCGCCAGGGTCCGGGCAATCCACGCTGCGGTAAGCCCCTCTCCGCCGATTAGGACCGCGGACATTCTTGCTGATGGTGCGTAGGCCGAGGAGTGCGCGTCGAAACCTGAAGACATCGATCACTCGGACGTCATCATCTTCTCGCATGGTCATTTCTCCCGCTGCTTTATTGCCAGGTGGTGCAACTTCCCCATCTCGGCGGGGTACCACTTTGCATCTGATGCTGGAGGGGTGAGCTGGCCTTCCTGATTCGAGGGAGTGATGTAGCTGACGTATTCCAGCTCGCTGTATTGGGCTACCAGCACATGACGCTCAAGGAGCCATGTAAGTTCCGTAGAAGCTCTCTTAGGCGCCGAACGAGCTTACAATCACAGCGCTCATGGGTCTCAACTGGTACTCTGAAGACTCGCTCGCCAGGCGATAAATCTACTCTGCCCTTGTCATGCATTGCATACAGGATAAGATGTGTAGATACAAGAAAGATACTTCTGACCTTCTAAGACGACTCATCCTCAGATTCTACAAACCGCTTCGACTTTCCGTTCGTCCGGACTTGCGTTTTAGCAGGACTCTGCGCCTCCTCGTCCGAACTCGGCGCTGGTCCAGGCGAACTCGACGGCGCAGCCTCGCTAGACTTCCGCTTCCGCGCCACCGGCTCCGTTGACCCATCATCCGACTCCGACGCGACAGCACTCGCCGCTCTCCGCGTCTGTGGAGACTCCTCTCTCACCTCGTCCTCATCCTCCTCTTCGACTGGCTCCTTCTTCCCCTTCTTTTTGCCCTTCCCCTTTCCCTGCTCTTTCCGCTTCCGCTTCTTCGTCCCCGTCTTCAACATCGCCCCTCCCCCACCCCCGTGCTTACTCGCCAGCGCCTCCATCTCCGCCCGGAGCTCCTTTTCTTTCTGGAAGAACGCGGCATCCGCAGCCTCATCATCGTCCGAATCTTCAATCATCGCCGCTGATTTATAGATTTGCGTCTCGGCCTGTTTACGCTTCCGAGCGGGCTTCGGCTTGCGTGGCCGCGCGTTCCCATCGCTGTCGACGTCGTCTTCGTCCTCGTCAGCGGCGCGGGCGCGACGCTTCCTGACACGGCGGATGACATTCTTGGGGTCGATCTCGAGCGAGGGTGGGGCGTTGAGATATTGCTCGAGTGCACCTTTCGAAGCGGAAAGGTTGGAGGGAGGGATGGAGGCGGGGATGAACCATTTCTGGTCGACGACTGCTATATCAGCTGACATACACTTGGGTATATCACTCTGACTCACTGTTCTCTTCGTCTGTCATTTCGAACGAAACCAGCTTCAACATCAACCGGAACTGGGCGTTCGACAAGACCGCCGCTTTCCGCTCATCGGTATCCGCATCAAGGTCTGGATACATCAGCAAGATCTCTAGAGGTAAGCCTGCTTGACAGACTCACCGTGCCGCGTGAACTTCTCCAAAGCCTCTTCGCTTGGTCCACCGAACTTCCTGACTGCATCCGGATCATCCTCCATCTCGGTTGGTCGTAATGGCTCGCCATCGGTACTGAGGACGATCTCTTCCCTCGCCGCCAGCGCCACGGATATGACCTGGACCATCAGCTTATTGAAGCCCCGCCAAGGAGAGACTTAAAGCTCACATCAATGACCCACTCCACCAACTGCTCATCCCCATTCTCCACCAGCATGCTCACAATCACGCTCATCTGATCCCCCCAGCTCAATTTCTTGTTCTTGACAAACTCCAAATCAGCCATACCGCCCTTCTTGCCTTTACCGCCACCCCCGCGACCGCCCTTACCGCCGCCAGCGTCGCCATCGCTCGCGTACCCGCTGATGGCTTGCCATTTCCCGCGCGACTTGGGCTGAATGGCTTCGACAATGACGAACGGGTCTTCTTGGATGCGCTTGAAGAATTTGCGCAGGACAAAGGTGATTATTTGGGTGAGATCGCGAGAAGATTCGGAGTTCGGGAGGGAGGCCTTGACGTCCAGGATACGGCGGAAGAGGTGTAGCGTTGACACCTATCTGTCAGCTGAGATCCGCTTACTGTTCTGAAGTCTCCAAGACTCACCTTAAAGTACAGCCCCTCTCCCTTTGCTTTGACGACTTGGCGGTGCATGAGGCCGACCACCCGCTTCATCTGATCTGGATCGTCAAAGTCCTTGAAGCGGGCCAGATACGACAGGAGCGTATTTGTGACTCCCTCTTGTGCGAATTTCTACTCCATCAGCTACCAGACAAAAAGACCACACGACCTTGCTTACCTGTTCGAATGCAGTAAACGTGAACTGATGTTCCGCATAACTCGGCAGATCCTTGTCCCCCTCCATCACCCCCGCCACCTCCTCCTCATCCACATACTCCTCCGGCACCTCCTTGCCCGCCTCTGTCGCATCTTCTTTCCGTTTCCGCACCGCCCGTCTCGCCTTCTTTTTGCGGACATACATGAACCCCTTGTTCTTGCTATACTTTTCCAGCATCCTCAGAAGGACATAGGCAAAGTGAACCACCGAGTCGAGGTACGCGATCGACTGGTCCTTGTATTGCGCCATGACGGTGAGTGCCGAGTCGAGGATATCGTAGTTGTAGTAGATGGAGTTTTGGAGGATCTCGGCTGCTTCGGCGTCCGAAGCGTCCGAGGAGGTGGACATGGCGTCAATGAGGAGGAGCTGAGGGTCAGCGCGTACGCAGCCGGCTCGTGATGCTGCTCACTATTTGGGTGAAGCAGTTCAGACACGCCTGGAGTTCGGTCCATGCGGGAGGCTATCAGGTCAGCGCTATCCTCACCTATTTGGATTGCTGACTCACCGTCTCCTCCATGGTCGTCCTCAATCGACTGAACACCCATTTCACACTGTCCATCTCCGCCATCACAATCGCATAGCCCAGCAACATCTCATCTTCGTCTTCTGCCCTCCCCTTCCCCTTTCCAGTCTCCCGCTCCTTGGCCTGCTTGTCCCGGACGAGCATAAGGTACTCCATAAAGAAGCGCGAGAGGTAGAAAGTCCGGGTATTATCGGTATCACGGATCTTGGAGCGTTCCATCCGGATGTCCTTGAGTATGGAGGTGAAGAAGACTGGATATCAGCTACGATCATGCGGAGGGGAAGTAATGTACCATTGAAGCAGGATTCGATGAAGGAGACGGAAAACTCTTGCAGGACGCGCAGGGCTTCCGGACTTAGGTCGGCGAATCGAGATAGATCATCCTTCGCAAGTCAGCTTAGTCTCGCGATGTCAGATTCTTCAGATACTTACTGCCTTTTTCACTTTGCCCGCTCGCTTCTTCTTGCCCTGATCTAGCAGACTTCCAGGATCGAAGTTAATCGCGTTCTGCCGATGAAGGACAAGCTTCTGATCACCCTGCCACAAGTTAGCTTGCGAGAGGGCTTTTTCACGATCAAAGGGCTCACCGCTCGGACAGCGACAGTGGTACCGAAACGCGAATGCCTCGTCATCCCCTGCCGACTCTTCATCGATTTCTGCCGAGTTTCGAGATCCAGCAGATTGGCCAGCTTGTGCATGGGGGCCTATTCGTCAGATCTTTCTTTGCAGACCTGAATGAAGACTCACCCGGTCCTGATCCTGGATCAGGTCTTTTGGCTTGACAGACCGAAAGATCAGGTGAAGGATGTCAAGTACGAGCACATTGCAGTTGTTGAAGTCGGACTTGTCGGCGCAGCTTGCTACCGTGAGGAAGAGCTTGAAGTAGGTCAGGGCGTCGAGCTGTAGGATGAGAGTAGACTGGTCGAGTGAGCTATGAGGTACAAGATTGGACTTGCGAGGACTGACCTGTAAATGGGCGAGCTCCTCCTTCTCCCCTGTGGCTGTGCCTTCTGCGACGGTATCCCGGATGGACAGGAGATTCCGGACGATATGCAGACCGAGGGAGATGACTTGCTCGTCCTTCTCCGTTCTGGATTGTCAGCTTGCTGATACTGCCAATGAAGCACAGGATAACCCACTTCCGCTGTTCAGCTAAGCTTGGGAGGATGAGCGCGAGAAGTGAGCGTAGTGGCCGGTCGTTGTATAGCAGTTGCGCCTGCTAGGTCAGCATAGTCTTATGCTGATATATGAGCTAGACTAACCTTGTACTCCACTTGAGCGCGCAGTAGGGTCGCATAGTCCGTCACCGCGTCTGGCTCATCCGCCATCTCCTTCAACTCCGCCTGCACATCGATAGGCCATGTCAGAGCAGCAATGAGATCGCCTAAGCCATGATCAGCTGCTGTATCTCTATGACCACAGCCAGACTCACAAGCTACCAGCGAGACCTTCCGTCCCCACTCTCCTCTATCCACGCACTCCATCAACAGCGCAATCAACTCCTTCATAAGCCCCGCTTTCGCCATACACCTCGCAACCGTCCGCTCATCATCCGAATCGTCTTTCCGCCATAATCGCTTCAAGTCCTTCAAGACAGCCAGCACCGAGTCACCCGGTCGGTACACCATCTCCCTCCCATCTGAGCCATCTGTGGCGTCCACGAGTTCGTAACCTCCCACGGCGTTGACGAGGGATTGTACGGCGGGCATGAAGATGGCGAAGCGGTTGGAGATCGAGTCCGGCTCGTCCATGATGGACTCGATCTCTATTGGGTCGTCCCCCGACATATAGCCTGGTTCTGGCGTGGCCATCTTGATCGATGATGGGGCAACTGTGAGAGTAGCTAGGTGATTAGATTAGGAGAAGTGTTAGCAGACAGTCTTCGCCGAAATCTCTCGGACGCGACGCGATTTGGAGTTACGGCACGACGCGCGGGGTTGCCCCAATCTGAAACAAGTTGAAACGTCTGCAGGCCGAACAGTTATGCGAGAGCTCTCCCGGACCCTCCGTCTTGCGTCAACAAGAAGCTGCATCTAGAGATGTGGGGCAAAATTGATACAAGATAATCTACATAGGTCTCGTCCATGATACATCATACGTCCCCCTCCCCCGCCACTTGCTCCGGCTCCTCGGTGTTTCCCTCCGCAGCCACTTCCGCCCCATCCCGCATGTCGATATCGCCAATAGCGTCGGTGAGACCGCTACTGGCATCATCGACACCATCAGCAGGAATAGATACATCGCCATCCGCCCCACTGATACCGTTCCGATGGTCATCATCATCTAGCCGGCCAGCTTTTCCCCGACCTGTCCGCGGATCGTTGAGATTTCGGGCACTGCTTCCTCCCTCAGTCATTTCCACTCCGACTGCGGGTAGGCTACTGGGGGCTTTCTGAGCTTCCCGCGCTTCGTAGTTCGCCTTCCTCTGCTTGCCTCCTAGGCGATATGGACGAGGAGGCGAGCGCGAGCGCGAGGTCTGATCCGTCTTCTGGAGCTTCTGGCTACTGCCTGCAGAGTCTTCCGTTTCACCCATCGCGTCGGTAGGGAGGATGGGCGATTTCCGTTTCTTATTCTGCCGCCCATGCCCGTCTGCCTGCTATAAGAGTCAGCTAAGTACGACCTATCGACTAAAACGGAGAGATTAGACTCACGTTCTGCTCTTTCCTTCCCTTTCCCTTGCCCTTGACCGCTGCCCCGCCCTTAGCGGCCACTTCCGACGCCGAAACATTCGTATCTTTCGCCACTGCAGCCTCGGCTCCATCGCCCTCCTCTTCCTCCTCGGGGAACAGCAACGAGATCGGCTCCATGTAGTGTGCCATCTTCCACATGTCCGAGACCTTGATAGACATCAGGTCGAACGATATCGATACGACTGGCTCGATGTTGCCGCCGTCCGAGCCAGAGCCAGAGGAAGGCGAGCGAGGTACGGCGGATGGAGTGGGGAGTTTCGGTACTTTGGGATATCGCTGGGAGAAGTGATTGAGGAGGATATGGCGGGCGCGCATACTAAGCCGAGTCAGCTCGCATACTTCATCGACATCTGGGATCGACCTACTCTTTACCGACTTTGATAGCCTGACTGAAGGTACTGTGACCCTTCCTGTAAGCCATCTCTGGCTTGTCGTCCTCAAGCGTCGCTTCATGGATGAGCAGCGTAGCCCCGTATCCCGCCTTGACGAGATTGTCACATGGCGTGGTATCTCCGGAGTACCTGCTTCGTCAGCTCCCCACCACAACTTTGTAAAGCACAACCTACACAACCTTCCACCCTGATTTGTGCTTCAGCACCAGCCCATTCGCGTGTCCCCGATGGGCCACCTGCGGTACATGGAGCGACTCGAGGTCGAGATTCTCCAGAAGTTGCTCGACGGTATTGTAAATATAGTTATTGCTACAGCGCATGAGCACAAGCTCTAACCCAGGCCAGGTTATACGGAACTTACAATGCGTCGGAATTGCCATAGCTGTCAACCGGCGGCCATCGACGGACACCATTGGCAAGATCTTCCTGTCCGTTGGCATACGGCGCCCCAGCAAATCTTTCATGCATGGCCGCATACTCCGGTGAGGATGGCCCGTGCAAACCAGGCGGAGAGCGTTCTGCGCTTTTTTGTCGAAAGACAGGACGGGTGAACTTCGGGCCCTCCAAGAACAGCACGTTCGCCAGTGCCTCGTCCGAAGCGGGTCGTTGCCACGAGGCAGATTCCTGCATGTGCAGCGCTATGCTTCGAGGACCGAGCACGTACAACGGGGTCGTGATACCATGCTGACAATATCAGCTTATAATCGCTAGACGCCATGCGGAAACTCACCTTGAACCTGTCCTCCAATATACTATGCAGGCCCAGATGATGATCTGCGTGCATGTGACTGATGAAGATCATCTTGAGCTCGGCGTACAGCTCTCGCATCCCTTGAGGACCGTACCGCCGCCGCATTTGGCCAAGCGTCCCCTCGCCGCAGTCCAGCAGAATAGAGCCGGCCTGGCCGGCGCGCAGGTTCGGTATACTGAGCATCGTGGCCGATACGTTCCGGTACTTGGAGGGAAGAGCACTACCGGTGCCGAGAGTGGTGATCGTGATGTCGGACCCGACGGGCGGAGGGGTACTCGAAGAGTTCGCATCCCGGGCTGCTGCACCGTCGCGAACGGCCGATATAGCCCTCAGCCTTGCGGTTTGGACCTCGCCGGGCTTCTGGGTGATGCTAACCCGACACCCGGCGTGCGCGTACTGCTTAGTAGGCGGTGGCTCATCCTTGTCGTGGTTGGGTAACAGCTCCAGGACTCCGGGAGGGTGCATGCGGACCTGATGGTTGGGCAGAAGAATCGAAGTCGCCGGCGGGAGAGGTGACTGCTCGTATAGATTTGGGTCGTGGTCCTGCACCCAAGGGAAGATGAGGGAGTCAATGAGCCCCAAGTCGAGGCTCAGCCAAGCGGCTGAGCGGAAGTACGCATCATTCGAGTAGACCTCGTGGTTGGCAAGGAAATGCTGTCCATGTCAGCGAAATGCAGATTATCCTGAAGGTCTTCCAAGGACACACCTGCGTCGTGGGGCCGAAGGAAGCCATCCACGATTGGTACCCGGGGTCTCTCCAGACAGCAGAGATCACCCGGTGAACCATCATATGTACCCGTCTGCCCTCTGGTGTCCCGGCTGCCGCCGCCTGATACGGTGTGAAAGCGGTCGACTCCAATAGACTAGGAAGGTTCGCAGGCGAGCACGAGATGACGATCAGGACCTTCGTCGTCAGCTGAGTCCTCCTTCGGCACGACCAGTGACCCTCACGGCTCCAGGATGACCGCCAACCAAGCAGTCTGCCGGCCGTACGATGCGCTTTCCGCCTTCCGCATTGGGATCGTCCACCTCGATCTCCTCCCCTTTCACCAGCCTCCCCCTTATAGGCCCGGCAGGCACGCCCAGCTCGTTCGCCCGCTTGACGTCAAACTTCCCTCGCACAGGCGGCGGTTGCAGGATGTACACCATTTCCGTCGCCTGCTCTTCCGCGGTGGGCAGGGGGAGCGGGAACTTTGACTCGGGCCAGCTGGCCGAGAAGGTTCCATCTGGACGAACGAATGGACCCGGTGGCTGATCGAGCCGATCTGTGCGGCGAGACCGGTCAAACATGTGATCAACGATGAGATCGCGCCATGCCTCCAGCTCCGGACGAGGCAGGGCAGCCGGCCGAGTGACAGAAAAGTCAGGCCGTAACGTGTGCATGTCGATGGAAGCTTCGTCTACCGGCCGCGGGGACGAGCGGAGAGCTGGAGGGACGAGGGACACCGCCTTGACGTTGACATTGGGGGACTGAAACATTTCGGTGACGTCGTGCGGGGTCTTGCCTATTGGCATCGAGCGGGGGTTGACCTTGAAGTCAGCACTATATAATCAGCTAAGTTCTCAACCGCATAACAGATGTGCTCACCGCATGACAGAAGATCGGAACGTTCCCAAGAAGTGCGATGTATCCGGTGGTCCAACCACGCTGATCTCTGATATCCCACCGTCCGCAGCGGTCATCAAGACACCTGCATTTGTTAGCTAGTGTCCAGCCTCTGTAAAGCTGATAGCTCACCTGGCAGTCCCATCCTAGTCCTATTCTCCGCATTAGACAAGAAAATCGCCTCCACCCCCTTCAATCCCAGCTTCTTCTGGGTATACGCCCTCTGTGTCCCCTCCCCACACCCAAACATGTACCGGGCATTATCGAACGAGACATGCAGGGTCAAGTCCGTATCCGGTCCCGGCGCCGATACGCAGCGTACATGCCAGTTCGGACTGTAATTCTCGGTCGGCATGATGCTGATTGCCCGAGTGGAGGTCAGTGTTCTCTGGCCGAGGTGGAGGTGACGGGCTGCTAGGAAGCCCGCCAAGGGCCGAGCGAGGTACTGAATGATGCTATGAGGCCATTCGGGCGGGCCAAGATGTGTCCGATATGGATAGTAGGCAAGATGGCTGGTAGATGATGGCAAAGAAAGAGGCTGATGCTACAGCGGACTCGATCTGCTTCAACTTTTGGCTCACACCAACGTTACAGCTTTCCCACGGTGTATCCAGTCTCCTCCCAGCCAGTCAAGCCGAAATTCCTCACCGAAACAACTTCTCTTTCTTACATTGCGCTTCCTTATAGGTACGTTGATTTACACACTCAGAGTTCCGCCCGTGAACGTGCGACAGCTGACCATCTGCAGAGTCGCTTGGTAGTCAGATTCTCACGACAATCCAGGTGCTCGGAAGCGCACAGAGCGAGTTCCGCTCCCCTCCTACTTTGGACGGGAGTTCGTCCTTTTCTCGCGGCTCTCGACGACGTGTCTATCATCGTCAAGCAGAGGACTGGGCGTCACATATGCGTATCAACAAGAGCATAGCAGAAACGCTGGTATGAGGCGAATGATGTATCGCATATAATGAACCGAACGACTATCTCAAGCGCGAGCCCTATTCAACTAAAGTCAATTCCTTGGTCCGATGCCTGGCATATACGTCCTTGTACTTATCCCAAATACTACCTCGATCAGCTTCGGAGCCAACTTGCTCGACAGTCAAGCTCACCTCATTAGTTCGTCAATGTACTGCTTCTGCACTTCCTGCAGCACCTCCTGAGACGGGTCCTCGTCCTTCTTCACGTGGATGGGTCTGCCAACGACCGAGACAATGGGGTGTCGGAAGGGCTGATGCGTCAGTCGGGTACCCTCAAAGGCTACTAGATAGGCATGATACGCACCATCAGGCCATAATTATCTGCGACGTCAGCTATATTGATAGACATTGATCGGCAGTGACTGACAATTGAAGATGCCGCGACCAAAGAAGAGAGGCAAAGTGAAACCGAAGATGCTCTGGAACCGCTTCTGGAGCTTGAAGACCAAGGACCCCTTCTTGTTCTCCCTGGAGTAGTCAGTGCCAACTAAGTGGCCAAACCCTAGTAGACTCACATCTGGTCGTAAATCTGTCACGTCAGCTCGTCTTGCTCTACCCTAGATCGGCGACAGACTCACGTCGTTCTCTCCGAAACTGAAAACAGGAACCAAATCCGCCCCGTGCGTAAGTGCCATCTTGATGAAGCCCATCCGCTTCTTGAGCGTCAAATCCGCCGTCCCCGGGTGCGCGGCGAGACTCTCCGCCGCTCCGCCGACAACAATGGTGATCGAGCTCCCGGCACCTTTCGACAGGATACTAGCGCAGGATGGCTTGGAGACAGAGCACATGCCATGGAGGAGGAGCAGATCACGGTAGAAGGGGATCTTGAAGTTGGATTCGAGGGTAAGGAGGTGGGGCTGGATGCCGGGGAAGTTGGTCGAGAAGCCAGTGCCCTCTGTAGCGAATGTTGCAAATGCGCCCCTGGATCTTCAGCTACATAACCTATGTCGTATGCAGATGGAGGGGACTTACATCCCGATGATCCCATGCGGGTGGTAGCCGAACAGATACGGTCGATCAGGTGGAAGTTCCGCCTCCTTGACGATACTGCACGGGTAGTATTCTGAACATCAGCTCAGAATATCATGCCCCAAGCGCTAGGCAGCAAGACTCACCTGCAAAGTACCTCCATAGCCTTCCATGCCTTAGCCACTGGATCGGCCTTCCGCCCGTATCCGGCGCCGAGTCAAATTGGATCCAGATGATATAGGGAATCATGACCGCCCACAGTGGCCGATAAGACAGGCACATGAAGAAGCAGAACATGCAGATAGGAAGGAGTAGCGCCCAGAAGGCCACAGCGAAGGTTTGGAGTCGGCGATGAGGGGGTATGCTGAGTGGTGCGAATCTGACAATCAGATCAGTCGATTACCGCTGTGCTAGATCGAGTCACTCACTTGACCTCCACGCCTTTATTGAAGCTCTCCCTGATCTCATCCAGCTTCTTCACACCCAACATGGGGCTCTTCAACCCCTCTGCGACCCTCGCACGAGCCTTGGACAGACTGCCCGTCCGGCTCGACCGCCCACTTGGTGTCTGACTGGTGCTACCACTCGCACCCTCGACTTTGACGTCGTCGGCCAGCGACACGCTGGATGAGTTTCGAGAGTTGGTCGAGGAGGGAGCAGCGGACGTCTCTGGGCTAAGGGATGCGGGGGCCTCGCCGCCTGGTCGACGCCGAAGTGTCGACATCGTGAGAGATGGGGTTGGTCGTCGGTCGCTGGTCGTCAAGCTGGAGAGGGTGGTCGAATGCCCGAGGACCGAAGGATGTGACTCCTGGCGCGCCGCTTGTGTAGCTTGAAGACGAAGTCGGTTGCAAGGTTTCGAGGCACCTGCCACGGCGATACGCTGGGTTTACTGGTGTGTGAAAGTGCAAAGAACAGTGAGCTGCGTATCTTAAGCTTGGCTTTGAGGAATGCGGAGCCAGATGGATGACGTCTTCGCTGCCGAGATCCGATGTCCGAGCCTGTCCGAGCACGGTGATGGTGGGAAAGGGAGTGTCACGCAAGAGCACCTGCCAGATTCACGTCGACTTCTGTCTACTGAGGTATGATATATCATCTGTCTACTGCTGGTCCCTCCGAGCGAGCTTCGCCTTCTCAAAGTCCTTGACCCATTTCTTGATGAACTCCACCTCGAAGGCATGCACCTCCTTGATTCTCTCCGGTTCATGGGAGTGGTTGTTCAAACCATTCTCATCATAGTGATGTACGCCATCTATACCAATCAGCCAAAGCAAGAACACGAAAAGAACGCCGACTGACCGAATATGATCCGCCTAGGACGGTCGATGGTGGATTCGCGCTTGGGTGCAGAATCAGCTTGAGGGGTCTGTCATATCAGCTGATGTTGTGCCATTGTACCGCATGGACTGACCATAGGTCTCCAGGGATCTCTATCGCCGTCCATGAACGCCAGTCTGTCCGCCTGGATCGCATAGTCCCCTCTCCTGTTAACTTCCTCAACGTCCGGCCACTCCGGCACGGTGAAGTGCTTCCCGGGCGGATAGGCCTGCCTGCAGATCTTGGACGAGTGCTCGAGGGTGAGACTGGGTCATCAGTCACTACTTCTCGGATGGTTAAGTGGACTTACCGTTTCGACAGTATGCTAGGGCCTTCGAGGGGTGCGGGCATAAAGTAGCCCCATTGAGTGCAGACTGTCGAGATCAGCCCGCGCCTCCACAGGATTCTCGAACGAGCTAACCTTGGAAGAGCCAAAGCCTCCATTCCTGGTCTAGCCCATCATCCTTGAACTTGGCGTCATCGTGCGACCCAAAGCATTCTTGCACCCCCGCCTCTTCAGGACACCGCGAGACGATATTCTCTTTGATGTACTTGGCGTAGTTGGCGACTTCAGAGGGACTTAGGAAGTCAGCGCTGAACAAGCACGAAGATACTCGCCGTAACTTACATTCTGATCAGGCCGAGCTTACTGCTTCCTCCACCGGCCGTGAGAGCATCACAGAAGTGTTGGAATTTATCCGAGCCGACTGAGCCGCATCAGCTATTTATAGCTCTGCAGTTTAGAATGTGACCCACCCTTCGGATCCCAGTTCTTTGCCTGCCACATCCCTGAGAACTCAGCTCCTCCCTCCGACCGATCTACATGGCAGACTCTCACCAAGAGGAGACTGTATGACATCCGCAAAGTCATCGTCCTCCAGCATTGCCAACCCGAATAGCCCCTTCAACAGGCCCGGTAGTGGGCCAGGCATATCAAGTATGCTATCAATGGCCTTGACCGAAGACCTGATTGCGGCTATGCAGTCTTGCGGCGCGTATTCCTGGATGGGGTCGAAGTACTGCGGAAAGTTGACTTGCGCATGTGTAACGGCTATCAAATCAGCTTTCCCGCATCACCGACATATGACACAGCTGACACATATGGATAGCTCACCGCTGCTGGCAATAGCACCCCAGACAAGCTCGGGGTATTGCGTCCGCATGTGGGCAGCACGCGCTCCAGCATAGGAACCGCCGTAGTATATCCATGCGGTGTTATTGGGGTGCAGCGACTCGGCGGCTTCGAGCGGAAGTATAGATGTTGGCGGCTTGAAGTGCTTGATGAACTGTACGTCAGCTTCAGGTATGACGAGCTCTCGCATCAGCAAAGCTTACATATGCGGAGTCCTCCAGAGCTTCGGCGTTATTCAAGAAGCGCAGGTTATCGGTGGAGAAGGACGATACCGGGACGGACTTGCCGTAGTACCTAAGATCGTCAGCTGGTCCGATGAAAAGCCATGAAGCACCTCACCTGTGCTCGAGGACAACACTGAGCCCATTCGTAGCGTTGGACAGAATCTGAAGGATGCCTTTCTCCAAGAACGGCAACCTAGTAAGTCAGCCTGTTATCCCGATCGTAAGTCATGCTGAGCTCACCGGTTAGCCCCGCTGGTCTCCCCACCATCTAGCAGGAAGACGGGACCTCCGGACTTATACGAGCTAGCATCGACCCAGTACCGATGACAGAACGTCCCATTCACGGAATCGTCAAAGTGACTGATGGGTTGGTCAAAGCAGTGCGCTTGATACCGCCCGGACAGGGCCGCTTCGGCCGATAGGGGACGCTGACTTCAACGTCAGCAGTGCTTGTGAATATACTCACTAGTCGTGCTGCGCCGTCGAGAGCTGGGCTTCCTGTCGAGACAAGGCTTTCCAGAGACCAATCTGCGGACGACCGTGAAGAAGTAGCGAGTCGTGGAGCTCGGGCTGCAGAGCAGATGCGATTCCCGCTGCCACCACAACAGCACCGAGCGTAGACTTCATGCCGACCATCTTACTGTCGCTTGCCGCGGGTCGATGAGTTGCGGAAGGATGTCAGCTGAAAGTCGCAAAGCGAGAGAGAGAGAGACAGCTTGCTTGCATCGAACACATGGGCTCCTCTTCGGCCATCGGACTACGCCGAAATGAGGAATGCGGAGAGGGCTCACCATCTCCATTGGCCGAGTTGACAAGATCAAGACAAGATGATGATGCAACCCTCTTCCACTTGCGCTTCTCTCACATTCCTTCTATAGCAGCACACCCACACAGCGCTATAGCTACCCCTGCAACTCATAATCCCATCGGCGCACCAGGCGCCAGCAGTATGCCAGCTCAAAGCATTGCCAACGTCGGTGCTACAAGTCAGACGACACCTCATCGACTTCGTAAGCGTCCCTCCCTTTCCCCACACACGCAAGCGCCTCACATCCGGACGCGGAGGCGCCCTCACGCTCGTCGAACACTTCATTGGCCAAGAAGCATAGCTAAATCCTTTAGCTCCCTTGACTGCTCCCCGACCCATCACCAACCCGCAGTACGGCTCCGAAGCTGAAGCCGAGTCCGGCGCCTTCGAGGAGTACTACGACGACGAGGACGAAGAAGAGGAGGCTCTCCAGGACGCCATCGCCGCTATCGAGGACGGAGCATACGTGGACGAATGTGTGTGTCTCTCCTCTAGATCGTGTTTCGTGCCTCGTGGAGGATCACGCTCATGGGAGCTAAGAGAGAAACCGAACGCTGATCGCCTTCATTCTTCCCTCTCCCTCACCTCCTCCATACATACCGTCTGCCATGAATCGACCACTCCGATCTCAACGTACCCCGCATAACCGTCTGAAATCCATCCGTCCCCATACCAAACCTCGCTCCAAAACAACAGCCGATCCCGAAGACGACGTGATGGGGGACGCATGGCCTTGCGATGTGCCCAATCGCCTTGCCGAGCCTTTCACCCCAGAGGATGGAAGAGGACCTATCACCACCGAGGTAAGCTTGGAATACACCCCGGTCCATCTGAGCATCACGTTGGCCGTAGCTGATCATTTAAGGCTGACGATGCTCGCTTGTCATGCCTCGGTCTACCCCTCGCTCTGCCTTACGAGGTGGAGACATTAGCGGAGATGGACGATCGCTTGGAGCTTATCTGTCAACGCTTGATTGAGTGTGTGAAGGCAAGAGAGTATGGGATGGGCTTCTCGATGTGGGACTCGGCTTTGACAATGTAAGCCTCGACTGGCCGCGGCAAAGTGGTGATCTAGCTAACGTCTCCAGCTGGATGAGCATGGGCTACCCTATGAAGCGAGAGATGAAGATCAAGCTCATCTTCCTTTACTACGAGCTGCTGTGTGAGTTTTAATATCTGCGTGGATGTAGATTCGTAGCTGAACCTTTAGTCGTGCCCGGTCTAAGCGGTACCTTCGTCGATAATTGCGGCAATCAGCTCATCCCGCTTCTCGGCGATCGCATGCTGTCCATCTGGGACTTCCGCATCCCGTGGCGACCGCTGTACGATGCGCTGTACAACGAGCTCTTCCCCCACCCCAACAAGCTCGCTCGTCACTCCTTCAACCTCGCTCCTACCCTTCTGAACGTCGCCGAGTCGGCCCAGCGCTTCTTCCATCCGGCCGAGATGGATGAGATGCTGGAGACTATGCTCCCGAAGTTCGAGCCCAGCATGGACTCTATTCTCGCCACTCAGACCTTCCTCGTCCACTTTCTACCTATTTCCCATCCTCAACGATGGATTCCGCTCAGTAAGTTCGCATTTCAGCTATTCGAGCTCGAGCTAATGATCAGTCTTCCGATTATGGGGTGGCCTCAACAGTGGTCTGTGGGATGACCAAGCCTCTGACCTTCTCGGCCAACTCAGTATCTCCCACAACGACCCCGGAAAGTCCGACCCCTCCCTCCTCGACAAGATCCCCCGCGGCACCTTCAATACCCCTGAAGAAGACGCGAGGAATCCCGGGCCGAAAAAGGTCGCTCGGAACCATGAGGTCCGTCTGCGGGATGTCAAGGGCGATGTGGTGGAGGATGACGATGGGTTGACGTACTGGGTCGATCCTGCCAAGGTTCCGGCCGAGCCGAGGGTCTCCGATCAGAGCTGGCAGGGGATCAGGAAGGATGTAGGGATCTTCACGGAGCAGGAGTTCGAGTTCTTGATGACCAAGTGTCTGCGGTCACTCAGTGAGCTTTTTGGTCCGCGATGAGGTGATGAAAGCCAAGCTGACACCCTAGACGTACCTGTCGGAGGCAGTATCGCCTCGCACAACGCCATGTCCATCACCACCGCCGATGCTCGGACCAGCAAAAAGGTCATGGACGCCAAAAAGCCAATTGACCGCGTTCAGTCTCTCGCTGAGACCATCATCTACTCTGTCGCCGAAGATGCTGAACCTGCGAAATCTAGCTCGGCCACCGCTACACCGGGCACCGCCACTCCCGTCAACCCAGCTCTGAACAGGGTGCAAAATGGCTCGGGGATGAAGCGGAACGACAGCTCGGACAGTCTGGCAGCGGCAGGTCAGAAAGGCGATGCGGAGAGAAAGTACATGGCTGGCTCCAAGGCGCTGGACCACCTGTCCAGGTTGTTGACGAGTTGCGAGACGGTAAGCTCTATGAGGCTCACCAACCAGCTGTCCGCCGGGCTCGAGCTGACCTTCCCAGTTCTTCCACCCAAGCAACTCTGGTCACTGGTCTGCTTTCCTCACCACCTTCCTCGCGCACCTCGCACACAACTTTGTCGAACGGTGGAAGGCACAGGAAGAGCCTTCATGCAAGACGCCGGCCGCCTGGCGCTTGACCCCGGCGATAAAGAGGGAGTTCGTGCTGGTCATGCGACCTCTGGCCCTGACTTCCATGTTCAATAAGGTATGTCTCAGCCACTTACAGCGCCCAAGGCCGTACGGCTGACATCGCAGGATATGGACTCGGTGTCCTCGGCGGTGTCGACGCTGAAACGTCTGGCTATCCTGGAGCCGGATCTGATCATGCCGGCGCTGATGGAGCGGATCGTCCCATCCTTGCAAGGTTTGGAAGAAGTGAGCTTCTTGGATCTACAAGCTGTCTCTCCTAGGCGATGAGCTGACGTCCTCAGACTAACCGAACTCCCGCCGTAACATATGCGCTCGCTGCTCTCGCTCAACCCCTCGCGGCTCGTCAGCTATGGCGGATGGGCGGCATGTACGTCGCCGACAGTTTCGCCCTCCTCCTCCCGGGTATCGATCTCAATGACCCCTCCAAGACCGCCTTATCATGTATGGCCATCTCCAACATGGTCGATTACATCCGGATCGGCGACATCTCCGACTCTGAAGAGACGCCCGATACGTCCGGTGGCTCCCGCGCTCTTCGGAAGGCTCCCAGACCTGCGCTCCAAGATGATCCGAACGACCCAAGTCAGCAAGAGCTGGAAGATCTCTCTCCAGAGGAAGTCAATGCTCGTGTGCGGTTCGCGACTTCTGCATTCCGAGACTGGGTGCCGGAGTTTGTCGGTCGGGTGCTGTTGCTGTTTGGCAACTTGCCCGAGGAGGGCGGAAAGACTGGGAAGGCGGGCGGGAAGACGGAACAGATGACCGTCATGAGCGTACTGGTAAGCTACATGTCGACCCACTAAGTTAACACAGCTGATGACGTAGCACACATGCGGAGGAGTATTTGCTGCACTCGATGACAAGCTGTTCGAAGCCGCCCTCGAGCAGATCGCCGACTACTGCTCGACAACCACCCGCAGCAACGCCGTCGACTCGGTCGGCGAGCTGATCCGGAACTTGGCCGCCACTCGCGCGACTCAGGTCTGGGAGCGTCTTTTCCCCGTTTGCCGACCTCGGATTCTTGCCGAGCTCAAGGCGGGCGCTTCCTCCACACGCACGCAGACTACCTCGGTCCCTCGAGCATCTGACGCGAGTCTGCATTGGTGGCAGAGTATCCTGTACGGAATGCTCATTCCCGGTCGAATCGACGTAAGTCAAGCAACGCATCCTCTTCTAAGAAAGTTAGCTGACCTTGCCAGCTCTCCGACCCGAGATGGCGGAGCGACTACCTCGAGCTCATGCAGGCGATGATCGACTCGACGTACTCTGAGCGAGGATGGCACTGGACCGGCAAAATCGTCGAAAAGTCCATCAGCTGCTTGACGTCCATCTACTTTGCCGAGATGAGCATGCTCGAGTCGGAGAGGGACAGCGATGGTAAGCTATGCGCCTTTTGTCAGCTGTCTGGGCATAGCTGATATCGCAGATGTCAAGCAGAACCACACGCTTTGGTGGGGCAAGCTGTACCGCGCAAGCGAGATAAAGCCGTCTTGGCGCGTACCGTCGGAACGGCAGATCAGCATGGCATTCGACATGCTCAACATCGCCGAAGGATCGCTCGGCAAGCTCAACAACCTCATTGACACTCGTAAAGTCGGTGACAACGACTGGAGTAACGAGTTCTGCCGGGCGGCGAACGTGGTGGACAAGGCGCTGAGGGGCTCTTACAATCTCCTCGCCGAGATCAATGAGCTCAAAGAGGGAGGCGAGCGAGCTGAAAGGTGAGCTTGCTCGACTACGGGAGTGACAAAGCTGATGTCATAGCTACATGCCCGCCGAGATCCTGCGTCTCTTACCGCCGTACAAGTCAGGCGTCATCCTTTCCGATCCGAAGGACCCAAGGTACCAGCAGGCTGCGTCGTTCCGGAAACGCGTCGGCGAGACCTTACATCGGGTAGCATCCGCCATGCGGGATGCTGGCGAGTCCGACAACTCGGTCGAGACAGTCAAGATCCTCGTGTCCACCATCGGTACCTACCTCACGGCGTACGGCATCCGCTCCAAGCAGTTCACATCCGCTCAGTCGGCGTACAGCGGTATGCAGGCGACCAAGAGGATGTACGAGAGCCAGCGAAAGCAGCATCGTCACATTTTCATGGCGGCCGCCTCGGTCCACTCGCAGAATCGTCTCACTACGTTGGCTTACTATCGCGTCCGGTCCGCACTCGACGACAAGCTCATCAAGAACATGCTGGACTTTTGTCTGTCGCCGTTCGTCCGAGTCCGGCGGTCCGCCCAGGGCGCGATGGAGACCATCTCGAAGATCTACCGCGGTACTTGGGTGCTCTGCTTCCCGCTCCTCTTCGACGCGCTGCAGCAGGGAATGGATCCGGACCGGATGAAGGGCGCCCTTTACGTCCTGCGGTACAACTACGTCGGGATCTCCCGGATCGGCCGGGACTGGCGACACCTCGTCCAGCTTGTCGAGTGCCTCTTAAACGCACACCATGAGAACAAGGCGTCCGTCCAGGCTCTGGTCACCAAGGCGACGGACGAGCTCATCGCTACGATCAGGGAGCCGTCCAGCCTGCAGGTCGAGGCGGGGATTGAGAAGGTGGATGTAGCGGCCGATGCGCTGGCCGGGATCATCGCTCGAAAGCCCGACCAGGCGGTCGTCTCTCAGCTCCGTCAGGGGCTGAGGAGCCTCGTCGAACGACAAGATGGTCAGTACGACGTCTTTGTCGACAAGGTGCTGGCTATCTCGAAGAACCCCAGTTTGAACTGGCGGTACGTCTTGGCGGCGTCCCGGTTCTTGTACACCATGACGAGGCGGGATCTCCCAACGGACGTACGGCTGGCACGATTCTTTGCGGAGAATGTGTCTAATCCTCATCCAAGGATCAGGGATTTCGGAACTGTGTAGGTCTTAGTCAAGTCGGGGAATCGTCGCCGGGCGGAAGCTGATAATGCAGCGGCCTGACTCGGATGCTCTTCCACGTCGCCCTTCGTTCGTTGTGCGAAGGCGACGAGCGACGCCTCGCCCACCAGGAACCCCACGACCGATTCAGTAAGGAGATCGAACTCACCGATACCTCTCCCGCCTTTACGCAGCAGTATCTCCAAGCATTCCGTCAGCCGATACCCGAGGGGAAAGAGGCAGAAGTCATGCTTCAGGACCGTCTGGACTCGGGGTGGCTCGTATGGGGCAAGACGATGGAGGTGTCCCGCCTCGCGGGATGGGAGGAGCAGGCATGGAAGATTGACGAGGGATGCCTGCCGGCTACGGATATGCTCAAGGAGTTGATGGGCCAGGATGGATGGTGGCAGAAGGTGAGCTAGCTGCTGCAAGTTTTGAGCGCAATCACCAAGCTGACACCGCAGCTCGCGGACCAATGGGCGCAGGAAGATACTCGAAACTACCCCTCCGCCACACACATCGACTTTGTCCTCTCCATCGCCCAGATCCACGGTCTACCCATCCTCGAGGCCATCAAGCCCATCGTTGACGGCTATCTTGCCGAGATGGACACGAGCAAGGTCTATGATCGGCACAAGATGCGGGCGATCTTTGAGTTTGTCTCGGGTCTGCTGCGCGGAACCGAAGAGTGGCCGGGCAAGGATAGGGCTGTCTTCTGGAGGTGGTTGACTCCGAAATTGCCGGATCTATTCGGGAACATCAGGCATGATACCACAAAGTGAGCTACATAGTGCAGTCTCCGTCATGACTTTGCTGACAGTCTAGATGTTGGGACATCTCCATCGAATACGTCCTGAATGACCGCGATCCCCGGCGGTATCAACCCCTCGTCGATTTCTGCATCGATACGGCCCTCGCTGCAGACTTCCAGTCCGGCTCGGCATTCGACCTCGCCCGTCGTGTGCAGCTGGTCAGGTCCGTCCTTCGCTGCCTCCAGTGGCGGTTCAATGCGTGGACGGACGACTTTATCGACTTCTACTTCCGCTCAATTACTTGCCCGTATGCGGATGTTAGGAACCTCATCGCCTCGGTCTTGAACGGAATGGATCAGATCAAGGTGAGTTCTGATGAGCATATAGCCGGAGGAGGTGCTGACGAGCTAGTTCTACCCGTCCTTCTCGTCCGCCACTGCCTTGAACAAGTTTATTCTGGATGACCCGAGCAACAAGCAGGACCTCATGGGTATCCGCTCAGGACACTTCGACAGCCAGCTCAAGCAAATCATGGAGCAGCTGCCAAAGTGGAAGGCGGAGAGACCACACGGTCCCAAGGCTGTTCAGTCGGAGCATGATAATGCGGCTATGACCAGTGAGCTGTCACGTGCAAACTTTGGTAGCGGAAAGATAAGCTGACTGGACTAGTGCTGGCTTGGTTGACGATTGAGCTGTCGGACGTACACGCTGCCGCTGCGTTCCCTTACATTATCCCTATATTGTAACCTATCAGCGGCTCGAGAGATGCTTCATAGCTGACACTTCCAGGCCGGAGATCTTCGAGCTGCGCGAGCTGAACGATAATCTGGACCTGCAGCGGAGCGCTGGTCGAATGCTCGCGCTCATCACTTCGATCACTCCGGACCTGGACCTGATCGAGCCAGTGATGGCCGCTTTGCTGTCTATTCTGGAGAACTCCTCTGTAAGCTCACAGCTCACCAAGCGCCGGATCTCGAGCTAGGTCGCAGAAGGACAAGAGCTAACATCTCAGTCCTGGAAGATGAAGATGCACAGCATGCCGGTGCTAAGCCTGGTCTACTTTCGGAACCTATCTCTGCTGTCCGAGACGTGCAAGGCCAAGTGTCTGGACGTTGTGGCGGCTTCATTGAGGGATGCGAACCAGGAAGTCCGAGAGATGGCTTCTTCGTGAGTTACCATGCCGACCTAGACCACGAAGGCACAGCTAATTTTCCAGCACGTTGAGCGGCTTCCTTCGGTGCTCCCAGCGATCTATGGTCGTGGTCATCAAAGACAGATTCACTCGGGAGATCAAGGCGACGACTTTGGCGAGACGCCGTGGTCAGCCGGGGCAAGTCGATGCCGAGTATCAGGAGCAGCTGGTCAAGTTGCACGGAGCCATTTTAGGCGTGACGGCAATGTGAGCTTTTCCGCCATCCTTCCCTCATGGTGAAGATGATTTAGCTGACAAGTTCAGCGTCGAAGCCTTCCCTTACACCGTACCGAAGTTCATGCCGAAGCTGCTCGCAGATGTGCTTGCACCAAGAGTATCAGATCCGGCGCCTATTTCGACCACGATCCGGACATGTGTTGCGGTGAGCTAGCTCGAGCTCAATGATCTCTCCTGAGCAGGAGCTGACGATATTTAGTCTTTCAAGCGGACACACGAGAAGTACCAGGACAAATTCAGCGAAGATGAGCTATCGGCGATGAACTATGCGCAAGCGGGGAATTCGTACTGTAAGCTACCATGCTGAATAGTCACCATATTCGCGCCGCGTTGCTGACCTGGACAGATGCCTAGATGGAATAGAGAGAAGATGCGAGGCGGGAAAGACGTGGAGCTGGAGGAGGGCTCTAAATGCAGGAGGCGATTTGACGTGTAAATAAAAGAAGTGGCGTTTTGAGAAACGCAGATGACTAGAGCAATGCATGTACATGATATCCGAAATCTGTTCTGGTACAGTGAGGGCCCAGATCAGGCCTTATCTTATCGCTCAAACCTCCACCTCTTACTTCAAATCCGACCCGACTCATTCCTCGTTCACTCATGTCTACAAGTTACCTCTTGGTGCCATGTCGCCCAATAATGAAGAGTTCAATACCCGCGGCGCTAGCAGGGCATCCGAAGCCACAATCTATATCACCTCTCCGCTCCACCCGACCGCACAAGCACTCGCGGAACGGACTTTTGCGCGGGTTATCCAAGAAGGAAAAGATGGACAGGGATTCAGTCGCGCAGAATGTCTGCAGCAGGCTGATGGGATATGTGAGCAGCAGCTCTGGGCCAGGGTATGTGACAGTGCATAGCTCACGCAGTATAGTGATGCGCCTGGGCGTTGCTTCTGCCGAGAATCTCCAGCAGCGTATAAGTCCAAGGCTGCGCATCATCACTCGCTCGGGGGTGGGGTACGATAGTATCGACCCACAAGGATGTCGGGATAGAGATATAGTGGTGACGAATCTCCCTGGCGCGAACGCTCAAGTGGGTCTGGATCGCTACACTTCTTTGTAATGCATCCACTGACATTGCAGGCAGTAGCCGAGCTGGCCCTCACACTCGCCCTCTCCCTCCTCCGCCGCGTCAAAGAGATGGACCGCCGCTTCATCTCCGGCGAGGGCCTCCGGTCGATCCACTACCTCGCTCCCGGCCTGACAGGCAAGACGGTCGGTATAGTGGGTATGGGCAATACTGCTCGGCAGTTTGCTCTCCTTCTACGCCCCTTCGGCTGCAAGCTGTTGGTGCACTCGCCGACCTCTTCGGCCGAACGATGGACGGCGGAAGATCCAGACATAGCCAACAGTGGCGATGCTCCAATAGAGCACGAGCGGGTGGATATGGAGACGATCCTCGAAGACGCAGACGTCATCTCACTCCACTGCCCGCTGACACCGCGGACGAAGAACTTGATCGGCGAGAAGGAGCTGGGAATGATGAAGCCGACGGCGGTGCTCGTCAACACGGCGAGAGGCGGGGTGGTAGATGAGCGAGCCCTGGAAAAGGCACTACAGGCGGGCAAGCTGGCAGGTGCTGGTATCGATGTGTGGGAGATTGAGCCGGCAAGAGGGGAGAATCTAGGGGGATTGGGCAAGATGAGTAATGTCATTTGCCTGCCTCACCTGTGAGATATACGTTCAATAACCACTTTACCCGACCCGGTCGCTGATCATGTAGGGGTGCCTCGACAGAACAGGTAGCGGAGTCCAGTACCGTCCGCGCTGTCGAGATCTTGGCGAACTTCTTTGATCGAGGAGAGGTGGTCCACCGGGTGATATGAGCACGATCATGAGGGAGGATCAGTGTGGAAGGTGTATATAGACGATAGATGAGTAGAAGTTACAAGCTGACAAACAGCGAGGGAAGTGCTAGTGCATACAACGCGATTATACCAAAGATACTGTCGCTCCCAATGCCTGCATTGTCTTTTGCAGCTTCTCGGCGTCCTCCTTCGGCAGGTTCTCCTTCAGCGTTTGTGGGCATGATTCGACGAACTTCTTGGCCTGAAAGCGTCAGCAAGAGTCTCTTTCGAGGCCGTCCTCCATCGAATGCCTTATATCCCGCCCTCTCTCCTCCGCTGCCTCAGCCGCCCTTTCTCCTCCCCTACCTCAGCCGCAATCATACCCTCCTTCTCATTGACCCAGCCCTCCACGGGCCTCCTGCATGCTCTTGATTTTAGATGTCCAACTCACCTCCACCAACGTCATGTTAGGCATCAACACCTTGACCTCCCTGATCACCTTTGCCTTTGTCGCCGGGTCGATTGCATCCAGCTTGACCGTAAAGATCGTCTTCTCCTTTGGCTTCTCCTCTGCCGCTTCCGCCTCCACTGGTGCCGCCGCCGCCGGTGCAGCCGAGGACGATGGCATTGCTATTTCCGTGATATTCAGGCGGGTCTACCGTATCAGCTTGCTGTGCCCCATCACACATGTCCCGTGGTGATGCGCACTTTGAGAGCAGTGACCAATTCCGACACTTCGAGTAATGTCAACCCCGAGATGGACTCGACTATGGGCCCGACCTTGGCGCTGACGGGTGATTGAGTTGGCTGTTCGGCAGTTTCGGCGAGGGATGGGCGTGTGGAGGTGAATGTACGGGCGGCATAGCGGAGAGTGGGGGTGGAAGAGGATGCGCGGGGGGAGAAGGATCGGGAAGCCCGGAGGAGGGACTGTACGGGGCGCTGAGAAGTCAGCTCTATTTCAAAGACATGGCGATGCAGGACAGCTCACGCTCATAGTGCTGATCTTGATGAGGTTGCTGCTTTATGCTAGGGATATGCAAAGGCTATGATGGACACTTTCTGCTGCTGTGCGAAATCGAGACGACCATCTCTGACCCATCTTTTTGATCCCGAATTGGCAAATCCATATAATCCCGCTAATTTCCGGGTATCTGACCTGTCATGACACCGGCGCCAGGAACGGACGCGTTCTGACAGGTCCGCATTCCTCGTCCATCCACCTCACCTCAGACATGTCGGACTTTGACACCCCGCCAGAGATAGAGCAGGCCCTCGCCCGGATCAGCTCTTACCGGAATGTCAGGGGCGTCATGATACTCCTCCGGGAGCCGCTGGGGATCGTCAAGAGCTCGGGGGCGGTCTTTGATGGCGAGGCGGGAAGGGTGTATGCGAAGGCGGTCGAGGGAATTGTGGTTACTACGGCGAGGGCAGTGGCAGAGTGTGAAGAAGGTGTAAGCTTGCCGTGCTTCAAGTGTTAGGCGGGGAGAAGCTGATCTGAAGGACGTGCTCAGATTGATGAGGATACGAACGAAGCGACATGAGCTCATCATCACCCCTGGTACGTATCCGACCGCAGCCTTCATCTGACGCTGGCAGCTGATATTTTAGACGGTCGCTTCCTTTCGGTGGTCCTGCAAGATCCGGATCTCTGATTGTCCCATCTCGTCCGGCGGCCGACCACACCGACCGGTCGCCCTTTGTGCATAACACTCCACACCGAACGCCCCACCGTAATCGGTCTCCCACGCCCGGCATGCCGGTCTCCCGCCACTCGCATGTTCCGGAGGAGAACTCAAGAGAATGGCCATACAGCGGGCCAGCACGCTAGCAGGGCGCCAGGACATCTATGCGATTCAAACATGAATGACATATCGTATTTACAGTGTAATGAGAGGTCTTGCTAACCTACATGGAGAGATACAAGGGTTTCTACGCTATCTATACACAAAGTCGCCCCTAGCCTATACACAGATGACAAGTACAACTGTATCCTTTGTCCACATACTCACCATACGTATCAAGCCTTCCTCTTCACGGTCGCACCATACGCCAAACCCTTGACCGGCCGCCCATTCTTGTCCGCAATACCCAAAAACTCCACCATGCTCGGCTGCTTTGCCAGACCCGCCTTCCCAGTCCCTCCTGTAGTGACCTTCCCTTTCTCTTTGGCGCCATAATTCCCTCTCGCGCCATTGATGTTTGCCGACCGAAGTGGCTGGGGAGCAGGTTCGGGGGAGGACGAGCCGATCGTGATCGCCTCCCTGGCCCTGGTCTGACCTGGCTGTGGCGCGGCACGACCACCAGCGAGCGTCTTCTTTCGGTCCGTCTCGGCGCGATTGGACGAGAAGGGATTGGCATTGGACCGACCGCGCTTGAGCGAGTCGATGATAAAGCCCGGCTCTGGGTCGTCGTCGCTTCCGCAATCGACCGCTTGTACCTTGCTCGAAGGGCTTTGGGCAAAGTATTTGGATTGCTGTTTGCGCTTGGGAGGGCGGACGGGATCATCGTCGAAGAGGGTGGTGGCGAGTGTGCGAGCGGTGGGATGCGCGCGTGCTGGGCGACTGGGACCGCTGTGCGACGGAGGGGATATGTCGGCGAATGAGGGGTCTAGGATCTCCAGGGAGTCGTCGTATTGCGTAGACTGGCGTCGGACCGCCTTGAGACGCTTGAAGCCGGGGGCAAGATCGTCTCCGAAGCTCGACACGGAGTCGGCGTCGCCGTGATGGCTGCCCACCATATCGTCGTCCTCCAGCTCGAGCGAGGGCGACCTTCCTCTGGGCGGCCGGGCCTGCCGCTGCGCCGAAGCAGTCTCGAGCTGAGCTCGAAGACGGGTGTTCTCCTCCTCGAGCTCTTCGACTTGAGCTTTGAGCGCCTTCTTCGACTCGGCCTATGCGGGTCAGCTTGACTCTCCCGCGGAGAAAGTAGGGGATAACTGACCTTGGCTTGGTACGTCCTCAGCGAGCGGGTCCGCTCGTTCAACGTGACATTCAGCGCCTTCAGCTCGTCCTTGGCTTTGTTTGCCAACCTACACTGCGTCAGTTGGTAGTCCTCCAGAGCGCCAGGTCTCAATCGAGCGACACGTAGGGTATAGGTCAACTCACCTCACCGCATCCGCCGCCTTCTTTTCCTCCGCCTTGAACTTCTCCTCCGCCTCCTTCCTCGCCGTCCGTCTCAGCACCGCCTCCTTCTCCAGCTCCCGCTTGACCGCCTCCGTCTCCTGCTTTGCTTTCGACACCTCCCGCTTGCACTTCAATTGCTCGAGCTGCGTCTGGCGCTGGATCTCCTGAGGCATATGGACCTCGATCAGGCGTTTGTTCTCCCGCCGGATTTCGGCGGTCGCGTCTTCGGCTGCAACAGCCCGGGCGCGGAGTGTGGGGATAGCCGGATGGGTCTCAATAGTCGCGCGGAGATTGTTGATGGCTACTGTGAGACCTCCGACGTATGTCTGCGAAAGTCAGCTCGCTCTCCTCGGACTGAGCAAGGGACAGCTAAGAATACTCACCTTCATCCCCTCGACGGCCCTCTGGCTGACCAGATCCTTCTGCAACCCCTCCGCCCTCCTCATCAAAGCCGCCATGTCCTCCTCGTTCGTCTCCCCATCTTCATTCATGTCCTTCACCTCCTCCCCCAGCCCCTTTGCGCGCCTCGCCAGACTAAATGCCACCCCGTCTCCTTTTGGTCGCAGTGGACTACTGCCCGCCTGGCTCGACCCGCCACCCCCGCTCTCTTCGATGTTGAAGTAGAGACGATGGAGGTCCAGCTCGCCCGTGTCGTCATCGACAAAGCATTCGGCGCGACAGCTTGGACACCGAGCGGGAGCGTCTTCAATTTCCGAGGGGGAGAGGGATACGCCGCGATATTCCCGTAGATGCTCGATGTGCCGCTTGGTATCCGAGTCGAAGCTCAATCGGAGACAGTGCTCGTGGAAGACATGACCTGGTCATCAGCTAGAGTTCAGGCCCACACTAAAGAGAGAGGGCCTACCGCAGTCTCCAGCGGCAACGGGGTACAATTCATCCAGGTCATCCCTCGCGCAGAAGAGGGACTCGAAGCAGATCCCGCAGGTCACGCCATCAAGGCGAGTGATCATTATGCTACCAGTGTCCCCGTGTAGGTCAACAAGAAGGGAAGAAAGAAAGAAGGTAGATGTACGATGTGAAGTTGAGAGAAGGCTGGGCCAAGGACGCGTCAAAGAAATCAATAGACGGCGATGACGTTATGACCCCGGCTCAGGCACGGTTTCAACGTGACAACGCTGACCGCTTCGCTTTCAGCCTCATAACAGAGCTATCTGCTACTTACTGTACTTACCAGCCCGACATCTGGACAGTATGGACAATCAGAAGACGGTGTACTTGGTGGTTAATCCCGTCGCGGGACAGCAGACTGCTCGAGACTGTGCGTCTCAACCTCGCGTTCCTCGTCAACCCGTTCGCAGCTGACCAAGCAGTCGTCAAGAGCTATGTCAAGCCTCTCTTGGAACCTTCAGGATACTCTATCAAGGCCTACGAGACTCAAAGCGTCGGTGACGCGGCCAGAATCGCCCGTGAGATCTCTGAGCAGCCCGCCTCGACGGCCCAAGGAGGGGCACGGACGGTCGTTCTCGCTGGAGGAGACGGGACTATGCACGAGTTCATCGAAGGGATATACAGCTTGGGAGGGAAGGAAGCGAAGGGGGAGCGCTGGGAGCTCGTCATGATACCTGTGGGAACCGTGAGTGTTTTGTCTGCTCTGAATGCCCGTGCTCATTTGTAGGCGAATGCTCTGTATGCCTCAACTTACCCGCCCGGCACACCTCCTCCCTCGTTATCTGATACTCTTTCTGGTCATACCTCCTCTTTCGAAGAAGAGACGCTCGCGAAGCTCTCTTCACTCGCCGCCTTCCTGACCGCAGGCAAGAAGCCGACAACCCTCCCCATCTCCCTCTCATCCTTTACCGGTTCCGACAGGAACGCCAACGCCGCTCCTACTCCCATCCCCTCACACGTTGTCATCTCCACCTGCCTCCACTCCAATCTCCTCGCCACAGCCGAAAACCTCCGAGCCGAATACCCCGGCGTCGAGCGGTTCAAGGTCGCCGCGCGGGAAAACGCGGGCAAGTTTTACGACGCCAAACTCGTCCTCCACGGCGGCAGCAGCGGGACTGTACAGGTATACGAGCCCGCCACGTCCAGCTTTGTCGAGACTGGCTCCCGGGTCATTGATGGCACATTCGCCTACTTTCTCTCGTCCGCCGCTTGCCCCCGGCTCGAGCCTACCTTTGTCATCTCTCCTCTGCTCGAGCGTATCCCGGACAAGGAGAGCATGGACGTGTTGGTCATCAGGCCGGGTAGGGATCCTCGTATCCGCAAGATCCTTGATGAGGCGGAATATGAGAGTTTCAAGGCGGTCAGGGACGCGGGGGATCAGGAGGTCCTGGATAAGCTGAGCGAAGCATGGGTGCCAAGGGCCTGCGAGGTGGTGGGGAAGGCGTATGAAGAGGGAAGGCACGTGGATCTGACGTATACCCCAGAAGGGGACGTGGAGAGTAGGGGGACAGGACCGAGGGTCGTCGAAGTGTACCGGTGCACCGGATTCGAGTGGACACCCAGGGTCAGTCATGTATTTGAAGCTCAAGATCACAAGCTGGTCGCAGAGCTGACAGAGACAGGACAAGGACGATAAAGGATCCCATCTCGTTTGCGCGGACGGTTCGCTCATGCACATCCCGTCTGGGGGTAGCGCTTCGGTCCGGCTGGATAAGGGGGCAGAGGGGAAGGGTGAGATCTGCTTGTGGACGTAGGGGTAGAGTCGAGGGACATGGCAGGTGGGAGGCAGCTTCGTGATCTGTTGAACAGGCACGATGATCTGAGGGAGCAAGAGGGGCGGATGGGAAGACCGGGGTGTGGCTCGGAAGGGACAATCGATCTACTGCTTGAATTTGTATATAGAGTGCTTTACGTTCCACTTGTATATATCGATGTGCTTCTGAGCTGCTCAGCGCACGCGTAGATTCTTATACGGGCCGCAGCCCAGCACTGCCCCAGCTGTCCTCGCCGCAGCACGCAGAGGTCACCGTCAGCATACCTTGAAGCTAGAAATTTTGCTTCCGCTCCGGACGCAAACCAGCGATATTCGGATGGTGGACAACGTTGCATGCATCCATTCTTATAGGCTGTTTATGCTGCACTGCGCATACGCCTCGAGACTGGTCAGATGTACAGCGGATCGAGGTATGCATTGGCTGAAACTGAAAGGCGCAAAGATGAAAGAGACGATTGCTGCACTTTTGCCGAAAGAAGACAAAAGGCCGGAAATTAGCGCCACCCGGAAGGGCGCGTCGCACTCGCGCGTGTTCCCGGGCGGCAGCAACCCATTCCTCGCCCACTCACTCACTTGCCCCAGCCAGCTGTCTGTCACTGTCTGCCTGTACCGGACATCGTCCCTCCTTTGTCTCTCTTACCGTGTTGACTTCTACCACCCCGCGCGAAGCTACGCTTGACTGCCCTTGCATAATCGAAAGCAAGGGATCGCTCGCTCGGGGTCAACTTGCCCCGCAAGGCCAGGGAGCGTTTCAGAATCGTGCCTCCATCCCCCCCTTTGAACCTCTTTCACCCAGTTTCGCCCGCAACGCTATCACACCCTGGCTCAGCATCCTCGTCATACCGGTCATCGACTCCTCAGCAGTATCAGCTCTGAGATAGCTCGACTCCCCCATCAGTACTCCCACTCTCGCATCCCCATCAACATCTCCGCACCAACCCTCACACACTCGGATCGGCTGCTTCTCGACGCGGCTAGTATTTCCATCGACTCAACATCGGCGTTGAGAAAGGAGGAAATCGGGGAGGACAGAGAGTCAATCAAGGAGGGAATAAGCAGAAGAGCGTCGGGAAAAGGAGGATAGAGCCTTATCCTCATCCGCCGATCACCCTCCACCTTCTCAACCCGCACGGTTTCGCCTCTTTGTCTCGCTCTGCGACGGCACGCGTCTAGCGACATTCAACCCCTTTATTTCGTACAATCGCCAGTCACAGGCTCCGAGCCAGCGGCAGAATGACAACAAACACGAGTCCTAAGCGACACCAAATCCGACATCCTCAACCATCCTGTTTGTCCCCTTCCTCCTGCCCATTTACACATTCCTCGATCTCACTTCCACCCTACTGGAATTCCCGCTGACACTCCTTCTCCGCAGATACCGGCGCTACCCCTGTCGGTGCACCTCCTCCACCCGCTATTGGTACCGAAACAGCACGTACGGTTGAATACCACCGGCCGACGCGTAATTCCGCTCACTACACCCCCTCCACGGATATGTCCCTCGGTATGGCGTCGTCTCGCCCACCCCACTCGGCCGCGCTGGACAAGACGTACCCCACTCAAGGCGGCCCAGGCGGCCCTCCCTCCGCATTCCGATCTCCGCCCCTCACTTCCCCTGATTTCAACACCCCCTCCGCCCTCCTACCATCCCGCGCAGCGCCGGCGCCACCGGGCGGTCTACTCCGCCGAGACTCTTCTCTCGGTGCGAGTAGCATGCCTCCAGGAAGCAGCACTGCCAGGCAGTACCCCAACCAGTCTAAAAGCGCGACCAACTCGCCAAACCCAAATCGGTACTCGTCAGGCGCGAGTGGCGGGCATAGCGGGTTTCCAGGCGCGGGCGGAGGACTAGGGATGACAATGAGCAATGGCGGAGGATCGGCTATACCCCCACCTCGGCCAACACGAGCCGGTACCCTCCCTCTCGACTCGGCGATGGAATACGGGATGACATCTCCGATCTCGCCCAATCCCGCAAGCTGGGCTACCGGAAGCGGTCCGAGCGCGAGCGCGTCACCCGGTACCTACTCGTCCTTCCTCCCACCTGTCCTCCCGCCGATCAGCGGTCTATCATCACATGAAGCCGGACTGGGGTTCGCGCACAGTCCAAACCCGTACACAATGTCGAGTCTGGAGAAGGGGATGGAGGCGGCGGATATCGGAGGCGGTAATGTGGGCGGGCTGGGTGTGCCGATGCCTATGCAGGAGCCCAGGGATAAGGAGCTGCCGAAGGAGCCTACGATAACGGGGAGAAGCAGGAGTGGGACCGGCAAGAGTTCAAAGGAGAAGAAGAGCATGTTTGGGTTTGTCTCAGGTATGTCGAGCGCTGGTGTGCAGTGATCTAAGCTGATCAACTTAGACCTACTCAGCTCAGAGAAAAAGCCGACTATATCAACACCTTATGATCCTATACATCTGACGCATGTCGGCTTTGACTTCAACACCGGGCAATGTGAGTGGTCCGAAAGCGATTTGTTCTGCCTGCTGACATGGTAGATACCGGAATGCCACAGGAATGGCAGCAAATCCTGGATGATAATGGGATCACCAAGGCCGAGCAGGAGCAGAACCCTGATGAAGTGAGCTGGACGTCTCCTACTCAGGAGAATTGTAGCTGATGGTTCAGATCCTGGCTGTTGTCCGATTCTACCAAGACCGGGAAAAGCAGGCGAACACACAGGAGGACGAGGTATGGGAGAAGATGGGTCATGCGGGTCCTCAACATCCGTCCGACATGTCTAGGGAAAACAGCAGAGAGGGCGGAGCCAAGCCCGACTACTTTGCGCACCCCGTGAGTACAGTCCTGGGATTGCTAGAGGGTCGCTTACGCGTCAGCGAGCTGCACCGATGCCTCCTGTCAAGACGCCCACTCAAGAAAGGGACCAGTACTTCCGGGCAGACCGAGCTGCACCTCCTCCACCTGGTGCTGCACCCAAAGCACCCAAGTTCCTTCCCGCAGGCGGACCTACCGTTCCACCCATCCTGGATCGATCCGCCTCGTACCGCTCTCCCCCACAACCGCCCAAGTCGAAGCCCCTCGACCGGGCCAACACGACCCGAGCGCCCACGTCAAAGGCGTCTCCACCGCAGGGTCTGCCCATGGCCAAGTCGTCCTCAGGCCAGGGGACCGCCAAGCACCTACACCAGGGTCCCGTGGCTGCCCAGCCATTGGCGAGGGCGCCTACGTCCAAGAAGGATGCGGCGCAGCAGGGTCAGCCGCGTCGACGTGATAAGGCAAAGGAGAATGAGGATGTTGTGCGCCAGCTGCAGAGTATCTGTACGCCGGGAGATCCCAACTTGGTTTATCGGAGCTTGCAGAAGATCGGTCAAGGGTGAGTTTGCAAGACTGCAGTAGTGAGTCATAGCTTACAATACAGTGCTTCTGGCGGTGTCTACACAGCATACGACAAGGGCAATCTCCCAGTCGCCATCAAACAGATGAACCTCGAAAAGCAGCCCAAGCAGGATCTCATCATCAACGAGATCCTGGTCATGCGCGAATCCGCCCATCCCAACATCGTCAACTTCAAGGACTCGTACCTCTGGAAAGGCGATCTCTGGGTCGTCATGGAGTACATGGAGGGAGGGAGTCTGACGGACGTCGTCACGGCCCACTGTATGAGCGAGGCGCAGATCGCGGCGGTATCGAGAGAGGTATGCGAGGGATTGAGACATTTGCACTCGAAGGGTGTTATCCATCGGGATATCAAGAGTGATAATATCCTCTTGAGTCTGAATGGGGATGTCAAGCTCAGTAAGTCTTCCCAAAAGCAGGAAAGTAGGGACGGTGCTGATGGTTATAGCCGACTTTGGATTCGTTGCGAGAATTACGGATCCCGCATCTGCAAAACGGACGACAATGGTCGGAACGCCGTACTGGATGGCGCCCGAGGTGGTAACGAGGAAAGAGTACGGACCGAAGGTAGACGTCTGGTCGTTGGGTATCATGGCTATCGGTGCGCTTCCCTTTGGACCTCTGAAACTCGAGCTAACTCTTCAGAAATGCTTGAAGGTGAACCACCGTACCTGAATGAGAACCCCCTCAGAGCGCTCTACCTCATCGCGACGAACGGCACGCCCAAGGTCAAGGACTGGGACAAGCTGTCGGCGCTGTTCAGGGACTGGTTGACGTGTTGCCTGACGGTGGACGCAGAGAAGCGGCCGACTGCGGAGCAATTGTTACAAGTGAGTCAAACGCGTCCTCTCTCTCGGCACAAGGCAGCGTAGCTGATCCGCCAGCATACTTTCTTCCGCAACCCCGCACCATTATCCAGTCTTGCCAACATGATCCGCTCTGCTCGGAAGGGGTCATCATAGCCTGCCCATGTACCTGCAACAACCTGTCATTCCTCCCGCCCGAAAAGCGTCCTCATTTCTTAGCTCAACTCGGACGGATACTGTACCTTCTTTCGCCTGGCCGTAGATTACGGATGCATAGGAGGATCTAATGTCTTTGTCTACCTATCGTGACCGGGACTCGCTGCACTTGCCTCCATCAGATCCGAAGCCGAGACCGACCCGAGATTTGCGGCCGAGATTAGCACGCGAGGCGGTTTCGGATCTGGCCGATGATGCGATAAGGAAGAAGTCGTCCGCAAAAATACGTTCTGCTTCTGTTCTTCTCTTCGCATCACAGCGACCTGTGTCTCGCATCTACAGTACAGCACAAGCCGCGCCGAGGCCTCTCTGAGATGGCTGCAAGCGAGCAAGAGCGCCTGCTCTCAGGGCCCAAGCCGACAACGACGCCCACGTCGTATGGTACGAACGGCGACGACGACGACCGGTCGTCCGATCTCGCAGATGGCGAACCTAGCAAGCATGTCGAGGGCACGGACGGGAAGAAGACTTTCAGGGAGATCTGGCCAATGTGTTTGGGCTTATCGACGGCGTGAGCTTGAGAGCCAACAATAAACACTTGCTCGCCATCCAAAGCTGATACGAACAGGGTGTTCTGCTCAGCCTTGGGAGCGACGGTAGTAGCGAATGTTCAGGTTGATATCGGCTCCTACTTCCGTGCTGGGTCTTTGGTAAGTGACAATCTCTGCTCAAAGAATGACCACCACGGCTGGCCTGACTGGAGCTGACCGACGTAGTCCGCCTGGCTGGGTACATCCTATCTTCTCGGGCTCGCCGCTATGACGCCCCTCTACGGTCGTCTCGCTCAAGTGATGGGTCGGAAAGGGGCCATGCTGCTCGCCATGTCCCTCTTCTTTGGTGAGCCGATAGATACGGAGCCTGGTATAGAGTCAGCTGACACCAACAGTGGGCACTCTGTGCTGCGCCATCGCACCGAGCATGATCACGATTCTCATTGCTCGTGGTGTTGCTGGAGCCGGATCGGGCGGTATATTGACAGTTACTGTAAGCCCCTACTTGACCCCTCCTGCATCTTAGCCTGATCTGACCACTAGGCTATCATCATCACCGATCTGGTCTCGATAGCAGATCGAGGGCTCTATCAAGGCGGTGTCAACGTCCTCTTCGGCGCGGGGGCAGCTGCTGGCGCCGTCGTCGGTGGTGCGATCGCTGATGCCCTGGGCTGGCGAGCTGCGTTCTGGATACAGGTGCCTCTCATCGCACTTGCCTCTGCGCTCATCATCGCCAAGGTCAATGTGGTCCACGTCCGAGGGGACAAGTCAGCTTGGGAGAAGTTCAAGGGGATTGACTGGGCCGGATGCGCTTCTTTGGTGTTCTGCGTAAGTGCGGTATCCTTTACGCATGATGCATAGCTGACGTTGCGAAGATCACCTCGCTCTCACTAGGCACATCCCTCGCAACCTCCTCCGGCTATCCCTGGACACATCCCGCCGTCATCTCATTGTTATCCGCCTTCATCATCTCTATCCCCATCTTCACCTTTATTGAGCGTCGAGCCGCCGAGCCGATTCTCCCACTTTCGCTCCTGACCCGTGCACAGCCTGCTCTGATCTTGATGGGGTTCTCATGGCTTACAGCTGCCAACTTCTCGAGGGTGAGCTACTCGCGGGCCTCGTACGAGGTCATTCGCTGATCCATCAGATATACATGCAACCAGTATACCTACACGTCAGTCGGGGGCTGAACGGATCGCAAACTGGTCTGCTATTGTTACCGAGCTCGGTTGTCGGATCGATATCTAGCCTGTACGCAGGTTGGCACATGCGAGTGAGTACTACATGTCACAAGTCCAAGACCATAGCTGACAGCAAAGCATTACAAGGAATACAAGTGGTTCCAATTCGCTGTCTCGCTCATTCCCTGGCTTCAGGGCCTGTCCATCATCGCCTCTTGGGCACCAGACACCAACAAGCATCGCTTATGGGCCGAAATGGCAGTAGGTGCGCTGGGTGGCGGGGCGGTCATCACGAGTCTCTTGACGTCGATGGTCAATTGTGTCGAGGTGAGCAATTTTGATTAGCGCTTACGGGCATGGCTGATCATATAGCCTAGCGAAATGTCTCTTGCCATCTCAGCATGCTATCTTTTCCGCTCGCTCGGCCAGGTCCTCGGTGTGGCCATCTCGGCCGCCATTCAGCAATCCGTCCTCGTCCAGTCGTTGACCAAACGACTACCGAACGAGACGCCCGAGCTCATTCGCCAGATCATCCAGGAGCCGAGCAGTATCATACCGCATCTGGCCGCAGAGGTGCAGATGCAGGCTCGGCTAAGCTATCTGGAGAGTATAAGAGGGGTGTTTGGATTCGTCGTCGTGGGTGGAGTAGTACTGAGCGGGATCTGCCTCGGCGTCAGGGCGCGGCCACTGACCTGAAACATGCGGCAGGTCCCGATCTTGTAGGTAATATCATAATGGATGATCATGAACAGCATTTCTTATCTTAGTCAAACGCTCTCCACAACAACTACCCACTCAATTGATCCTGTAGACTCTCTACTCAGATCGTTCCACATCGGCTCGTCGTTTCGCCATGCCCAAGCGACCACCGTTCAGTAGAGATATCCCAGGATCCACGACAATAGGCTTGGATTTGGGCGCTGTGCCTTCGCCAATCCCCCCTGGACAGAGCGTGATGGTGAACTGAGCACCTTAGCATTGTCTGTTGGAGAAAAAGAGGAAGCAACCTACGTCTCCTGGTTTGTTACACATGAAGACAGCATCCGGATCATGGTAATTATCGCTGATCATTCGTCAGCCCGCTTCTGGCCTGCAGAACCTTCTCTGACCGGAGCCAAGCCGGACCTGACAAGGAGACTCACTCCGCCGGGAATACATAGGCCTTTTGACAGTGCGGCTTGTACTTGGTGTAAAACGCTAAACTCGTCAACATTGCCCGCAGGTGACCAAGCCTTGTCGCTCACGCTCATGGGTGAGACAAAGGGTGTTCACTTACGGATGTCCTTCTTGTCACACCGGGTCTGGGGGCTGATTGCAACGCCGTTCTGATTACAGCACCACACTGAGTTTTCCCCCGAGAATGCGGGCGCTACTCGATTAGCATGACCACAGCCAGCACACAACTGACTCTCGAGGCCGACTCACACAGCTGCTTTCCAACATTGCACGGCGAGACGCAGCCCCCTAGTATCCATCAGCGAGCTTCTAGGCGGACTCTCGTCGGCGCAAACTCACAGACGACGTCCGATCCAGGAGGATATGCCAATCTCGAATCGCACATTGTCAAGATATCATGGCCGGCCCCCACACCGCATGAAGCGGTCTCGCAGCCGGCAGAATGAGAGATGGTCATCGGTAAATTGAATCCTGAGATATCGTCAGCTCACTGGCCGTTGTTTGCTGCTGGTCATGTTGATTGTACGGCTTACCGTCCACCATAGACACTGGTCAGTCAGCATATCGTCCGATCCGAGCATCTTCGCCAACTTTCGACCACAGCAACGTGCGCTGAACTCACCATCATAATTGTCCGTAGACTGGTGTATCGTCTTCGTCGTCAACAGTGTGAACTCGGCCAGCTTGTCTTGTCAGCTCAGAACCCGGCCGCGCGTGTCCGAGAGACGTCGCCTGCTACTCACTGTACCTCCAGACCCGCCCCAGTCGCGGCCATTGCTGACGTGTCAGCGCTAATACGCCTGCAAAGGAGACTCAGACAATACATACCACTGTCCACCGCTCGCACAACCTCCGATTTTGCACCCCGTTCCATCGTCCTTGCAGCCTGTCCGCGCCCAGATGCGACTGCGCGTCCCTATGGGAATCAGCTGTAGACCAGTGGAGAGCTGAAGGAGGAGGACTTACAATCGTCAGGCACTTGGAAAGAGTATTTGCCGGGAGGCTGCTTCCATCCGAATGGCTGCGGAGAGCCGTCCATCTTGGTAGGATTTGGTCCAGGTGGTGCGTTTTTCGGCCATTCGACTTGAATAGCTGGCCAGACTGTCCCCTTGCACTGATTGTCAATGGTGATCTTCCGCACGGCCTGCGTGGCGGGAATCAAAGCGACCACAAGCATTAGTAGATAAGCAGGCATGCTGGATGAGCGATACTTTGCAGTGTGCGGGGACCGGGCAGAAGATTGGTATGTTGCGCCTGCGTGGGATGCCTGGGATGGACGGGTAGCCATGGCCCTGGCTATATAGCCAGACACAACTGACCTTTCGAGCGCGCATATTGAGGGGCGTCGAGGGGCTGGTACGGAGCTTGGCAGGTTTGACAATACCGAAACGCGTGCGAAACCTGTTTCAATCGAGTGTCCTTTGGCCGGTTGATATAAGAAACAGGAGGCTCGTGGGGCGCATGCGAATGAAGGGTTGTCTTGGTAGTACTGGTACCAAGGACCAGCCAGCGGACCGTGCGAGAAAAGGGTGTACATGCGCAGGGATGCAATGACGACATCTCCAGCACAATAACCAGCAGCTACTGGGAGTGACCTAATACACAAGGCTGATCGTTACATACGAGAGTACTAACTCTTCTACTTGTGCCTTGTACACACGGTTCCAGGCTCGACTTCATCAGTGCGACAAGCTTGAAGGCCAAAGTATCACTATATACAACACGGAACCAGTACTATGTACAATATATAAACCCAAAAAGACCGGCTAATGCAAGCTCGCTTCACGCTGCCTGAATCGTCAACGACGTCCTGCTTCGCTAGGTGAAAGGGCTCACCTTGTCCAGAGCAGCCGGGAAATCTGCTGGTCGGACTATCTCGATACCCTTGGACGCCACCGCCTTCCTCCGTTCCTCCCCAAAGCTCACGTCACCAACGTAAATATACCGCCGGTACGGCAGTACATCCGGCCGCATACGCATACGTATCAGATCCTGGATCTGACTACGCTGGATATCTGCCTCTATCAAGTCGCCTGGTGGCGGTCTTTGCGCGTCGCCGCCGCCCTGCTTGTGTGGCGGAAGGGAGTTGTAGTGGCCAGGCCGGACTCCACGGCATAGGTCAACGAGAGTATCGAAACGCCCGGCGGTGCTGATGCTGTGCAGCCACGCAGCCCACTGAGTCGATGCTTCCGGTTGGTGGACCGAGGGAGGAGCGATGCTGACGGCGAGTCCGCCGAAAGATCCGGCAGCAGACGAGGAAAGGTGCAGCAGGTGCTTGTCTAGCGAGAGGGCTCGAACGAGAGCATCCAGTGTCTTCGTGGGGCTACGACACCGCCTTTGGGTCAGCTGGCGGGCACGAGGGACTAATGGCCGGTGGAACCACTCACTCAGGTTTGCACCAGCTCACGTTGAACCACTCGATCACGGCAGGAAGGATATATGCGGCGCAGCTGGGAGTGTTCCAGATGCTACGCATTGCGGTGTGGAAATCGTTGGGTGAGGAGAGTATGAAGGAGGGGGAGAATGTGACAAGCGCTCCGGCTTTCCATACCTGCGTCTCCCGCCACTGAGACGGCAAGAGATTCAGACTCGGACCGAGCGCCACAATCGACGCCTTCGCTGACCAAGCATCCCTCTCGCTCAATGCCGATACCGCTGCGTCAAGCCGACCGTTCTCTATATAGATCACGTCCGGCTTGTCACACTCACGGGCGATGGAGACACCGGCGACTACTGCTTCGTCGCGCACAGTGCTGAGGAGGTCGCTCAATTCAACACCGGCCGCGGCAGGGATGAAATCGATCATCCTGTCCCTATACTCCGCGAGTCTGTCGGCCGAGACACCGTAGGACGCGATGGGATCTATAGGACCGCGGGTGATAGCACGACGTAAAGGAAGACCCGAAGTCTCGGCGGGTCGGACGGGGTTGGGTGGCAACGGCGGCGATGCCGAGTCGAGCGGTAGCGACAGAAGCAGTGCAAGCAAGCCATCGTCGGGAGGGGAGTACTGACTCGAGTCGAGCTTCCAACCACTAGCGCGGACGACGCGGGAAGAGGCGAGAACGAAAGCGTAGTGGCGACTGATTCGGACGGACGTGGCCTCAAAGTAAGCCACGAACATCTGCCCGTCAGAACTTAACTCCTTACGCGATGTGAACCACTGACCATGGGGCCAGCCTCGGACGCAGAAACATCCTCGATCGCCTTGAACACCTCGGCAGACCCTGCGCTGCCACACTCCACCTTCGCCCACTCGATGATTTGAGCGCCATGACCCAAGTGACTCGTCAAGCAGAACGCCTCCACCCTCTCGCAGTACACTCTCTTCTGGCATTGCTGTAAGAAGGTCGATAATGCTTCTCTATCGCTTCCAGAGGAAGAGCCGCGAGAGATAGCAATTTCGCATGTGACGTCATCGCCCAGTGGGCTCAGGGAAGTGATGACGTAACAGGTCCGAATGACGTCATCGGTCGGTTTTTTGGTGGCTGGATTTTCCCGTGGGCTGAGAGGCGCCAAGGATATGGGAGAGAGGGGAGTCTGCTGGGCGTGGTTGGAGGGGGAAAGCGGAGGAAGATCATACGCCTGTGCTGGTGACAGGGGAGGGGAGTGTAGGGGCCGGGCGGGAAGGGGATGTCTGTCGTGAGGAACCGCTGGCCGACGTGATGGAAGGACCGAACGTCGCGGGTCCTTGTCTGGCCGATACGCGGGTGGGGCAGGTGTGGGCCTGGCTCCAGCACGTGAGTCGGATGGACCGGACGTTGGCGCTGAGCCGGCAGGGTGGCCAAGAGGGCGATCACTACCGAGAGATAGCAACGCGCGCGGGATGTGATACTCGCCGTTTGGGGTCGCTTGAGGGCCGGACCGCCCCATTCTGCGGTGCGGGGTTGGGTCTTCCAGCTTATCGATCACTTTCAGCCTGGAGGGCTGGACATACTTTTTCCGTTCCGTAGGAGCTGAAGCTGCTCCGTTAGGCCCGCCACCACTCGTTGGTCCGCCGGACATGTACTGAGGCTCGTCGTCGTCCGACTTGGCAGCTTTGAGCCCTGCTGGAGCCTGTTTGACCCGGCCGCCAATGCCGCTAGCCGGGAATGCCGGCGAGGTGTCCCGATCCGGATCGGTGTCGGTAAAAAGGGATTGACGATGCCGGACCTCACTCGCCGAGGCTTGAGGTGGATCGCTCGCAGTGGGGTCATCCAGGTTGAAGATGCCGGATTGTGGCGACCCGAACGTATCCGAAGGCGGAGGCTGAGCTGGGAACGCGACGGTAGTGTCATCCGCGAGTGGAGGGCGCTTCTTCTGTATCCGACCGACCTTCGCTAGGACTACCGATTTGCCGGACCGACCGGGGAGCGATTTTGGTTCTAATGCCGAGCTGGCGCCCGGTGCAGATCTCCCGGCCGACTCGTCGCCCAGACCTGCCCCTCGAACCTCCCCGATCCCTTCTCCCCTGCCCGCCGCGCCGGTGCTTGTGCCCCTTATCCCGGCCTTGGATCCCGCCCTTTCCTCCCGGCTCTGGCTTCTACCCTTTGATCTCTTGAAGACTCGATGGATGGGCGCCGTGTCCGACGCTGAATCATCATCCGGGTCAGATGATAATTTTGACCGTTTCCGCTTTGCGTTGGTTGAGGGCAATGGAGGGGGATCCTTGTGACCGTGTAGGGCGGGCGAGAGCGTAGAGGCCGGGTTGTCGTCCAAGAAGGCATCGACCTCCGATGTCTCTTCTGGGGAGAAACGCGAGGGAGAATCGGCCGATTTGCCTTGTGACCGGGCTGCAGGGGTTGCATGGTGTGAACCGGGTGCATGGGGGAAAGGGGATGATGAGGAGTCGAAGAAGGGTTCAGGGCTGGCCGAGGCGATGCGCTTGACCTTTGCGCGATGGGACGTGGAGGCTTTGGGAAGTGGTTCTCCCTCGTCCTCGTAACCCGACGCCTTGACTTTGAGGAGGCCTTTCGCGATGAGACGCTTCTCCCGTCTGTTGATGTAATAGTCTGAGTCGGCTTTGCGCACAGCCTTGTACTGGTTGATGAGGCCTGAAGGACGATTCTTGTACGCATCGTAGTTTCGTCTCGGGGCCGAGTCGATGAACCAACGTCCTATTGTAATATTAGCTCACCGAATGGGAAACGGCAGACATCTACCCTGATGGATGGATTCGCCGAAAACAGATCTAGGCACTAACGTAATAGGGTATCCGAGGGTTCATAGAAATCGCCGATCTTTCCAGGTGGCTCTTTCTGGCCCTTTATGATCTTGCCAAGCTCCGGATGCCTCTTCCGGACGTCTTTCCAGAAACTGTATAATCAGCAGTTCCAGAGGCGAAGGTTACAGCATAGGAGGGCATACTCTTCCAAGGTTTTCCCGTCTTCGCCAAAATTGGCAACTGGTATTACCCTACGGGTTTGTTTAGCAGATCCGCGTGCAACCGAGCGGGAGACTCACGAATCCGATTTGCTCTTCAGGTATCCCCCCCACATGACTGCATAACTCTGCGTGATGTCAGGCTAACATGCTCTTCAACTTCAAATCCGGAAACCTTGCGGCTCACCCATCCTGGTCTTCCAAAAGTCTTGTCGTAGGAAGCCCACTTGATGGCGTCTGTCCGCGTAAGCCACGCATTCACAACTTGGCGTCTCCTCACTGGACGCACCGAACGCAAAGTCTTCAATTGATCCATCATCTTCGCTGACTTCACTTTCGAAGCCGCTGCTGATAGCGTCTGAGTCACTGTCGGGAGGCTTCTCCGAAGTGCGCTTTCTCGCTCCACCCCTGGCTGTGGTGACCTTCTTTACCATGGCATTGATGAGTGCAGTCAAGACGAAGTACAGATCGAGGACGGAGGCACGCTTTCAACGCGCTCGTTGATAAAGCACGGGGGACCTGACGGGTTACGGCATTGCCGTCATCCTCACTTCATCGGCTCCCTCCCGCGAGGTTCCCGCGCGTTTTGTCCGCGCGTCTTCAGTGTTCACCTCCTTCTTTCTCCGCTTTAACCGCTTTGGGCAGGTGAGGCGTGCGAATGACGCGCTGCTGAGCTCGGCGTCTGCCTTACCCTGGAATTGGCACACAGAGGGTGAGTTTCACTCGATGGGCGAGATGACTTCAGGGCGACACGCGGGGATGGTTTCATTGAGGGAACAACAAGGCTCTTCTTTCTTGAAGTCGTACCCTTCCTTTCGTACAATGCCATTGCGTATCTTTGGTTGATAACTTAACCTCGTCTCAAGGAGCTAGAAACGGCCACATCTCGCGAACCCTGGCCGACGCCATACCCCACCAGAAGGATGCTGGGGGGGGGGGGAGGAAATCGTCCGGGACCCAGCTGCGTCCGGCGACACAAGCCCTATGGCAGGCGCGTACGATCTCTGTCGGCATCGACAAGCTCATCGTTGGGCTGCAGGGTCTTTGAACATATGGCGTCGGCCCCCGGGTCAATGTACCCTAGATCCGGCCTTCACCAAAGACGTCACATTAGGCCAGTCGCGCCCTACAGCCCCTTACTTCATGTGGAGTAGGGTGGGCAAGGAGGGACCCCACGAATGTGGACTCTCCAGTTCGGCGGCCGTCTTCCCTTCTCGGAGCTGTGGTGGTACCCGAACATCTCAGACTAATTTTGACAAGGGTTTGTTACTGTTTGTGTGGCGCCGATCGAGACGTAAACCGTCGAGGCTTGCTTCTTCCACGTTCTGGCAGGTCATGCATATCTCCCTGTGGGGCAGGAGATCAGAGTCTCGCTTGGCCGGCCGGTACTCTTCAGACATTCGGTCAGAGCTCAAGCATATACATCGATCATCGGCGAGAGACCGGTCACGCGAGGCTGTGCCATCAATCCCCAAGCAGAGTGGTGAAGCCTAGGGGTAAACTTCCCAGACCTGGCAAGCACAAAATGCGAGATGCGGATCACTTGGACAGTAGGAAGTGCCCATCGGGCATCTGATCATACAAGTGCATGATCTGTCGATCCCGCCCTCTCGCTCATCATACCATTCCCCCATATGACATATCCACGAGTTTCGTCCAGTCCCACTCCTCTGGTTTTGTCCTGAACTCTCTCAACGCCGTCTTCCTCTGCTCCCTCTCCAGGCTCGCCTTGGCCGTCTCATTCCTCGGAATCACATTGGCGCAATAGAACCGCTGCAGCGCGAGTGCCAACAGCTGGGCCTGTTGCTGACTGAGCAGCCAACCGGGGTTCACGAGGGAACCCGGAGGCCCGGTAGCTGACTGAGCGGTGATTTCTCCGCGCATCAGGACGACGTCGTGGGATTGGGCGAGATCGGGATAGTGGCTGAGAACGAGGAATGGGCTTGCCCATTCTCCAGCGCGCTTGTACTCCTCTAGCGGGGTGAAGATGATGCTGGTGGTAGGAGGGAGGGGAGTCTGGTCGGATCCAGGAGTAGGGGGAGCGGTCGAGGGGGTAGGGTGGAACAGCCATTGGAGGTAGAACATCTCGTACTCGTCCGTCCTGACTTTGCCGTCTGCCGACTCGGCAGCATCGCGGGGCAAGGGGAGGACGAAGAAGGGGTTTTCCTGTGCGAGGGAGATCATGGAGGTGTAGGTGGATGAGGAGAGGCTGGCGGAGAGGAAGGAGCCGGAGAGGGAGGGATGAGCGGTATGGTATGCCGTCCATATTTTGGAGATGGCGTCGGAAGTGTGGGGAGTGAGGTGGAGTAGGGGAAGGTTGAGGATAGAAGACAGGGGCTATGCGCGTCAGCTTCTGTCACCACCATCGACCGATTAGCCCACCTTGATACCAAGCTTGTTCGCCTCTTCTGGCTTGACGGTCCGCGCAGGTCGACTCCGATCAACCGAGTCAGAATAGCTCGCACTGGCCTTGTGCTGCTGTTCCACCTGCTGCACCACCTGCGGAGGTATCCGTCCCGCTTTCAACGCACTCCGTACAGAGGGCGCCATCACCTTGACCTTGAGCGCTTCGAGATCAGACACCCCTGCCCTTGGCTATGATCAGCTACCTGCCTCCTCCATTAATTCTGACAATGAGCGGACTCACTGCTCCACCCGCTTCTTGAGCTTGTCACCATACTTCTCCTCATACAGCTTTCGCTTCTTCTCGATGAGCTCCCGCGGATTGAGCTGCTTTTCTAGCTCCGAGGCTATGTCCGATCGGCAGCGACTCGCTGAGAAGGCACGGAAAGCGAGGCGCGCAGTGGAAGGTCCAGCCCGAGCTGCGAAGCGACGCAGTGCAGACAGCTCTCGGGAAGTGAGAGCGCGTATCGACATGATAAATAGATGTTGAGTGGACGAGGTATAAATTCAGGCTGACTTTTGAACATTCGCTTGAGCAGCTGAGTTAGCTGAGAAAGTGGAGGTCCGTGTCATCAACACCTCTATATCTGAGCTTCAAAGGTTCCATCCCTCTATGCCCATATAAGGCTACTGTGAGAGCTGCAAGACGTCGAGAGCAGCAGCAGCATCGACCTGAGAATTAATACCCAGCAGAATACAGCCTGGCCCCTCGCCGAGACTTCACAGCCTTCGATATGTCCAACCAACCGACCCTCCTCCCCTCCCTCCTCGCTCTCCAATCCCCTACCTCCCTTCCCCTCTTACTCTCCCGCCTCTCCCTTCAGGCCCTTCACATCCAGCCCTACCATATCCGAGACGACATCTACTCCGCCACCACCTCGGTCATCCCCGGCCAGCTGCGCAACCTGCGTTTACGAGCTGAACGGGTCGCCTCGCCGAGCTATACCGCCAAAGGCAAGGGCAAGGGGAAAGGCAGAGCTCAAGAGGTAGACGAGGCGGATGAGGGACGGGAGTACACCTTGACGTATATCTCTCCGCCGATGAATGGGCGGGAGTATGCGGAGATGAGTGTGCGAGCGTGTATTGGGTTGGAGGTTGCTGGGGAGAGTACAAGAAAGGAGATTGAGGGGTTCATACAGCTACTTGGATTCAAGTGAGTTGACTCTCGGTGCTCGTGGAGCAGGGGACGAGCTGACCTATTAGACACTCCCATTCGTACACACGTACAGGCTACCTCGTCCACCTTCCTCTCCCTCTGCCATCTAGCACACCAATGACAATACACCTCGCCATCACGCGGCTCTCGATGGATCAGCCACCTGACAGCACCGCCCAAGAACCTCCTCCAACTCCAACTCCAGCGCCAACGTCAGAGCCCTACCTACTTACGCTGCAGCCATCTCGCCCTGTGCAGGCCGTATCGGCGCGAGGCGAGCCGGGGTTGGAAGATATGATGCGCGTCATGCGGGACGTCGCCGACCGCATAGAAGGGGTACAATGGGAGACGGGCAGACTGTAGTTGTAGATGTATCGTCTTCGATCTATATACAGATAGATACAGCCCTCCACCCTAGGCTCACCATACTCTACTGACTCCCGCCGACATCTATCGTCTACTTTTTTGGGTCGAGGATCTCAAAGTCGTCATCGTCGTCATCAGCCAACACCTGGACTTTCCTCCGCTTGGCATCCCCTTCAGGCTCATCCTCCGCCGCCCGCTTCTTGCCTGCCGCTTTGCCCCCATCAGTCGCCGCTGCACTGTTGTCGAGCATTTCAAAGTCGGCCTTAGGGGCTTTATCGACCTTCTTGACCGGCGCGAGGGGTATTGAGGGGGTGGTGGACGGCAGCTCATACGGCGCCTCGGCGTTTGGTGATCTAACATATCAGCATAGCTCTAGAATTGAATGGGAGAAGGGAAGACGTACGGGTTGCACACGCAGAAATGAACCGGCCGTAAAGGCTTGTATTCCTCCTCGCCCCCCAGCTTGATCTCCCCAGACACAGTGATCATCTTCCCCCTGCCCACATCCATCACCTCCAGCGTCTTCTCGTACAGATCCTCCATATCTGGATCCGCCAACATTCGCGACCCCTCATTCACCGTCCATTCCACTTGTCCCTTCCCCTCCAACCCCTCCTCCAGCCATCCCTTCACCACGTCCTCCACGAATGTGCCCACCGTCACTCTCGCCACGTCCGCCTTGAATGGTATGTACACGTCCCTGCACACCCCGCAGAACTTGTTGGGGGTGTTGGGACCGTAGCCTGCGATAGGCCGGACTGGCTCGGTCTTGAGGTAGACTTTGCGCATACCCTCGTCCTGGCCCGAAAGGAGGCGGATGGCGGACATGACGATAAAGCCGGCGACGATCGCGTTGGTAGTGGCGATAGCGGGGATGATGTTGCCGGCCATCTCTTTGACTTGGAAGCGGGTCTTTTGGGGAATACCATAGGCGGCAGAGCGGAGGTTGGAGGTGGCGAGGACAAAGTCGAGAGTGTCTTCGTCGTCCTTGTCGAAGGAGAGGATGGTGTCGGGGTGGGAGATGGTGCGAGCGGATAAGCGACGAGAGCTAGAGCGTAAGCTAGGGCGAACAAGTATCTCGTGTACCCAGCTCACCTATCGATAAGGAGCTCCACATTTTCCTTGAGCGACAGCTCCCGCTGATCACGCAGCTGCGCGCTGTTAACATTGGCAGCAGGTGCTGCGCCGTTGCTCTTAGGCTCGGTAGCGGCCGACCCGTTCGCCGATGGAGCCGACGCAGCAGCAGCGGGCGCTGCGCGAAGAGGTGGAGTAGGGAAAGAGCCAGACATGATTCCCTCATAGTCCAAGGCGGTGGGCTTGACCCGTCCCTCCTTGTTCCACAGGTCATCCATGGCCAACAGCCGGTTGATGTCGTCCTTGAAGACCTAAGCATAAGCTGTTGTCCACCAGAAGCAGGCGGAACTGCGAGCTTACCTTGTCAAACATCTTCCTCGGTCCGTCATCATCCCCAATGTTCGCCCTGACTTCCCGGAACGCAGCAGCTTCCTTCTTCAGGTTGTCAATCTCGTCCGCTGCCCCGTCAGCTTTGATCTCCAGCTATCAGAGAGAGACGCAGCTGACCATTCTCGGCTTCCCCTTTGGCTTGATTCAGCTCCTGCTCATCTCCTGCTTCATCATCCTCCCCAAACAGCTTGCTGTATCGTCAGCTATGCAGCGTGCTGCCGATCCATGCAGCTAGTCAAGCTCACCCGAAGAGGTATGACTTTGCCCAGACGATGCAGTGGATAGGCTCGCTCGGCGTCGCGCGGAGCGTACAGACAGGGTATGTCTTCTGCGCCACGGGCTTGGGCTCACAGTCAAAGCACTCTGTCTTGTCCTACTCTTGTCAGCTAACTTTCTTTCCAAGTGAGCGTCGTGGGAACCTAAATGACCTTGACGAATGGAGTGACTTGTCCGAGGTATCCAGCTGTCCCTGACTCAATAAGAGGCACACCACCCGCCTGACACAATCGGTTGACATGTGATCTAGCCTCTGCCGGATCAGCCACCGCACACGTCTGCCTCTCTTAGTCCATGACTCACCCCGATTGTCCAAAGCATTCATGACCAGCCCGAACCCCTTAATCCACTCAACATCATTCGCGCTGTCCTTGACGTTCCCGTGGCGCGCGTGGATCTTGATCCCCGAGTCGGGGTTGAAGTGACGGGCTGAGGCGGACGCGACGAGCGATTTGGACTTTTTGATGTCGGGTTTGCGGAAGAGGAATTGGCGGTTCAGGTTGGAAAGGTCGATGGTGTCTAGGTCGATCTAGCAAGTCAGCACGGTGGTCGACCCCTTACACAATGCTAGGTCTGAGCAGGCCCAGGGTGTCCGCAGGTCAAAGGAAGAAGGAAGGTGTACTTACGATTTCGATGTTGGCAAAGCCGACCAGGACGAGGTTCTTCACTGGCGATATCAGCTATGTCATTTATACTGCACATAGCTAAGGGTAAGAGCGGCATCGTTTGCCCATTCCTGTCCGTGCAGGCAGCGAGGAGCGGAGGAGGAACAGCACTAACGCAGCTCGCACCCGATGCCTCCAGCTCCGACTACCAAGATGGGCGTCTCCCTGACTTTCTTAAACACCTCGGGACCTAAAAGGGCCTGTGTGTGAGACTCTCGAGGCATTGTGTGGTATTGCAGGTCAACGGTAGAAGCAAAAGTCTGATAGGCAGAAGAAGAGGATATTTTGGCTGCTGAGGAGGAGGTCGCGACTGGACGCGCCGATCACGTGCCGCGCTAAAAAGTTTTTCCCGATCTTGAGTCGAGATCAACTTGAAACTTTACCACCATCCTGTGATTCACTCTCTCCTCTCCTTCCACCCTGTACTCATACGCCTCGTCTCGCGTATCTTCACCGCAGCTACCCCGGCAAAGCAGGGTCGCGCCCAGACACATCTCTCATAGGCGGAAAGCTTGACTTCAATTGGGAGCAATAAATCATGCCAGCGGTGAGTCGAACGCGGGACTCTTTCTTCCTCCCTTTCTTGGTCCGCTCGGAGAACTCCCCTACTGATGCACCAGCAGAAATCTTGTCCGACGTGCGGTAGCACCCAGCTTGAGACAGACTATAATCTCGGACAGGTCGCGTAGGTCTTTCTGTCTGTGCTGCCTCCACTTTGCATGTCCACGGTCAGCTGACCACTGTAGGTGTGGACAATGTGGTCATGTTGTCGAGTCGGGGATTCTTGTTTCGGAGGTGGGGTTCGCAGAGGGGTCTGGAGGCCGGACGCATGTTGCGGGCACGTTTGTGTCGAACTACTCTAGTAAGCTGACACGTCCTGTATATCTGGGGCACAGCTAACAGAGTGTAGCTGGAATAGCTGGATTCAGAGGTAAAGATTCTGGACAGAGTTCCGCGGCTGTAAAGCAAGCAGGTGGGCTAATCGCCTGAGGTAGCCTGGCTGAAGGACGGAAGCTGACTTTGCAGGACAGGAGAAGATCCAACATACAGCCCGGGAGATGGGCCTAGGTGCGGGAATAGCCAACGGTGCAACTAGGTCTTTCTCCCTCGCGGTCGACCAGCGGTTCAACAAGGGCCGGAGAACAGACTACCTCGTCGCTAGCTGCCTATACCTACAGTGCCGCTTGATGGGGGAGCCGTACATGCTTATCGACTTCTCTGAGCGGTTGCAGGTGAGCTCGCATGGCCTTTCTTGGCCCGAAACGGTGATGCTGACCCACAGGTGAACGTGTTCGAGCTCGCCGGTACCTACCTCAAACTCCGCACCAACCTTCATCTTGACAAGAGCATGCCCGAAGTCGACCCCGCCATCTATAACATCCACTTTGCTCGACGTCTCGCGCTCGGACACGAGGCGCAAAAGGTCGCGTCGGACGCATCCCGCCTCGTCCGCCGCTTCAAAGCCGACTGGATGACGCAAGGCCGGCGCCCAGCGGGGATCTGCGGTGCCTGTCTCATCATCGCTGCGCGGATGAGCAACTACCTGCGGACGCCGGAAGAAGTCGGGCAGGTCGTCAAGTGTTCGGCGTATACGATCCGGAAGCGACTTCGGGAGTTTGCGATCACCGAGATGGCGCAGAAGACGGTCAAGGAGTGGAGGGGCCTGAGTGAGAAGGAGCTGGATGAGGTCAGGACGGAGGAGCCGCCGATCGTCAAGGAGAACCGGAAGCGCAAGGAGAGGGAGGAGCGGGAGAGGCTGGAAGAAGAGGAGGCGGAGAGGGAGGCGGAAGAGAATAGTCCGAGAGGGAAGGGAAAGAAGAAGGATAAGGGGAAGAAGCGGCAGAGATTTGAGGGGAGCGGAGATGTGGATGAGGAGGAAGCAATCAGGGAGGCTGCGGCTGAGGCGGCTGCCCAGGCAGAGGAGGACGGGGAAGGGAATGACGAAGAAGTCGACCTGGAGGGAGTCATCGGGGCGTTCGCGGACGATATCGACGCGGCAGGCGATAATCCCGAGGCGGCGCAGGAGGAGCGGCGGATTGAGCGGTCTGCGTTTCAGCGGGAGAACAGGGCATTGGCCAAGGCGATGTTGGATCCAGAGGTGGATATCTTGGACGATGAGGACGCGGAGGCTTTGGAGAAGCACGATGAGGATGGCGAAGGGGACAAGGAGGAGGGCGACGGGGTACCGGCGGCCACGCAACTCGGCGAATTGACGGCCGAAGCCCTCACTCTCAAGCCTGAAACCTTTACCGAATGGGATGACCCCGAATCGACCCTCAAACACTTTACCGAGCAGTACTTTGCGGCCGATCCTCGTCTGGTCTTGCTCGACCCGGCGCACGTCAAGGAGCGGGTCTCCAAGTGGCTCACGGGTGCTCGGGACCCGCAGGAGGTGGCGAGGGAGTGTCAGGTGGTGGATATTGCGTATAGACGGAGAGAGTTTTTGGCGAGGGAGAGCAGGCTGGAGACGCTGTCGGATCTGGACGAGGATGAGCTTGAGAGCTACTATGTGCTGGATGAGAGGGATAAGCAGCTGCGGGCGAGGGTGTGGTTGAGCCAGAACGGCAAGTGGCTGGAGCAGAGTAAATGTAAGTTCAAGGTACAGGCGTGTGACACATGAGCTGATCAGTGCAGTGAAGGAGGAAGAAAGAGCTGCGTATAACAAGGCCAATAACATCGACCCCAACAAGCCAAAGGTACGACGATTCCGCATTATCAACAACTGCCGTAGCTGAGTAAAGCTGATCCGTCAGATCAAGCGCAAGCGCGCGCCCGCTCCTGGCTCCCAAAAGCCCTTCAAATCCACCCGAGACGCCATCGACAGCTTTGCGGCCCAAAAGAAGTTCTCGAGCCGAATCAATTACGCCTCGCTTGGCAAGCTCGGCGGATACAATGCGGATGATGCGGGCGAGACGGATCTGCAGAAAATGGACGATGAGAAGGGTAAGCTTTTCTCTTATCCGATAAGAGAGGCAGTGCTGACTTTGAGCAGATGACGATGAATTAGCTGGATATGCTAAGTATGGGGACGACAAGGAGGAGGAGGATGACGACCAGTACTGGTAGATACGGTGGTTTTGCTGCTTGTGATTGTTGTTGTGACCGATCCTCTAGGCGCCTTTCTGCACAGTAACTGATTGCGGTAATGAATGATGTGACGAGCGTACAGTCCCAGCGGATCCAGGGGTGTTGTATGTGAGCTATAGTCAAGAGATCAGGTCAGATTGAGCAAGTATCCCATCCAGTACAGCAATCCCGAACACATCAGGTGGCCACGGGGACTATCATCTCGACTAGCATAACCAGTCTACCCAAAAGTCTACGTGCCTTCCAGCGACATGCGCCATCCGCCCAGCAACCGCCAGAGCCATCGCCTAGAGACGACGACCGCGACGACCACCCTTGCGCCTGGTCGAGTCTGAGGGGACGGGGGTGACGTCCTCGATCCGGCCGATACGCATACCAGCACGGGCGAGGGCACGGAGAGCGGCCTGGCCACCGGGGCCGGGCTGCTTGGTGCCGGTACCACCGGTAGCACGGAGCTTGATGTGGAGAGCGGTGATTCCGACTTCCTTGCACTTGCCGGCGGCGTCCTGGGCAGCCAACATGGCAGCGTAGGGCTGAAGTGTCAGCTCGGTCCGAAACCTTCGAGCAAGGAGAAGCTCACAGAGGACTCGTCACGGTCGGCCTTGACCTTCATACCGCCAGTGACACGCGAGATGGTTTCCTTGCCGGAGAGATCGGTGATGTGGACGAAAGTGTCGTTGAAGCTGAACAGTCAGCGATTCGTCCTCTAACGGATCTAGGCTCTCTCATCCTGTCCTCTCTCCTGCCCGCCGCACCGCCATTCCCTCATCCCTTTTGCTCTCCTCCATGTCCAGCTCCAAAACTCACGAGGCGAAGATGTGAGCCACACCGAACACCAACTCGCCCTCGGCGACGTTGGGGCCGAGCGAGACGGCGGCTTCCTGGGGTGCGCGCTGCTTCTTGGGTGCCTACAGCAGTCAGCTTGTCATCCTCTACCACTCGGAGCGGCACAGCTCACCATAGTGAATAGGTTGATGGACAGAACACTCAAATTAGGCAACTTTTGGTAGGGAGATCCACCCAGCAACGCACGGATACAAATTTGGACCGCGGCGTTTTGCCGGCTTACACCGGGATTTGGCGAAGTGGCGGCCAGCTACGAGAAGCACGGCGATCCCCGGCGTGACTCGCTTGGTTCCGGGGGCGATTTCCGGCGCGTCTTGCTGGTCATGAGGCGACCTCCACCACCGAGCTCCATTCTGGCCATATGCATCACCACTTAATCGTGCATCACCAGCCCAGCTAGTCCCAGGCACCGACCGCGACAGTCGCGAGGAGCCGCTACCTTCGGGATCCCAGACACCGCCTGTCAAAGAAGCACTGCTGTACGGCCATGAACAGCTTTCTAGCGAATCTCACTGAACGTCCGAGCGGCGGACAATGCAACATCGTGCGTCAGACCCTGGACTCACTAGACAAGTACTGACTCCAGCAGCCGCATGACATTCGCTCGGATGGACTGACTGCTGTCATCCTGGTCGGACTGATTCTCAGCTATCTGCCTCAGGTATGCCTCGTGCATCGGCGGACATCTGAGATGGCTACAGGCTGATTCTGGCTAGATTCTGCGTATCGTCAACCAAGGGACTTCAGAAGGGTTCTCTTCGGTAAGCTGCCAGATTCATGACCGTGTGTCCTTCAGCTGACCTCTATCCAGGCCTTCCTGTTGCTGGGCGCTACCTCATCGGCTTCGGGCATGCTCAATGTCCTGGTCGTACAATGGTCACTCTTCCAGTGCTGTCGCCATACAGTGAGCTGCATTGTCCTCGCCCAGTTCTGAAGGGTCGCAGCTCATACCATAGGGAGCAGGTAGCTGCTTCCTGAACCTCATGGGCTTCATCCAGGTCTTCCTACAGTGGTTTCTCTTCAGCATTATGTGAGCTCAAGTGCTTGCCCATCGGTGCCTGCCGAGCTGATCTTCCAGTGTGATACTCTATCTCGTCTACTTTCCTCGGCACCTCAAGTATCATCGCACACTCGCTCTCCCGGACGAGACGGACGCGCAGTATCAAGCCATCCCCACAGCGTCTCTGGCGACCGAAAGCAACATCCTCCAGGAACCGATCAACGGGACTACCCGGCCGGTCCGAGCGCAGGTGGAGACCACACCAGCATGGCGTCAGGCCGTACTTATGGGCATATTCGTCGCTTTACACATGTACGTTTCGGGCTCTCTTGCTGACCATCGTATATAGCTGACATCTCAGCGGTCTCCTTCTCGGCCTGTCCCTCTACCTCTTATACACTCTATCAAGCACACAACCGCCTCACCCCATCCTTCGCTCCCTCGCCACCTTCCTCGGGCTTTCCGGCACGCTACTCGCGGTCTGTCAATATGCGCCCCAGATCTACCAGACCTACACCACCCGGCTCGTCGGCGCGCTCTCGATAGGAACGATGGTTATCCAGGTCCCGGGCGCGGTGTTCTTCATTCTGAGCCTGGCGTTCCGCCCGGGGGTGGACTGGACGAGCTGGCTAGCGTACGCGGTCACTGCTCTGATGCAGAGCGCTCTGCTGGTAAGCTGGGCGTCTCCTAGCTAGAGGAAAGAGCTGACTCTCCAGGTCCTCTGCGTTGCGTGGAAGAGGCGTCAGAAGCAAGAAGGGATCGACGATTTCGGCCACCCCCTCGAGTCAGATACATCCCGCGCCGTGCCTACAGAGCGGGATCGTCTCGTTCAGTGAATCGATGAGGTCTATCCAAATCAAGTCCATCCTCAGTTGTAAAGTACAATTTTTCTATGCATCATTACTCGTTCACTCTAATAAACTCAAATCGCTATGAAAGGCCTGAATACTATATAATCCTACTGATTGATCAGTTCCGTACGACTTTGTGCTCACCTTTTGGTCATGACTCCTCCCACACCGCCTCACTTCAGAAGTACGGACTCTCCCCCCTCTCCCTCGCCGCCTTCTCCTTGGCCGCTCCCAGCCCGAACTCCCCGGGCGTATCGACATGCTCATACTTCTCCTTTGGCTTTCCCTCCTCCTTGTCCCCTCTCGCCAGGTCCCCCAAACCCAAACCACTCAGCTCAAACATGCCATTCGGAAGCCGCCATCGCCCGCTTGTCGCCCTCCTCCGTCCCGGTCCTTGACATATAGGTATGGGGTTGGGCTCGCTCGGACACGCGCCAATGACGGGTGAGATGGGATGCGCCGGTGGCTCGAGCGCCTTGGGTGTGTGGATGAGGGAAGGGGGAATAGGGCCGGGCTGAGAGAGGTACCCCAGACTCGTCCGTGAGCTGTTATGAGGGCTGTTGTAGAGCGGTAAAGTGGGCGAGCCGCGAGGTGTGCGCTCATTCTGGCGGAGGGAAGCGTGTCGCCGGAGTCCCGAGAGACTGTTGGAGCGCGGCAAGTCCTGTACTGACTGGGCGGAGGGGAGGCCGCTGAAGCTGGACCGAGGGGTGGAGTGGACAGGTGTACAGGTAAGATTGGTGGGTGTCGTACTGCCGAGGCGCCGACCGGTTCCTGTAGGTGTGGGACTGCGGGTAGTGGGAGTTGAGGTGGAGGTGTTGAGGGCACTGAGCCGATGAAGGGAATTGATGGACTGGGAGGAGCCGGTTGCGGATAGGTTGGACTGGATGGACCGGGACGAGTCGAGCCGAGGGAGTGGGAGCCCTACCTCGCGTCCGATAGACTCTTCCAGCGGTGAGTATGCGCGGGTATGGGTCGGGGTAGGAAGATCCGAGCGAGAGTCTGGACGAGGAGGGGTAGGGGTGGGCGAGGGACAGGCCGTCGATGGAAGGACCGGTGTGGGGTACGCCTGCCGCTGACGAGTGTCGATGAAGAGGGAGCCTGCGGGTTTAGGGGAAGAGATGTCCAGGTCAGACATGGGTGAGAGGGCGCCTTGGATACCACGGATGATGGGCGAGCGGGGTTGAGGGGGCGAGAACAGTCCTCGAGCGGAATCATCCTCCTCTGCCTCATCGGCGATGACCTGCTCCGGTGCCACCATTGTGTCTTCACCCCTGCGCCTCGGACCCCGCGCCATCCCCGGTCCCATCCCCGACAGACCCTGCCGAGGTCCCGCTACCTCATGCAGCTTTGCCCTGTCCGGCGGGAGGAAAGCGGCGAAGCTGATCGGAGGCTGCGCATGACCGACCACGGACGCCGACGAGAGGGCGTACGAGACCCGGAGAGGCATAGGGGCATCTGCGAGGCTGGGAGGGAAGGGCGGCGTGATTGCTGCTGCGGAGGGTGTGATACGGACCCCGCCGCGCCGATCAAAGGAGGTCGGACGGATAGAGACCCCTAGGCGCTTGAGGCTCGAGATGAGTTTACGAGTGTGACCCTTTGCAGGGTCGTCCGCCCCGGCCGAGGTATCGCTGGAGCCGGAAGCCGTGGGACTCACAGAGGCGCTAGTTCTTGACCGTATGTGATGGGCATGGTGGGCCTGAAGGTCCGCCGAGGAGAGGGTGCAGATGGACCGGGAGGAGGAGGAGGCATCGTCGAATTGACCTGGCTCGTGTGGCTGGGACTGCGAGGAGTCGAGGGGGTCTGTTGGCTCCTCCTGGCTCGGACGGGAGCGAAGGGGGATACTGCTCTGGTGGAAGGGGGACCGCCAGCTGGAGAAGGATGCCTTGGACCGGATGGACCGGCTCGAGACCTTCTTGCTCGGCGGCGGGCGGGCGAGAGCGTCGTCCGCCGACGCATGTTGGACGTGGACGGGGCCAGGACCGGATATGGAGCCGCGAGGAGTGACGAGCTGGCTGGAGGCGTGAGAGTCGGTAGAGGAGGAAGAGTCGGTAGAGGGATTGGACAGGAGAGGGGCGGTGTTGAACGCGTCAGGGTGGGGGAAGAGGGTGGTGGGACCGGGCGCGAGGTCGAGGGACGACATGGTGGGAGCCCTACGCTACCAGAGCGAGAGGGCGGAGAGCGTCGATGGTATTGACGATGTGCGTGCAGAGAGAGCGTGTGAGTGGTCAACAGACCGGGCTATAGCTCAGCTATGAGGGGTTGTCTGACTGGCGAATTCGTGAGCTAGTAAGAAAACAGTCAGGCCGGATTATAAGCTGACAATCCCCTCAACGTATATCAATACACGAGGAGACGTGTTTCAGACTGCTCGAGGCCCTTGACGACCATTTCAAGCAGAAAAGGGGGTCGTTGACGATCGAACGATAGTATATCAACATGAATGTCTCACACCGATAAAGATCCCCATTAGCGCGATTTTTCCCGATACCCTCTGCGGACACCCCGTTTTTCCCGCTCTGATACAGATCTGAGGAACGTGTGGTGTACGTATCCGTACCCGGTGCTAGCGCGTCATTAGTGCGAATGACGCATGAAAACGCATGGAGAGATGGATCTGAATAGGCTGAAACATCGCTTCCGTGTTTGAGCCTGGGGAATGAGGAGCGAGACACGAGTTTGAAACATCTAGCCTGGAGGCCTGACGAGCTACGAGCTAGTTGGAAGTGGCACGAGGGCCACATGGTGTAAGCCTCCCTCTGCGAGTCCAGCAAAGAGTGACAGCCATCCTATACAGCCAGTCCTGACCGAACACAGGCCGAGCCGACCCTGAATGGTGCCTCATCATAGTGCGCCCGCTGCGAAGCAGTACTGCCAGATAAGATATGTAGATCATCATGTATACCAAGATACGCCTCCCTTCTCCCTTCTATCAACACAAGGAACCACAAGAGTCTCGTTCTAAACCTATCCCTTGACCCCCCATTCCCCGCTGATCTGTATGATCCGCCGTACATCATCGGTGCAATACCACGCCTCCGTCCCCGTCTTGGTCGTCCAGCTCCTCTGCGACCGAAGTACAATCCCCTATAACAGTCAGCTACAGCCCCAGCCACTAGCTCAAGACCTCTCGAACTCACCTGCTGCGACGCAAAGTTCCGCTGATCCTTCCCAAACAACTCTGGATTCTCGTCCAACGCCTCACACAGCGCGTCCATATCCCCCACAATGTTATCCAGCTGCGCTACCGCCTGGACCGACGCCACCTCCTTCTTTGTCCTCGCTTTCCCTCCCGCCGGGATATTGCCCTGTATACCCTCCGAGATGGTCCGCACGATCTTCCGAGTCTCGCCGAGGAGCTTGTTGGCCTGTGAGAAGTTGCGGCGAGAAACGAGGAGGAGCGAGCGCGTGAGCATATCGGACGCGATAAGCTCCATCTTGCGGCGTTGGACAGTAGGGTCCGAGTACTGGTTGCCGGGGGAAGAGAGGGTGGGGAGGATGGCGAGTGTCAGGAGGACGGGATGTGCGAGGCGGGAGACGGAGCGGCCGATGGCTGGATCGTGGAAGGAGCAGTCGACCTCGATGACCGGTACCTCATCCACCATGCTCTCTTCGTACACCATCTCCCTCAGTGCCGAGTTGGCGTCCCCGACAGACATGCTGTCCATCCCATTGATGAGGGACGGAGACCGCCTCGGTCCAGGCCGAGAGCCGTCCCCTGACTCGCCCGAGTTGCGTGACGATCCATTCCCTATCAACTCCACCTCGACAAGTATCTCCCTCCTCTCCCCGAATCGCAGCTCCTTCAGCTCAATATCGAGCGTTTTGCCCGAAGCTGACCCGATGGCCTGCGGCGTGCCCGTGACCTTGACGATCCGGAACTCGTTCTCCTGCGCCGAGAGGTGGAGCTTCATGTTCGTCAAGGCGATCGTCATGAGGCCGCCGATGACTCCCGCCAGCGCGTCACGAAGGTGATACCACTCGCGAACGAAGGTGTACGTCCCCTGTGTATGGTTAGAGACCATCCACAATGGTGTGGGATCGTGTGCCTTGCCGTAGCCGAGCGAGTGGACCGGTACGTTGGCCGCGTCCAGGCGGGCGCAGACAAGGTCCATCTGGGCCCGCTTCGCCACCTCGTTGGTGTCCGAAATGAGGATGAGCCCGGTAAGCGGGTTCTTGGCTTTCCGCTGAAGGATGACGTCGAGCGAGACGTTGATAGCGGTGACGACGTCACATCGCTCATCCGGCTGAGTCTGGACCTCCGACTCGTCCCCCGGCGTAGACCCCGCCCCGATTGCCTCGACAAACTCCTCCAGCCGGCGCCGCGACTCGTATTTCGTCGGGTTGAGAAGAGGGGTTTTGCGGATGCTTGTTCCCATCTCGCACGAGACGATTGATACCCGGTCCTTTGAGCCTAAGAGGGCAAAGACGAAGGCGAGGGATTGGCGCATGAGGCGCAGCTTGAGGGGAGCTGACGCGCCGGGAGGGGAAGCGGGGATGGAGAGGACGATGACGAGGTCGAGGGGGGTATGTATGGGCGCGAGGGGAGCGTTGTTGACCAGGTCTCCCGCGGAGGGTCGACGATCGGGCGAATGCTGATCGACCGTGGAGGGCGAGCCGAAGTCGCTGAAGGTAGGGCCAAAGCCCATGGACGATGACGAGGGGAGACCGGGCGTCGTGGCCGCCTTGCCCCCGCGAGACGATCCTCCCGGAGCTGGAGGGGGTGCGCCGGATCCCATGAGCCTAGCGATCTTGTTGGCCGAGTTGCCCCCTTTGGCCGAGGTCGCCGGCTGCTTCGCCTCATCCACGATCTGCTGGAGGGTAGACCTCCATGTCTCGTGACTCCCCTTGTCCTTGAACGTGAGGATGAACGACTCCATCCCCTCATTCTCCATCAAGATGGTGATGCTAAACTCGCTCGGCACCGAGCTATCCACCAGCTTCTTGACGTGCTTGACGTATATCCGCCCTCGAAGCTTGAGCGGACCCCGACCCGATCCTGTCCCGGTGGACGACTTGGTATCGGTTGACCGCATGGACGAGCTGGACGAAAAGATCTTTTGGAAAGCGTTGGGCTTTTCCTCAGAGATGCAGATCAGGGCGTCGTTGTAGAGGTACATGAGGAACTCGCGGAGCATGGAGCCTTTGCGGACGGCAATCATGTCGTAGAGCCGGAGCGGACCGAGCGTGTCGAGCCCAGAGTTCTTGTAGTCAAGAACCCGGTGCTTGAGCTCCGCTTCGACGTGCGAGAAGGGGGCAGCGGACGGGCCGGACTTGGGGGAGTGGGTGATGTCGTGTGATGCAAAGGATCCGGGGGATCCCGGCAGACGAGGGGAGTTCATCATCGAGGGGGAACGGAGCGAGTCTATCATCCGCGTAGCAGGGTACCGTCCGCGGTCGCCAGCATGCGGGACCTCTATCGTGACCATCGCGGTAGTGGGCTTGTTCTGCCGTCGGGTTGTGCTTGCAAACTCCGCCCGAATGCTGATGGTAGGTACGACGACCTTTGGCTGGCTCTCGCCGACAAATGAGCGGGACGAGCTAGTGATTTGCGCCAAGTCGACCGGATCGTCACCATACGGATCAGAAGGTGATGAGGGGGATTGATAGGAGCTGAGGGAGGGGTATGAGGGGATTGCGCGAAGAGGTGGAGTAGAGGTAGCGCCCATGAGCATGTCGAGTTCTGGGATTAGCTAGAGCTTGGCTGCGGACTCACTCTTTCCCTTGCTCCGCTTGCGCTCGCCTCCGCCATCTACTATCCTCATCTTCTGCCTGCAGACCCCGCAAAGTCCTATATTCCGCTTTGACCCATACGTCGGGACCTCGCCATAGACGGTAACAAAGCATTCCTGCTAGTCAGCTACAGCTTTGCGCTAGAGTGCAAGGTCTAGCTCACCTCGTGAAGGGCATGTCCACACTCGGGCACTACGTGCGGCTTCTCCCCCGGCAGCCTGTAGCTGAAGCTCAGCGACTCGACGCAGATGGGACACTTCTCCTCATCATCATCGTCCCCCTCTCCCACCATCGTCACCTGATGGGCTGGTGCGTAGTGCATTCTGGCGACTTCCGAAAACTTGGGCTGGGAGCGAGAGGATGAGAGATGAGGTGAGGTCGGTCTGGCGTAGGTGGAGATGGGGTTGTTGGAGGCAGGTGGAGAGGGAGCGCGATGGATGGCCGCCGCGAAAGGATGTACCGACTTGTTTGATCTCCCCGAGTTGACGGAGGAGACTGTACCCGTACGGCCGTGGGTCCTTTGAGCCGGCGGGTTGTTGTTCAGCGTTGACTGAGATGGGCGATTGACGGTTGGTTTCCGCTCGACCTCGAGGGATGAGCCTTCCTCAAAGACGGTAGAGATGTCGGGGTGCTCGGTGACCCGATAGTGTCGCTGATCCCGTAGTGAATCTGTGTCCGACGAGTAGAGGGACGAGGCTGACGAGCCCGAGAAGGCGGTGAACTTGCTCAGGCGCCGACTACCGCCTGTTGACGAGTAGGTAGGGGTCTCGACGGGAAGGGTCGAGGTTGAGGCAGTGATCGATGATGAAGGGAGGGAGGGTATCTTCTGGTGTGTGAAGGCAGGGGGAGGGCGATGGGTATGGTCTGGAGATTCTGGGGTGGTCAGATCTAGCACTGCGAAGGGATGCGGTGATGCATGACGTACCGTGCTTTGTGGTATGAGCTACCCAACGACCAGTATCGTCTTGCGACATTGATTCTTTCGTACCTCGGTGCGGTGACTGTGAGGGCGAGGGCGAGGTGGAAGCTGACGATGAAGTGGACAAAAGGGCGCCGGCGCTGATGGGTAGAGAGGGGAGGAGGGATGGGCAGCCGGGCGAAGGGGTAGCTTCTCTGGGCGGTGGGGCCGGAAAGGACGCAAAGGGACTCCCTTTGGTTGTCGTTGTCGCTGACGCTGACGGGGACAGCTTTGTGTGTTCCTGATCGCACGGCGTAGAGAGGATGTCCGAAAAGGAAGATTCGACGGGGGAAGGGGTTGTAGGTGTGTGCTCTGGGATGGGCGACTGCTTTTGTTGTGTGTGATGGATAGGTCGATGGTGATAAAAGACTGGATCTATGGGTGAATCGTCTGGTCGACTAAGAGACCCTAGCGTCCCAGCTGAAACATCAACTTGTGATTCAGGCACAATGACGCTATTACGAGCCGCCGTCCGTGTCGCAGTGGCGGCAGTGGCGGTCGTCGCGGTCGTCAAGTCCGCACCGAGTACCGAGGTGATGGTAGTACAGGTATGGTCTGTGCCCGTCCATACGCCCGATAGACCAGAGACGACTCGGTCTCTTGAGTGGCGAGCGACAAGTGAATTGTGATTGACTAGGTGAAGGGACGAGAGCGAATCCGGACGGCTCGACGGAGAGTTTGGCCCGGATGGATATAATCGACGTCCGCGTGTGTGAGTGTGTGTAATGATGATGCTCCCGCTTCCGCTATCCCCAGAGCCCGAGCTCACGCTATTCCGCCTCTGCATCCCCTTCTGCCTCCACTCCCCCACGTCCCATCCGGCATCCCGTCCCCGAGGAATGTCGATCCCCGACCGCCGCCGTCCGCTCGTCGCTCCCACAGACGTCGCCCGCCTGGCCGCACGATACGACTCGACCGCCTCCATCACGTCAGGCGCAGACGTCCGCTTCTTGACGATAGTAGAAGTGCGGATCCCAGCGCGTGGCGTGGCCTCTGGATCTATATCCTCCGACTGGTGGTCTGCAAAGGCAGAGTGAGTGGGCGAGGGGATATCGATAAAGCTGAAACCGAGCTCTATGGGGGTATCGGGGTCGCGCGAGGTGTAGAAGGTGATGGGTGAAGGAGTAGAAGGGTACGAAGAGCTACTGGAGAGCGCGCCAGAGATGTCGGTGGTCGTTCCCGAGGAATAGCGGCTCGACCTGGATCTGCAGGAATAAGCTTGACCCGAAGAAGTCCTTCATTAAAAAGCCCTGAGCACAGACTCACGCCGATGCTGATCCTGACTCTGCCTCTTGCTCGTGCTCATCCTCATGCTGACCCTCATCCTCATCAAGCTCGAGCTCAAACGATACCTCGATACCCTCAGGGATAGGGTCCGAGATTGCAAACTCGGGGGTAAGCGATCGTCGAGGGGGTGACAGACACAGCGCTTCCTCTTCCTCTGCCGAGAGCGAGCGGGAGGGGGCAGGGGAAGGCGAGTGCGTCGACATGCTTGGGGTCGGGTGGCGCGTATGCGGGGATAGAGCCTAGGGAATGGTATGTTTCAGTCTGAAACGTCCTTATGTCAATGGTACAACCACAAGGCAAAGGACAGATGAGCGCATTCCCTTTTCCCGCTGCCCGAAATCCTTCAGTCAGCCGCTGGACGCTGGACACGGGCGACTCGGCTACCCGTTTACATGCTGTTCGAGGGCCGCAGGAAGGCGCTGCAGTGGGAATAGGAAGGTTGGCCGGGAGAGGCTCGTGCGAGGATGAGAACAAAAAGGCTCTCGACGATCGAATTCAGTTCAAGGGTTCGGAGATTTATCGGATCCCGGAAGCGGTAGAAAGGTCCGGGCCCGAACCGAGGGTTGTCACGCCGTTCCCGAAGATTCCAATCCGAGCGGGTACCTGAGCTTGCATGTGGCGAAAGCATGTGCGATCCAATATTGTGGTAGCTCGGCGCAGCAGAAGTCAGATGAGGCTGTATAGAAGAAGTGATAAGACGGAGACGGTGGCAAGATGGAAGGAAATGGAATCTTTCTTGGTGCATCTCGTATCATTGCTTCATGTGGCTCTTCTCCAGCCCAGCAAGCTGCGCAGCATCCCTCTAATCACCCAATAAGCTGACCAGGCGGACGTGCAAGCCCATTTCGATTTCATCCCAACAAAACGCGCCTCTATCAAAAGCCACGTCTCGATGTAATCTACTCTACCTATTTCCGCTACTCTACCTCCCAACTGCCCCGCTTACGCGCCCTGCTCCTTCAACGCCTTCTCGTGCTTGGCCTTGACGTCCTCGATACCACCAACCATGTAGAATGACGATTCCGAGATGTGGTCGTGCTTGCCGGCAAGGATCTCCTCGAACGCATCGACGGTCTCCTTCAGGGGTACGAGACGGCCCTCGATACCGGTGAAGACCTGAGCGACGGCGAAGGGTTGAGACATGAATCGCTGAATGTAAGCTGAGCTCGTAGATATCGAGGCGGAAAGCTTACCTGGATCTTACGGGCACGCTCGACAGTGAGCTTGTCCTCCTCAGACAACTCGTCCATACCCACTGTTATCGTCAGCTTGTTCCGAGCGACCACTGAATCAACCAGGACTCACAAATGGCAATGATATCCTGGAGCGACTTGTACGACTGCAAGATCTGCTGAGTCTTGGTGGCAATGTCGTAGTGGCGCTGACCGACGATACGGGGGTCGAGCATCCGGGACTTGGAGTCCAGAGGGTCGACGGCGGGGTAGATACCGAGCTCGGCGATACCACGCGACAAGACGGTGGTGGCGTCCAAGTGGGCGAAGGTGGTGGCCGGGGCCGGGTCGGTCAAATCATCGGCGGGCACGTAGACGGCCTGCACCGAAGTGATGGAGCCCTTCTTGGTGGTGGTAATACGCTCCTGCATCTGCCCCATGTCGGTGGAGAGAGTGGGCTGGTATCCGACGGCGGACGGGATACGACCGAGCAGGGCCGACACCTCGGAACCGGCCTGGGTGAATCGGAAAATGTTGTCAATGAAGAGCAACACATCCTGACCCTCCTCGTCACGGAAGTACTCGGCGATCGTGAGACCGGTAAGGGCGACACGAGCACGGGCCCCTGGGGGCTCGTTCATCTGACCGAAGACTGAGGATCAGCACAGTCTAGGTGTGGCCAAAAACGCAAAACTTACCCAAGGCGACCTTGGAGTCACCCTCGAGGTTGATGACACCCGTCTCCCTCATCTCGTGGTACAAGTCGTTACCCTCACGCGTCCGCTCTCCGACACCGGTGAAGACCGAGTAACCACCGTGCGCCTTGGCGATGTTGTTGATGAGCTCCTGGATCAACACGGTCTTGCCGACACCGGCACCGCCGAAGAGTCCGATCTTTCCACCACGGGCGTAGGGGGCGAGGAGGTCGACGACCTTGATACCGGTCTCGAGGACTTCGGCCTGGGTGGACTGGTCGACGAAAGGTGGGGGGTCGTTGTGGATAGGGAGGAGCTTGGAGCCCTTGATCTCGCCACGCTGGTCGATGGGCTGACCAATGACGTTCATGATACGGCTGAAGGGTCAACTTGATTCTGAGAGGATGGGTGGAAGACATACCCGAGGGTAGCGGGTCCGACGGGAACCATGATGGGCGCGCCAGTGTCAATGACACCCTGACCACGGATAAGACCAGCGGTAGCGTCCATGGCGATACACCGGACGGTGTTCTCACCCAAGTGCTGAGCAACCTCGAGCACCAGACGGCCACCCTCCGGCTTCTCCTGGCCCTCGGCGAACTGGACGTCAAGGGCGTTGAGAATTGGGGGAAGGTTCTCGCCGTCAAAGTGAACATCGACGACGGCACCAATGACGGTCTTGATGGAGCCGGTAAGGTTCTTGGCGGGGGTGGCGTATGAGCGAACGGGAGCGACTGAAGGTCAGCTTGTCCCCACATTGAATAGTATAGGTGCCTTCCCGCTCCCAATCCATACACGTTCATCGTTCCTCTAATTCCCCGATCTTTCCCGAATTTCACTCTCCATCCATACCGCCCGATCCTTCTCTTATTCCCTCTCCACTGATCCCCTCTTCCCTATCTCTGATCCCCTCAACACTTACCGTTCTTGCTCATGGGAGCCATCCTGGATCCGCTAGCCTTCGAGCCGCCAACCAAAGCCGGCGCGGCCTGGGCGGCGGTGGTGAAGAAGGCAGCGTTGGCGCGGGCGTTCCTGAACGCCTTTCCGCCCTGCCTTGAGAGACGCGATGCACCGCGAGTGACAAGAGTCATTTTTGTATGTGTATGTGAGGGTAAGAGGGGGAGGAGGGGAGGGAGGTATAGGAGATATTAGGAAGGGGAGGAAAACGGCTCGCTCTGCTGGGTGGGCGGAGCGAGACGGAACGGCAAGCTTCAGGGCTACCCCGGCGTTTTGGAAGGATATCGCCGAAGTGTGGCACTTTTGCCGCGGCCGATTTCAGTCACAGCTGTCGCCAGCCAAGTCACCTCATATAGTGTGCATACGACGAGTAGCTTTTACTACAGCAACCATGAACACACTCAGGCAAGCCGTAGCTGGCCCTTCCAGGCGCTTCCATTCCCTCACCCTCTCCGACCCAATCGCAACCACCTCACAGCTCCCACCCGTCATCGAGCGTTACATCCAGCGACAGCGCATCTCAGACCCCTCCGCCTCCTCCCTCCCCAACCCATTCTCCATCCATCGCTCGGTCGCTTCAGGCGCCGTACAGCCTCGCTCCATATCCCGTCGGCGGGAAAAGCAGCTCCGATTCTGGTTCGCTCCCGAATCACTGCCTCCAGCCCCCTCGGCGACATCCACGCCGTTCTCGCATACCCTGTCCGACGGGACGGAAGCGAGCCTCGCTTGGCAGGCGGATCAACAGATAAAGGCGAAGAAGACGCTGTATGAGGGTCGGAAGGTGCAGTTCAAGGGGCACAAGCATGAGCGGGATAGGCCGGAGAGGCAGCGGGAGACGGAGGAGCGATTGGCCGGGATGGAGAAGCGGATAGCTGAATGGAAACGGGTGAGCTCTGCCGCCCCGAAATGTGTAGTACCTAAGCTGATCCCTGCAGAACAAGGCGGAAGCGAAGCAGAGTACAAAACCAGCATTACCGTTCTGATATGTACATGTGGTTTCTGGATAGCCCCACCGTCTCCTCGTTCCGTTTGCGTCTCCGCGCGCACCCCCGCCTCTGTCTCTCGCGCGCCTCACTCGCTCTGCGGCGGGGCTGCTTTGACCCCTCCCGCTGATCCCGCTGATTCCCCCTCATGCGTCAGACCTGCCCGCCCAGCTCTGACGTCCTTGACCGCCTGCCGAATACTGGTCGGATCAGGAGGAGGGAACCGCGACCGATAAAAGTGCGCCACAGGCTTCTCGTCGGGGTACATGACACCCATGAGCTTCATCTTGCCGTTTCCCCACACATCAATCATGATGACCGCCACCACCTCTCCTGCTGCCCCCGGAGCATTCAATGTGCCCAGCCTCCCCTCCTCCTCTTCTTCATCCTCCATGATCTTCCCCAACACGTCCGGCACTCGCGTATACACCTGCACACACGCTGCAGGGATGTACTGCTCCTTCTTGAGCGACTTTCTGAACCGCTGACCGACAACCAACGCCCCTACCGCCGTGTCCTTCTCGCCGAGACGCTCGGCCACTCGGCGGAGCATCACCCCCAGCTGAGCTTGGTCCGGCTCGAACGGCTTCCCGAGCGCCTGCTTCACTCCCCTCCATACAAGGTTCACCACCGTCTCCGCCATCATCGACTCCCTGCCCCTCTTCAGCCCGATCCGGACCAACTCCCACGGTCCTCCCGAGCCCGACAGCGTACTATCCTCTGCCACCCCGTAGTACTTTTCAAAATGAAACATCCTCCAATCGTCCCATCGCTCCTCTACTCCGCCCGCCCTCGGCCCAAACCTCCACGCGACATTCTCCAACCGCCCCTCCTCCTTCCCCAGCAAGAAATGCAGCATCGCCTCCGCCGCCCACCTCGGCTCTTCTCCAGGTGCCGACCAAGGCCACACGATCAGCCTCACGGTGCACCGCTCGCCGATCCCAGGCCAGGTGTTCTTCTCGGTCATGTACTGGATGCGCCACTTGCGTTCGTTGGAGCCGGTGAGACGGGCAGAGATGGCGTCGAACGCGAGGTGGACTTGGAGTGGCACGGGAGGGCGCTGGATCGAGCGGACGTAGATTGTCAGAAGGGATGCGGTGAGGAAGGTGGGTGGATGCATGGGGCGGAGAGTGTGGGAGGGGGCTTGACAATCGGGAGGAGGGAAGATGGGAGTGGTGGGCGGCGAGCTTGCGAGGCTGGAAGCCTTCTGGGTCGGCTGGCTGGGCCCGTTCTGGGCCGTTTGATCAGGGAGAGGGGAGCCTTCGTTCGACATATTCAATTGCTCCAGTGCAGGCGCTAATGCTGACATGACCGTATGTATATGTTGACGAGCAGATCACGGAATCCGTCAAGGAGCGCGCTACTGACGAGGCCTTCGCTCTGGCAAGCTGACACCCAAGCGCGGAGGCGGGTCTAAAAGGATCGCTCAAGAAAGGATGTGTCTTGTACACACGTGCAGCTGACCGCTGGACCTCCATACATGTGCGGACGACCGCTTAACTGACTCGGCGTCCTCTTGTGCAGCCTGCTGACACTGACCAGGAAAGCCTCCATTTATGCTATGCATCGGCTGACATCATATATACATGAACGACGGAGCACAATCGCACGGGATGTCAATGATCCATCAAGGTCCTACCCTGCCTCGTTGTCTGAAGACTACATCCCGCCTCCTAGATCTCCCGCCTCGTCCACACCAACCACCAAGCGCTCCACCCTGCCCAAGGATCTCTCCGTCGCATCGCCCTCCAGCTCGGGTGGCGGATACTTGCTCCGGTAAATACGGACGATCGGCTCCTCTCCCGCATACATCACAGTCATCGTGCGTATTCCTCCGCGACTCGTACGATCCACGATGATTGTCGCATGAACGACTCCGTTTCCCTCTCGCATCCCATCGCGGCTTCCCTCTCCGCCACTGTTAACAACCGCCGGATCCGCTTGCTTTTCCTCGACGCATAGCACTTGCACAGGCACCGAAGGCATCCAAACATGTCTCGACCTCCTCAGTCGCTTCATGACAGCGACCCGCCGAATTTCCTTTCCTTCGTGCTGAAGTTTGGTCAGGACCCTCTTCAGCCTATCCTCCAGCTCCTCCATCCGCTCGCTCGACAACTTCACCCCAAGCCCCTCCTCCACGCCGACAGCGATAGTACGAACAGTCCCAGGCTCAGTGACCACACTCCAATCCCTCATCGTCTGACTGTTCAGCTCGTCATCCGCGCCATTCGCAGCCTTGTATCGATCCTCGCTATACCGCCTCCAATCGTCCCATGCATTGTCCGCTGTCCTTGATCCCGGTCCAAAGCGCCAGAAAACACTCTCTACCATCCCCTCATCCCCGAGTTTCAGGTGAACCATGATTTCCCCTGCCCATTGTGCTTCTTCACCTCCGTCTACGGGGGGACTCACCCAAGCAATCAGCCGAACAGTACGGCGCGGACCAAGAGAAGGCCAATCCTGTACCCCATCTTTGTACTCGATCCGCCATTGCCGGTCAGTGGTACCCGGGAGGTGAAGGCACATTGTGGTAGCGGCCAGGTAGACATGAGGAGGGATTGGCGGAGGGCGGATGGCGCGGGCCCAAACTTCGAGGATGTACAGGGTCAGGTCGTCTGGTAAAGGGGTCCTTGGGGGTGTACGGGGGAGCGGAACGAGAGAGTGGGGCTCAGGGGAGGAAGTTTCGACTGGATGGGCTGGTATAGGGGCGGGGGAGGCGATTTCCTCGGGTGACTGATCTGGGGCGGATGTAGCGGGAAGACTGAACGACCCGGTGTTGGTCTGCGTGAGTGGTTGATAGACATGCGGAGGCATGATGGGATCAGGCTTGTCAGATAGTGGGACTGTAAGGGATCACGAGGAGGATGGGGTATACCCTTGTGAATTCGGAGGGATTGATTCTTCGACGCTCAGAGTTCGGTTAATGCTAGATATGCTGCAGCTCAGTAATACGTATGCGGCAGCGGCACCTGCTCGAAGAATCGAACAACGAGGTACAGAAGGAACCAGGGCCTGCTGTAGTCCATAGACCGTTATGACCGTATATAGCCATGTGGATGGAAGGGATCACTACTGAAAGGAACCCTTCCTGGTGTCGGAGACACGGAGATTGCTGCCACACTAGGCACTGAGGCGCCTCCTGGGGCCCTTGCACCGAGAAACATACCTGGCTGTCACCTCCCCCGTCTCCTATATTGCAGGGTGGAGCTGGGAGTCGACAGGCGCTCACTGACCAGGCGATCCCTATCTATGACGGTAAGGCACGTTCATCGCATTACATAGTAGAGTACGAGCTGAGTCTCTCGCTGCCCGCCGCCACACCGACAGCTGGCTGAATCGCCACCCAAATCGATATCCGTGCGTATCCTCCGGTTTCTTCCGCTCTCGGCCAAAGTGGTAGGCCCAAATAGAAAGTCGAGTTGTACGTGACTTTGCAGGCTGCTCCGATTCGACAAGCTGCTACAGCGGAACTGGCATACATACATCTCCCTCCCATACCTACCCTTCCCATACAATCAAAATGCCCGTCCTCGGTGGTCCTCTCGGTCTCTCGTGCGTCACTTCATCTGCATAGGCGAAATCCGCTCGATCTCAGCGAGAGCGGACATGCCGATCTGGATCTTAGAGCTAATTCTTCTAGTCTTGCCCCGGCGCTCAAGGCGCGGTTTGGCGGCATGTACAAGTCGCTCAAGCCGCTCGCGAATGCCTATGCGCACATTACGGGATACAGGCAGCACGGGCTGCGGTATGATGATTTGATTATTGAGGAGAGGGAGGATGTGCAGAAGGTGCGTTTTGCCGGGGTATTTGAAGTAGGATCAGACAGCCGGGAAGAAGGGATGCGACGTGGAACAGGCGGAGATGGTGGAGCCGGCGGGCATGAGGTGTGTGGGAGCTGACATGACAGGCTCTGACCCGTCTGCCCCAGCGAGAATCGTACGACCGTGTATTCCGGATGAAGCAGGCGTTCCAGCAGTCGGTGCTGCACCGTGAATTGCCAAAAGACCAGTGGCTCAAGCCCGAGGACGTGAGTTGCTGCTTCTTTCCGTCTGCGGCTCTAGTTCCTGCGAGGCGGAGATGTACAAAACACACCCGGCGGGATGACTACCGACGTGCCGCATTTCATGTTGGTATTATGGCTAATCTTGCAGGACACACGATACCTCGCCCCTATCATCGAGCAGGTCGCGAAGGAGGACAGCGAGCGGGCCGAATGGGACTCGCTTGTCGTCGAGAAGAAGAAGTAGAGGGCGGAGTTGTGCGTTGCGTGGGATATTGGGGCTCAGGCGGAGATGTTGGATGTCGGATCTGGGAGGCCGGGCGATGGAGGGTCAGGGAGATGGCAGCGGAGAGTTTGGGAGATGGAGACTTGGAGAGAGAGGGATCGCTGGCAAACAAGAGGGATCACTCCTTGACCCATGCATCCTGCTAGTTTCTGATACGTTAACCAGGTGCCGCACCACCTAATCTCAGACCCCTGGCTTCTTCCTCATCTTCCCCTCGGGCCGATATTGGCGGTTCGGCCTTGTAGATGACTCGTTGGGCAAGGACGGCGCAGTCCCAGCATACCGTGAGGATCGCGGTGACCTTGAACTGAAGGGGTGCATTGCGGATGAAGAAGTAGACAGTCCTGTTTGTCAGCTTCAGCAAACCTGCAAGAAACGTAGGTAGGAGGAAGTGAGGAAGCCGAGACTTACTTGAAGCTGTCCCCAAATACCCAACCGGCGAGGGTGGATGATCGGAAACCATAGCATGTTTTCCGCTTATAGTTGGCAATGAATTGCGGGATCGGCAACGTGGACTCGATGAACAGCGCTATGAAGCCCAGCCTGTAGGCGATCAGCTGACTGTATCTCCAAAGGCCATGAGCTCGGAAGGGCCCATCAGCTCACGCATCGATATACCACTTCCACCGCCCAAACACGACCTGCGACACCCCCAGAACCACAATCAACCCCGCCAAAAACTCCAAATACTGGCCTAGCGCAGCCCACTGCCAGAACCCGAATGGGCGTGAGGTGAACATCTCGGTAAACCGGGATTTGCGCGATCGGGGGAGGTTGCCTATACGTGCATGGCCGGACGGGCTGGAGGGGCGATGATGTGAGGGGTAGTCGGGAGAGGAGGATGAATCTGGGGCGTCGAGCATGGGGGAGAGAGGAGCGTAGTCTGCAGTAGGGGAGGTGGGGGAGGGACGGTAGTGCAGGCAGATGGAGAGGAGGAGGAGCTGTGAGACGATTAGGAGGATGGACTGAACGAGGAGGGCTGTAGTTTCAGTGCGGCTCAGTCATGTAGTAGAACGATTCCGGCTCTCAGACGACGGACTTCGTCAGGATCATGAATGAAGGCAGGAGAAGGAGCTTACGGGTTTCAAAGCGATTGCCGAGCCAGAAGAAGATCCGGATGATATTGGCGATGAGCAGTACGCCACAGACGTCTATCAGTACAGTCAGTATATAGCCATCAATAAGGCTGGCTGATGCCTCGCTTTCCGCTGTAATTAAGTGGTTGGCGACGTACCATGCGAGAATCCTGAGGAGTCCCTGGTACATCAGCATTTCGCTCTTTATCTATCTCCATGTGCTTCGGGGCTGCACCGCCACGCCAGTGGGAGACAGACACACTTCTTCCGGATGATACTGACGGCCTGGTCCACATAGACTAGCGGAGGTCTGCACTTGTCAGCTACGAGGCCCGCCTCGCCCGAGATTTCGAGATGAGCGAGAAGGGGAAAGGGAGAGAAGGACTGACCCGACCGCCATTCCCACCCCCGCTATTGTCGAGATCACATCGCCTGCAGAAGGCATATCGCCCAATCAGACCGTGTTGAGCTTCTCTGGGCTGCTCTGCGCTTCGTGAGTGAAGGATGAGGTACAAGAGGCTGAAAGTTGGCAGCTTCGCGTCTCTCTTTGGGCGCCTGGGTGGTGCGGGGCCCCACATTGACGTTTCACCTTGTGACCGTCGATCTCGCTGAAGAAGTTCCACCTCCCGCTCATATATCGCCTCTCTGACTGCTCTACCTATCTCAGGACAACGCGAACAAGCTTAACAAGTACTTTGCGCGTGGATACAGAAACGGAAAGGGCCACGAACGGACAGAAAATGGCATCGCAGGTCCCGCCGTCGAAACGGCCCTTGGCCGCCGAGGATCGTCCAGCTCCGCCGACGAGGGCGAGCGAGAAGCCCGAAGACTACAAGAACACTTTCAGAGTAGGTCGACATCTGCGAAGCTATCAGTGGCTTCTGCCACTTGGTGAATGTTCACGCTGACTCGCTTTAGGGACGGGCAACGACAACGAAAGTGAGCTTCACACCGGTTTCATATGGACCAGCAGGAGCCTATGCCTAAAGTACACAGGCTGATGGGTCCTAGTACGCAGATCCATGTGAAGCAGCAAGTAAGGCATCACTAGAGTGTCTGGAACGGACACATTATAATCGGGAAGAGGTGAGCTCTGTCGTCCCGTCCAGATCGGGTACATCACCCTGATTGTGGATATTGAGCTGATAGCGCCTAGTGTATGGACTTCTTTCGGGCGTATAGGGAATGTAAGGGGAAATGGGTAAGCCATGTGTTCCTCTTGACACATGAGATGATGCGGCGAGGAGCGGGTGCAGCGGGCTGACTCAGCTAGATCGAGCAGAGGAGAGAGGACAAGCGGCTAGGGAGAGATTCAGTTTGAGCCTGCCGGTGTGAACGCAGGGAGAGCGGCGGACTATGGACAGCTCGGCTGAGCAGAAGGAGAAGGGGAAGAGGGGAGGGACGGGATGAGGATATGTAGGGGAAGGTTCCAGGAAACGCAAGCGGCCGATCTGTATGTACCACGTAAATACAACATGCATCCCATACTCTATCCCTACACAAGCGTCTCATAAAACCCGGCGCCGAGTAATAGCGATGTTCTCGCTAGATAGCCTTATTCCAGCTTCTCGAGGTAGTCTAACCTATCGAGAACGACTTGCTTGCTCGTCTCTTCTATTTCGCCCGCAAGGAAGATTTCGTCTAGTATTGCGTAGACCTGATGGATCAGCTGAAGTCTGGCAGTCCCGCCTGTCTTGTCTTCGTTCGTGGACGTCCACAGCCCCACATCGCGAAAGAGTAAGGGGTAACGAAGCTGACAGGGGAAGGAGTAGAGGGAGGAACTCCGACGACATAGGAAGCAAGAGAGGGGAACGCTTGCAGGGCACATACCTTGTAGAAGGAGAAGACGAGATCCAATTCACAGACGTTCTGGAAGAATGCATCTGGCAGTATCAGCATCTTTACATATGTGGTTTCCGTACCAGCTCGACACCCCAAAGGGAAGAGGACAGCGGTTGCGAAGACTCACCAAGGACCTCCACGAAGAGATGTATAGCTTCGAGGTATGCCAGCTCATTATCGTTCGAATCGACGCAGCAGCAGAAGAAGAGACCGGCATATCGGCGGTAGACGATCTTGTCGCTCCGGAACTAGTACCGTCAGCTATGTCCTAGACTCTACCCCATGGGCAAGGGTCGAACGAGACCGCTCAGTCGAGCAGCGCGAGGTGCAATTGTTTCAGCTCACCTCGACAAAGTTGGACTGATATTTCTGATCTCGAGGCGCGATCAGGCGATGCACCTCGCCGCGTAATCTGACCTTCTCGTCGTCGTCATAGGGTGTGTACCATTTGGATAGCCGGGTCTTGCCTTGTCGATTCTGCGGTGTGAGCTTTGACCCAGAAGTCCAAGGGAGACTGGAGCTCACTTGGACGAGGATGAATTTGATCATGGTGATTTTTGGCGCTTGATCGCGCTCCCAGTATTCCCGCTTGGGTCCTATTGATGATCTCAGCTGCTTGGAGCTTGACCTGGTGTACACGAGTGATATGGGCAATGGAACGTCGCCCAAGCTGTCCTCGTCGCCGTCATGTCCTTCGTCAACACGTCGGACTTCGCCGAATACACCTCCACTTCTGCCTTTGTGCCCGTTAGATGCCCCATCCAGTCTCTCGCCTTTGCATCTGACCATACAACCCCCTGAGAGGTACTGACGGCCGTCATGTCGGCCTACACTCCCCTTCCAGGCCCATCCAGCCCGCCGCGTCACATCGATACCCACGCAATTAGGCTGGACGACTCCCCTCCCCGTCCCCCACGCCGGTCGCTCGAATCGGACTCGGACGAATCGGACATCATCTATCGGGACGCGCTGGACGTGGAGCCTTTCGATGAGAAGGATAGACGGTTCAAGGATGAGGGCATGATGGAGAGCGGGACGGGAGAGGATGGGGATGGTGAGGGGCAGGGTTATGTGACCGAGCCAAGAAGGGTGAGTCTGGTTTGGGCGCCGGTGAAGGGGAGGATCTAAGCTGAGACCGCAAGCTACGGCCACGGAAGAGGTCAAAGAGGGTTCTGGCTGCCCTGATCGGTATACTGGTGCTTGCCGGTCTCATTGGAGCGTTTGCGGGCACCGTGTACTCGGTGCCGACGCATCTGGTCAAGTCTGGGACGAAGCACATTACAATGGACCACATCTTTAATGGAACATTTGAGGTCACCACCAAGACTCTGAACTGGGTCAAGGAGGGTAAGTCAATCCTGATCTGCTCTACTTCTCTGCCATCCTGATTGTCCAGCACCGGATGGCACCTTCTCCCGCCTATCCGACGAGCGCAACATCATCCTCTCCACCGTGTCCAACATGACTCACTCCTCCCTCCTCGTCAACTCCTCCCACGTCCTCGACGCTCAAGGCCACCAGCTCGACTGGCAAACCTGGCGTCTCTCCCCCGATGGCAAATACGTCCTGTTCCGCTCCAACTCGGTCCAGCAATGGCGTCACTCGACGCGCGGCAACTACTGGATCCACCGACTCTCCGACGCGTCCACCTTCCCCATCACCGCTCCGTCCGAACCACCACAGATCGCGTTTGCTTCGTGGTCGCCGGTCGGGCACGCTTTGGCCTTCGTGCAGTCCAACGACCTGTACATCATCCCAGAGAAGGAGATGAGTGGAAAGGAACCGCGCGCGGTAAGAGTCACGACGGACGGGAGCGAGACGGTCTTTAACGGCGTTCCCGACTGGGTGTACGAGGAGGAAGTGTACGGGACAGACTCGGTCTTGTGGTGGTCCCCCGATGGCCAGACGGTCGCTTACCTCCGAAGCGACGAGACGGAGGTCAAGAATTATAGGCTGCAGTACTATAATCCAACCGGAGATGCCTTCAGCGTTCATCAGTACCCTACGGAGCTCGACATGAAGTGAGTGTCTTGGCATCTTCCAACATGTCGGACCGCGGAGCTGATTCCCAGATACCCCAAGCCTGGCACGCCGAACCCACTTGTATCAGTCCACACCTTCTCCCTCGCCACCTATGCCGAGACAGGCTCCCTTCCTCGTGCGAAACAAGAGCTCTCTTGGGACGCCGCCCTTCCACTAGCAGACCGCATCATCGCCGAAGTCGCATGGGTAGGAGGCGACGCGCTGCTCGTCAAGGAGACAGACAGGGCAGCCAGGAGGGGTAGCGTGGTGGTCTTCCAGGGATCGGAGAAGGGGAAGGTGGTGCGGAAGCTGGGATCCGAAGGTGAAGAAGGAGACGATGGCTGGATCGATGCGGTATGTCCTCCTTTCTGTTCGCATAGATCGTGGCTAATGGAGACAGGGACAAAATGTCAGGCCGATACATAGTGGGATCTCGGGATACCTCGACATTGTACCCAAAGATGGGTATAACGCGCTAGCATTCTTCAGCCCTGTTAACGCGACCAAGCCAATATGGATCGACATGGGGGACAAGGGGGAGGTCGCGCAGATATCAGGTGTGGACGAGGATCAAGGCTTGATGTAATTTTGCTATCCTCTCACAGGCGAATGAGTAGTAAAGCTGACAATAAATAGTTATTTCGTCGCAGCTCAACCCTCGATCGATCGGCATCTCTTCTCCGTGGCCATCCCCCGCGCCGTGGACGGGATCGGCTATGACTCGTCCCGCACGGCTCTGACTGATGTTTCTGCTGGCGGGTACCATGAAGTTTCGTTCTCTCCCGGCGGACGATACTACGTTCTGCAGTACAAGGGCCCGGACGTGCCCTGGCAGAAGGTCATCGAGGCCGGCGAGAAAGGTATGCCCCTCCGTTGTGGTGATTGGCTGGTGCTGAGGAGTAGGTTCTGCGCAGCTATTGGAGGGGAACGAGAAGTTAAACCATACGCTTAGCGAGTATGCGAGACCAATCATCAGCCGAACTACGCTCGAGAGCGACGGACATAGTGAGCTAGTTTGGCCTGCTCATCTCCGCAGAATAATCGAGCTGACACGACAGCTCTGAACATGCTCGAAATGATGCCGTCCACCCTGGATACCAGCGGCCGGAAGAAGTACCCGGTACTGATCCGAGTGTGAGCTACTTCCTCTTTAGTGCTTCTCCAGCACAGCTGATCCTCAGGTATGGCGGCCCCGGCTCTCAGACCGTTTCCAATAAGTGGGAGCGCGATTGGCACACATACCTCGTCACCGAAAAGAAGTATATCGTCATCATGGTCGACGGGCGCGGGACTGGCTTTGCCGGACGCAAGTTGCGAAATCCGGTCAGGGACGATTTGGGGCATTGGGAGGTTGTGGATCAGATTGCGGCGGCTCGGGATGCGGCGAAGCGAGTTTATGTGGATACTTCCCGGATCGGAATCTGGGGATGGGTCAGTTACGATATCCTTCTGCTGGCCAGGTCGAGAAGATTCTGTAGCTGACAATGGCAGAGCTACGGTGGCTACATGACCTGCAAAACCCTCGAGGCCGACTCTGGCGTCATCTCCCTCGGAATGGCCGTCGCTCCTGTTACGAATTGGCTCTACTACGATTCCATCTATACCGAACGATACATGTCTGTCCCTGCTCTCAACGAACAGGGATACGTGCAGTCAGCAGTCAACAACGTCTCGGCGTTCGGCAAGGTCGACTTTATACTGGCGCATGGGAGCGGGGACGATAATGTTCATTATTTGAACTCGGCGAGTTTGGTGGATAAGTTTACGCAGGAACATGTGCGGGGATGGAGGTTTAGGATGTTTACGGATTCGTGAGTTGCTTCTGCCACGAGCACGAACGGGACGCTGAGCTGATACGCTAGGAACCACGGGATGAACAAACGCGAGGCGTTTAGAGAGGTGTATGAGTGGATGACGGACTTTTTGGATGAGAAATGGGGGCGAGGGGGAACGATCAAGCACTAGGCCTGCGAATTTGGAGCAGTCTCTATGCATCGAGGACGATTACTTTGGTCTCCGCTGGCTTTGCGTGTATCCACATGCTCTGTAGTTGAGTTCATCATATACAATTTCGCATCATCAAGATTCGTAGCTTCTTTACACCTGTCCTATATCGGCAACATGGGCGTCCGGCTCCTATCCATCGGTATAGCCTCATACTCGCCCGCCCCTGCCCCCGCTGCCGCCTGCGATCTCCTCCGTAGACTCAACCTCCGTAAGAGTGGCATAGTGCTAGACCGCCGCTGGATAGCCTCGCCGACGCCTGCGAATGAGCGGAAGGTAGTATGAGCTGCGTCGCGAGCAGAAGAGAAGAGGGAGGGGATACCGGCTGATAGGCCGCCGGGTGTGAAGGGGTCGCCTGGCATGATGGATGATTTGGGTCTGCGCCACCACTGACGAGTCAGCTTCGGTCTCCTCGGGAAAGAGAGGATTGCGGCTGAGCTTACCTTCAATGTCAGACTACTAGCCACTACACTGACACTCGAGAACGCCATCGCTGCCGCTGCCATCATGGGGTGCAGATGTATACCCCAAGGCAGAAGTACACCCATCGCCAGCGGTATCATGAGGATATTGTAGCAACATGCCCAGAGCAAGTTGATCCTGATCTGGCGGTATATCGTCCTCCCCAGATCCAGCGCCGCGACGACGTCCAGAAGGTCCGAGCGCATGAGCACCAGATCCGCCGCTTCGATCGCGACCGACGTGCCGGATGAGAGGGCAATACCGAGCGAGGCAGCGACGAGGGCGGGCGAGTCATTAATACCATCGCCAACCATGGCGACGCCACGCTCGCCGTCCCGTGCCATGAGGTCCCGGACGATCTTGGCTTTTCCGCGTGGGGAGACACCGGCGTAGACTTCGTCCTCGTCGATACCGACTTGCTGCGCTATGGCCCGAGCAGTAATCTCCGAATCGCCAGTGAGGAGGGAGACTTGGATACCCATCCGGAGAAGAGATTCAATGGCATGGGCAGACGAAGGTTTGGGCGCGTCCGCGAGTGCCAGGGCGAGGAGAGGAATGGCAGTACCGTTCCGTACGACCGAGGCGTAGACGACCGTTCGGCCCGCCTTCATCTGCGAGAGCTCGAAAGCTTTCAGAGAGGCCGAGGGAAAGGCCGGACCGAATGCCTCGGAGGATTTCTCGTCCGAACGAGAGACGTAGTCAAGTTTTCCGATCCGGACCCGTTCTTCTATTTTTGCGTTGGAGAGGCGAACAACCGCCTCGATGCCCTCGCCAGGGACCGACTCGAAGTCCGTGACTTCCCCGGTGGGAGCGGTGAAGCGGGACTGGATGAGGGTGTCCTTGCCATATGACGCGACAGCGATGGCGAGCGGGTGTTCCGAGCGGGATTCTGCCAAGGCGAGGAGGGAGAGTACCGTGTGACGCTGGAGCGGCGACGCAGCCGTTGATCGGGACAAAGTGGACACGTTATCCACCTCGAACGCCTCCTCGCGAGGCGGCAGATCCCCGACTGCCGCCCAGGACACAGCGACCACCTTCATCTTTCCCTCCGTTATCGTTCCCGTCTTGTCCAGCACCACCCGCCTAATCCCGCGACACGCCTCGAGCGCTTTCCCGCCCTTGATCAATATCCCATTCTGAGCGCCGACGCCTGTCCCGACCATTACCGCCGTAGGGGTGCTGAGACCCAGTGCACACGGGCACGCAACGACGACGACCGAGATGCACAGCTTTAAGCAGACGCCGAATTTCGATACGCCGGGAGAGTGGAAAACATCCGGAAGGTCCGAGAGGAGGTGTGATATGATCATCCAGGAGAAGAATGTAACGAGCGAGAGGGTGATGACGGCGGGGACAAAGACGCCCGCAACGCGGTCCGCAAATTGCTGGATAGGCGCCTTGCTGGTCTGGGCGTCCTCGACCAGCTTGACGATTTGAGAAAGGGCGGTATCGGCGCCAGCACGCGTGACGCGAAAGTTAATGGTTCCGAGGCCGTTCACCGTTCCGCCGATGACTTGCGAGTCAACGACTTTGGGTACCGACAGGGCCTCACCGGTCACCATCGACTCGTCCACGCTGGTAGAGCCGGTCAGGACAGTTCCGTCCGCTGGGATCCGCTCTCCAGGAACGACCAAGACGATGTCATTGACCTGTACGAGCTCCGTTGGGATCTTACGAGTAGCCGTGGATGTGTCCTGGGCGCCGTCCTTGGCAACGGGATCGACAAAAATGGTAGCCGAGCCGGGGGTGAGGGACATAAGATCGGTCAATGCCGCCGAGGTCTTCCCTTTGGCGAGATTCTCGATATATCGGCCCATCGAGACGAACGTGATGAGCATTGTAGATGTGTCGAAGAAGGTCTGTGGGCGGAAGTCGACGTCGGACGAGAACATGGCGAAAAGCATGCCGAGGACCGAGTAAGTGAAGGCGGCGGTCGTTCCGAGGACAACGAGGACATCCCTGCTGATCAGCGATGTTCCTCAGCCCACCCCTGATACTACTCACATTGTCGCAGCCTTGTGCTTGACCGCCTTCCACGCGTTGGCATAGAACCGTCTCGCCAAGAAACACTGCACCGGTATAGTCAATGCCAGACACGCCAAATCGCCCAAATAGATCCCCGTATACACCCGCCACATCGTCCAGCCCATCAGCCACATCGGCATGTACATCGCCAGCATGCTGATGACGAAGACTGGGATAGCGAAGGACGCCGACAGGATCATCATCCGGCGCCAGAGTGCCGTTTCTCGGTGCTTCTGCAGCGACGCGAGCTGGTCCGAGTTGTCGGATGAGGTGGGAAGGAAGGAGAGCTGAGGGAAGGCCTGGGCGAGGTCGTCGATGATACTCCGGAGTGAGGTGAGGGCTGGAGCATGCCGCAAGGAGAGGTGGGTATGGGGGAAAGGTAGAGTGGCGGCTTGTACGCCCGGGAGAGAGGTAATGGTCGATATGATGGAATCCACCAAGCCATCATCCGCGAGACTAAGAGATCAGCTTAAGATCAGCTGCCCATCAGAAAACCAACTGACCCGTATACACGTAGCTCAACATCCTGGATCTCGCTCACTTCCACCACTGTCGCCTCGAATCCAATGTCCTCCACCTCCTCCGCTATCCGCGCCTCATCCCATTTGACTCCCTTGGCGTCCTGCCAATCCGCGTCATATTCCACCACTCCTCGCTCAGCGAGCAGTGATATCTGGACCGAGGCTATACCGGGCTGCATGAGCTGGGATTCGATGGCTGCTACACATGCGCCGCACTATAATTAGCACAGCCCCTAGGCTCGGGCGCATTGGACCTACAGTCATTCCCCCTATCTTGAGCTCCACCCGCTTGATATCCTTATCCACCATACCGCTGCTTGACGACTCGCCAAGCTTGGCTTCTTCATCGAAGAAAACGCCTGTGGAGGGGGACGTTGGGGAAGTGAAGACCGCAGTGGCGGTTTGAAGGATGGACGCCAGGATGGAGCTGGAGTGACGGCGATGATGCCCCACTTGCCGGCCAGCGGTAGTGCGGATGGATAGCGTGGGTGAGGAGGGGGTGATGAGAGGTGAAGATGGGCCGGCCATCTTGTACAAGAAGAGACTTGGATGTAAAAAACGAAGGGGTGGCTGACTAATATCCCTATAGTTGAGGGCGGCCGGTGGCCCCGTTTTGACAAGTTCTTTCTGGCCGTTCCCGGGATTATCTCTCAGTAGCTCCCTCGACGTCGGTCTCGAGGCATAATAAGCACAAGAAAGTCAGATATAGATGCAAAGTGATGGTCGTCTAGGCGACAACAATAGCTGTTGGGTGGCCAAACGACCTTTACGGCACACAGCCAAACCTTATTCATCCCACCATGGCCGCAAAGGGGCCTTTGGGGGCCGTCACACCTCATCATGCAGGGCTTGGGTAACCGGTAAAGGCTGGTGTCTTGGGCAGGTGCAGATCTACATACTACAACTATGATATCTCTGTACAGACTAGCAATTGAACAGTAGCTACTCTCTTCGTCTACACTAATCCCCCTATCGTCCCCGGATGCAGCTCCGGCATCGACCACTTCCACTTCCCGCCCTCCTTCTTCTCCTTGTTCGCCTTGGCCTTGACCTTGACCGCCTTTCTTCCTGGCTGAATGACGCTGCCTTTAGCTTCACGTCCCTGCGCCTCCTGATCATCCCCCTCTTTCCCCCGCACCTCCGGCTGTGACGATCTTGGTTGGATCTTGCGAGGCATTGGCTCGGATCCGAAAGCGAGCGAGCCAAAGTACTTGGTCTTCGGCCCAGCGACCTTGGGGCTGTCTAGTAGCGACTGGCCAGCCGAGTGCTTGAGTATAGACGAGGGAGTGCGGAGAGGGGCTTTGGGGGTGATGTCCGCCTCAGGAGAGAGGAAGCCGTGCGTGGCAGTCGGGGTGGTGGGGTCGGCGACGATTGGCAATGGGATAGCAAGGAAGGTGGTGCTCGAGTTCGGCGTAAGGACTGAAGCTTCCTCGCTGATGGTATCGATGGAGTGGCTCTCGCTCAACCCCATGTCCGAGCCGAAGGCCGTCCCGACGCTGAGCTGGCTCGCTGCGCTGATCTGACGCCTGTGACCGACTTTGCTCTCGCCGCCTTCCTCCGCACCAACCCCCACAAATTTCACCAATCGCCCCTCCCTCGGAGGTGGACTGGCCCACGTCCACTCCTCTGCCTCATGAAGCGCCTCTTCCGCCTCATTCACCCCCGCACTGGCGATGAGGTTCCTCATCCTGTCCACGCGCTTCACCTCCGCGTACAGATCTGGTGCCAAACCAGTGCCCCGCCGCGATGTGCTCGGTACCGGCCGGATCCGGACGCATGCCTGGGGAGATAGCGGGGTCTGGTAGAGGGGGATGACGATCTCTTGGTCGGACCGGCGGCTCGTCCGATCGCGTGGCTCCGCAATATGTTCGATGGCGAGCGGAGAGGGTTTGGGGGAGGGGAAGAACTCAAAGTTCAGGATGGATGCCCGCCAGGGTGATGACGGGGAGTCAGAGCCAGAGAAGTCGATACCGGATGATCGAGCGCTTTTGGGCGTCCTGGGGGTACCCAGCGTACGAATGCGCTTGGAGGAGGGGGAGGAAGTCATAGCGGTTTGGGAGTGGCGCCAGGCGCGGAGATGGGGAGCGGAGGTGGTTCGACGAAGTACGAGATCACGCTCGACGAGGTCCAGGCCGGAGAAGGGGATTGCGCTGAAGTCGACCGGCGAGCCGAGGACCGGGGACAGGGGGATGGAAGCGATGGAGCTGGACCGGAAGTGCCTTGTGGGAACAGGCGAAAGAGGTAGCGCGGGAAGAGGAGGAGCGTCCGCCGGGGCGGAAGTAGCAATGGGGAAGGGATCCAAGACAGATTGAGCGCTGATCACGGAAGCGTTGGACGGCCGACGTGATGACGAGCAGGAAGGAGTGTGTGAGGAGGAAGGGCGGGAATGAGGGAATCCGGTAGAAGGCTTCAAGCTCGATATGCGAGCTGGTAAGCTGGGTCGCTTCCTGCTGCTGGTTCTGCCAGGGATGGAGGGTGGAGTGGACCGATCAGACCAGTCAGAGCGTTTTGACGAGCTCGAGGAGATGATGGACGAGCCGTCAGATGGGGTCGGACGGTGTGTGCCTAATATAGATCAGCTATTGCCTGTACGAAGTGCGCACCCGCTCTGCTCGCTCCTTCATCTAGCGTGGAGTGTGAGACGTAGCAAGATGAACGGTAGCATGATGAACGGGGAGCCAGTCATCAGGAGGAACAGGGGCAAGGGTCCAGATTTGAGACATTGAGAGTGGCTCCGTCGCGCCTTGAGACATGGACTCACGATAGGAAGCAGGGGCGACTGTGGCTTCTTCTCCCTTCAGACTGCTCGGCTTCTCCTCGTCTGGTGCGCCTGAGGGGAAGGAGATGTGGATGGTCCGGCCACTGTGCATCGATCCTCGTCTGCTCGGTGTGCTGAGGCCGAGCAGCGAGTCGCACGACGGGGTGATGCGGAGCGGACCATGCTTCGGCACGGGCGGGAGAGACCATTCGGACAAAGGTGGGAGAAGGGGTGAGTTGTCGGGTCGGACGTGTGCATCTTGGTCTGCGTTCGGCGAGTCGGCGAAGGGTGAGACAAAGGCGCTTTGAGTGGGTCGAGGTGTGAGCTAGATGATTAGCTGACGTTTCGCATGGGCAGAGACTCAGGTGCTACTCACCATCAAGACCCGGGTCAAGTCTCCCCGCGCTGTGTCCTCCCCATCCGCCATGAAGACATCATCTCTGTGAATCTTGCTGCTCCCGGCCAGATTCAGCCGAGGCGGTGGGCCGCGCTGACGCGACACTGAGAAGTGCTGGGGCGTGACGAGGACCGGCGAGGTAGGAGACGCGATCGACGCGCTGGACCCGCTCGAAACTGACGCTGTCCTCTTCGTTCTGATGCGCGGGGGTGTCCGACCGGCGGAGCCCATCTTGGTCTTGCGAAAGGAGACGAACGAGGTGGCGAGGAAGCTGTCACTGTCCATGGGGGCCTTGAAAATATGTGGGCGAGAATGCGCAGTACAATGTCCAATCGACCGATTACTCCTTCATGAGCGTCTATCCCAGTCAAATCTCCGCATACACTTCTAGCTCCTCTCGTCCCTAGGGCAGCATCCTGCAGCACATGCACCACTGCCTGCCTCCTGCTGCCTTCTCCCTAGATCCTGACTGCTTTAGACTCACCTTTTTAGACCTTTTCCCTGCGGAATCTCGGCTCACACGGACTCCGGCGCGACGTGACGGCAGCGCTCAGCGTGACCGTGCCTGAAAAGGTCCGGGGATCTCGAGAAGGTCGGACCCGCACGGCTATGTGGAAGCCGGGCGTCTATGCTTTAACCAAGTAAGAAGATGTGACCGAGAGAGAGGGAGAGGTGCAGTGGATGGCGGAGAAGTGGTTGAAGATGGAAACTGGGTGAGACAGGGGAAGTGGAAAAGTCGACAACGGACCCCATTCCTCATCAGTCACGCCGCTTTTCGGGGGGACGCTACAAGCTGTGTGCGGGGAGGGGAGGGTGAGAGGACCCCTTTTCCATGTGCGATTGATGGAGGGCCCTGATCGACTTGCTGACGAGTAGGTTGGACCTCTCGCCATCAAGATCTAGCAAGATCCAGTGCGGACGAGAATTTGATCTCATCAGCTTGCGCGTGGAGACTGACGCGATGACGTTGCAACGATCACTGACTTAGCCCTGCCACTTCCTCGATCCTCCTTAGACTGCATGCATCCGGCGAGCTCAGCATATCCAGACCCCTAGTGGACCTCTTGACCCGCTAATCCGCATGACTCGTACTTGACTTGTACTGGAGGCGGGCTGCAGGCCATCGAGATCACGTACTTGCGCATTATAAAAGTTCCACCTGCTGCAGGGTTCAATCAGCTGAGCTACTCACGAGCTACATACTGTGATTCGCAGTCAGCCTCTACTTTAATTGATAGCAGCGGCCGGGCTTAGCGTTTACAACAAGTATTGGGAAATATGGTCTGCAAGGAAGGTTACCAATGACTGATTTGATCTGGCCTCGCAAGCCTGCTGACCGGCTTAGTCCATCCTCCGAACCTCAGTAAGCTGTTATACTTATGCGCTAGCATCCAAGAGCAGCATCGAGGCCATTTTGGCCCTTGGAGTTGCTCTCGTCTGCCTCAAAAGCATCGCTGATCCTCGCAGCCGGCCTGGAAGACGGACAATTCGCGGGCCAGATTTCGCGACTCATCGACGTGTATAAGGAGTCTGTGAGCTGGGAAGTCACACATACCTAGTAGACATCTACCAGTTGACGTGGGGGGGTCGTAAGGGCGAGCATTTTGGGAGGCGGCTCCTACAGTGCAGCTGCAATGAGCCATATAGGCAGATGCCCGTATGAGTGCCACATGGGTCTCGGTCTGCCACACCGACTCGCCACATTCCTCGGCGGAAGCTAACCTTATTTGAAACCGACCAATCGGGGTTTTGAAGCATCGCGCTAACTGGCAGTGGGTGGACCTCTGTGACACCATACATACTCCGCACCATATACTACCAACCCCATACACGCCACCGGTCGTCTGTTATGCTAGTCATTCGAGCGGAGGCACAGCTGTAGGCACTGACTCGCTGATGATGAGGGGTGGAGAGAGGCTTGACGTGATAACGATGGGAAAGGAGTGTGTATGTGCACGGGCAAAACGAGGCACCATCGGCGGAATTTTGATGCGCTCACTGACGATGTTTACCTCTGCATTCTTCTTTCACTATCACTCAACTGTCACTGAACATCAAACAGAGCTTATCGACCAGTCATGTCCCGCACGAGGGTGAGCTGGGTTCGCAACGGTCCGACACGGATGCCGCTGACACGTAACAGCAGCCAATCCCACCCGCCGGGTACAAGGTTAGGTCAGTCATTTCCTTCCCGCTGCTGTGATCATGGTGCTGACATCGGTAGCTGGTCAGACTGTAAGATCAATGTCCTCCTCGACATTATCGCCCAGAATCCGGAGTGGACGCAGCTCTGCCTCGGTGAAAGAGTCGCGAAGAGCGAGGGAAAGAAGCTGCACGCCGCCCTGCTCGCCATCAGTGTTGAGCTATTCGATAGCAGTGATCCTCTCTGGTTCGACGATATGCAAGCAAGGGGCTTGATCAGGCTTGACAAATTGAGCAAGGTGTGGAAGGCGACAACGCTGTTGAGCGATACGAACGTATTTCAGGTCTACCGTAAAGTCCGCCGGTGAGTCCCTTCTTTCTCTATTCAGACGCTATCTTCATCAGTCTGGGCCATCTTCCCTCGATGCAACAGCGTTGGGAAGACTGCTGACTGCTCAGTCTGAGAGATTCCTTCAAGAAAACTGGCGAATTAGGGATCAAGGAGGAGTGGCAGAGCTGGGCGGATGTCAAGGCAGCCAAGGAACCCTTGTACTGTGAGTGCACTTCCTTCTTCTGATCTCGCTCTGATAATCGTAATAAGCTGATGCCATAGCCCGAATGCAGAGCGACTGCCCCTTCTACTTCGCCCTCCGCCCTTTGTGCGATCTGGCGGCTTCGTCAGCCGACACCTCTCGCTTCGCCTCACCGTCCCCATCCCACAGCGATATCAGCGACGCGGAGTCCTCGCCGTCTTCGAATCAGCCCCTCACACCTATCAATGCGACTATGACCCCTGCTTTCAACACTGAGCAGGATCAGGCGCAAAAGAAACGGCACGTCGAGCCCGGATCCGCACACCATTCCAAGCGACCCCGGATGTCGGAGGGGACCGGTAATCCTAATGAGCGACGAGCCCCTCCAGACTCAGCCCAGAGTTCTGGTGTTCCCAGCAGCAGGGAAGTCATCGATCTGACCCGCTCTCCATCTCCGTCGCTGCAGCAACCGGGGCTCACTCATGCTATGCGCGAGTCGTATCAAGGCGACGCTCTTCGACCGCCCGTACGGGCTGTCCCATCAGCAGGCTACCTGGACGAGTAGGTTTACAGCCCGTTCTTGGCCTTATCGGAAGCAGCTAACCCAGTAGAATCGACTGGATCGATCCCCGCTACACTCACGTTTTCCTCAAATCCCTCTTCAATCACCCCCACCGTCAATCCATCTTCGTCCCCGACCTCAATTGCCCGCAGGCCGGGCAATCCCCAGGCGACCTTCTCAAGGCCCACAGGGGCCTCTACATACACCTCAAGTCTCAGGAGGTAGGACAGCGATGGTTGCTCGAAGCACAGCAATGGGGCTGGGTGGCTCCGAGCCCGGAGGCGGCTCAGAAAGGGGTAAAGAGATGGACTGCGACCGCGAGCTGGCCCTCGTTCAAGCAGGAGGTCTATGGATTTGAGGTTAGGCTGAACATGTGAGTCCACTGGTCTGTAGAAATGACCGAGACGAGGTATACTTTGAGCTCAGCTGATCATCCAGCTTGCGTGACTCATGGAATGATGGGACGTTTGGCGGGGCACTCGAGCTGTGTCTTGGGGGTTGCAGTGGTATGTCTTGCTGCCTGGAACGATCCGTGTTGTTCGTTAGCTGATATGCAGTCCCCGACCAAACTTGGGGTGGGATGATGTTGCACCTCTTCGGACCGCCGGGACAAGCCAAGACGATGCCCACCGCTGAGCCCTCAGTACCCTCGGCACCCATGGCCAAGCAAGCTGCTCCTCAGTCAATCAGCAATCCGCGCAGTCTTCCGCTTCAGGCACAGGCTCTCGGTGCCCGTAGCCCGGTCATCGAGCTCAATTCTCAGGCGTCGGCAATTGCTCCCTTGTCCACGAGTCGACCCCTGCAGCCATTTGACCAAGGCTTGATGAGATCTGACTATGATCCTACGATCCCGCGCCAACAAGCTCGACACCATGAATGGATCCGTCTCGCAGACGACCCTAATATGGGTGCGGTAGCCCTTCCATCGAGGTGGCTCAAGCTGTACGACGCAACATCCGATCGGGCGGGGAAGAACGAGATCTTCGAGATGGGTCGGGCGGAGATTGTCATTGAAGCGATTTTAGGCCTGCAGGCTGTCAAGTGAGTGATTCAGTTTTGCCGATAGCTGCAAGGGGGTGGGTGAGCTGACTTGCAGGGGACTTAGGAAGAAACACACCCTCCATCAGATCGGGTTCGACCTCGAGACACTCCCTTCTCGCCACCTCACTCAGAAGTTCGGGGAGATGGTCATCTCTACCGGAGGGTGAGTGCCTGCTGCATGTCAAAATGGCTTCAAGCTGTGACTGATTCTCAGAGACGTTCAGACCGTCAATGCGGTCCGGAAACTCGGCGGTACGAGTGTTCGCTTCGAAATCCACCTGTTCCCCGAGTTTGACGCGGTGCGGGAGAGAGCTTACCTTGCGGGCCGGTTGTACAAAGTCGGTCTCATGGAGTATTTGAGGTATTTGGGTACATGGCGCAGCAGCTGAGATGGAGGTCTGGGGTGAGGGGCAGGAAAAGGAGCCGACATTTGTTAACTTGTTGAGAGCTCGATCATATGCAATACATCTCCGTGTCTGAGATCGCACATCAGAGGGACCTCAATCTGCTAGAGTGCTGATGGCAACTGCGTGTCGGCCGAGAAGAGAGCTTGGCCACCACCCAGATCGCCCTATCGATGGACCATCACCGCCTCATTCCTCAGCGGAAGCAACCATGGCAGACGGCCGTGAATACATAGCGTAACAACGTCGCCCGCCCGCTAAGCGCGTAGCTTACGCTTGAACAGCTATATCTTTCGGTTCACAGGAAGCATCGCAAGGTCCAGCGTGGTCTGAGGATCTCGCTTCAACCACCTACGATGCTGTTCTCGGTGCGGTGAGGCTTCAGGCAAGCCGCCGACCTGCCGCGGCGCGATGGCATGCGAAAGGACTTGGGCGCCTGTGTGTGCGGTGTGTGTGTATCCAGGTCACGCCGTCACGGCGAGCAAACTTATTGTCAACTTGAGCCACCACTTATCAGGCTCTTACTCATCATCATTGTCATAGTATATCTATGCGGGCTATGTTCAACGCCCGACAGTCCCGAACGGGCAAAGCCGAGGTAAGTCAAGCTCGAGAGTCGAGACCAGCTGCGGAACGGGCAAGGATCGCAGACTGACAATCAGCCCCTTATTCCTTATGCCGGGGTAAAGATTCAGTGAGTCAGGCTGCTCTCCTATCAACTCAGCAAGCCGCGATGATCTGACTGTCAGCTGGCCGGAAAGGAAGGTTCGAGCTCTTCTCGACATCATCAAGCAGAATCCTACATACCCCGAGCTTTGCTTTACCGAGCGAAGCGGACCTGGCAGACTGCCTACTGCTCGTCGGGAAGAGCGGCGTGATGCTCTTCTCGCCATCAGTGTTGAGCTGTTCGATACATATGACCCAAAATATCTAGACGATATGAAGGCGAGGGGGTTGATCAAGCTCGACAAATCGGGGCGGTGGAGATCGACAGCGCTTCTAGACGCTGCACCCGACCAGCTGCCTCTCTTTGCGGTCTACTTAAAGTCACGAGTGTGCGTACATTCCTGCTTCCTAATGTTCCGCTGTGATACTTGTGTCATTGATGTCGATTGGCCTATCCCTTCATTAATATTTCGCTTCGGCGGCTAAGCTGACTTCTCAGGTTGAAGCGGTCCTTCGAAAAATGTCGAGAACTTGGAATACAGAATGAGTGGAAAAGCTGGGAGGATGTCAAGGCTGCAAAGCATCATTTGTGCAGTATGTGTCAAGACGGTGCTCTGGAGACTGATGTGCACAAGGTCTGCTGCTGACTCTACAGATCGGATGAAGGCGGACTGCCCTCACTACTTCCTGCTTCTACCCCTGTGCGGGCCCGTACTGTCTCGGAGCCGAACCCACCGATTCACCTCCTCCTCTTCCTCCCCCAGCGATTGCGAGTCTGAAAGCCTCTCCCCACCTCCGTCGCCACCGGCCGCATTGGCATCGGTGACCCATCGGATCCAAGCGGGACCAAAGCGGTCGTTGGGGTCTCGCCCAGATCTTGAGCGCGCGGATGCCGGCTCCAGCAAGCGTCGCGCAACCTCTTTTGGGGGACGAGAGGTCAACGGTCACACCCGCTCGCGCACCTTCTTCGCTCATGGCCACGACATCATCGACCTTACCCAGTCGCCCTCTCCGCTCGTAGAGCTACCCGATGTGGCTTTGACTTTTGAGCATCCGCCCTTGCCCCAAGTCTTGCCGTGCGCATCCAGCGCGTCGCTCACTGTACCTCGCGGGCCGATCCATATCCCTCCGTCGTCGACTTCGCAACCGAGCAACTCGCTGGGTCTACCCCAGCCAGTCAGCCCAGCTGTGGAATTCATCCAGACGTGAGTACATTCCAGCTCTGTACAGCCTCGCTAGTAGCTGACAGAGCAGAATCGACTGGTCCGACCCACGCTATACCGTCGCTCTTTTCACGAAGCTGTACCTTCACGCTCGATCCCGATGTCTCCTTCTCCCTGACCTTCACCCCAGCCCGCCTAGCGATACCAGCCGCGAATCCTCCAAGGTGATCAGGGACATTTACGTGCATCTCATAGCTCAGCAGGAGGGGCAGAGCTGGCTCAAGTGCGCGAGGGGATGGGGATGGGCAGGTCCTCATCCCAAGGGGAAGGAAGCTGTTGGTGTGTTGAAGTGGAAGGCGAGTACGAAGTGGCCATTTGCGGGACACGGTGATTATGGGTTCGGAGCAAGACTTGACGGGTGAGTAGCAGCTCATCCGGAGATCTCGGTCTGGACGTAGAGCATCTGGGCTGAGCTGACACAAACAGTCTTCGTGCGTCATGGAAGGCAGGAGACTTTGCTGGAAAATTGGAAACGTTCCTCGGCTTGTGCGAGGGTGAGTCCCTCAGGTCCATAAGCGTTCAGGTATTGGTAGCTGAAGCTGCAGTTCCGGATCAGTCATGGTCCGGGATACTGTCGTTCTTGTTCGGCCCGCCCGGTGATCCGTCAAAGACCCTCTCGTCGACGCCCGCTTACACCGTCCGGCACACGCAGCCAGCGCTCTCCACGCGCAAGCCGTCAGAATCCCGGATGTCTGAGGATGTCTCTGGCGTCTGGGTCGAGCGCACTACTGCCCGGCCCTTCGACTGTCGACCATCCTCACGTGATCTATCCCCTCAAGCTCCGGTCGGTCAACGTGGTGAGGCGTTAGCAACAGACCGCGTGCCCTCGGTGATTCGCGATCGAAAGCGGCTCGGCGAAATGATCCGGTTGGCGACCGACCCGGAACTCCGTTCTTCCGATCTTCCTGCAATCTGGCGGAGGCGTTACAAGGAGGCAGTCGACTCTGCAGAAAGGCAGGAGATCTTCGTGATGGGCAAGGCAGACATCTACATCCAGGGGATTATAGGCTCTCATAGAGTGAAGTGAGTCACCTTCGACAGGCTAAAGGTGGTGGGCTAGAAGGGGAATGATCAAAGCTGACGGTCAACAGGGAGCGGTACGAGCGAAAGCGACCTTGGTCCACTTTCCACGAGGTAGCGTTTGATATCGATACCATCCCATCCGGGCGTCTGCGGGAGAAGCTCAGAGATCTGGTCAAGGCCACTGGGGGGTGAGCATGAAATCCTCGCCTGATATTATGGGCTAATGAGTCAGGCATGTTATCAGCATCGACAGCATCCGACTTAAGAGCGGACGCGGCGACACTGAGCGCTACGAGGTCCACCTATTCGCCGAGCCACGTCTACCTCGGGGGAAGTGCTATCGGCCAGGTGTGACGCGGAGGTTTGGAATCATTCAGTATCTCGACCTAGTCGCTGCATCTTGTACCATCCGTTAGATCTGAGGACATGTCATGGATGTACTTTTGATATGGAGAATCCGTAAGCCAAGCTCATGGCGGATCGCGGACCAGTTCATGGCGACTGGCCCGAGGCGCCTGGCCCCTGCTCTCCCAAACGATCCTCGGCGGTCATTTCGCTTTAGGCTACAGAAAGACATGAGCAGCTCCACGATCGTAATCTTCATGCGCTGTGCAGAGCCGTTGCATTGAGGCTCCGGTATTATCTGGCTCCACCCACATGCTCCAGCTCCAGCTCTTCAGCGCTCCAGCTGCAAGATCGGACCGGTCGCGACCCGCGGAAGCATTTTTGCCACCCTCAAGAGAGCCTTTTGTCCGCCACTTTGCCTAATTCGGGTGGCTGGCTATGTATCCCGCATCATACCCCACTCCAGTTCAGGCGCGTCCCAAGCCCCGCGCATTCTCGGTGTGTCAAGCACGACCGGAAGGGAGGGGCTTGGATCTAAGTCAAGCTTTTACTAATGTAAGTAGGGGTGAAATCGATTTTTACCCCCTACTTTGAAGGCCCCTTGACACCGTTTCTGATTATGTCAACGTCTCATTTTTGCACAGAAATCTAAGTCAGAGCCTCCTCTGTCGCCCAGGCTTTTCAGATCAGCGATAGCTGGTGTATGCATGGCTCTGGAGACCTTAACTTTTCGCCTTCGTTTGCACCTTTTCGAGGGTGATTCTCCCAGCGGAAAGGGAGTGGGCTTGGATCGAGCCTGACTCCAGTTAGACAGCCACCGACAACTACGCCCAGAAGCATCTGTATGAGTCGCAGAATTGAGGGGATGGACCTCTGAAGCGCTTTCTCCGTCGCAATCCGCCGCAAACAACCCTAGTGAGTGACCGATATGAACGATTGGGCGCGCACGGGCAGAGGGATATCATAGGCCTCGACACTGCAGGTCGATGCTTAAAGCGTCGCAGTGTCAGGCGGTATGACGTCGACGGCCTTCCGCCTCGATGTCAAAGAAGGAAGAGATGAAAGAAGTGGCACATGTCCGCTGTTCGCGGAGTGTGGGGCATGAGGGGGATGTGCGGTTGTGTGTGTTGTTGTGTGTGACCCCGGGTTCCTCTGTTGACGTTGACAGCTTTTCTACAACTTGTTGATATCGACTGGATTCCTTCAGACTATGATCATCACTTGATTCTTCCGAGACACCATGAAAGGAAACAATGGTTCTCAGCTGGTGAGTCTACCACCCGCCTCTGATCAGAGATGGGACCGAGCAACAACTAATCATGCAGCGGGATGCGACCAGAGCGGTCCCTCCGGCCGCAAAGGCCTTCAGGTACGTACTTACTGCAGCCTCTCGTGGCTCCGGATAGGCGCATCAGACTGCTGACACTACAGATGGGACGAGGCAAAGACGCAAGCTCTCGTCAACCTGGCGAAGAGCGATCCATCTTACCTCATCCTATTCGCCTCATCGCAAGATGGTCAGACGAGGGAGCGTAGCGCAGCCAGCTTCCAGTTGATCATCCGCTTCTTTGAGAGGGCCGACAAGTCATGGCTCGGAGATATGGCAAAAAGAGGGTTAATCGAGAAGGATGGGGAGTCGGGATGGCGGCGGACGGAGGCATGGCTCGGGACGAAGCAGATGGAAAACAACCCCGTCATGGTCAAGATCAAGACGTAAGTCGAAGGCCAACTTATCGCTCATTTCCGACCCGGCTCTTCTCCTATTGTCGGAAGCCGCTGCGGGGTCCGTTTTTGTGATTAGCTGACGCCTCAGGCTGAGGAAGAAATACCAGGAACTGGTCGACCAGGGAGTGGCACAAGAATGGTCCAGCTGGGACGATGCGCCGAAGTCACGGCACAGTAAGTCACGCAGCACCTGTTTGAAGCGGGAAAGAGCAACGAGCTGATGCGTCAGCCACCGGCCAGATGCAATGCCCGCTCTTCTTTGAATTGCGAAAGCTCTACAACAGCGCCGAGAGCATTGTTCTGCGCACCCCAGCAAGGGCGGACGACCACGGCGCAGGCGACGGGAGCGGTGCCGGAAGTGACGCGAGCGCACCACCGGCGGAATCGCCCTCTCGGCGCTTTGGAAAGGCCACAGTGCGCACACAACCGCAGCTGGCCGCAGCAAGCTCGCCGCAATCCATTCTTAATTACACAACACCCATACCCGCGTCGATTCCCAAACCGCCTCGTCGACTTCCCAGTTTCAAGAAGATCGGCCAGGTCGAAGTCCCACCCTCTCCTACCGCCATCCCGCCCGAATCCCCTCTTTCACCCCTCGACCGCAAAGTTTTCCTCCCCATGCCCAAATCCGAGGCGCCTGGGGAGGTCTTCCAGAAAGCAGTCCTCGAGGACCTGTTCTGCTCCAGTCCTTCGTATCCACTCCTCAAATCGGAACCGGCGGAGACCAAGCCCGAGATGTGGGACATCAAGCCCGACCCGGGGTTGGTGTGCTCAATCATGCGCGAGTCTCCGCTCGGCCCCTGGGATCCTAATCCTGCAAAGCCGCAGGGTTCGCGTCAAGAGCGGGATACAAAGCCTGAGCTTGCCGCCAAGGTCGAACCGACACTTGAGGACCTCTTCCGAGACAGCTCGGAGGAACCGGAGGAGGAGGAGCCAGAGCAGGAGGAAACGGAGCCACAGTTCCCACTGCAGCCCGAGCCTGCGTCGCGGCAGGCGAGCTGTCTCCCGGACATCGTCGAAGCCGAAGTTGAACGATACATTCATAGGTGAGTTACTCTTCCTCAGCTTCTGGCCGCAGCTGACAGCGTAGTATCGACTGGAGTCACCTTCCCACCAATGTCTTTTTGCTCGACGCCTTACATACCGATGTCCGCGTTCGATCAGCGCTTCTCCCGGACCTCTACCCAGCAGAACAAATCGTTTTCGGCAAGCTCAAGCGGAAAGAGGAGTGGAAGGTCTTGAGAGACCTCTACGTCACTATCGTGGAGTCCTGTCCCGGTGGCAGAGAGTGGATAGAGCTAGCTGAAGGCTGGCGGTGGATCGGATACAAAGAGCTGCCGGAGAAAAGTGGAAAGGGTGAGAAGGCAAAACCAAAGGAGAAGCTCAAGGCGACGATGGACTGGCCGAGAGGTGTCGAGTACGGCTTCTCAGAGAGGCTTGAAGAGTGAGCACGGCTTCTGGGCTGCAGCCGATATGCAGCAAGCTAACTCGAGCAGGTTGTCCGACGCCTGGGCACGCGGCACTTTCGAGCGCGATGTCGGAGACGCACTGCCTGCTCGTGTCGGTGAGTCCCCATTGAGATGACGTTGTGAGCGGGACTAGACTGATCTTTTCAGATGGCAAATCTTGGTCAGACATTATGCACGGAATCTTCGGCGCCAGTGAGGCGAAGTCAACCCCGGCAAGGTCGAGTCCTGCGATCGCGCTAGGTACGGAGTGGAGCGATGATGGCATGTCTGCACTCGGCTCTCCTCGGTCCGACGCCCCACTCGCGCCCTCGCTCCGGCAACTCCTCGAGATCGCCCTCCCGGTCCCCGCCATCGACCCTGCCCTTGACTTCCGACTCCCTTCTCAGCCCGCCGGTGGCGCCTATCTCCATTCCCCGCTTCGATCCCCATCGCCGATCAAGATCAAACAATCCCCACAGGCCGTAGCGGGCCCTTCGGCCCATCCCACACCTTCCACATACAATGCGGAACCGACTCTCAAGCGGAGACGTTCTCTCTCGCCGCTCCGTCAACGCTCACCTGTGCCGCGCATGAGGCAAACGTCGTATCATGAGGAAAACCGCACGTCGTACACGGAACACCAGCTACCTTCGCCACCCCCATCACACCACGGCGACGGGTATCGGGACCGACGCTTGTCATCGCGCGACGATGATGATGCTTCATCCCGATCACATCACCGGGAGGAAAGCTTGCCTGAGCGGTATCTTGCAGCCTCAACGTACCGGCCAGCTCCATCCCCGAGCAAGGACGGCGACACGGGCGCACAAACTTCGCCGATCATCAACCCGGCTGAATCCTCTACCCATCGTTCTCGTCCGAGATCGCGGTCAGTCTCGTCGAGTCCAGCGCGGAGCCATGACGGCGGTGCGCGCTGGCGACCTGCGGCTCGCTCGTATCGTCAGTGGTGGGACATAATCGATTTTGCGTCGAGGCGGTCCTTCAGGGTTAGGGATCTCCCTACAAGGTGGCTGAAGCTATACGACGCCGCAGAGGATAAAGACCTCGAGGAGGATTACTTCGAGCTGGGCAGAGCGGAGATCTATATGGAAGGCATCATGGGTGCATGCGCTACCAAGTGAGCAAACTTTACTTCTGCCTTTAGAGCACCGGTAAACTTGAGCTCATGTGGAAGGAAAACCCGTCCTTGGAAAAGTTATCACTATGTGACGACTGATGACGGTCATATACCCTCGAGGCAGATACGAGATATGCTGCAAGATCTGGTATTAGAGACAGGAGGGTGAGTTTGCGTTACCATGACCAGCAGTGTTATGGAGATGCTGATCAATAAGGACATTTGTCAGTCACGCAGAGCTCCAAAACCGCGGCAAGCGGGATTGCAAGACCTATCTTTTCGAGATACAGTTATACGAGGAGCGAGGGCAGAGGAAGGACATGGCCAGTCTCAAGAAAGGCATGATCCACAGAGTCGGTCTCAAGGAATATCTTGACGAGGTCGCGCGGGTCTGTGCGTAGTTGAGGGCGGAAGAAGGGCAGTGTGGGAGTTGCTATAGTCGTTGTATATAAATCAGTATCAGTACTTGTATTCTTCCAGTCATGCCAGCCTGTACAGCGCGATGGCTTGGATACTTCCCCAAGCACCGATGTCAGCAGATGCACGACAGAAGGAGGGGGATTGTAAAAAGTGAAACACGCGTTCTGGAAATTTGAAACCTCCAGCAGGTGCTCTCGCAAAGTTCGCTCTTCAACTGCCCATTGGCTCTGCATGTGAGGCTCGCAATCCGGGAGACGCCACACTTCTTGCTCTGCTGAGCTTGATCACTTGCGCCCAGATCACCAAGAATCAGCGGAGACGACTGCCCGGCAAGAGAATCTCCTTGCTTTGACTCTTGTTGTCTTCAACATCCGCGAAAGGTCCACTCTCATCATCCAGTCATGCCTGCCCAATCGGTGAGCTAGTCCGTACTGCACTGGGAGACCCTGCTGTACTAGTACTGATCGATAGGCATCGCATTCGGATCCCGACAAAGCGCCATTCCGCTTGATGTCAGTCGTGCCGGGCGTGTCAAGCGCGGGCGGCAAGCTGATCTGTGTAGATGGGACCTCGAAGGGCAAAAAAAGCTATTAGCGGCGATCAAGGCGAACGCTGCGTTCCGGAACTTCTTCTTCCCCGGGCAGCATCCGGCTCCCGCGAAATCTGGTCAAAAGGTGGCTGCCCTCTTCACTTTGACCATTCAGCTCCGCCGGGATAATCAAGCTTGGATGGACGATATGGTAGGGCGAGGTCTCATCGAGAGTGATGGATCGGGCTGGAAACGCGGAGAAGCATGGACGAGTCGGCATAGCTGGAACTCGCCCGTCTACACCCAAATCAGAAAGTGAGCACCTCTATCCGGGCTACTCGAGTGCAACCTGAAACGAGAGGGCGGCTTGCTGACTATCTCAGACTCATAGACGATTATCAGCTGTCTATATCGCGGGGGATGAGGCAGGAATGGACATGTTGGGCGGACGTTCAGGCTGTTAATGCGGTGTTGTATAGTGAGCCGCAAGCAATTGTCGGGGATGAACCGCATCTGACAGCACAGATACCGTGAAAAAGCACAACCCCTTGTTTTTCGAGATTAAGGGGGTGTTTGCGCTCTCGGAACCGGCGGCGCCGTCCACGTCGACCTCGCCTGCGCCTCTGCAACGAGGTAAAGCAGCCAAGGTCGCTAACCCGGGGGTCAAGAAGTCACCACTCGCCGCCAAATCAGCGCCAGGTTCCTCGTCGAGAGCGATACAGGTCAAGCCAGGCCAAGCGACTGCTGCGGCGTCGTCGGATTCGGAATCAGACTTCGAGATCCTTGCCAACATGCCCCGTCACGCAGCAAAGCGCAGGCGGCTTGATCTTCCCAGAGCTACCTCATCCTCCTCCGATGAGTGGCGCGAGGCTCTGAATCGACCTACCCCGCCCCCCAAAAAGCAGCCAGCTCGGACCCGGATCGGTCAGACGCAGCAGCCATCGAATGATCCGGCGGCTGGTGGCCGCACTCGAAACTCTTCTGATGGAGATGCCAGCAGCCTCCGTCACAGCACAGATCTTTCCACGCTCGTCGATGAATCCGTCTTGGCCAAGTCCGAATCGGGCCCCGACGCTTCCTTCGCAACGATGCCCCTGCCTTCCTTGTCCCCAGCGCCCTCCAATTCCATCACACAAGCCCCCTTAGCAGCCACCTCAGGGACCCCATACTTCAAACCGTAAGTCGTGCTCCTCTGTCAATGGTCGGATTCTGATCGCCAGGATCGACTGGACCGACCCCAAAGCGACCTCCCTCCTCCTAAAGACTCTGCACCGCCACGAGAAACACCGCCATGTCTTGATGCCAGCACGGTATCCCGCTCCAATTGGCGAAAGCAAGAAGGACGGCTGGAAGCTTAGCCGTAATCTCTACGTTTAGATCATGAGGCATGAGGAGGGGCAAATATGGCTCCATTAAGCCCGTGAATGGAAATGGGCCGGAAAATTGGACGGTGTATGGAAGGCGACGGTGGAGTGGCCGGAGAATGTGGATTATGGCTTCACCGAGAGGCTTGAGGAGTGAGTTTGGACTAATTACAAGCTGCTCCGAGTTTGTGGGGTCGCCCATCTCATATGGCATCAGCTGACTCCTCCAGGTTGTCCATATCCTGGGCAGACGGGACCTTCAAGCTTGAAGCTGGGGGTCTCGACGCAGGTACGTCTGTTCCGCTCAACTCTGTTGGTACTTCGCAATCAGCTGATCAAAGTAGAGATGGTATCGATGATGACCGAAGTCTTTGGGCCAGCCGGTACTGTTCAGTATCGAACGGCAGATCCTATACCTCAGCCGCAGCTCGAGCTAGCGTCGACAAATAGCTCCTACATCTCCGCCGACGGCAGTACCACTCGCCACCTTACTCGAGCGTCACTGCCATCTTCGAGTTTGGAGCAGGAATACCGCGAAACTCAGCCAAAGCCTCTCCAGGCTCCTCCAACCGGTCCCCGTGCGGAAAGGCGCGGTGCCTACATGCCTAGATCGACCTCCCCTGGATCGCACGACTTTGCCTTCGATGCCCAAGAGCGACTATCGCACCCTATCCCGCACATCACAGCATACACTGCACCCTCGCTACCGTATAGCGCAGCATCCGGAGGTAGCAGCTCGAGATGGCCGCATGCTCTACCTCCGTCTTCCGCTCCGCCGCCACCTTTCGTAGCGGAAGAGCGGCCGAAGCCGGCCGCCAAGCTGGGGCTCCTACGCCGGGAGGATTACTTCGAGATGATGGCCATAGCGACCAATCCGAGCTATGGCAAGGCCGACCTGCCTCGGCGCTGGGAAGAGGAATTTGCAAAGGCGAGGAGTAGGGAGGATCAGGCGGAGATTTTGGAGTTAGGCAAGGCGGAGATTTTCATGAAGGGCATAATGGGAGCCTGCGAGACAAAGTGAGTGCTCTAGATCCGCTTCAGTAATACACAAGCTGGGGATTATCACTGATGACTTAGCCGACACCGAGCTCGGCCTTGGTGCACTTGGCACAAAGTGGCATTTTTGGATGAGTCAATCGACTCACGCGCCGTGCGCGGTATCTTTGAGGAGTTGCTGTCTACGACTGGAGGGTGCGTGTATTTCTCTTTCTCTCGTCTCAGGAATAGGATCGTCGGCTGACCCTGGCAGCAAGCGAAAGACCCACAAAGAGATCGCAACCCGCGATACTTTCTACCGCATCGAATCCCACCGCTTCGACCTGCGACTCATCTCCACTTCGAATCGCGCACTTCGAGAGCAAATGCTGCAGGATGGAGCTGCCGAGATACATCACGGAGGACTGATGGAGTACCTCTCCATCGTAGCGGCAGCTTGCATTTGAAGGCGGCATGCGGCGGTAGGGCAGCAGGGGTTTCTACAGGGGTCGCACCGAGGCTTGGAGTCGTGTTGTATCCCATAGTGCATAGCTGATGTGGCTCCCGCATGTATGTGTATCCAAGCTCACGCACTACTGCCCAGCTGACGGAGCTGGACATCCCGCACCCGGAACTGCCTGCTTAGCCCGCAGACCGCAAAGCTCAAGGTCCAGCTACATGTCATGGACCTCGTGCTGAGAATAACAGCGTCAGCTTCCGTCCCTCTCGCGACTTTTGAGACGCAGATCCTGCACCATTGAGCCTTTCTTGCAGACCTTCCCGTAGCCCACTTTCTGGCGCGCCCTAAGCTCGCACCATCGACGTGGGCGCGCTGTGCCAGACTCCTCATTCCTCAGGCCGGAAGCAGATGTGACACCACCAGAACGCCCTCATGCCAAGCCTCCGTTGGTCTCCCTTGCTTTTGCCAGATACCTGACAACGCGCACGTGCCCAGATGAAGAGCTACTATGATGCGATGAGGGTGATCGACACTTTACGCGCTCTTCCCCATCCAGATTGTGCGAAGACCTCTTACAAATTTGCAGAAACAAGGTTACTGACCAGGAAGTTGCAGGAACGAGGGGGTCCTTTGGAATTGAGCCGTACCAACAATGTTTAGTTTCGCTCTCAGGCAGTGAGTGATCTTATATTAACCATTGACAGTAAAACCGATCGCGGCAGAGACAGCATGAGTGGACTCGAGGTAAGTGATGTTCTGGCCTTCGCGGCACTTTGGCTCAGGTTTGAGGATGACACTGACCGTACAGGCCGCTCAAGTCCCCTCGACGCAAGTCATCATAAAGTGAGATTGTCCTAATGATCCCAGCAGGCCACATAGGGGTGACGCTGACACTGGCGCAGATGAACGGATGATAAAGTTCACACTCTACTCGGCCTGGTCAAAGACAACCCGACGTACCGGAATGCATTCTTCCCGCCGAATGGAGTCACGGAACTTCGAGGTGCCGAGCGCCACGCCGCTGTCCTCGCGCTCTGCGTCGACTCCCTCGAGGGGTCTGACGCCGAGTGGTTCGAGGACATGGAGGTGCGAGGCCTGATCGAGAGAGACGGGAACTCTCAATGGGAGCCGACGCCTTTGTGGGAGTCAAGCAAATACAGCAGCACAGCGCCGCCAAGCCGATGTCTCAAGAGGTAAGTCAGAAGCACCTCGCAGGAGACGCGTGAAAGCTGATAGAGCAGTATCCGAGTAAAGTATTGGCGGTACATCGAAGAGAAGGGAGTCAAGGAGAGCTGGAACAGCTGGGCCGATGTGAGGTGGAACGATAAAGCTCTTCATGGTATGTATCAGTCTCCTCGTGATGCAGGGCGGCTGAAGGGGAGCTGATCGCCACAGACGATATGCAGGCCAAGTTTCCCCACTTCTTCGACGTGAAACGCCTGTACCAGATGTCCCGGGCGGACTTGGCGCTCAGACCACCTGCCCCCGTCCACGCTCATCCTCCGCCTTCATTTACCCATGCGGCCGGCTTATCGGCGACCCGTATCCACGCCTCACCCTCATTAGCTGCGACATCGTCGGATAGTACCGGAAACCCAGCGTCGCCGCCTAGCGTTGGTCTCGCGCGGCGCGGACGCAAGCGGGCGGACGATTTCTTCGATGCGGGAACCTCCGCTCCAGCCAGCGATATCCTTCCCAAGAAGCCCCGCATACTACCAAAGTTCAATCAGATCCCAAATGCTGCCATCCAGCCCGATTCTGTGAACACACCCAGCCTTCTTTCGGCGAAGTCGAGCGGGTCTACCGGTTCTCCGGGATTTCCTCTCACACCTCTGTCGGACCTCGAGCCCTCTGACTCGGATCGATCAGAGCTACACCGCGACGACAAGGGCTCCGACGTCACCTGGACCAGGCAACGGAGGAGCAAGTTCTCTCTTTCCGATCAGACTCGGGCCGAACTCTCCTCGTTGACCACTCCCAGGCCCCATGTCGCTTCGCTCGGCGCGACTACCGTGCGTCAAGCGCAGGGTACCCTCACAATTGGCGAGACGGCGCATCACATACCAGCGTAAGTCTCCCGCGTCCGTCAAGATCAACGAGTACACCCGCTAACACCTCAGTATCGACTGGTCAAATCCACTGTACACCACCATCATCCTCAGAGCGCTGCACAGCGATGCGCACACGCGATCAGCGGTCCTTCCGGCACTTCACACCTCTCCGCAGAACTGGGGCGGCAAAGAAAGCTGGAAGCTTGTGCGCAACCTCTGCGTCGATATCTGGGCGGCGGAGCCGGGGCACGTATTCTTAAAGCGGGCGGAGCGGTGGAAATGGGCGGGAGAGAAGAGCGGGACCCATACGGGCTGGAGGGCGACGGTCAAGTGGCCCAAGGAGGTCGATTATGGGTTTGAGAAAAGGTTGAACGAGTACGTGTTTTCTTCTTACCCCGGCAAAATACCCGCGGATTGGAACAGATTGGCCGATCTATGGCCTAGAGGAGAGCTGGACCTAGAAATTGGCGGTAGTGCTGGATCTGGCGAAGGTGCGTCTCCACAAGGACGATTCGTAGATCGGGATGGCTTCAGCTGATGCTACAGATCCTTCGTGGACCACTATGCTCACTGGCTTGTTTGGGCCATCCCAGCGAGCCTTGGTCCCATCCCCTATCGGCCTGCCTATGATGGCTGTGACCAGCAGCGCAAGTTCCACGCCGGCTGAATTCATCTGCCGTAGGACCGCGACCAAGCCATCGTCCAGCAATCTCGACCACACCAGGTACACCATGCACCAGTCCCGGTATGAGGCGACGACACACCATCTTCCTAGCTCTGCTGCTGCCAATCATAGTGCTGCCGGTCCTTGGTCCGCGCCCCAACTCACCACTCCGGTGACTCGGCCAGTCTCGTCCATCCCGCCAGGAACGATCAATCAAGGCCAGATCCTCTCTGATCTCACACCACTAGATATGGGTTATGCTCTACCCGTCCCACCCCTTTCTCCCCCTCCACCTCCCCGATCGCCTCCTCGCCGTCCGTCATCAGACGGTATCGCTCGGCCTAGAATTCGGCGGGGCGAGTACCTCGATATGATGAAGCTCGCCACAAGTCCATATCTGGTCCTAGGGGACTTGCCATCGAGGTGGCGGAGGGCGTTTGAGAGCGCGCGGGATCGACGGGAAGAGGACGAGATCATGGAGCTGGGACGTGCGGAGATCTTCATGCATGGTCTGAGGGGATGTATCAGAACTGCGTAAGTGAGCACATCTTAAGCTTGATGGCGTGTGTCTTTGATGTCTTTTCAGCTGATATTGTAGCGCCTTTCATCGCACCTACCACAAAGCCGCGTTCGACACCGGCCAGATCCCCGATCGGGACATCGTGGGTCTGCTGGCAGACGTGATCATCGAGACTGGCGGGTGAGCTTCATCCGTCCGTCTGTACTACCCTGGAGGGTCTGTGCTGATCATACCAGGAAACGTCTGAGCCGAGACCACCTCGAGAATTACATCGACTACAGATCGTCCCTTAATCCTCGAGACCACCGCTTCCGTATCCACCTCTTCGGAGATCGAGAGTTATCCGTTCAGGCTCAGGTGTCTTATGGTACGACGCATCTGCACGATGTAGGCTTGATGGAGTACCTCCAGTATGCTTCGCGGGACTTCGTAGGGTAGATGACAGTCTTCGCAGCAGCGCCGACTTGACTGGACTAGGTAGATATCGATATAGGGACACGTGGAGTAGACTCGGTTGGATGAGACCATACGGCGCTGCCTTCGCAGTCCGCTTCTTGCGCATCAGCACTTAGTGTCCTCTTCTTGGGTCCCTGATGGTCAGACAGGGCGTGCCCCACACCTTTGGCTGAACTATCAAGCTGCTGTCCCAAATCGAGCAGGATCTACCCAGGGCTTTGCGCCTCATTCCTCATCTGAGATCTCGGAAGCAAACGAAGTGCCGCCAGATGAGTCAACCTTCTGGCCGTTTGCTGGCCGTGCTTGAGTCCTATTTCGCTTGCCGCTTACCCCTCTCACCCTCGCTCAGTTCACGGATGTATCCCATGCTGAAGACTCGCGCGCGAGGGAGAGAGAGACGAGACGACCGCAGACAACGCTCAACGGTTGTGGCTGAAACACGAGACGGACAATGACGCCAAAGCTGTGACCAGGAACGAGGGGGTCCTTTCGACCTACCGTGCTCTGATTTCCAAAGCGACGTCCAGTTCTGGCTTTCCGATCTACTGATTCTCTTATCAAATCTCTTCACACGAGCTGCTACCCAGCACACGGGCAGTATGAAGTCTCTAGCTGTGAGTGGCCCAACACTGCCCCTTCAAGCAATGGCTTGTCGCTGACGCTCCCCACAGACCGCTGATGTCCCTGTCGCCCAAGCCATCATCAGGTGAGTTGATCCGGCAGCATGACTAGAATTCTAGCTGATCAAGTCCAGCTGGACGGAGGATAAGGATCAGACATTGCTGTCCCTTTTGAAGGATAATCTCGACTATCTGCAACTCGCCTTCCCATCCACCCGCCAGGATACATTGCGAGGGCCCGAGCGCGATGAGACGGTGCTCCGTCTCTGCATAGAGCTCTTCGAGAAGGAGGACCTTAGCTGGATAGAGGACATGGAGCTTCGAGGTTTGATCAAGCGGGACCGGCGGGGGAAGTGGAGGCCCACATCAAGGTGGAGGGCCTGCAAGTACAGCAGTGGCGCGCCACCCATCGGCCGTATCAAACGGTGCGTGTTCGCTTCGGTTATCTATATCAGAGAGCACGACGTGCTGACGCGTCAGGTTGAAGGCAAAACATCTACACTATAGTCAGCAGGAGGGAATGAACGAACGCTGGATCGAGTGGGCTCAGGTGGAAAGGCACGACGAGAAGCTTTGCAGTATGTCCGAGCCGTCGCTATTCTGGTTGGATCTTGATTTGAGACTGAGCTGATAGTTGTACAGGGAAATTGAAAGCTGCCATCCCATACTACTTCACCATCTCTCGACTTATCCGATTGTCAGAAGAAGTGATCTCATCCACGTCCTCCCAAGGCAATCACAGCTCTCGATCACTCGCCAAATCGAGGTCATCTGCGGTATCTACCCGCTCAGCTGGAGGCGCTACGGTCGGGGAGGCAGCGTCGTCCGAGCCTGCCTCCGCAAGAAGCCGCTCGCAGAAGCGGCGCATCGACACCTCTTCGCAACACGATAGCGGAAACATCCCCGCAAAGGCCCGCGCGCTGCTGAACTCCACAACAAGCCAAACATCGGAGCAGCGGCCTATTGCAGGCCGTCCGGTGCTCGCCTCTGGCCAGTCTAATGAGTGCCCTGCATCACCGGAATCCCCATATACGCCTCTCGCCGATCTACCCGTCTTCTCGTCGCCGCGGCCCAATCCGCTTGGAAAAGGGACTCACAATCCCGGCTTCTCAGCGGATATCCACCGGGACAAGAAGCGAAAGACCATGCCATTCATGCCGCAGGTCCGCACGCCGCCACCAACCCCCCACCCCACCTCCCCTTCTAGCCACACGGCCCCTCCCTCTGTACAAGGTGTCGAGCACATCCCGCCTCCCATCTCAAATACCAGCTACACCGCCTCTCATCAGACGCGGCAGCGGGCCAGCTTGACGGTCGAGATTCCTGCTCGGCGCCCTCGCCCAGGAGATGTCGGCGTTCCACGCCACCCCGCTCCCACTCCCCAATCTTCAGAGCACGACGAAGTGCCGGCAATCGGTGCAAGCGTACCGGACGTATCTTGTACGCTCGACGCGCATGCTCCGTCCCTTAAAGTGTAAGCCTCGGACACCTTGTCAACTGATATAGCTGACGTTCCAGCATCGACTGGACAGAGCCCCGTTACATCTCCGCTCTTGTTGCTTCACTCCACATCCATCCCCGCACTCGTGCAATCCTACTTCCGGATCGTCGTCCCCCTGTAGAGGGGGTCACGTCGAAGGATGAGTGGAAACTCCTGCGCAACCTCTACGTTGACATCATGGCAGCCGAGCCAGGGCAAGCATGGCTGAATCTGGCGAGGACCTGGAAATGGGCAGGGCCAAAGAAGGATGCGAGCTCAGGCTGGAAGGCAACGGTGCTGTGGCCAAAGGAGGCAGAGTACGGCTTTGTCGAGCGGCTTAAAGAGTACGTCCGTACCATCATGCACCTCGGAAGACGACCTGATCTACAGACTGGAGGACTTGTGGCATAGCGGAGAGCTGGAGTTGAACGACGGGCATGTGAGCGGCTCGAAGGAAGGTACGTCTGTGATCGACCAGAAGCAAGCTGACGAGCAGAAGGACCGTCATGGTCGGACATGCTCGCAGGGTTGTTCGGGCCTTCTCGCCGAGCGTCTCATCCGAGCAACCCCCCTCCCTCCCCTTCCCTCGCTTTCTCCAGCAGCGCAAGCTCCCCGTCCGCACCCTCGCCCCTCATCGGGACTGGCATGATACCTCCCGCTCCGATCCTCCAGGATGCTCAGCCGGTACAAGCCCTCCCAACAGACGCCCCTTTTGCAACCCCAGTCTCGATCAAGTGGCGGTCGGATACCTGGCGGAGGCCACCGCCGTCCAGCTTCAAGGAGTTCGACGACCTCCCCGGTACCGCTACTGGATCGGAGCAGACCGCTCCTGCAGCGTCGGTCGACGTTCCCCGGCCAATCGACGTCCCGGGCGATGATGACAATCCCATCTTCCGGCCTAGGACCCTCACTCGGAAGAAGCGTTTCCCTCTTCCACCTCGACCCCCAACTCGAGAATCTCCTCCTCCCCCGCCTCGAACTATACGTCGGGCTTCACCGCCACGCGACACTCCTCAGGCTCGGCCACCCCTTCTGCGCCATGAGTGCCTCGAGATGATGGAGCTCGCCAGCAACCCGTATCTGCTGGTTGAGGATCTACCACATAGATGGCAGAAAGGCTTCGAGAAGGCGTACGATCAGAAAGAGCTGCTGGCTTTCGGCGGTGCGGAGCTGTACATGCGCGGTCTTATGGAATTAGTCAAGCTGAGGTGAGTTGTTTCCAGTGACCCGAGGTTGTCACTGGGAGTCGACCTGGTTGCCACATTGTAACGATCAGCTGACATCCTAGGCGAGAATTGAAGGTTTATCGCACCTACCACAAGGTCGCTTTCGATACCGAGCTCCTCCCAAGTCAATACATTGTCAATCTGCTGTGCGATACCCTACTCATCACGGGCGGGTACGTACATCCCTGAGCTAGGACAGAGAAGCTCCATGCTGATATCATCAGGCAAAGATTGCCGCCCATCGAGATCGACGACTGGGTCGATCCCCGCAGGCCGCTCCAACACCCTCCGCGAGATCACCGATTCCGTATCCACCTATTCGGCGATGAGCACTACCCTCTCGAGACACAGGTACTGGCGGGGACTACTCGTGTACACGATGTAGGGCTGCTGGAGTATCTGGTATACGCTGCGCGAGAGTTTATTTGGTGAATGCCGCGCCTAGATGAAGCGGAAGGAGGTGTGGAGGGTCCAGTGTCAGTCTGTCTATCTTCTAGCCAAGCTGAGCGAGCTATATTATGTATGACTTCTTTCTCCCTGTGACAAGGGCTAGGCAAGGTCATCGGTAGTGCGCTTTGCGGTGCACTCACTAGTACGTCGAAACCCTCCGCAACTGGATTGGCGAAACTCCACATTCCGCTGCCTCAGCGGTCAGCGCGTCTGCGCCTTGACCCTTTTTACCAGCATCCAATATTGATCTTTGGCCATCTACTTTCTGATATACAACCTGACAGTCTCTTCTGCAGCTCGGTGGTATCCTCTCGAGCCCAGGTACCCACATGGTTATGAAAACTGTTGAAGATCCCGCAGATCGGGGCAGATTATTAGGTTCAGCTTCCCCGCCCGAGTGTGTGTGTGTGTGCTCGGGCATAGCTAGTCGCAAGCGCTCGGCTGCTTAGCGGATTCTCACTCTCACTGATGCTCCTTGTCATTGCTCAACTCCCACAGCATAGCCGACCAGGATGCCGCCGTCTCGCTCAGTGAGTCCGACCTCCCATGATATCCCTCCTGAGCTAAGAGCAACAGATACCAAAGAGCGCCAGCGGTCCGATCAAGCGCCAAGCGAGCACCAGTATTACGTGGGTCAAAGGCCCCGACACATCACCCTATATCCCAAGAGCACCATGCTGATGTACTTAGATGGACGAAGGAGAAAGTCAGAGCTCTCTTACGGATCATCAACACCAACCCCGCCTACCGTACCCTCTTCTTCTCCCAGAGCCCTTATCATCGAACGGGAGATGCGATTTTCGCCATATCGATCCAGCTGTTCCTGTTGCACGATCCGGAATGGATCGAGGACATGGCGCAGAAGGGATGCATCAGGCCGGGTGGGCTGCTGGGTTGGGAGCGCACAGATCAGTGGAAACCCGCCTGTCCGGTTGCTAATCAGCTGCAATTGTGAGTTTGGCCTCATCCTAGACGTCATCCCGTGCATTGTGATGGTAGTACAAGGGACTGATCAATATACAGATTGAGGGCAAAGTACAAGACGTGGACAGCACGAGGCTTAAAAGAGGAATGGAAGGATTGGGAGGAAGTGGAGCGAGAGGATAAGACCCTACATGGTACGTGTCCTTCGTCGTCTGGTGAGACCTGAGCGGAGCTGATTGTATAGATGAGGCCAAAGTCACTTTCCCCTTCTTCTTCATTATCCGGAATATGTACAAGCTTTCCGAGCGAAGCCAGAGGCGACTCGACGAGGATCTCCACGAGGATGTCGCTCTCGCCCTCGGTGGCCGTCCCCCAAAATCTCCCGCCAAGGTTACTACTACCTCCGCACCCAGCACTTCTGTCCCCTCAGACCCCCCCCATGCGCCAATCATCCTCAGGCTTCGACGTAAGCGGCCCGTCGAGGCGGAGAAAGAAGAAGAGCCGGACTTTGAGGTCTTGGACGCGATGCCACCTCATCTCGAGGCCTGCTTCAAGGTGCGGCGTACATCGCGTACAGCGGGTTCCTCGACCTTGATACCGTCCAAATCACAGCTTGGCAGCCCTCTCGACGCGCCGGCCGAACTCTCGCGGTCGCTCACTCCTCCGATCGACGTCCACTTTCAGACGGTCGAGACCAGCTCTGCCCCTAGCTCAGCCGGTAGAGCACTCACCCGGATCGCATCAGCCGCAGCCGCTCCACATGCTACCGATGCACCTCGTTCAGCCACATCTCACGAGCTCGATCGACCGACCAAAGTCGAGACAGGTGACGCCCATCCCCACCAAGAGACCACCGTTTCGCAGGCACTCTCGACCTCGGAGACGTCGGCGGGACAATCCTCGCTATCGACATCGTCTATCATTACCGCGATCTCTCATTCGCCCGCCCTCTTTACCACGGCGACTGCTCCGCCAACCGGCTGCGATACCGTACCTAGGTCTGCAGATCTGCACATCACCGCCGAGCAGACAAGCTCGAAAGTTCTTACGCGCCGCCCCAACTCAGGTCATACTGCAGCTTTCGGCCTAAAGACGTGAGTATCTTGAGGGACTTGTCTGAAACTCGCTGACGGATAGCATCGAATGGACCAAAGCTCGGTACACCGTTATCCTCCTCCAGACCCTGTGCAGTCATCCAGAGGCCAGGTCTGCACTCCTTCCCCTTCCCAGCTCGTCAATCGACCCTCCACTACTCGCCGATCCAGCAAGACCGAGGTGGAAGGTCTTGCGAGACCTGTATATCGCGGTCATCAGTCGAGAGCCAGGAGAAGTTTGGCTGGAAGAGGCGAAGAAGATTGGATGGACGGTCGAGATTCTGACCAAGAAGGGCGTCATGGCGTGGAAAGCCACTTTGAAATGGCCGAGCACTGCCGAGTATGACTTCGAAGAGAGGCTGCAAGCGTGAGTTTTACAGGTCTTTAGGAGCAATGGGTCGAGCTGACTGTCCAGGTTGTCCGCGGCTTGGCTGGAAGGACATTTTGAAGCTACGTTTCCAGCTCTTCTTCTTCTGTCAGGTACGCACTCATCTCCTGTGATCACGGGGGACCTAGCTGATAGACCGTTTCAGATGCTTCAGCTTGCCTCTCCATGATTATTCGCCTGTTCGGTCCACCCGGAAAGCCCACCATCCGGACTGGCAAGACCGACATGGCCAGCCAGACGACGTCGTCCGCTGCAGTCGATCTGGCCGAGCCGCTCCTGCCGCGCCCATTATCCGCCTCGCACTCCTTCTCACCTCCTTCATCAGTCTTGCCTCGCTCGGCACCTATACATGATCACCAAGCCCACCTCGTGGCACCGAGACCGCCGAGCGGCGTCGCCGGTGTCCGTTCGGCGCCGTGCGTTCCGAAAGAGCTGAAGATCCTGGGTGCCTATGCTCGTAACACCATCCGAAGCATACCCCAGCCAGCACCATCTCCCGCTCCTCTTACAACTCCTCTCCGCTATCAGGCCGAAGATCGCCGACCCAATCCCGTCCAGAACCACGTATCAAGCCGGTATCATCTCCCGGCCAAACCCGACTTCTCAAGGTCGACCGCGCTGTCCTGCGAACTTTACGCTATTGCTCAGGACAGATACTTGGCCACTATACGACTAGCCACAAGCGCGTCGTTTACAAGCTCGGATCTTCCTGGTATCTGGCGGGACCGGTACCGAGCTTGTCGCATCGCGTTCGAGAAGGAGGAGATTATGAAGCTGGGTAGGGCGGAAGTATACATGGAGGGCTTGGCTCAGCTGGTCTACTTACGGTACGTACACTCTTTATCACCAACTGATACGATGGCTGTCCATGGAGAATCAGCTGAGCCTTTTAGCGGGAGATCCACCCACACTCTCGACCGGGTATCCTTCAACGCCACCACGATCCCATCGGAGCACGTGATACATGTTCTTGACGAGCTCATCAGCATGACTGGCGGGTCAGTGCATGTCTAAGCTGTCTCGTCGGGGTATCTGCTGATCTGCCAGGCAAAAAGTCGACAGGTCAGACCTGGCATCACCGTCTATGTCTGGAACCGTACCCCGCCACCCCCAAAACCGACCGCTTAGATGGGAGGTACACCTCTTCCCCGATAGTAAAACCTCTCTCCGCCAGGACGGTCCAAGTATGGTTCGTCGCGCTGGGATTTTCCAGTATCTCGACCACCTGGCAGAGGCGTTTGCGCGGCCATAATAGGTGAAACCGCCGGATCTGGGTGCTTGAGGCGGGCGGTGATGGCCTTATATCTGGCGGTGGTGGTCTGGGGAAGGTGGGCGACTCCACTACATATACTCCAGGTAGTCTTGTGCTACATACCATGGCTATATACTCTGCCTTGGCGACGATATTGGTGTCGGGAAGGGGTTCCGCGGATATGAGGCGCCACATATAATATCGAGCTTGGATGCTTGGATCAGCGTGGGGCGGTTTCTCGCTCGTCTACCTCCAAACGCTGTTCCATTCGGCTCTTAGCCATAGCCAGGTCATGACTAGGCCTACCAGCTGAATCTGGCAGCAATTCAGCAAGGGGGAGCGGGCTTGACAGTCTCTGATAGCGGGGCTAATCTGAAACATGCCCGTTTGGGCGGCAGTGATTCTGAAACGCCACTTTGCCACCCAGTCAGGCACGTCCAGTTGACCTCAAACCTTGATTTCAACTTCCTGCACTTCCATCTACCTTCATCTATCACCTATACTTGACCGTTGGCAGAGTATTCGGCACCATGTGAGTACAGAGCCTTTCTGTGGTCCACCTGGCACAATGAGCAGACGCTGATAGGTCAGGCCACCCAAAAGATTGGTTGTGATAAGGTACCCTTCAGTCCCCTTCACATTGCCAATCACCTTGCTCCCAGCCTCGGAACTGCTAAGCTGATACTCAGGTGGTCGAACGAGAGCACTCAAGATATGCTCGACATCATCGCTGCCGACAAGCTTCTCCTCCAAGCCTTATTCCCGCAAGGTACCGCTCAGCTGCCCAAATTCACGGCATCGAGGGACGTCTGCATCAAGTTGTTCGGTCGGTCCGCGAGGGAGGAAGTGTGGTTGAAAGAGCAGGTAAAGGTGATGCCTGGGAGTTTGGAGAAGGTGGATGGAGTCTGGAGAGCAGGGCCCGGGTGGAAAAGCTTTCATGATCCTGTTCAGTCACGCTTGGACTAGTAAGTCTTCTTCATTATGCCAGGAGACAGCGGCGGCCATGTGAGCATAGTAAGCGAAGCTAATTGATCAGTCTGCGCAAGGCGTACGGGAAGGCGGAGAAAGAGCACAAGATCCTTCCAGGGTGGACAGCATGGAAAGATATCGTGTCCAGCACAACTCGCAGTAGGTTTATATCAGCAGTACTGCCGGGATCGGGGAAGGTAGCAGTCTGGAGAGCGGGAAGCTGATCTTTCTAGAGCTGTTAAGAGCCAACGTCCCTTGGTTCTTCGCCTATCGACGCCTTCTTACTACCTCTTCGAGTAATATCCCTGAACTTCCTCCACAATCCTCATCGCCACACAGGCACGATGCGCCAGAAGCCAAGCATCCTCCCTCTTTCGCCATCAACAAGCGGAAGATGGAGACTCTGAACATCGACCCGGACTCCAGCGGGTACGAGACCGATCGAGAGGCCAGTGAAGCACCTATCCTGGCCTCGGCCGACGACGTGAAGTCGGTGCTGGATCTATCGTTCACCGAAGACAGCAGGCGCAAGCGGAGCCGAGAGCCGTCGGACGGGCCGCCAGCGGCCAAAAGGAAGCGCTCTGTGCTGGGCGGGGTCAAAGCGGAAACCTACGTGGCTCGTCCATCGCTAAGGAGAGCGTCAAGCCGGGATATGCCCGGAAACTCAAACGGGGGACAATCGTCGAAACAGCCAATCGTGGTGTCGGACAGCAGCGACCTGGAAGCCATCCAGGACACCAGCGAGGAGGACACCAGCGACGATAGCGGGGACGAGGATCGAGGCGTCGGAAGCCACTTCGTGTCTCTGCGCGGGAATTCAGTCTCCGTGACTTCGGACGAGCTCGGCTCGGACGACGAGGAGAGCAGGGCTCCCGACAACGCCAGCCTCTCCGCTGGGCCGCCAATGCATGCGCCAGCGGCAGAGGGCGCGCGGAGTCAACTGGACCCAGCTGCAGTGGCCAGACAGCAGAGAATCTACCGGATCGCCCTGTCCGACCTGCGCAGATATCGACAGCTCCCGCTGCCCACTATCCCCGACCAATCGGGGCTCACCAAGAATTGCAAGGCTACTCGCATCCTCTACTGTCACTACGTGCTAGCCAAAAACGGGTGAGTCTGACTGTGGTGCCCCGACTGGTCACTGATCTGGCAGGTTCGCATCAAACCTTCTCGCTGGTCAAGCAATCAAACAACCTAAACACAATCGTAAGGTACCGGGAGGTGATATCGGCAGTAGCGTTGAAGGTCGATTGAAGATGGTGAGACAAGTTGTGCAAGCTGTTTCAGGGTGCGTCAAGCTGTCGCCAGATCCGCGACATCACGCTAATCGTTCAGTCATGTGATATCGAGAGGGATCTGCCCACCTAGGCACAGACCATGGAGGCTGACGAAAGGCGGAGGGAGTCGACTCATTCTGATCAGTGTTCGGAGTCGAATGAGCACGATACAGGACTTCACCGCGGAGTTCGATCGGCTGTTCCTGGCTGAGTATGGGGATGATGTGGAAGACATTATCTCCAAATTGAGACAGTAGTCGCATCGAGTACGTATTATGCAGCATCGCGTCAGTTGGACATATGGTGTTGTAACTTTGTCGACCAGGGTGAAGCCTGGTGAAGCTCGGTGAAGATCACTGGGTGATCTCTTAATTGACTGAAGCCGAAAACTTTGCAAGGAATGCGGTGTTCAGCGTTACAATCGACAAGGGTACGTAACAAGTACGTAACATGAACTCCTCATGTCAGCAACGAGTGGTCATCACTGCATCGACCCCTTTCAGCTCCGCATCCCCGGGCTGCGATCAGTCTAATCACACGGTATATGAGGACCTCAGAGTACTTCAACATATAAAGCGGAGCAACTATACTTGCGTGATCGATGCTGATCGACGTCAAAGAACGTAATGAAGTGGACCTTCCGTCATGCCTGCGCGACGGGGACCGGAGGTAAATCACTCGGCTGATCGAGACCGGTACTTGTCTGACCGGGCTTCTAGCACGAGATCCGGATCCTCCTCCGCTCACGTGAGTACAGTGATCAGCATCGGCATTGCTCGCGGATCAAGGACACGCCAAGCTGCAGCTGGGACGCGAGTGACTACAAATACCCAAAGTTCGAGATCATATAGGCGTTCGACAGCTTGAAGATCCTGCCTGCTCCTGTCTCAACATCCCCCAGCCGATCCAGCTGTCTGTGCGATTTATCCCACAGCGTCCTCACCTGCCCACTACTAAACACCCTCATCATAATCTCCCAGTACGACCCATGCCGCTTAGCATGCAGCTGCTCTTTGCTGTACTCGCCCTTGCCTCATCGGTACTCGCTGCTGTAAGTCCTCCCCGTCGGGTCTCTGGGGTCACATGCTGACGTTCTAGCCCGTTACTCCGCTCGAGTCTCGCCAGGAGGCTGTCTGCAGCGGAGACGGCTTCGATGCCCCATACAGCTTGAGCTGCAGCGAGCTGGCCAGCCGAGTCGAGTACCCTCTTGGCCCAGTCGGCAGTAAAGCCGGCGGTGTCGTCTTCCTCGTACACGGTACCGGTAGTCAAGGCTCCGAGACCTGGGGTCCTGGTCCATACCTCAGCATCCTGCCGAACAAAGGGTAAGTTTCACTCATACATCTCCGGTATACGCACAGCTGACCACTAGGCCTGGATACGACATCGCCTGGTTCAACTCCCCTTCCCGCTCGCTCGAAGACGCCCAAACGACCGCCGAGTATATCGCTTACAACGTCCTCGAGCTCGCCAAGAAGTCCAAGACTGGCAAGGTATTCGTGATAGGCCACTCGCAGGGCAATATCAACATCCAGTGGGCGCTGCGGTTCTTCCCTAGCATCCGGAATAAGATCAGCGGGTTCGCATCCCTTGCTGGCGACTTCCACGGTACGTTCCGAGTCCTCCCACCGGAAGCTAGCTAGGAGTGTGGCTGATATTTCAGGAACTGCTGAGGGACCTTTACTATGCACGACCCAAAATCTCGCGCAGGGCGGATGCGCGCCGAGCGTCATCCAGCAATCCATCGGTTCCAAATACCTGGACGCGATGAATGCAGGCGAGGGCGGAAGTGCGCTCGTCAATACGCTCAGCCTGTACACTATCTACGACGATATCATCCAGCCCGAGGTCATCAACCCGACCAGCGAGCTCAATGGCGCAAACAACGTCCGGGTGCAGGACCTGTGCACACCCGCTTACGCGACTGATCACTTTGGGTAAGTCCTTGCCTCATTCTCGTCTCGAGATCGAGCTGATCCCATGTTAGAATGACGGTCGCTGCGCCAGCGTTCTACGCTACCCTTGAAATGCTCCAGAATGGTTCCTTTGACCAGAGCAAGTTCGACGCAAAAACCCATTGCACCTACCTCTCGGATAGCACGTATGTTCCAGTCCTCGATGTCCACCCTGAGAGCGATGCTGACTAAGCTGCAGTATCCCAAACCCCTTCGTCGTCGTTCCCGGGATCATCAAGGAGGCCGCGCTCGACGTCCTTGCTGTGACCTTTTACGGGCCGAAGGTGGCGGCCGAGCCGAAGCTCAAGCGATACGTCTGCGAGAAGGGCTCTGCGTCCTCGTATTGCGAGTAGGGGTTCAGCGGGGAGGACGAGGAGACGAAATGGTCGGTGTGAGGCCAGGTCGCTCGTGAAGCCCCCGAAGTGTACCAGCACTCAGAACATCATTGTGCAGTATCTGTCATGCAGCCGAAAGTCAAGTTTGAGCGCGTCAGGGTAGAATCAGCTCCAACATGGCTTTCAATGACAATGTTCATCTGATGAGATGTCCAATTCAACACTAATTGCCCTGCTAGAACATGCTCTTCTCTATCAATCAGATACGGTCCTTAGGGATACCATCCAGCTCATCGAAACCGAGCGCCAAGTTTAAGTTCTGCCAGTCAGCACCATCCCAGACCCTATCAAACCCCATCCTAGGACTCACCTGCATGCACTGCGTCGCCGCCCCCTTCAACAGATTGTCCAGCACACCAACAACCACCACCCTCTTTCCTCCCGAGTGCACCTGCACGCCGCCCATACGCCAGCCGTGCCGCCCCTCCCCGTCCTGAATCTCAGGCACCTTCTTGCCGACAGTGATCAGCCGCTCGCCGGCGTATTTGGTCTCGTAGAGCTCGTGCACCTCGCTCGCGCGCATGACCTTGGACAGCGGGGCGTTCAGGACCGAGATGATGCCGGAGAACCAGGGGGCGACTGTGGGGATAAAGGAGAGGGTCCAGTCGGGGTTGGAGGCGGAGAGGAGGGAGCGGAGGTGGGTGGACGATTCGCGCTCGTGGATGTGGTCAGTGAGTGCGTAGGGACGAACACCGCCTCCGAGGTCTTCGGCGGTCTGCGTGTCAACTTGAAAATATGTCAGATCGGGAAGGAGGATACGTACGACTTTGGGGAGGGTGACGGATCGGCCTTCAGCGTCTTTTTGGCCAGACTTGGTGCCCGCGCCAGAGTATCCAGAGACACCAAAGACGGTCGGAGCCTGGACCGGGTCAAGGTAGGGCATAAGCGGAGCCAAGAGGAGCTGGTTGTTGGTCGCGTAGCATCCTGGGTTGGAGACGCGTTTAGACGATTGGGTGAGGGATCGGTCGTACAATTCTAATGCATATTTAGCCTCCTTTCTACTTTCTTTACCCCCTCCCTCCATCAAACCCGGCCCCTCCCCTCCACACTATGCTCTCAGCTCACCGGGAAGACCGTATGTCCATCCTTGCTCGAACCTGTAGTCTGCACTCAGATCCACAATCACCCCATTCCCCTTTGCCGAGTCGATCGCATCGACAAACGGCTTGCACACGCCATTAGGGAGCGCCATGACCCACGCATCCACCTCGCCATTCTCCTCCATCTTCTTGACGTCATCCAGCGAGAGGTTCGAGTACGACACCGACGACTTTTTGTACTCCTTCAGCGGAAGGCCGGCGAGTTCACGGGACGAGACGTGGGTGAGGTCGAGGTTGGGGTGGTTGTCGATGAGGGAGATGAGGTTCTGGCCCGTGTAGCCGCGAGCGCCGATGAGGGCGACGCGTTTCCGAGGGGTAGGAGCAGCAGTGGCGTACCCGCGGCGGGAAGAGGGGAGGGGAGACCGAGCCGAGGTGGAGTATGCACGCGCACCGGCGCGGTGGGGAGGGACGGAAGGACCGACGGGCAGGAAGACGCGCTCAATGCGCCCAGACTCCTCGAACCCCTTGACGATCGTCTCGACCTCCTTAACGTCCGGCACACCATACCAGAACAAGCTACGCCCAGCTCGCGTAAAGCTTCCGTCCGCCTTCTCAAAATGCCACGCCCGGTTCTCATCATCCGCCTTGGCAGTCCAGAAGAGCCGGCGGTGGTCCTTCTTGATGGCGTCAAAGACGTTGTCGACAATCTTGTTGAGGATACCGTTCCGGCTAGGGAGGAATTTGGTCATGACCGGAGTCTGGCCCTCGGGGTGGGAGACGACCGCGACGACGTCGAAAGGTTCGTCGCCGTAAATGGTGTGCGCCGAGCCCTTCATGTCCGAGAAGATCTCAGCGACGGATTTGCGGCCGGAAGCCACCTCCGAGTCCCGCTCGGTGAAGACTTGACGGAGCTGGCTGGATCCGACAGCATCGATAGACGACTGCTTGTACAGCTTGTGGCCGCGACGGATGAGGGTACCGGCGCCCTCGTCGGTGAAGAGCTCCTTTTGGAGCATGTCGGTGGAGATGATGGCGACGGAGGAAGTGCGGGGGAGGGTGTCGAGGAGGTCCTTGATCTCCCGGAGCTTGAGCTTGGTGCCGTACTTGACCCATGACTCCTTCATGAGCCCCTCGTACTCCTCGTCCAGGTTGATGGTCGAGATCTTCTTCCCGGTCACACCGTGGAAGAGACCGCCCTTCTCGTTCAGGTAGACGATCTTCATGGGCTAAACGATCAGCTCAACTCTTCGTGAGGCTGAAAGCGAAGATGCTAGCTCACCTCGAGGACTTTCGCAAGCTCTCCAGCAGCGACATCCGCGTTCACATTCAAGATCTGCCCCTCCGCATTCTCCGCCAGACTGGTCAAGATAGGCAGACATCCCGCCCGGATAGCCGCCTCGATAGGCGCCTTGTCGACCTTGGTGATCTTCCCAACAAGCCCATACTTGGCCTTGTCGAGGTACTCGGCCGTAAAGACGCCGGTTGGGATGGGGCGGGCGCGCGTACCGAGGCGTTCGAGCGCGGCGGTGAGCTTGAGGTTCTCCTGCAGGAAGACCCGGCGGGCAATGTTGAGCGTCTTGGCGTCGGTGATTCGGATACCGTCCTCGTAGTCGGGAACGATACCTTCAGCCTCGAGGAGCTCGTTACTGATATCAGCAGAGTTATGGCCTGGAGCTTACAGTTGAGGTCCACCACCGTGCAGGACGATGGGGTAGAGACCGAGCCTGTTGAGGAATGAGAGGGAGAGCGCGAGGTCGTCCAGCTCGTTGGTGAGGATAGCGCCTCCAATCCTACGACATCAGCTTAGGTACCGCGATCAGTACAAAATAGCTCACTTCAGAACGGCAAACTTGGCTTCCGGAAGAACACCCTCCTTGCCTGTCGACCGGCTGCTCTGGGAGAAGATGCGCAAGTACCGCTCAACCTCGTGCCTCGAGCCCAAAGAGTATAGGAGACGGATGATTGTATCACGGTCCATGCCTCCTTCACGCCCGCCGCTGAGCGCCGAGGAGGTGATGCCCCTCGAGCGGATCTCCTGTGCGGTCTTGCGAGCATCCAGGTTGAGGACGACGTTCGGGGCGGACGATGAGGAGAGGGTCCGGGCCTGGGTGATTGGGCGGACAGCCGGGCGAGGAAGAGAAGCGCGCGCGACGGAGGGGAGTCGGCGGAACATGGTGGGTAGGTGTATGGGTATGAGCTGTAAGGAGCGACAAGTATGATAGACGTTGGTATCTCTTCTTCCTCGCTTGACTCGCTCTCGTGCATGCCGCTGGCTGATAACGAGAAGCGGCGATCACCGGAGCCTTATCAGAAAATCAGCGCGCGGTACCAAAACTCCGGGCTAGGCGCGACAAGCCATCTGGATAGGCTTGCGTGCTGGCGACTGACTTCAAGCTCCTTTGATTCTGAGCGTAAACAAGACCGTGTGCACTTCGCGCTTCAACCTATACCAATCAGACATCATCAGACACCATGTCGGAAGACCAGGAGAACGTCGTAGGTGGTCCTGAATCGTACGTGGGCTATGAGCTGACTCGCAGGCGCCTATCTCGCGCATACCACGACCAACCGGAACCTCACCCGCCCTCAAATCCGGTATCCCAACCCTCTCCGGCCTCGGCCTCGGACTCGGCGTAGCAAAGCGCAAGGCGCCCTCCTCACCTATCCAGCCGGCGAAACGCGTCGCTTCCGGCTCGAACGGACCAAATTCCTTGGTACAAAGCACCAGTACCGCCCGGAAAGCGTCATCAGGATTCGTACCCACCGCTAGGAAACCCGTGTCATCCACTGGAAGCTCGGCTGGCCGTCCTGTCGCTGCACCCGTCGGAAGACTGTCGGGCACTTCGACGAGGTCGGCCAGTCTGGCTAGTACGTCCAGTGCTGGGTCTTCGTCGACCATCTCGACGCGAGCGAGACCGGCCGGGATCGGCGCAACGAAGCGGCCGCCTGCTAGTGCGAGTGCTAGTGCTTCGGCGAGCACGAGTGCGGTGCGGCCGATACCAGGGAGTCGACTGGGGAAGAGTGCGGGACCAGGGAGGGGTGTCAGTCCGGGCTTCGGCGGTGTGGGGATGGGCAGCGGGTCACAAGCGAAGGTGGGTCCTGAGCTCTCAGACTGCTAAGGGGGAACGAGCTGATCCATAGAGCCATAATGTGGACGGATTGCAGGAGCTCATCGAGCGGGAAGTTGCGAGGGGGGAGCTAATTCGCCCTCTCTGTGGTCAGAGCTGACAATCAGTCTCCAACATCCAGATGTCGCAAATCGAATCTCAAAACCTGATCGCATTGAAGCAGAACGCGGACAGAGAAGCCCGACAACACCTCTCCGCAGCGAGCGAAGAATTAGCACTCCTCAGATCCAGCCACGCGAGGGAAGTGGAGGAGCTGGAGAAGCAAGTTCAGCGCAAAGATCGCGAGAAGCGGGGGCTGGAGGAGGAGCTGAGGGAGAGTAGGGATGAGATTTCGAGGGAGAGACAGACTGTGCGGGATCTCAAGGTCAGTTTTGGAGGAGATGATACAACCAGTTATCAAGCTGACAAAGAAGCAATCCATGGCTGAGCAATCCACCCAACATATGACACTCTCCGCTCAACTGACCGCTTCTCAGTCCCAATTATCCATCCTCCAGGCCGAAATACAGCGCGCGACGCTTAGCGTGTCGAGCATGAAGGCCGAGTTGGAGGTTGGGCGGCAAAAGGCGCGGGACGCGGAGGATCGAGCGCTCAAGAAGATCCAGGACGCGGAGGAGGACCGGGATAAGCGGATAGCGGAGATTGAAGAGCAGCTGCGCACGGCAGAGACGATACGTCGGAAACTGCATAATCAGGTGCAGGAGCTCAAGGGGAATATCCGGGTTTTTGCGAGGGTTCGGCCTGCGCTGGGTGAGTCCTAGCGCAAACGGGCATGAGAGCCGAGAAGCTGATCAAATAGCGCACGAGGCGGAATCGCCAGATGGAGTCGCAGAGATCAAGTATGGCGATGAGCGTAAAGAAGCAGAGACGGGCCAGTCGGAGATTACGTTCAAGAGCCGGTCCGAGACGGCCATGGGGAAGGAGAGGGAGCAGGTGCATTCGTTCTTGTTTGACAAGGTGTTCGATCCGAGTGCGGGGCAGAAGGATGTGTTTGAGGAAATATCGATGTTGGCGCAGAGCGTGTTGGACGGGTACAATGTGAGCTGGTGTTTCCTGCCCGATGGCGGGAGATAGACAGCTGATTCGGCAGGTTTGTATTTTTGCGTATGGCCAGACTGGGTCAGGGAAGTCTTGGACCATGGAAGGAGGCGATGTGAGTAATCAGTTCCGCTTTGGGCTTTCCTGTCTAGATAGGTCGGTAGACTGACGCGGAAGTCTGACGAAACGGCGGGTATGATCCCTCGAGCGATCGATATGATCTTCACGGCGTCTGCGCACCTCAAGGACCGTGGATGGAAGTATCAGATGGAGGGGCAGTTCTTGGAGGTGTACAATGAGGTGGTCAGTTGTAGGAGCTCGATGTGCGCCGCCAAAGCTGACCGCGCAGATCAATGATTTGCTCGGTAGTGGTCAATTCGACACCAAGAAGCACGAGATCAAGCATGATAAAGAAGGCAAGATGAGTGTGACCGACGCAGTTAGCAGTAAGTTATCTCATGGGCCAGGATCATGTCCCGCAGCATTAGCTGAAGCTGACGTCTTAGTCCCCCTCAGCAATCCCCGACAAGTCCATACTCTGCTCGACCGCGCAAAATCCCGCCGAGCGGTCGCTGCGACGCTGATGAATGAGCGCTCCTCCCGTTCTCATTCGGTCTTTACGCTGAAAGTGCGGGGTGTCAACCCGTTGACGGACGAGAGTTGCGAGGCGATGCTCAATCTCGGTCAGTTATCTGCTTGATATGCTGCCCTTCCAAGCCCTTGCTGACGGATCAGTCGATTTGGCCGGATCGGAACGCCTCGCCTCGTCTGGCGCCGATTCGAACAAGGACCGTATGAAGGAGACTATCAATATCAACAAGTCGCTCTCTGCGCTTGCAGATGTGATTGGGGCGCTGGGGCAGGGACAGGCGGGTGGGCATGTGCCATATAGGAATTCGACGTTGACGAGGCTGTTGCAGAGCGGCTTGAGCGGTAAGCTTGCTCCGGCTCTTGCGCGAGCGCGAAACGAGGGATAAGCTGATCAGGTAGGATCAAGCAAGACGCTCATGATGTGCAACCTCTCACCCCTATCGGCACATCTCGGGGAGACGCTGTGTAGTCTGAGGTTCGCAACGAAGGTGAATAGCACGGTGGTCGGCGCGGCGAAGAAGCAGGTCACAAAGTAAGACAAGTGAGAAGGGGTATGAGTGGGACATTTTGGTCAATTGCAAGTGGCTGCTAGTCAGATAGGCGCGAGGCCGATGTTATATTGTACGCAAGATGCAGTGTGACATCATATACCCGTTCATGCTGACCCCTCCCCACTCCCCAGCTCTATATCCCCTACTCTCAACCGCGTCCACCCCTGCTTGTGCTGAATCGTCTTTTTGTACCCCTGCCTCCTCTTCTTCTTGACAATCAACTCCAACGGGCTCTTGGTATGCTCCAGCACCGTCAATCCACACCGAGCCACATGGGCCGGAACCGTATCGTCCTTCCAACTCCCTAACTTCCTCTCTGGATCCCTCAATTCCCTTCGGCGCTCATGGCCCCCCGCGGCGGGCGAGCGGATCGCATAGTCGCGAGAGCCCACTTCGAGGATACGTGTCAAAGCGAGGACGGTTCCGGGCGGTGAGAGCGGTTTGAGGGTGGGAACGGTGAGGATGTCTCGGGGATGGAGGAGGTATGTCCGTGAATGGAGGCGAGCGACGAGGTAGCGGCCGGTCGAGGGGGTGGATTGGGAGGCGATGAGGGAGAGTGCGGAGGTGGTGGAGGAGGGTGTGGGAGTAGATGGGGGGAGGAGGGGAGGGAGGCGGGATGAAGAGGCCGAGGATGCGGCGGAGGCGGAGGTCGAGCTGGATGAGGATACGGATGAGGGGGAGGCAGGGTGGGGGAAGGAGCTGCTGCTTGCTGGCGGCAGAGGTGCGGAGGTTTGGAGATATCTCAGCGAAGAGGAGAGGACTGGATGTGTAAGCTGGATCTCCCGACAGACCAGACGATGAGAGAGCAGCTAGCTCACCTTTTGGGAGTCCTGCTCGGCCGGACATTGTGGAGGGGGAGATGTGATGGCTAGCAAGGACTATATGATCGTGTAAGAGGGAGCTGGGTCTAGCGTCGTGCTAGATGTGTGCGCGGCAGGTGTTATGGTCTACCTTGAGGTGGTGGTGGAGGTTGGACCTGGTGAAGCTGGAAAAATAGCTCCCGTAAGTGCCACAACCCTCCACCTAAGCCGGCTTTATTTCTAAAACGCCGACTCACTCCGTCCCTGACCCGACCTCCCCCGCCCGCAGAGCCCAGCCAGCCAACCGCAGGGTTCCGACGAAAAGATACTATACACCTCCCCTCCCAACCCCCCTCTTCTCTTCTACCCCACCACTCATTATAAAAGCATAGTCAGGATGCACTCCGCCATTCGATCCATCCGCGTGGCATCGCGCGCGGCCGCTGGCCAGGCGGTAAGTTTTGGAGATGGCAGCCAAGGGAGAAGAAGGGTCGGGATGGATCGGGTTTGGGGAATTGGGGTATAGGTGTAGGGGTTGGGAGATCTGTTGTTGAGGGGATACGATGGAGGGATGGCCAACTCAGATGGGTCAGAGGGTGGAGATATGTGGCGAGATAGATGGACGGGAAGGGGAGCAGGAGCCGCGAAAACTCGCAACCCGCAATTAGAGGAGCAATTGCTAATTCACCTAGACCCGCTCCCGGTTCGCCCCCGTTGCTGCTCGGGCCTACGCTACTGCCAAGCCTGGTAAGTCTCTACTGGGCGAAGCGTATATTGACCAGGAGCTGACGCCGCAGCCGCTTCCGAGGTCTCCTCCATCCTCGAGTCCCGGATCTCCGGCTCGAACGTGGGCGGTGATGTCCAGGAGACTGGCCGAGTCTTGAGTGAGCTCCTTCGCCTAATACTTCTTCTGAGGCCGAGCTGACACTCCAGCCATTGGTGACGGTATCGCCCGTGTCTACGGTCTCCGGAACGTCCAGGCCGAGGAAATGGTGGAATTCTCTTCGGGTGTCCAGGGAATGTGCTTGAACCTCGAGGCCGACAACGTCGGTGTCACCATCTTCGGTAACGATCGTCTTATCAAGGAAGGCGACACTGTCAAGCGTACCGGCCAGATTGTCGACGTGCCCGTCGGACCCGGTCTTTTGGGCCGTGTCGTTGACGCCCTCGGAAACCCCATTGACGGCAAGGGACCCATCGACTCGGTCGGCCGTACCCAGGCTCAGCTTAAGGCTCCCGGTATTCTCCCCCGTCGGTCCGTCCACGAGCCCATGCAGACTGGTCTCAAGTCGGTTGACGCCTTGGTCCCTGTAGGTTCACCTAGGTTCACCTTGAATGTCAGCATTGGTCATTGGCTGACGCTCAGATCGGCCGTGGTCAGCGTGAGCTTATCATCGGTGATCGTCAAACCGGCAAATCCGCCGTCGCCATCGACGCCATTCTTAACCAGAAGAAGTGGAACGACGGCGCCGACGAGAGCAAGAAGCTTTACTGTGTCTACGTCGCCGTTGGCCAGAAGCGTTCTACCGTCGCTCAGCTCGTCAAGACCCTCGAGGAGAACGACGCCATGAAGTACACCATCATTGTCGCCGCTACCGCCTCGGAGGCCGCTCCCCTTCAGTACCTCGCCCCCTTCTCGGGATGCGCCATGGGCGAGTGGTTCCGTGACAACGGCAAGCACGCCCTCATCATCTACGACGATCTGTCCAAGCAGGCCGTCGCCTACCGTCAGATGTCGCTCCTGCTCCGTCGTCCCCCAGGACGTGAGGCTTACCCGGGAGATGTGAGTTGGTTCTCAGTTGAGATAAGGCAAAAGCTGATGGCAGGTCTTCTACTTGCACTCGCGTCTTCTTGAGCGTGCCGCCAAGATGAACGAGAAGTACGGTGCCGGATCCCTCACCGCCCTCCCCATCATTGAGACCCAGGGTGGTGATGTGTCCGCCTACATTCCTACCAACGTCATTTCCATCACCGGTACGTTACTTGCTGTACATCTCTGTACTTTAGCTTACCCTTCAGACGGACAGATCTTCCTCGAGGCCGAGCTCTTCTTCAAGGGTATCCGACCGGCAATCAACGTCGGTCTCTCGGTGTCCCGTGTCGGTTCCGCCGCCCAGACAAAACTCATGAAGTCGGTCGCCGGATCCCTCAAGCTCTACCTCGCTCAGTACCGTGAAGTCGCCGCGTTCGCCCAGTTCGGTTCCGACCTTGACGCGTCCACCCGGTACCTCCTCAACCGTGGTTCGCGTCTCACGGAGCTGCTCAAGCAGCCCCAGTACAACCCCATGCCTACCGAGGTCATGGCTCCCCTCATCTACGCCGGTGTCAACGGTATGCTCGACAAGGTGCCCGTCGACAAGATTGGCGCGTGGGAGAGGTCTTTGTAAGTTGTTTCTTTACGCATAAGTAAGGGGTTGCAGCTGACCGGTCAGCACTGAGCAATTGAAGAACCAGAACTCGGCCTTCCTCGAGAAGCTCGGCGGCGGTGTGTTGACAAAGGATATCGAGGAGGAGATGAAGAAGCTCATCAGCGCCCACGTTGCCGACTTCAGCGAGTAGAGTGTTGGGGAGGTAGTGTAGGGCGGGAGATTGCAGTAGAGGCGTTTCTTTGGGATGTAGGGAAGCGCGGACGGTGTCGTTTGCCAAAAATGCATTCGTTTGAAAGGTAGCTCGCCACATCCGTGAGGATATCGATGACAGCCGTCCACCCATGGGCCACGTTGGATTAGCATGCGTGAAAGCTTGACCTTTCTTCAGCAATCTGCTCGTGAATTTGGTCCAGTGCTCGGTGCCCATGACTTGCTTTCGACAGAACTCTATGCACTGCTTATTGTGCTAATAGCTATTACTGCCTAGAAGCATCCCTGCGAGCAAGTATGATTTGTGCGTGGCTTCGCGCTCATCAGAATCAACCTCCTCTTTCCCGGCCTTGACGAGGATCTGATCCACTGTATTGGCGGTCTTGCGTACCTTGCATCTCAGCTTACGGACATGCGCCAAACCTCGACACAAGACTCACAACAGTAGTCATCTGCCCTACGCTGCTCTGAACCTTGGTCACATCCCTCCGTATCTCCGCCAACTTGGATGAGGGTCCCTGCATCTTGACGACCGACGCCTTTAGGTCTTTGCCCTTGCTGCGCCAGCCCCTCCAACCCCTCCTTCATCTCGCTTCTGATTATCTCGCGGTCCGCTTGTGCTGAGCCTAGAAACTCCGACACCACCCGAAGCCGGTTATCCAAACCTCGACACCAGACTCACAATAGTAGTTATCTGCCCCACACTACCCTGGATCTTGGTCACATCCCTCCGTATCTCCGCCAACTTGGATGACGGCCCTTGCATCTTGACGACCGACGCCTTCAAATCCCGCCCTTGCTGTCCCAGCTCCTCCAACCCCCCCTTCATCTCGCTTCTGATTATCTCGCGGTCCGCTTGTGCTGAGCCTAGAAACTCCGACACCACCCGAAGCCGGTTATCCAAACCTCGACACCAGACTCACAATAGTAGTTATCTGCCCCACACTACCCTGGATCTTGGTCACATCCCTCCGTATCTCCGCCAACTTGGATGACGGCCCTTGCATCTTGACGACCGACGCCTTCAAATCCCGCCCTTGCTGTCCCAGCTCCTCCAACCCCTCCTTCATCTCGCTTCTGATTATCTCGCGGTCCGCTTGTGCTGAGCCTAGAAACTCCGACACCACCCGAAGCCGGTTATCCACATGCGCGACTCGTCCTTTCAAGGAGGCGTTCTCGCGATGCAATTCGTTGATCGCGGAATGGAGCGCGCCTCTCTCGTGCCGCGCAGCTTCGAGCTGTTGATGCGTTTGATAGTGCATGTCGAGGACGAGGCGTCGGAGATCGTTGACGAGGAGCATCATGTCCGACATGGTAGGTTCGGGTTGGGCTAGGGGAGGGGGAGGGGGCTGGAGGTGGGGTGGGGCTGTAAATCAGCAGGCGCCTGTCTCTTGCGAGTGCGGCAAGGATATACCTTGGATCATCATGGAAGAGACAGGAGCAGACATCTTGGCGAGGACTGAGATGATGGGTAAATGGGGGAGCAGCGCGACGGAGCAGAAATGTTAGTGAGGTGGCTGGTCCGTCTCGGTCCTGCGCCACCCATGGCCAGAAACGCAAAAACAAACGCGTCGCGTCCGACGAAATCTCCAGAGCCGCCGGAAATCCGGTCTCTTTCCGGCCGGTAATTACTTTTCCGGGTATTTGAGCGCCTCCACCCGGACAGCCAGAGACACAAAGGTCGAGAGAGGTGGATGACAAGGGTATTACATCGTACAGCTGTCTCGTGTAAAGAAGTTTCGCGTTGTCGTCAATCGCCATGACTCGCCAGGAGCAGCCGCGTACCCCTTACGAGCCAGATCTGGAGGAAGATTGGCTCGCCCCGGAGGAGGAGCAGGTCATCGAGGGGGACTTGAGTGTGCGGGCAGTGGTAGTCGGGTTGCTGGTTGGGTAGGTCTGCCGACTTGCCGGCAGGGAGCTTTGCTGACCGATCAAGAGTCGTGCTGTGTATGACCAACGTGTACTTTGGTCTGCAGACCGGTACGTCGCTATACTCCGTCAGCTGCTTGAGCAAGCTGACCGTCCTCAGGCTGGGTCTCCATGATGTCCCTCCAATCCGCTTTACTCGGCTACGCCATCTTCCTAGTCCTCCCCAAGCTCCTCCCCTCAGTCATGTCCAGACCATTCACGGTCCAGGAAAATGTCATCCTCCAGACTACCGCCGTCGCTACCGGTACCATGCCCCTCGCTGCCGGTCTTGTCGGCATTATCCCCGCGCTCGAGATGCTCGATATCAAGCTGGACGGACGGGGGCCTATCCGGCTCACATGGACCCACCTCATCGCTTGGTGTCTCGCCGTAGCGTTCTTCGGGGTGTTTCTTGCCGTCCCGCTCAGACGGCAGGTGATCATCAAGGAGAAGCTGGTATTCCCTAGTGGGACGGCTACGGCGCAGCTTATAGCGTTGCTGCACAAGGCGCCGCCGCCTGCTCAGGCGCTGGATCCGAGCAGGATCGGAGCGTATGCGAGGATCCCGAGGGACTCGAATGAGGTGACGGAGACGCGGCAGGTTGGGCCGGCGGGTCCGGGCGGAACGGCGGAGAAGCAGCAGGTGATGGGCGGATCGGCGTGGAGGATGCTGGGGTTGAGCTTCGCCGCGAGTGGAGCGATGACAGTAAGCTGACAGGTGCTCGTTTTGTCAAGCGAGACTTCAGCTAAACGCGTCCAGTTCCTCAGCTTCCTCTTCCCTGTCCTATACGCTATACCAGCTTTCGATATTCTCAGTATACCGTTCGGAACCAGCCTCGCCGCCAGCTGGATGTGGTGGTTCACTCCATCACTGTCATACGTCGGGCAAGGTCAGCTCAGTTCAGCTTGATGCAGGGGACAGCGGCAATATATTGACCCAGCAGGCATCATCATGGGCTTCCCGGTCACGGTATCGATGAACATCGGCATGATTGTCGGGTGGGCGTTCTTGTCCCCTCTGTCAAAGATGATGGGGTGGGCACCTGGTCCGGTCAGTTCGACAACGAACGGAGCTAGAGGCTGGATAGTAGGTCTAAGGTTGATATTCGAGATAGCGGTACTCATCGCTCACAATCAGCTATGGGTCGCTCTGGCAATTATGATTGCCGAATCACTCATCTCCCTCCTCCCCTCATTCTTCGCCTCGCTTCAGCGTCAGATATCCCACTTCCGTCAGAACAAAGCCCCAACACGCATGTTCGCCGCAGCTCACTCCTCCCCGCGCGGATCTCACGACACCGCAACAGGCGACGACTACTATGAGCCAATGACGGGCGAGCCGGACGAAGACGCAGAGCATGAACCGCCTCATCGGCTCGTTCCCCTCTCGTGGGTCCTCTGGGGACTAGGCGCGAGTGGCGTGCTCGGTGTGGGACTGGTTTGGTATGTGTTTGGGGATGATGGGATCAAGCCGTGGGCCACGGCTGCGGGTTTGATATTGGCCAGTGGGTTGGCGGTGGTTGGTGTGAGAGCACTAGGGGAGACGGATATCAACCCGGTAAGCTTTGGTGCCGACAAGATCCTTTGGTCATAGCTGATCCTATAGGTTTCTGGGATTGGTAAGATCAGCCAGTTATTGTTCGCCATCCTCCAGCCTGGAAACGTGGTCGCCAATCTTATTGCTGGCGGAGTGGCTGAAGCCGGTGCACAACAGTAAGCCAGCTTCTACCTCCAGGGCCTAGGCAAGATATCGTAGCTGACGCAGTGTAGAGCTGGCGACCTCATGCAAGACCTGAAGACCGGACACCTGCTACGAGCGTCACCGAGGTCTCAATTCTATGGGCAGATGATCGGGAGTCTGGCAAGTGTATTTGTGTCCACTGCTGGATACAAGTTCTACACTTCGGTGTACCAAATCCCTGGGCCTCAATTCGCTGTCCCATCTGCCGGCGTATGGTGAGTCGATATGTCCGTGATCACCTTGCCACAGCTCATACTCCAGGCTTAATCTTGCTCGACTGCTCAACAATGGCCACCTCCCATCGCACGTTATACCCTTTATGGCACTCTTCGCGGCCCTCTTTGGGCTCATTGCGCTCCTCAAAGCCCTCCGTCCCCGTCTGAACCTCGAACCTTCCTCACCCTCCTCCCGAGCCATATCACACCTCCCCTCAGGTATCGCCTTCGCCGTGGGCTTCCTCAATTCTCCCTCCTTCTCCATCGCCCGTCTGATCGGCGGGTATATCGCCTACCGAAGCGCAAAAGCCAGCGGGAGGGGCGAGACGCCGTTATTGGCGATTGTGGTGGCGAGTGGGTTTGTGCTGGGTGAGGGGGTGCTGAGTATTGTGAGTCTGGGGCTGACGAGTGCGGGGTATGGGGCGATTAGCTGTTGGGGGTGCGGAGTGGGCGGTGGGGGGTATTGTAGTGGAGGGTGCTCGTAGACTTTGTATCGATAGAATAGAATGGTCGGGTATGCCCGGTCAGGAACCTTTGCTGTCCGCTATAGAGTGATCAATGACCGGCTGTGCCAGCAGGCAGTACGGGTACATGCCATACGCTACAAAGCATTGTCCTTCCCGTGTGCCGTATACTAGATATTCTACACCGATAAAGCCCAGAAGCTACCTAAGAGCACGGCGACCAAGCCTCCCCAGCCCATCAACCCCGATATGCTTCTCCTTTCAGTACCACTGCTCGTACTGCTACCTCCGCCGGTAACGACAAAGCTCCCTCCATACTGCGCCACGAGCTGGGCCGAGATTGTCGAGCGAGGCAGTGTGCTCCGAGGCCTGAGTGTGTGCTTCCCGATGATCCCATCGCCGACCATAATCCAGCTCGCATTCGAAGGGACACCGTTGACGACGATGAAAAACATGGCTGGTCCCGGAGCTGATTCATCAGCTTGCCTTTCCCGAGCACGATCGAGGATAGCTAAACTGACCAAGAATGGCAGGATTCGGCTCCATCTGCGCCACATGCAGCGTCGCGCTTCCATCATCATTACTCGTGAACGCAGTCTCGAGCTCGATGTGCCTCATACCCATATTCATAGTGTGCGTACTGAACCCGCTCCGGATGATGACGGCTTTTGTACGGTTGATGTTGAGGGCATTGTTGGCGAGGTCGACGAGGGAGAGGGTCACGTCGAACGAGTCGCCGCCGTAGGTGATGGTACTAGGCATACCTTGTGGCTTGGGTTTGGGCTTGTCATGGCTGGAAGGTCAGCTTAGCGGCAAAACTTGGTGACCCAAAAAGCTCACTAGTCTGGATAGAAGATCTCGACTTGATACTGGGTGACATAGGTCGCAGTGGGAACATTGACCTTGTCGACGTCTGCAGCGTCAGCTGTGTTCCCCAGGTTCGAAGTCGGACTTACAATCAGCATTCGGATTACTACCCGAGATGATCACGGTGCCATCAGGCAACAACGACGCGGACGAGTGGTACATCCTTGGAATGGACGATACGCCCGCCTTGGCCCATCGCTGACCCGTCGGCTTGCTAGGGTCGAAATACCAAGACTGGTACTGCGGGTTGTCGGCGTAAGATTGGCCGATCGCCCATGTGTCATTGCCGTAGCCTGCCGTGCCGAGACCAGCACCGTTCACTTGGAAAAGACGGCCATCCGGGAGGTTGATGAGCTGGGTGTCAGCTATACTTTGCCTGACTCCGCACACAAAAGGAGAACTTACATTTCCCATAGACCGACCCGCATCGAGCGAGTCATCATCGTACCACGTAGTATCTACATCCGGACTGATGCGCACACACGTCTTGTCCGCGGGGTACTTGGAGATGGGCCAAGTAGTAGTCCACTGATCCTGCTTCAAATTCGTCCCGCCGCAGAACAGGATCGTCATCGTCCAGTTATTCTGCGGCGTTTGGGGGAAGGTGGCCGTGCCTGCGCTCGCGGGGTAGACACGAACGGCGTATGGGATGTTGGGAAGAGGGTATTCGATCTGGCGCTTGTAGTCGAATATCTCGGCTTGAAATTCGGCTTGGACAAAGAGGTTACCGGACGGGAGAAGCCAGACGAGGGGGAAGAGGTTGACGGGCATGGTCTTAAGGAGGAACTGGAGAGTGAAGGGCGTGCCTTTTGATGGCCAGTACTGATGGGTCAGGTCGGACATCCCGCAAGAAGGTGGGGGATGCAGAGCTCACCTCGATGGTTGGATTGTTCTGATTATCCGCGTAATTCACATACCCACCCCACTCGCATCCGCCCATAATGATCGCGGACCCATCCTCCAGCGTCTCGACAGTAGGATACCACCTCCGCGTCGTCATGTACATTGCAGGGTTATCGACCCACTCGCAGCTCTCATCATCGCACGGATCAAGGACGCGTACCGCCTTCCCGCCATCTGTGTTCCGGTATGGACTCTGCCCTGTCTGGCTGGCCGCCGTATTGCCGCCGTACGTGATGGCTTGGTTGCCGCCGACATTGATCCAGGTGCCGTTACCGAGGACGGTGCCGCCAGCGCAAAACGCGTTGGAGAGGACGTCCATGGACCGGTAGGTGTTGGTCGCGAGGTCATATTCGGTCGCCCAGGCGGGATGACCATTTACTGTTGCGTTGTTGCGCTCTGTACCGTCAGCTTCTTGACCCGCAATACTATATCTGGCAGCGGCTACAAGAAGACATACCTGTCTTGTCCACTATGTACACCTTCCCCGGCCGCCCCAGAAACATCTGTTGTGCTGACACGCCGGAAAGACCGACATACTTGAAGGTATTTGCCGTCTGAGCTGTAGCTGATGGGAACAACAGAGAGGCGAGTGTGAGGACGTGTACGAGACGTCGCCGCGTAGAGCTGCTGGGATCCAGCATGGTCGGCTAGGTGTTGAGGGGAGCGGAGCGTCGTCGGGAAGCCGTTTTCTCGGCGGAATGGGAAGACTGGTCCAAGAGCACTTCTACTTGTGCGCTATTCCCAAACGAGTAGCTGAGCCTCGTGCGATGTCTAGGCGGAAGAGGGAGATGTCAAGATAAGAAAGCAAGGGCAGAGTAGATTTGTGATATTGTGAGCAGCAAGTGGGCAGTGCAGAGTCGGCGATGCAAATCCGGATGGAAATAGCACAGCGAGGCGACTCTGACGTAATGCCCTAAGCTCGCGCACGGACCTCTTGATGAAACCGCTGACGACAGCAAGGATCGCTGGAGCTTGTTTCATGTTGTCACATGGCATGTCTGATCGGGCTGAACGGCAGCGAGGGGTGTGTGACAGAGCCAGAGGCCCGAGCGCGCAGCCCAGAGAGCTGTCTAGTCACACGGAGCAGATCATGAGCTGGTAGCAGAGCAATAGACGGATCGGACCCAATACTCAACCATCACCCAATCCCTCGAGCAAGCTGCATTCCCGGCGACTTGCCAGCGCGGGGGGTTCCACTTGTGTCTTGTCCTTTCGAATGGCCATGCCAGTGATATCATAAGCCTCATATAGATGCATCGTCACCAAGACTATGCGCAGATCACGCGCCCAGGTCGCCACTGAGCGAACTCGAGCCCCAAATAACAGCCCCAGCCCGGTCTGAATGTCAACAGATAGAGAGCGCATGCAGACCACGACCGACTTTGGGTGGAGAGCTCATCCTCTATTCTCTGAGTGCTTCTGTGATGGTTTGATTTTCATGATCAGCTGGACCATCAGAGCGCCAAGCCATTTGAATCTGACTTTACCGTTTTCGGCAGCATCCCAGCTCTCAAGATCTTCAGAGAATCTAATCAGCTCGGGGCGCCTGCTCTTCTCGGTCTTGCCGAACAAAGACAGACCTCGGACCTTGGCTTCGTGTCACGATACTGCATCTCATCCATCGATAGGGTATCCAGATGGACGGTGTCTATCCTTCTGCAGTACCCCTACCTTCTCCCACTCCCCTATGAGGGCGCAGCTTGCTTTGTCACACGCGGTCCGCTTGTCCTCGTCGATCTGCCTGCTGCGATGTGCCATTGACTGGATTCCGTACCCGTGCCAGTTAATCTCAGGCATCAGTAGTACAGCGTTACTGCGGTTGTCAGTAAGTTAGTGAGGTAGGCGACAATCGAGCGATTCATGCATGTCTTCATGCTATTTGATTTGGCTTCTTACACATTCCCCTTGGACCAGTCCGCTATTTGTGCTGCCAGCTCGACAGCTGCTGCTCCCCAGTCCTCGCCGTGGTCTGGATTTCAGCTCGACCCATATCGTCGTGTAGTCAGTCCAACTCACTGTGTCCCTTATCGCCCTTCCGTCCAACACCTGCCCGCTCCAACGCCTGATCTTCCGTGAGACACGTCAACACCCCAAAAATGACCGGCGTTCCCGTATCCAGCTGAACGCGCATCAAGCCGTGGCTGACCGCGTCGCAGATGTATTCAAAGTGCATCGTTGAGCCTTTGAGGAGGCACCCTATGGCGATAATGGCGTTGAAGGGCTGGGTGGGGATGATAGATTTGGGAGGGGCAGGTGTGGAGCTGGTTGAAGGTGTGGTAGGGTTGACGGTGTCAATGAGGGAAAGGAGATTGGTAGTGGATGCGAGCATGGATGGCGCGGCGTTAGAAGACTGGGTCTTTCCGCCTTCAATCAGCCTGATGGTCAGCTGTTGTCCAGCAGGATATCAGATGCACAGTATATAACGCCGGATGTGCCTTATCCCCTAACTCACATCTTGGCTGCCATAGGAAGCTCGTAGCTTCCCGGTACGCTCTTCAACACGATATTCTCCTGCTTGACACCGAGCTCCTTGAGCTTCTTCACGGTCCCCTCAACGAGCGCGTTGATGATAACATCGTTCCATCTCGCGTGAACGATAGCGATACGCAGTGGTGCGCCATCGTAGACAGTAGTGGGCGCGCCAAGTCCTTTGATAGTAGGGTCCGACATGGTATATGGTAAGAGCTTTGGAGTCGAGCGCTGCTGGTCCTGGAGCTTGCTGATACAGCTGAACTTGGACGGCGATCGCCGCACCGCCGTCTTGAGCCGTCGGAAGGAGCGGCCGATTGAGCCAAGTGATCGTCGGGTGATCTCGGCCGAACCTGGCTTGAGTCGTGAAATTCCAGGAGGTTGATTTGATCCCGCTATGCCCCTTTGGTTGTTGGCCAAAAAGTTGGCTCCCCCCTGGCCGCCATACAACTCCGCCTTCTCCACTCGCTACCCTCCTCATATCATACACCATGTCGTTCCAAAGATCATCCTCAAACGCTGCAAAGCTCGCAGCAAGGGCTGTTGCCCCCAAGGCTAGCCGCGCCGTCGCGCAGAGGGCGTACTCGCTCCTCGCTCGTCAGGCTCCTCAGGCCGTCATGGGCGCTCGTTTCGGCGTGAGTTGATTGGCCAGGCTGGCATGAGGTGGAGGAAGGGATGGCCGGGGAGGGTGGGGTGAATTGGAGGACATCACCCAGGGACACCAGACGACATGTGGACTCCAGCTTATTCCCAGGCCGTCCGTGGTGTCAAGACCCTCGACTTTGCCGGTACCAAGGAGCAGGTCTACGAGCGTGCCGACTGGCCTCTCGACAAGCTCCAGGAGTGAGCTCGCTAGCTCTTGACAACTCGTAGTTTCAGCTGATACCCCAGCTACTTCAAGAACGACACCCTTGCCATGATCGGTTACGGTTCGCAGGGTCACGGTCAGTCCCTCAATGCCCGCGACAACGGCCTCAAGGTCATTGTCGGTGTCCGCAAGGGCGGCGAGTCATGGAAGCAGGCGCAGGAGGACGGATGGGTACCGGGAGAGTCGCTCTTTGACATCCCCGAGGCCATTGAGAAGGGAACCATCATCATGAACCTCCTCTCGGACGCTGCCCAGTCCCAGACCTGGCCCGAGCTCGAGCCCCTCATCACCAAGGGCAAGACTCTTTACTTTGCCCACGGGTTCTCCGTTGTCTACAAGGAGGACGTGAGCTGTTTTCTCCATCCGATTGGCTATTGGGATTAAGCTGACAGCATAGACCAAGGTCATCCCCCCCAAGGATGTTGATGTCATCCTCGTCGCCCCCAAGGGTTCCGGCCGGACCGTCCGTACCCTCTTCCTCGAGGGCCGCGGTATCAACTCGTCCATCGCCGTCTACCAGGACGTCACCGGCAAGGCCAAGGAGAAGGCCGTCGCCCTCGGTATCGCCGTCGGTTCCGGTTATTGCTACGAGACCACATTTGAGAAGGAGGTGTTCTCGGACCTTTACGGAGAGCGTGGTGTGGTAAGCTATGAATGTCCCGCAAATTGCGGATCTAGCTAACATGCAGCTTATGGGTGGTATCCAGGGAATGTTCCTCGCTCAGTACGAGGTCCTCCGCAAGAACGGCCACTCCCCGTCCGAGGCCTTCAACGAGACCGTCGAGGAGGCTACCCAGTCCCTCTTCCCCCTGATCGGCAAGTACGGTATGGACTACATGTACAACGCCTGCTCCACCACCGCCCGTCGTGGTGCCCTCGACTGGGCCCCTAAGTTCAAGGAGTAGGTCCAGCTCACCGACAACTGCAGACGACTGAGCTGATATGATAGGGCCAACTTGCCCGTCTTTGAGGCTCTCTACAAGTCCGTCCGTGACGGTTCCGAGACCCGCCGATCGCTCGAGTTCAACTCGCGCAAGACGTACCGCGAGGACCTCCAGAAGGAGCTCGACGTCATTGACAACCAGGAGATCTGGCGCGCAGGCAAGACTGTCCGTCGTCTTAGGGTGAGCTCATCATTTCCTGTACATGGATACGAGCTACAGCTGATACGTCGCAGCCCGACGCCAACAAGGAAGAGCTTTAATCGGCTTGACCATTCCTTTTCGCCATATCCTCCATCTTTATCCTATCCTCTCTTCCCCCTTTGGAGCAGATTCGATCCTTTCAAAAGTGCTTTTTGCGATGTAGGTATACTCCTTACGCGGAACATGCATATGATTTCTTCTACCTTCACTCTGTGAAATTACTGATTGCTGGATGACCCTTGGAGTCAAGCGTGAATCAAGGCCATACATGTCACATTATACACATGGAAAGAGAGAGACTGAACTCTTGCGGCTATAATAGCTACGCTGCTACAGAAGAGGATGTGGTAATGCAGTCTCGACACGCGCTTCTGGTTTCGCTTCCAAGCCGCTCTCTCTCCCTTACAACATCTAGTCCCTTCCTACCTCTTGTCCTCCTGTCCTTCACCTATGCCGCCTGATCTCATCCCCCCATGTCGTCCTCCTGTATGATATCCCTCTTCTCTCATCTATCGCCCTCCCACCTCTTCGACTCAGTCATTACCGCCCCTCCCATCACTCCGTATACCTAACCTTCTTCCTTCTCCGTCCGACTTCCCCGACAAAGCTCTGCTCATACCCCTGCTGCGACAGCCTAAGCTGCTCCTTCTCGAACCCAGATAGGTTCTCGTCGGGGAGTCCTTGCTCATCACGCATGAGACTTCGCGTCTGCTTGATCTCACGCGTGATGTACTCCCATCGGGAGGTGGTGTCGTCCGCGGCGAGCGAGTGTAGATGCCTGACGGCGAGGTTGTACAGCTCGTCCGGGGTGAGGTTGGGCTGGTCGGCTTCGGGCTGGGGTTCCGGGGCGGGGGCAGGGATAGGGGCGAGGGCAGGTGCTGGGGCAGGGAAGGCTTGGGTAAGGACACCGAGGGGAGCAGGCTCGTCGGCGGGATTTGGAGCATCGACCGGTCCAGCGGCCGCGCTGTCCTCGTTACCGCCATTTGGAATGTCCGGGGTGGCGACGATCATGTCCTGCAGCTCCGACGTCTCTCTGCGAGCAGAGCCACCTGGAGCAAGACGGCCGTCCCCTTCTCCCTCGGACCAATGCGCCTCTCCGCCGTCAGCGAGAGCTGCTGGCTCCGGCGCTGTTGCCGGCTGCTCGTCCGGCTCCCCAAACATCTTCTCGTCGGACCTCCCCCCCGTCGGCTCCTCCGCTACATCGGCGGGCGCCTCCCCTTCTGCCTCTGCCGCCTCCATCGGCTCATCCGCCTGCTCAGCCATCGTCACCTGCGACGCTTCCACCATCGGCTCTTCCTCCGCCTGTTCCTCCACCGCAGGCGCGGCCGCCGCTAATTTGAGCTTGAGTTTGGGCGAAGCGTGCTCCAGGAGGGTCGGTAAATCGGTCGAAGCGATACACAGTCGGATGATGAGTTCGGGCACGAGGACAAGCTGGATGAACTCCCGCTTGCTGGCGGGAGCCAGTGCGTCGAAGCGTTCCGAGCCGTGAAGGGCGGTTGCTGGGTCGTACTATAAATCAGCTGTTACCCTTCTTGAGTCTGGGAGTCCACTCACGTTGTTGTCGGGATTGCAACTCATCAATAACCACCTCTCCAGCTCTGGCACGATACACTGCACGACCTCGTCCGTGCAGATGTCGCCATAATTTGCGACCCTTGCGAGCTTCTCTGTGCTGATACGATGGGTCTGGTGGAAGAGGTCGATACGCCACTGGGCTGGCTCATATTGCTCGTGTATGATTGTGCGCAGGTGGGGACGTAAAAGCCGAATCTGCTGTTCCCGGGGCAGATCGACGAAGGTATCGGGATGAGGAAGGGGGGGATCATCTTCGCCCTCGCGTGTAGGCGAGGCGGCGCGGGTCCGCGCGTTGGAATTGTAGGTCATGGCCACGGTTGCTATGCCGCCCAGCTATCACGTCAGCCATAATGATCGATTTGCCATACATCCAGAGCAAGTGGAAGAGATACGTACCGTGCAGCTTGCAATCCTGTCGTCGTCGAGGTACATGATATCCTTTTGGGCTACCTTCCTCGTGTTGACCCGACCAGTCGACGGGTGCATCTGCACCTCCCACTGGTCCTTCTTCCTCCGCTTCTTCTCTTCGAGGCTCTGCACGGGGAAGAAGTCTACCAGGTAGGCGGGGAACCAGTTCCGTTCAAATAGCACAAGGAGGGCAGTACGATCCTCGAATCGCTGATACCTATAACGTCAGCCACGTTTCCGCCAGACATCCGAGACCTGTGCTAGGGTCAGAGGCTTACCGAAGTGGTAGGGTTGTAGGTCGGAAGACCGGCTGCGACGGTGCCGCCTCGGGTGATAACGAGGACTCGTAAAGATCCTCGTCAGCCACGACTTCCTCCGGCTCGACGTCCGGCAGCTCGTCGTCCGAGTCCGCCAGGTAGAGGGTAGCGGACGAGGTGGGCTCCGTGACCCGCTTGGCCCCAGCAGGCTTGGGCTTGTTGAAAACGGGTTTCCGGACGAAGTGGAAGATGTCCAGCTCTTCCTCATTCAGGATCCCCGAAGCCGCGAGCCGACCGCCCGAGTCGTACCACTCAAGGTCTGGCTTGGCCGCCTTCCCGGCCTTGCCCTTGCCCTTGCCCTTCGCTGCAGCCTTTGGGGCCGGCTCAGTCTTGCGCCTCTTTGAGGGGGTGTCCGTGAAGCCGAGGGAGGAGGAAGAGGCGATGGAGGTACCATCGAGGGAGGAGGGGGTGGGGGCGGCCGGTTTGCTCTTGGCGGACTTGCCAGCGGGGGTCTTCTTCGACGGAGTACCGGCTGGCGCGTCGGTACTTTTGCGTTTGGTAGAGGGCATGATGCGGGAGTGTGGCAGCTGATGGTGTGTGGTGTGTATGGAAGTGGAAAGTGCAAGAGAGAAAGAGAAAGAGAAAGAGGCTGTTTTGAATTCCCCTTGAGCTTGAGCTGGCGAGGCGGGTCAAATGCGCACAGATGGCCGGAATCGGATATCCGCGTCGGAAAGTCCGGTTGATTTCGTCTATCCGGGTTGATATTGTCGTTGCGCGTCCGCGACCAGCAAGCACAAGAACTTAGAAGTCCACTTTGGCCTGACCTCATACCCGCTGATCTCGCTTTACTGCATTACTAGAGCTGACCTTGCGCACCTCACAGTGAAGCGTGCCGGCTAGAGTCATTCGACGCTGCCTCAGCAAGAGAGCGAGCCGAAATGCCTCAGCTCGAGAGCTCGGCGGACGTCCAGTATCAGCATCAGCTGCCTACGGTCAGCTTTCGCGAGATCAGGGATGATCCGTCCCTCCTTGCACCTGCAGGTGTTCACTCTGTACGTACAGCAACTTTGGTATCTGCTCTATCAGTGTCAGCTGATCAAACAGGACCAGCTGCGTCACTATGGCTGTACGTCCACGCGCCTGATGATTGGTGCTGTCTGACGTCTAGACAATGACTTCTCCGACTACACTCGTCCAGAGCACTACATCCGATACATAGGTCAGCTGGTGTCAGCCCGACGAGGGTAATTGAGCTACAGCTGATACCTCAGAGCCGATAGAGACAGAGCTCGCGGTACAGGTCGAATATGACATGGATGAGCAGGGTACGCTCACCCCTTCCCTTCTCCCGTGCTCAAGCTGACGAGGACAGACCAAGCCTGGCTGGAGGCCATCAATGCCGAGCGGAGAAAAGATCAGTCCGGAGCGATCAGCTATGAGGTCTTTGAAGTCATTATGGACAAGCTAGAGAAGGAGTGGTTTAACCTGGTGCGTCCACCCAGTCTCAATACATGTCAAGAGCTGAGGGTTCTAGATCAAGCGTATACCTCAGCCTGCATCACATATGCCCGTGGAGGACTCAAAGTGCGCAGTATGTGATGATGGCGAAGGCGAGAACTCGAACGCTATCGTATTCTGCGATGGGTGCAATTTGGCCGTCCACCAAGGTACTTCACTTCAGCAGCATTGTGGGCTTGAGAGCTGATCGTGCAGACTGCTATGGCGTACCGTACATCCCCGAGGGGCAGTGGCTATGTCGAAAGTGTACAGTCTCGCCGGAGAACCCGGTAGTAAGCTATCCACGGCTGGAAAGCCAATCACGCCGCAGCTGACACAGCCAGTCTTGTCTCGTCTGCCCGAACGAAGGCGGAGCTTTCAAGCAGACCACAACCGGTCACTGGGCGCATCTTCTCTGCTCGATCTGGATTCCAGAGTTGATGCTCGGTAACGCGATATACATGGAGCCAATTGATGGGGTTGAGGCTATCCCAAAGAACAGGTGGAAATTGGTAAGTTCGCTGCGCACGCGTCATCGATGAATGTTAGACCTGCAGCTTATGGTTCAGATCTGCTCACTATGTCGCGAGAAGATGGGAGCCTGCGTACAATGCGACAACCGAAACTGCTTTACCGCCTTCCACGTCACTTGCGCTCGGCAGATGGGGTGTCTCTCTCCGATGAAGTCTGCGCATAATGACGGGACGCTCAAAGCGTACTGTGACAAACATCTTCCCGTGAGCTTTCGCACTCCTGCCTTTCATGAGCCAAGCTGACTCTCAGGACGATATGCGCAAAGACACCTTTGACGACGAATTCGGATCCGACGACTCGGGAACCCCTCTGCCCAAGAAACAGCGCGCGGCCGCGGTCATCAAAGCTGCAGTAACGACCAAGACTGCCCGTGCGCACGCCAAGTCGTATCGACCCGGACCGCCTGTCGTTCCCCACCTCATTGTCCAGATGCTGCTGGACTATGTCAGCAAGCTCCAGATAAGAAAGCGGGCGGGGTTTGTGGAGAAGCTATGTCGATACTGGAGTTTGAAGCGGGAAGCGAGGAGGGGCGCCCCGCTCCTGAAGCGACTACATCTCGAGGTGAGTTGGCCGCGTGCTGCCATGACAGACAAGAGGCTCAGCTGACGTTTCAGCCATGGACAGCGTCGAATGCTGGCCGACAGCAGACCGAGGCGGAGAAGGCGCTAAAGCTGTCTTTTCTCCGTCTGCTGCGGAATGATCTGGAGAAGGTCCGGATGTTGGCGGAGCTGGTGCGCAAGCGGGAGCGGGAGAAGTTGCGGCAGGCGCAAGTCATCAAGGATATGGTGGATGGGTTCATCTTTCCGGGGTATGAGCAGTTACGTCTGACTCTGGAGAAGATATCTGCGTAAGCGCCGCCTTACTGGAAGTTGTCCTCAAGTATGGGCTGACGCGAAACAGTATGGACCGGAACGAGCTGTTTCTGAACCCCGTCAACCGCTTCGAGGTCCCTGACTATTTCCAGGTCATCAAGGAACCAATGAGCTGGATGCAAATGGACGACAAGCTGGAGAAGAACCTGTATCGGACAACGGAGGACTTCAAGGTTAGTCCTGCCAGTCATCGTTTGTTGGATCCAGCTGAAAATCCCCAGCGCGACGTCCATCTCGTTCTCGACAATGCTATACTGTATAATAAGCCCGAAACCCAGTTCAACAAGGTCGCCAAGCGCATCCAAGCCAACGTCCAGCCCCTTCTTGACGAGCTCAGCACACTCGGCTCTCATTCGATGATGATGCCTCCCGGCGATGGCCTGGACATATCGTCGGTACCGGCCGAGGCAATTGGCGATCTCGAGCCATCCCTTCTACTTCTGCAGTCGGCTTTGCACACATCGACCGTCGACACCGAGCTGGACAACCTCCGCTCGGTCTTTGCATTCGAGATGGCCAAGCCTCGACCACCTACCCCGCCCCCACCACCCCCGCCTACTCCCCCCAAACGGCCCACAAATGCGGAGCTACGCGAAAGGCGAGCTGCGCGTGCTGCGGCTGCGGCTGCGGTCGCCAAGCCGCCTGTCGTCCCGCGGGCTACTCGGGCGAATATCCAAGCCAATGTGGCATTTGCGCAAGAAGCTGGCTTTGCCGGCTCGTCCGATACCGAAGCGCACTCGCGGCAGACCTCGGGCGCCTCGCGATCCCGAAGCGGCCGTTCCAGACTGGCGCCACCCACGGAACAACCGTCATCCGCTCTTACTTCTCCCGGGCCCGAGTCATCGACAAGCGCCCGTGGAAAGCGAAGTAGAATGCCAACGACCACATCGGCCGTGACTCCTTCCGAGGCAGAGACGTCGTCTACCGCGCCGAGACCTCGTCCGAGGCTTCAGACGGGTGTGGTGGCGATAGAGACTATTCCTCTGATCAGCGACAAGGAGAGGCGCAAGCGCGAGCTGGAGCTGGATCTGGTGACGGAGGATATCGGCGCTGCAGATCATTTCAAGAGATTCAATGTCGGCTGGGTGTTGCCGGCCGGAACGAAGCGGAAGCGGGCGGAAAGGCCGGATCTGCTCGGAGTACCTCGAGGTGAGACTATCTTTCCAGTCCCTCGCCATCCAAGCTGATCAAAAAGGTCGATCCGGAACAGCAAGTACCTCCCCTCTCGTACCGGCTGTTACCCTGCCACCCTCGCCTGAAAAAGCCGGGCCACCGCAACGCAGTAGCCCACTCAGCGCCATATCGTCAGACAACCTCACGCCACCCGGCTCTGAGGCCGACGCAACCGAAGCTCCTATCTTTAACGTGACTCCGGCGGAGGACGAAGGGCAGGCTCAGGCTGGTCCCGGTCCAAGCACCGCCAGGAACAGGAAGCGGAAGCCCAAGGGCTACCCAGCAACCTCTGGGCGGAAGAGGAGGCGGACCGACAAGAAAGACGAGCAGGCGGAGCTGGGAGAGGATGTGGAGATGGCGGAGGCGGCAGAAGAGGAGGAGCCGGGAGTGGCGCATGTCTCGGAAGAAGACGACCTAAGCCCACCGCCACCGGACTCTCGGGCGGGCGAGACTACCCCGAAAGCTGCCACGCCATCTTCGGCCCCTTTGACGCCCATCGAGTATACCCCGGTCAAGCGCGTTACTCGCGGACGGGGCAGAACAAGCGGGAATGTTGAGGCAGCTGCCGCTGAGCGGACCGAGAGAGGTGACCGGGAGGCGGAGCAGGCAGTATCCAATGCGCCTACGCCGGTAGCCTCGGCCGTACCGCAACGTATCTCTCGGACTGGCCGGAAGTCCGGGGTTGCGATTGCCGTGCCAGCCCCAGCTCTCGCTGAGCAAGAAGCTGCGAGTGGGCAAGCGGAGTCTAGCGCAATCTCATCTATTGCCTCGTCACCCGTCAAACGTAACAGCCGGTCGAGTCGGAAGTCCGCGGCTGCACTGAAGGAGGAGAAGGCGGTGCAAGTGGAGCAGGAAGACGAGATCATGCACGACGATCAAGGGGTGGAGGAGGCGGCCTCGGATATCGCTTCGCCCGCCAAGTCTTCTCCGGTGAAGCGGGGCTCTCGGTCGAATCGAAAGTCCAAAGCGGACACTGCTGGGCCAAGCCGTCCTATTGAAGAGGAGGACGATGATGATGCGATGGGGGAGATACGAGCAGACTCTGTCGCGCCTACCGAGGCTACCGAGCCGAAAGATGAAGAGGATGACCCTTTCCCAGAGGGAACTCTTGGTGAGTTCAACCGGATCACTTCAGGTCATGTACTGACCACTTTAGTCTGGGCTAAAGTCCCTGGGTACCCCTATTTCCCCGCTGAAATCGTCGATCCTGAGGACGAGGACCTCGAGTTGTCCGAAGCCGTCTTCGAAGGCCAACCTGCCGAGGATGCTGAGCGCCATTGGCTCATCCGCTTTTTCGACCCTACCAACAGCTTTGCGTGGGTCTCCCAGGCTAAGATGGATATGCTTGGTGAATCGGATGGTAAGTTCTTTCATGGCAAAAGATTGATATCATGCTGATCTAGCAGAACTTGACGGGGCGTACTTGGCTGTGAGTGACTCGGGATGTCAGGCAGATAGAACCAAGCTCATTTATCAGCTCAAAGAGAGAGGACGCGGTGGCATTTTCGGTCGGTCCAAGTACTCAGGGATTCATCGGTTCAAGACGCAACTCTCCAAGGCATTCAGGTGAGCCGCATTTCAGTGTCGCTTGGAGCACATAGCGTCGCGCTGACAGTCGCAGAGATGCTAGGGCTCAGATGGTTGAGAGCGGCGAAGAGACATGATGCTGGTTTGCCGCTTTGGCGTACCGATGTATACTCGTACGATCTATTTGTTCTGTCAGCATAGCGGCTTCTCTCCTTGCAAGCCTACGACGACGAGATCGTGAGGTGTTGATACCCTGCCCAACACTGCGCACCCATCTTAAAACCACCGAGCTTGGCGAGTCAGAGGATGAAATGGGTTTCTGGGGCGAGCGATCGCGCGAGAGGTGATATCCCTTCAGGGATCACGCCTTTTCACCTCTTCCCATCCTCTCTCTTTCCTCTCATCCACCCAGTCATTACCTGCCAAACCGCGCCCCTCTCCATCCCGCCGGTGTCGGTGTTCTCCTTCGGCGACGAGCAGGACTGGGGAGTATGAGTTGGTTCCCCTTTGTCTGTCCTCCTTCTTTGTTCCCGTCTCCCCTCCCTCCCTCCTCCCTCGTTTCGGCCTCCTTGTGCTCCTCTCTCTGGTCTTCGCCTGCGTCCGTGGGAGAGTCGAGCGGAGGACAATAACTAGATTTTTTTGTTTAAGTCGCGATGTTTAGCCTCAACAGACGACCAAGCGTAAGCGCAGCAGGGCATGCACCACCCTCTATGAGTATCTACTGATAAGTGATGACTTTGACTCGATCTACGAGTATCGAGTATGGTCGAGACCCGGAACCCCCTCGCTCCTGCATCTATCCGCCTAGTATCGCCAGTGCCTTCCGCAGCTCCGTCCGTGCCGTCTCCGCATCATCAAATTCCAACGCACTCACCGCCCATCGTGCGTGCTTCTGCGTCTGTTCAACTTGTTTCCGCGTCAACTTGGGTATGGGGTTATTATGCGCCGGAGCGAGGGACGACATGGCTGATAGTGGTGGAGCAGACGGAGGAGGTGAGGTCAGGCCGAGACCGTTAGGATGGGCGGTAGTGGGCGGGACGGACGGGTAGGAAGCGAAGGAGGGAGGTGGTGGAGGAGGGGGCATATGCGTCGGCTGTAGACTGGGAGATGGGCGATTGCTGCCACTTCCATTTCCAGTGGGAGGTCTAGGTGCGGAGGGTTGAGCCGAGCGACTCGCATTGCTGTCCCCTCCAGGACGACCAGCGGTATCGGTAGAGTTGGTTGAGCGAGAAGAGCCGGAATTATCATCCCGCTTCAAAACCGGAGGTGGAGGCTTGGCCGGGGAGGTAGGGCTGTCCCCGAAGGTAGTAGGCGGTGGAGCATCCGGTGCATCGTACGAGTCAACCGTAAAGTGGGTCTGGGCCGGACTGAGAGGTGCGCCGTCCGGACCGGTAAATCGGACAGCCTTCTTCTCGCCTCCCGGTGGCGTAGAGTGCACGTCAGGCATGGCGGAAGGGGGAACGGTGGGCAGCTGGAAGTGCCGGTCCTCGTCCCCCTCTTCTGCCACTCCGGGCGTGGCGACAGTGGACCAGGCTCCACTTGCCTTATTGCTGAGATTCCGCCCTGGAGGTCGGTCCATGTCTAGGCTGGGGAGGTCTGTGCGAGAGTGGGCTCCGGGGGAAGGACGGGGCGAGACGAGCGGTGTGATGTTGTTGGAGAGGTTCGCTGGACGGGACAAAGGTGTATTTTGAGATGGTGAGCCCGAAATGAATTGGGAGTTGCCTGATGGCGAGCCGGAAGGTAGCTCGGGGAGGGAGAGCTCGATGTCAGGGATGGCTATGCTATCAGCTCCGAGTTGGTTGACATTAAGGTTTGGCTCACGAGGTCCAGAAGCGGGAGTCCTTCCCTCGCGCAACGCCTTGGCACCGTCGGCCGCCTTCCACCGAGCATACTGCAGCTTCTGCTCCATCTGGACTATCAGCAAAGTCATTGAAGGGAGCGTATGGCTGTGAACTGACCTCCTCGGTCATACCGTTCTCGAAACATCGCAGTACCTCAATGAATTGCCCAGCCACCACGAACTTTCGGATAGTTGCTCTGCGACATTAGTGATGGTCTGAGATATGAAGATCTACTCACTTGCCAGCAATGCCGTTTCTATCGTCGTTATCAGCGCTCATGAAGACCTTGAGCGCAAAGTTCTCCACATGAGCAGCCCCAGCTGCCTCGTTGGTCACCGCGTCGTTATTGGCTAGTACGACCTTCATCTGCAGATGTTAGCTGGCATCTCATTGCAGTTGTAGAGATGTGTCCAGCTGACCTGCTCCAGAGCATCCAAGAGGGACATGAGGAAGACCGTGTCCTCCTTGGAGCGGTTTCGGGCATCTAGCGCTTTCTGGGCAGCAGCGAAGCAGCCTATACCAGTCAGCTACACTGCCCGATGCCTATCACCAAGCGGAACATGCCGAAACAACTTACACCAGTACGTCACGACCGGCTCGACCTTCTTGACCTCCTTGCCCCGCTTCAGGATCTGCTCGCACGCCTTGAGGCCCTCAGGGACCCGCTCCGAGGGAATGTCGACCGCGTCCATTTCGACTGACTGTGGGGATGCTAGTCGGGATCGTTTGTGAGGTGGAGAAGATATGTTGACACTGATAGGTGGTACGCCAGGGCCGAGGACGAGCGGTCTGACTGACGAGGGGGATGAAGGCATGTTGAATTCGGTGGGAGGTGGCGAGGAGTAGTACGGAGTGGACGAAGAATTGGGTCGACAAGGGGGAGAGGGGCATGTGTCAGCGGTCTTTCAAGTATCATGATACCGAGCAGTCACCCCAGCACGTGCTATCACGTCGTAGCCGCAGGCCCGGAGCGTGTACGCCGGCCGGGGCAGCGCATCACGAGGCCAGAGACGGAGGACTCACAAGTCACTCTGCAATCGTTGGCTAAGAAAAATGCCGCAAAGCCAGGACTAATGACGCGCAAAGGGACAGCTCCGGAGCTTAGTCGTCAACGAGGGATGAGGACGGCGATGAAACCGCTGAGATGGGACGGAGATCCCGTTGCCTCGTTCTCGAGCGGACGGAGGCGTGTGGGTTGGATTACGGCGCGTCAATCGAGATTTCTATGCGTCTTCGCGCTTCTTTCACTGCCGCGAGGAGCTGAGGATATAAGGCCGGGTGGCTGTGACAGATATGGGGGATGATAAGGGTGGATGTGCAGGAGGAGAGGAGGAACACGATCAGCTTAAGCTTATCAGCGAGCTGCAGCTGGAATCGAAGATGTACGCACGGATCTCGGACCTTTACCTGGGCTGAAACCGATTACGTCATCCGACACGCCTGCCTGGTTTCTCAACCTCCTCATTCCTTCTCATCAGCTCTCTCGTTCGCCTCTTAACTTTGACTTGATAGATAGCTCCCATGCACCCCGAAAACACGTGCCGGACCATCACCATCTGGCGCTCGCCTTATCAAGCCACTCTGAAGTCGCGTGACGGTCCAAATGTAGTTGAAAGTCTGGGTCGATCGAAGTTTGCTATTCCTCGCGAATAACCTTCAGGCTTGATGACTTGCTGATGAGGTAGTATCAAGCCCTGTATACGGTACTACGATATCTCAGCTATTCTGATACATCGTCATTCCATATTCAGCCCATCGACATCATACTCCCTGCCACGTCTGTAACGCCAACCCTCCTTCGGTCAAACAGCACCTTCCTTCCTCCCGTACCTCTCCCATCGGCGCCAATCATCGTACAACTACCCGAGACGACGCTCTCGTGTCTCCCAATGAGCATTCCTCTCGCTGCCAAAGACCCTCAAGGATCCCTACCGCCATCGCAGGTGCCGGGCGCGGAGGCGGTAGAGGGAGGCGAAGTGGACCCGGAGAAGGCGGCGAGACCCGGAGAGGCGGACCAAGTCCAAGAGCTCAGATACATTTGGGTCACCCAGCCTACCATGGAACCCTTGGAGGAGAGTATGGTAGAGCTACCGGACAGAGGGGAACGGCGAGGCGGGAATGATGCGGAGGAGAAGGAGGTCGTACAAGACGAGGGGAGGCCGGAAGTGGCTGTCGATGCCTCAGCAGCGATCAGCAATACAGAGGTGGAGATGGGGGATCTGGGTGGGAGCATCCTCAAAGCAGCTGAGATACGGCAGGATTGCGGGAGAGGGGGAGGAGCGGAGCTGCCGAGTGAGATTGACGGTGGAGTCGCAGAGAAGGGCGACGAAGATCGGCAAGAAGCTAGCGACCCGCTCGTCGGCGGTCCGGCGACGTCAGATCCAGCGTCGGAAGCGATCTCGGACCAGGTCGATATCGCCCTCCCCTTCCAGTCGACATCGCCACCGCCACCGCCACTTCCAAATTCCCTTCCGATGCCATCTTCTCCTCAACCCATATCCGCCGAGTCCCACTCCACGGAGAGCGGCTTGGCCGCCGTCGTTGCCGCACCGAACCTCTCGGATGCGAATGCCCCTACCGCAGCTCAGCGGGCAGCATTGTCTATCTCTAGCAGTCTTTCGGCCGATCAACCTGCAGCGGTTGCGTCCCCGGTCATAGCGACAAACGATCCTGCTACGGAATCGCCCGAAATCCTTCCGCCGCCCGCTACAGAGCATCTTCATGATTCTATCTTGACTCCTACCGTACACAGGGACTCGTTGGAGATCCATGATGCGCCAAATCCTCCGCCTGACATCTCGCCACCTCCCCGGCCCACCTTCTCCACTTCGGCTTCACACGCGCCTATGTCGCTCGCAAACGGTCTCAAGCGCAAAGACCACATGAACGACCTCTTCTCCTCCCTCGCGCCTGTCAAGCGAAAGAAGGTCGAGCTCGCTCCTGCTCCCCGCCGACCTCAGCGAGACATCGAGCGAGCAGACAGCCTGGAGCTGCCGGACGTTACGGTCGACCATGGCGAGCCCGACCTCGAGTACGGGTACGAGGGAGGCGAACCTGATTCCGTCGAATCTGCCGGCTCTCCTATATATGAAACGGCCAAAGGTTCGCCGGTGGTGGAGGCTCGAGAGGTCGGCAGCGGAGTCGTGGCGGAGGAGGACGCGCAAAAGGGGCAGTGGCGGGTCGGCAAACGGCCGGGGCATCAGGGGTCGCATATCCGTCGACCCGAAGCGGAGGAGGGAACCTCAGAGGCGGAGACGGGACCTGGGAAGAGGGGTCAGAAGCGATCTTTGAGCCAGGTGAGCTTCCAATCCTCTACCCCCGTGGAGGGTGCAAGCTGACTCCATACAGAGCATCACCGACTCTGCCGAAAAGGTCCTCAAGAAGCCATTCCGCCTCCCCGCTCGCGTTACCCTCAAGCCGCTAGTCAAGCCGCGGGAGCGGACGCCTCCCACCCCTCCTCACACCTCCTCCGACTCATTCTCACCGCCGCATAACACTGTCGACACCGATGTCGGTTCATCACCCATCAAGAACCCATTCAGCAAGAAGACGCCGAACGCTAAGCTCAGCTCGAAACCATTCGCTATCCCTCGCAAGATTGATAAACCGCCTTCTAGCCCTCCCGGTATTCCCCCTACCCCACCTTCAACCTCTAGTCTCGCGAGCACTAGCACCGCCACTCCCGCAAGCCTTGGTTCCCACACAACATCCTCGCCATTCAAAGCCAGTCCCACCTACTCCAAGCGCCTCTCGAGACCTTTCAAGACCCCCTTCTCGCGCTCCGCCGCCCCGTCTCCCGCGTCCCTCTCGCATCGCTCGGCGGCACGGACGACGCGCGATCTCCTGCTCGAGCTGGAGAAGGAAGAGCGGACGCTTCGGAATGCGATCAAGTATTATACCCAGCCGGAAGAGGACGAGCGGCTCGTCGAGTTGATCAGTATCTGGCGGACCGCGGGTCAGACGGTCGCGGAGTTGTTGTTTGATATCCAGCCGAGACCGGATGATCAAGCGGGAGAAGGCGGTGGGGGGATAGGCGGGATGGGGATGCCGGGTATGGGGGGTGGCGGTGGAGGAGGCGGTGCAGGCTCATTTTTTGGGAACGATAAGCCATTCTTTTCGCCCATGGAGGAGTTTACGCCTGAGCAGCTCAGGGCGCTAGCGCGGATGCCGACCAACCAGGATGGGGATCCGGTGGATGATGAAGGCAATCCTATATTTGGGGGTGGTGGGGACCTGGCGGCCGAGCCTGATTTTGGGGGAGCGAGGCGAGATGAGGGATCGGTCAGAGACGGGGATGAGTGAGTCAAGTTTCATTGATGGAAGGGAGACCTCAGCTGACTGTATAAGCGAATCGCGAGAGGACGGGGCGATCAAGGCGGCGGCGGCGAGTGAGGACTGGACGATCGGGACTATGCTAGCGAGGATGGGGGTCGAGCCGGGGATGTACGCGTGGGACGCGGACGCAGAGGACTGGGGCGTTCCAGAGGAGGATTAAGGAGGGAAGGAGGATCATTAGACTTTGTATATAGCGGTATAGTATCGTCAATCATGTACACCCATACGCCCATAGGCTATGTATAGGAAGCTAGTCAAATGATGCATTTGCAAATCCCCTTTCTCTTCTCCCTACTCCGTTCCTGCACAAAGTGATACTGCACAAGACTCGCCCCACTCTTCTGCTCTCACCACCTAGTTCTTCTTCTTCCCCTTGGCCTTGACAATCTTGAACCCGACATCCTCCTTCTTGGCAGGCGCGCTCCTGACCGCGTCGGCCATACTGAACACCCCTCCTCCGCCACCACCACCACCACCTCCTCCGCCGCTCGCACCACCCACATTGCCCGTCTTTCCCCGCCTCGCATCTGCCCTCCGACGCTCACAAAACTCCTGGGCGAACCGGCGTCCGTCCAGCGTCGAGCTGTTGGCATATACCGAGTCCGAGATGATCTCCAATTGCTCCTGCTTGGCCGAACCGGCGGGCTCGACCGCGAACGTCAGGAGCATCTGGATGAAACCGTCGACGGGGATATCGAGACCGACGAGCGCGCCTTTGGCCCATTTAAGGAAGTCTCCAGAGGGAGGGAGGAGGTCGTCTGAGCCGGCCGCCTTCTTGGTCGGCGTGGGAACGGCCTTGGAAGGGGTGGTAGTCGTAGACAGAGCGGTAGGCAGAGTTTTGACAGGCGTGCTGACGGATGCGGAAACACCAGATTTGGGGGCCGCACCGGGGATGACCTTCCCGCCGAGTCCGACGGTCGACCAACCCGCTGGAGGGGCTGGCGCGTTGGCAGCGAGGTCGGCATAACCGCGCTTGGAAGAAACGGCCCCTCCGCCCGCCGCGAGGATCTTGGCGGCCGCAGCGGCCTGGACGGCCTTTTTACGCCGTTCCTCCTCTTCCTGAATCTGCTTCAAGGTCTTTTTGGGTCCGGCATCGCCCGAGCCCCATGCGGGGGCGGGAGCGACAGCGGGTGAGGCGGGTCCGGGAGTGCCGCTAGCGGGCTTGCCCGAGCCGGAGGACGGAAGACCCCAGGACATGTTGGCGGGCACGTCGGGCTCGGCCGAGGTGGCGGTAGATGGAGTGGGAGTGTTGGATGACGCGCGAGCCTCGGTGAGGGCCACGCGGCGCAAGTCGGCGACCTTAGCTTCCGCCTCTTGGATGTCGCGAAGGCTGGGTCCGCTGGGCGTGGACGGCTTGTCCTCCTTGGCGGCCCAGGGTGCCGGAGCCGGCTTGGTGGGTGTCTGAGCACGGGCGCCGGTAGGTGTAGAGGGAGTTGCTTTGGAAGGTACCTCGATAGCGACTTGCGCAGGGATGGCGATAGCTTTGGGCTTGGCGGGGAGGGACGAGGGGGCGGGAGGAAGCTGCTTGGCCGCGGCGGTTGGGGCAGGGACCGAGGGGGTGGGAGTTGGCGAAGCGATCGACTCTTTCCGAGCGGGAGTGACGGATCCCCAGACGGAAGCAGGTGCAGGGGTGGCTACCTTGTCCGCGACGGCCTCAATGTCGACCACGGGAGAAGGCTGCGGCAGCTCAGGCTCGGGCTGCGTCGCCTCGACGGGAACCTCCGGCGTTGGCTCAGCCTGAGCTTCGACTTGCGGGAAGTAGCTCGGCTCATCCACCGGTTGCTCCTGAGCGGGTTCCGGTTCCTGCTGCTGCTGTTGCTGTTGCTGTTGCTGCGGCTGTGGCTGCTGCTGGACGGGCTGAGGAGTGTACTGCTCCTGCATGGGCGGCGCTGGTGGCTGGATGGGCTGACCCGGGGCTTGGCTGTACATCGGCATCTGCCCAGCTGCAGGATGCTGCATCGGCATCCCGCCCGGTACGCCCCACGGGCTGGCGATCGGCGGGGGAACGCCATAAGGTACCTGGTGCTGAGGGAAGACCGGGGCGCCCGGCGCCGGCGAGTAAGGCTGAGGAGCACCAAACTGATCGCCGCCGAAAGGAGAGCGGATGGCATAGTTGTCGCCGCGCTGCGGGATACCGCCCCATGGAGCTGCAGCAGCGGGACCGCCAAAACCAGGGGACTGGATCTGCTGTCCGAATTGACCGAAGGCGGCGGGTGAGAAGGGCGCGCTTGGGGGAAGGTATTGGTTGTATGCTGGCTGCGCGGCGGGGTGGATGGAGAGGTTTCGGAAGGGGTCGGTAGGATGGCCGTTGATACCGGGCGAGTGGAGCGCCATGGCAGACGTGGGGATGGGGAGATTTGGAGGGGCACGAGGGCGATTGGGGGACAGGAAAGGCTGGACCCCATTTCCGGTGGCGAGTTTGAGCTCGGCGAGTGTGTAGTACTCGGTCTCGCGCGCTCGGCGGATGGGAAGGTCATCGGCGAAGTAGGTGTGGGCGTACCAGTCGTGCATTTGGGTCCCAGTGAAGGTTCCTGTCAATCAGCGGGAATTCAGATTGGCCTGGCGATAGACTTACCCTGCTCGTCTCCGTTAGGATCACGGTAGTACCACAAGACCGAATTGAAGTCTTCCTTCTCCTCCTGCTGAGCGGGCGTCGGAGTAGCAGATTGAGATACCGAGACATCGCGGACTGTCGCATCGCGCTCCGACATGGGCGTAGCGGGGGCCATAGGCATGACTGATTCCGAGGCTGGCACGTCTACAGGCATCTCGAGGGTCTACTATCAGCCTCATTCAATCAAGCAGCAGCAATGACTCACCTTGTCCTGGTCGATCCCAGCGGCGAGACGCCATTTCTTCTGACCTTGTCCCCACCCTGGTCCACCTCCCTTCCCAAACGTCGGCGCCGGCGCATCCTCCACCTTCTCCCGCTCTTGCCTCTCCTTCTCCACCCGCTCCTTCTCCTGCCGCTCTCGCCATCCCGCAGTCTGCGCCGGCGGAGGCACCTCGGAAGTTGAGCTGTTCAGGGCCGCTGCCGGTTGGCCGAAACCAAGAACGCCCTCGAATGTTCCTGAAGCGGTCCGGCTCGCACGCCAAGGTGCACCGATCCGGCCAGGTCCATTGACAGCATCTAAGAATCAGCTCAAGTACAACAACGCGCTTCCAATAGCTGAACTCACCCGCAGCCATATCGCTACCATCGGTCCGCCTGTTCAGACGCTTCCCCACACCGCCGAAACCACCTCCCATCGTCCCCGGACCCCTCGTCTCTAATCCAGCAGAAGGTGGACCCCCAATCGTCCCGATCTTTCCACCTCCGAACGCCCCTCCCTCACCTCTCCCAAACCCGCCAAAGACACCTCGTCCACCACCCGGCGCCGCATTGTCCTTTCCAACGGTAGGCGGTGGGATCGGCCGGCGGATATGACCATTCGCCAAGTCCCTATCCCCTCGGTCGGCGCGGTCCTGCCGATCGTTATTTCCCATACGCTGGCGGACTGGGTTGGTCGGATGGACCGAAGTCGATAGGAGCTACATGTCAGCGACGGACGCCAGAGGACAAAGCAAGACTTACCTTCTTTTCCACCTCGCTGAGATCCCGCAGCCCGATCGGCTTGACCGCCTCCTTGCTGACCAGCACACTCCCATGCTCCATCAACTCCGCCAGCTCAATCGGGACCTCCTTGACCCGGTCCGGATTCCAGAGCGCCAAAATCTGCTCCGTAGTGTACCGGAACGGATGGGCGTTGCCATTCTCCCCGTACGACTGAAACCCGTTCTCGCTGGAGAAGTTGGGAGACTGGGGAGACTGCGAGTGCGAGTGCGTGATCTTAGAGTAGGAGAACGCGGGGTTTGAGGGACCTGTGGCGGTGGAGTGGGAGGAGGAGCGGCCGGGATTGAGTGCCGGGAAGGGGTGCGAGGTGGCGGTCTGGGCCTGCCGAGCGGACGGAGGCGGCACGTCACCGTTTTGAGGCGTCGCGGGTCCAGTGGGTTTGATGGGCTTGACCCATTGGGGGGCAAAGTGCATGGACATCTGGACGTGAGTGAGGGAAACGAGAGGTGGAGCGGAGCTCTTCGGGGCGAGCGGAGCTTACCTTTGAGGGATTCTTTTGTGCTTTCCCAGTGGTGAGTAGGCTATAGGGTGGCTGCTGGGTAGCTGTTGGCTGTAGGTGAGCTGTATGCAAGATGGTATCAGTAAAAAGTTGAGTGCAGACGACCCAGATACGCTCTCGCGAGCTTTGAACGCGTTGAATATTTGATTCCGTAAGAAGTGGAGGGCCAGTCCAGGCTCACGGCGTTACGGCGTTACCTTTTGGCTCTGGAAACAACAAGCGAGCCGAGTGTGGCGGTTTGGGTCATTTGCCACCCAGCCATCGCTTCCGTTGGAAGGAAGGCGATCATGACCTCCACTTTCAGCTCCAGCTCTCTCTCAGCTGCAAAGCTCTCTGACTCTTGACCTTAACCTTGCCTACAGCTGTCAGGCCAGTGACGAGTGGACAAGAAGGCCGGCGCTCCCTAGAGAGGCATGCGCACTACATTGTCGGCCTGTTAAAGGAGATATAGGAGGATAGCTGGGAGGGGAGCGATCAAACCGTTTCCCGATCCCTCCTCGGCCTCGCACGTACTGCGATCAGCCAGGCAATGCGGTACCATGTGGTAAGCTACTCTTCATACTTACAATGCGGCATCCAATAAGATGCGAATCAGGAGCTGAAAGTATAGCTTGGTGTAGGAGCCATTGGAACCCTCGTCGCGCATCACCTTCGTCACTCCACCCCCTCCCCTGTCTCCCTCATCTACCGCCACGCCCGCAAAGTCGGACCCAAAAAAGCCGAAACGCCCACCGAGCGGCCCCCTCTCTCCATCTTTGTTAAACGCGGCGAGACCGGATCCCAGTCCACAGGCTTCGACATTGAAAAGGTGCACGATGCGGCTCATCGTCCGGACCTCTTGACCGGAGTCACCCCGGAAGCGCATAACGGGCAGATCGACTCCCTCATCGTCTGCCTCAAAACACCGGATACACTCCTGGGTGTCCAGAGACTATCCCCTCGCCTGACCTCTGCGTCGGTCATTACGCTCCTCCAAAATGGGATGGGAGTGTATGATCAGCTATGCCAAGAGCTCTTCCAGGACCCCATGACCCGCCCGCAGTTCATCCTCGGTACGACCACCCACGGTGTCACACGGACACGCTCGCATGGCGTCATCAGACACATGAGCAGGCCAGGCGAGGGAGAAATGAAGTTTGGGGTCGTGCCTGACCCCAGAGGATTGGTGGATATCAACGAGTGGATATGGCCGGGAAAGGACGTTTCCGCAGATCACATCATCACTCCTCCACCCTCACCGGCACTCCCCCTTCCCCCTCCACCCACCGCATCCTTCGTCAACCTCCACAACACCCTCAACACTCTGCTATCCCTGTCGGAACTCTCACCATCCCTCCTCCCAATGCCACACCTCCACCACCAGCTCCTCCTTAAACTCGCCATCAACTCGGCCATCAACCCCCTTACCGCCATCCTCGGACTTGGCGCTCTTCCCAACGGCGCCCTTTTGTCAAATGACGCGGGCTACAAGCTCATCCGCGATATCCTCGCCGAAACCTCTCGCATCCTCTTATCCTACATCCACTCCCTGTCCGCTCCGGACGTACCTTCCGTCGACGTCCTCCGACTCTTTTCGGAGGAATCACTCGAGAGGCGGTGCTTTGCCGTCATACGTGAGACGAAAAAGAACACCTCGTCCATGGCGGCCGATATAGCCAGGGGCAAAGTCACCGAGATTGCCAATATCAACGGATACCTCGTCTCCCTCGCGGCACGCTTGGACGTCCCGGCGCCAACACACAAGATGCTGGTCGATATGGTCAAATACATCTCGGCCGTGTCGCATCCCATGTCAGTGGTGGAGAACAAGCATAGGCTGCCACTGCGGGGTGTACGGAGCTATGCGGAGACCCTGAGGCTTCAGGCCGAGGCGGGAGGGGAGGGAACAGCGGAGGTGGCGAGGGCGGGAACACAAGAATCAGCGGATATTGAAAAGCCAGTCGTAGAAGTGGAAAACGCTTCGGTCACGGAGAGGAGGGAGCATGAGCTCGAGGTCCGGCGGAAAGCCCTGGCCGTGAGACAGGCAGAGGAGAGGGCGGCAATCACAGCTCGGAGGAGGGAGAGAAGGGCAGAAAAGGAGGCACGGAGGGTGTTGTCTCCTGAGCGCAGGAAAACGGTGTACGGGTCGTGACCAAAAGCTATGGTGATCAGAATGGGTGACATGAGGGGAAGCCCCGACGCATTTGTAGGTATCCAAGGTAGCACAGGGTGAATCAGCACGAAAGCTGAGAACAAGTAATCAGTCGAAGTCCACATCGACTGGATTGAATCAGCCGTTTAGAAAGAAGACTCGCAAGTCTTCAAGCTTCATGGTGGGAATACAACGTCTGGCCAAATGCTCTCCTCAGCCTTCATCATGAATAGTGTCCATAACCGCATATGTCTCCGCGACCCCTCATCGTGGCTTATCTGATCCCCTCGTGCATCCTGAACGCCCGACTCGTAAACCCACTCAACCCATCATGGCCCAACATCAACAATCTCTTCCCTTCCCCCACCTCCCCTCCCTCGCCATCCTCCTCTCCAGGACTCGCAACGTTGATGGACATCCTCGCGCTGTCTCCCGCATCGGTAGATGGCTTGATGGACGTGTCTGCGCCGAACACTCGGACGCCGCGGACGTGCGTGTCTTTGCCGTTCAGGTGATTGGCGAGGATGACGATCCGGAGGTGATGTGCTGGTATGGGCGGTCTGGGGGTCAGCATTTCCTCTCGAGTCCACACATTCAAGTGATTATCGATCCAGCTCGTACCACTCGAGTTCCAGATATATCCGTGGGTAGAGGAAGAGCTTCGAAGAACAATGGACTCACCCCTCAATCTCCTCCCCATCCGCATCTTCCGGCCTCAGCGGCATATATTGCCATCCATCAGGCTTATCAAACACCCCCAGCCGGACCTCTTGTAGATCATGCACGCTCGTTCCGCACCGTACAGAGATCTTGGAGGGGGTGTAGGAGTCGTCTTTCGGGTGGGAGGTCAGGATGGATACGGCCTGGAAGGTCAGCTCTCCACGCTTTCTTTGGGCTATGAAAGCATGTCCAGGGTGGGGTTTTGACACGTCGGTCCCGCCATACAGAGGAGTGCGGATCTCTAAGAGGCAGTAGGGCCAAGGGCCAAGGGGTGGGACATACCGAAATGAAGACGCGCTTGGGGAAAGATAGGTCTACGACATGCGGTTGAGGACCTTCCGACCTGGTCCTCAGCTGGAGTCCCTATCTTGCCAACTGCCCGTATTTGCCTTGCTAGTCAAGCGAGAGGTCCAACTCACTGCCAGAAAGTCCCCTCATTGTCATCTTTGAGGTTGTCAACGCCGAAGCCGTACTTATGGCTCGACACCGTCCATCTTGCCAAATGACCCAATTCGGGCCGTTCGCCTGACTTTGTCAGCCCAGGATCGAGTGTGTAGGCAAGGACAACGCCCGTGACTGACTGGACGCAGATCTAGAGCTCATTGTCATCTACGGCAGCGAGCTCGCAGGGACATGATCGTTGTTTGAGAGGTAGAAGAGAGATCTCGAGATATCGCGTTGAGATTTTGAAACAAGCGCGTCCAGCCAAAATGAGGCCGAGGAATGAGGAGCTGGGCTCTGAAGGGGGCAGGCCGGTCTTTGTACAACTCCCACAGTGACATGCATCGACGGTAAAGCACGGTAAATCACGCTGCGATCTCCCGGAACCTCTCCTTCAACTCCACCTCCTGCTCCTCTCCTGCCTTCTGCCCCTGCTGGGGCCCTGCAACCCCATGACTCAACCCCATGAACTCCTGCACCCCCTCCTCACAATCCCTGGCCTTCTTGCACTGCCCACACCAGTGCTGCTCACACCATCTCCCCTTTCCGCACCCCACCTTCTTTCCCCCTCCACCTCGACTAGCCTCGCGCACGCCGCCCTTCTTCAGGGACGTGGTGCCGGCCCAGCAGTCTCCGCCTGGGCACGGGGGCACGGACGCCTCGATAGGGCAAGGGAGGATGGCGTAGGGGTCGAGGTGCGCGCCGTTGGGGCATGAGGGGTGCTGAGAGGCGAGAATGAAGCCTGCGCATTGACGTGAGGTGGGGGAGGTAGGAGAGGTGGGGGAGGTAGGAGAGGTGGGGGAGGTGGGTGTAGGGGGAACAGCGATGGGCATGATGGTCTGATCTGTTGATGAGTGGGTATGATATGTGTTGTGGGTTCAGGGAGGTGGATGTATGAAGCAGGATGGGCGGGCATATATCAGTGACTCTTGTACGCTCTCTTCCTGCGGAAGGCGTCAGCAAAGGATAAATCAGCAAAGGATGATTAAGGTTCAAGATCCTTTGATCCCGCGCTTATTTCTGCTCTTACGCGTAACATCTGATTTTAGCGCTCCAGCGCTCACTCCTGACGTCAGAGCTAAAAGTCGAGATGAAGGCGTTCCCCCAGATCCGCCTTCCATAGCCTTCCATCCAGGTTCAAACTCTGCCCCTTCCCCTCGATAGCTGACTTTCCGTACAATTGCAACTTCGCCTTCTCCTTCCCCTGCCCCTGCTCCGCTGTGACGCGTGGCAGACTACGGACTCATCCCAATCACGCCCCCTAGGGCAGAAAGGAAGTCCTCCTCATCCACCTCTAGTCCATCCACACAGAATGCCCCGTCCGAGTCGTCTTCATCCTCCAACGGCGATGCAGCCTCGACCGGTGCTGTCTCCCGACGAGCATTTTTGACCGGGACTGCCACTTGCGGTGGTGGGAGGGGAGGAGTAAGGGGTCGATCCTGTGTGACTTTGACCTGCGAGCTACAAGGTCGGCGGAGGGGGATGACGACTGCAAAGCCTGGTGACCGGGATCGCGATACTGCAGATTTGCCCTTTGACTTGGATATCGGAGCTGGGGCTATTTGCGCACTGGAGGTGGATGACGATGGTAGCGGCGGCGTAAGAGGCCGTCTCGCAGTCGACGAGGAAGTCTGTTGACGCCCCCGGGGCAGATCAGCCAGTGGTGGCGTCGCTGGACGAAGACCATGCTTCGCTCCTCCGCTACTCTCACCCACATCGCCCATCTCCTCGTCCTTTCTCTGCGAGCGCGCTTGATCAAGTACAGTCCGTCTCCTCTTCGCCGCTGGCAGAGGCGGCGTGGGCGGTCTCGCTGCCTCCACGCTCAACCTCCGCTGTTGCCTCTTGATCGGAGACGTATTCCCAGTCATACTGAAAGACAGCGTGGGACCGGACTGATCTAGCAGTAGACCGCCATAATGGTCTTGAGGGACCTGGCGTACCTCGTCTTCATCCGAGCTAGGCCCGTCAGACAGGGAAGACGAGCTAGCTTGTCTTGCTCGCGGATCTTGGACGGGGCGTGCGATCGGGGCGAGCCGTTTTTGAATAGCCATATCTCTGGCATGTTTCCGCGGTTCAAGAATCCGGGCGAGGTCCGTCTCGTCCAGAGGAGGTGTCAGGTCGGGTGACGGTGTGGGCATACCGGTACTGGTATAAATTGGGTTGACCGATGGGTCGCGCGAGGATTGGGATGGTGGAGGGCGATTTAAACGCGGACGAGAGCGAGACGGGCCGGCGGTGGAAGGACCGGACGAGCGGGGACGGGACTGAGAGACTCTGTGGCGGGGATACCGAGGTTCGTCCTCGTGCCGCTCGTCCACGTTCACATCCTCCTCTTCGTCGTCATCCGAATCGATCGAGATGGGATTCATTTGAGAGTTGCTGCCCTGCCGCGTGAACTCTGGTGGGACAGCAGCGACCCTTGAGCGTTTGAGCGGGACCTGCTCTGCTGGCGTAGACGCATTACCAATCCGCTTTCCGAGTTTCGAAGCGCTACCTGTCCGGCCGAGGGGGGCACCTCCGGATCCACCCTGCCCTCCCGCAGCCGAGGTAGCGGGCGAAGGGAGATAGGCAGTCGCAGGTACCACAGGGAGCGGCCGGGTGCTCCCTATCGTAAGCCTGGACGGTCCCGCCCCATTCGCATCCGGGACAGCTTCCGCCGCTGGCACCGCCGCCGGTGCTGTGGGCCGAGGCGACGCACTCGCCTTACTCCCTATCCGTCCAGCCAGCCGACTAGCCCCCGCCAAGCCCTTTGGCATCTCGTCCACCTCCACAATATCCTCCTCATCATCCCCGTCTGCGCCTTCCGCCCGGGACTGCCCAATCCGCCTAGCCAACTCGCCCGAGACCCCACCTGCGCCAATCCGACTTCTGAGCGATGCAGAGGCAAGAGCGGCCTGGGCGAGTGGGTGCTTGGCGGCGTCTCGGGCCTTGATGGCCGCTGGGGAGTTTTGCATCCATAGTTTGTGATAGGCGAAATACCAGTCGTGCTGTCCTTTTGATCGGTAGTCATCTATGATGTCAGCTCTGGCTCTAGAGTCGCATAGAATGTACTGGCCTAAGAGCTGCACTGGAAGACTTACCCCATAGTTTGCGCTCTCGGCTGTCCTTCTCCATCGCCCCGACACTCTCATAGTTCGATAATCGCGAGCACAGTCTGATGTGTTGATACTGCAGCCTGCACCATCAGCTCGCTCTTCCACTGCTCCTTATCACTACGTTCCCCTTGTTCTGTACGAGGAGGCAACATACCACTCCAAGCGCTCCGCGACGGGATTAGCCTCCCCCCAGTCATCCGTCGGTCTTAGCCCCTTCTCGCCCAGAACGACCCACTTGGCCTTCCGCATCCAGTCCATCCATTCCGTCTTTTGCAACAGCTGAAGACATAGCTTCTTCTGATACAGATTCCGCAGTTGTACCGGGGTGGATTTTGGAGCGAGGAAGGCTTTGGCGAGTGTGGGTTGTTTAAGGATATACTCGACGAGGTCGACCGTCTGGGCGGGGGTCCAGCTGCGGTGTCAGCCTCGGGACGGGCAGAGCAGCATAGGCAAGGAGGAGCATTGCCACAAAGACGTACGAATGCGTCGGAGGGACGGAGGGGTCGGCCATACTGCCTCACAACGGGGTAAAGTAGACGCGAAATTTCCAGACGCGTGATGAGGGCGACTTCGACTCAGGAGCTTGTGGTTGGGCTATCTCAAGACGATGAGATACGGGCCGTGTGCCCAATCCGCCCAGTAGACCCTCGCGATACGTCCTTCAGGTGGAAATGCGAAGGATCTGTGAGATGAAGGTAGGGATGCAAGTAGAGATGCGGCCAGAATCCGCTCATCACGCAGAAACCTTGTTCTCCTTACCCCGGATTCCCCGCATTAGCGCCAAGCTCCACTGCACTATCCAGGCCAGCTGGCTAAGCGCGACCGTGATGACCACTGTCAAAGATCCACAGCGACGCTGCATGATCGTCATAAGCAGCTCTGTACCTAAGCACCACCACGACCGTCTACCTATCTATGAGCCTTGAGCTCAGCACCCTCTACAGCCCATCACAGCACGCTCAGCCCCTCCGCCACACCCTCCATCCCCTTCCTTGTCTTATCGTACCAGGCCTCCCCACTCTGCTCCTCCGTGACGCTATCGTCCATCCCGATATTCCGTCCGATATCCGCAGCATTCGGCTCATCCCTCCATCCGCCGCGCAACCAAGCTCTGCCCTGATCTTTCGACAAGATCATCTTTCGGGCATGGTCCCGTTCGTCCTGTTTTGGCGATTGGAAGGCAAAGTACAGTGCAACCCGCTAAACATGTAAGCCTCTTGCCTTGCAAAACTTCGGCGCCGTCCAGCTTACAGGTGGAATGGTGACTCGACCAATCTTAAAGCAATACTCAAATACCGCCAGACACGCCACGATGCCTCCGTCCGACCGTGCAGGTCTTGTCCGCGCGGCAACCTTCTTCGCTTCTTCCATGTTCGGGATCGGGGAGGCTGTGCCGGAGACTTGAGGGGTGGACTCGCCTGTCCCAGGCGCGGAGATGGAGGGGATGGCGGGACCAGCGGATGAGGTTGGGGCTGACGCGATCTTGGCGTCGATTTGCGCCTTGGCGGCTTTGAGATTGGAGGTGGGTTTGGATTTGGGGTAAATGATGAACTCGGTGACGATATAGAGCCTGTCACGTTAGTTTGGGAGTCGACACACCGATGTGCCGCTGTAAACTGACCACTTCTCGCCCCACCCTGCTATTCTCGTCTCCATGAGATACTCGCTTCCCATCGGGATCTCCTTCAAGAAGTTGTAGTGCGATCCAGCAAGAGCGACATTCACCCCAGGGGTAAAGATGGGCGACATCGACTGGACGCAATAGTCCATCCGCGCCGAGTCAGAATTCTTGGCATAGCACCTGGGAAGTCAGCTCTAGCCACACATGTATCGGAAGCGGGCCAGCTTACGAGTTGGACAAGTGAATGTTGTAGTCGCAATCATCGAGCCAAGCTCTCCGCTTTATCTTCGTCCGCAATCCCCTCACTTGCCCCGCCTTCAAGTTCTCCGCCTCCCACTCCCGTAGGTACCTTCCACGTCCTTTACGATAGACCAGGTAGTAAGCTTTCAGGGCGTGACTCCATACTCGCAGGTGCCATTGGAAGGGGAATGATGGGGAGTTGATGAGGACGAGTAGGAGGAAGATTATTTTGACTATCGGTCAGCTAGGCGGCATAGGAGCAAATAGCGCTGTGAGCTCACCAGGTTTCGGTATGAAGGGCAGGAGCGAGGAGGTGGTGGCCACAGGTGCTCCTGGAACGCTTCTTAAGACCCTCAATCGGGCTAGTATCCTCCGTATAGCAGAACTGAGGATCGCTGGGATCTGCTATGTCAGCTCAACTCCGAACGAGATCGGCGTCAGACAGCTCACAGCCTGATCTTTCGGAATAGCCGCTGTGCCCATGTTGGGCAGATGAGCGGTAGAGGCCATTTCAGCGATGGTGCGTAGGCTTAGGATCACAAAGGAGACTAGAGGCTATTGCAACGCAGAGCGACCGAGATCGAGTAGCACCGGTCACTCACCCGGATCTCGCTCGTTTCGGATAAGATCAAAATTAACCGGATCCGGATATCGGCAGCCGGAATAGAGCCACGTGGCGTGAGGTATGTGGAGGTTGGCCGCGAGGCCGAGCGCAAAGGTTCTTATTGTTCTCCTCTCCTCAGTCAGGACAGCCTGCCAAGCTCGGCAGATACATATACGCTGCCCTGTGAGCTTCAGAGGTGTCCATTCGACTCCTACCCCACAGCTCATAATGACAGAACCAGCCCCTCCCCTTGATATGTCCACCTTCAACCCTTCCATCTTCACGCTCCCCTTCGACCCCCTCCCATCCAACTCGCACCCATCCGAAACGCTCGAAGAACAGGCCGAGACCGAAAGCATCATCTCTAAGCTCCTACATACCGTCGCACCGGCTGCCTTGGATGGCGAGACCATACCCGGCGGAACGACCTTACGAAAGGCCGAACATGCGGCGTACTTCCAGCAGCTGCTGTTCCGGCTGCCACCTGGATTCGTATCGCTGGACGCGAGCAAACCGTGGCTGATGTATTGGACGGTCCATAGTCTGGATGTACTGGGGATCGCGCTAGATCAGGGGACGAAGGACAGGTATGTTCCGGTGATCGGGAGGTGCTGATCCGAAGGGCGATTATGACGATGCTGCATATGCTTCATCCGACCGGTGGGTTCAGTGGCGGTCCCGCCAACTCGCAAATCCCTCATCTGCTCGGCACATATGCGTCCACATGCACGCTCGCGATCGTGGGGAATGATGGACCCAGGGGAGGATGGCAGCAGCTCGCTCAGGCCCGGCAGAGGACGTATGACTTCTTCATGCGGTGTAAGCGGCCTGACGGAGGGTTTGTAGTGTGCAGCGGAGGCGAGCTGGACGTCAGGTGAGCTTTCAATATCGTCACCTCGTCCGACAACTCAAAGCTGATCACTCCCAGAGGAACATACTGCCTGCTGGTGGTCGCAACGGTACTCGACCTTCTCACCCCCGAACTTCTACACAACGTCGACAAGTTCATCGCTGCATGTCAGACATACGAAGGCGGATTTGCTTGCTCTTCTTTCCCCTTTCCCTCCCTCGAAGCGCCGACTTGCCGAGCAGCCCTGGCTGAGGCACATGGCGGGTACACCTCCTGCGCCCTCAACTCGCACTTCCTCCTCTCCTCCATCCGACCCCCTTCGTTACCCGCATCATCCCTCGAAGCAGACTTCCCGAGCAAGATCGACGTGGACGGAGCCATGCGCTGGTCCGTTCTCATGCAGGGCGAAGCGATCGAGGGTGGCGGGTTCAGGGGAAGGAGCAACAAGCTCGTGGATGGGTGTTATAGTTGGTGGGTTGGGGGAGGGGTGCCTGTGATTGAGGCTTTGGCTCAGCGGGAGCGGAAAGAGAAGAAGGAAAAGAAGAAGGAGAGTACCGAAGCGAGGATAGAGGTGGACGGAGGGGAAGAGTGGGAGGATGTCATCCGTAAGCTGGACTCCGCACATTGATGCGTGTTGAGCGACAAGAGGAGGCAAGCTCATATGTCAGCGTCACCGCCAGTCTTCAACAAGATTGCGCTGCAAGAGTACATCTTGCTTGCTGCGCAGAACCCAGCTGGCGAGCGGGGAGGTTTGCGCGACAAGCCCGGAAAGTGAGCTGCTTGAGCATCGTAGCCGGTAAAGGGAGAGCTGATCTATAGGCGTCCGGACCAATATCACACGTGCAACAACCTTTCCGGTCTCTCCGTCGCCCAACACAATGTCGTGCATTCGCCCGCGCTCGTTGAGGAGAACAGAAAGAAGTTTGACCCCTCCAAAGGTTTCCCAGCTGTTACCCCAACGAACCCCGAGGGCGGATGGGCGAGCGAGGAAGAGCGACAAGAGGTCAGGAGGCAGGTATGGGCGAGTGCGCTGGGGTGGGTAGAAGAAGGGGAGGCGATTATACTGGGCGGGAAGGAAAGTCGGGTGGTGAGTTCCCTTCTTGGCCGCCTGTGCGTGGTACAGGTAGCTGACTCAGCAGAACACAACCGCACCGGTCTTGAATATCCTCCTATTACGTTTGAAACCGTTCATCAACTTCTTCTATGGTCAGACTGCTTGAGCTCCACGTACTTCCGGTCTATCAGTTTGAACCTTGTACACCATGCATCCTTGTGTCATCTCCCATACCTAGCCAATACGCGATCCTCCACTCCCTCCCCAACCCACTTATACACCCCCTCTGCTAATGCCAGATTCTCCGCTTCCGCACGATAGAGCTTGGCGTAATCTGGCGCGCCGGGTCCAGAGGCGGGCATGGCGGATGCGGCGGAGAGGGACATGTTTTGCATGGACTGCATGTCTACTGCCGCTGAGATGTCAGCTTGCGGCCTATCCATCAGAGCGATGTGGCAGGGGAAGGTCACCGTTTTCTGATCCGAGGATGAGCTTGAAGACGCCGTTCAGTCCGAACAGGTTCAGGAAGTACCACGATAATGCGCTTGATGATCAGCTTGGCCATCCTATGAGGGGGACAGATGAGTGGAAGGAAACTCACGATACCCATTGAGCGTCAAGGTCGGGCATGATGATGTCTTTGGAGAGCAGTGACTTGAAGCCGGCCGTCAAGGGGAACGGTAATCTGACTGCAGGTGTGAGCTCTTGGCGAAGTGATAGCAAGCGCAACAGCTTACTGAGGATGAAGCCAGAAAAGAAGACGCTAATATACTGCATGATGACCATATTTGGTATCCTACATTATCAGCTCTTCTGCCATCTGTGGGACCCACAGACGTCACATGCGCATTAGCTGATGAATGGACTCACATCATCACAGCCTGCTTCTTCATCCCGTCCATAGCACCCTCCATCCCCGCCGCCTCAAAGGGGTTCTTCTCCCCTTCCTCCTCTGAGGTCGCCTGAGGCTTGAGCCATTTACCAGCTATGAGCCCCTCGGAGAGGTCTGAGGATATGGCGCGGTATGTTGCGGGAGGAAGGGGAGAGAGGGGGGCGGTAGATCGGAGTAGGGCGGAGCGGGTCAGGGCGCGTCTGAGGTGTCAGCTATCTATCGTCGGAGTCTGGGCTCGAGGTAGCTGGCAGGGAGCAGACGCACTGTTCTCGGACCACCGCGGCGGGCTGCTTCTTTGGTGCGGAGTTTAGAAGGAGGGTCACGTAGTGCCGAAGGACCCCGACGAGGATCTAGCTGAATGAGCTCTGCTGTCCAGGATCGGCTCCCTGCGAAGTAGCTCACCATAATCAGTGTGATCGGTATCAGTACCCAGTCCTACTGATGTCAGCCTTCGAGCTTTGCAGTCAATTATAAGCAAGCCCGGAGTCGCCTGGACGTACCCGGATGGCCGGGTCGAGGTAGAGATCTTGCCTACTCCTGTCAGCTGTGTCGAACGCGATTAGCGCTTCCCAAAGCTCACGCTGCTTTGATAGCCATTTTGACCGTCCTCTCTGGCGTGGCCTGAGAAACAGGACTCTATATATCTAGCAAGCGATATGTACAGTCCATCATCGCTCGGGCATCCCTCGCAAGGCCCCTTCAAGCTTAAGCTTCTCTCGGTCGCTTATCTCGCCAAATCGACGCACGGGCCTGCCTCCACTTTGACCTCAACCAGGAATTTTGGGCAGCTTCTCCTCTTGTAATTACCTCTCTTCTTCACTTCACTAAAGAACTCTGATTGCAATGCGGTCACTCACCCTCACACGCGCCCAGACCGCTGCGGTTTGCGGTTTCAGCATCTCAAAAGCGGGCGCAGTGGCTGTCGATCCCGAGAGCGGGACGCTGTATGTCGCTGTTGAGCGGAAGGGGGATATGGGGCTGGAGGGGGAGGTGGTTTCGCTCACTCCTGCCGAGGACGGCGGGTTCAACAGAGCGGTGAGCTGATAAGCCTCTTGTCGTCCGCTGGGTGTGATACACAGCTCATCGCCTAGGTCATCGCTACTTTCTCTTCACCTGTGCTGGCTCCTTTCGCTCTGCCGTCGTATCGCTCAGAAGTACTCGACGTCCATTATTTCCCGGATGATCGGTCTCTGGCCATATTGCTCGCTGGTGGCGATATAGCAACACTTCAGCTGGAGGGTGCTGATGGAGGCGTTGGTCCGGTGGGTTTAGCTATGCCGCCTGTGACGAATTCAAAGGGAGGAGCTGATAAGTCAGGTAGAAGTGGTTGGGAGCGTTGATAGCGGTGTTAAAGCTGCGTGCTGGTCTCCTGATGATGAGCAGCTGGTATTGGTGACCGGTGAGCTATCTGACCGCCAATAGGTGTGTATAGCTGACAGCCAGGGGAGGACAACCTTGTCTGTATGACTCGGAACTTTGACCTGGTCCATGAGGAACCGCTCAGACAAGAAGACTTCGGCGAAGGTGAGCTGGAAGCCGTACAGGGTCGTCGTCGGGATGCACAGCTCACGGTCTCAGACAAATTCATTAATGTCGGCTGGGGATCCAAATCCACCCAATTCCATGGCTCCCTCGGTAAAGCCGCTGCCCGCCAACCCGTCGCCTCCTCTTCTTCCTCCTCCGCGATCTCTCAATCCCACCCTACCGACGATGCCCTACCCGTCATCACCTTCCGGGGCGACTGCGCCTACTTTGCCATCTCCTCTCTTGACCCCTACTCACTTTCCGCTCCCACAGCTCGGCGCCAAATCCGGATATACTCGCGCGACGCCTCGGCGGGTTTCACACCCAAACTGTCCTCAACCACCGAAGAGATGCCCGGTCTGGAAGGTGCGATCTCTTGGAGACCTAGTGGGAATCTGCTGTCGGGGCTGGTGAGGTACGGCTATGAAGGAGGAGGAGCGGGCAAAGAGGGAAAATGGGACGTGGCGATGATTGAGCGGAATGGGCTCCGGCATGGTGGCTTTGAGTTGAGGGAGGGGAGGGAGACGTGGAGGGATGGGAAAGTAAGAGGGATGAAGTGGAATGTCGATTCCGAGGTGTTGGCAGTCTGGGTAGAGAGGCCAGAGGGGGATGTCGGTGAGTCCATCTAGGCTGCAAAGGGACGCATGAGCTGATGGGACAGTACAACTGTGGACGATGAAGAATTACCATTATTATCTTAAGCAGGAGATATATTCGAATGAGGCGGGGGAGGAGCGGTTCAACGGGATGGTGTGGCACCCGGAGGATGCGTTCACGATCTACATCATTGGACAAGGTGAGTCCATGTTCGTTCAGCTGCGAAAAGCAGGAAGCCGTTGCCGTAGCTGACACGAGCAGCTTCCATACAAGCCAGGACGTATGTCTGGGACACCTACTGTAGCCGTCAAGCCATGCCTCAGGACAGCGCAACTGTGGCCGTCATCGACGGGTGTGAGCTATCTGGTATCTTTGATCTGCTCCAGGCTTATAGCTGACTAGATAGCTCGGCTCCTCCTTACTCCCTTTCGCACCCAAAACACTCCACCGCCGATGTCATCATATCAAATCTCCCTCTCCCGCCAGCCGACCAACGTCGCATTCTCGCACAACTCCGACTCGCTTGCCGTACTGCTTCACGATGGCTCCGTACAGGTCTGGGACCTCAATACACGTCTCCCCGGCCCAAAAGGGTCGAGACTGCGAGGCGGAGGTAAAGTGTCAGAGCCAGCTTTGCGTTGGGAAGGGCGCATAGAGGCCGAATGTGGCGTAGTCAAGCAAGTCTGTATGGACGATGAGGGACGGGTGGCCGTGCTGGCGAGCGCGAAGGAAGGGTCGGGAGGGATGATCATTCGCTTAGAAGAGGGGAAGGAGGTGGGGAAGTTTGAGATGGATGAGGAGGCCGAGAGGGTGGTTTGGGACGCTACGATCAAGTGGGCGGTCCTGGACCGGCAGGGATCACTATTGCAATGTAAGCTAACAGGATCGCCTCGTCCTAAGGCAAGTTTGGCCTGAGCTGACCCAGTAGTGCCCAACCTCGAGCCCGTCGCGACCCTCTGTCCTCAACCTCAGACCCTTGCCGTATCTCACGAGTCGTCCCTCATCTTCGCCCTGTCACCACTCGGCAAGCTTCTCGCAGCCTCCACCTCCACCCCGACCGAGACCCTGGCCGTCTCATCCGGAGTCACCTCCTTCGTCCTCTCCCCCGACTTCCTCATCTACACCACCTCGGCCCATCATTCACACTACGCCCCTCTGCCCGTCCTCCAGCGTATGGCAGCAGGCGACGACGTAGCGGCGTTCAAGATGGACTGGGAGACGCGCCGGGTCGAGCGGGGGAGTATCCTGGTTAGTGCGTGTCCGAGCGAGATGAGCCTGGTGATGCAAATGCCAAGGGGAAATCTGGAGACTGTTTATCCGAGGGCGCTGGTCTTGGCTGTGGTGAGAAGAGAAGTGCTCAGGTGAGCTATCCGAGGCGTAGAAGACGGCGGCGTAGCTGACACGATAGCGGGAATTATCGGAGCGCATTCACGATATGCCGCAAACACCGCTTGGACCTGAATATCCTGCACGACTTGGATCCGGAGGGGTTCATGGCGCGCCTCGCAGACTTTGTGAAGCAGGTCCCCGAGGTAGACTACCTGAACCTTTTCATCTCGGCTATGAGGTGAGCTCATCCGTGCCTTTCAATACGAGGTCAACTCAGCTGACGCATCGCAGTGACGTCGATAGCTCGCGGATATTGTTCAGAGACCTTGCTCGGTCCGAAAGGAAGAGGTCAGCTGGCATTTGCCCGAACAATTGGGCCAGCATAGCTGATCGTATAGCTTCCCCGAGGACAAGGTCAACCGAATCTGCGATGCCCTCCGATTACAACTCGAAAGCGGCGATATTGTCAAATACGTCGATACGATCTTAACTGCGCATGTGTGCAAGCAGCCCGCGGACTACGAGTCGGGCTTAAGACTATTGCTGCAGCTCCAGGGTGAGCTGCCCCGTTGTCGAAGTCGTGCAAGATATCAGCTGATCCTCAGCCGACCATCCAGCCGTCGTCGAGGATGCCATCAAGTACATTATCTTCCTTTCGAACGTGGATGAGCTATACGACGTGGCGTTGGGGATGTACGACTTCCAGCTTGTGCTTATGATCGCTCAATACTCGCAGAAGGTGAGCTGCCAGAAAGTCGACTTGCTCGTAATCGGTAAGCTGATCCTGCCAGGACCCCAAAGAGTACCTACCCTTCCTTCGGGAGCTCCGTGCTCTCGACAAATACGAACAGCGTTTCCGGATAGACGACCAGCTCGAACGTCGCGGGAGCGCACTCCGTAATCTATCCGAAGCGGGTCCGAGCAGGTGGAATGACGCCAGTAGCTATATGGCGCGGTATGAGCTGTTTGAGGATGGGTTTAGGTTGTATGCGGACGATGAGGAGAAGTTGCCGGTGAGCTGCCTTGAGCATATATTTGCCGGGAGCTGACGTCCAGGTCGTACATGATCTGTACGGAGACTATCTCTACGATCGGAGGGAGTTTACCGAGTCGGCGTTGTGTAAGCTTATCATGCTCCGAATAGTTGAAGTCTCAGCTGACATCATACAGCCTACTCGTTGGCAAATCAACCGAAGAAGGCTTTGAAGGCGTATGAGAAGGCTCATGCTTGGAGAGAGCTCTTTGCTTTGGCTCTGGAGCAGCAGATCCCGGAGGAGGCGCTGAAGGAGATGTGCGAGCGAGTTTCAGGTATGTTCAGCTGGAAATATCGTACCCTCTGGGATCGGACAATAGCTGAGCATGTAGATCACCTGGCTTCTCGCGGACGACCCATCGAGGCATCTCGAATACTGGTGGAGTACGGCCAAGACGTCGATGGGGCTGTAGACACTCTGTGCCGAGGAGGAGAGTTTTCGGAGGCACTTCGCTTGGTAAGCTACATGACAGGCTCTGAGTATCAGCGCGGCTGACTTGGTAGATATCACTGCACAAACGCTCAGACCTCATCGAATCGCTCGTACATCCCGGCCTGGACGAGGCGCAGGATACCCTCACTGAGATCTTTGACGAGATGGACGGGCAGCTGGATAAGGAGGTCAAGCGGCTGAACGAGCTGCGGAGGATACGTCTGGAAGATCCAGGTAAGCTGAGTGATGATGTCGAATGCAAAATGAGCTGACTGCGCCAGACACCTTCTTCCTCGTTGATAATGAGCCGGACTTGGAGGGTGTTGATGTGGCGACAAACGCTACGACTGCGGTCACCAACTTTACGCGGTATACTGTGGCGCCTACGGTCTTCTCGCAGACGACCAAGATGACTGGGTAAGCTTTCAGGCCTGGATTACTCTGTGAAGGGCCAAAAGCTGATCAACCAGTCAAACCAACAAGACCAAGCACAAGCCATCCCGAAAACGCGCTGCCGGCCGGAAAGGCACAGTCGACGAATATGACTACCTCCTCATGTCCATCGGCCGCCTCATCGCGCGGGTCGACGAGAAGAGCAATGACTCCCTTCCTTTGCTCCGTCAGCTCTTACTTGCCACAGCGGACCATCGTGAATCGGCAAGAATGCTTCAGGGGCTCATCCTGGCTTTTAGGAAGAAGCTGGGGGATGCATTAACGGATGCGTGGAAGGATAGGGAGGCGATTCTGGACGAAGCGGCGGAGTCGGGCGGGCTGATATTTGGGGGTGATGCGGGCAAGTTTGCGGAGGTGAGGGCGGCGGTGAGGCCGGAGATGAAGGTTTGGAAGGGGTTGGGCGTGCTTGCGAGATCATAGGAGGGCGTGGTATATCTAGCAGCAGCATCTTGATTGTATCTCTGGTGGTAAGTCAAGACATCATCGTTACAGCTGGTCCACGAGAGAGCTGACGGGCCAGGTCATTTTGCATCCGCATGCACATACACACACACTCACTCCGCTGCAACTGCCCTGACTGACTTGATTCTGATCCTTTCACCCTGTACTTTCACCTCGTAGTTCCCTACTCTCACCATCTACAGCATCCTCAGACACCTAGCATCGTCATCCTCTGCTTGACTACGGTGCTGCCCACTATTGGTGAGCAGGTTCAACGCCGCGTCGACACGGCGATATGGAGATGGCTGACGCGGCATAGCATCATGGACCGCCCCGGCACCATCTACTGGTCCGATTGCAGGCTGGACATGGAGGAGTTGACCAGCAAGATCGCGCTCCTCCACCTCTCCATCCAACAATACAGTCCAGAGGGAGGAGCGACCTCTGACCTTGTCGCTTTGGAAGCGCAACTCTGCATATTCCACCACGACGTCATGCATATCCTCAACGGAGGCTGCCAGGTCGACGCCCAGGCATCTGCAGCTACGGTCGGTCGGGCGCCCGTCTCTCGTCTGGACGAGCTCTTCCGCCAGATCCGCGCGATCGATAATACCTACCTCGCCCTGCTCGACAAGATCGAGGCGGGCGGAGTCGAGCGGCAGCCCGGCACGCGCACAAAGCAGGACCTCATCAAAGTGATGATCCAACTCCTGGAGCGGCGGATCGCCGACCACGCCAAAACACTGCAGCAGGCCTGCCCGGCGCTAGACGCGCAAATCGGGCTCATCGTCGATCAGCGGGTCGAGCAGGTCAGGGTGCAGCTCGTCCAGGATGCGGAGAAGGCGGCGGCGGGAAGGGTGGCGGAAATGGCCAGCCAGCTGGCAGAGCAGGTCAAGGCGGAAGTGACCAAGGGTCTCGCTCGGCTCGCGGACGACCTAGAGGCGCAGAAGGCGGCTCAGCTGGCGTTGCAGGCGGAGGTGGATGTGATGAAGGGAAAGAATGCCGCTCGGGAAAAGGCGGACGACCAGAGGATGGCAGACCTCGCCGCTTCCCTCAACCACCTTCGGGATCAGGTGAAGGACAAGGATACCGAGGCTCTCTCTCAGCTTGGCGTGCTGCATCAGGCGATGGAGGCAAGGAGGAAGTCGAGGGAGGAGAAGATGAAGGTTATGCGGGGGGAGCTGGAGGGCATCAAGCGTAAGCTTTATGCTTTCCAGGGAGTTGGTCGATCTCAGGCGTACCGGGAAATTGGGTCGGTCCACGTCAGCGTCGGGGAAGGCGCTCTCGACAAGCCGGGGCAGGCGCCGGGATCGGACTGGTTCGAAGCGCTGAGCCAGCTGGATCTGGCACAACCGGAAGCGAACACAAAGCAAGCGCAAGGGAAGGAGGAACAGGTGCTGGTCCAGCACCACTTCGACCAGCTCAACACGGCGGTCATCCGCATCATGGACGCCACCATGGCTGTGCAGCACCAGATGACCGCCAAGGACGACATCGACGCCCACACCCGTACCGCCATCCGCAACCTCGGTACGGCCAAGCGTGACATCCTCTCTGCGATCGACGCACATGTCCTTGCCCTTACCGCAAACTTCGACAACAAGGCGGACAAGCTCGACATCGTCATGCTCGCTTTTGAGCAGCGTCTCGGAGCGGCCGGCCCGTCCGACATGGCGGTCAGCGTTGACAAGGAGTGCGGCGGAGGTGGGGACGAGCGGAAGCGAGGTGGCGTCAGCGGTGGACCGAGCGGGTGTGTGGAGCAGGGGAAGAGTGTGTGGTCAGGAACGGGGGTGGTGGAATTGGATTTGCTTAGTGAGTGTTGTGCCTGGGAAAGGAGGGCATTGAGGTTTGGCTGACGACATCAGGATATCGCGTCTCCAAGGCTGTACAGTGATGCCCATGCATGATCAAACTTCTTCATCAGCATTGCTTCCTCGTCGTCCTCATACTGCCTCTTCCTCACCCACTTCAGTCGATACTCACCTGTCATCCGAAGTGCTCAGTCAGCTATGAGTTGGAGGTTCGTTTCCATCTTGATTCTTCGCATCGGTTATACAACAGCTGAACATTTAGAGAGTCTCAGCCCCTGCGCGTCCCGCAGCTGCTGTGCGACGAAGACGTGCAACGCCTCATCGTAGAGGTGACGTCCATCGGCACGGACCTCAGAGCATTCGATCCCCGCAGATCCTCCCAATGGGCGCTCTCGGATCTCGAGAAGCGGCTCACATCAGCCATTCGGGCGTTTCTCCACCCCCTCGGTATCACGTCTACATCCATCAACTCGGCATCCCCCCCTACCTACGCGCACATTTCATCTCATCAACTCGACCAGCTCAAGCGCGTCCTCGCATCCAGCAACGATATCTATCGGAGCGTTCTCGATGGGCTCGGTCCTGTCAAGCGGTTCGGCTACCAGGCTTGGAGTTGGGATTCCTCACACCGACCCCTGCTGATCGACACCATCAATACTTTCAACGCTCGTCTGTCACACCCTGGACCACTCGTCGATGACGGGAGCGTACCTGATCTCGAGGCGCGTATCGCCGGCGAAGTCAGCTGGCGCGTGGATGAGATGAAGGGGAGCCTATTTGCGGAGGTTCAGGGCATGGTGGAGCGGTTGGAGGAGGACAGGCTCGAGGGGGAGAGACAAGCTCAAGCGGAAGGCGGGTATGACGAGGACGAGGAAGCCATCACTCACGGCGCCCGCTGGAATCGGAAATGGATGCAGTCCAGCGACGATCCATGGAGCGGACCTTACGTGGCGCTGGATTCTCAGATCGAAGCTCTGAATCATCGCATCGACGGCGCCGCCGCGGAATCGGTACGAAACGCTCGGTCCGCTTGCCAAAAGGCCATCAGCGATGCGGTTGCGGACACGACCGGGGAATGCGTACAAAAGGTCGACGCGGCGAACAAGATCGCTGCAGACGCACACAAGCGGATCAGCTCGCTCGTCGATCGCGTCAGTGCGGTGGAATCTCGAGGAGGCGCAGCAGAGAGGGAGACGCTGGTCCAAGCAGCTCGCAAGGATGTCCGTCAATTCGCAAAGACGGGGCTCAGGGTACAGGTGGAAAGGGATGCGAGGGAGATCATTATGGAAGTGGTGGGATCGGTGATGGAGGAGCATGAGCTGGCTCAGGCGGCAGTGGAAGCTCGGTGGCAGAAGGAGAGGGATGGGCTGTTCGAGGAGATCAAGAAGCAAAAGATGGAGGCGGCACGGGTCAGGGTGGAGCACGAGTCTGCCCTCGCCAACAATCGAAAGGCGCTCGCCGATCTCAATGTCCAATCGGACACGCGGCTCGCGGCGGTTCGGAAGGAGCTGCAGGCGCAGAAGGTTCAGCTTGCCGAGGCGATGAGAGTCAGCGAGCAGACGGCTGTCAGCACCAAGCATCTCAGGGTGGACCTGACCAGCGTAGAGCAGTCGCTGGCTAGGACGGAGCAGCAAGCGGAGGCAGCGGCCCTACCTCCTGTTCCCTGCGGGGAAGTGCAGGGATGCGGCGCTGAGTTCGGAACGTCGGCACCGGGAAGGCGGGGCGGACAGGCCAGTCAGCCGAGTCAAGCGGTGCTGATCGCGGAGGAGGGGAAGGGTCAGGGACCGGTCAACGCCCTTATCGCCAACGCAAAACGAATCGCAATCGTCGATATCTCCAAGCATCAAGCTCTTGCTCTCGACGCCATCACTGAGAGGGCGACTCATCGGCTGCTGGCCATCGATGCTAAGGCGGACAAGCTCGATACTGCGATGCTGGCTTTCGAGGAGCGTCACTCGGTCCCCCCGGTCGCATTGACCCCCGGAGTCATCCCTTCCCTCCGTGATACCCCGCGCAACTCTTCTCCCTCCGCGAGCGCCGATGGAGTCTCCTCCACTTCCATCGCTTCGATGGATGACCTCCCTGGCCCTTCCCGAATGGTCAAAGCGGTCAAAACGGGACGTCCAGGCATGCCGAGGAGGCATCCCGTTGAGGCGGCCGGAACGAGGAAGAGAGTGGCACCCGTTGGTGCAGTCGCGCCCATGTCGGTGTCAGCGCCGGCGCCAGCAATGACGCGAAGTCGGGATGGGACGAATCAGGCGGTCAAGGGCAAAGACCAAGGCGCAGAGAAGGAGGGGCCAAGGGGGAAGAAGATGTCGCGAGTGGAGGCGGAGAAGGAGCTTTTCGAGGGGGGTTACATCACCGAGAATGTCTACAACAGCGACGATTTCGCGTACGAGTAGGTAGGGGAGAAGCGTGAGGACCGATGGAGCGAGGATTAGGGGAGGCGGGGCTTCATAGCTAGGACAGTCTACACGATATCGTAGGGAAAGAGGAGGCGCCATCAGTACTCAGGGAGTTTGCGGGGGAGTCGTTAAGGAGGACGTATACTATACTATATCATCTATATCATCAAAAACTATGCCATCAAACTCATGCGGACATACCATTCCATTCTCATCATCATCAATATTGGACTTCCTAAATGACAGCTACGTACAGAGGCTAGACTCATACCACTTGAGCATACGTACAGGATACAGATTCAGAAGATCAGAACGAGACGTCTGACAGACAGTGTGCACGTTGCTGAGACAGATCCCCTCCATGCAGGGAACACTCTGGTGCCATCAGTGGATCGCTAGGAATGGTTGTCACCAATGACTGGGTGCTTGGGTCAAGCTCGGCTCTTACCGCTTTTTGCCACCTCGTCGTGCAGTCGGTGCAGGATGCCTGCGCTATCATCACCTGTTTCTCCTCAGCGTTTCGAGCTGGGGTGTGGTGCCGAGGGTCGAGGCCTCTGCGAAGACCTGCAAGCTGTACTACCAGACGGCTTGTCCTATATCATACCATGCACCTACACGAACTGCCACACCGCCACATCTCGCCCACAACAGCAGAGTTTCACCATGTTTCACGCACGGATCAGGATTTTGGTCGACCAGAACAACATATGCTGCAGGAGGCAGCGGGAACTCAAAGCTACCAGCATCAGTACTTCATGCCAGTCACCATGATCTTGCTCAGCTACAGCTACCCAGCAGCCTCTATGAGGCTGATGACTGATGAGGGATCCCAGCGGCCGAGCAGGGCTCAAATTCAGCTTTCACCGAGACGGAGCTAGCACACGCGTTTGTCCGAGCTCAGGTGGTCCTGCCTGTCGCTCAAGCTTTCAGCTAGCTGACCGGTCGCCCAACAATACATATCGATCAAGTAAAAGAGGGCCAGCAAGACATCCCGACCAAGCCTTTGCCCTAGTCGAGGCACCTACCTGGCAGCTCACCGACGATCTACGGGTCCGGGACGCTCTCCGGTGCTAGGCTGGAGCGGCCGCCCTCACCTGCGGTAAGTCCGGAGAAATGTTGATCACTTCGGCATACAGAACGAGCTGACGAGTACAGCATCATGAGCACCTCCAAAACGAAACAGCACAACCCCGGTGTCTCCCTTTCGCAGCTCACCAACAAGGCCTCGTCAACGCTGGAATCCCTGCTCCGGCAGTCCGGCGGCATCGACCCCGCGGCCGAGATCACCCTCGTAGCGAACGTACAAGCCTACTCCAAGCTCTTGGATATCATCGATCCTATCGAATCGGAGGCCCCTCCCAAAGGCACCGCCGAGAGCACCATCAGTCAGCTCAACAAGCTCGGGCGTATCCTCCACGATACGAAATCCACGTACACTTCCCTCATCCTCGATACCAGAAAGAACGGTCCTCGGCGTACGGCAGACAGCCACCCACTCGTGATTGTCGTCGGACTAGGCGAGGCTATCCAGCGTATCGACCGGGTCATCACGCGGTACAGGTCCGAGGAGGCTATGGCACGGGTCGAGTCGTCTTTTGACGCCCGGGTCGAGCGGGAGGTCAACCGGCAGGTCGAGCTGGTACGGGCCGCTCTGATGGACGATGTCAAGGGATGGATCCACCTGGACCTGAAGGATCTGGAGCGGGCCGCAGAAGAGGGCCAGAAGGGACTAGCCCGAGGAGGGCCGGGAAGTGCTCAAGCGGGACGGCGTGGAGATGCGGAGAATGGTGGGGAGGGCGATGGGGGAGGAGGTGCGAAAGACGGGAGAGATGGCGGAGAAGATGAGGAACAGGGTGAGAGTTTGGAAGGGAGAATACGAAGTGATCGAAGGGGCCAATCGGGCCGAATGGGACCAGCGGCAAAAGCGGTCCGAGGAGCGGTACCTCACCATCGAGGGGGCGACGGACAAGCTACCTGCGCTCTCGGCCGCTATACTGGAGTTTAAGGCCACCCGGACCGACACCCTCATATCGATCAACGGGCAGCATCGGACCGCTCTGGACAACATCGCTCTCAAACACTTGTCCGTCCTGCAGGGCATCGCCAAGGTGCAGCTCGAGGCTGAACGCGGCTTCGAGGAAAGGGCGAAGCGTATCGAGGGACACGCGGACAGGCTGGACGGTCTGGTCCGGTCATTTGAGCGGCATTACCCGGCTCTTCTGCCTCCTAACACCGCCGCATCCGCCGGGATGGTCACGGTCGATGCTCGTCCATCAGGAGGACAATCTCCATTCCTTTCTCAATGCCCAAAGCCCCGACCTCTCCTCCCTCAGCTCTTCACCACCCCTGTCGTCCTTACGACTCACAGCGAGAACCCCTATCCCATCGACAGGCACCGTCCCACTCGGCCGATTCTGCTGGGTATGACGACGGTGATGGTCGTCCGATCATCGCCAGCAATACTTCTGCGTGCGGAATAAGCGGGCGGGTTCGCGAGCAGGATGGGAGGGGGTGAAGCTAGACGGCCCCGGGGCGGGGCGGGGCGGCTGCGTGCATAGGAGAAATGATCAGTGCGGTATGGAGATGTTGAAGGGGAATTCTGCCGTCTGCTTTCAAACAATATGGCTATATATGCAGGATTTGGACTGGGCTGTGGAAGCAAGGCGATAGCGATGCCGCAGTCCGTTGTCATATAGCTGAACAGTACCTAAGCAGACCACAGTGGGGGAGTGGGGTGTGAGTGGGGGGAACGAATAAGACATCGGTGTTCCCTCTTTCAAGGGCCTTTTCGAAGCCCTTCTCAAATGACTTTCTCTTTCTCTCCTCAATGCTATGATGCGGCTCTGTATGCTGTTTGAAGCGTCTGAAGCGGTACGCTAAGGTACTCGGACTGATGCGGTATTACTGAGCGGACGGCAGCTGGATGCGAGGACCAGACCGAAAGTCGCGTCCGCGGGACGCGCCCCAAGCGTAGCGTGCCTGAAACTGTGCGTGGGCTGCTGACCGTCGGCCAACGAGACACACACTCCGCTCGGGCCAGGTTTAGAGCTGACTGGACTACCTTCACGACGCCTTGTCAGTGATCACCTCAGTCTCGACACTCTTCCTTCCCGACACAACACCTATCCTTCCCTTCCGGCCTTCCAGTCCCCTTCCAATCTCCCACCTCACGCGTGCACCTCAGCCGTGAGTACAGCAGCTTAAGACTGACTTTCATTCGAGGGAAGAGTTGGCTGATATGAAGAAGCTAAATGAGTCCCGTCAAACCCCTCGTCCATGACGGACTGGAAGACCTCATTGCGAAGGTCGCGTCGGTCACCGAACGCCTCGAGTCCCTCCTACCGCCTCTTGGTCCACCCATCATACGTATAGGCGGTTTGGAGCACTTCCTCCTCTCGGTCAACCTTGCCGTCGCCGAGATTCTCACCTCGCCCGACATCTGCGCATGCGGTCAATGCTCGAGCGACACATCCGAGGGCGAGAATCGCGTCCAACTCGCTATCATGACACAAGCAGCAAATATCACCTTCCTCGAGCTGCTGCAATATGCAGAGGCGGAGTGGATCCAGCTTCAGGGCGGCGGGAATGCGGGGATCGATACCGCGGTGTACCTGGAGGGTAACAATACCTTATTCGGGCTCATCTGCTCAACGGCCGACCCGCAACCCCTGCACGCCTCATCCTCGGGCGAGGTCTGCAAGCACTATCGTGGCTCGGACGGTGGCAGCTCCGGTGGGTATAAGGAGGCGCAGGGACGCGTGGAGGACTTCGCCGAGGAGATAGAGCAGAGGCTGGAGGGGAAGTTGCGGTCGATGATGAATGACTTTATCGGTCAGACCAAGCGTGACGCGCTGGAGGCGGGGAAGGGGGCGAAAGCTTGGCGGAAGCAAGTGAGGGGGGAGGCGAAGCTGGAGCTGGCTCAAGTCAAGGCGGAGGCGGAGGAGCGGATCGTGGTCATCCAGGCGGCACTCGAGCAGAATCGGCTCGAGATGGATCGACAGCGGTTCCGGCTCGATGCACAGGATGTCGTCATCCGGGATATGGCGGAAAAGCTTAAGAAGCACCAAGTGGAGTTGGCGGTGGCGAGATGTTCGCAATCGGCCCCCACTGCCGCTCCGCCTCGACGGAAAGCGTACCCGCTACCGGTCAAGCCGGTGCTACCGGTCACCGACTCGATCGGCCCTATGCAGGAGCGATTGGCGAAGCAGGAGAGGGAGATAGATACCCAGAGAGGGAAGGCGGAGAAGGTGGAGGAAGAGCTCAGAGAGGAGATCGAGGATTTGAAGCGCGAGCTATCGATCTTGCAGGCGGATCGCAAGGACATCGGTCTCGCGCCCGCCAGCTCATCCGGCGGTCGGTCGGTCCTTCCAAGCACCATTGAGGCGCTCAGCCGTGCGGTCATCTCGTCGGCGTCCTTCTCGACCATGACGGCCGGTCTCCTCACCGACCTCACCCGTCAGTCAATCGATCGCTCCGTCCGGACCAGCCTCCTACTCATCTTCCGGAACTGGCAAGTCCTCGATGAGCTCAATAAGCCGGCGGTCTGCAAGGAGTCATCCACCCGCATGCTTGGGACGCTGGAGGGACATCTTCTGTACGACATCACCAGCTGCACCACTGCGGTGTCGGACGATTGCTGCAGCGATGACATTGCCCGCACCGTGGCTGGATACATCGGCGCTGTACGGGATGAGGCGGAGGTGAAGGCGATGGAAGGGTTGATACGCGGGGTGGAGAAGGAGCAGGAGGTATTGAGGGAGGAGAAGCAGAAGCTGCTGCTGGAGAAGCGGGGCTTCAAGGCCGCGTGGACGGCCGCGACTACCTCCATCGCCACTCAGCACCGGGCTGTGATCGAGGACGTCGGAAGTCACGCTGCCGCCGCGGTCGAAAGCATCTCGCACGCCCAGTCCCGAGCCGAGCTCAGCTTTCAGGAACGGGCTGCCACGGCGGGCGAGACCATCGATCTGCGTGCAGACAAGCTGGACAAAGTCATGCTGGAGTTCGAGCAGCGTCATCCTCCTCGGGTCCACTCGACCCCCGTCGCCTCCGTACCGGTCGTCGTCCCTCCCTCTACATCCACCTCAACCTCCGGAAACGACCCCACCCTCATTCGGCTTCTTCCTATGCTCGAGCAATTTCTCCTCGCTCAGCGCACAACGAACCAACCACCCCCCTTTGCATCTCCTCCTATTTATCCATCTACTTCCACGCGATCTCAGCACTACTCGTACGATCCGCACGGTAACGGCGCGACCTCCGGTGCGGTCCCGATGGTCATCGAGACTCAGTCAGGGAGTCTTTACGAGTACAATCAGGCGCATTGAGGGGTCGGGTCGGCGCACGCGGACAGAGCGGAGTGGGTACCGTATCATGAAGAATTAGATTGGATGGGATGGGACCAGCGGCATGCGGCGGTGGATGGGAAGTAGAGGGAGGGATGGCGGAGGATGGAAACCAGTCAGCGGGGAAGGTGTTTAAGAAAGTGCATGCCTATGATATGCATCATCATTATGCTCTCCCTACTTGTCTCACCTTTTACTCGGTCTTGATGTCGGGGGAACAGCCCGCTGAAGATGCTGTGAAGCGTGGCTTTCGTGACACTTATCTGGGGGGCGCAACCAGGCCATGAGGAATGAGGCATTTGCACAATACGCGAGATTCTGCCTCTTCCGGTAATTTTCGAGACAAGCGCCTGCAGCACGACTGAAGCGAGCTTCTCTCAACTGATCTGCATCTTGAGCAGAGAGCGACGTGCCACTCGCAGCTCCAGGCCGGGCTGTGCTCATCTGCAAGAGGCAGGCCTTGCGGTCTGTCTACTCAACATGACAGCGATCTCAAAGGATGTGTGTGGGTGGAGCTCGGAAATGCAGAGGATTTGATCCGAGCTCAAGGTGAGGGCGAGCGGTGCCTGAACCTTACCGAGCTAGCTGATCTGGTATCCTCGTGACCATATGCCACCTCGCTCACCACCACTGACCCGTCTCTACAGCTTCATCCTCTTAGTCATTCCACTAAACCCATATCATTCTGCTCCCTCCCTCGGTCCACCCCTCTCGCCCCTCTCACCTCCTCAGAACCCATAATCCACTGTCATACGGTAAGCCGGCGGCTTGGAAATTTAGACGTATATTGTGCGGCTGACGTGCACAGCTTCCTTCCTCCAGGCCCAAAATCGTCGATCATGCCAGCCAACCCTATGTACGAGCTTCTCATGGGGGCCGAGGACCATCGGTCTGAGCTCCAGCAGCTCCGCAATACCCCCTTCGGCGGCGTCATCCAAGTGACTGACTTCGAGGAGCGTCTCAGGTCACTCAACAATGTGGCCCATAGGCGCTTGGCAAACCACATCGCCGATTTCCTGGACTTCCCTAGCCTCGCAGGCGGGGCGGAAGACAATTGGGCGCGATTGATCGCACCCATCATGTATCAGATCAATACTGTCTACATCGCCCTCCTCGATCAAATCGATCGGGGCGAGCTCACAAGGTCCGACTCCTCTTCCTCCCGGGTTCGGGTCTGGGATGGCTATTTCGGCGACTGCTTCAAGCCAGTCGGACTAGGCGGAACTACCTCGCCCATACCCACTCCTTCCCACTTCAACACCACCCAGTCGACCGGCATCCTGGCGGACACACCGGTCGTCACGGAGCAGAACCTGGCGAAGGAAGTCAAGGCGATGGCGCAGGTAGTGGTGGATGAGCAGGTGGAGGAGGTCCGCCAGCTCATCGCGGCGGTTAAGAAGGAGCAGGCAGAGGCGGAGTCCCGATCGGCGGAGAAAATAAAGGGATTGGAGGAGGCGCTGAAGGAGCAGAAGAAGGAGATGGAGGAGATGAAGGGGATCTTCGAGTCCGCCATCATCGCCGAGGTTGCGAAGCGGGACGGACAGCATCAGGCAACGCTGGAAGAGCTCCGTGCGCAAAGGGAGGCAGCTGCCAAGTTGGACGCGGGACTTTGGGACGAGGTCGAGGCGTTGAGGGCGAAGGTGGTGAAGGTCGAGGAGAACACGTCGACGGATCAATTCCTCGTTGATGCCGCCATCCTCCACTCGAACGCCATCGCGGAGATCTGCAAGCAGCAGATCATGGCGGTCAATATTGTCCTTTCGGCGCGGGAGGAGGCGGTGCAGCATATCGACACGCGGGTGGGATTCCAGCTGGAGGGGCTGGAGGATCTGGTGGATAGTATGGATGGGAGGATGCTGCAATTCGAGAAGCGGATTGCGGCGGCTATCCCACCACCGGGCGGATCCAGCAATCTTGCCTCTACTCCGTCGGCTCCGACTCCGGCGGCAGCTCCCGGCTATGGCCAGTTTGCCTTCGGCCCCCACGCCAACAACTCAGCTCCTTCTAACCCTCCCTCTGCCCCTCCCTCCCACCCTCTCGCGACCGGCTCGAGCACTACCACTATCACGGTTCATCATCCCAGTAACCACGTCACGGTCAAGCCGCCCGTTGACTCCGCCTACGTCCCTTGGATGCCGGTGCAGTACTCGCAGTAGCGGGCGGGTCACCAACATGGCTATAGGGGACCAAAGGGACATGGGAGGTGGAGAGGTAGTAGGCATGGTATACGGTAATGCTTTGAAGGCGGGACGTCTATTCGCGAAAGTAGAACTTAGGAAGACATGGTTGTGGCGCTCTTAGGCTAGGGGGCGAAGGGATCCCAGTATACATATATGTATATCAAGGATTGAGTGGGAAGATACTGGGCATGGGCAACACGGGTTTAAAGATATCATCATAGCCCCATCTCGATCATGCACGAGTCCGCCCAGTGCGGCTGATCGGCACTGCTACAATCCGGCTCTACAGCACGCCAATAGCTCCATCCACGCAGCTCAAAAGTCAGAGTCCAGATCATGGTGCGTCTGATCTCATTCAATGAAAATCCGTCCTTTCCGAAGCAGGAGTCTGAGGTATCTGCGAACACCCCTTTGCAGCGTGCACCGAGCTACTAACGCAAAGAAGACACATCGTGCTTCGCAGCTTCTCATGACACAAGAGGACCAAGCCTAACACGAGGAAGAAGCACGTTCCATCGGGCTATATATATATGTTCTGACCGTTCTCCAATAGCGATTTGCCGCCCCACCAAGCACGTCCTGGCCAGGCCAGCATACACTTATTACTGCATCAGCTCACCGCACAGTGAAAAGCTATACAGTGAGGCTTGCGCTATGTAGGATACAACGAGCATTAAGCTGACAAAATAGCTCCCCTCTCGCAATCATTGTTAGGAATACGACGTCTCAGCGGGAGCGATCCCGGCAGCGAGGCTACTCGGAACCGAGCTCGGTACCGCGTAGGAACTCCTACACGGGACAGAGTAGGCGCACCTACAGTATAGAGAGTGCGACGCCTGAGTGGCGAGATCCCATGCCGTACTGCAGGGGCTGTATGGCAGGTCAATGTGGCGGACCAAGTGTGGCAGTACAAATGGACCATGGAGGCTATGTAGGAACTGTAGGAAGTCCTACATAGGAGTTGCTACATAGGAAGTCCTACAATAGGGATTGTATGAACTCGTAGGAACTCGTAGGAACTTGTAGGAACTCGTAGGAACTCGTAGGGACTTGTAGGAACTCGTAGGAACTCGTAGGAACTTCTGTAGGAAGTTCAAGACTGGAATATATAAGGAGGTCATATCGAGTCAAATGCATCCCCAGTCTGCTCTTGAAAACTTAACACTGGCCCCCAACGCCACCATTTCTCTCTTGCTCCCTACCGCCCGCACGCGCCTTCCCTCATACCCGACCTCGAGCTCCCTCAGCGATTCCTTCATGTCCGCCTCTTTCGCCTGGGCAGCAGACAAGCTCTGTTGAGCTACATCGAGTCGGTGCATCGGGGCCGTTTGCCAGAACGCGATGAGCTGATTCATTCCCGCCGCCGCCAGGGAAGGTGCGATCGGGGAAGGAGGAGGAGGAGGATTTTGGGCGGGTCGGAGCGGAGCGATAGCGGGAGGGGGCATTGGTGGGGCTCCGTGGGCAGCCAGTCGGTCGCGGATGATCTTGGACCCGCGCGTGGACCAGTTTCGGTCGACAGAGACTGGAAATGAGCACAGTCCATACGGCAAAGCTCACACTCTGTCGCCCGGGAAGCTTGAGAGGACGGCGTATGCTGATTGGATTCCTTCAGGGTGAGCTCTTGTCCGGGGTAGGGCTTACCATCGGTGTTTTGTGGGTTCGTATAGATGTGATGAGCTGAGTGAAGGTGCCACATTCTCACCTTCGCATCAGCTGGGCACGTGACCTCGGTGAGACGCGTTCTGCCGTAACCAGCCCCGTCCGTCGCCACCGAGCCAACGCTTGGGCCAACGTTGAGCATGCATCTGAAATCGTACAAGAAGCCATTGTCTTTAGCTCTATGATTGGGTCGAGAAGCTAGAAGACATCTGTACCCTGTACCAGCGAGGACAAAAGAGCTTCGAATCGAGGATATCCAGCTGTATAGGGAGGATCCGCGCTCCTGGACCTGGCTTTAGGCAAGTCGTCTCCGTTCGCCGAGCTGATACCCAGGTGCTGCTCCCATCTGCTTCACTCCCCGAGAAAGATTGCCTCCAGGGACGACGTCCAGTATCAGGGTCTGCTCAATCGCCATGACACTCGCTTCCAAAGATTATCTGCGGATGGGCGTGCCCAGCGCCCGGAGGCACTCGCATGGTGAGCAGGGGGTCCGACTGAGCTGACGATAGGTCCCAACCTACCTGGCTGATGCCAAGAAGCTCGAAGCCGCCATGGACGATAGCGCATTCCTCCTTCTTCACAAGGCAAGTCCCCCCTTTGGGTTGAGCTGACGGGATAGCTGGACCTGTGGACCACTATCATCATCTGAAGCTGGAAACGCACTTTGAACTCGGCCCTTTGCCCATCGTGATTGCCAGCGTCCACTCGGTATCCGCCCAGGGCGTACATACTACCACCATCTTCACAGCTCTGGCTGTGGATCATCCCATGGCGCTCCTCGGCCTGGACGTATTGGATCGTTTGCTAAAGACCCATTTCTCCCTCCTCAAGGCAAGTCTAGTTTGGATGTGACTAATCTCGTAGTGGGCTACTATCCAGATTGACGGAGGCTTTGATCGCACCGCTGGCGTCCCGGACTGTGATCTAGCGCCGATCTTTGCGAGCACAGGAGCTGTCGTAGAATCGATAGGAAGGGTAAGTCGCGCTTGCCAGCTGTGACTGATGTAGACAATCTTCCATTGTCTCGGTGGCGCGCCTTACGGCTTCTGGCGTCTCGTCAATGGGCAAATGGAGCCGTACGAGCCGCCCTTCATCGTCGACAAGATCAAGATGGTGCCAGGTCCTGCCCTTGCTGCGCACAACGTTGCCACCCTTTTCAAGGTGAGTAGAGGATTGGCAGAGCTGACGTAGCTCGGAGACGTCGTGGCGTATATCCTGGATCACCAAAACCAGTTCTACGAGCTTGCCGAGCACATCTTTGTGGCGGAACGCGTCGTTCTCCTCGATTGGCGCAGCATCACCTCCTTGTGTGCTTTGCTAGCCAAGGACCGAACCACCATGTAGGTCTGGGCTCGACTCGCGCTGACGATAGCGAAGCGCTCGGTGCTGAACTGCTGGACGCGGACGACTGGGATTTCGTCGACACGATTGTGATCATCCTAGAGGTGAGTTTCCCGTCGACGCTGCTGATATAGCCGCTTCGCGTCTTTATGGAAAAGTACGAGCGCATCACCGACATACCTTCTTCCATCCTCGCGCCTGATCTCTTCATTGCCTTGGCAGACGTCCACGACGCTCGCTATACCAATCCGCGGCTCGAGGGGATCGGCATCGCACTCGACATCTTGCACCATGCCTTGTTTGAGCAGCGATTCGGGCCAATCATCGCTCAAGTATGGGGTGAGTGATCGTCTTGACTCTGCTGACAATAGTATTAACCCCCAGACTACAAATGGCAGGAAACGGAGCGACTCATGGGCACCGTCAAGCGCATTGCCACATCCATCCAATACCTCGCCACTGGCTCTCCATCCCTAATCGCCACAGGCCTCCCCGAAGTCGCTGCTGTACTCGCCTCCACCAACGGCTTCTGCACTGAGATCCTCGAGATCGGCCGGGACTACAATGGCGCAGAGAGGCGAGAGGAGTACGAGGTCAGCAGCGTTGATGATCACGGAGGAGAGCTTGTGCGGCTCCTCCGGAATGTCAACGCTGCTTACCTGGATCTTTACCGCACAGTGGAGCCGGATTTGTCTTACGAGGCCATTCAAAACCTCCACTTTCGGTCCAAGAACGCGTACGATCTGATCCAGGCGCTCGATCGGTACCTCAGGATGCTCGCTGGTCAGGACGTCAGCCAGTCGAGCATCAACGCCAAGGTCGAGCTGGCGGTCGAAAAGCGCATCCAGGCGCTCCGGGGCGCACTAGTTGCGGAAGTGACGGACAAGGTGATGCGTGAGATCGGAAGGGGGTCCGGAGGAACCTAGACTGGGCGGCAGGCAGCGGGAGATTGGGGTAGACGAAGTTGGCGATCGGGCAGATGAAGTGGACGGGAGCGGCACGACGGGGCGCATTAACGCGGGGACTAGGAGACGGTTAATTGTTGGGAGTTGATCATTGCGAGGACGGCGAAGCGGGGGAGAACACCATCGACGGTCAATATCAGTACACATTATCAGATTATTAATAGCAAGTATTAAGAGGCTGGGGCAGGGGTGCGGGCATATATGAGGTATCTATTATTCATATTATCAGTTGATCATGCACGTACGTATCATGTCATCAGTGTCAGTAGGCAAGAACACAACATATCATGACTGATGCAAGCGATGCAGAATGATACGATACTAAAGTCAGGCTAGCGAAAGCGAAAGATGCGAACAAAAGATGGGTCTCCCAAACGCGACGGTCCAAGGGCTACCGAAATTGGAGCGGGAAGTTGGGTATAGATACGAAAAAGGTGATGGCTAGTTACGATGTGAAAAAGGGAGATAAGGCAGACGAGAACGAAATCAAAGTGTTTTGGAAAAGGGGTAACTAGTCATCATGAAGGCTAAATACGAAGAGATGAAAGGGAGAAAGGGTTAAGCGATCCGAGTAAGGGGTGTCCTGATCCCCATTCCGACGCCTAGACTCGGCTGCCATCCCGCCTGTTGACCCATCTGCTGCGGCTGAGCCTGGCCGGGCTGCCCTGACCCGCCCTTGGGGAGCATGAGGGGCTGGAAAGCCGGGGATGCGGGACCGCCGACGCCAGGCTGACCGACGTAACCGAGGTAGGTGGGCATGATGCGCCGCCGGGTCCTTGGTTTCCGACCGCCTCCGTTACCCATCTCGCCTGGGGTGAGTGCCGAGTTGAGGGCGCGACTAGCGATAGAGACGGATGGGGAGCGAGACCGGTCCATCATGGGCATGCGGTGTTGGCTGACCACCGAGACTGGTCGAGAACCGGGAGGTCCACCTGCTCCGCCCCCAAGCTTGACGCCTCCGCCGAGGACGGTCACGTTGCCGCCGTCATAAGGGGTGACAGACGGGGTAGCGACTTTGCCTGGAGCAGTTGGAGTGACTTGCTGCCTGGACATGGGGGATGGATCCCGGCCGCGCAACGTACCGGGCGTGGGTGTTTTGTCATCGATGGAAGCGTTGGCGGCTGCGGTGAAGGGGTCGGCCGAGCCGGGCCTTGACGCGGGAGTGAGAAGTTGGGTGGCGCCCGAGTTGGAGTCCGAGATGGAAGAGTCGATGGAGGAGGAGCTACCGTGGCCTGAGCGCATGGGGTAGGTGGAGGCACGAGCGTGTGGACGGCCAAACATAGACTCGTCGTCCTCGCTGATGGGGCTGGTGCCGTGAGTATAGGTGACAGAGGAGGAGGAGCGATAGTGGACGGGCCGAACGCCGATGTTGGCTGCGGGCATGAGGTTGGGGGAGGATGGACGGAAGGAGAGAGGTTCTGGAACGGTAGCCGTGCCGGAAGCGTGAGCAGGAGTAGCGGGAACCAGAGCGACGGAAGGAGCGCGGATGGCAATAGCAGCCGAGGGACGAGCGGGGGTGATGGACGGAGCAGGGGCAGGGTGGTCCGATGTTTCTGACTCGAAAGTAGGACCGGCATACCATACCGTGATGATAGAGTCTGCAAGTCAGCTTGGTCTTCGGGGAAAGGCAAAGCAGAACTTACCTAGAACGGGCCGCTCAAATTCGGGCATACTCCAGGTATGACCTCCATACCGCCAGCTGACAGTCCCAGGATCACACCACGCCTCCCACTCATCCCTTTCATTATCCCCATACGGAGCATCCTCCCTTGGCTTCCCCTTCAGCGACTGCCTCCATACCTCGGCGTTCACGCCCGCCTCCCTAGCTGCCTGTTTGAGCACCCCCGGCAAACCGCGGACCCGGTCGCAAATGAGGGACCTGAAGCCCGACCCGAAGGAGGGCTCGGTGGTACGCCAAGAGGACTCATACCGCCGTGTGAGCGCCTCGATGAGAGCCGACCGTAGAAGGATGATTGTCGAATGGGGGTATTTAGCGGCGAGTGGTTGGGTGAGATGGTGGACGAGGGCGGCGACGGCCGAAGACAGCGAAGTGTCGATTTCTGCAAGTTGAGCGGGTGTAAGCGATGGCGAGTAAGGATTGGAAGCGATGTTACTGATTGATGCGGTCGAGGTCGCATAGCGGAGGGAGGGTCTGGAGGGGGAGGCCGCGATCGACAGCTGGTGAAGCTGGTCCATGAGGTGCGGCATCGTGGGTGAGATTCCGCAAGGTTGCCCGGACGGTGTCGAGGGGGATGGTGTTATTCGTAGAGGGATTGAGGGAGCATGAGAGGAGGTAGTCGAACTGAGAGGAGGGGGTAAAGGGTGCAAGACGGTGGAATGGGGTTAAGGGTAAACAAGAGACAAACAAGCTGCAATGAGTGTTGTTTGTGTTTTTTTGACAGATACAGTATAGATGAGGAGTGAGATGAGGATGATCCCAAGCTACTCTACCTTGTGAGGATAGGTAGAGATGGCTATAAGGAGTGTATGAGACGGGGTAGGAGGAGGAGATGTAAGGACAGGGGAGATCGAGGCAGGGGCTGTTCGAGGCCAGAGCTGAACCAGCCGAGAACAGAATTACCTCTTTGGGAATAACGCCGCGAGCACGTGACTAAAAATCACTCGCGACGCAAGGACTTGCCATCGTCATATATAGAAGGCTGCGGTCTGCATCATCGTACATGCAGTCACGCGTGGGACAGGTGTAAAGCTGTAAGCTCTACTGAAGCGCTGTGCAGCATCGGAGTAGTCATACCACGGCGGCCTGACCTTCGAGACAAAAGCTGACAACAGTCCTGCGAATCGAGGTCATCAGTCAGAATTCGGGGTCGGTCGCCAAGCAGCACGTCTGCACCAGCGGATAGAAAGCCGTGTACATCAAGTCATCATATACCTACTTCCCTCCTCTCACGCTGCTACTAGCCCCGCTCCACCTGATGAGCCCACACCCGCCTTCTTCCCCAGCCCCAACAGTTCCACCAACCCGGGCAGGTACACTTCGGTCCTCACCATCTTCTCCGTATGATGAGCGATGAGCACAGCCAGAAGGTGTTTACACTATACAATAGTCAGCTGATTATACCTCGGACCGCTATAAAGCGCCAGTGATCAGCACGCAGCTTACGAGGAAGTTCCGCTCTCCGCCGATTGAGTTGAACAGGAACCCAGCGCAGGGACAGTACATCCTACCCATGCTCTTCGCCAGCAGCCTCATCCGGCGCGCTCGCTTCGCCTTGTGTACTCGAAGCAGAGCTTGGTGTGCTTCATCTGCCTCGGTGATGGTTTCCGGGGGTATGACTTGGCGGACGGGTAAGGCCGGTGCTGAGGTTGCGTCGAAGGGGTCGGAAGGTGCTGGCGTGGGGGATGGGGATCGGGCTACTTCGGGCTCGGGGCGTTTTTGATCGATGAGAGGAGGCATGAGGGGTGGGAGAGATGTGTGGAGGTTGTAGGGCTGGCCAGTGGAGGAAGTGACCTGTGATGTTAGCGGTCGTCCAGCTTTTGTGTTCTCGGAGCGAATGATAACGAGCGCAATGCCTACCTGATAGATTGTCCGTCCTCCAGGGAGGCTGACCAGAACGACTGGCTGTCAGCTACGGGTCCTGTTCTCATACTCCAAGCACACAATGCCCCATCACCGGATGGCAATGAGCTCACCTTCCCGTCGATCAATCAACTGTAAAGCTGATAGGAGCATCGGCCCGAATACCGCGTGCAGCTGCATCAGAAGAGTATCAGGTACTATCAGTGTCAGCGATCTTAGTAGAAGGTGCCAGGTGAGCACTCCAAGGTATGAGTATCGTACCTGCCGAGGAGGAAGGAAGAGACTCGAGCAATGATGCGGCGAGGAGAAGAAAGCTGTCCGCCTCTGATGCTGGAGGCGCCATTTTGGTACAGTCTAGGAGAAGGCTCCGTCGAAGCGCTGAAGGGAGCGCTTCAGTCTCTAATCGCTGGTATAGAGCTTCCGGATGATAGAAAGGGAAGTGATGGACTGCCTTGTGAGCTGCCGAGCTGCCGACGAACCCAAACGAGGAATGTGGTGCGACGCGCTTCCGTCGGAACTGAACAAGCACCGGGCCGATTTGGCCGGGAAGTTCTCGGTGGATCTCGCGGCTGAGTAGAGCAGACCTGCGAAGACAGACCCGCCGCAACCAAGGCTCCTCACATCACCTCTGTAGCTGCTCCCACTGCACAAATACTACCATCACAGCAACTTGTCCAGCGAAATAATGACCGGCGAAATCCCCGTCATTCAAGCGGAGCGCGAGCTCGCCTGCGGAAATACTCTTGGAGAAGGTGAGTAGCCGCGACTAGCCGTTTCGCATGGGGGCTCGGCTGATACTGGCAGGTATCCTCTGGGACGACCAGAAGAAGCTACTGCACTGGGTAGATATTGACGAAGCTGAGATCCACACGTAAGCTGGTCCTGAACCACCTGCGCACTAAAGAGACAGCTCATCCGCGCAGGTACGACCCTGAAAGCAAGAAGTACGGAGTGGACTCGTACAAGTCACAGACGAAGTATCTGTCCGCTATTGCACTGCGTAAAGATGAGCCTGGCGTAAGCTATCCTCCTCGCATCGACTTGACGACAAGCTGACTGTTCAGTTCATCGGTCTGACACAACACCACATCGCCTTCTTCTCCGAGCCCACGGCGCCCAGCGGGACCGACACCCGTCCCGAGCGCAGCGAAAGGGAGGCCGAGCTTCTCTCTGCTCCAGTAGCTCCCGAGGCACAGACGGACAAGCCTCTTCGGTTCAATGATGGGCAATGTGACCCCCTTGGCCGGTTTTACGCGGGGAGCATGACGCTGCCGGAGCTGGGTGATGGGAAAAAGCGGGGCAAGCTGTGGAGGTGAGTCCTTATCAGCTGTTCAGGTCCGAGGAACTCTAGTAGGGCAGATGGCTGACATATAGGTATGACCCGGACGGAACGCAGACGGAGATTATCCCCGCTGTAGGAACGAGTAACGGGATTGGCTATTCTCCAGACGGCAAGATCATGTGTATGTCCTCCCCTGAGTTGGGCCTACTAGCCCTCACTTTGACTTCCCTAAGAGGAGTATAGCTGATAGATACAGATTACGTCGACTCAGCCGACCAAGAACTTGTCTCCTTCGACTACTCCTCCGGAAGCCTCGCCTCCCGCAAAGTCATAGCGACGACCCCTCCGCCTTTAGCGCCCGCTACGGACGCCCCAGGCGTGTTCGACGGGCTGTGCATGGACGGTGTCGGCAACATCTGGGTCGCGAGGTGGTCTGACGGCCGAGTGGTCGGGTACACGCCAGAAGGGGAGATCATCTGCAATATCAACGTACCGGGCGCGAGGAACGTTACGATCCCTTGCTTTGGCGGTGAGCTGTTCAATCTGACACATACCCTAGGCAGCAAGCTGACATGTCCAGGCAAGAACATGGAGACGATGTACATCAACACCGCTCATGCCGGTCTCGGGAAGGGCGGAGAGGACGCGCAGAAGGAGTATCCCCACTCTGGGGATCTGTTCAAGGTGGACTTCAGCGCAGGGAGCGAGATCAGGAAGCTGTTGTCAGACGACTGGAAGCCGGCGGACCGGCATCGGTTTGGCGGATAAGAGGGTGGGTGGATGTGCATTGGATCCCGGCAAGTCAACGATCTGACGACAATGACATGTTTTGCCGGACGTGGGACCAAAAGACACACTAATCGCACCCTACTGACACTTAGAAGACTGACCAAGCTGACTGCGGACATACGGATGCATAAAAGGAGATGGCTAGGCCAAGCTACGGATATAGAGTATAGGTATGTTTAGAATGATAATGTCTGGGAGATGTTGTAGGAGCTTAGCAGTGGCCGTGGCCGATGATGCCAGCAAGCAGACCGCCAAGGAGGCAGTTGACTGATGATCAGCTCGCCGACAGTCAACGATTGATGCAGTACTCACCGCCCGAGAGGAGGGGACTGAGGACCACACCGAGTGTGACGAGCACCTCGGCGACGAGAGCGGTTACGCCGACGAGGATGACCTCGACGGAGATGAGGAGGGTCTCGATGGTAGGTGAGAGCTTGTGGAGGAGGTCGTCCTGTACGTCAGCGGTGATCTCAGGTGACGACGAGTGGTAGACTCACGATGGCAGCGATAGCCTTGATGTCGGCGGAGATGAGGACAATAAGACCGTCTACGAGCTGGATCGTCTCGGCGAGGATCTGAGCGACTTCATGCTTGATCTCGGGGAGAGCGTCGAACTTGGACCTGGATAAGTCAGCAGGTATCGCGTATATTTATCCTAGGGGAGAAGGAGACGTCCGGGATAGGATGTGAAGGTGAGAGAGCATGAACTTACTTGAGCAGCTCGACGTCCACGGAGGCACCAGCAGCGATACCTACAGCGGCACCGAGGTCGAAGGCGGAGTGGCAGGTGTCGAACGCGCCGATGACGGCGACGAGGGCGGCCTCGACCTCGACCTGGGTGGAGACGAGGGTGATATCGCCGACCGATGCGGCCTGAGCTTGTCAGCTGAGGTTCAGGCATCTGGTGAAGCGATGGGGGAAAAGGAGGATGACGAGGTGCCGGGAATGAGGGGGAAACGCAAAGACTCACGACCGATGCCTTCAGGTCCGCGACCACGCTCAGGACGTCCAAGTCACGCGGGATGACGGGTGCGTGGATGGAGTGGATGGCGTGGATGCCTGGGGCAGCAAAAGCGGCGCCAATGAAGGGGAGAGCGAGGAGGACCTTGGTGAAGAGCATTGCGGAGGGAGTATAGGCGTGGTAGTGGTAGGTAGGGGTTATGGGTGACTGTGATGGTGGAGATTGGGAGAAATGAGTGACTGGGGTAAGTGAAGATCGTGGGATGTGGATGAGAAGAAGAGGGGGAAAGGCATGTCAAACCAAGCTTATATAGCCAGATTTCCCGGTCGGACGACTGTTGGGCCTCGGCTCGAGCGGAACGTGATCGAGTTAGCGTGCACGAATAGCTGGTAAGCGGATCATCAAACCGATCGAAGGGATGGCCGAGGGAGACTACGGTAGCTGTGAGTGTGTATGGAGGGACTGGGCGTGAATATGAGCTAGTGCAACGGAACCCGGAGACGGTCGGCCAGTCAATAGAGAGCACATGCGCCCCTCCCCTCTACGGAATTAAGATTTGGCAAGGCACCTAGGCGGGCAGGAGGCGGAGTTTTGTTCTGCCCAGCTACCAGCCAAGCGTTTGGCGGAGCAGGATTGAGCGCATGACAGGAGGTGGGAAGGAGAGATGGGGCAGATAATGGGCTATGTTGGGCGATGACCAGTGCAGTCCGAGCTAAAAGGAAGGGACAGCTCAAGGGACAAGCGGCTTGATTGGCTCAGTTTAGCTAGCGTGTTTCACCTGGCAGCCGACCCATGTGGCTTGATGTCTCGGCGCCTGATCGACAGCATCTGACCGGACATCTCTCTACCAGAGACGAGGCCAAGACGATGCACAGAACGCGGTCAGGTCTGTCAGTGCATGCAGGTCCAACGACGTACAACGGTACAGACAAATCAGAGGCGACAAAGTTGGCATGTCTTGAAATCTTGCATTCGGTGCTCTCACTACTGTCGCTACAGCTCTCTACATCCCTTTATCTAGCCTCTGAGGATTGCATACGTACATCTACTCTGTCAGCCGGAGTAGATTACAGTGTTGACAAGACGAGTACTCACTACAGTCTATCCAGAAACTTTGTCCTTGTGCCCGTAGTATAGCTCAAGTCGGCGCCGTCTGAGACCGAATCAGCTACCTCCCCTCTGACATGCGACGAAAAGGGAAGGACTTACGCCACTAGACCAGCCTACCCGCGAGCAGATGCACGCTTATTGCTGGTAGGTCCAGCCTCGGGCACGGTCGGAGTGTTGGGAGCAGTAGGATCCGCTTGAGGTACGCGCTTGATAAGGCCCGCAGCGGATGTGGGACCCATGCCCTCGGTAGTACTGGGAGGAGGAAGCGTCTGGGGCATCGGGTCGCGCTTGTAAAAGCTGGCAGCGGAGGTGGGTCCCGTACCCTCGGTAGTAGGAGGAGGTGCCGAGTTGCTCTGCGGCGCAGGGAGGGCAAGGATGGTGCAGAGGAGGGGGAGCGTGAGGATGAGCTTGGTGAGGAGCATGTTGAGTGATGGGGATTGTCTTGTAGGGTGATGGCAGAGGTGGTTGCGGTCAGAGTGGAATGTGGATGAAGGGGAAGAGGGGTCGGTCATCCCTTTTATAAGTCCGGATCCATCCATGAGTAGTACCGCTGGCTATGACGTCGAAAGCCTTGGCCACGGCGAAGCTGTGGGCCGCACGTCATACTGGAGCTTGACGGGCAGCTTGGATACTGGTGGAGCGGCCGGACACCCCACCCCGCGCGGCCTTCCTCCGATATCGGACTTGCAGGAATGCGGACCCGGCCCGCGCGGAGGAGCGGAGAGACACGCGTGTTCGTGTCCGTGTTCCTCAAGGTCGGAGCTGGGGATGGGGAGGGATACTCGACCTCAGCCAACTAGGCAACCTGAGGGGACTTTGAGGTGGACTGTGAGGACAAAGCCGAAGAAGTCGGGAGGCTGGGGTTGTCACCTATTTCCTCGGCGACCACCAAGTGGTAACGTTTCAGCGTGTTTCGGACTTGTTTCAGGCGATGCGGCACACCTTAGTGCCTACTGTATAGGCTGCGGGCTTTTGGCTCCAGTGATTCAGTACTAGAGTGATTGAGAGCACCAGCAGAAGAAGATGATGAATTAATCAAAAACCAGACGAAAATGCACAAGATATTATCTGCATTCTAAACGCTACTTCGGGGATGCGTGTGCTACCCTACTTCGCTGCCATCTTTCTACCCAAGGAGACCGCCGAGGAGACCACCAAGAAGGCCGTTGACTGAACTGTCAGCTCCATCACCCAGAACCAAAGCCAAAGAGGGACTTACGGGAGCCAAGGATGGGAGAGAGGTTGATACCGAGAGCAGCGAGGATTTGACCGACGAGGAGCAAGACGCCGGCGAGGACGAGGTCAACGCCCGCAAGCACGAGGCTGAGAGCGGGCGCGAGCTGGGCAAGGAGGCCGGCCTGAGTGTCAGCTGCTGAATACGTCCAGAAGCAGATGCAGCCAAGTAGCTGGACTAACGATGAGAGGAATGGTCTGGAGCTCGGCAGCGATGTTGTCGACAAGCCCATCGACGAGCTGGATGACTTCGGCGAGGACATTGGCGACGTCGTCGATCAGGTCCCGAGCTTCGAGCTCACGCCTAGGGGTCAGCTAATGGCACAAGGAAGGATACATGATGGAGTGGACAAACTTGAGAGCCTGGATGCCACCATCACGGCGAGCGACAGCAGACGAGCCGATAGACGAGTGAGCAGTGTCGAGCGCGGCGAGAACAGCGACGAGAGCGGCCTCCACCTCTGCCTCAGCTGAGACGAGCTCGATGCCGGCGACGGAGGCAGACTAGAGATCAGCTGAGGCTCGGGCAAGATGACACGGGAGGAAAGCAACATACGATGGAGGTCTTGAGGTCGGTAACAATAGCCAAGACGTCAATGTCCCGCTTGTCGACGGTAGCGACGGAAGCGACCTTGGGTGCGGGCGCGGCGAACGCGACACCGACAAAGGGGAGAGCGAGGAGGAGCTTGGTGAAGAGCATGTTGGTCAGTGATTGGAGGTAGTGGTAGTGATGTTGTAGGTGGATTTAGATTTGGGTGGTGGGGATTGTTGGAGTTGTTGAGAAGGCTCGAGGGGGAATAGGACTCCCTTATATAGCACTGAAGCGATGAGTTCGATTGTCGCGATGAGCGTCATCAGCGTCATCGCCGCAAAAGAGGGCATCATGCCATGCGGTTCATGGATGTTAGTGGAGCCGTTGAGTGATGCGTCAGTAACTAGACCAAAGGCACGTCGTCAGCGGTACTGTGCAAAGCGGGGTTCCTGCTGCCCAGCTTGAGGTGGAGCTAACGGAGAAGACGGACATGCGGGCAATAACTTGCTGGCGCCTTAGCGTCCGACATCTCCGAAAGAGGTGGAGCAGTCGAGAAGCACACACCCCCGTTCCTTGACGATGATGACGGTGGTGCGTGCCTTGATGGCGAACGCGTTTCATCTGTGTGTGTCGGGGCCGGTACCCGACGTCCGAGATCACTACGTCATGATATCTTGGCTGTCAACCACATGCCAGGCGAGCTATCGGCTGGAAAGAGACCCGTCAACCTGGCATCAACGGTCAGACAAGTCAACACGACTTCCTCTGAGAGCGTATGAGAGACCGATGGGAATCTGCACCTTGACTGTCTCACCGCGACGCGGGCTCGAGTAGAAGTAACGTGGAGTCCGAAAGGGATGCCATGCCGCTTGGGCCTTTCGGGCGGAGCCGGCGAGTGTGGGTCTCGTTGAGTGGGGCTTCTCGTGTCTGAAGCTAGTCAAAGTCACAGCGACCTGTGTATTCCTTTGGCTGGGAAGGATGAGCGTCAGAGCGGCGATGTCACCTCCGACTCCACTCGGAGCTGACGCCTTGGCACTAGTGAAGGTGCAGGGTGAGAGTGAAGAGGAAGGAATCGATGATGGGCGAAGTGACCGGCGTGCCTGAAGAAGATGGTCTCCAAGGGCAGGAAGAGCGAATGGCACCGTCAATCCCGCGAGAACTTGGTGAGCTGGCGGACCGCTTCGAGTGCGGGAGATGGGTTGGGTATCGGCTCTACATTGGGCCTTACAGACGGCTGCCCATAGCTGATGCACAATGACGATAGACGCGACCCATGCGGTGAGGAGAAGCCGAAAAGGATGCCGGGCCAAAGCTCCACCGGCCAAGCTACCGGCCACCAACGCGACTTTTACATTCCTCGTCCACAACATCCTTTCTTCTACCCCCTCTCTCCTCTTGGGTGACTCGCAGACCGCTCACGCCGAGGGGTAGCCGTTCCAGCTGGCTCTACGCCCTATGATCGACGTCCTCGCACCGATCTTCTTGCTGGCGGCGCTGATTGCCCTCATCCACCGCACGGTCCAGCGCGCCTCCTCGGACCCCTCCCTCCGCAAAGGTCTCGCCCCGTCCCACCGCCTGTCACGCCCAGACTCTAGCCCAGGATGGCACGTCGAGCGCAAGGGGACGACAATATCCTTATGGACGGCGAGTCTGAATGAGATACCAGGCGCTATATTACAGAGAAGAGGGGCTCGGACACGGACATTATGGAGGACAGGATATGATTTTGGGATATTATTGGGAGTGGGAGGGATGTTGGTGGGGCTCGGAGGCCTGATGTGGAGTGCTGGGGCGGTATGGAAAGAAGTGTGGAGGGAAGCAGAGCTACATGCGAAGCTGAAGGAGGATGCGTCGCATGTCATGAGAAGGAGTTTGGAGGATCTGGAGCGGACGGCGGTGGGCGCTGGGGCAGCAGGCTCGAGTCCGGGGATACAGCCTCTGGTGAGCTCACCGTCTGCACAGGTGGATCCTCGGGTCAACGCAACGTAGCTAATACTTCACAGATACCAGGAGTGACGATACCATTATCTCACTTTCCAACGGTAGCTCTTGCCTTGGTCGTCAACCAGCTCATTCATGAGCTCGGGCATGCGATCAGCGGAGCGATGTAAGCTAGATCTAACGGAGCTCGAGTACATATGCTGACTCCCACACAGAGATGATGTACAAATGTCCCGGTTCTCCTTCAGCTTACATGCCATCTTCCCTTCAGCCAGTATCACCTTCCCGTCCTCATCCGACTCCATGTCCACGTACGTTGGGCTCTCTTCAGATTCTTCATTCCAATAGGCTCAGCTGACGAACAGCCGCGCAAAGCTCCGCTTAGCAGCATCCGGACCCTTTCACAATCTCCTCACCTACGTCGGCCTCATCCTTCTCGCCGGAACCGGTCTACCCCATCTCTTCTGGACTGATCAGTCCGATAACGGCGTCATGGTCTACTCGGTCCCGCCTTCTTCGCCCATGTATGGCCACATCTCGGAAGGAGACATGATCACTCATGTCGATGACGTGTTCATGGGGCAAGATGAGGGGATGTGGGAGCGGTATATGAGTGGAGACGATATTGGGGATCTCGGGAGAGGATGGTGTGTGGATCGGGGCGTCTACATGAGTGAGTCGGCTATCGTGCGAGGGTGAAAGGGAGGAAGTCATCGGCTGGTCTGAGCTGATTGTCAGGCTTGCAAAATCCCCCATGTCCCCCCAATTCCGGTACAGTCGTCTTCGAACCCCTCGACCCGACCGCCGGAGCTCCACCCACTCCACGCGGCCAAGTCAAATGCCTCCAGACTCATCCTATACTCCAAATCCCCTCGGCGGTCTGCCCCTGTCCGTCCGCAAAGTGGATATGCGTTCATCCGAAGCACGACGAGCAGATCGTCCGGATTCGTTTGGGGCGGGAGCGAGAGACGGCGGGTGGAGGGGAGGATGGAGTGATCTTGTTCTCGGGGGATAGGCGGGAGGTCTTGGAGGGGATCGAGGTGGGGCGGATGAAGGCGAGGTTTCTTGGCGGGCTGATCCGGTGGGAGACCATGTTCTTGAAGTAAGCTACCAGCTGAGCAGTTGTCTCTGGGCGACGAACCGCCGCAAAGTACAAGCTGATCCAACAGGTACATGTCGACTGTAGCACTATCACTATTCATATTCAACCTTCTCCCCCTTCCCCAGGCAGACGGATCCTCCCTCCTTCGCTCCCTCCTCGCCCTGAAAAAGTCATCCCGGACGACTCTGGTCGGTATCCCAACACTCCAAGCTACGCTTTCATCCCCAATGTCGTCAAAAGTCCCCTCGATCAACCTGTCCAGGCAGTACGATCTGAACAGCGATGATGAGGACGACTATGAAGAGGAACGAGGGCGAGGGGGAAGGGAAGGAGATAAGCGGGAAGAAGCTTGGAAGCGACGTGTAAGAAGAGGAGTCGAGGGGACTGTATTGGGTTTAGGGGTGATTTGGGCTGCGGGGTGGGGGATGTTGAGTCTGTTGAAGAGTAGTTGAGGGTCACGGACGTTAGCGTGATCTAGGGATCTTGCTTTGCATCTTGTTAACATGGTGGGGTAAACTGCTGGAGCTAGCAATGGGTTTACTGCTATTATACTGGCATACTTGCCTCTTTCCTAATCAACGCGATTGGCATGATAACGACGAAGTATGATGCCATGGGTGCGACTGTACAGTTGTGATCATCTATTTCCCCGCTTGTGTTTTCCGGTAGAGGCTCCGCATATTTTGTAAGGCACCTCCTGCCCATCAGCCATGGAACGCAAGAGGCAGAGCCAAGATATCGCACTCACGCCTGAGCAATTGTTCAGGACTGGTAGTTATGCTCCCCAATACCATCCCCAAGCAGCCACCATCCTCCCGCCTTACTGAGTGGGACATCCCGCCTGCCTCATCCTGCCCTGTGCCGCCCCCAACATCTCCTCCTCCCTGGACACCTGCCTCCCTGCCTTCGCCACCACCTTGACCACCTCCGACTTGGCTCCTTGAATAGCCTCGCAAATGGGCTTGTGAGAGGCAGCATGGGCGAGCTTGCACGCCTTCGAGCACCAAACCCCGCAATGGCATTCCCCACATCCTCCCCCGGTCGCCTTCTTCCCCTTGAAACCGCCCTGCGCCTCCGCTCCGCACCCATCGCATATGGTGGGGAACAGCCTGCCCGCCCGTCGCGGTATCGTGTTGCTGGCACTAGGCGGATTGCGATAGTCCGCCAAGAGATCCATCGTACTCTCGGTCTCGGCCCCCTCTGCGACCCGCCGATACCCATACGCCAGACCCGCGTACCGCCGCGCCATCGCATAGTCCGCGCAGTCGGCTGCGATGTGCGACGCGTCATTGAAGATGACCGAGTACGTCCCGAGGTCATGCAGACCTTCCGCCACGAGCAGCCGCGCCCGTTCGTGGAGCCGACGAAGCGCCCCCGGCGGGTCAAAGTGTGAAAGCGTGAGGCGCGATATGTTGAGATCGTGGAACCGCTCGCGCCTCGCGTCGCTCGCAGGGTCAAGAGGACCCGTACAAGCGACACAGTGGCAGATGAAGTTGAAGGAAGAAGCGAGTTCCTTCCCTCGTTGCTCCCGAGACCGCATGTGATAGTGGTAAGAGACGACGATCTCGGTACCTGCCGGAATGTCCGTTATAGCGTGGACGACTTCCTGTCCGGTCAAACCTGCCCAGGCGTGGCAAGCGTTGGGCGAGCAGGAGTGGTTGAGACGACTAGCGACCTTGTAGATGCCCGCCGAGTCAGGGGTCGGGCCGGCCGGGATCGCGTTGGTTTTGAAGACACCGACCGCGGTGGGATGATCAGGGGTGAAGCTATCGCTCAAGCCCCAGAAGATCGCCTTCTCAGCGTCCGCCAGCGAGGCTACGGCTGCCTCGATAGTGGTTACCGAGTTGGCGACGAAGATGGGCTTCTCGCGGATGATGAGCTCGCCAACTGCGATGCGACGAGTGGCAAAGAGCCCGAAGCCCTTACCAGGGGTGTTGATGAGACGGTAGGGAGGAGCGTCCGACATGATGGTTGCGAGGGAGATGAAATTCCGTACGAGGAGGTATTGCGGGGTCGGGGTTGCAGGGGGGAGGGTGAAGGAGTTGAGGGAAGGTGGTGGTCCAACGTGGGTGAGAATGATGGTCGGATGAGAGAGTTGATGGCATAGCTGGCCAAAGTTTCGCGTGGCGTCGCTCGCTGATGGCGAAAAGAGAGTTGAAGCCAAAGGAGGGGACGTGTGGAGAGCTGTCCGCGTGCTGCCGGCATAATCAGCCAAAGCCACCTCTTGCGAGGGGTTTGTCTTGGGCATGTCGTTCATAGCGATGCGTGACAGAGAGGACGCGTGCGAGCGGCTCGTCGAGGAATTTGGCTGTATTGTCAGCTTGCACCAGTAGAAAGGCTGTACGAGTCTCGCTCACCTAATTCACTAAAGCGTATGGCTGAACGTATTGTGGGCTTGGCGCCCGCCGAGCGAGCCTACTCAAACGGGTCAGCAAGTATCAGCAAGATCAGGTGTACTGTGCCGCAGCAATCTATGATCTAACTTCTACTATTGATTGATCTACTCTATGTGTGATTGAATGTGACCTGATCGTCAGCGGCTGTGGGTCTTGAGCTGCGGAGCGCACACTACAGACTCACGATTCATTGGATCGCACACTCATCCTGCGCCTTCCCATCCCTGTACTTGTCCCTGAACGCATCCGCCTCCGACACCACCTCCGACTTTGACCGCTGGATGACCTCGCAGATTGGCTTGTGCAGGGCCGCATGAGCGAGCTTGCAGCTCCGCGAGCAGTACAAGGCGCAATTGCATGACCCGCATCCCCCTCCCTTCGCTGCCTTCCCCTTGAACCCACCCATCTCCTCCTTGCCACATCCATCGCAGAGCGCAGGAAGCGGCTCCTCGTCCATCCCGGCCGAGTCGTGCGCCCGAGGATACCGGTGTAGCCGCAGAAGGTATACGGTGTCTGCGCATTCCCTGCCCCTGCCCAGAAGAGACAGGGCGTACGCCTGACCCGCATGCCTCCGGGATGTCTCGTAGTCCGAGCATGATGCTGCGATCTGGCTCGCATACAGCCGGTCCTCACACCTTATCCCCAGATCGTGTGTTCCCTCTTCCTCCACCAACCGAAGCCGCGCATTCAGCGAGCGCAGGGTCTCGGCGGTATTGATCATTCCGCTTTCCTTCATGGCCTGGCCAAGCCGGTGCACCTCCTCTCTGAGAGCATCGCTGACGGGGTTGGGAGGACCTGCGCAGGCAGTACACGCGCAGGTGAACTTGAAGCCGGTAGAGAGGTGCTCCTGCCGATGCTCCCGCGACCGCCAGAGGGGGATGTATGAGGTAAGGATTTCCGCTCCTTCAGCGATGTCGGTGTAGGCGTAGATGTTCTCGCGGTCGGAGGTGTCGGATGGGGAGTAGGCCGCATTGGGGGTGCAGGAGTGGTTGGTGCGGCAGATGTTGGCGTACATACCGCCGGTTCCGGGCCGATTCGTGGGGACCGCATTGCTTTTGAAGATCCCCTCGATAGTGGGATTTCCGGGATGATGCTGGTCGACAAAGGAGAAGAAGACCGCCTTGTCCTCCTCGCTCAGCAAGGATATGGCGAGCTCCTCAGACTCAGCGTTAAGCAGAGACGCGACGATGGGATCTTCCGAGATGATGAGCTCCCCGAGCGCAATCGCCCGCGTGGCGTACACCCCGAGGCCCCGTCCGGTGGTATCGCCGACGCGGAAGGGGAGGGGTTCTGTCATGGCGCCGACGATGGACTACGCCTTCGGAGAAGAAGAGGGAGATATATGCGATCACGACTGAGTAGACGACCCAAGCTCCAAGAGCAAGTCAAGTCAAAATTTGCTCACTTTGGCTCAGGTACGCCGATCTCTCGTACTTTACGGCACTTAAAGTTTTCCGGCCAAATCTCATTTTCCCACCGCAGCTGTTCTCTCTTCTTTACGCTCGTTCCAAGCAAGCCCCCCGCGCTCAGAGGGAGAGAGACGGCATTCAGAGGGAACCGTCCCTCCCTCCGAGCGCGGGGGGCTCTGGAGCGAGCGCATCTGTCGCTCATCCCGAGGACGAGGCCGGTGACATTGGCGATATCTCCTCCAACGACTTCTTTCACGGTTCACCAGATGCGCGTTGCGAGTGAGATGCTGCTCAGCATGACAATCTCAGGCGGGGGCATCGCAAGATCATGTTGGTTAACCCAACAAAGGTCTTAAACCCCCCGTAAGTCTTATAGCATTAGTGAGCGGCTAGCTATGCTGCTTTATTCGCACCAGTCAAGATCTCTTTGCTGACAGGCAGGTCCCGGCCGATCCTTTGGCGCCGCATCCAACCAATGCCCACCTGGCATCCGACAAGCTTTTCGCCAGTGTTAGCTCTGTCGTGTCCATTGCGACAGTGAAGGCTGCACCCGAGGGAGGCGAGCGTGCGGCGTCCGAGCAGCCGGACAACAGCGATGACGAGAAGGATGCCGATCCCGCGTCGTTGGGTGGTCGATCACTCGACCCTTTTGCTGGTTTCGCTTTTTCCTCCAGAGGCCGTAAGTACCCAGACCAGTCATTCCGGGGGCCTGCGCTGATCAGCAGACCTGGGCGGTATCTTCGCCTCCGTCGCAATCTCTGGCGCCCAGCTATGGGACAGAATCGATTACAAACGCGTGACCTACCAGTCCGCCCCGTCTGGTATTCAGGCCATCGAGGAACCGATTGGATATGAAGGGGAGCTGAAACGGTTCCGTTTTGGTAATGGGGCGATGAAAGGAGCCTTTGAGGTTCGTGCTGGTTCCTCTTTCGGTCCCCGTGCGGAGCTGACTTTGTAGTTCATGGACGAGTCTGGCGCGCCTCTTGTCGCTAAGCGCTTCTATCGCATTGACTCGCTCTGCACTCGAACAGTGTCCAACGAGCTCGACCACATTCTGCTCAAGCTGGAGATCGCCCGCAACATCACGTTCAACACCTTCATCCACGATTGCAAAGACAGGTGGGGCAAGATTCATCCCGACGGCAGCGACGCTCCAGTCTCAAGTATACGCCATCCTTCCTCATCGTCCTGCAGGATCCTACCCACTCCGCCACCGTTTACGAGTCCCCCCACTCCAGTCGATTCCAATCCTGGATGGTGGAGCAGGACCTGCGCGCAAGCGACCGAACGGAGCGAAAGGTTCTCGGGTCCCGCGACTTTGGCCGGACTGACGCCCCGGACGCTCTCGAGATGAAGACGCACACGTTCCTCCACTATGTGTATGATTCTTCGCTTAAGCAGAGTAAGAAGCTCGGGAACCGCGACCTCATCATGGTCCCTGGGGACATTCAAGGTGAGCTCTTCTTCGCTGTCCATCTCAAGCGAGCTCGAGCTGAGATCAAGGTTTCCTCGAGCAAGCAGCCCCGACCAGGACGAGCAAAAGATCCAAGTCGGCCAGAAAGGAGCCGGGTGTCGGTGTCTTTCATCACTTTGACTGCAGATTGCGCACGTGAGCCAACTCCTCTTTCATCGTCACTTCCGTCCCTCTGCTCCGTTTCCTACAATCTGGACATGGACCCCGCTGATCCGGTAGTGCCGGGGGCCAATCTGAGCACGATGATGGCGAGGCGTCCACAATCAACAACTTCTGCGCTATTCACGAAGATACCCCCGCCTGCAAAGACCTCAAGCTGTCCTCACTCGGCAGAACCCCGGCCCCGCCTCCGTCGAAGGAGGGCTCTTGGGGCCAGATGATCGCTGATTACATCTGGACATGAATAAGGGGGGACGAGGACTACGCTTCTCGTCCCCCTCGGCCCAGGGCATCTCCTGGGACGCCAAGGCGCACTCGACCGTGTACATCACATGGCAAGGCATGCAGCGGATCGACACAAGACTCAAATGCCGAGAGTAGCAGGTGAGCGCTGTCATGGGCATGGCTGACTCTCAGCGCCAAAACCTTCTTCGCCGCATTTCTCGAGTCCAATCCTTGTCCGCCTCTCCGCACTTCACCGAGGACTACCCCAACCTGCTCCTGCTATTAAAGGCACCACCGTCGCCGACATTCAGGTATTCGCCCCTCTCGCCACCCCGGCTGTGCTCTCGGCGGTTTTGGAGATTCGTCTCCCTGTTTCCGAGTTCTGGAAGCTGGTCGTGGAGGAGGATGATGGGGACGTGCGGGACAAGGAGAAGGAGAAGTCCGGGAAGACCCCGGCCAAGGTCCGGTTCACTTGCCTCGCGGACATCCTGTCCGCTTGGCTGGCTTACGCCCAGATCAGGGACCAGGTCGAGGCGGGTATGGCCAAGTTCCTCCTGGGCCACGCCCATATCCTCATGCGGCTCGACCGAGACAACCCGGGCGAATTCCCGGCCGTCCTCAACTATCATCTTAAGACCGCCCAGCGCCGCCTCCACGTCGGCGCGGACTTCCCCCTCGCAGACTGGCTCAAGTGGGATTCCGAAGCTTTCGGACGGGACTTCCAAAGCTTCGCCAACGCCTACGCCGCTGCCCGCGCCATTGTCCCTACCCCTTCTATCCCCAGTGGCCGGCAATCCGTCTCGGTTTATCGTTCCCCCGCGTCCGCTGGCGTTTTCCGCCTGTCCTCTACCGGCAAGGTGACTTCCCAGAAACCCTGTTTCCTTTGGAATAGGATGGAGGCCTGCATGGGCGACGCGTGTGAGTTCAAGCACATGTGTACGTCGTGCGGCGGGCTTCACCCGCAGCCTCACTGCCCCGAGCCTTCAGGTTAGGCGCCCAAGAGGGCTCGGTGGTCGAGGTAGGGGGCGCACAAGCCGGCCGGTCAGGACGGTGTATATGGGTCGACACACAAAACGACAACAGATCCCCCGCTCTTCGTCGCCGACCTCAAAGAGCGGATCCAACACTGCGCCCAACGCATCCATCGGGAAGCTGGGCGCGATCCGACCAAACGTGCTATCTCGAAGGCGGAGAACGGTCACATGGACCGCCACTGCTCGAGAAGCCGGCCTAGGCGAGGGGACCGGGGAGCTGGGGCCAGGTCCCCCGGCTCAGAAGGCGGAGGAACGGACCTCGCCACCCCGCAACAGCCCCAGCAAGAGCAGCCTTCGCGCTCCACCAATCTGCTTGACGACACCGCTTCGTCGATCGGTCTAGGCAATATGTTCAGCCGTGAGCTGCATCTAAAGTCAGCACTCAATACCGTAGCTGATCAGTAGACGGTACCCCATCCCGTCGGCGTCGGAGCACATCCGCCGTGTCGGAGACGCCTAGCGAGCACCGTCGCAGAGGTGGAAAGCGCAGGCAGCGGAGCCCCGGGTGGATGACGACGGGAACCACAGTAGAGTCCGACGAGGTGGACGAGCCCGCGTTGGAAGGGACGTAAGAGGCAAGAGAGGCCTCGTGGGGCACCACCGAACCGAAGGAAAGGAATGACGCCATAGACGAGGCATCCGATCCATCGGAGGAGACCGAAGATCCGGAGCCGAGGGTGGTACCGGATGACGTGGTCAAGCCGGAGATCCCCGAGAAAGTCGAGACCTCGCTCGGGGGTGGCGCAAAGATCTGCGAAGGGGAGACCGTACCGTTGTTCCAAGGAATGGGGACGGGCGAGTTGAACCGCGAACCATGGACGTCCGAGAGCATACGAGCGTACTGGGCGTAAGTGAGGCCCGGCGTGTCCGGCTGGGGAGAATCAGGGCGCGGCTGCTCAGGCTCGTCGAAGCTGGCAAGCTGGACGTCAGCACCAGTCAATCAATCAAAGGCGGACGACTCACGAACTCCGCGATCTCAGCATGGATGGCATCGTTGTACCAGTCAGGGAAAGGGACACCGGCGTGATCAGGGTTGCTGGAGGATTGGTTGGACATGGTGTGTGGGTGTTGGGTGTGTGGCTTGGTATATTCAGGACAAGTGGGTAACAAGTTTGAGACACCCAGGGGCGGGCATCAGGGCGGTATTTATACCCCTGACCCAGGACAAGAGCATATGGTCACGAGGGGGAGTGTTGGCTGTAGGAGCATAGCGGCGCGTCGCTGGGCGACTGCGCCGACAGATCTCAGAACAGGAGCACGTCGCTGGATGTCCTTGCGACGTCGCAGCGACGTCACGGCGCCGACTAGATCTGAGATAGCGCTAGGTGAATATCCGGGATAGTCACTGTACGGGCCGGACAGAATTGTCTGTCCGGGTGTCCGGACACTTTACATTAGTGTCGGACTGACGGCGCTGAGTGGCGGCGAGGCAACGCCGCCACCCAAGTATCCTATAGCACATAGAGACGTGAGACGTCGTCTAGCGACGTCCCAGCGACTCGTCGGCGTCGTGTCGTCGCGTCGGTGTCGCGACGCAGCGACGCCAGCAGGACTATATAAGCAGACCTGATCGTGTCCAATGCATCTTCATTCTGCTTTTGTACTTCTACCTTCCAAACTTCAACAGACGGAGCCCAAGCCCGGCGTACTACCGGTACGCTAGCGAATATCGGGACGACCGGGACCACCGCAACCGCCGGGACTATCGGGACGACCGAGATTATTGGGACGACCGGGAGTACCACCGGGAACGGCACTCTCGGGACCGCGGCTTCAGCCGTGAACGTCAGCGCAGCCGGACACCTACGGCGCGACCCCAAGCCGCCCCTCCCATTCTTCAAGGTTTCCCTGTCCAACCTGGGACCCCAATCTTACCCGTCCCCGGTTCCACAATTATCACCTCCAACCCCCAACCGGTCGTGCCGCCCGCGGCGCCCGCAGCGGCGCAGGATGATACCAACTCGGAATGGTTCCAGGAGGAGACGAAGGAGGAGGAGACCGCTCGAAAACTCAAGGAGTTGTTGGCGGAGCCAGACACCACGCCGGTCAAACCGACCGAGCAGTGTGAGTTCTGCTTCAAGGTGCACCCGGTAGCGGAGAAGTGCACATTCCAAGCATGGGTGTCGCATCGGTCGGACGTAGCGTCGGTCAGAGGTGCCGAAGGCGCGCGGCGTCGTGTGGTATCGGTGCGGGCATCGTATCCCTGAGAACAAGAGCGATCCCCAATGCCTTGAGTATCGGTGGATATGGGCGGAAGTGGCGTCGTTGAAACATGAGGAAGAAGGTCAAGCCGGTGGAGCTTTGCGGCTTCTGCCACAAGACGCTACACCTGACATTTGCCACTTGCCCCGCTAGCATCATTCTCGAATGCTTCTGCTGCTTTTCTTCCTCTCTGGATATTGACGCCATTGATCAGAAGCTCTGCTACCAATTCAAAAGCAATCATCAAGGTATGCTGATCAGCGATCTCTCTCATTCGCGGAGAGGACATGCGCATCGTCCCCAACGGTCCACGCTGGTCCCTCGTCCTGCTTCTCTGGTCGAACGTTGAGCGAGCCTTGTGCTTCGGCATAGGCGGTCCTGAATAGTATCGACTGCATGATAGATATGATGATGATGTATGATAGTATGGCTCTCCCCCTAGCGATGAATATCTGTCTACTGTTGTACTAGGCCAAGCCGTCCGTTTCCCCTTGATACGCTCCTCTATCCCTGTCCCTTCCATCACATCCTTCTACTCTGCCGTGATCATCCCCTTACACATCTACCCGTGCACCTCCCATCTCCCCTCCATCATCAACGCAATCATCCCCGTCTCCCGCAACACCTCGCAGACCGCCTGGTGCGTAGAAGCATGATTCGTCCGGCATGCGTTGGAGCAGTAGACTGCGGAGCCGCATTCGCAGATGTGTTCCACAAACCCGCCTCCTACCGCCACCGCCGCCTCCGACCCTTTTCGATTTCCGCCATCCTTTCCCCTTCCGCCCGTCTCGCCTAGCGAACGATGTCCTTCCCTGCCGCACCTGTCGCAAATGACCGGCAAGGTGTCGACGCGCCCGATTTTCCGCTCCACATTCAATCGCCACGATAGGTATCGCCGCAGACGCCCTGTCGTTTCCTCGCTGTCAGGACCCTCGCCGAGTAAGGCATAGGCGTACGATTGGGCAAAGTGTCGGCGCGCAGTGTCCAGATCGGATGCCTCCTGCGCCATGACGTATCCCGCGCCGTGGCAATTTGACCTGGTGCTCAAATGACCCATTCCCTCCTCGTCCATCAACCTCAACCTCTCCTTGGTATACTGCATCCCGGCGACGTGCATCTCGTATTGCATCGCCATGCCGACGAGGCTGTACAGCTCGTAGATCCGCTCCCGTCTGCTATCGCTGACAGGATCGGGTGGCCCCGTACATGCGGAGCAGCCGCATGCGAAGTTGAAGCTCTCCCAGAGCTGCGCTTGACGATCCGACCGAGCGAGTAGAGGGCGGATGTAAGAGACGACGATTTCCGCGCCCTCGGGAATGTCCGCATCGGCGTAAACAGACATCCGCCTCGCCGAGGGGGACCAGGTATAGTGGGAATTGGGTAGACAGGAGTGATTGATGCGGCAGATGATTGGGAATATCCCGCCTTGATTGATCTGGGGATCGGTCGGAATACCGTTTGTGAGCATGATGGTCGCGGCGGTGGGGTGCTCGGGGTTGTGACTGTCCGTGAGGGCAAAGAAGGTCTCCTCGTCTCTCATGCTGAGCTCAGCAAGCTCCTCGTAGATTTCCCACTCGTCCCTGGCCAGAAAGAGTGGGCGTTCGGATATGATGAGTTCGCCGACAGCGATGGGACGGGCTGCGAACAGCCCAAGCCCTTTGCCAGGGGAGGTAGAAAGCCGATAGGAGGGGATGGCGGACATTTTGTGTGCGGCGAGTGATATGGGCGGTCGCAGGGGGAATGGCTGATGAGAGGTTCGGTGAAGGCGAAATTTGAGTTCGCGCGTGTCCGGAGCGTTTTGTTTCCTCTCCGAGCCGAGCGGAGGTGGGGAGGCGTGCCTGTGCCTGCCGAGGAGACGCGCCCGTCCGGTCCTTTGACGCGCAGTCAGCCTGTCGACCGCTCCTGGGATCGACAGCGGTACGGCTGAGTGCTTGAGCATAGAGCAGCCCTCAGTACCGCAGCATCCGCGTGTCCACCCCCTTCATCGGCCCTTCTATCTCCTGCACCACTCCTTCCGTCTGTACCACCACCTGAACATCCCCATCATTCTCCACGCCTGCGCCTGATGACCCGTCCTTGCCAGCTGCAGCGAGGAGGCGGGGCCGGACGCCGAGGGAGGAGCAGAGAAGCTTGTACCGCGCGCGGATGGACGAGAGGAGGAGGATGAGATCTGGCTCTGTGTCGCCTTGATCCGGTAGGGCAGGAGCAGATTCGGATGACGGCGCCTGGTCCGATGAGGATGATGGCGTAGCCGGAGCAGCTGAAGCTGAAGTAGCGGTTGCTGAGGTAGCCGGTGCGGTGGTAGGATTGGTCGTGGGGAAAGTTTCGATCAGCGCTAGTAGCTGCCTGGCGTGGCTGATAGCTCTATGATATCAGCTTCCCCTATCTTTTTAGATGGCATTCTTTAGACTGGGATAGCTCACCTCGCGTCCTTGCTTCTGCCCTTCCCAGCATCCTCGCCCGCAGCCAGCATGTCCACCCAAAACAGCGCGAATCCCTCCATGTACCCCACTTCCTCCCAGACCTCCCACGCCTTCTCTTGACCGAGCTCTCGGCCCTCATATAGACCGTGTAGCTGCCCATGGGCATGACCGTCCGCGTAGCCTTCCTGATAGAATCTAGCAGGGTCAGCATGAAAGGATGCAGAGCTGAAGGCGACGAGATGTCGATTAACAAGATTGGGGAGTCAGGTGAGGACATACTTGGTTTCGAGGTTCAAAGTTTCGTCCCAGACATCCTCCATCTCTTCACCTCTCCGACCGAAGCTGTAAGAGGCGTCTATGTCCATGCTGTGTGAGGTGGTAGATGTGACATGTGCGAACGACAGAGGTCATGCAGCGCGAGAGCAAGCTGAATTTCTGAATCCGATGCCGTAAAGCGAGCCACCCAGCTATCGACTGCAGCTGCAAGCTGGAGAGCAGGTCCAACGATGACTGCCGCCGAGCTGGTTGACTCGCCAAACCTCCTGACTGGACCCAATGATAACATGGAAGGTTTCGCATAGGTCAATCATACAACTGTACTCATGTACTCCAGTGATGCCGGAGAAATCCCACCAAGCTATAGCTATTATACAATCCCCTCCTTCCGCTCCTCCCTCAAATCACATAGTATGCCCGACGGTTCGTCGCACTTGACCGGACCCCTCATCTCGCAGCTTCTGCAGTCGGCGTGACGCTCCTTGCCCTGTTCTCGATGGGTGCGAGGTCGACAAAGTCCGGCAGGGCTTGTGCGTCTTGGAGATACGACGGGGTTTCGCCCTCACCGATAGGATCGTCGTCCAGCCCTAAAGCATCCAGCTCTGTATGTATCAGCTATGACCTTCGATCTGGAGAGTATCTCCGAATACGATCTGTTTTTAGATCACAGGGGAGGCTTACCTGCCTGAAGATCCGCTTCGTCCACTTCGTCCGGGACACCATAGCTTCGCCCAAGCGATTCTTGGATCTCATTCGCCTGCTCAATCATATCTTCCATATCATAGTGTATGCTCTGTACGGAGTCAGCTTTTGGTCTCAAACGCGAATGGCCAGAATCAAGAAGCTGACCTCGATCTTGTCGATATCAATCCCTTTGTACTGCTTCTTCATTGCCTTGTTGGCCACCTGCATCGCGTCGACAGTCGCCATCTGATTGGGTCAGCTCATCTCAAGGCTATCACCACAATCGAGCAAAGGACAGCTGGCGGTCCGTGATCTTATGAGAGACGAACTGTATTCTTCAGGTTCTCAGTCGTCATCGCAGCCTGCTCCATATTCCAAGTCTGCTGCTGCAGCTGCATGAGCTGGCCCTCATACATCCGCTTCTGCTTAAGGGTCCGCAGTGCTCGTTGCTGTACTGCGGCCTGAGACGTCAGCTTGAGCTCTCATTGTACAACGGGGAAGGGGAAGAGCGGCCTAGCGCACCTTTCCTGGCCCATCACGCAGCTTGGCCATTTGGCCCTTGAAGACCCCAAGCTCTGCGTCCAGCTTCTTTATCTTGACTTCTATCGAGCCGACGCGCGTGTCAGTCTGAACAGAGTCAGCTTGCTGCCGTAGAACAGAACAACACGCGAGGATATAAGCTCACCGAAGCGATAGCATCCGATAAAGAAGGCTTTGGCTTGGCCTTTCCTGAGCCGAATATCTGCATCAGAGTCAGCTGCTTCACGAAGCTCGTATGTTCACGCCAACTGACTCTATTCATTCTGGAGAGTGCTGACGCCGTTCGTAATGGGGAACAATCACAGTCCTCCCGTCTCCAGGCGAGGTGATCAGGTAGCTTGGAAGGAGGAGAGGTGGTCAAGCAAAGCCGTCTCGGTCACCAAGATCTTCTCGAATCTTTCGAGTTGTACTTCCGTGAACGGGCGATCTGGAAGGAGTTGGGGAGGGCCCTGTTGACTGCGAGCGATATCGCTGGGAAAGAGTGTTGAGATAGAAGTGAAGAAGCAGAAGCACGAAGTACGTTGCATCAGCTGCGCACCAAGCTGTAAGCTTCTCAGAGCTTCCCCGGACCCAGCCTCCCCGCAAAACGCGTGATCCGTGCGTGTGATTCACAACTTGGGTCTGCGAAGGGGTCCGAGCCGTCTTATGCACGAGTGTACCATGTTCCGGCCGTGTATAGGGTGCAGAACAGGGCGCGGAGTGGGCCAGGAAGTAGGCGCTATCGAGAGGCTCGTTTCTACTGACAGCTGACGAAGCGCTGAGGCGCACTAGTGAAGCGCAGCAAGCCGGTGGATACGGGTGACCTGTCCGCCTATCACCCTCCTATCCTTGCTGTTGCAAGAGCTGTCTGTCACTTAACGAGACGTGGGTGAAGGCGAATTCATTGCTGGAGGCCCTAGGGTGGAAGCTGGTTTGAAGAAGCCAAATGAGCGACGCTCGAGCTCTCCAGGCATTCAGGCAGAGCGGACCCTGAAGCGCTGACAATTAGGAGAACGTGAAGCATTGACCTTCCTGGCAATACCGGCCTCTCCCATGCTTACTGATACTCCCCTCTCATCTCTCGATGATGGTCAAGCGCTCAGCGGAAATCGAGCCAGACGTAGAGGCGGATGAGCGACATCAGGAAGCAGCCGCTCCCGGAAGAGGCGCGAAGGTGACCTCGTCATTATCGCGAAGTACCCTTCCCCATGGTGATATGCTGACTATGCAGAGAGCGAGGATCGAGATCCAGGCCGATCTCGACCCATTCGCCATTTCTGATCAATGCGACCGCCCACCACAATACCCCGCTCTCTTCAACCCGCTGTACTCGACCTGGCGGCCCAATCCGCTTCCCGCCCGGCCGTTCCGGACCCACTCCGCCCCGTCCTCCCCTACCTCACCTACCAGCTCGGCCCGCTATGACCACAGCAGTCTCACTGGCAGCCTCGATCTCGCCTCTTCAACCTCTACGAAACACTCCATTGCCACCCTCAGTTCCGAAGGCTCGGTAGTTGACCTCGATGTCGACTTCAGCCTGGACTTCGCGGCGCTAGACCTAGCTGGACAGTCTGAACCGGACGAGTCTGGCTCGGTCGATCATCGGCAGCGACGGCGCGTACGCTGGCAGGAGCCCTCGCTTTCCCCCGACTCCGCCGCGCCCGCTGGTAGGACGAGCATATACCAGCTCGGCCACTTGCAGTGTTCTCGACCTCCAGTGCGAGCGGCATCGGCTCCGTCAACACCTGGCCCCACTCGTACGTGTGAGTCAAGCGCTAGAGGTCCACCAGGCGAGACACAAGGAGGGACGGGTAGGCCAGAGATCTCGGCAGCTACTCGGCCGACCATCTTCGGACAGACGAGCTTCAGCCGACCACGCACCCACAGCGACGCCCGCTCTCGCACCAATCACGCCCACCACCGTCATTTCCACGGCTGACCCGGGGTTCATCGTCATAGTCAGCTCGACAAGGTCTTGCCTAGCCTGAATGGGGATCTAAAGTTGTAATTATCAAGAGCATCATTGTAGAACAAACATGTAGAGACACCTAGATACGTCCATTTTCCCTTCCCATCATACCCGCCCCTTTCCTTTACCCTTCTTGTACACCTTCTTCTACACCTCCACACACCGACCCCTCACCGGTAGCCGCCCTCTCACTCATCCACTCCGATCCCATGCCCCAAAACTCCCCCTCATCGGTACTGGCCCCCATACTGATTTTGCTGCCCCGCATACGGATTGTATCCCGTCATCTGCGGCCCCATCATCCCCTGTCCTTGCTGCTGCTGCCCCTGGAACCCCGTCATCTGCTGCCCCATCATCCCCATCCCCATCCCTATACCCATCCCCGTCGGCTGCATCCCCATACCGCCCATCATGCCCATTTGCTGCGGCATCATTCCCATTCCCGTTTGTTGGGGCATCATGCCCGGTGCGCCGTTATATCCAGTCGTCAATGGTCGGAGAGCATCATATTTGCCTATCTCATCAGCTTTGCCCTTGACACCCGCCACATGCGGCGGGGACAACTAGCTCACCTGAATCCTGCGGCCGCTGTTCATCCGGCTTACCAAAGTCCTGCCTCTTCATCGCGGCAAAGATATTCCCCGGGGCAAACTTATCACCCTGCGGTTGTTGCTGCTGCTGCTGCTGGGGCGGCGCAGGTGGGCCCATATTGGCGATACTACCGAATGTTGAGCTGGCCTGTTGGTGCATGTTTTGGCCGAACTGCTGCTGAGGTCCAGCCATTCCAGTGAACGCTACCGTTGTCAGCTTAGTCCCCACTTTACTAAAAGCAAACTCCACCAAGCTCACCAGGTTGCAGCTGCCCATACCCTTGCTGGAACCCCGCCGCGTACCCCGTCTGCTGCGGCATCATCCCATACCCTGTCGCCTGGGGCATCATACCCTGCTGGCCCATAGGCGCCGGGCTTCCGCGTGTGGGAACAAACACGCCAGTCTGACTCGGCTGGAGCGGGTTGAGCAACCCCTCGTTGCTCGGGACGGGCGCGAGTGGGCCGCGCGGCGCATTCGGGTTGTTCATCATCATTTGGGACATGGGCTGACCGGTCCCTTGTTGGCCGAGACCGTATTGCGCCGAGTTGGAGAAGCCCGTTTGGTTTGGCTGCATCTGGGATTGACCGAACGACCCGCCGGTACTGTTGGATTGCATACCGGTTTGGGCTGGCCGAAGGGCCTGGATCTGCGCAAAGAGCGAGTCGGTACCGGATGATCCGGACGTGGCTGCCCGGTTGCCATTGACGACAGGAGGAAGAGCGGCCGGGGCAGGTGTAGAGGCGGGAGGAGCCGGGCTGGCGGGTTTAGAGCTGGGCTTGATGGTCCACGCATCGTCATCAAAGCCAGCAATGAGCTGTGCGGGCGCAGGAGCGGCCGGCTTCTCCTGCTTTGGCGGCGGGGGCGAAGGTGAGAGAAGGACCGGTGAAGGCGCGCTATCCCCAGTGTTCATCTTGCTGAGTTGATCGCCCGCCGCTGCGATCGCCGAAGCATCCACCGTATCCGTCCCTTTCCGCTCTGGCCGTCCCCTCCGTGTATTGTTGGCCAACTTGCCACTTGGACCCGTAAAGAGCGCGGGGGGAGGTTGAGGAATAGGTCCCTTCCCGCCCGACCGCTCATAGTCCTGCAATTGCCGCGCGTAATCCTCGTCCTGCTTGATCTGCGCCTCCTGCTCAGGCGTCTTCTTGGCGAAGCGCACCTGGATCTCCTTGCGCACCCGGATGACATCCCCCTCCTTCAGCCCCAGACTCCGCAGCGTCGACGGTTCCAGGTCAGGGAGCAGTGTCTCGTCAATCCGGTCCCGCTCAAAGTTGGCCGCGTACCGCGTACAGTCATCCATCGAACAGCCGGCCTCCAGGAAGAAGGCAAACCAGTCGAATCGCGGTTTCCGGGGTTTGGGCTGTTCCATCGCGGCAGCAGGTATAGGCTCCTCGCCCCGCGCCCGACTCTCCTCGGAACGGGATGATTGGCCCTTCCGCGGCGTTCGGCCGAGGGGCACATCATCGTCCTCGGGCTCAGCTGCAGCCCGGCGCTGCTGCCGCCGTGTCTCGTGCCGCTTGATCATCTGCACGTCCTCCTGGCTCATTTTGTCGATAGGGACCTCGATGATGACGCCGTTGGTCTTGTGCAGCCGGATCTTGTTGCCATTGAGACCGAGGTATTCCGCCTCCACCTTGAACTGGCCAGACTTGTCGCTCCATACGCGGACACGGCCAGGATTGGGTTCTGCTCGTCAGCTCTGCCCAGACATCATGTGACACTTCACTCACTCGGCCGGCTATTCTCTGGTGGGCGGTCTGGCGGTGCTCGTCCCCTGTCCGGCAGTCTCGCGGCGGCTGCAGCAACATCGTTAGCAGATGGCCGCTTGGCGATCTTTGGCGGTGCCTGATGCCTCGCTACTTCCCTCCTGTATAATCAGCTCAATTCCCCTTCGCGTGATACTCCGACTCACCGCCGAGCAGACAGTTCCTCTTGGTGAACCTCCTCCTCCTGCATTCTCGCCTTTTGCTGCGCAATCGACCTCTCCACTTCCCTCCTCTCAAGATCGAGGGCAATCTGCCTGTCCTCCTCCTCCTGTACTTGCTTCGCCCTTGCCGCCTTCTCAATCGCACGGCGCTGCTCAGCCTGCTTGCTCCGCTCCCTCTGCCTCTCGGCATCAAGCTGGCGCTGAGCCGTAGCCTCCTCCTCTGCCCTCCTCGCCTCTTCCTCCTCGTCATCTTCGTCATACCCCGCTGCGGCGGGGGCGGACCCCTCGCCGATCTGGATATACTGCGCCGGGACGACTCCTTCTTGCCCTCGCGAGTTACGCACGAGCCACCACTCATCGTTCTCCTTGTCGACGACCGTGACAATGTCATTCTCCTTGACGTTCAATTCGTCCTCGCCTTGCGCGTCAAAGTCGTAGAGGACCGTAGCGGGTTCGCCGGAGCTGGCCGCTGGGGCGCGCGCAGAAGCGGCGGAGGAGGTGGGTGCGAATCGGACAGCTTTAGGCTCGTAGTCGTCCGAGTCGGCTGCTCCTTCCGCTGCAATAGTCTGCAGAGCCTCTCCCGCAGCCTCTTTCGAAGTCTCCAGCTTGGCCAGGATCGCTTTGGCCGTGTCGGATCCGCCGCAGTGGAAGTGGAGCGGAGCGGGGAGAGAAGAGATGGAGAGCTGGATCTCCTTGCTCGACACCGAAGATACCGAGTCGAGATCTGTAATTGAGATCTGCTGAACAGGAGACTGCCATGTCAGCTTGGTCAAACTTTCGAGTTCTCGGCTAGCTCACCTTATCCGTGTCCGAAGCGAAGAACACCGCTCCGTTCCCCACCCCCAGCGTCCCCTTCTTCTTCTTCTTCCCCTCCATCTGCGACACACTCCACGTCTCCACCTTGTCCTTCAGCTTGAGCTGTCTCTGTCGCTCAGACGCCTCGCGCTGCCGGATATCAATCGCTTCCTGCTGCCGCTTTTCCTCGAGATCCGCCTCGGCCTCGGCGGCGTCGGCCACTTCGACCTCCTGCGACTCGTCCAGCGGCTCGCAGTATGTCCGTGGGACGAAACCGAGTGTTTCTGCTCCGCCCTCCACGCGGACGAGGAGCCAGTCCTCTTCGACAGAGAATACTTGGAGGACGGCGTCTTCCTCCATCGAGAGCTCCTCGGCTGTGGTCGAGGTGTAGGCGTAAAGGGCGCGAGTGCTGTTGATTGGTGGAAGCTGACTGTCAGCTTGGTCCTGGCGTCGTATCGCTGAGATCGAGAGCACAAGGCGGAGTAGGCCCGATATATGAATGGTAATGAGAAATGAAGGCACTCACTTCCTCAACATAGCTAACGGGAATCAATCCCACTCCGCCCTCCTCATCCCCGTCCTCATTCTTCAGTTTGGCCTTCCACCAACTGCTCTATCAGCTCCGGTCCGCATCTCCCTTTGCTTATGCTCTCCGGGACTCACTCCTCATCTTCCTTCTCGATAACATAGGCAATCTGATCCTCTTTGAGCGCAAGCTCAGTCTCGGGGTCCTGAGCTTCATAGTCATACAAAGCCTTGACGACCGCTACGTACGCCATGGTGAACCGAGGCAAGTGCGGAGGAGGTCCGGGCGTCAAGGGCTTGCTGGACGTCCTTTTGAGATGTCGGTATCAGCGGATAGCTATCCTCTACAGGAATCGAGCAGCTAGATGTTTGCGCTGATAGCTGATGTCTAGCTGTTACTGTGCCAGTAGATAGCCGGTGATGATATAGATAGCAGAGAGGGGGTGGCATTGGCCATCTCATGCGGTCAGGGTCCGCAGTCAAGCAGCGGAGTGACGTAACCGGCTGAAATTTGATTCCGCGCACTGCTGCAATCTCATCCCAAACGTTCTCTCCTGCTACAGCTTTAGCTTGTGTCTTGCCTGTAGACTAAACATCTTGACCTAGCCAGCTACTCATATCCATCCATCTCGCAGGGGTATCACTCGGAAGGTATAGATCTCCCGGATCCGCCTTTCGAATCTCACCCCCGGCGCTGTAGCTCTGGCTTCGCACAAGCGCCATGTCGTCCGTTCCCTCCGGCCCCTCCAAACCGTCCCGCCCCCTCGGTGCACCCAAATCAAGTGCCAAATCCACCTCCTCCGCCCAACCAGGCGGCACCACCCCTGCACAAATACCACGCAGACACGCCGGTGCCGTCCCCGGTATCGCGCGCGCCGCGTCCAATCTCCGCCAAGCCGCTCCGAGCGCAAATTCCTCCTCCGGGTCAAGCGCCAGTACAGGCGCCAATGCCCTCGCCTCGCTTCCCGCTCATCTTCGGCACCTATCCACCCCTCGCATCCCCTCTCCTCTGGGCAAGGGGACGCCTGCGCGGAATCTCAAACAGTCGTTCCCGGTCCGAACGTCCAAAACGACCGAGCGGCATGTGTTCTTACCCGAAGACCCGCAGTTGGCGCCCTTGCCGGCGTCGCCCATGGGCAGTCAGGTGAATCTGCTACCACCTCCGAGGGCGGCGCATAGTCACCGGGAAAGAGAAAGGGAGAGTGGGCGGAAAGAGCAGGCCATCCCGACTCAGAGCGATGAGCGGAGTGAGGCGGAGAAGATGACCAAGAGGGAGAGGGAGGAGGCGAGGTTGCCTCGGTTGACGGCGTACACCACGGCAGAGGGGTACCGGTTGAAGCTGCTCCAGGCATTCTTGAAGCGAGAACATGGAGTTGGGGTGGTCAGGGTATTTGATGATTGTCTTTACGCTGTAAGCTTTTTGTTTCGCAGAGCCATGTTCCAGCCCGCTCATATGCTAGGTGTACAATCTCCCCCTCTTACCCGGATACGGTGCATCCACCAAGATTCGTTCCTCCCCTGCGGTCAAATCTCCCGGCGGTGTATCCCTGCTTGAACGGATGACCCAAGCCGAGGATCTGGGATACGACGACTCGTATTTTCCCCAGACGGACGATATCGAGCGGGACCCCCATATCTCCATGGATGATCCATCCGAGTACATACTCTCCCACTCCCCACCTACGGACGTCGGCCGGATGTCTTCGCTGGACGAGGAGATTTCTGACGGACAAGGAGGGGACATCGACCGCTCGGACCGGCTGGATCGGCTCGAAGATATCCAGGATGGCCTGGACAGCGGGTCACTCCCTGCGGAGCCTACAAGTCCTGAGCGCCGACGCGTGAGGATCGCAGAGGAAGCCACCCAGATCCAGCTGGGCACGCACCTCTCTCCTGACCGGGCCGGGTTCGAGCATATCCCCTCGACCGCGCTATCGCCGGATGACCTACCCTCCCACCCCCCTCATCACACGGCAGACCAACTCGAGGCGGAGCTAGAGAATCTGCTCGAGTCGCCTCAGTCCGCTGAGCCGCCCCAGCTCGTCCGGTCCGCTTCGCACCCTCCTCCCGTACAACACTCACGACCCACCGCTATGCCCCCTCGGTATCCCCTGACACATACCCGGAGCCAGCCGACGCTTAGAAATCGGAGGAGGAAATCGCATTCCACGACGAACCAGATCGCAGAGGCGGTGTTCTTCTCGTATGGTGTTTCCATCTTTTTTGGGTTCCAGGAGGACGAGGAGCGCGCGGTCATGGAGGATATCGATGCGGCGGGGGGCTGGATAAGGGGGCTGGGTGAGGATGATTGGGAGGTCGAGGAGTTCCACTATGCGGTAGGTTGAGCTATTTTGCGGCGACTGTGTTGCGTCCAGAAGCTGATAATTTAGTATGACTCGGAAGCCGAGTATCCCAGAATTTACAACGACATGTTTAGTAAGTTAACCTCCGTGTAATTTGATGCACAGGCTGACGTCACAGCGTTCAAATCACACTCGCATCTGTTCAAACTGTCCCTCTCGCACGCTATCGCCCAATCAACAAAACTCAGCATCTACGAATCAACAATGCAGGAATCGCTCGCGCTCACTTCGTCTTTCCCCAAAGAACTCAGTATCACCGGACATCTCCAGTTGAAGCGGAGGGAAGCGTTGAAGATGACGGGTCGATTGTTCAAGTTGAGGATGGATGTCAATCTCATTGGGGGTATCTTGGGTGAGTCTGTCTCGTATTCGATGCAGACCGTTACTGATAATCAGATACACCAGAGTTGTTCTGGTCGGAAGCATCCTTGTTCCCGCTGTATGAAGCCATCCGGGAGTATCTTGAGATCGGACCCCGTGTACAGGTGCTGAATGACCGGCTGGCTGTAGCTGGCGATCTGGTAAGCTACTTCGCTCTCTCGGAAACTTGGCTGAGCAATCGCTGACGGCTCAGCTTGAGATCATACACGAGTATATCGAAGAACGAGCGACAAATCGGATCAACTGGATCATTATTTGGCTTATTATTGTCGCGTGCATGGTCGAAGCTGTAAGCTGGTTACGTCTCTGGTGGAACATGGCAGAGAGCTGACGAGGACAGGGAGAAGTGCTTGCGCGAGTGGCATTCCACAGTCTGCCTCGGCAAGAAGGGGAGTTCCTCATTGTCAAAGGCACGAGGGCATTGTGGGGTGCGGCAATGGGCAGCGTGTAGTGCATTCCGTGTTGTAGATCTAGATGCAGGATGGTGTAGGCTTAGCGTCATTTGAGTGATCGGCGCACTAGCCCGTTGTGCTACTGCCCTAGTCGAGTAGTATCCTCGGCATTCCTCGCCGCCGCACCTGACATGTGCAAGCTGATCCAACCTAGATCTAGATCTTAAAGTGATCTTGGCTGTCGCCGTCTTCCCGCTCATTAAAACCAGGCGCCACGCCGAGAATGGGTCATACTGACGTCATTACCCCCGAAAAGGCGTCCGGATCCGGATTTCTGCCTTGTGCGTCAACAAGTGAAACCACCTTCTGGAATCTGCTCTCTTTCGCTCTCTTTCTCTCTTCTACATACCGCATCCATACCTATCAGCTTCCAGCTAGAGACCATCACCCCAGCCTCATACACTTTCCTGCTCTTTTCTCATCAGGTGCGTCATTACTCCCTTTCCCCTGCAGATCAAAGGAGGTACATAACCTTCCCCCAAACTTTGAGCTCGGTCTCAAAATCCCCCTCCCTTACTTTCCGCCACTCACATTCCCACCCCAGTCCCCACTTGCACTTGCACTTGCACTTGTACATAGCAGCCATCTGACACCGCCAGCCACACTCCAAGCACAATGGCCAACGAACGCGCAGTCCGCCTGACCCACTCGATTCTCTTCACACTCATCACCCTCGCTTCTATCGTAGCGCTCGCCATCTCGGCCTCGCTCGTGGCCAACTACAACAACTATGGCTACCCACCCGTCAACACAAATGCGTACCGGGACCGAATCAGGATCTGTCTGGCCGCTAGTATCTGGACCACCTTCATCGGTTGTAAGTTACCGCGAGCTGTCCCGCCCGGAGCCAAAAGCTTACGTTCTCAGTGGTCCTCACCGTCGGATTCCAGGTGATGGGCACCAAGGTCGCCTTTGGTATCCTGACCCACCTTATCCCCCTCATCATCGCCTTCATCCTCTTCATCATTGGCGCTGGGTCCCTCACTGCCCTGACCAACGGGACCGACTGCGGTTCCGCCGAGGGTGGTTTCGACAGGTGCAACATCGTCAAGGGTCTTGTCGCTATCTCCTGGATTGACACGTGAGCTCGCCAGCCTCTTCTGTCCGTCCAGGTTCTTTAGAGATGCAGCTGACATGGCAGCATCTTTGTCCTGCTCGCCCTCATCTTCGTCTCGGTCCTCGCTATCAAGGCTCGTGGCGGCTTCGGCGGTGAGTTCGATTGATCCCGACTATCGCATACAGTCAAGGGAAAAGCTGACAACCATAGCTCGCAAGTCGACCCTCTACGACGCATAAGACAGTCGGGAAGAGTTTCCAGTCGGAGGAAGGGAGGTGGAGTGAGAAGAACGTGGCTCGCGAGGGAAGTGGAATGTCATAGGGAGTATACAAGCCTTATAATCAACCCACCATCAGCAATGCAGCATCTGCACGATCCGCTCTGGCTCAGCATCTCCATTCTTCGCCTTGGGGACCCATCTAACCTATTAATACAGGGAAATCGACTGATCGTGCGGCTCCATTGCGACTAACAACCACACTGAGCAAAGCTCCGAAGCTATAGCTGAAGCTTCATACCATATATGAAGTGCTATGCCTATGTCAAGTGGACTTGACTATGTAGCTACCGTCGTCCTCGTCCTCTTCCATGCGCTCGACTCCCACGTATGACTGCTTCAGATGCAACAGTGGTTCCACTCCCTCCGACCCAGGCAACACATCCAGCACTCTGCAGATAAACAGCTCCGAACCCGCCTGATATCCCCCTGTCCCCACTTCTGCCTCTTGCACCCCATCTACACTCCCTTCGACTCCCATACCGCCCCTCCTCCCCGCCGGTCCAGCCTCGACATCGCACATATCCCTTAATGGCATCGAGCTGACCACCTCGCATGTCAGCGCGCCAAGCGCATCTCTCAGAGAAGGCGGATAAGAGTCTTTTGGGGGTAGCCACTCGTCCCGAGCGAAGATGTCCGACTGGTCTGGGAGACGGGACGACAATGCGTCGGCTATTGGACGATTGGACCGACAGAGGAGGGAGACGGTGAGCGGTATTCTCGCCTGAGCGGCTTTGGGCGCTGTCTTGCCTGGGGGCGATTTGGGATGTGAGGAAGTAGAAGAGGAGCGGAGGCAGTCTGCAAGTCGAGACGGGAGGCGGAGGGAGAAGGCGACGAGCGGGTGGGGGTGGAGTGTGAGGGAAGTGAAGGACGTGAGGGTCGCTCCGTGATAGGCGGACGAAGAGGAGGGGGAGGTATTGCGGGCTGTAACGATAGCTACGGGCTATTGGGTCAGCTCAGCCTGTAGACCGAATGCTCGAACAGGCTCTAGCGGACGTACTTGAGGGACGTTGCGCATGACTTCGCGCAGACGGGTTGAGACATCGTCGCAATCGCCCGAGCTGGTCGAGAGGAATCGCCGCTTCCTGCCGATTGCAACGAAAGGGGTGGAGATGGTGGATGAGCTGCTCTGTAAGCGGCAGAGACAAGCTGGGGGCTTCATAGCCGAGAGATATGGCTTCGTTGTGTGGACGATACTTAAGACGAAGAGGTCGGGCAAAGATCGACAGTTCAAGGAGGCATTCAGGCACGGATGGGCTTCCACGTGGTAAGTCCAGACATCCTGCAGCTGTTGTGCGTGAGCTTCCCCTTGTCAATCGTCTCTTCCAGGCCACAGCAGCGCAGCGCGGCACACAGAGCGTCCTCAGCCAGACTACTCCTCGACGCGATTAGAGCTACCCCCGCTTGCCTTCGCCAAGATGCGGAAAGGCGCGGGCATCTCTGCCCTCTCACGGCACTCCCAAACCGCCTCCTCCTACTCCACCCTCTCCAGCAGCATCACCGCCTCCCAGCTCTCCACGCTCGAATCGTCCCTCTCATCCTTCAAAGACCACCTCCTCGTCTTTGCCCGAGAGCACCGGCAAGACATCCGGAAAGACCCGGCATTCAGACATCAGTTCCAAAAGATGTGCGCTGCGATCGGGGTGGACCCCCTTGCTGGCGGGGGCGGACCAGGCGGGGGCGGAGGTGGAAAGGGGAAAGGGTGGTGGACTGAAGTCCTGGGACTAGGGGAATGGCAGTACGAGCTGGCGGTGCAGGTGGTGGATGTCTGCGTGTCCACCAAGGAGGGGAACGGGGGAATGATCGCCATGCCTGATCTCATCTCCAGGGTGGAGCGGCTCCGGACGGGCGGCAGGGCAGATACGGGCGGCGCCGAAGTGACAGAAGAGGATATCCTGCGGTCACTGGACCTCCTCAAACCGCTCGCGGCGGGATACACGACCCATTCTATCGCGGGGACGACGTTCGTCCGGTCAGTCCCGAAAGAGCTGGATACGGACCAGAGCCTCCTGCTTGTCCTCGCGAGCGATGCGGGCGGAAGGTTGACGGAGAGGGGAGTGATGCAGACGACGGGATGGTCGAATGTGAGGGCGAGGACGGTGCTGGAGGATTGTGTGATGCGGGAGGGACTGGGATGGGTGGACGAGCAGGGAGACGAGAGGTGCGTGTGGGTGATAGCAGCGGTGGACTTTGGGTCGTAGGCGGTAGGCCACCATTGTAGCAAGACTATCTCGTCGCCGTATACTATCCTAGATATATATACCAGTTGTACACGTAGACAGTTGTAAGATATCTAGCATCAAGGCGATATAAGTCACAACGGAGGGCTACATCTGACGCTATCAAATGTCCATACTTTGCAGATATCAAAAGCTACTTACTTCCCTATCGACTACTGCATCGAGCACCCCAAGATCTTCTCGTTCTATCGGCCCCCTATCAACGTGCACTTCTGACAAATGTCCATTTCTGATCCCCTTCCTTCCCTGCCCCCTTGAAGTCCCTGCTTCCCAGAATGACCTCCCCGTTCCTCACCGCCGTGCTCCTTCCGCCTACTCCGTCATCTGTGATCCTGCGATACCGGCGTCCTCCTCCCTTCTGAATCCAGCTGCAAGCTCGTGCGACCCCGGTCATCCGGCCCTGGGCTACTCGGCGCCGACCCTCTTGAAGAATTCCTACTCCCATTCCCCGCACCCTGGAACGGGCCTCTCCAATGCTGCTGCTGCTGCTGCTGCCCTTGCTGCTGCTGCTGCATTTGCTGGTGATGTCCCGATCCCGTCGGCGAGGTCATCCCCGATACGTTCAGATTCAGGCTCTGCTGCGAGCCCGAGACGCTACCGTGATTCGAGGGGATGTACGACTGTGGCCGAGTCGCCGAAGAGGAATGCTGGGCGTAGGTATTGGAGTTGGGGACGGAGATGCCCATGCCGATGTTGGAGGGTGGGGCGGGGACGCGGAAGTGGGAAGAAGGGATAGGGACCGGTCCGGCCCCCGAACCGTTGGGCGGTGGCTGGATGTGCGAGTCGCTCGTGAGGTTCCCCTCGGACCGGTGGTTGCTCAGCCGGGAGTCGCTAGGCCGTTCCCGCATCTGCCCCGACGAGCTCGGTGGGAGCCGAGACGATCCCGATCCCGATCCGCCGCCGCCGCCGCCGCCCGCGTTGCCCGGATTAGGCGTAGGCGGTTGTCCCCTCGCCTGCATGTACTTGCTGCAGTGCCGGTGGATCTCCTTGGGCGGGAGGTCCAGGTCCTTGGCGAAGATGTTGAAGATATTTTCGTCAATGACGAACCGGAGTTCCTCGGGAACAGCATAGTACTCGTCCTGGTTCTCCAGCATGTCCTGGACGGCGGTGATGGCGATAAAGGATTCGTCCCGGGCCGCATTGGCGCCTTTGGCGTAGAGGATGGAGGGGCAGATGACTGTTGCGAGATTGCCGAGGTCCATCCGCGAGCCGGTCTCCTCGTCCTTGTACGAAAAGGAGGCGACCCATTTGAGGAAGACGAAGAGGACCTCCATCGTGTCGCGATTATACCGGGGCAAGAGGCAGATGAGGAGGTGTAGACATCTTTGCCGTTCTTCAACAGATTGGAACGCTAAAACCGTAAGCTAGCTTTTTACACGGGTGCGCAGTCTAAGGCTTACAAGCAGCAGCGCAGAACAGCTTGTGCAGCTTGAACGTCAAGAGCGGATCCGGCAGCTCGCGCAGGAACCGCTTGAGTAGCGCCGCAAGCTGGACCGGGTTCTCTTCCGACAGATTGACCTGCGTCGAGTCTTTATCGAGCGCCTCGCTGATTTGCTGTAATCGCCGGATGTTGCCGTTCTTTCGGAAGATACCCTCCACGGCCATGTCTATTGGATCAGCATCGCCCACAATGCACGATTGGATCAGCTCACCCATTTGCCGCATCGTAGCAATCATCTCCTCGATGAACTCGGGTACTCTGAGCTGGGCATTCGACGCGCCCATCTGACTATCCGATCCGGTCCGCTCGACCAGAATCTCCAGCGGAACATTGAAGACGCCTGGTAATCAGCCCAGATCCCGCAGTCTGTTCCGAGAGACTCACCCTTCTTCTTCTGCTTATCCTTGACATTCCCCTTGAAAATCTTGTTCCACCACTGATTCTTCCTCACATCCAGCAACTCCAGCACCTCATCCAGCTCAATCAAATGCCCCAATCCCGACTTTTGCAGAGCAAGCAAAGCAAAGTGTTTGAGTATGAGCGACTGAAGCTGGTTCAGACCCGCCAACAATGGTCGGCGACTGCTTTGGTCATGACCGCCCAGACGCCGCGTCTGGTCCGCGAGCATCGGGATATCGCCGAGCGTAATGGCGTCGTCCTCCTGCATCGCCTGGTGCGTCTGTAGCTGGTCGACGATCTCGGGCGGTAGATCCGTATTGTTGTCGTTGACAATCATGACGCTGGTGTTGTTCCGAGCGAAAGCGGGACGGATGACATCGACCGTGGCTGATCCAGGAGGGTCGTCTTCCGTGAGATCGTCGGCAATGATCTTGGGTGGGGAACCGTCTTTTGCACGAGCAGACACTACCCGACCGTCCTCGTTCGCTATCCTGCCGGCGGGAGATTCGACGACCGTGGAGCGTTGAGGCAGACGAGCGGTAGAGGAGAGCTTGCGATCGAGGGTAACGACCGACTTCATCCGCTTCACGTCAAAGCCGGGTGCGGTGACGATATCCTCCAGGCCATGGTCGCGAACTACGAGGTCAGCTCTGACGGTTTATACCACCACAAGTACTATCCAACTCACCACTTGGCAGGTTGTGGTGTATCCTGAAGTGTACATACAGCCGCCTCAGCGCAATATGCAGCAAGAAAGCATACTGCTCGAGCCTCGAGACACTCTCGAACCCATCCTTCGACGTCCGTGTCTGATGCTTGGTGCAGTAGATCGTGGACGGAGGAATGGGCAGCTCGAACACAAAGTCCCGTACTCTCGGCGCCGCCCGTTTTGGCCTGGAGGGCGGGACGAGCGATCCCTCTTCCCGAGACTGGGTATCCTCCGATTCTTCCCCGATGGGCTGGACCGCCCGATCGCCGCAGACCGCACACTGCACACAGGGGGAGTGCCACCTGTCAAACATGCCGAGTCGGATGCAGTCCTCTTCGATGGCTTTGTGGCAGTGCGCGCAGCCTTCGGGAGGGACAAAGTCTTCCTCTTGCGGTCCGCGCAGGGTCGTTTCGTGCGTCGCCTCGGGCTAAAATGTCAGCTATGAGCGCGCAGCTCTATGCTTCTCGTCACTCACAGCTAGGCTTCGGTAGCCGTACGCGATACCTTGGGTACTAGGGATAAACCCAGCCGGTCTCCTCGGAAGCGCGTCGATAGCCCGCTTCAACTGCTCCTCATCCGCACCTGAGCCAGAAGCGGGCGTCGCTGTACCGTCTCGGACCACGTCCAGCCTGTCCTGCTGGACCACCTCGGGATAATCGCCTCGTTTCGGTATACTCGGGTCGCTCCCGTCCATACCAAGTAGATTGAGCCGGCCGAGGGCATTGATCATTGCCGTCGCGTGGCCTTGCTCGCGCTCGAGTTTGATCGCCCCGGTGAGCGCTATACGGATGAGGATTTTGAGATAGTGCGCGAGCTGGGTGATGAGGGTGTAGAGATCCTGGTTGTTTGGCTGGGCAGGACCGGTGGGTGAAATTTGCGACATGGTCGAGAAGAGGTTGACGAGCTTTCGGCAGAGTTGCTTGGCTTCGCGGGCGTGTGACATGCCTAACCATCAGCGACACTCTCCTCGATGGTCATGCCATGACTCACCCTTGACGCCCGCGAGAGAAAACTGGGCCTCGAGATCATCAATTACCGCAAACAGCGCCTCCACATGCAAGATGAATCGCTCCGCCAGCAAGACAATCTCGAGCAGATTCCGCCCATTCACAGCACGCAGCATCTCCCCAATCAATGCCGCCGAGCTCTCCTCGTACCCACTCAGGACATGCCAAATCTGGAGTACTTTGGTCTCCATCGCCTCTTGCCTCTCCTTGAGCTCGACAGGGCCAAGATTCTCGGAGAGCGCGGGTGAGGTTGAGGTTGGCGCGCCAGTGACGGCACCGGCGGTAGCCGACGATTGAACCGATAGTTGTGACATGGACATGGCGGGTGTCATTTCGAGGAGGGAGACGGAGGAGGAGACGGCAGAGTTGGCGGGGGTGTTGAAAGTCTTGGAGGCTAGGCGGACATTCCAGAACTAATGGGTCAGAGACGGCCCACCGTACGGCTAGCAGCATAGCTTACCTTGCTGATCATGTAGCACTCGGGATGCCAGCACTCGTCCCTCCCATTCCGGTTCATCTCGACAAACTGCTTCAAGATCGCCGTCTCGCATCCTACGCACTTGACAGCAAAGCGCGTCGAGTAATGGAAGTGACAGTCTAGTCTGTCAGCTGGTACTTCGCTCAAGGTCGGCGGATACAACTCACAGACTTTGCCGCTATGCTCATAGTACGAGTCGTTCGGGCCAAAGACGACATCGCATTCCGAGCAAGTAAAGTGCTCGACGTGATATTTTTCTCCTATTGATATCAGCTGCATGTCCATTTAATGGGCCTTGGTGAGCTGATACTCACCGCAAGCTGTGATGTAGCTAGATCGTAAAGCCAAATTGCACTTTGCGCAGATGAGGTCGAGTCGCGCAAAGTAGTCGCGCTCGCACAGCGGGTACATCCCTTCTGGATCTTCGACGGGGAAGAACTTTTGCGCGACGACCTTGTTACAGTCCTGGAGCATCAGCTTTGTGATGCAGCTATATGCTGAAGCGAGCTCACCTTGCACCTGAAGCAGTTCAGATGATACACCTTCCCCATAGCCCTAACGAACTGCCCGTGCACTACCAGATTACACTGGCCGCAGTACGTCGGGTCCCTTGACCTCCCTACGCGCATATCCTTGTCCCTGCCCGCCTCGCTAGCGGCCTGCACAGAGGAGGTAGTCTCGGTCGCCGCATTCGAGGCGGATAGGGAGTGATGACTCGACTGCGACCCGAGTGGGCGTTCATGCCGATCCGACGCGACTTGGATGTCATTGTGTAGATGATTCTGATGGCTCGAGCGGCGGGGAGGTACCGGTAATTGAGGGGTGGGGAATTGGAGGGATGGGGCGGGATAGAAGGGGTTTCCGGGGGCATGTTGAGGCCGTCCGTCGATCGGTGACCCGCCTTGACTGTGTGAGGCAGCAGCATGTGGGTCTGGCGAGGTGCTCGACCGTATCGGCCCGTTACCCGCTGACGGTGGTCGGAGTGGTCCAGAGACGGGCGCAGAACGCGGTCCCTCTCCATTCCCCTCTGCGACGGACGTGGTGATTCTGGGTAATTTCGAGGTTGTCGAACCCCCTCCTGCCGGCCAGAGGTTCGCGACTCCCTGAGTCCCTCTGCTTCCCATCATCCCTCCCGCCCCAGGCTCGCCGCCGTGGATGACATGACGCGACGACGAGGCGACAGAGGTCGGCGAGTGATTCACCGAGCCTGCGCCTGAATGTCCCGAACGCGCCCTATCCCTATCCTCTGATCCGCGCCTTGATCCTTCTCCTTCCCTTTGTCCATAGCCGTACCCGAGCGACCCGGGACCGTAGCTCGACGTGGTACCCGTGGGCGGACCAGGGGATGTCAATACCCCATTGACATTCTGTTGTACGCGTGGATCCCGGTCCATTGAGGATCGCGGCGTTCCCCCTCCTCCGCCTCCGTCTCCACTGGTACTTCCACCCGCCGTCCGAGGCGTAGGCATCGCGATGCGCGATTGTGATCGACTGGGGCTCGACATGGCGCGAAAAGAGGCGAATGTGGGTAGTGTTGACAAGCAGGTATGTGGTGGGTGCGGTAGCTAGGACCCCCAAATGAAGCTAAGGAGAGGCGGGTGCGCTTTGCTGCCGGCAGCGTTGACGCTACGCCTCAACGGTGTTTCGACGGTGTTATGCCTCGCGTATGCTTCATGTATAGATCCTGAAGGGATGCTGCGTGTATATGCGGAGCAGGACAGAGTGTATGCTAGAGGGTACAAGACGAGATGTAGCTATAGAATAGCTGGCAGGGCAAAACAAGGCCCGGCGCATGGGGCACGGCGGCGGTGGTGATGGAAGCAAATATCAAAGGCACCAAGTCCGAGTCGCGTGGCACATTGGGGCGGGGGTTCTACAGCTGTTCTCAGGCCTTGCTTTACATTGAGGCGTTGGCCAGTGGCGGACTGGGTAAGAGAGCGCAAAGGGGCAGGCTTACTCCGAGTCGTTCTGACAAAGAACAATCTAGACTTTGTGACTTCGGGCTGACGGGGCGGTGCAAGCCGAACCGGAATACCGCCGGATCTGCCCCAGCGAGCGAGCTGCACCCACCGCCTCAGGCTTGCCGACAGCAAGAGGGAACAATGATACAGTGAGTACATTTCCGGTCTCGAGATAAGTACACAAACGTCCACCACCCATACTACCGCCCATGACCTCGCTCAAGCCCACTGCGATTTCTCCCACGTAGGATCTGCCGTATCAGCTAGTCATGCGACACCTCTTCTAGAAAGATTGCTCACCCTGCAAGAAGGCGCAAAGCACCTTGCTCCCTGTCTGCAGTAATGGGTGGCCAGCCACAATCTCGAGAAACCGCTGGAGGCCTTCTCGTCGCTGCTCCACCACGTCGTCGGTGAAACGATTTGTGAAGATCTGCCGGATCAGCCTCCATCTCTGCAGGTATACGGAGTTCCGATATGGCAAGCTTATCGATGTTGGCTCGACCGCTGGGACATTTGAAGCCAAATGACGGGGATTGATGCGGAGTGGACGACCTACTTTGCCTGGCAGAGCGGGGATGTTGACTCTGGTAGACTCGCGTTCGAGGATGTCTCGGAACACCTCAAAGTCAGAGTATCGTCTTCTGACCACGGAATGCTTGAGCTTGAAAGCGGGTATGTTGGTCTGAGGTGTCAGCTCTGGACTGATCTGAAGCGGTAGTGGCTGGATCCAGACAGCCGTTGGGATCCTCAAAGGACCTTGCTCCCCGTTTATACGGACATGTATAGCTGAAACTCACCATGCAGACGATCTCGTAGTCCGTGTACATCTTCCGTCCGACCCCGTGGGTCATGGGTTTCCGTACCTCTATTTCGAGGAAACTCTCGGGTACAGCATACATCTCGTCAAACTATAGGCTGTCAGCTCTTCGGCTCGGAACGTATATAGACACCTAAGCTCACCGTCTGCGGTCTTCCGGCCAAACGTGCCATATCAGAGAAGGTCATACGCTGAGACGACTCCGTCCGTGCAAACGGGGAGTGTGTGACCTCGACTGGACGGTCAGTATCGCTTCTCCTCCTTGGCCGTTTGCTGCAAGCATAGGCAGACCAGCGGTCTTAGAGCACAGCGTGCCTTACTTGGTGGAGACGATGATCCCTGTCCTGCAGAGCCCTGTCCTGACTGGAAATAATCTGCCAAGCGTCAGCACGACCCAGCGAGAGATAGCGATGAAAGGACGACCACTCACCCCTTGACGGTGATTGCTGCGCTTGGTTCATATTGGCTGGAGTACGAGCTTTCGTACGGCTTGGTGATTGTGGCTGCGGTGTATCGTGCGATGGATATTGATAGATGTGTTCCATAGGGAAGGTGTAAAGGAGATAGCTGACAGAGGTCAGTGCTGCTGCTGGCTGCTGCCCATTCATCACCTCACGCGAGAGGTGGTCAGCGGCGATCACCGCCATCGTAGCGTCAGCGGGGTCCCCAGCATTCCTCATGTCTCCCCTCGCCTCACGCCTCACTCACTCAACGTTCAAGCAGCTATACTTGTCACTTCTTCCTCCTATCTTGAACATACCACAGGCCTTACATCACGAAAATGGCTACATCCACTCACTCATGCGAGCATATCGAAAAAATCGCTCAGTACCTTCGACCCCCAAAGCTCTCTGAGCAAGTTCATCGGTATGTTCCCCTCGTCCGTCTGAAGGAATGCGGTGCTGATCAGGTTTAGCGAAGAATGTACGCTTTGCTTTGATGGACAGGTCAGCTGAGAAAGCCAGCCCGTAGCTCATACACAGCTGATAGCCGCAGGATGACCCCGAGGGCGTTCTCGTTTGTCTGCAATGCTTTAACGGCGGCTGCTTCGGGGAGGGCCGTCGACATGCCTACCTTCACCACGAGAAGGCAAAGCATCCCGTCGGGCTCGTGGTGAAGCGGACCAGGAAGGAGCCGAAGAAGAGGGTAAGCTTCTGCGTCCCCTGTAGAGCCCAAGCTTATAGGTAGGACTCGCTCGAGCCGCCTCAAAAGAAGCTCGCTATCTCCGCTCCGTCCGATGAGGAGCTCTATTCCTATGCAACCCACCTGGTCTGCTTCGCTTGTTCTCCAGTCGGCCAAGCTATTTCGTCCGACAATGCTCAGGTGAGCTGTGGTGCGCGGACCAGAAACCGACATCGGCCTTAGCTGATCATTAGGTCAACGACACGGTCACATCCATCATGCGAGCCATGTCTTCTGCCCAGCAGTCCGAGGTCAAAGCGTGGGAAGAGGAGATCCTCGCCTGCGAGCATACCTTGACTTTGGAGCAGACACCATTCATCAACCCAGAAGATCCCCGTAAGCTTATTGGTCTGCGCGACAGTGTTCCGCTGCGCTAAAGCTGACTAAGCAGTACCGACCCAATGTACCGAATGTTCTCTTACCGGTAATCTCTGGCTCTGTCTCGTCTGCGGTCTGGCTCATTGCGGGAGGAAGCAGTTTGGCGGTCTGGACGGGAACGGACATGCCTTGAAGCACAAGCAGGAGACGGAGCATGCGGTGGCGGTGAAGCTCGGCACTATCACCCCGGAGGGCACAGCAGGTAAGCTAAGCTTGCGAGATGTGGTTCGACAGAGCTGATCATGAATAGATCTCTACTGCTACGCCTGCGATGATGCCAAAATCGACCCCGAGCTTGCTACGCACCTGGGCAATCTGGGACTGGACGTTGGCGGTCAAAGCAAGACCGAGAAGACAATGACGGAGCTGGTACGTTGTTCCGGGCGGACGTTCAAGAGCGATACAGCTGACTCTGTGGAATATCGACCACAACCTGAAGTTTGACTTCTCGATGACAGGAGATGACGGCAAAGAGTTGCAGCCGGTCTTTGGAGAGGGTTTGACGGGTCTGCGGAATCTGGGAAACAGGTCAGTTGTTGGGTCGTCTCCTTCGACGATGTACACAAAGCTGATTCGCTTAGCTGCTATATGGCCTCTGTTCTCCAGACGCTGTTCGCCCTCCCCTCCTACCGCGAGCGATACCTCAGCGAGGCCGCTCGCTCCCACCAGCAAACCTGCGACAAGCCCCTTCCCGCCGAATGTCTCGAATGCCAGATGCTCAAGCTCGCCGACGGGCTCGTCACTGGCCGGTACTCGAGACTCGCCCCTGCCCCTCCTCCTTCTCACTCGCAGTATGACACCCCGGAACCGCCAAAGTTCCAAGAGGGAATCCGTCCTGTTCAATTCAAGACCCTCATCGGGAAGGGACACGAGGAGTTCTCCACCATGCGTCAGCAAGACTCAGAGGAGTTCCTCCAGCACCTCCTGGACAAGTTGCGCGGGGAGGCCAAGCGTCAAGGAAGGGATATCAGCCGCGAGCCGACCGAAATCATGCGGTTTGCGATGGAGCAAAGGCTGCAGTGTCTGGGTTGTGGGAAGGTGGGGTACAAGGAGGAGGCGGTGGATCTGGCGAGTCTGCCGGTTGAGGCGGTGGAGAAGGGAGTTACGGACGAGGGGAAGAAGCTTTGGGAGGGGCAGAGTCTCGAGGGGTGTCTGAAGGCCTTGTGCGAGAAGGAGACGATCGAATATGCGTGTGCGACGTGCGATAAAAAGACTGCGGCTGAAAAGTGAGCAAGAATCTCCCGCTGAAGGTCTTCACGGTGGATCCAGCTGAGATCGCAGATCGACGATGTTCAAGACGTTCCCAGATCTGCTTATCCTCCACATGAGGAAGTTCCAGCTCGTCAATTGGGTTCCGACCAAACTCGGTGAGCTAACCAACACCTGCGCTATGCGAGATAGCTGACATGTCAGAAATACCCGTCCAGGTCGGAGACTGGCTCACGCTTGACGACCTTCAAGGCAAGGGCCGACAAGCTGGGGAGGGCGAGTTAGACCTTGATGTGGCGCCTGCTTGTAAGCTTCCTGCCACCTCCTCGATCGAGATTGGCATAGCTAACATGATAGCGACTGGACCCGACGTTGATGCCGGCGCCGTCGCGCAGCTCGAAGCCATGGGCTTTCCGACCGTCAGATGTCAAAAGGCGCTGTTGGCGACGGGGAACAGTGGGGCAGATATGGCCATGTCTTGGTTGTTTGAGCACATGGAGGATGCAGGTGAGCTTTATAACCCGTCGCCGTCGCGGTACCGAAGAGCTGACTTGTACAGACATCGACGACCCTATTCCTGCTGTCTCTTCTGCAGCTGCTTCTGCCGGACCGTCGGACGATCAGATCAGCATGATTGCCGATATGGGCTTTACGGCCAACCAGGCCAGAAAGGCTCTAAGAGAGAGTGTGAGCTAGATCTCCGATCTCAGCTTCGTGCTTACAATAAGAAGATGAGCTGATGGGCTAGGATGGCAATCCCGACCGAGCGATCGAATGGCTCTTCTCAAACCCCGATGATCCAGGGGAAGACGCCGCGGCCCCCATCGCTTCGTCCGGGCCCGGCTCCACCTCCACCCCGGGCTCCGATGCCTTGCCCGCAACATACCGCCTCAAAGCCTTCATCTCGCACAAAGGCCCCTCGGTTCACTCGGGACACTACGTCGCTACGATTCGACAGCCGCAGGCGGGTCTGGCAAGCGCGAGCGGGGAAGGCGAGGATGAGTGGGTGCTGTACAATGATGAGAAGGTGGTCAGGGCGGGTGCGGGCGGTGGGGAGGAGATGAGGAGCTTGGCGTATCTGTATGTGTATGAGAGGGTGTAGATGCCTGGGGGAGGAGTGAGTACAGTCAGTCCGAGGTGATATACGCTTGGAGAGTATGCATCTACAGTACATGGGTCAACTCGCTATCCGCAGCCGAGCCCTACACCAGACCGTTCAAGGACATGGATGTCTCTCGAATCCCCTCAGCTAAAGTCGCCAGCCATTACGCCTGAGATCAAGCTGCGGGCCAAAGGTACGGTAGGAAGCCCCTCGGCCACCGCACGCCCAGTCCCGCCGCGTCGCATCACCTCTACCCAGTGACGGACCGGCCAAGCGGTCGAGGCGGAGGCCCCGCTCTGGCGTGTTGGCGCTTTCGTCGTCTGGTCGCCATTCCGTGAGGATAGGGAGATGGGTGTCCCAGTATGGCTTGCCTGTCCTGTCAGCTAGCTGTCTCAACATAGGGCTATACGGCTAGTGATACTTGCCCTCGACAATACGGTGGACATTCTCGGTAGGAAACCACTTTGTGGATCGGATCGTGGCATGGTCTTTCGTGTCTTCGAGCGCCAGGTAAAAGATATCTCCCTGATGATCCACTCAGCCGATGATCCGTCGTATACCACACATGACTCCTAATAGACTCACCGGAAAGGTGCTGCCTGTGCAGCTGTTCAGATTGTTCTCGCCCATCTCCTCGGCAACTAGTTTTCCGCCAAAGATGTGGACCTCCCATCCCCATGCCAGCGTCTCTGCGGAAACGACAGGAGCCCTCTCCGAATCCCCCTATATCATCAGCTGTGTCCCCAAAGACACTACAAAGCGACTCACCATGACACACAGAGCACGTAGGACCGTCTCATGAGCGAGGATGGTCGCAGCAAAGAGGACGTGCCGATTGTATGATCCCTTCCCCTCAGGACCATAAGGTCCGATGTCGAGACTACCATCGCGGAATGCTTTGGCCCCCAGCTTGATGGTCTGACCGGATCAGCTCGCTCTAGCTAGTATGGACTCACATTATGATTGATCCGGATCTTATCAAGGTCAGAGGGTCTAGTCTCTCCAAAGCCTGTGATAGCGGCAGAGACGACGACTTGGGGGTGGTCGCTAGCGAGCGTACGGGACAGTTGCGAGCGGACTATACCAACGTCGACGCTTGGGGTCGAGGTGTCCGGCAGCACAGCCAATCCTTGACAAGCTGAGGCGAGGTAGTCTAGTCCGCGATCGAGAAGGACAAGGCGCCTAGCTACCGCCCACGCATCGTGTGCAAAGTCATACTGCAAGTCTTCGTCCCTTTCCGTTTGGCGGGAAGTCAGAGGGGAGAGTACCCATTGAGCACTTTCGGAGAGAATGGGGAGCATAGTGCGTGGATGAAGAAGGGTGTGAAGAGATGAGTGACATCGTACACGATCAATCAGTATTCGGTAAACGTCAGCGTCAGCTGGCCGGTGGTGGCTGGACTGCCAGCCCACAAACACAAACACCAACACAAACATCCGCTGCTTGTTTGTGGCAAATTTGCCACCCGCATACATGTGCCTGTCGTGAAGCATGCCTTCTTCTGTGATGTCCAACAGATCTCAACGTCCCGCGCTTCTTGGGTTCTACGATGAGAGAATCAGGACGGCCTCTTTGTTCAGGTTCGGCGCTCTACCCGATAGAAGCATCATCAGATCTGATAGGCAGCAGAAGCACAGTCATACGGATATATAGTATTCTGATTCTGAAAGGAGTGTCACATATGGAGCAGTACTTCGACTGTGGCGCGCTGTCCCAGAGAAGAACTCGTCAGATCTGGCAGGACAAAGAAGCGCTATCATATGTTCGAGCGTACTCGCAGTACTCTAGTACTGAAAGGAGCTTGATGGCGCAATCCCGCTCGGGGTACTACAGATAAAGATGCTGCCCGGCGCTGCCCTCAACTGTCCCTCCATTTCTCTACATTGTCGCCAAAGACAGAATCCTCACAATGGCTACGCCAACAGACAACATCACTCATTGGGACTACGAGCGGGGTGCTGTACACAACCTCCCCACGCCTGCTGAGATCCGCAAGAGACTTGAGGCCGAGCCGGGCTCCACCATGCGCTCGGAGTCGCTCGAGGACTGCGTCAACCCGATTCACCACCACTACTCCCCTACATCCGGGGTGTATGAAGCTAGTGGCAAGACTGCCACACTCGATGACGCGCCCTGGGGCCTGTTGTGCAAGGTGATCGACGTGCCCTGGAAGGGGACGACTGTGATCAGCCTCGATACGCCTCTGACACTCGTCTTTGGCGCGCCCATGAAGACGTCACTGCAGGATCAAGATGTCACAGTGATGTCTACGAAGCGGTCCGACGCGGCCGACGGGACCAAGAGTGAGGTTGAGACATTCGCCACTTTCCGCGTCAAAGAGGCGACCGCACACATACACACCACCTCTGGCACTTTCTACGGCAGATGCAGTGAGCTCGGTCCGGTCCGGGGAATCGCAGAAAACCTCAGCGGACCACCGGCTGAGGAAACCGAGACTGTCTACAAGATCACAGGTCATTACCTTGACTCCAAGGGCGTGCCCGACGTGCCCGCCACGCTGACTTTCTTGTACCCCTCTCACAGTCGGTTCAGCCTGAAAGATGGGAGGATGCTGTTTGCAGGTGTGGGATTGGCGTATAAGGATGGCAGGGTCGGCCGGGACACTCTTTTCCTACGGGATGGGAGTGGTGTCATTTCGGCATTGGCAAGTCAGGCAGCTGAGGAGATTCAAGATGCGGTGGCGATTGGCCAGGATTGACCCAGTGCGTTGGATTTGCGCGTTGGCGTGGCGATGTTTTCTTGTTTTCATCTAGTGCGACGACTGTCTAAGATGCATGTTTCAACTTCCATCGGTATGCTGAGGCTCGGAACCCACTCAGTAGGCTGAACGCCGAGAAAGACCGCTTTTTACTGCTCGGCGCAGTCGTGGAGAGCAAGCGGTTTCCAGAGGCTTTCGATCATCGAGATTTGTTCGCTACAATGAATCGAGTGGGATCTCTGGTTCTGCATAAACACAGATCTGAATCTGCAGCATCGAGGTGTCTATACCCCTAGATCTCTGCACAGGTCACTGGGGGTTTCAGCAGACGACAATGTTGTGCTTGCACGGGATCAAAGGACGACCAAGATCGTGGAAGGCTCGTCGATGCCGACGACTCAAGATACGCAAGAGGGGGTTATACGTTATAGCGAGACACACACGACACCTGATCCCGACCCCAGGTATCCCAGGTATCCCTTCTTTCCTCCCCCTGCACCCTCATAACACTCGCTACTTCAATTTCAGCAGTCAATACACCCCTGATCACTTATCTCCCAGTCCCAAAGGTTCGCACCTACCCACCATGTTTCTCAAACACCACGTTGACCTCGCTCGGATGATGGTCTTCGAGACGTCCGAAGCCGATTTTTTTTGCGATCAAAGCGATTCGGAGGACGAGGACGTCACCCAGAAGTTCTGGGGCTTGAGCTGCATGCCCTCCGTTCCCCAGACCTCATTCAAAGCATCTAGCATCACTCCGGCCACTCTGAAGCAGAGCGCCACACCTGACCACCTCCCCTGGGGTTTCGCCTGTGAGGACACGTCCATGAACCAGCGCTCCGGCGAGATCAGACTCCTTTACCCTCTGTCTGATCTCTTGTCGTCGTGCTCCCCAACCCGATGAGGAAGGGTGGTGGTGGTGACACGCACAATTCCACCCAGACCAAAGGCAGGCTTGTGACCATCATTACGGAGCCGATGTCCAAGCAGGGGTTTGCGAAGGAGTCCGACGAGGAGACAGTACGCCGCCCGCAAAGACCGCCGGTCATCAGCACCGGAAGGGTGACCAGCGCCAGCCGCTCTGACGTGGCGGCCACCGTCACAACCTCCAAAGCCATCGACTACCGCTCCGTCTTGGCTGGTCTCGCCCAATACATTGTGGATTCTCCCGAGTGCTGGCAGACAGTGCACAAGGTGGTGGCACGCAGCCTCGCAGACCCCGATGACGGTCCAACGGCCTCGATCTCTTTCGTCGGCCCGGAAGGCGGTCGATACCGATTGGGAGATGGGTCGCTCCTCTTGCAAGGCCTTGGGTCAATGTTCCGTGCCGAGGACGATGATGATCACAGTGACAGTGGCGGTGAGACTGGCGAGGTTGGGAGAGACTCGCTCATTGTGAAGAGCTGGTCCGAGCCCGAAGCCAAGAAGGTCAGCTTCAAGTTGTGATGATTTGCCGCTGGAGACCGCCTGTACATCTGTACGACTCTGACCGTCTGTCTCTTTCCAATGTATATATGCCTTGCCTTTCGTATCTGCAGGATCGTTTTGGAGCATCCGCTTCGCCACTGCTGCCACATCCAGCCGCCACTTCTGCACGTGCATTGGCTTGGCCCGATGACAGCCGCCGGACCGGAAAAAAATAAGGCACGATCCGGGGAAACTGGGGACAATTACCGAAAGCAGCAAGATTTACCCCTGATTCTATTCAGGGGCCAGATCTGGGGATTACGCTTTATTACGGTATGACTCCGCTGAGGTTGTTGGAGCAAGAAGAGGACAAGGTGGCGAATGGCGCAAAGCATGCATGCATCAGTGTGAAAGGGGGCGCGAGCGCGACTGTCATCAAGGCGTCATCCACCCATGACGAGCAGCGACATCGTCGTCGTCTTGCTTCGCATCACTACCTATCGTCAGTAGACTGGCAGGAATTGCCATCCGCGCTCCAACACCCTCGAAAACTAGTGCCGAAGCACGTTCTAGATTCTCCGCAGTCTAGCCGGCGCAACATCCTTCGCAAAGCGCAAAGTACTGCTCTGTTCAAACTCGAGGACGGTGCTCAGTTTCAGTTTGCTCCTCCCCTTCTCCATCATAGATCTACCATCCTTTCGCTCGGTCCGCAACTATACTGGATATAGCCAACACAGCCAGCACGAGGCCGGCAATCTAGCATCGACTTTGCATCTCGTTTGCTCATCCACTTCGCACTCACTCAAAGGCAATGGTCGGACAACCATCATCTCATTCACCGGCCACCTCTCAAATCCCACCCTCGTCCTCCATACTCCCCCGGTCTTCCATCTCTGGCCCATCCACCCCCTCATTACTCGGACCCAGCATGCAGTCGCGTCCTGCATCGCGGTCAGCTTCGCCAGCTCCCCACGCGACTCGCCTCCCTGTAGACCCTTCGTCGCAAGGCGGCGTGGCGCATCATCGTCCCGTATTCGTCCACACAGCGACCAGCCTCCATGCACCCCCCATCGCGACGAGCAGTACACCTCCACGTACAGACTACGACTTTCCGCCAGAAAAGGAGGCCCCGCCCGCATATCCTTATCCTACCAACTACGAGCCAGATCCCCACCACTGGCAAGCCCACTCCCACAATCAACACTCCAGCTCGAATGCCGGGCATGCCTTTGCACATGCATCTCGCGCGTCGTCTAGGCGGTCTTCACTTACCCCAATACCCGAGCCATGTTTTCTGAACAAGATGCGGGATAAGCTGCTAGGCAAGGAGGGCGGGATGGGACGCGCGCTGGTAATAGGATGGGTGGTGACGACTCTGGGCTTTGTGCTGGCGACGGCGTTCTGGAAGGGAGAATTGTTTGGCGGTATGTCAAATCTAGGCTGAAGTGGCTTGGAGGATCATGCTGATCATCAGCACTTGACAGACTATCGAAAAGCCTCCTCGCGATGGGCCTCGAAGGGAAGGTCATCTTCACCTTCCTCATTTTCATCACCACCATCCCGCCCCTCCCCCTCTACTCGACTCTGATGGTCCTCGCCGGCTACACCTTTGGCGTCTGGGAAGGATTCGTTGTATCCTACATTGCCAGTCTATCCGGTGCGGTGATCGTCTTTATCGTATCGAGGACTCTGCTCCGGGATGTAATTGCCAAATCGTGAGTATTTCCTCGTACAATTCGATTGAAAGCAGCTAACATCCAGTCTGAGCAATTCGCCCACTGCTCAATCCCTCCTCTCAATCATTCCGGCCAACCCCCACCTCCTCCTGCTCATCCGGATCGCTCCCTACCCCTACAACCTCCTCAACGTCATCCTCGCCTCGGCCCCTTCCCTCTCCCTGCGGACCTATACGGCATGTACGGCCGTCTCACTTCTCAAGCTCGTACTTCACACATGGATCGGCGCCGGAATCCACGACATCGCGTCTTTCGGGCACGGGCCTCATGGCGGACACGGCGGGCCCCCTCTCGGTGAGGACGGAGAGGTCGGCGGTGATTGGGAGGGCGGACATCGGTATGACGGCAGTGGAGGGGATGGGTTTGGGCATCATCGGGGCTACCCACACGGTCCGGGCTGGAGGGCGGATCAGAGGCATCGCGGGCGGGTCAGGATGTACTCGACCTGGATCGGAATTGGTCTTTGCGTTGCCCTCTTCTTCTACCTCACCCACCTCGCCAGGAAGGCTTTGCGGAAGGCGCAGGAAGAGGAGGCGCTCAAGAGGGAAGAGGAGATGCTTCTGATGACTAGCAGCGATGAGGAGAGCTGAGTTGTAAAGCTGGGGAACGGACAGTGGGGGTTCGAACAGGAGGGGATAGGGTCTTGGGCCGGTGTGTCCAGTCAGTCAGTCGGGGTTGCTAGTTGTCATTTCAATATCAGATAGATTTTCGCGGAGCATTCTTCATTGTAGGCATCTAGGATTCCATGCATATACCTTGAAATTATAGTACAATGTCCTGAGATCTCCGTCCACCTCGTCAGATCAACACGCTCATACCTCAAACTCCGAAGCTGTCTATAGCCGGACCGTCTCGCCAAGTCCGACGCTGACGCCCTCCATACCCTTCACCGCCGTCTCGATCTGCGCGCTTACCAGCCGCAGACGCTCCGCGTCCGCCATCAGTCCGAACTTCTTCTCCGCCGCAGTAGGCTTAGAGCCAGCGACCGCGGGCAAGATGTCCCGACCAATCTCGGCGGCATTGGGTTCGGCCTTCCATCCGCCTGCGACCCACGCGGCGGCGGCCCTCTTGTTGGAACCCAACTTGAAGGACGCTGCGCGTGCTGCGGGGGATGCAGAGTGACCAGCAAGGTACAAGGCGATACGCTGTGATGTCAGCGCTCTGTCGACATCCTGAAAATATAGGAACGATGAAACATACGGGAGGGACTGTTATTCTGCCAATCTTAAAGCAGAGCTCATGAACCGCTATACCAGCGATGACACCTCCGTCCGCTCTGGGTCGGGGCGAGCGCAGGGCAGCGAGTGCCTCGGCTGCGAGGTCGGAAGATGGAGGGGAAGAGGGCGACGCGGACCGTTTGGCCGGGTCGGTCGTGTCTGTACCGGGGAGGACCAGCTCGGTGGGGGTAGTCGAGCCGGACGAGGGGGAGTCAGTCTGGGCGGGAGGGGCGGGCGTGACAGCGCCGGGGGTCTGCGAGTCGGCTGTCTTTGCCCGGACCTTCTTCGAGGACTTCTTGGGACGGATAATAAACTCCGTCACGAGGTAGTACCTTTTTCTCAGCCGGGGCGCAATCACCAGGACTAGAAGCAGGGGACTCACCACTTCTCGCCCCATCCTACAACTCGCGACTCGATGGTATACTCGCTGAGGATCGGTATCTCCCTGATGAACGTGTAGTGCGTCCCGCCGAGCGCCGAGTACCCGCCCGCTTCGAAGAAGATGGGCAGGGCGTCCCACATCCAGCTAGACATGGAGATATCGGCAGTCTTGGCGTAGCACCTATCTGTCAGCCGGGAATCGACATGTCGACAATGATGCTACGTACGAGTTGCTGAGGTGCATGTTGTAGTCGCAATCATCAAACCAAGCCCTGCGCTTGGATACCGTTCGGGCGGTGATACCTCCTGTTGCGCGAATGCGTTTCTGGCATTTATCGATGTACGCTTGTCGACCGCGCGTCCAGACGAGAAGATATCTGGGGCCCAGGCGCTGATATATCAGCCCAGAGATTCTTCATGGGCAATGAAAGACCACGTCACTTACCCACCAGAACCGGAAGTGCCATACGAGCGGAAGCGAGTGCGCGTTGAGAGCGATAAGGAGGATGAGGAGATACTTGCCAACGCTGGGTATTTGGCTGAGTAGGTTGAGGAGAGCAGAGAGGGGTGCCATCTTGCTGAGGTGGGGGAGAGCGAAGGTGAGTATTGAAGTAAAAGGAGCAGGTCAGTCGGTCTGATATGGGCGTTGTCGAGAGCGAGCTTTGGACCTTATATACGCTCGACCCAGGTATACTCAGATGTCAAACCTGCATGGGACAGGCCCAAGGACACGTCGGCGGGCGACGGTCTGTCTTGGCTATGACCGTGTCGCCGAGGACGGGCTCGGTGTCGGGTACCGAGGTCATCACAAAGTGTCAACAAAGGCAAGATGGGTCGCGGACCCACGCGAAATCCAGCGCGTCGCTGACTAAGCATGATTTGTCATACATTGCGTCGACAGTATCGCGCCTGCGGCCTGATGGCCTGATGTATAGATGCCAGCTGTGGCTTATCGGCATAGGCTACATATTTGATGAGTATAGTACAAGCGTGTGTCTACTTCTCTACGGTCTACTCAATAATACGTGTATCAACTACCTAACTCCCTCCCTGATGATGATGTCGTGTCTCTCCGGTTCCCCTTCCCGCTCATACCTCTCCCCTGACGAATCGCCCCGTCTCGATGCCCAAAAACAGCCAGGCCGTGGTGATTAAGAGCATCATCCCCAACTTCCACCCCACCTCCCTTGCCAGGAGATACCAGTCCCACTGCCTGTCCATCTTGAACCGGTCCAGCCACGCCGGCTGCCATTTCTGCCCGTTAAACCCACTTCCAGTCTGCCCCACTCCCCCCGTCTCCGGAGCCCGATGCCGCGGACTCCGACCGCGACTAGGAAGGGGATTTGAGACCTTTCGCCGGGGAGTCAGGTCCGCTCCCGAACCGCCGACGATGATATTGGACGTGACGTAGATCTGGACGCTGCGGCTGCCGGCAGTGGTACAGCCAATGACGACCCATGCGAAGAGGATCCGGTCGGGACCGAGTGTCCATAGCGTGAGACCGGTAAGGGGCCAGCAGATGCACTGGATGGAGAGGAGGCGGGTGATGGTGGCGGGGAGATTATAGTAGACACGCCAGCGATAGGTGAGGCCGGTAGTCATTTCGAAGCAGTAGTGGCCGGTAAGGATAGACTGGACGTCAGCTTAGACCTCAATCGGTTGAAACAATAGAGAGTAGACCTACCCAGGCAGCAGAAAGCACCAAGTCTCCTCTGTTCTTTGATTCCCAGATCCCGTCTGGCGTCCAGCCTGTCATGATCCGATCCAACGCCGCACGGGTAGTGATCACTCCCCATGGATACAGGTTCACCCAGATCCCACCAGTCACCGCCGCCTGTATGAGGTACAAGAACGCCCATACCGCTGGGAAGACCGCCAATAGGCGAAGGGAGAACAGGTTGTCCTCCACTCCATCATCAACAACGTTCCCCCGGCCGGCGTCCGCGATCGGCTCATCTGTCAAGCTCAGACCGAGCCCGCCGACTGGACGTGAGGTGTCTTCCGCCTTGTCCTTCTCCTTGTCTTTGACAGATACCCGACGACGTATGTATTGGCGCCGTTTCGAGCCGAAAGAGATAGAGTCGGAGGAGGGTGAGTCGACGCTATCGAGGTCGTCATCTGCGTCCTCCGAGCTTCCGCTAGTGGGTCGCACGTCCGGAGAGTGGAGAGGAGCAAGGGAGACTTCTGGCGCAAGAGGAGTGAGGGGTGGGATACCGCCGGCAGTGCTCCGAGGGGATACACTCGGGAGGCCTTGAGTCGGAAGAGGGCTAGTACGCGTAGGTGATTGTCGGGAAGGGACGGGTTTCCGACGAGACAGCCCTTTTGTCTCCTGCGACACTTCCGGCTTCTCCTTGGGGAGCAGCGTGAACGCCCCTCCCAGCCCAGAGGACGTTGAAGCAGCTGGCGCAACGGTACTGTGCGGCCTTCTCCCCTCCATCTGTCTCGCCGCGACATCCCCCGCCCATCCCTCTAGCCTGTTCCGAAACGCCACGAGATCCGGCTGAGATGACGATTGCGCTTTGAGCCGGCCTGGGCGGACCGTGGTGTCAGACTCGACGCCAGTGTCTATGTCTGACCCGGCCGAGCCGATGGTGGGTGCCGTGGGCCGCGAGCGTGAGCGGTATTTGACTGTTGATGCGCGAGACGGGATACGAGCATGCGATGGAGTAGATGGAGGATGTTGTGGTAGGTTGAAGAAGTTTGGAGCGGGAGGCTTGGAAGTGGGAGGATGAGGGCGTGCCCAGAATGTCGCCGGGTCGATAGGAGGGAGAGACCTCGACGTCGTAGACGCCGCTCCAGCTTGTACGGGGACGAGGGGGACAAAGCCCTGTACTTCCGCTCCCGCCGAGGTACGTGCAGGCTGCGGAGCAGGTCTCTGCCAGCCAGCCCGCGGCTGAGATGCCCCAGCTCGGCTGTTGAGCTGCTCTGCAATCCACTCTGGGCCCAACAGCGCTTCTCTGCTTCCTGGACTGCGAGCGCCAGATTGTACTGCTGGACGTTCCGATAAAGCCGCCCCGAGCTGGATGGGCGAGATGGTGCTCAGCGGTCCCAGACCCGGCGGATACGTCCGGCCTGATGGACTGTAGGCGGTCGAGCGGACCGGGCGACTGACGTGTGACGTGGAAGGGAGGGATGCCGAGCCTGAGCGTGGTCGACTTGGTTGGCCAGGCTTGAATGGATATTGAAAGGGAGATTGGTCTTGGTCGAATGGGAGGTTTGTCGCCTTTAAGATGTTATCGCGTGGATTATGAGAGGAGAGGAGGGGCGCCCCGGTCGATTGGGCAGATGCGGCAGCCATGATCTGGTCGGACATGGCGCTTGGGTGTGATCGACGTGGGTAGAAGGGACTGGAGTTTCGATATCGCCTATGGCAGGCTCGACCTCTCTCCTCCCTCGCAGACGGCAACTGACAGCGGAGACATTGGTGTATCAGTGTCTGGTGTGATTCGTGCGCTGTGCTGTCTGCGGTCGAAGGGCGGGAAGGGGGAAGGCAGGGTGAAGAGATGGGTGAGACGCCTAGGTGAAAAACGCAAGTGCAAAAGGAGGCGAAGTTTCACTTTACGGCTCCATCTGTATGGAATGCGGGGTAAGACCCTGGGATGCGGCTACGAGAGTCAAGCGGCTCTCGGCGCTAAGGACATGACGATGGCTGAGAGGGGAGGAGACCCAAAGACTTCTATGATCAATCTACCAGTAAAGAGTCCTTATGATACAGTATGCCCTGTGGCTTATATTCCGCCGCGAAAGAGGACCAGCCTCATCGTCCTGTGGAATCCCTATGCCGACTCTCAGTCTCCCATTCTGGCCTGTACAGCGGTGGTAGATCCTCCACATCTTGCCTAGCCCTAACCACCGCCGGTCCCGCGTCCTCGTGCCGCCGCAGACCGCCCACGGGGGTCGACTGAGAAGGCATGATCCCGCCGTATGGCTGGCTCATGCGGTCCATATCGGGACTGTGGAGAGAGAGGCTCGCTGCCATTTGCGCCTTGGACGGCGGTGGTCTGCGAGAAGGTGCAGCGACCGCAGATGGTATAGCTGGCGTGGAAGACGGGGCGGATCCTTGGCCGGAGTTGGTCCGGCTGCCGAGGGGAGGTGAGTCGGTAGGCGAGATGGAAAAGTCGTCAAAGGTGGACATGGGTAGGTCGAGGGTGAGGCCGCTGCCGAAAGATTCGGTACGCCCGTGTGCTCGAGGAGGCATGAGCAGGGTGTCAGACCCGTATGCCTGATAACCCGACATGGCCCGCTCCCCTCTGCCGTCCGCCAAGTCCGACTGAGACGTCCTACCATACTCTCGGAAGGGCGAGATTGTCCCCTCTCCTCCGTCCGTCATATCCCCGTAGCTCGACTGGCGATTGCTCGCCGTCCCAAAGATCCCGCCTTCTTGGTAGTTCTCCATTGGCGACCGGGAGTTGCCATCCTCCGCGCCGAGATCGACCTCGCCAGACTTGATGCCTTTCGTCCGCATATCTTTGCGGTGTGAGATGAGAGCCGAGACTTGGCGTCGACAGCAGAACCAGAAGATGGCGCCTTGAAGGGCGAGGAGTGCGAGGATAGAGCAAACCACAATGCCGACGATTGCGCCGGTGCTGAGGCTGAAAGCATCAGCTGACCGCCTCCAATCCGTATAGAGGCGGGGCTCACCCTCTCCCACTCCCCTCAGGTATCACCGTTGCTATCGCCGTGACCGTCTTGACACCTCCTCCTGCCCCTACAGTCGCCGTCCCTGTCCCGGTCGCTGGGACCTTCCCCGCCGAGCGCGTCATCGTAGGCACAGTTGCCGCCGGGGTCGAGCTCGGACTGCTGTCGTCCAGACACCCCGCACCGCCCTGGCCGACCGTCATGAGGTCGCTCGACCCGCCTATGCCCGTCCTTCCCCCGTCAAACGCGCCGAGGATGAAAGACGTGCCCGCTGCGACATTGGCGTTCCAGTTCCAGGTTGTAGAGCCGGGCTGCGCGGTGAACATAAAAGGCTGGCCGGAGGGGATGACACCGAGCAGGCGGACCGAGCCGACGGCTTTCGAGTCCCAAGAGACCTGGAGCGGGGAGCATTGCTACGATGAGGTCAGTCTGATCCGGACTTGTCAAGCGAAGAAAGATTGGCGTACATTGACGGATGTCGAATTGAGGTAGAATCTGTGATTATCAGCTCAAGATCCAACTGGATGAAATCATAGCTGTCAGACTCACAGGAAGTCTGTCTCGGTAGAGCGCAGCTGACAAGTCGCGGCCGATTCCGTCACCGTATACAGCGGCGTCACACCTCCCGACTGGACTGTCAGCCTTATTCCCAGCCCGATACTGCATCTTCGCAGATGCGCGTCGGCCAAACTCACGCCTTCTCCCGTTGAGTCTGACATCATGGCGACCAGTTTCGTTCCCGCAGGATCTGCGAGTCAGCTCAAGAGTCACTCCTCATATGCAGATCATCTTCCAATGTACAGTTTACGGTCCAAGAGTAGTTCCCCATCTGGCTGTCAGACGACCAAGCCGAAGATGGCAGCGATATATTGGTGGGATAATCGAATGCTGGCTAATTGAGGCGTCAGCAATCCTCCCTTGTCAATACTAGCACATCAGGACTTACCACAACTACCATATGGAATGGTGGTACCCCTCCTTGCCATATGACGTTTATAGTCCCGCATTTTGATATCCCGTTGTTGCTGCCGGACGTTTGCAAGGCAAATTCGAAAGCCAGCGCCGAGCCGAGCAAGGGCAGAACGGAGACAAGTAGTCTCGCTGGGGAAGGGCTCCACATACACCGCCAGGATCAGCTGGGGCGAAAGGACGTCGGCGGTCGCAGGTGAGGGAGTAAGTTATCAGCTGGGTCGATTTTGGGATTGGTACGCGTATGGCTCGGCGCGTCGAAAGATTTTGGGGTCGTGTAAAGAGCGTGTCTTCTCTAAAGAGCGTGGGCAATCCGGAAGGGTCCTGTCTATATGATGATAACGATGATGATGAGCAAGGCTACAAGCTCAGCTTGCAGCTTTTGTTGTCCTAAGGATGCAGGAACGAGGGTCCCCCCCTTCGGCTCCGCGGAGAAAACCTTGTTGACCAAGATGAAACACGCTAAAACGAGAGGGGGTCATCCATTGGAGCATGTCTGAAACTCAGCATCCCTTGCCTTGAGCCTCGTCAAGGTCCACTCGATCGCCGCTGCTGCAAGGACTTGGTATAGTCATTTGTACATTACAGGCTTAACGATAGTATTATGCGCAACACGAGACAGCAAGACCCAAGATACGCAACCAGCACGCAAAGTCCAGAATTTCAAATCGAGGCCAGGGCATCCTCCCTTCCTTGACCGCCTAGACCAGCTCATTCCCCTTCAGATCGCCCAACATCTCCCTTAGCTCCTTCTCCTCCACCCTTCTCTCCGATTTCGCCTTGATCTCCGCCTTGCGCCTCGGCACATCCACCTCCTCCTTCAAGTTACCCCTCGACTTGATGGCTGCCAACCCCGAGTTCTTGTGCCGAATCCGGCTTGCCGCCGAGGCCGGTTTGTGTGGTGATGATGTGGACGAAGAGGCGCCGAACCGGCCGGGAGTACCGCCTTTGGCCGATCGGGCGGGGAGCGAGGGAGGCGATGTGATGGATGTCGATGGGGATGAGGGGTTCGGAGGGGGAGGCAGGTGGAAGTTCTCCTCAAAGAGGTTCTCGCGGGATTCGCCCGCGCCGAAGAGGCTGTGCGTCACGATGCCGTGCGCCTTGTAGGACGTTGGAGGTTGCATGGCCGAGGTGGGGACCGGGGGCGGACCCATAGGAAGGCCGCGAGGTGCGGGTTTTGGGGTAGGCTTGACCGTTGCCTGCATCCGAGCACGGGAGCTCGCCGTTGAGGCATACAGAGTGGACGATGTCCTCGCGATGGGGGTCTCCACCGCGGGCACCGTCACCTTCGTCGCGGCTGACGTTGAGCCAGAGCCCATGTCAACATCGCCCGACTCATCGACCGGTGGCGCCGGCGCCCGCCTTGCATTCCGTATAAGATCCGCCTGGCTCTGCTTCCGCATACTCGACGAGACCGAGGATGACTTGTGCTGCGGGAGCCCAGGGGCGTACGTCGACGATGTGGACGACTTGAGAATCGAGGCCGAGCCGCGTGAAACGACGCGTCCGCCAAAGTCCGGGAGAGGCTTGCGCTGAGGGACCCGACTGCTGGTTGTAGAGCTCGACATGACCGTCTGGGCCGAAGTAGATGGCATGCGCTGTTTCCGTGTGGTGAGACGGGTAGAGTTGAGCGACATGGGCGGGTTGATGAGGAGATCAGGAGTCCGCTTGACGATGGAAGAGAACTCGGCCGAGCGGCGGCGAAGTGATTTCTGCAGCTCGGCCGAGCGTTCTTGAGCGGTCATCTGCGCGCCGGGGCGGCGGAAGTTGCTTCGGAACATGCTGAGTCTCGAGCGAAGGCCTGAACAATCAGCTCAAGCCCTGGTACACGGGCGGGAGCATCGCTAGAACTCACCGTTTCCCTTCATGCTCAGCCTCGAACGCTGCTTCTTCTCCCCCAGCCGCCTCTTCTCCGGACTCTTCCCCTCTCCGTCCCCGAGCAGCGTCATCACGCTCCTCCCCGCCTCCCTCAACGATCCTAGGACATTCGGTCCAGGTGACATCCGGCTCCTCTTCGCCTGCCTCCCTTCGCCGTCGATCTTCCCGCCATTTGGAGCGGAGGGGAAGTCCGCAGTCGAGCCGGCGCTGAGCTTCCGTTTCTGTCCCGGAGTGGTGGGTGGGAGTCGAGAGCTGCTTGGTGGCTTGGACGCTTTGGAGGCCTTGCTAGTTGTAATGGAAGTCTGGGAGATTGATTTCATCCTGCTCATCAGCTTCTGGTCTGGTCATCCCATCAGGAACACTTACTTGGCAAAGCTCCTCTCGTGGGCAGCAGCATACCGATCCTTCTTCCCCTCGAATCGCTCCATCAACCCCCAACCACCCTCGCCCAGCCCGCTCTGCACGCTGACCATCCGCCTCATGTCCGCCTGTTTCCCCTTCAACACCTCGTCGACCATCCTCGCATCTTCCGGCAGCTGCTTATTGATCTGCTCCAGCATATCTCGCGCGGATACACTGAATTGGGCGGCCGAGGTGGCGTGCTCCGGTGAGCCAAAGATAAAGGTCTCGGATGATTTGTGCTGGAGCGTGTGGGCACTGGGATATTGGCCAGGAATGGGAGGGACGGGTGGCGCGTCCGAGTCAGGCTGGAAGCCAGGTAGAGGTGGGTAGATGGAAGAGAGGCTGGCCGATGTGTGGTTGGCGAGTGCAGGTAGGGATTTGCGGGAGGGATAGGACTGATCCGCGTCGTTACCGGTACCGGAGCGGAGGGGTACAAGGGACCGGCGATCTTTGAGTGCTTGCAACTTGTGCGCCGAGCCGACCAAAGGGAGGTCGCTACCTCGAGCTCGGGGTGTAGCTGGCCCAGCCGTAGGTGAGCATAGGCGAAGGGTGCTGGGCCGCTCAAAGAGGCTGAGACGGGAGTGTCGCCGAGGGATACCGACCGTAGATGCGGGCGATGGGGCGACCGGCACCGACTCCATATCGCCCTGTGGTTCCGGAGTGGTCTCCTTGGCGGCCACATTGAGGTTTGAGGTCTGAGAGGTCGAGCGAGATCCGAGGAAGGTCTTGGTACCGCTCCTTTTGAGCGATGATGCAAAGGCGAAAACGCTCCCGCGGCTGCTGGATGCACCGGTCCTGCCAGGCATGTCAGACGCTTCAGAATCAGCGTCGCATCCCGTCACGAACAATTCGATGTCGCCACTTACGTCCAAAGTCTGAGAGCGGCTCGCCATTTCCTGCACTCTTCCAAGACCGCACACTCCCCTCATCCGTCCCCTTCATAGGCGAAATAAAGCTCGCCCCGCTCTCCGACATCTTGTCCCAGTTCTCCGAGCTGACGGAGATCATGCTTGCCTTCTTGTCGAGCTTGAGCGGCATGTTGATGTTGAACATGGGCATATCAACGTCGTCTTCCTGTTCGCGGGCGGAAGGCGACAAGGGGGTAGGAGTGTCGGGACCGGCGGGATTGAAGTCGACGTTGGCATGATGAGGGGTATTAGGCGCTTCAGGCGCGGGGATGTGGAAGGCCTGGCCGGATGGAAGGGCGGCGGCATCTACTCGTCAGGAATGGGAAAGAGGATTCGCCGGGCAGGACATGACCCACAAGCCTGCAATCGCTCAACCATATCCCCGTTCTATACGTCAGTCTAAAGCACTTTGACAGTCTGATCATGACGCTTACCTTCCCGCTCGCCTTCAGGCCATATCGCTTCGAGAGCGAGACGAGCTGATGCCTTTTCAGCGCGTTCAGGGCGGCGGGGCTGGGATATCAGCCAACTTTCTAGCGTGGAGAAGCAAAGAGACTCACTTGGATAGGATTTGTTCTGCCATCAGGAACGCTGGAGCTGGCTATATAGCTCAAGCAGAGACGACTATGTAAGATGGTGCATTGGATGTTTGGCTCCCACCCAAGTTGGATGAAACATCGCCGTCGCCGTCCCCGAAAGGATAGCGCGAAAAATCAGCCACGAGGGAGGAGTAGAACGTCATTCAACTGGAGGGAGACCAGCTGGAACCAAATACAGCAAGGCAGGGGAGAGATAACGCCGCCAAAGTCCGTGACGAGTCATACTGATTTAAGACCACTTCCCCCGGGAACATCAGATTCCGAAATGATGTATATACTCTTTCGCGGTATTGCCGCTAATTCCCGTGACACCGGCGCGCACAACGCCATCACATCGCCATCACATCTCTCCGTGACGATCGCCGAGGCCGCGGGGCGGCTTTGTCAAGCATGTGGAGTCAGCCAAGCTCTCTTCGAGCTCCAGCGCCCAAAGAGGCTGGATGCTGCGACTGGGCATGCGAGGCCTAAGCACTGAGTACTGAGTCCGCTGACCTTGCCATCGGGACTGGTAAAGTTCACGCTCAGAGACAAGAGCACGATACGAAGCGAAAAGCGGCTCCGAAAGAATGGGTCATAACGTCATAATGTGAAACCGGGATGACCGACGATCACTTTGCCGCAACGCCGCATACGTACATCTCCGTGATCTGCATTGTGGAGCGGGCCGTGAATGCTCCGCTCATGCTTTGCGGAGTACGTGGAACATAATGTCCCGCTCAAGGCGGACGCCGAGAACGAGGAACGCCTCTTCCTTTTGTCTATCCGAATCACGCTCGTCATTCCAAGCGACTTCAAGGCGGTGGGTGCGCGTGGCGCTCAGGCGCTCAGGGCCAAGGCTCCTTCTTCGTACTGCATAATACCCCTCTTGGCTGAATACCTGACGCCGCTGATCCACACGCTGGCTAATGGATGTTCTCGGCAGTTGCCTTCCGATGGACAGGTCAGGAATCCTCCAGCCACGAGGACGGCGATCATCATCGGGATCACGTTACGCGGACTCCTTGAGCTCAGCGCCTCGATGATCAGCGGTCGGCTCACGAGCGGCAGGTGTCCGGGGGAGGGGCAAGGGCGTGGAGAGAGCACCCCGTTGACGAATGAGCCGTGGAGCGGCGCGGCATGGGACACTCAATGATCTACAGAAGCCAATGGAAGCGAAGCGGATTGCTAAGGATCGACGACGGCTTCTTTGCGGCGAAAATTGCAGCGCTTAGGAATGTAGATGATCACGAGTAGTCCAACACATCGCGTAGCACATCATACCAATCCTCCAGTCTACTCTACCCTTGCGCTGGCTAGACCTTTAAGACAAGCAATCTCATACCTAGCTATTCACACACGAAAGACCACGGCATACCTCGATTGGCGCTAAATTAGGCTAGGCACAGAGTCCCGGCATTCCTTGGGCTCGGCATGGACGATCCGGGAGGAGTATAGGTGCGTTGTCTTGCCTCTGCTCGTGTCTACCGTCCCCTACCTTTCATCTACATCCTCTCCATCCACTTTCACTACCACTTTATCCCTCCCAGCCTCCACGGAGCCCAAGAGTAGTAAAAAATCTCGGCTTTGCCACCCTACGATGGACTGTCCGCCGTCACACGACCACCGCTTCGACGGACGAGCTAGATCGCGCAGGGCAACTGTCCTACAGCCGGTACTCGACTGATAAGCTCGCGACCTTTCAAGTCACTCGCGCGATTAGCTCGCCTCGCCACCCTCATTACGCACGGCCCTCTGTCCAGATCTGAAACGTGAAACACGGGGGGCTTGTCCTCGTCCACACACCTGGCGTCATCCTCAATCGCAACCATCCTATCGGACTTCGGGCGACACCTCTTCCCCATCCTTTCGCTGTCAGCTCGCCCTGGCCTGTAATGTGTGTCAGGCACTCGGACCATCAACCGGCTGAGTCAGACGATCATGTTCAGCTTTGGCGCTTGCATTCTTCAATACCGCCACATCACTCTCTACCGTCAGATCTCGACCCTTTCACCCCATCAATCAATCACAACCCTCGAACCATTTCACTTTGAAGGCTCCGATTATCCCGGCTCCCGGCTCAAGCCTAATCGGACCAAGGCGCGGAACGTCCAAGGCGGGCAGCTGTACAGCACACAACCTTCATTACTCGCCGTCCTCTCGTCCACACATGACGCCGCTGATCATCGTCCCCTCGCCCTGAAACGGACACGACTAGCTCGAATCGGCTCTCTGGGTCGACCCCTCTTCCTTCTATCGTTCCCTCCCTCTCTACCCCACTTGTTCTTTGCATCCCCCTCCACCCCTTCTAGAAGGCCGGCCGTTCTTCCCGGTCTCAACCTTGCTGTCTCTTATATCTCCGACCCCACTTCACCCACTCAATCACACTGTCGCACCGCTATGATTATAAATGCTGTCCAGTTTTTCTAATGTCCCAGCAATACCCCCATCCCTATCCGTTTCTCGACCTCAGTCCTTCTTCATCCACCCAACCTCTGCCCACTCCGCCACCCACCACCACCTTCGATACGCACGCCAACCTACAGCTCCCTACGACGTACTACCCCTACGCCTTCTCGCCCTCCCAGCTCACAGCGCTCCTAGACGAGAGGATCCAGCAGCTTGGCGCGTATCCGGCTCCACCTGAACCAGATATGAACTTGGGTGGAATCGATTTTCCAGCCTTACAGCGGTAGGTCTGCCTGTAGTTTCCGGCAGTAAGATGGGCTGATCAATCAGGACTTATCGAATAACACCTATCCAACAGCCCGAGCGCTCTGCTGCATTCGGAGGGGAACGAGCCGTCAATTACCTCGAGCGCCTACCACTCAGCCCTCCTCTGATCATACAGCTGGATTGTTGGGACTCGCAGGGAGAACTTGAGATACCGTGAGTCCTACCCCTTCAAGATCGGCGAGAAGGAAGGTCGATCCCTATGTTACCTTGCTAATATACAGGCATGACGAGCTGCCCTTCCTCGTCGTCCACCTCACTCTAGAGACTACCGAGGGGGACGACGCCACCATGGTCCAGCTCTCGACCGGCGAGGTCGTAGCGATGGTGTACGGTACGCTCGTCGCCACTCCGTCCGAAATGGTCAACACCGATGGGGCGGCGGGAGTGTACTTTTGCTTTCCCGATATCAGCGTGCGGTACACGGGCGAGTTCAGGCTCAAGGCGAACCTGATGCGGATGACTGGGTAAGCTCCGCTCTTTGAGTGGCGCTGAGGAGGGTGGCGGGTCGGTTTTAGGTGGGAAGTGGCAAATTGCTGACGTATCAGCGGACATCCTCTCGCTGCGGCGTATACGGACCTGTTTGAGATTGTCGAGCAGTCAGAGTATAGCGCACCTGGTAAGCCATCTTCCCCGCAACACCCGTACATCTCAGAATCTGAGCTGACTTATCAGCCACCACCGATCTCACACGCCACTTTGACGCACAGGGCGTAGTCTCGTTCGGTCTGCCTCGGGATGAATGGTGATACATCCCGCCGTCGTCTGATCAATCGCCTCGACCATTCCCCTCCGCCTACTCGCATCCCTCCTAACCACCTCTCGGCCGCCATCCCCAACCTCTCGGCCGCCATCCTCAACCTCTCGGGCCCCAGCCTCAACCTCACGACCCTCATCCTCAATCTCAAGTCTACCCCACCTTCTTTGCCCCTCCAGTCCCATCCCCATCGACCATTTGTATAGCTCCTCCCCACCTGTACACTCTGTCGGACAGTATCAATCAATGTCATCAGTATAATCAGCACGATAGACCTCGGAAAGCCGGATCATCTTATTATATTTAGTAGATACCGCATGCCAAACCTCATATAGTCGCTCTTGATCACGTACTCTCTCCGAGTGCTAACGCGCACGGCACTTCTTGTCGATAGTATTGAGCATCACTAACGGACGTAAAGCCTCGCACAGCACTCTGTCAGCGCAGAGCCATCCACACTTGGTCGAAGCCATGACATGGGTACAGCGGATAGTGTCCTCGTATCGTCCAGCCGCGCAGCAGAACGGGCAGATGGGGCGAGTCGCCGACCACTCTCCAGGGATGTGGGGCCGAGAGGCGAGGAATTGGATGAAGACGATCATCCGCTGCGATTGTTCCTGATCTTCAGCTGCGTCTATCGCTCAGATCACGAGACACGAGACTCACTCTAGCGGCGTGTCACCATGATGGCTCCGGCGTCTTTTCAGAGGTGTTTGGCGAGGGCAGGAAGGCAGGTTGGTCAGAACGGTCTTGACTTTCAGCTCCTCTCCATGCTTCAGGACAGAGAGGGACAAAGTTAACTCACACTGGTCAATGACGGACCATCGGACGAGACGATCACAAGTGCATCCGCCAGATCCCTCCCGCTCGGCTCCCAAGCTCCCCAGTATCTCCGGTGATCCGCCCCACCGCCCAGCCCCGCGACCTGTCGATCATGTCGGTCCCTTGGAAGCAGCGGATGCTCCCATCTTCTCCGCTGTCGCCACACCGACTGACGCCGCCTCCTTCTCTGCCTTCTCGGCCTTCCGCCTCATTCGATCCTCCAACAGATCCCCATCCATCCCCAGTGCGCGCCGTTCCGACAAGACGCGCTCGTAGCTCTTTCCACGCTCATTCGAGGCGTTCTCGCGCGCGTAATTGATGGAGGACTTGGCGTAGAAGCCTGAGGACGTGTTTAGCTGGGGATTGCAACCGGGAAGAGAGAACAGAACTGACCGAGTACGATGGCCATGGTAAACGCTGCGGCGGGCATGACGAAGTCGCGCTGTCTGATGGGCGGCATTGTGAGGGGAATGAAGATATGCTGAGCAGATGGCTAAGAAGGATGCAAGAAGGATGGAGGAATAGGGGAGAAGAGATGATCTGGCGGGATGACGCTCCCGGCGCGGAATCGGCCGAGCAAGTTCCAGACCCACGCGACCTGAGGCAAGGTTCACTGCTCAAACTGGAGAGCTTTGGGAATCACATATTGCAGGATAACAGCTACGTGTACAATAGATAGGAAGAGCTGTCGGATCGCTTCAAAACAAGCCCACCACGCACGGCCTGATGAACAAGCCGAGAAAGATAGGCACGCTCTGTTGAGGGTCCGCCTCTCGAGAGAGTAGTCTTTATTGCCATTTAGTTTAGCCCGCCTGACTTGGAGATGCAGGTCGGCGGGATGATAATAATGGCGATGGAAGGGAGGGAGGGCGGGGAAGAGGACGAGGAGGCGGTTATCAGTAGGTCAGAGGAGATTAGCGGAATCCAACGTTGCGAACATCTCCCCTCTCCTCTTGCTCCTTTCAACCTGACTTACTCATCGCTCGGATGCATGGAATCCAAATTGACCTGACGAGAAGAGCAAAAGATGTATGCGTCCCCATACGACACCTCTCCCAGCGTAAAGACGGTATTTCGAGGGATGTCCTGCGGGGTGCGGATCCCCTTCGCCTCCTTTCCGATTAAAGTCGAGAGGAAAAAGGGGGTTAAATAGTCTGGCGAGCTTCTTCAGAGGTCCACCGACTGGACTACTCTACTGAGTGGAAGCGGACCGACCGAAGCATGCTGGCGTTACCTAAAGAAAGAGGCAGAGGCAAGCGAGGCGAGCGAGATGGGCGGCGGCGGGGGGGAGGGGAATGTGGGAGAAAAGGAGCATTAGTTTGAGCTGATAATAATCAAGGTACCCAATCACCCATTGACGCGTGTCTGGATCTGAGCTTGGACGCGCTTGGACCTCGACTGTGCATACACCGGGTACATCTCCTATACATCACCCTTCAACCACTATCATCACAGCAGAGAGCCCAACCAGACAATATGGTGAGTCGGCGCTTCCAAATGACACTACGGGCGAGCTCGAAGACCCGAGATGGATTCCGATCGAGCTTCAACGGGCCAGGAATGCTGTGTCGGGACAACGCTGACTTGCCCAGGACAAGATCAAGGAGGTCCGTCATGCTCAACCAGCCTCCAATGACGGCCAAAGACCCTATCAGCTCATATTCTAGCGCTTCACCATTCTCGGCCAGAAGATCGAGGCTGCCGAGTCACGCGCAGAGACCGCCGAGGGAGAAAACAAGAAGGTATGTGGCTCAGGAATGGCCTTGACAGGCTATGCTCATGAGTCCCTGCTGATACCTCAGCTTAATCAGGTTCTGCTCGAGCGCGAACAAGAGATCGCCTCGCTGCAGCACAAGCTCCAGCTCTCCGAGACGGGCCTTGAGAATGCCGAAAACCAAATCAAGGAGCTCAAGACGGCGAGCGCGGAGGGAGAGTCGCACAAGACTACAGGGGAGAACCTGACACGCAAGGTGCAGCTTCTGGAGGAAGAGCTGGATAAAGCCGAGAAGGACTTGAAGGAGACGACTGAGAAGTGAGTTCAGGATCAAACCGGGACCGAGGTCTTGGGTGGCAATTGCGGGGAACGAAGAGCTGATTGGATAGGCTGCGACAGGTGGACGTCAAGGCGGAGCACTTTGAGAGGCAGGTCTCGCGGGTCGAGCAGGAGCGGGATGAGTGGGAGCGGAAGCACGGGGTGAGTTATGTATCCCCTTTGGGCTGGCAGATTGAGCCCGGCAGGGCTGGACATTCTGTCGCCCTTCAACGAAGAAGAGCGCTGATAGTCACCAGGAAGCAGTCGAGAAGTACCAGCAATCCAAGCGCGAGTTGGACGAGGTCGTGGCCCAGATGGAGAGCTTGGTGAGTCCTCTTACATCCAACAAGAGCCAGCGCGACACAGTCAGCTGACAGGAACTAGTAATCTGGCTCGTGAAGATGTTCAACCTCCTCCCCTTTACGCTTCGCTCCTGCTGGAGCCACCTCTAACGACTAGAATGTGGATGCAAGGATCTCTTCCACTTGCTTTTGTCGTCACATGGGCTTGTCTACGCTCCCGATCTCCAGGTCATCTGATCTCATGGCTCATCTGCTACTGACGCAGTGGTGGTATCGCGCCACGATCAAGCAGTGCAGGTGTCAGGTGTGCATAGCTTTCAACTCTGCAATCTTCTCGATAAGGTGTACAGCCAGTCCGCTAGTGGGTTGCCATCCACTATCGCTCAGCTGGGTCTAATTGGTCTGGGAGAAGCAGCACTCACCGTGATGTATGGTCAGATAGAACCGGTAGATGAGCGCAAGAGCCAGCAAGAACAGCGGTATCCGCATCTTCATGATGATATCTGTCGGTCAGCCCCCGTCCCTTCGTCTCGGAAGACCCGTCCACAACTCGAATATGACCATCAGAGGAAAGACGCACCTATGAGCCGGGCCGACTCATTACCGCCGTTCCGCCAGGTATGGTAATTCTTGTCTACCAGGTCGGGATCGAAGGCTGACATCTTGACGTTCCGAGCGATGAATGAATGTGTAGGCAGATGGCTGAGACTTCAGCTGCACATTCACCACAGGCGCGGTATACGGCTGGGACTCACTAGATGGCGATACTCGGCGTAGCGTATGCCCGCATTAGGGACGTGACTGCTGCACGTGACAGAGGGCGGACGTAGTCACTGGCTGCAATGATCAGCTTGACTGGGCGGATCTGGCGGACCTGGCGTCCTGGGAAGCAGCGCCAGCTTACGATTCTCCTCTTCGCCAAAGTACACCTTTTCCATCCCGGTCTCGACTTCCTAGCATTGTCAGCTCAACTCCGCTGCGCAGCACAAGGGGAAGAAGCTCACCCCAGCCGCGATAAACTCCTCTCCTCTCGCAACCTCCTCCATCTCCACCTCCCTTCCTTTGCCTTTTGCCTTCTTTCCCTCTGCTTCTTCTCGAAGTGTCACCATAGGTGCAAAGTCCGAATTGTCGTGGAACGTCATGCGGAGGAACGCCTGGCCAGAGAGGATCTGGTCTACCGCTCGAGGTGAGGTGTCGGTGGAGACGTAGATCACCGAGCACGTCTGCAGGCTCAGTATGTACACGAAGAGCATAGGCGAGGATTCTTACCTTCAGCTCTCGGACAGCGAAGCGGGTGAGGTCCTGTCAAGTCAGCTAGGGGTACTCATACGGTGGGTGTATTGTCTTCGACAGCTAGGCTGCTGCTTGTTACGCACATGGTGGAACTTCTTGAGATTATCTGCTCCAGTCAGCACAGACTCACATGATGCCTTGACCCCACACTTGTGGTCTACGTTCTCCTATAGGCGCCGAGAGGAGCGTATACTCACTATAGCCATGTTCTGAGCCTGCGTAGAACACCAAGACCTCCTTACTTCGGAAGTACCGCTCGATATCAGTGATATCTTTCCCTATCGTATCTTGTACTCGTAATCTGGCAGATCAGCAGATGGCCTGGTTCCAGTCGAGGCAGAAAGTAGCGGGGGTGGCTCACCTTCGAAGCAGAGGGTCCGAGTGGGCATAGAGGCTCGACTGGCCCGCGAGATCAGGAGGGACTTCGACAACCATGTTCGTTCCGCTTCCAAGATGGGACTCGTGGATAGGCGCTTTGGGATCGGATACTGCGGTGCACCGCACAGCTTATGAGACAGTCTTTCCGGATGCTGACGGTGTGGATCAATTGATGGATGAGCAAGCAAGGCCGAGTGGGGAGCAGCTTCCAGCAACCCCTGTGGGGCTCCACACAACAACATTTGGTCTGGCTGTCGCGCGGTCGCCGTCGACTGCGCCATCTTCAATATCCTTCCATCGTTTCTGTCAAGACTCGGCCCATCTCTGACACGGATACAGCCCGAAAGACTGGCTAATATGGTAGTAAGCTGTCTGTTCGCATTGAAATAAGGAATGTGCGTTAACAAGGACCAGAAATTAAAGGTGATGATCTCGATGGAGCTCGAGGGTGTCACGGAGGTTCAACCGGCCGACGAGGACTTCCAGTATCTCTTCAGCGTAAGTCAGGCTAACTATACTCACTGCGGTCCTTCCTGTCGTGTTGAGCGAGTGGTTCTGATGGATACCCGCTGATCCGGCTAGATAGCATGTACCTCATGCCGCGAGGAACACCCCAAGACCGTATCGATCAGCCAGAAGGTAGGCATGCTCTCTACTCCTTGCTCCCGATGCATACCGGACCTCCCTCCTCGAGACAATGGAGGAGCTCACTGAGAGGAGCTGATGCCGCTGCAGGATGAGGCTGAAATCTCGGGATCGAGAGGAACAGCAAACTTCGTCTGGAGATGCGGACATTGCAAGGTGAGGCTTGCCCGCTGGAAGCCCCTCCTCTACTCTTACTTGAAAATGGATAAGTACGTTCTCAGGCTGACAGTACTCTAGAAAGAACACTCCGCCTCCTTCTGTCCCCCATCGTCCACCTCCAAATCCCTCGCACCCCTCGCCTACTCCTCCACCACCCCCTCCACCCCCGTCCCGCTCATCGCGCTCGACTGCCGCGGGCTCGAAATCACAAAATACCACTTCTCGGGTCGATGGCGGTGTAAAGGCGAAGAGAGCGGGACAGAGTTTGAGTATGACCTGGACGAAATTATGCAGGATGGTGGAGACGAGGGGAGGTGGGATGATTATGACGAGAAGGCGGGGGCGGCGGTAGGGGTGAGCGAGATGAAGGCGGTGATTCAGCGTATGTAGGAGGGATGAAGTTGGTCGGGCATCGGTAGGGGGAGCAGATCTAGTAAGATGACATGGGGAGGAGAGTTGGGCGATCCGAGCGATCAATTCGGACATCCGTGTACGCTTGTTGCACACAGGTGCGATGCCTCGGGCATAATAGAAGGCCTCCAAGCTCACGCTGGTGCGTGTCAACATGTCGAGCGTGTATCCGCATCTCCTCCTTCCCGACGAGCGCTGGCCGACGGTGCGTGAAAGCAAAAGACGGGTCAGCGTAGGAGGGAACAAAAAGGTATACACCGTAAGGGAGTCGAACCCTTGCCGCATCCAATAAACCGGCTTTTAATGGCAAGGATGCATGATACCGTTTCACCAACGGTGTTTGGTGAGAAGAGGTTCTTGGTCACTCCTATATAGAGCAATGACAAGGTTCAGGCGGAAATCGCCTCCTTCTACCTTATATTAATTAGCCTGCCAACACGAAATCGACCTCTCTCTTTCTCCATCATTTCTCAATTGATTTGCTCACTTGAAAAGCGCTATAGCATCTAAGCTCCCAAGATAGACGGTTCCTCTTTTCTTGCATGCTGTAGTTTGATGCATAGCGTGCTTGAGGATTGGGCTCCTCACCACGCGTGGGTGGACTATTCGCGAGCCCACCGGGATTTATGTCATTCGCGTTGACGATATCTCCATCCCCGATCCCAATGTCGCCACCCCTCCGTCCACTCCCGAAAAGCCTGAGCCGCCGAAGCGTAGGCGACGAAACCCGGCGAGCAACACCAGATCTCTCGCTGCAGACGATGCTCCCGAGGGCGCTCCCGAGGGCTCGGGCGGGGGTCCCTCTTCTACACCTGGGTAGTAGTTATATAGTATAATCATCACCATTTATAGTACATTCACTTAACATGCACGGTCCTTACATGGCTTCACCTCAAGCGGTTCTCTGGTGCCACATTCCTCGCGAATCTGCTTCCGCTCCAGTCATTTGCTCGCCCTCAGTGACGCCCGCCCCAGGGGGGCGGGCTTTCCTGCTAGTCTTGCATCGAGACTCAGAGCACGGTCCACCATCTGCCTGTTCGCAAGAAAGGTGGGGCAGGCATCAGAGTGTCAGGGCCAGCGTACCAAGAAGTTTGCATGACCTAGCTCATAAGATAGTCTGATCCAGCTGAACAGCGTATCGCTAACGCGGTATTGACCGTTCTCATCATACCGCCTCACAGATGTTCACTACGGACTGCATCGACTACTGCATACAGACCACATATCCTAAAAGCACGAGGCGCCTATTGAACAAAATACTTGATGACCAGAAGAAACGGGGAGAGCGAATATTGAAGTACAACTTGAGCTCGAGTACAATGACCCTTCTTTTGGTATGCGCGCTCCGCTGCCTAAGGCCTATGGGAGCGCGACTCTACACCTACATCCGACCCTCCACCTTGGAGTCGACACCCAAAGCGCGACAGCCGGACGAGGGCCCACCGAGCTGGATGGGCGCCCCGAGGGACACGCAGCCGGACGAGTACTCGCCCAGCGGATCGAAGTCCTCGTACGCCGGCGCGGGGTCTTCGTCACCGCGCAGCGCCTGGATGTCGGCGAGGAGCTGGTCTCTATTAGTGGGCAGAGCTCGACCCATGGACAGGGGAGTGCGAAGGGGGAAGAGTGCGTCGTAGCTCGAGCCGGCGGCACGAGTGTAGCCGGGGAACGCGCGGTGGGGGGTATGGGCCGGGCTTGGGGAGTCTTCCTCGTCCGAGTAGATCAGGTCGGGGGTGGAGATAGGGCTGTCCTCGATGTAGAAGGTATCATTATCCTGAAGGCATCAGCTCTGTAGCAATATAGAAGGCAGATAGGAACATTGGCGACTCACCTTACCACCGGGCCCGTCGTTGATGGTCCCCCCGTCCGGAACCTTGCCGCTCTCGTCGATGGGGTTGTTATCCTTGTTACCCTTCGCGCCCTAGTAAGTATCAGCTGGACGTCCCCATCGATCATTTGAAGACAAATGGAGCTCGCCTTGGTGCCGACATGCAGGCTCTTGATCCTCCTGCTCCGACCTCGATCCTCCTCACCCACCTTCTTCTCCTCGTCGGTGCTGGTCTTACCGAGCATCCCACCCCTGGCACCGCCAGTGATGTTGGTAGGCAGGGCAGTGTATGCGATGTAGCCGGTACTGTGGAGGATGAGGACGATGAGGTATCCGATCTGCTGGACAGAGTAGGCGAAGACCACAGCGATGAGGACGGCGAAGTAAAGGGCGAAGGACAAGTAGCCGATCTTGCCGCGGTGGGGCTGGGACTTGATGCGAAGCATCTCACCGAGGGCCCACCAGGTGATGACGATGAGGGAGTGATAGTCGCGCTCGAGGAAGGGAGTGGACGCCATCTTGGGTAGGATGTGGTGGGGGCAGGTGACTGGGTGTTGTGTGTGGTAGGTGACGTGTGGGAGTAGTGGTAGCTGTTCGCCACTGAGGATTTGGAGGTGATTGTAGATGTAAGAGAGAAGAAGAAATGGGCTGGGAAAGCGGGTTCTTATACTCGGCAAGGAGGCTGGGCCACACCCCCACACAACCCCGACGTGGCTGGTCGTGAAGCGTCATACCCCTTTTGCCGCTCTAGAATCAGGCACAGCCGCCCTCACTCAATATCGACTCGAGTGAGACATAGCGCGTACACGTCATACTCGGCTCCTAGTAATGTGGGCCAGCGCAAGGCGACAAAAGTAACGGTCGGTCACGGTCATTCAGTCTGCGTGTTGGGCTAGACGCAAACACGCAAACATGCGCTGCCCGGACCTCGCCGATGCTTGGATCGAAGACACCTGTGGGGAATCATGGTCTATACGAAGGTGGCCGTATAGCTTGATACGAGCTGCGAGAGAGGATGTACATGAACGAGCCGCCAAATCGCGGCGTGACATCGACACGGCCGATCACCGTTCCCAACTCCGCATTCCTCGGCATGACCTCATTTTCGGCGTCGTTGAAGTGAAGCGGGTCCGTGTCTGCTCAATAGCGCTGAGGCTACTGCATGACTCTCCTGAGCATGTGTTTAATGGTATCGTGTTTGCAAGAGTCCAGTCTGCAGCGAGTTTTGTACCCCAGATATCGATGTTTCTGAACACCCGAATGGCCAATATAGCTACTCAACAATTATTTGTGCATTTGCAAGAGCTACCAAAACCACGATATAGTCCGCTAGAAAGAATGTGAAAAGCCCCAGCTCTGGGCCGAGATCGCAGGATATGTGTCTAGAAGCCATCAGGGATAGCCGAAGTCGCGTATGGCTGAGCAGGGTACGGCTTGGGGTTGTGCAGCCTCGCCTGCGATGGGTTGCTGTGGCCGAGTTCGATATCCGAGGTCGAATCGTTGTCTTCGAGCTTGTATGTCGACTGAAACTCATCTCCGGCCGGTGTAACGGTAAACTTGTTCTCCTGGCTTGTCAGCTATATGCAGCGATCTGGGAATGGAAGGAAACCCACATTGACGTGCGTTTCGACCTGGACAGCAACCTCGATTGGACCTCGAGAGGACATGCCGTACACCTGAGCGCCCTATATCATCAGCGGATCTCCAAAGGCGCAATGGGCGAATCCGAACGGATCAACTCACCTTGGTGGTCCTCCGGTGTTCGGAATCTGAGAGCAAAGACGTTCTCGACAAGAGGGTGATGAGGAAGCCGACGGTGTAGGTCTTACACTGAAGAGCTTGGAAGGTGGCGCCCAAAAGCGAAGCAGGCGTGATGACTGGTGATATCAGCTTAAGGTCGCCTTGCCGGTGCGGGTGAGGGAAGCGACTCACTCCATTCGATGAGATAGGCAACAGCGAGGCATGTCGGAAGAAGCTGAGCTTCGAAAGTCAATCGAATGAGCTTGATGACCAGCTTATCTGTGTGTGTCCATCTTTATTGTCAGCGTAGAGCAGCGGCTGATGTCCCGGAGAGACACCCACCCGGACTTGGATCGAAGCAGACCAGTGATGATGCAAACGGCGATGGTGATATCTGCGGCGGTGGTCAAGGCCAGCCATGCTAAGGAAGTGAGCATACGGTTCGATCGCAGTGCGAAAAAGGCGTCGATGATATCAACGTACTGATCAGAGTGGGGCCAGAGTTGGTGGCACCAAGTAGCGATGATTGTCCGCCAAAGACGATCTGGATGGTCAGCTACTGCATCCTGATACCTTATGCTAGCACTCACTGTCAAGCCAATAGCTCCTCCCAGCCTGGTCGTCAGCTCTTACTCTCTCAGACCAGTAGAACACCAAGGCTCACGCTCCGAGGACCATGCACGTGATCAATATCAGGACAAACTTGTTGCGGTTCAGAAGGAGGTACGCTGCGACGTCAGCAAAGCGATCAAGCGGTCGACTGCACTCAGAATTCACCTCTGTAAGCGAAGAAGAGCTGGACGGCGGAGACAGTGATCCCGTCGATCCATGGCATTTGCGCCAACCACCGCACTTCCAGCCACGGAAGGAAGTTGCCAAAGTTCTCGACGAAGAGGTAGGACTGGTACGCCCAGTAGAAGATGGTAACGAAGGCGTTCATGACCTGGAGTGTCAGCCGTGGCGCCTGACAGATCGCGAGACGGAGCTTACTCCAAGATAGCCGACGAGGCATTTCAGCCAGAGCTTATCTCCTCCGTGGTAGCTGGGATGTCAGAGAGCAGCTTGGGACCCGAGTAGGGAAGGGCTTACCGATAGTACATGAACAGCTGTACCGCCAGCACACCCCTGAAGATCAGTAAAGGACACTGGCGGGACAGAGGACGACGAACCCGAGGAAGTTGTCGATGATGAGCGAGGAAAATTGGCAAGCTGTACAGTCAGAAACGGCCGGTTTCTACTAGCGCTAGCGCAGGATTGGCAGGCACATACCGAGAGGAAAGGTCTATGACATCAGCCAGGTCCTTTCGCATTAGTCGACGATCCGTTACTCACGCCCATAGGCTTGAAGATCGCGTCCGCGTCCTTTTGGAAGAAACCGCCAACATTCCGTTCCGACATGATGAGATGAAGAAGATAGGGTTGTAGATGGTAGAAGATAGATAGACAGGAGGGAGGATACTAATCAGGCTGCCATCAGCGGGACATGAGCTCAGAGGATTATATATCAGTGCGATCCAGCACGAGGTGAGTCCATTAAGGTTGACAAGCTGACATGCAATCTCGTTGCCGCTAGCGCCAGATCTGCCCAATCACTCGGACCCATGTCGTTTCGCTGTGTAACCGCGCTACCATCGCTGGAATATACAGTAAGCTCGCTGAATGAGGTGTCGGAGGTCATAGCGAGATCTCTGTTCCTGGTTGTTTAGCGCCCGCTCCGCCTTGTTTCAGATCTACCCCTGGCCGCTGTGTGCATCCTTTGGGTGAGATGGTCCGCCGATGTGATGACTTGCTCCGGAGATGTGGCAGATAGATGAAGCTGGAAATGAGCACTGTGACCTTGCTATTGCCTATTGCAGAATGCGACAAACAGGGCGTGAGATGGAGATCCAAACTCACCTGAAACATATTGCGTCCTGTCTCGAAACATTCGATTCGATCCGCCCCCAGCTCTGCTACCAAAACTTCGAATGAGCGAGTTGCAGCGTCCACTTAGTGAACGCTTGGCGCAGTTTAACGAACGTCCCATCTCGCAATCAACTGAGACCAATCTTCGCTAGTGCCGGGAACCTGGCGCACAGCTCCTCATCCGAGCTCAACGCCTTCCTCATCCCCTCCAACAATGCTTTCTGCCCAGCCTCCAGCGCCTTGCCCGACCCTTCCGCCAGCTTCCGCTTCCGCACCCGCTTGATGCCTGTACCGCTTGCCTCCATTACTGGACGCCGACCCAGCGCTCCCAGATCTTCCGCTAACCCCTCCGCCAACCTTGCCGCCAAAGACGCAATAGGGCCAGAATCGTCCCGACTCGGTTCGAGCTCAGCCAGGACGAGGAGTGAGGCTTTGATTAGTCCGCTCAGCTGATATGCGTCGCTTGTGCTGGCCGCGGCTGCCGATGAGCTTTCGATATAGCGGGGAACGAAGGTGGTGATGAGCTCCTCGGCGAGAGGTCGGTACCCGTCGACCGTGAGAGCGAGGAGGGTGGGTGCGAAGCAGGCCAGCGGATCGCCATTTGCCCGGTCGAATTCAAGACTCGGGCGGACGAGCTCCGAGTATAGCACCTCGAGCATGGGGAGCGGACCTTCTGAGACGAGGCAGTCCTGAAAGTCGGCGAGGAAGGGACCGGACCAGGGTTGCTGGGTCATTGCTAAGTGCCGGATGACGTGGAGTTGTGAGCGGAAGGTGTTGAGTGGGAGAGAAGGATTGGATGCAGCGTTCCCTGGAATATCAGCTGCAAGACTTGCAGTATCCTCCACTCAGCGCAACTTACAGGATCGTCCGGCGCTATGTATACTTTCCAGCTTGGTCCTTACTGCCTGCGCATCGAAGCTTGCAGCTTGAAAGACAGTAGCCAGAGCAGACTGAGGGTCGAGTATCCGAGCGATAGCCTTGCCGTTGATTCGGATGAGGACTTCGGGCGTTGAGTCGCTGAGCAAGATCGTCTGCAGCACGTCAAGATGCAGCGCAGAGATCAGCCTGAAGCGTTAGCTTCCGATTGGATCGACTGCACACGAGAGCTTACCCATTCCTGATCACCTCGCTTGAGAGCCACGAGATGATACCGCCCAGACACCAGCTTAGAAGTGGCTGCGAGAAGTAAGACAATCCGCCATGCAGAGCATCCCGATCGAGACGACCAGCAGCAGTTGCTGCGATAGCCTGTTGTATGATGCTGGGAGCCAGCCAGCAGAGGTCCCGTGGCGGCGTAGATCTATCTGTCAGATCGGACCTTGTGATATCCGCTTATCACAAGGCTTACAAAAGTATGTGATCATCGATACCCTCTGTACTAAACTGCATCATCAGCTCTTCCCCTCGATAAGATCAGAGACACTCACCAAAGCCTTGACCCAGCCGTTCAGGGACGTCTTCTGACCTCCATCCATATGTCCCAGACTGACCGCCCGCCGCGACCGCGCAAGCAGCCAAGGTAGCTCCAGATCAAAGGTATCGACTACCGCCTCGACAAACACAACACCCTCGCCAAACCTTGTCAAGACACCTTGAGGATCATCCGCCTGGGCAGATTCGTCGGTAGGGGCGTGCAGCAGCTGGTTGACGGCGAATGCAAGGAGCTGCTTTGGTTGATGAGCGGAGGAGAGGGCGATGAGGAGGGTAGGATGAGCCGAGAGGTTGATCAAGAGGTTGTCTGGAAGAGGGATCTGAGGGGCCACTACCAGGGCCTATTGTATCAGCGTACAGCCTCGAGGTGCAGGGTGGTGATCTTACTTGTGAGAACTCGGCCGCGAACGCTCTGGAAGCTCCGGGCGAAGCGGCGACAATGATCTCAAGGACCATAAGAGAAGCGTGGCTTGCCGAGCATGCACGGTCCTGTTGGTCAGCTCGAACCCCTCTTTCGAGGCAACGAGACTACACTGACGAGTAAAGATTCGCCTACTGCCCCAGATGGCAGAAGCCCGCCCGGTAACAATGTTCCAACCGCGGATGATTCCAGCAAATCCAGGTCCACCAACCGCCGTACCAGGACCGCCTGTATTGTGGTCACGCTCCATCCCTCGACCATGGAGAACGAGCCACCGTCATCTCCTCCCTCCGCGTCTGCCAGCCTGGCTGCATACGTCGCGCTTACCCAGGCGTTGAAGGAGGATAGATTCGCAGCCGATAGTTCGAAAGCGGTCGTCAAGCACTCGGTGAGATTGGTCTATACTGTCAGCTTGCGGCCGCAACCGAGATTTGGCTGACTCACTGGATACGGCCACTCCACAACAGGATTCTCTTTCCAATATTTTAGCAGCTGCGGTAGTCGTTCCGTCACGAACAGCAGCGACCGCTGCAAGTCGGGCGTGATAGTCTGATGCGTCCCCATGACCAGCTGCAACGAGCTTTCGAGGAGATTGACGAGGTACTTTTCGGGCGATGCAAAGTATCGACCGGCTTTGAGGAGCGGCAGGTCCGCCGACCATAGTCCAGACTCGGCTGACGGTGTCGACAGGGAAAAGGCCGTTTTGCCCGAGTTGAGGGTGTACGTAAGGAGGAAGGAGATCATATGCGATAGAAGGACCGGCGGGGTCGGCCTGTCCGCCGGGAATGGAGATGGTAGAGCAGGAAAATCGAGCTGGCTTTCCGCTGACGAGCCAGCAGGACCTGAAGCGGCGGGAGGTGCAGCAAGGCTCAGCTCAGCGGCACTCTGCGAGATAGCGACATCCGCCATGAGACCGCCGAGACAGGTCCGGAGTGGTATAGCGATCGCATCCGGGAGCTGAGGCAGGAGGGCGGATGCCTCCAGGCCGACCTCGAGCGGGGGAGCGGGGTATGGTTCGAGTGAGGAGAGCAGGCGGACTGTGAGTGCGACGATTGGGAGAGGGGGAGGCGTGACCGAGTCCGCGCAGAGGCGAAGGAGAGGTAGTAGGAGCTGAAGAGTGGGAGTCAACGGTGCATCGGCAGCGGTTGCTGAGGCGGAAGTCCCGATATCTGGCGGAGACAGAGTACTGGGATTCGCCAGCTGGGCGGGGAGGGGCTGCGCGATCGCTGTCGCCCATGCCGTCCCCATGAGCGTTGCTGAGATGGCAGCGAGACAATGTGAAGGCAGCGAGCTACCATTGCTGGTACCAAAGAGCACCTGGATGGCAAGCTCCTGCGAATCCAAAGTCCCGGAGCTCAGAGCTTCTGCAAGGTATGAGGTGGACAGGGTGGACGAGCTCGTTTGAGCAGATAGTGCTATCAGGGCGGCTACATAGTCAGTTCAGCCCACACTTGACAATCTCGAGGGATACGCAGCTCACCACTCAGCCGGTACCTGGCCTGCTCGACGGCGATACCGCTCTGGCGAATGCGGGACTGGACCAACCGAATTGCCTATCTTTGTCAGCTCTCACCCACGAAATGTGTCAGATAAGGCTTACTTTTGCAGACGGTATCGCCCTGATATGGGCCCTATAGATCACATCCTCAGTACTTAGCTCCTCGACGGCCATGCTGCTTGATATAGTGCAGATGAAAGAGCAAACAACACACCCAACGTCAACGCGAACCGGAGCAGGTGTATGGATTCCGCTTCCGACGGAAGGATTGCCGTTGCACCGACCACCGACCGCTCAGAGCCTCGGTGTCACACCGTCTTCCTCTACCTTCCACTGCCTATCACCTCAGCTTCTTTGCACCCTGGCGACCGCGTGAGGACCCATCAACAGCTCTAATCAGTCAAGACCGCGAGAAATGTCGAGCCAGGTCAACCTGAAAGACCGTAATCTGTTGGCTGTTATTGGAGATGAGGTGAGCTCTTCGTCCACTCTCGCGGGTTCTGGCTTTGCCCATGGTCTGCGGCACCTAAGAAGCATCAGGTGTTGTTCGGAATGAGTACTGACTCTGTAGGACTCCATCACGGGTCTGCTCCTTGCCGGAATAGGACATGTCGACCAGCACCAAAAGAAGAACTTCTTGATCGTTGATTCAAGTAGGTCTTTCTTTGAGACGAACGGACCGAGGCTGGGGAGGCAGCTTGCGTGCTCTCGGCGCAATACATGGGGGAAGTAGACGGAGGGGATAGGGAAAGACCACACAATCTGGCTGGCAGCGTCCTCGCTGGCTGACAAGGGGAACATGTCGTCTGTGCAAGCGGGACAGCTCCAGCACGAAGAGCGGCGAGCTGACAATCCAACAGAGACACAAACCAGCGTCATCGAGTCTGCTTTCCAAGAGTTCACCGAACGGAAAGATATCGCCATCCTCCTCATCAACCAGCATGTGAGCCGCTCCCGTCTAGAGCATACTGATGGACCTCGAGCTAATCCCTCAGGTCGCCGACAAGATCCGACCGTCAGTAGACAAATACCAGGCTGCCTTCCCTGCCCTGCTCGAGATCCCGAGCAAGGAACACCCATACGGTGAGACTTCTCTCGGTTGCTCGTCGTGGACCTACTTGTCGCTGACAAGGCAGACCCATCGAAGGACTCAGTGTTGAAGCGCGTTCAGAAGCTCAGAGGAGATTAGACAGAGACTTGTATTGGTATACATGTACAACAGTATCATCAGCTGGTCTATAGAGTCGTACGGCGAGGACTCCCTCCCAATCGTCCTAGGCCTCCTTGGGACCCACCCCAAAGAGCCTATGTCCCCCTGGCCCTCCCGCATTCGTTTATTGCTGCGCTTCCAGATCCGCCACCTCCGTTCTCAGTTCCTCCTCCTTTCTCCTCAGCCCCTTCACCTCCCCATCCATCGCCCTACACGCCATCTCCAGCTGCACCGTGCTCGAAATCAGATCCTGCCACCTGCTTTCCAGCTTTCCCAAATGTACACCCGTGTCCTCCTGGAACACCCTCCTTTTCCGGTTCACCTCCGTCACCTGCTCCTTCAAGTCCCCGAGTACCGAGTTGAGCTCGGTGAGCTGAGAGTTGAGCTGATAGTTTCGGACGAGGTAGGCGTTGGGACCGTAGTTTGAGAGGACTGAGATGTTGTCGTTTCTGCCGGTCAGCGACACCCTCCCGACAGAGATGGAGAACAACATACCTTAAATCCATATGTCCCTCCCCTATTCTTCCTTGTCTCTCCGCAGCGACCAGATCCTCTAACGACGCGCCCTCCGCTGCGCTTGGAGGAGCATACTTGCTCGCATCTATCCCGCGAATTGGATGTGACTCGTAGTTCTCGAGCAACTGCGTCAAGCCGGCTGATTTCTGTCGTTTCAGCTCAGTCCAGTCTAAGCTCATGAGAGAGTAAGACTGACAGGAAATACAGCGACATCTGGCGGTAATCGCGGATCATCCGAGGCTATTTGTGGAGTCTGCCTGAGCTCGGCCTCAATCAAAGCCTGAGCAGCAGCTTTGGCGGCTGAGAGGGATCAGCGAGCTGCAGAGGTCCCTTCGACAAGCGGGAAACTCGCCTGGTACTTCGACCTGCTTATCGTAGTAGGGGAGCGCGTCTATGTTGGAAGAGGAGGCCATGGTGGAGGAGCTATGTAGGGGCTTTAGTCGAGAGGTGATGTATGGTGGTAGTAGAGGTCGCTTGGGTTGACTTTGGGTGGTGGGAAATTTGGTTCCGGCCGGTCGGACCAGCAAGAGTGGCTGTTGCCTCTGCCTCCTACATCGTCTATCACACGTTATCCCTTTCACCTACAGCTCATAGTATACTAGCTTCTCTTACACTCATAGTCAAGAGAACAGAAGAAGAGGACCCGCCGCTTGACTTACCCAAGGCGAATCTATCGCCAGGATGGACCCAATCATGGGGGAGAGCAAGAAGCGGGTGGTATGTCCGCCTTCCTTCGTCCCGGCCACATCCACCCAAGCCCGCCTGCTACACTCTCTTGGAATGTAGCTGACCAGTTTCAGTGTTACTTCTTCGATTCGGATATCGGCAACTACCACTATGGACCTGGGCACCCGATGAAGCCCACACGGATTAGGATGTGCCATTCGCTGGTCATGAATTATGGGCTGTACAAGAAGATGGAGATCTTCGTGAGCTTTGGACCCGAGTCATCTCCACTCCAGTAGCTGACTATATCAGAGGGCTAAGCCTGCCACAAAGCGCGAGATGACCCAATTTCATACCGACGAATACGTCGACTTCCTAAACCGCATCAACCCGGACAATGCGCACCAGTTCGGCAAGGAGCAGGTCAAATGTGGGTATCTCACCTTGGTCGGTCATTGCTCGAGCTGATGGACAGACAATGTGGGAGACGATTGTCCCGTATTCGACGGCCTCTTCGAGTACTGCTCGATCTCCGCTGGTGGATCTATGGGCCAGTTCCTTCGCTGCTCCCGAGGTCAAGACCGAGCTGACTGTTCAGAGGGAGCCGCTAGACTGTCCAGGGACAAGTGTGATATAGCTGTCAACTGGGCGGGAGGGCTGCATCATGCCAAGAAGGCCGAAGCAAGTGGTTTCTGCTATGTGAACGGTAGGTCGTCATCGCTTCTGGCTGTGAAAGCGGTAGCTGACAGTACAGATATCGTACTAGGTATTCTGGAGCTCCTCAGATACCATCAGCGAGTTCTCTACATTGATATCGACGTTCATCACGGTGACGGTGTCGAAGAGGCCTTCTACACCACCGACCGAGTCATGAGTGTCAGCTTCCACAAATATGGGGAATTCTTCCCCGGGACTGGTGAGGTGAGGGATAACGGGATAGGGAAGGGCAAGGGGCGAGTCCGACGTTCTGTTCTCGTACTTCTCAGCTGATCATCAGATACGCCGTGAACGTCCCACTTCGAGACGGTATCAAGGATGAGGCCTACAAATCAGTCTTTGAGCCGACCATGCGGCACATCATCGAATGGTACCGACCCGGCGCGATCGTCCTGCAGTGCGGTGCCGATTCACTCTCTGGAGACTTCCTCGGCTCGTTCAACCTTTCCATGCGGGGCCACGCGGCCTGTGTCTCATTCATCCGGAGTTTCAATCTGCCGCTGTTGATGTTGGGCGGAGGGGGATATACGGTCAAGAGCGTGGCGAGGACGTGGGCGTACGAGACGGGAATAGCCGCTGGAGTCGAGTTGCAAGGTAGTGAGTACAGCTGATAAGTCCATCGTCGCCACAAACATCAAGCTGACGGTCAGCTATACCAAACAACGAATACTACGAATACTACGGACCTGACTACGAGCTGAACGTGAGACCGAGCAATATGACGGATCACAATACCCCGGAATACCTCGATAAAATTCGCGAGTCGGTGGTGGAACTGTTGAAGACGAAGACGGCAGCACCGAGTGTGCAGATGCACCGTAAGTCCAGCTTTCTGACCGTTGTAGCGTTATGAGAATCAGCTGACGCAATCAGACGTACCGAAGCTGGCGCATGATGATGAGGATGACGCAGAGATGGAGGACGAGGAAGATAAGGATAACCGCAAGCCAAGTACGTGCATCTAAAATCAGAGTATGGCGCACCGCTAACTTCTTCAGTGAGATTATGGGACAAGGCGAAAGTCCACGAAACGTCCCTGTCCGACTCGGAGGACGAAGGGACCGGCGGCCGGAAACATCGACAATCGCACAAGACGTTCGGCAAAGGTGACGCCGAGGGCTCGGCCACCGGTAGCAAGCGTCGCCGATCCTCACCCAGTCGACAAGCTGTAGCGGGCCCTTCGACCGTCCAGCCCGCTAGATCATCCACCCCCAATAATCCCGCCGCTCCTGCTCGAACATCCCCCTCTGTTCTCGCTGCAGATGCCTCACGCGCAAACGCTCCAGCTACATCAGTACCGGTCATTCCGGCGCATACGGACGGACAGGCGGCGAACGCGTCGACAGCACCAGGGGTGGCGGTTGGGAATGGCGCAATAGCGGCGGGTGGGCTGGCGGCGACGGGGGTAACGCACAGGACGCAGACGCCAACACCGCCGGCGGAGGGGATTGATGTTCAGTCCTGGGTCAGTCAGGTGAACTCGACGATACACGGGCCATGAGATGGCGAGATGGGGATCTGATCACATGGGGCCAAGGCACAGGAGGCGCAGGCAAGGCCTGGGAGATGTCCAGCCGGGATGCGAGTCGGGGCTCATCTCCACTTTTGGCGATAAGCCAAGCGATGTCTGTAGGTTGTAGGAATGTAACGATTTCAGCAGTCTAGGCAGCGCCGTGCTCAGGTCACGGTCATGGTGCGGCTCGGGACAAGCAATTGATGCATAGTATGAATCTAGCTAGACTATCTACGGTCTACATATATATTGGGGCAGTATGCTGAGTGCTCTACAATGCTCTGCCCTGCTCTACACCCCGGAATCTCATGCCTCATCACAGTCTTTACAGGTCTTACAGCACATACAACGTGAGATCGTTCCGGTAGTCATGATTTGTGGAGATGATGTCGTGAGAGGGTGGATGCGGTCGATGGGTACATGCGGTCGATGGACTGGAGATTGATGGGCCCTACCGGAGACGAAAGCCCGGTATGGAGGATGGTGTGGATGCGTGGAGCCGGTCCGTACGGGGAGACGAGTGCATGCTCTTCTCGCTCTCGGCTGACTCCCAGTGTTGGGAAGGATGGTCGGCGGGGTAGGATGGAGGGGTGGGCGGAAGTGCTTCTTCAGAGGATGAAGAGCGAGATGGGTCGGGGTGGGAGCCGTGCTGGATTCCAGTGTCTGGCTGGCCGGGATGCCGTTCGCGGGTAGGAGTGATAATGTCCGTTGAGCGGGTGTCCCCGGAGGAATGGTCCATGACCATGTCTGGCTCGTCATATTGCGAGCCCGACCATGATGCCTCGCATTGGCCCGAGGTGATGTATTGGTCCTCCGACTCGATGTAGGAGAAGGAGTCAGCCGTGTGCTTTCGTTGAGGCCTAGATTGACCGGCGTCAGCAGCGACCTGCTGCTGTGCGACATGGACGTGGAGTGATGGCCGCCGACGAGGGGCGGGTGTACGAGCGGCCGCAGCGGCTTGGCGGGCGGCAGAGTGGGCGTGTTGCAACTCCGCCTCGGACATGGTGAACCGCTTGACGGCGAGAATCTGCCGGCGCAACTCTGGGATCCGAGTGCGCTCGTTCGGCTGAAGGTCAAAGAGACCTTGAAGGATATAGTCGGTCTCTTCCGAGATGGGTAGGATGGTGCGGAGGAAGTTGGGGTTGTGCGCAAAGGCGGCGAAAGTCTCGTCCGACAGGGTTGCCTGGCGCCAGGGGTTCCGACCGCAGGTGAGATTGACGAGGATGACGCCGAGTGACCAGAGGTCGTTGTATTCGGTGATGTAGGAGTTGACGCGGTCAAAGGCGCCGCCTTGGCATTCGGGGGAGAGGTAGAACGTGGATCCACTAGCTTGTCAGCTGCGTCCTGATCTCAAATAGGATTCGACTCACCATCCAAAGTCCGTCGATGCCTTTTCCGACGTCGCCAACCCAAAATCTGCAATGCACACCTTCCGCCCTTGGTCCATCACCAATATGTTCTCCGGCTTGAGGTCACGGTGGTAGATGCCCATTGAGTGGCAGTAGGCGACGGCATCGATGATCTGCAGGAAGACCTTGCGTATCAACTCGTCGTTCCCGAGGTACTGCTACGTTAGCTGCGTTCTTGAAGGCACGAGAAAGGACATACCCGCTGCTTCTCCGTGATCATCCCAAACAGATCTCCCTCGTCATAGTAGTCCATGATCATAAAGATCAGACCGTCCTCCTCCATCACCTTGTGCAGCTTGACAACGCCCGGATGTCTCCCCGCCAGCTGATGAAGCCCAATCTCCCGCATTTGGAAGTGGCGCTGCCGTGTGTCGAGACCGGCTCGAAGGAGACACTTGACGGCGAGCCATGTAGGCTGCGGCTGCCAGGTGTCCTGAGCGAGATACACGACTCCGTATGCGCCGACACCGAGGACTTTGAGCAGCACCAGGCGCCCATTGTCGATCCGAGATCCGATGAGGTCCAGCCCCATAGTAGCAAAGGTGTCGCGAGCCATTGTGGAGGGGGTATGAACAAGAGGGGGAGGGGTGGGCGAGAAGGGAAAAGGAAGGCCGAAGAGCAGAGGAGTCGGCCGTAGTGCGTCGATTATAGGCAAGGATGGACGTGAGCGAGGCAGCCGTGATCAGCGACATGGGATGGGGGTTCGAGAATCGTTCAAGACTGGGACGGTCTAAGACAATAAAAGACGTGTGCAGCTGGTCCGCTCGTCGAAACGCCTCTTTTATACGGATGTGGATGGGTGAAACCTGTTGGGACACATCAGCGTTCTGGCCCTTTGGTCTTGACGATGAGCGGGCGAGGTGAATCAAGCGTACCTGATCTTAGCGTCAAAGAGCACAAGACCTGCTTAGGCTTGTTGTTGTTGCTGGCGCTGTCGGAGGATGTTGCGGGGAGATGATTCAGTGGCGGCCGTGGGCGGACGAAGAGGGCGTAATGTCTGAGCCCATCAAGCTATTCAGTGCGGTAAGACACTCTCGAGGTCCCGGATGCAGCTGTGAACATATCTCCCCCATCCGCGAGTACCACCCCCGCAGCCTTGCATACTTACATCGGAGAGTTTGAGAGATTGCACCCGAAACATGACATGAGGCGGTGGAGTAGCGACTGAATGGAGCTAGAGTAACCTTGTTTCCCCTATCGTTTGAGGAATTCTGCGCTCCCGCTGTGGTCGCCATAGGCGACCCAATCTTTGCATCTGGCCACGAGTATGACTAGCTCCATCCTTGGTGAAGGCACGAATGCTTGTCTCGTCCTATACTGGCTTCGATCACCCTGCGCTGATTGACCTTGACTCAATCTGCCTTACCAAGTTCTCGACCCCGAGCTAAAAACGTCACGCCGCGAGATGCCGGAAGCGATAACCTGATCACGCCGCAGCACGCCCCCTTGACGCCCCGCTTCCGATCGGACTAGTTATGCTTTTCACAGCTGTTCACCCTGACGCCACACCGTAATGCGCCCCACTAAATCGAAGCTAAGTCCGAAAGCTATTTGTCAAGATCTCCGAGCCGCTGCAACTAGTACAGATCTGGTGTTTAGGACAGCCTGTCCAGGCAGTGTCCAGGCCTGTCCGCTCAGTTGTCCGCTACAGCATGCGACTAGCCAATCTTGCAGCATCCGATCGCATTACATCGATCTCTTCGATTGGACTGTGCCTCTACATGGCTCGTGCTATAGTATGTCCACCAAATCATACACACTAAAGAGAAAGGCACGTCCTACTTTAGACCAATCCAAAAGCATGGTACGATCACTGATCGGACTGTGTCTTGGAGGGTTTGAAGCACTTTCGATACTAGAGTATGTATCTTAAGTGTGCAACGGCTCTATCGTTAAGCGAGAAGTCTTAGATACGGGTAGTGCTGATCGGCCGGTCAGCCTGGTGCCAAGCCCAGCGGCATGTTGTCGCGCTGCGAGCTGTACTGCGCTGCGAGCTGTACTGCAGCGCTCACAGCGGCCATCACGTTTCCTGAACAACTGACAATGACTGATTCTATCGCGGAGCAAAAGGTCGATGGCCTCTACTAGGATGTACGGTAGAAACTCGTCGCCTCGGTGTACACGGCCCGGCGGAATGGACCCTCGAAGACTTCCCGGATCTCGTCCGTATTGAGGCCTGTGGCGAGGCAGAGCTGTAGCTGGATTCGTGCGTGCTCGGCAGACATGAAATTCGTCTTGATCCTAATATTCGTCAGCTACTGATCTCGGATTGCACCGTCCGGACCGTTTGTACTTACTCTGCATCCGGATGAGGCTGAGGGCAGGATGATCCAGTGAAGGGTCGTGAAGCGGAAACGATGGACACGCCCTGCGATGCGAGATCAGCAACCGCGGTTCTCCCGGCGGTAGTGAGCTTTCCGGCCCCGAAACCGACGATGACGAGCCCTCTGACGCTATCAGCTACTTTCTGAGGGCGAGGTCTGGCTATACTGACCGCGAGCCGCCCTTGACAGCAGCGTGCATCAAGTCCGCGTCAAATTCGACTGACACGTAAGCTACCAGTCTCGCATATCCGCTAGCGGGCTAGGGTGACATACGATGTGAATATAGGATGTCGACCTTCGGCAACTCCCCTTCAACCTTGTTGAGATCAAAGTATGCCTTACCAGTCGGTCGCGCAGGCTCGTAAAAGTAGTAAGGCTGCCCTGCGAACAGAGATCCCAGATGCCCCTGCTCAAGAGCCATGAAGGTGTCCGGGTTGTTCGCGTGCGCCTTTTTGGCGAAGTACGCGGACGTGATGTGATCGTTCCCGACGACCAGAGCTCCTCGACTCCGGGACGAGGGGGATATGGCCGTAGATATCGCCTGATAGAAGTTCAGGTGGCCATCAGAGGAAAGGGCTCCGTCAGGCCGCATGGACCCGACTGCAACGATGGGCTTGAAAGAGTTGAGGGTGAGGTCTAAGCCAAAGATCTGATGGACGAGTCAGCTCCAGCTACTTGGAGAGTCTTCAGCCTGGGCTTACCGTCTCAGTGAGGGTGTTCGTCCCGTGAGAGATAACAGCTCCAGCGATATCTGAGTTTTCAGAGCCCACATGCTCAGCGAAGTGCCTCGAGATGTTGACGAAGTCCTGCGAGGTGAGATTGTTACTGATGCGGGGAGGCAGCGAGACGATGCCGATTTGTGCAATGTCGAGAACCTCTGGGACGGCGTCAATGACGTCTTGAATGGTCACTGGCTTGCTCTTGTCCCCTCCGTAGGCCAAATTGTCGAGACGCGAGTATGCCGAGGTGAAGAGGATCGTGCCCCCGGTGGAGTACATACTAGGTGTTTGAGCTCCTGCTCCAGCGCGTGAGAGGCATGGCTTGACTCACATAACCTTGGGAAGCGACACGTCACGGCTTACCCATACCAGCGGAGTGTCTGTTCCGGTCAATGCGAGATGAGACATATTGGGTGAGTGATTGCAAAGACTGGAGGATGTAGGACCATTGCCTTAGTAATGGATAGGACGAGGACCAGGCTGTCCGTCTCGAACAAAGGAGAAAAAGGCTCGGGGCTCCTCCCATCAAAGGAGAGCACAAAGGAGAGAGCACCGGCGTGGAGACACTCCTTCGACCTGCAAGCGATCGACGACAAGGGATGCCGACCCGTCACTTTGCAGTCCTGAATCTGAGTGCTACGGCGGATTTGATTGTGCATGCGACCTCAACAGAGCGCTGATTCACAGCTTGGGTGAAGGGTCAGTATCAGACTCATCAGTGCTAGTGCGTCAGCGTCAAGATAACTCCGGAATTGATACGCCAGTCTTGTTCCGGCAGATACCTATCTAGCTATCGAGCAGGGTAGTAGAACCTCGTTGCCTCGTTATAAACGGCCCGCCTGAACGGACCTTCAAATGCCTCTCGAATCGCCTCCATCTTCATGCCTGTAGCGAGACATAGCTGCAGCTGGATCCGGGCGTGCTCCGCGGACATGCAGTTCGTCTTGAATCTAGTAGTCCGTCAGCTACACCCCAAAGGTATGTGACCGTAAGGGAAGCTTGACTCACTTGCTGTCTGGGTGAGGCCTGGGAAACGAGGAGCCAGTATATGGCCGGGCCGAGACGATGACAGGTATACCCCGCAATGCCAGCTCTTCAGCTGCAACGTCACCTGCAGCATTGAGGTCGCCAGCGCCCATACCCACGATGACGATGCCGCTATACGTATCAGCGACAGCGCGAAACATCCACAAGAGCAGACCCACCGAGAGCCCAATTTGACAGAAGCATACATCAGGTCTGCATCGAACTCGACTGAGATATCAGCGGCTTCACCGGATTTGATTGGGTGTAAGAAGGCTTACTATGACCATATAAAATATCCACCTGTGGTAGGTCCCCCTCGACTTGGCTCAGGTCGAAGAACTGCTTCCCGGTAGGCCGCGCAGCATCGTAAAAGTAGTACGGTTGTCCCGCGAAGAGATACCCCAAATGACCTTGCTCGAGGGCCATGAATGTATCCGGGTTGTTTGCGTGGGCCTTCGTACCGAAGAAGGCAGAGGTGATGTGGTCGTTCCCGACGATGAGCGCTCCGCGTCCCCGAGAAGAAGGAGATATGGCGGTAGAGATTGCTTGGTAGAAGTTGAGGTAGGCGTCGGATGAGAGAGCGCGCTGCGGCCGCATGGAGCCAACAGCGACGATCGGCTTTGAGCAGGGGAGTGTAAGGTCGATGCCGAAGATCTGAGGGTCAGCTCTAGCTCGGCATGCAGACATGTTCAGGCTACTCACAGTCTCAGCTAGCGTGCTCGTTCCATGAAGGACGATAGCCCCCGCAATGTCCGAGTCCGCTCGACAAGCATGTATCGAGAAGTGCCGCGAAATGTTGACGAAGTATTGCGAGGTAAGATCATTGCTGATCCGGGGAGGCAATGTGACGATAGCGACCTGAGCGATATCGAGTACCTCGTCAACCTCGTCGATAAGAGTTCGAGCAGTTGGAGGGTGAGTTTGGTGCTCGCCATAAGCTAGATTGTCAAGGCGAGAGTAGGTCGAAGCAGCGAGTATCGTTCCGCCGGTAGAGTAGATACTAACTGGTCAGCCTCGAATTATAATCATCACAACAGATATACAAGCACTTACATGACCTTGGGAAGTGAAAAATTGCGGCTGATCCATTCGAGCGAGTCGGCGGAGCCGGGCAAGAAGACCTGTGATGCTTGAGCCCGCGCGATGGCAGCGAAAGCTACTGTCAGAAGAGACCACATGTCAGTATAGCCTGTAGGTACGAAGACAGATCAGAGACCGAGATGCTGACCAAGCCAGCCCATTCCAAACGAAGGGGACGCCCTCTCCAACTCTGAAGGATCTTGCATCCCTCTACACGTAAACCCCGGCCGTGCAAAACATAGCCACCACCCCAGCGCCAGCCAGTATACTCGCAATCGCTGCGGTCCCTAATTCCGGCACGATGTTCTTTGATCTCGGCAGTCTGACCTTTAGCGCGTGTCATGGGAGCGTGAGAGATCGAGACTCACGTTGTGAACATGAAGGAGAGGATGAAGAACGTGAGAAGGGTGAAGAAGGCGATGTAGGGGAGTAGAGCGGTAGGTACTGGTGGGGTGAAAGCAGGGAGGGTAGAGAATTGCGCCTGCTTGGTTAGCATAATGGGATAAGAGGCATCATAGCTGGGGAACTCACCTTTACTGAGGCGTAAGGAGATGACATCTTGCTGCAAAGGAACCGAGGAAGTTAAACGTTGTCGTGATGCCTGAAGCTGAACAGATCCGTGGTACTTCCGAGCTACGCTCAGATGTGATAGCTATGATGGATCTTCAGACCGAGACGTGCGATCTGGCGATGATGTCTATAGCTGTTGGATGACTGAAAGGAGAACGTGAGGAGTGAAGATGAAGGGCCGCTGAACTGGTCTCGACTTTGACCCCGCATCTTTAAGCTTTACCCCGCAGTCGCGAAACTGGTCAAAGCTTTGCCTTGGCCAACTGGCTATCATATGGTCCATCGCACCACATCCTAGGAGTAAGACCGCTCGCTATACCCCTCAAGGTCAATACACACCTGCGGAGCCGTGCAGGACTTTGACTCTGCAGAGGGAGCCCTGGCAAAAGGACAGCCAAGCTCGGTCGCGTCTGGCCGGCCGGACATCGTCGTCTACGAGAATCAGCATGCGGACGCAACCCGCTTTGCCCAAGCTGGAGCTACCACCGCCGAACCTCAACGACGAGACAGCTCTCTTTCAACATGCACCCACACCAGGTACGAAAGTACGGCAAGAGTGGGAGCCCGGATGCCAGCCCGACGAGGTGTATGATGCGGCGCTGCCTGCCTGGAGGGCACGCGCGAGGCGGTATCTCGTCCGGAGGCTACATGTTGAGAAGAAGTGGATGGCGGACTGGCAGCTGAGGGTGCGAACGGAAGGGAGGGACAAGTATTTCTACTGGACTGCTATCTTTGGCAGTGAGTTGCAGTGGCTACCGGGGAGCTGAAGGGAGCTGCAGCTGAGCTTATCAGCTCATACCTTCTTCAACGCCTTCTTACCGCTGTTCTTCTGGTACGGTGACCCGGCTAAGGGTCGAGGGTGAGTCATGTGTCCGACTCCTTCTGTTAAGGACGCGGAGCTGACGCGCTAGCTTGCTCAATGCTGTCGGCCTGGGTATCTACATGTCTTCTTTCGCTAAAGACCTGGTCTGTACACCTCGACCTTACAGCCCGCCTGTCGTCCGTCTCGGTGGGTCAGAGACTCGCTACTCAAGCGCTTATCAACCAGCAATGAGCACTCATGCGCATGAGTACGGCTTCCCCTCCAGCCATTCCACCAATACCCTCACTATTGCACTCTTTCTTGGCCAATGGGTCTGGGAGGTCAGAAGCGCTATAGGTCCTATAGCGACCAGTATCGCATCTCTCAGTACGTCTATGTATAGCTCTAAGGAGAATACGATCGCGCTGATCAATTTAGTCTTGATGGTTTACATGGTCAGTGTTGTCGGCGGGCGAGTCTACACCGGTATGCACTCGATTGGTAAGTTACCGATACAAAAGGTGTAATGCGCCGTGGCTGACTACTCAGCCGATGTGGTAGGAGGATCTCTGATGGGGATTGCCTGCTGGGCCACTGGACTACTTGTGGAGGCACCGCTTGAACTATGGACCACGTCCGGATCATTAACAGGTCAGCGCTACCTTTCCTCAATTCCCAACATCGGACGTAAGCTGACAGCTCCAGTTCCCCTGCTTGGCATCCCTCTCACTCTCGCATGCGTGCACTATCATCCGGAACCGGTGGACCCATGTCCGTGCTTCGAGGACGCCATTGCTGTGCTTTCCGTCATGCTCGGTGGCGTACTGGGGCATTGGTACGAAGTGCGGAACGGCCTGGTAGCGACAGCACTTGCTACTGAAGTCTGGGGTAGGGGACCCATCATAGGCGCCACTATCGTTCTGGAGAGACTAGTACTCGGTAAGCTCGCCCAACTTTTGTCCGGCAGTGACCGCGAGCTCATGTCAGGTATCGCAATCGTCTTCGGATGGAGGATACTCGCGAAGCGGACCCTCCTTCGTGTATTGCCGACCATCTTCCGAGTTTACTCCAAGACACTCGACGTGGACCTACCGACCAGACAGGGATACACAGCTGCCACGTGAGTCGTCTGTCCTACCTGTAGACCTGACCCATATCTGGCCATTACTGATTCGCAGCGACTACAAAGGGTTCCCTCAAACACCCATCCGCTCTGTTCCCTCTTTCCTCGACATGGCGCAAGCCGACTCCTCAGCCGAGGCCACACCAGTCGACTCTCCGACGGACCTGCTCGCGGCCCGAGGCAGTATGTCTGGGAGTCTCAATCCTCTTGACATTCCCGACGCAGCTCTGCGGAGAAGGGGATCTGGTAGGACCGCTGAGGCGACAACCAAAAAGGCCGGACCGGCTGGGCCTGCTAAGGCTAAGCGGAGCACGAGGCCGACAGAGATCAAGTTTGATGTAGAAGGTGCGTCTGCCGGGCATCCTGAAGTTCACGGCTGATCTTGCAGTCTTGACAAAGGTGATTGTCTATCTTGGGATTGGGCTGCTGGCTTGCACGATTATACCGTACATTTTCAGCTGGATCGAGGACAGGCTGTTATAGCATATGCATTGCAGACTGCGAATCAAGTACATAGACTCAGCTGTGCGCAGCGCCTGCGACCTAGGGCCTCACTTCCCATGCCCAAGCTCAAGGTCAATCAGGCCCCAAGAGCTATGACGGCGCCACCCGCCACTGCACTGACCAGCCTCCACATTTTCGACTCCTCCTCTCCGCGCCTCCTCCTCCTCCCTTTGCCTCCTCATCCTTTCGTTTCACCTTTTCCTTATCCGCATCGACTCGACTCGATACGACCAGTAGATAAGCTCAGTCCTCGCCGCTGGAGTATCAGTATATGACCCATATACTCGCTCGTCGCCCTTTGCTACACCTCTCATCCTACGCCCAGATATCTTTTCGGCAAATCCGAGTTTCCACTCCGCATTCCTCAACCTCTATCTCGACTCGACCTTCAGCATCTGCTCTGCGCAGTCACACGACCCTTCCGCCTCGCGCCAAGCACCATCAACCTCTTCCAAGGATGTCCCCCGCTACCTCCGCCCCCGAGATCCCAACTACGGCTCCCGCGAAATGGCCTCAGCCGGAGAACTGGCCGGCGGCCAAAGTCCGTCAGACGTACATTGACTACTTTGTCAACGCGCCGGGGTTCGAACACACCTTTTGGCCTAGTAGCGGAGTTATCCCGTTCGATGATGATACGCTGCTCTTTGCCAATGCTGTGAGTTGAGGTATTATGGGCGGCGGGCGGGCGGAATGTGCTAGAAAGGAGGGGGTTGTCCAGGCGTGGCTTGCGTTAGATGATGGAGCGGCAGACCAAACGAGCTCACTGAGATGGTCGCTGACAGCCACAGGGTATGAACCAGTACAAGTCGATCTTCCTGGGGACCGCCGACCCAAAGTCGGACCTCAGCAAGCTCGTCCGAGCTGTCAACAGTCAAAAGTGTATCCGAGCTGGAGGAAAGCACAACGGTATGTCTGAATGGTTCTAGCCCTTTTTGACCTTACCTATATCATCTGAGACCTATAGCTGATCCTCCTCAGACCTCGATGACGTCGGGAAGGACACCTACCACCACACCTTTTTCGAAATGCTGGGAAACTGGTCGTTTGGCAACTACTTCAAGGTGAGCTCATGTGCCCCGTTTCGAACACCGAGACGTGCGGAGAGCTGATTGACCTAGTACGGCGCCCTCACGATGGCCTGGGACCTGCTTACGCGCGTCTATGGTTTGCCGAAGGACCGGCTGTATGTGACCTACTTTGAGGGTGACGAGTCTCAGGGATTGGAGCCGGACAGGGAGGCGCAGTAAGTCCAGCTTTGTCCTTCGACCGCATTCCAGACGCAGGACGCTGACATCCAGACAACTCTGGCGGGATCTTGGGGTCAAGGAGGAGCATATTCTTCCTGGAAACACCAAGGACAACTTTTGGGGTCAGCGCCTTCCCAGATGAATTCGTTAGATCGACAAGCTGACTCGGCAGAGATGGGCGCCAGCGGACCATGCGGTCCATGCAGCGAGATCCACTTTGATCGTATCGGTGGCCGCTCCGTCCCCGAGCTGGTCAACGCCGACGACCCAAACGTCCTCGAGATCTGGAACAACGTCTTCATCCAATACAACCGTGAACCTTCCGGCTCGCTCCGCCCCCTTCCCAACAAGCACGTCGACACCGGTATGGGCTTCGAGCGGCTCGTCTCCGTCCTCCACAACGTCTCGTCCAACTACGATACCGATGTCTTCACGCCCATCTTCGCCAAGATCCAGGAGTTGACGGGCGCCCGGGACTATACCGGCAAGCTCGGAGATGAGGACAAAGATGGCGTCGATACTGCCTACCGAGTCATTGCGGACCATATTCGAACCCTCACGATCGCCATCTCGGATGGAGGTGTACCAGACAAGGACGGTCGGGGCTACGTTCTCAGGCGAATCCTGCGTCGAGGTGTTCGGTATGCGAGCAACAAGCTCAACGTCAAGATTGGGACTTTCTTCTCATCGCTTGTTCCTACCGTCGTCGAGTCTCTGGTGAGCCCTATCTAGCACGGTGAATGGTCATAGCTGATCATCAGAAACCCATCTTCCCAGAAGTCGCCAAGAAGGTCCCTGCCCTCGTTGAGATACTCAACGAGGAGGAAGCCTCGTTCGCCCGCACCCTCAACCGCGGAGAGGCTCTCTTCTCGAAGTACGCCGCTGCCGCAAAGGAGTCAGGCTCCTCGACCCTCGGTGGTAAAGACGTCTGGCGGTTGTACGACACGTACGGTTTCCCGGTCGATCTCACCGAGATCATGGCGGAAGAGCGGGGCCTCAAGATTGACAAGGTGGCTTTCGAGGCGGCTAGGTTGGAGAGTCTCGAGGCGAGTAAGGCGGGCGGAAAGGACAAGGCGGGCGCCGGTGTCAGGCTGGATGTGCATGATTTGGGAGCTTTGGAGGCCAACGCGGATGTGCCCAAGACGGATGACTCGACCAAGTACCGTAAGTCTCCCTATCCCCAGTCAGGAGCGGAGCTGACGTATTACAGAGACGGACGAGATCAAGGCGAACGTCAAGAGTATCTACCACGGCTCCAAGTTCCTCTCGTCAACCTCCGAGGTGCCGACCGGCGAGGCATTCGGAATCATCCTCGACAAGACCAACTTTTACGCCGAGCAGGGAGGGCAAGAGAACGATACTGGTCTTTTGTCGATCGGCGACAAGGCCGAGTTCAAGGTGGAGGATGTGCAGGTGTTCAACGGCTATGTGCTGCATGTTGGGCGGATGGAGGAGGGGGAGATCAAGGTTGGAGATGAGGTCCTCTCGACGTACGACGAGGTAAGCTATCCTTTCACCTCCTAAGATGTGAACCTAGCTTATACTTCAGCTCCGTCGCTGGCCTATCCGGAACAACCACACCGGTACCCACATCCTCAACTTTGCGCTCCGCGAAGTGCTCGGAGACCACATCGACCAAAAAGGCTCTCTCGTCGCCCCTTCCAAACTCCGCTTCGACTTCTCGCACAACAAATCTGTCGTCCTCGACGACCTGATGAAGATTGAGCAGATCTGTAACGACTGGATCAAAAAGGCGGCTACAGTCTACGCCGAGGAGATGCCGCTTGTCGAGGCGCAAAAGATCCCGGGGCTGCGCGCTGTCTTTGGAGAGGCGTACCCGGACCCGGTGCGGGTGGTGTCTATCGGCTTCCCGCTGGAGGATATCAGGAAGAACATCAATGACACCAAGTGGGCGTCGACGAGTATCGAGTTCTGCGGTGGAACGTGAGTTTCGCCGAAGCATCAATCGTGATGATGGATGAGCTGACTTTCCAGGCATGTCCAGAAGACGGATAGCATCAAGGATCTGGTCATCACCGAAGAGAGCTCGATCGCGAAGGGTATCCGCCGAGTCGTCGCTGTCACCGGACACGAGGCGAACGAGATCTCGCGCCAGGCCAACGAGGTTGAGCGGAGATTGACCCGTATCGAGGGTATGGAGGGCAAGGAGAAGGATGCTGCTATGAAGCCGTTTTTGACTGTGAGTTGTCGGACTATGCAGTGTATGGTACTTGTGCGGGCAGAAGCTGATACGTGCAGGAACTCGGCCAAAGCGGTATCTCCCTCATTCGCAAGCAACAGCTCAAGGCTAGATTCGAGAAGATGCAGAAGGAGTTCGCAGCTGTGCACAAGGCCAAGGCCACCGCGGATCAGAAGATGGTGAGCTACGTAGCCTCCCATCGGCGCAACCTCATAGCTGACTCTGGTAGATCCAGGACGAAGTCAAGCGTTACTTCTCCGAGAACCCCAACGAGAACGTCTACGTCGGTGTCTTTGGTGTCGGCGGCGATGCCAAGATCCTCGCTGCTGCCGCTACCGCCGCTAAGGCTCTCGGCAAGGCTTCCTACGTCTTCTCGCCAGATGTCGAGGGTGGGAAGGTTGCACACGCCAACTTCCTGCCTAAAGACATCATGGAGAGGAAGGTGATTGACGCGAAGACTTGGTTGGCGGAGGTCTCGAAGGTGCTTGGTGGCAAGGTAAGCTTCATACTCCACACCGAAGGAGAGACAAAGCTGACGAGAAAGGGCGGTGGGAAAGATGACTCTGCAGTCGGTGTGGGGTCGGAAGTCGGTAAGATCGATGAGGCGGTCGCAGTTGCTAGGAAGGTGTTCAAGACCAAGGTCGAGGGCGCTTGAGGACGGGTCCGAGATCTTGGGTGGATATGGATCATGACATGCATGGCTCAACATACTCGGGCCAGTCGTAGGTCTAGCTCTGGGCTGGTCACCAGCCGGCCGATGTGATGTCCGACCCAATCTCTACCAACAAGTGGCATGTCGAAACAGAGGGGGGGGGGGGCAGACAGCTGATGACATATAGGGCGGTGGGAAGGACGACTCTGCGGTCGGAGCGGGATCGGAAGTCCGCAGGATCAACGCGGCGGTTGCGGTTGCGAGGACAGTATTCAAGACCAAGGTCAAGGGCGCTTGAGGATGGGTCGATAGCTCGAGTGCGTGTATAACATATCATGCATGCAGCTACAAGACGATACTACGATACTAAGCTTACCTACAATACACTACATATTAAAACGGTACTACAAGACTAATACTACCTACACTACTAGCACGCAGACCAAAGACCATCGCCATGCACCCCTCCCGCTCAGTCCGAGTCAGGATAGTCCACCAAACGGGTGGGACCCGGCTTGAAGACTACCTCTCCCCTCCCCTGCTGCACCTTCTCCGCTACCAACTTGAGACCCGCCGAAATGACCGCTTGACCGCCTTTGATCATCGCTGCCTCCTCGTCTGCCTCCCCGTCGGAGTCTCTGTCGGCATCCGAGTCCGAGTCAGAGTCAGACGACCCCTCGTCATCCGCATCGGATCCGCCCGAGTCGTGATCATCGCCCTCTTCCTCTTCCACCTCCTCGAGCTCCGGCTCGGCCATCTGTGGACGTCTGACGACCGTAACCTCGTCGGGATCCTCATACGGGACCAGCTCCTCCTCATACTCCTCCCTCATTGCCGCGCGTACCGCCACTTGCTGCACGTCCCTCTGAGCCTCCTCATCCGGCACATCCGCCACTTCAGCTGCGGGATTGACCTCGTCCGGCGCTCCCTGCTCCTCATCCTCAGTCCCTGCCGCCCGTGCCGCCGTATGCTGCATGGCCCTCTGAGCCTCTCCCTCCGCCACATTCGCCGCCTCAGCTACCGGATTGGCCTCGCCGGGCGCTTCCTCGTTGTCCTCGGGGCCAGGCATAGGTACATCTCTGGCAATCCAATATTCACCAGGCCGCCTGACCCGGGAAAACACCGATCGTACCTCGCCCGCTGCGGCTGGCGGGGTGAGGCTCCTGGCGCGCTGAGGGGGTGGCCAAGAGTGAGGATTGGCGAGGAAGGCGTGATGTTTCGACTTGTGCCACTGGCCGGAGAAGGTCTTGTGGGCTTTGGCGAGATGGGGATTGGAAGTGAGGGTCGCGATGAGGGTCTCGGTTGGCAACGGGAAACCGCAAGGAGGAGGGGCCACACGAGCATGTCGGTAAGAACAGCCCTGGATCTCGCCCTCGCGGACCATATCGAGAAGACCGATCCAGGTGATGGTGTTGTAGTCGGGGTGGGCGTAACGCTTGTTCCCGATGTTGCGAACCGCGATCAAGAAGGTCTTCTTCGAATTCGAGGCGGTCTTGGTACGAAGCTGATAGTGAACCTCAATCCCGCGCTCCTGCGACCGGTCAGCCAGGTTCTAACTAGAAATTGTTGGGATATTGTACGCACAAAAAGAGCTCGCTCGAGCAGCCAGGCAACCTCGGACCAGCCATTATCCCCCTCTCGGGCAACAAAAACGGCGAGATTCGAGCTCCGCGTGTTCACGGCCGATGCCTCGGACGCCTTCAGATACGGGAACAGCTGACTGGTATCGCCCAAGTACGTCGGTGTGGGCCGATCATACTCTTTACGCCCATGCCTATGTCCAGCGGTCTTCTCAGTCCGGATCGGAGGCATCGGAGCTGTAGAGGTGGTCGATTTAACGGATGAGGTAGATCAGGAGGAGGCGTTTGAATGAGCGGTAACTCTTGGATCAGCATTCTACTTGGGATCAAATCGGCAAGGGGATCACTTACTTACGCAAGTCAAGCTGACTCTATCTATCCGGATCGTGGTAGGGGAGCTTCCTGAGTTGTCTTTGACAATCAGGCTAGAGGCCGGGTGATGGAGGTGATTAGCAAGTACTGGATGAGTGTGGGAGAAGAGTCGCCGCCGAGGCGCTATGCTTTTATAAGGACAGCAACCGTCACGAGTCGTCCATGTTCCTTGCAAACATCGACCAGCCTCTCTTGCTTACAACGCATACCTTGTTGACTTTCTCGACTCGGATCCGCTGCCGCGGGCTCGAAAGCTGACCTCTGAGAGGCACGCCCCTTTTAGCCGGCAGTGTTGCTTTTACCAATGTCAGCTGAGTCCATTCAGTGCGGGTCGCGAGCACCGCCCGGTCTCACTTTCCTACAGCTGGATGACTGTTCCTGTCTCATCATCTTCCAAGAATAGCGATTCGACACAGCTTAGGCTTACCTATATGACATGCCAAGGACCGTCGAGGGCGGGCACGCATTCAAAGAGAGACAGATGACTGTGCCAAGTCTCATGACGCGACAGCTGTTACCCCTCGGCGGCAAGGCAGTGCTGCGGCTGGTACACGGGATCTGACAGCGCGGCACCATTCCGGAGGACAGATGCTACAAAGTGCCTCATTTGAAGACTCCGGGAACGCCGATAGTCGCGCGTAGGGGTACAGGCTACAGTACAAGGATTGCTCATCTGCGAACACAATATAGGATTCGGAGTCGGTACTTGGGAAGAGGGGTCCGAATGCGGACCTTTTGATTCGGGACCGACTCCGTTAAACGGACCACCTGAGTACAGCTGCAGCCCTAGCTGTAAGCTGTTGGGCTCCACGTCTGCCATCGCCCTGGCCCGACATTACCGACAACAAACCGGAAGATACAAAGGAACGGAGCGGAATATCGATCTGCGGAACGGACAAACGGATAATAGAGTAGAACAAGGAACGGAAATCACCGGATTCGGACATAGACTTAGAACAGATAGAAGTGGAGCATCCACCGGATCAATCACAGGTGAATCAACGGATAAATCGATAAAGCAACATAACGGACGACCATTGGCGAAGGGTATCGAACGAAAGCCTAGGTCCCGCGGCGTGATGGAATCCTATTATGTGCCGATCCCAAGTGGAGCGGCATTGACATTTTGCTGCTGATGAGCGGATATTGTGCTCCAAAGACACCCCAGAACGGAGCAACATCGGTGTCGGATGTAGATCAGGACCTCGGGCTGGTATCCAGTCCTATTGATGCCCGAACCTGAGTTGACCATACAGCCATACTCTTTGTCGCAGTAATAGACGCTCAAGGTATGACAGAAATTGCGGCTCTGATGGCTGACCCGGTATATAGGGGGATGGCCCCACATCTGCTGCACCGGAGGGGCGCAGCAATAAGGCGTTACCCAGGACGGATTTGGCCCGATTTTCGCCACCCGCATTAGCGCGCCGGATGAAACATGTTGATTTTTCCCGATCCGGCAGAAATGTATCGGTCGCGAGAAGCAGCCAGTCGCGATCGAGCTCGGATACACACTCCTCTCCTAGTTTCGACTCTCCAGTCGCTCCATCAGTATTACTACCCAAGGGAAAATCAACATCTGGATTGCTTTCTCGCCGAAAGATACATCGAGAGGCTTGTGATTCACAGATATCCTCTTCCTACAGTGATGGTCCTCCTTGGTCAGTTATCAAACTTGAGATCCTTTGTTCCCCCGCTCGAGTCGACTGGCGGACGATAAGGCAGTGCCATTCTTTGCACGGATTGGCATCGGCTCCTGTTGCAGTTACTGATAAAGTTTGAGACGAACTGATCAGGTACTATATCGCTCAAGGACAAGTCGACCGACTGAAAACGCGGCCAGAACCGTTCTCTTGATCAAAGCTGATCCGTGGCAACCATCATGCCCGCAGCCTCATCAACTCCGACCCTTCCCGGCGGTACCACAGCAGTATGGCCCGAAGCCGCCAACTGGCCGGCCACAAGGGTCAGGCAGACATTGATTGACTACTTCAGGACGATGCCAGGGTACGAGCACACCTTTTGGCCCAGCAGCAATATTATTCCGTTCGAGGACGACTCCTTGCTATTCGTCAATGCTGTGAGTAGATATCCTGCACCGCCATAGGAAGCAAGCTGATATAGATAGGGGATGAACCAGTACAAGCCGATATTTCTCGGTACGGCCGATCCAAAGTCTGAGCTCGGTAAGCTCGTCCGGGCCGTCAACAGCCAGAAGTGCATTCGCGCCGGAGGAAAACACAATGGTGAGCCTTGCACTGGGATCGTTTGGGACTGGTAATCAGACGGGGCACGGCTGATCCGTTTGCAGATCTCGACGATGTTGGCAAGGACAACTACCACCACACCTTCTTTGAGATGCTGGGGAATTGGTCATTCGGAGACTACTTCAAGGTGAGCTTGACCGCTCGCAGACCGTCACGTGACCGAGGGGTAATGCTGACAGTACAAAGAGGCGCTCTGGTCATGGCGTGGGACCTACTCACTCGGGTGTATGGCTTGCCTAAGGACCGGCTGTACGTGACTTACTTTGAGGGGGACGGGACGATTGGCTTGGAGCCGGATCTAGAAGCACGGTGAGCTACATGCGTCCATAATACTCCGGATGGCGCGTGAAGCTGACGGAATCAGGCAGCTATGGCTAGATATGGGCTTGGAGGAGGACCACGTCCTGCCTGGCAATACCAAGGACAACTTCTGGGGTGGGTCACAGCTGCACCAGAGCCCAAGTCTTGACTCAAGCTGATTAATTCCAGAGATGGGTGCGAGCGGCCCTTGTGGTCCGTGCAGCGAAATCCACTTTGATCGTATTGGTCACCGCAGCGTCCCCGAGCTGGTCAACGCGGACGACCCCAACGTCGTCGAGATCTGGAATATCGTCTTCATCCAGTACAATCGGGAAGAACACTCCGGCACACTCCGGCCCCTTCCCAATCAACATGTTGACATGGGCTTCGGGTTCGAAAGGCTCGTTTCGGTTCTTCACGATGTCTCGTCCAACTACGATACCGACCTCTTCACGCCCATCTTCACGCGGATCCAGGAGGTGACCGGTGCGCCTGCTTACGGCGGGAAGATGGGCGAGGCGGATGTCGTTGGGATCGATACGGCCTACAGGGTGATCGCGGACCATGCGCGGACGTTGACGATTGCTTTGTCAGACGGAGGCGTGCCGGATAAGGATGGGAGGGGGTATGTGTTGCGACGGATCCTCAGGCGAGGGGCGAGGTATGCCAGTAGCAAGTCGGGCGTCAAGATCGGGACGTTCTTCTCGTCTTTGGTGCCTGCTGTTGTCGAGTCCCTGGTGAGTTTCCAGACCTCAGACCATACAACGTACAGCTGATCGTAAAGGGCGCCACTTTCCCCGATATCACCAAAAACATCCCCGCCTTGATCGACATCCTCAATCGAGAAGAGATGTCGTTTGCTCGGACGTTGATTCGCGGAGAAGCTCTTTTCGCCAAGTACGCCGCGGCTGCCGAAGCATCCGGTTCCGCCACTCTCAGCGGAGAGCACGTGTGGCGTCTATACGACACCTACGGCTTCCCTGTCGATCTCACGGAGCTCATGGCGGAAGAGAGGGGCTTGGAGGTCGATAGGGTTGCGTTGGAGGCGGCGAGGGCGGAGAGTGTGCAGGCGAGCAAAGCGGGTGGGAAGGGAAAGGCAGACGCGAGCGTCAGGCTGGATGTGCATGATCTGTCGGCGTTGGAGAAGAATGCGGATGTACCCAAGACGGATGATACGGCAAAGTACAGTGAGTCAGAGTCGTACACTTATAACCACCGAGCTGACCGACGACAGAGGCGGGCGATATCGAAGCGACAATGAAGGGTATTTACCACTCGTCGGATTTCCACTCGTCCTCGTCAGATATCCCCATTGGCGAGACATTCGGTATCATCCTGGACAAGACCAATTTCTACGCACAGCAAGGAGGTCAGGTGAACGATACCGGGACACTCTCGGTTGGCGATGATGCGAGGTTTACAGTCGAGGACGCTCAGGTGTTCAATGGGTATGTGCTGCATATCGGCAAATTGGAGAGTGGAACCATCACGATCGGAGACCGCGTGAAGTCTACGTACGACGAGGTGAGTCAAGCAGGCTGTACATCTCGTCATGTTCCACGCTCACGCTGTAGCTCCGCCGCGGATCTATCCGGAACAATCATACCGCCACCCATCTCCTCAGCCTCGCTCTCCGCCAAGTCCTCGGCGACCACGTTACCCAGAAAGGCTCACTCGTCGCTCCAAACAAGCTGCGCTTCGACTTCTCGCACGAGAAGCCCATCGCTCTCGAGGCTCTTGTACAGGTCGAGAAGATCTGCAATGACTGGATCAGCAAGGCCGCAGCGATATATGCGGGTGAGGTGCCGCTCGAGGAGGCTCAGAGGATCCCTGGTTTGCGCGCGGTATTCGGGGAGGCGTACCCGGATCCGGTGCGGGTCGTTTCCATTGGGACTTCACTGGAGGAGATCAAGAGGGATGTCGCCAATCCCAAGTGGATGGAGACGAGCATCGAGCTTTGTGGCGGAACGTGGGTAGCATTTTCTACAAAGAAATCACTGCTCTAAGTTCGGGGTTGAGCCGGAGCTGACGTGAACAGGCATGTGTCCAGGACGGACATCATCCGACGCCTGATCATTGTCGAAGAGAGCTCGGTAGCGAAGGGTGTCCGCCGCATCGCCGCTGTTACCGGAAATGAGGCGAGCGAGGCAGCCCAGTTTGCCGACGAGATGGAGCTGAGATTGGCCAAGATCGAGGAGACGGCGGCGAGTGCTAAGGCAGAGATGATGAGGGCGTTCTTAGCCGTGAGTGACAGTCATAGACAGCTGTTTCGTCCTACAATAGCCGCTGATGCGTGCAGGAACTCGGCAAAAGCAGTATCTCGGTCGTGCGAAAACATCAGCTCCGAGCGAGGCTCGACGTGATGCGGAAGGAGATCAAGGCTGTCGAGGGCGCTAGGGTGGCAGCTGGTCAGAAGATGGTCAGTGGAGGCGACTGCGGCATGGCCATGATGAGGCTGACTATCATGCAGATCCAGGACGAGCTCAAGCGCTATTTCGACGAGAATCCCAACGAGAACGTCTACGTCGGGGTCTTCGATGTTGGTGGCGATACTAAAATCCTCGCTGCTGCCACTGCTGCCGCCAGAGCTCTGGGCAAAGCCGCGTATGTCTTCTCAGCCGATGAGACGACAGGCAGAGTCACCCATGCGAATTACCTGCCTCCGCACGTCCTGGACAACAAGTGTTTGGACGCGAAGAGCTGGCTAGCAGAAGTTACGACTGTACTGGGGGGCAAAGTGAGTTACGTTGAATCTTTAATATGATCTTTCTGACCGAAGCTGATGAGCAGGGTGGAGGTGAAGAGGACTATGCCATCGGCGTCGGATCGGAGATGGACAAGATCGCCGAGGGAGTGGCCCTTGCCAAGTTGGTGTATTGCACCAAAGTGGAGGGCAAGTAAGCCTGCATCATCAGTCAAGATGGATTGAGCATGCATGCATAGTGGATAACCATGTCGATGGTGCAGCATCACCTTGGATCGGGAGAAGATTGAGGTATGAAGCGTATCCGTGATAAGGTTTGCCATCAAGGGGCAAAGTGGCGTTTCAGAGTTGAAAAGAGGGGGTATGTGCGGGCGGGCCAAATTTTCGGTTCAAGGGTGTGTGCCTTCCTTTGCAGTGCTATCTGGGGTGCTCGGGGCCATACTCGCTCCACTCAACTCCGATAGAGTGGGATGGAGTGTGTGTTGATGGCACAGACTCAGGGGTTCCTCTCCGCGATGTTGACGGGGGCCGAGTAAAATCTTGCCATCCCCATCAGTAATCACGGCTGCCCACCTTCCCCTCGCGTTGCTTATTGTCTCCAATCACCAGCTTCCTTCACGCTCATTTACAACTCACGCTCTTTGCAGTTCGAATATCTCTGCCTGTTCTATATCTCCCAGCCTGAACGATCCTACCCTCGTCTGTAAGTAAAGTTCACCGCTCAGCTACACGACGTCAGCTGAACCTTAGCCGCTTCCCATCATGCGCTTCCTCACCCTCCTCGCGTTCGTTCCCCTCGCCCTCTCCCTCGCTCCCAACGTGGCTCCCCGGGCGGTCTCCAACATCGGCGCCATCACCGACGCCCTTTCTCTCCCCGATACCGTCTTTGTCAACGCGCAAAACAAAGCATTCGTCTGCAAAGACTTCCAGACGCGTAAGGAGAACTGCCGGTGTCGTGATGGCTTGATCAAGCCCAACGGATACAAGCCGGGGAACGCCATGCCCGCAGACAATTGTCGGTGCGACGACTCCAAGAACTCGGTCGGGTACGAGGAGACGAACAGGGCTGGCGTCACCGTTTTGAAGTGCAGCTGTCCTCATGATGGGGCTGACGGAATTTACGGCAACGACCAATGTGAGTATCAGAGTCAGCGGGGTGAGGAGATGCTGACGAGCAGACTATGATTACAACATGAACCGATGTGTCTGCCAGGTGAGTGTACATCGCGTACTCTGTAAGAGAACGCGACTGACACATCCAGGACAGCTTGGTCGAGACTCGCACCGGCGGTGTTCTGTCCTGCACGCCCCCCGCTCAACCGTCCCCCAAGACCGGATCCGGCCGCCGTCGCTCCCTCAAGTCCGCCCTCGAGCAGCGCAAGCTGGACGCTGAGTCCCGCGCGGTCGAGAACACTCTCCAGTGCAAGGCGTCAGAGAAGGCCTGCCAGGTCGGTGCTGATTGGTCCTGCGTCGAGTAAGCTTGCTTGCTCCTAGGCTCTGTAGAGGAGGGAAGCTGATGGCTAGGGTCATGACTAGCTTGACTACGTGCGGCGGTTGCGCTGGCGAGGCTGTCGGTAAGTGCCGGGAGGATCCAAACTTGCAATACATTAGCTGAACTATCAGACTGCGGAGCTCTCCCCAACGTCAGCGAAGTCCACTGCTCGGCTGGTCAGTGCGTGATCGGTAAGTATTCCTCTCGCTCGTGATCATGAGTGTAGCTGACGACCCAGACTCCTGCGCGCGCGGCTTCAAGCTCGTCCACCCCCTCTCCGCCCGCGGTACCACCACGACGCAGGCTGCAACCTGCCAGCCCATCCGTCGCCTCGGCTCGAGCTACTTCGAGATGCAGGGCGCTCGGTCTTTGTAAGGTGGTGACGCGATCTCCGAGGTGGTATCTGATAGATGGACAATAATATAGTATCTTCCCCTCCATATCTTTCCTCATCCATCCTTTCTTTACTCATAGACGTTTCACTTTGTTCCGCCCCTTCCGTGCTCGAGTGCAGCTGCTCCGTTCCGAGCGGGCTTGTCGTTCTTCTGTAGATCTTCATAGAAGCGCCGATGATATGATGCAGATGGTAGAGCACCTTCCAATAGCCAGCCTGGGCAGCTGTAACGCCGGGAACTTCCGCACCATGAGGCTGTAGCGGAATCAAATTACCCTCCTCTCTTTCCGATCCATCTTAATCTCTGCTCATCCAATACCAGCCAGCTCAATTACAATCTACCATCTACACATCAGCACACCCACCGAAAACATGTCCAACGACGCCGCGGCACAGCACACCGAGGAGGCTCAGGCGGGCTCGGGATCCATGCTCTCCAGCTTGGTCTCTTTCTTCGTGCCAACGTACGTTTTGGTCCGGATTTGGGCGAGGCCGGCGGCAATGAGAGAGGAGGGTAGGAGGGCGGACGGATCGGCTTTTCTGGCTGGTACGGAGGGCGCGCAGAGACAGGAGATGGGAATGTGAAGTCATGGATTGCCGCGGACTATGTCACGAGCGGCGGATCGGGATCTGCCCATTTCAAGAAGTAGTGCTGATCCCCCTCAGGGCCCACGCCGAGGAGCCGAAGAAGGTAGGAAACGACGAGGAAGAGACCGAGGACGAGGAGAAGGAGGAAGAGGAGTCGCCTGCGGAGGAGGAGGAGGAGGAGGAGGAGGAGCCAGAGGATGTAAGTTTTCGTCGGAATCCAGCTCGTATGGTCGGCGCAGGGTCGGCTGACCTCTCAGATCGCCCCGGCAATTCGACAGGAATGCGAGGAGACTCAGTGCGTCGAGCCGGCGAAGCACTTCAAGCACTGCTCGGACAAGGTCGAGGGTGGGAAGGGATGGGAAGGGGAGGACTGTGTCGAGGAGCTGTTCCACTTGATGCACTGCGTCGATGTGAGTTGGTTTTGCTTCTGTCATGGGGGCCTGCGCAGCAGAAGGTAGGGGGCCTCAGGAGAGGGACTGCTCGGATCGCAGGAGAGGGGACATGGTCGTGCTGCGAGTGAGGGAGGGAACTCAGCTGACGATCTGTAGGCTTGCGCCGCACCCCGGCTTTTCAGGAAGCTCGCTTAAATCATATATCGAGTCAGGCTGTGGGATCATGCATGGCGTGTGGTAGCTCCCGGAGTCGGCAAAGACAGCTCGTGCAGACGCCATGCCAGTCGAAGGAATCCTCACAGCTTACCCCTCAATGTTGCAGAGATCAAAATCGAGTGTCAGATTTCCCCATTGACCATGACATTCAAGACTACGACACTACTGACTCAACCCCCTCGCGGACCCCGCCTCATATCGGTCTTACCTACTCCACGGGCATCCGTTCCAGCCTCTCCCTCAACCCCTCCCAGATTCCCGTAACAACCTCTCCCGCCTCGCTCTCCACCTTCGCAAACTCCCTCCACCCCAGCGTCGCCTGTGCCGCCTGCCGCGAGTGAAACACCACCGATAGCTCGTGCCACATGCAAGCGCGGATGAAGACTCGACGAGCGAGGAGAGAAGTGATCAGCGAGTTGTCTTGCTCATTGCCTGGATGTCAGCTGGGGCCTAGTCGCAACACTGAGAGACGTACCAGAGACGAGTTTATCTACTTCGACTTCCCAATTTGGCTTTGCGGCTGCACGGAGCGCTTCGATCTTCTTCAGTCGGGTTTCGACCTTCTTTCGAAGAGCGTCTACCGAGTCTTTAGACAATTCTATCAAGTCAGCTTCAACCCAGCAAGAGATAGATAGGCCCAAAGAAAGTACTGACTGTCATGTCGTATAAACAGATCTCTGAAGGCGACGTATAGGTCACGCTGTGCCTTGAGCGCTTCGATACTGCCGAGCAAGATCACGGTCGCCTACATGGATCAGCTCGATCTCCGATACCAGCCGGCGAGCAGAAGGGAAAGCTCACCCTCCTTTCGCCCTCCTCGGCCACCTTGGTCCAGCTCTCCGCCACCTCCGCTAAACCTCTCCCCACTCCCTCGCAAAGCGAGCACCTCCCCCCGCCTCCCGCTCCCGCTCTATAACAACACCTCGGCATCTCCTCTCCGACCGTATGCAGCCCAAGTGCAAACCGGCTCGAATCCGCTGACGCAGCCATCAATCTCCCCAGACTCCTTTCCGCCAATACTACCAGTTTCTGATAGCTCCCCATCAGCGCCGGAAGGTGGTCTCGGAGTATCCCGAGCTTCTCGTCCAGATCTGCTGGGATGTTCATCTCTTCCGATTTGGAGAGGCGCTTGTTGGCTGATTCTTCGTCGGTTGAGACTTTGACGCGTTTTCGCCAGGCTTCGAAATTGGGTTCGGTGAGGAAGACGTTGAGCGCGCCGTCCTCGCGCAGGATCGGGTGATTGACGATCATACCAAGGAAGCGCTGCAGGCCTTTTCTGAAGGAATCAGCAGGCACCATAAGCATTGGAGAGCGGAACGGACACACCGTCGTTGCTCGAGAAACATAGCGTCTGGGCTCATCTTCTTTGGCGGTAGCGATGGTAGAATACGGAAAGGCTGGATATTAGCAAAACGTCCAATTGCAGTCCGCTAGAACCATCAAGAGTCTGGCTGATCCCCAATGTACTCACATATCGCCGGAGCATGCAGTCCAACAACCATACAAAGTCGGAATACCGCCGCGAGACAGTCTCTCCTCCCCGTTTCTGCACGGATCAGCTATCGAGACACGGCGGCACGATCACTGTTCAATGAGGAACTTGCGTCTGAGGTCACTTTGTACTTTTGCAAGAACCACCCCTCCCTCTCCTTGATGAGCTCCACATCGACCTTTTCCAGCCGCTTCCAATAACCCCTCTCCGCCTCCGCCTCGGGATTGGCCGCATCCCCCGCCAGACCGCTTCCTGTGGAGTAGCCGCTCGGTTCCACAGCATGTACGCCTGATCCGACGTCATAGCCGTTAGTGTAAGAAGTGTCTTCTTGGGCTGCTGGAGCTCGAGCTGTCGGCACGCGAGGGGAGGTGTCCCAAGGTGAGGAAGTGAGGAGTGAGGGGGACGCGACTGGCGGTTCAGTCCGAATGACGGAGCTGGTCGTTGCGGCAGGGATGAAGAGGGACGGAAAAGGAAGGTTGGGGAGGGAAGACACCAGCGCTTCGATGGAGATATCGGGCTCGGGCGAATCGGAGGATTGAGCGAGCGCGACGAGTGCGAGAGCGCATATGAACTCTGGACGTGCGAGGGAGGACTTGTCGCGGGCGGTGAGGTTGATGATCTAGGCAATCATCAGCTTGAGTCATTCGGTGAGCAAAAGCAGAGCTTACACGCTCGATAGCAGCTGCGGGGAGCTTGGAGGTCGATAGCAACCGGTGCACGGACGATATCGACACGTCTCCTGATGGCGTCGTATCCATCTGGTCTAAGAGGGAGAGGTACAGAGCAGGCGGGTCCGCTGTTACATGAGCTTGTCTCCTTTTAGCGCTCAAGCTGAAGGGCAGGAAGGAGCTCAACACACCTATCAGCCCATTCAACCCGCCGCCATCTCCCGCTCTCGCTGCCTCGCCCCCGAATCCCCCTCCTGCACCCAGATCAGGCTGCGTGATCGCCTCCTCGCTATCCCTCCGCGGAGTCCCGGAGCGCGTAGGGCTCGGTAAACCCGACCATGGGTCTACATCGCCATACCCCGCTGTACCTGGATTAGGAGTTGATGAGGCCAGAGGATCCGGGTAGGATGAGCCTGCCGAGTTGAGAAACGCGGATTGAGCGAGTGAGGGGTTTGTTCTCCGCGGTGCGTTGAACATGGTACTGTGTGAGCTGCCGGGTGGAGGGAGAGTATGCTCAGAGTGGTAGAGGTGAGTTATAGATGAATGGGGAAGCATCCTCCTTGAGCTTGAGCGCTGAGCGCAGCCAAGTCGACGGATCCGGACATCGCCGCCAACACGTCATCGAGCCAGAAAGTTGAGGAATGTGGAGCTGGAAGAGAGACACTGCAGCAGCGATTCACTCTGCCATATCGTCTTCACGCTAAGCAGACCTCGCGACTGATCGACAGACACCGCAGCATGGAAGAAGAGAAGACAGCGCCCTCGATCTCATGGATCGATATCCGGGAGAAGGTGGTGGAGCAAGCTCTCACGGACGGGGATTATGAAGCTCTCCGGCGGATGTCTGCCCTTCCAGGGGGGTTTGGCGGTGAGGGTATCAGGCGGAGAGTCTGGTGAGCTACCTACCATATTCTGATGCCAGTAGACACAAGCTGATAAGTCAGGCCAGTCCTCCTCCAGACCGACAGATTCTGCTCTGAAGCTACCCGATCTTCGACAAGCGACGAAGCGGTACACGAGGATGAAGGCCAAGTCGGGCTGGACACGAATCGGTCTTTCGTGGTGTATCCAACTGGGATCGTTCCAGAACGGAAGAAAGCTATGCAGGCGGACCTTTACAATGTGATTGTTGGCGTACTGCGTCGGTATCCGACGCTGAGCTACTTCCAGGTGAGCAGGCTGACGGGCAGTGATAGGTGGTCGGCCTTGTAGCTAACGCTTCAGGGCTACCATGATATCCTGTCCGTATTCTACCTCACATATATCTCCCAGCCAGCGCCAGATCCCCTCGTCCGCTCTCGCACATCTTCTCGGAATCACTCGAGGTCGACATCAGCTCGGCCGGAGACAGAGCGGGAAGTCGGTGCCGAGGCTGAGAAGGTAGAAGATGAGGGATCTGCTGCGTCGGAAAATTCAGAGCCGCGTGATAGTCCGGAGTGGGAGATACTGAGGAAGTGCGCAGAAGTTGTCTCGGTTCTGAGGGTACGAGACGCTATGGGAAGCGGGATGGAGGGCATGATGGGGATGTTGCGGTAAGTCTCAATCCCGGTAGCAAGGAGGCAGCATTGACTATCAGACTCCTCAAGCGTATACTCAGAGCAGCGGACCCTGAACTATCCCGCTTCTCATCACAAATCTCCCCAGTCCCTACTCTCCCCTTCTTCGCCCTCTCCTGGATTCTCTGCCTGTTCTCGCACGATATCGATACCCTCGAACCTGTCCAGCGGATGTTCGACTTCCTACTCGCTCGGAATCCGATCTCAGCTATATACCTCGCTGTCGCTGTGAGTTACAGCTGTCTCATCCCTGGTGGCTGAGCTGAAGCTGATATCTAGATCCTCATAGCGAAGAAACCCCAGATGATGGTGCTCGCAGCCGAACTCGGCCCTGAAGCGGCAGATGACCCATCCCTCCTCCATCCTCTCTTCTCGCGCCTACCTCCGCTGTACCCAGACACGCCCGACCAGACAACTCCTCCATCCCATATCACGACCGACGCGACAAATCGAGAAGGCGACAATCCCAATCCATATCGTCCAATACCGCTCAGCGAGCTATTCAGCCTGGCCGACAGGCTTATGCTCGAGCACCCATGGGATGGACCCGAGATCCGGGGACAAGAAATTATGGGTCAAGGGAGCGTAGTGATGAGCTATGAAAAGGAGATGGCTCCCCGGCCATTGGAGACGGGGGTAGGGGATAAGGCTTGGACGCTGGTGGACGCATTGCAGCTGGTGGATCAGGAGGTGGTCAAGCCGGGTGCGGGCATGATGGATGATGAAGAGGAGGACGAGGACGAGGCGCCAGTACCAGTGCGCAAGCCGGGCCGACGAGTACAGAGGCGACGATGGCTTTTGCGTCTGGGTCGGAATAAGCTCGGGACGGCAGTAGCGGTCGGCGTGGTGGTGCTTGGGGTGGGTATGGCGGTGTTTGGTGTGAAAGCGGGAGGGCCACACGCGAGCTGGGCGAGATGGTGGGCTGCCATTGTCGGGAAGCAGATTGCTGGAAGCGGCGCAGGCGGGAGGGTAGGGGACCGGGTGGATACTGCAGCGGAGGCGGGGCGGTATCTTGCCCGCTGTCTGAGAGGGATCATGTAGCGAGGACCAGGGGGACGTATTGCGGAGCGAGTGGTCAGTGATGGAATGCCACGAGGTACCTTGTCTTCGGATCTGTCTGACGGGTCTACTGACGGCTATGTTCTAACTCGGTGCGGTCATTGCCCTCGGCGTCGCTCGGTCTCGAGCAACGGATACATTATTGGTATAATACTTGATCGACAGACCGGCTTGAGAGAGCTAGACAAGATAAGGGTCAACAAGACAACAGAGATTTCGGGACTTGCGCCGCGGGCTGAACGTTGAACCGCGACAGGATATGGACGAGTGATGTGATGGTGGGGGAACAGATTATGAGTAGTCTAGCGATAGATTGATGGGTCCACAATTTGGGTCAACAGGCGGGCGATGGAGAGGTGAGGGCGACTGGCCTGTTCCGCTATGGCGGACGTGGGCCGTACGGTCAAAACGTGGTGGCTTGTTCCGCTATGGCGGACACTGGCCGAACGCTCAAAACGTGGTGGCTCGTTCCGCTATGGCGGACACTGGCCGTACGCTCGCAGCTTGGACGTGGTGCTTTCCCGCGGATCGCGCTTTGCGCTTCTTCGCCCTCCGCTCTGCCGCCCTCCGCTCTGCCGCCTCAAGACTGCGCCCTCTTATCATGGATGAGGGGATTGGAACGGTTGGAAGACCGCAATCCGCGTTCCGCTCGTTCAGCAGCAGGAAGCCGATGCGGATGGTTCCCCGTGTAGGCCGGTCGGGCAGAGGGTAAATGAGGAGTTGAGCTGGGGTGGTGGTTTGGTCCCTGTAGGATGGCGTCGCGGGTGTTGCGATAGCATCAGGCTGGGAGAGTGTGAGGCGGGCCTCGACCGCTTGAGAGGGAGAGGGGCGCAAGCCGGATGGCCTGAAGGAGGAGTGGCTAGGACAGCCGGGGCTTGGCTAAGCCGTACTTGAGTGCGACAAGGGGGGAGGTAGACGATGAGCTCCTGGTCATCTGGCTGCATTGAGGATTTGGTTGATGAGATGGTGGACGACTGTACCAAGTGATTGGAGAGGGTCAACAGGCATGATCGAGAGCGCCGATACATTCAGCTCGCGGTCGGTCTCGGGGCGGACGTTGTGTTGTGCTGGCGATGTGCTGACGGCCCACCCGGAGAACTGCGGCGTTATCGTTGACATAATTCGGCCTGGTGCGGAGGCTTGGCTTCGCGTCACCAACTCTCTCATGCCTTCTGTACCATACCTTGCGCTGATAGTCACAACATCCTAGCTAATCATCATGCCGCCTAAAGCTAAGCGAACAAAGGCCGAGGAGGCAGCAGCCTTCCTGTCTACTCTCGACGACTTTGACGTCCCCGCCACGACCCCTCCTCCTCCAGGTCCGGCCGAACCCTCGTCCGCCACCGCGTCCTCCCCCGCGCCCGCTGGTCCCGCCGCTGCGGTCTCCGCCGCTTCTGCTGCCGAGCCCCGCTCCAGCATAGACAGCAAGCGGAGCTTCAAGACCGGTGTTGACGCGTCGATTGCGCCTCCGTCCAAGTCGGGTTCGCCCGCTCCTGCGGCGTCCGCGGAGCAGGACGAGGAAGCAGCGAACGCGCTCGCATTCCTCGAGGAACAGATCAAGACCAAGCGCGCTCCTCTATCTGTCCCTGGACCAGGATCGCTCCGAGGCGGGCCTGGCGGGCTCGCGTCGACTTCGTCTCCCCTGTCTGGACCAAAGGCATCCGTGACGCCCGAACCACCCGCGCCGAACGAGCCAAGCAGCAGTATGAGCGCGCAAGCGGGAGGAGGATGGGGATCGTGGTGGTCGACAGCGGCGACGGCGGTTCAGACCGCGCAGAAGATTGCGGATGAGGGGTACAAGAAGGTGCGAGCCGAAGGGGTGCAGGGGTTGGAGGGGGTCAAGGTGGCCGGGGTGGATCTGGGGAGTTTGAAGAAGGGGGCAGAGGAGAGGTTGAAGGGTATACAGGCGATGCAGATACAGGGTCTGGACCTGGACAAGCTCCGTGAGTCTCTCGCAGTTGCACCGTCGTTACTGTTCCCAGCTGACAACTCAGGCCAGGATCTTCTGCACAACACCCAATCCGCCCTGTCAACACTGATGAACACCGTCGCGCCGCCTATATCAGAGCACGAGACGCTTGAGCTTTGGCTGTCGCATCCACTGGTGGGATACGCCGGTGTCGAGGGAGTGGTCTATCGCGCGTGGATGAGGATACTGGAGCAGACGGAAAGTGGCGAGTTGGTCGTGGTGTGGAGCGCACCAGACTCAGCTGAGGGCCTGGAGGAGAGGGGGATGTACCCTGTAGATGGGTGGCAGGCGGGCTGGGAAGTCGCACAGAAGGAGATTGGTGCGGTCAGGGCGAGGGAGGAGAAGAATCCGGTCGGGCGAGGCAAGGAGAACCGTGAGTGAACAGTGACTCGTTGATATGGCTAAAGAGCTGACGTTGTAGCGAGCGTACCAGTCACGACTGTGCCAATCTTCCTTCACCTCCAGCCCGTCCTCGCTCCCCTCCCATTCGCTGAACCTTCATTACTCCTCCCATCTTCCACCGAGACCGAGCCCACCTCATCCAAACAGCCCAATCACCTCTACTTTATCGTCAGCCTCCACGACCCGACTCACTCTATCCGCTTCACCACGACCACGCAACCAAGCCCGGCGGACTGGCTCGAGGTGGAATATGAGCGGAGCGACTGGGTCGAGGAGCGTTTGGTGGATGTGCTGAGGACAGGCGTGGAGATCGTGGCTCAGGACGTAAGTCCTCACATCTTACCCAAAATCAACTTAGCTGATCTGCAGTACGTCGCGACGCGGATGGGACTCAAGGCAAAGGGAGGCACGACCACCCCTCCTGGAGCAGATTCGGCGCCCGTGACTGCTTTTTCGCTACCGAGCGGACAGGAGGATAAGAAGGAGTAGCCGTAGGACAAGGCGGTGTTTCTTTTCTCCTTGCGCAGAGGGTTCTTTCGGTAGTGTTCGGCCATGCACTTGTATCACGTTCGAAAGGCAGTCGCCAGATCTCGCTAGACAGCTTTGTTCTCGTCAAGCTTCTCGAAGCATTACGATACGATATCGGCCGCTATCTGCCGACGTCGCCACTGCCGCCGGTCGGCCGTAAAGTCAAGTGACAAATTTAGCCACCGACGCCCTCGACATTTTCTAAAACCGGTCTCGGTCATCCTGTCTGAGCTGTGCCTCCACTCGATCACTAGCGTTTCCGTGGTAAGGGAGGTATTCTGAACTACGCAGACATTTCTGCGGAGACTCCATCTGCAAGGGGGCGAGGCTGCACAGGGACTCCGAGTTCCCCGCCTGGGTCTGTCAGGTGCGGAGGTGGAGAAGTGGAGCTAAAGATGGACCTCCCGATCATAGGCCGACTTGGGTATGCGAGTTATCCGGTGACAGTCATACGCGGAGCATGGCCGTGTCTTGGACCGAGCGCCGTGCCAGTCTGGGCAGTCAGCTGGACGGCGAGGAGATGTGGGTATATAAGGTAGCTCGGGCGGCGAAATCCCCCTCCAACCGTACCTCAATCTCTAGCCCAAGCCCAAGCTCTGTCTTTCAATCAACCAGCAATCAGGTACCCAGCAATCAACACAATGGCACCCATTGGCCAAGAACCCAAGCACTCGACCGCTGTCCGCCACGGCTCTGACGGCTCCGTCAACGGAACCATGAACGACGCCGAGAACGGCACCGTCTTCCACCACCCTCAATACCCCACCTCGGACCAGCAGCAGCAGGGGTACAAGGGGACCGGCGGAGGCGTGTCCCGCTTCATCACACCTGGTGGAAACCCAGTAGATACCTCCAACCCTGCCTTCCCCATCTACCACAGACGGTGAGCTCTCCTCTTCTTGTATGATGGGCAGTGCTGATCATCAGGTTTGGTAACCCCTCACCTCTGGGTCTGCTCGGTTTCGGAGCCACTACCTTCATCCTCTCCATGTACAACATCCGCACCCGCAACATCACCCACCCCAACGTCGTCCTCGGTATGGCTCTCGGCTACGGAGGTCTCGTGCAGCTCATCGCCGGTATCCAGGAATGGGCGTGCGGAAACACATTTGCTGCGACTGCGTTCTCCAGTTACGGAGGGTTCTGGCTGTCGTACGGAACACTTTATATCCCTTTCTTCGAGGTGTCTGGTGAGTCTAACCCGCCCCTCCCAGTGTATAGGGGGCAAAGCTGAACAGGACAGCCGCATATGGGAGCACCGCCGAATTCGCCAGCGCGGTCGGTATCTACCTCGCCGCGTGGGCCATCGTCACCATGATCTTCTTCATCGCTACCCTCAAATCCTCCATCGCACTCTCATCCCTCTTCTTCTTCCTCGCCGTCACCTTCTGGCTACTCTGCGCCGGAGAGCTCGCATCCTCTGTCAATTGCACCAAGGCCGGCGGCGCATTCGGTATTCTCACGGCGGGCATTGCGGCGTACACCGCCCTGGCTGGTCTCCTGACCAAGGACACTAGCCACTTCAAGATCCCCGTCGGAGAGCTGTCGAGGGGCAAGCCCAACGAGTAAGTGCGCGGACGATAGCAGGGAGTGAGGACTTGGGGGAGAAGGGAATAGGTCAGAAGTATAATTGAGTATCGCAGTGATCGGTGTCATAGGCGTATGTATCATTGTTTGAGCATATTGTGTGCGCAGTTCTCGTACTCTGTCCGGGATCGCGACCATTCGCAATCCAGATCGGTAGGCTTTGCGAGGTTCTAGCTGTGCATCCGGTGGATCTCCCACAAGAAGCTCCATAAGGAGGCAATCTTTGAAACGCGGTGACGTCATCGGTGCTCCACTCGCCCAATCTCACAAGAGGTGTAAAGGCAGAAATCTCCACATTCTTCGCACTTAATCACTACCGAAAGAGCGAACATAGAGCCGAGCCACCATGTCGAACGTCAACGCACCCGCCGCAGCATCCACCGCGCCCCTAGGCACCACCGGCGGAAGCTCAAGTACTGCCCCCTCGTTCTCACCGCCCAAAGTGGACGAGTCACACCCCGTCAGCGCAGTCGCGGACCATGCGTACCCAAACGTCTCGGAGAATGTTGGCGAACAGGAAGGTGAGCATATCTTACATGACTGCATTGCTGGGCGATGCTCTGCTCGGCGCTGCCACGCGGCAAGGAGGCGCTAATGTGTCTCAGCGGCAACTGGACCAGGAACGGGCGGACGATCGTCTATCCAGCAATCAGGGGAACATTCGGATAAGGTGCCATTTAAAGATCAGGTGAGTTGATCACTTCTTTCGGGTGTGTCCAGAGGCGTACCGGCCGACCTCTCGCCCATGCGGGAAGGCAGACTTGGCGAGTGGGGCAGAGAGTGCTGTGGAAGCAGCGGCGCTGATACACTCTAGGTGGGCGGCTACGCGAAGAAGATACATGGGACGGTGTTTGGGAATAAGGAGGAGAAGGAGCTCGGGGAGGCAAAGTTGCACGGTCAGGCATAGAAAGCCGGGTAAGGGTACCGGTGGAGGGGAAGGGGCAAGGACGGCAGGACGGAAATGACGCTCGACAAGATACCGGACAATGTATCATATTTCCTCCTTTATGATGCTCGTTGAGGTGCTGGCCAAGCTCCACCTTCTGCCCTGGCCTGGGAATCAAAGTAGCGAGTCCATGCATGATGTACAGTGCACAGAAGCGGTCTCGAGGGATGTGCCACACTTGCGGCGTTATAGCTTGAGGTGAGGAAGCTGGTCGGCGATCTCCGCTTGGCCCCGGCTCAGATCCAGGGTGCATGGCTCTGGCTGTGACAACGTTGAGCTCGCCTGACACTGACTGCGAAGGGAGGTCTCTCATCCATTCCTTGTGTTTGTCTCTCATCGCACCCACAACAGCTACACACCCGCACAGGTCCCCTACTCTACCTGTGAGTAATATTCCGGCGCAGGATCAGGCGGATAGGAGATAGGCGGAAAATGAAATAAGGCTGACGCTTCTTTCCTTCTTGATCACTAATCGCTATCTTCTTGCCACCTTCCATATTATCTCGGTTCCTCTCGATAGACCTCGGACGTCTTTCTGGATAGTTCATCATGGCGTTGAAGCGAATCAACAAAGTGAGCTCGACGTCACCCCTCGCCCGGGGACAGAAGCTGACGGGATCCAGGAATTAATCGATCTCGGACGTGACCCGCCATCCTCATGCTCGGCGGGACCTATCGGAGACAACCTGTTCCAATGGCAGGCGACGATCATGGGGCCTGTAAGCTGGGCTCTCTAGACATCGCGGAGTGAAAGCTGACGGATCATAGAGCGACTCACCATACTCTGGCGGTGTCTTCTTCCTGTATGTAGCTCGACTAGATTGATTGGGACAAAATGCTGACCAAGCAGTTCCCTTACCTTCCCCACTGGTATGTTCAGCTTACAAGAGCCTCTGCCTTGTCAGGATCCGAGCTGACTCCCAGATTACCCATTCAAACCCCCAAAGGTGTCCTTCACAACCAAGATCTACCACCCCAACATCAATGCCAACGGCTCGATCTGTCTCGATATCCTCAGGGATCAGTGGAGTCCTGCTCTGACGATATCGAAGGGTGAGTCTCGGGATCATGCGGTTGATTGCTGCTTTGCGGACCCAGCAAATGACATGGATTAAGGCGGAAGCTGATAGATAAGTCTTGTTGTCGATTTGCTCGATGTTGACCGATCCAAACCCGGACGACCCTCTGGTGCCTGAGATCGCTCATGTGAGCTCTCTTACCCGCGCTACTTCGGGATCACAGCTGATCAGACAGACGTACAAGTCCGACAGGCCGAGGTATGAGGCGACCGCGAGGGAGTGGACGAGGAAGTGAGCTTTGACTGATTGACCGATGTTCAGCCAAGAGCTGACAAGCCAGATACGCGACATGATCTGTTTCACCTTTCTATGCACGATAGAGAATGACGCCCGATCACGTTTTGCCCCCCTTCCTCCAGTCTGCGACTCGTTTATAGCTCGTCCCTGACATGTCATGCACATCATTGAGACTGTGGGACCTTTGCGCCTGCGATTGAGCGCCAACTGATTGTCGAGGGAACCCGGATTGCAGACAGGTCTTGATCCGAAAAGTCAAATCTACATTGTCCCCTTACTACTGGACTCCTCGCATCTAGATCGTGCCGCCGCGAACTCCTCGCATCTAGATCGTGCCGCCGCGACTTCGCCCATCCGTATCATGCCGCCGACGAAAGCTTCTTCGCCTCGTCTTTGAAAGTGCACAGTCTCAGCCTTAGTGACATCAGCTCTGGTAACGAGAATATGGTGCAAGAGTCACCGTCTCTACTCACAAATTCCGCTGGAGCATCGCAATGGTCATCATACCCACGCTCGGCACGTAGATACCGGCCTGACTATCAGCTGACTGCCTCGCCTCGCCAGCGCGAAGCCCGACTCACTCGATCCCGCACATCAGCCTCAAAGTTGCGCTCTGCCGCCACGCTCACGCAAATAGCCCCATCTTTCAGGAATCGCGTGGGTACCTTGTATTTCTGGGACGGTACAGCCGAGATGACCACGTCAGATATGCGAAGGCAGTCCTCGAGCGTCGTCGAAGCGGGAAGTGGGGTGATGATGTGGTGTGGGTTGAATTTGGAGCTGGAGAGTGCGGGAGCAGGGGCGGTGGGTGAGATGGCGGCGGTAGGGCCGGGGGTGGTGGAGTCTTTAGGGGAGGAGGGGGCGGGGACGGAGGGACGTTTGGAGAACTCGACGATGGCTGATTCTGTCAGCTGGAGCCATGGGTGCGGGACGCCTTAGAGTAGCTGGGAGCTCACAGTCAATGTCGACGCTGAGAACTCTGGCGCCGTCGTTTGCCAGCAGAGCAGCTAATGGTCGACCGACGACTTCCGACCTGGCGGATCAGCGCAGCTCCGCCATGAGCAGCAAGGACCAGACATACCTGTTAATGACAGTGATCACCTTTCCTCTCGCCCTATCCCCATACTCCAGCATCTTGTTGTAGACGCCGATATGTTCCAGTACTTTGACAATGGCCAATGGTGTACATGGGAGGATACTCTTGACTGTCCCGGATGGGGCGGAGTCGCCGTCGGATGGGGAGGGCTTGAGTGGTTGCGGGAGGTGCGAAGCGGGGATGGGGCGGAGGGTGAGGGGGTTGATGAAGCGGACACTACAAAGTCAGCTAATATCTTCGCGGAAGTGACAAAGTCTGAACTGACTTGTGATAAAGGTTGAATAGGAACTGGTGGTTCAGTCCTTCGACGTCCTTGTATGGTGAGACGACGGACTGGAGGTATTGGTCCTGTTTAGTCAGCTTGGTGTGCATTTCTACAGATGTAAGCACATGTTCCAACTGACTTGCCGACCACCATAGATAGGATAGTAGACCATCATTCCGTCAACATCATCATCGTCGTTCGCCTATCCTCATCAGCTCCTGCGACGGAACAACAGGCAAGGACTGCTCAAGCTCACCTCGAGAATGGCTTCTTCGACGTCTATTCCCACACCCTCGCCGTCCATACCTTCCCTTGCCTCTCCGACCAGCCGGAGCTCAAAGTTGATACCGATAGACTCGCACGCTTTCTTGGTGAACTACTTCATCAGCATTGCAGTCGGGAGGGGGTGAGCGATGCTTCGAGATGTGTTAGGTCAAAGATAGTCTGCGCATGAAACGCCTTGGACGTTTTGTGATGTTAAAGACAGTACATGATGGGTCTCTCTACTCACCTCGGCGTATGTCCTCGCGTCCTCCTTCTTGGTCGCGAGAATACCGACGAGATGGGGAGCTCGCTTTGCGAACTTGTCTGACCCGAGCGTGCCGAGCAGCTCGGTCTTGAACGGGACATGGACCTTGCCGGCGGTTATGAGTATTCCCTGCGGGGCGGACATCGTGGCAGCTGTTTAGTGTAGCTATTGCGAGGGCAGATGAGTGCAGTGAAGGGGAGACTATTTGGTTCGACCTTGCTTCAACTTTTGGCCCTTATCTCGCGGACGGAGTTCCGAATGGAGATGTCCGTCGCGGCCACTTTCCCACGCTCTCTCCCCTTTTCGGCCCCCGAGGCCCGACGGGCTTCGAAGTTCACGCGGCGCGCGACGCGACTTGTGCCTTGATTCTAAGGTTTGCGTGGGCGGAGATAGCCGTGGGGGGAACCGGAGGAAAAGTCGAACGATAAAATCCGCTGACAGCTGCTCGCTCGGGCTCGGCGCTCAAAGCATCTTGTCCACTCGAGCTTCAGTCAGCAAGTAGCATCTATCCGATCTCATCGCATCCTCCTCTTCCGACAGCCTCAACGTCTCTCTCAGTCCTCATTCACGATTGGACAAGACAGAGCGACAAGAACGCCATACCTTCGCGTCAAATCTTCTCGGCGTCCTCGTAAACGAACTCGCCCTTGCGTTTCACCTTTATCGCAGTTGGTCAATCTCCTGATTCAGCGATCATACCTCCCCGACTACATTCAGCCATAGTACAGTGAGTGATCTACTGAGCCCAGCTTCCCGATCCCTTCTCGGAGTCCCGGTCGGGGTATCACTATGATCGAAGCTCATACCTCGCTAGGATCGTCTTACTTGCCCTCGCTGCTTCCCATCGCTAAAGGCACCCACCATGGCGTCCCACACCATCATCTCCCCGACATCTGTCGATCTCCGCAAGATGACTGCTTGGGGTCTGGACACGCTCGGCAAGGCTCAGTTCACCTTTGACACGTAAGTCATTCCCCAACGCGCCGGTCGACGATCGGCTGACAGCTTAGGAAAACCACGACCGCCACCGTCCTTACCCTCGTCATCTCCCTTCTTATCCTCGAGCAGGTCGTCTACCGCGCCAAGAAGGCACATCTGCCAGGCGACAAATGGACGATCCCTCTCATTGGCAAATTTGCCGATAGTCTGAGTCCTACACTGGCGGGGTATAAGAAGCAATGGGATGCGGGACCACTAAGCGCTATCTCTGTCTTCAATATGTGAGCTGATCTTCCGCGATGAGGGTGCGCATCAGCTGACTCGAAGCTTCATTGTTATGGGCTCCTCCAACGAAATGGCGCGGAAAATCATGAACTCGCCCAACCACGCCGAACCCTGCTTGGTCGCTGCCGCCAAGAAGGTCCTCCTCCCCACCAACTGGGTCTTCCTCCATGGCAAGGCTCACTCGGACTACCGTCGGGCATTGAACGTCCTCTTCACCAAGCAGGCTCTCAGGTGAGTCTCGGAATCGCTGAGCTGCTCGCAGAAGCTGACTTTACAGTATGTACCTCCCCACCCAGGAGAAGATCTACCGCGAGTTTTTTGCCCGCTGGATGAGCGACCCCGCGCCCGCCCACCCGTACATGATGAAGATGCGGGACCTCAACATGGAGACCTCGCTCTCCGTTTTCGTCGGCCGGTACCTCACCACCGCGCAGCGTCAGGAGATCAACGATGGTTACTGGACCATCACCGTCGCTCTTGAGCTCGTCAACTTCCCCTTCGCCTGGCCCGGGACCAAGGTCTACAATGCCATCCAGACCCGCAAGATGGTCATGCGGTACCTCGAGGCTGCGTGCGCCCAGTCCAAGATCCGCATGGCGGACCCGCTCGAGACCCCGGATTGTCTCCTCGACGAGTGGACCCGCGCCATGCACGCCGCTCGGAGAAAGGCCGAGACTGGCGAGGTCGACGAGACGGCCAAGCTCCTCTGCCGCGAGTTTAGCGACCACGAGATCGGACAGGTCATCCTCTCATTCCTCTTTGCCAGCCAGGACGCCATGTCTAGCGCAATCGTCTACTGCTTCCAGCTCACGGCGGACCACCCGGAGGTGCTCGCCAACATCCGCGAGGAGCAGTACCGGATCCGAGGGAACGACGTCAACCGGCCGTTGACGCTGGAGATGCTGGATGATATGGTGTACACCCGGGCGGCGGTCAAGGAGGTTATGCGGTTGATGCCAAGTGTCATTATGGTGAGTTCAACTTCAAAGGCCCCAGGCGGGCGATAGCTGACATACAGGTTCCTTACCTCACCACCAAGCCCTTCCCTATCACCCCTGAATACACTGCACCGAAAGGAAGCATGGTCATTCCCGCATTCTGGAACTCCCTTCACGACCCCGCATGCTACCCCGAGCCAGACAGCTTCAAACCCGAGCGATGGATGGCGAACGAGGACGGGTCTGTCCCTCTGGCTGAGACAAAGCCTCAGAACTTTATTGTATTCGGGAGTGGACCACACAAGGTGAGTTTTGGAGCCCGGAGGCAAGCGGGACTGGGCTGATGTCGCAGTGTGTTGGTGGACAGTACGCGTTCATGCACCTCGCGGCGACACTGGGGACTGCGTCAATAATGATGGACTGGAAGCATGAGCGGACAGCGGACAGTGATGAGATTCAAGTAGTAGCAGCGTGAGTATCTCCCCGTATTATGCGCGAATCATAGCTGACCCTGTGCAGTATCTTCCCAAAAGACGAACTCCACCTCAAGTTCACACCTAGGGCGCCCCCTTCGTAGTGACCCGATTCTTTTTCTCGGCTATTATAATGCACGGTCTACACCTATTTGCTGTCGAGTTCTCGGCGCATGGGTTCTGACTGGGCATGCGGGCAGGATCGATTGGTGGCGGGGAGTTGGACCTGGGTTTTGAGCTCAAGGAGATTCGTCATTTTGGGTGTTAGGTTGGTTGGTTGGTGGTAGGAATGATCATCCGGTTCTGGGCTCGGGGATTGGAGTAGAGGAGAGGAGTGGGTCGGTGGATAAAGGGGTTATTTGGATTTCCGATGCATCTGGTCTTTCTCATGCCCACCACCCGACTGCTCCTGCCCATTGAAAGCTCTCTGGGGGAGGGAACGGCATGTTTACAAACTTCTTCTTCCCCAGTCAGTCAAAGCCGCGTCTATACGGAACGAGTGCTAGAGGTGACTCGTCAGTCTGTCGAAGTGGAAGGCGTTACTCAGGTCGTGCATATACTACAGGTGCTTCTTGCTCTTTACTGTACAAGCCTCTTCATTCTCGTCTTGACCTCGCCGTCCAGCTAGTACGCCGCCGTACCGAGCTTGACCTCGTAGTTGCCCTTCTCCTTGAGCGCCTTGACGCACAACGCCCAGAAGCGTGCGGCCATTCCGGGGTCTTGGGCTTGGCTGGACTCGGTACCGGGCTGAGATGTCAGCTAGGCTTTACGCACGCCAATCCAGGCGTTTCGCGGGGAATCATCAGACGGGAAGCTCACCTTGCCGTCCGCCTCTGTAAAGTACTGCCCGTTGACCTGGGCGCGCTTTTCCGGCTCTCCCAGACCTGGCGCAGTGGCCGCCCAGAGCGCCGACTCGGAGCCTTGCTCTTTGGTCATGAACACCGCCGGGGCGATGTACTCGAGGGCTTTACCGAGGATGGGGTATGACTCGGTGGCCCCGGACTGTTGCTCCGTGGAGACCGCTCCAGGGTGAACGGAGATGGCGAGAACCGGGGGATAGGCAGGGAGGACAGAGGCGAGGTGCTGAGCAAACCAGATTCTGCTGATCAGCTAAGCCCATCACAGGAGGAAGGGGACTCACACGCCCAGCTTGGATCGGCCGTAGAGCCGCGCTCCGCCCAGATCCGTCGCCATCTCCTCCAGACTCTCCGCCTTGACGTCCGACGGGGCCGACCTGTGCAGCTCCGACGCCTCGCACACGATCCGGACCGATCCTTCGAGCGTGTTGGGCATCTCAGCCGTCTTCTTCAGAAGCGGGTAGAGGATGTCCGCAATCTGAAGGAACGCGACGTTGTTGATACCAAAGTGGTTTCCGAGACCCGACTTGGTCATACCGAAAGGCGCCACTCCGATACCCGCGATGAGCATGAGCATGTCGAGGCGTTCGAACGAGGAGGCGATCTTCTCGCATAGCGCCTGGACGGCCGGGAGGTCGCCGAGGTCAACCTGGTGCGTCTCGATAAGCTCGGACGCTTTGGGTGTGAGCTCCGAGGCGTGGTCGATGGCGGCTTCGGCGTGCGCCTCGGTCGCGGAGATGATGTGGACTGATGATCAGCACTGGCTGGCGGCAGGAAGCGAGAAACTCACCTCGGCAGTTCTTTTGTACCAGCGCATGAACAGCAGCCTCTCCGATACCCCGACTTCCACCGACGACGATGGCCACCTTGCCAGTCAAGTCGGGCATGTCCTTGACCTCATACCGGTTCGAGAGCAGTCCAGCGGGCTTGACCATTTTGATTCGAGTTGTTCTTTAGTATTGGACGTTGAGCGGTTTTAAAGGGAGAGAGAGAGATTATACCAATGAATCGCTACTCGCCCTTCAGCTTATATAGAGCGAGAACCAACGGACTACATGACATCATGCCTGACTGAAACCTTGATGGCTGGCCAGACCATCGACCGCCGAGCGGCCGAACAATCCTTTCGATTCGATGCGTGGGAATCCGAGTGACGCGACGCGATCGTCAGGCACGAGTCAAGCTCGTGAGCTATATATTTGTTTGAAAAACCCGCTAGCATCCAAATAGGATTAGGGGATGTAGCTCAGGGGTAGAGCGCTTGCTTAGCATTAATAAGCTGCATGAGGCCCAGCGTTCGATTCGCTGTTTCTCCACTTATCTTTTTTGCTTTTGTCGCTCGTTATCACGGTCTGCTGCATTGTCCAGCGTACCTGCCCCAGACATACTTTTTGCATGGGTCTGTAAGACCTGGTACTCTAGGTTTGTTTGCACACAACCAGGTCAGAATATCAGTACACCTTGTATCTCCACGAGCGCGTCGCATCACCCGCGGAGCAAGGACGACCGCAAAGCGGAAGCAGATTTGGCTCTGGCGGCAGCAACCTCTCTAGCAGCGTACCACTCGTTCTTCTTTCTTATTTACACCTTCTCAGTCTACAACTACACTCGTCTGCGACATCGTCCGACTCACCCAGGGCTATCGTTGGCTCGTCAGCATAGCCAGTACAATTCAGCGTGAACGAGGGACGGCTCGGGAAGGTATATCAGGCAGGAAATCGTTTCAGACAGCCTACTGTATTTCTGAGCAGTAGGGATCATGTCGCAAGGATCAAGGAGCATCGTGAGTCAATCCAGCGGGGCCGTAGGCTGGTGAGGGAATAGCCTCACAATACTGGCTACGCGAGGGACAGGGTGCTGATGTCTTGCATAGGCTAGGGTATATCCCGAGGTGAATGAGAAGCTTGGAAGAGCGTGGTGGGACTATGGTGAGCTGGCTTCTGCTGAAGGACCTTCCAGCCAGAATCGTGCAGTATGGCTGACGATGCAGACAACCTGGTAGTTCAGTGGGGCGTGCAGGACAACTACGAGATTGTTCGCAAAGTCGGTCGAGGGAAATACTCCGAGGTCAGCAACAGTCATTAATACCTCATCCGACGATTCGTTGCTGACGTACTACTAGGTGTTCGAATCGATACATCTCCCAACGAACCGAAAGTGCATCGTCAAGGTGCTCAAGCCGGTCAAGAAGAAGAAGATCAAGCGGGAGATCAAGATTTTACAGAATTTGGCGGGGGGACCGAATGTCGTGGCTTTGCTGGATGTCGTACGGGATAATCAGGTAAGCTTGCCTTGAGTATGGGTTCTCCAAGGCGAGGAGGGATTGTCCACTGACTGTATCAGTCCAAAACACCATCTATCATTACTGAATATGTCAACGTGAGCTGTTTTGTGCAAACCGCCGTTGTTGCTGAAGCTGACGCTCGTCCCAGAACACCGAGTTCAAAACCCTCTATCCCAAATTCACCGACTTTGACGTCCGATACTACGTCTTTGAATTGCTCAAAGCCCTCGACTTCTGCCATTCGAAAGGTATCATGCATCGCGACGTCAAGCCTCATAACGTTATGATTGACCACGAGAAGCGAGAGGTAAGCTTACTTCACGGAAACTCTTCGATGTGCAACAGCTGACTGGACTAGCTTCGCTTGATCGACTGGGGACTGGCCGAATTCTATCACCCCGGCACAGAATACAACGTACGAGTCGCGAGCCGATACTTCAAAGGACCGGAGCTGCTGGTGGACTTCCAGGAGTACGACTATAGTCTGGACATGTGGAGTGTGGGATGCATGTTCGCAAGCATGGTGAGCTGCTATGGCGGAGCACTTGGCCGACAACAGAGCTGACATCCAGATCTTCCGCAAAGAACCATTCTTCCATGGACATGACAACTCGGACCAGCTCGTCAAGATCACCAAAGTCCTCGGTACCGATGAGCTTTTCACATAGTGAGCGAAATATAGCGCAACCTCATGCTTTGTGCTAGCAACTAATCCCTCAGTCTTGAACGCTACGATATCGACCTCGACTCGCAATTCGACGACGTGCTCGGCCGATACCCGCGCAAACCATGGAGCAAATTCATCACGTCTGAAAATCAGCGATACATCTCGAACGAGGCGATCGACTTTTTGGACAAATTATTGAGGTACGATCATCAGGAGAGGTTGACGGCCGAGGAGGGTCAGGGCCACGCGTACTTTGGTGAGTTGCTTCTCAGGGATGCTGCATGAGATGGGCGATGGCTGATCTTGCAGAACCGGTCAGAGAAGCAGCGAGGAAGGCGGGGAGATCATGATAGATGTATAGAGCAGGGAGCAGAGGTTATCCACGTCGAAGAACACCGGGTGGGTCGGCGGGCCCGGTGCGGCGGCGTCTAGGGGAGCGAGAGGGATAGTGTGACGGGGTAGTCTGGCGAGAGTCATGTTCTGGGATGTCTGTCGGGACGAGCGGTCCTTAGGTAACGCTGAGATAAACGATGGATCGAGTCAGCTACTCCCTCTCCGGCGTCCTCGTCGTCGTGCAGTGTCCTTCAGTGACTGCGATAGAGATCGTCAGCAGCTGCAGCTCCGAGCCGTTTCAGAGCATGACGTAATGTGTTTCGGAACCTTGAACCGCGCCGCGCCCCTCAAATCACGAGGCTTGCACCGCCGCCACGTATCACTTGTGCTTCTCACTCCCTACTTTGCGCCCATCATCTACTCAGACTCCCAGCTTGAGTATCGCCAGACGGTATCAGGCAGTACTCGTAACGGACTTCCCCGTTCGACAGGGATATCGAACGGTATCTACGGCCAGCTCCTTTAGCTCGGCATCAACAAACTATCTAGCCGCCCGTCTCGGCTTGTGACGCTGGATCACTGGCTGCAAACTATGGCGTACGCCTTTCCGGCGTCCGAGGCGGGTGGCCATGGACATACGAGCTACTCACACTCTGGTCCGAGCAGTAGGAGCAGTAGGAAGGGGAGTGAGGACGCGTTTGACGTGTTGAAGGAGTTCAAGGTAAGTTGTAACTGTGGGTGCTATTCGAGCTCGGGCTAATGTGTATAGCTCAAGATCGATGAGGATGAGCACTACATCGAATTTTTCCAGGAGCGGTAAGCTGAGATCTTCGCGAAGCGATGACTGTAGCTGACGGATTGATAGGATCAAGATAGAGGAGCAGTATGTTTGGCAATTGCAGCGGCTGTACGATCGGAGCGTCGCCATCGATTCATTGCATGAAGAGTGAGTAGCCAGAGGTAGTAGAGGGTGGACGTATAGCTGACATCGCTAGTCAAGCAATGCAAAGAGCCAGAACAACAGCCAGGAAAGGTTGGGTCGAAGTGCGAGACTACACGTCCAGGGAGATTGACTCGCGGAATGCGCTCGTTATGGCGCTCAAGACGGCTATTATACCTGATTTGGCCAAGATCAAGGTGAGTTCGCAGGACGGGAGGAAGGTCCATCTGCTAATTATCAAGGACGAACAGGAGCGTATTCGGCAAGGTCTAAGGGAGAACGTACGGGTCTCGAACGAGATGTACGACGAGCACTTCAAGCAGCACGTCCCGAAGTTGAAGAAGACATACTGGCAGAAATGCCAGGCGCTCGAGGTGAGTCTTGCGTTATCGGGCACATGGGTCACAGCTGATAAGACAGGATCACAAGCGGCAGGAAGCTGCGATTCTGGCGCAGGCCAGACTGCTGTCTACACCGTCACCCTCTTCTCCGTCCGGAAGTCCACAATTCGAGCAGCCCGCACCTACATTCAACCCTCCGCCTCTAATGGTCGGTGCGCTGCCTCCTAGCGCTGCTGCCGGCGGTCTTGCCGATACCCCTTACTTCTCGCCGCCTCAAGCCAATCAACCTTTACCTGCGCACGATCGTGCCCCCGGTATCACCTTCAATCCTCATGTACCATCACACGCGAGCCGCCCGTCCACCTCCGTCGCGCGCAATCGCGATCGCTCTGGATCCGGCACGGCCGGTCAAACGGACAAGAAGGACACCAAGGAGGTGTTCCAAGATCTGGCGGTACAGAGCAAGAAGGGATTCAATGCGTTCATGCAGAAGCTGGGCGGGGATAAGGGGGACAAAGAGCCGGGTGATAGCGGGTTCGTCATGGTCGGAGGAGGAGGAAAAGAGGATGACGGGATGGGACTGCAGAGGAGGTCGACAAATCGAGGGATACATGGAAAGGGGCAGGAGACGGGGGCGATGCGGGCTGTAAGAGCGAAGAGGGAGGTAGATGATGCCGGTGAGCTTCACTTTGCACCATGCTGTATGGGGATTCAAGCTGATCGGTATCAGACAAGGCGTACCGGAACGGAGTTTTCCACCTTGAGTCCCTCAGGCTCAGGCGGGAGAAGGTCCAGGCTTCGGCTTTGACGGTGGGTTGTTTTTGCTGGCCGGATGAGGCAGAGGAAGCCTCGCAGGCTGACTCTACAGAATCTTGAGCAATTCAACGACGACCTCACCATCAAGCTTCGGAATGCCCTCGCAACATACGTGGATATCGTACACGCTACAGCAGCGACGAATGCGCAAGCGACGGATGTGGTCAGGCAAGCTGTGGAACGGATAGACCCTAGTCGAGAGAGTGAGCTATTGAGTAGGCTGCGATACATAGTGTCAGCTGATTGCCAGTGTCGCTCTTCCGAGCTCGGCTGATGTCTTTCCGAGGCTTACAATCCACGCCAGTACCATATGAGAACTTCTACGTATGTTCGCCCGCAGGACGGTACCACGCTTTTGCTGACACCCCAGGTCGGCCCTTGTCGATCCCTCATTTTTGGCGTTAGTCTGACGGACTACGACTTTGCGCGAGGTGAAGGCGGGGATCATGGTCGGCCACCGACGATCGTCGAGAAGTGTATTTCTGCTCTCGATCAGAAGGGTAAGTCACCTCAACCAAGACTGAGAGCAATCGCTGACGCTCAAGGTCTGGACGCGGAAGGGCTGTATCGCATCAGCGGACGAAAGGCCGGTGTGCAGAAGATGATACAGGATATTGAGCTGGACGAGGAGAAATTTGTCTTTGATGAGTCGGGCGATGTCCACAGCGTCGCAAATGTGCTCAAACAATGTGAGCTGCCTGAGCACTCCAGTAGGGCGAATGAGCAAGCTGACAAGATAGACTTACGAGAGCTGCCTGAGCCGGTGTTCCTCCTTCCGCACTCGGAGCGGGTCAAGATCACTGAGAATCGAGGTATGTTGTGCCGGATCTCAGCGGGCTCGGCTGATGCGGTAGAGCAACTCATCCACAGCAACTTTGCTGCACTTCGAAGCAGGCTGCGTCGACTCCCTCCGATCCACCAAACGACCTTCCAGGCTATCATCGAACATCTAGGCAGGGTGCAGAGCCGGTCCAACACAAACAAGATGGATGCCAAGGTGAGTTTTCTCGCCCTACTTGCTTTGGGCACATGCTGACTATGCAGAACCTAGCTGTATTCTTCAGTATGTCGACACAAGTTCTCATAGAATGAACCAGGCTGACTACCGCAGATTCGGTCTTGTTTGGCGCAGACAACGGCCCAGAAGCAACCGCGTTGACCATGCACCATCAGGCGGATTCGGTGCTCCGGGACTTGATAACTTTCTCCGACCTGGTCAGTCATGCTATTTATCTCCATAGGACCAAGCTCATCGTATAGCTTTTCACCACCGATGTCGAGCCAGCATCCGGCGCAGGCGACAAGCGCCACGCCGTGACCGAGACTGCCATCGAGGACGCTCCGAAAATCGGTAGCTCGAGAACGCGGATGAAGATCATCGAAAGCCCGGTCTTGGCGGTATCCGGTGAGGCAGCTGGAGCGCAGGGTGTTCCTACCGCTGTCGACACCGTAGGCAGATCTGTGGAATCTCCGGGCCAAGGGGCTAATGAGGTGGACCTGGCGTCGGTGAAGTCGACTTTCACGCCTGATGCGCGGCTGGAACTGCTTTACGACCCGAATGTCATCCCTGCTTTGTTCCGCGAATCTCTTGGACCAGAGTATCATGTGAGTGGCCGTCAGCAGGGGTGGATGATAAGCTCATCCTCCAGGTGCGACCCCTCTCCTCGACAGATCTCATGCGCTCCCACTTCTCCCTCCTTGCCGACCTCACCTCCTCGCCACCCATCGCACCCTCCACCTACGCCGCCATCTTTCAGCACCTCCGCTCCAGCCCCAACACTTACTACATCACCGTCATCGCCGATAATTCGGACGACCAGCTCGTAGCTGCCGGTACACTCTTTATTGAGCGGAAACATATCCACGCGGGCGGCTCGTCAGGGCATATCGAGGACATTGTCGTCAGTTCGCGTACCCAGGGCAAGGGGCTGGGGATCAAGCTGGTCAGGGGCTTGAAGGAGATGGCGGAGGGACTGGGGTGTTACAAGACGATCTTGGACTGCCAGGAGGGCAAGGTCGGGTTCTACGAGAAGTGCGGGTGAGTATCTTGTTACTTGAACTGGGATTGAGCTGATGGTGCAGGTTCAAGCGAAGAGGGGTTCAAATGGTACATTGGCTGTAGTTATAGACCAAAGAGAATCTAGCTGACTGATCCAGGCATACTATGCTGGCGCGTCGGACGCATCGCCCATGTTCGCACCCTCGATCCCGCTCGCCACCAGCGCCACTGCTTCACGACAGGGCTCCTCCCTCGCCCTACCGGAGATGCGTGCTCCGCCACTCCCACCACGTCCTATGGACTTTGACCACACCACACTCGTCGATCCAGCGATGACATCGCCGGCGAAGCGGACAGAGAGCACATCCTCCTCGCCCGAATCGCGCATAACGTATACCTATCCCTCCGCGTCGGATCAAGCGGGAACGGCTGTATGGGCCAAGGAAGGCCTGGGCAGTGCGAGTCTGACGCCAAGGAGGAGCCAGAGCCCAGTGAGGGAAAGGCTGGACAGTATGTCGAGGCCGTATACGCCACTACCGCCGGGAGCGGCGCCTCCTGATCTCAGCGCGGAGCCGGAGAGGGTGGGGCAGAGTGGGGGAAGGTGAATATCATAGGAGAGCTTATAATGACCATAGACATCTTGATGGGTAATGAAGTTAGATGATCTCCGAGATCGCTTGGCCGTTCCAGTATCCTCTGTGACCTTCTACGCGTCCACAGCGCAGCCCACCGCATGCTCTGCTTAGTCATGCAGCAGAGAGCGGTCGATATTTTGATTCCGTGTTTCAGAAATCACCACCAGCTCAACTCGAGATTTCGCCAACTCCTCTTAAACATATCACTTACTCGCCACCCCCCTCCGCCCATCTCATCATGGTGAGCTGCCCAGATCTCCAAGAACAGGTGGACTCAAGCTGACTTCAAAGTCCAAACATCATCCCGACTTGCTCATGTGCCGGAGGCAGCCGGGGATAGCTATTGGCCGCTTGTGCGAGAAGTGCGATGGAAGATGGTGAGTCTTACTGATTCTACTTGCCTCCATAGCGCCAGACCCAGCTATCTTTGGACACCCTACTGGAACTCAGAGCAGCTGGGACTCGATCAGTCCGACTTGGAATCCCGCTGACACATCAGTCCCATTTGCGATTCCTACGTCCGGCCAATGACCATCGTTCACATCTGCGACGAGTGCTCTTTCGGCGCTACCGCGGGCAAGTGCATCATCTGCGCCTCGAATGCCATCTCGGACGCGTATTACTGTACGGAATGTACGCGGCTGGAGAAGGACCGGGATGGGTGTCCAAAGATTATCAATATGGGCGCGAGTCGGGTGGATGCGTTCTATGAACGGAAGAAATTAGGGTGAGTTGGGGTCTGAGCTTTTGTTATCTCATGATGCTGGGACGGTGGGCAGCATAAGGGAAAGAAGCAGCTGTAGGGGGACAGGTCCAGCTTCGTCCGGGGCACCTGGTTGGGTGGGATCACAGGACGAAAGGCGTGTGCGGGCGGTACTCGATCTTGGACTTGAGGGAGGATGGGCATCATAGATTGGGCAGGATGCTGACAGTGTAGGTTACAACAAGGAGCGGAGTTCAAGCGAGGATAGCACTAGTGCTCGCCGGGCCTGGCTACAGCGACAGCGTCATTCGGCGGAATTTCGGACGAAGGGCAGAAGGGAAGTGCTCGAGGATGCGAGGAAGAAAAGGGCATCGAGCAGTGGAGGTCACTGCTTCAGGAGTACTAGACGCCGTTCGGACCTGGTCTCGACCTTGTACATGTACCGATTGTATAAGCTACCGGCCATCGTCTGATATCTTGGTCACTGGAGATACCACTTTTACTTCCGCCGACAACGACAAGCAGCCTGATCAGCTGGTCGACCAACTCAGCTCAAGCTGCATCTTCGCTCCTGTCCAATTATCATTCAGCCTGAGACTGCATGCCTCCCTTTGACAGAATCCAGGCTAGCGACGCGTCAAGGCCTCGCGCGCGCTCGGCGTGACACTTCGTGACAATGGACACGGATCCGGAGTCCGGAAGTCTGGACGCGCCTCCTTTGGCCTCCGTCCTCTTGCCGTCTTCGCCCTCCTTTGCCCCTTCCTCGGCATCGCAAGTTTCCAGCTGTCATCCGAGCTGTGGCTGACCATACAAGCATGTAGCTAGCTGACTAGTGGCCGTCCTTCCATCACGCCGAGAGTGCGAGCTCGACCTTGACCGCACCTTCGCCGGAATCAACCGATGCAGTCTCACGCCCTAACTTGGGGTTGCTCCGCGCCCCCGCCCCTGTTCTCCGTGTCCGTCTCCAAATCTCAGACCTCAGATCCGCACTAACTTCGCATCACATGGGATGCCGATGTTGTTGACTACTGATCAATAGGGAATGTTTGGACATCACATCAAGCATGCCCTTGTATCTCCCTAGATCCCCCTCCGCGACATGTATCGAGGAATGCGTAGCCCTCGCGGACCGATACCCCATACACTACAACGCGACGACCGCTCGGACTCCTCGGCAACGGCGTCTCCGAGGTACTCGGAGCTCTCGGATACGGTAGGGTGGGGGGAGGCACGCTAGAGGTCGCCCGCCCGACCAGTCGATTGATTGCGTGTGTGGTCATATCGTGCCTGAGCATCGACCTCCACCAGACACGCTGATACACAGCCTCCCGCCCAACGCTTGGACTCTCCCTTTCATGCGGCAACATGGTCAGTATCACTCCCTCGTTGACTACCAGTTTAGGGTATAAAACTTCACTGCCCTCCCCTCCTCTGATCTGCACACATCGTCCCCTCCCAAAGAACACAATCCCGCCACCTCCTTCATCTTCACCGCACACATTCTCCCTTCCCACCTCCCACTCAAGATGTTCCACCACGTCCTCGCCATCCTCGCCAAGCGCGAGGATCCGCCGATGTCACCCATCACCGACGAGGCCACCGCAGCCGCTGCTTTTGCGTCGCAGCAGGTAGGTCCTCCTACTCTCTCTCTCACTCCAGGTGCGAGGCTGACGACACCAGAGATACGTCTTGGGGTGCATGTTTGCACCTCTGATCTTCGACATCCTCCTTCTCGGTGTCTTCCTCATGCAGGGTGAGTTCAGCTAAGGGTCTCACGAGGATCATCGGCTGATCCGCCAGTCTACACCTATTTCACCTACCAAAAGAACGATCGCAAAATCACCAAAGCCGTCGTTCTGACCGTCCTCTTCATCAACCTCTGCTTCTCCGCCTACCATACCTGCAAGTTGTCTGCGTATATCGGATGGTTCGACAAGCGCTGATGCGCAGATTTCGTACAATGGCTGTTTGTCGAGAACTTCGGCTTGTGGGCTTCATTCTTCAGTACCAAGCGGCTCGCATGGGCGCCCTTCATCGACTCCCTCAACTCCTTCGTCGTCCAGGTGAGCTCGTTACTATCTCTGGGTGGCTGATGCTGGAGCTGATCCCTCAGACATTCATGTCCTACCGCGCCTACCGACTGCTGAACAGGGCCATCTGGATTCCAATTGCTGTTACAGTGAGCTTAGACCACCTACTTCCTCGATTCGAGTATTCAGCTGACCCGCTAGATTCTCTGCCTCACCAGTGTCGGGGCTACTCTCTCGGTCTTGATCATCTTCTCGGGTCTCAACTCGCTCATCGACGCTGTAGGTTGATCCTAACGCAACATCTGGGGTCGCAGCTGACCAGTATAGTATCGTGTGAAGATTCCCGAGCTGCTCTGGTTGACTTCCGTCATGTGCGCAGATCTGATCATCACTGTAAGCTCGCCTCAAAGTGTCCTCCGTCACAAATCATGAAGCTGACGTCTAGATATCCATCATCTACGGCTTGAGCAGGTCTAAGACTGGCTGGGCACATACCGACAAGGTGCGCTCTACTCCACAATATCGCGGCCGACCTAGCTGACCTTGCAGACCATCGGCCGTCTTGTGAGGATGACCATCGAAGGTCAGGTCCCTCCCTTCCTTATCGCCTTGATCTTCATGATCGAGTTCAGTATGTCCTTCTCACCCAACTTGTTTCGGTACAAGCTGACATGCTAGTCCACGCACCCGACAACCTCCTCGGCGCCACCCTCCAGAACCTGCAGTGCAAGTTCTACGCCGTCGGTATGATGTATTCGATCAACGCTAGGGTGTCATTCCAGCAGCAGTTGACGGATCAGCGGACTGGCGTGAGATATCAGATCCATGAATTGATGAAGTAGCTGACATTTTAGGGTGCTGGACAGGTCTTCGCCATGAACAGCAGGCACAACCCGACTGCTATCCAAGTAGCTGTAGAGACCGAGACTTACGTTCAGGTGAGTCGGTCTTCCCGCTCGGCTTCAGTACCATCTTCTTCGCGCCCAGCTGACCCTGCAGGGCCCATACAGCAACGCCGGATACCCCGACCGCAAAGACGAAGGCGACTCGCTCTCGGATATCAACGATCAGAAGGTCGTCGGCTACAGCTCGCAGGCGCAGCTTACCGCCTAGCTCTGGTGGGTCGACAGGACAGACAGGACAGTAGACAGAGTAGGCAGCATAATCATCCCAGCAGGTCTCACCGACTTTTTGTCTATTATAAATATCTTCATTACTATATAGCATGACTCCTTAGCAAAATCCGGGATTAGTGCATGTATGCGCCGCGCGCAGTCATGGACGTCTAGCAACGGGAAGGGTCTTCTGCATGTCGGAGGGCTTGTCAATATTGCAGGTCAACTCATGACCCACCTATCTATTGACTGGCCGCAGAGAGCACCCGGCAGATGACGTGTCAACATGGAGCACCAACCGCTCGAGCCTCATCCTCCTTCCACCTTCCACCTCCTCTCTCGGGCTTTCTCGGGCTTTCAACCTTCTTCACCCTTCCTTTACAGGCACCGGCTGACAACCCTCAAATAGCTCACAGCCGCACTGACCATGTTTCCAATCAAAAGCCGAGCTGAACGAAGTGAATAACCCCGCCAGTACTGGCAGTACCCTCCTTTCGAGGGATTTTTCCATGCCAACAATGTCAGCATCAGGATATCAGCCTTCGCCTGCTCGACTACTCGGTAAGGCAGTGCTGACAGGCACCGATGTCGCCCACTTCGTCGATTCAGGAGCCGAGCGGGACGTACCCTGCAGCGATGAGGGTGAAGCCAGATTTCGGCCAACCAGCCATATTCAAGGATGCTGGATCGGACGTGACTCGTCCCGTCCTCTTCCAAGAAACCCTCGATCTCGCACCTCTACCCAGGTACAATCCCTTGAATCACTCACTCGCACCCTACTGCAGTCTTCCCCCAAGCCCCTTCTCTCGCCTCCCCGCATATATCGGCACACGCGATGATCCACCACGTCCTCGCTGCTCCCGCTCGAGCAGCGGATCGTCCCATCTCGCCCGTCACAGGCGAAGCCATGGCGACTGCCATTTTCAAGAACCAGCAGGTGAGCCGATCAGCTGAGGGATAGTGCCCTACAATCAGAGCTTGTCAAGCTGATCATGTTCAGCGATACGTCCTAGGGTGTATCTTTGCGCCCTTGATCGTTGATATCCTCCTGCTCGGAGTCCTCTTGACCCAGGGTAAGCGACTTCTGCTAACTTCTACCCGCCCTGCCAAATTAGCTGAGCCCCGAGCTAATGAACAGTGTACACCTACTTCACATGTCAGAAGGACGACCGGTGGATGACCAAGGCCGTCGTGCTCACCGTCTTATTCATCAATCTCTGCTTCTCGGCGTACCTCACCTGTGAGCTGATGCGCCCATTCTCTTGGGCTGGATATCAGCTGACACTATTCAGACTTCATCCAGTGGCTCTTTGTCGAGAACTTCGGTCTTTGGGCGCCCTTCTTCAATACCAAGCGCCTGGCGTGGGGTCCGTTCATCGACGCTCTTAACTCGTTCGTCGTCCAGGTAAGCTCGACTATACCCTCTTCAGTCGACAACGCATTGGCTGACAGGTAGACCTTCATGTCATATCGCGCCTACCGGCTTCTCAATCGCCTGATCTGGATCCCCGTCGCTGTCACGGTGGGCTGATTGCGCCTGTTTAGGGAGTCCGTCTGACCAGCTAGGCACTTTGCTTGATCAGTGTCGGAGCGACGCTCAGTGTGCTTATCATCTTCTTCAATCTCAACTCTCTCATCGATGCCGTGAGTCGGTCCCCATACCCGGCTACCAGGGCACAAAAGCTGACCTGGATAGTACCGCGTCAAGATCCCGGAGCTCCTCTGGCTGACCTCCATCGTCTGTGCCGACCTGATCATCACTGTAAGCCATCTCTCACTTCGCGTTATGATGTCCACGGGCAGTCGGGCTGAAAAAGCAGATATCGATCATTTACGGCTTGATCAAGTCCAAGACCGGATGGGCCCATACCCACAAGGTTTGTGTATCTCAAACCCTCGATTACTGCAGCTCGCCATATAGCTGACCGCCCAGATTCTCAGCAAGCTCGTCAGAATGACTATCGAGGGTCAGGTCCCGCCCCTTCTCATCGCCCTGCTGTTCATGGTCGAGTTCAGTACGTGGGCCTTTCGAGTGTCCGAGTCAAAAGGTCGTCAGCTGACAAGCTAGTCCACACCCCCAACAACTTCCTCGCTGCCTGCCTTCAGAACTGTCAATGCAAATTGTACGCAGTGGGTATGATGTACTCGATCAACGCTCGTATCTCCTTCCGGCGTGAGGGGAGCAATAGTTAATCCGGCGTGAGTCGTTCTCTGACCCTTCATATCCTTCCGGGACCAAGCTGAGATCACTAGAACCCAGGCGGGGCGGAAGTTTTCGTGCCACGCAATCAAACCAAACCAGATCAGCTGCAAGTCAAGGTTGAGACCGGGACGACGCTGAACGTAAGTAGAACACTTTGGGCAGCTTCACCTTCTCTTCGGCCTTGACAACCCTTACAGATTGGCTGACTTACCAGGGCCCTTACAGCAACTATGCAGGCAACCGGAAGGCCGCAGACTCGTTCTCCATCACCGACCACTCCGGAGTCGCGTACAGCTCGCAGGCGCAACTTACCGCCTAAGCTTGGCCCCAACGTCTGGACAGTAGATATGAAAGCCAGCCTTGCCATCCATGCAACTCTTATGATATGCAGCCGGACTTCAGGCCTGACGCGAAGGACGATAGTGTACTGTGATACCATGCCAATGCGCTCTAAAAAGGCTAAAACCTTAATCCTGAGGAATGTGTATCGCCCACGCTAGCGCCATCACGCGTCACGCGAGGTCACGCGTGGGCCTCACTGTCAAACCCTCCAACTGCTCCCAGCCCGACAGATCATGATCGCACAGCGCACACTCAACGCGCTCAACGTCTCACATTCCTCGCTCAGCGTGCGGGCGAGGCAGCGCACTGATACGCGCTAGTGTGGTGCAAAATGCGCGGCTCTGTGCCGTCGCGATGGGATAGACATGGCAACAACGGCGGCCCTCAAACACGGTTCCAGATCCCATGCCGTTCCTGAGATTTGGATCTAAGGAACGGACGCTCATACCCTCTCCGCGCGCCCTTTTCCTAATGCAAACTATCTTGTTGTGTGGGCGGTGCTCAAGCTCAGATGAGCTAGCAAAAGGTACCGACATCGCCCTCCCATCACAATCCAGCACCACACTAATCTATCCATGCTCGGGCGAGGTGAGGGACTCACGATATATAGAGTCGGCTCGCCCTTCCTCTCCTCCTTCCATGCTCATCCTCAACACTATTTCGTCCTTCACTCACTTCGACCTCATCCTTCGATACGCCCCACCACACTCTTTCTTCGCACACCTCCCCTTCACCCCTCTCAACCCCTCATCCCCACTCATATACACACACGATGATACACCACGTCCTTGCTACTCTCGCTAGGCGAGCAGAGGACCGGCCTATCTCGCCCATCACCGACGAGGCCACCGCGGCTGCGGCTTTCGTCTCACAGCAGGTAAATCCTTTCTGAGCTCTTTGCGAGTCGGACGCAGGCGAGCTGACCATGACCAGCGATACGTCCTCGGATGCATGTTCGCTCCGCTGATCTTTGACATTCTCCTCCTCGGTGTCTTCCTCATGCAAGGTATGTACTCCTCCCCTAACCGCCCCCTCTCTAGCCGAGTGCACAGCTGACCAACAGTGTACACCTATTTCACCTACCAAAAGAACGACCGCTGGATCACAAAGGCCGTCGTGCTCACCGTCCTATTTATCAATCTCTGCTTCTCAGGCTATCATACCTGTAAGCTGGCTTGCCCTTAGGATCTTCACCAACACCAGCTGATCATGCCCAGACTTCATCCAGTGGCTCTTCGTCGAGAACTTCGGACTATGGGCGCCCTTCTTCAACACCAAGCGCCTGGCATGGGGTCCATTTATCGACTCGCTCAACTCGTTTGTCGTTCAGGTGAGCTCTTAAACAGCTCCGTTCGCCGTGCGGTCTGAGCTGACAGCAAGGTCTTCATGTCCTACCGCGCCTACCGCCTCCTCAACCGCCAGATCTGGATCCCCATCGTCGTCACGGTAAGCTCCTCACCGCTGTGCTTTGAGCTGAGCTGATGCCCAGGCTCTCTGCTTGACGTCTATCGGTGCTACTCTGAGCGTCCTCATCATCTTCTCGAACCTGAACTCTCTCATCGATGCTGTGAGCCAAACCCTCTGCCAGCTGCATCCACAAAGCGAGAGCTGACCTTTAGTACCGCGTCAAGATCCCTGAGCTGCTATGGCTTACCTCGGTCATGTGCGCCGACTTGATCATCACGGTGAGCTGCCCTGATGCGATGGTCCGGCACCGTCCGGCTTGCAGCTGACGTGCCAGATCTCGATCATCTACGGCTTGAGCAAGTCCAAGACTGGGTGGGCTCATACTGACAAGGTGAGGTCTCCTCTCTCCACTCCTGGCCGAGGCTGATTCCGTAGACTATCGGCAAGCTCGTCAGGATGACTATTGAGGGCCAGGTCCCACCGTTCCTCATCGCGTTGATCTTCATGGTCGAGTTTAGTACGTCTCATCTTTAGACTTCGCAATATGACGGGCAGAGCTGACAGAGTAGTCAACACCCCCGACAACCTCCTCGGCGCCACTCTCCAGAACCTGCAGTGCAAATTCTACGCCGTCGGTATGATGTACTCCATCAATGCTCGAGTCTCTTTCCAGCGCGATATCAACGACGCTCGATCTGTGAGTACCCTGTCTCTGCCCTCCAAGCTTGATCAAGGTGGCTGATAGCCGTCCAGCACAACGGCCAGGTCTTCGCCATGAACAGTCGGCCGAACCCAACTCAGATTCAGGTAGCGGTAGAGACTGAGACCTACGTCAATGTGAGCTCAACTAACCCTTTCATCAGCGTAAGCAGGACTGGCAGAGCTGACATCTCAGGGCCCGTATGACAGTAGCTATCCAGACAATAGGAAGGACGAGGACTCTCTCTCCGACACCGAGCCAAAGGTCGTTGCGTACAGCTCCCAGGCGCAGCTGACTGATCCTCACCGCACTTGAGCTACCGGATGCGAGGATGAGGGGGTCAACGTGCTTGACTGTCTCAAGGTGGCATGCAGACCGCCTTGACGGGGGCAGCACCGCACTTATTCGGGGTTATAATAGGTATTTCATTGTTAGATAGGCTTTCCATGTAGAAGTGGTGGTGGTAGGCAAGCTAAGATGTATAACTTGTGAAGCACTCCATAGCCATGGCTGTGATGGAGGTCTCATAGACATAGCCGCTCCGGATATCTACAACCCTTGCAGGCTGTGCAGCCATTCTCACTTCCTCATCAGTGTCAGCGGCGATGACGTACTTTGGCCGGAGTTCGGCCGGAGCCAATCCTCAAGGTCTTGGCAGGCACGGCCGAGTTTGAGTTAGACTTGGTAGCCGCCGAGAGCATCGCCGCACCGCCAGATCAGAACAGAACAGTGAGGGATTTATTCATTCATCTATCACTATCTGAGTCGGAGATCTCGACGGCCAGGCAAGAGCCATACCCGCATATCTCTCCTATAAAGCCTACATCGGCTTAACACTGAGCACGTTTCGACGCTCTTCGCCCTCCTCGCCTGTCACCCCCTGAGCTTGCGAACTCCCAGGCCTTGCCCCACCTGCTGGCGTCCCCACTATCGTCCAGCAGCACCTACACATCGTACGGTAGTGAGGGAGGGCATACGCTCTCCTCGTCAAGATGACAGCTCATCGGAACGAGCATCACCATCATGAGCCACACAAGAAGATCATGGATCCGCGAAAGCTGCTATCGCGGCGATACTCCCTCATGGTACGTCCAGTCTCGTGTCAGACTCCTCGGAGTCGAGCTGACCACCAGTTCTTGCATTTCGGCATTATTATCGCCCTCATCCTCGTCTCCACATTAAATGTCCGCTCGGCCATCCTGCTCGGAATCCACGGCACCTCGGCGCTCATGTTCCTGATCTACGTCCCTCCCTCCGCCTGGCTCACATGGCGCGAAGGGCGAAACGGCACGGGATATGGCGCCAAAGTGAAGAAGAAGAAGAGCAAAGGGGCGGTAGCTGCGGCGGAAGAGGGCGGTGGTGGCGAGGCGGATGTGGAGCTGGAGGGGTGGGAAGGAGGAGTGAGAAGGGGCTGGACGTGGGACTGTGCGGGTCTCGAGGTGGCTTATTTGGGCATACAGTGCGGGGGAACGCTGGGTGAGTAAAAGTCTTCTTCCTTCCTAGTAGACCATCAAGCTGACGGGCAGTATCCTCGGTGCTCTGCGCTCTCACCCTCTCTTCCTCCGAGTGCTTTGGTCCCGAGTACAACACCGGCTTCGTCCTGGACGAGTTTGCGCTCCTCAAAGAACGCGGTACCGGCCACTGGTGCAACGGCGTCATCGGCGCAACGATCCTCTCGTTTGTGCAATTCGGCCTGGATCTCGCCTGGCTCGGCTGGGTCATCTCGGTCGTCCGCGCAGGTAGCGGGGTACGGAGCGGCGCAGAGGGCGCACTGCTGAGCCGGCGGGCCAGTATAGGCGTCAGCGCCCGACCAGGGTCAGCTTCACCGGACGGACAAGTGACGTCGCCCGGCGCAGGGCTCGTCATGTCGCCCACATCCACCGTCTCCTCCTCTGGCATGCCACCTCCCCGTCTCCAGCCCCAACCTCACGTATACCATCTCCTCCAGACCCTCCTCACACCCACGCCGCGCCTTCTCACTGCGCTGGCAGAACGTCGGAAGGCGGCCGAAGCGGACACGAAGCGCCGAGAAGCGGGCGCAGTGGCAGTGGAGGCACCCGTTCACGTATGGCAAGTCGGCGCCTCATCCGCAACTCCTGGAATAAGGATACCCTCATCGCCTGGGGTCCGAGGCGTGAGCGAGAGCCCGATAAGCCCTGTCTCTGGTCGAGACTTTGCGAGGCGGGACGAGGCGGAGGGCTCGGAACTGCCTCCGCAGGATCTGGTCCAGAGTGCGGTGCCAGCAGGGGACCACCATGAGGTACCCCCGCCGTACCGTGAGGGTATGGACGTGCCGGTCTATCCGGGGTCAGCTGTTCGGTAGTTGTCGGCCTTGGGGATCTACAAATTAGCTGTGTTATCACGTATCTCTAGTTGTAAACATTAGGTTTTTTAGTAGCATATCATGTAGCTATATCTTGGGACATCCGAGACATGCTGAGGCCTTGCCGTCATGTAGAGAGATGGTGAAGGGAAGCTACAGGGCAGGCTGGAAGACCGTGGTTTAGTGAAAGATAACGCCGCTATTTTCCGTGTCGGCCGAGTCACACAATCTACCAACTGATACAGCCAGCTCCGCCTCCGCATTCCTCAAATCCCCGGCCTTGCACTAGTGCACTACTCGAACCAGCGAGCGGCACTGGTGAGTATCGTCTAGCGGCGCACAACTCACTTCATCCAGGGGATCAACAGCGAGCGTAAGGTCCTACCCAGCCTTGTGAGGCAAGCTCCTAGAGCTCGTGTCCGCCTTTGCCCATGCCCTCGCGGTGGTCGACCGCCTTGGTTGAAGGATAGCCAACTTGATGCATTCCCACATCTATCGACACCCCCGTCGTCTCCCTTCAGCGTATCTCGTTTACTTCTCGTTCTAGAAAGAGCTCTTCATGGTTTCAATTATTGATAAAAGTATAAGGAAAAAGGTCTAGGATGGGGTCGAATCGTCACGAAGTCGTACACGGTCTACACCTCCTACTCCAAAAGACCCAATTACAAGGTCTTGTCGTCTGCACGAGTCAGCTGAGGTCATCAAGAAAAAAAGGCTTTATCCTCTCAACTCACGCTCGAAGCTGCTGGTGGCGGTGGTGCCGGCAGGGTTGAAGCTGGATCCAGAGTCCTTCTGGAAGGGGTTGGTAGAGCCGGTTTCACGCTGGGCACGGGCCTTGACGTTGCCAAGAGCAGGGCGGACGACGTTGATGTAGAGGACCTCGGCACCGCGGGTAGCGGGGAGCATGACTACGTCGTCAGCTAAGGCCTCCCTCGGCAAGGACGCTTGAACTCACGCCAGATGATAGCGAGTGTCTTGAAGACAAAGTACATGGGGACCCAGTAGAGAATGGGGCGGATGGCGAAAGACTCGGCAAGGTTGAGGAGACCGAAGACGACCTATCCCGTCAGCTCGTGTCCTTCCTCACTACTGCACACATGAACTCACCCAGTATGTAAGCCACTGCTTGTCGTCGTTCTGGCTGGGGGATTCGATGGCCTGGACGGAGAGGTAAGCGGGGAGAGCCCAGCCGATGAGGTTGGAGATGGGAGCGGCGAGGCCGAACATGTTGAAGAAGATCAAGACGACCGAGCTGGCTCGTCAGCCCAAGTACGCCAAAAAGTGGTCACACGACTTACGAGGCGGCGAGACCGAGGACACCATATGCCTTGGGCACCTTGGTGCGGGTCTCGAGGTCACGGAGGACGGGGTATTTGTTGAGCTGGACGTCAGCGCTTTATCCAGCGGAGAGTGGGGAAGTGGGTTGAAAACGGGATTCGCCAAGCCTGAGCAGGGAGGAGCTATTCAACATACCTCAGCATCCAAAGAGCTGACCTGGCCCGAGACGACCTTGTTGGCCTGCTGGACGTAGGGGTGGTTGAGGAAGTTTTGCTTGATCTGCTGGGATTGCGCCATCTACACAAAGTCAGCGGTTGTCAAGGGTTGAGAATGACGTGGAAGGCGAGCGAAGCGGTGCTGAGGGCCAGAGACAGAGCCCCCTTTGCGCGTGGGTTGCTCGCTCGCCCTGTATGGAGGAGCAACGTACTGTGTTGATGGTAGCTGTGTTGCTGATGGGTAGATGGTAGTAGGGTGAGTATGAAAGGGAGAGGTATGGAAGAAGAAGGTGCCAGGCTGAAAGTCAAAGTCAGGGGTGGGAGAGAGCTCTGAGTGAGGGAAAATGACGTAGTGTGCCACATCGGAGTTTAGATAAAAGGGCGGGCAGCGGCGTTATTGATGACATCATTTGGGAGACGCGTTGCGCGTTTGACTTCAGCCTTCTCCATCTGCCTCTCAGCCATTAGAACGCCATCCTCTGACTGTACCCACGTCTTTATGTATGAGATCTGCTTCAGGCCACGCTGACAAGTTAGCGAATCACAAGTTTTGCCGCTGAGCCTCACGCCAGCCACCGCACGATTGCACGCGACCGCTCCTTCCCTCAACCCTCGGCCCGCTCGCTGCTCCGCCGTCTCCCCTCACGTGCCGCGCCGGTCCCTCTGCGTCATCTGCGACCTTGCGCTCCCTGCCGCTACCTTCCATTCTCGAAATGTCGACCGCGTCCACCTCTCGTCTCTCAGGAACATCGCGGGACAGTGTCTCCATTGCGCAGGCCATGGCATCCACGGCGCAACCCCAGCCTCCCGTGGGTATCCTCCCTACCCACCTCGCCAGCATGGCGGTCGGCGAGGCAATCGGCGCCCTCGGCACGCTACTCAACCATATCATGCACCTCGGCGTAACCCGCGAGACGCCAGCTCTCGCACACGCCCTATGCGAGATCGCCGAGGAGATATTGAGGTATCTCTGCGACGCCGATCTCCTCCCAAGCACCACAGACCCCCACCTGTTCCTCAGTATACGCACGGACGCCCTACGTCAACGGAGAATGCTCCTCACACAATCGGCGGTCATGCACCAACAGACGGCCCAGATCACGAACCAAGAGCACGCACTCGCTGCCGCCGATCGGGAGCGCCACGAGCTGGAGCTCACCGTCCTCGCCCAGACGGCGACCATCCAGCGTCAAGCAATTCTGCTTCGGAGTCAGGCGAGGGTAATGGCCGGGAAGCACCACCAGGTCGCTGCCCTCACCCGCGAGCTCGACAGCTATCAATCCACCGTCACAACCCTCGCCGACTATGAACGTGACATCATTGAGCAATTCGTATCCAAGCTTGCTCTGACGGGCCGTCCATCGAGCAGCACTTCAAGCGGTGGACGCACTCCGATCGACACGGTCGGGCCGCGCGGCACCGAAGAAGCGGACAACCTACAAGCTGTGGTGGGGCGGGGAGTCGTGTAAAAAGGGTGGGGGTGGACACGGGGATCGGGACGGTTTCGTTGGCGCGGGATGAGGGGCGGTCGCGAACGAAGGGAGCGGGGGTGGCGGGTATCCGGTCGTTTCGACTTTTCCCATGTCCTTTTGTACTTCGCTTGTTTGTAGAGTCTAAAGTTGTTTGCATGTAGCTTATCATCTGGCTATCCACAGTGGAGGTGACAGCTGCATCACAGTGCGATCCTGCACTACTTACACATACCTCCCTCACTCAGGGGTCATTCGGATGCGAATACTGAAGAGAGAGTTGCTGTACGTGACCCTATCAGCGCCGAGCAGCTATATATACCTACGCTCATACCAAGCCCCTCGCAGCTCAGATCCAGGGGAACGGTCGTCGCCAAAGCACCAGCTAATTCAGTAAGGAATGTGACGTCAGCCATACTGTCACGCGCGTTACTTTGCAGGTTTCACATTTCCACATGTTTCACCTCTCTTCGCTCAACCTTCTTCCTCTTCGATCTTCGATGTCTCTTTCTTTCATTCTCCCTACCAGCCCCTCATAGCATCTAATTGATTTCAGAGCTGGCATCGGTGAGTCTCGTCCGTCTGAAGGGGTAGGTATGAGCTGAAAGCCAGTACCACCTCCCCGTCACTCAACTCGCAATCCTCAATCCTCTTCGTTCAGTCGCCACCCACTAGCTCCTCTTTACCATGTCATCGAGCCGGCCGGATCCGCATAGTCAAGCTCCGGCTCCCACTCCCCATGCGACGGCACCGGAGAGGACGGGCCCATCCCTCTTGGCTCCGCCTTCAATCCCCAATCCTCACCCCATGATCGCCGCCAGCCAGCAGCTCGTCCCGGGTGGATCACAGCCGGCGTTGAACCCCCGCGCTCAGCTCGATCGTGCCCCATCGGTCGGTACCCCCTCTGCGATGGTGCTGATCCCCCATGGCCGAACAGACAGCCGGGAGGGTGCCATGCTGAGGAGCAGGATTCTCCCCGAGCTAGGCGGACCTCGTCCAGGCGCGCTATCCACCGACCCCTACGCCCACAGAGCTCCCTCTATGCTCAGCGGCGGCTCCTCCTCTCACCCCTCCAATCCGCGCACCATCATGCATTCCCGCCACGTATCACTCCCCAATCTCCACGGCACGACGCCTTCCTGCCCGTCCGGGTGCCGTCACTCGCCGCCCCCGCAGCAGTCCCGTCTCCAGTACATCCGGCAGCACGCCAATATCGACAGTACTAGCGAGGGTTCCCTCCCTATCATACGAACACACCCTCCCGCACCGGCAGGCGCGCACCCCCGCCCCGTTCCGCACCCCTACCAAGCCGGTCACAGCGGTCCTGCGCCCATCCCCAACCCCATCTATCGACCTCATACGTTCGCAGCTACTACCCAGTACGGCGCTGTCACCCCTGCCCCGATCATGACGACGACGAATATGCGGGAACCCTGCGACGGTCCTCCAGCGCAGTATGCGATTTCCGGTCATCCCTCCTCGGCGTGCTGCTTGTATCATGCCATTGTGCAACTGAGCACGGTCCGGCCGGGAGAGTCACGGGACAACTCGCACGATCGCAAATCCGCACGCTCATTGCTGGCAGCGAAGTATTGCGGATTTCTGCGCGCGCAAAGGGCAGAGCTGGCATTGCTGAATCAGGCGTCATTGGGGAGGATTGATGCACGTCTCCAGGAGAGTGAACGGCGGGTGCAGCCGGATGGTGCGGAAATTGAGAGGCTCGCACGTCGAGTGCGGGAGGGGAGCGCAGAGAAGGAGCTACTCACGCAGCAGTCGGAGCGGCTGCAGGCGTCACTGGCTGCGTCACAGGACTGGAGTGCACAGCTGGAGGCGGAATTACGGGAGTTGCGGAAGCGTAAGGGGGGACTAGTGGCGACCAGCACGCCGCTCAGGGTCGGATCGGACGGTAACGGTGCGGATTCGGACATCGTCAAAGCGTCGAAGGACCGGTCGACGGAGCTGCTAGCGCAGAAGGTCAAGACGCTAGAATTACAGCTGCTTAGCGCAAAAGGCACCTACGAGTCGCTTCGGAGACTGAACACGACATGCCGTGACGACGAGGCGGCGGCGCGGAAAGAATCCCAACAACTTCGCCTGGAGCTGGAGCAAACCCGCAAAGATGCGGCGAAGAAGGAGAAGGCGGAAAGGAGGAGGCTCGCTCTGGAGGCGTCCGAGTCGGGCGGTCCGGCGAAGGAGGAGGTGGAGCGTGAGCGGAAGCTCAAGGACATGGTGGACGAGCTGGATCAGCTGAGGAAGGACAATGTGGAGCTGTCGACCTGCGCGGCTGCCGACCTAAAGCAAAGAGATCGGCTCAGGGCGGAGGTCAAGCAGGCCAAGGCGGAGGTCAAGCTACTCGAAGCGGAGGTCAAGGAGGCGGAGAAGGCGAAGAAGTCTAAGGGGATCGCATACGAGGCGGAGGTGATCTCGGCGAGAGCCCAAATGGTGCTGATCAGACAGGGAGAGGCCGACAAGAAGGAGATTGAGGGGCTCAAGGCGGAGGTCAAGTCGCTCAAGGAGGCGTTTACAGGGAGGGGCGGTCAGGGGGCGTCTGAGGCGAGCGGGCCGAGCGGGTACGAGTCGCAGCAAAGAGGAATGATGGCGGAATTGGAGCAGTTGCGGAAAGAGAGGGAGGAGGATCGAATCTCCGCTGCTGCCGATGCGAGGAAGATCATGATGCTCGAGGCCGAAATCAACGACCTTCGAGAGAGGATCGACGGGCCGTCGGCGTCGGCGAAAAAGCGAAAGGCGGCCGACATGCGCGATGACTACGAAATCAACGAGTAGGGCGAGACGGCTGGAGGGCGGGAAGCTGAGTGAGGCGTCGGAGGGATGGGGGGCGATTCGCGAGGGAATGGAGGAGGAGAGGGCTCTTGAGACTGTTGTATTGATCGCGTTTGGGTCTGGTCAGTGTAGATAAGTCTCGCTCAGTTGTTAGACCCCTTTTTATGTTGTGTCCATAAGTAATCTGTTGCATGTACCCACTTTTGTAGCTCGCGCGCTCGGCTAAGGCTCCTTACTTCTTCATTCCCATCTTTCTCCGCCGCGCTCCACCGGCCTTCCCTAGCCCCGCCTTCTTCTTCTTCTTTTCCTCGGCGCTCAAGCCAGCCACCTCCTCTCCTTCTTCCTCGTCCGACTCGGCCTCAGTGGTCCCTGCGGACTCTTCCCCGCTGGACGCCCTGTTCCCCGAAAGTCGTGCCTGCTTCTTCACCTCGGATAGGCGGTTCTTCTTGGATGAGGGCGTCGGCGTGTTGATCGCGCTGACGGGCTCGTCATCGGCTTCGTCCAGAGTCTCGGCTGAGCTGTCCGAGGTGGAGAGGATTTGATGGATGATAGGGGGAAGTTTCGCTTGGACGTCGGGTGGGAGGAAAGAGACGGCGCGGTTGGCAAGGGAGAGGGACAGTCGGACTGGCCAGACGCGAGTGAGGCCCGGAGGGGTAGCGAGATCGGAAAGAGGGGTTTGAGATCCGTCCTCATGTGGCTGACAATCAGCTTCGCCTCAGTCGTGGAGCCAATGTGGGTTTACAGCACGCTCTAGTGAAGACTGCTCACCAAGAATACATTGTCACCCTCGACGACCAGTTCCAATACCCCAGCGCCCTCATTGCCCTCCACCATGGGTACCTTGACTTTCCGTCTTCTCTGCCCAGCCGCCGCGCCCGCCTTCTCCTTGGTGCTACCCGCTGCAGCGCGAGCACTGCGCTCAAAGTACGCCACGCGTGCTCGGTCCTTGTTGTAGTTGAGGCGCATGACGAGGAGATGGGCGAGCGAGGTGAGGAAGGCGATAAAGACGAGGGTGTGGAAGAGGGTAGGTCGGAAACGTTGGTAGTAGTAGCCTGTTCCGCGCCATTTCGGGACACCGTTCTTGTAGAAGAACTGTAGAGTCAGCTACGTTATTCGACGCCAGTCTGTCTAGTCAAGTAAGACCCAGCTCACATTGTACCGCTCGCGACTCTCCGGCGAGCGCAGGATAGCGGTGATTACTCCAAGGCGCGCGAACCTCTCCTGGATGTTCTTGACCCCAGGGTTCTTGTCAGGGCTGAGAAAGTCAGGATACGTCTCGTGCTTCCCGCATGAGATGCTGTGTGGAGGCTTTCGACTCACTGCATCTGCATAGACTTCTTCCTGTACGCCTTGGTGATGGCAGCTTGGTTCGCATTTGAGTCGATATTCAGCAATGAGTAGAAGGTGGTGCCTTTACCTGTGGGTGTCAGTAACCGCTTAGTAAGCTCTATACTGCCACTCTGATTATGGCAGAGCCTCATCAGATCTATGCTGCCTCAGAGTAGGTCGCACTCACCCTCGGAGAGCTCAAGAGCAGAGACGAGATCGAAAATCTCATGGTCCTCTTTGGTCCAGCTGTTCCGTCAGTACACCTTATCTCGTATGCTCTTCGTCCCGCCCTGAGAGACTTACGCTGCTGCCAGACCGAAGAGCACAAAAATGATCGACAAGAAAGCAAGCCGCATGATGATAACAAGCAGCAGAGCAAGAGGTACAAAGCCAAGAGCAGAGGAGCGAAATTGTCCAAACCGACGAATGATTGACTGAGCGCGTCCGACCCTGAGCAAGTTCACCTCTCCGCCTCCCTCTTCCCTGTCTCCTTACTCACCATGCATTGTACTCCGAAGCTGCTCGACCCAGGCTGCTCAATAGCAGCGGAATGAAAGGCAGAAGCGAGAGTGACAAGATCAGAGATCCATGTAGATTATACTATATTCTATAATTGGTGTATCACTCTATCACGCCCCTATGACCCTCTCCCCTATAAACTCTCTCTTCAATAAACAGGACATGTACTCTAAACAGTCTCGGGCTTCTCGCTCTCAGGGCTCTTGACCTTCTTCTTGTCCGCCTCCTTCTTGTCGGCCTTGGATCCAGACTCCTTGCCTGACTTCTTGGGCTGAGATCATCAGCGTCGCCCTACTGGAGCAGAAAAGGAGAAACTCACCACCCGGGCCAGCCAGTACAGGAACACCGCCGCGAATATATTGAATATGATGAATACCCATATGATGCCCGAGTCCCTCCATCGATTGCTGAAGCTGATCCCGACCTGCGAGAGGAAGACGTCCGTAGTAGCGATCGAGCAGAACTCGCACTCGCCAGTCGATTGCGGGTTGAGGATCGTGCCGCCTGCGAAGGACTGATAGGCACCGAGGAAGTCGGCACAGGTTCCGGTAGGGGAGATAACCCGCACAATCTCGGTAGAAGAGCACTGTGCCGGTGCGCCAGCGACAGCGACGCCCAGTATGGCTTCGACAAAGTATGTGAAGGGCGAGACGCGGTACATAAATATCCAGAACCTCGGCAGGTTCTGGGCTTGGATAAGAACGCTGACAGTCAGCCGAGCCATAGTCAAAGATGCTGAACGTACCCGCAGAAGATGAGACAAAGACTGAACATCAAGTTGGCGACGTTCCCGGCCGTCTCGGCGCTGTCCATTCCGGCAATGATCGCGATAGCGAAAGTGGCGGTAAACCAGAAGAATTGAACCATCAACTGTCGACGGTCAGGGCTGTCCGCTCCAACGTAGCACGGGCGGGACTCACGAGCCACATAGTAGCACCCCGCGATGCGATGGCATCGGTCCAGCCGGCGTTCCGGTAATAGCCGATGGGATAGTACCAGCAGAAGAAGAAGACTGTTCCAACGAGTACTGCTGATCAGCGCCAGACTGGGAGGAAGGACGCGTTGACTTACGAGACCAGGGGATCTCCACGGCGATATTGGACAGGACAAAGATCTTCCAAGAGTATGTCTTGGAGGGACGCTCGCGAACTTCATACAAGCTTCGCTGGACGACAAAGTTGGGCATGATCTGCTGGCAGAGCTGGGAGAACATGAGGAAGATCTGGAAGTCAGCTGAAGCATAGTAAGGCGCACGATACTCGAGACCACCAGCATAGAAGACGAGAAGGAGAGGGAGATGGTCGGTGGAGGCATGCCGTAAAAGCGGAAATCGCCGGATTGTCATCCGCTCTTTTCCCGCCGCCGCAGCTATGCCCCCTGACTGGAATCAAGCACCATTGACAGCAGGAAACGACGAGCTCACCATGAATGCCGAGAATAGTTGCGACTGAAGACCGGCCTGCGAGGTGTCCGCCTTGAAGAAGGAGAAACCGACAAACAAGGCCTAGATATCAGCCCCGTCCACGCTCAAAACGGAAGTAACTCACAACAGCGATACTGAGCAGGAACTTGGAGTAGATGTAGCTCGGTGTGCGCCAGTACTGCTGGAACACCCGGGTCATGACGATCCGAGCTTGAGTCCAAGTCGGCGCCGCAAACTCCTTGAAAGCCGCCTTGTCGATCTTGGTCTGCTCGGCCGATGGAGCAGGCGCATTCCGCTTCTCCTCTTCGACTTCCCTCGGGCGGGTTGTCTTGATGTTGTCCAGCTCGTTCCGGACCCCGACGCGCTCCTCCGAGTCCAGCCAGGCCTGGTGCCAGTCGACGTCGGTGTGCGAGCCGGGTGCAGCGCCGATGGCGCTCAACATCCACTCGGCCGGGTTCTCGCCCTTGGGGCAAGGGGGTGCGCCGTTCTTGACAAAGTAGTCGATGAGGATGTGCGAGCCGGACCCGACTTCGCCGAAGTAGACCGTACGACCGCCTCGAGCGAGGAAGAGGAGCCGGTCAAAGTTCTCGAAGAGGATGGCCGAAGGCTGGTGGATGGTGCAGAGGATGGCTTGTCCGGCGGAAGTGAGCTTGCGGAGGAGCTGGAGGATGTTCCACGAGGTTTGCGAATCGAGACCGGAGGTAGGTTCGTCGAGGAAGAGCAAAAGAGCAGGCTTGGCGACGAGCTCGACACCGATAGTGAGACGCTTGCGCTGTTCGACGTTGAGACCTGGACGTCAGCTGAGTTACAGGTGAGCTAGATCAGGAAGCTCACCCTCTCCTGGTACACCAACGATAGCATCCGCATACCCGTCCATCTCGAGCAACTTCAGGACCTCCTCGACATAGTCGATCTTTTCCTGCTTGGAGACGTGTTTGGGTTGACGGAGGAGAGCCGAGAATTGGAGAGCCTCGCGGACGGTGGAGGTGGCGAGATGAAGATCCTGTTGCTGGACGTAGCCGGTTTTGCGCTGGAATGATACGTCGCGCTCAGCACCATCGACGAGGATCTCGCCGGTGACGACACCCATGGTGACTCGGGTCGCGAGGACGTCCAGGAGAGTGGTCTTACCAGCACCGGAGACACCCTGACCGTCAGCCCCGATGCCGTAATCCAAGCGAAACCCTAAACTCACCATCAAAGCAGTCAAGGTTCCCGGCTTGACCCAGCCATCGACATGGTCCAGAATTCGCCTCGCCTCGCCCTTGATCTTGATATCATACACCACATCCTTCCAGCTGAACGTAGAGGTCTGCCTTTGGATGATCCCGTCCTCGACCTGGTCGGCGCCCGTCTTCGCCTTTCCGTTCTTGCCCTTGACGGGCGCGTCGGTACCGGTAGCCGCTGAGACCTTCTCGGTCTTGGTCTGTCCGCTGGTCTGGGACTCGGCATCGGAAGCGGTCGACTTGAGGGATTTGGGGATACGGCCGCGGGGGAAGACGAGGATTTCGCCCTTGGATTTTTGAGCCGAGATGTATTCTGTCGATCAGCGGGCGCCAGGTGCTCGCCAGGCAAGACGTACCAGTAGCAAAGAGGTAAACACCTAAGAAGGCCGCCATAAACCCGAATAAAATTCAGCGAGGAGGTCAGCTTGGTACTCCTTCTATACGGAGGCGAGCTCACCCAACATTGCGCCACTTGTGGATGTAGTAGTACGCGTAAGCAGTCTCAATGTAGATGTCACCGTTGACAAAGTCCTGGCCCAGCTGAGCGCCCTGGACGGCGCAGGCTCTGGCGTTGGCAGGAAGGTTCTCGTAGCCCGGTCCCGAGGGGACGAACTGGGAGCACGAAAAGTCGCGATCGTGGAACTCGTTGATCATGAGCGACTCGAATGCGTAGCCGATGGGGTTGATGTAGTTGATCCAGCGAGCCCAGCCGCGCATGAGCGTGACGGGGATGGCGAAACCAGTATAGATGATGAGGGCGACCATGATGATCGCGGCGGGCGTCATGGCCGAGACGAATTGACGCGAGAGGGCGGCGATCGACCGGAAGATCATCGACATGGTGAGGGTGGCCACGAACGAGACGAAGAGGTAGAAGAAGAATGCGCCGGGTTCACGTCGGAGGTTGGTCATGAAGTAGAGCGTCAAGTTGGAGAGGATGGCATTGACGACCTTGTAGGGCAGGTCGCATGCCATGGACGCAAAGGCTTCGGCGGACGAGTGGTAGCTGAAAGTCAGCGAAGCTCGCTGCTGTAATAACGAGAACTTACAAGGCATATTGAGTGTGCTTCTCGACGATAGGGCGCTGGGCGTACAGAGTCAGGATCTGGGCGTTAGCAGGAAGTCGAAATATAGGGGAGCCAGCTCACTTCCAAAGCGGCACCGAAAGCGTTGATCAAGATCGCAAAGAAGAGCAAAGATCCGCGCTGGTAGAAGCTGGCGGTAGTAGGTTCTGGCCGTCAGCAAAAGCAAGCCCGAAACGAGGCTGGACTTACGCAAATTGAAGAAGACCGAAGCGATGATCAAAGACATGACGACATTTCCAAAGAGCTGGGTGATGGTCAAGCTTGGATCGGCTCGAAGACGCCAGAAACCACGACGGAGACAGAGCTTGACTTGTTGACCGTAGGACATGGTGTAGGGTGAGCCAGCGCGACTGCAATATCAGCTCCAGCCCAGTAGGAAAAATCAAGGACTTACATCCGCTTGGACTGCTGAGTCCGCCGACTCTCCAAGAACTGGTCGTACCGCTCGCCGTGGACCGGGTGCTTTTGCTCAAACTGCGCAATCTCCTCCATGAGCGCCTTGTACTGCGGGCTCTTCTTCCACCTCGCGGCAAACTCGACCGGAGTCTGCGGTACTTCGTGCTCCATCCCCTCCTTAGGCGTCCGCTCCGACGCGCTGGTAAGCGAGGTGAGGAAGTCCGGGACCGTCTGTTGCTCGGGGCACTGGAAGCCCATGTCGAGGAAGTACTGCTTGGCCTCGCCGATCCGACCGAAGAAGATCTGCTCCCCTTCGTACAGGACGCAGACCTTGTCAAAGAGGTCGTAAGCCGACTGAGGAGCCTGGTAGATGGCGACGACCGAGGTGGTACCGAGAAACTCGGCGCCCATCCGGAGGTTCTTGACGAATTCGATGGCGTTGGCAGAGTCGAGACCGCGAGTAGAGTTGTCCCAGCACTGGAGGGGAGCGCCAGAAAGGGCCGCCTCGCAGATGGTGACTCGCTTGCGCTCACCGCCGGAGACACCGCGGATAAAGTCGTTTCCGACGATCGTGTTCATGGTGTGAGGGATACCGAAGACCGACATCATGACGTCCCGACTGTGCGAGGCGTACTCTTGACGACTGAGGCCACCCGGGATTACGCGGGGTGCACGGGCCTCAGCAGCGAAACTGAAATCAGCTTGGTCCATGCCGCACAAATCGAGACTCACGCCAAAGTCTGCCCAACCGTCATATTGGGGAAGTGCACGTCGACTTCGGCAGTGTAGATGGCCTCGCCACGGAACTGGCCCATCATCTGCTCGGGTGTGATACCTGCATGTCAGCAAGATTCAACAAAAAAGGCTAAATAAGCCAGAGAAAAACACACCTCGATAATTCATGTCGGTCGCTTCGTCCAGGTAGAGTCCGTTCATCTCGCCAGCGATCGTCTTGAGCAGCGTAGTGCAGCCTGATCCGGGAGGTCCTAGTACGACTTAGGTTTCAGCAGATGCTCAGTAGATGCGAGGGAATGGGCTCACCAAGCATCTCGCCCGACTCGAGCACACCGTCGATGCCATCGAGGATCTGGACCTTGCGCTTCCGGCTACTCATGAGCTCTCGGGCCTGGTTGAGCATGGCGATGGGAAGGTTCCCGACGGTCTTCTGGAAGTCTACATGTCAGCCAAGGTCAACGATAAAGACAAGAATTGAACTCACCGGCATCAGAGCCAAACCCGTGCACGGACATATTCTTGTACGAGACACCCGCCAGTCTCTGGTTGCCTGCCTCTTCCGACAAGCCCGCCATCCCCTTGACGTACTTGCGCGCGTTGAAGTTTGCGGAGAATGGGTCGAGGTCGCTATCCTCCTCATACTTGAACAGCTTCTCTGGGGGGACCGGGGCATTGGACACGCCCGACCGGCCCGTGAGCTGCCGGACGAGGTTGAGCGGGCTCGAGGGAGGGTGGTGTGCGCCGCCGATGGACGAGCGGCGGGACATCTGACGCGCCAGAGCGGTGATCTCTTGCTCCCGAGTGGTGATGGTTTCGGCGGGGGTTTGGAAGATGGGGGGTGCGGAGGGGTATTCGCCGTTGGTAGGGCTCGCGCCGCTGACAGGGCCAGCGGACGAGTCCTCGTATGTGGTAGGGAGACCGCCAGCCTGGTGGTACGACATAGGGCGCGCGAGGGTGGGTGCCATACTCGCGCTGGTCCCGGTGGGGAATTGGAATGGGGCGGCACCGGCCATATTGGCGGCTTAAGGCTTAAGTACCGAAGGATGGAGCGAAGCTCAGTTAAGCTCGAGAACGAGGACGACGAGATCGAGCAGCGGTGATCTCAGTATGCTGGACGGATGATGGAGGGGAACAGCGTTCCAGCGAGGTATATAACGATCTTTGCCTGGACGTGCAGGCCGATGACCGAAATCTCCAGCGGGGCAGCGGGCGGGCTTGGCAGATACGCGGTTTGCAAGGGGCCCGTAATCTTCTGGCCGCCGGTCTGTATGGAATGCGCAAGGTCAGTGGGTGAACCGTAAGTCTACGAGGTCCATGCAGGTGAGTAGCTCGGCAGTAGTGGTACGAGACACTTTGGCTTACCGAAACGCGGAGTAGCAGGTGGGTGGCCACTTTGTTTGGCTCGCGCGCGGCCGCCGAAGAGTTTATCCGGATGCGGGCGCCACTGACGCCGCCTGAAACTAACGGCATCGATAGTGCCTGGCTGGTGACGCCACGTCATAGAGTCTACCTCCACTGCTTGAGCTCTCCTTCTGAAGATCTAGAGCCAAAGACATCGTTCACCTGCTACAGCCTGGACCACGCAGCGGGACATATTGCAACATGAGCGAAGCAAGCAGCTCCAAGTCTGGGCTCTACGCCGTGGCCGACTGTGAGCGGCTCTGACTCAACTCGCCCCGTCCTGAGCTGATCAGAAGTCTGCCTCATTCCTATGGGCCTCCCCACCCCCTCTGTCGGCCCCCAGATCGCGGAGTGTCAACGCGTGCTCGAGGCCTCCGGTCTGGAATACAAGGCATGCTGTATCCCGCTTGCGTCACTTACTCACCGCTGACGTAGCAGCTTCAGTAAGACCTCCTCTCTCCCCCGCCCGCTTGGCGGAGTCCAGCAGCTGGGACCCGCCCGCCAAGTCCGCAGTACTGACCGAAGCAGCGGATACGGCACCAACGTCGAGGGTCCTTGGGACGCCGTCATGGCCGCCATCGGAGAATGTCACCGCGCTGTACACGCCATGGGCACGCCTCGGATTGCCGTAAGTTCTTCAAGACCGTCGGCCATCAGGCACACGTGGACCCGGTCTTCCATTCCTCACGGGCGCCCGAGAAGATCCACTTCTATCCACTTGCTCCCAGCTCGATCACTCAGGCTATGGACGGGACCGAGCTGATCTGGTAGACGGACATCAGAATAGGTACCCGGACGGACAAGAGCATCAGCTCGGGTGGGAACGATGGGAAAGTCAAGCGCGTCGAGGAGATCCTGGGGGCAAAGTGATTCAGATAGAGAGAACGACCTCATCTACATGCAGTGTATGTACAGCACTGCCAGCGAGAGTGCAGGAACACCTTATTCCTCGTTGTCTGATCCGTCGACCAGCCAATTGGCGAACCCCTCTAATCGCTCCGTCTCTCCTCGCTGGTCGTCCTCATCCGCGAGACCTCGACCGCCAGACCGCTTGAACCGCTCTTTGCCGGTATATATCGAAGCTTGTATCTGGGAGTCAGCTCTTCCGAGCTCAGGATGCCTGGCACAAGACTGCAAGGAGCGAACTTACTCTTCGTTTGTCAAAGAACCGCCCGTTCATTTTCGCCACGCAAGCTTCGGCCGATACCGAGTCTTTAAATTTGATAGTCATGACCCCATCTTCCTCTTTCTGCTCTAATCAGCCCATACCCTGCCACTCGATGAAAAGGCCAAGCTCACGTCGTACAGCGTCACGCTCGTCACTTGCCCCATCGTCTCTGCCTCTTCCCGCACATCCTCCTTGAGCTCGAGAAGTAATGCCGGGTCCTTGTCCAGATCCGGCAGCGTGAACATACCCTTCAACACGACCACGCGGGCCATGCGGTTCACGCCTGGCTTGGGGGCGCCACCGATGGGGGCCATGGGATCGTCCGAGTCGTCGTCCGAGTGCCAGGTGACTTTGCTAAAGAGTCAGCAAAGGCTACACGCCCAATTCTCCTAGATCAGCAAGGGAGATAGTACTTACTTTTGCATCATCTTGATCCTCTTTGTCATCTTCTGCTTCTCTTCCGCCGTGTATGTCCTCTTGGCCGCTCCGGTACCGGGCACGACTGTCGCCGCGCCGTCCTTTGCTTCTCCGCCGTCCGCGCCCGCCTCCTTCGGCTTGTCCTTCTCCACCCCGTCGGCCTCACCCTTCTTATCACCAGACCACCCGTCTCCATACTCCGCCTCCTTGACCCGCATGTTCCCCGCTCCTGCTCCCATCTCCAGCTCTATATCATCCAGCAGTGTCACCGCCAGCGAGACACTCCCCTCCTTGAAGTAGATGACAAGCGCCTCGCCCTTGAACTTGCCATCCGCATCGTTATACAGCTTTATCCGGGGTTCGCCATCGTCGCCAATAAGCAAGACCCCGGCTTTCGAAAAGACGGAAGCGAGTTGCGAGACGGTCGCTGTGGGAGGAAGATTCGAGACGAAGACACCAGTCTTTTTGGGTCCGGTCGAGTGGGGAGCTTGGCGGGGTGGTCGCACGGTAGTGGCACCGGGAGCTGAAGAGGAGGCAATGGCATTGGCGGTGTTTGTGGTGGTTGTGGTAGATGCAGATGGACCAGCGGAAGCGGCTGCTCGGGTCGAGGCGTTGGAGGTATAGTCCTTATCCTGACCCGCCCTCTTGCGCTTCTGCTGATTGCGCTTTTCTTCGCGTGCAACGACGGCGTTGGCGGGTTCCTATGGGTCAGAGGCAGATCCGGCACTGAGGCAGACGTGATGGGTGTCGACGAGGAGCGTTGTCAGGCAAAAGATCAGCAAGCTTACATTCTCGTCTACGCCCGCAATGGCATAAGCGGATTGCTGCGCCTTCCACGAGTCTTCATCGACCTGCAATACATGTCAGATCTTCCTTGTTCTCTTCTTTCACGTTGGCAGGGGCTATACATCTGCTCAAGATAGAAGATACCCGCGTGTGGCGGATACGTACAAGAGGAATCCACACTTGTCCCGCCCACTCCCATTCCTGCCCGTTGTCGTCCTCGTAATGGTGTTTGCCAGACTGCTGGTCGACGAATACTCGCGGATCCGTGGTGAACTCGGAAGGCAAGGGATGCTGAGGTGCTGATGCCATTGTGTGAGATAGTCGAGATGAGAGGTAAAGCGAAGCGGCTACAGCTGGGCTACAGTTATTGGCTGAGCCAAAGTCGCACCGCCACTCTTACCGGTTGCTAAATACTCCCCTCACTTGTCCCGCCTTCCTGCCACGCGGGTATCGGTGATCGCCGTTGTTCGGTGCAGTGACGCTCTCTTCCGCTTGCTTTGCTTTGCTTGTCCGACCGGCTCTACGCGCTAACTCCCCTCACCCCTCTTGCTTCTTCTCTTCATCCACACACACCGTAATGATCACTCTATACCTTGTACACACCTTGATCAGATCCTAGCAGTGACAAAGGCGTATAGTAGACTCATTTACAGCTCTCCAAAGAGCTCAGCAAAGCTCGCACCGAGCTCGGCAAGCCATATCTCCCCTTCCCCCATCTGCGCGTATCACCCCGCCTCCGGCGACTCCCACCCTCTCCGGCGCCATGTCGACCCGCTCATCCCCACTTTCTTCCCCTGCTCTCTCTCCTGCGCCCAACGACGCCCTCTCCGAAGTCCTTCCTATGTCCTCCCAGCAGGCCGACCCCCGCGGCCTTCTCTCGCCCCTCTCCAGCTCAAGCTCCCTGAGCAACGATGACGAGCTCGAGCACCCACCCTCGAGCCTCCCAAACGGATCGGAGGGCGCCGGTTCTCAGGACAGTGACGGCGAAGGAGGCTCTGGGAGCGAGACCAGCGCGACCGTGCCCCTCGGGAGTCAGCACAGCGATAGTGACCTGACCGAGGAGTCGGACGACGAGGAGCTACCGGGTCCTCCGGTAGGCATCAGGCCGTCCGTCGTCCCAGAGAGCGTGGCCGATAGCGGTATGGATGTGGATGGCGAGGACGGATTGACGCCCCAGCCAAATCGGTGAGTTTCAGCCCTTTGTTGACTGTTCGGCAAAATCAGCCGATATGAGCACCGGATGGCGGATAAGAGCTGACGACCTTCGTAGAGCAAAGACAACGATGTCGGCTTCTTCCACACCCCACCCGGCTCCAATCCATTCGCGCGGTCGAGCTGCCCCCAAATCCCCCTCCCTTAGCCCGCCGCCACCAGGCGAATCGGCCCGCGCTGCAGCAGCTTCCAGCGCCAAAGAGTCTTCGCCGGGCGGTATTAAGCGCAAGCGAGATAGCGAGCCACCCGCTCCGAGTCTGCCTCGGACGAACGGCTTCCCCACCCCGCCTGACTCGAATACCGATCCCAAGCCAAACGGGCACGTCATAGGCGTCGGAGCCGAAATGGACGGTGGACCCGAATCACTGTCTCCGGTCAAGCCTACACGAGTCGCCGAGGCCGAGGACCTACCTCTGCCAGAGAATGAGGACCCCGACGCCCAGATGGCGTTCCTCGAAGCGATCGAGTCATTTGACTTTGAGGATCTAGGCGGGGATGGCGGAAAGATGGACGATGTAGTGGAGGTCGGTGCAGCTGAGCCAGAACAGCCAGTGGAAGGCGAAGGGGATTCAGGGGACACCCTCGATGTCGCAATGCGCGATGAGGATGGCAAGGTGGAGGAGGACATCGCTCGTCCCACTGAGGAGGCCGAGCCGGAGCGCCAAGCGGGAGGCATGGAGGAGTTGATGGAGGCTGCAGAGGCGTCTGCTCAGGCAGAACCGGTGGAAGAGCAGGCGAAGGGGGCTAGCAAAACGGATGCTGGAGACCCTACCGGTAAGTTTTCCGCTCGTCATTCCATCCAATTTGACACTGCTGATTTCATAGAATCGGCACCTGCCACAGCTGTCATGCCGAACGGAGCCACCCCCTCACCACTCCCAACGGAGGAAACCATGCCGCCTCCCCCACTCTCAAGGAAGAACTCGGCCGTCGTCTCTGCGCCCTCATCCTCTGCCGGACCCTCCACTCTCCACCCCATGGCGCACGCACACTCGTCCCACGCCCCACCGCCCAGCCAGGCGGCGATGCGGGCGCTGCTCCAGCTCGAGCTGAAGTTTGCTGCGCTACGGGATAGGCTATACATTGAGCGGATGGAGGAGGCGGCCGAGGAGGAGGAAATGATCTTGAATGGTATGTCTACCTCCTGTTGAGAAGTGCAGAAACCGGTTGGGTCGTGGCTGACGTGCAGGAACCCATCCCGCGCTGCAAAAGCTCCACAAGACCCTCTCGCACCGCCGAGAACGGCTGCATGAACTTGCTAGCCGGCGGCACGAACAAGCGCTGGATGAGCTCAAGGTGGTCAGGAAGTCGGAGCAGAATGCGGTCTGGTCATGGTGGACAGTAAGTCTTCGAGTGTTTGCCCGGTCGCATGGTATTGTACTGACTTGTCCAGGACGAGCGTGATCGGATGCACTGGGAGGAGTTTGAGCAGACATGGAGTAAGCGCAGGAGGCTCGCTAGGGAGAAGAATGAGATTGAGTCGGTGCGATGGGGTGAGTCATTTCTGGTCATGGACATTGGGCGATGGAGCTGATGACGCTCAGCGAAACCGGTGCCTAAAGTTGGAGATCCAAGATTTGGCAAGAGCTTTGATTGGTCGGCTGGACCTAGTCCGGCGAGATTGACGGTGGACGAGGGCAATCACGATCTGGCATTGATGGAGGTGAGTCCTGCGGGGCGATTGTTGTACCTGGATCAGACTAAAGCTGACCCTCAGCATCGGCAAATGCAGCTCTCCCGCCATGCATCTCCAGCCATCTTCCCACCACTCCCAAATTACCCCATGTCACACCAACAACAGCCGCAAAATCAACAACCAGCCAATCAGTACGCTTCCGTCCCGTACGCCGCGGGCCCAACGTACGCCGAGGCCGCCGGCACCAGCTCCCAGACCGCAAATATCCCCCAGACATACGACTCTCCCCGGGTACCTTCTTCGGGCGCCACACCACAATCTCGCCAAAACACCTCGAACACGGCGCATCAATCCGCGCCTACGTCCCGGCAAGTCTCAGGATCTGCCCAAACGGCGGCGTTCGGCGGTCCCGGCCTGATGGACCACTATGCGTATCCCCGGAACGCGACCGCTCTCGGTCCCACCTCGAGCGGGTCCAGCATCTCCCTCTCTCAGCCTGGGCAGTCCCTATCGCATTCCCAAACACAGCAACAACGGCGAGAGGGTCGAACTGTACCTACCGCCTCGACAATGTTCGGCCCCAACTCCACTCCGAATGCCAACTCGCCTATCGCGCAGTCGTTCCCCTTCAACCAAGCCCAAAATCAGGCACATACCGCTTCGCACCCCGTCAACCCGAACGCCCCGAGTAACGCTCAAAGCCAGGGTCAGAACGCGATCTCGAAAGAGGTCAAAGCGGAGTCTATGGACTACAGCAGTCCCTGGGGAAACCGGATGCACGTACCTATGGGCTTCGGGCTTGGCTTTGGCCTAGGCGGTGGTGGGATAGGTGGTGGAGCGGGCTTCGGGACGCTCGGGTCCTCAGCTGGCGGTATGAGGGATGGGACGAGCCTGCCCAGTGCGGCTGGACCTGGGCAAGGGCTGGGGCAGAGTGCATATGCTGCTTCTCTCGGCCGGAAGCAGGACGACAAGGTGGGGATGTCGACGGTGAATGGGGTGAATGGGGTTATGACCTCTGCGAGTACCCCTGGTGGTGCTTGGGGAGCCAATGGAGGTTCCAAGATACACCGCGGTGCGGAAGATGTCGAGATGGGGAACGGACTCGATCGAGAGCGAGAGCGGGAACGAGATCGGGAGAGGGAGGATGCGAGACACAGAGAACGGGAGCAGAGGGATCGCGAGCAGCGGGAGCGAGAAGATAGGGATAGGGATAGAGAGAGGGAGAGGGAGAGAGATAGGATGGAGAGGGATAGGATGGTGAAAGAGGATAGAGATAGGGAGAGGGAAAGGGATCGACCCAAGTATCCTGGACTGGCGGAGTATCTCGGAGGGTCGACGAACCCGCTCGCAACTGTTGGTCTTGCGCGTATGGGCGTGAGGCCCGGTGGGATACTGAGTCCACCTAGGAGTGGTGTCTGTGAGTCTCACTCTTCTCTCTTATCCAAGAAAGATCCAGAGCTGATCAGGTAGCGAGATCACCATTCACTGCTCCTCCACCTGTCCCGGCGCCCAATACCCAGACCGTTTCGCGGACCTAGGCAGCCCGGCGGCGAGTATAGGGTGAGATGATGTGGCGTGAGAGGGCGGAGGGAAGAGAGGCAGCCGGAGAGCTGGTCCACGGGGGTCGAAACGCGGACGAGGCGGTCCGTGAAGGAGGAGGGGGTGTCTTGAGGGGCGTCATTTCTTGGCGCGATATCTGTCTTGTTTTTCCTTCATTCCCACGACTCTACGCTATCATAGCTACTGTACTCACTTCTGTTATAGTCCGAGATGAGAGCTGTTGTTCAATGTCCCATAGCATGGTCTATCTGGACACTCTCCGTATATGTGGAGTGCTCGAATAAGTTCGGCACGCCTCGGCGACCGGTGACGTTTGCGATCGTCGATGTCGCCAGCCAACTCAACTCATGATAACTTTGACTTCGAACATCACTTACCTACCTCCAAAGACTCGAACAGGATGACCGCACTCCAGACTGCTCTTGCGCCATTCACGCTGAAGGGGTTCTACCTTCTTACTTGGGGTACCACCCTCGGAGCGAACGTGTGGAACACTGTGGTCAGTTCTCGACTATTCAGATCGGCGTGGCACTTCTACGCGGACGGGGACCTGAAGCTCCCGCAGAGCTGTCAGCGGCATAGGAGACACGCTGACGCTATAGTCCGGCTACCGCACATACAAGACCCTCCCGCGGGCCACCTTCGGTACCCTCCAATCCCGGCTCACACCCCTCTACTTCTCATTCTCCACCCTCTCCTCGGCCGCTTTGCTGCTTACGCACCTCTACTTCCACCCCGCCCTCATCTCGTTTTCGTCCTTCTTTGGCCCCCTCAACTGGCGGTCCTCCGAGGAAGGCCGACAGGGTCTCTTGATCCTCGGCGCGCTGGTCCCCCAGGCGGTCAACTGGTTCTATGCCGGACCAAAGGCGACCGAGAAGATGTTTGCGAGGCACAGGCTGGAGAAGATGGAGGGCAAGTCGTATGATGAGGCTAGCGTGAGTTATCGACTCGTCTGCTACTATGCGCCGTGGCGAGGTCGTACAATGGCACTAAGCTGACTCCTTAGCCATCAGAGGCGATGCAGAAGCTCAACAAGTCGTTTGCTGGGCTGCACGGCCTCGTCTCTTCCCTCAACACCGTTTCATTCATCTCCCTCGCCGGTCTCGGTCTCGCCGTCAGCATGTAAGCGAAGGGGCTGGGATGTATACAGATGGAGAAGTGGAGTACGGGACGTGATCGGTCAGGCAGAGTTGGACCAGGGATTCGATTGCAGCGAGGAGTCCGAGGTGTGGGCTGTGGGGAACGGCGAGGTGGAAGGCGTGCTGCGGCTATAGTAGCCGCAACGATGTAGCTGAATTGATATGGCTTTGATTCTTGAATCTGGAGACAAGCTCAGGGACTACACTAACGGAGATTCAAGCGTCCACACTCACGGAGCTCGTACATGTTCATACATCTACTACTTGATCGCACGGCTATGATACAGAGAGTGTCCAATAAGGAAATCAAGACTACCAAGTGACCGGACGGAGACTGAAGACGATCCTCTACTACATACTCCGCTCTGCGCGCTCGGACGTGACGCTTTGGCTAGCGGTATCCGCCGTAATTTGGGGGCGCAGGCAGACCACCTTGGGCGTAGTACTGCTGAGGCTGTGGTGGAGGGGTAGCGCGTTGCTGAGAGCTTTGCATGAGGGATGCGCGCACTTGAGCGTCTGGCTGAGTCAGCTTGTTCCCGCCTCTAGCCCCAGCCGATGAAAGACTCACAAGGATCCGAATACGCCAGCTGCATCGTCCGACTCGGCCCATCCGTCAACCCCGGGGTGAGCGGGAAGGCCATCCCCGCCGCCTGCGCCGGCTCCATCCTTGGCTCGTACCGTTCCCGCGCTACAGGCTGACTGACCGGCGGCTGGTTATACAGGCCGACATCCCGCTCGGCGTCCGAGGGGCGGTTGTACGAGACGTCGGTACCGGCCTTTTCGTTGTCGTCGTCGTGACCGTTGGCAACGTGGGTGTAGCCGATGCCGGCGGTGTGGGTGATAGGGGAAGAAGGGGGGAGGAAGGAGGGCTCGTGGCGTCGTTCGCGGCGGAAAGTGAGGACGGCGAGGATTGAGAGTGCTATCCAGCCGCCTGAGGCGTCAGCTGACGCACACGAGTCCGCGAAAGGGAATGAGGCGGTTTTGTGAAGGGGAATGAGAGACGTACCGAACGAAAGCCAGCCAAAGACAGCACACGCCTTCTTGGTGGTGCACCACTGGTCCAGCCCGCTCTTGAAGTCTTCACCTAGACTCGCGTGTGGGTCATCGGCGGCGGCTTTACATCCGGGTGCGGCAAAAGCTTACAACGTCAGCTCTGCCTCCCAGCTTCGGGAGTGGTACGCAGCTAATGAGGACATACCGCTGACAGTGACAATTAGGCAGGCGATGATGGCCATCAATGACCCAAAGATGTGAAGGATCAAGGTCGCCCGAGCTTGCTGAAGGAATTGCGCGGGGCGTTTCATTCGATCCCATCTGGCTAGTCAGCTTGAAACCCCTGACGAGCAGAACTTTCCGGTTAAGAGAGCTTACCGATCATATATCAGCGGAACAGTCAAGAGGAAGACGGTGAGGAAGAAGTTCGTAAGGAGTAGGAAGATTGTGAAGCCTGTTCCGCCAGCTGGGGAGTCAGCTCTAGGCCATAGTCAGGTTTGATCGAGGAAGTGGTCGCTTCACAGCAGTCCCTCATCGGGGAGGGCCTGTGAGGGCTGAGTCTTAGGGACTGCTGGAAACTCACACACGCCAAACCACTTTGCTTGGAACCCCGCTGTCGCTCCAATCGTACATACCGCCAGGAAGGTGAAAAACAGCTAATGCGCATCAGCTAGAGCGCGGCCATGGCGTGGTGCCGCAATGCCAGCTGACTTACAGTGACGAGATGTATCCAGATATGCGCTTTCGGCAGAGTCGGCTGTGGTGGCGTCAGCACACGACCGAGGTCGAAGCTGTAGTACATCCCGCAAGGACAATGAGCGATAAGGGTTCGGTATTTCACGCTGGGGAGAAGAGTGCTTATGTGGGGCATAATGTAGAGGGAGGGAGGGTATAGAACGTAGATGAGGAATGGAAAGAGGAGTTGAGGTGGAGGAAGGAAATCTGAATCGCTGCTGACTCACTTCTTCGAAAGATGGCCCGTCGACAAATGGGTCGCTTCTCTCCCTTCTCCGTTGCGCCCCAGTCTTCCTTTCTTGCTTCTGCAGCACCGAGTGCAGATTATCGCCTGAGCCGGACGTAAACATCCCTGTGGCCTTGGACGAGGCTGTTGCCGCCATGGATTTGAGCTTGTTCATGCTGGGCGAGAGCGGTTGGGGTGGTGGGATTGGTGATTGGTGTTGTTGTTTACCTCGCGAGCCGCTGCTTGATCAAGGGGTCGTAGGAGCTAGGGGCGCCAATGGAGATGATGTGGTATGGGGAGCGGTTGTATGAAGTGTAGGGAAGGTCGAAGGAGATGGCTTTGGTGGTGCGACGATAAGGTTGAGTGACGTTCTACCTCCGGGCAGTCGGAATGTGAAACGAGGGTCCCCTTTCGCCAAGGATCACAGCTTTTCGGCTGGCTTTCAAGGACGTCGGCGGCAGTGACTAGCGAGTCCGCGGCATGCGCGCCGAGAGTCGGCGGTGAGGTATGAGCTGTATAAGCAGAGCGAGAAGGAGAAAGCTATGCAGCAGTAAGAGCACTGCTTGCTTGTGTTATGACGCAGTCGAGTGGCAAAATCAAACTCAGCCAAAGTCAATCGCGTGAGACCGGCTGAGATCTGAATTACGGCATGAGAGCGAGGAATGTGGCGGAAGAGCAAGATGGCCATAGAGAGAAAGACAAGCTTGAAGCCCTTGGCAGCATCGCTACATGTATGTACAAGATATGTGTAAGGTGGCAGGCTTGTAAGTCCAGGATATCGTATATGGGATCGTAATGTCCGTCTATATGTCCATGTCTTCGACGCAGCTTTACAGCTCTAGCATCCGCCTGGTACTCTGCACCGTGGACTGCGTGATGCCCTACATGTGTCAGCTGGATACTGAGTCACTTTCACGTCGCCACTTCCGTCAGCTGATCAGGAGGATGACATACTGTCCCGGAACAGTAATTGTTCGCTGCGACCGGGATGCAGCTGAGATATTTGCACCATTTGCACGCAGCATTTGGATCGGTCGTGTCTGCTCTGTTCAGCCGCTTTCACCTTGATTACAGTGGTCTAAGCTCACAGAAGTTCCGGGTCGTCAACACAAAGGCCATAGCCGCGAGAGCTACTGCGAATGCTCGTACGCCCCATAGGACGAAGCGGTGCGTCCTGGTCTCTGAGATCGAGGGGTAGAGAACGGAACCGAGGAGTAGGCCCATCGCGAAGCCGCCGAGGTGCGCGAGACCATCGACCGCATTTGGGCTGGTATATCAGCTGAGTCATTGGGCTGATAGTGATAGGGGAACGTACATGTATCCGACAGCGATGCCGACGACGAATTCCAAGGCGAGGAAGAAAGCCTGGCGGTATCAGCAGTCACAACCCCGGCTGATATAGCCGTTCAGCTCACCTTCAGCTTCGGCCTTTCCTCATACTTCCAGTGCATAAGGAGATCCACCAGTACGCAAGCATTCTATGGTGTCAGCTAGATTGACTGCGAGTAAAGAGAACAGAGTATCTCACGACTGCGAATAGAGCACCTGAAGCCCCTGCGCTGGGGATACCGACCCGAGAAAAATTGCCGCCCAGGAGGAATCCATATACCCCTCCAGCAAAGTAGACGATCAAGTATGGTATGGAGCCTGTCATGTCAGCTCCCCGCTTCCAAGGGCACACGAAGGGCTAACTCACCCATCTCCCGCTCGACCAGAGCTCCGACCGTCATCTGCGCCACCATATTCAGGATGAGATGAACGATCCCAACGTGCAGGAAGATAGGGACGAAGAAGCGCCATGTCTGATTGGGTATATCGGTAGTGGTCAGGCCGTGTCCGCAGATCTGGGCGAGGTTACACGTGGACGTAGGGGGGCTAAAGTATCAGCTATGGCCACGAACAACATGTCCCAGTACGGGCTAGCTCACTCGTTCAGATCGTCCAGGCAGGCAAAGTTGAAGGGGGGAGGAATGTCTGGGACCAGCTTCATACATGGTGGAAAGCGTGCGCCGATGTTGATGAGAACCGATGGCGAGGGTCCGATCATGTAGTTGAATGTTGGGCGGGTGGAGATGGGGTTACCGGTCAGGGCGTTGTTTTGGATGATTTCGTATATCATAACCCCGACCATGACTGCTACATCAGCCCCGTGACCTTCTCAGCCTCTGAGGACACCTACTGGCTGTCAACACCCAAGTCATCACTGGAAACCTCTGCCCCGGTACACCCCTCTTCTTCCTCTCTATCGCCTGGTCCACCGGTATCCTCGCCTTATCCCACCCAAACGTCCCCAGCACCCTATCCAACCCGGTCGGGAACAATAGCAGCGCCATCAACTTGCTCTCGCTCCTCACGCCCGTATTCACGTTATCCAGCGGTGGCCAGGCATACGGCCCATCCTCATACTGGCCGTACTTGCTCTCCCCATACGTCCCGTTCAATACCGCGTGTTCTAGATCCCCGTCCCGCCCGCCCATCCGCGCCGCACCGCTCACCAGGCCGTGCATCTCCAGCTCGTCCTCCCTCTTCCGTGATGCTGATGCAGGGCGGGGGTGCGGCGAGCGGTAGTAGTCGCCTTCTTCGTCGATATAGCTCAGACCGCCAGCGGTCATATTGGAGGGTTTATTACGAAGGTGTCGGGCGGGGTTGGACGACCCGTCTTGTCCGTCCGATAAGGGTGTGGCATGGGAGGTGGGGAGAGGGTGTCGAGATGATGTGGAGAGTGATCGCTGGGATGCAGAGTCCCATGGTCCGATGGAGACGGAAGACGGGGCCGCGGTCGGTCCGTTACGCTCGTGTGAGTGGTCGGAGGGGTCGAGGTATGGGTCGTTGTAGACGTCCAGGTGTTGAGAACGGCGATTGTAGTAGTTTGCCTCTTCGGCGGAGGTATTGCCGTACCCCGAGGAGCGGAGGTCCTCTTGACGATCATAGGGATTGCCCGCGGATGGATTGGCTTGGGGAAAGGGTTGACCAGGGTGGGGTTGATTGTACGCCATGTCGCTGATTATCAGCTTTGTATACCGTACTGGTCGCTGGAAAACTATAGAGTCTCACAAGGAGGTATATGCTTAGATCCTGCTTGGTATGATGCGGAGAGTATGTTCGGGATAGGCAAGAATTTCGCCGTCGACAGGCAGAGAGAGGGCTTCGCGCAATGATCCTTCCTCACAATTTGCGCGTCTAGGCGCTTCTCCTCTTCGAGGCGGGTTCTTCGACTTTTAATCTACCGAGATTTTCCTGTGGTCTGTGTCCGGGCGTTCTATGAGGGGTCTTTAGGTGTCTGTAGCTGTGCAATGACTAGTTGATGGGAGATGCTGCGAAGAGGGAGCTGTGCGGTGTGTTTCGTCGTGTTTCAGCGTCAGGAACAGGTGCCGTAATGGCGATGGAACTGAAAGGCGATTTACCCGGATCCCCGATCCTTTCTATTGTGCAGCGAAGGCATCTTATCATAGCTATCACGACTTCGCCGGGCCACAGACAAGTATTCCCTTTATACCGACAGTCACATCCATGAGCCCAGCGGCTAAGCCGAATCCACCTTCTCCCCTAAGCCTGAACCACACTCTCGCCGGCCTCGGACTCGGTACTTCCCCTTCCAGCTCATCGGTCCGATCGACACCATCGCCGTCTAGCGACATGACAGGCGCCGCGAGCGAGGAGGAAGATAGGGCGAGAGCTTTGGTGGATCTCAGTATTGCCCTTATTGATGCGGCATCGGATGTGCTGGAGGGGAACATACAGACGGATGAGGAGTTGACCAAGACGAGCGTGCTCATGCCGGGCGGAACGGTCGGGAAGCACTTCAGGCACGTGAGCTGGGTTTCTCTCGAACAAGCTGACTTAACCGTACATAGCTGATATCACTAGGTGATTGAGATGTTCCAAGCCTTCATCAACGCCCTGGCCGAGCAAGAAGGATCGTCGAGCGGCCTCATCGAGATCGACTATGACGCCCCTTCTCCGAAATCGCGCAAGGCCATCGCCCGCTCCTTACCGGCTTGTCGATCAGCGATGAAGGGCATACGTGATGGGCTGCTCAAATGGGAGGCCAAGTCCCAGGAGGGCGGGGCAGGAGGCGGGAAGGGGTTGGCGAGTGAGATGCAGCGGAAAGTCAGGCTGGTGGCGGTCACGCCGACGAAGCAGGTTATGGAGAGCAGTGTTGGGAGGGAGGTAAGTTGACATATTTGCCCTTTTCTATGTAAGACAGTAGCTGACAACATGACAGCTTTGGTTCTGCTCATTGCACGCTATACATCATTTCTCAATGTTGAGGACGATAGCTGTGCATGAGCTGGTAAGCATCCTCGTCTTCTGTACTCATACCTCACATTGCTAAGCTGGAACTCGGCTGACAAAAAGGGCCTGAGCCTCCCGACCGAGTTCGGCACAGCACCCTCGACACTCTTGTGAGTGATCGCCCTTTCCTGGAATGACTTCAGTAATTCCCGCCCGACTGACGAGTGACAGGTACCGCGCCCAGGATTGGAAGCCCCCGCCAGAGCGCAAAGAGGTCCGACCGGCCAAGAGCAAGCTATAATCCCCTACCATCCTCGACTGCACCTCCGAGGTCCCTTTTTTTCTCCTCCACTCAATTTTGTAAGATCGCCAGCCCCTCGCTGTTGGGTCCGCCTGGTCGTCCCACATATTGTCCAGCTTCAGAATTTTCTCATACTTGACGTTGTATCAGCTTCACGTACCATACACGTATGCATATCCTGCGCTGCTATACACAAGTAGACATCCTAGATCTACTCCGCGGTGCGCAGCCTCCATCAGGCTCTCTGAGACCGGTGATCAAGCTCCCTCGATGCTCTGTTCTGCCTGGTCAGCATTCTGACAACTCGCAATATCAGAAGACGCACCTGGACGGAGAGCACACCAATGAGGCTGTAAAGGGATAGCACGTACACCCCTGTCGACCATCCTGTACCGAACATCATGCATTCTAGGCAAAGCTTCGACTGTGTCTGCATTCGTCAGCTTCTCCCGAAAATGAAGAAATCTCAGATAGCTTACTTCTCGGATACCCTCCGCCGGCTTTGTCGCCCGTCCAGAAAAGGTCGGCCACTGCGGCCGTGCGTGGCCATACCACGCACTCCAGGCTGTTCTCGTCCGTCTGTTCGGTCCACAGACAGGCCTGACCACCCAAGACTCGATCGCGAGCTTCCTTGTGCGGACCGGCATGGGCATATGGATCGAATGACATCACTCTTGCCCAGGTGCGGTAGTCGCCATGGCCCGAGCCGTGTGGTGTGGCCATCCATCCGCCTTGGCCGGCATCCTACCGACCGTCAGAATATGTTCGAAAAAGTGAAGGCTCGAATAAGGAAGGCAAGAGAGAGCTTACCAAGTAGAAGTAGTCTCCGGGGGCGTGAACGATTCTGAAGCCCTTGTCAAGGACCTTCTTGGCATCTCCGGAAGCTTGCCAGATGTGCACGATCGTATCGGGGGAGATCGACCGCATAGCACCATGAGATAGCACCTGATCATCAGCTCATCTCTCTTCTGAGAGCGCTGATCAGCTCCTACAGCACCCACCATATCTTGCCAGACCACCGGCGTCTTCCTAGCGGCGTGAATGGGTTCGTGGATCTCGCCAGTGAACGCGTCGAGGGCTTGATCGAGTGTCCATCCTTTCTCCTTTAGAGAAGCGCGCGTGACCGGGTCCGCGAACTGCGAGTGAGCTTAACCCATATAGATAGGGAAGACGCTACTGACCATGCACTTTTCGTTGACTTCATCTCCGCCTGTCCCCACGTAGGGCGCAACCTCCATCAGTCTCACCACATCCTCGACAAGCCCTTTAGTCCACTGAGTAGTGGCATCAGTGGCGAAGCGTAGTTGCCCGGCCGGTGGCTGATTCGAATAGGGGTCGGCGGGTAGGATGTTGGCGCTGGCGATGTGCTCGGGATGCGACGCAGCGAGAGATGCGGTGTGGCCTGGAAGATCGACTTCGAGGAGGACGTCAATTCCGCGCTGTCATGTAAGCTTTTACCGTTCCAAGGGAGCGAGCCCACAGCTGAAGGAACCTACCTCGCCGGCGTAGTCGGTGAGACCCTTGATATCACTCTCGGTGAACTTCTGAGATGGAGAGTATGCTCCGGCTGCGGCCAGCTCGGGTCGGTCCTCCAGATCCAGAGGCCACGAGTTGGAGTCTGTGATATGCCTTTCGGAATGTCAGCAGGGAGGTCAGGACGCGATCAGAGACTAAGGAGGACGCACCAATGAAAGACATTCAGCTTGACGAAGGACATGGTATCTAAAAGCTGCTTCTTCAGCTTGTCATTTTCGCCGGAACAAGTTACAAGATGGTGAACGCACCTTTCGTATAGCCTCTAATCCGATCCAGTTCCTGGACGTATCCAGCAGCAGGCCCCGCCAGCCGAATGCAGGTCGATCCGAGATATTATATGGTGCGAACGGCGCGTATAGGCTCCCGCACGCCGCCATGATCTCCGAAGGTGGGCTTCCGGAGCCACCGACATCCGAAGGTGGAGAGCGGTAGACGAGCTGCTCCAAGGTCGTGAGACCCCTGAGGAGACCGAGAGCCGACTTCGCTTTGATGATCGCTGGCCCCTTGAGGGGTATAGAGAGCGAGTACGCCTCTAGAAGTGGTCGGTCCTCGGCTTCCGCATGGGCACATTTCGCGATGCTCGCCACTTTCTCTCCAGCTGTGATGTCCAGCACAAGGCGAACCTCGGTCAATATTGGGGAAGCGGATGAAAGGAAGAACTCGGCCCCTCGGGTGGGTGAGAGATACTGGTGCTGAGTCTGCTGAAGCCGATTCGTGGTCCGCTTTATCGAACGAGCCAGATCCGAAGGGAGTGAGACCTTTCGCCCAGATTGGTGGAAGATGATCTCGAGGTCAGGGGAGATGAGGACGGGGGTCAGGCCAGTCGTGTAAGAGGTTGGGAGGGGAACGACGCGCAGAATGGGGAAAATGGTGACCGGTGGAGGGGGGCCTTGTGACGCAGGGCCCGGAGAGCCGGGCGGCAGGTCGGTAGATGTCATCGAGAGGCCAGTAAGAAGAGACTACACTTAGGTATGCAAAGACGCAAAGCTGGTCAGCGGAACCGGTAAGAGGTCGGTTCCTTTGGGAAGCTCGTTCCCCTCCTTTCATCTTCTCTTTTCTGGCGCTTAGCAAAGTGAGTCTCTGCAGGGCCGAGGAGCTGTCAGAGTCACTCACGACAACGGTCATGTAGCTGCAGAGGTCGAGAAGTATTATGGGTCCGCAAGCTGCAAGGTCAACGTCAGGCACCCGGACATTCCGCGCAAGCAATTTGCCCCCGGCACCGGAGTCAAGCCGCGCTGTTGGCCGGGATTGTGGAGGTCACCATGCATGCTAGATATCAAGAATCACAGAATACAGGCTGACAGCCCCTCTGCCTGTCCTAGTAGTCCTGCGTTTATGGAATATGGCGACATCGTGACGAAAGAGCAAGATACATGAGCGCTAGAGATGATCGAATGAACCCGTTCCCGATGCCGTGATGGTGCCTTGGGTGCCTGAAGACCACGACTCCTCATACCGCTCAGTTTCGCTCTCTACCTCGACCATACATACAGCTCATCTGCTTGCACTCGCTCCAGTATCTTGTCGCCCCTCTCTCCGTCGCCCATCGTAAGGCCTTTCACTCAGCAGCGGACCCAATTTGCTCCGTAGAGCTGCGCCAAAAACGACGCGAGGAGGCGCCTCAGCATTGTTGTCAACATTCCGCTCGGATCGCTTTACCGGGCCGTCTTGGTTGCACTAAGGGGACCTTTCCATCTGCGAGCTGGCTTTCGGACGCATATAAGCACCTGGGCTGTCCGAGTGATGCGCTAGTCTACGGCTCTACTCAGCTCGACAGACCTCTCTAAGCGAGAGCTATAGAGGCGCAATGCCCGACACATCTCCCACGGATTCCGCAGGTGAGCCTTACCTGCCTCAGCTGCTCCTGAAGGGCCAGCTTGATCCGAAGACCGTAGATATGAGCTTACACTCAGGTCAATCATCAGCACCATCGTCCTTCTCGGCATCATCCATAAGAGACAGCTTGTCCTCCATGTCAACAGCACCGACGAGCCAGTCACATCACACGCCAATGAGTACCGTTGCGGAAGGCCCCGCTCGTAGTGGGCCTCAGGAGGGCGAGAGCAAAAGTCGAGGGCTAGGCGAGCGGGCCAGAGGATTGATGGGAGGAAGATTTGGGTCGATAAGGGGACAACCTCGTACGTGTCAACAAATGCCTGGCTGTCAATCGCGGGCGGGGTCTATGCTGATATCTAGCTGCCGGACCTCCCCCTCTTCCACCACCTCCGACAGCTGCGCAATCTGGACCGAGTAGACCTAGTGTCTTCGGCCGGGCGTCGAGCCGCTTGTCCTCCAACCCCCTTCGACCTACTCCAAATACAGCGCCTTCTTATCCCCCGCCATCGTCATCTCTCCCCATACCGCCCTCCTTATCGGTCAATACAGCCTCGCAACCTCCTCCTGCCCCTTCGGCCAGCTTTGGGCGCTCCCTCAGCACTGCACCTCCAGATCCACATAGCTGGCATGAGCGTAAAAACTCTGGAATCTCGCAGCGGTCGACCGGATCCTCCATATCCATCCCTCCATCACCATCTGCCTCTGCCCCGCCCATATCGCCCCGTACCTCGTCCCTGGCGTCTCAGCGAAGTACACTAGCGAATCCACCCATGGTGCCGAACTCTCTCCCTAGAGATCGGTCCGACCAGGCAGAGGGGAGCGGGACTAGCGGGAGTATGCTGCCAGGGCGGAGAATACCTTCAAGGCAATTGCTGCAAACGGCGTTGGATCTGGCGCAAAGAGCGGTGGAGATGGATCAGGGGAATGATGTCATTGGGGCGCTCATGGCGTATAGGGAAGCGGTGGCGAGGCTACAGGCGGTGATGGACAGAGTCAGTGAGGGGAGAAAGGGCAAAGATAAGGACAAGGATGGAAAAGCCGAGCAGGAGGGGAGGACGTTGAGAGGCATTGTAAGTCTACTGCCCTCAATCTGGGCGTCAAGAGCTCATGTCCCAGCATGATGCGTATCTCGCGCGCATCGAACTACTGCAGTCATACGAAAATGGCGAACGGGACCATCCGGACGAAGGGCTTATCAACGGCTTTCCCGCTCCTCCAGACTCCCGGCCCTCGAACTCCCGCCCGTCCACTTATGCCTCCTTACCTTCCGAGTCTTCCCTCCCGTCCGCTGCATCTTCTCAGCAGCTGTCGCTCAATTCGTCGGAATCTTCCGGCCATCGGAGTGATGTACCGTTGGCGCCGGGCGAGCGGACACCCCGCCCGTCTGTCGATAGTGGCTTGTCATCCGATGATGTCAATCACATCGGTGACTTCATGCTGGCCGACCAGAGCTTTGAGCCATTCTCGCCGGTCAAGACCGAGTCGGGCGCGACTCCTCAAGCGGGAGATCAGAATACGCCATCTCGACCTTCCAGCGGCAAGCGATCATCATCGGAAAGCCTGACCAGCCGGTCCTTAGCCCCAGACTATGGCCTGACGTCTATGATGGCAGGGTCGACCTCTACGGTCATGCTGAATGAGGCACCGCCTCTGTCAAGCATGCTCAGCAATCCTCCCCCTCGCCGCGAATCGCTCTCATCTACTGCTGCCCTCGGCCTGGGCCATCCTACCTCCCCTCCCAAGTTCTCAGACGACTCCATGCCTGCCGCACCCACTCCGTCGAGCACAGCTAGCTCAGAAGCGCCCAGTACGCCCAACACGTCCCGGCGTCATCGGCGGCAGATGCCCTCGGTGGGCATAGAGGATGAGGTGGGGTTGACTGCGGCGGATGGCGCGGAGGATGGCGGGGAGGTGGAGGAGATGATGGACAGCCAAGAGAGAGCATCTACAGCGGGTGACGGGGTATCGCGGACCCACTCTCGCGCCGGATCGATCGACAAGTCGCTCCCTCCTTTACCGACAGATACACCTACCCGCACCGCATCGCATTCCCGGCAGTCCAGCTTGAGCAGACTGGGACAGCTCATTAGCGACAGCACGTCCAGAGGGACGATCTCCCAGCGGCGGCTCTCGCGGAACAGCCCAAATCTCTCCACGCTTGATCCTGGCGGACCGCCCTCCCCATCCATACCGAGCTCTAGATCCATGGCGTTCCCTGCCCGCTCGCCGGGGAACGAGGCAAGCTTCAGCAATGTCAGCACCGGTGGTCAAGGCTCGAGTTCGAGATCCCGCTCAAAGTCACAGCCGGGACAAAGACCGGGGGATACCTTCCAGGCGGAATCAGCAGACAATGTACCCCCTCTCCCGAACCTCCGAAACAAAGCCTCATTCCCCTCGCAGTCGCAACAGCGGTACTCGCACGCGCGCATGCCATCGGACAATCTCGCGCCGCCCGGACCGGGATCATACCGCTCCGTCAGCCCAAGCTCACTGGCTCCATACGAGTCATCCGGCGCCATGTCATTCTCCGGTTCGCTAATATCCCCCGTACCCGAGCTCCAGCCGGAAGACCATATCCACCGACCCTTCCATCTTCTCCGGACCATCCACCTCTCGATGGACCCCGATGGTCCCGGTGCGTACCTGACGGGCGCAATCCACATTCCTTCGTCCATATGGATGACAGCCCCTCCGTCTTCGTCGCGATCGTCCATGCGGTCCGGTCAGACAGGCAGCGGCGGGGGCTCGGGACCCAAGATCGCAGCACAAGACGTCAAAGTGCGCATCATGGAATCGCTCCTCCTTCACCTGGAGATCATACGGCATACGGGCGCACCGCTGCTCGATGGTCCGCGGGAAGTGGGGTATGGCGTTCCAGGTGTAGCTGCGCCAAGGATGGGCGGACAGGCCGTTGCTGGGATAGGGCAGGAGCTGCTCAGCGCGCTAGATGGGCTGGAGGATGAGATGGACACGGTGTACAAGAGCTTTGTCAAGGCGGGTGTGGCGGTCGGTGCCTGGAAGGGCAAGAAGGCTTCTACCGTGAGTCCGGATACCTTTTTCTGTACAGGTCCAGATTTGGAGCTGACGTGCTCGCAGAGTAACCGCTCGTGGGGATCAAAAGTCGTCAGGTCAATGGACAAGATGACCAGCTCCAAGGCGTAAGTAGGCGAGAGAATACAAAACAAACATTGACAGTCAGCTGACGTCGTGCAGGATAGACAGCCCAGATAAGTATGTTGACCTCCTCGCCAGCCTCTGCTCCAACATCCAGATCCTCAGTAGGTCCCTAACTCGCTTCATTTCTGCCAGAAGCTGATAATCGCAGATGATCACATCTCCATGTTCACCGGTCCATGCACGCCCGCATACCATTATATCGCCGAGCCGGGCTATCGGGCCATCGAGCAGCGTCTAGTCCGCTCCGCCGAGTTTGTCAGGGTTGTTCTGGTGCCGTTCGTGCTGGACGACTTCAAGCAATTCTTTGTGAGTCAATCTGTGTCGGTGTGCTTCGACTCGATGCTGATGTTGGCAGTATAGGTATCTCAAAGCTGGCATGCGGTATATCGAGGATTAGGCTGTTTGCCATTGTCAATTCATCAGTAGCATGGGCTTTTCTTGCATCACAAAGTTGTACCAGGTCAATAGCCTCAATGCAACCTTGAAGTCTTAGCTAGCCTGGCAATTGCATGGACGAGATGACTTGAGATACTGAAACCAAGCATACTGAAGAACTACCGGAAAACATTACTAGACATGATCTAGCCCGAGATACGAGGCGGTATATACACGATATTGTACACAATAGTCGATTCCCTCCTCCAGGCCCCTGCTATAGCTTGACGACCTCCAATCCCGCCGCGACGTGCGTGTGATCGTTCACCTCTCCCTCCTTGCACACCTGGACGCCCGCGAGCCACTTGTCCTTCAACACCTCCTCGATTCCCCATCGGGTCTTTGGGTCGGGATCCAGCATGTGCTTGATGACCGACCGGCATTCTCGGGGGACGAGGTTGTTGAGCGGAGGCGGTGTAGGATGGGGTGCACCAGACGCGGCAGCTGCGGCGCCACCGATAGTGTTGGGGTTTGGGGAGTACGCGGCGATGTAGGCGGCAAAGGTCGTGTCCGAGTGCTTGGCGACTCGCCATGGCAATTCCTGGAATTGCATGCAGTAGAAGACGATAGCGGCGGCCCAGACGTCGACGAGGCGGGCATCGTATTCTGATTGGTAAGCTTGCTTACGGGACTGAGGGGGCTTGAGGGAGAGGCTGAAGTGGCGGGTGAAAGAGCATTGGGAAAGAGGTGAAGGTCTTGCAGGGCGGGACTTGCCTTTCTGGTCGAACAGCTCTGGTGCAATGTACGGTTCTGACCCGCATAAACCCTTTGAAAGATGGGTCTTCTTCTCCCAGCACATGCGGAAGACGTCCGAGACACCAAAGTCGGTGATCTGAGACGTCAGCCCGGCTTCAAGCTTGCGCTATATTCAGGGCTTACCTTGACATGACCACGCCCGTCAAGAAGCAGGTTCTCCGGCTTGATATCTCTGTGCGCGACACCCATGTTGTGAAGGTATGATATACCCAGCAAGATCTGCTTGAAAGAGCACTCGACCTCGCCAGAGCTCATCCCGCCCTTCTTGATCGCCGCGTACAAATCCCCACCCGGACAATACTCCATGACCTCGCACCAATGGTGCTGCTCGTCCTGGACCAGGTCGACCGTCTCGACGATATTCGGGTGGTGAAGCGTACTCGAGATACAGAATTCCGACGTCAACTTCTTGACGTAGTCCTTCTCCGTCTCATTCTTCCGCCTCTTCCGGAACTCCTTGACGGCGTACAGCTTCTCCTCGCGGCGATCCCACTTGTGGGCGAGACGGACGACTGCGGTGGCGCCTTTTCCGATAGCGGCCTTGTCGCAGACACCGTACTTTTTCAGCAGGGACGCCGTCGAGTTGTTGTCGCCGCCGTGCTCGCTTCCGCCTTTGGTCGAGGAGCCCTTGACTGACCCCTTCTCGGATCCCCTCCGCTTCATATTGCCCCCTTCTCCACCCATCCCCATCAAGTCCTTCAACGTGAACTTGGTCCCAGACGAGCCCGTCACCTCCTCCTTCTTCGCCACCACCACCGGCGCGCCACCAACCAAAGCGATAGGCTTCATGCCATTGAGCTTGTCCTTGTCGTTCTTCTCGCCATTCTGCGACCCATGGCTCGCCGAGCGCTGGGACAAGCGACGCATGAGACCGCCCTCGGGCGCGCTAGTCCGCGTGTCTTGTGGCATTTGCGCGTGTATGTCGTCCTTCCTCGACCTGAAGCTAGACTGGCGGGACGGCGGTCTGCTCCCGTCCGAATCGACGACCGAGGGAGTTCCGGGCGTCATGGGCGGGCTGTCGCGACTACCAGGGTTTGGACTTGGCTGCCCGCTCGGCGTGAACCCACCGAAGCCGTTCTTGGGCATATCAAGCTTGGGCAGAGCCGCCTCGCCGTGCTTGTCTTTGTGTTGCTTGTCGTGCTTGTCGTCGTGGTGGAACATGCGATGCAAGAAGGACTTCTTCGGCTCGCCGGCGGACGGGCGGGATGTGGATGGGGCTCGTCCAGCCCGAACGGCAGTAGGAGCGTGGTACGCATCGGGGGAGGAGCCTTTTGGGGGCGGGATGCGGTCATGCGGGTCCTGCGATGCAGGAGTTGAAACACCAGGAGTAGGGGGAATGACCATGTCGTGGTTGGCCGGAGAGGCGGTACCAGAAATAGGGCGGACTGAGTGTCAGAACTGCTCCCTCTTGCCTTGCGCAATGCTCACCATTTGGGAACGGGAACCCGAGATTTGGCCCATAATTGGTCCCAGCGGTATCCCCAGCAGTCGCCAATCTCCCAGTATCCAGCGCTCCCGTCATCATACCAGCGCTCGATGGTGTAGCGTCTGATCTGCCTGCGCTGGGCACGTCCGCACCGTGCAGTTCCGCGGGGATCGCCATGTTGCCTTTCCCCCCTCCGACGCTGAGATCCGAGAAGCCGGTGACATCGTTCTCGAACGCGGATGCTTGCTGTGAGCGGTTTGATGGCGGAGAATGTGGTCCGACGTCGGAGTCTGGGGTGACTGGGTGGAGCGAAGGGGAGAGGGAGGGAGTCAGAAGGTGATGGGCGTGATCTGGTTTCTGCTTGATCAGCATTTAGTCCGCTCATTCGGGCGGAAGTATACCTACAGGCTTTCTTTCCTCTGGCACGACGTCCTCCTCGCCTGTTTCTGGTATTGAGGTGTTTCCGGCTGATGTAGACATGACGGTGGAGGTAGGATTGGGGGTCGTGGTGGTGAAAATCTAGACACTTCTCCAGACGAGCGATCCTCCGAAGAAAGGCGATGTGTATCTGCTTTGGAAACGTGTATATCCACAGGTGGGAGCGATTGAGCAGGTTGATGGGCAGAAGGGAAACGTTTGTGATGGCGATCAGCGATGCAGAGTGAAACGGGGACCGATGACCAAGCAACAGTCGAGGGACGAGCGGAGAACACGGCGGGGCGATCCAAAGGACGTCGGGGAAACACGTTTGAAGTGTATCAGAATATTGTACGCGATGGCGGCGGTAGGATAATGGTACAGAGCCGTCAGGTAGGAATCAGATGGTCGGCGATAGGCGTAGCGGGATGAGGTGGACCAGACGTTGGTGTATGCGAAGTGGCGAGTGCAGCAGGGATGGGGTACAGTAGAGAACTATGGTAAGCGCTGTTCTAGCAGGATCGACCCGTACGCCAGAAAGGATCGCTTAAGCCTCTGAACGTCTGCAATGAAGGTGTGATTACAGTACGGGACAGCGCCAGCTGCAGCCTGCGTCTGCCTGCGCGCCATGGCCGACCCGCATCCGCAACACAAATCCAGCTCAATTCATTGGACTTACGGTTCTTCTTCTAGCCTTGTTTCACGTGTCTCTGAACTATTATGCGTGGCGGGCGCTGTTCTGAAGTGATGTGAGGATAGTGTGTGGTGCTGGAAGCGCGAGTTATCGATGAGCTGCTCGATCAGAGATTGGCCTGTGGAAAAAGCCTCAAAACAAAGATGAGCAAGCAGTGGACTTCGGTTTCCGCTGGAATTCCCCCACTCACAGTAGGCCCAGTGTTCTCTTTCTGGAGATTCAAATGGGTCAGAGGATGGCTAGTCCAGGTGCTCGGTAATGTGTGGATGAGCGAGCGATTGTGATGCCCTGCTTGGTCATGCGTCTGCCCACCTATGCCTGTCCTCCTCTGCACCGTCTCGCCTGACCTTCTTCGCCGACGGAAGTCAGAGAGTGAGGGATATTTTCGTTCGCCGAGCAAAGCAACGGCGGTCTATTTCTAATCATTAGGAAATTACTAATACAAAATTCGCTGGTTTGGGATCATTTCCATTAGCGGAGTCTAATAGCAATTGGCTATCGACGAGTATTATCGAATCCAGATCCTAATGATGGGAAATCATTAGGTTTGGCTTTCGGGATGTGGCGATTGCGAGTGGCGAGTTGATGTGGCACCCTTCACCTTGCGACAGCCTCGTCCCATCCAGTCCCCATCTCCATCAGCCGTTAGCACTTGACCTGACCACCAGCTTTTCGATCTACACTGGCGAGTTCTTCGATGCCGACGATGTCAAATTGCTCTGTACCAGTTCTAGACGTGTATCAAGGTTTACGAGTGGGACCGCCACTTTCGGGTGACCTTACCGGATATCCTGGAAATCATCGCTATATCCGGTGAGAGGTCCAAGGGATGCTGATACCAGCTGCAGACATTGAAATGAGCCTCTCGTCTTCTCTGCTGCTCTTTCCGCTGACTGTATACTGAACGGCTGAGTGCATGCTGCCCAATCGTCTAGCGGACATTAGGTCCGATTGCTATCGGGCGAAGCCGAGTGTATCCAGCGGAGGCTGGTCCGCGAGGAGGATGGGCACGCTGGCACCTTGTGCTCGGGACAAAAGCAGTGCAAAATCACACGGGCTAAGCGTGGCACCCGCCTCCACTCAGATCAGCGAGAGCCCCCGGCATCCGAACGGGGGCGGGTGCCACGCTTAACACGGGCCAGACAGGAGGCGGTGCAACTTTGGCTGATCAGATGTCCCCTTCCCTTCTTCTCCTCCTTTACAGACATGTTATAAGGCTGATAGCGACACTGACAAAGCTCCGCTCATTCACCCGCTGCTTTATTTCACCTATCCTCATACCAGAATGCCTGCTGCGCGCCCACCCTCCTATGCGGCTGATGCCAATATGGGTTTGGCCCACGCCTACACGAACCTCGCCTACAAACCCCTATCAGACTCCAAGATCGCACCGTCCCCATTGAAGCCGGACCAAAAGGTCGCAAAGGACGACGAGGCGTATGCCGAGAAGCTCTACAACACCAAGTCCATCAGCAGCTCGTCGGAGGAGCCGTACGTCCCGGATGTTCCGGCCCCAGGATACCAGGCGGAGGCGGCTCAGGGTCGTGCTTCGGTCGGCACGACCGCATCTACCGGTGTGCGATATGCGCTCATGGTAAGCCTCCTTTATTTTAGTGACCCGACCTGACCTTGCTGCCCTTCACTCCTGTACAGCGTCATGCTGATCGGCAGACCTTGCACTTCTGCTTGTCCGTCGTCGCCATCGCCTTCAGCGGGGTGGTCTTGTTCGACCTTCCGTGTCTCATCGAGCAGGCGATCCTCGTCATCTTCATGCTCGCCTACCTCCCTGCCGCCTTCGGTCTCGCAGTCGCCAAGAAGTCATCCCGTTTCGACCAAGCAGGGATGGAAGTCGCGTATCTCGTTATCCAGCAAGCCGGCTGGATAGGTGAGTCGACCCTCTGCACCTCAATTCACCCACATTCTCTCATGCGGTTGAGTCTCTAACAGCATCAAAGACTGTGGCTGATCCAAATAGCGAGCGCGGCCCTGAGCGGAGTCTTCTACGACGAGCGGTGGAGGTCCGCGCGCTTGGCTCAGCTAGACGATATCAGAACCGGTACCATTGCCTCGTCCGCTCGCTGGCCCTTCCCCATGGCGGTCTGGTATTTTACCATCCTCGGCCTCTCGGTCGCCAATTTTGCCCTGTTGATGGGGTGGATGATCTGGGTCATCGTCTTGGTCCACCGGGCGAGCTCGGGGAATGCCAAGCGGGCTTTCAAGCTTAGTACGGCGGCGCTGATGAGGGGATAGGCGGGCTGTGTGTGATGCACGTGGGGAACTAGCTGAATGTGGGGGAGAGAGCGGGAGGCGGACGTGGGATGTCGCTGAACCTGTTTGCCTCGATAGTATAAGGTTGTGTATGTCTTAGTGGCCGTATGTATATGATCGTTTACAATCCCGGTCATCTGCCAACCACAGCATCGCTCAACCCACTCCAGTCGCGCTCCTGTCTCATCGCGCACTAAGATTTGAATATACGGGGGGGACTTTGAGTTCCTGCTCCTGCCTATGCATCCAGATACGGCTGGGACGAGCGAGAAAGCTATGCACTCTCGGTGCCTCGCAGCTACTACTAGCTTACCACGGATCCGGGCACCCTCTCCGCAATAATGCACCGCTTCCATACATTCCTCACGTCGGCAGGCCTCGGCAGGCCTCTCCGGCCCGGATAAGGGTCACTTCGGCTCTAATTTAGCGCCGACATCGCTACTCCACATCATCAGAACCTTGAGTTTGTTCTCCCTCATGACACAGCTTCAGTGCCACAGCTCCACCAACTCCACAGACGACCATGTGAGGAGATCACAGGACTGAGAGCGACTGGGACAATCCCCTCATTCGGGCGAGGAACGATCCTGCCGGCTTGGCACGTCGGAACACTAGCAGCTCATGCGATGCGATTACAACTGGATCGGGAGGGCATCCGCACCGCATATTCATCCACTGAAGCCTTGTATATAGCTCCACCTCTCACTGATATGTCTTCCCCTACACTTCGACTCCGCACCTCACCATCCAGTAACAACATTATCACTATCCATACCTGTCTGAACCCTCCTTCACACTTCACACACTACCGCTCCCATCATGCAGTCCGCCTCAAGCCAGCTCGCATCTTCTCCTGTATACGGCTCGCCATCTCATCCTAACCCCGCCAACCGCTCGATCTATCCTTCGCAAGACCAACCGTACTCTCAAGGCCGGATCACATACGATGGAGGGAAGATCGAAGGTGGTCCTACCGCCGGCGTGAGGGTCAGGAATTGGCTCATGGTGAGTGTGGTCTCTTGCAAAGGTCTCGACCAGTCGCTGACATTCCAGTTGATCCACTTCCTGTTCATCGCTGTCGACCTCGTCCTTACTGCCATCTTCACCTTCAACATCCTCTTCCTGAGCTTGCACGCAGCCATGCTCATAGCTTTCCTCATCTACATCCCTGCTGCCTTTGCATTCACCAGCCGCCGGCGCAAGACGCGCTTTGACCACGCTGGAGGAGAAGTCGCATACTTGGTGGTACAGCAGATCGGCTGGCTATGTGAGTAGCTCCCCATCTCGCTGTGTACATAGAAACGCTGGCTGACCGACTAGTGAGCGGTATCTTCGCCACCATCCAAACGATCACCACTTCGTGCACTGTACCTCACCGCACTGGCTTCGGAGGAAACTTCCACTGGGTCTACACCCCCGCTCGCTACTGCACCTTCTCCGCCGTCAACCTCGGCCTCTCCTTCGGCCACTTCATCTTCCTGGTGGGATGGATGACGTGGATCATAATGGTGGTGTACAGGAGCAGTCCCGGAAACCCCACCAAGGCGTTCAAGATCAGTACGGGGTGGCTCCTGCGGGGATGGCAGGGATAGTCCTTGTTAGATGAGGTGGGCGAGAGTGTGGCGAGAAACGGACAATCAGAAGTATAGACAAATTAGGATTATCTAAACAGCATGCAATCAAGTCAAGGCTCTATGGATTCATGGGATCTGACCTCCCGCCTATCAGCCTTTATAAGGGTAAGTCTTCTTCCAATGGTCCGCAATCTCCTCCCTCGTCGCGACCCATACCCCATCATGTCCCCGCACATACTCCAGGAACCGCCTTAGTCCCGCCAACCTGCCAGGCCTTCCTACAAGCCGGCAGTGCATCCCCACTGACATCATCTTGGCCTGTCCCGCCTGTCCCTCGCGATACAGCTCGTCGAACGCGCCCTTGAGGTACGAGAAAAAGGCGTCGGGGGAGAGGAAGGAATTGTGGGAGCCGTCTTTATAGTCGTTGGTGTCGAGCCTGGAGATCAGCGGGCCACTGGCTCCATTTGACGCGGTAGGACTTACGCGTATGGAACGACGCATAGGCCCTTCTCCTCCGCCTCGTCTGTCCCGGGGTAGCGGATCCAGTATGGCAGGTCATCGCTGTAGTCGTCCGACCAGTACTTGAGCTCCAACTTGTCTTCCTTGAACACCTTGGCGACGATCGCGCGAGATCGAGCGCCAGCTTTAGATTCGACCATACCGTAGTACCATCCTCTGGGAGGCTGGCCGGTTTGATCTTTGATGGCTGAAGAGTCAGTCATTCTGACAATATGCGTCGGTCGAGACTGTAAAGCAACGCTCGTCATAGCAGTGACACTCACATTTGATAGCCTTCCGCACGTATTCCTCTTCCTCATCTTCGGTCCAGCCGCTCCTATCGACCCATCTCCAGCCGTGGCTAGTCGGTCAGCGAAGGGTCCAACCTGTAGCCGTATCCGACCGGGCCACACATTATCGAGAGCAGCTAGTTGTTTGGACTCACCTCGTCACCTCATGTCCTGCTTCAACGAGCGCCTTGGCCACCGCTGGGTTCATGTCCAGAGCCTGAGCAACAGCAAAACTGGTAAGGTGCATATCGTGTTCTTTGAACAGGCGAAGCAGGCGCCATACACCAGAACGAGATCCATACTAGGCTCGTCAGTCACGCTCTTCTAGCCGCTCTACATAGTCATCTCATCCCGCCGGCTGATGATCGAAGACTTGTCAGAAGAAGGTAAGTCTCACCTCATACAGCGACTCGATGTTGACATTCCGCCCTCCCTCTATCGGCTTGGCTCCCGGTCCCAGCTCACTCGCGAGGTGCTCCGATCGCTCGTCACCGTTGACCGGTGTGATCTCGGAGCCTTCTTCTGCGAGAGATCAGCTTTATGTGCCATGTGCAAGAGATGATGGCTACGACCTACCGTAGTTGAGGACAAAAGAGATGGCGATCTTGGCGCCTCCGGGCCACTTGGGACTGATTCCTTCAGCCAAAAACGCCAAATTTGGGATCTGCACTCACTCGGGAGGGCTGGCGCCGTATCCTATTAGATCGCGGGGGCCGTATGTGTCGTTGCTCGACATGTTGATAGATAGGCAGAGAGATGAAGAAGCGTGGGGAGGGAGCGACTGAAATGGGCGAGGAACGGTCATCGATAAGCCGGCTTCGATAACGGCAAGAGATCCCGATGCTCGGGGAGCGCTTCTATTGTCCCTGTGTGATGTAGCCTCCAGATAGAAAGATACTTTCACAGCGTACATAATACTCACAGTATTCGTTCAGCGCGAGCATGCGGGCTTGAGCGTTCCGCAGCTCCCTCAACTACCCCCCCAAAGCTTCAAGATCGCTTGCTGCTGGAACCAAAGCCTTACTCCTTGGCCGAGGGCGCGGGCCGACGGGGTGCGAGAAGGAGAGTATCATACCATGAGGATCCTCGATGCGGCCCTCCATCGTCTCACAATGTAACGGCGGCCTTCTTCCACTCATCTACAGCATGTCAAAGTGAGCACTGCACGGCCACAGACTGAGGACGATCTTTCAGCCGTGTTTCAGATCCAGCTACCCCTGTTTCAGATGTTGTCCGTGAGTGCCCCGCTTTTGATCCCTTGCACACAGAGATCCGTGCTGACTTTAAGGAACCCCCATTGAAGCTAAGCCTGAATACGCCTCAGATGTGTACAAGATATACAGGGCGCTGTCCAAGCGTTCTCTTTCCTTTGCCTTTCCCGTCTTTGATCGACTATACTCGCCACTATGTCGTGGACAGGTGCAGCAAGGGACTCTGCCGCCACATCAGCAACATCACCAGCGACAACGGAAGGGCAGTACACACCATTCCCCCTGCCCGGCTCGAGCACTGCAGCGGTGTCCACTCCGGCCGAACAGGCCTCACACCGCAATACCGCTTACGAGTCGGGAGCCGTCGCTCATCCAGTCGATGCGTACTCGTCGCCACCTCAGCCTCCTCCAATCGAGGCTTCCACCCAGCAGTCCGAACAGTATACTGCAGTACCATACTCACACCTCCCTCCGCCACCCACAGATCCACACCTATCCTATACGGTCCCTACGCGTCCGACGCAGTACAACGCCCCGTCCCAGCCCCACCACCCTACCTACCCATCCAAGGAGATGGGCTATGGGTACCAGCCGAGCCCGTACACTGGGACTATGACGCAGACACACGATAATGGGAAGATCGTTGGAGGTCCGACGGCTGGGGTCAACACGAGGCATGCCCTGATGGTGAGTGGCGAATTACCTTCGACATGAGGATCAGGGCTGATCGCTAGGCAATCCACTTCGTCCTGACGGTCCTCATCGTCGCTCTCACGGGTTACTTCCTCGAAGACCTCCTACTCCTCTGCGTTGAGGGCGCCCTGGTCCTCTCCTTCCTCGTCTATATCCCGGCAGCTTTCGGTCTGACCGTCGCAAGGCGGAGAAACCACTTTGATCATGCGGGCGGGAAGGTAGCCTACTTGGTCGTGCAGCAGTTTGGATATCTCGGTAAGCTGCTCCGCCGCCCTGGTTGCTGCACTTTGCTGAGATTCCAGTCATCGGGATCATCAACGTCCTCTACGTCACCCTCACCGAATGCAGCGCCCGACGCCGCGTCTACCGAGAGGGCAGCTACAGTTGGGTTAACGTCTACCTATCTCTCTGTCGGTGGGCCACTGTCGTCCTCGGTCTGAGCTTCACGCATGTGCTCTTTCTGATGGGATGGATGATATGGGTGATCGTGGTGGTGTACAGGCGGAGTCCAGCGGATCCTAATCGGGGATTCCAGATCAGCACGGGGTGGTTATTGCGAGGATGGCGGGCATGAGCAGGAGCGGTTTAGGGATTACAGGGGGAGAAGTATGGGTGATGAGAGCCCAGTCAGCTGACTGTATACACTATTCGGACGAGTAATTTAAGGTCGGAGAGGTATACCACACATATAGAGTCACCGACCAGCAGTGTCTATCAGCACATGCACATATCGTTGCCTCAGATGAGCCGCAAAGCCTCGTGCCTCGTGTAATTGATTTGGTCGGTCTCCCTAGATCTCCGTACCTTGACAACGTGAGTTAGGTTTGAGATCCTCGTTTCAGATCATTGAGGAGGCCGCCTCAAGTAAGCTGAACCCAAAGGAGGATCCGAGAAGGAGCAAAAGAGTCAGCCCAACCTCCTTTGACTCACACACGTACAGCGACAACATGATGATATGTTAATGCGCTCTCAAGCCTACTGATACCATTCGCTCCGCATTGCACGTCCACCCTCCGCACCACCAAGCTCACACGGTCACCATCATGTCTTGGCGAGGTGCAGCGCAGAATCCGGAAAATACCGCTCCGACGCCGACAGGAACGGATGGGCAGGCCACAAGTCCATCCCCGCCGGCCCCCGCTTCGACCGCATATCACACTGAGCATGCCCAGCGCGAGTCAGGCGTTTCGGCCCATCCAGTCGACGCCTACTCGCTGTCCAACCGACCACAGTCTGCCGGTACCACTCCGCATCATCCCGGATCCATCACCGCAGCACCCTACTTCCACCTCCCTCCGCCACCCGCAGACGCGCATCTCGCACACCCGGGTCCAGCACCTCCAACGCAATACAACAACCACATGCAGCCTCAGTACCCCATCTTCCCGGCGAAAGAGACGGGCTATGGCCATGGGTATGGGTATCAGCCCAGCCCGTATGTCGGTCCTGGGGCGCCCATCCATGACAATGGAAAGATCGTCGGTGGACCAGTGGCGGGGGTAAGCGTGAGGTACGCCTTGATGGTGAGTGCCCCAAACCGGCTATCCAGCTTGTCGTGCAGAGACTGACCAGCTAGGCCATCCACACGGTCCTCACAATCATCGTTATCGCCCTTACCGGTGTTTACTACCTAGACATCATCAACATCAGCTTCTTGAGCGCCATGGCTCTCGCCTTCCTCATCTACATCCCGGCCGCCTTCGGGTTGACTGTCGCGAGGAGGAGGAACCACTTTGATCACGCCGGCGGAGAGGTAGCGTACCTGGTGATCCAGCAGGTCGGATGGCTCGGTGAGCTGCTTGACCCGCATCAATTGTTCGACAGCTGAGCTGACATATTAGCAATCGGCATCACCAACATCCTCTACCTCGCCTTCACCGATTGCGAAGAGCGGGACCGGATCTACTCGTACGACGACGGATACTACATGTGGACGTACATCTACGCAAACGTCTGCCAGTGGTCCCCCGTGATCCTCGGGTTGAGCTTCGCCCAGATGCTCCTATTGATGGGTTGGATGATCTGGATCATCGTGGAGGTGCACAGGCGGAGTCCGGCGGATCCAAATAGGGGGTTCCAAGTCAGCACGGCGTGGCTCCTGCGGGGATGGCGGGCGTGAGCAAGTGAGCATGAGAGGGGTAGTAAGGCATCAGTAATGGGAGGAGAATATTCGGCAAGGGAGGAAAAAACATATCCAGTCAGGTGGTCCTGCAGTATTAGTAGCCTTATCATGCGAACCCAGCGGGTATGGTATCCATGATCCTGGATTCTTCCTAGTGCCCTTCTCGCTCCACCTTGTACACTTCCTGTCCGACCTTCCACCATCCTCCCTGCTCTCCACCGATGGCGAACTGACCCGCAAATTCCAGCTCGAGCGGATGTAATCTGCTTCCAACGATGACGACCGAGTGAAGGGGACCACCGAACTCCTCCTCTGGCAATTGGCTCAACTCTTCCAGAGTACCCGATATGAGCCGCTGGGTTGGTGTGCCCATACGGGAGAGCGAGATGGCGAGAGTGGATGCGGGAGGTAGGAGGGATGGTCCAGCGTCGGGTGTGGGCTCGTCATCGTCGTCATCTGCCGCTGGCGCCGGCGGGGGAGCTGAGGCGGAAGCGGACGAAGAGGTGCTGGCGGCGGCTACGGGAGGATGGCGCTGTGCTTCAGTGAGGAGCATCTGCTGGAAGGCGGTATATGGGGACATGAACCGTGGTGGCTCGTAGATCAGCCGTCCCCTGTGCACATTAACACCTGTTCTCCAAAGCTTCGTCCGGCCCATCTCCCCGCTTGAGGGGCTCACCTGGCCATATTCTCCTCACTCTGCTCCCTGACCTTGATATCCAGCAATACCAGCGTATGCATCCCCACCCGCAGATTCTCCTCCAGGCGATCATACCAGCTCCCGGGCGTCCATGTCTCCGTGTAAAACGGCAGACTGAGTGTCTGGCCGAAGCTATACAGCTGAAGACCCGTCGAGCCGAGCGCGGTGAGGATAGAGGTATTGTGGATGACTTGCGTGGGGATCTTGAGGGCCGCAGCGCGGAGGAGGAGGTCAGTGTGGGTCGTCGCGCTGTGAGTCAGCTCCGTCCATCAAGCGACCGAGAGCCTTTAGCTCACCTCAAGGGGTCTCCAGCGACGAGGAAAGCAACATCCTCCTTGTCCGCATCCCGAAGGATCTCGTCCGCCTCCAGCTCGACCGTCTCGCGGTAGGCAGGGATGATAGGTTTGCCATAGAATGCCTCCAGTCGCTCGGTGGAGACGGTGAGTACGGAGGTGTAGTATTCGAGGTAGATCCGGGAACAGCCTTTTATCGCCTCGTGATATGAGCTCCTGGTCGCAAGTATGGCGTGGGTGTGGCTCAGCTCACCTCGAGACCCTTGACGGTGATGTCCTTCTCATCTGAGAGGCCTAATCCTATGACGTAGAGCATGACGATAGCAAGTGAAGGCAATGGATGGAGAGGAGGAATGAGGAGAAGGTTGAGGTCAGATTCTGAAAAATCTTCACCTTCGGTCACCGCATCATCCCCTTCTCGCGAGTCTCAACTCAACGAGCAACCATGACTTGGACGCTCGGATATATGTATGGTGCGCTCGGCATATGCAAATGAAGTAAGGCTACAGTTTTCTCTCCAACAACGCACAATCCACTTCTGCCCAGCACCTCCCCACTCCGCCCATCCCCGCCCCACTCTCTGTTCATACACCCCGCCCAGCCCGGCCCCGCGCTGTTCTCCGCACTCCTTACGCCTCCGCAATGAGCGCCTCCAGATCAGCGACTACATCACTCATCGTCGGCCTCTCCGCCGGATCCTGGTGCCACATCCTCTCCATAAGATTGACGGGTTCCGCCCCCCAATGTTTCCGTAGTCCAGCGACGGACGGGCGGCGGCTCTTCTGCCCGACGACATCATAGATATAGTGCTCATTATTGCCCTCCCAGGGGTATCTCTGAGCTTGTCAGCACATCCCCCTACTGGTGATCGCGTCGGACGTACCGCAACATCTGCCGTCCACCCAGACATCATCTCCCAATATACCATCCCCGCCGAAAAGACGTCCACCTTGTAGTCATACCGCGGACTCGCATGCCACAGCTCGGGCGCTTGCCAGTTGACCGTACCGACCAAACTCCGGATCATCGATCTCGTCGAAGTCTTGACTCGCGCCAGGCCGAAATCGCCCACTTTGGCTTGGCCGGCGCGATTGATGAGGATATTGGAGGACTTGCAGTCGCGGTGGATGATGGCTGGGCGGCGGGTATGGAGATACTCCAGTCCTCGGGCGATATCGAGCATGAGGCCAAGGAGTCGTTTGAGGTTTGGTGCACCGACATTGCGCTGAGCTGTCAGCTAGTTCGGCCTCGACCGGAGGGCCAAAGAGCTTACGATGTAGTCGAAAAGATCGCCGTTCTCGCACAGCTCGCTGACCAGCATACACTGGACCTGAGAGGAGTCCTCCGGTATACATATGCCCCGGAACCGCACGATATTGGGATGGCTGAATTCGGCGAGTAGCTTGAGCTCGCGGATATCCATCTCAGAGAGGTGGCTCCGGAACTCGGAAATGGCGACTTTCCGGCCTTTACACTTGCCAACGTATACGCTATACCGTCAGCCGTCTCTCGAAGCCATGTCGCAGACTATGCTTACTCTTTAAAGCCCCCACTGCCTATCCGCTCCAGCTTGATCAAGTGCTCAGGGAGGATAATGCTATCCTCCAAACCCAGTTCCGCCAGGTCAAAGTTCAGCTCCGACTCCTTCTCCTGCTTGCCCTCATCGCTATGCTGCGGCGTAGCGGGATCGGTAGCGTGGACGTGGTCTCGAAGTAGTACAGGTGTAGTCTTGCCTTTGACGTGTTTGTTGGAGCCGATCGCGTGAATGATGCGATTCTTGGTGGTATGCCGCGAGCGAGACGAACGGGATGTTGATGTTTTGGGCGAAGTGGGTCGGGCAGTGACTTGCGATGAAGAAGAGAGGGATGACGTGGGAGATTCAGATCCTGTCCTCTGCTCATCTCGCTACGTAAGTCAGCTACGTTCGGCGGTCTGCCCACAGTAGCTGGACTTACCCATTCCAGCAACGCCTTAGCTAATTGCGGCTTTGTCCCGCCCACCTCGATCCCCCTTGCTTCGCACAGTTGGACCAACTCATCGCGTAAGAGTCTCGTCAATGAAGCGGCTGTCGCGTCGTCCAGGTCAATGTCTGGACATCAGCAAGCTACCAGTAGCTCTCGAATGCCGGAGACTTACCAAACTCCTGCACACTCCCCTCGTCTGACTCCTCCATCTCTTCCTCTTCGTCCTCGGCCTCCTCCCCACCTTCGTCCTCATCCACCTCCATATCTGGATCGTCCATTGCCTCCTGCCGCAATTTCCACCTCCGCGACCGGAGTTCCCCAAACGCCTTGCCAGATCGGGTGGTACGGACCGGCGCCTCAGTCTCGGTCTGCTCGTCGGCGTCCGCTTCGTTCCCATCTGAAGTTGTGTCGTCATCCACTGTTCGCGTCAGCCAGAGCGCGCATCACCCGTGCATACGAAGACTCACCTTCCTCGTCGTTTATTTCGTCAGGGCTGGCCATAGCGGCATCCTCATCAAGCTCCATCTCATCATCGTCGTCTTCCCGAACAGCCTCCGCGGATTCCACCTTGCTCCCTCGACGCAATTGATTCTGGCTGGACGTCCGCCCAGAATCACTCGAATCAAAGAGATTGCCTTGACTCCGCGTCCTCCTGCTCGGCCCCGGCGAAGCGTCCTCCTCGTCCTCCGTCTCCTCATTCTCATCGTCCGCGTCTGGCTCGCTTGGAGGTGGGGCAATCTCGACGAGTGATTTCGTTCTCGACCGTAGCCGCGCAACGAGGGGAGTTGGGTCGTGCGGTCGCGAACTAGACTGTGCGTCCTCGTCGCTCCCGTCCGCACTGCCCTCTGTAGCGTTGGCTCGCTCATCGCTGGAGTCTGAATGGCGTTTCGACTGGCTCTGGGCCCTCTTCCGAGTACGACGGGTAGTCCTGGCGACAGGAGCATTATCGGAGCCAGAGTCGTCAGTCGTCGTGTACAGGGACGATAGCGAAGATGTTTCATGTCTGTCTTTCTTGCTGCTTTATTCAGTAGCGGCACTCACCGATGCGTAGAAAGGACTTACGCGACAAGGCCATGAGCCGGACTCTTCACATCATCCCCAAACCTAGCGACCCGCCCATTCTTACGGACTTTCGTACCCAGTCTGCGCGATGCAGACCCCCGTGCTGGTGTCCCGTCGGTGGTACGTATGGGCTTCGTGCGAGCCCTCGTCCTGACGACGGCTTTGGGAGTGGCATCGATGTCCATGCGAGTGATCTTCCTGTTCGGTATTGACACAGAAGCTTGGTCCAGTTCTGTAGGGGGTGATAATGACGGCGATGGGCTGGGGAATCGGGAGGAGAGGGAGGAACGGGACTTGTGGCCCGCAGCTGCTTTGGCTCGAAGTAGGGCGCGGGGTGATGGGAGTGGCGAGATCCGACGGGGAGATTCAGGCTTGCGCTGCAGAGGTCAGCTTGAGTCCTTCATGATGTTCGGCATGATGTTCGGACTCCTTCAAACTCACTGCCGCGATGAGCCCATCTACGAGATCCTTCTTAGCGAGCCCATCGTCATCCCCCGTCGATGACGTCGTGGCGCCATCGTCTTCCTCCTTCCACATTCCAGCGACTCGCCAAAGCCGGATGAGCTCAGCCTTCTTGAGTCGATGTAAAGCATAAGCGGGTGCGTCGGCAAGCAGGTGTTGGTCACCTGGCTAATCAGCGGAAGTCGCTAGCAAGCAGTCCTGAAAGCTCACTCTCGGCGATGAACTCTGGCTCTTCCTCATCCTGGTCATCCTCATCTATCTCCACCCAGCTCCCCGATCCTGCGATACTAGCCTCCACCACCATACCGCCTCCCTCGTCCTCCTGCTCTGTGACTTCTTCTGTGCTGTCGGCAACCACATCTTTCCGCTTCCTCTTGCGTGGACTTCCGTCAAACACATCCTTCTCCGCCGGTACCGCTCCCGCTCGTCCCTTCCCCTTCCCCCGCCTATTGGTATAGATCACCACCTCCACCCCTCTGTTGACCCGTTGTGAGCCCCCCTCGGAGCTGAGCGGTTCCCACCCTTTCACCTTCTCCTTGCCCTTCCCTTTGGCCCGCTTCACTGCCGACTCATCCTCATTCTCGATTTCCTCCTGATCCGCCTCCTCATTGGTATCGACAGAACGCGCCGTGATGCCCGTCGACCCGACGCGCCGACGTTTGCTGGCATGCCGGCCTAACCCGAGGGCTAAGGCATGAGCGTGTTTCTGCTTCATCGGCGAGGCGACCTTTCGGGGCGAGCCGACAAAGTGTTGGCTGCGTGTCCGAGTGAGGCGATTCATCCTGCCTGAAGACCGATCGGCGATGGTATGCGAGGTGTAGGATGTGTTTGGTCGGATGGGAGGAGGTGACTGGACAGGCGCGTCGTTTGGGTAGGGCCGGTCGTATATTGTCTTTTTTGGAAGCAGTCTCTTTCGACCAATCCTTCTTTTTCACTTGATGGAGCAATAGCAGACGCAGGCTCTACATAGCAAGTCGAATGAGGACTAAACAAGCATGGGAGCTTGAGATAGATATGGAGTGATATGGACGATGGAGACACGAGTTGGGTGGACCACAAGCTCGGGCAGCAAGATCTGCAGAATCGGCGATCGCCGGCAGCGGGGTCTGAATTCACGCTCTTCTGAGATATCGCCGCAATTCTCCGTGACGGGGCGGTAGCACTTTGCCTTCGTTGAGGTGGTCCAGTCAGAACCGGATTAGATGAGTGTTGACCATATTTCAAGCTCGGTCGGGCTGATCGTCCATGGACCCACATGTGCTTGCTGAGCATATATACAAGCGCTACGATCGAGACCATAGATGATCTGACGAGACAGAACGGCTTCACTACCAGATCCTCATGATGTGCCCTGGTCCGGGTTTCTCGCTCGCAGCTGATCGTACCGTGGTGGAAGATCACTGTACTCGTCAGCTCACGCTCGGTATGCGCTTCGGTCAGTACTCACATGACAGGACCGGCGTCTCGGTGCGTTACGAACGTAGCATCGCCAGCGTGCTCAGGCGTCTCGGTCCCGGAGTCTGGGGTACCAGTGGATGTGGGGCCCGAGGCGGTACTGGTGGCGTTGTTCGAGCCGCTCGAAGGGGTTACGCGGTGTTTGGCGGTGGATGCGGAGCGACCGACGATACCGCCAGAGGCAGCAGCAGCGGACGAGGCGGTCATCCCGTTTGATGGAGCCGAGGTGCGCTGGGAGTCCGTACTCTGCCTATCCGTGGACGTCGGCGCACTGGGCAACGTCCCGGTAGTAGTGCGAGGGGATGAGGCTGTCTTCTCCCCGGCACCACCAAAGCCGGCTGGGAAGCTGGTAGGCGGGACGCGATTGCCTAGTCCCGTTCCTCCAGCGGCGAGCGTGGCGGTAGTAGGAAGCTCGGGAGGGGAGGGATAGCGGAATGGACTGGGACGGTACGCCTCTCCTCGGACGTCGACCGTCCGATTTCCGATCGAGTCCTCCCTCGATACGCCATTCTCGAGCCCTGTAGACCCGGTCCGCCGAGCGAGTAGGTCCACCGGCCGTCGCTTCTCCTTGGTCACGCCGTAATTCTTGATGGCCGACCCGTCCGATTCCCGCCGCTCCTTGTTGCGCCTCCTAAGGCAGAAGAACAGCAAGATCGCCAGTAGGACGAGGAACGCCACCCCGCCTACGGCCCCTCCGACTACGGCCCCAGTCTTTGTCTGGCCTCCTCCTCCGCCTCCGCCCCCGCCATTTGTGTTCCCATTGGACGTACCGCCCGCACTCCCTCCGCCGACACCGGTGACGTTGGAATCACCGGCAGTCGGCGGAGTCGATCCGTCCGCATACGATCGGGGGGAACTATCGGTGATGCAGCCGCCATCACCTGCGCCGACGGTGTAGAGGTCGGTCGAGCCGCCGGTCTGGTACTGCCCCGCGTTGCTCATGAGGAGGAGAAATTGCGTGCCCTGCCGAATGTTGGCTTGCCAGGTGACCGAGTTTTGCCCCCGGGTCTGTGGAATGGGGATGGACCACGCGGTACCGGAGGGGATGAGACCGAAGAGGTTGACGGGGTAGGTGACGTTGTCGTTCCAGGTGATGCGCTGATTTGTGCATTGCCCAGGGGCGGATTGAGGGTCGATGGAGAATTTGAAGTCGTATAGGAGATTACTGGGGACTTAGTATCTATGCTCGCGTGACAGCCTGCTCAGAAGATTGAATTCACTCGTCGAGACAGCTGGTATCGCCAGATGATCCCACCGCTGTACTATATCAGCTATACCCTACTTTTCTTTCCGAGACGCGTCTGAACACACTCAACAGTGGCGTTGTCCCTCCACTTCCCCAGCCCGTCGAGTCGTACATTGTCGCCAAGAACTTCAACCCCGAGGGCTCGTTCAGCTGGAAGCTGTACTGCCCATTGCTACCGTCCGGGATGGTGATATTGCGGATCCGACCGCTGGCAACGATGGAAGCCTAATTAAGGATTCAGCACAGAGCCCTGTTCTCGTAGATATCTCGCGATACTGACTGGAACGAGCACGATATGGAATGGCTCTCGTCCGCCCGACCTGTCCGTCAGTCCGCTGCTAGTCCTAGAGATGAGAGATGAGGCAGTAAGACTAACCATTGTACTGTCATCTGTCCGCATTGCGTGGGAGTGGAAGTGTTGAATGAGAAGGCTTTTGCGTTGTGAGAGAACGCGAATAGTCCCGCGATGAGCGCGATGCCTCTACTGAGCTTAATCATCTCGCCGAGAAAAGAGCGGGCGGGAGGAATGGCTCTGTCAGCGCAGACTGCGTGGAGGGAAGGATGATGTATGGATGGGGATAGCAAGTAGACAGCTGAAAGCTGTCGAAAGGCCCAGCAAACTTCCTTTGAGAATTGAGACGGGCATGATGTCACTTCGCCCGAGCTTAATCCTCCGACCAGGCACGAGCTTGTTATCGCTCCACACCTTGTAATCGTCCGACGCAGAGGCAACTCAGCGAGCGAAGTAGACTACGGATTCTTGCGGCAATACCTGTTCGCTCTACAAAGGCGCTATGGCCTGCCACTGGCGCGCAGGTTCGGGTGGTGGACGGCGAGCAGGCGACAGCTTAACGAATGAGCTCAAAGCAGGCGAACGCGTGACGTCATTCCTTCAATTCCTTGTGTTTCACATTTCGGGCGGCGTTTCACCTTTACACTTTACAGTCTTACAGAGAACAGGACAATCAACTTACTGACTTGGGACCGGCAGTGCGGCTGACGCAAAGGCCGATGGTGTAGCAAGAGGGGAGCTCCTGGGGAGCCCTGCAGCGGCGGATGACAGCACGACCATCGATGCTGCGGCTAGGCGGGTGAGACAGGTGGAACGCCAGAGTACTCTGGGGGAATATCTGCAACACTGCTGTCAGACATGTATATGCAGGAGGGGCGGGCGCACATGCGGTTCATCAATGATAAGCGCAAAACCCGAGTGGACAGGCCGGTCAGGCACAGAATCAAACACACCCACGCAATCCCGCTTCAACCTTAATCGCCATGCTTCTAGCGGGTGTGGCAAATCATGCAGATCTCTTATGAGCTTCGCTCTCTCTTGGGGACGAGCTCACCAGTACATAGTACCACAAGTCAAATGTGAGGAGAGCTATGACGACTATACCGAGCAGTCAGGCAGACCGGGGCGTCGGACCAGCTGCTAGCGTCTTCTCCCGTGGCCGGTCTGGTTCCGGCATTCAAAGAAGATGACGAGCAAGAGTTCTCGAGCTATAATGGAAGCCCGCTCAACAGCAGCTCCGTATGGAAAGAATGGTCTACATTGTGAGAACTTGAAATGGTAGATGGTACATTTGACTAAAGCTCCTACACATCGCCTGTCGACATTGTCGAGCTACCTCGAGCCCAGTGATTCGTAGCTTGGAGGGAGCTCGCTGCCCTCGTCAGCAAAGTATAATCGATAGGGACGCCCTGGACTCACATCACGAGACCGGCATCTCGGTGGTGCACGTATCTGATGCACGCGGCCTGACCAGACATCCCTTGATTGGCGGTCGAGAGCGGGGTGACGCCGGTGATGGTAGTGTCCCGTTCCATGTTGGGAGGCGTGGGAGGGGTATGAGTCCCTGACCCGGGACCATCGGTGGACGCGAGCGGCCTGTCGGTAGGAAGGTGGCGAGGAGATGGATATAGGTGGGAACCGGAGCGAGTTGCAGTCTCCTTTCCTGGCAAGCCATCTCCGGATCCGAGCCCGCGGCCGCTGCTCGACTCCGTTTGGCGATCCTGCAAGCCGACCGAGGGCCGCCCGATGGTGATCGAAGCATGAGCCGCCTGTCGACTCATAGCGATCTCCCGAGACTCCCTCCTGCGCTTCATCGCGAAGTACAGGATCAGGATCAGGAGTATGATGACGATCGCGGCAGTACCGACCGCCGCACCGACGACCAACCCCGTGCTCGGCTTGTACTCTTCCTCGTCCACCCTACTTAGTCAGCACGCCACCACATGGGAAGGAACAAAGACTTACTGTCGTGTGGGCAGGGGCTGATCAGCTGTCACTGTAGCAGACGTGAAGGAGGTAGATGCTCTTGCTCGTCCAGCGAGGGTGAGGGTAAGGGTGATTGCGAGTACCGGCATTGTCTGAGTGAAGGTGGTCATTTTCTCGACGTCTGCTTGATGAAGATATGATGCAACACTGCGGGGTTGACGTGCAAGAGGGTAGCAAGCGAGAAGCGACTGATCCGAGTCATTGGTCAGAAAGGAGCCCGCTCATCTTCCGGCCAACCCTGGACAGCCACCAGATCTGCGGAGCACAGAAGCACACACACACAGATCTGCTCCGCCTTTGGGTAGTCCGAGCGCGAGTGACGCTATCCAAATACTGCCTTTAAGGCTCGACAGTCAGAGGTCATACGGGCAGCACATAGTAGCATACAGTACGTGAGTCATTATAAGTATACGAGCCAGAATCACTACAACTCTACGAACGCACAACAGGACAGCTTAACTGATATCTCCTTTTGGCTCTTTTACTCGTCCGGGTTTCTCGCACGGAGCTGATTGTAGCTGGGCGGAAGCTCACTATTCCATCAGCTTGAGACACACCGAGCGATGCAAAGACTTACACTATGCCGCCTGGTCCTCCATCATTATGCTGGATGAACGTCGTCGTCGACGGGCTCACCCGCCCTTCCTCCACGCCCGACAACCTGTCCCTCGACCCCATCGACCCTAGAGCCGAGCCAAGCTCCGCATCTTCATCGACTGACCACCTCGTCAGGCCGCCCGATGACGTCGTCCGCTGCACCGGCGACCGAAGCTGAGACGTGGGACGGACCGTTGGGGTCTGAGGGGGTGTCTCGCCGAATTGCCCAGACAGCTTGCGTGAGCTGCGACCGACCGATCCCTGAGTGCCGCTGGTGTTGAGAGGGACGAGCGAGGGGGCCGGAACGGATCTGCGTGTCTGCGCATCCGGTCGTAGACTATCGAGAGTCCCGTCCGACTTTTCCCGGACGTGTCCCCTTGTAGCTGCGGCTCCCCAGGGTACCGCACCCACACCTTCGCGCCGCTGCTCGAACGAGTTGCGGGGTGGTGGCGCAGGGAAAGGAGAGACGAAGGGATCGACCGCGTGCCCTGTGATTGACGGTGGGGTCTCGAGGTCTGCATGGGCTGGAGGAGCGCCAGCAGGTTCAGAGAGGATGTCGAAGGAAGACCGAGATGTCTGGCGGGTATGGGATGGACCCATTGACCGCGTAGCGCGACGCATGACCGCTGCGGTGCCCATGGAGAGGGTGCTCTGGCGCATCCCGGGCTGAGCGACCTCTGCAGCGCGAGCCGGAGCATAGTCTTCCGCTTCCTGAGCTGCCTGACGCCGCCGACGACGACAGCAGAAGAGGAGGAGAACGAGGAGAGCGAGAGCCGCGAGACCGCCGATGACGCCGCCTACAATGGTTCCGATGTTGGACCCGCCTCCGCCTGACATCCCGCCGCCGCTGTTGTCTGATACGCCGGACGAGGACGGCATGCCCGACGACGACCGCATGGAGGTGAGCGACCGAGTAGCGGACGTTCCCGCACTGATGACAGTCGCCACCCGTGCGCCCGCACCGGGGCTGTTGGCGTTCAGGCAGGAATTGCTCCCTGCCACGACCCAAGTTAGGTTCGTACTGCCCCCAGTGGCCACTCGGCTAGAGTCCGCCATCAGGATCTGGTACTGAGCGCCTTCTCGGATATTGACGTTCCATGTTGTCGATAGACTGGATGTGTTTTGGGGCGTGGGGATTGTGAATGCCGCTCCGCCGGGAATGAAGCCGAGCGCCTGGATGGGATAGACGACATTTCGGTCCCATGACAGCCGCATGGACTGGCACTGGGGTGTCGAGATGGAGATGGCTGGGTCCCAGTAGAAGTAGAAGCCGAAGGGAGGCGAGGTGGTATGGCAGGACTGGTCGTTTGATCCAGCGATTTCTGAGAGTCAGCTTCTTTCCTCGATATCCCTGACCACGACTTACGAAGGACAGGCGTGACTCCGCCAGCTCCCCAGCCCGTCGCATCACTCATGATGACGCTAAACTCCAGGTTGGCCGGGTTGTCCAACCGGAAGGAAAAGCGCCGAGCGGAGGAAGCGCTGGCGGATGCGGGGATAGTCACGTTCTGAATACGGGCGCCGGAGAGGGGATAGGCGGGGACGACGGTAGCGTAGAATGGGGCAGTTCCGCCTTCCCTGTTTTGTCAGCTGATTTTCGCAGTGGGAATTCATTGGCAGACTCACCACTGAAGAGTCATATCCTGACACTCGACCGGGTCGGAGTGGCTGAATGTGAAGCCAGCCACGGCCTTCGCCACCGCCAACAGGCAGACCAAAGTTGGGATTGTCATTATGCCGAGGGGCGAGGATGGGGAAGGAAGAGGAGTAAGGGAGACGAGGGGCAGACTGAGGGAATGGAAACGTTCAGCTTTCCAGTTCCGTTTGAACAAAGGAGGCGGGTGGTTGGACGATGCTCGCCGGCGAGGTCGGTGCGGCCGATCGTGTGTCGGTCAGAGGGAGCGGATGTTTGCAACGAGGGGGTCTGGAGTACGATCCACGATATGGACAACACCAGGAGGCGTATCTCAATCGTAGCCGCTCCGAGCTCACCGCCAAGAAATGTCAAGACAAGTGGTCCTTCCGGTGCCGGCCTGCCGTGCCGGGTGGTGTTGACTGGAGTATCGAGCTTGAGCTGCTCCGTGCGGGATATCAGGAATGAAGTCGATTTTGCTGGATATCTCTGCGCGCCGATGGTGACAGCGTCGATATACCAACCTCGCAGAAGCTAGAGATTACCGGTTGACCGGTCGCTGGTGCTGACAGGTGGAGGTGGAGGTGAAGCTGAAGTGGTACGATCTGCGAAATGCTGTGTACTCCGCCCTGTCGAGCCCGTCGAGAGCCGAAGGTGGGGTCAGGACTGGTCAGGAAAAGCCCGGACTATTGGGTCAGACGTACGACATGGGATGCAATCTGACCCTTTCCACCCCCCCGATTGCTGAATGATGTAGAGAGAGGGCGGATGGCTGTCTTGGCTGTCGTCCGAAACGCGGAGGATTTACGGCACTAGTAGCTAATCTCGGCGTCTCCACTGAAACCTTCTTTCGATCCGCGGAAGGCTGCGGCCGCAGCGAAGCTAGTGGCAGAGTGGCATACCTGCAAGTACGTGCGGCCTTTGGCCTTGCAATAGGCTAGATGTCATGGTCGATAGCCTCGCCTGCCTCGCGAATCCGTTCACCATTATCGCAACAGTTTTCATATCGACATGTACCCGGGCCGCTCAGAAATCGCCGAGATCAAGGTCGACCGTCCTGGCGATGTACTGCTGAGGTGTCTCGCCCTTCTTGATCCCTCCAGTAGGCAAGACCACCGATACCGGCTCGCCAGGCAGGATTTCGTCCGGCCCAGCCTCACCCCGCTCTGCCTTCTCCTTGGCCGCCTTCTCCTTCTCAGCTGCTTCAGCTGCGGCTTTTGCCTCTGCCGCCACTTTGGCCCTATCATATCAGTTCAATTCCCCATTATCACAGACCAGAACTCACTGCTTCTCCCTCACAATAGCCTCTTCCGCGCGCTTCCTCGCCAAACTCCCCTGATGCGCCTTGGCCATCTGCTCCCTGACCTTCCGCTTGTTATTCTCATTGATCTTCTCGATGCGATCATCGTATTCTGACGCATTCCGCTCCGCCTCGTCCCTGTCCAGCGTGACCAGCTCGCCCGACTGCGGGTCTCCACCGAGAGCGATGATCTGCCGGTTGAGATCCTCGGCGAGGGACTGGTCGTTGCGCCGTACCGCGAGATTGCGGGAGGTGATGAGGTTGGTTATTTCGATGGTGATCTTGTGGCGCTGTTGAGCGGGATTGGAGCGTTTCCGAGCTTCGACTTGGCGGTTGATCTCTTCCTGAATGAACTCAGCTTTGGTCTTCTCGAAAGCTGGGGTCTTTAACTCACACTGGACATGGCACGGTCCCGGATTTCCTTGATAGCGTCGTGCTTCCGCTTCAGGTCAGACCGCTTTGGCGTCTTCACCCCGTCCGCTCGGTTGGTAGCTGAGAATCGCTCGTACTCGGTCTGTCATCAGCTCGTCGCCCCTTCTGATAGCAGAGCAGAACTTACCTCCTCGATGTCCCCATTCGAAACGTCCGCAATTCGGAACAGCCTCTTCCCTTTGCCATAGGACAGCAGGAGGACTCGGTCTTCCGAGATTTCCTTGCCTTTGTATTCGATGTTATACCGGCCATGACTGCCATCTTGGATCTCTGACTGATCAGCCAACGTCTCTACACCGTGGCAGCCAATGCTTACCTTCAATTCTGTGTATCCTGTACTTTGGTCGACCGTATTGATCCGTTTCTGCCGCCATGATCCGGACATAACACCCTACCCAGTCAGCTCTTCCCTCATTCACCTCCGGGTTTGTACTCACCCACAGCAACCGCCTCAAACCCATCCTTATACATCATCTCCACAATCTCATACCGCCCTATCCTTGCCGAGTTGAGCTCTGCCGCATTAGGTGGGAGAGTGTCCATGTCCCTCGCGGTATCTTGGCGCTTGGGCGAGCGACGACCGGCGCCGACTGGCGATCGATCAGGCGAGTATGCGCGGCTGCGGGTAGGAGGGGCCTCGCGGGAGTTGGAGATCTCGCCGTCTTCGTCTGAGCCGGACGAAGCTTCGGAGGAGCGCTGGCGGCGGTCTCGGCGTTGCGCCTGAATGTCAGCGGTGAGCTTGGGCAGGAGACCAGCATGACTTACTCGTCGAGCATCCCGCTCATCCTTCGCTTTCCGCTTATTCTTCAGGTCCTTCATTGCCCGTGATGCCTCCTTAGATACGCTTGTATGCTTGCCTAGGCCGTCAGCATTCCCTCCTGTGCAACTCACCCTCTCCCTGTCATCCCCCAAGCCCCGTAGAGACTCACGCTTCTTCCGACTCGGCTCTTCCTCACTCTCTGCCTCTTCTTCCCCACCCATCCCTGCCATCCGGTACATGGCGTCCAGCTGCTGGCTATCCTTATACTTTTGCATCTCCTCCTGCCTCGCCGCAAGGATAGCCTCTCGCTCAAATTCAGGCATCGCATCCAATCTACACCTGTCAGCATCCAATCTCTTCGGGATTGCTCGGAACAGACTCACTCATCGCGATCATCCTCGTCCAGATACTTTCCCTCGACCGGATAAGGGTTCGCTACCCCCTTCGCAGCAGTCCGAGGCGCCGGTTTGCCCCTTCCTCCAGATTTAGAGCTCACTGGGGCGGGGCGCGAATCCTCCCCTTCTCCTTCTTCCGATTCGAGGTCCATGTCCATCTCGGAGCCAGAGTCCGAGTCGGCACTGCCACCATGTCAGCTACATTCGACTTTTGACCAGAGACAAGGCAGGTGAAGCAGTGGGAAATGCGGAATGAGCAAAACAACGCACTACGCCTTCGCCTTGGACTTTTTAGAATCTCCCCGACGCTTCTTGGAGGTGTGCGGGTCATCCTCCGCCAGACCTAGCAGCTCGTTCTCGAAGTCCGACATGCTTGACCGCTGTTTTGGGGTGATCGAAGAGCAGGAAGGCGGAGCTGGGTTATGGTAGGCTGGTAGGCAGAAAGAGCAAAGTCAAAGAGATGTTATTCGAATTCCGCGCGTGATTTGGTCCACCCTTTGCACATCACAGCACCTTCAGCAAGCATCTTCCACAAGGCCATCTAACGAGATTAAGAAGGTGCACCGGTGCGGAGGTACTACGCAGGCTGTCTACGAACCTGCAGAAGAGCGGAGGAGCTCGGGTCTGCCGACATGCGCTTCGCTGCCTCCCTTTGGGGCCTGGCGCTCCTGCTCGCTCAGCTCGGCTTGGTCCTCGCCAACCAGGTCCACCAGCAGGTGAACGACCTGTTCGGACATAATGGTTCAGGATCAGCTACAACACATACCAACAACTGGGCCGTGCTTGTCTGCTCTTCGCGCTACTGGTTCAATTACCGCGTATGTCCAATCACTACTGACACACTGAGCGCCTGAGCCCGCTTGAGCCCCTTGATCCCGGAAATGTGCGACAATAGCTAACGCCTTAGCATATGGCCAATACCCTGGCCATGTATCGCACGCTCAAGCGCCTCGGGATGCCCGATAGCAACATCATCCTTATGCTCGCAGACGATGTGGCGTGCTCCGCGCGCAACCCGTTCCCAGCGACGGTATATGCGAATTCGGGGCGGCAGATGGACTTGTATGGGGACGCGGTGGAGGTGGATTATAGGGGATATGAGGTGACTGTGGAGAGCTTCTTGAGGCTGTTGACTGGTGAGTATGCTCTGGTGAGGGAGAGCTGGGCGGGCAGAGCTGACTTGTCAGGCCGTCATGCGCCACATACACCACCGTCAAAGAGACTGCTATCTGATGCCTCGTCGAACGTCTTCATCTATATGACTGGACATGGGGGCAACGAGTTTCTCAAGTTCCAGGACAACGAAGAGGTCTCGGCGTTCGATATTGCGGATGCTATCGAGCAGATGTCGGAGAAGCGGAGGTGAGCTTTGGTCCTTTGCCTTGGCCGATATGAACCCGACTGATAATCTAGATTCAACAAGCTGCTATTCGTCATCGACACTTGTCAAGCAAATACGATGTACTCCAAATTCTACTCGCCGAACGTCATCTCGACAGGCTCGTCCGCCATTGGGGAGAGCTCGTACTCTGTAAGCTGGTAGAATCACCCTCAACCCGCGGACACCCCACTGACACCTCAGCATCATAATGATGTCGACCTCGGTACTGCTGTCATCGACAGCTACACGCACTATATCTTACAATACCTCGAGACGCTAGGCAAGACCAGCAGGGCGACTCTGCAAGACTTTGTACGCGCTTCCCTGCTGAAGCCGTGAGGCCCGCGGCTGACAATCAGTTCAATACCTATGATCCAGCCCGCATCCACTCGCACCCCGGCATATCGACCGAGCTGTCACCAACTCAACCTGATGGCATCCTCGTTACAGACTTCTTTGGTGGGGTTGTCAGTGTGGAAGTCACGCCGAAGGCGGATGAGCTGGACCCGCTGCGGACTGCTGGATCGGCGGGATGGGTTTCTGGGAGGCGACGAGGCGCTCGAGGGATCGGGGAGGGCGGTCAGTCATCGCCATCGCCATCGCCTATGAAGGGACCACCAATGAGGAGGACAGAGGGAGTCCGCGGATGGGCAAATCCGACAGAAAGGCAGACGGAAGGAGGCTGGGTGGGGAATGCGGCGTTGTCGGCGGTTCTATTGGGCATAGGAGGGTATCTGCTGATCGATCCGCGGACAGATAGACCGGGCATCAAGCGAGAATGACCCAATTTGTATGCATACTTAGATAACGCCCGGTCATGATCGCTTCTTGATCTCGGTGACAACTACGCCGCGCCCCTCTGCGATCCCAATCAACCTGACGATCCTGACCATCATGTCCAGCACGATCGCCGCTGGGATGAGGAGGAATGGGACATAGGTCCCAAGGAAGGTGTATCGGTTGATGGATGTGTAAGCGGGGATGGCGGTCTCGGTCATGACGTAGTATAGCGTCGGGACGACCGTTGTGGCTGTGGTGGTGCCGTAGAGAAGCAGGAGGGCTGATGGTCAGCTGTGTCGATGCTGTGTTGATTATTGACGTACGGTATACCCTCTTGTCATCTATTGCGTCAGCCCATCTCTTGTCGTCGAGAAGGTATAGCAAGCTCACTTCGCCATAAGCCCCACGCGCCAAGGATGAAGCAAGGAAGCTGGATGATAAATTCCATATGGAGGAAGATGTTCATCCATGCCCATTCTCTTGATCTTGATGCGACCCCAACGAGGACCGGATCCCTCGAGAAAGCGTTGTACCAGTCCGTCACGTCCGAGAGGGACTTGGGGACGATGGATGCTGGATAGATGGATTGGCAGTCTATGAAGAGGGTGATTGGCTGGAATGTCAGCTATAGTCGTGGCAGAAGCTAAGCAGCAGAAGACTCAGCTCACTATATGCAGTACGAACCAAATGAACCAAGCCAGGTCCAGCTTCCGGCCAGTCCACCTGCCTCGAGCATGCGGGGGTGCTTTCGGATCTGGCACCAAGGCGAGGATGGTGTATGCCATACCATACGAAATGACCGCGGAGGCGACGAGCGATCCAACGACGAACTCGGTCGAGAAGCTGAACGATCCCGGCGGGGGGTTGACTACCTTAGCCATCTTATCCTATATAGTCTGAGCTGTAAAGAGGTGAGGTGGAGAGATCTTTTGGCGAGCCTTTTGGCTGAGCCGATTGATCGACTGCCAGCTTCCGTCGGAAGGATTGTCTTTCCGTCGGAATCAGCTTCCGATAGGGCAATGTTTTCGCCCCAGCTCGGACGCGCAACGCACACTCGCGTCAGGCATCTATACATCTCGTCCGATATACCCTTACTACACTAGGCCTAGAAGCAGCTCTAAGGGCAGCTAGAGAGTGCTCGTCGTCGAAAAATAGGGAGACAGAAGGACCCAGCAAGACTTTCTGCCACCTCGAGGTCAACGCGTCAGGCCGATCCTTTCGCTCGACAATTTCGGTTCTTCTAGCGCACAGACAGCTTTGCCCGCATCGTCTCCAGCGGCTGCTCTCGAACAGGATCTTCCGGTCCCTGCTGAACTATCCGGCAGTACAAGGAAGCTATCTCACTCAGCATGAGCCTGCTTCCGTCCCCGTCACGATCACCACCGCTGTACAGCGAGAAGCAACACGGCGGGAATGGAAGGAGTAGAAAGACGGGTTTGAGGAGTCGCGGGACGCAGCTGTTGGCACTCAGATTTGGGTGGGTGGTGTTGGTGGTCTGGTTCGAGGTATGTCGCACGAAAGCTTATCTGTACGAAAGGAAGATAGCTAATTTGACAGGTCGGCGAGGTCAGCTTTCACCCATGACCGTCGCCTGATTGACAAGCTAACCTAGCAGTTCTTCTCCTCGCTCTCATCATGTCGCTTTCCCGACGCGGCCCTTCGCCATACCCGCTCACCCAAACCCTCTCCCCCGCCGACGCACGTCGTGCTCATCGCCGATCCGCACGTCTCACATCCGCGGTTCTCCTACTCGCCCGATTCGAATCCCTGGATCAATGCTCTGCGGCAGGTGTTTGATGAGCTGTTTATGCGCAAGTCGTGGAACATCGTCATGCGGTTGGGCAAGGTGGACCATGTGATCATGCTGGGGGATATGCTGGATTGGGGAAGAGGGGTGATGGATGAGGAAGAGTGAGTCGCCGCGAATGACAATTGCTTACTTTAGGTACGCGCAATACCACAACATCTTTCGATCCATCTTTCAACTCCCGCCTTCGATACCCATGCACTTTGTCCCGGGTAACCACGATCTGCCGCTCGGACCTCATCGCTTCTTTTCGCCCCACGCAAGAGATCGGTACACCCGATACTTTTCGCCGCCAAATCAGGTCATCTCTATAGCGAATCACTCGCTGGTGCTATTGGACGCTGTAGGGCTGGTGGAAGAGGATTATCGGCGGTATGCTGCGGAGATGCAGTTTGGGGAGTGGGACGGAATAGAGGGGGGCGTGATTGAGTTTGTGAAGGGTGCTGCGGAGGGTGAGTGCACGCCTAGGCCAAGCTGATGATCAGAAATTGCAGGAGGAGCGAACATTCTCATTTCGCATATACCGCTTGCGCGCCCGGAGCGGTCGCAGTGCGGGCCAAATCGGGAGTTTGGGCGGATACAAAAGGGCGCGGGGCCAGGGTATCAGAACCTTTTGGGGAGTGAGACAAGTCGGTTCTTGCTGGAGCAGCTGAAGCCGGAGGTGGTCTTTAGGTGAGCATCAGATTGGACGTCGCTGATAGCAGCGGTGACGATCATGACTACTGCGAACACACACATCCCAATCACATTCGCGAAGTCACCGTGAAATCCTTCTCTTCCTCCACCGGGATCCAACGCCCAGGATTCCAACTCCTCTCCCTCATCCCACCCCCCGAGTACCCCTCGTTCCCTCCCGAGCCCACCTATGCCGACCGGCAGTGCACCCTTCCGGACCAAGCCGGCGTCTACTCCCGAGTCTACTTTCCCTTCATTTGCATCACCATCCTCTACATCTTCTTCACCAATATCCGCCAAGCATGGATCAAGTGGAACGCAGTGACGGACCGGACCGACAAGCCTTATGGCGAAAAGGGTCGGTCGTCTCCCAGTCCGTCGGTGGAAGTTGCCCGGCGGTATGCGGATCGACCTGTCGCCCTGACGCTTCCCAGTCGGCGGTCCAGTGCCCATCTTTCCACATTGCAGCCGCACGGCGGCGCGTCCACCTCGCGGCAGTTGCACATGACGAGTCGCCCACCCTCGCCCAATCTCAGTAATCGCTCCGCACCTGTATCGCCCTTTGGCAGTCCTCGCCCATCTTTTGCGGACGAAGAGGCGGATATCACACTCGACACTCCCAATCTATCCCGCCGATCTAGCTTCATCTATATGAACGGAACATCCTCTACATCCACCGTCAGGCTCCACGATCCAGATCGCACACCGCGCGTCATGTCGGAGCCGTCGTCCTACTTTTCCAGCCGCGAGCCATCTGGGAATGCCGGGCTGGGGCTAGGTCTGGGTCTGGCTACGCCTACCGGTCTGAATCCTTATCCCGGCTCCCACGTCACACCCAATCTACGGCGTACATCCAGCAACACCCCTTCCTATTCTTCTCACTCGCCTACCCCGCCCCCGAACGCCGCACAAAATCGGAGAGTCACCATGCCCCGGCATCTCAGCGCGTACAACTCGGACTCGGACCGCGAGTCGAAAAAGGCGCGGCAACCCGCTCCGAACTACCTCCCTGTGCTTTCTCTGACGGATGGTCAGAATCGGTCAGGGTTCAGAGGGACGGTGCTGAGTGCGTGGGAGAGATTGAGGGGGTATATGAGGTGGGCGTGGAAGATGCGGAATAGTGTGATTGTACGGAGTCTGTGGGAGGTTTGGGGTGTGGCGTGGGTCGTGGCGGTAGCGTGGGTGGTGGTGAACGGGTTGTTCTTCCTGGGTTAGGAAGGGTTGTACCTTGCCGCATCTTGGATGTATCGTCTGCAGGCAAGCTTTCTGAGACTGACAGCCCCGCGCGGTGCCTCTGCGGCTCTCTGCGGCGCCACGCTCATATCCGCTTACGAGAATCAGGGGATTTGATCGTGCCTGGACGATCTTCCTGAATGTGGGGTAATGTGGACGCCGCGGGGTAATGCCTGCCTTGTAAGGGCCACGAGCAGCCTGTCGAAGGATGGTCTCTCAGTTCATTGGCTATTTACATCGTAGCAGCATGTCTTGGGGGGACCCGAGGCAGTAGTGTGATGTATATCAGCCTCTACAGAGCAGCTTGACGCGTTGGAAGCGGTGCATCGCGCGTCGACGGGCCAAGCGGCCGGGCGAGACATCGAAGCTTAACCGGCTATTCAACATTCCTCGTTCTCGCTTCGCTTCGCGCTCCGCTTCCGCTGTCCCTTGGCCCTAATTAGCGCAGCTTCCACCCTTCTCATTCCCCCCTTCTCTCTTCCACCTCTCATCCTTGTCTTTGTCTTGTCTAGCTCTAGCCTGTAGGCCCAGCGAGCAAGATGCAGACCATCCTCAACGCCCTCACCAAGGACAATGTCAATAAATTGCCTACAGGTATGTCCGCTTCTCTCAACCCACACGTTCTGAGCTGACAAATTGGATGACTCTGCGCCCTCGTCGCGTACTCCATCGGTGCACCACCCGTCCCTCTCCCGGCGGTCATCCGTATCCGCCTCGCATCCCCGCTTGCCGGATCACGGGCCGAGCCACAGTGTCGACACGACCAAGATCGGGCAGGCCGTCGTCACGCCCCGCAAGGAACGCCCGCAGCACAAGCGGTCCTTGACCGGTAGGTCTCCATCTCGCGCGTCAAATGACTTGGCTGATATACAGGCTCTTACTTCCCCTCTCAGAAGGGCGTGGTGGGCGGCGAGGAGTGGCCGGTCGGCCAGGAGGCGACGTGGAAGACCGCTCTCAAGGCTAACGATGTCGACGAAGACGACGTGCAGGGCGTGGCCAACACCATTGTCCGACATGTCACGACGTCGCTTGCTCGTCAGGCCGGTAACATGGACACAGTGAGCTCTTTCTGCGAAATCACGAGGCCTCCAGCTAACCTATAGATCGCCGCATACCAGGCGACCGCCCTGTCTGTCCGGGACCAGCTCATCAAGCGATGGAACGAGACCACTTCGTGAGTCTAGTCCTTGAGCAGGCTGACATCAGGTACCACACCGCCCGCGCTCCCAAGCGTATCTACTACTTCTCCATCGAGTGGTTGATCGGACGCTCGCTCGACAACGCCGTGCTCAACCTGGGCATGAAGAACACCTACGAAGACGCCTCGAGGAAGCTCGGCTTTGTAAGTTATTATCCTTGGAGCCACAGCTGATGACAGAACTTTGAAGACCTGTTGAACGAAGAGCGAGACGCCGCGCTCGGAAACGGTGGTCTGGGCCGTCTTGCCGCGTGCTACGTGAGCTTATCCTTCGAGCAGCACTGACGATAGATTGATAGTATGGCGACTCTCAGTCTTCCCGGATGGGGCTACGGTCTCCGATACAATTATGGTATCTTCAAGCAAATGCTGTCCAAGACTGGCGAGCAGCTCGAGGCCCCCGACCCGTGGCTCGACCGAGAAAACGTAGGTCTGCAAAGCTGAATCGGGCTGACGACAGCCCTGGGAGATTGCCCGTCTGGACGTGGCGTACCCTATCCGATTCTACGGAAACGTCGAGCCGGTCGCCAATTCCGACAAGGCGGTGTGGTCAGGCGGGATGGAGTGTTTGGCGGTGGCGTACGACACGCCCATTCCCGGTTACGCGACCAAGAACTGCGCCAACATCCGATTGTGGAGCGCCAAGGTGAGCTGGGCTTTCGGCTGGAGCTGACTTGTAGCCCGTCCAAGGCTTCGACCTGAACTCCTTCAACGGTAAGTTGTACTGACCAGGACACTTGCTACAAGAGCTGACCCAGTAGCTGGTAACTACGAAGCCAGTGTGCACGCTAGCTCTGAAGTCGGCAATATCGTGAGTGCCACCAACAGCAGCGCTGACATTAGACCCAAGTTCTCTACCCCAATGACAACATGTACCAGGGCAAGCTCCTCCGGCTGCAGCAGCAGTACTTGTGGTGCTCTGCTTCGCTCCAGGACATCTTGAGGCGATTCACCAAGCTCGAGCTCCCCTGGACCCAGCTTCCTGACTACATCTGCATCCAGAGTGAGTTCGCGCGTCCTATACATCGGGATAGCTGAGCTCATGCCTAGTGAACGACACGCACCCGACTATCGTCATCGCCGAGCTCATGCGGATCCTCATTGATGAGGAGGACATTTCGTACGACCAGGCCTGGAAGATCACCACCAAGGTCTTTGCGTACACCAAGTAAGTCTCACGCTTGCATAGAGCTAATTCAGTCACACTGTCCTGCCTGAAGCGCTCGAAAAGTGGGAGGTCAGCCTCTTCGAGAAGCTCCTCCCCCGCCACCTGCAGATCATCTACAGGATCAACCAGTAGGTCGTCCCACAACAAAGCTGACATTAGCGACTTCCTGCAGCAGGTCGCCAAGCGCTGGCCCAACGATAATGACCGTCTCGCCCGCATGTCCATCATCGAAGAGGGGACCCCCAAGTACGTCCGCATGGCCTACCTCGCCATCGTCGGTTCGTTCAAGGTCAACGGTGTCGCCGAGCTCCACTCGCAACTCCTCCAGGCCACCATCTTCAAGGACTTTGTCGAGTTCAAGGGTCGCGACCACTTTACCAACGTCACGAACGGTATCACCCCGCGTCGATGGTTGCTGCAGTGCAACCCGGAACTCTCGGCGCTCATTACCCACTCGCTCGGGTCCGAGGCGTGGCTCACCAACGCCCAGCTCCTCAAGAACCTCATCCCCATGGCTGAGCAAAAGGAGTTCCGAAAAGCGTTTGACATTATCAAGCAAAACAACAAAAGGCGACTCGCAGAGGTCATTGAGCAGGAGCTGGGCATCACCCTCAACCCCCGGTCGGTCTTTGCGGCGCAAATCAAGCGGATGCACGAGTACAAGCGCCAGACGCTCAACATCTTCGCCATCATCCATCGGTACCTCGAGATCAAAAAGGCGAGCCCGGCGGACAGGAAGAAGATCCAGCCGTGGACATTCATCTTTGCTGGAAAGGCCGCGCCGGGGTACTATATCGCCAAGCTGGTCATCCGGCTGATTGTCAATGTTGGCAAGATTGTCGTAAGTCCGATCCAGTACAAAGAGGAAGGCGCTGACGTGTAGAACAACGACCAGGACGTCGGCGACCTGCTCAAGGTGGTCTTCATCCCGGACTACAGTGTCTCCATCGCCGAAGTCCTCATTCCCGCTGCGGACATCTCGGTCCAGATTTCTACCGCTGGTACCGAGGCTTCCGGCACTGTAAGTCCACTTTCTTTCTCGATGACACATCGCTGACTCTGGCAGTCCAACATGAAGCTCGCGCTGAACGGTGCCTTGCTCCTCGGTACCGTCGACGGAGCCAACATTGAGATCGCCGAAGACGCCGGCGAAGACCAGGTGAGATTGCTCGTCGACCTTAGCTGACGCCAGTGCTTCATGTTTGGCTACCTCAACGACCAGGTCCAGCAGGTCCGATACAACAACAGCTACAACCCGACGCCGCTCGAGCAGCGGTCGCCCGAGCTTGCGGCGGTGTTCAAGCATATCGAGTCGGGCGCGTTTGGGGATGCTGGGATCTACGACTCGCTCCTCAAGACTGTAAGCTACCCACCTGACAGGGGCATGAGGATAGTAGAGCTGACCGCAAGGTCTACGAGCACGACTATTACCTCGTCTCGAACGACTTTGGGTCATACCTCGCCGCCCAGAAGCTTGTTGATGAGCTTTGGGGCGGAGACCCGGAGGAGTGGACACGTAAAGCTATTGTAAGTCTGCTTGCGTTCGTGAGCTGCTTTACTGGCCGCTGATAAGCAGATCACTTCATGCAGTATGGGAGACTTCTCTTCGGATAGGTCTGTCCAAGGTGAGCTAAAATTTCGCGCACTCGAGGCAAGGCAAGCATAGCTGATGGTCAGACTACGCGGACGGAATCTGGGGTGTCGAGAGTGAGCGGGTTCCGGACAACTAAGAGGGAGGCTTTTCAGAAGGGCATAGAGGAGCGAGTAAGAAATAGGCTTGGCAATGGTAAAGATGATGTATACAAGGTTGTGCATATGCTCTACAGGTTTATTCTACATACATCTACTCGGCATACATTGTCCACATGAAGGTATCACCTCTGCCCACCGTCCACCTTTGCCCTCTTTTCCGACTCCCCTTCCGTCTCTGGCTCTTCCTGTACAAGTCGCTTACCCAGCGCCGTCATTCCCGCCGCCCCAACCTTCTCCGTAGCACTAACCTCCGCCGCCGTCGGTCCAATCTTTCCCCCTGTTCCCGGCGCCCCCGCCGCTGACGGATCCGGCTTCGCTTTTGGCTTCTTCTTGACGACCACACCTTTCAAGAGAGACTTGACGTCCTTCTTTGGTTTTGTAGGCAGGGGCTTTCGGGCTGCTGCTGCTACAGGCGCGGCAAGGGTGGGTTCTGGCTCATCTCCTCCTTTCTTTGCTCTGCTCGATTAGCACATCGTTCATACAGTTCAAGGGAGTCCGGACTCACTGTCGATAGGCCTCTAGCTCTTTGGCGACCTCATCATCTATGACCTTCTGCGCCGCCATCTTCTCGGCGTACCGTTCGTCTAGGAATCGTTTTTCGTCGGCGTTGATACCGCGATATTGGTTGGCGAGCTTCATCTTGTCGTCCCATTCTTCCGTATTCAGTCGCTACGTTGTCAGCTGTAGCTGCATGCCGTGCCGTGAAGGACAAGGGAATGGGGCAGCGCACCTTGTTCGTCTCTAGTCGCTGGAGATGTTAGCTAAGGTCAAGCGAGAGCATGATGTACAACTCACCTCGAAGAGCGTCAAACCGTCATGGGCGAATTCTGTCGCTTTTGGTGGCTCTTGCCCTAGCCTGCACCATGTCAGCCCCTCCACTGCGCCGTGTACATCTCCCCTTATACAGGATTTCAGTCCTATGTACCCATGACTGCTGGGCGGGATGAGTCGCCGACAGGGCAATGACAGACAAGCTGATTCTCACCTGGCATACGCCTCCTTCCACTCCTTCTCCCTCCTGGTATTCGATTCGTCGATGGACGCTTGCGACTGGAACCTCGAGCCCATACCCTCCTGGGCCTTGGCGAGGAAGTCTGGAGCTTGTTCAGTCATCTTGCCGGCGTATCTGTTGATAGGTGATTGAGGTAAAGATGGAAGATCGTTGTCGAAGTTCTGGCTGAGATGGCTTGAGATCGCCCCCGGAACCAGCTGGATTTCAGCGACTTAGCCTCTCCCCAGGAGCACCATTTGACTGCTCTCATTGCCTCTACATCTCTATATCTGTTCACTCGACTGATTGCAGTCTGGAGCGTACCCTTGAGCCAATCGAAACTGCTAGCATGTCTCGCAAGCTTGACCTGTCCGCTTTTGCGGGCGACGATGAGGAAGAGGACGAGGCGGCCGTCTTCTTACCAAAGGTGTTTTTGGTTGCACCCTTAAGCAGCGAGCATAGCTGATGGGCCATACAGACCTTAGCTCTAAATCAGCTCAAGACAAAGACCTTCTCTCATGGTATTACCAAGAAGTCCAAGAAGGACCTCGAAAGGGAGGCAGAGGAGCGGAAGCGGAAAGAAGAAGAAGAGTGAGCTTCCCCATGCGATTCTACGTCAAAGACGGGCATGCAGGACAGAGCTGACGGGATCAGGGCACTAGCCAAGCTGAATGCTGAGCTGGAGACATTCGAGTCGGCCCCGTCTGGTGGGATGCGGGGCTTCGGACCTGGGATGAGCCGGGGGAAGCCACAAGGGAGCGGGTTTGTGAGGGCTGGAGGTTAGCTAACCCTCCCTCTACTGAGATAGGTCCCAAGCTGACCAGAAAGGGGCGGCATACCAAGCTGTCAGACCACCTGTTCCGCCCTCGGGTCCATCCAATATGCCACCCCAAGGACCGGCCGCAATGATGGGCTATAGGGTAAGATTTGACGTTGCCCTGCTGCTATTGATAGCTAATGCTGCAGCCTTATCAAGCAAGAGCAGCTCATCCGCCTGCTCCAGCCGCCCCCGTCGCTGCGCCAAAACCGAAAGGCAAGCGCGCAATGGACAGCTTCCTGAACGAGATCAAGAGGTATGTTTGGTCTTCCGAGCGAACGAGCAAGGCTGACTGGGCAGTAATCAGGAAGCACGAGAATCCCGCTTGGGTCAGATCGCAAAAAGTAAGTCCCCTCTGCAGTATGAGATTCGTACCATTGTCTGCTGCCCGGACCTCATGCTCACTCAGCAGTGGAAGGGTCATCGGTGACCGCTCTTGCAGGTCTGTACAGTACAGGCGCGCCCATCATCAAGCTGTCGAGCTAAACATCGATGTAGCATGGGAAAGCAATCCGGCGGGAAAACCCGCGGCCGCGCCCCAGATCGAGGTGAGCTCGCAAGTCTGTATCGAAAGTAAAGACGAAAACTGACACCTGTAGTCTACCAACCTCTACATCGTAAGTCCGAGTTATGATCTGGCTGACAGTAGACGAGTCTACCGACGAATGTGAATGAAGAGAGCCTTGGGATGTTCTTTGTCAAGTATGGTCCGATAGGGACCGTCAAAATCATGTGGCGTGAGCTTTGTCGCACTCCGGGAGTCACGCGATCCAAGCTGACACCGCTCAGCTCGAGGAGAGGCCGAATGGGCTGTAGCCCAGAGAGGCCGAGGCTCGTTGACTGGCTTTGTCAATTTCATGAATCGCGATGACGCCGCGGTGGCGCTGAACGAGATGGACGGGATAGAATGGGGCGGTAGTCAGATCAGGGTAGCCTGGGGGAAACAAATGCCCCTGCCTGCTGAGCCTATCTATGGTGAGCTGACAGCTGCATTCAGCATTTGCTTCAGGCTGACGAAGATTAGACGTCGGCGCTGGATCAAGCAAAAAGAAGCGACGATCAGCCTCGCCAGGTCCGAGTCGGCATCGCGAGTCAAGAAACAGACGGGATTCGCGTTCCGGCTCAGACGGCTCGGCTTCGCCCCCACCGCGTAGTGCCCAGCCCAAGCGAGAGCGGTCATACTCTGCCTCCAGCTCCAGATCGCGGTCGCCATCCTCTTCGCGGTCACCCTCGCCACCTCGGGGGTCCAATCACAAGATTGCCTGGCTGGATCAGATCAGTGCAGAGTCGGACAGCTTTGTCAGGGCTGTGGCGAATCGGGTGAAGACGAACGGGAAGGCATTTGAGGAGCTCTTACGGGAGAAGGAGAAAGGGAACCCCAAATTTGCGTTTTTGTTTAAGGAAGAAGTAAGCTTCAATCTGCCGCGATGGACGCGTTCAAAGCTGAGGGTGTAGTTACCCGAATACCACCTCTTCAAATACACCGTCAACCCTCGCTATCGCTTCCCACCACTCCCTACCTCCCATTTCGACGACACGGGCTACGCTTCCCTCTACTCGTCCGACTCTGCTGAAGACTCGGAGAAGGAACGTACGGAAAAGGGCAAGCTGGGCCGACTCGCCAGGAAACGGCTCGAGGCGATGTTGCGGGCGATGTCGGGCACGCGGGTGGAGATTGCGCGGGCGATGGAGTTTGCGTTGAAGCGCGCAGAGGCGGCGGATGAGATTGCAGAGGTGATTATAAGGAGTTTGATGGTAGATGGGACGCCCGTCCCGAGGAAGCTGGCGAGATTGCATCTGGTTTCGGATATACTGCATAACTCGGTCAGTTGATCGGTGCTCCTTCTGGGCAGCAGTGAAGCTGATGGTTATAGGCCTCCCCACTGCCGAATGTCTGGCGATATCGACTTGCGTTCGAGAAGCGCCTTCCGCCGGTCTTTGCGCATCTGTCGACGGTGTATCAGAGCTTGCTGGCGTACTCGGGACAGATGAGTGCGGACGTCTTCAAGGCGCAAGTCATGGTTGTACTGGATATCTGGGAGGCTTGGTCAGTTCCTTTCGTTCTGGACCAGAAATGAACCAAGCTGATCATCCAGGATTGTGTACACACAAGAAACAAGTCAAACACTTCGTCAGCTGTTCATGGGCGAGACAACACTGGACGAGCTTGAAGCTGCCAAGCATGCTAAATTGGCTGCACCATCCGAAGCGAAGACGAAGCTGGACAAGACGGATGAGGAGCTGGGCAAAACCAAGGGATTCAAGTCCTCAGGCTTCAAGTCATCCTTCAAGCGGGTCAAGGCGCCGGAGGAGGAAGCTGAGGATATCCTGCGAGAGGCATTAGGCGGAGCTGGCGATCCTGCGGAAGATCTGGATGGGGAGGAGATGGATCTCGATGGAGAAGAGATGGACCTGGATGGGGAAGAGATGAACTTGGACGGCGAGCCAATGGGTGACGACGACCTCGACGGAGAGCCCATGTAGACGGATGCATCTCCCAATCTAAGATCCCGCTTCGGCTCCTCCATCCAGCTTCATGTTCACCACCCCTGCCCACATCTTCTCATTCACCTTCATCGCCCTATCCAAACTGGCCTTGAGCTTCTTGTTCTCGCTCTCCAGGTTGGCGATCTGCGTGGACGTGTCCGTGGTCGACTCAGCCGCCCTCGCCCCGCCTTGCGATTTGGGCTGGAGGCGCAGTTTCTCCAAAGCGCTCTCGGTTCCCTTTGACCGTAGTACGATGCCTACTTCGCGCATGTCCCTCGCGGCGGCACCGGCACGCATGCGCTCGAATGGCTTGACCTCCATCAGGGGCCATTCGTCCGACTTTGTCTGGGCGGATGCGCCGACAAGGTCGGGCGGACGAAGGAGGACCGATAGGTGTGTGATGGGCCCAGAATGAGAGGAGAGGGTCCGGAGATGTTGATGTGAGGGTAGAGCGTGAATATGAATATCGCCAGATTGGGTGCCGGCGAGGAGGTGGGTGCAGGAGAGGGACAGGGCGAGGGCCGTTATTGGAGATCTGGCTGTCAGGAGGGCTTTAAATGGCATGATGGGGGGCTTACTTGGTTGAGATGACGCTTGGACTGGTCTTGATAGATGCAGAGCCTTGACCTCCTCCGCCGATAGCTTCTATGCTGCCGCCAACGCCTGAGCTTGCGCCAAGCATGGCTCGATGCCGGAAGAGGGGGACGTGGTAGACGTCGCCAGTAGATGTGCCGATGTAGAAGAACCGCTCAGTGGGGTCTACGGCGAGTGTGGTGGGGACGACTGACTGGGGAAGGGAGAAGGTAGTGAGGAGGTCGAAAGGGGGGTGAAGGGACCATATCTGTTCGTCAGTACTGAGCAGATGATCGATAGGAAGGTCTAACCTTGACTGTGCCGTCGTCCGATGCCGTCCAGCATCTCCCGCCGTGCGCACCGGCTGTCTTGCCCACGGCTACAGCTCGGATGCCCAGCGTATGGTCCTTCAGCGTCCCATATGGCTTTCCAACAGGTCCCGAGTCATCCTCCGCTACCAAGCGGGAGACGAGGTAGACATGTACCGATGAGTCGAGTGACGCCGATAGAAGCATGTGCGAGTCGTTTGTAAACGTCAAGGAGCTGACTGTGCGGTAATGCCCTGTAAATGACGATAGAAGCATCCCGGACGATATTTCCCAAAGATATATCTGGCCCGAAGGTGATCCGCCGACCGCCCAGCACCCGTTGGGCGAGACGGCGAAGCATGAAAGCTTTTCAGGCAGGTGAAGCTTCAGATGCATTTGATCCTGCTATCAGCGGAGCTCAGAACGCGAACACACCTTCTGCCATGCCCAGACATGCGCTAATGCCTTGCCTTCCTGTACGGCGAATACTGCCCCACCGACCCCATGTTGAGAAGGGACAAACGATGTCGATGCTGGACCAGCGGTGGATGTTTTGAAGGCGTGGAGAGGGGCGGCGGAGAGAAGATCGTGTGTGTGTATGGCTGGCGCTGAGACTGATCTGCCTGGGGCTGAGCTGGATGAAGCTTCGCCTGAGCAGCTGCTGAGTATGATTTCCTGAGGTGGCATTCTTGGGGTGTATGGTGATGCAACGAAAGTTCCCTCTATAGCTCTGCTTTGGCTGTCAACATTTCTTGCGTGTGGAGATAGATCCAATCTCCATTCAGGCACGACAGCCATCATCGTCACCCAAAACCGCCTATTATCCTTCCTCCTCTTACCTCTTAGCATACCCTTCCTACACACGCTTCTTCTACACAGATAAGAGCGTCGACTCAGGCATCATGAGTCGTATCTCTTCTCATGCCGCGCCGCAAGGTGGAATTCGGCTCAAAAAGGCATACGAAACCTTTGGAAACGAGGCGCGTAATGACTGGCTGGAGCAGCTTCAGCAGAAGATCCGGTACGGCGTCAACCCACCCCAAGACCCCGGACCGTCCAGGTCGCCATCACCCTGCGTCCCAGAGGAGGCGGAAGTCCCGGTGGCAGTAGTAAATGGGACCGGATCACTCCAGGAAGAGGAGGAGGAGCTGGAAGAGCGGGGTGAAGGGGAGGCGGTGGAGTATGATGATCAACTGGACGGGTCAGCCATGGAGGCGGAGGAGGGCTTTGATTACCAAGTGGACCAGAGCTTGGAGCAGCCGCAGCTCCCTCGTCCGGTCTTCGAGGTGTATCAACCCGCCGCGCTGGCTGGTGACTTCGCTATGCCCGGACCATCACAATCTGCCCCCTCTGGCGTCCTTCCACCCTTGTTCTCTGTAAATACCTCTGGTCCTTCTTTCAGCCAGGTGAGTCTGTCTCAATCATTGGCTCGTAGCGGTGCTGACACTTCAGGACCGATACGACCCTTTCGCAGCACCAGTCTACGAAAACGCCATTCCCCTTCCCGGTCTGGCCGACGCACAACCAGAGCCCCGTCTCTTCTCGGACGATGTGGTCGATCCAGACCTCCTCATGACATTTGCTCAGCATCTCGACTCGGGGATGCGGGAGCAGCCTCTCTACGCGGATCAGGGAGGCTATGCGGAGGGTGAAGATCAATATCAGGACGAGCGGGATCAGGCCGGGGATGGATACGCCGATGAGAATATGGAGCAGCCCACGGATGAAGGTGCGATGGGCTACGAGCCGGACTATTATGGTCAAGGTATGTCTGCTTAGACATGCGTGGAATGTGCTGACCTCGCAAGGCTATCCGCAATCTCAGCCGGGCATGGAAGCCGATCTGTACCCGGCCGACGAGGGTCAAGCCGAGCAAGCATGGCAGGGTGCTGGCTACATCGACGGCGCATTCCCTGAGCCGGACGAAGAACGCTATCAGGAGGAAGAGGCGTACCCTCCAACTCAGCAGGCGGATGAGGGGCATTACGCGCAGACCGAAAGGGACGAATTAGAGCAAGATGACCAAGCCGGAGAAGTGGATCATGGGTGCGAAGGAAGTCGGAGCGCTCAGAACGAAGTGGAGCGGGAGGACAGTAACGATTCAAGACAGGATTCGAGGGGTAAGTTTGCTTTCACCGCCGCCTCGCATGGCGCTGATCGTTAGAAGCGTCACCTGTCCTTCCTCCAGCCCGGCAGTCTCGCAGAGCCGAGCCAGAACGACTGCCCGAAGAGGAAGATGAGCTTTACGATGAGGATGAGGAGGGAGGCGGTAGCCAAGCTGAGGGGTCATATTCGGATCGGACCGAGGAGGATGAGCTGCTGGAGGATGACGAAGAGGAAGAAGAGAGGCCTGCTCAACCAGCGAGATGTGGGTACAGATATTTCCCCGAGATGCCCTGAAGCTGACAACTCAGCTGCGAACTTTATGAAACGTAGTTCGCAGCCGGACGTCATCGAGATCCTGACCGATAGCGACGACGAGTCCCAGCCCGGCGGCGAACAAGCCAGCGGGTCGGAGCAGGAGTACGAGTCTGGAGAAGAGGAGACGGAAGAGGAAGAACAGGTGGAAGAGGTGGAGCGGCAGGATCGGGCGGAAGTCGGCTCCTCGAAACGCCGAGCAGAGCAGCAATCTGGTGCTTCACCAAAACGGCGCCGGTCCGTCTCGCCCGACTCGTCTTACGCATCCCAGCGAGAAGGCTCGGACCTTCCTTCAGGCTCGGGAGATGAGCGGTCGGAACCAGCCGAGAACGATGCCACTCCGGACCCCGCGGATGACAGGTCGCAGCGTGACGACTCGGCGTCTCGTAGTCGCGGCTCGTCGGCGAATCCTAGCGGACAGATCGACGAGCTGGACTCTCGTGCACCCAGTCCGGGCTCGCCTGGTGCCGAGCAAGTACCATATGCCGCTGGGACCCCGCAGGAACCTATCGAATTTGAGGATTCGTCGGACAGCGAATACGACCGGCTGGACAATGACGCGCCGGATGTCGAAGATGCCCGTCCGGAGGAGGAGGAGGAACCGGAAGTAGACGAGGTGGGGGAGGAGAGGCAGGACGCTCGTAAGATGTCCGGCGATCGGAGGAGTGAGGTTGACGAGCTCGAAGGGGATGATGATCTTGCTACCTCGGCAGTCGCATCCTCTTCTGGTCACATCCGCTTTGACGAGGAAGACGGGCCGGAGCGGAGGAGCGAGGTGGATGAGCTGGAGGATGACGATCTTCCTGCTGCCGCCATCCAGGAGGGAACTGGGACCTCCCCTCGCCATACCCGCTTCGACGAGGAGGACGGAGTCGCATACGATCCTACTCCGGCTACCGGGGAAGCTCCCCTGCGGGACTTTTCCGGCGCCTCACCTGCAGTCTCGCCTACACCCCAGCATTTACACTTCGACGATGCGGAAGAGCCCGCTGGTACCCCGGTCTCCGCGCTCGGACCTTCAACTTCTTCGGAGTTGGCTCCGCAGCATGTCCACTTTGATGATGCGGACGAGATCATCGAGGACTCGGCCCCTCCGCAGCACGTGCATTTCGCAGATACGGACGAGATAGCCGGGGTCTCGTCTCCCTCGGTCGAACGACATTCATCGACGGGTGCTTCCGCCTCCACCGCATTGCACCCTTGTTCTCCACTCAAACCAATCATGTCCATCCCGTCGGCCGAGGAGGAAGAGGAGCAGCTGGAGGAGATGACGGTTGATATCGACGAGAACAGGCATCAGCCCATTTTGCTGAATGACGAGGCGGCACCTGAGCCGTCCGTGGAGGCAGAGGAAGAGGACGTCCAGATGGACCCTGTGGTGCCCTCGGTTCCTTCACCACAGATAGTAGCTCCAGCGGGAGCGCTGTCTATTCCCAGCGCGGATGAGGAGGAGGAAATGCTGGAAGGGATGACGGTTGATGAGGACGAAGTGAGGCACCAGCCTATCATGTTGGATGATGCGGAGGCCGAGGTCGCAGACGTCGGGCCTGGACAGGTAGAGTCACGATCACCGCACATTAACCCACACCACCATCACAAGGCGGATACCACCCCGCTCATCTCGGTCCCTTCGGCAGACGAGGAGGAAGAGCTGCTTGAAGAAATGGCGGGGCAATCCGCTCGATCTGGGCATCAACCCATCATGATCGATGACGAGGCGGATATCCCCCTGCCTGGCGTAGTCTCGGAAGAGGAGAGGGAGGAGCAAGCACCGGCGACGAGCCAGTCCATCGCGGAGCCGGACTCGGCTGCGGGTCACATGGCGACGGAGGCGGAAGTCGAGGTCATGGACGATGCTCCGGTCAACTTGGGCTTCGCAGACTACCTCCTTCAGCCTCCCCAGCATCCTGATCCTCTACCCGAGCCAGAACAAGCCGTTCGGGAATTCTCAGTCTCCCCTGTCCCCGAGTCACTCGCCGACAATCTCCCTTCCGAGATGGAGGAAGACCGGGAATATCGGGATGTCACACCCATTCCCCTCCCGGACCCATCTGCACCCGCACCAGACACGCAAGTCCCGCAGGCTCTCGAGGCGGGAGATATGCCCCGCGTATCTCGGTCTCCGTCCATGGAAGCTATCGCGCCGATGCACATACAACCTGCGGACATGCTGGTGGATACCGTCCAACGGCCGGAATCTCCTATTGAGCTTCCGGATCCTCAGGCTCCTCCGCCTGATACCCACATTCCCGCTCCGATCCTGCCCCAGGACCTCGAGCCGAGCGATAATACACCCACCGGGTCGGTCATCGCTCAAGCACCGGAAGAGACGCCCGCTATGCCTCTCGAGTCCGCACTGCCGTCCGGTGAGGCCACACCTCGGTCGCGCGCGGAAACACCGACGGAGCTGCCTGATCCAGGTGCGGCGCCGGAGGATGCGCGTCTTAGGATGCCTGACGTTCTGCATCAGATCGATACGGATCACTCGGCGCCGGCTTCGCTCATCGTGCACGCACCACCGACAGCCGAACAGGGCATTTTCACACCCACGTCGGCGGCGGGTCTCAGCATGGGGCGACCACCCTCCGGGCTGGTCATTCGGGACTTTGGCATGACATCGCCTTTACAGTCTAAATCGGAAGCCCCGACCCCGGCCGTCGAGGCTGGCGAGGGTGCCTCGCGGTTCCTTGGTGTGAGCAGTATGGCGGATATGCCGATGGTCACCCCGGGCAGCGAGATGGAGGTGGAGTTGGCGATGCCGGAGATGCGAGATGAAGAGGGACGTGCCCAAGAGGAAGAGGGCACGATCGACGTGGAGGTTCACACTGAGACCGAGGTAATCGAGGAGGACTCGGGTGATGACGGGAGCGGGGCGGAAGACGTTACTGTTAAGGAGGAGGATGCTGCGGATGACAGTAGCGTCGAGGAGGAAGATGACGACGAGGATCAGGAGGTAGTCGAATTGGATCAGGAAGAGGACAAGCTGGCCGAGGAGGACGTTGACCTGGACGAGCATGTGGAGGAGGAGGGAGCCGCACCAGGCTTTGTCGACGCAGAGATTAAGGGGGCCGCCGAAGGTTTTGTCGACACAGAAATCGATCTCAACGACGCGGAGGACGCCGATTCGCATGCGGGAGAAGAAGAGGAAGAGGCGGAAGTGGGCGGTGCGAGCGAATCAGACGAGCTGGACGTCATCGGCGATGAAGAGCAGGATGCTCTTGAGCAGGAAGAGGAGGGCGGGGGCATGGCTGGTGGGACTAGTGATGGAATGCTGGAAGACGATGACGACGGCATGGACATTCTGCAGTCCGAGGCGGGAGATCAGGATGAGGGCGAGCCGGTGACGGTCGAGCAGGATGGGAACGAGGAGGTTCGGGAGACTGGACAAGGTGTCTTGGACAGTGAAGATGGCATGGACATGCTGCAGTCCGAAGAGGGTGAATTGGAGGCTGCCCAGGCGGATGTCGATGGGAGCGAGACCGCCGAGCTGGTCGAGGACCCCGAGGACGAACGCTCCGAGATGCGTGGGGGTGCTTTAGCTGCACTGGACGAGCAGCAGACGGAGGATGAAGCAGGCGATGAGGATAAGGAGATGGATGAGATGGTCGAGGACAGCGGTGTGGGGCAGCGGCATATTGGTGAGTTCAGGCTCCCCTCTGAGAAGCGCAGAGCTGACGAAGCAGACGAGTATCTGGAGCAAGCCGCCGAATCGGCACCCATAGCTTCTGCAAGTGGCACACGCGAGGAAAGTCCAGCCCACGAGCCACTTCGCCACCACCACCACGGCTCTGTCGGACCTCGGGACGAGGGTTCCACATACACACCCTCTAATCGCCGAGCTCAGCGACAATCTCGCCAGTCACTTTCAGCCACTGAGACGGCCGTCACTCGCTCTCACTGTACCTACCGCAAACTCCGGATCATCGAAAATGATATCTCGGCGGACGTTCTGGTCCCACAGTGCGTGCTGGGCGATACCGAGCGGATGGGGCGGGAGGAGTCGGTCGACCTCGGCGATCCGACGCTACAGGAGCAGACTGAAGCCCGGAAACAGCGTATCACGCATGACAATCCGCTCCTTAGCGCTGCGCTCGCGGCCAAGCTCCATCGCGTGGCGGGTGCTGCCATCTTTGATGATGGACACTGCTTCCTCCTCTCCACGTCGGCAGGCGGGCGGGCTACGGACGAGATCCGGGAGAAGACCCCTCATTCTACGCCCAGGCGGGTCTCGAGGGGTCGGCAAAGTGTCGGTAACACGCCCAGCATCACATTTGCGCCTCTCCCAGAGGCGGAGCGTGATGAGCCGGAAGGCGGGTCCTCGTCGATGCGGCGCCAGTCGAGCGGAAGCGGGAGAAGGTCAATGTCCCAGGCTTCAGACGCGGCTCTTTCCCCTTCGCAAGCGGCGGGCTCGACTGGTGCACGTCGTACCAGCCGCCACACCCGGTCCAGCTCGCGTCTGTCGCAAGTCTCAAACGATCGCGAAGGCACGCCCACCGATGCTGCTCCACCGGCGATGCGTACTCGCGCTCGGTCGTCGCAGCCCCCTGCCGCTTCGGGGTCCGCGTCCGTCCATTTTGACCGGGAGGTCACGCCGGTCGCGGCCGACTATGCCCCTTCTTCCGCCGGCAGCGCTCGGCGAGCGTCACTTCGGTCATCCAAGTCAGTTGAGCCACAGCCAGTGGGCGAGGGGCGGGAAGGTAGCGTTGCCAGCCAAGCGTCAGAAAGGTTTGGTTCGCTTGCGGTCAAGCAAGAAGCTACCGTGCCCGAACCTTCCCGCAGGTCTGTACGGGGCAAGGGTAAGGGCAAAGCCAAGGGGGGATCACCCACCCCTTCCAGCGCCAGCACGATTGACGAGCCCATCCCTTCCAGTCAGTCTCGATCGAGGCGAGCGGACCCAGCCCGAAGGTCGGTTGGCCGGAACAATCACGGCGAGGCGTCATACCGTCCTTCCACGCCTGATCTTGCCGATGAGGCTAGCGAAGCGGGGACGGAGAAGGACCAGGACGAAATCAAGTCGGGAGAGTTAGAGGACAAGGTGGAGGAGGCAGATATCAAGCCGAGTCCAATCGCGTTGGGGACGCGCAAGAGGGGGAACAGGCTGTCGTCTGCCGCGTCTTCAACGCCGGTCGTCCCAGTCGTCGAGATCGAGGTCGGGCCGTCTAGGCGGGCGACGAGAAGCGGTAAGCGCAAGGCAGATGCGGAGAAGGAGAGTCAGAGTCTCAGCCAGAGTCAAGGGGACGTATTGGTGGAGGAAGAAGGAAAGAGCGGAGATGAGAAGAAGGAGGGTGGAGAGGCGCCGACTAAGAAGAAGAGAAAGGGCTGGTCATTTAAGTCGATATTTCGGCAGTAACTTTAGGTCTTGTAGTGTACATGCTGTTTTGCTGCATCTGATCATGCCTATCCCTGCACAAGCTACCTATACAACCTTGTATTATATTCCAGAATGTCCGTTCGCGTCTGCTCATGATCGTCCAGATACCCTCCTTCTTTCCCCAAAGTTGGCTACAGCCTCCGCCTTGAGCGCCTTCTCAGCCCTCCACGCCTCGGCGGATTTTCTGCACGTGTCAGCTATAGCCCTTGTCATCTGCTGGACTTGGCGCAGCTCACTTCGCTCTGATGAGTCCCACGACCGCCAGCCCCACAGCCTTGAGCGTGATCTTGCGTTGGGGCGGTTCGGGCATGGGGAAGCCAAACGATGCAATAGCCTTCAGTGTAGCTTGTTCGCTACAAGGATAAGCTCATCGTACGTGCTTGAAGGCGTCTCGGATCTGTCAACTCACTTGAGACTCATCCCGCCCACCAACAGCAAGAGATACCGCTTCTGCAACGCCAGACCGTTCCGGAACGTCGATTCCCGAGTATATTTGGCCTTGAGGTACTGGATCTGCGTGGCGAGATCTCGAGTCTGGGCTTTAAAGTGCGCCTTCTGCTCCGCCATGGCTTGGCTGCTACCCCTAAACTGGTCAGCTCTCGTCCCCAGTGCAGATGCACGGTACCCGACAACTCACGTCTCGCACACATGCGTACTCTTCCACTCCTCCAGCTCGCCCCTCTCCTCCCTGACCAGCCTGATCTCCCTCTCCAGTACCTTCATCTCGGCCTTGACGGCCTTGTACTCCCTCACGACCCTTGCCAGCTCCTGTTTCGTCTCTTCCGCCTCGCGCTGCCTTGCCTGAACCCCGTCCTGCTGCCGCACCAGCACCTCGTGTTCCCGCTGCAACGCCGCATACTTTCTCTTGTCACCTTGCGTCCCCGCCTGCTCGTCCTGCAACGACTGCAGCTCCTCGGTCAACCGCCTCGCCGCCGCTCGCTGAGCATTGAGATCACGCTCAAAGTCTTCGAGATCCGCGAGTACCGTCTGTCGTTCGGCCTGCAGATCCTCGATCCGCTCTTCTGCGCGCCGGAGATCCGACGTCTTCTTGGCCAGGTCAGAGGCGAGACGGTCGGTCCGGTCCTTATTCTCCCGCTGAACCCCCCGCAATCGCTCAATCTCAGCCACCTTATCCGCCATATCCTGAGGCGACACCCTCGCCCCCATCTCCCGTGCATGCCGCCTCTGCTGATCCTCCGCCGACGTCTGCAGCTCAGCGAGCCGCCGCCCCGTCTGTTCCAGGTCAGCCTTGGTACTCTGGAGCTCCCGCGCCAGAGCCCCAGTTTCGGTCGAAGCGGTAATAGCGTCCCGCTTCGCCTGTTCGACTTCCGAGTTCGCAGCGTCTATAGCTTCATTGACGTCCGCCCGCATATTGTTGATCTCATTCTCGAGCTGATCCTCCGCCGCGGTCTTGGCGTCCCGCATACGCTGATTATCGGCTTGTAGGCGTTTGCGCTCCCGAGACGTTTCGGCGCGGAGCTCGTCCAGCTGAGTATGGACCGCCGAGAGTGCAGCTTGGAGCCGTTCTTCGCTTTCTTGTCTAAAGGGTCAGCTCATAGCTCGGATCTTTCGTCGTGGACATCCCAACTGACGTGTTTTCTTTCCTCTGAGCGTGGACCAGAGCCAAAGACGCCTTGTTTTTATGAACGAGCGCCCGGATCTCATCCTCCAGGTCCGAAATACGCTGTTGGGCTGCGGCGAGCTTTTCTGCAAGCTCAATACCGACCAGACCCGCCGCCTCCAGGCGCGAAAAGTTGTCGTCGAGCTGTTGATTGGCATGCTCAAGCTCTTCGTGCAGGTTTCCGAGTTGGGCACGGTACATGCCCTCGTTGGCATCGCCGATGGTGGTGTTGAGCCATGACAGCTGTGGAGTCAGCTTTGTCTAAGCCGTCTTTCGGGATTCAGCTTACATCTTTGAGAGGACCAGGTGTCTTTGGCATCCGCAGATCCGCAATAGCCCGATGCACGAACGGCGTTGGCTTGCCGGCGGGAGTAGGGGTTCCCGAGGCAGCCTGAGCGGACCGGACGGGTGACGCTCTAGATAGCAGCGCCGCCTTCTCCTGTTCCAACGCCCTGATCTTGGCGTCCTTTGCCTCAATAGTGGTCTTCCGATGAGGCGTGGACGAGAGCTCGTGCTTGAGCCGACCGATCTCGCGGTACGCCTCGCCCAACCTGTCCTCTATCGCAGCGACAAACCCCGCCTGGTCCGCGGCCGATACGCCCTCCGCGTCGGCCGGAGTATCCGAGCTGGAGGACTTGATGGGCGAGCTGGCGCTAATGCTCTGTCGAAGTGGTCGAGCCGCCATCTCCGCGACTTCCAGTCGGCCTTGCAATGCCTCCAGCTCCGCCTCCCGCTCCTCGACCAACGCGTTGAGATTGTCGATATCCGCATAGAGCCGGTCGAGCTCATCCGCCTTCTCGGTGGTGTCCCCGCGGTCCGCCTGAGCCTGCGCCAGCTCCTCCTTCAGACCATGCACCTCGCTCTCCGCCCGCTGCTGGCAGTCGTACGCTGAGCGCAGCTGCTCCTCTCTCTCCGCTAGCGCATCTTCCGCTCCTCCCGCCCGATCCTCCGCATCCCGCTTGGCAACTTCCAGTTCCTCTATCTCCTCTGAGCGAGCTTGGACGTCCGCTTTCGCCCGCTCCAGCTCCGTACTCAGGGAATGCACCTGGCGACCCAGCTCAACCTCCCGCCCACCTGTCGAGTTCGCCTCTGCTAGCCGTTCCAACCTCTCCTTCTCCCCTCGCAGCCTATCCACCTCTTTCCGCGCCACCCCCAACTCCGCCTCCAGACCCGCTACCTGCTCTTCAAACCCCAAACAGATCTCTCCGAAGCGCTTGGCGTGTTGCTCCGTCTTGCTCGCAAAGTCGGTATGAAGCGCCTGGCGCGCTCGCTCGGCCTCTTCCAGCTGGTCTTGCAGCTCCAGCACTTGCTCGTCGATACCTCCCGCGCCGCCGCCCTGCTTCAGCGCCGCCACCTCATCTTCGAGCTCAACGATGCGCGCGTCCTTCTCGTTCAGAATCTCCTCGAGCCCCTCGAGCTTCTCCGCCAGCTCTTGCACGATCTCGGCGTTCTGCTCAGACGTCATCCCAACCGAGATGTCCCGGCCAGACTGTTGGTCCTGTCCAGTAACATTCGAGGCACCGCTGACAAGGCTCGCCTCGCCGCTCCGCCTCGACACGTTCGCCATCACATCCACCTCCTCCACCTCCACTCCAGCTTCTTCCAGCAGCTGCATCAATCGTCCCACCTCATCTCGCCACCCTTCCGCCTCCCGAGCAAGCTCTGCGTTTGTCTCGAGCAGTTGCTTATTCATTGCATTGAGGTGCTTGTGGATCTTGACGCCGTCGGCGCGGTGGTGGTCCATTCCTCTCAGGGAGCCCCCGCCGCCGGGGGTGGAGGTGTCGGCTTGATGGGTAGGAAGAAGGATGGTGGGGAAGGAGATGTTGGCGCGGGAGAAGCGAGGCTGAGCGGTTCCTCTGCGGTCAGTCGTGAGGTCCGCCGAGGACGCGACGGAGACGAATGACTCGTTGGGCGGAGCAGAGGCGGACCGGTCGATATCGAAGTGCGAGCGGGAGTGGGTGGGAGATGCCCGGTTTAGGCGGATAGAGGGAGATGCACCGGGCAGTCCTTCCTCGAGGATAGAGTCTGCTCGGGGAGAGGCCGACATCCGGCGCAAGGGGTGTGGTGTGCCCCTGACACCCCGCCTATCGCGCGCTGGCAGCCCAGACGAGCTGAGTACGGCCAGAACGTGATTCTTCCGCCGCTCGGCGTCGTCCAACGGAGCGCGGGGAGTGGAGAAGTCGCTATTCTTGGACACCATGCCGACTGGCGATGGAGTGAATGGTACCGCCAACGGGGTAGGCGGGGCCTGGAACTGGTCCGTTACATCCCGGAGGGCAGTGATGGGCGTGTGCGCCTGATACACCATGGAGTCGAGATAGTCACTGCGGCCCATAGCGGGATCGCGAGCCATCCCGGGTGTCGAGAATTGGCTGAAGGGGGGGTTACCGCGGACCGAAGACTGCTTGTAAGGTGAGGCATGGCGGATGGGAGCGGGGGTGTTGTCGTAGGAAGGAGCAGAGGAGGATGAGGAGGCCGAGGCTTCCGCTTGATAGTCATATGTAGGGTTTTCGGGGATTTCGGAAGGGTGTTGCTCCACCGAGCGGTCCTCAGCTTGAACAGGGGAGTTTTGCGATGCAATGAGGACCCGCCGACTTGGCCCTTCCGGTGTAGACGCGGCCTCGCTGGCATCTGTAGCGGAGAACTCGCTCCGGGACAAGCTGGGTACCCGGTCGGTGACGGGTACGAGAAGAGCGTCCTCTCCGGCCGGCTCTTGTCCCTGAGAGGACGAGCTTGATCCCGATGGACGCTGAGAGGCGCTGAGCTGATCAGTCTCGTTGATGTAGCTCTGGGCGAGATGAGACCGCCTTCCTGGCCGCTGGAGGACGACGTGGCTTTTGAATAACCGCTGCGTGATGGGTGTTTCGCCAGGCCCAGTACTTGAGGTCTAAACATCAGCCCAGTCCCGACCCCTGCGGATTAGCAAACTCACATAAGACTCGTCCCTTAGCGGTACTGATTTCTCTGATCCCAATAGACCGCCCGCCTGCAATCCGGGCGACCCATCACCCGCCTCAATCCCTTCCTGCGAGAAACTCGCACTCATCTCGCCGGGGGTATGCCACTTCTCCCTTCCCGTACTGTTTCCTGCAAACTCGTCTGTATCGCTCCTGTTCCTCGAGTGGCCCATGGTGTAGGTCTGGGCATGTCGAGCGGTCGAGCGCGTGTCGTCGCTCACGAACCGACGCGAACGGGAGTAGGCCGTATGTGGGGTAGACGTGGCTGCTCGATTTGGGATGTATGGAGACTCGCTGGCTGCTGGAGAGGCTCGAACGGGGGGATAGGGTGATGTCGAGGTGGTAGCAGATAGGTTGGCGGGGGTTGATGCAGGGGGAGGGGTGGCTGATGGGGAAGTGGAGGCGAAGGCTCGTCTGGTTGGATGAGGCGTAGCTACGTTCTGAACCATCAGCTATCGGTGTGTTGTACCAGAGACCGCATGAATTAGCTCACATCGTCTGTCACGTTCTCTTGGCCGGCGTACTCTCTAGGATCCACGCTGCTCCGACTGGTATCCATCCCACTGTCATAGTCAAAGTTGGGTTGGATGCTAGGCAAGGAGGGCAATTCCGCCTCTTGCAGCTCGAGCCGCTTGATATTGTCGAGCACCCTATTAGGAGAAGCGAATGAGAAGGCCATACTGCCTGATATTGAGCAGGCAGGGGGGATACTGAAGCTCTATGCGTGGGGTAAAGTTGAAGGTGAAGGGACCTTTGATCTGGTTCTCGCGGTGTCAACAAGGAAGTCAACCACGTCGGAACCGGCCAACGCCGCCGCCGGGCTTCGGGAGAAAACAAACAAACCCAGTCGGAGCTAATTCCTCGATGACGGTACAAGTAATTTTGATCCCGCCCACCGTTGAGCTCCGAGCAGCAACATGCAGCAACAAGTGACGCATATCTCTTACTCTTACTCTCAACTCATACCTACTTGCCTCATATATCAGCAATCCTACAAGCCAATACCACAGCTCTAGAGAGCACATACCAAACCATCGAACAAAGGACCAACATCCATCATGCAGCCGTATCAACCCAGGACCCCGCGGCAGGTCTATTCCGTACCCGCCGCCCCCGATTCGCCATCGTACGAAAAGGAGTCTCACATCGGGGTGGATCACGCCGCGTTGGAGGCGAGAGAGGCGGCGGATGCTGTATTGAAGGAGTACGAGGCGAATCAGGCAAGGTAAGTCGGTGGCAAATATCGAGGTATGGTTGTGAAAAGCTGACGGGTAGGTTGGCCAAGGCGATCGAGTCATCCTTGTACATGTTGGGCGATCTGCGGAATTTCAACGGGGACCAGTGGACTATCCGGTATCCGTCCCTGCGGACTGAGGCTGGAGAATCATCTCGTACGTTCGGTCGCAACTCCCTTATGACGAAGCTAATTATTAGTCCCCCAGCGTCCGGGTATGGCCCGACGAACCCTCACTTTCGCCGATGAACCCGCTGCGGCGCACAAGGTCGTGCTCAACTCTACCCCCGCTCGTCGCTCGCTCAAGCGGTCCCTTACCCTCGCGCCTGCCGCAGAGACCACCACCGTCGAACCCTCTTCCTCCCTCATTACTACTCGTCCCGCCGAGCAAGCCGCGGATGACTTTTCCATCCTCCGCCTCGACCTCAATCTCGGTGCAGCCCGTCAGGCCAAGGGTCTCATCTCGTCACTCGAGAAATCTTCTATCTCATCCCTCCTCGACAACCGGATCGCCGCGTCTTTGGACCACCTCGCTCTCCTCCAGCGGCGCGTACAGGACCCTCACTCGAGGGTGCTGGTCACCGGCGATCTCAATGCGGGAAAGTCTACCCTCATCAATGCCCTGCTGCGTCGTCGGGAAGTCATGCCCACCGATCAGCAGCCGCTGACGACGCGGTTCGTCGAGGTGGTCAGCGCCAAGGAGAATGAGGGGCGGGAGGAAATCCACATTCTGGACGGAGAGGGAAAGTACGACCCGGCGGACAAGTCTACCTACTCGGTCGACTCGATCGACAATCTCGAGGCGCTCGCTACGGACATGGACTCGGACGCGTCCGCGCCACCCATGCGTGTCTTTGTCAATGAGGCGCGTCTAGACCTCACCAACCCCTCCATCCTTCACAACGGCGTCGTCGACATCTCGCTCATCGACGCGCCCGGTCTTAATCGCGACTCGATCAAGACCACTGCCAACTTTGCGCGGCAGGAGGAGATCGACGTCGTCGTCTTTGTCGTATCGGCGGCCAACCACTTTACGCTTTCCGCGAAAGAGTTCATCTGGCAGGCGGGACATGAAAAGGCGCACCTCTTCATCGTCGTCAACCGGTTCGACCAGATCCGGGACAAGCAGCGGTGTCGCCGGGCTGTGCTGGAGCAGATCAAGCAGCTCAGTCCGGACACATACGAGGACGCGGCGGACCTTGTGCATTTCGTTGATTCTGCCAAGGTCGCCCTTGGGTGTTCAGAGGAGGAGGATGCGGCAGGGGATGAGCTGGACGAGGCGTTCCGACACCTCGAGCACTCGCTCCGGTCGTTTGTGCTCGTCAATCGCGCCAAGTCCAAGCTCGGTCCCGCGCAGAATTACGTCACCCACCTCCTGGCGGACGTGGAGCTGCTGGCATCGGCCAACTCGCTCGTCGCTACTCAAGAGCGCGAGGTAGCCAAGGCGGAGCTCGACCGGGTCAAGCCCGTCCTGGAGCAGCTGAAGAAGGGCAAGGAGGGATTGGAGGAGAGTCTGGTACAGGAGGAAGAGGCGGCGACCGAGTTGGCCCTGACACGGACCAAGACCGCCATGGTCCGCGGTCTCGAGCGGGTCGGACAGGGAGAGCTAGCGGCACCTGCGCCGGGGCTGGAGTTGCCATCGTACCCCGGTTTCCTCGGCGTATGGGACTACGCCAAGGAGGTCAAGCGGGTCATGCTCGCTTCGATCGACTTTGTGTCGTCCCTCGCCGAGGCGGACGCTCGCAGAATCACCAGCGAGGGTGTCAGCCAGGTGACCGAGCTCGGCAACAAGCTCCTCCCAGCGGACGTGGTACGCACCGACCGGGTCTTCAACCCCGCTGCCATGTTTACTGCTCGTCCACCGTCCAAGCTCGCTCGGCGCACCTCGGGCGTCAATACGCTCGGTCTCGGTCTCGCCTCCCGCCCCCAACTTGCCGAAGTTTCCCTCTCGGACATCTTTGACTACACCCACCACATCTCCATCGCTCGCTCTTCCCTCCCTTCATCTTCCTCTGCGTCGGCGTCGAGCCAAGCCCTCATCCCGTCCTTTGGTGCCGAAGTGGGCGGCCTCGGTCTCGCCTCATTGGCGTTCGGAGCATTCACCATGTCTGGCAAAGTCTTTGGCGTCCGGTCATTCATTGACGGCGCTCTCGGCCTCTCGGACCTTCTCGCACACCCCATGACCCGCAAATGGGCCGGACCCGTCGTCGGCGTCTTTGCACTCGGAGCTGTCGGGTATGTGGTGTATGAGCTTCCGCGCTCTATTCCCCGGAACGTCGGAAGGCACATCCAGTCCAACCTCCTCCTTACCGGCCTGGACGGGGAGGAGACGCCGTACGCCGATGCTCAGGCCCAGCGGGTCGGCAAGGAAGTACGGAAAGTCATGCGTCTGGCGGCGTGGGATTTGCGGGAACGGTTCCGCGGAGCGGTGGATGCGAGGGGAGAGGTGGTCAGGGAGAGTGAAGCGCTCGAGAGGAAGGCGGGTAAGGCGTTAAAGTACTTTGAAGGGGTGGAGAGGAAGGTCGAGGAGATTAGGGAGCAGGTCGGCGTCAAGGTTTAAGATGTGGGGAGGGACATGTAGCAGATTGCAGTAGTGACGAGGCCGAGTAATTGCAGGCAGGCGGCGGACTTATATCTTGTAGTGTAGCAGCTGGGACTCGAACCGCTCTATCTGTTCTTCGTATTTTGCCATAATGAATAATGATCACCTTCTCCTTACTTGCGTGCGCTGTGGCTGCGTACCAAGGCGATGGATGTCATCTCATATTATATACATACAGACCAAGTGAACCTATTTCCCCTTCCCATGTTCGCCTGCTGCGTACCTACTTGGTAAAGATCGACACACTACGCGAGTCAGCTTTGACCATGCGCAAGGTGTACGCGGCTCAAAAAGCTCACACATCCTCATCCATGACCAAATGTGTCAATCCGACTTTCTGCGGCTGCGGATTGAATTTGCTCGACTTGCCCCATACGAGTGCATATCTAATTGATCAGCTCGTACATCCCCAGGTCATCGCGAAGGCTTGACGCAGAGAGCTCACTTGAAGTGCGAAGCTAGACTCCGGTGGATACCATGGCAGACCGTTTCGATAGTTGCTCCTTGTCGGAGACAGATTGGGTCGCTCAGGTCAGGCTGGTCACCGCGCTTCTTGGTGTACACTCTGTGTTTGTCAGCTTGGATCATAATCGATAATCAGCCAATCAGCTGTCACGCACTTCACCAAGCCGAGCTCCTGCTGTATCAGCTATTGTAGTGCGGTTGGGAGGATGGCGCAGCTGGAGTCCTACTTACCATCCAGATCGCTTCCAATAGCCAGTCCAGCCCTAAACCCAGCTCGCAACTGATCATCACCGTCCTCCCGTCTCCTTCTCGTGCCATACTATCTAACGTCTCCATCGATACACCGTCAATCTTATTGATGACTGTTAATGCAGGAATGTATTGCCTCGTTCCTGTAGCGTCAGCTATGCGCTCCAAGACGAACAGCGGGTAGCTCACCGAGTACGACGTCGATAAACTCGTCCACTGACACCTGTTCATGAGCTTATGTTTCGATCAATCCGGTTCATCCAGCTCACATCCTCCCGGATGAGCACATCGCAATTATGTACTGCTCACGTCAGCTACGAACCACATACGACCAGGTCTGGCGAAACTGACTTTTGTAAGTTTGCAGGATACTTCGTATTGTCCGCTCGTCCGTCTTCGTCATCTTGACCGTATTATTGATCGTGATCTAACAGGTCAGCTGTACAGCAGCGCCATCCGCTTCTGACGAAATGCTCAACTGACCCCTCCTGCTGTCTTTTGCTTGAACACGACATCTGGTGGTCTCGCATTCAGTCTGATCCCGACCGCGTCCAGCTCAATCTCCAACATCTTCTTTTGTTCTGCTGATTTTGTTGCATCGACTGAAGGATCAGCTTTCAGGCGCAATATCACAAATGGAGGTCTTATACGCACTCATGAGGATGATCACATCTGCTGTTTTTGCCACTGATACGACCTGTCGACCACGTCCTCGGCCTTATACGTGAGCTTGAGCCAACGAAAGCTCATAGGCAGAAGGGCTCACCCTTCGCGGCATCCTGTACGATACCGGGCAGATCAAGCAGCTGTATTCTAGCGCCTTCATACTCCAGCACACCGGGAATAGCCTGCTCTGTCAGCTACAGCCCGATCCTGACGTTATTGGCACAGTATCAGCTCACCGTCAACGTCGTAAACTCGTAAGCTCCCACGACGGATTCCGTCTTGGTGACTTTTGACAACAAGGTCGACTTTCCGACTGATGGGAATCCGATCAGACAGACACGCGCGTCTGACAATCAGCTCTTGAAAGATAGTCGTACATAGCTGCGCCGCTGTGCTCACCTCCAGACTTCAGCACTTCGAATCCTTCGCCCTTTGGGCCCTTCTTGTCGGGCTCGAGCAACTGGGCTCGGTATTTGGCGACTATGTCGATAAGCTCGAGCGCAACTTCTAAGAGGGTGCCCGCCTTGCGAGCTCACGTTTTGCCTGGATCGTCAGCTTACAGCGCTCCGCACACAGGGCTCTGGCCAACTCACCTTCAGCTGACCCAGATGATATTCTGTCGCCTTGCTATCGTATGTCAGTATAGGCTTGGAGCGGAGATCGTTTCGTAAGTAGTAGTCAGTGCTCACTTCTTCTGCGCTGAGAAGGTCAGCTAAACTGCCTGATCAAAAGTTGTCAACAGGAAGCTCACTCTTGGACATCTCATCTGCGAAGAGTCAGCTCAGCGCGCCAACACTCTGGGATTGGCAGCTCACCCTTGATCGCTTCTATCTTGTCTAGGACACCCATTTTGGCTGTTTCTGTTTCGTGTGAGGTGTGAAGGGGTCTGTACAAGCAATGTCAAGACGGTGGTAGATTGTCTCGCTGAACCTATGGCGGACAGGAGTGTGGAGGTTTTTGATACGCTCCCAGCTTGACGCCACGTCACTTCCGACGGATCGGATCAGCGACGCGCCCAGCGATCTTTACGTCATGACCCTGGTGCCTGAGTTTTATCTTTGACTTCGAAGTCTCGCTTCGCTTCGCATTCACACAGCCAAAGGGGCCACTTTTCATCCCCACACCCCCTACCCGGCCCCTTATCAGAGCAGGTCTCTCTTCCTTCTACCCATCATCCTACTCCCGACCCCTCAAAATGCCCACCTTCCGCCCACCCCTCTATCACACCTCTGAGGTCATCACGGCCGACTCCACCTCGACTCCGTACGCCCGCTTGACATTCTCCGTCACGCCCGATAACGATCAAGGGGTTGACGGGGTGTATCAGCTCTGGACTGATCTGCCCAATCTTGATGCTCAGGGATCTCCCCAGTGCTCACCTGGAGAATGGCACGAAATCAACTTTGTCGCGGTTCCTACCCCATCCCCCCGGCCCGCCTCGTCAGCCGGAATCTCTCTCAACCCTATCCTCCCCCCGCCTACATCGTCCGCGCTCTACGCCATCATTCATGTTCCGGCAACTCCCGCTACGTACTCGTACACTCTCCGACAGGCCAAGGCGTCCGGCGAGATTGTCTGGCTAGGCTCGGACGGGTCCAACGGGACGGTCGTTGTCAAGCAGGGCGAGATGTCGGAGGAGGCGGTGGTAGAGTCAGGACCATGGGACGGGACTTCGAAAAGCATGGAAGGGATCGAATGGAGGGGTGTAGCTTTGGCCATGGACTACTATGACTAGTGAGCTGCCCTCTGCCAACCCTCTATATCGAGATCCAGCTCACTGTGTAGCTTCTCCACCCCCTCTATCGTCCAGCTACCCACGTCAGAGTCCTTCAAGGCCAGCCTCATCCTCGCGCTTGGTATCAGACCCATCGATTCTCTCCCCTTCTACCACTCTGCCTCCGACATATCCGCACCCTCGTCCAGCATCGCCCGGAACGTCGCTTTAGCAGTAGCGAGCGCCGCCAAAAAGTCTTTGGACGTCCCGGCCGGCTCTATCCTCCCCGACAAGTCCCGTCAAGGCACATTTGGCCGGTCCGAGTCTGGGCAGCTCACCTCCGCAATCCTCAAAGCGCTTAAGGAGCAGTCAGAGCCCACATTCAAGCTCGTCGAGTCGGGCGAGTCTCATGTCCTCCTCGCGCCGACCAAGGCGGAACGGACCACCAACGCCGATCTCGTCCTTCTCGCTTACTCTGCCGAACAGGCTCGGGCGGTCAGTATCAAGGCGCCTGCCCAGCTGGACTCCACTAGCCCTATTCTCGCTCAGGTAGCGGCTTCGAGGCAGGTCCTGCGCTCGGCGGGATCGGTCGACCTCAACCTCGGTTCAGGACTCTCTGCGGAGGTCGTGCGCTTTACCGAGATGTCGGAGCTGCGCGCTGCGGGCGGAGAGGGCTCTATCTGGATCTGTGCGCCCAGCGCTCGATCGGTCCAGGTCGGAGAGGAGGAGGTTGGAGAAATTACCTCGGAGGCTGTCGCTGCCGAGGCGGATGATGTCGAGATCATCGGGGACCAGCCGACCGCCGACGCTCTCAACGGAGACGCGCACCGTACGCCCGAGGTCTCCAAGTCCAGTCTGGCTCCCGGACCAGCTAGCGAGGCGGACACGGAGGCTACACAGCAACGCTCCGTTGCGGAATCGGAGTATGAGGCAGGGGACGAGGACGACTCGGCGGTCACGTCCAAGCCGGCCAAGATGGAGAGCTTTTGGCTTCTGCGGATGCTGGATTCTTTCCTCGTACGGATCTGGTCTTGGATCTTCCAGTCCTCTCAGGCGCCGGCGTTGCCGAGACGGGAAGAAAGGCGGATCACCGATGGGGATGCGCAAGAAGGGACGGACGCGGAGAATGCAGAGGCACCAGTACCGAATGAGCACACCCCGCTCTTGACCGTAAGCTGTTCGTTCGACAGAAAGCGGCCAAGCTGACATATAGACTCCCGGACTCTCCCGCTCCACCTCATCCACGTTCAACAGCCCTCTCGCGAGCCCCGAGGCACCTCTCAACGTCAAGGCCACCCAGACGCTCGACTCTCTCACCAAGCGCCTCACGGATGACGAGGCTACCACCCCCAAGCAAGCCGAGCGGGCGCAATACTACCCCGCTGGCTCAGTCGCTATCCGCTCCTACACCCAGTTCACATTCGCCTCTTCCCCGCCTTTCACCTTCTTCCTCCCCTGTTCCGACCGCGAGTCCAGCACCGAGGGATGGCAGGATAAGCTCAGGTTCAGCTGTAAGACCCAGACGGCCACCGAATGGGCGGCGGCCGAGGTTGAGCTCAAGGGCGAGGAGGGGGGTGCGGTGGAGGTCTGCGTGGGGCAGGGGCAGAAGGCGGACGAAGGTGGGGTGTGGGAGGTCCAGGTGGAGCGACTCTAGGGGTCTTCTCTTCTTTTCTGCTTTTGGTTTCTCCCGGTTTCAGGCTTACACACGTAGCAATAGATATCTCCTCCCCTTTCCCACCTTTTTTACTTTCGTTAACGACCCTCGTATAGCATATTGACGACCCCCATACAACACATACATGTTTGCTTGTTTGTTCCTATAGAGTAGATTAGGGTAGTAGATGGTTGATAGCCATTCTCTGCGATGTATATAGATGGGTGATACCAATGGGGAATGTGGTGCAGTCGGTCCAGCTAGGCGACTGGATACTGACAAGATTGGGCTGCTTGATCGTAGGCTATCAAGGTGATCAGGAAGAGGAAACGAGGCCGACTGAGGCTAGCTAGATCGGAGGACCCGTCATAAGGATATACGGTGGTATCCGAAGCTTAAGCTGAGCTATGCCAGGCCCTATAAATCAATAATCAATAGTCAGTGGGATGGCAAAGAGCGGCTGAGCTCGAGCGAGCCGAGTGAGCAAGAGGAATGGGTCACGAGCCTGCGATAGGCGAGCTGGCAGCTTTCAAGTATATCGTGATGACAATAGCGGCTGGTTTAGCATCGAGTCTCGGGCAGGCAGGTAGGCCTAAGCAAGGAGTAGTGCCAAAGAAACGATGCGAAGTATGGTATACATCTTAACTTGGGTTATGAAAACACTATAGATGTCGCAGTCGATCAGTCCCAACTACATTGTCCTTGCTACAGTCCGTGAAAGCTAAAGCCCAAGTCCATCTCCGCCGTTTACGAGGAGAAGGGGTTCTTGTAGCCGGGGTTGGACTGGAAGGCGTCGAAGGGGGTGTTAACCTCAGCGGGTCCGGCAACGGTGTTGGCGGCTGCAAGATCAGCTAGGCACAGAAGGCAAGGTGGTGTGAGAAGACTTACTGGTCACCGAGGCGATGTCGGCGGCGTTGGTGAGGATGATGTACGAGAAGCCCTGAACCTCCTGGGGTAGTCAGCATGAGTAGAAATAAAGGGGCGAGAGGGACTGACCTTGGGGAGAGTGAGCTTGCCGTTGGTGAAGGGGACAAGGGTGGCACCGAGACCGTTGTAGACGGCGGCGGAGACGGGGCCGGCCATGGAGGAGGACGACTTGGTGTAGGTCAAAGAGACCTCGGAGCCAGCAGCGGCCTGGCCGATGGGGAGACCCGAGGGGAAGAGGAGAGGGGTGGAGGCCTTGACGGGGAGAGATGGGCCAGCGGGGCACGAGGTGATGAGCTGGGCGGCAAGGGTGTAGACCATGTCGAGGCCGAGAGGGGTGTCGTACGGTCCACTGGAAAGTAAGCTCGGCTCAAAAGCAGAAAGAAGTAAACTCACGACCAGTCAGCCTGGGTGAGGACGGGGCCGGACCAGAAGCCCTGGTGGCGGGCCTCGGTGGAGAGGATGGTACCGGCGACGGTGGCGTAGAGGGGCTCAGTGATGTACTGGTTGGCGCCGATGTAGGCCGAGACACCGATGTTCTCGAGGAAGGCCGAGAAGGTGACGAAGGTCTTGACGTCGGTGAGGGGGAAGGCGTACTGGCACGCGGGGACGGTCTGGTTACCGAGGGCGGCCGAGAGGATCTTGACGTGAGACGCCTCGTGCTGGGCGATCTGGGAGGCACGGCCGCGGACCCAGTCGGGGAAGCCGGCGTTCTTGAAGTCCTGCGCCGAGAACTTGGCGAGGGCCTGGGAGTAGTAGGCGGCCTCGAGGTGCTCAAGGGTGAGGGCGTACTGGAGGACCTGGACGTCGGTGACGGCCGGGGCAGCGGCCTGGCGCTTCTCGACGGGGGAGGCGAGGGTGGCGCAGGCGGCGACGAGGGAGGCGAGGACGGTGAGCTTCATTGTGAAGGGTGATGTGTGGGTGGTGGTGGTGGTGGTAGTGGTAGTGTGGTGTGGTGGGAGTGTTGGGAGTGTGAGAGTGAGAAGTTGGAAAGAAGAGTCAGAGGGGGAAATGGACCAGCTTATATGCCTCGGCGCCGGTCTCAACCTCCACCCCGATCCGGCCCAAACATGCAGTTACGTTGGGCGGCGGCGGCGCCACTTGTCTCGTACGACTGTCGTCAGTCCACCTTTCGGGGTACCTCACGAGACAAACATAGCCAGGTCAGATCGGAATGACACCACCGAACAAGACGCCGGATCTGGTTCTAACGCAATTGCGCAATTTAGTGACACACAAACCCGGCTGATCGAGACGGCCGGGCCGGAACTTTCAAACATTCCATGCGGGGCAAGCCCAGATGACGATCATATGCCGGCAAGTGAGGTTAATTGGGCCCAAGCCGGATCCGACCCCCATCTCGATCAGTTGTCTGGACACCCCATTGGGAAGTGACAACTGCTCGATCTGGCCATTGAGCCTCTTTAGGATTACACCGTTGGAATACACCCCGGCGACGTCGCAGGGTGAGCATTTGGCGAGCTCCGAGCGTCCGTGGGCGGCGCGCAAGCTCATGCGGACCCTGCGTCGGACGACGCTCAAGCTGCGATTAGTCCTTGATCAGTTGTGACGAGAAAGTAATCACCCATCGATGCGCTGGCCGCTTTGATGCATGCTCCCACGTCGTCGATGGTCCCACTGTTACGCGGATCGAGGACTGCAGAGGTACTCGTGAGGCTGGCAAATCCATACCTCGATCATCAGATTGGATCTTGACAGATCTAATTTGATACTCCGCGGGACTTGGCTCGTTGCACTCTCGTTGCAGCTGTGAATCTGTACCGGTCTTGGCGATCTGAGGGTGTCAATATCCCCCTCTCACGCAGTGGCAGATCGTGAGGCCCATCTGTCGCTGCAGGCCATGTCCTTGGTACTTGACCGCAAGCGTCTCGAGTGGTGGCGGCTGCTGTGGCGGCCCATACTGTCCAAGCGCCCATTGACCAACTCGGTTCAATGCCTCGGAGACAATCAACAGGCTTCGTGCGGCCAATGGCGCTAAAGGTTATTTATGGCGTAACCACCTCGGCACGGCCGGATCTGATGACGAGATGCCGGCACACAGCGGAATGAGATCTGACTTCAGCCACGTGGATATCTCATGACTGAAGAGGCAATTCCTTGTCCTTGCTGGCCTGGCGTGCACCTGGCCTGCATCTGCTCGCAACAACACTAAGATTGGTTTGCCACGGCTAGCTATCAAGAGACAGCAGCGGTCGTAGGTGGCTCGACCCAGCGCTTGCCTCATACTGCCGCAGGCACATGTCAGACAACAAAAGCGCCCTGTCAAATTTGATATGGTCAAACGTACACCCCTTGCGACGCGTTGAACGCGTACTACTCGCCGTTCTTGTTTGAGGCGGGAACGGTCGATGAACCACGTTGATACTGTATGCATGTGCTCCTATCTACGCGAGGGGACATACAGTCAGGCATTACCTCGCGATCATCACTGGCTCTTTCTACAGCTAAGCAGAAACGATCTCGTCTCGTCGCCGAAAAAAATCGTCAGCACGCGATCACGAGAAAATCAAGACCAGGTTGCTTCTGTTTGTTGACGCGTCGACGCGACCTAGCCTGCATCTTGTCAACCGCCCATCAACATGTCATGTAAGTCATGGCTAGGTGACGCACTGATCAGCAGTCTTCCCCGCTAGGCCGACGCCAAATCGCCAAGCGTCTACTGCATCCAGCACCTCCTCGTTCTCGAGTCCAGGCACCAGCCTGCTCACTCCCGCCTACGCTACCGAATTTTACGACGCGCCTAGCTCGCCAGCGCTGAGCAGCGATGGCAGGCTCGGCACTCCTACCGCCTTTGATGGCAAGAGGAGTGCGTCGCCCAGGTCTCCTGGCGTTCGACCCATGACTGAGATAGACCGCATGGCCTACACTTATGCGCTCCGCGTTGCGTGAGTGCCCGTCTGACTGGTGACCCAAAATTTCCAGCTGATGTCTCAGAGCTCTCCATTCCCACCTCCACCCCGCAGTGTCTAATCAGCCACCTCCGTCGCCGGCCTCCTTTGCGTCGCCTCCGCCATCTGCGCGTCGCAAGTCATTCTCGTTTCGAAAGGCAGCGCCAGTATCCAGCAGCCCCGCCTCTACGCCGCCACTGCCGCCTCTCCCGACTGCCGCGACTGGCGAGAACAAGTTGCCAAAGGAGTACCTCATCGAGCTCTGGGGACTTCTGGCGAACGAGCCTGGAGATGCCGCGTGGACAGAGACGAAGCGGGCATTTCTCAGTGGGATCAAGAAGGGGAGCAGGAATGAGCGGGGAGGCAATCTCAGAGATGTCGGCGTATTACTGGAGAGTGAGTAGACCCAAGTCTGGCGCTGACCTTGAGCGTTCCTCGCTTGCATCCCACCTCAGACCGCAGCTCACCCACACCAAACCCACTTCCTTCACATCGTCTCCACCTCGCTCCCCGCTAGCACCCACTTTTCCACCGCTTTGCGTCCTCTTTCGGAGAAGGATCGGGAGCTGCTTCACCGTCTCAGGCGGGAAGTTGCGGGCTATATCCTCGCCGATCCCATCGCCGGTAAGCCGAGCTCGTCGGGTCAGCCTGGCCACCTGTCTCCTGGCATCTCGCTAGGCGTACCCCGACCTGCTAGAGAGGGACTCGGCGAGATGGAGGAGACTGTAGGCTTGATCTTTGGGGTGGGGCGCGACACACTCCGGGCGGATCTGGAGGAGATTTTAGGAGAGACAAGCTTGGACGAGGTGAGTCGCTACTAGAATCAGCTAACCTCAGCTGTATATCTCGCACATACAAGCTAGCGCGGCGCATCTTGCCTCTTTACCCTCTCAAACCTCCACGCAGCGACACCGCCACGCAGAGCTGTCCCGTCTGCTCTCCTCTCTGCAGGCACAGCATCCTCATCTTGCTCGCGCCGCCGAGCCTGGTCGTGCTGCTTGCAGCTCGGTCACATTCTTCACTCCGCCACGCAAGATGGAGCTCTACTCTGCCATCTGCGACCGAGCCGAGGAGAATGTCACGCTGCACCGCCGGGCGTACGCGCTCGTCGATGAGTGTGTCAAGGTGTGGGCGGTGCCTGGAGAAGAGGAACGGGAGAAGGAGGTCGAGGGGTTGATCATCGCCTGGACGAGGAGTGTTGGCGTTTCCAGCAAGGACGAGGAGGTGTGGGGCAAGATGCTCGAGGATGGAGTCGGCGACCTCTGCGCGGGCAGGCAGCAGGGATTGGGTGTCGGCATGGACCAGCTCCTATCCGCCCTGCTCAGCATGCTGGGTCAGTCCGTTGCGGGCATGATGGGTGGTGGAGAGGGCTGGGGAGGACGAAACAAGTCCAAGGCGGATGGGCTTTCGGGACCGCCAGTATCTCTTCTTCCTCTCTTGCTCAGTGGGAATGGGGTGTTGTTGAGGCAGCCGCGGGCTATGCAGAAGCTGGACGAAGTACGGGATGAAGTCAAAGGGATGGCGGTAGGGGAGTATGTCCAGGCGGTCGAGTGGTTGATGGGCGGTATGGGCGCATCCGGCGGAGCAGCAGAGCAAGCTAAGGGCTTCTTTGACGTGGCCGAGTGGATCGACGGGGTGGTCGGTGGTATACACGCCAAGTGGGGTGACGGGCTGGGCGAGTAAGTCTCGTCGGTCTTCTAGCTGCACATGGGCTGACCATCAGGATCTTCAGCCCAGCTGCTATCGTACTGTCAAAGCAGCTCCCGCTGTTCTTTGCCGAGCTGCAGATGCTAGATGGCGGGGCCGGCGCGGGATCGGACAAGGTATTTGGGCTGTATGAGGTCACAGGCAGGCTCGGCGCTATGTGGAACGACTTGTGCCCCAAGTCAGTCCTCTGCGAAGCTGTACAGACCCATAGCTGACCAGGCAGTGTCGAGAGCGGCTTTGAGATCGACGCGTTCTTCGAGCCCCATGTCATCGCGTGGATGAAGGAGACGGAGGCTGGCAAGGTACACGAATGGGTCTCGCGAGCTGTGGCCATGGACCGTGTGAGTACGAAGCTTGGCCTTGTGAGACCGCGCTGACCATACAGTGGCGACCTGAGGGCGACCAGCACTACAGCCAGTCCGTTGTGGACCTCTTTGAATTCATCCAGCAATCCCTCGGTGTTATCCTGCATGATCTGCCGCTCAGCCCATACAAGCGGGCACTGTACCTGACTGACATGTCCAAGGTGAGCCCGTGCCTCTCATATTCGAGCCTGTGCTGACGAGCAGACCTCATCCATCGCGGTCACGCAGTACGCTAGCACCCTCCAAGCGCTCTTCCAGGTCGACATGAACCCCGCTTCTGCCAAGCCTGCCAATATGGCGAGCGAGCTCGGCGGCAAGCTCAATGACAAGATTGGCGGTAAGGCTGGGAGCTGGCTAGCAAAGGGTCAGCAGGCAATGAAGACGTTGGAGCGGAAGAAGGTGGACGGTTTCGTCGTTCCCCCAGCGGTACGTCTGCAGTACAAGCAGAGGGCACTACCTGACACGACAGGCCCTAGTCAAAGTGTCCAACATGGGCGCTTGTGCCGAATCCCTCGATGATCTCATTGTCGCCATCAAGCCCGAAGAGACGGCTCGACTCACGCGGACCAAGACTCGCGATGTCGATACCGCGGCCAAGATCCCGTTTACCATCACCATTGCTCGTGGACAGAACCTGCTCGGGAAGAGCCAAGGCAAGGCGGCGGATGCGTTCTGCGTCATTACAAGTGTCAAGCACGGGGAAAAGTTGATCAAGACCCGCACAGTCCTAGGCGTAGAGGACCCCAGATGGTCAGTGTAGCTCCCGTCATACAGGACAGTGCTGATGTCCAGGGATCAATCAGTCGAAGTCCCGGTGACCGATACTAAACACCTCGAGCTTGCAGTCTATGACCGCTCACTGGTCGGCAAGCACGATCTCATCGGTACCGCATCGCTCAAGCTCGACCCCAAGGCGTGGACGACCGTGTCCACTCGAGACGTCCATATTCCCCTCCAGCCACGAGGCGCTGTTCATCTCCGGATCAGCATGGAGGGCGGATCACAAGCCAACGACATCCGAGCCAACCTCGCTAGCGCCACAAGGACGCTCGAGCGTACTGCAAACGACATGGTCAACGAGGTGGTGGAGCGGATGATGGAGTTTGTTCGGGACCAGCTGAGCGCGAGGAATTTGGCAGAGATGCTCCGGCCAAAGGATAAGAAGAAGGTCAAGGTGTATGTGGGGGATCCCGAGCTCGAGGCGAGCTTGTCAGGGGTGACTCAATACCTCAATACCAACGTAAGTCTGTCTCATGAATAGCGCTGATGCCTAGTTCTCGACCTTCTCCTATACCCTCACCCCCTCCACCCGCCTCGACCTCCAGCTCAAGCTCTGGAACCGGATCCTTGAGCACCTGATCTCCCTTCTCGTTCCGCCACTCTCGGACCGGCCGTCCACCACACCGCCGACTCCCGGCGACCAGGTCGAGATTGTCCTCAAGTGGCTTCAGCTTCTCAAGGCATTCTTTAACGCCAAAGAGGGCGGGACGGAGCATGGCGTCAAGCTCGCGCAGCTCCAAGCGGGGGCGTACAAGGATATCATGATGCTTGGGCAGTACCTTGATCTGCCTACGCCTGCGCTCAAGGAACGGGCCGGTGCGGCGGTCAAGGGGGTGGTGGCGCGAGGAAAGGGAGCAGGAGACGACGCGACGAGCCAAGCCGAGGCAGAGCGGATGGCCGAGGTGTTGCTCAGGATCGTCAGGACAAGGTGAGCTCTTTGCCGTCGTTGCGGGTAATGAGGAACGATGCTGATGCTCAGGAACGACACGTCCGACTTCCTCGTCCAGCAGGTCGGTGCGTTGTCCAAGGCGAGAATGGACAGACACGCGGGTACGCTGTAGGCCCACACGGATGTCAGGGGGTGATGGGGTGTCTTGATCTGATCAGTCTCGATCTGTCTCGATCCACGGGTGGTTTTTGGGCTTTATGTGTAGACCCGTGTTCATATCTCGTCTGTACTACATGCAAATTTGCTGCGGTGAATCAAGCTTTCATGATCAGCTTCGCCGCATGAGCGCGTGCCTGAGTTCCGCTTCCTGATGGCCGACGTTTAGGGCTGAGTCTCAGCACGGCAGGGCATGCTCAGTAGCAAGGCCACCTATGATACTCTACGACCAAGGCGGATTGCTGACGGAGTGCAGCCATGCGAAGGCGGCGATGACAAATCCTGCATTTCCCCACTTTCCCCAATCTGAATGGCTTGATCCTGCTCAGCGCATACGCCGGAGCTCCGAGGCCACCCTACTTGCGACATAGTTCAGAGCTACTCGAGCACATTGCACGGAGAAAATAAATGCACAGAAGGAACGCGTGAGCGAGGGGTACTCGTTACATATTATCTTTTGATCTGTCTATCCAAAAATCTATCTACCATCCTCTATTGACCCGGGAAGTGAGGAGCATTAAGGAAGAGACCCATGGTAACACCAGCGAGGGTACCGGCGATGGGGATGGTGGCAATCCACGAGACTAAACAGTCAGCAAGGCACGTTAGACAAGCAAGCAGCCACAAAAGAAGACTTACTCATCAAAAGACCGACTCGGTGGAAGTTGACAGCCTTCAAGCTGCCGTTGCAAAGACCGACACCGACGGTGGCACCGGTGATGCACATGGAGGTGGAGACGGGGAGGGAGTACTGGGAGAAGACAAGGACGGTGATGGCGGCACCCATCTCCATGGAGCAACCGCGACTTGGGCTGTGGTAGGTGATCTTGTTGCCCATGACTGCCTAGTCAGCAATGATTCCACGTGGATACAATGAAAGACAGACTCACCCTTCATGATGTTGTAACCGTAGGTGATGAGACCGAGCGAGATGGTGGCAGAAAGGACGGCGAGCTGCCAGATGGGGACCTCGGCTTTGGCAGCTTGGGCGCTTCCAGTGGACCAGGCGGCGTAGATGACCGCCCAGGGGCCGACTGAGTTTCCGATGTCGTTGGCACCGTGAGCAAAGGAGGCGGTGCAGGCGGTCAAGATCTGGACGAAGGAGTAAAGGTGCTCGACCTCGTTGGGGTACTTGTGGGCGTGCTCGTAGACCCGCTCCATACGGTCGCCTTCCGGGGTACCGTGGACACCGGACTGGGCGGCGTGGATGTCGTAGTAGAGACCGTAGGTGAACATGCAGACGATCTGAGCGGGGAGACGCTTGAAGATGATCTTAATGTTGTTGATCTCGTAGATGGCACCGGCTCCCATGGGGTTCTCGTGGAGGGTGCGCATTGCCCATCCCAGAGGACCCCTGTTCTTGCGGAGCTTGGCGTGGAACCGCTCCTCGCCCTGAGCCATGAGCTGCTGGTAGTTGAGCTGGGGGTTGTCGAGGGCGGAGAGACCGGCGGGCGCCTGAGGCTTGCGCTGACGGGGCTGCTCGTGACCGTGGACGTCCTTCTCGTAGATGGGCTCCTCACCCTCGACGGAACCGCTGGCAGAGGAGGGGAGGGTAGGGAGGTTGTTGTGCTTGTCGGCGGGGGAGGTCTCCTCGACGTCAAGGTCGGCGTCGTGCTGGATGACGGCGTAGTTGGGGACCTTGGCGAACTCGGCGCCCTCTGGTGCGGGACGGAGGAAGAGCATAGGACCGTAGACGAATTGGTACCACTTGAGAGTGTGGTCCTTCTTGACGACGACCGCGTGGACGTAGGGGACGAAGAAGAGGGCCGAAAGGAGCGCGACTCCGCCACCAGTGCCCATGACGACACCGACGACGAACTCGGCGGGCTTCTTGTTGAGACCGAGGTTGGGGGAACCCTTGTAAACGATGGACAAGGTGCAGATGGTACCGGCGATGAGGAAGAAGAAGGGGGAGGTCCAGACGGCCCACGGGACGGGGTTGCCGCGCATGTGGACGACGACCTTGATGAGCATGAAGATGGCGGCACCGAAACCGGCGGCGATGGCGGGGGCCATACCGAGACCGGCAAAGATGGCACCGAGACCCTTGCCATCGTTCCAGCCCCACTGGACGTTGGCAGCGCCGGCAGTGGCAATACCGACACCGGCGACGGCCGAGACGAGGGAGTAGGTGGACGAGACGTGGGCAGAGTGGCGCGTGCACCACATCACCCAGGTGGAGGCACCAGCGAGGGCGCAAGTGAAGGCGAGCATCTGGACACCGGCGTCGTTGCGGAAGGCGCCGTTGGGGATGATACCGTTCTTGATGGTGTCACTGTAGCAGGTCAGCTGTATCCATCTTCCAAGTCCAAGGTCATTCAAAAGGAACGTACGCAGTACGCGCTCCGACCGTTATGGCGCCGAGCATCTCAAAGATAGTACCAAAGATCATGGCTTGACGGTAGGAGAGGGAGCGGGAGGATACACTGGTCGCCCAGGCGTTGGCAACATCGTCTAGACAGGATCAGCTCGAGCTCTCATTCACAAATCGGCACGCGACCACTCACTGGCACCGTTGTTGTAGGCGTCAAGGAGTGCGAAGAAGGTGCCGATGGCGAAAACGTAGGTGAACTTGTCGAGAACCATGGTGAGGAAGGGGGATGGAGGGAGTGAGAGGGATCTTTTCTCTCTGTCTCTGGGGCGCACCGCTCCCTCTATATACCGGCGCCAGCAATGGACCCGGTCTCAACTTTTCATGTGCCACCTTTCTTTTCTATTACCGTACCCGCGTGTCGGTGGGAAAGGCTTGGCAAGGGAGAGATCGCCCTCAGGAATGGTGACGGCATCATGCGTTGCGTCTTCTCATTGGCTGTACCTGAATGCACGTTTCATCTGAATCCAACACGTTCGTGCGCGTCGAGGCACGTCCTCATTCGGTCCACACAACACATTGCGCCGAAGTATCCGGTCAAAGCCAAGCTTCCATGGCATAGCTAATAATAGAGATGAGCAGTCCAGTAGCAAACCTTCTTTCGAATTGTGTATCCGGATCACTGGCAGCACAAGGTCTGCGCGGAGAAAGAGTGGTTCAGCAAGTCAAACGTGCTCTCGCATCCTTCGACGGTCATCACGTTCCCTCCTCTGCTCAGTTATCCCATGTCAGCGAGGACCTCCGCAGAATCTAGCTTACCTACTGCTTACATACCCCCTGACCGCGCAAGGTGGTCTTCGGCTGAAAATGACCCAGTGCTACCACTCAAATGAGCTCGGGCGCTGCCTTCCGCTGGAGGGGCGTCCTATTGATACTGGCTTCTGGTCGCTGTACGCAAGGCAATCGCCTCCGCTGATAGTACTGATAGTCTGACGGGTAGCACGGCCCCTCACCTTTGAGCGGGCGCGCTCCGCTGCTCTGTGGACGGTCACAAAAACGCTCACGACCACGGTCGCTGGTGTTGACCGACCGGATCATATTGGTGCCTCATGCCAGGAAGAGTAGGACGCTCCTCGTATGATCCTGCGCGTCTTACAGCGACCAGCTAAACGCGTGTGCGCGCGCGTATACGACGCCATGCTGATCGAGTCACTTGCCACTGAGCATCGCTATTGCTAAGCCAGTCAGACATCCTCTTCGGCTCGGATGTCGGCGAGCGGGGACACTCCGAGCCAGACTCATCATCGTGACCCGCGGGTGTTCAACGTTCAACCTCTGGCCTCTGCGCACCATGGTGTAGCAGCTGCAGCTTGTACAGATTTGCTCCATTACGTTAGGCGATACCGCTGACGTCACGGTGCGCTTGGTCAGATGTGCATCGATCGTCTAATCCTCAATCTTACCATCATCCCGTAACTATCCAGCGATCCAACCTCAACAATACCGATATGGCTCGCGGCAGCAAAGCATCAGCGGAGTCCGTCTCTCCCTCGACGGGCGACAAGAGGAAACGGGGGAGCAAAGCGGAAGAGCACGACGAGAAGTCGAAAGAAGAGGGCCAGGAGGAACAGTCCAGCGGCGCCAAAGATGATGCTGAGGAGGAGGAAGCAGGGGATGGTAAGCCTCGACAAGGCTTCCTTTGAGCTCAGCTGATCTAATCTAGAGCCAAAAACAAAAGCTGCCAAGACAGAGACATCCTCCCCCCTCGATTGGCTACTCAGCGATGATGCCTTCAACATGGCCAATCCCGAGATACCGCAAGGTCACGGTGAAGTGGACTGGGCAGATGGTCCTCACAAAAATAGTCCCCCGCCCGAGAGCGCCGGGAAGGGCACCACCGACAATAAAGAGAGCAAGGCTCAGGATGAGATCCTCCGCTATCCCCAATCCGCCCTCACGCCTTTCCAAAACCTCGTCGCTGCTTGTCTCCTCAGCAAGCCGTTCTCCCACCGGCTCGGTCTCCGGACCATCCAGACCCTACTCAACCCTCCTTTCGGTATACGGACGGTCGCCGATCTGGACGAAGCCGGGTATGAGGGACGGCGGAAGGTCATGTGGGAGGCGAGAACGCAACACAAGGAGAAGACGGCGGCGCAGCTGGGCGATCTGGTCGATGGCGTCAAGGAGCTGTGCGGCGGGGAGGGGGATGCCGATGAGGATCTGTCAGAGCTGAAGGGCCTCAAGGCGGAGTTGGAGGGATTGGAAGCAGAGGCAGCCCAGGGAAAGGTCAAGGAGACCTTGACCAAGATCAAGGGGATCGGACCGGGAGTGGTGGGAATCTTTCTCAGGCGGATACAGGGAGACTGGAAGGAGGTGTTTCCTTATGCGGACGACCGGTCTCTTGCGGCAGCGGTGCAGTTTGGGCTTCTGAAGGAGGGCGAAGGAGCGCAGGTGCTGGCGGACCAGGTGGGGAGTGATCGGGCAAAGTTCGTGCGTCTGCTGGACACGTTGATCGGGCTGGATCTGGAGAAGGTACTGGATGACGCAGTGAAGAAGGCCGGCGCAGATAAGTAGCACTAGGAGCAGTAGGTAGCGCACCTGATGCAAGCACGCTCTGGAGATGGTAGTATTACGTACCTCGCCTGATTTACATCCGCGGATATCCGCGGGTCAGTTGACAATCCCGCTCTCCGCGATAAGATCGCGCATTCCTTTGCTTTTATACATCTATCTACATCGATAACACCATGGCTGAGATTCGCGCGAGGACCAGTTGCGAGCCTTGGTGAGCACCCAGCTCCGAGCATGAGAAGAACCAGGCTGATAGGTCAGTCGGAAGCGCAAAATCAAGTGCGATGCGGGATTGGTATGTCCCCTTCAACCTTCCACTCAGATCCACACTCACCTTGCAGCCTTGCTCTTCTTGTACCCTTCGAAACAAACAGCAGGATTGCTTCTTCCAGGGCGAGCGTGATGTGCCAGGTCCTCATCTCGAGCATCGCTCGGCGCCCGCGACTACGCTCGACTCACGAGTCAAGAAGCGGAGGTTCTCCCCCGATCCCCTCCCCCAGCCTTTCAGTACGACCCCGGCGGACATCAGGGCGATGAAAGCGTCAGTGCGGCAGCTACAGGCCAATATCGAGGCGCTAGAGACAAAGCTGGAGGTGAAGGTGGCCGAGACGGACGATCCGCAAGAGAGAGCGAACTGGAACAGGATACGGGTGATCATACCGGACAAGGCGGTAGTGGAAGTACTATTGGAGTACCTATTGCAGGAGGTACGTTTCTTCATGAGCTTGGCTGATATCAGTGCGATTGGCTATGGCAATGTCGGGATATTGTTGCCCTATGGCAGACCACCATTGCGCGCAAAGGCGTATCCTCCTCGCTCGCCGGCCTACTCTGCATGTCGCTCGCCATCCCATGCCTCTTCCTCGGACCTTACCAAACCCCCTTCTACCGACTACCTATCGATACGGCCAAAGTCCACCCCATCCTCTTCGAGGCTGCTCGAAGCTTCACGTCCAACGCGAGGACCCTCGAAGAGCTCGAGCTGCTCGAGGTGCTCACCACCTACTCGGTCTTTGTCGGCCGGCAAGATCAGGTGACTGGGGTGCTGATGTCCGCGATGGACATTATCACACGTGATGGATGGCTGGATGAGAACAGTCAGACCTGGCAAGATCTGACTGGAGAAGGGAGATTGCGGGCTAGGAAGGTCCTATCCGAGATTGTTGCAGCTTACAAGTGAGTCATCATCGGGACGTCTCGCTGACTGTAGATGGAGTCGTCTCATGTCACCCGATCTTCCTCGTAACCTGCGCATCAACCTCTGCCGCCCCAGTCCCCCTATCGGCACACTACAGGCCCCTATCAAACTCGCACTCCCGGGGCAAGTGGACCTCCCACTTCGCCTTTTCCGCCTCCGGTCCGAGGAGGAATTTCACCTCAATACAGTCTTTCGCGATACCATGCTAGACTTCAGCGACGTCCTCCTCCGGGTCCGTCAGCTCCTGGAGCTATCTGCGAGCAATGCTCCCGCGGAAGAGACCCTCATGCAGGCGGGACGGTTGCAGCAGGAGCTACAGGATTGGCGGCAGGTCAGGGTGCCGAATGCTGGTCTCAGGCTGCTGGGCGTATCGGATGTCGACTTTGACTCGCCGGCAGCCTGTCATCGGATCGCTCGCGGTCTCACCCTACATCATGCCATCGGGTGCGCCGAAGGGATCGTCACACGTCATTGGTTGACGGTTGGGAGGCAAGGATCACCTCTACAGCAACACCTCCACGACGAGTGTCTACACAACGCTCAGCGGTCGTTCGACAGTATACCCCTGGTCCGAGCCATGCTCGCTACCCGTCATGCCCCCTTCGTCGCCACCTTTATCATCTGCGGTCTCTTCAATGCGGCGACTTGCTTCGCGATCCCCCTCCTCCGCGCCGTACACTCTATGCCGGTCAGCAACACCGAGGAGACCATCAAAAGTCTCCCAGAGTGGCCAGAGGCGCTGCTGACGGGGTACGCCCCGAAAGCAAGTCCGGCCTCGGCCAACTCTCCGCCGACGCACTATCCAGAGGAGGACATCAAGCGGTACGCCAACAACATCCTCGTCGTGCTCGACATGCTCTCGGTGCTCAACGCTCTACCGTGCGGAAGACTCGCGCAGGATCGTCTCGAACGGCTCGTTCAGCAGTACGACTTGCGCAGCGCACCGCGGCGGCATGAGGAGATGAACGGTGCGGCGGGCTGGCAGCCTGATCCCTTCCAGCCATGGACCGCCCCGGGAATCAACAGCGTCAATACGGTCGCACAGAGCTTGAATGGCGGAAACACAGGGGATGGGTGGCCGATGGCGTTGCCGGAAGCTCTCGACCCGTTCCCGGGAATGTGGGATGAGCTGCTCCAGCTCGATCCTTGTATCTGGGAGGATCTATTGAAGGGGCCGGTCAGCTGAGCTATGAGGATTTCGGGAACTTGTGATATATTGTATATGGTAGCAGCTGGACGATGGCTCTTCATCAAAGGATAAATGTGATCACGTGAGGCTTCGGAGGCCAGCTCCTCATACTCTGCATAACATAGTGTCTGTCCACCACCCTCCATCCTGCCGATGTCATGATTGATTCGGGCCAAGCAAGCAGATTGAGGAAGGGAAGGACTCCGAGTCGCGGTGTGAAGGGTCTGCAGTGATCAGCTTGCTCGGCTCACATAGGTAGAGATCAGACTCACCTGTTGGCGATCCTACACCTTGGAATAACAGCTAAAGTCACTGGTATGGATCGCTGCGTTCTCCATGATCGTGCGATAGCTGTACTCCGCGCAGTCCCGATGCGTCGCAACGCTGAAGTCCTTACTGGAGCGCACAAGGGTCCCCTTGCTTGGTCCATCCGACCCGATGCCCGCCCGATGGACGATCCAGTCGATATCCATCGCCTCTGTCGCCAGATACTCCATCACCGCCTCGTTGTCCTGATGCTGTCCATCAAACCCCCTGGCTAAAGTGTACCGCAGCAGCCATAGGATGGGGGACAGAGAGCCCTGATAAGGCCGACTAAGTCCCCCAGCCTGATATAGGAACCGTCTGACGCCGTGTTTCCGCATGGAGGGGACCAGCTTCTTGACGAAGGTAGTGCAGATCTTGTTGTCCCGCTGCAGGTTCTTGTCGCCCAGCATCGATACGACATAGTCGACACCCTGGACCAGGGCGTCGGTGTCGATGGGGTCTGCGATGGAGCCTTGGACGACTTGGAGGTTGGGTGAGGGGGAGGGTAGCTTGCCGGGGGATCTGACGAGGGCGCGCACAGTGTGGCCATCACCGAGAGCTTGGGCAACAAAGTGTTTGCCGGTGCCGCCGGTAGCGCCAAGGACGAGGAATGTGTAGCGCTGCGACATAGTGGGATTGCGGAGTAGTGGTCGAAGAAGAGGAAGGGAGGGAGGCGCGACATGATACTCCCGTGGTAGATATAGCTGCTTATATGGCCAGAATCAGGCAGCAGGACGAGGGCCGCACGAGGAATGCCATCCATGACCGAGGCGTCGATACCCGAGGCCCGAAGTCCGAGGCCGAATAAGGCGGGCACAACGCGGCGCGGCGGTCTGCCTGCTCCATGCACGCAGAGGAGCGCTTCCGAGACACCGTCTAAGGCACGAGAAGGACTTGAAGGATAACGACATGGAAGGATCGAGGGATGCATAACATTAGGCTAGTCGGTGTCCAGCAGGTCAAACCAGCCATCCCTTGTACTCCACGCGATTTGTGACATTTCCTTCCCCATCCCTGAGCCCCACCCCACAGATAGCTCCTCCGTCAGTCTCCGAGTGCGCTGGTAAGCCGTTGCTAGGTCCCGCTGCATCTGGCCATTGCACAACGAAAGTGTCCACGAACGGCCTAAGAATTTTGCCGGAGAGCGAGAGCGACTTGACGCGGGCGAAGGACTCCACGTAGATGATCTTGGTATATCTCAAGCCTAGGATCTGAGCTGATCAGCTTGGTCAGACGACAGTGAGAGCCTCAAAGCCGCTATCCCCCCTCCCGGCCCGGCAGCGGACCAAGGAGACGAGTCCACCAATACAAGAGAGCGATACCTGAAACTCACTCTCCGTATCCACGAGACAGCTACCACCAGCACGCATGTACCTGGTCCGTTGACGAGCAGTACGTCCACCCAGGGACTGGCCGGCCGAGACAGCAGGGGCTGCAGGAAGAACAGGCGAAAGGCTACCCAGAGGGTCTTGAGGGAGGTCAAAACGGTCGATAGCAGTGGTTGAGCGACACGTCGCGCGCGAGGTAGCTGAACGAGATGGTAGGACTATACAATCAGCTAGATGCTCTATGTCTGGATTGGGGGACTACGGTCTTCTCGTTCTCGGAACATCTGGATTCGTCGGAGCGAGTATAAGCGGGATGGCGCGATGCTTACCTCTGTGGACGACCCTTTCGCTATTTCTAGATCTCGTACAATCTTGAGAGACATATCGTCACCAGGGCAGTATACGTATGTGCGGGGCGTGTACCGCTCAAAGTCGAGTCCTGATAACAAGGTGCGCATCTCGGAGGTGTGACCGCCTGCAAATATCAGCCTATGTTTAGGATCGGGTGCGAAAGATCATGGAGAGGCTGATGAATGGTAGAGACCTACCAGAACCCAGGAAGATACCCAGCGAGCACTTCTCGCCATCCTTGCGCCGCGATGCTGGCTTCGAGGAGTCTGGGAGGACGAGGTAGACTCGCAAGGCCAAGAGCAAAGGCAAGGCGACGGATAGCGCGATTAGCAGTAAAGCGGCTGTCATGGCGCTCAGGGCAGATAAATGGCGAGTACACGGCGCTCAGGGGTCATGTTGACTTCATGTTGGTATGTGCGAGGCTATGTGATGTGCTCAAAGTATCGGCGAGCTGCCGCAGCAAAGGCTTTCTGTCAAGGTGTTGCAACGCCTAAGGAATGTGGAGCAGAATCGCAATCGCGTCATCGGTCGCCAGAACGTGAACAAAGACAACATACAAAGCAGGCGTTGTACTCATCACTGCTCAGACTGAAATCTAAACCTACCCCTATTCGGTAGAGAGAAGATGGCGGTCGTACTTAGATCGACATCTGACCTCGTCTATCTGCCCGATCACGGCTTTGTCGGGGAAGAAGGCGGTAAGCACCATCTTACTCCTGGCCCAGAGACACGCTGACTTTCAGCTCTTCGTATTCTCGCAAAGGTTAATCGTCAGATCCGCCGGCTCGATGTCTCACACAACCTCCTCGGCTCCGAGGGCACTCTTGTCCTCATGCAAGGGCTCAATTCTCTTCGCCATCAATACTCGACCTCGGACCTCGGCTTATGGGGTCTGACGGAGATCAATCTGGGGCACAATGGGATCACGGATTCGGTGGTGGATGTGATCCTGGGGTATGCCAAGAAGGATGTAATGATGCGAAAAGTGCAGCTCCAGGGGAATCGGATCGAGGTGGGCCGTCAGATTTACGTAGCTCGGCAGTTCGGCTGACATGGCAGCTCCGGGAAAACCTCGACTCTATCCTGTACTGCCTCAACGCGTCTCAGCTAGAGTCACTGTCCCTTACCGACAATAGGCGGCTCCTCGACAAATCCATCATCCGGCTCTTCGACTCCCTCTCCACCCCTCACCTCAACGAGCTCCATCTGTCCATCTGCAACCTAGGTCCAGAGATCTCTCCGTCCATCATCAGCTACCTTACCTCGCCACGCTCGCGCTACCTGGAGCTGCTCGGTCTCAACGGTAATCGGCTCGGCCTCGAGGCGGTACGCAACCTCATCAATACCCTAGAACGAGGCAATTTCACGATCCTCAATCTCGGCCTATTCGCTAGCAGCTCGGCGTCGGATGCAGCGCATCATGAGGAGGAAGACGGGGTGGAAGCCGTGCAGCCCAGTGCGGAGGAGATGGAGATGCGGGCAGGGGAGAAGCGGAGGGAGGAGCGGCAACTCGGACAAGAGACAGCGCGTATCCCCCGGCTGCTCGAGCGGAATCGCCTTCTGACTCAGCGGGTCGAGGCGGCTGCTCTCCGGTGTCTACCCTGCGCGCGGATACTACTCAACGCAAAGTCGCCTTCGGATATCGACACCGCTCAGCGAGCCATTGAATCCATATCGCTCAAAACACATACCCCCTATTTCCGGCTCCTTGACCTACCCCCCGAGGTCATCTATCTCATCGTCAGGCATACCAGCGGGGATGCAGCGGCATTATCAGACGCGCAATTCACTCGGTTACGGAAGGACGCCGAAGGGAATGAGGGGCTCGCCAGGGCAATACGTCGCAGGCGGAGCAAGGCGGAGGCGTGGAAGGTCGACCGGACGGGTCTGGGGATGGCGGAGATGCAGCTGCGGGACGACTGGCTGTACTGGGGCAAATGGGATAGGTGGGAGTGTGATGTGCTGGCGCAGCCGGGGCCGGCGGTAGACAGCGAAGAATGAGGGCCGTACATGCTTGTCACCTGTATCTTAAAATGCGAGAATCCCTCAGCCACATTGGAAGAACCGCTTCTGCTTCTGCTGCTAACTGATATGTCGAGTGCGGCTGTGGCCGCGCAGCACTTCGGTCATCATATACGATCGAGGGCTGCCGGATGTACGAGCGGCGCGTCAGTGGATGTATCTCTTCCCCGAAAGTCGACCTTCTTCGGACCAGGGATATTGCCCAACGCCGGGCTCTGCAGATTGACGGCAGGGCTATGCTATCACCGCTTGTAGAAGCATCCGTGGTTTGCCGCGAACCCGCTAGCGCAAGCTCTGCACCGGTCCGCCTCCTCATTCCGCAAAGGCACGACACCGGATCGGGTTCGTCCGGTTCCTAGAATAGAAGCTTGACGTAAAGACGAGTCTCCCCCACTCTCCCCGCCCCTCTCCGCTGGACAGCCACACATCTGCCGAGTGAGATTTAAGCCGGCCGGCCGGACTTGACGTCATGTTTGAGGCGGAGAACCATAGCAGTCGGAAGCGCCCATGTGACGAAGCCCCGCACATGGGACGCGACAGGCTGTCAGGTACGTGTTGATGCGGTATGTGGCGATGCCTTGGCGGTGCCGCACCGGCCCGAGCGCCGCATGCAAGCGGCACCAGCGTAGTCCCGCATCTGGACCCAGAAGTATAAGAAGGGGGGAGACGGCCCACAAGACTTGACAGCCACTCCACTTCCAAGCGACTTACACTTGCTCAACTCTGACCAACGCACACCACACCATCCCTCCACGTTATACTCAAGATGCTCGCCCAACTCTTCGCTCTCCTTCCCCTTCTGGCCTTGGTCTCTGCCACTCCCATCCACAAGCGTGACGGCACACTCATCCGTTCTGGCCGAGATGGGCAGTGTCTTGCTCTCGAGGGCTTGCCTGGCGTCCAGCGCTACGGCCTCGTCAAGAACGGAACGCCAGTCATCACTCGGGACTGCCTAGGCGCCAACACCTGGTTCATCAACCGAGGCAGCGGCTCCATTACCATCCCGGGCACCAACTTTGCTCTTGACATTGGTCTGAACCCAGGCAACAATGGTGCCCTCAAGGTAAGTCTAGTCACCCTACCATATCTTGGTTCTAGCTCACGCCTTTAGGTATGGGAATCCTACCCTGGCTCCCCGCAGCAGACCTGGTATCTCACCGATGACAACCGGATCGCCCAGACTGGCGGCAACCAGTGTCTCGACGAGGGGGACAACGGTGTCCAGACCTACCAATGCACCACCGGTAACACCAACCAGGGTGAGCCTTGTTTGCTCGACAGACCGGGAACGAAGCTGATCCATCAGTCTGGTACATTGACGACAACTCTTCTGCACCTACCACCACCGTCTCGCCCACTACCAGCAGCGCCGCGCCCTCCAGCACCGCGGCGCCATCTGGCAACCCCTTCCGCATCGTCTTTGGCAACGACCAGTGCCTGCTCACCACCGGTTCTGACACCCCGGACAATGGCACCCCCGTCGTGGTCGCTCCCTGCTCGAGCTACGGCGCCAAGTACTTTACTCGGGTCGGCAACCAGCTCCAGCTGAGCGGCACCAACTACTGCCTCGACGCTGGCACCAACCCCCACGATGGTGTCGCGATGAAGCTCTGGCAGTGTGGCAACTACCCTCAGCAGCAGTTCATCCAGCAAGGACCCCTCTTAGTCACAGCCAGTAAGCCTTTATCTCCTTCATACTCTCAGAGTGGCTCTGACAAACAGATGAGGAGTGCCTCGACGTCAAGGCTGACGAGCCTTCGGTCCTCCAGACCTGGCACTGCTCGGCTCAGGACCCGCAGCAGGCTTTCACGTTCGCTTAGGCCTAGGTCGGGACTAGGAGTAGCCCTCTGGTGGTGCGAGCCATGGACACTATCAGTATAATATCTTGTAGCTCGGACAGTCAAATCGTATAGTCGCCTCGAGCGTGGATGATGTATCAATTGCCCTCTAGTCCACTGTTGAATCCATCTCAAGTGACTTAGTAGGGAGGCTTCGTGAGTAGCTACATCAGAAGATAAGCAGATAGCTCTCCTGTCGCAGCATGCAAGCCCATACTCAGTATCCAGCCCAGATGCACTAAGGTCTGGCTACCGCTTCCGACGTCCCACCTCATTCCCCATACTCTCCCTCCCGCGCTTCCCACCTTGACCACCTTGTCTCTCCCGGCCCTCATTTCCCCGGCCTCGATCTCCTCTTCCGCTATCCCATCCCCCAGATCCCGCTCTTCTATCTTCACCCTCATCTGCCGCTCTTCCTGGCTTGAACGCAATCTCTTTTCGTTTCCCCACTTCCTGTGCCCTTTTGGCCGCATCCTGTTTGGCTTTCTGCTGAGCGGCGGTTGCTGCTGGGCCGTACAGCGGTATTTCGCTTTCGAGGTTGCGTCGAGTAAGCCATCCAGCAGAGGGGAACTGGGTACCGTGCTCGGATATTTGGACGAAGTCGACCTGGAGAATCAGCATGCGTCATATTCGGACAGCAGTGGTAAAATGTACCAGCTTGGAATAGATGTAAGGATTTGCGAATGCAGCAGATGACAGCAAGCGTGTGTTGATATGCTCCCCTTTCTCGTATTTGAGCTTGAGAAAGTTGGAGACTTTCGCCTGGCGAGATCAGCTTGATGACAATGATGATGCGAAGGTCACTACTCACCTTTAAGGCATCATCACACTCCTCAGGATCCACCTCGGCTGGTATTCCCCAATTTTCCAGCCCCGGGATCTCATCTGGCCGAGAGACCCTCCGGAACACCTCCTCATCTGACCATCCCGGATATCCCGGCCAGCCATCCTCCTCGCCTGCTTCCTCGGCGGTCGTGACCGGGTCCGAAGCGAGGACTGATGCGGGTAAGGACGATTGAGCGGTGTGCGTCAAATTTTGAGGAAGGTCGAGGCTCGGAGCTGGAGCTTCTGACTTGTCCAATGATTCGGACGTCCGCCGGCGCTTTGCCGATGTACCGGTGGGTATTGTAGGCGAGGGAGCAGGGTGGACGACAGCGGGTGACCCGCTCGGTTTGGGCAATTTGCGTATACCCGATGGCGTCCTTCGAGGTGGCTTTACTTCTATTGTCAGCGAAGAGTTTCCCAGGTGTATGAGTCTGCTCACCTGTCGATGGGCCAGCTTCCGCTTGACGTGTGATTGGCTTGTATACCGGCCGCGAAATTCAAAAACGTTGAGAATGATTTTGGCGTGATTGATATTTGAATCATTTGGCGAGGAAGCGATATTGTTGGGATGGAAGGGGGCATGGGGTGATCCTTCGCTCACTCACGAGAAAGAGGGGGAAGACTTACAGGTTGCGAGACCTGCTCCCCCCTCTTTGTGGAGGGAGGAGGGGAAGGGGTGGGAGAAGCAGCGTAATTGACAAGGCCTGGCATCGTCAGCGAGGGTACCCGCCATGTTTCTTCTGGATTCCATCCGGCGAGCGCTCACCTTGCATCGCTGTGTATCCTCTGATAGGGATGCACCTTTAGCTTATGACGATGCTGGATGAAGGCGAAGGAGAAGAGGAACCCAAGCAAGCGGCGGTTTGCTGTGATCAGACGGAGTTCCTCCGATAACCGCTCGCACGAATCACGGCACCGCCGAGCTTAAGCGATGATGGCAGTATGATGGCGAGGAAGACCTCAACGATGGCGACAAGAGGTATCGAGGTAGCATCAACACCATAAGGTCCACTGACAGTACGAGCGGATCCTCCAGGCAGCACAGGACAGATCAGGATCGCCGCCACAATGTCCAAGGACACCCTCTCTACATCTCAGGCCTACCCAGAGCCACCAACGAAAAAGCGGAATGACCTCCTTATCGAGCTCATCGCTGGCAGTGTTGGAGGCGCGACGCAGGTATTGGTTGGCCAAGTGAGTCAAGTGACCAATCTTAGGCAGGGAGAGAAGCTGATTATGTAGCCATTAGATACGCTCAAGACGGTACGACAGCTGTCCCTGTGGGAGTCCGGAGCTGATCAGGCCAGAGAGCACAGACAGCGCCAAAAGGGCAGTTCAAGAATACGCTCGACATCTTTCAGACGACTGTAAGGAGGGAAGGATTCCTTGCTCTATACAAGGGTAGGTCCTGCTCCTCTGTCGAGTCGGCGTAGAGCTCAAGCTGATACCGCAGGAATGGTCAGTCCGCTTCTTCTCGATACGACTGACTGGAGCTGAAGGCGCTAGGCCTCGCCGCTACTGGGTATAGCAGCAGTCAACTCACTCCTCTTCACCGCATACGGTGCTTCGCGTCGACTGGTATCGCCCTACCCAGACCTGTCGATCAAGCAGGTGTCGTTAGCGGGCTCCATGGCCGGCGCTGCCAACGCCATCTTGGCCTCACCTGTCAGTCTCCACCCAAGCGCCGGATGCGCTCAGCTGATGTCCAGGTCGAGATGTTCAAGATCCGTATGCAAGGCCAGTACGGAGGTGCAGGCGATAAGAAACTATCTGGGGTATTCAAGGATATGTGGCGAGATTACGGTTTCAGGCATGGGATCATGCGGGGTTATTGGGTACGTGCTGTTCCTCCGCAGCCAGTCTGTTCTTGTGCAACTGAGTTAGCGCTTATATCTCAGATCACTGTAGTAAGGGAGGTACCGGCGTATGCTGGATTCTATGCTGGTCCGTTCTCCATATTAACCCTAGTGTGAGTTACAAATTGACGATCAGGATACGAAACGACCAAGCGGTTCTTTCAATCTCGCTCGTCTGACCCTGCCGCTCAGCTGCCCGTCTGGTCGCTAATGACCTCTGGCGGTGTCGGCGGTATCTGCTACTGGCTCGCTTGTTACCCGCTGGACGTGGTCAAGTCGAGGGTACAGCTGGCGGACCGGCCACCGGTCGGCGGCGGATGGCTGAGTGGCGGGTACATTACGCGGGAATTGGGCGCCATCGTGCGGGAAGGCGGAATGTGAGTCTCTCTTGAGATTAAGGTCGATGTCTCGCTGAGACCACTAGACGAGCGTTGTTCAGAGGCTTGGCACCGAGTTTGATCCGAGCTGTACCTGCTGCTGCTTCGACTTTCGTTGCTTTCGAATTGACACGAGGTGAGTCATGAACCTTACCACGAGATCTACTCAGCTGATCCCATAGACTTTATCATCAACCATCATTTGATTTAGCAGACATGCATGGTCTCATTCGTTTCCTTGAGATCTGTGCGGTCCTCGATGCTGGTCACTGACGCTGTACTGACTTCCGATGACTCACAAATCTAAAATTCCCAGTATGCTACTGCTATGATGGCACAGAGGGTTGCACCTGTGGCCCATCCCGATATACAATCCATCACGACATGAAATGACACTCAAATTACTCTAGCAAAAAAATCCCGGAACATAGCCGCAAACGATCGCCAGATTCCGCCAGCGAGCACCTTCAGCACGACGTAGCTGCAACTGGGACTGAGTACTCATTTCTGACTGAGCAAGGGCTTCAGTGCGGTTGATAACAGCGAGCGCAATAACAGACATTCCCCTGCCTTACTTTTATACATATGCGACTCTACAGCCACCCTGAGACTTTCGCGCCAGATCGATGCGAAGTACTTGGTCATCAATCGAGTAGAGTCATGCCCTAGCCTGTGCTCTCCGGCTCGATGTGAGAAGCGTCAGCAAGGACGTAGAACAGAGCATCATTATGCAACAGAAATCCTTGATTGTCTACAATACCGCACAACGCCCACCATTGCTTGATAGCTACACCACACCGAATCAACGCCACGATCAGACAGTATACTTGAACCAAGGGACATTCTCGCCATCGTCTTCCCTGTCTACCTTCTCCTCTGCAGTAAACTCTGTTCCATGCTCCGCCAACACCCTATCCTTGATTGTGTTCTGCCTGGCCAGGTAGAGCGTCATGATGCCCGCGAGGATGAAGGTCATCGCGCAGTAGGCCAAGCAGACGGCGTGGCCTTTGATGAAGCGCGGGCGATCTGTTGATGGATAGAGGAAGCTGCTAATGATACCTTTTCTAGATCAGCTTCATCTCGCAGTGCGAGCTGAAATGACACGTACCGCCAGCGTTACCCATCGAGATAACCATGGCTGTTCCGACGCCCTTCTTGAGAGATCCGCCCATGTTGTTGGCGGACCACGAGACGATAAGCGGGATGAGGGGATAGACACCCATCGCGGCGAGGAAGAGACCGGTATACTGAACGCCCACAATGTCCGAGGCGAGGAGCATGATGAAGCCGACAGCACCGAGGACAGCGAAGCCCATGACGAGTGGACCGCGGATGCGAAGCTTGTCCGACAGCCAGCCGGCGAAGATGGTACAGATGGCAGCGGCGACGTAAGGCGGAGTAGAGAGCTGTCTCATCAGCGCGAGGACAAGCCGAGAAGCGTGACACCAACTAACGAGTTGAGCGTTGGCCGCCGTGTAGCCCATGTTGCCAACCAAGGTCGGAGAGAATAGCGAAAAGCAGTACACAGGCATAAGAGATCCTTGATACATGATGCAGAACTGCCCAATTAGCGCAGCTTACTGTTTCAGCAGGATATCTATTCACGACCCAAATCTTCCAGTCGAGTAACGCATGCTTGGCGAATTTGTACTTGAACTCGTGGCTGCAGCCATCACGGTCTAGGGCGAGACGATCACTCATGTACTGCTTCTCGACCGGGGTGAGGAACTTGGCAGTATCGGGATAGTCGTATAAGATCCAAAAGGAGGCGATCGCGGCGAGGACGGTGATGATGCCTGTTCGTCAACACGCTGACACGCATGATTGTGTCAAAGGACATACCCTCAAGAATGAAGATCCAGCGCTGGCTATGTCAGTTCAACACCCTGCGACTCAAGTGCTTTGACTCACCCAGCCCTGCAAACCGGCAACTCCATCCATCAAGTTGATCAACCTGGCCAACAACCCTCCGAAAGCGCCGGCGATGGTGGCAGCTGAGAAGAAGAGGGCAATCCGGAAATTGATCTCGTACCGCCTGTACCACTGGGTAAGGAAGAATGAGACACCCGGGAAACTGAAGATCAGCGTACGCATCAACAAGCCGAGGGGGATCCGATGTCCCAAACCCACAGTCCAGCTTCGGTGACGCCGAGGAAGATACGGGCGACGAGAAGACCCTCGTAGTTCCGTACGATGCCCATGAGAGTCATGACTATCCCCCACGCGAGCATCATGACTGGGATCCACATGGACGGTCTACCCCATCAGCTGAATTCAGTAAGGATAATCAAGAGCTACTGACCGCCAAGCCTGCTTGTCAGCCACGCCACTGCGCTGCAGCCAACGAGACTCACCTTCATGACCATGTTACTAGGCACTTCGAATGTGACGTACATGGCGAAGAAGACTGCGAGACATGCCGAGTACTGGGTCGGGTTCAGACCCAGGTCGGCTGACAGACCAAACAGATTGGCATTACCGATGTTGGTCCTGTCGAGGAATGAGAGGAGATAGAGGAATGATAGCCAGGGCAGGAGGTGGAGGTCACTGAAGATCAGCCAGTGCCTCTGCGCGCGGGGGCCAGAGGTAGGCATACGTCTTGCGAAGAACGGCCTTCTCATTGACTCCCAATGCTTCGGCGTCTACCACAGGCTGGCGCGTAGACTTGAACGGGTCCGAGTGTACCGAGGGGTCGGCGCTATCGTGACGGGCCTCGACCATATGCTGTTCAGGCTTTGTCGCGGTCGACATTTCGAACGAGGTGCAAACGATTCACAAGAACAGAGCAGACTTCGCAGTGTGATCTTCAGCAGAAGGGGGTGAGGGGGCTCCAAGGGAGGGCCGGTATCGCTGTGAGTGTAATGAGTAAGCGAAGATCACTTGGCCGCGCCCTCTTCCGGTCAGCTGTTCAGACGAATCATATTCCGCCGTTCCACTGCCGTTCCGCCTCCTCATTGTCTTCCTCTCGCGATGCCCGGTGACATGACGCCGTTGGCTTCCTCTCGTGCTATGAGGCGGTGGCTGTAGGCGCCAATTGCTCCTTATCAGCTGTCGGCAATAGCAGCCGTTTGAACTCTAAGAGGAAGGCGGTTGCAGGAGGGCGGTAACGATAAGGCAGCTGATAAGGCCGATCTAGCCGCGATAAGCCGCGGTTAGGAATGTAGCTTTAGAACTGTAATAGGATATGATGGCTAAAGGGGTAGATGATTTTCATTACAAACTGCTAATCAAGACCCCTGTGACGTGATGGTCACTTCCTAATGAAAGTCGCTGATCTTGCGCCAAGAGCGGAAGAGAGGCCAAGGGAGATCAGATCACGATCAAGCACGTTCGTGCCAGCTGTTGCGAACCTCACCTGTAAAACTGCATGTAAGAACTCGGGCTTGCCTGTATGTGCAGCACATCCACCAACAACACCCACCTCTGAATACAGCGCCTCATCCCATGACCCTGCCTGCTCGTCTCGCCTCGACGTTGCGATACTACCTGCCACTAGGCTTCACGTCGTTCGGCGGACCCGGCGTCCATGTCATCATCCTTCGTGAGAAATTCGTCCATCGACTAAAGTGGGTCGATGAGAGGACCTTCCTCGACCTCTTCGCTCTGGGTAATGCCTTGCCGGGACCCGGATCCACCCAGTTGGCGTTCAGCATCGCCGTTGTCAAACACGGGGTCCTTCCCGGCCTGGTAGCCTTTCTATGCTGGTCCCTTCCTGGCGCGCTCGGCATGGCGGGCCTGGCTGCGGGTATCAGCAACATCCCAGCTGTCCTGCCTCCCATCGTACTCGCCCTTCTCTCCGGTCTCAACGCCGCGGCAGTCGGTCTGATCGCTCTAGCGGCGTACCAGCTCGGCACCGCGGCAGCCACGGACAAGGTCACGCTGGCCCTGGTCTGGCTCTCGGCGAGCTTTGGCATCTGCTATCACGCACCATGGATGTACCCATCGCTCATCGCGGCAGGCGGAGCAGTGACGCTTGTGTGGGACTTTCGCCGGCAGTGGATATACAGGCCGGCGAAGAGGGCATTCGGGAGGGAAAGGGCGCGAGACGAGCCAGCCGAAGCGGAAGGGATGGAGCTGCCGACACTGCCTCCTAGACTCGCCACGCCGGTGACTGCTCGACCGAGTCCGGCTCCCCTACCTGATACCTCACACTTTCCATCCCCACCGCCCTCACCCATCGTCCAGCCCGCAGCCATCGAGGAGGATTCACTCAAGTCCGATCTCACCTCCGGTCGACCTGCTTCCACTACCACTCATCGTCGATCCACAACCCACACCGATCCCGAGGTCCCTGCGGTGGTAGAAGCGCAGCGTCATGAAGACCTGCTACAGGTTGTCTCACCTCGGTCCGCTTTCGCCCTGATCGGCGGCTTTGTCCTGCTACTGGTGATCCCGCTCGCAGTACGAGGCGGTCTGGCCAATTCAGGCAAGACAGTACCTCGGGAGCTGGACGTGAGTGGTCACATATTAGGTGGTTGCAAGGCTGAGCGCTGATGTGCAGTTCTTTGCCAACATGTTACTAGCGGGTACGATCATCTTTGGCGGTGGACCCGTGGTCATTCCGCTTTTGCGAGACTACGCTGTTGTTCCAGGTCAGTCCCAAACCTTCTGGAGCAAGAGTACGAGCCGATATGAGCATGTGCTGATCGTGCAGGATGGGTCAGCTCTCGTGACTTCTTGCTCATCTTTGCGATTTTGTGAGTAGTTTAATAGCCACGAATAGCAGGCTCTGCTCGAGCTGACTCTTCAGGCAAGCCTTCCCCGGTCCCAACTTCAACTTTGCCGTCGCCCTAGGCTTCCTCGCTCTCCCCTTTTCCACCTCCTCCCGCATCCTTGGCGCATTCCTCGGATACATCGGCATCTTCTCACCCGGTATACTCCTCAAACTCGGTCTGCTCCCACTCTACTCTTCCTGGCGCGACAAGGCCATCGCTCGGTCGGTCATCCGAGGCCTGAACGCCTCGGCCGCGGGTTTGGTCTTTACGGCGGTATGGCAGCTGTTCCTCGTGGGATACATCTACTCTTCGGCGGATGGACAAGGGGGCGGCGGGACGCAGACTGTCAGTGGACCGTTGACAGCGGATCCGTTCTGGGCGGTGGTGGCTGCGGGGGCGTTTTTGAGTAACAGGAACTGGGGCTGTCCGGCTTGGGGAAGTATTGTTGGAGGCGGACTGGCGGGACTGGCTTGGTACGGTGTGCAGACCAGCTGATCGCGAAGCTCTTGCGTGAGGGACATTATGATATATTGGTAGACCTGGCCTCGTTTCCAACCGTTCACATTCATCCAGCTCAACGAAAAGCCGTCAGATAATAATTGCTAAGGGTACAAGAGCACATTGTCTGCGTTTACAAGCCGTACCCCCGCCTAATCGAACTCCAGGGTCCTGTCAGTATCGTAACTCTCCCTCGCCAGCTCCATGATCCTCAACCCATCCCTAGACTGCTTCGGGTCCACCACCAACGGCCCCTTGCCCCGCAGCGCCTTTGCCAGATCACGATAGTAGTCCGCCCCACTGCCCGTCTCGCTCTCCACTTTGCCTGTCCAGACATCCCCGCCCCACAGCTCCTTCTCCAATACCTGGTTCTCATTCACCTTGGTCTTGGTACTGAGAAGGCCCCACCTGTCTTCCTCTTCTACACCCAACCTCTCATCCCCTAGCTTCATCCCATTGGATCGCTGCTCCTCCTGCGGATCCTCCCCAAACTTGACGTACGACCCCTCTCGGCCGCGGACAAAGTAGCGCAACTGCCGCGGGAGGACCGAGACGAGCTCGGTTCCGACGATGACCTGGAGCTCGGGGTGGGTGTGGTCATATCGCATGACAATCATGAAAGTATCGTCCGTCTTACTCTCGATACCGCGGAGTGCCCGATAGAAGCCGGTAATATGCGAGGGGAGACCGAAAAGCTCGAGCGCTTGGTCGATGCTGTGGCTGCCGATGCCAAACATGATGCCTTGGCCCGGAGTATACCCTGGGTCCGTGCTTGTCCTCGCCCACGCTGCGTTGTTGAGGTCGTACCGGATCTGTGCAGACGTGATGGTACCCAATACGCCGGACTTGACGATTTTGTTGACGGTGCGAAAGCACGAGTCATAGCGGCGACCTTAGATCAGCTAGTTCCGGTGCAGTACAAGTGTGACTCACTTTGAAAGACGCTGAGAAGCTTGCCGCTCTTCTCGGCCGCAGCGAGGACCTTGTCCGCCTCGGCAGAGCTCATGCAGAACGGCTTCTCGACAATGACTGACATCAGCCAGGCCCTGTCAATTGCTTACCATTCTTGCCAGCCTCAAGCGCTTGAATGCAGAGCTCAGCGTGGCTTTCCCCAGCTACCACCACGACTACTAGCTCCACCTCGTCATCCTTCAGCATCGCCTCCATCGATGCATAGCGCTTGGCATTGGGATAGTCATCGACGCAGCTCGGACCCGGTAGACCGGTACGCTTGTCGATGGGGAACTCCTTCCGCTGCACAAAAGCGTGGACGATGAACTCGGGGCAGAGGAGGATAGCGGGCAAGTGGAAGGTGCGGTGAGTGTAGCCATAGCCGACGAAGGCGACCTTGATGGGGCTGTCGGGGGCAGACATGCTTCTGAGTCTGGATAGATGGAGGGAGTCGCGATCGATGCGGAGCGGAGGCCTGTCCGCTAGGGTAGGGTGACCACCCACATTTGCTCGATGACCAGGTGGTCACTACACAGTGACCAGTGACCGTGGTCACGTGTAGCCCGTGACCCAGCCAAGCAGTAGCAAAGCACCAGCCAAATCCTATGACGTAAAGGCTCTCCGCCACCACCTTCGCTGCTACAATGCATCATCAGAGGGCCTTCGCAAAGTGTCGGCGACGCACGAAGGACTGCCGAGCTGCTGTAGCTGCTACTGACTATGCTTCATGGGGCTCTCAGAGGTATTTGGGGCACTCAGCCATAACGGGTCACATGGTCACCGCGCTCTCCGTCGGTGACCAGGCTGGTTACTGGTCACCGTGACTGGTCACCGTAACCTGTGACCAGAGTGGTCACCCTACCCTACCAGTGTCCGCTGTGTGCGCTTCGCTGCAGTCGAGGCATGGAAGGTTCCGGCCGTTCCGGTCGTTCTCGGCCGTTCTCGGCCGGTACCTCCTCAAGGGGTTTCATGAGTGTTTCAGGGGCTCAAACACGGTTTATCCGGTAGAACACCTCTTTCAGCAATTCTCGGATCGATGGCTAATTGTCGGAACAACGAGCGGCTACGGATAAACTTGCCGATCCGAGTCTTTTCGGGCTCCCGCATCTTTGCCAAGTTTCCTTGGGTCGCCATGGGCGGACATGGTCCGATGAGGCGAAGCTCGGACCAAAATAACAGCCATATAAGACGTGGCCCCCTGGAGACTCCTCACTTCCCCCGCCCCGCTTTTCCTTTCGCTCATAAACACCATCCCCGCAGTCATGGCTATCAATTACAAGGACCTCGCCAACAACACCAACCCATCATGGCGACATGATCCTGGGATGCGGAGAGGTGAGTCTTACTGATCTCGTACTGTCTGGAGTGCTGCTCTTGATGGAGCGATACCAACATATGCGCTTCTCTAACTAAACCCACATGAGCCCCGCTGACGACTAGGCATGCTCCACATTGTCCTCCTGTATTTCACCGTCTACTCCTTGGGTTACGATGGTTCCCTCCTCAACGGTCTTCAGGCATTGCCCGCATGGCAGCGTGATTTGGTGAGTCAGCCACTCGCCTCGGTCTATTGGTGATGAGGGCTGACCAAGCAGGAATACCCAACTGGAACCAAGCTCGGCCTCATTGCCGCATCCTACTATCTTCCCAAGATTCCCCTCGCCCCTGTCTTCTCCATCCTGACTGACAAGTACGGGAGACGGTTTACGATCGCCATCGGGGTCTTCTTCATGTTGGCAGGTGCCATCGTGGCCGGTTTCTCTTACTCTGTTGCCCAATTTATTGGTGCTCGTGTCCTCCTTGGTGTGGGAACTGTTGCTGCTCGTAGGTCCCTACTGTCACACAAAACACAGCTCCCAGCTGATCATTATCAGAGATCGGCACTGTCACACTCATCCCCGAGCTTGCCCACCCCCGGATGCGCCACTTTGCCGGAAGTTTCCTCTTGACCACTTTCTACGTGAGTTTATACAGTGCAACTTACTGTATACCATGCTGATGGATAGATCGGCTCCATTCTCTCCGCATGGATCACCTTCGCAATGGTCTACTTCCCCGGAGAGAGCGCTTGGGCATGGCGTATCCCTGCACTCTTCCAAGGTGTCGGGCCCGTCGTCCTTGGTTTCGGTCTTTGGTTTGTCCCCGAGTCCCCTCGTTGGCTCATCACCAAGGGCCGGGACGCCGAGGCTCACCAGATCCTCGCTACTTACCAGTGAGTCTACTTTGCTTCCGGCGGTGACAAGTACTGATATACAGCGCCAACGGCAAGATGGACGATGAGCTCGTCGTCTTTGAGATGTCCGAGATCAAGGCTCAGATCGAGGTGTCCAAGGTGTCCAAGGAGACATCGTGGATGACCTTTGTCAATGTCGCCTCCAACCGCCGCCGTATCGGGGTCATCATTCTTATCGGTCTCTGCACCCAGCTCTCCGGAAACGGTGTCGTCCAGGTGAGTTGACGTCTTCTGGTCCTATACATGAGTCCTGCTGACGTTCTGCAGTACTACCTCGTACCAATCCTCAAAACGGTGGGCATCACTGCTCCCCCTCAGACTGCTGGTATCAACGGTGGTCTTGGTAAGTCTTCGCATCCTTTTTTGTCGGAATAGGGCTGACTTTCCAGCTATCATGAACTGGTTCGTCGCCATGGGCGGTGCTTCGCTCGTGGAGCGCTACGGACGCAGGCCTCTCTTCCTCATCTCGCTCGCTGGCCAGCTCTTCTGCTTTGTCATGCTCACCGGTCTCGCCGGCGGATACGACACCACCAAGATCCCTGCGATGGGTGTCTCGATGTAAGTCTCTTTTGCCTGTCGATCGTGTTTTCCACGCTGACCACGCAGTGTCCCCTTCATCTTCATCCAGCAGGCCTTCTACTCTGCTGCTCTTACCCCTCTCCCCCTGCTCTACGTCCCAGAGATTCTCCCCACCGCGCTCCGAGCGAAGGGTGTCGGACTCTACGGCATGTCTCAGAACGTTGCGCAGACCTGTGAGCTTTTCTCATCTTCTGCTTCATCGATCATGAGCTGATCAAGCAGTCAATCAATTTGCGAACCCCGTCGCTCTGGCTGCGTGAGTACAGTCTACACAGCTCGCCGTGGCCCCCAGGAACCCCGCTGACTCGAACAGAATCGGATGGCGCTACTACGCGGTCTACGTCGGTGTCCTCATCGCTTTCCTCGTCGGCTTCTACTTCACCATCCGAGAGACCCGTGGTCTTACGGTCGAGGAGGCTGCTGTCATCTTTGAGGACGACGACAAGAAGCTGGAGATGATGGAGGCTGAGCGGAGGATCAACGAGGCGGCGGCACTGCGTCTTGCCTCGGAGCAGAATGAGCTCAAGAAGACCAACTCAAAGTCCGAGTCGATGGAGCACGACGAGTACAAGAACGACGTCTAGAGTAGATGGGCATAGTAGAGTCTTCCGTAGGGTATCTGGTCATCTTGGTAGTACTCATATCTGGGATGTAATAATTTGAGATCAGTCAAGGTCAGAGGAGTCAGAGGGAGGTCTCAGACTGGACGTCATGCACCCAAACGCAGCATTCCTCAAACCTTCGCAATAACGCAGCGTTCACTTTCGCTTTCAGTCAATATCACCTCGATCCCTGCCAGTGTATACGCAGGATGAGCGGCGCCGATGACCTGCTATTCGATCCCTCTCTCATACCCGCTTCCTGCTCGGAGTCTCTAGGTTCGGATCTGGAGGTAAGCTCGGGGTCGAATGCGCATTGACGTCCAGCTCCGACCGCTTCGAGCCTCTGATGGCGACCGCGGCCATCTCGAGCTTTTGACAGTACTGACGGTAGCTCCCAAGCTGTCATCGCAATCATATGCGGGTGAGCTATTGATCAGATTATCTGCAGATGAAGCTGACCTGACAGACACCTTCAACCACCTCAGATCCTGCCCCAACACCTATTTCACGATTGTCATCGTGCACAAGCCTACCGACAAGGCAAGCCCCATTTTACCTGCTCGTGATAGGCCTAAGCTGACGAACAGATCGTTTCATGCGGCTCTATCATCATTGAGCGCAAGTTCGTCCGCAGTTCGGGCCTTGTCGGTCATATCGAAGACATCGCGGTGTCAAAGTCCATGCAGGGCAGGAAGCTGGGACTGAAGATCATCAATACGCTGGAGGAGGTCGGGAGGGGGCAAGGGGTGTACAAGATCATCCTGGACTGTAGCAAGGAGAACATACGTGAGTGTCGCTGGTCGATCGATCGGGGGGTCCAGCTGATCTTTCAGCTTTCTACGAGAAATGCGGGTGAGTTGAGATACAGCTATGAGTGGCTTCAGCTGATCGCCAGGTTCAAGCACAAGGAGTACGAGATGGTACGGTATATCGAGGCTGCGCCTTCGGGATCGAGCAAGCCGTCGTCTCCGGCGAAGCTCTGATCCTGGCATTTACGAGCGGGTTATCATGGACACTATAGCTATTTACGATCTTGACACGATACCATCAGATGTATACATGCGGACTGGTCGTTATTTCTTGCTACATGTCTCTGCAATGCTACCTATACAACACGTCCACCCTCGTCATAGTCATGTCGCACTCGTCACTCGCTGTCCGAGACCAGCACCAGCGGGTCCCTGGAAGATCCCCGCCCCCTCGCTTGTCTGTCCGCCAGCGCCCTGGACCGCAGTCCTCCCGCCCGAGTGTTGAGCGGACGTGGTCCCGCGGGACCGTCGCTGCCTGATCTCGCCCGTCGCATTCCGCTGGTAGGATTGGACGATTCTGCCGGTGGAGGAGATGGCGAGAGTGCGACCAGCGCACGCCGCTGCAGGGCAGGTGGAGGTGCCGCCACCATCGCCGGCCCCGCTGGCCCCGGTTCCTCCTCGAGAATATCGAGCTGCTGCTGTTGCAGGTCCTGCTGAGCCCGGAACGATGCCTCGCGCAGCCGCCGCAACTCCGTCCGACTGGGCAGCTGCTGCCCGTCCTCATGTCGCCGTATCTCCGCGAGGTTCATACCTGCACCATACGGATGTGTCGGTCGGCGGATCGGAGGTGGACGGGCACCGGGTACCTCCACGGGCGCGCCGAGTTCTGGGAGGTGTCGCGATGCGCGCCGTTGATGGGCGCTCTGGATGTTGTTCTCGGCGCCAAAGAAGCCGAAGATTGCGTCGTCGAGGTTACGGCGACGGGGTACGACGGGCTTCAGGGCCGCTTGGACCAGCTTCCACGCTCTGGGGATCAGCTCTCCTTCCCTTTACGTTCTGAGAGAGGCCGGGCTCACTCGGCCTTCTCCTCTCGTTCCGTGATGATGTTGGTCTTCTCTTCTGACTCTGGGAGGCCTCGGAGCTTGCGCTCGATGATCTGATCGACTACGATGTTGGGAACGAAGGGGACCGAGTCATGTAGCTGATGGCGACAATGCGGGCAGGTGAGGTTCTGGGTTGATCAGCTTCTGTCACGCGTCTCCTTTCGAGCCACAATAAGAAGCTCACGCTGTTCTTCTTGATCCACTCCCAGGCACATGGACCGCATAATGAGTGGCTGACAGAGTCAGTATGGGATTTCTTGCGCGGAAAGGGATGAAGGCATACCCGCAGGGGACCAGAGCTTGAGGCGCGCCGCTGTTCTGTCAGTCCATACTCGTTCTCCACAAGGCAGTCATGCTCACAGGACGTGCGCACACCTATGGGATCAGCTTTAGACCTATACGTTCATGCCGATCCCTCAGCAACATAGGAGGACTCACACTCCACACTCCAACTCCTCATACCACTCCTCCGCATTGATCGTCTTGGTCACCGTCACCTCCTGAAAAGTCTTGATGACTCTCGAAGGTGGTCGCCTAGCCGAGCGTCGCGTGGTATCCAGCAGCGCGTTACCGGGAGCGATACTAGTGGATGGCGAGCCCAGGCTTGAGGGTGATTCCACTAGTGAATGGGGATCTTGGCGTCAGCCAACGGACATTTGTGGTGTTAAAGGTCGCGTACATGGTCTCAACCCCGAGCCGGAGCCGGACGCTTCTGCCTGGGTATCGATGCGCGTGATGGGCTGGCTGCTCATCTTGTCCAGGTCATGGTATGTATCGCAAAACAAAGATGCAACGCGACAAATGTACTGAACGTTTTTGGGTGGAGTTGAATGGGCAAACGCTCGGACCAGCCCGAGCCTATTATCAGGGCCTGGGCCAAGGTGAGAGGCTGTAGCGTCTTGTACTGCATGCGATTGCAGTTACCTCGGCCATACACCTGAGCTCCCGAGCATCCGTCCGGCGGGCACTGATCCATCGGGTCCTAGTTGCACTTCATGCCCAATCCATACTACGTACCAACAGCCGCCTTGATGTCGGCGCTCAATCGCAAATCCGCGCCCACTCCAAACAGCTCCTCCAGCCTTTTACTCCTGTAGTAAAGTGGATCGACCTCCACCTCTTCACAATCTTTGAGAACATCCAGAAACCACGCATAACACGCGACCTGCCAGGCGACCCTCAGATTGGGTTGGATGAAGAATCCAGCCACAAAGCCTATGCCTGGAACGGAGCTGTTCATGATCAGCTGCATTCTGAACCTGGCTCACGTGACTACACCATCCCCCGCGATCGTCATGAGGTTCTCTCGATAAATGCGAACCGGAATACCAGCGATGCGCGAGAGGATGGTAAAAACCATTGTGCTGATCACGGCGAGGACAGATCCTCCGGCGAAGGGTACTGCGTCCATGCCGACGCCTGGTCCGATTGGGACTTTGGTCTGCTGGGTCAGCTGTGCTCGTGGGAAGGTCTCTTGACTCCAGCGACTTACGCCCGGCACAGTCAGAAGCCTTTCGAGGAAGCGCGAGTATCGGCGTGCCCAGATCATGGCGAATTTACAGCGCCAGCTTGCGCCTTCCGGTACTCTATTGCTCTACACTGGTGTCAGCGCTGCCTGTGAGGATAATAGAGTACGAACCAGTGGGTGCGCAGCAAAAGGTAACATCCTCGTCTCCCTTGACTTATGATACACCTTACACCTCTCCTCGAACTCGTCATATAGCGTGTCTAGCGTATCCTGAGCTCGCTGCTGAGGTATGTTTCGCTCTTTCAGCGCATTTGTCGTTTTTGCACTTGCCCCCTTGTATTTGTTACATGGTTTCACGGGGCAAAAATGACTGCCGTGGACTTTGCCCTTGGGTTGAGCTTGGCCCAGTACGATGCCGAGTAGATTGATGAACCACTGGCCCATAATGCCTGCAAGAGATGAGTATGATGGTGAGCTTGACTCGTCCCTCTGTCCGTTCAGTCCATCAACAGCATGAAGACAGGTCAGTCCTTTCAGCCCATCCCTGCCGGATCCTTTCAGTCAGAGCTCAAACCAGGAGAGGTGGATTGACGAGACATCACCATCCTCCTGACTTTTAGCCCTCGTGTTGCCCTTTCACGCCGAACCCCATTGCATCATCCCTCTACTATGCCTTGGCCGCGTCGTACTTTTTGTAGTATTCGTCACGCTGGTGGACTGAATCATCAGCGCTTGTTCACCTCTCAGCCTCTCTCGAAGCCCCCCGCCACATCCTTTCGTGACCTAATGCAAACATACCGATGGGCTTGTGCACAGTGTACCTAGCAAAATCAGCCATGGCTTCGCTATTTGTTGTGACTAGAAACAAAACTCACCAGAAGAGGTATCCGCCGGCGAATCCAAGACCGAGACTGCCAACTGTCAGCACCTCCTCCTTGCACACCAATGAAGTATGATCCTGTCCCATCTGACGATGCTGCCAAGCTTACCCCATTGACAGGTCGGTGATGAGCCGCTTGCGGAGCTGCAGGATATCAGCGAAAGTTCTTGCTGTGGCCGCCGAGCGAAGCGCTACGCCAGCAAATAGCGGCTGAGCTTTCGCCCAGTTCTGCAGGATTAACTTACCTTGCCTACGATGGGAGCGATGGGCATGGCTGATATATGGGTATGGGGTCGACTAAGGTGAGGGAGGTATATGAAGGAGAGCTGACTTTGGTTGGTCGGGCACAAACGGACGGAGTAGGCGGACAAGGGCTAATCGAATTGATTGGTTACCATTTACTAATAGCTATTAGAGTTTCATTAGCGGTACCAAAAACCTTTGTTGGCCTTTTTGAATGATCCCCCCTCTTTAGCTCCGCGTGTTTCGTCATGGGCGTTCCTCAACAGCTCCCCTTTAATAACTTGCAGCCAAGTGGAGCAGACAGACAGCCAGCCTATACACACTCTACCTATATACATACTGTACAGCTAATACTCAACAGCGTCAGCTACAGCTCTTACACCGCCCCTCTAATCCTCTCGCTAGCTCTTGCGCGTCTTGTTTCCACCAAGCATCGGACATCGTCAGTCACGCGCCCGAACCAAACCTTCATCTCCATTCCACGGCCGACTCAGCCTCACCCCTCTTCGCCGTAATCGACACTGGCTTTGTATGGCCCAGTATGGAGGCTGAGACTTCCGCACAATGGCGATTCGCCCAGTGCTTTGGAGACAAGGGCGAGGTGGATGATATAACGGAAGGTATGCAGCATAGCTATCCTCCCTTTGTCCCCCGGTATCTGGGGATGGGACGTGTGCTGATACACTCTCAGCCGACATAATCTCCACAGTGGAATTTGACCACACGGGAGACTATCTCGCGACTGGAGATAAGGGTGGTCGGGTTGTATTGTTTGAAAGAAACGAGCAGGTACGTGCTTGAGCTTTGGCCGGCGCGATGACGCTGACCGCCGCAGAAACGGGGATGCGAGTACAAGTTCTATACAGAGGTATGTAGTACAGTTCATAGTGGTAGGTAGGCACTGATTGTCAGTTCCAATCACATGAGCCGGAATTCGATTACCTTAAATCGCTCGAGATCGAGGAGAAGATCAACCGGATCAAGTGGTGCAAGAGGCAGAACTCGGCTCATTTCCTCCTCAGCACAAATGGTACGCTCATCCTCCAGTAAAATCAGTGCCCCAGCTGACATGCAGACAAAACCATAAAGCTGTGGAAGGTATTCGACAAGCAAATCAAAGTGGTAGCAGAAAACAACCATTCGGACGGCTTTCCATCGGGAGGAGCCAATGGGGCCCAGCCACCTCTACGCTTGCCGAAAATGACCACTCACGACTCTATCACCGCCGCTGTCCCTCGGAAAGTCTATGCCAACGCCCACGCATATCACATCAACTCGATATCCGTCAATTCGGACGGGGAGACGTATATCTCGGCGGATGACTTGAGGATCAACCTGTGGAACCTGAACATCAGCGATCAGAGCTTCAGTGAGTGTCTCTCTGCTCGTGCGGAGAGCAAAACTGACACGGCAGACATTGTCGACATCAAACCCGTCAACATGGAGGAATTAACTGAAGTCATCACCGCTGCCGAGTTCCACCCGATCCACTGCAACCTCTTCATGTACTCTAGCTCAAAGGGAACCATCAAGCTCGCAGATATGCGAGAGTCGGCCCTTTGTGACGCTCATGCGAAGTGTAAGCTACGAAGTCCGCGTCCGGGAAGCCAGCTGACCCACAGTGTTTGAAGAGGAGGAAGATCCGACCCAAAAATCCTTCTTCTCCGAAATCATCTCGTCCATCTCGGACGTCAAGTTCTCCAAGGACGGCCGATACATTCTCTCCCGCGACTACCTCACCCTAAAGATCTGGGACATCGCCATGGAGAACAAGCCGGTCAAGACGATAAACATCCACGATCATCTCCGGCAAAAGCTGTGCGATCTGTACGAGAATGACTGTATCTTTGATAAGTTTGAGTGTACCTTTAGCGGGGACGGAGAGTGAGTTTGTGTTTAGCTACGAAACGAAGGGCAGAGCTGATGAGATAGTTCGGTGTTGACCGGCTCATACCACAACTACTTCCGGATCTATGATGTCAACACCGATAACGATGTGGTGCTTCAGGCGGATAAGTCGGCGTTCAAGGCAAAGAAGGTCGGCGGGGCGAGGGGGAAGACACCAGGAAAGAAGGAGGGGCTGCAGACGGAGGGTATAGACTTCCAGAAGAAGATTGTGAGTTATAATTCCCTGTCGACTGGGTGCAGAAGCTGACAATGTAGCTACACGCAAGTTGGCACCCACAAGAAAATACCATTGCTGTGAGTTGTCTCTTCCTGTTAGCGCATAGTTTCAAGCTGACGCTCCAGATTGCGGCTACGAACAACTTGTGAGCTGCCATCGTCGTCGCCTTTCTCCAGGATTCAGCTGATATCCAGATTCCTGTACTCTACGCTCTCGTAAATCACCCGGTGGCAGCCCACTCAATCATCCCAAGATCCACCTTTCGGTACCTCCACCCCTTTCCTCACGCACGAACACTACATACCCACACCACCTTCACTTTACGCATTCTCACTTAGACGAACGAAGAGATCATTACAAGACCAGAACCCCTCACTTGGCGAGCCGGGGGAGAGGGGAGATGACAGCAGGAGAGAGCAGAAGAATGTCGCGGAGAAGTAGTAGATCGGTTTATCACGCCGACTCCAAGATGAATGCAGTTGTCAACTTTTGTCCGGCAGAAGTATTCAGCAATGTGTGCGCTTGCGGCCTGTAGGCAGTGTTCTGGCCCGGCTGGCGCATGCAGCGGGTCGACGGTGAAGATGCACCATTTACATGCATATACACCGATCGCGCTCATCACATCAGCAGCAACAGGCCCGTTACGTAAATTCGGAGGCGCGTGTAAACAAACCCCCTTCGCCCTTGATTTCTTTTCCGAACCTTGACGTTGCCCTTCTCTATCCTTGTCCACCTATATCTACGCGCTGCCAACACACACTCGTGCTTGTGACTCCACTACCTGAAACAACGCATCCACAACTACGACGTCCAGGCAGGAGTACCTGCACACTACGCCATGCCGGCGGCTACTCGTCAGCCGGACATCGCGTCTGCGTTCGATGACCTCAAGCTTGAGGGCGAGGACGAATCCTTTGAGGTCCAGGTGCCGGACTTTCACTTTGACTGGGGAGTCGTGACGGATGATCGGGCGGCCGCTGCGTCCGAAGCGGAGGAGAGGAAGGGATCACACTTCTCATCCAATAGCGGGCGGACCGGACACGCAAAAGCGGGAAGTGGGGGAATACAGGGGTCCGAGCGATGGACGTCCCCGGCTCTCTCCAACGCTCTCAATACCCCTCCTTCCGCGCGCGGGGGATCACCAGCGTACTCCTCGGCGTCGTCTGCACATATCATGGGCCTGACGGACGCGTCGACCGTCTCGGGCTCGAGCCTCGTCCCGACGCCACCATACGCCCCGCTCGGGCGGGGATATATGCCGCGCGCTTCTGGTGGGAGCGAGGGGGACGGGTCGGTCCAGCCAGATAGGGTCAGGCGTTTCCAGCGTGTAGTGTCGGCGCCGGTAGCAAGGATGTCGCCGGCCCCGCTTATAGGGGAAAGGACGAGGGAGATGGACGAATCTGTGAGTGATAGCTGAGGGTTGAGCTGAGAATAGCTCGCCTCCACGTCGACTTATCGCCAACATACAGCGACACTGCGGCCGACACTGGCTCATTCGACCTCGTCCAACGCGGTCAATGGCGAGCGGGAACCAGCGGCTTCGGGGCAGACGTACCAGACCCCAGGGCTGGCGGAGCGGACGTTGGGTCATTCGACAGCGGCATCGACGAGCCGGCGCGTGGGTGGATTGTCGCGCTTTGGTGGGCCGGCCAGAAGAGTGATCCCGCCCGTAGAGGAGCAAGAAGGCGTGGAGGATCTCGCAGCTGCTCCGTCTCTGATTAGTGAGTGACCAGTCGGGGTAGGGCTGATATCAGATTCCCCTCAATTACAAGCATCGCGCGCATCCCCTCCGCCCAGGAATCACTCTCGGACAGCCCGAACCCGCTCCCCCGACCCCAACTATGATCATCTTCACGATTCATCCCCTCGATCCGCCCCATCCCCTGTCCCCTATCTCCCCGACTCTCGGGCCGAGCCATCGCCCCCTCCATCATACAACCCCCTCCATCAGGCCTCTCCACCGCTCGACCGCCCAATACGCTCTGCAGACAGGTACGGCGAGCAAGAGAACCGGCCTGTCCGGTCCGCTGCGCACAGCTATGCCGCGTCCACCTCGGCGATCCAGCGCGTGCCGCAACCACTCCAGCCGGCGCACATGTACTCGCGCAGCTCAGACCACATGCTGGAAGAAGGCGGGAAGATTCTGCATCGGAGTCCACCGCAGCTAAGGAGCGGGAACCCCGAGATGGTGCCTTCGAGAGCGGCACCGCGCCCGGTTGAGCCCCCACCCAGTTCCACCGCGAACACGATGCCAGCTCAGCCTGTGGCGGTCGCTCCGCAGGGAAAGCGGTCTTTCATGGTCAGTTTCGCTAGCTCCGACAAGGTGAAGCAAAGCTGACGCTATAGGTCAATGGAACTCCCTATGAGCGTATCGGCACACTAGGCAAAGGCGGCTCGTCAAAAGTCTACTCGGTACTCTGCCACACCACTCGAGCGATGTACGCCCTCAAGCGCGTAGCGCTCGATCGGGCGGACGCCGAGGCGTATCAGAGCTATACGAACGAGATTGAGCTGTTGAAGCGGTTAAGGGGACATGATCGGATTATCCGGCTCATCGATCATCAGATCTCGTTTGGGCCAGGGAATCGGCCAAAGATACTCATGATGGTGAGCTGCCAGGATCCTAGAGTTTGAGAAAAGCTGACGCGGTAGGTCATGGAGTGTGGAGAGATAGATTTTGCCGCTCTGCTAGATGATCAGCGGGGCAAACCGCTCAATATGAACTTTGTGGGGTTGTACTGGCAACAAGTGAGCTTTGGGTCTGGGCGGAGCTGACGAGTAGATGCTGGAAGCTGTCCATGCGGTACATCTGGAGAACGTCGTTCATACCGATCTGAAGCCGGCAAACTTTGTGTTGGTGCAGGGCAGGCTGAAGATTATTGATTTTGGGATAGCCAAGGCGGTTGCGAATGATACGGTCAACATCCAGCGGGATCAGCAGGTAAGCTAGCACTGCCCCATCCACGGTGTGAGCGATTAGCTGACATGGTAGATCGGGACGGTGAATTACATGTCGCCCGAAGCTATACAACGGATGAACAACCAGAAAGTCCTCAAGGTGAGCTAGGTACCCCAAGACTTGAAATGTATAGCTGATGTTCCAGCTATCATACCCTAGCGACGTCTGGTCACTCGGCTGTATCCTCTATCAAATGATATACGGCTCCCCTCCCTTCCAGCATATAGGTGGCGGCCCGTTACCCAAGATGAACGCTATCGCGAACGCTTCGCACATTATCGATTTCCCCACGCACGCCGTACCCAAGCCTACGCCGGGGCGAGACGAGGGCGCAGCGGCAGAATGGTCCATCCGCGTCCTGCCGAGCGCGATTGACGTGATGGAGCGGTGTCTGAAGTATAGGAAGGAGTTTAGATTGACTATTCCGGAATTGCTAGAGCATGAGTTCTTGAAGCCTAGGATAGACGGTGAGTACTCTCTTGGCATACCGGGATAGGGGAGGAGCTGACGTGTCAGGTGAAGCAGGGTTACCTGCCGGCGCGACGAGTATCACCCCGCAGCAGATGGCGATGCTGGTGAAGTTCATAGTGGAGGTTCATGGAAAGAAACCGTTACCAGAGGGGGATACGACGGCATCGGTGAGCTAGCTCGTTATAGATCGACCTGCAGAGCATTAAGCTGACAGCGCAGGATCTTTTTGAGCAACTGGCACAGCAAAACTCTCGGTCAGAGTGAGGTGGACACTCGCTATCAACCATTTGTACCGGATCTATACATGCATTATAGTCGATCGTTATATTCTGTACATACAGCTGGCCAGCTCAGCAGGTGGTACATAGCATCCCTAGACTCGCTCCTTCTGAACCCGCCCTACTGGTAGTCCCGCACAAGGTGTCCCCGCTCGTCATACGAGTACGAGTGGGCGTGGTGGATGGTCGCTGTCTGTGCTTGGGCGTACCCCAACCCGGAGAAGTGTGTAGTGGCCATCGATGCGGGAGAGCCAATGATGGGGCTGAGTCGACCGCCTGGTTGACGGATATTGAGCATGTTGGCTTGACCGATGTCGAGCTCGGCGTCGTCAAAGCCCTGGCCTGGCCAGAGACCGACGACGGGAGTGTACCCTACGCTCTTGGGACGGGAGATGAAGGCGGATGACTCCATTGGAGGGGACGGAAGGGGCCGTTCCGACAGTACAGGGCTGACGAGGTGAGGCGAGCGCGCGGCAGATGCCGGCGCAGGAGGAAGGAGGTGTCCGTCCGCCGAGAGAATAGGGAAGTGGAATGTTTCGGACGATGTGGAGGAGAAGGACAAGCCAGGGGATGGCGGGGAGGGCACGGTAGGAGAATTGATAGGTGACATGTCGAGGTGGGAGGGGCCGTTATTCCGACGAAGGTGCTGCGAGCCCCAGCCCCCGAGGAGAGGCGTGTGGTGCGCTTCCGACATGGACTGAGCGTCCGAGGCGTGCGACCGGCGCTGCCGCCGCCGGCGGACGAGGTAGGTGATGCCCAGACCAAGGATGACTGCTCCGCCTGAGAGTCAGCACAGCGGACAGATCCGCCGAAGAGAAGAGCTCACAGAAAGCCCCGGCGATAGCGATGTACATCTTGTCCTCCTTGGACAATCCACCGCACAGCTGACCCTTCCCGTCGTAAGTGGGTCCATTCTGCCTGTCAGCCGAGCCAGGAGCCAAGTGGTAGCAAAGAGCTCACCATTTCGCCCTCGCGGTAAGCGCAGCTCGCCCGCTTGAAGATAGGCATTATGATCTGGTTGCTCTAGGTGGATTTTACAGGTGAGGAGCGGTGAACAGGTGCGGAACAGTGTAGATGGAGGGATGGAGGATGGGTCAGAGGGATTCCCGTCAGCGCCCCCTTCCTCTTCGCGAAATCAGCCGCCTCGTCCACCTCCACTTGAAATGACGCAAAAAGCGGACTCCGAGGTGTGACATGCCCAACTCATGGGACATGCCAATCTGACCGAAGACGGACCCGTCGGACCGTCCTTACGGTGCGCGAGTGGCAGTGTGAGTGTGGCACTTTCAGATCAGCCAGCTTATACCATGTTCCCGTCGCATCCTCGCATGAGCACCTCTAAAGACAGTCGGGTGCATTCGCACCTGATGCAGGTGAGAGCGACAAGTCCGACAGGTGCTCGCTGTTTGCCACCCGACAGAGCCAAAGGACGGGTGAGAGCGGGAGCCACTCTTATCCGCTCATTCGGCGTTTTCGGGTTTATGATTCCGTTGGGGAATGCGTTCAGCCCAGATCCCGTGCCTGAATAGAGTCGCTACAGCTAAAATGACGTTCCTCTAGCAACTGCCGCTATCTATCTATCTCTCTCTCTTCTCCATACATCTTTCTATCTCTTACTCACCCCTTACACTACCTAAAAACACACTCATCAAAATGGCTGTCAAAGTAGGAATCAACGGTTTCGGTGCGTAGCGAAATTCGCAGCCAGAAGTCTGCCTTTGGAGTGGAGCAAAAAGCTGAAGAACGTGCAGGCCGTATCGGTCGTATCGTTATGCGTAACGCCATTGAGCACGGTGACATTGAGGTCGTTGCTGTCAACGAGTAAGCTAGCTCTCTGCGTCCCGCACAAGGTCATAGCTGACAGTCAGCCCGTTCATTGACCTCGAGTACATGGTATGTCTTGCTTTGTCGGCAGAGAGCTCAAGCTTACTTTTTAGGTTTACATGTTCAAGTACGACTCTGTGAGTTTACGTGGGCGCACTCGCATGCAGACTACAGCTGACTCCTCAGACCCACGGCCGCTTCAAGGGCGACGTGTCCACCAAGGACGGCAAGCTCTACGTCAACGGCAAGGCCATCACCGTGTTCGGCGAGCGTGACGCTTCCAACATCAAGTGGGGAGAGGCCGGCGCCGAGTACATTGTCGAGTCGACCGGTGTCTTCACCACCATCGACGCTGCCAGCGCCCACTTGAAGGGTGGTGCCAAGAAGGTCATCATCTCGGCTCCTTCCGCCGATGCCCCCATGTAAGCTGGCTACACCCTCCCCCTGTGGAGTAAGCTGACTCCTGATAGGTTCGTCTGCGGTGTCAACCTTGACGCCTACAAGCCCGAGTACAAGGTCATCTCGAACGCCTCGTGCACCACCAACTGCTTGGCTCCCCTCGCCAAGGTCATCCACGACAATGTGAGCTAATGACCCGTCCGTAGTCGAGGCATAGTAGCTTACGATCTAGTTCACCATCATTGAGGGTCTCATGACCACCGTCCACGCCACCACCGCCACCCAGAAGACCGTTGACGGTCCTTCCAACAGTGCGTGCCAGATCTGTATATGGGATCCTCAATGCTGATTCTTCGTAGAGGACTGGCGTGGAGGCCGAACTGCCTCGGCCAACATCATCCCCTCGTCGACCGGTGCCGCCAAGGTTAGTTCAAGACTGCCGTCATTTTGCAGAGCTTAAGGCTGACATCGCAGGCCGTCGGCAAGGTCATCCCCGCCCTCAACGGCAAGCTTACCGGCATGTCGTTCCGTGTCCCCACCGCCGACGTTTCGGTTGTCGACCTTGTCTGCCGCATCGAGAAGGGTGCTTCCTACGAGGAGATCAAGGCGGTCATGAAGAAGGCCTCCGAGAGCCCCGAGCTCAAGGGTATCCTCGGGTATGTTTATTGCATCAAAGCAGTGGGCCTCGCTGACAATCAGCTACACTGAGGATGAGGTTGTCTCGACCGACTTTGTCGGCTCCACCGAGTCGTCCGTCTTCGACGCCAAGGCCGGTATCTCGCTCAACAACAACTTCGTCAAGCTCATCAGCTGGGTGAGTGCAATTCATTTCGAGGGGAAAAGTCCGCGCTGATGGAGACAGTACGACAACGAGTTCGGGTACTCTCGCCGTGTCTGCGACTTGGTCGCTTACGTCGCTGGCGTTGACGCCAAGGCCGCTTCCGCTTAAGCGGGTCGGTGTTTTGTTTCCCATATAGAGGTTTGATATCGATGTAGCATGCAAAAGTGCTTCGATCTGTAATAGTGCTGGTACTATGACTGCTCTATGCTGGACAGTGTGTGCTGCGTGACATGAGCATGGGATTGCACGGGGGACAACAGTACTCCACACCGCATTCCTCGTAGCGGCGTTCGCCGCTAGCGAGCACCTCAGATCCCATAGAGTCGAAGCCAGTACCTCAGCCTTCTGCACCTTTCATCACTCACAATGCCTCGCCGGAAGAATCAGTACCTGTCCGATGGGTCTGACTCAGACGCCTCTGCTTCAGGCGGTAGCGACGGCGGGTACAATTCGCAAGAAGACGGCGATTCCCGGGCTGAACGAGCGCTGTTTGAGCAGAACAGGGGCAACAAGCGTCAAAAGACGAATGGGCGGAGTGGCAAGGATTCGGCTTGGGAGGGGATATTTGGAGAAGGAGATGATGAGGGTCCAAGAGGAGGTGGGAGGGGTGTAGGCTCGAGGAGAGGAGGAAGGGGCGGATTTAGCTCTGGGAGGACAGATTGGACAAAGTGAGTTTTGTTGCCACCGCTCTGTCTAAGATGGAGGGGAGGCTACTGGAGCTGACAAGCAGGCCGCCATCGTTTGTACCGACCGGTTCTGCCTCGACTGTGCAGCCTTCCGCTCCCACCCTGGAGGAGCTGGTCGCTCGTAATATCGCAGAGGCAGCGAATGAGGAGGACGAGGGGGAGGAGGAAGAGGACGACAGTGAGGATAGCGATGATTCGGATTCGGCGCCCGCGTCGCCCCGGATCCGGGAAGACGAGGACGAGGATGAAGGGAGAGGCGCGACTGCAGGACTGGGCGGAGGCGTGCGGCTCCAGGGCTTAGCAAGGCCAGCGGAAGACGCTCAGCCACCGGCCACGGCGAAAGTCGGACGAGGCGGTATTGGGTCATCATCACGTGGCGGCAGTCGTGGTGGAATTGGCTCAGCATCTCGCTCGTCAGCTGCGGCAGCTCCTCCGCTCGTTGAGGAAACGTCTCAGCCTACGTCCGGGACTAGCACGCCACGCGGTGGGCTCGGCTCGAGCAATGCACCTCCGCAGTCCATGGCCGCTACGTCGTCGTCCAGCACGCCTGTGGCTTTTGGCCGCTCGGCCAATATCTCCACTCCTAGCACGACCTCCGGTGCCCCTCGAGCTCAGCGGTCCTTCGTCACCCGTGCAAGTGACCCCACGCCCGTCGCCACTACACCCCTCACCGCGGCTGAAGCCGCCCACTTTGCCAAGATCGAGAACGACTACGGAGCCAAGCTGCTCTCCAAGCTAGGCTGGGCGCCCGGAAAGGGTCTCGGAGCCAAAGAGGACGGTCGAGCTGTGCCTGTCGCTGCAGGCAGAGTATTGCGGGGGCAGGGTATCACGAGCGGTGTGCGGACAGAGGACAGTAAGCGCGAGGCCAGGCGGAAAGGGGAGATTGTATCGGATAGCGAGGACGAGGAGGCAGAGCGGAAGAAGGGTGCAAGGAGAGTTGGGAAGGGCAAGCATGGCAAACAAGGAGGAGAAGCAGCGGGGGAGCAGAGCTGGAAGAAGCAGCGCAAAGTCAAAGTCAAGGTGGAGCACAAGACGTATGAGCAGATCGTGGCGGAGGCGAGTGATCAGGCTGCTTCAGGAGTGGAATTGGTGTTGGATGCGAGAAGCGGGGAGGTGAGTCATGTGGTCTAAGCAGTGCGGACGGAGCTGACTGTGCAGATGAAGGAAGTCCAGTCACTGGCTGGGTTGTCGTTGTCTAATTGGACACCGACCAGCGACAACATGCAGCTCCCGGAGCTCCGGCATAATCTCCGCCTCGTCATGGACGCGACCAAGGCGGACGTGGATGCGCTCGCTAGGGAAGGAAAGACGGTGGTGGAGAAGCGAAAGTGGGCAGTCAGGGAGGAGCACCTGGCTCGGAAACGAGTCGAGGACGCTGAGAATCGTGAGTCATTCACCCCGTTCTTGCAAATAGACAATGAGCTGACATGACAGGTGTAGCGCGGCTTGAGCGCATCCAAGAGTCCGTCTCTGCGGTATCAGCCATTGCCGCCAAGCCGAAGGCAGCGGATAGTACATTGGACCCCCTTGCTGGATTCGCAGAGAGCTTCACCTCGCTGCTGAGCTTCAAGGAGGAGTATCGGACAATGGCGCTGGACGAGGTGGTAGTCGGTGCTATTGCCCAGACTGTCAGTGACACTGTTTGTGTCTATTGAACGAGTGCCAAGCTGATATTGCAGACGAAACAAACCTTTGCGGATTGGGATCCTCTCGATATCTCGACCGACTCCCTTCTACAGACCCTCAAGCGATGGCGACACGCCTACAACCTTCCTCGATCAGAAACGGACGACTCCAAGATGGTCATCACTAGCGCGAATGTTGTTGCGGGCGGAAGCATGATTCAGGCTGAGAGACTCATGACGCCTTGGGAAAGCCTGCTGTGGACCCTCTGGCTACCTCGCGTCCGATCCAGTATCAAGTAAGTCCAGTGCATTGTTAGGAGGCGCCGCTGACTGTCAGTAATGACTGGAGTGCCTTTCACCCACACTCGGCTGTTGTCTTACTCGAATCATGGTCGCCTATCCTCCCACCCTTTATCCGCGATAACATTCTGGACCAGCTTATACTACCCAAAGTCAAAAAGGCGGTCGAGGAATGGACACCGAAACCCTCTCGTTCCGGCAAAGTCCGGTCATTGGCCGGTGTCATATTCCCGTGGTTACCACTCCTGGGCGCGAGGATGGAAGATGTCACGGAGATCGCGAAGCGGCGGATCAGGGCCGTGTTGCGGAGCTGGACGCCCAAAGACGGGGTACCTGCCGAGCTGGAAAAGTGGCGTAAGGATGTCAGTGTCACCATTATTTGAGAAAGGACTGGGCTGATGACCCTCAGATGTACAGCTCGAGCGATTGGGACAAGCTCATGCTCCAATACGTCGTCCCGAAGCTCGGCCATACCCTTCGGGAAGACTTTGTCATCAATCCCGCCAAGCAAGATATGGTACCGCTCGAAGAATGGGTGTTGCCTTGGCACACCCTCTTGCGATCGTCCATGTTTGTTCACCTACTCGACGCGGAGCTCTTCCCCAAGTGGATCGAGATCCTCTATGTCTGGCTCGCGAGTCCAGGATGTAAGCCTGACGAGGTGGCCAGCTGGTATGTTCCCCTCTTTGCTGTTAGTATCGTCGCTAACGACCAGGTTCACCTGGTGGAAGAGCCGCTTCCCTGCTCCGATCCTCGAGATCCGCGGGGTCCACAATGCCTTCAAGCAGGGACTCGAGCTCATGGACGCCGCCATGCGCCTTGGCTCGTCCGCTCCCGACCGACTCGTCAAGCCGGTCTACAAACCCCTCCCAGCCACAAAATCCAAACACCTCGCCCACAGTCGGCCCTCCTCGCCCGCTCCTATCCGGCTCCCAGCAGAACCCACCGGCACTACCGGACCTACCGAAATCACCTTCCGGTCTCTCGCGGAGGAAGCGGCCGCGGCTCGGGACCTCATCTTCCTCCCTCTTGGCCGGTCGCATGCTCAGACTGGCAAGCCGCTGTTCAGGGTGGCGAAATCTGTGGATGGTAAGGGAGGCGTCACAGTGTATATCGGGGACAATGCGGTATTCGTACAAGGAGAAGACGGGGGCTACAGAGCGGTACAGTTGGAAGAGATGATCAGAAGGGCGGGGGGGTAGTACTGGATGCAACATGGACCCATACTGCCTTGCTCTGATGCATCACTCCCTGCCTCTATGACTCGGACTGTTTACCGAGATCGTCAGATGTGACGCTACGTGCTGTACACTCCCTCCAACCTGTATCCACCCCGCCATCGCCGTCTCTAGCAGCGTCCCCACTTTCCCTTCTAGCCGCGTGACCGACTTTTCCGACTTGACGAATGTCCCATTCCCCACCGCATAGTCTATCGCCGCGTAGATATCCCGCATATGATCCGCCCCCGCCGTATCTGTCAACGGGTACAACGCCCACTCCGCCGCTGCCCATGAGCCCTCCTTGTGCGCCTTGGGAATGTCAACGACGCGTGGGACGACGGGACGCTCTGATGAGATGGCGCCGGGACAGCCGCGGAAGAGGTGGACGGCGATAGAGGAGTGGGCGCCACTATCTGCGACGTGGGTGGTGAGGTCGACGAGGTAACGGAGGATATCGGCCTCGGAGCCGCCGATATAGGTGCTGACGTCTCCGGTTTCTACGATGAGGTTGGATGAGTCGACCGCGCGCAGAGCAGAGAGGATTATCTCTACGTAGCGATCGGACATGACGGAGAGGGTGATGCGCGCGCCGACACCGAAGGAGAGGGGGCCCGCTAAAGGGGTTGACATGGTCCTTGAGAGCGAAGATGAGGCGTAAAGTCAAAATCTAGGTCAGCTACGGTCCGGTAATTCACGGCCGAAGGAGGTCCACCCAAGAAAGGTATCGGTCAGCTACTGACATCCTCCCTTCTCCATCTTGCTCATCACATCATGTCGCGGATACTAGGCAGAGCGCTCCCCTGCGCCAGACAAGCTATCCCTGCGCACCGACAGCTTGTCAGCCGGACGTACAGCTCCCGCCCAGCGTCCGCCCGGGCGCTTCCAAGACTAGCGATCTTTGCCGGATTCACAGCCGCGCTTGCAGTTTCCAGCTTCGCGTTGGGGTCGGGCCCCGTCAGGGCGGAGTCGCTGGCTCCCGGACCGGGAAAGCAGGATCTACTGCCGAAGAAGGAGCCGAAAGATGGTTATGCGACAAAGGAGGAGACACTAAAGGCTATCGAGGTGTTGAGGGGGAAGCTGAGGGAAGATCAGGTCACGGTGGATGAGGATGAGCTCCTGGGGCATGGGCACTCCGCCAACACATACCACTGTAAGCGCCACGAATATTGCTGAGAGTGAGGCTGACTAGGGAGCCGCGGCCAAGCCTGAAGTTGTCATCTACGCGGAGTCCACAGAGGACGTCTCGACAGTTGTCAAAGTAGCAAACCAGTATCGGATCCCCGTCACACCCTTCAGCGGCGGCACTTCGCTCGAGGGTCACATCACCTGTCCTTATGGTGGCATCTGTATCGACTTGTCCCGTATGGACAAGATTGTCGAGGTGCACGAGGCAGACTCGGACGCCGTCGTTCAGGCGGGAGTGCAGTGGGATGCGCTGAATGAGGAGCTGCTGGAGAGGGGGATGCAGCTGTTTTTCCCGCTGGATCCGGGGCCTTCTGCATGTATTGGAGGAATGATGGCCACGGGCTGTAGGTGAGTCGCTAGGAAGGTAGAGCTGATGCCCAGTGGGACGAATGCGGTCAGGTATGGAACAGCAAAGGGCGAGTGGTTCTTGAACGCTGTGAGTACAGCTTCTGCCTTCCACCAAGCAGTGTCTGATGCTCAGACTGTGGTTCTCCCCGATGGCGAGATCATCAAGACGAGGCAAAGATCAAGGTGAGCTTTCAGGGAGCAAGAGCTGATGCCAGAAAATCGTCCGCCGGGTACGACCTGACAAAGCTCTTCATTGGCGCTGAAGGCACATTGGGCATCGTGACAGAGGGTGCGTTACGAGCTGGCTCGGAGCTGATGGCTCAGCTACCATCAGACTGACCCCGCTCTTGCCTACTCGTGTGGCTGTCTGCGGCTTTCCTGGCGTAGAAGAAGCAGTCCAAGCCGTCGGCGAGGTGATCAACCGGGGCGTACCAATCCGTATGTCCCGCTCCCGCCGGTGCTACGTCTCTCTTGACCAGCTGACAACCAGAATGTGTCGAGCTCTGCGACACCCTCATGATGACCGCCATCAGCAAATTCGGCAACGTCACCATGCCACTCCCTGAGCTCGACGCGATCTTCTTCAAGTTCCAAGGTCCCACAGATGAAGCCATGGAGGCGAGCGCCAGCATCGTCGCCGAGATCTCGAAAAAGTACGGCGGAACGGGACTGGTCTTTGCAAAAGACAAGGCCCAGAGCGACGAGCTATGGCGCGCGAGGAAGGCGGCGCACTGGTCAGCTATGGCGCTGGTCGAAGGCGGCACATGCTACAGCACCGACGTCTGCGTGCCGGTTAGCAAGCTCCCGCAATTGGTCAGGGAGACGCAGGAGGATCTGAGGAAGCATGGGATCGTCGGGCCATTGCTGGGGTGAGTCGATAAGTATCAGTAGAGCGCAGAAGCTGATGATCAGACATGTCGGAGATGGAAACTTCCACGCTGCTTTGATATTCAAGAACGACGTTCCGGGCGAGTTCAAGAAGGTGGATGATGCTGCGCACCGCGTGAGTCTGATCTTCATGGGTCTACCACACTTACAAGCTAATTCGCAGATGGTGGAAAGGGCGATCGCGCTAGAAGGGACATGTACAGGCGAACATGGTGTAGGCATTGGCAAGAGGGTAGGTCGTTCCTGCGGATGCAGGCTGACGTTTAGATGTACCTGCGCTCAGAGCTGGGAGACGGTACACTGCGCGTAATGAAGACGCTCAAGAATGCGTTAGATCCAAAGGGAATCATGAACCCCGGCAAAGTAAGTCTAGCGTGCTGAAGCGGTGTAGCCTGGAGCTGATACGCTCAGCTGTATCCAGATGATATTGACTGATACTCATGTGTCCTAGACTAATCTTGTAGCATCATATCTACAAGCACTATATGATATGAATGTCCTTGCTTACTGTCCTCGGTGCTTATATGTATTCTGATTACTTGCTACATCACCCTACGAGGTGATGACAAACTGCTGCTGGGGGTCGGGGTTCGAGCACTCCCAGGTCTGAACAACGGACGGCTCGTCCGCCTTGACATCAAGGCACTGGTTGTCTGCACATCAGCACTGCTCAGACCCGGAACTTACTGGTCGCCCGAATCAATCCAGCAAAAGTCGGGCTGAAGCTCTGCTGAGCGTAGCCACCGCACGACCAGAGCTTGAGTGGGATGCCGTTGGCCGGGTTGGATCCGGCGTCCAGGCAGTACTGGGTGTTGATGAGACGAAGCCCGTTGTTGGTGGAGTACTCGAATGCATTGGAGGAAGAGCTGACGCAGGAGCCAAGAGTGACTGGCGTGCCGTCGCTGGGGGTGCCCTGGGCAGTGAGACACTGGTTACCGAACTTGACCTGGTGACCGGCGGCGGGGGTGGCGCTGGCGGAGGCAGAGGCAGAGGCAGAGGCAGAGGCTGAAGCTGAGGCGCTAGTGGTGGGCGAGACCGTAGTGGTGGGTACAGCAGAGTTATTATCAATGTACCAGACTACTGGATCAGCTTGAGTCCCGGCTGCAGCTGGGGACTAGGAGGGCTCACCTTGGTTGGTGTTGCCAGTGGTGCACTGGTAGGTCTGCACGCCGTTGTCCCCCTCGTCGAGACACTGAGTACCGCCAGTCTGGGCGATCCGGTTGTCGTCGGTAAGGTACCAGGTCTGCTGAGGGGCGCCTGGGTACGACTGCCAAACCTGAGAACGTAAGCTAGAGCGAGGAAAGACTAGATTAGACTGACCTTGAGGGCACCATTGTTGCCCGGGTTCAGGCCGATGTCGAGGGCGAGGTCGAGACCGGGGACGGTGATAGATCCACTGCCTCGGTTGATGAACCACGTGTTGGCCTCAACGCAGCTCTTGGTGATGACCGGGGTGCCGTTCGCGACGGGGCCGTACCGACCAATGTTCTGAGCGTCTACAGCCAGACAAAAGCCGTCTCGGCCGGACCGAATGAGGGTACCGTCTCGCTTGTTGATGGGGCTGGCGGAGGCAATGGCCAGGAGGGGAAGAAGGGCGAATAGCTGGGATAGCATATTGAGGCTGGTATGGGAGTGTGGAATGGCTGACTTGGGTGTATCGTATGGGAGGTGGTGGTGTGGGTGTCAGGTCTTGGTTTCTGTTCGCACCCCTTCTTATACCTCGGCAGGTGTCGATGCGGACCTTGCGGCTATGCTATCCGAGAGGCTTTCGGACCGGTGCGGCGCTGCTGACGTAGCCCCGCATACCGCTCCTGTGTCAAGCTGTACCTATGCAGTACCCAATAAAGTACAGCTTCATCACGTGGGCGTCCGGGAAGACTCATCCGGAAGTACAAGAGAGAGACATCCACTAGTGAGATTGTATAGCAATGTCAATGTCAGTTATGACGTCTTAGCTCTAGCCAGCTCTCGAGCCGCTTTCAGATCTGGCTCGGCAGCGATAGAAGGTGTGGGGTGCGACGCGGAGGCGGAGAGCTAAAGGCGGGGAGACTTGTCTTTACGTCAACAATCTATTCATAGGTCATCGAGGAACCCGATCCGGTCTCATACTTTGCGGAATGAGGAGGCGGACCGGTGCAGCGTGAGCGGTAGCATGCGGGCCTGCCGTCAACTGGCAAAGGCCGGTGCGGCGGATGATCAAGGAGGGCCGAAGTTCATTTCGGATGTCCGGGACATTGGACTTCGGGTGAAGAGGAGCCGTCACCGTGTGCGCCAACTGATGCCCGCGAGGGCTATGAGTGGGCTATGTGTCTCACATCCGAGGATGTAGATTGTGGGACCGAGATTTTACCTGTTGGAGCAGTGCTCGAGCAAGCTCGAGGTGGACTACGATGACGCACGTGCGGGCGCAAGCTGTTGACCAAATCCCGACCGATGAGGTCCCGACTGGCGCGTCCGCATTGGCAGGTCTCGAGTGCGACATGCTCCACCGCTGCAATGCCGTGGGTATGCGGTGAAGCTGTGCGGACCGTTGATACCTCAGCTCTGTGTCAGTCTATTCCTAGACCACCTTGGCACCTCCGCCGACTACATAAAGGTCGGTACTGAGTCCCACCTACCCACCACTCCACAAGACATTCACTCATCTCAACTCTCAACACAAACAGCCTATTCACTCAGTCGTCATGCTCTTCACCTCCGCTGCCCTCGCCCTAGTGGCTGACCTCCCCGCTCTCGCTTCCCCTATCCAGAAGCGCTTCAACAACGTCAAGATCCGGGCCGGCCGTGATGGCACTTGTCTGAGTCTGCCCCCGCTTGCATCCCAGCCCCTCGCCAACGGCAACCCCGTCTACAAGCGCAACTGCGCCGAGGCCACCTCTTGGAACATCGAGCGAGGATCGGGGTCTATCACCGTTGCCAACACCGCTGAGTCATACGCCCTTGACGCTGGTGTCAATCCTCACAACAACGTGGCCATGAAGATCTGGCAGTCATACCCTGGTGCCACCCAGCAGACGTGAGTGTTCCAGTGAGTGCGGGGGCTTTGTTGACTTTGCAGCTGGTACTACACCGATGACAACCGGATCGCCATCACCGGCGGTGATCAGTGCTTGGACCTCGGTGACAACGGGCCTCAGACCTATCAATGCACTCCAGGCAACACCAACCAAGGTAAGTCTTTCGGCACACTCTGGACGCGAGCTGACAACCAGTGTGGTACGTCGACAGCGGCAATCCTGCACCTTCTACCACGGCATCATCATCGGCCATCCCTTCCGCGTCCAGTACCTCTGCTCCTCCCCCAGCTCAGACCCCTCGACAGATCCGGTACGTCTATGGCGACTACGGATGTCTTACCGCCTCGGGCACCCCAGCGGACGGTACCCCTGTCGTTCTCGGCAGCTGCGAGAGCTCTCCCTCCAACACCTTCTACATCAACCCCCTCAGCGTGCCGCAGCTGTTTGGCACCAACTACTGCCTGGACGCCGGATCCAACCCATCGAATGGCACCCCGCTCAAGCTCTGGACTTGCGGTGCATACCCTGGCTATCCTCAACAGAAGTTCCGGCGCATCCAGAGGGGCCTCGTTCAGACTGCCAGTGAGTACTTAGGCTGTTCCATCGCTGATATCTAGACAACCAATGCCTCGACATCAAGGCGGACGAACCCTCTGTCGTGCAGACTTGGGAGTGCTCCATCCTGGACGACCAGCAGCAGTTCCAGTTCACTCCTTATTAGCTTCCTCCACGTATGATCTGGGTAAAGGACAATGTCACACATAAATATAATGCTTCACTTAATATGCAACGAGATCTGCTTTGATGTCATCGTTAGCTTGAGCTGCGTGTCGCATCAAAGCCAGTAATGACAAGCAGTGAGATGCTATCAGCATAATCAGCACAGGTCGCCGTGGATAAAGACAGACAAGCACAGAAAGTCTGCCCTGAACGAATCGATCACTACGCCTCCTTCACCGCACTCTGCACCTCCCCTCTCCTCCCGGCAATCAACCCCCTCAATGTCTTCAAGCCCAACAACACGCCTTGGTCCGGTCCTCCTCCTTCCTCCAGCCAGGTATGGGCAAAGTCAATCAACTTGAGCACAACCGGTGGGCACCGCCTCTTCTCCCTCTCGTCCGCCTTGGGTCCGTCAAGATCGTCGCTCTCCTCCGAGCCTTCCGAGTCCGTCTCCTCGTCTTCGAGAAGATCCATCAAGTCGTCATCGTCTTCCGGCTCGTCAGAGACGAATTTGGGAGGTCTGGAGTCGAGCCGGTCCAGGGCTGCCGCAAGCCGGTCGGCATCCCCCTCGTACACGACCAACACACTAGCTCCGACAAAGCGGATCTCCAAGCCGGTGAGCAAAGTCTCCAGCTTGGAGAGCTCTGCATCGACGATGTCCAGCACGCGTAGGAGGAGCTTCGGTGGAAGGGCGTGACCGGCATACTCTTTCGCTTCGTTGTTGCCGGTAAGAGGGGTAAGAGGAAGGGGTGGCGGCTTGGACTCGGCGCTAGAGGGAGCGGAGGGGACAGGTGGAGCGAGCTGCGCATTGCCAAAGGTGGACGAGGTGGAAGTGGTGGGTGCAGGAGAGGGAGGAGTGACGAGCGATGGGATGTGGTCGGTAGGGAGGGGGAAGTAGCGGACCATTCCGCTGGGCAGCTGCGAAGCCTTGATACCCTTGCCGAATGATTTGGGGGTAAGGATGTAAGATTGGGTGGGAGCGTGCCAAGTCTGCTGATCAGCCATGTTCCTCAGACCAGCGATCAAACTCACCTGACTCCCCGTGAGTCTGAGACCCGTCTTCTTCGTGGTCGTCTCCCTTGCGTTCTTCTCCATCCGCTCCTTCTTCTCTTCCGAGGCGGTCGGCTCATGCAACACAGTACCGAGCTTGGCGTCGAGGATAGAGGGGTGCGTGAAACCATGAGAAAGGTTCTGGATGACGACCGACTAAGAGATCAGCTCGCCTCTCTGACGAAGATCAATGACTCACCTCGGGGATCTCTGCCTTCTCTGGGATATCTGCCTGGAGCTGGCCGTTACCTTCCAGCCGGCCCTCAAGCCTCAGAGTACCGAAATACTTTGGGATAAACGGCTTGAGCTTGGAGAAGGGGGACGAGCGGGGTGTTTCGTTGATAAGCTGGTAGAAGGCGATCTCTTTGGGCAAAGAGGGCTGAGATATCAGCTACAGTCGTACGAAGCCGCGGTAGTACTTAGCTCACTTTGATGACGAGACTGCCGGACGCATCGCTCATGACGCCTTGATGACCGGCCACCTGGTTGAGCAGGGGGGTCGAGGGCTGCCCCAGAGCGAGGGCTGATGCTGCTTCCATAGTGAAGGTTGACTCTTGATATCTGTCCGGTTGTCTCTATAAGACTGTCAGGATGAGGGGGATGTATGTTGTGGATGGTCAATGCGTTGGGAGAAGAAGCTTCAAGCTTCAAGGAAGCTGGACACGGACGCGTGGTAAACGCGCGAAGGCGGAAGCAAAACGCATTCCTAAGGAGGAATGTGGCACAGTGGCGCCAAGCCCTTGGCCGACCTGCTCTCATGGCAGGTGCTAAAGCGATGGACGCTCACGCCTTTCCCTGGTACGTACGTCAGGCCGGGTCAAGCTTGGTCGGCCTTGCTGAGTGGCTGTGTTGCCTATCCTAAGTCATCGTCATCGTCATCATCTACGGAGATCTCCGCGCCGTGCCTGGCGTGCATTCAGATGTGTACGTACCGAAACCGACATGTCGCTGCGCGGGTCTCTTTCTTGTCCAGCCCCTCCAGCCCCCTCAATACTATAAATTTCGGGCTGGTCATGAACCTCACCATCATTTGTACATCTATCAGACCCAAACTACCTTTCTGGTGCACGACCCGCTCGCCACCCCTCGATCATATCCCGGTCAACATCCAACATGCCCCTCTCATTCAAGGACCGCGTCCGCCGTGCTAGGACAGCCATCAAGCTATGGCCGCTGAAAGTTATCGAGTGAGTACATCTTTTCTCACACGAGCTTCCCAACAAGGGTAAGGGGCTGACAGCCAGTCGTTTCTTTGGTGACTCCTGGTCGGTATCGACCGACGAGGACGCCGAGCGTCTGCTCCGCGAGATCGACGAGTACACTCAACACATCGCTGTTAAAAAGGCCATCAAGGAACAGAGGCGGGCTTTTGAGCTCAGTCGCCCTTGGTGGGAGAGGGACGGACAAGTGTTAAAGACGTGAGTGGTTCATCTCGATATATTGAGCAGCAGCTAACAACCGCTCAGCTGCAAGCTCCTCCCGGTCCCCCACCGGATGCATAGTCCTCCTGCACACACGCAGAGGTCCCTCCAGCTCGTCTTCAAGAAGGACACCCATACCAAGTAGGTCCCGCCTTCCATCCCGTGAGCGATACTGATCAGCAGGGTCGGAACCACCCACACATTTCCTCTTCTCATCGCCGAGGCCGATCAGCACACCGAGCAGATCGAGAGATTCGGCATCGTTCCACACATCGTCGTCACTGCCGAGCTCCACGATGTCATACCGAGGACGCATCACACACCCCTCATGGTCCCCTGGGCGCCCCCGAACGTTCCTGGTACGACCCCTGGCGATGTCGATCTCGACGGACACGTCATGCAGTGGGGTATCAGCTTCACTCCCGACCATGACCTGGATGTGGCGGCGCGGGTGGCTTTCCGTTACCAAGTCCCGATCCCTTCCCGCTTCGTGGGCACGTATCGCAAGTGGTCGATCAAAGAGTGAGTGATGACATGCCTCCAGAGCTGACTGTCAGTCTGCCCCCACCTCCCGGGTCCGACTTGTCAGGGTCCTCCAGCTCGTCCACCCTCCCAGACGATGCGATCTTGACTCCGACCCAGGGTTCGGCGAGCCTGGAGAATATGATCGTCTGCCTCGACGCCGATGGGACTGGCGGGAAGGGAAAGGCGGAGCTTGTCGATGACGACGAGTAAGGTTTCAGGCGGAGGCAACGTCGACTCTGTACGATAGTAGCATATAGAGGATGGTGCCCAGCCTACAAGTAGAACGATTACATGGAGTTGCATCGCTGTGTAGTTCAGCTCAGCTTTGCTGCATCGACTGACTTTATGCCGCTTAATGCCGGTTATATCCGGCTCAGCGGCATGGCCGAGCTCACGGCCGAAAGGCCAAAGCGTATTCCCTCCATCACATCATGACCTCTATCACACCCATCACACCTGGTATCGCCCTCGTCACTGGCGCTTCGTCCGGTATAGGACGCTCGGCGGCAATAGCGCTGCACAAAGTGGGATGGACGGTCATTCTGGTCGCGCGCAGGAAAGACGCGCTGGAAGACGCTGTACAGCTCATGAACGAGGGGGGCGGGGAGCGAGCTCGGGCCTTACCTGCCGATCTATCGGTTGAAGAAGAGGTCCTTGCTGTCTTTGAGACTATCAAGAAAGACTATGGTAAGCGTCCCGTATCCGGAGAGGATGAGCGCTGATTGGTAGGACGACTCGATCTGCTCTTCAACGTCAGTTTTCTCCTCTTGATTCAAGCCAAGCTGATGATCAGAATGCGGGAATGGGATCACGCAAGATACCGATAGAAGAGCTACCCTTGGCAGAGTTCCGTAAGGTGATGGAACTCAACGTGACGGCCAGCTTCATATGCGCTCAGGAGGCGGTCAGGTTGATGAAGGCGCAGAGTCCAAAGGGCGGTCGGTGAGTGGTGACCATTCATCTCGCGTTGATCCAGCTGATCGATAGGATTATCAACAACGGCTCGATATCTGCATACACTCCGCGTGTCTTCTCTGCCCCATACACAATGTCCAAGCACGCCATACTAGGCTTGACAAAATGTCTCGCTCTGGACGGAAGGGCGGACAACATCGCTTGCTCGCAGTTAGATATTGGTGAGCCGGGCAACTGAGTTCTGATTAACAGTACTGATGCTTATCTGTAGGAAACGCCAACTCTGGTATCCACGGGACGACCGAGATGCTTCAACCTAACGGTAACAAGCAAGCCGAAGAGTGGGTTGCTTTCCCCTTTCTTCGATATCGCTGACTGAACAGACAATTCCACGTCGATTATGCTGGGCAGGCCGTGCTATACATGGCTAGTTTGCCTTTGGGTGTGAACATCTTGAACCAGGCGAGTCTCCCGATAGGTGGCCCTGCGACAAGACAGGCTGAACGAGCAGACACTGATGGCAACTACCATGCCGTTTGTAGGTCGGGGATGAGGGTGGGGAAACGGGAAAACGGTTGTATCACAGATCTCGAAGGCATTTGTCTCAACTCCGCTTGCTATGCACCTCTTGCAGACGTGTCGTGCACCGTAGCTGCCATCTTGGACCATATCAGGCCCAAACTCCAAGCTCTTCCAAGCTGCCCCACTGTCCGTGCGCGCGCCTGTAGCCGGGTCCGAAGTCCGGGCCGGTCCACTGCCAAACCCGAACGGCCGAATATCCGGGGCACATTCAGGGTCAACGCGGGGTCGCTCGCTTACGGCTATTCCAAATTGTCTTCGTCTTGCGCCTTTGACTCGAGAGAGCGAGAGAGAGATGGGGGGGAAGCGGAAGAGGGGAGCGAAGGCAGTCAGAGTATCATCAACTACCTCACATTCTTCTCGCCAACCGACAATTAAGGTCTCATACTCATCGTAGAGGCGTTCTCGCCAAACGACAATTGACGGCTTACTCCTCGTAGCCTCCTCGTAGGGGCGTCAAAAGCAGACAGATGTCGACCGATCTGAAAAAGTCTCTCAATGAGGATGGGGTCGTTAGTCCAGGGGACCATGGCGGGCCGAGCCACAACACGGTGGACAAGGCGGTCTTTCGTCGAGCTCTGATGAAGCTGGACCTCTTCCTGCTACCAGCAGTGACCTTCATCTACTTTCTGAACTTTCTGGACAGGTGAGTCCTCCTCGTTCACACCTCGGGGAACCAGTGGCTGACCCCCGTTCAGGTCCAACATCGGGAATGCGCGACCAGCAGGACTACAGACCGACCTGGGTCTGTCAAACACACAGTACTCGATCGTACTCACGGTGACTTACGTTCCGTACATCGCCGCTGAGCTCCCCTTGACGCTCGCGATGAAGTGGATGTCAGTATCCAAACGACTGCCAACGGACTGCACTGACGATAGTAGCGGTCCCAACATCCTCATTCCTGCTCTTGTCGTCTCCTGGGGAATCGTCACGACCTTCCAAGGCTTCGTGTCAAGCTACGAGGGTCTCCTCGCTACCCGCTTCTTCCTTGGTCTCACAGAAGGTGCCATCCTACCAGTATGTCTCGAGCTCTCCTGCTACAAGTGGACCTTGACTGACTGGATCAGAGCTCCATCGCCTACATGTCGACCTTCTACTGCCGAGCCGATTTAGGCAAGCGCGTCGCCGTCTTCTTCTCGGCCACATCTCTCGCTGGAGCGTTCTCTGGTCTCCTCGCGGCCGCTCTGCTGAACATGGAGGGATTAGGAGGCAAGAGAGGGTGGCAGTGGATCTTCATCATGCCCGCCGACCTTTTGGCATCTTTGAGAAGAGCTGACACAACAGAGAAGGACTCATCACGGTCGTGTACGGTGCCATCGCGTTCTTCATCCTTCCGCGGGATGTACGAACAGCTCGATACCTCAACTCTGCCGAGAAGGAGGCCATTCTCCTGGCGCACGAGACCGACCGACAGATGACCGAGGACCGAGAGGCATTCAGCTGGTCCGGATGCTTCAGCGCGTGCAAGGAGCCTCAGACCTGGTTCATGTTCCTGCAATTCTTCTGCAGTGGAGGCACGTCTTACCGTAGCTGTCAGCGGGGAGGTCAAGCTGATCTCTCAGTCATGCTGTACGCCCTCGCTTTCTTCGCTCCAAGTGAGTTGACCGTGGCGCTTCGAGCTATGACATGCCTCAGCTGAACCCTCAGCTATCGTTCAGGCTATCGGCTACCGCGGCACCGCGATCCAGCTGTACTCGGTCCCACCGTACGCCTGCTCCGCATTCGTTGCCATTGCTGCCTGCTGGACGTCCGACTATCTCAAGCATCGCGGATCATTCGTTATACTCGCTTCCGTCATATCGCTTGCTGGATACGCAATGTACTATACCAGCACTAACACGAATGTGCTCTACGCGAGTCTATTCTTGCAGGTCATCGGGGCGTACACTGTCGCACCGATGCAAAGTGTCTGGATGGGTGAGTGATCTGCGCTTAGGTCCGAATGATGCTTACCCATACAGCCAACAACCTCGATCCCTTCTATCGCAGGAGCACGGCCATCTGTCTCGGCTTTATTAGCACCAACTCGGGCGGTATCCTGTCAACGTGAGCTGAAGCCCATATTTCTGGGATACAGAGCTGACCTACAGGTGGATGTTCCCTACTACTGAATCACCTCGATTCCAGCGCGGTACCTCTATCCTCCTTGGTGTATCGGCGGCACAGGCTGTATTCGCCGCGATGAACACCGCGTACTTGCACTTCCAGAACAAGAAGAAGGAGCGGCTGTTGGCGGAGAGAGCGCAGGGTAGCGGGGCGGAGGTTTATGATGGGACTGGTAACAGGAGTCTGGGGTTCAAATACATCACATGACGCTGTAGTGCGAAATTTGCAGAAGCGCGATGTGCCATGACTTTTGGGGACACCAGCTGGGAAAAGAAATTTCGTACGAGATGCATGACTTCAGGTTTCTACTCCGCATCCAGAGGGCAATGAGGAGGTGTATCGTCTACTTGGATCCCGCCGCGCTTCGCTTCCTTGCTGTCCACATACGGCAACTTCCACCCACCCTCTTCCTCACCTACCGCCAGCCACAGCCGCATGAGCTGCCTCTGTAACCTCGGCCTGCCCTCCTCATCCACCGAGCCCGCCGGCCAGTCTGTATACTCTGTACGCGCGTGGAAGATGTGTGCGTTGGCAAGCAGCTGGATGTCTCCTGGCTGGAGGATCATGTGGAGCGCGAGCCGGTGGGCTGTCTCCTCCAGGATTGCCATGGCCTCGATCTGGGCCGGGGTGAGGGGAGGGATGACGGCGTCCGGGCCAGAATTGTACCGCTCGAGCGTGGTGACGTTCATGGGGTCGAACCGGGCGTAGACCCTCTCCTCGCCGTTGGACGCCTTGACGAGCTGAAGCAACGAAGTTCCGATGTACGGCTCCTCCCCTTCTGACACCTCGCCCTTCCGATCAAAGTACCATATGGGCTCCGTCATCAACTTGACCGCCTCAGGATGCTCCTCCTGCATCGCGTTGTAGAGGTGGTGAGTCGACACAATGTCCGACTCACCCCCTTCCATAGCCCGTGCCATGCAGAGGAGCCCGACGAGATCCGCCGAGTCGGTGTGGAAGAATTGACGCTTGTTGGTACGGTAGATACGGATGGGAACTTTGGACTGAGATTGGTCCTCCGCAAGGTTCTTGACGTGTCCGAGGATGTGACCGCGTCCGTTCTGGGAGATGGCGATACCAAAGTGGGCGCCGAGGCCAAGGTAAGCGGCCGCGCACTTTTCGCGGGACCATTGGTGGACCGGGACGTTTTGGAAGAGGATGAAGCCGCGATCGTTGAGCAGGGTGGGGCGGAGGGAGGTGAAGAGGGGAGCTAGTGTGGGCAGTGAGAAGTTTGCCTGATAGTCAGCCCTTGCTACAATGTCAAGTCCACCAGAAAACGCACCTTGGTAATCTCGGTCAACTTCCTGCCGCTCTGCAGAGCCTCGTCCGCCGCCTTGCCCAGCTCATCGATCTGTTCCGCTGAGAAGCCATATGTCCAGCTCTCTGGCTTCTCCTTTAGCTCATCCGCTCGCCATACTGAGGACCCCTCGATGCGCTTGGGAAAGTCCTCGTAAGGACGGAGAAGAGAGTAGATGGGCGGGTGCTGTCCCGTTTTGACACTGGTCTTGGACATTACGAGTTGGGCAGAGTATATTGTGGTCTGACGGTGAGGGATGTGAGTGAGATGCAGAGTGGAAACGCAATTAATATAGAGGTCTACAAAGAGGTGAGATGGCGCAATAAAGGTCGCCGGAGTAAAGCCCGACCGGCCCGGAGCATGTTACGATTCCCGAAGAAGAAACCGAAGCCGAACAGGCAGGCATGGCTTGCGATGCACCGCGATGCAACGGCTCTGACCTTGGTTATCCTTCGGTCCGATGGTCTGAACCGGCTCTCATGAGCTCATGAACATACTGGCTGAGCTCAGTGTGAAGAAAGATCCAGGGCATTTGATACAACTTGTCCCCGCCAGGTCCGGTAGCTACTTTACAGATTTTACCGCCTCATCTCCGCGATGACTTCTCTGATCCCTTCCTCCTAAGCTTTTCCTCCTTTTTCTCCCTTCTCCGCATCCGCCAAGCCGGGGCATAGTGCATGACGAAGAACGGGATGGGCAGGAAGATGACGCTGAGACCGGTGAGGAGAACGAGGGTCCAACCTGCGCCGATGGCACTGTAAAGAAGCTGGATGGTTCCAGTGCCCACTGCGCCCAAAAGACAACGGACGAGATTGAGCTACGGATTATCAGCACCGTAGCTTCTGCAAGAAGAGAGTAGGAAGTCTGACTTACGGACGCTGAAACGGCGCCACCTTGACCGGGTTTCAGATCTTGCCCATAAATCGTTGCCAAGTTGATGGTTGAAGTGCCGAGGCCGACAAAGAAGTTGATGACAAGAGTGACGGCTAACGGTGCGCGCGCCTCCAAGCACCAGCCGAGGGCGACGCAGGAGACGATGAAGATACTGTATCTAGATCAGCGCAGTTCCTAACTGCGGTGTGAGGAACTTGCCAATAAGATGGTATAGCAACGATAAATCTCGATCGTTCCAGCCTAAATTCCTCTGCCTTCTTTCTGAAGTCCCCTCCGACCCTCTTTTCCTCTTTGCGGTAAAAATAGTCGACCAGCCGACCGTTGATGAGGGCCGTGATGACCAATCCCGCTCCCCCGGGTCTACATATCAGCACTAGCGAGGCAGGCATCAGCAACCAGACTCACAGGTAGCAGAGACCTATTTGCAGCTCATTCAACCCATAGGAGCCCTTGAGTGCTGTCGAGTAAAGAGTTCTTCTAGTCAGCGATGCTGACAATGTACCAGACAGGGACGGCTCACAAGATTGAGTAGAATTCAAGATATAGGATCGACGAGAAGAAGAAGACAAGGAAGATTTCGGGAGTGAGCAGGACGAGGAACGCAGAAAGTGGCTGGTACTGCGGACTTCAGCATTGCCCATCTTGAAGTCTAGGGAGTGTACATACCTTCTTGCGATCTGGTCTTGCAACGTGCGCCTTTTCCTCCCCTGTACGTTTGCGCTCCTTCGTTGCGAGATGATGTTCCCAGAGTTGCTGAGGTGAGGACGAAAGTCGAGGAGGAGGGACCGAGCCGTCGCCAACAAGCGATCTTAGCGTCTCGGGTAGAAAGCTGGAGCGGTCAGCGCGTCGACTCTCAGTCCGAATCCAGATACACGCACAAGATCAGCGGTATAAGCACCACGGCAGTGGCTATGACGAGGAACCAGAAGATCGCACGCCATCCGAGCGTTTGAGCGAAAATTCCGCCCAAGAGCGGACCGAACAGAGGCCCGAATAGGGTACCGACCTGGAAAAGGGACATGAACATTCCCCTTTCTCGAGGCTCGGCAACATCGGCGACACAGCCTGACCCGATCGCGATGAGGCAGGAACTACCGGTTGCCTATCGTATGAGCTCGTACTTGCCACAACGCTTCGGCCCAGCGAGGCAATATAGACATGACACAGGTCGACTCACTTGGACTGCTCGTAGCACCAGCAACAACCAGTAACTCCCTGTCGGACATAGCGCCAGTCCAATGCACGCACCGATGTATACGATCAGACCGCCTATACTGAGCGGACGACGACCGAACGAATCTGAAGCGCTTCCGAGGAAAGAGGGCGTGACCGCTTGGAAGACCAGATAGACGGTAACGGCGAGCGAGATGTCTTGCTCGGATCGATTGAAATCATTGGCAAGAGTGGGGATGGCGGGGACGAAGATGTTGGAAGAGATTGGGGAGACTGTGGATCAGCGTACATCAGCAGAGAGTATGGGAGAGGAATGAAGCACGCACAGACAGCGGTGATGCCCATCAGAGAGACGATGAACCATTTCGTGGATCTCGAGAAGGCCGAGTAAGGCTTATCGGACGACCTCGATATTGCCCGTTGCGCCTCGTCTCCAGAGTAGACAGGAGTTTGACCCACTCCGTCCATCTTTCGCGAGAGATGCGAAGTAGTCCTGGTCGGCTGGCCTCCGGCAGTCTCTGGTATGGGTAGACCAGGCTCCAGATACGCCACGGACGCGCTGCGATCCGAGGGCGTTCTCGACGGCCCACCAGGAGGTCTTGTCGTGCTGTCTGACCGTTCCGACAACAGGTCCGCATGCTGAGCTTCCGGGGCTGCGATACTGAGTAGCCCAGGATGGCTGGACGACAGCCCTGTCCCAGAAGAGGCGCTCGCGGTGGGCATACTGGGATTTGTTTACGCAAACGCTTTTCTTTCGGCGGGCGCAGGCGTCGAGCGATATATCAGGCGGCCTCCTGTCGATGGCGGGAAGAGATGAAGAGTAGCGCTGCTATTATACACAACTACACAAGGACCAATCCCGAGGCAAGAGATGCAGAGTCCAGTGAGATCTGAGATGACCATCGATGACCATCGTGGTCGCAATAGATCGCACAAATGTAAGGCCGACTAGTCTCGGACATCGTCGGTCAAAGCCGAAACCCACTTTTGAACCTGTTTCGGCGAATCGGCAGCTTTCGGCCGATCGGGGCAGCGGCCGAAAGGCACAAGTGTTGATGTTCTTGCTCATGGACATCAGAAGCAAGCGCTGTAGGGAGAGCTCTGAGAATGTAATTAGCTGACACGGCTCAGTTCTGACTCCCTAAGCGGGCTTTGGCGGACGGGAGAGGTGAGTCTGGGCGCGCGCGCACTGCAGCAGGTCAAGTAGCCTAATTATCGTCAATAAAAGGATAAGCAGGGTGCTTGACAGCTGCTGTCCATATGTATACATTCGTATCGTGAATACTGGCGGCGACACAGCCAGCAGCTGCAGCTGGTCTGTACATCTCGCCTCTCGCCTCGTTCAGTCGTTTCGCCACCTGCATCACATTCCTCACATAAAATATGGTCGAAACGCGGGGCAGCCCGTGCGGAATGACGTCACGTCAGCGAGGCGGACTGAGGCCAAGCGAAAGCTTTAGAGGTCGTGATCGACCCAAGGACGCATTGTTATAAGGTGTCTACGTATACATCAAACTATAGATGCGATATCTGGGAACACTCAGAGTGGCAAACAGACAGCTGTCCTCTAAGCCAATATACCGGTCGCGAAAAATGTCCGCCACTACCGGCACAGTCCGCTCTCTCGCTGAACTGACCAACGTCTTGAGCGAGAGCAAGTCGCCCTATCTCTTGCAGCACCAGGACAATCCCGTGGCGGTGAGCTTTGACCAATCACTGATACCAGGAGATGGACAGCTATCTGATCCGCGTAGTGGCAAGAGTTCAATCCCGCTACTCTTGCTTTGGCAGCAGAGCTTCAACGGCCAATTTTCCTGTCATCCGGCTACTCGGCATGTCACTGGTGCCATGTCCTCGCGCACGAGTCTTTCGAGAACGCACAGATCGCCAAGGTGATGAATGAGAACTTCATCAATATCAAGATCGACCGCGAAGAAAGGCCAGACGTGGACAGGCTGTACATGCAATATCTGCTGGCGATGGGGAAAGGAGGTGGATGGCCGCTGAGCGTATGTGAGCGCTTTCACCCTATACATCAATTCAGGAAATCTGCTGATATATGTACAGTCCTTACCCCTACCCTAGAGCCCTTCTTTGCTGGGACCTACTTTCCTCCCAAGCAGTTCCGGGCCCTCCTCGAGCGTGTCGCCGATCTATGGGAGGACGACCGAGATCAGTGCGAGAAGCTCGGGCGAGATGTCATCGCGTCGATGAAAGAGATGAGCGCTGAGTCTGTAAGTCCCTCCGCACAGTTTCGAAGTATTACAAGCCTGACCCCATAGTCTTCGAGAACCCCATCATCGCTCAAAGCCATACTCGATTCTCATCCCGCCAACAAGCTGTACACCCACCTCCGAACATCGTACGATCCCGAACATGGCGGCTTTTACCAGTCAGCAAGGATGCGCTCTGGCCCCAAATTCCCAAGTCCCTCGCTGACGCTGGAACCTCTCGCCCGAATAGCGCTATGGGGCGGAAGACCAGGAGATCGTCCGCCACTCGGTGTAGCCGCTAGCACAGCTCACAATGGCCCGGAACTCGTCAGAGAGCAGAGCAGGGTGATGGGTGTGCGGATGTTAAGGGCTATAAGGGAAGGTGGGGTCCGTGACTGGGTAGGGGGCGGAGTCGCGAGGTATAGCGTGGATGAGAAGTGGAAGGTTCCGCACTTTGAGAAGATGCTGTGGGTCTTCCTCACACGTCGCGAAGGAATGTTAGCTGATCATCAGATATGATCAAGCACAGCTCGTATCCTCTTCACTTGACTTTGCACTCCTCTCTGACCCCTCATCGCCAGGTCTTGAGCCGGACGAGCGGGAAACCAGAACAGCAGACCGGAAACGCTGCTTTGACCTCGCAGCGGACATACTGGGGTACTGTCTGCGCGACCTGCGCAGTCCAGGCGGTGGATTTTACACTGCTGAGGACGCGGATTCGGCCCAAGAGAGGGGCGGCAAGAAGTCCGGTAGGTCCCTCGTCTTGACCCCGGGGGGTCCTGAGCTGATGAAGTGCAGAGGGGGCATTTTACGTCTGGACAAGAGAAGAGATCGAGGAAGTGCTCGGAAGGGAAGATGCGTCGGTATTCGCCTACTTCTTTGGCGTCAAGGCGGACGGGAATGTCAATCCTGAGCATGACGCCCACGGCGAGTTGACCGGCATGGTGAGCTGATACTGGCCCGGTACGATAGTGGGGAAGCTGACCGACGCAGAACATTCTGTACCAAGCGAGATCAGTCCGCGATGTCGCTACAAAATACAAACTCAGCGAGGAAGAGGCGACCGAGAAGATACAGCTGGGATGCGCACGGCTCAAGAAGCGGAGAGACGAGACAAGGGAACGGCCGGGTCTGGACGACAAGATCTTGACGTCATGCAATGGACTCATGGTGAGTCTGGCGTACTGACTGGCTAGGCTAGTGCCCCGTCATCTTTATCAGCAGAGAGCGAAAAGGGCGCGCTGATGGTGCAGATGACAGCTCTGGCCAAAGCCAGCACATACCTGCCTTCCGGGTATGCTGTCGAATCCCGCTGCGCCGAAGCTGCGGATGGCATCGTCCGCTTCATCAAGAAGGAGATGTGGGATGATCAGGATAAGAAGCTATGGCGGTCATATCGGGAGGGGCGCGGGACAATCGGACAGACCGACGACTATGCGTTCTTGATCCAAGGTGAGCTCGCTCACATTTCAGCACCAACATGGAATGCGTGAGTTGACTATAAAGGCCTCCTTCACATGTACGAAGCCACATACTCCCCCTCCTACCTGTCCTTCGCGATCGCCCTTCAGTCGGCCCAGGACGACCTCTTCTGGGACCCCTCCCCTCCACACGGCTACTTTGCCTCTGCACCCGACCAGCATGTCCTCATCCGGCTCAAGGACACGCAAGACGGGGCTGAGCCCTCCGCGACCAGCGTATCGGTGCACAATCTCGCTCGGCTGGCGCTATACGCGAGCGACAGGTTTGAGGCGTACGAGAAGCAGGCGGAAGATGTGTATTTGAGCATAGGGGAGGAGTTGGGGAGTGTGCCGAGGGCTTGGGGAGGGGTCGTGGCGGGTCTGATGCAGCTTGAGAGGGGATGGAGGGAGGTAAGTAGCGTTCTCAGAGAGTCAGGGCTGGAGCTGATACTACAGTTCGTCGTCACCGGTTCGGACGCAGAGGCCAAGCCATACCTCGACCTCCTGAGGGAGAGCTACATGCCCAACAAGGTTGTTATTCGGATCGATCCCGACAATCCACCTTTCGAGCTCGGCGAGGTCAACGCGACGGTCAACGCACTGCTGAGCGAGAAGAAGGCTGGATTGAGGGTCTGCGAGGCAGGGGTGTGCGGCATACCAATCGTAGACTTGGAGGAAGCAGCCAGAGCCATCCGCGGAGAATAGAGTTCCTTATGGGCGTTGTATACTTCCTGTAAACGTAGGGTTAGTCTTGTATGCCCAGAGGTTCAGTGACGAAACAGACATCGCATCTACAAGTAGCGTATGAGTCCTCTATATTTCGGGTCTAAACAGCAGCTGCAATCCTTGCCTTGTCCAAGATAAAGCCAAATAGGCACAAGTCCTCAAAACCAAAAACAGCGAAAACGAAGGTTGAGAAACGAAGAGGGGAAATCAGACTTTGGGGGGCGGTGTTGGTCTGGCAGCTGCTGCAAGATCCCGCTTGCCAGCCCCGCTGCAACGAGCAGTAGGCAGATCGGCCAGCTTGGTAGCGTCATATGCGCTAACTTGTCAGCTACTGTCTTTGCCAGATCAATCGCGGTGGGCTTACTTGGGATAAGGGCACCCCGCGACCGAGACAAAGGCCTGGGCAGTGTCCTTCGGCATGGCCCATCCGTTCCCTACTGTCGCATTGGCAGGATGAGCGGGCGTGGCCATGGTGATGGGTGCGCCGGTCTGGGTGTAGGTCGGGAAGAGGGCGACCTGGGCGGCGGCAGTGAAATTCGGTCCCATGGAAGTTGGCGGCCAGGCAGCAATGGCGGATGTATTGGCCAAAGCGACAGAGGTGGATACAGCGCCCGTCGCGGATGCTGGGTACACTCCAGCAAACTTTATTATCAGCTCAATTCAGGCAGATCTGTGAACACCTCAGAAACTCACCTGTCCGCCCGCCACTCCGATGCTCTTGCAGAATCCGCCCGCGACTCGGGGATCCGCCGGGATCCAACCATTCTCCACTCCGAGCTTGTAGTTCCACATCGGGCTGGTGGGGTACTGCATCTCGGTCGAGTTTCCGATCCGCCATGTCCAGAAGAACCAATTCTGAAGCGCGTCCATGGTCGCCATGTTGTAGTCCTTGAGCCCCTTCTTGGTCGCGTCGTCCCACTTGAACCACTCTTCCCAGTGGGTGCAGCCGAGCGAGTTAGGGATGGAGTTGTACGAGTTGCCGGAGCCGACGCCGTTCAGCCATTTACCGCAGTTGTTGATGGCGTTGGACCACTCGCCGCCGAGGACGATACCGAACGAGCCTTGGGTGTCGTTGGTTCCTCCGCCCCAGCTACAGGCGACGCGGGCCTGGGTGGTGTGATTGGCGAGGTTCTGCTCGGCAAAGGCGAGGTATGGGTGCTGGTCGATAGCACTGGAAATCAGCAAATGGGGACTGGCCAAAGAGGATCACTTACAGTCGGTCCGCACCGCCCAGGAAGCCATTGAAGTTGGCGATACCCTCGAAGCCTTCGTGAATGACAATAATCGGACCGTTCCCGGCCCCGTAGCCAGTAATCGAGCGGATCATGTTATACGCCTGCAAATAGCTATACTGTAAGCTACATCCGCAACTTCGGCTGCCACGCGATCCAACTCACAAAGATCGCAAGGGAGTGTCACCGACGACGGTAGACTGCACCTCGTTGACAAGACTCAAGCTGTATCATCAGCCTTAAAACCTTTTGCGTATCATGACCACTCACGCTGGCACGACCTGCTTGATCCCATCTTGGGTCAAGAACTGTGTCAAACTTCTGATCTGCTCCAAGTGCCGCTGAGCGTTGGCGATGCCCATGACGCCGTACATCCAGTTGACACCATCTCCGAGCTTGCCGCCGACACCGGCTTTACCGGAGTGGTTCCACCCGTTTTGGGATCCTGGCCATCAGTATTCTGCCCTCAACGTGCTTTGGGCCAGAAGGCTTACCTGGAAGAGCGTGGAAGTCGAGCAGGATACGGATACCATACTTCCTGCCCCACGCGACGGCCTTCAGGAAGTACCTGCAACAAATCAGCCGCGTTACTTAAGAGCACTCGGGACGTGACCTACGTCCAGGATACTCTCGGAAGGTAGGGCTCGTCCGCGTGCGTCTCGATGGCCCAGTAGCCGATGGGAATACTGTTATGTCAGCTGTCAAGTCACAGGCCACGCGGCGAGCAGCTTACCGGACCCAGTTCAGCCCAGCCTTGGCGATATCTGCGAAGTCCTGCTCGACCTGGGTGGTGTCAGCTGATTACCCTTTCAATATGAGAAAGCCTAATCTCAGCTTACAATGAAGGTCCTGTAGTGCTCCTCCATCTTGACAGCGAGGTCTTTGCCCATCCTACGAGTGTCAGCCCAGTACGACTTGGCTTCGCGAAGAAGACTCACGCTTGGGAGAGGGTGTACTCGTCGATAGCTTGCGGTGTTGTCTTTTGGTATTGCTCATACAAGGCGGGAACAATGAAGGCTGTGACATCAGCCTCAGCGCGCTCCAGCGATAGACATCCTACTCACGCTCAGTGACCAGCCAACCACCGAGGTTTACTCTGCATTGTCAGCGCGAGATCAATCGCGCTTACAAGACAGGCAGTGACTCACCCTCGGACAATGTGTTGACCCCATACCCATTTCTCCAGGATGCTTGGAGACCAGCTCTGAGCTCTGCCTGAGACCTGCAGATCTCAGCTACTTCCTGCAGACACATCCAGACAGTCTGCTGACTCACCGAGTACGGGTTCTGCGGGTTCTGCGCCCACATACCGTCAAAGGTGTTGACATAGGTGAACGACACTCCGAGATCCGACACGACCGTCGAGCCAGTCTTGCCGGTCCCCGCCACGCCAAAGTTCACAGGTGAGGTCGAGTTGCCTCCCAGTCCGCCGGCGCTGCTTCCGGTCGTCGCTGGCTTCTTGACCACGCCAAAGTATACGCCGACCGCTGCGCCTGCGGCTATGATCACGAGGATAATGGGGAGACCGATGAGAAGCCAGCGCCGCTTGGTAGGGTTGGTTGGTAGACATCCTCGCTTTCCAGGCTGAGTGTAGCTCTTCTCTGAAAAGTTGCGGGGTTGTTGACCGCCGCCTGGACCTCGCGAGGGGTAGTTGGCTGGTGTGAGGAAGTGGTTTGAGGGGTATTGGTTGTTACCGAATCCAGTATCGAGGGGATCCTTCTCGGTCGCATCTAGACCGGGGCTAGATAGGTTGGGAGAACCCGCCATAGGTGATCCGAGCCCGATGCCGCCGTACCCGTTTCCGCCGACGCCAAAATTTGGGCGAATCTCGCGGTCAGGAGTCGATGGAACTGAATCGAACTCCTCGAGGTAGGCGTGTGTGGGCGAGGGCTGGAGATCGTACGCCTGCGAACCGGTCAGATAGTTGTTCAACCTGGCGTTGCGCTGCTGAGATAGATGTGCGAGCAGGGGATTGCCGCGTCCTCCTTGCTGGGGAGACTTGAAGGGGACCGGGGGCGGAGTAGACATGGCGTGCAATGGGTATGTAAAGGAAGAGGAGGATGAGACATGGTGGAGATGGGATGTAAGGTTGGGGTAAGCGAAGAAGGGATCTTTGTGTGTAGAGTGGAGTTGTGTATCTCTTTGAGGCTTTGCGTGTTTCACTTTCCATCTCAAGCCCCGCCAAACTCTGAGCACATGACGCGTCCAATGTCTCACCCGCCACCTGCCACTGCCACAGTAACAGCAAAACGAAAAGAGAGCATAGCCACTCACATCCTCGTAGCCTAGGCGATCCACGTCGTCCCTGCCTCTCCGTCTCCCTTGAGCCATTGGGCTTGGCGTCCGCTTGTCCTCGAACGGATTGACGATCCCGCCTGAAGCAGAAGAGGGCAGGGGATATCGTCTGGGCGAAGACGTGCTGCCCGTCGGACGCGGAGCCCGACCCATAGGCTGGAAGCCGGGTATGTGCTCGACAGGCTGATGGTCCGGGTTGGCAGTGCGAGCCAAAGGAGGCGAGATGATCATCGGTGGAGACGAGGCGTTCCGCTTCGTCATGATGGTGCGAGGAAGATAGAGGGCGAGTAGGGAGGATTTAAGAAGGCAAGTTGGACGCGTCGAGCGTCCAAGCGGTGGAGTGAGCGTGGGTTGGTAAAGAGCGTGAGACTTTCGAAGGAGTCAAGTGGGATAGCCAAGAACGGAAAGGATGAAGGAGCGCGAGCGAGTAAGTGTGATAGCTATGTCAAAGGTCAGAGCGCAACCTTCCCTCACGAGAAACCTTGAGCACAATAACACGCCTGACTTTCGAGATCTGGGGGCAGATCTATAACGGGCGCACCCGAGTAGTGCGGACCCTCCCATCACGTCAATCTCGTCACGTCGGAGAAAGAGATATCTTTCGCTGTGCATGTGTCCTCCTTTCCCAGCATCTGCTCCTTGCTGTGCTGCGCGTACACGGAGAGGCACTCGGAACACTTCTCAGATGCGCTGGGAACAGGTCCGTTCGCAACATAAAGGATGCAGGAGGAGCTCGAGCCATAGCGCCACTTGCAGGAAAGAGACGCGTCTTATCGTGACGGCATCTTCTCACGACGCGTCCTTCAGGGTTCCCAACAGTGCAGGTCACTCAAGGTGACTGAAGTACGACTCTCCGGGTCCTTATAGCCTGAGTCTCGCGGCATACGACGTACGTGAGGCTGTAACGGCTCTGCTCGCCATTATGGATGTCTGCATACTGTCTACATACATACTGCTTAGCGCAATGTCCGTATCACACGCGAATTATGAATATGAGTAAACTTCTGATCCTGACCCTCCGCCACCTTATGCCAACACCGCCGCTCCTCCTCCGAGCAAGCCCATGAGCCCCAAGCCTGCCCACAGCAGACTACTCCGTCCGACTTCAGCAGCCCGACCAGCAGCCGCACGACTGCTCTGGGCGCTCCCGCTTCCGCTGGCTCCTGCGCCTGAGGCTGTGTTGCTCGATGCAGGCGAGGAAGACGCGGGCCGAGGGGTGAAGACTCCGCCGGCTGGTTCTTGGGCCAGACAGGATTGAGCGGCTGTTTGAGCGTCTTGAGCGGTGTTGGGACCTAAATAGTCAGCTTGAGCCGGTAAAGAAACGGTGGCCGGAAACTCACGGTTCGCGCTGAGAGTGGCGTTGCTAGAGAAGTCGCAGCTCTGAGGAATAGGGCTGAACTCGTAGTATGCAGAGAAGGCGTAGTTGAGCTTGATGGCAGGGGAGCAGTAGCTCAGGACACCGTATTGGCCGGTGGCGCCGTTCCCGCCGATAGTGGAGCATGAAGCGCCAGAGTTGGACGAGCCGAGCAAGGAGCAGGTGTAGCTGTCTCGTCAGCTCCAGATCCCGCTTCTACAGGAAAATTATGACTTACTCCAGGAGAGAACCGAGGATGACGGGCCTGTTCGCAGTCGCCGGCCTGACGCGACAGGCAAAGGCATTGTCGTTGACGCAATTGCAGACCGCCTCGTTGGGTGTGGGCGGAAGCGTGTTGCTAGCGAGCCAAGTCGAGTTCTGGGTCGGGCAAGCGATAGTCGCCGAGGCTGGCGCCGCAGATTTTGTAGGGGAGTTGGGCGGCGAGGTGGCGTTGTACTGAGTGGCGAGACGTGTAAAGTCTGCGGAGGTCTGGACACTATACCATCAGCTCCGAGCCCGTCTCGAGGCTCGGTTCCGTCACTCACGTCGATCCATTCGTCCCTGAGAAAGTGACCATCCCGTACCCGTCACTCGTGGGGAAGTAGCTGAACGCCACACCGCCAGAGAAGACGTTCGACACTGGCGCAGAGTACAGCGCAGCGACCTCGGTCCAGAGACGCGGAGGGGAGAAGATGCAGCCGTACTCGGACATGTAGGTCGCGACCGGGATATCCGAAAAACCGGCGGTGATGGCGCCCCAGTTGGAGTTGTTGAGGTTCTGGTCGCCGCACCATTCGTAGTTGTTCAGTCCTACCGAGTCAGCTCTGATTACTGCCGATCACCGGAGAATGAGCTCACCGTAGATATCCACCGAAACATCATCGGCACCACAGGTCATATAATGCGCCATGCTATTTCTGAATGCCGCATCTCCGTCTGTAGCGGAGTATCCGACAAGCGCAGCTGCGCCGATGCCTTTGAGGTACGCTTTGATGTCTCGGGCAGCGGCTTTGACGTAGGCTGAGGGGTCAGCAAAGCATCTTCCGATCGCGATAGAAGGTTTGGCTCACGGGCGGCAACGGTGTTGGCGTTGGTCGTGACTACTTCATTGGCGATATTGTAGGCGAGAACGTTGTTGTACTGCTCCATTAGCTATCGCGTCCGCCCGGAATGGCGATGCAAAGCTGACCTTGTTGAAAATGTTGATGGTGGTCGTGTACTCGTTAAGCAGATTCGTGCTCCAGCTGGGAGAAGAACGGTCGATCGAGCCATTCAGCGGTAGAGATACGTCAAGCCTGTTCCTCAGCTCCCATTCCAGCTCCTAGTCCCTTATCACACGGATCAATCCTGCCTGTTGCGCAAGTTATAAGTCTTGAGCCGACTTACATGACATAAATCCCCGCCGAATCTAACGCGCTCATACAAGCATCGTGGTTCAATGTCGGATTCACCGAATACACCCGCACTGCATTGACGCCCAACTGCTTCAGGTATGGGATGTCCCGCGTGCAGTTGGCAGAGGAGGAAAGGGGGTCGACGTAGGAAGAGGGTTCGGGGAAGCCACCACTAGTCGCTAGTCAGCTCAAGTCCATGTGAACTGGGCGAGAGAAGCTGGGAAAGAGCTTACTTTTCTGCATTGGCGGCGGAGGTTTCGGCCAGCTGGCCTTGTGGTTGGTACGCTACACCCTGGATCGTTAGCGGATGTCCTCGCGGGAGTCGTCCCGTCGCAGCTCCCTTCTTCCCATCTGCCCTGTCCCGATTGAGCCTGGCGTGGTGCCTTGCTCATGCTCGGCGTCTCTTTCTGCCTGGCCCATGCTAGTCAAAAACTAGCAGGCATCGCAGTACAGGATACCGGTGCGCAGGCTGCGCTGTCCCGAACGCCAGGCTTCCGGAGTGACAGACCGCCATTCCCATCGTCCCTCATACCCATCGGCCACGAAAAGCCAAGCGACTCACCTTGATGTAGAACCTGTTCCCACTCGGATCAAACAGGTATTTCCCCTGCCTTGATATCCTCGGCAGAGCCTGAGTGACACCAGTAATAGCCAGCACCGCCGCTGACCACGTCAAAGCGGAGAGTCCGCGCATTATGAATCGATATCGACGCGATTATAGGATCGGTGAGAAGGAGTGGCGTGTGACAACTTGGTGGCGTCCAATTATATGGGTAGTATCGAAGTAGAAGCAGGTGGAAGGGACGAAAGAAGAGCTGTCGTTACTTCTCGCTCGTTATTCGCTTCTCTGGGATAGATGAAAGTCTGTTCCACAAAGGAAGGATGGAGAACGAGGCGGTGTGGCGAGGTCGCGTGGGGTCCGTTGTGCCGGAATGAAGTGCTCTACGCGCTTCGGCCGGATCGTGATCAAAGCAGTGCTGCTGATGGGCACTGGAAGTACTGTGTATGAAAGAAGGATAGAAGGTGAAAGTGAGATCGAATAGATAGATGGTCGACGTCGTCTTCTTGTCTCTGCCCGGATGCCCAGCCGAAAGCCAAGGTTTGACGTTACGTTACGTTGTTTGCGTCGAGAGCGGTGCAAGCTAACGACTCCCGCCTCCCGCTCGGTACCGCCGAAGTCCGATGCATACAGCAGCGACGAGTAGGATCGAGCCAAGGCTAGTCAAGTATGGAGATCCGACGGTAGATCAACAAAAAGAAGCGACGAAAACAGCCAAGATGCTTATGACTATCATAGATGAGACGCGTTCCCTTTCTTCTGCTTCGCCGCCTCAATGAAGTCCTGCACGTCCGCCCACATCTCCTCTGGGCACTCCAATGCGGCAAAGTGTCCTCCTTGCTGTCTGTGTCAGCTCGCAACATATGCGCCGCATAAAGAGGCAAGTCACTCACTCCCTTGTGGACCTTGGACCAGACAAGATCCCCTAGCTTCTCCGCCCAATGGACTGGCGTCTGGGCGATCTCCTTCGGGAACAGCGAGTAGCCGAGGGGTTTCTTGAGATAGCCTGCTTGTGAGGGGTCTGCGCCTGGACCAGCACGGAGTCCCATGAGCTGCATATATCAGCTAAAGTCACGATAGACGGAGACGGGCGCGAAGGATAGACGGTCGACCCACATAGCGGTAGTACCAGATCCCAGAAGAGTAGCAGTCGGTGAACCAGTAAAGCGAGACGAAGGTCAACATAGTGTCCAGCGACATTGGGATACCTGATGCCTCGAGGTACTTCTCGCCGGTCCTGAGCGTGTAAGCTACGTGCAGACAGCTTGCAGAGTTTTCCGCTCACCAAGTCAAGAGCGACAGGGGGTTGCTCCCCACAGTCATCCCGATAGCACTTGGCCTAGTAGCCTGTTCCAGCGCATACCCAAACTTCTGCAGACCCATCATGACCTGCTGTGGCTTGGGCGGGCCGGTAGATTGCGCGGCTTCGGGGGTGCCCGCTGGCGGGGCAGTGATGCTGAGAAAATTGACGTGTATGCCTCATGATCAGTGATCGCATGGAGGACGAGTCTTGGGATGACTCACCTAAGCACTCTTCATAATCCCTAGCGAGCTGCCAGGTCAAGAAGGACCCAATGTCGCCTCCTTGAGCGTAGTACTGCTTGAAGCCAAGGCCAGTCATGAGCTGGTTCCAGAGGTATGCGGCGTCCTTCATCCCAAACTCGCGGGAAGTGGGCGGAGGTGAAGAGTGAGTGAAGCCAGGGAGAGAAGGGACGATTATATGGCATCTGTACTGTAAGCATCGCCCGTACCCAACATCGAAGCACAAACTCACGGTAAGGTCTCAGGCGTATATTTAGCCTTCAACATCTCCATCATCGGCACAAACTCGATCCAGCATCCAGGCCAGCCATGGCTGAACACCACGGCCGGAGCATCAGGCTTGGAAGAGTACAGCGCTGCAAAGTGGATGTCCATGAGTAGATCATCTTTCGTTTTGAGCGAGGCGACGAATTGCGGGAAAGCGTTCATCCGGTCTTGCTGCTTGTTCCTGTATAAGTCAGCTCCGGGCAATACCTGCTGGGGGAGCCTGAATACTCACCAGTCATAGTCCTCCATCCAGTAACGCCTAGCCTCGACCACCCAGTCCCGCTTGACACCCAGGTACACCTCCTTCGTCGTGCTCTCGTACGTCGGTCGGGTGAGCCGAGCGGATTTGAGAAGCGTTCGAAGCTCGTCAACATCCTCCGACGGCACAGCAAGGGTGTGCTTCTTAAGGGAGATGGTAGGAGTCTGTGGTGGCTGGTCGTAGGACATCGCAAATGGCTATCTCTTAGGGTGAAGACCTTTGTGGGCAGGCTAAAATGCAACTTAGACTGCCGGCCGATGCTAGCTTGCATCACCTAGCTCCGCATTCCTCGTGACGTCATCGGGTCGCCAGTGGCGCACCGCGCAGGGGATGTGGCGGGGATGTGGCGGCCGTATCGTGTAGCCGCCATCAGCGATGACTACATGATCGTACAGCACGCTAGGCCTGATAGTGCCACGCAAAGGCACCCGATGATCATAGTCTTTCTCAGTGGCAAAATGACAGGTTTCCGAGGGGAAAGGGAGGGGATCCTCCCCGGCCGTCAGAGACCCCCAAAGCCAGATCCCCGTTTGACCACTTCCATCGGCCTTCGAATAGGGCGCCTCGGGCTGGTGGACCAAATGAGATTCGCTTCGATAGACTTGCCATATCACGTTTGATGCTACCCCTAGCACGCCATAGTAGATGAAAGGAACGTCCAGGACATTGTGGCGTGGATTGGCACTGCTTATCTCGCTGGATCTCCGCTGTGACGTTCTTGGCGAACCTCTTTTGGGGAGCATCGCCTCGGAGTTCGGCGTTCTTGCCGAGCATCCTTTCGAGTCAACGGTGGAATCGTTGGGGGGAGTAAGCTGATTGTCGGTTTCATTGGGTCAATTGCGCAATGAAGGCTCGCTAGAGCGAGTCCTTTTTGCCCTCGCAATCTGTGATGGTCTGGAGCAATCGCCTGACGGTCTGCTTTTTGAGCTCCGAACCTGTACCTGGGTCTATATATGGCGGTCGATTCCGAGCGCCAGCTGAGTCTCCCGCAGACCCTCCCCCCCCCCCTTCCAGGATCCAGTCATCTGACTCAACATACCTCGTCCTCACTTCCCGAATTTCCACTCCCGGCGTACATTTGTAACCGCCGCACTCGATTCCCCAGAGCCCAGGTTCCTGACACATTCACGATGTCAAAACCAAACCGAAACTCTTTATCCGCTCCGCTGCTGGATGACCGCATTATCTCTCGAACCCCTTCGCCCACCCCCCGTTTCCAAGCAGCATTCGCGGTACTCAGAGATGGCTGCTTGATGGACTTGTCCAGAACGTTGGGCAGCCGCTTGAGATTGATAGTCGGCCTGTCTCGACGACCTTCATTCCGATCGATACAAACCTCTCAAAGATTCCCCCGAAGAAGGCTGAGCAGCTTCAATGGTACATCAGGACTGCCGCTCACCTGCCATCCAGCTTCGATCAGTACATCCGAAAGTCGACCCTGCCCGAAGACTCCGTTGGCACTGTCGTCGGGGCGAAGCTGAAGGTCACACCCCGCTACGCATACGAATGGAACGACCGGGTATACGCGGATCTCGATGTGGGGGTTGAATGGGCGCTGCACACGGACATGGACGACGAGGGCATGGCAAGTTGGCACTTGGGCGACCTTCACCGCTTCAAGGTCCACTACCCGAACAACGACGCCGACGCAGGTGGCTCGTTCGATTTCCTGCGCAGCCTCATCGTCGTGCCCAAAAAGGTCCTGACGAACGAGGGCAAGAGCAAGGATGACTGGGGTCTCGGGACCCTTGCGGAGGCCGATGTGGGCGATGACCAGGACATGACGAATTGGGACGAACTGGAGGAGGGCGTGGACTATTACGCAGTCATTGACGTGCAAGACCTACCATGCTCTGCACCGAGGGGTACCGAGATCTGGAAGCTCACGGACGAGGACCAATCTGCCATCCTTGCGAGCAACACGCAGAAGATTGCAGAGATGTTATCTGGGATGTAGGCAGACAGCCACAAGGAGAGGAATCGGACCTGTGCATATATAGAGTCTTGGAAATACATGCATGCTTTCAGCCAGACACACCGCTTCCTATATACGATCTAAGCAAGCCCAGCACTGTTCTGTGGAATCATCGCCGCACTCGAGGGGACCGCGCCTCCGAAGGGGATATCCGAGGGGACTCCTCCTGGAGCGATGGCAGAGCTGACGGAGGGGACGGCCGCACTGGCATAGTTGACCGCGCTGGCGTAGATCTGGTTGTCGCCCGAGTAGAAGGTAGGGTACTCCTCGGCATCGACCGTCTCGTCATCATCCGCGTAGTCGTACTCGTCAGAGTCGTCACTGAGCGGGACGTTGTCGAGGAGGACGCTGGGAGCGGCGGTGGGGACGGCCATGATGGAGATGTCGTCGACCGGGGCCGTTGCGCTCGCGGAGGGGAGAGGGGTGGGGATGGACGATGGGGCGGAGGAGGGCAGACCGGAGGGGAGACCAGCGGTAGCCGAAGGGAAGAGGTCGATCCCGTCGGTACCGAAGAGGATCTTTTCGAGTGGGCCGAGATCAACGTTCTCCTTGCCATCACCAAGGGAGATGAAGGCAGTGGAAGGATCCTCGAGACCCTGGAGGGCAGCGACGACGTCCGCATCGCTCAACGCCTGACCGTTCTGGCGAATGGATGAAGCGAGGTCAAGGGCTTCAGGGGAGACTGCAGCCTTGCCTGTACCCGCCGGGAGGTCGGCGGAGGTCATGCTGGGCAGGGCTGAGGCGGAGGGGAGGACAGTGTCGGTAGGGGGGAGATCGGTACCGAGAGCCTTGACGGTCTGGCCGAGCGAGTCGCCGACCGCGGGGAGGCGGTCCACACCCTCGGCAGAGAAGAGCTGCTGCACGGAGGAGAGACCGGCGACCTGAGACTGGACCGAAGCGAGAAGCCGCTGGACTTGCGAGGCGATGGCCGGGGGGAGATTGACGACACCGCCAGCTTTGGTGAGGAATTGACCGTTGCCGAGGTCTCGGATGACACCGCCTTGCTCCTGGATGACCGAGACGAGGAGATTGTTTTGCGCCGCGGTTCGCTGCTCGGAGGTGGGAGCAGCCAAAGCGTTCTGAGTGGCGGCGCCGCCTCCGCCGAGAAGGCCGCCGAGGAGACCGCCGTTGCTGCCTCCACCCAAGACCCCGCCGAGGAGGCCACCAGAGCTGCCACCACCGCCGAGGAGACCTCCACCCAGACCCCCGAGGAGGCCGCCATTGCCACCACCACCGAGCAGCCCGCCGACGACTCCGTTCTGGCCCAGGACGCCGCCGAGAAGACCCTTGTCACCGAGGACACCGCCCAAAAGACCACCGCCGCCGAGCAGACCACCACCCTGGGCAGTGGCAGCGGCTGCGGGAGCAGCGCCACCGCCGTAGCTGTAGACACCACCACCACCGCCGATGACACCTTCGACGAGACCATCGTGGCCGATGAACTGCTGGAGCGGACCGGTCTGGCTGATTGCGCCGTCGACTGTGCCTGCGACGTTGCCGAGGAGGGGATTGGTGAGACCGGTAACGGTGTCGCCGAGACCGCCAGGGAGGAGACCGCCGACGGTGCCGAGGAGACCATTGACAGTGTTGACGACACCGGTAACAGGACGGCCGCTGGTGAGACCGTTGACGAGCGGGTCGGTCACACCGGTGACGATCCCGCCGACTTGACCGGGGAGGAGGTCGGATACGCCGTGGGTGAGACCGCCGACCGAGCCGCCGACACCACCGAGAGCGCCGTGGACGACACCGAGGGGGTTACCAGTCTTGAGACCGTCGACTACACCGCCAGTGAGGGGCTGAGTGACACCGGTGACGGTAGAGCCGATCTGGCCGGGAAGAAGACCACCGATGAGGCCGTTGGCAGTGTCGGCTACGCCACCAGCGACGCCGCCAGCAGTGACGAGAGGGTTGCCCCCGGGGATGAGCTGGCGCTTGCCGTCTGAAAGTCAGCGCGGTCCAAAGTATGTATCAAGAGAAACTCACTCCAGGATACGGCACGGCGGTGACCCTTGGGAGCAGACCGAGCCTGATTGTGACCGAGCATGATGGAGCGCCTCCTGTCCACCATGGTGTCCTTGTGGTGACCATCGCGGCGCTCAGCGTCGCTGACAAAGTCGCCGCAAGCCGGGGAGCTGTCAAAGCTGCCGTTGTCCGGGTTGGGCGAGGGGGTGTTGTCGCGCTTGATAGCAGTGGGCGCGGCGAGGGTCGACGAGGTAAGGGCCAAAGAGGCGATGAGGAGGGGCGACGCGGGGATCTTCATTGTGACTGAGTGGGGTTGATTAGGGTTGGTAGGTAAAGGCGATTAGGTGAACAGGGCGATTATAAGGTTGGTAGTCGTGAGGGTAGAGGGATTCGTTGATTAGGCGTAAAGGTTGAACTCGACCGGCGAGTGTAGAGTGGTGTGCGCTGCACTGGAGGATTGGAGAGGTAGGAAAGGTGTGAAGAGCTGAGAGCTGATGGAGGATTGAAGCGGTCCGGCCGTTCGATATCTTATACATTTGGTCCGATTTGTTGGTGAAGCGCCAATCATTCTTCGGGCGGACTGAGACACCAGCGTAAATGCCGGTCATAGTCAATCGGACGTGAAACATGGTTGGAATGCTTGTCTCGCCCCGTTTGGCGTCCGGTACACATGTTTCAGAGTCTGTCTCATCAACGACTCGGCCCAAGCTATTCCATGCGGGATTAAGCCGATCAGAGACAACCGATCGCCGAGATCGGCAGTGCGAACTCACTCAATCATCATCGTCATTCCTCCCGTTCCAGCAGCCGCCATTTGCCTCCCTTGTCCTCCTTGACCAGCCCGAACCCCGTCCAAAACACCAGTCCATCCCTGACCATCTTGTCTGGCAAGTCCAATCTTTCGGCCAGGTCAGAAACCGTCCATTCAGCTTGGGATTCGAGCATTTCGGCGATCGCAGCTTGTACCGGATCGGCTTCGGCTTCGATGACCCGGTCCTCCATCTCGAGCCGCAGACGAGCGGTCCCGAGGTGTTGCATCCAGCGAAGGTGCTTGTCTGGCTTGAATTGATTGAATGCGGCTTCGTAGTCTCGTTGTAGCCTACAGAGTCAGGAACCATCTCAACCAGGATACCGAGCACTTACGCTTGTAGCTTTGGCGGCAGATGCAAGGATGATATCTGTATGTCCGGCCAGAATCGATTGGACAAGATGAGCGGATGCAGAGAGGTCTACTGTCAGCTACTTACAACTATGGACTCACCTTGATGTCTCCCTGGATCCTATCATCGATCCGCTTCGAGTCCGCCATATCTTTCAGCATGACATCGCACACCTGCAGGGCTTGTTCGCCGAAGCGCAGCTTTAGTAGCTCTATGATGCGAATCTGTCATCAGCGGTGCCCTTGAGTATGCTCACCTCTTTGACCGCGTCGTAGTCCTTGACAGCTAACAGCCTTTGAGCAAGCAGGATCTGAAGCTCGGTGATGATGACCTCGCGCGTCTCGTAAATGCTGACCAAGGTGGAGACGATATCGCCGGCTTTGCCAGATCGGAACTCTGCTGATCAGCCGTACCCCGGATTGGTCAGATAGTACTGACCTGGGGCAGCGTCGACCGGCTCCGGCTCCCACTTGGGATCTGAGAAGTCCTCCACATCGTCATTGCCCTGCCGCAGCAGCCCTCCAACCTCGTTCTCGTCCTGAAGCTCCTCGCCATCTACGAGCGCGGCGACGATGTGCTTGATGGTGTCTGGCCGATCTCGAAGGTGAGCGCGAATGGGTCCAGCAACTTTGTGCAGGAGCACGCCGGGCGGGTCGAGTATGCGGAGGCAGCGAATGGTGGAGATATACTGTGCGAGGACGTCTTTGGTATCTGCGCCTGGATGCAAGAGGCGCTTGAGATTGCTAAGGATCAGCTCGAGATCCGTGGATTGGAAGAGCAAGACTCACGCAGCTTGCAGCTTCTCAACGAGGAGAGTCCGCTGGTCCACCTTGAAGAGGCATTCCTGGATGTCAGCTTGATGCGGACGGTTTAGCGGGGATTGCTCACTCGTAAATCCTCCAGAGCAGAGATGGACTCCGGATAGTCAATGATGATGCTGAACAGCTCATCGGTCCTGTAGCATGAGCTACGGGTTGCAGGCTAGAAAAGGTTCACCCACCTGATCTCGAAGAAGCACTTGCACAAGTAGTAGTCGAACCGCGAGAACATGCTCCGCATAGCAACCTGTACTGCTTCCAGCCCTAATAGGGTCAGCTGAAGTTGCTTTTTTCCTTAGTTCGGCAACTCACCATGTCCCTGTCCCTCCATCATTCCCGCCAACCAATTGACCACCCCATCCCCCACCCTCTGCCTCGCGCGCGACAGACATCGCACATCCCATCCCTTCTCCGCCTCTTCCTTTGCCACACGCTCGATCTCTGCCAACGCGACGTTCATGAATGTCGACGAGTACCGCAGGAAGATCGCCAGCCGGGCGAGGTGCGGTGATGGCGGCGGGATCTTGCGGTGCGGCATCGGTACGCTCTGCAATAGGTCGCCATGGGCAGGAGGGGCAGGCGCGTCTGTGAAGGAGGTCGAGACGGAGGCGAGGGAGGCAGTGAGGAAGGTATGGAGGTAGTCGAGGAATTTCGGGGGAAGCGAGGCGTGTAAGAGGGATTGGAACGTCGAGGTGTATGTGTTGAGAAGCTTCGCACTTGCTGTTCAGCTATATCCGTCTCGACAGATATTGGGCCTGGACGCACTCGTTGAAGCGCCGCAGAGGCAGACCCCAGGTCCGCTGCCATAGGACCAGTCGCTCTAGCATCTCCTTCATCACCTCGTCTGTCTGCACCACTACCGATAGAGCCTCCGTTTCCTGCTCGTCAGCCTCGACGGGTCTTATTCCGAGAGCCCGTCTACTCCTGCTCTCCGGTGCCAGAGCTACTCACCTGAAGTCTGCCCATATATCGCCCAATATCCCTTCTGACGAGATAGAAGCGCGCATGAACCATATCCAAGAAATCCTTGAAGAGCTCGGCCGTACATCCCCGCTCAACCGTGAGGTAGCGCAGCGCAGCCGCCTGCTCGGGCGTCTCGGATGTCCTAGGGGCTTCGGTCGTGGTACTAGCGATGTCCTTGGGGTATAGCCATTCGTGCACCAGCTGAGTCGCCTAGAAGGGTCAGCTTCCAGGCCATGAAGATGGATGATCGAGTAGCTGGGACGTACCCTGCTCAATTCGTCGTACCTCTTCGCACCTTCTACGGAAGTTGATGGGGTATCATCCCATGCTGATAGAGCCGCCACGAGCGCCATCTGGACTCGCTATATTGGGTCTAAAGACAAGGTAAAAATGCAGGATAATGGAGGGAACGCAGATGACTTCGCAAAGTCAAGTCGCGTTCGAGGTCCGACCTCCACCACATTCCTTCAGCACCTGACTGTACCGTCCGCTATTGCATCGCTTCTCGGTCCTTCATCAAAGTCCATACGTTGCATCGAGCTACTCCAGACATGGCTATCATAAACGAACCAACTATCAAGCAGAGAACCATAGCTAAGAAATCGGGGAATCAACCCAACTTCAAACCGAGGCGAGGGGTATATTTAGGAAAGGGAGAAGATCTAGATGACGGCGCCGAAGGGTGCGTTCTTGGGCGTCAATTTGAGGACATCCTTGAAGATGAGGGGGAGGACGATCAGGGCGACGAGACAGCCCTGAACGAAGAAGTAGACGATCGAGTCTGGCATGTCAGCTTGGATTCTACCAGAGTGAGGATGATGAAACTTACACTTGAAGACAATCTTCCGACGCTGACTCCTCTGACGGAACGAGTAGATTGGCGGTCGGATCTGCTGGCTCGGCGCCAGCCAGAACAGCATGGTCGAGTGCAGCCGATCAAAGTACGGGATGATAGCCGCGGGAGTCAGGATGAAGAGCAGGACTGGGAATCAGCTCGATCTTTGTTCGCTTCAACGCGAAAACTCACAGTGGCAAGCGATAAAGTCGGCAGAGTACAAGCCCATCTCAATCGTCTTGACGACAAATTCTCTCGCCGGCTGGCTGAGCGCGTGCGAGCCGAGACCGCGGTTGAACCAAACACCAGTCCACCATGCTCGGTTGGTCTCGTCGTGCTTGAACTCTCGGGAGAGGAAGGCCGCGATGAGGATCTTGAAAATACAACGCTGGACCGCAATGACGGTGATAAGACCAAGGACGGCGTGCGAGGTGTTCCAGGACTCGAGGAACCACTGATAATGTCAGCTTTGCGTCGGAGATCGAAGCCGATGAGGTAACTCACGAGGAACTCGAAGAAGGCAATCATGCCGACGACAGCACCAAAGTGGGCCAGGGCAGCCATGGTCGCACCGAACTGGTTCGAGTGAGAGTTGAGCTGGAAGTCAGCTCGAGTCCAGCTTCCCGTCGACTGAGAACTCACGCAAGGACCCAAAAACACCGAGATGAGGAACAGCAACACCAAGAGCGCGACGTTCCAGACGATCGGGCCGAGCGCGATAATGGCGATCCGAAGAAGACCAGGCTGGATCCGCCCATCGACCGGGAAGGACTTGACGAACAGGTAGCAGATGACGAAGAGCGCCGCGAGGGCAATGGGACCCATGATTTCGCCGACGATGATGGCCTTCCATGGCGCACGGGGAACGTCCGACGACAGCTTCTCCGAGGGAAGACCCAACCGCTTCCGCTTGAAACCGGTGATACGGGTACGCGAGAGCCGGCAGTACCCGACCCACGAGTTTGCGTGGGTACGCGAGTTTCCCCTCGACATCCACCGCAGGAACTCGCGGTAGTCGATGATGAAGTCCGAGTAGGAGAACTGATGCGGGTTGAAGAGGAAGGGCGCGATGCAGAGACCGATGACGGTGATCCAGAAGTAGATCAAGTGCGGGACCCAGACGGTGAGCGTGATGTAGAGGAGGATGACGAGCGTGCGGATACCGAGGTAGATCGACGGACCGGCGAACCGAGAGCTAAACGTCAGTCACGTTCATCACACCAAAATAGACCACTTACTATAGGATACTAAAGGAGATACGGGTAGTAGCAAACCCTCGCCCCGTAGCGATATACCTAGCTCCACCGAACGTCAAGTTGTTGAGGATCGAGTGCATGTAGATCTGCGTCGAGAAGACCTCGAAAACCGGCGAGAGCGACAAGAAGTGCTTGCACAATCGGAGGATGGCCCGACCGGTTCCGCGTTCCGTCAACTCTTGGACAAAGAGGGGGACGAAGGCGATCCAGAAGACAAGGAAGATCGAAATGATGCACCGCTTGATCCACGAGAAGACCGGCTGGAGGTTGTAGCATCCCGACTGGCCGGGGAGGATATCGCCCGAATTGTTGTACTGACAGACCTGGAGCTGGTTGTTGAGCGTTCCGAGGAAGACGAGGGTGAGCATGAAGACCTGGACCGACATCATGACGAGCTATCTTGTCAGCTTTGCCCATCTCCGAGCGTCATCTAACTTACAATGTTGTTGATGTGGAATCCGGGGTGACTGTAGTAGAAAGTCAAGAACCGGTCGATCGGCAACTGCGTCCCCAACCAGTAATACTCTCGCGACAACATCTGCTCTCCCATTCCTGTCCCGATCTTGGTCTGGAAATTGAGAATGGTACCGAAACCAAGATCACGCCCCTTTCCACACTGGTAGTACTCCGAGTGCTTGATCCGACCACCTCGACCGATAGCCGTCATTCCGGCGTAGATATCCTCGTTCAGGTGGAGACCCTTCTGAGCCTTGGACACACCGCCCCGAGTGTTCATGTAGATACCGTGAAGGAAATCGGGCTGATCGTCAGCCTTGCCCCCGCTCTCAAGTGAACACAACTTACATGACCGTAGTGCAGCTTTCCGCCAATGTACGACGACGTCCGTGCCGAGAGCGTACCGAATGTCTGCTCCTTTCCAGCGGCGATGTCACCGAGAATACCGATATTCTCTGAGAAAATGTACTCTCGCGCACCGAGGATAGCGACGGGGAACTTTGTAAACTCTGCGTGACCCGAAGCGGCATACGGCGACTGGTTGGACACCTTGAATTCCTCGAATTCACCGAGGACGTTCCGGATCTTGAGACACTCTTCGAGATAGTTGTCCTGATTGGCGTCGATAAGCTGGAGGTACTCGCCTCTGTAGAAGACGATAGAATGGTTCTGGTTGTCTGATTTACCGTCTCCGAGAATAGGGTTACCGGGAAGTTCGATCCTGAACTTGGGACGACGACGACCGTTTGGCATAATCTCCGAGTGACCGTCAATGAGGGCAGAGAAGATCCGGCCCTCTCCGCCGTCCTTCCGTGGTGGCTCCTCGTCGAGGTAGGCGATCTGCAGGTCCGGGTACGCACGAAGAAGGAACTCGGCGTTCTCGAGCTCCTCCTTGTTGAACTTGGAGTACCGCTGCATGGCGACGACGTACTTGAACTTCCGCCGGGCCATGCGTTCCAGCTCGCGTTCGAGCTGGTCCGTATTTCCGCCAAACATCTGGACGACCTCGGGGTTCTCGACTCGGTAAAGCAGCTTGATGGCCTTGGAGTAGTTCATGAACCCCGAGACTGTCCGGTAGAGTGTTTGCGCACGGAGCGACGCCCAGATACGCGTACGGAGGGTGTATTCCGGAGCGGCCGACTTGAATCCGACCGTGTAGAAGGGGATATCATCCGCGCGCTTCTTCTCGTCCTTTTCGTCGCCATTGAACGGGTTGTTGAACGGGCTAGACTCCTCTGCCAGGATCTTGGTGTCCCTGACAAAGTTGTCCCACTCGATCGGGTGGAGCTGTTTGAGGTATTCGAGGAGGGTGACCCGGGTGTTCTGGTCCTCCTCCCGGATGATTTCTCGGAGCGAAAGGAGGATCTTCTCAGAGTAGTGGGGGACGAGGACGGTGAAGGTGGGCATCTGCTCGATGGGGATAGGCTCCGGCATGGCGGTAGTGAGGGATTGGGCAAAGAAGGAGATTCGGCGTTCCGCCTCGGATCCGCGCGGGAAGAACTCCGTCTTGAGCCCCTTGTCACTCTGCGAGATGAAGAAGGCCGGGGCTCGAAGGGTCCGCTTGCCGGGCTGCTCCGACTGCACCTGGTGGTACAGCAGCTTCTGGACGTGCTCGATGGAGAGGAGGTGCTCTCGGTACATGGAAATGATGACCGCGTTCCAGACTTGCGAGACAAGGACCTGAAGTCAGCTCTACCCCTTGCTTTCACTCTGAAGAATAAGCTCACCTTTGGCTTGTACTTGACCTCCATCTCGCTGGTCGCAAGCACCTTGGCGTAAATACGCTTCGGGAGCCGCTGGAAGATATCCTTCCATGGCGTCCAGATGCTCATCCCCAAGCTGAAGCTCCGGGCGATACTGAAGATGGTGTTCCAAATGACGAACCAGAGGAACGTGTCGAGGAAGAACAGCGTCAAGTCCATGACGTACATGATCGTCAAGGTGAACGCTGCCTGATTCCGACAAAGGGCGGTCCCGAGGTATCGATCGCGGCAGTTCTGGACCTTCATTCCGACCATGACCCGGATGGGATCACGGAAGGAGAGTGTCAAGAAGAAGTACGACTCGGTGAGTTTGCACCCAAACACGAGGATCCAGAGGAGGCACGACGCCATACGCGGTTTCCGGCCGAGGACGGGGTACGACGCGGTGAAGGTCTGGTTGGCGAGGTATTTCCGTGATTTGCCCGCGACGCGATCCCCAAACATCCGTCCCGGAGGGATCGTGGCGAATGTGAGGGTAGCGACGACCGAGCAGAAGAACTGCACGATACCGAGGATGAGCGAGACCTGGCCGGTCTGGTTGAAGAAGGCAATGTAGATGGTAGGTCCGCCGGTGATGGCGAGGATGACGAGCAGGAAGATGAGCCGGCGGGTGAGATGGGAGGTGTTGTTCCAGGTGGTGGGGATGTAGCTGAATTCGGCAAGCGTAGCGGCAATCATGATGATGGAAGCGACCGATCCGCCGAGAGCGGTGACACTCCATGCCATGGGCGTTGTGGCTGCGGTAGATCCGGCGGGGGCGTAGACGGCGGGGGAGTTGTAGGCGGTGTAGAACCAGAAGACCGAAATGTGGATGACCCAGATACGGTTAAAGTTGACGAGGAGGTGGAAGAAGGACCGTTTTTCAAGGTACGTCTTGAAGAAGACCTTGTTCCAGTCAACCCGGTCCAGCTTCATGAACCGCTGAGCTGGGGGAATGTCGATCAACCGGGTCTTGTCGTTCAGGATGATCTTGCTGATACCCTCGGGGTACCAGAAGAGCTGGTTGACGTCGTCGTATCCGACGATCTGGTCGTGATCCCGCTCCCGACGGAGGTACTTGCCGTCCGACAGCTCGTACCCCTGATCCCGGAGGTACTTGTACAGCGGCTTGATGATAGCGCGCAAGTACAACCCCTCCGGGACAGCGTCTACCCGGTTTTGGCATTCGGGCGACCGGTAATAGTCATCCGCGCACTTGAAGATGAAGCAGAGGCATTCAGGCATGAACCTAACCTGCGCCGCTTCACCCCAACAGAGGAGGTACAGCGCAACCTGCCGAAGCCGGTCGTACTGGCTCATGTTGTTCATTGCCGTCCTCCATCGCGTCGAGGCAGACTCGAGCGATTTCTCCTGCGCCGATCCCGCCGCTGTCTTGCCCTTGCCGCCTCGCCGAGCGACCGAGCGGACACGCGCGAGACCGGGGTTTTGCGCCTGGCCGATCGCGTCGTCAAGATCGAGTTGGGCGGCAAAGTACCACTTGCGGTAGTTGGCGTGCTCGCCGCCAATGTAGTCGGCGTGGAGGGTGAGGAGGGCCTGGTTGGGGGACATGCGGGAGGATCGGGAGTCGAGTTGAATCATGAGGAAGTCGTAGATGTTTCGGCACGAGTCTGGGGTCAGCTCGAGTCGGGGTGATGAGCTCACCTTTCTGGAAACCAAACTTGTTGGCCAGGTCGATCAACACGTCCTCAATCTCTTCTTTACTGAGTGGGATGTTTGCTTCTTGGGTCCAGGCGGGCTAAGGGTCAGCCAAGCCAGATCAACAGATGGGTCGGACTTACATATGGCTCCCTTGCCCGATGACCCTCCTTGCTCCCCTCGGTAAAGGTAGGCGTGGACGACCGCGACTGGTTATAGCCCTGATGTTGGTAGTCGGACGAGGCGTATTGGTCTGGAGGGTCAGATCGCCCTTCACCCAGTGAAGACACGCTTACTATCGCTGACACCGCTTTCCGTTGCCCAGCTCTCCTTGCCTCTTCCCCCTCCATCTAACCGATCCTGCATCGTCCGCGCATTGTCCTGAGCGGGCATGTACTGCCCGTCCTGTCCGTTGCCCCCTGGTGTGTATCCATAGTCTCCACCACCATACTGCGCATTTGGGTCATAAGGGAGTTGGTTGACGGATCGGTTGTACGGGTCGGTCGAGGCGGTGGAGTAGGTGGAGGGGTTATGCTTGAGAGGTGCGGGGTGGGGGTACGACATGATGGGTGCGTTATTGATACTGTAATGATCAGCTGAGGCCCGAATGGATCGAAGTGGAAACAATCAAAGGCATGTTTTTCGCGCCTTGCAACGCGATGAAATGTCAAAGCGCACAGCCTCTCAACAACGCACGCCGCGCCGCCAAGCCATGTCTTCCCCGATCTTCCACTTGAGGCCTGCACAATACAGAAAGACAACTCACGATAAGAGAACGTGAGGTTATAGATACAGAACAGGGTTGAGATACACGATAGAGAGCGATGGTCGATACGCGCTACACCCGCGGTTTGAGCGCGACGGGAGAACTTTGCGCGCCGTGATTTGGCTTTTCCGCCTTTGTGTTCCGCCTTTATACCGCCTGGATGGGCGGATGGGGCGGGAGAGGGGGTCGTCGATGGGGTCGTCAACAGCCAAAGTGGGGTGACGAAGAAGAATAACAAAGCTATATCGAAGAGAGGCAAAAGAAGAGACAAGACAAGACAATGGGTGTGTTGGGTTGACTGCAGCAGCGAAGAGGGAAAGGAATAGCGGGATCAAAAAGGTATCGATTAAGGGTAATTAGAGCTCAGTGTGAAGAGCACAGGAATCTTTCAAAGCCCTGCTGCTGCTGTAATTCAGCTAGCAGATGTGGCTGCGAGGGTCGAATAACGCTGAAGGAGTGGGGTGTAACGGTGACAAGGCAGAGGCCCAGCCGCGGTACATACAAGCTGTGAATGCATGCAGGTGATGATCGCCCTTTGATCGCCTGTCTCCTCTTCCTCATTCCGATGAGATGCTAATCAGACCCGCCACCGACAAGCCGGCGAAAATTACCACTCAGGGACCCAAAGGATTAGCGGGATCAAATCTTACCCCTTGTTTCGTCTTCGTCACCGCTGCGCACGGCTCGTTTGCAAGCGTTTCATCTGAGCGTGGCGGTGCGGCAATCGACAGGGCATAAGCGAGGACAGATCGGGCGAAATCTGCCTATAGATATGATATGAACAGCTATATACACAACTACGATGATGGTAAGCACTGATACTCCCGCCGCACGCTTCAAAGATCCCCCTCCGTCCCGCCTGTCAATATGTCAATTCGCTTCTCCACGCCTCAACCTCACTGCCATCTACCTCTGGACCGTCTCCACATCCTCACTTCGCATACCCAGCCGCTCCTCCTCCTCCCTCTGCCCTTCATGTACCATCACGCTCTCCTCCTCCCTTCTCGGCGGATACCCATCATACGGGTTCTTGTAGCCCGCATGCTCCACCCCGGCCCCGCCGGTGCCTGAACCATAAGCGGACGTGAGGTTCTCTGAGCTAGACCGGCGAGGCTTGTTGTGTAGCGGAAGCGAGCTTTTCTCTGCATCGGGGTGGGGAATGCGAGGGGAGTAGGGCTTGTACGATTGTGGGGAGCAGACGGGCTGATCATTAGCTGGGCCTTGAGTATAAAGGATCTAAGAAGGACGTACAGGATAGTACTGGCGGTATGAGAACCAGCTGGTCGCGATCCCGACTATACCTCCAGCAATGACGTCCGTCGCGTGATGCCTGTAGTCCATGGTCCGGCTGATCGAGACAAGAGTGGAGCAGAGTAGAGGAGCAAGCAAGAGCCACGCTTTCCAGGTGTGCCCTCGGCGGTTGTTGATGCGCATTTCTGGTGGTCAGCTCACGGTCTCTTCCTCGATCTAGACATTGTGCGTCGAACGAAACTCACTAGCGGCGGCATAGAGAATAAGGTACCACATTCCCGCCCAAGCAAAACTACTGTGCCCACTCGGAAAGCTCCTGAACCCTTCTTTGATATTCACGAGGTTCTGGCAGACCGTCCATGAGGTCAAGCCGTGGATTGGGTTCGAAGTGATACTATCTGGGATCTGGCACCGAGCGAAGAAGTCGGGTCGGGGACGGCCGACCGTAATCTGAGAGCATCAGCTTCGGCTCGTGCCTAGTATATGTCGGTCGAGTACACGGAGAAATCAGCTGCAAGCTCACCTTGACAACATTTGTAAACGTCACGGTCAGACCCAAGTTCAGGACGAATCCAAGAATGGCGGAATGGGCGTCCCAGAATGATCGGCGGATGAACGCGCTGCTTCCGTCAGCGCCTTCTCTTGAATAGGCAGCATAGATAGGTATAGGAGCTCACGCAGTGAGAATCATGAAGAGAGCAGGGACCAGGCCGCAGATGACACCCAGAAGCCATACCTGACCTGGATCAGCCTACGTCCTTTGTACTGTGGCGAGCAAAGCGACGTGTGGGGTTACTTACGGGTACCCGCTCTGGGTTGGCATATGGGTGAGCCAGACTTTCGTCTGTCACCGAGAACAGTCTCCTGTTTCCATCCACCTTATCAATCAGCTTTGCTCATCCCCGGAGAGCAATCGCTAATGCGAACCAACCTTGTCCAAGAGATACATCAAACCCTGCTCAGATCAGCTCTCAATCTCCTTCCAGATCCCCGCTTGCCACTGCATGTGTGTGCTGTACAGTTGTGGGGAGCAGTACTCACCCAGAACAGAATAGTCAGACACCAATCCGGCAGATAGCTCCAGAAGATCCTCCATCTTCTCGCTCGAACAGGATTGGCGGCGCATGCTGATTCGCCCGTCCCCGGCAGTGTGTACGCCATCATCTCCACTTGCTAGGATCTCCTGCTGTGGCACAATGTCGTGTTCGTCCTCGTCCTACCAAGTGGCAGGTGGCGATAGCCTATTATATTTGCGGGTTATATGATGCAAGTAAGAGTTGCAGATCGAGCATATGTTTAAAAGACGAAGACCGAAATGTATTTGTCCGTAAAAGACGAAGCCTTTCCGCCACTGTCTAAAAGACGAAGTCCGGCCCTAAAGGACGAACGGGAATGTTCCGGATCCGGTGATGCCGATCCCCCACTTAACGTCATCCCCCAAGGCTCGGCTTGTAATCTCACTCAGCTGGAATCAATGTACATCCATCTATCCATCTATCTATCTACAACTCTATTTTAGAAGAAAGCGGCGTAGCGGTCATCGAAAGCGGGGTCGGGGCATTTACGCGTATTGTGACCTTCCTTCTTACACCGGGCACAGTGCTGAGGCGCACCCGCTGGCCTGCCCCTCCTCTTCCCCTGTCCCCCAAACGCCGGTATCTCCCGCTGACTCGCCTCGGTCGGCCTGACCCCTCGCGTCCCCCTCTTCTGCCTCTTCCGCCCATGCGCCATCCTGATCGGAAAGGGTTGTAGGTGCTCGAGGGTGGCAAGGTCGTCGGTCAGAATGACGGCGAAGGGTACCGAGTACGCCTGTCGCCAAGACGCAGAGCGATATTGAGGTCCAGCGAGGCTGTAATATTAGCTGGTTCTTGTGATGATCAGAGCTGAAAGTCTACTCACTCCTTGACCCTGTTGCTCGCGCGGACCTTCTCCAACACTGCCACGACGTGCTTGCACGGTAGCATATGCTGGCGGGGTATACCGCACGTGCACGTCGCCGAGCGCGTCGCCCAGTTGACCACGACCCATCGCTGCTGATCCGCATGGTCATACACCCCCATGATCCGAGCGAGAGCAGTAGGGATGGTCTTGCCGGTGGTGAACGCCTCGTCGTTTTGGGTGATTACGACGTCGTGTCGGACAGCGTCGCTGGCAGATGTGAGCCAATTAAAGGCGAAGGGGCAGTTGGTACCGTTGTGCTGGGTCGATAGCAGCGAGCGCTCGACCCAGTTCTGGGCCATAAGGTCCCAGATGCCCTGCAGGAGCTCGACGATGGGACGACTCCGTAAGGGACCGAGCCAGTTGTTACACTGCTCGGAGGTATTGGAGGTGGTTGTACCGTAGCGAGGGAGGGGGAAGGCGTAGGTTGCCCATTGGTCGTGGGGGATGGAGTTGATATAGAAGGCCGCGTCCGGGTTCTCGCTCTCCAGCGCCGAGAGGTGTTGCTTGAACTCCACCTCGGTCTTGGCGTACAGCATGGAGTTGAAGTAATCGACCGCTTTGGCCTTGTATGCCTCCTTGATATTGGCTCGCAGATGCTGAGCGCAATGACCGTGATGGGCGGCAGGGAGGACGGTACCGACGGCGTTGAGCAGGCCTTTCTGCCGGTCCGACACGATGACGACGCCCTCGAATGCGAGACTGGGAAGGGCGACGAGGAGGTTCTGGCAGAACCAGCTCCAGGTGGCGGTGGACTCCGACTTGACGAGCGCCCAAGCGAGGATGACGATATGACCCTCGCAGTCAGACGTGGAGGCGAGGAGGAGGTTGTAGGTATTGTGGGCGCGAGAGTATGTCCCGTCCAGGGTGAGGAGAGGCCGAGAGTGGTGGAAGAATGTCCGCGCCGGCGATGGGGAGACAAAGAGGCCCAATATCGCCACGTCCTCTTCATCGTCATCGCCACTGTCCCCATCCTCTGAGTCCCTGCCGTCCCCACCCTGCCCAGCTCCATCTCTACGCTCCCGATACCCATCCAGAGGCTTGTCCGTCTGGAGATCCAGATGAGCCTGCGGATCCCGCTGGGCTAGCAGGTCCATATAGGCGGGGAGACGACGGAAGTCGGCGCAGTGGTTGGCCGCGGTGTCCCCCCTAATCTCCTGTACCGCGCGCGAGACGGCCTGGCGGCTCAGATCGTCGATAGTGGAAGCGCGGAGGGGACCGATGAGACCTTTGGCGGAGGCTTCGGCGAGAGGGGTGCCTTTGTTGAGTCATGTGGCCTGCATGTGTCAGCTATATCAAAGCCAATAGTTGCGTTATTGACTCACCTCGGCGAGAATGAAGCCCCTTTGTCTCGCTCCAAGTCGCGCGGGAACGCCGTGAGGAGAGCAAGTGTGTTCGTCGATGAGAGTTTGAACGATACACCCGCCCGACGCCCCGTGCGACTTGAGGTAGACACGATATTTACAACCGTCCTCCTTCTTGAGCGCGCACGAAAGTATCCGCGATCCCGTCGGCGCCTTCTCCGCCTTGACGGACGGCAAGAGAGTGGTGGGTGATGTCGATTTTGGCAGTGTCGAAAGAGCCGAAGGTCTGCTTGGCGTAGAGGACAGTGGTAGGGGCAAATGAGGTAGCGGGGGCGAAGGTTGGTTGATTACTGCGACGCGTCAGAATGGGCCACAATAGTCCTTAATGCGCGAGACTACCTACTCTGACATGATGAGAGACGGCGGTAGGGCTAGTAATAGTGCTTGGCTGGCTGATGTTGTTGCTACGTGGGTATAGAAGCGGAAAGTGGAGAGGTGAAGGAGCGGAGAGGAGAGGATCAAAACAAATACAACGCGTCGCGGGGCCGGCACACTGCCGGCATGATAACAAGCCGAAACTATCCGGCTTCGTCCTTTAGGCATCCTTTAGGCCGGACTTCGTCTTTTAGACAGTGGCGGAAAGGCTTCGTCTTTTACGGACAAATACATTTCGGTCTTCGTCTTTTAAACATATGCTCGTTGCAGATCACAGCGGTGCTCGTCTGACCAGACCGCAATTCTCTTGGCAAGCGGTGTTGTGCATCAAAGGATCAACCGAAGTTCAGCAGGAAGAGATCGCTTTTGTAAGCTGTTTCAAACTAGGCCCGCGCGTCTGAAACAAGCTAAAGCCGCCCACAGCCGGGGGCTGCGATGAAGGTGGATCGCGAGACGGGAGCATGAGCTACAAGTACTGACGGACGCAGTCAGGCATACCACTTACGCCCGACGAGTGTAGCAGCGCGAGACTCCGCAGCAGAGGATGCAACTAAGAAGAAGGATCGAACCTTTCTTCTGACCGTGCCCTTCAGCGACGTGCAGCCTGCTGGCCAGCTGGAACGGGTCGTACGACGCCCACGAGAGATCACGCGCGCTGCACATGCATGTGAAGGTCAGCTGGCTGTATGAGCTGCAGCTGGTGACGGAGAGGAAGCGGAAAGGCCGTTGTGTGTAGTCGAGACACAATCTGTCTCATGACTCTCGCCGAACGGCGAACGGCCGGTTCCGAATGCACATCCGATTCCGGTTCTCATGCACCGATCGCGATCGACTTTCCTTCTGCTACAGCTTTCGGTACCGGTGGACCTTCTCTGTCCTACATCGTCTGCTGCAGAGTGCTCCTTCCCTAGAACAGAGCATCGAAGCACTGCCCACAACCCCACGCTCCGCTGCTCGCTGCTCGGCGATAAACTCCACTTTTCGCCCGGTCCCGACGGAGTGGCGCTTCGGTCCGGAATCGTTTACGTCACTTTGCGCTTGGCTCCTCGCGCTCGATCCGCGTCATTTCGCTCCCCTTTTATCTTCTCACCTAAGAAGTGACTTTTCCCCTTACCTTGCCTTCGCCATCACCACTTCCTTTAGTCTTATATAGAGTAGCATCGACGATGCCCTACGTCGCTCCAGGTGCACCTCCTACCTCTAGTATCCCAAAACCTGTCGTTGCTCTTGACGAAACCAGCACAGACGCTCCATCAGCTTCTCCTCCATCGTCATCGACAGCATCAGCATCAGCACACGACCTTCCCACTCCCACTGCAGACGCGCCCGCATCCTCATCTACACCATCAGCCATGATCCCCCCATCTACCTCTGACGCCCTCGCGCACTCCCTCTCCACTCTCGACATCGACCCCAACGAGCCCCCTACATCCTCCGCCTCCACCCTCCCCTCTTCCTCCCCCGTCGATCTGAACGCGCTCGATGCGCTCGACGGCCTGACCGAGGCAGACGACTCTCGGCGCGGCTCGACGCAAACCACCTCCTCCCTTCCCGCCCTCGAATCGGATCCTAATTCCGCCTCGTCGTCCTCGCTAGAATCGCTGGTCGATTCGGTGTCGGCGCAGGTATCGAGTCCGGCTACTACTACGGGGCTGACGAGTCCGATGGTCTCTGGAGTGGAGGGGGACAGGGAGGATGGGATTGCGAGGTATAGGGAGGGATTGTATGCTTATACGGTGAGTTGGGTATCTTGCTCGGATCGGCGGCGATCGGGAGGGGGTAGAGACATGATATACGCGATAGGCGATGGGGGGGTGCGGCTGCCCAGCCTTTGGGGCACCGAGGGGGATGGAGCAGTACGAAAAGTATTCAGTGCTGATGCCATCAGCGTGAACTATACCTCGAGGCTAAACTTTCCGTATCAAAGGAGGAAAAGCGCAAGAGCAACCCGGTCAACACCTTCGCACCCAAGCAATCAGGCAGTAAGTTCCATATCCACCGTAGTCTTACTCTGTTGCCGCTCTCCGAGCACTCTCTGAGAGCTCATGCTGACAGCCCGCAGTGGAACGTCTGGCCGCAAAGAAGGCTCTCGCCAAGCGTCTCAACGCCTAGGTCTCGTCGTACCATATACCCTCTCCCATCAGTCTCGCGAAATCCCCCGCATCGCACCATCAACTCTGTGCCTTCCCTTCGCCATCCCCTCCTGATGGCTTGTAGTCATATTTTCTCTTCTCGTTTAGAAGGAGAATGGGTCAACCTTCCTGTGTCATAGTAGTTTCTCCTTCCCGTATGGTCCGGTCTACCTGGTAGTTTAGATGATTCCCCCTTCTCCGATTCCCGTATAGCCGAGTTGTCTAGCTGGCCCTTATATTGTGTACACATGTATCGATTAGTTGTTCCTCCCCGGGTGCCAGATCACTCGTCTACTACCTGATCGCAAACAGCAGCCCGTTCGTCCAATGTCCAGTTGAGATGTGGCCTCGCCATGATGCATTACCTCCCTACAAACCCCCCTTCCCTCCCCTTCTCGCCATCTCCACGACCTTCCACCCGCCCGTCACCTCGTCCTCCAGCCCCGCCTCCTCCCTCGTGAGCACCATCGCGTACCGGCACGCCTCCACCCCATTCTCATCGCCCAGCACCACCTCGCCCGTCTTTGCCTTTTTCCAGCACACCACCTCCTGCGTCGCGAACGTTACGAGAAAGACGGCAATGTTATTTTCGAGCATCTTGCCGGTGGATATATCGACGTGCTTGATGTCGAGGATACGGGACTGGGAGACGAGGCCTTGTTTTGTATATTGGGAGAGGGTGGCCCAGAGGACATTGAAGGTCTGTGGGTCAGCGATATACCATGAAGACCAGGGGGGGCGTTCTCCCCGATGGATAGACCTACAGCTTCACCACACCATTTCCTCAACGCCTGCTGATCCGCGCTCAAATACGCATCCACCACTTCTGGCACGATATACTCTCTCAGCTCGCCCGTCCACCGATCAATTCTAAAGTCCGGATCCAGCTCCTTCATCGCTCGAATGACCCGCGCCGTCTCGTTCTCGTCAAACCACGAGCCGACGGTGGATGTGATACTGCGCAGGGTGGAGATGAGAGGGGAGTCGGATTCTTGATAGTTTTCAAGCAGGCGCTGATAGGTTGGGGAATTTGTCAGGAAGGACAGGCGGGATGGAGCGGAGGGTTTTGAGTCAGTCAAAACAAGAGCTTCACCAGCCCTGATCGTCAGCACCGAAGCAGTAGCCCCAGAAGGAAGGGACATACTCTGGGTTGGCCTTGACTCTGGGCGTAACGTTCTTTCCTGCCTTCTTGGCCCTCATCTCCCGCTTCCGTCTCCTCTCCTCCTTTTCCTCGTACCCGCCATACCTCGATCCCATCCCCGTCTCATCCTCAAACGCCTCCTCGACACTCGCCGCAATCGCCTTGTACACCGCTGTATCCCGCACCGGCTGGGTCGCACGGGTCGCTACATCCGATACGAGGCCGTACGAGGATCGAATGGCATTGATGACGCCCGAGTCCTCCAGGGATCTATTGATCGCTTCGGACACGGAGATTCCGCGTCGTTTCATATCCGCCAGAGAAGCCTGTATCCGCGGGTTCTTCTGAATCATCGAGACGATCTATTCATCAGCCCAGCCTCTCTCTCTCTCGCAAGACCAAGACTCACCCTCGCACGCTCATACATATCCCTCGCGCGCTTCATCGCCGCACTATCCGCCATCTTGTCGACATCTCCCTGCAACTGCTTCACATTCTGCTGCCATGCCTTATTCTTGCTGATCTCCTCCTTGAGCACCTCGGCAAAGACAGCGAACGGCGATCGGACCGGTCCAGAGCCCTCCTCGGGCGTCGGGCCGCGCTTCTTACCTTCCGCCTTGTCCTTGGCTCCTTCCTCTGATGGGCCGGCCTTTTCTGAGCCAGCCTGTTGCTGTTGCTTAGGGTCGACATTCCGGAGAAGTGGGGAGGAGGAGAGGTGGCGGATCTGAGGGGAAGGAGCGAGCTGGGGTAGCCGGGCGAAGGGCGGTAGTGAGAGCTGTCGGGATGGCGGGAGTGAGCGGACGCGGAGAGCGCGGAGGAAGACGGGGCGGCTCTTCATCTTGTATGGTATGAGTTGCAGCTAAGAGATAGATGATGGAGCTTGGTGGACGTTCGAAATCTCATTTTCTGGCCAGATCAGCCGGCCGGAACCAAAAAGTCCCGCCAGTACAAGGCTTGTTTCATCGCTTCCCATGCGTACTGAGAGCGTCCATGCATGTATAGAGTCCCTGTGAAAAGCTGAGAACAGACAGGGCAGAGCGATGTCTGTGCTACGAGGCAGAGGTCACAAATTGCAGCATGCTGAAGGAGGCTGAACAGAGGGAGGACAGTCGAAAGAGGGGCTCATTTAAAGTTCAAGATACACGCGCGTCGCCACCCGTGCTCGGCAACAACACACGTCCACACCTCCATCTCAAGCTTGTACATACTGCCCCTAAGCAGACCTACGATCTGCCATGTCATCTTCTAGCCGCCCCCAATCAGTCAGGGGACTATATAGTGAGCTACAGAACCGATATCCCGGAGTAACGCTCACAAGACAGCTCCTCCAGCCGAGGAATGGGTCTTCCTCCCACCCACCGTCCCCCCTCCCTCCTCATGCACCTCCGCTCCCGCCGCTCCCGTACATCTCCCCACACCATTCTCCTCATCCTCGCCTGTCTCAGACTCGGAGGACGGTCTGGCCGGGATGTACGGCTATGGCCCTCTCCAGCTCTTCGCCGCCGAGTACTTCTCGACCGCGCTCGGAATGCCGTTCGAGGTGGGAAAGACGCTCCTTCAGATCGAATACCGTCCTCGCCGGAAGTTTGCACCTTCTCTCCCTACACCCACAGAAGAGTCCGGTCGGCGAGGGAGCAAGGCGGAAGAGCTGGAAGTGGAGGATGAAGACGCTGCCGCAGCATACTTTTCGGACCGGCTGTCTAGCGAGACGTACCTCCCTCCTCCCGAGCAGGTCGCTCCAGACGTCCAGGTTGACCCTGCTACCGGATACATTGCGGACCCCGAACCGACCTGGTTGCTCAAAGACGACTTTGAGATCTCCCGCGGGAATGGCGTATGGGGTATGATCCGGCGGCTCCGGTACACCCCTTCCGAGGGGTTACCTTCCCTCTGGAAAGCCCAGATCATCACTACCATCCACTCCCTCCTCTCCAATATCCTTCAACCCAGTATACACTCCACCATCCTCTCCTTCTCGCCCAATCCGACCAACCCCGATATACCCCTGACGGCCCTTCCGCACCCGACTATCCCGCTCGGGCTGCAGGTTGCGTCCCACCTCCTCACCCACCTGCTCCTCTCGCCGATGGAACTCCTCCGCACCCGGCTGATCGCTATGCCCACTCACTCATCCACTCCGTCCTCCATCACCCTCTTCAACCGGATCGTGTCGCACGAAGGCGGCCTCTCGGGGATATACCTCCACCCCAACCTCCTCTTCCCTGCGCTCATCGAGCACACTCTCCGGCCCCTCCTCACCCTCTCCATCCCCATCCTGCTCGAGCGGCAATTCTCCATATCGCCCGATATCTCCCCCATCACGTATAGCCTGTGCGACCTCTCGCTCAACCTCGCCTCGCTGATTGTGCTCCTGCCGATCGAGACGGTCCGGAGGAGGCTGCAGGTGCAGTCCAGAGGAGGCGACAAGGAGAGGATACGCACGGTGGTCAAGACGCGAGAGCGGGAGTATGTGGGTATGGTAGAAGCCATGTGGAGGATCGTGACGGAGGAGACCGGCGTCAGGAGACGGAGGGTTATGAGTGAGAAGGATGAAGGTGGGGTCGTGGCGGGACTCAGGCAGCTATACAGAGGGGTGAGTTGACATTCCCACCGATCCGTGACGGACCCATAGCTGACTCTGTAGTTTGGAATGGCTGCTACTGCGCACGTCACGGTCTTTGGGCTTGGACTGGTCAGTGCGAGTCTAGGCGGGCGGGGCTTTGACGGAGGATGGAAGGAGATCTAAGGGGTCCTAGGACGGCATGTCGTCACTGCTGCAGAGGCGATGCTCCGAGGATATACCCATTCGACGGATACTGATTACGTGCTTGACTATCAAAGTTGACCTCGCACCTCCCCCTGGTCCAACCCATATACAGCGAAATTACCCGCCGTACAACTAATCTTCGGATTCCCTAGATCACTAATTGACGTCAAACAGTTCCCCCTCGCCCTGTCCCAGATGAGAAACAAGGGCCGCAGCTGGCTAAGGGGTGCGCGGTCTTGCAGGCCGGCGCATTGATAGGCGAGGTCGTCGAGGGTGGAGTAGGGCAGGGTGTGTTGGGTGGTGAAGTGGGTCACTGGGCGTCAGCTTCTGTTGAGGAGAGGGGCACGGGGGTTATGGGGCCGGGGTTCTTGGAGGGCTGACTGGATATGGTGCCGAAACAGCCTAGAAAGTTATATCGGTTTGGACTGTTTCGGGCGAGGGCTTGAACAGGGGTGGGTATGGCTCGCTGGCTTATTCCTGTACCGTATCCGTCAGCCTACTCCTGCTGACAGTACTAATAAATACTGCTGTGTCTCACTCGGTATCTCGCGGGAGGTGTCTGGGATCGCCAGTCCCCTAACAGATGAGTTTAATATCAGCCAGGCGCCGAGTACTGCGGGCAACAAGGTCAGCCGCCGCATCCCAGATTACGGCTGGCGGAGCTGATGCCTCAAAACCAGCAGGATCTGCAACGCGCCGACTCGATCAACGGTGTCTCCGTCGCCTTCTTCTGACGCACACATCGTGTCGGACTGACTCACTGACGTGAGGTGAAACAGGCTGAAACCTTCCGAGACATGCCGATGCCACAAACCAAAGTGGCGGGTCAGTCGACATTGGCCACTCGTATCGCCACAAACCGCGGATGCCGTCCATGCGAGAATGTTCTATTGGCCATGTGGGACCGGACCAACACAAAGGGCATACGTCGTGGGGACACGCCTGAAAGGATGGGCGGGCTGAGACACAGGCGCTGCGAGTGGCTGGTCTTGGGGATCATAAAGGCCGGTCCCGGCGCCCGTCTACTCTTGCTTTTGCCACCCCCACTACCTCTTTCCTCGGCTCACCACTTCAGCCCAGCCCTACCTCATACTCTTCGCTCCTTGTTACCCACAATCACCATGAGCAGTACCACTTACAAGCCCTTTCTCGGTGCTGTCAAAGTCGGCGACACTGCCACTTCGGCCGAAGGAGTGACATCGTCATCCCTCGCTGTCCAGTACAAAGACGAGGAGGGGGCGTTACAAACCTTCGTGGCCGATCAGGCTTCATTGACGAAGCTCATTTGGGGCAGAGCTGAGCACGTTACTGATGAGGCCGACATCAACGCGTGGGACGGCTCACAAATCGCCGCACTGGTGGGTTGGATGGAGGCGGTCCCTCCTGAGCGGTACAACGACCTCTGTCTGCTCGAGATCAACTCAGCCGGCACGGGGCCCACCAATGACGCCTCACCCAGGGCCAAAGGGCACTTGATGGTCTTTCGTCAGACAGTGCCAGTCGGCGGGACAGTGACTTCTGAGATCTGTCACATGTGCGACCTAGACCTCGCCGAGGAAGTGGACCGACCGGAGACGACTGTCGAGAACAACCGAGCGTTGTACAGCCGGGGCATGAGCGGTGACTACTACGTCCCGCTGTCTAAGCGTGAGAGAATCAGGTTCCCGGTCTCGGGAACGCTGCTCGGTCACGTTGTGGGGAAAGCGCAGGTTCAGTACCAAAGGAGCCACACAGAGTGAGGAATGCGGATGTCCGTGCGCAGCACACAGGCGAGGCTGACTAGAGCCAAGGATGGCTTAGCTGGTAGGGAGATCGTCAAGCACCGTACATAGCACTAGCCACATACATGTTCATGTAGCTCTTGCTCTGTCCACCTGCAGCTTGACCTATCGACACTCGGTGCTATTCCCATCGACATCTATACGGCTCGGCACACTCCTCGTATCCCTCTCATACCCCTCTCCTGTGCGCCAGTCCTCCCTGGTTCACCTCGATCTCCTCTCTTTCGCTAGCCATCGATCCGGCTTCCACCCTTTTTCACCACAACGTGGATGTCGACGTACATGGTGATTTGGTCTACCGTACCGAGGGCGGATCGCTGGTCGTACTTGGAGCTCCGGTGTGGGAGATCAGCGAGGACGACGGCAGGTCTTCCGCCAGCGGGACCAAGCATCATGCGTTTATACTCAGGCGGGCAGATGTGTGAGAGGACTCATCAACGAGCACGGGGGAGGCAAGCAGTACCGGTGTCTATGGGCGGGGACAACGAACAGTGGCTGATGATATTCGATTCTGTGCAATATGCATTGTGTCCGGACATGTTCAACAGGTTGCCAGCTAAGCTCTCAGCAAGCTTGAAGCTGCAACGGAAACTCCGATATTTGCCACCCGCTTTGCCACCTACAGTGTGTGCGTGCTTCCGGGTCAGATCGGGTCAGATGCCTACGTCGTGCTACTCGAGTACAAAGGGAATGAACGTGTTACACGTATGAAAGGATCACGCAGGTGTAACCCTTGCTGGTCCCGAAAATGGACTCGAGCTGGGCATATGTCTGGTGCAGAGCCCCTCTTCCTCCCGGCCGCCGGTCCCCTCTCTTTGTAAGTGTACCTTATTCCTTTCCAACTCCAGCATTCTTCGCTACCTCTACATACCACGATGGAACATCTTTGCCGTTGCTCAAACCATGACCACAAGAGTCGACCGACCGGAAAGTACCAGCCCTTCCTCGGAGACATCCGAGGACTCTCTACCTTGTCTGCAAGATCAAAGAACCCGATACGTCTGCCATCATCACCTATCAGGACGGGGAGACGACCAAGACGCTGGATGGCGAGCAGATGGCGCCGAGTGGTCAGTCCTGGGGGCAATGCGAGTCTGCAGCTGAAGTGGGGAGTTGACCTGCAAGACCGCGACTGCAGTCAGCAAACGGAGCTGAGGAAGTGGAGCGCGATCAACGCGACACCGTTCACTCAAGGGCATCAGTACGTCGTCGGCCTGCTGGAGACCATCAACTCAAAGTCCGAACCTCTAGTCGCCACGACCCCGAGCGACCGAAACACTGAGCCCATGGCCAAGACCGGTGCGGATTCCAAGACAGCACGATACCTGCGGGTGTTCCGCCACAGGGTAACTTTCCCGACTTCATCGCTGACCAAGACTTACATTGAGTTGAATCGGACGAATCCGACACTGTACCCAACGATCCCAGCGCTTCAGCACGTGTGCGATCTACGCCTGGGCGAGGAATCCGATGCCGAGGACACTCCCAGGCGGAGCGCAACGTCGCTGTGGTACGTTCTCTCTGCAAACTCCTGCATCCCGGATCAAGAGCACCAGATGAAGGAGTACCGCGTCTTATCTGATTCAGGCGAGGATCTCGGCTACATCAGGCTACAGGGCATCGAGGGGCTTGTGCACAGCCCCAATGACGGAACGCTGGTCGCTCGTGGAGCTGCATTGTCGGGCTTCGATGGGACTGGCAAGCGCTGGGTCAGTGACACCGACCACCATGCTGTCATCCTCCGGCCGACAGCTGCGAGAGCATCGTCAGCGAGCGCCAAGGCTTCCGGGGCGAGGCACCATGTCGAGGATGTGACTGAGGCACCAGTTGACGCCCGAAACGTGGAGGATTTGCAAGTCGAGGTGACGGAGGTGCAGATTGTTGGTGCGGAAGTGACGAGCGCCAAGGAAGTGGCAGCCGAAGCCTTGGCCCTCGAGGACCCGGACTGGGAGCACATCGATCCCGAATCAGGGTCTGAAGATGACTGGCAGCATGTTGACGACGCCAACGTCAGCGAGTCGAGCGATGAGCAGTCTTGAGGAGGGGAGTCGATCGGACAGATACTTGAAGAGCGCTTTGTCTATACTTGGCTAATTTCCGGGCGTGTGTGAGTTATGCAACGGATATGATATGAGTGTTGATCTGGCGTGATGTGAGATCAGATTAGGATCTGAGTCAGCGTTACAGAGACATCATCAGTATTTGAATCTCCTGCAACGAAGCACGCGAATAATCTTACAACCACCTACTTATCCTCACTCAGATCCCTCATCCGTCCATCGACCAACGGACACACAATAGCCAGCTCCCCGCCTAATCGCTTCAACTCATCCTCGCTCGTCTTCTTGATAAACACCGCCCCCGTCTTGGTGATTAGCGGTTTCGGTATAATGGCCGATCCGCGAGATCGTTCTTTATCTCCATTCTGCCGTATCAGCACTCTCAATCCCTCGGGTACTAAGGTAATCACTGATACGGGTCTAGGGGAGGACTCACGAAATCATCCACATCGCTCATATGCTCATTCCTCCCCACAAACAGCGCATCCCTGATACTCCTCCAATCGTGCTTGACGACGTGTCGCCTGACTTGACCCCATCCCCTCTCTCCGCCCCCATTTCCATGCGATGGCAGAGACGATAGACTGTCCGACATCCCGCCCCGGACGGGTGATTCCGGTCCTCGGGGCGTCGTCATCGACATCGACATGGTGCGCTTCCCCTGGCCTTGGCCCTGGCCCTGGCTTTGGGTCTCCCGTCCGCCCCACCCGCCCCGCGTGCTGGCTGGCGAGGAAGCAAGCGAGGTATTGGGCGAGCTGTGTTCTTTGCGTGCGCGGGAGAGGACGCCGTCCGTACGGGACGAGAGATGGCTCTCGTGCGCGTCCATGAGCTGTTTATGACGGAAGATATAGGCAGAACCTGCAGTGTCAGCTTATGACCACTGATGGTGGATAGAGCAGAGAAGCCGACTTACCGAGGAGGAAAGACCGGATAATACTGCTCATGATCTGCCCATTCTCGTCGTCCACAATGAATTTGCGGTTCTTGAGCCCCTCAAACCCGTCGTACCCCTGAGCCATATACTCTCGTGTGATCTACCCCGGTCAGCTTCGACGCACTTGCGTGTACAAGGGTTTGAGCTTACCACGCGATACACCCTGCTCCCATCGCGCTTCACCTCCTCCCCCAACTCCACCTTCCTCTGATTCACCTCGACCGTCGTCCCATCTTCCTGCTCCACAAAGTTGACCATATCCCCCGGATGCTCAATCTCGTCCGCGTCCTCGTCGCCTATTGGGTTCTTGATGAGGTGGATCGACTTGATGCGTTGGTTGGGAGGGAGGAGGTGGTCCCATTGGACAGCGAGACCGGCTACGATGGGGAAGCGGCTAAGGCGTGTCAGCTTGGTTTACGCACACGAACTCGTTAAGGCGACAAAGCTCACCCTTCTTGTGCTGGCCATTTCGAAAGCGATGTTTCGAGGACTTCCCATAAACCCTTTCCGTCAATCTGCAAGTCAGCTGTCTTCCAGAGCCGCAGAACCTATTCTTCCAGCTCAAGACAGCTTACCTCGATACAAACGACCGGGTCTTCGAAAGGTAAGATCTCTGGTAACCGTCAGCTCTTGGCCACGCGATCAGCGAGCATCGTTGAGCTTACCGAGGATATCGCCAAGGGTGATCTTGCCTGGACCATACTGACTGTCCCCTCTCAGGGTCCCTCCACAGAGCAGAACAACATCCGCCCCGTGATCCTTCCCCTGCGCATTCTTGACTCGTATATCCGCCTTCACGCCCGTCTTCCCTTCCTCCTCCCCACCCTCATCACCATCTCCGCCCTCTCCACTATTATCGTCCTTCGCCCTCTCGACAAACCCGCTCCCTCCCTCGATCCCACTCTCCGCATACGCATGCAAGAGCACATCCGCCACCCAATTCCCCAGACCCGTCTCTTTCGTGCGCACCAGCTCCGACCGCGCATCGAACGGCGTCAGCGCAAAACACACCGGTTTCGACAGGGTGTCCGAGACGGACGAAAGCAGCTTGGAAATGAGTTCGGTGATTTCGGGCGAGGCGGGCGAGGATGGCATGACGTAGAGGTGCTCGCCGGTCAATTCGGAGATGGTCTGTTTACGGACGGCCGAGGAGGATGAGGGAGGAGAAAGGGTGAGGACGGCAGAGGTAAGGTCACGGAAGTCGGTACCGGACTTGATGAGGTGGCAGACCTTGTCGTCCTCGGTGCCTTTGGCGGTGTGGTCCCCTGAGAAGCCGGTCCAGCTCTTAGAGGCGCCGTTGCCGATGTAGTACATCTGACAATTCGTGAGCTGGCGTCACGTAGAAATCTCGACTTCGATAAGCTCACATGATCATGTCCGCCAATGACGAGGTCTACACCGTGCTCGCTCGATTTATCCTCGCCAGACACAGCTCCGAGCTCGTTACACAGCTTGATATCCTGCTCATCAGCTGGGTTTTGCAGCCTGAGTACAAGGAAAGACCCACGTTAGGCACCCGACAATGTGTCAAAGCGATGATAAAGTCAACTTTGTGCTCTCCCTTCGGATCTCTGAGCTCCTTCGATAGCGCTCGAGCCGTATCGGCCATGTCCCGATACGAGAAGTGCTCGGGCCATGATGGAATCGTCGCTATCCAGTCTCTGTATAGTCAGCATTGATCCAATCGGCAGATGGTGTAGACTTGCTGTTCGACCAGGCCTATCACACCTATCTTGACTCCGCACCGTTCCGTCACCCAGAACCTGCGTAATGGCTCCGGCGTGGTTCCGGTATGTTGATCGACAATGTTGGAGAGAAGCCAGGGGAAGTTGGTGCTCTCAAGCAGCTTTGTCAAATGCGGAAAGCCTATATGTCAGCTTCGGCAACTCCAAATTCGGCTCTCGGTCCGACTTACCAAAGTCAAAGTCGTGGTTGCCTATACAGGCACAATCGATCTTGAGGGCGTTCATGACCGGCACCATATGACTTCCTCTCGTCACCGAGCTCTCCACGCTCGGGTTGAAGACATCCCCAGCGAATAGCACCAGACCCTCCTTCTCCTCTTTCGCATCATCGCTGCCGTCGCCCTTCCGATCCGCCCACTCATCCCGATGCGAGAACAAGAGCTGGCCGAACTGAGCCACGTTTATCTTTGCCTCGCCATCGCCGTCCTCTTTGGCCTGATCGGGATGGAGCTTTCGCCTCTCTGGCGCGCCTGGCTGAGCTACATATTTCTGTGAGACGCGGTAGACGTCGTTGAAGCAGAGGATGGGTAAGGTGGGCATAGTAATGAGGTATATATGAATGGTAGGGGTGAGGTGCGATTCGCTGTGCCTGCGCATGCAAGATCTGGTCCGAGCTGAAACGTGTGGAGACCCCAGAATAGCTCACCATCGGCGATCGCCGCCCAGAGTTGCCACCCAAAAGCTTGAATTTTACGATCGTCCACCTGTTGACCTCTCCATCATCTATCCACACCTATAGCCATGTCGGAACCACCCCAGAAGAGATCAAAAATGGCAGAAGCAGGCCCATCCACTCCGGTGCACAACCCATATCTCGATCACAGGCCGCAGAATGGCTATGCGTCAGGCGCAAATGGCGTGGGAGCTGCGAACGGAGGAGGCAAGGTCAAGAACCCTTTGAACGGGTTGGTGCCTAGGAAGGTGTCGGTGCAGCAGTGCAAGGACATTATGGTGAGCTGACTCATCACCAACTGTCAGCTCGACCGGTAAGCTGATCTCCAGGACGGCGATGTAAACCCCTTCAAAGGCCTCGTCCCCTTCACCCCAAACTACCGCAAAATCCTCGAACAGCGGAAAGGTCTCCCCGTCTACCAAAAGATGCAGGAGTTCTTGACGGTGTTCAGCGAGAATCAGATCACAGTGATGGAGGGTCAAACAGGGTCGGGGAAAACAACGCAAATCCCGCAATTTGTCTGCTACTCGGATCTGCCGATGTTGAGGGGGAAGATGGTGGCTTGTACGCAGCCGAGGAGGGTGGCGGCTATGAGTGTGGCCAAGCGTGTTGCGGACGAGATGGATGGTGAGTTTGTTCTCCAGCAACCAAGTTCACACCTGACTTTACAGTCCAACTCGGAAAGCAGGTCGGATACTCTATTCGTTTCGAGGATATGACCGAAACCGGCACGACCTTCCTCAAATACATGACGGATGGTATGCTCCTGCGGGAAGCGATGAACGACCCGGAGCTATCACGGTACTCCACTATCATTCTTGACGAGGCGCACGAGCGGACATTAGCGACGGATATTCTGATGGGTCTCCTCAAGGATGTAAGCTCTCCGTCCTCGTTGTCAGATTCCAGCTAATTTCAGATCGCCAAAAACCGGGCCGACCTAAAAATCGTCGTCATGTCAGCCACTCTCGATGTCGGCAAGTTCCAGCGGTACTTTGGCGACAATGCTCCCGGCGGCCTCGCCCCTGTCGTCAAGGTCTCCGGTCGTACCTTCCCAGTCGAGACCTTCTTCACGCAAGAACCCGAAACGGACTATGTCGAGGCGGCGATCCGGACGGTCCTCTTCATCCATCAGGCGGAGGACGAGGGAGACGTTCTCCTCTTCTTGACGGGTGAAGAGGAGATTGAGGATGCTTGTCGGAAGATCAGGGCGGAAGGGGAAGAATTGAGCGGGAAGGGAATGGCCGGACCACTACTCGTCGTACCCCTCTACTCGTCATTACCTCCTCATCAGCAACAACGGATCTTTGACGCCGCCCCTCCTCCCCGCGCCGACAAGCTCCCCGGTCGTAAAATCGTCATATCCACAAATATCGCCGAAACCTCCCTCACCATCGACGGCATCGTCTACGTCGTGGACCCCGGGTTCTGCAAGCAGAAAGTCTACAACCCTCGGATCCGGGTCGAGTCACTGCTTGTTACGCCCATCTCGAAAGCCTCGGCTATGCAGCGTGCGGGCCGAGCAGGGCGGACACGGCCTGGAAAGTGTTTCAGGCTGTATACGGAGAAGGATTTCGTCAAGGAGCTGGAGGAGCAGACGCATCCGGAAATCCTTCGGTCCAATCTCGCCAATACCGTCCTGGAGCTCATCAAACTCGGTATCAAGGATCTCGTCCATTTCGACTATATGGACGCACCCGCGCCGGAGACCATCATGCGGGCTTTGGAGTTGCTTCACTACCTCGCTGCGCTGGACGACGAGGGCGGTCTCACACCCCTCGGCGAAATCATGGCGGAGTTCCCGCTCGACCCTCAGCTCGCCAAGATGCTGATCGTCTCGCCGGAATTTGGGTGCTCAAACGAGATGCTATCTCTCACGGCGATGCTTTCGGTTCCCAACGTCTTTATGCGGCCGGCCAACCAGCGGAAAGAGGCGGATATGGCCAAAGCCCAGTTCACCCATCCGGACGGGGACCACCTGACCATGTTGAACGTGTACCACGCGTACAAGTCGGCAGCGACCAACGAGGGGGACGCCAAGAACTTTTGCTGGCAAAACTACCTCAATGCCCGGTCGCTCGCACAGGCGGATAACGTCCGGACGCAGCTCAAGCGGAGCATGGAGAAGTTTGATCTGGAGCTGGTCTCGACAGCGTTTGAGGATAAGAATTATTGGAATAATATACGTCAGGCATTGACGTGTGGGTTCTTTATGCAGGTGGCGCATAAGGAAGGGGAGAGGGGGAGTTACCTCACGGTGAAGGATAACCAGGTGGTTAGGCTGCATTTGAGCTGTGGGTTGTCGACGACGCCAGAGTGGGTGATATATAACGAGTTTGTCTTGACTACCGCAAATGTGAGTTGACGTTTCCCCCACGATGGGTCGAGCGCGAGCTGACACTATAGTTCATCCGGACGGTCACTGAGGTCCGCCCAGAGTGGCTCATGGAGTACGCACCGCAGTACTTTGACCCATCCACCTTCCCGGCCAACAGCGAGACAAGAAGGGCATTGGAGCGGGTCGTGAAGAAGGTTAGTCCCATTCTGCGCTCATACCTGACTTGGTTCTCGCTGTGCTGCTGGAAGCTTGCTGATAGTTGCAGAGGTCCGACAAGTCGGGAGGAACAGGAGCGGACGGGGTGGAAAAGAAGAAGAAGAAGAGGAAGGCGGACAAGTAGTGGGGGAATGGTGATCATGGGCGATATCGATGTTGTCGAAGTAAGGGGGCGTGTACCTATAGATGCGATACTCACCCCGATGAGCTCAGTAGGAGCTATACACTGACAGCGAGCCCTGATGGATTGTCCGCTGACAATGTGCCACACTGACGGGCTGGACCGCCACATTCGTCACCTGTGTGTGCAAGAAACCTAAAATGTCAAACCTCGCTTCCTTCTACTTTTCCCATCAAATTCTCCTGCTTTCGTCCATCATCCAACTTGGATCAGCCCTACACTACCGGTCTCGCCTACTGCTCAGCTCAAGATATCAGACATGCCGAGCGATATCGTGAGTCTCTCATTCTCATTCTGTACTATGCCATCAATCCGTGGGGACCTCGGCTGATCATCCAGTCAACCCTCCCACTACCCCTTTCACCCCCTCATCCATCCGACCGCCTCTCTCCTCTCGCCATCGAGCTCCAAGAGCGTATCATCAGCCGCCTCGACCGCTCATCGATCGCCAGGATCGCGCGTGTAGCTCGGTGCCTCACGAAGGTCGCAACGAAACAACTATGGCTACACCTCGAGCTTGGCCTCGTCCAAAAGGGTGACGAGCGGCTGTGGCCGTTGCCAAAGAAGAACCTATGCGACGATAGGGATCGGCTGGCGTATAACTACCGCGTGAGGGGACACGCCGAGATGGAGGCGGCGACTAAGAGCTATAGTGCGAGACTCGAGCGGCAGATGGATGAAGTCATCAACCAGGCGGATGAGGGGAAGTTGACGTCGGTCCGAAGCTTCAGGGCGATGACGGCGTACAAGACTGGGCCGGCTTTTCTCAAATTGCTCTTGCCTATGGCTGCCACACTTCTCAGCTTGACGCTGGTCGCGCCGGCTGTAGCATTGGACTTTATCAACTACTATGACGGCGACGATCACATCAACCGCTTCATTCTCCTTGGCGAGCTCGGATCCAAGTTCAGTAAGCTCGGCCACCTGGAGATCGGTCCGTACGCTATCGACCGGCCGGCGTACTTAGCATATCTCATGCGGATAGCACCCAACCTCACTACGCTGGACATCACGCTAGACCACCAGGTAGCTGATACGCTCCACACCTGGGCTAGCCTCCCAGAGTGCGCCACACGTCCCTCGGCTGGTCACCTGAACCATGTTCGGCAACTACGCATCGCCTGGATCGAGGACTTGCATGAGACCATACACCGCGGTTCCGGCGGCTGCATCCTGCCCCTTCTCCAAAACAGCCCGGAGCTCCGACAGCTCCACATCGTTAGCGTCCAGGACCCCATGCCTCTCAACATGCCCATCCTCCCGGACGTGCTCGCCGCTCTACGCGGACGGCGATGCCGAAACCTCGAGGACCTCCAATGGCCGGGCGTCTGGTCATACGATGCCCCTACGCGTGAACCGGGCGATGAGATTTATGACCGGTTATACTTCTCCCCTCGCGATGCGGGATCCGTGGCCGAGGCGGATGAGGGATCTTCGGATGACGGAACGGAGGAGGCGCAAGATGAATCAGAGGCGGAGCTACTGCGGAGGTTTCCGCAGGTGAGGATGCTGGTGCTGAAGCCTGGACTACCTGAAGACATGGTAAGCTTCTCCTCTACCTAATTTACGAACGATACAGAATACCAAGCTGATTCTCCTCAGCACAAGATCTGGCCCGAGAGTGCCAATCCGGAAGTCCTCAGCCTGGATTCGCCCGCACACGAAGCTCTCCACTACGCCAACTTCAACCCCACCTCTCCCTTCTCCTCTTCTACCACCACCCAATCATCCCATATCCTTGGCATCCGCCCTGACCTCGCTCACCGCATCCGAGACACCCCTCGCCTCCTCCATATCCACTTTGGCGCAGACGAACCCGCGGTACACGACCTCGACCTCTTTGATCAGCTCCGCATCATCGAGGCTCGCGACGAGTGCACCTTCCGCATCAGCTCATACCGGCACGGCGGACAAGAGCTCCTCCACCTGCGTCTCCGGACGCAGTGGACGGAGGTCTCGGATGTCGAGCGCGGGAAGGGGGTGCCAGTGCAGCTGGCTGATAGCTGGCGCACTCTGAGCTATACCGCTTCGGATGGCTCAGAGCGGATCAAGCTCTTTGTCAAAGGCGACGAGTACAAGGTGGTACATTTGACGGATCTGGATGGGCAGGCGGTACCGATGGAGGGGATCTCGGAGATGAGGGAGGCGGAGGGGATAAGCGAGGAGGCGTGGGCGGCCAGAGGCGTGGAGATCGGTGCGGCAGCTTGGGCGATCCTAGGGAGGTGGAAGGAGACGGAGCCGGACGCACGGGTGTAGATGAGGCAGGTGGACAAGTTGGGGGCTGTTAGCATCGAGCTGAGTCGGAAAAGGAGAAAGGTCAGGGGGTGAATGGGAGGAACGAGGACCTAGCCAGCTTATGTGACTCTGATATCATTATACCGTCCACGCAGCTTATATGATCCAGGTCACTATAGCAAATCCACGGAGGTCTGGCCCATTCCCATTCCCTGATGGTCGAGATCATGCTGGGGGCGAAGTATAGCTTTACCATGGCTCCGGACTGCCTCCACCTCCACCGGCCACCGCTCCAAAACATCTTTAGATCTGACCATCACCTTCCTCTTACCTTCTATACCTCGTTCCTCGATTAGCCCCCTCCCTGGGCGCCCTCTGCTCTGGATGACCACCTGGACGTTCACACGGTCTGTGCGCTTCCGAGGCCAAAGCGGTAACGTCTGATTCCCTCAGTCACGTCTGGCTCGGACCGTCCGCTCAGCTCGACATTGATCATCTTCTCATCCGTCCTTCATTGTACTTGAGGCGCTGCGAGCAAGAGATCTTCCCCTCAGAACCTGGCCTTGTGCTCTTGAGATCATGTCGAGCGAAACAGTAAGCAAATCTTTTGCAACGGCAGCAGCATAAGAGGAACATCATCGACTAATACTGACCCCTACAGCCGACCGCGCAACCCCCTCGTCCTTCCGACCGCCTTTCCCTCCTACCCCTCGAGCTCCGCCAGCAAGTCATCGGCTGTCTCGATCGATGCTCGGCGCTGACGCTCGCCCGTGTCGCTCGTCGCTTTACTGCACCCGCGCGAGATCAGCTTTGGCGGCATCTGGACCTCTCCATCGCCAGCAAGACTAAGCAATACGGCGACGCTTCCTCACCTCCGGCCGGACAGCCTATCAGACAATCCGATCAGGCGTCGTCGTCATCTTCGCGTACTACGAAAAATTTCGCGAACGGTCTACGCCCGGAACAGGCGAAGCTGGACCGAGAAAGACAGCGCAAGGAGCGCGAGGAGATGCCGTGCATAGGGGATGCTATCCGACAGGCTGGCCACCGGGAGCTATCGATGGTGGAGACGATCCGGGCAGTGGACGGTCTGGGAACGATCTACGCCCTGCTGGAGCCGTTATTGCCTTGGGTGCCTAACCTCAAACGGCTCTCACTGGATGCAAAAACATCAGGGGAAGACAGGTATTGCGACTCACGACTCGGCCGGGTCGAAGGCAAGCGCGTACCGACTCGGCCGAGTCATGCTCAAGCTCAAGAGACGGATCCACTTCCCCTTTCTAGAGCCATCGAGATCGGTCAAGGCACTATCGAGCATCTGGAATTCGTCGCGCTCCTTATGGAATCGGCGCCAACACTGGCCACGCTCGACATCACGTTTGACATGGGCACTGCGGACCGGTCCCATACCTCGGACTCTCCCTTCCTCATCACCGGGGTTCCAAACAGTCTGCGGAGCATTCGGATCAGCAGCACCTATTTCGGAATGACCTTGGCGCGTCACCTATCGCCACTACTGAAGAACAGCCTTTCCCTGCGGCAGCTTATGATAGTCACCCCCGCGTCCCTCGTCGACACCACCCCTCTCGACAATGTCCTCGACTGCATTCAGGACCTCAATTGTCTCCAAGATATTCAGATACCGGGCATACCGACTCTTAATGCGCTCTACCGATCGGACGAAGACTGCCGCGATCACCTTCGGTTTCGGTCGTTCCCGATGGTGCGTGTTTTGGTTCTGAAGCCGAGCTGTTCCGATATTATGGTGAGTCTTGTCATACAGTGTTTCAGTTGGTGTTTTCAGCCGTAGAATGGCAGAACGCTAATATCACCTAGTTCAAGCTCTGGCCGGAAAGCTCCAATCCCGAGATCCTCAGCCTTGACTCCTCAGCGCACGAAGCCCTTCACTACGCCTCACACATTATCAATCACAAGGTTTCATCATCCTCCGCCTCGAACACCTCCACACTCCCCCACTGCATCCGATCCGAGTTAGCGCTACAGATCCGCGGTACCCCTCGTTTGCGCAGTATCCAGCTTGCGAAGGACGACCCCATTGTTCTCGGTCCGGAGCTTTTCAATCAGCTGCGAACCTTCCAAGCCCGGGACGAATGTACCTTCCGTATCCGCTCGTACAAGCACGCTGGCCAAGAGCTCCTCCACATCCGCCTTCGGACTCAATGGCATCAGCTCTCCGACGTCGCGGTGACAGATCATCCCAACATCCGTGCAACGACTTGGCGTACTCTGCGCTATAGGCAAAAGGCGGATCAAGCTCCTCGAGCGGCGCCCGGAGTATACGCTCGTCAACCTGACGGATTTCGACGGTGTGGCAGTACCGATGGAGGTGATGGGAGCGATGAGAGAGATGGAGGGCGTCAGCGAGGCGGTGTGGGACAGCAGGGGAGTGGAAGTCGGCGCGGCGACTTGGGCAGTATTGACGAGGTGGGCGCGGATAAAGGAGGACAAGGGGAAGAGTGGAGATCAGGAGCTGAGCGCTTGGGAAGCATAGTAGCCAGCAGATGGCTCACTTGAGTTACCATGCTATGAAATCATACGTGTTATCTACCAAAGCTCTACTTGTGATACGAGGTCCTGATGTATATGCTGCTGATCTGACTACCGCCTTCGCCCTACACATCCCGACGAAGCCATGTATACCCTATATCGACAGGTGCCATTCCCCGAGCCGAGTCCCGCTCGACCGAAGCCCCACCCGTGCTCCCGCATTCTCCTACTCACCATCACCTCCATGATCCTCGCCCCCTGACCTCCACCATGCCCACCATCTCCCCCGGTCCCGGCGCCCTCGCATAGCCTACTCCTCCTCACTTTCCTCCTCCTCACTTTCCTCCTCCTCACTTTCCTCCTCCTCACTCTCATCCTCCTCGCTCTCATCCTCTTCACTGTCCCCCTCCTCGTCACCCTCCGCCTGCTCGGCTGCGTCTTCCTCCGCCAGCTCCAGCCGCGCCATCTCCATCTCCTGCCACTGCAGAAGGATTATCCAGCCCGCCTCCCCAACCTCTACACCTCGATTCTCCCATTCTACACCAGCACCCTCCGCCTCCTTCATCTCCTGGATGATCAACAGAGGGACGACTAGACCGTCGAAGTCAGTCCAGTCCTGAACGACGGTCTCGTCCGAGCTGCCGAAGACTTTGCAGTACTCAGTCCCATCTTCGGTCGGATAGTTCACGCACTCTTCGTGCTCGCGGCAGAGCCTCCCGCTGGAGGCCGACGCAGGATGGTCCGCAATTTCGTATCGATTTGTCTGTGAATGGACGTGAAGCAGCTCCGACGCTCCATGTCGATACGACCGGGCCGAGCCGGAGCCAAGCTTCGGGCGGTGCTCCATCTCGGTCAGCAGCCGCAGATGATAACTGGCTGCATCCCGGTCCCCTTCCTGCCAGTCCAGTATGAGCGTGTGCAGGAGAGGACACTGCCGAAGCCGCGAGGCCAAACTGGGGATCATTGAATGAGCGGCGAAGAAGTCATCGACGTTGACTTCGATCGGCCGATTTGCCTCCTGCGAATGAGCCCACCAGGGGTAGGAAAAGAGGACGATTTCGAGTTTGTTGAAGGAGGGCCAACTACCTCGGTACTGCACAAGGTCAGCTTGAGGCCTCGTGACATATGAGATGCGCAATGAGACTTACGTATCCCTACCAACAGTCCGGATCCAACTCCGCTCGCCCAAATCTCCGAAGAGACGGAAACCCCATCGAGCTGCCCTCCAGAAGCAATTCATCTGTGTCTCCGTCTTCATAAACCTCCGCACCCCATATGAGATCCGTCAAGTGACGATACTGAGAGGCCATCTGCCAGATGCGTTCTGCGAGTCCGATGTCTATGTAATCGTAGTCGATGCAGAGCTTCTCAATCAGGGGTATCCGGTCGAGAAGACCGAAGGCGATGGTATGAGCCTGGTCATCCGGAAGGTCGTCCCAAAGATATCTGCAGAAAAGGTGGAGTCGGAGGGTGGTGATTTGGGTGTCATCGGCGACGAAGCCAGGGAATGATGTAGGGTCCAGTTGGTCCGGCGCGGAGTGTGCAACGTTGAGCGCGATAGTCGCATCGAGCGAGTTGAGATAGGGAGCCGAGTTGACGAGGAGGGGAATGAAGCCGGGGTACTTGTATGAGGCGCGTTCGACGTGGACGTGGGTGAGAGAAGGGAAGTTGAGGCCGGCCAGGAGCCAGGGTAGATCGATACAGGCCAAATCGGCCATGTCCGCTGGCCCCTTCCGTCTTTCCCAATCGTCGTCTTGCGGGTGACTGATCGCCAGCTTCCGCAGGAAGCCGGCTCGCCCGAGTATCTCTACCATGGCAGCCACTGCGCCGGGCCGAGGGACCATCCTGATCTCCTCGACGGCGCTCCAACCCTGCGCATCCTCCACCTGACGCGCGACCTCGAGGACTCTTGCACAAACTCCCGCCTGGTGTATCTGCTCCGTGCTTTCGATCTGCGCGCGATAAGTTTCGTACTCGGCCTCTGGAGAGAGCTCAGGCTCGATGGAAGGGGAGTACCCATAGTAAGGGTTGATGGAGAGGTTGAGTAGGCGGCAAAGTCCCCGTCGTGCTGAGAGGTCGAGGGCGGGGGAGATGCGGGCAGGGGCGACAAGGGCAAGTGATCGTACGTCCGACCGATCGAGGTGGCACACCACTCGATCGAGCATTTCGCGGGGAAGGTTGGTCAGGAACGCTGTGGGCCGCGAGGTGGTGGTGATGATGGGAGGAAGGGGATTGGCAGATGGTGGGATTAGGGAGGGTGGGGTGAAGTCCTGGGGGATCAGCTCATTATCAGCTGCGACAGAGCCTGCGATATATACTAGTATGCTCTTGTACTAACCATCGTATCGGACAGGCCGGATCTTCCGCTCGGAAGGGAAAGAAGGAGAAGATCACGCTTGAGACTTGATCTCGGACGGGTTGAGGTGGGAAGGGCGGTAACAAGTCGACGTGGCTGCGTTGGATATTGGACTGATGCGAAGGGTGTTCCGAGAGGTAGACGAGGGTGAACCTGGATACGATCGCTGCGAGGGAAGTGATGAGCAGGATGAAGAAACAAGAACAGACCAGCGCGTCGAGGTTGATCAAGCGGATGATCTTTTTGCTCCCGAGGTCGTGTAGCCGGACACACACCTCCACCTCATAGCCCCGGCCTCCCGCCACGCACGGTGTAGTTGACGAGGACGAGCCTCACCGGCCAGCAGCCAGTGGGGAGGGGCACGTATCCATCTTGGCGGCTGTGGGCGGGAACGTGCCTACTGATCGTCGTCAACCGGCCGCTTAGCATCATACAAGCTGGATACATTTGCACTATAAAGACTACCTGATCAGCTCTACCTCGCAGCGCAATCAAGAAGTGGAAAGGAGATGTACTCACTTAAAAGACTGCTCGCCATATTGCCTCATTCTCTTCCCCTGCCGGATCGGCCACCAGCTATCCTCTCCGCCCCGTCCTAGCTCCGCCACGTTCCCATTGGGGTCTCTTGAGATCTACACAGCCGTCCTTCTGTATGGCCCGATGACCATCCCATGAGATCTTATAGCGCCGGAGCATGAGCGCGTTCGAGCGATGTCCGGTCGCATGTATATGCCTTGGGCACCGTAAGCGATCTCGACATCTGTACATCAGTCAGCTCCGCAATAAGGTAGGTCCAGCGCGATAGCCGAGGCTGAAGTCAGGGTCGTTAGTCCGCTTGGCGGCCGATACTGACATGGTAGCATTGCCAGCTCTGCCCCGCGCTCCCTGCGCCACACTCTCATCTGAACCGGCAGCACCGCCCACTCCGATGACTTCTCGCTTACTCCCCCTCCAAATAGTCTGTCAACACCTTCAAAGCCGCCTCCCCCACCTCCAGGCCTCGTCTGCACCAGGCCTGCGGATCGAGCCCCTCAACTACTCGCATCCTCTCGATGATGTCTAGCGGGACGGACTTTCCGTCGTAGTCCGTCCAGTGCTGCAGCATCGGCTCTGCCACCCTCTCGAACGCCACCTCCCTCCGCGACCCATCCGCCCTGTCGTACTGTAGGGAGGAGTCTCGCGGGAGCGGCGGGATCTCGGGGATGTATTCCAGATCAGACACCTGGCGATGGTGCATGAGGATTTGTGCGTGCAGGAGCTCAGAGCCGCCTTGCCGATACGATCGGATGTTGTCGGTACCGCCTAGCGCTTCGATGTCGGCCAGCCGCCTGAGTCTGGCACCGCCGTCGGGTCCGCTATGAGCCCTCCTCACGTCCCAAGCGAGGGACAGGAGACGAAGGCGGGATGCGCAGCGAATTTGATCCGCAAAGGTTGGGAACATGTGATAGACCACCGGGTCGATGCTAGGGCGCCGGGTGCCGGAAGGTGGACCACCGGAGAAGCAATCGAGGAGGATGATCTCGAGACTAGGAATGGCGATCCAAAGTCCAAACTGAATGGTCAGCGGACAGCGCCGAGCTCCTAGATTGGCGAACTCACCGCATCGGGCCACTCCCTGGACATCACGCCTAGCCGTCGGAGCGCCGGGAACGCTGTCGTACCATCCTCTCTTTGTGCCAGCGCGTTGATTGAAGGCAAGTATCCGTTTAGATCGTATTCCTCGATGTCGAGATCCTCGAGAAAGCGATATGACTGAATCGACGCCATCATCCTGTTGTAGAAGGCTTCCCTTGTATTGGGCACGGTGAACGTGAGGGAGATCTTTTTGACGGAAGGGATGCGTTGGAAGGAGGATATGATGGTGTCGTTGATTTCGGACTCCTCATCGTCGTCATCATCCTCCGACGTCTCCCTATCGCAATTGTCATGCAAGGCAATACGCAGCACCTCGATCTTTGTGTTGCGCTTGAACTGAGGGAAGACCAGGTCCTCATCCCCCAGCTGTTCCTCCTCCTCGATTTCGGGCCCGTATAGCGTGTGGTCGATATTGACATCCAGGGAGAGGATATGTGGGGCCGAATTGCAGAGGAGGGGGAGGAAGCCGATGTTCCGAATGGTGTATGCGCCGAGTCGAACATGGGTGAGGGAGGGGAATCTCAGCCCCGCTGACAGGAGGTGTAGATCGAGGGGTTCGAAGAGATCATCCGGGCCCAACGAGCTCCGACGCCAGAAGAAGTTGTTATCCTGCGGGCAGTCCACCTCGAGAGACTGCAGGTTGGTAGTATTGACAAGGATATCGACTATCCCTTCAATCGCCTCCGAGCGGGGGATGATGTGGACATGCTCCACCATCGCCCACCTGCGCGGGTTGGCATCCGCCCGCTGGACGATCTTGGAGACCTTGTCCGCCAGACCAGCTTCGTGCCGCTCCTCCGCCAAGCTTGGCTCCTTGGTGGCCCAGACATCTGGCTGTCCCGCTCGGCCGGCTAGCTCTGGCGTATGAAGCGGGTAGGTTCCGAAGTAAGGAGGGAGGTAGAGATTGAGCCTCCCCCAGATGCCTTGTTCCGTTGCCGACGTGAAGATGCGTGAGACTCGGGAGAGCGCGAGACAACTGGACTGGTCCAAGTAGCCAATGACTTGTGAGATGAGTTCGTGGGGGAGGGAGGTGAGGGTGGATGTGACAGGAGGATGGGATGTTGGGATGGAATGCTGCTGTGTCAGCTCGCCCAATTCACGCAAAAAGGATCAGTCTGCTCGACGGACGATGCTGGTCAGGGCATCGCGATTGGGACCCATGTCGTTGTTTCTCGAGGCGCTTCTTATATTTCCCGTTCTACAACTGTGAATTAGACGTGATGATGATATGTCCGGGCGAGCAGAGTGGAGATGAAGTTGAGAGGAAGAGATGAGAACGTTGGCCGGGCCGGCGCGGAGCGGGGAGCGTAGCTCCCAAAGCTTAGAGCTTATTTTGAGTGTGGCTCGCTCTGGGCTGGTAGAGCTCAGCGATTCTCTTGACTCGCTATCGGTCCTAGCTACCGGACTGGAGCTCGCTGATCTGTGTGCCAGCGATAGCAGAAGCATAATTTGCATACTTGCGAGGTGGTCCAGTATTCAGCTTTTGCGGTAGGTCAACAATGCTACGATCCTTTGCCATGCCGATATCAACCACCACGCCCACCACCATCCCCACTGTTCACCTCCTCCAGCCACTACAGCCGCCCCCTCATCGCAAGTCTCAGCCTTCTTCTCGCTTGACAGCCTCTCCGCATCCGCACCGGCCTTCCACGCCAGCAAGACTTCCCACGCTTCCTCCCCGATTTCCACCCCGCGCCTGTTCCATTCCTCGTCGTTGGCTCCCTCCGCCTCCTTCATCTTCTCCAGCACCTCCAGCGGGACCATCATGCCCTGGAAGTCTGTGAAATGACGATAAGTCGGCGCCGTCTGCTCGAATAGCTTCTTTCGAATGGAGCCGTCTGGCGCGCTGTAGAACATCCCCCTGCCCGGGTAATCCTGCTTCTCCTCCTCGCTGGAAGATAGGTCGTCGACCTCTGCGTGCCGCATTCCCAGGTGGATGTGCAGGACCTCAGACGCGCCATGGAGGTAGGACCTGACGAAATCGGCTCCACCCGAAGCATCCGCGGCGTCGAGTATGTCGAGGGCATCCAACTTGTTATAGATGATGGATTCGCTCCAGAGCAGCTTGATGCGCTTCAATCGAGGGGCATCGCGGATTTGCTGGGCAAAATTCGGGATCATAGGGAAGAGAGGATGGGGAGGGGGACTACCGGCTTCTCGTTTGGTCGTGTCGCGGGGATTGCTGAAATAGTTGCAAATACGTAGGACGAGGAGCTCCATATGGTCGAGGCAAGGGACCGAGCTGAACTGAAATGTCAGCCGCATCCTTTCTGACCGTTCGCACGATGCAGCTGGACGTGGACTCACTGCATCGAACCACCCAGATCCCCACACTACCACCGATACACGCCGCAAACTCGGGAACGGAGCCGCCACCTTCAACGTCTTCGCCTGCCTCGCAATGCGTGTCAAAAGTCCCTTTTCCATGGGAAACCAGGTAAGATCCTCCAGATACTGGTAGCTCGAGAGGATCTCGCAGAGCTGATGCTCATCCGGTGTGGGTGGTTCCCCTCCAGAGACCAGAGATAGTCTCCGGACCAGGGGTGAACTCCGTAAGAGGTCGAACACGGCAGGATGCGGCTTCCAACCGCTAGGTCCGACCTGGACGTCCGTGAAGGAGATACGGAGGGTGGTGATTTCGGTGTCGCGACCGATACCTCGAGGGGGATTGAGCGTGACGGACATCGTTGCGTCCAGTACTGCGTTCCAAATGGAGACATCCAGGGACGTGACGCTTGGGGCGAATCGCGTCAGGAGGAGAGGGAGGTTGCTATAATCGATGGCATTGCTACCGATAGTCAGGTGTCGGAGGGAAGGGAGCGGGATACCGATGAGGCAGAGGGACGGGACGAAGCAGTCACCGACAGCAAGCTCGCCATAATATGAGCCGGGCGCCTTTATGTCCAGATACCGGAGGTTGGGCAGACGCTGCAGGAGGACGATCAACCAGGGCTTTGCGCCAGGTCGGTACTCCACGTAGAGGCTTCTGACAAGCTTCGACGCGGCCTCACTTGTCCGGCGGAAGTGCGCGACGATGTCCGCTCGAAGGCTGGCTGTTTGCCATTCCTCAGGCGTGTACCGCCGCCCGTTCGGCCATAACGGAAGCCGATCGTCGCCGTCCGGAAGATACGGGCGCGCAAGTATGCTGAGCTTCCGCCGTACGCCCCAGGCAGCATACTCTCCGATAGAGCAGGAGACTCGGGCGAGGCTGAGCAGGTCGGAGGAAGAGGAAGAGCCGAGATGGAGGACGACCTGGTCGAGGAGCTCCGACGGTAGGCGGGTGAGAGTTGGTTTGGGAGGGCAAAGAGCTCGGCGAATGCGGAGGAGTGTGTCGAGCAGCGAATTGATGATGGGCGGGGTCACGCGTTGACAATCTCGGATGTAGTGGTAGCGTATTACGACGAGCCCAAATGGGAGGTACCCTATTATAAAAGAGGCGACAGGAAAGTTGGGATGGGGTGATACGCTTATCTGTGATATCAGTTTCCAATGACTGTTGGATCGTGATCAGGAATAGGAGAAGGTCACCATCTTGCTGGACACAACGAAGAGGAATGTCGATACACCGAGTAGGTACACGTCGGCGAGGCTCATGGGACAGCATGATTTGACCAGCTATGGTGTTAGAGTCTGCTACTTGCTGAGGAAGTACCATCCGGAATTGGGGAAACTCACTATACTTGAGGTGTACATAACCAAGAGTGATCTAATCACACTCAGTATGTAGATATCGGCGGATGTGATAGGAAGGGGCTTTCCAATCATCTAGGGTATCAGCTTCTCTTCACTGCGAAAGATGATTGTCAGGACTATGAGAAGCTCACCACTATTGGAGAGATCAAAGAGCAGAAGGTTGCTATCAAACTGACATGGAGGCGCTCCGCATGGGTCGGGCGGCGGCGTGCTTGGGCCGACTATGGTATCAGCTTCTGCTAGATGCCAAGGAAGTATGACTAGGAATTGAGGAAGCTCACCATATTGCTGAGCAGTCTTTTCTTCTTTCAGCTGGATCTTGGGCAATGCGTGAATATCGGCGTCCGAAAGGCACCGCGCCGACGAGGCAGGTGAGACTGACCTAGAGGATGCAGGGCGGAGCTACGGCCTAGCGGTCAATGTTGCGGCTTTGCGCTGTAGCGACTGGAGCGGATGGGCGTGGGAGCGCAACACAGGGTTGGGCGCTCGACGGGCTGGCGGTGGGGGTATGAGCGAGCGTCGAGTTTGTCGTCGACGTCAACCGATGTTCCGGGCAGACTTGGATCCAGTAGGAGTGAGGGTCTCCAGACTGCGGGAAGAAGTGTGAAGCAGGTCGACAGGAAGAGGGAGGGACCACGCTCGAAATCAAGTTGATGGAGAATCGGACGGCCTTTGAACCCGCCTCGGGTTTTGTGTGTGGTGGCGCACACAAGAGCACACAAGACCGCCACCTCCATTCGGGGTCTCCCATCTCTTGAGCTGGTCAGTAGACGAGAAGCCCAGCTAGGAGCGCATCAGTACAAGCCAACTCTCAACGCACTTCATGCTCATCTCTTCATATCTCCCCTTCTTCTACCTCCCCCGCCTCCTTCTCTGTATCACCCGCCCCGTTCGCGCTGTGAGGGACAGACGACATTCTCCTCCGCTATCATATCAGCTCAACCCCTTCTTCGTCCGCTATTATCGAAATCAAAAGACACCCAGAACTCACCTTGGACTCCCGATCATCAACCTCTATACTCCCCCTCCCTTCTCCTAGGCCCCTACTATCCCTCCGTCCACTCTTCTCCCTCTCCAGCCCACTACTCCTCCTCTCATCTCCATACCCATCTCCCCTTCTTCCACTGTACTCCCGCCCACTCTCCTTATCTTTCCGCCTCTCCCCATCCCCGCCTTCATCCCTATACTTGTCCTTCTTCCTGTCCTTCTCTTTGGACCGCCCACCATCCATCGGATCATCCTCATCCACGTCCCGCCGTCTAGACTCGCGCTTGGTCGAGGTGCTCGCTTCTGCCTCGGCGGCATCTTGGATCTTCTCCTATGGTCGTCAGCTCCGCCCCTTGATCGCTCGTGGAGAACGGGTCAGCTCACCTTCATCCGCCGGATGTACTTGTCAAATGCCGCCCGCCTATCCTCCTCCGCGTCGATATCCGTATACTCCGGCAGGTCCTTCATGAGCGGCACAGCATCCTCGTAGCTCATCTCGACGGTGATCTTCGTGGTCTTCAAGGCGTAGCGGAGGTCATCGATCCGGTGTCGGCGTTTACGCTCCGCTCGGCGGATCTCGTCCGCTGCCGCTTGCTTAAGCTTGGCAGTGATCTGCAGATCAGCGTGACCATCAAGAGGAGAAGTAGAGGACGTACCATAGCGTGCACCTCCTTCCTCAGCTTGACATCAATCATCGTCTCCAAATGTGCCTCTTTGACCCACGCCTCAAACTCCTCCCAGCTCGTCTCCGCCTCGACCTTCTTCTCAATCCCCGCCAATCCCTTATTGATCTTCTCCGCCGCCCTCTCCGTCTCCTCTTCGAGATCATCCACCGCATCCATCCACAGCTCGAGCGGATTCGACCCCGTTTTGCCCAACAGGGCGAGATACCGCTCATCGTCCCTAATCCTGGGGTACAGATCCATCCACTTGGATCGGCCCGTCATCTCCCCCTTGTCCCTCAACTCGGACAACAACTCCTTGAACCCATCCCTCGCCTTTCTCGCCTCTCGGACTTTGGAAATTCTAAACTTTCTCGACTCCTCCTCGTGCTCCTTCTCCAGCTCCCTCGCGTAATTGTCATACACGTCGAGAATATCGACCGTGTCGACCTTTTCGAGGTCCGCGTCCGCCTTGAACGCCGAGGAGGAAACGACGAGGTCATGCGCCTGGCGCCAGCGCGTCGAAACCGTAATCTCCAGCGTCCGAATCAGGGCGTTTAGGGATTCGAGGTTCCGGGTCCGGGTATCCCTTGCTTCCGTCTCTTCCTTGAGACGCATGTCTCGGGTGTACCCATCAAGGATAGCCTCCCGCTCATCCTCCTTCGCCGACTCCCACATCCTATTCCCCCGAAAGACCCGGTTGGCCGTCTTGGCCGTGCTCCAGCTCTTGATCTCGCGATTGCTCGCAAAGAGAGCCAGAAGAGCCGGACGGAGCTTCTCCACCCGCTCCGCCTTGGCCGCCAGCCGATCGTCTACGATCTTGCGCTGATACTTGGCAAAGGCATCCTTCTTCTCCGCGAGCGTCTCGAGTGACTTGTACAGCTCGTGCGTGATGATCTTCCGAAGGGTGTCTTCCCAGGTGATCGTCTCGTCAATGTCGAAGAATGCGAGGAGCTTCATGAATGCCGATTCGGCGTCTTCATATTTGAGGAAACCGCCGACGGGCCATCTGGGAGGAGGGGTCTTGGCACGGGGTGGGAGGGGAGCGGTATAGGATACCATGGCGTTGTCGTTGCTGGGGGAGATGGAGCGGGTGGGGGACGGTGTACGAGGCGGCGGCGTAGGACTAGACATCAGCACAGTAGGATGCAGTATAGACCGCACCACCAGGTAGGGATGGCCCTCCACCTTGTGCACTACTCACCTAGGTAACCCCTTTCTCCTCCTCGTTTCCCTTTCCTCCTGATACGCCTCCTCCCGATCCACCTTCCTCTTGAGATTAACCAGCTCATCCGGTAAATCCCACTTGGTCTCCTTCGTATAGCTGTTCACATAGTACGGCCTGTCCTTGCTGGTATACTGCTTCCAGTCGGTCTTGGCCAGAGCGCGCTCGAACGGCGTGCGCAGCTCGTCAGGCTTCTCCCATACCGACTGCTTTGTCTTGGAGTTGGACCAGTAGGTCCGCCCTTCAGCGTTTTTGTACTCTGACCAGAGTGAGTCCGGCATAGAGGATAGAGGATAGCGGTAGGGTATCGGGTAAAGATAAAAGACGGTGAGGGTGAGCGCGACGAAGACAAGGAGGAATGGCCCCGGAACTAGTTTGGCCGGGTGAGCGGAGATGGACAGCCAACTCCATCTCCGTGGCGATGACGCAACGCTGGAACGCTGAGCCAGCAGCCAACCCATACCTTCGCGCTCCTTCTACTGCACTCTACCATGCCAGGCCTGAACCCTACAAGCCAAGGTAGGCTGTCGCCCACGCTTGGAGCAGCTCAATAGAGGGGCTGTAGCTGATAATGTAGACTACGAACAATTCATCGAAATCACTGGCGCAGAAAGAGACGAAGCAACCCATTTCCTCGAGAACGGCACTACCCTTCAAGTATGTCCTTTCACCCCGTCAAACTGCGTCAAGCTGACAGCCAGGGCGCGATCGAAGACTTCTTTGCAGCTCGTGAAGCCGGCGTACCGCAAGACCAGGATCTAGACCTAGACAACGAAGAGGAAGACGAAGCAGCACTCGAAGACGCTCTGATGGCGGACCAGGACCAATCCCAGCAGCCACCGGCGGCCCCGTCGGGTAGTGGCGGAGCACGGACGCTCGGTGGGCAGGCAGTGGATACAACTCTACCGGAGGGATGGGGAAAGAAGGAGAAGAAGACGGGTAGGGTGGGAGAGTGGAGCTCGGGTGGAGGTCAGGGTGGGCGGCCTATGCCGGGCGGGTTTGGCGGAGGAGGGGACGATGACAGTGAGGATGAGGACGATGCTCGCCGAGGCGAGAAGAATTTGTATACCGGTGGCGAGAAGAGGTGAGTCACTGTGACTCAGTCCAAGAAGGGAGTAGTGGCTGACCTCGTGCAGTGGCCTGGCTGTTGAGAACCCCGATCGAAAGAAGAAGGGTGGTCGAGGGATAGTGGAGGACATCTTGAAGCAGGCGTCGAGTCATGCGTGAGTTATTTTCTACGCGTAACTTCCCGACTGGAGATAGCTGATCCCTCAGCCAAGGGCAACCTCAAGGGCAACCCCAAGCGCCCGCCGCCCCAGCCCAGCGATCCGGCTTCTTTGGCGGTTCCGGTAACACCCTCGGTTCGGAAGATACCCCTCCCGCCGCCGCCGCTCGCGCCGCTGCCCCCACACCTCAGGTCGCTCCTGTCAGCTCGAGCACCTTTGACTCGCTCCTCGGCGGTCTTATGGGTCGTCACACCGCCGGCGGATCCGCCCGGCCCGCTCCTACCGCTGAGGACGAGGACGACGACGAGGAAGAAGAGGTCCAAACTCGCCAGCTCGTCTTCTGGCGAAACGGCTTCTCGATCGAAGACGGTCCTCTGATGGAATATGACGCGCCCGGGAACCCCGAGCTCCTCCGTGCCATCCAGTCTGGACGGGCCCCGCCCAGTCTCTTCGGGGTGCGGTACAACCAGCCGCTGCAGGTCGAGGTACAGCAGCGGACGAGCGAGGAGTATGTCAAGCGGGAGAAGAAGAAGCCGGTGGGTGGGTTCGGAGGCGAGGGGAACCGGCTGGGTAGTGTCGCGCCGGAAGTAGGCGGTGCGGGGGCTGTAAGAGGTGGAAGTGGTGGGGCTGCTCCAGCCGCAGCTGCGCCGGTCAGTCAGGGAGGAAGTACGGGCAACGCGCCCAAGTTCCAGGTGGACGAGACCAAGCCGACGACGAGGTTGCAGCTTAGGCTGGCCGACGGGTCAAAGTAGGTCTCCCTCCAAAAGCTCGGATTGTGCGCTGATAGCTAGGCTGGTTGCTACGGTCAATCTCACCCATACCGTCGAGGACCTCCGGAACTTCATCATGGCTGCTTCGCCAGCATCCAATGGCCGTGCCTTTATCCTGCAGACCACTTTCCCAAACAAGGAGCTGTCGAATCAGAGCGAGACGATCGAGGCGGCGGGCCTGAAGAATGCGGTCATCGTGCAGAGGTTCACCTAGAGCTGGGGTGGCAGAAGAAGAAAGATCACAGAGGGAGGTGGTAGACCTATGCATTGTGTTATATAGCGCTCAACATTGAGATCTGCCTGAACATGAAATCAGATTTGATATGCTCCAGTCTTGCCGTGGCCGAAGCGGTCGTTGAGGCCCTTCGCGTCTCTGAATTGTCAGCTCTGGGTGGCAAGCATAGTGTCACGTCGTCCAACTCACTTGATCTTCGCTTCTCTCTCTTCGTTGCCCAATAACCGCCCCGTGATGCCCATATCCCGCGCATGGTCCCAAATCGCCTTGGGCTCATCCGCAGACGTATCCTTCTTCTGATGTTTCTCGAGCAATGACGGTCCTCGGTTCTGCTTCTACACCCAGTCAGCCTCTCTCCCTTCTAACCAAGATCAAGATAAGGCTTACCGTATGCCTAGCGACCTCATTCCTGATCTCATCATCTCGCCTCCGCTTCCTCTCCTCGCCCGAGGCTTTACCGCCCCCCGCCCCCGCCGCGGCAGAAGGATCAGGCCTCCGCTTGATCCCCGCCACCTCGTCCGCCTGGCGCTGGGCGCGCGCAGCGGGCGTTTCGGTCCATACGCTCTGATCGACCGGTTCGCCTGTTGCCGTAGTGGATCGAGAGAAGGTCGATGCTCGTTTCTTGAGCGGATCGACTGATGTGTCAGCTTCTGCTACTCGACCTCGAACGAGCAAGCGGACATACCGTTTGACAAAACCCCGCTTGACGGCGGAACCAACATCCATTCCTCTCTTTGGAGAACTTTCGGCTTGTTCTCTTCTTCCCTCAACCTCGCCCTCCGCTCTTCCCGCTCCCTGAACTCCTCCGCTGCTGTACGCTGCGGCGCGGGTCCAGCCATATCAGGCCTCGGACCGATATCGTCGTCGTCATCATCACTCTCCTCTGCCTGTCGGCGGGGCGGTGATGGTTCCCGACGACTGGTGCGGGGAGGTGAAGGAGAGGAGTATCCGCCCGGCCGGGAAGAAGACGAAGGAGGGGGCCGTGAGGGACCAGCCACGACTCTAGCGGCCGCGAGATGTGGGGGGAGGGTGGGAGTATACGAGTCTTCTTCGTCGTCTGATTCTGGGGCTGCTGGGGCGGTAGCGGCGGTGTTTTTGGCCAGGTGTGCCAAGTGAGGCGGGAGAGTGGGACCGATAGGCATCGCGCGGGGTAGATGCTTAGTGGGTGGCTATGTACGATGGGTGAAAGTGTAGGCCTAGAGAGAGGACTTGCTGCTTGCTGCTGTTGGTGCTCTGCCAGCGGCCACGTGGGCCGGATCCGGGGTTTACGTTTCGCCGAGTTCCAGCGGAAGCTTAAATTAGCCTCGCCCGCCGTACCCTCCGCCGAAAGCAAAGCTCTGCACCGCTCCACGGGCCACAGCTTCGCTATCCCACTCAAGTCTCTGTATCATCCCCGCCTGCTCATCTACTACATACTGCCCTATCTGATACACCTCAAGCCAAAGGATGATCGACAGCAAATCTACTAGCTCGATCGGGGATTCGCCAGACCTGCTAGTGGATGGTCTACCCTCCTACGACTCGGCCACCTCCTTTCCCCTCTCCACAACCCCTCAGCCGGGCGGGAGTACAAGCGGTGCTGCATCCTCTTCGACAGATGCGGCTGTGTCGGCTCAACAGGCCTACCTCTTTGCTGGTCCCTCCAATGCAGAGCCTCTCAAAGTCCCCTCGACAAGAGGGGATCAGCTGGTATGTAATCGCCAGACGGAAGTGACGAGGTACACGAGCGATCTCTCGACTACACGGGTGACAAGGGTGGAAACGTATGACCCAGCTGGATCGGACCGTGAGTGGACTGACGCTTCCAACGCGAGACAAGCTAAAGAGACAGCTGCGGTGCTGTACGACTTTCTGGCGAATATCTCTGGCCAGATCCCGAAGGTTCGACTGCAGATCACAGGTCGGTGCTTCTGTACGGGTACCATCTGCAACAATCACTCGCTGATACTATAGGCTACCATACAGAGACTCCCGCGCAGGACCAGGCTGTCACGATCAACGGCGTGACTGTGATGCAGAAGAAGGGCGAGACGGTCAAGATCTCCGACTTCAATTTCTTCGTAAGCCACTGGAGCCTTCAGTAAGAGCATAGCTGACGCTCAGATCGACCTCACGGATATTATCTCGCCTGCCGGGGTCCACCTTTCGGTCCTACCTGGCTACACGCCAGAATACCGGGGCAAGATGTGCGCCGCCTACGGTGCGAAATTCTCTCCCTCCCAAGGTGGCCAGGACGGCTATGCGCCGCTTTCAACGGACGACGCGCCGGCTCATGTATCGGTCGGTTCTGGACGACCAATCTCATGGGGCGCTCATGACGTGTTTGCCAAATGGGATGGCAAGCGCTGGATGCAGGGTCTGCCAATCTGGGCCAAACCTCAGGATATCCGGTTGGAAGGGGTCAATCAACCTGGCGATCCCGGCCACCGTGATGGCGATATCGAGCAGGCACGCGGGAAGCAGGGCGAGCCGGCCCTGACCGCATGGTGCCAGGCGTACTGTGCCGACAGGGGGTGGTTGAAGGAGTTTATACTCCGGAAGGAGGTCTGGGGCTGGGATTACGGGGCGCTGAGCAAGGCGATCAAGGGAGCGGTGGTATCCACGGGTTACACGACCGAGGTGGAGGTAAAGCTGAATTGGGACGAGCAGGAGGCGATGGTTATGCCCTCCAATCCCTGGACCAGAATCAACAATGAGGTGAGCTCTCCCCAGCGTATCTTGGCGCAACTGCTAACGAGACCAGACTTTCTACCACGTCATTCTGTGCATCACCCTCATCTACCCCTTGGTCTACTTCTTCCGGTACCTCTGTCTTCTCCCCTGGGTCGGAGGTAGGTACAACATAGCCCGCGCGACGTACAACCTCAAGCCCTACCCTCCTCTCCCATCTACCTACCCCAGCGAAACGATCCACGAGGCCCAGTCCCGTCTTCCCGGTCTAATGAAGACGAACCCCCAGCTCCCGGCTGAGCCGGTCCTTCGCCTCGGTCCAAAAGGCGTACATTACCTGGCGGGGAAGAGGGAGGGGGAGTGGTTTGCGCAGTGGGAGGAGCGGATCAAGATGGCTGCTCAAACGAGGTTCAGGGGGGAGTTGACGCTCGGCCCGACGATAGAGCCGAGGGAGGTCAGTCTGGATGGCTATCAGCGGTGATGCGTGACATTTATGGGGTTCGAGCTGGGCGTGAACGGTTGTATCAGGGCTATCTGACAAGGAGCTGTATCTTGTACTATGCAACGTATCGGTCTGCCACTCTCACCTTCACCGCTACAGTGCGCCTCCACCGCCACAGTGGGCGAACCGGCTATGACGCAAGCTGAAACACGCTGAAACATGTTGGCATGCCCCGGCTGGAATGCGGACTTTGGAGGCGCAGAGTCCAGACCTTGATATGATGGTGGGGCGGTGTGTACCTGAGGGATATAAACAGCGGCAGCTGGACCTATGACGTGCTTAGACGTGCTAGCACAGCCACTGGCTATGAATATAAGCGGATGATGAAATGAGCTATCTAGCCATCTTCCCCGTACCCTTTTCACCGCTCTCACCGCACGCAGACGGCTCGCGACATATATCACCATGTCCTGCATCAAGGAGTCTACATCGACCGATAGGAAACACCCTCTCTCCGAGCCACTCCCATCCTACGATTCCGCGACGGGTCTCAAGATGTCCGCCTTGAGCTTGCCGAGAGGAGCCACCACCAAGTCAACCTCCGGCGCCTTTTCCTCGCCCGGAACTACACAGCAAGCGTACCTATGCTCCGCTCCGCCCAACGCTGTGACTCTTCCTACCTTCCTCACGTGGACCGATCCACCCTACGTCGTCCGGAAACATCAGAACAAAGGCCTGTGCACGGGATCTGGCGAGCTGCTACTCGAAAGAATCGACTTGGTGACAACGTATGATAGGCGGGATCGTGAGTCTCAACGCAAGTCCTCCTCACAGCCAAAGCTGATCTCATAGCAATGAGCCTGTACAACTTTCTCATCCGGAAGGCTATGTCTAAACCCTGCGTCATCCTTCGATTCAAAGGCGGATCGGCTGATACCTGCGACAGCTTTGTGAGTCGAGGCCTGACTCGTGCTGGACATAGCTTACTAGGAAGATCATAATCGATGGCCCGGCAGCATACTGCGGTGTTCAACTGTCGGTGCTGCCTTGTCCGCCGCGCGGCCCCGTACCCCAAGGATGGGCATCCGGCCTGCGGTCGGTCTTTCAATCGTACCAAGGCTATAATCAGCTCGCCATCGACGACACTGCAGGCTCCGGCCCCACACACAGCAGCTACGCTTTAGGTCCGAGGGGCAACTTTACGGACTGGGACAAGGCGCGGTGGGGTCAGGGCTATCCCATCTGGGCCAGGTTCTCGGATGTCCCGTATACAGGGGAAACACCGGTGGTTGGGGAAGTGGATATAGAGCGTGGGGATATGGCGGTCGACCGCGATCTGATGGACTGGTGCAAGGCGTACTGCGCGGACAGGGGGTGGTTGAAGGAGTTCAAATTGCGCAGAGACGTCTGGGGATGGGACTTTGACAGCTTGATCAAGAGTGTCAAGGATGTCATGATATCGACCGGGAATGTCACGGTGGACATGTCGGTCACGGTGGAGTGGGATGTGGCGGAAACCATAGTACGGCCTGAGAATGTCTGGACTCGCGCGAATGACAATGTAAGTGATGCCCCTCCAGCAAAGCTAATGTGCAAAGCTGATGTGCAGAAATTCGTCCACTTTCTTCTCCAGATCACTTTCATCTACCAGCTCGTCATGTGGCTACACTCCCTCGGTCTCATCCCAGGCGGCGGCGGGACCTACGATGTCGCCCGCGCGACCCACGATCTCGACCCTTATAATCCCTTGCCGTCAACCTATCCCGGAGAGGCCCTCGAGTCCGCCCGGGCCCGCATGCTCGATGTCACTGTCGCCCATCCTGAGGTCGCGGCGACCGCGAAACTCCAGGTCGGGCCAGAGGGCGTACATTATCAGGCGAATCGAAATGGGGCTGATTGGCTTGAGGATTGGGAGGGAGATATCAGGAGGGTCGCCCTACAAGGTGGCAGGTTGATGCTGAGGAGATAGAGCGAGCGTACACATGCCCGGGATGTGGGTGAGTATTACCTGCCATCAGCTGGTATATGGGCAGTTCCTATGAAAGTCAATTATGGACGCGAGGGCAATAGCAGTACTAGCTAGAGCTGTGTGCTGGCGAGTCGAGCAGTGATCATTACTTAAGGTCGGATGATGCGATGTATGCGTACGGTACTGTTTCTGCTAGGCTTAACAAGGCTTGTCCTTACCGTACTTGACGAGTCTGAAGACCTGCAAACGTGACATTGGTGGCGTTGTGCGCGGCGCGCGCGAGTTGCGAGGGCACAAGGCTGCAGTACCACTTACCGGGCGGTTGCTCTTTCCCCCATTCTTCTTTGGCCGTATCGGCCTTTCCTCGTAGTGCCTGGGTATAATGGTGGGTTTCACTCGCATTGAAGCCACGCGATCAGTCCTCATGCGTCAAGCTTGTTGCTTGAGCTTATCAACGATAGCGCTCGTAAATTCACGCCTGACCCGAAGTTGACCGGTCGAGTCCAAGCTAGTACGGGTCAGCCCTCACCTGGTCCGTGGGCGCGTCCGAGCTTGATACATCAACAACCAGTCTTTCGGACCCTCGACCACGTAGCGTACCCGAACTGGGAACATCCCGCTCGGACCTCATGAGCGACAAAAAGGAGGGTCTTTTATTGCCTCGTCGACGGGCGAGCGCCAGGGGGAACCAGTTCCCTGTCGCTCAATGAGCGACTCTGGTCTCATCCTCAGGAGCTCGCCTCGTCAAGGCGTCAGAGCACCTTAGGGCGTCTCTAGAGTCGCTCACTGAGCGACAGAGCTGGGAAACCTTTGACGTGACGCTTGCCTAGGCGGGGCCGAGTCTGGGACGACCGACTCGCGTGGTCAACCATCTTTTTTGCTGCGTGCCAGTCGTGTAGATGAGCGGCGACGAGTCATGCGTTAGCTGGCCCCAGACTTTATGGTCGAGGCTGAAAGCAAAGACCGTTTCATGTTGTGCTGCAGTACATCAGCAATCAGAAGCAGGCGGTCGATTCGGATGTCAGGCCGGGGTAGAGTTAGACGTTTGATTGATGATGAGTAAGTAGCCAACGGTCCTCCAGCGCCGCCTCCATGACAGAACCCGCCCTCCCCAGCCCAGAACCCTAAAGAGCTATAGATGGATAATACTACAACAGATCAGCCCCTCTACCCCAAAAACACCTTGTCGTCAATCTCTATCCCAAACTCCTCCCTCGCCATACTCTCAAACTGCTTTTGCAGCTTATCCTCCCAACCTTCACCCTTCGCAGGCGGCCATAAGCCTGCTGAATCAGCTCTGACCCTGCTCCAGTAGTCAATTGAGGAAAGACATACGTTGCTTGACCGTAGTGATCCAAAATGCAAGATCCACCGCGCCGAGCGTAAACCTGAAGATCACCGCATTTGACCGATCCTTGATCCATGTCCACAGTCCGACGCTGCGCAGGTCACGCGAGCCGGTAAGGGAGCGGGTGTAGCCGATAGACGCCCATTTGGCGGAAAGATTGACGCGGGAGGAAGGGGAGCCGAGAGTCTGGTTGTTGGCTTGCATCATACGTTGACACCGAGTGAGGAAGATGAGTTCCTGCTAGATCAGCTACGTATGCTCAATATATAGCGAAGTAGGACTTACTCTCGGTATCAATTGCTCATTCTCCAACATCGTCCTCATCCTCCGCTTCAGCTCCACCTGCTGCTCATACTGGCTTAGCTCCGGTCCGGGATTCTCCTCCTTTTTCTGCGAAACTCGGAACGGGCGCAGAAGGATGGCCGAGGCGAACATGTTGGCGTCGACGGCGATGCCCCATCCTCGAGCTATTTCTTCGATCTTGGGGACGTCGAGGACGAAGAGCGAGCGCCAGAGGGTGCAGTAGTCTTCCCGGAAGGTCTTGGAGAGGGAGATGTAGAGACCGTGGTCGATAAGGACCTGCTCGTCAGCTTAGTCCGAGAGGAGGAGAGGTATGGGACATACAACTTGAGGCTTGCCCTTCTTTGTCGGATGCTGCCGGACGAGGATATTTCCAGGATGAGGGTCGCAATGTACGAAACCCCACGAAAAGGTCATGGCCGAATTGAGCGCGATAGCGAGGTCCATGGCGTCTCTGGGCTTGATACCCATCGCCTCCATGGCCTCCTTATCATTCAACCTGAACTGTCAGCTATGCTCGCCTTTGACGAGGCCGACACAGCTCACCTGCAGCCGTCCACCCATTCCATGACCATGATCCTATCGCTCTCTGGGTAACCCTCCGCTGCGCCATACACCTTCGGGATATAGATATCATCCCTCAGCTCTGGTGTCTGAGCGAGCAGCTCGGCACAACGTCGAGCATTATTGGCCTCGTTCCGGAAAGACGTTTCGAGCCGCATCTGCTGCGAGACGTAGTTGGCGCTAGGGTTAGATCCGGTCGAAGGGGTCTCACTCACACAAAGTACACTGGATGTCAGCTTGAATCCCAGAAAGCGTGTCTCGGTCCCAATAAACTTACTGGGCATGTCAAAGAGCTTCTCCGCCACATACATCAGAGTTCTGCGAATGAGCGTCGGTCAACCGAAGAAGGGCCAGCAGAGCTCACCTGTATGACCACAGATCCCAGTCCATCTGCTTGGCGATAGCAGGCTTTTGCACCTTGACGGCTACGATAGTCCCCTTTGCCTCGCCAGCTTTTGGGGCCAGGCTAGCTCGGTGAACCTGCGCGATCGAGGCGGAGGCGAGAGGTTCATCCGAGAAGTAGTCGAAAATGTCGTCCGGGTGAAGCTTGAGATCATTCTGGAAGACCTGCACACATCAGTTATCTGCTCCGAGCCAGTATCCAGACAACTGACCTCTACTACCTCGGCCCAAGGTACGGATGGAGCTCTGTCGAAGACATGTCCGAACGCCTCTCGATACGGCTTGGGCAGGAGCGCAGCTTGCAGCCCTGCTGGTCAGCATACAATCCCCTTCAACGGAGCTGAGAGCAACATACCCAATGCCTGACCAAGCTTAAGATATAGCCCTTGATTGGTATCAATCACATATCTTAGCCGGTCCGCGACTCGCTGGTGCAGTCCCTCGATCTTGTCCGCATTCCGAGGTGAGAAGTTGATCTTGTCTGCATGATCAGCCAGAGCTTCCACGTCAATGAGAGCGACTACACTGACAGTCCAGGGTACATAGTATCCCTATGTACGCTGTACGTAGCGATCGAGAGACAGCACTGGCGTTGAAGTTGCGATCATACGCATATCCTCCACCAAGAAGTCCGGCGGCGACAGCGACTCGGGCAGGCCATTTGCGCGGCTTTGGCGCTCGGGGAAGGGTCGATGCTTGCGCGGAGGCTGAGGTGTACTCCCTGAAGGCGAAGCGGACCCCTTGGCCTGATATTCTAGGCGGCATAGGATGATGGAGGATGTACAAAGAGAAGAAGGACCAAAAGTTGAGGCTTTGGTGTGCCGATCGTTGTCGTGCCTGAAATCGTCATCGTCCCGGCAGAGCAGCTCACACTTGTCAACATTGCCTCTCATTCAGCTATATCATACAGTCGGCATACTGTCGGACGTCCAGTGACCACGGACTAGCTCGGGCCCAGCACGCGCCCTTCGCAAGAACCATACTGCCCGGGGGGAACGGCTCGCAGGCCCGCCAAAAATTCTCGCATCTCTTCCCCTTCGCTCGGCCGGTCAACCTCACCACGCTCATCTCCCTCCTCACTCACCTTCCTCCCCTGTTCTCACTATGTCTACGTCCTCCCAGAAAGTCAGCATCGGCGAGCCCGGCGCACCCGGCGGCCCAACCTCTTCATCCCAAATCATAGCCTCGCGCGAACGGCCCACCGCGATCAGCCCAGGCCATATCGCTGAGGTCGATCTCATCCAACCCTCGCGTGGCCAAGGTCCTCGCTTCCCGGCCGAGGTCTTCGCCAACATCGTATCCTACCTCGACGACGACGACCTCACCACCTGCGCCCTCGTCTCGCGGTCATCCTACCTTGAGGCAACTCCTCGCTTGTACAATACCCTCTCCATCAAGACATGGGTCATCGCGGACCAGCTCGGGTCCCGGGACCGAATGTTCGAGCATGACACATACTTCCCCAAGCGTCGCTTCGGCCTCCACATTACCCAACGCCTCATGACCAGCCCCACCCCGTTCTCCCGCTCGGCATTTCCCGCGGATGGGCGCTTGCCATCACTCCCAGATCGCTTCACATACGTCCAACTCCTCACCATCAGCACAGACACTAGGCGCCTCTGCGACCGGCTCGCTCCCCTTGACTTCCCCAATCTCGAAACCCTTCGCATCGCTCCTCCCTGCTATTACGACCACCGCTATGTATATCCCAACCCAGAGGAGCTTTACCTCGACGCATGTCAATGCCCTTGCTCTAAAGGGGAGCCCAGGTGGGGGCGGCACGGCAGAAGGACGTGTGCATGCCCCTCCCTGCATCGCTGCTCGTTTCTCGCCCACCTCCGACCTCGTCGCGTCATCTTCGGCGGTCCACTCAGTGGGTGGGTTCCCCGGTTCCGTACAAGGTCTGTGGGAATCGGGCTCACTTCCTCCCCAACACGTCAAAGAGGTCGTCGTCATAGGTGGCTTCCAGATCACACAGGAGATTTTGGATCGTAAAGCCATCCGACTGCTTAGCAAAATACCGAGCACGGTGGAGAAGCTCAGCATTGTCATGTGCACGTGGCGAGGCGGCTATATCAAGGAGGCACGCAATGGGGTGGGAAGCGGCTATCACTGGGCGAATTACGATAGGTACTACGCGGACCAGGGTGGAGCGCCCATCTCGGACGTCATCTCGCCGGTATGCCCTCGGAGACCACCACGGACACCCCGGCTGGCATTAATCCGTCCACCCAATCCGACCCAACCGGCAGTAATCTTCCCTCCCCTCCCCTTTCACAGAGTACTACCACTACCGACTCGGACTCGGACTCGGCGGCTTCGCACTCGGACTCGGACTCGGATTCCGCGTCCGACGCAGAGGACGAGAAGACCGTGAATGAGCAGCTCCGGCCAGCTCTCGCCCTAGCGTGTAGTGGGGAAGCGAAGTTGATAGAAGTCGTGGGGCTCGAGACTATTCGGAGGGATTGGACCGAGGCGGAGGTGGAAGTGGAGATAGAGGCGATCAGGCGGAGCCTGAAGAAGTTTCTGGAGGGGAAGGGATGGGATGAGGCGCGGGCGAGTGAACGGGCGGCGGAGATAGTGTTTATTAGCGGCGATGACTTCATCAAGAGGAAGGGGGACAAGGCGATGGAGCAGTCCAAGGCGGCAAACAGGCGGGCGATACTGGATGACCTGTGTGAGCTGGGGGAGGACGACGATGAGTTCCACGACGCGGTGACTTGGGGATAGTAGGTACAAATTATGCTAGATGGGACGGACAGTGTATATAGAGACCGTAGCGTTGATTATATATGACATAGCATCCTCTTCATGATCAGCTCGAGCAAGCGGGACGGACAATGAAGGCACGTGACCAAATACGTCAGCGAAATCCAAACTCCGCATTCCTCAACCAAAGTTCACCGACTTGCCTTCCTTCATCGCATCACATACTCCACTTCAGCAACATGCCGACCTCTCCCCCCTCTCCGCCTCCAACCTCTCCCGGCGACTCCTCTACCCTCCCTACGACTTACCCCATGCCCACTCTTCCCCTCGAAATCATCGGTATCGTCGTTTCCTTCCTCGGAAAGCCACAGCTCGCGGTCTGCGCACGCGTCTCTCGGGTGCTGTACGACGAAGCTACACCTCGGCTATACAGAGGCTGAAAGTCAACTCAATAAGCTCAGATCTGACGCTTCGGACTGCTCCAATTTCAGGCGGCTCCGGCTCCTCGCCTGGCCCCTGCATCACGCGCTACCTGGCCGATGTGCACAAACCCGAATCCACCTCGTCGGCATTCCCTCGGACCCCTCCCCGGCGGATAAGCGAGCTCGATCGCTTCGAGCACACGCAATACCTCACAATCCGTCCCCATTTGGTCACCCTATGCGATCGTCTGCCCCCCTTCCACATGCCCAACCTAGTCACCTTGAGCTACAAGGTATCGGCGATCCTGGCCCCCAATGGCTTCTACACGCATAACTTGGACATCGATGTCTGCGGCGACTCTCACACTCAGACCTATCCCACGCCGATGTGGCTGAGTCCATCGAGCTCCAGCGGCCCTACCCTGGGCTGCGAGCTTCTCTCCCGCCTCCAACCTCGGCGGATCATCTTCGGCGGCCAACAATGCGGACTGGAGGGCTCTGCTCACTCGAGCTGGAGCGCCTTCCTGCCGCCCCCTCCTTCGGCCAAGGAGATCGTTATTCTAGCCGGGGAGGAAAGCATGAACTATTCCGCGTGGACGAACGGGCGAATGCCCCTTTTGACGGACATGCCCGCCACTGTCGACCGCCTCAGCATCGTCATGTGGTGCTGGGGCGGTGGGTGGACGATAAAGGAGCGGAGTGACTACCAACTTTATCCGTTCCCGGGCTCATTCCTGAAGCTGCTACCGGGTCGTATGGCGATCGCTTGCTCGGGGAAAGCGAAAAAGATAGAGATCATCGGATACGAGACCATCGCTCGTTTCCGGGCGGCAGAACTGGAGGAAGTTATCGCGTGGATAAGGGAGGAACTCAGGGCGATCCTGGTCGAGAGGGGTTGGGAGGCGGTCGAGGCGGATAAGCGGGCACAGTCGATATCATTCGTCACCGGGGACGAGTATCTGACGAGGGAGGGGGATGCAGCTATGAGGGAGTCAAGGGAGGCGGTGAGGGAGACTATACGGGAGGATCTGCTGGAGATGGGGTATGATGTGTAAGGAGGGGGTTATGTCGGAGGGAAGGGGGCGGGTCGGGGATCGGGGGAAGCAAAGGACACCAGGAAGTAACATTGCTCTTTCAGTATTATCGTAAGTAGAGGTCGTAGCGTCGAGAGCCGAGTCTCGACTTGTACTGACTGACTGACTGACTGACTGACTGACTGACATCAATCCTCGACTTGACGATGGCTCCAGCTGACACCCCACTACTGACAGTCCATCACTAGGCTGACACCGTCCGCGCTTGACGGATACTGAGGAGGCATCTCGGCGCCAAGTGCGGATGTTTGCTCCTAGATGTGACTACAACCGCTCTTTTCGCCTACTCATAGGTACGGCTAGGATTGATCAGCGCAATCAAGCGCTCAAATCTCACTGCGGATGTTCCGCGGTCGGATGACCAAGGTGTGCAAGCGGAGTAGCCCAAGGCCGTCGGCCTCGGAGCTCCACGGCGGTGACGCGGATGCCGGCATTTACCTCGGGCATGACTCATCCGGCCGTTCATCGCCGGTCAGCCATAAAACCGCAGACCTCGTCCACCTCTCACCAAGTTCCCATCTACTCTCTTCTACCATACACAGTCGACCTGGCATCTCCCATCACTCGATCATCATGCCCACAGAAATCCTCATCGTCGGCGCTACCGGCAAACAGGGCGGGAAGGCGCTCAGCAACCTCCTCGAATCGCCCAACGCATCCTCCAACCTCTCCCTCCGCTTCCTCACTCGCAATCCCACCTCCGCATCCGCTCAGAAGCTCGTCGCCAGGGGTGCCAAGGCAGTCAAGGGAGACTTGAATGACACCTCGTCGCTCAACTCGGCACTCGAGGGTGTCGACAGGGCGTTCTTCGTGACGGATGCGTTGGCGGGTGAGGCAAAGGAGGTGCAGCAGGGAAAGAACTTTGTGAATGCCGCGCAGAAGGCTGGGGTGAAGCATCTGGTGTTCACCAGTGTGTGCGCGGCGGATACGGCGACTATTGTGCCCCATTTCCGGTCCAAGTACGAGGTGAGCTCTAGTCGGTCTGAGCTAGGGATCTGGCTAACAGTCAGGTTGAGAAACACCTGCAAGCGTCCGGTATCTCCCACACCATCCTTCGTCCTGTTGCCTTCATGGTGAGCACCCTTTCCTAGCTTTCCACCCGTCCCAACTGACCTCCAGGACAACTTCCCCGTCGCATCTGGCATAACCCGCTTCCTCGGTATCGGCGCCTTCTTCGCCTTTACAAAGGGCCGCCCCTGCGCGTTCATCGCGGTGGAGGACATCGGAGTATTCGCCGGCAAGGCCCTCCTTTCTCCAGAGGACCCAGCTTTCAAGAACCAGATCATCGACCTTGCAGAGGGCGATTACGACCTTGAATCTACCCGTCGGTCGATACAAAAGGCGCAGGGATACTCGCCGTGGTTGGCTTCATACATCCCAGGATTTACCCGCTCCATCTTGCCGCACGACTTCAAGATGATGTTCACCTGTGAGTGATCTGCACGTAATGTATCTTGATGAAGACATCGGAGCTGATTTGAGCAGACTTTGAACAGTCCGGCTATCCAGCGGTGAACACCGCGGAGCTCAAGAAGATACACCCGGGTCTGATGTCGATGGAGGACTACTTCCGGAAGGGTTAGTGACATCCACAATCAATCAGATATCTAGAAGATTTAGATGAGTTATATTTACTGCAAGATTGTCTAGCTCAACTTGTATCGCTCTCTGACCTCGAGCGCTCGCGATAAGGCGAACCCAGCTGATTGTCTATCCACAGCCTGACACATGCCCCAGAGCATAGCAGCACTGGGGACCAGCGAGAAAGCTGGATATCGGTGGGCTCGGCGAGGGGACGCGGGCTTCAAATCCGGGGGACGCGGCCTGCAATAGCAGTACACCATTGACAGCGCTACATCGATAACATACAGATCCCTAAAATCGCTTTAGATCCTTCGCCACCTCAAACTTGGCTCCCGTCTTCTCCCTCAATTCCTCCAGCTCAATCCCCTCCGCAATCTCAATCAAGACCAGCCCACCCTCCTTTTCTTTCCGCTTGACGTCAAACACCGCCAGGTCCGTGATGATCCGGCTGACGCACCGCACGCCCGTCTTGGGCAGGTCGCACTCCTGGACGACCTTGGGTTTGCCGTACTTGTCCAAGTGGTCGGTGACGACGATGACCTGAGTGTTGTCGGGGTTGGAGACGAGGTCCATGGCGCCGCCCATGCCCTTGACGAGCTTTCCGGGGATCATAAAATTGGCGAGATCGCCGTAGGAGGAGACTTCCATGGCGCCGAGGATGGAGACGTCGACGTGGCCGCCGCGGATCATACCGAAGGATTCGGACGAGTCGAAGACGGATGCACCGGGGACGAGGGTGACGGTCTCTTTGCCGGCGTTGATGATATCACTGGACGTCAGCTGGATCGCCATGTGGTATAGGTGGAGCGCAATCCCCCGCATGTCACTGGATTACACCCCTTTCCCTCTAGGCTTTCCCCTCATCTCTATTGACCCAGACCCAATCATCTCCCAGACTGACAGAGAAAAACTCACGCGTCCACCTGCTCTTTGGTCGGATATGGTCCCATCCCCAAGATCCCGTTCTCACTCTGCAGCCACACATTCACTCCCTCCGGCAAGAAGCTCGCCGCCAGCACCGGCATCCCCACTCCTAGGTTGCAATAGTACCCATCCTTCAACTCCAGCGCCGCCCGCTTCGCAATCTTCTCCCGCCTCATCCTCGCTGCGTCCTTGTGGGCAGGCACCTGCTCCTTGCCCGCCTCATGCCCCTCCTCCTTCATCGTCACAAACTCAATCTTCTTCTCCTCCGTCGCCTGCACGATCCGGTCAATGTAGATCCCGGGAAGATCAATGTCCATCGGCTTGATTTCGCCAATCTCGACGATATTCTCCGCCTCAACGATACTGAGCTTGGCAGCGCGGGCGCAGAGTCCAGCGAACGCGCGGGTGGTGTACCGGAATACGCAGTTCCCGGCTTTGTCGGCTTTCCAGGCGCGAAGAATGGCGACGTCTCCGTGGATTGCCGGTTCAAAGATGAAGCGGTCACCGTTGAACTCGGCAGACTCCTTCTTGGCGCCCTCGGTGACGACCGTCTGCTTGCCAGACGAGTCTTTGGGTGACCAACGTTGGGGGATACCGCCGCTTTCGACGAGGGTGCCTGTCTATCAGCCCTGCCCACTTAAGCTTCAGATTGAGACTGACCCGCTCCTGTCCGCGTGTAGAAACCCGGCATACCAGCCGCCGCAGACCGCAGACGCTCCGCAATAGTCCCCTGCGGACTGAGCTCCAGAGAGATCTTGCCCGCCAGATACGCGTCCTGCAGGTTCTTGTTGGTCCCGACGTAACTGAGGATCATCTTGGAGATGGCGCCGTTCTTGGTCAGAGGAGCGAGACCGTATATTCCATCTCCGGCGTTGTTGGAGACACCGGTCATATCCTTCAGGTCGGAACGGCGGTGCAGGGCGGAGATAATGGTTTCGGCGGTACCGCACAGTCCGAAGCCTGGGAGTCAGCCTCGACGTCCGGGAGTGGTGCGGTCTGGCTGAACCACTCACCAGCTGACAAAACAATGTCTCCGCTCTTCACGTCCTTGACTGCCTCATCCACGCTGTCCCATACTTTGCCCTTACTGCCCCCGACCGCTGGAGTACCCGTCGCTTCTCCAGGTGAAGGGACCGAGTCCAGGCCGTGATTTGGGACTGCAAAGGATGCATTGCGCCTGTTTGATGGTAGTGCTTGCCTTCTTGAGACAGTAGGCTGGCGGGGGAGGGGTGTGGAGAGGGAAGAGGGGAGGGTGGAGTATGTCCGAGATGAGGGGAGAGAGCGGGAGACGAGGCGGCTCGGGAGCGCGCGGATGGTCGAGCTGGTCATTGTGGGTGATTTCAAGTGGGAATACGGCCAGGCAGTAGTTTCTCGGGCTGTCTAGTGTGGGCGGGGTGGATGTAGTATGCACAGAGAGATGTAAGAAAGCAAGGTGACAGATGCTGATTCCCGGACTACTTTGGACCTTGAAATATCCGGAATCCCGGCCGGATAATTAGATTCACCGGCCGGCCGAAAGGAAAGTGAGGAATGCGGAGTAAATGTGACGTAACGTCGACGCCCAGCCAGATCAAGCTCGCGTCGCGTCATCTCCCTCTCTCCTTTGCCTCTCATCAACGCAACATCCAAGATGGCGCCCACGCAACCTACTATGCGGGAGGACGATCACGCTGCTTCACTCGCAGACCCAATCCCCATCGAAGTCTACACCCTTATCATTTCCTATCTCAAAAAGGCCGAGCTCGCGCGATGCGCTCGGGCCTCGGTCGCGCTCTACCCTATCGCCATGGCTCGTCTCTATGCCATCGTCGTCATCCCGAGCGTGCGCAAGAACGACGAGACGGAAGTCTTGGAAGACGCCCTGCCCAGGTGGCAAACGGAAGGTCTCGCTATCGGATTTCTCGCCAAGCGGTACCGTGATCAAATCGCCACCCATCACGCGGGTCTCGTCAGCCACACTACATCTCTCCTTACCCTTCCCAAGAAGCCCGCCCAGCCGCTGACCACCATCCTTGGCGCACTCACATTCACCAAGTACCTCACCGCCCCCTCGCACAAGGCCGATGTCTGCGGGGAACTCGTACCGCTCCACATGCCCAATCTGGTCTCCCTCCGTATCGAACCGGCCGACTTTGGGCGTCTCCGGCTCGACGTTTGTCACTGCCCACACTCATCCTACGGCGCGGGTTGCACCAAGAACCGTCCCTGCGTCTGCTCCTTCCTTGGCGGTCTCCGCCCTCGCCAGATCATCATCGGTGGCGAGGAGACCGGTTTCGCCGGTACAGCCAGCGGGCTCTTCCCCTCGCCCTTTCCCGACTGGGTCAAAGAGCTCGTCTGCTTCGTCGGTGCCTATAGCGACGACAAGGCCAGTCGTGACCCTACCGAAACCTTCCTCGACAAGCTCCCGTCCACCGTCGATAAACTCACCCTCGTCATGTGGACCTGGTACGGCGAGTGGGCACACACCCAAGGATGGTTCTATCCCTGCGAGCTCGGCGAGACGGACTGCTCCTTTACGCCGGCGGGACTCCGGACCGGTCTGGCGTTGGCGTGTACAGGCAATGCAAAGGTGGTGGAGGTGGTAGGGATGGAGACCATGCTCACTGGCTGGTCGACGGTTCTGGTCAAGAAGGAGATTGGGGAGGTTCGGAAGGAGATTCAGAGGCAGCTGGTGCTGCAAGGATGGAAGGAGGAGGAGGCGAAGAAGCGAGCAGGAGAGATCAAGTTCATGACCGGCAAGGCGTATGCGGAGGGGACGGGGGAGGGAAAGGTGGATGCGAGGGGTATGAAGGGAAGGGGGGCGGTCAGGGTGGCTATTCTGGATGACTGGCTCAAGTTTTATGGCCACGAGAAAACGGAGGATGACTATATGTGATAGGATAGTAGCGCAGCCCGTCAGCCTTTGAGACAGCCGGTAGTGGTCATGTACATAGTTCATGCGCAGGTCACATTTAGACAATTCAGCATCTGGTCCGGCTGGCTCGATCGAGGTATGGTCGCACTGGTCCTGGACTGTCATGAGCTTATGGTACCGGTACGCTGTGCAAGAGAGAGGAGTACGCAATCAAGCCGGTCAGATCCAGTGCTTGCGGTGGAGCGAGACCTTAGCAACGGTTGTCAAGAAAGGTCTCCCAGGCACGGGCGGGGCGGGATGGTTTCGCTGCAGCTTACATCTGCGCTTCAGCGGCGCGTCTTCTTCGCTACCGTCTCTCATCATGTCCTCAACTCCATATCACTCTCCAGTCCAAAATGGGGTTCCAACCTATCAATCAATGTCGGCAGCCACAAGCGCCTTGACCCCTCTTCACCTTCTCGCACTCGCAGCCTCGGCTCGCTCCCCGAGGTCGTTTTGCGCAACCTCATCACTATCCTCGAGGACACGGACCGGCCGGCTTTCGTCAACTGCGCTCGCGTCTCGCGCACCTTCTACCTCCTCGTCACCCCCATCCTATACAAGACAATCTTCATTGATCTCTCCGCACCTACCAACCCTCTCTTCTACCGCGGACGCCCTATTCACACGACTGCCAACTCGCCCGCCACCCAAGCACGCCGGTACTTCTCCAAAGTACTATACAGCTCCCACTCCTTTCGCCCCTCAATGCCGTCATCATCCTCCACGCGACCCAAAACGGGATCAACGTCTCACTCTCCAACCCCACTCCCAGACCGGTTCACCTTCACCCGCAGCCTCAGCATCACCTCACATCGGCACACGGCTTGCCGGAACCTGGCTCCCCTCCATATGCCGAACCTCGTCGAGCTTCACATATGCCCTCGGCCACTCGAGCACAGCCTCAATGCTTGCTACTGCAAACACTACAAACACGGCGGCTGCCCACGGTCTGGGCCCGCCTGCCATTGTCCTCTCCTGGCGCAAATCGGATGCGAGGAGATGATTTTTGGCGGGTGGTTTAGCGGCCTCACCGGGTCCGGACTAGGGCTGTGGCCCTCATCTTGGCCGCAGCCCCCTCAGCGGGTCAACAAGGTCACTATCCTCGTCGGTTGTCACAGCGGGATCGATTTCCTCCATCGCGAGGAAGCACAATGGAGATTCGACCGCAGCCATACGTTGGGCGATGCACTGCCAACTTCTGTCAAACGGCTCGTGCTTGTCTCGAGGCACAGCAGAGGGGGATGGGCAGACGGGGATACTTATTACCATGCGCCCGGTTGCGGCGAACAAGAGGACATCATGGAGGCTGGCGATCCTCTTCTGAGAGACGCCATCGCACGTGCCTGCGCGGGGAAGGCGGTAGAGATAGAGGTGGTCGGGCTTGGAGAGGAGCATCTTCTTAAGGGAGGGGAGGTGGATGTTGCGGGATTTCGTCTGACGCTCGAAAAATATCTGGTCGATCAGGCGGGGTGGGATCAAGAGGAGGCGAGGAGGCGGGCGCAGTCGGTCATCATTACGCCTGGATATGTGGGGGAAGCGAGCGAGGGGGAGGAATCTGCGGTGTACAGGGAAAGACCGTGAGGAGGTAGACATGGACACCCAAGTACAATATCATCCGTAGTAGTAGTAGTAGAAGTAGCTAGTGTGTACCGTCCAGAAAGAGTAGTGGACGGGAAGAGCGGAGCCGATTGATATACCATCATATGCCTATGCTTAATCAGACTTATCGACCAGTATGAAGCATCGGAAGACTACTGATGGCTGTGGTGACTGTAACGAGGTGAGACCTCTGCGTAGTCCCTATCTCTGGCCGCAATGCTATACTGAAACATGGTGAAACCGAGGAATGAGTCGCCTGCACAGACCGTCGAGAGTCAAAACGGGAATATACGGCGTTATCTCCCGCCGATTAAAGGGATTGCCAATCTTCCAAGTTGATTCCGCAATTTTTAGCCTTTCCAATTCCTGAAACGGATTGTTTTGCCAGTTGACATCATCTTTCCCCCTCTCTATCAAGCAACCATCAACATGCAGTACAGCACAGGAGCAGGGCCGTCTGGCTCTGCCTCGTACACGCCGCAAGGTCAAGTCAACAACGCACACACGGGGGCACCCTCAGCCTTCGCGTTCAACGGTACGAATCCTTATCTCCAGGCGGGTCCACCTCAGCCGGCGGGCCTTCCACAGCCAGACCCAGCGGCTACGCGGATGGATCCCGCCACAGCTCCACCTCTGGCGACGGCATCGGGTGCTGCAGCTGCCGCGCCAGGGGACAAGCCTGCCAAGCGGCCATACAAGAAACGGGCCAAGAAGGCGGCGCCGGACGCGAACGACGCGGCAGGCGGTCTCTTGCCCCAGACCCCGGCGGACATTGGCGGGCAAGGCGGCTCGTCGGACGCTCCAACCCGGAAGAGGGCAAAGAAGGCAAAGGAGAATGCTCCGGAGCCGGCTGGGAGTGGGCCGTCGCAGCAGCCAGCTCCCGCTTCGGTCGGACCGGCCGCGGGCATTGGTCATGGTCTCCCCCAGACAGCTGTCCCCAAAGACAGCGTTGCATACCTCTACCGCGACCCTACTCTGGCATCGCCGCCACCCAGACCCTCCGCTGGCCCATCGTACCGCCCTCCCCAACCCCAACAGTCCCAAAACGCCCAGGCCGGCCCATCCCACTCCAACGGCTACTATTACTCGGTACCATCCTCCCAAATCGCAGACCCCATCCGATCCGCCGCCGCTGCCGCCCCGCCCACCACACTCAGCGAGTACGTCAGCCGCCTCAATGCCCACATGGCGGATACACGCTCGGAGCGCACGGGCGACTCTAGCGCATACCTCCCTACCGGCGAGTGGTCGGCGGAGGACAAGGCGTCGTTCTTCCCTATCCTCGGTCGGCATTCGACGGTGCGCCCAGACCTGATCGCGCAGGAGACGGGCAAGTCGGAGCAAGAGGTACAGCAGTACCTCATCGACCTGCATGGCGCGGTACCTGCCAATCTGGGGCGGAAGCGGGCGGGACGGGTCAAGAAGGGAGAGTGGGTTCCGGGGATTGCTCTTGCGGCGAGAGAGATCAGCGATGGGGACGTTAGGGAGGAGGAGAGAATGGTGGAGAAGTTGAAAGGCGTGGAGGCCCACGAGGCGGTGATGCTGGAGGTGGAGAAGGGGAAGGGGAAGAAGAAGATGACGGAGGCGTCATGGGGCGCCCAGCTGGACGGACCTAAGATCGGAACACTGTCGGCCCTCGTCTATACTAGCATCCCGTACGACCCGCTTTCCGGCAACAAGGCTGCCAAGCTGCTTCGGGATGAGCATCAGATGGCCGCTATCGAGGCGATACCGATCCGGCAGCGGACGACCTCGCAGATCAAGGAGCTTCGGCGGTTGAAGGACAAGAAGAATATGCGGATGAGGTACCGGCACGCCAAGCTCATCGAGGAGGGGATGACGGCGGAGGGCATTGAGGCGCAGGGCGGCCCGGACGCCATCTACCTCGCCCGGGCAGGAACCGATCCGGTCGTTCTTGACCCCTCGGTACCCAATGCCGCCCAGGTCGATCCGCTCAAAGGCAACAAGCACGGCAAGATCATTCGGGACGAGGCGCGCCTGGCTCATCTTAATGGCCTGAAGCATCCGACGCGGGAGGAGATTGCCGAGACGCGTCGGCTGCTCAACAAGAAGCGGGCGCGTCTCAGGATCAGGCGGATGAAGCTGCTCGAGGAAGGGATGACGGAGCAGCAGCTGGCGGGGATCAATATCGACGAGCTGTATGCGAAGCGGGCGGGCGTGGCTTGGGTGACGGACTCGTTGGCTGAGGATAACGAAGTCATACCGGGTCTGGCGGAATGGGTGAGTGAACGGGGTCTGGACTTATGGAATTACGAGGCGATAGGGAGGCGGTTAGGGTGAGGTTGGGCCAGGACTGAAGCTGATATGACAGTGATACGCATACTCAAGTGTCTTTCGAGGTGCTGCAACAGCTTCGAATATATCTTCTCGCGTATCTCGTCCCTCTCATACATAAAACCATCAACCTCGCGGAGAAGGAACGAGTCGATCCTAGTCGTGCGCATGTCCAGTTGCTGCTGGAGGTGGCGGAGGAGGAGGGGAAGCTGGAGGATGTCGAGGACGAGGAAGGGGATGAGTGGGAGATTGACACAACCACGACGGACAGGGAAGAGAGAGAGCTGGATGAGCTCCTGGATGAGGTGGATGAGGAATACGATCGCGTTAGGGAGGAAGAAGGTGGGGATTGGGATGATCCGTTCAATGTCGAAGGGGGTCATAGTCACGGTGGCAAAGCAGGGAGGGCGAAGCGGAGGGGTGAGTTCTGGCTATCTTGTTGAGAAGGAGCCTAACTGATATACTAGAGTACCTGGTCTTGCTGAATCGGTACACTCTCATGCAGTCGAGACGAGCCATCAAGCGAGCGTCAGGGGTAGAGCGGAAGCGGAAGAGCCTACGGGGAAAGAACAAACTCTCGGCGGCGATCATAGAGGATAGCGATTCCGAGGAGGAGGTGGTGGGTAGCGAGACGACAAGTGATAGCGATAGTGAAGAGGAGAAGGGGGACAGCGAAGAGGGGCTGGATAGTGAGGCGGATGACCAAGAGGGCAGCCAGGTTGGCGAGGAGGATAGTCCAGCAGATGAGCAGGGGAGCGGGGAGGACGACGGGTCAGATGGGCAGGACATCGAAGGCATGTTGAGCGGGTCAGATATGGATGATGATTGAGTAGATATAATTATGATTGACTTGCAGAGCGTGGTAGGTATCGCTTTCTATGTATGACCTGTTCGCAAAGCATCTGCCCAAATACAATGTCCATCTATCTCATCTGTATAATCTATAAGCAAGTCGCTCGAGCACTTCGAAGCGGCTTCTCCCTGCTCCTCCACTTCACCTCCTCGGCGCAATCTACCACTCCACCACAGCTGGGAAGTACTTGGCGATAAGGGACTGGTAGTACGGCTTGAGCTCGGCGACCACTGGTGGGCTGTCGGACTTTGAGTACAGGTCATAGGCTGAGCGTCAGCTATATTTCAAGCATGGGTTCGAAATGAGCTCACGGTTGAAAGCGTTGACGGCCTTGAGCTGCTCCTCGTCCTCATCGTTCATGAGGTGGCGATACGCGCCTTCGCGGTGCCATGGGTAGAAGGAGTGATACCGGAGCATGGAAAGGGCGGCTTTGGGGACTGATCGTCAGCACGAACGAGCTAGCAATTGATGGAAAGTACTTACGGGTAGACTGAGCCTTGCAGATCTCATAGATGTACTGATCATGTCCCCAGCTGAGGATAGCGTTATCCAGGCCGCAATGGGGCTCATAGATCCCCAGCTCCGTCTGCAATTTGGGGTCGTGCGAGTCCGGGTTGGCCGCAAAGGTATCGGGGTAGATGATCTCTCGGGGGAACTTGCACCCGACGACGAATGTATCGCCGACGACGTCCCATTGCCCCTCGGCGCCAAAGAAGCAGAGGAGCTTGCCGAGGTCATGGATGAGCCCGGTGAGCTGCATCCAGTCGGGCTTGCCGTCCCGCCGGATCGCCTCGGCCGTTTGGAGGAGGTGCTCGATCTGACCGACGGACGTGTCTGGGTCAGACTCGTCGACGAGCGTGTTGAGCATCTCGAGTGCCTCCCAGACGGACATGCGGGCGTTGACCTTGCCGAGGACCTGTTTCCGGATCGCCAGGTTGTACGCGAGCGTCTGCTTCTTGTGTTGCTCCTGGCTGATCAGCTCTCCCTGCGTATGGACATAAGCTGGCTTACAGCGTAGAAGTTCTTGACCCTATCGCAGGCATCGTCATACTGCCTGAACTTGGCCTTGTCCTTCCCCGCATCAAACGTGCTCGCCTCGTCGTACTTGATCTTGTTCACCTCATCCACGTCGTCGCTGATCGCGTCCATCTTGTTCCCCGCCTGCTTGATGTATTCTGTGACTTCCGGAGCGAGCATGTTGGCGGATAGATTAGTAGGTGGATGGGTGGATGGTCGTGCATGCTTATCGTCCTCGACTGCCTATTATACCCCAATAGACGACGCTTGACTGGGCTTGCAGCTTTGCGAGGCTAAAAGCCAAGAAGCAGAAGAAAACCCCCCGAACCGGCTTCCGATCGACCGGTGGGACCGGAAACCTCCCGAGTGGGGAGCGGGCTGCTGGGGAACTCCGTCTGAGGAATGTGGGGCAAGCGAGGGGGCTATGAGCGTTGTCTTCTGCCTGCATTTGCTCCTCATCTTTCCATATGGCAAGATGGCGGAAAGAGGGTCCCGTATAGCTTAGGAGTACGTCTGACAGCACTGACTGAAATCTCGATCTCATTCTTGACCGTGACCGCCAAATCACACGGTGAGTAGATGCTGCAGGCCCGCTTCTTGGGTCCATGCATGGCCCTTCGGCAAGGCAGTCAATCCAGCAACTGGGGAGTGATGGGTCCAGCGCTACTCACTGATACTGCTGACCACCTGACAGAGGTTCATTCATCACCAGAAGTCAAGAGCTGACTGCCGGGGGGGTGGAACCCTAAAGGTCGCGCTCGTCCCTTCTACCAGCCCGGACAGCGTGACAGGCTGATCCTTGATCGAAGAACTGCAGCTTACCGGTGCATCTGAATCTGACACGTCGACGGCAGACATCGCCCTCATGCTCAGATACTTCGACGCCGCCGAGGACGCTAGGTCGCATCTTTCGCTTCGAGCTAGCTCAGTGCTGTTGTCCCGTTCCGGGCAGACTACGCATGGTCTAGCCCTCATATAAGGATCGCGATGGCTTGGGCTGTCAGTGAGTCTGGACCAGAAACTACACAGGCGGTGACGCCATGCGAAACCTCAGATCTCTTGCATTGGCTGATACGAACACGAGCACCTTGCGAGGCAGCGAGCGATCTACCGCGCTGAATGAGCAAAGCGCAGCCCTTTGAGTAGCATTGACTAGCACGCCTTGCTCCGTCTGCTTTCTGTATGCATCTCTAGGCTGCTGGTCTCCCTAAATTGGCAGCGAGACCACCTCGCAGCTCTCCCCGGCTGCATACGATCTGTGCGCACGGATCTGGTCTGTTTTCGTCATCGTGATCTCGTAAAGCTTCAGCTCGACAACAAGCTTTGGCCGAACCGCACTCTATCTCTTGCTGCTTCATCTCTTATCTGAGTACCACCTTCGTCGCCCCTACACCGTAGAGGAGAGTGATCAGAGGCAGCAGAATCTCTAGAGAGATCTCGAGGAGGAATTGCCCTTTCGAAACAATATGCCTCGTCGCGATCTCGTCCGGATCGTCCTGGTTGGAGATGGTATGCGCACCGCCAGTCCGAGCTGATCTTCAGATGGAGTCGGAAAGTCTTCCATCATCACGTCTCTAATCAAGGAGTCTTTCGTACCGAATGTAAGCTATCTATGGAACAAGGCTGACTGGTAGGTCCAACACGTCGTCCCTGAGGTCACAATACCGCCAGAAGTCACTCCGGAGAATATCACCACCTCCATCGTCGATACCTCTTGTGAGTCCATCACTGGATCAAGACTGATAATAGCAAACCCTCGCTCCTCCGCACATCTCCTCTCCCAACTCTCGCGCGCGCATGTCATCTGCTTGGTATACTCAATATCAGAACCGAGCAGCTTTGACCGGGTGGCCGAATACTGGCTCCCTCTCTTCCGGCGGGAAGGGATTAATGTGAGTATCGAGCCGAGGCGGAGCTGATGTAGGTACCTGTTATCCTAGTGGGGAACAAGATTGATCTGCGGGGAGGCGAGGTCACGAATCAGGGCTTAGAAGAGGAGATTGCGCCTATCATGCGGGAATTCAAGGTGAGTCCAACGCTGGCGAGAGCTGATGTCAGGAAGTCGAGACCGTAGTGGAATGCTCAGCGGCCTTACCGCTGAACGTGTCGGAGGTGTTCTACTTTGCGCAGAAAGCGGTGTTACATCCCACGGCTCCGCTGTACGACTCGAGGGAACACACGCTCAAGCCGAAATGCTATGATGCGCTCAGGCGGATATTCAAGATCTCAGATGTGGACAAGGACGGGCTGTTGAATGCCGTCGAGCTGAATCAGTTTCAAGTGAGTCAGAGCTGTGATGGAGCTGATGAAAGCAAAAGTGCTTCTCTACGCCGTTACAGGCGCAAGAGCTGGAAGGCATTCTCGAGCTCGTCCGTGGATATGATCCGAGCCTGGTCCACTCGACATCTGTCCCCGGGACGCCATCACCATCTTATCATTACATGACGCCACCAGGGGAGGGTATCACAGAAGCGGGGTTCTTACTGTTACATACCATCTTCATCCAGCAGGGCCGGATGGAAACCACCTGGACGGTGTTGCGGAAGTTTGGGTATGGGGAGGGGCTGGACCTGAGGGAGGACTTCTTGTCGCCAAGGTGAGTACCCCAGTGTCACAGGACTAACTCCAGATTTGACGTTCCTTATGACTGCTCTGTCGAGCTCTCGCCTCTCGGGAACCAATTCTTCACGGACATCTTCGAGGCGTACGACAAGGACCAAGACGGAGCATTATCGCAGAGCGAGCTGGACGACCTCTTCTCGACCTCACCTGGGAATCCTTGGCTGGCCCAGGGGTTCCCAGATACGACTATCACGGATGATCTGGGGAGAGTCACGCTGCAGGGTTGGCTGGCGCAGTGGAGGTGAGCTGTATCTCCGCGCCCACTCAAACTAAGCTGACAGTACAGCATGACTACCCTTCTCAACCCGAAACTCACTCTCAACTACCTCGCATACCTCGGCTACTCCTCTTCACCAGCTACAGACCACGCTGCCGCTTCCGCCTTGCACATCACTCGACCGAGAAAGCAAGATCGGCGGCAAAAGAAGGTCGCAAGGAACGTCTTCCTCTGCTATGTTCTCGGCGCCACCGGGTCGGGCAAGACGAGTCTGCTTAGGAGATTTGTGAATAAGCGGATGGGAGACGGGTTGGGGAGTTATGAGCCTACGACCAAGGTGTTATCGGTGGTGAACTCGGTGGAGATGGAGGGAAAGGAGAAGTACCTGGTGGTGAGTGTTCCTCCTGCAATATTCAGGAGTGAGGGAGCTGATAAGTAGCTGCAAGAGTTCGGGAGCAAGTACGAGTCGGAAACGCTGCGGAATAGCAAGAATCTCGACCAAGCGGATATCATCATTTACGTCCACGACTCGTCAGATACCAACTCATTCTCATACATCTCGAACTTACGGGTGAGCTCCCTTGAACCGTTGATAGTGAAGCGGCAGGACCCAGCTGACCCTACAGCAACAATACAGCCTTGACCATATCCCAGCGGTCTTCGTCGCGACCAAATCCGACCTCGATCTCGCACAACAACGACACGAAGTCCAGCCGGATGTGTACTGCCGGAGGTTAGGTCTACCCGCTCCCATGGCAGTCAGTGCGGGACTGGGCAACCCCGTCAATCTCTGGATGGGGATAACGAGGGTAGCGCTGAACCCGTGAGTGCTCTTGTCTCCGAGAAGTGGTTCAAGCTGATCGGGCAGAACGACGTCAATATCAAAACGACCATCATCTACTCTGACTCCAGCTCAGCGGATACGACTGATAGGTGCCATCGCGGTCGGCTCGACGACGGTAATAGGGGTTATTGGAGTGTGGATGCGGTATCAGGGTTACTCTATCAGGGGGCTGTGGAGCTGGATGAGAGGGTCATGGTGGCGGGGAGGATGATGCATCTTTGGATCATTATCAGCAGAGCTGGTGAGTATTCTATACTCTACTTGATCAGCTGGGGAGCCAGCCCCTGCGCCAGACCAGGTCTACACCACGGTCCGGTCGGTTAGTGCCACTTACCATTACGGCAGCGCCTCATTCCTCAATATCCGACTTCTTGGCGCAGCTTACCGAAGACTGTATGCACAAGAGGACCCGGTACTTGTCTTGCTGATCAGGCCTTGGCGGATACGGCTTCACCACTACGACTGATGCTCTGTCTACATCCCTGCATGAAGCTCGGGACCCCGCAGATCGGGTGGCGCCGGGACGTGAGGCGATGACCCAACTACAGCTCAGCCATCGCACACAATCTTATGTCACCGAAGCCCTACCTACCCTCTTTCGGCGGGTGCACCCTCCTTTCAGCCTTAGTCCATCAACAGGGCTTGAGATCGTACGAGGACATCACAGTCGCTTCTGTCCCCCTCGCCCGCTCTTTTGCGCGTCTCACTAATTCATACATCATACATCAACCTCTTCCTACTGATCATACTGATCCTGACTTTCATCGCTATCGACACAGAATGAAAGGCACTTCAGACAAGAAGACCGGCAAGGTGGTGGCCAAGGCGGAGAAGAAGGTGTAAGTTTGTCACGCAACGGACAGGGATGTCGCTGATGGGACAGCGGGAAGAAGGAGCAGAAGGAGGCCGAGAAGGGGCGCAAGCCCAGCGATACCAGCAAAATGTAGGTACCAGGCCCCTCACTGATCTGAATGCTTTGCGCTATGGGTTAGGCTGAACTTCCAGCTCCAAGCATGAGAAGTTGTCTAAGAAGGCGGCCAAAAGGGCGCTTTCCTCTGATAGTGAGGAGGCGTAAGTTCCACCTTCCTCTGGAGTTACTCCGGCAGTGCATAAGAGTTTAGGCTGATCTACCAGTGCCCAGTCATCCAAGGTCGGCAAGGCGGCCAGCAAGAAGGCACGAGTTGAAGACTCTGCTGATGAGGGCGAGCCGTGAGTTCAAGTCTAGACGTCGTGATGATACTGTAGAGTACATTAGCTGACCAGCGCAGTAGCATCATCAGTCCCAGGTCAACCGCGCGCATCTTTCGAGGCCCTCCTCGCGTCCATGGTCGCGAGGACATCCTCGTCACCCCCAAGAAGCTCGACGCAGCGGAGGCCCGAATTCTGTCTCTCGCCAAAAGCTCCTCCGAGATTGCGTATGCTGCTGCGCAGTACTACGAGGAAAGGGGGTTGCGCAATGACCGTGATGAGCCCTTGTACACGCAGGCGGAACTGGACGCGAGGTTCCGCGCCGTGTGCCTACCGGTCATCGGACGCGAACCTCAACCGATGGGTCTACGGAGTTTGACTCAGAAGGCGAAGAAGGCGGTGGTGGACCTCAGGGGTAGCGTCCATCCTTGAGGGGTGCATAAGGTAGTATCGGACAGGTAGATAGGGATAGTATCGTTGTCCATATGCAAGTATAACATCTCCTAGCTCCGTTTAGCCTCTCTTCAGCGGTTCACATCCGTCCTAGACCAGACCGAGCCTGATCAAGCCGTGCTGAGGGCGAGGATGGCCGGTGGCAAAACCCGCTGATCTAATGATGTGAATGGACTATGGCATAAAGCAAGTGGGGCAGTCGGATGAGATGAAGGTGCGGTGCACAGAACCATGCTGTGGGACTGAATGTTGAAACGGAAGCGGAAGCGAGAGCGGGACAGAAGAAGACGAGCGATATTAGGGGAATCCCGACTCAGAAGGGCTAGGGCGGTTTATAGGGGGATCCAGTGTGCGGGAGAGCGCCAGGTCGGCCGGGTCAAGGAAGGACACAAGTAAGCTATAGATCACGCTTCTTCTCCCTCCTCTTGTCAGTGGACGAGGGGAGACACCTCTGGAAGGCCTCAGTCTCATCCATCTCCGTTCCACCCGTATCCTCCTCCAAAGACATGCCACACCCGGCCGCTGCCAGGCGCCACGCTCGGTTCCGACGGAAGAAGGGTTGAGTCGGGTGCTTCGCTGCTTGTTCGCTGCTAAGGGCGTTCCCATCTTACCCATCTCGCCCTCCCTAATGCTATCGCCTTGGTACTTCGCCTCGGACACTCACCTCCTATCGGTCCTCCGGCTCCTCCTGCTCGGTGCGAGCTAAGGCGAAAATTGGGCCATCCGCCCGAGCTGCATCTCAGACTCCTTTTCGCCTCGCCCCCCCCCCCCCCCCCCCATCTCACCTCTTTCATCGCTTCATACATACCATTATGCTTCCTAACCCGTTCCGCTCAGCTCCGGTATTGACATGTCGCCTGCATGTAGCGATTCTCGGCACTGCGGACCTCGGACCCGACCAGCATCCGGTGGTCTGTTCCGTCCGAGGTCACTTTCCGATCGCGTCCCTCTCGCCTTCCATTTGCCGTACGTCTAGGCTGGCCCGGGAGTGGCACTCCTTACGCTGGTGAGAGCTCGAACATACGAAGAGCTCGCGTCAACTATTCTCCATGGCCAACACTCAGACTCAGTTGGGCTTCTCAGCTTCACGGACACATCAGAGTGAACGCCGAACATGCGGCGCTATCCAGGGAGTGCTCCCGGTCCATCCCCCGATCATAATACCTCAGCACGAGGCGAGGCGCATCTCCGCATCGCAGTAACCGTGATGGGATGGCCAGAGGCTCGGACTGGCCGGGGAGGAACGGGCGGCGAAGAAGATCAAGGCGACGCATTGCGGATCAGGCGTCATCGTGGCTGGGACGAGTTTCGAGTATCGACAGTGAGTGAGACTGCTCTTCCCCATCCTGGTCTCTCGCATCACTCCCCGCGACATCGAATCGAGCAGGGGCTGACTAGCAGTAACTCCCCACCCTCGCCATGGAGCGCGCTCCTCCCGCCCGTCTTCCCGCCTAGCGAGAGACAAGCTACATCCCGCTGCGCCAGTCCACTCTCGATGATTTCACTCCCCCTCTTCGACAGCTAGGAAGCGTCTATCACGGGCGGTGGCTGGAGCGACATCATCTGGAGGTCACAATCAACTGCACCGATGCAGTCGATAGCAGGGACACTTTGCTTCCGACGGAAGCTGACCTCCCCCACTTTGCGGTTCGGCGGCATCAGCGCTTTGGCCCCGTGTCATAATGCAGCCCCGTTTCGGCTGCCGGATCTGTGTGGTGGCACACACAGGTTGTGTCCTCCTCGGCGCTAGTGCCGGTCTGCCTGCGATACTGATTACGGCTGGGGTTTTCCCTCTCTCACTGACTTCCGCTCTCTTTCCCTCTCACTCGTCCATCCTCTTTCTTTCCCATATCCTCACATATGATCTACTGAACATCAGTCCCTACCTAACGATGGGCTCAACCAACAGCAATAAGCCGCATCGACCTGCTCAGAATGAGGTCCGGAACACCCCCGGGCAGAATAGTGAGCTTGACTTCCTTCCTCCGCGTATAGCTCATGGCTGATGTTCAGGCGCCTCTACCAGCCCACGCCACGGTCGCCACACTTCGAGGACAGCACCAGGCAGCTCTGGAGCTAATCCCGTCGAGTAAGGCTCGCTCACAACCCCGATTTGGGCGGATCCACGAGCTAAAGCTACAGCTTGACGGGTGAAGAAAGCGAGGACGATGATAAGCCGGAGTCTCTCCCCGCCGTGCACATGGCTGCTGGTTCTGTGGCGTGAGTCTTCTGTGCGAGAAGGCAGACGTAGCTGACCGTTCGAAGTCATATCGAGCAAGGTCCAAACCAGGCGGGTAGTAGGCGAGTCCGCAGGGGGAGGTTCAGGTACGCTTCCTTCCTTCGGTCGTTACCTCGCCTACTTGTTCTGAGCTGATGTCGGTAGGTTTGAGGTTGACGGTGTGGAGGCAACGAGCTATGAAGACTTCCAGAGGGGTTCTGCAGCCGGTGGGCTGAATGAACAAGGCAGGTATGTTTGCCAATCGAACGAGCAAGGGAAAGTATAGAGCTGACCATATAGTACTCAGAATAGCTCAAGCCCCAGCCGGTGAGCATGTCGCTATGGTCTATGCTGTCCTACCTCGGTGCTGATCAGTTAGCAAGCGTCGCCACCGCGACAGCTCATCGAATGACTCCCTCCTCGACCAACCTCGTGCAAAGCACCGCCGCTCTTCATCCGGCTCGCCCTCTCCCTCGCCTTCTCCCTCTTCCTCTCCTTCTCCCCTACCTTCTCGAGCTATTCATCGCTCCGGTCACGCATCCGGTCCCCGCCGATCGTCCCCCGGTCCCGGCAGTAGAGCATCCTCCGCCGCCGGCGGCTCCAGGCGACGTATCCCTCCAGCTATGTCCCGCCGAGGCTCGTCAGCTGGGTCGCCTGGTCCCGGCAATGGCTTCGGAGGCCATGGCCCCGGCGGCGGTGGTCCCGGGCGAGGAGGTCCAGACGGTGGTGGTGGTGCACGCGGTGATGGTCCTGGAGGTGGTGGTCCTGGCGGTGGCGGCGGCGGAGGCGGTGGTCCTGGAGGTGGAGGTGGTGGTGGTGGCGGTCCAGGCGGAAATGGTGGAGGCGGAGGTGGTGGTGGTGGCGGAGGTGGAGGTGGTGGTGGTGGCGGTCCTGGCGGCGGTGGAGTTGGCGGTCCTCCACTCGGTCCTCCCGGCGGTCCCCAGCCAGGTCTTCTTCGGCAATACCAACCACTGCCCGAGCCGGTCTACAATGCCGACCGGAGCCGAGTCTACCGCATGGCCGGTAACACCTGGGCGCACACGGAGGGCGTCAAGGCGTTAAACTGGTTCATGCTATACCATGTCAACTGGGACCAGAATAACCGCCAGGCGCTCATCGACGCTGCCGGGGTCGATCCCGCTCTGGTCGACGTTACCGACTTCCTCAACGTAGAAGCGATGAAGCATCGCTCGCTCTTGCACTCCGCGAAGGACAAGATCACAAGCTCCGGGTTCCAGCCGGTCTGGCCCGTCCCCATCACCTTCTTCTCGGAAATGGACATGATCGACGTTCGGGGCACGCTCGATCTCGTTTACGTCCCTCGCGAGCTACCCCCGGCGGAAGCATGTGCGCACTGCCGCCCTCACCTCGGCGTGCACGTCGCCAGCAACGAGCTCGAGGTCAAGTGCATATCCGATCCTGTCGAGCGGGACGGCTGCTACCGTTGCGTCCGCAAGGGTCTGCGGTGCGGCCAGGAGATGTCGAAGGAGAACGACTTCTTCGTCTTCTGGCCGCTTGCCTTGGTCCTGCAGGAACGGCTCGGTGCCGACGCCTTCGTCGCCCTTCTCCAGCCTGTCTTTGCGACCGCCGAGTCACTCGTCCTGCGGTTCGCGGGACCACAGCACAAGGTCTGGATTCGCGTATCCCGGAGGTTGCTACTCGGGACGGGCGGGGTCAAGGAGGCGGCAGCGGCATGGACGCACGCCAGGCAGTGGATAGGGAGGGAGAATCGGACAAGCATCGCCGACAGGGAAGGTGCTAACCATCGCCACGTCCGGAGGTGAGTCGTTGCCTATGCGAGTGCTAGACAGTAGCTGACTACGGCAGGCTGGACGAAGGGGAGAAGCTCGTCTGGACCTACACGTCTGACGCCCAAATCGAACGCCGCGCCTTCATCGCGCTCGACGCCGCCCTGCTCCGCGCCAAGGCAGGTATCGACGCTCTGGCAGGTGCCATCGGTCAAGCAGACCCCAACGCCCCTCTGTCTCAGGTTCCGTTACTCCTCCAGATCATCGCGAGCCTTGCCGAGGGGTCCGCACTGTCCCGGGCGAGGGGGCGGTTGGTGGATCTCCGCAGGCCTTTGCGCATGCCGAGGGTGGGGTGATGGAGGGGGATTTATTGTGCCGTATGTGTCCATAGGATGAGGAGTTTGCGCCTCTGGACGCTGCTGTCCAATAGGTATGCTACACGTATGTTGCTACTGCCGACGTTCTGAAACTTCCTGGACAAAGACACAGCAGATCTCCTGCGGGCAGCGTTGACTATAGGCTGGGGAGCCTTGGACGCTTTGCTGCATCTCCTTTTGCTATACTATCGTGCGGGTCACTGAGTCTGCTCAGCGTTCCAGTCACATTGTCTAGCGACCGGCTGGCGCAACACATGGCCGCTAGCTATGCCCGCCACATGGGCACCAAGACTGCACCAAGCTACGAGTAGACGGTGCTCAATTCCGCCGGAAGACAGCTCAACTGCGCAATACATACGGCCGACCTTCATCTTCGAGTTTAGCGATGTACTTCACCCTCGCTGAGGCAGCGTTTCCATCAGCTACAAGTGACTCCGCTCCGTAGACGTGCTCGAGGTGGCCTGTCAGAGCTGGAGACAATGGTGCTTGAACAAGATCGCAGACTCCATCGACGCATCGCGACTGACCTTTGAGCTCGGGCTCCCACGTTTCTCCTCCTTGTAGCTTGTGCTCGGACCGCCCACTTCCCACCTCCTCCAGGCTCTCCGAATGAAGTTTCCTTCTCTCTCTTCTTCTCACTTCAGTACTTACATATACCCAAGATGTCCATAACGCGGATTCGTGATCGAAAGCGCTCGCGAGACCAAGAGGACGAGAGGGGTATGTCCCCTACTTCTGCTAGATCCTGCGGCAGAGCTAAGCATCAGAAGATGACCAGCTGCCTTCCCTGAGGACGAACCGCTCGTCTCGCTCTATGAGGTCTCGTCCGGCTGGTCTGGTACTACTGTAAGCTTCAGTGCCTGTCCTCCCTATGTGCCGCGCTGACGACCAGCTTTGATGAGGATGAGCCGGATGAGGCGGTCGCGTCGAGCAGAGCAGACCCTTCTGGGGCGATGCCTCCTGGACAGAAGAGGAAACTACAAGAGCTAGAGCAAGTGTACGTCTCCTTTCCTACCCGTATAGCTCTTTTAGTGCCAAGCTGAATCTGTCAGCTCTGAGGAGGACGGAGAAGAAGTTGACGCTGTGGAAGACATCACTGTCGTAGACGGCTCGATGAGCGATGGCGTAGTAGGGGATAGGGGTGGCCTCTCGATCGAGACACGACTGTAAGCTCGATGCTTTTGGCTCGTATTAGGCAGACTGGTCGCTGACACCTCTAGCTCTGATCAGGATACTGCAGTAACGCTCTCGAGGCGACAAGGGGATTACGGACGAACGACAAAGCGGAAGAAGCAGTCGCACGATGCGGAGAGGTGAGCTTCCAGGTTTCACACCGGCACCAACAGACTTCTGCTGACAGATCAGCCTGATCGTCACCAGCAGTGACGAGGATGAAGACATCATCTGCTTGGGGCAGAATCGGAAAGGAGGGGATGAGCCGCGCGGCGCGCTTGACAGCGACAGGTCCAGAGACCGCTTCCAGTAAGCCGCCACCCGGCCAGTCGAAAATGTACATGCATGGGCTAACAATCCAGCTCCGAGCGGACCTCTCGAGATACCGTTGTCGCCCCCTCGCCAGCTGTCCCACCACTCCCCTACGCGCAGCGCGTCGCCAAGGAGGCCCTCTTCCGACTCAAACGCAGGTTCAAAGAATGCAGGCTCAGGAAGAGGACCAACAAATGGATTCGCGAGCATGTCGACCGCTGGACGCGGCCCGGAGTCGCCTTCATTCGGGCTCGGTCGATCAATTATCAGCTTCTCGCTTGTGATGACCTGCTCAACATCGAGGCCATGTGGTACCGGTCGATACTACAGGGCGTCCGCGATCGCCTCACGAGTCGCCGTGAAGATCGGATCATCGGCTTCGAGAATGTCAAATTTTTGGTCCCCACCGAGATGATCGAAGTACGCGCTTTCCTAAAAGCTCCGTGGTTCAACAAGGAGCATACCGGCGTCGCTGTATGTGACCAGTGCTCTCATCCATGTCACGAAGACTATCCAAGTTACGAGGTCGAAGGTCGTCTCCCCATCCGCTGCGTCTCGGACTCCCATGCAGTCAGCGCATGGACGAGCGGAACGACAACTTCGTATCATCCCAACTCGACGCCGTTATCGCCGAGCGTACCGCCGTAGACGCCTGGAGCACCGAGATCAACATCGTCATCACGCTGGCCGATGAACTCCGCACCCTATTGGCGTCGGACCCGGATGCGGCCTCGGCTAGTCAATGCCGGATCCTGGTGAAGATCCTACTGGGCCAGAGCGGGGTCAAGGAGGCACTGGAGCAGCTGGAGAAGGCGAGGCAGAAGATCGGAAGGGAGAATAAAACTCGGATCTCAGATAACCCACGGGAGAGGACCAAACGCTGGTGAGTAGCCCTTCCGGCTGGGCCTTGATGTACTAGCGCCAGCTGACTCTTCAGGCTGGATCGCGGCCAGAGGCTCGTTTGGTCCCTCACTACCGTCGTCAAATCGGAGCAGCGTGCGTTTGACGCTCTGCTCGCTGTCGTCCGCCGGGCCCAGAAGCAGGCCGAGATCCAGCTCGACCCCGCCATTCCCCAGCATATACGTTGCGTCGGCGACAAGATCGCCCTCGCTTTCCCGCCCGGATCGAAGCTGGCGGTAGCTCAGGCGGAGGTACTGGAGGCGCGTAAGCTCCTGGGAAAGGCTAAGTGGTAGAACCGAGCGAGTTCAAGAGGGAGCTTCATACCGAGATCGATCATGCAACATGTACAGAACAGTGCTCGCGCTTGTCTCAGCTGAGTCTTCACTGCCGCCAGTCCTGTTTCAGTTGAGGTCTGCGGGGGTATATGCTCTCCTGGGACGAGGGTGCAGGATGACATGAGGGGATGGGGTTTGGGTTTAAGGTATAGATTTGGAGGGATCGAGCACAGTCAAACCTGGGCCCGGACGTCTTATTAAGCAAGATTTACCGGATATCGTGTACTCGTACATACCCACAGATCTGACTATGTACAACGTTCTCCGCCCGCAGACTCCCCTACATTCCGCCCCTCCTCCCTTCTATCCCTTATACCCCGACCGGGATCCCGTCCGCCCTCGCCATCCCGTCTGATCGTAAAGCTCGTCTTGTCGTAAATTGTCGTGAATCGTTGCAAAGAGGTCTGGAATATCAGCTCAGCCCTGTAAAAGGAGACTGTATACAGTATACTCACCATGTATGATAGCTCCACCCAGATATGCTCCCCGCTTTCCCTAATTACCGCCCGCCTCAAGAACACTCCGATGCCAGTCCAGCAAGATTTCCCACGCCGCCTCCCCCACTTCAACCCCGCGCCTATCCCAATCTATCCCTTTCCACTCCTCCGCCCGCATCGCCTTGATGACCTCCATCGGGACTGCAAGGCCCTTGTAGTCCGTGTAGACCCGCCACATTGTCGGACTTTGCGCTTTGAATTCCCGGCACCACCAGCGCCTATCTGGAGTTGTGAAGGAAGCGTGTTGATCTTCGAGATCTAGGTTTTGTACAGGGCGCCGCGAGGAGCTCGAGGGAGGGTCCGACGAATCGTCGTCGATATGGGCGACAGGGGTGAGGGTCTGAGATACAGGTGTTGAGCTGACCTGATACTTCACACCGTCTAGCATATAACACTCGCCGGTCTCGACGTAGTCTTGATAGAGCCAAGCGATCAAGACTTGCTCGTCGCCGTGAGTCATAGAATTGACTAAACCGAAGGGCTCGGCAGAGCGGAACTGATCGACGACGGACCCGAGCTCGAGCGACATGTCGTATTTCCGGACAGGCCTTCGCAGGACGTGCAGGTGACGAAGTAGGGGACAGTTGCGCAGAGTCGTAGAGACAGCTGGGAGTAGCCTGTGTACACCGGGTGCAGTAGGAGCGGCGGCGTCATGAGGAGGACAGCCGGCTCCTCCGGCGTCGATGGCGTCGACGAAGTACAGATCGGTGAGCTGGGGTAGCGGATTTAGCTCGAAGCAGTACTGATAGTCAGCGTCGTCCGGACAGCCACATACCGAGGTGTGCCAGTGGCCAGCTTGAAGGATGAAGCGGCTGATGTTGGACCTCAGACCATCTTGCGCCAAGTTCAGGTCATAGATATCGCAGTCGAGGTCGAGCGTGTGCAGCTTATGCAGCCCTGCGATTGCGCGGAGGAACTGGGCACTCATCGAGTTGGCGACCTTGTGGTGGGGCTCAAGAGCAAGATGCTCGAGCAGGGGAGATTGTTGGATGATACCGAGGGAGCAAAGAGCGTCGCGATCCGTCTCTCTCCCGTCGTCTTCCGGTTCGTCGCCCCAGGTGACGCGAAGGTATCGCAATTTGGTCACCTCCTGGGGTATTATGTTCCAGGTTTGGAAGCGGGGCATCTGCCCGCACGAGTCGCCGTCGCACCGCCAGTCAATCTCGAGTGACTCCAGAGTTGGCGCCAAAGAGCAGAGGCTCAGGTAGACATCGACATCCGGTCTTGAGTTGATGTTTAGCCGCACCGATGTGAGCAAGGGGAAGGCGGGTAGACATCGAGCCATCCTGCTGTCCAGGGAGGGTAGGCAACGTCCTCCTCCCCAGATGTGCTGTGGGGTCTTACCGCCGACCGTGAGGTGGCGCAGATACGGGGATACTGAATCGAGCAGCCGTAGAATTTTGATCGATACGCCCGGATGCGGTATCAACGTCAAAGAAGTGACCTTGCTCCACTTCTCTTTTCCCTCCTCTCCGCCGTGGCCCAGGCTGATGACAAGCTCTAGGAGCCCCAGCAGACCTGGACCCCACCGTTCCTGGATTTCCATATCCTTGAAAACCCTCGTGTCTGACCACGGGTCCGTCCATCTCGGGGTAGTCTCGATACATGGCTGATCACCGTAGTGCTGCGGCAGCAGGATCTTTAGATCGCTCCAGATCATAAGTTCCGCGGCGGCTGCAACGCTGGGATGATGCGTGGCGCAGGTAAGGCTGATGAGCGAGTTGCGATCGAGCTCCTTGGTGATATACTCGACGAGCTCGATGGGAAGGGATGCGAAAGATGCGGGAGGTTGGACTTGTTGTGGAGGAAGAGATAGGTGGGGGATGAGGCCTTTGAGGTGGGGAAGTGGTGATTGAGGTTGGGGCTGTAAACATCAGCTCAGATTGAAGCAGAATTGCCGACGAGTCGGATATCCCTACTCACCGTAATTTCGGGTTCCTCTGTGATGATGGCCATATTGGCGAATCCGACCAGGACTGTACCCCGCGACACTGCTGTATCGAAGCAGATGTACGAAAGCAAGCGAGGTTGATGGACAAGACACAAGAGAAGAAGCTCAGCTCATCAAAATTAGACTTTGGTTTGGTCCGCATTCCTCGAGTCCTCAGCGAGTCAGCATCAGCACGGGGTGATGAGTGATGACGTGTTGATACTGCACCTATACGTTCACACCTCAATCTCCTGTTACATCAATGTGAAGCCAGCAGATTCGGCTACAAGATCGGCAGCCATGAGCCGAGCGCAAGGAGACCTTCAGTATGCTGTCTCGATGACGCCCCTGTCGACTCCTATATCCATCCCCATCCGATCCCGCTCTTCTACCCCTTCGCCCAGAACCCGCGTTCGCTCAGACACGCTCAGCAGCTCCTCCAGCGGCTCCATCCTCCTTCTGACCCCGCAGACCCCACCTATACTCGCCATCCTCACTCAGTCAATCCCCAACGAGGGTCCCGCTCGGCTCAGCGGGATCCGGGCCAAGCTATCGCGCTCTCGGTCATCCTTTTCGGCGCAATCCGCAAAGCTCAAGTCGAGCATCACACTAGGTCGGCCCAGATCGCCCTCCGATGCTCTTTCACTAGAGTCGGAGCCGCGGATGGAGCCTCTTAGCTACTTCGACGCCATCCCCAGAGAGCTACAGCTCCTGATTCTGCGGACGGTGGCGGAGACATGGGAAGGGAAGGGCAGGTGGACTGGGGAGATAGGCGGGAAGAGGCAATTGATTCGGATCAGCCAAGTGTCACGATCCTGGCGGGAGCTCTGCCTCGACGGGCAGCTATGGGCAAATGTCGACCTCGCTCCGATGGCGCCGTATCTTCACCCCCGGACGTACCGCCGTATCACCGACTCGGCTCGAACATACGCCAAGACGCTCAATCTACGGGGTATGGACTCCATCTCTGCCCTCACCATCATGCCCAACCTCACCCGTCTCGACTTACGCGGATGCCGCGGACTGTCATCTGCGGAGATCTGCAAGGTCGTCACTGCGCCGGGCCTGGAGGCGGTAAACCTCAAAGGTGTACAGGGCGTTACGGTGGATGTACTGGCCCAGCTCGCAGGAGGGAGGTATCTGGAGACTCTGGATGTGAGTCGGTGCAGGAGTATTGATTTAGGGGATATGGCGGACTTTCTGCGGAGATCACCTTCGGAGCTGAAAGATCTAAGGGTGGCGGGGCTGAGCGCGGGCGGGAGGGGAGGGGAGTTCGCCCGGCTTGCCAAGGTGGAAAGGCTGGATATGCTGGGGTGCGAGCTGGAGGATGGCGATATGGAGCTACCGGATACGATCACCCACCTCGTCCTTTCGTCAAACCCGGCATTATCGGTCGACATGTTCAAGCGGCTCGAACTACCCAACCTCATCTCGCTTGAGTTGGCGGATATGGACTTCTTCCGCGAGACTCCTAATCCCAGACCTCTCATCGACTTTCTCAGGTCCACCACCCGACTTCAGAAGCTCGACCTGGACGGGACGGGGTCACATGGCGGAGTCAATGATCGCGTCCTGGAGGCGCTGGTCCGGTTCTGCCCCAATCTGACCGAACTCCACATCAGCCACGCCCGGCTCGTCTCGCCCGACGGGCTCATCCGACTCATACGCGGGTGCAGCAAGTTGGCAGTTCTGGAAGCTGATGTGAGTCTGGCTTTGGCATAGCTGATGTAGAACACACCCGCCAACAACGCCGTCATGCGCGAATTTGTCAAGCGCCGACGTGGTCGGCTCAATCTGCAAGACTGCCGAGCGGTCACTGCAGCTGCCTACTCGGAGGTGGCTGCGGGGACTCGGCCTAGAGAGGGATGGGAGGGAAGAGAGGCGCTGCCATTTTCGTATGAGGTGGGGGATAGGGAAGGATTAGTGCTAAAGACGTTCTGGAGCTGGAGGCGTGTAGGGGTGCCGCGGGCTTGGCGCGAGGCAAGGGCGGAGATAGAGGGTGAGGAAGTACCGAGGCAGACAAGGAAGGGGAGCTGGCCGAGAGAAGAGGGGACTACGCGAGAAAGGTGTACGATCATGTAGCGTTCTGGCTTGTATCTTCATAGCCTCCGAGTTGTAGCTGTATGCCATACCTTAGCTTCCCCCACCCCGCGTCCCTGCCTGCCGTAACGACGCGACCACCGTCTCAGCCAAAATACCGCCCATAGCTCCCTCGTCCATCCATCATGCGCTTCACCGTCCCAGGCTCGGCCGTCACGCTCGATACGGGGCGCTTCTCTCAGTCGCCCTTGCGAGGGAACAAGCGTGTCCGATTGATCACGCTCGTCCTCCTGCTGCTGGTCGTGGTGACTTGGCGTCCCAGTCCGCCGTTCCCGCCGGTGTACCCCGAAGCCGCGTCGGAGGGGGCTATGCGGTTTGAGGGGCGTGTAGTAAGGTGAGACATACCCGCCACGGAGCTGACGGATAGGTTTGAACAGACCCGAGGGAGCTATAGCGAGCAATTATCCCGGATATTGTGAGTTACAGCTCGGACACAGCTGATTCAGACTCTATCAGCAGCTTGCATTTGCGTCGGGCCGGTCCTACGCTTATGACCCAATACACGTCGACAGTACTGTAAGTCTACTCAGGGCTGAGCTGATCAGATCTTTCCCTTTCAGTTGTTCAGATGGCCATGGCGCTCAGCGAGCCTACCACTATCAGCGTTCCTCATGCTGGACGGGGCGGTTCCGTACGTCCTCATACTGACCTTGCTGATTCAGATCGTCCTCTTTACGCTGCTCAAGTACACATACGGTCGTCGCGGACACGCTACAGCAAGTACAGAACGAGCTGAGTCGGGATGGCGAGGCCTGCATCCGGATACAAGGGGAGATACTCAATGACGAGTGAGTCTCGCCTCGCCTCGACTCGACTGACGATAGCTTCTTCTACTCTAGCGCACCTATTGATATGGTCGACACAATCAAGGCCCCACTATACGTCCCCTCGCCGAGAGTGTTGGCTATCGTCAACTCGGCCCTTCCTCAGATCGCCCCAGAATCCGGCATGGCCGTTGCCGGAGGAAAAGCCGTTCAGCTTCGACACCTGCTCGTCCTCGAACTTCCAGGCGGTAAGGCATGGGGCGCAATATGTCACGAAGCGTACGAGGACTCAAAGTAGGTCCCAGCTTGGCTTGACTAACCCAGACCCTTCTTTGGCTTCAACACCCTCCCAAAACACCCCGGGAACGAGAACATGCCCCCGCCACTCACCATGGCCAGTCCCGTCCGGAAGGGCGTCTACGAGGCCAAATGCCAGCCCAAGATGACAGACATCATCGCTCGAGCTCGCCGGATGCGGAAGAATCACCCCCTTCTCAAGTCGGCCTATATCGTCACGGACGCGCCGGAGAACTGGGTTAATGAGGTCAGAAAGTGGTTGTTGTCGGAAGGGTGGGAGCGAATCTGGATAGGAAGAAGGGACGTCTGGGCAGGAGCTGCAGAGAGGGAAGTGGGCCAGGGGGTCGAGATGGAGATAGCGAGAAGAGCGGGGGTGTATGTCGGGAACGGAGTGAGTACAGCACGGGATCTTGGCTGATTTCAGTTTTCGCCATTCTCGAGCAATCTCGTCCTTGTCAGGCGGAAAGACGGGGTACATCCAGATCTGACGCAGTACTGGTGATCTAGTCGTATCAAGTGGATCTCATGCACAGATATATCCGGCCAGCGGAGCTATGGATACTATAACGGCTACTCTCTGCACCTCGACCGCTTCGCCAGGGTGATGACCTTGTTGTTGCCGGGATAACCTGCATCGCCCTTGACGCCGCATTGCCTACAGTCAGCTTGACCTGACCGATACTCACCTGATAGTGGTAGCTTTGATCTGCCTGATGGAGACTGGGGTCGGCTGGATGCTGCCCCCGCTTGCAGCTCCAACGCTGGGCGTACCGCTCCCCGAGAACTTGTACACCGATAGCGTCCTGGAACCGCCGCAGAAACCCTTGGAATTGCCCTCGCCGGCGCATGCGATGCCGCACTGGGCGGTCCCGTCGGGCGTCTCGGACACACCGGTGAGCGCGTTGCCGCAATAGCATTCTGCCTCAGCTCTGGACGTACCATGACTCACCTCGACCATACTCGACACCTGCGAGCTTGTATCCCTTTCCGGAGCAGAAGGAGATACACTTGGTTGGGGTCATGTCGTCCGTTGCGGATGTAGCGGCGGAGAGGGCTCGACCGGATGCGGGCTCGTTGATGCAGCCGAGGTTCTTCCAATTTGAGGGGACTATATTAGCGGGACCAGGAGGGCGCGTACTTGCTGGACCGATAATCTTGAACTTGGCAGTCTCGGTATAGGCGGGACGATTGGACCCGCCCGAGCCGTACAGCGGGTTGTTACCGGGAAGCTTGGAGACGGGATCGATGATCTACATCAGCACGGCCAGGAGTATCCTCACCTCATCCACAACCAGCTTCTCTGGCGCACATCCTCCCCCGTCCATGAGATGCGGTGAAAGAGCAGGGCAGCCCTTGAGGTTGAAGCCGACATTGCACGCCTCGCCTTGATCAAAGATCTTCTGGAAGAGTCCTTCGGGCCACCCCATGGTAAAGTCGCCGTGCATACCATAGCCAGTCGTATCGCCATGACTCCAGACGCCTACATCAGCCAAGTCTAGACACAACTCACGAGCTCCAGCCTCATACGTAAAGTCATCCTTGAAGTGGTACTCGTTGAACACTGATCAGCTACGCCGTCACTCTGACTCACCGCTGACGAGCCGCTTCGGGTGCGTGGATGGACACTTGCCATTCCCGTCAAAGTTGCCCTCGGCCGGATAGGAGACATGCTTGCTGCCTTCCAGCCAGAGATTGACGCCATCCCAGCACGAGGGGAAGTAGACCTGCGCGCGGAGCCCGTCTGGGCAGCTACGCGTCGGGAAGGCATTCGTATCGGGTCCACCGTTCCCCTTGAAGTTCAGGCAGACGTAGCTGATGGCTGCCTGAGCACGATCAGTGGGGTCGTAGGTGGTCCGTCCCATATCGCCAGCGAGCATCCGGAAGCCGGGCGGGAACTCGTATACGATCTCCCGGCTGACGGCGGACAAAGTAGTAGCTGTCATTAGCTAGTCCAGGCGAGGGCTTACGCATTGGTGTATGTGTTGGGTACAAGCTGCAGGCCCGACGATGTCTTTCGGTACAGCTGCGGGACCCAGTAGTTGGACTTGTCCACCTTGACGTTGGCAGTGGTGCATTTGGAGGATTGGAGAGTCGCGTAGTCGTACGTCGGGGAGAATGCCGACGCGCCGACAATCTCGTGCACTGACATCAGCTCATCCTGAGGCTAACTCACCATGAGTGGAGACGCCACCAGGGCTGACTACCGGGTCCATACGCGTCGAGAGCAGGTGCCCGAGGCTGACGATCCAGAACCTAAAATCAGAGGGGTCGAGCGCGGACTCACGGATCGGCCCGGACGACCTGGAGAAGCGAGAAGAGGAGGAACGGGAACATAAAGAGCGTGGGTCAAACGAGTGTGAAGTACAGACGAGAGATAGATGGCCAGTGAGGCTTATTGAAAAGGGCTCATGTATAAAAGGACGATCCCATCACCCTGATGTTGACCACTTGAAACAGGGGTTGCTGATGAAACGAGGCCCGATGTCTCGAACCTTACATTCCTGGTAACCTAGCTACAATGTTATAAGATCCCCCTCGCATGCAGGACAGCAGAACATGATCTCGTCTCCGAACTGCTTCCTCTCCCCTGGATTCTCCGCTAATGACTCCATACCGCCCCGGGTGAAGGACGACCCCATCCTTGCTTTGAGCGCCGTGAGCGAGACTTGCCGCTTATGCCGAACGTTGGCGGGAAGGATGGCGTCGACTGTACGATTGACGTTGGATGTACGGGATAAAGGAGGTGTCTCAGCGGATGGGGTGCGACGCGCCTCGCCACGCTCCTTCTGTGACGACGCATATGCCGCCTGTAAATCGGCGAGTTGACGCGTCAAGGCCTGTACCCGAGATGCTGACGCCTGCAGCTCCTCCTCCAGCCTCTTGACTGCCTGGTCATCCACCCGCTTGATCTGCCCCTTGGCCGAATCCAGCTCGCCGGCCAGCTCCGCCTTCTCCTCCATCACCAGCGACACCTTCCCTCGTACCTCCTCCAGCTGTCGCAGCAGATCCGCATTCTCTGTTTGCAACGCGGTCCGTTTCTTCTCCGCCGCATCGGCACGTTTCTGGTCTGTAGACAGGGTGGTATTGGCCTTCTCAAGGTCTGCTTTGGTATTGGAGAGGGAAGACTCCGCAACACGAAGTTGTTCGGTCTGCGAGGAGTAGTCCGTGCGTAATTGGGCGAGACCGGCGGTGAGGGATGTATGTGTGGCCTGAAGGGAAGTGTGAGCGGAGGAGAGAGTGTCGTGTAGGGTCTGTAGGGCCGCTTGCTCGCCCCGGGTGGACTCGAGCTGCTGTCTCGCGTCACCCAGGTCGGCTTGTACAGCAGAGACCTCGCTTGACCGGCCTTCGAGAGTTGATTTGAGCTCAATCTCAACCTATGATCAGTGCCGCCTTGGCTCGAGCTCACCTTTCTCAATCGCCCCACCTCCTTCTCCAGCACGCCTTCCCTTTCTCTTGCCCGCTCCAGACCCCGCTCGAGCCCTGTCACCTTCTCCTCGTTCTTCGCCGCCACCTTCGCTCTGCCGCTTTCTTCCGCCTTGGCTGCCGCTTCCAGCTTCTTGACCTCCTCCTTCAAAGACTCCACCTCGCCTTTCGCCTCTGCCAGACTCGACTCCAGGCTCTTCGCCACCTTCGTCTCCAATTCCAACGCCTCCACCCTCGCCACCAACACTGCCTTTTCTGCCTCGAGGCTCGCCGTGATCGCCCTCCCCTCGTCCAGCAGCTTTCGGTCTGCCGCCGCTGATGCCAGATCTGCATCTCGCGCAGAGAGCTGAGATTGGAGATCGGCACGCTCGGCGATGAGGAGGGAGACGGTCTCTTGAAGCTTGGCCGTAGCTTCGATGGAGTCCGTATTTGGTCGAGGCGATTGGGAGGGGGTTGCCGATTCGACTGTGGCTGTAGGCACGTCTGCCTCCTTGGCTGGCACCGCCTTCTCCGCCTTTGTCTCCTCAGCCTTCTCCTCCTTCATTTCCTCCGCCTTTGTCTCTGCCTGCTTCGTTTCCTCAACTACCGCCTCCTTCCCAGCATCCACATCTTCCTCCACATCTGGCTTGACCGCCTTCTTCCGCCTCGCCTCGCCTTTGGGTGGTGGCGCCAGCTCCGTCCGATCATCAATGCTCATGGATGTCCTTGCGGACGCGAGACCCGCATCCACGTCGGTGAGAGCGGGCGAGGAAGAGGGATTTGAGGGTGCAGGGGTAGTAGCGGACGACGCGGCGGCTTTTGCCTTCTTTTGACGCTGAGCGAGCTGGAGTGTCAGCTCGATCTCTTGCTGCCATAGCCCAAGGAAAATTCGTAGCTCACGAGCTTCTTCGCACGCTCTGCTTTCGCCTTGCGCTCCTCCTCTTCTGTGGGCATATTGATAGGGGAGATGGTATAGTGATGGATCGATGAGGAATGTGTAGCTGCGCGTTGGCGAAAGTCAACCAGAATTTACACACGGACCTCCCGCCTATATGCATAGAACGCGTCTCAGGCGATCTCAGGATGGTTTTCGCCCATCCACTCATCCACGTAGGCAGATAAGCTACTCTTCGGAGGTCTCCTGACTGTAGCCGACGACAGAGCAGCCGCTCTGCGCTAGATCTCGAATTTTAAATCGAGAAGAAAGCCTTTCCCTGCGAGCTATCCTTTGTCCACACCCTGCTGGGGTACAATATCGTTCTGTACAAAGCTGTCAATGCTCCTTTGATGGCTTGTACTCTGAGTACATCTGTATGTGCTGACTACTGCTCAAACGCGTTCCGTCCTCCATCACTCATAGCTGCTTAATACTGATTTCTACCGACTCAACAATGAACAATAAGACCTCAGAAGTGAAACCGGTGAGGGTGGTCATCATTGGAGGCGGAGTAGCCGGGCTCGGCGCAGCGTATGGCCTGACTCGACCGGAGCTGGAAGGTCGCTTCGACGTGCGAGTGATCGAGAAGCGGACTGGTGAGTCTTGAGCGCGAACAAGCTGATCAAAGCGTCTCAATGCCTCGAAGCGGGATACCCTATCCACCTGTCACCTGTAAGCCGACTATACTTTGCGTCCAGGCTCTGCTGACCTCCCAGTCTGGTCGAGATGCCATCTCCACTCTTCTCTCCCCTGCAGATCAAGAGCGATTGCATCTCGCTCGCCAGTCCCTACCTGCCAGACACGACGGGATCAGCTTTTTCAACAGCGACTGCAAGCGGATCTGGCACACCCTGCGGGAACCATTCGAGAGCAGTCTTGTCGAACGGGGTGACATCCTTCGGATCTTGCGCGATCGAGTCAAGGGGATCGAGTATGATCGCAAGGTCGTTTCTGTCAAAGACTTGCAGGATGAGGCGGTAGTCATGCTGTCAACTGGGGAGATCATACGCGCAGATATTGTCATTGGTAAGTCCAACATCGGTCTGGCTGACAATCAGGTTCGGACGGCATGTTCTCGGCAGTCCGAAAGACGCTTCACCCTAAGGATGATTTCCGCCCCATGCCATGGGTCACCTGCAATTTCCGCCTCTCCCCCTCTTTCCTCAAGGCCGCTGTGAGCGGTCTCGGAGCTGATCCCCGCGGCATCAACGTCTTCTGCGGGACAGGCTGGTCTGCCGCACTCATGCCCACTCATGATGGCGCTTACGTCGCCTTGACCGTTCCTTCACCCATGAAGGATATCCGCTCTGCATTTGCGTCCTTGCCTGATTTGCCCCTGATCCAGGCGATCCGGGCGGACGTAAACACGAATCAGGGCAGGGCGTTCCCTCTCTACTCTGCAAAATATACTCAAGCCGGCCGAGGGAGGCTCATACTCATCGGGGATGCAGCGCACGGGATGAACCCCTTCTGCGGTGCTGGCGCCAGCATGGCCTTGAGCGACGCGGCGAGTCTCGTCAAGGTGCTAACGGGGACTGAAGGTATGTCAGCGACCAAATTCACATCTGACAGCAGACCTTGCCGAGGCTCTACCGCGCTTCCATAACGACCTGAAGAAGCGCGCCGACCCAATGATCAAGATGTCGAAAGTCCTGCTATGGCTCGCGCAGGGCAAGACTCCGATGGGTCGGGTGGCGAGGGGTACAGCTTTCCGCACAATCGAGGTCGTCGAAAAGGTGCTGCCGACGCGGAAGCGGATGCAGAAGAGGCTGGATGCGGTCTTGGCGGATGCAGAAGAGGCAAAGAGGCTGGACGCGGCCTTGGCGGAAGAGGCGAATCAGGCGGGGATCTCGCCAGTCTCGTCCACCAGCACGTTGCTGGAAGATACCCCTCCAAAGATGCTCAGACATGATTAATTGCGGCAGAGTGGGGGCCGCAATCAAAAATGCACATGTGCTCTCGTATCTGGTGCTCCGGGCTGACTGTACATGTTGACCCCCGCTCCCCGCCAGAGATTGGTCGAGGCAGAGTTGACGACCAGGGAATGCTGAGTTTCCGTGCCACGTACACACATATAAGAATACAATCAGAACAAGAAGGGACGGAAAGGAAGACGCACCCCAGGCCGACCCAGCAGGAGGAGATGGAACGAACGAGAATGGCAAAAACAGGTGCTCCAAGGCATTATTAGCTCCGCTTGACCCTGCCCTGGCCATATGGCAGGCTCAGATCGAGCAAAGGAAGAGGTGGCAGGATGCGTCAATATGCATCCGCTCTTTAAATACAATTTTGTAACTAATTATGAAAATTTAAATTCAAATTGACATTTATAATTCATTAAAATACCATATATATAAAATCAATTATATATTACAAATAAATATAAAACCCACATATTTTACATATAATTATTTATTAAAATATCATTCATCTCAAAATAATTCAATTTTTAATTATCCACAAAACATTATTTAATTACAAATAATTTATTAACAATCAATTTTGTGTTTTTATCCAACAAATATAATAACAATTACAAATTTAAATTTTTAATATACATTACAAATTCATAAAAAATAAAATTTTTACATCCCCATCAACATATAAAAAATATTACATAAAATTCAAAATTATCATAAATTTATTTTACACATCATTTATTATATATATAAATACTCAAAAATATAACATAACAAAAACAATACAATATAAATTCATTTATTAGAAAATGTTTTTTAACAACTAAAAAATTCAATTCAATCAAATCATATTTTTTTTACATCATAAAATAATATTAATAATTAATTTCAACACAACAGAATTCAATATAAAAATTAACAATCATTATAATACAACATTTATATTTATTATATTGATATTTACAATAAATACCATTACACAATAAATTAAATACAATATAACAATTATATAATAATATAATTAAATACAATATTCATTAACAATCAATTCATATCATTATTCCAAAAAAATATTAACATTATATAATAAAAATTCAAAATGCCAAACTACATCAATTTCATATACATATAAAACTGATTATTTAACATAATAACTACATAATTAAAAATTATTAATTATATAATTAATAATTAATACATTTTTAAAAAATTATATATATTAAAAACATTTAGCATTTTTATTATTCAAATAATTTCTTCAATTTACAATATACAATTTATCTTAAATTTTTTTGTATACATAGACATAAATCATATTTTCAATTTACTGTTAATAAGAATGGATTGACAGATATGAATAGTGAAAACCAAGAAACCATCATATTGTAATGTATTGTATTAACAGCCATACAACCACACATACAATGATTATATGAAGTTGTAAAAAATGAAAGAATAACAGTGGATATAGAATATGCAATTAAAGTTAAACCATGATAGCAGGAATCAATGCAAGTTATTAAAAGTTCAATGAAGAGCATCAATAATTAAGAAGTATCAGTGATACACAGTATAGTCATTAAAAAGAAGATCAATCAAATTTTTTTAATCACAATAAAATCATAATAATTAACCAAAAAATAAAACATCAATATTTATTTATTAATAACATTTATAAATCAATTCAAAAATAATTTTTTATAATTTATACCAAATTATTATTTTTCATTATCATCACATTACAACCAAACAACCTATAATATTGTCAATAAATATTTTTTAAATTTTATATTAAATAAATAAATAATATTTCTTAACAAAATAAACAAAAAACAATTTATATCAAACAAATTAAATATTAATTTATCCAATATAATATAAACAGTAAAGAACAAATATACATACAATAACATATTTAATTTATTAAATTATTATATTCCAATTCTTTCAAACAAAAAATATCATTTTACATACATATTTACAAAAATAAACATTTTAAATTTTTATAAATTTATATTAAAATACATTTAACATTAACAAACGAAATATTATCAAAACAAATACAAATAAAAATAAATATTATTAATTTCTAAACATTTTAACATTTTCATTTTATATATTTATTTCATTAATAGATCAATATACAACACTTATACATCAAAGATTAAAAATTACAATACCAATTAATTTATAAAAGTATAATACTTATTACACAAAATATCCATCAAATCAAAACAATCAACAAAAAACATATTAACATACATAATATATCATCAGTTATTAAAATAAATCTTAATTACAATTCAATACTAATTACATCATTTAATAATACAGTATAATTATAACACATTTTAATTATCATTAAAAACAATTAATTTTTAAATTAAAAAACATCATTTTAATTAATTAAAAAAAATTAAATCACATCCAATTAATTTTATTTATTATCTTAACAATAATACATTCAAACAACAAACATAACATTATATTTAAATCAAAATTATAATCAAATTATTATCAAACCATAATAATAATTTATATAAAACAATTTAATAACATTTAAACATTCACAATACATCATATATATATTTTTCAAATAAAATACATTTATTATTTAATTTTACAAATTTTTTTAGCCAATTAATTTTAATATTCAATTCCACATTGTATTATATTAAATAAACAAATTTATATAATATTACAAATAAAAATTCCAAATATAATTTTTAACATTTATTCAACACATTATTAACAATATTGTAACAAACAAATTAAGCACACAAATTATATTTAAAAATATATTAACACTCATAATTATAAAAGCAATATAAATATATTAACCAAACAACCATTATACAAAATATATACTTCAAAATTAATTATTATATATTACATTTAATTTCATATAAATTTCATATAAAAAACTTTATAAACAAGCAAATTAAAAATTTATAAAATAATATTATTGATCTTTGTTTTAAAAAAAAAAATTATTAAATTTTAATACATAATTTACACATAAATACATTTATTGGATTAATTCTCATAACATACATTATTATTTTTAAAACATATATAATATAATCTATAAATTTATTCATAATTTATAACAATTCAAAACAATTCAATTAATAAATATCAATTCCAACATATATTACATAATTTAAACATATTAACATTTCATTATTATAACAACAACCTATATAAATACACAAATACTTTAATTTTATCAATATCAAAAATTATCAATTATTTTAATATACATTCATACACAAAAAAAATACACATAATAAACTATCACATAACTTTTATATAAAATCAACATAATACAATCCCATAATCATATATCATTAAAAATACAGCAAATTTTTTTAATAAAATTTTAAAAAACATAAAATATTAATAAATAATGTAAATAAATAGAATATATTCATTACATGATATTAATATTTAATAATTCAAACTTTTAACACATGATTTTCATTTTTATATTTTCATAATAACAAATTTTCAATTTATAATAATTAATCAACACAACATAAAACAATAAAATTTACATACACATATTTATTTTATATATACATTTAATTTTATTCATATAAAAAAATATATTAATTTCATCATATATTCAATAAAATCAAAAACACATACAATTTTTAAATAAAATTCACACAAACAAAAATTAATACATTATCACATTTTCATCATATATATAAACATATCATTAATAAACCATATATATATACATATTTTAAATACATTAAATACAAATAAAAAAAACACATTACTCATACAAACCTTTTATTAACACAGAAAATATATTTTATAATAATATTTCAATTTTTTATCATATGATAACAGTTTTGTACAAACAAATTAACACCATTAAATTTATGGATGTTTTATAAAGGATAGAGCTGTAATAATTTTATCAAAAAAGGTGTATATACAAAAGATATTAAAAACCAATTTAATCATGTACATATTTGTAATATTACGAATGGAATCATTGTGGTAGCATCAATTAAAACGACATAAGAATACATTGAAAGTTTGCACAATATATCAAGTTTTTATATAACTAATTGGTGAAACATTAAAAACCAAACAAAAGCACACGAGAACGATTTTAAAACCAGTCATTCCAAGAAGATGATAAAAACCATAAACAACCAATGAACATTATGGAGAAACATCAATAGTATTATTAATTGATAAACAAATGTAAACAATAGCATCAGTTTAACAAAGATAAGTCACTCAAAATTCCACATTTCCAAAATTAATCCAAATGAAGAGTAATTACACATGACAGAATATGTCAATTAATCACAAGACAGAATAAAATAAAACAAGTATAGAAGGTATATGAAATTTGTTATATTTTGTCAACATGTATGAATATTGGGAGTACATCATTAAAGATAGGCAAACAGTTTAGGTTTATGCACACATAAGATGAACCAATAACAATTGTTTGACAGAGGACTATATAGTATAGATAAATCGTAAATAGTGTAAAAGCAAGATATTAAGATGGGGAATAGAGTAAGAGAAGAGGGTATAAATAATTATATAAGGAATAAAAATTGCATGAAGAAGTTACAAGTTTAACTGACACATACCAACAGGAGGGGTATCATTATCAACAAAAGTTTCATACACATATTAATATATTATAGCAGTATAAGCAAATGTATACAAACATGGTGAAGGCAACAGATATAATTCAATCATAAAAATTAGTGTCATACAAAGACTATAAAAAAGAAAAATCATCCAGCAAGTATAATTAATAAAAATTATTAGAAGTTGCCAATGAAACATTATTGTACAAAAAAAATGTTAGATTGAGATAATACATGGATTCAATATAATCAAAAAAAGGAAGAAAAATAAATAGAATTCATGAATTATCAATACAAAAGTTAACAATAAATGAGTCAAAGTATCATTTATAATCATAAATTTAATATCCAAAAAATCGCTCCTCCCAGTCATAGAATCATATAAAATTTGCATTAATAATTACTTGAGATTCATTTTTTTCTAATAACAAGTACATACGAAATCAAAAACATAATAATTTTTAATAAAATTAATCATATTTCAATATACAATATTTAAATAAATATATAATATTTAATTTAAATATACACAAAACATAATTCATATTTTCAAAAATAAAATTCATTCATTTACATTATATAACAAATTACATATTAATATCATTAATATACCGTCATTATTAAAAAAATATCTCATAATTTATAATCAATTCATACATAATTAATTTATTATTAAATCAAACCATTAATTAAACATTAATAATATATAATTAAACATAAAAATAATAAATAATCAAATTAATTATTTTCTAATCAACATTATCATTTTAACATTTTATATTAATACAACTAAATCATAATACACACAATCTAATATTGACAATATCAATATATATACATTATCTTTTCAAATATTCATCATACACATAAAACAATTATTATTTTAATTGCACACATATATAAATAGATATACTTAATAAATTACATACAGGGGCAAGATTTCTGGATTCCGATATTGTTAATGTATAGAGGCAGAAAGATACATTCCTCGCGACCACTTGCGCTACGCTCGCCAGCTCCAGCTCTTGGAATGATACTCTCCCTCAGCTCCCGAAGATGAGTGGCCACTCCGGCTCCGCCTAGGAACAGTCAGCGTCAATTCCGACACGGTTCCAGGATACGAAATAATGAACTTACAAGAGGTCACTTCTTGTACTCAGCGCGCAATTTGGCCCAAATTTCAAGATCAGCATTCAAGGCATCGTGGCTGAGCTCCTTGTAGTCTCCTTTACCCAAACGCAGTATTGTATAACCATACCTGGAGTACTTAGTATCCTTGATCGCGAGATGATTGGGCTTTCAGGGTGGCAACTCACAATTCGCACTGCTTGGAAAAACTTGACAGCTTTTTTGCTTGCCTCGCAAATAAATCGGCCGGCCCTGCTCAGTCAGCTATCTGAGAGCCGAAGACGTGCAAGAAGCCGTAGTAAGATAGGTAGGTAGCAATCGGAAGGATATGACAGTCGATATAGGACACTCACTTCTTCGCCAGAACTCAGCCAAGCTTGGAGTGACAAGGGTCTCCCCTTTCCTAGGCCCTTCCCTAGACCAGTAAATGAGGTCTTTGTAGGCCGGGTCGACCAACAGCCTGATAGATGTCAGCGTGGTTTGGCCGATTTGAGAGGTACAGCTTACATGGCTAGATTTTCGTCGAATGAATGCTCGCGTTTGACCTCCTTGGCCAGCCTTTTTAGTAGCGAGCCGACCTTTTGGTCTACTTGCGCCTTCTTCGCCAGCTGTTCCGCCGTCAGGGCTTTCTTCTTGACCGCCTTGGGTTTCTTGGCCACCGCCTTGGACTCTCTGGCTTTCTTCTCCTTCCATTTCGCCTCTCCCGCCGTCATGGTGATGTCCTCGACCCCATAGGAATCATCGATGACGAACGAGAGAGCGTATGTATGGGCCAGATCCTGAATGATGAGGATGATCAGATCCTGCGTGGTTAGCGTGCATATGCGTGAGATACCGGGGAGATGACTCACGGTGACAAGCGCATTAAGGATTGTCAAGGACAGCGATCTGATCCACTCAGTCGACACCAAGGCCATATACGCGATGGCCATCATCACTCGGCAGTACGATGTTATGCCGTACCGGGCCCTCGATATCTCCACGGTCGTGTCAGAGACCTCTTCGTGCCGATCCCGCGCATCGTCCTCCTTATCCTCATCGTCTCCTGTGCCAGCCTGTAGTTCGTCGTCTCTGTTGCCGTGCCCAACGCACGTCGGCGCCGAGGACTCGGAGCCGGAGCTGTCAGCATCGTCGATTCCGGTGGTGATGGCGGCGAGAGCGGAGGAGGAAGAGATGGCGGATGTCATGGTGGCGCGAGTCGAGGAGGAAGTATCCCGGTTCGCTTTGAGGTTATTGGTTATGCCGTATCGCTGGATGGTGGGGCCTGGGACGGCGCCGGCTTGAATGCGATGAGGGGTGATGACCGTGCACGGGAGCCTGCACCTGTCAGCCGAGACCCGCCACAATCACCACACGAAAGCTAAATGCACGGCTCGTACTTGTCGAAGAATTTCTCCGTGTGCGCCCTCTTCTTTTTTTTGGCCAGCTTGATCGTCTCCGAAGTTTGGAGGCTGGAAGATTAGCTTGTAACCAAGACAGGATTGTGACGCGACCGCAAGCAATGCTTCGACTTACGCTTCGCCCTCATCTCCAATGGAAGCCGACCGCTCCCTCTTCCTGTATCCCATCATATTCGAGCTGGGCGTGGAGCTGGAGATCAGCCTTTACACATAGACCCTGGCGACAGAGATGTGATGCTGTTGCACTCACATGAAGCCCGCCCTGACCCTCTGCTGTTCTCCTGACTGGTCCATTCCGTACGCTTGATGTCGAGAGGTTGTGATCAGTAGAGAGATCAGTAACAATAGATTGATGGGCGAAGCAGCACAAGGCGATGTTGAAAAAGAGTGGGCGAGGCAGAGAGAGGGGGGGCCGTATTCTATGGGAATCCTTTTGAGGCTGAAACCCTTTTCCTCCGGGCTGGATTTTGAGGGGGGGCGCGGTCGCAGGCCTTGAGATAACATCAGGAGTGTGTGTGCGGCTGTGTGGAAGGGGAATCACTTCGAGGTCGCTTACGCCCCTACATCTACCCCTGTACCCCAGAATTTAGACACCGGCAGACTCGCATAAAACCAGATCTAGGATAGCTACATACTGTTCAGGTTTTCACATGTCAGCTTCTTCTGTACCCCCGGGGAGGGAGTGGCGGGAATACTCACATGTCCAGCACGAAGTGTTTACTTCGTACACGAGACTTTTGTCGATATGCCGCTATCTGACTCGTTGTAGACGGAGGCGAAGATCCTCCGCAGCTTGGGCGAATTCGACATCAGGTAGACCTCAAGTTGACTTTGTGCCGACTATCGCCTGCTTCGGAGGCCGAGGTAGCCGGAACGCCACGTACTGCCCGGCTGTTTACAGACTATGGTAGACGCTGACAAGAGGAAGCAGCTGCAGAGCAAGACAAGATGAAAAATATATGGCCGCCAGGCCGCCATGATTTGTTTGTTCTGCTTCCAACGGAAGTCATTGTGGCGGAGTGGCACCAGCCTGAAGGAGTTCTCGGCGCTTCATGGCAAAAGATCACCCCTAACGACAGTACAAGACCATTGAGGTCTATAGTACTCCTTCAATGCCCATACCAGCCCTCTCCATAAATCAAGAAAGCCTACGAGAATCAGAGCAGCAGAACCCTACAGGCGCCACTCTCTGTAGGGTGCCAATCCCTCCCCTCCCTCCTCCTCACAGCCTGTCTGCCCATAGGAAGAGGCACTAGGGGGCTCGTACGTCCGGTGCAGTGTTGAGGAGATCTAACAATGGAGATCCGGAACCAGAGGGAGCATCAGGAAGCCAAAAAGAACATTCCATCTCTCCCTTGCCCCTCGCCGACTCCCAGGGCAAAAGATGTAAGCCCGACGTGGGGCTCGAACCCACGACCGAGTGATCGAACCGAGCCTCTCTTTGGCGGCTGGCGTTCAGGCCGACTCGAAGTGAGACGTTGAGGGGGAACTGGAGGCACAAGCGGCTCCCACACCTCTCGCAGATGTTGAGGGTACTTGTATGTTACGTTGCGCTTCTTTTCCATAGCCCGGTTGGCTCAGTTGGTAGAGTTGCTGACTCTTATTTCCCGATAAGAATCATCAGCCGGTCGTGGGTTCGAGCCCCACATCGGGCTACAGTCGTCTCTTTCAGTTGGAAGTGACAACATCTTTTTTTTTTTGTGTCGAAACTCTGTTCTCCTGGTCCTGCAATCCCTTGCCCAAAGTCTATCCTCTTGGGACCGTGCTGTGGTTGGTCACTCATGATGCTGATGGCTGTTGCCCACGTGAGGCAACTGGTCTCTGCTGATAGACAACGTCTTCCATGGCGTCGGGGTGAGATTCGCCTTTGCAAACTGGCTTCAGGCTAGCTCTAGTGTATGGGCTGTATACTGCATAGGTCTATCCCTCTCTCCCAGAGTCACTTAATCTACCAACTGATATAGCCGGGCTGAAAGAGTGGTTTGTTGAAACAATATAAACCTTCACTGAAAGGTCCAGGACCCGAATGGGCCCTCCGCGGACCAATTTCTCCCCGAACTCCCTTCGGCGGATGATGTTGTCTGGCCTCATGCGCCGCTGTTGAACAGTGGTCTTGCGCATTGAAGGGCGGCTTCAGTGGGGTAGGTGCAAGGTGGGCGCCGATGTATCTCCATGCTTCTCTGAAGGTGGTCCTTGCACTACCGGACCCAGCCTGATCTGCTCCCGCTGCACCAACTTGTCAACAGCCAAAGCGGACCTCCTCCACTTTGCTCGAACCGCGTCTTGCGGCATTGACCCTACTATCCATCAGACTCCAGTACCGGCTGCTGGCTACTGGCTCCACCCTAGGCCACCTGTAGTAGTCGGCTGTCACATCGTCTATCTACGAGTACGGCCGTGCAGGTGCTTAGCAAGATGGACTTTGGCTCTATCTCTGGCAGGTCCACCAAGTCGAGCATGAAGCGAAAGGTACATCTCTCCTGCAGTGGGCACGGAACGAGCTGACGCTATAGCAATCTAGCGTGAGCCATTTGTATCTCGGCTGCAATCAGTGTACTGATGCTCAGTCTCTGCTGACCGCATTCCGCAAGTCCTCTCAACCCCCGCCCACCTCATACGTTCCCCCACCTAGCACCACCTCATCTCACTTTCCCGAACCCGAATCACCCTACTCCGAATCCGTATCGTCCCAATCCCACTCCCAAGCCTTCTACAATGACTTTGCTCCCGGCTCAGCTTCAGGCAGCGGTGGACGGTATGCCGAATCGACCAGCTCGTCGTCACGGACCGCTATCGGCTCTTCTGAGGGCGCAGGGACGTATCCGACGTTCGGAAGAGGAGGTGCTGGACGGGTCAAGAGTGGATCTGGAGCGCCATCTGTGATGAGCCCGCCTGGCCTGTCTGGAAGTACAGGAAGTCAAGGGGAGAAGCGGGAGAAGGACAAGGATAGGGATAAGACGGGCGGAGGAGCGATAGTGAGGCGGCCAGAGGACCTCGTCAAGGTCACGAGGGACAGACTCGTTAGCTGGAGCTATATGATGCTGTGGTATCAAGGGTAAGCCTGTACTCCTACGAGTGAGGTCTGTACTGACGGGTAGGGATACGCACTGGTTCAACACCGTGAAAATCCCTCGGACGACCACTGAAGCACATCTCGGACCGAAAGCGCTTGAGTCTCGAGCACGCAACTTCTTCATTTTAGGCATCAGCTTGGGTCTCGTCTTCGATATAGCCAACGGAAGTGACTTTCTCAAGGCAGTCAATCGGGTGCTTGATGAATGGGAGACTATGGGCGAAGGCGGCAGCAAGGTAGTGAGTATATGTTTGGATGGAAGGTATAGAGCTGACGTCGCAGAGAGGCCTGTTTAAAGGCCAGAAGGGAAGTCGCAAGTCCGGCAGTGGCGGAGAGTACATGGGTATGCAGGATGGCGACTCCGCGATCATGCAGATCAACCTCGTAAGCTGTTCATACTGCTGATGGACTGAGCTGATTCCCAGCCATTCACTCTCGACTTCTTCCAAATACACAGCACCACCTGCTCCCTCATCCGAGACATCTACCGCAAGATCCTCCGCCTCTTCCTCCCATCTCGCCAGGGCTGGTCACCACCGCCCGCCGATCCAAACGCGCTTACCCACCCATCTACCATCATTCACTCCGCTCCTTTCGACTCCTCGTCGAGTTCTGCGCCTCCCTTTTCCCGCTCCAACTCCGGCTCGGTCGACCACAGCCAGAACACCATGCGCTCCCCCTCGACCCGCTCAACATCATCGGCGAGCCATACACCTGGCAGCTTCAATCCTGGAGCTGGATACGGCAGTCCACTGCAGAACGAGCTCGAGGATATGAGCATGGGGATGGAACAGGCGTTCATGGCTGGTGCCGGTACTCCCGGAGGCAGTGCCGGAGGCGCTGGAGGGGAAGGCGGAAGCGACTCTTTCCAGGCGTTCATCTGTGGAGAGCTTGGGCCGGACCAGATGCTCGTAGGGGAGGGTCAAGCCTTGACCAAGGAGGTAGTAGAGCTCTTTGCCAAGGTGGATGGCAAGCTCAGGGTGAGTCCAGATGTGACCTTCAGTTACGCTTCGCAGCTGACACCAGCAGAAACACTTTTCCTCTCTCCTTCGCGAGACCGACATGCTAGCTCGTCGGGTCCTCGACGACGAGCTCAACGCCCTCATGGCGTCGCTCAATCCCGGCGCTCGGCCCATGTCTTTCGACTACAATGCTGCCCTGTCCAATACTGGCAATGGCTTCGCCCTCGGTCCATCTCGGCGCGGAAGCAGAAGTCGACCCAGCTCGGCCGGCACGGGGTATCAGCAAAGTATAGAGACTGGCTCGATACCTCCAGTGCCGCTTTTTAGCGGCTCTTCCACCTACGGCAGGGAGAGATCTGGCGGAGAGGGAGGATAGGGGTCGTTTTGTTTGCGTGCGGCAGGGGTACCGCCGGGCTCATACTTGACATGCGAAACCTATCCCATGCTGAGTTGAGCACTTTCTACATGACCAGATACCAGAGCTGCCGCTCTTTTACCTCTTATCTATGAGCCGTCTCGGGCCGATGGCGCTCAGGGTTTCGGGGCGTTCGCAGCTGGCCGATGGGAACATGCCGTCACCACCAAAATTCGATAATCCATCTCTCCCTTCGAAAAAGGTTAGGGGGAGCGATTCGAAAACAGCAAGAGAGAGGTAGCGAGCGCTTCCGAGGCTTTTCCAGGCAGCGAAGAGGTCACTGTTGGCATTATACATCTACCCAGCCCTGCCATCAACTGCTCGTGTGCCCAGTATGAGCGCCATGTCGAGTTCCAGCGGTCTTTTGCGTCGGTACGTCATTCCGTGCCTCTTTTCCGCCGCGCCCAGCCAGGAGAGATGGGACATCCCGCATCTCCCATCTCAACGAGCGCACCGTCCGTGTGTATAAGGAGACTATGCTGACTATCATCAGATCTAGTCTGAGATTACAGGCGGCACGTGTTCCGCGGTCGTCAACCTCCGCTTCCGCTCTCGGCGGGAGACGATATGTCCATGAGGAATTCATGGTGGACCCGCGGGACAAGAACTTGCTGCCTATTAAGACTAACCTTCGAGGTGAGCAGCTCTCTGTGGACGCAAGGGGACGAATAGGCAGAGCGCTGACCTTACTAGGCTCCGCTCTTCTCAACAACCCCCGCCTCAACAAGGGCGCCGGATTTACACGCGAAGAACGCCAGGTCTTCAATCTTGAGGGGTTCTTGCCGTACGATGTGCACAGTCTGGAGAAGCAGGCAAGACGAGCATGGAACCAGCTCCTCAAAGTGAGTAGAGCAATATCTGCGCAAGGCGACAGCTGACCCCATAGCAACCCTCCGTCATCCTCAAACACGCATTCCTCGCCTCCCTACGAGATCAAAATCAGGTGCTTTTCTACAAGCTCATGCAGGATCACCTGAAGGAGCTGCTAGGTGTCCTTTACACTCCCGGAGCTGCTGGTGAGTAGGCGTGCTCTCATCGGTGGCATGCTGGCTGACGTCTACAGAGGCGGTCGCGAACTATTCGAACCTTTTCCGTAGACCAATTGGGTGCTTCATCGTGAGTTGCGGCATGGACCTCTAGTGGGAGGGCGCTGATCCCCAGTCTTTCCCCAATCAGGACGGTATGAAGTCACAGCTCGAGGGGCATCTGATGGATGTCAACCGTACTGCCGACTACACCTACGACCAGGAGAAGATGAAGGATGCTATCGATCTTGTCGTCGTGACCGACTCGGAGGCCATTCTCGGTATTGGAGGTGAGCCAGCTGAGCCCTTAACATAGATTCAGCTAAGATCGTAGACCAAGGAGTAGGCGGTATCACCATCTCGACCTCCAAATCCGCCCTCTACACTCTCGGCGCTGGAATCAACCCCAACCGTATCCTCCCCGTCGTCCTCGACTGCGGAACCGACAACCACGCCCTCTTCTCGGACCCGCTGTACATGGGTTGGAAGCGCACACGGCTGAGGGGACGAAACTACGACCAGTTCGTCGACCGATTCATCAAGAGCTGTCGCGAGCTCTTCCCGAACGCGATCATCCACTTTGAGGACTTTGGAATGGCCAACGCCCACCGATTCATGGAGAAGTACAAGGACATCCCGATGTTCAACGACGATATTCAGGGAACGGGTGCTGTTGCTCTTGCTGCTCTCTTGGCGTGAGTCTTGTCCTTGTTACCGGGGTCCTGCTGACGTCTAGTGCTATCCGTCTGAGTGGGTCAAAGCTCTCAGACCAACGTATCGTCATCTACGGCGCCGGTTCCGCCGGTATGGGTATCGCCGACCAGATCAAGGATGGACTCATGATCTTGGACGGGCTGGACAAGAACGAGGCGGCTAGGCGGTTCTGGTGTGTTGACAGGAACGGTTTGTTGGTGGAGAGCATGGGGAATGCGCTGCGTCACGCCCAGATGGCGTACGCAAGGCCAGACGAGGAGGTCAAGGACTGGAAGAGGCAAAATGAGGATCAGAACGCTATCCGCCTGCTTGATGGTGAGTCATTTACCTGAGACAGAGGACATGACTGATTTGCAGTCATCCGCGAGGTCAAGCCCACTGTCCTTATCGGCACATCAACACACTCCAGGGCGTTCAACGAGGAGCTCATCAAGGAGATGGCTAAGCACGTCGACAGGCCTATCATCGTGAGTCAGCCTCAAAGGAGACTGAGCTAGGCTAATTTGCTAGTTCCCCATGTCCAACCCCACCGCTCTGTGTGAGGTGGACCCTCAGGACGCTATGGACTGGACAGAGGGTAAAGCCCTTGTCGCTACCGGATCCCCCTTCTACCCCGTCAACCTTGGAAATGGCAAGACTTGTGAGTCGCAATCCGCTTCTACTTGGCCGTACTGATCCCGTAGACCAAGTCGCCCAGACCAACAACGCCCTTATCTACCCCGCCCTCGGCCTCGGTGCCATCCTCGCCCGTGCCCGCACCATTTCCCCCAGTATGCTCATGGCCGGTGTCCACGCACTCTCCTCCCTTTCGCCTGCCCTGGACAACCCAGAAGCATCGCTCCTCCCGGATTTGGCGGACGTGCGGGACGTATCGGTTGTAGTGGCGGCGGCGGTGGTCCGGCAGGCAGTGGCGGACGGAAACGCACAGGATGACACGACGGTGGCCGTGGTGAAGGGAGAGAAGGGACAGAACCTGGAGGACTACATCAGGGTGAGTATCCCTTCAAGTGGATTCGGGCTGGGCTGACAACGCGTAGAGCAGGATGTGGGACGCGGTATACCGGCCCTTGGAGCTGGTTGACTAGGCTCTATGCCTGAACTCGGTGTAACGAGTACGCTTGATCTGTTGACATCACGATACTGAACATAGACTATCTACTAGACATGCAGACAGTGCAGATGATATTCCAAGCCCCTTCGCGAGGGAGGCCGAGCCGAAGTCGACCGAGAGGCTTGGACCGCGCCTCAATTGAACGCGCGGTTCACGCTCTATCCTAATCTTGATTTTTCGCGCTTTCCCCCACTTCCCCACTTTACCTCGAGGACTTGTGTATCGCCGGATCAGGCAATTTTGCTTGTCCTCCTCCTTTACTGATGGCTGATACTTTCCTTCTACTCCTCATCAGGCCTGCCGCCTTGCCCTCTGCAAGATCTAATCAGCTCATCAGATGCACACAGACTAGCAGGATAAGCTTCCAAAAAGGACGCGGGCCAGGCACGCCGCCGGATCGGACGGCAGCGATGGTCCGCCTCTTTCTAGACACTTATAGCTGGACCTTCCCTCGTTATTCCTCACTTACCCCTCTTCTTTCTCCCCAACCTTCTCACTGACCAGCCTGCTCCACCACAATATGCCAACCTCACTCAACTCACCCCCACCCTTCTTTACGACTCTAGGAACCAGCGCCGATGAGGCAATCGAGTGAGTCCTCGCGCTCGGCTGAGGGAAAGAAGGAAGGAAGAGCTGATGTTCTCAGTCTGACTTTCAGTGACTCTGAGAATGAAGAGCCGCCTGCGGACGCTAGGAAGCGGAAAGGAGAGGACCAGGCTACACAAGGAAGGAACAACCGGTACGTCCTCTCGTCCTCTCGTCCTCTCCTCTTCTCGTCCTCTCCTCTTCTCCTCTTCTCCTCTTCTCCTCTTCTCCTCTTCTCCTCTTCTCCTCTTCTCCTCTTCTCCTCTTCTCCTCTTCTCCTCTTCTCCTCTTCTCCTCTTCTCTTCTTCTCCTTCTCTTCCGCGCCCAGGCCCACGCTGATATTCAGACCTCGGCGCAGGCGACCGTCAACCCCTATTTCCCCTACGCCCTCACCGTCCCGCTCTCCCACTCTCTCACTCTCTTCCCCTCCGTCGCTCTCATCCACTCCCTCCTCCCCCCCCGGAGTCCTCAAGCGCTTCGGATCCCTTCCTCACCGATGTCACCCCGCCCCCGGGGTGGGAATCCGTCTTCGACAGCCCTCCCCCTTCGTCCTCATCCCTCCTTTCGACCGGCGCTGGCGAGCCATCTTCCTCCTCGTCCAGCTCCTCGTCGTCCGCCATGGCGCCAGTCAGCTCCCTGAAGCTCTACCCCAGCGAGAAGGAAATCATCGCCTGGCTCGAGGCGTACACGTACACGGCCTCGGACGGTCACATCCAAGTCCGGCATTCTGGCGTGAATGAGCGTCGCGCTCGGAGCTGCAACATCCTCGACACCAAAGCCATGTGCCATCAGGTCTTCCTCTTCGAGGTCCGCAAGTTCCTCCGACTCACGCGCATCGCTCCCCGGATCTCCTGGCCTTACCCCAAGGTCAAGCTGCCCATGTCGCAATCGCAGGCCTCCGCCGTCCGAGCCATCGTTGAAAGCGGCGAGCGTCTGACGGAGTACAAGGGCAGGAACGCGTGTGGTCGTTGCAGGATGAGGGAGGCGCGGGGAGCGCTAGGTGAGAACCTGGACAATTGTCATCTTGAGGCGAGATGTCTGGCGGATCCGGAGGGGGACACGACCGCTTGTTTCTGCTGTATTGCGGAGGACAGAATTTGCGATGGCGGGTGGAGGAAGGTGGTTGATTGATGGTTTTTGGGATAGTCTGCTCTGCTTGTAGGTATCGCTCCATGTTGTGTATCTTTAGGTCATATCTCTGTAAGCTCTGGTAGCTTCTTCTCATCATATGCACTTCTCGGAACGGATCAGGGGCAGGTCCAAGGTTGAATCAGATACAGCGTACCTAATATCATCGGCTAGAATGGTATGGGTCCGTACGCCTCGCAGCTTCTCCCACACTCCACAAACTGCCTGTTGCACTCCCGCGTGTTCCCCTCCTCATAGCACTGGTTGCATCGCAGGCCTTTCCGGCAGAATGCTGAGGGGTCAGCTGAGATCCCTTTTGACGTTGGGTCGAGATCTTGATGTGTCCAGATGGAGATGGGAAGGGACTCGCGCTTCTTGCCTAGACGCCCTACAGGATGACGCCAGTCCCCGTCTAGCACGCAGGTGACCTCGAGCTCGGGGCAGATGTCCAGCGTGTCGACGTGAGAGAGAGCCGGACGATCGGAGAGTGGAAGCTGGTCTCGCGGTAGGATGGCAGCCCGGGCGAAGATGGCGAAGAGCATGGTGAGGAGGAAGCTGAGCTGCATTGCGAAGTGTCTAGCGTTGAGCGTAGGGCCTATGTGGCGAGATGGTACTGCAGGATGAGAGGCGAATGGAGGTCGAGTTGGAACTGCAGCCGATTCGCGCGCGATCTCGCACGATCTCTCTTCTCGTCCACGTGCTGACCGGGACCGGTCGACCCCCGTGATCAAAGGAAGCTTAGCGGCCAGGTTGATCTCGAAAGGCATCGGAAAGACAGCTCCATTGGCAGATACATACTCGGAGATCATCTAGCAAGACACGATACACCCCCAAGCTAGTACCTCCGCCTCCCGCTCCCTACCGGTCTCCAATCAATAGCCTTTCCCCCTGCCCTCTGCGCCGCCCGCAACGGTCTGACAAGCCCGCCGAGCTGCTTCGCCCTCGACGTGTCTGGGTCCGCATCCGGAACGTAGAAGTAGTGGGGGAGGAGGGGGTGACCTGAGGAGTCCTGATATCAGCCAAGTCCAGCCCATGATTCACCTTGCCCGAGCGTTGGACCTTTCCAAACATCTGGTTCCCCTCCAGCTCGGCTGATGCCCAGACCGACCATTGAGCTTCGGTGCCGTGTTCTTTTAGGCTAGGTTGTGCCTGATATCAGCAGGGCCTTGCTAAGACTCACCTCTAGCATGTGCTTGACGAGATCAGGGAGGGAGAGCTTGCTGGATCCGGAGAAGACGACCGTAGACGCGAGAAGGGCGGGTAGGTCTACTGGTGGTGGTGGGACTTCCGGGTCGGCCGCGGGTGAGTGGGGAATAGACTCGACCGCCGCGACGGGTACAGATGGTGCTGGCGATAGTGTTGACCGGGAGGGCGCGATAGAGACCAAGCGGACCTTGCACCCATAAAAGTCGACTTCGACCTCGCGGTCAAACACGCGACATTCGCCCTTCTTCATCCGGACTTTCCGCCCCGCCTGCTTGACGCGTACGCCATTCTGTCCAACGACCGCGATGCGGATGCCGTTTTCCGTTACCTCGACAGCGCAGTGTATTCTGGACGCGTGCGAGGCAGACCGAGGGAGATGGACCGATTCGACGCGTCGAGATGGGTCGATGAGGAGGTCGTGGATGGAAGGGGGAAGGGAGGAGGTAGGATGTGATTTGTGACGGCCGAGGACGGTGATCTTGTCAGATTGGAGGTAGACCTCGCGTATGGGCTCGCGACGGATGGGGGAAGAGCGGATAGGGGACGAGCTGGCGGCCACCGTCGAGGTTGAGGGGGTCATGAGCCGGTAGCGCGGTAGAGGGGGGATTTTAAAGTCGGTATTCGACTTGATTTCAAGCTTGGAAGGGGATGATGTAGGTGAGGGTAGGTAGCGAGTAGGCATGAGAGGCCTGGGTTGGTATGTCATTGCGAGGATGTTGGATAGATGCAAGATGAGATGGGTGGGAAGAGAATAGATCTGGCCTGAGCGCGTCGTTTTGGCTGCACGTGACTTGTAAACAAACCAACGCGTAAACAAAACGCCGCAATCACCGTGCCTGAATTTCATCTTCTTGACTTTGGCACTGGAACGCCCAAATCATCCATGTACCGTCCCCACCTCACAAAGTGAAGATACTGAGCCAGTCCAGCTTCTCTTCGCTCAAGACGTACTGGTCTTTGGGCGGGCAAGCCGGTCGCTCACGGATGTGCAGCGAGATGGACAGTAGGGAACAGCTTTGCCAGGGCCGATACTCACCTCAATCAACGGATCCTGGAGTAGGCTCGCGCGGATCACCGTCTCGGTAAGCCAGGACGACTCCTTTAGCCCGTTCTCGACGAGCGGGAAGAGCAGAGCTATAGTGAACCACCCATACTTGACCCACAGATCTCTGACCAAAGCTCACTGCGCTGACTCGCTGACGTCTCCACCCAACACGGCACAGGGGTACATGGCCGGAATGACCGACGACCTCGTTTCGCAGTCTCAAGGCTCATGGCCAACTGGTTGACCAAGCCCTGCATGAGCTCGACAATTGTCTCAACGCCAGAACGAGTCCTCCGCGGAACTCCGCGGGAATCTCACATGCCGTCATGCCGTTCGCTGCCGTGCCAAGCCATCCAAGGTATTCGGCCATAAGCTAAGGCGTTGGCGGACTTCGGCTTGGTCCTGAGCCCGACGATCTCCAGCTGCATCGCATGAGTCATGAACCTCATCGAGCGCTATGGGCCAAGCTTTGGCGATGGTGCGAAAGCCTAGGCGGGGCAGAGGCGGTGCGCTTCTCGATAAGATAAAGGGTGGTCGGATTGTGGTCATCTATCTTCCCCTCGTACTCCAATCCCCAGCCCAACAAGCTTAATCACTACTTTACACTACTCGCTATGGCCATCTTCCGCCCCTCCACCTGGGGAAACAACAATAGTGAGGACGGTCTGGACTCGCGCACGATCGGCATCATTGTAGCCGTCGTAAGCGTGTCGATACTGTCCGCTATGGTGCTGTGCGTCTGTGTGCGGCGACGAAGAAGGGTCAAATCGTGCGTACTGCCATCCTCGCTATCCGATATGAAGCTGATCAATCAGATCCAATAACACACACGCGCCCAGTCTTCCCACACATATGTCCCAGTTACCTCCTCCCCCTCCTGCCTACATCCGGCCTTCAGCATCGGCCGATCTACCCCCATACCGGCCTCGGCAAGATCGCATTGAGCAATCTGGGCCCCATGCTGCATGGGCAATCCCCTCATTCGCTCCTGTGCAGCCTCGCCTTCAGCGCTCCACGTCGCCGCCCTCCTCTTCAGCCCTCCCTTCTGCCGCTACTGGCGCCGCATCCTCATCCATCAGTCCCCCTGCACCTCGGCGCTCAATCTTCCGTCGGCCCGTCCCACCCCTCTATACGTCTGAGGACCTCGCGACCAGCTCCACCACGGGCGAGGCGGGGGCAGTACCCCAGGTCACACCGTATGAGCATAGGCGAGGCCAGAACCCCTTCGGCGAGAGAGGTGTCGACGGGCGTCATCCTGGCGTAGAGGGATCAGTCAGGGGTGCAGAGGGGGGCACCGTACAGAGGTCGGTATCAACGGCAAAGGCTGTACGCGTTGCTGATGAGGTACCTGAGGATGCGCCGCCGGGGTACGCGGAGGCGTCGAGGAGATGAAGAAATATTGTGTCACTCATGTTGTACAATGCGATGTAGCATCACCAGTTGTTCTCCTTGACTACCTTTGCTGCTTCCAGAATGTACCTTCCTATGTCGTTAGCCCGACGTTGCACTCCATTATCTCTTCGGCTCAATTTGAGACTGCTCACCCTCTTTGTACCGCTGATCTCCCGTCGGCGCTCGGATATACATCCACCCCAGGCTCGTATCGCAGCTCGCGCAAAGAAGGTCCGCTACAGTGTGCATCCCGGTACTACAGCTTCAGTGCCATCCCTTTCTGCTCCTAAGACGGTCTGATCACTCACATCAACTTGCGCTCTTCCCGCTTGCCAAGGTTCGTGTTGATAGTCGTATTGAAGAGACTGTGATGTCAGCAGGTCGGGGCTGTGGACTAAGCGGAAATGGCCTGCTTACTATGCCCGACCAGACCTCCCATTGAAAGCCTTCGAGACCAGCTCATCCTGCAGCGCCTCGGAATGAGCTGATGTAACTGGCAATAGTGACCGACGGGCTTCACTCACTACAGTGTCAGAGCACTTCTCGCAGGAGAAGACAGGCTTATCGTCCGGGACATAGTGCAGGTTGAGAACCCCTGTTGTTCGTGCCGTATCCTTGAGCACCAAGCTTGGCGAAGCAGACTGCGAGGTAGAGGAGGAGCCAGCTGAGGACATTCTGGCTGCCAGATCATCTCACATCTGGAAGAGATGCAGTCAAAGAATTCCCATCTTGCGCCAAAGAAGGCAAGGTCAGCTGGCCAGCTGCATCCATCGTCGGAGCCGAATAGCCGAACCATGCCCGATGACCGAGGCATGCTGTAGAGTCAAGCTTCAAGGACCATGCATCTTGTGCGTGGCTCTCGCGTACATGGACTGGCGCAATCGTCGAGCTCGTATACACAGATACGTTCACTCCGCACCAGCTATCTGCAGCCCTGTCTGAACGTCTCCCCAGTCCTCAAACCTGCCACCCTCCCTCTCGAGATACTCTTTATCATCCTTGGCCTCTCTGGCGATGTCAAACGAGTAAGCCGTCCTTGATAGCCATGGTAGCAGGAACGTCTGCAGTGTCGGCTTCATCGCACCCTCATAGTCCGCTTCGAACTGCTCATCAGCTCTGACTTCACTCGGACCTACCTCAGCGGCAACCTCTCTCCACCGATCCGGCCTGTCCGTGATACAGCTCGCGATGCCCCAGCGCGCGCACTCCCTCATGCCCTCCTTGGTATTCACCGTCCACGCACAGACACTCCTCCCTTCTGCCTTACACTCAGCGATGAAGAGCTGCCCTTCTCGAGTGGCGAGCCCCTCGTAGTACATCGAGAACCCGTGGACCGAGTTCCAAAAGTATCGCTTGGCGTCGGCCAACGTCATGGAGATGGCGTATCGCGGGAGGTATGGCAAGTGGCGAGCGGCGGGGAGCAGGAACTTCGGCTGCTCGTCAGCTTGAGGAAGGCTGCTACTTACATGCCAGAGACCGAGGATGATCCGAGGTGCGAGCCGCTTCTCCCAATCATCGAAAGTCGTGAGGACCCCTTGGATGAGCACAAAGAGCCGCTCCGGGTCAATCCCAACTTTGCAGTCGAGCTGATATCAGCCTGATTCATCGTCCAGGCACTTACGTTCAGCTTGACAGCCTCGTTGCCCGGGTACAGCATCACCTCAAGCACGTCTGACAAGAATGGAAGAGGCTGTACCGGCGCCTGCTTGGTCCGTACATGCCTGAGATTAGCAGTAACCACGGCTCCACTCACTCCAGATGACCACGCCACGCCTGCAACTCGATCTTGCCTTTTCCATCAGTCTTGGTGTCGAGCTCAGGATCATGAAAGCAGAGCACGACATTGTCGGTCGTGATGTGCAGGTCTACGTCAGCGGAGCTCTTTGCAGGTGCTCACCAGTCTCGATGCCATCCACGCCCAGCTCACACGCCTCAATAAAGCTCGCTTTGGTATTCTCCGCTGGACGTCAGTCTGACTCATCATGGTCGGACTCACGATACTTGTTGCTGTTCCCGCGGTGCGCCCAGCACTCGGGCAGTCTCGGCCTCCCGCCGCTCAGCGCCGCTGCGCCGAGGACGAAACTGGGCAGCTCTTCCTCCGGGGTCTGGACCTGCTGGAGCGCAGGTGAGGACCTTTGACTGGCACTGAGCTCAGGGGTGGATGTAGCGGATCGGGCGAGCTGTTTGATGCGTATCGAAGACATATTGACTGTCGGATGTAGAAGAGCGGGGGGCGAGAACGTATATACCTCCCCCCTAGCTGCTGGCAAGGCACCAGGTTGACGGACTTTCGCCGTATCATCAGGGGTCAGACATCAATGGAAGGTCAGCTCTGCTCGCTCGATCAGTGTGCCACAAAGGAGACCCTCTCCGCGGGGCATTCCCCTTGCAAGAGGCGGTGGAAAGGGGTGGGGCGAAAGGAGGATAGGGAGAGGGGAGAAGCGCATATGAGAGTGTCAGCATCGTCATGGTGGCTAGCTCGGATCAGCCGTCCTAGTACATCTGGGATTCATCTTAGCCAATGTCCGTGTACTATTGTCATTATCATTACTCGTCACATCCTCCCCTCACACTCCCTCAGCTCCGTTATTCGGCTCGCGCAATCTGCAGTCCCACCTTGAAGCCCTCCCACCCTTCGAATTTCCCTCCCTCCTTCTCGAGATACTGGCGCTCCTCCTTGGTCTGCTTGGCTATATCGAACCACCACGCCTTCTTGTTGACGAACGGGAGAAGGTAGGTCTGGAGGGTGGGCTTGACGGCGCGGTAGTAGTCGTTTTGGAACTGCTCGTCAGCTTCATCCACGACTCTGTAGAAGAGGTAGCTTACCTCGGCCTTCACTTCGCGCCACATATCCGGCTTGTCCGTGATACAGCTCCCCAGGCCCCATCGGACGCACTCCCTCATCCCTTCTCTCGTGTTCACCGTCCACGCGCAGACGCCCTTCCCGTGACTTCTGCATTCCGCCAAGAACTTCTGCCCATCTGGAGTGGCGAGTGCCTCGTAGTAGACCGAGAAGCCGTGCACCGAGTCCCAGAAGAACCGCCTGGCGTCGGCGGGCGACATGGAGATGGCGTAGCGAGGGAGGTAGGGGAGGTGGTGCGCAGCGGGACCGAGGAATTTAGGCTGCTCATCAGCGACAGCTCCCTTAGAAGTGACGTAGACTTACGTGCCAGAGGCCAAGGATGATTCTCGGCGCAAGAAGCTGCTCCCACTTGTCATACCGGGCGATGACGCTCCGAACCAGACCAAACAGCTTCTCCGCGTCGTTGTCGACCTTGCAGTCGAGCTGACATTAGAGGGGTCGTGCGTAGGCTTACGTTCAGCTTGACGCGCTCGTTGCCAAGGTACAGCATGATGTCGAGGACCTCGGTGAAGAGAGGGATGGGCTGGACCGGTGCTTGCTTGGTACGGACATGCCTACGGTCAGCCTAGTCGAGCGGTGAACGTACTCCAACATGCCGTGCCATGGCTGCTCCCGGATACGGCCCTTCCCGTCGGTCGTGCGGTCCAGCTTGGGGTCGTGGAAGAGGACGAGGACGTTATCGGATGTGATGTGGATGTCTGGGATCAGCTATGTACTACGTCGTGGCTCACCTGTCTCAATACCGTCCGCGCCCTGCTTGCACGCCTCGATGAAGCTGGCCTTGGTGTTCTCCGCTGATACGTGAGCTACTGTGCTTGATACGGGAGGTGGCTGGCTTACGATATGAAGCGCTAGCACCTCGATGACCCCAGCATTCCGGCAGACGCGACTGCGCCTTATCTTCCAGAGCAGAGACGCCCAGGTCGAACGCTGGAAGCTCCTCATCGGGCGTGCGGAGACGCTGAAGGGCAGGCGAAGGACCGGAGCTGGCAAGGAGCTCAGGCGTGGGTAGGGTGGACGCTGTGCCCTTGATCATTGACGGCGACATGGTGGACGAGGCTGGTTCGAGCTGATAGCCGTGTTGATGAAGGTCGGGCGAGATGCCCTATGTCGATCGTGAACGATGGTGGGGCGATACTGCGAAGGATAGACGCTCTGGATATATACTTGATCTGTTGTTGTTGCCTACAGGATGAGCTGAAGCTTATCGCGGCGATCTGAAGGATAGTACTGCACGAACGTGCGCGAGCCTCCCCGTGCTTTCGACTCACGTTTGTGGAGTTGTCGAGTGGGTGGCAAGGCGATTATATAACTGCGCAAGGGTGTGGATGGTCTCTTCTATATCTAGATGTCTATTGAGCCTAGGCAGGATCGAAATGAACTGGGCGAGACCGGGATTACCGGGCGGAGCAAGCGTAAATAGGGAGGGACAGCGGACGGAACTGCGGCGAGTGGGGTGGCAAGGCGCGTGATTTGAGTACGTGTGTTAGAAGTCGCGTCTGTCCCGGCCGGAGAACCAGGTCAAGAGGGAATCCAAGAAGGAGTCAGTGGGCTGTGGGCCTTGTCTACCATCGCTGCGGGGGCTTGTATAGGGATACGTGTATGAGAGGTGGAGTGAAAAGCTGATAGCCCATTCACGTGGGAACGTGTAAGCGGGGTCTCCAATTGACTCCCCCACTCCGCCCACTTCAACGCCACCACCAGGGCGGCGGGCAAGTGCGCCCTTCAGCTGGGGCTCTGATCATACTGAGTCACACTGGGAAGTACCCGATGATCACAGACCCTCAGGAGAGCCCGCGGTAGGAGCACGGCCAAAACTTGGCCACTCACTCCAGTTCTAATGACCAAGCGCAGATCGTGCCGACGTGACGTCTGCTAATCGCGCGAGAGCGGCGAACCTCAGGCTCAAGCCATCGCCTAGATGAGCCTATTGTATCGCTCCCCATCACCTCTAAGGAGTGTCCATGGTGTCTAGAACATTCGATAAGACCTTCATACCACCTGTGAACTGCCACGCTCCTATTCAGTCCGAGCTTATCGATGTTCTGCACATGTCTCCTCGGGTCATATCGGGACCGCGCACAAAGGATCAGGCAGTGCCAGCGGACTCTTAGCCCGGGCACTTCAAAGTCGCCACCCCATTTCAACTCCCTCACTACAATCAGAATCCCATACTCGGCTGTACTTGCTATCATGACCGATTCTGATAATGACTCTGACTGTCAAGGCGCCGTGGCACAATCCTCTTCTGACGACTGCAGCGCCGCCATGAATCTGCCTGACACCTTCTCTGCCGGAGTCGCCGCCAGTGTCGACATTGTCCGAAGACTGCATCAAGCTGCCCTGGAGCACGACCGAGCGACGCAGCCCAACAGGAGGAACCCGAGGACCAGGGAAGAGAAATTTGCCCTCTACCAGGCAAGCTCGGAGTACGGTCGGACCCAGTTCCTGCTGGATGCGTCTGAGCTGTGGCTGTTGGACGAAGCTGCCAGTCGAATCATGCCGTAGCGCCTTGAGGAGTGTACCGAGGGGCACAAAGCATTCCTCAAAGCATACGGACAGGGCATCGAGAGCATGATTCCGCATGCGTCGGACTATGTCTACAAGCACTACCCACAGTCCCACATCGCCAACTCCACCGATCCGGAGGAGCAGCTCAAGGCTATCGTCCCCACGCATGAGTCCCTCTTCCTGACGCTGCTGACTGCCTCCCATCCCAGCAATTTCCATCCGTACGAGGACAAGATCGGCTGGGTAGTTGCCTCGCTTCCGCTCTTCGCATCCCACGCGGCGTCGGAGGTGTTCTGGAGCGAGAGCTTCGGCGAGGACCGCAAGACCCTGATGTCCAAGCTGGGCATCAAAGCCAGCACCAGGGACGAGCTCGTGTCACTGAGAGACAGCAATGCTGTCCTGGAGACAATGCCGCGTGGTTCCATGCAGGTATACCAGGAGCGAAAGGGTCTATCACCTATGGGATACGGTCAGGGGTTCAAGCTCAACCTCTAATCTCTGTGTTATCCGGTGAATGAGATAAGGTCTGATTAGGAGGGGACAGGTCGAGTTGAGGAGCAGCAGTCTCATTGTCCATACTATGCAGTCGCTTTAAATACCATGAGGTAGTGGTGTCATCTGGTGACTCCGAGATGGGGCGCATTATGGGTCAACGACACTGACTTCAGCTGAGCATGGTCATCTCCGCGGCATGTATGACCCGTCGGTAGGCGAATCTGCCACTGCGCACCGCCAGGCGATGATGATGGTCGTGATCTTGCTCACTTTCCTGCTCGCTATCGCGTGCACGTAGAGAGTTAGCCTTCATCAGTAGTTGTATGTGAGTTATGGGTGGAGATCCCGCGGGAAGGCGCACAAGACGGTCGGCGGCTACCTCCACCTACTAGCACAGCCTTGCACACATTAGCAACGGCTTGAATACTGTACATGAGCTACAACTGAGAGATACAACCGTCCTCAAGCCACACTGGCAGATACAGCCGGTGGAGGCATGGCCGCCTTATCCTTCTCCGCCTTCTTGACCACCTCGACTCCTGCCTTGGCCTCCTTGGACGCTGCATCCGCCTTGGCCTTCTTCTTCTTTTTGAGTATCATTGCTGTACATCAGCATAAGCCGGAAAAATCATGTCAGAGGGAGACCTACCGGCGGAGACAGCCGACCTGACACCCTCATTGATCTCCCTACTCTCCTCGAGAAACTTGGAATCCTCAAATCGGTGCTTCTTCCTCGCCAGCTCTTCGACGTCCACCTCGGCAATACGCTTGGACCCAGCGACGGATGACTCGGGGTCGTGCGAAATACCAAGGCTGCGCTCGAGGCCTTCCAGCTTGGCCTTTTGCTCCGCTACGGCCTGGGCGCGAAGGGAGTCGGCAGAGTCGAGTAGGTCTGCTTGGCTATACTGTCAGCTCTATATTCACACGGCCATCCCACATGACATGACATAGCTTACCGTTGCGCCTCTTTCAGAGTGCTCAGCCTCCTTCCAGAAAGATCCCTGCATGCGTCCGTGTTGTTTGCTTTCCCCATCGACATCCGCCCTCCCGCCGCCCGCAAGTTCGTCCCGAATCCTCCCTTTCCGCCTCGGATCCTGGCGCAGACATCGACAGAGACGAAGGGCGCTGAAGCGTCTCCGATATCGCTGACGAGGGATGAGGTGGCGAGGATGCCGGAAGGGGTACGAAGGTAGACATCCTGCGCCGCCAGAGACGCAGGGAGGAGAGCGGAAAGCGGGGTGGAAGGCTCCACGTGTAGCTGCAGCGGCAGGAGCGGGGACGGAAGGCGCAGGAAGACTGTTTGTGCGATCATCGTGTTGCTTGGGTGCATGTACAAAGCGAGAAACAAAGAGAGTTGGCGGTGGCGAGGCCGGGTCGGCACTTTTGGACGGCCGGACGGATCACGCTCAAATGGCTTATAATTACGTACAGGCATTCCACGTGGCCGGTCTCTCTTGCTGGAACCCCTCTTTCTGCTTGCGGCCAGCAAAGGTGCTATCTCCATCTTCATCTATCTGTCGCAGCCATAGATCCACATAGCTCACCGCTCCAAGGTCATCAGAAGAGCTACTAGCAACGCAGTCCGCAAATATCCAATATGGAGGTCAACAAAGAGGAGGCCCTGCGATGCCTGCACATCGCTCAGCGGCATCGTAACTCGTCCAATCTCCCCTCGGCCATAAAGTTCGCTCGGAAATCAGTCTCCCTCTTCTCGACACCAGAAGGCGAGGCGATGGTCTCCATCCTCCAACGAGAAATAGCCGTCTCGGAACAGGCGGAAGCTTCAGGTAGTGGCGCGGCAACGCCTGATGCCTCAGCGGGGTCGAGCTCATCGACCAAAGCCAGCGGGGTGGAGGAACATCTATCCTCCGCAAAGCAGCGGCCGGGGCATAGTAAGCCTGCAGAGCCGGCTGGAGGGTCTGCAGGTACCAGTGCAGCAGCTGCTGCTGCCGCCGCGGAGAAGAGCAAGAAGCGGGAATATACGCCAAAGCAGATGGAGGTGGTCAAGCGGGTCAAGGGGTGCAAGCACCACGAATACTACGAGATACTGTCCAGTGAGCTCTCCAGAGTCGTGTGTACTATTGTAGCTGATTGGATAGTTGAGAGGACGTGCGAAGAGAGCGATGTGAAGAGGTCGTACAAAAAGCTGGCTCTAGCTTTACATCCAGATAAGAACGGAGCGCCCGGCGCCGATGAGGCTTTCAAGAGTAGGTCAATCCCGACGAGAGAGATCCGAGTCTATATGGCCCTGTCTGACTCTCCAGTGGTATCGAAAGCATTCCAAGTCTTATCAGACCCAAATCTCCGGGCAGCTTTCGACTCAAATCCCCATTCCGACCCAACATCAAGAGGTGGAGGTGGAGGTGGCGGAGGTGGAGGAGGCATGTACCGAGGTGGTGGAGGCATGCCGCCCGGATTCGGAGGAGGGAACGGGATGTACACTGAGATCAATCCGGAAGATCTGTTCAATGCGTTCTTCGGTGGCGGAATGGGCGGCGGGTTTGGGAGACAGCAGAACGGTAAGCGATCTCCTGTACTGCTGAGCACAGTAAGCTGACTTTCAGTCTTCACATTCGGAGGAAATGGCTTTGGTCAACCACGGCGACGTCAACCTGCCAGACCAGCCGGCGCCAATGGTCAAGCACAAGAAGCCTCGTCCCTTGTCGCCCTACTCCCCATCATCATCCTCTGCGCATTCGCACTCCTTTCCCAACTACCTTCCCTCTTTAACCTCAGCACGCCGGACCCGTCCTACTCGTTCGAGATGACACCGCAGTACTCTCACTCACGGTCGACGTGGAATTGGAATGTTCCGTACTACGTGAACGAGGCGGAATGGGGAGCGAGCGAGGTCTGGAAGTCGGTTCCAGAAGCGAGGAGGGGAGAGCAGAAGGCGGCCATGTTCTCCAGTAGGGTGAGAGGGTTCGAGCGGCAGGTCGAGAGTGTGTACGCAGGGAGATTGCGGAACGAGGTAAGTAAATCGCGGCAGCTGAGATAGGGTAGGGCTGATACGGCAGTGTGAGCGGTTCCTTGATCTCAAGGAACGGCGCGTCTCGCAAGAGTCTGGCTTCTTCGGGATAGGCGCAGACTTTGAGAAGATCAGGAAGATCCGCATGGAGTCGAATCCGGCGTGCGACCAGCTGCGGAAATGGGGGATCGGGACGTCCCAGCAGCAGCGACAACCCGCGGGTTTCTTTTGAGGCCGGAGAGTGAGGTGGTGTGGCATATCGTGTCGAAGAAAGGGGCACTGGGCCTCTTCGGACCTCTGAGACTGTCGCTTGTATGCATCTATGGGTCGACCGAGTCCTCACATTGCTGACATACTACTAATGAGCGCGCGCACTGTGGCCCTGCACGCACATCTCATCGATAATCCCATTTGTCTACTAATCGATCTTCATCCCCCTTCGAGTAGTCACCGATAGGATTCTAGGAGTTTCCATGGGCTGGCGATCATGGACCACAGCCTCATGCTAGACAATGAAAGGAGGCTATCCTTTCTATCCTTTCTACGTTCTCGCAACTCACCTCCGCCGCTTGTGCGACGATGCGATTCTCATATCAGCTGTATATCTTTCACCTTTCCCACAGCCCTATTCCTACATTTACGGTCGGTACTAGCTCTCCATTCCGACATCTTATCGACATGAGCTCCCGGCCTTATACCGGCAGATTGTGCCCTAATCTTGAGGATGTCACGCACCGCTTGAACGAGCCGGGCGCCGGATCCGTAGACAGTGGCTACGGCTCCCTCGGCTCAGTGGTGGCCCCAGAAACCATCGAAGAGACCGACCTTAAACTCAAGAGGGCCGTCCCCAAACTCAGTCTGATCGACGGCGCGCTCAAGGTGATCGAGGACAAGTACTATTGGATTGATCCAACGCAACTCCCCAGCCACACAGCCAACGAAAAGGTCTGGAAGGCGTGGGCCTTGACTCAGCCTTGTGCGCCTGGCCCCAATCCCTCTGATCCTGATGCCCCCATCGGCCAGGGGGATCTGGACCGGATTGACCTTCTCTGTGAATCAGCTCTGAACGCACTCGAAAAGGTCCGAGATCCCCAGTCTTTCTTCTGCGACTCCTTGGTCCACTCTGATGAGATGGGTCGGGACGAGGCGATCACCCTGATCAAGCAGGCTATGATGGACACCCTGGACCGGCTGGGAATCAGCCATGAAAGCTTGGAGGGTGCGAGTAAAGCGGGAAGATACGGGACGGGGCTGTGGCACATCAATCAGACGAGAGCGGTCGGGGGCCAGTGGCTCAGATACGACGATCCATCGGCCGCAATCGACAGCGTGAAGCTGTCCTTGAAGGCCCTGCAAGCTCTCAGCCGAGACAGAGAGCCGAAATACGCCATGGACGCGACGTGGAGTGGGGAATTGGGCGGTAGTCGATGGACCCTCTTGGAACGGATCTTGGAAGCGAGAGCCATCGTGCATGATATCGAGCGGGGCGGAATGGAGGGCGATGTGGCTGGAGGGCGTAGCACCGGCGGTCCGGCGCTCGAGCGAAGCATGACCTCCTCAAACCGCGAAGAGGACAAAGATATCCTCGCAGGAGTCGGTGGCGGAAGTGAGCTCGGGCCAATGGTGGGTACCGCAGATCACTTGTACAATGACTTCATGGGGTTTGAGCCCCCGCCGACGTCTTGATCGAGGATGAGTAAGTCAAAGCACAGCTGCGGTGTGTGCGGAGTTTCGCCCGTTGTGATCAATGTAAAGTAGTACATGCGTGATTGTGAGCGGAGTCAGCACGACCTACGCTCACCGTTTGACAGACCTGTCGACGCCGGATGATGGTACACACGGCGGGTCAGTCAGTCCACCGCGTCGTCTGGGCCCAACCGAGGCTCGAGGAAGGACTAGGCGGTCCAGGCACTTCCCACTCCGACATCAGTCGTTCCGTCCCAGCTCGGTTCCACCAGTGCTCTGCCTGAGCCGAGTACCCAGCCAGGCACTTCGGAGCCAGAGGCTGTCCCCTACTTGTAGCACCTGTGAAGGCGAAGAGGCGAGCGTGCAAAACGCGCCCCTCGTACCTGGCACGAAAGGGGACGCGCCGAAACGCGACTGATTTCCGCTTGTCTTTTGCCATCCATCACCGTCGCACGGCACCCCGCCGGCATAGCTGCGCGTACTTTTCGTGCTGCATCAGTCGACTTCATAGCTGGCATGATGCCTGAGCATAGCATGGCCAGAGATCTACATGATGCATTTCGTGATATTTAGCTAACCTACTGCGACCAGCGCGTGATACCAGAACAAGTCTACAAAGGTATTGAGCCGAAAAACGAAGAGTGTCCGCGGTTGAACGGTGTTGTGAAAGATCAGAAGACTACTGAGTGAGGTGATTGGCAGGGGGTTGTGTGGAAAGTATTACGAAGAATGTCCGAGTGATGAAAGCGACAAGGAGGTAGGGTGAGAGGGGATTTAGCCACGGCAGCAGACAGCGTCCATCTCCTCGGTGACTGATTCGTCAGCTGCGATACCCTACGATCCAACTAGAGATGGACGTACCGATGTTGGCCCAAAGCGCACATCCTCCGACAAGATCCACACCATCCTCGCTGACGCTCTCGCTGAAGGTCCAGCTGCTCGTCCTGGTACCCTTGAGGTAGCACTTGCCCTTGGCGCTGTCGAAGAAGACGCCCGAGCAGGCCGCGCCGTACTTGTTGCAGGCTTGGATGCAGGCGGATTCAGGCTTGACGGGGAGGGCACCAGAGAGCTGAGGGTCAGCCAAAAGTTGACCAAGTAGACGGAAGTACTCACCTCGTCGCCTACAAGCTTCCATCCGGGGTAGTGAGCGTAACCGGTACGCGCCGATGCCATCTTGCACTTGGGATAAGTGGAGCGCGCGTCAAGCTGCTCATCCTCCACTCCGCGCTTGACGGTCTTCTTGAGGTAAGAACGGATCCCGATCTCGTGTCGGTTGGTCTGGCGCTTGGCGAGGAGAGCAGAGAGGGCGGCGTCGCGGGGCTGGCGGGCGTTGGTTGCGCGCGCGATGGTCTCTCCGGCGAGAAGCACGAGGAAGAACGAGAGGAAGTGGAGTGTGAAGCGCATATTGAGCGGTGTTGGCTGGGTGTTGCGGTTTGTGGAGGTGCAGTGGGCAGTGAAGGGGGTCGATGCTAGTCTATAGCGAAGGAGTGTGCTGGCCAGCCAGAATATTATACGCTCAGCGTGTGGTACTAAAAGTGACGATGATGTATTGAAGTGAGAAGGAAGGAGTTGCCGATGTCGAGAGATAAGTGATCCAGCACTTGAGAAGAAAAACACCGGGCACAGTTCCCTGTCAGCCTGCGGCGGTGGATTCAGAGCGCGCTTGCCTTCGCGTCTCGCGAGCAACATGCAAGGTTTTGCGTCACCTGCTGTCACAGTGACCGGGTGACCGGTTCAGGAACGGCCAAGGATCGGACATGTTTTATGCCGTAAGTGCTTCCGGACGCTAATGTCCGGCGCGTCAGAGTGACGCTCTCTGACTGCCTTGCGTCCTGCACGGTGGACAGCAAGCGCTGCCGCCGATGTAGGTCACAGCGCCCTCCACTAAGGCCGCAGGTACGCTCGCTCTATCTCGATTGCAGGACTCCAGTAAGGTCGCTGGAAACCATGGTGCGGATTTCTGCTCGAACCAGACGCGTCCGAAATTCATTTGCTGATGCCGAGAGATTCCGGAGAAAATCTCGGATCTTACCTTGGCGTGACAGCAGCGCTTGTGGCGTGGTGGCGTTTTCGCCTCGGCGTTACACAGGCCCGGAGGCTTGAACCGTACGTGTGTCAGGAGGTTTCAGATCTCTTTATCTAATCAGCTGAAGGCGGTAAGTTCGTCGCGATGGGCGGCATCGGCTGTAGCAGCTGAGAGTCGAGGGCCCCGGGGTAGTCACCGATCCGTCATTGCTACCCGAAGCTTTGTCGGAATATCGTCGCAGAGTTATCGCAGCTTTGAACACTCACAACTTCTCGCCTCCGGCACGTCATGGAGCAAGCTCAAGGTACGTGTACCCTACCGTAGTATGGTCCGCCCCTGGATATGAATCAGACTGTGATTGGAAGCTGCTACAATGTTTAGAGGCAAGCGGCGGATTCTGCGGCTACCGCTTCCTATCCGACTCCTCTTGACAACGGAGATCTCTTACGGCTGGCGGAAGATAAGGACCGACAACTTTTCTGATCACTGGCTTGACCTGATAGACGCTGAGACATAAGGTCGGCAAACTGAGGGCGATCACCGATCGGATGAACTTGTCTTCCGAGGATTGCGAAGGACTTGTGCTGTCGAATCGATTAGCATCTCTGCGTAGAGCTGTCGCTGCCTGCAACGGAACAGACGAAGATCAGTAAATTGTGTGGGGTGCCGACTCCTCAGCGCCAGCGAGCAGATCCGACATGGTCCCACCTGCACCTCAGCGTCCGCACTGCGAGACACCAAGGATCCCGTCGACCTTATCCTGCTGCAAAGCCGGCACCTGCACAGGCTGTCGCCACTGAAATCAGGTGGCTGGTTCTCAGCATCTGGCATACCTACAAAGATGAGCAAGACTTTAGGGCAATCTGAGTGCTGACATGACTGCCTGAATACGAAGCGCTATCTCAGCGACTCTGCTCCTCGTCCAATCCGAGTGGCGGGGTTGCAAGAAAGTGCCACACTCAGTCAGCCACGTGGATAGTCTCGGCATCGGCTGCCGGTATCCGGTTTCCCCAATACCCATTCCTCGCACTTCGAAGCTCATTCAGCTCCTATCATCCCTCAGCTTCGACTCTACTTATCACATCTACGGACCCAGTCAGACAGCGCAATATCTCGACGTTGGTACTAGCAAAATGGCAGCCAAAATCGCTCCCAAAGCCATCTCTGCCATCAGCCGGCCCAGCACAATCGCTCCGGCTCTGAGGAATGCTCGAGGCCATGCCGCTGCTGTTGAGCCCCCAGCTCCCGGACCTGGCGTGGCGCGGGCGTACTACCGAGACGGAGATGTGAGGACCAACTGGAGGCGATCCGAGATCCAGAAGATCTTTGATGGGCCATTGATGGAGACTATCTTCAGAGCTGTAACTCATCCCCATCCTTTATCTAGAGCTCAGCTGATAGACAGGCTACCGTACACAGGATGCACCACGACGCGTCTCGTATACAGATGTGCACGCTCATGAACATCAAAAGTAAGTATAGTGAATGACACAGCCCCGTATCAGGCTGATCATACAGCTGGTGGATGCAGCGAAGACTGCAAATACTGCTCCCAATCCTCCCGCTACAGCACCGAGACCAAAGCCACTCGGCTGGTCGACATCGAGCCTGTTCTCGAAGCAGCTCGTCAAGCGAAGGCGAACGGATCCACACGCTTCTGCATGGGAGCGGCATGGCGGGATCTGGCGGGACGGAAGAGCGGCTTTGAGAAGATCTTGAAGATGGTTACCGAGGTTCGAGGGATGGGCATGGAGGGTAAGTCTGCTTGTAAAAGGTGTGATCTTTCAGCTAATTAGCAGTCTGCACGACTCTTGGCATGCTGTCTCCCGAGCAGGCTAAGCGGCTCAAGGAGGCCGGTCTGAGCGCATACAACCATAACCTCGACACCTCGAGGGAATTCTACCCGGAGGTGAGCAAGATCTTCCCTCTCTATTCAGGGACTCAAGCTGATCTTGACAGGTGATCTCCACGAGGTCCTACGATGAAAGACTAGCTACAATTGAGGCTGTCCGCCAAGCCGGTATCTCAGTCTGCTCCGGCGGTATCCTCGGTCTTGGGGAGAAGGACGAGGACCGTGTCGGCTTGATCCACGAGGTTTCGAGGTGAGTACTACTTTGCATGCTACCCGGACCCGACTGACATGCAGGATGCCCGCTCACCCGGAATCATTCCCCGTCAATACCCTTGTCCCCATAGAAGGTACCCCGCTGGAGAAGAACGATGTAAGCTAGAGATCGCGTCGTGTACAGCCCAGAACACAGCTAACAATCCAGCCTGTCGAGGTCCACACCGTACTTCGGACCATCGCGACAGCTCGTATTGTGCTCCCGAACACTATCATTCGTCTTGCTGCTGGTCGGCACACGTTCTCGGAGACTGAACAGGCCATGGTGAGTCGAATCATCCCCAGTAATAGGGTCTAGCTGATCGATAGGCATTCATGGCAGGTGCGAACGCGATCTTTACCGGCGAGAGGATGTTGACCACTCCCTGCTCTGGCTGGGACGAGGACAAGTCTATGCTAGGCCGCTGGGGTCTGAGGGGACAGAGGAGTTTCGAGGACCAGGAGAGCCTCGAGATCCCGCAGGCCCAGACTGAAGCGGCGGTGTCTGCTACTGCCTGAGTGGACATCGGGTATGTGCATGCATAGATGACTGACTGCAGAACATCGGGGATGACTGACGAAACATTATGAGACATCCTGGTCTCACATTCCGCTAGACTGAGACCGCCGGCTTTTTGTACCGGACCATGTCTTACTGGCATGACTGCACCTACCGGGGATGTTGCCTTTCCGACCCTTCGCGCGCTCTTCTACATGCCCACCTCAGAACGTCTACGTCTAGCATCAACTTCATACCGCGCTGAGCGCCCATTCGTACACTTCGACGGCTTGACGCCTCGCTTTTCGCTCGCAAATCAAGCTTGCACCTTATCAACTTCGCAAAAGTCCATCCGAGATGGCCGAAATGAGGATCGGCGTGGCGAATGGAGGTGGTATGCCCATGAACGGCGTGAGCGCTGTGGGTACTGGAGGTTAGTCCTGCTTGATACCTGAGATTTGCGGGGATCAGCTGATTCCCGCAGCTACCGGCCAAGCTGCAGCTCAGGCACCACTACAAGCGGCTCCCGCGGCTGGAGCAGCTGGTGCGATCGCAGAAGCTGTCGAAGCTGGAGTTGCTCCCCAGGCTGGACAAGCTGTACCTGCTGCAGGACCACAAGGTAAGTTCTGGTCTCATGAGAAGAGGACGTAGCTGACATCCAGCTCCAGTCTCTGCGCCCGGTCCGGGGACCTGGCAGCCCGCCGCTCCCGCTGCTCCGGTGGCACCAGCACCAGTGCAGCCCGTTCAGCCTGCCGCTGGCGCTCAACAACCCCAAGCCGCACCGTACAACCCCCCTCCCTCAGTAGCGGCTGCGCCGCTCTCCCTCCCTGCCACCTACGGCTCCTCCGACGCCTATAATCCCCTCACCTCGCCAGATTCCTCCACATCCACCTCGCTATCTTCGGGATCAAAAGCCGCCATTGCTGTTCCCCTCGTTATCGTAGCTCTGGCAATCCTCGCACTGGGCGGTGTAGTTTGGTACAAGAGGCACCCGAGGAATGGTGCAGGGATCTCGAGGAGGAGGAGCTATGGGGAGAAGGATGATATGTCGCTTTCGGAGAAGGCTATGATTCCGGGCTATGGGCGGAAGCCGAGTCGCTCGACCAGTATCCGCTCTTTAGCCAGCACGGTCATTGGCTCTTCTCGCGGCGTGACGGTCGTCCCACATATCGACGTCCCGGATCTTGCTCGGCCAGCCCCATCGGTCGCTCCATCTATCGCCTCAATTCGGCGGCCGACTGCCATGAACCTCACCAAACCTCTCCCGCCCATTTCAGAGTACGGGAGCAATAGCTCTGGTAGCTCTGCGCGCACCCGCTCCACCGTCCCTGTCATAGCGGCCGCCACTGTCGCACGGCGTGCGGACGCTCAATACCTCCATTCTCCCTCGTCTCCCCGGCCTCGGTCCGGTCCCGAGACCATCGTGGAGGAAGGATCGGTCCGCTCAGAGGAGGACGGGGAGAGCGAGATGTCAACGGCATATACGACTGCTCCAAACTCGCCTCGGGCGCGGATGCGGGCCAGCCAGAACAAAGGGTACTTTGCCACCTCCCGTCTCTCCACCTTGAGCATCGGCGGTATCTCCATCAACCGCTCCTCCCCTCCTGCAGCTTCCGTCTACTCGACCCACTCTGCCCCTCTTCCCCGATCAAAGCGGTCCGGTCCGTCCCGCCGACCCATCCCTCAACACGTGTACTCCTACGCTCAATCCCTCCCCAACTCCATCGCTCGCGTAGCGCCCGTCTCCTCCGCTCGGCGCTCACCCGCTCTCGCACCAGCTCTCGCTCACAGCCCGCAGTCCTCCTGCGAATCGGAGTCTCTGCCGGAGATGGTTGACTTCCCTCCCGATCACCCCTTCGCCAGGAAGTATGGCGCCTCGCACACCTCGCATTCGTCCTCGAGGTCAAAGCACATCAAGCTCCAGGCGTACGAGACCGAGGACGCCGAGTCGATGGTCCGGTCCATCACGGAACGGACCGAGTTGACGCTTCCGTGGGGATTCGCCGAGGCAAAGAAGGCAAAGGTCGACGACGGGGTCAAGCCCCTGAGGCAGGAGACAAAGGAGTCGGGGGTGAAGCTGTTCAGAGAGGAGACGCGCAAGGGGGCGGACTGGGCCAGGGAGAGGCAGCTATAATTTGTCAAGATGATGCATGTAGATTCTCCCAAGACAATATGGTACAGTCGGACATTATACAATAGCTATCTAGATTACCAGAATGAACACCTGATTTGTCAGCCCTTGAACTGCGACGCACTAGCACTGAGTGGACGTACCATCCAATGAACGCTACACAGAGATTCTCGGTCTTGGTCGCCTCGTCGACCAGCTTCTCCACCTGCATCTTGACCGTCAAGACCGTTTCGGGCTTGAAGTCCCTCCCTGTCAACTTTCGGCGCACACGATCAATGACCTGCAGACCCCGGTCATTCTTGATCTCGCCTCCTCCTCGGTCGTCTACTCGTTAGCTAAGACCCTCATTTTCTGAACGGCTGGACTCACCACCCAAGATCTCCGTCTCATTCGCCTTGGTCTTCCTCTGCGACACCTCGTCCATATCCTGCTCCGTATTGACCCTTCCTCCGGGCTGATTTGTCGCTGTCAAACGCCAAGCGATAAGCGGCTCGTACACGAACGCCTCGAGAACCGCCATGAGCGACTCGCGATTGTCCCGAAGCACCTCCATCGAGACCTCGCACGAGCGCGAGAAGGTGCCAGTGATACCGCAGACCTCCATGGCGTGGATGAGCATCCGTGTGAGCCTGAAGGGCACCTTCTCGGGGTACTTTTCTCGAGTCTGAGCAATCTCAAAGCAGTCACCCTGATAATCAGCTAGAGTATCTAAGCCTAACCTTGATGTCACTTACAAAGTCGATGTGGACAATTTTGCCTGAGCTCTGATCCAGCAACAGATTACTCGGATGTCTGTCCCCAAGACCCAGGATATACCCCACCATCGAGTTGACACCGAGACTGCGGGTGTAGTTGACTCGGCGCTCCAGCCATGCCTCCGAGTTGCGACTACGGAGCCACAAGATCCGGTAGAGGTCTTGACCGGTGGTGTTGTCCAGGGCGTACTGGAAGACTTCGACCTTGTGGAGGAGGGGCAGGTCATGGTATGACTCATCCGCCATCTAGATGATCAGCTCACATCCCTTTTTCGAGCGCAAGTGACTGACCTGCTGCATGAGACGATTTTCGATATCCACCAAGATCTTCCTCGACTCTCGGTAGTTCTTGATGAGCATGTGCATGGTGTCGGTATGCTGGACCCAGCCAAGCAGACCAGCGCCTGGCGAAAGCGGAGTGACCGAGAACTGCTGGATGCTGAGGTGTCGCTTGGCGCATTCTTGATCGACGAGTAGAAGGGTATTGACCAGCCCGAAGAGCTGCATGACCCGTTCGTCTTGCCGAAGATCCTCATGTCCTGGACATCAGCTTGGTCAAGCCATCAAGCTCACCTTTGAGACAGTATGTATAGTCCTTGCCGTCCCGTCCCCGCATGCTGAACTTTCGCGGACGCTGCTTGGAGTTGATGACCTGGAAAGTGGGCAAGATGCGGCCGATACCGATCACGGGCTTGCCGCTTTCGTATGTGCCCGGGACAGCAAGGTCGAGATCGTGGATCGTCAAGAGCTTTGGCGAGACATACTGCAGCTCGATGACGTTGAGGAGTTTGAGCTGCTTTTGAAGCCGCTGGAACACCTGCACAGTCAGCTCGGCGATCTCCCTGACGTGATGCTGGTAACTGACCGAGTAGTAGATGTCCCATGCTTGCTGAATCTCCATCTGGTCGTTGTGCATGGTGAAGCGCTGGAGGTGTTCGCGGGCGATACGCAGATCGTGTCCGAAGCTCTGGACGAAGGAGGTCTCCCGAAGTGTTTCGGCACCCTACTTGATCAGCTCATCGCCAAATTCTGCTGAGACCTCAACTTACACGTTCAATCATGTCATGCAACGGCATCAAAGCGTCAAACATGCCCTGCAAGTTGCTATCCGCAAAGTAATGCTTGCTAGCCTCCTCCAGACCATCATACCACTGCTCATGCCAAAGAATAGCAGCTCGGATGAGCTCGGTCGAGACGAGTTGAGCTTGGTCGACAATCTCGGCAGAGTGGTCTCGCATCCTGACCATGATGTTGTTGGCGACTGCTTTTCTGGCGGCAGCATTGGATTTGGCGGCGACGGTAAGGGGGTAGACGAGCGCTTGGGGATGGGCTCGGCCGACTTCGCCGAGGAGCCGGAGAATGAGGGTCTGGATGGCATGTCGAGGAGTGTGAATGCGGGCAATGATCTAGCATGTAAGCTCGGGCCACGAAGATATAGACATTTGAGCTTACCTGAGGAATAACTTCCAGCCAGACGTCCACCTTGACCACCTTGAGCCCATCCGAGATGGCGTCTGCCACCCGTTGCTGGTATCCGTACTGGAACCACAGCGTGAGCAGTCGAAGCGTGTCTTGGAGCGCATTCCCCGGCGAGAGCGAAATGGATCGGAGGAAACCTGCTCATCAGCTTCATCCTCCTGCCTACCAGACTCACCTTCAACAGCCGGAACGATGTAGGTCGTGAAGTGAATAGCCTGAAGACCCTGGTCTGACACTTCCAACTGAGTGATGACCTCAAAGTTGGCCAGCGCCCAGGTATGCCAAGCCTGATACCAGTCGGTATCGAGCTGAGTGGCGGTATAGTAGTCGGCAAGGATCGGGCCTGGATCCGCCGCAATACCCTCTTCGCCGCGCATCGCGGTCTGCCACTGCCCGAGCTCGACATAGCACTTGGCCAGCAGCTTCTTGTACTCGCTGAAGAGCTTTTCGTCGGTAAGGGCAGAACGAGCCAGACCGTCCCCACTGACCCCGATATCGTTCGAGAGCGTCTCGGTGAACAGCCGAAGCTGGTTGAGCGAGTTGACGCGCTCGCCCTTTTCGTTGTCCCGGTTGTGCTTGGCCCAAGTGAGGCGGTAGTAGGCAAAGATGACGGGTGGTGGTGCGCGGATAGGGTTCTCCTCCGAGTCCGTCTCGAGGTTGGTATTGCCGACCAGCGAGGTGAGAGTTTTTTCGGCGAGGTTGATCCGGTCGGACGTGCGGCAGAGGTCGACAAAGGTGATCCAGGTGTCCATGTCTTCGCTGGGCGAAAGGACAAGGGAACGGAGTTGGAGGATACGCTGCCATACCTCGACGTCGCGCTGACACCCTTCCAGCCTACAATCAGCAGATGCTGTCGGTATTACTCACCTGTTGTGCCAAGTCTTCCGCAGCGTTTCCTGCCGATACGGCTCGTGCTGAAGATCCTTGTACTGGATGATCTCCTCCAGCTCGGACAGCATCTGTACTCGAACAATCACGCTACTCGTCAGCTTTGACCGCGTGTCAATGGTCAGGACTCACTCGTACGCCCTTCCATAACTCTCGCTCGTCAACGACGTCAACTCCGGATCCAGCTTCTCCCTTGCTCTTCCAATACTCTTCAATGCCTGGCTATACTGATTCCGATGCACCTGCAGGATCGCGCGGAAGAAGTTCCGGTCCGCCGAGTCGCTCTTCATCGACGCGATATAGTCGTCCATCTGATCCCATTGATACAGACTCCAACTAGCCGCGGCTGCCAAAGGAGCCATAAGCTTCTTTTCATCGTTGGTAGCGGTCGTCCACCGGACCGAGACGAATTCGGAGAGCTGATCCCATTCGCCGAGAGCGTGCAGGGCCTGCAGCTTGCCCATTGCGATCCGGTCCTCGGAAAAGTCGGTGTCCGGGTCGTCGCCGCGCGCAGTCCAGACTTTGAGCGCCTCCTCCCATCGTCCGAGCTTCTCGTACCAGAGGACATCGTCCGTCATCTCCATATTCTCCTGGGCGTACTCGAGCGTACCCCAGGCAGCGTCGGATTGCTGCAGCTTCTGGTTGATGCTGATAAGGTCCTCGACGACGCCGACGGAGGCGTCGACGAAGAACTCGAGCTCCTTATAGTGCAGAGCTTTGGCGTAGGCGTGGAAGATGGCGGCCTGACGATCAGCTGTATTCAATTGAGCAACTCACGTAGTCGCCCAGCAGTCTCGACTCGATAGCCAGTGGCTTCTCGTCATGCTCCATGAACTCCGCCAAGTTGAGAATTACATTGACCGCATCGGGCGGAACCGCCGGATTCGTCAATGCCATCTCAAGATGGTGCACCAGATCCTCCTGTTTGATCAGCTCAGTCCAGACCACAAGAGCCAAGACTTACCTGGTAGCTCTCGTACAGCTCGGACCAGCACGACACAAACGCCACATTGAACAGCTCCCTCGCAAACGGCGGATGCACCTCGGCCAAATTCCGACTCGCCCGGATCGCCTGACTGGGAGACTCGCGCATGAGCTCGTTCCCTAGCCGCTTGATCCACTCGATCCAGTCCTGCTTGGAGGTGACGCCCGAGCAGTCCCATGCCGCCTTGAGCTGCTGCTGATTGACCGGCAGCTTGGCCTGCTCCGCAACGACCGACATGTCTGACATCGGGTCATTCGCGAACCGCTCGACGGGGCCGAGATCTGGTGGAAGGCGCTCGCGGTTGAGGAGCTTGGTGATGAGCTGGTCGTAGGTCGGATGTGTGATCTTGTGCTCGACCAGGGTCTGATGGTCAGCTTTCGGTGCAAAATACGAGTACAACCAAGCTCACCTTATTGACCATCGGGATAAAGATGGCATAATCCGGCCCAAACTGCAGGACCAGGACACTCAGCGTGTCCATCGCAATCCCCCTGATCTCTGACTCGCTATTGCCCAGCGTCCTAATTAAGGGATGGATGATCTGACTCGCATGGTCCGAAAAGTTGACCTTGCGGCAAAGCTGGCCCGTCGTCCGCAATGCCGCCTTGCGCAGCTCGTCCGGGGCGAGGGGATTATCAAAGCTGCGGACAATGACGGGGAGGACGAGGTGGAGGTAGTCCTCGATACTGCTGCCAAAGACGTAGAACGCCTTGAGAATATGAAGGAGCGTATTCCGCCGTCGTTCCGGGAGGTATTTGGCCGCGAGGTCGCCGTCAAAGGTGCGCAGGATCTGCTGGAGGAGACGGGGGAGGTACGCCTTGAACTCGCCTTCGACCGCTTTGGCGACGGCCTCGACGAGGTGGATGATGGTGATTTGGAGGTTGGAGTTGGGGTCCCAGAAGTCGTGGACCAGGCCGAAGACGTCTTCGAGGTAGTTGCGAATGTGCTGCTTGACGATGGTGATGAGATTGGCGAGCTGCTTGAGGTAGACATCTTGGCGATGGGGAGCAGCGATGCGGATGACATGCAGGAAGGCGGGGAGGATCTGGGAGTCAGCTCACTCTTTGACTGGTGCGTCATGCGGGCAGCTGACCTGAGGGAGGAACGAAACGCATCGCAACCGCTGAGTCCGGAAGATCAACATGACCGCCTCTACCGCCTCATAATGGAACTCCTTCATCGTCGAGTCGTTCAACACCGACACCAGCGAGTTGATCGCTACGGTCTGGTAAAAGTCCTCATTGGATGTCGTAGGCGAGTTCATCAGAAGGGTGATGTCTGTCACCCTTGGCCCGGATGACTCGGCGTTAACGTCCTCGCTTCCTTGCAAGAGCTGCTTGTCAGCTGCGCCGATATACAGAACATGCTCGGCTTACTTTGTGCTTGAAGGGGTCCAGAGCACCTAGCATCCCCATCGTCCTGATTGTCTCCATCCGGACCGTTGAATCCGACTCCGTCCTCAACAACCTGAAGAGCACCGCCAACAGCTGCGGGTGATCCGTATATGGCTGAATCACTTCCGCCGTATTACCCGCCAGCTGACCCAGCGTCTTGAGCGCCGCATTCCGCTTGATCGGGCTGGTCTGGTCATTGAGCATGCCGATGACCATGGCCATGACCGGCTTGGCGCTCGATACGAGCTCTTCGCCAGCGACGCGTGCGAGCTCGCCGATGCATTTGACGCATTCGGCAGAGACGACAGTGGTGGTTTCGGGGGATTCGGCGGTACGGACGAGAACAGTGAGGATGGTGGGCGCGTAGGATTTGACGAGGGAGGCGGCGGCGGCGATGAGGAGGCAGAGGAGTTTGGCGGATTCCTCCTTTTGTTTCCTGAAGGGTCAGCTACCTGTGTGCTCAAACGTTCGCAAACAAGACCTAGCTCACGTATTGGTAGAGTACTCCAACTCGGTAATGAGGTTGATGAGCGACTTTCGTAGTGGCGGCATAACGTAGGCTGGGTTGAGAACCGATAGTCGACCGATAATACCGATCGCCAGCTCCCGATTATGGAACACCTCATCGTTGAGCGCGATAAAGAGACATCTGATATCCTCGGCTTGCGACAAGTGCTTGTCGAACCGCTCGCTGAGGTGTTCCAGGACGGTCTGCCGGATACTTGAGCCTATTCGTCAGTTGGCGCATGCAACTCGCAATTGGCAAACTCACTTGGATCTGTAATTCCCACAGTCAAGAGCTTCTCCAGGACATCGCTGACAATCTCGATAGAATGACTGCTCGTTTGGTAGCAGATTGGATCATGGATAAAGAGCTGCGTCGACGCCAGAACCGCCTCTTGCCTGACCTCAATGCTGTCATGCTCGAGGTACGGTAGGACAGCATCTCGGACGAACTCGTTGAGGGTGTGACCGGAAAAGTCAAAGGTGCCGAGGACGTGGAGGGCGAGCGCCTGGACCTCGGCGGTATGGGTACCAGCGGGGATGTCTCGCGCTGTGCCGTTTGGAAGATTCCGCTGAGGTGCTCCGAGCGGCCGGAAGGAGTGACCAGTAAGGACGAGGGAGATGCTATCGAGGAGACGATCTGGGTGTCAGCTTTGGCGTTAAGGAGTTTGGCTTAAGACTAGCTCACCTTGGACAGTACGCAGAAGAGGAGGGATATGATCCGCGATGTCCTTTAGCGAGCTATACAGCGGCTCGCTCAGACCGCAGAGGAACATGAGGTCGAGTACATCGTGCATTTGACGAGTAAGCATCGGTCCGACCGCTCGAGATAGGTAGCCGAGGCACTGGAAGATTGGTCCTTCTGCTGGTGCGTTCTTTTTCCTGTCGAGTCAGCCCACCACTTTATTACAATTCAGCGTCCCATTCACCCTCTTTGCCGCAGATGATCCTTGATGACCTTGACAATATCGTCGATGAACGGCCTCATCTTGCTCCCCAACGTCAACGCCATATAGCCCAGCGCGACATAGCCCGTATCCCTATCCGTAGGCTTCTGCAGTGCCTGGAGGAGATACGCCATACTCCGATGCAGGTAGAGCGCCTCGAACTCGTCGCTGTCGTAGGTCGCCATACTAGGGATGAGGGAGATGACCATTTTGCGGACCGAGATTTCCTTGGAGTCGCGGTATCGAAGGGTAAGCTCGCAGACGTCCTTGTAGAATTGCTGCATCGACTTGAGGGTCAGCTTCGTCTTCGTGGATACAGAGGTGACACAAAGAGAAAGCTCACCAGTTGCTGATTATCCAGCATAGCACCGACGGCATGCAGGGAGCCGAGGATGGAGTCGGTCGATCCGGCCTTTTGCAATCCGCTCCGCGCCTCTTCAAAGATCCGACGATAGACATCCGTCGGTGACTTTTCGCGTTCCTTGACTAGTCGCAGACAGGCAGAGAGAAGCATGGAGGCTCGTTCTCGGACCATAGTCTACTTGATCAGCTGGACCTCATTCCTCACAGAGATCATGCTAGCTTACCCTTGAATCCCGCAGCGGAGTCCAGATCTTGTCAAGCACCCTCGAAACATGCTGGTAGAAGAACGCGCCAGCTTTGGAGGCGAACTGATGGAGCACTAGTACACCGCTGAAGCGACCGGCTTCGGATCTCGAGTCTGGGCGATCAGCGCTGCTCTTCTGGGTGGAGACGAAGCGATACCTACCGTCAAGAAGCTGCAATGCCTGCCCGACCTCCTTGTTGAAGAAGGACTCGCCGAGAATGGGTCCAGAGAGCTCTACCATATTACCTAGAGGTCAGCTTTTCACCTCTGGAGGCTTTGCCGGGATGGTGTCAGCTCACCGACCACCTTGGCAGCAGCTATCATGACCGTCGAGTCAGTACATGTCAGAAGAGGCCGAAGATCTAGGGATCAGCTCGTACGGCGTGGTATCCGCTCTCGAGCGAGCTCACATTCGTACAGCCTAAGATTCTTCTGCAGCGCTCGGTCCGGCGTATCATCCTTGGTCGACTGGATCATTTCGTCTACACCATGAGCTACTCGTCCGCCCGTTGCTGGTCAGCCAGCTTACCGATAGCGACGCAAGCGCCCAGCCTCTCGAAGGCATTGTTACTCCTCGTCAACTCGAACATCCGATGGAAGACATCTCCCCAGACGCCCTTGAGCCCATCGTGCCCGAGGTGCTCTTGGGTATATTCCGTCACCTATAGGGGGTATCAGCTTCTGCTGGCTTCGTCTCGCTAGCCGCAGCTGGACCCACATGAAGGCGAAGATCTTGAGCTGCATGGATACGGATCTCCTCATTCCTAAGGCGTCGTCAGCTACGGTTCAGGTCACGAGGCCCTGCCAGCTCACTTGTTGGCGAGGCGGTGGAAGATATTGTCGAGGACGTCCGCCTGGGTGGACATTGCTTCCGCAGCGGAGCATGTGCGCTCTTTCGGACCTGAGCGATTCCTCTGCCTCTGCTGAGCTGTCTGAGTGGGTTGGCGAGAGGCGCTGTAGGTAGGATGTATAGAAGCTGTATGTATTGAACGGCCAAGCTGGACCTTGTGGACCTATCGCTTGACCTCCACCAGGAGCCACTACAGTCAATTGATACCCGTTTCAGGAAAGCCACGTCACCCAGCCAAACGTTGATCCGTGCGTCCAAGAGGTGGATTTCTGAAAGCTCTGTTGTCTCAGCCAAAACAGCCTTCAACTTTCGCTCTTGACCCGCCTCCCTGTAGCTCGCAGCTCCACCGTAGCTGCCTCAGTCTGTCCGATCCACTACTCCGAATCGATGAGATAGCATAACGAAAACCTCTCGCCAAAATGGGGAAAGCACTCTCCCTGACCGACCAGCAGGTCTGGAAGAAGATCCTCGCGGCCAAGTCGCAGGTGAGCTAGATGCTTCTGCCAGATGGGCATGGCTCTGAGCTGACAACCCAGAGTATGAGCGAGCTACAGCTACAAACGAGCCTGCCAATGATCAAGCAGAAGGAGCTGCAGAGCTCCCTCGCCAATCTCATCTCGGTGGTATGTCCACCTCTTGGGTTTAGTGAAGGGTCGAAATGAGCTCGAGCTGATGTCCGCAGGGGTTGATGACTGTATCGAGCATGCCGAGCGGGGACAAGATGTTCAATGCTCAAAAGAGCAAAGCTCGTGAAGAGTGAGCTCTCCCTTTACCCACTTCCATGGACAGTCAGAGCTGACAGACATTCAGTGTGGTCAGCTTGACGGCGGAACAAAAGCTCGTCAAGCGAGTCATCGAGGACGCGACTGATCGCGGAATATCCATGGTCCGGATACGTCGACTCATCCCGCAAGAGGTCATGCCCCCGACGATGCTACGGAAGAACATCACAGAGCTTGAGAAGATTGGGCTCATCAAGCAATTCAAGGCTGTTTCTGTGAGTAGCAACCGGATACCTCAGGCCTCGTGCATGATCCTTGATGAGAGGACTCATATACTGCCCGGTCTCTAGAGTGATGGCTGACGTCCAGGCTCCGACTACCACGCTCTACCACTCCGCGCAATACAAGCCCGCGGCGGACCTGACGGGCGGTATCTGGTACGACGACAACAAGGAGTTTGACGAGGGACTGGTGGATGTCATCCGGGACGTCCTGCTTGAGCATGTCCGGAAGAAGGTACGTCCTTCGCTTCTGCTCCACTTGAGTATCTGTAGAAGTAGCTGATCTGGTGCAGACCTTCAAAGGATACGGATCCAATAAAAACGGCGAATCCTCGACCGTCAACAACCCCATCTACCCCGCCGGGCGCACCCCCAGTCTTCCCACCCCCAAACAACTCCTCCAATTCGTCGACAAGCTCAACATCGTCCAGGCGCGGCTCGGCGTCAAGGAGATTATGGAGGTTATGCGCGCTTTGGAGCTCGACGGGCTCGTGGAGATCATCAAACCCGTCGGAGGGGTCATGGGCGATAATGACATGTCGGATGATGATGAGCCGGTACGGAAGCGGGCGAAGGGCGGGAATGGGGATGCCGGCGGGGTCGGGGAGGACGAGGATGACGAAATGGACGATGATGAGAAGGACCGGAGAGCCGAGTTGGCTCGCGATAAGGAAAAACAGAAGGCCAGGGCGCGTAAGAAGAGAGAGAAGGCCAAGGAGCGAGAGCGGGAGAAGGAGAGAAAACGGCGCGAGAAGGATCGACTTCGAGAAAAGAAGAGGGAAAGAAAACGGAGGAAGAGGGAAAAAAGTCGACAGAAGTCGAAAAAGTCAAAGGTGAGCTGGAGTCAACTCTCAGATGTGGAGAGATGGAGCGAGTCGGAGTGGAGAGCAGAGTGGTGCTCGATGGTGGAAGACCACTGTGGCAGCCGTAGCAGGGGATGGAGAAGATAGCAGTCTGGTCCGTATTCGTTTCTAGAGCTGACGTGCAGAACGCCGACTCTGACTCTGATGCCCCCGACTCCCTCGTGGCGCTCTCCGACGTCGAAGCGGCCGACCGTAAAAAGTCCAAATCCAAATCCTCCACCAAAAAGCGCTCCAAATCCTCCGATTCTTCATCTTCCTCTTCGTCCTCCTCCTCTTCCTCGTCCTCAGAGAGCGATTCCGACGACTCGGTCTCCTCGGTCAATTCCTCAGATATCGACGGTGACGGCCCCGTCAGGCGCGGTCGGCCCGTCATGGCCGCTGGCGAGTCGATCCAGCCCGCGGGGTTGCAAAACCTCTCGGACCGCCAGATTGTGTATAGGGCGACGAACCGGATGACGGTACCCCTCGGCCAGACCGAGGTCCCGTGTGGGAAATGTCCGGTGTTTGACTTTTGTGCGGAAGGGGGACCGGTCAATGCGGAGGATTGCGAGTATTGGGAGGGATGGTTGGATGGGGGCAAGGGCGGTGGGTGGGTAGGGGAGGATAAGGAGGAGGAAAGGAGGGAGTTGGAGGGCGAATTGGCGCCCGAGGCGGAGGAGTTGCAGATGGCCGAGGCATAGATTGACGGGGGAACGAATAACGATGGTTGGAAGAAAGGTGGTTCATGTTGTCATAGATAGTACATTCCAGCCGACTCGCTCATGACAGCGAGATTACGCAACCATATCATGTCACTTCAATGCTACAGAGATACATTCGAGCTGCTCCTTGTGATCGACCTCTTCTTACTTCTGCTACGGTCATGTATTGTCCCGCCCCGGTCCTCTCCTCTCTGATTCCTTGACCCCCTCTCCGAGCTTCAGATCAAGCAAGCGGCTTGTTAGCCAACCACCGCTCAAACATAGTCAACGCAGCAACGGGGTCGTCGTGCGGTACCTGCTCAGTCAGCTGTGCGTTTGTGAGTCATATAGCCCTGCCAACTGACCATGTGTCCAGCGTTCGCAAAGGCTACAAAAGCGACATTTCCTGCACCGTCCCCGGCCTTCTTGGTCCAGCCCGAGACCTTGCCGTCCGAGGCGGTAAAGTTGTGCGTAGGCGCGGCGAGGTATGCGTTTTGGTACGAGGTCACGAGTGTATCGAGGACGCGGGAGCAGCCGATAAAGTTGACGACTAGCGGATCAGCTCTTGCACCCAAGACGCGGGGTACATCTGAGCTGAAGTCTAGTACTCACGCATGTCCGCCTCGCCAGAATATAGCAGTACCCGAATCCCATCCTCGATCAGCGCAGGGAGAAGCGAAGCGGTGTCCTTGACTCCATCACCCTGGAGCAAGCTGTTCTGTCAGTTGAGTCCACCTTTGCCTGTCACAGGGCGGCTACGCTCAACGCACAAGTTCTGGTTGATCTTCATGTTGCAAGACTCAAAGTTGATATCGGCAGGGGCACCGAGTTCTGTCTGTCAGCTTCCTTTCGTGCAGTCGACCTGTTTGAGGCAGCTTACCCTTCTTCACCTCGGGCTTGTTGAGGTAGGTCTCCATCCAGCCCATCTCCCTGTAGCACAGCTGAGATGTAAGCTAGACCCAGTATTCATCGTTTCACACGGCCCAGCTTACAGGTCCATCCTTGTCCTTGCTCTTGTCGCACTTCCTACGCACGTCGTACATGTTCAAGCCCTACTTGTCAGCTTCAAGCCCACCGAGCCGTATTGGATAGCTTACGAGCTCTTGGAGGCTGTTGAACAAGCTCCAGCAGTAGAGTGCGGCAGGGACGCAGGAGAATCGGGAGCCGGTCCTGTCCCTATCAGCTACAGCCCGCAGCGATGGGCTTGGGCCAGCTTACTTCTGGCAGCTAGAGATCAAGCTCTGGCACCGAGGCTGTTTCCCGCGGAGGGCTACACACTCGCTAGCGTCGGGAGCATAGACGGCGTATGGACCATCACAAGCCCAGCTGAAATGTCAGCTGGAATCCCGCGGAATCTATGCGATGGATTGGATAGCTTACTCTGCGACGGCGCCGAACTGCTCGTATGCGTTGGTGAGACCATTTCTACGGGATCAGCTGGAGCACTTCGCTTGTCGCGGGATTGCACACAACTTACCCGATCATGACCGACTTAAAGTTGAGCACCGGGACCTTGGGCGTAGGCGCAAGCTGGAGGGCCGAGTTGTGCGAGTGGATGACGTTGGCGATGTGTGGAAGGTAGGTTCCAGCGTACGACTCGCCAGCGATGTGGAAGGGCTGCTTGGCGTACTTGTCGAACTGCTATGTCAGCTTGGAGACCAGAAGGACGCTCAAAGTACCGTAGCTGACCTGCGAGATGAACAGAATGAGGAAAGCGTAGACATCCTCAGCCGCTGCAGGACTGTTGTTGACCTCTCCCGAGTCGCTGTAGCTGAATCCGACGCCGACGGGCTGGTCCAGGAAGAGCACGTTGGCGACGTTGTTCCAAGAGTGCTTGTTGCGGGTGACATTCTGGCCTTCGTTTTCGATGGTGCAGCCGCCGAGCTCGAACAGCAGCCCGGTGGTGGATGAGCATCCAGGTCCGCCTATATTGTCAGCTATGCCAGAGGGAATGAACCAGGCGGGCTAGCTGCTCACCGTTGAGCCACAATACCAAGGGGTCGTCCTTCGGCTTGGACCGAGACTCCTCGAACCAGAAGAAGAGGTGCTTGGTCTCGCTAATATCGAGGTAGCCCGAGTACTGCTTCACGGACGAGTCACAGATCTTGGGTGAGACCACTCGGAGTCGGTGTAGCGGGAACTCGGGATGGGTGAGGGAGAGGTCTGACGATCAGTCCACCTTCCTTATCGGGGTCAAGGACCCGGAGCCGGGACGTGAAGGGGGATACGTACATTCAATACCGTTGGTCACTACATTCTCGGCCTTGACGACTGAACTCTCCTTCTCCCATTGCTCAAACTTGGTGCTCGCCTGAGAGACGGCGCCAGAGAACCAGTCCTGGACCGAGTGGACCGCTTGCGCGGCCAGCTGGGTAGGGTCGGTGGGGAACTGGAAGGGGGTGGCGATCGCGCCAGCGAGGAAGGGAAGGAGTGTGACGAGCGTGGAGGTCCTCATGATGCTCGCTGAGGTGTGTTGTGGTGAGGATGAAGTATGGTGGCAAGAGTGGTTGAATGGGGGGTTGCTGGGTGGGGGACCGGATCGAGCGAGGTCTGAGCAGTGAGGACCATGCGGGTACACGAGTTGCCGGATCGGGTAGAAATTGGAACAAGTCCGTGCGCGTTTCAGAAATCCCTCTCCTTTCTGCTCGTCCAAGCTGCGAATCTATGTACGTCCCTCCAGCTCGTAAGACCAGCTGGTAAGAGCTACACGTAGCTAAGATGGTGGACGACCCGTTCAGAATAGGTATAGAGGGGGAGGAGCAGGAAGAGGGTAAGTCTTCAGTCCGAAGTCGGGGCCTTCGCCAAGAAACCAGCTCCCTTCACCTGGCCGATTCTTATCTGGTGCCTGCTGATCTCATAGATGTCTGCAGGGTCTGCAGACTGGAAGCAGACGAGTTCAATCCTATGGTGCATCCATGCAAGTGCTCGGGCTCAGTACGATACGTACATCCGGATTGGTGAGCCATCAGATCCCAGCTCGGGCGATCCATAAGCTGAAGGTATAGCTTGAAGAGCTGGTTAGCTATGAGCCAGAAGAAGCAGTGCGAGATATGCGGCCATCAGTACGAATTCACCAAAGGTGAGCTTCCCCGCCGAATAGATGGTTCGTCGTAGCCACAGAGCTTACCGTACCAGTTTATCCACCGAATCTCCCTTCGATCATTCCGCCTACGGTCTACTTTCGCCAGATCGAGCGCTACATCGGTCGGACGCTAAAGTACATCTATCGATGCTGGCTCGTCATACTGGTCTGGCTCGTCGTGCTTCCCATGGCGAACATGGGCGGGCTGAGAACTTTTGGATGGTTTGCAGATTTTGCGTGAGTCCTTTCCTTCGGGAAGAGGGCTATCGCTGACGCTTGAGCAGGATCGCCGGCTTGGTGCCCCGAGACGCGTCCGAACGGCTCGTCGACATGACCGCCGTCGAGAACGTCACCATCCAAGAGCTCGTCGGCAATGCTACCTCGTCCTTACTCCCCAGTCCCTCGCCCCCCCGCTTACACGACAACGCCACGATATTCCAATCCGGTCCTCTCAAGCTCCTCGAGCGCGCCGTCAGGTTCTGCTTCAACTTGACCAGAAGTGCAGCGGAGTACGATCTGAGCACGCCTCTTGACCCATTACCCCCACCTCCCCTACCCACACCCCAGCTCAGATCCCACCTTACCGGCGCCTCCTTCGACGCCCCCACGCCATACTTCATCTTTCAAGGCCAAATGCTCTCGATCGGTCTCGCGGCTGTCATCGTATCGCTCATCTTCCTCCGGGAGTGGTACTCGAGCTATAACTGGGCGAATCACGAAAAGCCCACTCCGCCCAAGGACGAGCGGATCATCCCCGAGGAATGGGTCATCCGGAACGGCATAGCGGAGAGGCGCTTTACGAAGATACCGAGTGGGAAGCTCATCCCTCTGAATGCCAAGGTGGTCAGGCAGATGAGGAGGGAGGCGGAGGACGATAGGCGCGATGCGAGTATCAAGATGTTGAATGACGCGGCGAAGCTGGAGGATTGGGAGACGGATAGTGGCGGGGAAGGCGGGGACGAGGATGGGGACGGTGAAGACGTCGAGAGCGTGCGGGACGAGCGAGTGACGGACCCCGTCGGTGCGGTCCCGGTCCTTCCAACCCGCGCCGACTCGGTCCCCCCGCCGGGTCACATCGAGCCAGGGCTCAGCCAAGGCGGTCCCGGCCCTTCCACACTCGCCGCTCGTCGCACAGCCGCGGGATCCGGCACGATCGACCCCGAAGCTTCCATCGACGTCCGGTATCGTCAAGGCGTCATTTGGTTTGAGACCCTCCTCGATCAGGCTGAAGCGCTGCGTAGCTCAAGAGCTAGGGCGGAGTTGGCGAAGGGATTGGATGCGGCGGCGTGGAGGGCACCGGAGTTGCTGAGGGATGCGGCGGAAGGATCCGCAACAGGCGCAATGGTCCAGGAGCTCCCTCCAGCGCCGAACGGAATAGAAGAGGACTCTGCAAGCGGGGATCCGGAACAACAGCCGGTGCCTGACACCATCGTGGTGTCCAGTTCGGACGTTACGGCGGACCCGTCGGTGCAACCAGCTACCCCAGCTCCGACACCACCTTCTTCGCCTCTCGAAGCCAAGCCATCATTATCGCCTGCAGAGATGCTTGCGTTCGTCAGATCGATGCCCACCGACAACCCGCTTACGTATCTCCTGCAGCTAGTCGAAGCCGCCTCGTCCGATAACCAAGATCGACACACGGCGGCTTCGCAGGACATGTCGGTCATAGCATCGCGCCCAACGACGGGTGCCACCGAATTTGACCTTACCGAAATGACCAACATCAATCTGCGCTTGGACACTATCCTAGCGGACGGGGACAAGATCTCAGAGATGATGGCGAAAGTGGATACATTGATAAAAAGTTACAAGGATCTGTCGGATGAGATCCGCGAGATACTCTCCAATTTGATTGCAGGAGGGGACAAGGCGGGATCGGCGGAAGCTAAGGGAATGCAGGGCAAGAAGGCGGAAGAGGGAGATAGGCTGAGCGTGCCCGCCGCCTATCCCGAGGGGGCCACGGAGCTCCCTCTCCCGAACGCTGTTGCTTCAATTAGCGGCCCTACGGATGAGATCTCGGTGCCGTCTCCGGGCGACACAGCCGTGCCCCCATCTCCTGATGCGGTCGTCGGTCGTACTGGACACCCACAGCCACTCTTTCAGCCCGCGGCTCCGATGCCCTGGGAGGTTTACGGTGGGGAAGACAACTTGTCCGGCGATGTTTCCGCAGACAAGGTGCCTGGGGCCGAGACTTTGGCCGACCTGGCGGACGGGGCGGCATCGGATCGCTCTCACGAAGAGGCTGGTCAATTTCAACAAGCACCCTCCGGATCGGCTCTCATCGGCGGAGCATCAGCTGCCGCACCCAGAGAAAGCGAAGATGCTCCCTTACCGAAATCGACCGGACTCGTAGCCTCACTTGATGTCGAGCTCAATGACCAACAAGACCTCGCTCAGTATATGGCGCACAAGAATCGGCATGTCCATGCTAGGGCCTCGACCGATCATGAGAGGCACCGAGGGGCGATGGCAGCGGAGGCTGCGCCGGAACAAATCGCTGCGGAGCTTTGGGAGGACGAGGACTGGCGCCAAGAGACACGGGCGGCGGAGGCGGCGGAGGAGCGAGAGGCGGTGAAGATATGGCAGGAGGCGGCGGGTGATGTGCATGAAGAGGTAGAGGACGGGGATACGGTCGCAGGGGACGAGGACATTGTCGCACTCGATCAGGCGGAAGAGGATGAAGACGCGGAAGATAATCCAGCCGAGGAGGCCGAGGAGGTCATGTTTGAGGACGAAGAAGGGGGCGCATGGGCACCGGACGACTGGGATCAGATCTTGGAGGGTGAGTCTAGCCTGAGCGTTTACAATTTCGTGCTGACACCGCAGTCGTCGGTCTTGTTGGCCCTTACTCGGCTCTCATCCAGAACCTCATCCTCGCTATCGCCATCATGGGCGCCACCATGTCCACCTTCGTCCTCTTCCCTATGACGGCCGGCAAGATGCTGCTCTGCATCGATCCAATACGTTCCATCCTCGGTATCGCCAAACTCGGTTGGAGCATCGCTCGGACATTCCTCCGCTGGTCTCGGTACCTGACCGATCCCATCGTCGACATCGTCGTGGAGATTGTGCGGGATGTAGTGCTCAAGCCACTCGGTGGGGCGTTCCTGGCGGCCGGAAAGATCCTGGCGAGGGTGTTGGGGCTTGAGGGGCGATACAGCTCGTCAGGTGGGCTGGATCTCGCGGGAATGCTGGGCAAAGCGAAGAATTTTGCTGGGATCGGGACGGTCGCAGAGCCGGTGCTACGCGATCCGCGTATCCTCAGCATCGCCATTCCCGACCTCATCACCTCCCGCCTGACCCTCATCCCGTCGACCCTTGTCATTCCTCTCGATATCAAGTCCGAGACTATCCTCGACGGTCTCGCTCTCTTCGGCAACAAGGCCTACAAAGCCTACGACGTCTACCGCTCCTTCGCCATTCGGACCGCCACGAGCGGGACCATCGGCGATGGGATCGCCTGTCTCGTCCTCGCCTACGCTGTTGTGCTCGGTCTGGTGGTCACCGTGGCGTGGCTGGGGGAGATGGGACACATCCAAGCGAGTGACGAGTGGAAGAAGGGTCTTAGACGATTCAGGGCTTCGGTCAAGGTTAATTAGCTCTGCAGTCCGTGGGGTAGCCAGCTGACTCGTCAGCTCATCATGTTCCTTGCGCTCGAGCTGGTCGCCTTCCCGCTCGGTGCTGGTGCGCTCATGGCCTTGTGCTCGATGCCGCTGGTTCCGTATACTTCAGTGCTGGAGAAGATCAAGGAGACGAGGGAGATCGCGCTCGGAGTGGCCTTCATGACCTGGCTTGTCGGTACTATGTGAGTTGGTCGTAGTCCACACTGGGCTTACAAGCTGATAGCGCAGCTTCATGTACGGATTTGCTCAGGTTCTGGCCTGGTGCCGATCGGTACGTCAGCGCAGATCTCCGAGACTGTACAAAAGTCTGGCTGACAGGGCAGTACTGCCGACCGGGAGCACTTTACTTCATCCGAGACCCGCACGATCCAAAGTACTCGCCAGTCAAGGAGATTATCGACCGATCGGCCGGGGCGCAATTCCGCAAAGTAAGTTCATCAATACTGGGAGCGGGCCTCGCTAATCAGCAGCTTGGGCTTTCGACGCTTATGTATAGCTTCCTCGTTTGGTGGCTGTTCGGCGCTGTCCCATGGGGCATCAAATGGCTTGTACCGAACGGCATCTTACCCCTCAGAAGAGATGGATTGTGAGTTTGCACAGCTTGCGCCAGGACCAAGCTCATGTTCCAGTGGACCGCTCAGTCCCATCCCCTTCGACTATATCTTTCTCCTTGTTGCTCTACCCCACACTATCCATTCGATTCGGCCGCAGCGTACCCTGAAGAAGTTCCTGGGCGTGTATTGGCGCTACTCGACCCGACTTCTCCGACTCGATCGCCTGCTCCTCAATTCGTCAGATGGGCGCGACTGGACCCAACCTGCCAAGCCTGGCCGAGTCGAAAGCATCATCTGGAACGCCCTCGACATCCCCTTCCGTCTGCTTTTCGGATCGTACCAGTCCGACGCGACATTCGCTCGCGTACCCGCTCAAGACCGCGTCGTCCTCCTTTCCGTCAAAGTACGCGGCTCAACGCGCCGCGAGGGGATGTTCATCCCTCTCGATGACCGCCGACAGCCCAAGACGGAGCACGACAAGCTCAAGATGATCCGTCAGGATCTCTTGTCTCGGAAGGCGGACAGGAATCCGGTCATGGACTTCAAGGTGGTGTTTCTTCCGGAGAAGTGGAGGACGAGGGTGCATGTCTTTATCTTATCGATGCTTGCGGGCGGTGGAGCGACGATGGGTTTGGCCACGCTGGGACCTATCGTGTTGGGACGGGAGATTTTGAAGGGGCGTTTTGGCCAGGTGCACGATGGCTACTCCTTCGTAAGTTTCACATATCTTGCTTGATGTCCAAGCTGACCACTAGCTTGTTGGCGCATACACCATCTATGCCGCCATTCTGGCCGGTCGCCGTACCTACGTGATCACGGTCGCCCTCGGACGCGCGAGAGAGAGGCGACTCGCCACTCGTCAAACCAAACTCAAGCGGTACTTCATGGCGAGAATGCGCAAGGCCATTGCCATCTTTGCGATCTACTTGGTGCATCCGATCTTGAGGGGCATGGTATGGGAGCTCAGGGTGGGGTTGTTTATGCGATACGGACTCAGCTTTGCTGCTCCTGTTGTTCACATTTGGGATGTCTGGTAAGTTTCAGCTATTCTGATATAAGAGTGGAGCTCACGCATCAGGGCGCTGGGTGCTATACTCAATTCGATAGAGCTTGGCGCTTGCGGTCTTTTTGGCCGGATCAGAGGAGAGGAAGCGCACGAAGTCCACCAGGTAAGTTCCACTTATAAACCCAACAGATCCTTAGCTAATCATCAGCTATGGAGCGACCCATTCGAGCACAATCTCCGGCACATCGCTCTCATCCTACGCGCTGAATTCGCCTCGCTGGCCATCGACATATCGTTACCTTTCGTATTCACGTACAGCTTGACTTTGCTCCTGGCAGGAAGGGAGCCCATGGCGATGGCCATGCCGAAACAGCGGTTCATGATGGCCGAATGTGAGTCAGAGGAGCAACATGAAGCGAAAAGAAACGAGCCGATAGCTGATATAGCAGTCCGAGTCGCCGGGATCGTCACTTGGTTCGCCAAATTCTGCTGCCTACGTATACCGACCATGCCTGCTCAATGGCGCAAGTGGCGGCAAGCCGTTATCGACGCCGAATATGTGGTGGAGGAGCGCGTAGAGAACTATGAGCCGCCGATGGACGCGGAGAAGGAGGTGTCGGACGACAAGGTGGCCGGCGCAGAGAAGGCGGAGGCGGAAGATAGGCAAGCGGATGCGGCGCAGGCGGCCCAGGTGGCTGTACCTGACGCGACGGCGGCGGTGGCGGATGATGCGGAGATAGAGCATGATCCTTCCTTGCTGGGCGAACCATCGGAAGGGGAAGCAGCGCCCGCCGGGGTCGAGAGGGCCGAGAAGCCGGACGGCAATGTCCAGGACGACGGCGTTATACAGGATGGAAGTGAACCAGCTCACGAGGTAGTTGGGGCGCAACCGGAGGCGGCTGGTCTGGGAGCTATCGAGGCGAAACCGATGGCTGTGGTCGAAGATGAGGATGACGGTGCAGAGTGGGAGTCGGACTCTGAGCCAGGGGATGATTGATCAGCAGAGGCGGGAATCTTGGCAATGCGTAATCTGCTAATGTACATAGAAGTCAGTATGTTGTATCTATAGAATAGCATGCAAATGAATAGTCTATGTCTAGGTAGAAGAGGTTCTACATGATACAAGAAGATCAAACCCCAAGACTGATCAATGCCCGGTCTCCTCGGCGATCTCGGCAGACCCCTCCAACGCACTGGCTACTCTACTCCGCGCTCGCAAGACTTTGCCATACCGCAGGAGCAGAAGCGGGGCGGCAGCGAGGGCAAGAGCGACCGAGGCAACCAGGGTAGTCGCCTGCGGGTATCCCAGGCCTTTGTACTTGATCATGAGCTTTGTTGTCTGGCCGAGCAGCGCGACGCTCACCATTTGATGTGCGAACAAGGGGAAAGTCGCGCTCGCCATATTTCGGCAGAAACTTTGAGCTGCTTGTGCAGAGGAAGAGTACACCTCGTACGCATCCGCAATGTAATTGCTGGAAATCAGCCCGCCGTCAAGGCAAGACGAGAAGGTGCTGAACTCACAAGATTCCCACATACATGCTGTAGATCCCCCAGTTGGCGATGATGAGACATACAGCAGGAACAGCCCACGGGATCCAAGGTCGACCTGTCCATGCGAAAACGAACATGGCGAGCGGGAACATGAGACCGCCGTAAGCTGCCCAGTACAGGCGAGCTTCAGGTGGAGAGCGGCCGTTATTGCCCGGTTTAAGTGCGGAGCGGCGGAACAGGTACTCTTGATGTCGGTTGGAGATGGCGCCCAGGATGCCTCCGATGAGGACCGTACTGCATGTCAGCCTAGCAGATAATGAGAGTGTATAGGCTTACATTTGAATCATGCCCAGCTGCCCATAATTCCAGCCATACTCCTGGAAGACGAGCAGTATCGAGGTGCCGCCGAGGAAGACGCAAGCCCAGGCGAAAGCAATCCATGCAGACAGGGCTGAGACGATCGGCTCTGTAACGAGGTACTCTACACTAGTCAGCTGAGAGCGGGCCTTAGATGAAGTAACTCACGGAGCGGTCGCACAAGCGATATAGACATGACCGTCCAAAAGCTTTGTCTTGAGATATCTGCGGCGCAAAGATGCAACTTGCCAGATTCCTTGGTCAACCGCCTTGCCCGCCGAGATAGCAGGACATCACTTCTTGTCTCCCTGAGGACGATCAGGTTGAGAACGCAAGAGAATGCGCCGAGGATACCTTGGAACTGACGGTCAGCTACCACTGTGCGATTACAAATACAAGCACTCACGCCATACGCCCACGCGATTCCCCAGTCCATCGCAATGTACCCAAAAAGAGCACCACCGAGTGACTAAGCCAGTCAGCTGGCCTCCTGATACGGTAGCTTGACTCACTTGGCCAGCAAAGATCATCAAAGCGAACAGATTCATGGCGCTGCCCCGATCTTTGGCATGGAAGAGATCGGCAATAGTTCCTGGTACCATCGAGTTTCCGACTGAACTGGACATTCCTTGAAAGAATCTGACCGCTAGCATGAGGCTGAAATTTTTGGATAGAGCTTGTGGGAGGAACAAGAGAGCAGTGCTAGTCAATCAGCCCGAATGCAAGCTCCTTCAAGGTTTTACGTACATGACCGAGGTGATTTGGAGGATCATATTGCGACCAACCTGTAACATTCAGCCCAATCCCTCAGGTTTTGAGCGACGTACCGTCTCGCTAAGGGGCGCCAGTATCAGCGGTGTGAAGCTGATGGTCAAGAGCAAGAGAGTCAAGGTCAGGACGAAGGATTCTCGATTGACGCCAAAGTGCTCGGGTCCTCCAGCAGCGGTGAGGATGGCGACCGACGTGCAGTTCATCGCCGTGAGCATTGTGGTGAGGACCGCTACCCAGACGATGATGTATTTGCGCGGTTCAGACCAATTGAATGGGTTCTGGGAATCAGCCACGCAGATCCAGCAAGAAACAGGACCTACGCCTGGATCATTGGGCGTCCAATCAATGACGATAACTTCCCGCTCTCCGAGTCCGTCTCCCATGTCCACCTTCTCCACCCGCTCCAAAACGCCCATCACATCTCGCCGGGAACGATGGCTGATGGTTCCTCGCAGCTGCACACCCCCTCTCAGTCCAGACTCCATCTCGGTGTATTGCTCATTCTGCTCCTTGGCCGCCGATAGCACCCCTTTTTCGCACAGCGGAGTTGGCATGGCCACTTCGGAGTTGCGAGGAGTAAAATTGAAGGGAGTATTGACGGCTGTTGTATCAGGTCGAGTGGAGGAAGCCTTCTCATCGTCCGTGTATTCCGCAGACGACGAAGAGAGGCGGGGCAGATGGTGCACGGTCATGGTAATGGGGGAGTCGTGCGAGCAGAACTGCTCATCGGATCTGGCCGAGTGGGGGAGTGGACCTGGAGGGATCGTGTTTTTGGCTGGTGGGGATGCGCTGACCAGTGGGCTTTCGGCCAGACTTCGAGAAGGTCGAAGATGAAGTGTAGGAGGCGACTGGTGAGGACTAAATGATTGAGACGTGGGACATTGACAAGACGCGAAGGGGGCCGAGCAAATAGTGAGCAAATCGATGCGCGGATAGAGGCGGCAAGGCATCCGGCACGACCACGGAGAAACCTCGGATCCTCGGCGGTCGTGGAGTCCGAGTGGCGAAGAGGCGGCGGCTGAAGACTCACATGTGGCGGGGAGGAGGACCACCTTCAGTGAAGCATGAAGATGCATCCGTGCCCACCTTGCACCTACCCCACTGAAGCCGCCCTTCAATGCGCAAGGCCACTGTTCAACAGCGGCACATGAGGCCAGACAGCATCATCTGCCAAAGGGAGTTCGGGGAGAAATTGGTCCGCGGAGGGCCCATTCGGGTCCTGGACCTTCCGGTGAAGGTTTATATTGTTTTTGCAAACCGTCCTTTCAGCCCGGCTATATCAGTTGGTAGATTAAGTGACTCTGGGACAGAGGGGATATACCTATGCAAAAAAAAACAGCCCATCCAGCCTGAAGCCAGTCTGCAATGGCGAAACTCAACCCGACGCCATGGACAGGAGTTCCTATCAGCAGAGACCAGTTGCCTCACGAGGGGAACAGCCATCAGCACCATGAGGGACCAATCACAGCACACTCGCGGGAGGATAGACTTTGGGCAAGGCATCGCAGGCGCAGGACAACAGAGTTTCGATGAAAAAAAGAGGTAGTTGCCAACTTCCGACTGGAAGAGACGACAGTAGCCCGATGTGGGGCTCGAACCCACGACCGGCTGATGATTCTTATCGGTAAATAAGAGTCAGCAACTCTACCAACTGAGCCAACCGGGCTATGGAAAAGAAGTGCAACGTAACATACAAGTACGCTCAACCTTTGCGAGAGGTGTAGGAGCCGCTTGTGCCTCCAGTTCCCCCTCAACATCTCACTTCGAGTCGGCCTGAACGCCAGCCGCCAAAGAGAGGCTCGGTTCGATCACTCGGTCGTGGGTTCGAGCCCCACGTCGGGCTTACATCTTTTGCCCTGGGAGTCGGAGAGGGGCAAGGGAGAGATGGAATGTTCTTTTTGGCTTTCTGCTGCTCCCTCTGGTTCCGGATCTCCATTGTTAGATCTCCTCAACACTGCACCGGACGTACGAGCCCCCTAGTGCCTCTTCCCTATGGGCAGACAGGCTGTGAGGAGGAGGGAGGGGAGGGAGTGGCACCCTATAGAGAGTGGCGCCTGTAGGGTGTTCCTGCTTAGCGCTTCGCGGCTTCCGAGGACACACAGGCAGCGTGTATGAGCAGCGAGGAAGGGCTATAGGCGATCAATGATGGCGCGTGAACGTCTACCGTGGATGCACAAAGCGCGGACTAGGGGTTGCCCCGCACCTGCCACCTCACCCGCCACTCCGCCACATTCACTTCCGCCGGAAACTCTGGACTCTGGCCACTGTAGCCGGCCGACCCGCCTCATCTCTCTCCTTCTGTTCGTCTCTCGTCCATCCGCCTGGTCCTACTGCCTCTGAAGCTGGACGAACCTGGTAACGCTGCTCATGTTCATTGTTGAGCATTCTAGCTGTCACTCGCTCGGCGAGCTCCGAGACCGATATTCTGCTTCTCATCACCCGCACCTGGCGGTCAAGTCCCTTGATGTCCATCTCCACCTCAACACCATCGACTACAAGCAAACACGCCAAGCTCGAAACCCACTTACGCAACACTCGATGGGCTGGTCATACGTTCGAGGATCCAACGGGGTGGCCCATGCAGCCCTTGCCTCGGCCAAGCTTCCAGGATAAACCGAATTGCTCAAAATCTGGTCAAGAGTGAGTTGCACATCGGCGTGACAGCCCTGTTGTCATGGTCTCGTTCGCCTCTCCGGTGCGGCTAGACCTTCACTTGCGTGGACCAGCCAAGAATAGTCGGCTGACGTGTGCAGGTCGGGCGCATTACTCGACTCCGTACAGCCGTCCTCATCATACGCGGACACATCTCGTTTCGCGTCAAGGATCGCTCGATCCCCTCGCTCATACATCCTCGAGAGTGAATGCCAACAGGAAATGGCGCGCTGCAGCTTATAGCTGGTCAAGGAGCGCTGATAACTGCTCCCGTCGGTAGAATGACCTCCCCCACTTTGCAGCAATGGTATCTGCGCTTGGACCTCCTCTGCGCTCGGACCCTCTTTGAGATCGACAGATCTGGGTGCGTGTGTGGCGGAATCTGTGGGATGATGAAGTTGACGCGAATCTCACTGCGACCTCTTCCTTCCCTCATTCTTCCTCTCACCTGATTCTCTTACTTGCCCAGACAACTATCTGATCAATTCACCTCATACCAGCCACTCCCATTCCATTGTGACCTTACAGCTCCTTTAGGGATGAGCGTCAGCGGAAGTCGAAGCGGGGGACATGCCGAGGGGAGCAGCGGACCACGCAGTTCCTTGCCACAGAGTGAGTCTGATTGCTACCTTCAGCTCGCATCAAGCTGACCTACGCAGACTTCCCTTCCAGTAGCTCGCGTAGTCATCAGCAGAGTTCGGGGCCTAGCGAAATCAGGTCGATTATCCCCACAGTCGAGTCAGTTCCCCTGCCTACCTATGCTGTGATCGCACCAGCTGACTGACAGCTTGTCTGTCGATTCCGATGAGGAGGAGGAAGTGCCTGGAGCTCTACCGGGTAGCAGGAGGGTCCCGGCTAAACGAGTGCTCGAGCACGTCGTACTCGCCAGTTCTGACACGCCATCGTAGACGCTGACATTATAGCTATACGGAGCATACCGACAAGGAAGGAAGTGCAGCAGCCGTACATCAGAATGCAGGAGCTGGACGCCAGATTGAACTCATAGAGTGGGTCTCGGCTTACTCTCTGTACTATGTCATGCGATAGCTGATCTCTCAGTCTCAGCGGGGACGTGAGCTCGCAGGAGGATTCAAGGAGAGACACCAAGCGCAGGAGGATCGAGTATAGCAGGTATGTCCGCCGCGCAGCTCTCCCTTCCAGGCATTTCACTAGCTAACGGAGCAGTCCTGAGAGCGACTCTGAGCACGAGATCGTCTATGAAGGTTTCAAGCGTGGACTGGCTGGACGTACTGTGCAGGCAGGAGATCTCCCCCACTCCCGAGCAGGCGGGTGAGTCGCTTACTGGCTCCTTTCGCTCCGAGCTGACATGTCCAGCGCGTCAAGTTCGCGGAACGCCAAGGTCCCCCGGAGTAGGAGTAGCAGCACATCCACTGTAGACTCCCTGGTCATCACAAATAACGCCCCGAAGCGACCCCTCTCCACCTCACCCAAACGCTCCCCATCCTTCACACCCAAGCGCTCCCCCTCGTTCTCGCCTAAGCGCTCCTCTTCTCGGTCTCGTGAGTTAGCCTCTCACGATGGCTTCGACGGTCATCGACCTCGACCCAACGGAGACGACGGCGGCCCTGCACGTCGCCCAGGTCGCGGTACCACCCTCCACAGCGCAGGCTCCACATGGTCTCGCAGTGTGGCTGTCGATAAATGGAAGGCGTGGGTCCACCTGCACGTCCAGAAGGATTATATCAATCAGACCGCTACGATCAGGCCAGCGGCGGTCAACTTCGCCTTGGCTGTCATCAACGATATCACCAATCTCGACGCCATGAAGTATCGGTCGCTTCTCCACTCCGTTAACGGCCATCTGCACAGAAACAACTTGCGCTTCGTGTGGCCAGGTCATGTCCCTTTCTTCAACTCGGTCGACATCGTCACCGTTCGCAAGATGCTGGACACCGAGTATCTGCTCGTCGAGCACGGTACCCGCAACAACCCAGCTCCGTGCGATTGCTGCCAGCCACTTCTTCGGCGCCACTATACGGATACCCAGCTACAGGTCAAATGCCTGTCGGACCCGGTCGAGCGGGATGGCTGTTTGCACTGTGAGCAGACCAAGCAGTACTGCTCCGAGCGCATGGATGCGGCAAATGGGCGCTTTGTCTCGTCCAGGCTGTCACGGGTCAAGACGGAGCGCCAAGCAGCCGGTACCATGCTCGAGCTGGTCCGTCGTCTGGTGGGGCAGGCGGGTTATTTGAGCAGAGATGGCTGCCCGGAACAACTGCGCGGTGTGATGGGGACGGTCAAGCAGCTCCTTGTCGGGCCGGGGGGTATGCGAGCAGCGGAGGAGAGGTGGAAGGGGAAGAGGGCGAAGATTGGGAGTGAGAATAAGACGAGGATGGAGGATGGAGAGGCAGCGAGCTATAGGCCGATCCGAAGGTGAGTCTACTGTCATGCGTCCCTCTGGTGGATGAAGCTCATGTATCAGGTTGGACAGGGGAGAGAGACTCGTCTGGTCGTCCGCTTCCGACGTCCGCGCAGAGATCTCCGCCTTCGACGACCTGCTCAACATTCTCCGACGAACCAAGAACGCCTTGGCGGGTGAGGCGGCATACCTCGCTCGGTACGCAAACCGACCGGATGGCGTGCAGCGGACTCTCCACAACATCGTCACCGCCCTCGCCGTCGGATCCCCGCTTTTGCTGGCACAATCCAGGACGATCGATGCTCGGAGGGACCTGGGGCAGCCGGTGGATGAGGATGAGAAGGGGAACAGTCCTGTGCAGGATCGGATCAAGGTGTAGACAGGTACTGGGATCTGTGTAGGTGTATATAAGTGCTAAGATCCGTGTAGGGTATACTATTGCTGGAGGTGATCATATTGTATGTATGTTGCTCGTGTGCTGCGCTGACCCCGGTAACACTCTCAGAACACGCTGCATAGCTAATCCGAACCGCGCAAATCCCTACTCAGCCACGTCACGTTCTACAGCAGAACCCATCACCCGCTTCGCCTGGTTGACCTTCTCCCTCGCTTCGTGCAAGCGTTCCTGGCAGAATATCACAACACGACGCCTAGTCAAGAAGTTGGCCGTGTGATCACCATCAACGCTAGACGCATCGAGGTAGGTGAGGATTTCGACCGTTTCGGCCGCGTCTGCCATCTGATAGACGGATTCCTCGAGGGCGATGATGGCCTTGAGGAAGATTGCGTGGGCGGCCTGATTGGAGAATCTGCTAGCTCTAGTGTCGGCATGATCCTCGCGAGAGGAGGAGGAGGAAGTCGGAGATAAGCTGAGGTGTGAGTGTCATTCTTTCCGTCCGGCCGGTACGAGCAGCAAGAAGCTCACCTTGGAGCCGAGGCAGTATCATCGATGAGCTGGGTTGAGACTACGTGCTCAGCTATATGTCAGCTTGATCCTGTATCTGGATGGGCGAGCCTAGGACAGAGATACATACGAGCTGTGTCCGCCGTCAGGCCGACGGGCAAGTCCCTTGTTTTGGAGCGGAGGGGCGAAGGCATGATGCTGGTGCAGGTCTGTTTTCGGGGAGGTGAAGGTAATTGTGTTGTGAGCGCAAAGAGGAAATTTGTAAGTATTGCTGGTTCCAGTGTTGAGGTGGGAAGAGGAAGAAATATCCATCAGACTTTAGCATTGCGGACTATCAGAACATGATGGGGTGAGCGCCATGAAGGATGACCTGCTTGACCCCGTCTGCCCATCAAATCAAGTCGTACGAGGCAAAGAGGTATTTGTCACTTAAAAGCAGGGTCAGCCATATCCTCAGCTTCTCTCATATGGATGACCATCAACCGAAAGCTTAAAGCCCCAGTATCAGCACATCAGTGGCGCTGTGCATGTGTGGGTCACTGAGTGTGTGGCATCTCAGGGGAAAATACTGCTCGCGCCAGAATACGACAAGCTGTCATCCTACCAGTCCAGATATGTCTCAGTATCTTCTGCAATCAGCATCGAGCCATCGTCTTCGAGCTGTTTGGGCAACTGGCATGGGATCCGGCCGCTGAAAGCTGTAGGAAGCTATAGCTGAGGACTTGAAACCATCCTATTCCATCTGAAACAGCTTACGTCACCGTGTCACTGGGTCCCCTTCCGACGGAAGCTGGAGCCAGTTTTGGCGCTGAGGAGGCTCGAGGCGCTCTGAACATCAACCTTCCACACAATCCCCATCAAGGACCCCAGTTCTGTCCTCGCTTACTTCCATCGCCTGCGCTAAGCATTAAATCAAGTCTACATCGGGCTAGTATGGATGCGAGGCTACAAGGATGCCCGTTCTGGGTGGGGAAGTGGGGGCAAGCGAGAGGGGATCGGCGCGGGGATATGTCTGTTCCGGCATGCCCCCCGTCTTCTTACCTTTCTCGATACTGATCATACCCCGAGACTCACTGCTACTTCTCATACTCCTACTTCAATTACATAGTAACAATCAGCACTCTCCCTTTAATGCCTTAGCAGCAAAGGACATCAACAAGGAAGACGATCAGACCGAAATTTATTGTGATTCCTTCCTCATTCACCGCGACCTAGAGCTGATTCGTTAGGCCTACTGCTAGAAAGCTAAACCATCATCAGCAACATCAATATCGTACCTCTGAGCAAAGAGCTAGCTCCAGTCGACATGGCTGCTAACTTCCCACCGCCCTCCGCTCCTGCTCAGGCGGGAAGGGTGTACGGAGGTCCCCAAGAGAAGGAGGCCGAGTGAGTCTTGTTTGAGCTCTTTCCCTTCAGCTGGCTGTAGCTAACCTGTTCAGAGCTTCCATCAGCAGTATCTCTGCTTCTCAAGACGCGGTCGAAGCAGCAGTGTCAGGCGATCGCCCGCAGAAGAGACGAGAGAAAGGAAAGAAGTGAGTTACAATCTGCATTGGAACTCTTCTCCTTATGCCCTAGCTTGCGATGAGTCCAGCTGACATGAGTAGAAGGGAGCAGAGCAAGGAAGACGAGGGGAGCAAGGAAGGGAGGAGGAGCAAGGACGATAAGAAGAGGTCTCGAAATGAGGCCAAGCTGGGCGAAGGAAGGTGAGCAGACCTGTTTTCACCCTTCCTCCATCTTCTGTACGCATGTGAGCAGATGCTGATTTACCAGTACATCGAGCAAACGCCAGCGCAAGCCCAGGAGCCCATCCGTCCAGTTCTTGGAAGCGCCCCCTCGTCAGCCTGTGCCTACGGTTGAGTGAGTTGCATCAACCATCCTGTCCGTCCATGCCGTGCTGACAGGGCAGCTTGACGAACATCGATAGCGATGACGACAACGATTCGGAACCAGCTCTTCCCGCCGACCTGCCCTTCCCCCACTCGCACGGCAATTCTTCCCCTTCCCCTGCTCCGCCGACCTTCGGGTATACTCCTGCACGGTCCGGCTCCTCCAACGCATCTTCGGGCCAGGCTGCGGAACATGCGCCAAGCGAACTGCCCTGGCAGCCCAGCCCCACTGTCGTGCGTTCTTGGATCGATCAATACACCACGAGATCGCGGAACGGCAGGATCGACGTTCACGCCGGTCTCGAGTGGACCTTGATCACGAGCGACAACGTCCTCGACATCAAGGCCATGAAGCATCAATGGCTCCTTCGAGCAATCCGGGACGAGCTTTATCGGCTTCACGGCGCAAACGTCGACATCAGGTGGTCCTTCGACGGAAGGGAGGTGGTCTGTCTGGCGGGAGACACTTTCACGGCGGTCCAAGACCTGCTCGGCATGGGGGGCGGGTACGGGGAGTATGCGGAGGCGGGAGCGTGCGCTCAGTGCAGCAGTGGGGAGAACGGGGAGTACATCAGTCACTTGGCTGTCAAGTGCGTGGCGGACCGTGAAGGGGATAAGGAGTGTTTCCCTTGTCGTGCCTTGGGCAAAAAATGTGGCGGGGTGTTGAGACCGGAGAATTAGCGAGGTGGGAAAGGCTGTGGGATATCATGTAGGAACCATCGTGGCTGTGTAGGTAGTGTCGTTATCTCCTCCGATCCTGGAGATCTGGATTCTATATTCTATGCAATGTACATATAACGAGCTCTCTGGTCGCCCACCAGATAGAGTAGTTGAGCTGAGATGAGAGATGGCCGTCAAGCTTCAAAGCTTCAAGCTTCGAGGCCAGCAGATTCGCCACCTGCACCGTTACGTCACTGCCAGTTGCCATTGACTTTGCAGCGCAGTTACTGGTGACCTTTGATTAACGTTTGACCTTTGCATCTCTCCATCTCAGTACAAAATGAGACACATACTCACGGCAGTGCTGAGCCTGGTGCTCTCTTCGAATGCACTGGCGTCGCAACAACATCTCCACGCCCCCTTTGAGCCAACCGGGAGCATCACGCCGAGCCCATCCGACTCCTCCCCCTACCCTCTATCGGAAACGATCGTATCCATCCTCTCGGCCTCGAAGGAGCACACCATCCTTCTGCATCTCTTGCAGCGCTCCAAATGCATACCCATGCTGGCGCATATCGGTAACGCCACCCTGTTCGCGCCGACGGACAAGGCATGGAACGATTGGGCGGATGCGCACCGACCGTCGGACCCAGAGGGCCTTTATCTCGACTGGCTAGGCCCTACGGGCTTACAGGAGTGGATGGTGACAGAGGAAGAGACGGTCGTGGGGCGGATAGCGGCGGGCCTACCAGCAGATGTGGACAACCAGAATTGGGCACTGCGGCAGCATCTGCTGTACCACATGCTTAACTATACGCTTTCGCCCTCGGACTTTGACTCCTCGGACCAGAGCAACATCACAACGCATACAACACTCCTCTTTCCGCTAGCAGAAGAGCCGTCTCATCCTCGGGTCCCGCCACCGGGAGCACCATGGCTTCCGCGAGGCGGAGATGGGATGCTAGGGAAGCACGGGCAAAGATTGCGCTTTGCCCGCGCAGGCAGCGATGAGGGGGCCGCGCGGGGCAAAGTTGGCGGGGACTGGAAAGGACAAGGGGGATTGGAGGTATGGGATGGGAGCGGATGGGGCGAGAGAGATGGCAATGAGACACATCTGGACTTTGGGGCTGGGAAGGAGGACAGGAAGGACAAGGCGAGAATACGAGGAGCCAGGTGGGGAACCAACGGAGTCGTGGTGGGAATCGAGGGCGTACTGAACACTCCTCCATCTATCGGTGAGTCATTGAAGGGCTGTCCGTGGCTTGACTGACTGTCCAGAAACTATTATCAGGACAGATCCCGCTCTCTCCTACCTCAGCAGACTACTTCATCCCGCGGAAACGCTACCTTCTCCGCTACCTGCAAATTTATCGACTTCTGAGCACTTGACGCTTTTCGCTCCTTCGAATGCAGCTTTCGATTCTGCATTTGACGATGTCGAGAAGCGGTATTTGGAGGGAGAGTTTGGCGAGGAAGGAGTTGCAAGGGTGCTCGGCGGCGGTGTAGTCACGGGCCTAGGCAAGGGTGGTGTGGGCTGGAGAGACTACTGGAGCAGGGACGGAGAAACAGGTGAGGCCATCTTCCGGGCAAAAAGACTGTGTTGACGATCAGTCGGAGCTGTATCAGGTGATGAGCTCAAAATCGAAACAGCTTCAAACGGCAACCTCGTCGTGAATGGTACCGAGGCCGAAGTAGCCGACATCTTCGCCTCAAACGGTGTCATCCACATCATGCCCTCTCTGATCGTTCCCGCCAACTTCACACTTCTCAACAGCGCCGAAAAGGTCCTCCTCTCCAATAACGCCACTCGTTTCGTCTCCCTGCTCCGGACCGCCAACCTCTCAAATACGTACGCCGGGGTGCACGGGTCGGCGGCGGATCAGCCATGGACGATCCTCGCGCCTACGGATGACGTCCTGAACAAGATGGAGCGGTGGGGAGGCGGAGGTCCCCCTCTGCCTGGTATAGGAGGTCTTATCGGCGACGCTGCAGGGTCTCCACTCGCGGAGCTCCTTAAATACCACATCATCCCTGGGCGGCTACTTCCTGATGATATCAAGGACGGGATGTTGATCGGCACGGAGCTGCAGCCTGCCTCGCTCTCAGGTGGAAGGCAACGCATGAGGGTTGAGCTGTCGGATCGCTTTGACCGGCACAGAACCGGCTGGGATGCGGTGGACACGGGAGGGATCAGATTTGACGGTGCTACAGTGCTGGGCAAGCCAGGTGAGTTGATATAAAAATTGCGGCTTCTCAGCTGACATCCAGTCAAAAGCGGCAAGAGCGTTATCTATCTCATATCCTCCCTCCTTTCCCCACCCGAGGACGTGCTCCAGACCGCTGTCGCCGACCTCCAGCTCTCGACCTTCATCGCCGCCGTCTACGCTGCGGACCTCAGCCGTACCGTCAAGAACATCCCGGCCACCACCTTCTTCATCCCTCGTAATCGCGCCTTCTCCTCTTTGGGCCTCACTATGCGGTACCTACTCTCTGCGGAAGGCAAGGACGAGCTGCGAAAGGTTGTCAAATACCACGCTGTTGACGCAGTCGTCTATACGGAGGATATTGAGGACGGGCGGGAGACCTACAAAACGCTTCATGGCGGCGACGTCGTCCTAGAGCGGACAAAGGGGAGGAACTACACCATCTCACTGCAGAGCCCGAGTAAGTGGGCGGGGCACGACTCGGGCGACACCCTGCCCGCCAACGGCGAGATCAGACATGCAACCGTCACACACGCCGACGCGCTCACATCCTCCGGCGCCATCCACACCATCGATTCGGTCGTCATGCCCGCCGACGTGCAGATCACAATCGGCAAGCTCATCAGGGGGAGCAAGCAGAGCACAATGGTGGATCTGATGGGGAAGGCGGGACTGGATTGGATCCTGGAGGGAAGAGAGCCAAGCTCGGACGAGCTGCATCACGCTCGGCTCACCGGAATCGTCGAGGCGTGGAACAACGACACGGCTTCCACGCCCGATCTCGAAACGCTCGCACTTCCGGGTTACACCGTTCTTTGCCCCACCGACAAGGCGTTCAGTCGGATCAACATGACGCAGTATCTCGAGGATCCGGAGGCTCTCGCCAATCTGCTCAAGCTCCACATCATCCCCACTCAGCCATCTACTCCCCGGACAGACTCCCGACACCTTCCTGCGTCTCCTCCGCGCGATGGCAGCCCACTCTCGCTCGCCGACGACCTGGTCTTCCAGACCCTGTTGTCTGCCTCCAGCAAATATGGCGATGTCGCATTTCGGGCAACCGGTGACAACAGCTTTCTTGTTGGCATTAGGAATGCGCGAAGCGGGAATGGGAATGACGCCGCCAGGCTGGGTCAGGGCGGCAGGGCTAGTGTCCGGTGGCGGAAGAGTCATCGGGATGGGCTGGAGGCTCAACGAAAGGGCAAGACTGGCGGGGCGGTAGATATCGGATCAAACGGGGACGTGCTATCGCGAGGAGGCATGACTGTGGGTGGAGGAGTCATCCTTGTGGATGCGGTGCTGGAGCCATACGAGCCCAGTTGGCTGTCTCAGTAAGTTCTCGACCTCTTTCCGAAAGCTCAAGCTGACAGCATAGGTGGGGATGGCTCATACTCGGTATCAGCGGGGTCACTGTCATCGTCCTCATCACGGTCTTTACGTTTGGCTGGTGGTGGATTGCTAGGAAGAAGGCGGAGCGGGAGGAGGAGGGGTATGAGCCACTCGAGGGGGAAGAGGAGGAGTAGTGAACGTGGGGGAGGGGAGCCTTTGATGGGCGAGGGGTGATCGACAAGGGAGAAGCAGGGTGCCGGGGCGGGCTGACCCATTTCGGCCGAGAACTGGCCTCTGGTCTTCGGTCAGCTTCTGGATAGCATAGACTAGATTCCATCTGTATGTTTCAGTATCGTTGTAGATCTCTGACACGCATGTATTCGTAACTCTGGACACCTCTGAAACGCAGGGAAACGTGTCGCATCCCTTGCATGAGACATGGAGGCTTTGAGGGGTGTCAAAGGATGCATGTTTTATCCGGATGTCGCGCATGTCGCGCAAAGTAGACTGCCCCCTCCGAGCTTTCAGTGTCTACCATCCACTTGATAGACATCTGGCATGTCCCCGACGGCGATCGTACGCGTTCAGCAGCAACTTCGAGCGATCCAAGCATTATGCTCAAAAATTTGGTCCAGTCCTGGCTTGCCTTGGGGATTATAGCGGAGATGGTATTATCCGCTCCAGCGGGCCCAACAGGTAGACCACAAGGCGCCCCAATCCTTATCCAGAGTGGCAACAACAGAACGAGGCACTTTGCCCTCGGAGGCGCGCTCATATCCTTCGATCCTGCGGGCAACGCCACATCTTCGAGCGAAGTTAGCAGCACCACGCCAGCTCAATCATCGTCGACGAGACCGAACGGAGCTGAACTGATCGCTGTTGAGGTCTCGGAAGTGGTAGACGGCAGTATACTGGTGCAGTACTACCAAGAGAAGAACAGTCGCGCTCCATCTACGGCTTACCAGACACCGCCTCCCGCGCCACCGGCTGCTCAACCCTCGCTGACTCATGCTCTACCTCCGACGGACGAGGCTGGGAAGTGGGTGGATCTGCATAACCGAGCGAGGGAGCTGTTCGGGGCGGGCAAGCTAGAGTGGCGGGATGACCTGGTAGCGAGGGCCAAAGCTAACGCGGATTTGTGCACGGGCGATCATTCGTAAGTGACGTTGGCTTTTGAGCTGACAATAGAAACGCTGGAGAGAACATAGCAGCGCAGAGTGGGAGCTTGACACCTGAGTTGACTGTCGAGTGGTGGATGGCAGAAGAGGTGTTCTACGACTGGTCAACGCCTGGGTTTGAGGGTGAGTGCATGGCTCAGCGCAGAGGAGGGCTAATGTCCGTAGATAAGACTGGTCATTTCACTCAGGCGGTGTGGAAGAACTCGAGATTTGTCGGATGCTATACCACGAAGTGCAATCCTGGAACAGTCTTTGAGGCATCGTATGGGGTTAGCCGCCATAATCTGGGCTGGCGTGCGGTTGCTGACGAAAGCAGGTCAGCTATCAGTCGACGTGTGAATATGACCCAGTCGTAAGTTCAGTCTTGCCCAAGTGGGTACGCAAGAAGACCGCTGACTGTGTAGGGGAACTATGTCAGTAAGTACGGCTAAGCCGAGCCTCTCAGATCACCATTGGATTACAGTCAAGCTGACCAGCAGATCCAGGGGAGTTCGCCAAGAACGTCGGGAAGAGGGAGTCTGGCATTGCGCCGTGGCGACCATGAGGGAGATGATCTGCCGGACGCCGAGCGCACCCTCATGCATGCCATAACCCTCACTGACCTTCCAACCTACTCATGTACACCTGCTTGGCTATCTTGACGGCTTCGTCAACCTTGTCTGTAGCAAGACCGACAGCGACCGCCGAATCAAGCTTTCCTCCACCCTGACAAAATCAACGTATACCCTTGATGATGAAGCAAATCACTGATGGCTCACCTTTCCTCCCACCACAGCTGAGACCTCCGCCATCCAGCTCCGGGCATCCGAGATTTTCTTGTCCAGGACGTCTCTCGGCACAAAGTTGGCGTGTGCGCCTCTGCCGCCCTCGACGTTTGGGCCAAAGACATAAGTTGCCTTACCGAGAGCTTTGCCCGCAGTTGCCGCCGCAGAGAGGATCTTGGCGTCCCCATCGACGTCAAAGGTGCCGACGTAGACGGCTTCGTTGGTATTTGCGGCGAAAAAGCCCTTGACCTCATCTTGGATCTGCACTGTGAGCAGAAGGCCGGTATCGGATCCAAGAAGGCACGTACCATCTGTCGATCTGACGAAGCTTTAGCCTTCTGCACCTCCGCCACTGCCTTCTGCAGCTCTTGAAGCTCCACTGCCAGCTCGCTCCGCCGAATGAGTGAGATATCGCTCTTTGCGAGATCCTATAGGAGTCAGTGTTGCCGACCAGAGGTATCAAGCAGATAACTCACAGATGTCGCGAGTTTCATCGCTGCAGCTTTGTCCTTTGCTTCCATCCTGGCGATGCTGGCCAACCTGAGCCTAAAGCCATCTGCCCACACTGTCGCACATCTGGCAACATCGCCGGTGACAGCGGAGATTCGGCGCACACCCTTCACGCCAGAGCCTTGACCGGTGACGATGAGTTGCGCGATGCTTTCGGTGTTCTCGATGTGGCTGCAATCAGCCTGTCTCTTGCCTCGACTCACGTTCCGCAGCACAGCTCAATGCTAGTCGACGGCCACTTGCGGTCCCCCTGGACTACCGCCGCGGACTCGACCGGGATGCCGATGGACACCACCCGGACTGGGTCTGGGTAGGTCTCACCCGACACAGACTCCATGCCAGGGATCTGCTGCGCCTCTTTCAACGGAATCTCCTCGGCAAATACTGCCGCTGCTCGTTGAATCCACTCATTGCAGATGTTCTCGATCTTGGCGAGGTCATCTAGCGCGATCGCCTTATCGTGGGAGAAGTCGAGACGGATCTTGAGCGGAGTGACGAGGGAGCCCTTCGCTTTCGACCTGGGGACCGAGAACCTCTCGAAGTGCCGAGAAGAGGATGTGGGTTCCGGTGTGATTGATGCGGATAGGTCCTCGGCGAGTCTATCAAAATCAGCTACATGCCATGGACCCGCCGCGGATCTGCCTCGGATAAGTACCCACCTTATCATAGCTGGCTTTGACCTCATCTCCGATTTTGAGGTCGCCGTTCTTCATGCTCCCCACATGCAGGATATACCCCTCGTACACCTGCACATTCTCCACCTCGAAACTCGCCGTCTCTTCGATAGATAACGAACCAGTGTCCCATTCCTGGCCGCCCGCTCCGGCGTAGAAGTTGGTCTTGTCGAGGATGACACCAAAGGATACGCCGGCGGGGACTTCACTGGTCGACATGAAGAACTTGGAGTCATGGTAGATGGACTTGACGGTGGCCTTGATATCGGCAGTTGCTGCGATAGTCAGCGACAAACCTATATGCGTGTCCTCAGATGGCTTGAGCTTACAGTACTTGAAGGAGTCGTCCGTCTTCGCCAGTGAGGCCTTCAACAGCGTGACATCTTCCGCATTCAACTTCACTCCAGCGCTTGCCGCTTGCTGGATGTCATCTGTCTTTGATTGCACGTGAGCCGACATTGTGTGACCTCTGGCCAATATGCTGAGTTAGTGAGAGACAATGCGGCAGTTGGACCCGTTGACCAGACGTAAAGACATGGCATCGGCTCCTTTGTTGCTGGTTGACAATGGGGTGCAGGTGGTGAAAGCTTAAAGGATGGGTAGATCTGGTGCGTTGAAGGTAGATCGAGGAGACGTCACATCGCGGTTATATTTGTAAAAGACAGCCTCAAACCAACAACACCGTTGGTGAAACGGTATCATGCATCCTTGCCATTAAACAGGTTTATTGGATGCGGCAAGGGTTCGACTCCCTTACGGTGTATATCTTTTTGTCCCCGTAGCTTCCGCCCGGCGCGGTAGTCGCGTCGCGTTCCACTTTGTGCGACTCTTCTTTTTTACTTCTCCCTCGGATCTTTCCCCTGTTAGATTTGCGCTTTCAGCAGCAGAAGGAGAGTGTAGTCCGCAGCTGTCTGCGCCCCAGCCGCCTGGACCAAGCTTCCAAAAATCCACCGCTGGCAACCTTATGTCTGGTCTGACCGCCTTTCACTAGTCACTTCCCCTGACAGTGTGTGTTCGAGCACACAAGAAGCGCCCGCGTCGCTCATGTTTCAGTGCTTCTTCTGCGCTCTAGTCCCTTCCCAGCCGCTCTTCTCATCTCTTCATCATGCTCGCCAGTACTGACTCACCCCTCATCATCCGCCTACCTCACCGTAGACATCGCTATCGATCATGGCTGGCAAATCCCTCTCCAACTGGGTCCTTCCGCCGCTCCCTTCGTCCGTTCTCACCGTTCTTCCCGCTCGCCTCACCGTGGCTGATGCTACCGCCGACAAGCACTCGGTCACCCACTCGAGCTATCATTGCCTCGCTAGTAACCCAAACTCGCTAGCGCTAGATGAGCCCACGCCAGACTACGAGAAGCTGGAGCACGTAGGGGATGGGATCGTCGGTATGTCCTCTGGCTAATTTCGAACGTGCTAGTGCTGATGAGCAGGCTCGGCGGTGATCATGCTCCTGCATCGTCTGTACCCGGGTCTCAAGCCTGGTCCCGCTACTGTAAGTCGTGCAAGCTGTGTAAAGCGAGCAAGGGTTGACCGGCAGTTCCTCAAGAGCCAGATCTGCTCCAACGCGGTACTCTCCCAGATATCGGTCCAGCTCGGTCTCCCTCGGCAGCTCAAATCTCACGTCTCCCAGATTATGCAGCACCAAGCCAACTCCTCTATCCAGGCCGCCCTCTTCGAAGCCCACATCGGCGCGATCGCAGCTAGCGACTACCGGTCCATCACCATCAGTCCGACCCTCTCGACGTACCTCGAGCGCATCTTCGAGCCCATCGTCGAGTGGGCCTTCGGCGCGATGAGGGCGTACCACCAGGAGCTGGTCACAGGGGACTGGACGGAGGAAATTGATCGTATCGCAGTCGGGGCGAAGAACACGCTGGATACCTGGGCGCAGGGAAAGACCGGGGGCAGGGTGGAGGTGCGGACGGAGGAGACAGTCCCGCCTTTCACGGCGGTGTGTATCGTCAAGTTGCCGGATGGACGCCAGTTGTGAGCCTGGCTCTGGAAGATGAAAGGGTATGGCTGATGAGCTCAGGCAGACGTCAGCGACCCGCACGACCAAGAAGCTCGCGTCGGCTGCGGCTTCATGGCAGATGTGCGGAGAGCTCAATCCACCTCGGCGAGAAATTTCCGAGTAGGCGCCCTAGGAGCAGCTCCTGGACTGATATCTGATGCACCTGATGACATATGCATCTTGCAGCCCATACCATTGCAGCTCCCGGTCCCAGGTCGATTCCCGACGGGGCGGGCTGGTCTCACTATATTTTCCGCCATTGTACGGTATCGCCGAGATGCCGATAGTCGCGAGAGGGTGCGGAGCGACTGTACTACCAGAATATGGACATTCAGATAGCGGCTGGTCGAGTCATGAACGACCAGAAGTTCCTGTTATGGACAGGGTGAGCGTGGCTAAGTTATGGACTGGCCTTCGACGTAGAATGTCGGGGTTGCTCTTTTGCACCTTTGTGTGTCGGTGCGCTGAGGAGTGACGGCTAGAGTCCTCCAGGCTTGTGGATGTTGGCGCGCTGAGCCTCGAGACAGGTTGCGTAGCCATCCGGGGTCGGCGTTTCAGATAGAGCTCGGCGAAATGGGATGGGGCACACTGAAACACGGTTACCGTAAGGGCCGAAGAGGAAAAAGGTGACTCACCCTTCCGACCTCCTCCGATCCGCGTGGTGCCGCAGGAGAATTATCGGATGCCTGCTTACCTTTGCTTACCACCAAGGTACGCATCTCTTCGTGCTGCAGATCTGTGACATGAGCGCCTCCTCGCTACGGGGGTTACAGCTGTTTCGGATCAACCAATACCCCGTGGCGGCGTTTCGAAACTCGGTGAGCTTCAGCATTCCTATCTTTTTGGCGGAAGTCTGAAGGCAAGGCCAAGCTGACAGTGTCGGCAGTGATCGAGGTGGCTGACACTTGATACTGCCATACCCCCTTGTAGATGACGTCCTTGCTCCGATGCCGGCGTCCAGGATGTCAACTTTTCGGGAGGATCTGCGTCAGCTTGAGAGAGAGCAGATCTATAAGGATGGGTCGTCTGCTGAAGACTTCTCCCCAGACCTGCACATTTGACTTACCAGCCTACCCTCACCTTTGTCATCAGCCATGTCTTACAGTACCTATAGCTCCGGGCCCGTCCCTCCGACCATCCTCGACGACCTTCCGGACCAGCTCGATATCTTGCATCCCACCTTGGCAATCCGCTCCATCACACACCCAAGCCTACACAACTCGGCCAAGAGGCCCAGCTCGCCCTCCGGTAGCTCAAGCTTGACCTACGAGGAGCTAGCACACATTGGGTCCGGCGTCATCAGTCAGTAGTATGCTCCAGCTGTCTTAGCTCGCGCTGACTTGCAGCCGCAGCCGTATCGGCCCGGATCTACGACCAGTATCCTGACCTCCAGCCTCTGCCTTGCGACGTGAGTAGATGTGGGCTTGCTGCCAGACCTTGATCTGACGATGCAGATACTGCTTGGTCGGATCTGCTCCATCACCATCCTTGCTCAAGTCTCCCTCCATCTCGGCCTTCCTCGGTACCTCCGCGCCGATCGGTGCCAGGCCGCCCATCTGCGGGATCTGCCTCACGTCCAGGCCGACCTTTTCATGGCTCACATAGGCGCACTTTCCCTCAGCCACCCTTCCCTTTCCTCCAATGAGCTCACCTCATACCTGGGAGCCATCTTCGATCCCGTCATAGTCTGGGCGTTCGGCACCTTACTCTTCTCTCGCCAAGATCTCGACGGTGACTGGTCGATGATCGACCGCGACGACCTCTCCAGTACAACCCCCCCCACACCGGTCGCCTACCTCAGAGGTACGCTGGATCTGCCACTATATAAGGCTGTCCACGAGGCCCATGTCATCTGTCCGATCGACGAGTATGACGCTCCGCCACCTTATACACCTGCCTGCGCGGTCTATGCTGGAAGCGGTGATATGATGTGAGTTGCTACCTCTCCTCCACATCCTTGATAGCAGTGATCTGAGCTGATTCTCTAGTATGCCATCCACCACTCGCTCTAGAAGGAGGCGGGCTCTCGCTGCGACAGCTTGGGAGCTGGGCAATCAAGAGTTGGGAACATAGCGGGCGAAGTCGGAGAGAGTTAGTCAGGAGGGATGCATCGTATGTCTCTTGCTCTTTGTACGCTGGCTGCTCAGGCCGCTGAGGATCGTCGTGCACGTGATGACTGGACTCGACAATGCCTAGCTCGAGCTAAGCGCTAAGCAGCTGATGCCGCACGGACATCGGTGCCTGACAGCTGCCAGCTCTGCGGCGCTAGTTTTCATGCTTCACATCACCATCCTTTCGCACACACTCGATCTTTACTGAGATCGAGGCCGCCGGGATCGAGGGTGCTGACTTGATCTTCTGACCTCAAGCGATTAGTACCTGGACTAACGTCGCACACACAGCTGTCGTCCTCTCCCGTGCCTTGCATCATCGCAACGCCACAAAACTGACTAGTCAAGATTAACTCTGAAACGGATTGACTGTCCGAGCGCCAGTGCGGCTTTTGCGGATCCAGAGATCCAAAGGGGGTACGTTCCCACAAAAACGGCTGACGAGAACCCTTGAAACTGCCGCACTGACCCGCTTTCCCCTCTTGTGTCATACCCTCGTGGGGCTGTGTGGACGCCATCGAGGGTGCAAGTCGGAGTTCAAACTTCAGAAAGGCAGGGGATGGTTGTCAAGGGGACAGATGATACAGAACACAACGACTCGGAAGGACCCACCCTTTCTCGCGGCGTCAGAGCCGATGGAGCCTAGCTACTGATTGAATGGCCAAGGGGTAATTGCGGACAATATCTCGGTCAGGTCCCAGGTCGCCCTCCGCCCTCCGCCCTCCAAGTCAGCGACCTGGCCTCGAGGATAAGATGACACAAGCTATAAGAGGGGGAGGGGTACGTGCAGAGGAGAGAACAACACATCCTCCCTCACCCCCAAACCTCATACCTACCACACTTGACATCCCTGACTCACCAGTCTCACCAACTCGAGCTCGAACTTTACCCAAATGTACCCTGCTACGATCCAACCGCGACATGAGACTCGCCAGCCACCTCGGCGACATCACTACGCTCCTCCTCCTCGCGCCCGGAAACCCGCGCCGACCCCAGCGTATCATCATCGCGCTCTGGGCTCGCACGCCCCTTCATCGGACACACCCCACGCCGATTCCAAGGCGCAGAGTACGTGCTTAGTCACCCCTGTTTCGCGCGCAATTGACTCGCACTGACCCCTAGCTCATTGCCCTTCTCCATCCGATGTGTCTCGCGATCGAGCTGCGAGATCTTGTAAGTCGACCTTGACGCAGCTTTCAGGTCACGCGCTAATGTCCAGCCTTCTCGTCCAGCGAATCTTCCTTCGGCAGCGCTCAGTATGCTACGCACCAACCCCTTCCAGTCTACACTCGGCCTCGACTCGCTTCGGTCATCCCGCCCCCGGTCAGCCGGTATCTCGCCAGCGGAGACGCTCGAGACCCCCCTCCCCATCATTCTCGGCAGTCTACAATCTCTTTCGCTCCATCCCACACCCATCAGCCATCTTCCACCCTCCGAAACCACCTCCAGACCCAAAGCCGCCTTCCCGATCTGCGCAACATCCACCCACACGCCCCAGACATCGTCGCTGCCCGCCGCAGACTCGAGGACAGCTCTACCAAGCCCTTCTCCTTCGACCCACCCCCATACTCAGACCACGATGTCCCTCTCCCTACACCCTACAACGCCGCCTATCCTCACCCGCTCACCGCCTACGCCTCGCCCGGCGTCAATTTCGCGGCCATCCGGGACGTCCAATGGCGGGACATCCTCCACCATCTCATGGAGACCGATATTGACCTCGTCAAGGGTACCATCCTCGCCTCGTCGGACCGAGACATCAATCCGCCAGCGCTCATGATCCCTGTCTTTGAGGGCGAGGGGTGCGGTATCCCCGAGCGCCTCTGGTCCCGCTTCGAAAGCATGGGCGACCTGGCTCTCGGCGGCTCGTCCACCCATCTCGCTGGTCCTCCTTCGGCTCCTGTCCCACCTCGCTTCACCCAAGCCGGTCTTCACGTCGTCGCTACTCCCGGCGGTCGAGCTCCAGCCAGTCTTCTCCCCTCCCTCCCAGCCGACGGCTTCCCAGCTGTCCGTACCAACTTCTCCAACGTTCTTCGCCGTTCCTCCACGGACACCGAGTCGGCTCGCACCGCCCCTCCTCCTCGTCGAGCCGGACCACAACCTACGCCCTTCCACAAGACCGAGCTATGTCGGACATGGGAGCATGAAGGTATTTGCAAGTATGGTTCCAATTGCCAGGTAAGTCTTACTGTCGTCCTCCTTGACCTTAGCTGACGTGCAGTTTGCCCATGGTCTACTCGAGCTTCGGATGCCTGTGCAGGGTATGCCCACCCCTCCCGTCTCCCACTCCGCTCTCGCCTTCCGTACGGACACAATCACCTCCTACGAGCCACGCCAGCCCGAGCGTCGAGGGTCCCGGCCCATCCACCTCGACTACATCGGCGAGCATGACTCGCCCTTGCTCCACGCTCGGCCCCGCCTCTCCACTCCTTCCCCTATCGGCGCAGAGAAGGATCTCGCATGGAAGACCGTACCCGTCCCAGAGTCGCTGCACAGCCCCTTCTCCTTCACCCAGTACACTCCACCCATACCCATCAGCCATTCAGCCCAACACCACCCTCCCACGTCGGCCATCCCCATCACTTCGAAGTCCTCTTTCTCTTCCCTGTCCGCTTCGGCCGCCTCATTCAAGACCTCCTCTACCCCCTCGGGAAGCTACTCGTACTCTACCTCCACATCTGACTTCTGCCCCTCTTCCTCCTACACCCCCACCGTCGCCGAGCACGACATCCACGGCGGATGGATCGAAAGACTCACCGCTACCCCCTCGCACGAGCACGAGGAGACTCCCGATTGGGAGATGCTCAAGCGGTCTATCGACGCCACGACCGTGCGAAGCGTATGGGAGGAGTAGGGGCGGGACACGGGGAGTAGGCGGTAGAGGGAGGGCAGGCGGGCGAGGGGCCAGGTTTCGTTGTCGAGTTCCCCGCTGTGCTTAGCTATTTGTCCCATTGTGTATCTCCTGTCATTATAATCAGCCTGTATATAGTATCTACTGTAGATTGTCTTCTGTCCATGTTGCGCCGCTGTGTAGATAGGCGGCCAGATCAATCATGCAACACATGCCGCTGTGTAAAGTAGTCAAGTTGATTCAAGACCCCCGGGAGAGCCCACGCTTCACAGCCGACAGTCGGTCCGTACTCCGATTGGACTTCTCATCTCGTGCATTTCGTATATCTGGGTACAACAACGCTAGTATACCCGCACTGCACACCAGGCGCCTAGTGGATCACTCCATGGTCCCGCAGAATCTTGGCCCACCTGACCAGTCAGCTACAAGTCTGCGAGTCTCGGCGCTGCGTAACTCACTGTTCCCGCTTCAAGTTGGCCTCTTCCAATTCCCGCCTCAACCGCGTATTCTCCAACCGCAACTCATTCCGCTCCGTCTTGGTGCTCTGCAGATCCTGCCGGAGCGCCGCGAACGCCTCGGTCGGTGGGAGCTGGGCATCATTGAACATGCCATCGAGCTCGGTATTGAATGCCTGATGGTCAGCTTTCTCTTCGACTGGTCAAGCCGACGTAGCTCACTTCGTAAATCGTATCCACCTCAATCTGCGCATCACCCAACTGCTGCCTCAGGAGTTCCTGTTGCTCCTTCGCTCGAGTGACCTGAGCGGCCATACCCTCCAACTCTCCGTTCTTCTACATCCCGTCAGCTAAACCTGAGGCTTCAGTGCTCTCGATAACTCACCTGCTCCAATCCAGTCATCAGTCCCCCAATCAGCCCCCTACACACTTCCAGATCCCCCAAAGCAGCCTTCAAACCCCCCTCCAGCCTCTCAGCAACAGCCACCATCCCCCTCAGCCGCTCTTCCGCCACTGTATTCTCCAAATCGTGCTTGGCAGCAATGACGGCGGTATTGGTATGTCGGGTGTTCTGGGCAAGAGGGGCGCCATAGTCTGACATCCCGTCCAGATCGAGCAGGCGCTGGAAGCATCAGCTAATGCTCAATTGTCCTGCAAACGGATCTATGCCCGAGCTGAAGGGACTCACGTTCATGTTCCTCCGCTGGGGGCTGCGAGGCATGGATCCCTGATTCCCACCTCCTCCGCCTGACCTCACATCCCTCGCTCCATCCCTAGCGAGCTGCTTCTTCAGCGCAACAACATCCAGCCTCAGCCGCTTCGCCGCCGCCTTGGACTCGGTCACCTATCGATATCAGCTTTGCTCCGCCTCGGCAGATTCTCAAGCTGATTCTAGGCTTACCCGCTGCACGCCCGCATCTAATGCCGCGAGAACATCTGTATGATCCGCCATCTCGATATCCTCCGTCCCCGCCGTCCCCGTCGAATTGACCGAGCCATTCATACTCGCCCCAGACGCCCTTCGGACAGTATGGAGCGTCGGCGTGAGGTGCGCTCCCGACCCCTTCCTCGGCGTCCTATTCCCGCTGGGCGTCCTATTGCCTGAGCGCGGCGCCGAACCAAGACCGATACCCAGACCCGGTAAGGGTGACTTCGGCTTCCGGCCTAGCGAAGAAGGTACGCGGAGCGGGTCAGGCAGGTCCGCGATATCCGCAGCGGACGGGATGGGCTCGAGCGGGGAGCGCGTGAGTGAGCGTTTTCGAGGGGTGAGGTGGTCTTCCGAGTGTTGACGCTTGGCGAGCATGATGGGCGTGGCGGTAGGTGTGGACTGGTCGGGACCGTCAGGCTTAGCCGAGGCCGAGTCACGAAGAGGGACAGTCTCGCGTCCTGCGGACACTCGACGGCCTGAACCGGACACGACGCGTAGCTTGGTATGCGCCGAACCGATCCCAGGGGGAGCCGGGAGCGGTCGAGGACCGGGTGAGCGCGGACCTTGAGGAACTGGCGAGAGGAGGGGAGATTTGGGCGCAGTGTAGCTGTTGAGCAGGGGTGAGCGGGGTGCGGTCATGGTGGGCGAGCGGGGGCCCATCAGACCCAGCCGAGGCGAGAGTGGCGTCGGTGTTGACGGCCCGGAAACGGTGTACTCCATAGGGGGAGGAGAGGCAGCGAAGCCCAGTCCCGAAATCTCGAGGCTGGGTGCTGGCCGGCGGAGCGTGAAGGGTGACTGAGTCGGGAGCTGAGGCAGCTGGGGGAGAGGATTTGCATTGAGCGGTCGAGTCGGTGATGGGGACTTGTTTCGAACCCGAAGAGGAGCAGTGGTAAACATCGTAGGCGAAGTCGTAGACATACTGAGAGTATGCGTACTTGCCAACGGTACTGCTCGTCAGCGTCGCCCTCCACCAAATATTACGGACTTACGATTCGCCAATATAGTATCCGCCGTCGACATCCCCGGAACCCCCTGCGGCTCCTCACTCCCGCCTCTTCGAAGCTCCCCATGACTCCTCGTGTCCATCCGCCGACTAGGCCTCGGACTGAGCGCAGCCATAGACTTGCTATTCTTCCTGGCAAGCTGCAGGCGCTCATTAAGGTCCACCTCGGACTGCGCCATCCCCGCATCGGTCGACTTGGCCTTGTACGGGCTGCGCTGCTTCATCGGCGCCGTTTGATCCAGCTCTTCGTCGGCCTCTTCCCGGTCCGAGGCGGAGGACGACGAGAGGCGAGAGAGACGCTTGGTGCGTTCATCGCTCGACGTGGAGATTCGGGATGCGGATGTGGTTGACCGGGATAGACCGCTGGATCGCTTAGACGCGGTGGTACCGAAAGCATCAACGCTCGAGCTCTGCGAGCGGATCGAGGGGGCGGCACCGAAGAGATTGCGCGAGATTGCGTCCAGGTTGAGCATGCTCGGTCGGAGCCGGTGCGAAGAGGACGAGGGTGTGTTCGGGGCCGAGGCATTCGACGTGCGGAACTTGAAGATGCCATAGCGGTGGACTGGAGGTCAGCTTATGCCCTCGGGAGTCTGGGTACTGTAGCTGGCTTACTGATTGTAGCAATCTTATCCGTGGCATCGTTCATGCTGATCACCTCCCGCTCATCCCCCTCGTCCGCCAGAGTAGCGTATGACAACCTGCACAATCCGCCAGGAAGGGGTTGAACCCGGATGAGCATACACGGTCCAGTCTCCTCGGAAAGGACTAGATCATCCGCCGATCCCCCCTCGTCGATGTGGATGACAACCTTGGCCTAGAAGTCAGCTCTAGAACCTGCAGCAGAAGTAGATAGCTCACCCTCTTCCCAACAACGCTCCAGCCCTTCTTGTCCCAGACGCTCCAGTAGCATTTCGCCCGCCCAAAGATCTCCCCAGCTCCCTCCAATCCGACCTCGTACTCGCTGACCATAGGTCGCGGGGGCTCAATCTCCTTCGGCAGCAGTTTGGCACGAGCAACGGTCTGGGCTGCCCAGAGATTGTGAACGAAGCGAGCCTTGTCTTTGCGGATGGCGACGCTGTCGAGGGAAGACGAGTAGGGTGGGTGGACGGCAGTGTAAGAACGAAATGGGCGGGCAGACCAGCGGTCAGTCTGGTCTGTTGGGGGGCGCTCAAAAAAGAGGTGGAAGTCTGGATAGTCAGCTTGTGCCATCAACTAAGGTTCAGAAAGCTTACCGCCGTTCCCCGTATCTGAGGCGATGACATCCAAAATATCCACAATCCCCCTATAGCTCAACTTGTCCTTCTTTGCTCCGCCCTTGTCCATCACTGCTACCCCTCCTCCACTCTTGACCAGCCGCGTCACATCGTCCAGTCCGGTCACTTTCCGACCCGACACCGCCGCCGACTGCCGCTTGACAATGATGAGCTTGTCATTGAAGAGGAAGAGTGTGCAGTGTAGAGTCGAGAGCGATGAATTGGAATAGCCCGTCGGCGAAGTGGGAAGCTGGGAGCTGGTTACGCTCGAGCCGATCGAAGCGAGGGAGGGTGTCGAGGCGGATGCGGTGGAGAAGCTCGACATGGGACGGGAGGTGTGCGAGTTGGAGGGAGACATGAAGTCGACCGGGACATCGTCGACATCGAGCGAGTCGAGGTAGTCTCGCTTGTTGCTGAAGAGGTCGGCCTAGGGGTCAGCTGATGCGCCAATGACGGCGTCTGGTGTAACTGACCGGAAAGTCCTCCACATTCCGCTGCAGGCAGTACATGACCGTCGCGCGGACGATCTGCGCGTCCGGCTCACACTTGGCTATTCTCGAGGCAATATCGACAGCTTCAGTCAATTTGCTCCGTTGCGGTGCCATAGGAGGCATTGCTTTAATCATCGCTGTGGCGTAAGCTCAGACCGTTCGACAGCGGAAACTCGCAGCTTACTTTGCCAAAGCAGGGTGTATCGGGGTATCCGCTGGACCGGTTCCATCAAGAGCTCTCGCAGACCGATGTTGCCTATCCCTGTAGTCTGATACTTTGTGCTCTGCTCGTCAGAATGAGTGCACAGAAAAGAGGAATGTCGATACTCACATCGATGAAGCTACAGAACCCAGAGTACTTTTTCAGCGCCTCTTGGAAGAGCTTGTGCACCTCATCCTGCTTGCTTAGGTACGTCCGATATGGTGCGAATGTCGCGAGGTCTTTCAGCTGAAATATCAGCTGTGGCCAGGACGCATCGTCGACCCGTAGCTCACATGTCTCAAGCAGATATCTCCGACGTGATCCACCCCACGCCCGCTCTCCCAGATATCCTCCAGATCCGCCAGGAACGCCTGAGAAGCAGGAACAACCTGGTCTATGTTTGCAAAGAGGTTCTTTGCTTCGTATAGTGGGATGATCTGAGTATGCTTGTCTTTGGCGAAAGAGCGAAGTGGGTCCGCGTAGGACTAGATCATCAGTCTGGAATCGGTATGTCAAGAAGGGAAACGTACAGCTTTCAGCGCTTTGATCCGGGAAAGATAGCTTCTCTCTGTCCGGACTAGCTCTTCCACGAGCGAATTGAGCTGCCTAGCCGCGTCTTCCCGCTTCTTTGGGGACCAAGCGCGCGAAGGTCCTCCTTCATCCTCGTCATCCGAGGCAGCGCGGGATGGAGTTGTCGGTCGGTTGATGACGACCGATGGGAGGGTTGAGGGAGGTACGAGCGGTCTGCCGAGGTGCGAGAGGAGATTGGCCGTTTCTGTCCATCAGCAAGACTCTGTCCGCGCGATCAGAAGACGCACCCTCGCCCTCGTGCTCCACGACGACATCGCATATGAACGCCCTGCGCGTGATCTTTTGTCCTGATGCTTGGTCGGTCGACCGAGTCGAGCTGTTCAGGTCGATAGCTTTGGGGGGCGGAGCGGGCGGAGGAGGTAAGGGTGAAGCAGAGCGATGTCTACTGGGCTGCCCGAGCTTGTAAGGGGACGAGAGAGGCGCCATGCTGCCTAGCGGCGAAAATGGAAAAGTCGAGGTCTGTGCGTTTGTGTCGAAGCTTTACGTGTGAGCGCACGCGTAAACAGCTTCTCGGCTACGAGTCACTAGCAAGCGATGAGGCGGAGGGCCTTATAGCCTCTCGTGTAGGCTGTGCAGTCTGATGAGAAGAAGAGATGCAGAGATATGATGTACAGGGAAGGTTGAGTGATGCAGCATGCTTGTTTGGCTCGGAGGCAGCTGCGCAGAAAGGAAGTCAAGCGCGTTAAATAGGCGCAACGTCCGGCGCGCGTTGGGGAAGGTGACGCCTACCGTAACCCCGGGAATAGGCGTGAGGGTAAAAAGTTCAAACCACCAGGACAGCTTGACCATCTCACCGTTACTATACTATACTCATCACCTAAGCCAACATGGCTACCCACACATTCGACCCCCTCTCCCCCTCCACAGCTTCATCGTCCGCACCATACAAGGACAAGACAACATTCGGTACCCTCGCCCGAGAGCGCCAGTTCCGGCACCCGCCTGTATCCGCTTCGGACGTTCCAGCGTTGGATGAGCTCGTGGCGCCGCATCTCGAGAGTTTCAACGCTCTGGTAGAGGATGGAGCGGACGGGAAGGGACTGTTGCAGATGGGCGTGGAAGATATTGGGGAGAAGGTGGTGTTTGATGGGCAAGTGACAGATAGGAAGCCGTGGGGGAACAAGATAACCTGTACGTTCCTGTGATGGAGCTGAGCTCATCAGAAGATAAGATAGAAAGGGTCACTCTGTCCAAACCATTACTGTCCGAGAAGGACAAGACGGCCATCCAACGCAAGCTCTTCCCCTCCGAAGCTAGGGAGCGGTTGACGACCTACCGAGCCAAGCTCACCGTTCTCATCAAGTGGAAGGTGCAAGGGGATGATGGCGCGGTGAAGGAGTACGAGGAGGTTCGGGATTGCGGACTACTACCTGTCATGGTCAGGGTGAGTCTCCACTCTGGCTGAGCTGATCTCAGTCCTCCCGCTGCAGTCTCCAAAACATGTCCTCGGCGCAGATGGTCGCCAAGGGCGAAGAGTCCACCTCCTTCGGCGGCTATTTTATCGTCAACGGAAACGAAAAGATCGTTCGCTACCTCGTCCTCCCCCGCAGACATCACCCCATCAACCTCTACCGTCCTTCCTTTGCCAAGCGAGGCGTCGGCTACACCCCTTACGGCTGCCAAATCCGCTGTGTACGCCCGGATCAGTCAGCCGCAACCAACACCATTCACTACCTCGCTACCGGCGGCGCGACATTACGGTTCGCATGGCGCAAAGTCGAGTACATGATCCCACTCGTACTGGTGCTCAAGTCGCTCGTCGACGCGTCAGACAAGGAGATCTTCGAGGGGCTGGTACAGGGCGAATACGACAATACGTTCTTGACGGACAGGGTGGAGCTGTTGCTGCGGGGACAGAAGACCTGGGGATTGTACACGGGGAAGCAGTGCTTGGACTATCTGGGAGAGAAGTTTAGGGTGGTCCTGGGATGTCCGGAGGATTGGGATAATGTGGCGGTGGGAGGGACGCTCTTGAGCAAGGTGGTCTTGGTGCACTTGCCGTCGCCGCGGGACAAGTTCAGGATGATATTGTGAGTTCAGCTTTGGTTCGAGCTGATCCCAGATTCATGCTGCGAAAGCTCTACGCTATGGTAGCTGGCTCAGCCTGCCCCGATAACCCCGATTCTCCTCAACACCACGAAGTCCTCCTTCCCGGCTTCCTCTACGGCATGATCATCAAAGAGCGACTGGAAGAGTCGCTGGATGCGGTCAAGAGTCAGGTCAGACTGGACATACGGCAGAATAAGCCTGTAGACTTCGCATCAAGTAAGTTTCCACCGTAACTGAGCTGACGACAGGCCGCTACTTCTCCTCGGTCCTCTCCAAAACGAACTTTGATATCGGCCAGAAACTCTCCTACTTCCTTGCCACCGGAAACCTCGTCTCGCCAACCGGTCTCGACCTGCAGCAAACGTCCGGTTACACTATCGTCGCCGAGAAGCTCAACTTTTACCGGTACCTCAGTCATTTCAGGTGTATCCATCGAGGAGCCTTCTTTGCCGAGTTGAAGACGACAACTGTCCGAAAGTTGCTGCCGGAATCATGGGGTGAGTGCAACATACGGCTGAGCTGACTTTAGGCTTCCTCTGTCCAGTCCACACCCCAGACGGATCTCCCTGCGGTCTTCTCAACCACCTTTCACATACCTGCCGCCTCATCGTCAATGCGCTCGACACGAGGCAAATCCCCGCCCTGCTCTCCGCACACGGCATGACCCAGATCTTCGCCTCGTCCATCAATGGCCGAGATAACGTCGTCATCCAGCTCGACGGGCGCGTCATCGGCTGGGCATCTCCCCAGAAATCAAAACACCTCGCCCTTCTCCTCCGCCGGATGAAGACCAGCGGGGACGCCCGAGTCCCGCTCGACCTCGAAATCGGTTATGTCCCGGTCACCAAGGGTGGACAGTACCCCGGTCTCTACCTCTTTGGCGGACGGAGCAGGATGATGCGGCCAGTGACGTATCTGGAGAATGGGCAGGCGGACTCGGTCGGCTCGTTCGAGCAGGTGTATATGGATATTGCGTGTACGAGGGCGGAGGTGGAGAAGGGTGTGAGTACCCATGTGGAGCTGGATCCAACGAGCATGTTGAGTGTCGTCGCCAATATGACGCCCTTTTCGGATTTCAACCAAAGTCCGAGAAACATGTACCAGGTAAGTCTTTCCTGTACGAGTAGGGTCCCGCTGATCCATAGTGCCAAATGGGCAAGCAGTCGATGGGAACGCCCACTACAGCCCTGAGCAAGCGGACAGACAACAAGATGGTGAATTATGCGCTTGGACACGGCTGACGTCAGTACCGCCTGCAGTCCGGTCAAACCCCCATCGTGCGACCCAAACTCCACCACAAGTACGGTTTCGACAACTTCCCTAACGGCACCAACGCTGTCGTCGCTGTCATCTCGTACACCGGGTACGACATGGAGGACGCCATGATTCTCAACAAGTCGGCACACGAGCGTGGCTTCGGATACGGAACCATCTACAAATCCGACATCTTTGACCTCAAAGATGTCATTGGCGCGCCCAAATCCGGCAAGGCTACGCTCCACTTTGGGATCGGCCGGGACGTCAAGCAGGACGCGGATCAGCGGGAATGGATCGGGACGGACGGTCTTCCCCTTATTGGCCGACAGGTCAAGCAAGGAGACCCCATCGCGGCGTACACGGACGACGTCTCTGGCAAGACCAAGTTCCACAAGTACAAGGGGGACGAGACTGCCTATATCGAGGAGGTCCGCCTACTCGGGTCAGACGCGGGCGATGCCGAGCTCAGTAAAATTCACATCAAGCTCCGGATCCCCCGTTCACCCGTTATCGGCGACAAGTTCTCGTCTCGGCACGGTCAAAAGGGAGTCTGCTCGCAGAAATTCCCGATGATCGACATGCCATTCTCGGAATCGGGGATGAGTCCGGACGTCATCATCAACCCTCACGCCTTCCCCAGTCGAATGACCATCGGGATGTTTGTCGAGAGTTTGGCGGGCAAGGCGGGAGCGATGCACGGGATCGCGCAGGATGCGACGCCGTTCAAGTAAGCTCAAAGTGGCGACGGAGCTGATGATCAGATTCTCGGATGCGGATCGGCCGACCGAGTACTTTGGCGAGCAGCTCCTCGCTGCTGGCTACAATTACCACGGGAACGAGCCCATGTACTCGGGTATCACCGGCGAGGAGTTTATGGCCGACATCTATATCGGCGTAGTCTACTATCAGCGGCTGAGACATATGGTCAATGACAAGTTCCAGGTCAGGACGACTGGTCCAGTTGACCCATTGACTAGACAACCCGTCAAGGTGAGCTCGCTCTTTCTCTTCCTAAGTCCACGCTGATTCCCAGGGACGTAAGAAGGCAGGAGGTATCCGATTCGGAGAAATGGAGCGAGACGCTCTCCTCGCACACGGAACGGCCTTCCTCCTCAAAGACCGACTCATGAACTGCTCCGACTACTCGACTGCGTGGGTCTGCCGCGCGTGCGGCTCGCTCATCTCCCTCGGATTCGACGAGCTCAGGAATAATGACGAGCCGGGAACGGAGGGACGCGAGTACTGCCGGATCTGCGAGGCCAAGGAGCGGGTCAGGGTGGGCAGGGAAGTCAAGCAGGAGGAGGATAAGCCGAATGTCGCGGTCGGGCTGGTCAGTAAGGGGAAGAGGCAGATGGATGTGGTGGCGGTGCCATACGTGTTCAGATATGTGAGTCTCCGGGATTGGGCGAAGAGGGTGATTGTTGACTTTACAGCTTTGTGCAGAGATGGCGTGTATGGGCATCCGGCTGAATGTCACGGTTACGTAGGAGGAGATGTCGAGGAGGATCTATCTTTGTCTATCATACTCTATATTCTACATTGCATAACTTTCTGATCACCAGGATCAAGAGGTTGACGAACCTTCTACTGATCTATCTACATGGATGAACAACTCAACGACTATACTTTCCCCCCTCGCCACAGCCTGATCAACCCACCAATATATCAGGCTTTCCAGCCGGGATGGATCGTTGATTTCCGTACCTCGATGGGGCGCTCCGGACGGCTGGAGCCCGATGTCTCCGGGTCGGAGGAAGCATGACCGTCGCTCGGATACCTCCACTTCACGTGCTTGAGCCGGCCCGTTTGAATAGAACCAGCTCGCTCGGGACGCAAAGGGAGCACGGTATCGAGGCTTTCTTTCCCTAGAAATCAGTTCTATGCCCTAACCGAGCACGAAGTGACTGACGACCGATGATCTCCCCGATCCTCTCATTCGCCACTTCGAAGTATCGGACCTGGCCATTCACGGGCTGCTTGTCCAGTAACCGTACGACGAGGACATCGACTTGTCCCTATGACGAATGAGCTGGTCCGCTTACGCACAATTGCCTGGAAGACCCACGTCGACCGTATACCCCTTATCGCCCTCTACCGCCAGAACCCTCGATATACTACCACCAAGCACGGCTTCTTCCCAGAACCACCCGGACTCGCCTATGACTAGGTCATCACTGTCGCCGGTGATGCCGGATCCGGTGCGTATCGAAGGAGGCGTATCATCCATCCATGTCGGCGTCTGCGCTGCGTCAGCTGCGACCATGAAGGTGCCCGGATCCACGAGCTCACCAGTTGATGACGCGCGACATGGCAGAGCTCGTGCCCCACCACGACGGCTAGGTGCAGGAGTGCCGCTTGCGCAGCGAGGTGATCACGACCCAGTATTCGCTGAGCCGCAGCAGCGGATTCGACGAGCTACATTTATCAGTAATGGCACAGTGCGCCCATCGAGAAGCCAACATACAGAATACTCTATCTTCACCGGACAAGGATCGCCTTCATCCCCGCACACGTTCGTGATAGCATACGTGCCCTCTTCCAAGTCGTCAAATACGACGACAAAGGTATCGCACCTGAGCCACTGGTCGATCAGGGCAAGCATGGTCTCTTCGGGGTCGACAAGCACTTCTTGGCGGGGAGGGAGGTCCGATCGGTGTCGCACGGGCTCACACCGCTTCAGACAGATCGTGGCGAGTGTCCGGCGCGACAGGCCGGTCGAGACGATGTCCTTCGCCAGAGCGATACCCTCCACCATACAATTGATGATCGAGATGTCATCCTCGACGGTGGTTCCATGGGTGTAGCGGAAGGGGAATATGCGCTGGGGCTGGTATTCACCGAAGCGCAGGGTCGCAAGGCGTTCTGCTGGGAAGTTGGACATGTTTCCAGTGCGGATGTTAAGGTGAGTTAGGTGTATACTGAAGATACAACGTGTGATTCGAGTCGGAAGCGCATCTCGCCACTTTACGGTATAGTATACGCGTCCGGATATGGGCGCGTGACGTCTCACAACCCCTGTTACGTGCAGGTGCAGGCAAGGATGGCCCGCGTCCCGCTATCCATACAGCCTTGTCCCTTGCCCGTTGTCCTGCACCTCCCGAATCTGGTACGGACTGCATAAACCCCCATTCCCCCTTCTTCTTCTACTTCTTGCTCAGTTCTCACTCAACCACCTATACTCAAACCTAAAGTCGCTCTTTTTCCTCTGACACCAGCTATTTTCCCAGTCAAAGTAAAAGTAACCCCCTTGCTCATACTCATCCGTAATGGCTTGCGGATTATGTGCCCGCTTGAACCACGTGAGGTATTGCTTGTGGAAGCGCCAGTTGTGTTCTTTTAACTTTTGAGCTGCGAGGCATCTGTGGAATCAGCTCTGCTTCTGTCATCGCGGCGGATAGTGTAAAAAGAACTCACTGTTCATATGACCCCGAGTAGTAGTAAAAGATGAAGAACAATTGGTCGACGTCGAACCGGTTGTATATTTCCCGATCAGAGAGGACGGTGGCGCGTGATTGGGGGTAGTAGGAGGGTGTTTTGATAGGGTTCTTGGGCAGGTAATAGCGTGGTCTGCGGATCAGCCGGGTACAGTGCAGAACCAAGAGGTGACTTACGCTTCTCCATCCGTTTGTATTGGTGCGTCGCGATAGCTGACCTCGAGCGCTTGATGTAATGATGACATGTCGTTCCCTCTCCGTTCCGCTGCCACATCAGCACAACCCCCTTATCCGAAAGATAGACTTACACATCTCCTTGGCAACATCAAAGCTCTGCATCAAGCTGCCCAACACACCCTGCTGCTGCGACCCCTGGCCCTGCTGGGATGGTCGGGGACTGCTGAATCCGCCGGCAGCGCCCGCACGGCTCGACTCGGCGTGGCCGCTGTAGCCTGGTGGTGGGCCTGGCAGGCTGGGTGCTGTTGGCGCAACAGGAGAAGGGAGAGGCGGTGCGCCAGCGCTTGCGGATTCTGGTGGGGGAGCGAGGGTCTGAGCGGGATGAGGTGAGCGGGAGAGTCCGGGAGGTGGGGGTGGGACGGTGGAAGTAGGTGCGGCGCCCTAAACATCAGCCCAGCCCTGGTCCACAAAGCGGAATGAGATACGTACATTTGCTTGTGCTGTCTTGGCCGGTGTTGGAGCCGGTATGGATGGAGCCGCAGGTGCTGCCTCCTTCTCCATCACCAGCGCCGGCGATTCCATCGGTAATTCCAGCCTTCCCCTCGAGGGCGAGACCAGCTCCGTCGGGGACAGCATGGACGGCGCAGTTGCCACCGCCGCGGCCGCCGCAGCCGCATACCGGATAGGCGGTAATGGCGCTTTGGAAGGTGTAGACGCCGCCGCCGTGGTCGGGAGTGGTGGTACAGGCGGGACGTCCTTGCCGAGCTTTGGTAATTCCGCCTTGGTACTATCCATTGTGCTCTTCCGACTCGGCACCTTCTTGGCCATGATGGGACTTGGAGGTGCATCGTCCGGTACCCCCGCGTCTTTCGAGGCTTTGCTCGCTGGCGTAGCCTTCTTGGCCGCTTCTTCCTTGGCGGGCGTTTTGGGCGCTGGGGCGAGTCCTGGGGATTCGGCGGGGTCGGCAAGCGAGGCAGAATCGAGTGATTGCTCGTCCTGTTGCATGCTGAATTCTCCGCCGGCAAAGTCTTCCTCGTCGAGCAGGTTGAGATCATCGTATAGCCCTTGGTCATAATCAAAGTCCTCGTCCTGGAGATCAGCTCGAGTTACCCCTTATTCCGATGCTGTCAGACTCACCGCATTGGTCTCGACAAAGTACTTGACATCCTCCTGTATCGTCTCCACCTCCTCCGTCCCCAACTGCCCATTATCCAGCATCCTCTGCACGATCTCCAATCTGCCGACATGCCAACTTCTCCGCTCATTCAGCTCTTCCAGCTCTCCCACGCGCTCCCCGCTCCCCTTCTTCTTTTTGGCTGTCGATATCCCCTCGAGCTCCGCCTCGGTCGCCTCGATCTGGCGGGCCAGCTCCTCGGTCATGGTTCCGACCCAGTCGATCATTTCCCGCTTGGCCTTCTCGAGGGGGTCGAGTTTGGATTGCGCAGAGAGTCCTTCTTTCGAGAAGGCTTTCATCTTCATTTCCTTCTCTAAGGCTTTGAAGCGCTCCATTTGCTAAGAAATCAGCGGAACCCTCCGGCAAATCATCATGGCGACAACGTCTCGCCCTCCCCTTCCTCAGGTATACCTCTTCCGCCTCTTCCGCTATCCAGCTCGGCCTTGCCCTCCCTCACCGACCATACGACATGAAGCACACATCACACCCCAACTCACCGTCTCTATCAACCTCCTATTCTCCATCAACGCCGACTTGTCCTTTATATCGCTGCTCCCCAACCACGCCTTGATCTGATCTCTCATCCGCTGCAACTTCTTGATCTGCGTCTTGAGATCATTCTCCAGCTTGTCCTTTTGCGTCGCATTGTTGGCGTGATTGAGCTTGTCGAATGTCGTCTCAAAGGTCTCGACACCGGCCGCGACGGTCTTGAGCGTCTTGTCAATCTCGGCTGTGGTGGATCAGCTCCTGAGCCCGCCGCACTGCGTGAACAGTGGCGAAACTGACCCTGCAGCTTCCTGAGCGCCATAGTGGAGTATCTGAAGCTCGCTGAGCTGTGTGTATGCAGTAGGTAAGGAAGGGTGAATGGAGGTCAAGGGAAGGAACGCTGTACCAGTTGACCTTCCTTGGCTGGCAGCACCAGCTGGGCCAGGCCAGGCACGCGGAGATCGCCGCTGGCCACGTGCGAGAGTCGCCACCCCGCCAGATTTGCTTCCGGTAAGAGCGCGCGGTGGAGGCAGGACGCGACTGACCTGCCAGCGTGAGCTTCTCTTAATTCTCAACATCTTCTTCTCCTCTAGGCTATAGCGCAGTATATCAGCCCATCATGGTCAACGCTATGAGAGCAGCTATCGTCAGGGTGAGTCATACCAGCTGAACCAAAGCTGCATGCGATATGTAAAGAAAAGCAGCTGACGACTCTAGGTGTTCTCGACGAAGCACTCGCTCACTCTCCCAGCGGCTGCGCTGGCTTACATCGAGAAGGAGCTCACGGAGGTGAGCTGCTGAGCCATCACCCGCGCAATACGGAAGCTGACGAGGCAGAATGAGATTCCGCAGGCTGAATGGGTGAGTGGTTTGGAATTCTGGGCAAAGGAATACCTCAAGGGAGAAGGTGAGTTGGAATGAGCACCATTGTTACCGCTTTCCGGAGTAAGGTGGGGCAAGACAGCTGATGTATCAAGAATCATCATCTCTGGTCAATCTTCCTGCTCTGAAAAGGGCGTATGAGATCCTGCAACTAGGGGTATGTCACCTGATCCTATCGCGCAGATATCGTCAGCCCTTCTGGGCTTGAGCTCGGGCTCGGGCGAGAAGCGGATCGTCTTCTGACGCTCAGGCCATTGACGATGATGATGCGCCCGATCCGACTGAGATTAACATTGAGGCGCACTTCTCGGTGGTTGATGCGTTTGATATGCCGCCTGTGCATTTCGATGCTATTCGAGGGGGTTTCACGACGTAAGTTGTATAGTGACAAGCTCTGGCATCATATAGTCCTTCTTCGGTCTAGCAGCTGACATGATAGGAGCAAGACGAAAAGTATAGGAGGACAACCAAGTAGTCGTTCTGCCTTCTTGCGCGAAAGATGGGGTATCATCAAAGAGGTAAGCTGACCGCTGCATACTCCGAGTGTGGAGGAACAAAGCTTATGTATAGATCATTCTGCGAAACGAGAACTTCACACCGCCAGCACTAGGAGGTCATGATCGAGCTTCATACCTCAAGCTCACGTCCATCCGGAACCTCCTCGGTCGGGCAGGACAGCTGTTCTTGCTCTTCGGGATGCTGAGTCGGGATCCGCAAGGGCGGCTGTGCCTGGAAGATGGGGAAGGGAGGGTGGTACTGGATATGGTGGATGCGGTGAGCTCCCGGTTGGTCACTCTGTATAGGCGCAACGAGCTGACTCAGTAGGTGCCTGGAGAAGGGCTGTTCACGGAGGGCTGCATGGTCATGATTGAAGGAGAATACACCATTGAGGAGAATGTGAGGGTGTTGGCTATGGGCCACCCGCCCAGTGAGAAAAGGGATGTAGCGAGGTCAGTTAGCAACAACGCTCCTTCGAGGGCGCCGGAGCTGACGGTATAGGGGTTTGCATGGTCATGTAGACTTCTTAGGAACAGGTGCTGTGTCGCTCAAGGAGGAAGTAAGTTCAGCTATGATTATATCGACCTCGTGTGATCACAGCTGACCCAGTCAGGCGAAATACCTTCCTACAGTCAGTGCCAACTCGCAAGTATCATTTGTGATACTCTCGGACGTTTGGCTGGACCACCCTCGCACACTGCCAGCTTTACGGAGGATGTTTGAGGGATACGCCGGCGCCGCAGAGTTCCGGCCGATGGCGTTCGTGTTGTGCGGCAACTTTTCACAAGGGGGCTGGGAGGGCGAAGGCGGATTGAAAAGATACACCAGTAAGCTTGTAAGGATGCCATCTCCTTCGGCGAGCTGACACCCTTAGACGGCTTCAATGCGCTCACCGACCTCCTCGTCTCCCTCCCCCTACTCCACACTTCTCACTTCATCTTTGTCCCCGGCCCCCTAGATCCCTGGTCCTCCGCCACCCTCCCCCGTCCACCTCTCCCTCAAACCTTCACCTCGCGCCTCGCAGCGCGGATACCGAAAGCTCGCTTCGTCAGTAATCCATGTCGGATCCGGTACTTTGGGCAGGAACTGGTCATCTGCCGAGAAGACTTGATGGGCCGGATGATGCGGAACCTAGTCAGCGTCAAAGATGAAGAAGCGAACATGAAGCGTTTCGTGAGTTCACGGACTTTGCATCATCTTTAGTCAGGAGCTGACCGCCCAGCTCGTCCAGACTGTTCTAGACCAGATACACCTCTCCCCCCTCCCCCTCGCCATCCGACCTACATTATGGGAGCATGACCACGCCCTTCGTCTGTACCCCATGCCGAGCTCAGTCGTCCTCGCGGACAAGTATGAGCGGTATGAACTCACGTATGAGGGATGCCACGTCTTCAACCCTGGTCGGTTTGTGTGTGGAGGTGGAGGTGGGGGAGGAAGAGGGAGTACGCAAGCGGATGAAGCGGCGGGAGGGGAGTTTGAGTGGTCGATGTATTATCCGGCGACGGGTCGGAGTGAGCGAAGGTAAGTGTTGTCAGCTCAAGGACGCAGTCGCGCGGCTGTCGGAGTGAAAGCTGACTTTCGCAGCGCTTTGACCCTTGATTGACCATGATCAAATCAGCTTTAGCTTGATTAATCAGCTTTGGCGGTCCTGCGCGTTTTCCCATCTTGGGTACCTTCATCGCTGTTCCTGTTGTAGCCCATAGTGTACATAGTATGGATCTGCATGATATGACTTCGAAGAATGTTCGTCCATCTCCATCGACAGCTTCGAGCGAGTAGTTCGGCTTGTTGCTCCCGTTCGAAGCGTAGCAAGGTCGATGGTATGGACGATTCCCCGATATAGAAAACTAGTCTGACCTCGCTCCGTTTCTTCCCTAGACCTGAGGGGGTCCAAGGAAGAGCACCGCCGAACGATGCATCGAGGTATAGTTGAAGGAAGAGGGTGTTGGCTCTGTCCAGCCAAAGGCAGAAGAGCAGGCGCGGTGCGCTCCAGGATATAATCGATAAATCGATCAACCTAATTTATTCTGGACAGACGCACGGGTCAAGCCGGGAAACGCCGCGGGGATAAGCGGGAGTGGCGAAAGTGGCCTCCCAAATTCCCTCCGCTCACGCCGCCGGTGGGTGCTGCAAGTTGTGCACAATCTGGCCACCTTGACCTCCTTCTTTAGACAAATTTGTGCGTGACTATCCCTCTACTGCTGCTACGATTGCTGCGTCGACATCGAAGGGACAAGGAGCTGATCTAGATTCTCCGTTCTCGCCTCTACTCCGACTTCATACGAACTTTTATCCTTGCCGAATCACCTAATCCCGAATTCGATCCATCTTCACCATCGGTCTATACCTTATACCTATATCCAACTACGCTCTCCTCGTCTATTCGAACCAGCAGCAATATGGTAAGTCTATAGGACGCCTGAGGAACGGCTGCACGGATGGGAAGGGACATACGGAGATTGGGAATAGGGGACATGGGGTGGATCCAGGACAAAGCTTCAGGCGGACGCTGCACTGGGAGGGGAGCACCAAGCAAGCTGGCCATGCGCCTGGTGGAGTGATGGGATAGGCGTCTGGATATAATAGGCGCTGGATCATCGCCAAGGAGGATGGGGAAATGCTCGCGATTTCACCAGCACAAGACCATCCGCTGACCTACCCAGGCGGACTTTACAACCGGCGAAGAGGCAGCTGCCAAGAAGGCATCCCGATCCTTCAAGAAGTACCAGTACCGTGGTGTCGAGCTGGACCAGCTCTTGGACATGAGCAATGAGGCTTTCATTGAGGTGAGTTGGGGTTAGGCGTTTGGGACATGCGACCTGGGTGGGGCTGGGGCTGCACAGGGATAGGGGAAGACGGGCGAGGGGACGAGAACGAATCGTCACGATTGCTGGAACATATGGCGGAACTGAAGAGAAAGTGGATGGAGGACCGGTTGCTGGGCAAAGGATTGCGGATCTAGGCCGGGAAGGGAAGGGTTTACCCCGATCAGAGCGGGAGAGCTTGATAATACATCTCAGGGAGAAGACAAGGCTCGACCTGTCAATCCATCCGACCTCGCGCTGACTCCCAGCTCGTCCACGCCCGTGCTCGCCGGAGGTTCCAACGCGGACTCAAGTCCAAGCCCATGCGTCTGATCAAGAAGCTCCGGAACGCCAAGAAGTCGGCCGGTCCCCACGAGAAGCCCCCAATGGTCAAGACCCACTTGCGTGATATGATTATCGTCCCCGAGATGATTGGATCGGTTGTTGGTGTATACGTGAGTCCAGCATCTAGGACAGTATGGGGATACAGGCTGACTGGCAGAACGGAAAGACTTTCACTACCGTCGAAGTCAGGCCTGAGATGACTGGTCACTACCTTGGCGAATTCTCGTGAGTCCCATGCTTTTGCTGAGGTGGAGGCAAGCTGACGATTCAGCATCACCTACAAGCCCGTCGGACACGGTCGAGGTGCCAACATGAAGGACTCGCGATTCGTTCCCCTCAAGTAGACGGTTATGCTTGTGTAGAGGATGTATCAGGGTTGTTTCTGCGTACAAGGTATCTACTGACCAGTCATCAAGCTGTCGATTGGACCGTGCGGTTGGGCCTTCGCCAGTGAGGCATACTGCCGCCCCCGGAACTCTGACCAGTCGTCGTACCGTTCCCAGGCCTCTGCCTGTCAAGCATTGACGCGTGGTGGTCTTCTTTCAAACGCCTCGCGTGTTCTTTCCCACGCCTCGCCACGTCCGACTTGAACCATGCAGTGATTTCCTCGTCCGGGACCCCACTGGCATACCTAGCGCACATTTCGGATACGGTATCAAGTGGTAACGGATCACCTGGACAGCTGTCAGCAACCTCACAAACTCATAGATTCCGGCTCAAGGACTTACCTTGCGTCATATCTCTGAAGTCAATCAGTCGTGCGGAGGATTTGCTGATAATCCTGTCGACTTCCGTGTCCGTCTTGCCGGCCAGACCTTCAGCCAGGGTACATGTGGTTCTTCCGGAGGCATCGGTCCTCGCAGGCAGCCGAGAGTTCCCGCTAGTGATGAGGCCTACCGTCTCCTTGCTGAACGGATCGACCGACTCCTGGATGTCAAGACTGAGACGGCGCGACTTGGCAAACTCCGAGGCTATACTGTCCAACTCGGCAGTCGCCGTCGCGGCGGCGGTCCTGTTGGTAGAGAGGTACGTCGAGTCCGGTTTCCTGAGGCGATCGGTGACGTATCTCGCCATGCACGACTCGGCATCGTAATCATAGTCAGTGTTCGATTTCCTGAATTTGTCTGCGGATATTCAGCTCTGACCCTTGTCCAGATCCGAGTTCTCTCGTTCACTCACATCGAGGGGCGTCCGTCATCGTCACGGTATAGTCATGGAGCTTCTTGTCGCGCTCATCCAAGGTCTCGCACATACCACTCTTGAGCCACGCGCTGGGTGACTTCGACAAATCCGCTTGGGCTCGGATCCTCCGAGGGTCGGTCTCCACGTAGTTCCCCGCTGGGCCCAGGCTAGTCGGCAGTTTGGAACCGTCGGTATTGATCTCGGTCGCGGTCGAGTCGAATCTCGCCCCCTTCTTCTTGTGTATAGGAGTGGGGGTATTTGCCGTGGTCTCGGGCGCGGTGCTGGCAGGATTACTCGAGGGACCCGTCACCTGACTGTCGGTTCGGAAGGTCGGCCGGGAGTTTTGAGACCGTCGGGACTGATCGGTCGAGCTTCGCAGTCAGTACGGGCGAGTATGCAATTGGAAGAGAACAGACTTACAACCCATGAGTATTGTATTCGATTTCTTTGACCCTGCTACCTGCACACATCGTCAGCGAGCCAGTAACAGATGGAAGCTGGGAACCCATGGCTAGACTAACCGTCTGGCCGATCGTAGCATGAGACCAGCAGCGTGAATATGCGATCCCCATTCTTGTCGAGGAGGGTGTAATCTTTCACTTTGCCGTCCGGCGGTGTCTCCAAATCGAAGCGATGTATTCGGTTGACCTCATCATACGTGTAGGGCGTCGTAGCCCCGGTGCCAGTGAGGGCATCGGTCTGGGCATCGGTCTGGGACGGTCCGCTGGTGAACTGAAGGGGAGATGGTTTGCGCCCAATCCAGTCGGGGGTAGTCGTTTCGGTTTGGGTACCGGTCACGGGCTGGCTGTATGATTTCCTATCCGTAGACCTCTGAGAGTCGGTGTCATATACAGAGTCAGAGGCATAGGATCGCCCAGACGCGGGGTCTGACGTTACTGCGTCCCCGGTGATGCTGAGCTTGGTCGATTGTAGCTGGGACGAGGGGAATGTAGAACCTGTTCAAGTCAGCATGGCATACGATGAGAACAGCAGCTCTACAGCCTAGCAGAGGATCAGTCAACGCACTTCTCCTGGCGGGCGGCCTAACGCTATCGTCGGTGACATGAGAATCGGTCGGTCCAGTTTGCTCGCTCCTTGAGGAACCAGAGTTGACATCGGAGAACCTGGCCGCAGGCTTCCTCAGATTAGACCGGAACGACGATTGCGGTGGCAGCGGCAGCTTTGACAGGGGAAGTAATGGTTTCTCAGACTCAGAACCCTTGGCGACGTCGGGTCGTGTATCGTTAGTCGTGCGCGAGGTCCTAGTCCTAGATTTCGGGTCATCTCTGGACATGGACTGGGACGTGTTAGATTCCGACTCATCAGTCCAAGCACTTTCTGGTGGCTGAGAACTCCGGCTTGAACGACGTCGGGGTCTTCGGCTTGGTCCCGATCGATCAGATGCCGTCGACGGGTCAGTGTGATACTTGCTAGGCTTCTTCCGAGAATGAGACTTTCCGGAGGTTCTGCGCGAAGAGCGACGATCAGAAGTTAGAGATGTATCACCAGACCGAGATGTATCGCGAGATCTTGAATGTTTCCCCGTCTTTCGACCTAGGGCGACGATCAGCTCACTCTACGGCTGCGATATGTCCAGCAGACTCACTCGTTTCCGAAGCGCTTGCGTCCGTCTTGCTCGACTTGCTAGATCTGCCCCAGGTCGACGGCTTCCAGAAAGATCGTTCAGGACGCTCAGCGGAAGCAGCGATCTCGCTGTCGTTTGTGGACATTGTTCAGCGGTCGTGCACTCAGATAAACGGCTTGTGTTGTATGTGTGTGAGGTGGTGTGGAGAGCAGTGTGGCCGGTATAGAAGTGATTGAAGGCTGGCGGATGTTTGGTGTGAGCTGAGATGTGCGGTCTATTGTGAATTGAGGGTGGCGGATGCGGTGGAGGTGAGGTGGTGTGGTGAGAATGTGAGGGTAGTCTGGTTGTGAATGGCGGAATATGTGGGTGTTGTTGTCGAACAGTCCCAGCAGGATCAGTCCTCACCTAGCCACCTCGACTCTGCGACAGCTCCCCCTGAGCCCCATCTCCTGCCCGCCGAAAGGAGTTCCAGGTGGCGCAGCAAAGGATGTCGAGCTGAAACTCGTTTGAAGGAGGCTCAGGGAATGCGCCAGAAACAGCTAGTCGTCAGACGAGTGAGTTTCAGGTCAGCCACTAGTGCGTCGTACTGATGGGATGTATGCTACATGGTGAGAATGATGATATTAGGACTATACTCTCCTCCTTGACCTACGCTCTTACCGCGAGAGCTGCCCTCGCATATGTGGCTCCAGCAGGACGTCCAGCGCGTTCTTGCTGGCCTTTTTCGTATCCGCGACCATATCGCAAAGCTCCTTGAACACCGGATCTGCAGAGTCCTCTACTCGCGTCAGCTGCAGCTCCAGCGGTGAAACAATATGCTCACCGACAAACTCCATCAGAATCGCTTCGGACGTGGTGATGATCGCCCCTGCTTGCCGCATCCGATCGACAGCGATCATCGTCTCTTGCCGATGGGATGATGTGATGGCGTCTACGAGGACGTAGACCTCCACTCCAGCGCGGAGGAGGGAGAGGGCGGTGTGTAGGATACAGACATGGGCCTGAGATTTAGCTCAATCCCAGAGTGAGACGTACCTCCATTCCAGCCAGAATGGCAACTTTCGGCTTGACACGTTGAAGCACCTCCTCGGTGTCGTCAAAGATCATCGTGAACTGGAGCTTGAGCTCACAGTATCTGAAGTATCCTGAGATACTCACCATGCTCTTCTTGAATGTACCCAAGTTCAGCTCTTTCGGCAGACTGCTCAAATCCAGCTCGGGAACCGTCGTATCCCGCTTCCCATGCGGCTCGCATCCGCCCTTCGGTACCTGCTCCGTCGCCATCGTCCTGAGCCCCACCATCTGTATGTCAGCTAAGCTATACGAGAGGCTGTCGAGGCCTACTCACCGGCGCCGCTTTCAACATCTTGTCGATCTGCGCTATCATCGCGTCAAAGCCGTACATGCCATCCCCTGGCCAGTCAGCTTGAGCAGCTTCGACAGGGAGGGTGGTACTCACTCAGCCTTCTCTGAACATCGCATATCATGAATATGGATGTCTTGGCCGAGATTGGACAGAGGAACTGGGAGTCATTGATGGTCTTGAGACCCATCGTGTCGCCGAGTGCAGACTCGAGCGCAGGGTCGGTATGGTGCTGATCCGATGTCGCTATGCTGCCTCTTCTTACCGTGCTGGTATGGGGTCTATGGCTCGAGTTCAGTGCTAACGAGTGATGAGTGGGGTAGTCAGGAAGGTATATATGCAGGTCATTGCTGACCTGCGCTAGCATGCGCTAAAGTTCGCGGTCGTCACCAAGCGGGGCGCCAGCATTCCTCAGTCGCTTAGACACCATCGCAGTACCATCGCCGATCACTTTGGCATTCCGCTGACTGAGCTGGGTTCTGTGGTCTTCTCAGTCTCCCTCTTCAGACTACCATCGTCACCGCGTAGCCGCCAGTACGAGCATATTGCGCGCCAGGGGCTCCGCCTCGTCCAGGTGGCTCGCATCAGCTGCCAGGTCGTCCAAGGCCTCGCGAGGTGGACCGAAATCGATCGGACGCGTTCCAGATCGGAGATTCCAGCAAAGTCGTTCTTTCCCCACGTGGACCGCTCAAAGCCGTCTTCGGGCCATTTCGGGCCGGACTTGATGGTGGAGCTCCCATCGGACTTCTATAATTGGCTTTTGACCTCCACCAGAAGAGCTCGGCGGGCGGAGAGGTCATCTCGGTCAGCTGCAGCTGCAAGCAGAGCGCCGCATACGGTAGAGCGGAGCAGAACGGCTCGGACGCGGGACGATGACGCCTGCCTTCTCGATACAGACGCAGTAAGCAAATGTAAAGGTATAAGCAGAAGCTCGCAAGGTCGCCTCTCCTTCCTCCACATCTCGCCAGATCGATTCTCGCCATCACAGCGAGTACAACCAAATGAGTCACCCCCAGAACCGCGCCCTCGAGGCAAAGGAGGCTGCCCATCCGGCTCACGTCGGCGGCAGACTCGACAGCCATGGCAACCTACACCAGCACACGACCAATGGCATCCCGCACACCAAGCTCGAGCATGGGGAGCAGATGATGAGTGAGCATGAGCGGGCGGCGCTGGCGGAAGTAGGAGCGAGCTCGGAATTTGCGCCTGGAACGCCTGAGAGGATGAGGATTGAGAAGCGGCTCAAGCGGAAGCTGGATGCTAGGTTCAGTATTCTGGTGAGTCTCACTGTCGCCGTACCGCTCTCGGGAAGTAAGCTGACTCGTTCAGATCCTGATCTACATCGTCAGTATACTCTGTGCAGTCGGGTCGAGGGGCACTGCTGACTGATGAAAGCTGAACTACATTGACCGAAACAATGCTGCTGCAGCCAGGTGAGCCAACATGGTCCACTTCTGCAAGATCCTTTGCTGACCGATCAGGCTGCAAGGCTTCGAGCAAGACCTCGGCTTGACAGGGCAGGAGTTCCCCACACTTCTGTCGATCCTCTATGTCGGGTATATCCTGTTCCAGATAAGTTATGTTCATCTTATAGCCCTAGGAACTTAGCTGACATATGCACGTCCCCTCAAACATGCTGCTGGTGCGTACTGGGCTGCAGTCAGGCGATCCGCCTCGGGGAACTCTTTACTGATCCACAGAACTACATCGGCCGTCCGTCCCTGTACATTCCGGCTGCCATGCTCCTTGTCAGTCTGCCCTTTACTATTGCCAGTGACGAGCTGACAGTCTCAGTGGGGAATGATCTCCGTGCTCACTGGCGTCACCCAAAACTTCGCCGGCGCCCTCCTCACTCGACTGTTCTTGGGGTGAGAAGCTTGCCTTCGCCTAGATATAGAGCTTATGAGCAGAATGGTCGAAGCCGCGTTCTTGCCGGGCGCGCTGTTCATCCTGAGGTGAGCTGCTTAACGCGTCTGTTTCGTCCGCTGCGAGCACCGCTAATCCAGCTAGCAAGTGGTATAAGCGTGATGAGATCTCGCTGCGATACACGCTGCTTTACTGTGGAAACCTGATCTCAAATGGTGCGCTACTTGAAGCGTATGACACACCCAGCACTGATGACTTAGCTTTCGGCTCGCTCGTTGCTGCGGGTATCCTGGCCAATCTGCAGGGTGCACTAGGGCATGCGGCTTGGCGGTGGCTCTTCTACAGTGGGTCGATCTTCCGGCCCATGTGTGACAGTACTGACAATAATAGTCGAAGGCGGTATCACCATGCTCGTTGCTGTTATTGCGATACCCATCCTCCCGGACTTTCCCCAGACCACGAAGTGGGGATTCACCAAGCAAGAGCTGCAGGTCGCTCAGCTGCGGATGCTGGAAGACGTGAGCTGTCTTGACCTGGAGAATGATCGCAGGTGCTGACTGTCAGACTGGGGAGGTGGACCAGGACTCATCAGAGGACAAGTGGTATACCGGGTTTGTCTTGGCTGTCACCGTGAGTTCTGAGATCATGAGAGCAAGAACCCACCGCTGACTAATCAGGACTACAAGGTGTACCTTCTCACTATCGCCTTGACGGCTTGCATCGTTGGTCTATCGTTCAACATGTAAGCTCCTCGATCGCTGTTGAGATTGAAGCTGTTGCTGACCGAACAGCTACTTCCCTACCCTCACCAAGACTCTTGGCTACGCCACCACTCCTACTCTGCTTCTGTCTGCGCCGCCATGGGTGGTGCGTCTCCTTGCTTCAGACAATGTCTTAGCTGACCTATAGTTCTCCTGCATTGTCTCGCTGATCAACTCCTGGCACTCGGACCGAACGCAGGAGAAGTTTTGGCACGCTACGTGAGTTTTGCCACTCACTCCTTATCGCCAGACGCTGACAAGGCAGCTGGCCGCTCGTGGTCGGTATCGTCGGCTTCGTTGTCTCTATGGGTACCTGGCTGCTGGATTCTACCTAAACCGAATGGATGCTGATATGCGCAGCTACAAGTCCCACTAACGTTGCCGGGCGATACGTGGCACTTTTCCTCCAAGCGCAGTCCTACGCCGGTAAGTCTTCCCGATCATCTGCGATAGTATCCAGCTCATGCTCCAGCCTACATCATCATGTATTCGTGGATGGCGAGCAGCTTCCCGAGGCCTCCCGCGAAGCGTGCGGTCGCTTTGGCGTTGATGGTGGGTTTGGGCGGACTGTGAGGAATGAGGAGCTGGGTGCTAACTTGATCAGAATGCTCTTTCGCAAGTCGGGAACATCATCGGTAGTGTGAGCCGTAGGACCTCACATAGGATACAAGACACCGCTGACGAGGTCTACAGTACTGCTGGCCAACGAACTTCGGTCCTAGCTACACCTACTCTTACGCCATCATGACTGCGTGCTTTGGCTTGACCATCATCGTAAGTCACCCTCTTTCGGACCCTGACCTTGACTCTGTCTCCCTGAGAACACCTGAAGTGGATGAGTAGCTGACTTTCTCCATAGTTGAACTTCTGGTTCAGGTGCATCCTGGTAGCGGCAAACAAGCGACTCGCGGAGGGAGAACGCGCTTTCGACGAGCACGACGACACTATCACTCGCGCTGCGGCGCTCGAGGGGACTACAGCGAAGGATGCTGCTCATATGGCGAAGGGCTTCAGATTCTTGGTGTAGGGGTGTATGATTCAGTCTAAGAAACCGCGTTTTGAGGGGGCAGAGGGGCATGCGGAGGAAAGGTATAATAGCAGATCCGGCGATCGTATGTCCTCATCAATGGGAAATATCGGTGGCTTTAGCTTCTCATCTGTATCTTAGCTGTATCATAGGTCGATATCTGACCAATGTGCAGGGACCGAAGATAGAAGGAAGGGAACACTGCACCATGTACGTATACAGCAACTGTAGCAGCTACGTACGCAGTCGGTGGCCCATGACGTAACGTGTTTCAGATCACGATCTGAAACATGATCGTAGTGCTCGAAAATCGCTCGCACCCTCCCATCCGCGGCTTGCAGAGGGGAGTCAGTCAGCTCTCAGCGATCGGGCAGGACTCCAGGACTGGAGCTACCGAAGTCATCAAGGTGGTAGCCACCTGCGGGGCGGCTGCAAAAAGCGCGTCCTTCAGGCTGAAACGGCATCAAGCTGCGGGGGTCACCTCGGATCACAAAGTCCACACATGCGCCACTGATGGGCTGAATAGACTCCGAAGTGGTCGTCCTTCCTCCACACAGGAAGTGAGGCGAGGTGGGCACAGCACCCTCTTTTTCATTGCCACATGCGGCTCCATGATGACCCCGTCCTCCAGACGCGTGTTATAGACCCGGCGCCAATCCCGGAGCGAGCGGCACCCCTTTTCCCGGAGACGACTATATATGACGGTCCAGTTCGGCCTGATTCTGTACTTTCCCTCCATCCACCATCATTCTGTCCAACAGACACCACTCTCACCCCACCACACCTCAACTCACATATCACATCCAGCCCCCACCCCACCACTTCCAGCTCAAAACAAACCACTACAATGCCCTCCAAGTACGACTCCCCGTGCGGAATAGACTTCTGTAGCGTCGATATTCTGGAGTCTCTCCTGAACGGTGAGTCATTACTACCTGTCTCTGCACTGAATGTTGTGACGCCGAGCTGACTCAAGTTAGCCCGCGTCTCAGCGAACGCTGCTCACCAAGCTTTGACCAGGGCGTTCAACAAGTTCGAAGAGCCGGAACTCCGTGGACGACGAGGGATGGGCGTGAAGGAGGCGGAGATGCAGGCGCAGTACGTCAAGGCGGCGGACCGCATCGAGAAATTGCTCGAGAAGGTAGACAGACTTTCCGCCTATTTAGAGAGGACGATCACGGTCGTCCGGGTTCTCCCGCGGCCTGGGTCCAAATAGGTTGTAGTAGTGTACCATTTCGTAGTGATGTGATCAGTGATGATCGAGCCCGTAGAACACGACGCAATCGTAGGCCTCTCGTATGCTCAGACGATCAAGAGGCTGCATATTATAGGTAAAGGGCAAGGGACAAGGGTGTATCGATAGCGGGACGCGGGCCATTCTCGTCCCCATTGTGAAACGTCACGCGCTCGGGCGCGTCCCCGAGGTAGAGTAAGCTAGTCCGAGCTTAGATAATAAGCGCGTCCATTAACCTCCGACTCGCTTCTGGCGCTATCTATATAGCTCATCTCCACTCTCTTCATCCTCCCTCATCCAATCTCCACTTGCTACGTGCCCATCGAACACCATGTACCCCTCCACCACCATCTTCGGCCTTCTCGCCACCTTCCTCCTCACATCGGTCATCTCCGTCCCCCTCCACCAAGACCTTCCTCTTGCTCCTCGTCAAGACTCATCCGCCTTTGCCGGCGCGTCAGCCATCATCGCCCTCTTCTCCGACCTCTCCCGCTTGACCAGCGCGACCGCTTCTGCCTCAGCGACCGATGCTGCCCCGTCCTCTTCAACTGGCTTGGCACCCGGGACCAACGGGTCTGGAATCAGCGCGTTCTATTCGGCGTGCGAAGGGACGAATGTCTCCCGCGTGATGATCAGCCCGTGTGAGGGTGGGAGTGGGGCACAGGGGAGTGCATGTGTCTTCACGGTCGGCAAGTGAGTTGAAGCGGTGTCTTCGATGAATCGACGACCAAGAATGTGACGCCCGCAGGAACTACACCATCACCCTCACCTACACCTCTCCCTCGGACATCGTCAACCCGCGAGTGGGACTAGCGAGCTATAACGGCGAGGTCAAGACGGCGTACTCTGGGCAGAGCTTCGTGAGCTTGCCACACAACTCTCATCCCTCATGTGTCCAAGCTGACAGGATAGGGCGGATGCTCATATACCCCCTGCCCGGTGTCCGCGAATGTGGAGAGCGAGTACACGTACCCCTTCCGGACTCTACGAGCTGTAAGCTAAACCTTTCAGTTCTCCGGACTGTAAGCAGAGAAAGCTGACATGGCAGCCCTCGTTTGACAGGCTAGTCTTCAACGCGACGGACGGAGTGACAGGCCCATCCTTCATGTGCGCTAGTGTCCCGGTCACTTGGTATGTTCAGCTCCCGGCGCCGCGATTTAGCGAGAGCGCAATACAGGCCAGAGCTGACAGCTGCAGTGCGAGTGGATAGACTCCCAGACGATTCTCATCCGCCATCTCCTGTCGACTCCCTCTGGCGATATCGGCACGAAGTATAATGATCCCCACGACCGACAGCCAACGATCCCGACTGTATCCCTAGACGTATAAGTACCTATAATAACTTGTCATGATGTGTATCTGTTGACCGACCAGCCCAGCTCCTCTTGACGCGTACGCTCGCCACCGCACAAGGTGTGTATGTCCAGGCCGACATCCAGGTCTAATCGAGCAGCACTGACGACTCAACATTCGGCGGCACTACCTCCATCCGTGCGGGTCTCATCATCCTCGATGCCTTGGTAATTACCGATGACGAGCCTATCGCTATCGACCATTTGGATCCGGGTTACATGTCTCACAATGACGAGCCAAGAGCCATGGACGCCGAAACATCCGAACCAGGCGATGTCTCAGTCAGACCCATCATGTGGGAACACCGAGACATACCTTCTCACACCGACCTTTTGGCGTGGAGCTCACTGATGATAGTGCTGCTTGCTGGCTTACATACCTAGTCATGAGGCGAGCCGCGACTGACACGTTGCATCTTGCTAAACCCGTCCCCAGTACAATCGCTGGGATGCTAACCCCTCATTCAGAGCTTCGGCAATAGCATCAACCTCGAGCAACTCGACCAGATCATCGACCCATCATCACTGGGTCGGGATGCGCTCCCCGATCCTCTCCCTCCCCCTCTTCCTCCTCTTCCCTATCTTCCACCTCGCTCTCCACCCCGCCGCCGGCTCTCCGCCCCAACCGCACGGTCATCAGCCCAGCAACCTCCTAGCGCGGTGGTCTCTTCAATTTACAGATCATCACCCGCACATACATCCCGCTCGGCAGATTATGGAGTCGTTCCCTCCATCGGTGGACGAGCCAGGCGTAGACCCACCGCCGCCTCCGGAACCGGAACAGGATCCAGCCCCCGTCGAAGCGCCCACAGAAGCGGCACCAGAACCTCAACCGGAGGTCGTCCCACCACCTCCTGCTGAGCCGGTCGCGGACCCTCCGGCGACGCCAGGGATCGTCGAGGCTTTCCCGCCCTCTACGGACCCAGAGCCAGAGCCGGAACCGGAACCGGAACCTCTACCAGCTCCATTGCCCGCGCCTGAGCCCGTACCAGAGCCAGAGCCAGTCAAGGCGCCTGAGGTCGTCCCAGAGCCGGTCGTCGAGCCTCCTCCGGCACCAGAACCCACACCTGAGCCCGTACCGGAACCGGAACCGCCCAAGGTCGAGCCGCCGCCGCCCGTAGTAGAGCCAGAACCCGTCGTCCCCGTTCCCGAACCGGTCCCTACCCCTATCGTCGAGCCAGAGCCGGAGCCTCTGCCCATCCATACGCCAGAACCAGAACCGGCGCCACTCCCCACTCCTTCGCCTGAGCCCGTACCGGAACCGGAACCGGATCCTACTCCTGAGCCAGTCGTACCGGTCGTCGAGCCCATACCTACCCCTGAGCCGGAGCCAGAACCTCTGCCTACCCCTACTCCTACCCCAGAACTCCCGCCTCCCCCACTTCCCACGCCTGAGCCGGAACCTGAACCTGTTCTACCCACGATACCGGTCCCGGAGCCGTCCCCACCAAAGGTTGAGCCGTCTCCACCACCACTGCCAGAGCCTACGCCCGAGCCAACACCGGAGCCAGTACCGGAACCAGAGCCAACCCTCCCACCTCCTCCCGAGCCGGAGCCTACACCATCCCCGACCCCCACTCTCGAACCTGAGCCCGAGCCCACGCCCACCCCTACTCCATCACCAGAGCCCTCCCCCGAGCCACTGCCGGAACCTTCCCCATCTCCCTCACCACCACCGCCACCGCCACCTCCTCCGCCCCCGCCTCCGCCTCCTCCCAAACATGTCCCCATGGGCGCCGCAGCGGTCGACCCATCTACACCACAAGACGCATTCCGGTATTCCCCCGCCGCCTTCTCTGCGTGTATGGGAACCAATATCACCCGGGTCGTCATCAGTCCTTGTGAAGGCGGGAGTGGGGGCGCTGGGGATTCTTGTGTCTTTACGGCCGGAAGGTGAGGTGGAACCTGCAAAGATTCCACCGGTGCTGAGAGCTTGAGCTGATGAGCAGGACATACAACATCATCATCACCTTCACACCGCACATGGACGTCGCTTCCCCCACTTCGGCACTGATAGCAATGAACCGCGGTGCAAAAGGTGGATACTCGGGTCAGAGTCATGTAAGCCTTCACCTGTAATACTGTCGAGCTGGGGGGTCGGGACTGACTCGTAGGATGCGTGCACGTATACAGACTGCCCGATCTGGAAAGGCGTCGAGGCGGACTATGTGTACCCTTTCCATACGTTCTATGGGGTACGTCCACTTCTTCTTTCGCTTTGAGCGGAGAAACCGGATTCAGAGCTGATTGGAGGTAGCCCGCCTTCGATCGGCTGATCTTCACCGGAACAGAGGGGAGTGTGGGTGCTCCCTTCCTCTGCGCGGATCTAGCCGTCAATTTGTGAGTTCTCCTAGCAAACGCTGCGATCTGCGTCGAGGCGGACACGTGCTGATGAATGTAGCAAAACAGCGCCAATGCCATTCTTGATATACAAACCGAATGAAACTCTTGGGACTTTTGGGGATGAGTAGATGTCAGACATAGGTTGAAGATTCATCATCAGTGTAGCCTATAGCAATGCCATACGTACAAGAGATACTACCAGCATTCATCTTCTCCACGCCATCCTAGACGTCAAAGACCTCCCCACTCATCCTAATCATCCCCACTACCGCCTGCCTTCTCCCCCATCTTCTTCATAATCTTGACATAATCATTATTCGCCTTCATCCTCTCACCCCCCTCCCTCTTCTTCTGCGCATACTCCGACTCGCCCTCTGCGCCCGCCTCGGCACTCGGCGCCCCATCTTGCGGCCCCAATCCCTGCTTGGCGCGCCACGCAGCCTTCTTGGCTCGCTTCTCGTCCGCTTTCGCCGCGTCTTTATCGTACGACAAGAAGGCGCCGACATCGGCGATCGCGCTTCCTTGGAGGGGGGCAAGTTTGCGCGGGATGCGGGGTGCGGCGTCGTCTTCCTGGGATGAGGTGGGGGAGGGGGAGCGAGAGAGGGCCGGGGCGATAGTGGCGAAGAGGGGAGGGGTGGTAGATCGGGACGGGGAGCGTCGGCGGCGGGTGGGAGGAGAGGCAGCGCGGAACATGGGTGATGGGCTGCGAGAGTAGGATCGGCGCCGCGGAGGGGATGAGGGCGAGTGTGAGGTGTATCGATCTCGGCCAGACTGGGATCTACGAGGTGGACTGTCGTCGTACCGGCGGTGAGGAGGTGAAGGGGAGTCATACCGCCGCCGCTTGGACTCGATGTAGCTGTCTCGGGATGGCGACCTGGCTCGGCGAGCATATCGGTCTTCCCCTCGACGGCCTTCCTCGCCATCTCGTCTTCCGCCTGTGCCTTTCCGCCCGTAGCTGCCTCGATCGCCATGCCCTCCTCCACGGTCATCTCGGCTGGGGAAGCGATCCCTGCTGTCGCTCCGGCTCCGACGGTATTCCCGCCCGGATGGTCGACTGTCATAGCAGTCTCTCGAGCGTGACCGTGAGTACGAGTCGTCCCGCCGCCGACTCCTCGTATCCCGCTCATCATAACTCCTGCTCCTATCCCGGCTATCTCTCCTTCCATCCGCCCTACGATCGTCCTGCACATCTCTCCGCCCGTATGACCGTGATCTCGACCGTGACCTGGACAGGGATCGAGAGGCTGGCCGCGCAGCGTTCCGATTCGGACCAGCCGGAGTCGGCTTGTCGTCCTCCTCTTCCTCGTCGCTTGGCAGGTTGGCATTCAGGTCGTATTCACCCGCATCGGCAAAGATGTCCTCCTCTTCCTCGACCGGTTCAGGCTTCGGAGCAGGTTTGGTCGGGGGTAGGCGTGAAGGCCCGGCTATCGCGCTCGCCCCGGTCGAGGCTGGTTTCTCCTCCTTGACCGCCGGGACAGGCTCAGCGGCTGGGATAACCTTCTTCTTCTTTTTCTTCTTCTTCTTCTCGCCGGAGACTACTTCCGCCTCTTTCTGGCCTATCGACTTGAACTGTACGCGTCAGTCACGCTCCGCTCCGCTCGAACATGCGTGCAAGTTGACTCACACCCTTGCCCAGTCGCTCTACTTCTGCCTTCTTCCCGTCCTCCTCAGCACCCTTTGCTTTCTTGCTCTTGGCCCCGGCAGGCTTTCCTACACCTTTCACCAGCTCGTCCAGCTCTTCATCAGCATTGTTGTCGTTTTCCTGCGCGAGTTCCGCCCTTCTTGCAGCGAGCAGGGCGTAGTCGAGTCCCTTGACAAGGATGGAGTGTTCCGCATCTCCTCCGAGGTATGCTCGTTGCTTCTTGATCTTTCATGTCAGCTTTGCTCCTCTATCGCAAGGGCGACCAGGCAACCGGAAAGCAGCTTACCTCCTCTTCGTCCTTCCCAGACTCTTTGGCTGTCCGTTCAAAGTCTTCCAGCAATTTCTCCACCTAGACAAGTCAGCTAATTTGCCCGAGCGGACAAACGGCGGCAGCTATCAGCTCACAGGCTTATACTCATCATCCACGCCTTTCCGCCTCAACTCCGCCCGGTCCTTATACCCCCCTTCCTCTAAGATCCGCTTATGTGTCGCCCTAGGCGCAAACGCTGGCCGTTCAGCCACTGGCTCTTTAGGCTTCTCATACGCCTTGGTGTCCTTCGGCTTTATGCCCCAGCCGCGCTTGGGAGCTGCACCGCCGAGGGCCTTCTTGGAGCCTGAAGAGGAGGAGGAGGGGTCACGGGGCGCCGAGAGGAGAGAGCGGAATGCGGACTATGGGTCAGTTGGATCTCACACAGATTTGACAGGGACATTTACCTGGTCCATCCTGAGCTAATGAGGTGTTGGCTACTTGCCTACTGGAGCCTAGGAATGACAAGTGTATAAGCGGCTGGTGATGGGAGAGTCCAGCTCAACAGCTCAGCTCAGCGCTGGGCAGCTCCAGCTCAGTTATGACGCACGGGCATCATGCCTCTGTGGATAAAATTCAGAAACCCTCGGTGTAACTCCGGGCCGGAACTTAGCCGGAGGTGTGTGCTTGGTGGAGGTGGAGGCAGCCGTCGGCACAACTATCACTCCGGGTACTCTACCGCGGCCGCGGAGATGCAATCGCCAGCAAGGCTAGGCTAGCGGTAATATAAAGGCCAAGGTCAGGTGCTGTTCGCACAATTACATCGACCCGCTTAAGACTCACAACCGTTAGTCTTCCAACTGTACATCTACCTCTCTTCTACAAGACAGACAAAATCTAAAATGGCACCCACCTACACCCACAAGTTTGACCACGCCGCGTTCAAGGGCGAGGTTGAGATCCCGCTCGGACTGTTCATCAACGGAGAGCACGTTGAGAGCAAGGATGGCAAGACGATTGAGTGAGTCGCCACTCGCCTGTTCCCTACGTAGACGTGTTGCGCCTGCCCGGGTCTGGGCCCAAGGGTTGGGGACCATCCTGGGCTATACCGGCCTGACTGGCGCCCACGCCCGCCGACATTCCCCTCGGACCCTTTGCCGCACATCTATTCCCGAGCTGACCGTCCAGCACCATCAACCCCACCACCGGCGAGGTCATCTGCTCCATCGTCGAAGGTACCGCCGCCGACGTTGAGATTGCCGTCGATGCCGCCCGTGAGGCGTTCGAGAACACCTGGGGCTACAACACCCCCGGCTTCGAGCGTGGCAAGCTCCTTATGAAGATCGCGACTCTCATGGAGCGTGACGCCGACATCCTAGCCTCCATCGAGTCTTTGGACAACGGAAAGGCCTTCACCGCTGCCAAGTACTTTGACGTGAGTCCAGGTCGGTCACATAGGTAGCCGACTTCGCTGATGATCAGGTGACCGAGTCTGCCGCGACTTTCCGATACTACGGTGGTTGGGCCGACAAGATCCACGGAAAGACCATCGAGCAGTCTACTGGCAAGTTTGCGTACACCAAGCACGAGCCCGTCGGTGTTTGTGGTCAGATCATCCCATGGAACTTCGTATGTCCTGTCTCTCAAGTATCAAGCTCTGGCTGACACTCAGCCCCTCCTCATGTTCTCGTGGAAGATCGCACCGGCGCTCGCTGCGGGCTGCACGGTCGTCATCAAGCCGTCCGAGCTCACCCCGCTCACCGCCGCGTACATGACCAAGATCTTCCAGGAGGCTGGCGTGCCCAAGGGTGTCGTCAACGTCGTGTGCGGCTACGGCCCCACTGTCGGGAACGCCATCACCTCGTCCAAGAAGGTCGACAAGGTTGCGTTTACTGGTAGTACCCCCGTCGGCCGCAAGGTCATGGAGGAGGCGTCCAAGTCGAACATCAAGGTATGTCTCCTGTTACGTGGGGATGGTGAGGCTGATCAGGCAGAAAGTCACCCTTGAGCTCGGTGGAAAGGGCGCCAACATCATCTTTGAGGACGCCGACATCTCCGAGGCCGTCAAGTACGCTGCTCAGGGTATCTTGTAAGTCTCTCATCGCTCTGGCTGCTTCAACCTCCCGCTGATGATCAGCTTCAACCACGGTCAGACCTGCTGTGCCGGTTCGCGTATCTTTGTCCAGCGCAAGATCTACGACGAGTTTGCTCAGAAATTTGCCAAGGTCACCCAGCAGCTCAAGGTCGGGTAAGTGTTTCATCGACATGTCTTCTAACTCTGCTGACCACCAGTGACCCGTTCGAGACTGCGACCTACCAGGGCCCTCAGGTCTCGCAGACCCAGTACGACCGAATCATGAACTACGTCGAGTGCGGCAAGCAGGAGGGCGCGACCGTTATCACCGGCGGTAAGCGCCACGGAAAGACTGGATACTTCATCGAGCCCGTAAGTCATCCCTGTCCTCGCCTGGATTCTGGCTGACAGCCAGACCATCTTCGGCGACGTCACCTCCAACATGAAGATTGTCCAAGAGGAGATCTTTGGCCCCGTCGTCGTCATGACCGCCTTTGACACCGAAGAGGAAGTCATCAAGGAGGCCAACTCGACCAACTACGGTCTCGCCTCGGCCGTCTTCACCCAGAACCTCTCGCGCGCCCACACCGTCGCTGGCAAGCTCAAGTCGGGTACCGTCTGGATTAACTGTTACAACGAGCTCCACCCCCAGATTCCGTTCGGTGGGTTCAAGGAGTCGGGTATTGGTCGCGAGTTGGGCGAGTACGCTCTCGAGAACTATACCGGTATGTCCTATCCTTCTGCGCATGCTACAGCAGGAGCTAATAGACGCAGAGGTCAAGGCCGTGCATGTCAATCTTTCGGCCAAGTGCGGTTTCCCCGTCGATGTGTAGGTAGTGAGGGACGTGCAGCAGAGATCAGAAGTAAAGAAACAGACGAGAAGGATGCATTCTTGTACTTGTTGCAAAGCGGGACGCTGGATGACGGCCTGAATACCTTCTACCGTCACGAGCGTTCAGCATGTGAGCAGATGCATGCCAGACACCGACGCTGGATGATGCGCATGGTAGATGAAGTAACGGGATGCAGCCGAGTGTAGCATCTTTGAGTGCACGTGAAGTCCACATGTACAGGCCGAGCAAGCGCCACGAGCATGCCGTCATCCACCACATTCCTCACTTGTCCGCTTGCCCCGGCTGACCGCGTCCGCTTTTGCACACACCATCTGAACTTTCTTCGTCCGTCTCCATAAGCTTGCAGATTTTCGCACCCACACACAAGCCACTCGCCCGCCATGACCGACGACATCGACATCTCGCGCCTTAGCATCTCTTCCTCCAGCATGTCCCATCTCCCACCTTCCCCAACTTACCCCCTCCCTCCGGGCCCATACAAACCGCTCGACCCGGGCCAGCCACCCTTCATGCCCAACGCGGTCAATACCAATCTCGCCAATTATCGACTGCCGCCCTTACCTGATCTGGGTGTGCCGCCACTGCCGCTGATAGAGGATGTTGAGCTGGAACGGCAGGTGTTTACGCATTCGAGCTGGGTGCAAAAGGCGAGAAAGGCGACGAGTATGGAGACTGAGGAGAGGATAGAAGATAATGAGAAGTTGGAGCATGTGGGGGATAGCTTGATCAGTGGGTATTCCCCATCATGGAATCTGGAGATGAGGGGCTGATGAATCAGATGTCACGACGACGCTTCTGCTGCATCAGCTGTACCCAAATCTTCAGGTCGGAGGAGCTACTGTCAGCTTCTTTCCTGAGCCAGGCGAGTCGACGCTGATCCATAGATGCTGAAAGGCCACCTCGTATCAAACCTCTCCCTCTCCCAGCTCTCCAAGCACTACGGTCTCCCCCAACGTATCATCGCCTCCGCCTCTGAAGTATGGAACCTCCGCGCAGGCGAGAAGATCCAAGCAAACCTATTCGAAGCCTACGTCGCGGCACTATACCTCTCTTACCTCCTCCCTACCGCGTCCGCCTCCTCTCCTTCTGCCACGGTATCCTCCGACGCATACTGCGATGCCGAAGGCCGCGCCTTCGCTCGTTTAGGCTACTGGCTCAAACCCCTTTTCGCTCCCCTCTGCCACTGGCTCCTCGCCGAGATAAAGTCGGAACAGCGCCGCCTGGACGATCAGTCGAGCGGAGCCAATGCCGATTCGCATCTGGATCAACTGGCGTCCGGGGCGCTGGCGAGGTTGAATGAGCACATGACAAAGTATCACAAGACCGCGCCGCAGTATACGAGCAGTAGGGCGGGGACGGACGCGTGGACGACGCAGTGTATCGTGCATGATAAGGATGGGAAGATGTAGTGAGTGTGTCTCTCGAGGGAAGCGGAGGGAAGAGGGAGAAAGGGGGCTGACGGTCCAGTTCACATGAGGCAACGAGATCAACCAAGAAGATCGGGCAGAACATTGCGGCGTACAAGGTGTGTCAGGAGATGGGCCTGTAGGGGATCGAGCGGGAGGGAGGGCCAGGTAGGGGGATGGGGAAATACCGGATGGAGGAGTCATCGATCTTCAGCTTGAAGGCATATATCTCAGCCTTCGCTGTATATCATCATACTGCATATATCTAGCCACTCTAAACGACGGTCGGACGAGTGTGGTTCTCCCCATGAAAGCGGCCAAAACTGTAGTGCTTTCATCACTAAATCGCATCGTGATGCACGTCAACGGAACTACCTCTTTCGTGGGTGGTACATGTGTGTCCTACAACCCACTTCCTTGTGCTACCTAAGGAAATGAAGCAGCTCCCCACATACCACAACTCCCAGCGCCATACCCACACAGACAAAGCCAAGATACGCATCCGCACTCCGTCGTGGCGAGGCAGCGCTATACCATGTCGCCCGGCCTTGTCCTTGGACCTGACCTTGTCCCGGCTGTCCACCATCACCCCATGTCGCGCCAACACCGCCTTGCTGCCCATTCCCACCGGCCGCGACAGCCCAGCCATCCCCTCCTTGAGCTTGACCGACCCCGGCGGCGGCGGGTACGGATCCTGATCGTGATCCGCCGGGGCTGGCGCTGGCGTATACCCAAGCTGGAGCGGCTCCGGGTCCGCCCTGTACCGGCTGGGGCTGGGGCTGGGGCTTACCGCAAGTAGGACATCCCCCGTCAGCGGCCTTGGTGGACCATTCTTCCTTGACTGTCGAGTAGCCGGCGACGCCGCTGCTCTCGAGCCAGTAGGAGGGCATGTCGACTGTGACTTGGATAACTTTGGGGACGACCGTCATTTTGAGGATAGGCGTGGGTGCGTACTGGATAATGAAGACCTAGAGTATCAGTACTGGACCCTACCCAATCCACGCAAGATAAGTGGGGGAAATGCACATACCTTGCCCTCCTTCGTAACAGTCTCCGTAACAGTCTCCGTATTGTATATAGTCTGAACGACCGTCTTTTCATCAATAACTGTCGTCGTCAAATAACACGGCACACTCGTAACGGAAAGAATGGTAGAAGTGACCGTATCAGCCTGAAGAGCGACGGCTGTACCGCCGTACTGGCAGTTCCCGCCGTTGGGGTCGCACCGCGGCGCGAGGGTCGGAGTGGGGCCGGCGGGGCGGGCAGAGTGTGCGGGAAGGGCGGTGGGTGTGGTATTGGGTGTGAGGGAGGGGGAGGGGGTTGCGGAGGGATAAGGGGAGGGGAGGTACGCGGAGGAGACGAGGGTGAGGGTGGTTAGGAAGGTGAGTAGGATGAGCATTTGGGTTGAGAGGCGGGGTGGTAAAGGGTGGTGAAGTGGTAAGTCCAGGTTAGTAGTGGTGGTGGTGGTCAAGTTGGATGGGTTCAGATGGGGAGTGATGATGGTGTGGATAAGAGAAAGAGGACGCCCTGAGCGCTCGATATTGTCAGATAGCCGCTTAGCCTGTGATACGCGCTCGAAGTTTCCACCCCTCGCAAGAAAGGATGACGGGGACGAAACGGGAGAAAGGACCTATCGGAGCAGATGAATTGCACGTCATGACCCCAGTTCAGCCTTTCCGTCGCAATCCAGGCACGACGGGGACGCCACATTTCCTCGACAGTCTGCATACAAATCCTGCTGATCCTCTACTTCTTGCCGTCCTTCTTCTCCTCTGCAGGTGGCGGTGGAGGAGGGATCTTGAAGTTCTGTGGTATCAGCTTTGTGGTCCCTATTGCCCGACGTGATCGAGACCCCGCGAGCTGAAAATGTCACTTACTCCGGGCTGGTGCGTCGGGTCACCGGAACCGACTTGTTCCCATGGTGAAGCGGCATCGGCGAAGTTTCTACGGTATTAGCTGGTGCAGACCTTCACAATCGCTTTTCAGCTCACCGGTACGCCTGCGTCAACTGCAATGGCTCATACACCACCCTCTTCTTCTCCTCGTCATACCGCACTTCCGAGTAACCAGTGAGCGGGAAATCTTTCCGCAGAGGGTGGCCCTCGAATCCGTAGTCGGTCAAAATACGACGGCTACGGTGTCAGCTTTGTGAACGCACAGCGCAGACGGAAGCTGTACGTACAGATCCGGGTGACCAGAGAAGAAGACTCCGTACATGTCCCACACTTCCCGCTCGTACCAGTTGGCACCGGCGAAGAGGCCGACAATAGAGGGGACGGGCGAGACTTCATCGGCGTATGTCTTGACGCGGATCCGGGATTGGTGCGCCACGGAAAGAAGATTGTAGACGACCTATACGTGAGCTTGGGCTGGCCGAGATCAGACGACTTTTAGCTCACCTCGAATCGGTTCGGCCGGGTGGGGAAGTCGACAGCGGTAATATCCATGATGGACTTGTACTGGCACTGGGTGTGATCCCTGAGGAAGTGAATCACCGGGACGATCGCCTGAGGAGGGACGTAGAGCGTCAATTCGTCCTTGTAGATGGAGAATTGCTGAATGTATTTCGGGAGGCAGGTGGTGAGGTACTGCCCGTATTGATGGAGCGGGGAGGACAGATCGCGGGTCGCGTCGGCGGGATTGATCCCGACCGGCTCGGAGAAGGGCGTCTCGGAAACTTTTGGCTGGGGTGCGGCTACAGTGTCAGCATTAAGGCTTGGGCGATAGGGTCCTATGTCAGGAGGTAGGCGGGGGAGGGATCAACGCACCCTCTCGCAAGATAGCGGCGGCGCGGAATGACCTCGATGCCTGAGCCGCTGAAGAAACGGCCGCTGATCGAGGTACAGCCCTCGCTGCGATTCTCGCCGACATGATCGCTGTTCTTGCTGCCATTGTAGGTGCTTTTACTGGTGATGGACAAGGTATAGGGCGAAAGAGACCTCTGCTGCTGCAGCTGCATCGGATCGAAGATGGACCCTCGCCACGTGGAGAGCCTGGGCCAGGCAGGCGGGGAAACCGGTTTGATCCCGCTGATCCCGTGCATTGATCGCTCGCTCGCTCTGAGCTAACTCATAGATTTCGAGGCTATCTCATCATACACTCCATAGCTGGATAGCATACATACATCACACACTCACAGGGGTATCCAAGAAGGGGCCGGACCGCGCAGAATCCATCGAAAATACGGGAAATCGAAGCTTGGCATCGCCTTCACGCACCTCCTTTCGTCCAAAGCTCGAAATCAACGCTTTCGGTCGAGTCCTTCTCTGGCCTTTCGCTTTCATTATAGTCTGGCTTGGAGACTTTTATACCTCATGTGAGCTCCAGAGCAGCACTATCTGCGGGATTTGATCATAGCTGACGAGTTAGGATCGCAAGATGGACACTGCCCTGATCGACAATGCGGAATCCAACTTACCCGTCGACGGCCTAAAGGTTGAGCGCAGGACAGAAGATATAGGCACGGCCGCGGAGAAGGGTAGCGGGGCGGAGGCGTCCGAGGCGGCTGTGGAGATAGCCGCACCGGCGGAGGAGGTTCAGGCGGATAGAGCTGGAGAAGGAGAACTGGCAGGAGGAGCCGCCGAAGGAAGCGAGGCACCAGCGGAGGTCCCTTCAGCCGACGTTGCGGCTGCACAGGCAGCAGAGGAGGGCGCTACGGAGGTGGAGACTACGAAGGCGGAGGATGAGAGTACCAGTGCGGTACCGGAAGACAAGGATGGACAGGATGGCGGAGACGAGACTCACCCGGCCAGCGAGATCGTCCGTACCGACACGCCTGGATCTCGGACCTCTACACCACCCCCTGGCGCCGTCACTGCGCCCAAGAAGTTCTCGGCTGTCAATGTCACGAAGAAGTTCCTGTCCAAGACGGCTCAGCCATCTCCTGTACCCTCTCCCGGAACAAAACTGGGTCTCAACGGTATGTCGGCTTCTCATATGGCGCAAGTTATAGCTAATAGTCAGGCCGTCCCTCCGCTTCTCCCGTACCCATCTCATCTTCTTCATCGCGCCTCCTATCCACAACACTCACCACCGCCCCTCTCGCCAAATCATCCGCATCCTCCACTCCCCCCGTTCCTGCCGTTTCGGCATCGTCATCCGCATCGCCATGGGCCAAGCCTGCCGCAGCTCTCGAGACGACGTCCGAGACCTCCACACAGCAGACAAAGCGGTCTCTAGGGAATATGGCGTCTAGTACGAGCCAGGGCCAGGGACAGGCGCAGGGATCAGCAGCATCCAAGACGGTAGCGTGGAGGTCGGTCGTTCCTGAAGGAAGGTCAAGAATAGGGATGTCTAGGGATTTCCCCACGGCAAGGGAGATTGCAGAGGGAGAGTCTAGATTAGGCAGGGAGATTGCGGAAGGTAAGTCCCGAGCGCCTGTGGGAGGGATTTGGCTGACGAGATAGGCAAGATGCAGGCGCAGTTGGCGGCGCAGCAACAGGCGGCACATAATCAGGCGCTATTGAAGAGTCTGAATGCTTTCACGCACCTCGATTCGGCGCATCGCTGGGACGTAAGTTTTCTGACACAGATTGCCTCTGTTGGAACAAAGCTGACGCCGACAGGACGACGATGATGGGGACGACGTGATTGATTTCGGCGACGGCTCGGACTTACCCCCTCTCCCCACACCCATCGATGTAGCACCTCCGGCGGCCAAGCCCGAGCGCTACGTTGCAGCAGACGATTTCGACCGGAGCTGGCCACGCAAAGCCCCCGTCGAAATCGCCGGGCGTCGGGAAGAACGCGTCCTGTTCAACGCGAATTCCAATCGGCTCGAACCGTCTTTACCTCGTCAAGCTCCACCACCTGCACCTACCCGGCTCATGTCTCGGAACAGCGACCAATCTGTCCGACCACCTACAGCTGCTGGACCGTCAATACTGGATCGAGCGCTTCCGCCACATCAGCAGCAGCAACCCGGGAATCGGGCGTTACCGCCCCATATGGCCGGGATGCAGCAGGAGGCACCGCGGGCTATGGGCTCGGCGCCACCGGCAGCGGCTGGAAGGCCTGCTTGGAGCATGCCCCGGGATATGGGCAGGCCAGCGCCAGCACCATCAGCTGTGCCCGAGCGGGAAATTACGCGACCAGCTGTCCGTTCTCCCGTCAAATCTACGACAAACCTCCCTTCGCGTCCTACTTGGGAACAACAAGCTGCTCAGCCCCAACAATCTGCACCCCGCCCTCCTCCGCCTACCCAAACTCCATCATCACAAGCACCACCACCACCCACACAGCCAAGCGTCACTTCGCCACCCGCCGTTTCCGCCTCATTAGCAGGAGGGAAGGTGGACGAGCAGACGGCCGAGATGCATACGGCGGCGGAACGGGCGCGTCTGAGGAGGTTGGCGGAAGAGGCAGAGCGGAGTGCGGCGATGGAACGAGCAAAGAGAAAGGCAAAGGAGCTGGAAGAAAGGTTGGGCATCAAGTCCGCCGCGCCGGCAGCACCAGCTGCGGCACCCGCACCTGTCGCTGCTCCACCACCGCCACCGCCCACAATCCTACGCCGACCAATGCCTGCGGCACCAGCTCCACCGCCCGGCTTGGCTCCAAGCACGTCCGCGCCTCCTCCACCCGTCCTCGCACCCGCGCCCGCCGGGCCGAAGCCCGAACCCTCTCGACAGGTCGAATCCTCCTGGCGGGCCCGGCCGACCTCTAGCGCGGCAGAACCACCCAAGGCCAACGGCCCGGTACCTCCAGCTGTGGCGGAGAAGTCAACAATGCCTGCTCAGCCAAGAGTGGACCCCATCCGCCAAGCTCATGCGCACGCCGAGCGGAGTCTCCAACAGGCGATCCAGGCCCAGCCTGCTCGAGCGTCACCACCGCACATACAGGCGGAAGCACCTCAGCCTGTGGTTCCTCAGGCTGCTGCACCGTCAGCGACCGTGCCGGCGCTGATAGAGGCGGTGGTTCGTCTACCTGGGCAAGCAATGCTGCCCGAGTCGGACCAGCCGCCGCGGAAAGACAGCGGATTCGACAGCATGTTGGCGAGGATACAAGCTGCTATGGCTGAGGCTCGGCTTGTTGCTCCTCCCATCATCGAGTCTGTTCTTCCGCCTGCCCCTGCCCCATTACCAGCGGCCCCCGCTGCTGCTATCGCCCAAATCACCCGCTCTCCGCCCAAAGCACCATCGCAACCCCCTAAACCCACCCTTCCGCCCCTCCCCTACTTCTTCGACGTGACCCACACCCACCCACCACGCTCCCCACCTCCCGCCTGGCGGACATATACAGTCCGCCTCCCCTCTTCCCACTCTCCCCGACCGACCATCTCCCCCGCCCGCCTCAAATCATCCCAAACACCCCTTTCACACCCCCAGGGTTGGCTCCTCGTCTTCCAGCCTCCTCTGGATCTTCCCCCAAATACTATACTGGCGGACCAACTCCTCCCCCGCCCTATCTATCAGCAGCGATTTGGACGACCCCTCGACTCGGCGCCGATCGTCTCAATCTCCCCACGCAAGCTGGAACCGTTCGAGCGGAAGAAGAAAAAGTCGTCCATGTCGCCTGTAAAGAGTCTGCGCGGGATGGAGTTGATGCCGCCCCCGTCGTCGGCGGAGAGCCTGATGGCGCCCACTCAGCCTGCATATGGCTGGCAGCGTGGCGATAGAGCTGCGGGATCATCGACGTGGACTACTCCGGCCGCATTTGCGGCGGCGACGGTGGCACCTCCGGCAGTATCGATCGATACTGCCCACTTATCGCCCGACGCTTCGGAAGGCGCCGACCCCTCCGCTCTTGGTCTTTCCCAGATCAAGAAGCCTCGATCGCCTGTCAAATCGTCGCCCGCTGCCAAGGCGGAGAAGGAGGGGCAATTTGCCCAGGAGGCAGTCTCGGTCGGCCCGATCGCTCGGTCCCGTCCGGTTGAAGTCAAGCCGGGCGTAAGATTTATGGCTTCGTCTGAGTTGGAAGGGGACAGCTTGCTGGATGAGGTCAATAAGATGAGCTTGGAGACGGTCGGCGAGGGGTGGGGAGGGGATGAGAAGGATGATGTCTCAAAGACACCCGGATCCGAGGTGAGCTGGGTGGTTTTAATCAACGTGATGACAGCACACGAGCTGACTGCTAGACCCCTAAAACGCCCCCATCGCTCAGTGCCGGCTCGTCCCGCGGTCAACCGTCTTCTCCAGGTGGTGCAGGAACACCTTGGTCTCGCTCCACTCCGCGCAGTGCGACTCAGCACGACCATATCAAGTCGGTATGGGATCTCGCTGGGTCAGCCGACGCTACCCGCCCCGTACCCAGCACTATCGCCGATATTCCCCTTCCTCCTCCCCTCGTCTCTGCCCCGTCGGCTCAATCGGCCCAGTCCGACTCATCAGCGCCCATGTACCCTTCCCTCAATACCCCCTCGTCTGAGCAAATCCCCGCCATGCCCCTTCCCTCCAGCTCAGCACTCGGCTACCCTCAATCCTCCAACTCGCCATTCTCTCCTGGGTCTCACGGGGCCTTCATGCGCCCTCCGACCAATGCGCACGGGTACGCCTATGCTCCCAGCCCGACCGGCTCCGCCGAGCCGTACTCTGCCGCAGCACTCGCCGCTCGGCCCAACGGCGGCTTCTCGTCCCCTTGGTCCCCTGCTGCTTTTGGCGCGTCGATGCCATCGCCAGGTTACGGCTACACCGGCAAACAGCAATCATCGCTGCCCGACCCAAAAGCCACCGAAAACTCGTACGCCTACTCGCAAGCCGCGGCTTTCGCCCAGGCGCAACAACAGCGATATGCCCAGGCGTATGTGCAGCAGGCCCAAGCTCAGGCCCAGCAAGCGCAGGTGGCGGCGTACCAGCGGGCGTATGGGTACGGGTATACACCGCAGGCGGCGGTGCAGGCGCAAGCGCAAGCCCAGGCTCAGGCCGCGGGACAAGGTGGACCGCGCGCTGCGGTGGGCGGAGGGAGGTTTGGGCAGGTCCAACCACAAGGCCAGGTCCAAGTTCAGCCGGGTGCGAATGGGGATTATACGCATGGCCAGGCTGTAACGGGATATGGCGAAGGTGGATACTACGCCGCGGTCGGAGCGGGACAGCAGTCACAACGACATCTCGCGGCGCAGAGCAGTCCTGTGTATGGGCAATCACCACTTCCTCACTCGCACCCGCACGCTCATGGACATGGGCATCATCAACAACAGCCGGGCCAGCCGCAGACCCCACAGCAACAACAGCCGGGGCAGGCGTATGGTGCAGGGGCGGTGGGACAGCAGATTATGAGGGGGCAGAGGAAGATGTGGTAGATTGATGCTATGCGCAGGTGGCAGATGAGAGGGGTCTGACGTGATTTGAAGGAGGAGGTGCGGGGGGTGGTAAGGGAGAGCACAGCAGAAATAGCATAATATGATCAAGGAGACACACTGTGCAGGTCATGCCATCATACTTCCATCTATAGTCATGTTCTGAATCAGTAGCTGCTACGAGTCTTGGGTCCATGCAGGGCTCACTTGGCTTCGCCTCGCCTGGCAAGGTTGCTGGCTCGCTGCGCGCTGGTGGAGGCATCAATAAATAACAAATCTCGAGGAGTTCTGCGGTTCTGCTCTCAATCTGCTCTGACACGTCTTTCTTCCGCTGCTATGGCCTTACAGCCAGCTATGAACCGGTAACCTCGATTGTGCCTCAGCTCTCATCTCCGAGAGCCCAGGCCAGAGCAGCCCAATCGAAATGACACTCCGACCTTGGCTCCTCGCCTCGTCCTTCATTTCTATCCTCCTGACATGGATCACCTTCCGCCAATTCAGCCAGGACCTCGCTACCTCCGGCACATGGGGGTGCGAGATGAGCTGGATGACGCCCTCGTATGTCGAGATACCGTGGAAGGAGACGCCGATGCGGCGGTATAGGCTGTTCTGGTACCGCGAGCAAGGATGGGATCAGGAGGAGACGGTGCGTCTTGACCGATGTGGGCTGAAAAGAAGGGAGTTGATGTGCTTCAGCCGAGCGGTCTTCCTGTCCTCTTCATCCCTGGAAACGCGGGATCGTACTCCCAAGTCCGGTCCATTGCTTCGTCCGCCTCGAGGCAATTCTACGGAGAGACAAGGGGAGATGACCTTCCGCCCGGAACGACCAAGCTGGACTTTTTCACCGGTACGCTGAGCTCACGGACTCATAATTCCTACTGGAGGGGCTGGAGCTGATGTCCCAGTCGACCTCAACGAGGAGTTCTCTGCGTTCCACGGTCCCACACTCCGCCAACAAGCAGCCTATGTCTCCGCCGCCATCGCCCATATCCGCTCCCTCTACCCTCCTAACGCCTCCCAACCGCCCGTCATCCTCCTCGGTCACTCCATGGGCGGCATCGTCGCTCGCCTAGCCGCCATCTCCCCTGAGGTCGAGGAGGACAGTATCAGCCTAATCCTCACGATGGCGACTCCACATACGATATCGCCCGCCCCACTCGACCTGACCACCGAGAGCATTTACCGCGAGATAGCAGAATGTCAGCTGGCCCGGCCTTCGGCGCTGCTTGTATCCCTCTGCGGAGGGATCTCGGACACGCAGGTCGTCTCTGATACATGTGCGCTCGGGGCGCCAGACCTGCAGGAGGGAGATGGATTTACGGTCTTCACGTCGGGTCTGCCAGGGGCGTGGACGGCGGTAGACCATCAGGCGATGGTGTGGTGTCATCAGATTCGGTGGGCCGTCGCACGGGCGCTGCTGGAGACTGCGAGTGTGCAGAATCGGGAGGGGAAGCTAGGAAAGCTCAAGCGGTGGTTGACGGACGAGGTGGCGGATCGGAAGGTCTCAAACAGAGGAGGGGAGAAGCACAGGATACCGGTCACCGGGAGGTCGATGGCTGTGTTAACGAGGTTAGGGCACACAGATCTGCCCCTGATATCTCACTGTCGATCCGACGGGCAGTGCAAGGAGGTACGAGGGAATGTGGCTCGTATACCCTGGCTGCGGGATGAGACACGGCCGTTTCCTCTTGTCGGAGAAGGCGTGGGTTTGGAAGATGTCGCCGGCGTACTCGAGGTTCAGCTGGAGTCAGCTATGGGGTATCTGGAGCTGGAAGCATCTGAGGTGCTGGCATATGGATCGTCGCATCCGAAAAAGCTGCTGGATGGGTTGAGCTGGGAAGCAGGTGAGTGAAGATCCGAGCGAAGCTAATATCAGAACCTTCAGCGCCCGCCCCGTTGCGGTTCAGCCTGCATCTATCGATCCGTGATGCTGCACTCCTCAGCTACAGGTTAGACTATCACACTCCGTCTTGCACAGGTAAGCATACGATGCTTATACAAACCTCATAGCTGAAGTATCAGGGCCCTCGCCGGTCATTAAGGCAACTTACGCTTGTAATGGCCTGACCGAGTCCCAGCTGTTCGCAGGCTCTAAGCGCATTGGCTACCTCTCCAATCACCTGATCAGCGCTCCGTTCGTTCCGCATGATTGCACTCCCGGCATCGAGCTCGAAGTCACCCAAGATCAGGCATGTCCCATCACGAGCATCTCGGCGTCGATAGCATGGGGTCCGAGCTTGGCCAAAGCGGTCATGCGGTACCGGATGGCGGCTTTGACGTGGGGAATCGGATGGCTGGCTTTGGTCTGCGCAAGAATGGTACAAGGTGAGTACGGACGTATGTTTCTGCTGACGAATAGGTCCGATGCCTATCTTGGCCGCGCTGGACATGACTACAAGGCAATCATGGAAGATCTTGATCTACCTCACTGCTGCTTGTCGTATACAGCAGGTCTTCTGGCGCAGCTGGCCTGTCGCTCCGCATTCGCTCGTCGGTGTACGGGATAGCGTCGTCTCGATACCATTCGCTCTCCTGCTCGCAGTATGGACCTTGGGCCTAGCGGGTCTGGCGATACTCGCGATCGAAGGCGTATCGAGTCGACTTGTTCAAAGCGGGCCAACGGTCTCGACTGACAAATCTACACCTTCAGCTCAAACAGCATTCATGCTCGCCCCTCAGTAAGCAACCAATCTGACATGCGGTACTTGATACTCGACGGAGCTGATACTACAGACGTCCCGCATACATGATCATCCTCGCCCAAACGCTCATCACCCTCCTCCTCAGCCTGTACCTCCCACATCAGCTCATCTCACTCGGACTCTTCATCCTCATCTGGCGAGCGGTACCTCGCGAGGACGGGACGTATCGTTCCTCCTTCGCTCGGACAGGAACCTACCTCCTGACCTTCGTTCTACCATTCGAGGCGGTCATTCTACCCGTTTGGGGGCGATACATCTGGGCGGACTGGAAACATGCCTTCCCATCGGAAGATAACCTGCTTTGGTTGATGTCGCCCTTGTTCTTTCTCCTGCTGGTGCAGTATGGTCGAGCGAGTGAGGCTACTCTTGCTGTGTGAGTACTGCTTATGATACAACCAGTGAACATCGGCTGACGAGCTCCAGGAGAAGCAGATACTTGCGATGGACGCTCCTCGGCCTGGCGGGATTGGTATTTGTTATTGGAGCAAGGCATCCTGCCATCGTCCGGGTAGCTGTACATCCGGTCATCCTTCTGATCAGTGTATCTCTATGTATCTGAGCGATGAACCTGCATCGAGACATGATGTCACTGCTGGACAAGGCGTGACTGATCACGGAGTAGTACAGAGATCCTGAAAGTGCAACTCATTCCTCAAAGCGGGTATCACCGGCCAAAACAGTAACCGGGGACACCATGTAGCAGAAAAGAGATGGAAACTCGACAGTATCATTGCTACACCATGTTCAAAATCGGCCGCTCAGCAGCTGCTTCGGTATTACTGCCAAAGTTCCCCGTTGCCAGTCGAACTGTCCCTCGAGACGTCCGCAGATCCGCTGTGAGGAGATGGCAGCACAGCTCTACATCGACAACTCCTGTCAAGGCAGACAGAAATGAGCGAGCTGTGACCCTCACATGGCCAAAAGAGGGCTCCACGTCTTTGTGAGACGACTTTGTGAGGGTGCCATTGTTCCCTTGAGCTCATACCCCTGCAGTGATAATCAGTTCCTGCTGGATCATTGCCGATGTCCGAGGTGTTTCCACCCAGCGACAAAGCAGCGCCTAAAGACTCTTTCTGAGGTGTGTCATCCGTGTCTCTGCTGGCTGAGGTCTGCAAACGTGGTCAAAGCTGACTTAGCAGTTCCCCGAGAATCCTCAAATACAGCAGCTCGACATCTCCGGCCAAGAAGTCAAGATTTCTTGGTCGACTGCTGAACCTCACGAATCGGTCTTCCCCCTCAACTTTCTTCAGCGGGCGGCGTATGATCCCCCTCTGATAGCAGTACAGCGAGAAGAGTCAGTCTGCTCCTACTGTGCATTCGTTGAGAGACACTAAGCTGAAGGGTAAAGGCGTAAACAGTGGAACCGAGACATCGCAGCTGCCCCGCCCAGCGTCGAGTGTGAGCGGATCATGTCGACGGAGTCAAGGAGTGAAGGCATACTGAGTCTGCTGGACCAAGTTGTAAGCCGGATACCTACGTTTCGCCATCAGTCTATAGACAGCTGATCTTCCAGCACAAATTTGGTTTCTGCTTCATTCATGGTGTATCTGCTACACCAGAGGCGACCGAAGAGGTCATTCGCTCCGTAGCGCCCATACGCGACACACATTGTCAGTTGATGCATCCTCGGTCCTCTAGGAAAACTTGAAGCTGACTCTGCAGATGGCGGCTTCTGGGACTTCACCTCCAACATGTCGCACGGTGACCTCGCGTACAGTTCCGAAGGACTGCCCGCTCATACCGATACCACCTACTTTACCGACCCCGCCGGCCTGCAGATCTTCCACATGCTCTCACACCCACCTCCCGGTACCGGCGGGAAGTCGCTTCTCGTCGACGGCTTCTATACCGCTTCGAAGCTAAAGGCATCTCGGCCAGAGCTGTACGATACCCTCTCGAGATTGGCTATCCCTGCGCATGCGTCCGGAACAGCTGGAACACTACTTCGACCGCCAATGAGTCAGCCTGTCTTGCGGCATGATGAAGCAGGAGAGCTGGCGCAGGTCAGGTGGAATAATGAGGATCGGGGCGTGTTGGGTCGATACTGGAAGCCGGAGGACGTGAGGGCCTGGTATACCGCTGCGAGGGAGTATGAGCGGATAGTCAGGAGTGAGGACGCAGAGTACTGGCAGGCTCTGAGGCCCGGGACAATGCTAGGTGAGTTCGCCCGATGTCTGGGCTGATGTCAGTCATCGACAATTGGCGAGTCATGCACGGTAGATCCGCCTTCACTGGTTCTCGACGCATGTGCGGGGCGTATGTCGGAGCGGACGACTGGCGGTCCCGACGGGCTGCTCTGAGACATATACACCTCGACACCTGGGATGTCGGCTTCTAGCATGCTAGCTATAATCCGAGATGCATCATCTATATATCTACGTTCAGGCTGTTATCCGATGCAGCGTATCTTCGTGTTTTCCGGGTGGACGGGGAAAGCGTATAGGCTCCGCCGTTGTGGGTGGGTCATTGGATAGGCGGCGAAGGCGGGAGGAGGTGGAGTCTTGTGGTGGGGCGGATGGAGGTGGAGAGGGGCGTGACTTTTCGGAATGAGGACCGGGAGGGAGGGGTCCGGGATGTTGATATCCCGAGTGCAGGATGGAAGATGGCGGAAGGGAAGAAGGGTAGAACGGTGCCGGCGAGTGCGACTCCTTGCGGGATCCATCCCCGAGCAGCGCTCCCGCCTCCGCCAAGTTCTGCGGCAAGATACCATCCCTGCTTGCTTCCACCTGCCGCATCCGCTTCTCTCCCTTCTCAACATCCCTCTTGGAATTATTGTACATCCACAGTCCGACCGCCGTCAATCCAATACCTACGCCCTGTAGGGCGTGCACCGACTGCTTGAACCATATGATGGCGAGGCAGATGACCGCTATCCGCTTGACGAGGGACGCGATCGAGTAGGTGACGGGGGAAGTGGAGCTAAGGATGGCGAATGCCAGAAGGTTCTGTGCGAAATGAACAGTTCCGTTCAGGAAGAAGTAGATGACGAGGGTGGAGTCCGACTTGGCGCTCGAGTTGGTATATGACCATAAACGCCAAAAGTCCGAGTAGATCCATACCGGGATCATGAGGAAGAAGGCGAGGCCGGAGGAAAAATAGAGGAGGTTGATCCGGTCCAGCTTGCCGTGCTGCGAGGCCTCGGCGTTGGTGGGCATGACCTTTTTGAAGAAGATGTTTTGGGATACGAAGATGAGGGTGGAGCCAAAGGCGCAGATGAGGCCAAAAATGTTGGAAGCTGCCATGTCGGAGGAGCAAGCGAGCATGACGCCGAAAGTGAGGGGAAGGAGGGAGATGTAGGTTGCGGGGGAGTAGGAGACCGAGAAGAGGACGGCGTAGGCGAGGACTGTGAAGAGAGGGGATAGGGCCTGATAGTCAGCTTGGTCATGCACGGTCAGTGGAATCCAGCTCACTTTGATGGTGTGCACCGTGCTAACCGGAACTCGACTGATCGCCAACGAGCTAAAGATATGCCCTCCCACCTGGAACCCAGCCATTGGGAGCGTACTCCGCACATGTGTCCAATTGACTGTCCGCAGCCGCGTTGCCCATCCCAGCTTGCTGATGATGATGCAGTACCCAGCGACAAAGAAGAATTGTATGATCGTCATTGTCACTGGGAACCGAAAGCTCGTCATGATGACCTTGCCGGTATTGGACGAGAGAGCCGACGAGCCGTACCATAATATGCAGAGGGCGACGAAGCGGACCGTGTCGGCTTTGGGGACGGTGAGGGTGGGGATAGCGAAGGGATTGGGAGCGGGAGAGGATACGCGAGGAGGCGTCTCGTAGCCTGATGGGGGTTTGTCGAGGGGATAGCCGTTGAGCCGAGCTTGCCATGGCGACTGAAGAGGACCTGAGGGATAGTCCGACCGGTGTGCGCTTTTGGGCTCCGAGAGGACGGGTCCGGTGGCATAGGATGCCAGACGAGCAAAAGGCGCCCGCTGCCGAGGATCAGACATGATGGAGGGAAGTCGAGAAGGCATCCGAGCTCAAGAGCGCATCACGGCACTAGAATCGCTCATTCAAGCGCGCAGAGTATCTCAGATGCTTTGCTTCTACCTGAGAGCTGCGGTACTGCAGAGTACTGCCTCTATAGCAAGATATGGGTGATTGATGGATGTATAGTTGCTCAAGGTTATCGCTGTTGCGAGATCTATCTGCAAAGAGTTGTTGGCATTACGGCATGCCCCCAAAACGTTTCCAAAGGACGCGACGGGCGTCGACGCTCAAGATTGCGATGGCGGAGATGATGGTGCATAGTATATACAACGCGTCTTGCGCTTGTGGGATACGGCGGCAATATGGGCTTCCTACTTGACTATCGCCTGCGCCGACCGCCGGCAAGAGCTTCCGGTCGGTCAAACCCTTTTCCTCCACGCGCCCCTGGAGGTCCGTAGTCGTCTTGCGAGCTGGTGGGGAAGACGACGTGATGACGGTCGGTGTACTAGGTATTAGTAAAGTGTGGTAGAAGGCACGTAGCAGACTCACATCACTGAGGGCATTCAGCTGCTTTGTTAAGCTGTTAAAGGTATCGGCGATCTGGACATCCGCGTATTCCTGCCCTTTCAGCTATACCCCCTTCCTCTACTCAGAGAACACTCACGTCCTCCAGTTCCGCCTTGAAGACGGCAGCGTCCATTGTAGGAAGGCTTGCGAGAAGAGCGGAGATTTGTCGGAGAATATTGTGATCTGCCTTGGCTTTGCCTGATTGTTAGCCTACCTCGCCCAGGTGACTCACCTTCAGAAACAGCGTGCACATAAGAAGACAGCACCTCTATCCGCTCGTAAAGCATCCTGATAGCGTTCCTCTGAGTGACCAGACTGCCGACGACTGAGAGTATGAGCTGATTGCATTATCGGCCCGAAGAGGGAGAAGAATTCAACTTACCCTGGCTCTCATCTCGCGCGCCCATACCACCTCTCTGAGCCCCATCGACAGCGATACGCTCCGCCTCTCCAGTCTCCACTCCATAGTCCAGCTTGACAAACTTGGCCCCTGCTTCGGCATCCTTGCCTTCGGAAAGTGCGGACTCGTAGAGCGTGAGAGGAAGGTCCTTGGCACCGGCCGGGATATCGGTGTTGAATTGGAGGAAGATAGGGGTTTCGACCAGACCAGAGAACTGTACAGTCAGTCATAAGTTCGGATCTTGGGTCTAGGACTGGAGGTGAGATCAGACGGGAGTCAAGAAAGGGTGGGGTATGGGTCGCAGATTGGCTGGAACGCCAATATGGGTCAGGCCAATGACCAGCGGACTCGTCAACACCTGTCAGTCGCGGTTGGCATACGCCAACCCTGAGGAATGCGCCCAACATCGAGCATATCACAGCAAGGGAGGTCCGGGCGATGTTGCACAGATTCGTCTGATTGAAGAGCCTCTCAACAGCTAGAGCAGGACTTACCTGTTCCTGCAGCCGCAAGTCTTCGTCGCTCGGAGTCGCACCAACGGAGTACCACCCAATCACGTCCAAAGTCGGAAAGACCTGCTTGACTGCAAGGTCAGTCACTGGTGTCCTGAGTACATAGATGTCAACTCACACTGCTCCTTCCTCCTCTCGAGGAAGTCCTGATCGAATGTCGCCTCATCAACGTCTGCAACCAGCGCCAACTCGAAGGTGTTGACGACCGCGACCTGACGATTCGCTTGAGTTCCCAAAAGAGCGCCGGTGACTGATGATTAGGATATCATTTCGCATCTATAAGCTCACTCTTGGTCTTGGATCCCGTCAGACGATCACGAGTGACATGGTCTGAAATGTTGAGGATGGCGAGAGGATGCCTGGAGGTCAGCTGCTGCTGCGACTCGTGATCAAATCAGCTAAGTTGGACCTACAAGTTCAAGGTCAGGCCTGAGCTGACCCCATTATCGAGTACGTGGGATACCGGCTCGTCCATTTTGGGTATACTGCTGTACTCTGATTTAGAACTATCAGCTGTATGAAGTAGAAAGAAGGACGAAGGATGAGCGACTTCGCCGCTTTGAAGCTAGCTCCACATTCCTCAAATCGCGTCACGCCCTTGCATCCTTCTTCGACCATTCAATCTATATCCTCTTAGCCGTTGTACATGATGGAAGGACCCTCAGATAGCTTCCTTACAGCGGCAGACTGGCTGGCTACATCACCATCAGCGGCCAAGCTATCCAGCGAGGCCAAACTCGAGCTGTATGGGCTTTACAAGCTCGCTACAGTAGGCCAAACGTCCGTCCTTCAGCTCTGTCCTCTTGCGCCAGCTGACAGGACAGAAAAGAAGCCAGACCGTCTTTCTTCAACCCAACAGGTAGAGCGAAACATGATGCATGGGTTGAACAAACGGCAAAGTATCCGACCCCGGAGGCGGCTAGCGAGCGGTATATGGCCATAGCAGAAGAGCTGGGATGGGAGAGACAAAGCCAGGGCCCAAAGGGGATGGGCGTCAAGGTCAGCACTATGGCTGGGGAGATCGAGAGGTGAGTCCTCAAGCGGTATCCAGCTGACCAGAAGGGGTTCGAGCGAGTTGCATGAAGCTGTAATAGCCGATGATCGACCGAAAGTCGCTGCTTTGCTCAAGACTCCTGGACTAGTCAATGAGCGGGACGAATATGTCAGTTGGCGTGTACAGCTTGTGGACAACAGAACAGCAGCTTATGGCTAGGGATACTCACCACTCCATCTTGCCGCGGATAGAGGTCTAGCAGAAATGACCAAGCTTCTTTTGCAGCATGGAGCCGATACCGCCGCAAAGGTGAGCCCGCTTGTGGTCAAGCTGATGACAGGACGAGGACGACCAGACACCATTAGAGCTAGCTACCGTCACCGGGAGAATAGAAGTCGCCGACCTGCTACGACATGCATCATGACCTTTCACGCCCTACAGCGCTCATGAGCCATCTGCCCCGACCCTAAAAGTACCCCTTGCTGCACCTCCTCCCCACACCTACATACCCTCGACATCGGGCTCCACCCACACTGCCTCTTCTTGCTCAGTTCCTCCACCGCTCCGAACAGATCCGCCTCCATCAAGCGCTTGCTCATGAGCAGCATCTCCCCTTCTGACCGATACGACTCCAGCATGCCCGTCAGGATCGTCCTGAATTCGGCATAGGACGTCTTGTTTCCCGACGTTTCGTCAACGAGCCGCTTGAATAGCCGGGGGAAGGATATGCCTGAGGATAGGAGATGGAGGAAGGTAGATTGCACGAGAGCCCGGAGGTGGGTAGAGACGGATTTGTCGATGGCAGAGATGGATTGGATGATCTCGATCATGGGTTGAAGGATGGCGAACCAGGTATCTTCCGTTGGCTGCTTGTTGGCGAGACGTATGGCCATCCGGGAGACATCTTCGAGCTGATGGAGACTGTGCTCGTAGTTGCCGTCTATGACCGCCCGGCCGAGGTCCGCCCCTTGCTGACGGATGATGTTGCCCGCGATGGTGAATGTCTGGGGATCCCCTTGACGCGACAGAGCCCACAAATGCCCCTCGACGAAGCCGTCCCGCTCGCACTCTACGCCTATGCGCCCTACATCGATGTCCTTCGCCGCCTCCAGATAGTCAATGACATGGTCACGATTGTACCGCCGCAGGAGCGAGACGTACTGGTGCCGTTGCTCCCGATTGAGCGAGCTATGATCCGGCTCGAGCAGAGTCTGGAGGTACAGGAGCTGGTCCATCTCCTCCAGACTACCCAGTGCGGTGTCATGCAGCGCAGGCGCCCACTTGTCGACCACGATCGCCGTCTGGGCGGTATCGATCCGCAGTAGCTTATCGACCGATTCCTCGAGCACGCTTGTGCTCGCCCGGTCCTCCCCAAAGATGTCTTTCAGAGTGGAGAACACCTCTTGATCCCCTTCCCTGATCGTCACTTTCGCCGCCTCCGTCCATCTCCTCTCGCTACGGTAATACCGCAGGAGGATTCGCGTGAACCCCGCCTGTTCGAATAGCCGGAGGATACTCTCGTACTCGTGCGGTCTGTACGCAGACAGCAAGTACTCGACGGCCATCTGGCGGTCCTCCCGAGTATCCTCATCCTCCCTTTGCGCCAGATTCCGGAGGAGCCGGTCCAGCGTCGTCGGTGGGAGAGTGATGAACTGGGGGTATTTTGGAAGATTGCGCGAGACGAAAATCTGGACAAAGAGGTTCGAGGACGCCCGGTCGAGGAGGGTGTTGATGATTGCCTGACGACTTATGGATGGGTTGTCATTGAGGAAGGGATGCTCGAAAGCGAGGTCGAGGACATGGAGGAAGAGTTCCGTATTGGCAAGGAGATGTGATAGGTAGTCGCCGAATATGGCCTCGTAGACGGTAGCTTGGGCCTGGGCGGCGTCCGGCAGAGTCTCGCCACTGGGGTACGACACGCCCGAGAGGATAGCCTCAAGGTACGCATATACCAGCGTCGGGTCCATGTTGGGTCCCAGCAGCTTGGTGATGGGGGTCACATAGTCAAGGAGCGCTCTCGTGTAGATGTGGATGAGCGCGTCCCATAGACTATGCTCCTCGCATAGCGTCACCGCCTGGTTGATGTCCAGCGCGAATGGGTCAACACTCCAGATAACCGCCTCCGCCTGGTCGTATTCCGCATTGTCGGCGTGGAACCCGATGAGCGCCTTGACAATGACAGGCGGGACCTGCTGCAGCTGATTATCGAGGATGAGGGGTTCCAGGTGTCGCAGGAAGATTCCCTGGATCCCGACCCGCTCGAACGCCTCATACGTGGACTCGAGGAGTTCGGTATCCTGGATGGCAAGATACGCCTCCACCGAGCTCTGAGCAAGCCCCTCAAAAAGGCTCGTCAGGTCGACCCCGCGCCCGTCCGCGCTGTAGTGGGTATCATCCCGCATCCGGTCCTCTGAGAACGCCCATTTGATGGACGCAGTGACGAGCTCACGAATCCGGTCTGCAATGGCCGGCCGGTCCGGGACAGTGATGAGATTTCCGGAGGCGGTACCTTTGTAGTATGCGATAGCGAGGTGGATGGCGCCGAGAAAGTCGCCTTTGTGGACGCAGGCGAGGATCTTGTCATTCCAGTGTTTAAGCGTTCCAGCTTGAAGAGAGCTCTTGGTCTATTATCAGCGCCGCTCTACAGTCTGAACTTACAAGAATGAACACTTTCTCCTTGTACGTGCTGACCGACATGTTCTGCACCATGGCCGTCTGGAATGGGACGTCCTCAACGGCATTATTTGTCCGAACGTCGAGTAGGAGTATTGACGCCTGGAGCACGAGAAGTATGTGCTGCTCTGTCAGCTGAGATGCTTCTCCACCTGCACCCGAAAACTTACATTCGCGTCAAACCACTGCAACGCCAAGATAGGACTCGACGTCTCATAAGACCTGCTCTCGACAAAAGACGGCACTCGCAGGAAATGCAGCTGCGCGTCCCACGAGTACGCCAGTACTGGATCTGAGGTAGCACTCAGCTCTCCAGGTCTCAGCCATGCCGCACATCCCACCCCTCCGTCCCCTATCCGTCGATGTAGTGTCTTCGGCGAAGGCTTCATACACACAATCACCAGCTTCCGAGGCGTAAGCAGTGCCGAAATTTGCGCCTCGTCCGTCGAGTGCGACGCCTCGCCGAGAGGCAGGGGCAGCGCCGCAAACAACTTGCTGCGCTTCGGCCCGCCGAGGATCCGGATCGTATCGTTGCTTTCGATCCCCATGACCCTTCCGAGACTCCACCAGAAGACTTTGCCTGCGGAATCGCCGCTGATTGTGGCGGTATGACGCGCCGCGACGAAGCCGATATGGAGGATGGCGTCGCCGCGAGAGTGACCGTCTTTCCGGCCAGTTTTCAGCTGTTCGGGAGAGAGGGCGAGGGTAGTACGGGCGGGTTTGGTGGGCGTGGCCAGATCCCAGAGGTGGATGTTCCCGCTTGCGTGCCCTACGGCGATGTACGTCTGATCAGGCGATATCCGCACCGTAGTGACTGCTCCGGAAGACACTTCTGATCAGCTTTCATGGCTCATGGAGTGAAGAGACACTTACAGGTAGCATCCGTTCCGAGGGTGTGCTTCAGCTCCTGCGCGAAGCTATACACCAACACCTCCCCACTTTCCGTCCCCACAGCTACCATTCCCCTGACATCCACCACAGATGGCCGATATCGCCTGGCCTCAGCCGAGAGCTGTCGTAGCGGATGGAAGGTAAATGCCGGATCGGCAGGTAGGGTTGGTTCGGACGATACAGAGAGCTGCGAGAATTGGCTGGGCGTGCGGGAGTGGTACGGCCGCAGAGACTGCTGTGTGGAGGTGGACGAAACGGTGCGGTGATGTGATCGTAGCCGCGATATGGCAGGTACGAGGGCGGCAGGTCGATTTGGGAAGGGGCGGTCGTTGATTGAGAATAAGGAAGGGGAGGGCGATATCTGACTATCAGCTTTACTCATCAGAAATGGAAGAGTCGCTCACCACCTGTGATCTGAAATCAGAACCACTATCTCCACCATCTGTCCCTCCTCCTGAGGTAGCCTGATTACCCCCTCTTTCTTCATCCGCCTCGGCAGGATGTCGATCCGCCCGCACCTCCTCCGCCTCCGGTTCATCCACCTCATCCTGCCTGTCCGGTAATACCGCCAAGCGCTTGTAGAACTCCTTCTCATCATTGACCGGTGAGTCTACTCTTGAATCCGACCTCGACGGAGAGTCCGATGCCCAGACATCACTTGGTCCCTCGTCGAGCTCGAAGCGAGCGACGTTTGGACTGGCCTGGCGCCAAGCAGGCGGCAGGGTCTGGGCCGGTGGAGATGGGGACCGGCGATACCAGTCGCTTGGACCAGCTTCGCCATATTCGCCTTCCTCATCCCTTGGAGTATTGATGACGGGAGTGGGACTGCTTCCTCTCAGCCGGGCAAAGATGCCCCCGTTCGAGTTGGACGTTGAGCGGTGTCGGGCGCTCGAGGCCGAATTGGGACGGACCGTCTTCCCGCTCGATGAGGCGGCTGACGCTGCTGAGTTCTGGCGGTGAGGTGACTCGCGCGGTGTCAAGGGATCGCCCTCCATCCTGTGGTATCTCTAATGCTCTATCACTCTATAAAGGTGGATGGACGAGGAATGCGGTGTTCGTTGGAGATGCTGGTGGTTCCAGCTCAGTATGGGCAAGTCCGTGCGTACACCATAAAGTCCGCCAGCTATGGGTCTTCCCTGAAGATTACAGAAGAGCGCCAGAGGCCAGGTTACAACTACGAGGTATATACAACCTGATTGAGCAAGGCCTTAGGCCTGTCCCCACCGAGATTGGCCAAATCTCTGAATTTGCCCATATCCACCCTCGCCTTGAATACCACAAACACTGCCCAAAGTCAGCTGTACACCTCCGCAGATCCTTGTGTGGGCGGACCTACCATGCGCTGGGTCGTGCTCCGCGGCCGCCTCCGCTTCCAAGCAGATATCAAACCCCGCCGCGCAGTGTGCACACCGCAGCCACACACCCCGGATCTGGTCCGAATGGATATCGCATAGCGTCTCCCGATGGAGTACGTGCTGTAGGTACGCGGACGGGTCACGCGGGTTGAGGGTGATGCCCGGTGGAATGTCTCCGGCTCTGTTACGAAGGAGGATGGGGAGGAAGGGGTGTGGTGAGGAAAGGGGTATATGGAGGGGGCGGTCGAATTTGAAGAAGACGTGTAAGGGGTTGTGCAGGCGGTACGAGCGGGGTTCGCAGACTGAGCACTGTCAGGTCAGCTTAGTCCATATTTCATCATAAAGGCTGGCTTCAGCTTACCAAGCTGTAAGATTCCGGCTCGGACGGGCAATTCGCACACTGAAACCGTTTCCCCAAAATCCACTGATTACACCCTCGACATCGACATCGGTGGTCCAGCGCGTCTACCCGACTAGCCGTCACTGCCGCGTAGACCGTCTCATTCGTCGGTGATGCTGGGCGCGGAGCAGCTGCTGCTGAGTCTTCCAGCCATCGTTCCCTCGCTCGGCGAGACACAGCTTCGACTTGAGTGGCCGCGATGGGTATTGGGATCTACGTTAGCGACGTCTGGTGGAAACTTACCTTCATCATGATGTGATCTGGGGTGTGGCCGCCTGAAGCTGCTGAGATGGCTTCGCACTGGATACACAGGTCCCTGATATCAGCTCACTTAAAGTCTGGACACACCATGCCGGGCAGACAGCACAGTGGAATCTTGGCCCGACGATATCTTGCAGACAACTGCCTGTCAGCGGGGTCGCAAAAGGACTCACTTGTTGCAGAAAGCTCCTGGATGGCGAACAGCTAATGTCAGCCCAGCTCATCTGAAAAACGTACGTCTTGCTGTCTCTGACGCTACAGGTATACGTGATGCGATGTCCAGGTCTGCAGCATTGAATACCTGGTCCGGTAGACTCAAGAACGCATGGGCGGGATGTATTTCCCCTACTCGTTGATAGCCTGGCCTGTCAGCTGTAGCTCGCATCGTCACGACTTGGTCGGCAAATCTTACAAGATTTACACATATCAAACTTCGTACAAGAGACGCATCGGAACCGGCTCCGAGTGAGATGAGTATGGCAGATCGTACACTCGACATCCTCATTGTATTCTGCCATCAGCTCCGCCTTGTGTGCGTACATACCTATATCTGTCCACCCCTCCAATCCCCATATCTTCTCCCTGAACGCATGCCTCGCTAATCTCCTGCTACGCCCAGTCCCTGCTGCACGCTCAAGCTTGGCGGCACGACTTGCCGCCTTGGCATGCGCTATCCCATGCTCCTCGATACAAGCCGGACAGAGCTCGTACCCCGTCGGTATCGCTGTCCGGTCTGCCGCTTCCGCCAGTGGTGATCTCGGGGGAGTAAGAAGACCACCACTGACAGCCTCCATGGACCCTCCGGTGGCTGTTGACCGTGAGCGCGGGCGCGGGTCATACTCCGTATAGCTTCCCGCCGGACCTTCGGTCGAGTCAGAGAACGCACTCTCGTCTGCCTCGCTCAAAGCACCCGGACGAAGAGGTGGCAGGCGAGCAGGAGCATTCTCCTTCCATAGATCTCCCTCGCCGCACGTCGTACAGACATACCGCATGTAGTCCAGCCGAGTCCCGCACGCCGAGCAGTCTGGAGCAAGAACCGGTGGTGCCCCAGGCTCGATGGCTAAGCCAGTGACGGGGATATCTGGCCTAGGTGGCAGGCTGAGGGCGGAGCGAGTACCCGTATAGTCATCCGTGGCCGATGAAGACGCGTCCGAGCCGTACGCATAGTAGTATTTCCCCTTGGCGTCCCGAATGAGATTGAGGTCGCCCATCTCTTTGTCACTGTCGTCCTCATCCTCGTCATCCCGTCGTCTCATCTTTCCTCTGGCGATCCCTCCATTCCGCCGCGCCAGTGCCTCTTGCTCCCTGAGCCACCTGGACCCCAGCTCCGACTGGGTCATGTGCGAGCTGGGTCCCGGGTCCAGCGGTCGCCGCGCGGATCCCCCTTCCCCGAGATCACCCAGACCCATGACTGTCATCCGCTCCTCCAGATCCTCCTCGTCCACATCTTCCAGATCCCTACCAGCCGCACCGGAAGGTGTATGCGAGTAGTAGCTGGAGGAGCGCCAGCTACTCCCGCTCTGACTTGCGCTGTCCTCCTCCGTCCCGGTGTCCGTTCCACTTCCGCTCTCGAAAGATCGAAGCGAGCTCGTATCGCTCAAACTCGGCCCATCGTAATCCACCACCACTTCCAGTCTGAGTACGATCTTCTGCTGGCTCCCACTTCCGCTGCGAAGGGACGCATCATCGTCCCCCGAAGCAAAGTACAGGATCGCCTCGGTGAGGTCCGCCTCGGTCCGAACTGTGAAGTCTTCCCCATCATCGTCCGCGTAGGTGAGGGCGAAGCTGAGTGCGGAGAGATGGAAGCACTCTTCAATCTGGTGATCAGTCTGAGGCAGATTGCTTTCGTGGAGCACTCACTCTGGCGCGGACAGTGTCGAGACGGCAGGCAGCAGCGGAGGGGAAGACGACCCGCCGAGTCGTGCTGTCATACTCGCATTTGATGGTCAGGGGTCGATTTGGGCGGTCACAGATACCGCTCATTGTCTCTGAGCGCTCTGAGCTAGCTGAGGACCTCCTTGCCGGTCCTAGAGTGCCTGGGGATCCGATAGCTGGTGCAGCTTCGGGAGGGTTGATGGATGGACAAGAGATATCTATGGTCGGCCAAAGCGGCGTCGACCTCCACCTCGGCACCTCAACTTCTCATCCGAGCCATCGTTGCTCTCCCCCTTTCTACCTCACCACAGAATCTACCAATACGACCATGAGGGGCACAGCAGTCTGCCGCCAGGCAGTCCACAGTCTCCGCTCAGGAGCAGCTCGATCTTCAAGCTCGCGGATACCGCTCCGCTTCGCCCAAACCGCCTTCGTCGCGGTTGCCATCGGGGGCATCGTCTGGACCGCTCCTGGTTGGTCTCCCTGTGTTGGCGGCGCAGCTGGACCGTAGCTGACCACGTAGACTTCAGGAAGTCCTGGGTGATCAAGAACGATGCTGCGCCGCAGGTCGATCACCGAGTCTCAGCGGACGACAAGGATGCTATGCGATGTACGCTCCCTCCTCTCGGCCTTTGGACCGGAGCTGACTGGCCTAGTCGATCCCGATACCCAGATCCCCTTCCCCCTGCACATTGCCGGTACATCAGCATCCTCCCCTGCACTTTCGCTCGTAGGATTAGGAGTAAGGAAGGTGTCCTTCCTCCGCGTCAAAGTGTACTCGGTCGCTTTCTATCTCGAGGACAGCTTGACGAGCCGTCTGCGCGATATCCCTGGATGGAGAGTAAGTCTGAAGCGGTAGTCGCTGGTCAGACCGGCATGTAGCTGATCTCAGTCATTCTCCGCTTTTGACCTCATCGCTGCTCCTGCTTCTGCTCCTGCGGCGGCGCCGCCAGCATCATCAGCGCTACAGGGCGAGGCGCTTATGGCTTCCCTACTGGATCAGCCTGTGGCGTGCGCCGTCCGGATCGGTATGTACCCAAAACTTTACCTCCTTGCTTGATCTTCCTCTCAGCTTCAGCTGAGCCGCAGTTCCTACCCGCAATACCGACTTCGCACACCTCCGAGACGGCTTCACACGCGCCATCCAAGCGCGTCAAAAGCTCGCTCGGGTCGGCGGACGATTGACCGATGCCGAGGAAGAACGGATCGCTCAGTCTACCCAGACGCTCAAGGCGATGTTCCCGTCTCAGAGCGTACCAAAGGGGAAGGCCTTGACGTTGACACGGCTGGCGAAGGGGGAGCTGGTAGTCGAGTACGAGGTATGTCTGGGTGGTCCTGCTTGCTCACAGTTTAGGGGGTTGACGCGCTGACGGGACAGGGCAAACTACTTGGGAGGGTGAATGACCCGTGGATCTCTAGAGAGCTCATGCTCGCTTACTTTGCGGACAAGGACGTGATATCGCCGAAGGTACGTCCCAGGCCTGTTGAAGAGGAGAATTACTGACCCCTCAGCTGAAAGAAGATGTCGCCTCGGGTCTCGAAGCCCTATGCAAGCGATGATGCATTATACTTGAGCCCTATATCCCGCTGTAATCTCACATGACGACACACTCGCTACTCGCTTCGCTACGTGTAGGCCGACCCGGTGCTCTCTTCCCTTTAGATCCCTTGGAGCTGCTCAGTTCCGTCAAGCGTTGTTTTGCACCACTGTGATTTTGCGCTACTCATCAGCTCGGCACTGCAATGCAATTTGGAAGTAACTCACCTGCTGCGCGCTGATACCATCGCTTGGCGAGTTCTGGGTCGGCAGGCCTGCCTATTCCGACATCACAGTAGTCTACTTATCAGCGCAGTCCTGCTCGGTATATGAGGGTGAACTCACACCCCACAGCATACTCCGCCTTTGCCAAACCCTTATTTGCAGCTTTCCGTCCCCATAGATATGCCTCCTGATCGCTCTGCTTCAATACGCCCTCTGCTTTGTCAGCTAGACTCAAACCGTGGTCCGTATACCAGCTCACCACTGCCCGTCAGATACCACCCGCTCAACGCCAACTCCGCCTCGCTATCCCCCTTCTCCGCCGCCCGGGTATACCACGCGATACTCTTCCTCGGATCAATGACACACCCCAAGTGCCCAAACTCGTGGCAGCTTCCCAGCTTGAACTGGGCCGGAGCATAGCCCAGTTGCGCCGCCTGGACATACAGCTCCCTTGCGAGGTTCGGATCGTGCGGCAAGACCCCCGAATTTGGGCGCTCATGCAGCAACGCGAGCTCGTGCAGGGCATGCGGATTGTCCTCGTCCGCCTGTGACGCGGCCCGCCGGAGCCATATGACCGACTCGCGGATGTTTCGCGGTTGCGAGAGCAGTCCGCCGAGGAGGATCATTCCGAGTTTGTACATGGCCGCGGTGTCCCCCAGCGCTGCTGCTTTTCGATAGAAAAGCACCGCGCGCTGAAAGTCCTTCTTCGTCCCCGCCCCAATCTCGTTGCATACCGCCGAGCGATACGTCGCTGCCGGATGGTTGAGCTTGCTGGCCATGAGGTACAGGTAGTATGCCTTCTCATGGTCGACCTGGAGCCCGAGTTGACCCGTTCCGTATAGGTTGGCCAGGAAGAATTGGGCGTCGGCGTGCGGCTCCTTCCCCTCTGCGAGCTTTTTGATGAGGCGCAAACTCTCTTGGAGGAGCGAATCCCTATACCGCCTCCCCAACTTTGGGTCCGTCTGCGCAATCTCATCCCCCAACTTCTTGGCCGCCTCAATCATATACTTTGCAAAGTTGAATTGCGCTTCCGGATCCGGATCGTCCTTCATCCGTTTCCGATAGTCGTCGACGTATTGCTTGGTATATGGAGGCCGATTGACGTCGATGGCGGCGTTCATACCTCGCCGCCGGGTAGACAAGGCGCCGACCGATTCCGTAGGTTTCCGCGAGAGGTTGACCGACGACATGCTCGACATGGCCGTTCCGGTTCCCGACATGCCCGACATGGCAGACATGGCCGAAGCGGTCGTGTTTGTTCTCGCGAGAGGCGGATTGTGTCCCGGACCCGACGCATAGGCCCCAGGCGGTGGGCCCAGGAACTCATTCGCCGCGGAATAGTACGGGTTTGTAAAGTCCGGTTGCGCCTGGGGCATCCCGCCATTATACCCCTGTCCCCCTCCGTACGCATTCGCCTGGTTGTACACCCCGACGCCCGTGTCCAAGCTATACACGCTGGCTGAGCCGTCATACCCCCCGGTAGTCCGGCGAGCAGGGTACACCTCGTGCTGTCCGTACGTCGGATGACTTGGCGCTGTGGGGTGCCTTTGAATACCCCCCGGCGGCGTCGTATTCGTCAACGACAGCTGCGAGAACTGCAGGTCGTTCGGGTCCGAGACGGGACGATGGCGATGGCTGCTGCCTGCGGAAAGACGATTGGGGTTCTGGGGATGGTGGTCGTACGACGAGCGGGGGTTGGCATAGTCTACCGGCGCGTACGGTGTATCGAGGCTGGGACCCCTGGAATGGCCGCCGGCATAGTGCGTCTCGATAGGTTGAGGCGAGTGAGAGACCTGATTATGCTCGGCGGCCATCAAGGCGTCATAGGACGGTAAAGGGGGATCTGCGTTTGATTGTTGTGGTGGTGCTGGGGTATCAGCACTGCTTTTCTTGAGAATTTCAGCTGACATACGCTGATACCGTAGACTCTGGCTCCGACCATGATATGCTCCTCCGTCCCCGCCGTCCTGACCCGCATTGGAGTACCCCGTACTAGGTCCCCCAGCTGAATAGTTGTCGTATGTTTGCGCGCGGCGCTGACCCGGATGATGCGGTGATGTCGCCATACCGCCGCGCCGACCGTCTCTGGAATTTCGTGCAGATGTGAGGGACAGGCACTCGCTGCGTATGCTCTTCCTGCAGCAGCAGCAGTAGCTGATGTATGATAGGTATGGTAGATGTATTGTCGGAGGATAGGGTCGTTGCCTGCATCGCGATCATGATGACGGGTCAATGGTATGTTTACGTAAACCCCTCATCAGCCAAACCTTAATTTCCCACCACCCAAAGCGAGTCGACCATCAAAGAACAATAGATACATCGTACATCTATCTATCAGCCATACAGTACCTAGCCAACACTTAGCTCGAGATGTCGCCTACTGTAAGCTTACGCTCACGTTGCGCCGCTTGGCCCGACCTGCAAGCTGACACTTCAGGCGTACCCCTCCTTGAAGCAACTCACCGACCTCCTCCAAAACGGCACGCACGTCCCGGCGACACTCACCTCCCCTTCCTCCTCGACCTATCCCTCCACCTCTCACCCCGCCCCTTCGGTTGAGGCAGAGCGCCCGAACCTGGTGCCGGTGTATATCGAGCTCCCGGCCGATCTGCTCACGCCCGTTTCGGCATACCTCAAGATTGCGGCCGAGAGCGAACATAGCTTCTTATTGGAGAGTATCGTCAATGGGGAGAGTGTCGCGCGGTATAGCTTTGTCGGATCAGGTGAGTAGTCGAGCCGTGTACAGGCAGCCGGTAGTTGGGACTTAACGTACGGAAGAGCTGATTCCAGACCCTTTCAAGACGATCCGGACGGGTGAAGGGTTCGATGTTGCCGGCGACCCCTTAGCTGCGCTGGAGCAGGAGCTCAAGCCATATCGCTATGTCGCTCTGCCAGAGATCACCACTTTCACCGGTGAGCTAGCAAACTCGGTCAGAGTGGATAGCAGCTGACCGTCCAGGCGGTGCCGTTGGTTTCATAACCTACGACGCCATCGCACACTTTGAACCCACCACCAAGCCCCAAACGCCCCTCCACAACCCCCTTCCCGGCCTCCCCGAGGCATTCTTCATGCTCACCTCCACCCTGGTCATATTCGACCACATCTTCCAGACCGTCAAGCTCGTATCGCACGTCCACGTCCCGGACGGCTCGGACCCCTCTGTCGTACCTCAACTCTACAGCGAGTGCGTCTCGCGCTTGACGGCCCTTCGGAGGCGGCTCGAATCGGACGTGACACCGTCGCCGAAACAGGGACCCATCAAGCTCGGCGGGGAGACCAAGAGCAATGTTGGAAAGGCGGGATACGAGCAGTTTGTGACGACCTTGAAGGAACATATCGTCAAGGGCGATATCATCCAGGCTGTCCCGAGTCAGCGACTCTCGCGGCCGACATCTCTGCACCCATTCAACATCTACCGGCATCTCCGGCGGGTCAACCCTAGTCCCTACATGTTCTATCTGAACTGCGGTGACGTCCAGGTGATTGGGGCGAGTCCCGAATGTCTGTGCAAAGTGGAGAATAGGAAGGTGTTTAATCATGCTATCGCGGGGACTGTGCGGAGAGGGAAGACAGCAGCAGGTGAGTAGGACCAAAAGCTAGGCTGACAGACAGAGGACCACGAGCTCGGCCAGGGTCTGCTCGCTTCTGAAAAGGACCGAGCGGAGCACCTCATGCTGTGCGATCTGGCGAGAAATGACGTCCACCGAGTCTGCAAGCCAGAGACTGTCAAGCTGGACGATCTCATGAAGCTCGAAAAGTTTAGTCATGTCATCCACCTCACGTCCCAGATCAGCGGCGAGCTCAGGGACGATCAGTCAAGGTATGTTCCCACCCTGACGCAGCTAACACTAGATTTGACGCATTCCGCTCAATCTTCCCGGCGGGCACGGTCTCTGGTGCGCCCAAAATCAAGGCGATTCAGCTGGTGGGTGGGCTGGAAAAGGAGAAGCGGGGCGTGTATGCCGGTGCAGTCGGCCGGTTCGACTGGGCGAATGACTCGCTGGATACCGCGATTGCCATTCGGACAATGACGTATAAGGACGGCGTGGTATATCTGCAGGCTGGTGAGTATTCGTGTCTGCAATCGTATCTGGCTGACTTGCAGGCGGAGGCATCGTATTTGACAGCGACGAAGCGGAGGAGTATCAAGAAACCATCAACAAGCTCGGCGCCAACGTCAAGTGTATTGACGAGGCGGAAAGTAAGTTTCCTCTGGTATACCTTACCTGTACAAACCGCTGACGAGCAGAATACTACGCCGATCTATAATGCATCTATCTACTTTTCTCTCTGTTTGACATTCGTTGGCGTCTCTGCCACTTCTCTCCCTGCTGCATCCTCCAGCCGCCCCCCGTGAAACGTGACCAGCTCATCCGGCTTCATCAGATTGAAAGCCGACCGCGCCGGCTGCACTTTAGGTCCGCCAAATACCGCGCCGGCGTCCGAGTGGTCCGAGCCCGCCGAGGATGTGGAGAGGTTGTAGGCGTACCGCGCCGGATCGGGCGAGTCGAATGAGTCATCCATCGTATCCTCGTTGGAATAGACATGTTCCTCCGGGACATCTTCCATGTCGCTCCCGTACGACGTGTTGGCCATGGACCGCCGTCCCTGCGCCTGGGCTTGTGGCTGACGCTGCGCCGCGCCCGAGCTAGAACTAGCAATCTGATCCGCAAAGATATTCCGAGACGTATTGAGCGGCCCCTGTGCCTGCGCCTGGGGCATGACCGAGTACCTCCTCAACCCGTCCGGTGTGGGTATGCGCGGCGACGCGACATACTCTGCCGACATCTCATCCATGAGATCATCGACGATCCGCTGGGCGTGGTTCTCGCTCTCCGCCGCCCGCGGCGTCCGGCCCGTACTGACCACCGCTGCAGCTTTGGGTGGGAGCTGGAAGTGCATAGTGACGGGAGGGGACATGTTGAGTTGGAGATCGTCGTCGTCTGCGTCCAGATCGGCGAGTGAGAGTTTGGGACGGAATTTGGCGGTGAGGGGGGTGGTGCGGATATCGATTAGGCCATTGTGCATTTGCATCTGCGTGTGTGCAGAGGGGGGAGGGGGTGGACGACGGGCTTTAGGAGTCGCGGCGGAGGTGGATGCGAAAGACGAGAAGGAGGAGGAGAGGGGATGGGATGAGAGGTGGGAAGGAGGGAGGAGGATGCTAGATTGGTCCAGATGGGGATGGGACATATCATACCCGCTCGGTAAGGACGGAGTGGGCATGTCACTATCGTCGAGCTGGAGGTCATCCCGCAAGCGGCGCTCCAGCGTATCGAAGGGGCTGGCCATACTGTCCGAGAAGCTCGAGTCGTACGAGTGGAGCTGGGACCGACCGGGGAGTGGGGTAGACGAAGCGACGGCATCCCGGTCAAACATGAACGAGCCGTCCGAGTTGGCGAGGTACGTCTCGTCCCCTTCGACTGGCTGGAGGGACTCCACCTCCGCGTGGACAGGCTCCGCAAGGGATTGGTCCGAGGCGATCTGGACATGCACGTCCGCCGCCGCTTCGTAAAAGCTTCGCCAGAACTACGGGTCAGATCAACCCTGATACTTGATGGATATATTGCTCACTTTGGCGCCCTCCTTGACTGGATCCGCGGCAATAGCATACCGCTTGATCTGCGGCAGTATCTTGCTGGTGATGATGGTATGGAACTTTGCAAAGTTGGCGTCAATCTCTTGCAAAAGCAAGGTATTGAGCTGGTCTATTTGCTGAGTTTGCTGGCTGATGGGGGAGGAGGGTGATATGCCAGGGATGACGAAGAAGGGCGGATGGAGATAGATATCGTGTGGAGGCGGGGGAAGGGGGTGGGACATAGTGTTTGCTGAGGGGGTGAGAGGGATGGGGTGAAGTCAAGGAATGAGGAGGAAGAACGCGTCGACGGTCGACTTTGGACGCGACCGAAGTGGAGGTTTCAGGTTTTTGTAACGGAATTGATCCTAATGAAATTCAGGTCAATTCGATTAGGAAAGTTTCTAATGCTAAGGGCCTTGCCGATCGGTGCCGTAAGGGATGTCCAGCAAGCTTGGACGACGAAGACGAACCATACAGCATATACACATTGTCAAGATGGCCTCACGCATAGACACATCGCTATGTGAACACCTCGGAAGCCTCCTTGCCCCGGCTTCAAGCGGGAGATGTGAGTCCCTGTAGCCTTCTTAGTGGGTTTGAGAAGGGGCTGACCGTCAAGCTGCAGCCGAGCAGCGGTACTCGCAAGTCATCCTCAGCTCGGCCAAGCGGCGGAAGATCAGCCCTCCAGAGTGCTCAAGCTGCAAGACGGTCTCTCAGCGGACATGGGCGTGCCTGACGTGCCCGTTCCATGGGTGCCACCTCACCAAGGACTGCATGAGGGCGCACTGGAACGAGTCTGGCTGCAAGTTCGGTAAGGCCGCGGCGATACTGAGCTGACGGCAGCGGTCGAGCCTCTATCCGGCGGAGTCTTCTGCAGTCAATGCGACGATATGGTCTACTCAGATCGGATGGAACAAGCCGCTCGGTCTATCCGGCTCAAAGTTGAAGAAGAGGCAGATACGTCCCAGGACCAGACTTCGGCAGGCATCAAGCGGAGAGCGCCCTACTCTGCTTGGTCTGGGTCAAATACGATCACCGCACCTTCAGCGCCATGTCGAGGTGAGCTGGCCCCAGAAACAATGCTGACATCAGGCCTGAGACCCCTTCTCAACCTCTCCCAAACCTGTTTCCTCTCCGCCATCCTCCAGGCATTCATCCATAACCCCCTCCTCAAATCGTACTTTCTCAGCGAGAAGCACAACCGGCACATATGCGCCAGCTCTCGAGGTCTGCTTGTCGGCAAACCATCCGGGGGGGAGGAGCGGGATAAGGGGTGTATGTGCTGCGAGATGGACCGGGCTTTTGAGGAGGTAGGTCTTCTTGCGTTGGGCTGGACTGACAGGTAGTTCCACCGGGAGGATGCGAGTCCGTTCGGGCCGATCACGATGCTGTATGCGATGTGGCACGCTAGTGGAGAGCTCGAAGGGCATGGACAGCAAGGTATGTCTCCATTATCGGTGGTGCTGATGACAGACGCACACTCGTTCTTCCTCGCTGCACTAGATCAGATCCACGCACACGCCAAGGGTCAGCTGTCCAGCTGTAACTGTATAGCCCGTAAGATCCTGCCCAGGACTGAGCTGAGACCAGATCAAACCTTCTCCGGAGCTCTGCTATCATCCGTGACATGCTCGTCGTGCCGCAAAAAGTCATCTACCGTCGACCCGATTTTGGATATCCAGCTGGACTTTCCAAGCCATGCTACCGAGACAATCTCCCTGGCGAGCCTCCTCCGCCGCTTCTGCGCAGAGGAAAGCCTGGGCGAGGGCAAGGGTTATGACTGTTCGGATTGCGGGGCTGGACAATCAGCCACCAGGCGTCTAGTCCTGAAGAAGCTCCCGCCAGTGTTATCTTTCCAGCTCAAGGTGAGTACAGCTTGCTTTGATCCGGCACGAGCTGACTTGTAGCGCTTCGCCCATAATGCTACTTCTACCAAGATTGAGACTCCTGTCCGCTTCCCATCTCACCTCGACATGCGGCCATTCGTCGATCCCGCCCCGGACCTCCCGGACGAGTTATACCAATACCACCTGTTCGCTGTTGTCACCCACGAGGGCAAGCTCGACAATGGGCACTACTGGGCCGATGTTCTCAGCGAGGGAGAGTGGTGGCATTGCGACGATGACAAGGGTGAGTCTGCCAGCTGCTAATTCGGAGCTGAGCTGATAAGAAGTGACGCCGACGACGCTGAAAGATGTGTTGGGGCAAAAGGCGTATATGCTCTTCTACGTGAAGCGGACGTTGGCTTATGCGAGCGTGGCGAGGGTGGCTGTGCCCGTGAATAGTGCGGTGGGGGGAAAGGGGGTCGCGCAGAAGGGGCTGCAGGCGGAGAAGATGGGCGGGAAAGGCGGGCATCCTATCAAGGGAATGGCGGTGTAGGTTTGTGTGAGCGGTGGGAGCTCGACATGGCCCTTAGTTGTCGAGTAGACAAATGTCTCTTTCATGGACTGTCTTATGGAAGCTGCGAGTCGCAGCTGCCTATGCCTGTGCCTGTGCCTTATCTGCGGCACATGGCCAGCGTGGACGAGATCTCGTCAAACTGGTGACGTCAGCTGAGGAATGCAGATTTGTTGTTGCCTGTGGTCGCACAACATGGAAGGTGAATCAGTGTCTTGCTGTTATACCTTTGCCTAAGCATAACACTGCACACACTTCGGCAGGATGACGCTTTCCCCTACCCTCCTGCCCATGCCCTACCTGGACGTCCGGTGGGTGCACGCGGGGGCACAACACCTCAGCCTCCTCCCCAATCCCATAACCACCGCCTCGACGACCTACAAGGCCTTCTCCGCTATCGAGTCGGACCGGATCGAAGAGGCCTGGGTCGCGATATCGGAGGAAGAGCGTCAGACCGCCATGCGCGAGTGGGGCCAGGGCGAGGGGGAGGGCGCACCCAAGCCGGCTAAAAAGGAGAAGGAGAAGGAGGTGGCCAAGGCGAAAGATAAGGAGAAGACGGCTAAAGAGAAGGCGGGGCCGGAACATCCTGTGGATGGACATCAGGGCGAGGTACATGTGGAGGTGGTCAGATCAGGAGAGGAGCAGAAGGACACGGATCTAGAAGGGAGGTATAAGGATCTGGTGGCGCAGGCACAGAAGGAGTATGAGAATTTGGAGCTGGTCAGAGGGGTGCCTGTTAGCCAGGTGAGTTTGACCCCCCCTCAATTCTGCGGAATAGTGCAATCTGATGGATAGGACTCTCTCTTTGAGGTGGACCTTCCATCTCTATCCCTCCATCCGGTGTTCTGGGCACATACAGGTCCGAGAGTCTCGGTTCTTCGGGGTTCTTGGTTCATAACGGACGACTCGAAGCCTTGTTCGTGGGATCTAGCAGAGGAGATTGAGAAGGCGTATCAGTGAGTCCTGCATGGTTGAAGAAGCTGACATTTAGGGAGATCAGGCCATGGCAGCCATCATATAAGCACGAACTAGCTACTGCGGTCGGACAGGGCGCGGCGGCAGAGGAGAAGCTCAAGTATGCTTTACCGGCGCGCTTTGGGCCGGGCTTGGGCATCATCTTTGAGGATGGCGACAAGGGGAGATTGGAGACGTAAGTTCCCAGTCCGTTCTACAGTGGTCTCATCTTACGTGCAGGTCTGGAGCACTATCATACATCTCCAAAACGTTCTGGTCGTCTGTCCGCGCCCGGCCATCCGGAACGTACGTCTATCGTGGATACGCAGCCGCGCGTTTGGCGTCAGGCAAAGAGAAGGAGAAGGAGCCTCGGAGCGGGAGTACCTCCCGCCGGGGAAGTGCGGCGAGTATGAGACGGCCAGACATGGAGGCTGCGCCGGTCGTTGAAGCAGCGAGGGACAAGTCGTTCTTGAACTCGTCCGCTATTGACGAGGAGAACATACCCGTCGTGAGTCTCTCCTCAGACCCAAGGGAATGTCCGCTGACTTGCAGGTGGACGATGAAGAGGAAGAAACTCCATGTACCGATCTCATCCTGATTGTTCATGGGATCGGACAGCAATTGGCGACGCAATACGAGGCGTATAACTTTGTGTATGCCGGAAACCAATTACGACAGGTCATCAGGTAGGTCTATTCCCCAGCTCGGAGCTGATCTCAGAAATCAATACAAGAATCCCGCTTTGGCGTCTATCGTCCGTGATCGCCGGATCCAGGTCTTACCCGTCCAGTGGCGCGCCTCGCTCCAGCTCGACCAGCAAGACTCGCAAGAGGACGTAGAGCACGGTATGGATAATCGGTTCACCATGGCCGATATCACCATCAACAAGTCGATCCCGTATGTGAGGGAGCTCACCAACTCGGTCCTTCTGGATATCCCGCTGTTCATGTCTCAGCATAGGCTGAAGATGATTGAGGCGGTATGTTTGCAGGCGAATAAGCTGTATCGGCTTTGGATGGCGAGGAATCCGGGATGGAAGGGCAGGATACACCTTATTGGGCACTCAGTATGTCGGTGTAAAGATCGCAGCTGACGTGATAGTTGGGCTCGGCACTTGTGGCTCATATCCTGTCGAATCAGCCGACGAAAATGCCAGAGTTATCGGCGCTTCCGAAGCAGGTCATACTAAAGACCAAAGATCGGTTCATCTTCAACACGTCCAACTTTTACGTTGCGGGTAGTCCACTGGGAATCTTCTTGCACCTGGATCAAGCGCAGATCATGCCCCGGAAAGGGAGGGAACGGACGATGAGTGAGTGAGCTGTTCGAGCAAGACTGATGCCAGATTCGCCCCAAGATGAAGCATTGGACCGAGCGGGTAAATTCGGTTGTATGGCGATAGACTCGTATGTCCTTGCTGAGCAAAACGAGGATCTAGCTAATGCCCAGTTTCTACAACGTCTTTTACTTCTCCGATCCGGTGGCGTACCAGCTCAACGCCGCTGTCGACTGCCAGCTGGCCAAGAAACGACAACCTCTTGCCATTTCTTCCGTCGGATCCAGCTTCAGCGTCAACACTATCTCCCAATACCTTCCTGTCGCGCTTCGGAAACAGCTAGAAGGGAAGCCCCAGAGACCAGGCGCGATTCGCCTGCCTTCTGGCCTGGAGATGCTCGGTCCGAATGGCGAGGAGAGGCTTGAGGGGTCGAGAGGCGAACGCCGATTCTCTGCGATGAACCCACATGGAAGTGTGGACTTCTACCTGCCTTCTTCAGGTCCGAGCGAGTACCTAGGTCAGTCACTAAACGAGGGCACCGGACGGACTGGAGCTAACGTTGCAGACATGATCACCTCGCACGCGTCATACTGGACCGACGCGTCATTCGCGGCCTTCCTCCTCGCCGAGACGTTCTCGACCCGGTTGGACCTGATGCGGACTGGGCTCGGTCTCGCACTAGATCCTTCATTGAACGCTGCGGAAGTTGTAATATAGTATAATCACTTGGGCTGTCATATGTCGATGCACCATCTTGTATACATACAAATTCTAGATCCCTCCTACTCGTCCTCGAGGGTGACAGCGAAATTGTTCCTCTTCTTCCCTTCGTTGATAATCACCTTCTTTCTCCACCTTCTATCTACACCCTCCCTGGGCCGCCTCCAGGCCCATAACCAGTACCCGACCTTCCCGGACGGCTTGAACCGTTCTTTGAGCAATTCGAACCCGATATCCGCCATGATCTCGACAAGCGCCGAGCGGGTCAAGTAGCGGGAGTTCTCGACGCATGGGAGGGGGAGGACGAGGAAGAGGAGTGATGTGGGTCGAGGGTGGAGGTGCTGATGCATGAGACGGAGCATCTCGCCTGATCGTCAGCGTCCGCTCACAGTGCTTGAAATGGGTGAGGGGAAAGACCGTACCCCTTCTTGCGGGAGTCTCGACAAAGTTTAGTACGAGGCTGCAGCTGATTATATCAAAGCGCTGCTCCTCGGTAGTGGGTATTAGCCGGACGAAGAAGTCCTGCTCTAGGATATCGGGGTGCTGGGAGTGTAGGTCGATAGGTGTGTTGTCGATCCAGCTGGCCTGGTTGGCGTAATTGTCATGCTGGACCGCCCCTATCTCGAGCATTCTTTGTGATCAGCTTTCCCGTCCCGGAGGAGGCGATGATCGACGAGCTGATGGCATACCTGATCTTGGCCTTGGTCGCCGTAGCAGCCCTGAGCTCCTGCAACCACGGAACAAGAACCTTTGAGCTATCCCCACCGCGTTGCTTCCCCTGCCCCGCCCGACTGAGCTTCTGATATGCGTCCAGCGCCTCATGATCAATCTCCGGTGCACCTTTTAGCCTGCTAGACCCAGCATCTCCGTCTGATCCTCCCTCGGCCGAGCCATTCGGCCCCGCTCGCTTCCGTTTGAGCGAGGTGTGAAAGTCGGATATGCGAGCTTGGGCCGTCGCGCGGGATATAGACGGCGGAGCTGCCGCAATAGAGCTTACGAGGGGAGCTTTGCGTGTCTTGCGCGCCTTGGACCTCGAGGGGGCCATCAAGCTAGGCTGATCATGTACATGTAGAGGTTACAGAAGATTTTGACTTGGGCGTGAGTGAAGTGGAGAGGGGGTTGCCGTAAAGGTGGTGCCTGGCGGCGTCGACGGTCACCTCGCTGACGACAGAGAGACATGCATACAATATCAGTATTATACCTTGTCTTGAAGTGGAAAGACAACACCAGCTTACCTAGTGAGCTCCCGCATCCGAGAGAGGAGATCCAGGGGCTGTCGCTGATGCTCTCAGAATTCCGCATCCACTCTTGCGCCCCCATCATGCAGCATCAACGCCGGACCTCTGATTTCGGCGGATTCGTCTCTGCCGCCCCCTCCAGCTCCTCCACGCGGCAATCCCCTACCCATTTTCGGCGGCAACGCGAGCCAATACTACAGACGGGAGACCTCCTCGGATCATTCGACGACGATGAGTGGACAGAATTCTCCAAGACCTCTATGACGCCCCACCGGGTCGTGCAACCACGGAATGATCCCAACTCGCTTATAGATCTGGACGACATCTCGTCGGGTCAGCCTGCGGTCATACACCTGCCGCCTCGCCCGGACGAGATGTCAGAGGACTACATTCACCCCACACGTTCCCCTCGGCGCTCATCACAGCCTCACCTCATTCCCGGACCGAGCTCCCCTCCTCACATTCCCCACTCCCGCGACTTCTTCTCCGGCAAGAAGCACGATATGCGTACGGCGCCCGCGTCCTACAGTACGGAAGCGGGACCGTCGAGGCTGGCGAGCATGCTCTCGTCGCCTATCTCGGCGAAGGCAGCGGCTAACAAGTGGCGCCGCTCAGTCGACCGGTACGCGGATGAACCTTCGGTCGGGGACTTTGACGACTGGCCGTCACTTGTCACGCATGACAATCCCTTCGCCCCGCCCGAGCATCCACATATCCACCTTCCACCATCCGGCGCGCCGGGCTTCATACATACCCCAGGGCCAAAGATCACCCATCGGAGCGAAGATCTGCCTCCTTCATTGTACCTGCAGGGCAGGCGGGTGGGAACAATACCGGTACTAGACGAGCCTACCGCGATATCAGTGAGTCGTTCACCCTCCGTCAATGGTCAGAGCTGATGAGCAGCTTCAACGCCACCTTCCCGCCCGACAACGACTCTCCAAAACTTGGTCTCTGATCTGTGCATCCATCAATCTTGCACCTGGTCTATCGCATTCAGCTGATCTCTCAGTCTCATTAGACCAACACGGCGCCTCCCTCTCATCACTATACCGCCACGCCGACAACGCGTCTTCAAAAGCTCAAGGTTACGGCTGTGTCCTCATCATGCTCGATGGAGATGGCCGGAGGTTTGGCGCATTCATAAACGAAAACATTGTTAGGCGCGAAGGGGCATACTACGGTTCGGGCGAATCGTGAGATCCCCATCCCTCATTCTGCGGGGATATCTAGCTGATATCCCAGCTTCCTCTTCAGAATACCCAACACAGGCCCGCCTGGCAGCCCACCGGCGGTTTTCAGATGGACAGGGAAGAATCAGTATTTCTCGCTGTGCGAGGGTGCTTTTGTCTCCTTTGGCGGAGGGTGAGTCTTTCCATCAAGAAGGGCTCGGCTGACCGTCAGATCTGGAACGTATGGCTTGATCTTTGACTCGACGTTCTCGAAATGCTCGTCCGCGACCTGTCCGACGTTTGACAATGAGGTGCTCTGCAGTGCGGAACCACTACATTCGGACAAGGCGACGTATTTCGATTGTGTGGGTCTAGAGGTGTGGGCCACTATGCCGCTGTGAAGTAGGTCGGGCATCGTCATTGTATGCTCTCATTGTAGACCAATGTAGCTTTATCCTCACCCCGCTCCCTCGTATCGTTTAATGACCGCGTACCTTTAGGGGTACCAGACCCCCTGCGGGAGGAGGGAAGAAAAGTGGAGGCATGGGCGTGGCGGATGGGGCTTATGGCTCGGTAGATATTTACTTGATGGAAGCTGGAGAACGCAGAGGTACAGAAGGGGGAAGGTGAAAGAGAAGGGCAGGCAGAAAGATCTGCCAGAGAGCAAATGGAGGACCACTATTACTGCATTAAATCAATATTTGGATACCGGCATCATTTCTACCGATCTACTCGTCGCTATCTAGTGTTTGCTGGTTGGGCGGGTAGGAGGCTGAGAGTATGTTTCATATGTGGTATAGCCCTCTGGTCCTCGGGTGTAGAAAGTGGGTCTGAGATCAGCGATAGCCAAGCAGCATTACTCACCTGTCATATGGGTCGAGAGGGAACCCGTTCTTGATCCGCTCAGGAAGATCGGGGTCTGGAATCAGCATAGCCCCATTGACGAAGCACAATGGAAACTCACTAGAAATAAACCATCGTCCGAATACAACCGCGCCGCCGTGCTCCTTGACATACTCCTTCGCCAGCTCGGGAGTGTATCCACCGGCACTCAAGAACTGAGTCTTGCTGCCCTGGAAGATATCCCGGTACTTCTGGAGCGATTCCGAGACGTCGTGCTCCGCCGAGTAGGTGTTCCAGTTGGCGAGCTTGGCGGGGTCCGCGCGAGGCTCGACAAAGTGGACGTAGCCGAGGTCGGGGATCCGCTCGTGGATGAGCTGAGAGATCCGGACGTACTCCTGAGGAGCCTCGTCCGTCTTGACACCCTGCGCACCGGCGTATGGGGAGAGACGGATACCGACGCGACCGGCGCCGATGGCCTTGGCGCAGGCTTCGAGGATCTCGAGACCGAATCGTGCCCGGTTTTCGATGGATCCACCGTAGTCGTCCGTCCGCTGGTTGCTGGCGGTGGAGAAGAATTGGTTCACAAGGTACCCGTCTACCATGTCAGCCAGAACAGGGCGGATTAGATTGAGAGGCTCACGAGCACCGTGCACCTCAATACCGTCAAACCCAGCGTCCATCGCCATCTTGGCCGAGTTGGCATAGTCCGCGACGTACTCGTCAATCTCCTCTTTCGTCAAGGCGTGTGGTACAGGCCCGCCCTCCGCCATAGGGATAGCGCTAGCCGAGACGACGGGGATGCCGCTCTGTCCATCCTGTGTCCGGCCAAGCGCCCAGAGCTGAACAATAGTCTTTCCGCCCTTGGCGTGGATACGCTCGTTGATGCGCTTCCATCCGGCAACGTGCTCCTCGGTGAAGAGACCGGGGGTACCGACCATCCCTCCTGCCTTGGCAGATGGATAGGTGGCCTAAAGTTAGTTAGGGTCTACAGCACAGAAAGTATAAGCTCACCTCCATGATGACCAATCCACCGTCGGACGCTCGCTGCTCGTAGTACTCTCCCATCATGTCATTGGGGGTGAGCGAGTCAATCTCGGCCCGGATACGGGTGAGAGGCGCAAGCACGATACGGTGCTTGAGCTCGATAGGGCCGATGGAAAGGGGGCTGAAGAGTGCTTCGGACGACATTATGTGTGTTTGCGAGTGGTTTCTCTGGTAGGAACGGACACGAAGAGTGGTAAGTATGAAGTGAGAGTTGGGTCTGTCTGCTTGCTATTTATACGAAGGCTTTGAGATGTCTGAAAACTCGGTGACTGAGCACGATGACGCGGTTGCCGAGAAAAGAGGAGTTGCGGATTGATCAGCACCTCCACATTCCTCATCAGCCAAACCTAGAAGGTTCTAAAGTACCCGATCGTCGTCAACGTCAAGATAGGAGAAGCTCGGACTCGCAGTGCAGCACCGGGCATCTTACCTCTCAATCAGTCAGATCCGAAGCTCGCCATCAGACTATACGACCTCATGGACGTGGGAATGGAAACCTCATGGACGTGGGAATGGAAGAGTCGAGGTTCCGAGCTCGAAACAGACGAAAAGTTTACCCTCGAGCTGCCTCGAGCCTCCGACGGCCGCGTCCCAAATACTCTGTTAGCTGTGGACATGTCGAAGGGATGTGAGACCCTCATCAAAGCTCACTCGAGACCTTCGAGCCATGATATATGAATCTGTACCGGTGAGCTGACATTTCTTCGCGTTCTGTGATCCGCAACGTGTCTTCAAGTTCGGACGATGAGCTCGCCGTTGGGCCCGCATATCCCGTCACGATCGCTGGGGCGCCCTGTGTTTGGTAGTCCTTCATAAGCTTCATTTTGATTCGGTCACGCTTCGGAAGGCAGTAAATGGACAAAAACACGAAGTCCTGATGCCTGTCGGGCTTCGCTCTCGGACGCGGAGCGGAGTGCCCGAGCCTCGGGCATACCTCGGGCGAGGCGAGGGGGTCCTTTGGGGTGGAGCGCATGGGTGCTGGTGCATTGTCCTCGCTGGTGGAGGTATCGATAGTAAAGGTGGAGGTGGAGGTGGAGGTCAAACCATATCACAGGCATCAGGCCCAAGCTGGACTCCTATATATAGCCCGCTGACATTCTCACTACTGATACCCCGCCAACGACGAATTACCCACCAGCCCTACCCATCCTTTCGCGTACTCCTCACTCCAGAATGAAAGTCTTCGTCACTGGCGGTACTGGTCTCATCGGCTCATCTCTAATCCCTCGTCTCGTCGCCTCCGGTCATTCCGTCACCTGCCTCGCGCGCTCCGACGCGTCCGCGACCAAAGCTAAATCTCTCGGTGCCACTCCCATCCTCGGCTCCCACCTCGACCTTGCCGTCCTCGCCCATGCCGCCGGCGAGGCTGACGGCGTCATCCACCTTGCCTTTGACCACGACGGCATCGCAGACTATGTCCGAGTTTGCGATGAGGACCGCGCCGCCATCGCGGCCATGTGCGACGCCCTCGGCAGCACCGGCAAGCCGTTCGTCTGCGCCAACGGTACCCTCATGACCGCTGGCGAGACGGAGCAGTGCGGCAAGATCCCTATCGAGGCGTTCCCGCGGTGGAAATCGGAGGACCTGACCCGGAGCTACGCCGATAAGGGGGTCCGCGCGACGACCGTCCGCCTGCCCCCTGTTGTGCACGGTCCCGACCGGGAGCACCCCTTCATCTCGGCCCAGATCGCGGCGGCGAAGGAACACAAGGAGGCGGGGTACATCGGCGATGGGAAGCAGGTGTGGCCTTCTGCACATGTTGACGACGCGGCGGCGGTGTTCCATCTGGCGCTGGAGAAGGGGGAGAAGGGCGAGGTGTACCATGCGGTCGGGGAGGAAGGGGTGGCGGTCAAGGCGATTGCGGAGGCGGTTGGCGCAAAGTTGGGGGTGGAGGTCAAGAGCTTGAGCAAGGAGGAGGCGATGGGGCGGTATGGGTTCGTGGGCCCGTTGATGGACATGAGTAACAAGACTAGTAGTGCTCTTACGCAGCAGTGGCTGGGGTGGAAGCCAGAGGGTTATGGTCTTCTCAAGGAGATGGAGGCGGGCTACAAGTACTAGAATGTAGTATAGCAGCGTTGATAGATCAGAGTACTCAAGATGTATATAGCTCATTTGCCAATCAATCGTACAGTCCCTCCCACTCGTCCTCTTCTTCGGGTGGAGCTGCAGCCTTGGCGCCTCCCCCTCTACTAGATTCCGCCGGGCCTGCTTGCGCATCCCCATCCCCGCTCGCCATAGCCGCCTCCATCTCCTCCATCGCCCTCAGCTCGTCCAGGTCCGGCCCGTCCTCCTCGTCCATGTCTGCGTCGCCACCGTCGGAGAAGAGTGGCTCCTTCGTGCCAAACATGGCTGTGGCGTCGGGAGAAGGCTCGCGCGAGTGTGTAGGCGACTTGGTCCGTGCTCGTGGTGGGTCGTCTGCGGGAGGTGAGAGGGACTGGCGGGGTGGAGGGGTCGGTGTACGAGGACGAGGATAGAATGCATCCCGGTACCCTTTCATCGCGGACTACATCGTCAGCTCCTGCAGAGAGGAAGGGCCTCAGGGGTACAAGCTCACCTCCATTCGACGCGTCCTACAGACCACCTCGACGCGCTGCATCGTGCCCATAAAGTCTCCCTTGGGGAACATGCCGTGCGCCCACATCTGATACACGTTGAGCAGATCCTTCAGATCTTCCGCCTGCTCAGTCAGCTTATGCTCCTAATCACACTCGAGTCATAGCTCACCTCTCTGCCCTTCCCTTTGACCTTGAACTTCTTGGCCGCCTTCATCAACTTCAAGATCCCATCATCTCCCGTCAACCTGTCCGCGTCCACCTTCGCCATGACCCTCCGCTTCTTTGGCGCCCCTTCCCCATCCTCGTCCCCATTCCGGACAGCCGCGAACGGATCCAGCGCATCTTCAAAGTCTCCATTTGGACGTGCGATGTCCACGTCGCGATCCCGTTGCGTCGTTCCCAGCCCTCGTGAGGTCGCGGCAGGACGAGCGGCAGCGCGCGTATAGTCAAAGTCCCAGTCGAAGTTGATTGGGTCATCCGCGTCAACGTCCGCGGGCGCGTCGTTGAGGTCAACAACGGGAAAACTTGCGCGCTGGGCGGCGGTGGGGCGGCGAGGCGTGTCGGTAGCGGAACCGGGGGAGAGGAAGAGGGGGTTGGCGGAGGGGGAGGAGCGGGAAGGGCCAGCTACGGGTGTTGGAGGTGAATCTGGTGGGATAGAGCGGCGGGGCGGTGGCCGCGGGGGCGAGTTGAACAGGTTGTCTAGGTCTGCCATCCTGTACCAGATGAGTGTAGGGATGGTGGAGGAACAGGAAAGATGTACGTACAAGGTCAAAGTCGGAAACGCGTAGGGAGACGCGTCGACGCGTCGGTCCTGTTGACATCGTCACCCGACATGCGCAAAGCTTTATGGGCAGCTCCCATGGTGGACAAGGGTGGACAGTGTTGTCAGCACCACCTAGTTCTTGCATTACAGATCTACACCCTCTCGCCTTCCAAAACTACTATATACAACCGCTGATTCTTCCCACCACAACCCATACCCGGACCAACATATACCCCTGACCCCTAATTCTCCGCTATAAGCCTGATCCCTATCCTCAACCACCCATCTGCTCCGCATACACTCGACGACAGCCATGCAAGCTCCGCCTCTGGTGGTAATTCGACGCCTTGGGCGATGGGCAGTGCCATGGGATAAGGGATTTTGCTCGAGGATGGAAAGAGGAGGGGAAGATGTTGCTGTAGTACAGACAAGACAGTAGTGGGTTGGCCTAAATGTCAGCTTGACCTTCTTAGACCAAAGCGTGGTCCCATCGAGAGCTGGAGTGTTGCTCAATCGTCCAAGGTACGCTCGCCAGACTTAGCGGAACCGGGTGAAGCAGGAAGTAGTGAACATACCGTCTGCTCCGAGAGGCGGTACTACCTCCTGTACGACCGGCGCTCCATCTGGGAGGTACACCTTGATCGGTAACGCTCTCACAGCATAGGATGATTCAGGCTGCTTGCCATTTGGATCGGTGATCGCTGGCCGGGTGGACGGATTCGTCGGTGCCGGTACCGAGTGCGGTAAGGGGATCAAGCGCGACGCCATGCGCATATACATATCATAGTCATCTAGACAGTCAGCTGAGGCGCACGTATGGAAAGAGAGCCGTTAGCTTACCGTGAACAATCCCATCCCATCCCGCGTCCAAATCCGGTCTCCGCATGTTCGTCACCCTGCTTGTATTCCGCCACCTGACAAAGTCCGCCTCGCGCAGCTGATTCATGTAGTTGGCTTTACAGCTCTCGACCGTATTTGGCAGCATGAGCTTATCAGCTGGGGGATTCGAGAGGTGCAGAAGCAGCCGCAGGGGCTGAAAGGTAGGTTTAGAGGGTCCGGGCGCGGAAGGGCCGGGGCCGTTGGATGATGCCCCTGGAGCTGGATGAGTGATGATAGAATGAAGGTGTATGAGGTCGAGTGGCCAGTGCCTATTATCAGCACAAGTCTGTGAGGAAGCATACCATCTGCAAGCGCCCTGAGGGGCAAACCCGACTGCATCACCCGGGTCTTCCTCGAACCACCATTCCGCTTCATTTGTCTCTGCCAGCTGTTGGTCATCTAGGGCGATCTCGACCAGATTCTCTCTGATCTCGGGGATGAGGAGCGGCAGATATGCGTGTCTAGGCGGGTACATCTGTTTTGGTCAGCCATTGAGCGGTGTGGGAGGGGTTCAAAGGGGGAACGAACGTAGTATCGGTCCGCACCGGATCCCGCGCCCGGCTCATGCTCGGCGAGCCGGACCTCAAGGGGGACAGTAGACTGCCATGATAGTCGGCGAAAGAGATCTGCGGAGGACGCTACGGGACCAGAGGTCATCATACTGCAGGTCAGGCAGAGAGAGGTCACAGATGATGTACAGTATGATTGAATCTTTGAGGAACGCGCTCCTTAAGCTCAGCTGAACCAGCAGGCGCTAGTTTAGTCCGTGCGCTTGTTTCAAGTTGGGGTTGGCCGGTGCGGCCGTTGCTCGCTGAGGTGGCAGTCTAAGCGGGCGTTGTCATCTGCAAGGCCCGGCAACTGGTTCGTGTAGATCTCAGAACAAAGATATACATCATGCCCTGAAGAGGCAAGGCGCCGAGGCGCCATCCTATAGACGCATCCTTGGGCCGATGAAAAGATCAACACTCCCTCCAGTATGAGGACGCGAGTATCAAGGCTGCTTGCCGGCAATACTAGGAGCCGTCAGCGCAACGTCTCCGCCATTGACATCACAGAAGATCACTCACATATCGGTGAACAGCCTCCACAAGATACTGAACAAGATACCCTGCAGACCGTTGGTGGCGAGCCGAACGGGCAGTCCGCGTCCGAACAGCGCCAACAAGCCCTCGGACGCGATAATCTCCCTGGCCGCAGTGACTAGAGTCGTCAGCGCAACTCTCGCGCTGCTGTCAAATAGGACACAGTCACTCACAGTATCCAACGTCCTTCTCGTGCACCTGACGGTACGTCTTGACTACCCGGAGCGAATTGCTGATCGTGTCGGACGCGACACTGGCCGCAAAACCGATAAATGCCTGTCGAGCGAGTTTCTGGAAGATGTTGTTGGGTTGAGGTAAGGTGGACGAGAGCCAATTGTACGTCCCGAACCAGGGGTCTGGTTTGTCAGCTTGTCCGCTGTATATCTGAGGGAACTGACAGTGGCCCACGAACGTGGCAGCAGCGGTAGCCAAAGCGCCCCACCAAAGGCACTGCACGCCATTCTCCTTGATCCTGTCTCGAAGCAGCTTGAGTCCGGCCCGACCACCCCGTGTCTGCTGAGTCGTCTTCAGGGTGTCGATAGGCGTAAGGGTCATGCGGAACGTGGCGGACGCGAGCGAGGCAGCGAGGGTCTTGATGAGGACCGGCCAAGTGAAGGAAGCGAGAAGTGCAAGGATGCCAGCGTTGGCTGCAGTGTCGCCGAACCGAGCGAGTGGGCCTTGGAACCTGATGTCAGCGGGAATTGGTAGGAATACTTACAGAGCAGCGCCGAGACCCGCATAGTATCGCTTCCATCCGCCATCGTGGTACAGATTCCGGACAGACTCCTTGATTGTTCCACCGTATCGATATTGGTAGTTCATGATCGTCCTCAGCGGCATCAAAGTGAGGACCTGTAGGATCATGGCCAGTGCACCGGCCAGTCCGCCGCCACCAGCCCGCTTCAGGGCCTCGGCGAGATCGAAGTCGACCGAACGGGACACGCCGCGGCCGGAGACCATGAGGCCGATAGCGAGGGGCAAGGCGGCGATAAGAGAGGTGTAGAAGGATGCAATGTGGACGGCAGAGCGGTATGGGTCCAGCGCGGGGGGGAGGGATGGAGGCGAGATGCTGACAAGAACGAGGACGAACGACTGCACATCAGCACGGGAAGGCGGCATCAACTCACGAAGACCGGGTCTTGGAGGTACGCTGTCGTAGATGGGATCTTCCTGAAGCCGTACACGATACCAAGTACGATGGCGGGAACCGCGATGAAGCGCCAGAAGACGATGACGAGGGTGGTGCCGAGTGTAGGGGGGACCTTCTCTTCGTCCCTGACAGTGTCAGCTATAGCGCTTCAGTCCCATTGACTTCTCACTTACGCCTTTTTCTCTCCGGCTCGAGCATTCATACCGTCAGCGAGCAAGTCGACGACCGCAAAACTTGCTCCAAGAACCGACAGGCCGAAACCGATGCTCCGCCATGAACCGGTAAAGTCGCCTTCTCGAACGTTGTGGCCGATGATGGCGTGCTGTATGGGGTTGATGAGGCAGATGAGCAGGCCCAGTGCCGAGGCGATCAGGACGGGAGACAGGTAGGTCAGCGAAGACTGAGCTGTGGCTCTCTCGCTAGCTGTCGAAGAAGGTACCAGAGGTGTACGTTCCGTCGGATCTTCGATGTCGGAGCTGGCATCATCGTCCGAGTCGTCGTCCTGCCTTTCGTCGATCCGAATGGGCGCTCGGGCTGCGGCTTGAAGCCTCGGCAGGAAGATACGTATCACCGATCTGCGCGGCCGCGTCAGCTCCGCCCAATGACAGAAGAGCGAAGCTTACCTTGCCAGCTCCGTCACGACGAGGTTGACGAGGATATACTCGTTCGCTCTCTGGAGTACGTGAGGTACCGTGTCCATACTTCTCCACCGTAGGTGTCCGAGTGTGGTCTCCGAGCTGGATAGGAAGCTGAGCAGCTGTACCGCCAGAAGAGGATACGTAGACACGCTATCAATGATCAGCGGGACACAGATTAACCTCTTTCGGGTCGACTTACTTATTGAATATCAGTGACTCAGTGAGCCATGTCGGAGCTGAGCCAAGACGGCTACATATCAGTCCGAAGGCGATAGAGGGCACATGAGCAGCCAGTGCGATAACTACGGTCGGCCATACTGCAGATTTAGCACGTTCTTGCGGATTAGCGGAACTCCGCTCACACTGCAGTATCCTTCTCCATGTCAGATTCCCTGAAGCAGCAAAAGTCACAAACATGAGTGCTGGAAGCAAGATTCTTCTCGAGATCCCTCGGAGTGTCTACAGTGGTCAGCGGCATTGGGTTGAGCATGCGAAAGCGGATAGTCCATGATGACTAACCTTGCCTGATCCGCTGTCCAACTTCGAATTGTAAGCGTATCCAGCGCCGAAAACGACGCAGACCCCCAGGATGGCCTCGAAGGCTGTCGTGGTGACGTCCACGAGCGACTCCATCGCGTATCTGGGACTATACACAGGCAGGGGAACGAAGTACAGGAGGAAGAGCAAGATTTCGCCTGAGAAGGGAGCATGATGGCCGTTTTTGGTGCTATCGGATATAGCCGAGTCAGGCACGGTCGATGACGTTCGGTGCTTTTCCGGGCCGGTCCCATGCTGCTTGAGGTCTGTATTCAGCGCTGTCAGCAACTCTCCGTTGTCCTTCCTCTATCCCGCTGAGAAAAAGACGTCGCAATCGCATCGTCGCCATCAATCAAAATGCCCTTCCACAGTATCACGCTCAACGACGGTCGGAAGATCCCCCAGATCGGGTTCGGGTCATGGAAAATCCCCAAGGATGTCTGCGAGGGACAGACTGACCAGGCGATCGAGGTCGGTTTCGACCACATCGACACCGCTCAGGGTGCGTTGCTTCGATAGCTTACATTAGGGCCGCAGCTGACTCTCCAGTGTATCACAATGAGGAGGAAGTCGGCCAGGCCATCAAGGCATCCGGTCTCTCCCGCAAGGAGCTCTGGGTCACTACCAAGTGGTCCGGTGTTGACGGCAAGGACCCTCGCCAGTCCTGCGATGAGAGCTTGGAGAAGCTTGGTATCGACTATATTGACCTGTACCTCATCCACAGCCCCAGGTTGTGTGGCGACGACATCAAGGGGAAGTGGCACGAGATGGAGAAGCTGCACAAGGAGGGCAAGGTCAAGTCTATCGGGGTATCAAAGTGAGCTAAATATGCCATCAGCTCTTCAGGCGACTCAGCTTACTGGTCAGCTTCAAAGTCGATGACCTTAAGGAGCTCCTGAAACACGCCGAGATCAAGCCGGTCGTGAACCAGATCCTCCTCCACCCATACGTCATCAAGTCCACCGAGCCCCTCCTGCACTACATGGCGCAGCAGCACATCGTTCCCGAGGGCTACTCGACCCTCATCCCGCTCACTTCCGAGCCTGGCGGACCGGTCGACGAGCCAGTCAACAACATTGCCAAGCGACTGGGCAAGAAGCCGGAGCAGATCTTGCTGGCTTGGTCAAAGGCCAAGGGGTGAGTTTTCTCTAAGTTTGCCTTGCAGTGGCTGATCATGGCAGTGCGATCATCGTGACCACCTCTTCCAAGAAGGAGCGTCTCGAGTCCTACCTTGACGTCGGGGATATCGAGCTCACCGAGGATGACGTCAAGTCCATTGATGATGCAGGAGCCAAGAAGGAAATGTGGGTTGAGAAGAAGGGCAAGATGGTCAAATGTGCCAGAGTGGGTCTTGCAGTAGCACTGGGCACGTACGCTATGGCGAGACTGGTTTTGTAGAGTCTGCGATGAATGAAGGCATACATTCTTGACCCAAGTGCTCGTGGTACTGTTCGCTCATGCTTGCGATCCTGGGCCTCTAGGGAGTACGGGGCACATCGAAGATGCCTCGGCCGTCTCATTTCCTTTCCGTTGCCGAATGATAGTGCGGGTGCTGAAAGGGACAGACTCGGCACACTGCTATACATGCCGAAGATCTGTCAAAAGCAGATGGCTCCATATTGCTCGCCACTTGATGCTTAATTCGGTTCCCCGTCATCGAGAGGCTGCGGAGTGCACTTGATCGCGACCGAGAGGCGGATTGTTTGCCCGCAGCTTCGGCGCAGAATCGGCAGAGACCACGGCTGAGCGAGCATGATTTTAATTCTCCAGTCATTCCCTCGGTATCATTCATTACCTTGTGGAAAATCAACTTCTGCTCTGAAGCTTTACTTTTTCGCCGAAAGATACATCGAGCGGTTTGGGACTCAAACTAGGCGATCTGTGAAGTCATCCAAGTGGTTCTGACCGCATCAAGTCTCGGCAGATCGAGCGGAGCAATCCCGAGCGTCAGTGGGTCAGTATAGCCGGGATTTGGAAGATACATCGGTGATCTGGTACGAAGCGGGAGTCAAAGGAACACTTCGTGTACACGTCCTCTTCTCCCCCGTGCGCCCTCTACTGAAGCCTGCCCAGGAAGCGCCCGGTTTCAGTGTTCTTGAAAGTCTCAGGAGTCATGACCTGGCAGCCTCTGGGTGTGTGTACAGCGGGAATGTCCGCGTGGACGTCCGGGACCACAAAGTGGATGGGTGGCCCATTCATTCCAAGCTGGCCGCCAGGGTAGCCTTCCGTCAAAGCAAGGTTGAACGCATTGAGTTGGTTCCGGACGCCCCGATCAGCTTCATCGTCGTCAAGGAGCATACCAAGGGCGATGACCCGAGGCAGGCCGGTCACGTCCGTCTGCCCATCTTCGGTGAGCGGCCGCATCTCTCGCACGAGGAAGTAAGCTGGAGAAGCACTACCCTGCCAGCCCCACGTCTGGATGGTCCGAGACGCCTGGATCGTGTCTGGGAGGTGACATGAGGTGAAGATCTTCTCGGGGGACACGTATCCGAGGCCTCGAGGGACATGGTAGTGGACTATGAAGTCCTCGATCTCTGTAGGACCGAGATAGTCAGAGAGTCCGGTGGCGAATGCTGCGCAATTGTGAATGGTCGGCTGAAGCTCGATGTCGTCTTCTGCGTCGATTCCGTGAGAGTATGCCGTATGATGATGTCCACTCCCGAGCATGTATGGGTCACTCTCGTCGCCCGATGTCGCGATTTCGACGTCCTCACCACCACAAGCGCAACTCAGCCCGTGTTCGCAGCGGGACAGAGCGACAAGCATCTTGAGTTTCTTGGGGAGTTCTCCGAGGGATTTCAGGTGGTCCAGCGAAGCGACAGACGGTGACAGTCTCGCTTGCTTCCGCTGATGGAGCTGTCTGCGCGCTTGATCGTCGATGAGAGCTCGAAAGTCGCTTGAGACGAGCCTCAGGGTGGTGCCAAAGCCCGTCAGAGCGGGGTCGGTGAGGCAATAAATGCGGAGCTCTGTCGGCATAGTCGAAAGCGAGTTCGACTGCATCGTCAATTGCTGTTTCCCCGTACAGGAGCGTTCCCGCATAGGGGTCGGTAGATGATCATATGCCAATCAGACGCACTTACCTCCTCCGTCACATCTGCAGCGTTCGTAACGAATTCTGGCATTGAAGGTAAGAGTAGTGAGAGAGGGTGGCAAATGCGGGAAGGTGAGCCGCCCTTACAGCGCTAAGGCAGTATGACAGCTCGCACGACAAGCCGTTCTCACTTCTTGTAGTGAACGGAATGCCAGGGGTCCAAGCACAAAGGTGTGCCGAGCACGACATAAGTGCCTGATATTGGCTCTGCGAGTGTGGCACTATGGGGTAAGTGGGCTGATCACTCCCATACCAGTACTCGCCCGCCAAGAGGTCATTATTGGATTAAATGACAGGCCAAACCGATGCAGACCGAAAGAAAACAATCCGCTTCCCCCTATCTTCTGTCAGTCGAGTCTGAGCCTAGCAATCCCTCTTGGTGGTCATCCTCTCGCTTGATCCCCTCAATCATCCCCAACCTCTCCTCCACCCCTCCACCCACAACAGGCACCCCCTCCGTTCCCATCGGCCCCCTCAGGCCCTTCTCTATATCCCCTACATCGACCGTGCCCACACCCGCCTCCGGCCCAGTAATGGCCGAGACGAGATCCGTTTCGGATCCTTTACGCGAGTTGACCTTGGACTCCGACTTGAGGCGCATCTTTTCAGCAAGGGCGCGATTGGCGAGGTCGGCTTCTCGGGCGTATTTGGACCTCAGGCGGATCTTGCCGCCGTATTTGTAAAAGATACTAGGTCATCAGCGATAGCTCGAAGGGAGACCAGGAAAGAGGAGGAGAGGTAGCTTACATGGGTGCTGGGATGAACGCTAGGGCGATAAAAGCAATCACGCTTCCCGCCCATTGGACCCCGAGGGCGTCGTACATCCTGACTGTGAAGAGAGGGAAGACAACACCGAAGATCGACCGGACGACGGTATTGCCCGCCAATGCTGATGCCGAGTGCAAGGTATAGGCGTCGACGAGGTAAGACTATCGGCGTGTCAGCTGCAGCACTACGCATCCACGAGAAAGTGCAGATCAACTCACCATGATGCCCAGGAACAAACCTACGAGCGCAGCGCCGAAGACCACAGTGGCGAGGATGGGTACGATCCAGTGGATATTGGCGGGACTTGTCCAAGCGAACCAGAAGAGACCGACCCTTATCATCAGCCGCGCACTTTTTGTAACAAGATTGTAAAACGTGCGGTAAGAGGATGCCACCCAGAATGACCATGGGCAGCCGCTCCTCTGGGGGCAAGTACCCGCCGTTCGCGTCCATCTTGGCCGCATACCGCTTGTTCATGACGCCGAGGAGGACGAGACCAAGGATCGATCCGAATGAGAGACCGATGAACGCGAGACCGGCGATAGCGGGGGTCCACCCGCGTTGTTGGACAAAGACGATAGGGAAGGAGGTGAATTGCATCTGTGCTGTCAGTCAAGGTCGAGAAGTATGCCGCGGTAGTTACTCACGTAGAGAATGGCATAGACGACAGAGACACTGGCAAAGTCAGCTTGATTGATGGCCAGTAAGGAGGAGACACTCACTAGAGCGCCATCAGAGCGGCAACTGGTTCCGTGAAAAGCAGCTTCCACGGCACCGTCAATTGCTTCTTGAAGAGCTCCTTGGTCACCATCGGCCGCTCCACGTCCCGACTGTACCGGTAGACCTTGCCGGAGACCTTGCTGAGTTCGGTAGCGCGACGGCGAAGGAGAACTGGCTCGTACGTCTCTGGCAGCCAAAGGGCGCCGATGACGGTGAGTATAGCAGAGAAAAACGCGAGGAGGGCTGCTACCCATCTCCAAGTGGATGCAGCGGACAGGAAACCACCAGCCTGAGGTTTCAGCTTCGGTTCGGTAGTGAGATGAGACGGGACATACGACAGGTCCGATGGCTGGGCCTAAGAAAGGCGCGATGGCGAACACGCCCATAGCTGCCGCTCGCTCTTTGGCGTTGAACATATCGGTGATGATACCACTGCGGGAATCAGCCGGATCCTTCTAAGTCGGTGCGGACGTGACTTACCCGACTGAGGTCAGACTACTACTTCCAAATGTGCCAGCGAAGAATCGGAAGACCAACAAGGCCTCGAGCGAGTTGGCGCCGCAGCAAGCAGCATTGAAGATGGTGAAGGGTACGAAGGTCGAGATGAACATCCGGCGACGACCAAAGACCTCGGAACACGGCGCCCAGAGGAGGGGGCCGACCACGAAGCCGAGGATGAAGATGGATGTGACTGGTCATCAGCCAGGAGCTAGCTGGTATCTTCGCGAGACTCACTCATAATGTAGCTTTCCGCCGTGTGGCCTGGAAAGTCCCTCCTGATATCATAGATGGCAGCACTCATCATAGAACTGGTCATCGTCACGCTCAACACCGATATCGCGCCTATCGCCGTGATCATCCACTTGTATCCCGCCTTCCATGTCTGGGGATACTCAATATCCACCGCAGTCTCCAACCCTTCCACTCCTTCCGCGTCATGGGAGGCCTCTCCGGGGAGCCAGTCGAGGATATAGGGCGATTCGAGGGTGCCCTTTCCAGTGTAGGAGTGGGCGAGGAGGAGTTGGGGGGAGGTGATGTGTTTCCGCCATGGCCAGGCACGTTTGGGTCGGGGGACGGTCTGGTCGGTCGAGCCAAGAGATGGGACAGAGGACGATCCAGAGAGATTCGTCATTTTGGTAACGCCGGGTCACTCAGTCTCAGGTCTCAGAAGCGTGAGCGGTGTACGACGAAGGCGCGCGGGAAGATGAGGAACGGACGGTCCATCTCTCCCTTCTATATGGGCACTTCCCCTCCAGCCCTCGGCCTCGGGTGAGGGTGAGAGAGAGCAAGTGCTTCGGGGCTATCTTTGGTCGCGGGGGCCGTTCAGCGCGTATCAGCCAAGGGCGCCATGCCGTAATTAGCAGGTTTCCGGCGGGATTGAGCCGACTTTGTCATCTTGCTTGTGTCATTAGCAAGGTTGCTCCGCTACACATTCCTCCGAGGTTTGTGCGCGGCCACTTCAATCGCTTGCAACTCGTTGCCGAGCTCGGCAAAGAGTAGTATAGCCTTGCCCTGATATGAGCCGAGACCGAACCAAGAGCGTCAACGAGATGACATACTGATGTTTCATATATACAACGATTCCTTCGCCCAACGATAATGTAGAGGACCCGTCCTACTCGCCCAGCTTCCTCCCTCCTCCCCACGCCGGCCCTGCCAGAGCAGACTCCCCATCCTCGTCCTCATCGTCCTCGTCCTCCTGATCGTCATCATCCATGTCGTCATCATCGTCGTCTTGGGCCGCCTGAGCTGCCGCCGCGCCTCCCGTCAACAACAGACCGCCCGGCACGCTACTCCCGCCGCCCGTCCCCATCGCCTCCGCCTGCTCTTGCAATCGCTCCCTCTCCTCCTCCTCCCTCTGCAGCTTCTCTTTTGCCTCCCGCTTGAGACGTTCCTCACGATCCCGCATGATCTTGTCGCGCTGTTGCCGGAGGACGACACCATCCCTGTCTGCTTCGATCTGGGCGAGGGCTTGAGCGACGCGTGCGGCTTCGGCATCCTTGTGGGAACGAGCTGAGAGTGCAGAGTTGGCTGCCCGCGCCTGGAGACCGGATAGCTGGGGAGTCAGCACTGGACACCGGAGGAGATGCCTGTGAACGGTTGCAACCACAGCGTCGCTCTCTACAGCCGTCTTGACAGACCGGGCGAATGTTAAGCGGACTTGTGTGACTCACGTGCTCTTCGAGGACTTCGCTACCCACGCGGAGCTCAAAAGAGGTCTTCAGTGTCGCAGTAAAGACGTAGAATTGTGAGAAGTCGATCGTCTGCGTTCGGAACCCGAGCTGTGAGTCTGTCAGCATTGCATTCGCATTGACAGACCAGCACAAGTAGCCAATGAAAGTAAACGACAGTGTTGAGCAGAGTCAGACAGAACTCACAGCAATCAGGTACTCGTGGCCACCCTTCAGGTTGAGCACCTTGTTCTTGAGCAGGGAGTTGGAAGCCTTGAGCGTGCGGTACTTTGGATCGTCGTGCTCCTTGACGTTCTTGGCTATCAGAATAAGAGTCTGGCTGTCAGCTTGTGCGAATGAGTGGTCTCCACTTGTCCAAAGCCACACGCTCGAATGCCATCACAGCCCATCGACTTCTCAACCAACGAGCGATTTCTCTTTGCTCCGCTTAGGACTCAGTGTTTGTCATTCCACCCGACGCCACCCCGATCGATGTCAAAGTATATATATAGTATGACTCACTTCGACACCCTCGGCGACCTGCCTGTACCCATTGTCCCTGACCAGCCCCCTATCAAGCAACCTCGCAAATTTGATCCTACATTCCTTCTCCTCCTTCTCCGTCGGCGTCCATTTATTGGCTGCCGTACCTGTAGAGGACGAGCCAGACCTGAATAGAGGAGGTGTGGACGCTCCAGCAGCTTTGGGACCGGGAGCGACTGTCGGGGTTGATGACGAAGCAGCAGCAGCGGACTGGACAGAAGGTCGACCGAGGCGAGCTTCAGCGGCGAGAAGGGCAGCTTCGCGCGGGTTTGGCTTGGTCTTTTTGGGCGCGGTGCCGGCGTCTATTTCCGGTGCAGACATCTCGTGCGGGATGGGAGGTGATGTATGCGATGTAGAAGGTGAAAGCAACGATCAGTGCTGGTTAACGAAGCGTGATCGCGGTCCGAGCGGGGCACCAAGCACTTACGTCATCGCCGAGATCTCCCGCTCCGGCTGCGCTGCATGATATATAGGTCTCGTCTCTGTTTCCTATGTGTCCAGCGAGGCCATGAGTGGGGTGAGGAGAGTGTATGCCATACAGACAGAGATTGAGATCAGGATCGCTTGATCGCTCCAGAACCTACACTACTCCTCGTGCACCTCCTCTGCCTCCACTCTCGCTAGCTCCTTCCTCACCTCCCCGACCCGGTCGCACAGGACCCGTACAACCCGCTTCATCCCGAGCCCAAACTTGGCGCTGACAACCACCGTCTCCACCCCTCCTCCCCACGCTTTGATTACCTCCTTGACTCGCTTCACCCTCTCCTTCCCTACTTCCTCATCCACCTCGTCCCCCTTGTTCAGCACGACAGCCACCGCCTTGTCCGCCAGACCAGGCTTGTACGCCTCCAGCTCGTCCCTCAATACCTGGAGATCTGTGTCTGGCGTGTCCGAGCCGAGGTCCACCACATAGACGAGCGCCAATGACCGCTCGATGGAGCGGAGGAACGAGTGTCCCAGCCCATAATTCTCCGATGCCCGTGCGAGGAGGCCCGGATTGTCCGAGATGGTGAAGCGCGTTGCCTCTGCCTGGCCTCTCGTCTTGACCGGAGGTGGCATGTACTCTCCCTTGACGCGATCTGCCTTCTCCCGCTCCCGCCGGGTCTCGCTCTCCTCCACTACTCCCTCTTCTCCCCGCCAGCTCCCATCTTCAAACACACGCACGACGCCCACTTGCGGGTTGAGCGTCGTAAATGCGTATCCTGCCACTTCTGCTCCGCGGCCCGTTAATGCCCGTAGTATGGTGGACTTGCCAGCGTTTGGCAGTCCTACGAGCCCGACGTCCGCGAGGAGCTTGAGCTCGAATGAGAGGGTAAGGGTACCGGGGGAAAGACCTTTCGAGGCCAGTCGAGGAGGGGGAGATTCCGGCTGTTGGAAGTGTGGGTTACCGAGGCCGCCTCTACCGCCGGTAGAGAGCAGGACCGGCTCGACGATAGGTTTCGTGATATCAAGGTAGATAGGATCGACCGTTGTACGCCGTAAGAACCCTTCCCTCCGTAACGTCTCCTCTGCTGGCCCGTACTCGTCCGCGATGACCTCGGTGTTGGGGTGCGAGACGAACCACCTGTCCCATCTTCTCTCTCTGCGCTGCTGCGCATCTAGCCCTAGTGCGGCATCCTCCTTCGCCCATGCCACCGTTGCCGCCTCAGAGTTCATCTCCCGCACCACCGTCCCGACGGGTACACTAACGATGACGTCCGCGCCTCGCCGTCCGTGCTTCATTTGCCCGGCGCCGTGCGAGCCTTGCTCTCCTATGAGTCGTTTGGATATGCGTGCGAGTGAAGTGAGATGTGGAGAGGTCTTTAGGTAGACGCTGCCGCCTTGACCGCCGTTCCCGCCAGACGGGATACCGAGACCCCGTTTTGATGGATGTGCTGTGAAGGCTGATGCGCCAGATCCTCCCTTGCCTGTCGATCAGCCAAGATCCACGCCTCCTGTCGTTTGGGCGCAACTCACCACCTCGTACGGTTACGATCAAGTGATCAATGAACTCGGAACCTCCCTGGCGACGCTTCGCATCCGTCTTGCGCTTCCGACGCAGCAGCTCCGCCTCCATATCTGGGAAGGAGTCGGGCTCGGCATGATAGCCCCGCCTCAGGCTGATGACCGGAGGCAAGGGCAGGCGGCACTGAGAGCACAGCGGGCGAAATGTGACTGTGGGACGCATGGTCGAGGATAAAGTGCAAACGGTCGAGGTGGGAAATGGTTTGGCCGATCTGACCGAAATTTTGGCTCTGGACGACTTGGTCTTCTGGAGCATCAAACGCGAGATTGATGCTACCCAAGATGCATTGTGATTGGTGTGTGTAGATAGCAGTAGCTACGATAAAGCTGCCAGCAAGTGTTACAAGAACTCTATGCCCACTCCGATCCCGAATCCTCTAGATAGTCGCTCCCCCTTCCGCCCAACCAGCGGCATGGCGAAGTTGACCTCTACCCGGATTGGCTCCAGTCTGCCATGGTCAGCAGTTGCTCAAGCTTGGACACGTAGACTGGGCGAGAAGCTCACCGGTACATCAGACCCAGGCCCACGCTGACATTCGGATTTCGATACACCTTCTCCGCGTTCCCGAGCCATCCCGCCGCTACATCGTCAGCGGACCCCTTTCCATGCCGTCCCAAAGCTGACTCACATCGATCATACCCCACCACCTTGCCGATATTCATGAACCCATGCAGCTTCAACGGCCAGTGCTCCTTCTTCGGTATTGGTGCGAAGACGCTCAATCCCATTCCCCAAGCCAAATCTCCGCCGAGCGAGTCGGGTCCATCCTGCGGTCCCACACCGCCGACTTTCCAGCCGCGCATCGAGTTGGGCCCGCCGAGGAATGCCCTGTCCGGGAGATAAGTGCTGGGTGGGTGGGGATGTGACGCGGAGGTGGAGTTGGGGAAGAGGGGCAGGAGGGAGGTTGTCATGGATGAGATGGAGTATCGCTGCGCGCATCAGCGACAGCTCGACGTTGGCAGGAAGGAAGGTCAGAGTGAGACTGACGATGTTGGAGCCTTCGTATAAGGCTCGAGAAAGATGAGATTGGAAGATGGTCTTGAAGAAGTGGGCATTTTGGGATGAACCAGGTAATCCAGCGTATTCCTGAATCGTCAGCTTTAGAGTTACTTCCAAACAGTAGGAATGCACTACAAAGCTCACGTTTGTCACCTTCAACAATCTGCCGGAGGTCCCCGTCCAAGGATCGTTCCTCGTATCTGTAGTCCAAGTGTGGCTAAGGGATGATTTGGTCGATGGATGCGCAAGTTCTCGAATTCTGCAGGATCAGCTCATACGTCTTGGCCAGAGCTAAAGTAGGCTTTACGCACGAGATCGACGCCTTTGGTGTAAGATGGCCAATCTCTCGCTGGATATACTCGTACGTCAAGTCGTGTATACCCCAGGGAGCTATTGCCTGACATGTCAGCCGACGCCCGGGAAAGCACACGATGACTAGGTCTGGTGAAGCTTACGCTAAGTTTCGCTCGGCCTCCTTGTGAGTACTCCCGGTGAGACGCAAAAGCGGTGTTGTCCCGGTCGAACTGGAAGCCTTGCAAAGAAAAGGAGAGCAGCGGCGATGCGAGCACGGGTGTCGTCAGGGATGCCTAAGAAAGTCAGCTCTATGAACGAGGGGAAGACACGTGGCCCAGCTCACTTGGTATGCAGATTTAGTCTTGGTGCCTAAGCTAGCATTGACCTCGAGCGTTTCTGCTCCTCCGAGAGCGTTTCGTATTCTTGCAGTGATGTTCTGGGCCATAATCAGCTTCCTCGTATCCGGCCTGACCAAAGTACTCACCCCTCCGCCTTCTCCACCACCGACCTCCGTTCCAGCCTTGAGGAACAGCCTCCCCCTCTCCCGCAGCCCCAGGACAAGCTCCACCTCGTCCAGATCTCCACCGCGTACCGGCTGCAGCTTGACGCTGGACCGCTCCATATCGTACACCCCAAACCTGTCCAGATGGGCGACGAGCGCTTTTGTCGATAGCAAGACATCATGCAAAGTTGTCTCGCCGTCCGAGGTATGGCCGAAGGATGAAGAGGATGGGGAAGACACAGGTGCTGGGCTGAGCCACTTGGGGACCCATGATGACTGCGAAGAGGATGAGGAGAGGAATGGTGAGAGCAGAGATTGGAGGAAGGAGGTACGGGAGACGGGAGGAGCGGGGGACAGGCGGATGGAAGTCAGGCGGAGAGGCCGATCCATGTTCGAGGTGACCTGGTATATTAGCAACAGGACCAAGCGTAAGCTCCAAATGGCTCACGACATCGCTCAGCCGAGCCTGAGCTTGCTGGTATTCTCCCTTCAGCCGCCGTTGGAACTCTTCCTCGTGCAGCCTTCTTTGCTCTTCTGGATCTACTGTGGACGATGAGCCTGAAGTAATCAACTATAGCCCTGAGGAGTTGTCTGATCCCTAATGCACCTGAGAATGATGACTGCGTTCTGGGTTCCTCTTTCGCCATATCCCGGCGGGAAGCTGGGATCGGCTCGGACAAACCAGGTGGACCAGGAGGAGGGCGAAACACGTTTCGAAAGATATCGCTGGATGACAGCGACTCAAGCTCGCTCGGAGGGGACGGTCTGCTCCTTGTACCTTGGCTAGGCGGTCCTGTCGGCTGCACAATTAGCTCACGGATGAAAGACCGCCCAGACATCGATCTTCGCGTGAGCTGGACACGCACCGTTCTGTCTACCTCGACCTCGACCTCCGCGATATCGACCTTGGGCGGTCCGCCTTCCGTGTTGGGATCCATTCTAGCTCGGCCCTGCTACGTTGACGAGTAGCGTCTAGGTGAAGATGATGTACAGTGGACAGTTCGAGGTAAATGTTGAAGGTGGAGGCGGTTTGAAATTTCCGCCTGGTCTCAAGCAGCCGTTCATCCACCTACTTTAGTACTTGATCTGATTCTGATCACTACCATCGAGGCAGCCTCATTAACCTAGTATAGTATCCTTATAACGCAGTCTCTAACGTCCAGCCAATTAGTGTCTCGGAATGTCGCGAATAACCGAGAATCTCCCTCCAACCAACGAGGGGTATGGAACGCAAGAGTACTGGTGAGCTCGCGGTGGACTCATTCCATCTCCCTCGCTGATAGGCCAGGGAGCAGCGGTATACCAAGTATGTTTGGGGATGTTGCATTTATCTACACTAATCTGTACTCACGGCTCAGCGAGGGCCCGACGGTGTCGTTCGACTGGTTCCTGTCGCCAGAGTACCTGCTGCCGTTCATTGAGCAGACCTTGAGAGAGGCAGGGATGGGAAAGGAAGCTCGGATACTCATGCTGGGCTGTGGCAACTCATCCTTGAGCGAGGTGGTGAGTTTTATGCGTGTTCTAAATGGCAAGATCTAATGAATAGATGTATGACGACGGGTACAGAGACGTCGTCAATGTCGATGTGCGGCTACCCAACTCCTCCAGGACGCGGTACCGAGCTGACTGTATCTGTAGTACTCGAAGGCCGTCATTGAGCAGATGAAGGAACGGCATAAATCTCGGGTCGGCATGGAATGGCTGGAGATGGATGTGCTGGAACTGCAATTTGAGGAGGAGTTCGACCTGGTCATCGATAAAGGTGAGTCCCTGCCGAAGGTTGTCTGCTTGAACGATAGAGCTGACTTTCAGGGACAATGGAGTAGGCTGACTGGTCCTCTTGAGGCTGAGACCCTTGCTGACGAGTCAGCGCAATGTTGACAACAAAGGGGGATCCTTGGGTAAGACCCGTCGCGTCTGGTCAGGGAGTTCGTGCTAATAGCTGCAGAATCCACCAGAAAAGGACATAAAGACTTGTACGCAGGAGATCACTGAGGCGATACGGTATGTCGTACCTGATCATCGAGTATGTTATTGCTGATTAGCAGGGTCATGAGGAAGCGGCCAAGCTCCCGGTTCCTGTAGTTAGTGACCATGCTACCAGTGTTAGGTACTCGAGCTGATTATCAAGTTTCACCTTCGGCCAGCCTCACTTCAGGGAAAGGTTCGTCCCTAGCAAATGAGGTCCCAACCTCGCGTCAAAGCTGATCTCTACAGGTATATGCAAGACCGGCCGAACTGGACATTATCGCATAAAGAGGTCGGCCCGCCCGAAGGGTTCGCGTACTTTATGTACACCCTCGCTTACACCCCATGACATGTCAATAGGGCGGGAGGATGCCGGAGGCCAGGCTATCAACTGACGTCTACTCGCAAACGCCCTTGGCGGAGAACGATGACTCGTCACGGACGCATTATCAAAGACCCTGATCGAAAAGCCTCCATCCTTATTCAGAGTCGCCGCTCGTTCCATGCTCTCATGACTAACGAGTACTGATGGACACGGGACGGCTGTGATACGGTATCGCACAATCCGCGTTTCCTACGCCCAACCCACAAGCTATCCCCGTAATTTCGAGCCACATCGGATTCAAACCGGTAAAAATTGATGCGCCACCCAGCAGCCGCTTCTGGCCAGGGTATCTCTCAGGCGAGGCAACCTCCTTTGACACCCTTTGTCGATAGGTATCGCAACGCAAAGAGGCAACCGGATCTGTCACCCCACCCCAAATGCGTCCCTCAACCACAGGTGCCTGTTTTGGCCAGAAGACCCTTTCATGTGAAGCCCCTTCGCCACTCTTGCTTGCGATGTCTCAAATCTTAGAGCGACAGGGGACAGCTTGATGTCAAAGCTGTGGGGAGGTTTTGACTTTGCCTCTTTACATATATCTCGCGACTTACCTTCATATCCATCGCTCGCTTGTCATGGACAGTAACAGTACGCGCACTGACACCGGGGCCTCGAGCATCTCCGCCCCGAGCAACACAGAGTCCGAGGCTCATGAGGTATCTCACATCAGTATGACAGCGAGGGGCTGGCGGCTGATTATCCAGGCGTCCCTGCGACCCTTCCGCCTGATGGACCTTCCGTCAGAGCTGCGAGTACTCATCATGACCGATGGTACGCTCTCACGCTCTCAACAGAACATCGGGCGCTGGGTAGACAAAACCTGCCGAGCAGAGCTTGATGCGTGGACCACGCGCAATCTCAAGAATTCGGTCAGGGTCATGACGTCTACCGCTTCAGTCGGTCTCTTACAATCGTTTCTCAGTGTCTTACGTTCGTTTGGCCCTCTGCCTACATACCTCAAGCGGATTGAGATCGGTATCACCTACAGCAATGCGATATGCTGTGACTGCTGCTCCGAAGGTACCGTGCCTGCCGGTTTTCACGCGAACACCGATGTCGAACGCCAGACCGACGCGGCCGCTGCCCGCCAAGCTCTCTGCACATTACTGCTGGATACTAAGATTGGCGCACTCGTATTGCGCTTCGTCAATACATCCGGTCAGCCGTGTTCCCCCGCCGGCGCATTTCTCAACTGCAAACTTTCCTCACTCAAGGCCAATACCACAATTTTGACCTCGTCGGACAACGAAGATCTACCGTACAGCATATTCGCGATGATGGAACAAGATGAACATGAGATCGACGGTGATGGTGAGGTCTGGGAGGTGGTAAAGGCGCGGCTGGGGGCGTTGGCGGATACGCCCAACGCACTTTCCCATTTGACGGATATCTTCGCGGGGCGCCGGCTGCTGGTCGAGTCAGACGAGAACCGCTTGCTCCACACGACACTCGTGACACCCACATCTGCGAACGTCACGCAGAGTATGGTCGACGTCGCCTTCCACGGCAGCGCCGATCGTATGACCGCGAGTCGGAGTGCTGGGGAATGCCGCCTGCTGGGATTGTGAACGCCCACTACAGTCGTATTTCCCTGGATGATTTCAATTCTACCGAAGATGGCAAGCGGTTTTGGAAGCTGAACGAGGCGCTGTGACGTGTACTGTTGTATCCGACCGCGCGCATGAAGGAACCTGGGAGATCATCTGCGTGGGAAAGATGCCGAGTGCGAATGCAGTTTGTTGTCTTTCAAGCTTCCAGCTGCAGGATTCGTTATTCGTTGGCTGAGACACACCGCTGCGACTTTCGTGAGCGCGGTTACCGTGGATGACCTTCGTGATGTGTATCATGAGGCATTAGGCCGCAACCGGTGGACCAGCCGCACAACAGCCGCCACTTGTGCATACGCCACACCGACATGAGGCTCCTGGCCTCCAGGTCTCAGAACGAGGAATGTGTCGGTGACGGCATGGCTCGCGGGGTAACCGGTCCGGGCCGGGGGTCCCCCGCTCCCCCACAGCATCGCGAGTCGGCTGTAGCTTCAGCGTTGTCTCTGTACTTGTCGTGCTGTATACAGGCGATCCAGCACATCTTTGTTCTGTAACATGATGTTGGAGGTTATCTGGGCGAGAGAAGTCGCGTTCAGTAAGCGCTCGACGCGTCTTTTGAATCGTGAGTCTCGGCTCCGATCGTGATCGGCCCCTTCAGCGCGCTCGTCCTGGTCATTTGCCTTGACGAGACGGTGTCTGTGGGGAACGTAGCCGACTGTCTCAAGCAGAGAATCGCCATAGAATTGTGGATTGATCATGAGTCGCGGTGACCGTTACTGACTTCTGCAGGCTTCTCCCGCTCCTTCGCTTCATCCACCCGTTCCAACAATGCTGCTCCTCCTCCAAAGGCCACCCCAGCTCCAGCCGGAATACCTTACGCGAACCTAACCGTCGGTGTACCTCGCGAGACGTACCCCTCCGAGAGACGCGTCGCAGTTTCGCCGACGGGCGTGCAGACCCTCCTGAAGAAGGGCTTCTCCCGCGTCCTCGTCTCGCCTGGTGCCGGAGTCGAGGCGTCATTCCGGGACGAAGACTATGTACGCGCAGGCGCTACGCTCTCAGACAATCCGATCGCCGAAGCCGACATCGTACTCAAAGTCCGACCTCCCTCGGCCGATAATGCGGAGATCACGGGCATGAAGGAGGGGTCTACTCTGATCTCGTTCCTCTACCCCGCCCAGAACAAGAGCCTCGTCTCGGCGCTTCAAGAGCGGGGCGTCACATCCTTCGCGATGGACCAGATCCCTCGGATATCTCGGGCACAGGTCTTCGACGCGCTCTCGTCCATGGCCAATACTGCCGGATATCGAGCGGTCCTCGAGGCGTCCAACAATTTTGGCCGTTTCCTCACCGGCCAGATTACAGCGGCGGGGAAGATCCCACCGGGGAGGGTTCTGGTAATCGGTGCTGGAGTCGCGGGACTCAGTGCCATCACCACGGCAAAGCGGATGGGAGCGATTGTGAGGGGATTTGATACCCGGCCGGCCGCCAAGGAACAGGTGGAGAGTCTTGGCGCGGAGTTTTTAACAGTGGAGATGGAGGAGGATGGAAGTGGGGCTGGAGGGTACGCGAAGGAGATGAGTAAGGTGCGTACCACCCCCTCCGCACACTGTATACGGTCCGGGCGGATGGGCCCAGGATGACTCAAGGTCACGGACGATAGCTGATCTTTTAGGAATTCATAGACGCAGAGATGGCTCTCCTCTTGCAGCAGAGTAAAGAAGTGGACATCATCATCACCACAGCACTCATACGTCAGCTTCCTGACATCTTCCTGACATCTTTCGGAGACTCGGGAGGGTGTAGCAGCTGACGTCCTTCAGCTGGCCGGCCCGCACCCAAGCTCATTCTGAAATCGCACGTCGAGGCGATGAAGCGTAAGCCATCTTTACATGGGTCAAGCAGAAGATACAAGTCCGCTGATCTGCTCCAGCTGGATCCGTCATTGTCGATCTTGCGGCAGAAGCTGGTACGTCGACTACCAGGGCCACTCATGACTGAGTTGCGAGACGTTGACACTTCCAGGCGGAAACTGCGAGCTGACTGTTCCCGGCGAGAAGGTCGTTCACAACGGTGTGACCATCTTGGGCTATACAGTGAGCTTCAATCCTCCCTGTATAGCCAGGCCGATAGCTGACTTTGAAGGATCTTCCGTCCCGGCTTCCCACTCAGTCCAGTACACTCTATTCTAACAATATCACCAAGGTGAGCTTCCATCAATGCCGCACCACTTGCTCGCTGATGGATACCAGTTCCTACTATCTATCGGCGATCAGAACCGATTCAATATCAACCTAGAAGACGAAGTCGTCCGCCGGTCCATCGTTACCCACAAGGGGGATATGATGTGGCCTGCGCCCGCTGCGCCCGTCTCAGCCATCCCTGCAGCTCCAGCCATGTCTGCGCCGGTAAGCCTGCCCACCTCGAACGGACAGGACCTAGCTGAAGTGGTAGCCATCGAAGAAAGAAGAGGCTGTCAAAGCTCCACTGACGCCCTGGCAAGACTCGGTCCGCTCGGTCTCGCTCACGACAGCCGGCATGGGCTCTGCGCTGGCCCTCGGGAAGCTCACCGCACCGGCCTTTATGAACCTCTTCACGGTATTGGGTCTGGCTGGAATAGTCGGATTCAGAGCAGTCTGGAGTGTTTCTCCGGCTCTCCACTCGCCCTTGATGTGTGAGCCAGCTATCCGAGACTCTCATTGACCTACATGAGATGCCCAGCTGATGAACGCAGCTGTGACCAACGCGCTCTCTGGTCTTGTCGGGGTTGGTGGTCTCTTTGTCATGGGCGGGGGATACGTACCGCACACGATCCCGCAATTCTTAGGCGCAGCTAGCGTGTTCCTCGCCAACCTGAGTGAGCTCTGTAGGACCATATTGTTCCATGATGCAAGCTGACACACCAGACATCTTTGGCGGCTTTCTCATCACCAAGCGCATGCTCGACCTCTTCCGCCGACCGACAGACCCGCCAGAGTACTCGTACCTTTACGCCATCCCCGCCGCGCTCTTTACTGGCGCATTCGTCTGGGCGGCTAGCTCTGGGTTGGGCGGTATGGTCCAAGCTGGATACTTTATCAGTACCATGCTAAGTATCGGTGCATTGACTGGTTTAGCTTCTCAGGTACGACTCACTCATTCTGCCTGTCTCCCACCAGCAAGATGATGTCCGGCTGACCAGGTAGACCACAGCACGCGTCGGCAACTCCCTCGGTATCCTCGGCGTCTTTGTCGGTGTCCTCGCAACGCTCCTCGCTGTCGGATTCACTCAAGAGCAGATGGTACAATGCGGCGCAGTCATCGCACTCGGAGGCGGACTCGGGCTGGCTATCGGTCGGCGTGTCAGTCCAATGCAGCTCCCGCAGACTGTCGCAGCGCTGCACTCGGTCGTCGGGCTCGCGGCGGTCATGACGTCTGCTGCGAGCGTCCTGGGGGCATATGATGGCAATCACGGAAAGGCGGAAGATGGGCATGGAGGTGGTGGGCAGGGCGCGGAGGTGGTTGAGGAAGGAAAAGGGCATGGGCTGGGAGGTCTGCATTTGACTACGGCTTACCTTGGAGTCTTAATTGGCGGCATCACCTTTACGGGTAAGTCTCATCGTTTCGAAACCAGTCAGATGAGCTAATAAGGCAGGATCCATCCTTGCCTTCCTCAAGCTGGCCGGCCGAATGTCCTCCCGCCCCCTCGTCCTTCCAGGTCGACATTACATAAATGGCGGTCTGCTCGCGGCCAATATTGGCTGCATGGCCGGCTTCATCACCATGGCGCCAACCGCACCTGTCATTGGCGCTTCACTCCTAGCCGCCAATGCCGCCCTGTCATTCGCTAAAGGCTGGACGACATCAGCTGCGATCGGAGGAGCGGACATGCCGGTGCTGGTCACCGTACTGAACGCGTATTCTGGATTTGCGCTTGTCGCGGAGGGGTTCATGCTGGACAATCTGTTGTTGACTAGTGTGGGGAGTCTGATTGCGGCGAGTGGGAGTATCTTGTCTTATGTCATGGTGAGTCCAAGGTGGAGGGTGTACTCCATCCCGAAATGGGATCTTTAGCTGATCCATCAGTGCCGGGCCATGAATAGATCTCTAACAAACGTCATCTTTGGTGGTATCGCTCAAACCGCCGCTGCGGACGGTGAGCTACTTGGTTTTCTCTGCGGGATCGGCACTGGCCAAGAGCTGACGCAAAGCAGATAAAACTAAGGGGTTGTCAGTCGCGCGAACAACAATTGAAGACGTTGTCGAGCAGCTCAGCCAAGCCGAGAATGTCATCATCGTCAGTATTCGGTATTCTCACTTTGTGACCGAGCTGATGGACTAGGTACCTGGGTACGGTATGGCAGTCGCCAAAGCCCAGTATGCTATCAGCGAGATGATCTCCACTCTTCGATCCAAGGGTATTAATTGCCGCTTCGGTATTCACCCCGTCGCTGGGCGTATGCCGGGGCAGTGCAATGTCCTCCTAGCGGAAGCTGGAGTGCCCTACGATGGTCAGTCCTGTGGTTTACCGAGGTCAAATCTCGGCTGATGTGGTAGTGGTTCTTGAGATGGACGAGATCAACTCCGACTTTAGCACAACTGACCTCGTGCTCGTCATTGGCGCCAACGATACCGTCAACCCCATAGCCCTGGAGGCTGGATCAGCGATCGCAGGTATGCCGGTGCTTGAGGTCTGGAAGGCGAGGGGAGTGGTTGTAATGAAGAGGGGTATGGCGGCCGGTGAGCTTTTGCAATGTCTCCTCTCATGTCAGAACAGAAGCTGACAGAGCTAGGTTACGCGGAGGTCCCAAACCCGCTCTTCTACTACCAGAATACCAAGATGCTGTTCGGAGACGCGAAGGGGACTTGCGAAGCCCTCAGCGCGGGTCTGAAGGCGATGAAGAACGATTAAGGGCTGTGTATATGGGCAGGGGAGGCCTAAGGAGCGAAGCGATCAGAAGTCAGAATCAAGCTGTAAGGCACGTTGGGATCTCGCTGTCCGAGCATCTTTCGGTGATCTTCGAGGTGTGTAGTTAGGTTGTACCGATACGTTGCCGATTGTTGTCGATACATTCACCCTCCAGGTCTATCGTGTTGCAGCTGATGAGTGCCTGCACAGCGGTAAGGCCAGAGCTACAGCGGAAGATGAGCAAGCAGAAACCTCGTACTCGAGGAATGGTGATAGTGATACATGATGATTCTGCTACTTCTCTACTTCATTTGTTCTGTAGCATCAGCACCCCGTCTGTTCACGAGCCAGAGTTGACATACCTGCGTTGTGCTCCGCGAATCTTGCTCCTACCCGCTCCGAGTGCTTCAAGAACTTGTCGGTGCAGTTCTGGACGCATGTCTTCTGCAGATCACCGTCAGCCAAGCCTCCAGGACAGCGGAGGAGGAGGAAAGGCTCACCTCATTTGTGCTGAGCGCTTTGCTAGTGAAATCCTGGGCGCAGGCGTTGAAGCACCGCTCGACCATCCCCGAATAGAGCTTCATGAAGTCTTGCATCTGGCAGAATCAGCGGAGTCCCTCTGATGTCTCTCGTCAGGCACCCCGTCGTAAGATCGTACTATCCTCCTTCCCCACCTTCATCTGGGTCGCAAAAAGAACCACGCTCGTTGGCTATACTGACCTGCTTCTTCTCGATCAAACGGGTCATCTGCGCCTGCTCGGCTCCGTTAAACTGTGAGAAATCCATCTTTCGAGATGATTCTTTTCGGGTGGATCGATGAGGTGGCTTATCAAGCCGACGGCGAGGGAGCGGATTAAGACTGAGATGTAGCTGGTATAGGTGTAGATGAGGTATAAGATGTCAATGCAAGAGAGGTATGGTTTTGCCTCCCATCGTTGGCTCTGACATTTTTGGTCCCGCCTCCACTTTGACGACCGCCCTCGCGCATTGACCTTGTTGGCGCACACATATCTCGCTTGCTACCATACATATACCTCTACTTCAACATTACAGTCAGAGCCTTACGCGATGCCTCCCAAACCAGTCACTCAGGCAGCTCGGCGCGGGAAACGAGTCATAGCGTCGCCCACACCGTCGTCGCGCGAATCCGAAGGCGAGGATGAGTTGGAGTCTGAGGAGGAGGATGTGGTCCCGTCGCGAGTCAAAGGCAAGGGGAAAGCAGTACCCTCCACACGTAAGCTTGGCGAGTCTCCTGCACGGTGTGCGCAAGCTGACAGGGAGCAGGCTCTTCGGCGGCAGCTTCTGACGACATGGATATTGATGAAGATGAGCAAGACTCAGGGAACGACGAGCTGGACGTTATTGACGACGACGAGAGTATGGACGAAGGAGAAGAGGAGATGGAGGAGGACGATGATGAGGAGTATGAGGAGGAAGCGGAGACGGTACCTCCGCCTCGGGTGGTACCAACAGCTCGGAAAACTTCAAATCAAAATCGAGGACCTCCCGCACCCGTGCTCGCAACACCTCCTCCACCGGTATCCGCTCAGCCGAAGAGCGGCCTGCGGATACGGCTGAATATCTCAAAGCCCAGTCCGCTAGGCGCGGGCGCTGCTCAGGCGTCTGGGAGCGGAGGCAAGAGACCGGCGAGAGAAGCAGCCAAGAAGGCTGGGAAGCGGACCAAGGTCGTCGCGATGGAGGCGGAGCTGGGTGAGTGGCTGAGACCAGTCACAAGGGTAGATCGCGAGCTAATCTATAGGCTCGGATCAAGACCCGTCATCCGAAGAGGAAGACCAACTGGCGGAAGAGGACGAGCTCGACGAGGATGAGCCCGATGCCGACCCAGAAGAGGACTTCGAGATGGACCACGGTGCACCCAGCCGAGCTCGGTCAGATGGGACATCGTCACGCGCAGCCTCGCCGAGCAAAATGACGGCGCGGCAGAGGGCGAAGGGGGATGCGGATCTACAGGGGGGTCTAATGGCTCTTCCAAGCGGTATGTCCTTGTAAAACGTCTGTTCGGCTATCTGAGAGGCACAAATGGCGTCAGTGACTTCGGCTTGAGCTCGTGCTGACGATTTACAGAAGGATCGGGGGCCAAGAAGCTCATTCTGACCGAGGCCGAGCGTGTCGAGCGACGAGAAGAGATGGCCCGACGGCGCAAGAGGCAGACTGATCAAAGAAAGCAGGATGAGCAGGTGAGCCAGCTGACCCTTCAGAAATGGACCACAGCTCACGCTACAGGATGAAACAATCAACCGTCTTCTCCGCGCTCAGACCGGCCGGAGCAGAAACAAGATCGAAGCGCCAGAAGGAGGAGAAGACACGTCTGGAGCGGCCGCTGGAGCAGCAGATGGGAGTGCGAGAGACAGAGGCAGGGGAGGAGCTGCTGGTCCGAAGGAAGGGATGATCAGATGGGTCAGCACCCTCGTCTCCTCGACGGACGGGGGCGGAGCGAGGAGTGGAGAGGTGGTATGCCGAGTAGGGGTCCCGAGGGGCATGGCGTCGGAGTCGGAGATATTGGGCATGGGGAGGAGTCAGGGAGGGACCAAGCAGAAGCAAGATGCGCGAAGATGTGCTGTGGAGGGGTGTAAGAACGGGAGAAAATACAGGAGTACGAAGAAGTTTGAGGTGGGCGGGTGTAGTATGGAGCATCTCAAGCGGGTCAATGAGAGTCTGGGGATGGTGTAGGTAGCGAGAGCGGGACAGCTCAGTAGATCCTCCGTGTTGTATATAGTATGGTACCGCAACAGTGAGCCTAAGGTTGAGGCCAAGGTCAACGCACCGGAATTAATCGAACGGGCTGACATCTCCCCAAGATTTGCCTCGCCGATGGATAGTCATGATCCGCCATATGTAGACGCCGAAACATGTAGCTCCAGGTGAGGTTGTTGGTCAATTCCGATTTCGAGCATCAGTTTCCCCCTGCCCCCACCGTGTGATGGATCACCCCATCCTGGCACCGAAAATATCCGCTGAATGCTGATTCAATCACTACTGCATGCCCTAAAAACCTCCAACTCCCTGCGCTCAAGCCGTCTTCTCCGCAGCCTTGGTCTTGGACTCCATGGCGGCAGCGACGGCGGGGTTGATCCTCTGATCTCGTCAGCAGTGTCACCAGTCAAGACAAAGGAGGGTAGCTCACCTTGCCGTCTCGGAAGATAGCACGGGGAGGGGGGGCACGGTTCTTTCGGGAGTTGATAGCTCCGGGCTTGCCTGAACGAACACGGACGACTGGATACGTTAGCGATTGCTTCAAAGTAATCTTCATCCACTTCAACAATCCCTACACTGATCCATCAAATTTGGGCAGCAATACTCTCCGTCCCAAAAGCCCTAAACTTCCGCCCTTACTTCGCCCGTGGTCGATGAGAAATCAGACTCACTCTTGGCGTGGATAGCACACGAGATGCAGTATGCCAACCGGACGTAGAGCTTGGGGAGAGCGTACTCCTGGTAGACGGACGCCTCGGACAAGTCACGGACGGCAGCAGCCTCGACCATGTTCTTCACGGAAAACCGCTTGATGGCCTTGTCCTGAGATGTTAGTGAGACGTCCATAAAGTAGTCGCCATGAACCCCTCCCGCCATCAACCCCTTTACCGCCGAAATACGCCAAATTCCACCAAATTCCGCTCCTCAGCAACCCTCCAATTCCCATCGATCCCTTACAGCCCAACGGTGTCGGTACACCTTCCCCTATCATCCCCTGGCTTGATCCGGCCCTCCAACAGCGTTTCGGTGGTGATTTGCGTATCTCGGCTCCTAGGGCACCCCCAGACGCAAACTCACTTTGGGAACACAGCGCGAGCAGTTAGAGCATCGCACGTTCCGGACGTGGCCTCGTCCCTTCTGGTTCCTGCCGTTTCCGCGTCTCTTCTTACTCATGATTGTATAGGAATTCTAACCGTTTGTATAGGGTAGAATGGTGGAGAGCTGAGAACAGGCTTCAGTTTGGCTGTAGGCGCGAGTTGCGAAATGATCCGCCTTCCGTTGGAGCTGTACTTCGCCGAGTATTGCCGCAGTTTCTTGTGGCGCCGTGGCAGCCGTTGTCCGTGCGTAATTGCGCGCAGATTTGCTGTTCGTCGTTTTGGTTTCGTATGCATGTGAGTCAAGGGGGCGATGGACTCGAGCTTGATCGTCCTTCGCAGACCTGCTTGTTGACTGCTGGGCCTGTTGAGGTTGATGAGTGCTTGTGGAGAGGACATTTATCAGTACACTGTTAGCGAATGAGTATACATCGGGGCCTCGAAAGGAGCGGCGGGCCGAGGCGCGCGAGCTACAAGGCCCCCTTCCAGCGGACGGTCTCAGGTAGGGCGTTCTCGCTTCGGTGACGTTCATCGATGACAGCGGATGCATAGGTTGATAGCTCGGTCTCGGCGCAAACCCCGTATGGCTAGTCTCGCGGCACTGATGACTGGCACCTCGATCTGAGACGTGAGCGAGTATCGACCTACCGTCTATGATCGTACTCACCTGATTCCCGATTGCTTCCCTGCATCGGAGGGGCGACTAACATATCTTAAAGCTGACTTACGTGGACTGATGTGGAGTCAGCTGCGCTCTGCCGCGGAAGGGCCCGAAGCCATCATATTAATCAAGACTCACTCCTTGTTGCTCATCACAAGCCTGCCCTGGCAGTGTCCATCAAGCCCTGCTTCTTGTGCAGTGGTCGAACCGATAGAGACGAGGCACGCCTACGTACGCGCTTCACGCAGCAGAAGCCTCCGCCTGAGACTGCTTCCGGCTGTTCGACCGGTCCCGGCCTAATTCGACCTACGCTCCACCATGTCCGTCGCTCCTCAACGAATCCTGCTTTAAGGTCGACGGGAGTCATGCCAGAATGAGGGATTGACAGAGATTTGGGTAGGAGGGGATGGCTGTGCGGTGTAGAAGTAAGCGCCGGCCGACGTGTTTCCTGGAATTCGGCCGGGGATGGTCCCATACTGATGAACGGGTCGATGGGATGATCGGTAGCGGCTCGAGATGCTCGTCCATGTCTCGGACGTATCTCTCCGTTGAGGAGACTGCATGGCCACGAGGCTGACGAGGCTGTACTATCAGATAGACGCTCACAGCTGTACTCACGCAGACGAGAAGGACGACGATGTGAAGGGCGAGACCTACGTCCACCCGGTCGATAGACTCGTCTCGAGCTCATCTACCGGAGGCGATGGTCCTTCCCTCATCGCTCGAGCGGACATCTTTGCCGGGGATAAGAGATTCCTCGAAACCAACATACTAGAAGACCCGGCATCTACGGTGTCGGTCATCTAGCTATCAGCTTAATCACCGCAATGAACTCACCCAGCAGCTTCTCCATTACTGCAGACGTCCCTGCCTTTCCTTGTCCAAGCAAGCATGCTGAAGCAAGCACGTCTGCAGAATCAATCCGTCCTACTCAGGTGAGGCAGATCGTCTTCGTTTATGATGGGCATACGGATGGTCTCTTTACTGCACGTGTCAGCTTGAACGTGTAGCGTGAAGGATGAAGCTCACCAGGCATGGGGTCGAGGCGGAGCGCGCGTAGGGGGCGTAGCCTGTGCAGATGTGAGAGCGGTTGCCGCAGCGGACCTGGGAGATATTGAGGATGAGGAGTCTCGGGAGCTCCAGAATCAGACATTCTTTCGGGCCGTTGTTGAGTGTATGTCGTCGTGAGGATTGAAGATCGAGACGCCCCGGCCATTGACGCCGACCGGGATACTACCGCAGAGGCGAGGGCTGCGGACTCCCCGAGCGATAGCCCGATACGTTCCTAAGGTGGTATAGAGGCGATTACGGTCTCCCTCGCTTCCCTTCCTCTAGCTCGGACCGAGTCTCTGCGATGATGGTAGAAGGCCACTTCCGGTGTGGAGGACTGCACTCTCCCGGCGCAGCACCTTCCACAGCAGGATGAGCAGCTCCTCCTCTCCCTCACGCCTGTGCAATCGTCAGCCCCATCATCACCAAGAACCTGAGGCGCAGGTATCGCCCTCTGAATCCGGACTCACCTGGCTGGGTCAGACATCCCAGTGTCCTAATCTGTTCCCTGCGGCTACCCCAGCTCCTTCCCATCTCGGTTGACCTGCGTCGCTCAGCGGAGGATGGAGGCCGAGAATCGTCGTGATTGTACCCTCTCCTCTAATTGCCGCTAGGGGTCTCGCGCCAATCCGCTCCAGGTGTGCGTATCATAGACGCCGGTGGGCTCACGGTGTCTAATCCGGTGGATCCAGGGGGGACGACGTCAAAGATGACTCGAGCTTTGTCTGGAAGCGTCCGGAGGGGTGGGTGATCAGGATTCGGTGGGAGTGTGTAGGGATCGAGGAAGGTGCTTGGGTAGTGGACTGGCGGGGTGGGGCGAAAGAGAAGTAAGAGTGTAAAGCACAGGCAGAGGAAGAGGAAGAGGGGCAAAGTAAAGAGAACAAGGGAGAGAGTAGAGGGGAAGGAGACGAGGAGAGGAAGGGACGAGGGAGGATGATTGTTTGCGCTGCACGTCAGCGAAGTAGACGAGCTGTTGACGAAATCAAGGAAGGTCGTGATGTCCAGTGGGAAAGCGGCGTTCTACTCACACTGATCTCCCATACTGGCTACATAACAATGTAGGCCGAATACAGGGTCGAAGTACGAACGAGAAAGAGATCTCGCGTCGCCGAGACATGAGACCGAGCTGGACGAGGAATGTGGAGGCACAGAGTCTCGGAGATAATGTATGTCCGTGGCTCTAGGAACACACGCTAAGCTCGGTCGGCAGCCTGCGCAAGCCAGCGTCCGGATGGAGGAGTGCTGACCATAGCCTAGCTGTTGCATTCACTACGCTACGCGATACAAACTTACAGTATCCGACAATTTTACCTACAAGCTTAGATATCAAATCAAAGCTACTGTCCCTGCTATCCCCGTCGCCCCTCTCTTCCACGCCTTGTACGTCTTGAACTCTAGCTTCGCCTGAGCCTCCCCTTCTATATGCCACGGGGTCATAGTGGTATAGTGCGTAGCAGCGGCTTGACGCACAGCCGCCTGGTATTCCTCCATATTGTTTTTCGCCTCTGCGATCCCCACCAGTCCCACCAGCATGTAGGTCGCCGCGGCCCGCAAGGGGAGGATGGGGAGAGCCAAGGCGTTCTGTGTAAGAGGAGTAGGCTGACCGACTGCGCCTGGCAGGGTGGCTGCGTGGTGCTCTGTCTGCCAGTCTCCAGCATCCGATGGGGCGAGGCCGATGGTGACTCGGTCCCAGGTCAATTTGTTCCGGGGTGTTATCGCGCGCAGGCCAAAGTGATTCCCGCTTCCGAAGATGAGGGTGAGGTAACGCATCGTCTTTTGTGGGTTGAGGACGAGTGCGGCCTGGGTCATGAGGTTGCAGAGGTCGACGTTGGAGGAGGGGGGTACGCGGAGGACGAGGTGCTCTGAGGGAAGGCAATCTGCGATGACCATGATGTGGCGTATTATCTTGGACTGGGTATGTTTGGCCCAGTCCCAATCGCCTTCCGGTCTGATGGCCACGTTGTCGAGCTGGCCGGCATCCGCTGCCAGGCCTGAAGCAGCCTCGCCCTCTCCCGACGTGCCCTTCTTCGCTTTCCCCTTCTTCTTCTTCACCACCTCCACCTTTCGCACTACCACATCGCCGTTCCCATCCCACATGGCAGGACCACCCGGACTGCTCGGTGCCACCTGGATGATCGTCACCGTCCTTGATGTGTTCGAGTTGCCTGGCCCAGAGGGTCGGATCGGCGATGGTGATGATCTGACAGTTGTCGAGATCATGCGACCGGAATAGCGAGTCCATCCGGTCGAAGATGCGAGACTGGAGATATTCCAAGTCTTTCCCCTTGAGGGACGGCGCATCGCACCAGCTAGAGTGGAATATTGGCCAATCGACGGGGTTGACAAAGCCGAGAGGGGCTAAGGGAGGGTGAAGTGGATCGACGAGCCGGGTGGGGTAAAGCGTGCGGAGGAGGAGGTTTCGTGACCACTTGGACAAGCGCAAAAGTCGTGCGTTTGCGTCCCGGCCACCGAAGCTGACGATGGTCTGCAGGACGTGCGGGTAGGACATCACGTCCAGTAACACCGGCCCGGTCTTTGGCTCCTCCTTCCCGCCCACGTGCAGTGCATGCAGTGCCTCCTCCTCCCTGACCACCTCGTCCCCCCCCTTTGCAGTAAAAGGGGGATCCTCCTTGTCCTGTCCCTTTTCCCGCGTTTCCGCCTTGGTCCCTGGAGGGGGGAATCTCGCTATCAGCCCCTCGAGGTAGTCCGGAATATCCGCCAAAGGGTCGTCGCTGCCATCGCATTGGGTCCGAATGACGTCAAGTGACCGCGCTAACTTGCGCTCGTTGATGGGAGGAGGAGGGAGAGGGTGTTTGGCGAGGAGGGTGTGGATGTGCGCCGGGAGGTAACTCAGCGCGTCGCTGTTTTCGGGAGACGAGCAGTAGGCGTTGATGGCTGCGTGCAGGCCATCGAGCTTGGCGGCGTAGTACTTAATGACGGGAGGTGTCGACATGGCGCTTGCAGCATTTGGCACAGGACGATGTGCAAACGCAACAGCGCGGAATCGCGGATGTCGGAGGCAAAGAGGAGGGAGAGCCGGAGGAATGCGGAGCTCGGAGCTACAAAACCCACGTTCGCGACTTCGTGCTCTTGCTCCGGGTTCACAATATTTGGCATGATGATACAAGACATCAGGCGCTCCCATCTCCCATATACCGAGCGACCACTGCCCTACCCTCCAGCCCTTTCGCTGTGACAACCTGCACATCGCCCGGGAAAAGGTCTATACCCTGATCGCTCCACTTGACCTCCCCCTCCGCCCCCTTCGTGTCCAGCACGACCCCCTTGATCGGCCGCTGGCACTCCAGCGTGACCTTCTCGCCGTCCACCGTGATCTTCAGCCCCACGTCTTTCGGGAAGATGAGGAACTTCCAGGGTTCGGGCCAGTTGGCATATCGCGCCAAGACCTCGTTGGTCTCGGGATCGAGAAGACGGGTTTGGACGACGATAGGTTTGGGCGTCTGGGATAGCGATGTTCGAGTAGGCTGACCTGGGACGAGGAGAGTCTTCATCTCGGTGGACGAGTTGGGGTCGAGGGTGACGGAGTGGGACCACCGGCCCGTCTCGCCCTGGTGCAAGTCGAACGCTACGAGCTCGACTTTGACGGCTTTGGGCGAGAGGGTCGAATTGCATCCCCATAGTTGGAGCTGAGAATCAGATTCTGATCGTCATTGTACTCACCTCTTGATCGATTTCACAGAATGCCTCAGTCTTTTCATCCTTCATCTTCTTGATATCCTTTCTCGTCATCTGGGTTCATCAGCACTGCCCTTCTCGTTTCAAAGCGCCACTCACGCCGACAGTGTACGGCCTTAGCTCTCTTGCGATGGAGTAGAAAGCAGGTCTGAGCAGTCAGCTCTAATCCGACGCATGGCAGCCCTAAACTCACTTTGGCCTTAGATAGTAGTCCACTATCGCCCAGCTGACGCACGGCCAGCAGTCATCTAGCTGCCAGACCAGCGCTCCAGCTGTGTACTCGCGCCCCTTACCCCTCCAGTCCCGCCTCCAAAGTCGATAAGCCGCAGCGAGACACTCGGCCTGCATGATCTGGGTATAGTAGATGTAGCTCGGCATGTCGAAGGCGTGGCGCATATTCTCCATGAGGTACAGCTCGAGACGACGTTCAAAGCCATCCTAGAGTGTCAGCTATGCGCACTGCGGGGGAAGCTTGCCAGCTCACCGCCTTGTTGTGGTTCGCAGAGACGCGAGACTGAGGGAACAGCTGAGCCGGATCATCATCCCATCCCTTGACGGTCCGGATGTCTGGGTAGCCCTGCATCCCAAACTCCCTGATCGGTCAGCTTGTGTTCCTCGACCGCTTTCCTGCGCTCTTACGGGATCAGGGAAGCTCACGAGACGAATCGGCCTCCCAGCTTGTCCCAATTCGCCCAAGGCTCTTGACTACCATGCCAGACGTTCCATTGATGGATGTCCCCGACCGTCTTGTCTTTACTGTCTTTCCCGCCATATGGACTGCCGCGGTGATAGAAGATGGTCGAAAGCCGACCGACCACCTCGGGCAGGAGGACTTCGTAGATGTGGCGGCTGAAACATAAGCAACAAATCAGACAAGGAAAGCCTCAGGAATGGCAGTAGAACGCAAACGACTTACGCTGGGAACGCCGTGTTCATGTAGTCCCCTGACTCGTCCGAGTAGTCCATCACCTTCTCCGCTTCCGCAACCTGGTAGTCTTCGTTGTTGCCAGCAAAGATGACCACAGAGGGGTGATTTCGTAGCCGCCGTACGACCGACTCGGCTTCGGTCTTGATGTTGTCGTTGATCTTGGGGTAGGAAGGATACTGCTGCTCAGCTGTGGTAAGGGACTACATACGTGTGATCTTACCAGACCACAGCCGAACATCATGTCTTGCCAGATCACGAGGCCACGCTCGTCGCAGGCGCTGTGGATCAGCAGTGGTCCTACAAGCCGGCCGGGGTATCATAGCTCACTCGTACAGCGCCTCATCCTCGTATATCCCTCCAGCCCAAATCCGAAGCATGTTCTGGTTCCCCTCAACCTGCTGATCAGCCGGGTACACTAGCCGACAAGCCTGATCCAGAAGAGCAAGGACTCACCATCAAGTCCATCCAGCGCCTGTAGCGATCACCCTCCATCTCGGTAAGGAATGAGTCGCCCGGGATCCAGTTGCTTCCACCGCAGAACACCCGGACCCCGTTAACTTCGAATAGGAAGCTCGTCCCTTCCTGGTCGATGAGAGGCTCTTGTACGACACGAACATGGCGGAAGGCTACTCGCGTAGTGGAAGATAGCAGCTCCTTGCCGTCCTGCAATATCAGCGGTGATCCCGACATGGGCCGAAAGGACTCACGCTGTCGATAACGGTGAGCTCCAGCTTGTAAAGCGGCTGCTTGCCGTAGTTTATCGGATACCATCCCGCAATCTCTCCTTGATCCAATATCCAGTCCAATCTGCTGTCGCGCACGACATCCTCCTTGATGCTGGTCCCGCTCACGACATCCTCCTTGATGCTGGTCCCGCTCGAGTCGCGTAGAACGGCTTTGATGCTCGAACCGGAGGGCAGGGCGGAAGGCCCGAGCTGGATGTCCGCCTTCAATGTTCCGATCTTGTAGTCAGGACCAAGGAGGTCCGTGTCGACCCGCACATCTTCGAAGCGATATGTATAGGTGTCGAGGGAGATAGGGCGCCAAGGACCGACGGTCATCATCACCGGTCCCCAATCCCAACCTGACGCGTCAGCTGAGCCGGGCCGAGAGTCAGAGAGGCTGGACAGACCCCATCCGTACTGCGCTTTCCGCGAGTACAGTCTGTTTGACGCGCCATTCCCTGCGATATGAGTTGATGTATGATGTCAAAATCTGCCTTCGTAACAAGACGTACAAAGAGTGCGGGGACCCCCGTTCTCGCTTTCCTCTTTCTTAGCCTCGTACCACGCGCTGCGGAAGTGAAGGACCAGCTTGTTCTCGCCTTCCTTGAGGTGGTCCTTGCAAGCGATCCTGTGCGCGATGAACATATTCTCGGTCGATGCGATCGTCGTTCCATTCTGGTGTCGATCAGCTTTGCCAAGTACACCGTTCCTCGCGCACTGATGCCCATCTTCGGATACGCAGAAGGGACTTACGAGGATGATATCGCAGTAGGTATCCAGCCCTTCACAGACAAGATCTGCGCACTTCTCATCCAGCTGAGCCGAGGTCACCTCGAAGGTTGTTCTGAAGTCCCACTCGGCCTCCTGGATCCCTTGCAATCAGCTTCTCACAGACAGCACTGCCTCGCAGGATGACCCGACCCGACCGGAAGAGCACTTCTCACATTGTACATCCCACTCAGCGAGTCCCTTGAAGGGGTCAGGGATCCTTCCCGCCTTCTTGAGCTCTACGTGAACCGAGGTCGGAATGGCGCAGTCAAGCCATTCCTCCTTGACGTTCCCGAAATGCGGTGCCGAGACGACCTGCGAGAACTGCCAGTTCGCATCGAGCTTTTGACTGGACGGCGACATCTAACTCGTGTATGATGAAGTATATGATGAGATGCAGAGATGAGACGCAAGGCAGACCCACAGCAGCATCGAGCCTACTTCATCCGCCCCCGGCAGCCGGACCGGTAGAGTGGGGGTCCAGGGTGGGGGACGGTGCGGGGAATGCTGCGGAGTTCGTCCTCACCGTCCGCTCAGACCGCCCGCAAGAGCCTTCAAGCTTGTCCGTCCCATAGACTCGGCTGGACTCGCTCCAGATACTCGGAGGAGGAAAAGAGCGCGGACTCATCCCGTATACATGAGTGCTCAGCAAGGGCCGGGGCAGAATCGAACCTCGCAGGATCCCGCCCCACAAGTACTGCTCTGGAAACCGCGAGGTGACAGGCCGATGGCTGTATGGGGATGTAACGGAGCGTATCACCGTGGCTGTGTCTTGCTGACTGGTCTCGGATACCATCACATGTATGCATACCGGCTGGGCATAGCGACGAGGCAGCAACGGACGACCTGATCACGTGCCGTTATGATGGCTTCCTCATCTTTCGCGCCTGGCTTCCGGTGCATATCTGAGACATTCTCATGCACCTGTGGCATTCTGATACCCATGGAGCTACCTGGCTACTGCATACTGACAAGGTATGCTTCCTCCGACGAGTGGCCATGCAGAGCAATGCAGCCACTGCCGCAGTTCTGCCACATTCAGCCCAAAATCCGGATCCGGATGTTACGTTATTTTACGGGCCGTGCCTGTTCCGTGTTTTTACCCTTTCCGGCTGTCCAAAGCTTAAATTCAGTCGGCGCAACTCTTTCTCCCTCTCTTTCCGTTGCAGTTGCTCTGAGACATTGATCGACCGAGCGCCATCCTACCCAGTCCAGCCAAACTCAACACAAAGAGGCACCTCCTTGACCCTCATAGACCTCAAGGTCACTCGGCAATTAGACGCGAAGTATCGACTGGCTATCCCTGGACCGCCCTTCATGCAACGAGTCTAGGCCGGATTCCATGACGGGGCTAGGTTCGCTTGGCTGCTTTGAGTAGTTGCTGCTGTCGGAGACATTGCTACTGATGATGATGATGCTGGTCAAGCTTTCAGGATTGTGGCTTGGACGCGATCATCACCGGCGACGTGACGGAGACGCTGATCTTCTGCTCCAGACTTTCTGATATACACTCGACAGAGAACAATCCCTCGCCCCGTCTTTGACTTTCTCGCACGACCTTCCCGCCATTCAGTCCCTAGCTGGCCTCGTCGTACTCCCGTACCTCCCCGCCCAAGATGATGAAGTCCACTTCGCCTGGCGCGTCTCTTTTCGCGTCCGACTACTCCCTCTCCCCGAACCCCTCCCCGCCTTTGGCCCGCAACCCCTCGCCCAACCCCTCTCTCAGCAGCTCCCTCCGCAATCCTCGTTCTTCACCAAATCCTCCCGAGGAGATCCTCCTGCAGCCCATCGCGTCTCGTCCAGCAAACTACACCACACCATTGCCCGTCGTCTTCCCCACTCCTCGCCAGTCGAATGGCTCTCCCCCTCTTCATGCAAACCAGCTCCCTACACCTCCGACATCACCAGCATACGACAAGTACACCCCTGCCCCTGTGCCGCGGTCCATCTCCGGCAAATTTACCCGCAAGACCAGCATGGTCGAAGAGATGCAGGAGGAAGAGGAGGAGGTTGCTCAGGTCCCTGTGCTCCTGAACAAACTGCCGGTTCGGCCTGTTTCGTCTGCGTCCAGCAAGCAGTCGACAGGATATAGAAACTGCGAGCAATGCATGGAGGGCGAGTCCTTTCTGCCTCGTCTGAGAAGTACGCTGACAAGCAAGGTGGTCTCGGACACGAAACCAAATCCGCTTCGTACAAGCCAGGTACCGAAAAGGCCTATCACCACCTACAACGCGCCAACGACCTCTTTGGCCAGGCCCTCGCGGCTCAGCCCGGCTTCCCCAAGGGCATGCTCGCCAAGGCCAAAGTCCTCATCCAGCTCGCCATGAATTACCAACCCCCCAAAGTCGCCACACTCTCCCTCCGCGAAGCCGTCCACCTCCTCCGCGATCTCGTCCGCATTGCGCCCAAATCGGTGTCGGCGCGCGAAACCCTCGCCCAGGCATGCGCACTCCTCAGCGGGTTGCTGCATGATACGGATGATACCGCCACGGTAGATGACGAGACGAGGGTGTGGGAGGGGCCGGTCGGGTGTTTGGCTCGGGAGGCACTGGCCCAACTGGAGGACGTGGCGGCGGACAAGATGGACAAGATGCGGACGATGCACCAGAGGGACGCGGCGGAGCTGGCGCCGTCCATGGCGGAAATGTTCCTCGCCCTTTCTTCGGCCGCCATCACCGTCTCCACCCTCGCTACGGACCTCCCTACCGTCGACCTCCACATCGAGCTCGCGGAACAAGCCCTGGACCAGGCAAGCAACATGTCTACCGTTGCCGCCGCCGCTCGCGTCAAATCCTCCACTTCCTCTGCCAACCTCATCACCCGCGTCCAGCTCGCATCTGGCCGGTCCTCACTCGAACGGCTCCGCCATACCTTCCTCCTCGGTACCGACCTCGACGAGGATGATTTCCGGTCACTCATGGCGGACATGGCGATGCTCGCTACCGAGTGTCGCGAGCGTGCTGCCAAGCTGAAGGGCAGCAAGGCGGCCGCGGCAAGCACGTTGGCTTGGGACGCGATCAAGCAGCTAGGTGACGCCAAGGTCTTGTACGCGAGCCTGCTCAGGCTGGTCTGGCGAAAGCGGAAGCCCTCGGCGAGGAAGCGGGCGTCTGAGGGGATGAGAAAGCTGAGTCAGCGCACGGCGAGCATGGAGTCGGACATCAAGGAAGAGGACGAGGAGGAGGATAGCAAATCGCGGATGTTCCCGTCGACTGCTCACATCCTCCTTTCTGCTTCAAAAGCATCTTCCCTCTCCGCCCCCTCGGATACGGAACGTCGCGAATCAGGCAGCTCGTACATGCGGAAAGGCTCGCAACTCGACCGGGTCCGCGAGGGTCGTGAGATATCCACATTCACACCTCCACCACCCGGTCCCCGTGGCTCCATCTCGGTCGGTCCCGACTCGCTTGCCCGGCGCGGCTCGTGGATGCCACAGGGGTACACCGGTATCGGCCTGAACGGTAACACTCACAGCGGCGTCCATGGTATGGTCGGTCGGTCTAGACGCGCGTCCAGCATGTCGGCGCCTCTCGTCGGACCAGACGGCATCTCTGCCTGGACACGCAAAGCTTCGGTCATTTCTTTCACTGCCGAAGAGGAAGGCGCCGGTCTCGTCCCCTCGGCCCAGCTCGCCAGCTCGGCCTGGGAGCTCCTTGACGGTGCCATCAAGCAGTACAAGCTCGCTCTCACCCTCCTCTCCTCCTCCGACCTCCCTCCAGCCCATCTCGCACGGGGCAAAGCGGACACTCTTACCCAAATCGCCTACGCGTCATGGTTCCAGGCTTCGCTTGCTACTCGGGTCGCCCTTGCCGCGGACAAACGCACGGGTCTGCTCGTCACCGCCGAGGTCTACGCAACATGGGCGGCGAGGGAGGTGGGATGGTCATTCCTCATCGAGGGAACGCAGGAGGCGGCTCAGGCGGACAGACGGACCAACTCGTGGAGAGCGGACGAGTCGGGCAAGCGGGCGGTCATGATGCTGGTCAGGACATGGTGGCACCGGGCCGTGACCACAGAAATGATGGACACGGACACCAAGACAGCGGCCAAGGATGCGGTCGAGGTGGTGGTCAGGCGAATGCGTGATAGGGAAGGGGTACGAGACGGTGATGTGGCGAGATGGCGGGCGTGGCTTGGGAAGAACGAGGGGGAGATGGACGCTGCCGAGGGCTTGTTCTGGAGGAGTGTCAGTAGGATCTTGAGGGGTGGCGCTGGATTCGTCATGTCTTAGATCTAGGTAGAGCTTATGTTTTATAATTGCATGTAAAGCTGGCTATTGCAGACTGATCGCCATCCCGCCATCCACCAGCAGGCTGGCACCGTTCACATATGCCGCTGCGTCTGAAGCCAAGAACAACGCTGGTCCAGCGAGATCTTCTGGCTTTCCCAACCTACCAAGGGGTACCCGTCGTTCTTGATCTGCTCTTTTGACAGGGTCGGCCAGGTCCTCTTTGTTGATGTTGGTCTCGATTGTTCCTGATATCAGCGACAGTCAAGCGAAGCGCTGGACAGACTCACCAGGCAGTACAGAGTTACACCTGATACCCATCGGACCCAGAGCGATCGCACAGCTCTCCATCAAACTCTTCACTCCCGCTTTGGTCGGTGTATAGTGACATTGCTCGCCTCCACCCATCAGCGCCGAGATACTCGAGACAGCCACGATTGCGCCGCCCTTGGGCGAGTCCTGTTTGGCCATCTGGTTCGCCACCGCTTGAACCACGTAGAAGGCGCCGTTGAGGTTTACGTCCTGTACACGCTTCCATAGCGAGGCGGGAAGATCGAGGAAGCTGTGGAAGGGGCAGATACCGGCGTTCGAGATGAGGACGTCTATGCGGGAGAAGGTGGACACGCCGGCTTTGACAATCTGAGTATCAGCTTCGCGTTTCCATGATCAGAGGAGCACTCACTGCTGAGGCTGTCTCCTGATTCGCAATGTCTCCAGGTACTATGACCGTCTTGGCACCGAGGTCCTTGCAGGCTCTCTCAACTTCCTGGATGTCCGCCTGAGTGGAATCCCCGAGATGGTGCAGGATGAGATTCGCTCCATTCCGAGCGGCACCTGGCGAGTCAGTAATGCTTCGCGTCCTGCAGCTGCTGCTTCGCTCCCAGCGGCGAGCTCACCTATAGCGATGGCTCGCCCTATACCGGTCGAGCAACCTGTCACCGCCACGATCTTTCCGGGGAGAAGATTGAATGCCATTGCTGTTGATGCTTGACCAGTCAATTTCGAGCGGGACGACGTATGGAGCTCGGATGCAGGCAGTCTTGTTTGATTATCCAGCGCGCGGAGCTGGGTGAACAATGTATTGAATGAGCAGCTTTCAGCTTTGTGAGCTTCATACTCGGCCACTTTGATCGCCAATTGACCGTGGACCATGCAGCTTCGGCCTCGGGCTATTCTTTCCGCCGAGCGACCGGAAGAGTTACCGGTCCGGGTCGGCGTGCGGTCTATCTCTTGTTCCGGTCGTGCAAGACAAGCTAGCTCTGGTTGCCCGCCCAGTGTCTACACCTTTCTCAGTCGTACTTGACTTCTGCCTTGTACATACACTTGATAACCTCCCACATCCTCACAAAACTCAGTCAAAATGCCCAAGACATGGCCTACCATTGTGAGTCCGGACAAGCTGTGCTCTGTCCCGAGTCCTCCGCTGACCTGTCAGGCCAAGCTCGAGACGTTCATTCCAAGCGCGAACGGCTCTGGCGGAGATTACCACAGGTAAGCCGGGTCCAGTGTCTGAGTCAGAGGACATACAGCTGACTTTTCAGGCAGAACACTGATCACTGGAGTACGCGCCCCCGTAGCTAGGCCTTGGAGCAGCGCTGACCCTGCAGTTGTGCAAGGCAACATCTCCTGCCCGATGCATAAGTACGACGAGTACCGCTCCTCGCGTACTTCGTGGGGTATCGGAGTGCTCGGATCGATCTTTGTCAAGCTCACGGCCTCGGACGGTACCATCGGCTATGCGACCGGGTTTGGAGGTCCACCCGCCTGCTGGCTGATCGAGGAGCACTTTAAGCGCTTCGTTATCGGCCAGGACCCGCGCGACACCAATAAGATCTGGGACATGATGTGGAGGGCTAGCATGTTCTATGGCCGAAAAGGTAAGCCACGACAGGGACATCGCTAATGCCAGGTCTTCCCCTTGCCGCTCTTTCGGTCGTGGACCTCGCCATCTGGGACCTTCTCGGCAAGATCCGCGGTGAACCCATCTACAAGATGATCGGCGGTCGTACCAAGAAGGATATCCCTCTCTACCTGACAGGCCCTCGCCCGGAGGTCGCCAAGGAGCTCGGCTTTTGGGGCTCCAAGGTCGCCCTTCCCCATGGCCCGTCTGACGGACACGAGGGTATTCGCAAGAACGTCGCGTATCTCAAAGAGTGCAAAGACGCAGTCGGTCCGGACTACCCAGTCCAGGTCGACTGCTACATGAGTCTGGATGTGCCGTACACCATCGCGCTGATCAGGGTGAGTACGAATGCGATACAGGGTAGGACCAGAGCTGATGACGCAGGCTACCGAGAAGGCTGGGGTCGAGATCAACTGGTGGGAGGAGGTCCTTCACCCCGATGACTTTGACGGGCACATCAAGCTCAAGGAGGCTCTCCCGCACGTCAAATTCACTACTGGCGAGCACGAGTACTCCAAGTGAGTACTGATCGATATCCCTTGTCTATGAACGTCAGCTAATGAGCTAGGTATGGCTTCCGCAAGCTCATCGAGAACCGGGCTGTCGACATCATCCAGCCGGACGTCATGTGGCTCGGCGGTCTGACCGAACTCATCAAGGTCGCGGCGATGGCAGCGGCGTACGATATCCAGGTCGTCCCCCACGGTTCTGGCCCATACTCTTTCCAGGCCATCATGACCTTCACCAACTCCGACTTCTGCGAGTACATCGTGAGTGCAGATCCTCCTTGGTCTCGTGAGCATCGAGCTAATCACCCAGGCCAACTCGCCCGACGGAAAGTCAGTCCACCCCTCCTTCGGTAACCTCTTCTTGAACGAGGTGCTTCCCGTCAACGGCCGTGTCGACCTTACTGACGAGCCTGGATTCGGTCTGATCCTGAACCCAGAAGCCGAGCTGGTACCGTACAGCACATTCTTCAAGCCTGTCCACGGTCTCGGCGCGGCAGGCGAGGCGGAAGTTGACGACGGGAAGAAGAAGGCCTAGAGGGACTTCGAAGATCTCCTTAGCTACAGGACGCCGGAGTTTTGTAATCCCTCGATGTACATGCGCTTTCTTTGATCGACCGGGCTGCGGCAGCTCTGACTATCATTGGACCATCATGACCTATCATGCATTCATGACCTTGACCGGCCACATACCAGGGTAAAATTACCTCTTGGGGTAAGATCGTCGCGTTACGTGAGCGATAAGACGATACCGTAAGGCCGGCTACCGCGCAGCGCCGGGGGGCCACCGGCCATCTGTTGCGATGCACATCATCTCTACCTTTGTCCTTTGTACTAGTACTGTAAGTCTACGTACAGATATCAAGGCCTTGCCCTCGCCGGCGGTCTCTGACGGCTCATCTTGATCTTGGTCGCAATTTTACTGGAAAATCCCCGTTTCATCGCCAATTGTACCATAGCTACGCGGAGTTCGCCACCTAACGTTGCCCCATTCGCGTCGCGAAGTCAACCGATCTAGACGTACTCAGGTCAGACACTTGTCAGCCAATATGCCTTTACACGGCGTCGGTATCATTGTCGGAGGGACTATAGCAGTCATCGGCTCAGGCTATGCTTTCAAGAAGGTAAGTACACCGTGCAGCGCTTGGCCCGCGCTTCATTCACTTTCGATGTAGTGCGCCCTGCTGACTGGAGTGCAGTTCGTGTACGACCCCCATCTCGCACCATACATCGAGGCTTTCATAGCCCAGCACCCCATCCTTCACTCTCTTTCACCGACCCCCTCATCACAAGCAGACGAGAACACCCGCCGGGCAATACCCGTACCCATCGCTGCGTCCACTTCAGGCACCTCGTCGGCGCGTCAATCCAACCTGACTCACGTGCGACGGCGCCGGTCGGTGCGTAATCAGGAGGATGCTGGGGGGATGGACGTGGAGCTTGAGACGCGCCAGCCGTTGCTGAGAGCTGGGGAGAGGGAGGAGTACTACCTGGACTCGGACCGGCTGGATGAGTGGGGCCGGTCTAGGCGGGCGACAATGAAAGTTGGGCCGTCGGCCGGTCCCTCTCGTCCCAAGCCAATACCTGCACCACTCGTCTTACATTCTCCACCCCCTTCTATCAGCCACAGTCTAGTCGACCTCCATACCGAGTCTGCTCCACCCCCACCACCCTCCGAACCCGCGGCGGAGCCTTTTCAGGACTCGGAGCTACGCTCTATCATCTTTGATCGGGACGAGCCATTGGTGGGTGCCGTGGCCACGCTCACAACGCCCATCCTTACATCGGCACCACTCGAGATGCCGTCGCCACCAGCCGTACGCACCCCATCTATCACGTGCGGGGAACCGCCCTCAAACCATATCCTCACTCCTGGTGACCACGACTCCACGCCCACTCAGACGCAAACCCCCTTTGTCCAAGCGCTCCACTTCGAGGGAGCTCCAGCTCCCACCGACGAGGCTGATGAGGATGATGATCTCGACATCATCAGCAATGTCAACAGCGATTATGTCGACGCGGAATCGTACACAATCCCGGGGACACCCGATACGGATCGCGGACTGTCCCCTACCTTCCCCTCCTTCCCCTCTGCTCCATCTACCGCATCATACGCCCTGCTACCGGCTAGAGGCGTCAACTCGACGGACCAGGCGTTAGCGAGCGGAGGGGCGGTCGGCGGGCTATCCTTCATCCGGCTTCAGAGCCCGCCTATCCTGGACAGAGAGGGCATGCGGGCAGGACTAGCGGGTCGGCGGTCGATGAGCGTGGTCAGTCTGAGTGACGGGAGTGAGAGTGGGAGGTCGGACGATTGGGAGGCGATCTGAGGGGACATCTAAGGAGGAGCCACTTGCTTGCTGAGTAGCATCGAGGCGCGGGGGTTGGGTCATTGTAGCAGTATCAGCCTGGACCTTGAAGGTTACCGTTTTGTATCTACAGCGGATCACATGTAAATTAGATCGTATGCCCGACAAGATGGTAGCATTGTGTATGATCTAGATGTCGGTAGGTATTGGCAAGAACTGCCCGATGATCACGCTTGGAAGATCGAAGACCTGGTTGGTAAGCTCGCGCTTCGGCATACGGAATGGAGCAAACTTACATCTCGCCTGATGGTATAGCAGCACGAACACGCCAGGCTAACATCTCCCACTTCCAGGGTCGTCGCCTGGAAGAAATTCTGAGTGGTATTCTCGAATGCGTGTACCGAAAAGTTCTCCCAGTACGAGATCGCCCTGTCGATTAGCAGCCATTTCAGCCCACAGTGAGGCGGATAGAGCTTACGATTGCTTAGCAAATAGCTGATAGATATATGTCTTCCCGCTCAACAGCTCGTCCTGCTGTTTCCCGATCAAGCCGCAAAACTCTGGATTGGCGTAGACAATCTCGCCTGTCCGACGCCAGACCGCCGTCGGTGTTGCCGAGTACGATATGAGCTTTTCGAGCTCCTGGTGAATGTTAGCTCGATCCCGCACTTCGGTTCTAGATGACTGACAATCAGAGTCCGCTGGAAAGACCTTTCAAGAAACACCTCGTCTTCCTCGCTCATGGGCATTCTGAAGCGATCAGCACGATCCTTGCTGCGACCAAGATCTGGCCTACTGCAACACGATTAGACTTGGCCGGAACGCTGCCAATGCTTTGACCACCCTGAGCACTTCCTTTTGCTGGAAATTCTTCGAGATATGCTCCATGAGCAGGTGGTACCCCTCAGTATAGTCGCTAGTGTATCAGCTTTGACCTTGGGGTGGCGAGGAGTCAGGCAGTGCTGACAAGACAAACACTCACAATGGCTTGACGACACTGTGGTACACTTCCGCACTCGTCCGGAGTCTTCCTTGTTTGCTTGAAATACCCGGAATGCCTTCCGCATATTGCCCCATATCTCCCTGCTCCTGCGCTGACGGACCGGCGTTGCTGCTCCTAGCTTCGGACCCGCCCATACTCTGTGCGCCAAATGATCCTCTTGACGCCGCCGAGGCATTTTCCGTCCAATTTGTCCAGGGAGAAGGGGCCATACCGGCGGATAAGCGATTCATGTCGGGCTGTTGGTCTGGTAGATGAGATTGGGGTGGCGCACTTGCCCAATTGGGACTGATGAGCGACTGGTGGGGATTGCTGGGTGGATCGAGCAGGAAGTCTGGGTGTCGAGGCTGGGAGTAGGAGGAGGTTGGCTGACCGCCTAGCATGGACAGCCCGGATGTGCGCGAAGAGCCGAGGTGGTCGGTGAGGTACGGGCTGGGAGCTGGCTGAGACAGCATGGGGTCCAAGGACAGTTGATTGTCATCAGGGAGGTCGAACGGGAAGACGGGGGACATCGAATTCAGCATTGCGTCCAGCATTTGGTATTCGTTGCTCGCTGATGTGCCGAAGTCTTTCTGATTCAGCTGCGCGTCCTCCTAGAAACAGCGGCCCGCTCACCGAATCCTCCATTCCCAAAAATACCAGGATCGTCCCATATCCCATCCCCACCTCCGCTCATGACCCCAGTCCCGTTCCCGCTCCGTATATCTCCCAGTAATTCGCTCGGCAACCGATTCCGCTCCGGCGACTCCAGTCGCTCCGGTCCCAGCATCTGAGGCGCCAGCCAGATATCCTCCTCCCTCCCCAGAGTGGGTAGGCCTGGTATACCGAGAGGCTGCAGGAGGTCGGAGTTTGTTCTAGCTATTGGCGGCAGCACGGGCGGGGTGGTCAACGACAAGCTAAAGCTTGGTTGTTCCGATGGGCGATGTGACGAGGAAGTAGCAGGAGATATTGACGTGGTGGTTTGTGCGGGATGTTCTGCTCGTTCAGTCTCAGCACCTGGCGCGGGGGACTCCTGGACCTACCTGTAAAATCCTTCAACTCCCCCTCCATGAGATACTTTGCCTTCTTCCGCACACCTTCAACGCACTGGTCTGCGATCCCCTTCTTGACGCATCGTGTACATGGCCGTTCTGAGAGATTAGCTTAGTCCATGGCATGCGAATCATTCCTCTCCCTCCTAGACACATGGAGCAGCTCTCGAACTCACTCTCATCGCACGTCAGATGGCTCTTCTGGCAGACCAAACACGCCTTCGCAACCTTCCTCCGCTTCCCATCTCCCGGATCCCGTTTCTTCCGCACCTTGGCGGCCCCCTGTCCCGTGCTCTGGCCAGGTGCGATTGGCTTCACCCCTTTCCCCTTCTCTCCCCCTGCTGCTAGCTTGCCAGATCCGCTTCCGCTTGCGACGGCGTTCGCACCATTTCGGGCAGGATGAGCAGCGATAGGACGTTGAGTTGCGCTATTCCCGCTGGTGATGCTCGTCGCGTGGACCGGAGATGGTACGGTCGAACTATCTGATCCGGACGAGCCTAGTTGTGATCCCGCTGGAGCAGTGAAAGGCGCCGCGGTCGACCCGGAGATGAAGCTGGATCCAGCAGGCCAACCGGACGGAAGAGATTGAGTGTCCATCCTAGGTCTGACGGAGTCGATGCTACGCGGTATGGAGGTTGGTGCTGCAGAAGCGGGAAGCGCCCATCAATCGGATTGGGGTTTGCGCAGTCGGCTCGATAAGGGCGTCTTCCAGCCGCAAGATTCAGGTATGGAGGTATGACGTGAGGACAGGCAGAGCTCGATAGGGCTCCAGATGCGCTTTGCTGGACGAGAATGCTACAATACGGCGGGACTTGTTGATGGGTGAAGGAGGTGGATGTCAAGCGCGAATTTGTGCGCCGAGTTGACCGGAGTGGCCGGTCACCGGTCAAACAGCTGTTGATCAGAGGTTCTCTTTCTACCTCAATCGACCATTTAGCGCTTCGACGACTCCGTGGCCCTTCTGCGTGGAGCTCGGAGCGCCGCTCAGTACAGAGCGCCTTACTTCGGCTCATTTTTGGCCATACAATATCTATCATCTCTCAACCGAAACGAGGCGGCTTTCCCGCTCACCATCCTTTCGTTCACTGGATCTCCGCCCTGCTATACTGACTAAACCTTCTCACCCGCTGAGCTACTCAACTGATGCCCCACAGGCGCGGCATACTCAAGCCTGTCGTACTGCGTGCCCCTCAACGCCTCCGCTGGCCCCCCACCCAGGTCAATATCGTCCGTGTGGACCCCCTTGGTCTTCCTGACGAGCTTGAAGCCGATAAAGCACATGAGGATGAGCGGAAGGGTGACGTAGGCCGCAAAGAAGTCGGAGATGGCAAACTCGCCGAGGAAGACGGTGAAGCCGTTGAAGATCAGAACGAGGGAGAAGAAGAGGATGCACACCCAGGCGAGGTACGGCTGGAACCATGATCGCAAGGGGAGCCGAGTCCGGTCGATACCTGGCTGTCAGCGGAAGAAGGTTCGAGGCTTACCTTGGACATCACAAGCCTTCTTGAAGCGGGTGTAACAATAGCAGATACACGTCCACCCGACCAGGGAGGACAGAGCAGAGAGGTTACTAAGCCAGGAGAAGGCGACGTTGGACCCCGCAGATAGACTGAGGAAGGCGAGTAGCGCAAAGCAGAACCCGATGATGACGCCAGAGAATGGGATACCGGCCTTGTTGGTCTTGAGGAACCACTGCGGCATAGAGCCTATATATCAGCTGATTCCCACTGACTGTAACTGATGGGGCTCACCGTTCCTTGCGAGTGCCATGAGCGTCCGCGAGACAGCGTAGATGTTCTCGTTCGCCGAGGAAAGGGCAGACGTCATGACCACAGCATTGATGATACTAGGCAGGACCTGGACGCCTGTCTGCTTGCAGATGACAACAAAGGGCGAACTCGCGGCGGTCTTGCCTCCGCCTGCGACGGCGCTGAGCAGCTCGGGTGACTTTTGGCTGACGTTAAGGCCGATGATGAGGATCGCGAGCATGTAGATACCGATGATACGGTAGAAAACTGCACTTTGAGCTTGCCTACTGGGCGGGTGGAATCATCCAACTTACCGGTCCTCACTGCCATTCTCATCGTCCGGCGAGGGTTGTGAGCCTCTCCCGCTAGGATCCCGATACTCTCGATACCACCATAGCTGAATGCCGCCTGTCCTGTCAGTTTCTCACCCCAGCTGTGCTGTCGATAACAAGACTGCTGACCTTTGTGAAGACAGCCCAGAAACCCAGGAAGCGGGCTTTGGCGACCGGCTGAAGCCCCTTGAATGTATCGTTGAAAGGCTCATCTCGCCAGTATCGACCACCGATGAACTCGTGCTTGGGTCCGATACCGCCGAGGTTGGCGATCAGCCCAAAGAGGATCAGGCCGACTGCCTCATCAGCCGATCCCAAAGCCAGACACTTCAACGGGCGTCGGTCTCACCTAGCGTGGCAACCTTTAGGCAGGCGAACCAAAACTCAATCTCGCCGTAGCTACTCGATCAGCTCTGCGCAGAATCATTGTGATGCTGTGTACTCACTATCTTACGCCAATGACGTTCACTCCGATGGCGACCACGAGGAATACAGCGATATAGATGCCCGCGTGAGTGGCGTTTTCGTCCCAGAAGCTCAGCATGACTGCGATAGCCGATAGCTCTGAGGGGATCGCCATGCCGGTTTGGAGTATGTAGTTGATGCCCATCATGAAGCCGAAATGCGGCGAGACGTATTTGGTGCCCATTTCGACGAAGCCGCCGATGTTTGGCGCAAAGCAGGTCCTACATGTCAGTACTGGCTGTGAGACCGCAGACGGATGGGCAAGAGGCTCACATTTCTCCCTGAGGGTCAGCGCGGGCGGACACAAAGGACTCACGAGACAGTACATCATACAACCAACAAGCGCGCCCATGATCGTGTAGCCGAGCCATGCGCCGACTGGACCACCAAGCTGAGGAGTCAGCCCTGCTCGAATCACCCAGACCAGCTACGAGCTCACCGCAAGAGCGGAGCCGGAGCCCAAGAATAAGCCTGGTGCTTTAACCGAAGCTCTGCACAGCTGGGGCATAGCACTCACCAGTCCCGATAGTCCCAGCGATAGCTATCATGGATACCACACGAGGGGGCTAGGCGTCAGTTGGGAACTCATTCCCCATGTGTTGCTAGGGCTGCAGCACCTACCAGATCCCGACGCGTCCCGTGGTCGCCCTCATGGGTTGTAGCTAGTTCCTCATCTGTCAGACCTTCATAGGCAGGTGAGACTGTCGTCTGAGGTCCAGCATACTCCTTGTCGTCGTTGTTGAGAGACATGTTGCGGTTCGATCAGGCGGCGGCGAACGAGAGGTTTCGGTCTTCGAGCTGGCTGAGTCCAACTTAAGTTCAGCCTCCTGCCGCAGACGATATGGAGGATCATGTACCGCTACATACAGCACCCGAAGCCGAAGGACAAGTGACGGCGGAAGGACAGATAAGGATTGCCGTCGAATCTCGCCGAGATCCGCTCTTCGTCCGACTAGCTCGCCCATGCGGTACAGTTCTGCGCTGTCCTAGAGCGGATTGGGATCTGGCTCTTTGCGTCGTCGGCCTAAGGAGATTGGAGCTCCTTCGACGGGGGAGTGGCTCGGCGGATTATGAATCTATTCCTGGTCTTTGATAAGACGGCAAGTCCAGCCGCGGATCGTGCCGCCGGCTGAGTAAGTGGGGCAAAGTGGGGGAGTTCAGCATTTACCGTATCTCGCCGTACTGAGCCGTACGCGCCCGCTCGATACCGCAATACCGTCTCATATTCGCCCGCGCAATAAAAGTTAGGAGACTCACAAGCTGGAACCCTTTCCTCTGGGACTATCGCTACGGCCGTCCGATGGCTGCGCCAGTATACGGCCGACGGTGGGCAATCGCGGCCTGACGCGAGCCGACGACAAGACAGCTTGTTGGAACGGCTGTCTCGCGATCTTGAGATGTCCAGTTGTGAAGCGTACATACGAGTAAGAGAGCCGTCTACAATTGATTCGTGTATGTGCAGTAACTACTAAAGGTACATGTATCAGCCAGGTCGCTCCTTTCCCGTCCTTTGCCATATCGAGCGCTTCGTTTCACTTCCTACATTCCCTCAAACCCGCCTAGTCCCAGCCTGGTGCGCTGCTGTCCCCGCAGTACCTGCCTAGTCGTGGTGACCAGCCGAATGCTCATAATCCGACTCGCTCGCAAACGTGATTGCACCTGATACTATCAGCCATCTCCTCCCACACAAATTGAAAGAAACAACCAGAAAGACGAGTACTTACTCTCGCTCAATCCAGTCCCGCTCTGCTTCCTGCCCAGACCCCGCTTCATCTCTGCCCACCCGCCATGTGAGAACTGATTCTCCACATCCGGACTCTTCAATCCGCCCACCAGCCCGCTAGCCGCTCTACCTAGGTTCGGCTCTGCGCTAAGCGTTGAGAAGCTCGAGGGGAAGAGGGTAGATCCCGGCCCGCGGTCCAGGATGGGGGCTTGGTGGTGGTGCGAAGTCGAAGGGGACATCATCCCCATATGCATCGTGGGCGTGTTGGCGCCCGAAGTTCCGGCGAGGCCGAGACCTTGCGAAACGCTCGCGCTTCGGCTCGGACCGTGGTAGGATGCCGCCTGCGGTGAACCGGAGGACGAGACGATGGTGAGACCCACAAAGGACTTGGTGCGGCTCTTCGCATTCGGAGCTGCACGGGAAGGACTGGGCGAGCCGGCGGCCGAGTCCCGTCGTAGGGCAGATGATCCGGTGACGGGCGACATGAGCGGATCGCGCTGGTGCCTTGATCCAGCCCGTTGCGCTGTGGTCTGCGACGCAGCCTTGCCCGAGCTTCCGCCCGCGCCCTCATTCTCCTCCCCGATCGAGCCCAGAAGAGCCGTCATCCCCGCCGTGGCCTCCGGATCGTCCTCCACGATTTCTCCAAACTCCTCGATGAAGTCCTGCTGCGCCCTCGCCATATCCTGGTCCACGGGTTGTATTCCCTCAATCCAGACCTGGCTGGCCATCCTGTATGCCGCTCCGTCATCGTCGTCCAGGCCCTCTAGACCGCCCCACGTCTGAGCCGCCCCATCCTCTCCTCCAGCATTCAAGAGCCGGTCATCACATCCCAGACATACGCCGACCTTCTCCCACAATGCGACCGAGCGCTGCCGGACCGCCTGTCGAGCGCGGAAGATCCATTGATAGTCCGGGCATTCGAGCCGGTCCGTACCCGTGAGGTGGAGCTTGAACTCGTCCCAGTTCCAGCTCTCCGGCGAGATTTCCTGCCAATTCCGCCTCGCCCGGTCCTTGGGGAAGGTTGCGCGGAGAAGAGTGAACATCTTCTCGTTGCTAGAGTGCTTCATGAGATCCCCGACCTCGGCGGCACGATCGACAAAGGGGAGGAGGCAGTCATCCTCCAACTGGACGTACTCGACAGGTTCGAGCGCGGTGGGTGGGTGCTGCTCTGGGGTGGATGCAAGACTGCCGGAATAGCTCGGTGACCGCTTGTAGCTGGCTCCCGCGGATTTGCGGCGCTTGAGCTCCGCACCCTTGAACCCGCCCTCGGGCATGAGTACGGGACTGGCCAAGCCACGAGCGAGTTCGACGACCTCGTCTGGTGTGTATGACTTAGCTCGCCCGCCCTCGTTGTCCGCCGCCGAGTAGATGGTGGAGATGCGGTGAACTGCGTCCGGGCCACCAGGAGCGTGAGAGACCGGAGACGCCTTCGCTGGGGTCATGGGCGAGAATGTGTTGAAGCTTGACGCAAAGCTGCGACGGGGAGCCCGGGGTGAGGTAGCAGGGATATCGATGGATTGGGAGAGACCGATAGGTGCGAGTGCGGACGATGACTTGGAGCGACTATAAAGTCAGTGAATTGAGCTTTCAATGGGGGCGCAAGACTCACCGCCTGAGTCCAGCCTGCTCCGAAGCCGGCGCCTTGACCAAGGTCAAGCGGCTGAAGAGAGATGCTGGAGTACTTGTGTTCTCGTTCCCGTACTCTTTGCCATCTCCCCATTCCGCCGCTGAATGATATAGACTCTGTCGCCTGCTTAGGCTGCGCGTCACGCTACCCGCCCTAGAGTGGCCGCCTGCGCTACGCCCATCGGATTCGCCCGAAATTGAGCGCGCGTGGCCGCTGCGGGGTGAGGGCAGAGGTACGGACGCAGTAGGCATCGGTGAGAGGCCCTGCAGTGGGGAGAGAGCCGAGAGACCATGGTGGCGCGAGGGGGATTGGTGGGGACGGGGTCGAAGCCCGCTGGGAGATGAGGGAACGTCCATATTGCCACTTTTAGCTAGATGGCCCGGGGACGCTCGCGATGGCGAGAGCGAGGTACGAGGAGGTCTGCTCGGAGATGGAGTGTTATGCTGCTTTGGCTCAAGCACGACCGGTGTGCGTACAGTGGGATTGCCACTAGCCTGCTGGGGTGGACGAGGATCCGAAGAGACGAAGTGGGTGTTGGAGGAGCGGTATTCGGAGAAGAGGGTATGACGTTCAGGTAAAGGGAGACGATGAGAGTCGGTGCGCGCACGGGGTGGCGGTGTGGGATGGGAGTATGGATGGGCATGGTCGGACAAAGGGAATTGGTGTAGGATGATGCGAAGAAGAGGTGCGTCAGCGTGTGTCATGATGGGACCAGCAAACGAGTGAATGTGAAGGGCAATGAGTAGTGGAGGGGGATGGAGAGATGCTCAGTCATAGCATGCCACAACTCCGCCTTCCTCGACGCCCGAAGCGACAGAGATTGCTCGACGTTGCGCTCGTCCATCCTTTGTTCACCGAAGCCTCGCGTGTTGCGAGCTACGCCTTGTGATCGCCCGCTGGCCACGACGAACATCACAGGGATCCTGACTTACCTCTTGACTCTGGCTGTCTTCGACCTCCGCCTCACTGCTGGTCCTTCTGAACCTGGGGTCGTAGAGGTCGAACTCGTCCTCTCCCTCGTTGTCGTCGTGGAACGGGCTATCTGGGGGCACAGTCGCCTTCCGAGCCTGCTGATTGTTGTGGTCGTCAAGGTCGTGATGGGCGTCCGGGGCTATGACGGGGTCGACCCGAGATGTGGGAGGTTGAGAGGAAGATGAGAGTTGGAATGATGACGAGAAGAGAGGCATAATGGAAGATGTCGGCTCGGTCCAGGAGGTTGCCGAGAAGGTTCGATGGAGCCGCTCGTCAGGCCGACTCAGGGCGAGGCACCGCGGAGGCGTCAGATGAGGTTTCGCGGGAGGCCTGGGTGATCACGGGGTCACGAGGTCGACGGAGACGGAGGGAGTAAAGGTGTTCAGAGACCGCACGAGAGCAGCTGATCATCGCCTGGCAGCGAAAGGGAGCGGAGGGCGATTGCGTCACGCGCGTCAGGGGAGAGAGAGGACGCGGGGTAAGCTTGATCAAGGTGACTTTGCGGCAATTATTGGAGGCTTCAACTTGCAAGCAAGAGGACAGAAGGACGAGCGGGGCTTCCGTTGTCTCATGCTCTGCACGCTCGTGTAGCTGTGCTTGAATGCATGCATTGCGCAGGCCAAGAGATGGGGCCAGCACTAACTTAGCTCCTTTCCACATCTCGAGAGCTGGGCGCCACGGAGGCCCTCATTCTGCTCCCGTTACTCCACAACCGCTTCCCCGCTGACGACATGGCAGCGTGCCTGACTCAGAATGCTCAAGTCGATAAGCTGACAGCCTACCGTATATGAGCTGACATTCAGCAGACCGCCTATATGTATGACAGCGTGATTTGCACTCCGACATCGGACAGTCTCCCCTGCATGCATCGGCAGAAGCTCAGAGTGAAAGCTCTCTTCTGAAACAGCTGACGCACGGACCAACCTGAAACATACGGAATCAAATTACCCTGAGTCACGCTGCTTACTGCTGTTGGCTGGCTGGCGGGATGAAGATGCGCCGATGCCTGATTGGAACAACTCTTACACCGAGATCACCTCCACTCACCGGTCCGGTCGATACTTACAGACGGGTATGGCAACACAGGCCACGAGCAAGTCGTCAGGTCGTCTGACGCTGAGGAATCTGCTCAGAGATCCAGCATCGACAGTCACACTCACCCCCGCCTACGCACCGGATCAGGTCGAATCCCCTCTCAATCCCGAGTACGAGGCGCCGAGCAGCGTCCCTGTAACCGGCATCCTCGGTACCAGCTCGGAAGCCGCAGCTCGATCGAAGCGAGGCGCCAAAGCTGCCGCGGGTAGCGCGGACAGAACCAAGATGTCAAATCGAGGTGGACCGGATGCTGGCTGGGGGTTCCCTCCGCCGAGCCCAATGATGTATCATCAGGGGTACAGCGTTGACGGGATGAGGCAGGGGGAGAGTAGCACCTCCGGGTTAATGGGAAGGCGGGAGACGGGCAGTCCCGGCGCAATGTCTGCCTATTCGCAAACGACCCAAACTGGCGGAAAGCGTAGGAGGAGGGAGAGCCAAGCCGAGACGGCCGACACCGGACCGGAACTCGAGGATGAGGGTGCGATGGGGTCAAGACCACTAGCCATCACCTGCGCGCCCTGTCGGACACGCAAGGTCAAGTGCGACAGCGGGAAGCCTGTCTGTGGGAATTGCGCCAAGAGTCCCAATGAGTGCTACTACCCCGTCAAGCTGAAACCTGGCTTGCGGCCGGGTACTGGGACAGATATGGCCAGGCGTCTAGGTCAGTCTTGTACAGAATGACGGAGGACGCTAGTCCACCAGCTGATCCCTCAGAGAACCTGGAGGAGCGGATACAATCGTACGAAATCCGGCTGGCGGATCAAGAGACTCGTCTCACACATGTCCAACAAAGTGCCGCAGGCCATGCTGGACCGTCCCAGCCATTTCCCGGTCTCGCTGGGAACACATCGCTGTATACCGGTCTACCCCAGCCGAGTCCTATGGACGCTCTAGTTCAGCCTACTTCCGGCTCTTCATCCGCCAATGCGGCGATGCCCCCGCTAGACTTCTCCTCCTTCGGCCCGTCCGCTTCGCCCTCGGGTCACTCCGCCCATTCCTTCCGCGACCCCAACATCCTCCCTCCCGACGATATCGTCCGCGACCTCATCGGACTCTTCTTCACCTTCATCCATCCCTGGGCACCCATCATTTCTCCCATTCTACCCCCGTTCTCCGCTCCCTGGTCGATCGTCGTTCACGCAATCGTCGTCGTCTCTCTGCGGTACTCGAACGATCCGCGCCTCCCTCCCTCCACGCAAGCGACGTATCGGCAAGCGGCCAAACAGCACGTCTTGGCGCACGCTATCGAGTCGACATCCATATCATCCGTGCAGGCATTGGCACTGCTCGCGCTCGACCTGATCGGATCGGAGCAGGGTCCGTCTTCTTGGGGTCTACTTGCGCTCCTCACTCGTTCGGCGGTACATCTGGGGCTGGCGAAGGAGGAAGATGCGGCGGGACAGCCGACGTTTGGAGGAAGGGCACCGGCGCCAAGTCTGAGCAGGACGAGCATCATCCCTCCTCCGGCGGACTGGAGGGAGGATGAGACGAGGCGGAGATTGTTTTGGTTGATCTTCTGCTTGGATCGGTATGCGTGCGTGTCGACGGGTTGGGACTTTGCCATACCGGATTCTGAGGTTAAGCGGCGACTACCTTGTGCCAACGAGATATGGGCTGGCAACGTTAGTCCTTTTCGCCAGCGTCAGGCACATCCAGCTTATCCATAGGAATGGTGCTTCACGCCTCTTTTCCGCCCGGTACCACATCGCCAGCCAAGCGACAATACGTCCAACATCTCTCCGCTTGCACACCTCGTGGAAGCGCTGGATCTGCTCGGCCGGGCACATACGCTACAAGCGGAAGTCATCGAGCCAGGCGACAGCTCTGCGATATTGGCCAGGAAGGAGATGACCATAGACCTCACTGGGGCGGCGAGGGGCTGCTTTGAGGCTGTCGGGCCCAGTGTCACCGGGGGTAGACAAGACGGACTGACTCTGATGATCGTAAGTGCTGTGCGGTCCACTGTGGCCAAAGCTGATATCCAAAGCAAGCGATCCATCACGCCACCCTACTCAAGCTGAACGCATACTACGCCTACCCAGCACTAGCGACCGGCGAGCCCATCGAGCCACATACCTCGACCTGTCTCACTGCAGCTGGCGCCATCGTGGACCTAATACATACGGCGCGCGCAGTGGGCTGGATGACGGCCTCGACCCCATTCTTCATCTGGGGTTGCTGGGTCGCGGCGAGGGTGCTGTTTGTACATGCGTTCTTGGCGCATCGGACGGGACCGGACGAGGCGTTTGACGAGATCGTTGGGTGTCTGAGGGAACAAGCGGGCTACTGGGGACTAGCGAGTGAGTTGCGCGGATCGCCCTGACTTTGAATCCCCAGCTAACGATCCAGACCAATATGTCCGCCTCCTCGAGCGCGCCAAGCGGAAATGGCAAGACTCGATGCCCTCTTCCGACCCGCCCAATCCCTCGCTTCCCGACGCGATTCACGTCCTGCTCGACCTCCGCCGTACCGCCTACTCGGCAGTCACGACCAACACGCAAGAGACGCCACATGTCTCCCCTCCAGATGTCGATCTCAGTCATCTCCCGGCGTGGGCGGTCCAGCCACTTCTTGGGGATTTGCACGGGTGGTTTGATCTGCCGGCGGGTTTGTTCCAGGGGGATCTGTGATGCAGTATATTGGGGGCTTTACTGATTGACCTGCTGATCGTCTGTTTGACTGACGATGCGATTCGGACGTCAGCCCAAGGGGAGGGATATGTGAGCCCCTTAGGCACACCCTCTCATATCATTCTCCTTTATCCCGGAGCAAGCGTCCGACCACAAAGGAGAGTGACCTTCTGCCTGCCATATAGACCGCACTAGATGTACTGATGTCGACGTTCATGTATTCCACCGAGCAAACACACGCGGCACGTTAAAGCAAGATGATCGATCCCATCCTCATTCGAACTCCTCCTATCCTACACCCTGACATCCTCGTGCGCATTTTATACTTCTGCCCACGCGCAACTCAGGCTGTTGCAGCTCGCCTATCAAAGGATCTGCATGAGCTCGCCATCACAGCTCTCTACCGTCACTTATCGCTCAACTTTGACTCTCCTCACCCCCTCTCCCGCGGACACAGCTACCAGACCGCCTATACCCCTACCCCCAACCCCAACCCCAACATTTCCCTCATTCGTTCTCTCCATGTATTCTCGACCAATACCAGGGGCCGGTCTGCCCTATCTTCCATCCCGGCCTCCTCCCTCGCGATCCCCAATCTCCGCTCCCTCCATATCCAGCTCGACGCAGACACCAACCGCTGGCCCCAGAGTGGTACGCTGGCTCGGTCACTTCTCGAGCCCGGGCCACCCGAACTCATTCTTTCCGCCGACGAGGGGTGCGACGTCCTCCGCTGGCTGATACTTAGTAGGTGTATGGAGCGTATACCGAGCGGCGTCAGGACCTTGGTGATACAGACGAGCTACGGAAGAGCGGGGGTCAGGGGAGGAGGAAATGGTCGCTCGTGGCCACTGAGCGCGGATGCGTGGTTCAAGAGCGTGGTCAAGGAAACGGCGAGCTGGGGAGTCAGTCCTTTCACCGGCGATATCTCTCTCCGGGTTCAAGGTCACTGCGGGGTAGAAGGTGAGGCGAGAAGGAGCGATGGGGAAGGTAATGGCGGACAGGACGAACAGTGGTCAGAAGTACTCTTGACACTGGCTCGGAACATCGCGATATTACGGCTGCTTGCCATGCGCAGGACGGGAATGGTGAGGGTAATGCTACCAGAGGTGCCTGCGCCTATTATGCGGATATCGGAAGTGAAGGAGCCAGGAGGGGCAGTGAAGGGAGAGGAAAGGAAGCTGGGGCTCATTGACATGATCCAGCTGGCGATGATGGAAATGGCGGAGTGGCGGGGCCTAAGGGAAGACGTTGTCGATCAGGCCATGGCAGGGATCGAGGTTCACGGCTAGCTTCTACTTCGTCGTCTGCATAGAGAGTCATAGAGAGTATAGCAATCACTGTACGAGTAGAGAGACTGCGTGTCACATGAGATTCGCGATGTACAAGTATGGCTACTGAAGGCCCTCACAACCTAGAAGAGAATATGAAAGCTCGTATCCCAAAATCCGAGACCAACTGTCCGTGCCTACCGTCCATGTATCCCATCTCGCCCCCCTCAAGTATCATTCCGCCACATCCACAAGCCCATGCCCACCATTGCCCGATCCTGCTCCCCGTCCCATCTTCCCCGCCCTCGGTGACACACTCGAGCTCTTCCCCGGAATATGAGCCGGCGCCATCAGGCTCTGTTGCTGCGCCTCGCCCATCGAGCCGGGGTACGCCGAAGGAGGAGCCGAGACCGACATGGTAGGTACGACGAGGGAGAAGCCCAGGCCATCGCCGCCGTCCAGAGCTGGGACATCCCAAAAGCTGTCACTCCCGGAGAACATGTCGACAGCCCCGGCCGAGTGACTCCGGTGTGCAGCCTGATGATCGAAGGCAGGGAAGCCGTTCGATTGAGAGTTGTCGTGCGCGGGGCTGTGGTCCTTGCTCGAGCCGTGGCGCGACATGGAGGATGAGACAGACATGTTCGTTTCGACCGGGCTGGCCTGCAATTGCGAGCCAGGTGACGTGAATGCCGAGGAGGGATGCTCGGGGACGGACGGGATGTTGAGCTGGGGCTGAGCGTACTGGTTGTACTCGCTCTGACTCTGCTGGATGTAGGGAGGGCGCATCAATGGTTCGCTGGGCACGGTACCAGTGTGGCCCATACCCAGCGGGGAGGGACGGAGGGGCACGCCGCCGTTGCCGCTGAAGGGGTCGAGACCGAGGAGGCCAAGGTCTTTGTGCAGGCCATTGGGTCTAAGGGTCAGCTATCATCCGAGAGCCCAGCTCGTATTGGACTCACGCTGATGCCCGTCGGTTTGGGTTGAAGTCCAACCCAAAGTCCCCGTCCCCGGCTGTCCCGGACGTCCCGTCCGAGTTGAAGGTCCCGCCACTCCCGACACTGCCCAGACTGGCCAGACTGTCCAAACGCCCTCCCTCTCGGAAAGCATCGTACATCGCCTGCGCCATTTTGGCCTCCTCCTCCGTCTGCTGCCCACCCGAGCCGGTGTTGACCATGGGGGCGTTTCCGAAAGAGAATGCGGGGTTCGGGAGCGGTCCCGCCGGGTTGAAAGGCTCGGTCGCCAAAAAGTCAAACCCGCTCTGTTCGGAGGAGGACGAGCCAGAGAGCAGATCGGGTGACACGCCCGAGGGGTTGTAGGTTGATGAAGGAGGAGTAAGGAAGGTGGTGGAGAAGTCGGAGTCGGTGAAGGTGAAGGGGTGCGAGGGGTTCTCGCCGTCATCCTTGATGGAGGGGAGTTCGCTAGATCGACCGTTGTTGACGCCAGAGGAGAGCGGGTAGGAGACGATACGGGGAGGGGTAAAGGGACCCGAGGAGAGTAGCTGTGGTGCGCCAGGCATGGATGCTCGGCGAGTATTGTTGCGAATGGCGGTGAGATGAAGAGCGGAAGGCATGTGTCGGACCAGCGGGCTGAATTTTGGGCTGGACGGAGCGGCCGGTTGTACGCCGCGGACAGCATTCTCGACAAAGGTAGTCGATAGTGGGGTAGGGTAGGGGATGCTCCCCCGCCGCGCTGCCGCCGCCTGACCGATCACTGGGCTCCTCGGTCCCCCAGACGTCGACCCATTCCGCTTCGCCGCCCACATCTGGATCTTCTCCGCCTCGCCACTTGCCAACGAGACTCTCCGCCCGCCGTTTGGTAATGCGCTCTGCGGGATGGAGAGGGTATTCCGATCCGAGTTGTCCGGCGGATTCGAGGCTGCCTGAGCTGCTGCCTTTCTGGCGGCTGCCTCGGCTTCGACCTTTTCGCGCAATTCCCGTGGGAAAGGATGAGGGGGTTCTGGGGCGACGATGGCGGGGCGGGCGGCGATGATCTGGCTCTCGGGTGTCTTCTGCCCTTCGGCGGTTTTGAATGACTTTTCGAGCGCGACCTTGTCCTTGATCTGCTGGCCTTTGATTTTGGCGCGTCTACAAGTCAGCTGAGTTCCTGCCATCAAAATAGAAACTCACCTGTTCTGGAACCAAACCTGGACATTCCGTTTCGTCATCCCCAGCTCGCCAGCCAGCCACTCCCGCAACGCATTGTCCGGCTTTGAGTTGATCTCGAACCAATGCTCGAGTACTTTGAGCTGCTCCGGTGATGTTCGACGTCGATGTTTGATCTTGGACTTGTCAGATGTCTTCTTGCGATTTTTGATCAACCCGCCACTCTGCTCTTCCGCCACACTCGCCAGAGAGCGACGCCTGGATGGCCTCCAGAGGGGAGGAACATGGGCAGAAGCTTGATTTTTGACGCGGGGGAAGAGTTGGGAGAGTCTCGGGAGAGGATAGCCGGAGGGGGAACGGATAGGGGAAGCGCGATCTTGAAGCCAGCCAGGTGAAGAACTTACCTCCATGTTCCCATGGTACCATTCGCCCGGATGTTCGTCATCCTCCCACTCGCCGACCCATTCGTCGCCACCGACGAACCCATTGGGTCCGGGTCTCAACGCCATAGGCCGTTGGTGCGGTGCACCCGGAAAGTTGTTTGGTAGGGGTGGTGGTGGCATGCCAAAGTGGTAATTTTGCGATGGACCTGGGACTGGTTGATAGCCGTTTCCGAGAGCATGAGCGCCGCCATTGACGTTGATGAGAGGTAGCTGGTAGCCAGAGGGTAGTGGTGCTTCGTGTGGTGGCAGATGTGATCCGTTAGGGAAGATTGGGCCGGGGAACGAGAGAGAGGTGGTGAGGTGCGGCCGGTGATGAGGAGGCATTGCCGAGACTGAACCGAGGGGACCCGAGTGGTAATGTTGTGTAGAGGGTGTGACGAGTTGGGAGCCGGGGTGCATGGGGGTGTACATGTCTGCCGATTGTGGCTGAAGAGGGTGAGGGGGACCACCCTGTTGAAAGTACGGTGGGGTAGTATGTGATCCGTCCGCCGAGGGTGGGGTGGCACTTCCTGACTCATGCCACCATTGGTCCTGCTTGACAGGGGTGCCGGAGGGGATTGTACCGTGTGACGAGCTCGACGATAGACCGTTAAAGTAGCCGAGCTGCTGAGGTTGACTGTGTGAACCGATGACGGATCCCGAGGACGAGGAGGATGGCCCGGAGTTGGGGAACTCCATGAATGGCGAAAAGTCGAACGATGGGTCCTGGCCATACTCGTTGGGGGATGGGCGCCCAAAGGCTGATTGGTGAGGAAGGGCTGCCATCATTACAGCTGTACGAGGGGTAGTGATGAGGGAGAGAATGGGGCGGGGCGATCCGACCGATGGAGAGGGTGGACGTTTGCTCGTAGCTGGTCGAGAAGGGGAGGACGATGGCGAAGTGACTACCCGCGTGAGGGTGGCGAGGAAATGGCGGAGCGTCAAACCGACAGAAAGGATCGCCGAGGGTAAAGAGGGATTGAGGCGAAGCGCTACGCGTGTCAGCTCGTGTCTCGTCGCAGATCCTTTCAGTGAGGTAGTGAGGCGATGAGAAACGCGCTCCTCGCCTGGTAGCAGTCGCAGAATAGTCAAGCGATGTATGCGAAGGTTCACAGGAACGGCTGAGCGACGTACGAGGTAGATAGAGATAGATGATGCGCGTGTGATGAGGGCCGTCCTTTTACGCTTTAGATGAAGCACTACAGCTTGATAGTTGGGGTTGGATCGGACGCGGGTTGGTCGGGGTATAGGGCGAAATGAGCGTCGAGGTCAAGCTCGATATGTTGGAAGATATAGCTAGCTTCGAGCTGTTATAGATCAGTTTACTGATGGACGCTTGATATGGTCGAGATCGCGGGGTCAAGGTGGAGCAGTGGGGAGCCGAGACAAGGAGCAGTCAGGAGTAGGAGAGGGGAAGACCGGGCTTTGGGGTAGAGCTTTAAGGAGTGGGTGCGGAAGATGGTTACTGCACCGCACAGCTCCAACTCTGGCCTAGGGATGTGGATCCCAAACATGTGAGGGGGGATAACAGGCTAGCCGAATAGCAAGGGGTCGTGTGTGAAGACGCGGTGGGTCTCCGAATGGAGTCAGAAGCTGAGACAAAAGCTGTCCCGGCGAAGAGATGGAGTGTTGAAGTGGAGGGCAAGGGTAGATGAGAGACTCACGTGTCTGAGATGGAGATTTCCTGAGACCGACGCTTCCTCGCAGCAGGTCGCTCCTGTGCTTCCTCTGCCGCCTCCGTCTTGATGGTGTCCGATCTGCTCTTTCCTTGCGAAGCGATCTCGAAACAGCTCCGACCGTATCTGAATGGAGGGTGCGAAGCGAGAATTTCTTTCAACCGTGAATCGCGTTCGCTACGAGCCGTGGCTGGCGCTGCAAAGACGAAGAGCAGGTGGTAGTCGGAGCGTATCGCTGTCGATGCCGATCCAGACGGTTGCGAAGGTAAAAGACGGTGTATGCCTTTGTGGTTTGGAGCGAGAAAGGGGGCGTTGTCGAGCTGAACGTGCCCACACGGGTCGGGTAGCCGGTACGTTACAGAACGCACAGACACTCCGTAAAAGCGCAGAAAGGTTGCGCAAAGCTTTTGGGAGACCCAAGGCTCTGTGTGGGTTCGGAGTATTTAGTGAGGTATAGTAGGGTAGTAACTTTGGTAGTCACTGCTTTGGATGATACCATGCATCCGCAGCAAGAAAGGCCAGCAGAAGGTCCAGGGACGACGTGATCTACATCCGAAGCTCGAGGCGGCCCGAACGCGCTCAAACGGCACAGAACGGCGCGAGAAGGGAGGAAAGAAGACCGGTATGCGCAGATCCCGTAAGAGGTGACATCCCCCTTACCAAGACATGCGGAGAAATAGCTTCTAGCGGGAATTTCGAGCGGCTAATCCTCTTACACGTGGAGCCTGGGGACCGGCGCATCGGGCTGCTCGCTGCAGCTGCTGCAGCGCCAAGTGGCGCAGCTACTCTAGTGGCGTCAGGTGAGTCAGGCTAGTCAGGCTCGCTAGGCTCGGACATATGGGAGGCGAGTAACGCGCAGGGTGACATGAGATAGCGGCCAGCGTACATACAAGAGCCGGTAGCTCCGAGCCACCTGGTACCTGTATCATGGTTGCCGAAGGTTTGCGGAGGATAGAGGCACGCCCCTGCATGCATGCATGGGTCATCACGAGTGCAGGAATTCGCCGCTTTGCCTTTGGCATGTGCCAGCACGAGCGCCAGAACTTCCAGCACGCTCTCTCAGACGGCTATGGGCTGCGGAACTTATCCATCGCATCAACATGATCTAATGACTACACATGTCCAAACAGAGACTCAAGCTACAAGGCAGTTCCTATGTACAAAGTGAAGTCCAGAACGAGCTATTAATTTTAGTCCTGTCACTCCCGCCACCCAACCTCAGTCCCTCTCAGCCCCCAATCCCCGATTCCTGCTCCCCTCACCCTCGCCGATATCTGTCCCCTCGCTGCTCGTGACCGTAAAACTCGACACCCCGATCCCCGCCAAGAGCCCCTTATCCGCCAACACTGCGAGACTCTGCTTCTTTGACAGACCCCCACCACCCGCCATATCCTTCGGTCTCCGATTCTGGACGCCTCCCCTCCCACCGCCCACAAACTGCTTCTTCCCCGCCGCATCTGCTCCAGACCCGATCGACCCCTCCCGCATGGACGAGCCCATGCTCATGAAGCTTCGCCTGGAGCTGCCGGCGTCGCTCGAGCCAGACAAGGATGATTTGCCGCTTCCACTCGCTCGGCCAGGAAGGAGTACCTCTTTGGCTGACCGGTTCTGTACCCCGCCTCGTCCGCCGCCGACAAATTTGGGTTTGGGGCTGAGCGTTTCGAGCGCCTCCTGAACGTCCGGAGTGAAGGTGACGAGCGGGGATGTTGCCGAGTGAGAGGCGCCAGGACGAGGAGCGACCGGATCGTGCGATTCGGGAATAGGAACAAGGGGAGACGACTTCTTGGCTGATGTCTGGGCCGAGGGTTTCCGCCGGTTCTGCGCGCCTCCTCTGCCTCCTCCGACGAAGACTGGCTTCTCCTCTTTGACCGGCTTATTCACGACTTCCTTCCCCTTCCCCTTATCCTTCGAGCTCTTGCTCTTCAGCCACCCTTTCAGACCGCCCTCCTTCTTACTGCTGGGCGGGACTCCGCGTTCCGAAGCGTAGTCTGGATGGTGCCAGTCCGCCTCGGACCAGGGGTACTGCGCCGACGACGTCGGACTGAGTGGATAAGTCAGGATCGAGCCCGCAGATGAGGACGACGAGGAGGGCAAGGTCCCGGCGGTCGAGGCCGTACCGGCGCGGTACGAGTTATCCGAGATGGACGCCGACAAGGAGGATTTGGTAGGTGAGCGGTCTAGGAGGAGATGAGGAGTGGAGGCCGAGCTGATGGCAGATGGAGGAAGTTGCGCAGTGCGAGCGGCACGATGTTGATTTGGAGCGGCAGGTGGAGGGTATGAGATAGGATGTGACGCGCTGCCGTTGGAGTGGTATGAGCCGAGCTGGTCGGTGGATTGGGAAGGAAGGCGGCGCTGCATCGGTATGCTCTCGCCAAAGCCGGCTTGTCGCGCCGCTTGCTGCTCCATCACCTCCTGGAACGTCCGCCCAGCACGAGGCTGCACCCGAGTAGAGAATATGGCACGTGCAGGGCTACCACGCCCAGATGATAGATGAAAGGAGTGGCCGATGTGCTATCAAGATCAGCTCAGATCGCGTGCGGTCAGTGGACAACTCACCTGCTCCTGGAGGCGTTTCAATGCTGACCTTCGGACAGATCTATGCGGCGGATACGGAGAGCCGATATGAGAAGCTTGCTGCCGACTGGCGTCGAGAGCAGAGCGACGTGAGCGAAACCGTTGAATGGGGTATCCTTTGCGGGATAGTCAGGAGACGCCTTCGGGCCTGAAGGCTGAGTAGGAAGGTGAGGGTCAGTCGAGCTTCAGACGCGTTGATGGGTATCAAGGAGATGAATCAGCTGCTCGCCTTTATAACGCCACCATCAGAGCTTATCGCTCCGTCGTGCGTCTAGGAGCCTAAGGGATGGATTTGAAGAGCGAAAGGGACGCGTCGAAGGGGGATTGCGAGGCAGCCAATAGAGATAAGGCGGAGCAGCAGTCGGGATACAGCAGGGTGTATAGACAGTGATGAGACAGTCCGCATTCCCCATGGTTGTCCGCACAGGAGGATCTGGCGATCGCGCGGGCCGGGGGAAGCGAACTCAATATGCGTGCATCTAGGGTCAGATCATCGTCGGGACAGAGGACTGTGAACTCTAAGAGGCATCGTCGATGAGTAATGAGTGTCTGAAGGCTGTGTAACTCAAAGGGGGAGATGTTGATACAAGGACGAGTAGAGTTGTGTGATGGTGGTGGTGGTGGAAGGAGGTGTTGCGCGGACGAGCTCAAACACACGCTCTACTGCGCCGATTCCGTCGGAACCGATCGCCGAGACCTCGGCGAGCTTCGGCGGTGGCTGACGGAATCAAACGTCGATCCTTTTTCATGCCGTCATAATGTCTCGCCCCTGTGCCTTTTTGACGCGCCTTCTCTCCTCATCCGGCCACACTTCTCACCATCCATCGTCCGCTTGCAGCATTCCATGTCTCATCTATATTACGCCGTTAGACCGAAGAAGGCCACTGATCGGCGTCTCTCAGTGCATCTCAACGTGCAAAAGCCTGGAATCATGGACAGGAAAGTTGTAGGAAGGCGTAGCAGAGTCCGAGTTGGGCAGGTCGCCTGTCGTCGATCCCACAAAGTTCGGAGGGATTGGGTATAGGACAGGTACCGGTACTACAGTCGCCGATCAAGCAGGATTATGAAGAGCTCGCTAGGTTGTGCAAGGTGGTGTTCATATACAGACCACTTCTCGACTTTGACCTCTTCATCCTTCTTCTCACTGCTTTGATAGCTTTTACTCTCCCTCGACTTGCTCATACTCGGTGCAGGCCGCCTCCCTCCGCCCTCTCTCGACCGACCGCAACTTTCTCCCAAGATGTCGAACCAAGGCCTCATTGAGGTGTTCTCGCCATACGAGGCAGCTCAGATGCTTCTCGCCCAGACCGGTCTCGTGAGTCCACCTCTTCCTACCCCATCCTGGGCCAAGCTCACCCCTAGTCCGACATCTCCAAGACCCTCCTGGCAGGCACCTCCGGTCTGGCCGTGCAGGCGCTCGTGACCGGCTCTGTCCTCCAGCTGGTCCACCGCTACTTCCAGCGCCAGGCGCGCTTGAAGGCTCGGAGCGCACACGGCGGTGCAGGCACCCAAGACCCGCCTCTTGCCCGAGCGGGTGTCATGTGGCTCACTGGTCTCATCTGCGTACACGTCGTTCTGGTCTACATCACCAACGCCCGCGTACTCTTGATGAGCCAGCAATTCACCGCTGGGTACCTCATGGACTTTGTAAGTCTTGTCAATCCACTACAAGCCGATGTCTTGCTAAAGCTAGTAGTGGCTCGCCCAGCTGTCCAACCTCATCTTTACGGTCGTCCTTCTCCCGATCTTCCTCTTCTTTGCCTTCCGCGCATGGAACCTCTGGTCACGCCGCAAGGCCGTCATGGGTCTCTGCCTCGCCGCAGTCACCCCGGCCGTCGGGCTCGGTCTTGCCGCGTGAGCTGTGATGCACACTTGGAGGCTATGCGACTGTAGCTGACAATCATAGTGCCGCATTCGGCCTGCAGCACCCGTACCCCCTTGAGCAGATCGACAACTCTGCTTTTGCAGCGTGGTTGCCGTTCTTCATCTCCACCATCAAGAAACTGCAGTGGATCACGGTGAGTTAGACGCTGTCGCCGATCGAGCGTCCATAGGCTAGGCTGATCAAATCAGCTCGCTAGCTCTGCCGCCCAGTTCAGTAAGCTTCCAACTCTCTGGCTAAGTCCAAACTGCACGGGAATGAGCTGACACCTCAGTTGCCGCTTGCGTCTTCTCCGGCCTCATCTGCACCGGCCTTTTTGCGCACAAGAACTGCTGCGCTATCATGCCTGGATTCTGTACGTCCAGCTCCTTCGCTTCCCTCCTCTATAGCTGACAGTGACAGCTGGCAAGCTCGCCTTCGTGGCTGGTGAATCGCTCTTCCCGCTTGTGATCACCTCGGGCGCCATCCTCGCTGGAGATGTCATCACCAAGGTCTCCGTTTCGCCTATTGGCCCGCTCATGTGAGTCCTATCCCCCGATTCCGCCAGTAAAGACAAAGCTGACGACCAGCTCCCGAGCGGTCCACTCGTGCGCGCCAGCCATCTACTTCCACTGCCTCATGAACTCTCTCACCTCTGCCCAGCGGTACCGCGACACCCTGCGCGGGTCGATGTCTGCACACCGGCCGAGCCTTGGCGATATCCACGGCGGTGACGGCCAGCTCTCTGAGAAGATGAGCGAGGACGACACATTCTGCCCCGTCCCTGAGGATCTCGATACGCCTCTCGAGGTCGAGTACAACCCATCGTCCGCCAAAGGCCGGTTCAACCTCCCCAATATCTTCACCACCAGACCCAAGGACTCGCTCCCTACCTCCTTCAGCGACTCTGCGCCCGCGACCGCCCCCTCCGGCTCCCTCTCTGCCAAGCTCGGCAGCTTCACCCTCCCCTCGCCGATTCGTATGGCCTTCAACCGGGGTCCCGCCAAGGAAGCCGAAGAGCCCGAGGATCACTACACCCTCCGTTCGGCCGGGAGCGGGCGGCGCTCCTCGCTCGCCCGCGCGTGCTCGTACGGGTCCGCGAAAGCCGGCGAGCTCAAGTCCATGTCTGGCCTCAGCATCAAGCTGAACCACAACAAGCTTCCCCTGCCCATCGTGTCCTTCCAACCGCCCTTGGACCGCCGGGAGTCGGAGCAAATCTTTGTGGCGCACGAGGAGTTTGAGGGGTTGCCGCACACCCCCGGAGATGGGATGGGGGGAGGCAAGAAGGGACTCAGCCTCAATGATATCGAGGAGGGAGGGAGCGATGCGGCGTTGACGCCCAAGTACTTTACCCCGCCGAGGATCGCCAGTCCGAGCCCGATGTTTGGCGGCGAGTGGAAGGACGAGAACAGGGCCGGTCCGAGTAAGGCCCCGGACTTTGGGCGGAGCCCGGAGAGCGTGTACGAGGCTCAGGTCGGTCAGGCCTAGGTCGGGCCCAAGTGGGAGGTGCTTCTTTCAACCATATACCCCCTCTTTCTCTTTCTCGCTCTTGCGATTTCATAGCCTAGTTGGACGTTCTCATCTTCTTCGTCTCGGATACTTCTAGTTAGGGTCTGCATGTTCTACTCTTGGTTGCTTGTTATACTATTTCAGTAGCACTTGGTATATGCATCCCACCTGATCGCAGCTTGATTGCTTGGCGCAATGTCAGCCACGACCTCGACTCGCGCTTCCTCGTACACGACTCGGTAGCTCACTTCATACGATATGTACCTATAGCTGTACGACAACTCTCCCTCATATACCCCTGCTAATACTGCTTTTGCTTCGGGTCATGCACCCTTCTACTCGTACTTCAACGGGGTCTCCCCGACCTTCTACTGGCTCTCTGCCATCGAGACTCTATTGCCCCATCTGGGCTTTAGACTTCTCCGCTTCCAGTCGCTACCTTATCAGCTCTCTCCCAATTCTCACTCGGACGGGTCAGCTCACCTGGTACAGCATCTGTACCGCAATGTTGATGGACGAAGGGTGACCCGTTATCGTCACGAGCCGTTCCTCGGGGTTGGCGGGCTGACCAGGCTGAGCCGGTGTCCCCGGGTCCGCCACTCTGATCTGACACTGTGATTGCGCGCGAATCTCGTTGATCTTCGCTCCTGCCTTTCCGATGACTGGTGGATCAGCTCCACTCCTTTCTCCCTTGAGAAACCCTATACTCACTAGCTCCGACCAACGCGTTAGGGATGAAGATCTGTTGCGTATGTGCGCCCGGAACCGGTTGGCCCGGCACATACGAAGAACCTCCCCCACCTGCGCCCCCTGATGGCCCGCCATAGCTTGACCTCGAACCACCACCGCCATCCCCATTTCTAGATCCGCCTGACTGCTTGTACTGGCCTGATGCGGCGCCGGGGTTCCGGTCTTGATATTCGAGGAGGATGGTGCCGATGTAGTAGACGGCAATATGGACGGCGTCGGCTACGCCAGAAACGGAAAGGACACGCTAGAGATCAGCTGAGTGCAGCTTGAAGCAAAAAAAGACTGACCTCGGTGGATCCGGGGAGCATAGCTTCAGAAGCATTCAGACGAGCACCGCTGGCTTCCTGAATCTCCTTGATCTTGCTTCCGGCTTTACCGATACTATGATGTCAGCTTCGCTCCAGACAGGTGTCCTTGCATCAACTCACACGCTACCCATGCGGGAGTTGGGGATGATGAATTTGATGGTGACGGCTCGTGAGCCAGGGACGGAGGCGACGTCAAAGGGTTCGTCGTTGATGCGGCGGACTATCAGACCGAATGCCTAATTGTCAGCTGTAGACCGTGTGACGAGGCCGGGCCCATAGCTCACCTTGGCAACCGCGTCGAGTTGTCCAGAGACACTGAGGATGCGTTCGGGGTTTCCAGGAATAGATTCGGATACATTCACTCGGGCACTGCTCTTCTCCTTCATCGCGTCAGCTATGCGCTGTAGACATCGTCAACGCGCTAGCTTACTCTGATCTCGTTGACGTGCACACCAGCACGTCCAATAATGATACTCGCGTCCTGAGTGACGATCAAGCACCGCATGCTGATCTGCTGAGGCTGGTCGGACTTGCCGGAGGAGGAAGTGGGAGGTGCGGGCATGGAGTTGGCGGATGAGGGGCCGTCCCTACTCCGTCAGCCTGATTATACCCAAGTGCACATGCAACTCACCCGTTGGTGTGATCCTCGTCCATCTTGTCCGCTCTTCCGTCCTTGTCCTTGGCAGAGTCCCCGGCTTCCTCCTTTACTGCGCCGTTCCCGTTGCTCTTTTCCTTCTCAGCGTTCCCGTTCCCGTCACCGTTGGCGGACCCCGGCTGAGCGTCCAGAACCTCGTCCGACGCCGATTCCTCCTTTGCAACGACGGGTCCGACGGAGTACTCTCCGTCCTCCCTGTGCTCCTCCTTGACCCGCTTGGCGGATGTCTGGGCGGTCTCGGGCGAGAGCGGCGATGCGGCGCGTTTGCCTGTAGGAGGGGGCGAGGTTGACATTCGTGTATGAGGTGTGGGTCGGGATGAGGGTAAAGCAAAAGATCCGCGGTCAGTTCTGCTTTGATGCAGATGTAATCCAGAGAGAGAGATGCGGGGCGGAGCGGCAGCGGCAGCGACAGTGGTGGAAGGGCGACCAAGTGAATGACCGTAGATGATTGAGATGACCGTGCGAGTATGTGTAGAGATGTCGTGCCGTGTTGAGATTGGGGTAGAAGAGGGAGGGTCAGGTGAAGGAATGTAATGAGGGACAAGGCAGAGAGACTCACGAGTTGATCTACTTTCTTTGAGAGTGTCTCGCTGGGACAATCTAAACGTGGAGAGTGTATCAGCTGTGCGTGAAAGAGGGTATTAGTGTATGGCTGGTATAGCAATAACAAAGGAGCGCTCAGCATAAGGGAGTGCCCCTCGCTGGCTGCTGGCTCGCGGCGTTATGATCTCCTTAACCCGTGTGGCACTAATGACGCGTCCAGATCCCCTCCACCTTTGACCCGGCTTGTTTTCGCATCATCTGAAGACTGGATTTGTCGCTGGGAGGAGGAATCATAGGTGTAGGCTCACAGCTATGCATATGCTAGCTATCAGAACCGATACACTAGCATCACAGCTGCATGCTCATACCATCAGCTTTGCTGGTTCATATAGTAGCTGACGCGCTGTATCAAGTCCAAAGTTCCTATCCTCCACCTGCCGACCCTTGCTTTGCGTTAGATCACCGCCCGCCCGCCGCGCGAAAAATGGGTGCCCCTCCCTCGGACCCTCCTGTATCGGGGCATCCTATCCCGTCATCATCCACCTTTACCTTTCTACAAGCATCCACACCCACCAGGTCACTCACGCCTGCCAGTTCATACTGGTCCACCTGCAGCATCGCCTGCTACACGCCGGCAAAAGCGTAGCACACCCTTAAGCGGGTAAGCTATCGTTACCGTGCTCCCCCTGCGCGTTGTTTGCGCCGGAGCTGTAAGCGCCTGAAGCTCTCCTCTTCTTGTCGAATCTGTGAACGATGCTGATCCCTGTCGTAGCCGCAGACTCGGTCACATCTTGGTCCAGCTCCCACCGGGCTCTATTGATATTACACCAGCGACGGTGTCTTCTACACATTATCCTACGCCCTATCATCCAACCTCAGGTCTATCATCGCCATGCCCCTCCTCAAGCGCAAGCCGGTCCTGTACCATCCCCTCCCCTCCCTCGCCGCCATCCTCCAACCGCTCGGCTCTTCCTCCATCGCGATCAGCTTAGCAGGTCCATCCTCGCCCTCCTCGGGACCCACCGGCCCACCTAGCAAGTCCAGCAAGAAGGACAAAGGCACTGCTGCCGCTCCTGCCGAGTCGGAATTCGCCAGCCTCGCACCCTCCCTCCCCCCCATCCCGGCAGACGCGCCAGACGAGGACGCGCAGCTCGACCGCCTCCTCTCGCTCTTCAAGGACGATCTCGGCGTGAAGCGTAAAGATGCAAAGGGGCGGATCAGGGAGCATCTGCGCGTGGTCAAGGGACATCAGCTCACGGATGTCCTGGGTGCCGAGGAGGCCAACGAAGCTAGTACTTCGGGCGACAAGAAGAAGGGCAAGGCGGTGAATGTCATTGTGAACGGGACGGGGTATGAGGCACCGGAGGGTTCAGCCGGGGGCGAAGAATGGCGGATATGGGATAGAGAGTGTTTCTACGTCGAGGAGACGGGCGAGATATTTACAGATTACGAGTGAGTCTGTCCTACAGAAAGAGGGGGCAAGCTGAACGTCTAGGTCATACTGTAATCGCCTACAATTCCTCTCGCTTCCGCTGTACTCGTGCGAAGTTACGGGCAAGTCGGCACTGGCGTACCCCACAGCTCTGGCGTCTGAGCAACGTGAAGCTAGGCTGCTTCACACCCGCTTCCCCAGCCAACTGAAACGACCGGTTCTCAGCGCCTGCCAATTCCGTGAGCCACCTCTATCTCAGTTTTCCGCTACAAAGCTAACCCTCAGAAATCGAGGGCAAGCTGGACGCACTCGCAGATAAGATCTATGAACGCTTTGTCAATCGCTTCTTTGACGAAGAGAGTGAGTCTTGCTATCTGTTCCGACCGCGATCCTCCGCTGACCCCACTCAGAAGTATTCGTCGACGTGGACGGCGACAAATACCTCGCTCGTATAATCCGCACCTTCCCACCCAAAACCAACAGCGCTTCCACCCCTTCCAAAACCGCCGGTCCATACCATGCCCTCGCGTCCCAGTTGGACTTGCCCAATGAGGAAGTCATACGGAGAGACGACCCCATGGCGTATTTCTACAATGTGCGGTTGATTGAAGAGGGGGCGCCGGGAGTTTCGGGCGAAGAAGGTGACCCGATCAAGGGGTTCAGCGATGATGAGGGTAGATCAGTGGCGGGGGATGGAGAAGGCGAGAAATGGGAGGGGAGCGTGATGGAGGTCAAGGCGGATAAGATCTCGTGAGTTACTTTCGGCGCGTCATCTTGTACAGATCTCACCAGCAGGCGAGACCGGATCAACTTCTCTCGAGCCATTCTGAAACGATTCATCCGTGATTGTATCCACCGAGACGCGGCCGTCTACTCGCCCTGGCTGCTCAAGAAGGCCGTGGCGCTGCGGTACAATCTGCCTGTAGAGATGTCGGAGGAGGTGCGCAGGCATATTCAGGGGTACAAGGAGCGCCAGATGGAGAAGCGCAAGAGGGAGCGGGAGGAGCGGTTAGGTCTGCATGCGCCAGAAGAGGCGGTGGTTGAGGAGGAGATGCCGGCTGCCAAGAAGAAGCGGAAGTCGGTCAAGAAGGAGGGAGTGAGCGCGGCGGATGAGGCGGCGGAGGCGAGGAGGGCCGAGGAGGAGCGGAGGAAGAAGAGGCCACTCAAAGTGCCTACTGAGGGTGAGTCGCGGTGCGAAGCTGACGGGGTGGTCGGGCGCCACGTAGAGGGCAACGCTGATGCTTCAGACTTGCTTGTCGAGTACAATGCCGACCGCGATGCGTCAGCCGGCAGAATCGGTATGCGTCCATTTGCGAGCAAGGAGCTGCCGTTTGGCGACCAGTTCGAGCAGTTCTTGATGACCTGGAGTTTCCTGAATGTTCTGGGGTGAGCTTTTTCTGTGTGCCCTAGTTACGAAAGTCAACTAATGCTCTAGTGCCCCGCTGAATCTCTCCCCCTTCACTCTCGACGACTTCGAGTCCTCACTGTACCACACAGACCCCTCCACCCCCGCACCGCTCCTCACCGAGATCCATGCCTGCCTGCTCAACACCCTCGTTGCCGACCTCTCGGCAGGCAACGAGCCGGTCCGTCCTCTCAAGTACACCGGCAAATCCACCTCGGACGACATCGAATCGGACACGGACTACTGGGAGGGCAAGAAAGGGACGACCACCGAGACTCTCAAACCCATCGCTGAGCCCCTGTCTACCCTCTGGAAGAGCCGGGAACTACCCGCCCGGGATGGCCGCAAGGGATGGCAAGAGTCTCTTGTTGGATGCCTCTGGGATCGCGCCACACTCGATACCCTTCCGAGCTATCTCGACAACATCCTACACCTGACATTCGAGGACAAGCCTGCTCCTACGCGTCCGACATGGTCGACCGGGCCTGCCGCCACGTCGGGTCCACAGGGTCTCATTCTCAGTCGTCCGGATAAACGGTACCCCACTCTCCACTTTACGCACAAATTGGACATTATCCGGTTCTTGATTGAGCTGGCGGGGCAGACGGCGGTAGTCAGGGATTACCTCGAGGAGAGTACGACCAAGTTGACCGAGGTGCGGAAGGAACAGATGGACGTCAAGCGGGATTGGAAGCGGATGTACGTGCTCCTCCGATGCCGATTGTGCGTGACTGACGATGTAGACAAGCCGAGAAGGCCGAGCTGGAACCCAAGGAGATCAAGCCTGATGAGGACGAACCCATGAATGGGGACGGCGATCTGTCCGTCACTGTCAAGGGTGATCCCGCATCGCGATCCCCTAGTGTCCGCGGGAAAGCCAACGGAACGGCCCGCCCGCCAAAATCCAACCATACCAACGAAGCGGACGAGGACGAGCTTGACGATACCCCCACTCCACGTCTTGGAGACGACGATGTCGATACCTTTTCCGCCCCGCCGGCCTCGTCGCCCATCTCCGAGCTGGACGAGGAGGACGAGCCCGAGACGTCCGGTGCGGCCCGCCGGAAAGCTATGGCGGCCGCTGCGGCCGAACGGTCTGCGCAGGCGGTGGAGCGAAAAGTTGCACTCAACAAGCAGCGGGCGGTGGATAAGGAGAAGAAGGCGGGTTCGAGGCATGTCACCGCGGAGAAGAAACGGCTCGCGGACGAGGCGGAGGCTGTGGAGCGACGGCTGAGGGAACTGGAGTATGAATTCCGCGCGGCCATCTACACGCTGCGGGCCCGGCCGCTCGGGCTCGACCGGTATGGCAACAAAGTTTGGTGGATGGATGGACTGGGGAGTGCGCCGCTGGGAGCCAATGGAGCCGCGGAGGGCAAGGCGGGCGCGGCAGTGTGGGGAACAGGCAGGGTGTACCTCCAGGGCCCGGACGAGGGGGAAGTGGATATGCTGCGCTTGGCGGCTGGGCAGGCGCTAGCGCATCATTGGGGGGCGGGGCGGGGCGCGGATGGGCAAAAGTGGGAAGTGGACCCAGCGGAGGCCGAGCTCAAAAAGGAGGATCTGGAGCAAAGGCGGATAAGAGAGGAAGGGGATGGGAGATTGGGGCCGGGCGAGTGGGCAGTCTACGATACGCCAGAAGCAGTAAGTCTTGCCACACCATTTTCGGCTTTGTGAGCGAAAGGAATGTTGAGCTCATTGTGCAGCTTGCATCGTTTATCTCATACCTGAACCCTCGAGGAAACCGCGAACTCGCCCTGATCAAAATTTTCAAGCAGTGGCTGCCCGATATTGAGGCAGGCATGAAGCGTCGCCGAGTCATCACTGGTTTGGAAGAGGCAGAGGGGGAGGAAGGGGCCGCGAGGCGAGTGATCAAGACGCGGAAAGCAACGGGAGAGGAGGAGGGGTGGATGAACTGGAAGGTGAGCTCATTGTCGCTGAAGGATGGGCACTTAGCTGACTGATCAGAACAAAAGGGCTGTTTGAGCCTAGGGCGACGTATAGTCTGGCGTAGTCTAATCTTGGCGAGACCTCAGCCCCATTGAGAGAGCGAGAAGGCGGGCGAGGGCGGTATCTGCATAGTCATCTCAGTCTCCATTAGCCAGCTGGAGATGCAATATGTCATCAGTGTAGCTCATTTTCATGCTACAGCTACATCCTCCTGTGTGGTCACCAGCATCCAAGTCCTCGACCTGCGTGCTCGCACTGGACAGCATGAGAGTGTGAGGTGGTACAGCATGGCTCGGCCGGCATCGACCCCTTCGGCCGAAAGACATCGGCCGAGATGATGCGTTGAATTATCTGATTAGATTGCCTCGCGTCGACCGTCGCGAGAAAGGTAACTTGCGAAGCAAGAGACGTGATCGCCCCGTACGCAAAGAAGAAGAGCACCTCACATCATACACGCCGTATAGCGAGCGGATCGACCGACTGTGATACTCTACATTCGCTCGGCGAGGTGAGAGCCAACCTCTCACTTGAGCTGTTCCATGACTGACATCCTCTAGCATCGACACCCTTGTGTCCTTGAAGCGCCCATCATGGCGCGGTTGGAAGCTGATCTACCTTCCCCTACTCCATATACAGACCCTCTACTCCGCCTCAGAGCACTCTCAGCCCGGATCCTCCACCCCGACATCTTCCTCCCCATCCTCTCCTTCCTCCCCACCTCGGCCCTCCCCCCTCTCATCCGCACCTCTCGCGCCATATCCGCCCTCGCCGGACCGCTCTTATACACCGACCTCACCCTATCACCCTTCACCCATCACGCGCTACAAACACTGACATCCCCTTTGGCGTCCCTCGTCTTCTCCCCTGGGCTTGATGGCGCTCGTCTGTCGCCCTACGACCTCCGCGCGGTCCTAAGGGACTTTCCAAGCCGGAAGCGCTACCTCCTGGAATCAGCGCGGACGCTCCGGGTGCCCGCACATCACTCGCATGAGGCGCTGCCTAAGGGGATGGAGGATCTGAGGCTGGATATGGGGAAGGTGGAGACACTGCATCTAGTAGGAGGGAGGGCTGTCTGTCACCCTATCAAAGCCGGGGCGAGGTGCTCGTTCTTCCAGAATCTCAGGCCAAAGCTCATCGTCCTCGAATCTAGCCATCTGGATATCGGGCGTGTAGATGGTCTCAGCACGCAGGCTCACGAACGGTTCGAACACCTCGTCGTTAAGCTCTCCCCTCCGACCGGCTTCATCTACCCCCCTATTCCTGCACAATGCGTTTGGAGCGGCATCAGGCGCGTCACTATCGTCTTCACGCCGCCGACGTACCTGGACGAGAAGGGGCGGAAAGTCGTAGAGGGTTGGGCACCTACACATCAGCGTAGTTGTACAGGCGGGTCAGCGCGACGGCCTAGCTTTGCCGAGCTGGTCCAGCACATCGTCGAGGTGTCTGCAGGCGTGGGCCAGGTGGAGGTGATCGGAGCAGAGCTGCTCGACCCGCAATGGGTAGGGGCGGACGACTGTAGGGAATGGCGGGCAAGTGATCCCGGACTGCATCTGCAGGAGGATATAAGGAGGGCGAAAGAGACGATTGGCGGGATCTCCTTGATCGCAGGGATCGGCTCCTATCGGCTCGAGGAATGGAGGGCGACCAGGAAGGGTCATCTGCTGGATCTCGCCGAAGTATCAGCGGGCTCAAGGGCAAATGCAGAGACTTAAGTCGGTCAGCAAGAAACGATGGTTAGTACTTCGGGCTCTGAAGGGCGTTGCTATAGTCAAGGTAGATAGAAATACATCATACTAGCTTTTGGTGATTCCAGCCCTTTGGACGGAAGGTGAGTCAACGCAAGATTAGTTGTCAGCCATGACCCAGTCCTGTATATATCAGCTTCGAGCCCGGCATGGGGAGTTCAGTGTCGATCAGCTCACCCAGGTGGTAGGCTATACTCATCAGCATCTCTGCCTCACGATCGCGACTGAAAGACTCACCTTGTACTCGGCAAGCTCAGACTCGGCGAACCAGAGCTCAATCTCCTTGGACGCGCTATCGAACGAGTCAGAAGCGTGGATGAGGTTGCGGCTATGCGTGTGAGCTAGCTTACTCTACGAAAAAGACTCCTTAGCTCACCCAACAGAAACGGCGTATTGTCCACGGACGGATCCGGGGTCGGACTCTTGGGGGTTGGTAGCGCCTACAATGCGGCGCTGGGGAGCGTCAGTCGTGCTTGCATTTGCAGGCCGCGCAGACTTACACCTTGACGAATGACGTCCTTGCCCTCCCAGACCCTGCAATCATCAGCTTGGCTCGCTCTATTGTGCGTCGATCAGCTCACATGGCAACGACCGGGGTACCCGAGGTGATGTAGTCAACGAGCCCCTTGTAGAACGGCCTAGACGCAAGGTCGATGTAGTGCTCCTTCGCGAGCGCAGGCGAGGGGGTCAAGGACTTGACACTGCCAGTGTCAGCTTGACATGTGCGAGTGAAGGCAGAGGAGAAAGCTTACGCGACAAGCTTGTACCCACGCTCTGTACATTCAGCTTCGAATTTCTGCACCTTGTTCATGTAACGTACCCTCAAAGCGAGTGATGATCTACACATGTCAGCTGGGTCTCCGTGAAGCGACACAGAGGAGGTATAAGCTTACCTTGCCCACAAGCTGGCGGGAAACACCGTCGGGCTTGATCTGGAAAGTGAGCTACATGGCCAGTCACACCTCAAAGTACTGCGACGCGGAGCGCACCATGACGAAGCTCCTCTCGCTGGCCTTGCCCTTCTCACCGGCCAAGCTCTTGCCTTCGAGCAACAAGGGCGCACCTATCCCGTCAGCGCAACGCCAAAGCCAGCGGTGAAAGCGTACGTTGACCCACCCTGGTACAAGCCGAACGCGGTGACCGCGGTAGCTGCAGCGAGGGCGGCACCGTACCGAGGAACAGCACGGACGGAGAGGGTGGACATGGTCCTCACTGCCTAGGTCAGCAAAGTTTGCGTCTGCTGGCCAGGGTAGTGGGAAGCGGGAGACGTACCCGACGAGCGGGAGGCAGCACGGAGACCTAACCGCGTCAGCTTCTCAGGCCCAAACGAGCACGGTGATCTATCTGCCCTGCTTACCGGCACGGAGGGTGGTGGAGAACATCGCTTATGTGTACTTTTAGGTGGATGAGAGGTCAAGGTAAGGCGCAAAAGTAACGGATGATTTGGTTGGCTGTTGGAGGGCATCCGTCCGTGCGCAAGGAATGCGGATCAGAGACATGCTGTGGCGGGTCTTGTGGCGCCAGTGCAACCGCTGGAGACGCCATGTGCAGGCACATAGCCGGGTCGAGACTTATACGCCCAGAGGAGCGGATTCTTTCTGCGAAAAACGAGCAACCGTAATTCATCGTCCAAGAAATCACAAGATGTCACTGTGGACGCTTCTACTCCAGCTGCGCGTATAGCTCCTTCTCGTACGCAACATAAACGTCCCAGCACGGGTCGGGCCCCATAGAGAGCAGCTGAGTGGCACAGATTCCCTGTCTATCAGCATCGTACTACTGTCCTAAGTGATGAGAGAACATACCGCGAGACCCGTGCTCGGGTCAATCCAGAACGGCGTGTTCAGGATACCGTACCCGCACCCGCTTCCCGCCTTCCGCCTCCCTGTGAAATCCTCCAGGTTGGACAATAGACCGGGCGAGTAGTCCACGTTCGCCGTACTGATCACCGGATCAAAGTAGCCTTGTGGTGCGAACATGTCGACGATCGCCTGCTTCCCGCCCTCGGTGGTGACGCAGCCGGTGAAGAGCTCCTTAAAGGAGGAAGCCGAGAGGATGGGATTGGTGGCGTGATGCGGTGAGGATGGGTCGGATTGAAGGACCGCTCGGAGGATGACCAGGAAGTCCCGCTGAGTTCCAAAGAGGCCTTCTCCACCGAGCAGCATGTCGGTCGGTACGTCGGCGACCTCGGTGGGCCGAACGACTCCGGCTCCGGGGGGCAGCGCAACGACGGATTGATCTGGCATGCGTGCACAGATGGCCATACTGGCCGTCTTGACCTCGTCGGTGGGGTAGAAGGTCAAGGACTTGACACCGAGCGGGTCAAAGATGTGCTGCTGGAAGTATCGGTCGAGTCGAAGCCCGGAAGCCCGCTCAACGAGCTTGCCGATGAAGATGTAGGCCGAGCCGTAAGACCAGGAGGTGCCCGGCTCGTATAGGAGTGGCTTGGCGATGGTCGCCATGGAAGCCGAGGAGGAGAGGAGATCCGTGTCCTCGGGGTAGAGCTTATGGTAAGCGGATAGAGCGGATGGGAATATCGCATAGGAGCAGCCTCGCGTGTCAGCTGTGTAGTGTTACCGGGCGATCAGGACACCCACCTGCTTGATGAGACAAGAGCATCCTGAGAGTGATCCGCTTGGTGGCCTTCTCCAAGATCGGCTTGCCGTCCCCCTCGTAACCCTTCAGGATTGGCAAATCGCCCAGCTCCGGCAGGTACTTGGCCACATCCTCCTCGCTGTCCAGGCTGATCACCCCTCGGTCGACCAGCTGGTATGCGGCGATAGCAGTGATCAATTTGGTCTGGGAGAAGAGTTCCATCACTCGATGATTAGCTGGATTCTGCGTTTACATGGTGCCAAGGGGCACGAAGAGGGGTGCTATCTCACCTGTCTCGCCAGTGACAGCCCCTTTGGTCTCATCCCCGAAGATTTTGTCTCCCGCCTGATTCTCATAGATGGTACCTCCTGCGTTGGTGGCCAAAAAGAAAACGGCCGGTGTCGTCTTGCGGGAGACAGTGTCGTGGAGTAGCTTGTCAAGTGCATCAGAGCCGCCTTGACGGATGCGGGCCATGCTTTGTGCGGCCATTGGAGCGAATCAAGTGAGTGTCAGAGAGGGATGATAGTGAGAGCCTGGCAACCTGTCGCTCAACATCTTATATACCCTGCCTGTGAGCTGTGAGCTTGGCCAAAGGACAGTAAGTGAGAAGCGGTGCTATGGTACCGCGTGGTCACACTACCGGCCGCGGGAGTGGTCAGAACTATTGGTGGGCTCGACCGGATAACCAGTCCGGGAATCTCACTCCGCACCAGAATCCGTAAACGGTTTTGTATGTATCTCTTGTACATAAATATATATCACGCTAGCATACACATACAGCAGCATGTCGACGCAGCCGCGAGCCATTGATACAGCTACAGAGGCTTTTCAGATCGAAAAAAAAATCAACTCACCATTTACCATATCAACTGAGCAGCCTCCCGGAGACCTCCCGGAGTGTCGTTCCCCTTCGCCGATCTCAGCTATACCGCAGCTATGCGTTGATTCCTAGCATCCAGAGTAGGTCTCGACTCCTCGCGCATCTGGCTGGAAGCTGATGGCTGGGCACAGCGCGTCCTTGGTCTAAGCTGGCTGAGGGAACGCGGTTTTTGCATGATCCAGTAAGCCCCAGTTCCCACCCTTTCCCTCAAATCATCCGACTTTGACCTTCTCACTCCACATCTCTGATGCATATCTGCTCCCTCATCTGATCATCCACCCCACCCAATGTGCATCAGTGCGTCGCTGATAATACAGATTAAACGGGGTTGTGAGCTGCCACAACGCGTCCTCCCACTTCTCCCCCATATGCGGCGGTATGGGAGCGGTGCCAATTTGATGAGTCGAAGGGTATCGAGGGGGCAGCCACATCCGGATGTGTTTCAGATTTCGCAACCGCGTTTCATATCTGCGTGGTCAAGGTAGAGTCCCTGTCTAACAGTCTAACTGCTCCCGAGATCGGGTTGTGCAGCAGGCAAGGATGAGGGCGACTTCGCGCGGTACTTGGTTGTCAGAGCCCCATGTTAAGATACATCCTGTACGATAGGCAGCGCCGATCCCTCTACTCCAAATTCGAGTAAAGCTCCTTCTCGTATGCAGCGTAGATGGCGAAATACGGGTCCGGTGCAGGCGAGAGGAGCTGAGTACCGCAGATACCCTGAAGTGTCAGTGTCGTAGCGGTACATCCACTCTTGAACTCACAGCGATACCAGTCTTTGGGTCAACCCAGAAATTGGTCTTGGCCGCCCCACTCCAGCTCCCACTCCCCGCCTTCCGCCGTCCCGTAAAGTCCTCCAGGTTGATCATCCAGCCGACCGAGTGATCGACATTGTTCTCCGTCGCTGGCGGGTCAAAGTACGCCGCGCGCCCGACCATCTCAAAGATCGCCGCCTTGCCGACCTGGGTCTGGACGCAGCCTGTAAAGAGCTCCTTGTACGACTCGGGCGAGATGATGGGTTTGTCGGAACGGTGAGGAGAGGAAGGGTCCGCCTGGAGGATGGCCCGGAGGATGACGAGATAGTCTGCGAGAGTACCGAACAGCCCGGCGCCGCCGAGGAGGAGCTCCTTCGAGATGTGGTCGACCTCGCTAGGTCGACCCATCCCAAAGCCGTTCGGAAAGGTTGCGAGCGAGCCGTCCGGCTTGCGCATGCAAACCGCCATCTTGTTCTTTTTTACCGTGTCGGTAGGGTAGAATGTGAGGGTTTTTAGGCCGAGCGGGGCAAAGATATGGTTCTGGAAGTACTCGTCAAGGCGCTCCCCCGAGACACGCTCGACGAGTTTGCCGACAAAGTCGATCGAGGTAGAGTAGATCCACGACGTTCCGGGTTCGAAGATGAGGGGTTTGAGGATGGTGTTGAGGTTGGCAGAGGGGTGGAAGATGCTGACTTCTGGGTTTGCTTTAAGGTAGGCGCTCAACGCTGACTCTGCGTGAGCGTAGACGAAGCCTATAGCATCAGCAGCTGGCTCGCAGAATTTTGGGGTACTTACCAGCGGTGTGGGACATGAGCATCCGAAGAGTAACCTTCTTGGTCGGCTTCTCCAGGATGGGCTTTCCATCGTCTCCGTACCCCTTCAGCAGATCCAGCTTGCCGATCTCGGGCAGGTGCTTCTCGATATCCTCCTCGCTGTCAAGGCTGACCAGACCCCGGTCGACCAGCTGGAGAGCTGACAGACATGTGACGAGCTTGGTCTGTGAGAATAGCTCAAGGTCTGGAATCAGTACCTGGCATCATGCGCTGATGATCTATAACTCCTCACTGGTGTCCTCGGTAACCTGGCCAGAGTTCTCATCCCCAAAGACCATCTCCCCCTCCTGAATCGACAGGATGGTGTCTTTGGCATTGGTAGCAAGGTAGAAGAGCGCTGGGGTTTCCTTCCGCGCGACAGTCTGGTGCAGATGCTTGTTCAGCGCCTCGGCTCCTCCTTCTCGCAGCTGAGGTAGTTTGGACGACATAGTGATGGTTGAAGATGAGAGGTAACGGTGGAAGAGGCCTGGAATAGCCCGCCTGGAAACATCGGCTATTCGGCGGCCGGATAGCTTCCGAACCGGCCGGCGGCCCATGCGACGCAGACAGACGCAGACGTGGGCAGACTTTGCTGTTTGCGCTTCATGCGATGGTCACTGGTGGGGATGGAGGAGCGATAGCCACCCGAGAGACCCCTCCCATACCTGGGCTATACGTCTTTGCGGAAGGATTGCCTTACGGCGTCGCAGGTGAGTTGCAGAATTGACTGATTGCGGACGAGGCTGATCAACAGAAGCGGCACTGGGTGGCATCGCTGAGGATGACCTCTTCTCAGGCGGCAAGCGCGACCAGGTCATGCTGTTCGACAGACATATCGAGGACAAAGACTACGATCCCATCCTGGATGACCGCGAGTCCAGCCTTCCGCCATACATCCTCGCCCTCCTCACCGAGGTTGACAAGATGATCTCTCCTCAGCTCCCGCAATCCGTCGCCACGGCCATATTTGACCAGTCACTCTCCAGACAGGTCATTATCAACCTCTACCCACCAGGCGAGGGGATCAGCCCTCATATCGACCTTCCACACCGGTACGCGGATGGCATCCTAGGCGTGTCTCTCTGCGGTGGATGTGCCATGACGCTGCGGCATGCTCGGACAGGAGAGGAGCATCACGTCTACCTCCCCTCTGGATCGGTCTACTGCTTGACGGGCGAGGCGAGATGGGAATGGAGTCATGGGATCGAGGGCGGGATGGTGGATGTCGTGCAGGACATGCAGGGTAGGCGGACGACGTTGATGAGGGAGCTCAGGGTCAGCGTGACCTTCAGGTGGATGACAGAAGGGGCAGACGAGCTGGTCGAGCTAGCCAGCTAGAGTCTATATCGAATCCATGTACTATCCCCCTGTTCTAGCTAGATTTCACCTTGGGACTCTTCTTCGGTGTACCAGCTCTTGATCTCGCGCGCGTAGCCGGTCCCTCTCCTCCTTGCACTGCGCCCACCTTCTCGTGCAGTACCGCCTCAACAATCTCCTTCTCCTCCTTGTCCATCTTCTTCGCCTGGCCCAGCACCGGCCTCGGCGAGAGCACCGCCAGCGTAATCACTCTCGCCAGGAACAGCGAAGCCAGGAAGAAGACAACCAGCCCGCGAGCGGTCTCGCGCACCATCATTTCTCCTCCGTGCGCCGACATGGGGCTTTGTCGCACGAGCAGGTCGGCGGGGAGGACACGGCCGAGGAGCTTTGAGAGTGGTGCGAGCTCGTCCGTACGTCGTAGCAGAGCCGCGTATAGGATCGCCCCGAGCATACCGCCCCAGAAGTCGAGGGTGTTCAGGACGCCTCCCTTGAGAATAGTAGGCATGCCCAGGCGCCAGTCCTCCTGGTGTAGGCCCATGAGCTGGACGAGGAAGCCCCCGCCTGTCATAGCGACCCCGCCGAGAACGGCGGTGGTCCACGCTGTAGCAGGTAGGCGGGCGGCTGCAATGGCAGATGGGAGGGCGCATATGGACGTTCCGCGAGTGATACCATCGATGAGGGCGCCGCCGACGTTGTAGAGAAGGGCAGGACACGTTGAGTGAAAGTACTCGGCGAGACCAGTAGGGACGAGGAGGAGGTAGATGGGGAGATAGGTGTACCAGGGAGTGGATGTGAGGAGCCAAGCGGGTGGTTGACCGAGGAGCATTGGGACGACGGTTCCACCGCCCCCTAGGAGTCAGCGCTGACAAGCGTGAAGACAGCTGGACTTACAGCAGAGCATCAGATAGCCAAATAGATCCCCCATCATTCCCACTTTTTCCCGCCTAGCCACCCGCTTGCTCTTGGTCATGCCTGCCCATACCACCGCCACTCGAGCAGCATGTAGTGTCCCCAACCGAGCTACCGGAAAGTACCCAGGAAAGACGGGAGTCGCGACGAGGTGGGAAACCAGAGCCGAGATTGGTTGGACCGGTGCGAGGGGCATCAAGGCGGAGGTCTTGGACGAGACCACGCCCAGTATCGTCTCGAGAGCTTCCATCTTGAATAGCGAGTAAGAAGGGGATACACTTGAGACGAGGTACAAAGGGCACAGTAGATAAGACAAGTGAGTCAAGGAATGTAATCAACGTGGAAGCGGACGAGGCTCCGAGCTCCGCGCCGAGACCGACAAGCCGCACTTAAGGTCCTTCGAGCCGTTTGTGGCCCCGCTGCATGCCTCTCTATAGACCCCTATGTCATATCTCTACGTGACCTGACTGTCTATCTCGTACATCACCGCCCAGCATCTGCTCAAAACCCCCACTACTTTGTCTTTTCGGTATCCCGCACCAATTGCTGCTTCTCTAGCTCCCCCTTGTACCAGCTCGTCCACCTCTTCATCCCCTCGTCCAGCCCCACGATCGGCTCATACCCCAATATCCGCCTCGCCTTCTCAATATCATAGTACCGCTGCTGCGTCGCCTGGCTCACGCGGAACTTGGTAAAGCCCGGTTCTCTCCGCGTGAGCTTGGAGAATAGCTCGGCGAGCATGGCGAGAATGAGGCCGATGGAGGTGGGGATGGCGATGATGTAGGGAGGGGTATGTCCGAGCTGGCGCCAGATGGTACGGGCAAAGTCCCAAAAGTAGATGGGTTCGCCGTTGGTGACGAAGAAGACTTGTCCCGCGACGTGTACTCCATCCGCCGGGCTATCTGATTCCTCTTGCGCCTCCTCGCCGAATTGGTCCAGCTTGTTACGGAGGACCGGACGGAGGTCGCGCGGGTCCTGCTCGCCCGACTCGAAACGCTGGGCGAGGAGTAGGTCCGATTCTGTGGGGGAGGTATTAGGGCCGAGGGGGTGGGCGTCTGATGTGGGGATACGGTACTTGCCCATAGAGGCGTCGACGTAGGAGATGGGATCCCGGAATGAAAAGTAGGGGTAGACATCCGCCAATTTGTCCATTGCCAGCAGATGCGCGTGAGCAACGTTGGTGACGTAGGTAAAGTCCGCGAGGTTGGTATTGTCCCCGATTTGAAACTTGGTTTGGTTGTTGAGAACCACCGAGTAGAATCCCGTGATCATTTGACGGTCGCCCGGGCCAAAGATCCCGCTTGGGCGGATGGCGCAGGTGAGCAATTCCGGGGAATTGGCACGGATGACCATCTTCTCCGCAGAGACCTTGGTCTCGTTGTACGCGTCCAGCGCGACCGCAGGGTAATCCAGACGCTCGTCAACGTTGATGTTGTCTTTTTCACCGTTGTAGACGGTTCCGGCCGAGGAGGTATAGACGAGACGACGGACCGTGCTGTCAAAGCAGCTGTCGATGAGGTTCCGTGTGCCCGAGACGTTGACGAGTTCATATATTGTCCGGCCGGCACCGTGAGCGGGGGAAGCGGTGTGGAACACGCAGGTTGCTCCGGACTAGCTGTCAGCACGGACCCGAGGTAAGAGGTCTCAGCTCACCTTTTTGATGGCATTCGTCACGTCCTCTGAGCTCGCCAGGTCTCCAATGTAGAAGGTTACGTTGCTGCTTGTCAGCTGGATCTGGTAGTACCACGTCGCGATACATACCTGTCAAAGTGCCTCTGCACGATATCGAACACCGACACATTCTGCTCTCCCCTCGCCAGCAGCATCTCGACGATGTGTCTGCCCAGGAAGCCACATCCGCCCACCACCATGTACGCTTCGTTGGTCGCCATAGTATAGATGTTGCGAGATGAGAGGTAAAGTACAGCGCAAAAACATGGCAAAGGCGCGAACTGTGCTGGCCTCGACGCGGGGCGCTTGGTCGTCCGAGAGCCGGGACCAAACTGGTCCACCCCAACCTGTTGCCTGTTATAACAAACCTGAGACCCGGAAAAATTAATGCTCCAATGGTGTAGTGGCTATCACAACAGACTTCGACGTCTGTACGCTTGTCATCTGTTGGTCCTGGGTTCAAATCCCAGTTGGGGTTCTCTTTTTGCGCCGAAGCCAAACACAGAACACTTCTTTTTGCATCCCGAAAGGTAGCTCTGCTTCCAAGCTACCTCCGCATGGCGGTCCGGTGTCTGTGGAGCCGATGTGGCACGCCAAAACGACGTTGCCGCGGAGGTGCCACTTCCGCAAGAAACGCCTCGTCAACGTGCGATCTGTTCAACCTACACGGAGGTTGGCATATTCAGCTTTGAACAAATTGTCGATCCGTTGAACCCCAATTGGAATTTGAACCTTGGACCAACCACACCTGACAGACGGCGAAGCTGTTGTGATAGCCCTACACCATTAAAGCGTTACAGCGGATGGTTCAAAGAACATCCCACAAGTGTCAAGATCCAAAGAACATCCCACAAGATCCTGGAAAGGTTTGGCTTGGAGGTAATACTCGAACCAGAACAAGTATTTAAGCGCTGCTCAAGGGTCCTGTCTTGGACCGCTGGCCTCCCCTTGGGATGAGTCGTGGGACATGCCTTCTCGGCAGGAGTACATAGATAGCCGGCTGGAATTCCTCTGGCTCCTTCTTCCTCTAGCATGGCACACGCTCCCCCTTAGTGTCAGTAAGGCTATGCGAGTTGCTTATGAGTTGGGTCCCGCGTATTTTGGTTCCCTTTCCTCCCCCTCAGCCCGCATTAGGACGCGCTCATATTGAGTGTGATCCATCGAGGGGTTAAGGTATGAGTCTCTCCGCCTCGGGCCGGCGGAGGAAAGGGCCATTTTCGGTCGATTACCGGCCCTTCACGTCCACCTCCAAGAGGACCACCTCTACAACGTCCACACACCATGTTCTTTTCATCATCTCCACACTTTACCTATCATGGCAGCGCCTACACCTACAGAGGGCGCCGGACCCCTCTTTCTCGGCCTGGACGCCTCGACTCAAGCGCTCAAAGCCTCCCTTCTCTCGTCTGACTTAGATGTCCTCGCCGAGGCGGCCGTCAACTTCGATGCGGACCTCCCTACTCTCCGGACGCGCGGAGGTGTCCAGATGGGCCCGCAAGGGAGCGGTGAGGTGTTCTCGCCAGTCATGAGTCTGCCTATGGCGCTGGATCTATTGATGGAGCGGATCAAGGAGAAGGGTTGGGATATGAGTCGGATCCGGGGAGTATCGGCCGCTGGGCAGGTGAGCTAGTCCCGAAGACTCAATGAGGGACTGCGCTCATGAGTAGCAACACGCCTCGGTGTACTGGTCCAAAGCCTCCAGCCAGATCCTAGGAGCTATCGACCCCGCCAAGCCCCTCACTCCTCAGCTCAAAGACGCCTTCTCCCGGCAGACCATCCCCAACTGGCAAGACTCATCCACAACCACCGAATGCCGCGAGCTCGAAGCCGCCTTTGCAGGACCTGAAGGCCTAGCCAAAGCCACAGGCTCAAAAGCTCACGAACGCTTCACCGGGGCCCAAATCATGCGGTTCCGGAAGCGCGAGCCGGAAGCTTACGCCGCGACGGACCGGATCTCTCTCGTCAGTTCGGCCATCACGACGCTGCTCTGTCTGGATGGCGAGGTGAAGGGGATAGACGAGAGTGATGCGTGCGGCATGAATCTCTGGACGATGGATACGGCGGAGAGGGGATGGAACGGGAAGGTCCTGCAGGCTGTTGCGGGTGCTGATGGGGTGGAGGAGTTGAAGCGAAAGTTGGGCAGGGTGGAGACTGACGGCGGGAGGGCAGTGGGGAGGATAGGGAGGTGGTTTGTGGAACGCTATGGGTTCAGTCCCGAATGTTGCGTCTTTCCGGGAACAGGCGACAATCCAGCTACATTTCTCAGTCTTACCCGTAAGCCCTCTTGCTTCCATCTTGATTTAGCTGATCCGGGAGTCCGCCCTTCAGAAGGTCTGATATCGATGGGCACATCCGATGTCGTCCTCGTCTCGACCAACAACTATCGCCCCCACCCCGAATACCACGCATTCTTCCATCCCGCCCAGATCGCCCCTTCCAGCCCTCACGATCTCGACAATACCAGTAAAGAGAACGCTCGACTCCGATACTTCAACATGCTCGTATACAAAAGTGAGATCGCCGGTGTCTACGGAGATCGAGCTGACCAAACAGATGGCTCGCTCGCTCGTGAACATGTCCGGGATCTATACTTCCACAAATCATGGGACAAGTTCAACGAGGCTGCCGAGTCGAAGCGGCCCAAAACGGCGGATGAGCTCCCGACGGATACCGCTTTCTGGTGGCTTTTGCCTGATATCATCGTAAGCTGTCGGCTGCCGATACGCATATTCGCTGACATCTAGCCTGACAACGCTCACGGCGTCTTCCGCTACACATCCCCACGCACCTCGAACCCCTCAAAAGACGCCACCACCGCCACCCTCATCCCCGAGCACGCCGACATTGCCAGCAACGCCCTCTCCATCCTCTCCTCTCAGCTGCTCAACTACCGTTCCCGCTCTGCCGCCATTCTCGATGCTCCCACCGATGGATCTCTCGCCAGCCTCAACAGGGTTTACGCGACCGGCGGGGCCTCTGCCAATCCCACCATCTTGTCTCTTATGGCAGACATCCTTGCCGCCCCGGTGGTCAAGAATGTAGACTTTGATCCTGCCACGCAGAGATGGACGGACGTTCACTGGAACGCGTGCTCTGTGGGGGTCGCATACAAGGCGCGATGGGGATGGGAGCGGCTGCATGCGGAGGGAGGGCGGAAGTGGGCCGAGTTTGACACGGTCGTGCAGGAGTGTCGGGAGCGACGGGCGGAGAGGCGTAAAGCAGCGAATGGCGGAGGTGAGGGGATAGATTTGGAGGAAGAGGGGATCAGGGCGGTGGCTGTGCCGACGGAGGCGTCCGAGGCGTGGGAGAAGAGTGTGGAGTGGTGGAGAGTGTTGGAGGCTAGAGCGGTGATAGGCAAGTAGACTCTACCGGGATCAGTGCATAAGTTTTGTCACAGATATCTACACTGGACTACTCTTCTTCGGGAGCAGCCTCTCCATCTCCTCCCGGCCTTCCCACTCATCTGCGCTCATCCACTTGACCTCGGCCCTCCCGTCTGCAGTACCATCCTCCGACCCCTGGCTTCCTAGGATACCATGAACAAGTCTCTCTGTTCTCTCTTTCAGCTCCTGCAGCTTCCCGCCTCCCGCTTCATTCTCGCCACCATCCACCGCCCCCGCCTCATCTCCGTCCTCCATGACAATGAGCACTTGACATCCCTCCTTCCTCCCGGTAATAACCCTCGCCAAATCCGGCGCCGCATCCGCCGCCCCTTTGTACGTTCCCCACTCTGCCAGATCCGGCCCAGACCCCGGTCCATGGGGCGTATGAAAGAAGCCCGAGTCCGCACCCATATCGAACCCCGCTGGGAGTCTCATCCTCGGCTGCTGCTGCTGCCCCGCGGGCAAGAGTATCGTGAGCTTCTTGACGCTCTGGGGCAGGTCGGTGGAGTAGCGCGGACCGCCCATTGCTGCCGTGACGCGCTGTCTGGGGCCGCGGTATACGGGATTGAGGTAGTCTATGCTGAGTATGACTTCTGTCGCGTGGGAGAGGAGGTCGGATTGGAGGAGACCATCGTTGATGAGTCCGGCTGGGGACTTGAGGCCCGTTATTAAAATTCTGAGCCCGCGGAAGTGAGTAACTGGGCAGCCAAAGATGGGTAGAAGGGCGTTCGGGCAGAGGATCCAGCCCTGCCAGTCCCCCGGGACGATGACGGTCTTGAGGCGGATCATGTGCGCGATGGAGGCGGTGCATAGGGCGGGATCGTATAGCAGGTGAGGAGGGAGTCGGAGGGTGCGGACATACTGAAGAAAAGGGGAGCGGGTGTCGACGGACGGAGGGGAGTGGATGGCGGGTGGGAGAATGTGGATGAGGGAGATGTCGCGGTATAGAATCGACGCGGCCATGTGGGAGATGGAGGGCGAGACGCGGAGGCAGGTGGAGAGTGTTGAACGGGGGGTGTAGGATAGGATAGAGGAGAAGAGGGGAGCGGAGGTGAGTATGGAGAGTGTGTCGGGTTTCATGGTGGTATGAGGCGGAGACGAGGGGGTTGGAGTGGGCCTGATCATGTTGAGCTTGGGATTGATCTGTTCTGGGTGAGCTTGGCGGTATTAGTAGACTGGCAGTGAGAGGATCAGTCGATACATCGTGAGGCGTATACCTCACTTCGGATTCGATGTGCGCAAGGTATAAAGGAGGGCGAGGGGTGAGTGGATCAGAGGAGCGCCGTATGTCCGGATTGCGGACCGCTCCTTTCTTCGCTCAGGGTCTTCTCGAGGTACAGCGCGCGATCAGCTCAGTCAGCACACTCGCGCAGATCAGTCCCAAGATCGTGATTGGGATACATACAACCGAATGATCGCTCCAGTCCCCTCCCACTCATTGCCCTGACGTGGTATCCCCAGATCCCGCTAATACTCGACATCTCCCGCCGGTCCCTTATAGCCCCCTCCGCCCCCGCCCACACCCCTAAACACCTTGCTCAACAGCCACAGCAGTATCAAGGCGCCCACAATATACGCCATGAGCCGATACTGCCGCATTGCCGACTGAGACGCCATGGATCGATTATGGTGTGCGCGGGTGGAGAAGAGGGAGTTGGCAAAGGAGGAAAAGGAGTTGGTTGTTCTGTCGAGCTGATCATTTTGGCCGCGCGAGTCATCGAGGATGTCTATTGTGACCTAACGAGTCAGTATAGAGCGGGAAGGAGAGGACTGGGACATACAGATCGTAGTGCTCTTATCTTGCCGTGCAGAGAGTTGAGCTCCTCGTCATTTTGATTGTCGAGCGTTTGATCTGATGCACTGATAGGAATCAGCTCAAAGCCTACAGATCGCGAGACCATCTTTCAAGGCCAGCCAAAGATAGCATAATGCGTACCTGGGCATAGTGCCGAGCGCAATGCCAGGAGTCGAAAGTTGGGCAAAGGTGTTCTGTCTTGAAGCCTTTGGAAGAGGACCAGGAGCTCGCTCTACGTCTAGATGCTGTAAGATTTGCGCGGCAAGGTCGAGCGTTGACGAGGCGGCTGCGCGATAGATGTCTGCTAAGGCTCGCTGAGGTCGATAATCGGTGTGAATGGATGCGTTAAAGTTCAGCTTCGAAGCAAGTTGCGGCGGGCAGCAGAGCTCAGCTGGCGCGATCTCGCCGCCAAGCCGACAGCCGCCACGTGGCTTTTTGCTACATATCATGCATCAGATCAGGCAGCTGCGGCTAATGCAAGAGCAGGCGGTCACGTCGAGGAGCTCAAAGGCGTGGGTCAGGAGTGTGTACAGGAGTGCATATGCAAGTGGTGCCCTCCGACGAAATACAACTATTACAACAGATCGAAATCGTCCAACTGCAATAGTCAGCTCTGTGCTAGGGACCCATATCGACGAGCTAGCTCACCTCATCGTTATACTTCATGATAGTCCGCTTCCTCGCGCTGGTATCTACCCATGTGACAAAGTCCTCCATGTGCCGAGTGATGAGCATGGCGGGGTCGGTGATTGGCTGGGGGCCCACTCGGATGTGGCCTTGCTCTATGGTCCGAACGGCCTACTTGTCAGCTAAGCCTTAGGCGGAAGACCATGACGAAGCTCACATCTGATACCGTCTCTGACATCTTGAGGCGGGTGACGACGACAGCAAGTCGCCTTCTGGCGATAGAGGAGACGGTGACCTTGTTCTCAACCTCGGATGGCTTTGAGCCGATTTCTAAAGGGTCAGCATAACCCCCTTGTAGTCCTGTGGGGAGACATACCGAGGATACCCATATCGTACAGCTTGTTCAGCATTTCGGTCTCCTTTTGCTGCCGGAAGGGATCCTGGGCAGGAAGAAGGGACAGTCGGTGGATCAACTGGCGCAGATTTCCGCAGATTTTATTATACCTACCCTTGTCAGCTTCTCCGGCGACGCCATGTGCTCCGCCGACATACTTGTGATAATCTTCTCGATCCTGGATATGGAACTTTCGCATCACCTTGATCTCTCGAAGGCTCGCATCCTGCTTCCACTACCCACATCAGCGCGGATCTCCGACTCACAGCAAAGACAATCAGGACTCACATTCAGGAAGTCGACCTTCTTGAGCAGTTTCTGCTCATGATGCTTGAGTTCTCTCATCTTGCCGATACTCTGGGAGCTGCCTCGTACCTTGTCCTACCTGATATGTAAAGTCAGGTGGGATAAGAAGCAGATAAAAGGGAGTCGGAGTCGCTCACTGCTCGAGTCAAGCTGTTGTCGATTTGCCACCCAACGAGTCAAAACTCAAAATGTGGAGGCGGAGTTACGTACAAAGCCCGTGCGTGTGCAATAAAGTGAGGGGTGAAATTAGGTTTCGAGCTTGGCGTCTGTCTCCCGCGTCTTTGTCTCCTTTCGAAATCTGCAGCTGGCTAATACAGCCAACTGCTCGCCCGCCTCCCTCTCTCCTCTCTTGCCATCTCTCGCCCTCCAGCTGCTACACCCAGCAGCCATCTCTCAGCTCCAGAGACTCTTTCCGCTCTTCCCCGACCTCACTCTCGGTATTCTCGCCACATCACCCTCACCCGCCGCATCACGGGAACCAAAGCACCGAAACTCTCATCACCGGCATCAGACAACCCTTTCTCCGGATCCGCGCAGCTTTGCCCAGCACACCGAGTCGACCCTCTTTGGCGGACCTCCAAAGCCAGGAGCTTCCATTGCTCGGCCGCTCGGAAGGCTAGACGCTTCATCCTACTTTGGTGCACGCCGCAGACTCCGCCATCAAGACTGGTGAATGCGCTCGTCATACCCGTAATCACCGAATCGAAGGCTGATTGATCCAAGGCGGTATAGCAATCTACCAAATCTGCTCACTGCGGAGGCTTCTACCTGGCAGAACAAGTAGCAGAGCATATACAGACATATCGCCCTCATTGCCAAGGAAGCACGACCAAGTTGAAGGGTGAGTGATTTTGCTTTGCCGCTGCTCAATCCTCCCTATTCCTTTTCTTCTATCTCGATGGCTCCTCGCATGTCGAGCTTGTCGCTCTTTTGATCGCTATCACCGTCTCCCAGACAGTCAGCGTCCAGGCGACACGCGTTTCGAGCAGAGTTCGCGACTCCCTTGACCTCCTTTCATCCCTCATGTCCCTTGATTGACTACCCCGCTTTTCACCACCCGTCAGCATCTGCCGCTGCCTTATAACCCAGTCATCACCCTCTCATCCTACTCTTCTTCCCCCTCACTTCGACCTCCTCATCCAGCCCCGTCCACCCTTGCTGATGATTGCAGTCCAGTCCACCCCCACCCCGCCACCCACCTCCCCTCTCCAGCGAGCCTTACCCCGCCAGAGCATGACCGCCGCGCCTACCTCTCCTCAGCCTAACGGCTCCACGCCCCTCTCCCCTTCATCCTCCACATCCGTCTTCAACGCTCTCGGATCGTACGCCGACCGGATCCGCGACAAGGACATGACGGACGGTCTCAGCCCCAGCACCTCTGCTGGCGGCGCGAGCAGCAGCAAGAAATCACCCAAGCCCTCCAAATCCACCGAATTGCCAAACGGCACCACGTCACATCCCGCTGCTGCGTCGTCGAGCAGTACGTCGAAGCCCCGCGAGGCGAAATCGAACGCCATGCCGCCTCCGCCACCGCCCAAGGCTGCTCCGGCACCAAGAGGGCGTGCAGTTAAGGAAAAGGAAGAGAAGGAACCCGAGAAGGCTCAGGGACAGGAGGATGAGGGAGCATGGGAGACTGTACCAGCTGGCAAGCCAAGGCGGAAGGAGAAGGAGGGAACGGCCAGTACGAATTGGCGTGACCGGCCCAAGGAGAAGAGGGACTCGAGTGCATGGCGGAATGGGGATGACGAGAAGGTCAGGGGTGAAGGGAAGAAGAAGGGCGGACAAGCCGCAGGGGCGTCAACGACAAGTGCGAGGTCAACGAGTACGCACGCCGTCCCGTCCTCATCCTCCACCTCCGCCACACCCTCGACCACTGCCCGGGCGGCATCCGTCACTCCTGCTTCCACGACACGGAAAGCATGGGGTATCGTCACTCCCTCTCCGACTGTTCCGATCGCTGCTTCTCCCCTTGCGTCCACGTCCAAACCACGCGTCGGTACCCAGACCCCTCCCTCCGCCGCGCCGTCCAAGGCAGTCCCGACTGAGACACCCAAGAGCACGCCTTCGGCGAGAACGACCACCCCACCCTCTCCTTCGGTCAACGGCGCAAGTACCGCCGTCAATACATCCGTCACTGGCAGCGTTGCCAGTCCCAACCTGTCGGCAACGGCCGAAACCGCCAGTACGGCCACGATGGTCACGCCTCGCGGCGGACTAGAGGAGGACGAAGACTGGCGCATCCGGCCGCGGAAGTTGAGCGCGGAGATGAGTGCGGTGACTCCAGAGTCGGAAACTGAGAGGGCTGAAGTGGCGGAACCGGAGGTCAAGGAGACGCGTCCTGCTCAGGCAGCACCCCCACCGTCGACCAATGCGTGGGCGGAGCGGAGAAAAGCGATGGGAACGACGAATCAAGCACAAGCTGCACCGGCGCCAAATCCTTCCTTCCCAGCTGCTTCGTCCAGCGACAGTATCGCCAGCAAGACGAGTACGATCACGCCTTCGCCGTCAGTGACAACGGCGAGCAAGACGGCGGGACCGGAAAAGATGCTGTTCGGTTCGGTGGAGATCAGCGAGAGCAAGGGGATGGTGAATGGTGCAAGCGCAGGGCCCGCAGTGGGCGGAACGGACGGCGTCAAGGTCGCCGCCCCGAAGAAGAAGAAGCAGGCGCAAGGGGGTCAACGGCATGTGGTGGATACGAATGCGTTCCCGGATCTTGCTCAGGCGGTGGCACAACCAAAGAAGGTGGAGAAGAAGGAGGGCAAGTCGGAGGAGAGCAGTTTGGTGGACGATGCCGGAGCGCCACGTGAGCTCGGTACAGCCCAAAGAATGCGTACAAAATAGCTGACGATTCTAGGCAAGACAAAGTGGACTGCCATTCCCGCTACCGAGCTGCTCGCTGCAGCTGACGAGGCCAAACGGCACGCTCAAGCCGTAGCGAACCGCCTAAAACATCAACAACAAGCCCAAAACCAGACCAGTGGACAATCTCGAGCCCCTATCACTACCACTAGCGCGAGCGCCATCCTCTCCGAATCGTCTCTCTCGCCCAAGGTCCCCCGCAAAAGGTCGGCCGAGGGCAAGAAGGGCCGAGCGATACGTTCGGGGTCGAACGGTGCGATTACGCTTCCACCAAACCCTATGCGTCGGGGCAGCGGGAGTACGGTTGGTGGAACGAGCGTCGCTGGGTTGGGGATGGGCAAGCCTGTCTTTGGGTCGTTCAGGGGCATGGAGGGGGAGGAACAGGCGACTGGCCTGGCGCCGTCGGGCACGGTCAATGGAGGATCATCGGCACCGATGTCCCGGCAAAGTACGAGTCAAGGGCCGAGCCCTCAGCGGAGTCGTACGCAGTTGCCCTCGCCATCGACGGAGGGAGCGGATGTGGGATCGACCATGGCGAGCGAGATTGCGGCATTGCGGATGGGCGCGCCGTCATTCAATGGCGCCCCAGGCGGGATGATGGGTAGCACTACGGCCCCGATGCCCCAGTCTGGCTTCCCTACATCATCGGGCGCAAGCGCTCCCCGCTCGGTGAGGCCGCCCAGACAATCATTCTCCGGCGGCCGAGGTCGCGGGGCGTATCGGGGCGGTTTCAAGTCGGGTATGGCGGGCGCGATGAACCCCGGGACGGGCGAGGTGTACATGTCCAATGGAAATGGAAATGGAAATGGAAACGGATATCCAAGGGGTGCGGGAGGTTACTCAACATTCGTACCGCAGGCCGGGCAAATCGGTGCGAGCGGCCAGAACGGGTATGAACCCAATCAAGGGATGTACGCCGTCTGGGATCCGGTACAGGGGTACGCGATGCCTTCGGGCATGTATGGGACGCCGGGCGGGGCGCAGAGACAGACACTGCCGATGCCCCCGCCGCCTATGCCTGTCACGCAGGCGGCTGGGCTGGATGCGCTGCGGTTTTACGTCCTGGGACAGGTGAGTCTCCATTTTCTGGCAAGGACACAACGCTGATGGATTAGGTGGAGTACTACTTCTCAATGCAGAATCTCGCGATGGACTTCTTCCTCCGGCAACAGGTAAGTCTCTCTCTCGGTGATGCTGGGAGGCGTGCTTACTTTCAGATGGACTCGGAAGGCTGGATCGACATTGCCATGATCTCCTCCTTCAACCGCATCAAGTCCCTCACCCCCGACGTGTCCATCATCAAGGAGATGATGGCCGTCTCTGCGCTCCTCGAGGTCCGGGACGATAAAGTCCGGTTATCGCATGGCGAGTCCAAGCGCTGGGTGTTACCAGACGCGAAACCCTCCCCGTTTGTCGATGATGGCACTGGAGAGAGTGCGGGGACGGGGGAGGAAGGGGATGGTGGATTGGGGCTGAGCGTCGGGTGGGGGAGTATACCGATTGAGAATGGACAGGGGAATGTGATGGGCTTGGGGATGGAAGATCGGACGGGGTTCGCACAGGGGGTGGAGAACGCCCTGATGAAGTCGAGTAGCTCGGCGCCGTCTGTTGCGGCCGGGGCTGGGGCGAAGGCGGCGGAAAGCGAGGGCGAGGGTGACGAAAAGGAGGATGGGAAGGATATCAAGATGGACTTGGAGGGAGGGAAAGACGGGGAGCAGGAAAAGAGCACAGTGACGAGTGCAAGTAGTGATACGGCCGCGGAGCAGGTTGAGCTGAGATGAGATCGAGGTGAGTAGCACCGTCCCCCTTGCGATGTCGATATGAGCTGATCGTGGTAGAGCACACAACACCTTGGACGGACCATAATTATACACCGTCCCCACCCATAACACCGACAACCTTAACGCCCATCCTCCAACCCCATCCTACACACCCTCGAATGACACTGTGCCGGCAATCCCTCCCCCGGACCATCCGCAGTTTCCCCTACACCTCCCCTTCCGGCTACGCCAACCTCCAACACCCGACGAGCAATGATTGAACGGCGTTCAGCAATATCATCACGATCTCATCAAATGTCATGTCACATCCTCTTCGACCTCCACAGCAATGCCAAACCCCCCACCTTCGTTCTCGACCTCTTCACCTCGCACAAGTCCATAGCGGCCATTTCTTTGTGATTTTCTCTCTTCGGTGCACCCATTTTCGCTTAGCTTGATTACATTGCCCAGTTACATATAGGGCCGTCAGGGAGATAGGGGGGTAGTAAAGACATATAGGCGATACTTGATATCATGCAATACTGTGCAGATCGCATCTCTGCCGGAGAGCAGGTCGTGCATGCGATGGACGCGGAACAATGATACAGGTACAGGGGTACAGACATAGCGATTCTTATACATCTAAGCGAAGTGTCTGATCTGATCAGCTCTCACCTCAACAGGAAGGGAAAGTGTAAAAGGCTTACATGTTCTCGATGTTGAAAGCAGCCAAGAGTCTTCGATAAGTCAGCTGATGCCTACGTACCCAGAAAAGCTGAGATCTTACTTGAGCAAATCGTTCACGTCCATCTTTGCCGCTCGCGAATCGGCAAAGCCTGCTCCGACCAGGATCTCCTCCACCTTCTCCTTGATATCAAACTCGTCAGGCACAATCTGCTGTATCAGCTCCTGCGCCTAGACTCAGTCCCTCTGAGCCAACGGTACCCGATTGCTTGGTCCTTGACCCCAAGGCACCCAAGTAACGTTGAGCCACTCACAATCCCCTTCTCCGCACACGTCGTCCTGTAATTCCGCTCACACAGCTCCTTCACCCCCCTCGCCGTAAAGTTGGCCCTGATCGTCTTGTTCATCCGCCCAAAAATCACCCTATTCAACCCATCAAACTCTTCAAACTTGACCGGCGGAGGCGGATCCCTCGGACTCATCCGGACGACCGACGACTCGACTTGCGGTGGCGGCCTAAAGTTGCCCTTGCCGACCTTCATGATGTGTTCGACGCGCGCGTAGAGCTGGACATTGGCCGCGAGACGACACCAGGATTTCGTGCCTGGTGGTGCGGTCAGCCGGAGGGCGAATTCGCGTTGAAACATGAGGACGGCGGTGCGGATGATGGGGCGGTGAGAGAGGAGCTTGAAGACTAGTGGGGAGGAGATCTGGGTGTCAGCTATGGCACAAAGATACTGCAGGAGATCGTATACCTGATATGGAGTGTTACTGATGCAGACGTCAAAGTATGGCAGTTCCGCCTTGACGAAATCGCCGAGGATGATCTCCAGCTTCTTCTGTTCTGGCCTGCCTGTGTCAGCTGAGATCTTCTCTACGGCATTGCGTATCGGTCTGCTCACTTTCCAAGCACCCGCTTCGTCACCTCCGCAGCCATCCTCGGGTCCATCTCCACCGCTACGACTTTCCTTGATACAGGCAGAATCCGCACAGTCAGATTCCCAGTACCCGGACCGACTTCCAGTACAATATCCGTCGGCTTCAGGTTCGCCTTATCTGTGAGCTATTGGTCGACGGCCTCTGATCATAGCGCATAACCCAGCTGTACGTACCTTATCCACGATCCCCTGCGCTACGAGCGGATTCGTCAAAATATGCTGCCCAAACCGATCTGTATTGAAAAGATGATTCCTCGCGCCCGCCGCGCCCCCTGCGGCGGTAGAAGACTCGCCGTTCTTCGGCGGGCCCGTTGGGCGCGCGTTCGCCGCGTGCGGTCGGGAGAAGGTTTGGGACGTGGCTTTGGGCATTGCACAAGGTATCTATATGAGTGGGTAGAGCGAAGAGGTGAAGGATATCGCAAGATGGGTGTGAAAGTTTTGCACCGAGGTCACGTGCCCAGATGAGACTCGTTCGGATCCGGATTTCCGGATGACCAGATCCGGAATTTGAGCCATTACGAGATGATCGGCGCCAGCGAGCTGCAACTGGCAACAACAGCAACTACTCTACTCCACAGCTATACTCACATCTCTCGCTCGCAGCGTCTGCCTGAGCCCGACAGCCTGCTCACACATGGTGATATAGCCTTAGGACGCCCGGCATGCGGTATCGCGTGCCCCAGCTCCTGCAGAGCCGGTCCCGCATCCTTACTCTCCTGCTCATCCTCGGCTTGGCGGTCGGTATCCCCTTCTACGCGGCATTGTGGTATGCGCAATACGGACCCGCCTCGCCCGACTTGCAAAAGTACCTCGCACATCACTACCCCTTCCTATCATCCTCGGTCTCTCATGTCGACGCGCCCACACCAATCCTCTCGCTCCTCGCTTCGGAATCACCTCTCCTGCACCCTCCACCTAACCCACTCCCTCCGCCCACTTGCGCCCCCATCAAGAGTCTGGGTCAGGTCGAGCCTTCCAAGCTCCCTCCGCTCTTACTCTCCCTGCATATCTTCTCCAACGCCCGCTTCAATGCCCAGTTCGCCAAGCTCCGACGAAACATCATACGCCGTACGATCCTCATGGGCGTGCCGCACATGTATAGGCATCTTGTCGAGGTCAAGTTCATCATGGGCCGCAGCTGGGATCCGGCACAGGAGACACTGCATGATCGTGAAGAGAAGAATAGTGGGGACATGATTAGACTGAGTATGCCTGATGGAGATGGGGAGAGGGGGAAGGCGGCAGAGTGGATGAGGTTGGTCGGCGGGCAGCGGGTCGCGCAGTGGGTCGTGTGAGTCAGGCCTCGCTTTCCCATTACTCCCTTGGAGCTTGGTGCACTAGCTGACAGATCTAGCAAGTGCGATGATGATGTACGTCTGCTCCTATCGCCTATGTTCAAATAATTCTGACTGGCCACCAGGTCATACCCATCCTACCCAACCTCATCCCCTACCTCCTCACCCTTGATCCCACACAGCCAACCATACTAGGCTCTTCGTTCCATAACGAGCCTGACAAATGGCCACACTTTTCAAAAAAGATGTACGGCTTCTCATGGGGCATCTTGCGGTCCGTCACCGAAGCGCGGATGCACGATGATGAGAAGCACCGATTTATCGAAGAGGGGCGGTATATCGGTGTCATGATGGTCTGTCTCCTTCCTCTCCTCCGCTATGCTCATCGGGCTTACAAGGTAGAACTCACTCACGTCCAAACCTGGACATCCACCAATAGCTCCCGGATCAATAGCCAAGGTCCCGACTCGGCCTGTATCACCCGACCCGCGAACAGGTCTTATCTGGGCGGATGTAGGGCGCAGGATATCACCTTGGAAAGACTACTGGACGGTCAAGGCGAGCAGTGCGCTAGCATGGTACGGTATGGAGAATGATCAGGTGAGCATGATGTTACATGATCGAGTACAGCCCAAGCTGACCTCCGAGCAATATGAGGAGACAGCGATGGCGGACATAATCAGGGAGATGCACGATGCGGGCAGAAAGTACCTGTGGGATGTCCCAGATGACCTCAAGTATCTGGCTTGCAAGCCATAGGATGGTGGAGATTTCTGCTCTCATCTCACGCATGAAAATCTTAAATTTTGACTGAAGTTTCGCTGTGCTCGTTGTATGAATGTTGCTACTCTCTCCTACTCTCTCTACGAAGTATTGACATCTATACTTGCTACGACCTGATCTACCGAGATGATCATCCGCCCAGTGCCATCCAACTAGACTTCAGGAACCGCGCCCAATTCGGCATTCATGCAGTTTTCCGAGGACTTGGGTCGATGGTCCGAGTAGCATCTTGGAACTGCTTGACCGTCTCGTCGGTAACCTCGGCTCGGTTCTGCAAACGTCAGCTTCACGCTCGATCGTCCTGACAGAGCAGGTCTTTAGCTCACCTTTTGGAACTCAGCCACAACCTCCTGCAGCTTCTTGATACACGTATCCTTCATCTCGACCGTACTAAGCGTTCCCGCCCGGTAATCCTACACACCGTCAGCTCCTATCCTACCCAATCGCGCAAACCCCACAAGGTACTCACCCTCGCAAGACCCTCCATGACCTCATCGCTATCCTCAAAGAAGCTCAAGTACTGATACGCAATGTCCACATCCGGATCTCCGCCGAGCCGCTTGTGCTCCTCCTGCGTCGCCCGACCGCCAGAGAACGCATGTGACCGGATCTTTTTGTGGATCTTCTTGGCGTCATCCGTCATGAAGATGGCGGTGTTTTCGTTCGAGGCAGACATTTTCGTTCCGGCGCCTTGGAGGGCAGGGAGGAACTTGGAGTGGACGAGGCAGGGCTTTTGATAGCCTAGCTTGTCGGCGGCATCGCGGGTGAGGAGGAACTGCTGATCAGCGGCGGAAGAGTATCGTAAAGTAAGAGACACACGTATGGGTCCTGGTCGATCGCGCAGGGGATCAGACATGGAATATCGGTGCGATCGCCAAAGATCTGGGGGAAGGAGTTGGAGAATGATGGGCAGGCCTGGATGGCCGCAAAGTGGTACATCCCAATGTTGTCACTAACGTGTCAGCTGTAGCACCTTTAGCTCACGAGATACAACAAGCTTACGAGTCTCCGAACCCAAAGACGTTCTTGCTCTGGTTGAGCGTAACAGTCTTGGCGAAGAGGACTACGTTCTGGTAGAACGTCCCGCTGAAAAATCAGCTCGTCTCGCCAGTATCATCGAATAGACAACTTACCCCATAGCTTGTGTATCCTGGAAGATATACGTCTTCTCAAGGAGGAACCCGCACGCGATAATATCCTTGATATTATCGGTCGCCATCCGCTGATAGTGCCTCAACAGGTCGATGGGCTTCTTTCCCTTGATCTTCTTCATTGTTTCCGCCTGCTTCTTGATGTCACGCTCGAGCAGGTACTTTTCGTCATCTACCATATTAGCTCTGAGCCGTCTTCGCAAGACCAGGGCAGCTGACCTGTGATTTGGATGACAAGTGGGACATTGAACACGCGTTGCAACCACCTAGACCTGTCAGTTGTGTTCGCGGACCATCCTGCAGTGCCGGTACTCACGCGGTGAACATGAACGGGATCAAGTGGCCCAAGTGCATCGAGTCGGAAGAGGGCCCTCTGCCGGTGTAGAGGTAGAATGGCTTGCCCTGCTCGTACCGGTCAAGAATGGTATTCAGATCTCTGCATATGTCAGCTTCGTATCCAATCATGCTGGATTTTAGTAGCTGACCGGTGCGAGAAGAAGGTGCCACGGCGGAGAAGAGGATGTGGTCGTTGCCCAGTAACCTTCTCGAACCGCTCCAGCAGCTCGGAAGAGATCTTGCTAGCCCCGAATTGCGCCGTGATTTTGTCGTAGTTGCTATCCAAGTCAGCTCCGCCTTCTCTAAAGTATCTCTGGATGGACCAGCTCACATGCCAAGATCCTTGCCTGCAGCGTCTACTTCGCCAGCAACGTCAAACGGCGTGATCTTCTGTTCTCGAGCAGCTTCGACCGGCTTGGCCTTTTCTGGCTGCTCGGACGCTTCTAGGATAGGTGGCGGGCGAGAAATGCTAGCAGAGTCCCTGGCACCATCAGTACAGCTCCTCCCCCCCTGCGCGCACGAACTACACTCACACCCTGCTCGCATTCCTCGAATGGGTCATCCTCCCCGTCCTCACACTCTCCGGCACCTCGTCGTCCAGCTTGATCTTATCCCACGCATCCGGCGCCACGCCCTGCGGTTTCGCCTTGCCCATATCCATGCTCTTCTTCCTCCCCGCGCCCAAGACGGGCGATACGCCCACGGCATCCCCGTCGTCCCCGTCCAAGTCGTCCAGATCGATAATCTCGCCCTCGTCCGGCCCAAACAGCCGCTCGGGCTGCGGAAGCTTCATGTGCGCCAGCCGCTCCGAAAGCTGCTCACTCATGCTCTCCGAGCGGATCTTGCGGCGCGCGAGGGTGATGGCTTCGGGCTCGGGGCCTGAGATGTCGCCGGTTGACTGGAACTCGGCTTCTGGCTGGGCAGCGGGCGAGGAGGGACTGATAGTGTCAGCTGTATTGACCTGATTGAGTGCGTGCGACATCTGACCAAGCATGCTAACAGTCGGACCAAGCTCTCCAGTTGAGCTTCGAGAGGCGGACTCACCCTCTGGGACCCTTGCTACCAGTCGGCATGTTCAGCCTCAGCCCCGTCGGAGCCGGAAAGTCCATCTTAGACAGCGTCGTCGCGATAGTCCCCGGAGTCAGAGCTCCTCCATTATTAGTGCGCGCGTCGGGTGTACCGGGTGTGAGCGACATGCTGTATAGTAGTTGTTTGAGATGTGGTACTGATGACAGTTGCGGGTAAGATTAGTTGCAAGGCGCGTCGGTTGGTTCGAGTCAAGGCCTAGGCACGACATGACGTGGCATTCCTCGCTCAGACGTCCAGATCTGACTAAAGTGCAGATACAGTACTCTCGATCGAGGCAGCTCGCAGCTCGCCTGGACTGCCTCACCCAGCTCAGAACTGTAACAACAGATCATACGCATGCATACCGCCAGCCTATTTTATTGACATTAAGGTGATATTTCCAGTCCAAGTATCGAGTCCCCCGGCCAACTCTTTTCATCCCCTCGTCTCCCCTGACGTCCCGCCCTTTCTGTGCGCTCCGCGCTCCCCTCGCCTCAATCCGCTTCTCCGTCCTCCTGTAGGGTGCCTAATGACCATTGCCATTGGCGACATTGCTCAGCGCAGCATCGGCACGCTCGAGGTCCTTCTCGCTAAGCTTGCGCCCGCCAGATGGGGTCGCCGCGCCGGAAATGGCGGAGCTGAGCGAGTCGGACCGGTTCCGAGGCTTCATGACCAGGGGGAAGGGGTAGTGGTTGTCGTCGTCCTCTTCGTTGATACCTTTCCAGCCTAGTACATCAGCTTCATCCACTCCAAAGTACACTTCAAATTGAAGATCTCGGACTCACTTTTGGCTCCCATATAGTCTGACGTGCCGAGATGTTCCATCTCCTCTGTCAAAGTCGCATAGTCACCCGGCGTCATCATGCCCGACTTGTACCTCGGGCTTCCGGGCTCCGAGAGGGGCGCGCCGACCCGCTTGACACCGGTAAAGTCCGGCTCGTCGTCGTCGAACGAGTCGGGGTAGGCGCGGCGGAGCGCAAGCTGGCGGGCCTTGACGTATTCGAGACCGAGAGACTTCCAGTCGAGGAGCTCGGAAAGACGCTCGGTACGGTTACGCTGGTTGATACGCTGCCGGCGAGACTTGGTCACGAAGGACATGAGCTGGCCGGTCTGTAGAGTCGGCTACGGTCCTCAGGTGCAGGTCAAAATAGCTTACAAGTTGGTTGACCGATTCCTCCACACCTTGGCTCCTTCGGTCGACAATGTAACAACCGTAGTCCTGGAAAGTCAGCTCTGACAACACCTACAGGCTCAGTATCCAGCTCACATCCGGGGTCTCGAGCAGGTCCTCCATGAAACAACCGAACCCAGAAAGGTTGGTCGTGATATTCGGGATACCCATAACGGTACACTCTGCCGGGGTGTATCCGAACGGTTCGTCTGTCTCATCAGCTTCTACTCCCTTCAACCCCTCCGATAGACTGAACTTACAGTAAGAAGGGAATACACCCATGTGGCAACCCCTGACAAACTCCTCATAGTCCAACCCAAGAATCGGGTTGTTGGAGTTCAGGAACTCTGGGTGGAAGATGATCTTGACGCGGTCCGAGGGCCGGTTGAACAGCTGAACCCTTCGGATCTGGTTCAGGATTGGGTCGTTGGCGTCGTCCGCCATGTTGTGGGTCGTAACGGGCGGGAGCGAGTTCCGCTTGAGTGCGAATACGCGCCGTTTAAGGAGGATCTGGTCTTCCTTGCTGAGCAGGGTCGCCGGGTCGGGAACTTCGGTACCGTGTTCGCTGAGATGTCAGCGGAGCCCTAGCCGTGTGCCGGATGAGTCAGCTCACCCGGAGTATCTCGCAGCGTGTTCAAAGATCCGCTTTCCGACCCTGGCGGTGACCTGCGCGACAGTCTCCTTGAGCTGGGCAGTCACAGCCTGACCCTTGAGCGCCTCGATGGTGTACGAGTTTGTCGCAGCGGGCATGATGATGAAGGCCACAACGGTCGTCTTTGATCCGGCCTTTTGCAGACGATGGTTGAGACCTATATTATCAGCTCGTGGACACCTCTGAAACCGCTTGTTCAGCTGAAACTCACGAGCAAGCGACTCGATGAACATATCCACACCCTTGTTCCGGTACTCGTATCGTCCGGCAGTGAACAGGTAGATGGTGTTCTCGAGGTCAAAGTCATAATGACCGTAGAAGTGACCCCGGATGAAATCGTTGATCTTCTCCTTGGCCTGGACGTGCAGGTTCTGGAATTCGTGCATCGCGGCGAATTTGACAACGTTGAGACCGTTGGGCAGGACACCGTCTGACTCGTCAGCTGATCATTCCGCTCGGTCCAGGATCTTCAACTCACCGGGCTTGCGCTTGAGAAGATGCTCCGACTCAAAGGCGGTAATGTGCGAAACGGTCGTAAAGACGTCGGCACAGTGCGTCGCCGCGCGCTCAATGCAGTATCTGAATGTCAGCTTTCTGCCTGGCCCGATCGTGCGCGACATGAAGCTCACCGGTGGTAGATTCCTCGCTTCCCAGCCTCGTGGTCGACGTCAAAGTACTGCAAGTTATTGTAGAAATCGACACTTCCCGCACAGAGGTATCGGCCGAGCAGGGTAGCGTGGGTCGTGAAGATGGTGGTTACGTCGATATGGCGCTTGCGGCAGAGAGGGATGGCGAGACCGGCTTGCCATTCGTGGAAGTGGGCAATGATGGCCTTGTCAGTCTCACGAGCTGCGAACTGGGTACATGAGCTTCCTGTCCCGACTAAATACATCCAGGAGGCATTCAGCTCACCTCGCCGAGGAACCAAGCGACAATGTAACCAAATACGATCGTCTCGTTCGTCTCGTGGTCGTTTGGTGGGGCCGGGATACCGGCCAAGTTCCAAAGGTCCGTCTTCCACTCGTCCATCCTGGTTGTTCAGCCAAATTCGCCCCATATCAGGCCAAGAAGGGGACGTACCGGTTGTAGCAGCTTCCAGTGTCAAAGAGGAGTACTCTGGGCGCACCCTCGATAAGCCATCGACCGTACACCCACTTGACGCCGTGGTTCCGCATTTGAATGAGGGTGTCGCCGAAGGGAGTTCCGGGTTCACTGTGCGAGTCAGCGCGAAGCCCTCTTCTCCAGCATCCGCATTGGTCAGGCTTACACCTCCTCGCTCTCTACTTCCATCGGGGCAGACTTGTACGACAGCGGGCCGATCAAAACGACTCTGAGGGATATCAGCTGGTCCCCTTTGTCGGCCTCGAACCGCTTTGATGATCTGGCTCACCGGTCTCCAAATTCCCGGACGGTAACAGGCACCTTGGTCTTGATGACGGTGTAGATACCTCCGACCTTGTTGGCCACCTCCCAAGCGCACTCAAAGAGCAGCGGGTTGTGGACTGATCGGACCATCTTGGCGAATTGCGGATTGTCTGGGGGAGGTTGAGCGATAGATTTGTTTTTCGGTCGTCGACGGTGATGCTGGGACGGGGTCAGCTTCTGTATTGTTTCCGATGCCGCTGATTTTTGTAGGAACTGATAAGAGGAAGAGAGGTAGGTACAATATGGAGAGATGAGAAGGTTGGTTGAACTACGTCAGGGGGACCGGACCTTTAAAAAGAGGTCAAGTGGTGGAGAGTGGAGCGGACGAGATGAAACAGCCCCGCCTCGATGTAGAGTACAAGCAGGGTGCAGAGGTGTGCGCCTCGTCTTGCTCGTCCTGAACCTCGCTTGTCGTCTTCCGCATACCGCCTTTTCACTCGCTCTGTTCAGGTGCAAGTTGCCCCACTACCCGCCCTTTCCCATTCCCCACATACCGCATCCGGATTTCCCGGCTCCAACTCATCCCTTTCCCCTGCATACCATTCCCGCTCGATTTCGACGGACTTACCAGGTCGTTATCTCGTGTATGTCCTGTAACTAGTGATAGATGTCAGACCGCGGATATGGTATGAAGAGAAAGAGATGTACCCATGACCCCACCCTATGCTCCTAGTGGCCCCAAGCTAGTCTCGCTAAGGCGGCATCAGCTCTGCCCCATACGTCACTCCGCTCCCACCACGGCCCCGGAACCCTGAAATTACCAGGGACCCTATTACGGCATGCGGGGTACTGCAACTTCTGTGTGGCAGCTGCTCAAGCTGAACAAAGCAGGACCCATATAACTTCATTGCGTTCGTCTACACCTATACCTACGCACCTCACCTCCCCCCTTCTAGTCCTCAGCAGAGTAAGCCTCGTTCTTTCTCAAAATAACAAAGTTCTCCAGTACAGTCTGGTACGGGAAGAACTCGTTCGTCCCCAACTCGGCCCTCTCTCCTGTTCCGATCCGCACGGGTGTTTGATGCGTTTGGAACTGTCATATCAGCTTTGGCCTATGTCACGTTATGTAGCACTGAGCTCACCCCGCTGATACCATGCCTCGTCCCTGCCAGACCGACAGTGTTGACCGCCTGCCCAACGCGCACAGTGACTGCCTTCTCTTCAATCTCTTCGTCCAATGTGATGAGGAACTGCGGGTACATGGCGGTGACCAGCCAGTACAGCATCCAGTGGTGCTTGCCAAGGACAACTGCAGTGTCAGCTCGGTCTTTCGCGTGCTGAAGTGAAACTTCAACTGACAAGATTTGGAGTCGGTGAAGGATACGAGAACCGCCAACAGCCCAGCAACAGCCGGACGGTGCATGACCTGACGATCATGGTAAAATGGATTGAGCCCAATCGTTCCTTTACCCATATGCACAAGTCCCTATCAATCAGCTCTGCGCCTTGGAGTTATCCTAAGCACGCGTGAACTGACCTGAGCAATCCGAACCATAAACAGCGTTTCAGCCTCCTTATGATAATAGCTCGATAACGCCCGGAGCATCTGCGCCAACCGCGCATTGTTGGTCCCTGCACCGACAATACCCATCGCGAGGATCGCATTCTGCGCGACTTGGAGGTCCGAGTCGTGCGAGTATTTCGAGAGCGTGTCAAGGATGGCTAATTGGGGGTTGGAGGCGGAAAGGAGGGCAAGGGCGAGGGGGACGGAAGCGCGGATAGGCTGGTCGCCGTATGTCATCTGCAATGTCAGCTTCTGTTCATTGACATCTCCATGAATCGAGCAACTGACCAGGTGCTGGAATTGCCGAAGAGCCATCTCACTCCCGATATCCTCACCCATCGCGATCAACGCGATACCCAGCGTCGCGACCGCCTGATGCCTGAGCGGCTTGGGCTCTCCCTCTTCCGCCTCCTCTTCTTCCTCCTCGGCAGCAGGCGCGTCTGCCTCTCCTTCCGCAGCAGCGCCGGTAGCACCAGGTGCAGCCGCCTCTGGCGCCGGAGCAGCATCGTTCGACGTCGGTGCCCGGGGGTTCATCATGTTCTGCAGGATCGCATCGAATCCAGCGGGGCTGGTGGCGGCCATACCGGGGGCACCAGTCGCGTCCGCACCGGGTGCCGCACGCGCCGCCTCGGCCGATTCGAACATGTTGACGTCTTCGCTGGTCTCTGGCGCAGGAGCGGCCGCCGCCTCGGGCTCCTTCGCCACCTTCTTCTGCGAATCGGCGTGCTCGCCGCAGATGTGAAGCATGTCCTGGATCTTGAGAACGTTTCCGGTACCGGCGTAGGAGCAGACATCGACGAGGCAGACCGCCGTCTCTGCCATGGGGTGGTCGATCGCCCGGAGGGTCTCGATTGTCGCGTCCGAGGCGTCTTGCGTTGCTGGCAATGTCAGCTTCGGCTTCAGGCAATCGCCAGTCCCTGTGAACTCACAGAGGAAGATCAACCCCAATGCCAAACCCATAAACACCGTCCACTCGCTCTCCAACTGCGCCGGCTCCCTCTCCATCAACGTCTGCAATACTGCGCTCGCAATCTCTCCGTCCCCACTTCCAACAAACACGAACCCCAATCCCAACGCCGCCATCGCCGCCACCTCCATACTGTTCGTTTCATCCGCCACGTGCGGAAGCAGCTTCTCGAGGATATCCCGTCTCTGACTGCCCGCATACGCGATCGCAATCCCGTTGATCGCCGCCACCTTGAGCTCGGTCGACTTGGAGTCGACGTGCTCCTCCAGCAGCGCGAAAGCCACATCGGGGTCGGTACGGATCGACGAGTGCAGGATACCCATCGCGAGGAGCGCACCGGCCTTGATGTGTTCTTCGGACGAGTAAGAGTACTTGTCGATATGGTCGATCCCCGCCTCGCTATCCCAGAGCATGCTCATCCCGATGGATGCAGTAGCGCTCTTCATACCCTCGTTTTTGTTCTTGTAGATCCAGCTGTTGCCCTCCGTGGCGCCAATCATGAGCTTGTCGTTCCCGAACCCGGCATTGACAAAGGCATTGACAAAGGTGGAGGCAAGGTTGGCGTTGGCTGAGGTGACAGCAGCGGTGGTCCGAGCGGGTTCGAGGTGCTGCTTGTAGATGTCGTCGGGTACCTTAGGGTTCTCGACGCCGACGGCCTTGCCGAATGCCCGGAAGTGTGAAGAGAGCTTGACCGAGCCCAGACAGGCCAGGATGTCTTCTGGCTGTTGAGGACAAGGTCCATCGCCTTCCTTCTCCATGCCCTCCTCGGTGTGAACCCAAGAAAGCGGTGTGAGGGAGCGAGCGAGGAAGTAGGCGAGCTGCTTCTTCATGACGCTGAATGGTCAGCTCTTGTCACTCGTGCGGGTGGTTGAACGGACGGGTTGGTAGGGGCATCAAAATATTTCCTGATCAAAGTGCGGTCGTTCATCTGCACAGCCAGCGCCAGTGCTTCCGAGTATCGGTCGTGCTTGGCATAGATCTCGGCGGCGGTTTCGAGGAATGATCGGTCATCTGGGGGAACGAGCAGAGGGACGCATCTAACAAATGAGCTGTATGTCCATCAAGGGAGAACTCCAACTCACTGAACCATATACCGACAAACACGGTCATACGACTTTTCATCCACCTTGCCCGCCAACTCCTCAATACACTCCAGCTCCAGCAACAAATCCACAGCATCCGCCTCTCCATTATGCTTCAAGAAGAACGCCACCAGTTCCAAACCCAAACCCTTCAGTTCTTCCTCCGAGTACTGCTTCTTTGCCGGTTTGTGCTCGCCGTTCGCCCCTTTCTCAGCGGGCGCTTCGACCAGAGCGGCGTAGTACGAGTTCCACTCCTCGCCGAGTTCAGCGGCAAGGTGGCGGACATACTCGTGGCCCCAGAGTCCCGGATCTTCGGTGGAGGAGGAGCCGAGACGGTAGTTGAGGGTATCGCGCTTGCCGGTGTCCGAGTAGGTCATGGCGAGGACGGAGAGGATCGAGGCGAGGAGCGACTGTTGATCAGCAATGTGTCTTTCGCAGCTTAGCGACGTAGACCCACCCTCTCAGACTTGAGGTCCTTGTTCCACCCCTCCAGTATTGTACCGAGCTCCTCATAGTGCGGACGCAGGAATTTAAGGGGTTTAGGCACACTCGTCATACTGCTCGTACTCGTTCTGATGAGGGTTCGAAGCTGCTCCAGAGCGGGCATGTAGAGCTTGGAATCGGATTCCTGTCCTGTCAGCTTGAGTCACCCGCTGAGTAAACCGCAGACTCACTCTTAATCGCTCAACGAGCATCTCCAGCTCGGCCTGCAACTGCATATCTTCCTCGCTCTACGACTCGTCAGCTTTCACTCCTCCATCCATCAGCTTCCTGGGGCAGCGACTGACGATCTCCGGTATATCCTTCTCATCCCCTTTCCCCTTCTTCATCGGGTCCCCGTTCTTCGGCTTGTCCTTGTCATCCTTCGACTCTGGGTCTTTGGAGGTGACGGCGATCTCGGAGGTGAGGCGGTAGTCTTCGCCATTTTCGTTAGGGCCCGACATGGCTGCCAGGGGTTTTTCGGGGGAGGGATTTTTGAGGTGATTTTCGGAGTCGCTTTCCTCCAGTGATCCAGCTGATTGATATAGCTGTTCGCTGTGTATGTAGCTGATGTATGATGACAAGTCGAGGATAGAGTGGAAATTGAAGGAATGCGATCGTTCAACGCGTGGCCCATGCGGAATGTGGATTTCATTATTCGCTCCCCTCACGCAAGCAGGTCCACCCTCTCTCAGCCAGCGACACGTCCATCTCAACCACTTCTATATTGACCGTCCTCACAGTATACTGAACACCTGCTGGTTAGCTGCCGCTCAGCATGTTTCAGTCAGAGATAGCCCGCTTCAGGAAGCTGGGAGTGCAAGGCGTAAGTCTGGCCTCAAAGGTCCTCCACGTCGCTAGTGACACACCCCTTCAGCCCCGATCCTTTGACCAGAATAAGCCCTCTTAGCAGATCAATATGCTGACCTTGCCAGCTGCTCTTCCAGGCGCTCAACTTCCTATCAGTAATAGCCTCAGGCTTGATGATGTGGAAAGCATTATGTCTGGTCACCAACTCGGAATCGCCCATCGTCGTCGTCCTTTCGTCAGTCCATTCTCGAAGCTCAGGCTAAGAGAGCTGTACTGATACCTCGCAGGGGATCCATGGAGCCTGCTTTCTACCGAGGAGACATCCTGTTTCTGTGGAACCCGGCGAATGTGCCTTACGCTGTAGGAGATATCACAGTATACAGAGTGTAAGTCTGCCGTCCTTTGGTTCACGTCGAATCCACCTCTACCCAGGCCACCATCGACATTCAGGAAGAAGCTGACAGTGCAGACCAGGAAGTGAAATACCTATCGTCCACCGAGTCATCGAATCGCATATCACGTACGTCTCTTCGCAAGGGGAATTGCTGCTCGACCGAAATCCAGGCCAAGAGCTGATAGTCTCAGCAACACCACTCAGCTGCTCCTTACCAAAGGAGATAACAACAACGAGACAGATACTATGCTGTATAACGGGATGGAATGGCTCGAGCGGAAACATATCATTGGGAAGGTTAGAGGGTGAGCTCGCCCGTCATTTCGGAGGCAGAAGTAAGGCCGGCAGCTGATATCACAGGTTCCTGCCATATGTCGGCTATGTCACAATAGCCATGGTGAGCTACCTCTGTCTCCTCTTCTGACTGAAACTTGAAGATGAACCCAGCTGATCGTCACAGAACGACTTCCCCAAGTTGAAGTACGCGTTATTAGGGGCAGTCGGGTTCTTCCTATTAATACAGAAAGAGCACGAGCACGCTTGAAGGGACTTTGGGATGGTATGTATACAGTATCGGGCCACCAACTCTGTGTTGGTGTCACACTCAGCATGGCAGTCCCTCGACAGGCGATCATTTATATTGAAGAGACGACCGATGCTGTGGCCCCAAGCCGGAGAGGCGAATGATGCAAGCTCAAGACGCCTTTGGCTCCATAGACTGAAATACTCCCTCCGGTCCTTTCTCTGCCATTTGATCTCAAACCAGCCCTTCTCCTCGTGCGTCTTCTTCCACCACCTATCGTCCGCTCCACAACTCCCCCACCCGCCCCACCGGACATACCCGTCTCTCCACCTCCGGCCCCTTCGGCGCCGGGGGGCTCCAAGGTGGAGGTCAGCCTTGAGGTCAGCCGATGGAAAGCGGGCGAGGCGAGGGGTATATAGGGTCTACCTTTTCTCTCCGCTCTTCCCAAAAGCCCCCTTCTGACCTTCTCATCCACCAAGTACAGTCACACAGAGCAAGATGGCGTCCGAATCAAAGACCAAGATGAGCTATGTCAACCTAGGGAAGAGCGGGTTGAAGGTATGTCTTCCTACTCTGTGCGAACTTGGGAGCAATGCTGATGTATAGGTGTCCAAGTTGATTCTAGGTGTAATGACCTACGGATCGGGCCAGGACTGGATGATTCCCGATCACGAGGAAGGTATCCGGCAAATGAAGTGAGCTACCGTTCCCCGCCTGCCCTGCGCCGCGCTGCGATAGCTGATGGATAGATACGCGTACGACCAGGGTATCAATACCTTCGATACCGCCAACACGTAGGTTCCTGCCTTTCGGTCTGCGAAACCATCAGCTAATAATTCGGCAGGTACTCGGCTGGCGAGTCAGAGATCATCCTCGGCAAGTTCCTCAAGAAGCACGAGATCCCCCGCGAGAGCGTCGTGATCCTCACCAAGACGTTCAACCCGGACGATTCAGATGGAGGACCCGCGGGTCTGGTCAACCAGAAGGGGTTGAGCAGGAAGGTGAGCTCCTCTGTCCTTCGTCGCAAGTTGCTGGTGAAAGAAAAGTCCCGCTGACTCCTCAGCGTATCTTCGCCTCTGTCAAGCGCTCCCTCGAGCGACTCCAGCTCGACTACGTCGACGTCCTCCAATGCCACCGCTTCGACTACGACACCCCGATCGAGGAAACAATGCAGGCGCTACATGACCTGGTCCAGCAGGGCTTGGTGCATTATATCGGGATGAGCAGTTGCTGGGCTTGGCAGATGCAGCTGATGCAGCGTGAGTCTTCGCCCGAATTACCAGTACTACAGGCTGATCGGTCCAGAATACGCCATCAACAACCGCTTGACCCCGTTCATCTCGATGCAGAACCAGCACAGCGCGATGTACAGGGAGGTACGTGACCTGCCTCCACCGAGTTCAACGTTCAGCTCGAGAGCTGATGGTGACAGGAAGAGCGCGAGATGATGCCGATGCTCAAGCACTTTGGGGTCGGAGTGATCCCTTGGGGCCCAATGGGAGGTGGACGTGAGTCTTCGCCTCACTTCTACGTAGAGCTTGGCTGACATACAGTGCTCTGCCGACCTTTCCAGGAGATGGATTCTACCACTCGGGCCAGGTCTCGGCCCCAGGATGGCCGTGGACACCAGGTCGGTTCCCCTCTCTTTCCTCGCTCTTTCCTGTCTTGGTCGAAGAGTCAGCTGACCAGCCAGCCCGGAGACAAGCTGGTCATCAATGCCATCGAGAAGATAGCCAACGACCGTCAAGTCCCCATGGCCGCCGTGGCGCTCGCTTGGTCTCTTCAATCCCCATGGGTAACGGCTCCGATCGTCGGAGTAAGAAGCACCGAGCGGCTGGATGAGCTCATTGGGGCGCTGGAGCTCAAGTTGACGGATGAGGAGAGGAAGAGTATTGATGATGGGTATAGTCCGGTCAAGCCTCGGTCATTCCAGTAGGACCGAGGATGGAAAGTTTGTCGTGCGCGTACGGTGGAATGTCATGGGACAGTCCAGGCGATATTGACCCTGACAAGCTGATTGACAGCTGGTGCTGACATACTGATCTCATTCGCTCGTGGACGCTAACTCCAGCCAGTCGTGAACAGGTGCTGATCTTGAGAATTGGCTGGTGGCGTACTGGATACGTATTGCGACGTGCCGTGACGGTCCGGGCGGACTTCACTGCTTCGCGAAGGCGCAATTGATAGGATTACTGCGATCGATACCTCCCACTGTTCCCATACCTGGGATGTACACCAATCCATTGCCTCGCTTCTCCCGCCGCCATTGGCGCTCTTATGACGCGTCTCAGCCTGTGACAATCGCGATCACCTTTCGAAAGTCCTTTGTGACCGCAGGGGACGTGCCCCGCGTGCGCCCGGAGTATCATGTCAGCGCTCCCTTCGCTCCTAACCCCCTGATACCTCCTGGAAACTTCCTGAAACACAATGTCATACAAGCGAGTACCCCAGAAAAAAACGACTAGCTTCCGGGGAGCTAGCTAGACTTTCGTATTATTGGCTCATTGTTTGATCAGATCCAGCAGCTCGTACAGCTGCCGCACCCAGTTCCTGTCCGACAAGTCATACCTACGATCGTTCATACAGCAGCGATGCCTGTCCTACTCATTCGAGATGAGGCGACCAAGGAGAGCGATTTCCGCGAGTGGGGTAAGTGCATGCCTCTTTCTCATCAGGTTAGTCGTTAACGGTGCGCTCGGCGCAGAGAACCGACTAAGCCTGGACGATGCTGACACTACAAGGACGAACCCATGCCCCGATCTTGTGTGGCGCATTTGCCGGGCTGCTTGTACTAATTGGCTAGATAGCTTGGCTCATTTACAACCACCGTAGTAAAAGGCTTTCCAAGAGTCAGAGTTATACCACCGTACCAAAAGACAATTGCCACTTGGGAGTAGCATACTCATATTCTAACTCCAAGGAGTTCCAAGCAGAAACAATTGGGAACAGGGAAAAGCTGGAGGCCGAGGCGAAAGAGGCGGCAGGGCGGGGCAACGGCAGGTCGGCCGGCGGCGGATAGCTATGCGATGCATCGGCCCGGTAGCCTATCTGTAGCCGAGCTTAGTGGTGATATTCTCAACCCATGACTCAACTTCTTAAGCAAAGATATTTCTGCTCATGTCATCCGCTGGGACCTTCCGGGATCAACGAGTCATACCGGTCAACTGCCGTCTACCAGACTGAATTGCGCGGCTCATCGCCGCTCACTTCAACGTCGCACTAACCAGAGGTGCCTCAAGCATAAGGTTCGGCCAACGCTAATGGATTGTTCATGTATGAGAAGGAGCCAAGCGAGCAGGATCGCAGCATCGAAGCCATCATCCGCGGAGCAGAAACGGTCCTACCAGGCGCAGTCTGCTGTCTTGCTCGATATCCTCACTGGCCCGCGTGACTGCCTTGCTTGCCGCTGTCATCACAAGGTACAAATATCCATTCTCATGGAAGCCCCTCACTGCAGGCGACGCCAATGGCCATCCATCAGCTTATGCCCTTACACGTCAGGGTGTCTTACCCACCTTTGGCGTGTCCTTTGTAAGTGCACTGTGCAGGGGGACTTCTCCCTAAGTCTCATCCCTGTGCTCCCTTCGCGCTTCCCCTACCTGGCCTGACCCTAACGGGAAGGCCTTACATACAACCGGACACGCAGACACAGATATAAGAGCTCTCCCCAGAGCCAATACCCACGTCCCATCTGGCCTTTCACTGATCGACCTCTTGACAGTGACAGCTTCGAATCCGTGCCACCAGTATCCACCCTCTTTCGAGCATCCATCACCATGCCTGTTCTACTCATCCGAGATGACGAGACGGAGTCGGGAGCGGGCACCGATAAGGATAGTTTTCCGTGGGGTGAGTCCATATCCTTATCCATCGTCCCCGATCCATGATTTCGCCTCATAGTGAGGCACGACGGTGCTGACGATGACAGTGGCTGTGGCTGGCGGCAGTGTAGTGCTGCTCGTCTTTGGGGCGGCGATGTGGTGGTTCGTGATCAGACCGCGCAGAGGGAAGACGCAGACCATACCTCAGGCCGCAGATTTGGCCAATGAGGCGGGGTGTCGTGACGCTACGCGCCCCTACACCTAGCCAGGGACATGCGAAGCACACGAAGGAGACTAGCGAGGCGAAGGCGAAGCGAACGAGGCGAAGGCGAAGGCGAAGGGAAGGCGAAGCGAAGGCGAAGCGAAGGCGAAGGCGAAGGCGAAGGCGAAGGGAAGGCGAAGCGAAGGCGAAGCGAAGGCGAAGCGAAGGCGAAGCGAAGGCGAAGCGAACGAAGCGAACGAAGCGAACGAAGCGAAGGCGAAGCGAACGAAGCGAACGAGACGAAGGAGGCAAGCAGCGGAGGACCGCTGAGGCTCAGACTAGACATATATAAGGGGTCCATATCACAGCTAGATAGCCTTTTCCTCAAGGATCTAATTCTCATAAGTCTATCATACATCTAAAGACCATCATACCCAACATATCATCACACTCGCCACCCACACTTATCCAGTATCAAGCTTGCCCACCGGGTCCTTCCAAGCTCTCATACCAATACCACATCATCACTCGTAGCTCGCCTCCCGGCGCTACTCCACAAGCATCATCCCGAGCCGTCGACAAACGCACAAGCTAGCCTAGCTCGTAAACCGTCCTTGTCCCTGTCTCTAGTCATAGGTCTTCTAGGGACAGCCTCCCGACACGGGGGCAAAGGGTGAGGCTGCCAACCGGGGGTACTGACCTTTCATGTGTCATTGATCCCACAGCTCTGGAACTCGCGGCACAGGTCAGACGACTCCAGCCTCTAGCAATAGCTCGCGGGAGATGTAACATATTTCATGTACGTCAATGTCTGGCCCTACACCGGTCCGAGGGGTCACTGGCTACTCCCCGTGTCATACGGCTGCCGGAATAATTTCGAGACAGATACCTGGCCGCATACGCGATAGTCCTGCCCCAGAGTTTCAAGCGCTGTGATGCGGGGGGTAGACCTGCGACGCGTATGGTTGGGCCCATCGTGGGCCAAGCACCCGGCCACCCTCCGACCAAGAGGAGTTGACACAAGTCTCACCGCCAACATCCTTTGGCGCATGCCTTGTCGCTGAGTACCCATCACTAAATGTCGACCACACATACAATCATCCTTCGTGGATGTCTCCGTCGCACTCCCTTGATACCCAGCATCGAACACGGTGCTCCCCCTTAGTACCATCCCTGTGATCCCTTAGCGCAACCCCTACCTCCTGTAGGTGACCGACAACCGTAGCGATGATCCAGCCATTCCAATACGAATATCGGAGCTCCCATCTGACACGACATTCAAGCTGCATCTGATCGGGTACTGGTCAGTCTGAGTGACAGCAGCAAGCGCCATCTACTTTTCCTCACCTCAAGTCAGTTATCACCATGCCTGCCATATCCATCCGAGCGAGCGATACCGGAGGTTATGTGCCTGCCGGTACTGTTGAAAGCGATCAAGGCCGCTTAAGCTTACCGATGCGTAAGCTCACATCTTCTTGCACCCCGCTTCCTGTGCGGTTCTGGTGGTCCAGGCCTAATCGCGATGAGCACGGACGAGCGCTGATGTAAGAAGAAATTGTGCTTGGGGTGGGTGTCGGGCTGTTGGTGCTCCTTATGCTGGTATGCGCCTTCTGCAACATCCGCTGTGGGAAAAGCGCACGCTCAGAGCCCAAGTTAGAGCCAAAGGAGCCACACACAGCTAGTGGGGGATGAGGAGATCCTTGCTCAGCACGCAGGCGAGGCCGCTGAGTAGAGGGCGCCAAGGATGGCTTAGCTGGTAGGGAAATCGTCAAGTACCGTACCTAGCACTAGCCACATACATTTTCATGTAGCTCTTGCTCTGTCCACCTGAAGCCTGACCATTTGACACTCGGTGCTACTCCCATCGACATCCATACGGTTAGGCACACTCCTCGTATTCATCTCGTTTCCACTCTCTAGTCCGCCAGTCTCGAGCTCCCTGGGTCACCTCGATCTCCTCTCTTTCGCTTGCCAACGATCCGACTTCCCCCCTTTTCACCGCATCGTAACAGACCGAAGAAGGACCTCACCGCCGGAGTGCACCAAGCGCCTTCAAGCCCAATCTCGGAACCAAGAGCAGTACCGGTCAATCAAGCTCCGACAGGGACCTCTTAGCGGCATCCAGCTAGTAGGCTGTAGGGGTATTACGAGTCGCTAGATTCTGTCGCTAGATTCTGTCACTTGCTCCTAGACATTATAGGCAGTCCAGAGTCGCGGCTCAGCACATATGTACATTAGTCCGCCGCTTTGACATGCGCCCATAGCATCAATAACCAGCATCTGGGTATCGGTGCCAAGTTGGCAAATCTGAAACGCGTGTCCGTTTCAACGTGTTTCAGACGCCACTGCGCTGCGCGGCATGCTGGTCGATGTGCAAGGACTTCCGTTTGAATACCGTGCCCGCTCCTTGCCGTCCAGCTCGGATGGCCTCGTTGCTGTGTACCCATCAATCAGTGTCGACCCACACATACAATCATCCTTTGAGGATGTCTCCCTTGCACTCCCTTGATACCCAAGATTGGACATGATGATCCGTCCGTTTGCCCCTGATATGGACTTTAGAGTTTGGGCCGTTCGCTGCGCGACTGGAGGGTGAGGCACTATGGCAGTTCTCATCGATCGCCACAGCATACTGCCGGAGACATACAGGTGAAATGTCAACTGAAACGAAAGCGGGCAAGATCTTCGCCGATGCTGTCGCTAAGCAGGGCAGCGAGAACGACCTAGCGCTTCCCCGTGACGATACGCACAAGCAGAGTGGGTTGACTGAGATCACACCAAATGTACACGTCCGGCTGAGCAGAACTCCGTGGATCTGACGGCTGACGCCGCAGAAATCTTCATCATAGGCATCTGCTCGGCTGTTGGCGTGATCATCCTCCTCGCCTCGATCTATTTATACTGCGGGATTGACCGGAAATGCTCTGGCTGCAAACGACCCATCAAGTGGTGGCAATCACGAAAGGTCGGCACAGATTACGAAGATACTGTCTACCATAGGATCGGCTGTTACGACGAGCGTATGACTCGTAAATGGGATGCGGGCCGTGATACGGCTCTGAGGAAGACAATGCGGGAGGAACGGCTGGCGGAAGAGGATGAAGCGCAGCTAGAGCGAGAAAGGAAGATGGGCTTCCCGGATAGGGTCTAGGCCATAGTGGCACATGAAATGCAAATGAGGCGTCTGTTAGATCCGCAGTAGCAGGCAGGGCCGGCATCGTAACTAGTCATTGGCAGCCTATCCTTGCAACATGTCCTTTGTTCCCCGCCTGTCGAAAGCCTCTGATAAGTGTGTGACAGTGAGCCCCTGTGAGCCAGTCACCGTGGAGCTCTTGCTACTTCCCGCACTTACGTACAGTAGCAGCACAGCATTGTGGAGTGGGGCACACCGTGGGTCATATGAGCGGACTGCGCCGTACGGTGTACCCCTGCCATGGCCGGCGCGATATCACCGAGCCCCTCGATGGTCCTTTCATGATGCCCCCCGAGTCTCATGTCTACCCCTGGCCGCTCTGAAAAAGACCGTCTGTCCAACTCAACCGGGCATCATGGTATGACTCTATCAATTGAGCATAGCCGTTAGCGGAAAGACATAGCTCAATCACCTTCCTTACAACGAGCAGAATCGAAATGCCTGACGAACCTCCCGCTGTGAAGATCTTCGAGATGCCATGGCTGAGCAAGATCACCCGGACGATACCAAGAAGTGTGAGTAGCATCGTCCGGGTTGACCTTCACAGCCGCGTACTGCTAGAGATTTGTGGCTGATCACGCAGACATCATCATCGGGGCCTGCTGCGCGTCAGCCCTAGCCGCCCTACTCATCTTCCTGTTCTGGTACTATCGGTTGCGTCAGCGCGGAGATGGACAAAGCGGCCCGAGGGGTGGTGATTTGTGGGCGTCCATCACGTCTGGCCGGACGTCAAAAGTCACGGCTGCCGACGTCGCTTCTGGACTCGGCTGCGAGGAATGCGGGGATCGCTTCGCACTCGGGCAGAAAGTGCACCGTAAGAAGGGGAAGGTTGGCGAGCAGGAGAAGGCCTACTGCAAGGAACGCTGCTATCGCGGCCGAAATGAGTGGGCGTGATCAGCATGTATACGCTAGCTAGAGTAGCTGTATTCCCCATCGAGTGAAGGACCTTGAAGATGAGCTCAGATACGGTCAAGTCGCACATTATTGAGATTCCTGGCGTTTACAAAACAGCTTCACTTCAGTATCAGGAGATTAACTCCAAGTGGATATGAGTCTGTACCGCCTCACAGACGATGACTCGCCCCATTTGTAATCGCAAGAACCTGCATATCCCAGAATCTAGATGAGCTTGAGCTTGCCTCCCTCCTCCCGGATCTCTACAGACCGCTTCTCGTCAAGCGAGATACGTCCAGCATGGAGCAGAGCTGTCGTGACAATACTATACTGGTCAGCTTCGCCCTTACCCTTGTAATGCTGAAAACTCACGTGGCCTTGATCGTTGGCAGACCCTTCCCGTCGTAGTCCGCAGCCTTAGCCCGGCCGGAAGAGACTTCTCGTGCAGCGTCTGATAAGGTCAGCTAGGTGCCCAGAAGCTTGCATCCCAGAGCCTGCTCACCGATAAACTTCTCGAGCGAGATGTATCCGTAGCCCTTCTGCCCATCAAAGTAGCCGTTCTCGTCCGGCGAGTATTTCACGTAGAAGGGGTTGTACTAGATTGTCAGCTGTGCTCTAGCCTTCCTGGGATGAGAAGCTTACGTCGAGCTTGCCAATGTCGTCCTCGACAACCGAGTATCCACGGTGTGCCTGGTCTACCCTTACTTCACCCTACATGATCAGCTCGCCGCCATGAGTCTACATCAAGTTTGTAGCATACCTTGGCAGCCATATAGTGGAACCTCTGCTCCGAGTGCACACCGGCCTTGAGCGGTGCGGCCCAGCTAGCAGTGTACACGGCGGTCCCGTGCTGCTTCTCATCGCTGACGTTCTGCCAGTCCACCAGGAGAGTGATGGTGTCTTCAGTCTGAGGGGCGCAGCCCATCGAGGTGGCAATACCAGTGGTGGCGGAGGCGGTGACCTTGACGGGGCGGTATCGGCCTTCGACCATCCAGCAGTGGATCTGAGTGTCAGCTCAAGGCGATCTGGCCGAGGAGGAAGAGGATAACTTACGTCGATGTGGTGCGAGTTGAGGTAGTAGGAGATGTCACTGTCGATACCGGCCCATGACTTAAAGGTCTCGAGCTGGAATTTGGGCTGCGACATGTCTGTCGGAGTCAGCTCTCATCCCGCTGCGAGGTCAGGGCGAAAGAGAATGGGCAGCTCACACGAAGAGTAGAAGTTGAAGTCTCCGAGCTTCTGGGCGCGAGCACGAGCATCGTTGTAAGCAGGGCTATACGTCAGCGTCCCTTCCATCGAACGCTTGCTCGACGTGTGACTCACTCGAAACGCTTGTGGCTGATACGTCAGCTTCCATCCCGAATCAGAAGTAGAGGGCTAGACAACTCACTGCTCAACAAAGCACACCAAGCCCTTCTCCGCAGCCATCTCCGCGAGCTTCTGGTGGTCCTCCAGCTTCTGCGTCGCCGGCTTGGTTACCAAGACATGGTGGCCGAGGTTAAGTGCCTCTGCGGCGATGGGGAAGTGGGTCGAGTCAGGGGTGAAGATGATGACTGCGGATCCCTTGGGCAGGGACTTGAGCGCCTCCTTGTCTAGGTATATCAGCTTGATGTCCACAGGTATGGCGAGAGTGCAGAACTCACAAGCCTCGGGGTTCCGGTTGTTTCCCTGGGGGAAACCGTTGAAGCTCAGGTCGAGGCCTTTGTAGACGTCCCCAATGTTCTTCTGGAAGTGCGCCTGGATTTCGGGGAACTAAAAGATCAGCTGAAGCCCTCGAAACGTGCGAACCAGCCTACCTTTCCACCGTTCGTACCAGCCATGACAATGCTACCTCGTCAGCTCGCGCAATCCAGGCGCACGGGACATGCCAGCTCACTCGGTAACCTTTCCACGTCGACGCAGGTCGAACATGGTGATACCGACGACACCGATCTACATTATGAGCTGCAAATCGCCAGCGCTACCAAGGGCACCCAGCTCATGAGCTCACCTTCTTGTCAGACTTGGACTGTCCTGAGGGGGTGATACCAGTTGTGTACTCGCCCTATAGACCCATCAGCAACGATCAAGGGTTTGCGAGAAAGAGGAGACTGACCGTGCCCATCAGGCCGACGGCGATAGGAGCTGTTTCGTTGGACATCTTGCTGAGTATTCTTGGTACGAGGTGATGGCTGCTGGGGAGGCTGGCGGTCTCTGCTTGAACAACGGAGGATATGAAGGAGAAGACAAGACTTTTGCAGACGCGAAAGCTTTGGTCGCCAAAGATAGTCGAGCCGGCAGAAAGGGCCGGTTGCTCCGGCGGTACCTGACCGGGCCGAAGGCTCCGGCCCGCCGAGATCCGTGCGTAAATTCTGAGAGATTCAGCGAGGCGACGCGCAGCGCTAGCGCATGCATGAGACAGCGACAGCAGGCTTACCCATCACTCTACGAATGCCACGAGGGACTCCCTTGGCTCGATGCGCTGTCTTTCAACTTGAAAAGATCGGTAGCAGACATCCGCAATTGATGTCTGTCGGTCCATTGATGGCTCACGATCTAGCTCGGATCCATCAAGCAGCGGCCAGGAATGAACGAGTAGTACTAGCGAGCCAAGGACTTGCTCGTAGCTCTGAGAGCTCGTATACCCACTCGTACGCTCGACTCACAGAGTCTTTTACATCACTGGCCGATTGGAGAGCCTCGATCCTCCAGCCACGTTTCACATGCACGCACGGACTTGTTTCAGATAGAGTTTGGGTTCTCTAGCGGTCAGATCCAATTTTTCAAGAGCCCTCCTTTGGCCTATACAAGCAGCTTGACACCGCATATGGTAACTAAGGGAGGCAGTCATCAGCTGCCTGGGAGCGGTAAGGGATGGACACAGCAGCGGGAGACGCAAGCGGCCAGAGCGCCACGGGAGGGAGAAGAGAGGGCTCGGGGGCACATGAGTCGATCTCAGTCTTATACATCACTCAACCCTCCTAGTCTGACCTCGGTCCTCCCGTCTTCCTTCTCTCTTACCTTCCCATTGCCACCAAGATGTCTTCTCCACTCACTGATCATCCTCTGTCTCGCCCCGCTTCCTTCCCTTCGCCTACTACAGCCCGCCCGCCCGCTCCCCTTCCCGTTGACACATACGAGCACAACCCACTCACGCCCACCTCATCCCTTCCTGCCTCGCTCTCCCGGAACCGATCCATCTCGCCACCCGCACGGCCCGCAGCTCTCTTCCCACGCACCTCCCCGCTCTCCTCCCCTCCTCCAGCCCATGCCTCCTCCTCATCACCCCTTTCGCGTCCTCCTTTCCTCCCCGCTCCCTCGTCCCCATCACTCAACATTGCCAATGATCCTCCCCCAGCCGGCGGTCCAGTTGCCCCCCGCAACATCGTCATCCTCCTCGATGGGACGGGGAACATGTTCTCCAGGCGTAATTCGAATGTCATTAAGACGCTGTCGGTGCTCGAGGCGGATGAGACGCAGCTGGTCTACTATTCGAGCGGGGTGGGAACGATCCTGCCGGATCATGCGAGTACGTGGGGGAGTATGCGGACGGCAGTGGCGCGAGGGATTGATACGGCTTTGGCATGGTGAGTTTATCAGTGACATTCATATTGTACGGAGAAGATCATCTGGTCCATCAGCTGATAATCAGGAACTTTCAAGAGTTCGTCTGCGATGCTTACAAGTACCTCATGGACTTCTACCGGGCCGGGGACAAGCTGTATATTTTTGGCTTCTCGAGAGGAGCCTACACCGCGAGGGCTTTGGCCGGTATGATCCAGAAAGTAAGCTGCTGAGATTGCGCCGGTCAGCCGCTCCAAGCTAACACTCAGGTCGGCCTCCTCGCTCCTGGCAATTACAACCAGGTTCCACTGCGAGTCCACAACAGCCATTGACTCTCTTCCGGAATGAGCTGACAGGCCAGGGCGTACGAGGTGTATACTCGACCGAACGCTGTGGCGTATCGAGAGGGAATGAGCGGTGGTGAGGAGCTCAGCGTGATCTACCGGCAGATCTTCGGAATCAGCCGTACGGTCCGCATCGAGTTTCTGGGCGTCTGGGTAAGCTGCGACACGGCGGTGGAATGCCTGTAATGCGTCAGCTAACGCCCCAGGATACAGTCTCCAGTCTGGGCGGTATCACCTTACCTCGTGAGTGAACCTATCAGCTATACTCCTTGGTCTGGCCGCTGATCTTTAGGCCTTCCCTACGCCAGTAACGTCAAGTCCGTCAAGTTCTTCCGCCACGCCCTGGCGCTGGACGAGCGCCGCGCCCGCTTTGCCCCCGAGTACCGCCGCTTCCACGCGGACGAGTCTTGCGTCGACCCCAGCGCTTGCCTGGTCACCCTCCGGAATGCGTGGTCCGCGCACAACATTCTCCATTCGCCCAATGCCAGCGTTTCGGACAAGGTCGACGCCAAGAAGCAGCTCGACGAGATGCTCGACCAAAAGTATCCCGAGATCGCGCGGACAAGGGTGGTGATGGATGATGGGACCACGTCGGTACGGTACCTAAGAAAGAATGTCGAAGCGTGGTTTATGGGGGCGCATAGTGATGTAGGAGGCGGAAATGATCTCAACGGGGAGAGTAGCTTGTCGAATATCCCATTCAGGTGAGCTAGGTCGAGCGGAAGTGATGACAGGGACGAGCTGACTCACAGGTGGATGCTGCGCGAAGCGGTCCAGTGCGGTCTCAAGCTGGAAGCTGTAGGCATCTGCCTCCAGCCCGCCATATACCTCCACCCCGCCGTCGTCGAAGCTGGTCATATCCCCGCGGAACTCATCCAGATCCTCCGAGAAGAGCTGCGAGGCGAGACTGTCGAGTTCGAGACGGAGAAGAAGGTCAGGTCACTCGTCGATCAGCACCTCCCGCATAGTCGGCTGGTGGAGATCCTGGAGCTTGCGGCGGGGTACGATGCGGGCGTATCTCCGCAGGAAATCCTAAGCGACGCGGAGAGACGAAAAGAGGCGGAGAGTGGGGGTACGCAGGCGCAGGAGGGCCAGGCCGCGCACGAGCAAGACCATGTGGACGATATGGATCCGAGAGGGTTGCCGATCGGTCCGGATGGGGTTATGCTGGGGACGGAGAGTCTGAGGGGGCCGTGGTGGTTGCTCGAGGGGGCAATACTGCAGACGAGAAAGTTTGAGGGGTCGAACGATGGTGGGAAAGACGTCTGGCGGTGAGTCCACGTATCAGCTGCAACACCCGGTGCATCAGCTGATGAGACAGAGCGAATCTAGGCAGACCGCGTCAGATGGCAGTAGGCCAATACATCCATCGTTCGGTCCAGAAACGCCTGCGCTTCGAGCACCCTCTCGACGAAGAACAAGAAGAGAAGACGGTAGTCAAGTGGTGGAAGCGGATGACGATCAAGGTGAAGCAGCGGATGAAGGGGGACACGGTACCGGTACCTGTCGAGGAGGGAAAGCAGGGAGGAACGGGGTACGAAGGACCCAAAGCGCTCCTTCCGACGGAGTGGGGGATGACATGGGACGATCTGCGTCGGGGGAGGGGCGGCGTGGTGTGGGAGGAGTAGCATGGTCGTCGCATCAATAGCATGGATCATCAATGACACTGCGTTGCACGAAATATCCCAAGACGAGCTTGGACGGAGAGGCATGACCGGCCAAAAGATGGAGATGGACCCGCTCGTCCGCCTCGGCATGTACGGCCGAAAGGATGGCGGTGACAAACCCTGCAAGTTACCCGAACGGGCTAGAATTAGCGTTGTTAACAGCTCGTGCCTGACTCGTTTCTAGGCTAACGTTCGGTCTCCGAGGAGTTTTTGTATTGATCAGCAGCCGGTACGATTTCTAAGCTCCTCCTCCGCGCTGCTTGCTCCGCGGCAACGTCGCGATGATGGGGTTGAACTTGTATCTCCTTTCTATCTAGCCATTTGATCTTCATCTTGCTTGGTCAACGTCGCCTCGGCTTCGGTCACGCCTGTACAGGACCGCTGGTATATAACTCCCAACGCGACACGATATTCCCCTGTCCTCATCTTCTCCCAACGCACAGACATTCTACTTCCCCAACATGTCCTCCTCCCCTCCTTCGGCTCACGCGTACAACCATGACGGCGTGCTCGTATCGGACGTGCCTGAGAGCCAAAGGGTCTCAGCACTCACCGACGAGACACGCAAGGTGAACGACAATCGGACCGGCGCGGAGGCCATCGCCCCCACTGTCGGGCCGCGGAGCGACAGCGCGTCCAATTCTGTCAGTACCGCCGCGGGTCCTCCCGCTGCGGGACCACCAGCCGGCCGGCCCAAGCTCGACAAGTTTGCCTACTCGTTCTGGGACCCGCAGATGGCGCCGTTCCGGAAGATCGTCTACAAGATCCTCGGCGGAGGGTCCATCGTGACCATCATCATCATGTGGCTCGCTTTGCCCATGTACTGGGGCAGTCTCTGGCTCTCCAACGTCTACACCAACAATCTCGGCGTCCGGATCGTCGACTATGATGGTGGCGCTATAGGACAGGCGGTCGTGCAGGGATTGATGAGCCGAACGGGCCAGCTTGGGTACTTTACATCCCCGGCGTCGGCGTGGCCTAATGCCCAAGGCCTCATCGATTCCATGCTGGACGAGCAGGAGTGGGCCGCGATATCCATCAACTCGGGCACGACGTCAACCCTGCAGATCGCGAGGCAGAACGGGCTCCAGTCGTACAATGGCTCGCAGGCGATCACGGTGTACTATGCTCAGGCGCGGAATGAGCTGGCGGTCAATTCGTATCTCGTGCCGCTCATCCAGCAGGCATTAGGCGAGATCACGGGACAGCTCAGCGCTCAATCTACAGCCCAATAGTGAGTAAAGTATTCCTCGTCGTGCAGATATGAGCTGATGAGTATCAGTCTTCAGGCGAACTCTGGAAATGCGACAGCTATCTCCCTCCTCGCTCAGGCCCCATCCACCATATCCAACAGCATCTACTATACCCTCGACAATCTCCGGCCATATAATCAACCGGTGGCCAACGCCATCACCCTTGTCGGACTCATTTACTGCCTCATCTTCGCCTTCATCATCGCTATGATGGGTAATGGCGCGCGAGAAATAATGTAAGGAAACCTCTTTTCTGCCTCTGCTATCTCGCTGACATCTCAGCTCTCCCTTCATGACAACCCGTAGCTACATCCTATATCGTCTCGGCACCCCTCTCCTGCTTTACATGCCCATCGCGCTCTTCTTCGCCATGGTCAACCTGCCCTTCCGAATCCACTTTGACGCGCACTTCTCCTACGCCGGCGGCTTCTTCCTCTGGGCATTCACCGTCTACCTCTCCATGTGCGCCCTAGGCCTCGCGGTCGAGTTTGCACTCACCATCGTCGGACCAAAGTTTATCGGTTTCTTCCTCGTATGCTGGATTATCGTCAATGTGTCGTAAGTCCTCCTTCCCTACCTGTTGTCCTCGGACGGAGCTGACCCTCAGTACCGTCGCCCTCCCACACGAGCTCCAACCCTGGATATTCCGATATGGCGCCGGAATGCCCTTCTACAACATAAATCGCACAGTCCGCACCATCATCTTCAACACCAAGAATGAGATTGGGCAGAATCTCGGGATCCTCATAGCCTGGATCGTCGTCAGTCTGATTACCGTCTCGCTGGCGACGTGGCTGTCGAGAAGAAAGGCGGTGAACCTGCATCGGAAGGCGAAGACCGAGGAGGAGCGGGTGAGCGGGGAGAAGGTCGGGATGCACCACGAGGAGATTTTGTTAGATAGCGCAGACTTATAGTAGTAGATCTTGACGTATAGTAGTAGATCTTGACGTATAGATGTAATGGTACGCAGGCTCACATTGTTTTGCGAGAGCAGGGAGGTGCATTATCAACCAAGACCGTTACCTATTAAAGCTACAACATCTATTAACACAGTCTGTACCGAAGAGGGTATAACGATGCCTGGTATCTATGAGGGGTCGTTACTACTACAGATCACAGTTGTTCAGGATCGCTCCATACGCCCCCGGTTCCTCCATGGCTGATCATTCTCCTGTCGTCCCCCAAACTCGCCTCCACTTCCGCCAAATCCTCCTCTCTCGCCCCCACCTCCCCTATCACCACCCCTGAAGCCACCCCTCATACCGCTGCCAAATCGACCTTCGCTGCCGCCCTCAGAGTCGCGGGATCGACCCATAAAGCCACCTCCACCTCCACTCTCGCTATCGCCACGCGGCCGGTATCCGCCTCCTCCGCCCTCGCTCCGGCCGTGATATCCTCCGCCGCCGCCTTCTGATCTACCGAAGCCGCCACCACCACCTTCTCTGCGTGCAAAGCCACCTCCCTCGCCGCCATCCCTGCGACCTCCGAAGCCTCCGCCACCTCCGAAACGGCCTCCACCGCCGCCACCACGACCGCCAAAGCCACCACGGCCCCCTCCACCTCCGAATCCACCTCGTCCCCCGCGCTCCTTCAGGCCCATCTTGGCCAGCATGTTCTCGCCGACATGCGGCCTCTCATCCAATCCTCCAGCCTCGACCGCCCAGTCCTTTACTTCTTGCACTAAGCGCCCAGCGCCGATGTTCAGTTGCTCCTTCCGCCCCGCATAGTAACCGAGCAGGCTGGTAAACACCTCGTTGACCGCCTCGGGATCCAGCGTGGGCAAGAACTCCTTGACTGTCTTGTCGATCGTCGCCATGGTCGCCTGGTACGTGTCCGGCGCGACCTCGGCGAGAGCGGTGGCGAGATCCTCCCCGGTGTTCTCCTGGATAGGAACGGCCTTCATACCGTTCAGGTATCCCGTCTCCCATGGCAGAAGGACAAGATCGCCCCTTCCGCCAGCTTTGCCCGCTCGGCCCGTCCGACCCACTCGGTGGATGTACTGCTCGGGCGTAGTGGGCACACCGACCTGTATGACGCGTGTCACACCGGGATAGTCAACGCCCCGAGCGGATACGTCCGACGTGACGAGGATAGACGGCCGCGAGTCTTTCCTGAACCGATCCGATGCGCGCGTCCGCCTGTCCTGGCTGAGCTGACTGTGGATCTCGCGCAGCTCAGTGCCACGCGGAAGGAGGTGTTTGAGCTCGCGCAGCAGGGTGGCCGTGAGCATAGTCATTTTGGTCGTAGGGAGGAAGAGGATGATTTTGCTGTCGGGTTTGGTGAGCTGATCGTGGGCGATCAGTTTGATGACGTGAGAGAGCTGCTGCTCGGCGGGGACGGTGGCGAAGTATTGGGGGATGTGGAGGTGGACGTTGGACTCGTTTTTCGGTACGCAGTCAATCATGAGGTGGTTGGGTTTGAGCGAGGCGCGGGCGATTTGCGCAATGGCAGGGGAGACGGTGGCGGAGAAGAGGAAGGTTTGGCGGGAGGAAGGGAGGTGGCTGATAATGTCCGCAAGTTCCTTCTTGAATCCCATCTCCAGCAGAGTGTCCGCCTCGTCCAGGACCAACATGTCCGTCTTTTCAATCGCCTGCCTGACGATTGGCTCCGAGAGGAGATCGTTCAACCGCCCAGGGGTGGCAACGATAATGTCCTTCCGGCCGCGACGGAAGTCACCGAGCTGTGCCCGGCGAGACTCGCCACCGACGAACAAATGGACTTGAAGGTCCTTGTTCCAGGTGCAGACTTTCCGCGCCTCGGTGGCGATCTGAGTAGCGAGTTCACGAGTGGGGGAGACGATGAGGGTGCCGACGTGCGACCGGGAGACTTGGCGGTAGAGTTCACCAGCGAGGGCTTTGGTCAGGGGTTGACCGTCTGGTCCTGGGGCAGAGGCAAGCTCATCCAGCTTGGACAGACGCGCATCGATGGCGGGGATGAGGAAGGCCTGGAGTCAGCTTAGATTCAAGCGGATCTCAGCCGTGAACTTACCAAGGTCTTCCCGGTACCTGTCCTTGCCTTCACGAGCAGATCTGACCTTCCCTCTCCTTTCTCCAGCTTCTCTATGTCTTCCCCGCGCGCCTGCGCATCCTCCTTCGCCTTGCTCTTGAGCTTCGCTCCCGCCAGCCCAGGCATCAACGCCATGACCCGCTTCTGCACCTCCGACATCGTCAACAGCTGGAACGGCTTGACCGTGAGCGCCTTGAGAGTGTCATAATTGATCCGTCCCTTCAGCGAGGCAAAGGATCCCTCGTCCCCCTGAGACTCCTCCGCTGCTGGCTCCGGGACTTTTCTCGAATGTTTCGAGCGCGATGAGGATTGGGATGAGGCAGGTGGAGGGGCGTATGAAGGGGCGTTCTCGTCCGCGGTCGAAGTGGCAGGTGACGCGACGGTAGAAGCGAGCGCGTCGGCGAAGAACTCTTCGGCCTCCGCTTCGGCCTCTACCTCCTTGACGGCGGTAGCAGAGTATTCCCGACCAGATGTAATGGAGCGGAGGGCTATGCGTCAGCTATAGCTTCCAAGGCAGAGCGGGCCGCAGCTGAGCTCACCTCCAATCCGGGAGAAAACATTCTGACGGGGAAGGATGGCCGATCGCGCGAGGGGCCGGGAAGCGACGACGCTCCTCGGGGTGACGATCCTCGCTGCGAGCAAGGACGTCCTTGTGAGTGCTAATCTAGGCAGCATGGTAGTGTATTATTATAGAGAGAGATACAAGGTCAACACCATCGAGCATCGAGCATCGGTGGACCGCCGCCCAGCGAAAAAATGCGAGGGAGATCTAGATGTCCGAAATCTCCGGAAATATTACGTAAGTCTGCCTTTTGATTGTGTCGGAATTTCAAGACAAGCTAACCGGTCATAAGCATCTTGCATTTGTACTTCATCCTTCTTACCCATCCTCCAGTCAGTCATGCTCCTCCCTCGACCCGCCAGGCTGCTGAGGCAGTGTCCGACGCTGCTGCGACCCGCAGTGCAGCGTTGCATTGCGACCACCCCCGCCCGACATGCTCAGCTCGACGAGTCGTATCACCCCTTCACGAACGACATGTTGATGGGCTCATCCCGTCAGCGACCGAACAGAGCTTCGGCAATACCAGACCGGCAAGATCAGGACGTGGAGGTGACAGAGGACACATCAGCGGTCGCCTCTTCCTCTTCCCCTTCGGCCTACGCTCAGAGCGCCGAGAGCGAGTACGACCACGAGGACGGGGGACGGGAAGAAAGGAGAGCACCTGCCACTGTCATTGGCGCCAAGCGAGTCGGGCTGGTAATCCTGCCAGAGCAGCTCACTGAGTCAATTCAGCAGGAGATCAACGGTAAGCTAGGTCTCGTTGTTACGCGACCATCGTGGAACGACCTCAAGCTGACTTTACAGCTGGGGACCCCCATGAGATCCGCCGTTCCTTTCTTCAGCTCAACCCAACCACCCGTACTCCGACCCGAGGCAAAGAAGGCGAGCGCTTTCGAGCCACTCCCTCTGCTGCACTCGCCAAGGCTGCTGCATTCCTACCGGGAGAGTATGCTGCCGTCCGCAGTATCTTCACCGAGTTGCGCCGACGCCAGGGGGACGACTGGCTGCCGGAGGGATCGGTTATGGAGGTCACAGGGACTGTAGGGGCTGGCTTATGGGCCCTGGCAGACTCGCAAGAGCTTCTAGAGCCCGTGGTGGTTGGAGATGGGCGGAGTGTTGGGCGGAAGTACGAATTCAACCATGCAAGCCGGAGTGGGCTGGAGCTGGCCGAACGACTAGCGGAGAGTGAGCTCTGAGTTCTGAATTTGGTTACCAAGCTGAATCAATAGGCATGCCAACAGGAGCGCTCGATGTGACATATCAGCGGCAACCGAGCAAAGCTGGATCTGCCGTATGTCCTCGATGTACCCAGACGCTTATCAGTCCATGGCTGACGTCTCAGATTCCCGCTCTGGTCCTCTCGAGCTTCCACCTCTCCACCATCCCCTCGACTTCGGCTCAGCGAACTCACATTCAACACCTCCTCTCCCTCTCTTCGCCCTACCTTATCATTGTCGACCGCAATACCGCCGCCGGATGGGAAGCCATGTCTTCTGCCCGCGAGTACATCCTCGGCCTCTCGACCCCCGAATCACCACTCCATATCGTCGCTCCGTGCCCACACGAGGCGGCATGCCCCATGCTCGGCGGACGCGAGAGCTGCTCGTTCAGCCAAAGACTGCAACGGCCGACATTCGTCAGGCGGACAAAGCACGCCAAGAAGGGCGAGGAGGACATGGGGTACTCGTATCTCGTCATTGCTAGGGGTGAGCGGCCGGGTAGGAGCCAAGCGAGCAGTTCGACCGGGCGAGTAGGCGGAGTGGCGCGGGAAGAAGGGAGGCGACTGAGGGAAAAGACGGAGGGGAGGACGGTTCTGCGGGAGGTTGAGGGTGGGGGATTTGAGATGGTCTCCCTCGTGGAAAGCATGGTGGAAGGTGGAGCGATCGGGAGCGCGGAGGACGCGTTGGAGATGCCGGAGGAAGAGGTGGATCTTGAGGGACTACGGACGGAGGCGTACGAGTGGCCGAGGCTCATCGCTCCTCCGATCAAGCGGAGCGGGCACGTCATCATGGACACTTGCCATCCTACCGGTGAGTTGACGCTCTAATTCGCTTCGCGAACGGGACAGAAACTGACTGGTCAGGTCAATTACATCGTATCACATTCGCCAAGTCTCACTCCAAGCAGGCATACTACGACGCCCGCAAGTCCTCATGGGGCGATCTATTCCCTCATCAGCCGAAAGGCAAAGAGGTCGTCCGGGATCGAGGCGTCCGGCGACTTTCGCCAGCAAACGCGAGTTTGGCGCAGGTGGGCGTCGCGGAGGGGGAAGAACTGGGAGCTGGCGAGATGGAGGGATGGCCGACGGCCGCATTGTCGGAGGAGCAGGCGGATGTGGGTGAGGGACAAACGCAGGGGGAGACCTCGACAGCTGGCGCGAGCACGATGATGTGGGACTTTGGCACCGAGCGGTCCAAGCGGGGAGGAAGGATTGTTGACAAGTCGACGACTGGGAGGGCATCGAGGAAGCGGTCTATACATACTTCGGCGGTGACGCGGAGTGTGCATCCGCCACCTCCGCCTCCGGCTGATGCGCCTGGACCGAGTGAGTGCATAGTAACGCTGAGCGAACGAGACTGACTGTCAGGCACTCCAACACCAGTTCCTCGGACCAAAGTCACCATCAACGAACTATACCGTCTGCGCTCCTCCTCCACCCCCATCACCTGCCTGACGGCGTACGACTACCCCACCGCCATGCTCTCCCAGAATGCCAATGTCGACATGGTGCTCATCGGCGACTCGCTGGCCCAGGTCGCGCTCGGCCATACCTCTACCAACGCAATCACGCTCGACGAGATGATCCACCACGCCTCGGCCGTCACGCGGGGCGCCAAGACACCCTTCACATTCGCCGATCTCCCGTTTGGCAGCTTTGAAGAATCGGTCGAGCAGGGCGTGCGGAGCGTTGTGCGCATGATCAAGCGGTCTGGGATCGACGGGATCAAGATTGAGGGCGGGAAGGAGATTATTCCGCTCGTCAAGAAGCTGAGCGATATGGGGATTGCGGTGATGCCGCATATCGGATTACAGCCGCAGCGGGCCACAAGCCTATCGGGGTATCTCGTCCAGGGCCGGTCTGCCGAGGCCGCTGCGGAGCTGTACGATACTGCCGCGCAACTCAAGGCGGTGGGTGCATTTGCGCTTCTCCTCGAGGCGATCCCGCATACGCTCGCTCGGCACATCACCGAGTCGCTTGGAATCCTCACGATCGGGATTGGGGCTGGGCCGGGGACGGACGGGCAGGTACTGGTGATTACCGATGTGCTGGGGACGTATGCTGGTCCAGGGGCATGGAAGGCCAAGTTTGTGCGCCACTTTGGGGACGCAGGGGCGGTCAGCAGGGGCGCGGTTGAGAGTTTCGTGCAGGAGGTGAGGGGAGGTGGGTTCCCAGAGGTCGGCAAGGAGACTTACGCGATGAAGAAGGAGGAATGGAGCAAGTTCCTGGAGATGACGAAAAAGGGGGAATGAGGCTCGATGCTTGCTAGTGAGGGAGAGAAGCAGCCGCGATTCAGCAGACGGACACCCTGCATATACATTCCCTGCCATAGATATCTAGATGGGATCTATCATTTGTACTACCTACATACCTATGTCAAGCAACCTCCTCTTGTAACATCCTTCTGGGAGGTCCAGACGAGCTACATAAGCCTCCACCCTCGCAAGATATCCTCATCCACGACACCCTCGCCTTTTCCTCTCCCTTCGCCCGCCTCCTCCTCCTCAAGCCAATCCCGCATCCCCAACATCCTCAGTCCCTGCTTCTCGTCTCTAACGCCCGCCCGGCTCAGCCGTACCCTCACCCCCTTCTCAAACCGATCCTGCATCTCCTCCATCGCCGCCTGAGGCATCCCCACCTGTTCCCCATCCAGCGCCCCGAAATTGACAAAGCTGACCTCTCCGACCTGTCCACCTCCCTCTGCAGTTCTGGCGAGCAGAAGCCGCTGTCCAAGCAGGGTTGTGAGGGGGTGGAGGTAGCCAGGTGCGTAGTCCGGATGCCAGTCCATCGTCATGGCTATGCTGTTGTGGGGGGTTGGATCGAGTAAGGGGAATCGAGCGCCCGGGCGGGGAGTCTGGAGGATGAAGGTGATATTGACAGGTTCAGATACCGTGGTGGCCGCCGAGCTGGAAGGAGAGGGTTGGAGAGCCTGAATGAGGCAGCCGAGAATGAAAGGGAGGCCGTGGTTCATGCTGAGCATATCGCCAGCTTGGACCGTTGCGCCAGGAGTCACGACGATGATGATCTCCCGTAACTCGTCGTGTAGGGTTGGGGGGAGATTGGCGATCGGCGATGCGCCCTGATGGAACCCTGCGCCGTGCAGGACCAAGCGACGAGGTCTGATATTCGCGGACAGCTCCGCGGCCGGACGATCATCAGTGGATGAGGAGAATACTGGAGCGTACCGCTGGTACGAGCTGGTATCCAGTCGAAGGCGCAGGACGTCGCAGCGGACCTGAGGAGGAGGTGTGAGGCCTGTAAGTCCAGGGGGGGAGAGGACCGCTGGGCCGCTGTCTGGGGCTGATACGGCCGCATCTTGTCCACCGATGGACGTGCCCGACATATCGGTGGGGGAGGTGTCGGCCGACGTGGGGAAGATATCGACAGTCTTGACGAAGCTCAGGAAAACCTCCTTCAATGTCTTTTTCCTCCCTGGCGACTCTGTGTCCGCATCTATCTTTTCTCCCCCTGCTGTCCCGCCGCACGAGTCTCCCAGCACCTCCGCGGGCAGTCCCGTATCCACCAGTATATTCTCCCTCCCTGTGATGCAGATGTTGCGGTATAGGCGAGGTGCAGCGATCTGGCAGACCAGCTTGGACACGCGGAGGAGGGTCGAGAGGGTTGTCGTGTCGGAAGGAGGGATGAAGGAGAGGATGTGATCGATCGTCTCGGCAGGGAGTCCACGAACAGCTTCGACGTCGGCTGAGCCATCTGTGATCTTGCACGTCTCTGACATCTTGCTTATAGCTGAAGACGATATACGGTCAATCATTAATCAATGCCAGTTGCAGCGCATCGCAGGCCCCCTGACGGCATACCTGAACAGCATCCCGCACCACGTGGCGCAAAGTGCTTTGTTTCAAGTTGGCGGGTGGCAAATGTGAAACACATCCCGGCCTTGCCATGGTCCCGCCCCTTTTTGCCTGGACCCAACAAGTCTCACCACTTCTGCGGCGTTATCTGTCGCCGATATACGCCTGGGAACAGTGCACGAGCTTTCGCCGTCATGTACAGTTATCAGCGGTTTCGGCCCGCTCGACGACCCGACCCTTTCACTCGATCGATTCGACAACGACTCCGACAAACCATTGGGCCACGTGACATCAACCGATTGATGAGGCTTACTCACCTGGTCTGGTGAGCATTGGGGGCTGTGCACGGCCCCAATCAACTGACCCGACTTTGCGCCAAGCGGTCCGACGTTAATCAACGGCGCCTTTGAACTCACCTGGTCCGTGAGGGCGGGGTCCTGTGCGGTTGTCCTCTGAGAGGACCCCGGGCCGGGACTCCGTAAAACCGACTGGGTTTCCGGTTCAACCCGGTTCATCCCATTTTGTATTGTCGTCATCTTTGCCACTGGGTTCCTAGAGCAGCTGACTGAGACTCTCGGAAGCTTGTACGGCGCCCACGGCGTGCCAGACAGGGCAGAGCTTGATCAGAGTGAGCTCATTGGTCTCCATATGCATTTGTAGCTCTGTGGTCGAGCAAGCTGATCGCCAGTGTCCATTCCGGACTGCGGGCTAATCGCTAGCCTGGGAGCTCGCGGGTGGGCGAACAGGCTGTTAGCGGTCCATCTCATGGCGGGGATCGAAGAAGTCTGTCGCACAGTAGTCGTGCCTCGATGCCCACCGCGAGTCCCTGCCCAGCATGCCTTTACAAGTGGGCAGACTGGTCGTCTAGGAAGCACACTCAGCAAGATTGGTAGATACTTACAACAAATACGACACATGCTGCTCCAGGCTGATCTCACCACCCCGAGAAATCCCCAAATCCGCCCTGTTTCCGCTTCTTCTTCTCCACTCCAAACTCGCCTACCGCCGGTACCGCGGAATTCCCCACTCTCGCCGCTACTTGGCTCTTCTTGGCGACCGCCGAAGCGGACGCCGCAGCAGGAACCGGACCCGCTCCCGGACCGAGGTACTTTCCCACCCCACCTTCTTCCTCCCTCCGGCGCTTCCGGTCCAGCTCATCCCTCGCCATCCCCCTCTCGCCCAAATCCGTCCCCAACCACGTCGTCCGGTCCTTATCCCTCTCCGCTTGTCTCTCCTCCCTCTTTCTCAGCGCATCCTCGCTCTGATCCTGCCGTTCAAGCTTGGCCGCTAGCCGCTTCTTGTACTCGTCGAAAGGATCGGTGAGGACCTGAATTCCCGTTATCGTTATTGGCTTGACGGGACGGTCGGTCGTTGGATTCGGTGCGATTCGTTCTATCTTGTCCAGGACAGACTCGCCGCCGACCAATTTACCGAACACGGTGTGCTTGCCGTCGAGGTGGTCGGCGGCGCGAAAGAGGATGAAGAATTGGGAGGTATTTGATCGCGGACCAGAATTTGCCATTGCCTGTATGATCAGCTTGACTTTGCATCGCCCTAGCATATCTGAGAAGATTTACCAATACACCTCTTGCGTCGTGCTTATACGCGCCCTTCTCGCTGAACTCATCTCTGAACGGCTCGCCCCAGTAACTTTCACCTCCTTTGCCCGTCCCGGTAGGATCACCTCCTTGTATCTGGGACATCAGCTGGTGATCTCTTTACAGCACACGTGATGACGACTTACCATGAAGCCAGGTACATGTCGGTGGAAAGATGTATCGTCATACTTGCCCTGCTTGGCGAGCTGGACAAAGTTGTACACCGTCTTTGGTGCTCGATCCCCGTGCAACTCGAAGTTGAGACCGCCGTAATTCGTCATTATCGTACAGTAGGCTTTCGACTTTAAGCGCTCCTTCTCCTTGACGGGCTTCTTCAATTCATCAAACATATCTGATCCGTTAGCTCGATGATCGGGCTAGGGATCCTGAATTTGAGCTCACATTCCTCCTCGTCCAGCAGGGCACGCTCGTTACCGATCTCAGGCAGAAGGGCGGTACTCGTCAGTGCCGCAGCTGTACGACCGGTACTGAAATTTGTCGAGTTATCTTGTCGATTAGCTCATGCGATCGACTCAGTCTTCCCCGACTTACAGGCTTGTTGATCTGCTCTTCGCTTGGCCACTACGCCCTCCTTCTTCTCCTCTTTCTTCACAGGTGCAGGCACGACTGAGGCGGCTTGCTCAGCTCTTGTCTGTGATGGGTCAGCTTATACTACAGTAACGAACAGCGTGCAGCAGCTCACCTTGTCCGCCAGCATCTTCAGAACTTTGCCAGCGCCTCCAGCAGCGTCGACGTTGATGCCCCTCAGCGGGTCGCCCTCCAGGTCGCCCTCTGATTCCATCAGCTCCTATTGCACCCGACCATGCTCGCCTTGACTCACCCTCGACCTTCTTGTCCTTCTTGACATAGTCGTACTCCCTCAGATCCCTCGCGCCGAGATTCTCCGGATCCTGAATAGTGATGATGTCTTTCCGCGTGAAAGGCTCGTCATTGACTAGGTCGCGCCATGTCTTCGACTTGATGGCAAGCAGCTGGAGTGAAGCCATATCGAAGACGTTGCCCTTCTAGGATCAGCTCCTGCTTACGCCTCTTGGGCCGGAATATTGGACGTACGGTATTGCGGAGGAAGACCAGGTGCACGTGAGGCGAGAACACCTTGTAGGTGATGGGGTCGTGCATGTTGCCTTCTGAGTTCTGTCCTTCAGCATATCCCCGTCTCTCGCGAATCAAGTGACCCGACCACTGTCGGGGACAGCCAGGGAGGTCACCTCACCTTGAAGAAGTTGAGCTTGATGAGCTGGCTTGTGTCCATAAATTTACCAGAGACCGGATCTACGCTGGTCAGCTATGTACAGAGCGATCTCAAATGTAACTACAACGCTAGCTGGACTCACTCGTCTTGAACTTCCGCACGTAAGGCACAATGTTCAGTAGATCAAAGACGTCTGCTCTTGGTGCCTCCCCTTCAGCGGTGTCGGCAATGACGGCTACGGGATTCCGAAATGGCTGGAGAGACAGCGCGCAAGAGTCGCTAGCAAGTAAGCTCCATGCTCATGCCAAGCCCCTACGAGCCAGTAGAATCAGAGGGCATAGCTCACAATGGTAGTCGTTGAATCTCGCTCTTGCCCGACTCTGCCCTCTTGCCGGTCATTCCAGCGGTATGCGACCCCATCGCGTGCTCCGAGTGGGTCACATACATCTTATCGGAGTTGTGTCCCATCTTGGCGAGCTCTTGGTGGTATGAGAGGCTGTCAGGCTATGTGAGTACGATTAAAGGCAATGCCAGAACGCTGGATATGTTCTGAGGAAAACAGGTGCGTTCGGCTGTTTTACGTAACGTGTTTCGCATAGTCGCGAACTTTTGGACCGCAAAAGTACGCGTTGAACTGTCCATCACATCTCCTTCAACCAATTGTCACGGTCATCTCTGCCCAGGGCTATCCATATCACGGACAGGACTACAGCGTAGCCATGGATTCCGACGATGACTGGCTCGAAGCCGGTCCGTCAAATCAGGGGAGCTCAGCCGACCCGTTAGTTGAGCAGGAGTATCAACGCCTTGCGACGAGGTATACCGACGTGAGTGCTCTTAACACTATCAGTCTATACGGTATCCATGCTGATGCTCTACAGGCAGGATACAGAGAGGGAATCACCGACGGCAAGCTCACCACTCTGCAAGAAGGCTTCGACTCGTCATTTGCCGCGAGCGTCCCCCCATCTCGTCGCCTTGGTCAAGTGCGGGGTCAAGCCAATGCCCTCCTCGCGTACCTCACTCGCTCAACTCCCGGCACATCATCCGCTCGAGCATCCACGTCAATGTCTGGCCCAGTATACTTAGCGGAATTAGTGGAAGCTGCACGCGAGCTGGTCCAAGATCTTGCCCGCGTCAAGCGGGTGCAGGTCTTGTCCAGGGATATCGAGCGGGAACGGCATGAGCAGGAAGAGCACGGTGGGGAAGATGTCTTCGAGCTGGAGCCTACGGAAGAAAGGGAGATGGAAGGGCTGGAGGATGCGCTCGGTTCGCTGGGGCAGAAGGCCAAGGCGAACGGATCGGACGAAGTACGGGAAGGCCAGCTGTTGGACGTCTTCGAGTATCGACTGAAGGCGCTCAAGGGCAGATTGAGGGCGTGAGGGCGTCCGGATCCCAGACTGTCGAAGGTATGTGTGTATTGTCCTAAAATTGTCCTAGATTGTCCTATGAAATGCTACAAGGATCGTCCAGCGATAATCTGCCCCTCGTCAAGCAGGACCAGCTGACCTGACAGGCCTTCCTACACCCACTACACCTCCTCATCCTCCGCCACCTCCAGCACCGTCCCCAATCCACAACGCATGCTCATCCCCATCGCCCGGCCCCTGCTCCCTCTCCTCGGGTACGGGTACGCCGGGACATCATCATGCGACGCTGTCGGCGTGAGCAGCATCTCCTCGATCTGCCGCGCGAATGATTTGCGGACGGTAGGGGTGTCTGCGCGGTCCGAGGAGGTGGAGAGGGAGTACCAGGCAGGAATGGGGAGGGCGTTCGGGAGCTTGGAGTGGGCATGGCGGTGGGAGGAGAAGCCGTCGGGGGATGAGGTAGGGAGGGAGAGACACTTTTCTGATCTCGGCCTAGCTCGTCAGCATCATACATAGAGGGATACAGGAAGGGATGAAAGAGATAAGAGCGTACATTAGATGCGAGATGATAGCGCAGACAATGAAGAGGAAAGCCAAAATGGGCAAGGACATCTGAACAGTCAGTAATAGTATTGGGTGGATTCATCAATGTTCTGGACACTCACGGAATCAATGACCGCAAACGTCATGTTGCCCATCTCTCGCATAGCGGGCGCGGCGTATACGCTGAGGCCAAACATCACGTGCGACGACAGCCAGGGTTGACTCAAGTAGGGATGACAGGGGGGAGACAGGCCAGATGAAGGCGAGTCGAGCTTTATATATCGAGCAGCGAGCGAGCGATCAGGTGATTCGCACGGTGAAGGGCAAGTGATTGGCTCGAATCAACAAGGTGCGAAGTGAGCGAGAGGGAGAGTGATGGTGTTCAGTATCGTCACGCCACGAGACCGTATCCCTCGGTGAGAGCAGCGAAACGGGCAGTGTATCGCCAGTGTGTGGATGGGGAGACGTTGCGTCCCTCTCAGCCGATGCGAGGTATAAGTGGTAGGACAGCCAAGCGGCTTCAACGAGCTTGTAGCGAAGCGCAAAGTGGAGCAGGAGAAGATGCCAAACAAGATTCAATCTACGGAGGATGCAAAAATCCTATCTCGCTATCAAAATCGCCGAACGACGCCGAGCATCAGCGTAAAAGTACGACGAGCACTGCGGTGATGTACCACATCCGGTGGACCGCATCGAGTACATTCCGCCACACTTTAAACTATTATGCTAAGGAACGCCACCCGAGTAGTAACCCTAATTCCCCCGAGCCGATCTACATCCGTCGCCGTGCCTGTACCAATACGCTTACGTTAGGTTCTAATCTAATCTCTCGCTTTGGTGCCTTTTGCATCGCTAACAGTAAGGTCATTGAACGCAATAGCTGTGCCCGGTCAGTCCTGGGCTTCCTGCTACTGGAAGCTGCCATTTCACGGCTCTCCTGGCTCGGCACCCGCAGAGGAGACTCACGCTCGCCTACTCGTTCGAGCCCTTCGCAAGCCGAAATCGGAGACACTGCGATGGCAGATCGACCGTTGCGTATCTTACACGATAGGTTCAGTACGCAACTGCGTCAGTAGAGATCACTGTATGGATTTGCAATGGTTACCCGCTCCCAGGCAGTCTCGTAATACACCGACGGACTGTACCTCAAAGCTACCACCGTGAATCAGTACCGACCAAATGGTGCTCGGTGATCCGCCTCTTGAGTGGGGCTGTATGTATTGAGCTCGGACGGCCGCAAGAGCTCACGTGCTCTCTGGGTACTCAGATAGTCCCACCAATCCAGGGGCAGCGATCAGTCAGGTACTTCCATCATGGCCGGCCGGCTCAGCAAGGATCCAATATTTAAGCCGGAGCATTAGACCGGCACAGCTCGAGAGAGCAGTGAAGCTTCCTCTGCATCATATCAGCCTTCAGGACTGCTACCGGTCGCATACGAACTACTGCACACCATCTTTGGCCTCAGGCAAGCGATTGGTTGCGCACTGGGACAGCTCAGTAACTGCTGCTTACATGCGCTTACATTCCTCCCGTTTCGACATGTTTCAGCGAAGCCGCACCTAAATTTAGAAATTTGCAAGGGACCCACGTAATCCCTTGCCTAAAGCCAAGCGCGGTGGGCCTTCGTAAACCACAGATCTGCCCTTGCCCCCACCTGCTCAATGTCTACTTGATCCACCGACTTGCCTACTCGGTCAGGCCACACGCGCGCTCACCCCGAAGGCGCCTTGCGATCACTCTGATCAATTGGAGCAAGGTAGGTGGAGGATGCGATGTCTACGTATGACTTTGCGGCGCCCTTACTGGGCAAAGCAACGGACTCCGTCCGGTTCACGGACGATGAGTGGAGGTTAGCAGTGGGTAGGACAGCTAGGCGGTGCTACCGATGGGGTGTGAAGATAGTGCGTGTTATGCTCGTGAGTTCAAAACATGTCTCATTTGGCACGACCGACAACACATTACGTGCGCTGACTAAATTCTTCAGTTCGCAATCGCAGCGAGTATCGTCTTCTTCCTGTTTGGTCCTGAAATCGTGATATCCGACAGCAGCTACCCGGCCACCTACAACCGTCTCGTCCAATGGCGGCCCTACTGCAAGTCCCCTCCCGACCGCTCCACCGCCCTCCACTACGCATACCGTGATATCCCCAAGACCCCAGCCCTAACGTTCCCCTCATGGGGCACTTACGAACCCATCTCCCCCCTTGGCCCTGACGATCCGGCATGGCCTTACCCTACTCGAGAGCCTCCACAGGTGCGGGATGCTGGAGACATGGAGCCGGTCGGCGTGTTCGTGGCGATACTGTGCATGGCGAAGGAGGTGGAGAGGCGGGCGATGATCAGACGTTCGTATGAGTCGATGAGATTGCAAGGGGATAGAGAAGGGATGGCGGCTGTGAGGGTCAAATTCTTCTCGGGGAGGCCGAGGAATGCCGCCGAGGAGGAAGAGGTGAAGGCGGAAATGGAAGGTGAGCAATCCCTATCCTCAGCTGCGAGTCTTTTAGCTCACGCATCTAGCATACGACGACCTCATCATCCTGCCGATAACCGAGAATCTCAACCAGGGCAAGACGTTCTCGGTCTTCGAACGGGCAGCCAAAAATGCCAGGGTCCCATCCTGTACCTTCAAACGTACATCGAACTCCGGCTGGTCAGCCGAATGCGCAGGCGAGAGAGCGCCAGACTACGTCTTCAAGGCGGACATGGACACCTTCCTCGTGCTGCCCGAGCTGGAACGGCGGATGCGCATCATGCCCCGGTCAAAGCTGTATTGGGGACGTGAGCACCCCCTATTTTTCCGGTTCGGTCTCGGCTGATGGGCGTAGGCATGAAACCCGGATACAGCGGCTGGATGGTCAAAGGCGACAATATGGCAGGGGCGGGGTACGGCCTGAGCTTCGACCTCGTCCAATACATCGCCGAATCCCCGTTCGTCCGATCGCATCTCCGCGGACAGGAGGATCAGCGTGTCGGCGATTGGCTACGCGCACATCCGGAAGCGAATAGGGTGGTATGGCTGACAGAGGAGTGTTGGATGTATGATCATCCCAAAGCAGCTCAACCGTGAGTACTCCTCAGCACGCAAGTGAGCGCTAGAGCTGATTCCAAAGCTGGACCCACGGTTTCATCTTTCCCGATACGATCCGTGCGCTGAATCAAGATACCGCACAGGATCTCACCCCGCCGTGGGTCTCGGGAGAGGAGCTGGAACGCTGGTCGACTACCTCCCCCTCGCATGCGAGCTACGCACCGGTGACGACAAACCTTACACACGACCAATCCGCAGAATCGCTCGTTGAGGGATCGAAGCTCTCCCTCTTACACGCCCATAATCTCCAGGACCCTCTCAACGACGATGAGCGATCCCGCCGAATAGCGGAGGCGTGGGCGGGAAGACCAACGAGGGAGGACCGGATGGCAGGCTGGGAAACAGGATCGACGATTTGGGTACATTCAGTCAAGAAGGATGAGTGGTGGCGCGATGCCGAGGCGGTACTTTTGGGTAATTAGGCTGAGTGAATTAGGTCCGCGTAGTCAGTAACGCTAGTTGTAGCCAAAGTCCCACTATTCTCATACCCGAGATCAAGGATGTAGCCTAGTACGTTATCCTATCTCTGACTTTGGTCAACAGCTGGACCCAGACCCCCTCCCAGCCCTTCTCAAACTCCGCCTGCGAGAACCGCTCCATCGCTGACTTTCGAGCCGCATCCCGCATCCTCTTCTCTTCCGATGGGGACATAGTCAATGCTGCTTGGATGGCTATAGCGAACTGTTCGGCAGTCTTCGCATGGAACCCTATTCATTCAGCAATACCCTTCTATGTATCTCTTCTCACAGTGAGGAAAATCCAACTCACCTGTCTTATCGCCTTTCCGCGCGATCACAATATCCTTGTATGGCCCAGCAGAAGCATGGACTATCGGTATAAGACCAGCCGCCTATCGAATCAGCTTCTATCTCGAAATGCCAATGGCTGGTCTGACCATAAATTCAACCACATTGATCCCGAAATGCTCATCCTGCATCGTGTTCAGACCGATGCTCGCCTCGCTCAGCCGCTTGACTATCTCAGAGTATGGGGCATTGACAACAAACTCCACATTGTCCTGTATGATCAGTGAACGACTCGAACCAGGCAGCGGATCAGGCTTACCGTGATGCCCAGCTCTTCTGCCAATATATTCAGCTCGTCCAGCCTCGCTTGATCACCCGCATCCCGTACACCGCCCATCAAGGTCAAGGTGACCTTGTCATTCCCCTGACGATATGATGGCTGCAGCTTGAACAGCTCGGCGAGAGCATATAGTTGCTTGGCATGAGCCTTCTCGGGCCTGTCAGGTCAGCCCGGTCTCCGCGCAGGAGCGGATGAACTCACCGGAATTGAGCCAGAGACACCATCCCCCTGCCCCGCTTTTCCAGCCGACTCTTCGTCAAGCTCTCGGCATCACATGGCGGATAGACCACCTTGCATTCCCGCTTCGACACCTTATCCCCTCGCTCCGCCTTCTTCTGCTCCGTCTTTTCGTCCAACAAAAGTACAGCCGCGAGGATTGACCTCTTTGCTGAAGTCAAGAGCGTCTCGATATGATTTTGCGTCCAGGAGGAATTGGTCATGATGCTCTCGGCAAACAGGAGGGAGGTGGCGTACAGACGGGTGAAGATGCTGTAGTAGCTGCCAAAGTCAGCCACAGACTCTTTCATACGTATAGTGAGGCAAGACTTACACTAGCTTGAAGACAGTCCTGATCCATCCGGGCTTCCGACCTCCGCTCTCTACGCCAGCTTCCCGGCTCCGAACGCGCCGGACCATATCGGCAGATACGGTGGGATAGTGTGTATAAGCGGCAATGACCATCTCGCTGCCGGTGAAGAGGCGGACAAAGGGGTAGGTAAATGCGTGGCCCATAGTATCTGTATGTATCAGCTCACGCCCTGATCATCCGTTGCGCTACTGACCGATGAACATATCGCCCCAGATTCCCTGCTTCCCGCATAGCCCCTCCCACGCGAGGAACACGCTACCCGCGCTCTGTCCAAGGAGCGTGAGCTTGCTCCAGTATTTGTCGCTGATGAGGTATCGGGATGGAAGAGGAATGAATTTGACGAGCTTGGGGTTGATGTCGATCGAGAAGCGGTCCTGCCGGGTAAGCTTACGCCCAGAATAGGGCAAACGTGACTCACTTTGGCTTTGGCCAGGATCATCTCCTTACTCGCCGCCGGATAGTCACCGGAGTAGATCAGGGTTACGGTCTCGGGTTGAGTGCGCTGAATATAGGCCAGGGCCGACCAAAGAACGCGTTCACCTCCCCCACCAGCATTACTGAACCCATAAGCTGTGCCCGACAAGTCAAAAATGGACTTACCAGTATGGATGCCAGAATCCCACAATCAGCTTCTTCCCAGCTCGAGAGGGCGGCGTGTCCTTTGTGCCCGGCACGACGACGTTCTCCTTCAATCCCATACTCTCCAGCAGCTCCTTCCTCCTCTCTGCATTCTTGCTCCGGACTCGGCTCAGCGCAAGGTACGCCACACCAAAGCTGAGCAGACTGAGGATGGGGACGGCACTCGCCAGAAGTCCCCAGTTGATCCCGTAGTGTTTGAGAACCGCTCCCAGGCTTACTCCAGCGAGGATAGCCGACTTGCCGACTGAAGAGGCAAAGCTACCGCCGACGAGGTACCACAAGAAAACGGTGACGGCGGTCCAGAGGACGTCCATGGAGATCGACCCCTGGGCGGGATGCGAGAAGGCTTGGTCGAAGAGCCACCGACCGTTCTTGGCGGACGCTGGGATAATGGGGATGAGAGCGGCGGTGTTGGTGATGAAGAAGAGGAAGGCCGCCAGATAGATGGTAATGTAGATGCTTTGGTCATGCTCCTTGACATTGGCGAGCGACTCGGGACTGACTTTGGCCTCGGAGTCAGCGGTAGGGGTCTCGGACCGCCTGAAGGAGATGAAGGGGACGAGGAGGAAGACGTGCATGAGCAGCAGTGTCGGTAGGAATAGCGGGGTTCCGGTGACCGACGGTATGCGGTAGATGGTGTATAGCGATAAAGGCAGGCAGAGGTAGAAGGATGGCTTGGCGAAGCGGTCGTAAGCTCCTCGCCTGCCAGCCTTGCGGGGATGCAGGTAGATGGCGGCCAGGTATAGCGAAGTAGCGACCGAGATGGCGACGAGCATGCCGAGGATGAGGTACGCCCAGGGGTACTTGATGTTGCGGCGAGGGCCTGTGAGTCAGTGCTTTCTATCAGACAGTCAGCGTAGACAGGGCTCACTCTCGCGGTATATCACCGCAGTCAAGAACACGCTCCAGATGCAAATCCAGGAGCTGATCCACCATTTGGCCGGTCCATCACATACTATGCTCCACGCTTCCTCAAACAGCGCGGTATTGAGCAGCCATTGGCCAAAGGTTGCGCCTCGATGCGCGGATGCATAGTTCCGGAAGGACCACTGTACCGTCAGTATGGTTATACAGGGCCAGCTGTTATGCCGCACTCAAGAGGACGAACCTTCATATACTCAATCATGACTGTGCGTCAGCTCCGCCCAGCACCTGTTCACGACAGGCTCCGATAGCTTACAGTACCAGGTACATCCTAAAGCTGCAACTGCCAGCCTGATGAACAGGAATGGTCTGCCAGAGAACAGATCTTCCAGCTTGGCATCTTCGGTGACAGATAGGTAGACGAGGTATGAGAAGGTTGCGATGAGCGCAAAGTAGACGACAAAGATGCCGATTGCGATGGGCTCCTTGCTCAGGAGCCAAGAGGCAGCTCCCTCGGCCGTAGTAGCCATACTCTAGATGACTCCAATAGCTAGCTTGATGCGCGTATAGTGCAGTCAAACGTGTTCATAGCTGAGCTGGGCTCAAGCTGCGCTGGAGTCAGGCCGGTCAGGCACGGAATGGAGATTGAGCCACTCTCCATGTGGATGGCTTGCCCCCATAGCCGCCTTCACTCGGCATTGTACCTCTACCTTTGTCCTTAACCGTCCGCACAGACCCGTCCGCAGCCAGCTGCTCGCGCCGCCAAGCACCGAAGCCGAAAACATCGGCTCGGTAGCGCCCAAGTCGAGGTGTGCTGCTCGCAGACACCCCATCTCCGTCGCCTCGATGATGAAATGTCTGAAGGACATACTGCTCTTCGTCGTGCTGTTACCAATACCGGTACGTCCGTCGCGGAACAAGGGATTGGTTTGAAAGCAATTGACTCTTCAGTCGGCATCCCCTCTGCTGGTCGTCCTATTCTCTCTAGCTGTGGTTCTGACAATACGACCATGCGTCTACTGTATTGCCCTCGTAAGTCCTGGACCACACTGTATGAAGTTTGACTGTTATACGCATGATATACTGCCTAGAACATGCTCTTGCCCATATGTAAAGGTGTCCTCGCTGACCGTTCAGTTCATCATCATCTTCCTCACAACATCCCCCGCATCACCCTTCCTCGACATCCCCTATCCACACATCCCCGTCAACCCACTTCGACCCCTCACTTCACCATCACCCGATCGAAGCTGGCTCTCATGGGGCGAGGGTAGCATATGGGATCCGTCTATCGTGGGGTACCGCGAGATCGCCAAGCAGTATCCTACCGAGGAGGAGCTCCTCGCAAACATTACCGTCGTTGACAGCGCTGCCACAAAGGAGGACAACAATACGGAGTCATGGTGGTCTAGGCGGGGATGGTATCGGTCGACCGATAATTCGGCTGCCGCCACGCCCGCCGAGCCTTCCGCATCCACATCCATACCCTTGCGCTCCTCCCCCTCGGACAAGATCGCCCCTCTTCCAGCCAGCTACTTCGATCTTCGGTGGGGCGGACTGGGCTTTGTCATCGATTTCGGATTCGGGCGAACGGAGGAGGGCATGCAGTGGGAGGTGGACGATGCGAAGCGGGCGGTGGCGGTAGAGGAGGCGACCGGGTGGAATCAGTTATGGGTCATCCCGCCAAAACAGGAAGACTATACCAAGTTCCCTTGGGATGACATTCAGGCATATTTTGGTCGGAAGGAGGTCCAGGTAGCGGGAGAGGGGACGAAGGCGAAAGATCGGGAGCGGAGCATGTGGGACAGGTTTAGCTTTCTGGGCAGCTGGTGATGTATAGACGATGTATCTGTCCTCCCACCCTCGGGACTGCGGTATTGACGGGCAAGCTGCTCTCATATCGCCCACTGCCGCTCAGCTACCGGGTACGACGACCTCCGTGCTCGATCGTCCCCGACCGTCTGACCTGCACCCTCCGTTCAGCTCAGCGCTCCAGCTGCTGCGATCTGCGAACGATCTCCTTCACAACGCACGGACTCCCATCTTATCTGAGACCTGCGTTACGTACACCCGTGCACCCCCCACGCCCCTGAACGCCCCCCACCCAACTGGCAAGCCACCTCATTGTGCAGCTGATAAGTTCCGGCGGCACGAGAATGCACTTACGTTGGGAGGCGGCGCTGCCGGCTGCCGTTGTCACCGCGGATGTTTTTGATCGTCGAGGACTTCGGCGCATCGGACTCGGCTCTCGTATCGGTCGCAGCTCGGTTGTCCACCTCCATTCATTCAGCGAAGCTTGAACGGTGTTGACCTCCATCTTGGCCTCATCGCTGGCCCGCTCCCCGAGGTCCGAACGGATTGCCGCTCATCGTCGACTACTCCAGTTTCACATTCTTATCACATTGCCGCACCGGCTGTCAGCAACAACCGCAAGTGATAGCGGGCTGGACCACCTCCTACCTTGAGGGTTCGGGTCATACCAACCGCTAGTTCCATCGCGAGACCCGCAACGATTGGCTTGCAGATGACCCCCTCGGGTGGCATGCCGCACCTGGTGGAGCTGCAGGCGAGGAAGCCGCTCTTGCAGATGACAGCAGATGAGCTGATACAAGCATATGTGCGTTCTTCTTCACCTGCCAGGTTGAAAAGGCTGAGCTGATGCGGGTAGATGTCGCCGTTGACTCTGGGAGTGTATCTGAGCTTCTTCCTGTATGGCGCTTTCCTCGTGAGTGGGTTCTCGATGATTCCAGGGGCCTAGCTGATCTGCGTAGCTTTCGGTGAGCTGGACGTCCGGACATCGCAGTATTGAAAGTACTGATGATAGCTCTTCTTATACTTTGCCAAGTTCCGCAGAGATACGTGGACAAATCGACTAGTAGTGAGTGAGCAGTCCGAGGCAAGGATATAGCTGACATGTCTAGGTGATAGTACGCTACCTCAAGCTGCGACGTCGCATGCGCTGACCCCCTCAGCTGCTTGCCTGCTTCTCTACCGTCGATACCGTTGCAGGTGGGATTCGTATCTTCCGAATAACAGTGCTACACCCTAACGACCTCGCTTATGTGAGTCCACCCTTACCTTGCTATATACGGCGCACGCTGATCTTCAAGCTTCTCGACGTGACCCAGCGCCCAGAGGACTGGCTCTGCACCCTCTTCCTCCTGCTCACCATCCTGGTCTCCCAGCTCTTCTTATGCATCCGCATCCTCTCGTTTGCTCGGCGGATGACAGATTGGGCTGGACCGAAGGCCAAGCTCAAGATAGGATGCATGGCCGCTGCACTCGGTCTAGGATGGCTCTTTTGCCTCGGTGTGAGCATAGCGAACTGCGTAGTTTTCTACGTAAGTCCTCTCGTCAGGACGATGTACCTTATACTAACAATGTGCAGAAGACTCAGAACTACATCGAGCTGTTACTCCCTTCCTCGCCCCTGGCGCAATCATTCCGCCTTACCAGCCTTATGATGCCCTGTGTCCTCTGCGTATGTCGTCTCAGCGATTGCATATCTCCAGCTCACTCTTTAGGTCATGGACATCATGATCGCGGTGTTGATGACCATACAGTATCGCAAAGCTAAGGTAAGCTCAAGACCACTACGGGCATCTCAAGATCGCAATCGCTAATCCTGCAGACCGGATTTGGCGACTCGAACCGCATCCTCGAAGTACTCATCACGGTCGTGGTCCGGAACGGCGTGCTAGTGGCAATAGTCATGATCATCCAATTCGCCATCACCTACACGTAAGCTGACCTTCTCCTCAGCCCCAGGCAGAAGCAGGCAGGCGCTGACCCAAAGTGCCGTCTTATGGGGCAACTTCCTCCCTCTCGCCTATGGCAAGCTCCACGCCCTCACCGTCCTCTGCGTGCTCACCGAGCCCCGCCTCGCCCATTCCAAATGGCACAAGGACAACGAAGCGGGTCCATCTGGCGCCACTGGCGCAGGTCCCGTGCCGACACCACACATGGACTATACCCAGCGGACTGGGACCCCGTCGATCGGCTCGGACAATGTTCGGCGGAGACAGCGGAGGTTCTCGGCGAGCTCGGCGGAGGAGGCGTATGGCCGGAGACGGGCAGATCTGCTCCCTTTCGACGGGGATGGGATGTCGCAGTATGGAGACACTCCTTCACAGCTCCAGAGCCGCCCGAGTCTCACGTCGCGCGATGCCTCGGGACGCAGATTCGGGGAGGAGCTGAGACCGAGTATGATGCGTCGAAAAATCTCCGAGGCGCCCACGGCGTCTTCGGGAGATACGGCGGCGGGAACTCCGGTGTATGAGCTGAAGAAAGGGGATGCGGAGCTGCGGAGACCTTCAGAGCCACGGAGTGGGTCGGAAGAATCAGCGGGGGCGGAGCTGGTCGTAGTGGTTGAGGGGGCGGAAGCTGGCGTGTCCTACGCGGCACCGGCAGTGGTGGACAGGGACGAGGGCAAGGAAGCCGCGGGCCCCAGCAAGGACAGCTGATCTTCACACTGGACATTGTATCTTTTTGGGCTATCATGGCATTTATAACGTTCATCTGTGATGCATCGAACTATGCGTCGTCAGTATCGTTCTTGGAGGTTCCCGGGCAGGATGAGATGCTACATGGTCTCGCCATAATGATACACTGTCATATCCCCAGCAGCACTAATACTTCTTCTTCGCACCCCTTCCTCTGCCTCCGCCTCTTCCACGCGAGCCGCCCCTCCCTCCTCTACTGCTCGGTCTCGGACCGCCTCCACCACCGCCATCCTCGTTCGGACACTCAGAAGACCAATGACCCGCCTCACCGCACTTGAAGCATTCTGTATGTCAGCTTAGTGGACCTGATCAAGTTGATCCGGGACTCAAAGCTCACCTCCACTCTTTGCTCCTCCTCCGCCACCTCTTGATCCCGATCCTGGTCCACGACCACCTCCACCACCACCGCCTCTTCCGGTCGAGCGCGAGCCGCCGCCGCCGCCGTCCTCGTTTGGACATGCGCTGGCCCAATGACCCGTCTGATGACATTTATAGCATTCTACTCCATCAGCTACATCCTCTCACCAGGATTAGTAGCTTACCATCGTTCGACCCAGCACCTCCACCGCCTCCCCCACCTGCCCGACCTCCGCTTCTACCAGCCGGTGCCGAGCGAGAAGCTCCAGCTTCATTTGGACACGCATTGGCCCAATGGCCCGTTTCGCCACATTTGAAGCATTCTGAGGCAGTGTCAGTAATGTCAAGCATCCGGAGGGCATAGGACTCACCGCCACTTCCCCCTCCGCCCCCTCCGCCGCCGCCGCTTCCACCACCCCCGCTAAACCCATTCCTAGAGTTATTCTGGGTCTGACGGTTCGGTACAGCCACGTTGGCCGGATCACCCTCGACGTCATCGTCCCACGCAAAGAATTTGCAGCGGGCTAGCTTGCTGCTGGGACAAGACCTAGACATGTCAGCTCGCCGCCACAGATATATCTGAGACACTCCATAGCGCACCAGAAACGCCGACCCTTGTTTGCTCCCTCTTTGCCGACGAATTGGGATGCAGCTTCAAGATCACAGTCACACCGCAGATGACCGTCATTTCCGACTACAGCGCGGCTTGAGCGGGAATTGTCTTCTCTATCGGGCTTGATTGGTCAGCTGAGAACTCGCAAGCGTCTCTGATTGACACAACTTACCTCGGCTGCAGCGGTCCGTTGTCGCTTGGCGGGCGGCGGAGAAGCCGCACGAGACGCGCCATTCGTCCGACGGCTCGGACCAGCAGAGGCAGCTCCAGCTTGATCTGCCCATTCCTTCGATATCAGCTCTCAGTCTCGGGGCAGCGTGCTGCTCGGAGCTATAGCTTACGAAGTAGCCACACTGATCGCCTTGCGGCTTTGTGCAGGTCCAGAACTGACGGCCTTGGTTCGCGGCTGATTTGGTCGCTGTCCGAAGAACCGCATCGTTTCCGCATTGACATGTTGGAGTCGCGCCTGGTCCACCGCCGGGAGGATCGTCTGCTCGGTCAGCTCGCATTGCCAGGAGCTGTCCCTGAGGTCGAGCTCACCTGAATCAGCCCTAGCTGCTCTTCTCCTTGGCGCCGGCGCATCGCCACCTCCCCTCCCTCGGCCTCTCGCTGCTGCCCCTCTTGCAGCACCTCTCCCTCTTCCCCTTGCTATAGCCCCTCCACCACCTGCAGGCCCTCCTCCGCCTTCGTCGTCGTCATCATCATCGTCGTCATCGTTCCTCCGCCCCCTCGCTCCTCCCGCACCGCCCGCGCCACCTCCACGTCCGCCCCTTCCTCCGGCCGCACCTCGTCCACCTCGCGCGGCACCTCTTCCTCCCCGACCACCTCGAGCTGCGGCCCGGAGTGCGTCCTGTTCCTCTCCTTGACCGTGAAGGTAGTGCTTTACTCGCTATCGCGTCAGATGCATTCCTTTCGACCAGAACAGTACGGGGAGCACAACTCACGTCGACGATAGTCTCAAACTCCCGCCGAGCCTTGACATACACTTCCTTGTACTCATCCACTGACTGATCCAACACCTCCCGCTTCTGCCGGACGCCATCACAGATCATCTGCATCTTGACTTCCGTCTGAAGAGTCAGCTTCCGTCGCTTTCCTCTTCACGCAACCGGTGACTCACCTCAGCACGAAGTTGAGGTTTACTAAGCGAGCGATCGAAACCGATCTGATTGTACCCCTCCACGAGCCCGATTCCCAGTAGCGAAGGGACGAGGTACTTGATCCGCTGTTCTTGCTTCTCTTTGACGTATTCTCGCTCAATGATCTTGGCGATGTGTTCGGCGATGGTAGCATCCGTTCCTGTCAGGTCAGCTCTCGGCAACCACAACCAGGACGAGTGGCCGAAGACTGACCAATCCCGTTCTTGTCCATCAGACCTACCAGGTCCGCTTCAGTGAGGAGATTTGGCCGGCTCGTTTGCCCCTCCTTCAGCTCGAGTTTGTCCGGCATGAACTGCTCTCCATCTTGAAAGTCGGGTAGCGCATTTCCGTTCCACTTGTCATACGGGTACACCTCTAGGTAGTTCCGACGGATAACGACGAGACCTGTAGAATCAGCTTCCCCTCACAGCAAATAAGCTGGCGGAAACAGTAACTGACCGCTAGCTGAGAACATCTCCCCAGCTATCTCCGCCTCGACCGTCGTCGTCTTTCCCTCGGCGTTTCGATGACAGGAAGCCAAGAATCGCCTGGTGACTAGCTCATAGACCCGCCTTTCGTCTCCATCGAGATTGAGCGCAGCGGCGGTCGGGTGAATGGGAGGATGGGCTTTATCATTCTTCCTGCCGTTTCGAGGAGTTTGGAATTCCCCGTCGACCAGCCTGGAAAGTCAGCCACCGTCCAAGCTCGACACAAAGGGAAACTCTCTTTTGCGCAAATTGTCCCCATGCGTTATCGACGGTCTGTTTCTGGACGAGCGAGGCAAAGTCAAATGCTTTGTCATATTGGTCCGTCTCGGTACGAGGATAGCTGAGGAAACCCTTCTGATACAGCTTTTCAGCGAGCTGAAGGTCAGCAATAGCGCATGGGCAGACCACTCATTACTCACATCTAGAACTCGCTTCGGAGCCATGTGCAGTAATCTGGAGCCGGACTGTTGAAGCTCTACCGTTGTAAGAGGGAGCGGTTTCCTTACATATCAGCTGTGATACTGGCAAAAGCGAGCCAATACAGAGCTCACCATTTCGTCGTCGGCTTGGTCTCCACCTTGGTCACAGTCGCCAGCGGTTCGAGCGCACATTGCTCAAACAGTATCGCGGCCGCCTCCATATCAAACAAGTGGTTTCGCCTCCACTTGAACTCGACGAGCCTAGCTTCCGCTTCTTCGAGCGATTCGGGATCATCATCGACTCGATCGATGGCGACGTAGATGTACCAAAATGTTTCGGGGATGAAGGCTTGGACGCGAGTGTATTGGTCGACGACGAAGCCAAGGGTGGGGAATTGGCAGGGACCTGCAAGTCAGCTAGGATCTGGTGGACAGGAGGCGGAAGATATACCGTAAGAGATGATCTGCTCGGACACTTCTGGTATTCGGGTCTGAAGCGACATGGTCATCAATCGGGTGAAAGCTGCTCCGATCCGCAAGTCGAGCGCTATCCGAGTCTCGACGGCATCCGCTTGTCTCTGATCGAGGTCGTTGGCCTGTCGGCATGCTTGGTGGATCTGGCTGAGGATGTCAGCAACGCCTAAGCAGAAGGCGTGACCAGAGCGGATCAATGCTTACGCAGGTATGATGGCACTGAAGCGAGCGCGCTTGACCCGCAGCCGCCTATTCGCCCTGACGCAGACCGTCGCTACCTCAGATCCGATGTGTTCGCCCTCACGATCGCAATCTGTCCATATGATGAGTAGATCGGCGTTGCGGGCTTCGTTCTGCAGATTTCGCTCGACTTGTTTCATATTCTACCCTCAGCCATACTTCTGAGATCGATGAAGGGAGCGGCAGAACAGACTCACCCCTTCAACTTTGGTGATGATCTGGGCATCGAACAAGGCGAACGGGTCGCAGGAGCTCCATTTTCGATGATCATCGTCGAAATCCTGCAAAAGCTTAGCTGTCAGTCCGCAAAGGGCAATATGTCAGCTCACAGATGATGTCAGATGTCCGAGGACAGCTGTGACTGTAAAGTCTGCTCCGCGGCCGGGACCTAGGGGAGGAGGGAGGTTGTAATCGAAATCATAATTTCGGATGTATTGGTGACCGCTGTTGCGCTGAGCTGTCAGCTTCCAGCTTTACCAGGAATATCAGATAGCTCCATATTTCAAGCGTCTGCGCAGCATCCTCCTCGAGCGCCATCCTAGATCACCGCACCACCCCACGCTCACTGAACATTCCGGACATTCCGGAGCTTTCCCTTCTGCCTGCCTGCGTAGGTGACTTACTGTATCCCATCTTCCTCCAGACAAGATCTCGGTGATACTCTTCGCGATACTCGGCTTTTCCGCCACGCACAGCACCTTCATCCTCTTCCCCTCCACCTCCCCCTTGGTCGAATGGGCGAGGCGAAGCTGATAATTGAACGGTTGGCGCCGCTGTAGCGCTCCAAAGAGTGGCTTCTGGCGCGGAAAGCTTGACACGCAGCAATTATGAAGCCTTGCTAGCTGCTACACCATAGCTTGGATCGATACGAAGCACTCGAAGGAGGAAGGAAGATAGATGTAGAGTATAGAAAGTTGAGTGGACAATCGAGTGGAGGTTTCGGTCAAAACATTAAGCGCGACTTGCTGGACTTCTTTCCATCGGAAGCGACGAACGCGTTTCATCTTGGTCCGTGCGTCGAGGAATGCTGAACTTTCGAAGCCTTCTGCAAGCAGTTGTTCCTTCATGCATACTCCATCTCGTAGGTGGATGCTAGTAGGCAGTGCACAGCTATCAGCCAGTGCTCTCTGTAGATTGACATATGACAATGAGCCATCACACGCCTCTTGAGGCGGAGTTTCCAATCTGCAGCCGAGGTCTCGCCGCGGTTTTTCCAATGCCCATTTCCAAGGTCTCGTTGGCTACATTGAGCCACGCATTCGCTCCCAAGAGTATATAAAGCAGGACATTGGCCCTTCGCGGCCCCCCTCTGCCCTGCGCTCCTGCTCTTACAGCCTCATCCACTGCTTTGCACGCACGTTCAAGCACCTCATCGCACAGCATACCTCTTTACGGAACCAAAATTTCCCTTGTCCGCGAGTCGAACTTTTTCCTGACCCCACCCGACCTTCTCCGCATCAGCTTAGCTCCTCTCTCCACTTGACTTGTAACCTTTATGTTCGGTATAAGAGCTATCCGCCAATCCCTCACAGCAGCACGCTCAATACATATACCTCGCCCAGCACCATCACAATTCACAGCGATCAGAATGTCGTCCTCGCAAAGCGTCCCCGTCCCGTCCGACTTTGTACGCTTCACCGACCTCCTCCGATCGCCCGATCGCCCGATGAGACATCAGCTGATGGAAACAGAACGCGTGCCTCTACACCACCCTCGCTGAGGCTGACCCAGAGGTCGCGACCTTGGTCGAGAAGGAGACATGGAGGCAGTTCTCGGGTCTCGAGCTCATCGCCTCGGAGGTTTGTTGAGCTCCCCCGTGAAATGCCAAGGAATGAGGCTGATGGATAGAACTTGACCTCGCTTGCCGTCATGGAGGCCAACGGGTCCATGTTCACCAACAAGTACTCTGAGGGTCTCCCCGGTGCGCGATACTACGGTGGAAACGAGGTGAGCACCTATCAAACAACATGATGTAAACCGAGCTGATCGTATCAGTGGGTCGACGAGCTCGAGAACCTCTGTCGGGATCGTGCGCTTAAGGCGTTCAACCTCGACCCTAAGGTCTGGGGCGTCAACGTCCAGCCCTACTCTGGCTCGACCGCCAAGTGAGCTCAAAGCCCTCCTGCATCCGGGCAAGGAGCTAATATTCCAGCTTCGCTGCCTTCACTGCCCTCATCAACCCCCAGGACCGGATCATGGGTCTCGGTCTCCCCGACGGTGGTCATCTTACCCACGGTTACTACACCGCCAAGAAGAAGATCACCGCTTCTTCCGTCTACTTCCAGTCCTTCCCCTACCGCGTAGACACCCAGACCGGTATCATCGACTACCCCCAGCTCGAGACCAACGCCAACCTTTTCAAGCCCCGTCTTCTCATCTGCGGTGGTTCCGCTTACCCCCGTGACTGGGACTACGGACGGCTCCGCAAGATCGCCGATGCCCAGGGCGCCTACCTCCTTTCCGACATGGCCCACATCTCGGGTCTCGTTGCCGCCGGCGAGCAGTCGAGCCCCTTCGAGTTCTGCGACGTCGTCACCACCACCACCCACAAGACCCTCCGTGGTCCCCGTGCTGGTCTCATCTTCTTCCGCAAGGACAAGGAGTCGGACATGGAGGCCAGGATTAACGCCGCCGTCTTCCCAGCTTGCCAGGGTGGACCCCACAACAACGTCAGTATGACCTCAATCTGCCTTCTGGCTGTTGCTGATCTCTAGACCATTGCCGGTATCGCCGTCGCTCTCAAGCAGGCTGCCGACCCTGCCTTCAAGACCTACGCCAAGCAGGTCCGCGCCAACGCCGACGCTATGGCCCAGGTCCTGTTCAAGTACGGCTACAAGCTCCAGACCGACGGCACGGAGAACCACTTGATCCTTTGGGACCTGCGCCCCATTGGCTTGACTGGTAGCAAGGTCGAGAAGATCTGCGACGCCGTCCACATCACCCTCAACAAGAACGCCGTTGCCGGTGACAGTGAGTTCAATGACCCTTTCAGCCTGAGATGTGCGAGCTGACGGGATAGCTTCCGCTCTTGTCCCCGGTGGTGTCCGTGTCGGTGCCTCCGCCCTCACCTCGCGATCCATGGGCGAGAAGGACGTCCAGCAGGTCGCCGAGTTCCTCCACCGTGTCGTCCAGATCTCCCTCACCGCCCAGAAGGAGGCCGGCTCCAAGAAGCTCGCTGACTTCGTCACCGCCTACACCAAGGGTGACGGCGAGTCGGCCAAGCTCGTCGCCGAGCTCAAGGCCGAAGTCCAGAAGTTCGCTACCAGCTTCCCCCTCCCCGGTGTGCCGGACACCGTAAGTTCTGCTGTTCAACTTGCTTACGGGATCGAGCTGATCAATGCAGACCACCATCAAGCGATTCGACTAGATGTCGCGCGTCTGTGATGTCGTCTCTCGCTAGCATGAGCCCCGCCGTTTCATCATGGCGGTTGTAGATTCTCCCTCATTCTCTTTTTTTGGTTTCTTTGTCATTCATCTGATGCATATGCGTGTTCAACGCTGGACGCTGCGGCACAAGGCACCGTGCACCGTGGACTACTGTAGGCGATGCGTTAAAGCCTCCTTACCGGAATTAGCCGGGAATATGGATCTGAAACGCACTGAAACGCCGACGCGTCTCGTCAACCATCGCGTCGCGTCCTCGACTAAAGCTGGAGACGTTGATCAACTTTTATCTTCGATCCTCCGATTCTGTGATACAAAACTAGATCAATCTCCTATCATCCCTCTCATTGGCATAAGATATACCTCTTCCTCGGATCCTCGTAGGCTGCCTCAGATAGGTTATCCATACCGCATCTGGCTGATCCCAGGATGACCTCCATCACGAGCGTACCGGTCGAGGTGTGCGGCCTGATCGTAGCCCACATTCCTTCCTCCGACCGCCGAACACTCTACGCCTGCATGCGCCTCTGCAGGTCCTTCTACGCCGCCGCCTCTCCCCTCCTATACCACACCATCACCCTTTCGTCTTACAGCCACGTCACTCCCCTTCTCGACACCAAGCCCACAGCCATCGGCCGCGGCGCGCTCTCGAAGTACCGCAAGCCGGTCGCCAAGTCGGCGGTCAAGTCCAAGCCGCAGCTGCTGCAGAAAGTCAGGGTGCTGGAGATGGATGGAAGGATAGGCGGACCGTTCGGAGGTGCCAAGGCGGTAGTTCTCCCGAACGTGAGGACACTGCGGATCGACATGTCCCTCACGACACTGCTGGCAGAACAACGGGAGGCCGGTCTGCAGACGTGGCTAGACCCCATGCTCACCGCCGGCAACTACTTTGACAATGTCACTGGCGTCAAGCCTCAGACCATCGTCGTCAAACACCTCGCGTTCCACGAGCAGATCGAATTTCCCAACGACCTTCCCCTGTCCACTCTGTCGAATGTAACCCGCATTATTTACATCCTCGACTACACAACGTGGGATGCGGACTACTTTGGACGCGTCAACGGACGAAGCAACTCTAACCCCTCCTTCGGTCTCCACAACTGGCTGGACAATCTTTCCGGAGCACCGGACAAGCTCATCAACGTCGATATCGTCTTTTGGACAGCCGGTCCCGGTCTCCACTTCTCCACCCCCGGCAACAAGTACACGTACATGCGCCGCGCGCCCGGTCAGACATGGCTCGACTCGTACGCTACCCATATCGCGGAAACATTCCCCTCCTCCGACAAAATCAATTTCAACTTCGTCAATACCGGCTCGTTCGACCGGCACTCGATCTCGGCGGAAGAGTGGAATTACTCTGAGGTGGAGGAGGCGTTCAGGAAGAAGGTGCTAGGGGCGCTGGGAGCAGAGGCGGAGGGGAATCTGCAGCCGGCGGAGGTGGTCAGCTTCATCGGAATCCCGGAGTGGATGGGCGAGCTGAAGGCGGGCGGAGTGATCAGGGACGATGTGTTGACGGAGGAGGAGGCGCAGCCGTGGCTTCAGACCAATCAGGCGGCGGAGGGAGATGAAGAAGGGAAGCTTGAGAATTCGTAGAGACACTTTATGAGAAATAGTCACGACAAGGAATCGCTCCAGTCAGGTGCGGATGGGACCTGATGTGTTTATACGATATGCACTGTTAATATGGACAATACAAATATCACACTTCATACATCGAAAACCCAAGGACCGCCCAGTGGCAGCCATGCCCTTCGCCTTCGGGAGTTTCAAACGACAAGGGTGAGAATATAACGCCGGTGACATGGACGCAGAGCAACGGCCATGCGGCGCCGGGCCCGGCAACAACAGCCCGCAGCTGGGGCGGAAGAACCATTAACATCGTGGCGCTCGCTCGATCCTTACGCTACCGAACACTTCCATGATGGGTGTCCCACAAACAGGGCAGATACTGCTCTTCCCTGCAGTCCACCAGTTGTACCCAGGTATCACGCAGCCCGCTCGATTGTGGTCACCATGACACTGCGGCGCAGCCTTGACAAAGCGGTAAAGAACGAGTTGTGCTGTTTCAGCACCTTGCCCGCCGCCCGGTCGGAGATGGAGTTCGACACCGACGGGTACAGTACCTCTGGTTGTGAACTGCTCGATACCGTCTTTGCCCTCGAAGGAAAGCGTCATAGTCGCTCGACCCAGGCTGGCGATATTCTCTGCCACAAACCCACCTTCCACCCTATCCGCGATCACGACCTTCCTGCCTGTCTCGGCATGTCGACTCCCGAAGGCGTCGAAGAGCGTGATGGACCTAGGGGTGTCGTACGGTCTCGCCCGCATGGCCTTGAGCGAGCCGAACTGCAAGGTCAACGATGAGTAGTCAGAGCCCATGGCCTGATACCGCCGCCGCGCGACCGGGAAATCGCTCCGATCCACCGGGGAATGCGGCATGAAAGTGAGGTCGACGGCGATATCGGTGCTGGACTGCCCATCGAGGGACGTGACTGTGATCGTCTCGGTATGGAACGGATTCCGGGCCGCCTTGGAGCACCGCATAGGGTTCACGACGAGGCGTTCGACACTTCCTTGACTGGCACGGCGCATGGTACTTTCTGTCGAGTGTACACGGTAAGCCAGGCCCCAGGAATCTCTTTCGAGGGCCGCGCGAGGGATCCTCATCCCGAATGTATTCTTGCCGAGCTCAAACGCGTGCTCTTCGGAGAAGTAGGTATCGATGATGTATTCTGTCTGAGCATTCTCATCTGCTGAAGTGGGGGCAGGGTCGTCCACGATTCTTGATTTGCCGACCGGTATCTGGTGCGGGTGCTTGCGCTCATGCGGGTTTCGGATCGGCACGCGGATAGCTAAGCTAGGCCTCAGCATGACCCACAGCGACCAGATAGGTCTAGCCTAGGTTAGTCTCCCAGAGGGCAATGCACAAGAGTGAGCGGGAAGAATAAGAGGCCGTCAGCGCTCTTCTCGCGACCGGGAACCGGTAAGTCTCAATACCGGTCAGTAGCAGCTTGAAGACGACGTTCACAGGATACCGATGCAGGACTACAAGTACCGATCTGAGGGGCATCGCCGAATGTTCTCGGCTAAGCTCTGCAGAGTCAGCTTGAGACGCCTAGCGAGCGGGTGTACGGGCATGTAGCTCACTGACTTATACGCCTATCTCCAACTCCCCGCCATCCAGTCCACCGCCCGCTGGATGCGCCCACTAACGATCTAGATCGCTCCCAGCCACTTCACGCTATCCGGCGACCCCATCACCGGCGCCCAATCCGCCGCCTCCAGCTCCTTCAGACTGACGTACGCGATACGCTCCAGCCGCGTCGTGATTTCCCCCACTGAGCATCCTGCCTTGAGCATCTCGTGCAGGGTCTCCCGCCGGATGACGTCCAGGTCAAAGATGTTACCGAGGAGAGAGGGATTGGGGTGGCCGCCTGTAGGGTCGTTGATCAGGCGGAAAAGCGGAACGGCAAAGCTGATTTTATGCCTGGAATTGGCGCAGATCCGTGCGATGTCTTTGAGGGGACCTTTGGGCTTGAGCTTCGGCGTTGTGGTCCGTTCCGTGCAAAGACCGAGGATGAGGGTGAGGTTGATATGGGCGGGCAAGGTGCTGAGGAGGGGCTCGATCCGGAAGGTGTTCCAGACATCAAGACCATGGTAGTCGGTCTCGAACGATGCGTGATAGACGACTAGCATCTTGAGTGAGGGGGGCATATGCGCATGGAGGGGACCGACATCGCCCGCCTGGTCGATGACCCAGACCTCGGGCCGGATGAGGCGGAAAAAGTCGCAGTGTGAACATGGGCGACTCATCTGACAGGAGGTCAGGTCATTGTGCAGGGGCATTCGGAGGACGCGGAGGCCGGGTAGGGGTTGTGTCGCCGATGATGGGTCGTCCGGAAGGCGAAAGTTCGAGAAGGCGCTCATGCTCGGGGGCTCGACCGAAGGCGAAGGATACGCCATACTGGTGACAACGCCCAGACCTGGCACCGGCCGTACATCGTACAGGTACTGTCCACTGCACTGGCTTGGGGGCATTTCTGATTCCCCCATCCCAGACCAATCCTGTCGCCATTCCAGCGTTTGACCTCCATCCCACGCGAGGTACTCTACCTGATGTAGGAGGAAGTTCCTTGCCGCCGATGAGGAGGGCAGGAGGTCTGCCAGGTTGATGTACCAGTCCGAGATCTGGAGGTTGCGGTAGAGGAGTGGGCCGACCATTCGGTAGATGGTGGAGTGGACGCGTAGGAGCAGGACGTGGTCGGTACGGTCGAGGAGGTGAACGATGGAGAGGAGGATGTCCTGTGGCAGAGTGAGGAAGGAGGGACGAGCAATCCCGGTGGGCATGGTGGACATGATCCAGCAGGGGTGGGAGGAGTCGGAAGGGGAGTCGCGATATGCATGGATGGTGGATTCTGTGGGCGATTTGAGTTGAGTTGAGTTATCGTAGCGTGCCTGACTCCAAGATGAGACATCGCGGAGTGGAGGCAAGGGCCGCGCGCTGCCGGCTTCCCGCCAATACCTTCGATGATGGACTGCGAGCAGGTACTTGTCACCTAGCGATAAGTCTGTCAATGGTCGAGAATGAGTGAAGTCAAGGACGTCCCGAAAACTGTTCCGATAACCTGCGCAAGGAATGCCGAGCTTGCGGGCTGCACGTCCATCCCGCGTAGCAAGAGCTCCGATCTGCACCACATCAGCCTGACGAAATGATGGACCAGGTGTCACAAGCCGACGCGACTTGTCCGCCTCCTTTATCACAGCTCCTACCGCTACATGGTCTACAGCTCTACCTGATGTTCACTCTCCTATCATCCTTTCAGCTCCACCTACATCCTATCTACCACCGCCGCCCCCTGCCAGCCCTGTGGCCCACCCCCTACCGCCCCTCCTACTGTGATATTCAGCCACAGATGCCATCCGCCCAGCAACAACATCAGCCCGAACACCACCGTCCTTATCCCGTTCACGCCCAGACTCGCTAGCGCTTCCGACCCGAATCTCGAGTTCCGCTCTTCTCCGTAGACGATAGCTGCGAAGGCGGGCGAGTATAGGTGGCGCGGTGGAGGCGAGTAGGGGGAGTAGAAGGGTGAGGTGGGCGAGGTAGGGTCAGTGGATGGTAGAGAGAGGGATGTGGGTGGAAGAAGAAGGATGGATTTTGGCGGAGGAGAGGGGGAACGCATTGGGCATGATGGCTCAGCTGCGGTGTCAGCTTGTCCATACATTACCCTCTGCTCCAAGGGGAAGACCTACTGAGCACAATCCCAGGCACATCGATGCTCAACCCCAGCTTCTCATCCCACTCATCCTCGCTGCACCGAGGCGAGACGATCCCGCCCATGAAGATCCGTGTGGGCGTGAGAGGGCCAGGCGAGCTAGCAGCGGACGAGGTCGGGCTCAGGTCCGATGCGGATGTTGTCCGCCAAGATATAGCGGGAGGCATCGGGGTGAAGAAGGCGGAAGGGGAGTCATACGCGCTCGGCGAGAACTGGTGTGTCTTGTACGCCGGGGGAGTGCTGATGATGAGAGGGGTCGGGCGGCTTGCGCTGGCTGCGCGCTGGAGGGGTGTCGGGAAGGGACGTTTAGGGGGAGGCGTGTAGAATTGGGCGGAGGAGGGTTCGGCTGAGGGATCAGCTTACTTCACGTGGAGCATCTTCTTGTAGCATCAAACAGACAACTTACGAGAATAAAAGTCCTGCTTGATCATCTCCGCTAAGGATTACAAGCGGTAACTTGACGGGCCGTTGGGTTTCCACGAGTAGAGCGATCCTCAGAGTATACCGCCGGTATGACGTCGAGACGGGTTATGACAGTTCAGGAGGGCTCCGACCTGATAAAGCGAGGAAGAGGGGATCGTTGGACCGCTGAGAGTAGATCTCGGACACCGCTCAAGCCTGAGATTCGAGAAGTACACCGAGTGACTCAGTGAGCGTTCTGGCAAGATGCTTGTTGGACAAGGTGGCTGCAGAGATGGATCTCTGCGATCTGAGTCGGAATGTGTCGGTCAGGGAGGGATGTCTCAGCAAGCCTCGTTCTGCGAACAGGTGAAACGGCTGCGGGATCTGGGAGGAGGGATGTGAGGGAGTGGGTGCGTTCGTTGAGTGGCCGTCGCCGTGGGTTGACTACGAGTCGAGCGTTATAGTATGGTCTGGACGTAATGAGCGTGGGGGGGCCGAGAAGTCGTTACAGAAAGTCAGTCAAGTAGGAAAAAAGATAAGATATGGACAAAGTTAAGTTCAGCTCTTGCTCTTCCTCGGGTCTGGCAGAGAGCAGCTGCCCGCCGTGGTCGTGTGCCTCATAGGCTCATCATGTCAGCATATTCGGAGAGTTTGTTTACTGCGAAAGAGATGATATAGCTGGTGGGTTGGTGGAGGAATGTTGAGGTCAGGGTTTGTTTACGTTTGTCGGTCTCGCCGAGTTTCCGTTGGCACGGCACCTCGAAGACCTCGCGTGCAGCTGTGGCAGCTTCACTCTCCTAGCTTCCCTACGCTGAACCTGGCAGACTGACACGGACCTAGCATCCAGATGACTCTATGCGACCCCCTCATGCACGATAATCAAAGCAGATAGCGACTAGACTGCTCGCGCCCATCTATACCGCCTGCCCATCCGCTTTCCTCTTCTTCGCCTTCTCCGGACTGAGCGCCTCCTTGGCCTTCTCTCCCTCCTCGGTCTCCGCCGGTACATCTGGAATGATCGCCTTGCTCCCCTCTGCATCCAAAGCATCCCCGCCCTCCTTCAGCTTTGCGATTTTGGGCAGACCCGACATTGTGACGCCTTGCTCTTTCGCGCCTTTGCTGGGAGAGGCCGTGTCTGCGCTTGCAGCCGACAGAGCCTTCTGCCTTGCCTCTGGCGATCGCGATAGACTTCGTGGTGGGTTAAGTGGAGATGTGGCAGCAGTGGGTGAGAAGGACGGGCTGATGGTGGGTCGGGAGGGAGATTTGGACGGTGTTCCCGATACTTTGGGTTTCTCCGGGCTGGTCGTGGACGGAGACGCGGCTTGGCTGTCCTCTGGGTCGGTCGACGGAGACGACTCCACCGGATCTGACGGTCCCGAGCCATCACCCTGCGGGATATCGGAGGGCGCTGATGTTGGGGGCAATGGCGACACCGCCCGCTCGGCGTCCAGCTTCCCCGCTTCCTCCAGCAGCTCAATCTCATCCTTTGGTACAGTAACCTCAGCCTCCTCGGACAGAACGTCTGCTGGAGGCGGCGCAGTCTCCACCTCTCCCTTCGCCGGACTCTCATCCTCCTCACCGATATATACCGCCGTCTCCGAGCTCTCCGTCCTCGCCAAGTCGTTGCCTCCCGTAAACGTCGGCACTTCGGGTACGGAAGGAACGTCTGCCGAGTCCGATGACCAGAGGACTGTTCCCCTGTTCTGCTTGCCGCGTCCTTTCGTCCCTCGACCGAGTGTACCGACCTTTTGGGCGCTCGTGCTCGAGTCTGCTCCAGGTACGGGGACCGGCTGAGCCTTGGGTAGAAGAGATGTAGGGGCCGATGCCGTTTCGCTTCCGTTGGCCGGGACTGGTGCCAATGTGGCCGTTTCCGCGGCCTCAGGCTTCGCAGCCTCTTTGTCTACCTCCGCCTCTGTGACCTTCCCTTTCCCCTTCTCCCTGCTTAGCACCTTGACTCCAACGCCACTCTGCCTATCCAGGCTCAATGTCCGCTTGCTCGCCCCCTTCTCCTTCTCCCTCGCCCTGCCCGCCTCATCTGCTTCGTCCTCTTCTTCCATGTCCCCTGCTTCGTCATCTTCTTCATCCTCGGAAGCCTCCTCCGCCTTGCCGAGATTCGGGATGATGAGCAGCTCCTTGCCGACAAGACCGTACGCCTCGCATAGTGCGACGAAGCGCGCATAGAGAGATGTCTCAGATTCGGAGATCAGGAACTGCTCGCGGTGGTGGAAGTAGGCGTGAGAGAAGATGCGCGATAGTCGGCGAGAGAGGGATGGGAAATGAGAGAGCGATCCAGGTGGGATTGACATTCTGCAGGGATCAGGTTGTGATCATTCGAGGTTGTCCGCATACACACCTTGAGGGGAAGTTCTTGGTCGAGTTCAGGATAGCTGTGGCAGAGTCGAGCCTATACAGTCAGCTCATTGCCCGTTCTCTAATACAGGATGTATCAGCTGAACCCACGTATGCAGGATATAGTCGATGGCGGAACATTCCTCAGAGACCCCGCTTCCATGCGCTACGCAGAGGTATTGCCACTGGTCCGCTTTCATCTCGGGACATGATTCCTTGGTGCAGTGACTCAAGAGCTGGGAGACCAAAGGGGTCAGGTCAATCGGAAGCCGTCTGCTACTGTCAGCTTAAGCCTTCGACGTAACTATCCGCAGGACTCAAAAGCTGACCTGAGATGCTCATATATCCACTGGCATCGTCAGCGTATTCATCTTCCACTTCATGTAGATAGCTGCACTTACGACATCCCTGTCGGTGGACCTCCCTTCCGCTGGGACCTCCACGAGCCCCGCAACATCATGAGGGTCCGCCCGGATCTTCAGCGCCAGGTACTCGGCAAGCTGGAACGGGCCATCGATGGCGCTGAGGGCGGGTATGTCATCCACTGTTAATGCAGAAAGAGACTGGATGATCAGCTCTGGCCACTTCAAGACCCGGTTATGGCAGCGAAAGAAGCCGGGACGGGGGGCACACGACCTTTGAACTCACGCTGGCCTTCGCACCCCTCTTCAGGCGGAAAGCGCCCACTTGGCTAGGCTTTGCGGGTACGATCATCTCTAGGTGTTGCGCTGATATTTCGTGTATAGTCTCTGGCTCTGCGTGGCAGCGACTTCTGAGTGGTAGCAGAGGCAATATGGGCAAATCGTCATTGCAGCTCCGAGTGGACCCTTTCTAAATGGCAGCATTCCTCAATCTCGGCGATCAAGGTTTGGGATAAATGGATGAAACACTTAATGCACACGCGCCTCGCCACTCAACTGCACCCAGCTATTGCTCAGCTATAGGTACTTGTTGCACTTATACATCCACCTCACTCGTCTCAGCTAGCTGTAATACTCGCTGACATCTCCCACCTACCCCATCGCTGTCAAGGCGGACTGACCGGTCAATTCGACTCTGCTAACGAAATCTGAGGAACAGCTCCCGGTACCTACGGTTCCTTCAGTATGGCCGGCCAGAACCAGAGCTACTATGAGTTCTACCGGGGCTCGTCGTACGTCACCACCTTCTTCGGCCTTCGGCTCTTCGGCTGACTCTGTTCCTTGTGCGGTGGACAGTGAACTGATCAGTCAGGATTGGCACAGCGTTGACCGACTCGCTGGATGAATTGATCACTCAAGGTGATATCCCCCCGCAATTAGCGATGCGGGTGTTGCAGCAGGTCAGCTACCCACTGACTGGATCTAGTCTACAAGAACGCAGCTGATGGTGCAGTTCGATAAGAGCTTGACAGATGCGCTGCAGAAGGGTGTAAAGACCAAGACGAATGTCAAGGTGAGTCGACCCCGACTTGATGGCGGTGTACAAGCTGAGATTACAGGGTCACTTGTCTACCTACAGGCTCTGCGATGATGTCTGGACATTTGTGGTCAAGAACCCAAATTTTAAGATGGAGGGCATGGGTGCAGGGTGAGCGCGAATCTACCTCGAGTAGTTTTGTCTTATATTGACCGACCAGCTCGGAGATGATCACAGCGCCAAAGATCAAAATCGTCGCGTGCAAGTCCGGGGATGCTGCGGCGGACACGAAGAAGGGCGGCGGAAAGGCGGCAGCAGCGGCGCAGAACGACTACTAGATCGCGCAACGACCAAAATAACGGCCAGTCGAGGCGAGGTAGAGGGGACGAGGCGCTTTGCAGAGCAGAGAAGGGACCTCACACTCTACGTGTTGTATCGATTAGACCCATCTGATGACATTGTACATTTACCAACCTCCCTGCTGGGAGGCGAGGCATGAACCTGTTGACCGTCCGACATATGAGAACGGCACCTGCTCATCATTTCCGCAAATGGCAATACAGAATCATCTCACAGATCCTAAATCAGATACATCATAAAAGATACTCAACCGTATCTCGTTGTTCTACCTTTCTCTGCCATCTCTGCCGTCCCATGACCTGACTCCCGCAACGTCTTCTCGCCCGACCCCCTCATTCTTCCCCCATTCCACTCTTCTTCTTCCTGCGCCTCCTCGTGCGCCCGCTCCTCATCCTCTCTTTCTGCATCCGCGACTCTTCGCCTCTCCTCCTCCATCAAGATCTTGCTGTATTTGCTCCGGGCTCTTATTTCTGGACCCTTCCAGTATGCGATGAAGGGGACTATGCCGAGTACGCCGGCGACCATGCCCATGAGGAAGATGGCCCAGCGGGGGGTGAGTGAGATGTACATCTGGCATTGGTCAGCAATGCCAGGTAAACTAGAGCCGGCTGGACGTACATCTTGCGTAAACATAGAGAATGCACCTGGACTCGTCAGCTGTGCTCAACTATAAAGGTGGGAAGCAGCTCACCCGCAAACATGTTCCTCAAAAAAGACATGCCAGCCAGAGCAGAGGAGGCGTAGGATCCGTAACATTCCGATAAACTGCCCGTCAGTCACCTGCCCTAGCGATCTGTTCGAGGAGACACCCACTAAACAAAGCCAGTGATATACAGTGTGATCACACAGGCTATCGACATCAGCTGCGATTCCTGTGGACATCCGGAGGTATCGGCGCTTACCGATGATGATGATGACACCAATAGCGGGTACCGCCCAGTGTACATCTGGCCGGATAGTGAAGGCGTACAACATACACCCGACAAAAAGTGCGATACCGGCCGTCATGGCTCCATATAGCCGCGCTTCAACACCGTGCTTTGCAACCTTTCGTCTTCATTGTCAGCTGGGTCGTGAGAGGTGACCCCTCTAGCGTTACTTACCGATATATCGCATCCTGGATAAAGTTACAAGCAAACCCAAGGAGACTTCCGATACTGACTGGATTAGCGACATTGCCTCGGATCAGGTTGAGGCAGAGACTGACCAGATAGTAGAGTAGATCAGCCCAGTCTGGGTTGTTGTGAAGCCATACACTCGAGGGTACAGGAATGGCAGCCCGAATACCTGAGTATAGAAAACACCCCACTTCGACCTGTCAGCGAAGGAAGTTCGATCTAAGGGTGATAATAGCTTACAGCAAGGGAGATCCACACCGAAAAGAAGGTGACGATGGGCTCGACGCAAAGGAATACTTCACGCTTGTCAGCTCTCCCTCATGATATCGAATGCAAGGCAGACTAGACTTACAAAGAGGTCTTAGTAAGCTCGTCGACATGGCCGCAAAGAACTTTTGCCTCCCAATCTCACTCCGAGCGGTGTATCTCCCGCCGTCTGTCAATCCACGCTCTTTCCGCAGTACAGCGGCGCGACGGCGGATAATGACTGGTGCGCGAGTCTCCGTCAGGATGAAGACCACGAAAGGTATGTATGCACCAATAGCGACTACCATATTAGCTCTAGTGCGAGTCCCCTCTGCAACTCTGCCAGCTGAACTTACTCATCTCTATCCATTGGATCCATCTCCACCCCAAATCTGGCCGTGCTTCGACCCAGCACATGGCGATGGGTCCGAGACCGGTGAAGAACATGGCCATGAGTGCGAACAGAGCCATCGGTAACCCTCGTCTGGCCAGCAATCAGCTCTGTTCTGGTCCGGAGCAGTTGAGAAAGGAGAGCAGTTGAGAAAGGAGAACTTACTCCTCCGGTATGAAGATGTCTGATATCGTTCCTCCCACTAATGTCGCACCGAGGGATCCAGCAGCACCAATGAGGAAGCGCCCAACGAGGACCGTTCCTATGTTCTTCCCCCTTGAGATCAGCTCCTGTCCTCCTCGTTATCAAGCAGACTCACAACGTCAACATCAGATGCAGAACCGTAAAGATCGCCACAGCGATGATGTACGTCCATTTGCGTCCATACTCCTCACTCAGCGGCGCCAGTACCATCGGCGCAATCCCGAATCCCCAAGCATACAGCGCCAGTCCTGCAGCAGCTTGCAACGCCGTGTTCCCCAGCTCAGCAGTCATAGACGGCACGCCGATCGAATACGCCGAGGTGGAGTAGGCGGTGATGCCTGTAAAGTAAGTGGCTACCGCCACGATTGCCATCTTTCTCCGAGGCGAGAAGTGAAACGGATTGGATGGGGATCCAGAGGGGAAGTCGACCCATATTAGCCGACCGACCGGGGGTGAAGGGGGACCGAGCTGTTTCTGGGCAGGAGACGAAGAGGAGGGTGAGGCAGGAGCGGTGGTGGTGGGCGTGACGGTGCTCTTGGAAGGAGGGTAATAAACCTCCGGACCTCCTGTCGCGCTGACAGAGTATAGTGGTCCCCACGTACACCCCTCAGGCAGATGGGCGGTTCCCCGCGGCGTCCTCGAGCCGCTTGGTGGGGATGAGTCGTCGATATCTGCGGCTGCCATGGCGCAGACTGAGGTCCTGACGGCTTCTGGTCGTAGAGTGAAGTACCGGGCCTGGGCGAGCGCAGCAGTCACTGCCTCACGGGCCTGTCACTGCTTGACCTTGCTGAGTGGATGACAGAGACGACTCGTCCGAAAATCCATCGGCCTCGAGCTCGCTTCGCTTGGCCCGGCCGGCAGGTGCTCGATCGGATTTAGCCGATGCCGTAATGTTTCACCTCTCTTCTTTCGCTACGGCCGTAAGGCCAAGGGTAGACGAAGCGCGAAGGTATCAATTGAACCTATCATCTACAATAGCGAACCCCTACAAATGTCCTTCTACCTAAGAGCTACAAGAAATCCCCTCAGATAGCTACAGCGATCCCCTCCGCATCCGCATCCCCAAAGCTCAGGTCCAGCCCCAAATCATCAAAGTGCAGACTCCCCAACTGCGTCCCCGCCAACAACGCCGACCAGTTCACCTCGCCGCCTCCTTGCCTTGGTATTGGCAGCCCCTCCAGCTCCGCCGATATTGGGATAGCAGATGGTGTGAGAGACTTCTTGCTCTTGCCCGAGGCGTTCGACCCAGGAGTGGCGCTGGTCCTGGAGAGGCGGGACGAGCCCAAGGGGGAAGTGAGGAGCCGGAGGAGCGCTTCCGGCGTGGTGAAGCGGGACCTGGGTGTCGAGGCTCTGGACGAGGCGCCATTGTTCCGGCCCGACATATCGACAGGGACCAGGGTAGGAGATGGGGGAAGAGGGGTCTCGACGATGACGAGCCCGCTGTCGACCGAGCTGGAGAGGCTGGTGTCCCCGGGGTGTTCCTCGGGGTCCTGGATGACCGGCTCCCGCGGCGCCCCTCCCGACAGATCGTGCTCTGGCTCCTCGTACAGCGGAGTGGCAGGCACGCCCTCCTTCTCCTGGTCGGACGAGGACGCCTCGGAATGCGAGTCGTCCGTGTCTTCCGGTACTGCCTCCTGGGCTGGCTCGACGGGTATGACGGCGACAGGGGGAGGGGAGTGTATAGGGGCTGGAGGCGCCAGCACCGACAGCGCTGATAGCGGTGAGGTCGCAGGCAAGATGGTTCCTGCCGACAAAGGGGTTGATGGCGACACCGGAGCACTCTGCTGGAGAAGCTGTTGGGCGCCTCGCGAGCCGGAAGGACCGATACCCCGAAGATACTGGCCACGCAGATCGATGACGAGCGGACTTCCCGATGCTGGCCGCTTGACCTTCTCAGCCTTCGCCTTGACCTCCTCCGCCTTCTCCGCCGTAGCCCCCTTCACCTCCGTTGGCGTCGTCGGCGTGTCGGGAATAAGGAGGGGACCCATGATGACCCCCTCAACGGACCGCCTGCGGACCTTGGGTGTTGCAATGAGCACGCCCGTCTGGGGAAGAGGTGCCATCCCCAGGAACTCCTGTAGCGATACACCTGGATTCCGTCTTGTAGTGGGCGACACATGCATGAGTTGGGCATGGACGATAGACGGTTGCTCGTCGTCGTCGAGCGAGCCGCAGCTGGATATGGAGGATGCCTCGGAGTCCCGCCGTTTGTCATGTGGCGCCAAGGTTTGTGCCTCGATGGTGTCCGGATCTGCGGCCGAGCTGGACGAGTGGGGAGCATATGAGTCGTGTGCACCTCCGTCGGATGATGGTGGAGGGGCAGGACAGGTGGGTGGGAACTCATAGTCCGAGTCGAGGATGTCGAACGGCTCCGTACCGAGGGTGGACAGACCGAGGAGGTTGGTGACCGTGTCCGAATGGCCGATGTCTGAGGAAGCGCGGGATGGTCCTGCCAGCGGAAGCTCAAATTCGTACTCGTCGGCAGAGTCCGCCTCGCTCTGCTCCTCGACGCCCGCCATGGGGACAGAGACGGGTTCCCTTGGCAGCTCGAATGACCGACGCCTTTGTCTCTCATACTCTGCCACCGCCACTGTATCCTCCTCTTCCACCTCCCTCTGCTTCCCCTTCCCCTTGCTTTCAACGGCAGGGGTCTTCCGATACACCGCCGGCAGCTGCGGTACCATCGGCACCTCCGCCTCGGAAGGCAGGGGTATCATCCCCGATATAGACGACTTCTTCCGGAACGCCCCGCTCATATTGCTCAACGAGAACCGCTTGGACAAGCCGCGGATACCGCCCGCCGACTGTGGGCCCTTTGGCGGCTGAGCGATGGAGCTGGGCGTAGTGGGATACGCCTCGCTATAGCCTGAGCTGGACGCGGTGCCGAGAGCAGGAGTGCTGGATCCGCCTTCGAGTCCGGCGAATGGCGCAGGTTTGACCTCGATCCGGAGGGACGGCTTGGACTTGGCACGAGACAGCTTCCCCTTCTTCGACGTGCTTGCCTCCGGTACCTCCTGCCGGAAGTCGACCGAGCCCCGCTTGACGTTCCGCGGGCTCGCTGGCAGGTCCGGTGCGCTGGGCATGGGCGGAGCAGCTTCATTTGACGAGAAGAAGAGCTTTTTGAGTGACTTTTGCCGTTTGAGCGGTGGCATGGGAGGTGGAGCTGCGGATGAGGTGGAAGGCCCATCGTCCGATGACGAGCGCGACAGGACCGCGGTGAGCGATTTGGACCGTTTTGGACGGGTCACGGGAGGTACGGGATGGCTGATGGCCGCTTGTGGAGGTGGAGGAGGGGGTGTGGGAAGGCCGAGAGGATGTGCAGGGGGCGGCTGGTAGTGCACCACCAGGGGTGGAGGGGGCGAAGCGGAGTACGAGTCCGCTCGGCTGGTTATTCTCGACGGTAGTGGCTTTAGCTCGAAGGCTGGCCCGAGGACAGCTTCCGGGCTCGTCTCGGCCTCATGCGATATTTCCAGGTCGAAAGGCGCGACCGTGTGTATAGCCATCATCGGTTCGAACATCCGCCGGTGTGGTGGTGACGATGGTCGAGACCTGTCCCGGACGACAGCCAGGGGCAGATCCTCATCCTCTTCTTCCGCCCTTCCGCCCTCTCTTTCAGAGACAGGCGGCATCATGACATTTGGCGGACTCTGCGCTGCCTCCTCCAGCGGCAGTAAGAGAGTGAACCGTTCCAGCTCCAGACTGTCTCGCTTCCGCTGCTCCACCTTGCTCATCCGCTTCCCGATATCCGCCTCGAGCTGCCGCCTGGTCTTGGGCATGATGATTCCTCTCGTAGCCGCCGGTCGACCGGATGCGGCGGGACCTCGGGTGAAAACTGGCGGGGGAAGCATGAACTTGTCCGACATGCCGATCCAGTGACCGTGCTCCTGCGACACAAAGGTGGCGTGTGCTAGCGAGTTCATGGCGACTCCCCTTGGCGGTGAGACCGGTGGACTACGAGAAGTGGGTGGTGAGATCTCGGTCGGGTCTGTGATGACGAGGGTCGCGGCGACTGTCGCAGCGAGGAGCGAAGGGGGCGATTGTGGTCGGACCCGTGGAGGTACCAGGGAAGATGGATGGGGAATGGGGTAAAGCATAACGGGTTCACCTTCGTCTACCTCGTCAGCTAAGTCCTTGCCACGAGTCGGAAACTCACCCTCTGGAGGTACTAGTCTGACCCTGGGGAGTGTCTTGATCCGCTCCCAATCCAGCTCCTCTGATTCCCCTCTCTCCCTTGGCGGTGGTGGCGGGGCTTTCCTGCTCGCTCGTTTGCTCCATCTATCCTTGCCCTTACCCTTCTCCTTTCCAGCCGTTTCTGATATCCCCTCATCCGTGTCTGCCGCCGAGTAGACCGAGTCTAGAGTACCGGCAGACCGTCTCATCAGGGCAAAGATGGACGGCTTGTTTCGATATCCACGAGGAGGTGGTGATGTTGGGCGGGGCGGAGGAGAGCTGAGATGCGCTACTTCCGGTATGGGCGGACCATGAGAGCGATGCCGAGCAAGGGGATGCGATATTGACGGTCGCGAGTGGTCCGAGCTCATCGTGATCGAGCAAAGATGTTCTTTTGGCTCTAGGGATGCCTTTGATTGAACCGTATTTTCGTCTAGTGAGATTAGCGTTTGCGTGGACTAACAACGAGGAAAGGTGGAAGGTACCAGTACTCACCTGTCACATCCTGTGTGATTGTCCCATATCAGTGAGACATTCCAAACAACCAAGCGCGAAGTCCCCTCCATCCCGCCCCGTCAAGCGGGGATTCCTGGTCAGACATGTTGATGATTCGGCCCGGTCCGGCCTCGCCACCTGGAGGTTTCACCAAGAACGCTATGCCAGTGATGGTCGATACTTGGCTTCAGCTTGCGCAGTGAGAACCGCTTGCAGGACGCTAGTGTGATTGTGCCTGAGCATGAAGCTGAGGGCCTTGGCGGTATTCCCGTGAGAAAGAGGGTCTTGTATATCCTGCACTGCCTAATATGGCTCTGCATACCGAGCGCAGCAGGGAGCCTGTGTAGGATAACAGTCGACAGGTGAGGTGTAGCGCTCGATGTAGTCGATATCGTGGATGCTCTCAATCCCGACGCAACTCCCCCCGACGTCTCCTGCAGCGGTGGCGCCGGAAGCAGTTTAGTCAGTGGCACCAAGCGCGTTGACGACATGAGGAATGAGGCGCAAAAGTCTCCTCCACTGCCACCCGCCACCAGCAGACGGGGAGCCAAAGCTGCAAGCGAGAACGAGGTCAGGACACTACCGAAGGAATGGCCCTCAAACGTTATCGTCGGTTGTGCCCGTGAGTCAACCGCAATGCTGTATATGCTTGTCTATCAGTGGAAGGGGACGATGTGGCTTGCACGAGCTGGTGTTCGACAGCGAAACGCAAATTGCTAACTTCCAGGGCCTCGCGGTGAAGGGCTTCAGCTCAACAGTTGCTGCGCTGCGTGTTTCTGCATCGTCGCAGTCTCCAGTGATGAGTCTGCCCGACCCTGGACAATCAATGAGCACGTGTAATAGTTCCTTTATCGCCCGTGCTGAGAGAGCGATAAGAAAAGCTGTGCTGCGACGCGTATCGTCTTGATGAAAGGTGCTGGCAAGGCGGTGCTACCATGCGGCCACGCACGTGTGATAGAGTAGCGGATGTTGTAGTCACTGATAGCGATAAGAGAGAAATACTCCGCTCATATCTCTTGGTCGGAACGGTAGCCACGCTGCTGCAAGGGGACCTATCCGAGTCCGAACTGTGCATTCATGGCGCTCAGACGTCCATGCTAGACAAGGCAGTAGCTCCCTCTTCTGGGCGATGTTTTCTCCCCTGCTCGCGCAATCTGGCGTTCCACAGATCTGGCCAGCAGTGCACAGCCCCCTTGAATCTGGTCCGCGTTTGAACTCGCAAGACGAGATCTAGCCAGACGCAATCTAACGAAACGCCATATCACGAGAATCAAAGGCAAGAAGATGAAAGGTTAGCTAAATAATGGTCTCCTTAAGATCTGGCCAAAAGCTGTGCAAAGCGCGGGGTGGGCATGTATGGATATCGACTACGAGGTGTTTGGAGTGATCGCAGACGGTTGACGGGCGAGATATAAAAGCCTGGCCGAGGCCCCCTTTTTCTTCTTTCATACTTCATCCTTCTCAATTCGCTCATCCCCTCCCCATCCACATTATCTGCCCAATTTCCATATATATACCACACATATCTCACTCCCCCACACTACTACCACCACCCCAACATCCCACAACATGTCTTCCCACGGTCTTCCCACCGAGAATCCCACCGACGCTCCCACAAGCTCCGGTGCCTCTCGCCGAGTCCCGGTCCTCTCCTTCGCGGATGGCGTCGCTCTGGTCGCCTTTCTCTCATCACCTGAAGGCGCCACTCTCAGGTCGGTGCTGGGTATCGATATTCCCGAGCCCACTCAGACCTGGCAGGATGCAACGGGCCGAGGCTCAGCACCCACGTCTGCAGGGTCCGGTGTGCCGCGCGCTTGTGGCACATGCCCCGGCTGCCTGAGCCAGATGTCGCTTGAGGATCTGGAAAAGAAGATGACGGAGATTGACGCGGACATTTCTCGTTTCAGGTCGGAGGAAGAGGACCAGCAGTCGATCGACGAATTGTTGTCGGACAGGGCGGACCTCCAGACGGCGGCCGAGAAACTCAGGATGTGCCATGAGCGTTCGATTGCCGGTGTCCGGAGAGATGTCAGCGGGATGTCTCTTGATCGTCTGGAGGCGGAGCTTCGGGAGATTGACAGGGATGCTTTACGTTTCGGGTCCGACAGGCAGTCGGTGGAATTGTTGATGATGGGCAGGGCAGTGGTCGAGGAGGCTGCAGCGAGCCTCAGGTCGCAGGGGCATGAGCAGGCTGAGAAGACCGACCCGCCGGTCGAGATGGAGCAGGAAGAGGATCCGCTGAAGGCCGCGGAGGGTGGCGCTGCGCCAGCCAGCTGATTGCCTCGCCTGCGCACTTCCCTACGTCACCAGAATCCACTTGCTCCAAAGCTTCCGCTATCATACACGTTACTACATACACATACGTACATTCCCTCTGTCACATGAACCATGAGCACATTTGATACGATCCAGCATTTACGGTACTGACCCACATTAGAGTAGTAGTCGGGACAATGAACTGCTCAAGTCGATCCTGCTTGACTCTCTGGCAGCTCTGCTCGTCCCGCTGGTCAATCGGAAGATGACGGACCCATGGACAACCTCGCTGGCTGGAACGCTCCCCGGCGTCTCGCACAGCTCGGGTAGAGGCTCAGAAGCCTCACTCATGACTAACAGGGGGCTCTGCTGCCACCCAGCATGCCATCGCACCTCATGCAGTCCACCACCGACCGATCGAGGCCATCGACTCGCATTCTAAGGAAGACCATGCTCGAATAGTCAGATACCCCTGACTCACAATCTAGTGGAACGCGTAGACAATACGACAAAGGGCAGGTGATGAAAGGTTGCTTGAGATCTTACAGTCAGGCGCTCGATGCTGTGTAAGAATGTAAGGGGTCTCTGGAGTGTGAGGAAGTGTGCCCTATTGGTTTGAGCATGCTATGGACATAGGATATGAGAGAGGCCCAATGTCCGTCGCCACCTCTCTCACTCTCTCTCCATCGCCCATTGATCATCCCCCAGTGATCATACCCCACTGACTCACTGCAATCGCCTTCTCATGCACTCGCCCCGCCGAAACAGCAACATGAGCGAAGAACAGAGCATGTCTGGCCCGGCCCTCACCACCGAGGAAATGATGAGTGCGCTGGGTGTCACATTGGAGAAGTGCGCAAGAAAGAGCGACTCGAAGGTCTTTCAGACGTGGCTCGGCAGCAAAGCGGGTGCTCATTTCGTTTGCCGACACCCCATTGCGTCAAAGGACAGTCAGCGCGTGGTCCATGACACCCTCATCCACCTGATGACGCCCCTGTGCAGCGAAGGGGTGGGGAGCACGTACGTTTGCTCTGGCCATCGGGACTTGCAGATCGGTGGGTCGAGGAATGATCAGAATGTCAGTTAGGTATCGAAGAGTGGGAGTCCCAACGAAGAGAGGTAGAAGGAACATGTGGCGTTTGTACAGTCGGCGGAGTTAGCCACGTGAACATTGGAATTGTCGGCACAGGCCTGCGTTGAGCTGTCCCCATTCAGCGCAGACCACATCTTACTCGTAGACTTGATGTATCATCTATGCGATTTGACAGTCCTGCTCCATGCGTCAGTAGAGTCTCAGCACGCAGGCTAAGCTTGTGGCTCGCCTATACCAAAGTACGAAGGTCAAAGGGTCAGAAGGCAGCTGGAGTCCGAAAGATGCCTTACGCAGCGCGACTGGGAGGGTGAAGACACAGCGAAGACGATAGCTGAGCACGTCATATTGCATGAGTACTGAAGGTCATTGCGTAGTGCAGTGTATACGTGAGTGTCCCTATCGCGGTCGCTTCTCTAATCCCTCAACACCTCTCCTAATGCACAAACCCGTTCTAACCCTTGACCCTTGACCGACCATCAAGATGTCCTCTCCCTTTCCTCTTATCAATTAATGTCCATAACCCATCATGACCCCAATCCCATCTCATAACGCCAATACCCCCACGAACCCCGCCAAACCCATCATCGCTCCCATCCCCATGCCCAGCACCGACCTCCCCGCTGCCGACTTGGCTCCACCCGCCTGAGCCGCACTACTCGCTGCGGCCGCTGCGCCGGCGATAGCATTGGCATCTCCTGCAGTGACCACGGCCGTGACCGTGGCGACTACGACTCCGCCCGCTGAGCCCGACTTGGAGGCCGAGCCCGACGACTTGGATGCTGCGGATCCCGAGGCGGACGGTGGCGGAGCCGTAGCGAAGGTGGAAACGCCCGAGTTGGAGCGGGACGAGGGACTCGGCAGAGCCGACGCGACCGAGGCTGTCTCTGCCATTCCTGGATTTCCATCGTCGAGGGATCCGCCGGAGGGGATGACCGCCGCCGTAGCAGACGGAGTCGCGCCACTAGCACCGGCGAGCTGCGCGAAGCCCACCGCGGGAGGGTTGAACCGGTAGACCGAGTACACATTCTTGAGCGCACTGTCGCCGACGATCCACTGGACGGGACTACCAGCCGGCAAGTTCTGGATGAAGACCGCGCCGGTACAGTAGTTTTGGTCCGTGCCGTACCGACCGAGGTTGAAGTCTCGGTCTGTGACCTTGATGGTGAACCCGCCAAAGGCGAGCTGGAAGTCGATCTTGGTGGTACAGGGGTATTCGTAGTAGTTGCGGTAGGAGCCCGACATTTGGCGCGAGCCGGGGATGGCAGCGAAGATGGAGGCGACGGTAGCTGAGGGCCCGCCGATGAGGGTGGTTCCGGTGTCGACCGCGACGCTGTTGCCGGCGCTGAGGGAGATGGAGGTGCCTTGCATACTGACGGCTAACATGTCAGCGATTTCTATCGAAGTAGGGATGGGCCAACGTACAGTCCATGGGGATCTGCCAGTACTGCGCTCCGCTGGGCACATTCACGTAGGTGATACCGCCCGAGTAGAGGCTCGAGTCGAGGTAGCCGAAGGTAGCCTTCCCGCCGTTCCCCTCGAGCCGGCTCGCACCGGCGACATCGCGGTATCGAGCGAGGTAGAAGCCGAAGAGCGGTTGGGACCATGCACCCGACTGGACCAGGTTAACCCACCATGGGATAGCTGTGGAGTCAGCTTGGTACGTATACGTAACAGACAACTCACCCCTGGAGTAGGCGAGAGCGGCGAAGCTGAGACCCATGATACCGCTGAGCGAGTCCGAGATGAGGCCGCTGGACATCGAGTCGCTGATGGCGAATGTCTGGGAAGCGACCGAGTAGCCGCCCAGGGAGACGGTGTCCTGAACGAGGTGGCCGGCGGTGCTGCCTGAGCCGTATTGGATACCAAAGGAGTTGTTGGAGCTGGACATCAGCTATACCTCATCCGAAAGGCGAGATATGGACATACGTGACGTGAGAAGAGCTCGCCGCTGCGTTGAACTTCTTCTGCGAACCGCACCCTGAACACCCACTCCCCGTGATCCACAAGTCCGCACTTCCCGTGTCCAACACTACGTCGAACGCCTGGCCTGGCGTTCCTACCGAAACCTGACCCGAATAGCTAGCATCCAGATTATGGTTTGTCAACTGCACCTCGCCGGCCCGAGCGCCTAGACGTGGCAAGGCGATGAGCGAGGCAAAGTCTCCAAGCCCATCGTTATAGCGCGTGTCGATCTTGGCTTCTTCGCGGAGCAGCCAAGTCGGATCGAGGGCGTTTCGCGAGACAAGGGAGCGGGAAGCGAGGGACGCATCGATCGACCGTGCGATGTGGGAGTGGGAGTGGGTGAGGAGGACTTCGTTAGGGTCGGCTGAGCGTGGAGAGGGGGGAATGGAGAGGTGGAGCGGGATCGCGAAGGGTTCGGGAGCAGGAGCAGGGGCTGCGAGCGCGATCGAGAGTGAGGGGATCAGGAGAAGGAGGGTGAGGAGAGAGGGCGACATGATTGGAGGGATAGGGGGAACCGTCGTTGTCGGTCTTTTTCGGCGTGAGGTGATGATGAGGAGTGGGCCTAAGAATCAGCTACTTAGTACAATAGAAGGGGTTGATGATGGAAAGGGGGGACGGTCCGCTGGACGAGGCAAAGGACCCGACGTACAATGGAGGGGTTGAGGGCGGGATCGACTAGCGAAGGAGGGTTGAGGTGACTATGACTGCGCAGCAGATGAGAAGCTCGATCAACGAGTGTGGGTATTTTGCGGACCGGCCGTGCGAGAGATTCGTGGGATAGGACGAGCGTAGATTGATGTATGAACGCGAGATGATGGGAATGTCTATTATATGGTATGCGCGTAGGACGTTGAGTGAACGTGAAGTGGACCGTAGTCGAGGGTCTGGACAGTGATTTCAGGGGAGATCGGTGAAGATCTCTCTGCCAAGTAGAGAGAGAGGAAGTGACAGCAACGAGAGATGGCTCTCTCTCGCAGCTGAGCTTAGCGACTCTCGGGGAATAGAACTGCTTGGGTGAAGATCAGTCAGGGGCGTTACTCCAACAAGGCACCACAGTACTCCTCAATTTCTCCCTTCGTTTCATGCACCTCAGATCTTACGGCAACTCGCGTCGCGGAGTCGCACCTTTTGCCGCAGCGACTGTCACTTTATTGTCTCTTGCCGCTCGCGCCACACAAAGACAAAAGGCATCGCGAGGGCGGCAGACACTAGCCGCGTCGACAAGCTCGACCCGGAGTATGGGACAGCTCCACATTGCATAGCTTTGAAGCTAGAAGGAGATGAAGACAACGATGAAACGCTTACTCTCCGTGACGCACCGTGACACTTTGATTCTTACCCAATTGGGCAGTCGCCCTCGTTTCATAACTGGACCCTGACAGCCTTCGGTCCGTCCCCCGGAACTAAAGATAATTCCGGCCGACCCCGCCTTTTCCCCCACCCTCCACTTGTCGCTCCACACCCATCTTTACTCAACTCATCACGATTCTCACCCATACGCAGCACCATGTCGGACCAGAACATGGAGTACTACATCGGCTTCGACGTGTGAGCTCTCCGCGGCCGGTGGCATCCATCCGAGCTGACTTTGCAGCGGCACGGGCTCAGCCCGAGCTTGCCTCGTCGACCGCCAAGGCACTCTCCTCGCTGATCACTCCATCCCCACCAAGACCCTTCGCTCGCCGACCGACCACCGGATCTTCGAGCAGTCCACAGCGGATATCTGGGCCGCTCTCGCCGCATGCTCAAAGGCAGTGCTCGCGGCAGCAGGCGTATCAGGGGATAAAGTCCGGGGCGTGGGATTCGATGCGACCTGCTCGCTGGCGGTAGTAGACCAGCAAGGGACGCCGCTGTCCATCAGTCGGTCGGTCGAGGGCGGCAAGGAGGACGATGCGAACTTGGGCAAGGATGGGGAGTGGAATGTCGTGCTCTGGGCGGATCATCGGGCAGAGGAGGAGGCGGAGGCTATCAACGCAACCGAGGAGGGGGTCCTTGGGTTTGTTGGTGAAACGATGAGTGTGAGTTTGCTCCAGACTCTTCTCGCTATAACCAATCTAGAGTTCGAACTGATGCCAGTAGCTCGAGATGGAAATCCCCAAGGTGCTCTGGCTCAAGAAGCACATGCCTGCAGACCGTTTCAAGCAGTGTCGCTTCTTCGAGTGAGCTCAAGCGCCTTTTCGAGCTCTACGCATCCGGGGACCGAGCTGACTCCCAGCCTCCCCGACTATCTTACCTATCGTGCAACCTCATCCCCTGCCCGATCTACCTGCTCTCTCGCCTGTAAATGCTCCTACGTCCCGCCAGGAACGACCATGAAGATCAAGTGCGAAGGCGGGCGGGAGGAGATCAGCACTGACGGCTGGTCCGCGCGATTCTTTGAGAAGATAGGTATGTCTGAGTCCTCTCCCCGCCTTACCCCTGCCTATCGTCACTCTCTTCGTACATCCTCATGCTGATCAGCGTCTCTTGATTCAGGTCTCGGCGAAATGGTTGGCGAAATGTTCGAGGCTCTCGGTGGTGTTCCCGGGAAGAATGGGCTGGTGCTCACCGCGGGTCAGCCGGTCGGGTCTGGTCTGAACAAGGCTGCAGCGGCGGACTTTGGGCTGAGCGAGGGTACGGCAGTGGGGAGCGGGGTCATTGATGCGTAGGTCCTCTTATGAAAAGGCTCGAGGCGTGAGCTGATACGGCAGGTACGCAGGATGGATCGGTACTGTGGCTGCAGCTTCCAAGACCGCAGATGGGAAAGTCGGTAACAAGCCTGGACTGGAAGAAGGCGTGCACCGCCTGGCGGCTATTGCTGGTACCAGTACCTGCCACATTGCGCAAAGCGACGAGGGGATCCTTGTTCCCGGTGTAGTGAGCTCAGCCATTGGGTTCCTTGTAGAAGACACGGCGAAGCTGACATTTTCAGTGGGGTCCATACCGAGATGCCATCTTCCCTTCGTTGTGGATGAACGAAGGCGGCCAATCCTCAACGGGTCAACTTATCGACTTTATGGTGACTACCCACCCGGCGTATGGGAAGCTACAGGCGCTCGTACAGGAGACAGGGAAGAATATGTTTGAGATACTCGGAGAGAGATTGGAGAGTATGCGCGAGGAGAAGGGCGTGGCTACTACCAGTAAGTTTGGGACTGGGCTTTGGCGTCTATGACGGGGATGAAGATTGATTCGATAGCGCATCTGACAATGGATCTGCACTTCTATCCCGACCTGGTGAGCTTAGTCGGTGAGCGACTTGAGACACGAGCTGACATGACTAGCACGGGAACAGATCCCCGCTCGCTGATCCGCGGATGAAGGGGATGATCACCGGTCTGACACTGGATGATTCGCTGAATGACCTCGCGAGGAAGTTCAACGTCACGCTGGAGGTGAGTTGTGGCGAAACTGAGACGAAGTCTGCCCAGCTCACTCGACCAGGCTATCGCTTTGCAGACTAGGCATATCGTTGACGAGATGAACTCGAGGGGACATCAGATCAACTCGATCTACATGTCTGGTAAGTATTGGTCATCACTCTAATGAGGGTTGTGATCCGCTGACAGCCAGGCTCGCAAGCCAAGAATGCCCCGCTTATGGGTCTCCTAGCGACCGTCCTCCAAATGCCCATCCTCATCCCACCCCAACCGTCCTCCGCCGTCGTCCTTGGCGCCGCCATGCTCGGGCGGTTCGCGCACGACCTCACCACCTCTCGCCATGGCACGCCCATCTCCACCCAGGCCGACGCAGAAGAAGAGAAGAAGACCAAAGGTGGCGGATTGTGGGACGTCATGTCTGAGATGACTGCGCCCGCTGTGGCCATCCAACCCCGAACGGGCGATGCGGGGGAGAAGGAGCGTAAGTTGTTGGATGTCAAGTATAAGATCTTCAGGGAGGCGGTGGAGATTCAGCGGAGGTGGAGGGCGATGATTGCCGAGGTGGCGTAGAAGGAGTAGAAGTAAAAGCTAGATGGCATCGGGTGTCACCTTGGTGCCACACTGCCACATCCCCTTCCTTATCTTGTGGATGCAATCTAATCTGTCTGGTCCGCCTGGATAGAAGGTGCCAGGGATCGTCATTACGTACAAGCCTAGAATGAGATCTGGACCGGCCGGCGCCGCGACGCGCGTCGCTGACGATTTGGGTGGCAAATTCTCCGATACCACTCTGCATCTTAGTGAGACATCCCGCCATGTAGAGAGACATGCAGGTGGGACTAGGAGCTAGACAGCATGGCCAAGGGGCTGTGGTGCGATGCAGTAGATGCTCCGATTTGAAACGCGTCAGAGCATGCAGGAATCAGCGAGGTGCCACATGCCGAGCTCGGTCATCATCGAGCGGCCGAGGGCCGAGGTTGGCGTGTCGACCCTATTCCGCCTGCCATTGTCCTTCCTACATACTTCTATCTATAACCTGCTCACTCAACTGCATAAGCGCTCAACACCTACTTCGCTTCAGCTTCAGTACAGCTGAGAGCGACCCAGACCGGCACGACTACCTGCCATCGACCGATTCCAGTGGCGATAAGAAGGGATTTGCAGGCCTGCGATTGCGGACCGACTGCCCCAGATCACCTAATTGTGAGTCCTCGAACCCTGCATCATCGTTCGTCATACCCTCCCTGCATCGAAGCATCATCTTCATACCTGTCCCGCTTCACATCGAGTCTGGCCACTTGCCTTCCATTCCACCTCATTCGCATCCGCAATTCTGTCTTACCTATGAGCCAAGGACACCCTTTCCCTCCCCCTCCCTCGTCCTCCACCGCCTCCGCTTCCGCTTTCCCCATTGTTCTTGCTCCGTGTCCCTGATTCAATCAACTCGACTCACTTTATCAGCTCGGTCCCCTTCGCTCAAACACCTTTCCGCCTTCCCTTCCCTCTCGACCATCCATCCATCCATACCAACCACCATGTCCACCTCTCAACTCTCCCCTACGCTTACTGCGACCTCATCCACCTCTCGCGCCAAGACGGATATCGACGGCCTAACCGATCTTGACATTGCGATGGACGGGATGGACGGCGTGAGCATACCTAATATCGACGACCTGTTCAACTTTGACGCGTATGACTCGAACAACGATGTAAGCCAGCGTCTCCAGCCAACTCGCGGGGGATGTAAGCTGACCTTATCCAGGCCCACTCTCAAGCCACCGAATCCCCCAATCGCACTCCATCACCTCATCCCGCCGCTCACAGCCCCCTCGCCGTCCCTTACTCCCCTACCTTTGACTTCAACAACTCTAGCGTCGACTTCTCGTCATTCGATTTTATGAATGAGAAGGACGACTCGTACAATGCTGTCGCAGGCCCATCCTCCTTCCCCAACACCTTCACTCCCATCGTCCAACCTCTACCTGTCCCGCAACCCGCCTTTGTCGTCAAGGAGGAACCGGTCGACCACTGGGCGGATCAACCCATGACGGGCGGTATCTCGGTCCAAGCAACAGCTGTACCAGTCCTGGATGCCTCGTCGGCGGTACCGGCGGTACCGGATTTCAGCGCCCTGCCACTGGATCAGCAGGCCGCACTCCAGCAATTCCTCTTCAATATCATCGCGTTCCAGGCGAAACAACCGGTATACAATGGAGGGATGGGCGGGATGGGGATGGTCCCGCAGTCAGTGGCGATAGTCACTCCTACAACGGTGGAGCCCAGTATGCTCTTCTCGCACGGTGCCCCGGACCCGGCCGGTATGCAGCAAGGCTTTAACCCCACACAGCCCGTCGCCGGTCCAAGCACCGCTTCGACTACAGGCAACACACCCGGCCTTACTGTCGGCGGCAGCTCGTCCTCGGCGACCGCACCCAGCGTTGCCGCTCGTCGCGTCTCGGCAGCTCAAGCCGAAGAGGGGGAGGACGAAGAGGACCTCATCTCTATTGAGCCGCACGAACAGCGCTCTGCTCGCGCCGAGTCGTCCTTCTCCTATGGCGCCGACGAGGTCGACCCCATCTCGCGCCTGGACCGCCTCGCACCCCTGTCCAGCATCTTCTCGGCCGGGAAGGGTAAAGGCGGAAAGAAGGGAGGCGGACTTTCCAGCGTCGTCAGGCAGGAAGACGAGGATATCGACGATGACGACTCGTGGCGGCCCAGTCCGGAAGAGTACAAGAAGTTGTCGAGCAAGGAGAAGCGGCAATTGCGGAACAAGCTGTCTGCTCGGGCCTTCCGAAACAGGCGGAAAGACTATATCGGGACGCTGGAGGGGCATATCAGGGAGAGAGATGGGGTGATTGATGATATGCGGGCGGAGCTGGTGACTTCTCGTTCGGAGAACCACGATTTGAGGTAAGCCTACCGCAGCTCGGATACAGAATACGAGCTGATCTAATCAGGAAAGAGCTTGCTGCGCTCAAAGCGAGCACAATGGGTATCCTCCACCCCGCCTCGGCCGGGACCGCCGAGACACCGGCACCGGCCATCCTTCAATCCTTCTCCCTTTCCCCCAACATCACCCTTCCCGCTACCGCTGGACCCAGCCAGCCAAAGAAGTCGGCTCCCACACCGGTGTTCAACCCCCGCAAAGACATCGGTATCGACAGCAAGACACGTTGGGGTAACGAGAACCTCTTCGGCGGCGGGTCCACCATCTGTCACACTCTCCTCATGCCCGACGTGGCTGCGGGTACTGCCGAGTCCACCCCGTCACAGGCGTCTGCGTCACCCTTCAACCTGCCGCGAGCGAATATCAACCCTCGTATCGCCTCATCGGTCGCTCCGCCCGTACAGGTCAACCTCCAAGCTACGGCGGATGGGACGGACCTCTCGAATGCGTCATTCGCAGACTGGTCCGAGTCCAACGCGTTCTCCATGCGCTCGATGGACAGCTACCGCATGCAAATGTGGGGCCGTCTCGCCCGCGAGGCAGCGTCGGACAAAGCGGGTCTCGCCGGTGCTGTCCGCCCCAAGTTCCTCCTCGAGCCTACCACTCCCTCCCCCGAGGCGGTCTCACCGGCCGATATCCCCCTCCCCAAATCCACCGCCGCCCATCTCGCCGCCGTCTCCGCCGCGCACATCACCTCCAAGCTCGCCGCGTCCTTCTGGGCCGCATTCCAGTCACCCACATCTACGGTCGACACCGACAAGCTCACGGCGGTCGTCACTGGCAAAGCGCGTCTGCGGATCGTGGTCAATGAGGAGAGCGAAAAGAAGCAGCAGCAAGCGCAGGATGAGATGATTGCTGCGCTTGGGGGACTCAAGTTGCAGGCTGGCAAAGAGGCGGGGTGGCGGGAGGTGCCGTCTGCGGTAGGGGCGAGGGAGGACCCATTGAGAGCGCTAGGGGGGATGTTAGGTGTGTGCAGAGGTATGGGCATGGGGATTCCGACCAGGGTCTGATAGGAGGAGATACCCCATAGACTGTTCGCGAGGCTGGTCCAGGTTTCTTTGGCGCGGAGTTACACCCCCCTCAGGTTTTAATTATGTTTGTACCATAGGAGAAGTAGTATATGTTTACAAGATGATGTTATTGTATGGTCATGCCCTTCAGTATGACCAGGAGATCCAGTGCAAGTGCCCGTAGGTCAGTTGTCTGGTGTCGTGGGAGCGTTGCCTGACAGTCTTTCACGTTGTTGTGAGAAGATCTGACACTGACCCAACCCGATGGCAGTGAGTGGCGCAGAAGATCTCTGGGCTCTGCGGGACCTCAGGCTCTTGGCAACACGCACCATCCCCTTCCAGCTCCTTTCCAGCCACCCCAGAAACAGCGCAGCGACTGCGACACCTCATTCCTCCGGTGCCTGACGATGAATATGCCGTCATCGCACCGCTTTCCGGGAATGAGCTTTTTTTTGGGGTGGTCTCGTTGCGCAGTAGCAGCAAGCATAACAATGGTCGCCGATACACAGGCTCGATGATGCTGTGTGTCCAGAGCTACCTCTCGCAGCTTGTGCAAAAGCATATAAGCTCGCTCTGAACAGCCGAAGAAACTAAAACCTTCAATAGCGTTTCCTGTAATTTGCCACCTCGAGGAGTCCCCCCCTTCCCCACCCTTACGCTGCCGTCCTCCCATTTACGATGCTGAATTGTGGTGGCTTCGTCGGAGCATTCCTCCTCTGCTGTGCCTGCGCGCTGCTGATCGTCGCCTCTAGTAAGTCTCCCCGCCCTTCTTCAGCTGATCATAGTCTCTTCCCCTGTCTACCGGCAAATCTCCTTCTTGGACGTCTACATATCCGGACAACACCTCACCTTCGGAGTCTTCGGCTACTGCGTGGATAGCGGCTGCTCCGCTCGTCAAATAGGGTACGAGCTACCAGCGATTGCGTCCTACCTTGGCATCTCGGCATCGTCGAATAGTACCGTCAGTACCGTTCTGAACTTGACGAAAGCTCTCGTCCTGCATCCTGTAGCAGCTGGTAAGTCATTCCAGCTCGCCTCGGGGCTTTACTGACCACTAGGACTTGCCTTCCTCGCTTTCATAGTCGCCCTCTTGTCGGACCACCTCGGCTACCTCCTGTCCTCCTTCATCGCCTTGCTCGCTTTCGTCGCCTCGGCCGTAGCCCTCGGCTTTGACTTTGCCCTCTTCACCGTCGCCAAGAATGAGCTGTACAAGAATAGTTCCAGTCTAGGAGGAGACGTGTCGGCCAGCTATGGCACGGCGATCTGGCTCACTCTGGCGGCGACGGTGTTGTTGTTCTTGTCAACTTTCGCAGTGTGTTTCGGCTGTTGTGCTCATAGGCGGAGTAGTAGATACTAGACATTGCATGAAGATTGTAGAAGTAAACGATGAATAGAAGAATAGACATGTATGATACTCAGTTAGACCCCCGGTCAGGCTCCCTCTCAAACCAGGCCTGGGTCTTGATGACAGAGGGAGATTGAAGGTTTGCGGATGTCTCGGGCATCAGGCCTCGACAACTCGAGTCAGATATCCGCGGCCAAGGATATCAACGTTCAGAAACAAAGGTTGATCTGCTCATCGACGTCGATCACGGGCTGTGAAGCTGTTGGGGGGCGAGGAGATAGGCTCGCTCGCTGTAACATGTTTCTCTAGATTGCAGGGAGGTCCAGATGAATGGAGTCAGGGTGGGACGTAGCTTACGCTCGACCCCAACGTTTACTCGCGCGTCCTTACCTTATCTTTCGATACCTTTCAACCAAGACAGCTCCCATCAGATATACTACTGATATACAATCAGCGATCCATCGACCTCTCTTGCCGCAACGATGACCAGGTACAGTGAAGTCAAGGACAGAACAGCCACCATCGGCGGCAACCTGTATCCCATCACCTCTTTCGATGCCGAGCGCATAACGGGACTGACGGAATTCGTGATCGGTTCCAGGAGTGACGAGACGATGAAGGCGCTGAACTAGGACGCGCGCTTCAAGCTCAAGTATCTCCGAGACGCCATCAGAAGGGGTGAGAGCAATGTCACCCTGCCTGACGGGCCACAGGCCAGAAAACCCAGTCAGCGTGTGCGGGTGGCTAGCGGAGGCGGGGCTGGTGCTGATTCAGAGAGCGTGAAAGACACCAGCCAGAGTACGGCAGTCGCGGACTCCAACCCAGATATCAGGTCCACTTAGTCTACTACCGTAGTCGGCGATACGCGGCGATCGATACCGGCCGTGGGCATCTCGATATTCGGGGCTGGAAGATGATGGACCTGTCCCTGAATATACTATCATGAATGACTGCTTACAGTCGACCGCATAGGCTAGGCCGAGCAGATACAGGCACAGAGTCAGGAGTCCTGTCAACATGATGACAATCAAGATCGAAGCGACTGACAGCTGCACTGTATGTGGCAGCCCCGCGGGTGGCAAATATGATTGCCCGGCGCCCGCGCCGCACTTGGGAGCACCTGCAGGGAGGCTGCCCTTCGTACTGATGCAAACGTGGCCAACTAAGGGGTAATTAGAGAAAGGAGTTCGTTCAGATGGTGAGTTGTGGGGCTACGCGATCTGAACAAAGGGCTCAAAGGTGCAGACGTCGCTCAGGATCGCCGATCTTCAAGTTAACAAGCCCCCTCTTGACATATACACCCTCAGCCCTCTTTCGATCTTCTCCCTAGGCCCTCCCTGATACCGCCCATCTTCTGTTCCCAGGACTTCCCACGGCCTTCATACGAGTCTCACACAGCCTGAAACCAGTACATGTCATCAAGCGATACTCTTCTCCCCGTCATCGAAGTCAAAACCTCTTGCCGAGGCGGTGCAGGTGGCGAAAAGAGCACGGAACTCAGCTGGCGGGTGCGAGATGGAGCAAGCGCAAACTCTGATCCAGACACATGGCAGACGTTGATGGTATCTGGACCGATAGGCGACTACGCCATGAAGTTATATGCACGTTACAAGACCGCGGAGGAGGGGCTGGGTGGCGATATCAGTTCGCGCAGCAAGTTGGTCACGTATCTCGAAGAACTCAAGTCGGAGGACATGCGGTCCAGATTGGGCGATTCTTTCACTCAGCGGAAAGGAAGAAGACAGTTCGATGCTTATATCGCGACTGTGGCATGGGAGAGACAAGGCGACGACGGTGGGAGTACTAAGCACGCATCATGAGACGAGTCAAAGGCGTCGGGATGGTACTGGTCCACTTTCCATGGTCGGTAGCTCAAGTCGCAGATCGACGGGATCTTATCCCTCCTTCAGGCACGAGTACCACCATGTAGCTTGGTGAAGAAGGGAATTCAATGATTTTCATGGCGCACTTGTAATATATCTGCTGACTTCGGATGTGCTGCCTCCCGGCCTGAGCCTGAGAATGTACGATGTACGTGAATAGAGGAGTGAGTGGCGCAATCTGCATCTTACATCACACACGTAGCAACTGTGCGTAATGAAGGGGAGGGAAGAACGGGGCTGTGTAACAGTGCAAGGGGAGGAAGCGAAAGGAGAGCTGCCATTTGGCGTTTCGTCGAGGTGAGGCTGTGTTGCGGCGCCATTGATATAAGCTGGCCAAGAGTCGACTTCATCGCACTCACCCCCCGCACATAGATTTGCAGCGACCACGCGAGCAGCACCGACATCCCATTCGTCATCTCATTCATCAGTACCACATACACTCGCCCTGCATGGACAATCTCACCTCCGAAGCAAACACAGTCCCCCCAACCAGCTCCATTTCCCCCTCCTCCATACCCCCTACCTCCTATGCTCTGTCGAGAGATGTCTTCGAGGTCGACGGCGCAGAGCGATACGTCTACTTCCTTCGCGCCGCAAAAATGAGCGACACTGGCCGACGCCGTATCGAGTCGACTGGGCCCAAGATCCCCATCACCGTTGACTCCACAAACATCATCACTCTCTGGGCGGCTGTGGCAGAGGAGAATGCTGGCAACCGAGACATCGCGAGTATCGCCAGAGCCGAGTTGTCAAGTGCGATCGAGCGCTCTCTGATCCCGCCCCGAATCGTATCCTCAGTCGAATGAGGCCCCTTGGAGGAATATGAGTGAGAGAAGGATGTATTTCGTTTATTGGTTAGCACTATCAGTCGGTGTGAATATATACTTGAGCTATCATTTTGAATGAGAATGTTGGCGGTGAGCTTTGGTCAGATGCCATACACCATCTTGATGAGTAGCAAGGTCAGCTCTTCCATAAGGACACATGTTGGCTAGCACAGGGCTTCTGCTAAGACTATCCCGGCAAGAGGATATCGCATTGACTGCCGCCGGGCCATTTATGGCCGAGTCGACGGAAATGGGCTAGTCTTTGCCAAGACCACCATCTGCTTCTCGTGCGATATATAGCCCTTCATGAACCCCTATTCTGTCAGCCATAATCCTCCTCCAAATCATGATCGTAGGGAAGCCACCCACCCGAGAGATCATGTTCGCGACCATACACTCCACTTCATCCGCGTCGACCTCGACACCATGTAATTCCAGAGCTGTCCGGAAGGTCGACAGCGGTATTCTCGATGACTTGTCGCTTGCAATCCACCTAGACGCGTCAGCTTTGGACATCGACTCTTCAGATGCTCCGAGTACCACAACTCACGCTTTCCTGAACAACACCCTCAGACACCCCTCCCGCGCCCTCTCCACAGTCAAGTAAGTGCTCATACCTACCAACCTCGGCTGGGCCCATTCCAGCCGCTCATCGTACGCCCTGACATTGCCCGACCGGGTCGCAGCGATGAAGGGTGAGTAGGTTTCGTGTAATCGAGGGAAGTGGGCGAGGAGGGTAGGATGTGGGAATTGGGCAGCGAGGAGGCGGAGGGGGATGAGATAGGTGAGGATGAGCCTGGAGGTTAGCTTTGCCAATGACGGGCTGGAGTGGCTTACTCGATATTTCGCGCTGGTTCTGCTGGACAGTGCTCCAGAGCCCAGCCGAGTTCTTCGCTAGCCTATGAATTCTTAGCAAAATGTAGCTCGCTACCCCACTTGAAATGCTCACCTTTGTATCGTCCCCGCTCAAAAAGGCCAGCATCCCAATATAGAAATGCCATGTCACCTGTTACGCGTGAGCTGCCATACACGCGCGTGTGGTAGATGTAGCTCACCTGATCCGGTAATGGTGCATCGTGTATTGGAGGAGTCTTCGGATCCGAGGTCACCGCTCTGATGATGTTCTTGCAAAGATTTGGCTTGCCGACCTAGCGTGTGAGCTTGGTCGATGTGTCAACGAAGGATTCGAATGTTCCAACTCACCTTGAAGTAGCACTTCAGACTCAAGCAGGCAACGTGATATATGCCGACTCGCCGGGATTCTGATCCTTTGAACGTTCTGAGTATCAGCAAGACATCTCTCCTTTGCGGGGAAACTGGCTCACCTATCCGTTGCGCACATTGAGAACGCCTTGCTGACTGTACGCGTACATTCCTCCAGGGCCGGCATCTTGCCAGTCGCAGCGAAAGTGCCCTGATCGGCCTGTATGGATCAGCTGGCCCGCGCGGTTCACCTATATGCGCGCTCTCCAGCTGACGCACCTGCTCAGCTAAGTCCCTAAGGTCTCCTAGAAGAAGATAGAGCACTGGGAGGCACCATGCGGACTGATCAGGCAGCCATCGATAGAAGAGCGAGAGCACCTGAGACTGGTGGGTGTATCTGCGGACATTAGCGTCCGTCCATTGCCGGCTAGGCTGAACAGACACAGGTCTGGACTGACGCTTCTTGATAGCTGTTTCTGTACAGCGCGGCCACACAAGCGCAGTGTCGGAGCGCTATCCCGTCCCACGGTTCTGGCAGATTATGTGGTGGGTTCGCCAGTCTTCTCTCCTGCGGGGCATCAGCTTCGTTCTGCGTCTCATTGAGACTCAGTACTGCAACTGACATCGATGGGTCCAACAGAATCTGACAAGCCCCGAGCTGTCTTGTTTCGGAGCGCAAGGAGTCGTAGGAGCGCGTAGGAATCTTCCGCCGCGAGCGGTGCATAAAAGCTCTGGATGTACTGCTGCAGCTTCATGGTATATCGAGTCGTTCTCAGCGGAGTCTCTGATAGCTATCTAGTCGATGTATAGGACGAAAGGTATAGCTGAGGCGCCAAATTGGCTCAAAGTCGGTGAAGAATGCGCACGGATGAGCCAAAACTCCCCCGGAACCGGCGGCGATGTCCGATGAGTCGAGCAGTTTTCGGATCCGACCTTTTATTGCGTCACTCCAGTCGATGAGAGAAGGGAGAGGAGGAAATTCTGCCTCGATAAGTCGCTCGTACCTATATCATCTCTTACACATATATACAGACCTTACAGCCCCCCAGGAGTAGCAGCTACATCGGATCAGATTCGAAAGTACCGACAAAAACCACCTCAACAGTCAAAAAGCCTCACAAGAATCAAGCCAAAGGAACAAAATGGCGACCCGTATGTCTACCCCTTGCCCTCGGTCAAGATATCTCGCTGATCATCTAGGTACCCAATTCGAGAACTCGGCCGATATCGGTGTTTTTGCGAAGCTCACCAACGCGTATGTTGTGATCTGAGAGGGATTAGTGACGTCAAGGGCAGGGCAATGAACTGACAAGCTCAGATACTGCTTGACTGCGGTCGCTTCCTCATCCAACTTCTACTCGGTGTTCGAGGCGGAACTGGCGGATGTCATCCCTGTCATACATACCACTATTGCTGGGACCAGAATAGTGGGGAGACTCTGTGCTGGTGAGTATGGTCAGAGAACAATGGAGGGTACAGTGAGGAGATGAGATGCAGGGAATGAGATGGCAATGATCTTGCGGGAGCCGGGGCGTACTAGCGGAACGAGGGGCTGGCGGCGATACAATGACCTATGCTGATCTTCAGGAAACCGCCACGGTCTCCTTGTCCCCTCCACCACCACCGACCAAGAGTTGCAGCACCTCCGTAACTCGCTCCCTCCCGCGGTTGCCATCCAGCGGGTCGAAGAACGTCTTTCCGCTCTCGGAAATGTTATCGCCTGCAACGACTATGTCGCGCTCGTCCACCCGGACATTGACCGAGAGACCGAGGAGATTATCGCCGACACGCTCAAGGTGGAGGTATTTAGGCAGACGGTAGCTGGGAATGTGTTGGTGGGGAGTTACTGTGCTCTGACCAACCAGGTAGGTTTGCGATTTAGTCCTAGAAGAGTATGAAAGCGCGAGACGGAGCTCAGGGGAGACGCCTAAGGCTACGGGTCAAGAGGAAGGGGAACAGGCGGAATTGGTGGATCGTTAAGGCGAATCGCCCTGGCTGATTCGCTTCGACCCCAGGGGAAATAATCGCTAATAGATCAGGGCGGTCTCGTTCACCCCAAGACTCCCCGGGCAGAGCTCGACGAACTTTCCTCCCTTCTCCAGATCCCCCTTGTCGCCGGGACCGTCAACCGAGGTTCCGACGTTATTGGTGCTGGTCTTGTCGTCAACGACTGGTGTGCCTTTGCCGGCTTGGACACGACCGCTACCGAGATCAGTGTGGTTGAGGCTACCTTCCGTGAGTCTATCTGATTCGAGTAGCAGGCACAGAGCTGATTCCCTAGGTCTGCAGGGTCAGACGAGCGCGGCTGTGATCAACGAAATGAGGGATTCGCTTATCGACAACTATGCATAGAAACCGGCGGGGAAAGCTGGGAATAGATAGGGAGCTTGTAGCGCGGCTTGAAGTGCACAAGGCGATCAAATATACCCATGCAGAGGGTAGACTATCTACACCGCCTCTAGTACTTTATATGCGACACCATGCGGATTAAGATCGGCGGTGCCGAGGCGGTGTTGTTTTCGCACCTCTCGCGGAGAAGGTCCATTTTCGGTCTTCCGACTTGACATCTGTGTATATCTTCACCTTCATCTTATATTCCTCTTCTATCGAGGCTACAGGGAGACTTGCTCGCACGCAGCCGCTATATCGAGCTGCACAGCGCATATCTCGCCCGCGTGCGCGCAAATCTAAAAGCTTAACCCATTGTCATACCTGTCTGAGATGGTGTCGCGCAATTCGACAGGTCCCAGCCCTAGCGCCAATCCCGCTCGGCGCAGCTTTATCGACAATCTCACCTCTCTACCCCAACGCCAATTCGCAGGCGATACCGATATGGCGCTTCTCAATCCCGCCATCCAGTCCCCCGCCCACGGCGCCGACCTGGCGCGCCCCCTCACCCCTCCAAACACACACGGCTCGTCCCAGTTCGACTCGCCCGAATTGACCGCGCCCCCTCAGCGTGTCTCCTACTCGCCTCCATTACTCCACCCCTCCTTGCCCTACGCGAGCAATAATAGCGGACGGAGTGACCGACCGAACTCCAACTTTTCTTCACGGCGCTCGTCGTTCGCGTCGGATCGACCGGGGAAGGGCGACCTCAAAGCGCGACCCATCAGCTTGTCGGTCAACTATGTGCCGGCCAAGTTTACGCGGATGCACAATCAGGGCGAAGGGGGCAGTATCACCATGCGGAAGCGGAGGAAGCAGGGTGGAGGGAGGGAAGCGTTCGCGGATGATGCCGGAAGGATGGGGCAGATGGGGATGGTGGATGACGATGAGGGGGTGGAGTATAAGATGGCGAGGGGTGGAGTGAGGCGGAAGGGAGGGAAGAGAAAGGGGCTGAGATGGAATCGCTTCAAGGCACTCTTGTTTGCTGCCAACACAGTCGTGGGTTGTTCTTCGAGGTGGGGATGGGCGCATGCTGACGAGCAGATCATGCTGTATGGGCTGGCCACTCTGGTCGCTGCTATCCTCGTCTGGCTCAACGTCTTCTCCTATGCCGATGTCATCCGAGTAGGGAACAAGGAAGAGCTCATCGGTAAGCTGTTTGGTACAGGGAGAACTGTCCTTCATGAACCTGACAATACAGTCTCCACCGTCGCAGCCGCTCTCTGCACCCTCACCGCCGTGTTCGGCTACTCTGGCATCATCCTCAATAACCGCGCTTTCCTCGCTGTCTACACCCTGCTTCTATGGATCGACCTGGGCTTCATCGCCGCCCCAGGATACATGACCTACAAACAGCGAACCTTCAACCTCGAAGGCAAGCTGAACCAGCAATGGAGTCGATACCTAGGCACCGAAGGGAGACTACGGATCCAAGACGCCGTAAGTCCTATCATCCCCCTCATAGTCAAGATTGCGCTGATCATCAGCTCGTCTGCTGTGGCTACTTTTCCCCTTTTATCGAAGCGACCCAATCCCCGCTCTGCTACTCCCGCTCCAACCTCCCCGGTTGCAAGGCCCGCTATCTCCGGCTGGAACGTACCGTCCTCGGCGTATGGTACGCCGTTGCCTTCGGAATGGTCGGCGCACACATTATCATCATCGTCGCGGCGCTGCTGTGCTCGAACCACGTGACGTATCGCTTCGGAAAGGGGTTGACGCCGAAGCGGTACAGGCTGGATCTGAGGAGTATGGGAGTGATCCTGGATGATTACGCCAAGTGAGCTAATCTTATCGTTGGGATATGGGAAACGAACTGATGGGTCTAGCCAAATCGCAGCTCAGTATGGCGACAATGTAGCCCAAGAGGCACTCACCCGATCTGTCTCGCGCGGCTCCGGTTCGCATACCCCTCTAGCCGGAGACAACATGGACTTTGGCGCTTCCCGGCGCGGCTCGTTTGCGCACCATACGGGCATCTCGCCCTCCATGTCCAGGCAAGGATCGGCCGATAATGCTTTTCGGACAAGCACGACCGGCTACAATTCGCAAGCGCAGGCTGGGGGCTATGGGGATTCGAGTGGTCATTATGGCGGGTACGGCGGGCAGAGCGGTCCCGGGGCAGGACAGCCCGGGGTCAGGCTCGTCAGTCAGCAATATGGTCGTGGGGCGGAGCCGAGCCTCTCTAATAGGGGCCAAGCGGCGGGCGGACAAGGAGGGGGCGGAGGTGGTGGGGAGTGGTATGAAGATGCAGTGGAGGATGGGGATGGGGATCCATTAGGCCGTATGGAGGTGTCGACGGGGTATGGGAGTGATGTGGGCGCTTCAGGGGGTGCAGCGGGGATGGAGGGAGGTGGGGCGCGGAGGCAAAGGGATAGTAGGGCCAGCGTGGGGTGGGCGCAATAGGCCGGGGAGATTAACGAAGAACACGATAGATATGGACATTGACGACCGGACGAACTTTCCTCGCGTACGATGGGGAGACCATCGGCGGCGCGGCCTTGGCCTTAACGCTTACTTCTGGGTGAGTACACGTGGTCCTCATTCCTCAGGTGGAGGTTGTCCGCTTTCGTCTTCGCATCCTTTGGCGTCCCTCCTTTGCTTACCAGTCATGCCCGAGCATAACAAATAGATACAGTAAGTCTCGTACTGACTCCTTCTCATTCCCACTCATACTCCCAAACCACTTCATCCAGGCCCTGTCACACATTCGACATACACACTCCCTGACCATGCCGAATCTGACCTCCCTTGACGCATTGACCGTCAACACCCCGCTTCCTCTTCTCGGTCCTCATCTACCTGCCTTTGTCCTATCGGTAGCTGCTTGCTATGCCATACAATACGCCACATACGCCTTCGGGCCGAGTCTGGTCGGTGCCGGAAAATGGGCACAGCTCGACCGGCGTACAAGGACGGAAAGCCTCACTCGGACCGTCTGTGAGTACGCTCGGAGACGAATATCCTCTGCAATACTGTGTAGCTTATCAGCTAGCGACTGTCCACGCCGTCATCGCTATCCCCTGCGCAATATATGCGCTGAGCTCCAAGACACTCCAGGCAGATCCTGTATTTGGGTATGATCGTGATGTAGGTCATATCCTGGCGATATCGGCCGGGTACGTCATTTCTTTCCACCTACCCGTCTGTGTCCCTCCGGCATCGTATCATAGTCGTGTAGTCTTGTCTGCTTGATATAAAGTGCTGACCCGTCTAGATACTTCCTGTGGGACACGATCGATTCGTGCCTCAACTCTTCAGCCGGATTCGTGCTCCACGGGGCGGCCTGCTTGGTGGTCTATCTCTGCGCGTTCGTGAGTGCTATCTCCACAATGACGTCACCCTCAGAGCCTTGGCCTATCTGAGCATAGGAGCTGACGTCCAGCGCCCATTCTTGGCGGGATACGGAGCGCCGTTTCTCCTATGGGAACTGTCCACACCGATTCTGAACCTGTACTGGTTCATGGTGAGTCCAGCACCCTCATTGGCTTATTGGCTTGGGGACAGGTACAGAGTAGTATGCGTCTGACCACGTTAGGATAAGCTAGGCACTGGTCGTCTACATCCCGAGGTGATCAATATCACCGGTGCCATTTTCGCTTTCACCTTCTTTGGCGCCCGGATTTGCTATGGCGGATACACTGTACGTCGCCATCCTCATACCACACAGCACAAGTCCGCCTGGCGCATACATACTGATACTTGTAGAGCTTGTCGGTCTTCCGCGATCTATGGCTTGAGCGCGATCAGCTCAACTCGTTCCTGACTCGTAAGCCTGACTGATCTTCTCGGCTGCGCAATATGGGTTGTATGCTGATGTGACATGTAGTCAATATCTGCGCCGGGTGTCTAGCTCTCAACGGCTTGAACTGGATGTGGTTTATCAAGATCTGCCGCAAGTTTCTCGGTGTCAGGTCCAGGTCGACTAAGGCTGAAGGAAAGAAGCCTTAAGGCAGAGTAGCCCGACGCGAGGACCGGAGGTGGAGTGGCCCGGCTAGCCTGCGGACTGCGAGGAACCCAGCGTCAGCGGGGTGCACAGCGAGTCAAGTGCTCGGCATCTATATCATATGTATACAACGTGCTGCTATGAGCTTCCTTGTGTCTATGTAGTATATACAACGCTTCGATCCCGACCCCTCCTGCCGCTTACTCAGATTGCGAGCCATTTCGACCTTTCCTGCACTAGTCGCATAGACCCATTCGTCCCGTACAGCAGCATCAAATTGTGTGCCGCTTCGAGCGCCAAGGACGAAGTCCGAATAGTCTGAATGGTCAGCTTCAATCGCATACGCCAAGCTGACCTCAAAGTTGAGAGGTTACAATGACTCACATCTCTATCCTCGATCTCGTCAAATTCCGCCATTCGCGCCTCGACCGACGCCAACACCTTTTCATAATGCTTCACCGCCAAGTGCAATACGCCAATACTGTGGAATGCTCGGCCAAAGTTATACTCGACCTCTTCGGCCGCGACCGGATCGTCCATGTTGGAGAGCTTTCGATACCGCGCCAAGAATGCCATTCCCTAAGGTGGTCAGCTCTGCCCACGCCATAAGGCACTCGGAAGCTCACCTGTCCGATGAAGTAGTTCCGATTATCGGCCTGCCGATTCATCGCTCGACCAAAAGTGGCCTGGGCGAGGTTGAAGCAGAGGAGGGGATTGTACTGGTCGTACTCGTACGCCCGCATCAAGTAAACTAGAGGGTCAGCTATCACTCTCATCGGAAACAAGCGCGTAACTCACACAGAGCAGACTGATAACTCTTACTCGTCAACATCCAAGTTCCGTGGAGCCAGTTCCACACTGGCGACCCCTTCGTCGGACGGACAGGTACCTCGCTCAACGCCGGATCGAGAGGAGCAAAGATTGGGGTCTCTTCCCTTTCCGGCTCCACGTCCTCGTCCTCATCCTCCATCGCTACCGTCGGCTTTTCGATAGCGATCCGCGTACCTCTCCGCCACGCTACCGCCTTCTTGCCCTTCCGCGGCCGCTCGCCTTCCTCCGGATCTTCCTCCTCTTCGTCGTCATCCTCGTCCACCGGCACCTCATCTCCCAGCCGATCCGACAGTCCAAGCTTGACTTCATGCGCCCACCGTCGGGCCGAGACTGAGTAGTGGAACTTTTGCCCTTTGACCGAGTAGTCGTATAGTCGTAATTCGCGATGGATGAACTTCTGGAGGGCATGGCTCTGCCAAGCGGCATGTGCATTGACACCGCCGCCGCCCATGCAGCCCAGCATGAGCAGGAAGGGTTCCGCTCGGAATTGATGGGACTGAGCGAGACGCTTGCAGTGATCGGTGATGACAGCCCAGGATTTCGTACGCATGGCGCAGGCTGCTTGTCAGCTAGAGCCACCGAGCGAGAGCTGAGACAACTCACCAACGATGGTCAACCTCAGCGCAGTTTCCGCTCGCCGATTATTGAACAGACCCGCCCACATGACATGCTCGAGTATCTCCATCGCCAGCTCGTCCTCATTTTTTACCATCAGAACGCAGCAGTACTGTCCTCGTCAGCTGGCGGGTCCGTATATGGTGACCCTCATAGCTCACCTTGACGACCAAGGTAAGCCAATCTTCGTTCCCAAGGCCGTAAAACTCTGTCTGCCGGACGACCTTGTATTTCTCGCCATCATCGCCGAGTTCCTCTTCTTCCTCGCGAGGGGCGTCGTCGTCGACTGTCCGTCAGCAGCTGATCTCCTGCGCTAAGACAGTTGCGACTCACAGCCCAATGTCCGCTCCAAGCGATCTTGCATTTCTGCGGCCTTGGAAGCGAGATCTTGCCGCGTAGACTTTCGCTTCGAAACTCGGTAGACACCCTATGGTATATCAGCTTCGCGCCCTAGCAGACAAGGACCACATTAGTCTAGCGCACTCTGTTCTTGCCAAAGTTGCTCTTGGCCAGCCGGAAATTCTCAATCATCGTCCCCGCGGCATACATGAACCGATCCAGCGCCCCCGGTTCCCCTTCCTCCAGCGCCGCCTCCGCTTGCTGGATATCATCCCAGAACGCGTGCATCTGCTCGCGCATCTGTTCCTCCAGAACCTTCTTGTTGAGCTTCTGGCTCGCCTGCTTGTCCGCCTTGGTCTGACGGGGCCGGTCGATATTGGGGCCTCGACCTCGCCATCCGGCCGCTTCTTGCGCTCGGATGCGGAGGACATCCGAAACGATTTCGAGGGCTTCTTCTTTCCGGCCGATATCTTCGAGGACGTTGGCGAGTTTGAGCCGGGCATCGAGGTTGGAGGGTTGTTGCTCCGTGACTGACTAGTCAGTACAGTGTCTCAGGTGAAGAGATAGGCTTACCCCATTGCAGAGCCTCCAGCGCCGGAGCACTGTTCTTCATATGATAGTGACACAGACCGATAGCCAATATTGTGTCGGGTGTGTCATCGATCTGCAGCATGAGCGATGTCTGACTACGGAGACTGAGATCACTCACATCATCGCTCTCCTGAATTTTACCAAAGCACTCCAGTGCCGTTTCCCACTGCTCTCGAACCATCAGGGCGTTCCCGAGCTCGATGAACATATCCTTGTACGCCTCGACGTCAAGATGAAGCAGCTCCTCCACGTGCAGCTGTCATGTCAGCTGCGTCCCATCATGCGCCCAGCAGAGCAGCTCACCTTTGCCTCGTTATCATTGCCTAGCTTGAGCCGGATGACTGCCAGCCGATGCCTCAGACTGATATCCAGCGGGAAACTGATCTGCTCCTCATCCGGCAACTGGTCCTTCTCTTCCTCTCTGACGACTCCCTGCGCATCATACTCCCTGTCATCCTCGAGGAAGTCCCACTGCTTCTGATGGCCCCTGCCCTGCAACCACCGCTGTCCCCTTCTGATCGTTACGACCGCATCCTCCAGGTCGTCCAGCTCCAGCAGGAGGTCTGTGAGATTGAGAATGCTCTCCAAGGTCATGCTGCTAGATTCCGACGAGGACGTGTCGTCCGGACCGGTGAAGGTTTGTATATGCCAGTCGAAAGCGGTACGGAGGATGTCGGCACCAAAGCGGGTCTGCTTGGTCTCGATGATGGCTGGCTGAAGGTCCGCGAGGAAGGCGAAGTCGTGTGCGGTGTCGGAATCATATCGCAGGATCTTCTTGTACGCGTCCAGAGCCTAGACCGTCAGTTCCATCTCTCTTGGTGATGTGAGATCGACTCACTCGGCTCATCTTGCCTATAGCTTTGTACTGCGCTGAAATTTCCCATAACGCCATGATATCTTGCGGGTCCTTAACTAGCGCCTTACGCAGACAGTACAGGCACTCCTCAGACTTCCCAGCGCCCCTAGTCATGAGCGCGTTTCTCTACAGCGCGTTTCTGAGGTACTCACTTGTACGACATGGCCAGATCTCTCCAACCCTCTGCATCCCCCTCAATATGCAAGCCGCAGAACTTCATCTGACGAGCCGCGTCCGCATTCCCTTCTTCCTCATAGAGCGTACCCAGCGAGCTCCAGGCGCCGTAGATGTAGGGGTCGAGCCGGATGACTTCGAGAAACCCATCAATGGCTTGTTGGCAATTGCCTGAAATGTAGTCGAGGTTGGACTTGGCGAGAAGCTGGGTCACTTCATGCGTAGGCTTGTGCTGTGCGCGGGCCTAAGGGATCAGCTCAGCTGCACCATGTGGGAGAAACAGGACGGATAGCTGACTCTGCGTGGGCGCCGCGCCTTCTTTGTCGACTCGAAACCCTCCTCGGCTTCTTCCTCTGGGTGAAGGACACCTCCATTGGGTATGACCGACCCTCCGCGGGGGACACGACCGACATATCCTACGAGACGGCTACACTATCAGCTCTCAGCCTCCCTCGTAGCCCATCATCCACTTACTCAAACACATCGTCCTCATCCTCTGGCCAAGCCCTATCCTTCCCCTTCCCCTTCTTCGCCTTCGCCTTACCCCTCCGCCTCGCCGGCATCCTCTCTTCATCATCGACCGGATGCTTCCTCGGTCTCCCCGGGCCCCGCTTGCCCGATGCCCGCTTGAGCGGCGCGTCCAGGTCCTCTTCCTCCTCGTACGCGCTCTCGGACCCCGAGCTCAGGTCACTAGCCTCTTCTGGGACCTCATCGTCCTTGTACACCTCCTCTTCGTCCGCCTCGGCCTGTGCGGCTTGATTGGCGTTATCGAGAGATAATAGCTCGGGGTCAATCGGCAGCTCTGAGGTGTCTAGGTAGGACATGGTGGTGGTCTGGGGCTATCTCATCATATGTAGGGTTGCGAAAGGGGCTCTTCGCGAAATCCGACTTTATTGTCACGGTCCACTTCCGTCGGAAGGGGGGTTGAAGGTGATGGATGGGTTTGCTGCTGCACGCTGCTGGCCTTGGATGGAGCAGAGTGACAAGCACAGACAGGTGCGCGGCTCATATGAGCTTTAAGCTGTAGCATACAGCTAAATATACATATATTTGCATCTCATCTTAGCCACATACCCGCATAAATCACCCTATATACCTGTATAGACACGTGCATTACTTGCCGCCTTGGTCCCTCTCCAGCATCCCTGCACATACCAGTCCACCACTTGATTTCACTCGAAGAGGATCATCGGGATCCCCTGCATCGGTCGCTGGTACGTCTTGAATAGGTCCCGAGCATCGCGATAGTGTCGGTCGGACGCGTCGACCTGCGCTTGGTAGAGAGCTTGAAGGGCGGTCTGCTTGAGGTCGATTTCGGCGCCTCGGGCGGTAGTCGCTTGGTACATCTCGGCACTGTATCGTCAGAAGTCGTCCGAGCGAGCGTGAGTAGGGATCAGCGGTGAAGGGGAATAGGGTGGACCTACTGGTCGATACCGAATCCATTGACCAGCTTGACTGCCGCCTTGGCGATATGACGCTCGACGGCCTTGATGATCTTGTCCGGCATGGCGAGTCTCTTCTGGAGGCGCTGCTTGACGGCCTGATGTATCAGCATGGTATGGCGGGCATAAGCGAAAGATACCATACCTCCGTCATATCGTCGAGGATCCGGGTCATCAGCTTTGTTCTTCTGGACAAGCAGCTGCAGTGCGGTGGACTCACGGCCAAGACCCCTTCAACACCGTCTGATGCGTGACCTCCCTTCTGCTTCCTGCTCACTGACTTCCAACCTATCTTTCCCTCCCTTTCCGGCTCGTTGATAGACACCTTACGTTTCTTGAGCGGCATCACCTCCTCCTGGGCCACCTCCGCATCACCGGCAGCCTCAATCTCGGCCGGTCGTTTGCGATGCGATGCTGGGGGAGTCGCTTGTCCGGCCGCTCGTTGGGCCTGAGGTGGATCGATGGGTCGGTTCCGGACCTCGGCACTGACCCGCTGTTCGTCATGCAGGTTGATGTTATCGTTCTTTCGTCGCTTCTGAGGTGATTGGTTGGGATTGACGCTGGGAATGTCGCCGGCGTCTCGCTTGGCTGCAGCCTCCGACGTCTCCGCAACCGGCTCTTTCGGAAGCCCAGCACCGACCGACACCGACGGACCGCTCTCGACCGGTTTCTTGCTGTTCGATGCGTCCAGGAAGGCCCGGTCGTCCGTATCTTGAGGTTCGACCGGGTCCGAGAAGGTGACCGACCGAGGAGCAAATGCGGCATTTTTGATCCGACGGATACGCTCGACCGGCTGCTTAGGATCTACGCTTGCGGCGACAGGGCTGGCGGTGTCTTGAGGAGCGGCAGAGTCGGCAGGAGGAATAGGCTGTCGCAGAGCGGATTTGACGGGCGAGGGTCGACGGGCGGGGGACGGAGCATCGTCGATAGGAAGAACAGGCTGGTCGATCTGATCATCCTCCTGCTGTATCAGCTGCACCCAGAGGTCTCGGCGTTGAGTACTCACCACACCCTCCTGCATGACTTCGTCCTCCTCTACCGCCTCCGGTGGTACCGCTTTCCCGCCGTCCTCGACCGGCACTGACTCTACGCCCGCCCTCTTCTTGGCACCTCTCCCTCCAGCCCGCTCAGCCGGAGCTCTCCCTTTCTTGGTCACTGGGGGTTCTGGCTCCTCCGCGTTCATCTCGACATCTGGAGCATCCGCTACGACTTCGCTAGCGTCATCGCTCGTGCCCAACTGCATCATCAGCCTTTCGCCTCCTTGTTACTCTGATGGCTGGGTACTCACATCCTCCATCCTTCCCGGCGCAGTGACCGCCTTTGCCCCCACAGTCGCATTCGGCGGACCCGGTGCCTTCTTCCCCTTCTTGGCCGGCTCCTTCGTCACCACCTCCCCCACCGCTTCCTCCACCGCCTCTTCTACCACCTTCCCCTTTCCCTTCCCCTTGACCGATCCCTTCCCCTTCATCTCCTTGGCCTCTGAAGCAGCAGCCACATTCGCCTTCATAGCAGCTGGCGTCATTGCCGCTCCAGCCTTGATCTCCCCAGCGATCGTCGTCTTCGCTTTGGGGAGGACGACCTTGCCTCGGGTAGCGGGCTTGGACTTGGGTGTAGGTTGGACAGGTGGATCGACTGACGCTTTGGCAGCGGCGGCGGCGGCGGCGGCGGTACGTTTAGATGCGGGACGAATGGGGGCAAGCACAGGCTCGGTCTCGACGTCGGCTTCCGGGCTGATGGCGTCTCCATCCTCCTCGGACTCCGTGTCAGAGTCGGACACTTCCACTTTCTTGTTGGTATCGCCTGACTTGCCCCTGGAGTCTGCTTCGTCAGCTATGGTACATAGGCGTGAGGTGCATCGGGACAAGATACCAAGAGAGCAAAGGAAAGACCTACACCTCTGCTTGGACCTGCTGACCGCATTTAGCTTGCTGATAGGTACCTCCCGAGAAGAAGCGGGCTGCGGGATAGAGGGGGTGACGACCTTCTCGGCCGGATCGCGCTCTACTGCCACAACGACCTTAGCGACATCCACCGCCTCATCCTCGTCTCCTCCATGTCCTTCCCCCTTCTCCGCCTGCTCGGCATCCGGGGCGTCCGGCTGAGGCACCTCAGGGGCAGGTGAGCTCTCTTTGGCCCTCGCCTTGCCCTTGCCCTTTCCCCTGGGGGCCTGAGCCTTCTTTTTGGCTTCTTTCTCCTTGATGACCTCATCCTCGCCCTCCTTTCCTTCCTTGTCTCCGATGATGGACGGCTGGGTCACATCAGCCGCCGCCTCCTTGGTGGGCTTCGATGCGGCGGCCTTGGTCATCGCTTTGTCGAGAGGGACCGCCTCACCGTCCAGCACTCCCGCCGTCTTCTTGATCGCCCGAGATTTGGCAACTCGAGAGGGCCGACCGGTCGAGGCTGGCTCGTCCGGCTTGAGAGGTGGTGATGGCTCCTTCTCCGCGGGACCGAAGGTGTTGACCTTGTCGTCCGCTTCGGCCGATGATGCGGCGACCTTCGCTACGGCGGAGCGAGAAGACCTTGCTGCCGGCTTGACAGGTGCTTTGGTGGTGGACACCTCGCCTGCAGGTTGGGGAGAAGTGGGTCCCTTCGTACCGCCCGATTTGGATGCCCGAGTGGCGCGACGTGGTTTCTCGACCGGCTCCTCCGCATCCTCCTCTTCTTCTTCTGGCACGACTGACTCCTCCTCCTCTTCCTCGACCGCCTGCGCGATCACCTGCGAGCGCCGGGACTTCTGCGAGGTGACAGCGGATCGATTAGGCTTGACGGGCTCCGGCGCAGTGTGCTCGATACTGTCGGATACGTGGCTGGCCACGCTGCCTTGCCGTTGCCGCTCGTCCGCTTCGGAGGGATTTGTCTCTTCCTCCGCGTCTTCTTCTTCGGCGTCTGCTACAGGGGGCAGTTGCGAAGAGGCGGGCACGAGCTCGCCGTAGTCGTTGTCTGGGGCGGAGCGTCGAGCTTTGGCCATCTCGAGGGCAGTGTCGATCCAGGCGAGCTAATGGTCAGCGACGACACCAAGCACGGAACACCCAGGAGAGGAGAGCTTACAGGAGGGAAGTACTTCCTGAGCGCCTGCTCAAAGCGGTCGGCGTGGTTCGGCTCCACCTCGATATTGATCTTTCGGTCGTTCGTCCCTGGTTTGATCCGAAACCATTCGAATTCTGCGTGGATTAGCGGAGATGACCAATTCAAGAGGGGACGACGTACGACCTCTCTTCTCGCCGGTGTCCCGCCAGCAAAACATCGCCTGGGAATGATCAAGGGTGAGGGCATCCTCTCGGCCATACTCGTTGAAGTCCTGTGGAATGAGCTGGAGAAACTCATTGGACGCAGACCAGCCTGGAGGTGACTCACGTTGACGCGCATCTCGAACTGATCCACGTAGACAATGAGCTCGCCAGCCGCCAGCCGCTTCTTGGCTTGGGCGGAATTCAGCATGTTGTCGTCGTTGAGAGAGAAGGATCGGACGGGGAAGCCCTGCGGTCTATCCTTGTCGTCGATACCGTGCAGATGATTGACGATCTTCATGTACAACTGACGATCAGCTCTATGGCATCGCAAAGGGTTCTCCTGAGAAAAGCTCACCCTCGGCTTCCGAGACACTATTGTGGGGAGCTGCATGACGATATTGCGGATATCCCTACGTGCCTGCGGGTCTGCCTCTTTGTACTCCGGGTGCGTGCTGACAGCAGCAAGAAAGTAGTTCCTCCGTATCTCCGCTTGATCGGCGATGGGTTTGGCGGGATCGTAGGGCAGACTGAAGACGAGACTGCGCATGCCTTGGAGGCTGAGGGTCGAGACTGTAAACTGGTAAGTGAAGCCCGCGGCGAGTGGGGAGGAAAGTACCTTTGGAATCCATGATCAGTGCGCCTAGCCTCAACCTATTTGTTAGCTGTACTCGACCATGGTACGTCGCCGAGCAACGTTCAACGAACCTCGAGTCTACAGCGAATTGGTCAGACCCCCATATGCCGAGACGACGAGAGTTGTCACCGCTCGTCAAGGTCTCGAAGAAGTCGATGAGCTAGTTATCAGCTATGGTCAATGGAGGCAGCCATGACACTCACGCCTGCGGTAGTCTTGTGATGGTGGTACCCCTTCTTTTCCGCGTGTTCGAGGAGAGTGAGGAGTAGGCTGATCCACTGGCGGTCGAGGTAAGGTGAGATGTTCTTTCCGATAGCTCCACTGGAGGCTTCCGCCGAATCGGCATCGATATGAGCCTCCTGGTCAGTCAGCAGGTTTTCCGCGGCTTCTCTTGATCTTCAGCTTACTACGATCCTATCCTGTCAGCCGATATCCTACAACAGCAAAGTGGAGCACTTACAAGGTCATAATCGCCGTTATGGCCGCCATGATACGTCCGAGAGTATCTCTTACCTCTCCGCTGTCCTTCCTTCCTCCCTCGGTCTCAGTGTCCTGGTCTTGGAAGTTCGACAGCAGAGGCTCGATACACACGGAGACTGCTGCACTGAGGGCGAGATATGCGAACCTCTCGAAAGACGTATGCGAGATCTTAATTTGGTGTTCCAGGAACTGGTTCTCAGCTTGTATCCGAGCTCCTGTAGCGACAGAATCCACTCACATCGTCCTCACACCATACCTCGAGATCCTTGACCACCTTGGCGGGGAACGTAGGGTCGTCCTTGCATGTCAGCACGGCGCGAGATCAGAGTCGCTGAATGAGCTCACGAGCAAGGTGCGAATGAGCTTCTCCCCTTTGCACAAGCTCTCCCTCGCCGCTTGCACGCCCTTCGCATCCTTCTCCCCCTTCCTCTTGTCGAGCTCCTTTTTGATCTCATCTGTCGCCTTCTTCCACGCTGCGATATCGGGATGTTCGGTCGCCTTTGGACTCTTCTTAAGAGCCATGATGAGACTGAGCGGTATATCCAGGGTGAGGAGGAAGGAAGGAAGATGGACGGAGGAGAGAAGGGGGATATCTATTTCGCTGGAGGGGGAAGGAGGTGATGGGGAATGTGGAGGTCCGTGCTCTCGGTTGACGCGACTGTGGGGTCTCCAATTTACGTCATTTCCGGTTATCTTACCGAGTTTCCGCTTCCGGTTGATAAGGGGGTGAGTGGCGGCGGCGATGTCCGATCAGCTGTCCTTTCCCCCGCATCATCGCCTCACCCCATTCGACGCTGGCGCAATCGCTCCCTCTGTCACCTACCTCCCTCCTCCCTCTATACATCTACCTACCTATACCATCTAGATCTAGGTAGCCTATCCTCCCCTATTCCCCTTACACTCTACAAACAGTACTCATTCACAATGCGTTCATTCGCAACGGCACTCCTCCTCCCCCTCGCGCTCGCTTCCCCGCTTGCCAAGCGATCGTCCAACGCCCGTCTCGCCCCTCTCCGCGAGGAGGGTGAGAGCATTGAGGATGCTTACATTGTCGTCCTCAAGAAGGACATTAGCCCTCATATAATGGCTCTTCACCTGGGGAGCGTCGAGGAGACCAATGGGCTCGACGTGAGTGACTGTTCTTATCGCGAGCCTGTCACACGAGGCGCAGGTGGTCAAGCGCCGGGCGTCCTTCAGACTGCTAGGTGCATTGAGGAATCGAGCCCGGTCTCTCCTTCCTGTCTCACTCCAAGGCTATCCTCATCTTGACGGATCCCAATCTTATGGCGTACGCTGACCCACAGCCCCTGTTGACCTTCACTGCCGACGGCGAGCGCGTCGACGAGTCTGGCGTTACCCACGTCTACATGCCCTCGTCCGACCTCACCTACTTTGGCTACGGTAAGCTCCTCTTCCATTCATCTCTCGTTCCCACTTTCGGCCATTTGCCACCCTGTCCTTGCCACCCGTTTCATGTCTCAACCCTGTTTCACCCAGCTCCTTTGTCAGACTTGCTGATTCCGTCTAGCCGGAAAGTTCGCCCCTCAGACCCTCGACTCCATTCGCGCTTCGCCCGAGGTCGCTTACGTTGAGCGGGACCAGCGCGTCTACACCCAGGACAACTTCCACGGTGTTGACGATGCCTTGGCGTCCGACTCGCACATCTCCACCGAGCTCGGTGCGCCATGGGGTCTTGCCCGGATCAGTCACCGCGCCCAGCTTCACTTGAGCACATTCACCAAGTACCTCTACGACGACAGAGGTGGAGAGGGTGTTACCGCCTACGTCATTGACAGTGAGCTTTTCCGTCACAGAGATGAGGTCAACGCTGATTCCTCAGCCGGAATCAACGTCGACCACGTCGAGTTTGAGGGCCGCGCACGCTGGGGCAAGACCATCCCCAAGAACGACGTCGACAAGGACGGAAACGGTCACGGTACCCACTGCGCCGGTACTATCGCTTCCCGCAAGTACGGTGTGGCCAAGGCCGCCGAGGTCGTCGCTGTCAAGGTTCTCGGTTCGAACGGGTCGGGAAGCATGAGCGATGTCGTTGCTGGTGTCGTGTGAGTATTTTCATGCGTCGTGATTGGACGATTCGCTGACGCTCTAGCTGGGCTGCTGAGCAGGCTGCCAAGGCCGACGCCGACGCCGAGAAGGAGCTCGTCAAGACCGGCAAGACCAAGCACAAGGGATCCGTCGCCAACATGTCCCTCGGTGGTGGCAAGGCGCAGTCTCTTGACGACGCCGTCAACGCTGCCGTCGAGTCTGGTCTCCACTTTGCCGTCGCTGCTGGAAAGTGAGTAAAGCTCTACGCTGTTTGGTTTTTGCTGACCCTTAGCGACAACAAGGACGCCTGCAACTACTCGCCTGCCCGCGCCGGAAAGGCCGTGACCGTCGGTGCCTCCACCCTTGGGGACGACCGCGCCTACTTCTCCAACCACGGCAAGTGCGTCGACGTCTTTGCGCCCGGACTCAACATCCTCTCCACCTGGAACAGTGGTAACCAGTCCACCAACACCATCTCGGGTACCTCGATGGCCAGCCCCCACATCTGCGGTCTCCTCGCTTACCTCCTCTCTATCCACGGTACCGAGACCTTCGACCTCGCCGAGCACCGCGGAGCCAGCGCGGCTGCGATCGAGTCGGACGCGTCCGTCTACGCCCGGGCTTACTCGCTCCTTCCCCCTATGCTCCGCGCTATCCTCCCCGCTCCCGGGACCCTCAACTTTGCCCCCGCCCCCAAGCACAGCGACAAGGTTACTCCGGCTCAGCTCAAGAAGGCGCTTTTGGGCCTTTCGTCCTCGGGCAAGCTCACCGACCTCCCGGCCGGGACCCCCAATCTCTTGGCGTTTAACAATGCCACCTCAGAGAAGACGAAGTAAGGTGTGGAGAAGTGAGGCGTAGGATAAGAAGTAGGGGAAGAAGAAGATTAAGAAGCGGGTAGCCGCAGTGAAGGATGCCATCACCGTTATCGTATTCAAGCAAGTAGTATCCTCAACCCGTGTATGCATTTGTATCACCAAGCATACCACGAGACATACATCGGTCGAGAATTGCGCTCGATCGACTGATGCCACCCTTCCGCAGTGGATCACGCAGCGTGCGCAGAGAGAAAGAAGTGTCAAGCGTTAGCGGAGACGAAATGAGGATCAGGCGGTAGGGCTGGAGGCCAAGGAGGCGAGTGATACTCCTGGTCGCGCAGTTGTTCGCAGCGGCTCTGCCGATTATAAAAGGAAGGGTAGGCGCTTTGGAGCGGGGTGGGAATGGGGTGATGGACGGTCAGGAGGCAGGAGGTGAGAGGTAGAGCAGCTGAGTGGGGGACTAGGTACTTGAATTTTGAGTATATGTGGCAATTTGCTGGATGGGCACGCTGCCAGCACCTAGAGGCGGGGCTCGTTGCCTTCTATAGCACTTGAGTATAGCGGCATCCTCTCCAGTCAATGTTCCTGCGCAGGAGGGGCCTGCTGGCCGCTGCCTTTGTCGTATAAAGCCTACTCAGACGAGTCGGAGCTTGCTGGGCTCCGATATTATCTCCAACAGCCCCTCGAATTGCTCTCGAACACTATCTCCGCTTCGACACTCCGCTACTGGCCGCCTTATCGCAGGCGTTGTTATATCGCCATAGAACGACCTAGAGAATCGTGATGAAAGGGTTACTTCTTGCTCCGCCGGAGCGGACTTTCTGGACTTGAGGCTGTGTCAATTGGCGTTGATTGCGGTACTACTAAGGATGGCTAGCGTTATGATCGTGCAAGGTGTCGGAGATTCAATAGAGGCGAGCATATAAGCTGGGCAATTTCCCCGTCCAGATGTTCGCCACTCACCCTATCTTTGACTGCTCTTCGTCTTCATCACTTTTCCAACTACATACTCCCCTCACACACTTCATCATGAGCAGCTCTGCCACTACTGACACCCAGGGGAACGGCAATCCCGCTGACGCAAATACTTCGAACGCGTCGCAGCAGCCTTCCACTGTCTACAATGGCACCATTCAGGAGGCCAGAGACGCGCAAGTGGCGCGCATCCGTCTATTGGCAGAGACCGGGGCAGCTTCTGCTTCGGCGGCCACTGGGAAGACGAAGGAGGAGCTCAGGCTATTGGGCGAGGCCAACGTCGACTACGAGCAGAGCCAGAGGGACAAGTAGTCTCATCCGACGCCGGACTGGCAAAAGTGACAGGTGGCGGGAAGGGGGAAAGATCAGTACAGGTCGCGATTTTGGGGGATGAATAGAAGTTGGATGCATGTGGATACCACCGTGATCATGGTCTTTGTCTGCCTGCCGTCCTGATACGTCCTCGTCGGGAACTGTACCTGACATTGGGAGTTATCAACTTTCCGACGTAACAGTCAGATACAGTCAGATCCGCGCCCAATGCCCATCGCCATCGCCAAGCCCACTTGTAGTAGACATCAGCAACTATAGATCTCGTTCCTGGGACTCCCTGATGCCCTAAGCAGTGATTGCTGCTGCGGGCTTTTCGGCATTTGAAGGAGGGTGTGCAAGGGGAAGAGGCGGGAGGGGGTCACTGGGGCATGGTGGGAGTGGGAAGGGGGAAAGGGGGAAGGGGGAAAGGAGAGTAATACCATGACCTCCGTTCAAGGGTCCTTCGCATCACTCACTCTCCTGGTCAAATTGATCAACTCCATAGCGCCTTGTTGGGGCTGGATCGGCAGGAATAGAAAATTAGTGCAGGGGCGCCAATCAGAGCTCGTGAGGAGAAGGTCAGTCCTGAAAGTTCTTGCGGTAGACACAGGATTGCATGAGATATATCAAGAAGATAAACGGCTGCCATTTCTGCTACGACGAGGAAAACTATCTGACGAGACTGGAGAATAGGAGACTGAGGCGTATAGTTGGATCGGCCGTGAGGTCGATTTACATGTACTACAGTCATCAGCTTCGATCCTGCATTCGCAAGCGACAACAAGGAACATACCCAGGCAACGGAGTTGTCTGAGTTGGATCAGCATTACCTCGCGGTATCTTGGGTGAAGAAGGGACTTACACTCGGTGGCATCCTCGATCCTCTTCTCTGCGGGATGTTAGCTGAAGCTCGAAATAGCAAGGGATGGCACTTACTGAGAGCGAGCGAGTCGAACGCCTGAGTTTCCTTGCGGCCCGAAGCCATATCCGAGACGGAACCAGCACCGCCATCGGATGAGTCATCGTTGTAGACGAGGTCACGGCACTTGGTCGCGATGATCTGGACGTCAGCTTGTACCTCGGCCGCTCTGGTATGGCGGGACGTACGTCGGCGTAGTACGCGACGGGGACAATCTGGAATGTCAGCTCGATGCAGATCTCAATAAGCACATAGCAGCAGACTTACCGAGACGGATCGAGTAGCCCGGGCGTACGAGTAGCACAGGGCGTTACAGAGACCCTGCATCTTGTCGGCGTCGAAGCCAATTTCGTCCTTGACGACGATGCTGCCCAGTCAGCTCATTATACTTCATAAGATGTCGAGTAGGCTTACTAGTGGGTAGGACGGGCAGTTCCCTGCAGACCTGTAAATCAGCGCTGATCTTGTCTGATCTGCCATATTGACCTACCAGCGTGAGCCTGGAGGAAGAAGTCGAATGCGAAGGGGTGGGTGATGGTGGTGTCGACAACGGTACCGGCGGGCAAGTTGCCGGTTCGGTCGAGGTCGCCCTGGTTGAGACCGAAGAAGCGCATGTTGTGACGCTTGGCGCAGACGACAAAAGTGATCTACTCGTCAGGACCAGTCTCTTCGTCTCATAGAGCTCGGGAACTCACCTTGGGCCTGTACTTGGGGTCGATGTCTCGAGCGGCCTGAAGCATAGCGTTGAACTCGATCCTGGATGGTCAGCTCCAGCCTACATCTTCCGAAAAAGACGTACTCTGCGCAGTGCCCATACTGGCCCTCGGAGACACCATCGCGGAACATGATGATCTTAGCCGGCTTGCTGCCGGTGTTCTTCTGGAACAGCTCGATGTGGGTCTTCATCATTCCGGCAAGGTCGGAAATGATTTCGACTCGGCCTTCCTGAAGGCGGATGGACGGGACGAATTGGGCGTTCTCGCCGTCGATGGCAGAAACAGTAACTGCGATACTGGGTGGGATGGGTCCACCGCGAGGAGGAGGGTGGGTGACCTAGTTGTCAGCAATTGTACGTGATAATCAACTTACATCTGCTCCGACCATCATTGTGGTCTTGTCGAGCTGAAAAATCAGCTGTTTTTCCCAAATTTGTTGCGCAGCAACTCACCGCAGAGCTAACGGGCACAACGTGCGTGAGCCCACCCATCTTGCTGTGTATCTGCAAAGGTCAATAAAAAAAAACTTATCACCGACCGCAGAGGTCCTTCACGGTCGGCGCGATGAAGCTCACCTTCATGGACACGTTCCCGAGGTACTGTTCGAGTCCACGGTTGTCAGGACGACATTTCTGTGTCTGCAGACACTGAGTGACCAGAGGCTTGATTATCAGCCAAGTCCTTCGTCAAAACTTACAAGCTTCAGATCCTGAGCGGCGCATCGCTTGATCTCCTGGTAAAGGGGAAGCTCCTTGCGCTGCTTGATCAGTACCTGTCCCGGCGTCGAGTACCAAGCTTGCGCTTACCGGAAGCAGAATAAGAATCATCTGCGGATTGGCCTTGGACTGCATGTAAGCCGCCCTGGCGGCGTCCTGCAGACCGGCCTTGATGCCGCCGAAGGGTCCGCCGGCGTTTGGATTGTGCGAGACGATAGCGGGACGCTCGTTCTCGACGGGGCAGTCTGGAGGTCAGCTGGAAGTCTTGGGATCCCTCGAGTGAAAACTTACTGGACTTGCGGAGGACCTGGACAAGCTTGCCGACAAAGCCCTCTGAGCACGATCAGCAAGGCCTGGGCTGATTTGGGCGTGCTTGACTTACGGATCATTTGCGGGTCGGCCCGGTCATCGTAACTGAGGACCGACCAGGACTTGAGCGGCTTGCCGGCCTTACAGAACTGAAAACGTTAGCTTGGGTAGAAGCAAAGTTGGAGGCAACTCACCTTGGTGTCCCTCAGGTTCCACGAACCAAAGTTGGGGCGCTGGGACTTGCCAGCACCGTACTGAACCGCAGGGGGCTGAAGAACGCGAGCGTTGAGCTGCATCATGTTGGCGTTGACTTCAACACCCCAGGCGCGGACCTTGGGGAGGTTGGAGTAGTCGAGGGTTTGACGCCAGTCGCGGACTGATGATCAGCCTTTTTTTCGCTCAATCAAGCAAAAGAACAACCCACTCATCTGGGCACGCTGGGGAGGGGGCTTCGCGGCGACCTTGATCATCTCGGCCGTCTGGTCAGCGGTAAGACGCATCATGGGAATGCCTTGCGATCAGCGAGAACCCGACTTGAAGCACAAGGGCAACTTACTGTTGAACTCCTCGAGACGGACGAATTCGAGCGGGACGTAGTTCCTCTGTCCGTAGGCGACACAAGGCTGCAGTATCAGTCACTATCCACGAATAATGAGTGGACTCAATTCTTACGAGACGAGGCTTGGTGACCTGGACGTTGTACATCTCCTTGTAGTAGTCAACGATGGAGACCATGCGGTCCTGAGCGCCATCACGGCCGGTGAGCAAGAACTTGAGGTCGGCGGCAGCCTGGACGGTAAGACCACGCATGGTGAAGACGCGCGAGGTCTTGCTGCAAAAGTCAGCGCAAGTTCAAGTCAAGATCGCCAAAGTGATAGTACTTACCGGTGGGTGACGGTGAACTTGGCCATCCGGAGAACATCGTTGAGCCTCTTGATGGATCGCGGGTCGAGCGACTGGGGAGCGCCACCGCCGGGAGGTCCACCGGGACCGCCACGACCGCCGCGGGGTCCACCTCGGTCGAAGCCACCTCGGCCACGGCCACCACCGCCACCGCCCATGCCGAGAACGTCCATGATGACCTCGTCGAGACGGCCGGGACGGAGGAACGCAGAGTACGCAGTGTCGAGCTGATGATCAGATTGGTCTATTAACGATCAAGTCGAAAGCTTTACCTGCATGGCGGGGTATCCAGACTCAGTCCATCGGAAGGACCTGTTGATCAGCTTGAGGTATCTACTTGATCAAGATCAAACCTACTGCATGAATCCAGAGTAGACCACACCTCCGTTGGGAAGCGGGACCGAGTTGGCTGTCGCATTAGCCGAGTCCCGCAATAAGGAAGTCAAATTCAGCTCACCGGTACCAAAGTATCGCCTGCCTTGAGCACCGACGGCCTTGAACTGGTCGTTGGCGCGCTGACGGAAGAGTACGTTCATCGCCTGGATAGCGACGAGCTGGGAGGTCAGCTCATCTCGTTACAAAAGAAACGTAAAGCTTACCATGATCTCCTTGGCAGCCTCGGTCTGCTTGTTCTTCTTACAGAAATCCATGATGGTGTCGAGGTCAATCTCTTGGGCGTGCTGGATCTGGACCTTGAAACGACGCTTGTCGTCCTCGGCATCCTTGCCGTCCTCCTTGAGCGAGACGATGACTTCCTTCTGAGAAGGGGGTCAGTATGGGTCAATATAGTTCAGCGCTAAAAGAATTTACCCTGCCGTTCTCGAGGGGAATCTTGTTCGGGGTGTAGATGTTCTTGCTGGGTTTGTCAGCTAAGGGTAGCATCCAGGGACGATGAGCTAGCTTACACCGTGTCGAACGCAGCGGCGTCAAGAGCAGCCTTGAAGGGACCGGTAGCCTCCTCGCAGAGCTGCTTCCAGACCGCCCAGAGGAGGGTCTTGGGCTTCCTACAGCAATCAGCTCTGTCCCTCTTCGCTGGCGATGGTAAGTAGCGGTCAGTCTCACTTCTGGTTGGTAGCCTTGACGACGGGGTTGATCTCAATGTCGTAGTGCCTAAAGTCAAGCGTCAGCCATGTTTCCTTCCTTTTTCGGTCAAAAGCGCTTGCATAGCAAACATACTGGACGGTAGTACCCTGGTTCTTGAACCTCGCCTGGAACATGTTGGCCTCGACGCGGATGACCTTGCCGACCTTACCGTACCCCGGGCGCGGGTGGTAATCTGGTCCAGTCAGCCACATGTCAATGCGTAAAGCTGTACGAGAGGTCCGCGTTCCGCATTAGGGCAAACACGGTGGTGACGATGGGGGAGAAGACGAGGGGTGATGGAGCAGTAGGAGAACATACCATCGGTGGAGAGAGTCTCCTGAAGGGTCATAGCCCCGAACACCCTCTCGATGGGGGTCTATCGCGTCAGCCTAGGTACATGTTGATGGAGGGGGATTCGGGCCCAGTCGACCGCGTCGGGGTCCAGAATGAGGGGTAGACTGAGCTAGAGTGACTCACGGCACTGGTTTTAGGCCCCATGTTGGCGTGTAGTCTATAGAGATCATCAGCTACATGACCATCATCACCATCAACAAACCCCTCGAGAAGGAAAGACGCACCTTGCGAGCTGGGTCGAACGCGAAAATGAGAAGCTTTGTGGGGTGGCCGAGTCGTTTATAGACTAGGATGGATAAGGAAGCGTAAGTAGCTGTGGAGAAGCGCTGAGAAGGGGATGATGAGCCAAAGAAAGAGAGGATAGAGAGGGGAAGAGAGGGGTTGATGATGCGGGTGAGACGGTTGTCAGGGCGAACCTGCTGGGCGGGGCACTGGCGGGGCGCGCTTGAGCCTAGCGGAATCAAAACTTCAAGCCTCTTTGAACCTCCCCCACTCTTGTACATACACACTCCACTTCAACCTTGTGTCCATCAGCCAGCTCTCCTAAAGGGAGTCAATGCACCGGAAAGGGAGGGTCATGTTTACACCTGTACACACACTTTCACGGAGATCTGTAGGTTCACACTCCGGCTGACACCCCCAAACGAAGGCCAAAGGGAGGCATGTGTGCGGCTAGAGCGGTAACGACGTCACGCGCAGTCGGCACTATGCGGCAAGGAGGGGCGAGGGATCGGGGGGCTTCATCGAGCGCACATACTAAGCCCAGATTTCCTACGAAAGGAGGGGAGGTGAGGTTGACACGCCTTGTCCTGCATATTGTCCACCGCCCGGCCCCCATCCTGGCCTTCCTGGCTCCCCCACCCTCCCTACCCCTCCCTATCTTCTAAGAGGCGCGGGAGGCCGGGTGGGTGGGATCGGTATCAACCGCTCCAAGAGGATTTCAACCAGTACCGTTTTAGCCCCAGCTGTGGACAGGAGGAAAACAGCACTTGATATCTCTTTGGTACACCTCTCTCCTCTGCCCCTGCTGCCCATCAGTAACGTGTCCGTTTGTTGCACAAGGTTACCTGCAGAAAGAAGCTTGACCGAAAGATATACATACACAGCTTATTAGGATACTCTAGACAACGAAAGGCTATGATGACAAGACTTGCAGGCCAGCGAGACGGTTCCGAGAGAAGTGGGTCCGGGATAGCGGAGACATCGAGGGGAAGGTATTGCGATGCTGCATCACATATACTGCAATATCAGCGGAAGATCTTGTCAAATCTGAGTAATAGAAGCTGAGCAGTAAAACATACCCAAGCGACCGAGTTGACTGATGTGTCAGCTTGACCGCTCGCTCCAAACTGAACAAGAGGTACTTACAGTCCGGGTTGGATTGGATCCGCTTCACTGCCATGATCAGCTATGATCTCCTGGGAGTTCGCGAGAGGTACTACTTACTGAGCTCCATCGAATTGAACTCCATCGGGCGGTCCGGGCCAGACCCGCTCGAGACGGACGCAGCAACGTCCGAGTCGTCTTTGTAAAGGAAGTCTCGACATTTACCAGCGATGATCTAAGTGGTCAGCTTTGCTCTACGTAAAAGAGATCCCTTGAACTCACATCGCAGTACTAGAATCGTCAGCTCATGCAGGCTTGTCAGTACTAGCTATTATGACTCACATAAGCGACCGGGATGAGCTAAGATGTTAGCTTAAATCCCTTGGGAAACTATAATCAAGCTTACAGAGACCGAGCGACAAGCACGGGAGTAAGAGTAGCAAAGCGAGTTGCACAGTCCCTGCATCTTATCCGCGTCAAAGCCGATGTCATCCTTGACAACCACGCTGCAGAGTCAGTTTGTTCCAACGTCAAAGAGCAAGAACATACTAGTGCGTCGGACGCGCTGTTCCTTGAAGGCCGGAATGGGCTTGGAGGTAGAAGTCGAACGCGAAAGGATGGCAAACACCCGTGTCGACGACGAGACCAGGCTGAAGGTTTCCGGTCCGATCGCCGTCTTGCTGGGTCATTGCGAAAAAGCGCATCGAGTGACGCTTGGCGCAAATGACGAAAGTGATCTGAAGTCGTCAGCTGAGTCCCTAACGCTATGGGCTATAGAGGTAGCTCACCTTCGGTCGGTATTTCGGGTCCATCTCGCGGGCAGCCTTCAGCATTGCCTCGTACTCCTCGCTGCATCGTCAACTCTCGCTCCCGTTTTCTCATTTGGCAGGGGGACTTACGTCGCACACATCGCAAACTGGCCCTCGCTGACACCATCTCGGAACATGATGATCTTTGCCGGGAGCGCCTTGGCGTTCTTCTGGAACGTGATCAAGTGTTGCTTGACCATGTCCTTCAGATCGGTGATGGATTCCTTACGACCCTCTTGGATGCGGATTTCGGGGCAGAAGAGGTTGTTGTCGCCAGAGATGGAAGCGATTGTCACGGCAATCGAGGGTGCGATCTGACCGGCTCCGGCGGGAGGAGGGTGGGTGACCTGGATGTTAGCTCGAGCGAAATTTAGCTGGGGAAATAGCTCACATCCGCTCCAATCATCATCGTCGTCTTGTCCAACTGGAAACGTCAGCTTACTTGAAGCGCCAGGATGGGGATTAACTCACAATGTTCGGCATGGGCACGTGGTGCGTCACGCCCCCGACTTTACAGTGTATCTGCAAAGTCAACTAAAAGAAAACGAACCTCTCCCGACCGCAGAAGTCGACTTGCCTTCATGGATACATTTCCGACATACTGGTCCATTCCGCGATTGGTCGGCGAGATTTTCTGCGACTGGAGCAGCTGAGTCACGACCGGCTAGGTTGTATCAGCTTAGCTGCCCAGAAGATGAAATTGGAAAAAACCTTACCATCCGGAGATCCTGCATGGCGCACCGCTTGATCTCGGCGTATCGCCCCAGATCTTTGTTCTAGCATTATCAGCGTAGCCCCCTAAACTTGAACAGAAGCAGACTTACTGGTAGAATGATGACGATCAGCTGCGGGTTGATCTTGCTCTGCATGTACGCCTCGCGAGCGCCGTTCTGGAGTGCGGGCTTGATGCACGAGAACCCTTGCTGCATCACGTCAAATCGACGGCCATCCGCGCCGTCAACGATCGGTGGGCGGGTATTCTCGACCGGACAGTCTGTGGATCAGCTACTCTTTCACCCTTTCTTGGTGCGTGGTCGACTGACTCGTGATATTGAGGTTTTGTGCGAGACGAACGACAAAGCCCTCTAATCAGATCAGCTACTGTCACACAGCATTTTGGGGAGACGGAAAAGCGTACGAATAACATCCATCGGAAGCCTGCCGTCGAGGTTGACGATCGCCCAAGACTTCAAGCTCTTGCCCGCCTTGGCGTACTTGGTGTTACGCATGTTCCACTGGCTGCCATCGTCAGCTTCGCCCGACATGCAGGGGTACGAACAAGCTCGCCCTCCCGAAGGCTGCTGAGTCTTGTTGGCAGAGTAAGTGATGACGGGCGGGGCGAGAACTCTCGCCTTGACCTGCATCATGTTGGGGTCAATCTTGACGTTCCAAGCCTTGACCTTGGGCAGGTTTCCCCAGTCAAGCTTCTTGCGCCAGTCACCGACTGTAGGATCAGCAGCCGCCTCTGCAGGTTTCGGAGGTATAACTTGACTTACTCATCTTGACTCGGTCCTCTGGGCGCTTGGCAGCGACCTTAATCATGGCGGCAGTTTGGTCTCCCTAAATGATCAGCTCCTGCACAATGGTGGGGTGACGGTCAGCTGACCGAGAGCTTCAAGAACGGGATGCCTGGAATCAGCTTAGTCTTTGACACCGGCAAGAACTGCTCACTGTTGTACTCTACGAGGCGGACGAGCTCGAGACTGCCAGATCAGCTCGATCCCACATCCTTGCTCGTGGAGACTTACGGGACCTTGTTCTTCCCGCCGGCGCCGAAAGAGATGCATGGCTGTCCATATCAGCTTTCTTGCCCTGGACTGGACCAACGCGAAAACTCACAAGACGGGGCTTCTGCAGCGTGACGTTGTACGTCTGTTTGTAGTACTCGGGGATGGTTACCATCTTCGACTCCTTGCCGTCCTTGCCGTCAAGGAGGAACTTGCACTCGGCAGCGGGCTGCGCGGTAATCTTGAGGAACGTGTACTGCCTTGAGGACTTTCTGCTTTGTCAGCTATACTCTGACACCGTCAAAGATGACTTACCGGTGAATCAACTCAAACTTGGCGGACCGAAGCAGCCCGTTCAGCTTGGCGATCTGCCTCATGTCCAGAGTCTGAAGACCGCCAGCACCACCACCGGGCGCACCGCCTCGGGGTCCGCCACGACCACCTCGGAAGCCACCGCCTCCGCCCGTGCCGAGGATTTCGCCCATCAGGTCCTGACTGTCAGCTGATGAGGCCGACTGGAAAGGTGTAGGATGACTTACGACGAGGGGACCAGCCTTGAAGAACGCCGAGTAGGCGGTATCGAGCTAAATGGTCAGCTTTACATCAAGTGGTGTAACTTGAGACGCGAGCTTACCTGAACGGCTGCGTGACCCGACTGGGTGAAGCGGAACGATCTGAGCGTTAGCTATAGCCATATATGGAAGAACTGCTGAACATACTGCATGAAGCCGGAAAGACACACACCGCCTTCGGGAAGAAGGGATGCGCCATCTGCATGATCAGCTTGGCTCTGGCCGATCTTGTGACTGTGGCGTGACATACCAGTACCGAAGAATCGGCGACCTTGAGCGCCGACAGCCTTGTATCGCAGCGAGACGTCCTGGCGGAGAAGGACATTCATCGCCTGGGTGGCGACAAGCTATCCCGTCAGCCACATCATCAAAGAGCATCAACAGATGACTCACCATGCTCTCGGCAGCCTGCTCGTCCAGCTTGGTGCCCTTGCAGAAGTCACCAATTGAGTCGAGGTCGATGGTGTGCTTGGCCGTGGAGCTGCGGTTGCTCATGGCAGGCCGCATGACGATTTTGAAGCGACGTTTGTCGTCCTTGGCTTCCGAGCCGTCTTCGAGGAGGTTGACGACGACCTCGCACTACGACATCAGCGTCATTCCGGGGCGTTTTCACTTCCCTGGTCAGCTCACCTTGCTGGAGCCGTCGAGGGGGAACTCGACGGGAGACCAGACATTCCCGCTGAGACGTCAGCTCACGTACGAAGTAGCTAGGTGCATGAAGAAAGCTTACACAAGGTCATACGCCGCGGCTTCGAAGGCAGTCTTGATGGCACCCTTGGCCTCCTTGCCGGCCTGGACCCAGACATCCTGCATAAGCTGGCGGGGTTCTCTTGACAGATCAGCTGCTGGTCTTGATCCAATGCTCCAAATTCGTTAGCTGCTCACTTCTGCTTGGCGACCTTGACGACGGGGTCGATGTCGGCGGTATAATGCCTGTCCATCAGCTCAAGGTCTTGCACCTCCATCAGCAGGCGCGTCCCAAGCCCCGCGCATTCTCGGTGTGGAGCGGGCTTGAGGCGGCCCTGATCCAGCAAGACTTGGCGAGGTGAAACGTACCAAACGGTTTGTCCCGGCTTGATGGCAACCGGGTACATATTGGCGAAGACCGTAAGAGGTCGGCCATTCTTACCCGGAGCTGTATAAGTAAGCTACAGCCTCTCTATCTCTATCCAGACAGCTCATAGCATACCGGGTCGGGACTTGAATTCTGATATCGTCAGCCATCCATTCCTGCCTTCGCAGCAGTCGCCACCCTGACGACCGCTGCAGCACCAGCAGGGAGAGACTCACCATCGCCCGCAAAGGTTTCCTTGAGGTTTAGAGTTCCGAAGACCTTCTCGAGCTCGGCGGTCTGGACTCGTCAGCCACCATCAATCAACTTGACCGCAACTGAGACAAGGACGCACGGGTTGGGCCATGATGACGGTTTCTGAAGCTCGTCAGCTTGTAATCCTTCAAGCAATGGGACTAGGCGTCCCACACGCGGATGAACACTCACTTGTCCTCTCTTGAGGTCAGAGAGATATGAGAAAGGGAAGATCGCTTAGAGGTGGATCAGGCGGTGAATCGGTCGAGTCACCCAACGTTGGAGGCTGAGTTGAGCCGTTTCTTGGTGATGGGCGGTGCTTGTTTCGTTGACCTAGAAGGGCGTAGTACTTAGCTAGGCAGATTAGTGATGGTAGGTAGGAAGAGGGACTGATCTTCCTATTCCAATGTAGAGGTAAGACGGACAAAGAGAGAAGCGCAGCGTTGCGATGTCAAGAAGTCGGCGAGTAATCTAGATTAAGTTCATTAGCAAATATGCTGTCATGCTTCTCATTACAACCTGATTAGGAAAAGATAATCGATTAGCACGGAGCATTAAGGTTACGGCATACGTTTCAGGACGCACGGGCCTGCCCTCGTTGTCTCTCCGCGTCAAAAAGCGACAAAGGTCTCCACCGGCGATACTTCACTACCCATCACCAAAGCCTTGCTGTCCCTGCTAAGTCTGCTCCGCCCAAACTGTCTGCAATCCGCCTCAGACCATCCCGGAACGGCAATATGCCCTCTTCAATCCTGCCCGTCGCGTCCTCGAGCAGACCCGGGTTGAGTATGGGTGGAGGGTATGACGGGTCAAGAGGCGGGTATGACGGAGTTGGAGTTATGGGAGGAGGAATGCCAAGGGTGGATAGGATACCGCTGGTGTTGAGGAGACTGGGAAAGTTCAGGTCTATGGTGAGTCCGGCAAAGATTCAGGGCTATAGCGGAATTCCGCTGGACTAGCGAAGGAGGGGAGGAGCGGAAGCGGAAGCGGCCGGCGGATTGCTGCACTTTGCGTCTGAGATACGAGGAGCTGGCGTACATGCGCGCAGACCGCAGCGTCGTGCTGCTCCTGTAGCTAGGGGAGGGTAAAGAAGGGGGAGACGTCAATAGGAAATGATGACTAGTCAGGCGGAGACGGAAAAGGGTGGGCCGGAGACGGAATGGGGCTCTATCTTCTCCCTTCCCGACTTTCATTCCTGTCCTGCTCCTGCTTGCATTCTTTTCCTTTCCCCCTCGTCTTTCGATTGTCTCGTATATCTTCTCCCTGGCCGGAGCGGCCAGTGCATCAGCGGACTCTGCGCGTCCCGTACTACGAGGACTTCAGCGCAATTGCATGCCAAAAGCGTGCTCTGTGCTCTAGTGCGAAAGCTGACATGTACCTAGGACTTTGAGCTAGCATTCTGGCAACTGACGTACCTCGTTGTCTCGCCAAGAAGGGTTTATCGACAGACGTATCATCAGTAAGTTCGTTTCCTCACAGACGCCTGCCCTGGCATACTAAGAGCATGTGTCCTGAATAGTTCCAGGTCGCTGGTCGCTGAAGTGGTCCAGAGCTGATACATCCAGAAAACAGACGAAGAATGTCTGGGCAAGAGATGAGTCAGTACTGACTCCCATCCCCGGCCATGACTGACACTGATACTTCAGTCCTGCTATGCTGATGCTGATCGCTGGCTGTCTGACAGGTACGCTGTTCAGGTAGACAGGCTTCTCGTGATCTTCCAAGCTGACTGTCGCAGCTTCCGGGATAGCCTGGTCTCTGGTATACCATAGAAGTGCCACCGGCACTCTGCTTCTCATCCTCAAAATGGTCTTCCGTACGCTTTTTGTCCACCTTGAGGTGAGAGCTGGAACGAAAGCTGACACTTCAGGTGACTTCCTCCTCATCTCCCTCCTCACCGCCCTCGTCCTCTACTTTCTCACAAATCGCCTCCTCGTCTCCTCCCTCGCACCCCATGCTTCCACATCCGATAACCGCGTCGAGTTCGCTTACGCCTTTGATGTGGCTGTAAACTCGTTCTTCCCTGCCTTCTTGACGATCGGTGTGGCATTACTACCGCTGGCACCGGTCGTAGTTGCGAAGAACTGGGTGTGCCTGTTCTTTGGAAAGTGAGCTGTCCCCGGCCCTTCTTCGACTGAAAGCATTGGCTTCAGCTGAGTTGCAGTACCCTCTTCCTCATAGCAGGCCTGCAGTACACGTACGTCATGTACCTAGGCTACGCTGCCTTGCCTTTTGTGGCGAGGAGCGAGCTGCTCCTTTCACCCTTATTACCTATCTTTGGCGGGTACGTCTCCTTCCCAGCTTTCGCGTAGCTCACCGTGAAGCTATCAAGCTGACCATTCAGGTATCTCCTGAGCTTACTCGGCTTCAACATTCCCCGACATGCCCTCGAGTTGTACTTTGGGGAACCGTGGAGATGAGGAGTGCCACGACAAGGGAGCGGGAATAAACAAGACGCCAATAGACATCCCATGCATCTGGGATCGCTTCGTTGCCATCAGGTCTGCCTAGCGTGTCAGGTCACAGGTCTCCCAGTCCAAGATGCAGGATGCAGGATGACATGACCAGCTGCAGCAACGCGTATAAGGGGAGGCGGGAAACGCCGAAACGCCGGCGCGCTGCAACGTGCGGAGCTCGAGAGATCTTTTTTGAAGATGGGTATGAAGGGATGTCCCATATAGTATACCTATCGCTTACTTTACTCGCATTGGATCGTTCCTGTGTCTAGCTCTGTACATCATCGTTCGCCCAGTCGAGAGCGCGCATCACTGCATACGCGTACGAGCTGCAATCACCCCTGGTCCAGCATTTCAGCGCCGGAATCCACTGCGCTTCCCTCATCTACATTTCAGCTAGCAGGCCGGCGATATGGCTGAGGAAGAGGTAGACTGGGGTATGGACGAGTCGGTGGATGTTTGGAGACAGGGCGGAGGCGTCGCAGTCGGAGAAAATGAGGACGAGATCAGTCTGGACGGGATGGAAGGGGAGAGTGATGGTGAGTCCCCTTCTGCTCCTCACCTCCTCTTGCGTCGCTTCGAGGGAGTTCGCTGATTCCTCCAGCACCCAAGCCAAATTCCGCAAAAACTACCAACTCACCCCGAGCTTCCATCAGTCGCGCCCCGCCCACCGGACCTCGCCAATCCCTTCGTCGTGATACTTCCGACAGCGGAGCTGGAGCCACACCGCCCACTGGGCCGAAACGTGCCGATTCGCGCCGGCGCGGCGGTCGAGGGCGGCTACCTGCGCAGGAGCGAGCAAATCCCAACATCGGCTCAAGCGATAACGGGTATGGTGACAGGCCAACTCGTGGATCTCGGATGAGGGGAGGGGGAGCTGTTGAACCTGCTCAAGAGGTGCGTTCTCATCCCATTCCAGTACCCGTCGCACCCGAGGTGGACGTCTGCTAAGGTGTGCAGACTCAGGAACATGTCGAGGAAGTGATCAACCCCGAGCCGATCCCTACCGATGAGCCACTTCCGGAAGGCTGGGCCGAGGTCGTTTCTCGCAGCCAGGGCTTGACTTTTTATCACAACAAAGCTACAGGCGAGACGAGCTGGGTCCGACCTCGTATTGACCCGCCAGTGGAAGAGGTTGTCAGCGACCGACCCATCACGCCGCCGCCTACCGCCCCGAAAGCCTCATCGAATGGAACGGCTGGCCGAGCCATCGCATCCGCCTCCAAAGCCGACCAACCGACTAGCACCCGGCAGCCTCCATCCGGTCCCGGCAGTGCTCGCTACCCAGAGACAGACCGAGCCGCGTCTGTATCGGTCTCGGCACCCGCTTCCGAGAAGAAGGCTGAGCCCGTTCGCGATCCGGTCCAATCAGCGTACGCCAGCAGGAAGAAGATTCAGGCGGGTCGGGAACCCGCGCGTGCGCCCTCAGTGGCGGCAGGGGAAGATCGAGGAGTCAAGCGGAGCATGTCGCCTAGGCGGGAAGAAACGAAACGGAGTAGAGTGGAGAATAATGGCCCTGGACGACCAGAGCCAGCTGCAGCTCGTATGTTTCCTCACCTTCCGTCGTCGATACTACCACTATCACCTATTCTTTCGGAGCCAAGCCGTGCTCCCTGCGGTACGGTGCGGACTATCTTCGTTCGGGTCTCCCCCTACATCCGGTCCACTCGTTGTCGGGGCCATTTGCGTGAACGGATAAATGCTTACCTCGACTTTTTCTCCATGTAGGAAACAACGATCGCGATTCGCAAGCTCCACCTCCGGCTGGACCCCGCTCATTCGCCGGTGAAAATCGCGCGGCTCGGTCACCCTCTCGCGTCAAAGTCGAAGATGATCGATCTCGAGCGGAGAGCTGGGACGTTGTCCGGGAAGATGTCAGTCTCCTTCATTGGGCGGGGTCGACGAGTCACAGCTGACGCTTTAGCGTACTCCAGCTGCCAAACCCGCTGCTCCGCCCCATATTGCGAGGGGAAGCAATACCGCTCCACTCGCTATCAACCGCTGGGGATCACGTGCGGCGTCCGCTGCCTTGGGCAACACTCCTGCGGCTTCAGCCGAGGTTTCCGAGCCTGTCAGGCGCGACTCCATCCCACCAGCTCCCGCGGCGGATCTGCCTCCGGTCGTCCCCGCTCGCTCCGTTCCACTTTCAGATATTACAGCTCGTCGAGCGCAACTACGGGAGGAGGCGCGACAGGCGGAAGAGACCCTGCGTAGGATCAAAGAGGAAGAGGACAAGCTCGATCGGGAGGAAGAGGACGAGCGCAGGCGTGTCGCAGAGGAGGAGACTGAGCGGAAACGCAAGGAGGACGAGCGAGTGAGGGAAGAGGAGGCACGGAAGCGCAGAGAGGAAGACCGGCGCAGGGAGGATGAGCGGAGAAGGGTCGCTGTGAGTACAACTTTACACTTGCCGCGAAACTTTTAGCTGACGATCAGTCTCCACCGAGACCGCTATACGATGATGATCGGAGCTATCGCCCCGCCGCTTCCCCACCTCCGCCTCGCGGTCCACCACCAGCCAACAGGCTGGACGGTCCCGGCCCGCCCGCTGGCTTGCGGGATGTCCGCCGTGCCCGACCCGACTCGCCCTCCCGCACCGCCCGCCAACCTTCCCCTGGCCCCTTTTCGCGAACCCGTGATCGCAGCCGAAGTCGAAGTCGCGAGCGCCCAGCTGGACGGTACGCTGCCCGCAATTCCAGTCCGTCGAGGAGGAATGGAGACTCGTACTATCCCGACGCGGAACGTTCCGATGACCGAGACCGCCGAGCCCCGGCTGTTCCCCTCGCAGATCGTATTGGACGACCCAGTCGAGCGGCAGAGACTTTCCCAGAGCCAATGGTCAGTGTATCTTATTCAAGATTTCGGAACTTTTGCTGATGGTCCAGCGCGCCCGTCAGAGGTCTGGATCCCGAGGTGATGCACGCCGTGATGCCGCGCCCGCCACTGGTGGCTATCGACCCCTTGCCGAGCGCATGTCAAGGGATGGAAGGGACGTCAGGGACTCACGGTCACCATGGGGCGCGAGGGGGCGCTGATCGCGGGCAAGCGAATGTCAATCATCAGAAGGTGGCGATACCGTTGACATGAGGAATGGAGGGAAAAGAATACATTTGGCAGTGTCGTCTGGTAGAAGAGTATGGTCCCGATGTACATCTTGGAACCTTAACTACAACCCTGAGGAGGCGAGCCTGCAGGCAGTCCAAAGTCGCAGATCCCTCGTGCATGGTCATGGTAGCATTTCAGTGCATCGTTCTTCCTCTCCATCATGAATGTCGTACGCGGATCTAAGTCTACAGCAATCTTTTCCAATACGTAGGTAGTTGGGGCGTCTACTGCATGAACTTGGCAGCCTGGAGTGTCAGTCACTGGTCAACGCGTCAAATTTCAGGTGGATCCGGGTACTCGCCATGTTCATCATGCTGCCGAGACCGCCAGAGTTGGCGCCACCGGTGGTCTGCAAGGTCAGCTATGGATCTGCTGAAGATGAGAAAAGCCGATGGGAAGACTCCGTATGGTAAACTTACACCTGAGAATTGGCTCTTGAGGAGGAGCTTCATCATCATCATACCAGCGGAGCTGCTCGTCAGCACTGGCTCAAGACTTGCAAGACTGAACCTACTTGACAGCATCCTGCTTGTTGCCCGATGCCGCACCGCCAGAGTTGTCGAAAAGCTGATAGATCAGCTGGTGGCTCAAATGAACGGGATCAGGGCAGCTCACCTTTGCAGCCTCAGACATAGCCATACCGATGACCTGTTGAATAAGCTCTTCCCATGCTGCACAAACCGCTTCATCTAGCTCACCTTGCTCTGCATGTTGCCGCCTGACGACTGCTCGGCGTTGCCAGACTGGCCCGAGGTGAACATCTTCATGGCCTGAAGGGCAGCTGCACTATATGATTAGCCAAGGCTGTACAGCGATCTCAGGACTTGGCGGCTCACGATCCGATAGAATTCGCGCTCATCCCGCCCGCGTTGCCCTTGTTGTACGCCTCGTCGTGCTTCCGGAGGACCTCGTCATCATCGACATCATCCTTGTCGTCCTTGTTCATGTTGGACAAGAAGCCAAATGCCGAGGAGAAGAGGGAGGAGTCCTGGTCACCGGCATTGGCATTCGCAGCGGCCATAGCGGAGCCCTGGTCGACTAGTCTGTTAGTATCGGTTCGCTTATTGACGGATGAGTTGAGCGAAAGGGTCCAGTAAAAACGCACTGTTGGGCAGCCCGCCGAACCCGCCAGACCCACCGCCCCCGTGAGGTCGGTTGAACTCCTCCCCTCCCGTCTTGTTGAAGAAGCTCCCCGCCTCGCCGCCCTGCCCACCGTTACCGCCAAAATTGCTGCCCCCGTAGCCGCCCTGTCCGCCCTGCTGGTTGTTGTACTCCTGCCCGCTGTTGCCGTAGCTCTGAGGGGCGTTCTGGTTGTTGTACTGGTTCGGCATCCCCTGCCCCTGGTTCGCATTCGCTTCAGAGTACGGGTTACCTTGCTGATGCTGCTGGCCCTGGTGGTTCTGGTTGTTCTTGTCGCCAGCTGAAAGGGATCAGCACTGCCTCATCGCGAATCTAGTGAGTCTCTCGCACGTACACGCATACTCCTGGACGGCTTGCTTGAGGAAATCCATTTTGCTGGTGTATGTGCTGATCGTTATGTTCGTACTGGTAGTGAGGATGAGAGGTATTAGATGCAGTGCAGGAGGTGCGAGGCCCGAGGAATCCAAGCTCAAGGTTCTCGAAGCTCAATGACGCAGTGACGTCACGGGACCCCGCGTTTCAGGTGGTCACTGTGGCGCCGGGATTGGTTCAGGTGGCAGCTTGTCTTTGGCGTGCCGCGGAGGGCGACCGAGAGGTAGCTCGCAGCATACTCAGGGGCAGCATGCTAGGTGGTAGGAAGGGAACCTTGCAGCACTCGGACCTGGCTTGGGCTACCAGGCGCTTGGAGAGAAGCCGAACGGGGCATGATCGCTTTCGAGGTCACGTGCGCTGCAAGTCTGCACGTATTTTTCGCTCAGCGGGTGGTTTGCACTCGTGGAAGTCCTGCAGAATGACCAGCCTGGTCTGTACGAGTGATTATGGTTGTCACCAGTCTAAGAAACTACTAGCCCAATGCGATCCTGTGGAAGTGGCATACATATACTTTGCGGCCAATCCGCCGGATCTTTGGCTTTGGATGTCCATTTGACACAGAATTCAGCAGAGGTAACGCCTCCCATCAGCCTGAACAGATGTACTGGGTGCTAGCGAGAGAGCAGTATGCAACGATCGCAGAAAAGCGTCCAAAAGGCAAGCAGAAAAGGTCACGTGCCCAATCGCGTCGCAATCACGAACGCGTCATCTCAGGCACGGCCGTGTTTCAGAAAGCTCTTCTTCCTTTGGGGTCGCGGCGAGCTTTCCAGCGGATTTCTTCCCCCAGTCTGTCAAGCTGCGTGGATCAGCGACTATAGCAGGACAGCAGTGAACCAGGGCCATGCATGCACACCCTCACTGAGCGCAGAGCCTTTCCACAAGCAGCATAGACGCGACTCTGACTTGACTGTCACACTCGCTGTCTGAAACCCCTGACGCAGGGCCATAACGTAATTGTCCCTCCCATGGGTGAGGGAGCATTCGAACCTTCCGGGATGAGGTGTTGTTAGGTCCACAAGTAACGCAGTCAATTTCTCTCCAAGCCGTGTCACTTCTCGCTTGTATACATATCTTTCTTTACCGCGTCTCACCTTCCTCTTCACAGCCACGCTCAGTGGCTCATTCGACAACTTCGGCAATCGCCACTCCGACTAAAACTCGCTCTTCATCGACACTCCTTCAACCCTTCAGGACCGCTTACCCTGCACCGGCGCGCTCGTCCCCTTGCATCAGCTATCGTCTTGTCGGCGACGACTAGCAATTCGTCGCTCTCTACATTGTATCTCACTCCAGACGCGCCTTTCGCAACCGACTTGATCAGCCACCTCGACGCGTCCTCCGCATAACTCCCTCCCGGCCCGGGTGGTATCTGAGTCAACATGGCTACTGCTCTACCGGTCAGTACTCTAGTCCTCTCCTCTCTTCTTTCCTTAATCTTCCACTCCACTAAGCTCTGCCATCCTATGAGCGGCATGGCTATGAGTGCATGTGCCTGTCTACCAACCCAGTACTCCAATCCCGTTCGCGATGTTTATCGGCTGCGCCCGTTCTGCGTTTTCCTCCCAGCCTTCGCACAATCCTAGCTCGGACACTATGCAGGGACCACCGCTGACGCTTCCTCTTCTCCCTACCTACCCTTCCTCTCACTCCTACTCTCGCGAACACATCCTCACGCCTACAATATCCCTCCACAAACGACCAACGCCCTACTATACTCCCTGCGACAATGCTTCCTCTACGTCAACTCCTTGTCTATTCCCCTACCTCTCCAAACCCCCTGTCGACCCATTCGTTACGCCCCCCGTCACCTATGCGACCGAACCCACGCCTATGAACCCCTATCGCTCGCTCACCATGTCGCGCCTGGACCTCAACTCACCACCACATCCTACCTGGACCTCACCACCGCCTATCTACCCTCTCGCCAATCCCTTTGTCGAATATCGTCCCTCCATCTTATCCTTCTTCGACATACCGCCACCTCCCCCCGTCAAACCCCGCTACCTCCCCAAACGTCCTCCCGACCTTGACATGAACAACAAAAACATCTCCGCTGCCGATATCCAAATGATACGCAATACACCCTGTCCTCGCGAACCTTTCGGCCCGCTCTTCTCTTTATTCACTCAACCACCCCAACAGACGCGACGCACGACTCGGCGAGCGGATGAGAACGCGGCACCGTCTGCCCGGCTCAGGTCTACCGCTGCGGCTGCCCCTGCCCCAAGCGGCAAGGCGGCCAATACCGCCTCCAACATTCCCGTCCTCAAGCGCGCACACTCGGCGGTGACGGCGACGGCGCCGGCTCCGGCGGCTAGCAAGCCTGTGGCGGCTGGGACGAAGCGGAGCGCGCTAGGCGAGGTGACCAATGGCGGCAAGGACAATGTAGCGAAGGGCGGTAAGGGGAAGGATGAGGGCGCTAAGGAAAAGCGGGCGCTGCAGCAGACCTCGTCGGCGCAAATACCAGCCTCTGCCGCGGTGGCCGGTCCGGCGCGTCGGACGCGGTCCAGCACAGGTGCCGCACCGGTCGTCGCGCCCGTCGTTGAACCAGCACCCAAGCGTCGAACAACCTCCCGCATTCCCGTTGCCGCTCGGTCTCGCTCCACTACCGCGTCGACATCTACTACTGTCGCGGACGGTCGGCTCAAGGAGCGCAAACTCAATATTGCCATCGAGACGAAGGAGGTAGTAGAGCCAGATCCGGCGCGCAAGAAGCGCAAGACGTCTTCACCGGCGCCGGAGGAAGACACGGAAGAGGACGACCTAGCGGACGAGGAGCTGTATGATGAGGATGGCCGGGAAGTCGTGCTCAACAGCGGTGGAAGGGCGACGCGTTTGAGGTCACCAGAGCGCGGTACTCGAGCAAAGGATGCTGGGTGGACAGACCTGGATGCGGAGGATGATGGAGATCCGACCATGGTCAGCGAGTATGTCGTTGACGCGTTCAACTACATGCTGGCTATCGAAGTGAGTCTTCAGCTTTCTTTCTTTTGGTCGCGCTGATGGATAGTCCAAAAGCATGCCGGACCCAGAATACATGGACCGCCAAGCCGAGCTGACCTGGGAAATGCGCGCTCTCCTTATGGACTGGCTCATCGAGGTCCACTCCAAATTCCGTCTCCTCCCCGAAACCCTCCTCATCGCCGTCAACATGATTGACCGGTTCCTCTCCCAGCGCGTCGTCTCGCTCGAAAAGCTCCAGCTGGTCGGCATGACCGCGCTCTTCATTTCGGCCAAGTACGAGGAGGTCATCTGCCCCAGTATCACCCACTTCCTCCACATGGCAGACGGCGGATTCGCGGTGGACGACATGATCAAGGCGGAACGATACATGTTGTCCACGCTGGACTTTGACATGTCTTACCCCAACCCCCTCCACTTCCTCCGGCGGATCTCCAAGGCGGACGGGTATGATATCCAGACCCGTACGCTTGCGAAATTCCTCATTGAGGTCATGTGCGTGGAGAAGCAGTTGATTGTGTACAAGCCGAGTCTGTTGGCGGCGGCGGGGACGTGGTTGGCCCGTCTGTGCTTGGACCGGGGACGATGGGTGAGTTAGCTCAGGTCCACCCGCCGTGACGAAGCTGACGCTCTAGACTCCCAATCTTGTTCATTACTCTACCTACGCGGTCTCGGAGCTCCTCGAGCCTGCTCAAATCATGGTCGACTATATCCTCAGTCCCACTCTTAATACCGACGGCGGCTTCTACAAGAAGGTGAGCTTCCGCGTGATATATCCTCCAGGCCTAAGCTGATGCTATAGTACGCCTGCAAAAAGCACATGAAGTCCTCCGTCTACATCCGACAATGGGCGTTGAACCGCTGGCCCGAGAGCGCGGACGGCACGAGCGAGTTCCAAGGCGAGGAGCTCGTCGCCGAGATCGAGGGGAGGCTCGAGCCTGTCATGGAGGTCCGGGACTACTAGGCGCCAAGTCGACCCAAGGCGATCAAACATCAACATCCACCCATCATCATCCTCTACCCTTACAACATTCCTCACATCGCCCGCAATATACCCATCGCATCAGATTCACCGACACTCCTTACCCTAATGACCCTCACCTGTACATAACGACCCTCCTCCGACCGCTACGACTGTATCATACGACCTCGGGCCCATCGTCACATAGCCCACGACAATCCCTTGGCGGCGAGCGGCGGAGCATATGGAGTAGGCCTTCTTAATAGTCCTACCCCCTGTCTCTGTCTGCTTCGTCCCCGCACCTCCTCTCCTTTTGGGCATATTCTTCTTCCATACTCCCTCGTGCCCTGTTGCTCCCTCCTTCCTCTCACCTTTCCCCCACTCTTCGTAGTTCTCAGCAGTCCTTCATTCTTCTTAGATTCATCATAGCGAACAGGTAGTATGTGGTAGACAGTAGTGAGCTCGTTGATGGCGGTCAGTAAGGGGGTTAGGTAGTATTGATATGTCATCATGCTTTTTGTCAACGAGATATCCATCTATCGGTGTGTATATATCTGCAGTCTAGTCACACTGCTCAGTGCTCGCGAATCCGCTTTTTGGACCGCGGCAAGCTCCTCCACTTCATCCATTGCCCAGCCAAACGGTCACAGCCCCCAATCAAGCCGCCTTTCCTGCTGATCTCCGCTTCTTCCGCGCTTCCGCCATGGCAACCTTTCCAAAGAAGAGCGATACGCCGATCATGCCTGATAGGAGAAGGAGGACGGGGAGACGGACGGCCCATTCGCGGGCGGGGAAGAAGGATTGGAGGGGTGATGATTCGGGGAGGAATGGCTGGCGCATGAGCTGGAGTCTCTTGTTTATAATAAATGTGCAAAGGAGCTGGTAAGAATAGAAGCAGCTTCATGGGAGGGAGGAGATTGATAAACTTACCAGGAACAACGCCCATGTGGTATAGTACCCAAAGACGACAAGGGCGACCGCGAGCATCGTCGCTCCGAGGACTTTATCTGAAGCGGCCTACTCGGTCAGCCTGCAGCCCTTCTTCACAAACTCTTCCCGTGGGCTTGATGTACCATTTTAGGCTGATCTAGCTTCTCTGGTGTGTGGTCGGAGCTTTATGGTGAGATGGAGGAAGGGAACAAGGCAGGGAAAGATGGTCTGAGAGTCCATCGAGAAACGCGTACATCTGGTTCCGGGGGCAGTTTCAGAACGGAGGAATGTGGCGCGGGGGGCGGCCGATGGGAGGCCACCCGGGAAGCTTCATTGCATCGCTATCTATGCGTTACCAGCAGTTGGGGTTCTCGTCACTTCAGGCGTGACGTATCTCGAGCGCCGAAATCTGTAAGGCTCAAGTATACGTCGCGATCCCGTCTGATCGATCCAAGACAAATTGACACGAGTTAGGGTACGCTAAGAATGATTCCACCGGTCCATCATCTTCCGTCTACATGTGCGGCACCACCTTGTTCTCCCTCTGCGCCTCTTCCTCCCGACCAAACTTCCTGACCGGCCGATAGAATACCAAAAAGCCGACAAGCCAGACCATCCCCCATCCCAGAACAAAGATAAACGACGCCCTGACGTTCACCCAGTTCGTGTTGTTTCCCGGCTCGACAGTGAGCAGTCCCGCCTGAATACTGAGCGCCACCGCCGAGCCCACCTGCAGCGCCACCTGTAACACCGCTCCCGCCACACCAGCCATCTCGGGCGGGACCGCGGTCATGATGCCTGCGTTGGTAGCTGTAAAGACGAGCGATGTGCCGGCTGAGCCGATGATGGAGCCGGTGAAGGTGAAGATCCAGTAGCGATCGCCGATCATGCCCTCGCTGAAGATAAAGAGGATGTAGCCGGCGAAGCCGGCTATCATACCGAGCGTTATGGGCCAGCGGGGATGAGCGACAAATTGCGGGTAGACGGTGAGGAAGATAGTCATCGCTCCGGCTGCGAATCCCTGGGGCAGCATACGAGCTGCGGCTACGATGGTGTCGTCGCCATGGGTATGGATAAACGTCTCGATGAAGGGGAGATAGGTGAGGGACCACCACGCATAGATGTAGAGGGCGAAAGCGATGAAGATGCCAAAGTTGGGGATATGCCATGTGGCCGGTGGTAGGAGGGCGTGTTCGGCGGGGATGCGACTCTCCCAGATGAAGAAGAAGGGAAAGAGGAGGAAGGCGAGGAGGAAGGGGACGAGGACGCCGGGGGTGCGCCAGCCATCTGACGCGCCGAGCGTGAGGCTGAGGATCAGGAGTAAGATGCCCGATAGCATGGAGAGTGAGCCGACGAGGTCGAGACGCTTCCAGATGTTGTCTAGTGGCGTGGCGCGGGGCCTGGGGGCTGGGATCCAGTATAATGATCCAAAGGCGAAAGGAAGCTGTCCCGTTAGATGCGTCAACGGTGTTGGATGCTAGGACTTACAATGACTGCCGCCAAGATCCGGAAGAACCACCGCCACGCCACCATCTGCCCCTCGTTCGCGATGAACTCCAGGAGAGCAGCCACGACGATACCCGAGGTATTCGCCAGCACACTCGAGATCCCGTAGACGATGAACGCCTTGCAAAGCTCCTGGGGTTCAAAGATCGCCACGATCAGTCTATAGGACGCCGGGATGAGTGCTGCCCCGGCGATCCCGCTGATGACCCGTACGACGAAGAATGAGTACTTGTCGGGTAGGAAGGAGATGACGAGATTGAGGATACCGAGGGCCATAAAGTTGAAGGAGAAGACGGACTTGGCCGAGACCAGGTCGGAGACGCGTCCCCAGAAGAGGAGGAAAGCGCAGAATGTGGCGGCGTACGAGGTGATCACCCATGACTGTTGTTCAATGGCGACGGATAGATCAGACGAGATGGGCCCTGTGTCGTCAGCTTCTTTCTAGTGGCTGAAAGATTCCAGGGGACTTACCTGTCAGCACATAGAAGGCTGAATAAGACCAGATGTCGACGAAGAGACCCAGTGAGAGGAGGGCGAGAAGCGACCACTTCTTAGGCTGGCTCAGCTCAGGAAGGGGAGGGACAGATTTGTTATGCTCAGTGTCGCCGTTAACGGTAGTTGTCGAGCAGAGTGAGCTGGTGAAAGATTCGGATGTGAGGGGAGCGGACATGGTGTCGCTCTGAGCAAGGGTGAGGCTGGACATGGCTGGGGTGAAAGCAAGGAGTAGATATCGTAGGAGAAGTCGCTGGTCGGTGCGAGGTCCTGGTATGGCGGGTATTAGACTTGCTCAGCTCGAGAGGTGAGCGCGGAAAAGGAGATGAGGGACTGGGTCTCAAGTGAGTGGGGGTCTTATACCTCTCCAAGACTCGAAGACGCCCCCGGTCGACCATGCTTCGCTGTGTCTCCAAGGGATGTCACACCTACACAGAGCTCCGCGTACCCCGAGGAGAGGGTGCAAAGGACAATCCACTGCTTGCTCAGTGAATTTCGCACCCCGCCGAGGGCAGATCTCGGGGATGTTTGCTGCCTTCAAGCACGGACCACCAATCGACTGACATCTCACCGGACATCCTGAGCAGTCAGGGATAGGGGACCGACCTGCGCTAATCTCAGTGTTGTCAGCGTGCCCAGCGATGGAGATCGATGAAAAGGTTCTCGCCCGACCTCCTCGGGTTCTAGGGGTGGTCGGTCAAGTATGCCCGCCTCATCCCTTAGTCGATACTCGGTAAGCACGGCGCAACATATGGGTCCGACGGGGTGGATCAGTAACACATGCGGACAAGTTGGAACAAGAGCGATCGAAAGGCATGGTGATCAAAGGGTGTGGACGTTGAGGGTAGGTATTTGTAATTGCCGCGCGGATCTGGTTAAAACTTTCTGTTTCAGAAGGTCGATGGTTGCGTTTCGCGTGACTCCCATACTCCCACGAGCGACGCGCCCTCCCGGCCGCCTGGAACATTAATTGGGAGCCACATGCCGAGGGTTCCAGATCCCAGACGCTCATGAGTGTGGTAAGGACTCTCGCACCGAGGAGGAGGACTCCACATCGCTGGTGGTTCCAATCAGTTCCAACTACGCACCTGAGATTATGCAGGCGGCGCGAAAGCGCCAAGCACACCATATCCTCAGCACCTCTGTCTCAGCTTCAGGCAGTGGCATGCAGGATGTACGATGAGATGGAGTTGACCAGATAGACGATGAGCTCGCCGGACTCGAGCCACTTTCTCACAGCACTCTCTAAGGCGGAGCTCCGGCTCGGTTACAAGTTCAGCCGAGTGCCGTAATGAGGAGGGCCTATAATTGCCTCTAGAAGTAACTCTGGAGAGCTTGCGGGGAAGTCCGCTTCTGAATCTGGGGTAACGCCATTCGCCACAGCTTCTCCCCGCTTACCGGCAACTTGTCCACTCTTCCAACCGGAGAATCCGCAACACAGCCAACAAACTGTTTGAAAAGCCTTCACCCATTCCTTCATCTTCCTCTCATACTCCCTTCTCACACTACCCCATCTATCACCATCACCATCACAAACAATGTCTAACGCCAAAGTTATCATCGTCGGAGGTGGTCTTTCCGGTTTGAGCGCAGCTCACACCGTTCTGGAACGAGGTGGCAATGTGGTATGTCTCCATTCCGATCGACGCGACCGAATCTCCGCGAAAGTATAGCAAGGTGCTGATCGTCTAGCTCCTCCTCGACAAGAACAGCTTCATGGGTGTGAGTCCATAATTCAAGCTCAGAGTGAAATGGGGGCTGATCTGGCTAGGGTAACTCGACAAAGGCAACCAGTGGTATCAACGGTGCCGCCACACAGGCTCAGGCCGATCTTGGCATTCCCGATACTTCCGCCAAGTTGTGAGTCGCGCTCATCGGCTGAAGCAGGCCAAGCTGACAGCCCAGCTTCGCCGACACCAAGAAGTCCGCCCGTGAACTCGCCCGAGATGACCTGATCAAGGTCCTCACCTACAAGTCAGGAGACGCCGTCAACTGGCTTGTCGAGCGATTTGGCCTCGACTTGTCCAAGGTCTCGCGTCTGGGTGGACACTCGCAGGAACGGACACACCGAGGTGGACAGCAGTTCCCGGGTATGACCATCACCTACGCGTTGATGGAGAAGGTGAGACTTTTCCGCTTTGCCCAAGACATGTCACTGATGAGCTAGCTCGAAGACCTCGCCGAGAACAAGCCGGACCGCGTCAAGATCTTGAAGAAGGCCAAGGTCAGCAAGTTGATCCAGGAGGGCAACAACGTCCTCGGTGTCGAGTACGAGAAGGACGGCAAGAAGGTGAGCAGAACCTTTTTCACGCTTGGACTACAGCTTACGTTCTAGTTCACCGAGCACGGTACCGTCATTCTGGCCACCGGAGGTTACGCTGCCGACTTTACTTCTGACTCTCTGCTCAAGAAGCACCGACCTGAATACTACAACTTGGTAAGTTCTGCGCCGCGTTTCCGTTGAGTCCCCGGCTTACCCGTCAGCCTACCACCAACGGTGACCACTGCACTGGTGACGGACACAAGATGGCCATGTCGATCGGAGCCAAGGGTATCGACATGGAAAAGGTCCAGGTCCACCCTACTGGTCTTGTCGACCCCAAGGACCCCGACGCAAAGGTCAAGTTCCTCGCTGCTGAGGCCCTTCGTGGTGTCGGCGGTCTCCTCCTCGATAACACCGGGAACCGCTTCGTCGACGAGCTGCAGCACCGAGACTACGTTACCGGAAAGATGTGGGAGAACAACAAGGTCATTTTTTTCGTCATTTACAGGTACTCGGACTGACGGTGTAGTTCCCTATCCGCTTGATCCTCAACGGCACCGCGTCCAAGGAGATCGAATGGCACTGCAAGCACTACGTCGGTCGTGGCCTCATGAGGCGGTTCGGAAGCGGTGACGAGCTGGCCAAGGAGATCGGATGCTCGCCCGAGGTGTTGAAGAAGACTTGTCAGTAACGATTACGACTGAGTCTTGGGTGTCGCTGACAAATCAGTCGATGACCACAACAAGTACAGCAAGAACCCCGGATCCGACCCATTCGGCAAGAAGTTCTTCAAAGGTGGAGAGTGGAAGATGGACGACCAGTTCCACGTCGCTCTCATGGTATGTTGAGCTGATCTTTTTCGCCGTGCTTAGGCTGACAAGACAGACCCCCGTTCTCCACTACACCATGGGTGGTCTCGAGATCGGAACCGACTCTGCTGTGATGGACGCCAACGACAAGGCCATCCCCGGTCTTTTCGCCTGTGGTGAGCTGGCCGGTGGTGTACACGGTGCCAACCGTCTCGGAGGGTCTTCGCTTTTGTGAGCTTCTCGTCCGCCCTGGAAGGAATGAGGCTGACCGGTCAGGGGATGTGTCGTGTTCGGTCGTGTCGCCGGTGACTCTGCCGCATCGCACCTTCTCGGCCAGCTCGCTACCCAGAGCTCCAGCTCGGGCGGTGGTGGTTCCGGTCAGCTCCTCGAGACCCGTATCCGCGTCGACCCCAACAGCAAGAATGTCAACCTCGAGTTCTCATGGGCCGGCCAAGGGGGCGCCTCGTCCTCCAGCTCTGGCTCGCAGCAGTCCCAGGTCCAGTCTCACGACGCCTCGGCTGCTCCCGCCGAGTCTGCACCTGCTCAGCAGGGCGACCGGACCGCCGCTCAGCTCGAGCCCGAGAAGCTGCCCGAGACCAAGGCGAAGAAGGAGGACAAGGCTGGCGGAGAGTACACGATGGAGGAGGTTGCCAAGCACAACAAGGAGAGCGATATCTGGGTCGTGATTGATGGTCAGGTCCTCGATGTTACCAAGTGGGTCTATCTTTGCTTTTGAGCTGGATTTGGCTGACACCCTAGCTTCCTCAGCGAGCACCCGGGAGGCGCCAAGGCGATCATGCTCTACGCTGGCCGAGATGCGACGGAGGAGTACCAAATGATCCACCCGCCAAATGCGATCCAGAAGTACGCGGCCGACACTGGTAAGTCTACGCCACCCTGCAGAGTCAGCAGAGGCAGAGGCAGTGCTGATCAGATAGTCATCGGCAAGGTCAAGGCTTAGGGGTCACGTCAAGCTGTGTTTGGGTATCAGGTGTCAGCGTTGTTCCCCGTCTAGTTTGTACTTCCGTGTTGTCTATCCCGGTTGTCTGCAGGTGCTATGCATGTAACCTTTGCAGTAATATCGATGCTAACTCGAATCGCGCTGACGTGAATGCATGTACTGGCAGTAAGGTTTCCGGTCACTCTCCTGCTCTCTCGCCCCACCTCCACGACTGAAAAAGTCTCCCTGTGCACTGCTCACACTCCTGAGGCACCGTTGACATGGCCCAGAGATAACAGACGACGCTTCGGAAAGATGGATTTCTGGTCCTTTTCAGCAAGGAATGATATTCCGCTCCAACACGCTGTCATCTGCGGAGACTGATGTGTCCAGGCTCTTGATCAGCAGGCTGCCTGCGACGTGCAGCACGTCAACCGAGCGGATCTTTGAGCCCGTACTCAGCGTCAACCTGGATATCGTGTCACCCTCCTTAATCCCCTTCTGACGACCTGCGACGCGCAGAATCTCATCTGTCGAGTTCAGATTGTATGTGGAGTCAAGGAGCTTATATGTCGGGTCAGCCGTGATATCTTCCACGGACAGGGCGGTAGCGGGGTGCTTGGTCAGGGACACATGGTGCTTTCGTTCCGTACCCTCCGAGGCGTCAGTCTCCACCCAGAGCACCAGAGGTGATCTGACAGCAGTCGAGGCGTCGACCGGCATCAGAATGGCGATTCTGGGGACTTGAGACTCGCCAAAGCCATGGCTGCCGACAACAAGCCCATGGGCATTGAGATTCCATGCTGTCGCGAAGGTGTGTTCTGAGGTAAGACGACGTGGCGGTATCCTTGGCAGCAGAACTCTGGGTCGCGTAGATATCGCGCAGGGGTCCGAAGCAGTACCAGCCCACTCCGTGAGTGTCCTGAGCCACCTCTTGGGCAGTGGGTCCCGTCGCCGTAAGCGTCAAGCCAGACCCTTTGATGTTCTGATCAAGGGTTGGGTCCGTGAGCCTGCCAGCCACCCCTGCCATGATCTCTCTGTAAGTGGGCTTGGCTTTGGGCGGCATGTTGGTTGTGTGGTGATCAAGGTGGTGTGTGAGCTGGTCGATTTCGCGGGTTGAGGAGGTTCTGGTTGTGCACTTTACGGTCGAGAAGAGGTCAATTATGTGGGGGTCAACGACGGTGGCGATGAAGCACTTGTTTGCCACTGGGCAGTCCTGTCTCTCGGCGCGAGCATGCTGTACAAGTTGTTACTCCTTTCAAGACGCACCCCTTACAAGCTCGCTTCACCGAGGAACAAAGGGGTTAGTAAGAATAAATGCAGCTGCACGGTGCGCCTGTCGTCAGATCCCTTATTCCGCGCGCGTAGATCTAGACAGTGGTGGCTTGTGCCTTCTCGGAAGGCGATATAAGGCGTCAGAGCACGCAATTCCGCCTCTAAGGTAGTAGAAGACTAGTTGGAGCCAATGAAGAAAGGAGAGTGAGGTGCGAGGCGCAAAGACAGCGACCTCATTGCGACAAGGGGGATCTGCTAGCCTTCCGGATCGGTAGATATTCCCTTCGCGACACTGGTCTCACACAGTGTGCAGACGGTCAAGAAAGGATGCCGATATCAATTCGGGGAGTACAAAGGGCACCTGAGCTGATGGCGTGCTCAGAGCCTTCGTGACTTTCCAAGACCGCGGACGAGCAGCTGAACGCGCGCATATATAGGTGACTCCTGCTACTGGCGATTCAGAGTCTGTACTCCTCATTCGTATCGTCACAGCTCCAGCAGCTAGCTATCCCACTCCCGACCATCATGTCCAAAGATCAGGAAGGGAAGCCAGCCCTGGTTCGGCAGGTGAGCGATGACAGCCAAGTGTCGGCCACGAGATCGAACGCCGTACAGCCGGGGGAGCAGACCGCCACCGTCTCCAGCACTCACAGTGGGGGGCGGTACCTCGCGTCAGATTTTGACGAGGAAGATCCACGCGCGCCCATGTTCAGAGGTTCTGCGCAGAAGAGGAGTGGCGTACCCATCATTGCGTCTGACTTGTCCGCGGCTCTCCGTGGCCGGAGCTTGCTGGGAACGATGTCATTCATGCCTTCGTCGACCGAGAAACCCAAGTCAATGCAGACGTCCATTGCGAGTGCGAGCACGGGCGGCAAGAACACTTCTGCAGTCTCGTCCGACACAACCAAAGTACCCAAAGCATGGGATCAGCCGGACACCCAGGATCAGATGTGCGGAGAGCAGTCCGCCGATGCGGCCAAGGAGGAGAAGGAGACCGTCGGCTCGAATCCTGCCGATAGCCAAGCCCGGCAAGCCGGATCATTCGTGGTGGACACCGATGATGATGAGTCATTCAGAGGTGGGGGATCGGCGTGAATGTCTGGGAGTCTCGCAAAGAAGCGGCAATGACCCGGTGGCAGCAATGTACTTGACGGGCGGAGCACAGATGTATCAGGAGTATCAGGAGTATCAGGAGTATCAGGAGTATCAGGAGTATCAGGAGTATCAGGAGATGCATGATGTACATACTTCCTCTGTCAGATAACCTTTTTAATCCTCCTTCTCGCTCAATTACGCACCATCTCCCCTCCTTCATGACCCTATGCTTCCGGTTTGTTCACGACCGCACACGCTTACGCTTAATTGGAAAGGAGACACTCAAGTGAGTCCCGCAGAGAAGACAGCAAGGGGACCTTAGGGCTGGCAGGAGATCACTTTTGAGTCATATGAGCACCAGTCAATAGACGGGTTACCGCAGTGTGAGTGCCAAGTCAGTTCGACGCATAAGTGAAGAGATCCATAATCTATAAACATGACGATGATACGAAGAACCTAGCGAAACCAACCTGAACCTGATGTATGAGAACCTATCCTACCCTTCCGTCTATATGTGTTCCATGATACCCCATTACCCCTTCTTCTACGCCCGCAGCCTAATTTCCGGGCTGGATCATAACCCTGTCGGCCAAGCTGATGAAGATATCGTCGGCCGGGTGACGGTAGAGGGGCTGCTTGAGACGCTTCTGGTCGATGAACTGAAGATGTCAGCTCGGTCTTCGCGAAGAGAAAGGGTTCTTGACTCACGTGTCCGATGAAACCGATAGACCGACCCAGGACAAAGAGACCGTTCAGGGCCCCGATGTTCCTGTACTCCTGCGCCTCCTCCTCGGTGAACGCGCCGCAGCCCGAAAGCAGATCGCAGAACGAGACGGCGATAGCACCATCCACGTTCAGGATGAGGGTGTTGGACTTTTGGGTAGTGACGTCCTCGACCGCGAGGGCAAAGTCGAGGGTCTTGTGGGCGGGGAAGTTCTTCTTGACAAAGTCAACGACGAGCGAGACCCGGAGATCCGGGTTGGTCTTTGACTTGATCTTGTGGCCGATACCGGGGATGAGGCGGTTGGCTTTCCGCATAGAGTCGACAAACTCTCGCGGGGTCAAGCCCGACTCGAGACCGTTCGAGAACTCGCGGGCGGCGCCGTCGAGTGCACCACCGAAGCGGTCACCGATGGTAAGGAGACCGGCGGCGAGGGACGAGATGAGGTCCTTGCCGGCACGTGCAGTGATGATGGTGTTCATCGCACCCGAGACGGCCGGTCCGTGGTCCGCCGTAAGCTGGAGGACCATCTCGATGAATTTGCAGGCGTATGGGGGGAGACGACGCTTGAACCAGAGCAGTGAGACGACACCGCCGAGGCCGAGCTCCTCCTCGAACACCTCCGAGATACGCATACCGGCGTACATGAGCTCCTGGCCCCGCTCGTCCGAGATGGTCGAGATGAAGGCAGCGGGCTTCCGGATGAGCCCGAGCTTGGACGCCCAGTTGTAGTCCATGGGGATGTTTGGGGGCTCGACCTCGGGCTTGGGTACGATAGCGCCGGACGAGACGAGCTTCTGGTAGGTCTCGGCGAGGACGGTGGGGAGGTCCTCGAAGGTGTCCGGGACGATGAAGCCGGCCGCCTTCATGGAGCGGTTCTTGGCGTCGGCCGTCTCCATGTCTGAGTTGGCCATGGATCCGGCGTGACCGAATTGCACCTCGGAGGTGAACATCTTGGCGCACGTCCCGATCGCCCAAGCCACGATAGGCTTGGTGATCTTGCCAGACTTGACGGCCTCAATGACACGGTACTCTTCCGTTCCGCCGACCTCTCCGAGGAGCATGATCATCTTGCACTCCGAGTCCGCCTGGTACCGCATAATGTGGTCGATGAACGAGGTACCGGGGTATCGGTCACCACCAATGGCGATACCCTCGTAGACACCGTTGGTGGTGTACGAGAGGATGTTGTTGAGCTCGTTCGACATACCGCCCGACTTGGAGACGTAGCCGACCGATCCGGCACGGTAGAGCTTGCACGAGATCAAGTTGTCCATCATACCACCGGTGTTTCCGATACGGAAGCATCCGGGCTTGATACCGCCGACGGTGGCGGGACCGATGATGATGACGCCCTTGTTGGTGGCGAGGTGGAGGAGCTCACGGGCATGACGCTCTGGGACACCCTCGGCGATGATACCGATGGCCTTGATCTGGGGGAAGGAGAGGATGTCGATGGTGGAGGCGTAGACCGACCGGGAAGAAGAGAAGTTGACAACGACGTCGACGTCCGGGTGCTTCTTGGTCGCCTCGGCGACGGAAGTGTAGACGGGGAGGAGGGTCTCCTTGGTGCCCCAGTAGAACTTTTGGATGTGGTGACCGCCGAAGGGGTAGATCATGGCAGCGACCGAGGGGGTCTTGCGGCCGCAGGAGAAGTCAAAGTCGAGCATCCCCTGGATGGCACGGGGCTGGAGACCAAAGACGAACGACCGGGTGTGCTCGTCGAAGGGACGGTACCAAGTGCGCTTGCCAACCGTCTCGGTCTCAAAGTGGACGATGTGGTCGTCGGCCTGCTCGCGCGAGCCGTCGGCCTTGATGGAGCCGACCGCCTTTTGGGTCTTCTCGGGACCGGTGCCGTTCGAGCCGTTGGCCTGGACGGGGGCGTCCTCGACGGCGGGGGTGGCGGACTGGGTGGGAGGGGGCTTGGAGATGCCGAGAGCCATGGGGACGATGGCAGTGATGGGGGACTCGGGACCGTAGACCTTCATGAAAAGACCGAGGGATTCTCCGCAAAGGCGCATGGCCTTGAGACCCTCCTGGTAGTTGGGACCGGCTCGGCGGACCCAGATCTTGACGTCGTGGCGGAGGAGCGCCTCTTTGTACTGCTTCAGGGCACGGATGATACCCTTGAAGGTAGCGGCGACGTCCGAGAAATTGGCGGCACCACCACCGATGATGAGGACCTTGCCTTCGGGGTGAACCTCGCCACGGGTCATGAGGTCGACTAAGGGTGTGAGCAAAGCCTAAACTGAGATACACAAGCTACTTACCGATAGTCTTGGCGTACTCGTAGGTTTGACCCTCGGTCGGGGCACCCGAGTATTCACCGTAGTTGGCGAGCTCGTGGGCAAAGCCAGCAGCGGCGATGGCGTCTGAGTAGACGACCGATGCACCACCACCAGCAACCATGGTCCAAACGCGACCAGTCTGGTTGAGCACGGTCAACTTGAGACTGGCACCGGTCGAAGCGTCGAGCTTCTGAATGTACGCCTCCTCCTTGGTGAGATCACGACCGAAGGGCGCGGGCCAGACCATGGGCGGTCCACGGTCAGCCTTGATCGACGAGCCGGCGACGGACGAAGCGGTGTCACGGGCAAGAGCCCACTTGGGACCGCAGAGGAAGTCGGCGGTCTGGTCGAGCTTGGCAGCCATGTCGAGGTAGAAGATCTCGGCGGGCTTGGTGGCAGTCGCGTCAACGCAGACGAGGGGGTTGATCTCGAGGTAGGCGACTGGGAAATGAGCTTGATCCTTGACGAAGACGGAGCTACTCACAGTGCAAGTCGACGTAGACGGCGTACATGCGGATGAGAAAGTCACAGAGGATGTCCTGCTTGGCAGCGGGGACAGACTGGAGGAGGGTCGAGATGATAGTCTCGCGAGTGGGGAACTGACAATCAGCTCGGACTCGGACAGCAGTCACAAAAGCTTACCTCCTCTCCGACAGCGATGAGAAGCTTCAACGCCTTGGCATCAACATCTCCGACCTCAACACCACCCTCGCTACCAGATCAGCTACTGCTCACTCAACCTGAAAGCTGAACTCACTGTGTGAAGAGGATCCAGTCACCCTCACGGACAGAGTTGATGCAGACATAGTACTCGGTGTCGGCCGCGTGGGGGAGGAACGGCTCGATGATGAAGGTGTTGAGAGTTCCGGTGGTCTTCTCGACGAGCTGGGGCTTGCCAGCGCGTTGCTCAATCCAGGCACCAGTCTCTTCCCACTCCTTGTTGAGGCAGAGAAGGCCGGCCTTTCCGCGTCGCTTGATGAGCTGATCGGGCTTGCCGACGAGCTTGGAGGTGAAGACCCATTCGGGGAGACCCTGGCCGGGCTTGATGGGAGGGGAGACGGTCTTGGTAGCCGGGTCGCTGTGGATCAGCACGAGCCCTTCATCCCTGCGGCACTGCCTCTTGGGCCAGACTAGGACTTACAATTCAACCTGAGCGACCTGGACGGGTGCGACCGTCGACTCGGTCTTACAGGGGATGGGGGTAGGGGAACGGGGCAACCAGTAAGACAGAAGCTGCTTGGCGTCGTACTCGCGGATAGCTGCGGACGTGAGCTCGAGCGCGAGCGCGGAAGTCACCCAAGCTGGTGAGACGTACCCTTGGTAGACATTTTGTGTGGATTTCAGTAGAGTAAAAGGAGAGGAAGAAGAGCGGCTGATCGTATTAGCTGTAGATCAGAGAATTGAAGAAGAGATGTAGAGAGAAGAAAAGTTGGTTGATGAGCGGGAGGGGGAGGAATTCGCGGTCACGCGCGTGGGGATGTCCGAGCTCAGAAAGTCGGGAATTTTGGGGTGGAGGTTTCAGTTGGGGAGGGAGATGTGAAACTGCCGTGGACTCACTTGAACAGTCAAAGAGCGTGAGAGGAGACGAGGAAGCGGGGTGTTGTTTGTGTAGCTAAAAGCTGAAGATCAAGAGAGCCTTCGTTGCCTTGGCCTTCTTATCGTCTCACTCTTCCTGATCCCCTTCCCACCCAACTTTGTCCGCCTCTCCCCAACCCCAGCCGCCGGAACGTGGCGGGGGAAGACACGTGGCGAGCGAGCAAGAGGTGCGCATGCGTATCTAGCTGTCGATTCCGAGGCGGAGTTTTGCGGATTTATAGATGAAACGCCAAGCGATATTTCGGACACCGACGCCGAGGTCCACCTGCTACTGCACGTTCATCTGTTGACACTGTACTTTATAGCATGTCGGAGCAGACGATACATCCCGCCCACCAACGACCGATATGACATCCACTCCGGTCCTCGTTCTCGATAATGGGGCGTATATCATCAAAGCTGGAGTGGCAGGGGTAGATTGGGAGCCCAGGCACGTCGAGATCCGTCTGCTCCAGAGGGCTCTCCGCTGACAGTGCTCACAGAGTCATCCCCAACTCAATAGCCCGGTCAAAAGCGGAGAAGAAAGTCTACGTCGCCGACGAGATAGAGTCATGCAAAGACTTGTCGAGTCTGGCATATCGTCGGCCCTTCGAGCGGGTACGTCGTGCTCCTCCTGGGTGCAGCAGCAGTGGCTGATCGACACAGGGTATGCTTGTCAACTGGGATGTGGAGAAGGCTGTTTGGGACCGCATTTTCTCTTCTTCATGCTTGAATGTGAGCACTTCCTCGCCGCCAACATGCGACTCGTAAGAGCTGACAGCTAGATCACTCCTACCGAGACGTCGCTCCTGGTTACCGAGCCATACTTCAATCTGCCGAATATCGCAGAGACGTATGATCAGATGGTCTTCGAGGAATGGGAGTTCGCAAGCTACTATCGGACCACTCGTAAGTACCATCTTGTAGTGTCTAGGAGAAAGGGCCAGATGCTGACCTATGCTCAGCCGCTGCTCTGATACCGTACGGTGGGCTCTTCGAGGACGATACAGGTATCTCTCCAGAATGCTCTATCGTTATCGACATGGGGTACTCGTATACCCATGTAATACCTATCAGATCCGGCGAGGTCATCTGGGAGCACATCAAGCGGTATGTCTTCCCCACGAAGGCGGGACAAAGCTGACTAGATAGGATGGATATCGGCGGCAAGCTTCTGACCAATCATCTAAAGCATCTCATTTCGTTCCGACAGTGGAATATGATTGATCAGACTGCTATCGTCGAAGCTGTTCGCCAGACCTGCGGCTACGTCAGTATGGACTATAAGGCGGACCTGGACCTTTGCAAGTGAGTCAGCTTGCAGATGCTTGGCTGGCTTTAGCCGAACACGAGCTGACGTCTTCAGACGAAATCCCCGCAAGAACCCGATAGTGCAGGAATACGTCCTCCCTGACTTCTCGCCAAACTCGACCTCTCGGACAGGGTATATCCGTTCTGGACCCGGCGCTGCTTCATCACCTCCACCTACAAATGGCGCTCAAAGCTCATCGCGGAAAGCAGCAGACGGCGGGGAGGAGGAGCAGGTACTTTACATGGGGAATGAGCGATTTGCGGGACCAGAGCTCCTCTTTCATCCCAGCGACATCGGTATGTTCGGCGCTCCGGATCCTCTATGGGTGAGGGGTCTGTCTGACATCCGCAGGTCTGAAGCAGACGGGCTTGCCTGAGACTATCGCATTTGTGATCGGGCAGATGCCTGTCGAGCTGCAAGGCATGTTTTGGGCGCACATCGGGATCTTTGGGGGCTTGGGCATGATACAGAATATAGGCGAAAGACTGTTAGTGCCCTTCATCGACGTCTAACTTGGCAAAGTATCCGGCTGACTGGCCAGAGAACGAGATCTCCGAGCCCTCTGTCCTACCGGATTCGACATCGGGATCTTTGAGGCATTCGAGTGAGCTCTGCCTTTTGACCCCGCTGACCCCTCAGTACGTCCGCACCACCTTACCACGCCGCAACCAACCTCGCCACCTCGGAATCCTACCTCTCCACCCACCCCATCACACGCGCCGAGTACCTCGAACACGGTTCCGGGATCTGTCGGCGCCGGTTTGGCGGCCCAGCTTACTCGGTCAATCCACCAGGCTTCCAGTCAGGCATTTCGCTGGCTGAGATGGATGATGAAGAGCGGGAGAGGCGGTATGCCATGGGACTGATGGAGATTAGTAAGAAGGGGAAGGCGAAGAAGAGGGCGCAGGAGGAGGAGGTCGTTAGTGGAAACTGGGGCGGGAGGAGGCGGAGAGCTATGGGGATGATGTGAGGCGTTGACCACCTGACTGAGATGTACCGCTTGCTGAGATCTTGCTTCAGTTGTGCACGCCCTGGTATCCGCCTGCATTGGACATATGCCAGCTTGCAGCTGTCCTGCACGCTGAGCGCTGATCCAAAATCTCTTCGCTTGGGCGATCGACGCCACCAGCCAAGAATGACGCACTTAAATAATTGATCCCGCATTTGGCACGCAGGCAGCATTCCATTCCATGCCAACGAGGCATCTCCTGTTGATGTTCCACTTTGCATTCCTACCCGATCCTCCTATAGATCAGCGAGGGACGTGTACAGCTCTGCCTATCCAGCGCGAGAGGGATCCATCACCTTGAAGCTTTTACCCAAAAACCCGCATACTCTACACCGCTTGAACCTACTGCACAATGTCAGCGACGCAACGCATTCACCTCAACCCCAACGCGCCTCGCGCGCCCATGATGGGCGGTATGACCGGAGGAATGAGCGGCGGGGGCGGTGGCTATACGCCTGATCCGGTGCGGCCGCGCTCGGGAGGGCAGATGGGCGGTCAGGGGGGTGATGTCCTTTCGCAGGTCAAGGTGTGGAGCAGTAAGGCCGAGGATGCTATTGAGACTTACAGTCAAGTGAGTCGGGTCTGCCATCTTTGCGGAATGTAGAGTGAGCAGACGTATTGGAGGACTGAGATAGTCGTGTATCGGCCTGGACCGTGAGAGATGGACGGGTTGCTGATGCTGTAGCCTATCCGGCCATACGTGCCTGCTGCCGCACGCTTCCTCATCGTAGTGACATTCCTCGAAGGTCAGCCGGGGGCCCTTCACGCCGGTCTGGGGGCATGAGCTTCGAGCTGACAAGGCAGACGCCCTGCGTATCCTGACGCAATGGGGCGATCAGCTATGGTATCTCCAGAAGTAAGCCTCCCTGCAGATGTCGCGTGACAACCAGCTGATCCCATCCCTAGACACCGCCATTTCCCATGGGGCATATCCCACCTCTTCCTGCTCATCAATGTCGTCACCATGCTCGCGTGCTCTCTCGGTGTCATCGCTAAGCGGTACCCTGACTACTCTGTCTTTGGTCTTCTCGGCGTCGTGGTCGCTCAGGGTGAGCTAGCTCTGCTTTTGTGATGGGAGCAGCGAGCTGACGCCTAGGCCTCGGCTACGGACTCCTCTTCGACCTCTCCTTCTTCCTGCGCAACCTCTCTGTCGTTGGCGGACTGCTTATGGTCCTCTCCGACTCGCTCGCCAACAAGAAGAAGCTCTTTGCGGGCTTGCCGAGCATGAGCGAGACTGACAGGCGGAAGTAGTAAGCTCACTCTCACCTGCAGCGCACACGGGGACCCGCGAGCTGACCTGCCCAGCTTCCAGCTCGCAGGCCGAATCCTGCTCATCTTCCTCTTTATCGGCTTCATCTTCCAGGGCAACTGGTCCTTTGCTCGCGTGCTCGTCTCGATCGTCGGGCTCGGCGCGTGCATCATGGTCGCTGTGGGCTTCAAGGCAAAGTACTCGGCTAGCTTCTTGGTTGCGCTCCTGAGTATCTTCAACGTGTTCATCAACAACTGGTGAGCTACGTTGTGCTCCCCTCTGCATTGATAGAGACAGGCAGTAGCTGATGGCAAAGGTGGAGCGTGCACTCGGCGCATCCTCAGCGGGACTTCCTGAAATACGACTTGTGAGCTTCTCGGTCCATGTGTGTAGTCAGGACACAAGCTAATCAATCCCTAGCTTCCAGACATTGTGTACGTCTTCAGCTAGACGGCCTTGAATCCGTAACGGCTCGTAGGTCATCAGCTGATCATATAGCTATCGTCGGTGGACTGCTTCTGCTCGTCAACATGGGTCCGGGCGGTATCTCCGTAGACGAGAAGAAGAAGGTGAGCTGGCAAGCTCTGCATGGTATCGCAGCAGACGCAGAGCTGATTCAACAGGTCTACTAAGCGCGACCGCCGAGTCCTTCCAGGCGGCGCGGCGTGTACAGCGGAGGGTGGATGTGTCTTTGCGGATGATAGCGGGATGTGCATGAAGGTGGGGAGGGACACCTATGATCAAGATCAAGAAACGAACGAATGCATCGTATCAAGCATAGATACATGAAAGCAACTGTGTACAAGAGGTAAAAATAGGCTTCTGATCATATCAGTGGGAATACCCCTCACTCAAAGTCCATCTGCTCGAACCCATCCCAGTCCATGTCCATCCCGCCTCCGCCCCCGTGTTGCACGTAAACCCCGCCTCCCCTTGCGAGCATGAACTCCCTCTCTGCCCGATCGACCATTTCTGCCTCTTCCGCCACCCTCTCTGCCTCCTCGGCCGCCGCCGCCTCCTCTGCCCAATCCTCCTCTTCCTCCTGTTGTTCTCGGTATGAACCCATCGTTGCGTCATGGGTCCCGCTGTTAGGCGCTCGACTGGCTGACATCCGAGGTGGCGGTGTCGCCATGCCGAAACTGTGTTGTGGAGGTTGCTGGTAAGGATGCTGAGTGGGGTTGAGGGCGTGTGATGGTGGCTGAAACACGTGTCCGTCGCTCCGAGCAGCGAGCTCCCGCTCCTCCTTCTCCAGGTCTGACATCTCGTCCTCCCAGAAGTCAGGCTCGAGAGGATCCGAGCCGCCCGTCTCCATCTCGTGCGAGACCAGCACGGCATGTTGAGCTTTTCTCCGTTGAAGGACCATAAGTCTGCGGAAGATCTACGATATCAGCTGATGCCCTCTCGTCCGAAAGGCTTGAGCTCACCTCCTCGTCATCCTCCTGCGCTCTTCTATCCGCAGCCTCTTGATCTTGATTCTGATCCGCATCATCGCCCTCGATATCCCTCCTCCTCCCCATCTCATTCTCCCTGGCCCGTTTCCGCCTCTCCCTTTCTTCCATGCGTCTCCCCAGCCTATCTCGCCATAATTGCCCCTGCACCGGACTGGTGCCTTCCGTAAACAAGTCCAAAGGACCGCCTAGCCCTCCTACCACTGCCGAAGAACCAGCTGAGCGCGTATGTGCTGGCGCAGTAGGTCGGCGGCCGAAGCGCGAGCTGCTGCCAGATCCGGGCGAAGAGAAGGAGGGCACTCGCCCATTCCCAATCCCACTCCCGTTCCGTGGTCGCTGGAGAGGTCGAGAAGGCCCAGCCTCGGCCGAAGGAGGTGCAGGGAAGTAGTGGTGCATTGGTAGATGGGGATGAGAGGCGTATTGGGGCGTAGGCGAGGTGATTGGGGAGGAAGAACCCGCGTGGGGGTTCAAAGGGGACGAGGGACGGCCATAGTTTTGGGGCGTGAAGGGGGTCATGTATGCCCCGAAACCGATATTGGAGGGCGCGGAGAGGGACATCTCTGGGTCGTCGTTATTGTCACTCATACGAGAGCATCAAGAAGGGATATTCATGGGGAAGATGAAGAGGTCAGAGCGGCTGGAAGATCTTTGTCAGTTGGTTGTCGACAGGCAGGACTGACGCGTCGATCGACACCGTCATCCGATCCGACGCGTCGAATTTGATCACGTGACTTAGTGCCTGAATTTCCAGCGCGTCGGATTTCGGTCCACCTCACCTCTGCTCTTCGTTCTTCCTCTTCTCCCCCTACCTTACTCTCAGAGCAGCGCCCACCATGCCCGCAGCTGCAGCGCCGATGAGGCGACTGGACTTCCCAGAGAAGCTCATCCAGTCCGGGAAAGGCCAGACAGCTCAGGCACTTTTGAAGCGTATGAAGGTGTGTCCGATCGGTCCTTGCTGACCGGACACCGATAGAGGAAACGGAGCTTACAGTCGTAGACACTGCATCTGAAGCTGAAAGAACTGGAGCAGGATCTGACCGAGGTCAAGTCACTGGACCCCGTACGGGCGCCGTTGATCAATAAGGTGATCATGCACCATCCCGAGTACGCTTTGTTCACCGATAGGAAGGGAAGGAAGTGCTGATATGCCAGTCGAGGAGTCAAAGCGTACGCTGCTTGCTGCCTGGCCGATTTGCTTCGACTATACGCTCCAAATGCCCCCTTCACAGCGGAAGAGCTCAGAGTAAGCCCTCTCCTCTGACCGAACCTTGTCATGCCAGCGAAGGAAGACAGCTGACGTTCTAGGATATCTTCCAGTTCATGGCCGCTCAAATCACTCTCAACCTCAAAGCTCCTCCCGCCCCCACCCGGACTGCCTCTTCAAAGGGCCGGTCTACCACCGACTCCCAAACTGCCCCGGCTGCAAGCCAGCGGATAACGGACGTCCCGTACTATGCGGAATACTATCACCTGCTCGAGAACCTGGCGACGATCAAGTCGGTGGTGCTGTGTCTGGACGTGCCAGACTGGGAAGGGATCATGACTAGCTTCTTTGAGGGATTTGTAGAGATCGTCCGGTCAGTTGGGTATCTCGAGGAAGAAGGAAGGCAGCTGACTTGCAGAAACGATATGAGCAAGAGTCTTATAAGACATATGAGGGATATCATGATTGAGCTGCTGGAGGAGAGCTCGGCAGTGCCTCAGGGTGTGATGGACTGCATCATCACCCAGTTCGAATCTCGTAAAGAGGTCAGCTGAATCCTGCCTCAGTCGCTAAGATGAGCTGACGATACAGGGCGACAACACCCCCGCCTTCCAGCTCATCCAAGACGTCTGTAACAAGTCGCACAACCGCCTCCTCCGGTCCATCTACGCCCACTTCTCCGAGATTCAGCACGCACACGGCCGGTCCGGCGAAGCGACCGCTGCGGACTTTGACATCCTTGCCGACTCGCACAAACTCATGATCACCATGTACCGCTACTCTCCTGATCTCCTCATCAACGTCATCCCGCTCCTCGAGGAGAATCTCAAGGTGGAGGGCGAAGTGCAGCTCCGGCAGCTGTCGACAAAGACGCTGGGGACGATGTTTGGGATGCGGCCGAGTGTGAGCGGCGGGGTGGGAGATTTGGCCAAGACGGCGACGGGGGCGTGGAGGTCTTGGGTGGGCAGGAAGGTGGATAAGGCGCTGCCTGTGAGATTGGCTTGGGTGGAGGCGGCAGGGTTGATATTGGCGAATCAGCCGGATCTGAGAGGACAGATGGAGGGTGAGCTGTCGTATATCCGAAGTGTAGCACATTGATAGCTGACTTGACAGTTGAGTTGACGGACCGGATACAAGATGCGGATGAGAAGGTCCGGGCTTCGATCTGCCGCTCAATAGGTCGGCTGGACTACGAGACGGCTCTGCATCATCTCAAGCTACAGACGCTGCAGGCGGTAGGCGGGCGAATGAGCGATAAGAAGGTCAGTCCATTGTCATTCTAGAGCGGATGAGGCTGACGATGCGTAGGCTAGCGTCCGATCTGAAGCAGCGACCACTCTTGCCAATCTGTGGAGACAGGCGTTCTCAGCAATGTAAGCTGAAGCCTCCCCTAGGACTGGCCATAGCTGACCACGACAGTGAACAAGATGACTCCCTCGCCATCTCGCAATTCGCCTGGATCCCCTCCGCGCTCCTCACCTCCCTAATGCACCGAGACGTCACACCCGATACCCGGTCCCAGACGACCTCAACCTTCAAGTCGCTCATCCTCCCACTACCTACCGTTGACGCTATCGATGAGCAGGTCTGGGTAGATCGGCTCTTGCTCGTCTGTATCCACCTAGATGACGGAGGCATGAAAGCCTTGGAGAGGTTATCCGGATTGAAGGGGTTCAGGCAGGGAAATCTGCCATATAAGGCGTATGTGCAAACCTGCGAAGAGAACAATGTGAGTCCGCCTCGTGAGGTTCCTTCCCGGCGATGGACCGTAAGCTGATGTTGATAGGGAGGTATCATTGATGGGGATGAGAAGGCCGTCAAGACCAAGCTGGACTTTATCATCAATGCTATCGCTCGTAAGTTGAGCCATTCGCGCTACTGGAGGAAGCAGCTGAATGTACAGAGCAAACGTTTGGGGATGTCAATCGTGCCAAGAAGGACCTGCACTCGTTCGCTGCGACAAACGACCCCAGACTGTACAAGCTGTACAAGGCATGCGTGGACGTCCAGTCTGATCTCAAGACCCTCATCAAAGCCAAGGTAAGCTACATAGTGTGGGACAATTGGTCAATGCGAGCACAGCTAGCTGACGAGTAGAATGAGCTCCTCCGTAAGATCGAGCAATCCCACGCCGACATCCTCGACACCTTCACCACCCTCATCGATATCGCCTCTTGGAATCTCATCAACCACAGCTCCATCCCTCCTCTCATCAAACGTCTACAACGGCCCGAAGGCTCGTCCGCGGACCAGACAGAAAGGTTGACGACGATAGCGTACCGGCTGCTCGGGCTGCTCGCGAAGGAATGTCCACCGATGTACAAGTCGCACGTCACCGAGCTGGTCATTGTCATGGGGGACAAGAAGAATGAGCGGTTGGCGGAGGTGGCGTTGAAGGGGCTGGCGGCGGTATGTAGGGCTGATCCGGAGGCTGTGCCTGAGGATGGGTAAGTCCAGCTTGTGTCTGCGAGAAAATTGGTGCTGATCCTCTAGACGAGCTCTCGAGAAGGCTATGCAGAAGGCTGTGGAGGGTACGCCGATGCAGGCAAAGTACGCAGCGCGCTTCATTGCGTTCTCGAAGAAGACGCAGGCGCCGGGAGAGCTTCTTGATGTAAGCTGGCTCAGACTGTACCATCGATGTGGCGATCGCTGACTCCAGTAGGACATCATTCAGCTCTTCCCGGACTATGATGAAGACAAGCTCTTCACCTATCTGCGTGTCCTTGTGGAGCTGGCGCTGTCCGCTCCTGCAGCATTCGAGGAGCGGTCAGACGATTTGATGGACTTTGTGCTGAAGGAGGTTATGTTCAAGGCGTCGCCCTCGAATGATGTGAGCTTATCCCCACGTCTTACCGGGTATAGCTGATCCATTTAGGACGACTCGCAAGATGAGTGGGTACAAGAGGAGGACCTGGAGATTCTCGATCGCGCCAAACTCCTCGGTCTTCGCATTTGCACCCATCGAGCTCTCGGTCTCGCCCGGCATCCGGACGCCATCAAGGCCGCCAAGCCGACGTTCGACTTGCTCGCTTCTGTCTTTACGAATGAGGGTCAGGTCAATGAGCAGACTGGAGAAGGGTGAGCTTTTCCACCACGCGCGACTTGCTGCGGAGCTGACGGGAATCAGTGGGAAGGCGAGACATCACCTCAAGCTCCGGGCTGCGTTGTGTTCGCTCAAGCTGGCTCATGCGAAGGGGTACGACAAGGCTATGGAGTGGGACTTTTTCGAGTCGGTCGCTGCTACGCTGCAGGTGAGTTTCCGGTTGAAAGACATGGGTCAGATCAAAGCTGATACACGACAGGAAACCGTCTTCCATGTTCGAAACCACTTCCTGCAAAAGCTGGCAGAGGTACTACCATTACAACGTCTTTCGCCCAGATGGGGTGTCTTACCTGTCTTAGTGGCAAAGGATCCGGCTCACGAAAATGTCCAATTGGTGAGCATCCTCCTCAGATGGGCGCACCAGCTAACAAGTACAGGCTGCCAGTATCATGAGGACCGTTGTCCGTACGGCTGCTAGCTGTACAACAGGTACGTTCTGCTCGGATCTCAGAGATCATTCAAGGCCGCAAAGCTGACATTGGTCAGAGGAACGGATCGACCGTGTCGAGATGCCCTTGGCGAGACTGCTGCTCATCCTCTCACATCATCCAGACTTGGAGGAGGAGCGAACTCCTATCAAGGAGATTGCCAAGTGAGTTGTTTCCCTGATATCAGTGCTTTGGGACAGGTAGCTGACTGCAATACAGATTCGTCGAGTTCTTCGCGGACTGCGTCGCCACCCGAGATAACATCAGTCTGCTTTTCAGCATCGCCGCCAAGCTCAAGACGGTCAAAGACCCCATGCAGGATGATAGCTCGGTAGGTCATCTTACCAACTCCCAAGATCGCCGCTAACACCTGCAGAATCTCTACCGCATGAGCGAGGTAGCTCAAATTGTTCTTCAAAATCGAGCCACCACGCACAATTGGCCTCTTTCGTCCTACCCTGGACCCATCCGTCTCCCCCGCGTTGGCTTCCACAACTTCCATAGCAATGCGGAGGCGGAAGCGAACTATCGGACGACGTTCCTGAGTGCCGATGCTCAGGACTGGTTGAAGGTGTCTGGGAGGAGGAGCGGTAACGTCGCTGGCCCAAGTGTAAGTCGCTCCGGTGCATTTGGCGTTCCACAGCTGACAATGCAGCGTCGAGCTGTGGCAAGGGACAGCAAGTCGACATCGCCCAAGAAGCGGTCTACGAAGCGGACGAAGAAGGCTCCGTCTAGCAAGAAGAAGAAGCGGTCTAGGAAGGGAGAGGATAGTGATGACGAAGAGGTGGACGAGGAGAGCGAGGAAGATGACGAGGAGGGGACCACGGGAGCTGAGAGCGAGGCAGCGTCGGCTGTGGAAGAGGACGAGGATGCTGGAGCGACAGCAGTAGAAGGAAGAGGAGGGAAGAGGGGTGCTAAAGTGAGTTGGTCGCAGCGTTGATGACTGTACGCAAGCTGACGGTGTAGACGAAAGCCAAGAGGGCAGCTACCAAAAAGAAGGCGCCGGCAACGAAACGGCCAAAGAAGAAGCGGAAGTCGGGCTCGGACGACGAGGAGGAGATGGATGTGGACGTGGATGAGGAGGGCAAAGCTGGGGATTCGGATCTGACGGATCTGGATGCGTGAGCTGAGAGGATCGACGGAGAAGATCTGCTGGGAACCGGGCGATCTGTAAGGGGAAACAATCATCGTTATATTGTATATGCTTTATAGTACCCACTTCTAAGGGGATCATGCAACATGCCACACTAGTGCCAAGGGTCATCTGAGCCGCGGGCGACACCTCCTTGGGCGTCTCCTCTCCCCATCACGGCATCAGAATGTTTCAGCTGTGCAGAGGAATGTTTCAGATTTCCGAGATACGCGAGGGTGCTTCTCTTGACCGGTAGGGACAGGATGAACATAGCCGACGAGCCTCACCATAGCCTGCCGCACGGTCGGTCCACGCATTGGTTCTCAGGCGATGTGTACCCAGCAGCTGAGTGCCGAAAGTCATTCCCCTCCCAGAGACAAAGTTGAAAGCTTGTCTCAGTCAGCTAGATGACGTCACCGGCGTCACCAGTCGACGACGCCCAAGATCTATTCTCGAGCTTTCTGGATCTCCTCATTCCTCCACCCTCTTTTGTCTTTACCCAGCTTGTCTATACCTCTAGCCATCATGTCGACCGAAGAGATCCCCTTCACCCAGTACCTTGCAGAGCGGCTGAAGCAATGCGGCGTCAAGTCCGTGTTCGGCGTTCCGGGCGATTACAATCTCGAGCTCCTGGATTACATCGAGAAGGACGACACGCTGCAATGGGTCGGGAATGCCAATGAGCTCAATGCGAGCTATGCGGCGGACGGGTATGCGAGGGTGAGCGGCGGGCTGGCGGTGGTCATAACGACGTTTGGCGTAGGCGAATTGAGCGCTCTATGGTAAGTCCGTCACCGCATGCGGAGGGTGTTCAAGCTGATCAAGCAGCGGTATTGCTGGATGCCTGGCAGAAAGGGTGCCGGTGCTGCATATTGTCGGATCTCCCAGTACACAGATGCAGGTGAGCTGAATGAGCACGTTCGAGCGCTATGCGCAATGAGCTGACCGATAGTCATCCAAATCACTTCTTCACCATACCCTGAACCTTCCCACCTCATTCGAAACCTTTTCCAAGATGTCCGAGCCGCTCTCCTGCTCGCAGGCTATACTGAGCCGCGTCTCGCCGGTCACCAGTAGCACGTGGACCGAGGAGCTCGATCGGGTCATCAAGGATGTCCTGCAGCAGTGTCGGCCGGGATATGTCGAGATCCCCACGGACGCGGTGCATCATAAGGTCTCCTCAGCTGGTTTAAACAAGCCCCTGGTGAGCTTCGCGATTACCTGCGTCTGTAACGAAAATCAAGCTGATACCCAAGCCACACCCCCACTCTGCTCCACCGGTCGAGCAGCAGGATCCCACTCCCTCCTCGCAAACGAACTCATCTGCCCCGATGATGACAGTTCCTGGTCCAGCGCCTTCCGATGAGGTCACGGCTCACGTCGTGGGCGAGATCACTAAGCGCTTTGCCGAGGCTGAGAGACCAATCGTGGTGATTGACGCATGTGCCGGGCGATTCGGGATGGCTGGGACCGTCCGAAAGTTGGTCGAGGGATGTGGTATTCGCTTCTTTGAGAGTGAGCTCGATCTCGGCTCGATGACAGACGAAGCTGATCATTAGCTCCGATGGGGAAGAGCCTGCTAGATGAGCATCATGAATTGTATGGCGGATGCTACGCTGGAGCGAATAGTGTGGATGTGGTCAGGGAAGAGGTGGAGGGGGCGGACTTTGTGCTTTTCGTGGGAGCGCTCAAGAGTGACTTCAAGTGAGCTGGCTCGATCTTACACTCGATTTATGAGGAATTGGGAGCTGACTCTGAAGCTCGGGTTCCTTCTCGGTGAACATTGACCCGAAGATCATCGTCGAGCTTCACTCGTTTACGACCCATGTTGGGGTAAGCTAGAGTACCTGTATCTCCTGAAAGGGACCTTAGGCAGAGCTTACGATGCAGTACGCTTCATATCCCACCACCGATATCCGCCACATCCTTCCTCTTCTCGTTCCCGCGTTCGCTCAGGCAGTATCTCAAAAGCCCAAGAAGGCGCATGGCGACTCGTTCGCCGAGAAGATCAAGGCGGACCGGGTGGAGGTGCCGCTGTCTGAGCCGAAGGGACAAGAAATCAAGCATGATTGGTTTTGGGGCAGGATGGGGAAGTTCTTCAGGGACGACGGTGAGTGACGCCGAGGATGTTTGTCTTTGAGGGTGGGATGTTGATCAAGCAGACATCATCATCACCGAGACCGGAACGTCCTCGTTCGGACTGCTCAATGTGCCCTTACCGTCAAAGTGCACCTATGTTTCGCAGATATTGTGGGGGGCTATCGGGTGGTCTGTCGGGGCTACACTCGGATGCGTTCTCGCTGCACGCGAGCAAAAGAGGGACAGGCGGACGGTGCTTTTCGTGGGCGATGGCAGTTTGCAGTTGGTGAGTTACGGGCAGACAGTGTATACAGCTGAGGGGCTATCGCTGATCACATAGACCTTGCAAGAGATCGGTACCATGCTCCGACGCGGTCTCTTCCCTTACCTCTTCGTGCTCAACAACGACGGCTACGAGATTGAGCGGCAGATCCACGGCGAGACCGCCGAGTATAACGATATCCAAATGTACGACCACCAGGTGCTGCTGCCATTCTTGGCCGGGAAGAAGATCAAAGTGAGCTCAACGCGTACGTTGTACGCATATAAGCTGATCGCTTCTAGACACCCCACCAGTCGTATGAAGTCCACACCCCTTCCGAGCTCTCGGCGTTGCTCGACGACCCGGACTTCCAAAAGCCCGATCGACTGAGATTGATCGAGGTCTACATGCCTCGAGGCGACGCGCCTGCGGCTCTTGTCAAGCAGGCAAAGTTGACAGCTGAGGCGAACGCCAAAGCGTAACCTGGTGGTATAATAGAGGTCTTGATCCCTGTCGTGGCTGTTAGACGAGACCGCTGTCCGAGACGAAGACGACATGCATAGAGTGACGGGTCCTGCCGCACGATACACAACTTGAAACCGCGTGATAGCAACAGAGATAAGAGCAAAACCTAATGGGATGCTAGCTTAGGGAGCACAAGGCGAGATTGTCTAGAAAGATCGCCCTCCTTGGTCGTGAATTATAGATGAACCGATAGATCGGTGTTTATACGTGGTCGTGGCATGATGGGTCGTTCGTATGGTCGTTAAGTCGTAGATAGGTCCGCTTTTGATGGTGTTGGATGCAGGGGTGGTCGTGAGGGGAATGTGGTGTGGAGCGAGAAAGGAAGGGGAGATCAGGCGCAACACCCAAAACGCCCTTTACCGCCCGAGAGCGCCAGGACATCTTTGGCCGGATCGACGAGCATGACGCTATTCTTCCGCCGTAATTGTCGATCCCGCTCAATCTTGTCCTTCTTTTGCACGAGCAGGGATGAGATGGATTTGAAGAGAGCTTCGACGCCTAAAAGATATCAGCTTTGCGCCAGGAAGAGCCGGTATCCAAAGCTCACCTGCACCGCTGAGAGAACTACATTCCCCCAGCCGAACGCCGCCAACTTCCACTCCCCATTCCTTATCCTCGTCTTCGCTGCTCGGGTACAGCCGAGAATCCCGCCCCAGACTGCCACCCCTGCTCCGTACAATCTTCGGCTGGCCGTCTTTGCTTGAAGACGCCTCGCCCATTTGACTCCCGCTAGCAAGCACGGGAGACAGGCTCATCCCACTCCCATGACTCCCTCTGCGCCCCAGTCCACCAGCATTGCTCAGCAGCTCCTCGCTCTCCTTCTTCTTGATGGACGCGCCGAATTCGCCAAGCGCCTCCGCAGCGCCAGGACCGCCACCCATCCGCCAACTCCGGCTGGACCAGTCTTCCGACTTTCTCCTGCCTGACATTTGAGAGGGCGCGCCGAGCAGAGGCGTACTTTCCGTCCGGACTCGCGTGGGAGGTGGAGAGAGCCGACTCGCTTGCGATGCCCGATTGGGATCGACTGGATAGTCTTCCACTAGTCTGGCGAGGTTTAAGGCCGCGCCGGACATGCTCTCCGAACGGCTTAGCCCGAGGACGCCCGATATGGAGAACCGACCGCCAGAAGTCCCGTGGCGGGTTGGGGAGGATGGGGTAAAGCTCGAGTTGACGTGCTCGGTTGTCGTACCCGTGACACTCTGGGTAGGGGATTGGAGTGTGGGGAACGCAACGCGCCGGGAGGGTTTTGATGAGGAGGATGGGGTGATTCGAAGCGCTGGTGGTGGCCGGGCCTTCAGAACCGGCGAAATCTCCGGCGTAGGCCTAGGACCGGATCTTGACGGCTCCCGGGCGGCCATCAGGATACCAGAGGAGGCTGTCCGAGCGGGTGTAGGCGCCGCCGAGGGAGCGGCGGACGGAGGAAGAGGAACGTCGTATGCGGCCAGAGCGCCGTGAGAATACGACCGCGCGGGCGTACTGCTTGAGGCGACGTCAAGCTTGTTGCTCGCCGAAGGGCTTCGGAAAAGGCCTCTTTGCGGGGGTGGTGAGAGCAGGGTAGCCGCTGGCGGTGCTGGCGGACGCAACCAAGTCCTGATACTGCTCCTCGCTTCCTCGAGACTGGAAGTATCAGCCAAGTCCCCAGACCAAGCGGCGTGTGACTGACCTTACGGCCCGTTTCCTCTCCAGATCGATCTTTGCGCCCACCACATAAATCATCGTCTCCTTTGGCACCGTCCTCCCCAGCTCTTCTAGCCAGCTTCGGACATCCTCAAAGCTCTGACGATCCGAGATGTCATACACCAGCACGCAGACGTGCGCCCCTCGGTAGTATATCGGCGCCATCGACCTGAAGCGTTCCTGTCCCGCCGTATCCCAGATCTGCAACTTCACCCGGATCCCGCCGTGTACCAGCTTCCTGGTATGGAGTGAAGAGCCGATTGTGGCGGGAGCAGCGTTGGGAGTGAAAGTGCGAGTGGTGAAACGGAGGATGAGGGAGGTCTTGCCGACGCCTTGCGACCCAAGAAGGACAACCTTTGCCTCCAGCCCTTCCGGTCCTCCCAGGTCGCCCGCCTCGGATTCGCCAGACCCTGTCGAGCTCTCCCGAGGGGGAGGGGTTGTGAGATCAGCCGAAGAGCGTGACGCGCCTGCGCCGGTGGGGAAGGGAACGGCATACGGTGAGAACGTCTGGGAGCGTCCAGGCATGCCGTTGCGGACGCGTGTGCGGGACTCCTGGCTCCGGCTAGGTTCCATGCGGACCGATGCCGGGGTGGAGGCGGGGTACGATGTATTGGCCCGAACAGGCCGAGGGGGTGGACCCATGGACCTCCGCTTGGCGAGGTCCGCGTCGGTCCGCTTCTTCCTCCGTCCTTCTGAGTTCGACCGGCTGACCGTTGTCGATGGGGTGGTTTCCATGCTATTGAGGTCGATGCTGACCACTCGTGACCGCCGCGGTGTCTCAGATCCCCGTTCGTCCCTCGGCTGGTCCGCCACTCCCTGCCCATCATCGGCTGGGGGTGCCAGCTTAACCATGGCCTCTGGTCTATGCCTCCGCCGTTCCGGCTCAACGGACTGTCGAGCCTCCGGCGTTGATGGCTGAGCCGGGTACGAGGAGCTTTGACCTAGGCGTGGCAGCGCGCTCGGGCTTGTTCGTGGGGCAGGAGGTGGTTGAGCGGCATGTAATGGCTGTCCTGCCTCGCGGGGTGCTCCGAGAGCCGAAAACGACATGGGGTATGGGGAGGTATGGCGATGTTGAAAGATGGGGAAGGGAGCACGGAAGGGGATTGGCGCCGAGTCCAGTATCGGCGGAAATTCGGCGAGTGATGTAGCGGCTCCGGAGGGTGCGAAGAGGTCGGCTGTGGGATCGCGAAAGGGAGCGTGTGGAGGAGGATGTATCGCTGCGCTCATCTTGCTCTCCAAAGATAGCATATAGAGGATAGATGAGACAGATGAGGACGAGTGGGTGTAGGTGTGGGTAACGCGGGGTGTGGGCGTAGTTGATTGAAATTCTATGCCGCTAATACCTTGGATTTCAGGCACGGGCGCGCTAGATCTCGTCCAGCTCGACGCTCGGACCTTCTGCTTATGAGAGCAGCTGACGCTGGGGATTCATGTCAGCTTCAGATCCATCATAGCCGAGAAGCGGCAAGGACCAAAGGGGACCAGGATACACTCACGATGTTGAAGTAGCTGTTAGGGAATGAACAGTTGATGCTGTTGTCCTCGAGTCGAGTTGGGCGACAGGGGTAACGAACGATTTACAACTGTGTATCTTGATATCAGCTATACTAGTACAACAACAATGCCAGAGCGAGGGACGACCGAGAAAAAGACGATGAGAGACGATGAGGGAAAAGCAGTGCGCGATAAACATGCGAGATGGTGAGACAAGCGGGGTGGCAAGTCTGAGGACGATCTGAAACCGGTTGTAAGGAGGGAAGAGAGAGCACAACTGTCACTGCCACATCTATGCAGATGGAAGACTCACGATGTCGACGATACCAAGCAGCTCAGGAGCGGTCGTCCCGTGTACCAAACAGCAGCGGTTCCTCAGCTGAATGTCTGGGTTGGTCGTGGGCGGGTCGTCGCGGGTCGTAACATGTGTACAGGCGGCGAGGAAGGGATGAACAGTGAAGAGGGTGGCGAGGACCGACCGGCAGTGATCTCGTATACGGCTGAGAGGATAATAAGGCGCAACGAATAGAAGCTGGAGGAGGAAGGTTGGGTAGTGTCCGACTTGATCACGTTGTGCCGAGACGAGAAAGGAGGTGTGTGTGTGTCCACGGGGTCCGGTCGAGAATTGCGCCGCGCTAATACCGCCGTCCCTCCTTATATCGCTAGCCTTCGAAACAGCGTATGGGGGGAACAACTGACGCCGGCGGTCCCCTGAGAAGCGATGCAGGAGGTCAGAGGAATTGCCCTCGCCTCTTGTTGACAGCGATCTGAACGCGTCTAAAGTGTGTCTATAAGGAGTATGGGTCGTGTTGACTGAAGGACCGAGCACTAGAGGACATGTCGGACCGGCAGTGATCTAGCCAGAGAGATGTAGAGAAGGACTGGAGTGTGCTTCTGTGTGTGTTCTTGGTGTGTTCTAGTCAGGGCCGAGAGAACAAGCTCAGGAACCAAACAAAGGGTAGGGTTTCAGATTCTTCGGCTGAGTGTGGCGGTGGCGTTTCAAAGTGGAGGCGAGTGTGGCACTTTGGACGGCTCCCAGTTAAGGCGTAAGTGTCGATGAGTATGAGAAAGCCAGCGCTTGTACACCCCCCGAGGATGCTTCAATGTCTTGCATGCTGACTAATGATTCCATTCACCATTGACCGAGCCCAGTGGCCTTGTGGCGATGCTAGGTATTCCAGCGCAGCTGACAATGTCGCCGGTGGCGGCCTCACAGCTCCAAGCTGTCTAAAGTGCGTAATCAAGCGAAGAGTCAATACAGACCTGGAGAAGGATCGTGCTTTTGTAATACAGGCGGTCCATCCGCTGGTACCCCTGAAGGCGAATGGACCTTTAATAATGACCTGCAACTACACATTGTCTGCGTAGAAGTACTTGAGTATATGCCCGATCCTGGAGTTCACGGAGCTTAGACGATCCTCCTAGGCAGCCAGCATACCCAGCCGGCATATCTAAAAAATACCAGAGTTTGGGCTCTTTCTATGCACAGGCGGTACATCCACCGATAACGGCGAGCGAGAACATGAGTGCCGCCTGCAGATCCCAATCCGGTGGAGCTCGATGACAGGTCGCAAAGAAAGCAGGCTACAGCTCGCCCCTCCATGTCACTCCAAGCATGCACTGACGCACCCCTGCTGCGTGTATCGTACAGGTACCCCTCGCAGGAGGCGTGTGTCAGGCTTCGTATACAACGGACCGTATCCCTTGGGCGTCCTTTGACAAGCCCCCCTCCGCCCTCCTTGCTCCTCCCTGCCCCTGCGTGTAGCAGCGTGCCAGATTGTTGCGCCCAGGTCTCCTTGATGATCCTACAGACACTGTTCCGCCCTCTTGCGATTACACTGCAATCGTTCTCGACACATGCTCCCAATGAAGCACCTCATTCGCCTTTCACTGCTTCTCGCCGGCAGCATATTCGCTCGAGCAGCGGGAGATCACAAGGTCCACATCATGTTCGGTCCGAACGTCCAGATGCTGGTTCCGGGCCCTCAGGGGGTACGAGATGTCATTGGGCCAGACCTCCATACGCATCTGGCGGATGATCAGTGGCCGGGGGTGAGCTTCGAGCCGCATTTCCCTTATCTAGCCAAACCAGGGGGGAGGGAGATCAAATATGCTGTCAGTACGGCCGATCGGTTCTGACAGTAGCGTGATTTCTGCAGCTTGCTGACGGGAGCAGTGCAATATAACACGCGTGGACAACAAGCCCCTGCTGGACGATCGGGTCTTCGTAATACAGGGTGCCTATCCGTTGATGCCACAGAGCACGACCCCGAATGGTCCCTTGGTGATGACCTGCGTGGACAGGACAGCATACTGAGGGCCAAGAGGCGTTTATATGGTTTTCACTTTGTACGAGATGCTGAGGTTTGGAGGATGATATATCGAGTCCGAGTAGAGAGCTGTAGGTCTATATTACAGTGGATGCGGAGTCGGCGTCCGGTCACGCCAGGGAGACGATGCCTACTGGGTGATTCCGATGCACGTGACTGCAGGCAGGACGTTGTGGGTGACTCCTGACACTGTTGTACCGCCTGTAGGCAGGTGTATCAGCCTTCTGTTACAAAAGATCACCACCCTCGCGCAGCCTTTCAGATATGTCCCTTACCCCTGCCGCGTACTGCGTCTCGGAGTCGCTGCTGACCGGTACACCTATGTATGCTCGCCATAATCTGGCACGCTCGAAACCTCGTCTCGCATTAGCTGCTGCTACAATCTCGTTCAGAATGAGGCACCTTGTTCGCCTCACACTACTCCTTACCTGCGGAATGTTCGCTCGAGCCGGAGAACACAAAGTTCATGTCATGATCAGTCCAAATGTTGTCATGCGAGGCCTAGACGGTAACTACATTACAGGTCCCTACGTCAGTACCCACTCGGCGGATGATGAGTGGGGCGGGCTTTACTTTGCGCCGCGCTTCCCCCAGGTACCCGAAGTGGGGGGACAGGTGGTCAAATACGGTGTGAGCCGGGACTGTTAGATATGCAGTCGCTTGGACCCTGCTGATGGGAATAGTGCACCATCTCGCGGGTGGACAACAAGCCGCTACTGGACGACCGGGTCTTCGTGATCCAGGGAGCGTATCCGTTGATGCCGCAGGGTACTACACCGAATGGCCCCTTGGTGATGACGTGCAATCCCAGAACATAACCCTGGAGGCAAATAGGCGTGCCGCCGAGCGTGTGGTATGCAGCTTGTGCCGCAGCCCGCGTTCTACAAGAGGTTGGGATGATGTGAAGAGTCGGATGATGTGAAAAGTTGCACACGCATATACACAGATGGACTCAGCTACATTGACTGCAGAATAAAAACATATTTGCCACCCGATTCCGCCACCGAGAGAGCCTAGATGTTCAACATGTATACTCGTATCGATAGTCAGGGGTCAGGGTGCTGAAGACCTATGATGATGTGTTGGCTCCCTTCTGCAAAGCTATCTCTCGAAACTCGTGAAAGCCTTTTGGAACAAGGGGTCGTCACGACGTCACTCCAGGGCTTCCTTCCAGTACTGTCTCTTACCCCTGTCCAACTGCGGCGTTACACTGCCCATGGACATCGCGATACGTCTTCAGTATTCCCACGATACGAGCACTCTCCTCAACTTGGATTCGTACACTGCAATATCGTCCATTAATCACCCTCAATGACGCTCCTTACCTGCCTTGCACTACTCGCTACCGGTGTGTTCTCTGCTCTCGCAGGAACACACAAGATCCACATCATGCTTGGCCCGAACGTCCGGATGCTAGACGCGGATAGTAAGGACGTCACCGGTCCCACTATGTTGACTCTCACCGTCCCTGACGGCAAATGGGAACCCATCCCGTTCGAACCTCGGGAGCCTCTGCAGGCGTCAGGGCAGGAACTGAAGTACGCTGTGAGTGATGCGGCCCGGTTTCAAATGAAACCAAGCAGCGCAGGGGGAGACATGAGCGGTACTGTTACTGATTCCCTTCAGTGTTTCATATCGCTGCACGATAGCCAGAAATTTCTGCAGGACGACCGCGTCTTTGTCTTACAGGGGGCGTATCCACTGATGCCGCAAGGTACACAAGCGAACGGGCCCGTGTATATGTATTGCAAACCCAGAGAATGATCGCGGGTGACGGAGCAAAGGAAGGAGAGGCTGGACATCTGAAGACTAGAGTCTGTGCAAATACTACACAGGGCGATGTGTGACGATGCAGTGGTCCCCTGGCCTATACATTGTTTGCACTGCGTATGCTGGACCCGAGCAGCCCCTTAGGCCCGTCCGGGGGACAGCAGCATTCAGAGCTGGTACCTCAATTTTACCCATCCTGATTAAATGCACCCTCTATACCCCGAGTATGCTATCTGATCCGTAATTATATACAACTAGCCCTGAACCGCCACCTCCATGCTCAACACTATCCTTCACTCGCGTCATCGCCACCCCGCCTCCCCCCTCATCTTCTCCGCCAAAGCCGCCTCCGCCCTCGCTCTGACCTCATCCGCTCCTAATCCACTCCCCGAGAAGCTCACTTCACTCTCGCTAGGTCTCATACCGCCCTTCTCTCCCATCCTTGCGCTATGTGGCGGGGAGGGCGAGAGTGGGTGGGGCGAATGAGGATTACTGAGGAGGTCGTGGGGATTGGCGAGATCGTAGTGGTCCTCCTCGTCATTTAGGCTGAGGTATGGCGCCTCCGCCCGCTCGATATCAGACTTGGTATGCCGCAGCGCTGGCCTCCCTTGCGGTGTCTGCGGACGAGAGGGATCTATCGTGGGGAGGCCAGAAGTGCGATGGGCGGGCGGATGCGAGGTATGTGAGGAATGAGCGGATGAAGGTCGAGGTGCGCGCGGACCAAAGTTGACTGACGACTTCCGCCCCTCCGAAAGCCCGCTAGCGGACCGAGGCTGGCCTTTACCTATGCCTGGAGGACGGGTACCGCCGGCCGAAGACCCGGATTGCGGTGACGAGACAGGAGCGGGTACGCTGGGCTCGGTACGGTAGCTCGGCGGGAGCTCGACCACCCTCGCCGCCCCGTCCGGAAGCTGAATATGAACGTCCCCTCCCCCTCCATCCGAATGGACGACATAGACGTTTCGCGCACGTTGCCCATCGTGACTATCCGCACTGCCCATGCCAGACGATAGCGGCCGCTGAGCCGATCGCGGCCGGCCCTTTCCGCCCGGTCCGCCCCCTCGACTCTGGGTAGATCTGTAAGGATCCCCATACTCTTCACCATCTGAGCCCTCTTCCCACGCCTGGGTACTGGGTGACCCAGCTGGAGATCCGACCAGCCGCAAAGCAGGAGGAGGCTGTCCTTCGCCCTGCCCAGCCGAGAACCGTTGATCCGTCAGACCGCCCGAAGAAGAGGGAAGAGACGACCGCGGTCCCCCAGACCTCCGAGAGTGCTGGCTTGACTCTCCTCGGCTCCCTGTAGACTGATTCTGCTCCTCCCTGGACCGTGCGCGCTTGACGTCCGGCCCGAAGTCCGTCCGACCGAGTACGGCGAAACTTCCGCCTGGAGGCCGAAGGAGACCATTGCCCGACGAGGATGAGCCGGCCGTTCCTAGGTGGGGGTCGTACAGTGTGTCCGGGCTGTCAAAGGGTAGTCCGCCCCGGATGGAGGTCTCGAGGTAGGGGTCGAGTGGTTTTGGGTTGGAGTAAGATTGATCCGAGTTGATGCGCATGGAGAAGGGGCGTGCGGTCATTGTCTCGTCAAAGAGGAGGTCGTGCTATCTTATCAGCCAGGCCAGCGGGTAGCCAGTAAAGCAGACCTACCTTCTCATGAGGTCCACTCCGCTTGTGCTTCCTGATCACGCATCCCCACAAGGCCAAAGCCGCGCCTGCCGCACCCACTAGAAACGCCGCTACTATCCCTCCCGCTAGACTCCCCACACTCACTCCGCCCGACTTAGCGCCCGGCATGTCCTGGCCCGTCAATACCGCCAAACACGACACATCGCTCGCATATCCCGCATGTAGCGGTCCGAACGCAAAGCTGTTCCCTGCCGAGTCGTATACGCCGAGCATGAACGCCTGCCCGTGCGTCAGGCGGACCGTGTAGTTCATAGACGATCGAGTGGACGATGTGATGTTGACGGGTGGGTGGAAGGCTGGGGCGATGAGGAGGGTGTAGGGGGCTGTACCGTTTTTGGGCGTGATGCGGATATCGGAGCACGAGGCAGGCCAGCCATTTGAGGCGAGCACGCCGGCTTGATGCTCGACCGTCACGTCAAGGGTGGAGGATGGAGGGGTGACCCAAGAACCCATGACAGCAGTCGAGCGGCATTCGGACGTTGCATTGGCGTAAGCCGCTGCTGTGGCGTCAGAGCTGGTGATAGTCGTCAGATCCTAAGACTCAGCTCAAGTCCAGCCTTTGCACCGACGGGGACTCACCTGACAGCCCCCACTGACACCATTACTCGACCAGATACACCCAATGAACTGCGTCCCATTCATCCAAGGATGCTGTACCGTCCTCGCCGCCGCCATATTTCCAATATCCATGCTCCTCGAGTATATCCGCTCGTACCGCAATCCAGCCCCATCCATCAGCTGCTCATGCACCAGCATCGTCATGGTATATGGAGCAGCTGGGTCCGCCGAGCGAGGGTTGTTGGTCGTGGAAAGACCGGAGATGACGAGCGGGGAAGGACATGAAGGGGTGATGGGGATGGTGACCGAGTTGGCATTGGGCGAGGAGGGGTAAATGAAGGTGAAGCCTTGAGGCTGGTCGCCTGTATTGGGCTTGGAGGTCTCTGCGTGGACCAGGGCAGCCAGAAGGAGGATGGAGGCCGCAGGGAAGGCACTGCGGGCGGGGACGAGCATGGTGAAGGGGTGAGAGGCTTGTCGAGCGGTAGCCTGAAGCTGGCGGTTAGAAGGTGATAGGTAAAAGATACCAAAGTACGCTCAGCCTATAGATGTATTTTCCAGGTCCAGAGCGAGCGGCCGCTCGGATGTCTCGTCTCGCTTAAGTGCAGGTGAAGCAATCAGTTTCGGCTTTACTGATCATCGGTCGCCTTGAAACGAAGGTTGAACGTTGAAACGTTCGAATGGCGAGACTTTTGTGATTGATCGCCCTGTAGCTATGTGAGTATATTGCTTGAGGTGGAAAAGTCGCTCAGCTGTGCTGAATGAGTGTGTATTGAGAGCTGACTGAGTCAGACACAGCCATCAGAAGCATTGCCGAATAGATCTCTCCCTGTCTCTCGTCCGAGCCGAAGCGAGGCGCCGAAGCCGCACCGCACCGCCCGCCGGCCAGATCTATACAGTATCGCCCACGTGGCGAAAGCATGAAACGTATTACGTCAGATCATGAAACACCCGCCAGAAAGACGATGACGGCATCGATAGCGGACCGCGAAGAGCTCAGCTCAGCTCACTACAGCAGAGATCATCAAGCGCCTCTGTATCATCGAAGCAGCGACTGAACATGTCCCAGCCCACGCTCATCAGTCCATATGGCTACGACGCGTCCACATGCGGGTACTGTACCCCCTCAGGCAGTCGGTCTGCCAAGGCGACCAGCAGGAAGTACGCCTGTGAGTTGGGTCCTTCAACCTTTGTCCTTTGACATTCAGTCAGGAGCTGATCGGACAGTCGAGGGCTCGCAGATGTCTGTCAAGGTTAGCTGCCAGTCTGTTAAGTTCTCGAGAATACAGCTCACTCGGAGTAGTTCTATCAGGACATCATCAATAGGGGATGGCGTAGGTCCGGGGATTTCGTATATCAGTATGTTTACGCCTCGGTATTCCAGCCCTAAGAGGCGGCAGACCCTTCAGATGCCCGCTTGTAGCCTGTGTCATGATACATGCTGACTTATAGTCCTGACATGGCCCGTTCGTGCTGTCCGCAGTATACCATCCGCCTGGACGCGCGCGAATTCGCTCCGAACAAGAAACACCGGCAGGTCCTGAACAGATGGAACCGGTACCTCTCCACTGGATCCAGAGAGGTGGATGCTTCAAGCACAGACAACAAGGGGAAGGGCAAGGGCAAGAAGAAGGTGGAAGGCGAGGGATGGTGGACTGAGCTGCATCGGTATGAGGTCGACATAGGGGAAGAGGGGGTGGTACGATTCGAGGTGCGCTGCTTCTTGGACCAAAGAGATGTCCGAGCTGATAGGCCAGACTGAGCTCGTGCCTGCTGTTGCTACACCTGAATCGTTCGAGCTGTACAAGAGCTATCAGATCTCGGTGCACCAGGACAAGCCGGAGAAGCTCAATATGCGCGGGTTCAGGCGGTTCTTGTGTGACAGCCCCTTGATCGTGAGCTGCGTCCGCGACATCCACTGTTACTCACATGATCGGAGTAGCTGATCATCTTAGGAGCAGCCAATAACATACACCAAAGACGCCGATACCGAGGGCTTACCAGCAAATTATGGCTCGTACCATCTCCGTGAGCTCTTCCTAATAGTCCGTCCCCGCCCATCCTTACTCTCCACCACGTCAAGCATCGTCTGATCCACAGTCTACAAGATCAACGGCCAGACCATCGGCATCTCAGTGATCGACATCCTCCCCAATTGCGTCTCCTCCGTCTACTTTATCTGGGATCCCGACTGGGCATGGGCGAGCCTCGGCAAGCTGAGCGGCATGTACGAAGCGAGCCTCGCGAGGCGGATATGGGCGGCGGGAGGGGGCGGGGGGTATGTGTACATGGGTAAGCTTGGATGGGCATGAATGCTTTGGTGGACCAGCCAAGCAGCTGACACTCAGGCTATTGGATAGCGAATTGTCAGAAGATGAGGTACAAGTCTGATTATTCGCCTTCCTTTCTACTCGATCCGGTATGGTCCCCCGACTCACGGAAGCTGGATCGATTGGGCTGACAAATAGGGCACGAACGTCTTCCACCCTCTCAATCCCACGGTAGACAATTATCTCCAACATCACCCATACCGGCCCTTCCTCGATATCCCCACTGAAGAGCCGCCGCCCAAATCTACCTCGACCTCGGACGTAGCCAGCGCAACAGCAAAAGACGCGGACATGGACGACGATGAAGATTCCGAAGAGGAAGACGAGGACCCATCGGAGCCCTCAATGCTCTTCTTCCCTTCACCTCCCCCTCCCGGGTTCGCCAACCTCTCGGGTATATCAGAGGGGATGATGGACCGGACGCTCGTACTTTACGGAGGAGCAAGGGGGAGTCTTGTCGAGCTCAAGGTGAGTTCAGCCGCTCGCTGGCGAAGAAGGTCAGAGCTGACAAGCCAGGACTTGCAGTTCCGGAATGCGACCCGCGTCAAGCAGACAATCCGGGAGCTATACGCTGCGTTAGGACCGGAGTTGATCGCTGTCGCTGGCGAGGGGCTGGCGGGTATCAAGGATCGAGGGGTATTGACGTTTGGCTGAGTGAGATGGAAGGGGAAGGGCAAAAGCAGATGTACATGAGATGCATAGTTGGGTACCTATTGTTCTTTTGCGTCGTGTACGTATGTTCTGGCTGAGTTACTTGGCTACATATTGTGGGGCTGCTTCCTGGACGGTGATACGAATGGTATGATGATGGACGTAAGAGGAAAAAGCTAGAGCTAGGCATATGGTGATGGAAGGCATGGGGGAACATGATGCGAGAAGGGGAAGAAATGTCCAACCTGCAAGTCCGGGAAGAAGTAGAGCAGGGAAGAAGCGGAAGAAGCAAAAGGAAGGTAGATGAAGATGAAGCAAAAGCAAAAGTATGGGCAGGTCGATGCGAGATCTCCGAGATGGCACGTGGTATCGAGAGCTCGTCGCTGGGGTCGTTTACGAAAGGTAAGGTGGGTATGATGGTGATTATGGTATAAGGTAGGATATCGCTCAGTTCGGCCAAAGCAACCTCGCCGTTGACTCGGCCCGACCGAGTTCAGGTGTCGATTTGGTATGGTGCACTCCCGCCTCGCCGTACGTCGGACCAGCCGAGGGACGATACGCCGAGAAACTCTGTCCTCGAGCAGGTGACCAAGGCTGGCCGTGCACCTGCTCAGTCGGAAGCGAGGCGTAGCCGTACGACGCGTGCGGTGCGACCTGATAAGGACTAGCACCGCCGGAGTAGGTGTGGATGGGGGAGTGCTCGCTCCAGGGCGCGTAGTCGTGAGACGACAAATGGCGCTGGCGCCAGACTTGAGGCGAGGTATAGGCCGAAGTGGAAGTGGGTGGCGAGGAGATGGGGATATCGGCGCGGTATGACTGCGGGATAAAGGGAGGTGCGCTGGGCTGGAAAGTGTGTTGAGGAGACAGAGTGCGTTCGGCGGCATTGCTGATTTGAGCGTTGAGAAGTTGGAGCCGCCGAGCCATCTTGTCCCGCATGGTCAGGAGGTAATTGACATCATCTGTCTCCTCACTTAGACTGTCAGCTTGATCCTCAAAGCTCTCAAGCTGGAGATAGCTTACAGAGGAGGCGCATCCCGATCGTCCAGGAGTAGGTCGGCGCTCGCGCTGGTCCGGAGCTTCTTGTAGTCCTTTTGGTTCTGTCCATATCAGCTAAGCCCAGTATCGAGGGGGGAGAGAACTGACGTCAGAGTCTGCGATACGAGCTTGGATCTTTTCGCCAGTCCCGGGGTGACTCTGGCCATTGAGCTGAAGATGGTAAGCTGATGACTTAAGGCGTACAAGCTAGTCTGAGGTCTGCGGAACTTACGATCTTGATGGCTCGTTCCGCCTGTGGACGACTATCGAACCTGCGGAATCAGCCTGTGCTCGCTAACACGTGGTGTGGCGGGAAGTAGCTGACCTGATCAGGACCGGCCCCCTCCTATTCCCATCCTTATCCTCCAACAGCCTCAAAGAAGCTACGCGTCCGAACTGAGACATGTATTCTTCGACCTCCTGCCCACGTCAGTTCGCGCACATGAAATTTGTACCGCACTTCAAAGCTTACCTCCTTGCCCCAATCAAGCGGAAGACCGACGACGTAGATGTTGCTTGACGTCGGATCCTCGCGCGCCTTATACTCGGTCTGCCAGTCCTCCTATTTGGTCAGCTTCACTCAGGGATGTCCAGAGTCGCAAGCTCACCTTGGCATACTCGCATGGGAACCCCTTGGACCGGATTGCAGCCATGAATGCCCCAGCTTGCTCATTCGTTTCGAGCATCACGAACGCATGTCTGTCAGATCAGCTTCGGTCCCTTTCGCAGCGAACCCGAAAGAAAGCGTAAGCTTACCGACGAGTATCGTAGCTCTTGCCCTCTTCGACCGCAACCCGCATGGAGAGCACCTTCCCAAAGACCTCGGCGTATGACTTGAGTGCCTGTTCAGTGACGGATGAGGGAAGAGCGTGGATGTAAACTGATTCCGTCAGCTTGGTTCGGCGTATACTGGGAGACAGCTCACCGTTCCTCTTCTTAGTCCCACTCGAGACCAGCGGTAAACTCCTTAACCCCAGCCCCTGCCTGGGCGACACCTCCTCCCCGTCATCATCGTACGCCAGCAGTTCATCCGAGAACCGCACGCCCGTCCGACGCCGTTGCGACCTGTCGAGATTGGGGACGGACTGATGGTGCGTGAGGCTGGGCATCCGAGGCGAGAGCCTGGGGACGTGTCGAGGGTCGACGGGGTAGGAAGGGGGTGGAGGGGAGAAGAAGGGGTCGTAAGTTTGGGTGAGAGGGTTGATAGCGAGGTGATTGAAATCCGGCATCAGGTGGTCGTTGCTGCCGGTAGAAGGTATGGGACCGTACCGAAGTATACCTTGACTGGGGAGGATGGGCAAGCTAGGCGTGCGCGTCCGAGTAGGGGCGAGAGGGGTAAGGTCCGCCGAATTGTCGAGGAAGGAAGCCATCGATGATCGAGGTGGAGTCTTTGGTGGGTCCAGCTCCACCTGAAGACCATGCCCGTGGCCCTGCCCGTGCCCATTCCCGCTACTGCACAGACTATCGGACGATCCGCTCTTCCATCCCTCGCCAAACTGCCTGACGCGCTGGGACTCGCCAATCGCGCCAAAGTCGAAGGGTTCTTCTTTGGCCGGAGAAGGAAGGTTGACCTGGGTGGGCGGGGAAACGGGGAAGAAGGTGCTGGACGCGAGAGACGAGAGCGAGTCGCAGCGGGCTGTGAAGTGGGAGAGGGTGGGTGGGGGCCATGCTGCCGAAGTGGAGGAGCTGGTAGGTGTGGGCGAGGGCGGGAAGGGGAAGGAAGGGGCGAGGGGGTTGGGAGGCATCGTGGGCGTTTTGGAGCGGTATCGCTAGTCTGACGAGTCAGCGGCGGAGCGCAGCTAGTGGGGAGAGAATATGCTTACTTGTTATGATTAGGGGAGGTATAGTGGTATAGGGCGCAGAAAGCTTGTAAGAGAAGGAAAGAACGAGCTGAAACTTGGTGCACGGGGAAGCGGAGCTGAGACAGAGAAGGAATGTGGAGTATGGCGGGGGCGGTCTACGCCGATGTGAGACAGGGGGAGAGAAATGAGGGAGGAGTGAGGCTGATAGTCGGTGAAGTGAAGTATGGAAGAGAAAGAGTGAAGTGAGAAATAAGCGGGAAAGCCGAAATTCTCGCCCATGACTCACCCACCCCAAACGCGCAACCCATCCTTTCCTACAAGTAGCTCCCCCTGTGTGCCTCTGTGTGTATTCCCTGTGTGTGCGCCTTCATTAGCTTCAAACAAGCCAAGGGGTTGAATGATGAAACGTCGTTTCCTCGGATCATCAAATCAGCATTTAGCGCACGGCCCCCCAAAGGGAGGGGGTGGGTATGGCCAGAACATACACAGCTGGCATTAGTACAGGGATCTCGGAGATCCTGTCCGCTTGACTCGCGTTCGTGTCAGTCACCGCCTCAGCTCCGATCTCAAACTCCCGATCTCATCTCATCTTCGATTGACGTCAGATCGGTCGTCAGGGCGTAGATCTCCTGCTCGACGACGAACCCTCTCGCCCTGGTCGCCCTACCGATACCTCCCCATGGCGATGCATCAGAAGTGTACTAAGCGGCTACAGCCTCCTCTGCGGCCTTGCGGGGCTTGAAGAACGCCCGTCTCCGCTCCTCTCGCTCGGGTCGGGGCACCGATTGACGGTCGGTACCTGTCAAAGACTACAAGTATCAGTTGACGTCCCGCCCAAGATCCAGTTGGGAAGCGAATAGAGCGGAGTCAGCCGTAGGAAGGGGAAAGCCGTTTCAAGGAACGGGTAAGATGTAACTCACGTTACCGGCGTAAGAGAAGGTACCGATCATCGTGCCCATAGCGGCGCAAGCTCCAAAGGCCATTGGTAGCGACTTGGCTAAAGGAAGTCAGCGACGGACGGACTGGTCATAGCTGAGAAACTGAAACGGGGTGAGGGGGAGACGCTTGCTTACCTCGAACACCCGCAATGAAGCCCGCAGCGCATCCTCCGGCAGCTCCGTTCAGTGCGTCATCCGACTGACAGTCAGCTTGTCCTGCGTTGCCGCACATCATCGCTCAGCTCACCTCTCGCCAGTTTGCAACCTGTGCTTCTGTAAATGCGAACGTGAACCCCATGGCCGCTAGCAGTGTCAGCTTTGGCTTCGATATCACTAGCACGCGAGCTTACTGAAGAAGCCGATCGTCCCTCCTGTCCTGGTGACGATACCCATAGCGCCCTTGTCGTGGCTATCTGGTCAGCTTGACGCTCTCCATATCGCCTTCTCCGCACTGCTTTGGTATACGCCGACTCCGCCTGCGTCCGCTTCACGCCGTCGGAGGTACTCCGAAGCTACCAGTCGGCTCTTCCCTACAGTCCAGCTTCTCCCCTCCTCGCGTACTCCGCATCCGCCCGAGCTGCAACCTCTCTGTACAGCCCGACTGACCCCGCGCGGCACCCTCCTGTACCATCTCCCCCTCCGCTCCTCCATGTCTGCTTTGCGTCACGCTTACAACTCACCGCTCCAAAGCATTCTGCACAGCGCTAACCAGCAGCCCCACGCCCGCACTCTGCATAGTCACCCGCGCCGCCAGGCTCAAGGGCGAGTGGGGGTGGAAGGTATGTTCGAGGGGAGAGGGGGCGAAGAATGATTTGCTCGAGGACGAGCGGGCCGGTAACGGCGGGAGAAGCGGGCTTGAGATGGTCATTGTCGGCGCGGTATTCCGGCTGACTGCCGAGCTGTCTACGTGCGAGGGTTTTGTAGTTCAAGGGTGATAAAATATGGCTCTTGTGGACAGCAGAGATACCCCTTCTCCGCCTGGAGGGAGGAGGGCGGAATCAAATCCCCTCATCCCCGCTCTTGCGTTGCAACTCGCGCTCTTCCCGTTACAACGTCCACGCATCATTCGCCCGGTGCGGACTCGCTCGCTCGACCTCGAGCTGATTACCGCAGAGCTCAAGGTTGTCTTCGTTCATCTACCCTACTCAGCCACTAGTGATACCGCGTCACCTGCCACAAACCAGCCTACTCCCCAGAAACTCCTAGACGCGATACCACCCACACGCACCTCCCCATCGACGCTTCGTGCATCCCGCTCGCTGCCTGGCCCATCCCAGCTCCCTGGACCCGTACAGAAAGCGAGGAAGAAGCACAGCATGATGAGTCTTTTGCGCTGGCCGATAAGGGCTATAACTGATCAAATCACAGTTCACCAAAGCGGCGAGTAGATACGGACGTCATGAAGCTGTAAGTCACCACCGTTGTAGCTCGACCCGAGCTCCTTATCTCCTTTGCCACCCACTCGCTGGTGCGGTACTGACCCATTCAGCTTGATGTCCGACTATCAAGTCACATTGGTCAATAACAAGATGTCAGAGTTCTTTGTGCGCTTCACTGGACCCGCAGAGAGTATGTCTCCCATGGCGGTAAAGCAGGGCTTGGCTGACTCTGCAGCACCATTCGCCAAGGGAGCGTGGAAGATACATGTTGAATTACCAGAACAGTTCCCGTACAAATCGCCAAGTATTGGCTTCATGAACAAGATCTTCCACCCTAATATCGATGAGCTGTGAGTCTGCTGGACCGGTCTGACAGCAGCATGGCTGTGTCTGTGAGCTGATCAGACAGGAGCGGAAGTGTCTGCCTTGACGTCATAAATCAGACTTGGTCACCTATGTTCGGTGCGCTTTATCCTCACGTCTTTTGCACCAAGAGCGAGAGCTAACAGCTCAGAACTCATCAACATCTTCGAGATCTTCCTCCCCCAACTCCTCCGCTATCCCAATCCCGCCGACCCACTGAATGGCGAAGCCGCCGCCCTCCTCATGCGCGACCCTAAAGCCTATGCCAAGAAGGTTGAGTCCTACGTCGAGCGGTACGCATCCACCGAAGACGCAGATAGGGCAGGACCAGGCGAGGACGACGATGAAGAAGGGGGAGTAGGCAACTCGCCCCGGAATGTCAGGGGACCCATCGTTCCTGCGCCAAGTGGAGCAGGGGCGGCTGCGGCGGGAAGCAACGGGAATGGGAATGGGAACGGCAACGGTCAGGCGGGGAAGTCACATAGCGGGAGCGATGGAGAAGAGGCGGAGGGGAGCGATGGGGATAACATGAGCGATATGGGCGAGTTGAGCGATGGGGACGAGTTTATGGGCGAGATGGACGATTAGGGGGGATGTGGCTTTTCATTTCACACGATCCCCCTTCAGTCCTTGTCCATCATTTGTACCATACCCAACCCCCCAATCCTCCATCTCTTTGTCATATCTCCGACCGCAAACCCCTAGTGTAGCTTGTCCCCTGCATCCACTTTCCCCACTTCTCATTCTTACACTACCGGCCCTCTGGTCCGTCCTTCCACCCTTCCCTATGCCAGACTCATTGTTGTAATACTTCATGAACCTATTAGCTCTTCTGAACTCACTTCGGCTGACCTTCAGATACGATCGTTGACCCCAGCGTATCTCGCCCGCTTGCTTGTCAGCGTCCTTTCAAACACTTACTACGCCAAACCCCGCCCACATCGAGACGCTCAAACGGCTGCCGCCTTCCCCTCTTCGACTTACCTTCCCCTCCGCTTCGATCGCGCTGTCACAGATCCGTGGCCTCGAGGGCTCCAAGCGCATCCCGACGGACCCCCTACCGCACAATCGACTCCGGCCCCAAATGGACGTCAGAAAGGGGCACAAAGGACACCCCTTATCGCCAAAGGGGAGATTGAGCGTTCGCGCTCGCTGCGCAAGGCCCATTGCCTCCTCTGTCCTACCCTTCCGAGCGGGGTCGCTTTCTCTTTCAGATCACACCACTCACTTCACTGCCTCACTGACCACCACCTAGCTAGTCCACGCTGTAGGGCTTTTCTTGACTAAGTCAGGATAGTCCCCCGACGGTCATTACACCGCACCACCACGAACAGATACGACGACAACGGAGCCGAAGGGGTAGCTCCTCCTGCACCGCCACCAAACCAATCTCAATCGCTTGTCGCTCAGTTTGAGGCCTCATCCTCCCAGGGCAAGGTCACGATTTGAAGCACGGGTCGAGGATGGCCATGGCAAAGTTCTTCATACCTGATACGGCCCCCTTATTTGCGTATTCGGGATCTTGGGTCCCGGCTTATCATCCTCGCGGAGATGGATTTGACGAGACATTCCACCAGACCGCAGATGGGAGTGATACTGTCTCGTTCAACCTGACCGGTAAGCCTCTTCTCTCCCTTTCACACCTTTCCATCATACCGCCAACAACTCACACATCTTCATCGCCTCTTTGACCAAGTCCAAGCTGACGACCTCAGCATCTTCCCTTCACATCTCAACACCCTACAGCGATAGCCCTTCCTCCACGCTCGCAAGGTGCGACGCCCAGTACAGGATAAACGGCTCGGACTGGGCGGACGGGTGCGACGTAAGGCATTTACCGAGAGGATGGCATGCGGTGGATGTACGGCCGAAAGGAGGGGGCGGGATGCAGTTTCTAGGGATAAGGGGGGAGATCAGGCTGGGGAGCGATGATAAGTGAGCCATATCCTTCGAGCCAAAGAGTCGGGGCTGATCGCTAGACACCACAATACGACGATAGACAACTTATCTTCCCAATTCACCTACACCCCCTCGGCTAGCTGGACACTCATCACCTCAGCGGGACCACTCGGGGCTGTGCAGAACCAGACGGCAGCTGGGGTATTTGGGGATAAGGGCGGGTTCTATAATCGGAGCTTGGGGCTGAGTACGGCGCAGGACGCCAAGGCGGAGTTTAAGTTTAAGGGTAAGTCCCGCGCCACCGAGTGAAAGTGGAGAGAGGGCTGACGGTGTAGGCGAGGCGGTGTACCTGTATGGGCTGAGCGGACCGGAGATGGGGGTGGGGGAAATCATGTTGGATGGGCGGAGTGTGTCCACTGTGAATATGAGCGTGAGTACCCCTTCCCGTTGTCAAGGGGGAAGTGACGTGGAGCTGACCGCCTTTCAGCTGCCCTGGCGAAGCTACCCCTCCCTCATGTTTATGGCTGGGGATCTGGACGGGTCGGTCGAGCATACTGTTTCGTACACCAACTCCCTCGCTGGGTTGTCCGCCGTCATAGACTATGCCGTCGTCACACTGCCTGGAGCAAGCAGCACGTACGTGACCTTCCCATCCTCAGGGCCCAGTCCCAGTGCTGACGTATCAGACCAATCAACCTCGGGCTCATCCTCGGTGCCGCCGCTGGCGGGGTCACCTTCGCCCTCGTCCTCTGCATTTTCCTCTACTGCTACATCATCCGCCGTCGGTCCCGGCGTCGGGCTACTCCATCCCACCGGTCTCCCTCCCACCCCTCATCTGCCGGATACGCAGACACCCCGAAGTCTATCGACGCATGGCGCAAGCAGTCTGGTGGTGCTCGATCGCCCAGTAGCCCCATATCCGTCGTCTTCTCCGAAGCCTCGACTGCGCAGCTGGTCAAGATGAACCAGCCAAGCCCGCCGGACTATCTGGGAATCGACTACCCCGACTATATCCCGTACAATGGCCCGGTCGAGAAACGGCCAACATCACACAATACGCCGGCTCCGCCCAATATCGTCGGCGCTTCGCCGTCGGCAGCGACCTGGCTGGCCGCTCAGAGCCTATCAACCAGTCCGCAGACTGGGAACAGCTCATCTCGTTGGAGCCAGACATTCCCCTCGGGGAGCTCGTCTCGTTCTCTTACGTCACCTTATGCGTCCCGGAGCGGCTCCTCCTCGTCCGGATACAAGTCTACCACCTCCCCTGTCCGTCCATCACCACCCAAACGGCAGAACAGTCGGGATACTACTCTATCATCGCTCGACGTCCCCCTCACTGCGCTCGAGTACTACTCCATGCCTCGCAGCTCCCCAGCCAATATCCATCCGCGCGATCCTTACGCTTCCCCCAGCGATGTTCCCATGACAGCAACCGACCTCTTCTCCGTCCCATCAGGCAGGCAATCACTCCAACGGGACTCGCCCTTACCTCCCTCCTCGGCGGGGTCCGAGCTGACGTACGCGCGCAATGCGACCATCAGCATGGCCACATCGAGCAGGGTGGAGATGGGACAAGGTGTCGCCCGGCTCTGGCCCAGCAGGGCTGCTGTTCCCTCGGCGATGCTACAACCGGACTCGTCCCGGGGCGTCACTCGTCTCCCCCGCAAACTTCCTCCCGTCAGTCCCGCCGGCAGCTTCTCCGCACTATACGGTACCTACACCAACCCCACCCAACCCCCTTCCGCACTCACAACGAGCCAATCCCGATCCACACGGCAACTCCCATCCGCCATGCCCTCCTCCGCGGCTCTGGCCGCCTCTTCCCCCTCGGCCTCCGGCCCGCCGACACCTTCGCTCCGGCGCGGCGTGTCCATCAAATCAGTCAAGACAGTCCGGTCCTTCTTCTCGGCCCTGATCTCGGGGGGTGATATGCCCGCCGTACCCCGCTTTGAGCGCGAGGGTCCCGCGAGGCCGGATAGTGATCTCTTTGGAGATTCGGTGTCGGTGTCCAGGCGGCCGTCGATCAATGAAGGGTCTGGGCTGTATGGGGCAGGAATAGGGTTGGGTGGGAATGTGGGCAGAGGAGAGGGAGCGGGTGTCGGAGAAGGAGGTCAAGGAGGTCAAGCGGGGTATCGACATGCCCCGCAGCCACTTCGGCTACGAGGGTCGGAGGGGCAGGGACCGAGGAACCTGTTCATCGAGCTGAACCCGAATAGTCCGATGACGGTAGTCAGCAGACCGGGGAGCGAGCAGCCGTTATGGTGATGAAAGAAAACCATCGGCGGAGTGCGATTCAGATGGGGCTTGACCGTGCCGGGATCGCTGGGTACTTCAAAATATACTGATAGCCACTGAGAGTAGTGTATACATGCCTAATCACGAAGCTATACTACCAATCCTCACCCGACCCAATGAACAATTCCTGTCACTCGTCAACCTCCATGTGGTCGCCTGCATCCGAGGCCCCCTCGTCAGCCTGATTAGCGTAGAATTCGTGCTCGGCCTCCTCGTCTCTGAAGGTACGCCACAAGATGTGCTCCAGCCCCGTCAGGTGGGTATCCATGCTCTCCCTGCCTGCCAGTCCTTCGAAGCCCGGCCATTTCGCCTGCGATCGGTCGAAGATCTCTCGGATTGACTTGTTGACCGCTCTCGCTGCTCGTAGTTGCACAGTCTCACCTCGGTCGTCCACGCCTGTCTCCGATTTGCCAACATGCTGCGTCGATGGAATGGCACGCTGGATGAGCAGGCGCTCTGCTTCGCCAATCTGCTTGAGATAGCTATCCAGTTTCTCCTCGAGGCCTTCTTCATTCTCCGTTTCGAAGGGCTCACAGATGTCGTGGATGATCGCAGTCCGCTCTTCCGCAACACCGGCGTCGCCGTCAGAATTGGACAGAGTAGGCGTGACGGTGATGCCCGTAGGGTAGCGATTGCCCCTGGGAGGCAGCGAGACGCTTGTTTCCCCAACGGGCAGGTGCTGAACGGCGCTTTCCCATAATGAGTGTGGCACTGCCAACGAGAGGCGAAGTACGTCAGGGCTCTGGCGTACTTCGTTTTGACCCTGCTCTGAGGTGGACCTCAACCAATCCCTTGCGGCATCGGCTCTTCTGGCTTCCAGGTTGTCCCTTATCTGGAACCTTTGATCGGCCCAAGCATCCACAGTCTTGGCATCAGTCAGCCACTGTAAGACTTTGTGGAATGCCGCCGTTTCGGCTCGGTTGATTTCCCTTGTGGGCAAAGCACTTGAGTATGCCTTCAGAGCGGCCAACTCGGAATCGAGGCTGGAGAAACGATCGTGATCGGCGAGGAACCGCATCACCTCGCTGTTCCGGGCGTCGATTTCACGATTCTGGGCGGCGATGGCATCGATGAGCTCCTTCCTGACCTCGCCCTGCACCCACACAATGTCATCGACCGTCATCGAGAAGCTGGCGTCACCAGACATGCCTGTGAGAACGACAAATGGGGGTTGTGAGGCGAGATAAGCAGTTGTGTTAGCGGGAATGATGTCTTCGAAGAGCAGGTGAGGTACAGGAATGTGGAAATGCAGAGGAAACAGAGGGGTGATCGGCCGTCTTATCAAGTGCGCGAGGCAGACAACTTCGCCACCCATATGAACGGAGTGACAATGGCGTGCTTGGTGCTAAGCCGCATCCAAAGGATGACTACTTGGATCATTCTAGACGGCACACTGGCCACGAGCCGAGCGTGGCAGTGTACTCGCCATCTGACCTACACGACCCGGACATCAGTCCTGACTAATCCGCTGACGGTGGCAGGAGACCAGGGAGGGAGCGGCCGCTATGAAGACCGATTCAAGCGAACGTCAAATGGGATTTGGTGGCCTCAGCACCGGCTTGACTGACGTGTGGGTTGCCACCTTAAACAGCATATACATCGCCTCCAGGCCAGTTCTGCAAGGACTGCTACAAGTATAAAAACCCAGCCCATCAAACGACATCACTTGTCCACCTCCATCGCCTCGGATTATGTCCCCTGGAATTCCTTCACGACCCCCTCAAACTCGAACATCCTCTTCACAATAGACTCCAGTCCAAGGAGACGCTGGTTCATGCTTCGACCGTCCGTCACCCCTTCAAGGTCAATGCTCGCAATTTGCGGGTGATCAAGGACGTCACGCATCCACTTGTTGGCCGCCCTTGCTGCTGACAGCCGGTCCGACCCCTGCCCACTCTCCTCTTGAGTGCCCCCATGATCCGTCCCACCGATGCGCCCTTCAGCATGCTGCCCAGCAGGTAAAACTCGTTCAATGATCCGGCGCTCTGCTTTCCCGACCTCACTTAGGTATCCGTCCAGCTTTCCTCTCAGGCCCTGGTGTTTACCGCCGATGCGCTCGCAGATATCGTCGATGACCTCTGTCTCGTCGTCCATCTTTGCATCCGCGTCGACCTCGGACAAAGTCAGCGCGACAGTAATGCCCTGAGGATAGCTCCTGCCCAGGTTAGGGAGAGCAATAGTGGTTCCCTCGGTACTTGAAGCCAGATGCTGCCAGGCGAGTGCCCAGGTTGCACTTGGCACAATCAATCCGAATCGATCCACAAGAGGGGTGTCGACAATCCCACTGTATCCCGTGAGGGAAGTGGAATGCAGCCAGTCTCTTGCCGCCTCACCTCTTTTGGCTTCGAGTTCGGCCTCCATATGTGAATACAGTTGGTACTGGGTCCGCACAGTCTCGGCATCAGTGAGCCACTCCGACACCTTCCGCCACGCCGCAGTCTCATCAGATGTCAAGCTCCTGGCACGCGAAGCTGTGGTGTAAGCTTGCAGGATGGCCAGTTCGGGCGCGAGGGAGGAGAAACGGTTGTCAGCCGCGAGGAATGTCGCCTGTTCGCTGACCATGGCGTCGACTTTGGGAATCAGATTCGCGATGGCTTCGACGAGATCGTTTCTGATCATGCCCGCTATCGACGTGGAGTCCATGATTGTGAAAGCGATCGCTGTGGGCTGTAAGGCGGTTGAGCGTGCCCTGGACGCGAGATGCTGCTGCTTGGAGAGGAGTCTGGATGTAGGAATGAGGCACAGCAAAGGGGACAGAGGGGGACCGGGGGGGGGGGGGGAGGGGGGGGGGGGGGGGGGGGGCCTTATGTAGTGCGAAAGGACAGACAGTCTCGCCCCTTGCGCGAAAGGAGGGCTTATGGCGTGCTCAGCACTGTATCGGGCAATCCCTTGTCACATAGTCTTAGAGCTGGATGGGACAGCCCACCGGATCGGTCGGAGTGATGCAGGCGAGAATATTCTAGAACACTCTAGAGGGAGGACTTCCCGTGAATATCGATGTGATGGTCGACGGTGGTCAACATCAGCGGCAAGGTTGTGCTTACCGAGTAGGTGTTGTGACAGTGAGCAAATCCAGCAGACTGGCTGCTCTAGACGCACTATCAGCAGGTAGTCCAACTGTCTAGACTCAGTCGCTCAGTCCACAGTAGTGTCAACAAGTCAGCGCGCAGAAGTACACTATGCATCAACATCAGATCAAACTCTTCTTACAAACCTCCTTTCCAGATCCAGATACGGTGATTTACAACTTCGCCTTGACCTTGCCGTGCGCCTTGAAGAGCGCCTCCTCCCTTTTGCGGACCCCATCATAGCGCTCCCTGAGCATCGGTACCCGCTTGAGCTCCTGCTTCCCGATCTGCTGTACATGGACCTCATCAGGACCCTATAGAGATCAGCTATACTCTTTCGTCATCCCGTCAGGAAGACAGGGGGCGGGAGCTAGCTTACATCGGCGAATCGGAGGGTTCGGAGCTGGGCGTAGAAGTATGGCAGGTGCGTGTCTTGGCAGATACCCTCGGCGCCGTGTACTTGGATCGCGCGGTCGACTACGCGAAGAGCCATAGTGGGGACAGTGAACTGTTATGTCAGCGATTGACCCCTTGCTACTGAGTGGCAAAGAGTGCTCACCTTGGAGATACCGATATCCTTCATGGCGGCCTTGGCGCCGTGCAGGTCGATCTGCCTTGCCGCAGCCAGAACAAGCAGGCGGGCTTGATCGATCTCGGCGCGGGAGTTGGCAATATCAGCAAGGATGGTACCTGATGATCAGCTCAGTCGGATAATTAGGTGCAAGGGGACTGACCGTGCTGGTGAAGCTCCTTGCCGAAGGTCTTCCGGATTGGGTCGGTGACACGCTGCATGAGCAGCTCGAGGGCCTTGCTGGCCATTCCGATAGACCGCATGCAGTGGTGCAGACGACCAGGACTATCGCGTCAGCTAGACCCACAAGCGAAAGATCGATCCAGCTTACCCGAGTCTAGCTTGGATGATCTGGGAATCAGCTCCGTCCTAGACTGCATGAAGTATGACCCAGACTTACCTCGAATCCCCTTCCGAGACCCGCCCGACCGCCGACGATCCCCTCCTCCACGCCAATCACGACATCCTTGTACTTGACCTCGCAGTGCCCTTCGGGGGCATCATCATACCCAAAGACTTGGAGCGGTCGGACAACGTCAACTCCCTTCGAGCTCGGTTGGACAAGGACGAGCGAGTGACGCTTGTGTGGCGAAGGGTTGGACGGGTCGGTCACTGCCAGAACAATATGGATAGCGTTGCGCGGGTCACCAGCGCCGGAGATCCACCACTTGTGGCCGTTGACGATGACCTTGTCGCCTTCTACGCGGGCGGTCGTGTTCTTGAGGTTGGTAGCGTCGGAAGAAGCGACTATGATGTCAGCGCATGCCAGGAAGAGCGAGGGTACGAGGAGACATACCTCCATACTCGGTCATGGAGAAACTACTCCTGATCTCCCCCTGGAGCAAGCGGCCGAGGTACTTGTCCTTCTGTGCCTGGGTGCCGAATCGAGCAAGGACCTCTGCACTACATCAGCGACGTCCACCGGCATGCTTCGGCCGTGACTGACCCATGTTCCCGGTGTCGGGAGCAGAGCAGTTGGTGGCCTGAGGAGCGAGGATGACAGAGTGACCCATGATCTCCGCCATGACCGCGTACTGCAGCATTAGCACTCTGTCTCTGAACATCCTTCTAAGACTCCATGGTGTCGGATCGACACCAGTCGCCTCGATCTCGCCCGCGCCAGCCCATGAACACTCACCTCGAGATTGGTCAGTCCGCCTCCCGATCCACCCGCCATCCCCGAGAACTCTCCCTTACTCAACCACAGATTCCACAGACCCTGCTTCTTGGCCTTGTTCTTGAGCTCCTCTAGGACGGCAGGAATGGACTTCCATCGTTCCGGACCGTGAGGCGCGAGTTGGGCATGGAAGAGGTTCTCAGCGGGCAGGACGTCGTTCTACTCGATCAGCTAAACCTCTCCCCTGGGAGTTCCGCTGAGGAACGAAGACGTCTCAGCTGAAGAACAGTACTGACCTCGACAAAGTCGATCAGAGTAAGCAAAAGCGATTTAGCGCGCTGCGAGAAGAGAGGCTCGACCTGCCCGATCAGCCTTTCGTCTGGACTGTACCTTTCGCGGTGAGACTCACAAGACCCCAAGCTCCGGACGGCACGTATTGAAAGATGCGCTGGTCAGACATATTGTGCTGTAGCTACTGGAGATGAGAAGGATGAAGGGGGATCGAGAGATGGCCAAAAGTGTGGGGAAATTGGTGGACAAGGTTGCTTTCCGGTTGTGCAGTAACCGGGCCGACCGCTTCACCCGGCACGGCGCCCGCGGTGCATGTGCTCGAAGCTGGCCTAGTGTGGTCCACACTAGAGAGTGCACATATAATGCCAGACCATCTTCCCTCACCTCAATAATACAGCTGGGAACGAGTCCTGAAAGGGGAAGACAGCAGCTTAGGAAACGCATAATCTGTTACATATAGCCTTGTCGGCGTGATTCATGCGATGGTATGTCGGTTGTACGTATAATATGAAAGGGCGTGAACTATGTAATGAACAGTGAGGGTCTACTACCCGGGAATCTATGGTCTTCTTCTATACAGCTACTCCTTCTATCCCTATGCCTGAGCCCCAATCAAAACACCGACCTCGCCACTCTGATCCGCCCGCGTCACATCATCAAGACTCTGGACCCGACTGAGTATCCCCGGCCGGACCTCTGGCACCGCCGAGACGATCCGGAACTTCTCGCTTGGTGGGACCGAAAGTGTCCACTTGTCCGCGACGGCGGCCTGTGGCTGACCGAAGGGAGCGGCGGGCTTGGGACCCTGGGAGTTGAGCTGGATTTGACGCAGGCGGTCGGCGTCGGTGGAGCGGGCGGAGTGGGAGGAGGCGTACGATCCGAGGGAGTTGAGGGATGAGGAAGAGCCAGCGGAGGAGAGAGCGGGGGTCGAGGCGCCGGAGGCTACCTCGCCGTGCTCCCGCTTCATGTGCTCGACCTCCATACCACCGTCCAAGATACCCACGCGCATCATGGCGAGCAGGTTGTGGGCAGCATTGGAGTGGTCGTAAACACCACCAAAGAAGGCAGTGGTGGCGTCCGTTCCGATCGACCGCTTGATGAGGTGGGCACCACCGGGGTGGTCCTCGTTGAAGCTCGAGCAGTCGTGGATGAAACCGTGGATGGCGACGAGTGACCGCTCCTTTGCCTCCGCCTGGAAGTCGTCCCAGCTGATGACCGGGAGCTCGTTTGAGCTCTTGGGCCAGTTGAGCGACTCGCCCTGCTCCTGCAGCTGCTGGAGCTTCATGGTGTACTGCCCCTTCTTGATCTCGTTGTCCGGGAACCGCTTGAGGTGGGACGCGAGGCCGAAGATGGACATGGTGGAGATGAACCACTTGGTGGGGTCGTACTGGAACCACTTGATGGCGTTCCGGAAGTCCATGGGGAACTGGTGGTGGAAGTTGTGGTAGCCCTCACCGATGGTGCATAGGGCGGTGAAGAAGTGGTCGCAAGGGGTGTGCTTGTTGTCGAACGGCTTGTCTCCGAGCCAGTGGGCGAGCGAGTTGACGCAGAATGTGGACTAAAGGTCAGCGATAATTCATTACTGGAATGCAGATGGGACTTACGTGGTGGACAAAGAGCAACCTAGCAGCGCCGGCAAAGAAGAAGCCGCCCTTCCAGTCTCCCCAACCAAGACCAGCAACGAGCATGGGGAAGAAGACACCCATGAACAGGAGCAGGGCAAGGTAGTTCTTGTGTTGCCACCGGACGACGCGGTTACGAGTGAGGTCCGAAATGTCGGCGACACCAATCTTGCCTCGCGGCTTGACGATCATCCATCCGACGTGAGCCCACCAGAAACCCTCGTGCGCAGAGTACGGGTCGAGCTTGGTGTCGGTGTACCGGTGGTGAGCGCGGTGGCCGCGTGACCACCACTTGATGGAACCCTGGACGGCGCCGGCGCCAGCGAGGGAGAGAGCGTACTGAAGGGGGAGGGAGGCGTTGTAGGACCGGTGCGCCCAGAGACGGTGGTAGCCGGCGGTGATACCCAGACCAGTGATGTAGTAGTAGATCACGCTGAAACGTCAGCGGCAGTCAGAAAAGTTGAGTGAAAAGACTTACGACCAGATCGCGGTCTTGGTGTTCCATGGCACCGTGGCGACACCGTAGATCGTCAAGGCGGGTGTGATGGTCAACGCCAGGAATGAGATCCACTGGATGTTCCAGATGAGGTTCTTCCACGTCACCGGTGGCAAGTACTTTTGCTTCTCGATGGTGTGGGAGACGTAGTTGTCTGGGATGTTGGCGTCGGACGGGGTGAAAGTGGGTTGGATTTCGGGGATGATGGCATTGCCGCCTGCAGTGTCAGCTGCGAGCTCTCGAAGATAAAGCGAATCAGACTCACCAGCTGGCTGAGCGGCCTTAGCATCAGGAGTGCGAGGAGGGGAGTAGGCGGGGTCGGTGCTGTCAGCCACGAATGGCTGGCGGTACATGGGTCCTCGCTCTTGCTCAGGAGTTTGGGGAGTGGAGGACGCCATCTTGGGATGGATAGTGGCGAGAGGTGAAGCGGAGAGAGAGAGGATGAAGGGTGGGAGGTTGAGGTTGAGTTTGTAAAGTGGGCCTGGTTTGGCAGTGGTGAAATCGTCTAGAACTGTCTAGAACGATTGGTCTGTATTCGTGTGGATAACTTGCGGGAGGTTTTGGTAGGTTGTAGAAAGGCGAAAGAGGGAGAGATGGGCCGCAGAGAGAGTAACTCTTATAGCCCTGTAGTCGGCAATCGGATTGACAGTGTCCATACCTCACCCACGCTCGGTCCAAGAGATTTAAAGTGGAGCGGTTCCCCACCACAAAAATTAGATCCCGCCACATCTCTTCTGGCTCGGTTTTACTCGGTTTCACTTGCATTCTCGCATCCTTGCGCTCAGAATCCCATGCATACTATCCAGGCTGCTCGCTGCAGCTCCCTATGCGTCCACAGGAGGCCAGATTGGAGGAAATCGTGCTTGGGACGGCATGCCTGCCATCTGCCTCTCAAAGGGATCCAAGACCCTCTCGCCACCCAGAATTCCTTATCTCGCCGACCGATGCCGTCACGATGCGTCACGATTCTAGAATCTCCGATCTGTTGGGGCAACCCACGGCGGACACTGCCGCCGCGATCGGCGTGGAGCTCCACATGCACCCCCCCATCCACGCCGGACACTACCGGTGAACACGTGGAAGCGGAGATGGCCCGGATAACCGGGCTGTTGACAAGCCCGTGCGACGTGATCGTCGTCAGCTTGCGTCGCGGCGCGGGACCGCAGAGGCAACGACGTCAAGCGTTCCTTGCTCCCTCTATCGCCCAACTTGGTCTCAACTCAGCGCCTGTCGGGTATCAGTATCAGCGGAGAATCGTCGATCCAGCTCAGAGACACCTCGCTTAATCACCGCATACCATGTTCGACCCCTCACTCAGCAGCGGGCGCAACAACCGCGTCAACCTATCGACAGGCGGCGCATCCTCCTCCTCATCGCTGCTCGAGAACGTCCGGGCAGAACGGCTGCTGCGGGAAGAGCGAATCAAGCAGGAGAGGGCGGCAGTGCTCATTCAGCGAAGATGGCGAGGACGGAGAGAAGGCGACAAGGTCAGGCGGGAGCTGCTGAGTCAGCTGGATGAGCTGGTGACGAGTGATGTGATTAGCTCGGCAGAGGTGGAGAGAAGAGCGAGAGCGTTGGTCATCATGAGTAGATGGAAAGGGTCTGTGGAGGTGACCGGGAGGGTGGATAGGTTGTTGATGGGTCTAGTCAGGTCTGGCCGGGAGGTAGATACAGGTAAGCCGTAGCTTGTCCCCCGCAGAGCTGAGCTGATACGTACAGATCATGGCGGACTGCGGATCCTGACCCCTTTGAGACGCAACGCTGACTACACCTCTGTCATAGCTATGATACTGCGGCGATTGCTCGCCCTTATTGACCAAGATCCCACGTGAGTCCACCTGAATATCAAGGCTGAGTCAAAGTGACAGTAGCTGACGAGATAGATCTGCAGCATCAGCAGAAGCGCTCGCCTTCCTCGAGTCGACCTCGGATCGCAAGTCGTACGAGAAGATTGGGTGCTCGCCCGCAGTGATTTCCGAGCTGGTGCAGGCGATGGGCAGAATAGGATGGGTAGATGGCCTGGTCAGGATACTGGCAAAGCTCGTAATAGCCAGCGTGAGTTGATGAGCCGTGTAGATGCTGCGGTGCTAGCTGACTCACCAGCAACCAAAGAAGAAGCATCCGACACTTCAACCGGTCGTGCGACTGCTTACCGCTCCGATCACACTCGCCCCTGCCTCTCCCGAACCGCTGGTCCTAGAACCTCTGATCAACCGCCTCCTCGCCTTCCCCGCTTTACCCTCCTCCATCCCTCTCGCGTCCCTTACTCACCTGTCTCAGACACTGCCCATCTTCACCTTGTTGCTCCCATACGCAGCAAGTCATCCGTCGATACTGGACCAGGCCGATCTCGGTACCGAGCGAGGGAAGACATACCTCATCGCCAATCTTGTCACATTCGGTATCACCGGTGGCCTCTTAGCGCGACACGGCAGCGGCGCAGCAGCAGCGTGGGTGAAGGTCATGCGGCACCTGCTCGGCGGGGTCGGGGCTGGATGGGGATTGTGGGCGGAAGGGGTGTATGAGGCGAAAGAGGAGGACATCACGATGTCATCCGTGAGGAAGGACGACTCGGACGATGAGGATGTGGATATGGAGCCAGCAGGTCCATCACTATCAGCGGCCATAGTCGGTACTGTGCAACCCTTACCGGCTCCCAAGCGACCCCGACAAACCCGCCCACTCCTCCCTACCAACATCTCCAGCAAACTGCTCCTTCTCGCCTCTCCAGCACACATGTCGGCTCTAACGACGGTCCTTACCTCTCCGGCTGCCAAGGCTCCCACATCGCTCCTTTTGGACTTTTGCGGCTTCGCGTTGAATCTGCTGTATGCGTTTAGGGGTACACCGAAATGGGAGGGGACGCTGGATGCGCTGCTGGTGGGACAAGCGGGACGGCAGCTCATGAAGCGAATCTGGCGCGAAGGCGTACGGGGAAGGTGGAGTGGGAGCCAACACAAGTCCAGCTGGGAATTGTTCGGACAAAGTGAGCTCAGTGTTGACGATCTATCGGAGGTAAGCTGACCCTTTAGACCCGCAAGCATCGACACTCCTCCTCGCTACCCAGATGTACAGCCACTACCTCCTCCTTACACCCGACGACGAGTTCTTTGCGCCAAACATCAACCCGTTCTCGCTGGATGAGGTCACCGAGATCTCGGCGGTATGGCGTGATCTGGCGTATTGGGCGTACATGAGCGGAGTGGATGACTCGGCCGGAGAAGGAAGGCGGATGGGGAATGATGATGAGAGAGGGCTGATCACTCGGGCGATTGTCAGAGTGGCGGAAAGAAAGTGAGTCCTTCCGTCATGTCTACCAGCGCGTGACGTACTGACCGGCCAGTTCTCGCCGGCAATTCTTACCTGACAATCACTGGGTTATGATTTCCCGGAGCGAAAACGAGGCCTTCATCGAAGCGGCCGTCCTGGAGGATGCGGATCTCATGGGGGATGCCGACGCAGAAATCCCCGAGAACGAGCTCCCTCGGCATGCTCGCGCCAAACAACGGCTCAGTAAGCGGCAGATGGCGTATCTCAGTCCGAGGCTGGGTTTGTTGAACAATCTGCCGATGACGGTGCCGTTTGTGACTCGCCTGGAGATCTTTCGTCAATTTGTCGAGTGAGTCTACAGCTGTGTTGATAAGAACGTCGTTCATCCAGCTGATCGGTTTAGAGCGGACAAGCGGAGGTTACGGCTCGATATGCGAACGCAAAATCAGAACTCGAGGTATTATAATGGGGCTACGATCCATCGAGACAAGTTATCGGAGGATGGGTTCAGACAGCTCAATAACCTGTGCTCGTTCTTGAAGGGCAGGATACATATTACCTTTATTGACCAGTGAGTTCACCAATCACCTGAGACGCGGGAGTAGGCTGATCCAGCTAGATTCGGTGAGGAAGAATGGGGCGTGGATGGTGGAGGACTATTCAAGGAGTTCTTGACTGGGTAAGTCTCGCTCTGGCGCCGAGAGATGGGGCTGGAGCTGATCTTTATAGTCTGAGCAAGGAGGTCTTCGACACTGAGCGCGGGCTGTGGCTTGTGAACGACCAAAATCAGCTGTATCCCAATCCACACGAATATGCCACAGAGGGTAAGCTCGGTGCCCAACGCAAAGAAGGATGATGGCTGATGAGACAGCACACCAACTCAGCTGGTACAGCTTCATCGGCCGTATCCTTGGCAAGGCGCTATATGACGGTATTCTCGTCGACGTCTCGTTTGCTGGGTTCTTCCGTGAGCTGCTTGATGCGCGTGACCGGTGTAGGAGAAGGTCAGCTGATATGGTAGTTGCCAAATGGCTCGGGCGGCAGTCGTATCTGGACGATCTGAACTCGCTGGATGCGGAGCTCTACAAAGGCTTGACTAGTAAGCTGCGACTTTTGATCTGCAGTAACCTGGCGTTAGCTGACACTGCAGTGTTGAAGAATTACACTCAGCCCGAGGATCTCGCTCTCAACTTTACCATCTCGAAGGATGAGTTTGGGGTCAACAAGACTGTTGACTTGATCCCCGGCGGATCAGATATCGCTGTCACCGCCGAAAACAGGGCCGAATGTGAGCTTTCCGACTCGCTTGCCCCAATCACCCTGCATAGAGTACAAAGCTGATATCCAGATATCCAGCTTATCTGCAAATACAAGCTCGACCGCCAAATCGCCGCCCAGTCCCGAGCCTTCTTTGACGGCCTCTCGGACCTCATCGACCCAAAGTGGCTCCGGATGTTTGATCCCAAAGAGCTTCAAGAGCTTATCGGAGGCGAGGAGAAGCCAATCGACGTGGATGATTTACGGGCACATACGACGGAATCGGGATTTATCAATGGGGATACGACGAGATTGTTTTGGAAGGTCGTCAAGGAGTTTGACCAGGATCAACGGCGGGCATTAGTGCAATTTGTCACGAGCTGTGGGAGGCCCCCACTGTGAGTTGGCTCACCCCCGAGTCATGACGGGACTGAAGCTGATGCCTTAGGCTTGGGTTCGCACATTTGAACCCTAAATTCGGATTGCGATTCGCAGGCCCGGATCAAACTCGCTTACCGTCCGCTTCGTCCTGCTTCAACCTGCTCAAGCTACCAGGGTATACAGTATGTTATATCCCACCGTTCGTGTTTGCGTACCGAGTTCTACCTGACGAATCCAGGATGCGAGGACGTTGAAGGCGAAATTGTTACAGGCAATCAATTCAGGGGCGGGCTTTGATCTGTCATGATGAGATTCTGATCGGAAATGTGTGGATACTGTCGTTGTATATAGCTGAGTATGATATCTGCTCGTGCACCTGCTATCGGCTGCGAGCGCGGCGCTGTTCGCGTTATGTAGAGACCTCGGCCAAGGCATGATGTCTGGTGCGTGAGCGTGCCTAGCGTGAAACTTTCTGGCTGTTAAGCTTTCTGAGGAATGCTGTCTGCTCTGAACGGAGTCCAGCCCAAGTCCAGCCTGACAACGCTTGGCACAGCATCAGTCCTCGGAGCCACCGTCAAGCGATGCTACATCATGCAATAACACCCAATGCGTACCTATCTACTCCAATCCTGCCGGATATGCGGATACGATTAGGGCCAAATCCCACTTACCCCGACGGCGCTCAGTCCCACCGTTCGCCGAGTCCAGTCCCGGCCCGGCGTCATCGCCTCACCATCCTCCCCTGATCCTTATCATCAATCACAGCAATTTCCAGCACTACATCCGCTCCAGTATGGGTCGATGGTACTGGAACTACCCCGTCTCTTTCCACCCGGCGATGGCGTGCCTCCTCCGCTGGCGGCCGGGGACCGATCGACCACCCTCCCCGCGTTGAGTCCAGGCTATCTTCGATGTACGGCGGGAGCACGGCTGCCGCTGGCCTAGATTCCCAACCGCGTCCTTCTGTGGACCGACAATAGACAGTCCTGACCTCTTCAAGTTCTACATCTTTTCTTTACTCGACGAGAAATCCGCCTCGAAGCGTCGCTTATTCGTCGTCTTTCGCCCCATCTTAGCATGTCGTCAGGGTATCGAATGCACGTCGAGGTCATGTACGTGCTGGGTCAGATGCTCAAGGACGGGGCGGGGGGTCCAGAGGCGGAAAAGGTGCTTGAGGAAGGACATGGCGTGGTCAGTCTTTGTTGTTCTGTGACTCGAGATCCGACGCAGCGGCGCTAGCAGATCAGATCAAATCATTAGCTGTAGGTGGTTCGAGGGATCAGCAGGCCGGAAATCGAGTACTCCAGGGGAGATGATGTGCTCATGGGAGAGCTGATGGTGATTCTAGCTTCCCGGTCCCCTCCTCGTAACCTTCGCCTGGCACGCTGATGGCGCAGACCACCCTTCCCTCCGCCCCTCACTGCCGATGAGACGCCTCATCATTACCCCCGTTGACGCGTCCCAGCTTACTGTAAACCACTCGGCGAGCCGCCTTGGAGCTTCAACCAGCTCCGCAAAGCCCTGACCCCCATACCGGGCACGTTTTCGAGATTGGGTCCGCCTGGCGGGAGATCTCCGCCCTCTGGCGGATCAAGGGAGATATCGCGTGGCGTCATTTCAGAGATGAGGAGAGGGGTGAGCGGGAGTGAGACGAAAGGGTCAAGTGGAAGATGTGGGAACCGCCGAGATGGATGGAGGGGCTGAGGGGTCCTTGGATACCGTCTGGATATCACGCCTGGACGGCGCCATTAGGGTGCTGGATCTCCCATGTGCAGGAGCTTCATTGCCATGCATCGATTGTGAGCGAAGGGACAAGACGCTGCGGCCCATCAGTAATCATCAGTACTGGTTCAGTGAGTAGCAGCTGTACTTGCGGACATGTACAATTAATCGATGTCTTCGGTGATCTTCGGCGATCATGAAAACAGCCTTTCCGTTCGGGTACTCTCGCTCACTTCTGTCCACTCTCTCTCCTTGTGCAATCTATCTTGCTTTCATCTCGCTGGTTACAGGAAGCTGAGCTACCGGAGTAGCCGAGGCACCATGTCCCCTATTCTCAAACGGGACGTACACGAGCAACTCCGCCAAGCAAAGAGACTCGCACAATCCATCACCGGTACCTCCCCCTCTTACCACGACGGAGAGTACGATTTCGAGCGGGGTCATGGCGACTCTTACGCTTCGCCCTCCACCGCAGGCCCCTCTCGCCCTGCTACAGGCATAGGCATAGGCGTAGGGGCCGGAAATACGAACACGAAGCATGAGGGAAATAGGCGGTCCGTCGAGATATACACGTCGAGTAGTCATCCGAGGCGCGGGATAGGAGTGCGAGATGTCGAAGTGCAGGATGAGGGCGGATGGAGGGGGAGTATGGTCGCGGAAGAAGAGGGGGATGGGCGCGCGGAGAGCAGCGAGATGGGCAGGAGGCGCGTCAGTGGGGAGGTATACGCAAAGGAGGATAATGGGTGGGAGGGGAGTGAAGCGGGAGACGGAGAAGCGGCGGCGTTTTTGCCCCAAGGAACGACAGGGACGGTGCATACGACGTATCCACCAAGGACGCCAGCGCTGCCGCATCTCGTCTCACCTGGAGCCGGGCCGAGCACCAGCGGCCGGCCAGCGAGGGAAGAAGCGACAGGTCCATCAAGCGCTCTTGCCGATCTACGCAATCTACTCGTTGAGGTGAGCTGACCGGTTCCTCTTTGTCCCGCAAAGCTGATTCTTCAGTCCACACCCTCCCTCCTCTTCTCTCTCGTCGGTCTCGTGTTCACCGGCGAGCTCCTGGAACACCTCGCCCGCTGGCGCGTCTTTCGCCGAGTCGACGAGCTCTTCATCCTCGTCCCCATGCTCGGCAACCTCAAGGGCAACCTCGAGATGTGTCTCTCCGCCCGACTGGGTACCTCCGCCAATATCGGCGAGCTAGACCACCGCCGTACCCGCCGTGCCCTCTTGATCGCCAATATGACCCTCCTCGGACTGCAGGCACTGCTCATTGCGAGCTTGGCGGGCGTGATCAGCTTTGTGCTCGGTCTGCTTACGATCCATCGTTTAGGCGATACGGACATGAATATACCGACGGGGCCGATACTGGTGGACCCGGGATTGGCGGTAGGGGAGCAAGAGTGGCATGAGGGGTATACTAGGCCAGGATTCAAGCAGTTGGTGATGGTCTTGGCGACGGGGATGGGGGCTGCGGGCTTGAGTTCGGCGGTATTAGGGAGCTTTATGAGCTCCGTCATTGTGATTTGCAGATGGTGGGGCATAGATCCAGGTATGTCAGGCTTCTGCCTTGCGACTCCGACATGCACATCAAAGCTAATCCTTCAGACAATATCACTCCCCCCGTTGCCTCATGCCTGGGCGATCTACTCACCCTCTTCATCCTCTCCCTGATCGGCTCGGCCCTCGTTGGGGTCATGGACACCCCCATCCCACTGCTCGCGGTCATTCTGATGGCCATGGCGGCGGGCTGGTTCACTAAACGGGTACTACGGGATGAGTGGGTCAGAGGAGTCGCCCGAGGAGGCTGGGTCCCACTCGTAAGCTCAGCCACCGGGAATATTACCGTCCCAGATCAGAAAGCTGATCTATCAGATCGGAGCAATGTGCATCTCTAGCGGGACAGGCATGGTCCTCGACCGCGGTGTGGAGCGATACAGAGGTTTCGCCCTTCTAGCCATCTCCATGACCGGTACGTCCGCCACGTCCTACGTCCCCCGCTCTGCTTTCTTTCGCTGACAATCAGGCTTGACAGGCTCAATAGGCGCCATCCACGCCAACAGACTTTCCACCTCCCTTCATACTAATCTCCATCCCCGCGCTCTCCATCCTCGTCCGAACCGCGGTCTCGCGCCCTTCCATCGCGCCATCACCCTCTACCTCATCGCCTTTCCGTGCGAGGCGCTCTTCCTTGGATTTGTCCACTGGGCGGGATGGATAGATCTGAGTTTGGGATGGGCGGGATGGGCTGCTTTTGCTTGTACAGTACGTGTGACCCTGCTTCCACCCCTGCCATACTGTACGCAGACACAGCTGATGATCAGACCGGTATATCGCTCTTTTTGTCACATAATCTCACGCTGTTTTTCTGGTCAAAAGATCTCGATCCAGAGTGGGTTTCATTTTCAGTCACAGCTACATCTAGCTCCTTGGGCATAGAAGCTGACTTCTCAGCTCGTATACTCTGCCAATACACTCCGCGCTCGTCGATTTCCTCGGCCAGCTGCTACTCATGCTGGCATACGAGATCTGCATCGCGCAAGGAGGCGACGTACAGGTCAAGGACATCGTCGGCTGATTTCGGGATGGTCGGCCATCAAAATTCGGTGTTTACCGATCCACGGGGTTTCTGGTTGTACTGGTAAGATGTATCGAATCAGCACACTGCGGACTCAAAGTAAGAAGCACATCCATCATCAACCAAGATACAATTGAAGTGAGGACAGGCAGATACCAGGCCTAGAGATACGTGTCCTCTGCCCCCTCTTCCGGTTCCGGCGACATCATCGTTTCTTGTACCTGCTCGATCAGCTCTGATTTCCTGCTGACATGGAGCACGATATGTGAACTGACCAAAATGTTCTCCTGCGTATCCTCCCCTTCTGGCTCATCCTGCTGCGTCTCGGTATACTCCTCCTCCGCTTCTTCAGCTGGGACCTGCGACACCTCAGTGTCCGCCGAGTCGGCGTGGCTCGGCTGAGGCACAGGCGCGGGCGCGGCTGCCGGCTTGGACTTCTTCATTCCGAGCAGCGTGGTCTGCTTCCCGCCAGTCCCATTCGATGCGGCAGCTTTGGCAGCTTTGGTAGATTTCGCTTTGGCTAGGTAATCAGCTATGCCCCTCTCGACGATAAAGCAGCTAGCTCACATTTAGGCGCGCCAGACGTCTCGATATCGTCCACCCGCTCAAAGAAGCTCGTGGACTTTACGGTGCTCAGATTCCGACTGACAGGTACTGCGGGCTTCGCAAAAGGATTGCTCGCCGCTGGCTTTTTCGCAAATGGGTTCTTCTTCGCTTCGGCTGATACAGAGTCAGCTGATGTTCAGCCCGACGCGGATGAACCAGCTCACCAGGTGCAACAGACTCCTCTCCGCGCTTCTTGGGCGCCGTGAATTCCTCTTCCGTCTCATCTCGCCTCTTCCTCTTCTCGCCTGGCGAAGCCTCCCTCACTTCCTCCCCATATACCTCATCAAAACTCGGCATCTCGTCCTCATATGTCGGCGTCTCCGGAACGACCGTATCCCTCCCGGTCATACCGCTAGACATGGGCGTCTCTGCTCTTCTGACTCCATCAAAGTGCCGCCTTCCAGCCACCCTAGGCGCGAATCCCACATCCGTCTTGCTTTTCCCGGCCCACCCGCCATTCGAGACGGAATGACCAGGCGGGAATCGCCTTTCCGTCTCCTTCGCTCGCTCCCGATCGAGCCGCTCAACCTTCTTCTCCCGTACCTTCGCCTGTCTCCGGAGGTTCATGATCCGGTCCTCGAGCCCGCCGAGGTGGTAGAACGAAGCGATCTTCGCTGCGGATTCGACGGTTTGGGGGTTGTACATCATCCGCGCGAGGTCGAGGGCGCGAGACAAGTTGTCCGACTTGCAAGCGGTCTGGACGAGCGCTAAGAGTCGCTGCTCGATTCTGAGCCGGGCCTCGTGGGTCTCGGCTTCGGCAACGGTAGTGGGGGTGTCGCCGAGGAGGGAGACGGTGATATGGCTTCGGATGAGGCTATGTTCTTAGCTTACGCTCTAACGGGGCCGACAGGGAGGCGCGTACGTTTCTTCGAACTTTCCAGTTTGGTCTTCTATGTTCAGGAGCGGCATCTGCAGCAGGACCTCCTGCAGCAATGGTCTAGGGAACCATGGCTCCTTTTCTGTCCCCTGACAGCGTAAGCTGATGTTACAGACACACTAGCGCCTGACAGCTCACCTTCAAGATTGCACACGCCATATTGTTCAACCCAAGGCCGACAGGCCAGTACCGCTCCACCCTGCCCTCCTTCTTCAGCGTGGCAGTATCCAGTATTGGCACCCATCGAGCCTGCCCGGGCCGTCTGAAGCGGTCGAGCATGGAGAGAACGCCTGTAGAGTCGAACATGGCGGGAGCCTGCGGGATTAGCTCCCCTGTTCCAATCATGAACGTATCCTGCAGCTTACCCCTTCTGCTGTCCAGCCCAACCAAGTGATAGTCGTCTTCTTGGGCAATGGTATCCGCCCATCTTGAAGAACATCGTACGTGTCCAGATCCATAATGGTGTACCTCAGGTTCTGACATCCTACATGATCAGCGGATATTCACTCTACTGGCTTGGCACCACGTACCGTCAAGACTTGTCCCTCCTTCTCGATGTACCACAAATACCGCCTCCTTCCCCGCCGCCATCGAAACGACCTCGTCTCCTATTCTCCACAGATACCGCTGGACCCCCGAGGCAGTCATGAACCGCACATAACCTCTCGATGTCGAGACAATCACATGGCCCAGCCCTGCTTCTTCGGGCGGTCCACCGCACGCGACACAGGTGACGTCCTCGCCTGCTGGCAGTGGGAACGTCCAGTCTGCTTGGGAGGCCCACGAGTCATACGGGCGGTAATGGACTTCTGACGGTTGTTCGGCGGTGGAGCTCGAGGCGAAAGCGATGCCTTGTTCGCCTAAGGTGTCAACTGCGACCGAAAAGCGCTAAAAGTAGAAGCTTACCCATAGATGCCATAGAGTACTTGGAGTGGTCCTGGAAGTGGTAGCCGCGCCGGATAGACTTATCGTGGAACTCGACGTTAACGACGTGATGGGTGTCCTGATCAGACACGTCTACAGCTCCGATCATGCTGAAAGCTGAAGGGTCAGCTACGGTTCCCTTCGAATGCGCGACATCCAGCTTACCCAGGTACCGCTTCTTGTTCCTCATGACCGTACTGCCAGGCGTAAATGAGGCCTGCGCTTTTGTCACGTTGACTGCAAGGTCAGTAGACCGACCTCATCTCGCCTGATCCCACTTACCGACTTCCTGCCTTCCCTTTCCATACTTCTTTTCGGTTCCATAGTCGCCCTGATCGTCCACAATCCAATCATCTTCCGCGTCCACCCCATCATCCCCTAATTCCCCATCCAGGTCCAGCTCCTGCCCCAGATCGTCCATATCGATGTCATCGCCAAAGTCATCCAGCAACTTCTCGACGCGCTTGTTTTCTTGTACGTCGGTTGCGAACGGGCTGGCCAAGTCCTCGGGGATAGGGTTGGTCCAGCGGGAGAAGGAACCGTCTTCGCCAGTGAAGGCGATGAAGTTGGAGATAGGAGACCAGGCGAGGCCAGTGACGGCGCCGTCGGGATTTGTGAATTTGGTTACGACTGTGCGGGTTTCGTTGGACCAGATGAGGATTTGGGAGTCGGCGGAGGATGCGAGGTATCGGCCATTGGGAGACCATGCGAGTTCGCTGATGGGCTGAGACAGTCAGCCTGATTCCCCTCTCGTAGGAGAGGACCTACAGATTTATGCCCATCCTGCGAGAACGCCACTTGCTTCGTCCATCCTTCCCGGTTCACAATACCGACATCTGACCCATCAGCGGACCTCCGGGAAGGAACGAAACCTGATCGGCAGACATACCGTTGGTCCGCATAGGCACGGCAAAGTATTTGCCCGAAGGATGCCAGCAAGCATAGCATGAGGTCGTCGCGCTGTACCGGTCAGTGATCAGACCGAAGCCCGACGGGTACGAGACACTCACTCGGCTTCGCTTGGGCTGATGATACCGTCCATGATCTTGAGGTTGAACGGGGCTGTCCCGCCAACGTCGTATATCTTGATCTTGCCATCGCATCCTGCGGTGACCTACAGCTCAGCCGAGGTATCTTGTGTGTCATCATAGTAGTGCTGACTCACCAGATATTGCCCTAAGGGGTCCCAAGCCGCAGACCTAACGCTCTTCGGGTTGTCGGAAAGCACCGCGACCTTCTCCACATCGTCCACGTCCACGATTTTCACCAGCAGATCGCTGTCTATATCAGCCTTCAGCCTGCAAACGGCCCAGATGACAAGGTCAGTATGACTCACTCTCCACATACAGCGACCTTATCGCCCTGCTTGTTTACGCTGACCCATCGCATCGGCACACCGGGTGACCGGGCGAGATACCCCTCAAACTCGTCTCCTGGACGAGAGAATTTCCGAGCGATAGCATCGATAGATGCTGTGAAGAGATGTGTTTTCTGCTCATTAGTCCGGTCTTCCAATCCTGAGGTGCGAGCAGCTCACCGAGCTTGCGAGTGACACTACACCCTCCGTATGGTTGTCGTCGAATCCAGGCTCGGCGTCGGGGTCGTCTGCCTTGTACACTCGTACGAGGCAATCCGCACCACCCGTGTAGATAGTACTGAGGCGTTAGCCTAGCTGTCCAGTCGCGGCATGGCCAGCAGCTCAAGAAGAGGAGGACATACCCTCCATCCGGACTGAAGCAGAGCCTGGTGATACCTGGGAAATGGGGCACACTTGACGAGATGGCGTCGGATTTGGCCTCAGTCATCCTGATCCGTTTCACCCTTGGTTCCCTTGATGATTAATGTCGGGTCAGGCTAGGTGGGCGATGAGAAGCAGGAGGTCAGCTCGGAGGCGATGGAGCAAGGCGAAAGTCAAGTCGCGACCGGCCGGCGCGGATCTTGGACGCGTCGAGGTTTTACGTCATGCTTTTACGGCACTGTCCGGCTCAGAAATACCACGTCATCTCAGCCAAGCAAAGCTGGATCGACCTTAATCAGGGCGAGATTTCTGCTCCGGCCATATTCTCGCATCATTCTATAGCTGTACAAGCGCTATACAGCATCATAGCCCCAACAGCTACCAACTCAAGGAGCAGCGCAGCGCAGCGCATAGGAGGTGCAAAATCGCTCAAAGATGAACGCTTCAACCTCTATGATCCGGCCAGTCCGCGCCACACTGGCTCGGACTCGACTCCCTCTTCCCCTTCTCCGCCAGCCTGTGCTGCGCGCATCATACTCGACACCGACCCCATCTGAGGCCTCCTCATCATCTTCCGCTCCTACAGCGAGTGCTTCCGCACCTCGCAAGCCGAAAGGACCGAAGCGACGTAAGCTGCACACTCGCTCTTCGCCGCGGAACCCAACTCACACCTTTAGCTATCTCCTCTTGCCCCGCTGGAACAGTAATGACCGGTCTTTCGGTTCTGAAGGACCAGCCTGATCCGGTCGCATTACCGGACGACCAGTACCCTGACTGGTTATGGACATTGCTGCCGGACCCCAAAGCGGCGGCTGGGAAGGGGCAGGAGTCAGGCGAGGCGAGAATACCGGGTGATCTGAAGAGCTCAGCGGATTTCAGGGAGGAGAAGAAGAGGTTACGAGCTGCGTGAGTCGCTACGCGACCCTCTCATCACTGGGGAACGTAGCTGACCATCAAGGAACCGCGCCGACATCAAGGGTGCAAATTACCTCAAGACTACATGATGAACGCCCATTACTTGCCAGCTGTTGTCATTAAGCTTTGACGCTGTCACACGATGCTCACCTCCTCGTCATCAGAGGACATCGCGACTATCATGCTTCCAAATACTAGGGTGGTGTATAGCATCATCTGAGTGGCCGGAAGCTTCCAGTGGATATCGTCCTGCATTGAGCTCCAGAGACGATGTATTCCGGTGACAAGCACAGTCAGCTGTGCGCTGGCCGTCGTGCTATCCTTGCTAGCCTACGGAGGCTATGCGGAAGTGACTGCGGCATGCTGATCCTGATAATGATCATGATCAGTGTTCTTAAGCGGGTAGTTTCTCGATCTCCACATTCCTTCGACGCGAACGGCCATGACGCAGCTGCAGCTATCGATGATTTCAGCTGAGGTCGTTAATACCTACAGTATCTTCCTCGTCAGCCTCTCATACCCAAATCTGAAATCGTCGATCGCCATCTAGCGGACCGGAATAACGCATCATGATCGCTACACTCCCATCAACAGCCTCGCGCGTCTGCTCGCGCTGCGCCCCCCGCATCTTCTCCCCCGATTCGCCCCCCTCTCCGTCCGCTACAACTCCACCAATTCCCCATCGCCAGGCCCATCGGCCTCAAAAGACCCAGACCATCCATACTTGCACTATCATACACTTCCTACTCCAGCCCCAGGGCGGATTGCATTGTCCTTCTTGCCCCGCCCGCCGAAAGGGCCGAGGAGTCGGACTGTTTTGGGTTACTTGCCGCTGGGGGCTTCGGGTTTGGGGGATCTGAAGGAGAATAGAGACTTCTTGTAAGTCTTATTCACCGCTACTGGACATGAGAGAGGGACTTGAGCTTATGTGGACAGAGATATATTCCACGCTTCGATTAGAGATGGGCTGGATAAGGGCAAGGCGGAAGCAGCGGGGTTTGAGGCGGCGGGTCGACCAGGCGATGGGTACATACACATTACAGGTGGGTACCGTCGTCAGCTGTTATTCGACTCTGGCATCCAGACGGCATGAGCACGAGCTGATAAGCCTAGATGAGCGAGCCTTACCGCCCGCAGGCCGGATCGGCGAAACAGAGGATCTCATCGGCAGCGTCTTTGTCGAGGACGGCAAGGTGAGCTACCTACGCGCGGCCCGGTGGGAGTTCAGCTGAATAAAGCAGATCATCGCGTCGACATATGAGCCTCTTCCGACCTATCGCTTGATTACGGCGAATGGGCCGGTATTGTTGCCAAAGGGGCTGGACACGCACCTCATCGAGGAGCTGGAGCGGATAGACCAGGAAGAGAGGTCATAGGTATGCCCTGTGCTTACCGGTATTTTTCCGTTCCTTTCCACCCTGAAGATGTGGAGATGGGGGCAAGAGGTCGCTTACTGCTGATCCTTCTTCCTAATCTGACACGAAACGTCCTCTTAGGCTGACGAACTCAAAGTGACGAACTCAAAGAACGTAGAGTCCTTTGTCGGCGCACATGCTCCGAGCAGTGTCGCATATCGGAGCGTGTCAAGGGGCTGAGTCGGTCAATGTCTGCTCCTTTGGTGACTGCCCCTGGGCCAGGACACTAAAACGCATCGAGTGTGATGGAGCCCCTCGCAAGCTCAAGCGAATCAAGGGAGGATCAAGGGTGAGGTACCGTCTCCAGGGGCGGCTGCAGCAGTGCATCTACAAAAGATCCCTTCTGCTGTTGTCCCGCTGTCCCGTATACACTGTATGGTCAACAACAAAGCAGTACGGCGCTCACAATCCGTGGGCTTAAAAGAGCCGCGCTGATCCAGACCGCTCTCCCCGCCGTGCAAACCAGTCCTGTACTAAATCAGTACCTAGAACAGCTTTCGCTCATACACATCCCGCGCAAGCAATCCAGCATGTTCCCCACCCGCATTCTCTTTGGCCTCGCTGCCGCTCTCGGTGTCGCTCAAGCTGCCCGAACGGTCACGCTCACGTACAAGGGCGGCGCCGCCAACCTTGTTACTTTTGACGGCAATCCAGACACCAACGCCATCAAGATCGACATCGAGCCGAACGGCGATCTGGAATACCACGAGTCGTTCAAGTTCAAGGTGAAGCCTGATGGGAAGCGAGGTTGGGCCAACGTGAGTCTATTTATTGCCTAAGCCCGCCCGCACACATTTGACGCTGTGTAGTGCCAGGTCGACGGGACGTGGCAAGCCGGTGTCAATGACGACCTCGTCGAATTCCGCATCAGCGACGACCCAAACTACTGGGTGGGTCCATGTGCCCAATACAAGGGCTTCACAATCACTTGTACAGAGAAGGCGGGGGGCATGTGTGCACCGCCCGGCGATAGTCATCTCCCTGATCAATGAAACCCCATTGAGGGGAGGAGGCGCGGGTGGTGGGGACCCATTTGTTTGCTCCTTCCGGCCGTGACCTGATGTATATGACACATGACTCGTGCTCGCATAGTGGCTCTTCGAAGACGGCCAGTACTGATCCTCATTGACCACATACGATGGCGGATCCTTCTTCGACCGCACTGCGCTGAGACGCTCACTGAATGACCCCTGGAGGATGTAAAGGCATTAGCGCATGTTGGAGAGCCTGGCCAGCATCTCATCCTCATTCCTTTTGACTCCTGTTCCTAGTGTGACATTGTATTGGGATACTGTAGCAGGGAGTCGCCCAGCCCCTGTTATATGTCACATCTAAGATCGTCAAGGGAGAATCAAGGGTGAGCTGAGGTGCATCAAGGAGCTGCTGCGCGGCGTCCGAGACTGCTCCTTTCACTTGCTTTCCCTTACTGACTAGTGGTGTCGACAACAAAGCAACAGGACCTGCGACCGGGTGATGAGAGAGCGGCTCCATCTGAATTCGCCCACTCGACATACTGTCAAGTCAGATCATCAAGTTCTCCGATCAATCAAGAGATCATCAAGGTATCAAGTTGTCCGATCAATCAAGATCCATCTGACGCAAGACCAAGCATGTTATCCCCCCGTATCCTCTTCGGCCTTGCTGCCATCCTCGGCTTAGCCCAAGCCACCGCTCGGACCGTGGAGCTCCGTTACAAGGGCGATGCCAAGAACCTCATCACGTTCGACGGCAAACCCGAAGCCAACGTCATCAGTATCCCAATCGAGGAGAATGGCGATCTCAAGGAGCACCAGACCTTTCGGTTCAAGCTGAAGGAGATCCGGGGGACGCGAAAGGAAACTGAGGTGAGCCCACCTGCGCATTGCGTATTACCGCGAACGAAGTCATGGGGCGAAAGCTGACACGATTCTCTAGTGTGAGGTGAATGGGACTTGGGGCACCGCCGGAGACATAGTTGTCTTTGACATCAACGATCAGCCCGATATCTGGGTGACTCCGTGTAGCCGGACCGGCGGGTTCAGGGTGAGCTGTGAAGGACAGGGCGATTGCCATCAGAGGGTGAAGGCTACAGGCCTAGGGCAGCCTACTTGAGATCAATCGAAATGAGCTTACTACGCGACTGGAGAGACGAGATTGAGTCGCAGCCGTAGTAATCTTTCAGCACCGATTGAATGTACTTATATACTGATTACGCACTCAACAATCCACGTTTGGTGGAACCGCTCGAATTAATAAGGCATCAGCACCAAGCACGGGTGCGGATACTACGGGAATTTGGAAATACCCGACAGATACCCGTACCCGATCAAGCGTATGCATACGGGTCCAGGATCCGAGGCCGCACGCTCCATTGACCCTACTCCTTTGAGAAACCGCGTCTGTAAGCATGTCACGCGATGAATTATGGGGACACTATAGATGACACCCGTCTAGACTCCCACGGGGCTGCGGTATTCGTCAGTTCACCTTACACATGCATTCCTTTCTGCCGCCATCCCTATTGACTGTATTGTCGACAACAAAGCAGTGGACAACATACGGGGAATATAAGAGTGCAGCGCCAGCGTGTTTGGTCCGCTCTCACTGAGGCAGCAATTTACTCAATTTTGGTCGATTCACAAGACCTGACTCATACACCCAAAGAACGACAGCGACCCAGCACGTTCTCTGCCCGCGTCATCTTTGGCCTTGCTGCCGTCCTCAGCATCACCCAGGCCGCCGCCCGCACTGTCGAGATCCGCTACGACGGTGAAGCCAAGAACCTCGTCACTTCCGACCTCAGCAAGCCTGACAGCAACGTCATCTCTATCCCGATCGAGCCCAACGGAAAATTGATCGGCATGCAGCAGTACAAGTTCAAAGTGAAGGCTGCCGAGGGCCAGGGGAAGCGAAAAGAGAGTACTGTGAGTTCGTCTGCATAACGCCCACCGCAATGCTGCGCATGAAATGGCCCACATGCTGATACGTTCCCAAAGTGCACAGTGACAGGAGATTGGGACAACTCGGAAGAGTCCATCGTCTTTCATATCAACGATGAGCCAAAGAGCTGGCTGACCCCTTGCGGCGGGCTTGGCGGCTTTGAGGTCATCTGCGAGGGGCTGGACACGAGGTGCTTCCAGAAGATACTCACTGCGGACAGGGTCAACTGAGAGCTGGCGGACGTCGTTCTGTTCTCACAAAAGCCTGCGAGATCGAGTGACGTTGGCGTCTATGTGATAGCAGATCTGATGTACCTGTACGTACTTATATACTGATAGACGTGACTGGTCACTGAACGAGTACCTTGTCGTAAGTCGATCTATAGCACGACTTCCCCTCACAAACGGGACGCATAAGGATACTGGCATTCCAGTAATCCGAGCAGGCTGACATACGCTCCTTCGAGATACTGCCCCTCGAGCCAGGTCTATGAGACGCATCAGTGTCAACGGGGAGCGCTCTGACGAAATTCGAGAGAAACATCAAGGGTGATGTACCGTATCCGTATCAAGGGGCTCCTGCTCCCTTCACGAGATATCCTTTCTATTGATGTCCCTTGCTGACTGCGGGGCTGACAACAAAGCAACAAGCCTTGATGCGCATTGTACGGCTCTAAGAGCAGCACTACTCTTCCTGCTCATTAACAGACTCGATCAGCTGATTCAGCCCAGATACAGTAAGACCTGACCCGCAATCCACGATCCAGCATGTTCTCTACGCGCATCCTCTTCGCCCTCGCCGCCATCCTCGGTTTGACGATCAGAGATGCCGCCGCGCGTAGCGTGGAGATCCGCTACGACGGAGCAGCCGAGAATCTGGTCACTTTCAACCACGAGCCCGACAAGAAGGTCATCTCCATCCCTATCGAACCCAGCGGTAATTTGATTGGTAATCAGGCATACAGGTTCATGGTGAAGGCTGCGGAGGGCGAGGGGAAGCGAAAGACGACTACGGTGAGTTTATTGTTAGTGTTACAAATGCCGGAGTCCCGGGCTGACAGCTGGCTATAGTGCGAGGTGAATGGGAGCTGGGATACCAAGGAAGACATCGTTGTTTTCCATATCAGCGATGAGCCTCAGGACTGGGTGACACCGTGTGCCTGGCAGAGCGGGTTCGTGGTCACCTGCGATGGAGGGCTGAGGAGGTGCGAGGACTACGCGATGGCCACTAAGCCAATCCAAGCCTGATCTATATACGCACATGTACACTATAAGCTCTGCGGCCGTTTGCCGCGGATGTCGTGAATCACGACGGTGCGATGCCTTCACCAGGGCGGTATCAGGACTACGCGCGCAGTCCTCAGTCGACATCGGCATCGACATCGGTGTCCATGTCGACTGGAAACTCCGCGCGCGTTCGGTATCAGAGCTAGCGGACCACAGTGTTATATCGATCCAGGCAGGCTGACATAGACGCCTTTGTAAATGCGAAACGGGACACTGTGTTAAAGTTAGCGCATGATAAGGCTCATCAGCTTGGCATACCGGAAGTGGTAGCTATCAGTGGACTATCGAAGCGATAGGCAATAGCTAGCGATAGGTTAGCTATCGCTAGGTTGATAGCTTAGGGCTATCGATAGGTTAGCTATCGATAGGCTATCAGTAGGTCGCTAGGTATCGATAGCTTGATAGGTTAGCTATCGATAGGTCTGGAATATATAAGAAGAGCCAAACGAGTCGTATGCATCCCCAGTCTGCTCTTGAAAACTTAACACACTGAAATGCAGGGTGAAACCCTGTGAGAGCCTGACCACAAAGCAGGCGCCCTCCAGGTATACTTTCCGTCTCAAGTAGCTGCCACGCGCTTCACCTATGATCCGTTATAATGACGCCCCTTGAAGGCCCTGGGCTCGAGAGTCGAGAACAAAGCAATACGCATGTACTCAATACGATAAGACAGGAGCGGTCGCCCACTCCGCCTTTGCAATCGCCAGATCAGGATCTCAATAAGTCGGCTGACGCAGACCAAGACCTTACTCACGAGACTGCGCACCACAGACCCGCAGTCGTCCTAGCATGTTCTCTCCTCGTGTCCTCTTCGGCCTCGCTGCCATCCTCGGCATGACGGTCACCCACGCCGCCGCCCGTACCGTCGAGATCCGCTACAACGGCGAAGCCAAGAACCTCGTTGTCTTCAACGGTCAGCCCGACAACAATGTCATCTCCATCCCCATCGAGCCCAGCGGTGACCTGATCGGCAGCGAGGCGTTCAAGTTCAAAGTCAAGGCCGCCGAGGGTGAGGGGAAGCGCAAGGAGACCAGAGTGGGTCTTGATTTATCCTGCTGCGATTGAAGTGAACCTATGCTGACCCCCCCTCCAGTGCGAGGTGAATGGCAATTGGGGTACCTCGGAAGACCTGGTAGTATTCCATATCAGCGATGAGCCCGAGGACTGGGTGATGCCTTGTGGCAAGGTCAGCGGGTTCAAGGCCACCTGTGAGGGCTTGGGCGAGTGCGTCGCGGTCGCGGCACCGGTCGCTTCAGCCAACCCTCTTTGAACTCAGACATTTCAGAGTCTGCCATTGTCCTGATTGTAGTCTACTTTGAGCATGCGATGTATGTACCAATGTCCCGCGCCGAAACTCTGCAGGAGATCAAAGTTGCCATAACCTCGGAACTGGGTGGCGAATCGCATGCTACACCAACGGGTGGCGAAGCTGTTTATTGCATTTGCCAGCAATAGTGGTACCACGACGGTGACCGAGGACGTTTCCACCCCAGATCAAACAGACGCTCCAGGGGACGAATGCGGGGCAGCTAGCTAGGCTGGCGCGTATACTCCTTTGACCAGGCACTGGACATCGAGCGGGGACACTGAAACACACGATGAAAGTCTGAAACATGAGCTGAAACACGCACTGAAACGTACAAAGTGACGCAGGCTTTCTGACGAGTGACGACAAGCCAGGGGTGGTTCAAGGGTGACCTATCGTCCCAAGGGGCTGCCGCACCTCAACACGAAGGACCCTTTCTACTCTTGTCCCGTATCGACTGTGCGGTCGAACGCGAGACGACAATGCACTACAGACCGCGGGATGATAAGACAGCATCTGGTCTGGTCCGCTAGCGATCTCCTCCCAGCAATTTGCCCGACTCTGCTCGCATCAAACAAGACCGCATCAAAGAATCATCCGCAGTATGCTCTCTCCGCAAATTCTCTTCGGCCTCGCTGCCATCCTTGGAGTCACTCAGGTCATCGCTCGTACTGTGGAGATCCGGTACAAAGGCGACGACAAGAACCTCGTCACTTTCGATCCGAGCAAGCCCGAGAGCAATGTCATCTCGATCCCCATCGAGCCCAACGGCAACCTGATCGGCAGTCAAGCGTACCGATTCAAGGTGAAGGGCGTTGAGGGGAAGCGAAAGGAAGCTTCCGTGAGTCCAGCGGCCGGCCGCCCCTGACAATGGCTAGCGCTGCCTACTAGTACGAAGTGGACCAGAGCTGACAAGCTCTTACAGTGCGAGGTGAACGGGAGCTGGGCTGCCAAGGAAGACATTGTCATCTTCAACATCAACGGCGATGAGCCCGAGGACTGGGTGACGCCGTGTGGCGTGTTCGGCGGGTTTGAGGTGACCTGCGAAGGGATGAGCAGGTGCGCTCAGGCGATACCCAAGCAGGAAGGCAGACCCCTCTGAGCTATGCGTATGGGAACCTGTCAAGCCGACAGAAGTACCAGTTTGAGCCGTTGCTGACAGACCATATTGATGGACTTATGTACACTGATTGAGTGCACCTGAAACGGCCGGTAAGATGCCACCTGCACTGGGCCCCGGCGATAAGAAAGTTAGACTTGTTTTAAAGTCTTCCACGATGGGCATGTACCGCATAGATATCCATATACTCAAACACGCTTATATACAAATCATCCTTCAGGCCCCTACGTGTACCCATATTTGCTCCTTGCCTCCCCTATATATCTGCGGTAAGGGTCCAGCCCTCCCCCTATGCGGTCGGCATGTCCGGCATCAAGCTGAACTGCTGCTTCTTCCTCACACTCCCTCCCGCCGGACTACTCTCTCCACTTGGACTCCTCTTATCCCCATCCATCTGTCTCCGCAATTCTGGACCCAGACTCGGTACAGGCTTCCGCTTCGTGCTTCCCTTCCTCATCATGCCCGCCTCCGTCCCTCCACCGACGCTTGGACGCCTGGCCATCTCCGAGCCGGATGGGGACCGCCCAGGAGTTTGGCTAGCGTTCGAACTGGCGGGACCGGCGGCAGAGGGGTATGCGCCGAAAGGAACAGAGCCGGAGAAAGCAGGGACGGGTGACGATGCCCGACGCCCCGGATCGACCTCTGATTCCGGCCGAGCAGGCGGTGATACGGCCGTGACTGGGACGGAACGACGATGAGGGTTTCCGAGAGGCGTAGCGAAGGGATCGTTGTATTCCCTCTCCATCTCCCTTTCGCCGCGCAGTACGGCTGATTCCGCAGGCCGAGGGGTATCGATAGGGGACTTGCCGAAGGGAGAGTCGAAAGTCGAGATGCTGCCTCGCTGACTTTGGGGGAGGCTGGGTCCGATGGCTTGGTTTCGTGCCATAGCGGAGTTGAAGGGGTACGAAGAGGGACCATGTGACGAGTTTGACGATGGTGGAGATATAGCTGCCTCGCTGGGGATTCGCTGCGGGCGCGAGATGGATCGACCGGTTGTGGCCGACGCGCCATTGTACGCCTTCTCAGACTCTCGCATCACGTTCCCTCCGCCTTCAGCCGCCCTACTCCGCCTCTTCCGCCGCATCAAGCAGAAGATCACCCCTCCTATGATCGCCAGTACCGCCAGCCCACCTACTATCCCTCCCGCTATAGCACCCACTGGCGCACCTCCTGAGCCTGCCGCACTCCCGCTTGTCTGTGCGCCGCCTGACGAAGCGGTGGCCTTCGAGCTGGCGCTGGAGCTCAGACTGGCAGATAGTGCCGCGAATGCCGCCAAGCAAGACGTATCGCTTGATTCTAGCACCGTGAATGGCGTAGACGCCATCAAGCCCAGGGCCGGCACGCTTGCGACAAGCATGTACCGTCCCTCCGGCAGTGCGACCGGTATGGTATAGCCAAAGCTAGCAGGGTTCGTACCGAGTGTCTGATTGATGCTGAGTCTCGTGCGCTTGACGGGTTGGGCATGTTGGAGGGGGAGATCACGGACGACCGGGGCGCGCGTAGCGGAGCTGGACGACGCGGAGGATGCAGGAGCGATGGGTAAAGTGATGGGTCGTAAGGTGGATGCGGCAACAAGGGCAAGAGGAGTGGTAGTGACTGAGGGGACGGCAGGCGAGCTGCTCGCGCTTGGGATGGCTTGATCCACGCCCGAGTTGTGCGCGCCGAAGGTGACGGTATAGGAAGCTGGGTTGGCATTGAGAAGCTGCCAATTCAATCTGCGCATATCAGCTTCTGCACTCGTGGCCAGACGGACTTGGAAGCTCACCTAGCGCTCGCACAGGCCGTATAGGTACTCAAGCTCGGCAGGACCAGTGCTGGCGGACCAGAGTAAGTGGGCGTAGCGGAAACGCTTGAAGAAGATGCAGCAGCAGAAGCTGATCGACTGGTGGCCGAGGGGACGACCTGGGTGGACGGTAGAACCCCGGCTCCAACCGCCGATGATGACGATTGAGCCATTGCCAGTGGCGATAAGAATCCGAGCGCGACGAGGTGCTTCGCGAGCATGGTGATATGCGAAGAGAAGAGGTGTTGACCGGTGTGAAGCGGAGTTGACGTGAGGACAAAGGACGATCACGACCGGCGGAGTATAGTCAGATTTATGGTTGGCGCGATGGATATGGGTCGAGAGGGCGGGGAGATCTGAAGCGGTGCACGGTCCGCCCGAGCCGAGACACAGCGATGTCGCGGGGAGATGGTGGAGCGAGTGCGACCAGCGCAGGCTATCGCGTATAGTCACTAATCACAGCTTGTGATGTACCTTCGAGGTAGTCAGAGATGTTGTCGGGAAGGCGTGTTGCATCCTCACCGGTAAAGAAGGGGTGAGGTCAATCAAAGTTTCAGGGGGGTCCTTTCGAGTGTGGGCGTGCGACGTGCGTCATATGCGTGGCTTGGCTTGCGGGCCCCCCGATCTCGCACTGGTTGCTGCGTTGTTCCTCTCATCGCGCTGCGGACTGAGATCGTCGCCTCAGCAGGGCGGATGGAGAGGACCAAGCTATATAGTAGGGCGCAATAGAGCCAAGCGATGGGCCGACGCGCCTTGTGAGCTTTGGGCATCCCGGATCCTTTCTATCCAGGCACCGGAATCTATCTCCTCCCTGCTCCTGCTCTGCAACAGGTGTCTTCTGTGCAGGATTATACGGCGGTGGAGTCTGTGCAGAAGACAAATGGCTATGTCTCGCGCGTAGGCGCCCGAGACTGTTAGCACCATCCATGCATGTGATAGGGAAAGAGGGGGTTCAACGATCGCTGGAACAGCCGCGCCACATTCCTCATCTCGGCCAGATCCCAGATCCGTCCGTCTCGGCGGTGCGGGGACCACGAGTGCACGAGGGACCGCGCTAGCCAGATTCAGCAGTAGCTCACCTTGCTCTACATACTGTAGCCTCGACGAAGGATCCCCTCCCACATCTCTACCTTCACACATATACGAGTATACCTGCTCAAGATGGCCTTCACCACGCCGCAATCCGCACCATCCCGATGGCCCTACTACGGCATCTACCTCGCCCTCTCCGCTGTGGCTCTGTACCACATGCGCCTCGGGCCTCCTAGTCAACTCACCGGCAAGGTTCTCGAGCCCCTCATGACCTCCTCTGCGCCCTTCAACTATCCCGGCCGGCCCACGACCATCATGCGCCGACACTACACCGGTATCTCTGGCCTAGACGGTTTCCTCAGTATCCTCGTCACTGCCTTTCTCTCCGGCTCGGCGGGCTTCCAGAAGCATATCCAAATCCAGCAGGTCAACTTCCTGGTGGCTTTCGCCCCGGTCATGCTGGTCTTCTCGATCGAGTCTGTACGGACGAGGAAGTGGTCCTTGGTGGTCTTGTGAGTATCGGGAAGTATCGGGGCTGATGGGCAGTACCTCCCTCTGGGCGTCACTGTATCAGACGGTCGGCGGGGCAGTGGTCATCCCCCTGTACTTTATTGCCCACTCGCTCACATTCAACAAGCCCACTGGTGCTAGACTCGTCCCTACAAACTGGGCCAAAACGCTCCTCCCCTCTATCATCCTCGGCTACCTCCTCCCCACGGCGCTTATGTACTACCCTTTCGCCAATATCGAGCACACCATGCTCGCTACGGCGTTCTGGCAGCCCAGTCCCGTACTGGTCAATATCACCTGGTTCATCCTCAGCCGATTCGCCTCTTCGGTCGGATCCCCTACTCCCCATCTAAAGGCAGCGATCGCCATCGTAGGTCTCATCGCCGCCGCCGGGCACGTCGGGACCCTCTACGCTTGCATCTCGGACAGATACCCCTCCGTCACCCTCAGCTCGATCTTCTTGCCAACTGTGGGCAGCTCGCCGTCGTTTGAGGCCGCTACCCACTTCATCTTCCAGATCGACTACGCGGTCATCTTTGCGGCGACATCGGTGTGGTGTGCCCAGACGTTTGCGGAGGACAGGGCTAGGGCGGGGAAGAAGCAGGGATCTGCGCTGGTGGATGCGGTCAACGTGCTGCTGAGTACGGCTGTCGTTGGCCCGGGCGCGACACTGGCGTGGGTATGGTACGGAAGACAGGGCAAGGAGCTGGGAAAGCGAGAGTGAGAAGCGGTGGGAACGGGCGAGGCACCATGCCCTAGCACCGGTGGGTACCAGCCTACCACCACTGTTCGATCTGTCAACTGCGTACTGACTGGCAGGAGCGATGGGACTCTGGTCTGACTGTCCCGGCAGAATGCAGGGTGGCGCATCGCAACCTTAGAAGTACCTCGCTCGCCTCGGGCAATATCATTCGTTTGCAGTATCTTCAGACCTTTCGAGCTATCTGATATGATATGGAGGTTACCGGGCACCTCCCTGCTCAGTACTGAGTATGGCTATCATCGTGGTGGAGGGCTCAGCTACGCAGTCACAGGCTCACAGCGCAAGAGGCAGGGTAGGAGGGGCAGAGACAACGTTATTCGGTCCCTCCGATAAGAAGCTTTCCTTTCCAGCTGGCTCTTGCTCGCCGGTCTTGCCTCTCTTGCCTTTCTCATACACTCAAGCTACATCCACAATCCCTAGCTCTCTCTACTCTGCACACCATATCAAGCACAATGGCCGACCGTGCATCCCGCTGGGACGCCCCCTCTTCCTCCTCCAGCGCCGCACCCGCCGCGGCTGGCGGTTCCACCCCGGACACCAAACCCTCCGACGCAGCCATCACCGCCGCCGCTGCTATCGCTGCCAAGATCGCCGCGAGTCTGAGGCCGGGCGTAGCGGGCAATGAATTGATGAGGCGGGAGAAGGAGGAAGGGGACTTTGTGCGGGATATCGAGATTAACGATTTGAGAAATCGATATTTGTTGACAAAGGGGCCGACGCAGAAGCAGGTGAGTTGGCTTGAGCATGGAGGAGTTGAGGTGGATGCGAGTGGTATGGTGTGGGCAGTGTGGAGTATGGGCCAAGGGGCAAGAGGTTGGAGTTGAGATGGTGGTGTTGCTGGAGGGGGATGGCGGGAATAGAGAGGAGGCGGAAATGGCCTGGTCTTGCGCTTCAGGAGCACGACCAGGTGTATCTACCCATCCACGTTCGAAGGAAGCCAGGGTCGGAGCCAATACAATATCCTGACTGAACAACCTACACTCGTACAGCAGCTGACCCCCAGATCGAAGAGGAGACCGGCGCCGTGATAACCACCAAAGGTGTCTGGATTCCCGACCGCTCCAAGCTCATGCCGGGCGAAACCCCGCTCTACCTCCACATCGTCGCCAACTCCCAAGTCGTGCTCGACAATGCCGTCGCCAAGGTCAATGAATTGATCGACCAGGACCTCGGACCGCTCCTCGACCCGAGGACGATGGCGGCGCGGAACAGGGCGTTGGGGCTGCCGCCACCAGAAGGGTGGTTGCCTGGTGGGAGGGTCAAGTGGCCCGAGGCGAAATTGCCTATTGGGCTGGAGAGTCTGAGGAATTTTAATGTTCGGGCGAAGACGGTGGGGCCGGGGGTGAGTGAGGTTTCATTTTGGTTGGGAGGGGGAAGAGTGATCCAGCGGGACCGGAAAGGGCATGGGGATGGGGGCTGGAGGTGTCCAGGAGGTACACGAGGGCTAAGCTGACTGTACAGGGTATGTTTGTCAAGTACATCCAAGCCGAGACTGGTGCGAGGGTGCAGATCAAGGGTATGGGATCAGGCTTCATGGAGGCCGATACCGGCAGAGAAGCAGAGGAGCCCATGCACATTAACGTTGCGTAAGTCAGGCTGCGAAATGCTCTACGGTGATCCTTAGAGAGCACCTAGCTGACCCACCAGGGCACCTAATCAGGACCAAGTTGACCGGGCTCGACAACTGGCAGAAGACCTCCTCGTCGTCCTGCGGATAGAATACCAGAAGGCACGAGACGGGACGGCTGGGGGCGGTGCGCCGGGTGTATACCAGCCAGGATCGGGAAGTTATGCGGCTACGAACAATGGACCGGACTATGCTGCGTACTACCAGGTGAGTCCTACCCTTCTGACAGCAAAGAGTTCCCGCTGATCCCCAGCAACAAGCGCAAGCGCAGTATCAGCCCACCCCGCCGCAAGCGGGCCAGACTCCGGCGGTCGGCGGTCAGACGCCCGCGGGCGGTGCGGGTGCGGGACAGGTCATGCCCCAGCCGGGAACGGAGGCGTATGCGCAGTTCGCGGCGTACTGGGCGCAGTATGGGTACAGTGTCGAGGACCAGCAGTGTGAGTTTACGTCTTATCATGATGACAATCAGAGGGCGAAAGCTGATGTACGCAGTCAAGGACTGGTTTGCAAGTCAGTATGGGCAGCAGGTACCGGCGGCGCAGTAGGGGAAATTCGAGCAGGTCATCAATTAGAGAAGAAGCAGACTGCATGTAACCAGTATCTCCTACCCTTCTGCTGCCGCGCTTGCAATATAGAGTCGAACGAAAAGATCCATTTACTGTCAGGGACATTGAGAGCAGGGGTACATAATCAGACATACAAGAATACGATGCGTGGGCGTGATGTGCAGCTCAACTATTATCGAGGGTGGATACCGTCCCGCCCCGTAAAAGGGACGGGTTACCAGCCATGAAGAAACGAGCCGAAGCTGCGACCGCCTGCTATCCCTCCGAAGAGAAACCGACAGGCTAAGCCACTTTACTGTCGCATTGCTTCCTATCACTGAACTCGTAGAGAGTGGAGAACAGTGTACACAGAAATGCGGGTTGGGGATAGGGAAGGGAGGGGATGGGGGTGGGGGAGGGAGAGTAGAAGTATTGAGTAAATTTGAGTGACTTTGTCAGAGCGGAAAGAGAGTTGGGATTTCTCAAAGCTGGAAGCCCGTCCTTGGCTGGAGAAGCGGGTACATGCTGAGTAGAACGGCTGAGGTGTCTCGAGGTAGAAGTATAGTTACAACAGTACGTGTCGCGAATTTCTTGAGGGGCTTGATGATCCTGGCCAGTGAGATGACGTGGTAAACCCCCGCCAAGTATCGCTTGCCTTCCCCGCGTCGACGATCCACCATCCACCACCCAAGACCATCAGCCAACGGTGCACCATACCTCTCCTCTTCTAGCTCGGCCGGTCATCACAAGAAGAGCTAGCCCAGCATGCTCGCCCTCGCTCTCTTCCTCCTCCCCCTGACCCTCGCCGCCCCCTCGCAAAACTTCCTCAATACCGCCATAGCACGCACCATCGAGCTCGGGGGAGCAACCACCTCCTCCCAGACTCAATATAGCGTCAAGGCGCTGTCGGACGCGCCGGGCTTATATCACTTGGCGTTGAGTACGAGTAGAGGAAAGGAGGTGGCGGACTGGTGGGAGGTCAGTGTGGGCGGGAAGGCGCAGGTCTTGCGGAAAGAGGTGGAAGAGGGGTGAGTTGTGCTCGAGCTGCCGGGCACGGAGACGGGCTGATGCTGTAGCTTGCCTGTTGTAAAGGTGGACCTAGGGAGCTTGAAGAAGGATGGAACGGTGACAATATCGCTCACCGAGATGATGGTCCGCGCGAGCTCTGCGCTGCCTGGATCGATCGCGCAGACGGAAACGCAGTTCATGCTCTGGAAGTCAAACACGACGTATGTGGAGAGCTGGTACACTACCGAAGTAGAGCGCGTCAAGATCCGGTATGTCCAATGCATGCTGTGATATAGACTCCTCAAGCTTATAGCCAGATCCCCCACCCCCTTCATCCTCTCCTACCCCGAGATCCCAACCACCTACACTCGGGACAACACCGTCACTCGCGCCGGCGCGACTCTGACCCTCGGTCCCTTCCACAACCTCCCACCGACGCTGGGTTCTGCGTCGAGTGTGGAGCAGGCGCCATTCTCGGTGCATTATGAACACAAGGAGGCGGTGGTGGCGCTGAGGAGCCTGAAGCGGGCGGTGGAGGTTAGTCATTGGGGTGCGAACGTGAATACGCAGGATGAGCTGGATTTGGTTAATATCGGGCCTAAGTGAGTACCGTCCATGATCTACAGGGGAAGACGATACATCCAGCTGTTCCCAGCCGACCGGTGTATTTCGCGAACACAGCTGACTTTTCAGGCTCAAAGGACACTTCTCCCGCCTGGCACACCAACAATCGCGATTCCATGCCTCCGTCCCCGCCCAGATCTTCACCGAGCTCCAGCTCCGCCTCCCCGCCCAAGCCCACTCGGTCTATTACTACGACACCATCGGCAACGTCTCCACCTCGCACTTCCGGCCCGGCTCCGTGCCTCCTCCGCCCTCGTCCTCCGCGGGCAAGAAGATCCGGACCCAGCGCTCGGTTGACGGGCATGTGGCTCTCCGACCGCGATACCCTATCCTCGGCGGGTGGAACTATTCGTTTACTGTCGGATATGACCAGCCTGCGGGGGATGTGTTGAGGATTGCGGAGGGAGGCAAGAGGTTGTTGGGCGTACCGTTCTTTAATGCCGTGAAGGACATGGTGGTGGATGAGATGGAGATGGTGGTTGTTCTGCCAGAAGGAGCTAGGTGAGCTGGACGTACAGGAGAGTGGTGAGGTACAAAAGCTGACAAGTAGGGATGTCGAGGTGTTTACTCCGTTCGAGGTGGACAGTATTACACACTCTGTCATCAAGACGTATCTTGACACCACTGGCAGACCGACTGTCACTCTCAAAAAGAGCAGATGTACAGAGAACCACGGGGAGACTATCTATGTGAGTATCGTATTCAGCTAGAGGCAGATCTCTGTTGTGAGTGCTCAAGCTGACTTGCTAGGTCTCGTATACCTTCCCCACGGCCGCACTGCTGCAAAAGCCACTGACGGTCGCTGCTGTCGTCGGCGGGATGTTCTTGTTGGCTATGGGGCTGAGACGGGTGGATTGGAGCATCGAGAAGAAGCGGAAATAGATCATCGTAGAGCCAAGATGCAGTCTTGTTGGGCAAACGGAGAGGAACAACGTATCATGTGTGAGGGCCGATGTGGTGCTGACGGCTGCCCAGTCGCATTGGTATGATTGGCCGGGACGGCCATTTGAGTCCCAGAGGTATCCATACACCGATAAGAAAGCCCTGTCATGTTCGCCATCCTCCGCCCGGGATACCTATCCTCGCTGCAAGCTGTCTGTACTGCTGCGACGCTAGTTGACTGGATCTCGCCCATAAGATCGTAAGCGCCACGATGAGGAATAGCAGATTACAGGTCTGCAGACATGTCAGCTTCTGCCACAGAGGTACAAGTCTGCCAAAGGCGTATTGACGAGGCTTCTCAATTGAGACTTGGACTCACCACGAACTCCCAAAAGTCCTGCCGTTCCTTCTTGACGACCTTCCCACATGCTTCCCAAGCCGGTATCTCCCCCGCCCCGTCTTTGCCGGCTCCAGTCCCGGCACCGGCCCCGCCTCCAGCTCCAGATCCGCCCGTGCTCTGACCCGGTTTCCGACAATGCAACAGACGCCGATTTCCATACGGCATACAGAAGGGCTGATCGAGCTCATCAGGCGGACAGGGCTCGCATGAGCCAAACGGGCGACAGATGAGGTCTCCTGTCGCCCGAGCATCTAGTATTGGGGCATTTGGGGGGAGAGGGGGTGGTAGCGGGTTGTGAGCGAGGATGGGGAGGACGAGGAATGAGGAGATGAGTCTGGCGGGTCAGCTGAAGGACAGAGGTCGGACCTCGGGAAATGACGTACCCAGCTATCAGGAGAAGCAGGGGATGTCTGAGGATCATGGCGGTCTGTCCACAGCTAAGCTGTAGGTAGGCGATGCACGTGAGGCTTTGATGGGCAGAACACTACTGACTACTGAGAGTGTTTTGGAGCTTTGCTCGTCGCGTTGAAAGCAAGCTGAGCTGGAATGGCATGACGCACGGGATGGCGGATGTGATCACGTGATCTTTTTCAGGTAGGCCTAGCTGTGATCTGTCGAGCAAGTGTCCTCAGCCAATCTATGCATCGATCTAGCAGCGGCGAGATATCCATCAAAGGAGCTGGAGCTGATCCCAATAGCAGTCTGGTTAGGCATAGCGCCACTCACTGCACGGCCATGCTGCCAGTAAGTTAAGCGGCATAAGGAATGTGGAGCAACTCTGAGCTTTATTTGCTCCCCCCACCTTTTGTAGCTCGCGTCACCGTCCAAGTCGTCCAAGCCTGTCCTTGCTTCAACTGTCCAGACCTCTACCTCTCTATCAATCACAATGGCAGCCACAGCAACCCAAAGCATGCCCACACAGGCGTTCAAGACGCCAGGATCGAGCAGTACGATCAAAGTATGTCTCAGCAGAAATACCCGCGATGTGCTCGTTTAAGAGTAAGCGCCAAGCTGATCGAGTTAGACGTATTATCGCAATAAGATCGAGGCGGCCGAGTTGGAGATCACCAAGAAGACGCAGAATCTGAGGCGGCTGGAAGCTCAGCGGAATGCTCTGAATACGAGAGGTGAGCATCAGCTCAGTCGTTCAGAAGCTGGACCAAGAGCTGATCATTAGTACGATTGCTCAGGGAGGAACTCCAGGTTCTTCAAGAGCCGGGAAGCTATGTCGGAGAGGTGATCAAGGTGATGGGGAAGAAGAAGGTGTTGGTAAAGGTCCAGCCTGAGGGGAAATACGGTGAGCTAGCTGTTGCATTGCCTCCGCCATAGCTGACCATTCAGTCGTCGACTTCTCTCCGGACATCCCCCTCTCCTCCCTCACTCCCAATCTCCGCGTCGCGCTCCGCTCCGACTCCTACATGCTTCACTCTATCCTCCCCAACAAGATTGACCCCCTCGTCTCGCTCATGATGGTCGAAAAGGTCCCTGACTCGACATACGAAATGGTCGGTGGACTCGACAAGCAAATCAAGGAGATCAAAGAGGTTATCGAGCTCCCTGTCAAGCACCCGGAACTGTTCGAGGCGCTCGGTATCGCCCAACCCAAGGGTGTATTGCTCTACGGTCCGCCCGGAACTGGAAAGACTCTGCTCGCCAGGGCAGTGGCACACCATACCGACTGCCGATTCATCCGTGTCTCCGGAAGCGAGCTTGTCCAAAAGTACATCGGAGAAGGAAGTAGGATGGTTCGGGAGTTGTTTGTGATGGCGAGGGAACACGCGCCAAGTATCATCTTTATGGATGAAATTGACTCGATCGGGAGTAGTCGAGGAGGCAGCGGAGGCGGTGGAGGGGACAGCGAGGTCCAGCGAACAATGATGGAATTATTGAACCAGCTTGACGGATTTGAGTCGACCAAGAACATCAAGGTGAGTTTTGAGGTCTTTAGGTCGAAATTAGAGGTCTGAGCTCACTTTTTAGGTCATTATGGCGACTAACCGTATCGATATTCTCGACTCGGCACTGCTCCGTCCGGGACGTATCGACCGTAAAATTGAGTTCCCGCCACCCAACCCTGAGGCCCGGATAACTATTCTCAAGATCCACTCTAGAAAGGTCAGTTGTGGCGTGCGCAGTGCCGACCAAGAGCTGACCTTCCAGATGTCATTGCAGAGAGGCATCAACTTCCGGTCTCTGGCAGAAAAGATGGGTAATTGCTCTGGTGCCGAAGTGAGGGGTATCTGCACCGAGGCTGGTACGTGCAGCTCGCGACTTCGCTTACATTCGCAATCGCCAAGCTGACCCAACAGGGATGTACGCACTGCGCGAGAGAAGGCAGTATGTCGGCCAAGAAGACTTTGAGATGGCGGTCGCCAAGGTGCTCAAGAAGAATGCTGAGGGTAATACCTCGGTCAACAAGCTGTTCAGCTAGAAGCTAGATCGGCGTAGCAGATCAGGGCAGATACATGCAACGATAACGATGGCCTGGCTTTGTCGAAGCTACTTGACTTCCTGTCCGCTCCCCGCTCCTTTCCCATCCCCGCGCAACTCGATCCCCTTCACATCGCCCTTATTGCTCTCCAGGCGTATTCTTTCCAGCTCGTCGTCTGATATTCGGGGTACAGTAGGGTCCGGGGCGAACTCGGCCATGGTGCGGAGAACGAGGTCGAGGGAGGAGAGGAAGGAGTTGGTCGATAGTCGGAGAAGGCGCACGGTGGTTGCTGCGTAGTTTCTGTAGCGTCAGCGCTGGCTTGGCGGCATCGATGCTCGTGAGCTGTTTGTGGTTGCATGTAAGATAGGACATACATCACTAGCTCATCCCCCTCGACCTCTAATGTCCGTTCCACAAATTCGGCATTCTGTTCCCTATCCACCTCGAGAGCTCGTTTGGCCGTCTTTGCGTGTCCCTGATCGGGAAAGGGGACTCGCATAGACCTAGAGGTACGAGTCAGCTCAGTCTCGACAGTCACAGGGTGGAAATGCGGGAGCACAGCTCACATGGTGTGCCAGCCTGGCGGGGAGGACGGGCCTGCTTCGGCGTTCACTGAAGCGGTAGCCATCGTATTTCGTAGGATTTTTCGCGGGCTACTCTGGCCACTAGCAAGATATCCAGCTTCTGATGGCGTGTACGCGTCGTCTGTAATATGTTATAGCAGCGTCAGAGGTATAGTGACAAGATAGCTTTGGATGTATGCGAAGAGTGAGGACAGTTTTGGTCCCGGGTGGAGGGAAAGTGGAGGCAACGCGAAAGGGGTTACGCGACCTAGACTTCTCATCAACCTCTCATCCTAGTTGTGGCTTATTGGACACCCCTTAGACGCGTAGATCAACCCAGAGGAGGCTAGGCAAGATGATCAAGGTATGTCGCGCAGCAGGATTGTGGAGCAGACCGCGACGAGAGGGACGTGAGCTGACCGAGCTTTTCTCCAACTCCGACATCACACGACCCTCACACTTACGTTGCTATATACTATGGTGGGATGAGCAGATCTGGTCAGTCAAGAAGACGGAGGAAGCGGCGGCCAAGAAGAGGCCCAAGATGTCCGCGGCGCAATTACGGGTCCAAAAGGGTATGTCCCTTCCTCAGAGACGCTTCCTTCCCTTCGCGATGAGGCTTGGGCAGCTGATAAGGCTTGACCTGACCTGAGCGGGGGTCGATATCGATACTGAAGAGCTGAGTGCTGATGCTGGATAGATCTGACAGAGCTGGAGCTCCCAAACACCATGACGACCCACTTCCCTGACCCGACCGATGTGCTGAACTTTAAGCTCACCATCACGCCTGACGAGGGTGAGCTTCCCTCCACTGATCTCCTTCCGATGTCAGGCGATATCAGTGGCAGAGCTGACTATGACAGGTATCTATAAAGGCGGCGTCTTCAACTTTTCGTTCGTGATCAACCCGAATTACCCACATGAACCGCCAAAAGTCAGGTGTCTGGAGAAGGTAAGCTGTCACCTCCCGTTTGAAATCGCCACTCGGTATTTCTACAGGAGTCCAGCTGACATTACCAGATCTATCATCCCAACTTGGACCTGGAGGGGAATGTCTGCCTGTGAGCTGATGTATATGCCGCAGAGTCCGGACCAAAGCTGATCAATGAAGGAATATTCTGCGTGAAGATTGGAAGCCCGTCAGCTCGTCCTCTATGGAAGAGCGAGTAGCGGCTGACAAAGCAGGTCCTCAACCTCTCATCCGTAATGATCGGCCTGCAATATCTCTTCCTCGAACCGTAAGCTGAAGGTCTCTGTTCATTGTGATGAGCCCAAGCTGATCGAAATAGTAATCCCGATGACCCGCTCAACAAAGGTCAGTTACCCGGTTCTCGTCACATTGTCGCGAGCGAATATGAGAGTAACAGAGCTGACATCTCTCAGAGGCGGCCGAGGATCTGCGGAGGAACCGGGAAGCCTTCGTCCAGAATGTCAAGCAGTCGATGCGCGGCGGGCACGTCAAGGGCACGACTTTCGATCGGGTATTGAAGTAGTGAGGAATGGGGTGCAGGCGGTACATGGCGACGGAGGTGGCAGGGTCACCCGAATTTCAGGCGTGCAAGGGATCACAGGCAAACCGCTTGCGGTATGTGTATATGGACGTCCTATATGAACGGCACATGCAAGATATATTATCTATACTCTAAGCTCTTCATATACCTACATGCTGACCTATGCCGCCTTTCCACCCTTCGCTCGTCTTGCATTGAGCCATTTCCGAAACTTGGCCATGGCGTATACAAAGCTCTTTCGGAATCCGGCGGTAAAGAGGCCTTTGAAGCTCTGGGTGAGAGCCGGACGGCGGATGATGTTGGCGACTTCTGGAAAGGGGTCAGATTGTCTTCTTGCGGCGGGGTGGGTATAGGAAGAACGTACCTGTCAAGACGACCTTCCGCCAGTCGCCCACCTGACCCTTCGCAGACTCAGCCTCCGAGATCGCCTTTCTGCCGACGATGTCGAGCAATAGATTGCGCTCGGGAGAAGCGGAGGAAGGAGTTCCCTCGACAGTATTCGTCCGCACAATGCCAGGGTCCGTTTCGGCGTGGTAAGTCCGCAGTATTCTGGTCCGGAGGTTGCATGGCAAGGACATGATGAGAGAAGCGAGATGGTCGGATGTGTCGGGTTGCTAACAAGTGTCAGATGTTCCCTTGACTCTGCGTCGAAGAAAGATCTCCAGCTTACTCTCAGTACCTCCTCCCCGGTCCCTCTCCACGTCCACCCTTTCCCTACCTCTGGCTCCTCCACACGCTTCTCGCCCCTATCCCACACCAGCGCCAGCTCTCCCCGCCCCATGAACTGCCCATACAGGCCCCTCATCCCCTCAAGCGCCCCCTTGCCCTTCACGATATTAGCCACCTTGTCCGGATGTTCCGCCCCCGGAACGCTCATGCGCGGATCGCCAGCATAAGATATACCGGCGATCTGCGTCCAGAGCGCCTGCTCGGTGAATGTTGGTGGAAGTAGGAGGAGGGATAGCGTGAGCGCTGAGTGTAGGTTCGTACGGAGAGATTCGGAGATTTCGGGGGGAGTGATAAGTGGGAGAACCTGAAGATCAGTCCGACCGCAAGAGGTACGAAGGGGATACCAGGACACGTACAGGCTTGTGTAGACGCCCAGCTACATAGAGTGTCTCCCAGCCTTCCAAGTCCCTCTTCAGCCGCTCAGTCGAGATGACGCCATACTTGACTTCCTATCTTATCAGTTGCTGTTCTGCCTGATCACGGCGCGACCGAACGACATACCAATCCCCTGATCTTCACCATGGTCACATACCACACCCCCGCACCCCATCTATCCGTCAACCACGCTATCCTCCCTCCACCTAGTAATCGAGCCGTCAGAGGGTAATGCGAGGGATTCTGCCGGAGGTTGGCGGTGTGGAACTGGGCGAGGTCTGGAGTGGAGAGGAGGAAGTCGGTCATGGGTGGTGGCTGGTAGTCAGCTCGGAATGTGGGCACAACGGGACGGGAGGGAAAGGGGACGCACACCTGTAGGATCTGTGTTGGCCTGATGCCGCACCCCTGAGCCGTATGCGACGGCCCAGTCGACCGGTCCGGGTAAGGCATCAATGATGGGTCGTAAGCGATCATAAGCGCGTTGTTCCTCCTCGGACCGTCCTTCCTCTTTGGCTTCCGCTCCGACTCTTCTTCTTGCACCGTCTACAGGTAGATCAAGGGCTGAGGTGGTGGAGACCGAGCTGTTGAGCCGCCGATAAGAAGGCGGATCTTGTCGGTCGATTCGGAGTGCTCGGCGAGCGGCAAATGTCGCCTTTCCAGCCGAGTGTAGACAACGACACGCTTCGGCTGAGCAGGCCGGAGCTCGTGCGTCGAGTCTGAGGGCTAGATGCTGGAAAGGAAGCCTGCTCGGACCGGCGACGAGCTGCATTACAGACTGTGGGGAAATTAGTCTGGACAGATGGGCGTACTCGTAGAGGGAGACTTACCATCTTGGCTCCATGGTAGGTCATATTTGGTATTCGATTACCCGGCGAGAGCTGATCAATACAACAGCTCTCAAGGATCTGATATTCCTATGAAGCTTTCTAGGGTGAGAGAGAAGCACAAGAGCACCAGAGCGAGAGCTATCTTTCGTTTGGCGGCTAAATCAGGCACGGTTGACGGTCCAAAGGCAGCATTCCTCGACCCATTTCTTGCGTTCGACTTCGCAGTTCGAATCAACATCAACAACTGGCTACACGAAGTAGATGGAGGACGACGAGCTTCCCGGAGGCGGCATCCGCAGTGGGACGTATCTGGCAGCGTGAGTTTACCGACGGCTTGGGGCAGGCAGACAGGTCACCGGGGACACGCGTCCGACTCCCGAGCCTGTGGGAGCATGCACGAACAAGGACGGTGCAGGTAAGAGCGAGCTTGAGCTACTTCACTTCACTTACCGATCTGGCGCACTGACAATAACGGATGGGTCAGTGGCCGGTCCCGCCTCGTTGAACTCGCTGATGCTCTCTCACTCGGAGATCGGCTTTCAGGACCGTGATCTGAGGTACTCACACTACTGAGCGCATCCTGCCACTCCCTCAGGGTGACGCCACCCCCAACTGAAGCAGAGCCCTAAGACACGCGTGTACAGCTACACAGGATGTCACCATACGATCTCGAGGCGCACAGGCTCGCAGATCGCCAGGGGTCCCTCCTGAAGGGATCATCGCACTCTGACACGTAAGGGCGCCCTTTCAGAGGATGAGCGCACTCTATCACGACTCCTCGAGCACATCATCGTGGCAGTCCCCCGTCTACAAAGGATCGTAAGGCGGGTGTCAAAAGGATTTTGGGCGTGACTCCGCGCGTCAGGGATGGTCAGAGCTTCGCCTGCATTCCCGTTCCCCCATTGCCCTCAATTCATGTGCCACACGCAGGCTCACACTGCTCATCAGGGGTCAACCCGAAAGGATGATCGCACTCTATCGCTACCCTCGAGCACGTCATACCAGCTGCGTTAAAGACTGAAAGGAGATCACGCTGATTTGAAAATATTATACCAGGTCACAAAAGGGCGTGGATGTGGGGGTCTGACACACTCCCCTTCATCCTTCATCGCCACTTCCAAACTCCCCAACATATATCGTTCGTCTACTCACCTCTAACTTCTGCAGTCCACGTACCTCACACGCTTCCACCGGTTCCCACGCCATGTCTGGCGTGACTCAAGGCCCGAGTCCTGCTGATGGAGTGAGTTGTAGCTATCCCTACGGCACCGCAAATCTGTACCGGAGCTTTGTCACCCCCACTCCACGTCTGTGCCCAGGCTATGTTGCTCCTCTGACCCCGCTAAGCAGTTGTGAATCCAGCGCTTATACTACAGGAAACTCATCCGGTAGGCGCGGCTCTCTCCGAAATCAATGCGGTAGGTCAAAGGCGGTGACGGATGATTTGCCACCCAGGTCTACCCCAGCTGTGCCCTTTTCAACTCATGCAAAATCCTGTGAGCTGATATGACAGCAAGGCCAATCGTCTCTGTGCCAGCTCCCGCAAGAGATACTTGATATCATCGACAGGTTCACATTCGCTGACAGGGCCATGAGTGATATTTCGCTGCTGAAAGACTGGGCAACTCGCCGCTCGATCTGCCGCCTCCTCCGGTCTTCGGTCGACAAGGCTACAAAGTTCCGCTTACATGTCATACAGACTGCGGAGCGAACTTGGGTTCTCGGACCAAGCAATGAATCGACCAAGCAAATCACCATCATCAACTTCACCAACGAGAGGACCAACCTATCGCCGAGCGTTCTGCAAGCGCTTGAACGAGCCATCGGTTCGGGGAAAGTCGAATCCATCACTGCTGATTACATCCCGAAGAACGAGCACAGGGTAGCCCTCGACGTTATGCAGCCCATCGATATGGACTATCCAATGCTCAAGAAACTCGGTTGCAACACCCCCCTGTTCCAGACTTCGCGACCCACGCACAAGCAGCCTGACCATGGGTACTTCATCTACACGGTCCCCCAGAGGCACGATGAAGCTTGTGACATAGACTGCGGAACGGTGGAAGGCGACTCAGGGTCACACTCCTTCGTCGGACTGTGCGGGAGTCCACGCGAGGAGAGCTTTGATTACGCCGCTGAATCGGTCACATCGGTCTTGTACCATTCGGCCCCGGGGGGCCTCTGCACATGGGTGGATGTCGAAACCTTTGGCCCTTCAGGATGGACAGTCCGCGGCGATTTGTTCTCGGAGTACCAAAAGCTCACATCCACACAGCGAGACGCTCTGGAGGGCGTGGCAATCAGGCTCAGTCGACTGCCGGACACTGACTATATGGACAGCGAGGACGGGGGACAGGACACTATTCTCCAGCGCGTGTCGTGGATGTCGGGTTCCGAATTTGCGGAGTCGCCCGAAGGCAAGGCTGCCTTGGCCCTAATGGTGAAGCGGAGATTGACCCCTTTCTGACCTGAGGACGGCCGGGAAGACCAGAAGTATGGAAAGACAGGATTTGTGCGATTCTCACTGATAGCTGACATGAATGATGTTTATGAGCTTCTCTTCAGGCAACACCGGCTCAGTGGCTCTGCGTAGCCAGGGACGTATTTCCTTTCTTACAGCGTTTGTTTCAAGTCAGCCAAGTGCTTGTCAGTCCGTGATGGGTATGCACTGAAAGGAACCGCGCCTCACTGTCACCGCGATCCAATCGCGTCATTGAGACAGCACCTACAGAACAAAGGAGGGGATTCGAGCCGGAGCGGGCCAGGAGCTCAAGGGGGCTCGCAATCCCCATGGGGGACATGCATAGAGGTCCTCTGCACATTTCCCCGTCGCTTGTCTCCGTCACTCGAATCTGCCTTGCATTGCTTCCTACATCATCTTACCACCTCGACCTCTTGCAGTGTCGATCCATGATGAGACTATTTGCTTCGATCAAATCCATGCTGACGTCGACTGATACAGCTGATACCGCCACCAAGGTGAGTGAACATGTGGTCAGAAGTGCGAGCTGGGTCTGCCACCTGGGCACCTTCACGTACTCTAGCTGTGTTTCAGGCTCTCATTATTGATTGCTCGCGCTGAGCTGAAGCTGAAGAATCTATCCGATCTCCCAAATGAGCTTATCCTGGAAATCCTCAGTCACATCTTAGACGGATCCGATGGGACTGTCCCGAACTGCGAGCTCAAGGCACTGAATTGCCAGAAATTCAAGCCGCTTGTCGACGAGACCAGCAAAGCCCATGCATACCTACGAGTCACGCCAGCATCCATACTCACTTACATCCATCCCACGAACAAGTCCACAAGAGGCCCCAAGGATATCACTATGTACACCGATACCGACCCCCGCACGTCCCTCCCCCATCTCTACCAGCGCATCAATTACTGGGACTTTGACGGGTCCATGATGCGACCTCATGTTTTCGAGAAGCTGGCGGAATGGAAGAAATTCGGCAAAGGCACAGCGATTCAAATCGACTACGCCAGGAGCCGGAACATATGCCGTCCGCCACGGGAGCCCTCCGAGTTGCGAGCGCTCACTGATGAGGAACCATGTCTGCAGGTCTTTCGCGCTGCGAATGGACAATACCAACGTTTCGTCTACAGAGAGCCGACAGCGCCGAGGTTGAGACAGCCGCAACTCGAGCCTCGTCGAGTGTTCGTCGGCCACATGGACCCTGTCTCTAGATCTGACACTGGCAGCACGTTTGAGCTCATCACATTTTCGGTCGCGGATGTCTTGACTGAGGCGTCTGACAATACTCAGATTGTATGGGTCAATGTCGAGGATTCAGGGGTTGCTCTTCTACACCCCAAATACCTGCCCTTGCCCTCCATCTTCGGCCGGAAGTATACAGAAAACGAGCAGACGGTACTCGCTCTTGCCACGATAGCCTTGAAGGAGCGATGGCTGTCTCGATCCGACGAGCAAAGAATACTAACGGATCTAGAGAGATGGACGCTGGTCGAGGGTCACATCACTTTCATGAGTGAAGCGGAGTTCCAAGGCACAGCAGCGGTGGCGACGCTAAAGCGACACGTGAGGCGATCAGAGGTTCTCTTTGATCGTAGTACTGCTAGTACCTGATATACCCCGGGGAGGTGGCGGAGAGGAACAGTATGATATGACATGGGTATTGGCGCTTTTTGGCGATTGTTCCTCGGTTGAAGTTTATCCTGCGGTCGCTACAGCGCATAACTACCATATAACGCTGCATGTCCGCCGACTGAATAAGCAAGCTAGCTAGCCTCACTACATATAGTGGACGCCTGAATCCGCCACCCGACTGCCCCCATGCCACACTCGTTCATATCTTTGGTCCGCCCACTTTACCCCACTCTGGTTGATTTCAACCAAGCTCCTGCATCAACTGATCAGTACATCTCTGAGCCGACTCAGCATGCCGCGCTCACCCTCCAACTCACGTTCCCGCTCACCGGTCAAAAGGAGACGGTCCAGCGCATCCGCAGAGCCCGAGAATGTATGTCCTTTGCCTGCAAGGTCGTCCCAGCAAAGCTGATCAGAGTGCAGGGTTGCCCATTCCTCATCCGCCTGTTTGTCACCAAGGGCCGACATACGCACGTGATGGAATTTGAGGAGGGTCGATTCCCGCTCCAGGATGAGTTCACGGCGTACGGATGGTAAATTATCAAGACCGAACAGTTCAGGACCAGCTGATACAGGCAGGAAGATCTCCACGCCCAGTTCACTCATCCAGCTCCTCCTCCCTTCCTTTCCCGGCCCCTATCGCTCGCCTCTCGCCCGCTATTCCTTCCGACACATCTATGTCGATGCCTCTCCACGTGGCCTGTATAGGCACAAAGACCTCGTCTCCTTCACCGGTCGAGACTTGATGGGAGCGGTCGCTGCGCTCTCGGCCACCGGCGCAAATAACGGGATGGACATGGAATTGGATGATGGGCCGTCTCGGCCAGAAGAGGGAAGAGGGCGGAAAATAGAGGAGAAGACACTCGAAGCGTATGGTTTTGAAACGGGAGATCTGCTGTCCGTGGCGCTTCACATACCAGAAGGGAGGAATTTGAAGCGACCGACGGCGGGAGGGGCTGGACATGGGGCACCGGGCGGTCCAGGGGGACCAGGAATGGGAGGGTCGGGCGGACCTGGGATCGTCAGCGACAGAAACAGCTTCGGATGGAATAACGGCTCGAATGGACCAAGAGGGCCGGGCGGCCCGGGCGGACCAAGCAGACCACCAACCGGTAATGGACCGACGGATCGGACGAACGCGTGGCAGCGCGGCGGACCTCTACCCGATCAGTCAGCGGCGAGAGGAGCTCCTGGCCGGAACAGCTTTGGTGGGCCAGGCGGTATGGGCGGAGACGTACCCCCAGGCGGGCGGTGGGGGCGGGGTGGTGGAATGGGCGGCGGAGGTGAAGGACGAGGCGGCGGACCGGGTCTGGGCATAAGAGGAGGCAGAGGAGGGAGGGGACGGAGTAGGAGTCCAGACTATCAGCGGGGAGGGAGGAGGAGCGCGAGTCCGGATAACAAGCGAGAAGGATCGTCAAGGCGGCGGGATGATTAGAGGGTAAATGGTCATAGCAAAAGCGAGCGATGAGCTTGGAGTATCATACCTGGTGGTCAGAACACGGCGTCGGACAGGGTACCTTAATGCATAAAAGCGTCATGAGACCACCCCTGTACCATCGCAAAGCGCTGTTGAAGCTACTTCCGAGCTCCCCAACCCCTCAGCACGCAGGCGGTAGCTTGTTCGGCTAGAGACCATCGCTTCCGCCCTCCTCTCGATACCGCCTGCTCGCACGTGCCAGACTTCTCAGCCGGCAGCAAACCGGCCGACACGCCGCTGATACGCCTCCCAGATGTCATTCAAGAACATCGGTTCATTCTGCCAATCAGCGCCTCCCTTGAACCCTTCAATTGGAGACTTACATGAATCATATCCGTCACTATGAGCCCAAATCCTCCCCGGCCATGCCGCCTCAAGTCCGGCAATTCCCAGAGGGCATCTACCACCGAATCAACTACAGTGTGCCTGTTGACCATGTGGTTGTGTTGCCTCTCGACCGATCTATCGACGGGCCGCGGGGGCTCTGGCGGTCCATTATGGGACCACACAGGATGACTTTGGGGCATGATGCCAGCAAGGAGGTCGGCGACGTTCAGTGCGGGACCGGGAGCAGCCGGGGCGGCGGCCCGAGGGGCTATAGCCGCGACGCTGGGCGAGCCGCCGGGTAGTTCGTTCAGCCGTTGAGGGAAGGACGGGGGAGCGGCGTCGTGATACTGCCGCTCGCGATGCGCTTCCTCTGACGTTGCCGGGAACGTGACCGGGACATTCCGCGCGTCCGATGAGGACTGTGGAGCCTGGTGAGGCTGAGGCCGGTTCGGCGGGATTGGAGGTCGGTTGGCGGGGACGGGCGGGGACTGTGAGGCTTGCTGCGCCGGCCGGGGAGGAGGAGGCATGAGGCCATTGGAAGGTGTGAAGCCATTTACGCCCAGTATGGAGCTCAAGAGGTCTTCCACCGTTTGTCCGGGCGGTGGGGTGAATGGATTGAGCGGCGGAGGATTGGCCAGAGGCGGAGCCGAGGGGCCTGGCGGCGCAGCTGGTGCTTGCGAAGCTTGGAGTGACTCGAGCGTTATGTCCGCTGCGAGGGTATCGGTGGGCAACGCTCGACTGACATTCGTCGGATCGAGAAGATGACGCGGGAAGTCTGGTGCGAACTGGGTTGGCGCTGGTGGAGGGGTATTGCTCGACTCTGCTACAGAAGCGAGCGCGGAGGGGATGCAAGGGGAGGTAGGGTTTCCGGAGGGAGTCTGCAAGTCAGCTACTATTCGAACACGGTCAGGACGGGCGACTGACGATCATGATTCCAGCGAAGAGACGGGAGATACCGTCTCCTCCGCCAGCGGGGGGAACAGGTCCTGATCCTGATCCTGAGCCTGACGCGATTGGCAGGGTCGACGGACCAGCCGCAGCCGGAGGTGCCACCGCAGGCTGAGCGCTTGGATTCGTCGAGCCAGGTCGTGCAGACGGTGGACCGCATATTCTGGGTGATTAGTGAAGCCCCAACGCAGACGTAAGCCCAACCCACCTCAGTATGACGGCGTTGAAAGCGTCCAGCCCAGAAGAAGGGAACCATATCGCTTTTCTCACCCCTGATTCATCAGCTCAAACCTACGATGACTCTTTGAGAGCCACTTACTATCTCCTCGACGCGCAACCTGCAACATCTTATCTGCTACCACCGTCGCCTTCATTTCGCCCGGTATGAGGGAGATCAAGGCATCTCTGATGCCCATACGATTGAGCACATAGATCGCGTACTTTGGCTCTGAGTTACTAGATAGTCAGCTTCGCGCACCTAGGAAGAGCAAGATGACGAACCGCCGGACAACAAAGATAGGTCCTTCCAGCTTCTGTTTGACCCACTCCCCATCCTCTCCGGGCGTATCCATCATATAGTGGTATATTGTGCCGTATGGGGCACTCTCGAGGAGCTCCATGACGCCTGGGTCTGCACGTTGGATGACGCGCAAGTTGGCATAGTATTGCCGGTCCTCCTCGGTCTCAACAGGGGAGTCCATGATGGGCATAGCGGCGAGATGTAGAGGGTGATGCGACTTCCGAGAGGCGGAATAAGCGGACTCTCGTTGAGCGTCTAGTAGTGGCTTTTGCTTGCTTATGTATGTAGGTATCCCGCTGTAGGTTTCGCGCTACTTGCTGTAGATAGTTGAGATGTGAAGATGAAAGGGAATGCTAAGAACAACAGAGCTCCATTATGGCTCGATAAAGACCTCCACCTCGTCCACTCCGCTCAGACATTCCTCACCATATCCCAACGCCATATCCTCCCCTCCCTCTTCTGGCCTCTATTGTAGACCGGATTCCCGACGATGCTCTCGCGCAGCGCCCACACGGGCAGAAGCCTTCGCCTTCTTCCAGCATGTCCCCAGACGCCTAGGCGATACCTCACGACCCCAGTCCCGGGCATACCTCCCTTCACCCCCGCCCACCTCGCTCGACTCCGGCAATCACTCCTTCCCCTCCCGGACCACTTCCTACCCGGCTCGTACCCACCAGGACATACCATCTCCGTCTCCCTCGGCTCGCGCCAGCCTACAGAAGCAGCCGTACTCATACCGCTCATGAATATTGATGGGGTCCCGCATGTGCTCTTGGAGGTGCGCGCGGCGCAGATGCGGACGCACGCTGGGGAAGCTAGGTGAGGTGGGTCTCTGACTCCCGGAGACTAGGATGTACGCTCAAATGATCCTGGCTGATACCTCAGCTTCCCTGGAGGTCGTGTAGACTCGGTAAGCTGAGCTGTTGCGTTTCTTAGCATTTGAGTAGGGCTGATCTGCTGAGGACGACACCTCTCTCCAAGCTGCAGCGCTTCGAGAGGCAGACGAAGAGATTGCCCTTCCTCGAGATCATGTTGAGATCCTCGGACTTCTGGACGGGCCAGAATATAGCCTAGGTAATCGGTCGAGAGTATGGCCAATAGTTGTGCGTTATGAGTACCTCTCATCCCCTCGAAGGTTCTGCTCGACTCCCTGCTCTAGCCGGAGAGACGATCACGAGCAAAGCTGATATACAGGGCTTCATCCACTCTTCCCCTCCACCATGGCCACAATCCCCATACACCGCCTTATCCTCCTTCCCGCTCTCCCAACTCCGCCCCTCCCCATCCGAAGTCTCCTCCATCCTCCCTCTCTCGCTCGAATCCCTTCTCGATCCCGAAAGACAATCACTCCATTACTTCAGGATGGACGGTCGGAAGGCGTACTATAAGATCTGGGTGGATGATCTCATACCTTCTCCTCAGGCCGGTCCGGATGACACTGCGAGGAGAATAGGGACAGATAGGCCCGAGAGGGGTTTGTCGGGCGAGAGGAAAGGGCTGAAGGTGTGGGGTCTGAGCGGGTGGTTCTTGAACAAATTGGCGGTGAGGGCTGGGTGGTTCTCTTTGCCGGAACATCCGGGGGATCCAGAAGACTAGGAAGGAGAGATGGACAGGCGGGGTATACTGTACATGCAAGCCAGCCTGCGTCGTGACGCATAGTACATACAGTGTACACATTGCCCAGATCCCCCGAGCTGATCCCGACCTATGTCAAGGCCTTGGTCCCACATTCTCGCATTTCTGATCTGACATTGAGGCTCAGATGCGAGACCTCGCCCTCTGCAAGAGTCAGCGATGTCCATGCCCGAAAGCCTCTCACCCAACTCACAAGGTACTGCTCTCTGATCCTATCCGCCTCACTGACCTCCACTCTCACTGCCTTCTCTTCTACCTTATGCTCAACCGAGAACAGATCAAAGTCGAGCTGGGGCAGCGGCGGTGGTGGCGCCTTCCGCCTGCGCGGCTTGATCGTCGATTTGGACGACGACAGCCGCTTTGACCAGCGCGTACTCGTGTCGGTATCCAGCTCCAGCTGGACCTTTTTCCGCATGGGCCGGACGGTGGGCGGGGAGATGGTAGAAGGGGATGGTGGCGCGTAGGTGCGAGAAGGTGGCATGGGGAAGATATCGAGGATCCCGAGATCGGCGAGCTCAGCTTCGAGGTCTGCCTCGCCGAATATGTATACGTCTGGCTCGAAGGGGAAGGAGAAGAGGTCTGTAGGGGATTCGACGATGATGGGCGGGAGAGGTAGGATGCGGCGGGCATCACGGGCTGAGAGGTCGCGATGGCCTAAACGAGATTGAACGTCTCTGGGACGGACGGTCGCTTGGCTGTCCCGATTGATACAGCTCCGGGCGGGCCTGTCGGGACGAAGGGGGTTGGTAGATGGAGTGACCGGCCCGGAGAGTTGTAGAGCAGGGGCTCCTGAGCGCGGATGGTCCCCTGCTGCCGAGGGAAGAGGAGGAAGAGGCATGGACGCGTACAATCCGATAGCTGGTGGCGGAGTCACCTTGACGCCCGCGCGCAAGCGTATCGAGGATGTTGCGGAAGGCCGACGCGGCTGGGGCGGAGAGGATGCGGGTGAGTCGGATGGTACAGGTGGGAGAGGGCGATGTGGGGCTACAGAAAGAGCAGGGGATGCCGGCGGATGGAGGTATGCCCGGTTTGGCGTGAGGAGGGAGTCGGATTGGAAGGACCTGTCGGATGTGTCAGATCCGGAGCTGAGGGAGGGGGTTGTGCTGTGCTTTCCGGCCGGGTTGTTTGGGGTGCTAGGCTGCTGGAGAGGGTTGTCGAGTGGAGGTATCGCGTTGCAGAGGGGAGAGAAGGGAGAGATGGGGGAGATGGTCGGAAGTGCGGACGCTAAGGAGGAGGGAGGAAAGTGTGACGTGGTGAGGGGTGGACGAGAGGCTCTCGAGGGCCGTTGAGGCGTTGTGGGGGACTTATGGAGGGGTTCAAAGTATTCTATCATGTCAGCTTGACCCAGTGCTACATGCAGAGTGAGCAACGAGTGAAAGAGCTGCAGAGCTTACCGATCCGCCTTGCAGCTCCGGCGCCCGCTCTAGTCATGCTGTACTCGCCCTCGTCCCACCTTTGCGTGACCTCATCCTGCCGGCCACGATTCGACGCGTCTTCAGCATATCGCCGTCCCGACGACGAGGATAAGCTGCTACTGTGCATATCCCTTCCGTGACTGTCATCAGAAACGGGGACGCTGCCGGCCCTGCTCCGAGTGGAAGGTGGTGTCGCCTTGCACCCCCTGTAAAACTTTGGTTGGAAGAACATGCCTATCGATGTTGGGGTGAGATGCGAAGGCGATATTGATCAGCGTATATATAGTGAAAGTGAAGTACCGTGACTAATGTCAATAACATGCTGGACCAGGTCACGCTCCACAGCCGCAGCCTACACGCTCCGTCCGCGCATACCTTCCAAGGCACAACGTCCAAGGGGCCCAAGGCAGGCTTTGATCGACGGCTTTGGTATCCCTTCCGCTGCTGCTGTGAAACCCTTGACGGAAGGGAGAGCCGTGTTACGACATGTCGATCACTTGGAAGGCAGAGTACCCATTCCATTGAGGGAGACGCGGACGGGGAGAGGACTTTCGGGTCGGGGACGGTACATGTTTCGGATGAGAGGCAAGGGGAAGTTTCAGCTGAGACACACGGGGAGAAGGACGCCACACATTCCTCGAGAAAGTTTTTGCTTCCGCGTCGTTCCGTCGGAACTTGGGCGAGCTGGCCGGCTTTGCTCGGACGCGTCCAGGCAGTTGCGCAAAAGTTGACATTAGTTGATGACCAGCTGACTCATTGCAGCTCGGACCTCCTTAGAGCGCAGGAACGTAAGCTTGCGCATTAGCCATGCCAAGATAGCCCGGACCGACAGCCAATCCCACCACAATGGACATCGACAACCCGCCGTCCGAATACGACGACGGGTCGCATGGCCACACGCACCTCGAACTACCCGAATTCTCTCTCTCTTTCCCCCTCCCCTTCCGCGTCCTTTTCCTTGTTGGCCTCGCTATACTTCTATGGGCAATCAATCTCCACATTCTCCACCTCCTCGGTCTCGACACCGCCTGGATTCTCGACTTCAGAGATCCGGATACCTCGCCAGCTATACCGGTCGGGGCGGAGGCGTATGAACTTGACGGTGGGGATGTAGATTTGGCGGAGAGGGAGAGAATAGAGCGGCCAGCTAGTGGGAAGCTGTATGGGCCGGTGTATAGGCTGTTTGGGCTTTACTGTGTATGGGTTGGCGGGGGATGGGTGTTGTTTACGTGGTTGAGTGGAGGAGTTGAACAAGGGATGGAAGAGTGGAGGGGGCTCGTAGGGATGGTGATGGTCGGTGCTATGTTGATCGGGATCGTGCCCTGGCGGGGGATGGGAGAGAGGGAACGGAGAGGGCTTAGAAGGTGAGTTGCCCTCACCTCGTCATGGAACAGTAGCTGACGAGGCAGATGCCTTCGACGAATCCTATTCCCGTCGATGGCATCTCCGGTGTTCTTTGCAGATGTCATCCTCGCCGATATCATGACCTCCTTCGCCAAGGTCTTGGGCGATTTATGGGTGTCTGCGAGCCAGATCTGGTTCGGCGGTATCACGCATGGACGCGTTCGACAATACGGCTGGAGCAACTACATTACACTGAGTATGGTCTGGTAGGTTGGTCTTCATCAGAGAGAGGTGTAAGCTAAGATGCAGCCTGCCATACGCCCTCCGACTGCGTCAATGTATCCTCGAATCGCATCAATCCCACTATACCTCCCTCCGCCCCCTCATGAACGCCCTGAAATACTTCTCCGCTTTCCCCGTCATCATCCTCTCGGCCATGCAAAAGACACTCCTTGACGAGATCGCGCAAGACCCCAACAACCTCAAGGAGCATCGCGGAACACGGTGGCACGGCGAGCACCGGCTCTTCCGGATATGGCTGCTGGCGGTAGTGGTGAACTCGATGTTCTCGTTCTACTGGGATGTCGAGATGGACTGGGGACTGAAGCTGTGCGAGGTGGATACATGGTTCCCGAAGAAGAGCGCGGATGGGCTGGGGACGCCCTCAAGCAGGGGAAGGCGGAGTGTGGGGCTGATAGGGAGGATGAAGCAGCTGTGGACGAGGGAGGCGAGCAGTCCGAATGGCCTGGGCGGTATTCACAACCGGTCGCCACACCCCACACCCATGCTCACTCATTCACGAGCACCCACCGAAACTTCCCTCCCCCTTCCGGCGCTCTCCCTCTCTCCCCTCCTCGCGCCCATCACGACCTTCGGCCTTCGCTCCACCCTGACCTTTGATCCCCTAGTCTATCACCTCTTCACCCTCATCGACCTCGTCCTCCGCTTCACATGGTCCCTGAAGCTCTCGAGCCATCTGCATACCATATCAGAGATCGAGTCGGGAGTGTTCCTGATGGAGGCGCTGGAGCTGGTTCGTAGGTGGATGTGGGTGTTTGTCAGGGTTGAGTGGGAGGCGGTCAAAATGGCCGAGAGCAGGCGGAGCGGACCAGCGCGGGATGGACTGGGCATTGGGTTGGGAGCAGTAGGAAGGGGAAGAGGAGATGATGCGCAGGTGGTATGGGATGAAAAGGAGCGACGGTAGTCGGAATACGGGTCTTCTTGGATAGTTATTTAGATGCTAGAATCTTGGTCATGATCAGTCTATCCATAGTACAACATGGTCTGGCTGGCGGGTTTAATGCTGATGGAACGTCTATGGCAGGAAAGGACGGGCTACGATCGGTTGATCACCATCGTCTCCCGAATGATTTCTGCCAATATGAGCTGCTGCGGCCTAGACATCTGTGACTGCTGGCACTCACTTGTACACAGTCCTTGAATGCCTGGAACTCGGCTTGGCACATGTCCTTCGATACGTCCTGATATGATTTACCAATACATTTGCCGTACGCGAGGGACTGAAGGATTAGTTAGATCCGGACCAGTGGCTCCATGCCGCTTAGCTGACCTGGGTAGCGCATGACTTCGAAGCCTTAGCTAACGTCTGCAAGGGCGCCTTGTCCTTGAACCTAGTAGCTACCGCTGACATGCTGTATGGTGAACATGTAAAAGAGCAAGTTGCCTCGCACACCTCTTGCGCAGAATCAGATCGACGGCGCATTACGGCAGATCCTTCCGTCGGAAGTGAATGACGCACGGATGTGCCCAACACGAGCCAACTTTGGCCAGCCTCTTGTTCGACTGCACATCATCCTCCTCTAACCCATATCCATAGCATACATAGCTAAGGACGCTCTTGTTCTCGGGAGAGACCATAGCTTTTGGTCAAGAATGCCTCGCGCAGCTACGCCGTCTCAAGCCCCGGCCCAGGCGGGGACACACCACCTGCAAGCCTTGATCTCGTCCACGACCTATCCCAAGCCATTCAGCTTCGAACAGCTCGAGTTCCTCCGACATGAAATCCATATCAGGCGGTCGGGGTCACACGCGAGGCTGGTGGAGCTAGATCCGAGCGAGGAGGAGCGGATGAAGCGGGAGAAGAAGGAGCGAAAACGGAGGGAGAAGGATAGAGCGGCTGAGGCTGAGGCGGCGGCATTGGCGGAAAGGAGGGCGGCGGAGAGTGGTGTCAAGGTGAAGCGGGAGCGAACGTCATGTGAGTGGGAGGATTGGCTCATAAGTGGGGTGGCTGATGTGCAGTATCCCCAGCGGCTTCTGTTGCTTCGACGAGCGCCATGCCTGTCATGCACGCTTCGCAATACAAGAAGAAGAAGAAACGGGTGGTAGATAGCGATGATGAAGGCCAAGGTAAGCTCGGGTGGCAACGTCAGCGTGGATGGAGGCAGAAGCTTACTTTTAGCTCGAGACCGTTCGATGACAGTCGCCTCACCGCCCGGGCCAAGCCACCACATGACAACCTCGGGCCTCAAGGTCAAGCTTCCGGGCAATACCAAGGGCCGTCCCTCCCTCCCCTCCGTTGAGATACCCTACACACCACCAATAATAGCCGGTCCATCAGGCTATGGTAATCATATCGACTTTTCCTTACCTACACCTTCGAATAGACCGCTCATACCCCCTCGTCCTGGCGTGCAGAAACCGCTTCCTCCCGGCCCAAAGAAACAGGCAGATGTGAACGAAGACTTTAGCAATGTCAAGGCCCCCACCCAGGTCAACTTTCCAACCTTTTGGGCAGGAGTGGAGCCTTATGTACGGGAGATCAGGGAGGACGACTTGGCCATGTTGGGGTTCAAGGTGAGCTAGGCTGTCTGTGTAGCGGAGGCACTTAGCTGATATATAGGCGGAAGCTCCTGAGCTGTACGATGTTCCGCCTCGTGGGAGACATTACACGGAAGTATGGGACGAAGAGGACGGGAATCCCATCGGCACGACACATCGGATCTCGGTACCCAACCTCCGCCAACTCAACGGGACTTATCCTCCTTCCACGCTCGTCCCGTCCTGGATCCCGGCGCAGGATCTCAAGGAGGAGTACTCGGTGGAAGAACTGAGAGGGCTGGGTAACATCACCGAGAGGGTCGTGGCGGCGGTAGTCGCGCTCGAAACGGATCCAGCGAGTCATGGGCGCATGGCGACGGATTTTGATGGGAAGGAGGCGGTCAAGGTGGATGTCAAGGAGCTGGAGGAGCGGGTTAAGAAGGAGCTGAGGGCGGTGATGCTTCTTGGGGAGCACGAAGAGGTGAGCTTTCCGAGTCGTATCAATCGACACATAAGCTGACGAAACAGTTTGAGGCTGGAAAGCGCGACGACGACGAGATCACCGCTTCCCTCCGGACATGCCAACGCCTCCTCCTGGCTCAGACCGCCATCAACGACGCACGCAAACTCCGTCTCGCCGAGAAAGCCAAGCACCGCCTCGCTTACGCTGAATATCAAAATGCCCTCGACGGTGTCGAAAGCAACATCGAAGAGCACTGGGCCAAGCGGACCAAGAAGCACGGACATGCGAGCAAGAAGCCCGCACCTGTACCCACCAAAGACAGTCGGCCGCCCGTACCGGAAGTCTTGAAGAAGCTAGTGCAAGTGCGGAAGAAATGGGTGGAGAGTGTGGGGGACAAGATGAAGGGCATGCCGAGGGGTGTGATGGTGGGTCTGCCTGAGGAGAGTGCGTATCTGGGCATAGCGGAGGCGATGGATGAGGATGAGGCGCGGGTCGAGGGAGTCGTCGATGATGGGCATGATGACGAGTGACACCGAGTGTCAATGTAGCAACAGTTTCATAGACCGCTTGGTCTTGTAGTAGGTGGTAGCGATTGTAATAGTATGCTGTAAGTCTAGCTTGTCCCCTTGTCTAGATCTCATTCGGATTGACCGCTACTCCGCTCACTGCATCTAATCGGTCCGCAGCCGCTCGTGCTCATCTCACGCATCCTGACGGTACTCAAGGTGCAAGGTGTCCATGACCAAGCGGATCGTTAGGCATTCCTACTCGGCAAGTACATGGTTTCTTTCTACTACTTCCGTTTCACACTTCTTCCCTGATTATACTATTGATGATTCCGACAACTACGAGTTGTAACAACCTTTGTGCGCCCAAACTCGCCCAGACCCGCTCTTCTTGCCCGACATCCACCATCACCCGCTAAGCCTTGTACCCCGGGATATACTGGAAAGGAAGGGGATTGACGTCAAAGAAGGTGATCATGGCAGGGGAGGTGAGGTTGAAGCTGGCGGTATTGTTGGGTGCACCAGAAGCATCCAAGGCCCCGGTGGTCGGCCACGAGTGTCCGAGGTTGGAGACCGTGTACGCCTGGAAAGTGGTATTGCAGCGCCAGATCATCTCGGTGGTATTGGGGTACGGGTTGGTCTGGACGGCAGGTACGTCCGTCTTGCAGCCGTTCCGGATCGCCCATTGTCGCCGCCAGAGGGGCACATTGATCGTCGCGACACCAACACCGTATGTCCCGTTGGTGTCATTGCGACCGGCGAAGGGGATGGTGGTATCCAGGACACCGTGGGCGTTGATGATAGGTACGGCGCGGGCGGGGTTGCAGCCCTTGAAAGCGAGTGACTCGGGGTAGAGAGCAGGGGAGACGGGAGCGAAGGCCGCGAAGAGGACAGAGGTGTCTGGGCGGCAGGCAAGGTAGGCTGTAAAGCCACCGCCGTTAGATTTTCCGCTGGCGTAGATACGGATCCGATCGACGCAGTAGGCATTTTGGATATCGGTGACTATGTCTTTGGCGAATTGGACCTGGGCCCATCAGCGACGATCCACAGCTAGAGCAGGAAGAGGCTCACATCGTCGACCGTCTTGTTGTAGTAAGGCGCAGAGTACCACACCCCTGTCCTATTCTCCGCGGCATTGTTCGCGCCTTGTGGATACGCAGCGATGATCGGCAGCTCATTGATGAGCAGACCGTCTTGTGAGAACTGCGAGAGCCGCTCTTGGTTCGCTGATGTTCCGCCAGCTATGACTGTCAGCTCGAGGACTCAGTCCTGCTTGGGAGGACTCACCGCCGTGGAAGCTGAGAACAAGCGGATGTGCGCCGTTCGAGGCATTGTAAGCGCCCGGGAGGTGGAAGAGGTAGGTCCGGCCCGAGGGGAGTGTCCTGTTTACCCGACCGGTCGAGTCGAGCTTGAAGCCGGCGCCGTTGGAGCAGCCGGGCGAGGGATAGGTCCATGCCGAGACACTAGCGAGGAGGGAGAGAATGACGGCTGAAGTGAACATTGTGGGCGAGGAAGGGGAGGGGAGAGAGGGAGGAGGTGTGGGGCAGAGTGGGGACCCCCCGCGACTCTAATATAAAGCCGCCGGCGCCGAATATGAATCATGAGGCCGAAGCGGGAAGGAATGCCGAGAGTGGTTGCATATGGTCGATGACTCGATCCAGACGTACAGGACATGCGGATATAGCGACCACTTCAGCCACCCCGATGTGACCCGACCACAGTCGGGAATACTCGGCTGTACATTGGTGAAGCACAAGCCTCGGTGGTGATATGGCCACCATCTATATTGCATCGATACCTAAGGGATCTTCCGCTCTAGTAAATAAACCCTTCCACCCCAACGCATGCGCCCTAGTTCTTGACCAGTCCCGTCCGCCCACCCATCATCTCCGCCAACTGCTTGAGATCACCCCACCACTCATCCGTCCCCTTCCTCAACTTCATGTCCGTGCACTTGAGTGCCTCCTCCATCGTGGCGTACACGATCTGACTGCCTCGAATGGCAATCATGACCGCGGTGGCTGAAGAGTAGGTACGCTTGCCTCGGACGTGCTGAGCGTTGGGTGTAGCGTGCTGTTCGAGGAACTGCATGCACCGGAGGGAGAGCCGAGCGGCGCGGGTACGGTCGAGAGGGGATGGGACGCCGCCTTGGAGGGTGTGGCCGAGCGAGGCGGACCGGGCGTCGAACAGCTCTTTGCCTTCTTCCTTCATGATCTTGGTGAGGATCTCGGTCGAGTAGATGCTACTGGACTTCTCGGATCTATCAAGTCAGAGTAGTTCCCAAATTAGAGTACAATGCAGACGTACCGAATGACCAGTCGCCCCTCTGACCTGCCCTTCGGATCCAGCTCGTACCTCCTCCGCATGAACTCCACATCCTCTTGCAGAAGCTTGAGCGAGATACCGTCCTCTGGCGTGTAGACGAGCACAGCTCCGACGGCCAGCGCACCAAGAGTGGCGATGTATCCGCTCTGACCGCCTTGGGTCTCGACCACGAAGACTCGGTTTCGGCTGGCTGCTGCTGACTGCTTGATGGCGTCGCAAGCCTCGACGAGGGCGTTGAGAGAAGTGTCGCTCCCGAGCGAGAAATCTGAGAGGGGTACATTATTCTAGAGGGATCAGCTGAGATGCGCCTGGCAGGGAGAGGTACGATTTACGGAGATGGTTGCGGGAAGGTGGATCATGGGAATCTGGAATGAGGGGTATGCGGCCCGAGCCTGCTCCATGATCATGACGGAGTGGTACGCCTCGAAGCCACCAATGATGAGCAGTGCGTCGAGCGAATGACGCTGGAAGCCAGCGGCGACCTGGCCGAGATCCTCGCTTGGCAGTGTACGGTTGGTGCCGAGTTCCGAACCGCCTCGGGTTGTCCAGGTGTCAACACGGAGCCAAGACAGCTCTGTGACGTTGTCGTCGAGCAAACCCTCGAACCCGTTGTGGATGCCGATGGGAAGGTGCCCTCGGTTGTGGCAGAAACGGACCGCTTGGCGGGTAGCAGCGTTCATACCTCCAGCGGGTGCTCCGACACTGCGGGGTCAGCTCGTCTTTCCCGTCTTGATTGAGGCATGATTCAGCTCACTGTATGATACCGATCCTGAGACGCTATACTCGGTCAGCTTATACCCCCTTTCCCAGCATTGGCCCATCGAACTCACCTGCTTTTCTGGCACGTGGTCCTTGATGTCCAGACTCGAGCTGATCCGGAACGCCTGCAGCATCTCCTTGAACTCGGAGTCTCGGTAGCTCATGGCTTTGGCGAAGTCCTTGTTCTCGATAGCTGTGGCGACCGCTTGAGTCTGAGAGTCAGCTTCGGCCTTAACTATCCGTCATAAGGACGGGTGACATACCTGGGCGACGGCCTCGAGAAGGGGGACCTTGATGATCTTGTTCTCCTGGATACCGATCATGTATGAAGGGGTCTCCGGTGTCGCCTCGAGGAGAGCCTGGACCGCCTGGACACCCTGGAGAGTCGGCTGGGAAATTAGCTTTGACCCGCTTTGACTTGGATAGGCGGTACTTACCAAGATCCGGTCCATAGCGCAGGGCTTTCCACCTCGTTGGGTGTGACCAAGGGTCGTCACCCGCGTGTCCAGGCCGAGCCGGTCTACCAAGACAGACTTGACATATTCAGACTTGATGGGCTTGAGGTGGCGGTCGAGTGCGCCCTCGGCGACAATGACGATGGACTTCCGCTTCCCGACCAGTCGGTGCTGGAGTCTCAGCTTTTGCGCCCCTGTCCCGGTCCCAAGCTGCACTCACAGATTGCAGCAGGTCGCACATCTCAGTCTCCCAATCATCGGCCTTTGGCGGGTCCTCCGGGATGAAGACGTAGTCCGCACCGGTCGCGATACCCGCCAGCAGAGCCAGCCACCCGCAGTGTCGACCCATGACTTCGATCACGAAGGCTCTCGAGTGAGACGAGGCGGTCGAAGAGATGGAGTCGATAGACTCGCAGATACGGTGAAGGGCGGTGAGAGCGCCGATAGTCATATCTGTGCAGGCCATATCGTTACTGTGTGATCAGTCACAGCTTCCATACAGGCAGAAGGATACACTCACTCGATGGATCCAACCAGACCGACGATGTTCAAGTGCTGGTACGCGTCCCGCTGATCGTCGTCAATCTTGCCTGATGAGTGTCAGCTAGGCGTGTCGCAATTCGTTCCTGAATTGGCACGGTAGCGCACCATTCTTGTGCAACTCCTCGACCAGCTCAGGCCATTCTCCACGAAGCTTGTCCGCTCCAGTCAAACTACCGTCTCCGCCGCAGACAGCCAAGCAGTCGATACCGAAGCTGATGAGGTTGTGCGCCGCCTGTAGTCTCCCTTCTTTCGTTCGGACTAGGCTATCAGCCACCTGAACGGCTTGTGCCCATGCAGCCTTTACGCACAAGAGGGACATCTCGAAGATCCAATCAGAGTTCCGCCTTCGCCTAACCACCCCCTGACATCGTCCCATCCGACCCGGACGATATACTTCCCCTTGAGTGTCTTTCCTTTTGGCTCCCTCGCATCCGCTACCCTTGCGCCAAGACCACCCCGCTGAGCATCTGCCAGGGCATTCTCGTCCGCCTCTCCCGCTCCATCCTTCAACAGCTCGCCGTAGCCGAAAGACAGCGGTGCCGCCGACAGAGGCATGACCTCTTCCGGGTTGGTGTAGCTGAAAGCATGTGGCGCGCCGGCTTCAATGCTCGCGAGCTTGTCGTCGGCCCTCTGCAGCTCGAGCTGCTTTGAAGGGGGGAGGGAAGCAAAGGATACCGAGCTAGACTTGAGCGGCTTGAGATTGGGTGATGATGGATCCGAGCCATTTTTGAACGTGGCGGGCGTAGCTGCAGGGGTGATGTCGGCGGTATTACCGCGGACGAGACCTTCCCAGCCTTCCCGGATGATGAAGGTCTGGCATCCTCGAGCGATACCTTGCCGGACCACCGCTCGAACTATGACATGAGCTCGTCGTCCCGTTCTCATCGATGACCAGCTCACCGGCAGCGTTCATGCCGGCCGAGTCACCTCCACTCGTCAACACCGCTATCTTCTTCTGCCGCTTGGCACCTCCCGCAGGGCGGCTGGACTGCCCATCCTGGCTGCGGGCGGCAGCTCCCTGGGCATCGCTGACCCCCTCCAGGTCCTTGGTCTCGCTAGCCGGGCTTTTGGCACCTTCGACTGACATCCTTTCTAGCTGTAGTAGGGACGAGTATAGCGTTGTGTTTCTGTTATAGGTATAGTGATGAAATTTGAAGTTGGAGGAGATAGTGCGCGAACTTGCGAAGGCGGAAGAATTAAGGTTTGGGGAAGGTTGCAACGTCATCGGAAGCCGTGCCGTAAAAGACCGTGCGCTGGAGTGGAGGCGGTCCAGGCCAAGCCGGCCCAACTGTGCTATTGGGTGAGCTCCACATCATGAGCGCTAAGGGGACCATTGCCCGTCAGAATATCAGAAGTTCGGACAAACATGTTTCAAAATCAAGCTTTGAGACAGCAGACGACGACTATATGTATTCCACTCCCGACACTAGGCCAGTACAAAGCTACCTACGCTCAACAAACTCCTCCCTTCCCTTCTCGAGGTGAGCATCACCATCGTGGTCTCCCCTGTGCACAAGCTCCGTCGCCCTAGCCGCACCCGCACCATCCTGGAAGGACACCTTGGCCTGCTCAAAGTGGGCTCCGTTCGCCTCCGGCCCTAGGAACACGCAAACGACCATCCACGCGATAACAGCACCAATGAGGATACCCTGGATGGTAGCATAGTCGGCGATCTGGGTGCCCGCAAGCTTGAGAGACCGACCGGCGTCGGCCTCGATCTGCGAGGCACCGGACGAAGCCATGTTACCGAGCTGGTAGGCGACACCGGCGAAACTGGCGCGGAACGCGGGAGGGGCAATTTCCGAGAGGTAGATGGGTACGATACCCCATGCGCCCTGGACGCCCGACTGCATGAAGAAACCGCCGGCGGTGAGTCCGGCGAAGGAGTCGGGGAGGATCCAAAGAGGGATCCAGCACGCGGTGTAGCAAAGGGTGATGAGGATGGCGAGACGACGACCGGTGTATTGGGAGACGTAGCCGGCGATGGTACCGCCGACGATGGCGCCACAGTTGGAGACGATTGTAGTCTTGGACGAAAGAGGGGAGGAGAAGCCCTTGGTGACTTGGAGGTAGGTGGGGTAGAGATCTTGCGACCCGTGCGAGAGGAAGTTGAAACCTGATCGGGTCAGCCGTTTGCTCTGTTTCGGCATGCTGTGCTGGACTCACCGGTCATCATGCAGACACCCCAGATGCAGCGGATCCAGTTACTCTTGAACATGGCTCCCATCTCCCTGAAGAAGGACTTGGTTGCTTGGCCAGAAGTCATTTGTCGCTCCTTGGCCTCTTCACGAGCGAGCAAGAATTGCCGGGATTCGGGCAGGAGCGCACGGACGATTGCGGCCGCAAGGGAGAAGCCGGCACCGATGAAGTAGATGGATCGCCAGCCGTACGGAGAGGTCTGGACGACAGTGAGGTTGATGACGGCCGCCAGAAGGTATCCAAAGGCATAGCCTTGCTGAATGACGTAAGCAACATTCCTCACTGTTTCACATGGTTATCCTACCTGGAGAATGCCCGAAAGCAGTCCTCGAGCCTGGACGGGTACGTTCTCGAGCGCAGTGGCCGCTGACTGACCCCAGATTCCGCCCATCGCGATACCGAAGAGAGCTCGAACGGCGAGGAAAGCGGAAAATGTGTTGACAAAGCCAGTGGCGAGCTCAAAAACGCAAATCAGGATCAGATTTCCTGCCAAAGTCAGCGGAACGCCCTCCAGATGAGCTGACACAAGACTGACCGACGAGAGTCCACTTGCGCCCATAGCGATCCGCTAGGATCCCGAAGATAATGGCCCCGAGAGACCGGAAAAGAAGTGTAAGGGTGATGGAAGTGGTGATATCGACGGTCCCGACACCGAAAGCGGCCGCAAGCTGAGGAACAGTGAGTGGGACGGCGAAATAGTCGTATCCGTCGCAAGTCCAGGCGAACCTAAGCGGTCAGCTGCTGCAGGCAGTCTGGAGGTGTTCCAACAATCCAGTGAGAGGGGGAGGGCCGAAATGTCAAGGGTCAACTCACCAGCCAGAGAAGAATAGGAGCCATCCCATTCTGTCAATCATCCCCAAGAGCTTGAACGGGTTCTTGGTGGTCCGTTCCTCTGTCGAGGGAGGGGAGTACCATGTAGGAATCATGGCGCGAGCGAAAGACTTGTTGCCGCGACCGACGTGCCATGTCGCGAGCTGATCCTTGACGGATGCGCGGTTGGCGGTGGTGTGAGTAGACTCATCGTAGTGAGTGGGAGAAGCTGGGTGGTTGTCTTTGTGTTCGGCAGACATGATGCGAGTAGAATGGATGAAGGATGAAGGGGCGGCCCTTATCGCCTGCCCTTTATATACTGGAGATACGGTTGGTCAGAAGTCAGCTGCAGCTGGACGCTAGACCGATTCGTGATTCTATAAATATCTTCGGCGTGAGACATCGGCTTCGGAATGACCTCGGTGTCCTCCTACCCGGATGTGGGCCTCCCCTTCCCCCTCCGCGAGTTGCGCGGTGCCGCAGTGGAGGCCGGGGTCGACGTCGCTCAGAGCAAGAGATGGTCCATAGATGCGAGAGAGGCTGTGGAGCCGCTTCGGCCGCAAGCACGGAGGTATTACGGCAGATATAAGATTAGGCCTCGTCAGCTAATTTCGGCGCGGCTTTAGCCGTTTCATGCCGTCACCGCGTTTCGGCTTGTTTCGGCTTCGCCTTCGAGAGAGATCCCGATCGACTGAGATGTGCTGCGCAAGAGAAAAGTTGGTGTAGCAAGCATACAGCAAGCTGATGACCGGCTGCAGATCACCGTACTTGAGATCTGGCTATGCCAGTTGAGAGCGAGGTTCTCCGAGCGAGTCCGAGCAGGCGGCTTTAGGACCGAAGGCGCGGGCCAGGCCGCATCGGAATGAGGAGGTTTCGGACTATAGGATTCTCCGATAAGCCTTTGTGTTACATAATGCAGTACCAGAGTAGTACCAGGCGCAGCAATTGCTCCTGGTACGACGTGATCGGTCACAAGAATCACTAAGTGCATGCTGTCTGTGTGCACGTTGTGTAGCGCTGAGATCTAGCTAGAACTACTGCTGCTCCTGCATGTGAGCTTTAGCGGCGGCCCAGTACAAGTCAACCCCATCTACCAGTCCCATTTTCTTCGGCCTCCATCCGGTCAGAGCCTCTCCAAGGGACGGCCTTGCCAATGTAGTCGATACCCATGCATCTTCAAAAGCTGAAATGTTAGCAATCTCGAAGCGAAAGTGCTTGCTGACGGAGATACTCACGGTTGCTCGGAGCCTGCAGCTCGTATCCCTGACTGCCGGAGGCACGCACCACCGCGTCACAGAAGTCGGTCAGTCGCTCGGTCTGTGGGTTGGCGCCGAGGAACGCTTGGCCCTTGCAGATGGAGCCCTGCATGTCAGCTCGATGCCCCAGAGCGGAGAAGCACAACTCACCCGCTCGGCGACTCTAAGATACAGATCCGCAAGGTCATCCGCGTGTATAGTGGTCATCCTCGACTCGTGCTCTCCTACCACTTTGAAGGTTCCTCCCTGAGCCTTGGCAGCGGGCTGGAAGACGAACATGGAGGTAAGTGACCCAGACCGGCCGTAGAGGATAGACGGGCGGATGACGATGCCTTGGACCGCCGTAGCTAGAAATCAGCAGGGACCATGGCTGCCAGCTGACTTTCACTCACACGCTAAAACCTGTTCCTCGACCTTCCACCTCCACTGTGTCAACTGCACACCGTGGCCATACGGCTGCCTCTCATCTGTCCATTGATCCAGCCCGCCGAGACCGCGAGAGTGGCACCACGATCCACCGGTGTAGATGTAGGTAAGTTTGGCGCCGTTCTGGCGCTTCTCGACCGCCGAAGAGACCGCCTTGAAAGTGGCCAGGGGTCCCTCAGGACCAGTCTCGGGGATGGTGTCGATGACTAGGGATCAGCACGCTGTGGCGTTCCAGCTGGACAGTGACTTGCCGACATCGACCTTCTCCGCCAGCTTGGCTAGCTGCTCCTTGCCCTCCGCCGTAGTGGGGTCCAGGACGACAGAAATGATCTCTTCTTTATCGAGACTTGCCGCCGTACTGGAAGACCGAGTGGTCCCGTATACGATATGCCCGGCGCGAGAGAAGGCTTGGGCGACAGGGTTACCGATGAAGCCTGTTCAAATCAGCACCAAGCTGAGCTGAGTGGGACGGTAGATAGGGGAGAGACCGACCACTAGCTCCGAGAACGACAACTTTCATTCTGACTTGGTGTTTTTGTGAGCAAGTAGATAGGTCGTGATACTGCCTACTCCGAATGCCTAATGCTTATGGCTGCTGGGGGATGGCTTTAACGGCTCTATACCGCCTAACAGACTATCGATTACTGAGCAAGCTGTTCGGTGACCGAAGCAAGGTGGAGGCGCAACATAGCCGGTGGAGGCGATATGGAGATCTTTGAGATGCCCGTTATTCGGTCATCATGCCGGCATTACGCGAGGTGGCTTTTTCCAGAGCCAAAGACGCGACTGCTGAAGTATTCGTACCTTCTAGCCTCGATAACGAGCAGGAAGAGCTAGCTCCACTACGAATAGCAGCGCCAGAGATGGCAGACGAGGACTACTATTCGCTCCAATCAATTCTTGCTGATAATCATGTGAGCTTGATCAGAGGCTAACCTTGAAATTGAGGAAGCGAGACACTGATGGGCAGAAATTGACATGCAGCTTTACCCTTGCCGTGGAGGGATTGGGATATCTGGAAGGTGGTACTGATGCAGATGTGAGTCTTGATCATAGCTATCGGTCACGAAAGTATAATATGGGTGAGAAGTTAGCGGCTAATAGCTAGCTGCAAGAGAATGCGAAGGTCGAGCTGCCATTCTGGCTCGCTCAGACTTTATCGATAAAGTAGGTCTCCCACAGAGCTCAATTCATCATCCAAGGCTTCGCTTCCCTTGCGGCGGAATAAGCACACACGCTGACCGAGCTAGCGAGTTCACCACCTTCCCCTTACCTCAACCATACTCACCGCGCGTACGGGCCGCGCTGAACGCCTCGGCACCCTCGGTCAAGCTCTCCAATCAGGTTGGCTCGAACGGATGGTGGTATAGATGGGGCAGCAAGATAGCGGATGTGTAAGCAACACGGGTCTCAGTGGGGATCGACAAAGCTGATAATGCTAGACTGGACGACCGGCCTCAGGCAGATCTACTGAAGATCATGTTCCGCGTGAGCGCCCCGTAATTGTTTGCAATCAGCCAGTAGAGACTAACCATACAGGCGTTTGTAGCCCGCCTACCACCACTGCAGGACCTATCAGCGCACCACGCGTCCAGTGATCACTCGGTGCCAGAATCTGGAGCGGGAACAGGCGAAAATTTCCGCGAGGGTATGGAGGGGGACGAGCGAGAATGTAAGCCTGTAGCTGCACTTGACATTTCCAGCTGATGCTTCAGTATTCAGAATAGGACAAGACTCTGGACAGATGATCAAGGCGTGGTATGACTCGACGTGGGGACAGAGAGCGTTTGCAAGAAGATAGATCAGGCGATCTTCGAGGCTCTGTTGTAGATATACATGGATTTTACGCCTCAGGAAGCGTTGCGCTCATGTTGAGATATCAAACCCAAGCCCTGCCTCATCACGTCCGCGTCAAAGACGGCATTGGCCGCCAAGTCGTTCAGCTTCTGTAGGGCCATTTGCTGTGTCGATAGCACCTGCGGGATCAGCTATTGTTCATCCACGGCGAAGGTTCTGGTAGCTCACCTCAGCAACCTCTCCCAACACCCTCTCATCCGCCAGCCACCCGTCCCTCTCACCACCGCCCGTCCTTTTCCCACGATGCCGCCTGATATCCTCCACCTGACCCCACAGCTCATTCACTTGGCCCATCATCCTCGCGCCACCCTTCTTTGGTGTTGATGTCCCTGATCCCGGTCCCGCGCCGTATCCTTTCAATTGTACCACAGCGGACCCCTTCTTTCCATCCACTTCCGCCTTGACACCCTCGAGCGTCTTCTTCGTCTCCATCTCTTCCGGCCGGAGGGCGCTGGACTGAAGGGAGGGGATGAAGGCGGGCGATTGAGCGGCGAGTCGGATTAGGCGGTGTTGGAGTTGCGTGAGGTGGGTATGAAGAGCGGAGAGGCGGATGGAGGAGGTGATGTTAGATTGACGGGACAGGGTGGTCAGGGCTTGAGATATTTCCTTCATGATCAGCTAGAACCTTGACCCGCATCTGCTGCCTGACTACTCACCTTGATTTTCTGCTGATGTATGCTGGCAATCTGCTCCTGCATTTGAGATCGCTTCTTGACATCCGCCCATCCGGTTGCTAGTACCGGTACTTGACTACATCATCAGCTCCGACACGATGACGTTTGATCTGAGCCAAGCTTACCTCGTCGGATTTGGGTTCTCTCTGACGGCCTTCACCCACTTGGCCTCGTCGCTTGCGCCTTGAGGTCGACCATACTGCTGCGCTTGTCCAGGTTCAACGACATTATAGAAGTAGTACTGCGTAAGTCAGCTTTGATTCAAGCGAAGACCCTATCAAACCAACTCACCTTGAAGCGGCAATCTGGGCTCGAAGTGTCCCATGCACGCTGCACCGCCTGCATCCTCTGTCCGATGTCCACCTCCGCCCGCTGACTCCCGCCCGTCATACTGGCACCAAGCGTATTTGGCGCCCCGCTAGTCGAAGCAAACAACGATGACCCCTGCTGCTGCTGGGGTTGCTGCTGCTGGGAGTTATTGAAAGAGAACATAGAGGACTGCTGTTGTTGTTGAGGCTGTTGAGACTGTCCGAGGCCGAAGAGCGAGCCGGTCTGCTGTGGCTGTTGCTGAGGTGCTGCGCCAAAGAGGGAGCCTTGGGGCTGAGTGGGCTGTTGTGCAGGAGCACCAAACAGGGACCCCGTTGCTCCCGGTTGTTGATTTGTACTCATATTACCGAAGAGTCCGCCGCCTTGTTGCTGCTGAGGTTGGGTGGTCGAGGCTCCAAAGAGTCCCCCGCCTTGCTGGGGCTGAGACTGATTCGTCGATGCGCCGAAAAGTCCGCCGGCCGGTGCTGGCACCGCTTGGGTCTGCTGGTCAGATCTGCTGGATACCGAAGACATGTCACTCACACTGCCAAACAAAGATGACTGGGGCTGTTGCTGCTGAGGAGGAGCGCCGAAGCTCGGTGTTGAATTCGTTGCGAATGGCTGTTTATTGTTTGGGTTCGGACCACCGAAAGAAAACGACGAGGGGTTTGCTGGCTGAGCCGGCTGGGTACCGAATAGTCCACCAGCCTGAGCAGGCTGCTGCTGCTGTTGGGGATTTGGCGTGCTGAATCCGAAGGTCGATTGGCCTGCTGGCGCATTGTTCTGACCAGTCGCGCCGAAGAGGGAGCCGTTCGCAGCGGGTTTTGTGGCGCCTAGTGTTTATCAGCGGGTCGATCATCTTACGGTGACTCATAGATATTGACTTACCAAACGAGAAGGACATGGTGGGCTAGTCCCGGCTGAAGCTATAGTGGAGATGTGATAGAGGAAGGTGAAAGTTGAGGTCAACAGGTGAGCGCAGAAGGCTTGACCCGAATTGCTCCCGCTGAGGAATGTGTTGCGAAATCTGTGGGTGCAGGTCGATGGCCCGATGGTAGCAGGTGTGCCAGAGGTGGCGGATGACTGCAGTCCAAAAAGATAGCTCACATGAGCAGTGCATCTGACGTGCACAGCACATAGTGTCCGCTGGATACGACGGAAAGATTCAAAGAGAAAGATCACACGCCAAGCTCAGCCACTACCTTCTCCCACCATCCCCGTTCCGTATCGCTGATCACCACCTCCTCATCCTCTAGATCGCCGACCCATCGCTCGACATCCCTCTTCTGTATTCTCCTCCTTGATTCGACCTGCTTGAGCAGACCAAAGAGACGCGCCATCCCCTCGTTGAGCTTCCCCTTGTTCGCCATCGCCAACTCCATCTCGGAAGCAAAGAGGCAGACCCGAATTTGCTGCAGGATAGTCTCCCTTCCCAGCACCTCCATATCCCACCCTCGAGGCGCAGGTATCTCCGCCTTTGCCGCAGCACCTGAGTCGATCTTGACCCAGGGAAGCCCTAGTCCCTCCGCTGCCCGGCCGGCATAGGTGGTAGCGTTGGTGACGAGCTGCAGAAGGTTGCTCTTGGCCGTTTCGTTCACCGGTGCCAGCCTAGCCCGAGCCAAGCTCCCCTTGCTCAGCTCTAGCAGAACGCTGGGTCGGAACTCCCTTGGCGTGTCCGCAGTGATTGGAAGCTCGAGCGCTTTGGTGAGGAAGGTGATGGCTTGGGAGTGATGGAACCACGCCTGCTGAGCGAGGGGATTGGGGCCGGGTGGAAGCTGGGTAGAGAGGACGATGCTCCGATTGGCGACTTTGATGTGGCACTCCGCAAGTGTCATGATGATCTCAGCCCGTACAGTCGGCTCGTCCGGGGTCTGCTGATCCAGCGAGTCCAGCAGCCGGGATAAAGCCGCCGAAGCGCCCTCGAGACTCTGCAGACTCCCCGATCCAGGCGTAGCGTGCGCTTTGAACAGATCCCAAATGATCCCATCCATCGCGAGCAGGACCTTCATTTCTGCCAGGTCAAGCTCCGCTTGTCGACCGGGAGGGCACCACCGAGCGGCGCGGTCGAGAATGGATCGTACCGCCGTCTGCTGCGCTTCGTCTGGTGGCTGTATGGGGTCGACCGAGACCCATATAGATAGGTGCGTATCGACGAGGGCGAACATGGTGTCCATGATGGATGAGGGAGTGGGGAGGTGTAGCTCATATGTTGCTTCGTCTTCCCCTCCTTCCACCTCCATCCCGTCCGAAGCGGGGGCGGGAGTATCCCCTGACGTATCTGCGCCCTCGTCTACCGCCGCCTCTGTCGCCTCCTCATCCTGCTGTTCCGCCTGTTGCGAAAGGTACTCCTCCTGCCCCTGGAACACCTGCTCCAATACGGTTCTCGCCTCATCCCTCGACGCCCGCACCTGCGGATCCCGCTCGTCCAGCTCCTCCCGCATGTCCGCTAAAGTCGTACATGATTGAGCGAGGTTGAAGCCAGCATCCAGCTGGAGTAGGGGTGACTCAGTAAGGGACGATGCCTTTCGGTAAAGCTCGATAGACTTGGTAAGGTAGTCGACCGCAGTCGGCGGCAAGAGAAAGGCCGTTGCTAATGTGTAGAGTACCCGCGCTCTAGCTTGGAGTCAGCAGCTGCTCCCTTATAGGATATGGAAGACTCACTGGTTGTATGCCGAGTCATACTCCTCTTGCATCCCATATGCCTGCTGATACAGTTCCAGCGATCGCTCATAATTCCGCTGAGCCTGCTTTGTCAGCTCATGCCGCCGTCCACAAAGCCGGGGTGAGACATACCCTATCTCCGTCTCTGTATCTTTCGCCCTTTTCTTCATAATCTACTCCCCCTGCAACATTAGCCCTTGATGTCCTGTCCACAGAACTAAGGGAGAATATGGGAGGAAGACATACCATCCATCGCCTCCTCATAGGTGTCATAGGTGACTTCCCTCTTGTTCTTTCCACCGCGCTTATTGTTCCGAGCCGGAGAGTCCTCGTCTCCTGCTCTGCGTTTCTGTGGTAGTCTGGGCGCCATGCTGCTCTCTGCTAAGTAATGATATGAGAGAGATCGATGATATCACCATCCGACCAGTTCCGCACCAAGTATCAAATTCTGCATGCCGGCAGTGTCAGATCGGGTTGGTCTTGCAAGCAGCGACCTATCTGGCTCTTTCTCCTTCGTCCATATGTTCGAGATCGTGATCTATCCGGACTCTCGCCCAGTCACAGGCCTGTCGAACGCATCTGAAGACCCTGCTCACCCTTTGGGGAATTTTCCCTTTGAGAGGCCGCGTGTCAAGTGGGCCGTAAGATCGGATCTTTCCTTTGGGCGTTAGCCCCTCTCACTCCTCTCACCCCTCTCACCCCTCTCACCCCTCTCACCCCTCTCACCCCTCTCACCCCTGACCACACCCATGACACTGTGCCAAGTGGCGCTGTGGAGGATGTCCAGTCTATTTGGTGAGAGTCTCTCGTTCATCTCACAACATCATATCTCCGCCTCACCAATCCTTTCCGCCGTCACCACTCACGCCCAACTCCCCTTGCACAGCCATCCCCACACAGCCGTCAACACACTCACAGCCCATATCGCCCCACTCATACCACCTAACAACTGCTCGCCCTGCAGAAGCTCGGTCATCCAGGAGTAAGTCAGCTTCTGCGCGAGAATTACAAATACTCACCTCATCAGATTCCTCTACCCAGATGTCATCGAATTTCGAAACCGTCAGAGGTTCGGACTCGTCCTCGAAAGACGTGTTTTACGAAGCCACTGAGGACGTCTATGTCTCTTCTGACGAGGAAGAGTACGAGGACGCCAATGACCACTTCGTTACGGACGGCGATCTCCCGATCACTCTGAGCTCCGCGTCGGACAGTACCGACGTACCGTCGTGTTCCGCCGGCCTTTGGATCAGTCTGGACGTCACCGACGTCGATGACTCACAGTATTCGTTAGACGATCATCGGGGGAGCGACAACGATGCCTCTGAAGATGTCACTCCCCTCGGCGTCCATCAAGATGCTGTCAGAGACCCACAGAGCAGCGACAATCCCTCCATCCTCCCCTCCCTTGTCCGATCGAGCTGCTTCGAGCCCGGTAGCGGAGATTCACCATCCGAAGCACCGGTCACCAGTGATCTGAGCGAGACGCACCGACCGGAGATGACAGCGACCCTCGATTCATCACTCCCTGCGACTATTCCAGAGAGCCGACTGCCACTGCTCTCGACTGTAAGGCGGGAGCCGATCATTCCAGCGAGCCATTCCTCCTCTGACGAACCTTTCGATATCAGCTACCATCAATACTCGACCACTTCGACGCCAAACGCCCAACGCGGTGGCATGCTCGACACGCACCTAGTAAGCTCCGATGCCGAGACTTCGCTCAGCGATGCTCCCCATAGCACGTTCTCACCCCCTGCTTCTTCCGCCGTCAGCGTATCTAGTGCAGCGACCTCGCACAGCAATAGTCACGGGAGCACCCCTTCACCTATCGCGTCTTCGACCGCCAATATCGAATACCCCACCTACTATCGCATCAGTGACCCAGGTGCCGACACTACCGCAAGAAGTTTTCTCATGTACTCGGCGGACGCGCAACCCGATCGATCCTCCGACACCTTCACCGGGTTGGAGACGCAGGAAGGCCATCAAGCATGCACGGAAAGTGGAGGTACGAACAGCAAACTACCCGCGCTGCCATCCTCTTGGTGTCCCTCACTTGACACATCTACTGGCGCGCCGCCCGGCAGTGCTGTCATCAAACCGACATTTACATACAGGCGCTACGTACTCCCCTCGCAGCACACGTCTGCGAGATCGTCGGTAGAGTCCAAAGCTTCATTCTTTGACGCAAATGACGTCGAACCCTCGTCCGCCCGTTCGAGTTCCGAGCCTGAAGATTCCGCTCCCAGGACTACAGCTCCCCTTACCGGTACCGATGTACGTGATCCGCCCCATCATCGCCGCCGGTCGAGGCTTCTCACGGCCATGAGCAGCTATATGAAGGAGCCATCAGCCTGGTGCAAGTCCGCATGGTCAGCGATCTCCAGGCGGCCTACGGCATCAAGCTACTCGGTCGCGGGGACGTCTGTCTCTGACGCTAGCCTAGACTCAACTGCTTCATCGAGCGAACATCAACGTCCACCTCGAAGCGAATGTCCGACTCGAGGCGCACGGAGCCGTTTTCCCACCTCACTATGCGGTCGATACGGGTTGAGAGTCCACACGGCTATGAAGTCTGTGCTCCATGCAGTCGAGGGCTGACGACAGTCCTGCGAGGCTGACTTTACCAAGGTACAGATGACAGTTTCTGTAGGTTACGCTTGTACCGGGATACGGTGACAGACGAGAATTAGCGGAAGTAGACAGTCTGATGTACTCAACGAGTCCTGGTCCGCTTACATTCTGTATGAGCAGAGCTACAATCGCTCGCCAGAGGCAGCGAACAGTGGTCTCCAATATTATGGGCATGCCCCCGGCTGATGACTTACCGACCGCCACGTGGGCTCATGGGCTAGGCGAGTGTGGCACTTTGCCGGTCATGTCTGTCCTTTGTGCCCTTGACTCTGTGAGGTGCATCGTAACAACGCAATCCTTTCGCCCCCTGAGAGCCTCTACACCGCCCCGCAGAGCCCACCAGAACGACGACCCGTCCATCACTTGACTTTCGCCACTCCCCTCCTCTCACCGCCCTCACAATACATCCTCCCTCAACACTCCCTTGCACGAGCTACCTGCTATACCATGAACCAGATCATGAACTATGGTACAGGATGGGCACCGGATACCGCAGCATTTGGGTATGGCTACCCTTCGCACCCCGGGTACTCCCAGTACCAGGGTGTATCCAGCTCCGGATCGCCTACTTTCTGGGAAAACACAGCGCAATATGGCCACTCGCCACCGAGCCACGGATCTCTTTCGGCCGAAGCTTACCACTACGCACAACAGAGCCAATTGCAATATGAAGACTACGTGGCTGCCCTCACTGCCTCCCATTATCATCCGCTACCGTCCGCTCTTCATCCATATCAAGTCTACCCAACACCCCCCAACATGCAGCAGGCCATGCTGCCAAGCAATTACGGGCCTGTTCCCCCCCCCCAGACCACTGCTGCTACCTTGAAGACCTTCGACCCGACAGCGGCATCTATGAGCCAGTCTGCGAGTCAATCGCCACTCCGACTTGTAGAGGACCAATCCCTGGCAGTCTCATCCCCATCACCGCCCAGCGCCATCCCAAATACGTCAGAAGTCGGTGAGGCTACCCCACCCACTCTCATCAAGCCTCCTCAGAAAGTCCTTGAGACTCCGATATCCCATACAGTCCCACCTACAGCTACAATATATTCCGATATATCAGTGGCCCCTCCTGCTGTCAGCGCGACTGTTCTCAACCCTGAAGCCAGCACAAGCGATTCTCTCGCGGTAGCCGGCTCAACCCTGGATCCTGATGCGGTAAGAAGAGTGATCGATGCGTTCACTATCGCCCAGTCACAGTCCTATAATGACACGACGTCCGGAGCGCATACAGTTCCCGAGGTGCAGGTCCCGCTCACTGCGCTCACATCGAGCGCCGATCATGTGGCTGAGTCACATGAGGCACCCTCCAATTACTCCCATTCGGCGATGACGGTCTACGAACCACAGCCCAGCGGACCAGCCATGCTGAGTCGCACTCATCCTGAAATCAAGAAACGACGTCATCGTGGCCACATGCAGCCCAGCTTCCAGGCGCCTGGTCACGAGGCGGATTCTACATACTCAGACACTTCTCCTGGGATCGCCGAGATGGCTGCAGAGCTTGCAGCTAGGGGCACTCTGACCGCCCTGAGATCCGCATGGTGGGGGACGAGTAGTGTGGCAAAGTCCCTCATGAGCGCTGCGAGCACCTTCTCATCGACAATCCTCTCTGCTGCCACAACTACCACAGGCACATCAAGGCCAAGACCCCCTCCACACCACGTATTGCAAGCCTCGCCATTCCCTCTTCACTCATTCCGCGGCCACGGCCGCCGCGACTCCCATCATCGGTCTGGTGTATATCACTCCCATTCAAAACGGCAAAGGAGGCAATACAGGAGGTCATACGCTGATTACAGTCCTCTTCAGAGCCAGAGGAGCATGAGTGAGGCAGCCACCATGAGATCGGCAAAGCCACGAAAGAGGGGGGATAAGACGTCGAAGAAGAAGAAGAAGGGGAAGGGGAAGAGACTGGCTCAGTTGTTCGGTCGCTAGTGATCCCGTACTCGAGGCATAATGCTTTCCTGCGAGAGCGGCGGATCACCTCGCTGTCCTGTCCTGCATGAATCCGTAGGGGCTCATAGACTCTAGTGGCGCTTCTGAGACTCTGATGGGTTTCAAAACTGCCACACACACTCTTGGCTCAACAGCTTGCTTATGGCGCAGCACCTAGGAATGCCTTGGGCCTCCCTGCAAGCTCTCCGCCATTCTAGTGCTTTCTGCACAGCATTCCCTTTGTACATTTCGGGGCACCCTGCGTTACAGATTATCCTTTGATGGTTGTGGACATGGAGAGTCACAGCGGTCTGAACTCGATCCCAGCATCGTCAACCTGACTCCCACTTCCTACATTTCACAACGTCGAAGAACTGTCAACACCCCCGTCTGCACCCACGCCGAGCATACCGTCAGCCTATCCACCCCAGATGACTACCGCCGATTCACACAACGCTGCTCCATTCGAGAGTACACTCCCAGACTCCGCTATTGCCCCCCTTGACCCTAAGGGCCAGTTGACGGTGGCGATCTCGGACACCAAGTCTGAGGATGGCCTCGGCTCTCAAGAAATGAGAGGAATGGAGCCCACCTCATTGTTTCCTGACGAGCGTTCCGCCACCTCACAGGAGACAGTGCCAGATACCGCCATTATCGATGCAAGACCTGAGGAGCCAGTGCAGCCCACAGAGAGCCCCTCGGAGGAATTGGAACCACCTTTTCGAGCCACGGGCAAGACTGCTACTGAAGACCATGAGTGAGTAGCCGTGGGCTGCAACGCCAGTGTGATCTGGATCTGACAGAGTACAGACCACCCGTCGACTCAGGTCCCGACAACATTCTCCCGCCCGACGCGCCCGCGCCCGCCATCGAGGGAGACATCTACGGACTTCTCGACCGGCTCGACCAGCCGTCCCGCTTGTCGAGCTTCTGTAGCACTATCAAAGACACAGCTTGCTCGGGATTTTCTTTCGCCACATCGCATGCCCCTTGGGCTCTGAAAGGGGTGGCTGTCCTCGGACTCTACGGCGTGAGCGCGGTGGCCCACTGCTTGATGATTGGCAGCAGGGTCGTCGGCGGCGCGGCTCGAGGCTCAGAGTTCGTCAGCGAGCTTACGAGGGATGTCGCGATGGAACGGGCACATTGGCTCTTGGGAGTCGGGACAGCCAACAGCGGGGCGGCGAGCACGCTCGGTACAAACGAAGGAGGTGTGCTTCCTAGCACAGATGCCCCAGAGTTGTCTGTGGTCGGTGATGAGGGCGATGAGGTCGAAGTCAAGACAGGTGTCGCCACGGGTGATGGCGAGGCTGACAAGCTGACGACTGGGATCGAAGCCGACCAGGTGGCCGCAGCGGAGGCTGCACTCGGATCCTGATCGTCAATCCGATGTTCCTTGCTGCAACTCATCCACTCAGCACTGTGTTTAGCTCATCTGTGTTCTTCCCTATGCATGAGGTCGTATTCATCGTTCGTGAGCAGGAGTGAGTGAAGCAGGGGACTGGATGGCCCACCGACGTCATCTTAGACCTTGCACATCTATCGTCGGACCGGGCGTCCTCCCGAGGGGCTGTTCATATTCAGTACGTAGTCAGCACCGGGCCATTCAACCCTCATCCGTCTTCTAGTTGTATCATCTATAAGCCCGACAAATACATTACCAAGATCAATCACCGTCCATCTAGCGGTCCTTCGTGACCTCTCCGATTGTCCGGTCATCCCGGATATAGTCGATCCCCTTGCGAATCTGCTCCAAGAACACAAACATGCAGATCGTATTTGGTGTGAGACGGACTGTTCATGTCAGCCAGCGAACCCTCCCTTCCCACTTCCACTATAAACCACTCACTCCAAGCTGGCAGCCATCCCCTGAACAGGAATCGAGGACCCTCCGTCCGCAAAGATTCCGTCAAAATCGACATTACGCCCTGTCCAGCGCCCTTCTGATTCATCACTCGGCTCTTGAGCACGTCGGCAGGCGCGCAGATCGTGGTAGCGATAGTGCCGGCGGCGGCAGAGGCGGTGAAGTGAAGAGGCATGCCTTCGGAGAGGATGTTGGCGGAGAGCAGCGCGTCCTTGAAGAAATCGTATGAGACTAGTTGGGATGCGGTCATCAAGATAGCTCGGACCTGGTGGTCAGTCTAGCACAGATCTGGGGGAGACTTCACGTACCGTATTTGGCGCTAGTCCACGGATCAGACTGGAGCCTCCCTCATCTTTCACCATTCTATAAACCCCTTGGAGGGCATTACTATAGTTGACCCGCTGTTCTGCTGGTTTCGTGGGATCTGCTACCATACTGAAACATCAGCTTTTGCACCAAACTTAGATCGTTTTAAGTTACTGACCGGACCAGGATGATATCTGCTGGGTTACCGGCGAGACCACCCAGAGCTCCAGCCCCACTCGCGCACATGACCATATCCAATGTAGATAGCTTCTTCCCACCCTTGGCCATCTCCGTCTTGAGCTTGTCATAAGCCCCTAGTCGGACGATAGAGTATGTCATTTGACGGAATATAGAAGCTGTGAGACCGGTATATAACCCTCGGACACCTGCAGCGTCAGCCAGTATCGGCGAGCAGCGCAGCGTAACATACCAGCTGTTTGCAGGACATCCTTGATAGAGCGGACGAAGGTTGTCTTCTGGGCTGCTGTCTGCATGCGCCTGGTTGATGAGTCCCGCTCTAGTCCCAGAGCCTGCCACTCACACTCGCATGACATCCAGAGGGTGGGTACAGCACGCAGCCACTGGTCTTATCAGCGCAACACCACCTGAAAGTCGTTGTCAATACGTACTCGACGCAGCCGCTCCGCCGATCCTGCAGGTATCAGTTTATTTCTTCCTCGACCAGCCAATATCTCACCAGAAAGGGTATGCCTGATTCTTGGGTGCCATCTTCGCGTAAAGATACAGCTGATGAAGAGAGCGACAAGGCAAGCAGCACACCTATGGCCAAGAGCCAAAAGCTCTAGGGAAATTTCCCGCGGTCCGGGCTTGACGGTGCCGGCATTCCGCCTCGGATTCGCCCGAAACCCCTTTAATCCGGCCGAAGTTTAAGCTTAACTGACACGCGTCCAACGTCTTGGACGTGTCACCACCCAATTCATCCCGCTCTCATCTCACCAGCTTCTTGCTCATACAGCACTGGCTTCCGATATACATACACCGGTCAAGGCTCACTCAGGGAGGGTTCCTCCACTGGCCAGTCCGTACTGGTCGCCATACAACTCGCTCGGAGAGACTTCTCGCGAAACATGACATCCTTCCTGGCCTCGGTTCACCCATACCTTACTCCCCTTCACACCGCCATTCACCCTCGCATACCCTTCGCACCCCTGGACATCTATGGAGCAATCCGCCTCTCTCAGGTAGTCGAGTGGGTAGCTACCGGTGTACTCTCGCCCAGTGCCGAATCGGACCAGCCATCCGCCAAATCTGAAACGAAACGCGTTGGGAAAGGGAAACCGCAACGCGCAGGAGTCCTTCAGGAATGTATGGGTCTGCTGGTCGTGCTATTTGGAGGAGAAACATTCCTATGTAAGTCTCTGGCTGTTTAGCATACTTGGAACATCTGACCTTTAAAGCAACCTGTACTCGCACACCACCATCTTGGCTCATCACCCCGAAGATCGGCCTGCTATTCTGCCTCATTCGTAAGCTGGTCTCCACCACGTTGGGGACTTGGCTAGAGCTCATCTGTAGATATCTTGCATACTCGAACCTCACTGCGAAGGCTCATACCTGCGAGACCCACCCTTACCCTCGAACTGCTACTATCGATCCCGGATGCGATCGGTCGTACCCTGCTCTTAACCCGCTTCTCGGTTCTTCCCCTCGCCCGACAATCACCCAGCTTCTTCGCCCTTCCCTCCACACCGGCGACACTCATACTAGTCCCCTTCATCCTCGCTGCGCCATATGCGGCTCTCGCCTTCACCGGTACCAATCTCTTCTCTCCGGAGCCGTCGATGTCAACGCCGATGGAGCTCCAGCCTCAGGGCTGGCTGATGGTCGATGCTTGGCTCCCTCTGCTGATACCTGCTATGTTCTGCACACTCTTGGGCCCGGTTCCCGGCTGGGGTGTGGGACTGGGATGGAGCGAGGAGGAGGCAATCACGGCGTGTACCGGTATGGTCTTGGCGGCATTTCTGGGGCGTTCGTTATACAATTATGGCCCGCGGAGGTAGCAGTGAGGACGACTATGCCCTGAGGAGGTACACGCTGAGCCAAGAGGCACGGAGGAATCGATGGTACCTGGGAGAGTCTCATTCGAACTGTTACTCTGTCGCTGACGAGACGAGCTCTCTGGCGCTAACTCTACTGATACGTGCGAAGGATGGGGACTTACTGAGATGCTGAGACTGCTCACCATCTCCCGTCAACGTATGTATGAGTTGCGGCTGACTCAAGCTGAGACGGTACCGCCAGAGGGACCGTTCCGAAGTGCTATCTGGTCCTTGCTAGCACGCTGAGTGCAAAGCTTATCAGATTCGGGCGAGGGCCGATCTGTGAACCTGACACTGACACTATCCGACCAATTGATCACCGTCTGTATGCATGCACTTCACTTGATCTGAGAGTCACGACGCTGCCTTGCCTCCTCCTCGCGTGCAATCTCTGCCTCCGCCTCCATGGTGAGCGCGTCAAACGTCGCTGACCACTTGCCGGCTGCCTTGTGGAGCTCCTTCAGGCGCTCGAGGTACTCATCCGACAGGGCCCTGATGTCGTCGGCGAACTCCCTCGAGTTGATGCGCTTGTCGTCATGCTGTGTCAGGTAGGTGCTGACGGAGCGGAGGAGAAGTGCTTCTTTCACAGCGTACATGTAATCTTTGCGTCCATACCCGCGCTTGGAGAGGAGTGCGAGTTTGTCCTTGACGGACTCAGGAAGACCGATCAGACTCGCGATGTCGCGCTCGCTGAGCTTCGTATTGGCGTCCCGAGACGTGCCGACACCCTGCGTCTCGGTGTTGCGCGGCAAGTACAAAGATCTGAAGAGGGTGCTGAAAGACATGGTGAATCTCGTGGGATAAATGGGCAGCTCGGGGCTTGAATCAAGAGGATAAGTCCACCGCGCGCTGTCAATCCAGGCGCCTTGTGTGAGGAGGATGTATCTGCAGGTCATCGCTCTTATCGCATCGCATCGGCTCGGCAGATAAGGCAGGGAACCAAGGTCCGGGCGGAGTCTGTACACGTATCATATGACGCCGTCACCACTCATGAAGAAGCCACCTCAACGGGGTTCACTCAAAGGATGGACACCGTGCGGCGTGTTAGCCGGTAACTAGCTCGGTAGCACGTGCTCGGGGTGCTCTGAGCCTTCATAAGAAGCTCATTGGCCCGAGCCGAGCCATCGTTGCCTTCTTGCGATCATCACGCCACTCTGGCTTATCGATGCTCAGGTCAAGCTGAGTATCACCCTTGCATCATGCCAGTCACAAGCGCGAACAGGATGTACATCAGTTTCAGGAGAGGCAGTAGTACTCAGTCTGACAACGCGGTCTCCAGCTTGTCACTCTTCGTCAACTTCATCCTGCAGCTTCTGGCAATCCGCCTCAAAGTCAGCCTTCGTCCGCCTAGCCTCGACGTAGAGCGCCAAAAACCTCTCCAGCTGCTTACTCGCCGTTTCGTCAGCCTTTAGAAAGGTCTTCTGCTCCTTGAAGGTTGGAACACCCATGCTCGAGACCTGATCGACGACGCTGTGTGCCCTCAGACACTCCTTGACGGCTTCCAGGAACTTGGCGGTTCTGACATGAGTGGCCATCAAATCGTTGAAGGATGATTCGGCCGCTGAGCAAAAGCCCTCGAGCCCCGAGGTGATCTCCTCGCGCTCCTCGGCAGACAGCTCGTCGCCGTCGGCATGGGTATCCGTCTTGCGGGTAGTCCTGGTAGTGATTCGTGTACGGGTGGATGGACGCTTTCGAGTCGCATACGCGGACATATTGAGCATTGTTGGGAAATGGGTAAGCTGAACAAGTGAAATTAAAGTAAGAGGAAGAGTTAAATTGCCTCTCCGAGGGTATCATCTGTTATCCTTCCGGCGCGCGTAAGATATCCCGCATGCTCGCACCCACCTTCTCGGCGGGGAGCACCGAGCTTAAGGCGTGGCTTCCTGGCCCTTCGTCAGTCTTGGTTCTTCAGCTTCTTCGGACAAAGGCACTGCAAGCGCCGACCTCGCCGACTTCGCCGTTGACGTCAGAGAAGCATGCCTTTCTCTAACAATCAGCGCTGGGCCCTCCCGCGAACCCGCCCGACAATAATATCTATCAAGCCGTCTGTAGTACCCCTGTCCTGGTCAGAGCTCGATCAGCAACGCAGTGAGTGGAGTCAGCTGCGGCAGCACGACATCCATCCATCCAGTGTACACACTGACAGTTATATCCCAAAAATGCACAAGATAACTCCTCTGTAGCCCCCTCAGCGGCTCTCCTCTTCACTGATCCCCAGCCTCGCCCGCTGCATCCCCTCCTTGAGCTTGACAACCTGCCGCCATGTCCTCGCCTCCCACGAGTCATCATCTTCCTTCAAGTACACCTTCTCTCCTTCCGCCCGTTCCGTCTGAGCATGGGTCGCGATGGTAGGCGTACGAGGTTGTTTAGCTGGGAGGGGTGGAACGTCCATGCTTGTCGTTCCGCGCTCAGAAACGGGTTCCGCTTCGGCCGACTTGCGAGGTTCGTCGCTTGAAGTCGCGGTGACGGTAGGTGCGGAGATCTCCTGCTCGACGGGTGTGGCGGTGCCGCTCCCGCTCGGCGTGCCGTTTTGGGAAGGGCCATCGATGACGATGGAAGCGCGGTTCCGAGCGGCCGCACGGCGAGGAATGGGCGGTGGAGGTGGTCTGGCAGGAGCGAGATCGGTTTTGGGAGAGTTGAGCGTGACCTCGTCCACCTTCGGAAGTGTTGCCTTAGCTTCCTCCTCCCCGTCTGGCTTGACGTCCTCTACGGCAGGGAAGCTGGACTGCTCTTGCTGTGGCGTGGAGAAAGTGGCCGCATCATCGACCGAATCCGGCGTCCCAGATGATCCTGCCCCCTCCCCAGCGGTCTTCTCCTTCTCGGCCACCTGGCCAGGGGCCAGCTCTTCCACTTTCTCATTCTCCAGCTCAAGAGGGGCGCCCAGCTTCTCGCCCTCGTTGGACTCCTTGATCGTCATGTCATTCTCCTTCTCCTCGCCCGGTGGGGGCAGCCTGGGGCTGACCGGCGGACTCCCGCTTACGCCCGTCCGGAACGCCTTTGTCCACCCGCCCCCGCCAGTGGCTGCAGTGGTAGCACTGGACTTCTCGCCCATTCTGAATCCCAGGCCCCATCCACTCTTCCGCCTCGGTAGCTCTGGGGGTACCTCTCCCGTCGAGCTCCTCTTCGATTCCGCCTCTGTGACCGACCCACCAGCAGATCCCTCCGCGATCGATGCAGATGCAGTATGAGCGGCGGCGTCGACTTCTGCCTGTAGGACATATCCATCATCCCCGTGCCAAACGACATGGATGATGCCTGTCCGGACAAAGTGCCAGAGCTCGCAAGTTGCGCGCAATCTGTCAAGACACCATCCCGTCCGGCACAGGGGATAGCTCTTGGCCGTATTCTCCTTCTCCTTGTCGGCCGTACTCGCCGATGCGGGCCGGACGACCCGGAAGATGTAGACCGAAGGTAATTGAGCGGCGGGACCGGGTGACGCGGCGGGCGATTGGGTAGGAGAGGGCGCGGAAGAGGGAGAAGGGGCGTTGAAGAATGGTTTGAGTGAGAAGCGGGAGTTGGAATTGCGCTGAGTGGGATGGAGGGGTGGAGGGCCGAATTGCGATACCGCTGGAGATTGGGGCACGGCCGAATGAGGAAAGACCGGCTTTCCGCAGAGTGCACAACCGAGCTCGTGAGTCGGGGTAGTGGTCTGGGAGAGGACGGTGTTGGCGGATACGGGCTCGATGATAAGATCGCCGGAAATGATGGCTGCGCTGATCCCGCGGCGTGAAAGCCAGCTGAGATCGGGCGCAACATCCAGCCGGAGCGCCGGGTCGTGGTCCTCGATGACCGTACGAGCGAGTAGCGGCTGCGTGACCAGGGCCGAGACGAGTGGAGGAGGAAAGATGCTCTTCGAGCTCTCCTTCAACGGGCGAAGTGAGCGAAGGTGCGTGAGGAATGAGGTGAACTCGGTGTATGGTAGATGTGACGCGAGGTATCTCCGCTTCGGTGCCAGGGACGTGACCGCCTGAGGTGGGACTGTCGAAGTCGGCATCGACTGTAGGTGGAGCTGCATGTCCCGCATGGCCGCCTCTGCCGCTGCAAGGTTGTCTTCCGTCGATTTGAGCCGTTCTTCCGCTTCGATACGGCCATGCCGTTCTGACGCGACCATGGTATTGGCCTGTCTGATTAGCCCCCGCAAGTACTACGTTCGAATGCTAGACATACCTGATCGAAGAGCGTAGCAGCCAGTTCATCCACCTCGTCCTCAACCTTTCTCCTCCTCTCCTCCGCACTCCCTCGTCTCCTTTCCTCCTCAACCAACCCCGCCGCCAACCTTTGCATCTCCCCCGTGATCGCATCCCGTTCCACCAGCAGCCCCGTTTTCATGCTCTCTTCCCACTGCCTCTTGTCCTTCGCAAGCCCCTCCGCCTTGGTGTTCAGCTGCGCATGAGTCGACTGAAGCGCCTCATGCTGGTCCAGCAGGTCGGCGTGCCGTGATATCGACTCGACCAGCTTGGTATTGAGCTGTTGGGACTGGTCCGAGAGGAGCCGAAGCTGGTCCCGGAGCGAGGTGATGAGTGAGGTAGTGGGGGAGTCTGGGGCATGGAGGGCGTCGGCGGGATGCGAGCTGAGCTCTGGCGGCTCAGGTAGGAGGGTGGGGTGCATGGGGGACGTCTAGCTGATCAGTTCAAGGCAAAGAGGTACGCCACTATCTCTACTCACTTCAACGGTTGAAGTATCAGATTCAGTGACGCCGTCCAGTCCAAGACCTACACGTCCTACACCGCTATGCCCGGCTTTGGTCTCTGCCTCTCCGTCCCCAAGGCCCCCTTTCGAACCGCCGGCATCTTCGACAGCTTCGGATGCAGTTGCCTCGCTTTCGATGTGTTTCCCGCTCTCGCCGTCAACTCCAGCCGAGACGCTCGGATCAGGACTCATTATAGCCTGTCCTTGGGGCGGAGTGGTATATAGATGGTAGTACGGTGACTAACTCGAGACAGAATGCAGCTGCGTTGGTGGTGTGATCGACTTAAGTGATCGTCGTTCAACCGGCTAGTTACGTAACTTAACGCGTTGTTGTCCTTGTTCTGCTGCTGCAGCACAGTCCGAGGGCTCCATGACTGGCGGGTGAATATGGTCGAAGGGACTTGCGAGTGATATTAGGCGGTAGCGCATCCAAAAGGTATTGCATAACCCAAAGCAAGATCTACTAATCTGTACACAGGCGGAAAGCACGCCCGACCTCTCATCTTGAACATTCACCTCGCTCCCCCATACCCGTCTCAGCCTATCTGATCGGTTCCGCAGTCAACAGATCTGGCTATATCAGCTTCCGAGTCCGCTTCAATGTACAGAGCGTATGCCAAAACTCACCATTCGCGACCTTCTTCTGCTCTCCCTTGAGCCCCTCATCATCCGCCCCATGCGCCTTCAAGAAAGCCTCCACCTCATCCATCACCGCATCATCTCCGTCACCGTCCCCCTCCCTCCCCTCCTCTTCCTCCTCATCATCGCTGTCCCCGATCGCATCCACCGCGAATTTTGGCCGGTGCATGACCGCCTCTTGGGCTTGACGGACCATCTCGCTCTCTTCCCTGTATCGCGACTCGACCTCTGCGAGGGATTTGCCATCGGTCGTAAGGGTCGATTTGGCACTGGTGACAGACGTCTGCGAGACGGAGGATGTGGAGCGCTGGCGCTGTTCGATCTGTTGTTGCTGGGCAGGAGTGAGGAGGGACTCGCGTTGCCCAATTTCGGTGGGCGCGGCTTCGGTCTGGCGCGATCGAGTGAGGGAGGGTTTTCGCCATTCGACGTGTTTGCCGAGAGCAGCACCAAAGGTATCGGTGAGCCGGTTGAAGCGGTTTTTGTTGCTGCAGAGTATCAGCTGACGCCTCGAAACCATTTGGCAGACAGCTCACGTGTCTGTCACCACCAAGTTCATTAGACCACCCAACAATCCCTCCGTCTTGGCCTGAGCCTGGTGGTAATCCTCGTCCGCCCCGCGGTCAAGCTGGAATGACGCGGACAGATCTGTATCAAAGAAGTTCTCCAGGAGTTCATCGGCAAGAACGACCATCCGGAAAGTCGCCAGGTCTGAATAGTCAGCTCGATATCACCAGAGGTTTCTGTCAACGTACTAAGATAAGGCAGATTATGTGGCCGAGCGACCGAGTCTGACCGTTCCCGAACATGACTGGCACTCCCCTCCTGCCCGTCGATAGCGGGCGACAAGACCTCGGTCTCCCCAGAGACGGGCGGGGCAGTGGCGTCTCCAAATTCGTACGCGTTCAGGATGAACTTGGATACTGCCGCGAGGTAGATATCTCCGGGTTCGTTACGGAAGATGAACTAGCATGTCAGCTTAATCATTGACGTATAATTTAAGAGCATCTTACAAGTAAAGACTCGGAGAGCTGGATGACTTCATCCTTGGTCAAGTAGCCATCCTTATTCTTATCGTGCTGGAAGATCAGCTAGATCTCCAGACTTCAGGTTGAGAAGGTCAGCTTACCAGGTTGAAGAACCACTCGATAGACTCCATCAGGCCGGCCTTCATCACGCGGTCGAGACCGACCACCACGTCCTGCAGCGCCAAAGTCCCCAAGCCCTGGGAATCCCAGCTATAGAACAGCCTAGAGCCATCAGCTATAATCCCTACCGGCGGTTCTAGCGGACATACCGATCAATCAACTCATGCTCCGCCACGCGCTTATCCGTCCGCTGGATAAACGCATTACTAGTTACCGTCTCCTCCCTCGCCCATGTCGCAATACCCGCCAAGAACGACCTGAACGTCCTGAGATCTATCCGGGTCTCCACCCTCCCATTCACATCCACCAGTATCCTCGGCTGATCAAACTGATCTCCGTGCTTATAGTCGCCCGACAAGCCGCCGGCATTCGCATCGTCCGAACAAACCGCCGTAAAGTAGTGGTCGTAAATGACGCCGACAGTCTCCTTATCGAACCGACCTGCGGACTTGAGGTTTCGGACCGCTGCGCGTTTCGAGAACTTTTCGATCTCGTCCGAGATGATGGCGCGTAGACGCTTCCGCTCCCCCTGGATCGTCTCGTCGGTGATGACGTTGAACTCGCGGAAGGCGACGACGAGGAGCTCTTGGAAGTTGGTGATGGCTCGCACGCGCGGGTCGGGGTGATTTGGGTGCGCGGAATCGCCGATGGTGGAAAAGTAGGTCCGCATGAGGTTGATGAACATCCCGTCGTCGGTCACTTCGAGCAGTGCTTCGCCGTTGATCTTCAGCACGGCTGACGAGGTCAGCTTCATTCCACCGGAACGCTACAGCAGAACTTACCGAGACCAATCTGGAACAACACCTTTACACCCATCGCTAGCACACAGTCCACTATTCGGAACGCGAAGATCAGGGGCATTGAGTTGATGTACAAGCTCAAGAACCATCTGTTGTGTCAGCCTAGATCTTTGGATGTAGTCAGCGTAGACTAACGGTAATGATGCGACTGATAGCTGCACGTCCACGCTTGTGAAGTGATCCTTGATCATCGGCAGACATCGCTGTACCAAAGACTCGAATACTCTTTGATCGAGCAAGGTGCCTTCCATGGAGGGACTACGAAGTGAGCTTTGCGGTACGATCAGATTGTCGCAGAATTCCAAGCTCACCTGTAGTATCCTGGTAATATCCGGTCACATAATACCTCAAGAAGCCAGAATGCCTGTTCTTCCGACATGTATCTACTGGTCAGCACCAGCCGAAATACTGCTTCATCTCACTCACATCAGAAGTCCGGCTACGACCTGCCGTCATCAGAATAGTCTCCCCACACTATTGTCAACCGGACTCACGATGTTCAGAGCCTGACAGTAACCCAGCTCGGGGTTCCGGAAACTATACGCCACCAATACCCTCCTCAGCTTCGCCAACCCGATATCTGATTGATACGCCTTATATTCAGGTAGGGACCTGTTGAGATCCTTCTCGATTTCGTCTGTTGATTGGGAGGATCTACCCTCGTTGGCGCTGAGAAGCTGCTTGTATGTGTCGGGATAGGCGAAGCGGAGGTCTGGACTTTCAGCAGAGTACCAAGAACAATGATCGAAGACAGCTTACAGACGGAACCGGACATGACCTCCCATAGCTCGCCTCGGAGTCGAGAGGGGAGACCGACTTGAAGCAGTCGCTGGAATGGCGGATATCGAATGACTAGACATCAGCTGGTTGTCCAACATGAATTCAGCCAGACACGATACTCACGCGTCAGATTTCTGCCATGCACTGTATGATTAGCTTGCGATGCCGCCTATTGCACATCAATCAGCTCACCTATAAAGTACTCTCTCCACAACTTCATCTTACTCCTCTCCCGCATCTTCCGCGCGTCACCCGGGAATCCAAATGTCTCCCCCAGTCCCCTTTGATACTCCCCCTTCCCCTCACTGCCCGGGCCCCTGAGATCACCCTCCCCATCCAGATGCTGCTGCAGCTTTTCGCCGATTTCCGAGCCGAGAAGCAAGCTGTCGTGTTTGTCCACGTTGTGCTGGGTTGACGGGCCGGCAATGAGGAATTCGGAGTAGAAGGAGGGGAGAAAGGGCTTGAGCTGTTTCATGGGTGCGAGCTGGATCGTTAGCTCGTCCCCTGGACATAGATTGGTCTGGTAACCTACTTGTGCCTTGAGAGCATCGCGGAGAAGGATAGAGAAGTGCTCTGCGGTTGGAAGGAGGGAGGTGAGCTGCAGGATCTAATACATTAGCATGGACACTCGCAAAGAGTGCGGTAGGTACGTACTATCCGCATACCGTGCCATGTCGCCAAGGAGAGAGCGAATACACCAGCTCGGGAGTTCAGTCTATATGGTCAGCTGTTGCAGTTCAAGGCACAACATCATACAGCTCACCTCTCAACGCGCCTGATGGTGAACAGAGGCAGCGTAAAGCGACATGACCGCCGGTCGACGCTGTTGAAGCACAGGAACGGCGGAAGGAGGCTTAATCGTCCGGCCTGGCAAGTCAGCTGGCAGCTCAAGCACTTATAGGGCGCTCTTAGTAATCTTGACTGAGACGCTCTGAACGCCATTGATCATGCGCCCCTCGAACCTCCAGGCGCCACGAGCCGCATCCCGCTAAGTCTGAAGCGATAAGATGCACTATCGACTCACATAGACCTCCTCCTTCCCCTCCACACTGAGGACAGCGTTGATGTCCATCCCCTGCAGTCCACCCGCATCCAGCCTGTTCCTGACCTTCTGCAGGACTGGCTTCTCCCCCGCCGCTACAGGCGCAAAGGCATCCTGGTTAGGGATGTTGAAGTAGTCACGGGCGAGCTCATCCTTCGACTTCTCCTTGTACGAGCGGAGATGGAGCGGGAGGGACATCTTGGTATGTTAACCCTCAGCTACAGTGCTGTTTGTGATTCTCGAGACCTTGCCTTCGAAGGCGTGTGTGGGGTGAGATGTGTGGTCAAGTCATCTGCTATATAGGTTCAAACGCGTATCGAAGAGGCGGGACGATGCGAGGCGCGAAGCCAAGTCAATTAGGTACATTGCCCCCGGAACTAGGGATTGGCATTGGTAATCAACAGCTTCCGCTAGTACAAATTGGCCTTATTGTATTAGCGGGTTCTAAATCGCGTCGTACATTCCTAATACTCTAATTTGGTAGGTATAGGTCGGCTATCCTCCTGCACTACATACCTGCATTTACCTCTCAGCTTGGACCCCTGTGTACATAGGAGACTCCCTCACCGACCCCACAACAGCTCAACCAGCCAGCATCGCTACATAGTAGCCGATTTGCGCAACAGCTTCTCGGCAAAAAGTGAAGCATCCCCGGAATCTGACCGCTTGAACTGGCAGTCCAACGCGCACGACTTGATCAGCAAGGACACGGATACCCCGCCCTCCTCCACCTCCTCCTCTATTTATAATGTCCTGGAAGCTTGGAAAGAGTGAGCTACTACCTCTTTATGAACGCAGTGTGCATCCGAGCTGACCACCCAGAGCTCAAGGAGTCGGGCTCGAATCTCCTCTCGTCCCGGTCGTCACAAAACAACACGCCCGACTCCGGTATTGGCTCTCGCTCCACCACACCTACACCTGGCAACCCTCATCCCGATGCGCCTGTCCATAGGTCTGGTGTATTGAAGATCCGAGTGACTGCTGCTAAGGGCTTGAATCTCCCACAAGGAGGTGAGCATGACCCCACCTTAACTACTGTATAAGCTGACCCGGTAGTCCCTGTTCCTGCTTCGATACAGAAAGCGCTCAGCTCCCACCCATCATCATCCATTGGGTCTCTCGGGGCATCCCTCTCCTCTTCTCCTCGGGTGACTACCAACCCCCGCCCCAACCGCGACTCATTACAGCGGAAGCAGGCCTGGTGGCTCCCGTATGTCGTGCTCGAGTTTGACAAGAACGAGGTACTGGTGGACGCTCTGGGAGGAGATCTGGGAAGCCCAGTATGGATGTACAGCGCGACATTCGATGTCAGCCGGATCTCGGATATTGCGGTGACTGCGTATCTGCGCACGGCACCGCCGGGCGGGGAGGGGACGCATGGCGAGAAGGAGGGGACCGAGATGGGGAATGCGGATCTGTGTTTGGGTGGGATCAGGTTCACGCCGGATCTGGAGAGTTCGGTAGGTCTGCTAGCTGCGAAGGGTCATAGTCCGATAAGCTGACATGACAGCGTATGACGGACGAGTGGTTCCCCGTCCAGACGGGTAATGGAGCGATCCATGTACAGGTTGCATTCAAGCCAGCTCAGGTCGGTCCCACCGTCTCGGTCTCTGTAGACCTTACTGATGTAGTAGACCTCTTTGACCATCGACAGCTTTGAACTGCTTAAAGTTATTGGCAAGGGATCGTTCGGCAAAGTAAGCTCAACCCTGCTCCTTAGAGTCACAGCTTACAATCAGGTCATGCAAGTCCGCAAGCGCGACACCCTCCGTATCTACGCCCTCAAAACCATCCGCAAGGCACATATTGTCTCTCGATCAGAAGTGACCCATACCTTGGCGGAACGGACGGTCCTCGCTCAGGTCAATTGCCCGTTCATCGTCCCCCTCAAATTCTCCTTCCAGTCCAAGGAGAAATTATACCTCGTCCTGGCGTTTGTGAATGGTGGGGAGCTCTTCCATCACTTACAGCGGGAAGGGAAATTCAATGAGGTCCGGAGCAGGTTTTATGCTGCGGAGCTGCTATTGGCGCTGGAGCATCTGCATGGGTTCAACGTGGTCTACCGGTAGGTCCTTCTCCGTTTGGCGCGGAGACAAGCTGATCGTTCAGGGATCTCAAGCCCGAGAATATCTTGCTGGACTATACTGGTCATATCGCACTTTGTGACTTTGGGCTATGCAAGCTCAACATGTCGAACACGGATACCACCAACAGTGAGCTAGTCGCTCCCTGAAGAGATACGGATGAAGCTGATCATATAGCCTTCTGCGGTACACCTGAATAGTGAGCTCACCGCCGTTAGCATGAGATGTACCAGCTGACCCTATAGCCTCGCCCCCGAGCTCCTCTCTGGCCACGGATATACCAAATGTGTCGACTGGTGGACACTCGGTGTCTTGCTGTACGAAATGGTAAGCTTCCTGGTCTCTTCCACGTCTTTCTCGGACCTAAGCTGATGCCCTCAGTTGACTGGCCTCCCACCATACTACGACGAGAACACCAACGAAATGTACCGCAAGATCCTCTCAGACCCTCTCCGCTTCCCCGATGAGATGGGCTCGGAGGCTCGATCGCTCCTCACCCAGCTTCTCAACCGTGATCCATCGAAACGACTGGGTGTGAATGGCGCGCAGGAGATCAAGAACCACCCGTTCTTCTCGAAACATATCGACTTTAAGAAGCTCTGGGCCAAGAAGTTACAGCCTCCGTTCAAGCCAGCAGTGGTGAGTTGTGAAGATTTGAGCTGGGTGTTGCAACTTTCAGCTGACAAGACTAGGCTTCCGCTATTGACACCTCCAACTTTGACGAAGAGTTCACCTCGGAGGTACCGCAAGACTCGGTGGTGGATGACTCGCACCTCAGTCAGACTGTTCAGCAGCAATTGTAAGTCGGCAAGATCTCGGAAGATGCCGTAGACACGGCTGATCGTGTAGCGAGGGCTTTTCTTGGAGCGTTTCACCGCTGGGCGAGTCGGTCGGGCGTTATTAGTTCTTGTCTGGGTTTGCTTCTCTTGTATGCCTTTGCTCTGTATCGCCTCCCATGATGCCGGTCGTGCTCAGTACACTACATGCATCGTACATCCACCAGAGAGCAGCGATCCAAGCCATACCGGCGGTAAGGCGCGGCTGACCGGTTCGGGCCGGCACAACTCGGACCGGACCGGTGGGTCTTGGTCCACCTCAAAATCAAAACGCGCCTTTATGGTCCATCTACCACCTACCTATCTTGCTTCAATAGTCCAGTCCTTACTCGCTAGCCCTACAACCGGTCTCTAAATCATCTCAAAAGTCACAATGGCATCCGGCGAGCAACAGATCATCACCAGCGACGCATCGAGCGTAAACGGCAAGACCACCCAGCTTGCGGCGGTATGCCATGGAGCTGTCGACCTGCGTGTCGTGAGTGCTCCTTTCCCCGGCTGGAGTTTAGGACTAGGGCATGGTCACGAGGTGAACTAGAAGCTGATGCAATCAGGAAGAGCGACCTATCCCAGCCCCTGGACCAGGAGAGGCTCAGATCCAAGTAGCTCTGACCGGACTGTGCGGATCAGACCGTGCGCTCCCTTTCATCCCGATGGCGTCGACGACAGCTGATTTTATAGTGCACTACTACTCTAACGGCGCCAACGGTATTTTCAAGATCCTCTCCCCCATGGTCCTCGGACACGAAGCCGGCGGGGTCATCACCGCGCTCGGTTCCGACCTCCCTTCCACCTGCACCCTCAAGGTCGGCGACCGGGTCGCGATGGAGGTCGGGGTCATGTGCAAGTCGTGCCAGTTCTGCAAGAAGGGGAAGTACAATCTTTGTACGGGGATGCGATTCCGCTCGAGCGCCAAGACGTTCCCGCATCTCGATGGAACGCTGCGGGAGTTCATGGTGCACCCTGTTGACCTTCTCTACAAGTGAGTCCGTGGTCTCTGGGTGATGGGCTATGGACTGTGGGTAGTGCAGGACGGTCTCTGGATAGTGGAGGATGGTCTCTGGGTAACGGGCGATGAGCTGACAGTGCAGACTCCCCGACAGCGCTACTCAGATCCAAGCTGCCCTGGCCGAACCCCTCGCGGTCGTCCTGCACGCTTTCCGTCGCGCGAACGTGCAAGCCGGCGCCCGCGTCCTGATCCTCGGTGCAGGCGCTGTCGGTCTCCTCGCCTGCTCCCTCGCCCGCGCATCGGGCTGTACGCAGGTCATTGCGGTCGATATCGAATCGGCAAAGCTCGACTTTGCCAAGAAGATGGACTGGGCCACCGGGACATACACCTTGCCCAAGGGCCCAAGGGTATCGGGCGCCGAGGCGATCGAGACTGCCAAGTCTGGCTGGGAGGGGTTGAAGGCGGACCCGGCTGTTGCTGGTGTCGAGGGGCTGGCGGATGGATTCGATGTGGTATTTGAGTGCACGGGTGTGGAGAGCTGCATGCAGTTCGCGGTCATGGTGAGCCTTCCCCCAGAGGTGTCACTGGATAGAGCTAACAAGATAGGCCGCTCTCCCAGGTTCCAAGGTCCTCTTTGTCGGCATGGGCACACCAAATCTCCTCCTCCCTACCGGCCCCTCACTACTGCGTGAAGTCGACATGCTCGGTGTCTTCCGGTATGCCAACTGTTACCCCGAAGCGCTTGCTCTTCTCGGGTCGGGCAGACTGGGGAATGTCGACCAGATGGTTACGCAGGTGAGTCACAATCCCCACCTGGATCTAAGGGAGCTAGGCTGATGGATAGAAATACCCATTGTCGCAGGCCGAAGAGGCGTTCCAGGATATGAAGCGCGGGAGGGACAAGGATGGGAACGCTGTCATTAAGCCCATGATCTATTCTAGCGATCACCAGTAGGGCCGAAGGAGGATTCATCTTGGGTTAGATTAGTTGAGTAGAGTCATGTCACTTGGGTAACGGATCAATCTAGTTGGGATTAGGTGAACAGTGGCGTGCTGTACCAGACTAATACCTAAGGGGGCTTACTTGTCTCTAGGATAGTTGAGTTCAGAGTAGTGCATAGATCGACGATGTAGAGAAAGCTACAAGATACAGCAGTACTCTAATCTAGGACGGGAGCGCAATACGGATATCTCCTAATAATGGCTGAATCCGACTAATCTACGGCATATGCTGCAGATGATGAATTTACCTACACCCCGAAACGCCTGCCGCATCGCAACTAGCCACATTAAATCAGTGCTCGATGCTTCTGATCGAGCTACATTCACCGACGCACATCATGCCATGAGACGGGGTCCATGCATTGCGCCTCTGGTAGAGCTTGAAGATCCCGCGTCTCCATGTCTTGGACATCGTCCGCCCAAGTGACAGTGCCGTACTTGCGGAGAACTTTGGCGACCAGCCCGGGTTCGTCCATCATGGTCGCGAGCACGACAACGTCGTAAGCTTGGGAATTCGTGGCGTGATCTACCCATCGATAGAGAAGGGAGATGGTCGAGCTTTCCACGAGGGGGCAGTCGAATTTGCGAGCCAAAGGAATGATTCGCCCCGCCCGAATTGGTAGGTTGTCATCGGCGGGCAGCGGTCGGCCGGTAATGATCCCTAGCCAAGCTCGGACGGCGGGTGCGGTCTCGATTTGGGTGTCCGTCAAGGCGACGTGCATGTCGGCGGACTCCTTGGCGTTGACATCCTGCATGTCTCGGAAGACTTTGCTATCAGTGTCAGCTCAAGATAAGATACTGACCGCATCATGCATGCCCAAGGCACAGACGCTGATGCTCACCTCGCCGCGATGAGATAATAGCTTGGCAAGCGGAATCGCACATTGTCGCTGGAAATCAATGTGAGATTTCCAGCTGTGTAGACCTTACGAGTATCGTCTGTGACCACGGGCTCTGGTTCGGCCCGAGCGAGGTCAGACATGGTGGAAGCGTCTTACTGCTTAGGCGGAGTGTTATGTTGGGAAGGACGATGCGGCACAGAAGCTTCAGCTCACGAAGTCGACCAAACATACGCACGGACCATCAATTTTGCTCTACAGGTGGAGGCGGTTCAAATTTCACCTTGACCTAACCTCTTCATCTTATCTTAGCCTATACACCCATCAAATGGAAGGCATAGAGACAGCCGCTAGCCCACAGGGCGCGGCGCTCGATGGGGCGGAATGGCTCAAAACGAGCTGTCAAAATTTGCTGCTCGATCTCGGGTACAGCCTGGACGATCCCGCTTCCGCCGACCCCACCTTCCCTCGCATCATCTTCGATTACGCGGCGGCCGAGACCGCTGGTGACGCCCTACACGGGGATCTGCTGAAAGCTCTACCGAGATTACTGGCGGTGGAAGGTGTATCGGAGATGGTCGCGAGGCATTTCTGGCCGGTTTGCGTGGATTTAGTGGCTCGGTGGATCGGGAGACCCGATGTTGATTTGGCGGAGTGGGAGAGGAGACTGAGCGCGGTAGCTGCCATTTGTGGGAGTACTAGAGGCCTTTGGAAGTGAGTCTTCCAACAATACGACACGGCCATTGCTGATCCTGCTAGTATCGCTACCGCCTTTATTGCCTCCTCCCCCTTCGTCACGTCCCCCCTCGCCCACATACCCCAAGACCAACTCGCGTCTACTCCATCAGATCGCCTTCATATCCTTCTCATCGCCTACTATCGTATCTTGCTAGCAGACGAAGCTATCGCCTCACGCCTCAAATGGTCACATACCCCCCTACACGCTCTCCGAACTCAACATCCGGACCTCGGCGTCCGGCTCCTGGCGATCCGGGTGCTTAGCATGCAGCGCCCATGGAGCGAGGCGAAGCGGATAGAGGTGGAAAGAGAATGCGTTGGAGATATGGAGCTTGTCAACGCGGAGATACTCTTTGGCTTTGAGGTAGTCAAGCAGGAGAATGGAGGATCAGAGGTCAGGCGGGTCATGGTTGACGGGTGGCTGTTGCCCATCATGGAACGTCGGAGACTGCAGAAAGGTGAGTCCTCCTCCCCTCGAGGTGCTCTCGCTGATAGGGTAGTCGAGGCTCTCACAGAAACGCAACTGCCCACACCACTCGACCCCCTCCATCGTCACCTCTCATCCCAGGTCATCCCCATCACGGACCGCCTCTTCCTCCGCAATCCCTCGCGTGGATCGTCCTCTGGCTTCGTCCACGTTTCCACGACATCTACGGAGAATGCTCTCCTTGAAATGGCCCCCTTGCTCGCACAGGGCTCGCCAATCCTATTATCATCCACCCCATCCTCCGGAAAGACCCATCTTCTGCAACATCTATCCACCCTGCTCCATCCCGGCGTCAACCCCGCCCACCGTATCCTGTCCATTCCTCTCGCAGACACCACCATCGACGTCAAGTCCCTCATCGGTACCTACATCTCCTCGCCCACCCAGCCCGGCACGTTCGAGTGGATGGAGGGAGCTTTGTCCAAGGCGGTTCGGGCGGGGCGTTGGGTCATACTGGATGATATCGACCGAGCTAGCGTCGAGATGCTGGTCACGGTCGCCGGCATCGCTCGGAGTCTGCAGCCTGGACGTCCAGGTCGGAGAGCAAAGTTGGCGGTTCCTGGCCGGGAGGAGATCGAGGCCGGGGATGGCTTTGCGCTCTTCGCCACTCGGTCGACGCGCCAAGACGCCTCGACCCCGCTCATCTTCTTCGGTCACCACCTCTTCAGCAACATCAATCTCTCCTCTCCTACCGACGAAGAAGTCCTCGCTATCTTGTCCGCCAAGTTTGACGCCCTTCCCACGTCGGTCTCGGCCACGCTCGTCCGGATGTGGCAGGAGCTGCGACCCATGGCGCGGGTATCAGGTCCTGTCAAGGCGCGAGAGATCGGGCTGAGAGATTTGGAGAAATGGTGCGCCAGGGTAGTGCTGAATCTGCCGTCAGTGGCCAAAATGGCGGCTCTGGAGCAGTCGTCTTCGGGCGTCTTTGCCAACCCGGTCTTCCAGGACGAGGTCCTGCTCGAAGCCGTTGATACCTTCATGGCTTCGCTGGATAGCAAGCCAGCGTCGGTCGAACGCCGGAACGCCATGATCGCGGTCGTCGCCGGTCACATTGGGATGGATGAGGAGCGGGCGTTCGCCCTGATTGACAAGCGGAGACCTACGCTCGAAAAGGTCGCCTCGACCAAGCAACTTATCATCGGTCGGACCAGCACCCCGCTCGCTCCCGCCTCCAAGCGCCGCTCAGCCCAAGCATCCCGTCCTTTTGCGCTCACCAAGCCCTCGCTCGTCCTCCTCGAGCGGATCGCGGCCAGTTCAGCAATGGGCGAGCCGACCCTTCTGGTTGGTGAGACCGGTACCGGTAAAACCACTGCCGTGCAGTACATCGCAGACACGTGCGGAAGACCCCTCACCGCCCTCAACTTGTCGATGCAAACGGAAAGCAGCGACCTCCTCGGCGGATTTAAGCCTATCGACGCTTCGGTCTCGGCGCGCCTGCTTCACGCCAAATGGCAGAAGCTCTTCTGCGAGACCTTCAGCATGACTAAGCAGCAAAACTCGTCATTCTTGGAGGTGGCAGCAAAGGCACTGAGCGGGCGTAAATGGCAGAGGTGTACGGAGTTGTGGTCGGCTTCTGCTAGGCGGGCGATGGAGAAGCTTCGCCGCCAGGATGAGGAGTAAGTTTACCAATGCTTCAGCAGTGACATCGAGCTGATAGACAGCGAAACTCCGAGGGAGAATGGGGATGCCTCGCCCCGCAAGCGCCGAAAGCCAAACATGCGCGCGGCCAAGGCTGCTGTCCAATGGCAAGCGCTCATTGTCGAGGTATCCGAGTTCGATCTCCACCACGTCAAGATGAACAGCAAGCTAGTCTTTGCCTTCGTCGAGGGTCCACTCGTCAAAGCTATGCAATCCGGAGAGTGGCAAGTCCATTCCGCAAGCGGCCGAGGATCTGGCTGACCCGCAGGATCCTCCTCGACGAGATCAACTTGGCTTCTCAGGAGACGCTCGAGGCGATATCGACTGTACTGGAGGGACCGTCAGCCTCTCTGGTCTTGACAGAGAGGGGAGACGTCGAGCCGGTCGCTCGTCACCCGGACTTCCGCCTCTTCGCCTGTATGAATCCCGCAACCGACGTCGGCAAGAAAGACCTGCCGCCTAGTCTTCGTTCTCGCTTCACGGAGATCTACGCTGCCCCGCCAGATGACGACCGGGAGGCGCTGGTCAGCATCGTCACTCAGTATATCGGCGACATCGCAGCGGGCGACAAGGCGGCTATCCTGGACGTGGCGGAGATGTACCAAGAGCTCAAGTCGCTCTCGGCGGCCAAGGAGATTGTCGACGGCGCCAATACCGCTCCGCATTACAGTATGCGGACGCTCGCCCGGTCGCTCATGTTCGCCATTGAGACGGCGCCGCTCTTTGGGCTCCGTCGAGCCCTTTGGGAAGGCTGTCTTATGGCGTTCACGATGTCGCTCGATCTCGTCAGCATCGAGAAGGCACGAGAGGTCTGCAGCCGATATCTTCTCGGTCCCATGAAGAACGCCAAGGCGGTTCTCTCGCAGATCCCCTCCCTTCCCTCTGGCTCGGACTCGGATGACTATATCCGCTTTGGCCCCTTCTGGCTTAAGCGGGGTCCTCTCCCTCCCACCCCACAATCCCGCTACGTCATTACACCCTCCGTCCAGGCCAAGCTCTCCGACCTCGCTCGGGTAGTCATGACCCATCGGTACCCCGTCCTGATCCAAGGTCCGACCTCCAGCGGAAAGACCAGCGCGGTCGAGTTCCTCGCTCGTCAGACTGGTCACCGGTTCGTCCGCATCAATAACCATGAACATACCGATATTCAGGAATACCTCGGGACGTACGTGACGGATCCAAAGACGGGCAATCTGGTCTTCCAGGAGGGTCTCTTGGTGACGGCCGTGCGGCAGGGGCACTGGATCGTCCTTGACGAGCTCAATTTGGCGCCTACGGACGTCCTGGAGGCGCTCAACCGGTTGCTTGACGACAACCGGGAGCTCGTCATACCGGAAACGCAAGAGGTCGTCCGACCCCATCCCAACTTCATCCTTTTTGCCACCCAAAATCCGCCCGGACTTTACGCCGGCCGAAAGGTGCTGTCTCGGGCATTTCGGAACCGGTTCCTCGAGGTGCACTTCGACGATGTACCCAAGAACGAGCTGGAAACCATCATCTGTCAGCGGTGCCAGATCGCCCCGTCGTACGCCAAGAAGATCGTCCAGGTCTTTGAGGAGCTGCGGCATCGGCGGCAAGCCTCTCGGGTTTTCGAGTCCAAGCAATCCTTTGCGACACTTCGGGACCTGTTCCGATGGGCAGAAAGAGGGGCCGTAGGATATCAGGCGCTGGGAAGCGACGGGTACATGCTGCTGGCTGAGCGCGGGAGACAGGAGGAGGACAAGGAGGTCATTAAGGGGGTCATTGAGGATGTACTTAAGGTCTCGGTCGACCCGCGGGGTATATACGACCTGAGCCTCGAGACCGTCATGGCTCGCCTACCCTTCGCCGAAGTCCCTTCCTCGACCCTCGTCTGGACTCAGGCGATGCAGCGGCTCTTTACCCTCGTCGCGTCTGCTCTTGCCAACAACGAGCCGGTCCTCCTCGTCGGTGAGACCGGATGCGGCAAGACGTCCGTCTGCGATATCATCGCTCTGGCGTTCAAGCAGAACCTCGTCGGCGTCAATTGCCACCAAAATATGGAGACGGCGGATCTGCTCGGGAGTCAGCGGCCGGTCCGGAATCGGCTCGAGCGGAAAGCCAGGATCATCTCTCGGCTTATCGCTCTCTCGCCTGGTCTTGACATCCCGGCCGACGACGACCTGGAGGGTCCACTCGCGGACCTTCGTCAGCGTTCGGACGTCGACCAGGTCGAGCTCAAGGCCATCGAGACTGAGCTGGCGGCTCTGTCCGCGCTCTTCGAATGGTCAGACGGACCCCTCGTTCACGCAATGAATAACGGCGATCTTCTCCTTCTCGACGAGGTGTCCCTAGCGGATGACTCGGTTTTGGAACGGCTCAATTCGGTCCTTGAGCCCGGACGGACCCTCGTTCTCGCCGAGAAGGGCGGGAGCGATATCGACTCGGCCACTATCGTTGCCCATCCCAACTTCCACGTTGTCGCCACCATGAACCCCGGAGGTGACTTTGGGAAGAAGGAGCTCTCGCCCGCTCTTCGAAACCGATTCACCGAGATCTGGGTGCCGGCGCTGAACGACCGAGACGACCTGCTCCAGATCATCGGGCTCGCGTGGAAGCACAAGGAGCTCGAGGCGTTCGGAGCGGTCGTTTTGGACTTCTTCGGCTGGTTCGGCCAGCGAGTAGGGGATGCGGCTGGCCTTGGATTGAGGGATATCCTGGTGAGTCTCATGTTTGACGGGATGGAAGGCTTAGGCTGACTTGCAGGCCTGGGTAAACTTCATGAACGAAATCTTCGCTCAAGGCGGGTTGGAGCCATATCAAGCATTCGTGAGTCTCCATATACTACAGGTCCCGGCTTGTGCTGACTCTTTAGCATCACGGCGGCCAAATGACGGTTGTCGACGGCCTAGAATCACTTCCGCAGTGCGCGGGCATGGCTACTGCCTCGGTCGCTGCTCTCCGCTCGGACTGCCTGGAGTGCCTCTCGCGCCTTGGGCAGACCGTAGCGGGTAAGGCAGCGCTGGTCGAGGCACCAGCAGCCATGGAGGTGACCCCGACCTCCATCCACATAGGCGCATTCGGAATTCAGCGGGGATCACTACCCGCCTCGGACGTACAATTCCACTTCAATGCTCCCACTACTGCACTGAACGCCACGCGCGTCCTTCGCGCCTGCCAGCTGCCCAAAGCGATTTTGCTCGAAGGCAGTCCCGGAGTGGGTAAGACCAGTCTGGTCGCCGCGCTGGCTGCCATCTCCGGCTTCCACCTCCAGCGTATCAACTTGTCCGACCAGACCGATCTCATCGATCTCTTTGGTTCGGATCTCCCGGTCGAAGGCGGCAAAGCGGGCGAGTTCCGCTGGCGAGACGCGGCGTTCTTGGATGCGATGCAGAAGGGGGACTGGGTGTTGCTGGACGAGATGAATCTCGCATCCCAGACGGTGCTGGAGGGATTGAACGCGGTGCTGGACTACAGAGGCACGGTCTACATTCCCGAGCTCGGCCGGTCATTCGCTCGTCACCCCAACTTCCGCGTTTTTGCCGCTCAGAACCCGCTCCAGCAAGGTGGAGGGCGGAAGGGACTACCAAAATCGTTCCTCAACCGGTTCACCAAGGTGTATCTCCAGGAACATACGGCGGATGACCTGCTCCTCATCTGCCAGCAACTCTACCCCATGCCCGTCGAGATCGTCCAAAAGCTTATTGCTTTCAACGAGGAGATCCGGATCGCAACGACCGTCGACCGGACGATTGGGCGGGAAGGAAGTCCGTGGGAATTCAACTTGCGGGATCTCTTCCGGTGGTTCGGCGTCCTCGACGCTAAGAACGGCCTGGAGCTCTCGCATCATCCCGCGGAATTCCTGCGTATGATCTACCTGGAGCGGTTCCGGAACCAGGCGGATCGAGATGCGGTCCAGGGGATCTTTGAGCGGGTGTTCGAGACGAGCATGACGCACTCTCGTCCCATGCCGCTCCTCACTCCCTCCCGAATGCGGATCGGGCATGCTACGGCTGCTCGAGCTGGCGATGCCGCTCCTACCGCTACTATCCGTCATGAGCACCTCGACGTCGCCGAGTCAGTGCTCAAGGCCGTCGAGCTCGGCTGGCTGGTCATCCTGGCCGGCGAAAGCGGAGGCGGAAAGCGGTCCCTGGTCCGGACTATCGCTGGAGAAGCGGGTCGAGGACTCGGCGAGTTCACCATGCATCCCGGAGTGGACACCTCGGAAATCCTCGGTAGCTTTGAACAGCAGGACCATCGACGGATCGTCCGCTCAGTCTACGCGGATATCGTCAGACTGCTGGATCGGGTCGAGGATGGCGGTGTATCGATTGGCGATGCGCGGGCGGTCCTGAGTCAAGCTCACGATGCTCTTCATCGGGACAAGTCACAGGCCGACCGCTTCCAGTCCGTCTGCCAGGCCGTCCTTCAGCGGCTTCCGGTCGACGCAGAAACGACGGCGATCCAGCACAAGCTGTCCCTCATACCCAAGTCTGACTCCGCCGCGACCGGTTTCGCCTGGGTGGACGGTCAGCTCATCGACGCTCTCCGTACTGGCGGATGGTACCTCATCTCTGACGCCAACCTCTGCAGTCCCTCCGTTCTCGACCGCCTCAATAGTCTGTGCGAGTCGAACGGATCCCTGATCCTCAGCGAGAAGGGCTCGACCAGCGGTATTCCGGAGGTCATCAGGCCCCATCCCGACTTCCGGCTTTTCATGACCTACGACCCTCGGTTTGGAGAGCTCTCTCGCGCTATGCGGAATCGGGGTATCGAGCTGTATCTCCAGCCGTCGCCTCGGTCGGCATGTCGCGCGGCTCTGTCCGAGTTGGCAGTCCTCTCAGACTCGTTGCTCCGCTCAGCGTGGCTAATTGAGGGGGTCGACGTGCAGAACCCCTCGGCAGTGGCGAACGGGATAGCGGGCAGTGTCCGGGAGTCCCTATCTCACCTGGCTCGACTGATTAGGGCGGAAGGGCCAGAGGCTGGAGGTAGCATGCTCCCGAGTGCAGTGGACTGGGCGCAAGCGAATGCGCCAAAGTCCAGCGATGGGCTGATTGAGGTGAGTTGCGTTTGGGAAACTTCTGTCCGGAAGAGATACTTATGATACAGACTATCGACCCAGTCCTGAACCCTACTCTCACCACCGGTGGAGGAGACGATATCTTCCGGGCCATCCTGATCACCCTTCGCATACAATCGGCCCAAGGACGACTTCAGCATTGGCTCGAGGCGAATGGCTCGACTAAAGCGGTCCTGTCTCAATCTGCTGCCAGCAATGCCGGTCGGAAGAGCAAACGGGTGGCCGCTGGGGCGCACGTCTACAGCCTCCTTGTCGAGATGCGGACGATTCTCAAGGATATTCTGAGATCAATCAATCCCGTGAGTCGTCTGTGAGCCATAGCGTGACCTTTGCTCATCCTCAGGCCCAACCGCTCGAAAGCATCGATCGCATCGAGCTACTTCTTCTCCACCTCGAAGATCGATGCAAGTCGGACAGTTTTGACTACTCGGCCGTGGGGCTCATTGCGGAGTGGCTCGGTCAGGAGCTACAGGCCCTCGATAGCGCTCTGGACCTGGAGCGACTCGTAGCCAAGTCGATTCAGCACGTGCAGACCACGACCGGCCAAGGACAGTCTGAGATCTGGTCCATGTTCCGATCTGCCTTTGAGGTAGATGGGATCATTCCAGCAGATCTGCTTGAGATGGCCGACCGGTGCAAAGACAGCAGTACGTTGCCCCACCGCTTTTCAAGGTCCAGACTAACTCTACAGAGCTCCGTCAGATGCTGCTGAGCGGCTTGGTCGCCCTCCAGTCTTCTTCGAATGTCGACGCAGGTGCAACGGCACTTAGAGAGATGCTGCGCGACATGGGTGAAGCCAGCGCCCAAGTCCCGGCTGCGCGCTGGACCCAGCGGTCCATCGCCTCCATCATTGAGCTGCATGCAGCATCTAGGGATCATCAGGTATGTCATCTGCAGCACTCACGGAGACACAGCTGACGATACCAGCTGCGAGAAGGGGACTTGCACCTTATCTTGACCGACTCAGCCGCTAAAATCAGCGATCTGCTGCCTCTGGCCTCACTCGGTTCAGAAGCTAGTACGTGCCGCCGTCATTACCTTTCTTTGGCTATCGCTGATGGTCTCAGGTATCGCCGACCTGAAGTGGATGTCGGCGTGGCTGAGGCGGACCTGGCAAGACGCGGATGAGGCAGACACAGAAGAGGTAAGCAAGAGCCCTGGTGTCCCGCTGACTCCAGGTTCTTGGAGGTCCAGCTCGCCTATTTGGCCCCGCTCAATTGCTTGGAACTCTACGCTTCGAGTAAGTCACATTCCTCCTTGACCCGGCGCTGAGCTGACCTCTCAGCTCGGCGGACGCTCTGCGGCTGGACCAAATCTCGGATGCGGACAATGCGCTGAGCTTCTCCATCCGAAATGCCTTGTGGTCCACTCAGCTAGGTCAGGATCGAGGATCCACCCTGCTATCAATGCTGCTGGAGGCTGTCCGACTGGTAATTTGATCAGTCTACTCATAGTGAGACCGTCGCTGACCCGACAAAGCTATTATCTGCCTTTGCGATCTCCTGTCCTCGGGAAGGAGATGTAGCAGCCCAATCTGCCGCTTTGGTCAGCTCCGTCCGCTCCTCACCCGTGAAGCATGTACGGCAAGCTGGAGAATCTCATCTCCTGTCACCCCTCACTGCGGCGGCCCAGGGAGCGAGCGACACGAGCACTATCGGTCAATTGTGTCTCGGTATATCCCGCTTCTTGCTCGATACCTACGTCACTAGCGTGCCCATGGACCCAGCAGTACGGCGCGTCCTCAGTCACGAGCTATTGATATCCCGGATCGCTCGCCTCAACGAGGAGCTTGAAGCTATCGAGAGCATGGAGATCCGCATCAAAGGCATCAGCGACTCCACGCGACGCTTCGCAGTCATTACCAAGATCGAGCAGACCCAAGCACTCATCTCCAATCTCGGTCCTTCCATCTCGCGGACCTCCGACCCGGCTCGACTCGCCTACCTATTCAACGAGGTCCACTCCTTCCTCGGTGACGTCTACTCGGAGACATCAGCTGCCAGCCTTGTCAATTCTCTCGCCGCGGGCGACCTTCAGGCACTGCATCGGGAGCAGTCCTTCCAGCTCGCTGCAGAATCATTTTTGGCTAGGCTAGGCGCAGTCTATGCCGACCTGGACGATCTTGTCCAGCCGATCATCACGGCTGTGCTGTTCGCTCGCTTTGGTCTCCGCACTCTTGCTCGAGAGCCGGAAAGACGGCAAGCTCGGTCCGACCCGGTCGTCTCTACCGCCCTCGTCTTTCCCCGCGCGGCCATCATCCCCCATCTCCAGTCGTCCGCTCTCCGCGAGAGCTTCACTACCAATGACCTCCTTATCGCCTCTTTCGCTCATGCAGCCGAGACGACCAATCCTACCCAGCGATCCCGCCACACCACTGCATTGCTCGCCTATCTCGGCGGACTCTACTCCAAATGGAGCGAGACCCGCATGCAGGAGCAGCAGGATGAGCAAGCCAAGGAAAGCTTGTATCGGGTCAAGAAGACGGAGGTGGAGGTCTTGTCGGATCTGGAACAAGAAGAGCAGGAGTTTACGGAGCTGTTCCCGCAGTACGAGGTGGATGAGGAGGGCAACTCGATTGTCCCCCCCAAAGCTGCATCGGAGGGGGAGGAACAGCACGCCAGCTTCCCAGCTAGCGCGGTCGAAGCTTTCCATGCGCTGGTCTCCTCGCTATTCGGCGGCAAGCACTCGTCGGTCGCGGAACAGCTGGCAGATCTGCTGCGTCACACGGTCCGCTCAGCATTCGATCCTCGCCCACATGATGAGCTACTCGACGCCGCAAGTCTTTCTTGGCAGCTCGAGACTCTACATCGCCGTCTAGCGGAGTCTCGGAAGCCTGGCAAGACGCCCAACTTCTACCTGGGCGCCAACGAGCCGGAGAGCCGTAAAGCAGCTGCGATCGCCGCGCGTCTTCGCGCACGTCTCGATGTCCTCGTTGACGAGTGGCCTGAGCAGATGATCCTGCAGCACATACGGGACCGGTGCGATCGCTTCTTGTCCTTGGACATACGCAGTCCCGTCGCTATGACGCTCACCAATCTTGAGCAGCTCCTCATCCATATCGACGATTGGGAGCCGTACGCCAGCCGGGACAACTCGCTCAAGTCGTATCAGGCGGAAATTTCGGCGCTGCTCATCGACTGGAGGCGGCTAGAGCTGAGCTCGTGGGTCCGTCTACTTGACGACCAGACCAGCCAGTACGTCGCTCGGGACGCCGAGTGGACATTACGTCTCTTCGGCGCTCTGATCAGCGGCTCTACCTCCAGTACCGATCTCACCAAGCACTTTGCCTCCCTCGTCCCCATGATCACCACCTACCTCCAGACTAGTACCCTCGGCAACTTCCCCTCCCGCCTTGCCGTGCTCGATTGCTTCCGGCGCATGGCGGGCGAGCTCTCGTTGCTCCCTGGCAACGACAATCTCGGTGCGGTCCATTCCCTCCTCAGCAACATTGTCAACAACGCTCGCCTCTTCATCACCCGCATCGAGGACTCGGTCCGTACCCAGCGGGCAGTCATCGACAAGGCTATCAAGGACTTTGTCAAGCTTGCCAGCTGGAAAGATGTCAATATCTTTGCTTTGCGGGCGAGCGCGCAAAAATCACACAAGCAACTGCACCGCAATATCCGCAAGTTCAGGGATGTACTGCAGCAGCCGGTCGCGCCGATGCTATCGGATCTCACCGCTGTCGTCCCGCAAATCTCGGCGCAAATGGAGAATGCTTCGGCGGCGGTCTTCTTTGACGTCTCTGTATTCCCGACTTCGGCCCCGGAGGGTACTGCAACTACACCGGCCCATCTCTTGCGCCTACCGGAGACGCTGGCCAGATTCTCCAATCTCCTCAGCTCTCGGTCAGCGGAGGATATCGAGCGGGTTGGCGGCGCCATCGACGCCATGGCCGTTGACATCATCGAGACTGCCGCCGAGCTGGCATCGGCTACTCCGGCTTCGCTCACGAAGGAGAACACCAAGGCCATTGCCAATCTCCAGCGTCGGAAGCGGAAGGCGTACTCGGATCTGCTCAAGTCCTTGCGGGCGTCCGGCTTCTCGCAGAGCGTCAGGGCGGACTCGCTAGCCAAGCAGCAGTCGTCTGCCTGGATGCTGCAGCGATCGCCTCTGCATCTCGACACGGTTCCAGACGGGCTTAATTCGGTGGTCCGCGATGTCGAGAAGTACGATGTCAAGCTCGGCGTACTGCTGCCTGCTTTACGGGCGGCTTTCAACGGTCATAACGACGACATTGCCTCGCAGGACTTGCAGCGCGGGATTGGGTTCACAGAGTCCGTACTTGCTTCCTGTCTGACACAGCGCGAACGGTGAGCTCGAATGGTGTAGTGCTTGAGTATGGGAGCGGAGCTGACAGATAGATTGGCTACCTCCATCCAGGCGGTCACTGCCTACTCAGCCAAAATCGCTCACATCCGGCGGCTCGCGCAAGCCTCGACCATCGAGGGCGGACAAGACGTTTCGGACCGGTTGGTCGAGGCCACTCTGCTCTATTGTCGACTCAAGCAGGCCTTAGTGGAAGCGCAGGAGTCTATACGGCGTCATCGGGATCTGGAGGAGAAGGCGGTCTCGACGGGCGATCTGGCGGTTCTCCAGGACATTGTTACGGAGCTAGACGGGTTGATCCCGAAGCTGGACGAGGCGTGTGCTTCGGCACGGGCCGCCTCATACCATGTTTTCTCGAGCTGTGAGTTCTTCCCTGTTGTAGGGCTAGCTCGAGCTGACTTTCCAGCTGAGAGCACACTGCTCCGGTCTGCGGATGACATTCGCTCTCGAGCCATTGCCGCATTCGACTCGCAGCTGGCCGAGTTGCCCGCGTTCACCTACCTCTTCAAGACCCTTCTCATCATGACAACCCAACTCCCACTCCTCTCTACAGATCTGCCTCAGGCAAATCTCAGCCCGGAAATCCGACGCCAGAGCGAGGATCTCATCTCGTCTATCCTGGTCGTCGCTCAGAGCCTTCCGATGCCGAAAGAGATGGCGGACACGGACGAACCCCCTCACATACCTCAATCCTTCACTCAGCAATCTCAACGCCACGACGCTCTACGCATCCCGGACGTCATCGGCCGGCTTGACAGCCTGATGGGCGCTTTCACGTCACACACGGCGGGGTACTCGGTTCCTTTTGGCTCCATCCCACTCGCGCAAGCCCTCCCCTTCCTCGAAACCCTCGGCGAGCAATACGCACAAGCCATCTCGCAGCACGCCTATGCCGTCAAATCAACGTACAAGCTCTGCTATGTTGTCGGTCGGATCATGCTCGACTTGGCGCAGAAGGGCTTCTGCAAGCCTCAAGAGGAAAGCAAGTCGAAAGACGGGGAAGGCGAGGAGACCGTCGAGGGCACAGGAATGGGCACTGGAACCGGAGACAAGAATGTCAGCTCCGAGATCGAGGAGGAGGGCCAGGTTGAAGGGCTCCAGGGGGAGAAAGAGGAGGATAAGGAAGATGGAGATGACGACGAGGGGGATGACGACGCTGTCGATATGGAAGACGACTTCGACGGCGACCTCGGGGAAGGCAAGGAAAAGAAGGAGGACGAGGGTGAGGATGGGGAGGAGGAAGATGAGGAGGATCACGATGAGCATGCTGGGGATGTTGACCCTCTTGATCCTGGTGCGGTGGACGAGAAGTTTTGGGGAGAGGAAGAGCAGAAGGTCGGGAAGGAACAGGGGAAGGACGAGGTCATGGATCAGCAAGCTCAGGATGATGGCGGGGAGACTGAGATGACTGCGAAGGAGGAGGAGAGCAAGAAGCAAGACGAGAAGAAGAAGGATCAGAAGGAAGCGGGGGAATCGGCAGACGACGATGGGAAGCAGCAAGAGATGCCCGAGGACGGGGGCGAGGGAGAGGGGGACGAGCAGGAGGAGGACGATCGCGAAGGGGAAGACGACAATGACGACACCAATCCGCCGAAACGACCCGAGGAACAGAACGTTAATGTGGACGAGGGGGAACGACTCGATCTTCCGGAAGACATCAATCTGGACGGCGATGATGACGAGAACAACGACAATGGTCTTGATGGGGAGGACGATATCAGTCTCCCGCCTGACGAGCGCGGAGAGGACGAGGAGATGGGCGAAGGGGATGATGCCAGTGTCGCGTCGCAGGACGATGGGGCGGCTGAGGATGAGGCCCCGGACGCTACTGGGGTCGGGGAGGAAGATGTTCAGGATCAGGAGGAGGCGGTCGGGCAGAACGTCGACGTGCCTGCTGCCAATGATGCCGACGCTCAAGACTCGACTGATCTTGGGCAGGGGCAGGGTGGCAGTGCGGAGGATCAGCCAAAGGAGAAGGAGGTCAAGGAGGGAGAAGAAGAGGAGAAGATGGACACCGAGCCGGCGGAAAGCAAGCCAGAGGGCGAAGGGTGAGAACCTTCTTTGACATTGTCAGACATGGCTGACTCGTAGCTCTGCACCACAAGACCCGTCTTCTGGCCCTGCCGACCAGCAAGAGGGCGAAGGCGCCATCGAGTCGTCCGGCGCCCCCATCCCCACCGACTCCCGCAACCAACCCCAAGCCAATCGCTCTCTTGGCGATATCCTCGAAGACATCCGCAGGAGGCGTGATGAGATTCTCGCGCAGCAAGACCGGCAAGAGGAGGTCGAGAAGCGGGCGGACGCCAAGGATGAGGCGGCTGGTCAGGTCGAGTACCTCCAGGATGGGGATGTCGACGAGGGGCAGCAGGCGCTGGGCACCGCTGGGGAGGAGGAGCGGCAGAAGCTGGAGGATCTGAATATTCTGGATGACGACATGGAGGGAGAGGCGGATGCTGGGATGGCAGATGAGCGGGAAGAAGGAGAGGAGGAGCCGCGGGACCAACCGGAGCGTCAAGCCAACAACTCCTCCGGCACGGCCGACCAACAAGATACCGAGAAGGCCCTCACCCGCGCCGATATCAATGGCTCTGCCGAGCGTCCCAGCGCTGGAGAACAGATGGACGTTGACGCTCCGGAAGGCGAGGACGATGCTATCACAGAGCCTAAGGAGGAGGAGATGCCGGTCGAGGAGGTCGAGCTGAACGTGCTCGACCTGGCCAGGCCGGCTGAGGGATCGAGTGGGGAGGATCGGTGGCGCTACTACACCTCCCTCACGAGCGACCTCTCGTACGCTCTCTGCGAGCAGCTCCGGCTCATCCTCCAACCCACCCTCGCCACTCGGCTCCAAGGCGACTTCCGGACCGGGAAACGGCTCAACATGCGGAAGATCATACCGTACATCGCGAGTGAATTCAGTAAAGACAAAATATGGCAGAGACGGATGAAGCCCTCTAAGCGCCAATACCAAATACTGCTCTGCGTCGATAATAGCAGGTCCATGGCGGAGAACCGGACGGTCGACCTCGCCTTCCAGGCCCTCGCCCTCGTCGCTCAAGCTCTTACCAAGCTCGAGGTCGGTCAAATCGGTATAGCCAGCTTTGGCTCCTCGGTCGACATACTCCACGACTTCTCCGACGTCGGCTTTACAGATGCTCACGGAGCGGCGGTCATGAATTCTTTCAGCTTCGACCAGCAAAAGACGGACGTCGCTGCGCTGGTCGAGCGGAGTCTCTCATACCTTGCCGAGGCCAGGCAGAGCCAAACAACCGCGGCTCCGGACCTTTGGCAAGTCACCTTCATCGTATCAGACGGGGTCTGTCAGGACCATGCCAAACTGTCGACCCTCCTTCGCCGTGCGCTCGAGGACCGGGTTTTTATCGTATTCATCATAATAGATCAGCTCCAAGCACAGCCAAACGCACCGCCTGGGGCCGCCACCACGGGAGCGAGCAACAACACGCGACCCAGCATCCTCTCCCTCCAAACGGTCGAATACAAGAACGTGGGCGGGGAAATGAAGCTGGAGATGAGCCGCTACCTGGACACCTTCCCCTTCCAGTACTACGTGGTCCTCCGTGATGTGGCGGCTCTTCCTGGGGTACTGTCGGACATCTTGAGGCAGTGGGCGGTGCGGGTGGCGGAATCGGCGGAGTAGTCCGGGACGGCAATCGTGTCATTCTGGGATCGAATGAAGATGGGAGGAAGAATCTGGGAAGGGAGGATAAATTTGAGAGGGGATGATGGGGAGACGAGGGGAGGAAGGTGAGAGTGGGGAGGGGAGGAAAGGGGGTTCGGTGGGTTTGATGTGGACATTTTGGACATGGTTCTTGCGGAGGAGGCGGGGTTGGGTGATGTATCAGGGACTGTATACTTTATAGAATATAGAAAGGCTTGGCTATCTACTTGTTGTTGTATAGTATTGTAGGCATAGCATGGTATGGACAGGTAGTAGCAATAGATGCAAAATTTGCACTCGAGGAATGAGGAGTTGAGACCTGTGCGTCCAGCCTCTGCTGTCCTCGTGCACGATCCGGATCTAACGTGTGGGCACATTATGCACAATGTCCTGTTGCATAAGAAGCTGGCCATCAAGGCAGTACACCTCCTACTTTTATATATACGAGTACAATTCTCCGTGCTCCCCTTGTCGCTATAGCTACACTTTGGGTCCGCCTCACTCTCCAGATCCCGTCGCCAACCCCTTTGCCAGATCCGCCAACATCGCATGCGGGTTAGGCGTGTCCGCTACCTGCTCCTCCGCTTTCTCTGCCGCCTGCCCAGGCGGCATGGCGATGGACCACGCCCAACCTTCCCTTTCCCACCCAGCCGCCCAGGTGCCGAAACGCTTTCCCATCCAGCTGCCAAGGATATCCGCTGAGCTTGTTTCGGACATCCAGTCGGGCTTGTCGTCATTCAAACATACCATGGACAAGGGACTGGGTCTATCCCACCCCTCGAGAATGTTGTAGAGGTCGATCGGGCTTCGGGATAGAGCAAAGTGGGTAGGTGAAGAGGCTGATTATCAGCGCAGCAGTAGGCCAGTTGAGGCAGAACATACCGAGAGAATAAGTATATCGTGACAGTAGCTTGACGCAGTACTGCCTCAAATCGACACTACTGCTTCTCTTCCGCCCGACCATCCCTCCGGCTTCCGTCCCCAACCAAAGATCCTGTCCCGGCCGGACGACCCCCTTGAGCGAAAAGTCCCCCTCCCTCCAGTCCGGCACGAGCGGGAGCATCGGTTCTTCCCTCTCCCACTCCCTCCTTCCTCTGACTTCAGGCTCGAAAGGCTGGTTCTCGGCCGGTAAGAACGCCGAGAGTCCGCGCGGGCCCGAGGCGTTCATGAGCGCCATGATGAGGCAGTCGCCGCATTCCGGCTGGGAGAAGGCGAGCTGGGTGAACATGTCGACAGCGGAGACCGGGAAGGGGTCGGTGAAGAAGTTTGGGGGGAGGCACTGGGCAAGGTCGAAGAAGCAGGTCTGGACTGGGGAGTCGACGGATGGCATATCGGGGAGGTGGCCATCGAGAGACGCTGGCGGTCAGCGATATCCAATGTGTAGAGAGTAGCACATACTGAAGAGATACTCGGACGCTTCGGGGAATTGCCAATCATTCCGAGCCATCACCTCGTCCATATCCTCCACAGTGGCCCTCTCATCCTGAATGATAACAGCCACTTCAGGTACGCCCCTCTCCTCACTCAGCCCAAGCACGCTCCAGAGCTCTTCCCTCGCTTGCACACCCCACACACCGTCCACTCCGCCCATCCGAGCTACCGCCCACGTCCAGAGCAATGCCTCGCGCCATCGCTCGATCTGGAGGTGCGTCACCAACCACGGAAAGTGCACATCCGCCTTCCCGCGCTTGCTCTCCCTGAACCCTCGCGTGGCAGCCACGCTGAGGTCTTGCGCGAACATCACCGACGCCTCTTGCGCCAGACTCCGGCTCATGCTTTTGGGGACATGCGCGAGGTACATCCGCCGTTTGGGGTAGAAGCGGGTCGAGAGGAGTTGATTGGCATGTTGGAGTCCGCCCCATTCGCCCGAGTCGGAGCGGAGTTCGGGTGCGAGGGTAGGTGGGACCCGAAGGCCGAGGTCTGGGGCCAGGCGGAACACTGGGCCAAGGAGGGGGTGGTGGAAGTCGGATGTGGCCATGTCGCGCTGAGAGTCAGTCAAAGCTCTCCGAAGGAAGAGGACTCACCAAGAAGAACATATCGTCGTTGGAGAGGATACTGCTGGTCAGTCAAGCTCACGATCAAGCTAAAGCACTCACAAGTTCTCCGAAAGATCATCTACCCAAGCCACCTTGCTTTCAATCTGGAACGAGTTGAAGCTGGGCAGCGCTTCCTCCCTCCACTTTTGCTCGTCTCTCCATTCTCCCTGGATCCGACTGTCCACCTCCCCATCTGACGGTAGCCTAAAGATCTCAGAGTGGAAATGCCACTGCATCCCCACGTCTGGCGCCGTTGTGTTCAACCACGAAGGCACCTGCCCGACTCTCCACTTGGCCTCGCCTTCTGAATCCACCACCACCTCGTAGACCCCCTCCTCGTCGTCCTCATCCACCTCCACGACGGGGACCGCCGAGTCCAGCTCAAAATCTGCCGAGATGACATGCACCCGCCTCAGCCCTTCGGCCAGGGACTGCGCCGCGGACCGTACTGCGCCTCGCAGCTCGCCATTATCACGCCAGTGTCGCTCGGCGCCTTCGAGGTGGAGCCCTTCTAGCTCGGCGCGGACGGTTTTTGCTTCCTGTAGGACGGGAGAGGAGGCATTGACGAATGTGTAGACGATGTCGAGGGTGGGGTTGGGGGTGGGCGGGAGGGCCGTGAGGGGGAGCTGGCCGGTGGTGTAGTATGGGACGAGGGTAGAAGGGGGAAAGCGGCGCATAGGCTGAAGGAGGCTTGGCGGTGTGGGGAGCGCCGAGGGATTGGGGACGAGTACGTGTGCCTCGTCCCCCGGGATCCGGACGACCCCTTTGCTCATCCAACGCCCCGTCGCCAGAGCGGCGTCCGGATAGTCTGGCACGTCGACGGTATCCAGGGCACCGAGATACGCCGGGGTGTATCTGGACCGCGCGCTGACCCAATCGTCCAGCAGAAAGTTGTCGATAAGCATGTAGATCAACCCGCTGCTGAGGATGATGGCGATAAGGAGGTAGGTGGTCCGCCGGGACTGGCGTCGTTTGCTGAATATGGCGTACGCCCAATCGCTGGCGCCCAGCTCGGGGTCTGATGGGCGCCGGGGGGTCGACCATGATGAGGACGAGGGAGTGGAGATGTCGGTTGGAAGCGAGCGAGAGATAAAGGGGGAGGCGAGAAGGAGGCGCGAGTGGAAAGACATCGCCGATGGGACGGTCGGTGGGACGTCTACAGAAGATAAGGGAAGGGCGTAAACAAGCTCGTCGGTCGGGTAGGACGGAGGAGGGGCGTCGAATATGAGAGATGCCTTCTCGACGTCCATGATGGATGAAGTAGAAGATGATTGAGTTGAGCTGATTAGGCCGTCCTGCTAAGCTAGGGGGTAGTCCCTTTGGTCGTGTGAGGCTAGCTTGGCGAGTTGAAAAGGGGGATCGGGGGAAGAAGTTTCGAGGGCCAGCCTGCGAGATGTCAGATGACGGATGCCAAGTCGACCTGTGTATCGGTCACGGTGGGTATAGGTAGGATGACTGTCAGCGATGTGAGACCCCTCCTCTTCTCTGGCTGCTTCTGCGTAGTCGTCACAGTTGATACCGACAGTACCTCCTTTGGCAGCCGAGTTTGACTTGTGTTCTGAGCGGCATCTCCGGCGGGCGTGAAACCTGAAACACGCTCATAAAACAGGGCCACATCCCCCTGAAATAGCTCTCCGCGACTCGCAGTCTCGCAGTTATAGCAGTCGTCGCCCTCATACAACAGTATCGAGCCAAGATTAGCAAACGGGTCAGCTATCGACGCCGACGCGCCGCCTCAAACACGGAGAACGACTGCACCGCTTTTCCTATCTTCCTCCGAAGTCACATCCTTATATGTGCGCTCGCGTTCGCAGCCGCAGCCGCATTCCCGAGCTGAGGCGCTGAGATTCGATTGGCTTCGGCCGTAGTCCGGATGCAGAGTGCATACCTCCGATGGCTCTTAGTTATGGTGTAGCTGTGCTAAAGATATACTGACAACAGCGACGAGAATAGCGTCGTGTTCGCTGGATGGGCAAGGCGACGACGAGCCATTCCGCGCCGTTATCGGATTCCACCGCGATTGCTCCGAGCCTCTCCGATGTCCGAGCTCATCGAGCAGTCGAGCTGTAGGCCTCTCTCCTTCTGCTGTAGAGCGAAAGAATGAGCGGGGGAGTTGGCACCGAAGAGAGCTCGCGAGCTTCGTTCTTCGCAGCGGTCCTGCATAGAGATTTCTCGGCGTTTAGACACGGGGCGGCCCGAGGTCGGGTACGCGGCCGCTAACAAGCACCGAGAACTATACTGATCGACTGCTTACCCGGAACCTGGAAGATGCATCTCCTAGTCGCCGGCTATAGAATGCACTGGGCATGAAGCACGAGATACAGGTCCAACTCATTCAGCCTCACCACGCAAGACCGGCCCCTCATCTCCATAAATCGGATCCCTCTCAAACCATCCCAGCCCCCTAATACGCCTCTCCACCTCTTCTCCACCCGTACAATGATCCCACTGCTCCCCACCCTTCGGATAACACCCCAGCATCATGAGCCCCCCTTCATCCTTCAACATCGCATGCCCCACTCCCGCCGGAAGGACCATCACATCCCCCTCTTCCACCCTCATCTCTACCTTGTCCGGATTTCGAGGTCCGCCGAATTGCAGGCGGGCAGATCCAGAGAGTACGACGAGGACTTCGTGCGTCGTCGAGTGGAAGTGGGGCTGGGTGTACATGGGGTAGGTCCATTGAGGGTCGACGACGCCGATGGAGCGGAGGTGGCCCGATACGGCGGATGAGGAGAGCGGAGGGGTGAATGCGCGATGATATATGACGACAGGATGCGGGGAGAGGGAGGTGTTGGGGAAGCCGGCATAGGATGGGATGTGGTAACGTGAGACTCGGAGGGAGGCGAGGGGTGTGAGACATGCGGACGAGGAGGACATCGCTGAAAATCGACCCTGTCGTCGGGTCTTGGTTATCCAGACCGATCAATTCTTGGACTGCCTGATCACACAGTCTAATGATCTACCATCCGAGTGCAGCTGCGACCTTGCTGTACAACAAGTAGATACGGTGATGCATGGACGCTGTGCAAGTCGTGCAGGTCCGAGACAGAACGAGCAGCTGCCAGGCACCGATCTCCCGATCGCCCTGCCGTAAGCTCCGTCGGAAGCTAAATGACCTCCACCTCGAGAACAAAAGGCTCTTTTGCTCAAAACGCTCTCTTGAGTCTCTTCTGCTCTTCTCGCCCAAATGCAGCTGGACAATAAGCCCCAAAGCTTACCCCCTCTTCCTCTCCTCCCGCGCCTTGTCGAGATCCCGCGGCGAGATCGATACCGAAAGAGGATAATAGACGCCCCGAGCGAGGAATGTAAAACGTGATCGAAGATAGCGCTTTTTGTCCAGGTTGGACAATGGCGCTCGCTGCTTGAGCTCGAGCTTGGGCGCTTGAACAGGGCCGCTGACTTACTTCTTCTCACTATACTGAATCTATCAGTCTATACATCTACCATCTCCAACATCGACAATTTGACCTTGCACCTCTGCCAGAACTGATCGACATCGCTCAACCTCCGACTTCTCTCGCTATACACTAGCTACGATGGCTCCCCCAAACCCCCCTTTCCCGGCCTACCAGCGTCGTCAGGCCGCATCATCCGCTTCGGCCGTGACCCCCTCAGCAACAGTATCAGGGGCTCTTCCGGGCACGTCCGCCCCTCCCAATAACCTGGAATGCGGGATGGCATGGTATGTTCCCTCTTCCGACTCCTTTGCGCTTGCGCCACTCGCTGACCCTGCAGTATCCGCTTGGGCGATACGTCCGACTGCGATGACGATCAGACACAGGCGTGCCTCTGCAAGTCTGGGAAATACGCTTTATCGGTCAACGTAAGTTGATCCATGCCGCAGTGGGGACACTCGCGGCCCAAGCTGACATGTTAGTCATGCCTGTCCTCACGGTGCACCCCTGCGGACGCCAAGGCTGGCTCTGACTACAGCTACGGCGCATGTCTCTTCCTCGTACGCCTCCTTACTCTGCTTCTCGCTGCGATTAATACTGACCTGCAGGGCGTGAACGTGTCCACGGTCGCCATACCCTCCGCTACGGCCAGTATCGACCCCTCCACCCCACCCGTCGTCTACGCACAGACCTTTGTCAATGTCCAAGCCATCGTACGTCTCCCTTCTCTCATCCCCACGTATAAGCTGACGGCCAGATGTCATCCATCTGCGCCGCCCTCCTGTTCCTCTCCCTCGTCCTCGGCTTCTTTGCCTGTCGCAGCCGGGCCCGCATCGAATCCCAATCGCAACAGGGCTCATGGACCAACATGGCCACTCAGGCCTCTCGGACCGGACACGGCGGCGGCAAATCCTTCGGCGGCGTCTCGCGCGGAAACAACCACGGTCTCAACTCAGGATTCGACCCTACCGCCACGTTTGCATCTGCTTCGTACCCCCTCCCGAACAAGCGAGGGACAGGGACCGGTGCCGGTCTTGGTTTGGCATCTGGCATGGAGCGATCAAGGGGCTTCACGAACCGCCTGACCCTGGACGAGGCGGATGAGGAGTGGGAGATGGGCGACAAGTCGACCCGTAAGAGAGGAGAAGAATCGGGATCGGGTAGCGCCTCGTCCTTTGTCAGTTCGAGCGGCAAGGAGGAGATGGACCTCAAGGCGAAAGATGGAGAGATCTCGCCGGTCACGTTTACGACGGAGGGGCAGGGGAGGAGTCGGGCGGGCAGCGAGGTCGAGCTCGAGGGGAGCACGATACATCTCGCGAGGTTGGATAGGGGGGCGGGAGGGCGAGGGGCGGGTGGGTTCGGGAGGATTTAGTGGGGGATGTGAGTTGGGGAGTTTGTGTTTCCGGGGGTCTTCATGTAGCTACACTATGCGGCTCCGGTATCTGTCTATTATCTAGCTATATCTAGTGATGACATCAGTATTTGACCAGTGTGGAAAGGTACGAAATGGGACAGTGAGGCAGGGATGCGGTGCCATCCCAATCAATCTACGGTTTACAAGCCTTCCTCTCCTCCCCTACTCGGCAATGCGCAACCCCCTCGTCTCCTCGCGCATCTTCTCTACCTCCTCCGATAATTGATCCTCCTTGCTCCACCTCTTCTTCATGATCTCCCGCATCGTGTTCCCCTAGAAAGTCAGCATCTAATCACGATAGAGACAAGCCAAGACTCACCTCGTTATCGTGCGTCTTGCCCCTCCACCTATAACCCTTGTGGTACTTCATCAAAGCCTTCTTCTTTGACTCCTTCATCGCCTCAACATTAAAGTTCTCCTCAATCCACCGCTTACGCTCATCGCCCAGCGCCTCGCCCACTCCGCTCGCCTCTCCCTGCGCATACAGCTCCTCCACATCATCGGGATAATGAAACGGTTCCGTCAACCCAATCACCGCGCGCTTGTACGACTTGGTCGACCCCACTTCGGGCTTGAACGATCCCTTCGCCGTGCGCTTGATAGGCGCAAAGTAGTTGTCGGTACGGATGAATGTGGGCGCCAGGCCGTATAGTGTGGTGAGGTAAGACCGGAGGTCGGTCTTGGTCATGCTGTGGGGGATACGGAAGGTGGCTGTGTGGGGGTCGTACGGTGTTCCGGGGGGTGTGTGGTTCCGCATGAGCCGGATTTGGATGTTGGGGAGGTAGATCCGCTGAGCGATGATTCCCTCTGTCGCCGCTGGGGTGGTGCTCTCCTCAGCCGCCTCGCCCTGATCCCGAGCTAAAAACTCCCCCTTGGTCCCCTTCACACCCCGAACTCGACTCCGCCATAACACCTGCCTGTCCCAAAACACTTTCCGCCCGCTCGCTTCATCCCCCTTGTACTGTCCCTTCGTCCGCAGCGCCTGAAACTCCGCCTCCAAACGCGCAGGCAGTACCCGAGGCGCCTTGGCCGCGATCGGCAGACCGGTCGGGTTGGCATTTAAAGCAGCTTGGTCTCGCCGTTTCCGGACCGCCCGAGGAGCGGTAAGAGCGATAGAAGGGGGTGTGGAGGGGCCCGCTTGTGAGACAGTGGTGAGTGCGCGGCGTATGATGGACATGGTGGGCTGTAGTAGATGGATGAATAGATAGATGGTAGAGAGGTGCAGCGAAATTATGGCTCTGGCGAGAGAGGAACCGCCGGGATCAGATTTGTGCCGTCATATCTATCCGCGCACTCCATTTTAGCTGGACGCGCCTTCATTGTTTTGCTCGACCAACACCTCGTAACTCGACCATCAACTGATCACATACAGCGCTATACAACTTAGTACAGGTCGCTCACCACGCTCGACTGCGCCCGCTGAACGACAACCAGAGGCTGCTTGATCACAAGCCACCCAAAAGCCTACATAATCAACCCACCGGCGCCTTCATCAAGATGCAGTCCCTTTCCGCGCGAATCGCATCTTTCGCTCCGCCCACCTCCCGACGTCCCAAGCGCCCCACCTGGTCCGTCTCCGCCACAACCCACCCCTTGATCGTCCCTAAACGCCTAGCCGAGGCGGGCTTCTTTTACAATCCCTCGGAAGAGGAACCAGACAATTGCCAGTGCTTCAGCTGTGGCCTGCAGCTGGGCGGATGGGATGAGACGGACGATCCGTTCGTGGAGCAGTGTAAGCGTGGGGAGTGTGCGTGGGGGGAGATGGTCTGTGCGCCGAGGGTCGCAAGGGATCGGGATGAGGTTGTGTGAGTCTTTGTCGCTATTTATGAAAGGTCCGGTATGATGGAGGGAGGGGAGACTCTCGGCGGCTGACGTGATCGTTTGCTGTGAAGCCCGCATGAAGCAAAGCTGACATGTCAGTACTACAGTATCAGACGAGTCTCTCCTTCCCAGCTCAACAACTTCAACCGAGACGCGTACCCGTACATTCTACGGTCCAGGAGATATCACCCATTGGCCCCACAAGCCAAAGAAGAGCTGGAAGCCGTCCGTCGAGAATGTGAGCTGTGCGGGACTGGCTCCGGGTGACCAAAGTATGGCTGAGCTGACGGTACAGGTCGCAGCAGCGGGTTTCGTCTACCATGAAGGCCCCGACTATGTCATGTGCCCATACTGCGAGTACACTGTCGGAGACTGGGAAGCCGGAGACGATCCAACGTCAGTTGACGCCTCTGTGTTGCTTGGCGGGACAACAGCTGATGATCTCAGAGAGATACACCGTGCCAAAAAGCCCAACTGCCCATTCTTCACCATCACTCTCGATGTTCCCGTTCCGGTCCTAGCCAAATCGACCGCCAAGTCCGCCCCAAAACCCCGAGCCACGAGGGCCAAGCGCGGCGATACCGCCGCGTCCGTCGCTGGGTCTATTGTTGGCGATGGTGAAGAGTCGGTCGCTGAGCCTGCTGCGAAGAAGGGGCGGAAGCCGCGTGGGACGGCTGCGAAGCCAGCTGCGACGAGGGGAAAGGGCAAGAAAGTCGCGGGGGGTGAGGTAGCGGAGTCGGTGATGGAGGAGGAAGAGGCAGAGGTGGAGGACACGCAGGGGGTGGAGGTCGAGAAGCCGAAGAGAAGGGGGCGGCCACCAAAGAAGACGGATGCGACAGTTGAGGCGGGCACGTCTCAGGCTGCAAGATCGGCGGAGGCGGAGGCGGAGGAAGAGAAGGAGGAGGTTTCTCAGCCTTCCAAAAAGACGAGAAAGCCCCGTGCGACCAAGGCGAGCAAGAAGGCGGAAGCGGACGCCGAGGCCGAGGCGGCTGCAGCTGCAGCTGCGGAAGCGGAGAGTGCGATGGAGGAGGAGGTGCAAGTGCCTGAGGTGGAGGAAGAAGCGGATGATAAGATGGAGGATATCCCAGAAGAACGGGAACCCACACCTCCACCCCCACCGAAGCCGGCGAGCAAGTCTACATCGAGCCGGGCGTCGAAGGCCACCAAGCCTGCCCCAGCGCCTACGCCCGTACAGACAGCTCCTGCAGCACCAGCAGTAGAGGCGTCCAAGCCTTCCCGACCGATCAAATCCATCCGTCAGGCGAAGCTCGACAAGTCGGCCGCAGCATCAGCATCGGCATCATCGTCAACGTCAAAGCCCACCTCCGCCTCTGCACCCGTTCCCCCTCCCCAATCCGCACCCGCATCTTCTTCCTCCTCTGCACGCCCAGCTGCAAGCTCCAAACCCGGCTCCAAACCATCCTCAAAATCCAGCTCCAAACCCCTTCCTCCTACACCGCAACAATCGCTCGCTCCCCGCCCCCAACCCCTGAATCAGCTCAGCCATTTTGTGAACGTCCCACCAACGTCACCACTGGTTTCTCCCAATGATACCGGGCGGGCGCAGCTGGAGGCGGGACTGGAGGAGGCGGCCAAATCGGCACGGCAGGTCATGGAAGATCTGGCATCTCCGCGCGGCGGACCGGCGAAAGCTGCGGCTGGAGAGGCAGGAGGTCTAACGGCGGAAGAGCGCAAAATGACCGTCAAGGAGCTGGTGGAGCTTCAGCTGAGGAAGAGGGGGGAGGCGATGGAGCAAGAAGGCGAGGAGATGATTCGACGGTGGAAGGAGGAGGCGATGGTGGTGAGGGGACAGATTAAGGCGGCTTTGTGCCCATGACATCGGTAGGTTGTGGAATGAGCGTTTGTAGAGGTAGTCGGGAGGCTTGGACACTGAGCGTATGTATCTAGGGTTTCGTATCTCTTTTTGGGGTGCTTGTAGCGTCTCGGCCTGTGTATTTCCCAGACATGCTATAGCATTCCGCATTTGGCTATTAGATGATATGCCACGAATCGATACATGCAGATGTCGGTCCTAACGTGCCTAGGACCAACTCCCCCAACCCCAAGAAAACAACCCCCGCTAGCACATCCCCACCCTCCGGACCTGGCGGACCGCAAAATCTACATCGGCCCGCCTCACTCTGCCTCTATACTCTACACCCCTCGTCCCGCTCACCCTCATCTCCCTGTCCCCATCTTCTTACCGACCAGACTCCTCCCCTCTCCTGCCCCGGCCGCCGCCTGCCCCTGCGTCATCCCCTCCGCTCTCCTCCCCTCCAGCCCCGATCCCTTCCTATCCCGCCCATCGTCACTCTCGACATCTTCCAAATCATCCATCGCCACCCCGTCCTCTTCCCGCTCATCATCCTCGAACGCCGAGAACAACGTGGAATTTTGCGCGCGGTAGATGCTCGAACGGCGGCCGTGCCCTTGTTGCGCGGTCCCGTCGGGGGCGTAGGCGGGCAGGGGCCCATAGTTCCATACGGTGCCTGGTCCGCGATCTGTCGACATGCGGCCAGACATGGACATTCGGGGGTCTGCAGTCAGCCTTGCCCTAGACGCGCCGATCTTCGGAAAGGAGGACGAAGGGAGACTCACTCATAAGACCCGACTCTAGGCTGGTGGCATGATGAGGTGCGTCCGCCTGTCTCGAAATATTGAGCAGATAGACACCCATAAAAATGATCAAGAACCCGCATATCAGGGATATCGTGTTGACTGCCGAAGTGGTGTTGAAGCCCTGGAAGAGGATCGCAGAGGCGATGATGGTCGCGGTGGTGAAGAAGACGTAGTATATTGGGTTGACCCTGGTAGAGTCAGCTACTGCCCCTTGCGTGCGGCTCGGCGGAACGAATCAGCTTACACATTAGTGGAGAACGTATCGAGCGCTTTGTTGAAGTAATTCTGACAGGTGAGCTCTACTGTATGCGGTGATGTACACAGACGAAGCTCACCATCTGCACCAAGATACACCCAACGACTACGACAGCAAACACGTATGTCGAGATATGGGTCAATTGGTTGTTGCCAGCGAAAGTGAGCTTGAGAGCCACACCGAATCCCTACCAGCTCGTCAGCTGCAGCCTCTCTTTGAGATCTTGCAGTGAGGACTGGAACTCACCTTGATGGCCATGACGGACACGCTTCCCGCCAGAGAGCAGATCGAAAGGTAGACCATGGGGTTCTTGGTCCCGTGTGTCGGGGCAACACGGTAGATCATGTACCCGCAGACGACGCCGCAGAAGGTCAAGTAGATGAGGAAGGCTGAGGAGTCAGCTCAGTCGTCCCTGATTCAGGTGATGGGCCGAGCGGACTCACGGAGCTTGGCAGCATAGGCGAGGATCTCGTCTACTGTTTCCACCTCTTTATCTGAGGGTGCGTGAAGGACAATGACGACGGATCCTATCTTCACAGTATCAGCTCTGTAACATGCCAGTCCCCGCTCGTGCGGATCGAGCTTGTCATGCGAAGAGCTCACTATACAGCTCGCACATCCACAGACGCCTAATCTTCCCAGCTTCTCATCCAGCAAGAAGCTCGCCAATATTGCGCCGATAATGACACTCATGGCGCCAAGCGGAGTGACTAGAATAGCTGGGGCAAAGGTGTACGCTGCGAAGTTGGCGACTGCTCAGTCAGCTTCTGTGCGCCAGCCAGACGCAGCTCGGGAGCTGACCTTCGCCAACTACCACTATTTATCGTCAGCTCTGTCCGTTCCTCCAAGAACTCAGGCCAGCTCACTTGTCAACATCCCTGCCCACCATATTGGGTTCTGGAGATACAGCAGGTCATCGGCTAAATACATCAGCTACATTCCAGCTCCTGCGAGTAGCGGTCAGACGTACAGGCATTCTTGGCGCCGTTTTGCCGTTGATGTGAGTGAGAAGTATCTCTTCCTTGCGCAGCAGCATCTATCAGTCCCTGCATCCGTCAGTCTATCCTTCTTCCGCCGTTTCTCCAGGCCACTCGACCTGAGCTATGCAGCAGGGCAAGGAGATGCACCTTTTTCGTGATGATGAAACTTGACCTGGGGGATCAGCTCTGTTCTCCTCCATGCTTCTGGCGGGTACAGCTAGCTCACCCGATCAAGAAAGTGCCCAGCAAAGCCAGCGTCAAGCCGATGTACTTGTCCTCTACCATCCTGACACCGCTTACAAGGTCCTCTATGGGTGGGTGTTGATATATCTGCTTGTTGTCGTGCGATAGACGCGATGGAGGTCTTTGAGCGCGTTTTGGCAGAGAGGTGCGGGGTAAAAGGTTAAATTCAGGTCCAGATTTCAGGGGTAAGCTCCACGTGGCGAGCAAGGCTTGGGTGGCAAATGGTGGTCGTGGCCTGGCCTGGCTGTTGCCTCACCGCATGCTCATCAAGGCCAGCTGGAGTGTTGGTTGTCAGCTAACCAGTAGCGTCGGCAGCCTGTAAGCAGCATTGAATAGATCTCAAATACATCTCGAATATACGCAATTGATAACACCGTCTACATTCTGTCACCATTCCTTCATCGACCTCAGTCCGCCTCAGACCTGTCCTGGAGCGGAGTGAGAGCGTGCATCTGGCAGCTGCGGCTGACTGTCCAGTTCTCGCCCGGTGTATCTGCTCAACGCCTCGAGCTCAAGCGTAGAATGATCGCTGCTGAGCTCCTTGGCAGGGGCGAGCGTCCAGATGCCGTGGTCGAAATATAGGACTGTCGGCCCAGTCGCTGCAGCAGTGCTGGACCTCACGGTTGACTGGACATGAGGGTTCTTCATCTCGACGATCTCTTCGATATCACTGTCATCGTCACTACAGGAGTTCAGCATCAACGTCGCCCCGGTTGTATGTGTGTCAAGGGGTTAGGGGCGATCTTGTTACTAGAATCTCCGTCGAAAGCTGAGTGACTTCATTGACTTACTCGCTGTCCGACCCCTGCCTGTCGGTGTCCTCCGCCCTTCCAGACTCAGGCAGTGCTGTATGAGGAGGCTCACCCGTAAGAGAAGAAAAGTCTTGCTTGGAGTGATCGGACATGCTGTACTCGTTTGCTCAGCTGTTGGGTGTGGACAGGCTGATCGTTAGGTGAGATGATACGATGAAGGAAGAAGTATGGTATGAAAGAGCAGAGATCGAGTTGGTCTGCTTTTATAGTGTCCATCTCCATAGGCGAAGGGCCGAGTCTCAGCAGACTGCCCAATGAGGAGACTTGCGCACCAAGCGACGTAGGAGCCGTACCTCAAAGGACAGCTCCTACACTTTGATGCCCGACGTGTCTGACCACAAATAGCTGTGCAAGAGGGCAGTGCGAGATCTATGTACGTCCTTTGTGGCTCGACAAGTGTCTCAAGTTCTGGTCTCCGCGGGGGCGCAGCTCTGGCGAGAGAGAGAGGTCCCATCAAAAGTTCGCCACTTTGGACGCCCCGGCCCCGATTCGGCCAGCTCCCGCTGGGGTCCCGATGAAGTCAGGTGTCAACGTTGGATCTCTTTGAGTTTCCGCAAGATTCGGCCGGGAGCAAGCAGCTGGATCGTCTATGGCAGCTGATCATAATATGATGACCGTCCGTCACCCGATGATGTCGCTGTTCGGAACATGGGTGGCAAAATGTGGTGGCAAATTGAGTAGCGGGTGCAGAGGGAGGTGCAGCTAGTACAGCTTGTGAGAGTGGCCGTCCCGAGCCGCAAGGGAGGGTATCAGAAATACATCATCTTCTAGTGAGAAGCTCTAAGCTCGTACAACCTATAACATCCCATTAGACACATCGCGCTCAAATTTGAGCGTCAGACCCGAAAGTAAGCAGCGGTCCCTTCCTCTTCCCGCCACAGGAAGTCAAGCTTGAGATGAATGGCCATACACTGTACCCGCGACCCGAGTCCGCCTTCTCGGATTTGTACTGAACATCAATGGGAAACGCGAGGCCCGAGGCTCTGTCAGGTACCAGCTTGAGATCTTCACCATCCGGGCCGAACCAAACCGATGACGGGGTGGTACCAACCCTCGGGCGAGGCAGACCTTCACCCTCGAACGCCGTGATCATTTCGTTCTCCATCATGTTCAAATGCTCCTGATCGGCCTTGCGGGTTCGGTATCCTTCGGTCCCTGGACTAATCAATATATCAGCTCGGTAGTACCCGGTAGATGACCATCACGATATTTCTGAGCCTACCGGCAGACACCTACTCACATGAATGCCCAGATGTCTTGCAACACAGCTGTGACACCGCGGGGAGGCCTCTTGGACTTCAAGTCGTCGGCGCTTTCTTCGGGATGATACCGTTGGTACAGTCCATTGACCCTCTGCGTGATCTGTCGATTCTTCTCATCGTCAGCGAAAGTATCGGCGAGACTCTTCTCTGACCGATGTCGGTCGCCGAGAGAGCCGTCTGATGGCCTGCTGATGCCTCCTGGTCGGATTCTAACCCTTCAACATTCTGTGCAGTCTGCACGACAGAGCCGGTGATGGTAGCACTCACCGTAAGAAAGCTAGCTCGGGGCGACGGGGAAGGCTCCTTGCCGCTGTAGTGCCGTCCTCGCTTGTTTTGGGGCTGGAGTGGAGTGTATCAGTGGAGCTCATCCAATGCTCTCCCTTTTCAGTGCACGGCTGCTGTGCGAACCGATCGTGCGCGGCACCAGAGTCTGGCGGTCAGCTCGCCGAGATATATAGGCAATGAAGAAGGGCTGACCTCGCTCTGTAGGTGCGGACACCTCAGTTGGGGAGCGAGACGGGGAGCGAGAAGCGGTGGGCAGGCCTAGACGGATTAGTGATACGCCGGAAGACCTCACGAGGGACAAATACTCGGCCCAAACTCACTGAAGTTGACGGTAGCCGAAAGGTATGTGGGCTTCTCAGAAGTGGGCGGATTTGAAAACAATGCGTGGTATCGTCCTGGAGGTACGGACTGGTTGGCGCTGATCTCAGACATTGCAAAGGTGTCAGTTCTCGTATGTATCGGCCAGGGTTGGGGTGATCGGCGCTGCTGGTATGTATTGAAGCAAGAAGCGACTGCAGGTATCGTGCTTGATTGCCCAATGTCGCTGGACCAGCTCGCCTGTTGGGGCCAGTGTGGCCGATCCCTCAGGAGTCGTCAATGAAAGGATGACAGTCAGCTTTGATTTTCCGACGAGTCGCACGGCGCATCGCCAGAGGATCCGTCTTGACCACCATCCCTTCGCGCAGAAACGCGTTGCAGATTTCGCCGCCAGCTGTGTCGTGAGTGACCGTGAGAGGGGTCCGGGTCAGGTTCTCGCCGACTTGGCCGACCTCCTCGCTGTTCTGGTTTGCTGCTGCCTGCGCGAGAACAGCCAGTGACGTCAGTAGCTAGAGCTGTAATGACAGTACATGATTCCAAGACATAGATCCGGCTATGCGGGCGCCGGTACTAATTCTTCCCTGCCAACATCCTCTCCAGCTCTCCCGTTCCCACCACCTGATACTCCCCTCCTCCACTGACCGCCCCCGCCGCCTTTCTCCTTCCTCCCGCCTCCCCAAACTGCCCCATCTTACCTCCGCTCCGCACCTCCCTACCCTGCTTTCTAACCGCCTCATACATCCTCCGCTCCGTCTCATTCCTCGCCGTCGTCTCCTTTCCGCCCCGCTTCCCACTCTCCGCCTCCTCATCATCACTAACGTCCGCGCCGAGCCGCTTCCGCTTCTTGTTGGCCGGAACGTGTACGTTGCTAGGGGCGGCTTTGACGACTTTGCTGGCTGCGGTAGTGGCAGCCATGGAGGATGGGGCTTCACGGAGTGCAAAGGCTTTGGCGAGGTGGCCGAGATGGAGGGATTTGGGGTGGAAGTATTTTTTCTCCTCGAGTGGATGAGTAGAGTAGGCGCGGATGAAGGAAGCGAAAGCTCGCCGGGCTTGAGCGGCGTTCTATACATCAGCTCGCCGTCCGGATAGGGATGACACGGTGGAGACTTACCTTGTCATCGCTCAGGACCCATCGCTCCAGTCCACCTTGCACCTCGGTAGCTCGTCTCTCAAAGTCATATCCCTTTCCGCCAAAGCCCTTCCTCAGCACCTCGTCCACAGCAGCGGGAACCAGCCCGACCTCTTTGCCCTCGGCCGACCCCATCTTTCCCCTGACCCATTCCACCCAGTCCACCTCGCTCGGCCCGACGAAAGACCACGCCTCACCGCCCTTTCCAGCTCGAGCGGTACGTCCCACTCGGTGGACATACTCGTTCGCCCCACCCTCTGTTGGCAGATCATACTGGACGACCGACCGGACGAGTGGAAGATCGAGACCACGAGAAGCAACCGAGGTACAGATGAGAACCGACGGGTCGGGAGAGGGCTTGGCGAAAGCCGCGAGGGAGGCGAGACGGGTCCGAAGGGGGAGGGAACCGTGTAGACGGTGAAGAGTGGTCGAAGGGAAAAGCGCCGACTGGAGTGTGATGGGATCTTCCGCCGCTGCTTTGCTCTTGGATTTTGCCTTCTTGGCTTTTAGCTTCTCAGCCTCCCCATCCTCGTCCGAGCTGTCGTCCGCACTCTCCGCCTCGTCCCCATCCTCTTCCTCCTCTTCCGCTTCCTGACCCATCTTCATCCCGCCGAGCAGCTTCCAGTGGAAGTCGACCGCATCCGTAGAGCTCATGAACACGATGACTTTGTTGCCCTGGTTCGTGTCCTTCTTGCCGACCAGTGACCGGACGAGCGCGATGAGGGTGACCAGTCGAAGTTTAGTAGGAACGACAACGTACTTCTGGGACAGCTGAGATGGTGGTGTAAACTTGTCCGAGGTGGTGGGAAGGACGATCGCATTGGCGGACTCTAGCGCCGCCTTGACCGCCGGATCCTGCTCCTTCTTGACCTCATCCTCCACCTTGACCGCCTCGGATTGCGCGCGGAAAACGATAGGATCCTGCAGCGCCGCACCCGCCAGCTTCTCCACCTTGGCATCCACCGTCGCCGAACACAGCACGTTCTGCCGCCCTCGCCCCCAGTATCCCCAGCGCATCCGGCCAACCTCCGCCTCGCCCTCACCGCCTATTTCCGCCCTCCGCCGCCCATCCAGCGCCTTAATGATCCCTTGAATCGTCTCTTCGAAGCCCAGATCCATCAATCTATCCGCCTCGTCCAGCACCAAAAACATGGTTTTGGCAAATTTGAAGGCTGTGGTGTTTTGGAGATGGTCCAGCAGTCTACCCGGCGTAGCTACCAAAATGGGCACGCCTTTCCGCAGCTTAGCCTTCTCGTGCGTCTTGGTAGACCCGCCAGTGAGCAGTCCGGAGACCAGCCAGCGGGTCATAGGCGCGCTATCCTCGGAGTCATCCGCGAGGGAGAGGGAAAGGAGCTGTTCCAGCACTTTCGAGATCTGCTGTGCCAGCTCCCGAGTAGGAGCGAGAATGATGGCGAGCGTCCCGATGGAGCGGTCGATATAGGATAGGCGCGATAAGGGGAGAAGGGTCTGAATGATGGGGAGGAGGTAGGTGAGGGTCTTTCCGGAACCGGTTTGCGATTGGATAAAGACGTCGCGAGGGGAGAGTTGAGGGGTAAGGACAGGCTTGGCATCGTACTCGTCCTCGTCCTCGATAGGAGCGGAGGCGAGATTGATGTCGAGGGGTGCGGAGAGGAGGTAAGGGAGGGAAGACCGCTGTACGCCGGTCGGTGCCTGGACCGACATCTTGCCCTTGAGATGCCGGACTAGCAGCTTGTCCAGGCCAAGCCCCTCGAACGTGCTCCTATCGAGCGGAGCATTCGAGGGAGCAGCGACCTTGACGGGCTGAGCAGGAGCAGCGGAGGCCGGGACCGAGGCGATAGGGTCATTGTACGAGAACAACGAGGAGATGATTTGCGGAGCCGCCGTTTTACCTTTCGCTGGCGCCGCTGTGGCCTGGGTAGGCAGTGACTGACGAGACCGAGAAGGACCAGCCTGACTAGCAGAGTCATCCCTCGGCTCAGCCCTACTGGCTGGCCGGCTTGCGGACTGTTGCTCGCGAGCAGCAGGCCTGGACTGGCTGGCTGCAGGATTCGAGGGGTGTCCGCCGAGCGGCCGAGATGGTCGGACCTGCTGTACCGGTGCAGGACGAGGAGATTGTACTGGGGCCGCAGTGGGAGTATAAGGCGCCTTCTCTGCAGCTGGCCGAGAGGTCTTGCCGATCTCTCGTCTGACTTTTGCTCTAGGAAGGGTCAGCTACAGCTCGAGATCTCGCGAACGGACTGACCGGTCGGTCCATCTCCCACCCTTTGGGATCGCCTGCTTAGATCTTGAGGGAGCCCCCGAGGAAGGGGCGGCGAAGTTGAGCTCTATACCGTCGTCCATGTTGGTCTGCTTGAGTATAGTTGCGGAAAGCAAGGTGAGCAAAAGATTTGCACTTTCAGGTACGTACCAAGATGGCTCGTGACGTAAAGCGAAACGTCATGGTGGCTGCTGCGGCCGCGGCGGCGAGACCCAAAACGCTACGACTTTCTCTCTTCTTTCCTTCTTTCATCTGCCATCATCACCCTCTCCACCTACCTCCCAGCACCCACTTCCCATCTTACACCTCTGCCCTCTCCCCTCCGTCCACCAAATCCCCAAGCTCGCAATCCCCTCCCTCATCGCGATGCCGGCCACCAGATCCACCCGCAGCTCGGCAGCATCCTCGTCCTCGCCATCGCAGCATCCCTCGCGCCCGTCCTCGCCTGCCTCGCAACCCAAGACGGACACAACACATGACAAGGGCGATTTCGTCATCACCGCCCGCGGTACCGTCTTCAGGGTACCTAGCTATTATATGCTGGCCGCGAGGTGAGTCCCAACATCGTCGAGACGCCCATGGACAAAGCTAACGGCACAGCTCCGTCCTACGCGACGCCCACGAGATCGGTTCCGCGGATAGCAAGTTCGAGATTGATCTCGATCAACCCGCTAAAGTCGTCAAACTATGGCTGGACATCCTGATTCGGCACGAGATCCCGCCAGCCTCGGTGGCAGAATCATCCCGTCTTCACCGAGTACTCGCTTTGTGTCGGCAATTCGATTGCACAATCGCTACGAGGACAATCATGACCGGCTTGGAAGCTGCGCTCGGAATCGAAAACGGGTGTGATGACCGAGTGTCTACCAAGGAGTACTTGATCGCCACGGCGACTTTCGGCGGGTCCGCGGAATTCACAAAAGGCGTCCGGGAAAGATATGATTCGAGTGGCACTTCGGCGGACCCCGGCGCAGCTACGAGCCTCTACGTCATGAAAGGCCTCAGGCGGAACCCGGCTACTTGGTCGCTGAGGGAGTTCTCTCGCTTGCCAACGGAGTATTGCTGGGCTCTCGTCCGGTCATATCATGTCTCCCAGGAGACCGGTGCCAATCAGGCGGATAAATTGAAGGTGCTGCTGGAACATCTCGATAGTGAGTGGAAGTTTCACATGTCTTGGTCTATATTGCGTCACCGTAGCTGACGCTTGGACAGAGCGTGGCTTAGACAAGGCCTCTATTTCGGCCGCCCCCGACCTATCGATGGGGGACGAGTAGCATGAGTTCCATGTGGTCGTTAGGGATGGTGGTGGCTGTCCAGGACGGGGAATCTGGAGATTCGCATTAGATTTGCATGTCGGGGTATGTAATAAACAGCCAAGGCGCCTGAGTTGTAGATATCAGCACAGTTCAGCATTGTGGGCGACGCACGACTCCAATGATGCCACAGCAGTACTGCCACAGCTCGAGATTTGCGCGAGACAGCTCCACATTCCTCAGCCGAACCCCGCAGCCCACACGATCCACGATGCCGAAATTTGACCGGCACTTCTGCTAACCTTTCCGCATTGCTCATATCTTTCGCGTCACATGAGAGCCAGCCGAAGGAGGAGGTGATCATCAGCAACACTTCGACAAATACCCGCGCCCGCCCCACACTGGCTCCAAATGGCCTCATCTTCCTCCACTTCGTCGGCTGCCTCTGCAGAGAGCGAATCGGAGGCGGAGATAAAGGACTCGAAGACATACACTGAGGGAGACTGCTCAACCGTGTCATCTGACGATGTCAGGTTTCGCTTACCAAGCTTTTATATGCGTGCTGCAAGGTGAGCCGGCTGAGCTGCTAGTGCAATATTGTAGTTGAGATCGCGTTTGAGGATCTGAAAGCTAACGAAGCAGTTCCGTCTTTCGAGACATGCACGAGATCGGCTCGGAAACCACACTCGACATTCCAATGACTGATGGCAACCTCGAAACGGCGGTCCGGATCAGGGCATGGCTCGATGTCATCACCGGCAAAGGTCTCAAAATCAACGACAATTTCCCCTTCCTCTCTCAGTCCGTCATCCAGCTCGCTCGTAAATACGAATGCCCGGGGGTGGAGAGCTCTACCATCGCATTTGTCCACAGGGCTATGGAGATACTACCAATGGAGAAAACCTTTCAATTACTGCGCGTCGGTGCGGCTATCGACGACCCCGAGATCGTCGCGAAGGCCATCCGCGTGCTAGGGGACGTTCACTGGGGTGAAGAGATCCCGCCCCTACCGGCAGACCAGATCCCCGGCGTTCCGGAAACCTGGATGACGGACCCATCTACCTGGTCATGGGCTCATTACAAAGATCTACCTCTTGAGTACCTGTGGGCGATGTCGAGGTCAAGCAGGATGGGCGGTACAAAGGAGGACCGGGGCATCAAGATGATGGAGTTGATAGAGGAGATCAAGTGTGAGTCCTCCTCACAATGTGAGATGACTACTAATCCCTTTACAGTGTCAGATGCCGAGAAGCGGAAGGCAGAGAGGGATTTTGCTATGGAACAGTAGGGGGTCTAGCTCGTCGGTCGTGGAGGAGATCGTGAGTTGCGCTATGTCGCCCGATAGCGCGATGCGTCATCAGCTCATCTATCCAGTCTATGGAGTCTGCTCATTGGTCCGCAGGCGTCCCTCTGCAGGTCGATCAGCAGCTTAGCCGGGGCTTGGGCAATCGGCAAGGAAAAGTCCGTGACAGTGCGAGCGCGATGACATGGGCGGCAGCTCATCGTCAAGCAATATATGCCTGGCAGCAATTGATTTATCCTACACCTCCGTGCGCTATGCATCTTGCGTGCGTACATCGAGCAGAGATATTGGGGGGCTGTCCGGCATCGAAGACGCCGGTACGCAGCATGGTACTGCGAAGCGGACGGAACCAAATATCCAGCTCCACATTCCTCAGATTTCGGCAGACTCCGGCAGATGTGACACACCTATTCACCTCAGCACCTATCGCGTCCAGAACACATCCTGGCTTGAGTAATATTCCTGTATCCTCGCCCAGATGTCTCCTTCGTGTCAATCAGACGTCGAACGCAGAGCCAGCTTGAAGCCATTCGAAGCACCCCGATCGCACGTGCGAAAGATGTCTCCGCTCGCCGTTTCAGGTAGTTTCAGGAACATCCGGGGCTTTCCGGGGTAACGCCGAATTCCCCGAAAGATGTTCAGGCACCTTCAGGTACGCCAGCGTGCATCCTCTTGGCGTCTGCTTTTAGATCTGCCTCAACTTTCAAGGGCGCGTCCTTCGTTATGAACCTGTGAGCTTGTTGTCCTTCACCATTCCGGAAGTTCAGGCTCAGCTGCATAACGCCTCGAACTTACAGGCCGTGCGAACCTTGTTGCCCCGCCCCTCCAGCTGTCCAGAACGCTCCAGGCCCTTTCAGTGGTCGACGATAAGGGGCAATAGGGGGCAAGAAGCTCCAAAGGACAAGAAAGGACACCGCTGTGGTCCGGATCCGAAGCAGGGCTTACAAAGCATCAACATGAGCACCGGGGCCACACATGGGCGACGCGCCTCCCCTCCTGGACGGAGTACATATTATCATATATACTTATACTGACCCCGCTCACGACGGGTTCCCCAACCCCCTCGCTCCTTTCGAATCACACTCATCCACCTCTCGACCCCTACCCTCACTCCCACATCTACACCATGCACTTCTCCACCGCCTACTTCATCCTCGCCTCCCTGGCCGGTCTCGCCTACTCCAAGCGCACCGAGGGCTCCGGCGACTTTTCGGTCACCATCAACGGCGCCACCTACAGCCCTTCCGAGGGCAAGAGCGACGAGCCCAAGAAGCTTTCGACCTGCACCGGACTCATCAAGGTCCGAGGCGTCCACGTCGGGTACGACATTGACTGTGCCACCCTCGCTGTTCTGAACTACACCCTCACCGGTGCTGCGGATGGTCAGCGTGAGTCTCTCTTCCTCTGTCACCTCGCGCGAAGCTGATCAGGTAGGCATGGTCACCAAGCCCACCGTCGTCTTCTCCTCCAAGACCGCCACCCTCACCCCTGCCCAGCTCAAGGGGTCCACCATCTCCAAGTTTGAGCTCCGTGACGACAACTTCAACATCATCTTCAACACTGGCGCTGGCAAGCTCAAGGTCCAGAGCAAGGATGGCGCGCAAGGCGGGATCTTCCAGATGGAGACGGAGTTTGCGGCGAACGTCGAGTTCACCCATACCCTGGGTCCGGAGCTGTTCTACTTTACCAACGCGGTGACTGGCAAGATCAACTTTGGCAACGGTGTGGTGAGTACTTCCCCTCTTGGACTGCATGAGCAAAGCTGATGGTATAGTCCGGCGACTCCACCCACAAGATGCTCCTCGGCAAGGACAGCCCCCAAGTCGCCACCAAGACCTACCAGGACGGCCGCATCACCCGCTGGAACGTCTCTCCCGGCGGTCGTCTCGGCGGTGTACTCGGCGAGGACTCGACCGAGCTCGGAGCTGGCGCGTCCAATTGCACCAGCGACTGTCAGGCGCAGAACCAGATCAAGGGGTCCATCCCGCCCTCGGCAGACCCCGTCGATCCTACTCCCCTTCCCGGAGCCAAGAGGGCTCGTTCTATTAGGTACTCTATGGCTTGAGAGCGGCGCTGAAGGAGGCATGAGAAAATTAAGGGTGTGTCGATCTTAGGGCTGTCGCTTTGTCTGATATTGCTATGTATACTTGACCTGCTGAGCGTATGGAAGCGGGTAGAGCGTGGCTGCTGTTGCTAGATACCCGGTCAGAATGCTGTCTGCTGATATGTGTTGGTCAATCGTTTTCCATATATCTTCTCTGTCAGCTTCCACCTCACACACTGGCGGCTGCAGCCTATGCTATGGCAATGAATGGGTGGTGCCAAGCTATATGTAGCTAGGGACTGCAATCATCATCAAGTTATGACCTGCGATGCAAGTCAAGACGCCTGAGGATGACGTAAGGGGATGACCGAAGCGGGCCCGAGATGGCCGAGGCGGCATGCCGCCTGACGGGCCTGACGCCGCTTGGACAGGAGAGCGCTGGGATTTAAAAGGTACATCATTTCATAGCTTCTGGATCCGTCCCTCAAGGATCCAAATATCATAAGCCTTATACCCAGCCCTTCACTCTTCACCTTGACTTACTCGTATAGCTTGAAGCAAACCCGGTCCCGCCAAGCACCCTCCCTCTCCTCGCTGTCGACCAACGCACATTCTGCCCTGTCCTCCCGTCCCTTCGCCGGAGTCTGGCGCTCCTCTCGAGGTCACAATGGTCGACCCGGATATCGAAACTGCGGAGGCCATCGGGCTATGGTTGGATGCCATCACTGGTCGTCTCGCTATCCCCGATAATGAGGTGGGATGGAGGGCCATAGACGTCATGCGTCTCGCTCGGAAGTATGACTGCGCCACAGTCGAGACTGCCATCCGCTTACTCCTCTACAAGCAAGTGGAGACGAGGACCAGCACCGTCCCCATCGTTCTCTTCGGAAGCATCTTCGATGATGCCGACCTCATCGCCAGGGCGATCCGATGCCGGGGCGGCTCCAAGTGGTCCAGGACCCCCCCTCCTGAAGGAGATGACGGGGTGCTGGGGGGCGAGCAGGTATTCGACCTAGCCACATGGCCTTTGGGTCATGCACGCCGCATCCCATTCGAATACGTTTGGGCATTGGCGCGTACCCGCAGGCTGGGCGGGACGCACGCAGAGCAGGCAGATCGGTTCCCGGCGCTGCTAGAACAAGCCAAAGGTGAGTATGTACTCTAATTGTCTGCCTCGCCAGCCGATTTTGATACACCTGAGCTGATTCAAGCAGGGTCCTCGGCTACAAAGACAGGGCACAAGAGGAAGGCGGATGATGACGAGAAAGCGTAGGAGGGTCATCGGGGTTGCCTTCAGTCAATAGTTCGAGCTCAATGCTACAAGAACGCTTCGGCTCAGCAGGGCCCGCACGAGCCCCTAGCTAGCACCACTCACCAGCTAATCCTCTCTCGCTTCCTCTGCGCTAACCGAGTGCACGGGTCGCCTGACTTTAGCGACTCTCTGCTCACTCATCCTCCTTCCTTCATCCTCTTTCTCTTTCTCATTTGTCCTTCTCACTGCAACCATCAAGGCGCCTTCGAAAGGAATCTCTATCATGCCGACATCCAAGAACACCCCGCCTACCCCAATCATCGATAAAGTCTACTCCCAAGGGGACTTCACTATCATCTCAAGCGATAGCAAGCCCGTCAAGTTCCAGCTACCCAGCTACTATCTGCTGGCAGCGAGGTATATCCGGTATTGGCTCACGCTGCAGATACATAAGCTAATGAAATACTAGCGATGTCATCAGGGGCATGCAGACCGGCGCTCCCCCTCGCCCCTTCCACATCGATATGACGGACAAGGAGTTCGAACACGCCGAGGCTCTACGTCTATGGCTGGACTTCGTGACAAATCGAGGCATGACCATCGACTCGACCTTCATCGGCAAAGCTCGGAACGTCCTGCACCTCGCCCGCAAATACGATTGCTCGGCCATCGCCCGCTCCGTTATCGCCCTCGCGCATACGGCGCTCGAGAAGACACCCACTCTTGCGCAGCAGATCATTGTGCTCGCCGCGCAATGCGATGAGCCAGACTTGGTCGCGAAAGGGATTCGGGCCTATAAGCCGGGGGACGAACCCAACTATCATGGGTCTAGGCACTCCCCCCGACACATCGCAGGTTCGACGGGTGCGCAACTCATACCCAGTCTCGAGCACGTCCGCGTCGAACCCTCGACATGGCCCTTGTCCGACTGGCAAGGCACGCCTCTCACGTACATCTGGACCATCAATCGCGCTCTCACTCTGGCGTCATCACGAGCCGAGCAGGGAGACGCATTTTTGAAGCTGATTGAGGCGGCAAAGGGTATGTGACTCGGACCTTGTCCTCGTAAAGGGACCGGCGCGGGCTGATGGACATAGACCTGGAGAGAAAGGCTGCGTCGGACTCAAAGAAGCGGAAGTTGACTTCAGTGCCAGGGCTTGGCCTGTTCAGCGGCGAGTAATGTGTCCGTTCTGTATTGTAGCGAAACCCCAAAAGCGAGCCCAACAGATATATGATACATAGCCTCATTCTTCTTCCTCATCTTCACTATCGTCTGCCACTCCCACGACCCCTCCGCTCCCCTTGATCTCCCCAAGCTCCCTTCCAAGCCTCTTCAATCTTGAGCCGAACGCCGACCTCGCCCCAGGGTTGGAAGCCACGTCCCAGATCTGCAATGTCGCCTTTGAACCAGCAGCAGCGAGCGTGAGTGGCGCATCTGCATCAGGGGACCAGCGGGCCGTGAAGACTTTGCCCTGCTTATCAGCGCATACCCAGAGGCCAGGAGACAGGGACGCACCACTCCCAGATCTCTGCTTGTAGCAAGACTGATCTCCCTCTTTCTCCCCTTGACGCCCTCGCTCTCCTCATCCGACACGTTCCACACCTTGACCAGCTTGTCCATACCTCCCGTCGCGATACATCCGCGGATGTGCGGGTTGATATCGAGCGCGCCGGCGGCGCCATCATGTGCTGATAGGGTGTATTTGGCGGGAGCGGTGCTGAGCTTGCCGGAAGTGGATTGAGTGAGGGAGGAAGGGAGAACACGGGAGTCGTACGCTAATATGAGACCGTTCTCGAGCGAGACCTGATGGTCAGCAAGTAGCAACAGGATCAAGCGGAGGACATACAAAGAAAGAGTGGGCCTCCCAAGGGTCCCACCTGACACACTCTACGTCCGAGCCCATCTTGAGCCCAATAGCATCATCCACCGCTCTCGAGTCCCACACCTTAACCGTCCTGTCCCATCCTGCACTCAGAACCGCCCGTTCCAGACCCGCTGATGCCGCCTGCGCTCCCTTATTCCACTCTACCGCCTGAATCTTCTCTCCGCCATGTATCGAGTCCCAGCTCCTCAGCGCCGCCATGGGTGACTCGCGCGTCAGGTCCCAGAGCTTGATGGTCGCGTCTGCCGAGCCAGAGAGGAGGAGGTTGCGGTGGTACGGGGACCATGAGAGGGTGAGGACGGGTTGAACGTGGTGCTCGGCGTTGGCGGTAGGCTGGACCATCTGCTTCTTCTTCTTTTTGCCAGTCCCCTTGGGCTTGGCTTCTGGCTTCTCGAGATGTGGGGAGGGACCGAGGATGGCGTGTGGGTAGAGTCCGTCTACCATGTCCGCATCCCAGATCTCGATAGATGGGTCAAAGCTGCCAACGGCGATGTAGGAGCCGGAGGCCGAGCTGTCGGCCGAGCCTGATCCGGGGAAGTCGAGCCACTCGACGCAGAGGGGGAAGGCGGGCAGCATGAGGTCGTGGTGGACGTAGAGGTTCTCGTCGGGCTCATTGTAGATGTGGAAGTCGAGGGAGGAGAGGTCGGATGTGGTACGTGCGGAGATGATCATGTTGTCTGATGATAGGAGGGCGAGCTCTTCGCCTTCGAGGTCGTCATCGTTCTCTTTGAGCGTAATGTAGGGGTCCTCGTCATTGTCGCGGTAGTAGGTGAGCCCTTTGACGTTCGCGAAGGCGCCCATAGCTGGGAGTCAGCTCTGTAGAGCCACATGGAGCTCAGCCAGACTCACCGACACCGCCTGACTCCTCCTCGTCATACTCGTCCATGTTGAACGCCGAGAGATCATTTGGATCAGAAGAGGCCTTCTTCCTCGGCTTCTTTTCTTCCTCATCGACGTCCATTCCATCCAGCCCATCTGTAACGCCTTCCATCCCATCCGGCTTCTCCTCGTCCTCGTCCTCGTCAGAGTCCTCATTGTCGTCGTCCTCGTCGAGACTGGGAATGTCAGCTTTGCTATTTGTGTGGCCGTCCTACAGCCTGCGAGCGGATGTCTGGTAAAGACCAACTCACTCTTCCCATGTCTCATCCCCACCCTCAGCAGCCGCCATCTCCTCCCTCAACTTCTCCAGCGCTCCCGGTCCTCCCAACTTGCCCACCCGCTCCAATTCCGCCTCATCCAGCGTATACTTTTTTGGCTGTAGTGCAGCCTTCCCTCTTGGTACCCATACCAGGGAGGAGATGAGTGTTCCGGACATAGCTGATGGCAGTTATTCGAGTGCAATAAAGCTTTGTAGATACCGCAACGCACAAGCTGTGACGCTGAAAAAATCTCGAACTGCACTGATAAGATCACGTGATCATAACAATGCCGTCATCGTCCCCTGGGTGCGACTGTCCACAGCAACGTCCACAGCGAGAACTCTATGCTCTACTTACATTGCCTAGTCCCCTACAGAATGATACTCAGAATACCATAGTCGGCATGGCGATGATCACAGATGTCAGGTGAGATATCTCCCGAAATTTGGCTGACTTTAGCTACGCGCTCCAAGCGATCCGGCTGTCTGCACTGCGACATACCGATGACCCGCTCACTCCCCGGATCATCTCGGTGGACCCATCCTTCGCTCTCAACCCATACATAGATGCAAGCGGACTATCGGATATCGACCGATGGCCCGAGATAAAGCGGGCGCTGGACTCGCCGCCCCCAGACTACCCGTCCTCGTATGATTCGCTCCGAAATGCGCGGAACGAGCGGGCGACTCGGGATCGGTCGCATAGTCGCGGAGGAGACGATGCGCCTGGTCGAGAGGGCGGTCTGAAGTATACTCAGACAATCATTGGAGCGGGGCGGACGGGCGGTATGGGTATGCGTGTATCGGGAAGAAGAGCCGTCGAGGGGGAGGGACGGGGTAGGAATGGGCCCCGGGCCAATTCAAGCGAGGCACTCAGTCCCATGAAGGGCAAAATGCCCCTGGCGTCGCAGCAGCCTCGGATGGTGGATGATGGGTTCTTCTCGCCCTCGAGACGACCTCGGGCGGATTCTGCGCCAGTCCCGGTCCTTGTCGTTCCGTCCATGACGCCAAGTCAGCTCGGATCCAGCATGCTCGCGTCCGGCCTCGGCTCCGGTGGGGCAGGGCCTCCCGAGCAAGCTCTGAGCATGTCAGAGACATCCGGAGACGTCGAGGATGAGATTCTGGGATCGATGGAGCAGAGATTTGGGGAGGGTTTCAGCTCGGGAATAGGCGGATCAACCAGGCGGACCGATTCGGAGACGGCAGGAAGGGACGCCGGGGCTGGGTTTGGGGAGACTATGGTGGATGAGGGAAGCGACGATGAGGAGGCAGATATGGAAATGGCGGAAGAAGGGGACTATTACCTGGACGAAGCGGCCCGTATAGCCCGAGACGAAAGTCGGCGGTCCTCTATGCTCGACCCGGAAGTAACGCTGTCTTTCGCCACGGTCCCCATCGTTCGACAACCCTCCATTCGCCAGTCCGCCCTCACTGCGGCGCTCAACAAACATATCCCGCATCTCGTGTCTACAGCACATGGACTGGAAACGGAGGATGAGCTCGCACCTCTCGCTCAGCCCAACCCGTTCGCATCGCTCTACACCACCGTCGCGGCGCCAGGTACCGTCGCGTCATTGACGCTCGAGCTCTTCTTCCCTCACTCAGAAGATCCCAGCGTGCCGATCATGGCCAAAGTCAGGAAGGACGCAACGGTGGAAGATGTGACGGGGTATGCGCTGTACAAGTACTGGGAGGAGGGAAGGCAGCCGGGTCTGAGCCAGGAGGAGGTGGAAGAGAGGTGGACTACGGTCGGCTGGGGACTAAGAATCGTCGAGGATGATGGAGAAGTGGATGAGGACTTCCCGCGTGAGCTCAGAGAGTCAATTTGAAGCGAGGCTCCCGAGCTGACTCGACTAGCGCTCGACCGAGACTCCAAGATATCCAAGTTCTCATATGGCCAATTCGGTATCGTCGAAGCCACGGCATCTCAAAGTGAGCTCTCCGTAGTCATCATGCTCAATACTCGAGCTCACATCGCCAGTCAAGCAAAATGCTGCTAAAGCTCCCCTGATCGTCCGCCGCCCCTCCCGCGTAATCGCCCAACCCACCCGTCCCGCTCAATCACGGAACCCCACCAAAGTTCCCGTCACTCAGCGGCCGCCAATCCTGCAGAACGCATCCTCATCATCGTCTGTGCGGAGCTTTTCTTCCAGCGAGAACTTGGCAGTCCCTAGCATGCCCGGCGCGGATGGCGGGACCTTCAAGGGCAGTGTCGGGCTGAGCTCGGCATTGAGCAAGCAGGTCATCCTTCGGATCAGGGTGACTGCTAGTGCTGATGTGCACTTTACCACCACCATCTCAGTGTAAGCTAGGCAGTCCCTCTGCCCTGCGAGATTTGGGATTAGCTGAACCCTGCAGACCATCCGATATCTATATCGCCGATCTGACCGAGATACTGTGCAAGAAGAAACGGCTCGCACCGCCCTATACCGATTGGGTACTCTGTCTGGCTGATCTGACACTGGCTATTCCTGTAGACCGGACGGTGGCGAGTCTGGAGGGGAAGAATGACTTGGCGCTGGTCAAGACCCAGTGGGCTGTGGAGCACGGGTTGCGGATAGGCGATAGAAGAGGTGGAGATCCGAGTGGTGAGCTAAGCTCTCTTCGAAAGCGAAATCTCAAAGCGAATTCAGCTGACATCGCGCAGCATCGATCTTCAAGCGGCAGAGCGAGCCTAATCCGGCAGCTCGGTTCGGACCCGGCCTGGCGGACTTTGCTCAAACTTACAAAGTGAGCCTTCGCCCAGACGCCAGCCATTCCAATGCTGACTCGGTAGAAATATAAGGTCAACCGCAAGATCGCCATCGGCCGGCACGAACGCACCCTCGCCATCGACGGCGACTACATCCACATCATGCCATCCGAATCCCGTGCATTCTTCGATTCCATGAAGACGACGAGTTTCCATATTTCGCTGGTTGCCGGAGTGAAGCTTTCGGGACGGAGTGGCGGGTTCAAGATCAATGTATGGAGGGACGGTGGCCAGAAGCGGTATGAGTTTGAAGGGGAGAATGAGCGGCAGGCTAGTGAGTCTGATGTTTTGGGCAGGGAGCATCCAGCTGATTGTCGTCTCAGTCGAGATAGTCGGGTCAATACAGGGGCTGTAAGCTGAATTTTCACTACAGAAGACTTGGTGGATCAAGCTGACAGACAGAATGCGGGGCTATCTCTCGGAGAGATCATCCATATTACCTACGCCTAGGACAGTCATGAAGCGGTAGAGTTGTAGCAGTATGTGCCAGATATATGTATCATTGGGCAAATATACATGCTGTCGGCCAAGATAGGTTCGATATGGCAGAGCCCACGGCCATGGTCCCTCTTGTCAAGTACCTCATGCCTTCTCATCAGCGCCGCTTCATCGCAGACCCCAGCACCACTCACCGACATCTTCATCTCAATCTTGCCCATCGGCTTATACCCCTCCACTCCAAAATCATCATACCTAAACCCATCCACTCCTCCACTCGCCTCAATCTCCTCCCTCGTCCGCTTCCATACGAGCTTCGGGAACTCCCTCGGCTCCCGCTCGAGCTGCACCGCCAGCGGCTCGACGTGATCCTTGTACACATGCGCATCGCCCATTTGGAGGATAAACTCCTTGGCTTCGCAGCCCGTAAGGTGAGCAATCATGTGCGTGAGGAGGGCGTACGAGGCGATATTGAAGGGCACGCCGAGTCCGAGGTCGCAGGAGCGCTGGTACATGAGGCACGAGAGCTGGGGTTTGGATTCGGGCGTGGAGGGGAGGGTGACGTAGAATTGGCAGAACATGTGACATGGTGGGAGGGCCATGATCCCGAGGTCTGCCCGTTAGCTCCTGCCGATGCAAAAGAAAGAGGGGCGATCAGGACCTACCTTTCGGATTCCAAGCGCTGAGCACTATCCTCCTATCCGTCGGATTGTTCTTGATGGTATCCACCACCCTCGCGAGCTGATCCACCCCTTTGCCCTTATAATCATCCTCGCACGTCCCGTACTCTGCCCCGAAATGGCGCCACTGGAACCCATACACTGGGCCCAGATCGCCTACCCGCCTACGTCCCAATCCGACCTTATCGAGGTACTCTCTCGATCCGTTTCCCTCCCATATATTCACGCCCTTGTCCGCTAAAACCTGCCCGTCCGTACAGCCCGAGACGAACCAGAGGAGCTCTTCGATGACGCCGCGAGTGAAGACGCGCTTGGTGGTGAGGAGGGGGAGGGTGTTGTCCAGGAGTGAAAAGCGGAGCGAAGGGGGCGCGAAGAGTGAGACGGTGCCTGTTCCGGTGCGGTCGGGGCGGGACTGTCCTGTCGAGATGATGCGCCGGATGAGGTCGAGGTATTGGTATTCCTCTGCAGGGTCAGCTTGGATTGCGGTAGGAATCGAGCAGGGAAGGGGAGACGGACCGTGATCAGGATTTGACCTTTGAGGGGTCTCTGCAACGGCAACGGGCATTGCGAGATGATGGAAAGGTGCACAGGAGCAGCTACTGGGCTATGGATGCGGTCTAGGTGGTGAGTAGGGCTAAGTGTTAGTTGGCAAGATGTATGAGAAGACAAGAGCAAAAGTTCAGTTTGACGCGTCCAGCGCGTCCCGTCGCGTCCATCGGCATCATATTATGGCACCGTACAATGCCATCTTACCTCTCTGTGAGTGCTGCCTTATGGGGGATACCAGGAGCTCCAACAGGGCAGAGAGGATAGCTGGAGCAAATAGTAAGGTGGAGAGCCACAATTGCATGTCATAAAGATACCCAAACTCCTCTCGTTGCCAGCTATATAGCACCCCTTCGCCCGACTCGTAATTAGCTATTCTACAATGAGTGACCTATGGAAGAAACGTATACTATACAGAGTATTTGACCCAGCTCACTACCATTTCGTCCGCCATAAGGCTACACCACCGCCTAATCCCTCTCCAAACCCGCCAAGACCTCTACCGCCCTCGCAATCTTCTCCCGAGCCTTCTCGACCCGCGCATCCTCCCTGTCCCAGACCTTGCCAACCTCCTCATCAGCCATCCCGCCCTGCGTGGCGCCCGCACCCAGCCCCAAAGCCAACTTGACATCCTCTTCGGGTACACACAGCTCGACCCTCGGTCCCGCTGCGGCTCCCTTTCCTCCGCGAGCATTACCCGCCGATGTCGAGCGAGACATGTGCGCGGACGATCCGTTCCCAAAGAGCGAAACCAGACCGAGGGTCTCGAGGTTGGAGAGGAGGTCCCGGTAGTCTGATTCGGCGGCGGGAGGGAAGGGGCTGGAGGAATGAGAAAGGAGGTACGAATACGTCGCGTACAGGGTGGAAGTGGAGAGGTCGCCGTGTTTGTGCGGGCTGGTGGTGGGGGTCGAGGCGTTGCTGGCGGCGCTAGGGCAGCCGGGAAGGCCGACGCGGCACCGAGCGAGGTAGATGAGGATGGATACGAGCACCATCTTTCCCTGGAGAGGTACCGAGCGGATCTTGCGGGCGGTCGGGCTGCCCGATGCGCTAGATGATGATCCCGCCGCAGCCTTGAGCTGCTGCGTGTGCGAAGTGAACGCCTTGATGATGTGCGGGAGGGCGATTTTGACAAGGGGGACTACCGGAGCGTCAGGCGCATCCGACTCGGACGTGAATGTCTTTTTGACCCATTCAGCCTCGGCGAGGTTGACGGCCGATGTCAAGGATGCGAGGCATGTTCGCAGATCCCCGTTCTGCGCCTCGACTTTGCGCGTCAAGAGCTCGATCGCCTTCTGGTCGACCTTGACAGTCTCAAAGTCCAGCCGGTCTATCGCGGCCGCGGCGATACGAGAGTTGACAATCTCGATCATCTCGGCGGTACCGTATGCGCGGAAGGGGAGGACCTGAGGCTGGGTGCCGGTAGGGAGGACGAGACGAGCGCGGACGGTCAGGTCGAGGGTGTTGGAAATGGCAATGAACTTGATGGTGGTGGAGGGGGTAGAGAGGAGGGGAAGCGAGAAGAGGCGGGAGAGCAGGTGTGAGGTAGCCGGTGTAGGAAGAGCCGGGGCGGGAGGGAGAAGCGAGTCGACCTCGTCCAGGATGATCAAGCTAGCGGGTCAGCTATAATCATGCAATAGATTTGGGTGACTCACGTGTTCTTGCCGAGACGCGCAATGGCGGCTTGTACGCCCTCTTCTGACCTCTCACAACCCAGCTGCTCAGCCAACAACGCCCGGATACTGCCCGCGTTGACGCCCATACATCCCACCTCCACAACATTCCACCCTTCCATGGCCATCTCCCGTCCCATCGCAGTGACCAGCGCGGTCTTGCCCGTTCCAGGCGGTCCAGAAACGTACAGCCCTACGTCGTACGCCGACCGAAGCGAGAAGTATGACCTCAGAACAGCCTTCTCATCTTCCCGCCCAATGACGTCGGCCGAAGTGGATCTCTCGGTAGAAGACGAGAGCCGGAGGAAGGATTTGAGGTGCTTGTACGCGTTCTTGGCCTTCATCGGGATCCCGCCCGCGACTGCCATGTCCGGATCGGCATCGACCTCGGTAGCGTCCGACGAGATGGAGAGGGTCGAATCGACGCGTACGAGCTGCATCCGGCGACCAGTCGCGTCCACCTCGGAGCGGAGGGAGGGGGAGGATGAAGGTGGTGTGGGGAGTGTGACGCCTCGACGAGGTACCGGGCGTGCTTTAGTAGGAGTTCGATCGAGGTCCATGTCATCCTCCGCCTCACCGAGGACATCAAGGGGATCGATTGAGCTCGATGAAGTAGCGTTGGATGGTGATGGAGAGGGGGAAGGAAAGACGGTTGATCGGCGCGAAAATAGCGAGTTGGGGCCTGCACTATCAGCATGAATTCGGGCTCGTGTAGGACGAGGAGACATACCTGAAGAGCTCTCGCTCCGTACACTAGCGACACTACCGCTCCTCGCTCTGCCTATTCCACTCCCGCTTCCACTGGCCCTCCGGCTGACCCGTAGCCTCTTCCTGGAACTGCTCTCGGCCTCATCCCTCTCCGCGTCCTTCTTTGGTGGTACATTCTCCTTGCCCTTTCCAAACCGCCTTCCGGGCCCGCCAAAGACATCCTCGGGATCACCCTTACCCCTCCCACCTCCACCTGAACCAGACGCGACGCTTTCCTTCAGGTCGGTCGGGCTGGAAAGGGCCGGTGTAGACTGGGTACGGACGAGCATGCCTCCTCGAGACGGGCCAGCGGCGCCGCTGCCTCCTCCCCGGCTAGGCGTGAGCGCTGCGAGCGATAGCCCTGAGGCGGTCGTGCGGCGCGTGGCTGGCGATAGCGAGGTAGAGCTCCGTGTGAGAGGTGTAGGGGGCGCGAGGTGGAGAGTGGACGAGGGCGTTTGGATAGGTCGCGTGGGTGTAGTGGTAGGTTGGGGGGAGGGAGGGGTGGTGATGGTCGTAGGAGAGACTGAGGGCTCTGGAGCTGCTACAGCAGGGGTCCGACGAGTCGCGCGAGCCGTAGGAGGCGGGGTAGGGGGCGCGTTCTCCTCGTCCGCCGTTACCGTACGCGTGCGTTTCGAAGCGGCGGGCATGGTGCTGATATGAGAGTGGTGAGGACGGAGGAAGTAGGAGGAGATATAGACAAGGTACTATACGAAAGGTCTATGAGAAGAAAGTACTGGACATCCAGAAAGAAAAAGGTGGTGAAGGGGGAAGAAGGAAGTCGGAGAATTCTTTGGATGACTGAGTGCCGGAGTGAACAGGCGACTAGGTGTATGCGCGAGTGGTGGATGTAGAAGAGAGATGTATGGAAGGGAACTACGACGTACACTTCCCAATGACACCGGTCAGACCTCTTCTTTCAGGTGGCTTCAGGCTAGGATAGGTGAAATATATGCAGTAAGGTGAATCCAAGTCACGCACATCAGGGAAGACAGGGCAGCATCGCGTTTCAGGTTCCGGAAACTAACCTCGCCGCGTCTTCATTTTCTCGTCCGTCTCCGCCTGTCTCACTCGGTCATCGCACATGCATACAAGGATGGACGCGACAGGTGCGCAGAGTATATGCACACGCCGAGGATCGACAGCTATTTCTCGCAGGAAGGAAGAGGAGAAAGCACAAAAGCTACGTCCTTCTTCCTTGTCCGCTGCCACACGACCCTCCGGCCGGACGCGGATTGCACCCGGACGCGTGACGCCACCCGGATTTCCGAAAGTCAGGCGCGTGTCGAATGTGGCGCCGCACCAAAGGACTGCCACACTAGGCGACCTGTCACCACATTTCAGTACTTCTTGATCCTTCCTGTCCTCAGAGAGTCAGGCCATACAACGTGCATAGCAGGATATCAAGTTAGATTGGCTACATGATAGTATACAGCTGAATTCCAAGATGCGAATAGCAGGAATTGTCCAAAGTCCACGATGAGAGGAGCATCTCATCTCGCCACCCCCATCGCCATCCCACCTCCAGGATGCAACCCCGGCTCACCCAGCGCCACACCCACCACGACCCCATCTCTCGGCTCCAGGCCGTACCTCGCGCGCATCTCATCGCTCAACCACCTCCCCTCGACATACTTTCTCCGGACAAAGTCGGCGATATCCCTACTAGGTCGTCAGTTTCGCTTCTGCGCGGCCGCACGGCTCTCGCAGCGATTCAACTCACTCTTCACTCCCCCTCTTCTCCCCATCTGAAAGCATAGCCTCCCAGACCATATTCCCACGCTCGTTCCCCCATTCCAAGGCCAGCGCTATACTCTCCTGTGTCCAAATATCGAGGTCGACCGAGCGCGGCTTGGAGATGTGCGTGCCGAACGACCGATGGATCCCACAGCAGCGGATACAGATGAACATGACCATGGATGTGTCTCGTAGGCCTATTGGATCAGCTCTCGTCCTCGAGCAGCACATGTGTATCGAGGCGAGCTTACTGATTGTCGCCCAGCGACTAGACTTGGTGCTTTTGCCACAATCCGCACAAGCCGTATTCCCGGACGCACCCGCCACCTTTCTCAACGTCTCCATATCCAGCCTCCCCTCATTCACCGCCTTCGGGACCGGCGGGACATCCGCCGACCGGCTTCGCGTCATCTCCTCCCCTGCGCCGCTCGGATTACCCGCCGTCCCCAAAACACCTTTTCCTTCCGATTTGACCCGGCGCCCTTCAGCAGCTGGCGAGCTGGTAGGTGAGAAACCGATCCCTAAGCCCGCCATCTCCATGACGCGCTTCTCAATCTGCCCGTCGGGATCAACATCATACCATGTCCCCGCGTCGCTGGGGGGCTCGACCATTGTCGAGCCGGTCGTCTGGGTCGCGGTGCTCGTGTTGAGCTGCGTTGTAGGCGTCTCGTGTGACCCATCGGTGGACGAAGGGAGAGGGGGCGGGTCTTCCGTCCATCCCGAAGACGCCGAGACCGCAGAATGGGAAGAAGAGCTCTTCATCCTCGTTCCGGGGGATAAGAACCCGGGTCGCCCGTCTCCGCCATGGGGATGCCGAGAGCTCATGGCGTCTTTCCACTTCTCCCCCGCTATCTCTGCAGATTGCCGCAGAGCTTTCTTGAAGCTCGTCTGCCGTTTACGGGGTCGGGCGTCAAAGAGGCCTGGGCCGCCCTCGTCAGGTCGGCTAGGGGGCGGCATGGACCGCCGGGACGGACTGCCCGGGATGTAAGGCATAGGCATAGGAAGGCCGTTCGGGCGGGAAGGGATCCCAGGGATGGGGAAGCCGAGTTTTTGGCGAAGAGGGACGGCATGGTCGTCGTATGCCCCGGAGATGGTGCGGAGCTTGGAGGTGTCAAAAGTCCGGACGGAGGAGGTGCCTTGTATCACCGATTCAATGGCGTTGCAGATAGCGTAGATCCATTGCTACACTATCAGCTATGCTATCCTCCGGACACCAGAATGAGGGAAACAAGCTTACTTTCATCTCCGTGTCCGAGGTGGCTTGATACAGCCGCCGACCTTGCGTGGGAGTGACAATCTCAAATACTGAAAGATCAGCTACCTGCCCGATCGTGGCGGAACGTATTAGCTCACCGAATCTCCTATCCGTCCCCCTGCCTTCTCGTACACTCGCAAACTTCAGGTCAATCACCGCATGTGGACCTTCAGGACGATCAAAGTCCGTGTCGCGGTACTACTGGTCAGCTTCACCCTTACGACAAAAAGAACTGGTAAGCTCACCTCGTAGATCGACGAATGATCTAGTACGACCCAATACTTCTCCCACTTGACCTTCCCGCCCTTCCCGACCTCCTCCCACGTTCCCGCTCCCCAAAGTACACCCTCTCGCTTCCGGCCTGCATCTTCCCGCTCCTCTCCTAGACCCTCCGTCTGATCCACACTCTCCACCGTACTCAGCGGCACGAAAGCGCTGTGCGGTACCGGCATCGAATCCGCCGACTTGCTCGGTCGACGCATCGCCAGCCCGCCGATCGCAGGTCCAGTCTCCGTCAGACCAGGCGGTAGGATCGGGAGCGGAAACAGAGCCGGATCAACGAGGAAGGGCGCAGCATCCGGAGTGACCTGTATCGAGTGCCGATTATGCAATTTCGGCCTTGAGCCCCCTGGCGTCGAAACGTCGTCTTGCGGCTGAGGAACAGCCCGGATCGTCGATCCCGGAGCCGACACTGGTGTGTACCCCGCTTCTTCCCCTTCGTCCAGCTCCGCCAGTTCCCGGATAGCCTCCGCCCTCCTGCCCGTCAACGCCGAAACGTCAAAGCTATTCCGATTCGACTTGTCTCCCGGCTGCAGGTGCCCGTTCCGACCTATGACGCCCGCGAGATCCTTGGAGGACCCAGACGAGCTGAGCAAATCTCTCAATCTACCGCCGACGGACCGATGTAGCTTGTGCATCTTTCCTGCGTTCTTCTTGAACTCGACGCCGGCGGAGGATATGGGGGTGATATGGGCAGAGTAGGACAGGTTTGGCGAGAGCGGCTTTTCCGAGGTCCGAGCGGCGAATTTGGACTCCGAGAGAGTGACGAGACGGTTTGCCTCGTCCTCTAGCCGAGCGGTCTGCTGGTTCCGCTTTGCCCATCCATCGAGCAGTTCTACTCTCACGCCTGCGAGCTTCGAAAGGGAGGTAGCGACCTCCTCCTTGAGCCGCAGGGAGGGCGGAATGGAGTTGATTGACCCTTCTTTGGGCGGGCGGGAGACGAGACTCGGCGCGGAACCGAAAGCCTCGTCCATCCCACCTGTGCTTTCCCGCCTGACAGGGTTTTCGCCGAGAACCCCTCCGACCCAGCCGTATAGATTTACGAGCAGATCGAGGCAGCTCAGCGAAGATGGAGGCACCGCGTAGAGTAGGGTCGAGTGGTGTGAATATCTAGCGAGCTCGAAAGCTGCTGTTCGGGCGGACTGCTCCGTCTCGCCGGCGGTTGGCGAGGCGTGTCGCGGATTTGAAGCAGGAGACGATGTGGTGGCTGACATGGAATGTGATGCGGGTGCTGAGCTGGAGGAGGGGTCCGAATGTGACAGATAGTTGGACGTCTGATCGTAGTACTGCTTCGTAGTACGCTGTCTGTTCAGCTCTGCCCCCCACTTCAAGAAGAGTCGTCAGCTGGAGTACAAGACTAACCTCAAATCTCGCTTGCGTTCCCCCTCCTGCTAGTCCCCAGCGCTTCAAATCCCCCTTCATACCAGCCACTCCCTGCTCCACCATCCCCCTCACTTCTTCCCTTTGCCCCTTCCACCTCTCTTTCCGTACCTTCCTCACCCCATCCTCTGCCCATATCCCGCCCGCCACGCCAAACCCTCCTTCCAGATACCGCCCCAATTCCCCCAACACCAACAAGAACTCCTCTTCCGCCTTCTCGACAGCTTCGAGTACAGCAATCAACACCGAGCTGTGGTTGAGCACGGACTTTGACAGGCGTTTCAGAGTGGAAGTGGACGTTTCGAGGTGGGCGAGGGTTGAGCGATAGAGGATGGAGTCGGGGAGAGGGGCGGTAGGGACCGGTCCTTCGCCATTGCCAACGCGAAAAGGCGGCGATATGGGAGTGGGCGAAGGGACTCGCCGGATACGCGAAGGACCTGGGAGGTTGGGCTCGGAGAACCCTATTTGAGGGAGGCTGGAGCCAGAGTGCGAGCTGGGCGAGGGCGGCGTCGAGTGATCTTCCGATGTCACTGAGAAGGACAGAGGTGAAGGCTGCCGGACGATAGGTAGGGAAGGCGGCGAGCTTGCCAGACTCGCTGGGTGGATCATGCTGGCGGCAGGGCAAAGGGATCTCCTGTGGGAGTTGAAGCAGATTTCGGGCACAATCTGCGGAATATGGGCGGTAAAGGGAAGAGTCTCTCGAGCGACTCCGAGCTCTTTTCGGTGGGGAATACCTCCTTGTTGATAGCTTCGCTCTGTGATGGTGTAGGTATGTAGGTGTGAGAGAGCGAGTCAAAGTCCAAGGGGTAGATGATGAAACGTTACACCTGCAGCTGCAGTGGCAACCCCCATGTCATAACCGATGGCAACAACAGTGACGTGGACTTTAGCTGGAAAAAGTTGCCGTATCACGGACCGTTTCACTTGTCACACCCAGGTTTCAGATATACAACTCGTCAGTATCTGCTATATCATCAAGCCACACTCTTGACAGCTTCACAGACAGCAAGGAAGATCGCAGCGAAGATGTCGTTCGACGCCAAAACGACGGGGAATGCGCCGGAGATTGAGATGCAGTTCGCGGTGAAGACAGTGGAGCACCTGGAGGTGCGTTTCGTCAGATTCGAGCATGTTCCACGGAGAGCGGTATACGCACAAGAAGCTAACTATGATAGGCATATGAGAAGCTGCTCGGTGCCATCCCACCAAGTAGAATGAAGCTCACGCCGTACGCTACTCCTCACTTGGATCTTAGGCGTCCGAAGCTGATCGTACAGTATGGACGACGAAATCCACTCCCGTTTCCTTGAAATCTTCCCAGAGTACAAGTTTGACGAGGCGCTCAGAATACTAGACGAGGACAAGATGAAGACCGCGGCTGGGAAGGAGAGATGGCGGAGCTTTATCATGCCAGTAAGCTGTCCATCACCTCTCCGAGGATGGAGGAAGGATTGAGCTGATTAATCCAGTATGAGGGACGGTTGACGGACTACAACTTTGGGACGCTCGTACGCCGGAATGCGGATGAGCCGTACGGGGAGGACAACTGTATCTTGGTTACTCGAGTGCAGTTCTTCGGCATCGAGGTGAGCTAGCGTAATCCGAATAACAGGAGCGCAAAGCTAACGGCTAGATTGCGCGGAACCGAGCGGGTCTCAATGACAAGGTGTATAATGCGGCGCAGGCAGCCAAGGCCAAGAGCTCATGACATCGCCGAACAATGCGAATGCAACCTTGGCAAGAACGACACTAGAGGGCATTGGAAGGAGGCGGCTGATTGGGGCGACGCTGTCAAAAAGTACAGAACCAAGCGGGTTTCCCGAACGATCTTAAGAACCGCTGATGATTCTGACGACGCGCTCATCACATCAAAGCGGCAGGAGTGGGCGTTCCGCGTCTGCGCAAATGACGGATGTCTCTTCCGCATTCATGTCTATGCAGCTCCACGCAGCCGCCGCGAAGCGAGGATCCCGTGCCCTACCGCCGCGAGGATGTTTACAGCGCGACACACGAGGATGTCACGGGTGGTGGAAACGAACGGCCTTCTACTGGGACGCGTACAGCATCCAAAAATTAAACAAGCCTGCATGGAGCCGACGACACACGCTTCAACGTTCTCCTCGTCACGCCACCGCATCGAGGTCGACAAATGTCTCCCCGCTGTCCACCGACGCTGCGTAAACACCCCAGACTTCCGCGCCATCGCCTCGCTCGTCTTTTGTTGGCGGGAGCCCCAACGTCCCGTAGGCATTCATGGCCGCCAGTTCTTTGGGGCTGAGTCCGGTGTACTCCTTTCCTCCGACAAACTGCGCCAGGGTCCAGCTTGTCCATCGGGATTTTTCTCGCTGGCTCGGGGCCTTGTCGAGCACTCCAGTCGACGGATGTACAGCTCATCGAGAATGCTGTCAAGATCTCGCTTCTCGATGCGGATCATCTTCCTCAATGTCGCGTTGGGCAACTTCTCCAAGCCAGCGACATGCTCCGCGAACGTCTTCGCAGTGGTGTCGGCGTCGTCGAGGCTGCGCGATGGAGGAAAGTATGCTCGGCCTTCTGAATGTGCAGTCTCAAGCCGGGAGTCCACGAACGTTGCAAGCTCAACCCAAGGAGAGGGTATCGCATTTCAGGTGTCGTCCGGCCCACGCCCCCGCTGGCCATCATCGCACTCACCGTCGCTTGGGTGAGCCTGTCCTGCAGCTTGCTGCACTGGATGAGCGTGAAGGTCATCCACCGAGCATGTTGTCTCGGTGACCATCCGCTGTTCGCGTGGTACTTGTAATGCAGGTCCTTCAACATCTGGTCGAGGTTCTCCGTGGAATGCAGTCTCAATGGTAGCGCTTGTGCCTTGTGGAGTGGGAACTTTCGGCTTGCCGTGATGGTACAGTCTTCTTGAAGGCCTGTGGCGTGGTAGACGATGCGGCCGTTGTAGGCAAGATCACCCCGCTCGACTGTGCCGCTGAGAGCGTCAGGAAGGAGCTCGGTTGACGAGGTGGAAGACATCTTGCGAACGTCAAATGTTGATGTTGCAGTAACGTAGAGAGTAAGGCTCCAAGACCGAAAGAGAGGGGACACTGACGTCGAGGCGCGCAGTGGACTCGCTGGTAGCCATCCTTTGAGCGGTAGATCGACCGAGAATCATGTACGGATGGTGCACGTGTGCTGGAACATTCGATCCCTCTCGACCCGAATGCCCCGTGGCCGATAAGTCACTCGTCCCAGCTTGGTCGACACCGCATGGCGGCCGACCACTACCTACGTCTCAGAGACCTTTGTGTACAGCAGCCGGCGCCAACGGAGTCATGAATACCTGCGGCCTATCAGGGTACAGTACGAGGTCAGTATGGTGAGCAGTAGCATCACTCAACCGGATCAGTTGCAGCTGTCAGATGTCTCGCAAAGCAGAGGACAGCATAGAACCGTACACATTATACCCCTCATCTCACCGCCTATCCCGGTCCCGGTCCCGCTCTCTATCCCTATCACCACCCCGATTCCGATCCCGCTCCTCTCTTCTCCGCCTATCCTCCCTATCCCTATCTCCATCCCTCTCCTTATCCCTCCTTCTCCGCTCCTCCCCATCCCGGCCTCCACCCCGCTGTTCAGGACTCCTCGCTCAGATGCAAACATCGGACAGCAATGACCTCAGGCGCCACGCGCTCCCGACGGGTGTAACTGATTGAAGTCAATTTGATTGCAGAAGGGCACCAAGGCTTCAGGAGGATGACCATTCACTCACAAGGCCATCTTCACGCTCAGTATATCAGGTGGAAAGAATGGTGCGGGGCTGAATGCGCTCAAGGCCCATCCACGTCGCTGGTGTCTGCCTATCGATGACTTCTAGATTTAGTATCGTGTTTGGGCCAAAGCGGTCCCGCTGATTGGGTGACTGGTTGGATCTGCTTGAGCGACCGGTACAAACGGAGAATCCCAGAGTGCTCTGGAGCATTGCGATAAAGGTGAGACAGTGGCCGTCTAGAGCAAGATGACAGAGCCGTGTCGGCGTAAGGCGCTGAAATCTGCTGGCAAGCGCGTTGGCGCGTCAGAGACCTCGCCATAATTGAAGCCTTCATCCCGGTCGCGCCAGTGAGCTGACCTCTGCCGGCCTAAAGGGCCGCGGACATCTTGCTGCGCGGAAGATCGACACTGGGGACGATAAGCAGCGCGAGTGACAAAGAGCCGAAGTATTCAGGCCACCCGGCAGCCGTCCGGCAGCCGGCCGGCCCGGATTAATTGTAGGGTTGGTATCGAGTACGCACTACTATCGTTACGTGCCCCAGTGGAGTCTCGGCAGCTGTCTCAGATCGCAGGCCTGATGGAGTACGCACGATAGCGGACGACCCATCCGCAGCGGAGTCCTGACGGCGGTAAGTGCTACTACCCCGACTTATGAATGGAGTACGCACTACTCATCCGCAGCGGAAAAAGTAGTACCCACAACCCATCCGCAGCGGAAAAAGTTAAAAAGTGCGACCATTTGCCTACATGCCTAGGGTCTTCATTCATATATTCGGTGCTGTTCGAGATGCAGCCCTAGTACTTGGTCTTAGCCCTCGGGCCTCGGGCCCCTCAAGGACACCTGGCCGATATATTAATGACCGGTCGTTGGACGATCACGCCCCATCCTTGCTAACGATCATCATGATCTTCTCAGTCCACGGTCTCCTCCTCGCCTCACTCTCCGTCAGCCTGGCCTTTGCCGGCCGATTCGAGTCTCCCCGCCAGCAGTCGTCTGCACCTGCTGGCCCAGCCGTTCGACAACGGCAAGCCTCCCGAGCCCAGATAGTGCGGCGTGCGACCCGGAAGAGAGACACAGCGCCGGCTCCAAATACCTCCCCGCAAGTGTAGGCTCGTTCCGATTTTTCCGCCCAAGCTCACTCACGCTGACATCCGCAGGAGCTGTGGCAGTCAGCCAGTCGGGCAACCCTTCATTCTCCGTACGGACCTACAGACCAACAATTACTTTACCGACTATGTCCGCTCGCTGCCAAATTCTATCTACAACAGCGTCAAAACCCCGATCGGTCAAGCGACTGTGTGGGTCCTGGACTCCTACTGTGCCTTGCGCCCAGACAACGACAGGTCTAGACGAGGTGAGTCTTGGGCAATTTGAGGTCATTTAAGTATAGCGGCCAGCGCTCACTGCCATAGCTTCCGCGCAAGGCAATACAGGTAGCTTTGTCTTTACAACGGCCGACGGCGATGGCGATACCCTTACCTGTACTGTCGACGCTGCCGCTGTTCTGACGTGCCGGACAGCCCAAGGTCTCGCCGTCACCCGCTGGAGTACCGGAATCAATGTCCTGACCCTCTACCCGAATGCAAACTCGGGCGACCCAGCCATCACCCTGACAGTTGAGGCGTACACTGGACCTCAGTGAGTCACTCCCGACCGCATCTTCAGCAGACACGCGGCGCTAGCAAGCTCACCTGAGCAGTGTATGCGGCACCGTCCCTATGGACGCAGCCATCTTCATTCGCTCCGACGTCGGTACATCTGCGTTTGTCGGCGCCGGCGTTGGGGGATCTCGCTACGATGTTGGTCGAGATAGAAGTGGGAGCACATTTTTTGTGCTCGATCGGACCTGCACCTTCCGTGAATACGAGTCTCCTTTTGCACAGGGTACGTACCGATCGCGAGTCTCCACACGCGTACGCACAGGGGCTCACCGTATCTAGGCTCCGTCACCGACTCCACAACCGGGTCATATATCGAAAGAGTGGACAGCCGGTACGGAACCGTTCGAGCCGTCACATGCACGGCCGATGCCGCGAATGTCCTGACGTGCCGAGCTGGGAATGGGCTCGACAGCACCCGCCATAGTCCACAAGGCGGGTCTGATTACCTGACCCTGTACAATAGCGTCACCAATCCTGGAGGGGATCCGAGCGTGACTCTGACGGCGGAGTTGGCTTAGGTGGGAAGGCGGACAAGTCCGCCGCGATCTTCTCGGGCTTGGGGTACTGGGCAGACAGTCTGCGATTATAATGGCTTCCATGGCTTTAGGGGATGCGTTAGTCACGAGTAGGTATGAATAGATGTGAGCACATATGGGTCACAACGAATGGCGTGAGCCCAATGATCGTTCGTATCCGGATCCCGCTAGATCAGTATCGTGAGTAATGCATGACCTATAACTCGGTGCTGTGAGCTAGCACTCAGTGAGTGATCTTGGAAATGAGGACATCTTCGAGTGCGGGACCCCTACACCATCTCACCGCCTGTCCCGGTCCCGCTCTCCATCCCTGCCTCCACCCCGATCCCGGTCGCGATCCCGCTCTTCTCTCCGCCGCCTATTATCCCCATCTCTATCCCCGTCCCCAGCCTTATCCCTCCTTCTCCGCTCCTCCCCATTCCGACCTCCATTCCGCTCATCCGCACTTCTCGGTCGTTTGCGATCATCACGATCGTACCTTCCCTCCCTCTCCTCTCTGCTGACTCGATGTCGATCCTCATCCCTGTGCCTTTCTCGACGACCGTCTGATTGATCCCCTCCTCGGCGATCATCATCATGACGCCGCCTCACTTCCCCTCTCCCATCCTCCCTATATTCTCTCCGTCCAGCCCCGCTCGACCGGTCTTCCCGTCGCTCACTGCCTGCCTGACCGCCCCGACTGACTTCCGCGCCTCGACGCTGACCGTATCCCGAATCCTGGGGCCTGTTGTCCATCGCTGGTCCGCCTTGCCCCATCCCGCCACCCATACTGCCGCCCATACCCATCCCCATTCCTGCGCCGAATGGCCCCATACCAGGCAGGGTACTGCTGCCGCCGAGATTGGGTATGCCGGCGAGGACCAGCGGGTCGTTGATATTTTGATTTGGGCACGCCGAGCGGAGATGCGGTCCGCCACCTATCTTGTCAGCTTCGCGGACCCTATTTGACAGACGGGGGCCTAGGGAAAGCTTACAGTTCCAACATCCGGTCTCGGTCGTTCCCATGGCGTTGGGATTACTAGCGCCAATACCCATACTTGCTGGTAGACGAGCGGCGTTACCCCATCCTCCGGCAGAGGTATCTTGATCGGCAAGGTGGGTGTATTTGGTTCGTGATGCCTTAAAGTCAGCCTTGTCGCAGCGGAGAGGCTAGCCAGCTTACCTTTCCGAAATCCCGTACTTGCATGACCTTTGGCAGCATCGACACGTCCACTGCAGACTCCGTAGCGCCGGTATAGTCTCGCGCGAGTAGATTGTCGTCCTGCACCCATCAGCTCATCCCACCCCGAAGATGATCGACTTACCGTGTGGAAAGCACCCTTGTGGTAGTACTTTTGCATGAACCCCATCTCCCCCTTCTCGCGATTCCGTGTCGCCTCGGCAAACTCCATATCCTCCCGCAATCGCTGTTCCTCCGGCATAGCACGACGCCGCTCGATCTCTTCTTGCTCCTCGTCCTTTGCAGCTTGGGCTTGCTTATCGCGAAGCAGTCGAGCGAGCTCTCGGGCGCGCCACAGGTCGAAGTCGGTGGTAGGGTCGAGACCGTCGGTATCGTCGATGTCTGGTACGATATCTGTTGATTCCTCTGGGATCGGGTCAGCTAAATTCGGCTCCTTAGAAATGGGAGACTCACTCTCTGCTAGTTCTCGCCGGATGGTCTCGCCCGCAATCTCCTTACTATCGTTCTTGCGCTGAGCCTGCGACTCCTCCTCCTGCTTGATCTTCTCCTCTGCGAGCGCCTGCGCCTTCTCCTGCGTCATCCCCCTCAGATCTTTCCGGACAAAGACAGGTCGGAAGGCTGGCTTCTTTTCCTCTTCTGATTCCTCCTCGCTATCTGTTTCGTACTCGCTAGACTGCCTGCTCAGCTCGTCCCAATACCGGTGCGGAGGAGACATACCTCAGATCCGGGCGGTCTGGGGATGGTAGTCTTCGGCTTGACCTCTTCTTCTTCCTCCTCATCGTCCGTCTCTTCTTCTTCGCTCTCCTCCTCCTCTGACCAGTCAGCTATGATAGCACTGGCTTAGAGCATCTACGTACCCTTCTTGACAGGTATTGGCATCGCCTTGCCCACCTCCACATTCTTCAGATCCACCTTCAGATTCCCCGCCGCACTTTGCCGCAACACCCTTCCTGCTCCACCAGCCACCACATCCTTATCCAGCCTTGCTGCTCTCTCCGCCGCCTGTTCCGCCTGGAACCGCTTCCGCTTCTTTACCACAGACTCTTCCTCCTCGTCCTCATCATCATCGTCTGAATCGTCAATGTCGACCTCTGCGCCCGGCTTGCCCTTCCATAGCCGAACTTTTGCGGTTTGTTTGAGCTTTGTAGGCCCTCTGGAGACAGCGGCTACTGCTCCTGGCGCCATGATGACAGTGTTCTGGAATAGTCTAGGTGGAGAGAGACGTCCAAAGAGAGGGGGGTTGTAGTGATGGAAATAAGGTTGATTAGCGGAATCAAATACAATAACGTTAGGAATGACGTGAATTGGTTGATTACTAATCTGATCTACATCTCTCTCTCTCTTCATCGTCCATATTTTCAGTACTCACTCTATACTCTTGACTCCAGATCAAGCACACCTTGTCGGTACCTCTGCTCCTTGCAGGAATCAAGGCGAGAGGAACTTTCAAGCAAATCACCCGCAGCGAAATGGCGGAGCCATCACTATCAACCCCCGAGGTACCATCTCTCGCGCCAGCTTCATCTCCCACCGTACCCTCCTCATCGCGCTCTTCCAAGCTCGAGGTACCCTCGGACTCGATCGACCTCACGGCAGATTCTGATGATGGAGAGGAAGAGGCGAAGGCCGTACCGGGCACAGAACCCATTGACGTTGATGGGGACGGAGGAAACCAAGGAATAGAGTTGAGTGGCGCACGGGCCATCACTGGAGGGGACGGAAATTCTTCCAATGGGGTCGGTGCGCCCGCGCCCGCAGGTCCTCCGAAGCAGGGGAACAGGCAGTACGAGTTCAAGTCCTGGGAACCCCCAAGCTCGGCCGGGCAGCAGCCCCCACCTTACAGTCAAAACGGAGCAGGAGGGTATCCTGGTCAGCATCCTGGACATCCAGGCCTTTCGCCGAATCCGCAACACCGTCCGCCGCCTTACCACGGGTACCCACATCCAGTGGGAATGAATGGCTACCCTGGACCAGGCGGGCACGCCGTCCACCCTCCGCAGGGTCAGTACCCCGCGTACGGTCCCAGCCCTGCCTTCACCTCGGTCTACCCCAGCGTTGCATCTCCCAACCACCCATTTACCCGCAGTCCTCTACCTGGTGCGAACGGCAACACGAACGGCGGTCCCCTCTCCTACCTCCCCCTCGGCAGCTCGACGTCCGGCACAAGCTCTGCTCCTATCGACCTGACGAGCATACGTATTCCCTCCCCTCCACCGGCACAGAACCCCAAGCAACCCATGTGTATAGGCGCAATCGTCAGCCGGGCGATGATGCTGTACCCCTCGCCAGCGGCTCTGATAGGTGCGACGGTCCCGCCAGGAAGCAGGGAGAGGTATGAGGTGCGGGACTGGAGGGGAGCAGAGTTCTTGAAGGTCAAGCTCAAGGTGAGCTAGATGATCCATGTGGAGGCAAATGCTCAGGAGCTGACGAGATACAGCTACGACTGGCTGGCTCAGAGCCGACTCCAGCGAACCCTACGGCCAACACCAGGGTGGACATGATCCAGGTCACTACTCGTAAGCCTTAATTGGGCCGCGCCTAAACTTCGGCTGACTAAGCTAGCTTCATTGGCTTCATACCTCGGAGATCTCGATCCTAGTCTCGGCGACGTGCTCATCCCTCACATGAAGCGAGGCTTGCTCCGGCTTGAAGGTTTCGTCCAGCGTCTACACCCGGATGCTGTGAGTCCAAGCTTTTATCACCCGGTGACTCCGCTGACATGCAGCCCCAATTCGAGATCCGAGTCAACGTCCTCCTTTTCACCCTCCCTTCCAACATCAAATACATCTCCACCGCGCTCCTCAAAAACGGCTTCTACCTCACCGATCCACTCCCTCCATACGAAGGCGAACGACATGCCGACTGCCCGCCTTACCAAAACGCCCACATGGCAGACGAGGAGACTCGGCGGCTAATCACCGCTCATGTCGCTCGGATGTCTGGCCTGCAGGGTCGACCATCCGGATTTGCGCTCCCTGGACTGGCGTTTGGGCAAATGGACAAAGCCAAGCAGGTCGAGGTACAGCGGCAACAAGTGGATGATGTGTTCAAATCGTTGGATACTGGTGTGGAACTGGAGCAGTCAGATCCAGGTTAGTTGACTCGCCACGATGCGATCGCGAGAATAACTGACCACGCAGGATCACTCATCGAGACCGATCTATTCCCACATCAGCGAAAAGCGCTGACCTTCCTGTTGGAACGAGAAGGAGATGCGTCGGCGCTGAAGGAGGCGCGGAGATTGCACGAGAAGAAGATGGTGAAGAAGGCCAAGAAGCGGGCAAAGAAGGAGCAGAGCGCGTCGGTCGCGGGGAGTGTGAATGGGGATGACGACAAGAGTCGGGATGGGGAGAAGGAGGAGGAGGCTACAGAAGGCAAGAAGAGCAAAAAGGGCAAGGGGAAGAAGCACCTGGGACGGTCATTGTGGGAGCCGATGCCGGATGAGAATGGGCGGGTGAGACTGTGGCGGAACAAGATTACGGACGAGAAGAGGAGGGGGAAGGAGGTGCCGGACGAAGGCAAGGGAGCTATTTTGGCCGATGATGTGAGTTTCGAGCGGCGTAAGCTGTAGCCCAGAGCTGACAATACAGATGGGTCTTGGAAAGACGCTATCCATCGTTTCGCTCATCGCGGCTACACGAGATTCCGCTCTAGATTGGGCCAGATCGAAATCCGCCGGTTCGGATATCGAGATGGAGGAAGTCAAGCCCGAGTATAGCGCGTCCACCTTCAAGGGTCGCGTCTTTGGCATGCCCGAGATCGAGACGGAGGCAGATGTCAAACCTTCCGCCAAGAAGCGGAAGCGGGAGGAGGCGGATGAGAAGAATGCGGCGGCGCGTCAGGCTCGGATCAAGGTCCGGTCCCGCGGGAATCTGCTGCTCTGCCCCATGTCGACCATCACCAACTGGGAGGATCAGATCAAGGAGCACTGGAATGGCGAGGTGCAGATCGTCGGAGGGAGCGGGATGGCACCCAAGGACTGTCCGCCACGTAAGAAAAACATCACCAAGCGGAATGGCGAGGAATCGACAGACGAGGACGACGCAGACTTTGATGTTCTCCGAGTATACATCTACCACGGCGCCGCCAAGATCAACGATCCGGCCTTCCTCGCGGACTTTGATATTGTCATTACGTCGTACAATACCCTTGCGATCGAGTTTAGCAAGATGTCGGCGGCGGTCACGGAAGACCCGACACCGGCCGAGACGGCCAACAATAGCGATGATGAGGTGGTGGTTTTGGGAGACACGGCGACGAATTCGAGGGCGGTCAGGCCGGAGGTGGAGGCGGAGATCAAGGCGGCCGAGGTGGCTGATAGGTTGAGGAAGGCTGAAGCGAAGAAGAAGGGGAAGGGAGGGCCGAAGAAGGTGGAGAGCAGTGCATTGCAGGCGGTAGAATGGTTCAGGATCGTTCTGGACGAGGCTCAGTAAGTCGGTTCAAATCGCCCGCCGTGTCCCAGCTGATGCCCCAGTTACATCAAGTCAGCGTCGACTGTGGCGTCCAAAGCAGCTTGCTACCTCGCTGCTGACCGCCGAATCGCCCTCACCGGTACTCCCATCCAAAACAAAATCGAAGACATTTGGGCACTGTTCAAGTTCCTCCGTCTCGACCCCGTCGACCGGAAAGAAGTGTTCAACGAGTTCATCTGGAACCCGTGTAAACAGGGAAACTCGGTCGGAGTCGCCAAGCTCCAGCTGGTCATGCGGTGCTGCACGCTCCGGCGGACCAAAGACTCTGTGGCGGAGGACGGGAGGCGGATTCTCAACTTGCCGCCGAGGAAGGAGATGCAGCTCTGGCTGGACCTCCGAGCGGACGAGAGGGAGGTGTATGATAAGCGGGCGGTAGCGCTTCGGGCCCGGGTGGAGGATCTTCGATCGTCGAACGAGCTCGGCAAGAACTACGCCAACATCCTTCAAGAGGTCCTCCGGCTTCGGCAGATCTGCAATCACGTCGATCTCGCCATGCTCGGCGCGGTGGAAGAGGACTATGACGGGACGGTCATGGACTATCAGGTGGCTGTGCAGGGGATTGAGCGGGCGGGACTGACGCTCGCGAGGGCGCAGTCGGTGGTGTCTTTCCGCAAGGATGGGGATGGGGCGCAGTGCGAGACGTGCGGGTTGGACTACAATGACGCTTTCCCGTCGATAGGGCTCGGTGGGGTGGAGGAGGAGAAGAAGACTTTGAAGAAGTTGACACATCGGCCGTTGTTGACCAAGTGTCTGCATATGTTTTGTGAGTCTACCGTTATGTTTGCGTGGATAAAAGCTGAGGAATTTCCAGGTCCCACCTGCTTCAAGTCCGGTATCTACCCCGAATACAAGCCTAAGATGAAGTCCAACCCGAGCCGTCCTTGCTCGGCATGCGGCGCCGCCCTCCGATTACCTATGGACGTCATCGAGGTCGTCCCGCCCGACTCGGAGCAAGCTGCCGAGATCGCCGAACAAGCTCCCAAGCGGGCCGCGCGGAAGAAGTACGTTCGCCAGCCGGGCGAGAAACCGAATCTCTCCACCAAGATGCAGTTCCTCTTGGATGACTTGATGAAGTACTCGAAGCGGAACCCGAATAGTATCAACTTCAACCCGATGGAACTAGATGGGGATGCGGATGGGGTGGAGGAGATGGATGCGGAGGGCAAGCCGTTCATCACCAAAAGCATCGTCTTGTGAGTTGTTCTTGCCTGGGATAGATGTGGCTCGGCTGGTAGCTGACGATATAGCTCGCAATGGACGACCATGCTCGATCGGATCGGGGACATGCTTGACGAAGCGAGTATCCGGTATGATCGGCTGGATGGGACCATGACCCGCGAAGATCGTGCGCGGGCCATGCAGGCGCTCAAGTGTAACAAAAAGATCGAGGTCCTGCTTGTTTCGACCCGGGCAGGGGGTGTCGGTCTGAACTTGACCACCGCGAGCAGGGCGTATCTCGTCGATCCGTACTGGTCAGTTGTCGCCCGCCCGGGGTTCTCACGGAAGCTAGAAGCTGACAATGCAGGAACCCTTCGGTCGAAGCCCAAGCCATTGACCGTATCCACCGAATGGGCCAGACTCGGCCCGTCACAGCCATCAAGCTCATGATCAAGGACTCGATCGAGATGAAGCTGGACGAGATTCAAAAGAAGAAGGCGAACCTAGCGAATCTGTCCCTGAAACCCATGACGCGCAAGGAGTTGATGGAGCAGAAGGTGAGTCAGCTTCAAGGGACGGGTAATGTGTGCAGGACGAAACTGACGTGTTTAGGCGGAAGAACTGGCAAGTCTCTTCAGGTGATTTGCTCGCGTGCGGTGCACCGGCAGTCGGGCTGCTTCGTGCGGTGCCAAGTATTGTATATAGACTATTATGCGATACAATTCCCCATCGGCCATGTCAGATACCCTTGACCATAGATAAAACTAACGGGAATCCCAGCCTTATTTACAACTTTGCCTTTGGATCTACCCAGTCCTCGGACATTCCCTCAGCTTCGATAGCTCTCCTTAGTGGACCCGATCCATGCCGGACCTCATACTCTATTCGCTCGACCATGGTCTTTTGCGTAGGCGCGGTCATTGCGAACTCGGGCTTCTGGTCGTACCCCACCACCGCGGCTCTGATCAGAATAGCACTACAATCATCAGCGCTCGCGAAGGCCTCGTGCAGAATCGCCCACTCACGCAGTCAGCCCATACACCGGCTTGACCCCCGTCCCCTCCCTACCCGTCAGAAACCGATGCATCCTCACTGTTCCCGGACCCCACTCGATATCCCTATACCCATAATACCTCCCTTCGCCCCCGCCTACGACGCCCGCCTCCCCTTGCTCCGCATAAGGTATCGGGGGCGGAGGGGGGATGACCAGCCCGCCTGGAGCGAGAGCGGACGCGGCGGCGGCGACGCGGGTAGAGATGCCGAAGTGCCATCCGGGGATCTTGGACGGGTGGGAGTAGAGGAATGAGGGGAGCGGCATGGAGAATAGGTGTTGGACCTCGGAGGGATTGAGGATGGGGTTGATGGAGGTGCTGATGATGAGGAGGACTACGCTGGGGATGTCAGCATAGAGAAGGGTGGAGTACGAGGGGAGGAGGGACGGACGGGGTGACGATGAGGCCATTGCCTGTGAGAAAGGGGTCCAAGAGGCAGAGACACCGGACCTGTTCTGGATCTTGAGGGAGGCCAATCTAGCTCATCAGTACGTTGACAGGTTTCCGCTCTGTGGTCTGTGCATACCTCCTCGTATGCCTCTCTTCTCTGGTCAGATCAGCGTCAGGCCCAAGCGAGTCTGCGACGTCGTACTCACCGCTGTCCACTCCTCATTCTTGTCCCCCTCTTCATACTTCCCACCCGGAAGAGCCGTATCTGAGGCATAGGACCGCATATTGTCTGCCCGGCTACCTCATCAGCTCTATTCATCTCGTCTTCGGGATTCCATGAGCCAGCTCACGTCGATAGCAAGACATATAGATCCCCTAATCTACCAACGAACAGACTGGATCGTTCAGCTCTTCCTTTGAGGTCCGATATCTCGAAGCCAGATAATCGTACCAGATAGCGACCGCGGCCGTCCGCTTCCTCGGTATCCTCCGAGTAAGCTTGGTCGGCTCATACTGCGTAAACCTATAAAGGCACCTCGGGGATCAGCTTCCTGAAGAAAGGTAGTAAGCAAACAGCGGATCAAACGGACTGGAGCGACTCGGGCTTCAGCGGCAGAAGAAGCGATTCTAGCGGAACGGGATTCGAGCCGGGCATGATACGCTCGATACAGCGGTCAGTATCATCAGTCTGAAATGGCAAGGTCTGGTTTAGGTGGGCAAAGGGAGAAGAGGTTAGGAGACAGCGGACAGATCACAGATGGTCCCCTCGGCTTACATGTACGCTTAACCGAGCCGGTGCCTGGCCGATCGACAGCACCAAAATTCTGACGGTCCTTCTCCATCTTCCCAGACTTGACACTCTACCATGTCAAACATGTCCTCTGCCCCTCAGGTAATTCGCGAAGAGTGCCATCTCTTCGCTTTGACGCAATACCAGTGTTCCCCGGAGAACAACAAGGTGACTTGTTGGCCTCTCGAGCGGATCTTCAGGCAGTACGTCCTATCTCTCCCTCCTTCGCATCGCAGACCTGGCTCTGCCATCGTCCCCAAGAAGCTTCGCTGATGAGGTAGGTGTGGGAAGGGTCCTGCTATTGAGGTGACAAACCATGTGCTGCGGGATAAGGACGGAAAAATCACTGGTGTCGAGCCAAAGATCATGTGAGCTCTCTGCTGTGAAACGGTAGAGGCTGTTGGAGCCGACAAAGCAGCGGACATGCGCCCAAGGGGAAGAAGTGGGCCGATCTGAGATGATCACCCCGTTTTCTTCATGACCAGAGACGACGCTGGGCCTCTTTAGCCTGTCTCCCCATCGTCGCCGTCGTACCCCACCGCCAATCACAGCATCGCCCAGCGGACAGAGTGAGCGGGACGGGGCATCTACCGGACCAGCCAGAGCGGTAGGCGAGGTTTCAAGCCGCAGGACAAAGGGTAGCTCAAGCTTGGTCTTTGGTTAGGTGGAGAGTCTTTGGTTAGGTGGAGAACGGAGCGGGCGAGTCCAGAGATATGGCAGTGGTGAATGCAAGATTGGCTGAATCAAGCGAGCGGTGATACTTCCTATACAACCTAGTCTTGCTCTATATCTCTACGTCCCCGGGAAAACCACCCCCTGCCGCCCGATCATCTACCAAGACGATCCGCTACCACCTCGTATATCAGAAACATGCACGCAGCGTTAGGCACCACCCTCAACATGTGCGCCGTCAAACCGCCATACAACGCCGCCGCGCCCTCCTCGCGCGCAACGAGCGTGAGGGTTTGGTACAAACCATGATACCGCTTGACGCCGTTGACTGCGGGCTGTCGAAGACGAGTACGGATGACCTCGTGCGGGTAGGTGATGAGTGATGCGATGGCCTTGGCGCCACCTGAAGCGCCGACGATGCCGCCAATAAACGACAGAAGGGAGGGTTTTTCGTCCGTTGGCAGTTTTGGCTTGCTCATCTTCTTGAAGCGCTGGAATGTCAGCTCGGGCTTGCAAGCGCAAGGATGGCATAGCTCACTTCGTACAGGACCCATTGGATCACTCCCTCCGAAACACCCAGATAGCTCGCCGAGAGACCGCGGTACAGTCCTCGGAACCCCTCGTGCTTGATGATCCCAGCGGCGGTGCTTATGGCGTTCACGGCGCGAGGCTTTGGAGCGGCAGCAGCTGCGGGAGAGGTCGCTGCAGCGGTCTTAGTAGACTGTGTGAGTGCTGCGGCGGAAGCAGCTATTGGTCCCGGTAGAGGTGAAGCCGATGAGCCAGAATAGAAGGTGGGCGAGATGTGCTTTTTCCTAGCGTCTAGTTGAAGGCGGGTCTTGATGACTTGTCAGTCAGCATCGTATCCCTTCTTCCCATTTGACGACTCAATCAAACTCACCCCATATTGGGTTGGTACCAGTCGCGGTCATGATCCCAGCAATCACAGCAGCTCCGAGATGAACCACCGGACTATCTTCTGCAGACAGGCCTGATGACGTTCGAGGGGCGTTGGGAAATTGTTTGGCCAGATAGGCTTTCGATGTGGGGTAGAAGTAGAAATTGATAGCTCTATATACTTCAGCTGACTCTGGCTGACAAGTTAATGTCCGAGACAGCTCACCTAGCCGGTATAATGCCTACCAAGGCGGGCCCAAGACCTCTGAAGAGTGCCTGCCATCCCTCATCCGTCGCTATCCGCCTATATGTCAGCTACAGCTCGAGCTGGAGCATAGCCTGCTAGCTCACTTGATCAGCACGCCAGTATCTACGAACTGGTACATCGCACCCCTTATTCCGGTTCGCTGGACCACAGCAGGAGCGGCACTGCGAAGGGGCTCTTTGCCTTTCCGGGATATCGGAGCGGTTTTGAACAAGTCAGACTGAAGACGGGTCTAGTCGATCAGCAGTGATACTCCGGTAGAGATAGTAGACACACCTTCATGACGTCGAACGGCGAAGTCACGATCGCTCCAGTCATACCTCCAATACTCCCCGCTACGGAATGCTTCCATCCCTGCAGCTTCTTCTCGGACTGCGGGGGCGAGGCGGTCGAGCCTGGCGGTGTATTCGAGGCTGAGGACTCTGCCGGGATTACAGATGGTCTGCTCGGCCCTGGCTCGAGAGGTGCTGAGGTGGTGGACGGTCCGGGAAGCCAGGCATTGGAGAACGAGGTGGAGGCGGAGGTGGAGGGGGCCATGTCGATTCGATGGGTCGATGTCGCTTGGCTGGTTGGTGCTTCTGATCGCGGCTCTTTCGAAGGGACTCAGATGTTCCTCCTTATATAGCCTGCCGGATGATGCGTATATGTAGCCAGTGTCTGCAGATATAGGTGGACCTTATAGTCATCGAAACACTTTCCCCTAGGCCTCGTTTCGCAACTAGCTAGATCGTCATCAGAGCCAAATATTTACGCTGACGTAATGAGACCCCTCCCTTCCGTCGGAAGCTAGAATTTCCCCGACAGCGACGGACACCAAAGTGATGGCGTTGAGCACCTCTTGGGCGTTCCACACGCACCATAGACTTATGAAACCCAGATAGCATCGACAGAGACCGAGGTGAAGGATGTTCGTCCTCCTCGTAGTCAAAGTGAGCTTAGATACTCCCACTTGCTGGTGAGGCACGGAGCTGACGGCGCAGGACACCGTTCCTGTTCCACCAAAGACGTTTGGGCTGTCTCCTTCGGTGACTATCCTTGACGCGCTCAATAAGAAGTGAGCTAGATGTGGCAGCTTGATGTCAAGCCGCCATCTCAGTAGCTTACAGGGGTAGGTATGCGAACAAGCTCATTCCAGAGAAAGGACTGGCCTTGTCCGTCTTTGACATCTTGACGGCCGAGGATGGGAAGGTCACCTGGGGCAATGGGATGATGTACTACAAAGGTAAGCTGAAGAAAGCCGTTTTCAGGCCGGGTCTGAGCGCACAACTGACTGCTCAGTCTCAATCCGGCTGATGCTGTTTGCGCCGTTCCACTCCGAGATCATCGTTGGGAAAGTGGTGGAGACCACTTCGAGCTATGTGCGGGGTGAGCTAATTCGCGCTACGATTTCCGTCTTAGCTACAGCTGACACCTCAGTATCTTTGGGCTTCTTCAAGGATGTCTACATCCCCTTGGATCTGATGCCGCCAAATAGCACCTAGCAAGTCCTCCGTACTGCTATGCTTAATCGAGCTCCTGCTGACGTTGCAGCGACATCATCTCGAAACGCTTCTTCTGGTACTCCGACGAGGACGAGAAGACCCTCACAGTCGACCAGTTGCTATCGACGGTCATCGCCCAACGACTCTACATTGACGTCGGCGAGCCCATTCGGTTCCGTGTCGACTCGATAGATTTCCAGGATATACGGCCGGACCCGCCTGTCATTCTTGAGCCGGGGGCGAAGGAGGAGGCAAAGGAATTGGGAGAACCAGTGGAGGCTACGAAGGATCCGTATAAGTCTGCGGGGTTCAGAATACTGGTCAGTTGCGCAATCTGGTGTTATGGGTGGTGGGCAGAGCTGATCTGCAGGGGACGATAGCGGAATCAGGTTTGGGTTTGGTCAGTTGGTGGGATGGCTCAGCGGCTGAGGGGGATGAAGATGAGGAGATGGAGCCATGAGGCACATCAAACGGCGTGGCTACACGGCGTGTAGAGGGCCAAAGTACAAGTAGGATGGGCTCATCAGAATATAGACCAGGACCAACACATGACGACACTTGTACTTCTTATCATGCATGACTGAAGCTTCTTCGATGCGTTTCTCGCCCCATCTGCACGTCTCTAGTAGCCGTAGCTGAGCTCCACGCCAACAGTGGCCTGGGCGTCGCCTAAGGCGGATCTGAAACCGCTGATTGCCACCCGTGCCTGAAAGCGATCAAACACGATCAAACGCAGATCAGATTTTGTCAGCCTCCCCTTACATCTATCTCATCTCGCTCAGCTTCTCTGCTTCACAGCCCTCTACATCTCGAAATGGGCGTCAAAGGGCTTGCGACCTTTATCAAGGAGAACCGCCAGTCCCTCTGCCGCTCAGTCCACCTCACTGCGGGACAAGCGGAAGGACAGGAGCGGATCCCCGTCGTGGTCGATTCATGGGGGTCAGCCGCTCTCTTCGGCGCCAATAAACGGCATGGGCTGATGATATAGGGTCATATATACACTTTGGCTTGCTTGTCTACCTTGGCAGTCTGGAGGAGAGTACTTGAGATTCTACCGCTTGACTTGTAGATTGGTGGAAGCTTGGAGAGAGGTGGGATTGGAGCCGACCTTTGTCTTTGACGGTACGTCCCTCAACCGATCTGATATATTGAGCACGTCTGACTGACGCTCAGGATCTGCGCCGAACGAAAAGCTAGATACCCAGCTGCGCCGGCTAGACGACACACTCCGTACCGCCCAGCTCTTCTACACCACCTCTCCTGCTTCCCGCTCCGGCCCCTCCTTCTCCCGAGACCAGGTCATCCTTCCCCCTTTCGCCTCGCACACCTTCGTCCACGCTCTCGCCGATCTCGACGTCGCCACTCACTTTGTACCCCTAGGCGAGGCGGACGGAGAATGCGTCACCCTCGCAGAACAGCTGGGCGGGTATATCCTCGGCCAGGACTCGGACTACCCAATCCTTGTTTCCGCGCCGGGACTGCGGCGAGTCCGCGGGTACTGCCCGCTGGAGATGATGATGTGGATCGAGGATGATCCGGGGGTCCGGCGTAAGGAGGCCCTGCAAGAAGGGACGGGATGGACATCGGTTGCGCCGGTACGGAAAGAGTACGCTGGGAGATCATCCCCGCTTCTCCCTCCCTCGGGGATGCGTCGGCCAAAGCTGGTCATGACGGCCATCTCACCTGGGGCTTTACGGACCCGCCTTCGCCTTCCCGCAGCGATGATGCCCCTTTTCGCTTCGTTGGTCGGCAATGACTATACGCCCCCGGCGGCCCCAGACCATTTCTTCCAGCCCGGCTCGACTCACATTGCCAAGATCGAAAAGGTCGCTCGTACCATTCGCGAAGTCGTCTTTGCGACGCAACAACAGCCTTCGGTATCAGGGAGCAATGCGGGCGATAATGCCGTCGAGCTCGTACGGACCATCATCTCCAAACTCGCCTGGAAGCCCTTTGTCAGCGACGGCGTGATGTTTGCGCTGGTCGAGGCGATCATCAAGGCGACGTTCCAGTACATCCTTCCTGTCGGTTGGGTATGCTGTGGCGTCTATCCATTCTGCGGGGAACTGGACAAGGGGTGCGAGACTAGACCGCCGTCGCGCGCCGTGACGCCCGTGTCGGCGGACTCGGCGCCGGAAAAGGCGGACACGGATCATGTTCAGCAGGCGAGGAAGATGTATGCGATGGGGCAAAGGAAGGGTATCATGCAGAGTATGACGCATGCGTGGCTCTACCCGGATAGAGTCATGCTGTGGTCGGTGTTGGAGGACCCGTCGGGACCGAGTCTGAAGGCGACGGTGGGAATGAGGGGGGTTAGGGAGAGGGCATACCTTATCGCTGAGGAGGGACTGGGCGGATTGAGGTGGCCTGAGGATACAGAGGAGGAAGAGGCGGGTGTTATGAAAATGGAGGAGCTGAAAGTGGATGAGAAGCCACGGACCTTGATGGACGGAGAAGGTGGTGTGACAGAGATGATGGGCTCGCTAGAGTGCTCAGCCACGGAGAAGAGCGACGAGTCGTCTTCGCCCGGCACGACGGTCGTCGAGGAGCCCACAAAGAAGGCGGCATCGGAAAGGCGTATCACCGAATACGTCCGGCATACGAATCGCTATGCCTCTTTCCTGCTCGACCTCCCTCCACTACTATCCCAGTCTGTACCCACATGTCTCCTCCCCCTTCCTGAGCGGCTGAAGGCGTACCTGGAGCCGCTACTCTCGGCGCATCCCTCCATGCTCGCCCTCCCATCCCAGATCCAACCCCTCGCGGCCATCACCCGGTTCTCGGCGCTCGAGGCTTCCAAATCACGGACAGACGACAAGTGGAAGCGGTCCGACGTCGAGGCGGTACTCAAAAGCTTCATCTGGTCGCTTTCTACCTGGATCTGGGAGAAGCGGTCGCGTGTGAACGGCCGGCCAGATCCAGAACTCACCTATCCCGCTCTTACGAACCGGCATTCCCAAATCGTCGCGCAATTGGGAGTGGTCATGATTGACTCGATCATGCTTGCCCAATCGCTCCTCCTCGCTCCTTACACCGCTACCGAGCCGCCTTCGCCTGACGCAGCCGCCAAGCCGCCGGTGGTCGGTCGGAGGATGCCGACTCTCACGCACCTCACCCCCTGGATGTTCTTCTCGGGCGTGTCCCTTCATACCCTGCTTTCGGGCTCAAGTCCTCCAGGATGGGAGTGGTCAGAGAAGGACGAGGCGACATATAAGACCTGCCTGGAGGCAGTGATGGATGGTCTAGATGGGGATGTCGTCAAGGGCTGGCCGGGAGGGACTGGGAGTGGCGGTACGGGCAATCTGCTGGTCTCACCCTCGAACAGCCCAGGGCGCGGGGAGGAGGAGGCACCGAGGTCCAAGGCGGGTGGGAAGCGGGGGAAACAGAAGAAGTTGACGTATGATGAGGCACGCGCGGGTCAGGCGCAGGCGGGGATGGGACGGTTTGGGGTCTTGGGTGCATCTCAGGCTTGAGATCTCAGGGCGGGATGACGCATTGACGATTGGGTGAGGCGACTGGCACTCTGAACATTACATTTGTACATACCTAACATCATGATCTACTATATCTGTATGCTTCTGCGGGCTCCATGCGATCTCGCTCGGGCCATGCATGGTCAACGACTCATGCTCGAGCCCAGCTGCAGCCTGAACGGTCGGGATCAATCTCGTAAGGCTAGGAAATGCGGGGCCACATCGGTACATCCGCGGCCGAGAGAAGCCGTCACCATGCGTCGTCTACAGATCTATCTCTAGGCTTCTTTCTCTGTCGGCTGCATAGATACATCTAGACGTGCACTCCTAGGCCTTGTCGACGACAGACCTACGTGCTGGGCTATCCATACCCGAGAACTAGAGGGCAAAGGACCTCATCCAGCTTCCAGGCGAACGCAATTTTCGGATCCGACGCGGTCTCTGCTGCTGGATCACCGAGCATCCACAGGCGGTCAGCATCTCTTGCATAAGGAGGGAAACGGAGACAAGATCTGGGATCTGCGGAGGCAGCTTCTTCGACTTCGACTTGACATCATCTGGTGGGTCCCGCTTCCTTAATTTCTGGACAGACTCATGATCGCCCGTATCTCGAGAGCTTACCTTTGTTCTAGCTCTCTCATCCGAACTCGGCACGGCCAGCTTCCGCCCACCTCCACCCTCCTATGCAATAGCAGCACGATATGTCCGGGCAACCTCGCTTGTCCGTAGCGACAGGCTCTGGGTCCAGCCCGTCCACGCCGCAGTCGAGCGTTCGGAGGCCGCAGGGCGCCCGTCGGCGGATGCAAGTGCAGGGGCTCTTCGTCGCCAACCCGGACAATTCGGACTCGGATGTCTCGCCAAAATCGTCCCCTGTACGCGCATCCCCCGTGACGACTTCCACCTCAGGCTCGGGCGGAAGACCTATCGCGAGCTTGTACTCGTCAGGAGGGAGCGGTGGGGGTGGATTACCTTCGCCCGGCGGAGCGAGCCAGCGGGCCGGCGGATCATCTCTGTCGATGTACCCGAGTGTACCTGCACCCAATACGCCCATCACGGCCTTTCCGTCTCCACATCCCGCTCCACCTACTCCTATCCACGCACTACCGCCCCCACCCCCTCCCTCCGCCCCGCCAGACATACCCTACGGGTACGCGATGAATGGCGGACCCCCTCAACCGCCTCCGCAGCCGGAACGACACTATCATCGCGCGTTCACCGCACCTACTCCTAACGACATCCCCACTCGACCCCACGATACACGGCATGCCAGTCTTACCGGAACTCCGGGGCATCACCCACCTCAATCTCCTACTCGCGCCCTTCCTGCTCTCCCTTCACCCCCCATAGCGGTCCCGCAGGCGCACGCGCCGTCCCCGGTCTCTGCGCAATCCATGCAGGGCCCGTCATCTTTGTACGCTCAGCCCGAAGCGAGCGGGTCCAGGCCTCACTTGCAGCACCTGCATACTCTGCTCAAAACGAACAGTCCAGACGATACCCTCTCCCCGGCTCAAGGCAGCGAGAGCGGACGGAGCTTTGCTAGCCTGTCGTCCGAGTCGGTCGTCACGCGCGCGCGATCGGGGAGTGTGCAGAGCCACAAGGTGCTCTTACAGGTCACCATGGATAATGACCAATTCTCGGTGGTGGATATCACGGGCATGCATACGGCGGAAGCTATCTTGGAGAGGGTATTCTCAAAGGTGAGCTGTATTTTAGGGACTAGCGATCAATGCGCTGACGATGTAGTTGCGATTCCGCGACGACGACTACGCTACTTTATCGCTATTTCGGACGGACATCGGGGAGGAGCCAGAAGCAGACGCCGTGTCCAAGGAGGACTTGCTGCGGCTTTGCCAGGAGCAAGGCGATGCCAAGGCGACGCTCAAATTTCTGGTTCTTCAAACGGCTATCCCTGGATCGACAGCTTCGATAGTCCCGCCGACTCAATCAAGCAGCGAGCGCCACCTACCTCCCATCGACACGCGCAGTCACAACCGTACCTCAAAAGACGGGAGTTTGCACAGCGCCAGCGGGAGCTCAGTGCATGACAGGCAGAGCGACTGGAGTGATCTAGGTGCAGAGTGGCCTGGATCTGCAGCGGGCGGATCGGGCCTGCATCGCGCCAAGCAGAATGTGCGGCACGTCGAACGCAGACTGCCTAGCGCGTCGAGCAGCTCCAGATCACTCAATCTAATGGACAACCAAAATCCGCGCGACTCGCGTACATCATCTCCTCGGTCTTTCGTCAATGTCGATCATCCTTCGCCAAAGGTGTATCAGCCCCCTCCGCGCAGTATGACACCGTCCGGATCCGCCAGTGCCGGCCCGAGCCGGAGGAACGGGAACGGGCATGGGGAAGCTGGACTGGGGCTGTTTGTGGATGACGGAATGGACCCGGAGACGCGGGCGCTCATTGCCCAGATGCAGAGGGAGGATGAGATTGCGCGGCAGCAAGCTCAGGCGCGGCAGGCGCAGGAGTTGGCGGATGAGCGGTTTGCGCGGAATGAGCAGCAGCAGGAGAGGGATGTGTGGCAGGCCATGCAGGCGATGCAGTTGGAGTCGAGGCGGCAGCAGCAGGAGCAGATAGAGCTGGACGAGCAGAGAGCTGTAAGTCTAACGAAAAGGACAAGGTGGGCAAGAGCTGATCCTCTAGCGTGATCTTGATGCGGAAGAAAGGGCGCAAGAAGAAGAGCGACAACGTCAAGAAGCAACGCGGCGGGACTCTCACAACCAAAATCGGACGGCGATGTTTGTCAATGACCGTCGAGCCGCTCGGCAAGAGTGGAGTCATCGGAACGAGGGCCGAGATCCACCTCAGGACTCTTGGACCTTGCCGTCTCTCGGCGAGGGGTCACGCTATAATGCTGAGCGTCGACCATCCGAAACACCTCCCTATCTTCCAAGCCAACAACCCATCTACACCTCGCCCTCCACACAATTCGGCTCGGATGTACCCAACGTATATGTCCGCCAACCCTCTCGGCAGTCTTCTAACCGGTACGAAGAGGAGGATCCGCATTATCTCGGCAATCTCAGACCGGGTGAGCGCCTACCTCCAGGAGCGAGTATCCAGCGGCGTCAGCCCACTCGGCATCCGTACGGGTACGCCAATGATGGGTATAATGGCGGGATGCAGAACGCTCGGTCGGTCGAGAATCTGCGGCCGTATGGTCCAGCACCAGTCTCTCGGCCACCGTACCAGGCTGTTCCCCCTCGCCCTATCGGTCAACCCCATCCAGAACGAGCGGGGTATCAGAATTACCGCAGCTCATCGACCGAGCGGACGCAGGACGGTCGATATCCCGATCCTGCGCGTACCGCTCCTCCGCACATGGGCTCTGTACCCTTCCCGTCGCCTCAGCCAAGGCGGCAGGGGTCAGGAGAGCAGACATGGCTACCGTATGCCCAGGGCTCTGGCTCGCCCCGGGACTTTGACTACGAGCCGCAGACTTCCCGGCCGAAAACTGGGCAGGACCGCTCATCCCCCATCATCAACTCGCCTACTACCGGTACCCTTCCTCAGCGCCCTTCCACGCTGTACGACAATTCTCCTCCGCAGACGGCCCGTGCAGGCGAGGGATACTTCCCGCCCGGTGCGCAGATGCCCTACTACTCGCATAGCCGGCGGAACTCGGTGGATCCGATCGTTCGGGGGCGGACGCCTGGGGAGGAGGGAGCTCGTCGGGCAAGCGAGAGCAGCGCAGGGGATGCAAGGGAAGGGTTGTCTGTCACAGAAGGCGGATGGCCAGGTATCGCCCGGTCTGCGCGGAAAGAGACGGGCGATTCAGACTCGAGGTCGGGCACGGTCAGCTCTGGGGTCAGCGACGCGACGCTGCGGCCTAGACGGGAGAATGATTCTGTGGATACCGCGCGAGCGGGAGATCTGCAGAGTCAATGGCGGGCGATGATCCAGAAGGGCAAGGGTGGGACTCTGGTGCCGTCCAACCGGACCTCGTCTGAGTCTGCACTCGAGGACGACGGGGAAGAGGCGACGCTGTGGATCACCGCTCCGTCCAGCTCGCGGGTCGACTCCCCCGCCCGGCTCAATACGGAACGATCTCCTTCGCGACCAAGTCTTACCATCAGTACCCTGGGTCGGGACCAGCCAGAGCCGCCCCTCACGTCCGCTTCTGCCTCGGATAGCAATACCGAGTCGGAGGCAGAGGACGGACTGCGTGTATCGCGTAACAAATCCTTCGCCAAGCCAAAAGATCAATGGTACTTCCGTCCCGAGCCAGAACAGCTCTACGCCAACCTCGATGCGCTCTTCCCCAAGATTGATCTGGACAAGCCTATCGTCGAGGGTCTGTCCACCCCCACTACGCCTAGTGACACCCAGCTGTCCTCGTCTACCGCCTACCCACCTCCGCCGGTTCATCCTGCCCGGTCGGATGCTCGTACGGTCCAATCACCCAAGGCGGACAAGGTGGACAAGCACGAGAAGGAGAAGGGTGGGATTCTCGCTTCGGGGTTCATGACCCGCTTCAACAAGAGCGAGAACCGCCGGTCACTCCGGAACGTCGCGGCAGACTTTGTCCGGCGCTCCAAGGACAAAAGGACGGAGCCTGCGCAGATCGAGGCGACAGCTCCGGTCTCGGCGGACGAGGTCAAGATTGACCGGGCGAAACAGGTCGTCGAGGTCAAACCGGCCGGTATCGCCGAAGGCCAGCCTCAGCGGCCTGAGCCCATCCCGGAAAGTCCCAGTGCGGAGGGTGATCTCGCGCTCGAGCCCAAAGCCCCTATCTCAAGCTGGGTCAAGGGAGAGTTGATCGGCAAAGGGTCGTATGGGCGGGTGTATATCGGTATCAACGCGGTGACGGGATCATGGATGGCGGTCAAGCAGGTGGAGCTGCCGGCGACGGACCGGGACAGGCACGATGATCGCCAGTTGGGGATGATCGAAGCGCTGCGAGGCGAGATTGCGCTGTTGAAGGATTTGTACCATCCCAATATTGTGCAGTATCTCGGGACGGAGACTAGCCCGGAGCACCTGTCAATGTGAGCTCCAGCTTGTGCAAATGAAAGACTGCTGACGACCAGTTTCCTCGAATATGTGTCGGGAGGCACTATCGCTACGATCTACCGTGCGAGTCAATCGGCATTCGAAGAACAGCTCGTCAAGTTCTTCACCAAGCAGATCCTGCAGGGGCTATCATACCTCCACGCCAAGCAGATCTTGCATCGAGACCTGAAGGGCGACAACATCCTGGTCGCCACGAACGGGACCTGCAAAATCTCGGATTTCGGCATTTCCAAGCAAGCCTGTAAGTGTTCTTATCCTATCAGTGCGCGTCCTCGCTGATCAATTAGCCGATGCGTACGACTCCTTCGGCCAGGCGACCAACATGAAGGGCTCGGTATTCTGGATGGCACCGGAAGTCATCCACTCGGCTAGCGAGCGCACGTACTCGGGCAAGGTGGATATCTGGAGTTTGGGCTGCGTGGTGATGGAGATGTGGACTGGTCAGCGGCCGTGGGGTACGATGGAGCAGGTTGCTGCGATGTTTGAGGTGAGCCTCTCCTTCGAAGAATCTGATCGAATCGCTGACACTGCAGCTCTTCAACAAACGCGCTAGGCCCCCTCTTCCGACCGAGATCCAAGCCAACATGTCCGATGTCGCCCTTGACTTCCTTAACGAGCGGTGTCTCGCCAAAGAACCGCAGTTCCGCCCCACCGCCAAAGAGCTATTGCAGCACCGCTTCATCCTCGAGACGGATCGCAACTGGACGTTTGGCGATAGTCCTATCGGCAAGGAGGTGCGCAGTAGGGGTATGAGGAACATGAAGGCGCATGTTGCCGCGCATGGGTCGGCCACGTAGATAGCCGAAAGCGAAGACCGCTATTGTGCGGGGAGAACGAGTAGAGCCGGAGGGGTTGTAGCATTTGTTTGCGGGGCATTTAGCATATAACATAGCCTATGTACAGAGGGTATGGCGCATGCTCTCGGAACCACCTGAATGTTCGATGAGCACTTGATGCATGTGCTGGCGCGGGACATGGTGTTCGCGGAACGATAAGGGTGGCAAAAGTGCCACACTCGAGCCACGTGGCTCACCGCCACTCTGTATCAGGGTCCAAAGGACGCGAGATAAGAACACGACCACGTCCCTTGGCAACTGATAAGGACGTCCTTGGGACCCTCCTTATCGCTCTCCTCTTCCGCCTTCGGCTTGCTTCCTCCGCCGACGAGAGACGCCTCTTATCCCCCCGTCTCCGTGATACTGACTTGCCGTCTTGGGCAGTTTCACTGATGCTGACACAACGAGAGGCTGAGCGCGAAATGGTAAACCCTCTTTTCCCCGACCGTTGCGAGATAGCGATCACGATACACATATCCGAAGCCCTCTTATCATCCAATCAAGTCCTTGTTTGCGTCCAAGACATCCTCATACCAACACGTCGCTCCGTCTCGGCGCTCATCTTCCCCATTCCCCCTGATCCCAGTATAAGTAGAACCAAGGACCACCTTTTCCCTTCTGCTCTCTACATTAGCTTTGACTTCACTCAGCCCCGCGCTTTGACTCTGGCCCTTTGGCACCGACGCGCCTCGACAAAGGGATCTCGTGCTACTTGCGCATCTCTCTCCACCTCTCACATCCTCTGACATCGCGTCGATCTACCCACATATCCCACCCACCATGTCGTCCAATCTCAACTACACGATAGAATCGCAAGATCTCGTCTGGAACACCACAGACGCAGATGGAGCCAGCACGTCTGTCATCTACAACCTGGGTGATATGGCATGGGGTACGTGACAGTTTTTCGTGATGACCGAGTATCGCTGACCTGCAGTCATCACCGCCATGGCACTCGTGTGGATCATGATTCCCGGTCTGGGTCTCTTCTACTCGGGTCTCCTTCGCCGCAAGAATGCCCTCTCCATGCTCTTCTTGTCAATGGCCGGTATCGCCGTCGGATCGTTCCAGTGGTTCTTCTGGGGTTACTCCCTGGCCTTCTCAGATGGTGCCAGCCCGTGAGTGCTTTCTTTCCGGTGGCGGAATAGTGCTGATAAGCAGATTCATCGGTAACCTTTGGTACTTCTGCCTGAAGGGTGTCTACGCGGACCCCTCCATCGGTTCCACCCGTATCCCCGCTCTCCTCTACTCCATCTACCAGTGCATGTTTGCTGTAAGTCCAAGCTACTTAACCCGTGAGCTTGGCTGACTTTCAGATCATCACCGGTGTCATTGCCGTTGGTGGCTTCGCCGAGCGCGCCAAGATCGGTCCCATCATGGTCTTCCTCTTTGTCTGGCTCACCATCGTCTACTGCCCCATCGCATGCTGGACCTGGAACCCGCAAGGATGGGCGTTCAAGCTCGGTGTCCTCGACTTTGCCGGTGGAACCCCCGTCCACATCAACTCGGGTACCGCCGCCCTCGCCATCGCCATCTACCTCGGCAAGCGCAGGGGGTACGGAACCGAGCGTCTCGCCTACAAGCCCCACAACACCGCCTTCTGCGTCATCGGTACCGCCCTCCTCTGGTTCGGCTGGTTCGGCTTCAACGGCGGATCCGCGCTTTCCGCCAACCTCCGCGCCGTCCAGGCCCTCATCGTCACCAACCTCTCGGCCTCGGTAGGCGGTATCACCTGGATGCTGCTCGACTGGCGTCTTGAGCGCAAGTTCTCCGCCATCGGCTTCTGCTCCGGCGCCATTGCCGGTCTCGTGGCCATCACACCTGCCTCGGGGTACGTCGGGGCCTACTCGGCGGTCGCTATCGGCTTTGTGGGCGGCGTGGGCTGCAACTTCGCGACCCGGCTAAAGTACTTGATCAACGCCGATGAGTCCCTGGACGTCTTTGCCAGTCACGCGGTCGGTGGTATCATCGGCGGCATCATGACGGGTCTTTTCGCCGAGTCGGGTATCGCCGCGTACGATGGGACTACCGTCATTGCGGGCGGCTGGTTTGACCGGAACTTCATCCAGCTTGGCTACCAGCTCGTAAGTATCGCGACCAGATTATAGTCAGGGTCTCGCTGACAATCAGGCTGATATCGTCGCTGGCTTTGCATACTCTTTCGTCATGACCACCGCCATCTGCTGGATCATGCACTTCATTCCCGGACTCCGTCTGCGCGCATCTGAGGAGGCAGAGATCGTCGGTATTGACGATGCCTACATCGGAGAGTTTGGTGAGTCATATCCCTCCAGTCTCTTGAGTGGATATCCCGCTGACCCTCCAGCCATGGACTTCATCGCTGCCGACCCCGAGATGCGTCTCCACCGTTACGACTCCAAGCCTGCCCTCAACACCGCCAACGTCGTCGAGGAGGCACCATCAACACCCTCAGACACAGAGCACCACCACCACCACCATGGCGAGAAGTCATATCAGCCTGGCGGAGGACGGGTCGACCAGTAGGCGGTCGGCATAGGTTGAGGGCGCAGGGGAGAGTGGAGGGGTTGAGGTTTTCGGTTAACAGGTTCTCTTTGTAGGGATGTTGGATGGTGTAGCTTTCAGGTAGTCGGGGATGATATAGTTAGTCTGTCCTTGGGTAGCAACCACATGAATAATATAGAGCATCCATCTAGCAGAGTATCGTTCATCATCTTGCAGCAAGATTTAGCAGCTAGACCGATGAGGAATGTGGCAGTTGACATCTTGGATCTTGCCTCTCGCTCTCGCTACTGCCTATCTACTGCGCCGGCTGCTTCACATCCCGCGTCATGACGATGTACGGCTCCTTCTCGCCGACCGTGTAGAGAATCTCGCGCTCCCAGATCGTCTCGAACCCGTGTCGCTGGTAGAAGCGTCTCTGTGCGAGTCAGCTTGATACAGCTCGTAGGGTACGTAAGGCACGCCGAGCTCACGTTCGACTCGGTCGGCGTGCACAGGCTCATCCCGGCTCCTTGCTCATGCGCCTGACGGATCATCTCCTCCATCAGCGCCCCGCCAACCCCCTTCCCTCTCGCCGCAGGGACAGTAACGAGGTTGTGCAAATGGAATGTATCTTTCCAAAGCGTGGGGAAGAGGGCCTTCCTTTCTGCTACCACTCCTTTCTGCTGCGACTCGTCAGTCACTGTACAAGCTGTGAGGTCAGGTGAGGACATACAGCTTCGGCCTGGGCTGCAGCCTGCTCGGGCGGGATCAGCGCGTTGTACGCCTCGCCGAATGCTCTCTGCTCCGGCCTAGCATGTCAGCTGGGCGTGCCTGATGCTCGACGGAGGTTCACGTACGTGCTCCCCAAGGTGCAGCCGGGGAGGGACCAGATACCCACTCCCAGGATCTCCCCCTCCGCACTCTCCCTCGCCGTCCAGACTTGGCCCTCGAGCAAAGCTGGCCCCAGCCAAGCCATGTGGTAGGCGCGGTACCATTGTTCCGGCTTTACGTCCTGAGGCACAGGGAAGCGGTTTGCCCAGGGTTCTGGCACCCCGTCAGAAGGATTGCAGGTAGTGATAGATGTGAGGTACATACCAGTCTCATAGCCTTTGATCATGACTCGGAGGATCGCTTCGAGCTGCTCGTCTGGGATGATTATGACTTCAGATCCAGGACTCAGATTGACATGCAGACTTACCGGTAGGGCTTGTCACGCGTGCCAGAACGACCTGCGCCGGCTGCAGATCGGTAAGTACCACATCAGCAGCTTTAGTGTACAGGAAGGAGCTGGGAGACATGGTAGTATGTGTGAGCCCAAGACGATAAGGGTTCATTCATCTCGCTTGTGCAGGCGACTTGACAGGTACAAAGGAGTTTCGCGTCGACTCAAGACTGATAAAAGTGTGACACCTTGAAGGGAGTCGAGTACCGGCTGAGAAGTCTGGGTGTGTCTCATTACTTCTCGTGACATCCATGGAAAGAAACAATCTATGTCACCACGACTCGGCGACGAAGATTAGGGTTATATGGTGCTTTGGAGGGAGCTTTCGCAACCAGGATGCAGCATCAGTATCATCAGCGTTCGACCCTTTCCAGTCAGCGCCCCCATTCGAGAGCGTCACCGCCTATACGCAGCGTTGCGAGCGGTATTAAAGATGTCACACATGAGGTTTAATCATCCTAAGAATGTGAAGGCTAGAGTTGTTATGACACATTTGCATTGACATTCCCGTGGCACGCCGCGCGGCGGTGTCTTTCGTTATTCCGCCGACCTTCTTCATTTGCCATCCATATCCGATCGTGCTCGACCCCTCGCCCGAGCAAGCTTAACATGTGCCAGTGGTACGTACCTCCTGCCTCTGCTCCTCGTGCGTGTAACGTATTCCGGGTCGATGAGGATGCGGATCGATATCCCCATGTCCGCGAACAGGACACTTGATACAATCTGACGCGTCCCCGAAGCGTCCCCAAGCTCGCGGATCCGTTCAGTGTACCCTTGCCCTCCTTTGGGCGCTTCACCCCCGTCACTCCTGCTGGTCCGCGTTTTGAACAAGCTAAAACACGTCAGGAAGATCTCGTCTGCACATATATCTGGTCTGCACCATCTCCTTCTCCGTCTCACCATCACTCACACAACTTTCCAATCTCCACATCACACTCTCAACTCCCACATAAAGTCTTGCCCACACATCTTTTCATCTAACAGCCCACCTGACACATTTCTTCCCGCTCCCCACCTCATCCCGCTGAATCTAGGACCACATCCTAGCCATATTACCACACATCTCACTTACACATCATCCAAAGCACCACACACAACCCCTTATCCCCGCTCACATACGCCATGTCCTCGAGCCCCCTCTCCTCAGCGAGTACCGTCTCCTTGGTCACCACGCTCTGTTCATTAGGCGGAGCCATGAGTCAGCAGAATTCGACGGAGGAGTTGCCTTCCCTGGGCTCCGACGAAAGCCAACCTTCCCGGCGGGAGTCGCGGGACAGCGGAGACTTGGGAACGGACTACAAATACAATGAGGGCCCAGCAAGTCGCAGTGGAATCTGTGAAACCACTTCGTATACAGCACGTATCGCATCAGTCGACGACAACGACTCGAGCGAAGAGTTGACCGCCGTCTCCCAGGCAAGACGCAGCTCCGCCAATCTCCCGCCAGACATGAAGACATTTATATCCACTTTGCAGAGTTTGAAGGACCAGTCGTCTTTTTTCGAATCGAGTGAGGACCCGTACGCGTGGCGGATCCCGAGGGATGTCAGTATGCCCCGATCCTACGCATCGTATCGCGAGGCCGTCGACAAACATCTACACGTTCTCAGCTTTGTCGAAGAAGACCCAGAGCCAGAGAGCTCCGAAGACGGAAAGGCTTCAGAGTATAGCGAGTACACATCCAGTGACGACGCACCTCCCCAGCCTCGTGACCCTCGCCAAACATCCCTCTTTCAGGGTTACTCAGCCATCAGTAGCCAGTCACATTGCGATCTGAATGGCGCCACCTATCACACCGTCACTGCCTCATCAGCCAGTGACAACAGTCAGAGCGACACCAGCATCCGCGAAGTTGCTGGATCTGGAGACTCCGAGCGCCACCCCTTTGACTTGCCATCGGTCTATAGTCCTTTCCCCGACCAGGACTCCATGGTCACGTCTAGAAGTACAGCCGTACCCGCATCTGAAATCGCTGTCGTCTCCGGCCCCTCGAGTAGGACCAGTGATGGCCATAGGTACACTTCCGAGGTAGACGATTGGGACGACATCAGCGTGCCAGACGATTCGGGGTACCGGAGTCCTATGTCTAGCTTCGAAACCTCAAGCTACGACGACCGTCATACGAGATCCAAGCACGTAACGCCTTTCGGACAGGCTAAGCAGTGGCTCAAGTCATGGAAGGCCACTCGGGAGTCTTCGCGACAAACTCGTGCGGGCGCGACCTCCACTGCTAGTCCGATGCAAGGTGGCTTTTCCCGCGCCATCTCATACGTCACCAGCAAGTGTGCCCCTCCACTCACTGACTTCCACTCCAAGATGCACGCACTCCGCGGTACTGCCCAGTCCGATATGCCCAGCACGCGTAAATCCCTCTTCTCCCGATCTCGAATGACTGGCAAGATGTCGTCAGCCTACACGAAAGTGAGCAACTTTAACGCCTCGTCGTGCTATGAGCGCGCTGCAACGGCGACGGGGAACTGTTACTCTATTGCTGCATTCAATGTGAGCAAGGGGGTCAGCAGTGCGTGGGACTGCACGGGTGGGGCGGTCGCTAGCAGGGTGTGGAAGAGCAGTAATGCCCGCTCGGGCGCTAACGCTCCTTCATCACGCAACGACGGCGGCACTACCGCCGGAAGTGGTACCTTCCTCTCCAAGGTCCAATCCACCTTTCGCAGCGGGCGCTCAGCATTTGGTAAGATCACAGCCAAGAGCGGAAGAGGTGGGATATTCCGGACGGGCCTTACATGGGCGCGGGGTACTCAAGCTACGGATACAGATGCACGCACAGTGAGTGGCATGGGAGAGTCATTACTGACCTCCAGGAATCTGTATGCCCGCGTCTCACATTGACAGACTTCGGACCGTCCATCGTAGACGGCGCAGATCTCCTCGAACCGGATTGGACGGAACAGTTTGCATCCTAGCTCCGCAGATTGATTTGAAGGGCGTCGTTAGCAGCTTGATATGGTCAGTACGTAACTCGTTATTGATGGTTGTAGTTAGCGCAGTGTGCTCGTATCCAGTCACATGCCACACCTCGCAGGTCTTTATCCCTCCATATCCTGCGCCATGACGATGTATGGCTCCCTCTTCCCATCGGGATAGAACACCTCCCGCTCCCAGATCGTCTTGAAGCCTTTCCGCTCGTAGAACCGTCTCTGCCCTTATCAGCCCAAAGTTCCCCATCGCCCTTCTTGCGATCCTTCCAAAAGCTTTAGCTCTGAGCCCGCACTCACATTTGACTCTGTAGGCGTGGAGAGGCTCATCCCCTGCCCTCCCTCCCGTGCGTGCCGCACAAATTCAGCGAGTAGCGCGCCGCCTGTACCCGTCCCCCGGCTCGAAGGGAGAGTGACGAGGATATGGAGGTGTGATGTGTTACGCCAGAGATCGGGGTATGCGAGGTCCCGTTCGGCCTTGATTTTCTTTTTCTGATCATTCAGCCACTAACGATCTCTGAAAGACCAGCAGGCACCGGGCGGAGACCGTGAGAGGGAGCATGACATACCACGTCCGCTTCTGCTTTTTGATTTGGCGAGTCTGCCGATATGAGGCGCTCGTATGTCTCTGCGTATTGCTTCTGCTCCGGTCTAGATTGCATCAGCACGGAATAACTCGAGGCCACTTGGGGCGTAGTCAACTCTCAGGGCAGTCTCGAGACATGTACGCACGTATCGCTCATAGTATGTCCAGGGAGTGACCAGATCGCCAGTCCCACAACCGCATTATCGCTCTTCCGCCTCGCAGTCCAGATTTCTCCTTTGACCAGAGCGGGCCCAAGGGAGGTCATGAACTGCGCTCGGTAGAATTCGGCAGCTTTGGTAGAGCCGTCCAGGGCCGAAGGGGCGGGTGCGAAACGAGAGACGAATGGCTCTATGGATTTGTCAGCCTTAGCTCTGCGCGTGTGTAGAGCGTTAGCGATGGATGAGGGACGCGCCATTCTCGAAGCCCTTTGCTATTACTTGAAAAAGCTCCTCTAACTCCTCATCTGCTGCTGTCAGCTCAGGCAGGCTGTTCTTGAGGGGAACGGGCGCACCGGAAGGATTGGTCACTTTGGCTAGTATAAGCTCATCAGAACAGGGCGTCATCGCTGTTGACGATGGGAGGACACCGCGCTGCAGTGGTAAAGGCGGTGGAGCCTGTTCGACTCTGAGAGACGAAGACTCGGTAGCTGGTCAGAGAATGTCAGTATTCGAGTGACGAGTCGAGCCGACTTAATTGGCGAGGTTTTACTCGAAGTCGCGCCGGGTAGATCAGCTGGAAAGCTCCTTCATCCGAGGACTGCGCGTATGCAGCTCACTGGCGAGGCTGCTTTGTACTGTCAAAGGACGATTATAAGGAGACGATGTGATGCATGCAAGAGAGTGAGAGCCAATGCCAAGCCAAACCCACTCCAATTTTCAGCTCACCTGACCCGCGCCCCACCCAAACATCCTCCCGCCCTCCTCTCTCCCTCATCGTCCTCCCTACAAGCTACTCTTTGTGTATATACCGACAACAACAAGCTACAGCAATGGCAAGCAGATCACCAACCGGCGCGCCTCTTGAGCGCAAGACATCAGCAACGGCCGCACTGGCCAGTCGAGTGGGGCGGGCGTTGTCCCCGAATCGCGCGTTGGGTGGGGAAGGGAGTCGGGCGAGTTTGGGTGGTGAGTTGAGCTTCTCCTAGCTATTTCTAAGGTCGGCTTGGGGTTCTGTATCCAATGGAAGGCTCTGGCGCAATTCAGAGAGGCATGGAGAGGCGGACGAACAGGCGGATGGACCGGGAGCTGGAGTTGAAGCTGGAGGCCATGGGCGAATCAGGCGCATTTCCTCGCTGCTTCAGCTGGATGCGGGAGGAAGACTCAGCCAAGAAGACCAAGGATGTCAGATGTCCGAGATAAGGATACCCCATCTCGTACCCCCCAATCCTTATCTATTACCTTTGTCTTCGTCGCTCCCCTCCCCTTCCCCGGTGTAAGCTTTTCCTTATCAGCTACCAATGGAAACGCAGCGGGTGGCGGGACCAGATATGGCTTCTTTCTCTATCGCGATTGATCGAGAACGGTCGTTCTTGGCGTGCATGGCTGAGGGCGAGATGCTACTGGATGCGGAGAGGGATGCGGAGGGAGGGAGAAACGGACGCGATTGGGCGCTGCAAGAGGAAGGAAAGAATGCATGGCGTCAGCGGAGTAAGACGTCAGACGGAGGGGCAAGGAGGTGTTGTTGTTTTGAATCGCTCCTGCTTCTCCATTCCCTTTCGTCTCCCCTTTACTCTTCTTCTCTTGTTACGCGCGATATATACAAGAGCTGTCCTTATACTACAGGTGCAATGCAAGCCGACCTCGAATCGCAGCGCGGACGCCAGGGCGTCGTGAGTCATGCTCTATCGGAGAAGGCAAAGAGCAAGGCTGATATACTGATCAGGTATCTACCGGCCGTGGTGGCGCAGGCAATCTTATGCGGTCGCCCAGCCGTGGGCTCGAGCCTGAGATCGCTCCTGGCTCTGAGCGGGGCAGGGAGGCGACCCAGCGAGACCTTTCCGGCGACAGGGTGTGTGCATACCACCGAGTACACCTGAAACCAAGCTGACGAGATTAGGCGGTCCGTTCAGGCCGTGGAGGCGCAGGCAACATCCGCTCTCCCTCGCGCGACCCCACCACCCGGATCGCCGAAGAGGAGAACGAGAAGACGATCCAGGAGCGGCTCATCAATGAGGAGCGTGGCAGGAAGGGCGAGTCCCCCTTCTCGACCGGCCGGGGTGGGGCGGGCAACTTTTCAAGGGACAAGAGCAGGAGCAGGAGCGCCGTCAGGGGCGAGGCGGCCGCTGCGGTTACGCCGTCCAAGGAGGCGGTTCATGGGCATGCGACGGGCAGGGGCGGATGGGGGAACGTCAGGGAGGAGCGCGAGTCGGTGGATCTCGAGAAGGTGAGTCTGCTACCCTCCGCGGGGCGTGAGAGCAGGGTGAAGAAGGGTGGTGAAAGGAGCAGTTGGTCCAGGGGCAGGAGCTGACGAAATGTAGGAGGCAGCCGCTCGCCGATATGAAGCTGGCATTGCGGCTCAACACCGCGCGGACGACGCCGGCAAGGTGTAAGTCCATATTCCACCTCCCGCGCCTAGCCGTATCTCTTCGAAGGCTCATACTGATCCTCATAGTCACTCGTCTGGAAAGGGCGGATTCGGCAATATGACCTCCAAAACCCTCACTCCCGAAGAGTTCTCCAAGCTCAATCTGGAGGAGCAAGAGGCATTCAAGCGGATCTCGGCGCAGTCCACTCCGCAGTACGCTACCGGCGGACGAGGGTGAGTCATGTTTTACTGCGCAAGATGGGAGAAGAGCTGATCCCCGCAGTGGCGCTGGCAATTACCACACCAGGGACCGAGACAATCTCGCAGTAGACGGCGAGCGCGGCCGGGACAGCAAATCCGGAAGCGGCGGGATCGTCGGGAACTTTATGCGCTCCCTCAGCCGAGCGAAAGGTGGGAGCAACGAGCGGGCTAGGGATTAGCGCTCGAGTAGTCAACGCGAGGACCAGATGGAGTGGAAGGGTTGTAAGGACTTCTTTTGAACTAATTAGACTGGATAGGGCAGGGCAGGGATTCGAGCTGGTTTGTTATTGCTGCTATACCTGGGTGATGTCCGAGGATATGTATGGTTTGTTTTGACAGCACGAGGAGGGGATTGGCTGTGGATGAATTGCAACAACTCTACCCACCTCAGACTTCACCGCAGACTTCACCACACACCCTATCATCTGCTCTATCGTATGCGTTGACCGAACACTCTACCTGAGTCAAGCTGGACGTCTTGTCGAGAAAAGCCATGACTGCTGATGCTGATACATTTTTCACCATCTATGGACGACTACCTAAGACCCAGAATGCTAGAGATGACAACAGATATGCTCTTCCACTTTTCTACTTTGTACCCAGACCGGTCTTTCTCTCGCCACCTTCTCTCGCCTCTTCTCCACCGAGCACGACGTGTCGGATTGGCCCCTGCTCCAAAGATATGCCCCCTTCTCTCCGCTTCTCCGCCAGAGCCCGACTGAATATGATGGCTCCCCCCTTCCTCTCTGCCGCCCGAGCCCGACTGGATGTGATGGCTCTCCTTCCTCTCCTCCCTCCCGAGCCCGACTGAGTGTGATGGCTCCTCTCTTCTGACCCTCCTCCCTAAACTCGCCTAAGCTGTGCTATAAAATCACACACTTCTTCTTTTTTCTCCGCTCATATCCGCCTCCGCCACCTCCATGATACCCACCCCCGCCGGCCCCTCCCGCTCCACCCGAACCGCCACCTCCCCCTCCGTCCCCTCCGCGCCGTTGCGCCTTGATCTGACGTACCAAGCTCTTGAAGCACGCCTCGACATTGACGTTCGTCTTGGCCGAGCACTCAAAGAACTCGGCGCCATAGTATTGCGCCAAACCCCGACCTTCCTCAGTCGAGACTTCGCGGTGGCCGACCATGTCCCGTTTGTTGCCGACGATGGTCATGGGTATGCGGGGGGTCGAGGGGTGGGGGCGGTACGATGTGGAGGAGGAGGGGGAGGTAGGGGAGGGGAGAACGAAGCCGCCGGGTCCGGACGGGGAGTGGGGGAAGGGGGAGGGCGGTGGGTCGAGGTCCTTGACGCGGTGGACGCGCTCGAGGATCCGGTCCAGGCGCTCGAACGTCCGCCGGTTTGTTATCGAGTAGACGATGAGGAAACCCTCACCGTCCCTGAGGAGTCAGCTCTATATCGAGATCTTACTTGAAAGGGAAGCTTACCGGATCCACTGGTCTCGGAGGGCGGTATACTCCTCCTGACCCGCGGTGTCGAGAACCTCCAGCAGACAGGGCTGGTCATCCACGACCCACTGCTTGCGGTAACAGTCCTCGATTGTCGGGTCGTAAGCCTGTCTCGTCAGCCAAAGTTCCTCAGAACATTCGTGATCAGTATGGAGGAAGAATCAGCAACAGACCTCAACAAAAGAGGACATGGTGAACTATGATGTCAGCTTGAGCCGTTCAAGTCGTAGCGCATGGGCAAACTGACCTGGACCGTCAAAGCGGTCTTGCCCACACCACCGTCCCCGAGCACCGTGATCTTGAACAGCATCCGTGCCTGTGAAGGCTGAGGTGTCAGCTGGGACCTTGGCAACGAAGTAGAGCGATGGAGGTGAGGCGAGCATGCATTGCGCGCGGTGATGTACGGCGTATTGAGTTATAGGAGATAGACATACCATGGTGCTGTTCGAGGAGAGGGGAAGAAGGGAGGAGGGAGAGGGGAGGGGGAAAGGGGAGGGGAAGGGCGAGAGCGGAGGACGAGGTGGGAACCTCGCTCGCGCGGGGGTTTTGGCGCTGGTGGGGGTGACTCTCAATGACAAGAGTCCCAGCTCAAGCTTGGGGTATCGCTGAGGGGAAAGAGCGAGGGGAGAAGGGTGGGATTATATATTGCTTAGACGAGCGAGGGCGGGGTGGGGAAAATTGTTGATTAAGGGGCAAGAGGACCGTGCTAGATCTCTCGCTTATGGATGCGCCCGTGTCCCTTGCTGCGGTAGTGAGGATGCCTCGAGGTTGGTGGGTGTCCAGGGACCAGAGGACGGGCGGGCGGGCGATGGGTGGAAAGAGCGGTGTCGAGTGGAGCTGATGTGATGGAGGGGTGGACGCTGACGGCTGATGGTGTGCGTGACCGATGTACACACTGATGGTGCCTAAAGCTGCGAAGTGTGGGGAGGCGGTGGCGGTGGAAAATGCAGTCCGAGTAGCGTTCGTGCCTAGATCAAAGCAGATGTCTAGTTGGTCGCAAGTGTGTGTATTGTTGCTCGGACTTGTTTTCTCCTCGGGACCGAAGTGATCAGAGCTTGGAGTGTCGGTGCGGTGCTGACAAGCAGCAGGTGGGGTGGGGGAGCGGAGCGGAGGGCGGGGTGGCGAGGGTAGTCACCTGTCTACCCGCGTCGAGTCGATCAATCAGTCTCACAGTTATGCAGTACAACGCTTGGACAATGGACAAAGCTCAGCGAGGTTGGTTGTTGAGCAAAAAGGTCGAGCCCGGATTAGAGTTTGGCGCCGTCATCGATCTCAGAGAAGCATTCGCTAGCAAGTGAAAGCGACTGCATTGATCGCACGACAACTGCGGTGGACATACGAATGTGCGAGACCTAGACTGAGCTGGGATGTCTCGAAGACCAGGCGTGCGTTTGATGCTGCGACAGATCTCCAAAGGTGCCTGCACTAGCCCGCCATTCTCAAGAAGCGCAAAGGCAGCAGCTGCCACCGGGTCCTTCCGTCAATCGAGCACCATTCCCCCGTCTTCCAATCTCAAACGTGGAGCGTCCGTTGTTCGTTGATGCCAGTTGAGAATGCATGACCCCGTCGTCACCCAAACTCTCTACAAGAGCACACCCGGACCCTTGGGGCGCCCGCAATGCCTCCGACTCCCCTCTCTACACCCCTCTGATATCCCTAGTCCAGCACACCCTCTAAGCAGCCGACTTCTTCTCCTTCACGTACGCCTTCCTGACGAGATCCCGACGCGACTTCTTGGCGAGCATGATCTTGAAGCGGTCAAAGTCGGAAGCGTTCTAAAAGTCAGCCATAGTACGACCAATATAGTCATTCCCCTCCGTCCAGGCTCCTGCCGCCGCTCCTCTCGCTTTGCCACTCAAAAAGATCCTAGACGCACCTTCCTCGTCTGCCTCGCCGCAAGCTTCTTGGCCCAACCGCTCTGCTCCCACTTCTCGAGCACGCCAGCCTTCTCGACCGCGCGCTTGATGGCGCCGCTTCCGGCACCCCGGGGGAGTTTCGAGATGGTGTAGGGGGTAAGGATGAGGTTGCGGTAGGCGATTTGTTGACGGGGTACGGAGGTGTTGGGGCCGTCGATCAGGGCCTACTTGTCAGCTAGATCCTGAGAGACACGGTGAGGCTAGACCTACCCGGTTGTGGTCAATGATCTCGGCGATGACGGCGAGCTTGCCGGCGGAAGGCCCGTCGTTGACAAGAACGACACGGCCGACCTCGACGAACCGCTTGAAGGTGGAGGGCTGGGCGACCTGCGGGGTCAGTTATGCGCAGATGGGCATCAGGCCGAGCAGATCAAGCGGGCAAGCTCGGCAAGTCGGGTATTGGTGTCGGTCGTCGGTACGGCGTGTAGTATCCCTCCTCCTCAATGATCCCCTCTCCCTCTGATCCATCTACAACCCTCCCAACTTCCTGCTGTTTCCTGTCCATCCATCTCTGCCGAGTTCCGCTGGCATCGTCCGTTTCCTTTGTCGATTTCGCCGAGCTTGCCCTGATCTGCTGTGCTATAGGTAGCGCTGTGCTACTCACGGGCATGATGATTATTCCCTCGAGAGTGATACTTGATGGCTAAGAGGGAGAGCTATCAACGAGGTATTGCGCACAAGCAGAGCAGCCACAAGCAGACGGAAGCTATTCTCCTCTCGCACCGCGGGCCAGTCATCGGAGTTTGGACAGACCGGCTTTATCGCCGAGCTGGCCCTGGGCGGCCCTCGCCGGTCCACGAGTGTGGCAGCGGGATCAAATCGGAATAAGCTGATCAAGCAGCTTGTCCGGGTACCTTTTTGATTATTACCGGAAGGGGTAATTATGACGGAACTGTGTTCTTCGATTCCATCGACTCTGCTCGCTGCTTCTCTTGACTCCAACACTACAGTAGAATTGCTGACATCCCTCTTGTGCATATACACGACAATCCTACCACTACATCACAGCCAGATACATCGCATCTATACGCCTTAGCGAGACAAACCTAGCCAAGCGAGGTCAAACAACTGCCACTCAAAGAAATACCACGTCCCAAGAACGTGCTTGCACCGCGCCTTCATCGAGAATCCGCATTACTCGTGCATCACTCGACGAAACACCAACCTACCCCTGGTCATATTAAAGGATCGTCCTCCACCCTCGGCGGAGCGTTCACACCACCCTTTCATCCCCACTTTGGCCTTCAGCGCTTCCCAGCCACCCAGCCACCTTCGGCCGAATCGGCCCGTCCATCCTGGTCATATAACAACCCTTCATCCCCCTCTCCCCCACCCCAATCCCGTTCACTCTTCCTACCATGTTCGACCTCCCTGCCCACCTGTCCAACCTCAACTCGATTCAGTCGCCCCCCTCCCAGGCGATCAACAACGAGCATGAAGAGGCCTTTTGGGACTTTATGCACACCGACCAGCTCTTTGAGAACTTTGGCGGTGTCTCGCCAGCGGCGCATGATGCAAAGGCGGAGATGCACAGGGGAGCGGCGGGCGGTAGGCACGGAGGGATGATGTCTGCGCCAGCACCCACACCGGCCCCAACACTGGCGGCTTATGCGGCCCCTTCGCCCTCACCTGCGGCGGCGGCTCCGCGCAAGAACGAGCGAGAGAGCGGACCTACCATCGAGGCCTTCCTCGCTGCTTTTGCAAACGAGCACGCCTCCTCATCCACCGGCTACCGCCTCCCCATCACCCTCCCCCTCCCTTACTCCTCCGCCCCTACCCCCAACTCAGTCGATACCGCCTCCATCATCCCCCGGCCGCAACAGCCACAGCCCGAGGAGGTGTACGGCGAGAACGGCGAGCGGCTATCGGGCACCAAGAAGCTCAAGCAGCTCGGTGCCCCGCCCGCTGAGATCGAGGAGGACAAGCGGCGGCGAAACACAGAGGCGAGCGCGCGGTTCAGGCAAAAGAAGAAGGAGAGGGAGAATGCCTTGGAGATCAGAGCCAGTATGTTTTCTTCTTTTCTCTATTCCGACCTCTGGTTCGGTGAGGACTGTGTTGACATTATTGCAGAGGAACTGGAAGCGCAAGTGGCACAGCTCGTCGCGGACAAGTCGAGCCTCGAGAATGAGAACAAGTTGCTCAAGGCAATAGTGCTCGGGAGTGGACAGGCAGGGGCAGAGCAACTGCAGGGGGCGATGGCGGCGTTTGGGGCCAAGCGGAAGAGGGACGAGTAGGGGCGTCTTTGGGCAGCGGATTGTCATTATTTGGGGTTTTAGCTATTATCATCATCTTGTATTAGTAGAGTAGGGCGGAGTCGCTTATGTCTGTCGGACCCAGTTTGTCTATAGACGTCATCAACCTTGTAGGAATATGCAGATTACATAGCAAACACCCTCTCTCATGACAGCGGTCGCAGCACACAGATACAACGCATCTACTACCTCCTCACCTTGACAGCCTTCCCCGCTGTCTTTCTCCCCACATTCTTCCCTCCCACACTCTTGCCCCCCACATTCTTCCCGCCCGTCGTCTTCCTAGCCGCAGCCGCAGCCGCAGCCGGCATCTTCCCACCCGTCGTCGACCGTCCACCAACCACCGCCGCAGTGGACGACTTGCTTCCCGTCCTCTGTCGCTTCGTCGGCGGCTGGATAATCTCCAGATCATCCGAATCGTCCGAGTCGGAATCCGAGTCCTTGCTATCTCCATCATCATCGATATTGATGGGGTCCCGATCGGTGCCCGCTGGGTGGCGGGAGGAAGACGCACCAGCGCCAGCGGACGCCGAAGCGGCGGTGGCGATCCGGGTGGAAGAGCGGCGCGGGAGGGAAGAGGGGCTTGGATCGGGCGAATGCGAGTCGAGGTGAGCCGTCTGCAAGCGTAGACCTTTGGGTCCCGCGGTCTGCTCGGGTCCGGCATAGAGCAAAGTAGCGAGCTGTCGCGCAGCTATAGGTTCCCCTGCCAACCCATTCCCCAGATTCCGCTCCGACGCTAGATCCTCCCATCTCAACTCCCCCTCGACGGGCTTGTCGGTATTCTTGCCAGGTAGGGCGTCCCGCCGGATGAGCGGGTCAAAGAGCGCGACCGGAAGAGAAGCGGTGTCCTGGTATGGCCGGACAGCTAGGAACTGGTCCGCGTGGCCCCGCTGGGCAGGGAAGGGCGCCATGTATTCAAACAACTCCCATGGCCGGTCGTCGAAGGGGTAAGAGGTGGAGATGTCGTCTTTGGTCGTGGTGAGCGTCATGTGGCGCCGAGTGGGTGATAATCGCGGGAGGATTTCGACCAGGGTGGGAGAGAGGCGGAGCGCATGCTGGACAGGAGCGGTAGCCATCTCAGCGAGGAGAGCGAGGTGAATCGCCGGACGAGTGGCGGCCGGAGCAGCTACTCATTAGCACTATGACCTCGTCCTTAATCGCTAGACTCACAGTCCAGAACGTAGACCAGCGTATCTTGCACCTCAGCCATGTCCGAGCCTTTCATCGCCTGTCATCAGCGCAGTCATACACCAGTACTCACAGTCAAGACCCGCAGCAACGCCACAATCAGCTTGACAAAGTCCGGCTTCGGCGCAGTGATCGCCGCTGTCTCCATGACATTCAGCCCCAACGTGAACCGCAGCGCTTTGAGCGCCGCACGTAGCAATAGCCCCGCCTGCTGAGTATCATCCGCCGATCCCAACTGCTCCCCCACCGCGCCCAGAACCGTCCCTATTAGATCCAACATCCGATGTCTCGCCCCAGAGACAGTGGCGTCCCCGCCTAGGCCCTCTGTGCCCGCACTGCAGATAATCCGCAACACAGCATCCATCGCCTTATCCGCCTCTCCTTTCCCCTGCTCCCCCGCCTCGGTCTCTGCCTCCCCCTCATCCTGCATCATTCGCCCGAGGAGCACACCGAGCCTATCGAGCCCCACCGCCACTATCTCACCCACCACCGCCGCGTCGATCCCCTTGAACGTCTCGCACAACAGCTCCGCGTCGTCCGCCGAGTGTTCACGGTTCATGCTCTCCCCAACGAGCTGACGGAGGGTATCCCTCGCCCCTGGTCCGTGCAGCCGAATCGCTAACCGTTTGAATTCGACCCTCATCTCCAGCACGACGCTCGTCCATCTCCAGGCGCTTAGCCGGCCACTGGAAGGTAGGGAGGGCATAGCTGAAGAGCTAGGGGAGCCGCCCTCCGACATGATGGATTTCAAAGTCTCGATCATTCCGCCTTCGACGGCAGGGTCGGCTTTGCCCCATTCGCTCGAAAGGAATGCGTCCTTGAGCAACGATAGATGCCTAAACGCCGCGGCCTTGAACTCCGGGATCGTCGATAGGTCCCGAAAGAAGAGGGATATTTGATCTCGTGTACGTTCCGGCACGGTGATGGAACCCAGGACGACTAGGGAAGGAAGGTGACGGATAAAGTCCGGCATGTGTTGGTTGGACAAGACCTGGGACCGGCTAGTATACGCGATAAAAGCCTCTTGGGGTCCGATTGGGGAGATGGCGGGATTTGGAGGTTTGGTGAGTAGGAGTTGTTGTACGAGGATGACGGTAGTGTCGAGCGCTTGGAGTTGGGATGGGGAGAGATGCGGTCGGGAAGAGAGGAGGGTGGCCGAGAAGGATTTCCAAAGGGGATAGATGTATTTGTCGAGGAGAGTGAGGGTGGACAACCGGCGACGGGTGACGAGCATGAGAAACAGCTGTCGGATAGACGAGACCGCCGAGAAGAGCTCGTACCGGTTCCGAACCGTGTCGAGCCACTCGCCAACGACCTGGTCGATCGTGAACCCGATAAAGCCCGTCACTTGGTCGATATGCGCCGCGACAGCATCGAGTACGCCTGAAGTGCCTTCCGAGGCGAGGCTCAGCGCCTTGAGGACATCCGTGATGGTGCTCCACCATACAGTCGCCCAGCCCGCATACGGCCCATGCCGGTCGTACAGCGCCTGACCGAGTGTCTTTGCCGCGTCGATGTCGTGCGCTAGAAAAGACCGTCGCAGTTCTGGCATACTAGGCCGAGCATCGCTTGGAGAACCCATCGATCCATACCAAGCCTGAATGTCAGCCCGTCTCCGACGTCAGAAACATACCTTCTCATGATACTCGACATAGCTCCGGACCTCCTCCGCATCCTCCTCCTTTGCTCGCCCCTGCGCCGCCAAATCGATGATCAACCTAGGCAGTCTCGGATGATAGATGTCTTTTCGATCCAGACGATGGAAGCGTTCCATCAACGCATCGACGATGACGGGCCACCGATCCATCGCTGTCCATGTATCGGCGTGACACCGGAGGATATCGATGGTTATGCGCAGAATCTCTTGATTGTCGTTGATCCGGGTGGCGCGGACGATAAAGTCTGCGATACTGGAGTATCCATTGCACATGTGGAGGATGTGGATGACGCGGGCGAATGTCGAGGGGCTCATCGCTGGAGTTTTGCCTTGCCTGCTGATCAGCTCACCACATGTATAGTGTAACGTACCGCTTGAGTCGCTTCTGGGATTCCGCAGCGAGCTCAAATCTAGCCTGAAGGAAGATGAAGCGGGTGATGTCGTCCGTCGAGGGCATGGGATGATCCACATCATCCCGGAACGCCGCGCTACGCCCATACCGCTCTATCTCGTCAGCTCGGCTTATGGGACCTGCGACTGATCACTCACTGAATCCGTACAGTTCCGGCACATACTCCTTGCACTCCTCCTTGAACGCTTCCATCGCTCCTTCCTCCTCCCCATCGTCCCTCGCCCTCGCTTCGGCGTCGTCGCCCGACAGCGCGATCCTTCTCTGTTGTAGCAGGTCCTTCGCCACCACAAAGATCGGTATGGACCTCAAGAGATCCATGTGATGGCTTCTCGGGCCGTTCGGCCGAGACCTCGCCGTATATCCCCGCGCAATAAGCATGTGCAGGTACCGCGAGTACGAGAACATGCCTTGGCGCGTAAACTCGCCAAAGGTAATACCGATCGCTTGGACATTCCGGTCCTTCTTGGCCGCGCTGGACGTATCGAGCCAGCTGTACAGCTGGGGAAAAATATCGAATGGCCGGCTAGTATGTTCAGCGCGCTGCTCGGTCCACAGCCGGAGCAGGGTGTGGGCGGCGTAGAACCGGTGGATCCCAAGATGTCGTAACCCCATGGCCCAGTTGAGGAGGATAAAGACCTTCTCTTCAAACTTGGTCAGGTCGAGAGATGGGGAGGTGGGTGAGGAAAGACCGTCAAAGAAGGAGCGGCATAGCTCGACCATGTTGGTTTCGGCAGAGATCGAGTCGAGTTTCTGGATATCAGCGAGGTTAAGAACTGGGGACGTACAGATGTTTCTTCGATCTGGTTGCGCCGCGGACTAGCAGTACTGCTCTCTGCAGGTACATAGAGTAGCGCATGGTTCCGCCGATCCATCTCCTCGACGACCTCTGAGGCAGCGAACGCCGACAACAGCTCGCGATGCTGCTTCCAGGCAGACGGACCCACGAGTACCTCTGGATTGCCCTTGATGAGCTTTTCGATGATACTCTCCAGCATTCCTTGGATCTTGGTCATTGAGCCAGCAGCAGGAGAAGCCTTGATCTAATGTCAGTGCAGCCCTTTTTTGAAGCTTACCTCTTTGATCTTCTCGCATGCGCCCTTGATGCATACTCGGGCAGCGGCGAGGTGGTGTAGCATATCCGGAAGATAGTCGCCAATAAGCTGAGCGACAAAGCCGAGTTGGGCGAGATTGGCTGTACGTTGAAAGTCCGCGAGCCACGCCATGAGCGAGCGTGTCGAGACTAGTCGGCGGGTATGTAGCTCTCGGAGGAGCGAGGTACTATCCGTCAGCTTCTTCTTTGCGTCCTCCAAGACGCCAGGACTGACCTGTAACTCCACTTTGCCAACCACCTCCCTCTGGTCTTCTCGTCCCCTAGAACCCCGGTGGCTGCCTTTGGCGGCTGGGCCGACCCCTTCGCGGGCAGAACCAGATGCCCCAGCTGCGTCCTCAGCCAGGACGTAAACAAATTGGTGAACTCCTGAGTATACCAGTCGTTACTCGACAGCGCCGCCGCTGGAGTCCCGGCGGCACCAGCCGCGCTCGAGCTAGGCGTATTGGGCATTGGCGACGGAGCTGCCGCCGGACCGGCTGCTTGAATTCGCTGGCGATGCGCGGCGATCTCGTGTGAGCCCAGGACGCGGATGAACCATAGTGCCCTATCGACGGGTATAGGCTCTGAGGTGGTCGGGACGGCTGCGACACCTGGGCGAGTGGGCACGACGCGGGCGAACATGGTGTCGAGCAGCTCGAGTCCTTTAAAGTCGCGCGGTGCTTTCCCTTCCCGAGCCATACGGTGCAGAGGTACGGCGGGATTGGCGAGATCCGCGAAGAACTGGACGCGCCCACCTTCATTGTACGTCACTCGGGGTGGGATGCGGAAGGTCCTCTCTCTGATCATTAGCTTCTGCAGCCCTCCGACGAATGCAAGGACTGACGCCAGCTGCGGCATCGACTCGTCCCTCTTCTCAATGATACTCTGCCCCATCTTCATGAGCATCTCCATACCTCCATTGAGGAGGTACTGGTTGATTGGACCATGCATCGAGAAGCTCTCCGCCTGGGGTCAGCTGTAAACCCGATGGACCACTCACCCCAACAGTGACGAAAGTCTTGGCCACGAAACCATTCTTGACGTTCTCTTCAGTCAGGACGTCTTCTGGTTGGTGGAATCCCGGTCTAGAAGGGTAGAAGTCAGGATAGCCTGCAGCATCAGCGCCCCTTCTGATACAAGCCCCTCGTGTAAGCTCCACTGGGCAAGGTATAACTCCAGCCCCGACGTAAGCGAAAGGACATACCAAGGTCCGCCCGACTGTTGAGCACCGTCCTCCATTTCGGCGGCCCAAACTCCTCGACCTCCAAGCCCTCCGCCTTGCTCTCTATCCGCTTTAGATCCGTCTCCTTGATCTGCGAAGACCGTCTGTTCCGCGACGCAGCACCGCCCCGAGATCCGCTGTTCGAGGGACCTGCGGCGGACGAGGCAGAGAAGGAGGCCTGGCGGGGCGGCATGGCGCGTGAGCTCGAGGGATTGGTGCGAGCGCTATGGTATGCTCATATTGCTACAGCTGATAGGTATACAGTGAGTCAGACGCGCGGGTATAGGTACAAGACACTAGCGGAATGAAGGGTAAAGGCAGGCCTAGAGGGATGAGGAGCAAATGGACAAGGTTGGGTCTGCCTCCACCGGCTCGAGCGGAGCTACAACATCGTCTCTGCTTCTCGCATTCGCATCATATCATACCTTTCTACAGAAGCTATCACGTCGTATAGCGCCCAGCAGCGTTTCCGGCCCAGCGTGAGCTGCTGCTTCCCCGTGATGCATCGAGATCCGAGCTGACTTTAGGCAGGACCTAAACACCTCCCTCCTCACATCAGCCATGCCGATCGAATTTCCCCGAGACAACACCTCCTCCATCTCCTACCCATCCTCCGAAAGCTCTTCCTCCGCCGCATCATCAACAGCATCCTCGGATGACGACAGGGATGAAGAGTCCGCTATGATCCAGGCGGAATGGGAAGAGTCGTTGAGGCAAATGGAGATGGTTTTGTCGATTGTAATTATCCCGTTCTTTGGGAAGTGGTGGGGACGGAAATGGGCATACTGGGGTAAGTGGACCTCCTATAGCTGATGGGAAGCAGGGAATGTAAGGCTGACGCTGGTTAGCGTACGACAGATATCTGCATATCGGACTGGGAAGATCATTCTTTGGCTTGAGATGAGGCGGTCGGCGGAGAGTGAGGGTGCGAGGATGGATGAGGGCTTCTTGGATAACTTTCTCTTTCTCTCATGCAAGGCTAGAGAGCGAACCCAATGGCACGCCATGCTGATTCCTATGTTGAATTGTGAGATACTAATTCCACTCCTTCTTCCTCAACTTCACCCTATTCAAGATCGCCCTCAGCGCCGCCTTTTCCGCTACGAACCCCCTCGTCTTCATCTCCGCCACGACCTCATCCGCCTCCGCCCACCGCTGCGCCCTGACCAGAGGCGTGAGCACGATGAGATAGGTATCGCTATTGGGCGTGACGGTCTTGACCATCCGGCGGAACCACCGGATGAGCAAACTTCGCTCAGTTGGCTCGACCGGCGGCCGGACAACGGGTGGGCGAGCCCGGAAAGGGATCGACGAATGTACCCTCTCGCCCAGCTCCCGAAGAACCATATTGTGTCCGACGCGGTTGAGCGGCACTCCCGCATCGTCCATCCGCCGAATAGCCTCCCATGCCTCCACATCCCACCCGCCCCGAAAGTACCCGCTGATCAGGGATGTCCATGGGACTTCGCCAACCTTCATCTGAAGCACCCGCATCTCCCGCATGAGCTCCTCAGCAGCTCGCAGCCCCTTGCGATCGCCATTCTTCGCCAGGTCCGAGATGAGAAGAGAGATGGTACGCTCGTTAGGCGGTATACCTTGAGCGTACATTGTTTCGAGGGTTTTGATTGCCATCCTGAGCTCGCCGGCGCGGAGCAGACCCTGGAGGAGAACAGTGTAGGTGGCGACGTCAGGGGTCAGGCCGTGTTGCTGAGCAAGGGGGAGGAGGGCGAGCATGGATGGGACGACGGCCCGGCGGGCATGATGCCGAAGGACGATGTTGATGGTGACGATGTCGCAGGAAATGGCAGAGTCGGGGCGGATGACCTGCTCGAATAGGTCTAGAGCGATCTGAGTGCCCTCGTACGGTATCAGGAAGGCGCACGAGATCATGTGATTCAGAGCGCGAGTGGGTGGAAATGACTTGTCTGACGGGTCAGTCACACCCAACCAAAGCTAGGAGAAGACTTACCCTTGCCCTCCTCGAGGTGAAAAGCCTCCTTACACGCCTGATCCCGGACCAGCTCCTCCCATGCCCGTCCGAGCTTGATCGCATCCCCCACCTTTGTGAGACCCTCCATGTACAGCATGTAGCTCTTGAGATCCCTCGCTCCCTCCTCACCTGCCATCTTCCATACCGCCTCCAGATCCTCCGTAGCGCGCTCCTTATCCCTGATCTCATCCACCACCTCGTCGTCCAGACTCTGCACGACTCTGAAATCCCGTCCTTCCTCGTCCATCCGAGCGCGATGAACGAGGAGGACATGATGTATTGCCGCCGGGTATGGCCGAGGGATGTATGACAACACCTCGTTGCGATATTGCAGAAGCTCCTGCTCCTCCGTGGGTAGCCGCCGAAGAGCCGGTGACCGCGAGAAGAACCGAAGGAAGCTGGTGAGACTGCGCACTCGAGCGTCCTTGGCTTTGTCGACGTCCGGCACGGGATGCTCTCCCCGCTTCTCCGCCTTCATCGACTCCTTGTATTTCCCCCATAAAGCCACCGCCTCCTTGGTCATCTGACCTATCCGCATGGCGCCCAGCATAACATCCAATTGCTCCGGGCTGTGAGGTATGTCCTCCACACACCCCGAGTTCGCCTTCAGCAGCTCTTCCACCGAGCCTGTGTAGTGCTCAAACTCTGCATCCCGGATTCCGAGGACCGAATTGAGTGCCTTGAACACTTCCTCCTTCTTTGGCGGAATGAATTGGATAGGCGTCTCCTTTTGATCCAGATCCTGCCGCAGCACCGCCCAGGCAGCGAACATCGCGGGCGATAGTATGAAGTTCGCCTCCTTGTATAGACGCAGGTTCGTCATGAGGTGGTCCATGAGATGCTGGGCGTCCCGGCCTTCCAGTGCGAGACCAACGAGGCGCCGAGCGTACCGAAGTGCGAATTCCGACATCTGATGGACGGTAAAGGGGCTGGGCTTGATTTGGTTTGACCGCACCCAGCAATAAGCCAGGATATCGGTAATGAGTTCCGCGCCGGCAGCATCTCGAGAGCTCGCCTTGCCCTTGTCCGGTGACAGGGATGTAGCTATGTCATAGAGGAAGGGATCGAGCAGGTGGCGATCCGCCGCGAATACCGGACCGATGGTGAGGATGAGGGTGGAAACATTGTACGTTGCAGGAGCTGTGGAGGTGGAGGGGCGGGAAAAGAGGACTTTAAGCCGAGTTGGTATGTCTAATGGTTGACGAGGCTAAAATCAGCTGAGTTTTGGTAAGAGCTTACGGATGGGTTCTCGCTATTCGACCGAGGCTTCGGATGCTGCTTATTCGCCTGATACGCTGGCTTCCCTTGCCGCGACGGCCGCGGGTTGCGAGGGTGCCGAGGGGAGCGGGCTGCAGCAGCAGCCGCGGGCTTGGCCGTTGTTGAAGCCCTTCTTACACAGCTCAGAGCTGTGATGAGACCCCTCCCAGTCATCCTCTGCACTGCTGAAATAGCTTAGATGTTATAGCGGCAAATTAAAGGCAAAGCAGATCCTGGCCTCCCGAACTTTTGTCTGCTCTGGGCGCACGGATCAGCCTGAGGAATGTGGAGTATGACCTGGGGCGGCGATGACCGCAAGATATGTGGTGAGGTGGCAGACTGCTGAACGTAACGAAGACCAAGAACATGACCCTTCAGATCGTATCGTGGCGTCCAGGCATCGGGCAGATGTGGGCGGTGACGCGCCAGGGAAGACTGAATATCGAGCCCTTGCCACTATGGAAGGCTACCGGATTGAGACCGGATGAACGGTAATGTCCATCCCTTGCCTGGAGGGGTAGCGGGAGATCTGGCCCACAGTGCCCTGTTCCATGATCTGCATGAAGTACGGCCTGGCAGGACAGTCAGATAGTACACAAGTCAGGCGGAAGGCGCGTCGCTACATCAGCAAATGGTCAGATTATCGACTAAGGAATGTAGACTTACGGCCGTGATAAGATCGCGATCTAAAATGACGTCAACCCACGAGCTCACGATCGTGTTGGCCTGAATGCAAAATCGTCCCAAACCTATTTCCTCAAAGCCTCTTTTGCTCTTCGTCAAATCATACTCTTGCCCAGCCTCCTACTACCCTACTCCTACCCAAAACGCAGCGCCTAAACCCCCTCCGCCGCACAATGGCTTCCACCGTTCGCGTCTCGCAGACCCCCCCTTGGGTCCCCGTTCTCAAGAAGCAGATCGATGGCCACGAGAAGGACCAGGACTACACTGGTGAGCTTGCTTTATGAGCTGCTGTAAACGAGCGGAGCTGATCTCCAGCCTATGCCTTGGCTACACTCGACAAGGAGGGCCTGCCCAAGGTCCGCTATGTCATCCACCGCATCTGTACGTTCTCTCGTGCCCGACTTTCCAGCTGCAATTGCCCGACTTTCCAGCTGCAATTGCTGATTCCCAGTGACCCCGGCATCCAGCATCCTCATCACTACCACCGACACCCGTATGGCCAAGCCTGCCCACCTCGCCGCACATCACACCGTCGAGATGGCGTGGTGGCTCTCAGAGCCGGCCATTCAATTCCGGATCACCGGCCAGGCGTACACGATCCCCTCAGACGAGTCTGCTTCGGACTACGACAGCAAGTTCGGCGATGTCCTCAGCGGGCTCAAGGCGAAGGGAGATGAGGCCGAGAAGGGGTACTGGCAGAAGGAGCGGAAGAGGTTGTGGACGGAGGCGATGAGCGGGCACCTGCGCGCGAGCTTTGGCCGACCCCCTCCCGGAACGTCGTTGTCGGAGGTATCGGACCCTAGCACCTGGGACGAGAGCTTGCCGGCTGAGTCTGTGAGTCTGCATGCTCTCGATGATGGTTGAGCAAGCTGATCATCCAGGACGACCCAGAGACGAAGAAGAAGATCGACAACGCCTACTCTCACTTTGCTCTTCTGGCGATTCGTCCGACAGGCTTTGAGCAGCTCGAGCTGAAGGCTACGCCCAACATTCGCACACAATGGACTGACAAGGGCGAGGACTGGGAGGAGCGCCATGTCGCTCCCTAGATAGCAGACGTAGATAAGCCATGTATGTTGCTTAGAAATGTACTCATGTCGTCTCCTCTACGTCTACTTCTGCATCCTACAACAGCCCCAGCTAGCATCCTCAGACGATTAAGCAAGCCTGAAAAGGGGTTACTACCTTCCGCCCAGCGAGAGGCTTCGTTGAGCCTATTGAACATGCTCCTAACATCACTTGCGCACATCGCCGAACCAATGCGTCATTGCGGCAGCACTCTATGGGGTGGACGCCACACTCCGCAGGGCACTGATTCATTTGCTCAGATCCTTCCAGCCCCACCCCTCCGCCGTCGAGCGCAAATACCGCGCCTCACAAAGCCCACACGCCCTCCCTTTGACTCGTACCACCTGCGTCGGCTCCCAATATTTCGCCGCTCCGGCGGTGCCACACCGGAACGACCCGCTGACTTTTACCGCCCAGCTCCTCTCCGACCCCTCAGCCCGCCAGATCTGGGTATTAGGAAACTGCAGCTCCGCGCATAATTCGCAGGTGTGCATCCCGCCGACAAGCTCTGCGAGGCGGGGATTCAGTGAGGTATGTGCTGTGGGGTAGTGTGGGCGAATCTGGGTGGCGAAGAGGCGGAGGACGATATGTAGGAGTGTTGGCGGACCAGCGGTGGGTGGCAAGCCGAGTATACGGACGGGTGATGAGAGGGGTATGGAGCGGATGAGCGGGGAGGAGGGGTGTTCGAGCTGGGTGCCGCGGATGTGGATTTGGCGCAGGGGAAGATGGAGTAGCGAGAGTGGAAGGTGATCTAGATGCGTGTTGTTGGTGAGGTCAAGAGAGCGTAATTTGGGGTAGGGAAATGGTACCCAGGATGGAAGGCCTGGCTGGTCAGCAACCATTAGGAGCGTGGAAGGGGAAGTCGCGGCTCACGTTTCCAGCCGTTCATGGACAGATCTAGCCGCACGATACCGATCGCGGGGATTCCCAGGCAGCCTCCTAGTGTAGATATATCCACGGCATCCAGGTCCGCCGGACGAAGCGCGAGTGACGACAGATCGAGCCCGTCCCTCGGCGAGCCCAGGAGCGAGTGGTGCGCCAAGCGGAGGATGACGATGAGAGCGTTCTCCATCGCCGAGACCAGTCCGTCTTCTTTGGCTTCCGCAAGGCGATCGGGAGGGACCGGCTCCGTCTCCGCCGAGCTCGCGATGGGTACCGAGAGCTTTGTCCAGCTTTTGAGGAACGATGGGATTGCTTTCGCCTCGTTCCGAGCTAATTTGCGGACGTGTGGCTTATCTTCCGTCAAAGGGAGTATGGACCGGGAGATCACAACACGGAGTGTATCTTAAGTAGTTAGCCGCGAACCGTCGCGTGTGGTCAGTAGCTCACTTGTACACCTCGCGCACACCTCGTCCGATTCCTTCGTGTTGCCCACAGCAGTCTGTAACGCCCGCATCCCCCTGCTCAAGCGCATCCACGGCTCCTTGACGTCCAGCTTGACAGTCTCTGCCTTGCCCTTTCCTTTCGGTCTCCCACCTACTCCAGTCCCGGCTGACGAGATAGCATGCGCCTGGGTCTCATACACGATAGTAAGAGCCGCGTGGAATGCCTCGAACAGCAGCCGACGAAGCTTGAGGACGCGATGGGGAAGTATCGGTGCCTGATACTCTTCCCATTTTGATTTTGGCGCATCCGATCCGTCAGACTCTGACTCCGATTCTGAGCTGGAGTCCGCTGCGAGTTGACCTCGAGTTCCACCGGTTTCGCCAGGCGGGGGTAAGGCTGGGAGGTGGCCCCTGGAGGACGAAGCACCGCTGGACGAGCTCTCAGACTCATTCCCTGATGACGATGTGGGAGTCTCTGAGCCTAGCCGGTGGCCTAACGACATAGCTGTATTCACACCTGGTGAACAGGTAGTAGGAGCACGAAACGAGCAGAAGTTGAAGTCGGCGGTCGATGAGATTTAGCATGACGTCATTTCGATTTGTCAACACCTGCATGACCTCGACCCAAGACTCAAGCAAGTTCTGTTCCTCTGACTTGACCGTACATCTCTCTTAGCCCAGCATGACAGACCAAGCAGACCCAGAGTTCCTCGCGCTCCCGCAGCGTCAGCGAGCGCGTATAGATCGCGCGTTCGACCGGGGCTTACCAAAACTTCGGTCCAGCGGGCGGAAACGGCGGAAGCTCACGCACGATGCGGAAGGCCAATCGACCGGGGCCGCCGGAGCGATGGACGTGGACGGCGGCGGTGGCTTCATGCCTGACTATGAAGGAGAAGGAGGGTTTATGGATGCAGATGGGGCAGGGGCCGGTGGAGGATTTATGCCTGATGATGATGAGGGAGGAGGGGGAGGGGGATTCACGGTGGATGAAGGGGACGAGGAGGGAGGGTTCATGCCGGACGAGGATGGGGCCAGTGCCGCATCACCGCCACCTCGCGAAGAACCAGCTCCACCCGTACCAAAGCGGTCAATCACTTCGTCGGACGGTCCAGTCCGCAGCGGCAAGGTTAGCCTATCGGACATACCTCGTCTACTCGCCTTCCTCAATCTACCAGCGGACGAGGACGTCTTGAATGTCTTTAAAGCCTCAGCAACCGGTTGGACTACGGACGGCGAGGATGACGGAGGCGGACGAAGGGGAAGAGGAAGGGGAGATGACGGGGAGGAGAAGCTAGGCGTGGAGCGCAAAGACTTTCGGGCTGTCTGCGCGGCGATCATGGATGGAGGGGACGAGGGGGATGACACGATGGACATCGATCAGGTGGAAGTCGGCGGGGATAGCGATAGCAGCGACGGAGAAGACGCTTTCGAGCTGGACGAGGGGTCAGAGTTGTCCTCGCTCTCCAGCGACTCGGAGTACGGCGCGTCAAAGAAGAGGACAAGGGCGGCCACGTCCCGCACCACGGCCTCAGCCAAGGGGAAGGGCAAGGCGAGGGATACAGGCGATGATTCTGCCCCTCCTGCACCGGCAAAGACGAGGCGAAAGAAGGGCGCCAACCTGATGGAGCAGGCCGGGCCGCTCAAGCTCGTGGGGCGGCAGCGGGAGGTGGCGCGGGAGCTCTGGGATATGATGAAGCGGACCAACGGAGAGGAGGCGGTCAAGAAACCCAAGAAGGGGGAGGGGAGCGCACATATCCTCGGACGGGAGGAGATCAAGATGTGGGTGCGGGAGATGGGAGAGATGTGGACTGAGGATGAGGTGAGTACAGCCATTAGCTGTGAGAGCTAGGCTGATAGGTAGATCACCGATATGGTCACCCTCTTTTCGAGCCAGCATGAGGGACGCGGACTCTCCTTCGACGACTTTGGGCAGATCATGCTCCGCGCTCGGGTGGTCTGAGATAGCTCGACAGCAGGTCGTCATCTATGTACATGTCGGGGCGTAACGTCTATGATATCTAATCGACAACTGTCCTTCAACTCGGCAAGCAATTACAAAACAAGGACCTCACTACGTCTGACGCTACTTCTTCTTCATCCCAAACATCCGCCCGAACCCTTTCATCACCGCCCCCTTGCCCTCCTTCTTTCCTGCCCTTTCCTCCATCCTACCAGAGTCCCTCCTGTCCTCCTTCCCCATCTTTCCTGCTCCCATCCCTAGAGCCCCCGAGGCGTAACCGCCCTGATCATACGCCCGGGAGTCCGCCTCGACTGGTGAATACGACGTGATGGTGGCGACGGATTCCGACGAGGAGGATGGTGATGTGGATAGGGATAGTGAGGATGGGCGGCGCATGAAACCCGCCCGAGGTGGTGCAAAGTCCGACTCCGCCGCTTGGATTTGGGGTGAGCGACAGCCGAGGCTGGATGAATTGGATGAGAGGGACGAGGCGATAGAGGAGGACGAGCTGCTGGGCGATAAGCTTGGGGTGGATGGGGACCGACGCGGCATAGGGATGGCCGCTGCGGGCATGATGACGCCTGATTTGCGCAGGGCGGCGCGTGAGAAGGCTGGAGCATTGCTGTCGGCAAAAGCAGGTGCGGATTTGGGTGGTGGTACCGGGGATGCGCCACGCAGGGAGGGCGAAGCTGGACGGCGGTGCTCCGATCCGGCGAGAGGCGACGAGGGAGGAGATGCCCAGAGGCCAGATGGACGGTGTGAGGGAGCAGGTCGAGGGGATGGGGGAATGCGCGCATTGGAAGCGCGAGCGGAGTTTGGCCCGAGAGCGGGTGACGACCGGCTTGAGCGCAGGTCGCGGTAAGGGGACGTTGGTGGGGTCATGGGACTGCTGTCCGCACGAGGCGTCTGAGGTCTGCTCTCGCTGACCGTCACCGCCGGCGCCGACTGTTTACGGCCGAAGCTCGCTAGGCTGAATATCGACCCCCTCTTCTTCTCCTTGGACGTCACCGTCTGCACTCCCTGATTCTCACGCTGCACCTCCTCTGGACTCCCTGGCGGGGTGTGCATTCCGCCTGCACCCATCACGCTATGCACGCGCTCCATCCATGGCCTCTCGACGGGCGGCTCATCCACCTGATGGCGGAGCGGCGAGGGCGCCTTGACCATGCTGTCTCGATAGCTATTCCGGTGGCTCGCCATGGGTGGCCGGAGGGTCGCAGACGAGGAGCGGTGGGTAAGGATGTCGGAGGATGAGGCGAGGGAGGGATGGGAGGGGAGGCCGAATTCGTCCATCTTGACAAAGACGCGAGGGGGATGATATACCGCACGAAGTCGACGACGGGGCGAGAGCAGATGAGCGGGGGTTGAGTGAGTGATAAGGAGGTGTTCGTAGAGAGGGTAAGGGGTGCCTTTCTATATATGAGTCAGCATCGTTATTATGAGAACAGGGGTATGAGGAGCGGAACGAGTGAGACAGTCAGATTGTCTCGCAGAAAGCTGACAAAGAGGATCCAGCTGATAAGAGATTCTACGCACAGGTAAAGCGTATCTTCCCTCACAATTCCATCCGCCGACATAGGCATTCGCTGCGTATCTAGTCGAGAAGCAACGAACGCAAGCCTGAGGGTAGTCCTGCGAGAAAAATCAGCCTCAAATACCATAGCAACGACGACACAGCCGCTAGTCCAGGGATCAATGTTATACTCCGCCTCCGAGGCCGCGGCTGACACTCAAAGGAACACCCCCTCCTTCCGCCCAAATTATACCGCCCCCTTGTTTCATCTCGCTGACCTCTTTGGGATCTGAGATTGGGCCAGATGATGGTCTGAACTGATACTCACTGTGACTTGTGCCTCTGCCCGCTTCGCTGATGTATACACTCCAGGCACCTTGCCGCGTTTGATACCATAGTAGATGGTCCGTCGGTGCGAGGACGACGGCACGCTCGGACTCTCTATCATCGGTGAGGGCGGAGGCGTCGTCATGATTACAAGCGGGGAGGGCGGTAGGGCAGACCGAGGCGAGGTCAAGGAGATGGGCGACCCAAGGATAGGCGGTCCAAGATTCTGCATGGTGAATGCCGGGCCGGAGGCTGTCTGCGAGGGTGAGACAAGAACAAAAGGCGGGTCGAGGGTCCTAGCGTGTCTTCTCTTTCTCGAGCTGATTCTGCACTTGTCATGTATAGCAGTGAGCAATAAAAGGCCTTGAGAGATAGTCGATCACTTCGTACCCCACAGTCTATCTGACCCCAACCGCCCACGCAGATCAGAGGGAGCCACCTCTCGCCCGCTCGCCTGATCTGGACCCCACCCTCGAAAAAAAGTAGCAACATTCCGCGTTTACGCGTTCCTCTGACCTCACGCCTTGCCCGAACAACGCTTACGGCATGGGGTCTCGGGATGTCATGATCATGCATGAACCTAAGCTTGATAAAAATCGCCGTCAGCAACCCCAGTTCCTGGCCGGCGTGAGCCATACTGAGCCTATCATCGCCGGAGAAAGATCAATCTTGCATCATAGTTAGTCGTATATAGATAAAGGCCGCTAAAGATACAACGTTCTGGCTATAGATAAAGTACTGGATCTAACGTCTACTCTACAAGTTGATATACCACCCTCAAGCCCACCAAACGCTCCACTCGCCCCACTACTCCCTTGTCCAACTCGTCGGCAGCCTCGAGCGTGGTGGTAATCTCCCATTCCTGCTCGACCCGCTTCCCCTACTACCGCCCGACCCCCTACTATCTGGTCGGTCCGCCTGATAATCTGCTGCGGGCGCAGTTGATACATGCCGGGAAGGCAGAGGAATGGGCGCGATGGCACCCGACATGCTGAAGAGAGCCGAGTGATCTGCCATGAAGCGAGGCTTGATGGGGACGCGCTTCTTCTGTTCTCGAGCAGACGACGCAGGAGGGAGGGAGGCGTGGAAGCGGGGAGTGCGCGGGGTGGCCGGTCCGCCGATCCCGAAGCTAGAGGTGGAGGATGCGGAAGCCGGGGAGAGGAGGGGCGTCCGAGGTGGAGGGAGAGGGAACGACTGGTACGTCCGCTTGGGAGCCTCCGAGTCCGAGTCCGAGTCGTCAGACCATGCAGAGTATGGACGAGAGTCGACAAGCGGCTCTGGCTCGCCGCATGTCGCTAGAAGGTTCTCGAGCGCAGTGAGGAGGTCGAAAGGATCCTTCTTGAGTGGCGGCGCAGGTGCGGAGTGGGATTTGCGCTGTGACCAGCGGGGCTGGGGAGGGAGCCGAGAGGGGGCATGGGGTGTTGGAGGTGGTTGTGTGTCGCGCTGAGCTTGGTACGCCGCTGGAGAAAGGATGGGAAGGGATGGCAGGAGGGTGGGCTGGATGGCGGGTGGAGGAGGGGTGCATGAGATCTTTGGTGTGATGGCCTCAACATCATGGGACCACCGGTCGATCTCCGCCGAGTAGGCGTAGGGGTGGCTTCGGCTGAGGTCCAGTGGGGGAGGGCGCCGTGTCCGGGTCTGGGGTGCGGCGCACGAGGCAAGGAAGGTGGCAAAGGAGGTGTCGATATCTGACTCGTCGACATCCAGCGGGACGTCGACAAAGAAGGGGTCCTCGTGCTCGGACGAAGGGGTGGGCGGTGTGGACGTCTCGCCGGTAGCGCTCGATGCCGACACCCACGAGAGCCTGTTCTCGACCACCACCAGATCCTCCTCATCCCCCGAATACACGCCGACGTCTTGCGGCAGATCCAGCCGCTGCCTGAGCGGACTGAGGGACAGCGCCTCGCTACTTGGCCTCGCCGACAGCATCCGGACGCTCGCGCTGGCCGAGCTGCAAGCGTATCCGCAGCGATATCCGATTTCCGCATCCTCGGCCTCGTCCACTTCCAGCAGAGTGAACAGGCCTCTGGTAGAAGGCTCGAGGAGCCGGAGGTGGCGAGCACGGCGACGGCGGGGTGGAGGCGGCGCTCGGCGGTGGGGTATGGGTGGCGAGATGGAGTAAAGCTGGGTGGATGGGGCGGAGCGGGAGGCCGGGGGGTCCGTCAAGATGGACGAGGAGGGGAGGGAGGGGGAGTTGAACCATGATGGGGGGTTGGTGTAGTTCATGATGGTGGTGATGATGAGGTGTGATGTGAAGGAGTCTGTAAATCAGCGCTGAACTCTTCATATAGCGAATCACGCCGGTCAGACATACCTGTGAGATAGGTCCGTTCGCTAGAGATACCCTTTGATTGATGGCGATCTCCCGTAGTCAATACCTTGTAAGGTGGCAAAGGCAGAAGGACGCGGAGAGCGGGTGGCGAAGCCAAGAGTGATAGGTGCGGTAAGGGTGGTCCGGCCAAGATGGTTGATCGAAAGGGCTGACGTTGGATAATACGCAGTTGAAGGTGGGTGTCCGCGGATATCGATATGGTAGTCGGGGTAGATATAGGTAAGGAGAATGATGCAGAGGTATAGATAGAAGATGCGGGAAGTACTATAGTGGTACCAAAGAACCAGCTTCGGTCTCGGACGCGGGGACGAGAACAAAAGGCGCTTTTGGGTGGGGGGACAATAACAATGAGGAACGAGGAGTTTGAGGTCGCGGGGTGTGTTGAAGCTGAAACGACCGGGTTGCGGGAGCGAGGGCTGGAACCACCGAGGGACCGAGGGATCGGCGTGGAAGTCGGAGATGACGCCGCGAGCGGGCTAGCGAGGGTGGTGGTATTGTAGTTGTGTGCGGAGGGGTGGGGGAGGGTGAACAATAGAGATGCTGCAAGTTGAAGGATGTAGAATGTCGATCAACGCGGACACGGACGCGGACGGAAGACAAAAGGGCTCCGAAGGGCGAACGAAAGGAGGGTCGGGCGGGGTGTGGATACACACAGCTGTAGAAGTATAGCGATTGCGGGGTGCTGTCGACGCGAGTCCCGCTTTTGTACGGTGGGGCCGCCTTGTCAGTGAAGGTGAAGATAAGAACAGGAATGGGCGGGGCTGGCGTGAGTCTCAAAAGTCCCTTATACTCTGAGACAGCTCGAAAGCTTCACGCTCGGGCGGACCATACCTCTACTGGCACTTTGATGTACTTTGAGCCCCTCGTTAAAGGGTAAGCTAGTGATACGCCAAAACGCAATGAAGGTGTTTCATGTTTCCTCCTCGGTTCGGATATCTACGAACGTCCTGACCGGCGAAATGTGATCGAGAGCATGAGGGGGGAGCGTAGATTACGAGCGGAAGTGGCGGGAGGGTATCGAAAGCGAAAAAGAGAGGTAGAAAGGGAACGCGTAGACGCGTTCAGGGGTTACCATGTTTCATCTTGAATACTCGGAGATTACTCACCCGCCTTCCGACCGTGCCTTATCTCCCATACTTTACGACATCTTCTGTGCCCTGGAGAGACTGGGCCTTGATTGAATAGCGCAGTGATGAGACATGCACGCTAGTGCAGCTGCGCCATGCGGGTGACATACTGTGACATACACCGGGGGCAAAGTGCATGATCTACATTCCAAAGAAGCTAAAAGAAGTCCGAGCGAGATGAAGTCCGTCACGGATCCGAGACAGACTAGCCTTCTTTCGCGTTCTTTTCCACATCCGACATTGAACCTTCTTCCATCCGTCTTCCATACCTGGTGTATTCCAAACCTTCCAGAACGCCAGCACGCCTCCATAGCTCCAACTAGCTCACACAATCATCCCGAAGCCTCGGACTCAGATTGGGCCGAAAGTCACGGTAGTCGTGCTGCTCGTGCTCAGCCTATCCGCCTTATATCCACCCGGACCCGCAGCCATCATCGACCCCTTGTCCACGCTACTCCCGCTGGACCGCCTCTCGCTCTCCATCTCCATGCCATCCTTGGCATCGGCCTCTTTCGCCGACACTACCGCCACCTCCGCGTCCGTTCCGTGCGAGTCCATGATGGCGCTTACGCTCGGCGTAACGAGCTCCTCCCCCTCGCTTGCGGCCGACATGGACGAGGCGGACGTAGGCGTCCTTCCGTGCCCTTGCCCATGCAGTACCATCCGCTTAGCGTTGCTCGAGAGCGAGACGTCCGACGTGTCGCTCACGCCGCCGTCATTCTCCGGTCGGAGGGATTTGCGGCGGATCCGGAGGCGTGATCCGGGACGGGCGGATGACTTGGAGAGGCTGCGCTGGTTGACGCTATCCGACCGAGTGATGGGAAGACCGGATAGGTGAGAATTGGGAGTAGTGCTTCTCGAGACGGGAGAATGGAAGAGGTCGTCTGGCGAGATGGCGCCGAAAGTACTGTTCGACGCGGACCGGAGGGGGCTTCCTCCTTCCTCCTCGTCCTCCCTCGTCCCGGTGGCCTGGATAGGAGCGGGCCGCAAAGCGTTACGAGGAGGGACGGCTGGACCGGCCTTTCGCGGGGTGGACGTTCCGCTATCGGAGATCTTGCCGCCCTCCTCAGCTTCTACTGGCTGCCCGCTCGCCTCGTCCATAGATGACCGCCCGCCCGCCTCGTCCACCGAAGGCGTCTCGGGACCGACAATCGCATCGGTAGAGTCGTCGACGAGAATAGCAACATTATCAGGCTTTGTGTATCGCGAGACTCCGCTTAGAGCCAAGTCCAGCTGGAGCGTCAGCTCCTGCTTCTTTGGTATGAGCATGCTAGCTCACCTTGGCCTGAATAGCAGCGATCCGGATAGCCACCTCGTCCCTCCCGCCTCCATTCGTATCCATGCTCCTCCGCTTATCTCCCGCCCCGCCCACTCCGGTGTACCCCTTCCTCGCCAAACCCAGAATACTGATCGCATCCGTCCTGTTCGTCATCCTCGACGTGGTCGTCATGGCCGACTCGGTCGTCCCGGGTCTGTACATCTTGCCGCGCGGAGCCAAAGTCTGCTGTTTCGTGCGGAGGGAGGAGAGGTCCCGAGGCCCATCGTCGGGGAGGGACGAGATGTGCGAGGCGGGGCTCTCGGGGACGATGCCAGTCGCGACGGCGTTGTGTATCTCGTGGAGTTCGGCCTCGTTACCCTCGATTGCGGACGTGATCTGGTCTTCGATGATATCCATGATGGCTTGTCGTTCCCGCTCGAGGTCATGCATGCTGTATCTGTCAGCTATGGCATTCCGCTGGTCGAGAGCTGAGAAGCTTACTTCTCTTGCATGTCCGACAATTGCCGCATAGCAGTCTCCCTCGCCTGCTCGGTCGCCTGCAGCCGCTCGTCCAAGTCGTCGTACTCCTTGGAGCGGAGCTTGGAGAGCTTCTTGAGTATGCCCGCCTGCTCTTGCTCGTACTGCACAAGCGCCTGCAGCCGAGTCTGCTCGCTGGCGAGCAGATCTGCTTGGTGCTCGAAGGATTGGAACATCTTGCGGTACTACCGAAGTCAGCTATGCCCCTGTCCACTACTGGACCAGCTCACTTTCTCCCCCTCCTGCATGAGCTCCATCAGCCGCCCGTTGATCTTGGCGACCTTGATCTCGAGCTCGTCTCTCGCGTCGATATAGTGCACTGCTCCGTCAGCTCTGCTCGCTCTATTGTGTGAGAGAGATAGCTCACCAGCCCTGCGCCTCATCATATCCTTGACGCCTTGCTCCCCAATACTGAGTGGTCCGCTCCCGCGATACAGCCCCGATTTGGTCAGCTTCTGCATGAACGTCGGCTTCTTGTGCTACCGAGGTCAGCCTCCTACACGTTTATTCTAAGCTCTGAGATCTCACCTTATCGAGCATAATCTTGTCCAGAACAGTGATGACCTCGCTGACCTGCCACCAGGGCGGCGACCTGAGCCGTTCACCGAGGAAATGAGGCCTTTGCTCGCCATCGTAGAAGATCCGATGGAAGGGTCGGAATCGGTTGTTTGGGAAGGCAATCTTGAGCTCGGTGGGGATGCTCCGCTCCAAAGCTGAAGGATGAGCTGGGCCGCACGAAACTTCGAGGGGCTGAAGAGCTCACGGTATTCTGGTCCCAGAGCTTGATAGATCCTTTGCTTCACCTTCTCCCGTCGAGCTCGCGGGGTGACGACGCCAGCTGGAGGGGATCTCAGCAACATAGAGCTGAAGAGTAAGCAGACAGCTCTATTCCGGCCAGAGCTCCAGATCCAGCTCACTTATTGTCCAGATCGATCACACAGGCCTCATTGGGCAGAGCCAAGATGTATCGACACTCCATCGGCAAACCCTGGATGTCAGCTCTCCGGTGTCAAGCATGGCTGCCCTTACCACAACTCACCATGATATACGGCCCTGGATCTTCAATCATGAACGAGATATCGCGCTGTCGTCTTAGCTATCATCCCCATCATGCTCAGCTGGGGAAGTTGCAGCTACCGAATGCAAGATGGGCACAGTGACACCATTCCACCCCCTCAGCTCCACCAGATACCGCAGCGTATGCACAGCCAAGCAGAGCATGTTGGAGAATTGACTCGTAAAGATGACCTTGCCCGAGTGACTCATGGCGATCTAGATGATCAGCTTATCCCTCCGATACGACCCGGAGATGGATCAAGCTCACCTCGATGGCAGTGAGGATACCATCGACGTCTACCGCCTGGAAGAGCGGCCAAAGCGGGAAATCCGTCTTGATGAGTCCCTTCTCAAAGTCGACCGCGCCAGGGAAGGTCGTCTCGATGGTGATCTCCTCTCCGTCGGCTTTACGGCCAATGTTGAGGCGATACATTTCTCCTGGACGAGGAACGGGGTGGTTCAGGACTTTACACATTTGGCTGGGCAATCAGCCGAGTACCTTGCATCACGGAGCGAGAGAGCTTACTACAGGTTTCGCTTCGCGCTCTTTTGGTACATGCTCCAGCTGGTCCGGATGTAGTCGATCATGGTGTCGAAGATTGGGTGACGCGAGACTGAGAGTCAGCTAAGCATGGTGGACGATGCTATGCTGAAGCTAGCTCACCCAAAGTCAACGCATAAGGCATCCAGAACGTATCCCCCTCTCCAGCCTTGAGCGGACCAATCCCCACATCGCTACTCTCCACTGTACCCTTGATGCCCCTTCCGCCCGGGAAGCCACCACTGTAGAGGTTCAGTGGGTCCGCGCCGAAGGCCTGCCACGCCGGCGTCCGAGCAGCACGAGTCGACCCAGAGAACCCCGATCGGACCGTCTCGGTATCGCTACCGTCAAAGTCGGTCGTCGAGGCGTTCCGGTAAGGCATCCACGGGGCGAGCGGCTTTCCCCGCTTGGTCCCGTCCTTCTTGTCATCGAGGGGCTCGGTGATAGGTGCGCGGAGGACGGGGTCCAGGTTGCCCTTCTTCTTGAGCTGCGCGCGGATATCGGCGAGCTGGCGAGACCGGTCCGGTTCGGCGCTGGTCCATACCGTAAGAGTAGCGCCGTAGTAGGTGATGAAGGCTTCCTTGGAGAGATCCTGGCGCTGCTTGGCGGTGATGCTGGAGAGCTGGTCGAGGGAGGTGACCGACCGGTTCTCGGCCGTCTGGACGCTATCGAGGCGAGTACGGGCAGCCGAGGCCGCAGCAGAGTGCGAAGGGAGGGTGAAAGAGAAGTAATGTGCGGTAGTATTGGGCATAAGCGAGGTGTTGATCACTTCCACTGGAGAGTCAGCTCGGCCCTCTCTCGCTGGTTGTCAATCACTCACCATCTCTTGGATGCGCATACTTCATCGACTTGCTGATGAGCCTCTCTGCCCCCTTGGGTCCTGCATCAGGCACGTTGGGACCCTTCGTCCCCGGCTCTGGCGGCTTCATGACCATCGGCCACGCGTCCTTCTTCATCTTCTTGCCTTGATTCATGGCCTTTTCGAACGCCTCGGTAGCGACGCCCGAAAATGCCGTACCGAGAATCTCGGGTCGCCAGTAGAAGCCGAGCGAGTCAGGCGAGGGCTGCACGCGAGAGCCGAGATCATTGTCCGCTGGAACCCACTTTGCCGCGTCGGTCTGGAAGTCAGCCTGATCTCACTGACACGGATTGGATGGGCTCACCGGACCAACACCAGAGATCATAAACAAGCTGCAGAGCTTGGCGTCGCTGTTCAACCCAAGCATTTTGTCCGCCTTCTTACCGCCAATATTGTTCATCGAGCGGTGATTGCCGAACCCGAACGGCTGGCCTGGAAGGGACCCAACGTGGTCATTGTCTTCCTCATCGCCAGTATCGTCGGGATTGGGAAGGGGTGCACCGGCCGTGCGGTCGCGAGTCGGGGGCCTGAGGGATGGATGAGCAGGGAATGGAGCGGGCACCGGCGTAGAGGCGTCGGGCGAGTCGTACCCGGATTCCGGCTCCGACAGGTAGGCTTTGTGAAGAGGCATGGCGACCTTTACGCCTTTGCGATAGTGGAGAGGCAGAGCGGGGACTGGAGGGGGCGTAGCGTCAAGAGGGACGAGGTTGGGATCCGAGTAGTTGGAGAGGGAGTCGGCTGGGGTGAGCTCTTCGCCTGCGGAGCTGTGGCCGTTTGCGGGTGGACCGGTGACGATTGTCTTGCGCTGGGGAGGTGTGGACTCAACAAAGAAGTCGGTACCGAAGGATGAGCCAGAGGACGAACGCCTGTGCGTGACCGTCTGGTTTAGCCAAGGGAGGGAGGGACGCTGAAACGACGCGATAGAGCCTGAGAATGACGCCGAGACGGTATGGCCGATACGAGCAAAGGGGTCCCGTTTGGTGAGCGAGCCGTAGGAGGATTGATGATTGAGAGCTGGAGCTCGAAGGGAGGAGTACTGATCTGGGATGGCTCGGCCAAAAGTAGCTGGCGAGATGTCGAATGGAGTTGGGGGAAAGTGGTTTGGTTTGGATTTTGAATGGGATGTTTTGGATTGAGCAGGGAGAGAGTCACGTTTCGAGATCCGGAATGTGTCGAGCGAGGGGAACATCATGATATATATATATCTGAACACTGTTGACCGGTCGCTGTTCGGCTCAGCTGCTAGGGTTGGTCTACTGACGGGAACGAGCCAGGGCGGTGTTGATGGGCAAGAGGAACGGGCGGAGGGGGCGGGGCAGCCCCGTGACGCCGATGCCGCGGTGTTGACGTCGAGCGCGATTGTTGATCCGGACACTGGGCAGAGATGTTATCCTAGATGAGTGGCTTGAGTGAGGATAGACTGCACGACGCAAGGCTGTGATCACGATAACTTACATCTCCTCTCTACACCTTGCTTAGCGGTAGAGGACGCTCTGTGAAGCAAAATTTGGGTCGCACCAAGGCACGGCCCATCTCCGTGTCCGTCTCACACCACGCCACTCGGACATTCTCCCTTCATGTACACAACCAATCCCGCTCGGTCCCGGTCCCCATGCGTCAACAGGCACTAAGCCGAGATCCGAGTGTGTGCGTTTCACACCTTCCGTAGCGTGATTTCAGCGCTGGGAGATCCGGGAGATGGCAATGAGCTCGTTCGATGGTGACTCGGGTACATGTTGTTGAGCGGTTTCTTCTGGGTGTATGATCAACATCCATCAAGGGTAGAACTGAGCGCAGCTACCGTAGCAAACTGTAACCGCAAGCGGAGGCGCTGACCGGTCCAACTCTATTGAATGGTCTGCTAAACTGCTGAACAGTGCCGCGTCGCGCCGAGCCATGACGTCAGCCGCGCGTAGAGCGCGATCTCAAGCTCGAGAGCGCTGTCATGTCAGCCTGTTGGTCTCGATGCTGCCATGCCAGCGGTAAGGGGCACAGTGTAGCTGACAAAATACAGTATCTATGCACTCCCTCTACATCATACTCAGCTGATCTACTTACTTGCGAACACCCTAACTTACCACCTTTGCGAAACTACCCCTCCTCGCGATGCCGACCGAACCCACCAGCTCCATCGTTCGCCTGGCATGCAGTCCTAACAACTTCCCATGTACTTGAAGCCATTCTCGCCTCATAACGTGAAACCGACAGCTGACGAGCAGGGGGCAAGACCGGGAAATCGTCCCTGGTTGCGCAGTTTGCTCCCAATGCCTGCGAGCCCAACTTCACAATCAAGGAATCTGAGACTTATTCCGAGGTATGTCTGAGCTCGGAAGTGACTGCTCCGCTTGACTCTTCGACTCTTTGAGCGCTGACACATCAGCTCTGGATGGGAAGTCACCCTACCAACCCGGCCTCGATCTATCCTTCTGGCCCCGTACTGTCCGAACACATCGCAGCGCATCCTGAAGCTCTGGGCGACGCGAGCAAATTCCCAGCACCATTCACCGGAAAGGGGACTACGGAAGGTGAGGGCGGACATGTGCCTTTCTTGTTCAAGATTCTGTGTTGTAAGCAGGGTGAGCTTGTCGAAATTCCCAGACTTAGCAGCGAGGTCTAGCTTACATCCAGCTCTGCCGATGCAGATACACCCGAACAAGAAGGTGGCGGAGGACCTACACAGCAAGGATCCGGAGCAGTTCCCCGAGTGAGCCAGGCCACCCCGTTGATGTCTACCTCAGGGTATGATCGCTAATGTTCAGCACAAATCATAAGCCTGAAATCGCCGTCTGCCTCTCGGACCGCTTCCTCGGCTTTGCGCACTTCCGTCCCCTCTCCGAGATCACCTCCCTTTTTCGGGCGATTCCCGAACTCGAGTCCGTCTCGTCTTACCTCCAAGTCAAGCTTCGGGCATTCACGACGGGCGGTGTTCAGGCGGGAGCAAGCAGCCTGAAGGACGCGTGGGTCGGCGTGCTCGCCAAGGAGAGCGAGAAGGAGCTGGGGAAGGTGATGAGCCAGGTGGCGAAGCGGGTGGCGAAGGAAGGAGTTGGGGCTTGGAGTTCGCTGGATAGCGAGGGAGAGGTGTGGACGGAGAAGGTGCGGAGCAATTTGACCGAGGCAGTGGGGATCCTGGAGGAGTATAACCCGGGGGACCCGTCCAGTCTTGCGGCGCTGTGAGTGCAGCCTTCACGTTGTGCGAGGAAGCTTGTGGCTGACCAGTATAGGCTGTTCATGAACCTCGTTGAGCTGAAGAAGGGAGAAGGCATGTATGTAGGCGCGGATGGGCTTCATGCTTGGCTCCAGGGAGGTATGTGCTAGCGCTCTTATGCTATCATCCCTGAGACCCCAACACTGACTTGCAGATATCGTCGAGCTGATGGCTCTCTCCGACAATGTCCTCAACGTCGGCTTTACCTCCCGCTCGGAGATCGACGAGCACCTCCCCATCGTACAAGAAAGTATAACCTTCCAATCTGTCGACCCATCCTCCATCGCCCTCTCGCGCACACCCTTTGTCAAGGGACTCAAACGAAATACCACCGTCTACTCGGTCCCATTCGAGGAGTTTAGCATTCTCCATACTGTGGGCGAGGAGGAGATGGAGGCGTTCACGGGCCCCGCGATCGGGATCGTGACGAGCCAAGAGGCAGTTACGGTGGGTGCAAAGGGGGAGGAAGGGGTACGATATGAGAGGGGAAGCGTGTTCTTCGTTCCTGCCCATACGGGATTTAGGACGGACGGGAATGGGGAGGTATGGATGGCGTTTTACGATGGGGATGACAAGACGAAGGATCAGGTCGGGTCGCAGTAGGCAGACTGGGAATCGCGGATCGAGGTGGAGGGTTGTATACTTTGCATGAATGTTGTGGTAGAGTACAGTTGACCTTTTTGACTACGTCTGAGCTATACAACGCGACCTACATGCCTCCTATCTCACTCTTCGTCAGATGGCACGACCGTCTCGTCCGTCTTCCTCGGTCGCTTATTCCTTCCCATAGACTTGTCGAACGACAGCACCGCCGCCTTCTCATCTGCTTGATCAGCTTGTTTCTGGAAGACATGCCAGTGCCAATGTCAATTCCGAGGTCACCGGCCTTTAGCTTATATCCGAGGACACCTCTTGCCGGACTCACCATTGATGACTTCCTCCACGACCAGCCTCACCCTCTTTGCCATTCCCTGCACCTTCTCTTCCGCCTTGCTTGCCTCCTCATTGAGCTGAAGTACAAGTCCCCTAATCTCCTCCTCGAGCAACATAAAGTCGACCATGAGCTGCTCGATCGTCTTATTGATAGGAGCAAGATTGGCGTGGAGTTTAATGAAGATGCCGTTCCTGGCGGTGTCAGCTCCTGCTCCACGGAGCGGGCTTGGGAGCCAGTGGCACGTCCAGCTAAGGACTGCTTCAATGTGCTGAAGCAGCGCAATGCGGCAGACATGCCAGAGGGCGGGTGATTCAATGGACATACAGCTCTTGCTTGTACCGGACATTGACAGCCGAGTCATATTTTACAACCTGCCCCAGTCAGCTTGAGTCGCAGATCCAACGTCTATTCGTCCCTCAGCTGTCAAGATACTGACAATATTCGCCGTGTCTGCCTTGGCCTGCTTAATCACCCCTTGTGCGTTATTGTGCCATTCCTTCTTCGTATCGTCTGCTCTTGTCAGTGACCAGGCCGGAAGCTACAGCAGCGTGCTTTGAGGGAGGTGGTGGTGGCGACTCTCCACGGTATGTGGGCGACGATAATTTTCAGGGCCGGAGGGACTAAGGGAAACTTACTGCCTATCTTGGTCATGAAGCTTGGATCGGTCAAGCCCATTCTGACCGGTCAGCTACTAGCCACCGAGAGAGCGATCTGAGAGGATGGTGTAAAAGGAAGGAAAGCGGAAATCCGAACGAAGAACTCACGTATACGTCTCATCAGGCGGATCAGAGCTGATCTGGGAGCTGATTTGAGCGAGCGATTTGCGCATGGTGAGCAGTGAGGCTGTGGTGGCTATAGGTGGTCTGAAAGCGGTATCTAGATGGACGAACTGAAGTGAAAGGCGAAGACAAGGTTGAAGTCCAAGTTGAAGTTGATCTTGGGTGAGGGGGGTTTACGGCATGCACACCTGAAACCACGCTCACGTTTCAGTACATCCACCTCTGTCATGGACCTCCAGGCGAAGCAGAGCGGTATCTCATTACATCCACAGTAGATCAGACGTCCAGCGTCTAGTAAAGCTACAACCTATACTCATGTTCCCATCATTAGATCTCGTTCCCCGCTCATTACTATCGTTATGCCCCAGCTTCTTCCCAGCCCTTCAAGGCCCAGTACATCTAAGTCGGCACCCGCCCCGCCGCCATCCTCGTAACCTCCCACGCCCGCTTACTCGTAGGCAAGAAACCCTCGCCTACGCCCGCACCCATTGCGAGGCTGTTCATCGTGCTGAACAGCTGGGCATCCCTGGGGTGCATGCCCGCCGGAGGGGAGAAGACTTGTGCGCCGATCGTGAGGCCCACTGTAAAGTCAGCCAGACCGGCCACGGAGACCGGGGAAGAGAGAACGTACACATCAGAAACAATCCCGCACATAATGCCACATTGCCCATGTTGTTGTTCTGGTAGAAGACGTAGTTGATGATCCCGGGTCTATTTGACTTTCGGCGGGAGAATGAGCTAGGCGGTGTCGATGTTGGGGTGCCTTGTATATCAGCTTGGCGTATCGCATGAATGATAGAAGCAGAAGCTGACCTGCTCCACCAGTGACCAACTTCCCCTGTGCGCCCATCCGCTTCTTCATCTCCGCCTCGAGCACAGTACATCTCACGCCCAGAGACTCGACCAATGACTCATAGTCCTCATCCACCTCCTCTCCCGTCTCTTGATCACGGGGATGAGCACGCAAAAGCACCTCGGCTTCGCTAAGCGGATCCGGGACTCGGGTGTACGCTGGCGGCTCGTCCGGTACTGCTCCTTTCGACGAGGACGGTCCCGCTTCGGGCTGATCTGCGATGACGGGCTCGATAGCAGGCGGGTCGGTAATTGTCCCGACGTCGGCATACTCCCGTATCTCTTCCTCGATCCGGACAGTCGCTTTGGGAGTGACGCTTCCATCACCTCCAGCCTTATTAGCAGACTTCTGCAACTCGTCAGCTCTCCGTCCTGACTCCAATACAGCGGCAACTTACTCGCGGACGCGTAGTGATGACAGTCTCGGTCTTGGTAGTAGTCTGAATTCTCTCCGCCTCATCCTCCTCTTCCGCCTCCTGCACCCGCTCCGCATCGAGAAGGCGCCGATGCAACTCATCACCCAGATTCCGACTCAGCGTTGCCGGCCCGCTGGATCCCGTGGGACCTCGAACGTGCCCCGTTCCCTTCGTCGCAGCTGCGCGCGCCTCGTCCAGGTCGAATCGCATCCGATCGATTGTCTCCTTGAGCTGAAGATTCTCTTGCTTTTGCGTCTCGAGGTAGCCTTCTGCGGTGCGCGCCGAGGAGAGATCGGACTCGAGGCGCTTGATCTCGGCTTCGAGGACGGTAATCTCTCCAGAGTACTAGAGATGTCAGCTACCGATCACCGGAGGAAATGCTCTTTCTAGCTGACCTTTTCCTCATCAGCTTCATGGCCTTGAACGGCGGACTCGAAGTCCCGGATCTCATTGTCGCGATCACGAAGCAGGTCGCGGAGGCGCTGGGCCTCATCTACTGTGTCAGCTGGTCGACGGTCCAAAGTGCGTCGAATAGCTCACCGCATTGCGAGTTGTACATCTTCTGCATGTTTGCGTGGTTCTGCTTCGAATTCTCGACTGTCCGCTGTAGAGACGAGATATCCGCTTCAAACTGATGTGTCAGCGTTGATCATCAACCCCGCAGGTCATGGCTCACCGCAGATATCTGTATCATCAACAACCTCTCCTTCCCTTTCCACTCCTTCTCCTCTTTCCGTCGTTGAGTAATCTCCGATCTGGCCTCCTCGAGTTTGTCCTGCAGGTCCTCGACAAGCCTCTCGTTCTCGGATCTGGTAGTAATGAGCTACGCCTTCAAATCCTAGAGTGCTCGACAGCTTACCCGATGACAGCCAATTGGCGTTCTGAGTCTCGCAACTTGCGCGACAGCTCGGTGTTCTGCTTCTGAAGCGACCGTAGCTTGTCGTGGCTGGTCCGCAGACTCGCTGATGACTCCGTCTAGCACTGTCAGCACGTTCCCCGACACGAGAGATCAGTGGACTCACAGAGAGGGTGCTCAGCCTCGGATCCTCAACCTCCTGCATGTCCCTCAGATCATCTACCTCCTCCGCCTCGTCGCCACCACCGTCCTGCTCACCCTCACCTCCCATAGCCATGTCATCCTCCACAGCGCCTGCCTCGCTCATCGCCTCTGGAGACTTGGCTTGCTCGTGGTAGCTTGTGTAGTCCAGGCCATTGGCTGATCTTGGCGATGTGGGCGACATGATGGGCGATGAGCCCATAGCCAATGAAGCGGACGACATAGACCAACCGGAAGCCGAGAAGTCGGGCGATTTTGCATCTTCCGCGCCGGAGGCGGACTGGCCAGAAGTCGATCCCCTTCGTCGGCGAGACGCAGGGCTTGGACGAGCGAACGACGTCGCTCCACCAAAGGCGAATGAGCTCGGGGGTTTGCCTTTCCCGCCCGCTCGGACTCGCTGGGCCAAGGGAGACTCCTTGCCTCCGGAATCGGTACGTGTTCTCGCGCGATGTCCGGCCGGAAGAGGCGGGAGGGGCTGCTGATCGAGGCCGGGGATGTTGGAGGATGAACGGGATGTGTTGAACGGTATAGGCGGAGCCGACTGCTGGCGACCCGCTCTTGGCCGGAAGGTACTGTGTCCCCTGTCTTCATCGGAAGAGCTCGAATCTGAAGGTGAGCGGATCCGGTCCGAAAGCCGCCGGTTATGCGTCCTAGGACGGGGCGTCTTGTCCATGTGTTGCCTGAATGAGGTGGGCGGGAGGGAGGCGGAGTGCGGGAGCTGACGACCTGTCAGAGGAGGAGACGGAGGAGCGGACCGTCCGAGCTGAGTGCAGATACTAGAGCGTCAGCTAATGCAACGGTTGCGAAGGGACCGACTGACGAGAGGAACTGGAATAGGTTCTCTGGGTCAAGCGCCAGGTCAGGGTGCGACTCGGATTGCTTGACGACATTGTCGAAGTCAGGAAGATCCAGGATGATGATGTCGTGCTTCTCCTCGTAGGCCCGTAGAACTTTGAGATGAGCTCCACCCGGCAAAGGTTGAGATGATGGCTCACGAGATGGCAGTTCCGAGCACAGGATAGACTCTCGCTGACCCATTAGGCTCTCTAGGATCCGTTGGAGATCACCCGTCGACCGCCTAGCTGGGGACGAGGCATAGTCCGCCTGTATGTGTAAGCGTAGGAGGGCGAGAGTTGGGTGGCGAGGAAAGAAGTCACGTCAGCCCCGGCGACATGTTGTGGATGAATACGCACCATTTTCGCGGATTTCTTCTCCTGGGAATGGTGATAGACGCGGTCTCCGTCGGCTAGTCGGCCTGTAATGCGTCCTAGAAGTCCTGCCAGGCTGTCATATGGTCGATGATGCAAGGTATGAGCTATTTGAAGCCAAGGTTGATGCAAGTGCGCAAGCCGAATGAGCTCGGCCCGTGCCAAGTAACGTCATGATTCTGAAACACATTACGTGATGGGGTGGCGACGCGTCGAAGGGAACGGCGGCGATCACCGGTCGGTAAACAAGCGGAACCAAGCTGGCCGAGACTTTCGGCGATAAGAATCTGGCTTTGTTTCCGATGGGTGGCCGGTGCCACACTGGATTTTCACTCCCGCCCGCTGAGCCAAGCTGTATCGCCGGCTTTATTCAAGCCCCCCCTGTTCTCTGCCGTGACGATTGGGTGCAGAGGTGTCTTTAACGATAGAGAACCTGCTCTGATAGTTAACCGTCAACAAAACACCCACTCGACACAAGTAGGTCACGTCTTCACAGCTCAGATAGGAGCGCGGTACAGCGGGGAATATGGGAGGATGCGGGCGGCACAGGGAGAATGGGAGGATTAGGCGGGGCGTTCGACATCTCGGCAAGGAAGAGATAGTTGGGGCAATGTCCGACCTCGTGACGAGACACATACAACCGGGCTCTATGTCAAGGTCGTCTCGGACGATCATGAGTCTACGGAGCCGAGATGGAGATGGGAGATCGGAAGGGAAGAGACGAGCAGCGGATGCGGGAGATACATATGGAGAGGACGTTATGCTGATCCAGTAGGATGGGCCGATTCACCGAATACTCCGTCGTGGGCCGGAAGCTCCCCACCGAGGCTGAGGCTACGCCGAAGCTCTAGTGCGTACCCTACTTGCGAGGAAGGAAGGGAAACATGGACTGATGGGAATAGCCGGATGAGGATCTTTGCACCCAACGATGTGGTCGCCAAGTCCCGGTTCTGGTACTACCTCCGTCAGCTCAAGAAGGTGAAGAAGGCGAACGGAGAGATTGTGGCTTTGAACGTCGTACGTCTGTCGCCTACGAAAGCTCGGGATCCGGCTGACTGTCAGATCCACGAGAGGAGGCCGTTGAAGGTCAAGAACTTTGCTATCTGGTTGAGGTACGACTCGCGTTCCGGCACGCACAACGTGAGTCCTTTCCCTCCTCGCACAAGGCCCAGCTGACATGTCAGATGGTCAAGGAGTTCCGTGCCCTCTCCCGCGCCGAGGCTGTCGAGTCCATGTACCAGGACATGGCCGCCCGCCACCGTGCCCGTTTCAGGAATGTCCAAATCCTCCGTGTCGCCGAGATCGCCAAGAAGGACGAGGTCAGACGGCCATACATCAAGCAGCTCATGGAGCCCGGACTCAAGTTCCCCCTTCCCCACCGTCGCACCACCTCCAAGGGCTGGTTCGCCGCGTCCCGACCTGCTACTTGGGCTTAGGCTAGGGAGTTGTAGGGTGATGAATGGCTCTGGGATATTCGCTCTGCGCTTGGGGGTGATATCGGGGCAGGCGATCTGCATGATCTATACTAATGTGGCTACATCTGATCTAACAAACAGGTCCATATCCCACTCGCCCTCCTTCACCACTCCCGCCTTGGTCAAGACTCTCAACGTCTCCCGCACCACGCTCTCATCTACCTCGGACATTCGCTCCTCCCACCGAACCGTCTGGATCCATTCTTCGACATCCGCGCGCTGTTGCCCAAAATTCTCAACCACGAAATCGATATCGTCTTTCGCTCGGGCCTCGGCGGAGTTGAAGCGGGTCACGAAGGGCTGCAAGGATTTAAGGAATTGGGAGATCTGGGAGGAAGAGGTGGAAGGAGTTGCGGCGAAGGACCAAGATGGCCATGGGGCTGGAGCGTCAGCTGGAGTCGAAGGGAACAAGGGAAGAGCTCACTGTAGACCGATCCGATAAACCGGACCTCCCCCGAATCGACAAACGGCTTGGTCGTGAACCATTCCCACAGGAAGACGGATGCTGGTTAGCGTCAGCTGGGCTCACCCCTTCGACCTCTTTACGCACTTTCGCCGGCATTCACCGAGTCTCGCAATGGCTTGAACTGGCCATTGACTACAGCATCAGCTTCTGCAACATCGTGCAGTGACAGATACGCACCCTTAAACTTCGGGACATCCGCTTCAGTCCAGCCCTCATTCATAGCCAGCACCGACGCCATGACTTGCGATCCACTGCCTAATCTTGAGATACCGAATGTTGTCCCTTTGAGGTCCGAGACTGAGTTATATTGGCTGTCCTTTCCGGTGATAATGGCCCTTCTTTATCAGCTAGCTTCGCCGTATGGTGCAGCAGGGTAGCGTGCCATCTGAGCGGACTGGAGATGTATCGCCCGACAAGCTTGTACGCTGTCTGACCATTCGCCAAGCCCGCAATCAACGCATCTGTCAATGCTATCCCAATCAGTCGTTTGAATCGCCCAGTCTTAGTGACGACGTACCTATGCAGACATCAATTTCCCCCTCTTTCATCTTCACCTGCATCTCCCCTGTCCCACCTGGACATTCGACGAGCTCGAACGTCTCCCCCTTGTCTTCCGCTGCGAATTGCAAAAGCGGCGAAAGGAAGTGCTCGCGGTGCCATCCAACACGGAGGGGCTTCGACATCCTGCGCGAGGGATATTGTGGTAGTGATCAGCGCGGAAGAGTGAGATAGAATGATGGTCCAAAGATGGTCAGGGTGGATCGGGGAATGTGGAGTGGATCTCACAACCGTGCCTGAATCAGTTCCCAGACTCGACTCAGTTGAGAGAATTGGTGCATCTTGCTTCAACCTCCATACCTTGATCACATCATACACACAGTTCTCAGAGCTTGAAGCCGCTGGAGAGCTATCACATAGCACAATGGCTGTACAGGCCCAGTCGGCACCAGACCGAGGCGGAGCGATCCCGCCAGACGTATTCTCTCGACTCTCAGTCGACTCGCGCGAGTGTCTCCAGCGCCTCTTGGCCCACCCGGAGCCAGCCATGCCAGAGTGTGTCCTGTCTCTGCCGGGTAGCCTGCTACTCAAGCATGAGCTGATGAAGTCAGTTTCGGCCTCGTCAAGCAAGCTGCTGTGCTTATTGGGCTGTTTGAGCGGCCGGGAATGGAGCTCGAGGTTTTACTGACCACTCGGGCGAAGACAATGAGGCGCCAACCTTCACAGACCGTACGCTAGCTTCATCACCTGGAACCGCGGGTGTAATCTTACTGGCTGACGCGCTTAGGCCTTGCCTGGAGGTAGAGTGGACCTCGAAGACGAATCGGTCTATCATACAGCCGTGAGCTATACTTCGCGAGATGCCACGGTGCATATCACCGCTTGGCGCTGATACTGCAGCGAAGAGAAGCGTCCGAAGAAGTGGATCTACCGCTGGACAGTCAGCATGTGCACTACCTCACGACTCTCGAACCAGTAATCACCGTCCTCCCCCTTGGCGCCCATCATCGAAACCATATCGTTGTCATCCGTGAGCCGTCCCTCTGTCTGATCGTCCACTCTTAAGCAGTCGAGCTGACGAGCAGCCGTCGTCGTCTTCATATCAGATCCTACCATTCTAGATGGTCTGACCCGGAATCCCGATGAAGTCGACTTCATCTTCTCCCATCCGCTGCGGGGTGTGCTCGACGGTTTCCCCTCGGAGCAGTACCGGGCAGGACTGGAGCGCATAGGCGGAGAGTGGTGGCCGCATGAGGAAGAGTTTCATGTAAGCTGAAATTTGTATCCACATACCACAGAGACGAGCTAGCTGACGATGAACAGTCCATATCGGACCGACTTGGAGTAAGCTACTCCAGAGACAGGCAAGTCGTAGCTCAGCTAATCAGACAGGTAACAGGTCCACATAGGATGCACGTAAGCCAGTCCCCTTTCCTGATCTTCCTTGACAGCAAAGCTGATCGGTCAGCGCTTCAGAACTTCCAAGTCACCCATCAAGGGCCTTACCTCCGACATGTACGCTCCTCCCGGACCCCTCCGTCCGCTCGCTGACCCTAATAGCCTCATCCAGGCGGCAACAGTAGCGTACGGTCGTCCGCCGACATACGATATCTACGCCAAGGATCAAGAGCCATTCACAGCTATTCTGTCCACTGTAGTTGCGGAGTTGCCGGGGATACTGGAGCAGGATGAGAAGGATAGGCTAGCGGGCAGGGTGCAGGAGAAGGGAGAGAAGAAGGTCGAGTGGGGAGCTATCGATGGGGGACCGGGAGTAAGGAGTGCGGAGAGCTGGAGCGCTGCTTGATCTTTGGCTCTTAGGCTCTCCTTATGACCATTGGACCCCGGGATGTCAGACGTGGCGACGCTGCTCTTCCAACACTACCGCAAGTGTCCCCATACACAGCCCTTGCGTGCACCAAGAGGTGCTTGATACCCGTCGGGGAACCCGTCAATCTCCGTTCGACGGCCATTTCCGGCTCGGGCAGCTTCGCGATCGCTCTTGCAAGCTCCGTTCTTTCTGCCTTTCATCCTCGTCTGCCACCACCAAGTACAAGTCAGTGCGTCTAATCAGCGGACATGTCATTCGGTCGTCCGGGAACATTCGATAACTGGAAGGTCTCGCCTCCAGCGAGAGGGTCATTCCCGCTAGACCACGACGGTGCGTCCGATCTTTTCAACCTATCTGCCCTCTTCGCAGGCTCTCCTGTTCAGCTGTCATGTTTATGTAGATCTGGAGCTGATATTTTAGGCGAATGCAAGACATTCATGATCTCCTACCTGAAATGCCTCAAGGCCAACGCGGCGGATAACGGGGTTTGTCGGCCCGAATCGCGCAAGTACTTGGAGTGCAGGATGGACCAGTGAGTTTGAGACCTCTTCTCCCTTCATGGGGGAATGTGCTGATGCGGGGCAGTGGTCTGATGACGAGGGACGATATGGCCAATCTCGGGCTCGGCGATGTCGGAACGCAACATACCGCTTCAGCACCTATAAATCCACCCGATGCCGCTACCAGCACAACGAGGATATGAGAGTCCCACTTATTCGGACACGACTGCCGGCCCGTCATACATGTCCCCCCCGGCAGATACACATACCCCAGCTGGTCGTAGCCAGTGTCCGGAGGGCGGGTCGCAGGGCGTGGTCTGGCTCAGAGGGGGTCATAGAGGGTTTCGGCAGTGTCACCAGATACCGGGCGAGATAGGGCAGACAAAAGGCCAAGCCGTGTTCTATAGTATGCCGGTGTAGGCCCCGCGGAGTGATGCCAGACACAGTTCAAGACCTTCCTAGATACTAATCCCTACTGACTGCTCATTCAAGCTGGGCCTGCGAACACATCGTCACGTCTGCGAACGCAGTATGTCGATGCGAGACGGGTGCCGAGTCTGTGCCATACTGTACAGCCGCTAGGCACGCGAACATACCACGATCAGTCTCAACGTGGATCACATCTTATGGTCGCCGCACCATTCTCCTTCACCGGTAAATGTGGATATGCAGCCTGTATCGCAAACACCCGATCATCCACCATCAGCGCGCCCGACTTCCGGCCGAGATCGCACTGAACATCAGCTATATATCAGCCCTTGATTAGGACTCACATCGAGGTAAAGCACAGTCCCATTCTGAAGCTCAATGTCTGGGTAAAAGTGGACCTTGATGAAATTTGCGGGGAGTGGGGTGGTGGTGAATGTCGCGGGTCCGCTGAGAGGCTTGTCGTCAAAGTTCACCGCATGTACACCGGGCCCGAGCATGACGTGTATCTTGTACTCCGCTGCCCAGGCCGTAGTAAAGCTTGCGGCGAAGAAGGGGAGCATAGCCTTTGCTCGCGGTCGCATTCCGCGGACTTCGTGGGAGTAATTTAGATCAGATGATGATCCGTCCGTAACAGGCGATGGGGAGTTCCTCGACGCTCGTCAAACCGAGATAGATGATCCAGACAACGCGGTCCTCGTCTCAGTCGTCGCACAGAGCGTTTCAGAGGAGTGTATCCTTTGGATCTTAGGGGTTGACTTTCCCAAGGATAGCAAGCAAACTCGTAAGAGCCCACTGAGGGATTCCGGAGTCGTCACGGGTCGGGGCAGATGTTCCAATTGGCAGCTGACTAGCTGAGGGACCATAAATCGCACGAAGATCGTGAGAGATTAGATGATCCTTTAAGTTGAGTCCACAGCGCATAGGGCCCATTCGTATGATGATCCGTCAAGACTCCTGCTGCCAACCCCACCACCCCTTCTGCGCCTGCTGCTCCGCCACTTCCGCCTCTCTCCTTCTTTCCTCATTACCCGCCCGAGCAGCCTTCCAATCCTCCATCAGATCCTCCAGCTTGATCTTGACATTCCCATCGATGTCTCCCGTGGTGAGGTACGCAATCTTGTTTGTCAGATCGCGAATGGTCTTGTCTGTGTCAACCTCGTCAGGAAGACGGCGGAGCCGGCCAGTCAGATCGGCCGAGTCGGCTTTGAGGTCGTGTAGGGCCTGGCGGCGGGTAGAGAGGTGGTCTCGCAGGGTAGTTGTGGCGAGGAGGATAGTGTGCTCGAGTTGCTAGATTTCAGTGAGGCCAGAGGTGGTATAGGGAGATGCAACTTACCCGTAGCTCGGCAGCCTTCTTGGCGAGTTCCGCCTCTCGTATCCTGAGCTGCTGAACCGCATAAGCGAGCTCGACATCCACGTTCAGGTGTCGACTACCATGTCAGCTATCATGCTCAGACGTATGCGCAGTGATATATAGTAGACTCACGGCTCGACCACTATCAGACCCCGATGACAGGTTCTACCATGGTAAGAGCGCCTGATTGTCAGCTGCCAGTATCATCGGAACCATTTGTCCGATGGCCAACTCACCTCCTCCTCTCATCCCCTATTTCCGGATATACTGGCCGCTGTCCCGGCCATCCCCTCCGCGTGCCTTGGGGATCGACAATCTCCCACTCATATCCCTTTTCTCCCATCGACACATCCGCCGCATCGCTCGCGGAGCGTTTCCGACCGGGTTGATCAGAATCTGATGCCCAGGCTGACACATCCGAGTACCGGTTGAAATTGAGGCCCATCTGATGTGGACCCTCTCGCTCCCATTGGGCTTGTAGTTGACGCGACTCGACGGCAGATTGGGGTGGGCGACTCCGGTCTAGATGTTGACGTGTATCGACGGCTGATTGAGCTTGCCGATCGGTTGAGAAGGCCTGATGGTGGATCAACAGGGAAAGATTAGAGCCGCCAGATAAGGAAGTGATGATGGAGGGCCGCTTGGAGCCTGCTTTGGAGGCGAGGGATACCGCGGATAGATGCGATGCTCGGGTAGGCAGAGAGCCAAAATTGCGGTCGTAAGACATTGGCGAGGGCGATACTACAGGATCAGCGAAATGTCATCGAGCGGCATTCGAGCTTGCTCACAGTCCCGTGGATCCAGCTGCTCGTCCACCTCTTCCAGATCACTGAAATATCAGCTCTGTAGATCTGTAGCCTCGACGAGCAGTTGAGACTTACGGCTCAATGACAAGCGGGACGTTTGGCTTGTTTCTGGGAGCGTTCCTGAGTGTGCTTGGGCCGGGTCCGCCTTCCGAGTCAGACGTCTCGTAGTGTGTCCCTTTTCGCCTACGTATGAGCCTAGAGCATAAAGCTATCGGAGCATATCCGGACTCACGAGACCAGTCCTCCCAGCCCACCGATCAAAACACTTCCCGTTCGCCTCACACCATGCAACACACCACCCGCACTCGCGCTCGGCGGACTACTCTCCATCCCTTCCTCTGCATCCTTCGAGATCGAGTGCGTCCTCCTCCTGAGATTTCCAAACCTCCTCTTACCGCCATTCTCCCATTCCGCCCCCGCTAGATGCCCAGACCATAACGCCCCGATCCTGCGGGCACCAATGATATCCCGATCCTTTTCTCTCGTTTTTAGTATACCGTGAATATACGACTCGAGATTGCTCGTTATAGCGTTCGGGCTCGCTACGGAACCTACTTCGTCATCGGGTAAGATAAGGTTCAGGCCGTTGCTGGATGACCCGTCTCCGCTGGGATGGCCGTTCTCGATGAGCGTGTTGGAGCGGGACGGGGAGTGATGTTCCCGCTTTCGGAGAGGGGTGTCATCCAAGTGACCGACTTTGAGGTTGGCAGAGATGGACGAGGTGGCTGATGCGACTCCAGAGAAGAATCGACGATGGACTTGGAGAGGGTCGGTGCCGGATCGAAAGCGGTGAGTGTGAAAGTCAACCGTGAGGGCGCGGATGGAAGCGACCGAGAGGAAGTTGACAGGAGGAGATGAGTGTCCGGAAGACATCTGTGCATTAGGCGCCGGCCTGGGGAAGCACAGATACGAGGCACTTACATGATACGTATGCCATATACCGAGGAAGCGGTGTATCCTATTCGACATGAAAGGATCCCGAGGCAGCTGGTCATCAGTTCGGGTCTCATGAGAGTACCAGACCCCTCTCACCTTCTCCTGACCAAGCGTAGCTAGCTGGTAGTAGGTACTCGTAATCGAGCTTAGCAACACCGCCAGCGTCTTTGGATCGATGCAACCCCCAGAAGTCTCTTTCTATTGTGATCAGCTTCATCCCTCCTTGAAATGTCATGTGCTCACCTCAATCTTCAAGCTCTCCTCATGCTCCATCCCCATACTCCTCCTCCACACCCCGATTCCCTTCTTGGTCTCATCGCAGAACAGGCCATCAATCTCATCGGACGGAAACATGCCCCACAGCGCCAAAGAGGCCTGAATGAGCCGGACCACTTCGAGCACCATGAGGCAGAGCGGGTCAGTCAGGACTGAGGCGGCGGCGGCGGCTGGACGAGGGCTGTGAGGTGAGTGGGGATGCGAAGTGGACTTGGATGGCGAGGACTGAGGGGAGGTTGTGCGTGATAGTGCGGGGTGAGAAGGGGGTGGGGGCAGGCGATAGACTTCGAGGAATTTGCGTCGGAGGGCGGGTCTAGGATGTCAGTAGCGGCCTGTCGCCGTCAGAGCGGTTGAGTGCGGCATACATTGGCACTTCGAGCGTCATAGCTGCTCGTCCACCACATCCCAGTCTTCTCAGACCTGCCTGGTCAGCTTGCAGGCTAAGGAGAACGATCACGAAGAGGCGCGACGTACCAGTGTTCACGACCAAATAAGGCCTGGCTTCCCGCAGGTCACCTCCAGGGACGAAGAACCTATCTGAATCAGAAGATTCTATGACAGCCTCCCATCTGGACTCACGCATCCTGCCCGAACGCACTTGGGGTAGTCACCAGCAGACTCCCCCATTCCGTCTTTCGGACGGTCGACTTGGTCTCTCCAGCCAGTCGCTGAGTCGCTCGAGCAACTTCTGCTTCTGCCTCTTGAGAAGACAGAGAGGAGTCGGCGACGAGGCGATACACCGAGATCTGACCACGGTGTCAGCGCCTGTCACACGAAGATGAGGTTGCGAATGATCCATCACAGGGGGTCCCAGAGGGGAGACCTCACCTGCTCAGTCTGCTTCCCCGTCTGAGTGACTATACTCTGGCTCCAGTGGTCTCTGGACAAATACCTGCTGGATCAGCGCTATCTTCGGGCGAAGCACAATGCCTCCTCATGCTCATCATCCCCTCACTCCACACAACGCCTATCACCCCCCCTCATATCCCCTCATATCTCTAGCCCAACACCCTGAGAGAATCAAGGGACATACCAAGTCCTCAGCGCATACAGCGCATACCCACTCAGGACCACCTCCCGCTCCACCCTCAGCCTTCCTAATTGGGCTAACCAGCTCACCCCCGAGCTCGCCGAGCTCCCCGCTTGGGATTCCAGCTCATGCAGACTTCGATCGGTAGGGATGAGCAGCGCCGGGTCGTCTGGCGATGGAAGTGGAAGCTGTGAGGGGGAGGCGCCGGAGGATGCGGTCGTGCTCGTAGTGAGATTGGTAGTAGTAGCAGAGAGGGGAGAGGAGTGGGGGAGGAAGGTCGTTGATGGGGATCTGAGCGGCATGTCTGCGCCGTATGGGAATGATATTCACAAGCGGATCTTGTCCCGCGAATAGGGGATGTGAGGGGAGGATTGAAGCTCCATTCAGCCCACCCCACCGTATGGATAGACAATGTACAGAACGACCAACTGAGGATCGAACGGGTCGGGTGGGGAATGAGTCGTTCTATCTTCGTCGGTTCTTCGCGCTTATCCGACGTCATATATTCCGCACCACAAGCCCAGTCCCGGCTGCAGGCGTCGCGTCCGAAGCATTGGGAACCAGCTGCCACATCACATAGCAAATATACATCTCGACAGATTCACAACTTCGCGCAAGCTACAGTACAGCTGAATACCTTACAAACGGCGACCCATCCCTCTGGGATGTCCCCACACCTCCCCCTATCCCCCGGCTCCTGGTGCACCTAGTGACCCGGGTGCTTGGGCTTCTCAGGCTCGCCCGGTACCTCCTTCCCACACGCCTTGGGGGGCACCGTGAACCCATCCGACCTAATTCCTCCGCCCCACGGGGTCTGACCCACGACCTTGGCGTCCGCGCCCAGCCCGCGCTCCGCAAACGCCTTCCAGATGAGACACGCATTCTCACCACCCGTGAGGATCTGGTCCGACTGGATAATGGCGTCCCGAGCGTCAAAGAAGGACGGGCGACACGGCTGAATCTTCATCGCCGAGACGATGAGCTGGAGGGCGAGTGTGTTTCCGTGTTTGGGGATCAAGGGTGCGGGGCGGCCGAACGCGTCGACCGACTCGGCGAGGGTCTTGGTGTAGTAGTCGTTCGACTTGGAGGTGTCGGTAGGAGGGAAGAGGGTATTGGAGAAACCGTACTTCTCTACCAGGCGCTGCGACATGACAAAGAGGAACTCAGCCCAGACCTCGCCGATAGCGTGGACGCCCCAGTATCCGGGCTTGTCGAGCGTCTTGTACGTGGACGGGTTCGTAGAGGAGTTGGTCGAGTACTTGTAGTTGCGGATACCGGTGTCCCGGTTGGCGGCCCAAGCGCCCATGGCGTACACGTCGGTACCGTTCCGGAAGTTCTTGTGCTCGTCGATCTGGCGGATCAGGGTGGCGATCGCGTCTCCCCATCCTTCGCCCATACCCCCAGCTTCGCCAAAGCCGAGACAACCAGAGTTGGCCGGACCACCGGTAAGACGAGTGGAAAGACCGTGACTGAAGCATAAGCTGAGGACATGACCTCAAAGGAGAGGAGTCGGCTTACCTGTACTCGTGAATGACAATACCAGCCTCGAGATCACCGTCTCTGAAGGGTGTAGCGGTGTCCCAGACATACTATCGGCTTAGCTGAAGTCTTTTGGCCGTGCAGGGACAAGCTCACCATCCTCATTCGTGGCGCCTGGCCATCAGGGGGAGTCATGAAGTTTGCGTTGTTGTAGCCCGATCCATCTTGACTGGAATGTCAGCTTCGGCTACTCAAACAAGTGTCGGCCAACTTACGCGTTGCAGATGACGGGATCACCTCCCCTTCCGCCGAGCCCAAAGTTGTACGCCTGGAAGTTCCCGCTGATCTCGTCGAAACCAATACGGTGGAGGAGATCGTGATACACGTTGGAAGTGTAGAACAGCTGGGTAACGACCATCTCGTAGTACTCCTTGGGCGCCAGTCCCTCCTCCGCTCCATAGTCATACACAAAGACCATAGACTCGTTGACTGGCCGCTTGTTGGTGAGGAAGTTGTTTTGCCCTTCCCAGTCTTCGTGCGCGATGACATTGTTACCGGCGGTAGTGTAAAAGTCGGTACTGTTGCCAGTGACGTTGGTGCCCTTGAAGTGGGTCGGCCAGGGGTTGGACGAGGTGGGGATCTTGTGCCATCCGAGAGGAGACGCGACCGTGTCCCAGGGAGACTCAACGACGGTGAGATTGCCAACCTCGGGGTCGTTCACACCTGTAAGTCAGCGCAGACTCAAGACACGCAGGTGAATAGCTTACCCCATGGGAAGACCTGGTAAGTGTAAGGCTTGTACTTGGTAGGCGGAGCCGGAAGAGGCTTCTGCTTGCCACCCTTCTTGGCCTCCACGCGGTGCTCGGCCTTCTTGGGAGTGTCCCAGGTGTAGTCACTCGCCCAGTCGACCACCCGCAGCAACTCGCCCGTCAAGACATCGACGTACGCCTCGTACCAGTTATCCTGCATCTCCACCTCCATCTTCCAGACCATCCTCGGGGCGCCCTCGGATGTCTGAGTGAACATGAGCCGGGCGGGGACGGAGCTCTTGATACCGGCGGTGGCGAGACCAGGGCCGGAGATGTGCTCGGTGGGTGGCTCGGCGGGAGCCGCCTTGGGCGCGAGGGTGTGCTCGGGTGTAGAGTGGAAGTCCTCGAGACGCAGCTCGGCCAGCGAGCGCGCATCGGCGTGAAGACGAGGAAGGAGGGTAAGGAGCGCTTCGACGGGGGTCAACATCTGCCCCATCGCCTGGGCCTTGCCACCGCATACCGCCTCCTGCTGGTGCTTCAGGTGGTGGATCTGCTTGTAGAGCGACCGGATCGTCCGGTGATCCACCACCTTCTTCTCGCCGCCGAAACCGCCGAGCATGGCCCGCGCGGCGGTCTTGACGATGGCCCAAACACCCTCATCGCCCTTCATCTCGGCGATCTCCGCCTTGTGGGCGGCGATAAGCCTGTCCACCTTGGCGCAGTGGACGGCCGCCTCATTGCTGGGGTCCATGTCGACCGTGAGGGAGGCACCACCGGGGTGGAAGGAGTTTCCGTACGAGATGACCCGGCCATCTCGGTCAATGTTGAGGTTGATGTCTCCATCACCGACCTCGAGGCCGTTGATGAGCTGCCGCGCGTATACGTGGGTGATACCAGTGGAGCGGTCGGTGTAGGTCTACGCGATAAGCTCAGTCCCGCTTGAGAGTAAGAGTAGACTCACGTCGGGGCGAATGTAGTATCCTACGCCCTCGCCAGAGCCAATCTTGTCCTCAATGAACCGACTCGCCACCGCCTTGACATCGACCTCGCTCAGCCCCTGGATACTGATTTCGCCGTTCACCGGCTCGATAGGGAGAAGCTCAAACGTAGCATGCTTGTGTGATGGACCGAATCCAAGGGTCTTGCGGGATGAGTGGCGGTGGTGGGAGTGGTGGTGATGGGGATGGGCGATGGATAGGGTGGCGAGCAGGGGGAGGAGCGCGATGAGCGCCGAGGAGCGCATGATGGATGTTGCTCAGTGAGATGGGTGTGATGTAGAGGTGTAGATGGCTGTGTGATGTGGTGTGGGATGTGAGGTGACAGAGGGGGTTACGCGTTGCCTAGCGTGTTATATAGGCTGCGATAGTGGGTGGGTGATCGCACGAGCTGATAAGGATGGGCCGGATGGGGGTAACGTTAATTACTATAAACGGCTACTTCATTCAACCGGGACTTCCGTCGGAAGCTGCTAACTGTAATCGATCCCTCCCTTTTACGGCCCGAGAGAAGTTGACCGCGACCAGAAGTCCACACAGCTACAGTGAGCTTGCTTCTCCATCTTCCACCTATACTCTACACACCTCTCTGCCCTCACAATCAGCTCTCCACTAGGATGCGCTTCACAGCTCCAGATTCGGACGAGGAAGCTTCCACCGTCACCCCGGGCACGTTCAACGCCTGGCGGTCACCTGCGCCCATCAAGAATGGCGGTCCAAGCAGGTACATCTCCTCCTCCCATCTCTGGCTCAGAGCTGATATATTAGGGCACCCTACACCTCCTCAATATCTACAGCGAAACCCCGATCAGCTCTCGGCAAGCGTATGAAATCTTACGCGGAGGACTCCGACTCCGACTCTGAGGTCGACCGGGCCATCGACTCGGAGGATGAGGTGGACCTCGTCGGGCTCAGTGAAAGCTGGGACGAGGTCAAGAAGACCCCTTCTGGATCGAAGGCTGCGGCTAGGAAGGCTGGTGTCAATGCGGCGGTCTCGCGAGTGCGCAAAGAAAACTTCAGTGCGATGATGGAGATCATCGAGACTGAGCCCAACCAGTATGAGGCTTGGGTGAAGATCACGGAAGAAGCGGCTTGGGTAGGTCTTCTTTCCTCCTCGACGCTCCAGTATGGAAGTGACGGTCAGCCGAGCTGATGGGTCAGCATGAGGGCCATAAGATTGCTCATTCGCGCCGAGCTGAGCTGCGCGAGATCGCGCTCAACGCGAAGGCCGAGATGAAGCAGTCTCACGACCTGCAAGCGGCGCAAGATGCAGAGGAGATGCGGAAGATGCTGGAGGGGCTGGCAATCCAGCAGACCAAAGAGGAAGAAGAGGCCCGGCGCATCTTCAAGGAAAGGGAGGCGAAGCTGTGGGCGGTGAGTGGTATGACGACAAGCGGTTCAGAGTCTGGCTGACGAGACAGGATATTGACGCCGCCCTGAAACATACGCAGGAGCTCGAGGCGCAGAAGCGCAAGCTGGATGGCGCTCAGCAGCGTCTCGCCGCCGCTGAGGCCCAAAAGCGGAAAGATGCCGCCGCAGCCGCTGAGGCTGCAGTGCAGGAGGAGGCCGCCAGCAAGGCGAGAGCGGTGGCGGAGAAGGCGCGGGCCGACGCGCTCGCCAAGGCCCAAAAGGAGCAGGCGGAGGAGAGGAAGCGGGAAGAGGAGGCAGCGAAGCGGAAAGTCGCAGACCAACGGGGACTGCCGGGTGCCGAGTGGAAGGCATACGTGAACAAGCAGCGGTGGATGAAGGCGGAGGTGATCGAAAAAGCGAAGGCGGAGGGTGGGGTCCGGGCGGGACTGCGAAAGGGTATGCGGTTGATGACAAGGGGTCTGGGCCAGGTGGTGAATACGAGGGAGTCGGTCGTTCGTGTCGTGAGTCGTGCTTCCCCGTTGAGGAGTACATTTTGAGCTGAACATGCAGACCAACGACATTGCCGCCATCCTCAATGATCAACTGCCCGCGCCTCCATCTACAAGCTCTCCGATGCTCCTCTCCCACCCTCCTCCCATCGCCTACTCGTACCTGCTCTCACACCTGGCAAAGTCAATCATCAAGCAGGCAGAGTCAGAAGTCTCTGCCAAGCAAGATGCGGCATTCCCCTTGGCTCGAATCGTCGTTGGTCTCCTCCTCCGTGGCCATGCTGCCTTCGGCGAGGTGCTGTTCGCGCGTTTCGTCAAGAAATGTCCGTGGATCGTGCCTTTCTATCCCAGCCGCCAGCCAGTAAGTCCGGTATCCCCACCTGGGCTGCACCTGTATGACACCGGACATTCAGCTGATTCATAGGACCAACCTCGTGCGGAGTACGAGAAGTCGACCGGCCGCAGTACAGACGAAGGTCTCGCAGACTATGTCTCGCGCATGGCCGGTATCTCCACTCTCTACTTCGCCATCCTCCAAACCCCTCTTGGCTCACTCATGCGCTACATCCCCTCCCCACCGAGCCCGGACGAGCTCCTCGTCCTCGTTATCCCGCCCCTCCGTCTCCCCGCCGCGTGGACGTGGATCTCTTTCGCCCTCCGAGACTCGATGCCGTCCCTTCCGCCCATCGCGACGATCCTGGCGAGCTGGATCGAGGTGTGCGGGTTCGCCGTCGGGCGGACCTTTGGCCTCACCCAGCTCACCAAGGTGTACGAGGCCATCAAGAAGGAGGGACTTGGAGAGGGGACTATCAAAGGGGATAGCGAGGCCGCGAGGCAGAGGTTGGCGATGCTTCTGGACGGACCGTGGCAGGATCACGAGCCACAGGGGCGGCACTGGGAGTGAGTGGGCGGCAGGGTGGGTATCGAGCGGTGTGGGGATTCCGGGCCTTCATTTTCATTCTGCATGAGTATCATCATCCGCTGTATCATCATCGCTGTAAACGAGTCATCATCAAGTTGTATCAGTACTCAACCATCAGATCATCATGTACCACTAGTATCCTATGCATTTACGCCCTCGCGATTCCATCACCCTCAGATCCCAAACGTCTAATTCGCCTTGCTAGCATACACGGCTGGCGTCGTTGCCGGCGAAGAAGAAGGCAGTGGTCTTCCCAGAGCAGCCGTCACTCCGCTGCTCTGCAAAAAGTTTGCCCATTTTGGCTCTACGAACAGCGCGCTATACTCGTCAGCTCAGGTTCCCTAGCGGAGGTCGAGGAGCTCACGTAGCCTCGGCAATCTTTTCACCCTCGAGCGTTTCCATCGTCCCGCTCACCATGACTTTTCGGCCATTAACGCTGTCGAGCTTCGTACGAACCACGACGAACTGTACTGAGTGAGCTTACTGTCATTGAATAGCTTTCGGATGACCAGGAAAGCGAGGAAACTCACCTGATCAGCGTGCAGCGGGGACCGGTAGTTGACATTAAGGTTCGCTGTGACTCCAATATGCGTAGGAAGGTTCAGCAGGGCCTGCAGGTCAGCAAATGCTCAGGGACCGATGTAGGAGCTCACATTCCGCGCCAAGCTCTCATCAAAGACAGTCGAGATGATACCGCCATGTATGATCCCATCGTGGCCACACAGCGCACGACCGAGATGCAGGACAGCTAGGGTGTATCAGCTTACCGCCAGGCTAAATACACAAGCGGTAAGAAGTGCTTGGATCAAGGAGCTCACCGATAGCTTCCGATTCGTCATCCTTTGAGAAGACGATAGGCGGGACAGCGAGCTTTCCTGGTCCGCGCAATGATCCGGCTGTGAGGGAGTTGTGGATCTTGTCGGGGTCGAAACGGGCGTACGGTCCTGGAGATCAGCGCTGACTCTCCCGCTCCCATCGCGCCTCTTCGCCTCTCTGCAGCCCCTCTCAACGCTCCTCTTTCAGCCTCCGACGCCCACAGCACAGTGCTTTCGCCCTCCGGCCCTGCCGAGACCTCTTGTCTCATCGAGAACCCAGATGAAGGGAAAGCGACAGACTTACGAGTCTCATACCACCCCTCTCTCGTTCTCAGCCTCGCCACGATCCACAGCTTCTGCAAATCCTTCTCCGTCTCCCCCATCAGCGCCTTGCCCTGCGGCGAGTCCCCGGCGGGCGGTGGGGGCGCGTAGCGCGGATACAGGAGGAGGACGATTTTAGGAGGAAAGACGGCGCCTGTAAAGTACGCGGCGGGAAAGGCTATTGTGAGTGCTGAGGAGGTCAGCGAGAGCTCGTGTGGGACATACGGTCGGCTGGGGCCGGATCGGCCATTCTTCCCTCTTCCCTGGGACTTCTCTCGCCGATGAGCAGGAGGCGAAGCGGCAGAACGGGAGCTATGGATGAGGGTGCCCATCACTCCTCTCTGTCCCGACAGCGCCCTCGTCGCCGGGCTGTCCCCTAGTCGCCCTAGTCAAACAGTGATGATGATAGATGACTCACCGAGCCTGACAGCCCACTTCCTGAACGCCGACGGGCCCTGATACATTCCTCCCTGGGTGTACGCTCTCCTTCCTGCTCCTGCCGCTCCTCCAGCACCTCCTGTGGGCCTAGACCGGAAAGTAGCAGAGGCAGCCTCGTTTCGGAAGCCCGTAAAGGCCGTACGGAAGCTCATGTTGACAAGCGATGACAGGCGTGATGAAGTGGATTTGACGATGAGTGATTGATGTTGTCGGGTTACCGGTCTGTCTCGATATGAGTCAGTGAGCGATGGTATGCTCTGGAGTGTTTATGATGATCAGCAGGTGAGTATACAATAGAGGACAAAGAGAAGAGCAAGAGGAGGGTGGAAAAAGAACCTGGCTCGAGGCGAGACGGGCCGGGCGGGGCTCTTTCGGGTATCGACGATCTCGCGCCGGTGGAGTCTCCACATCACCCCGCCTCGCTCAAGCGGGGTATTATCGGCGGTTTCGGCGCTGATGCGAAGACGTCCGATGAGCGCTGCTTTGCTTACTATCACTTGGACAGCACGACAGAAGGGCCAGGCAGAGCCATAAGCACTGCAAGATGTCCAAGAGTATACTTTTAGATACATCGACAGCCCTTTTCATAACAGACCCTCCTCATCCTGCAGATGCTACAACAGACGTTCCCCCCTTGTCCTCGCTGCTATACACAATTGCCGGTCCCAAAGCGGACTTCGACCTCCTAGGCATCATATGCGACCCGCCCACCGACAAAGGAGAAACGGTAGTTGCCCTGATACCAGTTCCGGAACGAGCTGCGCTCCGCCATTTTCGGGATGGTAGCGTATGATCCGCCAAGCTGTGATACATATCAGCTTCAGTCCGGCCAAACTGGGTAGAAGGGCAGGAGACTCACCACGACAAAGTGCTTGCCATCAAAGAAGTCAGACGAGTAGCCCGGGTAAAGCTTGCTCGGGGTGTACCCCTCCAGCGGCTGGAACTCGGTCGTCGTCCATTCCCAAACACCGCCATTGTGGCCGTGCAGCTTCTTGCCGGCGTTGTCGATCATGGTCTTCTCGGCCCTTTTCGTTCAGCTCATTCCCTCCAGCAAAAAAGACTTGACTCACGGGATAGGATGCCAGTTCTTGAATCCGACATTGGCCCTCTGGCCCGCCGGCCGCGCACCATTCTCATGCGCCCAGAACGCCCTCAGCTCGGCCTCGCTCGGCAGCCTACCGCCCTTCCACCGCGCATACGCCTCCAGCTCGTTTTTGCTCGCCTGGACGGGCCACCTGCCCGCCACGTCGAACCCTACCGGCCCATATAGCGTCCGCACCCTCCACTCTCCATCCTCCTGGACCCACGACGCAGGCGCCGAGTCTTTGGTCAGAACCAAACCAGTCTTTCCCGCAAAGTCGAGGTAGTCGCCGTTCGATATGGGCAGGGTGTCAATCTTGAACGCCGGAGTCTGGACGCTGATCCGAGGGTTCTCTGGATCCCATCCGAATTCGTGTCCCGCCCAGGCGTCAGGGGAGGTATACTGCTCGTCCTCGTCCTCCGCATCATCATGGCCGATCTCAACCTGTCCTGCCGGGAGTGAGACAATCTCGTTGGCGTTTGACGCAGCCTCAATAGCCCATCGTTTGGCCAGGACGTCCCACTGCGGAGTGGCGAGGCAAGTGGGGGGCCTAGTCGCCGCGCTCTGGATGAGCATGTACAGAAGCGTCTCGGCGTGCATCGCCTCGTGCTCGTATGTCATGAACAGGGTGCGTCCGGCTCGGCGGTCGAGGGGCATGCTGCCGTCGTTGAGGGCTTGGTAGACGTCTCGAACGCGCAGGCGGACGCGGTCCCGGAATGCGAGGATCTCGCGGAGGGCGGGCCAGTCGGCTTCTTCTACCGGAACTTCAGAGTGGGACTGGATATCAGCGGTGCTATGTACACAAAAGGATTCAGCTTACGTGGATCTTGGTAGGATCGTCAACGTCCGGATCGATTCCGCGCTCAAAGATGTCTTTGAAGAATTCGGGGTGGCTGGGCTTTCCGTCCGTCAAGCGAGTGAGGTAGATGTCGAGGAAAGTGGGGCTAGCTCATCAGCTTACAGTTGGACACTGGTTCGGAGGCGGCTCACATATGCCCGATGTAGAACAAGCAGATATGGCGTAGATCAATAGGCTTGGTGTGCAACATCGCCTCAGGTATCATACCCAGCGTGATGCTGTAGAGTCAGCTCCAGCCTTTGACCAAGAGCAGCCAAGGCGAGGCGGACGTACTGATCCCAGACCTTCCACATAGCCTGCCAGTCACTCCATTTCGGTACGCCCTGACACGCCGCCGTCTTGCTCTCCTCCGGGGCAGCCAGCGCGACATCTTGGACGGGTGTTGACGACACTGTGTTCTTTTCGATGATGGGGGCCGCGGAGAACCTGGCGTGAGGTCGCTCAAGGAGCCAGAGGCGATACTCCGAGTCGGGCGCTTTCCACGAGTTGATGACTCGCAGGTCGGCAGCTTGGAAGAGGTCGAGAGCTTCACCGTGCGAGTACTGATCGAGTCAGCTTCTCGAGGTATCCTGCAGCAAGGGAGCAGACCTACTTTGTAGCTCCACTCGATGTTCAGCAGCTCATCCTTCTCGAGCTTAACATCTTTGCCTGATCCGGGAAGATGTATGGTCTGCTCGGCCTTGCTGCGGAAATACGCCTCATGCCGGCCTATCAGGTCAGCTCGATCCTCGTTCAGGCTCGTCGTGCAAGCTGACTCACCCAGAGCCTCGTTGTACCTCCCCACAAACTCCACTCCGGGCACATCCCTCAGCCCCAACTCCCTCTCGACGATCTTCCACCCGTGCTCCTCAAAAGCACGCGTATGACCCGCGGGATCATTGTACGCCACTTCCACCTTACGCCTGCCCTCCTCGCCCGGAGCGGGACGGCCATCGAGACCGAGGAGTAGGGTATCGCCATCGTGCAGAGGCAGCGAACCGAGGAACGGCGCAGCCGCTTCCCGGGGAAAGTTACCGAGGGACGAACCGAGGAAGACGATATGGAGCGGACGCGAGGTGGCCTCGGTGCTAGTCACCGCGTTGGGTAGGTGGATTGACTTGGGCGATTCCGGGCGAGTCCACTTATCGTTGGTCTGGGAGAGGTCCACGTCGTCCGAGGTGTTATTGGGGTCGACGATCCCGGCTGATTGGGGCGGACAGGCAGTAGGCGGTGGAGTGACCAGATCCGCCTCGGTAGGACTGCCCAACTCCATATTGGCCGTCTGAGGCGTCACCGGCCCGATCGAATCAGGGGACGACTCCTTCTTTGCCCGCAGAGCAGACAGCTTGCCGTCCTTGATGAACTGCAGACCGGCATTGTAGTCGCCATGCAGACCAATACACTCGACCTTGCCCGCTAGCTTGTCGCCATACGCCTCGTCCATTTCGCCGAGGACGCGGTCGAGCTCGGGGTAAGAGAGGTCGAGCGGGTGATACGTGATGGGTATCTTGTCTGGAGTTTTGTCGGGTAGGGTGCCAGCAAGGGCAGTGAGTAGATGTGCTGTCTTGCGGAGTGCGCTACGAATCAGCTTTTCGCTCTTGGCTCTGCAGAAGCTGACTCACCCTGCACCCAGCTCGACAACATCATAGCCTCGCTCGAATCCGCCTCCCATCCCCTGCTCCCCATTCACCCCATTGTTCCACTTCCCGACCGCCGCATCTCCCCACCTCGCAGGCTTCCATGGCGATGCGGGCCTGTGCTCCTGCTCCAGCTCTTGCTCAAGCTTCTTGCGCTCTTCCTTGCCCTGCTCCCGCTCCGCTTCCTGCTCGTCCGGCGTGAGGGCACGCCGGGCACCCGGGAAGCCCATAGACCGAGCGATCTCCGGACCGTGGTTGCGCAGAAGGTTCAGCTCGTCCGGAAAGAGGTAGTACTCTGGAGCTTGGGCGGTAATTCGGTCGTACAGCCTGAATGTCAGCCAATCTCCTTCGCCCCGGGATTGCCATTCAAGCTATTGATTCCAAACTCACCTCAATCCCTGTTCGTCATAGAGCACTACAGTCGGTACGCTTCGCTTGAACGCCCACTGCTTATCCTCCTCTTGCTCTCCCGGCACAGTCACCTCCCCGGTCCCCATCAACCCCGCCTCGATCTCATCCCTCAACCCCGATCCGCTCGCGTCGTCCGTCTCGGCCCCTCCTCCGTTCTTCGAGGGCAGCGTGTATATTGTCGTGCGCTGTACCATCTTGTCGGGTTCCCTAGACCGTATGTTGATGTCGGGTTGAGGTATACTGACAGCTGTGTGGTCAGCTTGTACCAGCAGCAGAACCGGAGAAGCGAAGCCTAATTAGCGAAGCGGATGCAGGCCGAGGACCCCAGAATCGGGGGAGGGGATGATGCAAAGCCCGATAGCCGAGGCTACGTCATCGCCACGTTCCACCAACGTCGCAGCGACGGCAGAGACGCTCGAGACGCTCGAGACGACCAAGCAAGTCCATACATCCGCAAGCTATTGGCTTAAGGCTGCCTCTCCCTCCTCCCTACAGCACAGCGCGTACAGAAGATCACTCATTCTTACTCATACTGCCCGCCTCCGGGGCGTGACAGCTCATATCAATGGCCGGCCGGGAGCCTCCTCTTCTGCTTGCACATCCCCTTCGTCTTCTTGCCTGACGCACCCGCAGCGTTCAATCCCGCCCCAATCTGCGAAGCACCCCTCGCATTGCCTTCATCTCCGGTGGCACCCGGAGTTCCGCCCATCGAAGAGTTCGGGGTCCTCATACCGGCAGCGGCCGAGGAGGACGAGGACGCGGGCGCCATGGGTTTGGGCTGCATGGGTACCGCCGAGGAGAAGACGGGAGGAGTGGCTTCTTCAGCGGGAGCGCCTTTGACGGGCGCGGCTGGAGTGAGCTTGACAGGAGCTGGCTCCATAGGCGCCGGAGCAGGGTCCATGGGTCCCATAGGCTGGCCCATGTCCGGCTGGACCGCGCCCTGTTTTCCGCCGTAGTCGGTGCACTTTTGAGACTTGCAGGAACCGCCTTGGGCGATATCGAGGGTGATGACGGATGCCGCCTCGGTGTAAGTCGCGCTCATCCTCTTGGGGTTGTTGGCAACGCGGGACGAGTTGTATTCGGGGTTGTTACCGGGGAGCTTGGCGAGCGGGGTCTGGATCCCGACGGGCTAGGATTTCATCAGCTCAGCCTCGTATACTGCTGGATCCTGTACACTCACCTCATTGACGATCTGACCGTGCATCTGACAGTCTTGCTTGGTGTTCTTGTACTTGGCAAGTAGCGGACACCCCATCGGGTCGGCCGTCATACCAGGACATTGTTCACCGACTTGGTCGAGGAGGCCACTTGGGAATCCTAGATGTCAGCATAACCCCAGACACCGGTGCCATCACAGACTTACCGTTGATCCAGTCGGCATGGAAAGACAGTCCAAAGTTGTCTCCGTTCGCGCTGCTAATCAGCTACTTATCCAACCAAGCTGTTTGGTGTAGACCTACAGTACGAAGCAGCCGGGATACCACTCGTAGTCCGCCCCGAGACTCTGCTTGGGCTTGTAGTATGCTATATTGATCAGCTTACTCCCCAATGGTACCCAGCACGTCCAGGGTGACTAACTCACTCTCCATAAAAAGCGCAGGCATGGGGACAAACCCCTGAGGACACTTGCCCCCGTCAAATTTCCCGATTGGGTACGTGACATGGCTGTTGTCTTCCTTGTACGAGTCGACCCCATTCCAGCACGATGGGAAGTAGATCTGACAGTTAGTGTCCGTTTCTCAAGGCACTGATTAAGATGTTCAAGTACTTGGGGTCGGATAGTCTCGCACTCAAAGTCGGCTGGGATGTAGCTGAGTCGGTCTGGCCGGCCAGTATTGCCCTCAATCTCCTGCTCGTATCTGATCTGAGTATCCGATGAAGTACCCGCCATCCACTCCTCCGCGTCCCTCGATGTCTCACTCGATGTTTCAGTCCCGCCACCGCCCGCACCCCTACTCTCTCGCCAACCTTCTCTCTCGCCAAGTCGCCAAATCAGACAAAGACTCACGGTCGTACCCCGGCCCAAAGCATTGGAAACTGACAGCGTCATGGCTGGGGATACTCAGATCGAGAAAGTCGCGCGTCATGTTCCCGCCGACCATCCGGAAGTCATCAGGGACGACTGCCAGCTTTTCGCCCTTGGCCTTGTCGAACCCTCGCCCCATGAACCAGTAAGTGACCATACCGTCTCCAGAGATGGCTGAGTATCGTCCGTCTTTGTGCTTGTAGTAGAGCTGGGGGATCCAGTAGCTATGGTATCAGCGAGTGATCAAAGCACGTTCCTGCGATGCCCATGAGAATGGGAACGAATCGCTATCAAGCCAAACAAGGGACCAGCAACTCACCCAGACTGGTCAACCGTGATAGGTGCAGTTGTACAGTCCCCCTCCCGTACCGATGCGCCAGTCATCTTCGAGTTGATGGCGTTCGTTCCCGCAAACATGTGGGTGTGTGGGGCGACTGCGCCGGGGTTAAGAATCGGGTCCATTCGGGTCCGCGTAAGTGCGTTGTGGCCACTGGGGATGTCAGCTTGTCCCGGACTGATGGCACTACAGCTGAAGTACAGAGAACGGAGTCTACTCACTAGGACATGAATTGAGCTTGGACAGTCGAGGCGCTCAGCGCCAGGAACGCCACAGCGCTCGAGCGAGAAGTGGCGCGCATCTTGCTTTGGGTGACTAGGCAAGGAACAAGTAATTGAAAGTGTGGAGCAAGCCAGGTGGAATGTCCAGATCTTCTAGCGACCTGCGCCCGGGTAAAGAAAGTGGGTAGAAAGAATGTGTAGGTGAGTCAGAAGAACGAACAGCGCAGGTACAAGGGAAGAGAGGCAAATAAGGGAACGCAGAGAGGCATTTGAACCCCTTCGCCCAGCAGGGCACAGATCATCGTCCAAGAGCTCAAAGGTATGTACGGTCGTCAAGGAGAATAGCCTTTGATCTGCGAGAAGGAGTCAAAGGGCAATCGCGAGGACAAAGTGGGGGAATCAGCCACATGAAACGCAGTGAAACACCACTTCCAAAGGCTATTTGCCTGGGTCCTTGTTTCGGATCTTGGAGAGGACCCTGCTTTCGCGGGCGTAATTCCGGCATGAACGGACGAGTCGGCAACGTGAGAATGGCCCAGAGCTGGTGGAATTTAGTGTCCCAATCTATACGTCATCTACTTATAGCATCAGGTCAAGGGGAGATTATGACATCCATTGATCGGTCTAGACGGACTTCCTTGACGGGACTGGAAGGGCATGGATGGTCATCCCATCCTCAGCTTGGATCGAGGGCACTCCATCGTAAATATTGAGATTCAGTTGTGTACGCCGGCACTGGTACTGCTCCACTGCAGAAAGGTAGACATGTCCTCGTATATGCGTATCATATGTATTCGTTATCGTCATTGATGTCGTTCCAAGATCGGTTGCTCTCCAAATCCTTGCCGCCCCTGTCGTCAACCCGACTCTCACCCACCCCGTCCGTCTCATCTCCCCGCCTGTATCTTTGCTCCCAGTCCAGCTCGGAGTATACTCGCCCGTGTCGGCCTTGGCCCAGCCGATGCCGCCCCGGTTTGACTAGCCGACCCCGCCACAGACGGCGCCGATTCGCGGATGGACGATGTGCGCGACAGGGTGGAATCAGGAGGTGGTCTGCTAGCGCCCGGTCCGGCGCTGGTCGGTCGGAATGAGCTCGGCGGCTGCCGTGGTGTGACTGCGGATGGGGGACGGTCGAGAGGGAGGCCAGGTATGGTGCTTTGGCTAGCTGATGCGGATTGAGGGGTTCTGAGCATGGCTGTCTTGTTAAGTCTTGGTGTCTAGACGATCAGTAATTTCACTTCAGACATCACGATGGGCCAGAACGTACGATGCTTGGTGCCCCCAAACTCCGGATGCTACCCATGAAAGATCGCCGCTTCTCCTCCTTCGGTGTTGCCTGAGCCGACGGCGCGTCAAATGTAGCCTTTGTAGGTGTCTTGGGCTTCGGGGTGACTGCGGCCTTCGGCTTGGGTGGCACATTGTTGGTCGAGGTGGATGTGAGGTAGCGGTCGAATGAGGTAGGAGGGGGTTTGGAACCGCCAGTACGCAGCATCGAGGACTTATTCATACGTGGTGCCTGGACGTCAGCATGTTCTGCCGATATATGAATCGGAGCTAGCTTACTATGGAAGGGGCACTCAGACTCGACGGCATGACCATGCTCTGCCTTCGCCTCGCCTTGTCTTCCTCGCTCTTGGCCTTGACGTGCGCTGACACTTCTTCGGCTGTATGTCGTATTGGGCCGGAAGCAGAGGGTGTCAGCCCGCCTGAACGAAGCTGTGATGTGCGGTTCTGACGAGGCGCCATAGACGGGCTGGACAGGGATGCGATATCCTACGGGTGAGCTATGGACCACTTCTGGAGGGAAACGGCAGGCGGAAGCTCACCATGCTGAGGTTGTTCCGCTTATGGCCCGGCGTATTCGCAAAGTCCACCTGCCTCCTTTCCCCCGCCGGCTTCTTATCCTCCCACTCCATCCCCATTCGCAGCGCCGCCGCCTTGCTCATCCTCGGTCCCACTGCCTGGTCCCTCATATTCGCCGGAGCAGGCTTCGCCTTGAAGCTCGGATTCCTCCGCAAACTTGCCTCCGGGCTGACGGGAATCAAGCCCTGTCCTTTGGCCAGCTTGTTGAGAATAGGGTCCGAGCGTACATCTTCAGTGTGGATGTCTTGGGCGTGACCGAAAGGGTGAGGTCCGTCAGACGTCTCGCTCGTCAGGAGATCTTCGATAGATGCGGTGGATGATGCGAGACCTGGAGAGGGTAGGCCGGACGTGCTAGCGGTGAAAGGGGTATCGGACAGGAGTGGCGGCTGGGACTGGTCGTCGAGAGACAGCCTGTTCATCGTGGCAGATAGGTGATCCCCGCCTGAGTTGTGTGTTGACGATGGTGGGGGGTCAGACAGCTGGTAAGCAGGCTGTAGCACAGCTGCTGAGACGCTGATTGCCTTTGTGAAAGGGAAGAAAAGAGGTTGTTGATGCAGCTTGACGACGAACGGACGGACCATAGTGGGGTCCCCTTTGTTTACACACACAAAAAGGAGATACATCTCCATCTCCATCTCCGTTCCGTGCGTCCTGCGTCATGATCGGCGTCCTATAGCTGCAGCTTCAGCCAGCTCGGCGCCAGCCAAATTCCTCGCTTCTCTACGACCCTCCCCTTCACCTGCATCGACCATGTCCTGGCTGCTGACCTCCACACCCCCAACATTCGCAGAGGAGCAGCTCTTTCAGCAGCTCTCGGCGCTCTCGACGCTTCCCGTCAACTTTAGCGCTTCTTCAGCCGTAGCCGCCCGAGTACCCAGCCCGGCGCTCGAGAATGCCCTGCATAAATTGGGCGGATCTGGCCCCGTCAAGCGAGACGAGCTTATCGCCGTCTTGAGATCGTTGGCGCAGGAGGGCGGAACCAGCACATCAGGCTTCTCACAAGATGATGGCAATGGGGCGATCGAGGTAGAGGTGGTCGGGCGGGCGGTGACCATGGTTTGGAAGGAGGTTATTCAGGCTTTGATCGACGCGGCGTTGGAGCTTGAAGAGGAGAGGAGCTGGTGGGAGCGGAACGTGAACAGCCGGAGACAGATCGCTACCTATCTCGTGCAGAGTGGGTCTTTCACCGTACAGCTACAGTAGAGATAAGGGAGCAATAGCTCACGCTCTCAGGCTTGCCCCTGCGACTATACACAGCCATTCAACCCCGGTCATTCTCCATCGACTCTCTCAAAGCCTTCCACTTCCCTTCCCGCTCGGCACTCTTCCGACCCCTCCCTAACGCTTCTTCCGCCCTGACGTCCATCACCTCTCCCTATACCCTCACCCGGCGCGAGATGCTATCCTCCATCAAAGCACTCACGTCCGCCCGGGACAACATGGCGAGACGGATTGGCATGCTGGCTTCGGACGGTCCAGGATGGGCAGACGTCAGCTCCATGTCGTCTGGCTCGGACGGGGACTTTACGGACGAGATCACTCGGATCTACGGGACGCTGTGCCGAGTCCTCGAAATACCCACCGCGGCGACCACGCCGACGTCGAAGCGGTCCCGACAGTCCGCGGTGACGCCTACTCGGGACTTTATCTCAGCGACTGCCACACCCAGCTCGCTACTTACCATCTTGACCACTCATCTGCCACGGATACGCTCATCTACGGACACCACTCTCACGCAACATCGTCGACCAAGTGCTCTGACGAGGTTGTGGTTCCCACTCCTCTTTCTACCCCCCACACTCCTCATTAGCGGACGGTATCTGGCACGGAATAAGGCTTGGTTTCAAGAACAAGTATCAAATGCTCGTGAGACGGTCAAGGGTTTCGTCGTCAGCTGGGTCTGGGAACCGCTGGAAGGTGTCGGCAAGACGCTGAGAGGCGGCGGAGAGGGATTAGGAGTTGCGCCGACTACCGTCAAGTCAGACCAGGAAGTGAGCTGGCTGAACACGTCTTCACAATGAGACAGCAAGCTGACTTCATAGTCCCTCGAACGCATGGTCCTCGATCTCGGCAGGGATTACTACAAGCTCGACGGTACCGCTTTGGAGGCTTTGCGTGCCAAAGTAGCCTCGGGTGATATGGAGGAGGTGCTGAAAGTCTACGAGAAGGAGCTCCAGGTATGTGTAGATGCATAGCGCTCTGCATCGTCGCTAACTCTGCTAGTCACCTGTCAAGAACGCTCTGATGGGGAATTTGATCCGCACTCTCCTCATCCAGGTGCAGAAGACAAAGGTGAGCTGACAGACCCATCTCCTATATCGGATGTCAGAGCTGACTTTCAGACCGACTTGTCTCTCTCCTTACTCTCGCTCGACCACCTCCTCCGCTCTCAACAGCTCACTTTCGCATTTGTCGGTCTCGCTCCCTCCTTGCTCGTACTTTACGGCCTCGGCGGGTGGATGCGCGGACTCTGGCGAGGCGAGAAGCGTGGCAAGAGCAGGAGACGTACCTACTTCAACGGTCTACGGTAAGATCTTCCACCTCGACCATTCTGCTCCCGAGCTAACATATAAGCGAGATCGAGCGTATCCTTCTCACGGCGCCCAAGAAGACGCAAGAGCTGCCCGACCGCGATAGAGGTCTCCTCATCGTGTCGGTGACGGGCATGCGGACATGGGCGGCTGGACTTGGCGGAAGCGGGCGGGAAGCGTTCCTTGACGATCTGAGGATGGTGGAGGAGACGAGGCTGAGTCGAGGCGATAAGCTGAGGGTCGTGGAGCGGATATGGAGATGTTTCGGTACGGACGGGAGGAAGAAGGCTTGACCTGTAGCCGGCCATGCACCACCTGCTTAGAGGGGAGGCACGAATAAGGTCGGCAATCGCGTCTCCGCTGCTGTTGCTGTGATTACTCGCGCGATGCGATGCCTGCGTATCTACTCCATCTACCTCCATACAGGCCATACATCTAGCAAGCTATAGCAATATACCGGGGAAAGTTACAACACATAGCTTGGACAAGCTTCACTCGAACTGCCCCAAGACGACAGCCAAGCCTAGGTTCTGAGCGCTGAGCGGCGAGCTCGTGTCCGCCGATCAGTAGCTGCGTACCTTACCAACGCGGAACGTCACCGGTATGTCCACCTTGTCTCAGACCTCATGATTTCCTTCCTCGGTCGGAAGTCCGAGTGCGATCGAGATACCCTGCTTTGTTGCGAAGCCAAGACCGGCCAGGCTTCCAGCATTTCGCGCACTACACCTCGACTGCGCTGTGAACCTAATCTTGGCTGGGGTACATTGCTGACCGAGCTAGACGTACATGCCTTCCTTACATCTCTCGGTATAACGCATACAAACTCGTCGTACAGCACCTATCCAGCGGCGGTACCTCCTTTCATCCAACTTTCCTCCGACCCCCTATCCCGCCTTTGTGCTCAATCCCACCCATTCGATCACCTCTTATCTGCGGCAACGACTCATAGAGCGGTGCGATGGACACCTCCACCCTCTCCATTACCGACGCCGTCGACGCGGACCTCTCCCCCGCATCGCTCACGGCGGTGCAATACTCTTATCGGATCCAGCCCGGGGTGGAGTGGCTCACCCGCCTCATCTCCCCATTGACGAGGCATACGGCCGATCCTTCTTCGCCGCCTCTATCGCCAGTGACAATGGCGTCAGCGGTAGCCGTGCCTCTGGCGAAGGCGATGGAGGTGGAGAGCTGGGAAGGAGGGAATGCGGTACTGGAGATTGAGGAGGTCATGCGGCTATACCGGGCGGATATGGAGCAGGACCAGGTCCCGTACCCCTCACAACCGCAGATCCCGGCGCCGAGGGAGCCTAGTGAGGGGTCCGGGAACCAGGGGTCGGGAATGAACAACATGCTGCTGATTTTCATCCCGATGTTGGCGGTGGTCTTGACGGTACTGTTGGGCTTGCTGGTGTTTCTGGTGGCGATGCTATATATGAAGCGGAGACGGGGGATCAGGTGAGCTTCAGATCTCGCGTTTGGTGACGGACGATTAGCTGATATTCAGATTGATTGAAGATGGCGGGCCGCTGGATCTGTCAAAGGGGGACGGCGTAATAGGAGAAGGAGGGGTGGAAGGCGTCGAGTCTCGCTGGCTAGAGACGGTCGACCCAGACGTCCGGGAGGCGTATCGGCGGACAAAAGACTGGCAGACCTCTCACCCACCCGGCTCTACCCCTTCCGAAATCACATTGTCACAATTTCTCTCGATCCAGGAGAAGGGCGTCTCGGCGTGGTCGTTCGAGCCGGACTACGAGGATAATCTCTCCCTCTACGTTCAGTCCCGCACGGAGATCACTTTCCTCGCGGACGGTCCCGGGATGCCTGCTCGAGAAGGCGGCGGAAACTCCGTCATGGCCAATCTTCCTCTGCCAAAGCTCAACGAGGTATACTATTGGGAGGTAAAGATGTATGACAAGCCAGCCAATACCGAGGTCGCCGTCGGTCTGGCCACCAAGCCATACCCCAGCTTCAGGCTGCCGGGCTGGTGTCGCCACTCGGTCGCCTACTTTGCGAGCGACGGTTTCAAATCGCACGACTACCCATTCACGGCCTCGAGTCACGGTCCGCAGTTGAACGAGGGGGATGTCCTGGGCGTAGGATACAGACCGCGGACAGGGACGGTCTTTTTCACTCGAAACGGGCGGAAGATGGAGGACGCCTATTCCGGTTTGCAGCGGTTCAACCTCTTCCCCACCATCGGCGCCAACGGACCGTGTACGATCCACGTCAACCTCGGTCAAGCCGGCTTTGTCTTTATCGAGGCGAACGTCAAGAAGTGGGGGTTGGCGCCAATGACGGGGACATTGGCCCCTCCACCGGCGTACGGGAGTGATGCGGGCAGTATTCTGCTGGATGCGGGGTATGGCTCGCCCGGAGCGGGGCAGTCTGGGTTCAGCGGTGTGGGCGCTTTGCTCGAGGCGGCGAGGAACAGGTCGGCACAGCAGCCACGGACTGGGTCATTCAACTCGGTCTCGTCCGGCGGAGGCGGGAGTGGCAGCGGACGGCCAATACCTGCCAACCCATCAGGTCAGCCACCTCGCTCCCCCAACTCTTCCCAGCGACATCGGCGGGCCGGCAAATCCATCAACCTCGGCAGCTCGGTACCTGCCGTTCCATCCCCTCTGCGCGCGAGCGAGTCCGGTCCAGGCCCATCCACCTCGGGTAGTCGGCGTCGAGCTCTCGGCCGGGTCGCGCAAGATGATTCTGCCGGGGCGGACTACGTCTCACCTACCGACACACCTCTCGTTGCACCTCGTATCCCCTCACCTAACGCGCTCGAGCGTCTTCACTCTGATGATCTCCCACAAGAGGAAGACAGCGAGATCCTACAGTCCCCTTATCAGAGCGACTCGGAGGACGGAGACGGTCCCGTACCCGAATCCCCAATGGACCATAATCCACCTACACCCAATCTGCTCGATATATCACTACATTCACTTCGGACATCCATGAGGCACAATTTCGGCGGAAGGCAGAGGAGCGAGGACGGAAGTGAGGATGGGAGTGATAGTGAGGACGATGAGCGGTTCTTGACTGCTCGGACAGGTGGTGGGAGTGGGAACGGGAGCGGGTCGGGGGAGAGTGATGATACGATTCGGATCAGTCAGGGAACGAGGGCGGGTCCACAGGGAGATAGTCCGCCTCCACCGGGATATGCGCCGCTGGATCCGCACATGTATGCCAGTAAGTATAGTCTTGCTAGTATGGCGTGAGCGCTGCTGATTTTAGGTCTTCCCGCAGACTTGCCGGACGAGCTTGTGAATCAGGCCATTGAAGCTATGTCTGGGAACGCGTAAGTCGAGCAATATAAGATATGAGGAAAGGCTACGTAGCTGATGTACAATAGTCCAGAAGGAAGCGGAGGGGCTCGACCAGGCCCACCGGCTAGTCCCTCACCCGCACCAAGAGGCGCGAGTTCCACAAGCTGGTTTAGGCGATCATCATGAGAAGCACGGGGGACTATTTGCATGATCAAAGTGTACTCAAGTGTAGCTACCCGAAAAATTTGTCACATCAAGTACAGTATGCACATGCCTTGTATTAGATGTTGTCCGCACGCGATTATCGGCTACTTCCTTCGCACTCCTTACTTAAGATTGTCCCGTATATCATATCCGCAAATCAATTCTGATCCCTGGTGAAGCTCCTAGAATCCATGGCCTTCAAAGCCTCGAGCCCGAGAGCTTGAGACCGCCTGATGGAGATCAGCTTCTGGTGTCTCGAGTACGAGAGAGATGGAAACTTACGACTCGGCCATCGACTCCCCGACTCGTTGCATCTCACCCAACATCACATCTACTTCTGCCTCGACCAGGGCCGCACCTGCATGATCGCCCCGTAGGCGAAGCCGGTGCATCTCCTTGAGCAGAGTACGGGCGACCATGCCCCAGATGACCACCACAAACGACTCGACATCGGAAACGGGCTGGACAGTCAGCTCAAGGGTACACCCTATCCGAGGGTCGACATACAATGATGAGATCGTTCTTGATCAGCGCGACCGACCTCCTCGCAGCCGCGAGTGCATCGGCATTCTCGCACTCGATCGAGTTGATGTCGTGGAGGAACATCTGAGTCGCCGCAAGGGTATGGTGCTAAAAACATCATCAGTTCAGAACCTATCCTACGGGGATGAGGGACTCACGATAGCCAGATTATGACTCGGGATGAACGGCTCCGCCGCCCCGTCAATCTGAGCGTTCCGCTTCCTATCCACCGGAAAGATGCCCTCTACACCCATCGAATGCACAAACTGGTCCAGACCAAGCTTGACTAGCCTGTAGTCGCGGGGACAGCGGTATTTGGGTTGGTCCAGCATCGCCAGGGGTTCCTGCACGGAGACGGACGGGTGGGCGGTGTGGTAGGCGAACCAAGCTTTGGCGTACTCGCTCTCCTCGGTCGGATCGATATAGGCGAGCTTGGTCGCTCGTTCGAGAATGGTCATTGCTTTTGTCCACTTGACACTGAGGAGTCAGCTCTGATCACCCTAAACAGGAAACGCCAAGTAGCTCACTATCGGCTATCATCCTCTACCTCGAGCGAGGAGAAGCGGTACAGATCTCGAACCGTCGTGTCGTCTTTGCTGGTAACGTTGCCCTACGAATGTCAGCCTGGTCGCCACCCATGCAATGAGTACACGTACTGAGGCTATATCTACCAGCGGACGAGGGAAGGGTGTCATAATGTCTTCATCCCGGAGTGCGCTTGGGAAGCCGGTGACAAGAACCCCACATCGTTCGATAGAGTAGACAGCCCAGCTAGAGAGATCAGCTTGTGTACGACCTAGAAAAGGGTCGGCGAAAAGCTTGACTCACAAGGTATGGATGCGCTCAGCGAGCTCGAGCTTGTCCTCCGGCGGCGGCAGGAGGAAGGTCATCTGCCTCAGTAGCGGATTGCGAATGGGTGGCGGTCCGAGCGTGCAGGACGGGATCTGGTGAACACCCGTCGAAGTGACGAGACGAGCAGCTACGCCAGCTAGGATGAAGCCCTGTTGAGATCAGCCAGACTCTACTAGCACGCTCCACAGCAGATCAAGGACCAACCTCATGGTATCGGCCATTTGTATAAGCGTACGCGCTCAGCAGCATGCCCGCTCGCATCCCATCGATCAATCGATCTGGCCGGCTAGTCTGTGACTCTAGAGACCGACAGCCAGCCTGGAAGAACGTTTCCTCCATCGGTGACTTTTTGGGAGCAGCAGTCATACGAGATGCCCAGAGGTACTACCAGAGTCAGTAAAGGGCTCGAACTACATCTCTGGAACTGACCATCGCGTTCAAGAGGGACAAGGCTGGACGACGGCGATCCGTAAAGGTAAGTCGTTGTCGAAAGCGGGGTACAGACATCTCGAAGAATAGTCTAGAATGGGTGAGGAAGACGTTCAAGCTGCGCTAGTCAGCTCTATCCCTCGTTTCCTCGCAGCGGATACTGACAGTTGCTCCCTCGCCGAGTCTGTCAAGCCATCCGGCTCCAACCTCTGCTGTACCAGCGCAGTGCCAGCTCCTTCCGCTTCCCGCCTATCTCGGCTAATGCTCTGCTTCCTCTTGCGAGCTGGTCCATCTTGGCCCTGCACCTTCTCCTGCTCTTTCGCCCTTGCCTTGGGCGGCTCCATTGGCGTAAAAAGGAACTCGCCCAGCCGTGCCGTCAACCCATCCATCGGGTCCACTACTGCCATAGGCGGTACCGTCAATGCCGAGAAGAGCGCGCTGTGCTTGGGCGGTGGCTCATCGTACGTATAGGGTGAGTTGGGATCCACAAACATACTCGGCGGTGGCGCCTCCCCCGGATCTGGAGACGACCGGATGGAGCGGAGAGATCGCGCCGAGTCGACCGAGCTCAGAGTGTGGCTGGGACGGAGCTGGGTAGGAGGTGTAAAGCGAGGAGGGTCGACATGGGAGAGGTTCTGCTCAGGTTCGCGCCGAGGGTAGATATGGGCCGGCTCCTCCTGAATGAACGGCTTGATGTCCAGCTGTTCAGGCAGCTCGACTGCTGATATGGGTGCGGCCGGCTGGCCAGGGAGGGATGTGGTCGTCATCATGGGGTAGGAGGGCGAGTCTTGGATATTGGTCCATGGGGGGAAGCTGAGGGTACCGTACTGGGTAAATTGATGCTGGGTAGGGTCTGAAGGGTGGTTGAAGACGGAAGTATGGGCCGGCGCGGATGAGGCCTGGATGAGCGGCGTACCCATGACCGGTTGGTCGGAGGGGATGGGGAGGGAGTTGAATGGGTAGCCGTACCCGGACGAGCCGTACTGGCGCGGTACCACTCCGTCCGGCGAGGTGCCAAAGCCAGGCGGACCCATGGGCTGGACCGCACGTTGGGGCATGATGTCATAGCCGAGTGGAGGAGGAAAGTCGAAATGATGTGGGCCTGCTGGAGAGACGAAGCTTTCGCTCAAAGATGAGGACGAGGCGGTCCGGTACCCGCTCATGTGAGACGGACCGTATGAGGGCGTAGTGAGGGGGTCTGGATAGCCTAATTGTCAGCTCAATCCCATGTAGATGCAGCTGCACGTACCCATCTCCCCCTCATCCTCATCGTCCGAATCCTTTGGCGGAGGCTGGTACTCGCACTCCTTCTTAAACTTGAGACAATTGGAGCAAGCGGGTCTTTCCGCGTTGCACCGCAGCTTTCTCTTGCGGCAGAACCCGCACGCCATTCCCCTCTTGAGACTCGGCCCCACCGTCCCGTTTGGATACACCCGAGTGGTGGTAGACTGAGGATGGTGCCTATGCCTTGACCTGCCCGCCGAGGGGTGAGAGGGCATCTGGCTCCGCCGAGGGTCGAGCATGGATATAGGAGGTTGAGTCATCGTTCCAGGTAGATGTGGAGGGGCAAAATTTGCGGAGCCGGAGAAGGAGGACTTCGCATCACTGGGTCGAGCCTCGTAGGGCGACGAGAACGCCGACGCGCCATGCTGGGATTGGTGGTATCCCGAGTAGCTGCTTGGCCCGGCCTGTTGATTGTGATAAGGGTGGTACGATAGCGGAGCTGAGGTGGGCAGTCGTACCGACTCTGCAGGATGTGTGGCGTTGATTTGGTCCGCCCCGCCAGCCGAGTCCAGGCCGCCAGGCTGAGGAGCTTGATACGCTTGCTCCAGCCTGTGCCCAGCCGCATCAACGACGGACCCGTCCTCGGGCCGGTATCGAGGAGGTTCAGCCGCATGTTGGAGACGCGGATCCGTCCCGTGCTGCCACGGCTGAGCTGGCTGCATCGCAGAGTTTGCGACTGGCGGAGACTCGAGCGGGCGAGTGAGGGGATGCACGGAGCGGCTGGTGTGCGGCACTTTAAGTCGTGATGAGGATGATAATAGATGGTAGTAAAGCAAAAGGCTGACTTGGCCGCTCTTGTTCGGGCATGTTGGAGTCAAGCTGAGCGATGTGAGACATCTCGGCCGACCTTTGACGCGGCCTCGGTGGATTACACCTCGGACATGCCTCCTCTAGCAATTTCTACGAGTAACTGTAGTTCCTGAACGGCAGCACGATGATCACGAGCCTCGGCCCCCAAGCCACATCCGCCTTTCTAGATCTCAGGTACAGCATGCTACAGCATGGCGCGAGGTCCAATGAGACAGCAAGCTGCGGTCTCGACCAGGCACAGATCGTAGGGAGGAACAAAGTTGGCTACCTGCCGTTCCGGACGCTATTCTCCCTCCGCCGCGGGGGAACCCGGCAAACACCCTGGATCTAGGCCCCAAAGAAGCGTAAACGGCGCATTCCGCAACAGGCACGGCTCAGGCACCGAGCTCAATCCTCCTTTGTCCTCCTTTGATATCCAAGCGAGGTCCAGATAGCATCAGCCCTGTTTCACAGCCAGCACGTGCTCCTGCACAGCTTTATAGGTGATACGATCCAACAAAGAGTCAGCAGGAGTTAGCCCGAGCTTAGGGCTCCGACATGGGTCGACCCACGGTGGCGTGATGATATAGTTGTTGCATGTGAATGTGTCTCGTTGGTCTGAACTGTCTCGATTTGGTAATTCACCGCTCTCATCCTCGACTGCCAAGCTCTCAAAGCTGCCCCAAGCTCACATAGCTATCCAGACTCTCCCGCCATCGCGCCATGACTCGATCGAGCGGGACCTAGCTATCTGCCCGTGTTTTGTTGCTATGAGGATCAGCTATACTCTCTTGACATTGACATCACTCAGGTATGACTCACAAGGATAGCCAACAAGCTCCCCACATCTCCACCCGCCGCGGGCTGGTAGCCCTCCTGATGCTGCTGATTCTGCTGATAGGGTTGTCCATTTCCGTATCCCTGCGACGGCGGCGGCGGCCCCGTTGGGGACATCGGCAGCGCATGGGCGGCGCGATAAGGCGAAGACGGAGGAGGGATACGCGGGTTCGCAGGCGGGACGTAGGGATGATGATGCAGTACTTTATTGGCTTGGAGGAGCGAGCGGACTTCGGGCGGGATACCGTCGCTGATACCACCACCACCACCGCCTCCCGGGGGCGCAGCGGATGGCGCGGGGTAGTCGTAAGAATGCTGGCTAGGAGGACCGCCGTAGGATATGGGCGGAGGTGCGACATATGAGGCAGCCGGTGGGGCATTGTACTGGGGTGCACCGGGTCCGCCGGCATGTTGTGGGGGAGGCTGGTTCCGATTGTTCAGGCGGGGATCGGAGGGTCGAGGTGCGGGAGGGGCAAGAGGGGGTGGACCGCCATTGTGGGGCTGATAGCTGCCGTTCTGGGGAGGATAGGCGGAATTCGGAGCAGCGGGGACGGCGCCACTAAGCGATGCCAGCAGATCCTGGACTTGACGAGCTCGCTCGAGTCGGTCGTCTCCATTCTGGGCTATCAGCTCAGTATCACAACACAGGCCGTGCAAAGCTTACTGTCTGTGGCGGAGCATCGTTATATCTGCCCTGCGACAATCCCTGCGGAGGACCCGGCGGTCCCCTCGGCCCACCTTGGAAGCTGCCCCCAGAACCCCTCCTATCGGGTCCACGATCCGGGCTGCGCCCTCGCCCATCATGAGGCCCATCCCTGTAGCCCCCGGGGACAGGTGGACCGCCATGCCGGCGCCCATCCGGCCCGTCTCTCCCGCCACGGTCGACTCGACTGTTTCTGCGCCCTCGACCTTCCCGTCCTCCGTTTGGTCCATGCCGTCCAGACTGGTTGCTTCCGTTTTGACCCTGGTCTCTGCCGATGGAGATAGGGCTAAGAACGTCAGCTGTGCTGCAAAGGAGCTGCGAGGTGGACTTACAGAGGTGGTGGACCGGCTTGCTCTGTTTCGTCCCAGATCAAGAGCAGCTCGAGCGTTCCATTATTGTATGGACGGCCATTCCGCATGTCGATGAACCTGATTGCTCCTCGTGCGTCGTAGTACTCGACGACTACTTGCCTGAGATACTCAGCATGGTACGCTTCACCCATCCACAGGTGGACTGACTCGGGACTACGGCCAGGCCGGACCGTCTTGATATCGCCGTACTCATTGGCCATCCTCCCCACCTCGTCGATGGTCAGGTATGGACCGCGCAAAAGCGTAGCGACCACCGAGCCCTGCAGGATCAGCTACACTCTCAGGACGTCGAGCCGGCAGCTCAAGCTGACCTGGTTGCTATCCTTGTCTGGAGGGTGCTTTTGATCGTCCTTCCTGGGTAGACTGTAGTGGACGTCAATCTGCAGTTTCAGCTAAAGGCCCTCTCGTCCCGAGGTCCCTAACGTACCCGACGGTCTTTGATCAGTGTATCGTGCATCCCATCTCTCGCTCTCTCAGCCGCACGAAGGTCAAACTGGACCGCGATCAGCTCAGTCCGCATACTGCACGACTGTAAAGCTCACATAGGTGATAAAGATCATCCCACGCTGCTTGACCAAATCAAAGTACGTCTTGATCTGGCCATATCGATCAAAGCTCGCCCTCAGACCATCGATGTCCGCTTCATACTGCCTGTCAGCTAGGCGGAATTTGGGGACTCGGCCTGGACTTGCACTCACACTGACGTTCCGGACGAAGAGAGTCCGGCATTGGCGTTCGAGCTGGGCTCGGTGGTCGGTTGCTCGGGCGTCTCTGCCTGCCCCGTCGGCGGATCGACCTGGTGGGGGTCGCGGACCTGAGAGTAGCCATCAGCTCCGTCCGCCGAGGTTCACATGTGCTGGAGACAGAGTAGAGGATCAAGTGAGGTCAAGCGATCAAACAACCTCGGGACGGCGGATCAAGGCTCAGAATGTGTCCCTTCTCTTCAGGCCGGACAGTCTCCCAGATCACCCGAACACAATCCTCACAAGGAGCGGGGAAGATCCGAAGAAGTGGAAGCGGGAGGAGTGAATTGGCGTATATCGGCCTGTTACAAGCCCGGCCTCACAACGAGCTAGAAGTCAAGCCGGGCGTGCTGCATGCCAGAAGAGCGGCGAGCCGAGGGCTCAAGGAGGGAAAGAAGAAGAGCACAAGGGGGAGAGATTCAAGGACCTGACCAGACAAGACATGACCAGAGGAGCAGAGAATCAAGCTTACGTTCCGGACTTCTCCCTCGCCCTGGCCTCTCAGACTTCGTCGTAAAGTTCTGCCTCGGTCGATCCCGGTCTTGCGCGGCATAGCCATTCACCGAGCCCGAGAATCCTTGATACCGATCATCCGAGCGATCGTAGAAAGGAGGAGGAGGCGGCCGATCTGTGAAGTGGATAGGTGGGAGAGCAGGGTATGACGACTGATTTCGGTTCTGCTCGGGAGAGTACGCCGAGCCATTCTGGGCACGCGGCGGCGGCTGCGAATAGGACGCCCGGCCCGAGTCATAGGATGGACCTGATCCTGGGCCAGGCAGATAGCCGCCCCTTCCGTCTGGCTCTCCATATTGACCGGGAGCACCGGGAGGAGGACGAGCGCCCCCGCCATTGGCCCGGTAGGGCTGGGCCCGCTCAGCCGTGCGATTCATGTACCCGCTGGGACCGGCCTGATCGCCTTGAGGCATCGGCGGCGGCGCGCGAGGTATCGGAGGAGGAGGACCAGTTTGACGTGCTGGGATAGGGGGCGGTGGGTAGGGTGGGTAGTCGATAGAAGCTTGCTGCTGCTGATTGTACGGTGCAGGACCAGGAGGCATGTGCGGGCGATTTGGGGGCTGAGAATTGAAGCCACCACCTTGTGGGCCGCCTCCTCCCGAGCTGCCGTTGTGTTGCGCTGGATAGTGGTTCATCTTGTCATGGCAAGTCAAGGTAAGTAAGGTTGCAGAAGCGAAGCAAATGGCGCTCTCAGCTGGCAGGTTCAAAGAAGGTGGAGGACTCCAGAGTAACCGTGGGAGAATGACCGTTGATTAGCGGGATCAACCCCTTTGATTAGAAACCCCTTTATCAATTACCAGCCAAGCCATTACGATCTCGCACAGACGTCATCACGTCACTCACAACAGTCACACGCACCGCTCTCTAGTCTCCGCTCCCATTCATACCTCACCTTTGTTGCCACCTATCTCACCCACTTGATTAACATCTACACATCCAGCTACCTCCGCTCGCACCTACTCTCACATCCGCTTATTCAGATCGCTACCAGCAAAGATGTCCCGGACCACCTCGTTCAAGCTCGTACTGCTCGGTATGCCTTGTCTCTGAGCATCCCCGCTCGGACCGAGTTTGACTGACAATAACAGGTGAAAGCGCGGTCGGCAAGTCTAGTCTGGTCTTGCGGTTTGTCCGCAACGAATTCTCAGACTTCAGGTGCGCTCGAGCACGACACATGCCTTATGGGGGTTCTGGAGCTAACAGGTATAGAGAATCAACTATCGGCGCCGCGTTCCTCACGCAAACAGTCAACCTGGACGAGAACACAGCAATCAAATTTGAAATTTGGGACACTGTGAGCTGCGGAAGCATCGTTAGCCGCCTCGGGCATGTAGCTGACCCCTCTAGGCCGGACAAGAACGGTACAAGTCCCTCGCACCTATATACTTTAGGAACTCAAATGCGGCTGTGATCGTATACGACATCACACAACCACCAGAGGTGCGTGCAGATACTGATTCGTCTGCGTCCATACTATTGGTTCATGAGACATTCATACATGTGCACAACTGACCTGCAGACCTCATTCGAGAAAGCCAAATCATGGGTCCGCGAACTCCAGCGTCAAGCCGACCCTTCCATCGTCATCATGCTCGTCGGGAACAAGGCGGATCTGGCTGCGAACCGCAAGACTCCTAAGGAGATGGGAGAACAGTACGCACAGGAGGAAGGATTGCTATTCGCGGAGGCGAGCGCAAAGTCGGGTACCGGTGTCGAGGAGCTCTTCATGGAGATTGGTGAGTACTGCCCGGGATGCGTATTTCACCGAGTTAAGCTGATAGAGTAGCGAGGAAATTACCCACCAATCCCCTACCTCAGCGGGCAGCACCGGGCGCCAAGGGCGTCAAGGTACAGGGCCAGGGGGAGCAGGGCCAGTCGGCATGTACCTGCTAGGCGGTTTTCTCAAGGGCCAGTCGGGCGAGCGGACCCACTCCTGCTCGCGCTGTCCCACTTCGAGATGATGCGGGAGGTGAAGGGTTTCGCCACGAGTTGTATTGTACCCATACGAGACTCCAGTCGTCTCATCCCCTAATATATCGCCAGTACTTGGCGGCCGATGTACATGTTGTAAGCTCGTCAAAGTCGACCGTGGCAGCACAGTGACGGATTGGATTCCCTTGGCAGAGATCAGTACGCGGTACAGCTATCAGTACAGCACCTATTGTATCTGCTCTCTAAACAGCCAGACTCACATCGTCCCCAAAGGCATGCCGACCTGCTGCAACTTGTCATGTCAGCGCAGCTGTCAGCGCGTCGCGCGCGTCAGCCAGCAGCGTGGTGCGAAGGCCGGGCCGAGACCTTTTACGAGATGTTGGAAATGCTGCGTGCCTTCGGCCTGACAGAGGCCGAAAGCCAAGCGCTGCGAGCTGAAAGCGAAGGGCAGTATGTACAGTACTTCTACTGTATACGGGCTTGCGAGCGGTCGAGGTAGCCAAAAGATATCGAACGTACCAGCATATGGTGTCGAGAGAAAAGACTGTCAACAAACCTTCTGAAGTCCGCTGTTCGGCCGCATGCATGATATCAGCGGGCGAGAGAACGCCACCAACGGCGAAATTCTCCGCCACAAGTCTCCGATCGTGCCGGACGTGCCGTATTCTTCAAACTTTAATCCACAAGCAGAGACAGAGAGAAGACTCGACCGAAGCCTGCTGGCCAGAGTCATCTCGGCCCTTGGCCAAGTCAATTGCTTGGTCTGTCAAATTTAACAACATCTCTTTTGTGTACAGCCCTTCCAAATTCTGCTCGACTGGTATTCTGTGGTGGTCTACTGTTGTCTTGTCGGTAGATCATCCCGACCAAACCCGCCTCGCTGGGGATTTTATTTACGCTGCGAGCGATCAACGTCACCGCTTCCGCTCCACCCTTGTCCCTCGCCGACGCGCTTCGCTGCGGCATCGCTTGTTCTCACTTCGTTTCATCGTATCACCTCTTCAACACCGCCAACCCGCCTTCCAGCGCCGTGCTATCGGTGAGAGCCATGCACTTGACATAACGCGTGGCGGCGGAAAACGAAAAACGGACGCGGGATGGGCGGGACGTCGAAAGTCTTCGCGGCCGTCTCTTGGGTTGCGCGGCAGACCAATGCGGCCACTGGCGAAGCGTCCGATCCATGGGCCATAGGACAGTCCGGGGCGGGCTCAACGACCGCCGCAGACCTACTCAGGAACTTTCGATGGGTCAGTATAGTTGATGAGGTCATACTTGTAAGTTCCCCCACTCTGCAGATCGCAATCGCGCTCGGACCCCTTTCACCCTTGTCCCTTGCCGATAAAGGGGGTCTAGTCAAAGTTCCACGCGATGTGAAACGCAATCTAATCTTCGATAGATCTTCACTGTTATCGGCTCCTTCTCCATCCTCGCGTCGATGTTCTGGCTCGAGTACAAAGGTCGGCCAGCGACAACGCGCATGCGGATCGTCCAGTCCCTCGTCCTTTCCGACCTCATACTCGGGCTCGTCGGCATCGTCGGAACCTCTTTGGTCCTCTCTGGCAAACCCCTCGAGGCCGGCACAGGCGCCTGTAGCGGGCTAGGATACTGCCTCGTCGTCGTGCTCTGGACGGAACATTTATGGACTCTCATCCTCGCCATCGCAACATATATGATCCTCATCTACGTACGGCATGTCCCACTCTTGCTGCGTGACCTGCTGATCCTTCGCAGCCCTTACATCCCGCAACTCTTTGGCTCGAACGAAGATGGTACTACCTGTGGCTCCTTGTTTGGGTCATCGCGGCTGCCATGGGTATCATCGGATACTTCGTCTTCGGATACTTCCCGAACGGAGGAATCTGCTACTACGGCCAGAACTCTGGCCTATACGGAGAGCTTATTCAGTTTATACCTCGGTATGTCCTCTGCCTCCTTTAAAAGCGAAGCTGATGACCAGCGCGACGGTCATGCTTCTCATCACTATCCTTTACGCCCGCCTCTTTGTCTTCCTCCGCCGGCCCGACCGTATCCGCGCTTCGTTCTCCGACTCCTCCAATGGCGAGATGTACGAATCCAAGCCGCAATCCCGCGCACACTACATCTTTCGCAGCCGCAATCTCGCCGCGCTCCTCAGTCGGGGTCGGGCGGGATCAAAGGGGACAGATAGCTCGGACAAGGGACCGCTACATCCCCCAAACGAAAAGAGCGTACGGATCGAGGTGCCGTCCGCTAGATCTAAGGCTACACCTGCAGGCCTGCGGTCGACTGGCGAGTCTAGCCTCGGAGCGCCTACGCGACCATATCACCTCCCCACACCCCCTTCTACGCCGGACGAGCCGGCCCCATGGGAGCAGGTCCAACTGCCCATCTTCCACGTTGACGGAGAGCGATTCGGTGGACGCTCGGCCGGGGGAGGAAGCAACGAGCTACGCAAGGAGACGAGCTCGATCTGGAGTGGATGGAAAGGGATGGGGAAGAATGATAGGGAAAGGGGCAGGACAAGGGGTGGCGAGCATCGCCCATCCGTCACGTCGTCATCCTCGCCGCCGCCGACCGCGCGGTCAAACTTCGGCTCGGTATCGACTGCATCGCGAGATCCGCCCGGCTCGCCAAAGTCCGCTACTTTTGCAAGTGGCGCCTTCCCGCCCACGGCGGAAGATGACTTTGAGCCACCCTCGCTGCACGGGGATGTCGGTCCGGACCGCACGCCCACGCAGACACGTTATAATGCCGGGGACGTATGGCAGACGGCCCCAGCGGACCGGCAGGGGTCAGTATCTTCCTCCCTTGGGGAACGGGTCGAGCGGTTCCGCAAGCCGTCAGCCGTTTCTGCATTCGAGTATCGTGTGACAGAGGAGCCGGAAGTGCCAGACACGGCCTCCAATTCCCGTCGCGGGTCGGGCGCCATACAAAACGATGTCGGTCGGCTAGCAGCCACGCCCAATGGCAGCCAAATCGAGGAGGAGAAGGCTGGATACCCCTACCCTGGAACGGCTGCGACCAGCAGCCAGTCCACCTCTCGACCAAGGCAGCACCAGAGGTCGGCGACGGGCGACGAGGAAGATCGGGACGGAGAGGAGGAGGGCGATGATGACTGGGATCTGATGCGGATGCTGCAGGCTTCGGCGCCGGCGGCGGATCCGTCCCGCTCGCATGTGGAGGATCAGGTGGAATTTGTCGAGGAGAGCATGGCGAGCTATCTGAATCGAAAGACTGCTTTGTTGATGTTGTGGTTCCCTCTTGGTGTAAGTCGGACGTCTACGGATGCAGGGATGAGCTGATCAGAACAGTATGTTTTGTTGTTTTCAGTATCTCTGGTTCGGATCATCTGTACGTGACTGCTACTGGAAGATATGGACTGGGAGCTGACCGGTCCAGATGACTTTGCTGGATCACCGCCAATAGAGCTTCGGGCGCTATCTAGATGGTTCATCTTTTCTCAGGGTGTCTTGGACGCCCTCATCTACGGCTTGGTAGAGTGGCAGTAAGTCACCTACTCGCGGACCATTAAGCCAAGCATGAGCTGACGAGCAGCACCAAGCGAGTCGTCCGGAAACGTGTGCGCAAGGGCACCTTCAATACCCCCTCGGGGTCTCGCAACGCCGGCGGAAGCAACGCCGGTACCGGCTCCGCACTTGGCGCACTGCGCGCCATCGGTCAAGGATCTCGCGGTCTCTTCTCATCTCGCGGCTCCGTGCAGGCAGGCGTCAACGCCCCGACCCGGAGTGGAGGCGGTATTCCAGTCTCTGATCGAGGAGGGCTTGGGAACAGCCAGACCCGATCGAGAATGTCTAATCGGACACCTACGACCTCCTTCATCCCTGCTATCCCGGAAGGCCATTCGCTGGATCGTGAGATAGGCGAGGAGAGTGAAGGCGATGGGGATCTCGAGGTGACGCCGCGTCGGTCAGGCACGGGGTCCGGGTCGGGGTATGAGGTGGAGGAGGACTCGACGAGGAAGGGGAGCACGGCGAGTGAGATGGGGACGGTGTTGGAGGTGGTTCCTGGAGGGACAGAAGAGGATGGGCGGAAGAGGGAAAGGAGGAAAGAATGATGGTGATCAAAAGAAATCTGATAGTCTGGACAATGTATTAGGTGCCTCTGGATGTGGCGTCCCGTCCGAGGATAAGGTAAAGATATACATGATGAGGTCGGGATACAAGTCTACGGATCTACAGTTCTACTGTCTATACCCACACGGCGCCCTTCTCTCACCCACTCCTCCCAGCATCGCCTACCCCAGCCACCCGCTGTACTTCTGCATCAATGTCTCGTAGATCAAGAAGATCATCGCCGAGCTCGGTGCGCTCCGCATGACCGTCAACCCACACCCCGCATACAGCCCCTTGAGCCCTCTCGTCCGCCATATCCTCTGCCCCATCGCCACGAATCCCAGTCTAGGCTTATCCGGATTGAGCTCCGCCCATGTCTGCACCGCCGACTTGACGCTATCGGCCGGGAAGAGCGTCACGTTGTACATGACCCCAGCCATCGCGCCCGACATCATAAGCTCGTACATTGCCAAGTCGCCCTTGGTCAATGTCCGCCTCTCGAGCGAGGGGGTGCTATCGAGCGCCTTTTGCCGCCGTGCGATGAAGAATTTGGCGGCGACTTCGTAGGTCGTGAACCAGGCTGCGGAACCGCCTGTTTCCCGTAGGAGCGTACCGGTCTGACCGAGCCAGAGACCGCGGAATCCGTGTGCGCGCAGAGTGCCGAGAGCGAGTGCGACGGGGCCTTGGAGGGGTGGTAGTGTTTTGGGGAGGGCGGGAGGTATTGAGCTGGAGCTGGAGCTAGCGGCGGCGGAGCCGAGCGTCGCAACGGCGACTTCTTCCCGAGCGAGCATCTGCACTTGCATCCGACACTTGATGAGTTCAATAGGGGTGCTGCACATCAGCTTGGTGTTTCCTGCTCTGCTGTATAGTGCTCACAGGACAAAGCTAGCAGCGGCACCCGCACCCGCAGCAGCCATAGCTAACTCCCCGTTACTCAGCTCCCGCCGCTTCCCCTTCTTCTTCTCCGACATGTGCGCCTCGTCCGCCAGCCTAGACCCCGACATCGGATCCGCCGAACGCGCCGTGGTCGGGTGAGGGTTTAATCGAATGATGAGGTCTTGACATTTGTTGTATACGAGGAAGAGGGTGGCATTTTCGGCGGCGGCACCGAGGATGGGCATGGAGATACCCTGGATGTCAGCTCACATACCCTTACTAGTGAAGCATCGGCGAGCTCACTCTGTATAACCCTTTCAGTCCTTCGTGATTATAGGTCTGCTTGAAGCAGTCAAAGGGACCTGTGAAGGCTAATGGGCGGTCGGTATGCTGGGACTGCAGGCGGACCTTGACTGGGATGATCAGTCAAGCTCTCATCCTGAATTTGAGCATGAATATCAGACATACCCAGGTCAAAGGGATGCTCGAATACCTTGGCAGTCATCCCTGCAACCTGTGCCATCAGCTCATGTCCCTAGAAGGAAGTGCGAGGGGGCAGCTCACACTGCCAAAGACGATGCTGTTCAGCGCGCTCGTCGCTTCGTCGGATTCTGCCATGATTGGCAGGCTTTCTGATGGATCCTGCGAGCTGCTCTATAGTGTATAAGGCGGTAATCAGCGATCGAAGGACCTTTGATGAGTGATGAGACAAGGTGAAGTATTTTGCGGCTTCGCTGAAGCTTGCAGCTGGTGATCAAGCGCGTTCCTCTTGAGCATGCCGTAATCATCAACCTAAAACGTGGCGACGCAGCGAGTGAGCGGCTTCGGCTTCCGTCGGATCGGATCTCTTCGGCTCGGTCTCGAGTCGCTCGCTCGACCGCAAGCAAGCAAGCAAGCCATCCGCTATGGCTCGACCCACCACGTTTTATATCTCAGCAAGCTCACGCGTCTCAACTTGACTGACTCTACCTCTGACCAACGATTGGTACAATAAAAGCACGAGAAAACATGTCAAACTTCCTCCGTACGGGTCGCAAGGTGAGTTCACGGTCCAACAGCGGTCGTCTAACGGAGCTGACCAGCCCTGCAGATCATTGCGATTGGTCGCAACTATGCGGACCACGCTAAGGAGCTTGGAAACGCCATCCCAAAAGGTCAGCTGATAACGCTCCGACGCCGGCCGCCAGCTGACATAGCCAGAACCCTTCTTCTTCTTGAAACCTACCTCGTCGTTCATCTCCCCTGGAGAAGGACCGGTCGAGATCCCCAAGGGCGTTGTGATGCACCACGAAGGTGAGCTTTGAGTGTAAAATGCGATCCAGTGAGAGGCTCCCCGCTGATGCTATAAGTGGAGCTTGGTGTGGTCATTGGCAAGAACGGAAGGGATATCCCAATCTCAGAAGCGGACTCGTACATCGCTGGCTACAGTACGTCTATGCAGTCTTCACTTCAGACTGCCACTCAGCTGACTCGATAGCACTTGCGGTGGATCTTACTGCTCGGAATGTCCAGGATGCTGTCAAGAAGAAGGGTCTCCCCTGGTCCGCTGCTAAGGGCTTTGATACGTTCTGCCCTATCGGGTAGGTCCAGCCCGAATTGAGCCTTAAGCCGACTGGCGCTGATCTGCAGCCCTTTCATCCCCAAAGCAAAGATTACCGACATCGCTCAGGTCGGTCTTCAGTTCTCAATCAACGGCGCTGTCAAGCAGAGCGGCACGGCAAAGGACATGATCTTTGACGTTCCCCACTTGATCTCGTTTGTGTCAGGTATCATGAAGCTCGAGGTACGTCACGTCTCTACTTCGCCAAAATCGTCGTCCATCTCCGGCACAGAGCTGACTCTACCAGGAGGGTGACCTGATCCTGACTGGTACCCCAGCCGGCGTGGGGGCTGTTGTTGCCGGCGACAAGTTCGAGGCCAAGATGACATATCCAGGAATCGACGGCGAGGTACTGGACCAGTACGAGTTTGAAGCCGTCGACCGAAAGGGGCTGTACGAGTTCAAGGGATGAAATGGTAAAGTCCGTCATGCACCACCTGCCGGCTCGGCGGCGATCGTTTATGGGGTTTAGCCCTTTGGTGAGCCTCGACCGTTCTACTCCTTTCACATCTTGCCCCTCGAGCTTTGAAACTCGATGCGGATACTCCGACGCCGTTCCTTTCTCCTATAACGGGGCTATGGGATCGTTGGCGTACGCACACACCATGCCCAGTCTCAGACGTCTGCCTCTTCTATCACACTTTCTCACTTCTTCCCACTCATCACTCATCACTTATCACTTATCACTCGTCTGACAATGCCTCTCAAGCCCGAAAGCTCTCCACAGAGAATGCCCTCCGCCGATACGCCAGGCTCCACACCGGAAGTCGGCGATGAGCCGAAGGTTGAGCCCGACCGCGTGCCGAATGGAGGGTACGCCTGGGTCATCGCTGCCTGTATCCTCGCCTCCAGTGCTGTTACTTTGTTACTTGGGGTGCGTAGAGCTCGGCAGGTTCTCTGACCTTGATGGCATATGCTGATAAAGTAGGAAACAACACGACGTACGGTGTCTTCACCGCCTACTATCTCGAAGACAACTACTTCAACGCCTCGATTCACGACTACGCCTGGATTGGGGGCCTGAGCGTGGCTGTCGCTCTCTCGCTCGCGCCGCTTGCCAATTGGTTGACGCAGGTCAGCAACTATCGTGTCGCGCTTCTCATCGGTGAGCACCTCTCGCATGGCGCTGTGATATTTGAGCTGATACTCAGGCGCGACCTGCGTGGTTCTCGGCCAATGCATGGCGGGACTTTGTACCAGCTTCGCCCCGTTTCTTGTCTGCCAAGGCGTCGTGTTTGGTGCTGGTAAGTCCTCACTACCGCTTGTGTAGAATACAGCTGATCATTCAGGTCTTGGCTTCGTACTTGTACCCTCGCAGCCGCTTCTCTCACACTGGTTTGACACCCGCTTATCACTCGCGCAAGGCGTGGCGGCGGCGGGCTCAGGCCTAGGCGGTCTGGTCCTCGCGAACACAACGCGGGCAATCCTGGAGCATCCGAGGCTAGGCGTCAAATGGGCTTTGATCATCAATGGTGGGATCTCGGGGATGGTGCTCTTCCCGTTTCATTGCCTTGCTACGGAGCCGACACAAGGCTGTGGGCGCACGGTCGGTACCATATCAGGCGAAATGGTTTGTTCACCCGGGTTTCGTATGGGTTCTGCTCTGGGCCTTCTTTTCCAGTAAGTCCGCTCGCCTACTTCATCGCCCTTTACTCGCTTGCTTCCTTCGCCACTTCCGCCCTAAACCTCTCCCAGACTCAAGGCGCGGCGCTACAGTCCATCCTCGCCGCTGGTCAGATGTTCGGTAGACCAGCTTGGGGATGGCTTCTCGACAAAGGCGGCCGACTCAACATGACGATTCGCTGCTATCTCCTCTGCGGCCTCTCGACATTGTGCATCTGGCTTCCCGCTCGCTCGTTCGCCGTCCTCGCGGTATTCGCCTTCATTCAGGGCGTCACCGGCGGGACCGTATGGGCAGCTTCAACACCGATCGGAGCTCTGATCGTGGGCGTCAAGGACCTGCAGTCGGCAATGTCGATCTTCTGGCTCGTGCTCGTCATCCCAGCTCTGACTGGACAGCCCATCGCCATCGCTTTGCTCGAGTATTCGCGGAACAAGCTGGGAAGGGACGGGCCGGAGGCGTACTACATCAGCATTGGGTTCTGCGGAGGCGTCGCAGTGTTCAGTGCGGCGCTGCTGTACGGGGCCAAGCGCCATGTGCAGCAGGGGAGCTGGAAGGTGTGGCAGAAGACCTAGCGCATTGCAGCAGCGGGGGCGGGGGCGAGAATCGTGTGCATGCCTGCTTTCTATTTGCTTCGACTGACGAGTATGAGTGTTTAAAGTGGCGATGCACTTGCCTTACACTTGCCCTGCTGCCTCAGATCGCATTCACAAGTCTGCCACTTACAGCCACCTCTGCTGACATCCCCCACCCCGCCAACGCACACAGCCGAGATTGCCGGCACTCTTTCAAGTGACTCGAAAATAGCCCTAGCTTTCTTGCTGTTGTTTGTCCTTCATGTAGCTCAGGCTCGAGTTGCCTACACCCTCGAGAGCGCGCCCGACAGCATAAGCAAGGACGTCGGCAGCTGCACGTCCTACTCGAACGTCGCATCGTATCGCGCATGATTGCTGATCGCTCGCAAAATGTCGACAGCCCGATCAGCCCCTGTCGAGAGCACCAACGCTGCGGCTACTGGCCTTTCCGAGCCTATACCGCTCCCAGATAGCGCCAAAGAAGACATCCATACGGCTGAGCTTCCACAAGAAGTAGATGTCATACCGAATGGGGGTTATGGATGGGTCGTTGCTGTCTGTATTCTCTGTTCGAACGCTGTCACCTGGGGTGAGTTCTGCCTTCACCTGCTCGACTTCTGACGGGGATCAGACTGATCGTGTAAGGTAACAATACGACCTATGGAGTCTTCACGGCGTACTACCTTCAAAACAACTACTTCAACGCCTCGGACCTCGACTATGCCTGGGTTGGCGGACTGAGCGTCGCCGCTGCGCTGATCCTCGCACCGCTGGCGAATTGGTTGACGCAAAGAACCAACTACAGGGTGTCCTTGTTCATCGGTGAGTCCAGCGCTGTCTCCACATAGTACGAGAGCTGACTTCTCAGGTGCTAGTTTGGTCGTACTGGGCCAGTGCCTAGCTGGGATTTCGACCAGCTTCGGGCCATTTCTCGTCTGTCAAGGCCTGGTCTTTGGAGCAGGTGTGTCCGCTCAACTCCACGATTGAAAGTCTTAGCTGATTGTCAGGTCTTGGACTGGTCCTCATTCCCTCCCTCCCTCTTCTCGCACACTGGTTCGACACCCGCCTCGCTCTCGCCCAAGGCCTCGCAGCGGCCGGCTCAGGCCTAGGCGGTCTCGTCCTGGCCAACACAACTCGTGCGGCGCTCGAGAACCCGCGACTAGGCGTCAAGTGGGCGTTGATCATCAATGGGGGTATATCGGCTGCGGTGTTGTTCCCCGCAATAGCGTTGTTGAGGGGGAGGCATAAGGCCGTCGGGGCGAGATCAGCGCCTTATGAGGCCAAGTGGTTTGTGCACCCTGGCTTCGTCTGGGTACTGCTTTGGGCCTTCTTCGCGAGTAAGTCATCACATTACCATATCGGACTATTGCTTGGAGTGGTCCGAGCTGACAGCCAGTGATCGCCTACTTTATCGCCATCTACTCCCTCGCATCTTTCGCCACATCCGCACTCGGCCTCTCTCAGGGCCAAGGCGCCGCCCTTCAATCCATCCTCTCCGCTGGCCAAATGATCGGCCGACCCGCGTGGGGTTTTCTCCTCGACAAAGGCGGCCGGATCAACATGACCATCGTCTGCTATATCGCCTGCGGCCTCTCCACACTCTGCATCTGGCTACCCGCGCGCTCATTCGCCGTCCTCGCCGTCTTTGCGTTTATCCAGGGCGTAACAGGCGGCACAATCTGGTCTGCGTCAACGCCTATCGCTGCCAGGGTCGTAGGCGTCAAAGATCTCCAGTCGGCCATGGCGATCTTCTGGCTGGTCCTCGTCCTTCCGGCGCTGGTCGGTCAGCCAATAGCCATTGCGCTCCTCCAGCACTCGACGGGCACGTTGGGGAGACAAGGAGCCGAGGCGTACTATATCAGTATAGGCTTTTGCGGGGGTGTGGCCCTCTTCAGCGCGGCGCTGCTGTACGGGGCTAAGAGACATCTACAGGGGAATTGGAGACTCTGGCAAATTACTTAAGTCCAGTAGACTACTGTATCTTGGACCACCTGTTGTAACAGTATGATTGTACCCGGTTCTTGGTTGCCCTTCCTTATGACCTCGTCCAGTCCTGCAGCATCCAACGGTCCTTGACTGCCTCAGAGCTCAGCATGAGACACATTACCGGCTACTACCGTTCGGACTCCCCACTTACGAGTACCCCACTTCGGGTATAGCGTCTCTCTTCGGGTCGATCCCTTCCCGCTTCGCTCCTCTTTAGCATGTCACCGGCCAAATCATCCCGGTACCAGTCACCTGACCGACTGATACGGAGCCATACCGGGGTCGAGCTCGCAGCTATATTTAGACAGGGCATGGCGAGCCCCACCCGCAAGGTCCCTCCTTCCGTCCTCACTCAACCTTCCGCCGGTCCTCGCAGAACGCCCATCAATCGCTCGACTCTAATCGCCATGACTTCCATCAGCGTCCTCCTGTTAGGTGTACTGCTCCGCACATACCTTCAGCCCTCGGCCGGTGTGCTTGCGTGGAATGACCTCCCTTCTCAGGCGCAGTATATCGATCTGCGAGCCAACAATGTGTTGAGCTCCGTCCCTCCGTCGACCGTCTTCAACGGGACTTCCGTGAGCCTCCCTCCTTTTGCCCTTGCGCACCCCTGATACTGACCTGCCCAGCTCTTCATCCCCCCCAACTCTACCAGGCAATCCCTCATTGACCGCCCTTTCCACGTCTACCACCCCGACTTCCTCTCCATCATCGGCTCCAACCCCAGCTTGACCATCATTGCCCAAACGTCAGGCAATCCCCTCTTCCACGAAGCGGTCGTCTGGTATCCACCCACAGACGACGTCTTTTTCGTCCAGAATGCGGGAGCTCCGGCGGCTGGGACCGGTCTCAACAAGTCAGCTATCGTGCAAAAGGTGAACTTGGGTCAGGTCGGGCAGGCACTTGCGGCTGGCTCAAGCCGGAATGTCAGTGGTCAGGTCACTGTCCAGGTGGTCAATACCACAAAGCAGGTCGTGAATCCCAACGGTGAGCCCTTCACCTCACGTCTTCTTAGGCTGAGCTGATGGCATAGGTGGGATCAACTACAAGGGCCAGATCGTCTTTACGGGCGAAGGGCAAGGTCCTGATGTCCCCTCGGCTTTGTATCAAGTCAACCCGGTTCCCCCGTACGAGACCAAGGGTGAGTCTACTCTATCACCTCATGAGAATGATGCTGACCATTTAGTCATCCTGAACAACTACTTTGGCCGACAGTTCAGCTCCCTCAACGACGTCGCGGTCAACCCGCGCAACAAGGAGCTCTACTTCACGGATGTTACTTATGGGTATCTCCAGAACTTCCGCCCTCCCCCTGGACTGCCGAACCAGGTGTACAGGTTCAACGAGGGGACGGGTGCGGTAGGTGTCGTCGCGGACGGCTTCAACCTGCCCAATGGTTTGTCGACATTGACCAGGCAGTACCGCAATACCGCTGACGCCCTTCAGGTCTGACCTTCTCGCCTGATGGATCACGAGCATACGTCGCCGATACCGGAGCCAACGCCGGATTCTGGGGCTGGAACTACACTCGTCCCGCTACCATGTAAGTCCTCCTCGACCCCGACTCCCAGCTCTCCTGCCTGAAGCTGATCTACAGCTACGCCTACGACGTCAACTCCGCAGGTGGCTTCTGCAACCGCCAAACCTTTGCCTATATCGACTCTGGCGTCCCCGATGGAGTCCACTGCGACTCGGCCGGGAACGTGTACGCGGGATGTGGGGACGGTGTCCACGTCTGGAACCCGTCAGGAATCCTGTTGGGCAAAATATACCTTGGCGAGGGATCGGCCAACTTCCAGTTCGCGGGCAAGGGGCGGATGGTCATTTGCGCCGAGACGAGGCTGTACTATGTCACATTGGGGGCGGAAGGGGCGGCGATCACGGATTATGACTACTCGAACATGTACTGAAGGAAGCGATTTCGTCCTGTAGACGAGAGAAGGGAAAAAGAAGGATATCAAGTATAATGCCGATAGGTGAGCGGAAGGGATATTCAGGTTCTTGATATAAATGCAAATCAAATGGCTACAACTCGTCCCTTACTCTTGCCTCATCGAACTCGTCATCCCCCTCCTTGCCCTTCGATGCCCTTGTCCGGCCCGAGAACTCTCTCACCGCCTTGATGATCATCTCCCTCTCCTTATCCGCCAAATCGTGCCCGCCCTCCCCAGCCGCCTGTATCGCCGCCTGGACCTCCGTCTTCGCCTCCCCTAGTATGGTCTGCAGCATCGCCTCCGTATCGAGCACCATCGCCGCATTGCCATCCTCGTCCTCCTCGATCGAGATGAACATGACTTCCTGCTCGCGTCCTGCTACGTCTGCTTGGTCCCCACTGCCGCGCACGGCGTCCTTGGCGGACCCCGCCCCGCCCAGCTGAGCCTGCTTGCTCTCATACGCCTTCTTGAGCAACTCCTTCAGACTCGGTCCCTCGCTATCCGCGATATCCCCGCCAATCGTCGACTCCGCCTCCAATCCCGGCGGCCGGAGGCTTGGCAGCTCCCCCAGATCCTCTCGTTCCCGCCATGCGCGGTACTCCTCATCCTTCATAACCTGCCGACACTGGATGCCCGCCGGCTCCACATCCACCTTCTCCGGCCGGAACCCCGGCAGAGAGCAGAGGTGCGGCGAGTGGATGATCAGGACGTATTGGCAGATAGCCAGTTCCTTGATCAGGTAGATCTGGTCATTGGTCGTCATACTGCAGTGGAATTGCACTTCCGTCTCGCGTGGCCGGCCCGTTTTGTCGCACCGTGTCCCGTCTGACCAGTTTTGTACGAGATAGCGATTTGCGCCGCTCAAGGAGGAAGAGATGGCGGAGGAGGGGTGGGCTACCGAATCGGCCCGATCGACGGAATGACCGCCGTCTACTGGAGTGTCCGCCTTGGGCTTGCCAGCTTGAGCTTGCGCTGCTTTGGCTTGAGGGAGGGAGGAGCGAGCTTGCTTCCGAGGAGAAGGGCGGGCCTGCCCGAGGGTGTAGGCATCGTAAGTGGGGTCTTCCTCTGGGACGTAACCGCCTGGAGGGTGGGGGTGTGTATGGGGTGCTGAGCGGAATTGACGAAGGTGAGAGTCGTGGCAGTACCTGGAGCATCAGATCAGGTTGTCATATCATGGCTGCCAGCGAGGCGATACTCACGCATAGGTGAACCAACCCTGCTTGGCATATAGGCACTTCCCCTCCAGATGGCTCAGGGCAGACCAAGCCTGTAACGGATCGATCTCCTCATGCACCGGCTCCACCTCGGCCTGGACATTCTGCTCCGCCCGTTTCGAAGCAGAAGGCATGAGGCAGAGGTATGGCTGCGTCTCGTTCGACGCCGGGTTCTTCAATGCCATGCGGATGAGCTCGAGCCGCTCTGCTTCCTTTGTCGTCAGCTCCGCGGCAGCCAGAAAGCGTATGACGAAGCTTACAGCTGGCGCCCAATCTGCCGATCCGTCCCCTAGCTGCTGCATACCCGGCGAGCCTGGTCTGAAGCGCACCCACTCCTCTTCCCTGCGGATCCCTTCCGACTGACTCCGCTTTGCCTCGCTCTCAGCGACAGGGAGGTGGTTCAGGAATTGAACCTCGAATTTGGGAAAGGCTTCGAGGTCCCGTAATTCTGACGAGCCATGGCGGATGCCAAGGACTGGGTGGAGGATTGAGAGCGCTGAGAGGTAGATGTGTAAGTTGCGCATGGTGAGGTGAGGGGTAAGGTAAGATCTAAGCTGTAACCTATACCTTTTGGCTGCCATCGTGGAGGACCTGAGGAATATACGGTATATGCTGATGCACGGCGATGTCCGCTGGCATGGAGTTTACGGCATCTATTGACGCGTTGGATTGACGCGTCGAGGGAGGCGATTTCGCGACCTTGCACTCTGCGAATACCCATCCTACAAGTACCCTGCTAAGCCTACGCAGACAACATGTTCAAGGCCGAAAAGATAGGCGGTAGGAACGTCACAGCTTCAGCATCCACTTCAGATGTGAAGCTGCACTCAAAAGCATCAGAAGCATCAACACCCTCGCGCTACCCTCACCGCTTGAATTTGTAGGTGTTCCGGTGACCGACGCAAGACGGGGCTTACGAGCAGCTACGACCGTCCGCCCGTCCTCGACATTACTCTGGAAGAGTTCGAGACATGCGCTATAGATCGCCTTCGTGTACTGGCGCATATCGAATCACTCAATCATCGGTCGCTGCCGGCGCCGCAGTTCAGCGCAGCTGTCGCTACCTACGTCAAAGCACACTTGCCCTTGAATAGCAACTCGGCGAGAAGCGCCAATCTGGAAGAAGAGAGGAGAAGGGATGAGATAGGGCATTGGGTGTTACGGCTGGCGTTCAGCAGAAGGTACGCTCTTGATCTTCACATCACCGCAGTATCCAATGCTAACAATGTAGTCCGGACCTTCGTGCGAGATTCATCCGGTCCGAGCTCTCGCTCTTCCGCGAACGCTTCACTTCTGATGATCTGAATGAACGGAATACGTTCCTTCGGTCGATGAAGTTCAATTGGGAGGAAGTGGGACCTACGGAGAAGCAAGAGTTGAGGGAAGACCTGATGGCATGTATGCCATGGGGTAAGGAAAGCAAGAAGAACGATGCGTTCAACGCGGAGAAGTGGAACAAGGTACGTGGTGGGATCCGAAGTAAAGTATGGGAGCTAACGAGTGCAGGTCCCTTGGTATACCGTTCCGGACCTAATCGGCAGTCGGCGAGTCTTTGTCAAAGGCGGGATGGCGTATGTCCCCAACAGCTCGCAGATCAGCTTGGTCTTACAGGCATACTCGGCCAGATTAGAGACAGCACTCGAGGTGAGCTGATTGTCGGCATCCGTCTGCGTCATCAAGACACACAGCTGATATACAAGCTTACCGCCAAAAACCTCCCGCGGCTAGACGAGGACGAGCGTCTCGGACCCGTCATTGACCACCTCGCTTCGTCCTTCCTCTCCGGTCTCGCTGCTGGCGATTATCAACCCGCAGACGGAACTTCTGGGGCCGCCGTCACAGCCGAGATGGTGGACGATCTCGCTCGGAAACACTTCTCGCCATGTATGCGGAATCTCTACGAGCGGTTGAAGCGGGATCACCATATGAAGCATTTCGGGCGGCTTCAATTGGGGTTGTTCCTCAAGGTGTGTAGCAGGTGGCTTTTAGGTATAGCGGGCCAGGAGCTGATGTAGGCAGGGGATCGGGCTGCCTTTGGAAGAGGCCGTGATATTCTGGCGGAGAATGTATGGGTCCAGTATGACGGACGATAAGTTCAACAAGGAGTATCGCTACAATATCCGCCACTCGTATGGGCAGGAAGGGAAGCGAGCCAACTATCCACCAAAAAGGTGAGCTTCATAGCGCCGGCAGGTGTTGCGCGACAGGTCAGCTGACTCCTGCAGCTGTCAACAGATTCTCACGACCAACCAGCCCGGCACGCAAGACTCGCACGGCTGTCCATTCCGCCACTTCTCCCCCGACAACCTCGCCACCTTCCTCGTATCCTCCTACCCCACGCTCGACCGCTCTTCGGCCGAAATGCGGGATATCCTCGATTCGGTCAAGAATTCACACTACCATGTTGCGTGCACGAGGGTGTTTGAGGTGACGCATGGGCTGAAGAAGGGGGATGGGCTGGGCAAGGACGGGGAGACGGTCAGCCACCCGAATCGATATACGGAGCGGAGTCGGGAGATTGAGGCGGATAGGCTGGGGCTGGTCAAGAAGGATGAGGAGGAAGAGGATGTGGTGATGGCAGAGTAGAAGGGCGGAGGCATGTCGAAGCATCTTTTCTGAACTCTGCTCCAGGCGCACAGGCGTGGTCTCAAGTGACTGCAGCACTTTGGAGATCGTTCCAACCAGTCAACCACCACCCGGACGCTTTATAATAGAAATGTCCAATTCTCATTAGCGGGATCAAACTTTCCTTACTGTATTGACGCTACGTCATTCCCAAGCCACGGCGCCGCCTCCGCCTCGAGCTCGGTCACTGCATGTGCTCAGCATCAGCACAGCTAACTACAGCTTGCATCTATCCATATCACATAGCTTCGTATAGCTCTCAGACTAATTCTCCCGCTCTAACAATCCCGTCAGATTAATCGAGCAACAAGATGCAGGCGATCAGGCTTAGCAAGAAGTACCCCGAGTTCAAGCAGGACGAGATCTTTGACCTCATCAACAAATTCAAGTGCGTCTGCCCTCCTGGGGAGGAGATGTGGGCCGAGTCATCGACGGAAGGATAGAGGGAGAAAGACGAGGATAAGGCTGATGTGGGGCAGACAAATCGATGTGGAGGAGCGAGGATCGCTCGATAAGGCGGCGGTCATCCAGGCTCTCCAGTCATCCGGAGATGCTGACTATGACTCGGTGAGTGACAAATTACGCTGGTCCATCAGGGCGTCGAGTCTCTTGGCATAGGCTGATGAGGAAGGCTCGCGAGACACTGAAGAATGTCAACGTCGACTCGGCAGGTCGGATCGAGGTGGAGGATTGGGTACAGCTGCACTCCTTACTGAAGGCAGGGAAGAACCAGCCTCTGTAAGCTACTCCCTCACCACTGTCGTGCAGTGAGCAGCAGCTTATGGGGCAAGGCTCGAGACGACGAAAGGAAAGATCTCAGTTAAGGGCACAGCAGGAACCAACTCGAGTCACACCATCAACGAGGATGAGCGGACGTCGTTCACCGACCACATCAACGGGGTGAGTATCGCTCTTTCGGCTGAGGCACGACGCTGACGTGCAGGTTCTTGCTGGCGATAAGGACATTGGCCACATCCTCCCCATTCCATCCGACACCATGCAGCTGTTTGACGAATGCAGGGGTAAGCTCACACAAGCCCCTTCGTCGCACTTCAAGGGCTGACCGTTGCAGACGGTCTGATTCTGTGTAAGCTCATCAACGACTCGGTACCCGATACGATCGACGAGCGAGTCCTCAACAAAGCATCTGCCAAGGGCGGAAAGACGCGCGCACTCAACGCATTCCAGATGACCGAAAACAACAACATCGTCATCACCTCGGCAAAGGGTATCGGATGCTCGGTCGTCAATATCGGCTCGGACGATCTCCAGGAGGGGAAGGAACATCTCATCCTCGGCTTGATCTGGCAGATCATTCGGAGGGGTCTCTTGAGTAAGATCGACATCAAGATCCACCCGGAGCTGTATCGCTTGCTGGATGATGGGGAGACGCTGGAGGAGTTCTTGAGGTTGCCGCCAGATCAGATTCTGCTTCGGTGGTTCAACTACCATTTGAAGGCTGCGGGACACAAGCGCAGGTCAGTGACTCAATTCTGCTTTGGGTGTCAAGCTGATCAGCAGAGTACAAAACTTCTCCAACGACGTCAAGGACGGAGAAAACTATACTGTCCTCCTCAACCAGCTCAAACCGGACGAGTGCTCCATGGCGCCTATGCAAACCAGCGACCTCCTCAAACGCGCCGACCAGATCCTCAACAACGCCGACCGGATCGGGTGCAAGCGCTTCCTCACACCCAACTCGCTCGTCGCTGGAAACCCCAAGTTGAACTTGGCGTTCGTCGCCAACCTGTTCAACACATGGCCGGGACTCGCACCGCTCGAGGCCACTGAGGCCCCACCAGAGATTGAAGACTTTGATGCAGAGGGAGAAAGGGAGGCGAGGGTGTTTACGCTGTGGTTGAACAGTCTGGATGTGGAGCCCGGAGTGTACAACTTGTTCGAGGACCTCAAGGTGAGTCTAATAGAGGTGCCTCAGGCAGGCAGAGCGGGAGAGCTGACATGCTAGGACGGCTACATCCTTTTACAAGGCTTCGACAAGGTCATTCCCGGTTCAGTGATCTGGCGACGCGTTTCCAAGCCCAAGGAGGGACAAGAACTCTCCCGGTTCAAAGCCGTCGAGAACACCAACTACTCTGTCGACCTCGCCAAGTCCAACGGGATGCACATGGTCGGTATCCAAGGCGCCGACATTGTCGACGGCACCCGCACCCTCGTTCTCGGTCTCGTATGGCAGCTTATGCGTCTGAGCATCAACCAGACACTTGCCAAGATTAGCAAGAATGGAAAGGGCGTGACGGATCAGGATATGGTCAAGTGGGCCAATGAGACGGTCAAGAAGGGAGGCAAGAGCAGTACGATGCGGAGCTTCAAGGATCCGAGCTTGAGCAACGGGGTGTTCTTTTTGGATCTGTTGAATGGGGTGCGGCCGGGTATTGTGGATTACGCGCTGGTGGATGATGGCAGCGAGTATGAGAGCAAGAGGCAGAATGGTGAGCTGTGAATTCTGGCATGACGAGGAACACAGCTGATCATCTCAGCGAAGCTGGCTATTTCGATCGCGAGAAAGATGGGTGCTCTGATCTTCCTCGTTCCGGAAGATATCGTCGACGTGCGGCCAAGGCTTGTAAGCTGGCATCACGCGCACGAATCGCCGGAAATAAGCTGACTTGTGCAGATTCTCACCTTCGTTGGTGCTTTATGGAGCGCTTCCTTGAACCAGTAGTAGCTCTGCTTGGCGCTGACGGCGGGCGGTGACTTGTGGGGCGATCTGAGAAGAAGAGAAAAGCAGGGCCATATCCTTTGTAGACGAAAGTAATGTTAAGCAGATGCACAGATGCCGATACATATCGTGATGCTACATCCCGCCGACTGCTCTGCTCGTTCTACCCGCCATGAGGATATCATCGGTACCCTCGCGGAGACTTCCTACCAAACATGCCTTCAGCTGTGCGAGATCAGCCCGCGACCAGACAGCCCAATGTCTACTACTCACCTGGATGGTTCTGCACGGCTCCAGGCCGGTCCAGTCCGCCTCCGCCAGCAAAGCCGACTCCTTGACCCGCATGATACTGGTTAAGCTCCGGCGTCGGCCCCGGGTCCCGCCCATACCGCGCTTCCTGCGGCGGCTCGACATAACCCCCATACCCCTGGTCCTGATGGCCATACCCGCCTCCTCCTGGCGCATACCCCTGCTCCCCATAGTTGTACACCGACCGCCGATGGTCTCCGCCCGCATCATCATACCGTCCCCCATCATACACCGCAGACGCATAGCTCTCTCCCCGATCATGCTGCTGGTGTCCGCCATAGCCGTACTGTCCCGGCCCGCCTTGACTCAGATGAGGCGCCTGCCCTCCTTGGCGCAACTCCTCCACTTCCTCGGGGTTCGCACCCTTCCGCTGGCTGTCCATGCTGCCCCGAGCGTCCCAGACGTCGTCGCGCATCATAGTGGGCGGTCGGGCGAGACCCGCCGAGTAGACTGAGTTGGGGTTGTATCGCTTGGACTGGAGGATCGACATGGTGAACGCCTCGGGGTTCTCCGAGTAGACCGAATGGTACAGCTTGTGATCGGACACTTGTGATTTCGAGTATAGGCGCGTGAGGCTGAGGATTAGCGGTGAGCTCACGAGGCGCGGATGGGGAGGACTTACTACATGAAGTACATCTGCAGGAGAAAGAGCACGACCCACAGCCCGCCCATGATTCCAATGCCAGCCCATGCGAAGGGGTTGCAAATGAGGGGAGCTTGCTGCGTGAGCATAGTGGTCGCCGACGCGCTAGCAGTGGACTTTGGCTTGTAGTAGTTGGCCTGCAGGTCAGTCAGCAAGCTTGCGCCAATGGCTGTCAGCGTGGGAGACCACGTACGATACAAGTAGTGACTGCGCTCTTGTGGTTCAGCGCAGAAACGATAATGAGCGCTGCAGAGGTTGAGAAAGCCGCGATGAGGGCGAGGAGGTCGAGCCAGATATACGTCTTGAACGTCTTGGTCTTTTCCTGCGGTTGTCAGCTTCAATTCATGCCTATCATAGACACTTCAATACAGATGGCCGCTCACTCTCATCACGCCTATGAAGCCTAGTGGCTGTAGACCACCAACGATGAAGCAGGTTATGGCGAAGATGAAGGTCGCGAAGGAGGGGAAGGACGCTCCCAACACTGTTAAGATCAGCTCAAGCGCCCGAGTGGAGCTAGCGAAGGACAAAGCTGACCTTTTGGTGTCGCAATAGCAGCAATCCCAGCTCCTATACCCAGTATGAACTGCTCGCCCATGATCGCATAGATCCCAAAGTTGACAAGGGGGACCGCTAAAGGATCAGCTGGGGTCGCTCGTCGCACCTGCAGCAGAGCCAGCAGCAGCCAACTCACCACAACAGCAGTACTTGGGATCTATCAGTCCCTTACCGAACTCTCTGAACGTGTCCGCCATCCTGCCTGATCTTGCGGCTGCGGTGACGCCCTACACGCAGGGGTGCGAAGCAAGCTCGCGTGCGCGGTCCTTTCTCTTCTTCGCCTGTGGGCGATGGATGCCGGACCTCGGCGCTTTCGAGCAGGTCTTCCAGTCTGCGCTGTTTGTGTTGCACGGACGGGTGAGCGAGAGTGGTGCGGTCACTCGCAAGTTGTCGAGATTAAGATGTAGATGATGTTGATACAGGTGCAACAGACAGTCGCGTCCATGCTTGCTTGCTTGGACACCGCTTCATCGCTGTTACGGCAGCCCAAACTCAATCGCTTTGCTAGGCTTTGCTGCAGCGACGCGCTTGAATCGTTCTGGGCGTCGTCCATGGCATGGGATGGCGCATCGTCAGAACAGAAGAGAACAGCCGCATGACGAGCTCAACACGAGGTCTGGAAAGTACAAGAGATAACTAACCCATGATCTATGCGCTACAGATGCTCTCCCCTAGCCTTCCTGCCATCCTCGCCGCCCCAAACGTAGCCAAGATACACAGATGCCCCAGCACAACACTGCTCCCGACATACACCCATGTCCACCGCTTCATCTTGATGCTCTGACTCTCTAGCACAAACGTACTGACCGTGGTCAGGCATCCGCAAAAGCCCTGCTGAATCGCCCACAGCGCATTGCACTGCACGCCCGACCGTTGACTAGAGGGCAGGAACTCCGCCGCGTAGACCCCGCCCATGAGCAGCGTACCGCCAATGTTGGCGACGAATGTACCGAGGGGAAAGCGACCGGTGAAGGGGCCCTTGGAGTTGAAGTCTGCGAGGTAGAAGCGCAGCATCGCGCCGGGAGGGGAGAGGAGGATGGGGAAGGTCGCTTTGAGCCGCCAGGACGAGGGGCCGAGGAAGTAGACAAGGAGGGCGATGAGGTAGCAGAGGACAGCGGAGAGGAGCAGGAGATAGTCGAGTATGAGTTGGGTACGGGGTCGGAGGCTGTAGTGGGAGTGGGATCCAGCGGAAGATGTGGTCGAGGACGATCCGCGAGGGGTGGCCGTTGGCAGTTTTTCGGATGCAGCGGGACGAGCGGGCCGTCGAAGATGTCGGTGGATATCAGATATAGATGGTAGACACCGCGACACATGCTCGCCCCAGTATAAACAGCCAATAGCTATTGCCATAGTTGCGAAGCTGTACGCAAAGCCATCAACACTCTACACCATCAGCGATGGGTACTGAGTCGGACGAAACAGGACTCACGCTATGGAACCCGCTGCGTTGATACCCGCCAAAGTTGCTGAATGATTGGTAGCCGTCCAGCATCCACGCAGAGAAGCTGGTCACGGATCCAGCAAGACCAGTAGTAATAAAGGTATACAGCGGAGGGTAGCTGTCCTCTCAGCTGGGTACCCTCAGAGATGATCAGGCCACTTACAAGCCTGTGATCTCATCCTTGCGAGAGGAAGCCAGCCCCATGATCCCACATCCCACTCCCTGAGCCCAGGCCAAGGCAAAGATGATTTGCCCGTCATCTGCTCATTCAGCGATGTGCCAAATCTCTGGGGCACAAAAGCTCACAAGCAGCCATCGCATCTAGCCCGAGTCGGATCAGGCACCCCACCATAGCTGCTAGCACTAAGCCCGCGAAGTGCGCCGAGCGTCTGCGGACTGCCTCCCGCTTCGAAGCAGGACTAGGCGGACCAGGCTCGACATTCTCGTCAGCCTCCGGGATGAGGGGGAAATTCGCCCTCGATCCATCGCCCTCTGCCGCCGCGGGAAGGGTCGATCGTTGTTTTGCGGCGCTGTTGGAAGTGGAACCTCGAGCCATCCCGCACTATGGGGCCGCTGGGAGTTGGAGTCGCTGTCGACAGATCTACAAGTATAGTTGATCAACAGCAGCTTGTGCTCCAAATAGATCAGGTCGACGCTGCCATAACAAAGCTAAGGGGTTTAGCCGATATTCAACAGTAGATCTCAGCTCCACAATCCCCCCCCGCTTTCTCCTCCACCTCCACCGCCTCGGCCTCCACTCCTCCACATCTCCAGGCTGCCGCTGGAAAGGGCGCTTGAGTATATAGGAAGAGCCTGCCTCCTGTAGAGAGCCCCCACGATACACAGCTAAGATTCACTACCCGCAGTAGTACCCTTTCGAAAGATACCTCGCCTATACCACCGCTTACCGCTAGCAATCATGGTCCGCACCCTCAAGTTCCAAGACATCGATGTCGCCGTGCCAGGCTTTGGGTGAGTGCATAGAGCACAACTGAGCAGGTGCTCAGAGCTGACTGAGCCAGAGCCATGGGATTCAGCATGAGCTACGGGCCTGCTGTCGAGTCCGAGTCGCGCGAGACCCTTGACAAGGCCCTCTCCCTCGGCTGCACCTTCTGGGACTCGGCCGCCATCTACGGGAAGGGTGAGCACATCAGCCCATCTCGCCTTGGGAGCTCTACCAATCATGTGACTGTGCTGATCTCAGGACATAACGAGCAGCTCATCGGAGACTGGGTCAAGCAAAATCCTGGGTCAAGGGACAAGCTCTTCATCGCTAGCAAATGCGGTCTTCCCTTCGACGGTAACGGTGCCGCGGACAATTCCAAGGAACACATTGAGGAGTATATCGACCAGTCCATCGAGCGACTCGGATTCAAGCCGGATCTGTACTATCTCCACCGAATTGAGCCGGGACGAGACCTCGCCGAGTCCATCGGGGCGCTGCAGGGGCTGAAGGAGGCGGGCAAGTGCAGGTATATCGGGCTGAGCGAGTGTAATGCGGAGACCTTGCGCAACGCTTGCAAGAGTGAGTCAACATGGCTCTCATATTACTGAGGCTAAGTTGACGGCCAGTCGCACACATCGACGCCCTCCAGATCGAGTACTCTCCCTGGTTCACCGACCACGAGCAGAACGGTCTCATCCCCGCCGCGCGCGAGCTCGGCGTGACCATCATCGCCTACTCCCCACTCGGCAAAGGCATCCTCACTGGCAAATTCACGTCCGTCGACCAATTTCCCGAGGGTGACATCAGGCGTACTATCCCTCGTTTCTCCGAAGAGCTGCTCGGCAAGAACATGCGTATCGTCGACGAATTCAAGAAGCTCGCGGAAAAGAAGGGGTGCTCGCCGGGACAGTTGGCGCTGGCTTGGGTGATTGCCCAGGGAGCGATTCCTATTCCGGGGACCAAGAAGGCGGAGCGGCTCGAGGAGAACTTTGGGGCGAGGGAGGTGGATCTGGATGAGGAGGAGCTGGCGGAGATTAGAAAGTTGGTAGAGGAGGCCAAGCCGGAGGGCGCCAGGTGAGTTCATTTCGGAGGAGCTGGTGCGATCGGGCTGATGCTGATCTACATAGATATAACGATGCAGGTATGAAGAGGGTCGGACATTAGGCTCGCTCATTAGGTCGTTATTGCCATTCAATGCATATCAATCTGTATCCTCGCCGCCTCCCTCCGGTCCATTACATCGCCACTCCAGCTCTCGAGCTCTCCCTTGGAGGCACAATGCTCAGTACCGCCTGTACCTCCCCTCTGCTAGTCCCCATCTGCGTCGTCTGCCCCAGCGTATGACTCCCCATGACCGGTACCGCCTCTTGCGAAACATGAGCCCTCAAAGGAGGCGTGACAGGCGGAACGGCATGCGCTGGACCTTCATGTATCGTAGCCATCTGCCGCGGGGGTGTTGTAGTCCTGAACGAGTGACGTGGGATGTATGGGTCGACGTACATGCTCGTGCCCCTTGGAGGGGGAAGGAGCGGTGGATTGAGGATGAGAAAGGGCGTGCCGTATGGGATGTTGGGCCCGGCATGGGGGATTTGAGTCGTGGCGACTGCCGAGTTGGAGTTTGGGTATAGTAAGGGGGTGTCATGCCGGATCTGAGAAACTGCTTGGTTGAGCTGGGCTGGAGGGATGGGCGGGCTGGCGGCGTTGCCAGTACACGGTCTGGCGGTCGAAGCCGGAGCGGATGGAAGGCCCTTGTCGCCCAAAGTGACGTTGACGGGAGAATAAGAGGCCGGAGATGTGGTTGTCCAAGTAGGCGAAGCCAGTGGGGAGCCCTTGTATGATCCGACTCGTCGAGGGGAGACCAATGTCTGCCCGCTGTCCGAAGCTGTCCTCGCGTGCACGCGTCTCGGAGCGCCCCTGCCCTCTTCCGCCGCGGTCGTGCCGGTCCGCTCGCGCCAGCAAGTATCATGCCACACCCGCTGCCAGAACCCCTCGATCCTCTCCCGCCCGGTCACCTGGACGCGCTGTCCGCATTTCGAGCATGTGCGTCGGCGGAGATACCGACATCGGACGAAGAGGATGTAGATGAGAAGCAGGAAGGAGATGAGGATGATGAGACCGATGCAGATGTCTGAGGGTCAGCTTGTATCCTGACATGGCAGTGAATCAGATGGAAGTCTGCTTACACTGCGATAGGTCAAGGTGTCTCCCATTGTCGTGAACGCGCGCGTTGGTCTCGTACAGCATGATTAGCGATGTGAGCTCGTCTTTGCCAGTCAGTAGTCAGTGAGTGGGTGATCTTAGTCAAGGAACCCGGCGATGAGCGGCCAAAGTAGAGAGACAGCGACGGTCTCGAGAGCTGCTTGCTCGACAAAGGATACCATCAGTACAGCGGGGATCAGATACAAGGGATGCCCACCACCTGATCTCCCCTTGGGGTATACTGGGGCAGAGACATCCTCAAGAATAGCATACAACGCCTCGGGTCAAAGACTGACAGACAGGTAGGTCATACTCGCGATCTCAAGCGCGAGAGGAACTCTAGGATGAGCGCAGCATGGCCCTCAAACTGGTCCTTCGAGACAAAGAGAATACCTGCACCTCATCAGCGGAGTCACAATCTGAGACACGGGGTGACTGACCCTGGCAGAGAACAGCCTTGGTGATCTGCGCCCCGAGACCCTGGTACCATCCCGCCAATCCCTTCTCCCTGTACACCGAGGTGAGGAGACTGATCGCTCCGCGCTGGTCCACCGTGGCGTGAGCGGGATGGATGGGCCGGTGCACGACCTTCTCGTGGGGCTCTCCTTCTGGTCCGACCACTGCAGAGCCCTCGGCCGGCTCAGCAGAGGCGATAGCTGCGTATGAGGCATCGTCGGTACCGGATGTTTGGCCGGCGATCGGCTTGGGCGTAGGTCTTGCTTGCAACCGTACCTTCGCCTTTTCGAGTCAGCAGGGGATTGGCGCTGAGGAAGTCTGGGAGCGCTCACAAAGATGTAGGGGTATGTCACCACCGTGGCCAAGGTCTTGCTCAACACGCCGCACCAGAACGCCTCCGCCACGCCCAACTTGGCTCCTACGCCCTTCTCGGCCAATCTCCAGGTCTTCAAACGCTCAAATACACCATACGTGATGGCCGGGTTGACGGTGAGGACCAGTCCTGGTCTCAAACCCGTCCACAATGCCGATACACCTCCCTCAGCAATGACCTCCCGAGCCGTCTCGATGAAGTTTGGCTCCTTGACGTTCTTGGCTGATCCGACCGCAGGTACCCAGAGTTGCTGGCGGGTCGCAATGACCGCTACGGGGATAGTGAAGATCTGAGCGAGCGCACCGGCGGCTGCGCCTAGACCGAGCTCGGCGGGGGTAGAGAGGCTGGTCGGGCGGGCGAGACGGGTTTGGCGAGTGATGTAGGCGGTACGGAGGTAGGTGTGGAAGAAGAAGTAGGCGAATTCTGCGGAGTTAGGTTGTGTAGACTGACAAGGGATGAGCAGCCGGGACTTACGCATGGAGAATGTGTTCAGCATATTCGCCGTGAAGCCCTTGAATGCCCCGGTCAACCCCTCCGTCCGCAAGATCCGGATGAGCATGGTGAGCATCTGCCATTTCCGCAGCCGTCTCAGCAGTGCGTTGGGCAGGCGGAGCAGTATATTGCCGTTCCGCTTTTGTGACCTGGCAGCCTCCGAGCTGACTACGGGTGCCTCGATTGCGCTGGCTGGTAGGGCTTGCAGGCGAGTCTTGACTGTGTCCAAGGGATAGACAGCACTAGAGATCAGTCAGCTGGACCATTCCAATACGCCCTTTTGCCGCAAACTTACGCATTTGAAAAGACAGCACCTAGCGCGCCAGCGAGTGCTGATCCGAACGGTGTCAACGGCGGTCTGACAGTCATCTTGCCTGGCTATGACAGAGTGAAGGAGAGACTTGAGACAGCGAGTTGTGAACTTTGCTCTTAGGCCCGGCAATACAGCTCGCAACTAACCGGAAATCCTAATCAAATTGGATTTATAATAGGAATTCATTAGCTTCCGCTTACTTGTTTCAAATGGAAATAGACCTATGACGCAACACGCGTACGCAACCCCAAACCCAATTCATGCAAACCTGAAACGCGGTGGTCGCCGCCACGTGGTGTCTGAGTTGAGCCTCGCATCACCCGCGCGGGCCCACAGCAGCAGCAGCAGCTTGCATAGCCCTCGCTTCCAACCTTCCTCCTGTCTTGCTCACCACTCATCAGCATAGCACAGCTCGCAGGACACAGGAGCAGCAACGGACACAAGACCTCGCCCTCTTGGCGGTCGACCCAAGCCTTCATCCCAGCTTCCCCCTGATCCTCCTTTGTCAACCCTTTCAACTCGGTCAGACTTAAGGGCGTTCCTCGACCGCCGCTCTTCCATCCGTCACATTCCGTCTTCAAGCCACCATGCCTCCTTCATCTACCCCGTCGACTCCCAGGCGCATCACTCGCATAGCCACTAAACCCCTCAAACTCGCCGCATCAGCTCTCACCCGATCATCGACCCCAGCGCCAACTCAAGGTGCTGGGTCGTCCCCACCCAACTCGACCCACTTGGACAGTCGAGGCTCGCGCCTGGATCCAAAGAGGCAAAGCAGCGGTAATGAGCCCATGCACGTTGCGAAGGCTGCGAGGGGTCCGCGTAAGCCCCTCGACGGTGAGGAGCCGGCAGCGTGGATTAGAGTTCGAGTGGTGAAGGGCGAAGGATTGGTCGCCAAGGACCGGGCAGGCACAAGTGATCCGTAAGTCATCGTTCTATTTCTCATCTCAGACGACCTGTGCTGACCTGCTTAGCTTCGTGTCCCTCTTGCTACCACCCACGGACCGCCAATCCACGCCTCACATCAAGAAAACCCTAAACCCAGTCTTCCCAGCAGAGGCGAGCACATTTGACCTGCCTCTCTACCTCAGCATGGCGGGAGTCATCAGCGGACGCGGACTGGAAGCAGTCATGTGGGACAAGGTACGCTTCCTCCTCGATCGATGGCGGCAGGGCTAACCCATCAGGACATGTTGCGGAAAGAGTACATGGGCGAGCTTTCCATTCCGATGAACGAATGGTTCCCAAGCGGAGCTGTTTCGCTCTGGGACGAGAACCTTACCGTAAGTCTTCCCTCTGCTGCTTCCAGAAACTTGCTGATCCCTAGGCTGTGACTCGGCATCTCACCTCGACCCGGCGCAAGCACGAAGTTACCGGTACTTTATCGTTTCAGATCGGCTTCGTCCCGCCTAAGGATCTGTCCCCGGAGGAAGGGCTGAAGCGGGTCCGCTCCGTATTCACAACGATTCTTGACCGAGGCGCGGCGGGCAAGGGACTCGGTGGAGTGCTGGGCGTTCCAGCTGTAAGCCATCCTTCTCCAGAGTTCGGTAGACCAACTGACAAGTCAGTACAAGGGTATCGGCACGATCAAGCTCAGAAACCGCCGGCAGTCTCAGCAGGTCAGCGGCAATTCAGGCGGAAAGACTGGCTTCCTCTCCAGCCTCACTGGCGGTCACAAAATGAGTCCAGTCGCGCCTGTCCCGCAATCCTCGGTTGACGACGATGACGACGATGCCTCACTGGCCGACGATGGCTTGACCGACTCCAGCAGCGACGAAGAGTCGGACAGTCCGGGCGAGGAGGACCGGGATGGGGATTTCCAGTACTCCCCGGACGCTATGAGCAAGGAGGACGAGGCTCGGCACGATAAGATCCATACCGGTCCCTCCAGCCACGGCGCTCCATCTGTTCAGGGGGGAACGGACGTCTCGCCTGCGCGTCGGCGGCTTTCTCACAAGGCGTCTTCGAACTACTTCGACTCCCGCGCCAGCAGTACCGCGGAGGGGTCCACCACCCCCCTCGCTACGCCTGGAAGCATGTCCGGCGCGGCCACTCCGGGGGGTTCTCGTCGACCCTTCTTTATGCGCCGAAACAAGACCTCGGCGACCACTGCTGGTTCGGGGGACTCGTCGGACCGGGAGAAGGCTGGCAAGAAGAGCAAGAATCGGAAGATGAGGAAGAAGAAGCAGGATTTCAACTTTGATGCGGAGGGCAACCGGGATGTGCTGGGTATTGTGGCGATGGAGATCAAGTCAGCGTCGGATCTGCCAAAGCTAAAGAGCTGTGAGTCGCCGCGTCAGAATCGGGATGTATCACAGCTGACGGATCAGCTATCCGTGTGACCTACGATATGGACCCCTTCGTCGTCATCTCATTCGGCAAGAAGGTGTTCCGAACTCGAGTCATCCGTCATTCCCTCAACCCCGTTTGGGATGAGAAATTGCTCTTCCACGTGCGCAGGCATGAAAGCTCTTACACTATGCAGTTTGCGGTCTTGGATTGGGACAAGGTGAGCACAAATGCTGTATGAACTTAATATTGGGCTGATCCGGCAGGTCTCCGGGAACGATGCCGTCGGTGGCTGTGTCTTACCTCTTGAACAGCTCATTGCCGATGCTCCCCAACCTGGAGCCAATGGCTTGTACGACAAGGATGAAGATGGAAAGCACGAATTCAAGGAGTTCACTGTGGGTGACTCGATCTGGAGGTCGGTACTCCAGCTGATATAGCAGCTGCCTATCCTCACCGAAAAGGACAAGGCTTGGGAAGCCAAACACTCGCCGAAGCTGACCATTCGGGCCAAATATGAGCCATACGACGCCCTTCGTCAGCGGTTCTGGCGACAGTACATTACCCAATACGACGTCGACGAGACGGGCACCATGTCATTCACCGAGTTGACCGCCATGCTCGACTCGCTCGGCTCCACCCTCACGCAAGGGACCATCGAGGGCTTCTTCAAGTCCAGCGGGAAGGATATCGAGGGGGAGCTCACGATTGAAGAGGTCATCCTGCACCTTGAGAACGAGGCGACCAAGCCCGCCGCCCAGAAGGCAAAGGTCAAGCCGATCAGCTCCCAGCTCAACTCTGGGACGCATACCCCGAGTATGGCGCCTGAACCTCAAGGAGACGGGTTGGCGATGGACGGACCGCAGCAGGTCATCTCCAGCCCGGTTGATGCCGATGAGCTGCGGGAGAAGATCTTGCGGTCTCAGCAGCAGTCGGGCGATCTTCCGGGGAACCTAGAGGCCATGGACGGGAACGTCCCGGATATCCGGGTGCGAGAGCCGTCCCTCGACGGCAAAGAGACACCCTTGGTCCATAACGGTCGTGCGCCTCGGGGAGGTGCCGAACTCGGAGCGGATACTATGGAGACCATGTCCCCCTCGGCCGACGTCGAGGGCGATCTGGACGTCTCGGACGATGGCGACAACTACCCCTCGGACGCCGATACGCGGGAACGGGTCATCAACATCCGGACATGCCCACTTTGCCACCAGGCCCGCCTCAATAAACGGTCCGAGCAGGATATCGTCACCCATCTTGCCGTCTGCGCGTCGAACGACTGGGCCCGGGTCGACCGTATTGTCACTGCCAACTACGTCACCAGTAGCCAGGCCCAGCGGAAATTCTTGACGCGGATGGTCAACAAAGTCACTATCGGCAATTACCGCCTGGGCGCCAACTCGGCAAATATCCTGGTCCAGGACAGGTTGACGGGGCAGCTGCAAGAGGAGAAGATGGCGGTGTATGTCAGGTTGGGGATCAGGGTGCTGTATAAGGGCTGGCGGAATAAGATGGAGGGTGGTCGAGGTGAGTCTTGCTTGTGGATGTCTATCACAGAGCTGATACTATAGCCCGACGCCTGCTTAAATCCCTTTCTATCAAGCAGGGTATCAAATTCGACCACCCAGATTCAGTCGCCGACATCCTCCCATTCATCGCGTTCCACAATCTCAACGTGGACGAGATTCTCGATCCCCTCGACTCGTTCAAATCCTTCAACCAATTCTTCTACCGCAAGCTCAAAGCGTCGGCCCGGCCTATATCGGATCCGGAAGACCCATACCGACTCGTCAGTCCCGCAGACTGCAGAATGATGGCGTTCGCGACGGTGGATGAGGCGACACGGATCTGGATCAAGGGGAGGGAGTTTAGCGTGGCGAGGCTGTTGGGTCCGGCGTACGAGAGTACGTGGAGGAAGTACGATGGTGGTGCTTTGGGTATCTTCAGGTGTGTCGACAGCTTGTTCGTCAGATGATGAGGTGGACGCTGATAGTCTAGGCTCGCTCCTCAGGATTATCACCGCTTCCACTCGCCTGTCAAGGGCAAAGTCGGCAAGATGACCCTCATTGACGGCGAGTACTATACGGTCAATCCGCAAGCGATCCGCACTACGCTAGACGTGTACGGCGAGAATATCCGAAAGATCGCCCCGGTCGAAAGTGAGGAGTTTGGGACGGTCATGACCGTCTGGGTCGGCGCTATGAGTGAGTCGACATCATAATGTGTCCCAAGACCTGGACAGAGCTGACATCGGCAGTGGTCGGATCAATAGCTACCACCGTTGAAGAAGGCCAAGACATTGACCGCGCGGACGAACTCGGCTATTTCGCTTTCGGCGGCTCGACCATCGTGTGCCTATTCGAGAAGGGGGTGCTGGAATGGGACGAGGACTTGATCAATAACGGTCAGGCGGCGATTGAGACTTTGGTCAGGATGGGGATGGGGCTGGGGAGGAGTACGCGGAAGCCCAAGAAGGTTTGAGGGGGAGAGGTCTGCTGTAGGATTTCTATTGAGAGATGGGCGGATCGGACATTTGACTTGTGTAGATCGGTAGAACATCATACTATATGCGGGTATGCAGAGTCTGTGCAGCATAGGGTGCGGTCTGAGAAGGTTTGATCGGAACCTGAGCGCTAGATGAAGGCCGCGACAAGCCTTCAGCCTCAGCACGTGAGGAAGCCGCTGATCGCCGGAATATCGTCAGAGCATCTAAGCTAGATTGACCTCCTTTCACACCTTCCCCTCCCTTGTCAGTCAGGGGACCTGTGACCATCCATATGGTATGATACTCCATTGGTAGTATGGTACATAAACCTGAAAAGGAGCTCGAGGGAGGCAGGGGTTAGCTGAAAGCAAATGCAGGACACAATCCAGGGGTCGAAGGGGCTGAAAGGAGTTGTTCGGTTGGACGATGGCCTATAAGCTTGAAAGGCCCTCATACGTCTCTCCCCTGCCTGTCTTGAACCTATCTCAGTCTTGTATCGCCTCGCCTGATCCGCGAATAAAAGCAAAGAAGAACCCATCATGCTGCACCAGCGTCTCGCAACTACCCTCCTCTTCGCGCTCGCCAGCACGCTGGTACACGGAGCCCGTCAGGTCAAAGTCCATGGCCACAACGATGCCAAGGTCATCTGGATCTCTAAAGACCCGAAGAAAGATATGTTCCCGGAGAGGCTGGACTCTGAGATCATCTTCCCAGTGAACGACAAGGGGGTTGTGCAGGGCGAGGTACGCGTGCAGTTCGAGGGAACATCGGTGGGGCCGTCGATGTCTTCTCCTCGCCGAGTCTCTGACGTGAGTACTCTGCAAATGGCACATCTCTGTCCCTCACCAGGGCATGGACCCCTCGAAGACCTTAGCTGATCGTGATTAGTGCCGTTTCGAGGGAGCCCTCGAAGAGGGCTACGACGAAATTTCTTGGGTCATCGCGCAAGATGCGAGCTGGCTCCACCCCTGCTACAACCACCATGGTCTCACCCTCACGTGTGACCCCCTGCCGTCGTGCGAGCCCACGCTCGCTGATGGGACCAAGATCACCAAGTTCGACGAGAAGGGTCCAAAGGCGACATAGTGTCTGTACTTAGCCTTTGAAGCACTCAGTATGACATGTCGTTGCCTTCCATTGTACTGCTTCGTTTCGAGGGGCTGATCTTCTGCACTGCGGGCTGGAGCCGACTGCATAGCCTGGTGTCGTCGAGTCAATCACTCTGTCAACATCCAGCATCGCTTGTTTCAGGGTTCCCTCCAGTCGCTCCACGCAGGGATGACAGCCGATAATTTATAGGGGGGCCGCTAGCCACATCCAAAGGAAGGAGAAGGGTCCTTGCGGTGTGGAGCGAGGGGCGATGACCAATCAACGGGCCCACTCCTGAGCTCCACCCTCCCTTCAGTCATATTGCTGTGCAGCTAAGATAGACATATATACTGGGCTCTCCAGGCCTCGGGTCTTGTTGAGATATATATCCGCCCATCCAAGCCCCTCGACTACGAATACGCAGTCCACCACCAGTCATCATGTTCTTCAAGACCACTCTGATCCCCCTCATTTCCATGCTCGTCGCCACAGCCGTCCAAGGCGCCCAAGTCCACGTGTGGTTCACCGCAGAGGCGGGCAGCCCATACGACGACGGCAAGGGTCACACCCTGTTGAACAAGATGCTCGCCTTCGATCTGGATGCCAATAACCAGGTGGCGGCTGGAGTCTCGTTCCCAGTGCACTACTCGAAGAAGCCTGGAGAGCTCATCACTACCACTGTGAGTGCACTCACCGACTCGTCTCAGTCGAAACACATAGTCGGGGTTCTTGGCTGATGCACATCAGTGCAGCTTCAAAGGCGCTCTCGACAAGCAATACCGAGACATCTCCTGGATCATCACCGATGATCCGAGCTACGTCCACCCCTGCGACAACCACCACGGTATGGTCCTGGACTGTGTAGCCACCTCGACGTGCCACCCCTTCCTCGTCGATGGAACCAGTATCACCTACTTTAGGGAGAAGCTTGTCAGCGACCCAGACGAGAACACCAGTATCCGGCCTTAGACAGTATATTCGTACACAGGTTTTCATACCCTTCGTCTCCAAGGTCGATTAGTCCTATGAGAGTAGACACCGTCCATGTATATTATTGTTACAGCAGCTCGTCATTGGTGCTTGCACCTCACATCGTCTCACGTCACGGGGCACCTGTTCATGATATCTGACGACGTATACTGGGATCGGCAAATTGGGGCACGCTGCAGGACGGGAGTCCAAACGGCGATGGCAATATATCCAGCCCGGACATCATCCAGCCCGGACATCCCCTCAGAATCCCTCAAACCCCCTGGAAATGGTCCAATGGATCACCCAATTCATGAGGTGACACGATCGATTGCCGATACGACCTCGCTCAAGTGAGGGACCGACCGCTGCGGTGCTTTTTGTGATGACGACAGCTTAGAGGATCGATCCATACTCTTGGGCGGTGAGCTCAGGCGCAAAGCAGGCTCAGATTCGAACACAACGGAGGAATAGATTCTTACAGCAGACACGGCAGGAGAAAGGAGCCACGGGGAGGTACCAAGGAGGCACGGAGCATGACCGAGGGGCCGAGCCGGTACTCCACAGCAGGCGGTTGTGGAGAAAGGATCCAAGGGGGAGAACAATCAAGTATCATCGAGCCCGAGGACATACGGTGCTCCACGGTACTGGCAGGTGCATGAGGACAAAGGGGCCAAGTGTGTGAATGACGGAGATGCCGAGCATAAGTGGGGCCGATTCGAGGAGAAATTCCACTCCATCTGGCAATTGTGGAGCTAGAAGGGAGCGAAAGGGGAGCACAAAGGAGATTACGGGCATTCACAATGACAAGGCAGGACGACAAGAGATACTTAGGGCCTGACCCAGTCCCCTCCTACCTGGCTCGAAAAAGCAAAACCCCACATCAGTCTATCGCCAGCAAAGCAATATCCACAGCGACATGTTAGCTACTATGAACTCAAAAGTCCTATTCTTGGCGCTGGCCACCATGGCCGTACACGGGGCAAAAGTGTACGTCTACTTTAAAGGCACTTCTGGGAAAGTCACCATAGGCCCAAATGGCCAGCCGACTACAAACGGGATGCAGTCCTACGAGGTGGATGACAAGGGGAAGGTGTATGATACGGACGCACAGGGGAAGAGGTTCGATCCGTCGTTCGAGATCCAGTTCACCAAGAAGCCTGGACAGGTGACCAAGACCATGGTGAGTAAAACTTTGACCTAAACATCCAGGCTGGATGCTGACACGATCTCAGTGCAAATTCACCGGTGCTCTTGACGTTAAGGAGTGGAGGGAGATGGGGTGGATCATCGCGGACGATGAGAGCTACGTTCACCCATGCGGGGATCATCAGGGGTTGACTCTGGATTGCGAGGAGTACTCGCCCTGCAGGGTGAAGTTGGCCGATGGGACGAGCTACACCAGGCTCGTAGAAGATTTCCAGGCGAAGCGCGTGGGCGAGCCTGACCCTGTAGACGATTCCGGACTGGGTCGAGATTGATAGGGTCGAGATTGATAATACACCATATAGACACATGTAACTATAGCCTGGATTCTGGCTTGACGTGGATCCTGCCCTTACCACGTCGACTATAGGTCAGGCTTGGGCGTCGCCAGAGCATGGGCTGCTGTTGTACTGTGGCAGTCCGGGTGGCGAATTTCGCCGTGGCGCCACTCTGAGCTGCTGCATCCTGTAGGTAGGGCTTTCGGCCACCTATCCATCATAATCTTCCCTCTATCCTCATCTTCTTCGACCCTTAGAGTCCCCCACGATTTCAATCAAGCTCCATTATCGATGACTGCCCGCATAAAGCTCCTTGACGGGGCGATGGTCAGTCTCCCCGCGAAATATTGCGCTCGACAGCTGACCGCCAAAGGGCACCCAGCTCGAATCGCTAGGCCATGACGTCTCTGGACCCATGTGGGGATCGGACCTCCTGTACTCCAATCCTGGCGCTATAGGGGCGGTGCACGAGGGGTACGCCAAGGCCGGTGCAGACTTCATTGAGACAGCTACGTGGGTCCATACCCTCTCATTTCTTCGCGAAAGTAAGCTGATCTGAAGAGGTATCAGATGAGCCTGGAACCGCTTTTGGTCGACCATGGACGCGATGAGGCCGAGACTATCATGCGAGGCGCTATCAACATCGTCCACTCATCATCTGGGAGCGAGAGTGCAGGCGTCGTGCTCTCCCTCGGACCGCATGGCGCCACGCTGTCCCCTTCGCAGGAGTACGGCGGGATCTATCCTCCTCCTTACGGTCCCGTCCTATCCTCAACCTCATCCTCCTCGACTCGGACAAATGCCTTCCCATCGACGCCGAGCGGCCAGGCAGAGGAGCTGGAAGCGGAAGACGCACTCGCGGTGTGGCATCTCGCCCGTCTGCGGATCTATGCGGCCGAGGAGGGGACATGGCGGAAAGTCGAGTGGTTGGGGTTCGAGACGATCCCCCTGCTGAGGGAGATTCGGGCGATACGGCGTGCTATGGGGAAGCTATATACGGAGCTGGAGGTTAGGTGGGGTGGCGGGAAGGTGTCTGAGGAGGGACAGGAGGGATGGTGGAGGAAGAAGTTCTGGATCACCTCGGCCTTTCCGGACGGCCAACATCCGCAGCACCTGGCTTCCGGTCCAGACCAGCACGTTTCGGTGGACGACGTCCTCTATTCCCTCATCTCCCCATCACCCGACTCGGCGAACTCTCTACCACGTCCAGATGGGATAGGCATCAATTGCACCCACCCCTCCCATATTTCCGCCCTCGCCGAGGCGTTCTACACATCCATGCGTAAGCTGGCGAAAAGCCATGGGGAAGCAGGACCGGTGTTCGTGCTCTACCCGGATGGAGGGGCGGTGTATGACACGACGTCCCGGACGTGGACGGAACGCACGACGAGGCCGGACGAGTGGGCTGTGGGTGTCGCTGGGATCGCGCGAAGACTGGAGGATGCGCGCTTGGATGCAGAGGGAGACGAGCAGGGCAAAAAGGTCTGGGCAGGTGTCATTGTGGGAGGATGCTGCAAAGCCGGATTCGATGAGATACGGTATCTTCGTAAAGAGCTAGACAGGGCGGACGCGTGATGCATCCCTTGAATCTACTATGATATGCCCAACTGACGGACCCCTTCTGCCGCCTGATCCAGCGCCGACGCCTCCGTCGGCAATCTGAGCACCTCCACTCGCTTTCCTAGTCCAGGCCATGGCTTGCCTGTCCTCGACGACGTCCGCTCCTCTTTTGGTCGGCTTGCCAGATGTGTCATGGCTCGATGTACAAAGTTGGCATCCGTCAGTGGAGAGAGGTCGGATGGCTTCTCCAGCATCTATGGTATTAGCACCTCGTCCCATCTGATCATGACGCGGAACAATGTAACGTACCGCCCGAACATCGTCATACTCCGCCTCCATTCCGCTCACTTCTCTTATCACCTCCCCGCTCCCGAACGCATGATACATCCGCACGTCAAACATCCTGAACAGGACATTATCGACCCGGAGGAACAATCTGGCGAGGACGAAGAGCGAATGCGGCATGACTCGCTAGGATCGTCAGCTCTTCGTGCGCCCAGCAGAGTATCAGGACAGACAAGCTTACTATTCTAGCATTCAGGATCGACTCGCCGTTATCGTGCAGCTCGTCCTCAAAGAGCGGGACGTCCTCATAGAAGAGGATCTGATCCAGGATGGGATCTTGTCGAGCGAGGAGGGTCATCGGTATTTGATGCGTCGAAGATGGCCCGAAACGCTACTACTGTTAGATACAGATCACATGCAGGAGTGAGAGAGACCTCACACTAGGTCCAGCGACAGAGCCGGCGTGCGTACCGGAGTAGGTCCAGTCGTGTGGCTTGACTGGGGTGGTAGGGAGTGGGACGTCCGTGAGGAGCGCGGAAGGATTTGACCTAGATGTATCAGCGACTCTGATGTGCTGGCGGTACCTGATGTTTGTCTGGGCAGCTGTGACAGGAAGGCGTACCGGTTCTTCCCCCACTGATCAGCCATCGCGACCTGCACCCCTCCGCCGACCCGTTCTTCCCACCCTTCTCCAACAGCGACCGCTTCCAACGCATCAAGCGCATTGAACGATATCTGCACTTCTTCGCCCGACGTGGATGCCGAAGACGATGCAGCGCTTCCTGCTGATGGAGAAGTCGACGAGGAGCCAGCCGAGCCAGAATAGGAGAGGATGAGCGAGTTGTTGCCGAATGTCATTTCTGGCAGAGGAAGGCCTAGAGATTTCTCGGCTCTATCAGATCGTAAGCTTTTGTCCAACTTAGACCAAGGCGAGATCGTACCAGCTGTCGTAGAGAGAGAGGGCCTGGACTCACGTTTCTACCTCTTTGATGTTGAGAATTGGTCGCTTCACCGCCGTGATGCTCCATCTGTCAATGGTGACTTTGGTGGTGTGCCGGTCCTTCTTGAGCACCTGATACTGCGGCGGTCGCATCGCCGCTCTAGCCGGCGCTGGAGCAGCTGCTGGAGGAGGAAGAGTCGTCATGATGCTGTGTAAAGCTTGTATAGATAGACGGTGAGAGGCAGAGGTGCAAATTCCTGGATCTCGGTCGAAGTTGAAGTTCATGAGGAATGTGGCCCCGGGACCGGCAAGGTATCCGTTCAGACGGTGTATCACCGGCCTTGCGCCCGACCTCTACCTTGAGGGCAGCCTATCACACTCAGACACGAGTACCCCACAGCCATACTGTAGAGATGGTAGATCTGGAGGCATGCATTTATTCAACCGAGCCAGCCACTTATCTTTTCCCCCTAACGACCATCCTCTTGATCTTCGGCGCCTTCTCCTTCCCACCTTCCGCCTTCTCCTCCCCCCCTGCACCAACTCCCGCCCCGATCCCCTTCCTCTTATTCTCCTTCTCAGTTTCCAGCTCCCGCTTAACCGACGCGACAGCCACGCCCGTCTGTACTACCGGCGAGTGCAGTGGCAGCCTATCGTCTAGCGGGGGAATGTGGGTGGGACGGGGTGGCCGGGGTGAGCCATAAGGGTGTCGGCGGACCGTAGGTCGGGTAGCGGAGCTAGAGGCCTTGCCGGACTTGGCATTGGGTGTGGGCTGGGATTTGGCATTTGCGGGTACGGCCTTGGCATTGGCTTTAACCTTGAGGGGGAAGGTGTATGATTTTCGAGCGATCTTGGGTGTGGGCTTGTACGCTAGCGATGGCTCTTGTTGTTGAATCATCTTGGCGAGCTGGCGGTAGAGCTGCGTGCCTGCAATGTCAGCTTGAGATCCATGCGGTCGTGAGATCAGATGGTAGGAGACAGGCACTGACGGTTCTTGACGATAGGGTTGATGAAACGCCCATCTCGCTCGAATTGGACCTTGACTCGTCCAGGGTTTTCCCAGTCCGCCGGATGTGTCTTATCAGGCTGATGGATCAGCCCAAGTCCCGAGCTCTCCGCTGCAAACTACAGAGCTTGACTGCTTGGCCAAATGCCGACTCACCTCGAGCACGCTCTGGAGACCCAAAGCCTGACAAGCCCGCCCAATCTGTCTGGCCTGAGGCCACCACATTGCGTCTTCGCGCTTGACTCTCCGGCCATCGCTGATGGACAGCTTGGCGTCAAAGTAGATGGGGTAGACAGTATTCCAGCTATCACTGTCAGCTCCAGAAATCCCTACTACCAAAGCGCTCGACCTACCCCTTGTAATCCATACTCTGAGTGATCTGCGCCCCTCCAAATTGCTGCCTCATCTTCTCCATCCTCTCCTCCTCGGCCTGCTGCAGACGCATCATATCGCCCATAAACCCGCCCATGGGCGTATTCGCTGCTGGCCCCGCTCCCCCGCTCGTTGGCCGGATCTCTCCCGGCTCATCCCTCACTGCCACTTTTCCCTTGTACGAGGAAGGCGGAGGAGCTTTTTGACCCTCGCCATAGATCCCCCGACTCTGTTCTGCGATCTTGTCATAGTCCAGCTCGGGGACGTCCGGGTCGTCAGATGAAATCTCCTCGAGGAGCGCTCCCTGGCCGCCTGTATTCGGGAGGTGGCGGGAGGAGGTGGAGGGGAGAGGGATGTCGGTATCGTCGTCAAAGTAGTCTTCTACGGTGGGCATGGTGGGCTGATGTATAATATAGTGTAGATATAGAGAAGGGATGGCTCTGGTTCGCGAGTTTGTGTGGTTCAGAGGGGCGGTGGAATTTGATTAGCGGGACCTTACTGGTTTGTATTGAAATGTAATTCGTATAGCAGTCTCCTAATGAAAACTCCCCATATGACGACGTGGTAGCGTGACCGGGTCCAAGCTGTAGCAAGCTTCCCTAACACCCACCATTCATTCACCTCACACAAGTACCATACTTGTAGACCATACATCTACTACCCCCTCACTATATCAGCAGGTAGAACATAGACTAGCAGCCTACCCTTCTGGACACTCACATCCCCCGTCATCCTCGCATCTCCCCATCACACTCCACATTCCTCCAACTCCCCCTCCCACCCCTCACATCGCCATTCATCATGGCCTCCCCACGGACTCAGACCGCCAACGCCATCGCAGCCATCCACGCGCGGAACACCAATCAGGCGACAACACTCCAGATCCCCGATATTGACTTTACGCAGCATCAGCTCGAGAATGGAGAGGTGGTCAGTACGACCGAGCGGGTCGTGAAGGATGTGAGTTGCTTCTTTCTGACGAAGCCTCACGCGATGTCTCGAGTCGCGGTATAGCGTGTCTGGCGGCGCTGCGAGGAGGTCGCATGTCTCTCGCGGAAAGGGCGTAGCACGACGAGCTGGACAATCGGCTGTAGAGGTTCGAATGGATAATAGCGAGGTGGCGAGCCAGAATGGAGTTCCCACAGTCGCCTCCCCCTTTGGCTTCATCTACACTCCTCTCAGCTGCCGCATTCAGAGGATCGCGCATGAGATGGAAGCTGACACGTCCAGGTCCAAGCCCCAGCGATGTATGTCCCGACAGACGAGCAGTTCTACTCGAAAGAGGACAAGTCAAAGCCGGATATCGCGTTCCTCAAGAACCACTTTTATCGGGAAGGGAGATTGACCGAGGAACAGGCGTTGTTCATCCTGCAGAAGTACGTCTACCTAATCGAGACTCTTCAAAGATGAGAGGCATAGGTGGCTGATCAGACAGGGGTGGAGAGGTATTGAAGGCTGAGCCGAACTTGCTCGAAGTGGACGCGCCCATCACTGGTGAGCTACGCGTACACTATATGAGTGTAATCCCGAGCTGACAAGACTAGTCTGCGGTGATATACATGGTCAATACGTCAGTCATAAAAGACACTATCCTGCTGGGCTCTAGCTGATCGTGCAGTACGATCTGATGAAGCTCTTCGAAGTGGGCGGAAACCCCTCCGAAACGAGGTATCTGTTCCTGGGCGACTATGTCGACCGAGGATACTTCTCCATTGAAGTAAGCTGGCTCGCAGTCGGTACTTGCCATGAGCCAAGCTGATCATCCAGTGTGTCCTCTATCTGTGGTCGTTGAAGATGTGGTACCCCGACACCCTGTTCCTCTTGCGGGGCAACCACGAATGTCGCCATTTGACCGACTACTTCACCTTCAAGCTGGAATGTAAGCTGCAGCCCCCCGACTACCGATAGGACCGCCAGCTGATATCACAGGCAAGCACAAGTACTCGGAAACCGTCTACAACGCGTGCATGGACTCGTTCTGCAACCTTCCCTTGGCGGCGGTCATGAACAAGCAGTTCCTCTGTATCCACGGCGGTCTCTCGCCGGAACTGCACACCCTTGACGATCTGCGTACTGTGCGTTGATGTTCCCTCGATGTTCGTCAGGAGTCAACTGATCATCTAGATCAACCGGTATAGGGAGCCTCCGACCCATGGGCTCATGTGCGATATCCTCTGGGCGGACCCGCTTGAGGATTTCGGAAGTGAAAAGAACCCGAACGATACATTTATTCACAATCACGTCCGGGGATGCTCATACTTCTTCACGTCAGTTGCGTTCTGTATTCTGCCGTCTTCGGATGGAGATGTGAGCTGACCCGGCAGGTACGCCGCAGCCTGTCAATTCTTGGAGCGCAACAACCTGCTATCCATCATCAGAGCGCATGAGGCGCAAGATGCCGGGTATGTCATCTGTTTGGTTCGCGCCAAGGTTTATGAACATCAGCTGACCTCACAGATACCGGATGTACAGGAAGACAAAGACGACCGGTTTCCCATCGGTCATGACGATCTTTTCTGCCCCCAACTACCTCGACGTGTATGCCAACAAGGCTGCTGTGCTCAAGTACGAGTCGAACGTTATGAAGTGAGTTTCCGCGGACAGCGACTTGGATCCGGTAAGCTCATATGTCCAGCATTCGGCAATTCAACTGCACACCCCACCCGTACTGGTTGCCGAACTTCATGGATGTCTTCACTTGGTCCTTGCCTTTCGTGGGAGAGAAGAGTAAGCTACTACGGCCTCCGATGTGAATGGGCAAAGCTGACTTGGTAGTCACCGATATGCTGATAGCTATTCTCAACTGCTGCACCAAGGAGGAGCTCGAGGAGGAAGAGGAGACACCGATGATCACCCCCGAAACGCCCGAGATCGAAGGTTTGTCTTTGCCGCTGTCGTCAGGTGTTGATAGCGAAGCTGATGTCCAGATCCCACCGAGAGCCAGCAACAGAGGCAGCTCATCAAGTCGAAGATCCTTGCTGTTGGGCGGATGTCGCGCGTCTTTGCGCTCTTACGGTAAGCTACGTAGAGCTTCGAGATCTAGACCAAGCTGACCAAGCAGAGAGGAGTCCGAGAAGGTCTCCGAGCTCAAGAGCATCTCGGGAGCCAATGGTGCGCCAGGTGTTGAGCTTGCGAGCGGGGCAGAAGAGATCAAGGATGCAATTCACGGGTTTGATGATGCGTACGTCGTATTTGCATTCGGGTTGAGACTGAAAGCTGACTTACAGGCGGAAGTCTGATATTGAAAATGAGCGGCTGCCGCCAGATATCATCGATGTGAGTTGAGTAGTCTGCTTCATCGGCAAGCTGAGCTGACCCCATAGCCCGATGACGAGTCCCCCGCCACCCCCTCCCCGAGCCACTCGATCCCCCACACCCCCGAAGAAATGCCCTACGTCCCCATCACTGGCCCGTTTGCGACGCACGACTCCCCCATCGCCCCTTCTCCCTCGGACGGCACCGTCCCTGGCCCCCTCTCGCCCGGTTCAGGCGGCGGCGGCGGATCTCCCGGTACACCCACCGCGGGCGGTGGCATGTCGTGGCGCCGAGGCCACTCGCGCAAGCAGTCGCTCGGAACGACCAAGACGTCGCCTTCGAACCGGAGGCGCAGTCTGGAGAATACGATGCACCTCATCAGGGACGTCGTGGATGGCAGAGACGCGAATGCGGATGGGCAGCTCCGGAGCTTGGCCGAGGTTATTGCGAGTCCGTCGAGCCCGACGAGGGGGAAGGGGGACGGTGGAGCTTGAGCGTGAGCGTGGAAATGGAGGGAAGGCAGGAAAGAGGGAGAAGGGGGAGAGGGGTGGGGTAGGGTGTACAGTACTGCGGGATGATATGACTATACGACATACAAGACGGCACAAGGGGAAAAGCTGGCCTGCGGAGCTACGCCAGCGCCAAGGAGGATCTTCTTAATATACCACCTATTCATCGGCTCTCTCTTTCTTGCTTGTAGGATGTGTATATACCCGTTACGCCCTTCATATCAAGTATCAGCTACATAGCATGCACAGTGTGTAATTGCTCCTATATCTGCCGACACATGCGCATCATTGATGATATATATCGATGTACGCGAGTGACAATCGTTCATTGCCACATGTATCATCTCTGCGGATCATGACCAAGTCAAGCGAAAGCCGGGTACCAAGCAGACATGCAGGGCCATGGGTATTATTGATACATACAGTGTACAGAGTGGCACAGGGCAGGTGAATGCGGCCTAAAAAGCAGAAGATCCTAGACCGATGAGGGCGTGGATGGGGTACATGATGGTTCCGGGAGGAAAGCGGGGATAAAGGGTGGATCCAGGGGCGATCAGACGATATCCCAAAGCTCTTCCTGCGCGGGGGTCAGTTATTTGCCCTTCGAACAAAGAGGGGTATCAACGAGCTCACCATAGCACAGCAGAATTTTCCACATGCGACAGAAGCAGAGAGCGAGTAGTCTGATATCGAGATTTTCTGGTCGACCCATTGATCGGCAAAGTTGTCTGCGCTGGAACAGGTGTCAGCTCATGCCCAGCTCATTCTCACTGTCGGAGATATTGAACAGAATACAGTAGCTCACCCTCGTGCCATAGCTCCGACAAAGACGGCTATAGAATGCGATTCTGGCAGGGTAGGGAGGAATTTCGATAATCGAACAGTGGGAGCATCGGCCGAGAGCGCTGCGTATCGTCAGCTCATGTCACATCAGGTACGAAGGTGGCGACGAAGCTGACTGAGTTTGATGGTATTTGTGGGGAAATGATCGGTGACTGGATTCTTGATGACACGGAGGAGCTTCTCGCTTCCCTGCACACCGCGAATACTGAGTTTGTGGAGTAATTGCACTAGACGGATCAGCTATTGTGCACCTGTACTCCAGAAAGGTAAGGAGATAACTCACCCATGAGACCGCTGAATCGCTTGAAGGTACGCGGTATCCGTACGCTCGGGTTGACCTCGATGAGCACGCCTTTGGCCGTATGGATGTATACCTGCAACAGGCCGGATTTGTTCAAGGGCGAGTCGAGCAGGGTGAGGAGGCACTGGGTCGTCAGCTCCGTCTAGAAAGACCGAAGGAGACAGCGACATGGACTCACCTGATGTGTGATGTCTGGTCGGGCGTCGGCGATATCCCTTCCTGTCTTGGCGAGGATACCCTGGTGGTCGTCGCAGTTGAGCAGGGCGTATTTGGCTTCTTTACCAGGGGCGGTCTTGGACGCTGAGCCTGAAGACACTTTGTACGCTTCCAGGCAGGCCTGTGGGTCAGCTCTGGGCTCTTTATAGAGTGACATCCCCCTGTGACCCTTTTCATCCGGCTCTCGGCCAGCCATCAAATCCCCTCCATCCAAGCCCATACTGCTCCAGCATCTCAACCCCCCACGACCGAGCAGAAGACCCACCTGCGACAGCACCACAATCAGCCTCCTCGTTCCCTCCTTCGCCTCTGCGCCCTTCGGCACCTCCGCCTGCTTGGGCACAAAGTCCGCGCCCACCCCTGTCCGCCTACTCCCCGGAAGAGGCTTGGTGACCCTCGACGCCGCCACAGCATCCGCCATGGCCCGCTTGGTCGCTTCCGACTGGCCTGTCGAGCTCATGATCCCATCCTTGTCAGACTTCAGCTGCTGTGCGACCGGATCAGCAAGCGCGGAGGCGGAGGCAGGGGTGGTAGAAGAAGCAGGAGTGAACTCGGCGGCGGTAGCGGACATCCGGGAGGCCTTGATGGAGGTGGCGTGCCGGTCGGTAGAGCCCGAGGCGCGGCGCTTGGGAGGGGTGGATGATCTGCCTGACATGGCTGATGGCGATGTGTAAGTAGGCTGAGGATGGAAACAAGATGTTTGAGAGAAGAGAAGCTCGAGCTAATTGAGCTTGGACTTGAAATTTCAGACACGCCATAACGGCACCAAATGTCGTACACCGTGCGGCTGAGGATCAAGTAGATCTGGGAGCATGACGCTGTGGATGGAGGGTGCCAGGCAGTAGCGAACACGAAGCAGATGCTCGAGAAGGGTGCGAGGAACTATATAGTACTCTAACCACGGTGCGGGGCAAATGACCAGAACCCCCTCCTGGCACGGATCCGAAGCTACCACTACCATACATCCCAATCGCTACTCCAAATCCTACAACTCCCACTTAAGCAGCGTTGAGAATCTGCAAGAACTCCTTGCCGGCGGAACCGGGCGCAGACTTCTTGACGGACGCACCGCCCTTCTTGGCGCGGCGCTCCTGCTGGACGAGCTCCTGACGACGGAGGGTCTTTGCGTAGGGGTTGAGACGGAAGAGGACGGCCTTGTTGCGGAGGGGGTTCTTCTTCTGGGTGAAGGGGCCTGAGGGTCAGCGGTGAGTCAGAAAACAAACATGAAGAGGGAGACTGACGCTTGGCAACGGGCTGGCCAGCGGGGCGGAGGACGGACTGGATCTCGTCCGAGTTGATGAGGCGGGTGACGTCCGAGGTGGAGATCTTGGCGAGGGGAAGGCTGGTCATCAGCAAAAATCTCGAAACCGAGGACGATAGACTCACTTGAAGCCAGACTTCTTCTCGTAGATCTCGTCAAGCGCCTTGATGGCGCTCTCGGTCCAGACAATGAACCGACCTACGTGTCCACCGGGGGCGAGCTGGAGGAGGTTGAGGGATTCGACGTTGCAAGTCTCGACACCGGGGACGTTCTTGAACGCCCGGACGATACCCTCGTCTTTACCGTAGACAACGAGGGGACCCCGACGCTGCTGGTACCGCCTGTTCCTCATCTTTCCCTTGCCAGCACGGAGCTTGCGCGAGTTGGACACCTTGGTAATGTCCGCAACGGCACCGACGGTCTGGAGGAGCTCGACGGCCGCCTTGGTCTTTTGGACCGACTCGATGGACGACGAGATGACGAGGGGGACCTCCTGGATCTGCTCGATGCGGTGGCCGCGGGCGAGGACGAGGGAGGGGAGAGCCGAGGCCGCAAGGGCGGACGCAACGGCGTACCGGCGCTGACCCTGGTTGATCTTGAAGTGCCACTTGCGCCACGTCTTGGTAGGGGCGAACATGCGACCGCCTCGGCACATGTTTCCGAACGCGGCCTGGCCGGATCGCTGGGTACCACCACCGCCGACACGGGGGATACGAGCGACGGCACGACCGGTACCCCACGACTCGGCCGAGGTCTGGTGACCGGCCTTGGGGGAGACGGCGTAGGCCTGACGACGGTTCTTGGCCATCGACTCTGGGAAGTTAGCAAATGGTCTAGAGTGTTCCTCCATTCCCTCCATTGCGCCTGTCCGCTCTTCCATTCCACCTAGATCATTCCATCCTCCTATTCCGTCCCACTGTCCACTTCCCCTGAATCTCTCCTTATCCTCCCCCGTCACCCCTCCTAATTGTCGGTCCAACTCACTGTGGACCTGCTGGACGACATCGAGCCTGATGGGGGCAGTGAAGACCGCGGGGAGGGGGACTGAGCCTGAGCTCTCTCCTGACGCGGACCAGACGGTGAGGGTGGGACGTGCGGCCATTTTGTCGATACTATGAGAAGATACCTTGATGGATGCTCTCTTTACTGCTACCAACGCAACGATTTTGGATAGCAACGCAGCGCAGCGAGGACGGAAGCAATTGAGTGACGGCGAAATTTGGGAACGGCCGGGATTACGTTTGGCCCGAGAGCACCAGAAGCGGAGTTATGGCGATGTGGCGGAGGCTGTTCCGTGCGTCTCCTATTGACTTTTGAGGGGACCGATGTTGCTTGAGCTCTTGAGGTGTAGACTATACATGCGGTGAAGGTATAGCAAATCATGGCACCCAAAGCCAAGGCGAGGTAAGCTAGTGCATGCTCTCACATGGCAGCTAAGTAGCTGACGATGCAGGCGTATCCTCATACGGCTCGTATCGACCGCTCTGACCGGATTCTTCTATACGACCACTCGGGCAAGATTAGGAGAGAAGCTAGCGATGATGAAGTATGATCCTATGGGTGAGTAGTCCGCTATTCTGATCATGATCGGGAGCATCAGGGCATAGCTGATATCCACAGTGAAGAAGCACGTCCTCTTCACCGAAGCCAAGATCAAGTAGGCGGTCTGTCCAGTACCGATCCGACTCTCGACCATTACCAGCGTCTCTATCGATAGACACCATCACATTGTACCCGGAATACTACCAACAATCACATACACCATGCATCCCTGTAGACCTCTCCCCGTCAACCAGCTTCACCAGCGGACGCCCATCCTTTACACAGCACGATCGTCGTACCGTCCCGTATCTGCCCTTCCACCGGGAGATCAGTCCGCAGGGGTACTGCCCAACGAGGAGAAGGAGCCGAGGGACTGGCGTCGAGGAGTATGAGGGTCCAAGTCTGGATGTCAGCGGTCGTTCGGGAAATGCAGGGACTCTGAAGGATTCAGGAGACAAGGACTTGCCTGGGAAGGATCGAGGAGAGTCTTGGGAGCTGGAGTGGCCGTAGCGGCCATCATGAGGTCCAGCAGTCTCCCGAGAGGCATCGACTGTGGAGTCAGCTCTATCTGTGGACCGGAGCAATGCGCAGAGGACATACCCCCAGCACCCAACTCCTTTCCAGCTTCCCAGCCCACTTCGCTCCTCCCTCCCAGCTCCTGATGCCCGCTTCGTCTCCCTTGCCCCACTCAAAGAAGCGCCGTTCCTGCTCCGTACCCGCAAATCCACCTGCGCTGCCCTTGAGTGGACTAGCGAGAGACCGGATCTTGCGGACGTGGATGTCCCACATCCTCTCGTCCTTGCTTTTGGTTGTTTTGGTAGCCGTATCTCCAATAGGTAAAAGAGCGGGTACCATGACGTCGGGTAAGGGGACGAGTGGTGATGTCGTACGAGCGGCTGAGGATGTAGCCTTCGAGGCAGACGCTGGTCGCTGTACATCTTTCGCGGGAGGTGGTTTGGGGATGACCCGTCCCGCCTGATCAGGGAACGTTTTGGCCAGTACAGCCTGCGCCTGAGCTTTGCGTGTGATGAAGGCGTCGTGTCGAGCATTATGTGCCAGAGGGGCAGTACAGTCGTGTGATGTCTGGGCGCGATGTCTGCCTTTTCAGCTTAGAAATGAGGGTCACCACTGGCGCGTTTCGTGCACAAGACAGAAGGTTGGCTTACGCTACACAGTATGCCCCTCCGCAGCCTGGACATCTGACCTCCTTGGCTATCCTCTCCACTTCTGCGTCGGCCTTCACAGCTGGCCCCACGCTATCTCGCTGAGTACCACCCCGGTCCGCCTCCCCCAACCCCCAACACCCTCAATACTCATCCGCCCACATCCCTGCACCTCGCACCCTCCCCTGGGCTTGAAGCTGCTCGGCCCAACTACCGTATTGGACTCTTTGTAACCCAGACCAGGATCAGAGCAGGGCTGATGGATGCGGAGGTGGTTCGAGCAGTATATGTCCCCGCAGGAGGGACAGCGGGTCGGGAGGAAGTCGATTGTGTGACATGTTGCGCAGGAGGCGCCAATGGCGAGGATGGTCTCGGAGGGTGGGTTGCTGGCCATGCTTGATCAGACGCGTTCACCAGACCTCAGGGTAGCTGCCGGGTGGAAGTTCGAGCTTTCGAAACAAGGCAGATGCAAGAGACAACGAAGCGGGCCAGGCGAGATGTTTCAGAACTCAGCGCTTCCCTCTCTCTGTCCTTTGCTTCCGGCTTGAGCGCTGAGCGACAGACATGCTTTATTCAAACATCCGTGTCTCATCATGCTCCCATGCTCTGAAACTCTCTGTCCTGCTCCCTCCCCTTCCCACTCTGCTTCAAGCTGCGAGAAAGTAGCATGAAACTGCTTGAAACCGTTGCCGGAACAATTGGGGAGGTCTGGGGTCTCCAAGACAATTACGTACTTTCCTGCGTCGATGACATCATGACCCGCGCCGAGAGATCTGATTCGCATCCGTGAATCCCGTTCCCCTTTCGGACGGGTCCAGCGAGCGAGCGACTTATAAGCGTTGGCTCTTCGAACGTGTATCTCCCTTTCATCCACCTCTCTTCCCAGCAACCTACATCAAACAGCCAACAACATGTACATCCCCAACTTCCAGAACCTCGTCGCTGCCGGTCTTGCTCTCACCGGCATGGGTGCCTTGAAGCGTATGTTTCTGCTTGCTTCCATTGCCTTTCCCCCACGGCCCCACCGCCTCCTTTCCTGTCACCTCCCCTTGTCCAGTCCAGCCGGATCCTAGCTGACTCTCTCAGCCAACAAGATCGCCCACGGCTCAGTCACCGACTACGCCGTCGAGAAGTGTCTCGACCTGGACGGCACCAAGCGTTGCACCACCCCCTTCAAGGTCTCCAAGTCGACCTGCTACACGATCAAGTGGTCCACCGACGGCGCCATCTCGCACACCACCGCCGAGGTCAGGGACGCGGGCAGCAACGAGATTGTGTACTACCGTGACACGGACGGGGACTGGACTGCGGAGAAGGGCGAGGTGAGTCGGAGCTTCTGCCAGAGGTAGAGCTGGAGTTGGAGCTGACGCCGCAGCTCGTCTACGTTGACTTCAAGCCCAAGGTCCCCGGCCAGGGCAACCACACTGTCGACTATGATATCCGGACTTGCGAGTAGGCGGTCGCGGAGAGTCAGGGCATAGGAGGTGGCAGCATGTAGGAGTAGGCAGTATACTATGTACATATTGAGTATTGACTTTCGCCTATCTCAGCGAGGGATGGCGTGCTCATATTGTACCGGAGCTCATGCTGCTAAGTGGAGGCTGTCCTGTTGATGAGTCTCCGCTCAATCCAGTGGCCGATCCACCCTTATCTTCTGTGCCCCGGCAGAGCCATAGCCCTGATAAGGCCTGGAAGGATCCTTTGTCCACTGTAAGCGGATGTTACGGCTGGACAGTCCAGGCTACTCCGACCTCCTTATCTTCCACTGATATGGAATCTGACCCCCAGAGGGGCGATAAGCAAGCAGGGCGGAGAGTACAATCGACAACTAAGGGATATATAAGAACGCCCGGCGCTGCTTCTGCATCCCCTTTTGCCACCCTTCACAACAACACTGACGCCTGACAACGCCGTCTACCCTACTCTGACCATCCCAGTTCTTCTGACTGCTCACACATCGTTCATCATGGCGGAATCTCTCATTTCGACGTTCATCATCCAAGAGGATCCATCGCCGACCTGGTGGGCGGAAGCGTCCAACAAGTGGCCAAACAGGACCTGTCTCCCTTTGTCAGCGCAGTGGCAGGAGGACGCAGCCACCGAGCATCTTCTCAACAAAGAGCTGGGCATAGAGCGTGAGTCGACGCTAGCTCTAGCCGGCTACCGTGCTAAATCCTGAATCAGAAGCTCACATCCACAGTGACCCTTACCCTGACCCACAGCAAGTTCGGAGAACCCATCCTCACCGTCACCGGCCGAGGATTCAAGGACACGCTCTACTCTCATCCACCAGCCCGGATCTTTGCCGGGCTCAATATCAGCGATGTCGACGTTCCCCCGCTCGCGAGCTTCGCCTCGAGGTGCTCAGGGTGCAAGCACGAGGATGCTGGGGACGGAGACCATACGTTGGTGGACGTAGAGGCTGAGCTTGAGAGGGGTGGGGTGGCGACGACTACGATGTGTTCGGCGTGCTCTGGGATCTTTCGGTATCATGTAGAGTATGGGGGGCCCTGACAATCCTGACTGGGCCCTTGCTAGGCAAGGCTGAGGCCTGATCCTTTTGATACGATATGGCAGTACGGCGATGCACTGGTCAATGGCTGCTGTATGGGCTCCGGAAATGAGCGAGTCGAACGGCTTGGCTGACGCCTTCCTACTTACTGCGGCCCATCGAAGCCTATAGAGCGGCTTCGCATCGACATCGGCACAATCGCCGGGGCTCTAGCTCTCGCCGCGACTCGCTGCACCCTTGGCTTCCCTTTCACTAAGCCGAGGCGGTCACGCGTTTCATCATCACCCTATCCCCCGACGAGGTCTGCCCACTCCACTCAAGACGTCAACCTCGCGGATATCGCCTTGACCACTTCAAGAGCCTAGGCGCATAGTCTTCTAACGTAACCATCCCTTTTCTCGTCAGGGTCATCATATCGGTAAACGTGCTGTAGAAGACCGATCAGTGGCGGGCTATACCCGTGAGCAGTCCAAACTGAATGTCCGGACCCGTATTGTTCCGCTGCATCCAGCTCCCGACACGCTTAGTCTTCAGCTGGGCATAAGGCTGCTGCATCACGGTGAGAAGGCAAGAAGGCCAACCATCAGGCTTTGACAGCAACCTGAGCATCTTCATGACGATTCGTGCGTACGGACGTCGTGACTAGACTTCTTGAGGGCCGATCTTTGCGCGCTGGATCGAGCTGTAAGTGCTCTAAAGGGGATGTATATATATCGCTCCCTATTCGATCTCCCTGCGTGCCCAAGCCATCACACACCCTCACTATTCTACAAACTGACGCTCCGCCCATTCGCCACCGCTTTGATGTCTGCCACCACTTACGTCCTGCCTTCCGTCTTGCCCTCTGCCGGTCGTCCTGCGCGCCACTACGCCCCTCTGGCCTCGACCTGGCAGAATGACATCGTCGACGAGTACTACGCCGGAGCGCATGGAGAGGGTATGTCCACTGTCAGGCCATTATTAGCATCTAGATGAGCCGCCTCATATGTTCCGTAGTCGGTATTCATGCTGACAGACCTAGTGAGTCTCATCGAAACGATCGGTCCCGCGTCCCAGCGCACCCTCGTCTTCAAGGGCACCAATTTCAAAGATACCCTCTTCGACCATCCGAGCCCCAGCACCAATACCGCGTGTACCCACCTGCTCGCGAGCTCGATGGATCGCAAAGGGGCGTACCTCGCCAATGGGTCGTTTCTGATCAGTACGGTTTGCAGACATTGCTCGAGGGTCTTCCAGAACAAGGTCGACTTTGCGATGTGCGCGAATCCGGAGTACATGCCCATTGCCCAGGCAGAGGTAGGTGTGATGGTTCACCTGTCGTCGACACCGTGAGCTGCTCTGTATTCCGCGTCGGATGTTTATGCACACAGCCCCCCATCAACGCATCATGCGCCTGGATTATCGCAGCATCCAGCTGAAAGAAGGTGGGCTGTTCTCTTTCGGCATGGCTCAACGTCGACCGTGTGTTCTCGAATGATCTTCCCCGTCTAATGACGCGAGATTTACTGTCCTCCTTTCACCCCTTGACCCCTCGGGACAGCCTATGACGCGTGAGAGAAGTGGAGATCCAGTGTGCCCATATCAGTGATAAGCTCGCCGGCAGTTTCTTGGCTCCTCGATCCCCCTTGCCCCCAATCAGAATATCCTACACGCATACAAGTCCAAGCCAGATGTCAGCAGCTACCACCACTACCAAGCTGAGCGTGGGACCTCACCCGACGCGGCTCCAAGCAATCATTGATGCGCACATGAAGAAGGTGGAAGAGAAGTCAGGTGAGTCATTGATTCATGGTCCTCCGGTGTCTGCCATCGCATATGGGACGTGCGACCGCGCTGATACTGCTTTAGCGACGCGCACAAAGAGTCAACCCACAGGAGCACGACCGAGCATCCGGTTCGTCGCGAACGATGATTCGTGGAGTGAAACACTGTACTGCGGTGCTGGTCCCGATCACATGTGCTCGTGCTGGAGTCAGTCTGATTCGAACGAGGAGAAAGACATGTTAGAAGTCCCGGGACATCGGGTCATGACGACCTACACCTGCAAGACGTGCAATGGTACCATGAGAGTGAGCTTCACGGGTCCCACCCGTCAGTGAGGGGCAACGGGACGTAAGGGGTGACTGTACGCTTCCGTGCTCTGCCGCGAGTTCTGTGACGTGGTTTGTACTCGCATGTTTGCAATCGCGAGAGATGTTGTGCGAGGAAGTGCCGCACGTTGATGTGATGGAGAGTGGCACCCAGTTAGCCCGCAGTAGATCATTTTCTGCTTGATATAGGGCGAGAGGATTATCCGGTGTAGGTATCCGGCGCTCGAGGGTGGGGAGACTGCTCACCGACACCTGCCACATACCTATACACGTGATGCCCGTCGCTCGGCCATCTTCGCCGTCGCTGTGGGAGGTATACCTCAGGTCTGGCGAGGAGCGGGACCTCGACCGCTCTCTCCGTACCCGACCGCCAAGCAAGCTTGACCGGTGGAACTGAAAAGATGCACCTTCTAAGGGCATTGCGGTAAGAGCAATAAGAAGCCGACGACTAGGCAGCTCGCTGGCAGTCACGTCAGTACCATGTGAGTTGTCTTCGACCGCATGAGGCTGTCAGGAATGCGTCAGCAAATCCCTGGGACCACACACGAAGGACTCGTTTCGGGTCCGATGCTTAGTCTGGTCGCCTCGCCCTGCTTTCAAGACGTCTCTTGCATTTACATCTCGCCACATTCTGTTATCCGCACATTCAGCTTTGGTCTGCTTCATCAGCGTCGCTACCCTCTGTAGCAATACGGAGCATGTAGCAGGGACCGCACTGACCTATTGTTCTGCCCCGTTGGCGTATTTTCTATCTTCCTTACCGTCAACATCCCTTCTACCACCCGCCCAAAGACCACGTGCTTCCCATCTAGGAAGTCTGCGGGTGCTACCGTTATGAAGAACTGGCATCCGTTTGTACCTGGTCCGGAGTTGGCCTGAAAGGCATTAGCTACATCTCCTCTGCCCATAAGAAAGAGGAGAGTAGCCCACCATGCTCAGCAGACCTGGGACGGTGTGCTTGACCTGAAAGTTCTCGTCGGCGAATTGTGGTGTGTCGTATATACTGAAGCTTCCCGTTCCGTCGCCTCGTACAAAGTCTCCCCCTTGCACCATGAACGATGGTATCCTGACTTGTCAGCTCTAGCCGTATCAACTTCAATACAGCTCGACAGCTCACACTCTATGGAACATGCTCTTCTTGTATCCCTGCGGCACGCCCGTTACTTTATGCTCCCCCGTACACAGCTGCCGAAAGTTCTCGGCCGTCTTGGGCACCACATCGTCAAAGAGCTCCATCTTGATCCGGCCTGAGGGCGTTTCGCCGATGTTGATGTCGAAGAAGACGACGGGGCGGACGTGCCCTTCTGGCGGGTCGGGGATGGCGGAGGAGGACATTTTGGGTGGTAGGACTACGGGCGAGATATCTGCGGATGGACTGGGTTGCTCTCGAGGTCTTGTGGGCTATGTACTGGTGTGTGGGATGAAGGGCAAAGAGAGCAGAAGACATGGGTGCATGATGAGTGATAGCAGTCAAGGGGAGACCCCTTTACGTAAATGTCCCTGCACAGCCAAATGAACACGTCAAAAGGGCGCAGCATTCCTCCTCTGCTTCATCCATCTGCTGCACAGCTAAATACCCACCATCTGCCCTTCGTACGCCTACTCAGCTGCTCAAACAGCCCTAGGAGCAGCCCAGACGCGATCACGAACCGCGCCGTACCCATGAACTAAGGCCTCATGCAAAGGCACCCCCTCCCCTCCGCAGCCTCAGCATCCCTCCAGGCCGCCGTCCCCCTCTCGCTCTCTCATCGGCGTACGACCCCGCGCCCTATCCCATCAGCCGACGCGCCCGCAGAGGACGAAGAGGACATACACGATCCTCGACCGTGGGAGTCTTTGAAGCATCCGAGGACGTACGGCTCTGCGCCCAACTCGTCGCATTCTACGCATCCAAGCCTAGGGCTCAGTTCGGATCGGGATACGGGGCATCTGCCGATGTTCCATACGGACGAGAATGAGGCGAGACGGCGTGTGGGAGCTCAGCCGCAGGTGTATGGCGAGAAGGAGGGGCTGAACGGGGCAGGGGAGAAGCAGGGCTTGATGGATGAGGATGTGTCGGGAAAGTGGGGGAAGCCGCATGGTGCTGGACCTGGAGTGGGGGGGAGAAGAGGATTACCACCAAGGCAGAGGCTATCAGGATGGGTGAGATATCCTTTCTGTGTTGTCCAGGCTTCAGGCTGAATGTTCAGCAAGGAATCTACGCCGAGTACGAGGAATGGATCTGGGCAGCCGTATACACCATTCTATCCATGATCACCCGGTTCTGGCGGATCGGAGCTGCCAACTATGTAGTCTGGGACGAAGTAAGCTTCCGCATTTGCTGGATCGAGTGCAAGCAGCTGACATCTCAGGCGCACTTTGGCAAATTCGGCTCTCACTACATCAACCGCGACTTCTACTTTGACGTCCACCCACCACTCGGCAAGATGCTGGTCGGTCTCGCCGGACTCCTATCAGGCTATAACGGGGGATTCGAGTTCAAGTCAGGCGTCGAATACCCCGCCGACTTGCCTCATACGACTATGCGGGTCATGCTCGCTTCGTTCGGGGTAGCACTGGTCCCCATTGCCTGGTTCACCGCCGGCGAGATGGGCTGGAGCAGATTCACACGGCACTGGGTGACTATCTGTGTGCTATGTGGTGAGTCTCGCTCCTAAAATTTGCAAGGAGTCCTGAGCTGATTACAGACATCGGATGGCTCTGCATCTCCCGGTTCATCCTCCTCGACTCGATGCTCCTCTTCTTCACCTTCACCACCACCCTCGGACTCGTCAAATTCCACAATCAGCGGCATGAGGCGTTCGGGGATGATTGGTGGATGTGGCTGATCTTCACTGGATGGAGTATCGGCTGCGTCTGCTCAGTCAAGTGGGTCGGCATGTTCGCTATGGCCATGGTTGGGGTGTATACCGTGGAAGATCTCTGGGAGAAGTTTGGGGATCTCAAAATGCCTCTGGTAAGCTCGAGCGTTTCTGCGGAGGAGACATCAGCTCATGCCAAAGCGAACATATATCAAACACTGGATGGCCCGTATCTCTGCCCTCATCATCCTCCCCTTCCTCGTCTACGCCGCTTGCTTCAAGATCCACTTCCTCATCTTGAACCGATCCGGGCCGGGCGACGCCCAAATGTCCTCGCTCTTCCAGGCCCACCTGCGCGGAATCGACTTTGCCGAATCTCCCTTGGAAATCGCCTACGGCTCGAAAGTTACGCTCAAGAACTACGGGTATGGAGGTGGTCTGCTCCACTCGCATGTCCAGACCATGCCCGTCGGGAGTCAGCAACAACAGATCACCTGCTACCACTACAAGGACGACAACAACCACTGGCGGATCACACCGACGTGGGGCGCCGACCCGGTCGATCCGGACGGACCGGTCAAGTTCTTGCTTGATGGCGATACCATCCGACTGGTACATACGTCAACGGGCCGCAATTTGCACTCGCACGTCATTGCGGCGCCGGTCACGAAGGAGCACTGGGAGGTGTCGGGGTACGGAAACGAGACGATTGGGGATGAGGGGGATCATTGGGTCGTCGAGGTGGTAGACGACACCCATCGCTCTCGGTCAGATGCGAAGGACGGGCGGGTACATTCCCTGACGACTCGGATGCGGTTCCGGCACAAGCTGCTGAATTGCTATCTGAGAGCAGCGAACTCGGTGCTGCCCCAGTGGGGGTTCAAGCAGGTCGAGGTGACTTGCGACAAGGAGAACAACCCGAAGGACATTCATACCTACTGGAATGTCGAGTCTCACTGGAACGAGCGACGTAAGTTTTCGCTATCGGCGAGACATTCCTCAAAGCTGACCACTAGTACCCGCTGGCTCGGCAAAACTCTACAAATCCCCCTTCTGGCGCGACTTCCTCCACCTCAATGTCGCCATGTGGACCTCCAACAACGCCCTCGTCCCCGACCCAGACAAGGACGATATCCTCGCTTCTCTCCCAACGGACTGGCCATTCCTTAACCTCGGTCTCCGGATGTGCGGATGGGGCGACAATCAGATCAAGTTCTACCTCCTTGGAACACCGATCATCTGGTGGTTTTCCTCCATCGCGCTCGTGCTGGGCATGGGAATGACGGGGTGGTATATCCTGAGAATGCAGAGGGGTTACAAGGACTGGAAAGTCGGAGAGTGGGAAGACTGGACGCATGTTGGGAAGGTGGCCTTTGCGGGCTGGGCGTTCCACTACTGTGAGCTGGAGAACGATCAGCAGTCTGCAGCCCTCAAGCTGACGTATTCAGTGCCGTTCTTGATCATGGGCCGAGTCACCTATCTGCACCACTACGTATGTCACTTCGCTCTTATTATTGCGCCATGCTGACCTTCAGCTCCCTACGCTCTGGTTCGCAGTCCTCATTGCCGGTCACGTCTTGGACCACCTCTTCTTTGGCAACCCGCGCGACAACCGACCACAATCAAGACGACTCGCTTGGTTCGTTGTTTGGACGCTGGCGGTCGTGGTCAACTTCTGGTGGTTCAAGGATTTGGCGTTGGGGGTGCATGGGAACATCAACGACCACAAGGGATGGAAGTGGCGGTCAAGCTGGAATGTGAGTAATGCGTCAATGTTTGGTGACTAGTAGCTGATAACCATAGATCTACAACTGAGTATCCGGCCTGCCCTAGCTATGACACGAACGACCCAAAAGCATTCATCAATAGATTCTCATCGCTTGGAATGCCTCATGCATCTCTTGCCACTCCGATTGGCAGCATGCTTCCATTCTCATGCCAAGACCCACATTTCAAACCTATATTTGAACTCCTTCTCCTCTACTTCTCCCTCCTTCACCTCGAATCCCACATACTCTTCTAGCTCCTTATGACTCGCTATCCGCCATACCTTCTTCCCCTCCCTTCCCTCTTCCCCATTTTCGGCTGTCCGGCTCGTGAAATCATCCAGGAAGGTATCACACTCGACGTCGGTCGTTATTCGCGTCAAGAGGACGCGGTCTACCATCGGCGGGGAGGCAGTAAGGGCCTCAGAGTAGAGCTGCGCGCCGCCAATGAGGAAGATCTTCTGCGAGGCGGAGGAAGAAGGGGAGGAGAGGGCTTCGCTGAGCGAAGAGTGTGAGGAGGAGGAAGGTTCAGAAGAGCTGGAAGGTTGAGCTTTGTCTTACGCCTGGCGAGTCAACCAGGTAGCTCACACGTCGATGCCTTTCCGGGAGACTACCAAGTTCTGCCTGTTCGCCAATGGCCTGAACTTGGTCGGTATACTCTCCCAGGTCTTACGGCCCATGATGACCGCATTCTGCGTTGAAGCAGCTCCACCTTGGGCGGAGGGATGCGCGCCGACAGTGACTATACTGCGTCAGTCAGTCATCTGCCGTAGCGCCGAGCAATGAGCGATACAGAGTGTCAGAAGTGGAGTCGGTGGGGAGACGAACCTTTCTGAAAGTACTTCATCTCGCCCGGGAGACGCCATGGGAGTCCTCCATCTTTCCCAATGCCATTAGAGAGGGTAGCTGCCACGATGGCAGTCACCGAAGGGCGGGCCGAGGTGCTCATGATGCCTGTAGAGAGGTTTGAGAGGGGTCGAAGAGAGAAATGTACGCGAAGGAGTGGGGGACACGGCCGGGACAGAAATGGGGGGAATATTTACAGTCAACAAGCTGGACCTGTGCGTCACCGGCCTGGCTGCGGGGAACCCATGCTCTCTACTCTATCTATCGCGCTCTTACATCCCAAATCCGGATAGCATAGATACATACAGTATGCCCGTGAGTACTGTTCCGTCAGCGTGATCGAAAGGCGGGAGGTCACGTCCTCTATCCCGTTTCGAGGGACAAGATTGACCTTGTACAGGCCTACCACTCCTCTTACAACGATGATCCCTCGGTCCGGCAAGTGGGCAACACCGCTATCTTGCCTATATCTACCAAAGTGCGCGGACCGGCGCCCATAGCATGTGAGCTACATTCCCCGAGGTGCTGCATCTAGCGCCTAGACTGTGAGCTGATTGTCCAGCCGACCCTAGTCAGCCGGACATCATCGAAGAGGCCTTGGACCTGTATGTCCACCTGCCTTACCGCCTTGTGCCGACCGAGGCGGCATATGACTAGTCAAGTACTGATCCTACAGCTTCCGAGCCAACTGTCTCTTCAGAAACTTCGAGATCAAAGGTAAGCTTCGCAACCCCAAGATTCGCACTTCGTTCGCCAAAGCTGACCCACCAGGCCCCGCCGACCGCCTGCTCATCTACCTAATCCTCTTCATTTCGGAATGCCTCACCAAGCTCGCACCCACGCCCGGAAGACCGTCTCCGGGGTATCAAGAAGCGACCAAGGTGCTTCAAACACTCGCGGTGGACTCGTTTGCTCTGCCCGGAGACGCTGGGTTCCCGTTGAACAGCTTGTACCACGCCCCAGGAAGCCGGCCTGATGCCGGTATGTTCAGAGTCCCCACTCTATACTGCGAGGTATTTCGCTGACTATGTAGATGCTCTTCGCTCCTACCTCACCCAGACCCGCACAGAGCTTGCCCTCCGACTCGCAGACCGCCTATACCCACCCGAGCAGACAATGGGGCCAGATGGACAGCCCACCGGTCAGACGGGCGCACGAGCCGCGAAGCCAAGTAAATGGTGGATGAGCTTCCAGAAGCGGCGGTGAGCTCCACGATTCCCGACTCAACAAGGAACGAGGAAGGAGCTGATGCATTCAGGTTCATGGGCCGAAGTCTGGGCAGTGCATGAGCTATGGACAGAGCAAGTTACGAGAAGAAGATGCTGTATAGGATCAGGCGCGGCGCAGAAAAGAGCGTCGATGGGATCCGGCCGAGGACGGGAATGCGGGGCTGTGCTTCAAGGTGGTTGAGCTGATGAGGACCGAGTATGAAAGGATGTTGTGCACTATCGCTGCTACGCGTGTGGGACCCTCGAGGGATCGAGGGCGCGATATGCGGTGCTGATGAGCAACGGAGCTGCGGATGAAGGGATTCTCGACTCTCAGCTGGGATATAAGGTATACGTTCTGGACCGTATCTTCCTCTTTCCTCAGTTCACACTCACCCGTCACGTACTCAGTCATTCTCATACTCACGCCCTAGCCTGTCATGCTACCTCCTTCACCTCCTTACTGGATGACCTCACCCCCTGCTTCCCCCAGCGTCAGCAACGAGCGGCGTTCTCCCACCAAGAGCTGCCATTTCTCTCCTCACGTCCCTGTCCTCACTATCATTCCTCCTACTCTGCCTCAGCACCTCCCTACCCCGCCACTCACACCCCTTACTCCGCTCACCCCCTGCCTGAAGACAAGCAGCAGGAAGAACAGCTTCTTCCACGATGAGCCCTCCACGGATGTGCTTCTCGCCAGCCCTACGCCGATTGCTGCCACGACAGAACCTCTCGCACTCGCTACGGCTGTTCCTCTGCCCTCGTCCCCCAGTCCGGCCCTCGCCGAGGCGCTTCCCATCCCTACGGGCCACGAGACCGACCACGCCCTGCATGCGCCACTTGTCGCCCACCTCGCGCTCTTACACCCATCGACTCCGAGAGAAGTGATCCACTTCTGCGCAACGAGGCTGCTCTCTCCGGACCGGCCCTTTGGGTTCGACACTGCGGTAGAGATCGACCGACGGGGGACTCAGGCCAAGGCCGAGAACGAGAGGGAGAAGGCAGTAGGGAAGGCTGCGTCTACGAAGCAGAAGGAGTGGACACCACTTTGGGCAGGTATCGGGGATCTCGCCACTGCCGGCCTGGGAAGGGAGGCCGCCAAGGGGTGCGAGCAGGTCGGACCGGGGAAGGAGATTGACGAGAAGCTGGAGTGGATGTATGGCGTGGCGAGAAGGAGCTGGGAGATCTTGGTGGTGAAGGCGCCAGGGAGGGGTGGTGCGCTGTGAGCGCGTAGACTAGAGCGAGGTACGAGTCTCGCGATGAAAGTCGGGAACGAGGGGTTTGTGATCGAAATGAGAGGACAGCGATAGGTACGACGAGGTCTCTGCGTTCTGTTAATAGCAGCGAGGCAATGAACATATTGTACATAAGATGCATAGAAGACTAGATGACAGCCAAGAGCCGGTCAAAGCAGCAACAAGTAGAAGCGGAAGACGGGCGAAATGCTCTGTGTGTCCTACGCTGTCCAGGCCTTTTACCTAAATAATCCTTCTACCGCTGCCCCAGCAGCTCTGTTCACTTGTGGAGATCAGCAGCTACCCCACAAGACGTTTCGGAAGGAGACCTTGGAGGAGAGCTGTAGGGAAAGGAGCAGGCCGAGTGAAAGCAAGAGTGAAAGTGGCGGGTGGCGAACATCTCGTCCTCCAACTCTCGCAGTGACTTCTGCCTCCGACTGGGTATAGCTCTTCCTTCTGCATATCGAAGTATGCTCAAACTCTGGCTGGGGATAGTAGCGATTCCCAGCTATCTATTGGTACTATTATGAACGCCACAGCATACACGCTCAGCTCACAGTGACCCTTCCCGTTATCCCTTCTTCAGCCCATATCCCGCGGCTCAATTCCGCGCCTCATACCACCCGAAAACAGCTTTTGGCCGTCTCCTTTCCAGCCCGGTCTTCCCCGATACCCGTCGCCCGGCTCCCTAGCGCCACACTCCCATAACGCCGAGTTGAATGATTACTATGCGTCGGCGGTACGATCCGCTGTGCACGGGCCCCTTGCCGCCCCGCGCTACCGCCTTCGCCACCGCCCCCTCGTCGTCGCCGGGTTGATACAAACAACTCCATCCCCCCCTCCCCTCTTGCTTTTGTACGTCTCCTTCTCCGCATACGTCCATATCGACAAGACACCCTTACTACCCACAAATACCTATAACAAGCATCCAGCAACATGGGTAAGTCAGCTAGAGGGCCTGGAATGAGTAGGGCATAAGCTGATGCATGCAGCGCGAACCAAGGTTAGTCATCGTGTCTGCAAAGAAGGAGGAGGAAGGAAGGTGTTGTGGAGGCAACCTCCACTCTGACCTCCCTCTCCCCCCTTCTTCCATGACATGCCTTCTCATCTACACCCATCCCCTTCTGGCATGGAGACGAGAAGCTGTGCATGGCCTAGGGGTGATGCATAGACTGCGATGATGGCGATGACGGCGGCAGCGGGTCCTGGAGGTTGAAGTTGGAGATCCCCTGCTTCCTTCCTCCACTTCAGCCCACCTCCGCACACCTATTCCCCGACCATCCCTCCTGTCTCCTCGCCTGCTACTTCCCCTCAAGACTGCCTTGACTCTCTGATACCTCATTTGCTTCGACTCCTCGGGGAACTCCAACTGACATTGATAGCAAACCGCACGAAAGTCCACCGGTGGTAAGGCGCCCCGAAAGCAGCGTGAGTCTTCCTTCCCTCACACCCTCTCCGTCATATCCCTCTCCTGTCTTCTCTTGCCCGCCATTGCAGGTCCCTCTCGGACCTTTGCTTGAAGATCTGCGGCAGCTTCCTTCCCTCGCCTGATATACACCTCTCACCCACTTATCCCTTGGTACCCCTACTGACCCCTCAGTCGCCACTAAGGCCGCCCGCAAGTCCGCGCCCGCCGCCCACGCCGGTGGTGTCAAGAAGCCCCACAGGTACAGGCCCGGTACCGTCGCTCTCCGTGAGATTAGGCGATACCAGAAGTGAGTTAGGAGGTGCTTCTTGGCCCATACGAGCGCTCAGCTGACGCCAAAGGTCGACCGAGCTCCTGATCAGGAAGCTCCCCTTCCAGCGTCTCGTCCGTGAGATCGCCCAGGACTTCAAGACGGACCGTGAGTTATCACGCGCGCTCCGCCGAAAAGCGCTCAAAAGCTTACGATGTAGTCCGATTCCAGTCCTCCGCTATCGGAGCTCTCCAGGAGGCTTCCGAGGCCTACCTCGTGTCTCTCTTCGAGGACAGTAAGTTGTGAACAGTGCGACCTCGCGTTCGCTTGAAACCAAACTGACAGTCCAGCCAACTTGGCCGCTATCCACGCCAAGCGAGTCACCATCCAGCCCAAGGACCTCCAGCTGGCCCGCCGGCTCCGAGGCGAGCGATCCTAGATGCTGTCCTGGCTCTAGCGATCAGCATCGACCGATGGCGTAGGCTCCGTAGGGTTGAGTAGAAGGGATTATACGGCCACTTCCTCCCCTCCTTTTCATTTCGTATTATGTGATACCTCCTTCATCACTTTTCTTCGTTGTTTCGCTCTGTACTCTCGCGGGGTGAACATCCTGTTTATATCGCCATATAGTGTTCCGCAAGCTCAAATGTATTCGCAGATGTATCAGTCGCTGTCGATCCTCGCTCGTACTATCCCATGATACGCGTCCGCCGTTCCAAGCTGCGGAATCGGCAACTATCATTGATGTCATCTATCTGTGATATCTGCTTGCGATGCTGCAACATTTTTCGGCCCTCCAGATCGCGTCTCTAGACCCTGACTCCCACTCAGGTCCTCTCTCAGCCGCTTCAGCGTCTCCTCCAGATCCTTCATCACCCGCACCTCCGTTCTCATCCCATACAGCCCAAGCTCAACCTCCCCGCCGCCTGCGCGAGACTCGTCTCCTCCTGCAACTGCAGCCTTCTCCTTAGCTCCTGCTCCAGCCCCTACGCCAGTACCAGCCGGCAGGCTCGCCGAGAAGGGTGTCGGAATAGACCCTACCGGAGGTGGTCTCAGCGCAGAAGTTGACGCTCTCGTTTCGCGTAGATAGTAGACCGTTTGACGGAGGATGAACTGGATTTTCTGTGCTGGGGTCAACTTTTGATACCACGGCAGGGATAGGGGTGTGAACGAGTAGGCGTACGTCAAGAGTGGACATGTATGCCTCTATTGCTTTGTTGGCTGTTATGGCAGTGCGTTCGGGGGTAGGGGATGTCAGGTGCGCGAGAACGGGTTTGACGGAGAGAAGTAGGTCTGGAATGGCCTAGAGGTGATCAGCAAGGATATAGAACGGCGTGGAAATGCGCTGGGGGGCTGTCAAGAAGACGCACCAGATCAACAGCGCCTAGAGCCGTGAAGAGGGAGTCGGCGTCGAGGGAGGTGAGGTCGAGCGGATCATGCTCTTCCGGGGACGAGGGTTGCGGGGCCGACATCTGACAGTGTATGCCTAATATGACGCGATCGTCGAAGATGAGTCGTTTGGAGGTGGATGCAGGGACGCAGGATGCGTGCAGTCTGAGGTAAAAGTCGACGAACAAAGAGAAGAAGTCGGCGGTCCAGCCGGTCGAGACTTGAGGAATGTGGAGTTGAGACTTCAGCTTCGGTGGGGTCACTAGGGTGGGTCTCACACTTTGACTCTTTGGCCAACCCGGAATGGCCGGTGATCAGTGACTACTCTGAAATAGTCGGAAGAAGGATCAGAAGCAGGAAGTGCCCATCGTCATGCATCACATCCCCCTATGTACAACCCATCCCTTGCCCCTCCTCATTCTAACCCAACGTACCCCGCCGCCCGCCCGATCGTCGTCTTCTCGAAGCACTCGGTCGTCACCTGGGCCAAGAAGCCCGGTACACTCTGCCTCTCTACGATCCAGAACGTCCGCGCCTCCTCCAGTCCCCTCGCCATCGCGCCCGTCATTTGCATAGTCCCAAAGTGCCCTTCCTGACTGGCGAATTTGAGCGTCAAGCCCATTTTGCCTTTGGGAGCGTACATGGAAGTGAGGCGGATATCGGCGCCGGACTCGTCGAATTTGATTCGCCAGCCGAGGAGGGAGTAGACGGCTTCAAGGAACTCCTTGGACTTCATACTGAAGATCTGACCATCAGTGTCACCAACAACCAATTTTACTGGGAGGGAGACCCACCTCTTTCAAGCGCTGAAGCCGCTTCGTATGCCCCATCTCCATCTCCCTGTTTTCCCGCTGCAATCTCTCCCAGCTCGCCCGCGGGACATACCCCTCATCCTCCTTTAGCCCCTTGGCCTCCTCCAACGCCTGGATCTCTTCTATCAACGCCTCGTTCTCGCTTCGAAGCTGATCCAGCTCAGCCCGCCGGATGGTCTTTTCCTTTGCAGCGGGATTGTTGGCGAATTCGATACAGCGCTCTGTGGCGGGATTGTACTCGCCTGATGCAACCCGGCGCATCAGGTCAGTCACTTCGGCGTCCAGTGTGGTGTTCGCGGTGGTGAGCTCGGCGATCGTTGACTGGAGGGCGGTGATGTCTGCATTATCAGTTGGTCCCAACAGCAAAGGTAGAGTGTGCGTACCTGCTTGAAGCGTGTCGGCCTTGGTCTGCGCCTCATCCAGCATGGTCTGCTTGACAAGGCCAGCTCCCTGAGTCAGACGATCCTCCAGCTCCCTCGAGTCCCGGGCTACAGCCTCCAGTTCAGCCTTATATAGCTTAACCTGCTTCTCCAGGTAATTCACGCGCCGAGTATGGTCCCCCAATGACACTCCGTCAGGCCCTGACTGGCGCTGCTACTTCAGCTATCGCTCGTTCGGTCACAAGCATCTGCCACCTTACCGAGCTAGACTCCAAGGCCTCTACCTGCTTGCGCGCAAACTCCTCTCCCTTCTCGGCCGCTGCGCGCCCCTCTTTCGCCCATCGACATTCCCGCTCCGCTTCCAGCAACTTCTTGGTCAAATCCTGAATGACAGCACGGCTGTCGTCGCTTTGCCGCACGAGGCGGACGTCCAGAGTTCGTATCTCGCTATCTTTCTGGGCGAGGTCGGATGTTGCCTGTGTGTGCAGGGCGGAAAGGGACGAAAGGCGTGATTGGAGGGTCTTGGCGTCGGGGAGAGCGGCATCGGGCGATGATGGGAAGGTCTGGGTAAGAGAGCTGGAGCATGAGCTGAATGCCACTATTCTAAAATGTCAACTCACTCCATGTCCCTCCGAGAACGCTCCAGCTGTTCCTGCAACGTCCAAATCTGTTCCCTCAAATCCCGCTCAATCTCCTTCTGCACCCGCTCGGCCGCTTCCGCCTGCTTCTTGTACTGCCTCAACTCTGTGACCTCGGTCTTGAGGCTATTCGCTTGTTGCTGATGCAGTAAGAATTGCTGAGATTGGCCTGACGGTCAGCTCTGCTTCATCAAACAACCGAGAAGGGGAGCTCACGCCTGAACTCCTTCCGCAACACCTCGTCCCCTTCCTTCTCGCCGCCTTCACCATCCCGCCCGCCTCTGAGCGTTGCGACGATCCTCTTCTGCTCCTCCAGATCGATAGTCAGAGCCTGGGCCCTCCGCTGCCATAACTTGAGCGAGTCCACCTGTCTCTTTGCGTCCCCCAGCTCCCCCTCGAGCCGCTTGGCCGTTGAGACGTGTTCCTGCTTGAGTGCCGCAAGGCGACCGATAGTCTGGTCATGCTCAGATTTGAGCGCTTCCAAACTGGATGAGGCCTTCTCGTATTTTGTGCGATACTCTGATAGCCGGCCGTTCAGGCGTTTCTAGCATAAGCTATAACCTTTCTTTAGCGAGGAGGAAAGCTCACTGTGTCCTCTGCAAACTTGGCTTCTCTCTCCTCTCCTCTTCCTCTCTCATTCGCCTCTCCCTTGAGGATTAGGTCCCTCTGTGCGCGAACGACCTCTCCCTTCCCCCGCTGCTCCGTCATTTCCGCCTCCATCTCCCTATTCCGCTTGTTTGACGTTGAGAGATCCCGCTCCAATGTAGCAATCTTTGCTTGAGCCCTAGCAAGGTCACGCTTCATCTTTGCAGGGTCTGATCATCAGCTTTCCATACGTATTTCATAGGGAGGGCTACATACCCTCATCAAGACCCGCTTCAGTCGCACCCCGCTTTCCGAGCGCTCCTGATCGGCCTGTGTCGTTCGAGAATACGTTCATTTCGGACCGCTGCACGCGGGAGGTACTAGCTGAGAGCTGGCGACTCATCTTTGTTGGGCGCCGAGGTCTCCCTGTGATCAATGTATATGAGCAACAGCAAGACCTCAAGCAGCTGAACGTCATGTCTGAGCCATTATCTGGCGCCTGACGCACGGATCACGTTTCTCACCCAAAACACGCTCAGCAGCTCGAGCGAGGCGATAGGTTGTGGCTTGAGACCATACTTTATCATCGGTAGCACAAGTCCACCTCGGCCGACGGTCGACAGCCCGGATAGTATCAGAACGGACCGCAAATCAGGAAGCAGGAGCGAAATGTAGCTCGCCTGTTACTGGCCGACAGACGATCGCGAACCGGAAGAGGCGCTCGACGACGAAGAGATTACTCCTGCTCTGGACCGTCTGGCCACTTGCAGCCTACCCCTCCATCTAACAGCTCATTACACAAGGATGATATCCACCGCGGCACTGTCCCTCGACATGGCCATGATCCCCGCCTCAATCGAGAGCATGGAAATGGCGCAGGTTCCTGCGCTGATCAAACTCGCTCACCCAACTGAGGCCTTATTTCTAAGCAGGCACGGATGGTAGCCAAGGTTTGGCAACACTCCTTTCGACCGATTCGAGATTCCCCATCACCAACATATGATATAAGAGGTTCTCGCCGACTGCTCTTCCCCTCCTTCTCGCCACCTCCAATACAAGCTGGATTCTGGAATCGCTAAACGCGCTCTTTCAATATGCGGTCTCTCAACCTCTTATCAGCGATCCTCTTCTCCCTCTCGACCGTCCAGGCCTTCATCGGCATCACTCTCGACATGTACAACCCCTCCTGCGCATACGCCTGCCGCTCCGTCATCGCCGGCGCCATGATCGACTGCACCGCAACTGCAGACGACATGTCCGGCCACATTATGACCCGCATGATGAAGCGGCACGGCGACATGGAAGAGACCACTCCTGAGTGTCGCTCCACCTCAGTCCCATTCCTCACCACCCTCGCCTACTGCATTCACGAGAAGTGCTTCCCGGAGCCCAACCCCACCCGCGCCAAGCTCGAGACATACTGGTACGCCCAGTCCACAGGGGACAAGGCGGTCGCGCCCATGTGGGGGTATCAGGAGGCGTATGACAGGGTTAGCGGGACTCCGTCGGCGGCGTATGATGCTGAGGCGATGGAGTTGAACGGGACGATGTTGATCAACAAGGACTCTTGGCAGGCGGAGAAGCAGAGCATGGAGCAGTTTGAATGGCAAGAGACGCTCAATTCGAGATACGCGTAAGCTTTCCAGTCCAGATCGTGGACAGTATGCTGACTAGTAGCTTGACCCTATTCTTGGTCGGCGTGGGCATTCCTATCCTCCTCACCGCGCTGTCTTACCTCCCTTACGCCGCCTCCCTCTCACACTGGCTCAAAGTGAGATACATCTACCCCACCTTGGCCTCGCGCCACATCCAGCCCATGTACCGCGTCTTCCACATCCCCACCCTCGGCCAATCCATCTTCCTCGCCTTCTTCGTCATTATGACGGTCGTCTTCACCGCTGTCGAGTACGGCTCGGTCTCGCCGAACACCTGGTTTACTTCCACCTACTTTGAGACCATGTCATACGTCGCCAATCGGACTGGCGCCCTCTCGATAGCGCTCATGCCTCTTACCATCCTTCTCGCTGGGCGCAACAACATCCTCCTCTGGCTCAGCAACTGGTCACACTCCACCTACCTCCTCATACACCGCTGGGTCGCCCGGCTTTGCCTACTCCAGCTCGTCCTCCACTCCATCCTGGAACTCGTGGCCCGCGTCCAGAACGGCTCCTACCCTACCGAGCTCCCCAAGCTGTACTGGGTATGGGGCTGCGTCGGGACAGTCGCCGCGGTCATCATGGTCGTCGCCGCACAGTTCCGTAAATACTACTACGAGATCTTCCTCATCACCCACATCCTCCTCGCGGTCTTCGTCATCGCTGGAACGTGGTATCATATCGAGTACCTCTACCAGCGGCAGTTCGCGTACGAGTACTGGATTTACCTGTGCTGCGCCATCTGGTTCTTTGACCGAGTCGTCCGGCTGGGCCGGGTGCTCAAGGTCGGGATCAAGCAGGCGGTGTTGACGCCGATAGGGGATGAGGTGGTCAGGGTGGATATTCCGGGAGTTAGGTGGTCGATCGTGCCGGGCCAGCACGCCTACCTCTACCTCCCGGCGACGAGGAAGTGGGCGCCATGGGAGAATCACCCCTTCTCCGTTATCCCCACCGCCCTCCTCCGTCCGGCCACCAAGCACACCCTCTCCCCGTCCACTTCCGATCCAGCCTTCTCCACCACCGCAGAGACCCCCGATATCGAAAAGTCCGAGAAGGATACCACCAACCCTCTCCCTGTCCTATCGTCCGGCCGCGGTATGGCCCTCACACACTCCACATCCGGCATCACCCTCTTCACCAAGCGCCACAAGGGTCTCACCGCTTCCTTTACCCACTCCCGCCTGTCCGCCCTTCTTGACGGTCCTTACCGCAATACCTCGTCTCAGCCCGTACTCGATACCGACCGCCTCATCCTCTTTGCCGGCGGTATCGGAATCACCGGTATCCTACCGTTCGTCCACGCCCATCCCAACATCAAGATCTACTGGTCGGTCCGGTCTGCCCAGGCGGCGCTGGTGGAGGAGCTCCAGCCATGTATCCCGGGACACGTGGAGAGGAGCATCCTGATGGGAGGGCGAAATGATTTGGACATGGCGCTGGCAGAGGAGGTCAAGGCGGGCTGGGGGCTAGTCGGGGTGGTAGTGTGTGGACCTGGGGGGATGTGCGATCAGGTCAGGAACACGGTGGCGCTGTTGGGGAAGACGTACCCCAGCACCAAGTGGGAGCTGGATGTTGAGGCCTTCCTGTATTGAGAAATGAAGCCTCAACGTGCAGAGGGGGAATGCAGTTCAAATGTGGCCGGTATGTATATAGGATGTGAGCAATGAGGCATGAGAGCCAATGTTGTGCGTGTTTTCAACTCGTATTTGCGTCTAGACCCTACAGGCTGACTGGATCGAGCACCCCACTGGGAGTCCGGGTACCCGAGGGCTTTGGTAAAAGAATCGGACCGATCTGACTGAGTTGGGTGAGCTGATCTCCTTTACTGTAGTAGCCTGGACACGAAACCCAGGTCGACATGATAGGTGAGGCGGATATATATAGCGGAGAGACTGAACATGGGGCTCACCTTGCATGAGATTGTCAGCTGCGGGGGGACCCAAGGTAAAGCCTGGACTCCCATTAGACCAGTTGTTCATGATCAGCCTTGATGGGTTGACGGATCCTGATATGTCAACCTAGCGCCAGTAGGACTTCGGCGATGTAGTCGAACACAGTAAGAAGGAGAAAGACGTACGGTACATGGCGGGCGCCTTCAGTTGTTGGCCGTCAAACTGATACGTGGTTGCGTTGGGCAGCCAGGCGATCCTGTACGTCAGATCATGACACCCTGTTCACTGATAGTACGAGTCAGAGACATGTCGAGCTCACGTGTAGTTGTGAAAGGAGTCGATGGGATTGGCCGGGAACGGGTTGCTCTGGTGGCTATTGTCCTTTCCAGCCGGCTGACGTATTAGTAATCGCATGGGAATAGAAGGCATCTCGAAGATCTGGAGACACTCACATTCCAGTTCGTAAGCTCGATAACGGGCGGCATGCCATCATCTGCCCCCTTGGAGCCGATGATCTCGATGTCCTGCTCGTCGCTGTTGCCGGAGCCGTCATTCGTATGGAACGTCAACTGGAAGATCAGCTTTGTGCTCGACAGGGGACTCTGCTCTCCAGCCACGAACGAGCAGACTCCACAGTGGAAAATGCTCACGATAGATTGACAGGTCCCCTTGTTGCCTCCCAGCTTTGCTTCCATGGTAAAGACACCCCCGGTGATGGTATCCTTGAGCAAGACTTCAGCCGCGCTGATGGACCCGCCCACACTCTGACCGCCCGGCACTCGCAGCTCCAGCACCGCATTCTTGACATACACGTTATCCACCGATCCCACTGACCTCGTTCCCTCGTAATTACATCCTATGGACCATCTCCCCACCTCGAGTCCGAGAGCGTCGAATTCCGAGCCGGGTATATCTGGCATTGATGCGAAAGTTATCTCCTTGAGGAGGGGGAAGTAGGCATCAGAGTGTGCGGAGAGGACGTAGCCGCATGCGCAGTCGATAGCAGGGCTTCCGAAGTGTGTGACGATAGAGGCTGCTGTGGAGAGTGTGCCACGAGCGGCGGTGTAGGGTCTGGGCGCCGCGCCATATTTCATACCGTTTTCGCCATCGAGTCCGGACGCCAGACCAGCTAGCACGCACAGCGCCAAGCAGGAAGCGATGGACCACATGTCGGAGGAACGGTTGAGAGGCCGGGTAAAGAAATTAAGGAGGCTAGACGATGTCGGATGAGGAAAAATGGAGAGGGGATGTTAGCTTGGACGAAGCTGGGGCACCGGCAGATCAGCAGGTCGCATCAGTTATGAGCTCATTCATCTTTGGCGGGATGAGCCACATGTCTATGGGCATCCAGGCCTTCCCGTCTTGTACAAGACAGGCACGATTCTCGGATATGCGAGAGCTGTCCTGAGCCACCAAGGGTCCCAATGCGGTCGGCGGAGAATAGCAAGAAAAGGTTTGGATTGGAGAAGGCGTCGTCGTGCCTTGCCAATGCCGTGATAAGGAATGAGGATCATCGTACACGTGGAGTTGGAGAGCCAGCGGTGGTTGCCGCTCATGCGCGTCATCGCCGCAAACCGCTTCTCCTTTGGTCCATCTCTCCTTGATGCCTGTACAATGCTAGCTACATGATCATGGGCGGGGTCTTCTCTCAAAGCCCACAGCCAACAGGCGCTACCTCACTCCCCGCAACTGGCCCATTGCGAAACACAAGCGAGACCGGTGCGCGCCGATATCTATCGTACTTTGTCCCCATGCCGTCCCCCGAATTGACCCACTCCCACTCGCGTCCTACCGGGCCGGCCACTATCAATGCCGTCGTCACCCTCTTGAAATGGCGTGGACTACCTATCGAGCTCGCCCAGCGGATCGTGGACCAGGCGCAGTACTGGACAAAGTGTACGAGGTCAAACAAGCGGGCATGTACCGTCATCGCGAGGATGGCCCCGCCTCGGCAATCCAGCGGAGGACAGCTCGAGACATGGACGTCGGGGCAAGAGGACGAGGTGAAGGAGGATATGGAGATGGAGGGGAGTGGATTGAGAGATCGAATAGGGGAGGTGTGGTATCTCTGTTCGAGCCCGATGGGGTGCCTACTGAAGCAGCGGAATGGAGGCGAAGAGAAGGATGAGACTGGGGCGAGCTCTTGGATACGTCAAGTGGCGGTGGAGACGTTCTCGAGGGACCAGGGTTGGAGTGATAATGCCGCTCACTATGGTGCGTACTGAGGATGACGAACTGTAATGAGTATGGCTGATTCCGTTTAGGCAAATACGAGCACTCCTACTCCTGGTTCGAGATGTCTCTTCTGCGCAATGGACAGGAGGTACCTGAGTCACGTGTCAAGATACAGTACAATGTACACGGTAAGTTAGGTTCATGAGCTTGTAGATCTCGCTGACACGGTAGCGGGGCAATACTTCAAGTCCCATCGTCACGTCTTCGACAAGACCCATCCGCTGGTGAGAGATGCAGTGGAAGGTGACAGACTCGTGTTGTGGGCACGTGCAGAGTATCCGGTATGTTCAGCTAGAAAGTGGCCATCAATCTTGTCCCAAGGCTGACAATTCAGGGGTGGACAAATGTGATCAAGTGAGCACATGTTGCAGATACAAAACTGCTTATATGGAGCTGCTGCTGACGCCTCCAGAGAAGCAAGTATATCGGTGTACACTGCCCCTTATCCTGTGCCGAGATAGGCAAGAGGTGTCCGACGATCTGACAGGATTGATAGAAGACGATATCCCGTGTATCTACTAGTATCCGGAATGCGTCAGCGCTGTGTTGTATTTCGCAAGAGTGTTTCGCATGCATCCGATCTGAGCAGCCATGAGCTTTGTCACGTCCTGGACTCTGCTGTTCATGACTGCGGATTGTCACTACTCGCACGGCTCGCCGTCCCGACCTCCTCCTATCTTATCGCGTTCTGCTCCTGCCGGCACCGGATCCCGACGGCCGGCTGTTGGCTCCGGTGGTAACCGGCCCATCCCCACGTCTCTATAAGTAGCCTCGGTCCACCCTGGTCCACCTCAGACTCCCCCACCTGCCCTTACCTCACCATACTATCACTCACAATGTCCAGCCTCCCCGCCAACTACCTCACTGCCACCGAAACTATCGCTCTCGTCCGATCCGGCAAGCTCACAGTAACCCAGATCGCCGAGGCCCATCTTGCGCGATATGACGAGCGCGATCCTACAATTCACGCCTGGGCGTACATGGACCGGGAGCGTGTCTTGAGCGAGGCTAAGCGTCTCGATGCGATACCCGAGGCAGAGAGGGGCCCACTCCATGGGGCTGTTCTCGGTGTCAAGGACATGATCAGTGGGTCAAGAGCTCGATCGACCAGACATTCCGCTGACGGTCATAGATACCAAAGACATGCCGACCGAGCACAACTCCCCCATCTACAAAGACCATAGACCGAACGTAGATGCGGTACCTGTGGGAGTCTGCCGTGCTGCAGGAGCGCTTATCTTCGGCAAGACCGTAAGTTGCTTCCCTTCCTCCCGCTCCTCCCTAGCGGCTAAGTGGTTCCAAGAGATCTGTGTCGTACCCACGCTGACAGTCTAGCACACCACCCAATTTGCGGCAACTACTACTGGACCTCCCGCTCGGAACGCGTTTGACCCCGAGCGGACTCCCGGTGGATCCAGCTCAGGATCTGGAGCTGCGGTCGGAGATTGGCAGTGTCAGCTGGCGTTTGGTACTCAGACCGTAAGCTCGAGCTCAAGCTCTCTGTCCCACGTGAGATGCGGCGCTGATCCGCATAGGTCGGGAGCACCGTCCGACCCGGAAGCTACAACGGCATCTTTGCATTGAAGCCGACGTGAGTCCAGACCCGAAGAACAAGTAGAGTCGAGCTGATGCTCAAGCTGGGGCGCCATCGGTCGCGAAGGTCTGAAGGTCTTATCCGTCACTCTCGACACCCTGGGTCTCTACGCCCGCTCAGTCGCCGATCTCCAGCTTCTCGCGGAAGTCTTCCAAGTAGTCGACGATACCCCCCCTCCCTCCCCTCCCAAACCCCTCTCATCGTGCACATTCGCATACGTAAAAACCGACCAATGGCAAGCCGGCTCTGGTCCCTCTCCGGAGCTCGAACGCGCTTGGGCCAAGTCCAAGGAGCTCCTCATCGCTGCTGGCGCGACCGTCAAGGACGTCGAGCTTCCAGCCGAATTCAACGACGTCATGCCCCGTACGGTACGGCTCATGGCGTCCGAAGGTCGGGTCAACTTTCTCCCCGAGTACATGGTCAGCAAGGACAAGCTCGATCCGCTCCTCATCAGCCACGTCGAGAACCAGACCAAGATATCCAGGCGGGAACAGCTCGATATCTACGATGCGATGGCCGCGCTCAGGCCGAAGCTCGACGCCATCGCGGGACAGTACGATGCTATCGTTACGCCGAGTGTGCCCGGGGAGGCGTGGGTGGGGATCGAGCGGACCGGGGACGCGCGATTCTGCGCGCTCTGGACCTCGCTCCATGTGCCTTGCATCAACATCCCAGGGTTTGCTAGCGAGAGCGGAATGCCTATCGGCCTGACATTGGTGGCGCCGAGGTGAGTCGATCGCTGCGCGCCTGCTCGCTCGGAGACAGAGCTGACAGGGTAGGTACGAGGACGTCAGGCTTCTGTCGGTGGCGTCAGAGGTAGCGAAGGTATGGATCAACGCGGACGAAGGGCTTCTCAGGAAAACTCCGGCTCCAGAGGAGGCGTCGCACAATTCTGCATGATCGTCAGGGTGATACTGCTGGGTTTTAGGGGATCTGAATGCAAGACTGGGCTCAGAGAGTACTGCATAGAGGGCTATTTTCAACGGTGGTGTGGTCAGCACTCTAACACCCAAATACGCTTCTTCCACCTGCCCCGACATCGAACTAGTGAGCGCTTACTCAATGGTTACTGTCACGGACCTAAGCAATCGTAAGTACCGCTCTGATCAGTCTCTGTCTCTGCTCGCTCTCGGATCCCTCTCGGATTCAGATTTCACCTTGTGTTCCGGAAATAAATCAACTCCTCATTCCTCGTCGAGATTGGCCGATGGGTCTGCCCGCACCGTGGGGCCGCACGCGACTGACCCAGAGCTGAGAGCGCGACTCAGCTTGCGATTGCAGCGGCATGCGAGGACCTTGGAAGCGTTTCTCCCCGGCTGATGATTGCGCGGCTCTGCGGGGGTACACCATACTCGCCACACCGGGTTTCTCTTGTCCGCAGCTGTCAGATCTCTGATCTCAAAACCCCCGACCGGCTTCTACCTCCCGAGGTTAATCCGACCGCCCTATTTCCTCTTCGTTGAGTCGAATTGCGCATCAGATGTACACTATTCCTCCATCATTATCTTTGTCGCAGCTATCACCCGCTTGCATATATCTTGCGGAACCGGATAGAGAGGATGAGCGCGCTTCCCGCCAGCTATCTTACGGCGACCGAGACGATATTTCTCGTCCGCGCCGGCAAGCTCACTATCACCGAAATCGCCGAGGCTCACCTTGCGCGGTATGATGAGCGAGACTCTGTCATCCATGCCTGGGCATACTTCGATAGAGAGTATATTCTGAGGGAGGCGAAAAGGCTGGATGCCATCCCCGAGAGCGAGAGGGGACCACTGTACGGTGCGGTGCTTGGAATCAAGGACGTCATTGGTGAGGTTTCAGTATGGTCTGTATGGGGCACTTGTGAATGAGCTGATCCGTCAGATACAAAAGATATGCCGACCCAGCACGGATGTCCTATCTACCAAGATCACCGGCCGAATGTTGACGGAGGACCGGTTGGCATAGCTCGAGCTGCTGGCGCTTTACTCATCGGCAAGACGGTCAGTCGCAATTACTTCGCAGCCCACGTCTGAGGCTGACATTGCAGCACACTACAGAGTTCGCTGCTAGTCACGTCGGTACTCCCGCCCGCAATGCGTACGACCAGGATCGTACACCCGGGGGATCCAGCTCAGGGTCTGGCGCGGCTGTTGCGGACTGGCAATGTCATGTAGCTTTCGGCACCCAGACTGTACGTCTATCACTCCTTATCGGCAGATCTGACTCCCACAGGCTGGTAGCACAATAAGACCTGGGAGCTACAATGGGATCTTCTCGATGAAGCCAACGTGAGCTGCTCTTTGTGCCAGATTGAGCCAAGGCTGACGGTATAGGTGGGGCGCTATCGGCCGGGATGGCTGCAAAATCCTTTCCGTCACACTGGACACTGTCGGCTTCTTCGCGCGCTCTATCGCCGACATCCAGCTCTTTGCACAGGTCTTCGGCTTGACGGACGACATACACTCTCCTTCCCCTCCAAAACCGCTCAGTGCGTGCACTTTCGCCTACGTCAAGACCGACCAGTGGATCGCCGGATCTGGCCCCTCGCCTGAGCTCGAGCGCGCCTGGTCCAAGTCCAGACAGCTTCTGCTTGACGCCGGGGCGACCATCAAGGATGTCGAGCTCCCTCCCGAGTTTGATAATGTCGCACCTCGGAATCGGAAGATCATGGCCGCTGAAGGTCGGGTCAACTTCCTACCAGAGTACATGACCGGCAAGGACAAGCTCGACCCTCTCATCGTTAGCTTCGTCGAGAATCGTACCAACATCAGCAGGAGGGAGCAGCTGGATATCTACGACGCCATGGCGGCTCTCCGACCCAAGCTGGACGCCATCGCAAGGCAGTACGACGCGATCGTCACGCCAAGCGTCCCGGGCGAGGCTTGGCTGGGGACAGAGAGCGGGGACTCGCGCATGTGTTCTCTATGGACCACACTGCACCTTCCCACGGTACAAATCCCGGGATTCGCGAGTAAAAATGGGATGCCTATCGGGTTGACGCTGGCGGCGCCGAGGTAAGTGTTCCTGCGGTTAAAACTTGAGGTGGCAAAAGGTGAGCTGACGGATCAGGTACGAGGATATGAGGTTGCTTTCGGTGGCTTCAGAGGTAGCCAAGGTCTGGGTACATGCGGACGAGGAGCTGCTGCGGAAGATACCAGCTCCCGAGGCCGCGAGGCACTGTATTCCGTGAGGAACATAGCTGGCTGAGGCCTGAGGGATGAAGTTGCTTTTTTTCAGCCACGTTTCGCCCTTTCTGGTATCCGGACTAATAGTCAATAGTCAGACGTTCACGCTACAGCTGGTCAAAGTACGGCTCGTCGCATGCATACCCCTGGGATACCGCTGCAATTGCAAGCTGTGTCTGATGTCCTCGCTCGGCGGTTACGTAAAGACGCTACCCGCCAAAGTCAAAACGGCTTGACAGCCTTCGTCGAGCTCGCTCTTTACTAGCTTTACTGTTGACAATGACCATTACGATCAGCAACATCATGATCCGCAACGCTCTCGCCACTCTGGGAGGCCCTTCTAGACTCCGCTTTGCTGCCCAGCGCAGTTACGCAGGCCCGAATGTTGTCCGAACTTTCCAGACAACCCGTCCAGGTAAATCCCTTCTCCGCTCTTGCCCGTCGATCTGGACTGAGCTAACTTTCGCAGCTCTCAAGAAGCGTCGTACTGTCGAAGTCGAAGAGGACGTTGACTCCGCCGAAGCTGAGGACGAGGCTCTCTTTGACGACGACGCGGGAGTCACTGCACCGGGAACGATAGTCGACCGCAAAACGCAGCGAGAGAATATCAAGAGCTCGATCCTCGCCGCGGTAGCTGTGAAGGGCAAGGAGAGACGCGTGGCGGGTGCATCGTTACCAATAGGGTCACTGCGGAAGGTGGCGCAGTTGAGTGAGAGTGCGGAAGATGTGGAGGAGCTTCGAGGGGTATTGCGGACATGGCGTGTACTGGGGAAGAAGGTGACAACCCAGACTGCTGTTGAGATCATTGGTGAGTCAGATTTACTCTGTCGGATGGAAACAGAAGTGCTCCCGTAGAGACGGAAGAGGGACTGAGCATGCGGACTGCGCTAATGCTCCATGCGGACTGCGCTAATGCTCAGGTCGATGTTGCAATCTCGGTCGACCAGACCTTGCCAAGGAGTTGAGCCAAGACAGAGTCCAATGTGAGTGCTCTTGCCCTCGCGAGATCGTCTCCTTCTCTCTATCATATAGGGAGCCTATGCTCACCCTGTAGACGGGTTTCCGGAAGTTCCCTCAGCCGCCCAGTTCACGATCGACGCTGCTCTCGCGAATTTCTCCCCAGCCCCGGTATCAGCATCTGGCGAAGCAGCACTGCCAGCGTGAAGCGCAGCAAGCTATTACAACAATGCAATCATCTACTTTCTACTTCTGCTTCACCTTCTCTAGGTAGTGCTGGCCCTAGCCCTCCTCCTCTTCCAGCCTGATCTGCTCCGCCAATCTATCCCTCTCCGCCTGGCGCATCCTGAACAGCGTCATGTTCTCAAACTCCTCCTCTTTCTTCTTCTGCTCCTTTCGCCCCGCATGCTCCGCCATCAGGTCCGCCATGCTCGTCGTGGAGAGATTCGGCGCTGATCCGAATGCCGGTGCTCGCGGCGCAGGCGCCATCCCGTTGTCCACTCCTCCGCCTGGACCTCCGTCCCCGCTGCCCGGTATCTGCCGCTGCCTGTCGGCCCAAGCGACCCACTCAGGCGTCTCTCCTTTCGCCCAACGGGCCTTGACACCATCCTCCAGCCTTCGCCCTTCTGCGCCGTCCATGTGATCCTTCCAGCATGCCCAGCAACCTCCCCAGTTTCCCTGTTTAAACTCGACGACCGCCTTCCGTCCCTTCTTCTTCTTCTTCTTTCCAGTGTCGCCATTTGTATCTGGTGGTTCGCTGATGATAAGGTGCGTGATGGGGCCGTAGCGACCTTCGAGGAGGGGCTGTAGTGTCGGTGGAGTAGAGGGAAGGATGGATGTTGAAGGGAATTGGAGGATAATCGTTAGATCTTCTGGGGAGATAGGTGGTTGAGCGTCGGCAGTTCCGTTCTGACCGTTCGACCGCGATGGACCGGCCTCGGCTCGAGACGACTGAGACGCCGAGGCATACGCAGCCGCTGCAGCTCGTTTTTGCGCCTCGACAAGCATCCTCCGTCCTGCCTCTTTGATCTCCTCCTCTTCCGCTGCCTGCTTCCTCCGCTGCACCGCTTCCACCTTCGCCTTCTTAGCTTCCTCTTCCCGCTGATTCAGAGCCTATACATCAGCCACTCTCCTTCCAGACAGAGTCGCGAGGTGACTCACATCAACCATAACTTTCCGCTTCTTGTCCAACTCTGCATACTTCTCCTTCCTCCGCCTCTCCCCTTCCAGCTTCCCATCGACATACTGCCGCTTCGCCACATCCTTCAAAATGTCCAACGCCAGGCTGATCTCGCGGAACTTGGCAGGTGCGTCCGGCGCAGAACTTCGATCCGGATGATACTTGAGCGAGAGCTGTCGATAGGCCCTACCGATATCTTTTTCGGTCGCGCTGGTGGAGAGCGCGAGGATCGCGTAGGGATCGAGAGCGGCCTCCTCTTCAGTCAGAAGGGGCGCCATCTTGCCGTCGATAGTCCAATGAGGAAGAAGTACAGTCTCAAGTCTATAGACAGCTGTTCGCCTGTTCGCCACCTGTTTTGCAGCCAGGCACGGTTGTCACGGCATGCACCAAAAGTTCAAGACAGCAAGACCGCCAGATCATGATAGCTTCATCCACCATACATTCGCCTTTTTGCAGCCTCGAGTACTATCGCAATGTCCGCAGAGGCATCCTCATCGACTTCAGCCGCACACGCTTCGGTATTAACCCCCTCGGAAGCTCTTCCGGCTGATGCTATACACGTCAAGGGCCCCGACTACAATCAGCCTATCGATTTGTTCCAGCTACTCGGGGGTTACGAACGGATAGGGTTCCAGGCTACTGGGCTCGCTAGGGCCATACAGGTCATCGAGAAGATGGTAAGTCGAGTTGATTCTCCTGCTTCACTGCTTCGCATGTGCATATAGCTTACCATGCAGCGGAAAGAACGGACCAACCCCGACCAACCCCTCACCCTCTTCCTCGGATACACCTCCAATCTCATCTCTTCCGGACTACGCGAGATCATCAGGTTCCTTGCCCAGAACAAGTATATCGACTGCCTCGTCACAACAGCAGGAGGCGTAGAGGAGGACTTCATCAAATGCCTCGGTTCGACGGTTCTCGGCGAGTTCTCTCTGGACGGCGCGACGCTCCGCAAGAAGGGGCTGAACAGGATTGGGAACTTGTTGGTGCCCAATTCGAATTACTGCGCGTTTGAAGACTGGGCGGTGCCGATCTTGCATGCGATGGTGAAGGAGCAAGAAGAGGACGGGGCACGGTGGTCGCCGAGCAAAGTGATTGCGAGGCTGGGGAAGGAGATCAATGATGAGGAGAGCGTGTACTACTGGTGCTGGAAGGTGAGGTCGTTTCATGGTCTAGTGGATGATGAGGACTGACGAGCAGAATGATATACCAGTGTTCTGTCCAGCACTGACAGACGGATCATTGGGCGACATGATGTACTTCCATACGTACAAGACCGACGCTCAACTCGTGGTCGATATAGTGTCCGACATTCGCCGGCTGAACGATATGAGCGTTCATGCGAAGCAGGCGGGGATGATAGTGCTGGGAGGAGGGGTGTGTAAGCACCAAATAGCGAACGCTATGCTGTTCGTAAGTCCCGCTGTCTACCGACTGGCTGTGGGGGATGACGCTGACCATGCAGCGCAATGGAGCGGACTATGCTGTATACATAAATACAGGCCAGGAAGTGAGATCGCCGAGTCCCATCTGTTTCAACTTGAGAGCTGACTGCTTAGTACGACGGCTCAGATTCTGGCGCTCGCCCGGACGAGGCGGTATCATGGGGCAAGATTCGCGCTGGCGCCGAAGCCGTCAAGGTGAGCTACTGCGCTGGACGTTAGTACCAGTCACCGAGCTGACCTACAGGTATATGCCGATGCTACACTCGTCTTCCCATTAGTGGTCGCTGCTACCTTCGGCAAAGCACACTGGGCTGCCCAGGCTGAGGGGAAGTGAGGCCGATGGCGGGGCGCTGCTGGCCATCTGGTCCCTGCATCTGAACATATTCTTCCATTTTGTACCGATTAATAGCTATGTATTGCGACCTGCAGATCGCTCCCGTTACTGTGCCCAGGTCCCCAGTCTCTGGTTCGGACAGCTGTAGAGGGCCCCAAGGCCCAATTAATACCACCCTTAAGGTGTTTATACGCACGGTCGTGCCTGAGCTCGATTGAGTCTGACGCGCCCAGCCAGACAACCATCTCTCCTCCTCCTTTCATCTACACATCCATGTGCCTATCCATATCTACATCTACCTGTACACAGACTCATCAGGAGCTATCACTACTATGGCCCTCCCAGCGCCCCGCTCAGCCGCGGTGCAAATAAAGCGTCCTCCGCCGCCAGAGTTCACGCCTGCCGCGTCGACCGCGCAGCTGCCGGCCGCCTCCGGACCTACGAGTCCGGTGGCTTTCAAGTCTGTCGGAGGAGCGGGAGTCAGCGCGTCTCCTGCGCCTGGGGCCAAGCGAGGTGAGCAGATCATCGGAGAGGGATATGGGTTCAACCTGATAGGCAGAAACGACGCAGAGGCTGTGTAGGAATGTCATGATTTATGGGTATGTCTTGTTCGGCAGCTGGACGTGGGAGGGGACTGACCAGATGCAGGGTCTGCCGGTTTCAAGATTCTGGAGTGAGTCATCGCTGAATCTCAAAGATTGAGCGCTGTATTGATGATGCAGTGCATCTACTATCACCCAGCTGTGAGCTTCCCATTCAGACGTGCTGCGCCGCGACTGACCATCTAGCCTGGAGAAGCTATTTCGACACCTGCGTCCACCGCGCCCAGGTGAGCTGGCTGTGACGGACCGTTTGGGGCCCAGCTGACATCCCAGTCCGTCGCTTGCCAATACGTCCCTACCGAGTGCGAACGGAAGCAAGCTAGCTGCTGGCCTCGGCGCTGCTGCGCCTGCTTTCGTGCCAAAGACACCTACAGTGGAGAATACATCCCCCGCGTACGTCTTCCAAGCTGGTATCCACGCTAGTAGCTGACAATCAGACACTCGGCGATCTCTTTGCAGCCGCAATGGGCATCTCAGGCCGATGGTGGGATCCTTGAACTCGAGGTAGATGGGGTACCGATGCAGCCTGGTGTAAGCGTATCTCTCGAGCGGCTAGCCCTTGAGCTGATCCTGCAGCTCAGTTACGACGATCAGTCGATGTATATGACCCAGCAGCATATCAGGCCACCCGTAAGCTAGCAGAATTCTAGCTTATCCGACGATCCAAGCTGATAGTCTCAGCTCGACTATAATCTCTACACCGCCCCACTTACATCAGTCGCCAATCCTCCGCTCGCCACGCACCCCCTCCACTCTTTCTGTATACCCGATGATCTCCGACGATACCTTACCTCCCGAAACGATGCCCAATGGTTCGCTCCCTCCGGCAACTCATACCCCGGTCTCCCAAACGAGATCGGGGTATATCACTCGCTCACCCCCCTCGATCCGCCCCGGCTACCGATGCACGGTGGACCCATCCATGGGCATCCACTCAGTAGGATCTTTCCTCACCCAGCACCGGCGTACCGCGCGCGCAGCACCGTCGATGGTGGGATCTACATGCTGCGCCGGATAGAGGGGTACAAGCTTGTCAATGAGGCGGCGTTTGGGGCTATTGATAGCTGGAAGAGGATGAGGCATCCGAATATCGTCAGCCTGCGAGAGGCGTTCACCACCAAGGGGTTCGGCGATAACTGTGAGCTTCCTGAGGCGTGTCGGACGCCAGGACTTGGCTGACCAATGTAGCTTTGATCTTCGTTTACGACTTCCACCCAGATTCTGCCACTGTCCTGGACGAGCACATCCAACCGGATGCTGCTCCCTTGACGATGGGCCGCCGGAGACTAGGGATGCCTATCCATGAGAAGGTACTTTGGAGCTATATCACTCAGGTCGCCAATGGGTTGAAGGCGATACATATGAGTGGTCTTGCTGCGCGGAATATGGATCCGAGCAAGATGTTGATCACGGGCAAGAACCGGTGAGATTGAATTTCCAGATCCGATGATGGGGAAGAGCTGATATTTGCAGGATCAGACTGAATGGGTGCGGAATCTTGGATGTTCTGGCTTATGATGGATCCACCCCGGTGGCTGTCTTCCAGGTATGCCATGAGGGGCTCAGCAGAAAGTGCTTTAGCTGATACATCATAGCAAGAAGATCTCGTCTCGTTCGGCAAACTCGTCATCTCCCTCTGCTGCGAGTTCTTTGCGCCAGGCCAGCATCCCGGCCCAGCACTGGAGCACATCACCCGCCAGTACTCGCCCGACGTCAAGAATCTGATCTTGTTCTTGGTCAGCAAGCCGTCCCCGCTGAAGAGTGTGGACGATGTTATCCGAATGGCTGGAGCGAGGATCCTGAACGATCTTGACGCCGCTCAGAAGTGAGTATCGCTATGGCAATCTGCGTGGGGAGTCGCTAATGTGGCAGCTACATCGACGTACTGGAGCAGAACCTCGCTACGGAGCTGGAGAATGCCCGACTGGTACGCCTCATGTCCAAGCTGGGGTTCATCAACGAGCGAGCGGAGTTTGAGCTCGACTCGAGATGGTCAGATACGGGCGATCGATACATTCTCAAACTGTTCCGAGATTATGTGTTCCACAGTGTTGGAGGGGATGGGCGGCCAATATTGGATATGAGCCATGTCGTTACTTGTTTGAATAAGGTGAGTTGGAACCTTCCTCAGAGGGAGATGGGTTGCTGACAATATAGCTCGATGCCGGGCTGGACGAGAAGGTCATGCTGGTCTCGAGAGACGATCAGAGCTGTCTGGTCGTGACTTATCGGGACATCAAGATCTGCGTAGAGGGCGCATACAAGTGAGTTTGGAGTACATGTCTCCAGGCTATAGGATAGGCGAGCTGATATGGTAGCGAATTGAGAAATAGCGGAGCGGGTATGATGGGTGCAGGCATGATGCAGATGCTTGGACGGTAAGGCCTCTTGCGGCTATACGGGCAGGCAGGTGTTCTTGTTGCTAGGGAGGGCATCGGGCGGAGCGGGCGTGGAGACGCGCTGGCCGACGGGAGGATAGGGAGGGCAGGGTAGTGGCGGAAGGAGCAAAACTGAAAATGACCAAAAACAATGCAAAACCGTCTGTTCCTGATCACGATTCAGACTGGGGTCAGGTGATGGTCGACCAGGCACTGCAGGGGAGCTAAGTTGGGACTATCTACCTGAGCACAAGCAGAGAGGGTAAGAGTGGAGGCAGCCGGAAGCAGCCATTCCGAGATGAGCGGGGCCCTGTCTCCCCCACGCGGGGATCACGTTGGAGCACGGAGGCCGAGTAAGGATGTACGTCATGCCGGTCCATCGGCCTCAATCTTTACCCGAATTTCCCTCCGAGCAGCTGCTCGCTGGTTCTTAAGCTGCAGCCCCTGTCTCTCCTTCACCCAGCTCATCACATCTCATCCCATCGCTACAGTCAAGATGAGGACCACAGCGCTCCTCACCCTCTTACCTCTCATCGCAGCGAGCTGGGTCCCGCGTCAGGCGGCCAGCTCGGTCTCGTCCGCTGCTGTCTCGGGGGCTTCTTCGGCGGTGGCTTCATCAGCCGTAGCAAGCGGCGCCAGCTCTGCTGCACCAGCTGCATCCTCTGCAGCATCGACCGCCGGAAACTCGACTTCTACTGGCCCGAAGGTGACGATCTACCCGTACAACGCCCCTGCCGCAGGTGTCACCATCACCGGTGTGCGGACCAGCAGTCTCGTTACGGACGCCTACCTCGGTATCCCCTTCGCTGCTGCTCGTGAGACCCGCCTCTTCCCCACAGCTCGTATGCATACTCTGCTGACAGGGCAGCTGTCGGATCTCTCCGATTCGTGTCTCCCCAGCTCCCGACCTGGAACACCTCCACCTTTTCGGCGACCCGCCAACCGCCTGCGTGCCTGCAGCGCAACTCGACCGCATACGGCGGCAATGGCTACTCTGAGGACTGCCTCTTCCTCAATGTCTTCACTCCCCAGGGTGCGAATGCGTCCAATGCCTACCTTCCGGTCTTTGTCTGGGTGTATGGCGGTGGATTTACCAGCGGCGCGGCGAGCATCTACAATGCAAGCTTGATCAACGCTGCGGGTGCCACTTCTGTGAGTTGATCGGGTGCTCTTGACTAGCAGCAAGCTGACACGACAGAACCGACCCTTCATCACTGTCGTCATCAACTACCGACTCGGCTTCTTTGGCTGGCCGTGAGTATCGCCGCCCGTATCTCGGAGAAGATAGATGCTGATCAACAGGTACGGCAAGGAGATCGCCCAGAACGGCGCTGCCAACCTCGGTCTCAAGGACGTCGTCGCATCCCTGCAGTGGGTGCAAGACAACATTTGGGCTTTCGGAGGTGATCCCAGCCGGGTCACTCTGGGTGGTCAGAGTGCAGGCGCTATTGCCGTTGCGCTGCTCTACCTCCGTCCCGACCTGGAGCTCTTCCGTTCATCCGTGAGCCTACAGTCTTGGGGTTCCGGTACGGCAGAGAACACGGCTGATCTACGTAGATCATCCAGTCTGGCGGAACCTCGACAGCCCCCATCTCGCCTACCGGTGAGGCGTGGGAGGATGTCTACAGCCTCATCGTCTCTTCGACAGGCTGCAACGTCACCGCCGCTGCTGGCAATTCCACCTCGGCAACCAATGCCACTGCGAACGCCGGTAACTATACCAGCTCGTTCGAGTGCCTCAAGTACGCCCCGGCCGACAGGCTGCTCGCTGCGCAAATCGCGGTACAGAGTAACATCCGATATGGATCTAGCTTTACATTCGGTACGTCGTCTGCAGCAATGACTAGCGCCAGAGACTGATTAGGTAGCCCCATCTATCGACTACGATCTCGTTCCGGACTCGCCCCATGCTTTGGTCGCTTCAGGCCAATTCGCACGCAGGCCGATGATCAACGGGAATGTCAAGGACGAGTGAGTTGCTCCTCTACCAGTCAACGCTGAGAGTAAAGCTGATATGACAGGGGAACCATCTTCGTTCCTCGTACCGTTCCCAGCGGTCAGGTCCCCCTGCTCCTCGGTGCCATCGAGCCTGTTCCCCCATCCAACGCCACTTTCGCCAAGCTGCTCCAACTCTACCCAGACGTCCCTGCACTTGGAAGTCCTTTCGGGACCGGTAACGAGACATTCGGTCTCAGCTCTGGGTAGGTCTCTGCACACCTCAATGTAGAGGGCAAGGCTGATATACAGGTACAAGCAGGCATCCGCCATCATTGGCGACAATGCCTTCCAGGCCAACAGGCGATGGTTGATTCGCAACTCGCAGAACTACTTCCCGGATGTCGGGGTTTACTCTTACTTCTTCAACCAGACCACTCCTGGCGCGGCCAACTACACCGGTGGTGAGCTGTCCCGACCATCCGCCTCGACCTGGACCTCAAAGCTGACAAGCCAGTTTATCACGGAAGCGACGTGCCTTACGTCTTTGGATCGGTCTTCGCTGGTGGCAACTACACTGCTGCGGACCGGAACCTGTCCACCATCATGGGCAACTACTGGTGAGTCCTCAGCTAGTCCGCACGGAGTGGAGCTGATCAACAGGATCAACTTTATCTACAACCAAAACCCCAACGGCGCCAACGCTACCAACTGGCCCGTATACGGCAGCTCTTCCGAGCAGAACATGCTTCTGCTCCAAGCCAACAACGTGACGCTCATTCGCGACAACTACCGCGAGGAGCAGATCGCCTTCTTCAACTCGGAGCCGGACCAGTTCAACCTCAAGAAGAGGGGGCTGGTAGAGGAGGAGCAGTTGATGTAGGGTAAAGCCTGGAGTCAAGGGGGAAGGACAAAGTATAATACCTGTTTATCTAGTGGGCGATCTCAATGTCATCTGTCATCTTGTGGTACTGCAGAGCGGGAGCGAGGAATGTGGCGGAAGATCTGCCCCAGGCCTAGGCGGACGGGTCGACGGCCTTGAACGGCTTCGACGGCTCATCGGGCTCCGGCTTTTCGTGGTGGCAAAGCGGATCTGCCGACTATCCGCCGGCATCTTTGATGGTCTATAACTCGTAGCTCTCTCATTGGACAATGCTCTCGCCGAAAGGTCCGACATATGCACATGTAGCCTGCGCCAGTGCCTGATTAGCTCGCTTAGCGAGGAACGTGAACGAAAGGGGCCTTCGTGTGTGATTCGCAGCGGCAAGTGGCTTGAACTCTAAAGTTACAGAAGCGCCAGTCAGCCCCAAGCTCAACTTGTTGCCTGCTTCCAATCTCTGTCATTCTACTTACCCTACCCCTATCGTTTCATCTCATCTCCCCTCTCCCCCACCCTTCCTCTTCACTGCTTCGCTCTGCTTCGGCCGCGGAGATATCGCACCTCATTAGCATACCGACATTCACTTTAGCATCCGGCCAAGCAAAGGCGATTGATTGTCTCACGCCCAAACCCCGAAAGAGCTCATGCCGCACTAGCGTGTTTCCCGCTCCACTCACCCATCTTCCCCCCGACGACTCGTCACTTTCGCTTATTCGGCCTTGACTAGCTTTGACTCATAGCTGTCTCGTATCATCATCGGGAGCGGGGAGACGGCGACGGTCACACCGCACGGAAGCGAGCAACAGAGTCCGACGCTCGTGTTCGGGTCTGATTAACACCCACCCTCCCCACGTTCACATTCGTCATCAACAACCATCCACCTACCATGCAACCCACTCGCCCCGCCTCCACATCCGGGTCGGCCAGCAACGAAGGTCAGCCCGGTATGCCCCCATCAAACCGATACTTTCAGCTGGGCGGTCGGTCAGCATTCGCTCACCATCTTCCCCCTCCCATTCCCTCCAATCCTTCACCGCAAAATGGGCATTTTTACCCCTCTTCCCCCGGATATAGGGATATTTCCTCGCTTGGACACACGGACCCGGCTTCGTGGTCGAGTGAACGGCCGACGAGTAATCGGAGCTCGAGCAGATGGTCCCCAACCTTACCTGCCCTGGCGCTTTCTCCGCGCAATCCCGAGCTAGAAAGCGGGCACGGTTCGGCCCATCAGCTCGGCGGTCAAAGCGGGTCTCAACACCGCCTCCCTCCGCTCAATGACTACCCTCAACGTCCAGCATCTGGATGGGGAGATCCTCCATCCACCGGTCACTCGTCCATCACGTCCCGCCCGCCTACATCGTACGAATCTTATCGCCCATCCTCATCCTCCCACCAACGTCAGCCTCAACCATCCAATCTGCACCCCTCTCAATCTTATCCCAGCTATCAACCCCAGCCTCAGCTGCACGAGCGCATCCGTCGCCCATCGGACGTGCAGCCCTACACCCCGGCCGCGGGCTCGCCGGACCAATCCTCCGTCCGTGGCGCCCCCGAATCGCCACAAGAAGCAGGGAGCAAGAAGAAAAAGAGGCGGGTGGCGCTATCTTGCGCAGAGTGCGCAAAGAGGAAGCAAAAGTGTAATAGGGAGACACCGTGCCAGCACTGCGTGTCGAGGAGGGTTCCTGAGCTGTGCGTGCCGTATACGAGGAATACGTCGCCCAGCGGGAAAGCAGGGGAGAAGAAGGAGGGTGGAAAGGACGTCAAGGCAGAGAGGGACGGCGGATCGGTGCAAGGTGGAACTCCGGCTCAGGCGCATATGGAAGAGCCCGGGATGTCCCAGCCTCAGGTTTCAGCTCAGGCTGCGGCCCAACCTGCAGCGCCGGCTGTGGGCGGAGCGAGAGCGCCGAGCGTGCTCCCGACGTTGAGCGTGAGGGTCATGAGGCTGGAGGCGATGGTCAATACCATGATCAATCAGGTGCCGAACCTGGAGGGGAAAGCTTTGCAGGATTGGCGCATCAGTGAGTAACTTTATAAGGCTTAGAAGCCGAAGCTGATTCGCAGATCATGCGCCTCTCACTCCACCACACACCAACAACCCCCCTCTTCGCCAGCGCGCCATCTCCATAGCCTCGTCGCGCGGACCGGGTCCGATTGACACCGCGAGGGGTTCCCGGGACGCTTCGGTTGGGCAAGAAGCTGGCCTGATGACGGGTATCGACGTCGAAAGCTCCACCCGGAACCCCCTCCCACAGTCTGTGAGTTTCCCTCCACACCGCCAGATATCGCCAAACTGATCATTCAGATGCTAGACACGGCCGATCCCGTCCCACTCGGCCTCAATTTCCACTCATCCGCCGCCGAACCTCTCCAATCCGTGCTCACTGACTGTGGCGTCTCCCCGCATAAAATCCAGGATCTTATGAGCCAGCTCCCGCCCCGGGCGGATGCGGACGACCTGGTCGAATGGTTCTTCACCAAGATCAACTATATCCGATACCCCATCTCGGAGCATCTCTTCCGCCAGAGCTACACCGCGCTTTATGATAACAGGTCGATTAACGGTGCGGCGGTGTTGGCGCTGCCGCTGGTGTTCATAGTCTTGGCGATGGCGGTGAGAGTTGCGCCGGATGAGTGGGTCGGAGGGGAAGAGGCGAAGCGGGCAACTAGTCTGAGGATGTACTGGAACTGTGAGTACAGCTAGCAAACTCTCCATATCTTTGAGCAGACAAGCTGACTGGTTCAGCAAGGATGGCGATTAACATCGCATCGGCAGTAAAGGCAGAGACGGTACAATTGGTCGAGGCCAGGATCTGCGTAAGCTCACTCGGCATATCATTCAGCTTGAAGCTGACAGGTCAGACCGGCCTCTACCTCGTACTCATGCACGACCGCCGACTCGCCGAGGGCTGGGCAGAGTTCCGAGCGGGTATTACCACTGGTCAGGCTGTAGGGCTACACCGTGACGGCTCAAAGTTGGGGCTGGACGGATACAGCAGCGAGTACAGGCGGAGACTATGGGCGTACCTCGTTCACGCGGACGCTACTTACTCGTGCCTACTCGGACGGCCCATCAGTATCGATCTACGCACTTGCGACACTTTGTGAATTTCCCGCTACCCATGGAAGATTTCTCAGCTCATCGATCAGACCACCAAGCAACCTCAACATGTGCGACTATCAGACCTCCGCTTCCCAGCCGGTCCCAAGACCGCTCTCGCAACCGACGTTCGCTACCTACCTCATCCTTCGCCGGCAGCTGGGCGAGATCGTTGCGAATGTGACGCATCATTTCCAGCGGCTGGACGGGGGTGGCGGCTACAAGGATGTTGAGGTCCTCGATGGAGAGTTCAGGCGGTTGCGCGAGGGGTTGCCTGAGACGTTCAGGATGGACAGGCCGAATAGGAGTTGGGATGATCGTAGGTCTATCGCCTGAATGGGATGCGGTCCAGGAGAAGCTGATCAAGTAGAATGCTGGTATCTGCCCGTGCATCGATATTATATTCAGACGGAGATCTTGCACTTTATCATCATCTTGCATGTAAGTTCGAAGTTGCCTTGCAATGGCAGGGTCAGAACTGATCCAATAGCGACCTTGGCTGTTGAAGAGACTCAGAAGTAACCGATATCAGCTTTCCAGGCAGGCGTGCTTCGAGGCGGCTGTGACGGACTACAAGATTGTAAGCTTCTCGAGTTTCAAAGCGGTTGGGTAGTGAGCTGACGATGCAGCGTCAAGCCTGGAAGAAGGACTGCCCGGACTTCTTCGAGACTCTACTTGGAAGCTCGTTCCGAGAATTCGTGAGCTGAAGGATTCCCCCGCGGCAAGGCCCAGGCGACTGGCAGCTGACCGTCAGAACGCCGCTATGATCGCCGGAATTAGCATGATCGTCGACCCGCGCGGTCCTCACGCGGCGGACATGCGGCATATCGTGCAGGACTTCATGCATGAACATCCGCACAACCCCCGTGCGGACGACTTTTCGCAGAAGGAGGCTGCTATAGTGAGCTCATTTCTTCATTCGGTGCAATGAGACTGGAAAGCTGATCCACCAGATCTACACCCTACACCGCCGTGCGCTCGAGATGGAGGAAAGACGCTCTCAGCGGCACTCCCTTGTGCGCTCGAATCTGTCAAACGAGCGGGGCCAGCCCATGTCCTCTCCTTCCCGCGGAGACGGTCGGATGCACCAATCGCCTCGAAGCAAGGACGAAGCGGAAATGCCTGCACCGTCAATCCCTCACCGGGCTTCGTTCGCCATGAGTACCGGCAGCTACGGACCCGACGGGGACCAGACGCCCGGCAAGACGCCTCTGATGCAGTTTATCAATGGGCACATGGGGTTGACGCCTGCTTCGACGTCGTCAGACGAGGAAGGACCGCAGAAGCTGTACGTCGATCTCTGCGGTATGTGTGACGGAGCTGATATCGCAGACTCGACCAATGGCTGATGGCCAATACGACCTATGGACCCGGGGCGGACGCTACCATCAACCCGTACATCTCGACCTATACCGGTCTCCCGCCCATGTACCAATACAACACCCCCAGCACCAGCAACAGCAATCTCCAGCATCAATCGCTCGGCACCGGACCATACGACCCGCAACTCGGAAATGCGTCCGGCTCGGGCCTTTACACCGATCCCTTGACCGGTGGGCCGGGAGGAGATGCCGGTGCAGGCGGATCGAGCAACTTCGGTTTGGGCCTAGACCCGAGGCTCGTGCCGCTCGAAGGCGGAGAAGGGGGACTCCAGAGGGGGGAGCGGATGCCGTCACTCGTTGGACCGCCTGGGGAGGATGGGAACCCGATGGTGTTCTGGGATAGACTCATCGATGGGATTGTGGTGGGGCAGGGGTATGACCTGACGGGGGTGCCATCTTTGTGAGCGGGCAGTGTCAGGATATGAGATGCGGACAAAATGTCGAATAGCTTGAATATACACGATGTAGTGAACAGGGTGGTGTTGGTGCACACCAACATGCATGGCGAGAACAAGCGATGCATTGCCTGCTGCAGGGAGCACCAGCCATCCATCCGGAGTGCCACACTCGCGGATGCTGATTTGGAGACTTCGGCGATAAGGAACGATGCCGTCACAACCGACAGTATCTGAAACTGCCGAAAGCGGCAAGAAAGGTTATCGATACGCGATTCTCCGACCGACAGATCCGAAACCGGGCGCGCCGAACCTGAATGCGTGAATGACTTTGATTCTGCTGACAACGAATGACACGGTTCGGGCGCGAGTAGCCGCACAGCGCAGGCACGTCACAGCGGGCCCGACAACAGGCTTGTCACTGCGGACTCGCGAATAAGTTGTCCAATGACAAGGGCACGGTTAGTCAGTGAAACATACACCGAGATTAGGGAGACGCGTTATCCGGCTTTACGTACTGCGCATTCCATCAGGTTCTTGGGCTTTCTGCACGATGGTTGGCGGTCATGACTTCAGGAAAGCTGAGCCGAGGCATGGGGGCGTCTGCAGCAGCATGCGAAGGTGGATTGATGTTCCGCGAAAGCGATTTCGATCAAGAGCTCATCACCCCATTGTCCTGCCGTGAGGAATGAGGGGGGCCAATCTCGCGCGCGCTCTTGCCCGAGAAAGTTAACGAACGTGCTATCGCAAATAGGCACGAGCGTAAGAACGTCCTATCTTCCAGCCAGCGCCGCTCTGCTGAGCAAGCTGATGAGGCAGGGCTCCCCCCCAGCACGTTGCAAGTCCCCCGACTCCCCTCGCCGCCGCTATCTTTTGTGCCACAGTGCCACACGCGGTTGATGTCAGGGAAATCGGGTCCGGGTTTGTGCCGAAATTGCCAAAAGGGGGCGACATTGATTAGATTTGATTTCATATCTATCAACGCTTGATTGGGCGCAGCGCAGCTCTCATCTTGGTTCCTATATCCTCTGTTCCATCTATATATCAACACCTTCGACTATAGTCACTCAGAGCTGTGATACAGCGGCAGGATACGCAACTGCACGTAATCGCCTCACCGTCAAGCGCACAGATCCTTCAGAGGAGTCTACCGAAGCTTTGATTTTCTACTGGGGAAATTGGTAAGCGTCATCCCGGGAAGGCAACATCTATCTCTCATCCTTATCTGCATTCCTACCCTTTCGACTCTGAACACCTTCCTCCGTTCAGAGTTGCGGAGCAGGTGCGCGTCAGATCGTTGAAAGGGACAAGGGACGGAAGCGATAAAGGCGATAAGGCAGGAAGGAATGCCTGGTGGCCAAGAGATCTCGCGCCGAGACGAGCCGAATCACGAGGTTACTCTTCGCCCTTCTGCAAATGACACCACAACCTTACATCGCTCCTTTGCTGACATATCAGACATCATGGCCGCATCTCCCTCACTCCCACCACCCGTCGCAAATTCTCCGGAAAACACTCTGCCGGGATACAAGCCCAGCACGCTATCCGCCCAGCACTCCCCTAGCACCCCTTACGGTCAGCCCTTTGGCTATCGGCGCTTCTCCGCTGCGTCCCGCCTCTCAGATGCGCGCGGATCAGACCGGGGAGATCCCGCCGAACGCAATGTGGACGATGAGGAAGCCATCCTCGAAGACTCGGCCCAATACGGTTCTTCATTCGAGCGGGGACAACCGTCAAGGGGCGAAGAGGAGAGTCTTCCTCGGTGGCGATTCTCGGGGTACGAGGGGAGCAATGAGCGGGGAGGAGTGGACGATGAGGTGGTTGAGGAGGAATCGAGACCGCAGAGTCGGGCGGGAGATTATGAGGGGGTAGAGGTGGAACATCCGGGATTGATTACGCCCGTCTCTGCAAGAGAAGAGGCGAATGAGGCAGGGAGTGCGGCGGAAAGGCATCTGGTCGTACCTTCCGAAGAAAAGAAGACTAGGGGAAAGGGGAAGGCCCGCAAGGGCAAGGAAGACGAAGAAGAGGCACAGCCGGCCAAAAAGCGAAGAGGTAAGCCAGCAGAGTACGCCGTGGAGTATTTAGCTGACCATACAGGGAATACACAGGCATCTCCATTACCTTCGCCACCGCCAAGTACCGCCCAGCGGCATCCGCCACTCGGCTCATGTCCTGGCGACGGACGCTGTAACGGCGCCGGCGGGAAAGCAGGCTGCGAAGGCTGTCCCACCTTCAACAATACCATTGCTTCGACAAGCATGCAGCCGCCCGTCATTGTCGCGGCGGAGGGTATCGAGCGAGCCACTCCGCAACTTCGGTCAGAACAAGGCAGGCCGAACTTCTGGTCTTTGAACGGCAACGTTGGACCGGCGGGCGTGAACATGGACAAGACCCTCTCGGCGACGTCGGCGAAAGAGCTGTCGGGCGACGAGGTAGAGGCGGAGAGCAAGGGGAGTGTGATTGGGGACGAAGATGCGGCCGAGGCGGGAGCGGCGGCGACTCCACAGGGTATGAGCTGCAGGAATTGCGGAACCAGTACGACACCGCTGTGGAGGAGAGACGAAGAGGGACGACCGCAGTGTAACGCTTGTGGTGAGTCATCGTCAGCTATGATTGATGTCAGAGCTAAAGTTCAGGCCTGTACCACAAGCTGCATGGTGTATCGCGACCAGTGACCATGAAGAAGACCGTCATCAAGCGCCGCAAGCGAGTACCTGCCATTACTTCAGCTGCGGGGCGCGCCAACGCCGCTCTTGCCGAGTCTGCGTCCCCCGCACCTCAGCAGCCTCCACTACCTACTGCGCCGACTACCTCTGCGCCGCTTCCGCGCGACCTCTACCAGCCCTCTCAGTCTTCTGGTCTCGGCCTGTCGCCCGCTCGTCCGGCTCAACACAACGGTCATCCGTCTCTCGGTTCAACCTACCATGACTCCCTGGGTCTGAGGGGTACTGCAGTTCCACTACAGCTCGGCGGCGGGATCGGCGGGGAGAGGAAACGGCCATGGTGGATCGAAGAGGGGCGAGAAGAGGCGGAACGCAGGGTGAGGGAGGCAGCCGAGCGGGACAAGAGGGACAGAGATAAGGACCAAGAGGGCGTGAGTCATGTTTCCGCATCCTCTGCTTCGATCACCACACCTTTCTTCCTGGTCTCGTACTTTTATCTGCCATTCTTGACACCCCCTTCTGGCCCTTGCCCCCCGTGACCAGGCACGATATGCCCTTCTTCCTCCTTTGTCTCCCTGTCATCAATTATCCTTTCACCCCTCTCCGCACCTGCGAGGGAGACGAGCACGTTTTCTTGTTTTGCGTCTCTAATCCCTTGTTCATCCTGACTTCCCCTGAGATGTCGGGCGCGAAGACGAGCTCGGCCATCTGATTCGCGTTACAGCGACATTTTCCTTTGATGCTTGCCTTTAGCTTTGTTGTCAGATGGCGTGCTCGCTAGGCGCTGCATATAGCAGCTTGGCCTGCGTTCTCCCCCTCCTTCTCACTTCAATCCGCTTGTGATTTTGCCCAGATAATGACTACCCTCCCTCTTCCTGCTCGTTTTGAATCGTCCACTCTGTCTCCGACGATGTTCCCCCCTCCGTCAGAACGCACGCTGACCAAGTTTCCTTCTATTCATCCTACATCGCACTCTCGTCCATCTCCTACCTTTCCCCGCCGCCTATCCACCGCGCCTCGATACCACCCCTACACCCCTCGACTGGCTCCTCCCGTATCGCCATCTCGTACTGTCACCACGCCCAAATCGCTTCCTCCGCCCTCACCACGTCCCTCCGCGTCGACTACTGATCCTTCGGTACCACACCCCATGTCTGCTTACTTCAACGTCGATCCCACCCGCCGCGCCTCCATCACCACATTTGTTCCCACTCGATCGCCCAAACCCTCATCCCGGGTGAAATCTTCCTCTCGTCATGCCTCTGAACCGCCCGTGACCCCTACAACCAGATCGGTTTCTTCCCTTCCGCGCCTCCTGCCGCCCTTCCGTCGTCCCACCAAACAGCTCGCGAGACAATTGGCCGCAGAAACCCTTCTGGCGATGGACTCGGTACCGAAGGATCCAGGAGCTGCCTCAGCAGAGCCGCCAGCAGCTGGGCAGCGTACGAGCGAGGAAGATGTGCGCGGCGCCAAGCGCAAGCATGAGGAATCACAATCGCCTTACCGCACCAATCCCATCGGTTCTTCCCTCCCTCCAAGTCGCAGCCTTCAACAATCCGCATCGTCATCCGGGGCCCGACCCCAAGGTTCCGCCTCTGGCTCAGGCGGACTGAGCACACAGTCTGGTCAAGTCGATGGCCGGTCCCCGCAGAATACACCTTTAGTCGCTCCTACAACTGCCCTTCCGGCTCCCAACCCAGCCAATCGGTACTCGCTGTACGGCAACGGGGCTCGCGATCCCCATGCGACGCCTTGGTCCCTCGGGACTCGCTACGGTCTTGGTGGTCTCCGACGCGACCCCCCTCCAGCCGCTCCTCCCGCTCCTGCCCCGACTACAGCACAGGCCAAAGCCCCTGCTCCCGCTCGCGGACCTGTCATCGACCCTTTGGCACGCAATGTCCGTCCGCCTGGACAGACTGGCCAGCAGCAATCCAGCGGCCCCACAAACCCTTATGGTCAGCCTTCGAACGCCCAGCGTGAGCTGCTCGAACATCGGGACCAGCTCCGGGAGGGCCGAAAATGGCTCGAGGCGATGATGACCAAGACGGAGCGCCTGCTTTATGCTGTCGACAAGCAGCTGGCAACTGCTCCGGCTCGGACAGCACAGCCTGCAGCTGCGCCGTCCATGACCAATGCGAGAGCAGGAGTGGCGGGTCCCGGACCATCGGCGGGGACCGGGCGGCATCTCGATGACTGGGAGTACGAGGAGCGGGAGCGGGCTCGGGCGAAGGAGATCCAGCGGCTCGAGGAGGATCGTCAGCGCGATCGCCTCGACCGGGAGAAGCGGCAGAAGGACCGTGAGGCGGATCTGGTCCGTGAGCGGGAACTGTCATTGTTCGGCGCGTCGGCGGCGGATCGAGAGCGGGAGCGGGCGCGTGCAGCTCAACGACCAGCCGAGCGTGAGCGAGACCCAAGAGCGCTCGGGTTTGGCGGAGGTTTCTTTGGGGTATGGGGAGCGGGCTTGGGTCGGGACAGGGAGTGGGAGGCTTTGCGGGAACGGCAGGCGAGGGAGAAGCTCCAGGAGGTGCAGGATAGGGAGAGGGAGTCGGCGCTGCGGGAACGCCAGCGGACCGAGTCGGAGAAGAACAGAGATCTGCTACTGGCGAGTAGGAGAGTCGCGGCTGTTAGTCCGATCCCCTCGGCTCATCCCCCGCCGGCTCCGGCTCGAGCGGGTTCAGGCAAGAGTGTCAATGCCAACTCGACGACCAACTCCCCCGTCCTTTCGACCAAGGCGGTCGCTCCTGCCGAGACAAAGTCGACGTCTGGGTGGGACGGCGAGCCCGTCATGGCCGGCTCCACTATTCCTAAGAGCCAACAGCCCCCTACCACGAACGGCAGCCAGAATGGGCAGGTCCGTCCGCCATCCGCCGGATCAGCGTCAACTACCGCACCAGCGCCAGCCTTGACGAACGGTGTCGGAAAGAACGGCTCCACCACATCAGCTTCACCCGCTACGCCCGCAGCGTCCGTCACGGCAGGATCACCAGCGGTCTCGAATGCAGCTGTTCCATCGACCGCTCCAGGCTCGGGCGGCAAGGGTGGACAGGCAGGGGCGGGAGGAGAGGGGAACGGTGTGTCAGGGGCGGCAGGAAGCTACGGGAGAGGAATGGGGAGGGGCCTTTGGAATTGGGAGGCAGGGACTAGGATTCCGGCGAGGGAGTAGAGTAGGCGTAGAATAGATTGCAGCAGGGAGAGAGTAGCGGAACAGCAGTATACAAGACACGATTAGAGTACGAATAGTCATGTAATTCCGCGTTATGTAGCTCTTTGGCTTCGGAATCTGGACAGACAGCTTTGGATTCAAGCCTGATATACAACTGGTAAGGTTTTTCCGGGTCTCTCACCAACAGATCTTGCCCGTTCACAGGAACCGCACACCGTCCCCAGTCCCGTCCTCGCCCTTGATCACCTGCGCCTTCCCCTTCTTCACCAGCCCTTCTATCGCTTTCCGCAGAATGGCAGGATATAAACCGCGGAACTCGGTCGTTTCAGCCAGATCCCCCTCTGTCAGCTCGTAAAAGGTCAATATGGAGCCTGTCTGCCCAGTATCGGTGACCTGGACAGTCAGCTTGGACTCACCGGGAGGAGTGTTATGAGCTTACCCAGTCATATATTGCCTGTCCCCAGTCGGCTGGTTTCCGCCAGTATAGTAAGTATGTTGAAGTCTGCTTTGGGGGGTCCGCTATTGTATGTCCTGCTTATCAGACTGTGTTACGAGTGTGTCGAGGATCTCAAGTGGTATCTGGCTCACCCTCCTTCGCCATGTGTGCCATGAGCTGCTTCAGCGTTGCTGGGAGTAGCCTTCCTGGGAGGGTCAGCCTCTACCGCACGTCTCCGAGACTTGAGCTTTGGCTATTCACTCACTCAATATACTCCGATTCCAGAAGACAGCACCGCCTCCGTCGACACCATCGCAATTGACCGTCCAGACCCGCTCATATCTTGCCCAAGAGAGGACGAGCTCAGACCAGAGATTCAGCTGATGTGCCAGTGTCGCTGGGTTGGGCTGTAATCTGAGTGGTCAGTATTGATCAGTGAGAATGCCTTTCCCCCGTGATAGAAAGGCTTTCCTGCGCAGTGATGACATACGTGAAGAAAGGAGGAAATGACCAGATGGCAGGAAAGGTGAATCCAGAAGTGGAGACGACGGGCCGAAGGGGTGTTGAGGGGTTCGCAACTTGCCCAGACCCATTCTGCGCTGCTTGAGCCTGCGTTCTGGCGGCTACTGATACCAAAGCTGCCCTTGAGCTGCTCGTTTCTGGGTAGCTGGTGGACATGGCGAGATGTACAAGGTGAGAAGAGGCACCTTGAAGATCGTTCCCAAAGTCGCCGACAAATGCCCCCGGAACCTTCGATCTTCGACTGCACTGGGCACGCGTCCGAAGAGCGCGTCCATCTCTATCTCCTTCTCTCTCTTTCGTACCTCAGCGCCGGCGCCATAACATCACAGCTCACTACTGGTCTAGCCATGGAGTCATCAAGCAGGTCCGACGAGAAAGGCCCAACGAAGCCGGACTCGACGGCGTCGCTTCCATCCCAGTCAGCGGCCTCGGAAGGTGGCTCAAGCCTCCCGCCGCTGCCCACTCGCTCAGCGGCCTCGGAGGTGCTGCTGGTGCCCGAGCTGCGTCAGCGCATACTGCGGCATCTCAACCGCAAGAGTCTGGCATGTTTCATGCGGGTCGATCGCAAATTCATGTTCGATGTGGCCACGGAGCTATATCATACGATGGACTATGGCTGGGTGAGAAGTCACATGGCCATGACCACGGTACGTACACTTCACCAGCTCCTCTGTCAACTTCCGGTCAACGGAGAACGGATTATGCTGATTCCTAGGAGCGTCAACGGACTTACTGCATGGCCGTACGGGTGATTGATGGCCGCGGGGACAAGCTCAAGCTGGCCCCCGCTATGCTCCATCAAATGAGCCTCGTCCACGATCCCAAGGCCAAGCCTCGTGAACGACGGGACGCTACCGCGGAATTCCTCTCCATCTACCGCACCGAGGTCTTCAAACTCGTCGTCCCACCCATGCTGCGCAAGTGCCCGGGCTTGCGCGTGATGCACCTCGGCGCTGAGCGGCGACCCTTCGGCGGACAGTCCTGGACCGTACGGTTCGATCCACCTGGCGTAATCTCCAACGATTCCCTCGGTAGCGGCCACATCGATTTCTACGAAACCCTGTGCGCTGAGCAGAGGAGCTCCCTGACCTCGGTGACCGCTGTCAAGGCTCCTGAACCCCCCTCCCAAAACTACACAATCAGCCTGCGGTTCGATCTATCTATGGAAGAGCCATACGTGCGCATGGGGACCACCCGCTTCATCAATAAACAGTGGTCGGAGGCGTTAGGGAGGGATCCAGCCTTCGGCCACATCCACAAGGCGGTCGGGCTCGGAGACGTCGAGATCACCTTTGCTGATCTCGCCTCTCTGTACGCCCGGCAAATCTCCCTCGGCTACACGGAACGTCTCGAGGTCATAAACGCGCCCTATATCGCACCATGGGCGGTCACGGATCTTCGGTCGTTCTCGGTCGTCGCCGGTGCCACGCTCACCTCGCTCGACCTAGTCACCTGTAAAGCCATGTCCAGGCAGTACGAGACCAAGGTAGACTTTGCCGACCTACCCGGCATCCTCTCGGTCGTCACCGGTCATCTTCCCCTCCTGCGCACGCTTCGGATCCCTCTGAACGGCGTGCAGGCTGCCGAGAAGATTTGCGGAGATCTTCTTGGTCCGGACGCGCTGGAGGACGGTGGAAGGCTTACCACCCTTCGCATCGTTGTCACGGGGCGAAACAAGCCTATCCCCATGCTCAACACCCTGCGGTATGTCAGCAGGGCGTGCGAGCCGACCGCTAAGGTGATGATGACCCCTGCCTCTCTATTCGGCGATATGAGCGATTCTGGTAGCGATAGTGATGAGGAGTTGCAATGGAAGGGAAAGGATCAACAAGCGTGCTATCGCTTCCTTCGCGCGTAGGTTTGTCAATTAGGCATAACTTGGTTCAGAGCTTATAAAACCAGGCAGCCTGCATCATTTCGTGCCCACCTCGCCGTTGTCAATTTCGCGGACTTGGGCGTCAAGCGAGTGGAGGAAGTGTCGAAGCTGGGCTGTCACAGCGATGGGCGCCCGCTAGGCCTATGGGAGGAGCGGGTGGGGGCATTGATGGAGGAGATAAGGTCGGGAAATATGCGGCGGGGGCAGGGCGAGTCTCAATCCCCCGCTCAGGCGCAATTTGAGGCGGAGATGAGGCGGATGGCAGGGATGGCTCCGAGCGCAACTTCGGAGCAGATGCTGCCGGTGGTGAGAAAGGCCTATAAGCTCTTCTATGATGTCCGAGGCTCGCTATCTTCTGGCGCTAGAATGACATTGGGGGCCGGTTTCGCCGGCCTCTTACGCGATCTTAAGAGGATCCTGGGTAGTCGTGACCACTCGGACTTCTCTGGCGACTCGTCTGAAGAGGACGCTTTCTTCGATTAGGCGGAGCTTTGTAGTAGCTGTAGGGGTAATGACACTTGTGTACGATGGAACGTGCTGATCAGTCTGCTGCTGCCGAGCGGAGTGGACCATCAATCTTACCTTCGCGCTGGGATGCTAAAGGTGGTGGGCCACGCCAATGATCAGCTGATAGAATCCACCCCGTACTGAACGCAAGGGATCAGATAGAATAGATTACAGCCTCCTACCACAGCCGCAAATCTCATCCGAGTATTTCGAGATGCATAAGGCAGGGTCTAGGCGAAGCCTCCTCCGCCCCGCTTCTCGTCGATCAGTCTGAATCGCTCTACCACCTTGCGCTCCTTGATCAGACATCCGGTCGCCAGAGCAAAAGCGATGATGACGCCCTCGCAGGCATAGATGGACGTGAAGGCAAAGTTGAGGTGATGGTCTGCTTCATCCGTCACTGGATATCAGCTGGACTCGGCGGTATCGATGAGAATGGGCGACATGAATAGGAAATACCTTTGGCCATACAGCCAGGTTGGGTCAGCGCGAAGACTCTGTCTGCGCAGAAGCCTTGAGGAGCAGCGAATTGACCGGTCGAGGTAGAGTTCCTGTCTGATCAGCACCACTTTGTAGCGGCAGCATGCGAGCTCACCAATATCCGCAACATGAGAACTGTCTAGTCAGCGCATTCCCCTTCCTTGTTGAACCACAGGGCTGAAGTCACCCTGTCTTGTAGCTCTTGCTGGATCTTGGGCCCTCCCTGCTTCCATAGATCTGCGCAATTGTCCAGCTCCCTCAGCGAGAAGACCCAAATGACCGATGCGGACTGCCATATCAGCTAGCTTCAGACCGAGCATGGGGGAGACGTACGATGAGAGTGAACACAGCGATGATCAAACAGTATCCCGCCAAGACCCGGAGCGGGAGGAGTCGGGTCGGGGGCATGAAGAAGGCCGGAATGGAGATGAGGGTTGCGATAAGGTATGATATGCCGAGGGATATGGTCACTGTGGTATCAGCTTGTACTGCCAACGATCGAGCTGGACAGGAAGAGAGCGATTTACGATCGAGGCTGAGAAAGGGAAGCAAGAACCGGAGAACGACATCCCCCGCGTCCCGCCAGAGAATGGAGAATACCACGAGCAAAACGCCAGCTGCGAATAAGACGAAACTGAGCGCAGCCCAGACGATCACCAGGATCTTCATATTGGTCTGAAAGGCCGAAGGCGGCCGATTATGAAAGTAAGCGGGAAGTGAGCGAAATGAAGAGCTCGGCCAGCGAGAGGACAACAGAGCAGCGAGCGCGTGCCGGACGCGAAGGTGAGTATGCAGATCAGAGCCAGAGGGCAGGAATATGGAGACTGGCTGATATTGAGCGGGCTCGCAAGCGAGGTAAGCGTACTTGGTCGTAAGCGACATGTTCGCTGGACTCGTCGCTCGGTAAGGATCGCCATGACGACGGCTGGGGCGCCGTTGTCAGCCAGCCGCGTCAGTAGCGTCAGTAATGACTTCCACTTATTTGTCCGTACTCGTACAGCAAGAGCCCCGGCCTGTGCAGCTCAGTCACTACACCTACTCAAGGGGCAAGAGCTATGTATGGACGATGGAACCGAAGCTAATTGCATTAGTATAGTTGGGTCTTTCAGCTTTCAACACAAATGCGAATGCTAGATTTGTAATGAGTCATTACTAGTACAAAAGTCCTGCTGGGTCAGCCCGACACTCGCAGCGCCATCAGCTTCTCTTCTATACGCCTTCAATTATGTGCCCACGCACTCATCGCAAGTCGACGGTGCTTGTATCGAGCCTCTGGAGACTTCAAAGGATCAAAGGACGGACCCCACATTGGCCCGGGCGTCGAGGGCCGCATGAGAGGACGTTTCGGGCGTTTCATGTCTGGCCTTGTCAACAAGCTCTACGCTACCAGTCACAAGGTTTCGATAGCGGTGCTGAGCAGTGCAGGGAGGAGAGATGACTCAACAACAGCTCTTGTACTTATACGGAAACTTTGACTGACTGCGCTGGTAGTCCGCTCAACACTGCAACCATGCCTCCTCGCAGGTCGAACCGTCAGAAAGCTCCAGTCGAGCCAGAGATCGTCGCTCAGCCCAAGCCCGCCAAATCCAAGGCTACGAAAGGCAAGGCTAAACCCAGCAAGGCTGCTCCCCCGAACGCCCCTTCGACCGCCTCGTCCTTCGCGCGGGAAGTGTATGAGACGCCGGAGCTCAGGCAGCGCATCATCGCGCTGTTGAGCCAGCATGACTGGACAAGCTTCATCCGGGTGGAAAGGAAGGTGATGTGTGATGTTGCCAAGGAGCTATATAGGACGGTGGACTATGATAGGGTCAGGTCGAAGATGAGCTCGTCCACTGTATGTTCCCCCTATGCCTTACTGGACAGAGCTGAATTTTAGCCTCGTCAACGCATGTATACCTCCGCCGTCCATACCATCAACGCCCGTAACATCACGTCCCTCCCTTCCACTGTCCTCGCCAAGACCACCCTCGTCATCTCCAGCAACAAGCACCGGGAGGAGGAGACCGAAGTCTATCTCCAGCAGTACGAGCCCTCGGTCATCAACGCCCTCGTACCCAGCCTCCAGGCGAAGTGCGAGAATATTCGCGTCATCCTGATGGGCGCAGAGTATGAAGCGTTTGGGAAGGACTCGTGGGAGATCCATCTGGTGCGGAAGGATGAAGACGCGGAGGGGAGGGTCGAAGAAGGGCATGCGGACGGGAAGGATGGGTATGTCGACATCAATCGGACCGTCACGTTCGACCCCTCATCGGAACCACCCACCGCCATAGACCCGCCCTCTCTGCCGGACCGGCTCTCAGTCCGCTGGCGGTACGATCTCAACCTCTACCACCATCCCGGAACCAACATCTTCAAGCCTGCACGCTCATTGGTCGGCACGTATGTCGATCAGTGGCTAAAGACGCTGCGCGAAGCGTCTTGGCCGCTAGCCGTGCGGGCGGTCCACCTGGACTTTCTGCCAGTCACGCTAGACCATCTTGGTGAGCTGTACGAGCGGCAGATCTCGGCCGGATGGGCGAGAGGGCTCGAGACCATCATCGCCCCTTGTCTCGTCGCCTGGAGCGTCGATCAGCTCTCTAGCTTCTCCCTCCTCGCCGGTTCATCCCTTACCTCTCTCGATCTCGTCACCTCCTCGTACCTCGAGCGGTCTTTCAATACGACCGTCTCCTTCGCGGACCTACCATCCATGACCACTATCGTCCGGGACCATCTCCCAAATCTCAACACGCTACGGATAGCGCTCCTCGGTATCGAGACGGCGGAGGCTGACTGCCGAGCGGCCACGAAGGAGGGGATCCTCAACGAGAGCGGGAGCGTCCGAGACCTCCGGATCGTCACAGCCGAGCTTGACAATACCCCTCCTCTCTTCAATACCGTCCGCTACGCTTCTCGCATGTGCACCGCGATCGGCAACGCGGGCATTGCGATCGGTCCGCATCTGCCCGATGGGGACAGGAAGAATGTGTGGGGGGATCAGACCTTGTTCTTGGGATACCTCAAAAAGTGAGTCTGCTTCTGTGGGGAGGGACACAGCAGCTGACGGATAGGCAACCTGACATCCGTAAAGCGCACCTCCACACCATCGACTTTTCCTCCCTCGGTCTCGCCAGCCCACGCGAGGTGTACGATCTCACCTACACCGACGAGGGCGTTCCTCGGGGTCGCGCACAGAGCATGGCGGCGTTATGGGCGGGAGAGGTCCGTGGTCTCCTCGGCGATGAGAAGGTCAAGGAGATTGCAGGGTTTGAGACAAAGCTGGGCGAGGTATTGGAGCGTTGCGAGATGCTTGAGGTGACGCCGGTGCCTCTGAAGGAGACGCTGGCAAAGGTACAGGTGCTGCTGGAGACTGCCGGGGCAGCACAGAAGCTGGGCGGTAACACCGGGCCTGGTTTGGGGATCATGGTCATTCAGTATGATATCATGGCGTTCGAAGCGTCGGTCAAGAAGCAGATCAATAGCCAGTAGTTAGCAATGAGTCAAACAGAGGACATAAGACAAGTCAGTCGCGTGAAGAGTCTGAAGACGATACGCTATCCGAAGATGTACAGTCGCGCGTAGAGTCTGACGGCGATAAGCTATCCGAAGAGCCTCGGTATACACACCCTGGCGCATCAAGAAGCAGCGAGAGCCTCGTCCCCGAACCGCAGCGAGGATTCCTCACTTGAAACCATCGGTACCCCGTGCCGAAGTAACCGTACAACATCTGAAACGCGCTAAAAAGAAGCTTCTTGTGGTATTCTCCCCCGGATCGCGGACCGGAATTCCTTATCGAACCAATCAGCGTCCGAGCTTCGTGTTTGAGATGCGATTGCCCCTTGTTTGAACCCTGAAAGGACGGCAGATATACCCTGAGACATGAGATTTCCGGGTTGATCCGATATTGAGCCAATCGTTTTGATCCCATATCGCCGAAGCACCAAAAGTTTGGAGAGAGCCCAGAGGCCAGAGGCCAGAGAGGGTTGGTGGCAAGGGTGATGGGAAGGACAAGGTCGATGCATTGCTCCTCATACTTCTCTACTAAAGGTGCTCAGACCTGCTCTCCTCCTCCCGCAGCGACCCAGAACAAGCGATCACTCAGACTTTGCAGTCATAGCCACCGCGATCCAAATCGCCCCCTGCCCTGTCAGTTGCAGCCATCACGCAACGATCGCTGCCGCAGCGCTGACTTGTAGACCTACCTACTCCCACCCCGCCGTCGCCGCCATGTGTGGTGTCGGTTTCATCTGTCATATCAAGGGCGAGGGCTCGCACAAGATCGTCAGCGATGCTCGCAATATCCTCTGCAACATGACGCATCGAGGAGCGAGTGAGTCTTCAAGGCTGTGGCGATGAGATCCAGCTGATGATCGCAGCCGGTGCCGATGCTCGAGACGGTGATGGAGCAGGTGTCATGACTGGTATCCCCCACAGCTTCTTTGTCCGCGAGTCTGGTCACTGCTTCACCGCCAAGCTCCCCTCCGAGGGCCATTACGCCGTCGGAAACCTCTTCTTTTCGCGCACTGAGTACGAGGCGCAGCAGGAGTCGTTCACGGAGCTCGCCAAGGAGTTGGGTTTGAGGGTACTGGGCTGGCGAGACGTCCCGACCGACAACACCATCCTCGGTCCGGCGTCCAAGTCCAAGGAGCCGAAGATCATGCAGCCTTTCGTCGTGCTCGAGACCCAGTATGGCCAGGGACAGGAGAGCCAGCACGGCAGCTTTGACGAAAAGTACTTTTTGCGCCAGCTCTACGTGCTCCGCAAGCAGGCGACCCACAAGATGTAAGTCCAGAGTTTGAGATTCAGCTGACATCAGGGGCGTTACCAAAGGCTTCTACATCTGTTCCCTTACCCCCTCCAACATCGTCTACAAGGGCCAGCTCTCCCCCGTCCAAGTCTACAACTACTATCACGACCTCAACCACGCCCTCTACGCCTCCCACTTTGCCCTCGTCCACTCACGATTCTCCACCAACACCTTCCCCTCATGGGACCGAGCTCAGCCCATGCGGTGGGCGGCGCACAACGGCGAAATCAACACGGTCAGGGGCAACAAGAACTGGATGCGCGCGAGGGAGGGACATCTCAGGTCGGAGCACTTTGGCGATGAGCTCGAGCTGCTTTACCCCATCGTCGAGTCTGGCGGGTCCGACTCGGCGGCGTTTGACAATGTGCTGGAGCTGTTGGTGGTCAATGGGGTGTTGACGCTGCCGGAGGCGGTCATGATGATGGTCCCAGAGGCATGGCAGAACAATGATCTGATGGAGCCAGAGAAGAAGGCGTTCTACAACTGGGCGGGGTCGTTGATGGAGCCATGGGACGGACCAGCGCTCTTTACCTTTTCGGACGGTCGGTTCTGTGGTGCCAACCTCGACCGGAACGGTCTGCGCCCCTGTCGGTACGTCGTCACCTCGGACAACATCATGGTCTGCGCCTCGGAGGTCGGGACCATTACTATCGAGCCGGAGCGCATCATTCAGAAGGGACGTCTCAAGCCGGGAAGGATGCTATTGGTGGACACCAAGGAGGGACGGATCGTCGACGACCGGGAGCTCAAGATGACTACCGCTCGGCGGCAGCCTTTCGCCTCGTGGATCGAATCCCAGGCTATCCGGCTGCCCGAGGTGGTCCGTCGGGTCGCTCGTCACGAGTCAATCGCGGTCGAGCTCGACGACACGCCACTCAGCACCGACCCCAAGCTGCTCGCTTTCGGCTACACTATTGAGCAGCTCAACATGCTCATGCTGCCGATGGTGCAGGAGGGACACGAAGCGCTGGGGTCTATGGGTAACGACGCTGCTATTGCTTGCATGTCCAGCACCCCACGCACGGTATACGACTACTTCCGCCAGCTCTTTGCCCAGGTGACCAACCCCCCTATCGACCCCATCCGCGAGGCCATCGTCATGTCGCTCGAGACGGCCGTTGGGCGCGAGGGCAACTTGCTCGAGATGCGCGACACCCAGTGTCACCGTCTCCACCTCAAGACCCCCGTCTTGACTATCGAGGAGGTCAACGCCGTCAAGCTCATGGCGACGTCACACAAGGACTGGCCGGCCATCACCATCGACATCACCTTCCCCAAGAAGGAGGGTCTCCCGGGCTTCCGGAACGCCTTGAACCGGGTCAGGACCGAGGCGCTCAACGCGGTCATGGCCGGGTTCAAGGTATTGGTCTTGTCAGACAGGAAGACCGGGCCGGACAGGGTGGCTCTTTCCGCCATTCTGGCCTGCGGTGGTGTTCACCACCACCTCGTCCAGCAAAAGAAGCGGGTCGACACTGCTATCGTGGTGGAGACTGGGGAGGCGAGGGAGATCCACCACCTCTGCGTGTTGGTCGGGTACGGTGCGGACGCTGTCTGCCCCTGGCTTATTATGGAGGGGATCCACAAGGTCGCCCGGGAGGGATTGTAAGTTTAGACGTACGGCTGAGCTGATGATCAGGGCCAAGGACGGACAATCCGCCGAGAAGCTCATCTCCAACTATATGAAGGCGATGGACGAAGGCATGCTCAAGGTCTTGTCCAAGATGGGTGTATCCACCTTGGCGTCGTACAAGGGCGCTCAGCTCTTCGAGATCCTCGGTCTGCACGAGGAGGTCGTCAACGAGTGCTTTGTCGGCACCGCCTCTCGCGTCCAGGGCGCCACCTTTGAGCTGCTCGCGATGGATGCTTTCGAGTTCCACGAGCGCGCCTGGCCGTCCCGCGAGACCATCCAGATCCCCGGTATGCCCGAGTCGGGCGAGTACCACTACCGCCAAGGGTCCGAAATGCGGATCAACGATCCCGTCTCTATCGCTCAGCTCCAGGACGCCGTTCGGGAGAAGAACCAAACCGCATACGACAGCTACTCCAAAAACTCGCGTGAGGCCATCAAGCGGGGGACCATGCGTGGTCTCCTCGAGTTTGACTTCGCCAACGCCACCCCCGTCCCCATCGACCAGGTCGAGCCATGGAACGAGATCGTCCGGCGGTGCGTCACCGGTGCCATGTCGTACGGGTCCATCTCGATGGAGGCGCACACTACCCTCGCTATCGCCATGAACCGGCTCGGCGGCAAGTCCAACACTGGAGAAGGTGGAGAGGACGCGGAACGTTCCCTCCCCATCCCCGGTCCCGGTGCCGACCTGGACGGTCAGCCGTATTCGCACGCCATGGAGCTCAAGCCGGTCTGGGACTCGCGTCGATCTGCCATCAAGCAGGTCGCGTCGGGACGATTCGGTGTCACCTCCAACTATCTCGCGGATGCGGACGAGCTCCAGATCAAGATGGCGCAGGGTGCCAAGCCGGGAGAAGGCGGAGAGCTGCCCGGACACAAGGTCTCGGCGTCTATCGGCCGGACTCGTCACTCTACTCCCGGTGTCACTCTTGTCTCCCCTCCCCCACACCACGACATCTACTCGATCGAGGATCTCAAGCAGCTCATCTACGATCTCAAGGCGTCCAACCCCCGCTCGCGTATTTCGGTCAAGCTCGTCTCGGAGGTCGGTGTCGGAATCGTCTCGTCCGGTGTCGCCAAGGCCAAGGCGGACCACATTGTCATTGCCGGACATGACGGAGGGACCGGTGCGGCCAAGTGGACTAGTATCAAGTATGCTGGTCTGCCATGGGAGCTCGGACTCGCCGAGACCCACCAGACGCTGGTCCTCAACAACCTCAGAGGGCGAGTGACGGTGCAGACGGACGGTCAGGTCAGGACCGGAAGGGATATCGCTATCGCCACTCTGCTCGGTGCTGAGGAGTGGGGCTTTGCTACCACCCCTTTGATCGCCATGGGCTGCATCATGATGAAGGCTTGTCACAAGTGAGTAGCTCTCCGCAAGAGGTGGGCTTGGCTGATTTCAGAAACACCTGCCCGGTCGGTATTGCCACCCAAGACCCCGCTCTCCGCGCCAAGTTTGCCGGTCAGCCCGAGCAAGTCATCAACTTCTTCTTCTACATCATCGAGGAGCTCCGGGGCATCATGGCCAAGCTCGGTTTCCGTACTATCAACGAAATGGTCGGTCGGTCCGAGCACCTCATCGTCGACGACCTCCTCCGTACCCCCAAAACCCAACACCTCGACCTCTCTGCCATCCTCAAACCCGCCCACCTCCTCCGTCCCGACGCTGCCACCTACCGCGTCCGCGCACAGGACCACAAGCTGTACGTCCGTCTTGACAACAAGTTTATCGACGAGGCGGAGCCGGCGATCCAGAAGGGTATCCCGGTCACTATCGACTGCGACGTGGTCAACACCGACCGTGCGCTCGGTACTACCCTCTCATACCACGTCTCCAAAAAGTACGGGGAGGCTGGTCTTCCCCGCGACACTATCCACGTCAACATGCGCGGGTCGGCGGGTCAGTCGCTCGGTGCCTTCCTCGCACCGGGGATCACCATCGAGCTCGAGGGTGACGCCAATGACTACGTCGGAAAGGGTCTTTCCGGCGGTCGTCTCATCGTCTACCCCCCAAAGGCATCCCCCTTCAAGGCCGAGGAGAACATCATCATCGGGAACGTCTGCTTCTTTGGTGCTACCTCTGGTCATGCCTTCATCCGCGGTATTGCTGCCGAGCGGTTTGCCGTTCGAAACTCTGGCGCCAGCCTCGTCGTCGAGGGGACCGGTGATCACGGATGCGAGTACATGACCGGCGGACGGGTCGTCGTCCTCGGTCTCACCGGCCGCAACTTTGCGGCCGGTATGTCGGGCGGTATCGCCTACGTCCTCGACATGGCGCACAGCTTTGGTCCGCGCGTCAACAAGAGCACCGTCGAGCTCGGCCCCGTCCAGGACCCCAAGGAAGTGGCGGAGCTTCGATCGATGATCGAGGACCACCGCCACTACACTGGTTCGGAGATCGCCGACCGGGTCCTTCGCAACTTCCACCGCTTCCTCCCCATGTTTGTTCGTGTCATGCCCCTCGACTACAAGCGGGTGCTCGTCGAGCAGGCGGAGCGCGAAATGGAGGAGAAGAAGCGTCAATCCGTCATCGACCTCATCCCCTCCCAGACCGCCTCGGTTGTCGACCTCGTCGCTACTGGATATGACCACACTACCCCTAGCTCCGGTAACAGCTCAGACTCGGAGATCGTTACGCCCACCGGCTCGCCTAAGCAGAAGGTGCACGAGCCAACAGTGGTGGATCTCGAGGATGCTGCATTGGATGCCCTTTCGGCACCCAAGCTGGACAAAACTCGAGGCTTCATGAAGTACAAGAGACTCAATGAGGCTTACCGGCCTGCAAGGAAGAGGGTCAAGGACTGGAAGGAGATCTCGACTCGTCTCACGGAGAACGAGCTCAAGTACCAGACCGCCAGGTGCATGGACTGGTGAGTTTTGCTTTTTTATGACATTTTCGGTAACTTGGCTAATTCCATCAGTGGTATTCCCTTCTGTCAATCGGACACTGGCTGCCCTATCGCCAACGTCATCCCCAAATGGAACACCATGATCTTCCAGGGACGCTGGCTCGACGCGTACCACCGTCTCATGAAGACCAACAATTTCCCCGAATTCACCGGTCGGGTCTGCCCTGCACCTTGCGAGAGCGCTTGCGTCATGGCGATCAATGACGTAGCTGTGGGGATTAAAAGTATAGAGTGCGCAATCGTCGATAAAGCGTGGGAGATGGGCTGGGCAGTCCCCAACCCTCCCACCCATCGGACCGGCAAAAAAGTGGCGATTATCGGATCTGGTCCCGCCGGTCTCGCCGCGGCCGATCAGCTCAACAAGGCCGGTCACCACGTCACGGTCTACGAGCGGAACGACCGTGTCGGCGGTCTCCTCATGTACGGTATCCCCAACATGAAGCTCGACAAGAAGGTCGTCCAGCGGCGGGTCGACCTCATGGCGGCGGAGGGCGTCAAGTTCATCACCAACGCCCACATTGGTGTGGATATCGACGCTACCGAGATCAAGGACGCTCACGACGCGCTCATCCTCGCTACCGGAGCTACCTGGCCTCGGGACCTCAAGCTGCCTCACCGGGAGGCGGACGGGATCCACTTTGCCATGGACTTCTTGCAGCCCAACACCAAGAGTCTGTTGGATTCGGAGCTGGAGGATGGGAAGTACATCTCGGCGAAGGGCAAGGATGTTATCGTCATCGGGTAAGTCCTTTTAATTGCTTCTTGGAGCGATTCCCCAATCCAGGCTGTATGGGCGACGGACATAGTATCGTGCCCCGCGTACGGTCTCTCCTTGCCCTCCCCCTTCTGTTCCCGCCTGCCCGGGAAAATGGCTTACCATATAGGGGCGGAGACACCGGGAATGACTGCATTGGTGAGTGTCTGAAGGTCCCTTCATGTCAGAGTGGAGATTGTGAAAGCAAGAGAGGAGATGGGGGTGGTGGGAGGTGGTGGGTGGGTGGTGCCGTAATGTTTCATACCTCGTTTCAGGTGTGCGGCGATCGCCGCACCGCTACCCCTTCTTCCCCTCGCTGCCCTTCTCCATCTCATCCCTGCTGCATAGAATCACGGCCCATATACTGACAGTTCAGGTACTAGTGTTCGACACGGATGCAAGTCCCTCGTCAACTTCGAGCTTCTTCCCGAACCACCCACCACCCGTGCTCGGGGCAACCCGTAAGTTGTGCTCATTGTGTCCTTGGGAAGTAGGAGCTGACCATCAGATGGCCCACTTTCGCTCGCGTTCGCAAGACCGACTACGGACACCAAGAGGCATCTGTCTGCATCAACGTGAGTCCTATTACCCTTTCCGCCTCGCCCACTGTGTATGTGCTGACCTTGTTAGGGCGGCAAGGACCCTCGGGAGTACTGCATCTCCACCAAGTCCTTCGAGCTCGACGACGAAGGCAAGCTCCGAGGTCTCAACACTGTCAAGGTCGAGTGGACCATGGTATCAGGACAATGGAAGATGGAGGAGGTCAAGGGGTCCGAGAAGGTAAGCCCAGCTACCATGTACATGAACTCCATTTGGCAGCTGATCATGCAGTTCTACCCCGCTCAACTTGTCCTCCTCGCTCTCGGTTTCCTCGGTCCCCAGAAGGAGCTCATCACCGCTCTCGGCGTCAAGCAGGACCCTCGCTCCAACATCCTCACGCCCAACGGCAAGTACTCGACCAACGTTCCCAAGGTCTGGGCCGCCGGCGACAACAGGCGCGGTCAGAGTTTGATCGTCTGGGGTATCAAGGAGGGCCGAGGCGTGGCCGTCGAGGTCGACACTGCCCTCGAGGGTAACTCTCGCCTGGCCAACCAGGGAGGTATCTCGCTTCGGTCGTGGGTGCCACCACCCATCGAGGCGGCCGGCAAGACGGAGGTGGCGGAGAAGGCACTTCCAGGGGCGGAGCAGGATTCGGCTAGCACAGCTTCTATTGCCGTGGCTGCTTGAGTCTGGGTCTTGGGATAGCCGATCTGTCGGAACAGGGCGGTGTCAAGGGGAGGCGTAGAGTGCGATATAGATTGTCTTCTTGTCAGGTATACTTGTTTGTTCATAGAGTTGTGTTCTGGTTGGGATCGTGTAGATATGTCATGTAAATGGTCTTTGTGATGGGTCCACTGGTGCGCTGGGAGAGCCGGCTGGCCTCCCGTTCCTTCTATCTATGAAGTCTGCCATCTTAATTACTTTCCCGACCCCAAACACAGGAGGAGCTAAATTATACATCGCTAGGCAGGCGGGCTTGCTCCATAGACATGTGAGTGCCACATGCACCTCGTCCTGCTTGTCGGACAAGCCCTAGACGTCCCTTCCATCCCGTTCGCTCGACCTGCAGGACCGGATGGCTCGTGGCGGCGCTGATGGCCTAGGTGGTATTTTGAATAATTGCACGCGTGTTCAAGCTTTTCCCAGCTTCTGTCGAGTCAGGAAATATACTAAAGCACTGAAGGGAACGACTTGCCTTGTCCACCTTGGCCCTCATCGATGTTCTCTTCTTGACCTTCCCTTCTCCTTCCTCGATGTCCTCCTTCTTTGGCTCCTTCTTGGGTGGAGGAAGGGGTTTGTTGCTACTTTTCGCTATTTTCGAAGCTGCCTTCTGCTCTTTCGAGGGGCGTTTGGTGAACTTGGCTGAGCGTCCCATGATGTAGGGCTATGTATGATCTGTAGAGGCAAGTTGAAAATCAACCTTGAGGATCTGCTTCGATTGCGTCAACAGCGCGGCTTTGACCGGTTGGACGATCTCATCTCCCCCATAGCTTGGCACAGCTCAGTTCATACCTCTCACTCTACACATCTATCCACTCCGCCTCATGCCTCTACAACCCCCCTAACGAGGCATGAGAACCCAGCAGCATGACTTCGACACCCTCGTCCGCGCCAAACCCTGCGTTTGACCCGCCAAGACGGGCCTTTGGGTCGATCCCGCGGTCGAACGGTTCAGGTCGTCCCGGTTCCGCATCCCCCACTCCTCCTGGTTCCTCGACCCATCTACCCCTCCCTCACCGGCCAGATTCCAATCGGACTCGCTCAGGCTCATCGGCATCGGTCAACTCTTTCGAGCGAGAACGGGAAACCCTATTCGCAGCGGCCGATAAGGGCATCACATGGCTGTCAGCGTGGGCGCCAAAGGGGGAAGGGAGAACGCGGCAGTTCCTGGAGAGCAGTCTGAGCGGAGTCGCTACTGTGGCGAATACGGTGGGGACTGGAGTACAGGGCGCAGTCAGTGATCTGGGCGTGAAGTTTGGGACCAATGAAGGGACAGGGCGGGAAGGGCGGATGAGCAGACCGCTCAGCTTCTCCGCAGGCAGTCCGACGGATCTCACAGCCGCGATGCTAGCCAATCCTCCGCCTATAGAGAGCGGACGCCGGTTTAGTATGCACGCTCCGAGGCCACAGCACTCCCTCTCGACACCGGCGATAATCACCACTCAATCTCCGGAACCCGCACCCGCGCCGCGGCGACCCCCTCAACCCAGTAACCTCGCCAGATTGGGGCCGGCTGATACAGGAATGGGCCCACCTCCCGCTTCCTCCGCACGGCCCGGCTCGTCAAGCACAAACAGCGCCCCCAGCGTCCCTCGGTCAGCTTCCATGTCGGGTCCGAGCGGACTGGGCCCGCACGGATCATCAGGGCTCAACCCAAACGCCCCTGCTTCTCGAGGATCAGTATCGCACGTCCGCTCTCCCTCCTTCAACAGTATCAGTCGTACTCCTACCTTATCACGGTCTAGCTCAAATGCTGCTGCAGCGAATGGTCTCACTCGGTCAGCTGGGATGCCCTACAAGATTGGCTTCCAGCCAGCTGGGGTCAGGAGCGATAAGAGTGGGGCGTTCATGGAAGCCAGGCAGAAAGCTGGCGTAGAGCGAGAGAAGGAAGAGGGCCGGCTGGGAAGGCGATGGGCAAAGGTGAGCTAGATAGATATCGACCCATTGATATCTCAAGCTGACTGCTAGCTCGTCGATCTGCATTTCAATCCCACTACCCAAGTCCCTACATTATCGTCGTCCGCCTCGTCTGCCTCCCTCACCGCGTCCACCGACCCCAAACCCCTTGCGCTACCACGATCGGCTTCTTCCCGCCGATCACTTATTTCGATGGACGGTGCGCTCGACGCTCTCAACCCCCGAGAGGTGTGGAAGGGCCTCAGATCTGCTACAGCTGCGCCTGGCTCGGCGGAAGAGCACAGAAAGAGGGCGGAGGAACAGGCGATCGTCAAGTGGGAGGATGACAAGGAGGCTAAGCGGTGCCGGATATGCTCGTACGTTGGCGCAATGATCAAGTAGCCAAGTCTGTAGCTGACAGTCCAGGTCGACATTCTCCCTGTCGAATCGCAAGCACCACTGTCGCATGTGCGGCCGTATTGTCTGTTCTCTCCCACCTACCAATCCTGCCCTTCTCGCTGTTCAGATCCAACTCTTCGCTCCCGCAGATCCCTCCTCCGCTTCAGATCCAGCCTCGACCGCACAAGCAGCACTCCCGCCAGGCACACGAAGGGAAAAGTGTTCTTTGCTGCTCGTCGCGGACTGGAAGAGTGGGAGAGGAGAAGAAGTGGAAGAAGGGTTCGTGGGGTGGATGAATGTCGGTGATGGGAAGGGGGACGAGGATGGCTTGAGAAGAGAAAGGAGGAAGAGCCTCGCCAGCTCGATCTCGTCCATGTCGATAGCGGAGTCGGGGAGTAGTAAGGACGACGGCCGCCTGGTGCCTCTGCCGCAGCAGCCAAAGGAGGTGCAGATCAAGGGGCTGCGAGCGTGCAGGGAATGCTGGGCGACAGTCTCGTGAGTTATATGGATCACGTACCATCCTAGGCGTGCGTAGCAGTAGCTGACATCTGTAGACGCAAGCAGAAGATGCAGGATCGACAACGAGTATCCGGCTTCGCAAGGCTATACGCTGCGCTCAGAACACTTCAGGCGGAGATCGAAGACGCCATGGGGGACTTTGAGGCTCAAATGGACATCTTGACGTGAGTTAACAGTCACGTACCCTTCTTTGACGGGCGTGCTCGCCGTGCTATAGCTGACATAACGCAGTGCCTCATCTGCATCTGCCGAACCACCACCCCGATTGCTCAAGCTCCACAAGCAATTACTGGCGATGTTTGCCCAGTATGAACACCTGTCCAAGCGGTTGTCAAGTCTCCCGGCGGAGGAAGGCGGGAGTCAGAGCCTGGTGCAGAGCGCCGTGGCCAGAAGTGGGGCGCTCTTCCTTGCCAAGCAGATGGCCAAAGTCCAGGTTAGCTTTGAAGGTCCTCCAATCGACCCTTGATCAAGCTGACCATCCAGACCTTACCTCGTATCCAAAAGATGATCGCCGCCGAAAAGCGCAAATCAATGCGAATCGTCGAAACGACACTGGCGGATCAACTCCGCCTCGAAGGGGTTGAGAACGACCAGGCGGACGATGTGGCAATGATGCTGCAGCCACTTTTGGAGCAGGAGGCGCAGATCGAGATGTACATTGCGGACGCGCATGCGCAGCGGAAGTATGAGGATGGGAAGGCGCTGGGTGAGGCGTTGAGGGAGATTCAGGCGGAGATCGGGCGAGTATCACAGGGGGCAGTCAGCTAGTAGTACAAGAAGATGAGAAGACAGGATCTGTAAGGCTGCATACTAGTCTGATACACCAGCTCCTCCTCCGCTCACCGCCTATCCCCTTCTAACATACCCCTGCAGGAAAATATTTTGACCAAGACCTGGGGGGTAAGGCACCAGGCGCAAAGCGCGAGCGCCCAGTCCGCAGCCCAATGGCCCCATCACTCTCCACATCCATACTTCGAAGGAGGGGTATGAGATGAGTCGAGTATGAGATGAGTCGATGAGGGATGTTTGGGAAGGCTGAAGCCAAGCTACGCTTTTCACCCTTCCTCCCCTCCACTGGCTCCGTCGCCACTTCCCTCTTACTTGGCCAATCGGCGAGGCACCGAGACGAGGTCGAAGAGATCGACAACTCTCCCCTCCCGGGAGAGCCAAACTTCATTCTGGCATCCCCGGCAGATGATAGTAATAGTCCGGGAGAGGGCGGTGAGGTCGGCTTCTTTTGGGCGTCCCTCACTTGTCGGCCCCCTCCATCAATTGCCCCCGGCGCCTCATCACCCGACTGGTGAACCGTATTCACTAGGTCGGCGTAGCGATCTGTTGCTTCTTCAACCTGTTCTCCAATCTGGGATGATCAGCCATATCCTGCATGGTTCTGGGAGGGAGCTTACGCCAAGAAGGCAGCCATGGTTGGATCCAACCCCTCGACCACCTTCTTCGTGGTATCCTTCTCCACATCGGCTCCCGACTTCCCCTGCTTCTCCATAGTCCGTACGACCTCCGGCCAGCCGGACAGGGCTCGTCCGGCCTGAACTAGCGCTTGTCTCGCCTCTGAAAGGGCATCGGTGTAAATCTCGAGGTCGTCGGCGTAGATGGTATATACGCAGTGCACACAGCCAGACATGCAGCATTCTGATCAGTCAGTCAGATTCGTGAACAAACGCGTAAATGACTTACCCTCTTCACCGGGAGGTATAGGCTTGGCGGGTATCAAAACCCCCTCAACCCGCATCTCCTTCTCTTTGGCAGGGACAGGCGCCTTGACGGGCTTCTCCTCGACGAGCGGCATCATAGCAGGCAACTGAGTAGCCAGCTTCGTCCGCGCCGTAGAGTCCGGCGGGGGCGTTTCCTGGAGGGACGTTCCGACCGGTGCGCTTGCAGCCGTCTCGAAGGCTGGCCCTTTCTTGCCAGAAGGGTCCGGAGGGAGGTCCGCTAGGGTCTGGGGGAGGACGGGGTACGGCCGAGCCGGAAGAGGGCGGAGATACTTCTCGAGGACGTTGCGTCGGACCAAGCGGGCGGCATGGACGGACGGCCGCATTGTAGGACGGTGCCCGAGGACTAGTGGAGATTGGTCGTTGGCGAGGCGACTGTTCTCGAGGTCCAACCTCAGCCCGCACTCGCTCAGGAATTGGGTGACTGTATCCCAGCAGTCTGGTGCCTGTGATCGCCCTTCAAGGGTATAGCCGCCCCTGGGCCACCTTGGAAGCTCCTATAGAGGTAGATAGATGATGGAGGTGAAGATGCGATGTGGAGGTGGACCAAATCGAAATTTCCGAGACCTTTTTGCGCAGAACTCCTCTTTATCAACCTTCCACTCATCCATCGATATCCACATCATGTCCGCCGCTCTTCCCCTCAAGCGAGTCCCTGTTGCTCTTATCGGCCTCGGCGGTGTCGGCGCAGCTGTTCTCGGACAGCTTCTCGCCCCACCTCTCTCTTCCCGCTTCCAGCTCATCCTCATTGCCAACTCTCGGCTCTCCCTCTCGCTCCCCCTCCCCTCCGGCCCACTCACTCCGGTTAACTTCCGCCCCATTCTCGAGCAATATGGAGTCACTCTGGACCTCTCCTCGGTGATTTCTATACTCGCCAACCACTCGGATGGCCCAGGCGTCTTGATCGACTCGACAGCAAGCGAGATCTTGCCGGGCATGTACCCCCAGATCCTCGGCATGGGAATCTCGGTCGTCACTCCCAACAAGAAGGGCGCTTCGGGATCATTGGATCTGTACGAGTCCATCCGGGCCGCTACGTACCCCAACTCCCGGGCTCTGTACTATGACGAAGCGACGGTCGGCGCTGGCTTGCCCATCCTGAGCACTCTCAAGGATCTCGTGGAGACTGGAGACGAGATCATTAAGGTTGAGGGTGTCTTCTCGGGAACGTTGAGCTACATCTTCAACGAGTTCTCCAAGGCCGAGGGCGGAGATGTCAAGTTTTCCGAGGTGGTCAAGATTGCCAAGGACAATGGATACACCGTAAGTTGGGACTGCCCCTCAGGCTCCGCCGATCCCCTGCCCCCTATCCACCTCTTTTAAACGTAACATCTTCCAATGTCGTGTCCGGATGGTATTGCTGTCTTGATTGGTCGCTGATCATCCAGGAGCCGGACCCGAGGGATGACCTCTCCGGCACCGACGTCGCGCGCAAGCTCACCATCCTCTCCCGGCTCATCCCCACTACTCCTGCTCTGCCAGAAGGCTACGCCTCCGTCCCCACCCAATCTCTCGTCCCACCAGCGCTGGAGGACGCCAAGACGAAGGACGAGTACCTCTCCCGTCTTGCCGAAGGTGACGAGTACTTTGACAAGATCCGGTCAGAAGCTGCAGCGGAGGGGATGGTGGTGCGGTATGTGGGTGTGATCGACTTGAAGGAGGGCAAGGTCGAATGCAAGCTTGGCAAGTGAGTAAAACCGCTTTTCGCCGGGGAAAAGTGCTGATGATAGATACCCCAAGGACCATGCATTTGCGACCGCTCTGAAAGGCTCGGACAACATTGTCTCCTTTACGACCAAGCGATACTCTCCTCGGCCGCTCGTCATCCAGGGATCAGGGGCAGGTGGAGACGTCACTGCTATGGGATGTACTGTGAGTTGTCCCGTCTCAAGATCTGCTCGGAGGCACGCTGATCTTCAGTCCGATCTCATCAAGGTGCATGAGCGAATCGCCCATGTTTGATGCACGATCAGATGTGGTGATAGACGAAAGGCAACCGGGTCGGCAGAACAACTATAGATAGACAGCAAAACCGGGGATAGATGCTTGATTAGCGTGGACATGGGGATGGGAAGAAGAAACGTGGACTCCCATTCCAAGCGGAGGGTGATCGATGCGCAACATGGGTACATCTGACGATATCTGACCAATTTACAGCTGGCATCTGGCTAACTTACATCTGATAACACTGAGTCTGATTGCTGAGTATCTCCTACAGGGTATATTGAAGGCTGGTTGATCTAAGGTATCGGAAGCTAGGTCTCTCTCAAGGGTCTTAATCACTTCCCCATCTTAACGAAACACGCTTACACCGCCGCCCCACCTCTGACCTGCCCCTCCAGGATCCCCTGACTTTCCTTCAAATCCTTTCGGAACTCATCGTCAAAGAGTAGGGTATATCCCCATCTCTTGACCTGAGGATACTGACCCACTAACTCCGCCAACTCCTTGACCTTCGCCAGGATCTCCGGTAGGGCGGCCTTGGTGGCGAGCGCTTCGAGCCAGCGGCAGATGACGAGGCAGTCGGCCAAGTGGAACCGGAGCGGTCGTTCCCGCTTCGCTTTCGGGTGATGCTGCGCGAGCTTGATGAGCTTCGACCATTTGATGGGCTTGCTGGTCCAGATGTACCGGGGCCGGCCGTCCGGATGATATTCGAGGTCTAAGACCTGGGCAAGGGTAGTGATCCCGATTGTGGCAAAGTCGATCGTAGCAAGCGACTTCTGCTGCAGGGGTGGTCGTCTGCGATGTCAGAAGGAGGAGCGGGCGCGCTTCCATGTACGAATGAATGAGCTTACCCCTGTAGGTAGTCCACATAAGCTCTCTGGGGGCTGGGAAAGTCGGTCACTCTTGCGTGAGGATGCAAGACTAGCACGCCGCCATCCCGGGCCGTCATCCCCATCAGATAGCGGAGCGTATTGTAGAATGGGATGGGGTGGGGTGGTTTCTCCGAGTAGATACGAAGATCTCGCAGGCTGCCGGCCCGGGCGAGGATGTCGGGATGGAGCAACTCTCCGAAGACTGCCTCCGCGGTGTCGATCCCCGTTACAGCTATCGAGAGGGTTGCCAAGTTCGGTAGGTGCTGCAGCACCATCTCGGTCAGAAAAGGCAGGTCGCGAAAGGCGATCCGGGGGGTGTCTTGTCCGCCTTTCGCCCATTCATCGTACAGATTGAGTGACCGCAGAGACGTAGAGGCGATGCGTGCGAAGTCCTCGAAATCGTAGGCGGTCCAGGGTCGAGCGCAGGGCGCGAAGATGTCTTCCAGTCGCGCCGAGTGGCCGGCCGAAATTTGTCGGCGGTACAAGGACGCGAGGTCCTCAAGTGTGACTGGGGTCCCGTCTAGCGAGATATGCGTGTGCAGGTCTGCCCACAGAGGGCTGTCCCGAAGCGAGGCGAGCCAGTCGTCCGTTCGCGGAGTATCGACCAGGGTGAGCTTCAGGTCGAACCGGATCCGAGCCACGTAGCGAGAGGTAGGGGGTGGCGGGCACTGTACAGACTTGGGAGGGGACGAAGATGTGTAGTAGTGTACGTTCCGATAGAAGGTGATGGGGTTGCTTGCAGCCCGCTGCGGATCGCTGGGATCGAATTGAGCGGTCCATGCGAAGCAATACTCGTATTCGTCGATACGAAATCCGAATCGCATGGTATCTCCGAATCCACATCGTCCTCGGCCGAACTTCATGGTACGGAGGTTCGGGCATCGCTTCCGAAGGGCTTCGACGAGTACATTACAGTAGTGAGGCTGGTATGCGAAGAGTTCGTTCCGGATCGGCGCAATGAGAGAGTGAAGTGTTCGCGAGACAGTCTTCGTCAGCCAGTATGGCATGTTGTTTCGAGCGTCGACCGTGTTTACCGCAGCAAAGTATATCTTGTGTCGGTGCTACAAATTAGCCAGGTTCGACAGAGGGAGTTACAACAGGGTAGGAGCTGTATTCGCAGGCAGATTTACTGTTTGACCCTTCATTCTGATGAAGAGGTCGAGCGCCATTGTCCGGTACAGCTCCCGAGCGACATCGGCCATACATCCCGTCTCAACCCTCATGAATACCGCCAGGGAAGGAAGGTCGACATAGGAGAGTATGTGCTGCCTTAGCTCGAGCGTATTGTAGACTTTCCGGTTGGCGGCGCGTGGAGGAGTGGCGGGTTTGGTGGAAGCGGTAGCAGGCATGTTCGGGAGAGCACTTTCTGAGCGGGGAGGCATGTTGAGCGACCTCTTCAGTCATCTGGAGTATTGGATCTTTCAGAGATAAGAAGGAAGAAGAATGAAAGAGAACGGCGTTTGATTGGGGGGCAAGCCGCAATCATTCCCATCTGGCCGTGCTTCTTGTGCAAGGTCACGCGGCGAATCCGGTCAGTTCTAAATCAGTGTCAGAAAGAGTAAGTGACGGAGAAGCCCCATCGCAAGCTGTTAAGGAGCTTGTTTCCCACAGATCAGGAGGTGCACGTTGTTCGCCTTTCAGCCCCAGTTGCATTCAGTACTTCCATCATACCATGAGCATCGAGATACTCCGCCAGCAAGATCACAGCCCCTTGTTGAAATACACCGGCGCCGATTCCCGCTTGAACCGATCCTCCAGCTTGACAGGATCTGTTTCTGCGCGTTGAGGGTAGTATGCGATCGCAGGAGGGAGGAAGAGACCGAGTGATAAACCGACTGCACAGTATGAGCCAGAACCCACACCCACCTAAGGTTGAGGGAATCACTCACTGAGAGTCAGGTTGGTCAGGCTCGCCATAGCCTTACCACGGGGTCCGCCGAATGCATTCCGCTTTTCCAAGAGGGTCATGACCAGTGGTGGGATGATGAGAGTCGGCCTAGAGTATCAGTAATCACTCTCATGTACGTATAGGCATGTGCGAGTCAACTTACACATTGGTAAACACCCTGCTAGCCGCACTCTGCCCAACGGCCATCTGACCCGCCTTTGCGCTCTTGCCCAAAACCGCCTTCTCCTCCTGCCCAGATTCGGTGTTCCGTCGTAGCTTGTACACTTCCACGCCGTCACGCATCTCCTTCCACCTTATACATGAGATGCTGCAGGAGTCAGCTTTCTGCGCCGGTAGAAATTGCCAAGCGCTTGAGAACTCACTTGACCACACCTGCACTCGCTACTGAAGCGAAGGGGACCAGACGGGAGAGGATCTGTTTTGTTCCGAGCGAAACTGGCAGACGAGGTACCAGCCTTGTGAGCGAGACAGCAAGGAAGACGGAAGTGAACGTCGCAGCCAGATAGGCTGCCATTGTCAGCTCGCCCAGATAGACGAAGGATGAACGCCGCTTACCCGTCCCGACCTCTTGAGGCGTCATCACGATCGACTTGTTGGCATTGCTGTAATTGACAGCAACATTGAGCGTCTGATTTGCCCATTGCCAGAAGATGACCGAGCGGAGGGAGGCGTTCGGCATGAGCATTCCAGCCTAGCACGTCAGTGCTGGCCCGGAAGGGGTCGCAATGATCGGAGACATACGCATATTCTGTCAGGTCAGCTTTCGTTGCCCGTCCAGTCTCCGGGACATATTAGCTCACATCAGGTTGGTCGGCACGAACGCGGACATCCTGAACGGCAAAGGAACCGGCTTGCCCGTATCCGGGTGCAGACTCGAGTTCGTTACTATGTAGTCAGCTAGGGAGCTACCAGATCGCTCTTATCCTAGCTCACACTGCTTCGCCTTCCAGTATTCGTCCCGCTCCTTCTCGCCTACCCAGTACCCCTCCCTCCCTCTTTCTTTGATCAACCCTTCGTACCGCTTGACATCGTGCTGGGCTTGCTCGAGCTTGGCTGACGATGCCAGAAGCGTGAGCGGAGAAGTCGTCGAGTAGAAATAACGCAGCCGTCCAGCTGTGTGAATGAGCTGCTGTCACGCGAAATCTGGCGAAGTGGGAAGCGGGAAGCTCACAGTATGTCTCGAGGTCGAAGCGGGGCTTAGCTATGGAGTCAGCACATTCCAGGACAGTAGAAGGCGGAACTGACAGATATCGAAGCGGTTTTCTTGGGCCATTTTCGATATAGCTCGTGAATGAACCCTATACCTTGAGCTGCAGCTCCGGCTATGCGGTGGTCAGTACTGATTTACAAGTATAGAAGAGGAGGTTCCAAGCTGAAAGTTGGCGCTGAAAGTCACGGTCATTTGTTGACTCGGTCAAACCCGAAATAGGGTGGACTCAAAACGCCGCAATTCTCCGGCTCGGGCAGGTTGAATCCCCAGGGTGGATTTCCTCGGTCGACCTCCACCGGTGCTGATCCTTTGGTCGTCTATACTTCTCTGCAGCAAGCTATACCTTATGCGCTCCTCTGCCGCCCTCCGCCTACTGCCCCGCTCAGCAGCCTCTCCCTTCTCTGCCGTCTCGCCTCGGACCCGCAGCATGTCCGCTTCTAGCTCTTCCGCAGCCGAGGCGAGCTCCTCCCGGCCTCGCTCCCCTACTCGTATACCTGGTCCCGTCGAGACGAGCATACAGTCCAAGGTCAGTCTCTCGGCCCGATACGGATTGTCGTACTGATCTACTGATAGCTTGTTGAGACGTTCCAACCACTTCTTATCCGCGTCACGAACGACTCGTCCAAGCACGCACATCATTCCGCCATGCGCGCAATAGGAGGTGGAGGTGGAGAGACTCGTCAGTTGCGAGATCCGTTTAGACGGGGGCGAAGCTGATCCTCAGACTTTGCCGTACATATGGTCGCCCCTGCTTTCAGCGGCAAAACGCCAATAGCGCGGCATCGGCTCGTCAACGCGCTGTTGAAGGATGAATTCGACACGATGGGTTTGCACGCTCTGAGTTTGAGGCTCAAGTCGCCAGAAGAGTGGAAGAAGGAGGGCGGAGGGGAGATTACGCCGTAGAATGCGAATGCTGCTTTCCAGTCAAGATCGTAGATGCCAGAAGATGCATGTTGTACCTGTAGATCCGAGAAACGTACCAATCTGGATCGAGTTGGGAAGAGATATCTACAATACAACCAAAGAATGAAAGAAGAAGGGCTAATCTACAGAGATCGTACTCGTATGTCTTGAGACCCAGCTCGGCGTCCCTACGCTGCCCTAGCCCTCGCTACGCCAGTGCGTGACACCTGATCTACATGATCACGCACTTGCAGCCGCCACTACTGGCCTGCTCCTCGTTCCGCCTGCTAGTCCGAGATGTGGTGGGATGCAGGAAACCCTTCTGCTTGGGATCACCTATCACGTCAGCCTGGGAACAGTCAAGAGAATCAGTATAACTCACCCTCATCTCCTCGTAGCGAGAACGACCGGACAGAGATATGCAAGACGGTAGGGTTGGTGGGAAGTAGGGCAGTGGCGAGGTTATTTGCTAGACATGTCAGCGTTCGTATCCGAGTACCTGTCTTGCGCAACGCTATTGGTAAAGGTGTTGCGACTCACACGAAAGTGTAGAGTCATCCTGTAGTATCCGACCAGAATACAGCACTCTGAGGAAGCTTGGCGAGGGAGGGGCGGAGGGGCTAGTCCATTCGCTCGGCCACGAAGACCATACTATCTCTTTCTGACATTCGTCAGCACGACCACCACAAAGACATGTTCATGGGGTGTAAGCAGCGTGACCCACCATTCGCCCAACGGTAATTTCTGGCTCGAACGAAAAGACATGGCTCTGCCCAGAGATGATAAGTACACGAAGATGGCACTGCTGTATCAGCACAATGTCAAGGGTCAGGCGGGGACAAAAGCAGGGGAACGACGTGGGTGCTGCCATACACCGCCCATCTGCAGCCAATCTGACATCTTCGGCAACTCACTTTAGGTACAGGTGGGGTGATACTGCCAATTTCCGCGTCGGTATGTGTCTTTGGTGGAGCCTGAGCAGGCGCTTCAGATCCAACGACCGGTGCTGATGCTGGAACAGCAGTTGTAGTCGCCTGTGACATGGTCTGGGCTGGGCCGGCGGTCAGAGGAGGAGCGAGAGGATGTGAGGTTGATGCTTCGGAAGACATGGCTCCGGCCGTGGTGTCTGCTGGTTGCGAGATTGTGAGCGGTTTGTGGGCCTGAACAAGGATAAGAGGACTGTTGACCGAGTGTGAAAAGGTGCGAAATGGCAAGGGAGAGTACGAATTCGACCCGGACCGAGGATATACCGGTCAGCGACTGCGGAAAGTGCAGATCTTGGCGACGGCGAGTTCCCTTCTGGCGAGGTAAGATGAGTCGTCTGGGTTTCGTTCTCGTGCGGCGAGGATATGGATGGAGTGCAAGGTCAAGAAGATGTCGGGCTGTCGAGTGTCTGCGTCATGCATGAAGACCCAGTTACAAGGAGGTTTAACTTGTCATCTCGGTCATCTCATCGGCCTTCGCGAAAGGAAGGTCCAGATTGAATCGAACCCTGAATGTAACCTCCGACTCCCCGGATTGCCCCGCTTCTTACGATCTTACCCCGGACTCATCACTCGCCAAGACATCTCTCAGAGACGGCTCAGATCTCTGACAGATCCGAAGCCGCCAGCTGCCTCCCGCAACCCGTCACATGCCAGGCCCAGGCCCAGCCGTTGGGGTTGTTCGGTTCCTGCCTACCGAGTGCCACATTGCATGATAATCTTACAACAAGAGATCCAGCGATAGCCCAGAGACAAGCCAAGACAAGACAAGAGGCCTCCATCCCACAAGATACCTTCAACGGCCAGCTTACTCGGAGTACGACTCCCTCCTCACTGCACTGACTGTCGGGCCCTTGTAGTACTTCCTCGCGCTGATGACATACCACAGCCCAGCGATGGTCGAAAAGCCCGCAAAGACCACGCTCGCGTAGTTCATAGTAGGTGGAGTGACCGGGATGGCGGTTGCTGCTGGTTCAGCCATGGCCTCAACTTCAGCGGTGAGGACTCACGCATGCAGAAGAGCACGATGGAGAAGATGATCCAGATTACCGTCAGGATGTTCTGCCTGGTCAAACACTGCTCGTACTGTTCAATCTAGAGGCGAAGACTCACGATGAAATAGCCAAACTTTCCCAGTGAGAACGGCGCATCCCGTACCATCTTCCTCCGTCGCGCCAGGGAGCAGAACACAGGGAAAGCGTAGGAGCAGCCGAGACAGATTGTCGCGACTAGATGATCAGCTCGCCCAAGCTGACGTGAAAACCGACGACCCACCTCCAGTGAAAGCGTTGAAAGCTGCGCTGCTCCCAAGGTAGATCAGACCCAGCAGACCGCAGACCACAGTCGACAAGATCAGCGAGTTGAGCGGGACGCCATACCGCGGGTTGACGACTTTCCACCATTGTGACCCGGGGATGCCGCCGTCGCGCGAGAAAGCCCAGGTACAGCGAGATGCGGCGGTGAGGGAGCCGATGGTAGCGAAGAACCAGACACCGAGGACTGCTTATCAGCCGTGTGAAGTATTGAGAGTAGTAAGACCTACTGAGGATGAGCAAGCCAAGCGCCGCACCGGATGATCTGGTCACCAGCTTGTACAGCAGGGGCATAGGCTGTAGAGATGCTACAGCGAGAAGATCAGGGATATCGCGCAGTACAAAGTTAATCGGCAGCTGCTCCGTCAGCTGCCAATTCGTCGCTCATCTAAAGCAGCCAGGATACGTACAAGGTACACCAGCCCGGTGATAGCTGCAGCAGCTACGGACAGCACCATAGCCCTCGGTACTTCTCTGGCTGGTTCCTTGACTTCCTCGCAGAGTGCGGCGACCATCCCGTACCTAGATATCAGCTCGAGTACTCCGTCAGAGGTAAGTCTGCTTACCCAGTTAATGTATAGGCTGCCTGCAACAGTCCAACGAACCAAGCCCAGGCCTCAGGCCAACCAGATGCAGACGCGTCAAACTTTATAGTCAGCCTTACTTTCGTAGGGACTGATAAGTAGACTTACCCCTCCGAATGCGTATGCTGCCGAGTTCCGTTCTTCTGCCATAGAAAGCAGGACGATGATGATCTAGATTGTCAGTATTCTCACATCCTGCGGGAACAGAGCAGAAACATACGCTACCCGGTCAGCTGGGCCGCTGTAGTCACGTTAATATAGGACGAGTAGCTCACATGACCACAGAAGCAGCTGTCCAGTATAGGCACACGGTATTCAGCTTATCCAGATGACTGCATATCAGCGGTGTCCCCCGAGTCCTGGCACAATTTGACATACCGGTTGAAGAACAGATTGATGAGCAAGGAGCAGATCAAAGCTCCCCAGTAGACCAAACACGTCTGCCATGGCGTTGGGACGTATTCCTCGTTGAACAGGGTCGCGGCGGCCAGGATGAGCTGACTTCCGCCAAACGTGATTGAGGCTGTTACTCTGCCATATCAGCTTGGTATTTGGAGAGCAAGGGAGCTTCGGCTCACGTCCAGTTCCCGACGGTACCTAGCCATCCTGTCAAGTATGAGGCGAAAGCAGAGTATTTCGGAGTCGAAAGCATAGCGGACCAATCTACAGCATCAGCTGCGCTGTTGGCGGAGGTTGAGCGGATGCTCACAGTAAACACCGCCAGAGGTTGGATAGACAGAGCAGCTACATCCGTCAGCTGAAAGAATCGCACTTGGATACAAGTCCTATGACTCACATCTCCGCAAGACTAGCAGCCATACCCAGCGAAACAAGCGAAACGAAGATCCACTGCTCTTATCAGCTCCCATCCTGCGCCGTGCTCCATCACCCCTTTCCAAGCACTACTCACGCCGTAAAGAATAGTCACCGGCCCCCCATCCGTCAACGCAATATTCAGCGTCGTACTCGTCCCGAATGGAACCGCCATGATCGCAAAGCTCAGCCCCAAAACGCTTATCATCCCCAAGTTCCGCTTCATCTCGGACTTGTACCCCATCTGCTCCAGCTGGTTCGTCACGGACGTGTCCGATGCCGAGGGGTCGGCGATGTAGCCTGTCGACTCTTTGTCTTTGGGTTTGTCGTCCATCATGTTTACGGTTGGGGCTGAGGAGTATGTATAGTGTGAGAGAAAGAGGAAGAAGAGACAGGCGGCAGTGGAAAAGATAAGAGGGTTATCGAGGGGGCGGCTGGGCGGCTGCAGGCGGAACAGGGTAAAGTCGTTAACGTCATTCTCGGCACCGATATCCGAAGCTTAATTCGGGTTAGGCACGGCATGGGAAAGTGGCATTCGACCGAGGCCGTATAACTAATACTGTATGAGAGCTTGAGAGCAACGGTCATAAAGACTTCCTGAAACTGGTGTTGGTCAGGTGAATACCATCCTGGGTGCAGACAAACCTATGGTATATCTCGGAGGAGGTAGGACTCGACTGGCCAGCAGTATCGCCGCTTGAGGTGGGCAATTCAGACCACAATTGAACCGCTTCCTCTGACCTGCGTCCGTCTCCGCCTTCCCGCCCGCCTCGTCGCCGGGGCAGACACAGAAAGAATACTGAGCCCGGCATCCACTTGACTATGTGGCCATGAAGAGCTCTTGTCCTGTGATGCAGTCAGGGGTAGCTGCCGAGGGGGTTTCGATAAGCCAGATCTCTAGATATGCCGAGTCCATGGTCGCGGGAGGTCGTAGACGACTATATGGAGCCTTGACGAATTAAAGTCCGCGCGAACAGGCCAAAGACGCGAGCTGTAGAGCACGAGATGTTGGTCAGTACTGCCAGCAATGGTGCGCGGGTGCGTTGGAGACAGCTTGACATGGGAGATTTGTTGCTGGATGATGTGCTCATTACCAAGGCAGACGCTGCCCCTCTTCGTTCAGATACTGCCCGCTCTGCTTCAACGACTTCCAAGTTGATATCACGTCCAGTCTGTCTCATCAGCTCAAGACCACAACGTAGGGACGGGTACCGACACTTTGCCTGACGACTCATCAACTGTCAGATTCGCGTACGTCCGCCCCATCGTTGTCTTGATCCACCCAGGATGTATTTGCCCAACGATGACCCGGTCCTTATCTATCAGCTTCTTGATTCCATGATACAAAATTACAGAGAGGCACACTCACACGTAAGATTCTGGCCATGTGCATAGTCACCCCGCTCAGCGCCACCTTGCTACACGCGTAGATAGGGTGAAAGTACAGCTCGTCCCTTGCCGACCCGCCTGTCCAGAGCTCGTTGGCGAGGGTGAGGGATGCCTGTCCGGAGGATATGTTGCATATGATTGGAGGCTGTGATGTGGAGTTTGTGGATGGGCCAGCGTCGCTTGCTGCGGGCGACCCTACAAGGAGGCCGTTATCGAGGAGAGTGGTCGAGAAGAGCAGTGGTCCATATGCATTAACCGACCAGGTGCGATGAAAGTCTACCGCTCCTTCCACAGTCGTGAGATCGAGCGGTGTCATGGGCTTTGGCTGATTCGCAAAGCCGGCATTGTTGATCCTGCGCTATATCAGCTCAGCCAACCCAGCTCAATCGTGTTGTCGAGTCGCTTACAAGACATTGATTCCTTCCGGTGCGGCAGCTTTGACTTCTTCAGCACATCTCTGCAGTGTCAGCTAATTTTCGCTCAGCTCTGTCAGGGAGCAGCAAAGGATCAAAAGCTCACTTGGCAGCTCTCAACATCCGATACCTCGCTCAACCTGACGACCCCTATCCTCCCTTCACTCTCATCTCTGAGCCGACAGAGCTCGCCCGCCTCATCGATGATCCGAGCAGCAGCGATGATCCGCTTGTACTGGGGGCGCAGAAGGAGCTGACGTATGAAGCCGAGCCCAAGACCCCGGCTAGAGCCCTGGACCACATCAGCAACTGGTTACTGCACTGCCCGGAAGTCATGATTCGACCTCACTGTGACGAGTGCGGTAACCATACAGACCGCTTTTTTTCCGGCAAACTATAGCCTAGCGGAGCTTCTGGCCTAGATCCTACCCTCCGGCTTGTTGTATGGAGGTAAAATAGGTCAAAGGCATGGAGAAGATGCAAGCTTTGATCTTAGATCAACCTCTCTTGGTCGAGCTCGTTCGGGCGAGTCCGTGCGCGCCTACTTGGTAAGTGTGAAGCTGGAGCAGCTTGTGGTGCGGTCTCCAGCAAGCCTTGATCGTGAAGCTGCCCAGTAAAGAGGCGTGGGAGAGACTGGCAGGAGCTACATCATGTGCATCATGCCAGCTATGGTAAGCACGAAAGAGTACAAGCTACCGGACGACCCAATTGAGGCTGCGCCTGATAGGCCCTCCGGCCCTACAGGTCTGCGCGATGCCGCTTCGACGGGCGCTCCGAGGGCGATGACGACGTTGCCGAAGGTGCTCCATGACGAGGCAGCCCAGATTGGAGATCAGCGCCCTTCATGGCCTCGTCCTCTACGAGTGTGGCTGTAGATCTGGTTGAAGGCTCCGTTCGGGCATCTCTTGGTACGAGCATGTGCATGTGAGACCTGTGGAGTCAGCTGGGATGATCCAATGATCAATGAGCCGGGGCAGACTCACAGTGGCCCCACGCCAGAGGCAAACTCCACCTCACCAGGCGGTGTCATTGTTAGTTGATTCTTTGCCGAGGCGGAAGGTGGCGGCGGTATACTCCAACCTAGCCGATCGGACAAGTACGTGACGATGGTGTCTGCGTCTCCGAGCAGGCAGATCTGACTGTCAGCAACTTGGTACCTGATTACGCAGAACGGAGGTCTTACATCTGGCTGTACATGAGCGACGGGGGTGAGATTGATGAAGATTTGGGGAATAGAATGAGGTATATGAGCTATCTATTAGCTTAGTCTTGTGTAGAAAATGGGGGGAAAACATACTGCAGACTTCGCTGACAGGTGCGACCTTTAGAGAAGTACCGATGATGACTAGCAGATCGACCTTTTCTCTGTCCTTGAAGAGACATTCGTCAAACTTCGAGTCTAAAGCCTGGCCAAAGAAGGTGATATCCGGCTGTGTTATAAGCTTATGCCATGGCTCGAGCATCAGTCGGAGGAAATAGCTAACCTTCATGATACCTGGTTCCCCTCCGCCCCACTCATTCTCCTCTTCCTCCTCGTCTCCCCAAATCATACCGCCCTTCACTTTTGGCTTTCCTTTCGCCGATGCCGACTTCTCGTACGCTCTGGCCGCTTCTCGCTCCGCACGACACACCGAGCACTTGGGCACCTCCTGCCGCATGATCTCCCCTTCGATGTCTGTGCCTGGTACCCGCCGTCTGCAGCGGAGACAGGAGGCGGTAGCGAACGATCCGTGGCATTGCAGGACATTCTGAACGCCGGCAAGCGTTTCGAGCGTGTCGATGTTTTGCGTGTAGTTGCGGAGGAGCTACCAGATGAGCTAGGAGCCATGTGTGCTGAGCGGTGGCTTACCTTTCCTCGATCTTCAAGTAGCTTGATCCACCTGTGGCAGGGTGACGGCACAAAGTTGCTTGGGTAGATCTGCTTGGCAAAAGAGCTACGTTTCAGCTTATCCTCTTTCATCTCAGCACTGAACTCACTAGAAGACCTCTGGCTGTTCCCTGAAATAGCGAATGTCAAACATCTCCTGCGGGTCGCTCAAGTCATATTCCCCGTCCTCCTGTATCTGCGCGTACAGCCCGTTCGCAGACCGAAAGTCCGGGATACCGCACGATGTAGAGATACCGGCGCCAGACAGTACGATGATGTTCTTCGCATGGCGAAGGAGCGATACAGCATCATCGACGCTGTTGTAAGCGGGTAGCTTGGTTCGCCGGCGAAGCAACCGCGAGAGAACGATCTTGGTGAATGAAAGGAGCTGTATGTCTGGCGTCGTGGATGAGCGCAGATGGACGGGCTATCGGTCAGTTTAGGTATTCAGTACTGATCACTGCTACTCACTGGTATGACTCCAAGACCAAGGAGAAGCTTCCTGAGGGTCTGACCAGGACCAGAGACGGGGACGAGATAGTCCCGGAGAAAGTTGACCAGCCCCTTCTCCCGAAGTTCCGCAGTCAAGACTGCGACTTCCTCATCCGTGAAGCCATTTTCCGCTGGTATTAGTTAGTACTGAACCTTGTTCACACTTCAGTGCGGCTCACCCTCGGCCACCAACTCGTCGTAATCCTTCTCGCCGATGTTATCACCTTGATCGTCCGAGTCGTATTCGTCGCTATCTATCTGGTATGTCTCGCCCGCAGACAGCTCGTGAAGGGCAGTACCGTCGCTCATATTGTAGAGATCGCTCGAGAGAAGTGCTTGGCGAGTACTGCAAGGGATGTAGCTTGTTGTCGAAAGGTAATCAAAGTCAAAGTGAATGGTTGTGCATTGTGTCTGAGCTGGAATTTTGAGGAATGTGGAGTTCAAACGTGCCTGAAGGCCTGAACTCGCCCATAACTCTTGCATCTCTACCTCATCTCGCCGACACTTGGTCAGCAGCTCGACGCAGGCAACTTTCTCGGAGGCAGCATTACATAGTACAGTCTCTTCGCGTCTTGCCTCCGCGATGTCGGCCAATCCACCGATTCTCACCATCCCGCGGCAGCGCCCGGAGCCGGAGGAGCATATTCACCGGTACCTTGACTCGATCCACCAGCACCAGCCCGAGCACATCGTCGAGGGCCACAGACAGTTCAGAAAGGAGGAAGAGAACGGATTCTCGGAAGTTGCGAGCTATTGGGCGCGAGGGGACAGCAGCAGTCAGGGGAAGTTTAGCGAGGAGGTGATGGGTAGAAGAGGGAGGGCGGGATCTTCGCCACCCAGAATGGGCCCCTCAAGGGGAGTAGAGAGGCACACGAGGGAGCTAAGGACGTATGCCTCTGTACCTGCGCCCATTGAGCCGCCGGTCAGGAGGAGTATGGGCGTCCGAAAGGCATTGGATGAGCGGTTCGAGGGAAACCTGGAGATAGCTGAGCGTGAGTTGGCTCATCAAGTCTGAACGTCCGAGGGGGAGATTGAGCTGATTGTCAAACAGGCTGGGAGCAACGCACCGCTCGCAGACGAGAGAAAGCTGCTATTCGCCGGCCGCACCCGCCTTCCCCTCCCCCACCACTGACGACCCAGCTCAAACGGCTCGCCTCGAATCAAGGAGGGTCAGAATGGTCCGGATCTCAATCCCAAGAGATGCTGCCTCCGAAGAGAAGGGGCCAGAGGGATGGTATGGACGTGATCAGGCACTTCGAAGCGAGTAACGTGGCGGTGAAGAGGTTGACCGTGAGCTGTCCCTCTGTGTATGGAGCGCGCGAGATAGCTGACCCACGCAGATGCGTCCTGAGAAGACCAAAGGCTTCCTCGGTCGGGGCGTGGCTTCAGCGCCGGCGAGACCAACCAAGCGAAGGATCACCTCTTATGATGATCAAGGCGAGTTTTCCTATTCTGACCGCTAATTCATCGAGCTGACATCGCAGAGGGTATGTTCGAAGAAGACCGACTCAAGCTTTGGCGTCGGCCATCGAGACCTGCTGTACCTAGCGAGAATCCGGACCGCCCTGCAGAGCGAATCCCGGCAAGACCGTTCGCTGACCGGCCACGGTTCGCCTCGGCCGACTCTGCTCCTCAGGGGCACCAAGCTCATCGAGTCCCGTACGCACCGGGAGAGCTGCCTCCCCCAGGTCGTACCAATTCACCATCTTGGCCCAGCGAGATGCGGTCATCCAGTACTAGAAGCCGGCCTCTGCCTCCCTCGACATCTCCCCCTCCGCCATCAGTGTCGCGGCCCTTCCCGTCTGACCTCCGCCTTCCGACTACGACCGCATTCTCTCCGAGCCCATTCGCTTCGGTCGCTCACCAAAGCGGACCCGCGCGCCCGATAGCTCAGCTTCCCCGGCGTACACCTCGGCCAGTCTTCGGGGAGAACACTCCTCTCCTGCCACCAGAACCTTCCCATGTACCTCTGCCTCTATTTCACCTCGCCGCCCCATCTCACGTCGATCACCTTGCGACAGACCTCGCCCAGAATCTCCGCTTGCGGCGCAGGCCTTCTGTCGACTCTGCACCTCGACACCCTTCGGCGAGCTCATCGATTCCCCATCGTCCTATGATTGCGCCTACATCGCGGACCGTACCACCAGCGCGAATAGGCGCACTCGGTCGGACGCCCATGATCACCCTGCAACCCGAAATTCAGCCAATCTCGTTAGAGCGCCAGAAGCCTCTCATAAGCCATATCAGCTATGACAGCCCACCCGCCGAGCCAACTTCGTCTGCGTATCAAAACCCTCTCATCCACCCTGTCAACTACACCAGCTCACCCTCTGAGGCGCCCTCGCTGTCAGCTCAGGCACAGCCACGGACAACCCCTCGCGCAGCGGGATCACCGGATATCGTGCGGAATCGTCCCATCATCAAACTCCAGCGCGCCGACACCTCCCCTCCCGACATGGCTCTTCCCCTCCCTCTCCCCCTCGTTATGCACTCCGCCGAAACCGACGTCTCGGCTCCCACTGCCCGCCTAGACCAGCTCTTTACCCCGCCCAGGCCTCCGCTTCCACCTCCGCATTCGCGCGAGCCTACCCCTCCTCGCGCTAGAATTCGGCTTGATACGACGCACGACAATCCTTTTCTTTCGGAACAGAACCCATTCATCACCTTCCAGCATGTACCATCCCCGCATCACGACGAACAACACGACACCGGCGTCCAGAAACTTGCCTTCCCCTTCTCGTCTCCACCTCTGGCTCCGTCGGACCTGGCGCCCTCGGCCTACTCGTATTTGGCTGAACCATATGACTACTGTCATGGCGGAATGGCGGAGGAGATCGATGCGCAGTGGGACTTGTCGGAATGGGAGGCGGCTAGAGGAGAGCAAGGAGAGAGGGAAGAGAGGAGATTCGATGGGACCAGAATGGACTGCAAGGACTTTTGGAAGGCTCGACCTGCTGTTATATAGCTACGAGGGATATCGATACATGTGCATGGGCTTGACTTCTGGGAGCTACCAGTGTGACATTTACTATAGGCCTCTCCAAGCAGGTGTAAGGTCTTATCGCGCCGACTGAAGGCCGATGACCGAAGAAGAATGCCGAAGAGCGTTGACGTCACTCGAGTTTGTCTTTGATTCTTCGAGAATCACTTTGTCCTCTTGCATCTTATTTCTCTCACATACATCATCACTATTCTGTCCCAGCATAGGCAGACCGTTCACATCGGACGAAATCTACTCAGAGCATCTCGCACTGCAATCCCCCTTCTTCGATTTACCCGATCATCCAACATGTCAGCACCCGTCAGCGCCCCCGCCCCATCGCACGCCACCTCTGGCCAGACTGTGGTCAACCCCATCAGCGGACACGATCTCACAGCCAAGCAGACCGCTGCGCACAACTACGACGAGATCCTGAAGCGGAGTACAAACAAGGACGACAAGCATGTGGTCGTCAGGGAGGTTGTGCCTGGGATCGTGACCTTCTCTATCCCTTTTGTGAGTGGCGACAGTCAGCATTTCTGCTTGGCCGTTGCTGACGGGTAGGCTCGGGCTGGCGCTGTACCTATCGGAGGTAGAAGTACTGCAATTCGCCACGGCTCCGGAAATGTCCTCATCTACGTCTCGTCTCCCCACACCCCTGCTACCGCCGAGATCCTCGAGGGGTTGGGCGAAGTCAAGTGGCTCGTCACCCCTGATGGAGAGCATGGGATCAGCTTTGAGCAATACATTCAAGCCTACCCTAACGCTATGTGAGTGCTGTATGGATGGCTTTCTAGCCGGACGAAGGAGCATTGTTGATGGGCAGGACCATCGGCGTACCGCGTCTCAAGGCCAAGATGCCAAAGGTCAAGTGGACTGGTATCTTTGGTGAAGGTGGCGAGACACAGCAATACGGCTTCGAGGACGAGGTGGGTATCTGCTGCCCTCCTAGTGACCAGAGCTGAGGGTCAGATGTCGATCCACCGGGTTTCAGGACACGTCAACGACGAGCTGGTCCTCCACCATGCTCCCAGCGGTACGCTTATCCAGGCGGATATGCTCTTCAACCTGCCTCCAACCGAGCAGTACAGCCGAGCCGGCGGTATCCCCGGGCTCATGAAGATGATGGGCGGTGGATCGACCATGTCGCCGGACGGATGGGTGCACCAGAAGATGGCGTTCGGTATGGCCAAGGACAAGGAGTGAGTCTACATGATACGACGTCAGAAGGAAGTTGACATGCCAGTGCATTCAAGAAGGAGATTGCACCGATCAATGCGCTCAAGTGGGACCGAATCATCCCCTGCCACGGGGACGTCATTGAGACTGGCGGAAAGGTTGCCTGGGACAAGGTGTGGGGCAAGTACTCCGCTTAATCGGAGGCTAGAGGTATGAGTGGAAAAGATGCGGGGTAGATGCAAGTATAGTAATCATAATGCACATAGATGAACGCTTTCTCAATGACAGTCATCGCCATGTCTGGCGGCTCCATGATGAAGTACAGGGGTGCTTTACAACTCATTGCGACATACGAGATTTTGTTATATATATATAGGCAGTTCTATGATCCAGGACCCGCGCCATCCCCCAGCTGACCTCCGAATGTGAACCCCACGCTCAGCCTTGGCCCCTTCTTTGCGCTCCCACTCTTCTCCTTGTCCGCCACCTCCGTAGCCACCACCTGGACCGCCTTTGGGCTGTCGAAAGCCGATCCGAACATCAAGGGCCGATTGGTGGGGGTTCGCCGTACGACCGACTCGCGAGGAGAAGCGACCGATTTGGAGCCGGTAGAGGATGCGGAGGAGGAAAGAGGGGAGGGGTTGGAGATGCGGGATTCCTGGGAGGTGGGTCCGCGACCGATCTCGACCATGACATCTGGCGTTTTTTGGGTGCGGACAGATCGGTCCGGAGCTTGGGTGGGAGGCGGCATGGACCCGTCCTGACTGTTGGAGATTTGAGTGCTCCGTGCCTGGGTCTGCTGCGCCTGCGTAGGAGCGATGAAGGGGCTGATCGACCGGCGCTTGGACCCGGAAGCCCGTTGACGAGGAGAGGGACCGCCTGATGAGGAGAACTGAGGGTTCCGCCGAATCTCGGGAGACAAGTCAATGCCCTCGCTCAGCTGGCTTTGGATGATCTCCTCGTCCATCGCTGAGGTATTGCTGTCCTGGCTGTTCCGGTCGGTACTGCCTTTCTGGGAGGGGCTCAGGCGCTGGGGAGAGGGGAAGGAAAGGGGTTGCCGGATGGATTGGAAGGAGGGAATGGGGTAGGTCGTGTCGGTGGTGATGCTCGTATCGCCCAGCTGCGATTGCGAAGCTTGTGTAGGTAGCTCGTCTGATGTATCAGCTCTCGCTCAGCTACAGCGGCGGTGAAACTACTCACCTGATATGGGCTCATATGCTATCGGCTGAGAAGCAGCCTGTTCCTGACCCTTGCCTGCCACCTTGACCCAAACGCCCTGGTCTATCCGCCTTCGCTTCACACCGCGCAGCTGTACCGGCGGCTCCGCCTCGATGTGGTCGGCGACGTGTCCGTCGAGCTGCTCAAGGGACTCGCACACGGTCGCGCAGTATGCCCAGCTGAAGAGGTCAGCGCTGTGTTTGCCCCTGGGCATGACCGGTCCCACTATGCGAAGACCTTGTCAAGAAGAGACTTGCCGGCAGATATACATGGCTGGAGATGGCTAGACAGGTGTGGGCGAGGATGATGAGTGGATGGTAAGATTTGTTTTGATTGGGCAGGTGCGAGGAATTCGGTGGTGTGGCGCATTTGGGTGGAGGGAGCAGGCATGATTGTTTATATATTTTCAAGTCAAGAGCTTTTAGAGTCCGCTTGGTGCAGTCGTAGCATGCTCTCTTCCGATTAAGGAGTAATAAATTACCGGGAGTGGTCCTGGGTTCAATCCCCAGAGTGGATTTCTTTTTGTTTTTGCCCCTTTTTCCTATGCATAGAATACCCTTTTTTTGGGCATGAGCAGGTAGCTATGCATCGGAGCTATAGTTTGGCAGTTATTCTGAGTCTCCAGAGTCAATGTGGCGTGCACAAATTGCGTTGGCGCGAAGGGGTCATTTGGTGGGTCCGAGTTGCTCTGAGTGTGGCATTTGCGTCTCACGGCTCTTGCTATTGGTGCGTTGTCATATTCAAGGCGTGTGCAGGAGGTACAGATGGCTGCTGAGGAGTATCTAAGATACTTATTAAGCCCTCTGGAGAGGCAGGACTGATGGTAGATCGGTATAGCCTAAACTGGATGCTCTGCCGCACCTATAGTTCCTTCTGAGATCATCCTCAGCTGTTTTGACGATCAGGATGACCACATGCGCGTAAGAGCTCAACGGCCTTATAGATAGCAGGACGAAATATCTGTGGTGTGCTTGTAACATCATATACCTGAGAACTCCAAGAGAAGAAAGTTGGAGGAGGGTCGGGTGGCTGGAATGCATTGCGCCGGGCCGGAAGGTTGGCGGTGCTGCATCCGATGATGCTATCATCCGCCATCCTACAATGGTCTGGCTGCCCTTCCCTCCTCGACGTTACCTATTCACTCTCCTCTGTCCTGGCTATGCTCCCAAGGTTGCGATGTTGGAAGTCGAAGTATGGAGGGTGGAGGTGAGTGTCAAAACGAGACCCTTAAAGGCAGTAGCAGTTTCATGCAACATGACGCGTTATTCTAGCGATTTTGAATCGACAACTCCCCTATAACCCAGATATCCTCCATCTCGCCGCGCTGTCTATGTAGCCTTGGCGAGTATAGCCTTGGTGAAGTCCGAGGTCGAAGCAGTACCTACAGCCATCAGTTCTATCACCCCTCGCGTCGAGCCAAAGAAACTTACCACCACGCATGTCGGCAGTCCGGACCTTGCCCTCCTGAATCACATCGTACACCGCCGAGGCGATCGTGTTGGCCTGAGTCTCGAGGCCGAGGTGGCGCAGCATCATGGTAGCGGAGAGAACCATGGCGGAGGGGTTGGCCTTGTTGGTGCCCATAATGTCCTTACCGACGTGCCTACATCCGGGCTCGAAGAGGGCGTATTCGCGACCAAAGTTGCAGCCGGGGACGACACCGGGACCACCGACGAGTGCTGGGGATCAGTTAGGAACGGAGTGAAGAGGGAGTAGGAGACTTACCAGCTCCGATGTTGCTGACAATGTTACCGTACAAGTTGGGCTGATGTGTCAGTTGATCCTCAATTACGGAAGAGAGACGAGACTCACCATGACCATAACATCAAACTGCTGAGGCCTGGAAACAAGCTGCATGGAGGTGTTGTCGACAATCATCGAGTCAAACTCGATACCGGTGTGTCCGTACTCGGTCTCGGCGATCCGCTTGCAGGTGTTGAGGAAGAGACCGTCACCGAGCTTCATGATGTTGGCTTTGTGGACGCAGGTGACCTTCTATAGGGGAGTCAGCACAAGCCAATAGAAAGCGTCCTCTTCAGCGGACCAGTCCCTCGCCTGCTCCGCCTGTAATCCCATCCACATCCGAGCTTACCTTGCGGCCGTTCTTCATGGCAAAGTCGAACGCAAACCTCGCAATCCGCTCCGCCTTGGCCCTCGTCGAGATCTTCAAGCTCTCCACGACACCCGGGAAACTCTGGTGCTCGAGACCCGAGTACTCTCCCTCGGTGTTTTCACGGATGATGGCAAAGTCGACATTGTCGTGGCGGGTGGGGAAACCAGGGAGGGTCTTGCAGACCACGACCGAGGCGTAGATGTCCAGTGTTTGACGCATGGCGACGTTCCACGAGTTGTGGCCCGAGGCGTCGGCGGGTGTGAAGAGGATACCTGGCAGTCAGCTACTGTACAATGACAAGATAGCAGTATATAACTCACCCTTGAGTCCCACCTTATTCCGCTTCAAGCTCTCCATAGCCTGTTGGAAAAGCTCGTCTCCACCTGGGGTCTCGCCGGACACGTCGTGCTGCTCGAACTGCACCGGTACCTTAAGTTCGGTGAAGATGTCCTTGACAGAGTTGGTGATCTCCTTGCCAATACCGTCTCCGGGGATGAGGGTGACTGTGTATTTGCCTGAAAGTCAGCAAAGCGGAAGGGCGGTATGGCGTTCAGGACAACGGTCTGAGCCGCATCTCGGAGATGACAGAATCTTGACGTACCGCCGAACTTGGAAGGCAACTTCTCGAAGTCAGCTACTATTTCTGGAGTCCGCGGCAAGAGAGGACATACCCTGCGCTCCTCAACAGTTGTGGCCATCCCGCGGGCAACGGGCACGGCAGCCGAGCGGGCTACACCATTTCGGAGAGCGGAAGAAGCGGTGGAGCGGAGAGCAGGGGTGAACATGGCTGCTGTGGAGTGTGTATGTATAGGTAGATAGAGAGTAGGAGAGGTAAAGAATACTTTGCTTTGTCTGTAGCTGGCGGTTTCGCGACTTGGTGCTGCAGAGAGAGAGGAACGTCCCTGAAATGGCTCATCGGCGATTTCCGGCCGACTAGTTCCGGATCACGTAATCAACAAGCTTCACACCTAAATTTCAACGTTCAACCGCGCGCTTGAACCAAATAGACCGTCGACCATACATCTTATGCTCAAGGCACTGACAAGAGCTCATACTGTATACCTAACGAGACTCAAAACCTTCAAGGGGGCACACACACTAGCAAATATCATGGCTGCTGAAGGAGGCGAAGCTATGGCCGCAGCGGAGGTGACGCCCGCGTTCATCAACACCTCCGCCGAGGCTGGTCCGTCCAAGCGGACAGCTGCTGAGAAATGGCACAATCCGGAGGGTCCGCCCGTAGGGTCTAACTTCGGCGCCAGGCTGCTGGATGATGCTCAAGATGTGTGGAGTCATAATGCTTGGTGAGCTACCGGTCTCTTGTATCCGAGGACCCCTGCTTATACTCTTCAGGGATCATGTTGAGCTGCCGGACGACTTTGCGGAACGCGCAGAGGTCATTATGGAGAGACATAGAGCTACGCCAGTGAAGGAGGAGATCCGAGGTGAGCTACTTCGACCTCCTCTACGCAGGGGCAGAGACATAGCTGACAATTCTAGACGACTATAACGAAAGACCAGCCTGGTTCTGGGATAAGTTCTATTCGAAGCACAAAGAGGCGTGAGCTATGCGTCCCAGACGGGTGAAAGATCAAGCTGACCTAATGTAGCTTCTTCAAGGATCGGGCATGGTTACGGCTCGAGTTCCCCGAGTTGATCGCTTGCACCGAAGCAGATGTAAGCCATATGCTACCGCGTTGTAGGACCGTCGCTCATGAAGTAGTAGGCTGGACAAAAGACGATACTTGAGGTCGGATGCGTGAGTCAGCTTGCGTCTGGATCAGGGGAGTGGTACTGACTAGCAGGGTGCCGGCAATACTGTCTATCCTCTCTTGATGCACAATGAGAACCCCGACCTGGTCTTATGGGCGACAGACTACTCCGCGCAAGCCGTCGGGGTCGTCAAGGTGAGATGATGCGATGCTTCTGTCAGGGAACTCAAACTGATCGACAGTCAAATCCCATGTACCCCCGCGCGGAGCATGGCAAGGGCATCCTGAATGCTGCTGTTTGGGACATTACCGCTAAGCCCTCGCCAAATGCTATGGATGGGGTCGACCACACTATACCTGAAGGTGTACACCCGGGTAGCGTTGACATTATCACTGCGATCTTTGTGCTTTCGGCATTGCACCCCAAGGAATGGGTGCAGGCGATACATAATATGTTCACGGTATGTCCGTCTCCTCGCCGCTACCTCAGCTGCTTAGGCTTAAGCCACTTGCTTACATCGTCAGGCACTCAAACCCGGTGGCATGCTACTCATCCGAGATTATGGCCGCCACGACCTCGCCCAGCTGCGTATCAAGAAGGATCGACTACTCGACCCCGAGATCCCAAATCTTTACATCCGAGGAGACGGCACGAGGGTCTACTTCTTCACAAAGGAGGATCTTGAAGCTATACTCTCTGCAGCACCACGCCGATCCAGCGCCTCTGGTGGCGAGGAAGGGAGTCGCGAGAAGATGTTCGAGGTGGATCAACTTGGAGAAGACCGGCGATTGGTGAGCTCACCTGTCAACACCTGATGCATGGTAGCTGACTCAGCAGCTCATCAACCGGAAAGAGAAGCTGAAGATGTACCGCATCTGGATGCAGGTCAAGGCGAGGAAGCTGTAGAAGTTCTAGCTAGATCGCAGAGGAGCGCTCACATGTGAAGCGTATTGTAACGCCGGTAACACTCAGCTTCTTGCATACCTTAGCTGAAACACGCGTGCCACGTCATTCTGGCAAAACTTTATGCTCGGCGGAATTGACCCGGATGCATGCCAGCTGATGACTCCGCCTCCGCAATGACGATCTACTATACACACCATCACAATCCCCGTCGTCAGCTATAGCTACACTTCGAGCGACCCATCCTCCACGATCTTCTACAGCCGCGTCCTCAGCTGCGAAGCTAGCGAGCGCATTGTGTCGGTCCCGGGAGCTCTCGCGCCATGCCCGTCGACCACACCCAATATAATCCCCCCACCCACCTTTACCCGTACAACATCATGACTGAGGCAGAAACGCGCGAATTGATAGAGCGTTCCGCGGCGGACAAGGCAGCTCAGGATGAAGCGAAGCGAGTGCGGGCCCAGCAGGATAGGGCGCTCAAGGATGCGGTCCTGGCGCAGAAGGGTGCGCTGAGCTCCGTCATGACTCCAGGGGGTAGTAGTTCTACCGCGCAGAACAGGCAGGAGAATGGTAAGCTTTGCAATACAAGCAGGTGCTGGAATATAGCTGATGGTGTAGCTCCCGCTGCACAGCAAGCGGGACCCTCCGCACCTTCCGCCTCAAATACCCTTACCCACTCCATTTCCCCTTCCATCCCGCATCACCACCATCACCACCATCATCACCATCACCCCGCGCCGCTGCAGGCCGACCGACCAGGCTACAGCGCGAGCAATCCCGGCCCATCCACCGGCTCCGGCACGTCCCAGCGCCCCAATACAGGCAGTACACCCAATTCCGGCGGAAGTAACCCGCCCCGTCCCTACTCGTACGGTAGCCAGCAAGGCACGCCCGCTGCTGGCCCCTACAGCCGGCAGCCGACGCCTCAGGACCAGACCCGCGTGATGTCCCCTACCGCTCCTACTGGCCGAGCCCCTACCCCATCAGCCACGTCCGCAAGGCAGGGACCGGCCTCCATTTCCCCACAAGCTGCACCAGCTGTTCCGCCCATGTTTGGCGGGACGCGCACTCTGCCCAGTCCCTTTGAAGGCGAACAGCCTCGACGTCATCTTGACCGTCCAGAGGCACCTCCGGCACCTCGCAGCCCCCAAAATGCGAACGACAGCCGTGACCCAGCGCGGTCACCCACATCTCGCGCCCCCTCGGCTCAAATACCCCAATCCGCACCGGTCACCGGAGCCTCGGAGAGGAGATACCCTACCGACACTCGGCAATCCCCTGCATACCCACCTTTTTACCAGCCATCTGCATACAGCACCACTCAGCCTTCGACCACCCCTACCGTTTCGCCCCCTAATACGCACGGTTCAGCCCCCCAGAACCCCTCGTCGACCGCCAATGCTGCGTCTATCGCGGCGTATAATCGGGACCGGGATCGTGAGGCGCAAGAGCGGCGAGAACGGGAGCAAAGGCAGCGGGAGGCGCAGAATAGGCGGGACCGGGAGCAGGTCGAGGCGGATATTGCGCGCGCAGAGTCGAGGAGATTACAGCAGGAGGCGGACGATAGGCAGAGGGCAGCAGCGGCCAAAACGGCCATCCCGGCCAATCGATACCCGCAAGAACCGGGATCCTTAATCAGTCAAGTCGCGCCCGTTCGCGAGCCTCGGCCATATACCCTCAAGGCGGAGACTTTGCCCAACAATCCGCCCCTTTCTGCCCAGAATGGCGGTTCTCAGTCCTCGGCAGCGCTAGCGGCGCAACGCGAGCGGGAGTACCAGTACAATCCGCGCGAGCGGGACCCGCGAGAGAACCGATCACGGATGGATCTGGCGGTCGAGGAGCAAAACAAGCGGTCGGCTACTGCGGCGATATCGGCGGTTTCTCGAAAGCGGAAGAAGGAGGAGAGTGTACTTTCCGCAAGTAACGGGGGCAAGGCAACTCCGCGGACGGTCCCTGTTCCTGCTGTACGTCCGCCACGGGACGGGGGTTGGCCGTCACTCACCGAGGTGGGGCGCAAAAAGTCGGAAGTCGATGGTCGGGTGATGCGCCGGTGGCTCGGGGATAACCCTAATGGACGAGTTTTCAACTACGAGTACGACGGCCGGACTATCGCGGACCTCGGACTCGGGCAGGAGTGGGCAGGCGGACAAGTCATCGTCCGCATCCCGCCGGCGTACCTCGGCCGAGCGTGGTGGCTGATGAGCGCTCTCCACCAGTCATGGGAGCCCAGCGAGCCCCATTCTCATGAAGGCGCGATGGGGCTGGATATGGAGATCGAAGGAGGGGACAGAGGGGGTTACGACGACGTAGCATGGTGTAAATGCTGGGGGACCGATTATTACACGGACGACTCGGGCCTGGGGAGTGTACTGGTCCATTGCGGTCAGCTGAGGTGGAAGAGGGGAGAGCAAGAGGGATTACCGATGATTGGAAAGGACGGACTGAAGGTTGTCATTCGCCTGTTGCCGCAGATGACGAGATATGTCGGGAATATCAAGCATGGGATCAGGAGCCGGGCGTGGGGGAATGGGCATGATGGTTTGACGATTCAGGTACTCGAGGCGAAGCGGATATTAGTGAGTTCTCCTGTTCTGGGTAGGGGACAAGGGCGAGATGGAGAATTGTCGAGCTGACAGCCGCAGAACTACCACGACGTCCCGCCAGGAGAACCAAGTCGGAAACGCCAAAAGAGTCGGGTCCGCGACTTCAACGCTCAGCGTGTTGCGTTGCAGACAGAGGGGAAATCGAGGCATGGGGAAGAGGCGATCGTGTGGTTCCCGTCGGGTTCGGCAGGAGACCAGAAAATTGGAGCCATGTGAGTGGGCCCATTCAAATCTGGAGGCGTAAGCTGATGCGCTTCAGGATCAAGTACTCTCCGGGCGCTGTATCGAGCTGGCTGTCCGTTTCGGATCCGGCGAGTCTGTGGCGTCGCAATCTGGAACTCAAGAGCGGGGACGATACGTGAGTCTGAAATTCGGCGTACACTGACGATTACAGCTACTCCTTCACGCTCGACCAGCAAATTTCCACCCACAGCCTTCCAGTCCTCACTCTTCAACTCAGCAGCCCACGATTAGACCTACCCGCGTCAAGCGTCTGGGACCGACTCGGCGTGACCGCCACCGCCGACAAGTTTACATGGACGGATGCGGGGCTCATTGTGCGCCCAAGCGAAAAGATGGGAGCGTTGATCCCGATCGAGGGGTATCGGTGGATCGATAATGGCGATGTGTTCTTGGCGGACTCGAGCTCGTCGGCTAGCGGAAGCGAGGGGAGGAGGGACGGTGATATGGTAAAAGCGGAGCCGAAGAGGGAAGAGGAGGATGGGATGGAAGGGGCGGAGCAGGAGATGGCCAATGGGGAAGAGGCAGTCGAGGAGGATAGTCGCATGGAGGAGAGTGGAGAGACCGGTGCTGAGTAGCGGCGGAGTAGTAGTCCTCATCTTGGTCAGAGACATATGCTGTCTTGGATGTATTTCATAGCTTCAAGATCAGGTCATAGCAGATACGACCGCCACTGATGGCGAGTACTAGGCTGTGTACGGGATGATGCTCAGGCACATCAGGACAATTTGTGTCTGCATAACATGCCTACCGACAGCTTCCGGCTACACCGAGCCCTGTGAACATCCCTCATCGTTGTCGAGCGCCGATAGTATAAACCAAGTAGATCTGACCATCAACTTCGATACCAGTCGCAAATGCCAGAAGCAAACTCACGATCCACGAACAAGTCACCATCGCGGCCAGCTGACCCCCAAACAACCAAAACACCCACTTCTTTACCTTCCATCCCTTGAACTCTTCGCCGCGCGCTTCTTGCTCCTTCTGAAGCGCGATCCGCTCGGCCTCGGACTTCCGAAGCGAGTGACCAAGGAGCTTGCCGTCGAGATAGTCGTATATGGGCCCAAGGCAGATTTGGAAGGCCTTGATGGCGATGAGGCAGTAGATGACGCGTTCGTAGCTTTGGCCAGGGGTCTTGTCTTGCTGTGCGGAAGTTAGCGAGAGGAAGCGGACGGAGACAGGAGAAACCTACGATGGATCCGGTGGCGATCTCGAGGAGGATGTTGTTACATGCGATCTGCCGGTCAGCTTGGGGAGACACCGTTTGAGGAAGGACTCACGAAAGAGGACCAGATACCGTATGCGGTACCCATCAGACTCTCGTCGTTGATGAGAATAGGGATACTGCCGATAAATGGCAAGACGTTGAACGCGAGCGCGAACGACCCGAGGATGATCGGTCCGAGCGGGTTGACGGTCGTCAGACCGATAAGAGCAAAGACGATGACATATAGCGCTGCGCCGAACGAGACGAAAGGCATGCGCCAGCCATACCGGTCGAAGAACATGCCTAAGATAGGGACGGTGACGATCTGCAAGAGGGATTGGAAGGCTGAGTTGAAGCCAGCGCCAAGGGTGGAGGTACCGCGCGTCCGTTCCTGTATGTCTGCGAGATTGACAGAGTAGACTGTCCGGGCAGAGTTCTGGAAGATCTCGGTACCGCAGATGATCCAGAAGAAGGTGGGCCTGGATGTCAGCTGTGTACTACGCTTTCTTGGTGATGACTTGCATTTGGCTGATATTGCGCCAGACCATACGGAAGGGCGAGCCGCTCATCTTGCCTCGGACATCGCTACCGTTGTTGGGGCGGTACATGGCGGGAACGGACCGCTCGTATAGCAGGTACCCGACTATGATGGCGGTACAGAGTACAGTGAGCATGGAAGGGATCCACAAGGCCCAGCCATACCAGCCGTTGATTTGCGCCATGGGGATGGTGACCAGACGAGCGACCATACCGGTGAGCTGGCCCCATGACAGGTCGAGAGCGATGACGAGGGCGAGTGTCGAGCCCTTGAACCAGTGCGCGTAAAGCTTGTTCTGAGACGTCTCGATGACTACTGGTCAGCTGTGGATCTGCGGGCAAAAGAAGTGACTGACCGATAGAGCCGAAGCCCATGAGGATACGTCCACCGATGAGAAGACCTACGCGGTTGGTATTGGCAGACTAGATCATGTCAGTAGGGCTTGAGTATTTCGGCGGCGGAAGAACTTACAGTCGCAGCCACAACCGAACCGACAACACAGAACATGGAAGCAATCAGTGCCGCACTGTCTCCGTCAGCTTTCCTTTCAAGTTTGATTCATGGCGCGACTGTTACTTACTAGACTGCGCCCACATAATCCATACCTATGCCTCCAATCGCGGGAAGAACGGTATTAACGATATTGGATGCGGTAGAGATGGTACTGAACTGAGTGTCTGCTACATCAGACAGATAGGCATAGGGTGACAATGGAGACATACTGTTGATTTTTAGCTCCTTGAGCAGGGTCGACTTGAGCGGGCCAAGAGTAGCCTCGCAGAAAGCAGCACCAGTACTGTAGACCAGGATGAAGGCGAAAGCGGTCCACCGGTACTTTGCCGGGATGTCAACGATATTCGTGGTGCTGATCTTCGCCATCATCTTTGGGGGGAGGGCAGAGTCATCCGCGAGGATGGGGATGGTCCCTACATGCTGCTCGTCCGTAAATTCAGGCGAGTCGCCTCGGGACTTGAAGTCGGGCGATTCGAGGGGCTTTTCCGACAGCTTCGACATGATGACAGAGATGGAAGTGAGGATGGTCAGAGAGGAAGGGAGAACGAGGAAGAAGGTGAAGGAGGAAGGAGCTGGATCTATGAGGGCTCCAGCTTCCGGGCCTCGACCTCCCGTAAAGTTTCGCTCGTTATCAGATTAGTGGCACCTTTCCCGCTTCGGCCGATATTACGGCTATGGCAGGGCCTGGCCCATCCGGGGGCATCCTGACGGTTTATCCGAAGTAGTACCGTGTTGCGAAATGAGGGGGCAAGTGTGAGTCGGCCGAGCGCAGCTTCGACAGCTTGAAGACTCCGGTACGTAGTGCATAGCTTCCGAGGAGGTGCTGAGATACTTTGGCGAGGAGGGTGTCAAGAATCTTGAGAAATGACTTGCAAGTCCGGTCTAAGCTCGAGCATTCAAAAATCGGTGAGTTCTCGGCCTGGCCGACTGGCAGATCCCCACGTAGTCCTCTGCCCTCTGCTTCTGGCTCTCTCATCCCAAGTAAGTGTAAGTATATGTGAGTGATCATCAATATTTCCAGCCTCATGTATAGTTGATGGTAGTCTGACGAGCGTCGAGTACTGGTTGATTTTGGGTCCTGACGGCTTACTCTTTTCTGTTCCACCTGAGCGAGCCATCGAGGTGAGAAGGCCCCCTGTCTGTGTCGATGCCAGACGCCCAACAGACCGACCACAAGGTTCTTCAGATCTGAGATGAGATACTGATGTATATGTGGAAGGACAGCGAGCCATGCGAGAGCGCTCGGGCCGCCTATGACGTGTGTGTGTAGGTGAAACCTTATTTCACCCGGTTGACTCAGCTGCCCGGTTCACACTGTGAGTTTTCGAATTGTTCGCTCTTCCTTCCTCCTCTCATCCGACACTCACCTATACCATACTACCACTCATATAATGGGACGAGCACCTCAGAAGCCCAAAGCCAAAAACACGGCCTACGTGGAGATCCCTTCGATGTCCAGGTCCAAGGCGAGGACCCCCGCGCCTACGCCCGCTCTCCCTTCCCCGCGACAACCGTCCCCTGAAGTGGATCAGCTTCCTACCTCCTCCCCTCAGCCCTCGTCCCCCTCCAGCTCCGACTCGTCCGCGGAGCCGACAATCACCCTCCCTTCCAGGATCCTCACCGTGCTCATTCGCGTCCTCCGGTCGTCCGACGCCCTTGGGACCCTCGGCCGTCTTTCCCAGGCGTCCAAGGCCACGCATGACGCCGTAGCCCCGGTCCTCTACCACACGGTTGTTCTTCGTACCCATCGCCAGCTCTCCTCCGTCCTGCAGACTCTCGAGACCCTTGTCGAAAAGAAGAAGCGCCGCACTCGCCTCTCTAGCCCAAAGTGCGACGCCCGCACCAAGCTCGAGAGGTTCAAGAGCGTCAAGGTCCTCCATATCAATCATCTTCCTTCCCTCGAAAACCTCGACAAGCTCTCTTCCCTCGAAGACACCTTCGCCGACTCTCCTATCTTCGCCGGCCTCGAGGCTATGCACCTCTCCCGTACCCTGCTTCACCATCTCCACCCCTCGGCGTCCGTCAAGCCCGTCGGTCGGATGGAAAAGCGACTCAAAAGGCTCGATCTCATCGGCCTTCTCGGACGTCCGCCCCGCGTAGCCGTCGATCTGGTCGGAATCGAGTCGGACTCCGCCAATGACGCAGATGATGCCTGCAACTGCACCGAGGACTTCTGCAGCAAGCTGGGCGAAAGATGGAGCGAGGGACACGCATTCCAGGAGCTTGTCATCCACCTCGACGCGGCGATGCTGGCAACCCACTTCCTCTCCACCACCGCGGCCGGCCCCGAGCTTCGGCTCATCATATCCCCTTCCCCGGCCTCCCGTCCTCCCTCCTCACCTCCTTCTCGGAAGAAAGTCCGCCGGTCATCCTCCGACAGCTCGACGGACGACTCCACCCTCTCCGACGCCCTGGCGCGCTTTGTCCTGCATCGCGTACAAAAGGCAGAAGTCTTCAAGGGCGGCAACACGTCCATCTTCCTCTTTCCTGCGGGACCGGGCGAGGACGAGCCCGATCTCGAAGTTCTCTCTTCGCAGATGATTGAGGGGGCCAAGACACTCGCCGGTGATGCAGGGAAAGAGCTGTTTGGGACTGTTAGGGCTAGGCGGCTGCTGAAGGTGATAATGCTGCACCTGGGTAATGAGGTCGAGGAGAACGGGGACGGAGCGTGAAGGTGAGCCATCGTCGAACATACGATGAGACTACAGCTAATAAGGGTAGATTCGCAACACACCATATCGATGAGTACGATTCTACGCTAGGTCGACATCACTCGCGGGGCGACAAGGAACGCAGGAAGGGTGGAAAGTGTAGTCATTGCGGAGGGGAACAGACTGGCAATGGCAGCTGTGAGGGAGGAGTCGGGGGTTGTACATAAGCTACGCCTACATATGCATCATGTCTGTACACTACCCAGCCCACATTGACCTGTCGTATTTTGTCATATCGCAGTCGCGCCACATACCTCCTGTCACAGATCTGCACGTGATCAAATCTACCGGACGCGCTCGGCGCGCGGCGACACAAGCTTTGGGTCGTGTTGAGGGGTAAAGGAACCTTGTGCATTTCTATCCATACATCTCGAGCAATAGGAGAGCTACAGCAAGTGTGTATGAGACCGTCTTGACATATTCGCCCCATCCAACGGCGCTCAGCCCATTCGATAGAGGGGGAGAACGGTCTCCAGCGAGGACCAAAGCGCGCCGGAGTTGGCCATTCCTCGAAACCCACTTGTCCATCGGTCTCCACCCCTCGGCCCTGATCCCTGTCCTCGTCTCCATCGGCTTCGCAGTGGCTCCATACATGCTCTCCCGAGATCGCACTGCATTTCGGTCGGCAACATTGTGCAGCGCTCCCTCACCCGACTGAACAACTCAACAACAAACAACTCTCGTAAACGCTCAACTCTACTTCATCGCCTCCTCTCGACCATCTACACGCACCCATGGCCACCATGACGGCCTCCCCCATCCCTCCTCACCTCGCCGCCAACTCCGCTTCCGTGCAAACGACCCCTAGACCTTCGCGAGCTCGGCCGTCGCCCCAGCCATCGCCGGCTCAGAGCGTCCCGTCGCCAAGGCAGGGAAGTCCGAGGAGTAGCAGTCCGAGGGGTCAGCCGTCTGGGGGTCTAGATCTGGAGGCGATATTGCGGTCGAATGGGGGGGATGCGGAGCGGGCATTGGAGCAGGTCGTAGCGGAACGGAATACCCTGGTAAGCATTCCGTAGCTGAAGGTCTCTGAAAGATCGCAATCTGATACACCGATAGCAACAACAAAACTCGCAACTCTGGAAATTGATAGAGAAGCAGCGCGCTCAATGTACGCATCTCGTGCAGGACAACGAGAGACTCCGGTCTGATCGAGAACGGGCCAACCAGCGGCTCGTAGCGGGGGGTTTGGAGCCTATCAACGGAAAGCGAATCCCTCATTCCTCCTCCTCTGTCGGGCTCGGTCTACGTGCCGATATCCTGCCGCCAAGCATGAAGCGCAACAACTCGGATCGGGATGAGCGGATAGTCGCGCAGATCGGCACCGCGTCCCTGCAGGTCCCGTCGGCCGACTCATCGGCTCCGTCGTCCCCATTGGAAGCGCCGGCCTCGCTGCTCCCCTCCCCAATGGCGGACAATAAACTTCGAAGGGAGAGCAGGATGGCCTTTGCTCCCGAAGTACGGTCCTTCCTGTCTCTTGCGGAATCGCCAAGAGCGGGTTCGCACCAGGTCCCGCCTGTTCCTCACAGGTCGGTGTCGGTCCCAACGCCTGCTCCAGCAATGGAAATTACGGAGAACAACCCAAGTCCAGGCTCGGCTTACTCGCCGAGCCCTGCGGCGGGAACGAAAGAGGAGAGCAGGGAGGTCGCAGAAGCGCCTTCGTCGTCCAAGCAGCTCGCGACGATGGCGGAGGTGGACGAGGAGCCCGCGGAGACGGCAGAGGTGGACCTGTCCTCACCGATATCAGAGGGAAGAGACGGTGCGTCTCAGCCTCCTGCTCGGCAGTCATCTCTGCATCGGCGTGCTGGAGGGCGGGAAGAGGTGCCTCGAGGGGCTGCCGATTCCGCGCGGCAGGCACCGCTGGCCACCCCGCCAATCCAGTCATCTGAGCCTCGGCGATCACATGATAGCCAGCGCGGATCGGAGGAGTCGACGCCTCGTCAATCGGTCGACGTCCGCCCATCCGTCGAGTCCATGGCGTCGGCAACGTCACGTCCTAGCCGTCCCCTTCCTCGTCTCTCCCCTGCCCTTCTCTCCCACACTCGCCTCTCCATACCCCACACCACCGTCTACCCCAACACGTCAGGCCGAGACGTCCTCTGCTTCATCGTCGCCATCACCGTCCGCCCGCCCAACGCCGCTCCTGTCACGTGGAACGTCGCCAAGCTCTTCTCGGCGTTCATCGATGTCGACACCAAGATTCGCGCCAAGTCGGGCAAGCGGTCAAAAGACTGGAAGAGTATGGTCGCGCCTCTGCCGGAAGGGAAGGCTTGGAAAGACTTCGCACCGAGCAAGATTGATCAGCGGAAGACGGCGCTGGAGGCGTATCTCCAGTCGTTGCTTTCCGCTCCGCTGAGTGACAAGTCGGACCTCTGCGAGTTCCTCAGCACGGATCCGGTCCAGGCGAAGGTGTTCAGCAATAGGAAAGAGGGGTACCTTACGAAGAAGGCAAAGAGCTTTGGAGGTTGGCGGACGAGGTACTTTGTCCTGGATGGGTCGGTACTGGAGTGCTACGAGAATGTAAGTTCGATCTCTGAAGGGAAGCATGAGCTGACATGACAGCGAGGCGGTCCCCACCACTCGAGCATCGTCATTACCAACGCCCAAATAGGTCGACAAAACCGCGCATCAGAACTCGCCGAGGACAGGGAATCTCGACATGCCTTCCTCATCATCGAGCAGTCCAGGAAGGGGCCGCAGCGCCACATTCTCTGCGCGGAGAGCGATATGGAGCGCGACAGCTGGATTGAAGCGCTGGTCAAGCACGTTGACCCCGACTCGACGCCTCTGATTCACGTCGCGAGTCCCCCACCACCAGCGCAAATACATCTATCCGCCCCACCTCCTCCTGCACCGGCGCCATCGCAAGGTCATCCCAGCAACGGCGGACCGGCGTCTGGACTCAACCGACAGCGGAGCAATTCTCGGAAGGGCAGCCGGGACGTGACCGTGACTGCTGCGCAGCCAATGGCGTCCATGCCAGCCGGAAGTAGCAAGTTTGGCGGAGCTCCCAGTCCAAGCATGTTCAACTCGATGGAACATCAGCGGCTGGCAAATGGAAATGGGGCTGCCAATGGGGGAGGAGGGAGCCCGTCCTTCCCGTCCTCTCTCGCCAGCCAGCCAAGTTCCAGCGGTAGCACCGGCTCAGGCTTCTCTCATCCCCCTCCGCCTCAACGTACCGAGCCCCCCTTACACTCCTCCACCAGCACACCCGCGGATCCACCACTCCGTCCCAAGCGACAGAGCATGATTCCTTCCCGCTCATCCGCTTCGTCACATTCATCCGGACCTCCCCCCTCGCATTCGGCCGCATACCTGTCCAAGCTCTCCGCGGACGGCCTGAATGCACCTCCTGGCTTACCCTCCGCCGGCGGACCAACTGCGGATAAGGACCGCGAGAGGAAAGCCAAATCCGGGCGGTTCTGGCCTTCCTTCGGCAAAGGCGCCCCCACCTCTTCCGACAAGATAGCCACCAAGCCCGTCTTTGGCGTCCCGCTCTCCGACTCATTGGCCATCGCCTCGGTCGCCAGTCTCCCGGCTATCGTCTTCCGGTGCATCGAGTGGCTCGAAGCCAAGCGCGCCGAGGACGAAGAGGGGATATACCGGCTGAGTGGAAGTTCGGCGGTCATCAAGGGTCTGAAGGACCGGTTTGATGTGGAGGGGGATGTCAATCTCTTATTGGTGGATGAACATTGGGATCCGCACGCCGTGGCGGGGCTGCTGAAGGGGTTCTTGAGGGAGTTGCCGACGAGTCTGTTGACCAGAGAGCTGCATCCGCGATTCCTCGCTGTCATGGGTGAGTTAGATGATACCTAGCTGGGGTTCAGCTGACATGTAGACCTGATTGACTCGTCTGCAAGGGTCGCCGAACTCTCCCGCCTGGTGTCCGAACTCCCTCCGCCCAACTACGCCCTCCTCCGCGCCCTCACTGCCCATCTAATCCTCATCGTCAAGCACGCCACGACCAACAAGATGACCCTGCGCAACATCGGCATTGTCTTTTCCCCCACCCTCGGTATCCCAGCGGGGATCTTCTCGGAGCTCGTATCACACTTTGGCGCGATCTTTGATGATGAGCCGGAAGAGGAGGATCCGGTGGTACATATTTCTGGGGCAGAAGATGCGGGCGCCATGGGCGACGGGCCGGTAGGCGAGGACGGAGCGGGATTGGGCGGAGAAGAGACGGTAGGGAGAAAGCGGAATAGTATGCTGTATCAGCAGGGTGGAGCGGATGCTATGCTTGGACTGGGAGGGAGGGCTTTGGATCCTGGTCAGTCCTACTCTTTTCCATAGACGTGCTATTAGCTGACTTCCAGTTGATGACTCGGCATCAGAGATGTCGGCAGACGAGGATCCTCGCTCACCCGATCTCGAATCAGACAACCAATCTGGCTTCTCCTCGGACAACCATTCCTCCGTCAGCCACAACGCCACCCCACGAGCCGATAGGGCAGACCCATACCCATCGGCTGCGGCGGCAAGGCGTCAAAAGAAGGACGCGACGGATGAGGCGCAGCAGCAGGCGGTATATCCGCAAAGGGGATCTAGCTTGGGAGGCGGGTGAACCTGTGAAGTTCGGGATGTGCTTAGATGAGGGAGGGGCCGCTCTGAATGGCTGAATCTACGGATACTTTCTTTGTTGTGATTCTTACCTGTTAGCTGCCGGTTTCAATGCAGGGAGAATGTAGGGTCTTGCTTCCGACCGACCCGAAAGAGGGTTGACCGGACGCAAGTCGAGCCTCATTCCTCGTCTCGCTCATTTCGCCTCCTCGAGCTGAAACATCAAGTGACACGGGAGAGATGTGGCGTGAAGCCACGTTGTGGCGGGCGGCCCGGAGCACGGTGCCCTGCTATTCTCAGCCGCTTGTCGCGGAGAATGATAAGAAAGACTTGTTGTCTGAGTATATATATATATGCCATCTCAACTGACCTATTGAACGTATGGACTCTTCCCGCCACTTCTCTCAAGACCCGCTCCCGCGCCCTCTATCATGTCGTTCTCACTCAGCGGCCAACTCTTCCAGCGCAATGGACAGATTTGAAGCGCACTCCCAGTCGGCCTCGGTCATATCTTCGTCGTCAGGCCCGCTGTCGCACAGCAGAGTCGTCCGGATGGCGGAGGTCGGAAACCTGCTTGCCGAGGCCCAGATCATCGTGACTTCCGCCCATCGCCTCCATGCTTCGTCGACCTGCGGGATCAGCAAGGGTCTCATGCCTGAAGGAGGGAAGAGATACGGAACGTACGTTCTCGGCTCTGACCTCGACTGCCTTCTCTTTCAGCAGTGCTCTGTTTTGCGGCGACGCAGAGATCAAGGACATCAAAGAGCGGTCTTCCATCCTTTCCCCTTGCTCAGCTCGTTTACCGTCCGTCGATCCGGAGAGCAGTACTTGCTCGTCATCTGAGCTGTCGGGGGAGAGAGACCGCTCTCCTCGCTCCAGATGAGCCCGGAGAGGGGGCGGGGGCCTCTCGATCCCTTGTCCCGGGTCATTGGATGCCTTCTTCCGAGTGTATACCGTCGGCCGCCGTGGAAGAGGATTCTTGAGGGTCGGAGGCGGAGATGGCAGTGCTGAAGCCGCGGTCGAAGGCGGAGTGGAAGGTGGCGAGCTAGTGATGGGTGATAGTCGGTCAAACTCCCGCACCGAGTCTTCACTCCGGAACCGGACCCGGGCGGGGTTCTGCGACGCTGGAGGGCATGTCGGCTCTGCGAGTTGGGTCCTGAGCGAGTTCTGCGTGGTCCGTCCGACCTTCTTTGGGGGTGAAAGTAGGCTGGAATCGCTCGCTGTTGCGCTGGACTTGCGCTTCGGCTTGGGCTTAGGTTTCGCTTTCGCTTTGGGCTCTGTAGCCGACTTTGGCTTTGGCTTCGGCTGGGCTCGTGGCTTCTTTGTCTTGGAGAAAATCTTGCTGTCTGCCGGTGGAGGGAGTGTTTGGCATGCCACGTCGGGCGCGACGGCCGGCTGAGTTGCGCGAAGGCCGAACAGGAGCTGAGCGGCGTTGTTGACCTCATCCGAAAACTCGATCTCTGGTGGGATGGCCGCTGCAGGAGTGGTCGAGTTATTGACAGTCGGGCCCGCGCTCGGAGCACCAGCGAGAAGACCAGTCGCGGTGTTGACGTTGCTCGTGCCCTCCCGTACTCCGTCCAGTCTCGCGGGTGGCACTATCTGTGTCGTAGCTGCCGATCCGACTGTCCCGACGGGTGGCCGTACCATTGGAGGATGGAACACGAGTGATGGGCTTACAGAAGTCGTCGGAGCTGACGGTATTTGGACCGAAGGCGGTACTGTCCTGGCTGCGAGTGCAGTTCGGTAAGCCGATAACTGGTCGACCGGTATGGCCGTCGAGTTTTGCGGGGAAGACTCGGTCGATATGAAAACCGGAGCATTGAGCTGATTGCGAAAGAAGTCATCCTGCCCCACCGGCGGAGTTGGCGCAGGCCGAGGATACCCATTGATCGACCCGTGTGGTGTCGGACAAGTGGCCACCGACGACGCATTCGCAATGATGGGTGAATGTTGTGGGACAAAGGGGGATGTGAGTCGACCCGTGGGATTCGGCGGTGGCAATGGCTCTTGAGGCAGAGCGGGGAAGGGGTATCGTTCCTGGATCGGATCCTTCGAGCTGTAGCGATGCTGGAGCAATCGCGGGTCGATGAGACTCGGGTCCACCGTCCCAGGCGGGAAAATGGGGTTATTCCGATTCTTTGGGAGATCCGGTACCGCGCGAGGCTCTAGTGATATAGGTTGATGGCTCTGAGTCGTCATCGCAGCCCAGTTGGTCATGTCCGGAGTCCAGGAGACTGGTTGGTACGTGGCGGTCGTCGGACCTGGCCGTTCCACGAAATTGCGAGGCGCGATTCGGAGAGGCTGGCTTCGCCGACTTGTACTGTGGATGGTAGGGCTGGTCGGGAGAGGCGCGACGCGGTCGGTGATCATCTTGACAAGACGCAAGTTGACAAGACTGTCAATAGTCAAGGCTGATGTAGAAGAGCAAAGGGAAGAAACGATGAGGAACGCGTTGTAAGTCAGTATTGGTTGACTAAGTCCGAGCGCCGAAGAAGCGCGGCGCATTGATGAGGATGCGCTGTAACGTTCAGACCCTGAGACTAGCACGGTCCAAGCAATACGATCATAGCACTACAACAGTAAGCCCAGACATCTATGAGTATAGTAGTAATAGCAAACAAAAATAGAATACCGGCAGTGAAACACCCCCTCATCTCCGCTCCCTACTCATGACCCTCTTTAGCGCCTCCAGCTCCCCTTGGCCGCTCGGCACCCGCCTCAGTGCATTCTCCAGCACTCCCTTCTCCTGGAAACTCTTTGCTAGGTCCTTGACACTCGTTTTCTTCGCCAAGCCCGGAATGGAGATGGGGCGAGAGAAGGATGTGTCCCGCCCGCTGCCGGTAGTAGTGTTGGCGGCCGTGGAGGCATTGGACGATGTAGATGACGTGGAATCGCCGAGGGGATGGATGGAGGGGAAGAGAGCTTTGATAGCTGCAGACCGCTGAGATATGGATTGATTGAGTGAGGGGTAGATCCGAGGGGTGATGGGAGGGAAGGTACCGGATGTAGCGCTGGAGGAGGTAGATAGGCCGAGAGTGGACATGTTCCCGCTCGTATCCGCTGCTGAGAATGAAGACCGGGCCGGTACAGCTGCCTCAGCAGGTCGAGAGAGCGCCGACCCAGGCTGACTCGTCTCCCTTGAGCTGGCCACGTTGATCGATTGAGCGGACGAGGTGGAAATCTCGGCAGGACGGCCGGTCATTCGGGGCAAAGTAGACCTAGGTGGCGGTGGAATGGTCAACGAAGTAGGCTTGCTGACGACCTGCTTCATAGTCGGTACCGGCGCGCGAGGAATGGCTACCGGTAAGATCGGCCGACCGAGGGTGAAGGATGAGTTGTCCGCCGGTCGTTCCCCTTCCTGTCTCGCCTTGCCCTTATCCCGCGGCCCACTCGTCTCGGAGACGAGATCTTCGGGCGCACTGTCCGTTGAGCCAGAGCCAGACCCCCAGACCCAGCCAAATACGCGCTTCATGGTGCTCGGGGGCGCGGCGGTAGCCTGTCCAAAGGTGAGTCGTTGTGGCGTGTCTGCGGGCACTGCCAGCTTCGTGCGTTTCTTAGGCGACTCGGGAGTGACGGTCCTTTCGGTCGAAGCGGATTTACTGGCCACTCGTCGCTCCAGCGCCTGAACACGGAGAGTGATGACGTCCCTGATCATCAGCGTCTACCTCACCTGTAATGACAAAGCAAGACTCACTCTTCCCAAGCTGGACCATTCGCCACCCCTTCAGACTCCAAGAATCGCCTGACCACCCTTCCCTCATCCCATTCCTTCACTTCGCCCGTCGGCGTTCCAATCCCCGTCGATCTCCTAGCCCATGACATCAGCCCGCCTGGCATCGCCTTGACCTCGCGCTCCTTGACCCACGCCTCTTTCTCCGCCTTGTAGACGCTTTCGAGCCGCTTCCACTCTGCGATCCCCCATGCCCTCTCTGACCCTGATGCACCTGGAGCGACTCCTTCTGAGTGTTCAGACACGGCAGGTTGGCGGCTGCGCTTCCGCTTGGGAGTCCGCACCCAGCCACCAGGGACAGGCATGTCCGTCAAACCCGATACACCCGAAATGGCAGAGGATGCAGTCCCCTCCCGCCTGCGTCGACCCGGCATGGACGCTCTTTCCGGCTCGTTGATGACGATTTCGAGCTCCGCCTCGTTGAGCAGCTCCTCGGCGGTAAGCATCCGCGCCGAAGCGACCGACTCAAAGTGCTGCGAGGTATAGGATTTACGCCGCGAGGCCGCCTTGTTGGGGCTAGCGGATCGTGATGCGCGAGATTGATCGAGAGGTGGAGAAGCGGACGAGGAAGGGAGGATACCATGTTCGATGTAGTTGTGGTTCTGCTCAGATCAGCCGACAATCACAAGAATTCATGTGAGACTTCAAGGCTCACCATCTTTAGAATAGCAGCAGCCCGAGCAGCAGCTCTCGGGTCCAGCGAAGAAACCTCCACCACACCCCTCAATTCCTTCTCTTTCCCTCTGCCGCCAGCCCGAGCCATCTCAGCCAACAACGACCTGCCAGCAGAGCGGACAGAGACACCTTCGTCGAGGAAAGGTGATTCGTCCAGCTGACGTGAACCGGAAGTGGATGATTCCGGCTGGATTGCTGATACCGAAGAAGAGGCGATGGGACGGGCGGGAGAGGCTTCTGGTGTGTCGCCCGTAATCTGATGGCTCAGACCGGACGGACGGATAGAGTTGGCGCTTGGTCGACGGATCATGAGATCGGTAGTCGCGGAGGAAGGTCCCGCTGCAGGCGCTGGGGAGCGCATTCGACGAGGGGACGCGACTTGGTAGGATTGTGGAACAGGAGCCTCGCTTGGTTGCCGCCGAGCCGGACTGTTGGAGTGATGAGTGGCGATCATGGACAGGGGTGGCGAGATGAGCGGTGTGGTGCTGAGTGGTGCGTTCGCGCGCCGAGGGGTCAAGGGTACGGTCTGGGTCGTCGGGGCCGTTGGAGCATCGAGATTCGATGGCTGAGAGACCTCAGCGTCGGGTGTTGAGGGTTCCGGATCCGTGTCCGCGGTTGGCGACCTGGTAGGCACCCTCTCAAACCCTCCACCGACATCATTCAAGCTTATCTCCTCGGCGTCAAACTCCCCTTCGGCCCCTGATGTGCTCTCGTCATCATGCTCCGGCTCCTCATCGTCTTGCTCCTCCCCCTCATCCGACATCTCCTCAGACATAGTCTCGCCCTCCGACTCTTCTTCATCCACCTCTTCCGCCTCCGGCTCGACCTTGACGATGGTAGTGATCAGCTTCAGAATGATCTTCTCCCCGTCCGCGCCGCTCGGGGGAGGGACCTGGGGCGAGCTGGCCGAGGCCGACTGACTGTCCGGCCGTTCCTGCTCCGTCTCAGTTGGAGGAAGCGGCGAAGCTGGCTGTCTGGCATCATTGCTACCGACCGCAGAGTGAGCGAGTATGGACTGGCTGACCATCGGCGATGACTGTTCGGCAGCCGCGGAGATACACGGTGAGTTCGGCTCGGGCGTGGAACCGGTGTCGTCATGTTCCGCTGGTCGGCCAGCGCCGAGGTCCACCTCCCCTTGGCCGGGCTGCTCAGACGAGAGCTGTGCCGCCGATGCCTCTGCTTCGATGGCGTTCACCTTCGCGCCCGCCTCGTTCTCCTCGTCGATGAGCCCGCTGACCTCCTCTTCCTCCCCTTCCTGATCCGCCATTCTCTCGTCCGCCTCTTTCACGGCCACCATACTCTCGTCACTCTCCCACCCCTTCTCTATAGCATCCACCGTCAAGTCGCCTTCGTCCGCCGCGTCCGCCGAGACGTGGCCGGCGGAAGGAGACGAATGGGCCACGCTAGGAGAAGCGCGGGTTGAGTGAGGGGCGATGGGTGAAGAGGGTCGGACAACCGCCACATGGAGCGGACGCGGGATTTGGGCGACGACAGGGGAAAGGTGGAGAGCATGACGGCCGGGACTGAAGGAGACGGGAGCGTCGGATATACGGATAGGGGAGAGCGGGGGTGATGCCAGAGGCGAGAGATCTGGGGTTGGGGCAACGGTGGGTGATTGCTCGACAGTACGGGCAACGGAAAAAAGGGAGGTCACGGAGACTGTGGTATGCTAGCAGTCAGTATGGGTCTGCGCGAACGGTCTGAAGGGCTTACTTGGATCAAGTTGACTGTAACCCGCTCAATCAGTCCATGGTCGTCTGCTCCGGCAGGCAACCCGAGCTCGAGTCCCAGATAGCCCGACTCATGAGCCGGCTGAGCCATGACCTCCTCGTATCCCTCTTTGATATGATGCGCCTCGTCGACAGCCTGGTGTCCAGCCGCCTCTTCTTCCTCTGCCAGCACCTCCATGCTCTCCTCCTCGTCCTCCTCCATATCATCGGGTCCCCGTCCACCCAGTGGTCCTGTGACCGAGTCAGCAGACTCGTCCCAGACCTCCGGGGCGCCGTCGAGAGTAGCACCAGTGACGTCCGCCTCTACAGTGGTATCGCACTCCTCCGCCGACAAGTCCGCCTCCACCGTCGTGTCCATCTCCTCCGCGGTGTCCTCGTCAGGCAGATCTCCAGCCGGCTCATCGAGGGGTGACTCATCGGCTGGACCTTGCTCGAAGTGGTCTGGCAGATCGTCCGCTGCATCTGCGTCCGCCCCGAAGACTTCCTGAATGGCCTCATCCAAGTCGTCCTGGTGGTATGGAGAGACATGACGCTCTGGTATCTCGACGTCGGCATCTTCGGCCGTGTGAGGGTCGTTCTGTCGACTTAGCGCGGAAGAGGGCGAGGGCGAAGGAGCTGCCGGCGGGGATGGGAGCCGGTCGACCGAGAAGCTCTGGTCGTGGAGTGGCGAAATAGGGGATAGCGGCGAGCGAGGTGTGGTCGATGTTCTCCCGTTATCGAGGTGGATGTCTGGCGATTGGTCCGGAGTCTGACGATACGCCGCCGGGGTATTGAGAAGGCTCAATCCCCCCTCCTCTTCCTCCTGCTCCGGCGTTCTGTCTCTCCCATCCCCGTCCCCGTTTACTCCCTCCGCATCCCGCCTCGTCAAGATGTTCATAAACGTATCATCCCCGGCATATCCACCAAAGTCCGAGCCAGCATCGCTGCCGAACCCATCCGCGTACCCGCCCGCCTCATAGTCGAATGACTGCGCGTCATCCTCCGCGTCCTTCTGCCCGGAAGGTCCGGGGAGATCATAGTCCAGCTCGACCTTCTTCTTCTTCATCGTGCGCGGCACCCATTCGGGCACGAGCCGAGGAGGCGCGGGTGCGTTCGTATAGGGCAGGAAAGGAAAGGAGGTGGTGACCGTTCTCGAGCCGGTACCGGGTAGTTTTGATCGCGTTGACGCGCTCAGATCAGGAGCGGAAAGGCTTGCTCGCGCCTTGCCCTTGCCTTTGCCCATTGTCATGGACCGAGGTTCCGGATGCGATTGCAATGCCCTGATACTCCGTCCAAGCAATGATCGACCTTCTCCAGTCTGCTCGTCTTCCTCGTCCACTTCGGTATCGCTCTCACCCTCATACGAAGGCTTGAGCAAAAGAGGATCGTCCCCTGGTGTGGACTCCCCTTCCTCAATGCCTGCGCCAATATCTATATCCCGCCCAATGACCTTCCGAAGCGCCGCGGGCGTGAAGGATTTCCGCCGAGGATCGACGCCGGCATAGCGAGCCAGAGCGGACGGAGGGGTTGTCGAGCGGGACTTTCGCGCCCGAGGCTTGGGCGAGCGCTTCTTGGTGGAAGCGACCGATTTACGGCGGGATGATGGCTGGGATGAGCTAGCAAAGGGTTCGATGGGGGGAGTATCGCGGAAGGAGGAGATGACAGGCTGAGACGCGGCCTTGAGCTTCGACGGACCTGGAGTTGCCTGCGAGAAGCCGAGCTGATAGCCAGGCGCGGAAGCCGATGCCCTGGCTTTGCTCTTCCGCCGAGATGCCACGGTGGATACGGGTTGAGCGGGCTCACTATCTCTGGCTGGCGTAGTGGATCCGCGAGAAGTATCGACATCCTTGTTTGAGGAAAGCCGGGGATTCTTTCTGGTCCGGGGATTGGGCGAGGGTTGGGCGATTTTGAAGACGATGTTAGATGGTCCGGCAGAGGTCTGCCGGGGAGGGGTAGGGCTTGGCCGAGCGCGACGGCGGGAAGCAGGAGACGGACGTTGCGGAGTAAGGACGACCTCAGAAGGCTGAGAGGAGGGAGGCGTGGGTAGGCGAGATACGGTGCTGCGCTTGGATTGCGAAGCGTTGACCGATGATATCGTGACCTGCATCGTCAGTCAAGTCCCTCTGGAATAGGCGCGGAACTTACCGGGAGCTCCTGGCTGTTCATCGGAGTCATCATTCTTCCTGTCCCTTCTACTGCTCGGCCCCATCCACCAGCGCTCTTCCTCGGCATTGGTGTCCGTCCCGCCGTGACGTTACCCACCTCCTCTGCGCCGCTAAACCAGTCGTCCTCAATCCCGCCTACCGGGCTCGACGGTCTGTAGTCCAGCAATTGCGTCACATCCCCGTCCATCCCTGCATCCAGGCGAGCAAATGACGGCCTTGAGATGCGAGGGAGAGTAGGAGATGCGGCGGCAAATGGAGCGCGTATTGAGGACGCCCCGGATGTCGAGCGGGAAAGAGGGGGTTGCGCCGCGGTTGATGTGGATGGGATGGGGTTGATGATGATCCGTGATGGGCGCGCTTTACGCTTGGCCAAGTCTGAGATGGGGAGAGGGATAGAGGTGTTGTCGCCGCGCTCGCCGAGGATAGGCCGCTTTTTGACGGTAGAGGGACGGGGTAAAGGTATTGACGTTCCTTTGGTCGTTGTTGATCTCACGGGGATCCGGGACGTTGTGGACGGGCCAGCATTGTTGTGGACCGTAGATGAAGATGCGATGGCTGTAGGTCGGATAGGAGTGGGAAGGGGTTCGTTCAGTGTTCGCACCATGACGTCGGTTGGCAAAGGGAAAGTGATTGTCGAGGTGAAAGGGTTGGTCGTGATGACAATTTCTGATGCGGGCCTTTCTAAGAAGAAGTCAGATGTACGGCGAGCAGCTATAGCAGAGCTGTTCCCGTATGATGCCTGCTGGTGAGGCCGTGGTAGATGTGACTAGCTAGATGGGTGAGTATTGAGAGGGTTCATTCAGTGTTGTTGTGAGCTTGGAGCGCGTTGCTTTGGCTGGGTGGCGATGCCGAGAACAACAAACTGTAAAGAAAGCAGGCGCGGAACCTATTCTCAAGCGGCGATCGCCGGGCCAAGGAATGAAGCTATAGGTGCGACCTCCACTCACCTTCACCGCGAAGAAGGGGTACAAAGCAACGATATCTTTATCCTCCACAGCATAGCTATGTTGGCTATAGACATATAGCTTCCAGCCGTATCGAAGCCTCATCAAGATGGCAGGATATAGAGATCGTTACCCACGTAAACCACCACGATACCTCTACCTCCGCTCCTTCGCACCCTTCGTCATCGCCTTTGCCCTCTTTGCCATCCTCCTCAGCTCCTTGTCTCTGTTATCGCACTACAAGTCCCCGGCGTCAAAGCAGCAAATAGGATGGCAGAGTTGGGACTTGGTCAGAGTGCAAGATAAGGCTAAGGCCGCTGCGGAGGGTTCGGTCAACGGGACGACGGGGGATGAATGGGAGGATGAGGATGGCGAATTGTGGGATGGTATGGGGTATAGTCTGCCTTTGGACAACTGGGTAAGTCAGCTTGAGGATATACATGCGGGTGCCTGCCAGCTGACTCCACCAGGACCCCTTGGCGCCACATACTACTGGCTGTGCGTTTTCCCATTGAGTGCCCGGATACCGGATGCAGAGCTGATGCCTCAGTGACTGAGATTGCAGTCAATCCTTGCTATATGCCCCCTTGGCTATTCCCATCCTACTGCGCGCCACTCTCCACGCCAGAAGAGGATAAGCTGCGAGGTAAATGGGTCATAGTTGAGAGGGATCTGAACGTGAGATCAGGACTATGGTGAGCTGGCTTGCCTTCACCTAGCATCATGGTAGCATCAGAGCTGACACATTAGGTTCCTCAACGTCTACTACCGCCGTACCCGCCGTTTGGACGTCCCACTTATAACTGACCTCCGCATAGCGCCCCACCCGCTCCCTGACACTCTCAAGTCCGACCTCGACGGGTGGACCCTAGCCGAGGGAGACCTCCACTCGGGCGTCTGGCCAACCCAGGACGAGCTGCGGCTGTACTACAAAACCAAGGCTCAGAGCGTGCGCGGAAGTCATTCCCGGCGACAAGCAGTGGTAGATGATGAGATCATCACGGAGTTGGACGTCGTGTATGGCGATGACGAGCCGTTCTTTGGATTTGAGAGGGTGCAGGGTGGGAAGGTGTTGCAGGCTGTGGAGAAGAAGTGGGAGAGTGTGGATCTGGCTTTTAGAAGGGGGAGCTACTGTGAGTTTACCCGCTCCTCATCGAGCTGCCAAGCTGACATTGTAGCACCGCCCAAGGCGCCTGAATTGAAGTTCCACGAAAAGGGGGATTTCAAGATCATGCAGAGTGAGCTGCTTCGTACTCTGCGATCGACCTGTTGCACGAGCTGACATCGTAGTTGCCGACCTGCACTACTCGGTCGGTAAGGGAGAATGCAAAGATACCGATTTGGACCCCTGCGATGGAGACGCAGAAACAGCGAAGTGGCTGGGCGAGGCTGTAGATGCGGAGAAGCCAGACATGGTCGTACGTCTATTCTCAATCATGTCTATCAGCGAAGGAGCTGATCAATAGGTTTTCTCGGGAGACCAATTGAACGGTCAAAAGACAAGCTATGACTCCCGCTCTGTTCTAGCCAAATTCGCCAGACCCGTCATTGATCGCAAGATCCCTTGGGCTGCCATTTTCGGTAAGCTACCCCGCCTAGAGACATCGGACGCACAGCTTATCTTCGCTAGGTAATCACGATAGTGAACTGGGAGACGATCGGGCGGATCAGATGAGGCATCTGATGAACATGCCTTTCTCGGTGGCAAAGGCGGGTCCAAAGAAGGTGGACGGTGTAGGAAACTGTGAGTACAGGTCGAGCTAGCCATCCAGGAAGCGGCAGCACGACTGATAGCCTAGACATACTCAAGTTGCACTCTAGCGATCCGTCAGTCTAGCTCGAACTGTCATTTCGGCCACCCGCTGATCGTGCAGATCTCATATCCACCTCTTCTCGCTGTACTTCCTAGACTCGGGGTCGTATCAGAAACGCACGGTGCCGTGGGCCAAATGGGAGTATGACTATATCAAACCGTGAGCTGAGTACCGCTGAACTCTGGTTCGAGATTCAGCTGACGGCGTAGATCCCAGATAGACTGGTTCAAAAACGTCTCATCCCACATCGAACCCATTTCCCGCCCTTTCCGCCCGGACGGCGCCTCGGATCTCGACAAGATCTGGGCCTCCCGCTCTCGCTCTCCCTCTCCCGCTGCACGAGATCCCACACCCATCCTCGCCAAGCCAAACGCGATGATGTTCTTCCATATACCCCTTCCGGAGGCATACGACGAGCCTGACCTCGATCCGGCTGGCAAAGTCATGATGCTGGGCAACGATATAGGGACTGAGCGGGGCAACAGCCCCGTTAACTCTCATATGCTGGATGAGGGGATTTTGCCGATGGTAGCTGTGGAAGGGGACGATGGTGGAATGTCAGAGGTCAAGGTGCTCGCGCATGGTCATTGTCATAATCAGGATAGATGTCAGCGGGTCAGGGGGGTGTGGTGAGCTACTACATACATGAAGGCTGTGTGCGCAGAGCTGATATGGCAGGATGTGCTTTGATGGGGGTTCATCATACTCTGGGTACGGACATGAAGGGTTTGACCGCCGGGTCCGGGTCTTCCAGATAAGTGAGTATGGAGAGAAGGTGGAGACGTACAAGAGGACGACGAGTGGGGAGGTGGTAGATAGGGAGGTGCTGGTGGAGCCTATCTCGGGGGAGTATCGATAGTTGCCGTAGCCAGCTGTAGCTGTTGAGCTGTTGTCAAGTGACACGTTGTATCTATGTCATATATACACACTTTGGACTGCGTGACTCAGACTAGCGGAGGACTATCGGGGACAGCAGGCCGAGGATGGTGAGCAGGTCACTTGAGGAATGCAATCTGTGTACGACACACACATCGAGGCACACAACTCCTCCCTGGACCCTCCCCCATTCCCCCGAGTGCCGGTCCTTCGGAGTTGGGTGAAACTTCCACGCCCCAATCTTCGCTTTGTCCTCGAGGGTCGGTCATGGTCCGAGGGGCGCTCACAGCTTATTCTTCTTCTCCTACATATACCACGCCCGATCCGACCGCTCGGACTTCATTCTGTCTCTTACTCCAGGCACCCGCCCCGCTTTCATCACCCTGATTGATCGATATCAACACAGACGTCCAAATCACTGGTAACCCATCTTCAACAGCTAGCCTCGATATCTATCGCATCAGCACAAGTCACATCAGTGGCGAATCACCGGCGCCCTCGCTCCCGCCACTCATGCTCTCGAAACGCAAGAGTCGCGCATCCGCCCCGCCTCGCCCTGGCTTGTCGACGAGCCATCTCAGCTCCACTATCAAATTAGCGAACGGTATAGGCGGCGACAGCGGAGGCAGCGGGGAGAAGGAGAAGGGTAAGATCTCCAGGCAGAGCTATAGCTGTGCGGAATGTAAGCGGTGAGTACCGCCGTCCGAGCTCCGAGCGAGACATCTCAGGGTCTTGATGAAACGCGACGAAATCGCCCAGTTGGGCAGGTGCGATAGGACCGAGCTGATAGAGACAGGTTGAAGTTGAAGTGCTCGAGGAGTTGGCCATGTACCTCATGTGAGCTATTGATAGCTCCATACTGACCGGTCGGGCTCCAGCTGACAATGAAGGCGAGAAGAGAGGTTGCGGCCAGATATGCCCAGTAGGTATCATCCGGACTGGGAAGGGCGGCAAGCGCCTCATCCTAGCCGAAACCGAAGAGGTCAGTACTCCCCTCCGCCGCACCCTTCATCGACAAGTAAGGCCGCAGCTGATGCTCATAGCTCCATCAACGCATCTCAACTCTTGAGCTCGCGCTCGCCGCCTCGCAGGCCCGTCACTCAACCCAACCCCATCCTCTCCTAGAAGATGCGTATCTTTTCTCTCCTCGGGACCCCGCTCGGCCCCGCGCCTCCGCCTCGGGTCATGCAGTCGACGCCGACTCTGCCTCCGTCCTCGGTCACGTCGAAGAGGGCGATGCTATTGACGGGTCAAAGCAGGAAGCAGGCGACGAGGAGGATGTAGTCGACTCGGCCTTCGGAACGCTCACCATCGGCCGTTCCGGAGAATCCCGCTTCGTCGGCAGCTTCGCAGGGAGCGAGTACCTCCGTACCGACCATCTACCCGACGACTCGAACGTTACCAAGAAGGGGAGGAGGGCCGGCGAGTCTGGTCTGGCCACGCCGCCACCTACCGCAGCGCTCAACTCGAGCTTCGACCTTCGGCTCCATACTGCCCGGACAGGACCTATCGCCCCTGGACTCCGGATCGGAGGTTACGCGGACGGGAGGGACGTAGATATCGTGCAGCTGCGGCAGGAGTTGCCTGATTGGGAAAAGAAGGGGAGGGAGCTCGTACAGAACTGCTGGGAGAACGTATCGTGGATGTGAGTTCAGCTTGTCGGACTTCATGCGTCGTATTGTGGAGTGAGAGCTGATAAACCAGGCATCCCATCGTCCCCCAGAATGTGTTCGACACGCAGTATCTCCAGCTGGCGTACGATACGCAAAGGGCCATACATCCGCATCAGCTCGCGGTGGTATATCTGGTGATGGCTCTCGGGGTGATGTTCGACCTGCACCGACCAGCGTGTACGTAGAGCTATTAGCTCGAAGTCGTTTCTTGAGTCGCTTGGAGTCTGAGGCTGACTTGATAGTCGATAATCGCGCAGCTGAGCTGTTCGCGCTGGGCCAGTCCTGCCTCAGTGCTATTGGCTTTGAGCATGCTACGCCGTCTACCGTCAGGGCTTTGCTCCTGTGCGGAACGTATCTCCTCAATGACAAACGTGAGCTCACGTTCTCTTCCTGTTTCTGAGAGCTTCGAGCTGATATGGCAGACGGAAGCGGGGCGGAGATTTATTGGCCGGTACTCGGAACAGCTATCAAAGTAGCCTACAGCGTCAGCTTCCTCTTCTCCCCCCCTCTCTAAGGCGAGGAGACACAAACTGACCAACAGCTCGGGCTACACCGCGATGGTTCCGTCTTTGGTCTATCTGTCGAAGAGACAGAAGAGCGCCGACTGATCTGGTGGGAGCTCATCACTTCGGACCGCCTCTTGGCGACCGCGTTTGCTCGGCCGGCAGGGATTGCGAGTCGGACGACGGATACCAAGATGCCTTCTGTCTCGGGTGCGGAGGGAGATGACTGTGGGTTATGCGCCCAAGACTGAGCGGAGGAACAGGGCAGAGCTGATGTTTGCAGATCAGCGAACAAGGTTCCGCATTGCCGAATTGATGGAGAAGATCAATAATGTGCAGACGCAGCTGGCAGCAGTACCCCATACACTCATCAAGGCGCTAGATGCCGAGCTGGTCGAGTGTGAGCGAGGCTCCCCATTATCCAAACGAAGCTGATCAATCAGTCAAGAAGTCCATCCCCGACTCTTTACTCCCCTCCACGCCCATCCCCTCCCTCCCTATGGACTCCACCATCTCCCCCCAACTCGTCTATCATCGCCTCACCATCCGCCTCCTCCTCGCTCAGTGTCGGCTGCTTCTCAATCGCCCCTTCTTCGCTCGCGCGCTGTCGGAGAACCACGAAGATCCGAGCTTCTGCAAGCACGGCGAGCCGTTCTGCGCGCTATTTGGGGCGGCGCTGGAGATTGTGCAGGTGGTACAGCAGATGGTGGTATATCATCCGAGCTTGGTGGCGAGGTGGTGGGTGTACTGGTTCCATGCCTTTAGCTCTGCTTGCTGCTTGTGAGTTGTCCTTATCGCTATAGCTCCGTTGCTGGCGTCAAGTGAAGGAGACAGCTGATATCCCAGTGCCGCTATCGCCATTCGAGCTCCCAAGTCCGCATTCGCCGCTCCTGCCTTTGACGGCCTCACCACCGTCCTCGACCTCGCTACCGCCGCCCCGCCCGGCTGTCGGGCCAAGAAGGGCCTCGCAGTCCTCCTCCGCCTCCGTGCCCGCGCGCAAGACAGTATGCGCAAAGCCAGTCGACAAGGCGCCATCAACGCCTCGTACAGGCAGAACATGCCCGGCCGGCTCGCACCGTACGTCCCCTCGGAGGCTGCGCTCGCTCGCGAACGGGACGGAGGAGAAGAGGATGATCTTGGCCATCTGGCGGGAAGGAGCAAGCTCCGGCGGGTCAAAGTCAAGGTTAAGGAGAGCCACATTCGGTCCAGGTCAGACGGGTCAGCGGAGCGCGGGAGCGGCGACGCTGAAGCCGGAGGAAGCGGGGCGTATCATGAGCACCAGAGGGGCATGTCGGGAGATCAGCAGTACGACTCGAGCCCTGCCCGGTACACTCTCCCTGGCTCGGATGCCGGCGGGGGCATGTACAGCGGTGTCGTCGCCCCTGGAGCGTACGGTGGCGGCGGAGGCAGCGGCCGATCTCGAGCGGGAACGGGCAACTTCCAAGACTTCATGGTCAGCCCATCGTCCGTCATCAGCGCAGCGACGACACTCGCGGATCGACCCTGGGAGGGAGTGGTTCCTCCCCCTCCACCACCCATGTCCAACTTTGGCGAGGAGGCAATGGGGGCGGGCATGATGGGAGACGGGACAGACGCGAGATGGGCCGTCAATCTGTACGACTACAACCAGCCCATGTCGGCCATCGGAGCACCATTCCCAACGCTTCTCTCGGGCTCGGCTGTCGCGCCAAATCAGTACATGCCCTTCGGCTCCGAGCTACAGCAATATCCACACCAGAACGCCCTTTGGTCACCGCCGGGAACGGATTTCAGCCCTTCCTCTTCCCACTTCCCAAACAATGGCAGCCACAATCTCGGGATGGCGTATGACTTTACGTTCTCGGCGCCTAGGCAGGTCCAGGCGGAGGCGCACCAGTATCAGTATCAGCCCGTTTTTGGGCATTACCAGCCGGGCGAGGCGAGCGGATCTGGAGGACAAGGGGAGTGGCAGGGGCAGGGGCAGGGGCAGGAGCAGGAGCAGCAAGGGGCTCTGCAGGGGCAGGGAGTGATGGATTTTGATCGGGAGTTGGGGCTGGGAATTGGGATGGACTTGGACATGGACATGAGCATGGCGTTGGGGTTCGGGGAGGGGTCGGGGACAAATGCGGGGGATTGGGATTGGGAGAGCTTGTTGAATGGGACTGGTGGCTATAATTGACGGTGGTATATGTGTAGAGGTAGACGCCTGACTGGGCGGTAGTCACCTATGATGGCTTGAAGGGCACGAAAGGTAATGAATAACGATGCATCTGCTCTTACCGATATCACCGCCGTGCGTATAAATACTCGTAACACAGACATACAGGATCTGTTCGGCCTTGTCTGTTATGATGGCCAGGACATCTTCGGAAATCACACGCGCGCGATCACTCATTTGCGCTAGCTTAGGGCTGTGGTATATCTGTATGCATGGCTGGCTGTACTGGGGTAGAAAAGAAGGCGGCTGCGTCATGACGCTGTCATTCAGCCCTCATAAACTACTGCCCGGTACCTCCCTCGGACGATTGCGCTCCGTCGGCAGCAAGAACCTTGGTCCTGATCTCATTCCTGACTTCAAGGGGGAGGTCAAACACCATGAATTCCAAATGCCCCGTAGAGTAGCTGAGGACTCCTGTCTGTCCGTACTTGCTGTGGAGGTAACCCTCTGTCTCTTGAGGCAGAGACACGCTCAAGTCGGGCCGGCCGGGGATTGACACGACGAGGCAAGTCGGGGACTGGCTCGAATCGACCGTGCAGGTAGCCAACCTCCTGAGCACGCTGTAGCGGTTTTCGGTCGAGGGGTAGAGGGTATAGCCGGGCATCCTTGTCAAGTTTCAGTATGGTGCAAGAGTTGTCAGAAACTGAAGCTTACGCTCTCAAGTGCTATGCGCGAAGGACGAAGATTTGGATTTGGAGTGGGCGTCGAAATGAGGGACACTCTCACCCCCTCGCCCGCGCCATGTTCCTGCCTGTGCACCGCAATCTGCAACATTCTTTGCGCTCACTTCCCTTCATTGTTCGCATCCCTTGTACCTCTTGAATGAGACCACAGTGTGCTGTACAGCTTAGCGTTTCAAGGATCTGGACTGGGCGTTCAGCGTGCGAGTCCATGCGTGCCAGTGCGAAGGCGACAAGTGAGCGCCTCTCACGATCTCTGGGGTCGTAGATGTCCTCTACATGTCATATCGCTAGATTTCAATGAGCATGTATGAGACGGTACGCTAGGCGTGTGTAATGCTTTGACGATGCATGAGCTGGGATTCGCCTCATACCACGCAGCTAACGCGCCTGCTTTCGCCACCCGCTAGCACCCGCTGCGACCCCGTCGCTGATCGAAGCCAATTACGGCATACACTCAGGGAAGCCGAGGCCTACTCAGGGTCCTTCAACGTAAAAACGTGTCAGAGTCCGAGCGGCGTCGGCGGCTTGAGCCGGGGCGAACTTCATTTGATTGGCGACAGCTGCGACCCATGGATCTGCACCGAGTTTCAGGTTTGCCCTCTCACGTCCACTCATAGTGCTTTCTCAGTATATCAGTAGAGCAAGCACAGCCAAGTAGCAGCTAGTATACTCGTAGCCTGTACTCTCGTTCAGACGTGCTAGCTTTTATATCTGGTTGGAGACGCGCGACATACCTGAGGGATCGACGACAACGCCGAGGAAGGCCGAGATTGACGAGAAGAAGGGACGACAGCAGGGAAGCGAAAGAAGATCACTGTGAGTGCAGGTCTGGCTTAGATCTAGGAGTGTGATGTGGAGTGTCGAGTGGGCGACTGGAGGTGGATGGCGCATGTGAAGGGAAGGATGGCGGTGCATGATGACAGCTCTCCGCATCCCCGCTTCGGCCCCTGACTAGCCTGACTGGTCAGCCGACCAAGTCCATCTCTTCACATCACATCCAATCGCTTCGTCTCTGTGCACATAGAATGGTGTGGACTGCTTCACATCGCTGTAGATCGTCGCTGACCATCTGCAGACATCGTCATCTCGCATCATCCTCCCAAAAAATCGGCTTCGCATTCCCCCAAGCCAAGTAAGTGCGATCCGCCCATCTCATCTCCCCTTCCACCTACTTCTCTGCCTTCACTGTCACTCCATACTCGGTGTCATGTCTCCTGCTCTTGACATCGCGTCTGATCCCTCCTCCCCTTCTCTGCATCATACGCGCTTGATCGGGGTTCTGAAGGTGGAGGGCGGTGTTGAGGACGTCACGGTCCTGTTTGCATGTCTCACCTTTTCCGCACTCCTCACCCTCCACCGTTACTTCCTTGGCACGTTCCTCCACCTCCATCCCTCTTATCCTCCACTGTCACATCGCCCACCTCGCGCGGATGCTATGCTTGCATACCGCGAAAGGAGGTGCGGCCCTCCATCCTCCCTTTGGTGCTTGGACCCTTTGCGTCAGTCAGCCAGCCCAGTCCCGCTAGCGCTCTTTGTCTCACAACCTTCCACACTCTTACTGCCCACTGCATCTCGCTTGCTCCTTCCTCATCACATGCGCCACTCCTCTCCCTTCTTCCTTCCTGATGATGATACGTTACACTTGTTCGGTTTCGTCTTTCCTTTTCTTACCCGATCGGGCGATTCCTCTTGGTTTGATTTTGTGGGGTTCCCCGCATTCCCTTCCAGCCTCCACTTTTAAGGGTTAGTTACGTAAATGGCCACCGCGCAGTGGATGAACCTCGATAAAGGAGGAGGCTAGAGGGTGGAGGAGTGAGAGGGAGCAACTCCAGCTTCAGAGGAGTGGCAGGGAAGAGAGAGATGACCACCCTCATGTTCAAACGTCATCCCATCCCTTCCCCTTTCCATTCTTTCTCTCTTGTTTCAGATCTTCGGATCACGCCGCTAATCATCAAACCCGGTGCTGACGCTCGCCAGCCCGGTTTCACTTAACGCCCGCCATCCAACGATAACCATCGACTCGATCGACAGTTTCCCTCTTCAACATCCTCCATCATGTCGTTCGTCGTCTTATCCCCTCACGCGACCTCCACCCACTCCCTTCCCCTCCCTCCCGCCGACAACACCGCATCAGCCTCGGCGCCCGCAGATTCTTCCAGGACACGTCGAAACGTCCCTCGGCGGTCTCGCAATCAGCCTCAGCCTTCTCCTGCCCCGACAGTCGCCAGTGCGTCAACGAACGTCTCGACTCGATCTCGCTCCCGCAAATCTAATTCGGTCGGTCGCAGCCAGAACGGCGTCTCACCGGACAAGGCTACACAGGGTGACTCGGGCTTCAGCACCCCTGCTCTAGACAGGACGACCGCCAATGTGGACGCAGAGGACGTGGACGCCGCGGGGGATGAGGAAGGAGAGGCGTCCAATTCAACCTGGGTCCCGCCGCCTCGTTCGCGTCAGCCGAGCAATGGCAGCGCGACTGCAACTCAGCCAAGGATCCGCTTGACTTTCGGCAAGAAGCGGAAGGCTGTTGAGGAGGAACCTAAGGAGACAGCTCAGCCAGAGCCGGACGAAGCCGCGCCGACCATCGCCCAAGAGGAGGATCCGCCCTCGGCGCCTACCGTAGTCCAGCGGGACTTTGCCAAGCACATCGCTGCACTGGATGCCGGGCCCGACGCCGAACGACAAATGAGATGGAACAGGGGCTTGTTCTCGCCCGACCCTATGGACATCATCGGTACCATGAGCAGTCCGGAATCGGAACCGGTCCGCCTGTCGTCCCTGCACGACCGGAAGCCGGAGAACGAGGCAAATGGTGCGAGTGAGTTTCGAGCTCGATGGGATGCCATCTTTGACCCCGAACTTCCTTTCCTCGAGACACAAGCCGAGCCCGACGGCGGCGCATCCCTTGGAGAAGACTTGTCCTCCTTCCTCCCGTCCGCTGACCCTGCAGCGAAGCGCCGCCGAGGCTCTACAGATCCATTGACCGAGCCGGACGATGAGGCACAGGCTATGCCAGAGCAGGGGGCGGAGAATGGGGCGGAGGGGCCGGAGGTTGGCGTGGAGCATGGGGTGGAGCACGGAGTGGAGATTGCCGCGGAGAATGGGATGGAGAATGGGGTGGAGAATGGGACGCCGGCGCCAGAGGAGCTTACTGGAAAGCGGGCGCCGAGAAAGAAGCGCAAGTGGCTGAAGAAGGGTGAAAGTGAGGCAATCCGGGCACACGAAATGCAGGGACAAGCTGACTTGGTAGTCGATCCGGATGATACCCAGGCGGTTGCGAGGCAGAGAGAGAGGCATGAGATGATAGACCAGTATGTCCACTCTCTGCTTACTTGAGTCCTGGCTGATCCCCCAGGGCGATTGCGAACCTCGACATGCAGTACCAGATGGTGGAAGATGAGACCCACATCCAGCTGCTTCAGCTCTGGGAGGAGCTTGATCGGCGTCGGGATGTGCAATTTGAAAGGCTTGATGCGCGTCAACAGTGAGTATCATGTCGATCGGAAGAAGGCAGCACAGCTGACGCCTGCAGGGCGGTGCTGAAGGAACTTACCATTGTCGCCAATCACGAGGAGCGGAGTCACATTGAGACGTGGGACGTGAGTCACTTTCATTCCCCTCAATGACCCAGCTGACGTCACAGTTCACGAGGGACAAGATCCGGCGCGATTTGGTCCAATCAATAGCCGCCAAAAAGCGGAAACTCGACGGCGAAAAGGCCATGTTCAAGCGGCAGCCCACGGACTACCCTCTTTCTCGCGCCGGACCGGGCGGAGGCGGATGGAAGATCTACGACGAGCACCTCATGAGCGAGAAAAACACGCCGCTCGTACCAACCTTCCTCGGTGGCAAGGTCCGCCAGCGCCGAGATCTCAGCTCTCGCCCCTCCCTGTTGGACCCGGCCAGCATCGCTGAGGATCTGGTGATATACGACGTGCGCCAGCCAAAGAAGGTAAAATCTTCCGAGGGGTCCGCTCCCCAACCTGCGGCTTCATCCTCGTCAGCCAATCCCCCGTCCGGATGGAAGAACCCCGTCGCTCCCTCGTCAAACTGGTCCGGCTCCACCGCAGCCCCAAAGCCTGCTCCGCAGCACAGCTCGGGCATGCCTTCTTCATCACACGGTGGCGGACCTCCATCGGTAGCGCAGTACCCGCCCGGGTCTCGTCGTGACGATCGGCCTCAGCCGCTACCCCCAACGTCCAGGGAGATTCAGCATGCGGCGGGTCGGCATCGGTATCACGGCGAGTACCATCCCGGGAACAGCTCAAGTTCAGCTGGGTACATGCGTCCGCCTGCACCGCCTGGCCAATCCTCCTCTTCTCGCCCGAGTACTACTCTGGCTCAGCTGCCTCCTCGCGCGCCGGTACCTAGCGGATCCGCCCTTGGCGCGTCACGGAATGGTCTGCCTACCCATGCGGACCGTACGAGCCATGCACCGGTCGGTACGAGATGGAACTCGTCCGTCCCACCTGTCCCGACCTGGGAGCAGCGGCACGGGAGTCAGCCGCCCTCGTCGCAGCAAACCAGACCGCAGCAGAACGGCGCTCCTCCGTCTTCCCAGACTCCCCAGCAACCTCCATCGAGTCATGCACCCCGGACTATGCATGGCTGGACGCCATATGGGGACCGGAGCGGGTCTACTGGACGGCGAGAATCGGGCTCAGGCGATCATCCCAGCGGATTCGGATATCCTGGCTCATCCGCCACACCGGAACGGCAGTTGGATCCGCGTCGGCCAGAGAGTCATTCCAATACCCCGTCCGGACCGCCCCACTTGGCCCAGCACCCTGGTAGCGCTAGCTCGCGGCCCCAACTTGCTCACGGGAACAGCGGTCCCCCTCTCCCTGCTCAGCCTCAATCGCAGCCGCCACCCAACCGGGCACCTCGGCCCCTGCACGGCGAGCCGCCGTATAATGATCGGAATGGATCGAGCGGGCGTCGGATGAGCACTACCGATCGTCCGGGCGGCTATGCGTTCCTTCCTCCCGCTGCGTCATCTGCAAGCGGAATGCCGAGTCACGCATACTACCCACCTCGGACGGACCCCGCACCCCCAGGCAGGTCGGCGCATCAACGTACTCCCGACGACCACCGGCCGCGCGCGCAGACAGCAGGACTCGTCTCTGGACCCGAGATGTACACGCCCAGCAGACACCTTGAGGGCGTCTGGACGTCCCGGACGGACTTTGGCGACCGGGCAGATAGGCGGCAATTACCCGTTCACGAGGCACCTCGGCCTCCGGTGATGGGTACGCCACCCCCATTGCAGCAGGTACCGCAGCCTTCTAGTACCGGTGGGGCGCCTCCTCAGGTGGCGCTGGGCGGACCGTCTAGGCCTGGAGGGTCGTCGACTTTGCCTCAGACTGCGACGGCGGTCACGCCGGGAGCGAGCGGAGAAGGGAGTCAGGCGGGGCCGAGCGGGGGAAGTGGGGCGATGGCGGGGCGGTAGTCGATCAGAAGAACATGGGGATGGGTGATCCGGATGGGAGCGGTGAAAGGGGCGGGGCGTGGAAGAGGGAGCTGGACCATTCGATTGCACAGAAGAACCTCAACTGCCTGATCAATCCGTCACCTCTCGGCCCATCGACGATCGCCCTCACACCCCTCGACACCCCTCTCCCTTCCGCTGGCTCTAGGCGGCGATCTCTCCGGACCGACTAGTCTGGTACGAATGCGTCACAAACGCACCACCGTCGCGAGCGCCGCTTCCCAACCAAAATACGCGGGAGCAATGTCTTGTCCATACGCAGTCATTATACCTCGCCAAAAAGACATACCGCAAGGAAAGCTATACCATACATACTCTTGTACACAATACATACCTGTATATAAGCATGCACCATAGCTAGACCGACCGTCTTTTGCACCTCTTCAGCTTAGCTTCAGGCCTCAATCCTGCACGCGAGGAATGCGGATGCGAGGGAGAAGCGCCTCACGCCGTAAACGCCGGATATCGCCGCTGTGCCTGCCGTCACCTCTCGCTCACCAGCCATTTCAGCGACTACCACCTTGTACTGCGTAAACTCTTCAGCTATATACACCTTACCAGTAGTGCATCAGACAACATGGTGAGTCTTGAGCTGACAGAACAGCCATAGCATGGCGAGTATACTCGAGAAAGAACGAAGCGGAACGGAGGGTTATTCAAACTGGGGGAGGGAATAGTGGAGCTCTAGCTGTCGACATGCGAGGGAGGATGAGGAGACCGTCAAAGGCTGGGAAGCAGGACGGCGGGAAGGAGGGAGATTGCAGGCGATGCGGACGATCGAACTCAGGGGCTCGAGGGGTAGATGTGAGGTACTGAGGGCGTAGCGGGAACGCATGAGAGGTTCTACGGGGGACATATCTTCGCAGAGGAATAGTAGCTGACTGATCCTTCTTTCCTTGATCACCATCTCGGTCTATTCGTACTGCAGCCTCGTGAGTGACATCGTCTTGTCACAGTGGAAAACAGAGGGATTGTGGCTGACGATTGATGCAGCTCCCAAAGCAAAACACTCCAAGATGGTGACTCTGGTCAACTACCGTCTGAAAGTGACATTGTCAGTTGCGCTTCACGTATACTTCGTGACGACGAAAAGCTGACTGGAGCAGAAACGACGGTAGAGCGCTCGTTGGCCAGATGTTGGCATACGACAAGCACATGAACTTTGTTTTGGCAGAATGCGAGGAGTTCCGGACTGTCAAGGTGGGTTCGGACGTTCCTTCCAAATCAAACTGTGCTCCACTTCGCCACTGCAGCTTCTTCCCCTGCTTCTGTCGCGTCTAGGCGGACCAGGGCCAAAGCTGATCCAAGCAGGGAAAGAAGTCCAAAACCTCACCCTCGGACGAAGCCGCGCCTACAGTACAGCAAAAACGAACACTAGGTCTCGTCGTCCTGCGCGGAGAGACGATTGTGAGCGTGACGGTGGAAGGACCGCCGCCTGTGGTGAATGACGACAAGACGGGGTTGATGGCTGGACCGGGGAAGGGTGTGGCGGCGGGACGAGGGATGCCGCTCGGTGCTGGTAAGTTGCGCTATGTGCTGATTCAGACTGCGAGACTACGAGTCACATCGGGGATATTGTGGTATCGGCGGTCTGGAGGAGAGCAATGAAGGATAGAAGCGGAGATAGAGGACTCTGGCCGAAGACGTGAGCGGGAGGATGAGCAGGAGGATTTCGGCGTCGGCGGGAGCGAGAGAGTTTGGTCAGGGCGATGTAGGCAAGAGGGATTATCGGAGGGAGATTGGAGAAACAATCTCGCGGTGGATAGGATCGCGCGCTGGAGCGATCACAGAGGGCGGACATGCTGGAGGAATCTTGGGGTGCCCAGCCGCTGCGGGGGGTTAATGCTGACTCTTCTAGGCGCACCAGCAATGGCCGCTCGACCAATGGCATATGCTCGTCCTCCTCCAGGATTCCCGCCAGGTATGCCCGGTCTCCCACCAGGGATGCCACCAGGGTTCCCCGGCGGTATGCCCCCAGGGATGCCCCCACCAAATGGGTAGGTCCACCCTCGCAGCACTGATAGGCAGAGTGCCAGCTGACGCTTTAGCATGCCACCAGGATTCAGACCTCCTGGATTCCCCGGTGCGCCCCCAGGCATGCCGTTCCCCGGTCAGATGCCTCCTGGGTGAGCTTCGGCGTAGTTGGTCGCCAGCGAAGACTAAGCTGATATCTCAGGTTCCCCATCCGGCCGCCACAATAGCTTGGAAGCAGGTGAAACATCAGCGAGAAGAACGGGGCGGGACATGTTTCGGGCAGGCGGGCGGGTGGAGTTGTGGTTTCCGTTTCTGGTCTCCTATTGTCATGCATATACCCAAATCGTATCATCACTAGCCGTATGCCTTGGTTCCCCCACTTCAGGCCCTCGCATGATCCATGCGGGTGACACGCAGCTTCTCCCCCACTCAAAAGGGATCTGGGGTCGTGCGCCGCCTCCACTTCGGATGCTCAAGCTTTGCTTCTTTTGCTTCTTTTTGCTGATGACCCTCTTTCTTCACCTCAGCATTCTTGTTCTCTTATACCCCTCTGTTGTTCCTCCTTCTTGTCGTTCTCCACATCACTGAAAATCTTGACGGTATCTAGGAGCTATCCAGACGATCTTGACGAACATAAAGTCTCCTCCTCATCAGCGAGACACTACACTGCCGGACAGCTGTACCACGCAGTCAAGACAACCGCAACACCATCGCCACCTATAGCGCTCCCCCTCTTCTCATATTTACCTTATCTCCGGCTTCTCATCCCTCACAATGGGCGGCAACGCCTTCCCCATCCCCGCCAAGCGGCTCTCCACGGCCCAGCTCGCCCTCCTCTCGAAGCACGCCCAGACCGCTGTCGCTCCGTTCTTCGAGCGCGTTGAGCCTCTCCGGGACGTCCGATGCAAGTCAGACCATGGCGACCTCGACCTTATTTGCGGCTGGGACCACCCCAAAGCGTGGAACTGGAAAGGCGAGGACAGGGGGGTCTTTGGCGGTGGGAATGGGATGGGCGGGACTATCAAAGTCGGGGATGAAGCTGAGGCCCGCGCAGGCGGTGCCGAGGGGGAGAGCGAGGCGGACAAGGAGAAGAGGGAGCTCAGGGTGTGGTGCTTCGACATTGCGAGGGCGGCGAAGGCGAAGGAGTGGGTGAGGAGGGGCCCGGAGATCAGCTTGGCTGTCCCGTGCAGCGTCTTCGGGGAAGCGGCGAGTGAGCACGCTGAGAATCCGGAGGTGAGCTCAAACACGTCTGACGATGGCTCAATGATGTACAGTAGCTGACTATCTAGGCTTTCTACCAGCTCGACCTCCCCCTCGTTCCCCCTTTCTCCCTCGACTTTATGCTCCTCACCGTCTCCTACTCGACGACCTTCCTCATCCTGGCCCGTGCTCTTCGGTGCATCTCCTACTCCCTCACACTCCAGATGACCGGCCTCATCATCCGTCACCCCGCTTACCCTGGACTCCCCGGTATCGATCTCCGCCTCACTTCCTCCGCCGACGAGATCTGCGCCTACTTTGGGCTTGACCGCGCGCGATGGGAAGCCGGATTCGACAACGAGGAGCAGGTCTGGGAATGGCTTGCTACCGTTGAGGAGGGCGGGAAGCTCGAGGGCGCGTATAAGCGGATGGTGCGGCCCAAGGCGGTGCGTCAGAAGGGGCACAAGAACAAGGCGGGCGCTCTGGACGGATTCGTCACCTTTTTGAGGGGGACAAAGCATGGTGAAGGATGGGAGAGTATGACGCCAAGCGGAGCTGGAGGGGATCGTACCGCTACTCCCGTCCCCACCCCGGTCGACACATCCCTTCCGCCCCTTTCCCCTTCGACCATGACGACAATGAGCACCTCTCCTCCCCTCACCCCTCAGTCCGGCACCCCTGGTACCAGCGTCCAATCCTCGGCTGATATGATCGACCCAGAGAACCCGATCCCCCTCGACTGCCGCGCGGAGGCTGCGCTCGAGCGATGGGGGAAGCGCGAGGCATATGACGCCCTGCTCGCGGAACGGAAGGCGGCGGCTATCCCTATCGCGGCGAGCCAGAAGAAGAGGCAGGAGAGCAAGCAGAAGGCGCTCGAGGAGGCCAGGCGGAAGCTGGAGGAGGAAGAGGAGAAGGCAATGGGCGGGAGTCTGGCGGCGGCTGTCGAGGCTATCCGGATCTGAAGGCACACACGGGCTGGGAAGTGGAGCGGACCATCACATATCATCAGGAGCGACATATACTATCTAACGACATTTATGAACTTATGACCTTTAGTGATGTGGTCGGGCGTCTACTCATTTTCCACTGACGTGCTGGTAACGATGGATCAACTAACCTGGCATGATTCATCCCGTCAGTTATGCCAAGATGGGTGATTGCCCCAATGGGCACTAGCTGGTTCCAAGACGAACACTTGCATGATCACGAAGACGCCTTGTTCACACTGACGCCCTTCTGACTATTCATCTATCCAATAAACTTACCCTGAGCTTGACGGCGCTCCATCCAGGCCCTATCAACATAGATTTCGGTCGAGTTCTCGTCCGCCGTAGACTAATCCCCGGGATTGGCGGGATGGTCAGCCACGTTGGACGTGAATCCGCCGCCGCCTGGACCGCCTGGACCAGGGATGTAGGTGCCGATGGAAACAACCCGAGCAGGGACGATGTCTTGGCCGGGTGGAGCCTGAGGCACGGGTGGCTGTCCTACTTGAGGAGGGGGGCGGGGCGCCTGCGGTATCAGCTGACAGGATCCAAACACATAGAGTCTAGAAGGAAGCCTGAGCCATACGCACATGTAGCATTTGAGGCTGTCCATGATTGTAGGACACAATAGGAGGGGGAGCTCCACGCGGGTTTGGGTTCAAGGGCTAGATGATTAGCACAATATGCATAGTGCAGACACAAGATCAGATAGCTTACATGAAGCTGAGCAGCACCTGTGTAGACATTGTTGCCAATCAGCAAGGTCGCAGAGGCCGTGACAGCACGAGTCGGAACGACATTCGGGGTGGGGTTCAAAGGCTATATATCAGCCTGTTCACTGCAGAGCGGTGCCGGTAGGAAAGGAGGTGGCTTACCTGGAGCTGCGCAGCACCAGAGTAGTGTACATTGCCGATCATGAAGCTCACAGAGACCATGTTGCTCGTCGAAGGAGCTTGAGGAGGTCGGTAGGGAGGTCGTTCTGCCATCATGTAGGGTGGCGAACGAATGTGGGGGAGGAATGTAAAAGCGAAGAGTGATGGGAAAGATGAGTGCCCTTATGTAGCGCTCAGAATATAAAGAAGGGTCTATATCAGGGTACAATTTGTCCGAAAGCTTGCACTGTCCAGAATAGTGTGTCCGGTGTCTTGTATTCTTCACCTGGACTGATATCGGGACACAATACTGGATATCCCTGTCGGGATTTGCGCGACTCCGCTAGCGCTATGTCCACGAAAGTGTCCGCATCCAAAAGTGACCCGGAATGTATCCGGGCGGATCATGTGTCGCACGTATAAGTGTCGCGCACATACGCGCGACATGAGATCTGTCTGGCGACACATTGTGCGACAAGAGTCGACCGGTCACGCGGACACGACAACGACACAGTTTTTTTTTCTGGACAGACCGCTTTGAAGCCGGTATGGACACGCCGCATCGTTGGCGACAACGACAAAGTGGCGACGACATGGATATGGACACAGACTTGGTGTCGTCGACACGGACACAATTTGCGACACGAAGTTCGACATACCTGTCGTCAAGTGGGTGGCAAATTGGAAATCGGCGCCTGGGCAGAACGCGACACCAGCAGATGCGACACCAGTAGCTGCGACACCGGAAACTGCGACACGAAAATGCGACACAGGAAATGCGACACCAGTATTCGACGACTCAGAAAGTCGACAAGTAGTTTGTCGTACCGACATGAACACATGGGCAAGGACATGAGATGGAGACCGACGTGTCGTTAACGTCGAGATTTTGGACGCGGGCAAAGACATGGTCTCGGGACAAGATGACAAAAATAGCGTTGGACAGGCGATGTACAGAAGAGATGGACACTACGGGGACTGGACACCTACGGCCATTGGACACATACGGACACTGGACAGATTGGACTGGCCGATCGGCTGTCGAAAAGACAAAATTACCCGCCATGATAGCGGAGAGTCGCCCTGAGTGCATGAATGTGGCTGGATGTCCGGTAACTGTCGTCTGTCCAATGCTGTACAGCGATTAGCGTGATACTTTTGGCGCAAGTAGCATGGATAGCCTCCACATTCCTCAGGCTGGACACATTGATTTCCGCCACATTAGGGTGGACACAAAGTTCAGCCTGGACAGATTGATTTCGGACACATTAGGGTGGACACAAAGTCCAGTCTGGACACATTGATTGCGGACACATCAGGGTGGACACAAAGCTCAGTCTGGACACATTGAAATCGGACACATTAGGGTGGACACAAAGCTCAGTCTGGACACATTGAAATCGGACACATTCGGACGGAAACAGGGATAGACGTGGATATGAACAGTGCAGGACAGGAAAAAGACGTTGTGGCGTCGACATCTGTCCGTGATTGTGAAGTCAGACTCGTCCGATTGTCGAAAAAACAAAATTACCTGGCTTGAGAGCGCAGAGTCGCCCTGAGCTCATAATTGTGACTGGATCTCCGGTAGCTGTCGTCTGTCCAATGCTGGACAGCGATTAGCAGGACACTTTTGGCTCAAAAGGCGTGGACCGCCTCCACATTCCTCAACCTGGACACAAAGTTTAGTCAGGACACGAATGTTGGCTTGAATGGGTCCACGGTGGAGCGTAAACAAACAAGGCGTCGCGTTACTCCCATCCATTGGGACAGTGGAGGAGTCGCGACCGGTCGCGACTCGGGACTCGGTCGCGACCCGTATAGACCGGTAGCGACCGGTATATACTCGTATCTACTCGCGGCGACCGGTAGCTATCGGTAGCGACCGATAGCAACTGGTAGCGACCGGAGCGACTCGTCGCGACTCGTAGCGACTCAAGTAGATAGCCAGTAGCTAGGACCCCAGTCAGCACTATATAAGGAGCAGTAGTCAAGCCCTATGCATCCCCAGTCTGCTCTTGAAAACTTAACAGATTAGAAGTCTGAATACCACACTACCAGTCAAAGCAGACCCACCTTAATCAACCTCCCCCTCCAACACTCGAAGACATGTCAGAGTCATTCAAGTCTGGAGATAAGACGTTGCTATCAGCTGTACCGAAGCTAGTAAGCACATCGCAGTTCACTACATGGCGTTTAGCCTTCCAGACCTATGCCCTTGCGACTGGGTGTAGGGGTATCCTGGATGGTACCATCGTCGAGCCCGGTCTAGTCGACATCACCCCCATTCTAGCTGCTGGTCAGCCAGAGTATGTAGCACCAAGGACGCTTGGCGCACAGGATTCGACTACCGGTACCGCCGATCAGACAGAGGCTGCTATAGCAGCAGGTCAACAGATCATTGACCAAGCCAGACAGAGTCATGAACTCTTGGTACGGAACTACCAAGCGGCATTGATGGAAGAGGCGAGGCGCCTCCTTCCCGCCGGCACTATACCACCTTCCACGTTCGTCGGGGACGTTACCAAGAAGGATTGGGAGGATTGGGCCAAGAAGGAGGCCCATATGCAAGGCGCACTTCGCGGTACGGTATCCGCAGGCGTCCTTGTCGATATTAAGGACTTGACCACGGCAAAGGCGATGTGGGACTTGCTGCACGCAACCCACCCCATCAATACCGCCGAGAATAGGGCCTCGATCAGGCGCGATCTCTCCATGATCGTGCTCACGGACACGAGCCCAAAGGGGATGGAGAAGCATCTCGAACGCTTCAATAGCATCATCCTTCGGTCACAGGAGGCCGGCAATCCAATTGCACCGGCCGTCCGCGCACAGATGTTCGCGGATACGCTGCCGCAGCAGCTCGAGTCACTCAGAACCCTCTGGGGGATCAACTCGCCACTCCTTACAGAGTTGACAGCATGGCCGACGATGCTTAGGCTGTACAACGAGGAGATCGATCGTCGCCGTAGGAACGGCACGAACAACACTGCTATGGCCATCACGAATGGTGGAAAGCAGAAGAAGTTTGGCTCCAAGGGAGGCCAAAAGAAGGACAAAGACCAAAAGGGGTCCGGTGCTCAACAGGGTCAACAGGGTCAGAAAGAAACCCGGACCTGCTATAACTGCGACAAGGTCGGATACCTTGCCGCTAAGTGTCGCGCTCCCAAACGGGAAAGGAACAGCGGTTCAAAGGACGGCGATCAGAACTCGTCAGGTTCGTCAACGAACTACGAGGCCATGGCGACGACCAGGATCACTCCGACATCGAGTCGGAAGTGGATGTGGGACGAGGATTACTATCGACCTAGTCGGCGCGTAGCTCCTGAGATCCCCACCCCTAGTCTCTCTCCACCTGTCGAGGAGGAGAAAGCCCAAGTTGAGCTTGCGGCGTTCACTGCAGAGGAAGGGGAAGTAAGTGTACCCGATTCTCGGGGATGGCTCGTCGATAGTGGAGCCAGTAACCACCTCACCCCCTCCCGCAACCTACTGTCCAACATCAGACAGTGTGATCCACCCGTCGATTTCGGTACGGCGTCATCTAAGAGCAGGATGACCGCCCGGGAAATGGGTCAAGCAACAATCGAGCTTGACAACGGTCAAATGGCCACACTATTCCCCGTATATCTCGTACCGAACGCTAGACTGAATCTCCTTTCAGTCAGCTCAGCGACGGCGAAAGGGTGGCAAATCAGTTTGTCAGACACCATGGGTCAGCTATTCAAGGGCCATCGGCGTCTTACATTCTCCCGGTTCGAAAACCACTGGTACATTCCCCCGTACCTTGTGAGGCATGAGGCACTAGCAGCCACAGGGCCAACATCCGGGATGATAAGGTCTAAGCTCGAGGAGGAGCATAGACGGCTCGGCCACATCGGCCGGACTAAACTGGAAGAGCTTGCCAAGGCCGGTCAGCTCCAGTATCCTTGGGAGGAGCTCAAGGAGGACAACTTCAAGTCCTCAGACTGCCCAACTTGCCAAAGTTGGAAAGCAGTTCGTCCTCCAAAGGACAATGCACCCAAGCACCCCCTGTCGCAGGGTATGCTGTTGCACGTCGACATCGCCGGTCCTTTCGATCCGTCCAGGCGTCTGAATAGATGGTTGGTAGTCATCATTGACGATCACTCGGATGCGATCGAGGTCGTACCCACCCGTCACAAGTCCGAGGCCTTCAACGTGCTCCGGGATACAGCTACACGCTGGGGGCGCCAATTCGGTAATGACGTTCGTGTCATTCGGTCGGACGGTGATTCAGTATTTCAGAGCGAGGCAGCCAACCTCTGGTACAAGCGCGAGGGCATTAGACATCATGTCACCCCTCGCTACACCGCCGAACTCAACGGGAAGGCGGAGCGCACGATCCGGACCATAAAAGATGGAATCCGAGCCATGCTCGGTGGATCCAGTCTTGGTCATCAGTACTTCGACTATGCGGCGCAGTACTTCGCGGTCATTCACAACAAGACCACGGTCATCCCAGAGTCAGACGAGAACGTCTGGGAAGTGCTTACGATGCGCCATCCAAACCTCCACACTGTCCGTCAGTTTGGTCAGGTCAATTACGTCCAAATCCCCTCGGAAATCCGACATAAAAATTCGTTTGATACGAAAAGTGCTATGAGGTGCAGGATCTTGGGTCAAGATCCAGACGTCAGTGGATGGATCGTTCTCGTCGAGGCGACGAACGAGATCATCAGATCTAGAGACGTCAAACCTCTCACAGGTTCAGTTAGTCAGGAGCCTGAAGTGAGCGCAATTGGCGTACGCACATCCGTATCCAACGAGGAGGAGATGGAAGATGATGTCGTCATAGAGGGAGATGATGAGGAAGCAGAGGGAGATGAGGACGTAGGAGGAGCACCGGATATGGACGATCCACTGTCGGATGTGTCAGCCGATGTGTTCACCCCACCTACACCCCATTTTCAAATTCCTATATCTTTCGAGCGGGTCAAAGGTCCCATACAACCTGGATATGACGAGTCGACGCAGCAATACGTCGATAAGACCGGCATCATCGTTACCGAGAGCCTGATCGATCAGCTCAAGGATCGGAACCAGAAGAGATTAGATCTCACGGATGAAGAGAAGGGTCTACTACAGCGCTGGAAGCATTATCAGCTCTCAGCGGCTCCAGAGGCGGCACCGCCGCAGGAGGAGTCACTTGGTAGAGGTCAGAGAAAGAAGGTACCTAGTTCTCATATAGATGGGGATAGGTGGTATGGTCGAAATGCGCGAATCGCCTATCTGGCTTCCGAGTCAGCGCTCGGCGTAACTACGGCATCGGCCGATCCCGACCCCACCACATACCAGCAGGCCACATCCTCGTCCAACGTTAAGCTATGGCAACCAGCCATAGACAAGGAGCTTGACAGCTTGCGAGCAAAGAAGGTCTTCAGACCATGCGTCCTTCCCAAAGGTCGCAAAACTATCTCGTGTCGATGGATTTTCACAACCAAGCGAGACGCTGCCGGTATCATCACAAAGCGGAAGGCTAGGCTAGTCGCCCGAGGCTTCTCGCAGCAGCCAGGAGTAGATTTTGAGGATACGTTTGCGCCAGTAAGCAGGCTAGTGTCACTCAGACTACTTCTCACGATGGCGGCGACGCTAGATTGGGAGATCCATCAGGCGGATGCTGAGGGAGCGTACCTCAATGGCAAGATCAAGGAAGAGATCTATATGGAAGTGCCGCCTGGATACAAGGTATCTCAGGGGCAGAATTGTGTCAAGATAGACGGAGCACTCTACGGCTTGAAGCAAGCAGCTCAGTGCTGGTGGGAAGAGGTCGGACGAGTTATGAAGAAGCTCGGATTCCAGAGATTGGAGAGCGAGTGGGGACTGTACTATAGGGGCGGCGCGAACCCCTGCGTCTGCTTGCTGTACGTGGATGACTACGTGATCATCTCGCCCAAACGCTCAACCATCACCACCCTGTTGGCGGATCTGAGGCGTCACTGGACCCTCACCGATACCAGCGTCGTCACGTCCATCCTCGGGATGAAAGTAGACCGAGAGCGGTCCGGACACATCATCAGGCTTACCCAGCCTGGGTATATCGATACCCTACTGGCCAGATTCCCCTTGTCCACCACACGGGAATTTGCCACACCTCTCCCCTTTACCACCGACAATCTCAGCTCAGAAGCTTTCGCCCTTACGCCCTATCAGCAGGTGATCGGCAGCTTGATGTGGATAGCTGGCAGTACTCGACCGGACATTGCCTATGCGGTCAACTACTTGTCCAGGTATAGCTCAAAGCCGACAGAAGGACACTAGCAGCAGGCGCTGCGGGTAGTGTCATACCTGGGCAGCACAAGGGATATGGGATTGAAGCTTGGCGGACGTGCTGCGAGCATCGTCAAGCTGGAAGGATGGGTAGATGCGGATTGGGGTGGATGCCTAGACACTCGGAAGTCCACGACGGGCTATGTCTTCACCATCAATGGCTCAATCGTCGCCTGGAGCTCGCGCCGGCAGCAGACAGTCGCGTCATCGACTCTGCATGCTGAGTACATCGCCCTATCCGAGGCAGCTAAGGAAGCAGCTTGGCTGCGGTCCATGCTCGGAGAGCTCGGGTTCGCCCAGAAGGAGGCGACAGTAATACACTGTGACAATCAGGGGGCCATGTTCCTTGCAAAGAACCCGACGACTCACGCTCGGACCAAGCACATCGATATCCGACACCACGTGATTCGTCAGATGCTCGAGGACAAGGCGATATCCTTGCTGTATACCAAGACAGAGGATCAGCTGGCGGATATATTCACAAAGGCACTTGCAGGGCCAAGGCACCTATACTTGCTCAAGCTGCTCGGGATGAGCGGAACGGAGAGGAAGAGAAGTGATGTCATCGGCGCACGGACTCAGCTCAAGGCTACAAAGTAGGAGGATCGGTTAGATTAGCTCCCAAGATCTTGTAGTAAGTAGAGTTAGAGTAGATAGTAAGTGTAGAATAGATCAGTCACAATATTCATACGGTATACGAGTAGCAAGGTATATACAAGTAGACAGAACTTTCCAGAAAACCCGAGTGGAACAAAGAAAAACAACAAAAAGAGAGAGAAAAGATGGCTAAGCCACAGCGTGACCGACCTGGGCGTCGATCGCGTACTTGATGTTGTCGCTGAGACGAGCGAGGTTGGCCTGGTCGTGAAGGTACCGAGCCTTGGAGGTCTCCATCATCTCGGCGGTGATGAAAAGGAAGTCCTGAAGGGACATGGGTTTGGCGATAAAGAGGACGTCCGAGCCGGTAGAGGATCCGGCGTCGGAGCCAGCAGAAGAGAGGATAGCCGAGCTGGCGGAAGATGGAGGGGGAGGGGGCGGCGGCATCTATACGTCAGCGATGCTCGCACCAAAGGGAGAAACTTCAGACTGAGTCGAATGGGAAGACTCACCCTCCCATCACCACCATCGGCACCGACCTTGCGCTTCTTGCACCGGTTGAAGGAACACACCGAACCATTCCTGGTACACTCCCCACAATTGACATTGCCACCCAGCATCTTGCACTCCTTGCCGCCCCGCTGGCAATGGATGCACCCGGGGCTCCGGAGCGTACCATCGGCCTGAAGACGGTCGGCGCGGTTCTCGCGGGACTGATGATCAGCGCTATCCCATCGTCACTTTCACACAAAAGAACATACAATCTTGGCCTTGCTCTGCTGCCGCGCAACCACCAGCTTGAGTGACCGCTCCGAGCCAGACTCGCTCGAGTCATGAACCGAGTACGGGCCGGAGTAGGTGCCCTTGGCCTTGAAGACGGCCGGGAGCGTGGGCGCAGGAACGAGAGGAGGGATTGCGGTAGATTCCGTGTCCGAAGAGACGACGGAGGGAGCGACGCCGCCGAGGAAGCGAGGGTTGACCGAGGCGGCTTCCTGGATGAACTTGCCGAGGGCCTCCCACTTGAAGTCGGGTGAGAGACCGAAGCCGGGGATGTTCATATCATCCACCTCATCGTAGTTGTTGCTGTGGGTGACGACCGGTCCGGCGGGAGCGTTGAGGACCGGATCGATAGGAGCGAAGGGGTTATCGTTGATCCATGCGGGAGGATAAGGATCAGGGTAGTGGTAACCAAAGATGATGCCTGAAAGTCAGCGCGGAACGCGCGGGACGCGTCGAATAAACAATTACGTAATCAGATCATCGGTGTCCTCCGATCCGGTCCGGACGAGCCGGACGAGGAAAAGTCGAGAGGCTGAGCTTGCTCAGTAGGCATGTTGTTGATGCTGAAGTCAGACATGGCGTGCAGGTTGGAGATGGTAGATGAGTTGTTGACAGACCAAGGGGGAAAGCAGCGTGACATATATATCTCAGAGGGAGCATAAGGCCTTGAAAAGGGAGTGTTGGCTTGAATGGGTCCACGGTAGAGCGTAAACAAACAAGGCGTCGCGTTACTCCCATCCATTGGGACAGTGGAGGAGTCGCGACCGGTCGCGACTCGGAACTCGGTCGCGACCCGTATAGACCGGTAGCGACCGGTATATACTCGTATCTACTCGCGGCGACCGGTAGCTATCGGTAGCGACCGATAGCGACTGGTAGCGACCGGTAGCGACCGGTCGCGACCAGTAGCGACTGAGTAGCGACTCGTAGCGACTCGTAGCGACTCGTCGCGACTCGTAGCGACTCAAGTAGATAGCCAGTAGCTAGGACCCCAGTCAGCACTATATAAGGAGCAGTAGTCAAGCCCTATGCATCCCCAGTCTGCTCTTGAAAACTTAATAACGAAGTCCACTCTGGACACACTGAATTCGGACACATTCGGGCCCGTTGCAGACATGGACAGAACGGGACAGGGCAGGAAAAAGCTGTCGCGTCGACTTCTGGCGATGTGAAGTCTGTCCAGATCACAAAACTTGGCGGTGTTCAATTGACGCTCAGTCGCCGACTTTGTCGCAATTTGGCGACGACAAGTACGCAAGTACGCAAGTCGCGCGTCGCGCGACGCGGAAGCTGTCGGACGACACAGTACTTGTCGCTTGTCGGACGACACAATATTTGTCACTTGTCGGGCGACACAGTATTTGTCGCTTGTCGAACGACACAGTATTTGTTGCTTGTCGGACGACACAGTATTTGTCGCTTGTCACTTGTTTTTCTGTAGCGAATTTATTGCTAGACTATCGTCGATTCCCAGCAAGCGGTCAGGTGAATACTGCAACACATATATTGACCCAAAGTCACACTCTTTACGCCCCGCTACAGGCTCACATCCATAGATAGACTCGGTCAATCCCTCCTATCTCCCACGATGCCGAAGCTGCGCCGGTCCGCTCGCCTTCACAATAACAGCCATCCTTCGGAAGCCCGCCCCCCCTTCTCCCCTTTCGACGACCTCCCCATCGACATCATCTCTCATATCTCCCTTCACATACCCCAGAGCTCCCTCGCGGCCTTCGCGCGGACGTCCAAACTATGCTCGGAAGCGGCGTTCCCCATCCTATACCGAGAAATCCACATCACCTCCAACCACGCCATGTCCCTCCTCATCGGTCCCAGCTTTCTTCGTCGGCCTGTCTTCACGCAGACCAAGAGGATCACGCTGGACCTGCCGGCGGACAAGGCGTTCGGCGAGATGATGGGGAATTGGCGCATTAATCCCGACGAGGAGGAATGGACGGCGGGACCGCTTTTCGAGCGGGCGGTCGGCGTTAGCTTTGGCGTAGCGTGGACACGGTCCATGTACTCGGAAAGCAAGGCGACGCTTTCCAACTCTGCGCGGAACCTGGCGCGATTGGCGGACCCAACAACGATATGCTTCAGGTACGCCACCGAGTTGAGCCCAACGCCCACAGTCGGCTCCCGCCCGAACCGGCTCACCTCCATCCTGAAGGAACTCTGGCCTCGGTTATCATCCGTCAATTACCACGGTCGACTGGATGAGTTGACCTTTCCCCACGTCAGCGACCCGGACCATCTATACATCGCGCACGTCTTTTACGTCCAAGGCGACGAGCCATGGTTCAAGACTATCGACGAGTTCCTCCGCGCCCGACTGGTCGGCGGCTCGGCCGCGGTAGATCCCATCATGCCAGACGCAATCCGGACACTTTACACTCTGTCCGCGCGAGGCTTCCGGGCTGCCAGTGGGGGCGATGGGACCAAACGTCTCTCTTTCCATACGGCGGAGCCGGAAGCCAAGACTGCAGCAGAGACTACGGCGGTGGCCAAGCCAGAGAAGGATGTCGGCGAGGTCTCAGGAGCTAGCAGCAAGGAGGGCAAAGAGATCAGCAGAATATCAGCATGCGCTGCCTGTGGAGGTGAGCTGTTACTGGCATATGATAAGAGCAAGGCTGACTATATCAGTGTACTGAGCTTCTTGCATCAGCCACTTTCCACGCTCAATGTCTCGCGAGGGCAAGTTTTGGAGTGAGTCTGTTTCCTCATAAAGCCCTTTGTTATTACTGACGCTCAGAAGCCTGTCGCCGCAATACCTATACCTCCCTACTCTCCCCTCACTGCTGTCTATCGGACTCCCATTTTGAGATCCTTTCTAAAAGCCCGCGACCCGGCGCGAGCGTCTTCTCGGTCTTGTCGTTGCAGTAGAAGCAGTTGGTTGGATGCCTTGGATGAGGCGTACGGCTGCCATATGTCGCATACCGCCATATGAGTTCTGAACAAGTCGCGGTAGGAGCTATGTACACAGGCCGGTAGGTCATCCGTTTATTGCATCTCAAAGCGCGCATCAGTGAATCAGCATGCTTGACATGTGATGGGTCTCGACAGCCTCAGCCGGGTCGATCGTAGGTCTGGCGCTCTGGCAGATCTGGCGCTTCGGATTTCGGCTGTTCGGGTGCCTGACTCACCGCTCAAAGGATCGTCCATGTGCAGCGTTTGATCTTACCTCGATCCATCATCCCCGGCTTATGTGCAGCGTTTGATCTTACCTCGATCCATCATCCCCGGCTTGACCGCGATGCCGAGTATAGCTGGTATAACCTGACAACGCTGACCTTGAGCTTGGTGACCAACAAGCTCAGTTGAGCCCGGCGTCCATGCAGAACCTTACAAGAACCGGGCGACAGGATCAGCCCATTCCGTTCCTGGGCGCACACACTGGCGGGGCCCTCTGTTGGCTGTAGGAGCATAGCGGCGCGTCGCTGGGCGACTGCGCCGACAGATCTCAGAACAGGAGGACGTCGCTGGATGTCCTTGCGACGTCGCAGCGACGTCACGGCGTCGCGGCGCCGCGCCGGCGCCGACTAGATCTGAGATAGCGCTAGGTGAATATCCGGGATAGTCACTGTACGGGCCGGACAGAATTGTCTGTCCGGGTGTCCGGACACTTTACATTAGTGTCGGACTGACGGCGCTGAGTGGCGGCGAGGCAACGCCGCCACCCAAGTATCCTATAGCACATAGAGACGTGAGACGTCGTCTAGCGACGTCCCAGCGACTCGTCGGCGTCGTGTCGTCGCGTCGGTGTCGCGACGCAGCGACGCCAGCAGGACTATATAAGTAGACCTGATCGTGTCCAATGCATCTTTATTCTGCTTTTGTACTTCTACCTTCCAAACTTCAACAGATTAGAAGTCTGATACCATACCACTAGGCTATCACGACATAGCATCGCTGTCTTAACTCGCTTCAACATGTCTCAGTCTAAGTCAGACAAGACGTTGCTATCAGCTATATCCAAGCTGGTGAGCACCTCACAGTTCTCTACCTGGCGCTTGGCCTTCGAGACCTATGCCCTTTCGACAGGGTGTAGTGGTATTCTTGATGGCACTTTGACCGAGCCCGGCCTTATCGACATCACCCCCATACTGGCCGCTGGTCGGCCAGTGTTCAATCCAGGGACGCTTGGACAGAACGATTCGACTACAGGTACGGCTGATCAATCGGAAGCTGCGATCGCAGCTGGGCAGCAGTTGCTGCAACAGGCCAGAGCAGACCACGATCTTCTTGAACAGAATTATCGTGCAGCCGAATTTGAGCAGACTAGGCGTTTGCTCAGGGCTGGAACTGTACCACCTACAGTGTTCGTAGGTGGGGTAACCATGAAGGAGTGGCAGGAGTGGGCAAAGAAGGAAGGTCAGATGCAAGGTGCGCTGCGCGGGACAGTCTCGGCAGGCATCCTAGTAGACATCAAGGATCTACAGTCAGCGAAGGAGATGTGGGATATGCTGCACGCAATCCACCCCATCAACACCGCCGAGAACAGGGCGGCGATCAGGCGTGATCTATCGATGATCATGCTCACCGATACTAGCCCGAAGGGCATGGAGGAGCATCTTGAGCACTTCAACAGTATCGTCCTTCGCTCAGTAGAGGCCGGTAACCCGATCACACCGGCACAGCGCGCGCAGATGTTCGCAGACACATTGCCGCAACAGCTCGAGGGTCTCAGGACCGTCTGGGGCTTAAGCTCTCCCCTCCTCACTGAATTGACAGCATGGCCAACGATGCTTAAGCTGTACAACGAGGAGATCGACCGGCGGCGCAGAACCGCCAAGAATTCCAGCAATTCTGCTTTCTTCGTGCAGAAAGGTGGGAAAGGGAAGAATGGAACGCCCAAAGGGGGCAAAGGAGGAGCTAAAGGTGATCAGAAGGGACCTAATAAAGGTCAAGGCGGCCAGCAGGACAAGAAAGACAAGGTCTGCTGGAATTGTGACAAGAAAGGTCATTTCGCCAGGGACTGTCGTTCTCCAAAGAAGAAGAATGACGGTGGTGGTAAGGACAAAGGCGATAATCGCAGTCCGGATAGTTCGTCGGAGAACTATGATAACCAGCATCACGCGATGGTGGTTACAAGGTCGGTCCCGTCCGGGAACCGAAAGTGGATGTGGGATGAGGAGTATTACAACAAGGGTAATACCAGTGAACAGGCGGTTGAGACGCCGACTCTACCCACAGATGATTCCACGCAGAGTGGGACACCACAGCCTGTCGAAGCCCAGTTAGCGGCCTACACAGAGGAAACGGAGTCACCAAGCGCACAAGGTTGGCTGGTGGATAGCGGAGCCACAAACCACCTGACTCCCTATCGCAACTTGCTCTCCAATATCAGGAGATGTAATCCTCCTATCGACTTCGGTACCGCGTCATCGAACGGATCTATGACGGCGAGGGAATTCGGTCAAGCTACCATCGAACTTGACAACGGTCAAATTGCGATTCTATTCCCAGTATACCTTGTACCGAGTGCTCGGCTGAATCTGCTGTCAGTCAGTTCAGCGACGTCAAAAGGGTGGCGAATCACCATGTCGGAGACCATGGGATCCTTGTTCAAGGGTCACAGGCGGCTTACGTTCGCGCGCCTAAACAACCATTGGTACATTCCGCCCTATCGCATGAGGCATGACGCGCTGGCGATTTCCAGCCCCACATGCGAGTTGACAAGGTCTAAGCTCGAGGAGGAGCATAGACGGCTTGGTCACATCGGTCGTACCAAGCTACTTGAGCTCGCCAAGGCGAATCAGCTCCAGTATACCTGGGAGCAGCTCAAGGACGATAATTTTCGATCGTCGGACTGCCCAGCGTGTCATAGTTGGAAAGCAGTCAGGCCGCCAAAGGACGGCGAGCCAAAGCATCCGGGGGAGCAAGGTCTGCTCCTACACATTGACATCGCGGGTCCATTCGACCCCTCCCGACGTCAGAATCGCTGGTTGGTCGTGATCATTGACGATCACTCGGACGCAATTACAGTGGTTCCGACCAAGCAGAAAAGCGAGGCTTTTAATGTCCTGCGTGACACTGCTGCGCATTGGGGGAGACAATTCGGAAACTATGTCCGGGTAGTGCGATCGGATGGAGATACAGTGTTTCAGAGCGATGAGGCTCTAACCTGGTATCGAGAAGAAGGGATTGCCCACCAGGTCACTCCCAAGTACACGCCGGAATCAAACGGCAAAGCTGAGCGTACTATACGTACAATCAAGGACGGGATCCGATCTATGCTAGGTGGATCCGACCTCGGTCACGCTTACTGGGACTATGCTGCCCAGTACTTCGTCGTCATACACAACAAGACCACAGTCGTCCCAGACACCGATGAGACGGTGTGGGAGGCGCTCACCATTCGCCGCCCGAACTTAAATTCGGTTCGACGGTTCGGACAAGTAAATTATGTCCAAATCCCATCCCATATCCGACGAAAGAATACATTCGACATTGAAAATGCCATGAGGTGTAGAATCTTGGGTCAAGACCCAGACGTGAGCGGCTGGATCGTGCTTGTAGAAGCCACGAACGAGATTATGAGATCTCGCGACGTCAAGGAATACACTGGGGTTGTAGGCAGTACTCCCATTTCACTATCGAATGAGGAGGAGAATACTGTACATGTCGGAAATATGGATACTGGGGAAGATGGCGGGAATGAGGGAGATGAGCTAAATGCGGATCTGGATGTGGATCTAGATGGGAATGAGGTAGATGAGGCTTCAGGGGGAGATAACACACCTCCAAATCTTGACGATCCATTATCGGATGTCAGTGATCAGGTGTTCCAACCTCCGCAGCCCACTCGAATTCCTATCAGCTTCGAGCGGGTTAAAGCTCCCACTCGACCTGGTTACGATGAGGCGACTCAACGGTATATCGACAAGACCGGCATCATCGTCACCGAAAGCTTGATCAACGAGCTTAAAGCGCGGAACCAAAGGCGCTTGGATCTGACAGATGAGGAGAGAGGGCTATATCAGCGGTGGAAGCATTATCAGCTTTCAGCCGAATCTCAGGCGCCTCCACCTCAGTCAGAGCCGCTTGGCAGAGGCCAGCGGAAGAAGGTAACCACTGCTCATCCTGATGATGAGAGATGGTACGGAAGCGACACACGGAATGCTTATCTGGCATCCGAGTCGGCTCTCGGTTTGACGACTGCGTCAACCGGACAAGACCCTACGACGTATCAGCAGGCGACATCTGCGGATAACGTGAAGCTCTGGCAGCCAGCTATAGATAAAGAGCTGGATAACCTGCGAGCAAAGAAGGTGTTTCGACCATCGAAACTCCCGCAGGGCAGAAAGGCGATCACATGTCGCTGGATTTTCACCACCAAGCGAGATGCTGATGGTGTGATCACGAAGCGTAAGGCAAGGCTGGTTGCTAGAGGTTTTTCTCAACAGCCAGGAGTTGACTTTGCCGAGACGTACGCACCGGTAAGCAGGCTAGTCAGTCTGCGTCTACTCCTCACGATCGCGGCGGGGCTGGACTGGGAGATACACCAGGCAGACGTCGAAGGCGCATATCTTAATGGCAAGATCAAGGAGGAGATTTATATGGAGATACCCCCTGGGTACAAGGTACCGGGAGGTCACAACTGTGTGAAGGTCGAGGGGGCACTTTATGGCTTGAAGCAAGCTGCGCAGTGCTGGTGGGAAGAGGCTGGAAAGGTCCTCAAGAGCCTCGGGTTCAAGAGACTTCAGTCGGAGTGGGGCCTGTACTTCCGGGATGATGCACAGGGGCCCATCCTGCTTCTACTATACGTAGATGACTTCTGTCTTGCCGCACGTAAGCGCGCGACAATCGACAACACCCTCGCGGACCTTCGTCGTCGTTGGACGATCACAGATACCGAGAAGGTCACTTCTATCCTCGGGATGAAGGTGACACGTGATAGGCAGCGCAGACTGATCTCAGTCACGCAGCCTGGTTACATCGATACCCTACTCGCTCGATTCCCCTCATCGACCTCGCGCGAGTTTGCCACACCGATGGCACATACCACCGATAACCTCAGCTCGGAAGCTTCGCCGCTCACGCCGTATCAGCAGATCGTCGGCAGCCTAATGTGGATCGCGGGTAGCACCCGACCTGACGTTGCATATGCTGTAAACTACCTGTCAAGGTACAGCTCTACACCCACCAAGGGTCACTGGCAGCAAGCACTGCGAGTGGTGTCGTATTTGGGAAATACGAAAGAGGTGGGATTGACGCTCGGCGGTATGCATGGGGACAAGATCGTACTGGAGGGATGGGTCGATGCGGATTGGGGAGGATGTCTGGACACTAGACGATCCACCACTGGATTCTGCTTCACCATCAACGGCTCCTTGATAGCCTGGAGTTCTCGGAGGCAACAGACGGTTGCATCTTCAACGCTTCATGCGGAGTATATCGCGCTATCGGAGGCAGCTCGGGAAGCAGCGTGGCTCAGAACTTTGTTCAGCGAGCTTAAGTTTGACCAGCGCAAGGCTACTGTTGTCCACTGTGACAATCAGGGAGCAATGTTCCTTGCCAAAAACCCGACAACACATGCGCGAACCAAGCACATCGATATCAGACACCATATCGTCCGAGAGATGATAGAGGATGGTACGATTACCCTCGTCTACACGAAGACAGAGGATCAACTGGCCGACATCTTTACCAAGGCTCTATCTGGCCCGAGGCACTCATGGCTGGTCGAGCAGCTTCAGATGAGTACGAAGGGCGGTGAGAAGGTGGCGAAAATTACGGCAGATGTGGCGAAATCTAAGGGCGCCACTCAGAAACGTTGAGTTTTGATTAGCGGGTTCAAATTAGATTTGCTATAGTCCATTTTGTATTGCTTCAAGTAATTTTGTATTGCTAAGGTAGTATAGGTAGTTTTCGGGCCAAGTCATTCACAGAGCATATATATTAAAGTAGTTACTATTCCATAGCTATACTGGTACAAGAGGAGGAATAGGCCAGAGAGCCAGAGGCGATCAGACTTTGTTCTGGATCAGCTCAACGGCAAGAGCATCCATGCGGTCACAGAAGAGCATCTGTGCGTGGTGCTGAGCGGTAACCTGACCGCGGAATGCCTGGATGGACAGGCGGAGACCGTGGCCAGTGCAGTGGGCGCCGGATGAGACCACGCTCTCGGTGGCAAAGGTAGAGCCGACCGAGGAAGAAGGAGGGTTCTGCTATTATTAGCTGGAACGATCCCACAATTACGAAAGGACTCACCCAGATCGGACTATAGCCGGTCCGACGCCTCTTGTGGCTCCCGAACGAGCAGAGCCGAGCGTGAGCCGTGCACTCGGCGCAGCCGGCGAAATCAGGAGACCAGTAGCACGGGGTACCGTTGGCGAGGCACCGGACGCAAGGCGGAACCATGATGGTACCGGTAGCCTTGATCTTGGCGACTCGGAGGTGACGGACCTTCTGTCTTGGTCAGCATCATTACGAGTGATGTAGGATGACGCAGGACTTACGGTGTTACGGGTAACACCCGACTCGGAAGACTTGACCGAGTGGGGAGAGGAAAGGGTTCCGCGAGTCGCCACCGGGTGGATGACGACGGGAACCACAGTAGAGTCCGACGAGGTGGACGAGCCCGCGTTGGAAGGGACGTAAGAGGCAAGAGAGGCCTCGTGGGGAGCATATGTTTAAAAGACGAAGACCGAAATGTATTTGTCCGTAAAAGACGAAGCCTTTCCGCCACTGTCTAAAAGACGAAGTCCGGCCTAAAGGATGCCTAAAGGACGAAGCCGGATAGTTTCGGCTTGTTATCATGCCGGCAGTGTGCCGGCCCCGCGACGCGTTGTATTTGTTTTGATCCTCTCCTCTCCGCTCCTTCACCTCTCCACTTTCCGCTTCTATACCCACGTAGCAACAACATCAGCCAGCCAAGCACTATTACTAGCCCTACCGCCGTCTCTCATCATGTCAGAGTAGGTAGTCTCGCGCATTAAGGACTATTGTGGCCCATTCTGACGCGTCGCAGTAATCAACCAACCTTCGCCCCCGCTACCTCATTTGCCCCTACCACTGTCCTCTACGCCAAGCAGACCTTCGGCTCTTTCGACACTGCCAAAATCGCCATCACCCACCACTCTCTTGCTCAGCGCAAGGCGTCCGTCAAGGCGGAGAAGGCGCCGACGGGATCGCGGATACTTTCGTGCGCGCTCAAGAAGGAGGACGGTTGTAAATATCGTGTCTACCTCAAGTCGCACGGGGCGTCGGGCGGGTGTATCGTTCAAACTCTCATCGACGAACACACTTGCTCTCCTCACGGCGTTCCCGCGCGACTTGGAGCGAGACAAAGGGGCTTCATTCTCGCCGAGGTGAGTCAATAACGCAACTATTGGCTTTGATATAGCTGACACATGCAGGCCACACGACTCAACAAAGGCACCCCTCTCGCCGAAGCCTCCGCCAAAGGTCTCATCGGTCCCCTCCGCGCTTCCACCATCGACGATCTGAGCCGCCAGGCCGTCTCGCGCGCGGTACAGGAGATTAGGGGGGACAACGCGGCCAACCACTGCGCCGACTTCCGTCGTCTCCCCGCCTATATGGACCTGCTAGCCCAGCGGGATCCGCAGGCTCATCTGGATCTCCAGACGGACAAGCCTCTGGATGGGTATCGGGAGCGTAGAGATGGAGCTGGGCAGGGTGGGGACGGCAGGGACTCAGAGGATGGGGACAGTGGCGATGACGATGAAGAGGACGTGGCGATATTGGGCCTCTTTGTCTCCCCATCGCCGGCGCGGACATTCTTCCACCACTCTCGGCCTCTCCTCACCCTGGACGGGACATACTCTCGCGCCCACAATACCTACAACCTCCTCCTCGCCTCCACGTCTGACTGCGAGGGTCATATCGTCATCCTCGCTTGGGCGCTCGTCAAGTCGGAGTCCACCGCCACCTGGAGCTGGTTCTACCACCGAACCGAAGGAAAGGAATGACGCCATAGACGAGGCATCCGATCCATCGGAGGAGACCGAAGATCCGGAGCCGAGGGTGGTACCGGATGACGTGGTCAAGCCGGAGATCCCCGAGAAAGTCGAGACCTCGCTCGGGGGTGGCGCAAAGATCTGCGAAGGGGAGACCGTACCGTTGTCCCAAGGAATGGGGACGGGCGAGTTGAACCGCGAACCATGGACGTCCGAGAGCATACGAGCGTACTGGGCGTAAGTGAGGCCCGGCGTGTCCGGCTGGGGAGAAGCAGGGCGCGGCTGCTCAAGCTCGTCGAAGCTGGCAAGCTGGACGTCAGCACCAGTCAATCAATCAAAGGCGGACGACTCACGAACTCCGCGATCTCAGCATGGATGGCATCGTTGTACCAGTCAGGGAAAGGGACACCGGCGTGATCAGGGTTGCTGGAGGATTGGTTGGACATGGTGTGTGGGTGTTGGGTGTGTGGCTTGGTATATTCAGGACAAGTGGGTAACAAGTTTGAGACACCCAGGGGCGGGCATCAGGGCGGTATTTATACCCCTGACCCAGGACAAGAGCATATGGTCACGAGGGGGAGTGTTGGCTGTAGGAGCATAGCGGCGCGTCGCTGGGCGACTGCGCCGACAGATCTCAGAACAGGAGGACGTCGCTGGATGTCCTTGCGACGTCGCAGCGACGTCACGGCGTCGCGGCGCCGCGCCGGCGCCGACTAGATCTGAGATAGCGCTAGGTGAATATCCGGGATAGTCACTGTACGGGCCGGACAGAATTGTCTGTCCGGGTGTCCGGACACTTTACATTAGTGTCGGACTGACGGCGCTGAGTGGCGGCGAGGCAACGCCGCCACCCAAGTATCCTATAGCACATAGAGACGTGAGACGTCGTCTAGCGACGTCCCAGCGACTCGTCGGCGTCGTGTCGTCGCGTCGGTGTCGCGACGCAGCGACGCCAGCAGGACTATATAAGTAGACCTGATCGTGTCCAATGCATCTTTATTCTGCTTTTGTACTTCTACCTTCCAAACTTCAACACCCTCGGACCCTCATCAGCCCCCTCCCTCCCGATTGCCCTCCTTTCGACCGACAGTCTGTGTTCTACTCCCGAGATGGCCTCCATCCGACCATTGGGCTCCCGCCGGCTTTGTGTAGGCAGCTCACATGGGCCGGGAATAAGCCCGACTAAGTCGAGCTGCCCAAAATCTCTCTCACTCACCCAGAATACAGCCAGGCGGCCTGATGGACCAGCCAGCCGAGCTCGACCTCAACGCCGAGGTGTGGAAGCTATCAGGGACGAAACAAGATCAGGTCCTCGTGAGTGAGACTGCTCACCGCCTTAGGCAAGTGCTTTGGCTGATCTGCCAGATCTATGTTGCTGTTGCAGTAGCCGCCCAAGGCATGATCTTGTGTGTCGTCCTCGTCACGACTGGACGGTACATCTCCCATTTCCGCAACACAGACTCGCAACTCACTAGGGGTGGGGTCATCTTGGGCTCGGCTCTGGCTTGGTACGTTTGATCTCACACCAGATATATGGACAGCGCGACTGACGACCTCAGTGGAGCCTTCGGGATGCAGTGCTTCCAGGTAAGATTGCGCGTGGTGTCTGTCCATCTGGTCATTCGCTGACACTTCCAGCTACAGCTCTATGTCGTCCACGCAACGAGCGATATCCCCAGTGTGTTGCGTACGGACGCTCTGTGCAATACGGCCTACAGGCTGCTGGGCGGTATCTTCTCGCTGGTCGCGATGACGTTCTACTCGAATCGGATCTGGAGGGTGAGTCTCAGGCGGTATTCAAGTCCGGTCGGAGCTGATGTGCTCAGCTTTCTGGGAGGAGATGGACCGTCATTGTCCCTCTGGCCGTGCTGATCTTCTCCGCCTTTGCCTTGATGCTAGCGTATGTCCTGAAGAGGAAAGGGAGCTGATCAGCAGGACGGTCGTTATTGGCTTCACCTTCCCCATCCTCACGCACGAGTCACTACCATCGATGCGATCATTCTTCGAGCGACAAACGGCAGTGGTCCGAGCGCATGGAGCGGTCACTTTCGCTAGCGACGCCATCATCAGTGGTTCCCGTAGGTTTCATCTGGAGTCAATGATAAGGCCTCGCTTACTGCGTAGTGGTCTACCTCCTGCTTCGTACAAGGAACTCCATCTTCGGGGCAGAAGGTGACAGAGGGATTGTCTCTCGCATTCTGATAATCATGGGCGAAGCTATGTGAGCTGTCGATCTGCTTCTCGACCATTGAGCTAGCGGTAGAGGCCGACGCTGATGGCAGGGTACCGCCTACTATCGCAATCGCAGTCTTGACGATCGGGACCAGCCGTGTTGGTGGAGGAGCAATCAGTGAGCTACCTTTCCCTGTCGGCTGTCCGCACTCCATAATGCGGTGATCTCGGGCTGCAGCGAGCTGACATCTCAGTCGATTGGAAACGTATCCTCTTCGCCACCCTCCCTCTCCTATACTACCAATCTCTCCTCTACTCCCTTGTCGCTCGCAGGAAGGTTCGGCGGCTGCTCGACGAACGAGGCGTCGCCGCGCAATACCGTCTCGAGAGCAGCCACACGACGAAGCAGCACAAGGCGGCAGTGGGAGGTAGTTCGTCTGGCAGAGACGGCGCACGAGTGACCGATAGTGCAGGACGTGAAGCGTCAGGGTCAGCGGATCAGCGTACGCAGACCTCTGGGACGTATACTGAGCTTGGGCGGAGGGACATAAGGCAGTCAAGGGGGACAGGCTCGAGTGGTGATCTATATGTAAGTTCCCGAGCTGAATGATGGGGGACTGGGTTGGCTGATTCGGCAGTTGCGGTCCCCTATCAGTGACTTCCCATCTTCAGCTGAGCCCGGCGATTTCTCACTCGACCACCTGTCACCTGTCTCAGAACCTCGCTCCGCCGCCTCCAGCTGTGGTGCCAATGCCTCGCACTCATTCCAGGAGACATACTTCCCTCCCCGGCATTCGCTGGTATGTCGCCCTGCTCTGACTCGTACTAGGCTCCGCTGATATACCAGTCGTACAGTCAACCGGTTTCTCGCACCCAGTCAACAGGCCAAGAGTCGCAGATTGAGCCGCAGGAGAGCCTTGTACATCCTACTCGATCGATGCCATGATGGTCTGCCAAGAATGAGGGGAAGATTCCTGTATAGAGGATGGCGGACTGAGGGGAGAAGCATCTGTTGTAACTAGTGTCATGGTGCATGGATCTATTGCTATGTCACATACATGATTGGGTACAAGTCTAGCTACACAAGTCTAGCTACAAGCTCTAGTGCTTTGTCTACTATACATCCGCTACTACATAGGAGGAGCTGAAACTGCCCTTCGCCCTCTCCGTTCCCCCATGCTGCGCCTCAAATTCCCATACGACCGCTTCAACATGATATCCCTGACCTTCTCCAGGCTATCCTCCTGTACCGTATCAAGGTCCAGGTCGAGCGCGTTGGCAGCGGACGGCTTGATGTCGGGAGAGTCGTAAGCGGGAGGCGCGATAGATGAGAGGCGTGTGGGGGGAGTCCGAGGGGTGTGCTTTGCTCTGCTGTGGCTGTCAGCTTGCTCCTTCTCAAACGGAAACAAGGGAGATTCGAAGCTCACCTTGCATTCTCGACGTCGTCATCGCCAGTCTCCACCATCTCGTTCGCCAGCTTCCAGAGTCGCTTGACCTGTCCGGCGACAAGACTCGAGGTGCATAGCCAGGCCATGACGAGAACCGAGGCGATCAATGACACCTATGCCGCGTCAGCTCTATGTGGAACGGACATCAGTCCTGCTGACTGAGCTTACTGCGGTAGAAAGGATCCAGTACAGTACCCCGCACGTCCAGGCGAGCGAAATGTCGGCGGTGTACGCCAGAGCCTTCAAGCTGTCGGACGAGATCAGGCCTGACATCTTCGGTGAGGCAAGAAGTGCCGGGGCTACCGGGTCAGCTTGTCATACCCTGAGCAGCAGTCGGGCTCGGAAGCTCACAGGAGAAGAGGGAGAAGCCGGGCAGTGGTCGCCACCACGGGCTTGCCTTTCCCGCCTGGCTCCTCCACTTCTGTACATCCGAGAGCGTGCTGTTGATCTCGGACAAGGCAGAGGCGAGATTCTGAGATATGGTTTCGGAGAGCGCACCGGTATCATGCATGGAGCGAGCCAGATTGGCATGTGTGTCCTACACATCAGCACATCCAAAAATCGAAGAAATTGAGAGCATACCTGGATAGCCATCGCCTGTTGTGCGGAAGCATGCAAGACCGGGCGAAGATCATGAGCATCGTCAGAGAGCCCAGCGAGATTCTGGGGGTCAGCTTCGGCCAAGCAGGCTGACAGCTGTCGACGACACTCACCATCTGAGCTAGTGACATCGTATCGCCCCATTGTTCCAGCGCAAGCTGATTGTCTCTCTGATGAGTCAGCTATACTCAATACGGGATCTGGGAGGACTCACCATACGGCTCGCTATCTCCATCATCGCTACTTCCATCCCGCCCTTCGCTGACGCCAGAGACAACCCGAGTTCCTCCTCTACACGGTGGGTCCGGAGAGCCATCGCGGATCCATACTGCTTTATCAGCTCTCGGTATTCATCCCCGGTGAGCTGAACGGTATCACTTACTCGTCCCGTGATGAGCTCCAGATCCACAGCAAGCTGTCATGTAAGCTACGGCGTGCAGCCCTCGATCTGGCAACCGGGAAGCTCACCTGCTGTGCGAGTAATCCCCTAGCTTCCTCCATCCCCGCCGCCATCTGCCCAACTGCCAAATCCGCATTCCGCATAGCTTTCTCCCTGACCTCCTGCCAGATCCCCGTCCCGCTCATTACAAATTCACCAAGCGCCGAACGGACCTCGCTAACTGCGGCGCTGGCATCGTCAGAGCCTCGCTGGATCTTCTCAACGAGCTCGTTGATGTATGTGGCGGTCTCTTCGGCTTTCTACGACTATCAGCTTTGTGTGGGGAAAGAAAAGAAGAACAAAACTCACTATGAGCTGGTAAGCTATCGTCTCGGCGTGTTCGGCGCTTCGGTCGTCGAGACCAGCCGCTGCTGCCTTGATGATCGCCAGGAGCTCAAGCTGGCGTTGAGTAGCGTTCTGGTATAGCTCATGCGTAATTGCTAAAGTGTGAGCTAGGTTGACAACAGATGTTATCGCAGCGGAAGCTCACTCTCTGCGTGATGACTCTTGAGGGCATGACAGAGCTGCACTGCAGGCATCAGCTGGACCCGACCAACAGTCACCGCGGAACGCAGCTTACGCGCATCGCTCAGGTAGTTGTTGTATGCTGTCCAATCTTGAGGGCTCCGATGTAACGCGCTGTACCGTCAGTCAGTCTCCGAGATGATAACAGACCTGGGCACAGGCAGTGCTTACCTCAGACACATAGCTCGCGATACCTTGGGATCAGCAGCCGCCGGCCCACTACTCCGAAGCCACCTCAGTCCCCCTTCCTTCGCTTTCGGTGCGCCGGTACCGTCGGTCCATGAGGCGCATTCGGATGGGATAGGTTGTAGCGCGGAGGACATGGAGCAGATCGTAAGGGATATCGCCACTGGAAGTGTGAGCTAAGCGGCCAATCATCCAGGCTTCTAAGCTCACCATCGCTCCTCTCTCCCTCGTTCATCGCAGCCGCCCGAGATCCCTCGAACCCGCACTTGTCCTTCATCCTCGCCGCAACGCCAGAGTGACAGTCCGTATGTTGCAGCTGAGGGAAGGTATCTGGTATATTAGCTTCGTCTGCTCAACATCCTGCCCATCCGACATACCGAGCTCGGCTGATCCTCCTTCTCCAGCTCTCCTGGCCAGCCGGTGACCAGCACCTGGGTTGCGGCCGCCTCTATCCGAGTATGCAAAGCTCTCGGTCTCGCCGTCATCTTGAGGAAGGTCATTCTGTGCGCTGCGCTGCCCGGCGAAGACGTATGGAAGTATCGGAGGAAGAAGAAGGAAGTACGAGCGCATCGCGGCGAAATCTTGAAAAAGTCGGTCGTTCTTGATGGTCGGGATCCTTCGGGAGTGAGAGGGGTATAAGTGGAGAAGTGAGCGTCGGGAGATGGTGACGATGTATCTCTATGCAGGGTATAGCATGGTCTGGCCGGAAGTGGGTGGAAGGATGAAGGAGAGAAGAAGAAAGTGAGCTTTGAGCGACAAAGGAGGCGCCAAAGGCAGGCACGTCGTCCGGTCATCCCGAGATATCTCCGCACAAAGGAATGAGGTGTTGATGTTTCGTCGCGCATTCGTTTTGCATTTGAAAAATTGAACCGCATTTGAAGGGCATTCGTTTGCCTAGTCGGGAATTGACGGCATTACAGCTCGCAAGATATGGAAGACAGATAATAGTCCTGCAGATATGGCTACAACGGATAGTACAAGATCATTCCACACCTTTCGGCCAGTCCTTCTTCTTCAGCCACTCCCCGTTCGGCCCAAATCTCGGATTCGAGGGGAAATGCATCCCGTCTCCCAAGGGACGGCCTAGCGGGACTGTCTCGTCAGCCATGCCTTCCACTCAGAAGGAGTCAACTCACAGATCCACCCGTACCACTTCTCCCCCATCTCGCGATTCCACATGTCCATCCTGCTCCCTGCTTGCCACCGCTCATCCACTGCTGTTCCCCCAAAGTCCTCTTTCCACTTCTTACGGACCAGACTCTTTGCTTTCCGATGTGACCAGAAACCAAAGACGACGTTGAGGTGTCGAGTCTCGCTCTCTTGTTGGTCTCGGCCAGAGAAGGACTCGACGGTAGATTTGCCAGTGAGGATGAGGTAGGCGTGTTGGAGGAGCATCATGAAGCAGAAGATGCCAAAGAGGCCGCTCCTGATTGTCAGCAGAATTCACACAGGGGAAAAGGAGTCAGACTGACAGTGCGACGACTCCGATGACTTGGCCATCTACTTCCGCTTGGGTCAGGTAGACAACAAGAAGGATGAGGTGGTAGAACCAGTAGATGATCGCCCAAAAATTGAAGGTCATAAAGAACTGATTGTCAGCATGGAATCCGAACCGGGGAGCAACAGACCAACCTTGTGATTCGCCCATCCGACACATTGGCCTATCCAGGGACAATGATCTCATCCGATCAGCTGAAGTCTCGGTTCGGAAGACATCTTCATAGCTTACGGTCAAATTGCAAAATGCACGTCCCGCAATGCCGACAATGATGCGTCCTGTCCGGCTTGTTGATCTGACAGAACCTACACCATCTCGGCCCACGATGCAGATACGGCAGTGGCCGTTCCACAGTCTGCCATTCCGGGATCTTCCTCTTCGCACCCACCGCAACGACCGGCTGGGGCGTTTGCGAGGTCAGCGTGCCGGAGGACGAGTGGTGGTCGGGCGGATCTTGGCGGGACAGGACGGTATGTAGGGCGTTGATGGCAGGTGCGAACTCGGAGACTTCGCGTGCTGCGCCACCCTCTTCCTCGTCTGAAGTACGGCGTTGAGCTGTCTCCCCATCGTACGTTGATGGTAGACCCGGCTGAGGTGCTATCCCGTTTAGAAGCATATTCGATTGGTGGTCACCCGCAGGAAGGGGCTGAAGGGGTTGCTGAGGGAAAGGAGTATGGTTCTCGTTCGGAGCGGCGGTCTGCTCGACACGCTGAAAATCAGCTTGAGATCTGACCTGCTGTGATCCGATGTACGACTTACATCGATAGCTCTTCCTGGACCAGTGGTGATGATCCTGATATAGCTCCATGCCAGGAAGAGGAAGATGACAACATATCCGGCAAGCACACCAGCTATCATATTAGCCTAGAGACAGGCAATTCCATAAGGAAGGTCAGCTCACCTGCTGTTGCCACCGAGAAACGTGAAGTCGATGTCCCACGGAAGACCGGGATGCACACTCGGCCGACGACGACGTAGAAGCACCATCCTGCTATGGCAAAGAGTAGCCTACGATGTCAGCTACGGATCCTTACCGAGCCGCCAGGATCAACTAGCTTACCCTACGGCAAACTTCCTGTTCAACCAGGGGTCCGGTCTCGAGGGAGAGTACGCCTCTTTGAAGTATTGTACGATACCTGGCTTCCTGCCGCGCTTTCTAGTGCCCTCTCTAGAATTGCGGTGGTTCAGCGGAGCTGCTGAAGCTCCATCATGTACAGAGCGGTCTGTCATCTGGACTTGCTCGCCATAGCTGCTTCGTCAAAGATCGATTATGGATGGAGGTGTCAACACAGCTTGAAGCTCGGTCAGTCAATGACGCAATTATTGTTTAGGATAAAATCGAATAAACTCGCTTCGGCACACAGCGAGGAATGAGGCGAGCCTGACTTGCAAAGCTCCATCCTTGCATTGTACTTTACTCTTGTTATCCCATCATACAAAATGGCTTCAAGACTATACATGGGCCGTCTGCCCCCAGGTGAGAGCAGGTCCAGCTAGAGGCAAGACCCAGAAGCTGACCAAATTCTAGGCGTTGCCAGGGAAGATATCGAAGACGTAAATTGTTTTGTCCTGGAGCTGCGTTCGATCGGCCCGTACTGACAGCGATCAGCACTTCAAGGGCTTCAAGCTCAACGACGTCCGTCTCATGGGAACCTTTGCCTTCCTCGAGTTCGGCAGCTCTCGCGTGCGTCCCAACTACCCGTCACAGGGTACTCTTAGCTGACGAGGCAGGACGCCGATGATGCTGTCCGTGATTTTGCCGGCCGATCGTTCAAGGGCGAGGAGTGAGTAGTGCCTGCACTCTGCTGTCAATTCTTGGCCTGACTCGACAGCATCATCCTTGAGCACCCTCGCGAGACCCGCCGGAGGGACATTTACGATGGGTAAGCGCGCCACTTGAGCCTTTTTTTCGGCTCGCCGCTGATCGATACAGTCGTGGCCCTCCCGGAGGCGACCGCGGCTTTGCTCCACGCCCCGAACGTCGCCGTGGTGTTCGTGTAAACGTCATTGGTATCCCCCAAGCGACCAGCTGGCAGGTGCGATAAACTCCCTTTGGTTCATTCCTCTCACCGGTCTCGGCTTTCCCAGCATCCCAGCATAACAAAGGAGGTCGCACAAAGGAGCGCGCGCAGTTGGGCGGCAGTCTCGAGCGTCCCTGAACAGGTCACAGGCGTCTCCCATCCCCCTCTCTGGTTGCGGTGGTCCTTCTGGCGGCGGCGACTCATATTCCTCCCTTTGATCAGGCCCAATCCGGCATCAGGACGATAGCTTAACTCGGCCTTTGGCACTTTAGGACCTTAAGGATTACGGACGTATTGGCAACAACAATGTCGTCTTTGCCGATGTTGACCGAAACAACCCAGGTCAAGGGTAGGTTTTTCGCGTGTTTTGCACCAGCATATTTGTGCTGATTGATAGCATCATCGAGTTCGGGAGCTTGACCGAGGCCGAGGAGGCTCTTACGCGTCTCGCCGGTGTTGACATCAACAACACCCCCGTCAAGCTCGAGATCGTCCCCGACGTAAGCTTTCGGCTGTGGTTGTGACTAGGAGCCAGAGCTGACGAGGCAGGACGGAAGCGTACCTGTCTACCGCGCCGGCCCGCTCGGAAGGGAGAGGGACGACCGGCCTCGCTACGACGACCGCGGACCGCCCAGGGACTATGGTCGCCCCAGGTACGATGACCGCCGCGACGACCGTGGCCGTCAAGATGACCGCTACGTCCCTCGCGACCGCGGAGACCGCGGAGACCGCGATGACCGTCGTGACCGTGACCGTGACGACCGCGGAGGCCGTGGCGATCGCGGTGACCGAGGGGACCGTGGTGGACGGGAGCGTGGAGACAACCGTGGCGATGACCAGGGTGACCGCGAGCGTGACAGGGAGAGGGAGGCCCGTCGTGAGAAGGATTACGGAGGAAGGGAGCGCTCCCCCGTCCGCAGGGGCGAGGACGACCGTTACGTCGACTCCAAGTCGTAAGTGTCACGTGGAAAAGCGGGGAGAGGGCGGTGCGGCTCAGACGGCAGATATCGATAGGTCCGAAAAGTCTTCCGTTCTTGTCTTGCTTCGTCTCCCACCAAAACCGTATCTTAGCCCGAGATGAATCACGTTCCTGTCTGTAATACTATGGCTCGCCGTCCTTGATAGTCTTTAATGTCCCTATGTAGACGCCATCAATGCATCATGGGGCCTGGGCAGCGCAACCAGCAGCTGATATAACGTTACGTTACCGTGACGTTCCTGAACCCAAATCAAAACAAATACCTCGGGAGCTCTTGGAATTCCTGCTTGACTCTTATCACCCACCTTCTCCGCCCTTACGCGCCAGAAGTGTAGCCCGCCGGGGAAGACGCTCGCCCAATATGCCGGCCGTCGACCCCTTCTCGGCCTCCTCGCGCCCTATGAACCTCTTCGACTCGGCCCCGTCCGACCCCCTTCTCTTCGCGTCGACCCTCCAGACGCTCGACCCCAACATTCCCTCCCTGACCGCCTCGACGTCCTCCCTCGGTCTCGGTCGACCTTCGTCCAAAGCGCGTCAGTATCGCGAGCCTCTGCCCACGGCGTTTCCTGCTCCAATATGGACGCGACACGAGCGGTCGAGCTCGGTCAGCTCAGAGGCTGTTTTGCATGGGAGCGATGAATGGATGGATGGGCAATTGCGGAAATGTATAGATAAGGCGGAGCCTGAGCTCAACTTGAGGTGAGCTCACGCATACCTTGGCATATTGAGACTCAAGGGAACATGAACTGACGTCCTCAGCAAACAAGGCCTAACCAGTCTCTCCACCAAAATAGCCGACCTCCAAAACCTCGTCACATTCCCCGCGCCGCGCCCTTCCGCCCTCACATCCTCCCCTCGCATCCTATCTTCCACCTCTCCCGCGCCCTCCCTCCTGCCCCCCCACCCATCGCAATCTCCAGGTAGAGACCACTTCTCCGCCGACGCGAAGCCATTCATACGTACCGTATCCGCCGACTCTCGTCCGTTCGCCCGGACCATCTCTGCCCCTGCCGCATCTAGCGGGTTCTTCAAGAACGCGTCTTCCTCCTCTTCTACACTCGGCGCGCCGCGGGCGAGCTTCGCGCGCGTTCCTAGTGGACTAAGCGGGAATCCCGCCTTGCTTGACTCGCCGACTATTACGGAGACGTCGGAGGATGCGGACAGGGAAGAGAGGGATAGGGATGTCATGTCGCCAATACCGAGCGCGTCTCCGGTCGTGACTGCGTTCTCGCCTCGGCAGAGATTGGCGGGGTCGCCGAGGACGTTTGGGAGGAGTCATACGCGCGCCGTCCTGCCTACAACGCCGGTGAATGCGGTGGAGAGCTCAAAAGGGCCGGTCATTTGGCTGCAGCAGAACCAGCTCTCCACGTATGCCTCGCTCCGTTGGATCAGGACGAGCATCAGCTGATCTCCCCAGTCTTCCCAGTGCCCTCTTTGAAATATCAAATCTAACGGTCCTGGGCTTGGGTACGTCACCTGTCTTGTCCTTTTGACATGGCAGACATATCAGCTGACTAGTCAGCCCATAATCAGCTCACGGTTCTGCCTCCAGCTATCGGAGCTTTACTATGTCTAAAGGAGCTAAATATCGGAAGTAACAAGATTGTATGTTGCTTCCTGTCTCTCTCGGATTGGACCTGTTGAAGGTGCTTGAACCCTGCTGACAGCCGCAGAAATATCTCCCTAGCACGATCCTATCCTTAACCAAGCTCGAAAATCTCATCCTCAATCCCAACCCCTTCCTTCCACCTCCGCCTAACCCAGACGGCACGTCGGTCGGCGGCGGCGCCCTCGGCCCTCTCGTCCGCCATGTCCATTCCCGCGTCCCCACCCTCGTTTCCATCTGCACCAACGTCCTCATCTCTCCTCGACAACCCAGCGGCCTTCCCCCTCTCCTCGAACATGACAAGTACGAAGCTGCGCCTGGCTGTCCCCACCCCTTACTCGACGCAGCTACCATGACCTCGCACGTCCCTGCTCTCAAGGAAGAAGAGATTGCCCGCGTCCTCCAGTCCGCACGGAGCATCTCTACCCATCTCGACGCTCAAACCCGGACAGGTCGGGGCTCGACATCTCTCGGATCAAGCCAATCGCGCGCCGGCGCGGCGGAACGGTTTCCTGATCTCAATCGCGCGTCCAAACCGGACGACGCGGCCAAGAATCCATACTTCAACCCGTGTCCCTCTCCGCGGCATCTTATACGGGACGAAGAGGCCGAGTATGAGCCGATTGAACGGCGGTTGTTTATACATGCGGCGGAGGAACGGTTTGAGTGGAGAGAGGTGCATAGGTGGCCGGGGATCCCGATCAAGTGGGAGGGGTGTAGTCCGGGGTGTCTGGCGTTCTTGGAGCAGGACGAGGAGGAGGAGTGGACCTTGGAGGAAGAGGATGAGGAGGCGGAAGGGACGGAGTAGGTGGATTGATTTAGAGGAAGGAGGGTTGTACTTGTACCTTTTGGAGCATGCACGGCTGCGCGTTGTCCTGCACTTGTGATGGATGCGCGCGTCTGGCTCGTACCCGCTTCCCCACCCATGCCTCTGATGTTGTCGGCCGAGCTGCCTCGGATGGGGTCGGCCGGTCGGATCTAGCCGATTATCCGAAGATACTCCGTGACCTGCACCTCGCACGAGTCTCTGGGCAAAATCGTCTCGACCTCTTATCTGGCCGCTATTTCTCACCTGTACATGACTGTATAGTATCTGTGAACATTATGAGCTCGGCAGGGGAGTTGATATATAAGGGTACGTGCTGGTAATATCCCAATAAGTCGTAAATATGGGACACCGCTGACAGTCAGCCTTCGTGCCGACCTTAAAACTGTTAATAGGAATAACCCTCGGGTTCACCATAACCAAAGCTGGGATGTTCACTCCGCAGATGGCCAAGGGCGTCAGCGTCTTGTCTATGGTAAAATCCTATCCCGAGATATCCGGTCGCAGTTCAGTGTAACTGACACGGGCAGAATATCTCGCTCCCCGCCCTCATCTTTGCGTCGATGGTGCCTTCGTTCACGTCGACCAATATATCCGCGTTTGGAGGACTGGCACTAGCGGCGTTACTGTATCAGGCGATTGGGGCTGTACTGGCTATGATCGTCAAGGAGCTGTTCTACGTGCCCATTGACTTTCAGTGGGGGATTATCGTGGTATGTCCGTTTCTGACTGACGAGGGATAGGAGCTGATGATGCCAGATGGGCGTCATATCTAACTGGAGTGAGTTGAGAGGAGGAGTGCAGGGGACAGGTAGCTGATTGGCAGTGAATGTACCGGTGGCTGTGATTCAGACTGTAGGCAACCAGGCACCTTTCAAGCAGGGCGACGTTGAAGTCGGGACTGCCTATATTGGGTGAGCTGTCCCGAGACGTTTGAATTAGGCGGGAGCTAACTCTCTCAGGGTATTCAGTCTCGTCTTTGTAGTCGTGCTCTTCCCCTGTGGACTGCACAAGGTAAGCTGAATAGGAGCTTTCCTCTGCAGAAGGCCTGAAGCTGATCTCTAGCTCTGCGCTCTGGATTTCAAGCCGGAACAGCTCGCTCGGACTCCACCTCCTTCGCCTCGGGAAAGATGGCGCATCCGCATCGCCGCTTTCAAGCGCTTGATACATCGGGACCGTCATTCCAGCCCCCAGGCAGAGTACGATCAAGAGCTCCCAGAGGTCTCTCACTCCGCTTCGGGATCGGAGCGGTACTCGAAGGACGAAAACGAGCGGGGCGATGAACCCGCCGACCTTCGACCGGGTAAAACTCTTTATTTGGGCGGCGAGAAGCCCACCCGCCAAGCGTCACACACTCCTTCATTTACCAGCATGATGGAAACCACTCGCTCTATCCCGCCTACGGCTCCCCTCGAAGCCGTCGACGTAGGAAATACCGTCGTCGTCCCCGCACCGAACTCGGATCCCCTTCTTCCTGTCTCGACCACCAACGGGAAAGCGTACTCGTACCACAAGCCCGCATCCCCTCGGACGTCCATTAAGCGCATCACACCGCTCAAACGACTAGTCATGATCCTCAAGAGCTTCCTCATGCCTATCTCATTCGCTGTGATTGTGTCAATACCATGTGCGCTTATACCGCCCCTCAGGGCACTATTTACGCATACGGATGGGTGGACAGGCACGAGGATGCCGAATGCGCCAGATGGGAAGCCGCCCTTGAGCTTTATACTCGAGGCGGCGGCGTTTGTTGGGGCGATATGTATCCCAGCGGGTCTGATACTGCTCGGAGCGAGCTTTGCGCGTTTGAAGGTGAGCACGGGTCTTTGGGGAACCGTATGGTAGCTGATCAGAACAGGGTGTGTGGAGTATGAAGGGCCAACCTGTCGGCGCGATGGTGGTGAGTAGAATTGGAGACTGACCTTCATAGAATACGTCAGCTGACAAGATAGGCTATGGCTGTGTGCAAGAGTGAGCGTTGCGGATAGCATTTAGTCTGGACCCTAAGCTGACGCCAGCAGTGATCATCGTCCCGGTTATTGGGACCTTTTTCATCAAGAATCAGACTGGTATCTACCCAACCGCAGACCGAAGTGAGTTCAGCTAGATGATTACCCCTAGAAGTGGGAATCGAACTGATGTGACAGTGCGGACGTTTGTCTGTATCCTGTTGTCTGGGACACCTGCAGCTGTGAATCAGCTCGTTTTGACCCAACTGTATAATCCAGAGGGGAGCGCACATACGCTTGCCCGATTCTTGTTGTTACAATGTGAGTCCGCTTCGCCAGTCGAAGACGTCTGCTGATTTTGACAGATATTCTGATGCCTGTATTATGCACGTGAGTCTGCTGTTCCACCAGACCTTCGAATTGAGCTGAGTCCACAGCTGCCTCGCCGGTGTCGCTTTGTATATCTGTCAAAGATGAGGGAGATCAACGATGCATCTCTTGGATATCTCTACAAGTTTTCTCCCTCGCCTCCACCCGCGCATCTAGCCTAATACCCTCTACCACCCGCCATGCTCATCCACTGTCTCTACCGCCCGCCTCGGCCCGAAAACGTCACGCGAAGTCATCGATACCTTGGACATGGGCGTATCCGTGATGCGGCTGGCGCTGTCGGCGAGACTGGACTGTGTGTACCGGCTGCCATATGCCGAGGTGAGAAAGCGGTCTTGATTCCGAGTGTATCGCGACGGGGCAGTGTTGGGGCTCATCGGAGTCGTGATGCCCAGGCCGTCGGTAGGGATGTCGCCCATCGACATCGGCGTCTCGGTCGGACCAGTAGTACGGCCCGACCCCGCTGCCGCCTCCATTGCCGCTGCCGCCCTTGTACCCCAGCTGAGCCGACGCGTAGTTTGTCCCCTCCCTCGCCCGCTCCATCGCCTCCCCCCTCGCCTCTCGCACCTCGTGTCTCCCCGGCCTCTGCCTTTCCTCCTCGTCCGCCTCCTCTTTGAAAGGCGACGTCGAGCGACTGGGCGGATCCTGCTCAATCTCGAACATACCATACACTTTGGTCCCTTGCTCGCCTAGCGGGCCCCAGCTCGCATTCACACTCCCGAGCTGATCCTTCTTGGACCGGCCGCCCAGCGCGGGCGGGAGAAGCCGCTCCCGCGCCTCGATCTCCTGGAAGCGGCGTCCGGGGCGGAAGACGGGCTGGTTCCACCCCCGAGGGATCGGATCGCGGTATCGCCACGCGTCGGGGTTCGGGTCGTTTAGCGTCTCGTTGGGCGGAGCGGCGAACCACTCCTCCTCGAATGCAGGCTTGGCCGTGCGGGCGGCTGTGGTGGTCTGCGTACGGATGGACCCGGTCCATTCGGGAGGTCCGGGCGTGATGGGTGGTCGAGCCGAAGTTGTTGTGCGCAGGTCGATCGAGATGCTCCGAGGAGGGACAGGAGGGGCCATGGTGGTACGGAACCCCCATTGATTGCGGGTCATGGCGAGACTGGCAGCCCGGCTGTTGGCTTCCGCTTGCTTGTCAAAGTCTGACTCGGAGAGATCGGTCAGAATCTTATGAGTGGGCTTCCGGTCCCTCTCTGGTGCGCGAGGAGAGGAGGAGTTGAGCTGGATGGAGCGGACGGCGCTGTGGAGAGCGTCGTCTTCGTCCTCGGTCGCAGCGTAGGAAGAGGGGGAGACCGGGGGACTGGGAGCTTCCCATCGAGGAGCAGGGCGGAGAGCGGACATCTTGTAAAGGAGGGGATCAAGTTTGTTGAGACGCGTGGTTGTGTGCTTGGAGTGAGGGGTATGTAGACAGTGATATGTTTCCCGAATAGTCGCCGAATGAACTGATCTTGAGGTTGAAGAAGGAAGGTCGGAGAAAGAAAGCTCTAGCGCGCCTTATGTGGACGGTCAGGTAGCACCTGTCAGCACGTAAGAAGCATCGTCTCCGTCCGTGCGCTCAACAAACAGCGTCCGCCCTTACCCGCCGCTCGGACATTTACACAGCGTACATATCCCTTAATCCAGCTTCCTGCCCCACCTTCTCGGCTGCTGCTCGGTCGGCACCTTCCTCATGGGACTAGCCTCTCCCAGTCCCTCCTCCGCTCGGACCCTCCGGCCCGCCCCCACTCCCTCGCCCTTGTTCCAGTACATCACCATCTGTGCGGCAATCACAGCGTTGAGTACCGCGGCGCCTGCGAATCCCCAGAAGATGAGCGGGTCGTTGACTTCTTGCTTGGTCGTGAATAGGCGGGCGAGGCAGCCGAGCAGGGCGTTGAAGACTGCGAAGGCGGAGAGATTCCCGGTCGATCCGTTACTGTAGTTCGAGAGGATCTGCGGAACCTTAGATGAGAGCGATAAAGGGAGAGTGACGGCCTGCAAAAAAGCCACTGCTTGTCAGCGAAGCCGGTGGAGGGACTTACGTGCACGTGGAGGGCATAATGATGAAGACGAGAGAAAGAAGCCGGAAGTGATAGCCACGACGAGACCAGCGACGACTTTGCCGGTACTGGACCGGTTCTGGCCGGACGTGAGGGGCTTGCGGGTATCGGCGCGGACGGACGAAGTGGAGAAGTGCAGAATGAGCAGGGTGATGGCTACATTTTGCAAGGTGAGGAAGAAGTTCTCGCCGTATGTCGAAAAGGGGAAGTGGTTTCGGGAGGCATAGGCGAGGGAGATGGCGTATGAGGCTGTTTCGAGGATCTGATTATAAGCTCTGGCTGGTCGGGTTGGGCGGAACACTCACGTATGCGGAGAGGGAAAGTCCACGGGCAGACTTTGTTGATATGATCTTCATGATCTGATTGTCAGCTTCTGACTAAACGGTGATCTCGATAAGCGTACCTGAGGGATCTTGACGATACCTCCGCCCAGCACAATACCCAGTCCGAGCCCCTTGGACAAGGCGTACTTCAGACAGTCGACATCGCTGAGATCAAAGTCGTACACCAAGGAAGTGTAGCATTTCGGCCCGATCAGCGCTTCGGCGGGCTGTCTGATGAATCCAGGGATATGGTGCGTGACCGCCGTAACCTGGGGGTGAGCTGATGGTCGAAGGGAAACAGAAGGAGCTGCCGGGCAGCGAGACTGCTGGCCGACGTACAGCGGAGTGGAGGGCCATGATTATTCCTGATACTGGAAGCTCTGTGTCTGCTGTGATGGGCGGCAGCTTGTATCTCCGGGAAGGTATAGGAAGCAGGTGGTCAATGGCCGAGGTATGGTAATGTATGGTGGTCGCGGTGGACACCGCTACACAGCCACGACCGAGGTATGCCGTAACTGCCCTTTGCTCCCGCTCTGCATTGAAATTCGTTGTTCGCGGATCGTATCTATTGCCCACTACCGCCTCTACTCTACCCCTACCAGCACCTACTCATACACCCCTATCCACCCCTATCCACCCCTTCCACACCACCTACCCACACCATGGTCCAAGTCGAAGAAGTCCCCGAAGAGACTCTCTTCGCCGGCGGGCGCGAGGGCGAGACGTTCGAGTCTGACTCTGCCGACGACTTTGACTCTGACGGCGAGTCAGAGTTCGACGACTACATTGCGGAAGAGACGGTGTACGACCGGATCGTCGCCCTCAAAGATATCGTTCCTCCCCAGACCCGGTCGCGGCTGATCGTGACCTACAACAAGAGCCGGAGCTGGGTGCAGTGGGGGATCGGACAGGCGGGGAATATCGCCTGGATCGTCAGTACCAGTGCGCTGCTGGTGGGGCTGCCGCTGGCGCTGGCGATTGAGGATGAGACGAGGATTACACAGCAAGAGAGGGAGATGCAGATGCAGAGTCAGGGACAGCAGCAGGTGGGTCATATAGCACTGAAAGGGTTGGGGAGTGGTAAGCTGATGGGCTTAGTTGCTTGGTGGCGCACCAGCACCGCAGGGCCAGGGTGTCCTTCCCCCGGGATTTTAAGCGAGGGCGGGAAGGATCCAGACGGGACAGGCGATAAGGTGGGAGCCGGAGTGGGAAGTTGGCGTGCCGAGATGGCCGATTGGGATTGTAGTGAGGGAAGGGTCGGGAAGGATAGGGAGGAGGCAACCGCGAGGACAGCAAGGGCGAAGGGGACCCAGCGTAGACCTGTATCATATGAAACCCCTGCTCGCCTACCAAACCACCCGCAGGAAGGCTGTCCACCTTCTCCAATAAGGTTACGACCCCTAGCGAAATACAACAAGATCTCATGCTAAACCAGCTACATGATCCTCCGCCCCCTTCAGCCCGCCCTTCCTCAGCCCCGCCACCCACAATTGCACCTTGACCCATCTCGCCCTCATATCCATATACTTCTCCGCCGCACCCAGCGCGGACGACCAATACAGATGTGAAAAGAACGACCGGATCACTATCCCCGTTGCGCGCAACGAGAAGCCGTCTGTATGTATCGACCGCCGATAGTCGAGGTAGTCGGCTTGCCAGACCGCATCGGCGCAGTAGCGGGCTACAATGACGAAGATACGGGTCTAGGGTCAGCTGGGAAGGAAGCAAAAGACGTACAGGACCGTGTGTCGTGGCAAGACTGTAGTCTAGTGATCTTTGCAGATCTGATAATTTGAGGATCATAAGGAGACGCCTGGCGTCAGCAAATGCCAAATGGGAGACTTACTTTGGTACACGCCGTAACAGCTCAAAGATCTCCGCTATGAGTCCCTCACGCTCCATCATAGCATTCCGGAGCTTGGCGACCTCGGTAGCGTCCATCTTTTTATTGTCGAGCAGAGAAGCGGGACGCGAGGTCCCGTCCCCTTCACCGAGGTTCATACGACCGGTAATGGCAGATTCGAGGACTGGATACTGGGATCAGCTCTGTCAGGGGTAGAAACTCACCATATCATCATCGATGTTCCCCACTAGCTTTGCGTACTTGCGCCGTTCGTCATCGGTGGACTTTGAGCTTGGTTTGAGTAGCGACAGCCAGAACCGAGCATAGTTGACTCGCAGGTCATCCGGGATGTCAAAGTACTGGCCGTGGTCGAGAAGGCAGACGTCAAAGTTGAAGGGGGAGGTAGAAGAGGGTGCGCGCGTCCGAATAAGAAGGTTTCCGTGGTGTGGATCGGCGTGGAAGTGACCGTTCAGATAGACCATCTGGCTGAATATCCGCGACAGCTCCTGGCTGACTTGATTCCTGTCAATCTTGTGTTCTTTCAAATACGCCAGGTTGTCGACCCGCGCCCCCACGATATACTCCATGACCATGCACCGCCTCTCCGCCCAGAGTACCTCGGGGAGGTACAAACTGGTCTTCCCCCTCAGATGCGCGAATTCCGCCTTACACCTAGCGGAATTGTGCGCCTCGTGCCGAAAGTCCATCTCGAGGGGAAGCATATGGTTCATCTCGTCCCCGAGCCAAGTAAACTCAAACTCGGGGAAGATGTAGGTGACCATCTGAATGGCGAAATTGACAGTGACCATGTCGACCCGTGCGAATTCCTCCAGATCGGCATGCTGGACCTTGACGGCCACATGCCGGCCTGAGCGCTTATCGATCGCGCGGTGGACCTGCGCGAGCGACGCGACGCCGATAGGATTGGGATCGAACTCTGAGAAGAGATCGTCGATCCCCAATCCCATATCTTGCCGAAGCATGGCGTCCGTCTCCTCGATAGGCGTAGGGAAACACTGGTCCTGCAGTGGCGTCATGGTCTGCGTCCACTCCGCAGGCAGCATCTGCACCGCCGCTACGTGCTGTCCTAGCTTGACGTAGATCCCCGAGTTCTTCTTCAGCGCCTTGAGCATCCGCTGGGCACTGCGCAAGTGGCAGTCTTTCCGCGCCTGCCGCCGAGCCGTGTTTTGCTCATCGCTAAGCAGCTCAAAGGGGCCTAGCCGCGCCTCTTGTGCGAACGTCCGCTTATAGTCGATCACGTCGAGGACAACAGCCTTCATCAGGCGCGAACATCGTACTCCGGCGAGCACGGTATGCCGGAAGGGAGCGTACGTGTGGTAGAGGACGACAAGGACGGTGAGGACGGCTAGGAAGTTCCGGAGGCTGCGGAGCTGACGATTGCGGCGGGGGGAGCGAGGGGCACGGCCAACGAGGGATGGGGGAGTGGCATGAAGGGGGCGAACCGAGCGGAAGGGGAGGGATGGGAAGGGGGAGATGGGTCGAGATGGAACGAGATGGAATCGAGATGGAACGAGATGGAATCGAGATGGAACGAGATGAGCCGATATTGACCGAGATGATGGCTGAAATGGCGCTCCGAGCGACCTTATAGCCAGCTGCGGACGCGCCGGTGCCGCTCTGAGAGCTGCTAATCGCAGCCCAGCCCGTATCATCCTATCCTATCCACTATAACAAGAGGTAACGCAGATCGCTGTACTTGTCAAAAGTCAAAACACACCCTGGCGCGATGCAAACACCCTACGTGGCATTCCTCGCCATCGTTATCATTCGCCCCGCTCCTATATAAAGTGGAAATTTCGCACCGACTCTGTCTCTTTGAATCAAATTGTCAAGGCGTCTTATTGTAGTGATCAAGGGCCCAAATCGCCACCCGACATCACCCTACCAGATAGCCGAGAGCGAGCCGTCGTGCTCTAGTACAGGATTAATTTGCCGCGCCTTTGATACACCTTTCCAGCAACGTCGCGGCCTGGGTTCTGCCCACATTTCGTTTAGATAGATGGTCGCATGTACATTGTGTATGAGCCAGCGGAGCGCAAGGCGAAAAGTACCCTGATCGTAAAGCTGTCTGTCAATGAGGAGTATATACGGCTTCGTCGGCTGTATGACGCAGCAGTGGGCTCCTGGAGCTCTAGCTCAGCGACCACCAAGAAGTTCAGATCGTTATCCATCTCTCCACCATACCTCATTTCCACCATGTCGACCTTTGATCGCCGCCGCATCCAGGCTCCCGAGTCCTCTTCCGCACCAGCGTATCAGCAAGAGAACGATGCTGGGCCCTCTCGGGCCCCTACTGCGCCAGGAGATATCTGTGCGTCATCGTCCAATCCCTTCTACTCGACCGAGCTGACCATCCAGTCCTCAAGACAGGCCTGATCAACCAAGCCAATGGCAGCGCCTACATCGAATCAGGAAGCGTCAAGATCGCTTGCTCAGTGTATGTCGTACGCCCCGGCTCTGGCTGATGGATAGATATGGGCCCCGACCGAAAGCGCCTCCCTTCACGCCGAGAGGATCGCTCAACCTCGAGCTCAAATTTGCGCCTTTTGCGTCTCATCCCCGCCGAGCTCCAATGAGGGTGAGCCATCTCCTGGACTGCCAAGCTGGAATCTGCTGATAGACAGGATACCGAACCTGCCGCACTCTCTGCTCTCCTCACTCAGCTCATTCTCCCCTCGTTGCACCTCCACCTCCTCCCGAAATCCTCGGTCGACGTCTTCCTGATGGTCCTTGAGTCGGACGACGTCTCGGACCTGCTCGGAGCGGCACATACGGTCGCTACTGCCGCTATAGCCGATGCGGGCATTGCGATGAGCGGGCTCGGCGTCGGGACTGTCGTTCGGGGACAGGAGGGGGAGGCCGAGGAAGGAGGAAAGGGGGCGCCAGCGTCTTCAGTGACGCTGGGGGTACTGCCGGCGCTGAATAAGGTGACGAACGTGTGGATGACGGGGGTGCAGGATATCGATGCGGTGTGCGATGTGAGTCCAGGCTGTTACAAGTAGGCGAGGATGAGCTGACGAATAGATGATCGACCAGGGCGTCGTTTCGGCCAAAGCGACACATACGGTCCTGGCCCAGGCTCTGCTCGAAGGCGCAGAACAACGGGGGCTGTAGTCCTGCCAATATGCAGCCCATCGTCAAGGAGAGATCGGGACTTAGGTACCCTCACCCTGTTCAGACTGCGCGCCTCGTTCTCTTCTGACGCAGTACTGAAGATCGCCGCCCACAAATGACCAGGGAAACGTCCGCACCCGTGCAGTCCGGTCTGTCCCTCGTTCCCATCTCTTCCTCTCTCTCTCTCCTTTGGTTCAACGCCATGCCATGTGAGGTCCGTGGCGTTGTGCGGAGCCCAAAGAGACAGTGGCCGATGCAGCGGCTTACCTCTCCTGAAACCGCAGACTCGGAGTCTCTGCTAGAGTCTGTCACCCTACTACCTGGATCAATACGACCTGTAGCATATCTACATCTCATCCCTCCACCGTATACTCTCTCGCTCTAACGCCACCTATACCGCTACCATCCCCGCCGACGACCCGCCCGCCTCCGCACACCTATGACTTTGACAGAACAATGTGAAGCGCCTCTAGCTTTTCTGAAATCCCCCTGGGGCCAATCCCCTTCAGCTGCAGTTCCGCCCCGTACGCCGCTCTCACTCTAGCAGCGAACTCGTCCTCTATCTCCGCATCCTTATCCGAGACGCTTTCGTGGTAGTCGCGACCGACTCGCTCGACCGTTCCGAAGCCTACGAGTGTGATCTGCGTCTCGATGTGCGAGGCGCTGAGGAGGAGCTTAACGATTGCGCAGACATGCTTAACGCCGCCATCGGAAGATTTGGGATCGAAGATAGGTGTTGTGACATCCGCAGGGCTCGGCGCCCACCAGCGGCTCCCGGCGAGCTGATAAAAACCTATATCGAGGCGTTTCATGGTCAAAGGCCAGTCAACCTCTACCGCACCGTATTTGAGGCTGCCGTTGGGTGCGAGGTCGTAGGAGATGACCTGGACATGCTCGACGCAGCCGCTGTATAATGTCCGCAGGGGGACTCGCCATACAGGTCGACATTGCGATGGGTCGCCGAACGAGGTATATGTGAGGCCGCGGTCGCCGATGATAACGCACGTTGGCCGCACAGCGGCAAAGATGGGACAGGACCATTCTGGCTGGCGTGCGAGGACCCCATCGTCGGGCGGCAAGTAGCTATTGGTGATTCGTAGAGTGTGAACGGAGGGAAAGTGACCGACGAGAGCGGCGGAGGGGCATTGGTACGCGCGGTGGAGGAAGATTTCGATGTCCCGGATTTCTGCGAGCTGATTGAGCTTCCGAGCTAACGCTTTCGGAGCTGGCCAAAGCAGAAGCAGGCAGCGGGCGAGAAAGGAGGATGGGAGGAGGCCGGTCCCCGCGAAGAGGCTGGGACGATGCCGCTTCTCTCCGTAGGGTATACCGTAGGGATTGAAGCGGAGTGGCTGACGGTACAGCATCCGCCCGGCGACGAGGAGGAATTGCCGGTTGACCCGGAGGCACCGTGCGAGGTCTTCGGTGTCAAGGTAGTAGAGGATGGAGAGGAGGACATCGGGTTGAGCGATGCGAGATGTGAGATCGCTCAGCTCTACCTGGGAAATTGTTGTCGATGGGAGCCGGGTGGGCGACTCCTACATATCTGATCAGCTCCGGGAAACTACGGTGCAATATGAGACCAGGCTCGTTCGGTACTCACCGCCCTCTTGGAGAAGTAGCTGCCCATTTCCAGGACACCTGCCCTTGCGTTGTGTTGGTCACCGCTCTTGTAGATGTGGCAGAGTGAAGGCGAGCGTCATCAAACCGCCCGGAGACCCCTTACCTTGTTTCAGATGTGGTCCGTGCGATCATGGATTGAATTCCCTCTTGTAGCAATTCTGGCAAAGGAGTTCCTTTCAGGGACAAAGAAACCAGTGGCGCCTTCCACCCCACGCCTTGGCTGCCGTTCTCCCCCGCGGGACCCCTCTCCTCTCGCTTAATTTAACCGGAAAGTCGCCACCCAGTCACTGCACTCATTGTCTCCCTTCGCCTTCGCATTCCCCATCTTGGTCAGCATCTACGAGTACAGCAGCGGTGAATACATCATCACTAACGCCTTATCCTCCAGCACCAACGTATCGGCCGTAACACACCCGGCGACCACGCTAAATTAGACCAAGGTACGAGACCGCGTTGGGTGAGTTTTTGGTATCCAGTGGATCACGGGACGCGCTCCAATCGCCAGCTTGCGTTGGTCAGTTGGTCAAATCGTTATGGTTATCTCTGATGATCACCCTTCCTCACCATATCCGTGCTATCTTTACGCAAGCAGAGGCTGACCCTTTCAGACACCATGTCCACCTCATCCATGCCCATCAAGACAGAAGGGGGATTCGCGTACCCGAACGCGCCTATGCCCCGGACGGGCAGACCCGACTTTCGGCGTCCCTTTTCCGATGGGTCCATGACTGTCGCGACATCTGATCTCGCTGCGTCCCTTCCCAACCCCTCCTTCATGGGCTCCTTTTCATTCGACAACCACCAGCCCTTCTTCCAGCCATACAATTACAACTTGGACCTCCTCCCGCCCATGCCGGTGCCGGTACCGGTACCGGTACCGGTCGCCACTCCCGTCCCAAGCGCGGCGGCGGCGGAGGAACGGTCGCGCTCCCTCTCGCGGGGATCGGCGGGCAAGGCAAAAGCGCCCCGAAGTAGATCAGGGCGTAAAGGATCCATGACGGACGTGAAGCCTACGATTGCTCGGGTCCGGACAGCCTCTAATCGGGCTATGAGCTATAGCCATCCGGACGGACGGCTCGGACTCGGACTGGATACCCATCTGGAGCACCAGCGGACCAACTCGGTCTCCCCTCCAGACTACGCGTACGGCCTCGCGTCATCCTGGAACGGGAGCGGTAGCCTGCCGAGCATGCAGAGCTTCGGTACAACGATCGACGAGGCTATCATCGATAGTCCCATCTCCCCGTCTAGCCACCTGCCTACCCTACCGGCGGACGCGACCGAGGAAAGCAGGAAGCAGCGCCGGAGGGAATGTCACAATCTCGTCGAGAAGCGCAGGAGGGAACATATCAACACCAAGATTGATGAGCTCGCAGGGTTGCTCCCGCCGCAGTATCAGCAGCTGGACGAGGGGATGGAGGAGGACGAGGAGGAGGAACCGGTTGAGAGTCCCAAAGGGAAGCGAAAGCCGCGAAGGAGTTCCATGGCCAAGCAGAAGGATATGGCTCAATGTAAGGGGAGGATCCTGACCCATAGCGTCCAGTATATCCAGTGAGCCCTCTTTCCTTGCTTCACCGAGATGTTAGCTGACAGGCAGTGACCTGCGCCAGGCGAACGACAACCAAGCCGGCCGGATCGCGCAGCTCGAGGCTATCCTCTCCGCGACAAACTTCGTCATTCCCCCTTCCTTCTCTCAGCCCCCTCCTCAGGCCTACTATGACCCCTCGGTCCACGCGCACAGTCTGCAAACGCTTCGCCCGAGCCCCGAGCCCGAGCCGTTTGGCCAGAACTGGAATGGCTTCAATCCGGTGTTTGAGCATTCCCCGCCAGAGGACTTTGAGAATAGCTCGGGGTCGGCCTCGAGAGGGGATCAGCAGTCTCAGTCTCAGGCTCAAAGTCAAGGTCAAGGGACGGCGGGGAGGAGCAGGCAGGACTCGCAGATGGACTTGCAGATGGGTATGGGGGGGATGGAGCTGGATCAGGTGTTTGGGCAAAGGAGGGAGGAGGAGATCGGGATGAGGTGGTGAGAGGGCTTCAGGGGTATGTGGGTCGTCACTGGATGACGGGGCGAAGGGGTCGTGAGGGATCTGGAAGGGGCGCTATAATACGTCGGTCACGCGTTGTACGTCTTAGAAACTTGTAGCAGCGGCAGAGTAATTTGTACAACACGTAAGTAACGCCTCTCGAGGTCTACGCACTGGGTCCATAAGGTCTGTGGATGGGCAGCAGGCGCAGGATAGCGCAGCAGCAGGGCTCAGCAGGGGCATAGGCAGCATATAGCATACCTCGCCTGTAATCGAAGGAGTATAGTTTGGTCCCGCGGCGGTGAGGTCACTCGACCTCGCAGCAGCTTCAAGCTCGGACATGCTTCTCAACTTCAACTTCAACATACCTGTGCATCTCACGCTCAACACCAGCTCCTTGACCGTCGCCACTCTGGTGTTCCGGCCCTTCTCATCACCCACCCATCCAAAATGCAGCCCAACCATTTCCACACCTCTACCACCACCTCGGTGCAGCAGCAACAACCATGGGGCGCTCCCTTTCCCTCGTTGCACATGTGGCCACTACACGAGACGTTCAGTATGAAGATGCTGTATCTCCCGGAATCACAACGTGTATGTCTTTTCTTTGTGCTGAGGCGGTAGCTGATGGGTAGATCAAAATTGGACGACAAACGAACGTCAAGACTGTCCCGAGCGAGCGGAATGCCTTTTTCGACAGTAAAGTCCTGTCGCGTCTGCATGCGGAGGTTTGGGAGCAAGGGGGAAAGGTGAGCTTCCCGGTCTAAGGAGAAGGAAGGGGGCTGATGGAAGATCTATATCAAAGATATCAAATCGTCCAATGGGACTTTCATCAATAATGAGAGGTTGTCGGCGGAGGGGTTGGAGAGCGAGCCGTTTGAGCTGAAGAGTGAGGACACGGTCGTGAGTCGCTTCAGCAGGGGATTTGGCCAATGTAAGAGATGTCATCTGCTGACTATACAGGAATTCGGGATAGATATCGTTTCGGACGACAGCAGGACAATCATCCACCATAAAGTCGCTTCCAAGGTATACTGCGTCTTCAATGCCGAAGATGCAGCTATCAGCGCCAGGTGTGTGTCGTTGACTCCGGGACATAGAGGGCTATGCTGACATCGCAGGGAGATGGCGCAGTATCAGAACCAGAATCGCCGGCATGCTCCAGTCGGACCCCAGGCCGGTCCGTCCGTCCCCATCGCCATGAGCTCTGGCGGTAAAGCCAATGGTCTGAGCTTTGACCATGTCATGCTCAAGCTGCAGACGGAGCTGGCGAGGAGTAAAGAGACGGGGACGGAGTTGCAAGAGTTGACGGGGAGTATGGGCGATATTCAGGAGACGCTGGGCGGGGGTTTGGTGGGTTCAACTCGTCCGCGTAGAGGACAGCACATGGACTCCATAGCTGACGCCCCAGCCTCCAGCGCAGAATGGAATGGCGGCGCACCTCATCCCTCCCCAATTCCGCTCCAACTCGGCCGAGGCCAAAGCCGCACTCGCCGGTCCGCACGGACAACAAGCCGCCGCGTTCATCGCCCTGCAAAACCAACTTACCGAGACTCAATCTTCCCTCAATGCGCATATCGACCGGATCCGCGGTCTCGAGACCAGCTTGCACCAGTCCGAGTCGGTACGGTCCGAAGTGGCGACGCTTAGGGAGCAGATGGAGGGGACGAAGCGCGAGATGGGCATGTTACTTGCCGAGAACCGGGGGCGGAGCTTTGCGCGCCGGACGACAGAAGAGGAGGATGACGATGATGATGCGCGAAGCGTGATGACTGTTATGGATAATAGGGAGGAGGAGGATCTGCGGCGCGCAGGGAAGAGGGAGGTGAATGGACATGGACATGGACATGGAGACGGCAATGGAAATGGTGGCGCTGAAGAGGATGGGGAGCCGACTCGCGACAGTCTTCAGGAGATGTCGAATCGAAACCAGGAACTCGCGAGTCGGGTCCAGACGCTTTCGGTCGAACTGTCGCAAGCGACCCAACTGTCCCAACACCTCCAGGCTCAGCACGACGAGGCGATGGCTGCGCTCGGAACACTCTCCACGCGCATCGGATCGCTCGAAACGGGCCTCAAAGGGCGGATTGCCGAAGCGGTCTCGGAGTCGGACCGGAAGTGGGAGACATGGCGGACGCACGTGGAGGATGGGTGGAAGAAGGAGCGTGAGAGCTGGGAGGCGGAACGGGAGCGACTGCGCAGCGTCGTGCGTGATTGGGAAGAGGCGAGTCGGCGTGCGAATGAAGAGGTGGAGGATCGAGCGTTGAATGAGCGGTTAAGCGGGGAGGAGTTGGAATTCTCGGATGAAGATGCCGAGCTGGAGAGATCGGCGGCCGGGGTTGTGGGTGGGAAGATGAGGGGAGGAGGTCGAGGGGGACGCAAGACGAAAAGAAGACGACCGAGCCATAAGACCAGCCTGGCGCTGCGTGCGCTCAGAGACGTGTCGGGCATGGAGGGTCAGTCGACGCCTACGCAGCAGGCGGTGCCGCTGCGACCGGAAGATGGGGAGCGGACGGCTCAGCCAGAGAAGGAAGGGGATGAGGGGTCGGCTTCGGGTGGATCGGACGAGTCGACGCAGAGTGGGAAAGAGTCGGTGGATACTTTGAGGGATCGGGATGCGGGCGGGAAGCGGGTGAGTGCGCAGAGGGTAGATAACAGGCCGAAGAATGTGAGTTCTGTTTCTGGGCGCTTGGGGGGATCGGTGTGCGGGTATAAGGGACAAGGGCAGGAGCTGATAGAGAAGGCTGTACCTATCTTTACGGTGTTTGTGGTGGCTGTGGTAGCTGGGGCTATATACCTCAGGCACAAGGATTAAGTGCTGCGGGTCGGTGGAGCCGGAACCATGGCAGGGCAGGATCCGATATGGAGGAAGGGGGACGACACATCACATAACGACACGCACATCTGACTATAGAGACGATTCGAGTTGTACCATACGAGCATCAAACGATCATGCGTTATCTGACAATTGCTCTTACACAGACACAGCAAAGCAGGGACTGATGTCACTGATAAAGTGACGACCGGAATAACATCACTTGAGATACGACTCAGATTATTGACTACAGAAAGCACAACTTCATTAGATTAGCTTAAAATACAACTCCAACTCCCTTAGATCCTTTGCTCTGCGCCGAAATATATCGCGCGCCAGCCTAATCCTCGTCATCCCCCAGCTCGAACGCCTCGCCAGCTACCAGTCTCCCATATTTGACCTGTGGACGCTGCACATCTTCCCTCCCTCCTGCTTCCCCACTTCGAGCCGCATTGCCCGCAAGCAAAGGCTGGCCCTCCCCTCGTCCTGCTAACAACGCCCTCGGATGGCCGAGAGCGGGAACCGCAATACTAGGCTTGTCCGACGCGGTCGGCATGGGGAAGATGAGATTGACAGCTCGGGCGAGAGCGAGCCATGCGGACGTCCATGAGAGGCTGAGAATGAGGAGGGAGAGGTTGCAAGTCGATAGCCAGTTCTTGAGGAGGTCGGTTGCGTCGTCGTCCTTGTCCTCCCCGGTGGTATTTAGCATGAGCGTCATGAACGATGGGACGGACGCCGCATTGGATGCTGTACATGGCTTGGAAGTGGCGGTAGGGTTGAGAGTGAAGAGCGTAGCCGCGACTGAGGTATCAGCTGGAGTGTCCAGGGTTACTGAAGACGGGAAGAGGCATACCCGGCCACAGAACGAACAGAAGGAGGATTGAGCCGAGTTCGATAGCTCGTCGTTTACGATTGGAGGTCACTATTGAGCTGGCGATAGACCTATCGCGTCGATGGAGAAACAAGCTGCGGATGTCAGCATAAGCTGCATGAGAAGAGCGGGCAAAGAAATCGTACAAAGATAGGGTGAATACCATTGTCGCAAAAGCGAGCGCAAGGACGGATATGGCAGTCAGACCTGGTGAGTCAGTGTCATCATCACATGGTGATGATAGTTGACGCACTGATAAAAGAGCCCTTCAAGGTCACCACCGATAGCGACGCGATCACGCCCAGACTTGCCACCAGCAAAGGGACGTACAGTCCCACTCGGCCGCTAGCGAAGCGGTCTGCTTTTCCTGCAATTCCCGTCGGCTCCACCTCGACCGTCGAGCCCCCGCCCGCCGCCGAGGGACCTGCAGTCCCGTACGCCGTCTCGTATCCGCTCGGCCTCGACGTCTGCCCCGGTAGCTCCGCCCTTAGACCCTTTGGCGAGTCCCCCAGCGCCAAATCCCACATGACAAACACGCTCCCTTCCTCCCCTCCAACCCCCTCGCCGCCCATCGCGTCCAGCCCATCGAGACTCGTCGAGTGAGATGCAAAGTATCCAGGGGAGAGAGCCGTCGAAAGGACGATGACGAGGTACGCGAAGGAAGCGAGCGAGAGGCTGTGCAGGAGGAACATGTCGAATGTGACTGTTGTGCATGGCGGGGGAGTGGAGCTGTTGCTGTTGTCGATGCTGCAGACGGTTGAAGAGATGGTGGCGGCGGAGAATGACATAGTTGCCGCTGGTCCGTCAGCTGGGATTCTGGTAGACGGGAGGAGGAGTTAGACGTACACGTCCACAAGATCCATAGCATGGTCGTGAAGGAGAACTCGAGCCTGTCAACGTAGACACGCCATGGTCTCGGTAGGAAGGTGCCAGCGGACCGTCTAAGCTGTCAGTGCTGAAGACGTCGCGGCCTCATGTGGAGATACTCACAGAAGCATCAGCCCGCCCAAGCCCGCTGAACCAAACAGCAACGCCGGTTCGCGGATACTCGCCGCTACGCTAGGTACGTAGGATGCGCCTGTCAGTGTGAGTACATTGTCTCCAGCCACCCGTCAAGATGAGCTTAACAGAGTGCACAGGCGACTCACCCTGCTCATCATTCCCTAACGTCGCGACGATAGCCAGCACAGATAGCAGCGCCAGTACCCCAGCTGTCGCCCTTCGCGTAGACTTCAAGGTGGGCATCGCTCGCGTCCCTGTCTTGGCTGAACGAGTATAGGAGGTAGATGTTGAGGGTTCTAAGATAGTCTGATCATAGATGAGGGTGAATGCTCTCTTGACTGATGCGCAGTCGCGAAATCTTGACCTTGAGAGGAGTCATGTGGCCTGGGTCCTCGCCTGGATCTGGCCCGCGCTTTCGGCACCGTATCCGGCCGGGGAACCGCCGATAACACGGAGATTGGGTGGCTACCCGTCTTGAGGAATGTGGAGTTGGAGGATGACGTCAAACGTCAACCAGGCAGCTGCAGTGCGTTCAAGCATTAGGCTTCTCTCCCCCTCATCTCCTCTACCCTTCCATTCACGACAATCGCTTCCCCGTCATGTCGCTCGACTATATCCGTGGGATTGTATCTGGCAAGAAAGCGCGCTATGTCGATCCAGACCACGCAGTCGATTTGGATTTGGTTTATGGTGAGTTGGCCAACTGAGAATCTAAGATGCAAGGGTTGAGCTGATAGGTAGTCACGGACCGCATCATCATGTAAGGTCTTACGGCGCTCCATTAGGTGCAGAATCTGATGAAGTAGTATGGGATGGCCCGCTAGTGGTTGGGCGGGAACATACCGGAACAAGAAGAGCGATGTTTTGCAGTTTCTCGATAAGAGGCACGAGGGGAAATATTGGGTCTGGAATCTGTAAGTACATCTATGGTTGCGGCTGCAATGACTGAGAGAAGACATGGCAGGGCATAGCTGACCTTGCAGCTGCCCCCTCTACGAGAATGCGTACTCCTCCGCTAGCATGCACGACCGCGTCTCCCGCTATCCCTTCCCCGACCATCACCCCCCACCACTCCAGCTGCTCCCGCTCGCTGTGCGGGAGATGACCGGCTGGCTGGCCGGTGAATCCGACCGGATAGCCATCATCCACTGCAAAGCCGGCAAAGGGCGCTCCGGGACACTGCTGTGCTCGTACATGCTGTCCTTGGCGGAACTGCCCGGCCCGCCCGGGATGGAGCTGTCGTACTCCAAGCCGGACCGGGCGAAGCTGGCCGGACGGGAGCGCAAGGGAGAAGGCTGGATCGCGGTGGGGCACGGGAACGAGATCAGCGAGATCCAGGTCTCGTCTGAGCCAGAAACGGAAGGTGGATTGGCGGTCCCGAGCCAGCTCTCCCGCACGGCGTCATCCGCTACTACCATCTCGGCAACGGACTCGTCCGCCAGTATCCAGGTGGACAGCTACCAGCCCATCGACATCGGAGACGAGACGCCCATCACGAGCTCGGGGCAGTATGACCGGCGGGACGGCAAGGTCGACTCGGTCTTCAAGCTGCATTCCAGTCGGCGGATGAAGCCGAGCAGTACCGGCCGCGGCGTCTCCATCCCCAGTCAGCGGCGGTGGTGCCGCTACGTCAACCTGGTCTTCTCCCAGCGCGCCCCGGCGTGCTACCACGATCCCGCATCCAAGATCCGGATCAAATCCATCACGCTCTTCCTTCACCCGCCTACCGGATGGCAGAAGCCCATCGCCAAGCTGGTCATTGGCGGCGATGGCGGACAGGGAAAGGCATGGGTGTCTATCGCTCGGTACGATGACGAATACGTCAAGGAGTTGGCGGCCAAGGGTGATGTGTCTGGATCCGAGGCGGCCATCACGTGGGGAGGTGTTGGTGGAGAAGGGAAATATGACACGCACAAGATGTTCCGGTCCTGCGGCAAGCTTACCGCCGTCGACCCTCCTTCAGGCATCGAGACGACCGACGACCTTGTCGCGCACCATGTCGTCCCCACGTCGGATCTCGTCCTGGAACGCGGAAGGGAATTTAGGATGAAGTTCCACCTCGGCTCTCTTCCGTTAGGGTGGGCATGGATGATCCCGGCTTTCCACCTGCCGGAACCTGTGCACGCGCAAACACACACCCTCCGCTTCCCGAAATCGCAGATCGACTTTGCGATCGGTCCGGGCGCGGCGATACACCATATTGATGTGTGTGTGGAGGAGGTGCCGAAGGAACAGGGGGCGAGCACGGCGCCGTTGATGAGTGAGCGAGAAGAGGAGGAGGCTGGCATGGACGATGGGAAGGGGGAGAAGGTCAAGGAGGATGGGGAGTGAGGCCACTGACGTGAGAAAGCGGCGGGGGCAGGTTGGCGGGGAATGATCAGTAGCATGAGTAGATTAGTTCTTCCTTTGTGTTGTGCATGTTCGTCAGGGAGTAGCTATCGTCCCAGCGGTGGCTTCGCATGATACATCGATGTATGCTTCATACCCTCTTGTTACAGGGATGTCCCCGCTTGAACAGCATGCATGGGGTGGCCACGTCACATCTCGGGGAGAAGGCTCTCGATCAAAGGGCTTAAACAGGGTGCACAGATAATGATCGGCCATGACTTGGTTCACAACGCCGCGTCACCATTCCTCAACTTGACCACCTTGACCTTTGCTGATCCCCCTTCTCTGATCCTTCTATCCTTCTCCTATATAGACAGAAGACCTCATACACCTACAGAGAGCAGCAGGAACAGAGCTGCCCTACCATCTACTTCCACACCGAAACCTAGCAAACTCCAAGCATCATGGCTGACGATCCGTCCAAGGTACGCGCGTCTTCTTGGATGGATGATCGGGGGATATAGCTGATTCATCCTCAGGCGGCCACGGATGACCACACCGCCACTGCTATTCTCAGGCAGAAGAAGTCGTGAGCTAGCTGGTCTTAGGTAAATTCAAGACTGCGAGCTGACTGCTCAGGGCCAACCGGTTGATGGTTGACGAGAGCCCTTCCGATGACAACTCGGTGGCGATCCTTCACCCCAACACCATGGAGGCGCTTGGTCTTTTCCGAGGAGATACTGTTATCGGTGAGCTAGCCTGAGCTCTGGCCTTGTCGCGGGACCTTGAGCTGAAGCTGACAAACCAGTCCGCGGGAAGAAGAGGCGTGATACTGTTCTTATCTGTCTGAGCCAGGATGATATCGAGGAGGGCAAGATCGCTATGAACAAGGGTGAGTCAGCTCAGGCGTTGGTGAATAGGACGCCATAGCTGACATTACAGTCGCCCGTGGAAACTGCGCGATCAAGCTCGGCGATTCGGTCCACGTATCTGCCGCCAACGATATCAAGTACGGAAAGCGGTAAGTCTTCGGTCCCGAACGTCAAGGTGCGGGCGCTGATCAGCTAGGATCCACGTTCTCCCCTTCTCCGACTCTATTGAGGGTCTTTCCGGCAACCTGTTCGACGTGTACCTCCGCCCCTACTTCCTTGAGGCTTACCGGCCGGTCCGGAAAGGAGATGTCTTCCAGGTTCGCGGTGGCATGAGGACTGTCGACTTCAAGGTTGTGGAGGTCGACCCGTCTCCGTACTGTGTGAGTTGACAATGGCCGGCAAAAGGCGATCCAAACTGATCTTTGAGATTGTCGCTTCCGACACTGTCATCCACACCGAGGGCGACCCGATCGACAGGGAAGCCGAGGAGGCGGACCTCAACGCTGTCGGCTACGACGATTTGGGAGGATGCAGGAAGCAGTTGGCTCAGGTGAGCATGATTATTGAGCTAGGCTGACGTTAGATCCGAGAAATGGTTGAACTTCCCCTCCGCCACCCGCAGCTCTTCAAGGCTATCGGTATCAAGCCCCCTCGCGGTATCCTCATGTTCGGTCCCCCTGGTACCGGTAAAACCCTCATGGCCCGTGCCGTCGCCAACGAAACCGGCGCCTTCTTCTTCCTCATCAACGGACCGGAAATTATGTCCAAGATGGCGGGAGAGTCCGAGTCGAATCTTCGCAAGGCGTTTGAGGAGGCCGAGAAGAACAGCCCCTCCATCATCTTCATTGACGAGATCGACTCTATCGCACCCAAGCGAGACAAGACCAACGGAGAGGTCGAGCGTCGAGTAGTCTCGCAGCTCTTGACGCTCATGGACGGTATCAAAGCCCGGTCCAATGTCGTCGTCATGGCCGCTACCAACCGTCCCAACTCGATCGACCCGGCTCTTCGTCGTTTCGGGCGGTTCGACCGTGAGGTTGACATCGGAATCCCTGACCCGACCGGTCGTCTCGAGATCCTACGCATCCACACCAAGAATATGAAGCTTGGTGATGATGTGGATCTCGAGCAGATCGCGGCCGACACACACGGTTACGTCGGTGCCGACATGGCCTCCCTCTGTTCCGAGGCGGCCATGCAGCAGATCCGAGAGAAGATGGACCTCATTGATCTCGATGAGGACACTATCGACGCCGAGGTGCTCGACTCGCTCGGCGTCACGATGGAGAACTTCCGGTTCGCCCTCGGTGTCAACAACCCGTCGGCGCTGCGCGAGACGGTCGTCGAGATCCCCAACGTCAAGTGGAGCGATATCGGAGGTCTCGACAAGGTCAAGCGGGAGCTCCAGGAGACTGTCCAGTACCCTGTCGAGCACCCCGAAAAGTTCCTCAAGTACGGAATGTCCCCGTCCAAGGGTGTTCTCTTCTACGGTCCTCCAGGTACCGGTAAGACGCTGCTCGCCAAGGCGTAAGTTTAGACGATACACGATGAGTCTCACAGCTGACAATGTAGCATCGCCAACGAGTGTCAAGCCAACTTTATCTCCATCAAGGGTCCCGAACTTCTCACCATGTGGTTTGGTGAATCCGAGGCCAACGTCCGCGATGTCTTTGACAAGGCCAGGGCTGCCGCGCCCTGTGTCATGTTCTTTGACGAGTTGGACTCGATCGCCAAGGCGCGAGGTGGCGGTGGTGGGGATGCTGGAGGTGCGGGCGACCGTGTCTTGAACCAGATCCTGGTAAGTCCAAGGCCGACCAGTTGTAAGGGCTTGCGCTGATTCGCAGACTGAAATGGACGGTATGAACGCCAAGAAGAGTGAGCTTGCCGTTATTGCTGCTTGTAGGCCGTGAAAACATGAGCTGATCCCTTAGACGTATTCATTATCGGCGCTACCAACCGACCGGACCAGATCGACTCTGCTCTACTCCGTCCCGGACGTCTTGATCAGGTCAGTCACTCAAAACATGTCCGGCAAGTGCTCAAGCTGACATATCAGCTTATCTACATCCCTCTCCCCGACGAAGCGTCGCGTTTGTCCATTCTTACCGCCGCGCTCCGCAAGTCGCCTATCGCCCCCGACGTGGATCTCGCTTTCATGGCCAAGAGCACCGCCGGATTCTCCGGTGCCGATCTTACCGAGATCTGTCAGCGGTCCGCCAAGCTCGCTATTCGTCAGAGTATCGAGTCGGACATGCGCAAGGACCGGGAAGCCAAGGAGAAGGCCGAGGCGGCTGGCGAGAGCGGAGAGGATGTCAACATCATGGACCAGGATAATGAGGAGGATGACGTTCCGGCTATCACCAAGTGAGCTTCAAGATTCCGAACTCCCATGGAAGGCATAGCTAACTATCCAGGGAACACTTTGAGGAGGCTATGAAGTTCGCTCGTCGGTCCGTGTCAGACTCGGATATCCGCCGATACGAGATGTTCTCTACGTCGATGCAGCAGTCGCGCAGCTTTGGCAACAACTTCAAGTTCCCCGAGGGCGGAGAAGGGACGCAAGAGGGTGGTGCGAGCTTCCAAAACGAGGCGGATGACGATGAGTGAGTCGATGATATCTAAACTTGACGGGATCTCAGCTGACACTTCAGTTTGTATGCGTAGAGAGAAGTGATTATGTGAAAAGATAAGAATGCATCTGTTTCAAGTCTAGCGTACCCCAGACCAGCCTCAACCATCATTAGCGCTCCACAAGCTAAGACTGGCACTGAGTACGGCAGCCAGATGTGCCAGTTCGTCATTAGTTAAACGGATGGTGTCGCCTCGTGGTCAGCTTCGAGGTCATCTCACCTAACCTCCTGGGGCTACAACAGCCACAGGCTACTATAGGCAAGATCAACTGTGGTATAGCACTGGCCAGCACAGAGACAAAGCGGATAAAGGTCTGATTCATTCTTCAGATGGGCAGAATACAGATGCTGGATAGAGCGTGAAGCTGCCACCCTCGCTCAATACCCCCGCTTCCCGTATTGCTTTGTAACTGAACCCCGTCGGTATGTCCGATCTTTGACAATCGACAGGGGCAAAATCTGGAGCAACGCCCGCCCAGAGCGGGGGCCAGGGTGATTCAAGCCATCGCCCATTGGCCGGATACTGGCCAGTCAGCGACGATGCCTTGAAACACACAAGCCAAGCAAAGAATCCTCCTGTCTGACTTACCAAAGTAGGACCGCTTTGGTCACTGGTTGACCGCAGACGAGCTCCATACGACACACCGAAGACATTCGCTGCATCTTCTGTCGCTGTAGTGGACGTCTGAAGAAATCAGCGAAGTCTGCACGACCATGTGAAGCTGTGCGGGACAGCCGCCCCTAGCCGTATATGGCCAGACTATCGACCAAGTGACTTACATAGCACACAGTGGCCAAGAGGTCGAGGGCGCTCCAAGCTTCACCCCGCGCCTCCTCGCCAGTCTTCCCAGCCCCTGCAGATGAACCGGCATCAGCCGATGCACTGGTCGATCCATCTACAGCGCGATATCCTGTAGAAGGAGATGTCTGCGCTGATGCGTTCTCTAGCGGCCCTGCACGAAAATCGGCAGATGTATCGCTGGACGCAGGGAGTTTTATTCGTTTGGCTTGGGATGTGAGCTCGGTGTTGCGGTCACGCAGCTGATGCTTCTCGGATGTGGATGCCGAAGCCTCAGACATGGTGAGATTAGATGTTTGAATTGCTGCTGAGGTATCACGGGCGATATGTCTGATATGCGCCTGATGCAGAGGTAGTGGACAAACGGAACATCGCTTCGGAAGTCAGTCTTGCTTTCACCACTCCACATTCCTCAACTTTCAGCCTCTTCCACCATCCACCGCCAGCTCTTATCGACAGCATGGCCGACATAGGATCCTTACTCACGGCTATCCCGCCGGTGACACGTCTCATACTGGTCGCTACGGGTCTCATCACCTTGTGAGTTGCGCATCGCCTGTTGGCTTACTTCACGGTCGCTGATCGCCAGGCCGACTCTACTTGGCGTATTATCTCCAGCAGATGTAGGTCTATTGCTTGAGGACGTAAGCGGCGAAGCTGACGATGTAGGTAGCCTTGTCATGGTGGAAAGTCACCAAGCATTATGAGGTATGCTTTCACCACTATAGCAGAAGATAAGAGGTGACAATTGGCTGATTTTCGCAGATATGGCGGCCCTTCACCAACTTCTTCTTCGGCGGTGCGTCACTGTGACCTGATAATCTCCTGCGATCAGGGCTGATATCGATCAGGGAGTGGCTTTCCTCTGGTATACGATGTCTTCCTGATCTATCGAAACTCATCAGCAATGGAGCGGGATGTCTAGTAAGCTGCCTTTGATCTCGGAGCGGAAAGGACATGAGCTGATCATGACAGCTTCTCAAATACGGCCGAGTATGCGTGGATGCATATAATGCTAGCTACAGGGATTATGGTGAGCTCTTTCGGACCCGCAGCTGCCTAATGCTCATGCTCATGCGCCTAGTTGCTGAACGTCCCATTCGGCTTCCCCTTCCTTTTTCACTCGCTCCTCGCAGCGCAGACGTATATTTGGTGCCGGGCAAACGCGACGCTCAAGGTGTCTATCTTCGGACTCATCACTATCCCCACTAGCTGTGAGTTCTGACTGAGCGCTCTCCGCGCAAGTGCAAGGCTGATCCTTCACAGTATTGCCATTTATCAACATCCTCCTCGACCTCGTTATCGGCGGCCTCGGTAAGGCGCTCTGTGGACTCATCGGCCTTCTCGTCGCTCACGCCTGGTGAGTCCCATACTCCTCTCCTTGTGTATAATAGCTGAGGTCCAGGTGGTTCCTCTCGACCTTCCTCCCTCTACACGCCCCCACCCGTCTCCGACGTAGAAACCCCCTCGCTACGCCCATCCGCTTTCAAGCTCTTTTCCCCCGCTCGACCTCGACCGCATTTGGAAGTCGCTCAAGCGGTCCTGTCAAAGCCCCGGCGGCTGGACCCGCAGGAACGGCTCGGTCCGAGGCGGTGGATGCTGTGCGTCACAGATGGGGAGGTGGTAACAAGCTCGGCGGGTCGACATTGTGAGATGAAAAGCTGTAATGGTGGTACTGTGATGGAACTGATGACTTCGCATGACCATTCATCGATCCCAATCAAGGGCGCGTTTGACCTAAATACTTATGCTATCAGCCAGAGGAGCTCGCAATCATCAGCACCTAGGATCATCTTGATCGACGGGCACCGGCCGGTCGCCCCTCTTACGTGACCAGGGATAACTGGTCATGGATGCGAGGCATCCTCTCGTAGCCGATCGCTGGCATCTCGTCCAGAGACGGTGGAGCGTGTCTGGCGGCGGGGTAGCCACCGCAAGGCAAATGCAAAGATGGGCACGCAGGTACGGGTATGACGTCACCAAAAGTGAGGAATGCGGAGTTGCAGCAATTGTGGCCGAGCTGTCAGTGCTTCCTTTTTCGCATTCGCGACTAGATCTATCTCCCTGAGCCCGACAGTGCTCCGTACTGACTCCCGCCGATCATGTCGGAGTTGAAAACGGCGCGCCACAAGACAAAGGGGCTTCCCCTAGCTCAACACAGCCACAAAGCCCTACAGACTTACTGAAACATCGACACACAGACACAGCCCGGGTCACCCCAGATCCTCCCGGCGGCGTCAACACAGCTTCTGCCATCCTTTCTTCAAGTGATCGCCCTATAAGAAGACGCAGCTTGAGTCAACTTTACTGCTCATCCACGTATCTGACCCAGAACTCCCCCTTTATCACCCGTTAACAACCATCACGACGACTCTCAGAGACCACATCGACCATGCCCATCCTCCCCATGTACAGCCTGAGATCCAACGGCAAGCGGGCGCCGGAATACTCCATCGATGCACCGCCTTCCTATCACGAGGTATCCGGCTCGGAACTGTACCCTTTGGAGAGGATCACTACGTATGTCGTCCAGCCAAGATGGCCGATCAAGGCGAAGAGGCAGGTGGCGGTCTGCCCGATAGGCTCAAGCAGAGAGGTCAGTACAACTCATCAGCCTGTTCAGCCTGCTCGCTAGGCATTGGAGTGGCGCTGACCTCACAGGAAGCCATTGCCATCGTACACAGCGCGTTCCCCTTGCTCGCCGCATACCCAGCCCAGCGCATTGAGATTCTCGCCCTGGTCTCAGTCCCAACGAGGCGGAACTTGATTGGCCTTGGTCAACAATGGCTCGCTCACGAGAGATGGGTTATCGTTCGGGACGAAGCTTGGTCTGCGCTCCGGTCTTCGCCTCCGATCCGCCTCAGGGTGCAGATCAAGGACGGTCCAGGGGATGAGGCGGCCAGTAAGTCTCCGTTAGTTCGCTCGAACGATGCGAGCGCTGCTGACATACCAGGGAAGAAGAGATATCGGCTTCACATGATCATTGCGGTTTGCTTCATATTGGCGTTCGTCGCAGGCGTCTCGGCCATCGTATACTTGTGTAGAAGGACGGAGTTGGCGATGGACCGGAAGTCGGTGGCGGGTCATTGAGGATTTGTCGTTCGCTTGGATCGGCAGGACACGGCGGTACAACAGCAAAAGATGAAGCGCATGTCATCGTAAAGCAGGCACTTACTATGCATAGATTTTCTGTAGCCTTGAAGAGTCGGAAAGTCAAATGTGGCGGCTCGGCTGACAGAGGGGGATAATTGTCACGGACCGGCTGGATGTGCGAAACCGGCCAGATCTCGCTAAAGCTGATCAGCGAGAGGCTCCCCGAAAGCAAGTCACATGTGCATGAGCAACAGTCGCTATGCATGTGCAGCTAGGCCACATCACGCGGGTGGATCACATGGCAACAACAATCTGAAACGCGCTAAAAGTACCGCTTTCCGACGGGGTTCCTTTGAGCTTCACCGCCGCATTGCCGCTTCGTTCTTCTACATATATATGCCCACTGACTTACCCAACTGACGGCCATACTCTTACACCTCTCTTCAAACACAGGCAGGGCAACACATATCCTCAGCGTGCCTGATTCACAGCGGTACACCCGTATCAAGTCGGACGAAGCCGAATCTGCACCGCTTTATGGGCGCTCTTCGCTGGATGCGCCACCCTAACAGCTAGAAATCAGGGGCGACGGAGGCGTCGGTAAGAGCGCAGTGACCTATACCTTAGAGCCCAGGTGGCCCATCAAGGGGGTCAGGCAGGATGTGCTCGGTGTTCTAGGCGCTACGAAGGAGGTCAGACACCTTTCCCTGTCTTTCCGCGGCACCGCACTTCTCCTGTTGACACGTAAAGGAGACCATCGCTATCGTCCAAGAGATCTTTCCTCATCTCTCTGCCTGCCCTCCCCACCGCGTCGAGTTCCTCTCCCGCGTCTCGTCCTCCGGCAGCGCCAAGGTCACCAACGACAGATGGGCGTCTATCATGGACGAAGCGTGGGCGAGCTTCGGCAAGACCCCGCCTAGTCATCTCAAGGTCCAGATCCAGGATGGTCCCGGTGAGGAGGCTGCCAGTGAGTCTGACCCACGCATAACGGGGAACGGGGCGGCAGTTAGCTGACACCTCAGGAAACCGTCGTCAGAAGATACAAGTCGCAGCCGGCATCGGCGGAGCCATCACCCTCTTCCTCGCTCCGCCATTCACCGTCTGGCTCTGCGGTGGGATGGACACTCTCGGTCCTCCGCCTGGCTGGACGCCACCAGGAGGCCACTAGTGTGGGGCGTGACGGAACAAGGGCTCGTCTGAAGTGGGGCTGGCGGATCAGGCGGCCTGGTCCCGTTCGCCGGCGCGTGGAAGACAAGTCAAATATTTTTGGACGACTATGTACTATATTTGTGTAGCGTCGTCTTCGTCTATCCTCCGCGCTCAGTCTCGTTGCGCTGTCAACCCGCGGTCTCCGGCCGTGATGCTGGGCGGATCGCGGATCCCGGAGACGGTGCATTCAGGGCAACTCCACATTCCTCGGCTGCTCCACTGCAAGCTGCACCGCCGGCCGCCGCAACGGAGCGATAAAGCGCGCTAAAGTGCGCCAAGGACAACATAGCACCACTGCCAACGCGTTCATCTCTCTTCCGCGTTACTTGTTCTGTTCTCAATCTATATAGTTGTGAGACCGACAGGAACATCCTGCTCCAAATTCAACGTTCAACCCTTACCAGCCACCGGCACAAATCAGTGATCATGTCGAAGCTGCCGGAGTATCGCCGCAACGCGGACGAAGAGTCCGCCCCCCTCTTCAAGGGAGAGAATCGGCCATCTCTCGACCTAGACGCGGTGCCTACCTACCCTCCTCGTATGGGTGTGTCTGCGTCGAGAGATGACACGGACGATCGGAACACTGTGACTTATACTTTTGTGCCGCGCTGGCCGGTCAAGGGGGAGCGGCAGGACGCTATCGGGGTTTTGGGCCTGAGCAGGGAGGTGAGTGTCTTTACTGACCTATCTATCCGCTGTTGCAACGGACGTAAGAGGCTGTGGGCGCATTTCGCCGCTCTCCCCATTGCGCTCGCTCATGCGGACCGGAAATGATCCATACTGAAACAACAAGGAAACCACGGCAGTGGTGCAGAACGCCTTCCCCCTCCTCGCGGACTATCCGGCCGAACGAATTGAGTTCCTCGTACCCGTCGCGCTTAAGGATGGCTGCGCAGTAGACGACCGCTGGGCCATGATCATGGACGATGCGTGGTCCAAGTTTCACAAGTCGCCACCTGTGCGTCTCAAGGTACAGATCCAGGATGGGCCGGGCGATGCCGCTCGCAGTAAGCTTGTGTCTCGCCAGTTACTGGGTGTCCTTGCTGAAACCGTAGGGAGCAAGAGGGAGAACAAGATCGTCTTCTCTGTTATCGGCGGGCTCGTCACCTTCTTCATCCTCGTCGGCCTCGCCGTTTTCCTCTCGAGCCCTAGTAGCGCGGCACATGGCTCGAGCCCGTCTAGCAAGCCCTCGAGTACGTGAGACTTGTAGTGACCGCCAGTGGCGCCTGTATGATTAGGACAAGCGATGAGGAGATCTGACAGTAAGATTGCCGAGGAGGTCCGCAGGAGTAGTTGTATCAGATTGTATGGCTGCTCTGTGTTTCGTGAACAACCGGGATTTGTCTGGATCGGAATGCAGCTCTGTCGACACGCTGACTTCGCCCCTACTCAGCCCGTCATATCAGCCTCCCCCTTGGTCTCAGATTTGTTCCATGCAGCCACAAGCCATTCCAGCCCAGGCACAGCGGGATCGTCATCGATATCGCGTCGCCACCCAAGCTTAAGTACCCAAACTCAAAACCCGCGAACTCAGTACCTTTGAACATTTGACTTCACCTTCCGAGTCTTCCCTACAAATAGATCATGCCGCCCAAGGCAGACCCCTCGCTACCCTCCTTCCTACTCGCCTCCCCGCCGCCCGCCGCTGCGCCCAGCCAAGCCCGCTTACAAGCCCTCTACGCCTCTACGTCCGCCCAGCGCCTAACGAATCCGACAGGGTACACCGCGAATGTCACTTGGTGGGCGGATGTGTTTCAGGAATCGCTCCGCTCGGGCTGGATAGGCGGGAAAGATGGGGACAGGCTTGTTCTGAAGGTGGATGAGGAGTTTGTGGGCAAGTTTGATTGGGATGGGAGGCGGCCTAAAGGTCTTGGAGGCGTAGTTGTGCGTCAACGAATCATAGGGGCCCGTGTAATAGAAGCTGATATTGTAGGAGCGAGATAGCACGACGGCTCCGCCCAAGCTACATCCCTTACCTGCTTTCCTATCCTCGCCTACACCGCTCCATGCCCCTGCTAGCTTGACGAGGCGCCTCGTAGCTCGGCCGCTGTACTGGGCATTCTCGCAATTGAACCCTTTCGGCGGCGAGAAGGAGGTCAAGGAAGAAGCTCTATGGAAGGCATATGGGAAGGGCAAAGAATATGTGCATGTGCCGCTCGTCGAGGTGAGCTAGTTCATGTTTCCTGTTGAAAGGACCCAGCTGATATCGTAGAGCGCAGCGGCCAAATTTGTCGCACATTTCGAGAGCTCGCCATTGCTGTCCTATACCGACTCACTCTTCGACGTCGACACCTTTCGACGTGCTTTTGGGCAGATCTGCCTGCCTGACAGCTCGGCAGCATCGAGCAAAGATGCCGGGAAGAAGGAGGAGGAAGAGCAAGGGAGACTGAGCAAGAAGGATGTCCTTGTGCTGGTCAAGTGGTTGATGCGGGATATGGGCGTTATCGTGTCAGATGGGACTGTAAGCTACATCGGCCGTACCCATATGGACATGGGGAGTGAGCTGACACACAGGTTATCAAGGTGCTGCAGCCGGACGAGACAGTCTCCGAGAACCCTATCACTGAGGTCGACCGAGGGGTCGTGAGCGTGCTGAACGCGCTGGAGAAGGTGGAAGCGCAGATCACGAGTATCGAGCAGCAGATCAACAGGTGAGCCAGCCATACTCTTGGCAAGGGGACACTGCTGATGTTCAGGTGTCAAGCCAAGGCCAAGGCTCATCTCGCAGCTTCGCAGCGTCCACTCGCGATATCGCAATTGCGGTCCAAAAAGGCGCTAGATGAGATATTACACCGGAGAGTGGGCGTCTCGGAACAGCTCAGGGGCGTGGTACGGAGCATCGATGAGGCGCAGAACGATGTGGATGTGAGCTGTGCCGCTTGGCCTGGGAGAGTTCAAGCTAATAAGCAGGTCATGTCCGCATATGAAACCTCGACCTCATCCCTCCGGACTATCCTCGCCAACCCCCTCCTCTCGCCCGACCGCGTCGAACGAACCACCGAAGATCTCGCTGAAGCCTTGGCGAGCCAGCGCGAGGTCGACGACGCGATCCGGATCGGAGGAGCGGTCGCTGTGGGGGCGGCGGGAGCCTCTGAGATCGACGAGGATGAGCTGGAGGCTGAGCTGGCGGGTTTAGTGGAGGAGGAACAGAGCAAGAAGGAACAGGCAGAGGCGGCGAGGCGGAAAGAGAAGGAGGAGCGGGAGAAGGTCTCTGCGCCTACCAAGGAGACCCGGCCGAGCGAACCAACAAAGCAGGACCGGCCGATCGAGTCACCCATACCCGCCTCGACAGGCCAGACCGCGCCACCTGTCCAGGCAACACAGCCGAAAAACGCGGCGGAGGACGAATGGGCGAAGCGGTACGATGCAGCGCAGGCTCGAGAGAGGGAGGAACGAGCCAGAGCCGATGTGGAAAGGCTCAAAAGGGAGGAGAAGAGGGTGGCAGCGGTGTCTGAGTGAGCGCGGGTGAGAGACTGCATTCGGGTTGGGTCATACGCCATCGACGGCAGCGGGGAGGCCGGCGAGGGTTTGGAAAGGAGAGGGGTCACATGCCCACACTTGCCCTATTGTTGTATGATCAAGACCCCATTATGCCATTATGCAGATCCACAGCTGGTCATGAGGGAAATAAGCTGATGCATTATAATCTATGAGACCAGGATGAATACCAAGAACTAGACTGTCAGCTGAACCCTGGAGACTGCGAGGCCGGAAAGTACACGTACAAAGATAATCAGAACTCCGAAGATCTTGAGCATCAACCATCGATTGCTCGTCACCGACGCATAATATTTCAACAGCTCTCTCTGCGCGCCTGTCACATTTCTGCAGTATCAGCGAAGTGCGATGGTTGGAATATAGGTTCCCAGCTCACGCTGCGATATCCGTCGTATCTGCATCTATACGCTGTACCGTTTCTCTCTGCTCAGCGACCATGCCCGCTAGCTGGGTGAAGATCTGGCCGAGTTCGGCAATCGTGCTTTCTATGGACTCTATCGCGGTCGAGCGGGACTGAATATAGTTGTCCTGGATTGTCAGCTACGCTCTCCGCGAGATGGCCTTTTGGTCAGCTGACCTGCTGCTCCACCACCTGCATCTGCTGGTACCCTCCCCCATTCTCCGCCCTGACCATCCCGCTCTCCCCTCTGTCCCCATCTATATCCAGCGCCAAAAAGTCTGTTTCTTGCGCGCCGGACCCGCCCGGTCCGCCCGGATACTGCGAAGCCGCATCGGGGATGGCGCGCGCTTTGCCCTTCTTATCTGGCGGGAAGCTGGGTGCTGAGCCTGGTCGTGATGAGCCAGGAGTCTGATTGAAGAGGAGCGAGTCTAGCTGTCAGTTTTGATACGGCACGAACCCGTAGGGGGACTGACTATTTGACGGAGCGGGAAGAGCAGATTGAGAAGCGGTGTGCATGAATTGTTCGGTCCGATCCTTGCTCGCCTTCATGTTCTACTTGGTCAGCTTCGTGGCTTGAGGCTCGGACAAGCAGACCATAGCTCACCTGCGTCCGCAGTTCCAAAACATCCTTGAACCCCATGCCCATATTCGCCAACCTGCTCTGCAGCATCATCACCACATTACTATTATGCTCTTCCACCTGCTTTCCATCCGACTTCTTGTCTTTCCCACCTCCGCCACCTCCGGCCTTTTGCGTCCGAACGTACGCCTGCAACGCCGCTATTTGGGTATTGAGATGCGCAATGTCTTGGCGGATGATATAGGTGAGCTCCGATATTTCGATAGGACGGTCATCGAAAAGCGTCTTCCGCTTGGCCACTGACGTGTCAGCGTAGTACTTCTTAGTAGTACACCTCCAAGCCAACGGCCCGCGACTCACACTGCGCCAGCTTGCCCAACTTTGCAGTCGTCGCATTGATGTCCTTCGCGATCCCACCTGCCATCTTCCCAAACTCGCTCAACTTCTTGCCGTCCGCCTTGGGACCCGCTCCACCCGCTCCTGGTGCGCGCAAGATATGCGCCCCATCTGACCCCGAACCCGAGGCGCCACTCGGACCGCCCAGGAGAGGTTGTCGCGCCTCGGCTTTCCCAGCTGATTTGCCGTTGCCGGCGGGTACCGCCTGCCTTGATCGGATGGAGGCTAGTGTGGAGTGGAACTCTGACGTGCGATCCTTGGCCATCTTGCTTGTAGTATTGAGTGAGATGTATGGAGTATTGTTGATGGTAATTGCCCTTTGTCTCTGCTGCCTCTGCTCTATCTGCATGCCTCGCTGTCACGGAAATCGCCCCCGGAACCAGCCGGAATCTGATTCTAGCGAGTCCGTGCGCCCCGCCTTAATAGGGTGGATTCAATAAACTAGCCCTGCCTGCACCTGCTCAGCAAGAGCTTCACTCTGCCTCTATTATACCTTCTGCCCACCTCATACGCCTATAATCAACACCAAGAACAGCGCATACAAGCTACAGCGCTAGCTCTATCCCTCAACCACCCAACAGCGCCCGGAAAATATCGCTCAAAAGCCATCTCTCATCATGTCTCGCGCAGCTCAACCCGAATTGAAGAGTATGTTACTTTCCTTCGCATCCATAATATCAAATGCCCGGGCCATCCCCAACCCTGTGTGACTGTCGAATGTACCAGGGGCTTCAGACTGACGTGCTGCAGAATTCATGGACAGACGGTGTTTCATCCACTTGCAAGGCGAACGGAAAGTCTCGGGCGTCCTGCGAGGGTTCGACATCTTTCTCAATTTGGTGATTGACCAGGCGTTCGAGGAGCTCGGTGCGGGAGAAAGGAAGCCATGCGGAATGATCGTAAGCTGACTTCTGTTCGATGGTGTACACGCACCCGTGAAGATGTATAGCTAACAATCAAGGTCGTTCGCGGAAATTCGGTATCGTCGATGGAATTAATCGATAGTATGAGAGTATAGTACCCCCGACTGGGAGCGGGGGACTAGACTGGATGGAGGCGGGGCCGAGGGACTGGCGAGAAGCAGTGTATAAGGGAATGGCCGGTCAACGCAGGAGGAGCAAGATTAGGGGCGAGCGGCGCAAAGATGCGGAAATCCGTCCAGGGCGACGAAGCGGGACCTGAAGAATGGCCTGGGGTCTATATCGCGCGTAGCGCAGTATCGTCATGAAACTCGTCTTATATCTGTACCGGCTGACGGATCCGAAGAGCTACTCACCACGTGCAAGATGGCCGTCGCCAAATCCACGTCGTGGGTATGTCCCCGCATTTGAACAAGTGCAGAACGACAGTACAAACACTGACTGACCTGCCCTGCATGTCGCTTCAAGCGCTCCAAGCAATAGCTAGATCTATGGATATGCTAAGCTAAAAGATCTAGATTCTAGATTTAACAATATCCCCTCGACGTCCTGCAGTTATTCTCCGGTTTCGTCTTCTACCCTTCCTTCCTCGACGCCAACACTCCCGCCAGCACAGCAGTCACCACCCCCAGTCCTACCAGACACCCCGCCCCCACCCAAATCACCCATCGTCTCCTCGACGACAAACTCGCCTGACCGGTCGAAACGTAACTCAACACCCTCGAACCCCTTTGCTGCGCCCCTTCCATCTGCGACCGCCGAGCGGGTGGATGCTGGCGATACACGTACGCCCCCTTCTCCGGCTCCGAAGCAAAGGGATCGTATGTCGATACAGGGCGAGAAGGGAGTGGGCGATCCATATCTGGGTTGGCTCGGGAGTTCCGGAGCGGGGAGAGCTGATCAGGATGATGAGCACCGATAGGGATGCAAGAGGGAGGGAGGATGATTTCGCCGTGCCGATGGATAGGTCCGTCAAAGCAGCCAATGGTCTCGCGCACTTCGTCGCCTTTCTCGAGGAGATTGGAATTCCGCCTCCACCCGAGGAAGGTAGGTTTAGGCGGGAGAGGCGGAGTATCGTCCCTCGGTAAGGGAACAACCAGCTCTTCCCCAGCTCCTGCTCCTACCGGTCCAGAAGACAGCGGTAGGTGTGTCCGACTACCCCTCTCAGACCCCGGCAAGGAGGAGTACCCGTCCCCACCCCACTCTCCGTCCCTTCTCACCCGCCTAGCGAGCCTGATTCGCGCCTTTCCGAGGCTGGACGAGACAGAAAGCGATAGTGAGGAGCGGCCAGAATGCGGAATGGGTGGAACCGGAGGTAATTGCCCATCGGGGTTAGAATGATGGGTCGAGTGGGACTGGGAGGTATCGATCGTGCGGGTGGACATGGCCGATAAGGCGCGCTGGAGTGAAGTGCGACGAGGGACGGAAGGGAGGGTAGTGTCGGAAGCGCGGAAGGGCTGATGTCGGATAGACTGGTTCGAGACCTGATCATATCAGCTACCATCTATCGTCACATTTGGCGGAGTCACTCACCCTCTTGCCCGCATTCAGTATCTTCTCTAGCACCGCCGCCCTTCCCAACAATCTTCCGAGATCCAGATCCTGCTCCTCTTTGCGAACAGTCCGGATACTCTTCTTTCTCTTCGGACGCGTGGGTGTCTCCACCCCGCCGTTGCCCCCTCCATGTCCCCCTCCATCCGCGATGTCACCCTCGTCTTCCTCCAGTAACCCCTCCTCTCCGTCTTCCCACGGCGACGTCGGTCTCAGCGTCCAGCTCATATCCGCCAGCCTATACGCCAACGACGACCCAGACGTCCGTTTTCGGCTCGCCGACTGTTGAGCGGATCTAGCAGACCGTCCCGATTTGGCCGATTTCGTAGACTTGGTGGACCGCGTCCGGGAAGACGAGTTGGACGCCTGATCAACAGCTGGTACGGCTGCGCCTTGGCCTTGAGCCCCTGCAGGCCGCCCCGATGGACGTATCTCAGCAGACGAAGGAGGTGTATCAAAGTTCGCAGCCCACGGGGATGCCGAACCCCGCGTCGCCACGTCCGATATCTCTCCTGCGAGCGGGTCATACGCCGACAGCCTGCTAGGCCCAGACTCCGGTATCGTCCGGACAGGAGGGAATGCCGAGGCCTGACCGAACGTATGCGCGTTGGACGAGATGTTTTCCCCTATTCCATGACCGGTCCCGCCGCTACTGCGCTGGGTGTACGGCTGGGAGCTCTGTGCAGAAAGGAGCGAGAGCGGCGAGGGCGGGTCGAGGGCAGGACGCGGGGCCGCATGATGTGGAGACCCGGGGCCGCCGTATCGAGCATGAGTGGCCGAGCTGGGTGAGAGGGGCAGGGACGGTGCTGGGGAGCGTGGAAGCCAATTGCGGGGTGTGTGAGGCGCGTAGATGGACGGAGAGGTAGGGACGGAGTTTGGAGCAAGAGGGGGTGGGGAGTGAGCGTGGTAGGGTCCCTTTCCGCCAGATGGGCTTTGGCCTTTTGATTGGGACCGCGTGGACGGTGAAGGGGAGTATACCGCTCGAGCAGGGGGCGAAGGGAAGGGGAGGCTCGCGAGGCCCGTAGGGGAGAGAGAGACGATCGAGTCCCGACTCGGCGGTGCGGTCGATGAGGACGGAGCCAGCTGTAGGTATGGTCGCGGATGGGAGGGCGCGTCCAAACCGCGGCGATCCTTCTGGGGAACCTCCGGTGCGAAAGATGACCTTGCCGAGCCTTGCTCAGTCCCCGTTCTGCTCTGCCCTATCACAAGACTCCCCCGCCCATCCCCCAGATCATGTACCGACCCCAGATGCAACAACCGCCCAGAGCTCGCGCTCCCTCTGCGCGCGTGCGAGATCAATGCCGGGCGCGGCTGTGCCTGCCCATGGTTATCCCGCGTCGTGACGGGCGATACGAGGTGCTCCGCTTGGGACACCTGCGAGGTGTACGCGTAGTCGTGGTCCGAGATGGAAGAGTAAGTCGTAGATGCGGGAGAAGAGGGGTGGGAGGGGCGGAGGTATTGCTGGGTGTTCGAGGTCGCGGGAGACCGAGGTGGCGTCCGAGCGTCGCGAGCAGGTGTAGACGGGGTGTCGCCGAGATGCACTGCTGGCGGTGATGCCTTTCTTAAGGCTGCCATGGTCGATGATCGATAATCCACTGTACGAGATGAGATGAGGTAGGCATCAGCTGTTGAGAGGCATGCAAACAGGTGCAAACATGGTCCGAGCACCAGCCCAGCACGGGGCAAAAGTGTGTGTGCCTGTGGGCCCTGGAAACTTTGTTTGACATGATACCTCGACAACCCCGAAATCGAGGGGTCAAGAAAGCCTTCTCGGACCCAATCAGCGCACTGCAGAGCGCAAAGCGTTGTATGAGGGCTGGAGCCTTGCGTTCCTATCCATGAGCCATGCGGACGTCGTAGGAGATAATGATTGTGGGTCGATGATGGCCCAAAGCGTGAAGCTAGAGAGGCGGAAAAGCGAGGAATGCGGAGCAAAGCTATAAGAGATGCCTGGGATGGGAGCGGTCACGCTCGGTCACGCTCTTCCGAGAGGGCAGTGCCAGTGGTAGCAATCTGAGCACCTGTGTGACTGTAGCTGATGGACAGAGACGTAAGACCGCTCCAGACACCATGTCGATCTCCGCCCCGCGAAGGGGGCACTCCAACACGTACCCGAAGCTGGGCGCTTGATGCTTCCGTACAGGCTCTTCAGAGCGAGGGCCATCCTCCACAAATTGCTCTGTCTCCATCTCGGGATCTCTCATCATACAGGAGAAAGAAACAACCAATGCATCTTGTATCTTCTTACGCCCTTCAAACCTGCGGATATTAGCTCCAATTTCAAGTACACACCCGAGGTGTCAAAAAACTCACCCTACTCTCCGTCACACTCAGTAGTACTGCCTCAACGCCCTCTCGCCAAACACGCCGGCAACACCCACAGCTCCGACCGCCCAGAACCAGACATTACCCAGCTCCTTGACGCCGGGCCAGAACGCATTCTTCTCCTCCCTGCTCTCGATGAGATCCAGCATCTTTTCTGGCTGCTCGTCGCGGTATCGCTCTTCCTGTGCGGCCTCGTTCTCCTTGTCGCCCGAGATGTGGCGGAGGAAGTACCAGTTGGCGAGGGGGCCGAGGAGGGTGTAGGGGTTGAAGATCTGGGTGGAGAGTTGGAGGATGGGGTAGGCGATGTGAGTGAGGAGGTCGCCGAGGTAGCTGAGAGTCAGCGTGAAGCTCGCAAGGATCCAGAAAGAAGACCTACTTGGGGTGCCTGACAATGCTCCATACTCCGTCCCTGCAGAGACCCCTTCCGCCCTGAGCCTTGTAGTGCGCAATCTGCCAGTCCGCGATGCTCTCGAGCGCAAAGCCGGCCGTCCAGATCCCGACCGCTGCCGCCTCGATACCGACAGTCCAGTCCGTAGGGATGATGAGCGCCTTGGCGTTGACCGCGTAGAAGGGGAATGTGTAACCGAGGGCAATGACGGCCTGGAAGATGGCTTCGGGGAGGTACTGGGTGAGAGGAGCCCAGTTCCAATCCGAGCTGGTCTTGGCGTCGGCGTACCGCGGGTCGTCGGCAAAGTTGCGCTTGATGGCGCGGCTAAGGACCCGGTAGAACAGCCGACCGCCCCAGAGGGTTACACCGGCGAGGAGGAGCTTGGACGGACGAGAGAGAGCGCGAAGAGCAACACGGACGGGAACGCCATCATTGATGACTGCCCGACCGACCGAGGCGTACCAGATGTTGATGACCTGTCCGGCACCCCAGAGGAAGTCCTTGACTTCGACAACGTTTGCGGACCGGGCGATGAGGTAGGTTGGGATTGCGAGGGCGGTGTGGACCTGCAGCGACGGCAGCAAGGCCGAGCGCAGGATTCCTGGGTCGAACAGGGATGCGATGGAGGTGGTAGTAGGGGCCGACATTGTGGATGGGAGAAGAGAGGTAGAAGGAGGAATGGGGATCTGGTTTATAAGGGAGCAGCTCAGCTCAGCTCAGCTGGTCCAATGACGCTTAGCTGTAGGTCATGACGTCATTCCTAGGCATCCCATTCCAGGCACAGAGCCAAAGTTTCCCGCTTGTGGCAGTACTGCTTCAGCATTTGGGTGCATGGTGTTTTCGCGCATGAATGCTGCGAGTCGTCCCGGACAGGCTGTATGGTAGAGGTGCACGAGTACAGGCACAGACTATATGTGGAATCGCTCAGTATAGTCTGCTGAAGTACAGCGCAGCGCTCTCAGCCGTGGACGCGTTCGCGGCAATACCCGTCCCGGTCAGTCTACCGGTACCTGCTGCTGTCCCGTCGGGCCTTGGGCTTGATAGCTTCTTTCTCCGTCAGTGTCAGGTGAAAAGCATCAAGATTCAGGATGCCCATACCCCCGCTACCGCCGTTCTCAGCTCTGCCCCTCAAGAAGGACGGGCCCCCGTACAATGCCTGGGGCCTATACGGTGAGGACGATGAGCTTGGCCGGCTCAACTTGATCACGCCCGAGGTGGTCCAAAAAGGTATCGACTCGGTGAAGCACGGCGTAGTAGTCAACCTCAAGTAAGGACGAGATCTTGACGGCCTCCGATCGCATAGCTGATGTGGCAGTCTGCCGCTAATCAACGAATTGGGCTTACCTGGCCGAGGCGCGACTCACGAGATGTGCGTCCATACAGTGCGCTTCGGAAGCGGGCTCAAGCTGACATAGGCAGTAAAGTTGGTCCCCGGTCACTGGATGATATCCTCCACTTCAATACCCAGGCTTCGAGCCAGTGGGATGGGCTTCGACACTTTCCGTACCAGAACTGGCCAGAACAAGGGGACAAGCGGTGAGCGCTCGCTGACCAGGTGGACTGCATTGAAAGTGTAGCTGACGGTCGCAGGTACTACGGCGGAATGACATTCGATGAAGCGCAAGATGACTCGCACAACAAGCTCGGAACGCAAAGTGAGCAGCAGTTCCCTTGGGCTCTCACCTCCCTCTTCACGAGTTGACCCATAGACTATGTCCGCCGACCCATAACCTCCCGCGCCCACCTCCTCGATATCCCCCTCTATCTCTCCCGCTCCTCTCTCCCTCCTCTTTCATACACCGAGAACCCCACGCCCGTCACTTTGTCGATGCTGAAAGGCTGCGTCGAGCTCCAGGGAAACAAGATCGAGCCAGGAGACGTCCTGATGATCCGAACGGGGTGGACCGAGGTCTTTGAAGCGCTGAGCACGGAGGAGAAGGCTAAGTGGAAGCCTGAGCCCGATGTGGGTGTGGAGCGCGGAGAAGAGATGTTGAGGTGGCACTGGGAATTGGGAGTTGCGGCTGTGGCGGGCGACGTGTGAGTGGTCTACATACTGATGAGAGGTGTCACAGGACAAGGTGCTGATGTCGTAGACGGGCATACGAGCAATACCCCTGGCCCAAGACCGAGCTCGCCAACCACGAAGTCTTCCTCTCTGGCTGGGGCATGCCCATTGGCGAGCTATTCGACTTCCGCGAGCTCAGCAAGAAGTGCCATGAGCTCGAGCAGTGGACATTCTTGGTCACGAGTATGGTTCTGAACGTGCACGCGGGGATAGCGAGTCCGCCGAATGCCCAGGCGATCTTGTAACGGCGAGTAAAGGAAGTTGATTCAGATCTGATGCATCATACAGCAGAGCCAAATACCGGCCGGAAGGCTGGACTATCCACTGAAGGACTCCCCTGCGCTGTCTGATGAACCCCCCTCGCTGGCGGTATCCTCCTCCAGCTGCAAAGCTGAGAACCGTATTGCTCCCACCCTGGCCCACACTCGTAGATCCTCGTCGACATCGCTCTCTCCATCCCCAATCACGGTCTCCTCGCTGCTCGAGCTCCGTTTCGACCGCCGCTGCCACCTAGACGTCTCGCCCTCGGATCCGCTAGAGTGCTTCGCTGGCTCAGCGGGCGCAGGTCCGCCTGACCACATGCCTCGTCCTTGGCGCTCCACGACTGATCCTGGAGGGTAAAAGCACCATCTGACTCTGCCTTCTGCGAGAGCGAGCATCACTGACGAGTCAGCTCCGTCTCTGCTTATATCAGCAGCAGTGAGAACTCACTGCCTGTAGCTGCGCGATTCCCGTCTGGACGTCCAGTCTTTGCAGTCACTGATGAATCAGCTTCTGAAGTGCAGAGTGAACTACAGAATCACTCACGATAGCCACGATCAAGCGCACGCCCTTCGATGATCTTCCAGGCCGTCCACTGCTCCGCGATAGGTGCGTCGTCCAAGAGCTCGGGCGAAGGCGACTTCCTTACACCGCGCCATGTCCGCTTGTGCTCGTACTCATCCTTCTCGATCGGGGAGGGAGGATAGGGGATAGCGAAGATCTGTTCGAGCGGGAGAAGCCGGGCGGCCGTGAGAACGCAAGCTGGTAAGGACGGGATGCGCGGGATGGGCAAGACTGAAGGATCAGCGGTGATCATGATATCGAGCAGACTAAGGCCACTGACCACCGCATAGAGCTTGCAATTCCATTCCGACCAGGCTGGGACAGACGAGTCCCGGGCAATCGACAAAGCGGACCTCCTTCTTTGAACCCCAGAACATGGTCTGGAAGTGCTTCGTCTAGATAGTCAGCCGCATGTCAGGTCTGAAACATAGAAGATACATACCTTGCCCGCTGAGCGACCTGCTCGGACCCTCGTCTCCCCCAGAACAGCATTCAAGAGGGAAGATTTGCCAACGTTCGGCTGGCCAATGAGCCCGACCGTGAGCGGATCTGCTTTTCTGGCTACGATTTGCAGGTCCAGCGATGGTGACAGTGAGTCCGAGAGCTCCGCCCAGTCGACATCACTCTCCATCGGCCGTGCTGCTGTCGAGGGATCCTTGCTGTCCAAGGGAGCGCTGCGCGATCGAAGCCGGCCATGAGCGACCTGGAGAGCGTCGATGAGTTGTAGTCGAGATGTTCGGGGAAGGTTCGGTCGTCTCCTAGCGATATCTGGAGATCAGTCTCCATCTGTATAAACTGTATCCGGAACACTCACTGGTATCGCCGTCATCATCAAAGCTCTGAACCGTAATGACCTGCACCGCCCTCCCTGCTCCCTCCTCGCTTGTATACCCCTGTGCCCACCAAGTCCTGACCCACTGCTTCCAGCCGGCCAGTGCAGCAGGCTCGACGAGGTCAGACTTGGTGAGGACGAGTATGACTTCCTTGTGTGGACGGAGTGACTGGAAGTAAGAGCGAAGCGAAGTGGGGAGGTGCAGGGCAGGACAGCGGGCGTCGGCGAGTAGGAGTAGGATTTGTGACGACTCGGTGACGCGCCACCTGTCCATCAGCTCTCTGTCAACTCATCATGAATCGCAGCCATTGACTAACAGCTGCCGCCAGACTTCCAGATCGGTCTCGAACCAGGTCGGACTCCTCAGCGTCGGCGTCGCGGATGTACCGGGCGCGTCGACCTGCGACTCGTCGTCCTCCTCCTCTTTGATACCCTGGGAGCCCACCCAGCCCTCCGTGATGGCTCTCGTCTCTCTCAGCCACTGATCATATGACTCCACTTCATTCCTCTCCACCTCGTCCTTGGTCTGACCCGCGATGAACGCCGGCCGCGCAGGGCACCCCAATCTCCTCTCATCCCGCTCCATCCACTCCGCCGGGAAGATCGCCACCTCGTTCTCCAGCGGTCGGCCGAGGAGAGACGTATGTGCGAGATCCCTTGTCCGCTCCAGGAACTCCGGCGTCATAGCGATGAAACGACTGTGAAGGCGAGTCGCCGACGCGTCCACCTCGGCAGGATCAGGTCGGTGGTTCGCTCCGGTCCGATAGTTGCCAGCGGGATTACGAGCGTACCGTACCTCCGAAGGATCGAGCTCTCCGCGTTTGACGGCGCGCTTGTCTTGCAGTTGCTCGCGCTTCTGCTTGGCCGAGAAGGCTATAGGCCGGGGCATGGTGGTGTGTGTATGGGATTTGGATAAAAGAGTTAGGGTGAGGTGATGAGCGGTCTTTCTGTGGAGGGGTGGAGGGGCCTGGGCAGGTGTGCTGCCAGCTGCGGAGGGAGATGTTAAGCGTCATTATATATGCTTAGGCCTTGATGTGGACGACAGTAGTCCAAGACTCGACACTTTGCAAAGGCGACTCGGTGCTGGCGAGTAAATTTCGGATCCGAAGTCGCGGAGCCGGTCGAGTCGTGTCGTCGATAGGTGTCGAGGGTACTCTAGGCGCTTGACAATCCTTTGTAGCGTCTTGTGGGACGGGTAGGGGCGATGGTATACAGCGCACAGTCATTGAGAGCGTTGAGGAAGATTATCGCTACATGACAGACGAGGAAGGATATGATACTTATATAGGCGGATCAGCTCTGATCAGGCACAAGATTGTGCAATATTTTGGGTCCTTCCCGCGCCCACCCTCCCAGCTTCCGCCCACAGATGCGCACCTCCCCTTCATGAACATGTTCACGAGCTCTCACTAGGCACCCCAGATGGCAGCTCCCCCAGCCGGGGCGCTTTGACAGCTGGCAGCTTGCTGTCGTAAGCTCGCTCGAGGACCATACCGAGACCAGGTATATCGAGCGGCTTGAGTAGGCAATCGAAGAACCCCGCTTCCTCGCATCGTCGCCGAGTAATCTAGACATCAGCTTGACCCAGATCTCGAGGAGAAGGAAGACTCACTCCGAGTGCATCCGCCGTCAAAGCCACCACCACTGGATCCCCCGTCTCTGGTGTCGCCTGCATCTCCCTCAACGTCGAGAAGCCATCCAGCACCGGCATGAACAGGTCGCACAGGATGACGTCGTACTGCTTCTCCTTTGCCTTGTCCACGCCTATCCGACCGTTCTCTGCCGAGTCGATTCCGGAATAGCCGAACATCTCGAGGAGTCGCTTTGCGACGGTGATATTGACGCGGTTGTCGTCGATGACGAGGATGGATAAAGGGCAGCGCTGCGGGTCAGCTCTGACCCATCATAGTACAAGGAAGACGTACATCAGCCAGACCCTTGTCTATAGGACGTTTCCGCTTTCGGGAAGAGGTTGGTGCGGCTGAAGTAGGAGTGACGGTCCCGGAACCCTGGCTGGCTAGCAGTTGGTATAGATCGTCAAAGCGGAATGGCTGCGCAAGCAGCTCGTGACGCTGAGAAGTCAGCAGCTGTCCTCCAACGCGGAGGTTAAGGCCCACGTCGAGGTCGAGCCTTTTCATGGTCTGCGCAATGAAGATATTCGGGCAAAGCAGGGTCAACTGGCGGTCAGCGCTCTTTCGTGATACAACTCACATTTGCCAGCGGATACCTCTCCCGGACCTTTGCGACATCGGCTTTGTTGAGCATGGCGACGTTGAGGAATACTAGATCGAATGGGCGATCCGCTGCGGGGCCGTCGGGATAAACGTTCTTGCCCGGCGCGACTGGTATAGCGGTGAATCCAAGATCAGTCAAGCTACAAGTCAGCCTTCGCCCTGGGCAGGGCTCACTTTTGTGCAAAGATGTCTCGCGCGGGTCCATGATGGCAGATAACGAGGCAGGTGCTGAGAACGTCAACGCGCAGCTCTTTGTCATCTTCCCTCCAAAAGACTCACCGATGTGGAAGTGGAGTGCGGGGCGGAGGAGTAGTACGATCCACCCGTGCGATGAAACTGAAAGTAAAGGTGGAGCCCTTTCCGAGCTCACTGACTGCGGTACAGTCGCCGCCCATGAGCCGAGCGAGTTCCCTCGATATGACCAGACCGAGACCGCTTCCACCGTACGACCGGGTGATGCTGCTGTCGATTTGGGAGAAGCTTTGGAAGAGCTGATCCATTTCTAGTGGTCAGTCCAGTCTCGCAGCGACACTTACTATCCGCCGGTATACCGATCCCCGTATCTGCGACGTCCAGCGACACCAGCACATTATCCCCACTTTCACCCAAAGCCTCGTATCGCCACGCCACTGTCACTGTGCCCTCCGACGAGAACTTCACCGCGTTGCTGACAAGATTGATGAGGACCTGGCGAATGCGGGTGGGGTCTCCAAATAGCGGTGGCGGATCCGTCTTGATCGAGCTGGCAAGGCAGAGGTCGACGCTCTTCCCATGCGCGATAGTCGCCATGCTCTCGATCGCCGTCTCGCACAGCTCGCGAAAGTCGAAGGGGATGCTTTCGATGGAGACAGCGTTGGACTCGAGGCGAGAGTGATCGATGATGTTGGAGATGAGATCTAGCAAGTGCTCGCCGCTTGATATGATCGTACCGAGATGCTCCATCTGAATCTCGGTCAACCCACCGGAGCCCTCGAGCACCGCCGCAAGACCCTGGCATCAGCGTGTCCAGACCGTGGACTTACGAGTACAGCTGAGAGAGGACTGCGCAGCTCGTGCGAGCAGGAGCTGAGAAAGTAGCTCTTGACCTGCAGGCTGTGCGAGAGCTGAGAAGTACGCTGGTCGACCTCATCCTTGAGTCGCTGGGTGAAGGACTGCTGCTCGGCGATATTGTGGGCGAATGTGGCCAGGCAGGAAATCACGTCTCGAGCGGATTGGGCCTCGATCGAGATACTGCTGCTTGTCATGCAGGACAAGAGGATGACCTTGCGTCAGCTATGCCGAGTATGAGACTCACTCCAACCTGGCGTCCCTGGGTGTAGGTGGGAAGACATATCATCATACAGGGCGAGCGATCGGCGTAGAAGGGGTCAACAGGCTGTAGCTTGTCGGAGTTGGATTCCACCATGCCCTTCAATCAGCTCAGTCCTGCCTTGCAACTCACCGCTCCGGTCCTCGAGACCTGCAGCATGATCGAAACTGGGGCAATCTGGCTGACTCCGTCCTCCGCAAAGTCCAAGCTGTACTGCTGAATATCGTCGTATCTCCCGCCAGCTCGGAGTCGAAGCCCGCTTCTGCAAGCGGAGTCTTGCACTGCAATGGCGGCAAAGTCGGCTCGAGCAAACTATCATCAGTTATGAATTTGGCTGAGGCTTACTTGACACAGTATCTTGAGCAAGGTGCAGAGTAGCTTGGCTGGATCCTTTTCGGCTGTCAAGGCCAGGGACGAGCGAAACAGCGTGAGAGCACCGAGGCCGTCGCTCATATTTGAGATTTCCTGTGAGGATGATCGTCCATGACTGGATTGGGATGGCGAACCGGCTGCGGGAAAGTTCTCGCTGACTGGCCTGGTGTCAATGGCGAGCGCGGGTACCTTGTATCCGTGCTCTAGGTACTCGCCAAGACCGAGCGCGCCCGATGCCCTGTACGATGCAGCTGCGCTCTGATGGTAGGTCCTTGCGAGCTTGGCGCTGCGGGTAGTATCCTGAACATGCTGCCCAATCGCATAGCTGAGCAGACCTACTATCAGCTTGTAGGGCGCCATGGCTCACCTGAGACGTCGAATTGCCCGGCGTCGTCCAGACGGTCTAGCATCTCATCCGCCTTGTCGAGATTGGCGAGACCGGATGATAAGACCTTGCGCATGACTAGCAGCGCGTCTCGGCGGTAGTGAAAGTCCGCATCTGATATTAGCTATTGCTGGGGGACGGACGTACCCTCTGATACCGGTGCAATCCAGGCTAAGCTGTCGTCTAGCTCACTGCCCCTCCGACCAGCCTGCAAGAAGTATATAGCCGACAGATATGCCCATTCACAGCTCCAGATGCCAAAGCCGAGCTGGAAGATGATGCGTGCGTCACCATTGTCGATGATCGAAGCTATGAAGGGCGACGGCGCGTTGAACAGGGTGGCCACGCGCAGTTGGAAGACCTGGATGGCTCCGAGGTATAGCGGTATTCGGGCGATGAGATCTCGTTCTTCCGCTTGTAGTTCGGCACCTTGTAAGACCCAAGGCTCGGGTACCGTACAATACGTTGCGAGGCGGGTGTGACATTCCAGAGCTAGGAGTCAGCTAACCTCGAACTGTTACTCACCTATTCTCATGACGACCTGCGTTGCGCGGGAGGCAGACTCCACGATCCCATCATATTGCATTTGTAGCTTGCGCCGGGAGCGCACGCTGGTGAATGACAAGCTGGCGCATTCTAGCACGAAGGCCCCTTATCATGAGCTGGGACATGTGTGTAGACTTACATCCGGCCACATCGTAATTGGCCATTGAGACGGCGAAGTTGACGGCATGCTCTGAGCGATCATATACAGTCGACGAAGATTCCAAGGTCTGCTGATCAGAGCCTCGCCTCGCCTTCGACTTACGTAGGATCCACTCGCGATAGCTATCCGAGCAAAGGGAGAGAGTGACGAGGAGACGAATCTTGTGGCTAACCCGCTCGCGAGATTGAAGACGATCTTCTTGATGGCGATGTTGGTGATCTGCATATCAGCTAGGACCGAGATGTGTACGTACAGTAATCATCCCCGAAGCGATGATGCCCGCGTTGACTTCGATCGCGCAGCCTAGCTTCGCGAGGAGTGACATGGAGAGCCTGAACAGCTCTGCGGTATCGTCGAGGTCACCGAGATAGAAGGCTGGGCTGACGTGACCTTCTGTCAGCTTTGCATGATCCCCAGACTCACCTATGAGGACCGTAATGAGATAATCCAAACTGTCAGAGTCCGTGCACGAGTCCGATGCCAACACCATATCGCTGATTCGCTGAACCTCATCCACTGACTCGACATCGACCAGTGACAAGCGGGAGGGTAGGTCGGGACGGTAGCCGTATCTTTCCAGCGTGACGCGGAAACGCCGCGTGCTTTCCTCCATGCGATTGGCTGTCATCAGCATGGCAGTCTACCAGGAACTCACCAGAGATTAGGAGTCTGATGATCAATGTTTCGATTCGCAGTCTATCGGATTCGGCGGTAAAACGAAGCAAAGCTGTGTCCAACTGTTCGTCAGCTCCACCGCTCCACGCGACCTACCTCCGTAAACGTTTCGTCAAACTGCTTCAGAGCGCTGCACACCTCGACCTGGAGGTGGAGATACCGCATGTACGATTGCGGGTTGGACAGCCACCATTGGCTGGTATTTGGCTGGGACTCGGCGATTTCTGGGATCAGCAAGGACCGACCCAGAGCTCACCTCTCACAGCAGCAAGGAAGGCCCGGGCAGAATTGAAGCCTGCTGAGAAGGTGCAGCGATACACGGCTTCCAAAAGGACCTGAACCAGCTCCTCAGGTGGACCAGTCGTGCCGTTCAGGGATCGAGCCTTCAAGGCATGTTGGGCACTGTCGTAGGCGTACTCAACGATCAGATCGGGTTGGCGGAGGGTGTCGTATGCTCGAAGGTGGATATCGGCAATAAGAGATGGCGGGATCAGCTTATATGCGGCTTGCTGAGTAATTAGCCAAAGATCGCTCAAGCACTCACTTTTTGCCTATCATGCGTGAATCCGACGCCCCTCTCGTCCCATACAATGATCCCAGCCTGTTTCGCAGAACGTAATCTGGCCTCGAACTCCTCCCCCGTGATGTCCAGCTCGCCGTAGATCACGTCCGGCCTGATGCGTAGAGGCATGCACGACAGTAGCTGCTGATCAGCTTCGCTTCCCGCTTGGCTTACGCTCAGTATGTCTCGAGTGCCCTTGCTCAGACCCCTTTGCAACTCCTCAAGGTACCCATCTACATCTTCCTTGATCAAAGAAGAGTACACATCCGAGAAAACCCAGAGACTAGCCGAGTAGTCGAAAGTTATTGCACGGGATTCGACCTGAACTTAGCTTGAGTCCCATATCAAACTCACCAGTCGATCAAGGAGTACGCGGAGATACAATGGGCTGCCGCCCGTTTCGGCATGGAGGAGCCCGTACAGAGTGGGAGCGCGGTCAATCGGCGCCCCAAAGGATTGATGTATGACTTGTTGAGTGGCGTCTGCGTCGAGGAAGGGGACCTGGACGTGGGTGCATGAGGCGGACAAAAGCTCGCGATCGGCTGGACGTTCACTATCCGGGACGCGGTGTAGCGAGACCGCAAGTACGTGCAGAAGCGGTCGACCTTGACTGAGTATGTCTCTCCAGCTGACGTCAGCGCGTCCAGATCTTGTACTCACATGCTGTGCTCCTCAGAATGCATCCATTGCGTGTCGTCGATCAATAAGATCAATGGCCGATCTGGCGTCGCCAATTGTTGAAGCAACCGCTTACACCACAACCTGAAGGACTGGATGAAGGTGCTCCAGTCGATGTCTTCCAGGGCGGGCGGTTCCGAGCCGAGGAGGAGCACCTTCTGCGACTTGGGTGGTAGCATGGAGTAGAAAACTGGAAAATGCGGACCGAGAGTCGTGCGGATGACCGACGCCCATTCCCGAGCATCCTCCTTGGGATCCGCCAAGAGCTTCAGCAGAATGGACTGAAAAAGCTGGACAAAGCAGGCGAGTGGCTTCTGTACCTGCTCGTCCAGCTTTGCGTAGGCCACCAGACAGCTGGCCTGCTCTGGCTGATCGACCCATGCCCGCGCTACGACGGTTTTGCCGCTCCCGCTGGGACCGTAAAGATCGACGTTCCGGAATTTGCCCATGTCCCCGATGCGCCTGGCCTTGTCCAGCTCTCTGCTGAGCGCAGCAAAGATCGGTTCGCGCGCGACCGGCTGCTTGGGGTACTCGAAGCGAGATTGTTGATCGATTAACCCCACCGACAGATCCGACAGGGCGGCCTCGCCCCGGAGCGAGGACAGGATCTTGGCCAAATCATACGTCACCGAGGCGAGGTTGTGGTACCGCTCCCGCGCGTCCTTGGCCAAGCAGCGCATGACCACCCCGTCCATTGCTGATGACAAAGCATCGGACACTGGACCGAGACGAGTTGCCAAAGGTTGTATGTCGAGGTTGAGATGAGCGTGGATGTCATTCAGGAGGTCGACCGACGCCCTGGCTGGTAGGGTATCAATAGGTCCTCCGCCGAGGAGCTCGTACGCCATGACACCGAACGCATAGACGTCATCGGCTACCCCGGCTTCTCGACCGCTGACAGCTTTGGGCGAGAGGTTTCGGACGTGAGTGCGGACAAAGTCCGTGTTAAGCGGTCGAGCCGAGCTGGAAAGTGCCAGGGTAGAGAAGAGGGTTGCAGAGAGATCGGGGTGAGGTTCCGGAGCGGATCCATGGGTACCAAGGAACGCTTGGTCTAGGATTTGTAGGCGGGCGGTTGGGGTTGTCGCGGGGCTGATAATGATCAAGGATGGATCGATGACCGCAATGGTGAGACCGCTCTGGTGCAGATTCTGCAGATCAGCCCGATTCCCGCCAGCTCCAAGACTTACATTGAGACACCTTCCCACTTCTTTCAAAACTTCTACGCCTTTTCTGTACCGCCCTTCCAGGGCTACTCCGCCGTGATCCATATCCACGTCCCCGCCATCCTCTGCCGTCTGCCCCCAAGGCAGTCCCACTTCCGCTTTCCAGTATCTGACCAAGTCCATCCAGCCCTCCCCACCACCAGGCTCGGGGCGGGTGACCAGCCACATCCCATCCGCGTCATCCCACCAAGCCAGAACCGCCGCGTCAACGCCCCATCTCGATTCTGGTCCCACTTTCCGCGCGCAGTCCAGCGCGATAATCTGTGCTAGACGGAGGAAAGCTTGCGAGGCGTCCTCGTACTCAACATCGGGTGCTGGACCCGGATGTGGCAAGTAGCGGACCCTGACTATTTCACCCGGAGTTACATCCGCGAGCAGTGGACCTGATGCGACGGGTGTCAAGTTGGCGAGACCGGTCGAAGATGTCGGTGACAGAGTGGAATAATAGCTTGCGGTCGAGCTGGAGGGTCCCGCCGTTGGCGCGGAGGAGGCAAGGCTGCCGGTCTTGTCGGGATAGAGGGGGTCATGACGGTGATTGTGGAGGCCGTGCCTTTGCAGCAGGATTGAGTCGGTGAGTGACATGGGAGTGGTGAGCAAGGATAGGATGAAAGCCACAACATCGGCATGGGACCCACGCTGTCAGAATTAAGACTGCTCCTGATCGACCTGATCCTCCCAATGCGAAGCGAGAGTGCAGAACATGGGCCTGGCCTACATACTTGATTGGGCTCTCTCTCTCCCGCTCGAGGAACGATGATGATGTCAGCGGGAGAAGATAGGTCTTTTGAACCACGGGGGTCCCTGAGGCACAAGGAATGTGGTGGCCTATAGCCGCTAGTACGGAGTTGTATAGCCGCTAATGAAAATACCAACAAAAAGCTACTAATCAAATGTCTGCTCGATCAGGAAATTGCGAAGGCTTCCGCCGGAAGGCCGGGAAGATGAAGCTTATTAAAGCTTTCATGTGTCAACAAACCACTCTGCGTCGGTCCCTTTATCCGTACCACTCGCGATGATCTGGTCCGCAAGCTGATCTACATCATGACCGGAGCGCCTCCTACGCCATTCCTCCCCATCTGTAAACACATCTGTGAAGATCAGACTCTTCTCATCGACACCGAGCCGGTCTTTGACGATTCATTCGATTCTTGGCCCCCTTCACCTCGGGCTCGGGTGCAACCGTCAGAGCTGGCGCTATTAGCCACATCGGCGGATCCGCGTGGTAGGTATGCCTCTGCGACCACGGAGGAAGGGGCATCGCCGCAACCTCCAGCGGAGTCATGGCCGAAGGACGCAGAAGGCCAGCCGTCTAGCCAGTTTGGCGCGAAGAGATTAGGTGGGGACAGCCCTGCCAAGAGACATGTACGAAAAAGAGGTTGGTATACCCCAGGCGCTACACATAATGAGAGCTATTTCGCTGATAGCTCAGTTAAGCCTCCTACGCCAGTCAGAAATGACTTCTTCACCCGCAGAGTGCAGGATTCGGACCGCCGCTCGAGCTTGGGTCCCAGGAGAGTCACCCAAGCTGGCCCCAGCCATGCGCCGCCCCGTGTAGTCAGCCGACATTCAGACCGGTCGTCCACATCTTCCGACATGGTCGGCGTACCGGGACTATCTTATCTTGTCGATTCGGCCGCCTCGCTTGCCGCTCGCGAAAGATGCAAATCCCCGGGAGCGATATCTTCACAATCACATCCCGGTCCGATCGGTCACCGCTCTCGGGACTGGACTCCAATCCCTCATCTCTCACGACACTCTCCACCAGGGACCCTTGCTCCAACCACCTCACTCCATCGCACTCTCTCAAACCAAAGTACCGCATCATCCTCCCGGCGCGATAGCCTGTCGGAGCGCGTGTCGGGCTTCTTTGCCAACCTCATCCGGCGGCGAAGCTCCAGCTTTGCAGGTGTTCAGACCATCGGGCAGCGGACGGAGGACGAATGCGGATCGGCTGCTGCTGATGGCGAGCAGGTCTCGGAGCCAGAGACGGGGGAATCCAGCTTCGAACCCTCCGGAGATGCCTCTAAAAGGAGTACTGGGGGCGGAAGCAGGGGCGATGAAGGCGATGGGACCGAAGCTGGTGTGGTGCGCAGGGTACCGCCCGTCAGCGGATTGCCGCAACTCCGCCTCCCACCGAATCTCACCAGGCCGGCTCCCTGGGCATTGTCGACCACCACTTGCGCCCTTCAGCCAAAGAAGATCATCCCCAACGCTTCATCTTCAGCCGGCGCCTCGCAAACATCAAATGCCCCGCGTAAAGTGCCGAGCACAGCCCACCCTATCCCTCCAAAATCTACTCTGCCACCCCGCTCGACTCAACCTACCTCATCTTTCACCGCTCGCGCGCTCTCTCGGCTTCCCGCTCCGGGCCAGGGCTCATCCTCTTCATCACGTCCGACTACCATTCGGACGACTGAACGGGCGCTCGACCTCGCTTCCAAGCGGGAGACTTTCGAGCGGCTTGCGCGGGAAGCTGCCGAGGACAAGGTTCGTGCCTTAGCCCAGTACTCTACACGTGTCGCGCGGCCAGTCACTGGGATGAGGAGGACTGTCCCGGTCAAAGGAAACACACCCGGGACGGCGAGCAGGCAGCGGGCAGAGGAGAGGGCACGGTTCGAGCAATGGCTAAGGGAGCGTCATGAGGAGAAGAGCAGGAGAGATGAGGCGATGCGGCAGGCGAGGGAAGAGCTGGATAAGGCGGAGGTTAGGGTGGCGAGGACGGAGACGGTCGTCTGGGCCAAGGGTTTGCCAGGGATGTATGGCAAACCAGCCGAAGCAGGACAGGGGTGACCCGGAGGGATGACACGAGTGCTGGACTGGTTGTACATCAGCGTGATGAGCTCCGCGTCTAGCTACATTCCTTCATCTTCTACTCGCAGCAATCCAGGCTGAGTGGGAAGGTGCTGCATGGCTCTGGCAGCCCGCCGCGGCAGACTCTGCTGCAGAGCTGGACCACATGTCGGTTACGTCATAGCTCCCCATGCACCTATTCCGGCGGCTAGGTCTTACGCCTTTACTTGTCTCCTTGTGAAGCACGCTATCGTCCTAATCTCGAGGCTGGGACATGATCGCAGCGCGCACCGCGATAGCCAGAGCGAGTCATTCATACGGCGCGAATACCTTTTCTTCGGGCGCAGGCACTGCCCTGACGAGGCAATTCGGTCAACCCCGTCCTCTCACACAGCACGCGAAGCTCGCCGGCCTCTATACCTCAAGTACACCTAAATCCCCCACGCATATCCGCCAACTCCTTCAGAGCCCTTGTATATCATACGGCTCCACTCGATCCTTCCACACCGGCCACCCTGCCAGCTCCTCATTCCTCGGTAGATGGCTATCTAAAGGACGAGGGATGAGACGTAGAATTGGCGCATGGGCGGACAGCCTGGGCGTGACCTCCACGCACGTCAGTCGTGAGAATGATGGATCGAGGACACCGGCCGAAATGAGCGAGAGCGAGGAGCTGTTTGTGATGCCGGGTTGGGCGGTGGTCAAGTATCGCGAGGGAGAGACGAGCAAAGATGGATCGCCAGGTCAGTCTCTGTTGAGCCTAGCCCGGGCGGATGAGTCGCGCAGCTGCTGAAGATCCTAGCGCCTTTTGATTTGCACGTATCGGTATCTGGATTCTGCTCGGAAGCTCGGTCGCCTACTACGGTTTCGAGAGCTCAGCGAGTCATTGTATCAGTGGTCAGACGTGAGTTCACAAGACGGTCTGCTCCCATTGGGTTCTGCTAGGTAGCTGACTCGATCAGGCTTTGCGGCACTTCCGAATCTACCCGGTCTCAATCCCGAAGATCAGCCAATGGGTCCGCTACCCGCTGCTGTCGGTATGGCGTTCCTCGAGCAGGCAGCAGAGGATGATGGCGAGGGAGGCAAGGCGGACAGGGAGCGGCATCAACCCCATAATCTACCCTACACCCCTCGTAAGAAAAGGACGCCGTCGGTTGCGCCCAGCGTTGCCATCGAAAACAGCATTCGGGCCAGCTCGTCGGGGACCGCCGCACCTCCGCCAGGTCCATCAGGGAGCGCCCCCTCCCCCTCCCGCCCCTCGTCTATCCGCAGTCCCTCCCGCCAATCCTCCGTCTCATCCACCGATACCGCTTTCGCGGACAAGGCGTCCATCCGGACCGCTCACACCAACCTCAACGCCCGGCTTGCCCCATTCTGGTCCAGCGTCCTTCCCAGTCGGCGGGTCTTATTCGACATTTACGCCCTACCTCCCGACGCGGAGTTCCCCAAGTCCCCCACTCAACCCGCCGATCCCGAGAAGGATGACGATGAGCTCATGGACAAGCGCGCGCCTGATCAAGATCCGCTTCACTCTTTCGAATTCTTCACCGATAACAATGGGCATTTTTCGGAGGTCGTCGTCGTACCGTGGGAGAAGCTCTGTACCACTCCCTCCACCGTCGAGGCTGTCTACAGCAGCACACAAGCTGGGACAGGCGATGGACCGCATGCGGCCATCCCCCTCATCGGCTGGAAGCTCATTCTTCGCTCACGGCTGGACTACGAAGTCCTCCCTGTAGCAGAGAGTGACTTGTCTTACCGACAGCGGATCAAGCGAGCGGTATCGTCATATGGTGTTGATGCTGTTGATACATCAGCTCCGCGATCTACAGCTGGGGATCCCTCTGCTGCTGCCACGGCAGGAATGGAGAAGATCTCGCTGAACACACCGGGAGAGCCGATCGTTATCGAGTATACAACAATACGCGTGGGCAGCGCAGGTGGAGTGCACATCATATCAGACCTGGTCAGTGAACCTTTTTGATCCTTAGGCGGGAGATGAGCTGATTGATCAGGATGATACCGTAAAGCATAGCGATATTCTCGCCGGTCCTCGAGAGGTGTTCCGGTAAGTTGTCACTTGGCGCTTTACCTAGGCCGGGAGCTAACACCGCAGCAACGTGTTCTGTCGCCCACTAGATGAGATCTGCGTACCGGACATGGACGCCATGTATCGCCGTCTTGAGGATAGAGGGGTGGCGGGATTCCATTTTGTCGTGGGTTTGCGCTGTCCTTGAACACTGTCAACGGGAATAGGACTACCCTAACTCTCCAGTCAAATTCCCCATCTCAGCTGTTTCCAAGTATCCGCCGATTCCTCACTGTCAACTCGTTCCCACCTCGGCACTCGATCAAGGTACGTCTCCTTCTCTTCCAAAGACCGTGGTCCTCAGCTGAAAGTTTAGCTCAAATACTACGGCGGTCGATCCATTTTCTCTTCCCTCTACGACTCTCCTGCTGAACGCAAGCGATCATCCCTCCAGGAACTCTTCCGTGCCTTTCCCACCGCCTCTTTCGTCATGTTTGGCGATTCCGCCGAGCAGGACCTCGAGCTCTATATGGAGTTTGCCAAGCTGTTCCCGGAGAGAGTGGCGGCGGTGGCAATTCGGGATGTGACGAGTGACAGGGCGGCCGAGGTATATCGGGAAGTGGAGAAGGGCGGACTGGAGGGGTTGAGCTCGTCGGCGTCAAGCTCGGTGGCGTCGATACCGCTGGTCGACGAGCCGGCTGACGTATCCGCACCAACATCGGCGTCGACCGCTACCTCGACCAGCACGGTTGCGGACGCTCCCTCCCTCCACATGCCCGGCGAGATGCCTCCAGCGCGCCGGCCAGCACCGTTCCTCCGTACAACATCGACAGCGTCACTTCTGACCGACGAGGACATGCGGTCACTCTCATCATCCCAGCAGAAGATACTGCAGAGAGCGGTGACATGGCAAGCGAGGATGGACAAGGCGGAGAAGGAAAGGCCGAAGCAGATGGTTTTGCGGTTTTACAAGGATCCGCTGGAAATTGAGGAGGAATTTAGTGAGATCATAGAGAGGCTGAAGTGAGCAGATAGTAGACATGCTTGTGGTGAGGATGATATGGTTGTGAAGCTATCCTAAACATGTCTATGATCTAAGGGAATCTATGAACATTCTAAATCGGTTTGTCTAAAGTGAGTTTGCCTTCTCTGCTTCCTTTTCTGCCTGAGTGAGCAGTCTTCCCTTGGCCGCCTTCTCTGCCCTCTCGCTATACCTGTCACTGAGCAGCTCTTCGTGTGGTCGGAGGAGGTAGGCGACTTTGACGAGTTCTTCGCATACATCGACCAGGCGATCTCGATTAGAGGAAGGCATAAGTCTTCCGGCCGGAGTGAAGGCTTTCCAGGCCATTGGCAGCGAAGACTAAACCGAGCATGAGCTGGAGTCGATAAAGAGGCTTGACTCAGACGCACTTGATTGGGGATCACAAACATCCTCATCCATCTGCCTAATAATCGGAGGGTGTTCACGGTATTGAAAGATTGGCTACCTCCGTTCACCTACCATATCAGCTCAGGTGCTAGGTCGCGAGACTCAAAGACTGACCTGCGTAAAGGCGAGACACTTGCCCTGCGTAGGACGCACCGACCCGATCGCGAGCGGTATCCAATCGACTGGCCTATCAGCCCGGCCTGCCACTGAGCAGCTTGCGCAGCGACTCACTCTGATTCTTCATGACTGCTGTGATCGTTCCGTGCTGCTCCGGCGACGACCAGAAGTGTGCATCACTCCAGTCGCTGAGACTCCGCAGCTCCTGCACCTTGGCATGATTGACCGACACCTCATCCTTGACAGGCAGGCCGAGCGGGTCATACACCCTCACTTCGCAGCCTAGCCGATGAAGGATTCTCGATGCTTCATAAGCCATGAGCTTGGCGTATGACCTGTATGTTCAGCTCAGCAGCCAGAGTATCTATCCTTATTTGTGACATACCGCTCCCGCAGACTCCCATAAAGCACCAAGACTCGCAATCGGCCCCCTTCCTTAGAACGGGCCGCGGCGAACGCTTGGGCAGTCTCCAGCTCCAGCTCTGCCGTCCAGTCCTCCCCTACAGCTAGTTCGCCAGTGGAGTCACGTTCAGCTCCGGGTATAGGCGACAATAGGAAGGGTTCGTATGGGCTGATGCTCATCTCGCTAGATTCTGGGTGGTCGCGGGAGGTCGAGGCTGCCGAGCTGAAAGAAGCGAAATGTGGATGAAAGGGACAGGCTGCTTGTGCGGCTAGGAGTGAGAGGTGTCGATTGAGGATTTGGCGGCTTGCTCGAACGCCTATCAAGCTTGCCGATGTGATATATAAGCGCGAGAGGAGCATATGATGATGATGGTAACAAAGGGAATGTACTCGACCTTTGCTGCAGGATATAGCGATCTGATATTCAAATTCACAATCAAATTCAACTCCGCCGACACAAGCACCCTCCTTTGGCCATCACGCCCACGTATCATCTAGTATACTTCAGGGAAGACCATGCTCCGCCCGACTACATCAAAATCGACAATCGACCTGTACGCAGTCAATCACTGCAGACGACAGCACCAAACGCGATGTCTGATTTGACACCTACCGCGACATTCAACTATCTTGCCCCCTTGAACGAGCTCAAACCTCCGGGAACTCCCTATCGCGTGAGCCCCATCATCTGTACTCTCCATACCTCTTCTAATCCTCAGTATACTTACAGCCCTCCTGAAGACACTCCTGAACATAACGAGGTCCTAGTAGGGCATTCAGTCAGGGTCGGTCGTAATTGACAGCGGGTCGAGATCCGATCTGATTCTAGAGCACAGTGCTGACGTTTCCAGCTCAACGACATCCGCGACAAGGAGTCCAACATCGGGTTGGACGTCTCGGGCTGGGATGCTCTGAATGAAGTCCCGACTGTCTTCCAGAACTGGGAAGACGACGGGGCTATCCGTGACGAGTACTACGCCGATATCATCAGGTCAGTGCCATCGGTCTCGAGACAGGGTGATGCTGATGTATCAGACTTCTGAAGGACAGATTGGGAGCCACTCGTGTCACGATGTGAGTCCCAGCTGAGGAACATTCTGATCTTGCTTAGCTTCGACCATACCGTCCGGCGAAGGGTGAAGGAGACCGAGCACATCCCGGACCAGCCTGGCAATGTAGGTGGTCCACATCTGCTACCTTTAGAGTGCCAAGGGCTGATCTTCAGCGTCAACCAGTATACCGAGGTTAATTTAGTCCTATATCCGCACTCACTCAGAAACTGACCTTCCAGTGCACGTGGACCAGACGCCTACTTCTGGCCGAGACCGGATCTACAGACACGATCCAGCTGACGCTGATCGCCTGCTCGGGACCCGCACTCAGATCATCAATGTCTGGCGCCCCCTTCGTGGTCCCGTCCTTGACGCTCCTCTCGGTCTCTGCCATCGGCAGAGCATGGCGGATAGCGACTTCGTCGAGTCCGAGCTCAGGTACCCGGATCGGTAGGCCTTGCTCATCGCATTCTTGCAGTTTCATCAGCTGACAGTCCAGACTCGGATCCACCTACCTGATCCACCATAACCCTGAACATCAGTGGTACTATCTCACCAAGATGCAGCCGGATGAAGCGCTGTTGATCAAGGTATTTTGAATGTCAGGTCCACGCTGACTCCAGTGCTACGACAACAAGCTGCCAAAGATGATTGCAGCTCACACGGGGTGAGTGCATAGTGCCCACCCAGTCCGTTCTCAATCGGACTCGCTGAACCATGCAGGTTCTCGCTCGAGGTGCCAAGAGACGTCCAATATGAGCCGCGTCAGAGTATTGAGGTCAGGTGCATCGTATACTACGAGGATCAGCCGTTGATCTGAGTATGATAGATCGGGGAGAAAAGAAGATCAATGAATTAGTTTCGCTCGCCTCACGCGCTACTTCCCTGCCTTGTAGATCCTATGCAGCAGTGAACGCCCAAATCCCTGGCTTGACTGACTCCAGGTCTGACAGGCATGAGGTCAGTTGCAGGCCCGGCAACCTGAATAACCTGGAGGAGACATCGACTTACTCTACAGTGCCACACGAGTGCCACACGGCAGAGTATGACGTAACACCCCCCCGCATTCCTCAGTTTGAAATTATAGTCAACTGTTCGCTGCTGCTGAATTGACCAAGTCCAACACCAACAATCTCTCATCCGCCATGTCCGGTACTATCGTTGCATTCGACCAGGTAGCAGGATGGGCAGAAGTACAGATGGAGAATGGCACGATCTGTCGAGTGCCGCTCAACGCGCTAGGCAACGAAGGCGCGCCACACCCCTCCTCCTACTACGACCCCTCCGGTCCCTCTCCTCCTTCATCACCGCGTAATCAAGCACACAAAAACACCTTCCCTCCTCCACCAAAGTCGGGTCATGTCTATGCTGTTTCATTACCCTGCGCAGGGGAAAAGCGGACCAACCCGGGGACCTACACTCTCATCACCATTCCACTCAGCCACGACATATTCTTCGAGCGCCCGGTGCCGGTCTCCACCGCGATCGAATTCCCCCTCGTCGTCTACAAGACATACTCCCTTCCAACCGTATCCACCCCCAAATCCTTGCTGGAGAATGACATTGCCACTACGCTCAACATCGAGCCCAGCACCGGCAAGGCTCCGGCGGAGTGGCAATCCCGCGTCGGCGGAATCATCGTTGCCAGGAAGGACAAGCAATCTCTCGATATCCGCCACTTTGAGGGCGTGTGGATGTACATCGACATGATTGGCCACAAGTTAAAGCTGGAGGGCGCAACAGAGGCGGGGTTGAGGGCCAAGGGGCACTTGACCAAAAAGGATTTGGTACACTGGTGGAAACTGTACGAAATACAGGCGAGAGGGGATAGGGAGGCGTACAGGAAGATGAACAAAGCTCCTCCGGTAGAAGTGGGTGAATCCGAAGATTGGGCTTCTGTTCCTCCGCTATTTTAGGCTTGCCGGTGAGTGCTACCCCTTCTGTATCACGAACTCTTACACGCACGTGAACTGACGCGGTAGCCTACTGCTGTCCGAACCTCTTCGTTACAGACATGCACGTACGCGGCATGTCTTGGATCTACGATCGCTGCCATGATGTTGGGATACTCCATTAGACGCGAGGTCAGCGTGGCGGGCGGTAGATATCAGGGACGTCCAGCGTGTAAAATGGATGCTATCACCGTTTCTACTAATATGTCTCTGTGCAGGACTATGACCGCCAATATTCTTGGCTAGCTTGGCCACAGTGGGACCAAGTAGGCCAATTGATACTGCAGCTAAATAGGTGATATGGGCGCCGGGCACTGCAGCTTCCCTGCACATCTGAATTTGAATTTGATATTCAAATTCGCTGTCGTGGTGAACAACGACTGGAGGACGATCCTCTGAGCTTGTCTTCTCCCTTTCTCTGTAGACTTCTCCCCCTCTCCGTAGAAAGCCATGTCGGTCTCCCTTGCAGCTTCTTCAACACCCGTCAAACGGGCGCTGGACCTTAGCGTCAAAGCCGCTCATGCTATGTTACATGGGCGCGCTCAAGGAGAAGAGCCGAGCTTTCTCATCGTGGATGTGCGGCGCACCGATATTGAGGTGGGCTCTCTCCCATCTTGTCCCAATGGGAACGCCACTGATGTTTCGCAGGAAAATGCACCATACCTGATACCTGGGGCGATCAATCTCCCAGCTCAGACATTCCAGGCTACTTTGCCAGCCTTATATCCCATACTCAGCCGGTCAGTTCAGGATTACAAGCTTTTCCTGCCCGTGCTGATGCCCAGATACGAAATGGTCATCTTCCACTGCTCGTCCAGTAACGGACGTGGACCAAGATGTGCGAATTGGTATCAGGAAGAGCTGGATCGCCGGAACGATACCAAGTCGCAAGCTATGATCCTGACGGGCGGGATCAAGGCATGGGCGGAGGCGTACCCGGATGAGCTTGTCCGCCTGCCAGCACAAAGCTGAGCTAGCATATGCAAACATAGACGATCTACCATCCCCACTCATCCTCTTCGCTCTCGTTTCCTCCAGTAGTGCAATCCGGCTTGTCCCCGTTCACTGCGCCGCCGACCGTCCCGGGTCTGACCGTATCGGGCGCTATCGTTCCCTCCATACCTTCCGGCTCATCCTGAAAGTCCATGAGATCCTGGAAGGACGACGCCATTGAGCCTATTCCTGACCTCTCTCCTGATCCCTGGGCCCAACCGCCAACCCGTAGAGAGGTTTGTGCGCCTCCGGCACTATCCTGGTCGATGTGAGGTGTCTGAAGCTCAGGGCTCTGGGTGTTTGCGGAAGCTGTTGATGTGGCACTTTGTTCTCGCTGTCGAGGTAGACGCTGATGGTTTGCAGGTTGGCGGATCGGGCGAGTATGAGTCGAGGATGAAGGAGTGGGGATGAGCGACGACCATGTAGGCAACGAGACGATGTTCTTGAGAGCAGAACTACTGGAATCAGCCATGTCCGCCGGAGTAGCCAGTCCAAGCCCAAGCACAACCAGAATATCCTCACATGTCGAGCGTCTTACTGGCGTCGGCTTCGTGGTTTACGTCCGGCCCCAGATCCGACCCAGGTACAGTCCCTGCTGCCGCGGCGCTGACGGTCTTGACCAGCTGACCCCAAAACTTCCTCCCGCCCTCCACTGCTGATGGCGTCACAACGCCCTCCGGACCGTATGCCGTCGCCAGCAGGTTATTTAGCACCGCCTGAGCGCTAGGACCTATCAGAGCTGCGGCCTCCTCTTCGTCCGCCAAGAGATGGAGCGGAGAATAGGTGTCTGATGGGGAGGTCGGCGATGTAGGCGGTAAAGTTGGGTTTGATGAGGTTGACGAGATGGAAGAAGCGGACGCGTGGGTCACGGGCCGGGGGCGGATCTGCGATCTGCGCTGCTGCACGGGTGCTGATGACCGAGATGATGAAGGGCCGGCTGTCGGTACTGATGACGAGGAAGATACCGATGATTGAGTGGTGAACGGTCGGGCGGTGCGGGTAGCTATGGTTGTCCATTTTTGCTTGAGGAAGTTGAGGGCCGCTTCCTGCTGCGCCAGCTCTGGATCATCAGCCACTGGACGCTGCTTTGAGTCGTCATGATCTCACCAAGTCTGAGCTCGTTGACTTTACGCTCCTTCTGCGCAATGAGCGTCAAGAGGTCCGCATGCCTGAGGGATCAGCTTATTTCTCGCCAGGAATTGAGGGCAGCAGGAGAGGGCTTACTTTTCAGTCAACGTGATACCCTTCGCCTTCAATTCCTTCTCGGTCCGCCTTTCCTCTACTCCTCCCGATCCCGATTCCACTCCCGGCGCTCCCGATGCCACATCATGCCCGCCTTCTGCCTCGCGCAACACCCCTAATCCCAATCCTGCAGCAGGTCGCCACGACCCGCCCTCTCCTTCTCGGTCGGTCCTTCCCGCGCCTCTTGTCTCCACTGGACCTGGACTCCTTAGAGACGCCGTAGGAGAGCTAGCATAAGATATGCTACTCCGTATCCCCTTGGCCCTTTCCCGGCCCCTCGGGGTTGTTGTTCCGGCTCGAGGGGTATCTGGCTCGTCCTCCCCGGCCGAGCCTTCCAGGGGTTCGAGTCCCTCGTGCAGACTATGTGGGGAGAGCCGAGGGGTAGCTGATGAAGGGGAGGTAGGCAGATGGAGGGGGCGCGAGAGCAGCGATAGCCGTTTAAGCTGTCGTCCGCTAGGAATGTCGCCTGGTCCGTCCAGAGGGGCATTATGTATCGTTCCGTACATTATGTCGGGCAGATTGGGCGCCCTTGATAGGCTCAGCGGTCGGTGCGAGCGTCCGGATGAGGCTGACGGAGCATACGGCTTCGACGTAGAGGGCCGATGGAAGGTGGACGACCTGTCCCCGACTGGTGTTGTCAACAACGACGATTGTAACGCGACTGTGGGATGGGCAACCGAAAGATCGCGTTTGTCCGCGTCTGCCTCAACACTTGATGGGACTGTATGATTATAGGAAGAGCTCAGAGAGATAGATGGGAGGAGTGAAGAGCTCATAATGGTTGATGATGAAGCGAAAGGGAGGTAAGGTTGGCTGGAGCGCGAACTGTGCAGCACGCGTTGACGCGACTGACTTTGCCACCCAAACTGGCCGATCATCCGATCTCGGTGCGTCTGGCAGCCATGTCACGATAACACCGAGCTCCCAAGCAGATATACTCTACACCGATACAAGGCTAAGGTAAGGGCGGCTCCCACCCCACTGGCAGCCCTATCGCTTCCCGCTCTCTCCTATCCGCCTCTCTTTGCAATCCCGCTGCGACATCCTGCCCCACCTGACCTGCCTGTCCCGGAACCGCTCCTGGCCCCGCTTGCTGGCCCATCGCCCCAGCATGGTCCATTCCGGCTTCCCTCTGAGCCAGGAATCTCCCTCTCACCCAGACAAGAGCGCCGAGCAGCCCAAACAGACCAAGGATCATCACAGTCTCCAGCAGATCTTCCGCCTCGTCCAGTCCCCCAACACCTCCATTGAGATTGTCCTCGTCTCCGCCGGCCCAACCTGACCCTCCATAGTCGTCCGCTCCGTCCTCGCCGCCGCCATTATGACCGGTGGGATCCTCATCGCCATCCCAGACCGGTGGCGCAAAGACGGATTTGATCCGTTCCCAAGCGGAGATGGTACGGTGCTCGTCCTCGATGTCCTCGAATAACGGGAGCCGCGGGACTTCTCCACGAGTCTTGAACTCGACCCATATACTAAGATGTCAGTCATTGTCGCAGCGTGAGAGACCTGCGACTCACCTCTTCAGATACAGCCCAATCAGGCTCACACCCACAGCCAATCCAGCCTCACTACTGGTCTCACCTGCTAGATCGTAGTATCGCTTGGCAAGGTGCCAATCCCTTGGTACCCCTTCTCCGTTCTGGTACATCCATGCCAGGTTCCAGTACGCCATGGAGGATGTCTGTGTGTCCGCAGCGGTCTGGTAGTACCCTGCCGCCTTTTCGTATCTCGCCTCCGGACTGACACCGATGCCCTGGTCTATCTCATCAGCAGGAGCACTTTATAGCTGAGCAGAGTCAACTCACAGAAGTAATCCCCGACTTTGACCATCGCATCGACATTGTCCTGCGCCGCGCTCCTAACCCACAGCCTGACCTCCTTCTCCTTCCAATCTTCGCCCCCTTTACCCTGCAGACCCCTGATCCCCTCTCCATCTTCCCTTCCATGCTTCGAGAGGTGATACGCCACGTTATTCTGGCCCGTCTCGTACCCCATCTCAGCGGCGATCCACCACCCCAAGACTGCCTTCTTTTCCTCTCCCCTCAGGTACGCTCTGTCCGCTTCCTGCATGTATGGCTCCGTCCAATCGCCCTTCTCCGCGACGAGCTTGTACCATGCCACGCTGACGCCGCACATGCCTTGACCGCCGGAGCCTGAAGCGGCCTGAGAACGGGCCGTGCGCGCATGTAGACGGGACAGAAGGTGAAAGGCTTCGAACGGCGAGCCATGGCGGATGGCGGCATCGAGGTATTGAGTAGCTTGGATCCGCTCACCGCGTTCTGTATATCAGCTAGAGCCCGTGGAACAGGGGATAGCAACAGACCCAGATGAAGTTTCGCCATGTTGACTTGAGCTTCCGCCAAGTCTTGTCCAGCTGCAGCGCCAAAGTAATGATACGCCTTCTGCTTGTCGACCGGTACCAATAGCCCATCCCGATGGATGACTCCCAGACCATTATGAGCTTCGCGGTCACCCTAATAGTCAGCATAGCTCTCGCGTTTAGTGTAATGACTTACCAGCTCGGCAGCTCGCTCGAGCCACATCCTCCCCCTCCGCCAGTCCTCCTTTCCGCCTTCGCCACGCATAGACATCCTCCCCAGAAAGCCCGCCGCTATAGTGGCCGGATCCCTTACCGAATCCTCCTGCTCCTTGCTCATCTTCCGCTTGGGCATCACCTTGCCTTCACTGTCAAAGTCCGTGGGCCAAAGCTGCCTCGCCGCCCGGAGGAAGTACTCTTTCGCTTTTCGGTAGTCCTGCGGTATCTCTCCGACGCCTTCGCCACCGCTGGAGATACCCCCTGGGAGGAAGTAGACTGAACCGAAGTAGAAGAGTCGACCGAGGCGGACTGTGTAGACAAGGCTGTCCCGGTCAGAGTGGTACTGGTAATACTCCAATACTTCGCGCTCTGTCTCGCCCCGCGCGGATGCTGAGGAGGCGCGAATGGAATTGCGTTGAGCCATGGCGCCTGTAGATGCCCACGAAGCGTGCGGGCCATAGATCCCCCCGGCGAGATCAGATAGGCGAGTCGAAGTGAGCGGGAGTGTACGTCCCCCAGGTGGTCCCGACAGAAAATGGGCATAAGCTTAATGTCAGCTTAGGCCTAAGCTCAGGCAATTGGTACGCACATCTTTCTGCGGCGGCCTCATACCAGTCCAATGCAGTAAAGCAGTCCTGCGGGGTCAGCACAGGGCTTCCGTTTCCCAATCGAAGAGGCACATACCTCCTTAACTCCAATGCCTGCCCAGTATCGATATCCAAGGGCCATCTCGGCCGGTCGGAAGCCTTGCAAAGCGGCGAAGGTGTAGTAGAGGGTAGCCTGGCGGGATCAACTATGCTCCACTCCCCTGTGGCGACTGCGAAAAGCTCACTTTCGCTTGATCCGTCTCCACACCGCCCAAGCCTGTGGCATGGAAAAAGCCAACGAAGAACTGTGCTTCTGCGTCCGGCTTTGACTCGAGCAGTTTCTATGAAAACGTCAGCTCGGCACCGTCGCTCGACGAGCTGAACTAACGGTATATGCCACAAATGCAGCTGGCAGATCCTGCTTCACACCTCTTGGTGGGAACTGATTGTTCAGCATGTTCTCATCGAAGCTCCTCCTGCTGAGAATGGTCGCGCGAGCACCACTCACCATTCTCAATTTTGCCCGCATGCTCAAAGCCTCTGTACACCCCCTCTCCTCCGCCTCTCCAACAAGAGTCCACATCCGCTCCACCTTCTCCCTCCGTGCCCGACTGATCTTGCCTCCACTCCCCTTATCTGACCGTGATGATGACCGCCGTTCGAGTCCTGGTACCCGCAGACTTTGCGAGACCGACTGAAGGAGGGCAGCTGGGAGATTGTTCAGCGTGCGGATGAAGCGGGGTAGTAGGCGCAGAGTCGTAGATAGTGGGCCCTGAATATCAGCTACGGATCACGTGTAGTAGCTCTACGTACCTCATCTGTCCAGCCCATACCTCGACCCCATGATCGGGTATCGGTAGCTAGTGATCCGACTTTATCGATAAGATGGGCATTTGGCGAGGGTTGGAGGGCAGTGAGAAGGGTGCGAGCTTCGAGGAGTGGAGAGCACACTATCGGCTAGATCAGCTCTCATTCAGTCAATTTCACGATAGCATGACTGACCGTCAGCGTCCAAGTCAGGGCTGGTCTGAGTCTCCTCTACAGCGACAACGTTGATCGCTAGACAAGCCAGTACCAATCCCAGGAGGATCGCCGAGACGCGAAAGCTTCGTGGGGGACGCATCACGGAGATACCTCGAGGTGTGACCCTCAGGAGCCTTGAGTCTGGCTGAAGCAGTGATGAGGTAGATGTATAGATGACCAAGTTCGACAAAGGAGAACGCCAGAGAACGCTGCATCGAGAGCTGACACGTCTCAGGCCCGTGCGTATTGTACGTAACAAGCTCAGCTCCACATTCCTTAAAACGGCAGATCGATCAGCGTTGTGCGCTTCAGCCTCCCGGTGCTCGTAGCATGCTTATTGCAGTGGGCTGTGACATGGTGGACTCCCCAGTGGTCCGCAGGTAAATTCGAGACTGGGTGGAACAAAGTCGCGACTTCGCTTAATCGGTGCGGACGGTCTATGCGGGGCATTCGGGGGAGATGGGTGAATCTCGGGTTAATAGCCGGGCCGAGCCTCGGCTGCCAAGGTGGAGGTTGGGTGGAGGTCAATAGCGTGTGAGCCGATCATATAAGGCGCCGCCGCGTGCAGCCCGCGCCCTCGCCTCGCATCCATCCCGAACTCCCTGTCCCACATCTACCCACCCACACTACATCAATATCATGTCTGAACCCGCTGTCGGCTTCACCCGGCCCCCGCCAAAGCAGTACTCCGAGGAGGACATCCTCGCTCTTCCCAACAACCTCTCCAGCGCCCCCTTCATGAAGGATCTGAAGGAGAAGGGATTCTGCGTTATTCCCAATCTGGTTCCCAAGGAGAAGTGCGACCAGTACATCGACGACGCCCTGACTTGGCTCGAGGCGTTCGACTTGGGCTTCAAGAGGGACGACAAGTCGACTTGGACCCAGGATCATCTGCCCGCGCATGGAAAGGGTGGACTGTATAACCGCTATGGTGAGTATTTCTACTCTCGCGTATCTTAGGGAGAAGGAGGATATCGTCGTCCTTATCGGCGAGGTCGGGGGCAAGGAGGAGGAAACATGCGGGCTTTCACGCGGGTGTCGGATATACCCGGCTTGACAGAGTGGGGGCCAGTCTTGGCAGAATGGTTCTCCCCCACCCATAGATACCGAGCTGACTCGCAGCTTGTGCCCATGAGGACTGGATCTGGCGAATCCGATGGTGCGTATCCTATCACTTTGTGCAGATTGTCGGCTGATTTTCAGCGAGCCCGGCGTCATCAAGGCTTTTGCCGAACTATGGGGCACCGAGGAGCTCATCGTCTCGTTCGACGCCGTCAACGTGACCTTCCCATACGGCGAGCACGGTCGCAAAGACGTTGACTGGATCAACCCCTGGCCGTGAGTTTCCCATCCAGGCGTAGCTGTACCGGAGCTGATCAAAAGCCACCAAGATCAGGACCCGAACCACCCCATCTTCCAGCTCGCGCAAGGCATCTTCACGTGCAGCGAGTCTGGGCCCGAGGACGGAGGACTTTGCGTCATGGCCAAGAGTCACTTGATGCACCAGAAGTTCTTCGACGCCAACGGGGGGGTGGATGAGTCCAGGACCAAGACAGCCCTCAACTCGTACGTCTCAGCTGTTGCGTCCCTGCAGTACTCAAGCTGATGGCCAAGATACCACTTCCGAAAGGAGGAGGCTGACTGGTACAAAGCCAATGGATGCTATGAGGTCAAAGTGTGTCTTCCCAGCCGACAACTGAGAGTGCCCATGCTGATGTACTAGGTCGAAGCTCCTGCTGGCTCCATTATCATGTGGGACTCTCGTCTCATGCACTGGAACCGTCTCCCTACTGGCGATCGCATCCGAGTTGCCGGATATGTATGCTACCAGCCGCGCAGCCAGGCAACCGAGGAGCAATTGAAGCGGAAAGCCGAGGTGTTCCACAACCGCCAGGTCGCTACTCACGTGAGTACGACTTCTTCGGAGTATTGGTCGAGCTGACTCCCCGATAGTGGCCCGCCCTCAACGATGTAAGGGAGCTGTATCAGGGTGGACCTACGCGAGACGGCAAGCCAGACCCTGCTAGTAAGTCTGCTCACCATTATCCGGTCCCTGACAAGAGGCTGACGAATGCCAGACCGAACCCGCCCGACCAAGGAGCCTACGGAGACGGACACGCTCCTCAAGCTCGCCGGTGTCAAGGCGTACTAGGTTGACATCACGTGTATCCCTATATCATCGGACTAGCACTTTCAGTTGCGAATTGTGTAGCGAGAGATCGATCGTATGGAGCGCCATACCCACTTGAACAGATCAGCACGAAGGGACATGTAGGCTTTGAACTACATCCTAGATTTGTACAAACTACAGATCTACAACGTATCATGCGCTTCCGCATCGCCATTCTCACTAATAAGCTCCACACTCTCTACCATCTCCTTCGCGGGCGGCTCAAACACCGGCCTCACCCATTCCGGCGGTCGTCCAATCAATTCGGTCATCCTGCTGTGCTCCCCCTCCAAGCCCAGCAGTATCTCCACGATATTGGACCCAGTATGCCCATGCCGCCTCCTCCACCCCGACAAGCTCCCACAAAAGTGCCTGCCAGCCTTAAACCATCCACCCCACACGTCCCAGAAGGTATCGCTGTCAAGTCAGCTGGTCATCCACATACACGATGTTGACGGTCTGACGTACCTCATCTCCCACGAGTCGGGATCGCCTGTATCCCCAAATATCCGCGCGTCCGCCAAGACGTGCGTGACGAATGCGGTGATGTCAAAGGGCAGGCCGTCCGTGAGGAAGCCAACGATCCGGCCGCGGAGGATAGCGATGGGCATGAGGATGACGCGGAGATCCGCTTTTGACGAGTACGAGTATTCGAGGAGGATCTTGGAGATGATGGCAGGCATGAGGCGGACCTGGGATGCGTTGATCTCGTCTCGGAAGGCAGAGGTGGTGAGGTTGTAGATGGCATTGAGGATGATGGTTTGCTGCTGGGGATTGAGGGGAGGGAGGATGCAGTGCGAGATGGGAACCTCTGGTTGTTGCGCGAGGAGCACGCGGAAGAGAAGGCGAGCGGTGTGGATGGAAGGATGGAGGTGGGGCGGGATGACATGCCCTGCTAGCGGAGGCGGGGCGGGGAGAGGGAGAGGGACCGGGGGATGTGCGTCGGCATAGCCTGGGGAACCTGAGAATATCAGCTCATTGTAATCTTGGTCAGATTGCCCCACTCACGCCTCAATGCGCTGGTACTCACGCTAGCCGTGGCACACGCCGTTACGCTGGACCGAGAACCAAGCGACTCTGACGAGCCCTCGGCCGACATGGCATGTCCTCCGCGATGTACCGACGGCCGGCGCACGATACTGCTTGCCTGATCCGAGTGCTCGCTCGGCGCCGGAGCGAGCTGATACGGTGTACCAATGGTATACGCGCTCACGGGTACCGGAGGCGACTCGTTCAAAGCCAGAGATGGGGAGAGCAGATCCTCGATACGGATAGATCGGGGGGAGGGAGCGGTGCTGAAGTGGGATGTGTGTGTCTTGCCGAGATGGATTGGCGCGAAGGAAGAAGTCGAGCTTGTCGGTCGGCTGTGTTCGGCACTGGATGCGGGAGGGATGAGGGCGTCATTGGGAGGGTCGTCTGCCGTGTGGGTGCTGTCCTCTCGGCCGACGTGCTGGTATTCTCCCTCGCCGCCCTGATGGCCGAGAGACGCGTCGACTCCGTCCTTATCACCCTCCGTCCCCCTTCGCCGCTTCTTCTCCCGACCAGCACCTTCCGCGCCTCCTTCGCTAGCTCGACGCCGGGGACTAGTCGCGCGGTGCGCTGGTATGGTCGATCCACCAGCCTGAGACGCCCACAATTCCGCCTCTAGCCCATTCTGCCGCAGCACTGCCTCCAGCCGAGCCACATACTGCTTCAGACTGGCCTGTGCCTCCTCGTGCTGTGCTTCGACGAGCTTGCTTTTCTTCTCCAGAGCCTCGATGGACGCTTCGAGCGTAGAGACGTGATTGGCGCGACGTACTGATCAAATCAGCTATCGCCTCGCCGAACGGGAAATGGACAAACGTACATCTCAAATTTCTCTGCTTGAGTCTGTTCTTCTCCCGCTTGACCTCGAGCTTCTGCGCGCCGCCATCCTCGCCAGACGAGGCGAGATCATCATCTCCATCGCCGTCTCTAACCCGGTGATCGCGTCCCGAACTGGACGCGCTCAGACGATAGCCGACCGATCCCTTGGTAGGTGATGTCGACGCCCTGGATGTGGATGGAGTGGGTAGTGTAGCCGGACCAGCATAGGCTGATGTGCGGCTAAGCGAGGCGATAGCGGGGGGACGGAAAGCAAAGGTACGGGAGGATGAGGCGATGGGTGGAGGTGGTGGAGGTTGGTACCGGTCGTGGTGGAGATGATCCTCCCGCTGTATCGCCGAGCTCGGTCCTGCATACTGCTGATAGTACTGCCCTTGCTGCGGCTGAAGGTCTTGTGGATGCTGATGGAAGGGCCGGTCTGGCGAGCGTGGACGTGAACGTGATGGAGGTGGTTGATAAGCATAAGGTTGATGCTGTCTCGACATGATGCCGAGAAGGGCCTCGAACTGGCCAGACCAAAAGTTGAAGCAGACGGACGGTGAGACGATGGAGGGGAAGGGGGGTCAGTCACTCTGTGAGGGTTGTCACCTCGGTATATATACTGTCGCCCAGCTGTCTTGTGAGAAGTCTCAGCTACTCCGCCCGTCCCCTTCCTTTGGTACCCGCTCGCCCGGACGCAAAGCATCAAATCAAAGCAAGAGAGAAGCGAGAGCGGAGCAGCTGCTCCGAGGGCACACACAACAGGGCGCAAGGCACGGTCAGGCACCGCCGATGTCACTCGGTCCTATTTAGAATTCTGTATCCGACCTACACCAAGTCAAGTACAAAGTCCCACGTCCGAAGCATCGATGGGACTCCGCTCCGCGTCGCCGTGCTCGGTCACCCTGACTAGCCCGAATAAGTGTCCGAATAGGCACGGATTCTCGGACATGTGCACCGGCCCAGCCGCCGGCTGGTCGCTGTGCCTGATCGTGCTTGACCTTCTCCACGTCCCACGCAAGCTAGCGCAAGTGGGGCGGAGAATTCCTCGCTCAGGATGACGCATCAGAACAGATCAGAACACCCCTGCCTGTGGCCTTATCTGGTCGTTATGGCCGAAGCCCATCGACCGCCTTCTCCGCGTGCTGGTGCAATTTTCGTCACTATCGTTCGCTTGACATCACTCCTTGCCTGCAAAGGTATAGCCCCACGACCAGCTTACCGCCACTGCACAGATCAGGTCCCGATGGACCGGGCCCTTTTACAGATCAAAGACTGATCACTCTGACTGGCTATATGGTGCGCAGCTCTGCATCCGGTCAGATAACCCACCAAGACAACTGATGTCTGAGCTACCTCGGTGTCCGAGAAGTCGACCATCCATCCAAGCTCACCACCTTATGGCCGCCCTTCGGCGCTTCGGCGCCATGGGCCCTTGTCCCACTGCCGCGGCTGCGTCAAGATTTTTTTTGGACGCCTGGGCGTGACTTCATCTCCCTTGTTTCAGAATTTAGCCGATGTTAACCCTCCTCAGCCCGGTCGTTCCGAGCCTACCGTGGATCAGTGGGCCCTTGATGCTGCTCTGATGCTGGAGCTTGACTGCCTGTCTCTGACAGCTTCGATGGTCCACGCGCGGCAGAGGCGATATCGGTGTGATGATTGCACTCAGGGGCCCTCATGGCATATCAAGCAGTGCTGGCCTCCCCCTTCTGCGCTGACATCCAAGGCTGGACGAACTGCTGTATCATGATTGTGTCAGTGAATATACATCCGCTGCGCTAGCATCGATCTCACCGCACCAATCGGAGCTTGATGCTGCGGATGCTTATCGTTGATAGCGAGTCGCTTACGCTGAAGTCCAGGCCTGCGCCTGCCTGCCCAGGCCAGGGAGCTATGTAGTATCGGTCTCAGGCACCTTCCCGCCTTATGGCATGCCGTCAACCATTGATCGCTGATCCGCTGATCTTCGGCCTATTTTCCTGAAAAGGGTTCACACTGCTCACTTGGTCCTCACCTTCCGCGGCAGCGGTCTTGCTTGCGCTCGCACAACTCTGCTCTCACATACTTCGTCACCACGACCATGACGCAGGTGCGGACAGCTCTGAGATATAGTCAGGTGGGCAAAGCCATGGCATAAGCGCCACTGAGAGCACAGCGGTCGCAGCAACGTCACAATTCCGCCGTGACATCATGTATATTCATGCCGTTGCAGTTCGTCTCCCGCATAGAACATCTGTGCAGAATCTCACCTGTGAATGAGCTCATCCATACCTGCATGACTGCGACATTCCAAGGGAGACGGCTTGGAACCGTGCTTACGCCGCCTCGTGTCAGACATGTTCCCGCTTTACGGCACATTGAGATATTCCGCGGGAGTGGGCAGGAATGGGCGCGATGAAGACTCTCGACAAACGGACATCTATCCTTCTCTTACGCTATAATGAAGCGGGTACTCACTCGGACGTGCTCACTCTCTTCGAGCCCGCCATTCGGCGCTGACGTACAGCCTTCTCAATGCTTCCCGATGACAGCAGCGCGGGTCGTCGCACGTCGTTCGGTAGGGTCGGCAGAATAGGACGAGTGGACACAGCGGGACGACAGTCACACTCATCTAGCCTGGCTGTAGCCGTAAGTCTCATCCACCTCCCACCACTCTTTCAATATCAATGAAGAAGCACGTACCCCAATTTGCGCTTCTCCGGTTCCGACGCAGCTTTTCTGTCATTTTTCAAGATAACGCTTGGTGTAGAGGGAGAGAACGATAAGGGTTCGAGGGTGACGTCCGCGGGGCAGCAGATATATCCAGCCTCTAGTATATGGACAGACCCGCTTCCCCCTGCTCTTCCTGTATCCATCCCCATCCTCCCGTCATTCCGCCTCTGATCAGACTCACCCGCCCGCAATGCGTCTCTCTAACCTACTCCTCATCGCTGCCGCTTTCATCTCGGCTGTATCTGCGGCCAATCGCTGCCCCCCTGGTAAAGGGTGGCATGACAAGGGTTGTCAGGACTGCCAGGCGGGACAGTACTCCAATGGCGACACCTGCAGCGAATGCCCAGTCGTGAGTACCTGTTCGATGCACACAAAAGGCTTGACACCTCTGACTCCGATAGAACACATTCTCCCGTCCGCGGTCGTCGAGCTGTACGGACTGCCGAGCGGGCGAGGATACCCGCGGACAGACTGGCGCCAGCACCTGTACCAATTGCGAGTCTGGCACCGCCACTCCCGGCAAGGGCCAGTCATGCACTGCTTGCAGCAAGGGATTCTACGCCGAGCACCGTGGTTTGGCAAAGTGCGAGTCATGCCCAGTGAGTCTTTCGTCAGTGGTCACTCATCGCGGTTTGCTCATACCTGGTAGTGTGGCTCGTACGGTCCTAACGAGGGCGCAACCGACGAAAAGCAATGCAAGAAGTGCGTCGACTTGGGCGTCGTCTTTGGATCCGCTGCCGGTGCTGCTAGCTGCTCGAAAGCTGGCGACACCACTCAAGGCGGATTCTTTATCGGATCCAAACAGTGCATTATGCCCTGCGGGCCCCGATCGGCGTCCGACTCCCTCAAGTCTGGCCCGTGCGACCGATGCCCCACCCGTACCAGGCCCGACGACCCGCGGAAGACCTGCACGGCCATCCCTACCAGTGATCCTGACTTCCACAAGCGACGCAACGCCGGCATCATCTGCCCCAAGGGTATGACCCCCTGCCCCATCCCCCGTCGTTCCAAGAGCCGTCACACCGTGTTTGAGTGCGTCGACACCTCGACCGATGTCTTCTCCTGCGGCGGGTGTCCCAAGGAGGTCGGAGGGAAAGGGGAGGACTGTACGGCGGTGGATGGGAAGGTGGCGAGTGTGCGGTGCGAGTTGGGGCTTTGCAAGTTCGACTGCGCGGAGGGTTGGGCGGTGGGCAAGTCGTCGTGCGAGCGTGTCGGTCCGTCAGCTACCGAAGGCTTTGCGCTACAGTTCCAGGCTAAGAGGGGGAACCGGTCGGCGGTGGAGAAGAAGAGGACCATCGCGGGCAAGGCGGGTATCATGGGCTCATTGTAGAAGAGGCGTGTTTCCAAGGTCAGACAGTAGGATCAGCTTATAATTATAGTGTATGCAGCCTGGTTTAGATGTCGACCTCTAGTGGACGTGAAGCACTGACGAAGAGGCTGATGCCGGTGTCGTGAGTAGGTCAGGGGAGAAGAAGTCAGGCCGCATACCCATCTCTGCCACACTACACGTCTCCCTCGTATGAGCTGACCCCTATATCATCTTCCGCCTCCCGAGACATCGATCAATTATAAGCTGTAACGCCCCATACACCCCTTTACGCTCCGGCCGAGTCATGCGCCCCGCCCTAGTGGTGTGTTCCTCCGAGAAAGTGGGACCCGGCGTGCTCGTTGACGCGGGAGTATGCCATGGCGTGGTGTCCTGTTGGCTTCCAGCGCAGCTGTGGTGTCAGCTCGTGACCCTTCAGGAGCCAGGGAAGGGGATGAAGAGGTAAAGAAGGGAGAAGGAAAGCACCTCACATGTTCCCGGTCCTTAGTTATGTGCCTTGTCAAATGGTAGCCGGCAAAAGAGCACATAACGAAAGTCATGGCGAGGAGGGGGTAGATCTCGACAGGTACCGGTCGAGCGTGGAAGAACTCTCGGATCTGATCTGTCAGCTCGTGTCAGGGTATGAGCGAAGGAGGGGCCGAGGATGTGGGGCGCGCATGTAATGGGAGAGGATTTGGCGGATGGATGCTTACCTGCTCGGAGGACGATGCGTAGCCACGAGACCGCTGAGTTTGAGTCGCCATACGCAGGCCGAGTAGGCGGGAAGAGGTACGAGAGAGCATGGTGCTTAGTGTGAGGGAGTGATGAGGTCGGATGGGTTTGGTATGTGACGCTTTGGGTGGTCGAGTTGTGGGTGGTATCTTGATGGTGATGAGCAGCTCCCCCTCTCCCACCTCGACACCTTTATACCGCAGCCTTCATGATCCCACGCTCGTCCCACTGCTGACCATCCTCGGAATCGGGCGCGAACGCGGTGGATAGTAAGCAGATAGAAGGATCCAGCGCCCAGTAGATCCGCATACCTCCTTTCGCACTCAGATATGCCGAGAGCGGTCCGGGCCGAGGAATACAAATTCTCGGACCCGCCTTTGTCCTTATTGGCGCCGTTACTACAAATGACAGGCCCGCGTGATTGAAGTGGCCTCGGATCGGTGCGGACGATGCATCTGAAGTCATGGAAACGGTCGGTAATGTGCGATTGGCGATACCGGTAGAGCATGTGCCGGGCGAGATTGGGGCGGAGTTCGGGTGGTATTGGCGGAGGTGAGACGGGAGATGTAGCCGCACGATGGACTTGCTTGCTGAGTAGTAGCCGCTGGACGTACGCTCGGTAGCGGAGCGGCAGGATGGGCAGCCCTACTCCGTCTGCGTGAGTACAGGCGGTCAAGGCTGCCTTAGCCACCATCGCGCCACTTAGGTTGTAAGGATTACGCTCTTAGAGGCAAGACTAGCAACATGGCGCTGTAGGTATCCGGGCAAGGCAGCGCATTTCGCACAGGGCCAATGACGGCAGTGCTGGTTGTGGGTGTAATGCATGGAGCTCAGCGAGGCTTTCTAGGTGGGAGCCTCGGGTGGACGCCGAAATGTAGGTCAGCGTCATCGTCGGCGATAAAGTCAAGTCCGATGGCGTACTTCCGACGGAACCCGGTTGATTCTTGGGTTTCTGCCACACTCGCGGAATCCGCTCGCTAGCGTCGGCGATACCTGAGATCACGTAAGCGGGTACTCCTCGCTGTCACGCTCTTCGAGCTGCAAGGAGAGTCAACGGTTTGCAATCAGTCAATACAGATTGTGAGTAGGCTGCTATACATACAGCTTCAAGGCTACCATACTGATACTCTGCAGTCGTCAAAATGGTATGTCCGAACATCGAGAATGCCGCGGCTACAGTCCCGAATGATAGGCGATAGGGGAGATTCCGGGGCGATCAAGGTGGAAGGGAGGAAGAGGAAGACATATGGAAGGGGAGATCATGGAAGGCGCACCTTGGACGCTGTTCCCACATTGAGAGCGTGGGGTGGAAGTCAGGACGGATCGGCGGCGGGAGCACTGGACTGTAGGGAGGCTGGAGAGAAACATGAGGGGAGTTGCTGGAGAATCTTTGCTCACCCGCCCAGGCCGACAAAACCGCCGCCGTCAACCCCATGAAGGAGCTGAGGATCGAGAAGTTGGTCATCAGTGAGTTATAAACGCCAGCATCATCACGACTGGAGGGAAGCTGACTCGATAGACATCTCGGTCGGAGAGTCTGGTGATAGGTTGACCCGTGCCTCCAAGGTGCTCGAGCAGCTTACCGGTCAAACCCCCGTCACATCCAAGGCGCGCTACACCATCCGATCCTTCTCCATCAGGCGTAACGAGAAGATCGCCGTGCACGTCACGATCCGTGGGCCCAAGGCCGAGGAGGTGTTGGAGCGGGCACTGAAGGTCAAGGAGTACGAGCTGAGGAAGCGGTGAGTTGGAATTTGCGCCAAGATGGTTGCGCACAGAAGGGAGAGTAGGGAGAAGGCATGCAGAAGGACGAGGGGATGTCACCCGGGTGGATGCGATGGCTCGGACGAGATCGAAGTTTTGGGTGGAAGAACCGAGAACAGGGGACATGGCGGATCAATGCGCGGCGGCGAGCGGGACACACAGCTCCACTGCACTATCCATGAGTATCGCTGACATCGCAGCAACTTCTCTTCCACCGGTAACTTCGGCTTCGGTATCGAAGAACACATTGATCTCGGTATCAAGTACGACCCCGGAATCGGTATTTTCGGTATGGACTTCTTCGTCGTGATGGGCCGCCCGGGTATGCGCGTCGCCAAGCGCAAGAGGGCGCAGGGAAAGATTGGGTTCCAGCACAAAGTCAAGGTGGACAACACCATTGCTTGGTACAAGCAGCGGTTCGACGGGATTGTCAGCCGATAGGGAGGGCGTGTAGGGTAGATGGGGTGTATGCACAGGCATTGGATACGACCGTTGTTGGCTTGCTCGTGGGATACGAGAGGGCGGTTGGGTGGTCGTGCTGCCCGCGACCGAAGTGAGGCTGTCTGCTTTTTGCCTGCCTGTCCCCTTAGCAGGTCCAGCCCAGGATTTCGATACAGCCGATTACCCCTCGAGTCTGTATTACTCGATACCCGCCCTCCGCCACCGTAACCTGCCGATACTAGCGCTAGGAGCTGCAAGGTGCTCTACAAGTCCTCGTCTCGCCAGAGGCGATGTTGGTCCGGGCTGCCTTCCGGCGGAAGGAGCAATAACAAAGTTGGAAGACCAAAGATGCACTAGACTTCGCGATATCTACTTCTGCACATCTTCACCGACTTCCACCAGCCACAAGACCACCTTCTCGCATACGTCCGCCCAGCTATCCAGCTGGCTCACTTCACGCTCGTCCGACCAGCCAGCTAGCTGCTATGTCTCGAGGCGGGTTCCGCGGTCGTGGCGGGGGCGGTCGAGGCGGAATGCCCTCCGTCCCCGGCATGTCCCACGAGGCTTATCGGGAGATCATGGCTGCGCCGCCTCAGCACGCTGGGATGTTGTATCCTGTAAGCTTGCCTTCCCAATCTGACTGGCGTGCACTGCCTGTAAAGCCTGTAATGCGGGCCTTCAGCTGATTCCATAGCCGCTGAGCTCAGCGTCGGTCGCGTTCCTCCCCCGACCATCGGACTTTGAGTCTGGCATGATCAGGAAGGAGACGGAGCTGGAAGAGACACTACGGAAGGGTATAATGGTGGATCAAGAACAGGGGACGTATTGGTGCGGGTGGAGATTACCAGAAGTGCGGAAGATGGTCGGAATAGGTCAGTCTCGCTACTTCTCCTTCGCATACCACCCGTCTCCTGCTTTTCGGTCACCGGGGCGCGGGATCCAGCAGGGCTTATCGAGGCTGACTCAGCCAGAGATAGAGACCTACTCGGACCTTTTCGCTCGACCGACAGCTGCAGCGCCGAATGATGAAGAGCTCGACCCGGTCAAGATGAAGATGGACGAGATGTTCTTCCCGCCTTCATTATGGGACGCGTACTTTGAGCCGGAGAAGGAGCAGAAGCGGGGAAAAGGAAAGGGTAGGTCCAGCACCAGCATACTATCAGCAATCAGGGCCAATCTGACGGGGTAGTACCGAAGAAGCGGAAAACGTTGGACAGCGACGGCGATGACAAGCCGGACGGAGAGGAGGCGGTCAGTCCTAATCCCTTAAAGATGACAAGGGAGCGCTGATGTGTGCAGGAAAAGTCATCGAACGCTTCATCGGCTGAAGAAGACGCAGAGTACGAGGACGAATCAGATCATCAAGACTACGATGCCAACTACTTTGATAATGGAGAAGGAGACGACGACGAGGGTGGTGAAGATGGTACGTCCTGAGCTACATGATACTGCGGTATCAGGTCTACAAGAGCTGACATCTCGTAGAGGACGTCGGGAACGGAGGGAACTTTGACGAATAGACGAAACAGCCTGAACCACTTCATGACTTTACGACAATCACGCGTCCGAGCCCGCGGTCTCGGTAATCACATGTACCACCGCCATATCATCGCATCACATGCCACATATTCAGTCTCCCTTTCGGTCCGATTGTCGCTCAACCGAGCGGTTCCAACGAATTACCTATCTCTTATCTTGCCCCTGATCGCCTCCTTTCACCCCATCACCCCTAACTTTACTCAAAGGATCATGCCTTCAGACACGTACCACTCGACTCCGACCCCGCGCGACCCGCCCCGACTGGCCCAGGAAGGGGTCTGACGGGGGTTCAAAGGGCTCTTCGCCGCCTCCCCCGCTCCCGTTGTCGGAGTGACTGATTGTACAGATCGACAGCCCGTCGGAGTTGTTGCTTTTCTACATCAACATTCGCTCGCCTCTCTTCGGCAGTACCGGACGCTTACACCCTACTTACGCTCTCCGCTAGCCCAGTCCGAAACCCCATCCCCGAGTCCCGTTGTCGCCCGCTCTCGACCACGCTCTGCTGTGAAGCCCTTCCCGATTGATCGGCACAGACTCCGCTATCCACCCCTTCAACCCGCCCACGCCCACTCCGCCAGCATGCAGCGCCACTTTTCCGACCCCAACATGGCCACCAATCAACGACACGCACCGCAGCGGCCGTCCCGCCTGAATCCCGCTCTCAACGGTCGGAGGGGTTCAGACCCACCTGCGGCTCTCCAGGGGAGAGGGACGGTCAGTATGCCGACCAGCCCGCTGAGGCGAGCGGTGGACTACTCGTGGAACGAGGTGAGTCATAGCTGCTGGTTGCCCCATTCGTCCAGGAAAGACCGGCTGACGTGGCAGCCGCACAGCGCCCAAGACATGTTCGGCTACGCAGGCAAGGATGTACGTATTTTGACTGCTTGTCGGTGCTGAATGTCAAGGCTTTGCTGATCTCTTTAGGATTACAACATGGCGCCTGACCTCTTCGCTTCTCCCTTCTCCACCCGGCAGAACTTACCGAACATCGATGCCGAGCCCGACCCGTTCCACCTCACGGGTGCCGCTCTTCCTGCCTACGGCTCCACCGGCGTCTTCGGTCTCGCAGGGTCAGACAGCCACAGTCTCGACCGAGGCCTGAGCGCTGAAGCTGTCGACGATCTCGGACGCCAGCCGCAGTGGAGTCAGCACGGTGACGCTACTTCGCCCCTTTCGGCCCGGCCGGACAGTGGGGGTCACTACGGCTCTCAACATGGCGAGGAGCATCGTCACGGGTTCGCTGGAAACATGGACGAGGAGGAGCGGGAGGACGAGCCGGGAACGGATATGAACGGGCAGCAGAGAATGCGGAAGAAGAGGCAACAGGTACGGGTGGCCTGTACGCACTGCCAGAAGGCGTGCAAGAAGTGTTCGAATACGAGGTGAGCTACCGTTTCCCCATTTCGCGGTGTAGAGCTGACACTGATAGACCATGCGAGCGATGTGTCAAGTACAACTTGGCAGACTGCGTGGACTCGACTCGTAAACCGAGAAAGACCGGCGTGAAGCGGTAAGCCAATCCAATCGAATCGTATGTGACGGGCCGAACTGACTGTATAGTGGACCATACAAGCGCCGATCATCAAAAGCCTATCTCCACTCTACCTCCATCTCCTCCGTCAACGAGTTGCGATCGCAGCACTTCGGCTCATCCTCTTCTCCTCCACACCAACACAGCTCGGATCTCCTCCACAACTACCAGCTCCCCCAGCTCCCCCAAGACTACCCGGCTGCAATGGGATACAACGACCGCGGGCAAAGTGTCATCCCGCCTGAGCTGGGGCATCACTATCAGAGTCAGCTGGAGCTGAGGCAGGAGAAGGCGATGTACGAGCAGGAGCACCGGCTGCTTCTGCGGCAGCGACAACAGCAGCGGCAACGGCAGAACAGCCTGGGCCACCTGCAACACCATGACGCCTTCCCTCCACGTCGTCAGCAATTCCAGCAAGTGCCGTACCGCCCGTCAAACGATGACCATTCCCGCAATACCTCATGGTCCACCCAAGACTCCCAATCTCACCCCTTCCCGCCGCAGCCGCCATCTCCGACCCTCCCTGCGCCTCGAGCATCACAGCTCGAATCCGCCCTTTCGGTTGCCCTTTCCGGACTCGGCGCACAGCCACGCTGGGTCGACGGACAGCGTGTCCTGGACCTCCAGGCCCAGGGCGCCGGTACGCTCATGCCCCACACGCCGACGGTGCCGTTCCCCATGAGTCTGCGGCGGTCTGCGAGGGATGCCGATCCATTCAGCCGAGCGGTCAGCCCGATCCGGGGCCTCCATGCTGGAGGGCAGGAAGAGCAAACGGTGAAGAAAGCTTCTTTCCCAGGCGGGCTCATACCCCAGCATCCACCTGGGTACACCGGCACTCCACATCCGTACGGTTCGACGCCCGATGTCAAGCCGGTCCACGTGGAGTATCAGCAACCTTCGAGCGCCGGCCAGGATACGAGCATGACGATGGCTCACACCGCGCTGCCAGCAGTCTCACAGCCGGGCTCCCCACACCCTCTCTCGTCTCAAGACACATCGTCTCCCTTTAGCACAAGCGACATACCCGGCTCTTCCGCGCTCCAACCGCAAAGCCAAGCTTCAGCTGCAGGCTGGAACGCGTGGAACACCGCTTCTACCGGCTCACCGACCACCATTGCCCTGAAGCGGATCCGCAGACCCTCGCTCCGCACACTCATCATGCCCGGTATTTCGCGCGCCGGGAGCCCCGTCAATTCGCCCACCATCGGCCCCGGCCCGGTCTCGGGTACGTGGAGCCCTGGTCTGGCGATGACGAATGAGCAGCATGAGCGGATCATTGGGTCAGGGGCTGTGGGAGGGGTAGGAGGGACGAGGGACGGTACGATGAGTCCCACGTTGTATCAGGGAGATCTGGATGGAGCGGAGGAGTTGACGTGGAGCTTTGGGGCAGCGCAGACCATGGCGGGATGAGTTGGAGCCCAATGGTAATTGCTGAGCGAGGGACAAGTTTTGGCGCTACATATTTGAAGCAGCGATTAGGTGTATATAGATGCAATAGATGTTGGAACCTGCATTTGCTACGATGCGATGCATGTTTATGTTTTGGCCTCTGTGCTGAAATACGGACAAAGTGCCTTACTCCCACTTCAGTGTGACCAAGCCAATGGTCCCCACACCATTTCGCTCGCATCGATCTCCTCCGGCGTTTTACGACGCGCAAAAACGTGAAAGTGCGAAAAGCCAGGGACGGACTGAAGACGAGGCGGATTGACAAACTTTCCTGTCAGCTTGGTCGGTCTGCGGGGTATACCACTTCCGCAAACAGGGCAGCTTACCCAGAGGCACTCCCATCCCCGCTCATCCCAGAGGCTCCTGACCATCGCACCCACTTCTTGTCCGCCCTGGCTCTGGTACTCCACCCCAGCCCATCGCCTCAGCTCCGCTCCCGCGAAGTTACAGTCGACAGAGTGCCACTCGTGCTTCTGTTTGGGCGGGATGCGCTTGGGGAGAGGTACAGGTAGCTGCAACGGACGAGGTCCGGCAGATGATGGTGTGTCGGATGTAGTGGCATCGCCGAAGATGTCGCGGGAGACGGGAGTGACGCCTGTAAAGCCCCCAAGACCCTCTGCTTCTATGCGTGTCCAAGCGGCTGTGTCGTAATCGACGAGATCAGGATGCGCTATTGGTACCTTCATATTGTCAGCGAGGTTGCCTGATAAGACACGGGAGGTAAGGAGAGACATACTCTGGACCAGACGCAGTAGTGCCGCACGCCGTATGGTACATTGTATGGCCAGTCATTGAAGAGAACGGCGTATCGGTGTGGATCTAGGCCATTCGGGTCAAACCGCAAAAAGTCAGGGAGGGGGTCCGCTTTCTCGTCGTCTGCAGAGCGCGCTGCTTCTCCGTTCCTCTCTGCGGCCATTTGGCCTTCGACGCCCTTATGTCTGTGTAGCCGGTCCTTGAGGCTTTCGAGGCTGACGAAACCGGCCGATGAGGGAGTAGAGGTACCGGAATCGACATGCGACCTGCCGCCTGCAGCAGCTGTACTGCCCAGCCTGTTCTCAGATGGGTGTTCTTGATCGGCTTGAAAGGTGGGACGAGGGGTTTGAGGTGTCGCCTGCGCCCAGGGTAATCGAGCGCGTGTGAGATAGTTCTCTATCGCATCAGCTACGCCTAGCTAAAGAATGAGTGACCGCACCGGTAGACCCATATTCCTTCTTAATCCCAGCACTCCAAATGTCATACCTCGCCTGCATTTCCTTGTTCCGCATCAACTGCTCCAGCTCTCCGCTCTGGATGATCCCCTTGAGCTCGCCCCAGGTGAACATCCGGCCATACGCGTCCAGCTCCGCCTGTGTGGGAAGACCGCCGACGTTGCTTGGCGGTGGATGAGTCGAAGGACCGGCATACCGATTGTCGTCGAGGTAGCGAGGCTCCTGCATGATGTGTACGGCCGTTGCAGATGAGGGAGGAGCGCGACTTTTGGAACGTCAAACGGGCCGAATTTAAGGTGTGTGTCTCGGCTAAGGCCGATATGAGGAATGTGGAGCTAGTTTGCCTTTGTGGCGGTTGCTGCTGCGGAGCTTATATCAGCGCGGTAATTTGGCTCTCCAGGAACAGATCGATATGATCATCGACGCATAGGTAGCCTGCGGGATGATCGTTCGTGATGGTCATCATGTTTGGCCATGAATGTTTAGCCCAAACCTGTCAATTTTCTTGTGCGGTGTTCCAGACGTCAGCAGTTGCGCCGGATCTTTTCGTGATCTCCGCGCACGCATGCGCATCATGCTCATGAAGGTGGGCTACCATGTGACAGGCGGATGTAGGATATGGAGTCTTCCGAAGAAGCTTCGAGAGGACAACGCGACTGCTCGATGATCGCACGACTTGCAATTGCATTGGGTGGCAAATCGCCCTCATTTACGTAAACAGCTTTTTCTCGGCTCCGCGCACGTCACACCCAGCCACCGAGTCGGCCTTGAATTTCTCATCTCATCCTTTATTTCGCTGTCTACATCGAGGTCATCAGCTCAGCTGGGTGTATCCAGTCCGCCGTCGACGATAATTCCGACTGGGGACTAGCCTTTACATCTCATCATACCCTGTATCGGTCAGATAGATCCATAGGCATCGTTCTTTGTCAACAGCTCGTTCGACCAGATTTATCAGCTCTCGAGCTCGACCCGATCGCCATCGTACCCAGTCTCCATATACCCACACAGTAATGACAGACGTCATGCGCTCTCCCACCGCTCCCGGCACAGGCCACATCCCGCAGACATCGCTTGCGCCCCCGCAACCCGGGGACGGTACCTACCTCACGGGCGCATCCAGCTCGAGGGGTCTCAGGGGAGGCGCGCCAGCTCGGCGGGGCTTTCCAGGGAGTAGAGGCGGGATGGGAATGATCAGAGGAGGAGGTCCACCGCCTGCATACGAGCGGAGGGAGCCATCGGCAAATGAGATCCCGCTACCGCAGCGGAATCTGAACGGGTATACTGCTAGGCCAGACGGGCAGCGATACCCCCGGCAAGACGCGCGTCGGCCACATTCGGTCGGCCATATGCCTGCTCCTGGGCCGCATAGCTCGGCTCGGCCTCCGCCAAGCGGGCCTCACTTCCCAAACGGCCATGCGGGACCGAGCGACAACCAGCGCGGCCGTGGCCCTGCCCCACTGGCGGAAGTACGTCCGGTCGTCCAGCCTCGTGCGGAGGCGACTGTACGCGCAAAGTTTGCATCCTTCCCCTATCCCGGCTTCGCTCTGCCTGGCGATTCTTCAGCGTCAAACACCCCAGAAGCGCTGCCGGTTTCGCCGAGCTCGCGAGGAGGATTAGTGGACCGAAGGGGAGCGCGGGGGTCGAGAGCAAGGGGTCGTGGTGGAATCACGGAGAGCTTGAGAGACCGGCCGGCTCATCTCGCTGCAGAGGTGACGGAAGGCGAAAGGGATCGGCCGGCCCATCTGGACGCATCTGCGCCAGTCTTCCAACCGCAGAATGCGGCGGATCTACTTGCGCAAATCACCCGGCCGAGCGATATTGCACCTCCTGCGCAAGCTGTCCCGAAAAAGTCTCGTACGGCGCCATCGAGTCGGGCCCCTTCGGGCGAGGGTCGGCCTCGATCGGACGCTGGACCAGCTCGTAAGGCGCCTCATGCAACTCGGGAGCGGAAACCAAAACCAGCCCCTGCACCAGCTGCGGAGACGCAGCCGCCCGTCGAGGCAGCGACACCGGCGGCGGTCGAGGTGGCGCCCGAAGTCGCAGCCGAGGAAGTCCCGGTTGTAGTCGTCTCGGACAAGAAGGCGCCCCCTACGCCCAAGTCCAACAGGCGGGCGGCGTTCGAGCAGCAGACAAAGTTGACAACGGCGGGAGATAGCGCGGATGCGATAGAAGCCGTCAGGCAGGAAGCGGCGGTGGAGAAGACGCAGACAAAGGCCCCTGTCCGGTCGAGGAAGGAGGAGAAGGATGATCTGATATCCCGCTTGACGCGGGGTTTGGGGAAGCGTCCATATGTCGAGTGCCCTATTGTACGTATTCTCTTCATTCGTCACCAGGTTTCAGCTGAACTTTCTAGTGCTTCAACTCTATCACTCCCTCTCAACCCATTTTCTGCTGTCTCCCGCCTACAGCCCCCGCTCCCGTTAATATCGACGACGACGCGCCGGCGGCCAACTACTACCAGGCATGCTACACTCCATTCCACCTCAGCTGTATCCGAGATTGGGCAGACAGGAGTCTCGCGGAGGAATCGGAGAAGATCAGGACGAATCAGCTGGTGGAGAACGACGGGAAGGTCAAGAGGCCGGAGTGGAGATGCCCTGGATGTCAGAAACGGCGTGTTGACCGAGTTGGACTATACAAGTGAGTTTTTGGCTAACTTTGCGGAGATGTTCAGTCTGACGAAGCAGGTGTTTCTGCGGCAGAGTCACTGGTCCTCAGACGAATCTCACCCAGCCTCACTCCTGTGCCGAGCCATGCTCTCGGAAGCGCCCGCTCTGCTCGCATCCATGTTCACTACCCTGTCATCCCGGTCCATGCCCGCCATGCCAGGTCGCTCTCATCGTCCCTTGTCCAAGCCATCACTCGAGCTTGACGGTCAAATGTGCGGCGGCAACCGGTGGCGCAAGCATGACGCCCGTGTGTGATGAGGTTTGCAATCGCGAGAGGGGATGTGGGGATCGGAGCCATACTTGCCAAGTACGTGACTCTTGCTTCCGAGGTGTAGCTCAGGTCGGTGAGCGTCGCTGACATGCCAGCTGCTCTGTCACTTCGGCCCATGCGCGCCGTGTAAGGAGACCGAGCACGTCCGATGCTACTGCGGCGCGGAAAGCCGGGATGAGATTTGTGGCTGGAGGAAGGACGACGAGATGCAGTGCGCTCGAGCGCCAGAGAGCGGAGTGGAGGAGCACTGGCAGGGCAGATGGGCGTGTGGCAGACTGTGCGGGGAGGCTTTCGACTGCGGCATCCATACTTGCGAAGAAGTGAGTCCTCTCTTCCTTGAACAGGGAACACCTGACTGACCACAGCAGACTTGCCATCCTCACCCGCTATTCCCACTACCATGTCCTACATCGCCCGCTCAAACCCTCACCTGCCCTTGCGGCCAGACACCCCTCGACTCGCTATGCCAGCCAAACGGCCCAGAGCCGGCTCGGACGAAATGTACCGATCCTATCCCGACATGCGCCCTGCCATGTCCCGAAAGTCGGCCCTGCGGGCATCAGTGTCCGCGTACCTGCCACCACGGCGAATGTCCGCCGTGTCATGAGCAGGTGGTCCGGCCCTGCCGATGCGGAGAGAGCGTATTTACTGTGCGATGTGAAGAGTTTGGCGAGAGAGTCAGGCGGGGTGAAGGGGAGATGAGGTGTGAGCGAGTCTGCAAGGCGCTCCGGAAGTGAGTCTGATCACTCTCGACGGATGGGGATAGAGCTGACTTCCAGCTGCGGCCGGCACGAATGCTCTCGCGTATGCTGTCCACTCTCCTACAAGGCGAAATCATCCCGCCTAAAGAAGAAGCCCGGTGCGACCGATCTGCACGACCTGATGGTCGCTCCCGGCGAGGAGGATCTGCACACTTGCTCGCTCACGTGCGGCAAGTGGCTGAGCTGTGGGTTGCACACCTGTCAGCGGAAGGATCACAGGGGCGCTTGCGGGCGCTGCCTACAAGCGAGTTACGACGAATTGATCTGTCATTGTGGGGAATCTATTGTTTATCCTCCGGTCGCCTGGTAAGTCGCTGTCACTTCGTTGAGGGGCATATTGCTGATCGATCAGCGGGACCACTATTTCTTGTACATTCCCCTGCGCTCGTCCGCCACCCACCTGCGGCCACCCAAAGACCATACACAGCTGTCATGAAGCGCCCGACTGCCCTGCCTGCCCGTACCTCACCACTCGCCCCTGCGCATGCGGCAAGGATCCGGCGGTCAAGCATGTCCGATGCTCTCAATCCATCGTCTCATGCGGTCAGACCTGCGGCAATCTCCTCTCCTGCGGTTTCCATCGGTGCGACAAGACATGTCACAAGCAGAGTGACGGCGAGTGCGGTGACTGCACTCAGGTCTGCGGGAAGCCAAAGCGGGTCTGCAGGCACCCGTGCATGTCGCCATGTCACGCTCCCGCCAAGTGCCCCGAGTCCGACCCGTGCGGCGCCATCGTCGATCAGAAATGCGCCTGCGGAAACCTCAGTAATCGGACAACGTGCGGCGCCAGCTCGGCCAAGGCGGAGAGTAGGGAGCTCGTACAGCTCAAGTGCAACTCGGAGTGCTTGGTCAAACAGCGGAATGCGAGGTTGGCGGAGGCGTTGGGTATTAAAGGAGCAGAAGGCAGGGCAGGAGGAGGGGAGAACGTCGAGTGGAGCGCAGAGCTCAAGACGTTCGCCCAGGGGAATTGGGCGTTTGTCAAGGTGGTAGAGACTGCTTTGGCGGATTTCATGAAGGGTGGGAAGCCGAGTCACATTCTGCCACAAAGTAAGCCGATTCTAAGCTGTATGAGGACCGAGCTGATCCCTAGTGCCCGCTTCCAAGCGTACCTTCGTCCTCTCCCTTGCTCAGATCTACCGTCTCTCCACAGACCTCCTGGATGCCGAGCCAAATCGGAGCATCATGATCCGCCGAAAGATCGATACTCGAATCCCCAATCCTCTCCTCAGCTCCGTAGTCGCCCAGCCAGCTACTGGGGAGAAGAAGTCAGGCGGACTGGCCAACCTTCGCGCTACTCCGACGGCAAGCGGTTCGTCCAGCGGAACAACATCGTGGGGCAAGATCGCCGCGCCCACGCCGTCACCGTGGGGCAGCTCTGCCGCTTCGGGCTCGTCTACACCTCTCGGCCTGTCTGCCGCAGGCGTAGCCTCTCGGGCGGTGTCTCCCGCTATCAGATCGTCGAGGCCGTCTACCCCGGGCGAGTCTCACTCGGCAACGACGATGACGGTCCCGGTCAACCAGACTTCGCATCTCGGTCCCGGACTGGGACTGGCGCGGATGAACAGTGCTCGTCAGGGCGTGGTCGGGGAGGTGGGCAAGGTAGAGGAAGACGATTGGGATGTGGACGCTTAGGGTGGTGGCGTTACAAACAGGGATTGAGGCGGACAAGCGGGGTATCCAGTAAGTCGTGAAAAAGTACATGGGGTGTGATCGAGGAGAGGTGATCAAGAGAGGGAATGTGCGGTGTGCAGTCAGGCCTGAGGAGTATGTACATAGTAGCTTAGTATTTCCGGCTTCTTCACAACAGATCTACTAGATAGGCTTAAGAGTATGCAGAACCTCAGGCTATCACCTGGGTCACAGGTGAGGGATGTCTGATCCTGACCGAGCAGCGCTCAACATTCTTGGTCATCATCTCCGCCGATTCTCCTTTCGCCTTTGTCAGCTGCAGCGCCTGACAGCTTTGACAAGACTTGGGTCAGAGGGACGGTAGGTGAAGACAATTGAGACAGGTTGCATGATATCAAGTACGAATGGCATATCCCTCGATAGAGCGCGATTTGGAACAGCTCTACAGGAAGAGACCTAGACAAAGTCAGCATGCTGCTCCATCTTCCTGATTCATATTGGCGCAAACAGGATAAGGTGAGGTATATATCAGATGTCCGTTGAGAGCAGCGGCCCATCCCCATTACTCTGCAAGCAGAGGAAGATTGGAGGACAGACCCTGGGTCAAGAGGTGCCAATGGTGCAATATCGCAACTCTTCATTCGAGCGGAAGTGAGGTGGGGAGGGGAGAAGCGGGAACTCACTGCTTCCTATACGGAAGGCTTCGGTAGATCATAGATGGGAGAAGGACAACAGTTGAAATTTCGCAGGTGAATCGCAAACTAGAGACGGGTGTGGGTTGATACCGCCAGCGAAAAATCCACGTCAGCCTCCGCATACCTTAGCTTTGTGGCGGCTGGGTGGCGGGATGTGGCAGTGTGAGTACTACGCTGCTCTGCATGGCTCGCTGTAGGGTTCGGGACATGAGCAGCGAGTAACCAAGTCTGCGGACCTTAAACTCCCTGCAATCGCCTGTATGACACCTCATCATAAGCTCATACCGCCGGAAACTCATACCGCCGGAAGTGCAAGGATAGAGCTAGATTGTGGCTGAACTTCGACCAGGACAATGCGCTTCCCAGCTGGGGTTACTGCAGGATAGAGGTCCCATGGAGGTGCAGCTCCCATCCAGCGGCACCCCCCTAGGGACTCATGAGTGATTGACCTTTGGATGTACTTCACGACTCACAACATACAGCACGAAACAAGCACGCCGTTCAGACTAGCACCAAGCATTCCGGGTTCGGGTACGTACCCGATACCGCCTATTAGAACCGAGAGCAGTATCCGTATCCTACCTATATCCCATTCCTAGAGGGGTCCCATACCCGTACCCGCGCCCGGATTTTGGCAAATACCCGGTATATACCGGGTAAAACCCCAGTACCCACCACTCAAGGTGACTTCTTGATGCGCACCTTTCATACGCTACTGTCGCTTAAACCGGTCCGTGTATCGCCCTGCTAAGCTAGCGGAGCGGTATCAGCACTAGTCTGCGCGTGCCAAGTACAAAATGGCGGCACTTTTGCGCCACTTGCCACCGGGTGGCAAATTTGGTCTCCTCATTCCTCATCTCGTAAGCCCCGGCTCTGTGATGTCTATGAGGCCGAGTCGGCCCACTTCGACCTTGTGTCGCTTGTACTGTGCTATAGATGATTGACATAAGCCTGCTCATCCCAGCTATGAAGCCGCCGGCCTGGCTAGACCACAGCACAAGAGCCTCGGATACGCCGGGTATACCCGGTAGATACCCACCCATACCCAGTGGCCTCTAGATGAGACCCGCATCCGGACCTACCCCGAACTCGCCTCAGATCTCGTACCCTTATCCGCACCCCTGACCGGGTACGGGTATCTTTCGGGTATTTTCGGCAGTATCCGCACCCGTGCTTGGTGCTAGTTCAGACTACGTGGCTTGAGGTCATGTCGTCCAGCAGTCACTGTCGTCATTGACAGCTGCGCCGCATGACGCCGACGGTGTCACGACAAGTCAGTCGCATAGAGTACTGCATTGGGATCCACAGCTCGTGATACAGGCGCCTTCTAGAGAATGTCTCAGATTACGTGCAAACCCCCCTGTGGATGGGTGGCAATATGCCACATATCAGAACTCCGGAAACAGCGCAAGTCGCATACGAGGATGGTATCGCTTGGGCGGACCAAACATAGCTTTCACCGGGCTCCGCTGCCCTCGACGTCGACAAATCAATTACAAATATACGATGCATAGGATCCATTGCCAGTCGGCTTCCCTGTTGCTATGGCAAGGAAGTCGAAATACCATTACAACCCCCTCCAACACAAAATTGACCATCACTACTCCTCAATAGCCAACAAAGCCCCTCTTCGCGTGGTGGCCGGGATCTTCCGAGCCCTCAGTCAATAATTGCACCCTCGGGCACTCTGTGCCGGGCCCGGTTCCTTCGGGGACTGCGAGCTAGAATCTGGATGTTGACTGGGAGTAGAGTGACCCACTGGGATTGCTAAAGGCGGTGATGAGCCTTGGCCCCCAATGTCTTTTTGCCTTCCATGCCATATTTGGCAGTATGTATCAGGGGCAACGGGATCACCGAATGCACAGCTGTTAGAGACCTGCCACACTGTCGACACGTCATACAATCTGAAACGTTATCAACATTCCTGCGAGGATTTGCTCAGCTACTGCTGCAGCCTTACAGCTTACAGTACGATCGATCTATATCACTCGCAAGCCACAGCGACATCAATGAGCATGCTCCTAGCACGTCGAGCTCCTGCCGGTGTGGTCCTCTCGGTGGTCCCCGAGCTCCGTCAGGTCATTCTGCGAGCTCTCCATTCGGGAAGGCCGTCGTGCGCACCGATGCCTCAATCGTACTCGGGCAGACCAGACCGCTCTGCGCCTCCCCATACGGGCCGTGAGCTCTATCCCGGTCCGGGAGAGCAGCGGGAATGGTCTGGAGCGCCCATTCGTAGCGGCGGACGCACCAGTACGGGACGAGCGGGCGCTCCGCCTGCCATGGGATTCGGTCTCAAATCCCCCGTCGCATCATCCAGCCCCGGGCGGACGGCGCCTACATCCTCCAGACGTCTTGCAGAACTGCCGGAAAGGAAGAGCTTGCCTACCAAGGTAGCGCATGCTGCCTTTCCAAGCACTGCGCCAGCGGGGAAGGGAAGAGACCGGCTCGACTTCCTCAAAGCCCTCCCTCGCCCAAATGCTAGTCTCACACATTCGGAGGTCACGGCGGCCAAACCCCATCCATTTATCGACTATCCGCTCAACGAATCACTCATCGGCGGTCTATCGGGTCTTCTGACTTCTGGGGATGGCGGAGCACTTCACACCACCCCTATCCAGTCCATCTCCCTCGCCCGGCTCCTCGAGACCCCCTCGGATGCCCTCCTTGCCGCTGAGACCGGCTCGGGCAAGACTCTGGCGTACATGCTGCCACTCCTCCATCATCTCAAACTCACCGATACCCGCTCTCAGTCGCGTGCAGACGATTCGGTCCTCCCACCGGTCCTGTCGGAACTCTTTGGCGAAGCCTCGACCCCTCAAGCGAGGTCGGACCAGCTCCTCCCGCGCTCACTGGTCATCTCGCCCACGCACGAGCTTACCCGTCAATCTACCGGCGTAGCCAAGGCGCTGTGCCATGACGTCAAGCTCAGCGTGGTTGGGATGAGCAGTACCAAAGAGGCTGCACCGGGCGGAGGGCGGAAAGGAGTGGTAGATGTCTTGATTGGGACCAGCGGCGGGATGCGCAGGATGCTGAGTATCAAGAATAATGGAGACGATAGTCAAATGCGGGACTCGAGGAGGGAGCGGAAGACGCAGCGGGATGAGGAGGACGAGGGTGAGGAGCATGTTGAGGATAGGCGGAATCGAGGAAGCAAGGGGGCAAGGGTCGGACTGGGGCAGGTCGAATGGGTGGTCATTGACGAAGCGGATGTCCTGCTGGGTATGTCTTACCAGGTGTTTGTGGAGTCGGAGGGCCCGGACTGACTTTCAGGCCCGTCATTCATCGACGAGACAACTCAAATACTGTCACTCCTGCCCGCACAAACCCGCATCATCCTCTGCACGGCAACTCTGCCTCCTTCACTCCTCACAGCCATATCCACTCATCCTCTCCTCCGCACCAGAGACATCTCCCAATTGCTCGCTCCTGGCCTTCACCGACTGCCACCGGGCCTCAAGACCCACTTTGTCGGCAGCACGGGCGGACATCTTGCCGCTACGGTTGTCAAGGAGGTCAAGGACGCGTTCGCCGATGACGCGCTGGAGGACCGCACACACGCAAGGAAGGCGGATACTGCGGGCGCTCCGGGTATCAGGATGGCGAAGTCACGAGCCGTCGTCTTCTGCAACACCGACATGCGGGCGCGGGAGGTGGCCAGGAAGTTCAGGGAGAAGGAGGAGAGCATTGGGGTACTGGAATGGACGTCCGGCGGGGAAGGGCGGACAAGAGGGAGCCAGGGGGACCTCGCGCCATTCCTCCAGCAGCAACGTACCAAGGCGGGCCAAATCGAGCCTCCTTCGTCGGCCCCAACCCCTCGCGTCTTGGTCACCACGTCACTCCTCTCCCGAGGTCTCGATTTCAACTCGGACGTCCGAACGGTCGTCCTGGTCGACGCTCCTCGGGACACGCTGGACTTTGTTCACCGAGCAGGAAGGACGGGTAGGGCAGGGAGAGGCGGAAGGGTCATCATCTTTGGGATGGGGGATAGTGCCGGAGGCTCGCGAGGTGCTCAGGGGAGAGGTGGGGTGGGTAAGGGTGTGGCGGGGGTCATCAGGGCAGGTGCGAGGAGGAGGGACTAGCATATGCGCTGGATACGATTTAGTCTACGCTCTTCTTCCTACCAACTACATTCTATCCTGACACTTCTTGAATCAACCAGGACACAAGTCAAGGCTTCACCACCACGCTACCCCTCGCCGGCGGCAAGATGCGATCATTTCAGACACGTGGCTTTTTTTAAGGTTTCCGATGCTCCCGAGCACGTGTTACGTCATGGGGTTCACTCGGCTGCACTTTGGCCCAACCATCTCAGTGTAACTCGTATCATTCAAGTCAATAGCTAGTAGCTATAGCAGCTCTACATATACACACTCAGCGGATCTGTCAATATCACAGCTTTGGAGCAGCAGCTATCGAAGCCAGCATGTCGAAGATTGAGAAGGTCTCGGGGGTGCCTACGGACGACGATGTTGGTGAGTCTCTCAGTCCACGTTTGAAAAGGCCAAGAGGTGGCGGACGGGCTCAAAGGTGGATGGACAGCGAGTCGGCTCGGCCGGAGTCGTAGATGGATGGAGGTGTAGGGTCAGGGGAAGCTTGCGATGCCTCTGTGTTGCGCAACGGGCCCTGTGGAAGCTGTCATGAGCTGCGGTCCGGCCGTCGAGGAGCAGTGGGCACGTTCTTGCTCGCATGCTTCAGCCACTCGCAGTGTCCCTCGCATAGCTCTCCGATTGTGCTCAACTGGAGCGCGCGTCCGGCTCCGACAGATACCTGAGCGCGTAAGCTGACGCCTCGCTAGTCGCTACATCGTTCACCAACGAAGACGGTACACCCGCCGTCATCTCTGAAGCCGGAGGCGGAGACGAGAGCAAGATCAAGGTCTTGATGGGTCTGCTAAGAAAGTAAGTAGTGCTTCTCGCCTTCGCGCTACCTGAATGTTGAAGCTCACACTCATAGGCTTGTGGGCGTCAAGGACGTGGCCAACATGTAAAACTTCCCTCGATACCCAGCGGAGCAGATCTGACATTGCCAGGCGTCTGTCTCTACCGGCTTCTTTGCTTGAGCCTATACCCAACCTCGAGTACTGGCAATACGCCGACCGAGCCGACATCTTTGCTGCGTAAGTCCACTTCCGGTGTGACAGGATTTCCAGCTGAAGCGGCAGTATCGGTGATTCGCATGATGAGCTGGAGCGAATGCTAGCTGTCCTACGCTTCAGCTTCTCGAAAGAGCTCAAATTCGTCCGAGCCAGACTAGGGAAGCCGTACAACTCCGCACTCGGTACGTGCTCCCTGCCAAAGCTCAGTTCAGAGCTCATAGTATAGGGGAACACTTCCGCTGTTCATGGCGACTACCCCCACTTCTTATTGACAAGCAGACTACGCTGCCAGTAGTCAGGACGCACATTCACGTTCCACTACCCGGCGAGCCGGCGTATGGTGGACAGGGAGGAAGCGGGTGGACGACGCCGGTATTGCGCCCGGAGCAAGGGGGCTTACCGCCAAGCGAGACTAGGTGAGCGCTCTCTGCCGCGAGTCCGCTGTACGAGCTTATATCTCAGCTCGCTACTGTCTACCTCGTCTAAGAACTCGAAGCGTCAGCCATCTTCGGTTCCACCTTCATTGCGGAAATCAGGAAGCAAGGAGCACGTCTTCGATATGTCGGCTTTGAACCGAGCCATCCCGGGTCCAGGCGACGAGATAGAGTCCGATCCCGATGCGGGTGTCAAGGACAGCGAGAAAGTTTCGGTCGTCTTCTTGGTGAGCTTGAAAATACCAGCATAAGGACTAGCTCGCTGATAGCATCAGTGCGAGCAGATCTCTCACCATCCTCCCGTCTCGGCGGCGTACTATGGTTGCCCGGAGAGGGGTATCGAGGCCGTCGGAATGGATCAAATCGTGGCTAAGGTGTCAGGGATGTGTGAGTACCCGACTCAAGGAAAGAGGATGCAGTGAAGAGCTAATCAGGTTCAGCGGTCAAAGTCGGTCCAGGACCCATGAATCAGGGGATCTTCGTCAAGATCAAGCGAGAGGGGCCTGGTCAAGGCGAGGTGAGCTATCACCCTCCTTCTCTTCTACGCAGGAGACAGAAGAGCTTACGCAGCTAGGAATACCGCATAACACACCCGCAAGCTTGCGTGAACGGTATTCTCAAGGGATCATACTACGGCACCATCAGCGATCAGATCAGCGTCACCTGCGCTGGCGGGAGTAGCGGGAAGACTAAGCTTAGGGCATTGCTGGATTACAAAGATGAGGTGAGCTCCTATACTCCGCCTAGTGTCAAGGTAGACCTGAGCTGACTGTACTAGTCCTGGATCGGCAAACCCCGTTTCCTTCTCGATGGTGTTATCTATCGCTACGATGTCGACGACGAGGAGCAGCTTTCGTGGACCCGAGCCAAGCAGGTGCCCAAGGACAGGGTTGTCGCCGAGATCGAGGGGCAGTGGATGAAGACTGTCAAGTACAGATTAAAAGGAGAGAAGGTGGGCTCAGGCAATCTCGAAGGAGTTCGATCGCTGACAAATCGCAGGAATGGAAAGTCCTCCTCGATCTCGATCTCCTTGCTCTCATACCTAAATCAGTCCGTCCGATGGAGGAGCAAGAAGAGCAGGAATCCCGCAAGCTCTGGGACCCGGTCACTCAGCAGCTCCTCGGAAAGAACTGGAGTCAAGCAACGAATGAGAAACTGGTCATTGAACAACGACAGCGGGATCTTTCGGCTAAGCGGAAAGCTGCTAAAGACGAGTGAGTCCCATAGTTCGTGTACCCGACCACCAAAGTGGAGCTGATGATCCAGGTTCAAGCCACGCTTTTTCAACCCGGACTTTGAGACTGGCCGACCTACACTATCGGAGGAGGGTCTCAAAGCGGTCAAGGATGAGCTGGCGCGGACTCGGCCTCAATAAGATCTATCTGCCATAACGAATGACGAAGTAGAGTTGAGGGGGTAGACGGAGCTGTAGCGTAACGCTGGATATTGGTGTTGTTGGGCGATTTTGTTGGGCGCGGATAGCTAAGGGGGTTGGCCGGTCGGGCATAATATGTATAACACTTACACTGGTAGTTCTAGTGACGCTCATTTAGATTGATGCTGGCCGCATCACGCTTACTGACAGGACTGACGTATCACTGCATTGGCCTGGCCAGCATCTCACTATCAATTGCGAGAGTTTCTCCAGGAGCGTTGTTTACAGGGACAACGAGCCACTCGCCTTGTTGACCGAGACTCGGCATCCTCGGCAGAAGCCAAAAGTCCTTATCTCCATCGTCCAGGCTGTCCTTTCATCCTTCGAGCGCGGAGCTACGCCGCAGCATGTCCAGCAATACACGCTTGGTTCTTATCTACCCGGATCCTTTCTGGTGTGCGGGCAGCAAGGCTAGAACGCCTATGCCTTCTGCCTTCTCAATACGTGTTGTGTTGCTCCTTTCTCTTGCTTATCAGAGAAAACAGCTGTCCCGTGTAAAAAGCTCCGCTCCGCCTCGCGATAAGCTTCTCCAGGACGGACCGCGAGGCAAGGCGGACGAGTTATATATTGCGGGAGTTTGCCACTACACTCACCCCTCAACAAACTACACTCCATCCAGCGACAATACACTACAGCTCATCTGATCCGCAGTCGCCATGTCATTCGGCACAACCACTGCGAGCCCGTGAGTCTGCTTGCAACTTATCGTCCGTGTTGGATATGATCCCCCTCTTTACATATGTAGCCGCTAACCTGATAGCACCGCTCACCAACAGCTTCTCGCCGAGATTGAGGAATTGAGCAAGCATTCTTCCTTCTGCAACCGATTGTTCCTCCCAGACCCATTGAGCCATCCTGTGCACGTCTACTCAGACGAGGTTCTCGGCCTCAACTCGGGCAAGCCCTGGATCGAGGACTTGGACAAGTGGGTGAGTGAGATACCCAGATACCACATGCTCCAAGTACAAGCTGCATAACGCGACGACTGACGAACTCAGACCGATCGAGTCGTGGAAGCACTGGTCTACCAGTCAGACACCACCGAGTGGCTCCGCGATGACCACAAGACCCTCTTGACTGCCGGAAATGCACTGGACCAGATCGCCATACTCTACCTGCTGAGCAAATTCCGCGACACCACTACCGGTACTTCCCAATGGAACTCGCTCGCCAGCAGCAGGGCACGGGGAGATCTTCGCAAGAGATTGATGGACGGGTACGCCTCCATCGTCGAGGCTACTACTGCCATCGCTTCTGAGGCCGAGACGATCCGAGGGAGCCCTTCGGGGTGGACCGAGGGCAAAGCCAGGTGCCCGAACGTGGCGGATCTCATGAAGGCCGATCCTCCTTCCGCTCACGCTCAGAGATTGAGAGAGTCGGTCAAAGCCTTGGGGACGGACCTGAATGACTCGGTACGTGTCTTGCTCGAGCAGGGTCTGAGGGAGAAGTTCTGTGTTCGCAAGTTGCCGGTAGACTATTGAAGGCGTGGAGGTTCCACTTTCGTTCCTGTGGAGGTTAGAGATTGATAGGTTTCGCATTGGATGTTCTCAAGCCGAGTGGTGGTCATGTGCATACATCAGGATGCAGCGGTAGTGCAGACAGCAGAGAGCAGGCGTTACCGCCACACCGCCACACTCACTCGATAGCTAAGGTACGGTATTTGCCACCCGGGCGAAGCCGATGAGCCAAACTCAAAATCCCAGCACGTCAGATTCGCTCACCATGGCGCAACCGTACCTCATCTTGGGATTTCCATCTCCGCATCATCATGCTGGCTCCGGGGCAGCAGCACCCGGGGCGCACTGGACATCGCCGCAGCAGCAGCTTGTTTAGACTCCCGCTGATTCAGCGTGGTCCGCGCTTGTTGTGCAATGGTGTGATCAATCTTAATCTGATGGCTAATCAAGCTCGTCATCTGCGCTCATTCCACCTCGCATGCTTGCTGACCGCCTGTATATAAAGCTCACCCAGAATATGGAAGACCCCTCATTCATTCCAGATCCTCCATTCCAGATCCACACTCGCACTTCGGAATACCTAGTAGCAACACAATCTAATCAACATGGCTCCTATCGCTATCTCCTCCCCCAACGTCACTTATGACGCTATTGACCACATCAAGGCTGCGCTCAAGCAGACCAGCCTGAATGGTTCAAGCGACCGCTCGAGCAAGTCGGCATCCTCGTCCACCCCGGCGCCGGCATTCAGCTTTGATCGATACTCCAACTTCCAGTCCACACCTGCTATCGGCATAGAGTTCAGGGCGTACTCGCCAGACGGCAAGCCGGTGCTCAGTATCCGGGACGTGCTTGGCAACGACGAGAGACTCAAGGCTCTTGGCCGGCTAGTGTGAGTGTCCATCTCAATCAATCCTGATGCAGGGTTAGCAACTGACCAGGCAGGTCTGAGCGCGGAGTCGTCTTTTTCCGCGATGCGGTCCTGTCCGCCGAGGAGCAGAAGGAGCTCATCGAAGCTCTCGGCCGCGCTGGCGGTCGACCGGAGTCGAGCGGTCTGCACGTCCACCCTCTCACCCTCGGCGGCTCGGAGCTCGGCGACGAGATCAGCGTGATCAGCAACCGCTTCACGTTTGACAAGAAGTTTGGTCGGGATGATCGTCACATCACACAGCGGGCGGTCGGCAGTACCTTATGGGTGAGGTGACCAGGTTCCAAACCAGTGTATATCAGCTGACCTTGAAGCACTCGGACGTGACCTTCGAAAACATCCCCTCCGACTACGCCTGCCTCCAAATCCGCAAGTTCCCCGAATCCGGCGGAGGCGATACCCTCTGGGCGTCCGCTTACGAAGCCTACGACCGTCTCTCCCCCGGCATGCAGCAGCTGCTCGAGGGGCTGACTGCCACCCACACCGGCGAGAAGTTTGTCGAGATGGCGCGGCAGCGTGGAGAGCCTTTGCGCGAGAACAGGGGGTCGCCCGAGAATGTGGGGCAGGAGCTGGTCGCGTGCCATCCGGTGGTGAGGACGAACCCGGTCACGGGGTGGAAGGGGCTGTTTGTGAATGGGGAGTTCACGAAGCGGATTAATGAGGTGACGCAGGGAGAGAGCGATGCGCTGTTGGGATTCCTCTTTGACCATATCACAGCCGTGAGTTAAACCATTCTGACACAGGCGTGCCGTAGCTGATGAGGTAGAACCACGATCTTCAGGTCCGGTTCAGGTGGGAACCCAACAGTCTCGCCATCTGGGACAACAGATCTACCTTCCGTGAGTGCCTACCTGAAACCCAAAGGTTGAGCTGTGGCTGACTAAGCAGACGCTGCCACACACGATATCGACGCCGAGATCCGGGAAGGCACACGCTCAGTCAGCCTCGGCGAGCGACCATTCTTTGATCCAGCTTCGAAGTCTAGGCGGGCGGCACTGGCGGAGGCTAAGAAGCAATAGGAGGGCAGACGGAGCGGCGTGTAAAGGGCAAGTGATGAGATGTAGGGGGATGAGGATAAGTGGGACTACGATCCCGTTGTAGCTAGAAGTCAATTGATCAATGTGTAGCCAGGAAGTGAAATGCGAGGACCGACGTACTGAGATCAGATATGGTCAATCACTTTGTGCTACGGGCTGAGCAGGCAGACAGGGACGGTCTTAGCAGGTCGGACCGCAAACGCCACTACCCGCGCGGAGGGACGCGACTTTTGCCACCCAAGAACTTTCTGGAGATCCAGCAAATTCAAGCTGTCTCAATCGCCTTTCAACATCAAGCTCCTTCTTCCATTATCTACTGCCCAGTCCGTCGCCTCGTACAGGACAAAGTGCTGCCCCTGGTGTAGCTGTGCAGGATGAGCCGTGCTGGAGACTACTCGGTCGCGAAACCGTCGCGTATAAAGCTGTAGGTCCAGCTCCTTCGCCATCATCTTGCCCGAGTCCTCCGCTTCAGACATCAGTGCCTATACTGACTGCTGCAGCAAACCTACCCCTGACGAGATCGCTACCACCCTTTACCGGGCCGAGCAAGCACGTCAGGCACGCTTCGCTGAGCGGATCTCATCAGCGAACAGTGCCGGGCCCTCGTCCTCCCCTCCCCAACCTCCCCACTCCACGTCTGGACGGCGTCCTGGCATCCCTGAGCCCAATCTCGGCCGCAGATGGAAGACCGACAGCTCTTCTGCGCACTTTGACGCGCTGGCGGATGACGTTCGCATCCCCGCTCGGTTCTACGATAGCGCCAAGCACCGGGGACGGTATACAACTGCCTATACTACCGCCATTGACTCGGCGGAGGACTTCCTCTTCGGTCCCTCCTCTGTCCCGGAACGGGCGCGGACGCAGAGAGCGGAGGATGTGGTGCAGCTGTATGGAGGGCCTGTGCCCGCCATGGGCAACCGGACCGTCAACGAGTATCTGGGATGGATCCGGCACGGAATGGATCAGCTTCGGAAGCGGGAAGAAGACCGGGTGAGGCAGGACCGGGCGCGGCAGAAGGAATGGGAGGAGCAGGAGGCGGAGCGAATGAGGGAGAAGCAGCGCGCCAAGGATGAAAAGGCGCAACGGGCGCACGAGTCGAAAGAGCGCAAAAGGCGGGCGGCGGAGGCGGAAGAGTATGAGCGCGCGAGCAAGCGGCGCAGGGAAGAACCGGGGGTCAACGTCAAGGTGGAGGGAGGTGATAACAAGGGAGAGAGAGAGCGGTACCTCTCGCGCTGGAAAGCGTTCAATGGGGCCGGAGAGGGCGGAGCGGATATTGTCGAGGTGGAACTGGCATTCGCGGATATCCCGTGGCCTGTCTATGGCTCTCGACGGGTCGGCTCGGCGGAGTCGCTATCAGAGGAGAGGATAGAAGCGTTTCTCCTCGATCTGGCGACGGAGTCATGCCCGACGGCGGAGAGCATGCGGTCTGCCAAGAGGAAGGTGCAGATGGAGGCGATCAGACAACTGCATCCGGACAGATTCCATGGGCGTGTACTGCCCAGAGTGAAGGAGAGCGACAAGGCGAAGGTGAAGGAGGGCGTGGAACATTGCATTAGAATAGTCAACGGACTTTTGACCGGCAGATAGCATTGGTAGACCGGACTGCATCATAGACCTGGTTTGTAGCTGTGTATATTGTTGTGCCCATCCGCTTACAACCACGTCTACGTCTAGACCGCCTGGTAGTCCCTGGATGTGTCAGCTTCGGGTGCACCTATTCACACGAGGAATTTCCAGCTTACATCTTGGTCTCGTGCTTCTTGGCGTCGTTCATCTTTCGTACAGCTTTCATCAGATCGTCCTGGATGATAGCATCACTATCGCCTCAGCTCCAGCTCACCCGTACTATCCCGCCGGTCCAGCTAGCTAAAACTCACCGATCGTCCCGAATCGCAAACATCCCCGCCTCAGTACACACATTCCTCAGATCCGCTCCATTAAACCCGTCCGAAAGCTTAACCACCGCCTCATAGTCGATATCCCCCGACTTGTTGATCCCCTTGGCGTGGATCTTGAGAATCTCCAATCGCCCTTGCTCGTTCGGCAGCGGGATCTCGATTTTACGGTCCAGACGACCGGGACGGAGAAGAGCAGGATCGAGCGTATCGGGCCGGTTGGTAGCCATGATGAGCTTGGTGCGGCCCAGAGAGTCGAAACCATCCATCTGGTTGAGAAGCTATAGAGTCAGCTTGGTGCCTCAAAGCGAGCTCGCCGCAACAGCTCACCTCCATGAGTGTCCGCTGAATCTCTCGGTCCGCACTTGTTCCTTCACTGAACCGCCTCCCTCCGATCGCATCGATTTCGTCCATGAAAATGATACAGGGTTCGTGCTCCTTGGCATAGGCGAACATTTCTCGGACCATACGTGCGGATTCTCCGATATACTTGTCGACAATCTGATAGTCAGCTTCGAGAGCGCTTGCATTCTCAGAGAAGATGTAGGCAGACATACAGCTGAGGAAACGACTTTGAGGAAGTTGGTGTTGAGGGTAGCGGCGACAGCACGAGCAAGAAGTGTTTTGCCTGAAACAGTCAGATCTAGTTCACTTCTACGTCCCAAGGGTATCTCACCTGTTCCTGGAGGACCATACAACAACACACCCTTCGGCGGCGTGATGCCCACTCGCTGCCTTGTCAGCTCACATTTCGTCCTCGGACTAAACAAACCAGCTCACCTCGAACAGCTCGGGGTTCATCAATGGCAGCTCAATGATCTCTCTCAGCTCGCGGACTTGGTCATTCAGACCACCGATACCGGCGAAGGTGGCTGATCCCGGATCTTCAAGCGACATCTTGTATACCTGCTTCGTCAGCGCGGCTACTACAGCCCACTAGCTGGGATGACAGTGATTAGGAACATACCGAAGGGTCAACTTCCCGTGGAAGGATACGCATGATAGTAAGAGTCGTCATGTCGAGCGATACACGAACACCAGACTTGAGCTGAGATGTAAGCTTCTCGAGCTCTCAGGGCAGCACAGCCATATCCAGCTCACCTTAGAAGTCGGTAGTGTTGGCCGGTACGAAACGACGTATCGCGGACCTGACGAGGCTTTTACAATGACTACCTGTCAGCTACAAACCTCGAGCGCCGGACTTCACCGGCGTAAGAGAGCACTTCAGCTTACATCGTTCATCATCCAGCTGTTTCAGGATCTCCCCGATGATCTGTCCAACAGATTGCAAGGCCTTCATATCTTCCTCGGTCTGGTCGAAGTCCGATTGCAAATTCCGGATATTCAGGCGCACTGGAAGATCAGCAAAGGCCCAGGATGAGATTCTCGCCTATGACTCCTGTAATTCATGCCTCATGAGGCGAGGGGGTCTTCCAGAGAGATGAAGCACACTTACCAGTCTTGAGCGATTGGCCGACATCGTTGTGTTGCTTGATTTTCTAGCTCAATCAGCTTACCGTTCGGCTTGCCAGCACGGGAGACCGGGACGTTGGCAGCTCACCGCTCTGTACTCCTTGAGTGCCGCGTACTTTGCAGGGTCCATGCCTGAAGGCGCGACGACCTGCTGCGATGTGGACGCCTGGGCAGGCTGAGAAGTCGCCATGATGGGTGGATCGATGGAACTAATTGGTTTTTTGCGAGGCTACTTGTTTCGCTGATTGCAGTACGGTTCGTCGGCGTTGAAGCTCTAGCTGAGGATGCGGGTGGGTGCCAGTGTAGCTGCAAGGAAGTGATGTATATGAGGAATGGGATGACCTTTGGCTGGACACTAGACACTGACGCACCATCATCGCGCGCGACCTATCTATTCCATCCACCCATTTAAAAAGTTGAGAACCTGTTTGTGCTCGCTCTTCAGCCGTAAATACTGTTGACTGTATACCTTCAGGGTGTATGTATAGATCAATACGCCTGACCAGACAGTTCGCCATCACCTCATTCCGCGCATACACAATGTCCAGCCCGGCCTCTATCAACTCGCCCCCGCACAAGCGGGTCAAAGCCGACTCGGACCTCTCCATCCCGCCCACCATTCCCACGGGGTCCACAACAGAGATCAACGAGGCTCCTATCAACGCCATGCTCCCTTCCTCAGTCCCCACTGCGGGTCCCTCGAGGGCGCAGCAAAAGAAGTCCAAGCCTGCGGTCGGACGTAAGCGGAAACCCAGGCGGGACCTGCCAGACCCATACTCTGCCGGCGAGGTGCTATGGCACGATATCCAGGACTTCTTGGGCCGGGAGTACGTTGCTGGCTTGCTGGACAAGAAGGACGGGGCGGAGTGGGCGGCGCCGGAAGAGCTGGAGATCATGGGCGTGATTGAGCTTAGGGTGGGAGCGTTCACTGTCTCGGGGGAGTCGTTGTCGCTCTACACGCCAAAGGGGGATGGAGGGGAAGAGAGGAAGTGGGCGATCGTGACGCCGTTCGCGCACCCGGGGGATCTGATCCGCGCGAAGGTGTTCAAGCATGATCGGCTGCATTCGACGGCGGACATGGTGGAGATTCTGGAATATAGCGAGACGTATCGCGGTGGAGAAGGGGATAGACGGAAGAACCCAGAGGGTGGGTGCAAATACTTTGGAGAATGGTATGTCCTCGTTTGTCAGCTATTGATCCGATGATGACCTTGGACCCCAGCTAATAGCTCTAGCGGAGGGTGCCAGCTCCAACCTATCCCTTATCCCCTCCAGCTCGCACATAAGAAGCACACCGTCGAGCTCGCCTACCAACGCTTCTCGGCCCTATCTGCCACTCAGGTCCCACCTATTGGCGAGACGATTGGCAGCCCGCAACAATGGGGCTACCGGACCAAGTTGACACCGCACTTTGACGCCATGCCGAAGCGTCTTCAAGGGGAAATGCGGAAACGGGCAGAAGCGCAGGCTGCTCGAGACGCCGAGGTCAAGGAGGAAGGGAAGGTGAACGAGGAAGAGGGGATGAATGCTGGAGAGGGCAGCGGGGAGGCCGCTGCCGGCCAGAGACCGGGGACGGTGATCGATGCAGAGGGGAAGCCGTGGGAGGTCCGGATAGGGTTTGAGCGGAAGGGCCGACCAGGCGTCATGGACATCGAGGTGATCTTCCGTGTATGCACGCCTACATGAGACATAGCTGACAGCCAGGAATGTCCCATCGCTACTCCCGTACTCAACGCCAAGCTCACACCCGAACGCGCCAGGATACAAAACACCATCACCTCTTTCGCCCGAGGCGCTACCCTCCTCCTCCGTGACTCTCTTCCCACTCCATCTCCCTTACCCTCCTCCACCACCCCTTTCGACCCCTCCACACCCATCTTGGATCCATCCCAGCACGTCGCAATCACAAACCACAAGGAGAACGTATACGAACGCGTCGGTCCTTGGCTTTTTGAATTCAGCGCCGGTAGTTTCTTCCAAAACAACAACTCCATCCTCCCTCCCCTGGTCGAATACGTCCGAGCCGCCATCTTTCCGCCTGGATCGGCGGTCGTGCCGACGCATCTGGTCGATACGTACTGCGGTTCCGGGCTGTTTGGGATTACGCTGTCACCATTCTTCACCCGGATAGCGGGGGTGGAGATCTCGGAGCAGAGTATCACGGCCGCGAAGCGGAATGCGGAGATTAATGGGTTGGGGGAGGATAAGGCGCAGTGGATCGTGGGCAAGGCGGAGGAGATCTTTGGGGGTTTGGAGGCGAGGGGGTTCAAGGGTGATGCGAGCTGTGTTGTCGTGGACGTGAGCTACAGCTTCGTCTTCCGTCGCCATGATGAGACTAGTAAGCTGACAGTATAGCCGCCAAGGAAAGGCTGTGATGCTCCCTTCCTGACACAACTTCTCGAGTTCAGCCCAGCAACCATCGTCTACGTCAGCTGTAACGTCCATACTCAAGCAAGGGATGTCGGATGGTTCCTGGCCGAATCGAAGAAGCGGGCGGGGACAGCTGGTACAGAAGGTGGCGGGGGGTATGTGCTGGAGAGTGTGAGAGGGTTCGATCTCTTCCCACAAGTGAGTTGTCTGCTTGTCATCGACAGGGCGAAGCTGATTGACCAGACTGCTCATGTCGAGTCTGTAGCTGTACTCCGGCGCCGCCTGTAGAGCGAGGATATCTTGCATGCATTGCTCTATTCAGACATGAATCGTATAGCTCTGTCTAGCTAACAGATCCAATTGACTTCTAACCTCCTCATCACGAAGCACTCCTTTGATACTAGGTCGGGACAAGTCCCATTCCCGGTACCCCAGCACCCCCAGCAGCCGGAGAAGCAGGCACGACCCCACCTCCCCCTTCACCCTGTATCACGCCCACTTTCGAGCCATCGAGGCCCGCATTCACCGGCACTGGCTCGCCGGACTGAGCGGGATGGATGACCTCGACGATCTCTTTGTGCTTGATCGCGCCGACGATGGAGCCCGAGACGATGATGATTGCGAAGACGCCTAGGCAGATCCACCACTTTTCGGATCAGCTACCCTGTCTGCAGCCATTGAGAAGAGAGAGTACAGAGAGGACTTGCCTTCATGTTCTTCCACCACATGCGCTTCCGGACGTCAGAAGCGGACCGCTTGAAATTCTGGCTGGCGTATGAGAGTGCGCCTGAGTGTGAGCAGTGCACTCACAGTGCAAGGTGGCCGGCTGAGAACACGAATTGACCTCATCAGTGGAGAAGAGAAGAAGCTGGTCACGTACTAGCCCTCTCTTCCAGGTGACTCAGCCGATCTCCACGCTCAGCGATCTTCTTCGTATTGTCCAACATGATCTCCTTGACCTTGTCCATCTCCGCCTGCAGCTTTTGACGCTTTTCGGCCCCCGGGTCGAGCTTCTGCATAGCCTGGTCTGGACCCCCATTGCCGTTACCATTGACCACCTGTGAGCGCGGTGAGATTGGATCTGGAGCGTCAGTGTCAGTCCCAGATGGACAGAACCGCTCCTAGAAGTGAAGGCTGACCATTCTCAGGAGACAATTGCGCGGGAGGCTTGGAGCCGGGAAGGGAGGAGCGGTAGAAGCTCGGATTGGCGAGCGGGTCAAAAGGTTCAGACCTGACGCTGGTCAGCTCATGTCCAGAGCATCCAATTGTTAAGTAAGGCAGCCTGGGCAGCTTACATCGCAATGAAAGTACTTGAGGCAGGGTGGCGATTCGTCGTCTGAGGTCTCTCAGATAGGTTAGAGAATTGACGGGCGTCCGCTGTAATCAGATATGCAAGAGTATAAGTCGATGGACATGGTTGTGGGCCAGATGGATATTGGAGTATGGAGGATGGAGCACAGGGATCCGGCCTGCGTTTCAGGTGACTCCGCTCCTTTCTTCAGAGTGCGCGTACCAGACATCCTTTCTGGGACCTCAGGGGGGATGGGCCGTACTGCGCACACTTGGGCTGGGCGGCCGTAGGTCTTCGTTCATCGGTCAGGGGAGTATCGTGCCTCTATCAGTAATCAGGTAGAATCAGGTTACCACCTCACATGTCAGCACATCAGCGATTGGGGGTAAGCCGACGACGAGAGGATGCTGGCCGACCTGAGGGCGGTCGATCCCTCCGACCCTGTCTAAGAGGCGGGCTTAGATCGAATTCTGTGCTTCGTTTCCTCGCCCCGCTTCTTCAGATCAAGCGGGCGGCCAAAGAGATGTATCGAAGCATCAGTTCCAGCGCAGGGACCCCCAGCTCATACCGGCCCCGCCTCCTCCATATCCCCGAAGCTAACCCCGTCCGATGCTTCTTCCAGGCACGCACGGTCCTCCCCCCGCCCGGTTGAGCTCGGACATCGCCGCTCTGAACCCTCTCGGCATACCTCCGCCGCGTCGCCAACGCCAACGCACAGCCAAGGGTGATAGCACCTGCATTCCTCTCCTCTCCCTCTCTCTCCTTCTCATATACCCCACCCTTCTCAGCTATAGCATCATCTGCAGAGCAGAGCAGATACAGAACAACAGCTATAACGCCCATTTCGCAAAATCGCGAAGCTTTACGAACCCGCTACGAGACCGCAAGCGCGCGCGAAAAGCACGCTCTCCTTCTTCCTCCTTCTTACAATTACGGGTTGTCCCCCTGAGAGCGCTTCATCATGGCGGACAAGCCTATCACTGTGAGCCATATTTCCTTGACTGGGTTGCACATAGCTGACTAGTTTAGTTCACCGAGCACGTCCAGGTCAGCTTGTCGACTTCCATCAAAGACGGGAAGTGGATGATGTGCTGACTGCTTCTTAGCTCACGGCCCTCGGAATCCAGCCGGGTTCTATCGCCTTCCAGTCCCTCACTTTGGAGTCTGACCACTTCATCTGCGTGTAAGCTAGTCCCGGCACGAACGTTGCCTGCAAGAGCTGACGGTCGCAGGCGGGAAAATGTGAACGATACGAACCAGGTCGTGATCGTCGATCTGGCGGACGCGAACAATGTCATCAGACGGCCAAGTACGTATCAGCTACCTGGGTGAATCGGTTGTGAAGACCTGAAAGCTGATCTGAGAAGTCACGGCTGATTCTGCGATCATGCACCCCAAAGAGAAAATCATCGCCCTGAAGTGTGAGTTGCGGAATACCTGACGTGGCACTGCGTCGGACAAAGCTCATACTGCAGCTGGACGCCAGCTCCAGGTCTTCAACCTTGCGACCAAGCAGAAGGTCGGGTCACATCTGATGAACGATGACGTGCCCTTCTGGACCTGGATCAGCGATACGACTTTGGGTCTCGTGACTGAGCGGGACGTGCAGCACTGGAACGTCGTTGGCGGAGAATCCGCACCACGAAAGGTCAGCTGGCAGAACGTCGAGCGTGGGGACGACAGCTGATCTCTCTAGATATTCGAGCGCCACCCCACTCTCGCCGGAAATCAGATCATCAACTACCGTGTCTCACCCGACGAGAAGTGGTTGGTCGTCGTCGGTATCTCGGCCAACCCGCAAGCTGGCCAGCCGGGGCAGAACGGATTCAAGGTGAAGGGAAGCATGCAGCTGTACTCGGTGGAGCGGGGCGTCAGTCAGCCTATCGAGGGTCACGCGGCGGCGTTTGCAACGATCAAGCAGGAGGGAGCGACCGTGGCTAGCAAGGTGTTTGCTTTTGCTGCAAGGCAAGCCAACGGTGCGAAGGTGAGCTACTTCCTCCCTCCCCTCTGCACGGTGTCGGAGACATGAGCTGACTTTATAGCTGCACATTGTCGAAATCGGCCACCAACCCCCAAACGCGCCATTTACCAAGAAGGCAGTCGACGTCTTCTTCCCCCCAGAAGCAGTCAACGATTTCCCGGTCGCCATCCAAGTCTCGGCAAAGCACGGCATCATCTACCTCGTCACCAAATTCGGCTTCATCCACCTGTACGAGATCGAGACGGGGACGTGCATCTACATGAACCGGATCTCGGGCGAGACGATCTTTACGACGGCCGAGTTTGAGGCGCAGAATGGTATTATTGGGGTGAACAAGAAGGGGCAGGTGTTGAGTGTGTCGGTGGATGAGCAGACTATTGTGCCGTACATTCAGCGTGAGTTGCTGTTCTCCTTTACATGCGCTGTCTGTGACGACCGAGCTAGGACCATAATTGACACCCCAGAACACCTCAACAACGCCGAGCTCGCCATCAAGCTCGCTACCCGCGCCGGGCTTCCCGGAGCCGACCACATCATCCAGAGCCAGTTCCAGGTGTACATGCAGAACCAGCAGTACAGCGAGGCCGCGCGCATCGCCGCCAACTCCCCGCGCGGTATCCTCCGGACACCCCAGACCATCGACATGTTCAAGAAGCTTCCCCCGGTCCAGGGCTCGCTTTCGCCCATTCTTCAGTACTTTGGGATCTTGCTCGAGAAGGGCGAGCTCAACAAGTATGAGAGTCTGGAGTTGGCGAGGCCCGTCATTGCGCAGGGGAAGAAGCCTTTGTTAGAGAAGTGGTTGAAGGAGAGCAAGGTGAGCTAGTACGACGCATCCCTCGCACGACACCAGCTGACCAGACAGCTCGAATGCAGCGAGGAACTCGGAGACCTCGTACGCTCAGCCGACATGAACCTCGCTCTATCCGTCTATCTCCGCGCTTCCGTCCCCAACAAGGTCGTCGCCTGCTTTGCCGAGCTCGGGCAATTCGACAAGATCGTCCTCTACTCGAAGAAGGTCGGCTACACCCCGGACTACGCCCAGCTCCTGCAGCACCTCGTCCGTATCAACCCCGAGAAGGCCAGCGAGTTTGCCACCCAACTCGTCAACGACGAGGCGGGACCGATGGTCGATATCGAACGCGTCGTCGACATCTTTATGGGCCAGAACATGATCCAGCAGGCGACCTCGTTCCTCCTCGATGCGCTCAAGGACAACAAGCCAGAGCAGGGCGGTCTGCAGACTCGGCTGTTGGAGATGAACCTGGTCAATGCGCCGCAGGTCGCGGATGCTATCCTCGGAAACGAGATGTTCAGCCACTATGATAAGCCACGGATCGCGAACCTTTGCGAGAAGGCTGGGTTGATGCAGCGGGTGAGCTTCTGTGTCTCTGTCGTCGACGCGGGGAAGAAGCTGACTTCTCAGGCCTTGGAGCACTACGACGACCTCGAGGACATCAAGCGATGCGTCGTCCACACCAATCTGTACAACGCAGAGTGGCTTGTCAACTACTTTGGCAAGCTCAGCGTCGAGCAGACTATCCCTTGTCTCCAAGAGATGCTCAAGAGCAACATCCGGCAGAACTTGGCGGTGGTCGTGCAGATTGCTACGAAATACTCGGACTTGCTTGGCCCCGTTAAGCTCATCGAGCTGTTTGAGCAATTCAAGTCCTCGGACGGTGAGCTGATAATCGCCTTGGAGATGCGAATCGCAGCTGACACGCAGGTCTCTACTACTACCTCGGCTCGGTGGTCAACCTCAGCGAGGACCCGGAGGTGCACTTCAAGTACATCCAGGCCGCTACCCGGACCGGCCAGATTCGCGAGGTCGAGCGTATCTGCCGGGAGTCCAACCACTACAACCCCGAGAAGGTCAAGAACTTCCTCAAGGAGGCTCGGCTCTCGGACCAGCTCCCCCTCATCATCGTCTGCGACCGGTTCGACTTTGTCCACGACCTCGTCCTCTACCTCTACCAGAACGGTCTCACCAACTTCATCGAGATCTACGTCCAGCGGGTCAACTCTCAGCGGACCCCTGCTGTCGTCGGGGGTCTGTTGGACGTCGACTGTGAGGAGATGGTCATCAAGAACCTCCTCATGTCGGTGACTGGCGAGTTCCCCATCGAGGAGCTGGTCGAGGAGGTCGAGAAGCGGAACCGGCTCAAGCTCATCCTCCCTTGGCTCAACTCCAAGGTGGAGCAGGGCTCGACCGACCACGCTGTCTACAACGCGGTCGCCAAGATTGCTATTGACTCCAACAACAACCCGGAGGCGTTCTTGAAGGACAACAACCTGTACGACCCGGCGATCGTCGGAAAGTACTGCGAGAAGCGAGACCCGTACCTCGCGTACATTGCCTACGCCAAGGGCTTCTGCGATGACGAGCTCATCCACATTACCAACGAGAACCAGATGTACAAGCATCAGGCTCGGTACCTCGTCAAGCGGAGAGATGTCGATCTCTGGACGCGCGTCCTCGATCCGGAATCCATCCACCGTCGGGCCCTCATCGACCAGGTCGTCGCTACCGCCATCCCGGAGTCGACCGACCCGGATGACGTCTCGGTCACGGTCAAGGCGTTCATGCACATGGAGCTGCACGGTCCCCTCCTGGAGCTGCTCGAGAAGATCATTCTTGAGCAGTCTCCCTTCTCGGACAACCGGTCGCTCCAGTCCCTCATGTTCCTCACTGCGATCAAGAACGATCGTGGCAAGGTCATGGGGTACATCAACAAGCTTTCGGGCTATGATGTTGACGCGATCGCCAAGGTTGCCACGGACGCCGGGCTGTACGAGGAGGCTTTCACCATCTACCAAAAGCACGACAACCACGCCAAGGCGATGGACGTCCTTGTCGAGCACATGGTATCGATCGACCGCGGATCCGCTTACGCCAACAAGATCAACCAGCCCGCTGTTTGGTCCAGGCTCGGTAAAGCCCAGCTTGACGGTCTGCGCGTCAAGGACGCCATCGACTCGTACATCAAAGCCGAGGACCCGTCCAACTTTTCGGAGGTCATCGAGATTGCCAACCGGGCAGGCAAACACGACGATCTCGTGCGCTATCTCCAGATGGCGCGCAAGACTGCTCGCGAGCCCAAGATCGACACGGAGCTCGCGTACGCCTACGCCAAGACGGACCGGCTGCACGACATGGAGGAGTTCCTGGCGATGACGAACGTGGCGGATGTGCTGCAGGTCGGGGAGAAGTGCTTCGAGGACGAGCTGTGCCAGGCTGCCAAGCTGCTCTTCTCGAGCATCTCGAACTGGGCCAGATTGGCCACTACGCTCATCTACCTCGGGGAGAATCAGTCGGCGGTGGATGCTGCGAGGAAGGCTGGTAACACCCAGTAAGTCGTGAAGTTTGGTCGTGATGGAGCAAAGCTGACAATGGCAGGGTGTGGAAGCAGGTCAATGCCGCTTGTGTGGACAAGAAGGAGTTCCGACTTGCCCAGATCTGTGGTCTCAACTTGATTGTGAGTTTTCCTTTGTCCTCCGATGGGAAGGTCAAAGATCACAAACTGATACCTATAGGTCCACGCTGAGGAGCTTCCCGCTTTGTTGTCGTTGTATGAACGGAATGGCTACTTTGAGGAGATCATTAGCCTGATGGAGGGTGGTCTGGGTCTCGAGCGGGCGCACATGGTGAGTTATGCCGGTCTCATTTCCCGGCACGAAGCTAAACTTCCAGGGGATGTTCACGGAACTGTCCGTGCTATACGCCAAGTACCGTCCAGAAAAGCGTGAGTTGTCATGGACTGCAGACCGAGACCGCAAAGAAGCTGACCAATCAGTCATGGAGCATCTCAAGCTGTTCTGGCAGCGCGTCAACATTGTACGTCCACGATCCTCGCTCAAAGACGGGCTTCAGCTGACACATGTAGCCCAAGGTGATCAGGGCTTCCGAGCAGGCACATCTCTGGCCCGAGCTGGTCTTCCTGTACATCGTATACGGTGAGCTAAATCTCCGTTTGCCGCGATCATAATGAGAGTGAGAGCTGACTCAGTAGATGAGCCCGACAACGCAGCTCTCGCCATGATGGAGCGTCTCAGCGACTGGGACCACGACCAGTTCAAGAAGGTCATCGTCAAGGTGGCCAACATGGAGATCGCCTACAAGGCCGTTTCGTTCTACCTTGCACACCAGGTAAGCCAGCATATTGTCTTTAGTAAGACTTTGCTAAAATCCAGCCCAACCTCCTCCCCGACCTCCTCGCCGCCCTTACTCCCCGGCTCGACCACGGCCGAGTCGTCAAAATCCTCCAGGCGGCCGACCACCTCCCCCTCGCCAAGCCATACCTCGTCGGCACGCAAAAGCTCAACATCACCGTTGTCAACGAGGCGTACAACGACTTGCTCATCGAGGAGGAGGACCACGTAACCCTCAGGAGCTCGCTCGAGACGTACGACCAGTACGATGCCATCAAACTGGCCAAGCGACTGGAGAAGCACGAGCTGCTCGAGTTCAGGCGGATCGCGAGCTTGCTGTACAGGGTGAGCTGTGCTGGATGAAGGTTCCGCTTTGAGCAGGAAGCTGATAACATGTAGCTTAACAACATGTACGAACCCTCCCTCGACCTCTCCAAGTCAGACAGATTATGGCGAGACGCACTCGAGACTGCCGCTTCCAGCAAGGATATCAAGGTCGCCGAGGAGCTCGCGCTGTACTTTGTCACCATTGGCAACAAGGACGCGTTCGCCGCGATCCTGTATGTCTGCTATGAGCTGGTCAGGCCGGACTTTGTGGAGGAGATGGTTAGTCAACCAACTCTCTTGGCTCTGAAAAGCAACCGCTAACCCAATAGTCGTGGCGCTTCGGTCTTGGCGACTACTCCAAGCCATATGTGCTCCAGCTGCAACGCGATCAGACTACCAAGGTAAGTCTCAGCTACGAAGTCCTCAACGTCGCCCAGAGAGCGGAGCAAGCTGAACTGCGCAGATTGCCGCGCTTGAGAAGGAAGTACGGGAACTGAGGTCAAAGACGGCAGAGAAGGAGACGGAGGAACCGTCGAGTATGATGGGGTCCGGTCTCGGTGGGCGCTTGATGATCGGTGGACCAGGGTGAGTCGTTAGGCTCTGGAACTTTGTGTGAGAGGCTTAGCTGACAGGTCCAGTGGATTCCCAAATGGCGGCGGGATGCCTAACGGCGGTATGATGGCTCAGCCTACAGGCTTCTACTAGATGGTGCAATGAGACGGGGAGGACGAGTGGAAATAGACAAGAGGGGCATATGATGGGGTCAAAAAAGAGCGATACATCGAAGAAGAGGGGGTTGTGTTTCTATATCAGAGCTATTTCGACGAATGAATCTGTTTTCCGTTCTCGCTCTCCTCAAGCTCGAGTGGACCCACACCGGGCTCGCCAAACTCCGCATTCCTCAAATCTAAAACTTTGTCCGCTGAGCCAAGAAAATCAACGGGCATGTTCGCAAACTTCAAGACCTCTCACATCTCAGCCGACGATGCTATCACCGCCAGCTCTTCTGCGTCTCATCGTAAGATCCCAGACGCGTCATGTCAGTCATTACAGCGCGGTCTCCCAATCTGGCCGGGTCGCTGAACGTAATGTCATCGATGAACTGGAATCGAGAGGCTATGTCTCTGCCTTGACGAAGTAAGTAGCTACTCTGTAACTTGTAACTTGGACTGAGAGTCTCCCAGCTGATGATTATAGTCCTGGATTACGCCAGCATGTAGCGTCGCCGTCATGCCTATACGCCGGTGTCGACCCTTCCGCCTCATCTCTGCACGTTGGGAATTTGCTGCCCTTGATGGGATTGCTGCATTTCAAGATGGCAGGCCATAAGGCTATAGCTATAGTAAGTGTCTCCAAGCGGAGCTGCAGCCATGGACTGTCTCTCATCTGTAGTGGAAGCTGACCTAGGCAGATAGGCGGAGCTACCGGTTCAATAGGTGACCCCTCCGGCCGATCTACCGAACGCAACGCCCTCGCATCAGACGAGCTAGACCGGAACGTCCGCGGCATTACCGACCAGGTAGAGCGATTCTTTCAGCTCGGATCAGAGTACGCAGGCCGGAGAGGCGGGTACGGTGCTTTCGGCCCTCAGCAGAGTGGTGGAAAGGGGAAAGAAAGGGCGGTAGATGAGGATGCGATACGAGGCGAGCTGGAGGTGCTGAACAATTTGGAGTGGACGCAAGGTGTGGGCTTGTTGGACTTCTTGCGGACGGTAGGGAAGATGGCTAGGGTGAATGTGATGCTGGCAAGGGATAGGTGAGCTGTCCTGTACTTGCGTTCGAGGCTAGCCATCTTGGCTATGTCAGCCAGCACCCAACGGAGTCCAGCTAATCCAGCAGCGTTAAGAATCGCCTGTCGTCAGATTCCGGCATATCCTATACCGAGTTCACCTATCAACTCCTCCAAGCCTCCGACTTTCTACATCTCTACCGCACGCGAAACTGCACGATCCAGCTCGGAGGCAGCGACCAATGGGGCAACATCGTCGCCGGCATTGACCTAATCAAGCGGATGGCGGCAGATGAGGCTCGGCAGGATGTCCAGGATGGATCAGGGTTAGAGGAAGGGAAGGGGAGGGAGCCGGCGTATGGCTTGACAATACCGCTCTTGACGACGAGCTCGGGGGAGAAGTTTGGAAAGTCGGCGGGGAACGCTGTTTGGCTGGATCAGCAGCGGACTAGCGTGTCTGATTTCTATCAAGTGAGTCAGGAGTGGTATTCTGGTCGATGTGATTCAGCTGATGTGCAATAGTTCTTCTTGAGATCAACCGATGAGGATGTCGAGCGGTATCTCCGCATCTTCAGCTGGTTGAAGGTGGACGAGATCGACGAATTGATGACACAGCACTTCGTGAGTTGAGAGCTGCAGTATATACGAACACGACCAGGCTGACGCTACAGCGAGATAAGAAGGCTCGGACGGCGCAAAAGACTCTAGCGGACGAAGTCACGGAACTTGTACATGGTGGTAAGTCCATCGTTACCTCTCGAGCTCTTACGATGAACCTCATGCTGACCTGACCAGAACAAGCAGTCAAAAAGGCTCAAACGGCGGCAGTCGTCCTCTATCAGACAAATCCTCGCCTCCTAAAAGCGGACGATATCATCTCAGCTTTCGAGGGCGACCCGAGGTTTCATCGAGTTACATGGAGCGACATCAAGGGTCTGCCTGTCACAAAGCTGGCGGTGCAGTATGGGCTGTGCAAAGCGAGAGGTGAGACAGTTTTCTGTTCATCGTAGTAGGTCTAGCTGATGTCGCAGCCGACGCGACCCGAGCTGTCCAAGCTGGGGGCTTGTTTGTCAATGACCGAAAAGTCAATGATCCGCGGTATTTGATCGTCAGGCAGGAAATGGTCCAGCATCGGATAGCGATTGTTCGGCTGGGCAGCAAGAACCACATGATTCTGTGCGTAGAGGATTAGGCTGTAAGAGCTAGATGTAACTCCTCTCCATCGCATGATGGCCCCACCTACAAGGCTCTCATCTGCACCAAGTCTTCGACCGCTATCTTCACAACAGCATAGGAAACGTACATCATGCTGGTCTACCTATTGCTGCCCAGACTATTCTCAGAGCAGTATACCACCCAGACTCCAGCACCATATCCACATCCCGTTCCTCGTAAGGTGTGAGCCCCTTCTGCGGATCCGGCTTCTTCTTCTCCTCTGCCGCCTCTTGCGCCGGTCTCGGGGATGGCGGGCATGCGGCAAGCTGAAGGCGAAGGAGGATGAAGGGGATGGATAGGTCGACTGGGGTGGTACCTGTGCCTTGGGCGATGAGCGCGGTGATCAGGTGAGCGACAAGGAGGGATAAGGCAAAGGTGACTGCAAGGCAGGATTCTGTACATGTTAGCTTATCCCGGCAGGATCGAGGATTCCAGTTTAGAAGCTTACTGGACCGATATAGCCATATCCAGCCGCACGAGAGCGCCGCGCAAGCTTGGAGGATGGAGTGTCTGCTGAGATCAGCTCGGCAAGGGCTCGCGTGTGACAAAAGCAGGCGAGGACGTACCCGAAAGACACGTTCATAGGGTTGCGTTGCCGCAAAGTGTAGATCATAGTTCCCAGGATGCCAACTGATGAGGATCCCTGACTACACCAGTCAGCTTAGGTCAGACAGAGTGACACGCAAAGCTGAACACACACGATGCCTCCCAAGCCCACTTTGAGTCCTCCTCGGACAGTGCGCATAAGGCCTGCTTCGAACAGCGTGGGCGTGAGGATGAGGGAGCTCATGAATAGCTGATGAGACAATGTCGGACGTTGGTAGTGGGTCGCTGCGCCGGACGGCCATTCTACAGTATTAGGACTCTATCGTTGGTAGCCCAGCATTGAGACGCCAGGACTCACCTGAACTACTACCTGTCAACCACGATCGTCCTGCCACGAATACCAACCCTAAGAGACTCAGAGCCAAGGTAAGGACGATCTGCTGAGTACTCCACAATCTCAGCTTGGTCAAGAGTGCCTTGTACGATCTCGATACAGCCTCAAATACGTCCACTGGACATCAGCTGTCGCCCAGAACGAGATGATTTGTCCAGTCGAAAGGAGCCGAGGGCAAGGTAGACAATGATGATACCGACATACGCGGTCTCTGTACGTCTTGAAGTACCAGCTGATTCGGTTCGGAGCGCTCCGAGGAGCTCGAGGCCTCTGACGCCGATGGGCGAGTGATCCCGTCCGCCTTTGATTGAGCGTATCGCATGACCGCCTGGAACTGCGAGAAGACAGCCCATACCGCGTGCGTGGGATCGAGCTGGGCAATCTACACAGTATATAAGCTCGTATCGCAGTACATACCCCATTCAGCACTCACGAAAGTCGATGCGATAAACGATTCAGCCAGTCTGTCGATCCTGCATACCCCCGCCGCCAGGATCATCAACATCTCCCCGCTGATCCTCCCACCCGGACCCAACGGCGAGGATGCTAATAATGGTATCGAGGCGGCGACGGCGGTGCTTGCCATATTAGGTATCATCGAGAGCTCTTGTGGATCGCTTGACGCCTGATGTAAGGTGATTGAAACAAGGAAGGGGATGAGGAAGGTGTCCAGGATGAAGGAGGGGATCGGGGCGTTCAGGTAGGCGGCATTATACCCAACGGGCAGCCTATGCCAGTCAGCATATAGAGCCGATAGTATCCTCCAGGAAGTACTGTCTGCCCAGGCGCTAAGAGCCGCCGCCGCTGGAAGCCCAGCCGACAAGTCTGACCCATGAACTTACCGCGATGCTCTTGTGAGATCTTGATCCTGAACGCGATCAGCCCCTATCATGACTACTGGAGCCGAGCAGGCGGTATATCGATATTGAGAATCCATGATCTGCTTAGATCCGTTGCCAGTTCCGCTGGACACTCACCTTCCATCGCGAGACAGCGGAAACCACATTACTCAGAACGAACGCAGCGTACAGCCCGTTACGGCCAACTGAGCCGTGTATGATTCGTCGAACCTGCTTTGTCGAGCTCGATACAGCCTGAGCTACCAACGTCGAGTCGTCTATCGTCATCTTGACTATAGATGTATGACTTGATAAGGCGTGCAAAGCTCATATCAACGCGAGATGTGAGCGGTGGATCGCGGTGGAGGTGGACAATGACCGGGCGCATGAAACTTGTGGCTACGTCATAGCGTCTCAGGTGGATCGGCAGCTCGGCAGAATCATAGCTTCGTGACAGAGGTCCCGCAGCTACCAGACAGGCAGGAGAGAGTCATAGGTCGGTCCGCCAAAGATGATGCATCATCAAGATCGAGGCCTGATCTTCCCCTCCTTCAACGCCCTGTTTGCCCAATCCCGCTTATTCCGCATCCGCAACCACCCTCCACACCTTCACGCTCCCATCATCTGCACAACTCGCCAGCACCCCTTGTCCGCCCCCATCTTCCCTTTGCAGCCAGCTCACACAGTTCACATCCGCCACACCATGCGCCTCCCGGATAGCGGCGATAGGCGCAATGCTGACTTTCGGCTTTTTGCTCGGCGCGTCGGCCTCTGCACCGTCCGCGCTGACGGGAGTAGTGATTTGCCAGACGATGATCTTGCCGTCCGCGCCGGCGCTGGCTAGGATACCCAGACCTCCGGCGGCGAGGAGAGTACCGCCCTGAGCCCAGGCGAGGGTGAAGCAGGACCGGGAGTGGGCGGCGGTGTGTGCGATTTCGACGAATGGGGAGTCAGGGTTGTTTCCGCTGCCAAGTCAGCCTTGATCCAGTATCGGACATAGGCTTGGGACTGGGTCTTCTCATAGGTTTAGATGTGAAGGATCAGGCTTACGTTCTAGCCCATATTCTAATCCCACCTAGATCCCCTCCACTGGCCAAGAACCGCCCACAAGGGCTCCACGCGAGACTCCATACTGTCTCATCCTCTAGCAACGGCGGTACGTTGAGATATGTCTCCGCCTCGCGCTCTTCTGGAGTCGGTAAGAGCGCAGTCACGAGCGAGTTGTACGCCGAGATCTGACCTTGGCTGGGAGATGCTGCGGCGTCCGATCGTGGGATGTTGATCTGCGAGAGGGGAAGTTTGGGGTGTAGCTTCTGGAAGATGCACCAGTCACCGTCGGGATCGTCCCATTGCATGTGGATGTGGGAGTCGTATGATGCAGAAGCGAGGATCTTGGGAAGTCAGCTTTGTCAAACAAATCCAGCTAGGACCAGCTTACCTCTTCGTGTGGATGCCATGAGAGGTTCTTGACATCTTGCGAATGCTCCATCAGGACAGCGATACATTCAAAGTCGGAGTCGGGTTGGACTGAAGGATCAGCAATATACTCTAATGTCCATCAAGGGCAGGACCGACGAGCTCACCTTCCCATACCCAAACACTCTTATCTCTCGAACAACTCGCCAACAGCGCTCCGTCCGCACTCCATCCTACCGTCTTGCACTCCGACTCGTGGCCTTCCAGGGTCGTCACGCACTCCCACTCCTTGACGTCCCGCTCGCCTTGCCCTTCATCCCCATCGTCGTCGTCCATATCCACATCTCCCGACACCTTCGTAGGCGCCTTGGGCTTATACACCCCTTCCTGACCTTCCTCCTCTCCTTCGTCCCCATCCCCATCTAACTCTTCCCATATCGCGACAGTACTGTCGAAGCTGCCCGTAGCTAGCGTCTTGCCAGAAGGGGCCCAGGCAAGCGACCGGATCGTGCGCTTATGTTCCGTCTCAATCGTTTTGACGTGATGTATGACCGGCTTGTCCGAGCTGGCCGATGGGAAGGCTGGACCTGATAATGCAGTAGACTCGCCATGTGTGATATCATGGGAACAGCCAGGACCGTGCTGATGGACCGGCTTGGAAGATGAGGGGAGGGAGTAAGAGTACAATCGAACCGTCTTGTCGGTCGAGCAGGACGCCAGGAGATTACGCTTTGGGTTGAACGCGACGGCCCAAGCAGGCTCGGCGTGCGACTGCGGAGACGCTATGAGCTGTAGCTGAGGCATCGCGAGGGAGTGTATGATATGATGATAAGGGGGATGAGAAGGGCGGACTTAATCTTTTCTGGCTGCTGCAGTAAGGTCTCGCTTAAGCTTAATTCGCAAAAACTTTATAGGGTGGAGGGGACTTGCTCAAACTCTTCAGAGAAAGTCTTGATAGTGCTCGTATCACAGCTGAAGCATCTACAGGGAATAGCCCCCGCTCATCATCAGCTGCCATGACAGACATCCAAGCAGAAAGCTCAAGCGCGAGAAAGCCGGTCCCGGTGACCTGCTTTACGGGGTTCCTTGGTGAGCTTCAGCTCCTTCCCCTGGGCTTTGGTACAGCTGTACTGACCTGCGTCAGGAGCTGTGAGTCATGAATCTCGGACGGTCCCTCACAAAGAGATAACCCTGCTCCGTATGAGCGCTCGTGGTTCTCTGAAGGAGGAGTGCTTGTTGGGGGCCGCTCAGCTGATTACTTGAAAAGGGCAAAACGACCACCATCCTCGGTCTGCTCAAGCAGTTACCAAAGGACTACAAGGTAAGTCTCCCACCTTTCAGCTCGCATCCACTACGCTTGCGCCGAGCTGATCTCTTACAGGTAGTCCTGCTGAAAAATGAGTACGGGGACGTCGAAGGTAGCTTGCTCGAGACCTGATTTCGGTGAGGTCGAAAGCTGAAGCTAGCAGTCGACTCGCTGCTGGCTTCTCAGTCCAACATCACTGGTGTCTCCGAGATCTTGAACGGTTGCCTGTAAGACCCACATACAGAAACGGTCAGACGCAGTACTGACAATGCAGCTGCTGCACGATGGTCGGTCTCGTCGAGAACGCCATGATCGAAGTACGGGACAAGTACTCGCCCGACAGGATCATCATCGAGTCCAGGTCAGTTCCCCACGTGTCTGAGCTTACGATCTAGCGGATCAGCCTTCCCAGCGACTCTGGCACTTCAGATCCGTCAGCTTGAGCCGCAGGGGTTCAAGCTGGACGGCGTGGTGACCGTTATTGACTGTGTCAACTTTAGAGGATATGAAGATACTTCACCATCAGCCAAGGTCAGAACAGCGGCCAAATGATGTCCTCTATCTGCCCTGGCTGTAGCTGACTGGTACAGCTCCAAGCGAAGTATACCGACCTCCTCTTGCTCAACAAGCATCAGCTCGTTTCCGAGAACGAGTACGATATCCTGATGGACCATCTCGGCACGCTCAATGACGAGACGCCTCGAATCAGGATCGGCGCCGAAGGGGAGGGGATGGACCCAGAGGTCATCTTTGGGCTGGATACGGGTCTATGGGAGAAGTCTGGGGTGGAGGGGAAGAGCTGGGCTGAGTTGGGTGGGCAGGCCGAGGGGTGGCATGGAGATGAGGTGGAAGTGCGGGCTGTGCGGAGAGGAGGGTCGAGGAAGAAGGGGTGTGGGGGAGGGCATGAGGGACACGAGCACGGCTCCGGGTGTGGCGTGCAGGAGGTGGATACGAATGGGAATCTGGATGAGGAGGCTCGGGAAGTGGAACCGCTTGATCGGGACGTCTTGGATGGAGAATTGGCAAAGCTCAGCTTTGAGATCTACCGAGGTACGTCTAGCCCATCTATCCCCCTTACCACATAGCGTGGCTGACTCCCCAGTGAAAGGAATAGTCCGGCTATCTCCCGCCACATCGTCCTCGTCCCCGTACACCACACATATCCTCAATTACGCTTTCGGCCGATACGATCTTACCCCCTTCCCATCGCTCGACTCGGATCCGGAATTGCAAGGCGTGAGCGTGCGCTTGACGGTGATGGGTGAGAGGGGCGAGGTCGCGCGGCGTGCCAAGCGTTTCGCAGAGGGATTAGGAGCATACGTCGAATGACATCGCTCCTGTTCAATTTGATGCTCGCCCACGGCCCATACATCACAGTACTGACTAATCTACTCATGAGGCTCATGAGGACGGAGTATGTCAGTACTCAGTCGATTGCTGAGCGCGGTGTTGCTAAATCCGCTGCTTACTCCTCAACCAATCTCCTACCGAGCTGATGGTAAGAAGCCTCCACCCATCCCGTGCGACTTGATCTGGTGTGCAGCATGAGACAGCTGCGGGCAGCCAATAGCGAGCTACTGTACGTACATGTCTTGCACTACGTATCGCCCAAATGTACTAAATGTCCAACCAAGAGCTCAACCAGCTATGACGCGCTAGGTCTTCTGAACAGCCACCTTCCACCCGAAAGCCTTCTGCAACACCTCGCGACCGCCTTCCGAGGGATTGTAGGCCCCATGGTGGTAGTAGAGGTAGGTAGCGTCTTTGGCCCAGTGAACACCCTTGTCGATAGTATACCATGCCACCGCAGCGGGTACGGTCACGAAGTAGAGGGCCGCAGCGACCGGGACGCCAACGACGAGGCCGAGCGTCTTCAACCCTTTGCGTTTAGGCTCCCCTTGGTGGCGCTTAAAGAAAGCCGCCCAGCCGTGCGCCTTTTTGATATCCGCCTCGGTGCCGTAGAATAGGACGTCGTGAAACCGCTGAGCGAGGAAGGCTTTCCCGTCGGGCTTGCTCATGGACAAGATATTGAGAATGGGGACGAGCTGCGAGGTCTTGCCCAGCTGGATGTGGAGCTGGAGACCGACGGGTAGGAAGTGCCTTGGCATACCATTCGCACCGCGGATGCAGTCGCCGTAGAATTCGCCGGCCGCGGAGGTGATGGGCCCGAGGTGGGTCATGGTGAGGCGAGAGACTGCATCGCGAGCGAGGTGGACGCCGGACCCCAGGAGGAAGTATCTGAAGTCAGCTACCGGAGATCCTGGCTCCCGCTCACATGTTGTACGTGTCGTCACTCCTGACCAGTCTTTCCAGCTTCCCCTGCATCGTCTCCTCGACCTCATCAAAGATGGCCTGCCCGCGACCGGTAGAGAATACCTTGGTTTGGAGAGAGACGTGGTCAGGGACGACGAGGGAAGGAGGGAGATAGATGTTCTTGAGGCGAGTGACCGTGTCATGACTACCATCATCAGCTCTGCAGATCTCACAGGGTTGCTTATACAGGTTGACTGATACTCACTTGTCAAGAATCGCCACGAGCAGGACATATCGCCTCGCACCCTTCTCCTTGCAGATCTCGTACTCGTCGCCCTGAAAGACCTTCCCCCTGAGTAGACCGATCGAGCGCTCCCGGACCGAGACCACCTCATGGTCGAGATCGCCGGCGAAGACCCCAGTGAGGGCAGGTGCGGTATTGATGAGGACTTCTTCGGTTCTGACCCTGATGTGCTCGGTCTGGGCTCGAAGTTGATCCCGACCGTCCGTCAACTTGATGTGGGTGTCGGCGAGGGTCTCGACGGCTTGAGCGCAAGCACTGGCCCCCATCGAGAAGGCGGCAGCATTGTTGAGGTTGGCTGATCAGCATCAGCGCTGCTACCCCTGCGACCGCCCGTCCAACTCACCAATGGATGTTTGAACCAGGTCAGGCCCGCTGATCATCCTCACGATGCCTTCCGTGACCTCCCCGCCCGACTTGACAATTGACATAGCGTCCCCGCCCGATTTGATGACTGAGGACGACTTGGAGGAAGCATCGGCCATTATCGTGGTAGATATAATGCAGTAAGTAGCAGGGATGAAGCGGCGAGGTATTGGGTGTAGAAAAGAAGGTGGGCTTGATCAGCTCCTCGACCCTCCGCTCGATACATCTGTATATGCGGCTTGATTGGGAATCTGGGATGGGCGTATTCGTGAACGCTAATCGGGAGCGAACAGAGCAATCTATCAAGCAGTATGCAGTAAGTGTGTGTCGAGGAGGCTTGTGTGTGTCGGAGTAATCGATCATGATCTGCGTACCGCGGTTCGGCGATCAAAAGAGGGTCAGAGCTGTCAAAGGAGGGTCAGAGCTCCTAGGCCGTGCTGCGACTGCTATTGGCGCTGACGAACGCCTGACTGCTACTGCTCACCGCTCATCGCTGATGAAGCCCAGCGCCGATGGCCGCCATGGCCAGGGTACTGCTGGAGCGGCAAAGAGCTGCAGGTATGAATAAATGTGTCGGGCTTAGAAAGGGCACATGTCGGCAGGAAGCAGGTATCAAACAGACTTATGAAAAGCAACTAAACCTGGGGGCTATAGGAAGGGGGACGGAACATGAACTAACAACGTGCATTATTCACACTCCGGACGTCCGGACGCCGAGACAAGAGGAACATTTGCGAGCATACTCACTCTCAGGCTGTGGTGGAAGATGAGGCCTCAACTGTGTCCCGCTTCTCCAAGGTGCTCTTCCGCTCCTCCGCCATCGCCAAGAGGGCATTGTAGACGTGCAGCTTGGTCTGACAAGCACGAGAAACCAACGCTTGTTTTTATCCACCCACGTGTGGATCGTCTTCTTTCGAAGGGAGTCGTTTTTTGACCAGGATGCCGGTTGCCCCAACGACCACGTCTCGGGTTTCGAGATATTCTTCGAATCCTCCTCGAAGCCCTCGCTCACCCCAGTCAGGAATGCGATAGTCTCGTGGATTTTGCGGGTGCAGCTCTGGATCTCGGCGTCGGTCTTGGCATCGTCGAGGTCTGTGAGGACTGCCAGGCAGGACGAGTAGCTTGCCGTCTTGTTGAGCGAAGTTTCCCATTTCTTGACCTGACCAGCCCACGCTTGTGCTCTCACTGAGACATCTTTGACATGAGGAGGCGGGTCCGCGGTCTCACTGAGCCAACGACCACTTGGCGCCGTGCCGAAATCGAAGGGTTTCACCAGGACGTCCGCTAGATCGTAGTCCTCGAGTTTGTGAGAGCGATCCTGGATGAATTGGTTCAACCTTTCGCAAAGTGTTCCGAGGATCTCTTCCTGAGCCTGGCCTTCTTCTTGCATTGCGTGTAGGGATGAGTGCGATGAGTGATGGTTTGTTGCGGGGTAGAGTATACGCTCGACGATGATGCAGATAGACAGGTGATGTATTAAGCCTAGAGAGCGTCAAACTCCCCTCAAGTATGCCCTCGTCGCTGAACGCAAGTCACGTCGAAAGGAGATGCAGCATGAGAAATGCCTCTCGCGCCAGGGGAAATGTGGCGAAAGGAGCAAAGCGACTCGCGTTTGAATTTAGGGGACATGCAAGGAAGTCTGCCGAGTTTGCACAACCCCTCGCCAGCCCGGCCAAACAGCAACCCCCATAGATCTGGGATGTGACCAGGGGCCAGTCAGATCAAGGGAGTCTTGAAGCTGACACATCATCTTCAAGTGTCGTGTTCCCCATCGACGCGAGAACGGATTTGCTACCCAAAGGAGCACGGCGAGTTGACGTTCGACTTGGTCTACGATCTAGCATACGATGTGAACCTTGGATAAATCAGCAAAGAAGAGGCTGTGGGGTATCAGGCCAACATCCATCCTGGGCTCATGGGTGTGAGCAGTCAGGGTGATGAGCTGGAATGACTAAACCCGATACATATAGGGACCCCTGCCGATGCCCGAACCGCATGATAAGTATGTACAATGTGAGAATGGTGTTTAAACCGCAGCATGATGTCGCGCCCGCGCCTAGACCCCAAGACCCATCTGCAGGATCAGCTCTGCCCTTTCATACACCTCTTCCGGGCTCTCGAGAACTCACATCACTTCGCACCAGCCTTCTCGACCCGCTTCAGAACCACCCCAGGCCGTTTGGTGATCGTCTTGCCCACCTGGACTTGCGAGGATGGCTTCGAGGTTGATGCGGATGGTGTAGCTTGGAGGGAGCTGGCGAGATCGGACGGTCGAAGGGTTTCCTCTGGATGCTCAGCACCGGCCAGACAGGTGGAAGAGAGCTGGAGTAGGAGAGAGCTGGATGAGAAGGGGGCTGGGCAAGAAGGACGTACCTTCCAAACGAGCTCGAGCTGTAGCAAACAGTGAAGTCTTGCTTATCGGCTTCACCCCTACTCCCTTCTTTGCCAAGATTGACTTTCTCTGACCCGCCTTGATTGGAGGCATACTCTCTTGTTCCCCTTGAGTCTGCGCACCACCTCCCATTCCCGCCATCCCGCCGGTCCCACTGCCGCTCCCGCTCGCTTCGCCAGGTCCGGCCGATAAGAGGTCGTTGAGTGTCATAGCCGCCCCGCCCAGACTTCCCATAGCCTCCTCGGCCTCCCTTCTCGCCCGCTCATCCTCGCCCGCCTCCTCGTTCTCCTCTGCGATATCATCGAGCTCCCCAAATATGCCGCCGTCGGGTAAGAAGAGGGACGAAGGGCGGCGTGGGGGTGCAGCGGCTTTCTTGGTTGTGACCTTCGGTTTGGGCCCGGGTTTCTTCTTGGGAAGGTGAGTAGGTTTGGAGGAGGAAGGTACTGATGCGTCGACGGGATCGGTAGTATCGCCCGCCTCCCCGAGAGTGGCGGCAGCAGCGGCAGCGACGGCTTTCTTGGATTTCGATTTCTTCTTTGGCTTTTCGGTAGCCGGGTCATCGTGAGAGTCCTTCCGCTTCGTTTGCTTGGTACGTTTCGTTTTGGTCGGTTCGAGGACAGGAACAGTATCGGCAGGGCTCTTGGTAGCATGCGACGGGGCTAGAGCAGTAGTGGCAGTAATGACGTCTTCGGAGCCCGAGGGACCCTGCTCAGGAGGGGTCGTGTCGAGCTCGACGATGATCGATTTCTTGAAGGGTGCAACGCCGCCGTTTCGGTTCCAGATGCTAGCTCGCTCAAGCTTGCCCTGGGTGACGACGGTGCGGTATACGTTATCGAGAGCGGCTTGTTGGTCGGAAAGCCAGGTATGGGTGAACGCTTCGGCGAGAGTCACGCGCTTGGTCGCGTGAGGGGAAAGGAGCTGGGCGACGAAGTCCCGACCTGCATGGTCAGCTCCAGCGCTACCCAGTAAGCGAGCAATAGCTGACCTTCTGCGCTGATCCCCACCCAGCGCTCTTCTGGCTGCCAGTAGTCCGGTCGAAGTTTCTGTCAGACGTGAGCAGAAGCTGAATCGTCGTAGAAGCAGGACTTACGCCGAACCTGGAACACCTACTCTCGACCCGCCTCCACTCCGCCTCTTGCTCTGACTGTGGCCCGTCCCCGACCGTACCATTCGGATTCCTGCTGCGGAATTCATTCCAGCTCTGAGCTGACGTTCGTCGCCGACTAGTCGCCGCGGTCATCTGTGAGTTATCGGTCGCCGTCCGGTCAAAGACCTCGTGATCGAGCCTCTCGTCGTAGGGGTGGGCGCCGGTCATGAGAGTGTATAGCACGACTGTTCATCAGGTACATCTCATCAGATCAGAAGAAGAGAGACTCACTTCCGAATGCCCAGCGATCCAACATCGCCTCCTCCTCAAACCACAACTTCCCGATCGCCTCCCTCCACGGTACGATCCCTCCGTGCACACTCTCGGCCAGCCCGACGGTAGACCGCTTCCTGCCGAGGATGGCCTTGAGCCGTTCTGGGGGTATATAGGTGGATGTGCCGGTAAAGATACGATGGTTTCGCTCGACGAGGTTGTTTCGGTCCCACGGGACAGAGTGAAGGACTTGGTCGCGGGTTGTTGCGAGGCCAAAGTCGGCGAGGAGGAGGTGGGGAAAGGCGCCGGACTTGTGGAGGAGGACGTTTTCGGGCTTGACATCTGGGGCATGAGCTGCAGTACTGCCTTCGACTATACATTATCGTGGGCCCGACAACTCACCGCGATGAGCAATACCTTTGCCGTATAGGAACTCCAGCGCCTTCAGCAGCTGGTACGCTGCAAACTTCCCCTCGTCCTCGGTGAGGTATAGATGTTTCTCCAAATACGAGAAGAGATCTCCGCCGGTCACCAAGGGCAGGAAGAGGTGTATCACCTCCCCCTCGTCCTCCCTGACCATATCGTATATCCCGCAGATGTTGGGATGTGCCAGACCCTTCATGACCGAGATCTCCACCTCGATCTGCTTATTGAACCGAGCCGTCTTGCAAGCGACTTGCAGTCCAGGAGTGGCGATATTAGTGGCGAGGTGGACGCGGCCGAAGCTGCCTGTTCCGAGGGTAAAGTTGCAGATACGCCATGGACCCGCTTCGAGTGGCTCACTTGCGTCGGACGAGGGGAAGAGGGCGGGGATCTCGCAGCGGACCTGGCCGGGACCTTCGTATTGGGCTTGGGTGGGCTCGGAGTGGTGGGAGAAGTAGCGACAGGAAAGCTCTAGCTGATCAGCTCCTTCCTTCTTCCGACAGACAAGAGCGGTTGGAACAGGCTCACCAATTGGAGAGTCTGGAAATCGCAATATGTCTCCCGGCCGGATGATGATACACCGAGTAGAGTGTTTGACGCCACCAATGTCGTATGTCTGGGTAGACTTGTAGGTGGTGTCGTTCAGGATGAATCCGTTCGTTGAAAGGTCATGGACGCAGATCAGGGACTGGCGACAGCTGGTCCGGATCCTGTGAGAGGTCAGTCCTGCTAGACCAGACGGAGGTACGGAGTTTGACTTGCGCGTAGATCCTAAGGTGGAAATTTGATATGGTCGGATGGTCTATGACGAGGTCACTGCACGGTCAGCTACCGTAGCCGATCAAGTTGAGGTACCTGCGAACTGACCATCCCGGATGACGACCGACCCAGAAGTCCTCGCCGAGCGTAATGACTAGCGCGCCTGAAGCGTGAGATCACATCACCTGCGGGGGAATCACGGAGCTCACGCTTGTCACCCAGGATATCACCCTTCAGCTGCCCAACCTCCTCCGCCGGGTCGACGCGCTGGATCCGCCGTTCCTGTGGGGGAGGAACGTAGGGTCCGAGATAGGCATGCCGCCTCTTTTTGAGCTGTTCGATAGTTCTCCCGACCTGCATGACGATGGGTGGGTTGATGATATAGGTGAAGGTGGAGGAGAAGGAAGAAGGAGGAAAGAGGGAGAGAAGAAGAGGTCGAGCGCGGACCTCCTCCACTTGAAACGCTAAAGGTAGGACCAGATAAAGGCGGAGATACACTCTAATCTCCATTCCTACTGCTGCACCAAGCGAGTCGCAGCGAAATGTTGGTTGAAAGATGTGTTGCTTTCTTTGCCTTACTACCCATATCATACGTAGCATCCAGCTCGACACTAGCTCAGAGCATACAGTACGCGGAACCGCTCTAGTTATCACGAGGTCCTCGAAAATCTCTCCCGAATTCGAGCCAGTATGGCCGTACCATTAGCCGAGTCGCTCCAGGCGCTCGTCCTCTCGACCCTTGACTCCTCGTCCAGCGGCTCGATAGATGACTCGCGGGAGCTGCAGAGCTCTGATGGGTCGAAGCTCGGGCCAGGAGAGGCGCAGGCGGTCCTGAAGGGTGTCCTGGATAGCTTGCTCAGTCGCGAGGTGAGCTCAAAGTCTGCTGCTCACCGGTTCGAGAACTGCGAATTGAGAAGCTGATGGACAAAGATGATCGTCTACAAGCAAATCACCACTACTTCTTTTGCTCTGACCGAAGAGGGTCTGGATATTGCTGCGAAGGGGTCGCACGAGTATCGTGTATGGGAGGCATTACCTGCGAAGGGAGGTGTGGCGTTGAGTATGCCAGATCTGAAGGTGAGCTGGCGGCTGTCCTTCTGGGTGCGAACACAGCTGACGCCAGGTAGAAAGTCGTTGGAGACGATGTAGCCAAGATTGGGCAAATGCGAGCTTTCAAGAACAAGTGGATAGCAAAGGACGGAGCTGGCTTTGTTCGAGCTGTAAGTTTTGGTTGACGTAGTGGTCCGTCAATACCAAGCTTACTCGTAGGTCGACGCCGTCCCAGACGAGACTGCCGCTCAACTTCAGACCATCAGAGATACAGGCTCACATCCCCAGGGCGATGTTGTGCTCAAGGAGGTGCAGAAGCGGAAGCTCATCCAGCCAAGGTGAGTTATTCTCCTGCGCACTTCAGACCAAGCTCATCCGCCAGAAAACATATCCACTACTCCGTCAAGAAGGGCGCCAACTTCTCGACAGAGGTCAAGCAGCTCGAGACGGATCTCACGGAGGACATGCTCGTCTCGTACGTCCAGCTCACCCTCTCACAACGGGCCTCACTGTACGGAGTCAGAGCTGATCTAGCAGTGGGTCATGGCAAGACGCCTCGTTCAAGCAGTACAACTTCGCCGCGGCTGGTCAACCGACCGATGGAGGAGCTCTCCACCCGCTCTTGAAGGTCCGGGAAGAGTTCCGTCAGATCTTCTTCGATCTTGGGTGAGCTCTCTTGCCCACCATAACCTGGACATCAAGCTCATCGCAAAAGGTTCACCGAGATGCCGACCAACCGCTTCGTCGAATCCGCCTTCTGGAACTTTGACGCCATGTTCGTTCCCCAACAACACCCTGCCCGTGAAATGCAAGACACGTTCTACGTCAAAGGTGACTCTCCTTTCCATCCCGTCAAATCTGAAGTGCGCTGATGACCAGAACCATCACGTTCCACTCGACCTGATGAGGAGTACTATGAGCGTGTCCGCAAGGTGCACGAAGAAGGAGGGTACGGGTCCATCGGGTACCGGGCGCCCTTTTCGAGAGAAGAGAGCGAGAAGCTGTTGCTCCGGACGCACACGACCGCTGTTTCGACGGATATGCTTTATCAGATTGCGAATCAGCCTGGGGGTTTCAAGCCTGCCAAGCTGTTCTCCATCGACCGAGTGTTCAGGTGAGCGATTTCCAGGCCGTCAGGTGAATGTGGCTAATGGTCAGAAACGAGTCTACAGATGCTACACATCTGGCAGAGTTCCACCAGGTCGAAGGGGTGGTAGCAGACTATGATATCACTCTGGGACACCTGATCGGTGAGCTTTGCGATCTGTGTATGACGTAGACCATGAGCTAACAAACTCAGCCTTCATGGAGGAGTTCTTCCGCAAGACTGGAAACACCAAGCTGCGCTTCAAGCCGGCATACAACCCATACACCGAGGTGAGCTTACTCTTTACGGTTCACGAACAAGCTGACGGTGTTTAGCCCAGTATGGAGGTCTTCTCGTGGCATGAGGGACTTGGGAAATGGATTGAAATCGCCAATGTGAGCTGGACGCAATGCGCACATGCCATCAAAGCTGACGTCTCAGTCCGGTGTGTTCAGGCCAGAAATGCTGGAGCCGATGGGTCTGCCGAAGGGCGTGAGGGTATTGGGGTGGGGAATGAGTCTGGAACGGCCGACTATGATCAAGTAAGCTTACCGCAATACGGATCCGACCCCGGACGGGGGAGCAAGCTGACACGATACCAGGTACAAGATCTCAGATATCAGAACGCTGGTGGGGCACAAGACGGATCTGGATATGGTCAGGAGGAGGCCGGCGGTGCGGCTGGAGAAGGGCGATTAGATGTTAGAGCTAGACCAGCTGAACAACGTAGCGCATTCGAGGGATCTAGAGGAAGAGGGATGCGTGCACGGTCTTGGACTTGCTTGCTCATAGTAGGCCTCATGTACTGATTCTGTGACCGCCAGTTGGAAGATCCTCCCTCCCACGTCACTTCAAGTCAGCAGGTGGCAGATGACGCTGACTGCTCATCCGTAGCGCATACTGACTCGTAGGGCTTCGCAGGCTATGTCAACGGTGCTTTCCTCTCCCTTCTCCACATCTCCTCTTCCGTCTTCGATGGGCAGCGTGGTCACTGATAAGCCGTATCCCCTCTCTGCGTGATGGGCCCAGGATAGAGGATCCGAAACGTGTGACTACCAGCACAGCTCCCTCCTGGACGAAGGCATATCCTCCCTTGATCAGAGGCCATCACGCTTCCGAGCTGTCCTGACCATCAGTCACCCCATGACACGCCTACGGACACTACAGCGCGATTCTTTTGACCCTCTGACCCCTGGATTAGATTGCACCGCAATTTGATGGAACACGTAGCATACTCAGGATCTTTAGATCACGCGGCCCCTGCTCTAGATTGCGCTTAGATTGCGCTGCAATCTAGTGGAACGTGTAGCAGGCGTACAATCTCCGACCTTATGACCCCTGGTGCAGATTGCGACGTCCTTTGAGATAGTGCACCGCCTTGGCATCGCCACGACTAGCATGACTGCGGACTCGAGGTATAAGAGTGGCTTGTCCGCTGGGGATTCATCGCCCCCAACCGCAACCTCTTCCCCTCCACTATCACTTTTACTGCTACTAATACACCACCTATTCATCAACATGCCCATTCCGGTCACTTACGTTGCGCCTCCGCCGCTCATCAGAGCCATTCTTGGTCCGGATGCCAGGGGCTTGACCCTCGACGGGCTCCGGCGGGAGGATTTCAATGACCGCGCTGTCCCGTTGGAGACGAGGCAGGCAGACAAGTCTGTGCTCGAGTCGGCGCAGACTTACGTCAAGAGCAGCACTCGGACGGACATCGAGGCGCAGACACGACTGTCGGACATTGCATCCCGGCTTACTCTGCTCGCGGCCGACCGCCAGAGCTACCTGGGGCTGAAGGATGAGGCAGCCTCCGACACTGTCGGCGACGACCGGTACAAGACGGACACTCTGAACGCTTTCCGGAAGTACGCCCGAGAGAATGGCCGGGAGAAACACGACTTGACCACATGCCAGTCGACCATCCAGGCGGAGATCACAGCTCGGGAGCTGGAGAGGGCCACAGTTTCGACCAGTGGCGAGACCGCGGCGGATGACGAGCCGCACGGAGGAGACGAGACGGGCGAGACGGGTTCCACTTGAATCGGCGGCGAGACTGCGATGGCCTACTCAAGGCATGTGAGACCTTGATAGCCCCGAACGACCTTTCATACCCGCCTCATTTATACTCGGCCCGTACATACTTGTGAATGCACCCACCCTCTTCCGATGTCTGGGCCTCTTTACACTTCTTCAGCCGAAGTCAACGGTCCAGTCCGAAGGAGATGCTGCTCCTGCTTTCTACTTGCTTTGCACCACTTCGTGACTTCTTGCACCACACTCCGCCAACATGCCTGTATCGGTTCCGGAATACGACGGAGTCATTGACATCACCCAGCTCCAGGGTCTCACCGACCGCGAGTTGCATTGCGATCCACGCCCCGAGCTCGGCCCCAGCGTCGAGTGGCGCATGCGTACCCGCTTCAATGCTGACACTGCGCCGTTCGAAAAGACGCTGGGAAACAAGTCTGTGCTCGAGGCGGCTCGACTTTCCAGCCAGAGCAGCGCGCCGAAGGGCAGCATTCTGTCGGAGATCAGGTCCCGGCTCACCCAGCTCGATGATGTTTATGAGAAGTACACGGCGCGGATGGACGTGGCGCGGCGGATGCCCTATTATGTCGACAACTACCTCTGGCGGGAAATAGTCGATGCTTGGACAGCGTTCGGCGAGACGTTTGACGAGGAGAGGAGCGAGTTGACCGATCTCGAGAAGAGCATCAAGGATAAGATCGCAGCTGCTGAGAAGCCGAGAGGGTGGCGAGACCTCCTCCACCTGGGCCTGAGCCGTCGACACCGTGGCGATTCTACTCAAGGCGAGTGAGCCGCGTTAGGCTTTGATTACCATGGACGTCCTTTCGTAGCCTCCTCAGCCAGACCCGCCTCGCATATACTGGTGTATGCATCCAATCTCGATGTCAGAGCTGCTAAAGAACCGCATACGTGAGCTCGGTTCAGATCTCTAGCCACAGATTCCGGTCAGTCGGAACACGGCCACACGCGCCGATGCGGCTTGGTGATTAGGATGACAGTCAGTGAGGTACTCATTAACTATACTAAAGGTGGGGTTGGAGGAAGTATGTTTAACTGTCTGCCGAGAAAGGTTTGCATGCACCCGATCCAAAGAAGAACAACACCCAGCACCGATATGTACTAGACGCCGCTCTACTTCTTCTTGGCAGCAATGGTCTTTCCTCGCCGACCGCTACTTGATCAGCTGTATCCAAGTGACCAAAGAAATCCAAAACGTACGTGGTCTTTGTGTGCTGACCACGAACCCTGACCTGCCAGTGGTGCCTCAACCCCCTGTGACTCCTGATCTTCTTGAGCCTCTCGAGGTCATCACGGAGCTTCTGGTCGATCTGGTTGGAAAGGACGTGGGCGTTCTTGCCGTCGACCATGTCCTTCTGCCTGTTCAAGAACCAAGTGGGGATCTTGAACTGGGCGGGGTTCTGCATGATGGTGACTATGCGTTCGAGCTCGTCCGAGTTGAGTTCTCCGGCGCTGTTGATCAGTACGAGGCCTAAAGGATTGCGGGTAGCAGTAGCATTTCCCCCTCTCCCCTAATTCCTCCAGCATGATATCCCCCTCAGACGATATTCCGCCCCAGCTCAATCCTCCCACCGACAATATTCCCTTCGTCATTCCCCCTCCTCGTATTGCCCGACTGACTCACCGCTTGTTCAAATCGATATCGGCCTTCTTGCAGACCAAGTTGGCGTAACGCCGACCAACACCCTTAATCTCGGTGAGGGCGAACATGATCTTTCCGCCACCCTTGACGTTGGTGTTGAGCAGCCGCAGAATGTGCTGTTGGGGAGAATGCGTATGGTAGAGTAGAGTATGTGGTCGAGTAGGGGTAGCGAGGAGAATGGTGATCAGCGATAATCCTTTTGTGCAGCAATTCCCCCTGTCCGTCTGTCGAAATCGGGCATGACCTCCTGCTATGCCCTCCCTATCACACGGCTATCCCTTCGTCTAGCCACCCTGTCCACCAGCCCTCTTGACGCCCTTCGCAACCTTGCTCTTCTCTTCCTTAACCCAGCTCCGATCGATCCGTTTAGACTCACCTGGAACTGCTGGTGTGCCTCTGGGGGAGCGAACGACATGATGGCTAGAGTCGGACTGGGGAGTATGAGCTGCTGCTCCTTGTCGACGTGTCGCCGGTTGTATTGTACTAACCTGTTCTAGTCGGATAGCAAGCGATGAGAGCAATAGGATCAATTTCGCTGTATCAGTGAGCACCACCCAGCGCTGGCTTTGTCGACGACTTTGGCTCTGGATAAATTGCCACAAAGGGTAAGCCGGGATTATATTCAGCCCAGCGAGAAGGGAGCCACTGCCGGAGTTTCACGGAGTTTGGCGAAATGTGAGTGTGGCGGAAGTATACACCCACTCGCGCGGGTCTCTCTTTGGCTGTGGCTCTGGCTGTAAGGTGAACTCATACATCAAGGTAACGCTCGACAAGATGTGAGTACAGCTATAGAGACGATACAGAGGGGCATACGCTGATCGCGCTCCTCTTCTCCATTGATACTATTACATTCTACAGGGTTAACATGTGAGTTGCCGCTCGTAGAGATCGAGCAAGGGATTGCAAGCTGATAGATGTAGTCCCAAGTACGTGTCTTCGAATTGTCAACGGTCGTTGCTCGTTCTCCGAGCTGGATAGCGCGGGTGTGGGATTGCTTACGGTGGAAGACGGGGCGCGGAGGATACAGCATTAGGAGAGGGGTGGTCAAGGCGGCAAAGGGCGAAAACGTCTACTGGGGAATTGCTGTTTGCGCAGGAAATTGGGACGAGGGGATGTTGTGCTGTGGCAGGGAGCTGGCAGGCATGGGGATTCAGGAGGGACTGGACTGTAAGGAGTGTAAGCTAACGACTGCCCGCAGGACCCGCCGAACCTGTGAGTTTGCCGACTTTTGATCTTCGTTGATTTGTCGACGGATCTATGGACCAAGCTGACCCTCAGTCTGCTCGTCCAAGGCTTGCGGCAAGCACCAGCCCCACAAGGTCACTCAGTACAAGAAGGGGAAGGACTCTTTGGCTGCCCAGGGAAAGAGACGTTATGACCGTGAGTCTTGGCTTTCGATCGAGGTCTGGCTTGCCTTCGTGGAGGTCTTTGGGTTATGGCGGGGATATCGTATGGGCAGGCGGATGATAGGAAGTCATGAAGCGAGTACAAATAGGATAGGGTGGTACGGGCGGCGGACTGGTGTTATCCCTGCGAGGCGCATTGCTGACCTCTTTAGGAAAGCAGTCCGGTTACGGTGGTCAGACCAAGCCTATCTTCCACAAGAAGGCTAAGACTGTACGTCGCTCTTCTGGAGAAGCTATGGGCAACCGCTGATCACGCTCTTCCTTGCTTGATCCATCTTTCACACTCCCCCTCCTTCACATCTATCACGCAACTATCACTCTCGCCTCATACGCTCTCCTCCTCCATCTCTCGCGCTTCGAAACCTCGTCCACCAACAGACCAAGAAGGTCGTCCTCCGGTTAGAATGCTCCTCGTGCAAGGCCAAGCACCAGCTCGTCCTCAAGCGGTGCAAGCACTTCGAGCTTGGAGGTGACAAGAAGGTGAGTTTACTCGTTTTTTTCTCGTCCCATATCGATTCCTATGCTGATATTTCCCTAGCAAAAAGGCGCCGCCCTTCAGTTCTGATCGTAGGCGTCGCGCTGGAGCTTGTAGGGCCCGGATATGTAGTCTGCTGCCTTGTCTAGGGGTGGATGTATGTATTGCGGGAGTTGGCACTGAGAGATGGTTTTTGCCACTGATGCCGTAATTCGCATGTCAGGAATGTGTTGCCAGGTGTTATAACCGGATACAACTATCTATAACTGCGGTAAGTTATCTACTCTTCGGCGCAGCTCTGCTTGTCTTTCCAATTGAGTGGTCCACTTCTCCTTTCTCTAGAGACGAAGCTCGTCTGCAGCAGCACAGCGGAGTCGGAGTAGCTCGGAAACTCTGGCTTCGACTGAGTTTCACATTCAGCTCTCTGTTACAATCTGCCTCCGACAGCTCCCCTGACGCGTCTTGCAGCAGGCCAACGTCTTGCTCTGTGTTACCCCCTCGGCTGTGGAATAGCGGGGAGTGGCTGCAAGACACTCAAGTAGCTCACTCTCTAGCTATTGACTAGCCTTCTCAGCAATGCTCGACAGTAGAGACAGATGGTACTTCTTTGCGCGATAGGTTGAGCGCTGAGCCGAGGTCGACGGATCAAAAGGGTAACTGTGTTAACGCCTCTTCTGAGCTTAGTCGGACCCCACCCCTCCCACCCCAAAACAGTGATGCTCGGTCCTCCGCTCGTCTACACACACTAACCGTATTCTAGCTTAGCTCACTCCCTACTCAGACGGCCGAATCAGACACACACACGGAGACGGTATTGCCCCTTTTATGCGCCACCCCGCCGCCGTGCTATCTGGCCCCTGTATATAACAGCGAGACGCTCATCAAAAGATTCTTCATCCCGCCCTCTCTCCCGTCTCGCCAACACGATGTCACTCGCCCAGCCACTCCCCATCATGCTCAACCACGCCAACATTCTCGCCAGACCCCACTCCTCTCCCTCTCAATCCTCTTCCCACCGCAACAATGCCCCTCTCCAACGGTCTTCGGTTCTCCATACCTCGTTCAACCTTGCTCTACCACTCTTCAACGATACCTACAACAACCTTCAACGCCGTCGGCGGATCCGAAGTCCCCGAGAGGGTGGGTTTGAGTGAGTAGCTTCGTTCTTTATGCGACTAGGACTGTAAGCTGACCCAGCAAGGGTCACCTCCAGAACAACCTCACGCTCGACATGACCAGATCGCCGGTCCTCGTCGCTTCTTCTGGCACCTCAATCTTCTACTTCTACACCCCTGAGCAGGCCGGAACCTTCTGCGGACTGCTCGAGGACGACGACGTCGAAGATTACCTAGTCGAGGACGGCTGGATCCTTCCTCGCGGAAGTCTCGTCGGGCGCCGCGTCTTCGTCATCGCCCCTGGTCGGCCCTGCCGAGTTGTCGGTGGAGATCGCGCTGGAGCACAGCGGGCTGCGCGGCACTACACCGCTCAGCGCGGTGCGCTTCATGTCCGCTCCGGCGGCGCTTCGACCACCGTCCGGCGGAACGAAGCAGTGTACCTGCCGGATTCCTTCATCCACCCTGCCGACCTCAAAGTGACGATTCCTCCAGGAATCGGCCACCTCATCCCCTCTCCTCACCGGCAACCTCATCTTTACCCCCCTCCGCCTCTCACCAATCCTCGCCGCCTTCGCTCTCCCGAGGAGCAGCTCAAGTGGGCCCAGCTGGGTGCTCGACGCTGGCTGATGCGGGTCGGCGACGACCTCACTTTCAAGACCGACGGACTCGCGTTCGCCGTGCATGCGAGGTGGGCAACACGTGTTTTATGACTCAGCATCCAAGAGCCAACATCGCAGTGAGTCAGTCTATCTGCACACCGGGGGTATCTACTGACGCGGCAGTGACTCGGCACCGCCGACGACGACGTCTGCGTCTGGGACATCTCCAACCACCCCAACCCCAGAAGCTCTGCGGCCGTCCGAGGTCTTCGAGGTCTGTCCCGTCCCCCGCTGGTGCCATGCTGCTTCTCAAGGATATGTACATGCGAAGCCGGCCGAGCCAGCCCTTCAATGCTGAGCCGGTCCCTGCTGCATGTAGGTATCGTTGAAGAGCTGCATGGCTCCGGCGAGCGACGGGACATACGCCGAGGACCTCGGGCGGCCGCAGAGCTTCTGGGGTTGGGGGCGGTTGGCCGACGCTACCTCTCCGTCATGGCCTCCCACCATCCATTATCATTAGTTTAGCTAATAGTACCATAGCTCTAGAACCTCTTCTCCAGCAGATATGTATACACCTCCATCAAGATGCAGCTTATACTTATCAAGCCATCCAGCCACCCGAAGTGGTCCCCCAGTCAAATGGTACAAAGTCTCCGCCCTGGCCCTGTCCTGTCTGCCCAGTACCGCCCATACCCTGTCCACCCGCACCTCTCATGCTCTGACCACCGGTGAACCCCTGCCTTTGCCCCTGGTCTTGGCTCTGACCCTGTCCAGGCCCATACTGGCGCTGCGACATCCCCCCTGTCCCCTGTGCATTCTGCTGTCCTTGTCCCTGCCCCATGCCCGACCCAACACCACCCTGCTGCCCCTGCTGCCCCACGTTACCTCCCTGCCCATCGACCCCTCCACCCGGCGCCGCCTCCCACGAAAAGCTAAACACCCGACTGAGGAAATCATCCGGGACAGTGCCCCATCCCTGCTGCATCTCGCCATTCCCGCCCGCGGCCCCGTTCCCGCCTTGCTGCTGCTGCTGCGGCGTCGGAAAGTAATTGGACAGCAAGTCCTCGACTGATGGATCGAGCTGCGGACCTAACGCAGATGTGTTGGGCGCGAAAGATGGGAAGGCGAATGGGTTGTTAGGGAAGGATTGGTCGGTATCGACGGGGAATGAGAAGGGGGACGGCGCGCTCGGTGCCTGGGATTGGGACGGATGGGTGATACTGTAACCCCCAAGTGAGGTTGAGGGAGGCAGCATAGCTCCATTGGTCGATGGCATGACTCCCGTATTCTGGACCTGAGGCGAGAATGACGGCGGGGTGTCGAAGTTGAAGTCGAGCAATGAGGACCCGCCTGCTGTGCTACCTCGGCGAGATCGTGGGGGGATCGCAGAGGTAGGCCCAGCCGCTTGTTGCTGCAGAGCCGCCGTTGACGGGAGGAGAGGATAAGCGTCAAAGACTGGCCGGTCGTGCGCGGGATTGTGGTGTGGAGAGACGCTGACGCGGTGGAGCGAGGATGATGGGGGCGGGGAGGCTGCTGGAAAGCTACCGGCGCTGGTGGTCGGCGAGTCAATCTCCAACTGTGCTTGGCGAATGAGCTTCTTGACTGCTCTTTGAAGACCGTCCGCATCATCATCGTCTGCTTTCCGCTTTCCGGCCGAGCAGCCGGGAGGACGGCGTCGCTCTTCCACCTCGGCTAGAAAGTCAGCTTGTAATTTCTTGAGCTAGGCGAACATCGCTTACCGAGCAAGAACTCCATGACCTTGACCGCTGACCGAGATGGATGAGAGACGTCTGCAATGTGCCTATCTGTCAGCACCCTTCCTTCAAATCAGGTAGCAACCTCACCTCATCTGGTCGAGCGCGCCCTTGACCTCGCTGATCTTCTGCTCCGTCTCGCTCGAGTGCATGTCGTGCTTGTTGGTACGCTAGCTGTCAGCAGAAGCCTTCAATAAGGCAGTGCGACCTACCAGAAGGTCAATAATCACGACCAGTCCTGAGACAGACACATAGAAAAGCGGTAGCCTATCCCAGATCAGCTCTGCGTTGACAAATACCCCAAAGGCGACTTACCACCACTTCTCCAAAAACGCTGCCGTCCCATGTGTATCACCCATCAATCTCAGACTTGCCCTCGCCGCCCGTATACACTGTTCCTTGCTATACGCAAATCGCTCGTCCGTATACCCTCTGGACAGCCAGGGTCGGTGCAGCCGGAGCATCCTCGAATGGATCGCGAGGTGAAGCATGACCTTCTCGTAATACTGGACGAGGCGCTTGGGATCGTGGTCTGCGGGAGGAGGCGTGCTGCGATCGAGCGCGGTCGGAGCGGTGGAGTTGGGCTGGAAGAAAGTTGGGAGGTCCATCATGGCTTGGCGAAGCTCGCCATCGACGGAGAGGCTGCGGATCAGCGGGAAGCTCGGACCGGAGGCAGAGATGGACAGCTGAACTTACATGAAGGAGTAAGGCGGATGAGGATGCAGATTTGCCTCGCAGATCTGGCGATACATGATCTGAATGAACTTGATCCGGGCAAGGCAGAAGCTCATTCCCGTGCGGACATGCAGTGGCTGAGGGCGGAGTGGTCGGCCTTCGACGATGTCCTCGTCCTCGATATTCGACGGCAGAGCGGTCTTGACTGCATGATCAGTTCTGCCTCATTGGTCGAACAGGTACGGGACTTACTCTGATCGGGGTGAATGCTGCAGCTGAAGTTGTAGCTGGGAGACAGGGCCCAATCCAGAAAGACCAGATTCCACCAGATCCTCCTTCCGACTTCTCGCTCAATCACACTTTCCCAGCGTCCAGTCCACATCGGTGAAGTCTTGATGGTATCTGCCTCGGTGGGTTCTGCTCCAAGCCTGGAAAGACCGAGACCTTGAGCCATCTTTAGCATCAGCGAGAGATCGAAGATAGCGTGCAACAGAGCGGCACATACCTTGATCCCAGCTCCAAGCAATGCCCAAGCCGCTTCCCCTCGGTCTCGATTGTTCTGGAAGGATCAGCTCTGGTTCCGACCGTCGCGGGTCGGTATTGCTGTCGACATACCATAAACACCCCTAGTAGAAGTATACACTGCAAGTTCTCGGTCGTATGTCGCTCAAGGAAGTCTGCCGCCCACATGCACTATCGTGTCAGCTGTAATATCCCGGTACGAAAGAATCAGCTGGCCCACGTACGCTTCTCGCGGCGCTGAAGTACAGCTCGGGCAGGTCCCGGATCTCCTCTGGTGTGAAGTGCTTGTTGGCTTCATCAGCGTCCATGAACTGGATACCGAGCTAAGGAGGGTCAACGGACTCTCGAGCTTGTAAATAGGCGAGGCTCGACTCACGCAGCAAACACTAAAATAGAGCGCGACGAAAGGCAGAGCCATCTCGTGCACGACCATATCGTGCGGTAATGCCCAAAGATCATGGCACTGGCGTAAAAATGTTGGGATATGCAGGCCTGCCGGATCAGCCAGACGTCCTCACCCTCTCTCGGGAGACTTACATCGATGGAGCCAGTCGACCTTTTCAAGGTACTGTACAAGTCAGCTTGCAGTCCGGCTCAGGATTTCGTGGTTGCTCACATTCTTGACTAGCAGCTCGCCCCTCTCAGTCCCCGGCAGCATCTTGGTCAAAGCCCTCAATCCCACATCCGACTGCCGGTAGAACAGCTGGAAGACGTCGGTCGGCCCAATGAGATCAAGGAGGGCGTCGATTCTCATAGCGCGATCCTCGGCACTCAGGCTCTGACCATACGATCCCATTCCGGAGCCCGACGCGCCGCCCCCTCCCTGCCCATCTCGTCCCTTCACGCCCGATGGAGTACTCTCTAACTTCCGCTCCCCCCCTCCCATGGTCAGTGTCATCGGCGCAGAGTTGGCCGATCCCAAGGCTGGCGGGGCAATCGACCCGCGCCTGAAGTCCTTGGCCGGGCTGTTTCCGGCCGAGATGGACTTGGATCCAGAGAAGGATACGGCCCGACCGCCCGATCCTGGGGGCGTATCGCCATGCGAGAGAGGATGTGATCGGGCGAGATGATAGTCGTTGTTCGGTGCGTGTTTGGAGATGGCCGACTGGCTCGCGCCAAAGTGCGGGATGGCATGAGCGCCAGCAACGCGAGACCGACCGAATGCGAGGTGCTCCAGCGTAAGCGCAGCGCCCTCCGTGTCGTCCTGTGGATCCAGGTCAGCGTCCCCGTTGTCCTCTAATGACGGGCTTGGCCGGGATGTTCTTGGAACCGGAGCCGTTTCCGCTCGCCGAGGAAGGGGAACAGACGGAGCTGCTCCCCGGTCGCCCCGTGGGTCGTCCAGGCTCAGATCCAGCCCGATCCCCTCGTGCGCTTGTTCCTGAGTCTGTGCCTCCGCCTTCACCAGCTGCTCACTCGCATCCAAGACAGCGTTTGACACAAGCAGCGCGGGATCGATGTTCGACGGTACCGACCCCGCTCGATAGGCCTTCTTGATGATGTTGTCCACGTCCGCCGGCGCGAGGGTGCCGCTCTTCTTGAGAGCTGCTTCTAGGGCGTCGAGGCGTTGCGCTACCAATGCGAGATCCGTAGCTGTTGCGAATGCATGTCTACTCGTCAGCCTCGCACGCTCAGGTGGACCCAGGACCACACTCACGGGGTAGCAATAACATTCTTCTCCGCCATGCCCACCTCATGGCACTGAGCCTCATCGCTTCGTAGTACGCATGGTCCGCACGGTACCCTAATCATCAGCGCTTTCCCTCGTTCGTACGCTCGACTATACTCACTTCTTGTCGCACTTGATCTTCCTCCGGCGACACTCTGAGCAGCTCTGCACGACTCTGCGCCTCGGCGCGTGGGGGCGGCGCTTCTTCCCAGACGGCGTCGTGCCGGGCACTATACCCGACGTATCCCCCTCTTCGTCGTCCCCGCCGGCTACACTGGCCCCGTCTCCGCCTCTTCCACGCTTCCGCGAAATCGGCCCGCCAGCCTTCGATCCGCCGTCCGCTTCATCCTCATCCGAGTCGTCCACTTCCATCTCCTCCCCGTCTTTGTTTGACAAGGCATCGACATCGATCGGGGAACGTACAAGTGCACGCTGCCGCTCCACGCTTGGCCCTGCAAGCGCGGAATCGTACGCCATGGACAAGGACGACTGACGGCCTGGTGGTCGTACCGCCACAAGCGGGGTGGACGGGTGGGGTTGAGATGGCCGAGGATATGAGTTCGCGTATGACACTCCACCGCCGAGCATGTGTGAAGCAGCTTGCGGAGACTGGTACGCTCCAGGCCCCGGTGCGGCCCCCTGACTTGTGGGTCCCGGAGCGTATTGGTATGGGCCTCTTCCTGACGGATGGGCACCATTGTCGCTCGGTCCCCGCTTATCCTCGACGTAGGATGCAGAAGAGCCGACGACTGGCAATGGATAGAAGGTCGGCTGCATCTTCCATGCCTCTGATCGTCCGGACGAAGGTGGGAGTGGAGGAACCCGAGGTGGAGGACGCGGATTTGATGATGATGGGCCGGATGAGTGGGGCGCAGCGTAAGGTAGAGGCAGCGTGGGTACGTTCTGCAACGGAGTAGGAGCAGATGAGCCTATGCGACTGGGCCCAGCTCCCGTCGTGGAAGCTGGGGCTGGCATAGAGGGTCGCGTAGACGGGCCGCCAGGATATTGCGGCTGAATTGGCGGTTGTTGTGGTGTTGGTTGACCTCGCTGCCGCGGGGCTGGAGACGATGTCGGGGGTGGGGGGTGGGACATCGGAGCAAGTAAGCGTCTTCAGAAGGCGGCAAGCTGGAGCGCTTAGTGGTACAAGATATATGATGATCGCTGCAGATGGCTTCACCTAACAGCTGCACCTTAAGCTCGGCCATCGCGATGTGGACCCCCGGACCTCGGCTATATCCGTCCCCTTGGAGTGTTCTTGCCTGCCTCCTTGAACTTGCAGATGGCAGTGCGGACTGTGGCCTTGACCTGGATGGCCAAATGACTGCTCGGCGAGGCGGAAGACCATATAAGACCCATGCATCAGTAAGAACAATTTCTAATAACGGCCAGAATGTCCGTACTCGAACCGATCAATCCTCCCCCCGCGTCGCTGCCTCTTTCCCAAGCTATGCCATTACCCTACTTCTTCTCAATCTTGTACATCTCCTCGAGCACGTCGAGGATAGTACTAGCGCTCCACGCCTGGGTGTTGCACGAGTCATAGCAGTATCGACCACCTGGAGCGTCAGCTTTTTCTCTCTGTCTGCATTAGGCTTATCCAACCCACCAGCATTGGTCAGCTCCGGAATTCCCCTCCATGGGTCATTATCGATATGCTTCGACACCTTGAGCAACGCCTGGCAGATGAAGTGGTATGTCCGCTTGGGGTCTTCCTTGCCATCACCGGCGAGACGGTCAAAGTTGAGATAGGCGGTCAAGAACCAGCCGAGCGGGAATCCCCATTCTGGGCCTTGGTGATACTGGATCATCAGCACATATCGTGCCAGGAGGGGAGTGAAAGCAGGAACTCACGTTCCAGCCCTTGGCGATACTCTGATCGGTTCCATCGTTGGAATTGTCGTAGTCGGGGCGGTACTGAGAGTCGCTCGGGTCGAGCGTCTTCATACCGAGCGGACCGCGGAGCGTGGCATCGGCGACACGCAAGGCGTCGATCGCTCGCGAAGGGGTGAACAGTTCCGGGGCGACAACCATCGGCAAGGTGAAGTTGCACCTCAGCTACATCTGATCAGCTCTACGCACATTGCGGTCGCAGCACCAATGCTGCTCACCTGGTAGTCGCTCCACTCCCTGTCCTTGGGTGTACCGTAAACATCCTTGTAGATGCCCCTTCGGTTGACCATACCAGAGTTGATGTTGAAGTCCTTGTCCTGGCTCGGGTCCGACGGGACATAGTAGCACTTTTCGAAAGAGGCCTGAATGAGCTCCGCCCATTCCTTGTAGGTAACGAGACGCTTCTTGCCGTCCACTAGATCTGTCAGCTGAGTTGCCTTCCGCGGGTCACAGGAAGTGCCACTGAGACTGACCGGTGGCTTGGACACCTTCTGACTTCCAGACGCCCTTCTTGCGAAGTCCGTCCAGCCAGGTCAAGGTGCTCTTGAGGAGACCGGTGATCTCGATGGGGGATCCATCTCTGGGAGTGGCCGGAAGACCCTTGTTCCCTGCCTTGTCGGAAGAGCCCATCTTGTCCATCCAGGTACTACACAAGTCAGCTGGACATCCATGATACGATATGGATATGAAAGCTCACCCGCAGTTGTACCTGTTTCCACCGTGGATGAGACCGGTGCTCCAGTCGACCCAGATCTTCTGGTTGAACCCCTCGTCCTTCATGTCCATGTCGAGGTTGGGTCCAGCCTTCTCTCATCAGCTCTACCCTTGATCGTCCACGTCGGCATAGGTAGACTCACGTTGTACTCCCTGAACTCGATACCCTCGGCATGTCGCTGCAGAATCTCCTGGACCAGCTCCATCACACTGCTCTCGTACTCGAAAGCCCGAGCATGGTCCCATTCCACCCAAGTATCGTCGGCCGGGAATCGGCGCTTGACCTTATCATCGAGGATGGAGAGGCCGTTCGGGCACATCTTGGTGTAGTCTTGGATGTTCTGAATGAACCACCCTGCACATGTCAGCTAGTCTTCGGTTTCACTTCGCGCGCAGAAGATGCTTACAAGGGCCGTCGCGGCAGTTGTATCGTGGAGTCTTAGTTGAGTCTAGCAAGTTCGGAATGAGACCATGCTTGAGCGTCGAGCCGAACGCCAGGATATGTTCGCGAGCGCCCTTGAAATTGCCCGTGGTAAGGAAGAGCCCTCGGAGGGAGATGAACTGAAAATATCAGCTTTGGACCTCCGCACTTCTTCTGCACCAGGTGCAAACCCACGACATCCCGACCCCAGCATCTCGCCCAGCCAGCAGTAAAGTGCGGCAAACCCGCAGCAAGCGACGGAACAGGCTTTGACGGCGAGATACTCGCCGACTTAACCAGGCCGTACATCTGCACCGAGCAGAGCGCCAGGTCATGCACCAGCGAATGGCCAGACGAGACAAAGTCCGAGCACTGCTCGACGACCGCGCGCCGGGCAGCCTTGTACGCCGTATAGATGATGAGCGCAAAGTACTTGGGGCGCATGAAGGCGGGACAAGTGGAGCGGATGAGGGAGAAGCGGTGTTGGAGCCAGGCGTGCGGTTTGGAAAGTCTGGGCAGATCCGGGATTTGCCTGTCAGGTAAGTCTGGATCGAAATAGCAGCACATGGGAGAAGCGACTTACTTTTGCAGGCGTTCCAGAACATAGTCAAGTGCCCAGGGACCTTCGCGGAGGTGAGCGCAAAGGGCGTGGCCGAGATCGTTGGTCCGCATGATCTGGCGGAGCGGGTGCATCCAGCCCTCGAGACCGCAGTAGACAAGACTACCATAGTTCGAGATGCTGTACACACCATCTCGGCCCCCTGACTAGTCAGCTAAGCTCTCTGCCGAAGGTATAAACGAAGACTTACCAGTAGCGTCCTTCTCTTCTCCGTCTGCTCGGTGGAGGATGACGTTCAGGTCAACCAAGTCCAGCTCTCCGAACGCGGCATCCGCGTCGGAAGTGCAGATCTCGTCCAAGTCTGGCGAGATGTTCTGACTCTTAGCCCTATCCGACATAACGACCGAAGCACTCACCTCCATGTCCGTCTCAAAGAGCATGATGCTGCCTGGGCCAAAGACATCCGGGACGACGACCTCGTTGTACATCCCATCCGCGTCCTCGCCCTTCCGCACCTCTGGCGCCGGGATCTCGGTGAGTGTCGACGGGATACCCTTGTGCATGTTGGGGTCGTCCTTCCATTCGTCGAGGCGGGTGCTGACACCAGTGCCGAGAATGTACTTGATGGAAGTGCGGGAGAGCTTGATGGGCTTGACTGAGTTTTGTCAGCTCGACGCTCAATCTGGGAGAGCTGGGAGCTCACCCCAACCTCGGCCCTGCATGCCCTTGAAGGCGGTGTGAGCGACCAGCATGTACCCCTTGTGGGTGACGGGGTGGACTCGGTGGATCATGATGTACTGCCCGGTCAGCCAATTCCATACCTCTCATACTAAATCGACAAACCTCTCCCTCCTCGTGCACATGTCCCTCGGTGAAACCGCCCTCCATCATCTCGGTATGCAGGTGGTTCAGCACCCGCTTGACCTTCCCAATTCCCTTATCGCCCTCCTTCCCGACCGACCCCTGAACCTCATACGGTCTGTTGTCGGTAACGAGATTGAGCAGCTTCGGGTAAAGATCGTCAAAGCCCTTGTTGGAGCCAAGAGCCGCCTTGGTGAACGTGACAAGGGCCCCAGTGGACAGAGCGTCCTCGGCGGTCCGCTTGGACAGAGGAGTCTCGTTGTCGTGTGTGACGTCGTAGAAGACCGCGTGGGGGACCGAGCCGGACAGGGGTGTGACGTTGGCCTGGCGGGGCGCGCCGCCGTATGGGCCAGGGATCTCCTCTGCCGATGAGAGACAGGCAGAATCCATCGAACCAACGGGCTTTCCGACACCGAAGCGGTAGAGCCTGCAAATTAGCTGCGTACATCGCAGTGGATTGTAAGACTTACAGCCTGGCGAAGTCCTTGACATCATGTCCGTTGTACGCCTCCCTAACCAAACTGTTGATACCCAGTTCCCGTACAAACTTCAGGTCCATCCCCTCACTTCCCGTAAAGAGCTCCGCCATGACATAGAGATCCGGGTTGACCCTGCGTCCAGCATCAATGATCGCCTTACCGACGTGCATTGGCGTAGAGTGGCAGTTGTCCAGCCTGAAACCGTCGAATGTCCCGGCGAGCTGCTCGGCATAGTCGATCATCCGCTTCCAGAGGTAAGGGCTGGCCTCGGGTCCGGAGCCGTACCGCAGCTTGACGCAGTCGTCCCAGACGATGACTTCGCGGCGGAGGTAGGCCTTGGAGGGGTACTCGGCGAAGTTGGAGAGCGGGTCGGCAGCCCACATCCACCCATTGTTGGCGAGGAAGAGGGCGTCTCCAGCGTGCTTGGACGTCTTCTCGTTCTTGGGAAGACGAGTGAAGTAGAGCTCCACGAGAGGTTTCCTGAAGGGTCAGCTCTGACTGGTAGTAGTGGGAGATGGCTCACTCCTTGGTGATCTCGCCCATCTTTGGCCCATCCGCCTCGATCCGGGTGTACTTGATCCGACCAAGGATCCCATCCTTGGCAGCCGCCACATCCTCGTTGCACTCCCGGTACAAGTCCACGTTGAGGACATCGAGCACCTTGCCCCATTTGCTCGCCAGCGCCTCGGTCGACTCATTCGGCGAGTTGGCCTTGATGAGACCAGCGGCGAGCTTAGGGTCGACCGAGCTGCAGAACCGAGCAGAGTAGGCGCGGTAATTGACGAGCAAGTTCTCGGACTTGAGCAACTGGGCGAGCTCATCGACGCTCTTGCCGGCGACCGAAGGTCCCGACCATTCCTTGGCTGATCCCGCCTCTAGCGCACCAGCGACCGCCTTGACGGACGCCTGGACGTCAAAGACGTAGTATTCCCAGAGCCGGACGTTGTTGATCGCCGAGTCGATGTGAGGAATGAGCTGTTCCAAGTCGGCGTGCGACTTGAGGACGGTAGGAAGACCGAGTGAGGCGAGTTTGGACGACAAGTCGATCAGAGCATTCTCGAGCTCGACCGCGGGCATGAGATGAGGCGTGTTTGCCGGGGAGTAACCTAGGATTATTAGCTTCTACGCGTCCAGACCCAGCATGCTGACTTACCAGCTTCGGGGTGCTCCTGGAGCCAAGGCGAGTCAAATGCAGTGTGGTTAAGCACCACATCTGTCACTCCACCCAGCCCGTACTTCTCCCTCGCAACCTCCAAGACCGCCTCGATCTCACCCAGCCCATTGTCCGCGGCATCGGCCTTGAGCAGCAGAGTAGGGTCATACTTGAGCTGATCGCGAATACTGTATGGTGATCCACTGGACCCTCGCTGCTGGAGCGGCGCCCAATGGAGCATGTTGTATCCCCTCCGGCTTGCCTCGGCAAATTGGGCTTCCCATTCGTCGGTCTTACCCATCCACTTGCCAAAGACTGAGAGGATGATGAGAGAATCAAGGGTAAGGGAGTTGGTCTTGGGGAGGACGGCGCCGGAGGAGAGGTCGTTCAAGGGCTCGACGGGAGAAGAGGCGTTGGCGGGGAAGAAGGGGGTTCGAGCGGGAAGGCGGATGACGGGGTCTACGTTGAAGTAGCCTTTTCGGCCGACAACACGACCAGACTTGGCAGAGGCGTCGTCGTGCTCGATGTAGTAGCAGAAAGCTCCAGGGTTTGAGATCGGCAGGTCAACGTGGATAGGCCTAGCTCATCAGCTAAAGACGCCGTTTAGGTTGAGCTACTCACTTGCTGATGTCGGTGGGGAGCTTCTTCTCCTTCCAGTCGTCCCGGACAAAGATGCCCCCGTCCATCGGAAAGTCGGACTTAAGAACGCCATTGAGTGAGCATGCCGTTCCGGGCTGGATGGAGATCCTCAGGATGTAAGGCTTGATTGGTGGTGGCAGGCGGATGTACTACAGGATCAGTCTTGTCAAGGTGGATGCAAGCGGGGCATGGACTGAGTAGCAGGACGCCGCTGTAGAACAGCATAGGATCCACGATATCTGGCCTTAACAGTGACTAGCTCGCGCCAGCACACCAGTACAGCTGAACTGCCCAAACCAACTCACATCTTTCCCCTCTCCTGGTCCTCCGTCCTCTTCCAACCACAGCTCCCAAACCTGCACCTTCTCTCCATCGCCTTCGCCTGAGAAGAAAGCGAAAGCCTCATCCTGAGGGGTCTTCAGAGGCGTCTTTCCGCCTTGTTGGACTCTGCTACCGCCGTTGGCGCTCTTGGGCATGTCAATGGACGACGGCTTTGTCGGGTTGAGCGTGCCCGCTGCCTTTTTGATGGCTGATTTGACGGACATGGTGAGGGACCCGCTCGATCTGCCTTGTGAGCGAAGAGGGGGAGCGGCTGAACGATAGCCTGAAGCTATATGAGGGAGATGAACCTCTTTGAATGAGAAAAAAGGAGCTCGCGTTGGTCGCGGAATGTCAGCTTGATGAACTCGAGGAATGCTGGCTCAATCCGGAGCTTTCCTCTTCGCCACGTGGCTCTCAGGTGACGTCAATGGCGTCGCGTCCGGATAAACTTCGCTTAACTCAGAGCGACGACGATCATGGTCCCGGGGCCATCTGTCTGCTCCTTGTGCAATGTGAGCGATGACACGATGACAGCTCTGTCTTACACTGCATTGTACCTCGCTATACTTTCACTGCCATCTTCAAAATGCCTTCTTTGTCCCGCTGGCTCAACTCACTCAATATTAGAGAATCAGATAGCTCGATACCGACCGAAAACGTCCCAGCGCAAACGGTCACGAGCTACTTTCTCGCCCCCTCCGTCCCCCCCGACCCTACCTCTTCTAGCCCTATCCTCTACGCGGTCCCACCACCCAATAGATCGCAGAAACAGCCACCTGGATCGCTCCATTTCGGTTTCACTCACCCCTCGTCCGCCTCGTCCTCGTACGAGACGTCGACCTTCTTCCTCTCCTGCGTGCCGGACCCGATTGGCTACCTTGCCCATTCGGCCTCGTTCATCAGGTCTCACCTCGGCTCGGGCTCAAGCGGTCCTTCCAAGTGGAGACATAGCGATCTCCATCTGATATTGGAGGACGAGGACGGTCTGGCGTATACATCCGCAGGAAAGATCCACATCAGCTTACGCTGGGTAGGGGATCTCGAGCGTCAGGTCAAGGATGGGGCTAGGGACATGCAGAGCGCCACGAAAGAGATTAAGGGTGTCTGTAAGTCTCTTGCCACGTCCAAACCCGAAAAACCCTCAGCTGACAACATAGTGCTACATGAGCTGGTACACGCTGTTCAGTATGATGGCCACGGCTCTACCCCTATCTGGTTGATCGAATCCATCGCAGACTACGTCCGCCTGCAAGCGGACCTCGGACCGCCACACTGGCGCCATCCTGGACAGGGGAAGGCAGAGAAAGGGTGGGAGGACGGGTACGATGCCGGCGCCCAATTCCTCTCCTGGCTGGTGGGCGCTACTGGTGTCGAGGCGGACGATCAGGCGTCCCACGCCGGTGACACCTCTTCACCGTTACCTCGGCCAACACCCACAGCGACCGGCGCTGCATCCGCCGTACCTCCGCCGCAGGCGACCCAATATCCAGCCGAGATGCGTCCACCTTCGCCAGGTCCGGAACCCAAGAAGGGCAGAAAGCGACCCGGTCCTTGGCCGGGATTTGTCAAGAGCTTGAATGCCAGACTGGAGCACGAGAGGTACACGGAGAGATGCTGGGCGGACCTTACAGGGCAGCAGGGCGGTCTAGAAGAGTTGTGGGCTGCGTATCTCGGACACTATGCGTAGGATATGCGTATCAGTGCGGTGTAAGCAGGTGCGATGTTCAATCTATACTCTATTACAAGTCATCTGCGAGGCAGCCTTGTGTGGCGCTTGCAGAACACGCAACAGATGGATTTGCCTCGGGCACATGTATGATTATCGTTTCGATCACACTGAAGGGTGCCGATCGGCTTGCCATCCTTCCCTGGAGGGCCTGGAGCCTGGAGCTGCCTGGAGCTGCTCCACATTCCTCCGTCCAGCTCTTTGTCTCCCCTTCCACGTTTGTACTTTATCTTGTACATACACATCCAAAATGGTCTACATCATCCACGGCAATGCCATGTCCACCGTGAGCTGCCTTCTTCGCATCCCGAACGCGATGCGATGCTGACGCACATAGTGCACCGCGCGGGTGATCGTCTCTTTCCTCGCTATGGGTCTCCAGCCCGAGAAAGGTGAGCCTTGCGCCAGACTTATGTCTCCTCGCTGGCCACATGAGCATCGGGACTGACTGCTGACTGCCAGACTTCAAGCTCGAGTCAGCCGAGTTTACCGTTCTCAAGGAGGCGGACTGGATGGCACACCAGCCGTTCGGCCAGATGCCTTGGATGGAGGACACCGAGGCCGGTCTTGAGATCTTCGAGTCGCGGGCTATCGTCAGCTGTAAGCTCCTCCTCTATGCTTACTGGGCATGGACTAAGCTGACCAGATCTCAGACGTTGGCGGCAAGATCGGGTCCCCGCTCACGCCCGGCCCCGAGAACCACAAGGCTTTCGCCGGGTACCTCCAGGCTGCCCAGAACGAGTCTGCTCAGTTTGACGGACCCGCTTCTACCCTGGCTTTCGAGCTCTACTTCAGCAAGTGGTAGGTCATCACACTATCTTCCTTTCAGCCCCGCATCTGAAACATGCAGGTTCGGCATCCCCACCAACGAAGAGAACGCCAAGAAGCAGAAGGACACCCTCGCCAAGAAGCTCGAGGGGTACGAGCGCATCCTCTCGAAGAGCAAGTACCTCGGCGGCGAGAACTTGACCGTTGCGGACCTGAGCCACCTCGCCTACGGTGCCCTCTTGTCAAACGTCAGTACTGTTTCATCAATCGAACCAATGGAGCGATGTGAACCTGAACTGACGAGAGCAGATCGGCGCTGCCCCGACTTTGACCGACGGCTCGCTCCCCAACGTCGCTCGATGGTGGAAGGACATCTCGGCTAACCCTGCCTGGGCTAAGACTAAGGAGATGGGTCACCCCGAGCACGGCAAGGCCTAGACACCTAGACCGCAAGCCGCAGAAGCCCGAAACAATGCATCTGTCACATCTGTCTGCCTGACCGCGCGCTGACGGAATATTCTCAGTGTGGGAAGCAAGCAGCGACCATTGATAGTACAGCGAAGCAAGGAACCAAGCGAGCGTAAAGGGGACATGCCCTAGTATGACTCGCGATCAGGGTTCGCTTCTCTGTCCTCCTGGCCCCTTTGATGATCACCTTAGCGAGAGGCGCAGAAGCCCTTTGACCGTGATGTGTATGATCGTCATGGCCAACAAGGTTGCTGTGAATAAAGGAAGACTACACAAGGGGGTTTTAGATATCGAACCCCTCGCTTGTATGACTCGTGTGCCAGCTCTTTTGAGCTGACCTCTGACTGTCCCGGTCTTGCATCTGTACCTATTAGCCCACCTGCAATTACAACCAACCCGCACGATACACTCCAAGTCACTGTACTACCCATGACCGATACCAGTACCACACCTGCCTTGGACGGGTTTGCCAAGACGGTAGTGACTCGAGCTCATTCAGCCCCTACCGCCCTCGACCGCCTCCAAACTGCTGAGAGCTGAAGAGAGTCTGGGAAGAGACGCACAAACATTTGACGGCGTACACACGAGGCGTGGAATTTGTGAGGACGTACAAAGTGTGGTCCGAAGCAGATGAGGCGGCGGCGCGATGGCTCATTAGGCGAGACTTTGACGTCATTCGCGAGAAGCTGGTGGATGAACTTCTGGACAGATATCACACCGACTACGTCAAGCCCGGTACCTCTGCCAGCGAAGACGCCGTGAAGTCGTACGAGGACCTGGTGCAGGAGGGTGTCAAGCTCGTGACGAAGATGCAGAGATTGGCGACGAGGCTGGGAGTCCAGCTGAGCGAGGTCGACGACAGTGTCGTGTACTCCAGGTGGCTGCAATCCACCGGGTAAGCGGCGAAGATCGTGTTGCTGTACGTGCCCTTGTACATATCAGTATTCTGAGTTGTCTCTTACTGGCGTCTGACTGTTGACCAAGATGTACATTATGCCCCGCAAAGCGTTTCTGGAGCAGCACGCAGTATATACACCAGCTGGCTCGAAGCTTGAATGCGTCCATACTCGACGATAATATGAGAGACAACAACTCCGGTCTGGGTCAGCCGCCGAGCGCTTAGTAGTGAGGCACATTCGGCATCCGCACGTGAGTTGTTTGCACATTATACACTAGTATCCATGCCTTACAGGCCAATCAGCTAAAGATACAGTATATTGCAGCCCATCCAGACCCGCTGGACAAGCTCTATCGGCGCCCATAACCCCCCTTCCCACCCGTCACCCCTCTCGGCGGACTACCCGGATAGCTCGGCGCCGGGCCTCTACTATCCGAATACGCGTCCACATCGATATCCGTATCTGTCCGGTCGTACGGCAATCCTCCGTCGCTAGTACCACTCTGCCGGAAATGCGAGAAGGACGACTGCTCCGAGGGCGACAGGACCCGCTCGCCTTGATGCCGCTGTCCGATCTGGATGTCCGCCTGGCGAGACGCTGACCGTGTAGGCGGGAAGGGGTAGGCCTGTTGGCAGGGATTCGAGGGGTATTGGGAAAGGTACCCGCTGTCGCCGGTAGGAAGAGGAGGGGAGCGCGCGTCGAACCCATTGCTGTAGCCGTGGTATGAGCCGCCGGAGGGGGTGAGTGAGGAGGGTGGATATGGCGCATGGCCAGAGTGTGAGGAGAAGCCGGTCATTTGGGTGTTGGACCGAGATGGACGCATGCCTGGGGGAGGGGCAGGACTGGATCCGCGGGGAGGGAAGGAGGGTGCTGCGTCTGGCGGAGTGGCGACTGGAGGAGGGTATGAGATCCCCATGGGTCCGGAATGGTCGATCAGGCGGGTGGTACTGCTGAAACCGACATCATTACCGTACGGGCTCTGATGGTAGTCCAGTGAAGGAGGGTATCCGCCGTAGACCTCATTCACACCGGGAGTACCTGCTTGAGTCAGCAGAATCCCTTGTGCCGAGGACAATATAGACTTACTGGATGGGTAGCTGGCCAATGTGTCCGCACTCTTGCTTCGAGCCATCCCCGTCTTGGTCTCCCGCATATCCTCGTCGTCCAGCATGATCTTCGGCAACGTGGGCTGCATGACCACATTGACGAATTCGCCTTTCGAGTTGCGCAGACCGCCATCGCGAGCAAGCTTCTTCTCGAGAGCTGCAGCGCGCTGAGCTCGGAGCCTCTGCTTCTTTTTGACGAGTTCCGAGAGTCGCTTGTCGACTTTGTGACAGACATATTCCTGTGGATTAGCCAAGTCTCTTGGCGAACGGATCCGGCTGACTTACCTTGAGGTTGCCCTGGATATAGCACAGCAACGGCACATACAGCACCGCCGCCGCAATCAAGAGCAGCATGGATCCCGCGAAGATCAATACTGTGGCAATCATCGAGAAGAGCAGCATCGCGGTGATGGGGTCTTCGTTCCAGTATGCGGGGATATTGGAGGTCTGCCATCCGTTTGCCTGGCCGAAAGAGTAGAGCATGAGCCCATTGATCGACTGACGAGGACCGTCGGCGAGGAGCAGACGCTTCCATTCTGACTGTCAGCTGAGTCGCTGGATGAGGTGACTCAAGTCGGACCCACCCTTGAAGGTAAAGAAGATGAAGAAGGCAAAGTCGTCCTTCTTCTTCGTTGATCCCTCGATGTGGCAGAACAAGCAGAAGTTGTCGTAGTTCTCTGGAATGCTCAGCTGAGAAGCCCCCGTGTGGCAAAAGACAACGCACTGAACGAAAAGTAGTCGTTGGCGAGCAAATTGGTAAACGCATAAGATATATCCTGCGATTTGACGACCTGTCTTGCCTTGTACCACTCGTATCCGAGCTACAAATCAGCGTGGGTCACTTGAAAGCAGAAACAAGCAGGAGAACAGACATACCAGCAAGAAGGAGAAGATGATGCAGCCGACGAAGACCCATTTAGCGATGATAAATTTGACCTCTACCACGCCTTCTGAGCCCTTGGCTGTGATTGCGTTATTCCACTGCGAAAATCAGCCTCGACCAAAAGGGACACAGTATAAGTACCAGGAAACATACGCGATCGGACGAGATCATGGTAACAGCAGTGAAGATATCCAAGCCGTAGACCGCCAGAGACTTGAACAGAAGGATGTATCGCCAAACATATCTGCCTGTATCAGCTTATGCCTGTCAGCAGCAGATAGGGAGACTCACTTGAACCGTGTGAGGAAGTCGGTCTTGCGGAACTCGTTGACGTTGATGAAGTCCCACTGAAGTATCAGCTCCGGACAAGCATCGCCTTTCACCAGCACTTACCTTGTGATCCTGCACCACCTCCCGTTTCCACTCTGCATCGCAGCACATCCTGTGCTAAATACTCCGATAGATGCTTCCCTTCTCTAGCCTTTCAGTCCGATGATGCGGTGGATGGTGGAAGGATAGTCTGATCCTTCCGCAGAGCCTCCGCGTCACGACCGTGCGGTGTTTCCAAGCGCGAGATGAGGGTGAAACAATTGTTGATCTAGGCGGATGGCGAGCTGAGTCTATGTCTGAGTGATGCCTATCGATGGACCTGATGGCCGAGGAGCCCCGTATAGCGACAGATTGCTCGGCTGATTACAAGGGGAGATGATATGTTGTCAAGGCGATGCGATCCAGCGCTAAGCAAAGGAGGGTTGAGCGGTCCGAGAGCTTGTCGGAAAGGGCTGTTGATAGGGATGTGGCGTGATGCAGTGCCGTTCGACCAGCGATTATGGCGTATAAAGAGCGTGTGGGGCCTCTGTTCGAGGTGTGATTGAAACGTCTATGAGCGAATCTATGATACTTGTATGGCAGAGGCTGAAGAGAGGAGAGGTGAACGACAAAAGGGCAACAGGGGGGCCGTGTTTCAAAGTTGACAACAAAAGCAAAAGCAAGTCAAGCGCGACTAATCAATTAGCGGAACCTAATCAAATTAACCCAATCGGGCAATTATGCATGTGGCGCCAAGCTAATCGTCAGTGGCGCCACAGCGAAGTAACGATCGACGCAGAGCTCGAGCAAGACCTGAGAAGATCATACTGTTTGAACTGCCTGGGGCTACCTCGTGATGCAATTCGTGCAGATTCACAGGATGCGATCAGCTCCGCCGATAAGACACATTCTCTCGAGTGCGTGCATCACTAAGTCCCTAAATCCGTCAGGTCGTCCAACTCGCTGGTTATTGGTTCCGCATCGGCCCGTCCGCGAAGTAAACTCCGAACGGTCTTCGCGACCAGCTCCCCATTCACGCGTATATAGCCCTAGTATATTAGCGGTATCACAAGTTCCACTTACCTTGGAGTGCTCGCCTCGCGTGGATCCGTGGGCTCTCCATTCTGCTTCCTCCAGAATCTTATCGTTTTGGATAGCGATGTATTGGTGATTGAGAGAAGTAGCTAATAATTCGAACGAGCCTGCAGCGTTAGCCGCGCTTCTCTTGACAGAAAGCCTTCACTTACGATCAAATCCGCCCTCCTCGAACAGCTCGATAATGGCAGAGTTCTCTGTAGCAGGCATCCATAATGCTTCATATAGATCGTTCGTGTGGACCCCTATTATGATCTAGCTGTATCAGCAACCACTCTGTAGCGCTCTCGGCTGGACCAGGTACTCACTTCCGCTCGGCCCAAGAGCTCCGCTCGTTCTGCCTTGGTCATGGCCGATACCTTGGTGACATGGACCTCAGCAATGTCCGTCAAGCCTTTCAAAGCCTCAATGAGCGCTCTTTTGTCCTCGTCCTGAACTTTCGGAGTGCCAGTCTAAGAGTCAGCGGGGTCTCAGTCTGATAGGCAACATAGGGGGACTTACATGTACGTCAACGAAGACGACAACGGGTAAGCCCCTAGCTCCGACGCTAGAAGCCCCGTCTACGCCTAGAGACTGCATGATGTTCTGCCGTATACCGTTCCAGAATGTTCGGGGTGCTTTCATGGCAGATACGTCGGCATTCATCTTGCCCCACTTGCCGACTTCCCCACCATTGGAGTGTGCAGCCCCTGCCCGTGAGCTCTGAACCCGCGGTGTTCTCCATAGCGGAAGGCAGAATGACTTACAGCGATCGACCAACACAACCTTCTCGAACACTACAGGCAGCCCCGCAGTCGACCTATCCTCCCATCCGTTCGCATCCTCCACTGTCGCGCCTGGCAGCGCATGGGCGAGGAACCAAGCATCTACGCGGTCAGCTTTGAAGATGTAGCGCTACCAGGTCTACTCATTTTCTCCTCGATCGTCCCGCCATGATGGTTTCCAGCCACAACGAGGGAACCAGACTCTTCTGGGAAGAGGGACGCTATCGGTATCTGTGAGTAGATCCTGCGATTGGAGGAGATGGGCGAGGACTCGAGAGGCTCCTAGGAATGCTTCTGCCACAAAGTGTTGGAAGTAGATGAGATAACCGTCTGCAATGATCAGTAGACGTTTCTCCGAATGAGCACAAGGGGTGTAGCCTACCTCCGCCTGGAACGTCGTTAAAGAGGTACTGCGAGTATCAGCCTCGGCACTTTCAAGCAGCCATCCTGGAGTCTACCAAACTCACCGTTACGCCGTTCATCAATACTGCCCGCTTGCCCAGCTCCGCACTGGCCATCTCGTGGCCTACAACCCTCCACCTATCCTCATCCGCCGCGGGATTCTGCTCGCCTCGCTTCGGACCGCTTATGATCTGCCGTACTCCCGGTAGCTTCTTCCCGGCTAGTCCCGTATCTGACTCAATGAACATCAACGAGCCCGCCGATAGATACAGATTGGTGAACACCGAGTATCCAGCGACGCCTGCACGGTCAGCCTAAGTCAGTCTGGCTAGGTGGTGAACATACCGCCTTCATACACCGTCACGGGCATATCTTCCTCTAGATCCAGCATGGTCTCCCCACCACTTGGCCGCTCATCCTCATAGTACTCATCATCGTCATTCCTCGACACGCTTTTGCCCAGCCACTGCTTGCTCCCGCCAGACCATTCCCGGACTCGTCGAGCGACCCCTCCGCGCCCATATCCCTCCGCGGCGCTCCACTCGCCCTCGCCTGGATGGCCGTCCCTCACCGAGTCATATGTGACCGGCTGTCCAAAGAGGACGTAAAAAGTCGGTATGATGATGGCGGAGATGATGACAGCTCGAAGGAAGGTGCGGTGATTCATGCCCAGTCCCGGGAGTGACCCTCCCGGGGAGAAGGACATGCCAGGTGAGCCGGGGGTTCTTGGGGGAGAGGCGCGCCGCTTGAATGGGGAGCCTGGCGCGAGAAGAGGGCTTTCCAGCCTGGCGCCCGACATCTTTTCGATGGAAGTCAACGTAGGATGGAAGTCAACGTAGCGGTAAGCATAAAGGCCATTTCGCTTGCAATTCACGCGTCAAACTGAGCTCGCAGATCTCAGATCTGTCTTCCGACGGAAGCGATGTGGAGATACAAGTATCTCCGTAACTCCTCATTCCTCAATGAGGCCCAGGGCGCCGTGAGGAGAGAACAGCGGAAGCTTGAGAGACGAGACAATGATAAAGACGTCAGAACACGTGATAAAGACGTCAGAACACGTCCCTGAGACTATCAACGTATATACGCTACATTCCTGCTCTGTACCCTACTTGCCCTGCCCAGAGCCCACCGCACTCCCTGCCCCTCCCATTCCTAACGGACTCCCCACCCTCTCTCCCCCCGCGCCCCACGCTACCGCAGGCGGCGTCTGCGTCCTATTTATACCCGCTGCATTCCCCTGTGGACCCACGGGTCCAGCATCGCCGCTCTCCCCGCGCACCCTGCTCCCTATCGACGGGTTGAGGCTCGCCCACGGTCCCGAGGGCGATAAAGGCGGGAAATCATAGTCCTGCGCGGCAGGCGGAGGGGGTGCGAATGTCACTCTCCCGCCGAGAGAGTATGGCTGCGACTGCTGCGTCGGTGCGATAGGGATAGAGTTGGACCGGCTGGAGGGCGGTGTTGGGCTGGACGACCGGTTGATGAGCGGTGGATTGGGAGAGATGGGGGAGTGGGTAGGGGAGAAGGACGGGGCGTTGAGCGATTTGAGCGTGTTGCTGGCCGTTCCTCCTCCACTGCCTAGGACGACACTCGCAGGTGGTGATGGTCGCCGACCGGCTTGCGTGGGGATGGTCATGGCTGATGTCCCGCCCGCCATATTCTGCGCCGCAAGGGATGAGGTTGGACTAAGTACCGCTCGCGTGATGATCGAAGCGAGACTAGGACCGGGTGCTTGCGGAGCTGACCCCGACGATGGCGCCTTGACCGTCTGTCCCGGCGAGGACGCGCCCGGAAGAGGTGGGAATGCGGGAGATGAGGTGGTCGTTGGTGAGTTTCTCGCCACCGCTTGAGCGTGCGCAGCCTGTTCCGCCAATACCGACGGAGGAGGGTGGAACGTGGGGGTAGGGCGCGGTCGGACGCTCTGAAACTGGTTCTGAGCCGACTGGGATGGGAGGTATATCCGGTGCTGCATACCAGGCGGCATGAGGGTGGTGTGATGCAATGCGTCAAAGTTGGCGCTGCTGCTGCTTGAGCTGCCGGTGTATAGGGACGGTACAAAGGGCGCGGCCGCTGCGTTGACGCCCGAGCTGGTGGAGGAGATGGTACGGCTGCCAATAGCGGGCGAGACGGCGGTGGAGCTCTTGACTGGAGGCGGTCCAGGTGGAGGGGGTCGGAAGGAAGCGACAGACGATATCGGGGGAAAGAAATTGGTCGGGCTTGCTTGCGCGGACGCCGGGGGTGCGGTAGATCCCGGACGGGCAGCTCCGGCGGAAGGGAACCGGGGCTGATACCCCTGTGCTCCGCGAGGCCTATAGGCAGGCCCGGCTCCGTAGCCTCCTTGAGCGCCGATATTGCTCAGGCTCGGGTGCGTGCTCAGGCGGTTGTGTCCAATCCCCTCGTGATGGTGTCCGTCCCAGTGCCCCTGCGTCCCCCAATGACCAGACGCGATCCGCCGCTTCTCTTCCTCCGCGTGTCTCTCAACGTCCTCCCGCTGCCGCTCGAGATCCTCGATTCTCCGCTCCAGCTCGATCTTTTCAGCCTCTTTCCGCTCCTTCTTGACTTTGAGCTTTTCCACCTTGCCCACCACCTCACTGAGCTTTTTCTCCTCTTCCGCTCGCATCCGCTTATCCTTCTCACGGACCTCATCCTCTCTTTCACGAGCACGAGCGAGCTCCTCCCTGAGTACGCCCACCTGGGACATGGCGACCTGCAGCTTTGCCTCGAGGTCGCCCATTCCCGCCTCAACGCCGACAGTCTCCTTGTCTGCAGCCTCGGCACCGGCCCAGCCCTGCTTGACCTGTTCTTGCAACGCCAGTGCCTTTTGCTTTGCCCGCAGGTCCATCGATCCCGCCTTCTCGGTGGACTTTTTGACCGCATCGATCTCCTGCCGTAGAGCCGCTTCGGCACGCTGGCTCGCGCGTCGCGCCTCCTTGATCTGCGCCGAGAGGTGCTCCTTCTCCACCGCAGCGGAGGCGACGAGCTGCCGCATCTGTGCGGTCTGGGTGTCGACGGCAGACAGAACAGGGGTCGGCGCAATGGCTTCGACAGCAGGGCTGCTGCCCGGTGGCGGAGTGCCCCGGCGGGATGGCGTGGTGTTTTCGGACGACTGGGCGGGTGTGGTGGTCGAATTCGATCGGGACCTGGGATGTTGGCGGGATCGGAGGGAGTTTGCGCGGGACCGAGGATGAAGGCTAGCTCCTGGTAATGGAGGGATGAGAACGCTATTTGAGACTACAAGTCAGCTCTATTGCCATGTATACGCTGAGGCCAGCTCACCTGATGCTTCAATTTCCGTACCACCCATACCGACCACTCTGAGCTCAATCTCATACTCCTTCCCTGGCGACAAGCCATACACCACCACAACTGCTCTATCTTTTCCGCTCTCCATCTTTCCCCTTCTCCCCTCCTTTCTCCTCGCTATTGGCCCGCCCACAGCATTCTGCGCCGACATAGTGAACCTAGCCCGCCTTGGCCTTCTTCTTTGCATACCTTCCGCCCCTAATCCTTCCTCCGCACCCTCTTCATCCGACTTGCCACCCGCCGGTTCCCAGTCCTCTTCCCACTCATCCTCCGCCTCGTCCCCCTCGCTCTCGTCCGGATCTGGATCAGAAGCGTGCGCTACGATCCGAGACCACGGCTGGCCGTTGACACTGACGACGACACCGTGGCTGAGCAGATCTTTGAAGCTGCGTCCAACCTCGGCGGGCCAACTGCCGGGGATATGGGTGGACGAGCTCGCGGCGTAAGATGACTCGCGGTGTTCGTCCTCCACGTCAACGGCGGTTTCGTCGTCGCTTTCCGTCTTCCGTGGTCGTTTGCGACGCTTGGATGCGGAGCCAGGTGGATGGAGGGAGGACGAGCTGCCAGGTAAGGGCGAAGAAGAGGAGGAAGAGGCGAAGGGGGAGGCGAGCGTGAGCGAGAGAGTCAAAGCGAGCGGTGTGAGCTCGAGGATGCTCAGCGATAGTGGGCGGGTGGAAGGGGTGACCGCGTGCCATTGGCTGGATGTAGACGGTGTGGACGACATGACTGATCTCGGTAGACAGGCCGCGGGGGGGAGGTAAGGAGTCCGGGGTTGGTTCGACGAGGTACAGGTAATTTCGGTTCCTCTCCTTTCCGGAACTAGCCAGAGGGCTTTTTACCAGCTTTGAGCCTCTTCGCTGCCCTCTGTATGCGAGAGAGATGACAGACGGTGTACTGTTGGGAGGTGGACAATGCGTGCAAGGGGGAAATATGATTTCTGTAGCGCGAGCGTGTTCAAGCAAGCTAGGCGGCGATCACCGGGACTATGCCCTGTGGGGCTCCGCCTCCGCCAGCCAAACCTCACTTGGACCAGAAGCTCAACTATAAATCATACATCGACCTCACATCCATCTATTACTCAACTATAGAGCTATACAGGGCTAAGATGGCGGAGCATAAAGTCCTAGGACTGGTCTCAGGCGGGAAAGATAGCTGCTTCAACCTCTTACATTGCGTAGCCAACGGGCATGAGGTGATTGCTCTCGGAACATTGACGCCGGAGAGTGGTACTGGTGAGTCTCTTGCCCGCCAGCAGACTTCAGCGGCGGGACTCGCGGAGCCATGAAGAAGCCCGATTTCATGGATCACTGCCCTGGTCATCGCCACTCGCCAAGCTCAGCCTCAGCTGATACTCCCCAGATGAGCTCGACTCGCACCTATATCAGTCGGTCGGAACGACGGTACCCCCGCTCATAGCCCGAGTCATGGGCATACCGCACTACTCCCACGTGATCTGTGGAAGAGCCGTAGAGCAAGGACCGGAATACGGTGATCGGTTCAAAGGCGGCCAGGGGAGCGGTGTCGAGGGAGACGAAACCGAAGATCTCTTGCAGCTTCTTCAGGACGTCATGGTGCGTCTCCTCACCTGACCCGGCTGGTCTTGACTGAACCCGCAGAGAGATCATCAGATCACAGCTGTATCCACCGGAGCTATCTTGTCGACCTATCAGCGCCTCCGGATCGAGCATGTCTGCGCCAGACTGGGGCTCGTATCCCTGGCGTATCTGTGGCAGGCGGAGCAGTTGCCCCTGCTGGAGCAGATGCAGGCGTGCGGGATGGACGTCGTGCTCGTCAAGATTGCTGGAGTGGGCTTGAAGCGCGAGATGGTGGGGAAGAGCCTATGGGCGCAGCTGCCCGCGCTGAAGAGATTGGTACGTCAAGTCTCCTATGAGATCTCACATTAGCTTGGTGGTGGAGCTGATAGACAGGACAGGATATATGGCTCGCACCCCGCTGGCGAAGGCGGGGAGTATGAGACCATCACCCTCGACTCGCCACTCTTCTCGCATCGTGTCGAGCTGGTCGATACGGAAGTCGTCATTTCGGATCCTGAGCCAAATCTGGTCGCTTACCTTCGGATACCCGGTGCGAAGCTGGTCCCGAAGCCGGGGTGGGCAAGACCCAGCCGACAGGAGCTGAGAGAGATACTGGGTCTGAATATGATTGAGGACGAGGGAAGCGTGCTGGACGAGGCGGGCAGAGAGGTGTTGGAGGGTATCGGGCGAGTGGAGAAGCGGCGTTGGGCTGCGGCCGCCTCGGTACCACATTCAGACGAGGCCACGTCCGGAGACGTCCAGACTCGGTACACGGACGACGCTAAGCTCTATCGGCGCGGAAGATGGTTTAGCATCTCGATTTCCCAACCTCAATCCCCATCCCCAGATTCAGACATCGGGAGCCAGATGCGACAAGCTTTCGAGCGGATCCAAGGTCAGCTAGACCTCCCTCACGCTTGAATACGTAAACTTTTGCTGATCCCTTAGCCGAGCTAGACAAAACATCTCTCTCCCTCCCTATTCACGCCGCACACATCACCCTCCTCCTCCCCTCCATGGCCCTCTTCCCAGCTGCCAATGCCGCATACACTCGTTTCTTCGGTACCTCCCCGCCCAGTCGAGCGACAGTTGCCGTGCCTCTCCCACAAGGTGTCGGCGTCCGGGTGGAAGTTGTAGGCTACGACGACGCCGCTGCTGGACCCTCATCGGAAGTCTTGGAGACGGCGGCCGTGCACAGTGGAGAGGGGGGTCTCACCAGAGCTCCGGCGAGCAAGATTGGCGGTCGCACGGCACTGCACGTACAGAGTCTGAGCTACTGGGCGCCAGCAAATATCGGACCATACTCTCAAGCCATCACTGTGAGCCCCCTTTCTCCCCCTCACCCTCGTCGATAGTACCGTGCTGACGTACAGGTCAACTCCCGCGTCCAGATAGCCGGCCAAATATCGCTCATCCCCTCTACTCTCACTCTGCCTCCTCCCCCAGCAAGTAGCTCTTCACCATACCCCTTGCAATGTGCTCTGGCGCTACAGCATGTCCGCCGAGTCGTCGAGGTGCTAAAGAGCCCAAACTCGACCGGGGGAGGGTGGACGGGTTGGGTAGAGAGTGTTGTGGCTTGGTGGGCTGTGCCATCTGGCATAGATTGTATGGAGGGGGAGGAGGGTGGAGAGGGTGAGGAAGTCGTCAGGCGTGCATGGCAGCTTTGGGCTGAGCAGGTACGTCCCGATCCTACGCGAAGGAACGCGGAAATACCGACTGATCTTGCAGAATGGATGTGAAGAGACCCCTTTCCTCCTTGTACGGGCTAAAGAGCTGCCCAGGGGCGCTCTGGTTGAGTTTCAGGTCAACCTGCATACTGGCTGGCGCAGCGAGGAGGGGCAGACGAGTGTAGATGGCGAGTCCGATCCTGTTGTTGATGGTGGCGGTGAGGATGATGATGGGGAGGCTAGCTGGGAAGATGAAGATGATGAGGACGATGATGAGTTGGAGGCGGTGTATGAGAGTGGGATGTACGGCAAGAAGGGCAGATGGGAGAGTTGTCGGACGAGCGGGAAGAAGGAGCGAGGTACTCGATTGATGGTGTTGCTGGATCGTGAGTAAATACCCTTTCATATCATTCCTTGGACGGGCAACTTACGAATGAGGTCTACCTGAGGGCCAGATACCCAGTATCGACCCGAGTCTAGCGGCGGCGTTGAAACGAGCGGTATCTGTCCGGTTGTACCACTTGCCAACCGTGTCCGAGGATCGGGGTCAGTCCCATCTCTCCAGACCGACCTGAAACGACGTGTCGCTGACTTGACAGCCCGTGCAGCTTTCCAGAGTATCATGAGTCAGGTGTCTTCATCAAGCGGAGGGGAGGCTGGGATCACGTTGATACCCGTGCTCGACATCAGAGATCGGCGGGGTCAGGAGGCGGAGGTCGCGCTGGAGGTTTTCGGGGCTTGAGGGTCCTGGGGTTGGTCGCGCGGAGGAAGGAGTCGAACCTGTACATCGTCAGCGGTGGCCCATGATGTACATCTGGCCCTCCATGCCTGGGCCTGAAGGACTTGACGACGCGATGGCCACAACTTGTACCGCTTCGCATCCACGTGGTGCCAACTCCACATTCCTCACCAGCGCGCATGAGCTCGTGAGCGCGCATCTATACAGCTCGTAATGCTGCTCTTCCATCTGACCACTCCCAGCCTTATATCGTACAGCTATCTGTACATCTCAAACATACCTGGAATCGATAGATACGTACGCACCGTCCAGCCAACCCTCGACACCCAGCCGAATTCGACGTCTTGAAACCCCACCATGTCATTCTACCTAGCCATAGTCTCGCCCCTCGACTCCCCCTTATTCGAACTCTCCCTCCCTTCTCCCTCCCGCCTCAACCCGTCCCAAACTCCCACATCTGGCCATTCATCCATACCCGTCGCTTCATCATCGGCGGCGGGGTTTCCCACTTGGTCTAGCTTCACCGGGGCCGGAGGGGAGGGGTCGACGAGTGGGTATGGTGGCCAGGGGCCGGCAGGAGGGATAGGGCCGGGGCATGGAGGACGTGCGGGATCTATGTCAAGTATTACAGCAGGAGCAGGGGGTGCAGCTGGACCGGCAGGAGGGGCAGGGATGGCGGATAGGGCGTTGATGCAGATGATTGCGTTCAAGAGTCTGGATGGGGTGGAGGAGGTGCAAGAGTCGACGGGGAGCCTGTGAGTTTTATTCTTCACTGATGAGAAGATCCAGGAGGGCTTGCTGACTCTGTAGATACCTCCGGAATGTGGACAAACATAATGAATGGACCGTGTCTGCGTATCTAGCAATGGGAGGTACGCTCTCCAAACCTACTGCTGTCCTGATTGGATCCGTAGAGGATTGAGCTGACTTCTGCAGTCAAGTTCATCCTCGTCCACGACCAGAAGAATGACGATGGGATCCGCATGTTCTTCAATGAGCTATGGGAACTATGGGTCAAGGTACGTCTCATCTGCGCCAAGCTGCTTACCCTGCGCTTGACTGATGGAGCAGATACTGCTCAATCCGTTTCATACGGTCAATACGCCAGTACGGAGTAGCGCGTTCGAGAATAGAGTGAGGGGAGCAGCCAAGCGGTATCTATGAGGAATGATATTGGACGTCGGAAGGGATCTCGCCGCAGACAGCATGCGTGGCGGGCCGCAATCCGATCCTTGCCGTTAGCGGTCGGTCTGGTAGTAGCCAGCGGACTATGTGCTGGAAGCGCACAATGGCACCGTGTCATCAGAAGCCATCAGCTACTGTGGGCAAGGGGGCGGGCGGGGTCTTTCTTATAATGGATCTCATGCATGCGCCTGTCCACTCCATCTGGTCGACGGCGGGATCTACTTGAACTCTTCGGCTTTGCCGGACTGGATGGTCAGCTGACGCTCTTCCTTGGGGTATTTCGGTACTGCCAGACTCACGATCAACAGGCCGACTAAAGCAACGTCAGCTGGAATCTTGACGAGGAAATCACATGAGAATTGGGCTTACCGATCAGTCCAAAGAGACCAAGAACCGACCCGAAAATCTGAACGAGTCAGCGTCCAGCCCACGCTCTAGCAAGAAGGCACAGCTGCGCGTGATAGTCAAAGAAGGGAAACACACCTCGACGATAAGGATCTTGACGAAAAGCTGCGGGTCGGCGGCATCTGCCAAAGCGGCGGTCGAGCCCGTGATCCCGACTGAGACACCACACAGAAGGTTGCAGATCCCGACAGTCAGACCTCCCCAGAAGAGTGCGAAGCCTGATCTATCAGCACAAGGTCCGAGGCGCAATCTGAGATCCGTCGTAGGAAGATGAAGGGAAGGTGGAGCGGCGACTTACCGGTGTAGTAGTTGTTGGCCGAGTAGGTATCTTGCCCGTTCCCGTTTATCCTCGAGGAGAAGACGATGGCCATGATGACACCTGAGAATAAGTATGATGCTTTCCTACTCTGCAGTGGAAGTGAACAATGCAACGTACCGTAGATAGCGACGACTTCACAGAAGATGATGCTGCGATCGTTAGCACTGATCCGCTCTGAACCGCGTTCCCGCCTAGTTCCCGGGGACGATCCAATAGAGCCTAGAGAGATCACGCACGAGATCAAGTTCTTGGTCCTAATTCTTGGTGCACGCACACCTCCACCCAAGATCGAAGCGCCCGTGACGAAGATACCCCTATTGCGAATCAGCTGCTGCAATGCGGTCTTCTCATGCGAGATCGCGACGTTTGTCAGCTGTCAATTGGAAGAAGAGCCGGGACATACCATCCTGCTCCAGCGACCGATAAGCCGATACACAACCCCACGCCTAGTAGTGCCCAAGCGTAAGGCGAGGACTCTGCGAGGAATTGACCGGGGTTGAACCGTTCGCCTTGCCCTATGCTCAGTTAGCTGCGTTCTGCCTTATGTCTATGCCCATCCGGGGCAGGTCTCGCGAGTCGATCTGCGAGCTCAGGACCGATTGGAGGGTGACGACCCTCACTCCCCAGGCAGTGCGGCTTGTCCAGATCGCCCGGATCGAATGGCCACCGCGGACCTACCTGTGAAGAGCAAGTACAGCCCGATGGCCGTCGCTGTGGACGTTGAGATCCCGAGCGCTGCTGGAAGATAGTAACCCATCGTTTCTATGTGCTGCTTCGGGTAGCCGCTAAGGAGGTGGTGGAGGGATAGGTACTGGTATAAGGTGATTAGGCAGTAAGGCAGACTAGAGCTCAAAGCAAGCGCAGGTACAGGTGGAATGAGCCATTTATAAGTAGAGGGATCGAATAACGAATAGCTCCCGGCCACTGCACCGCCAGTTACAGTACCAGCTGACTGCAGCAACCGGCTTCTCTCCCTCACTCAATCAGCTCTCCCTACCAGACCTACCTATACACCTCATCCTTTGTCCCTAGCTATAGCTCTTGCAGCTAGACCACCCTCCGACAGAGGCCCTACCGCTTTCTCCACTCTATCGGAGCTCAAACACAGCGCGAACGAGCTCATCAAGCGCGAGTTGAACCAGAACAGCCCTCCTGGTCCTTCAATCCCCCTTCAACTTGATCGTCAATCATGGCGGATAACGCAAGTACGACCAACGGAGTCGTCAAAGCAGAGACGAGCAAGCAGAATAGGGGTGAGCTTCTTGAAGTGTCTCGTCGTGGCACAACCAAGGAGCTGACTGCGGCAGAGGCGTTGAATCTGAAGCGGGGTCGCGAGGCTTCCCTTGTGAGTCAACCTTTCTCACCGCGCACCGAATTTCGCAGAAGTAGATTCTCATCGGATCTCAATCTGACAGGCAGGAACCATCCCACCCCGAAGCGCTTACACCCACCACCACCTCACTCAAGAAGAACCGCCTAGAAGAGGACGGGGATGGCAGTCCCACCCGCACTTCGCCCATTCCGGAAGACCCACCCACTGCCAAGCCCGCAGAGACACGTACGGTCGGCGAGGTGCGGCGGAAGGTTGAGAAGATGTCGCATGCCGAAGGGGAGGATGGAGGGGGGACGGACATTGAGCTGGATGAAGGGGTGGGCAAGGAGAAAGAGAAGGAGAAGGATCTGAAGCGGAAGGCTCTGGATCGCGCTGAGAGTGGGCTGTCTATCAGTGAGAACGAGGCGAAGAGGCCGAAAGATACTCCTTCTGTAAGCTGTCCGAAGAGGGTGCCTCGACTTGAGCTGACGCGTTAGCCACCACTGAAATCGACCTCGGCGGATCCTGCAGCAACATCGTCGAATGCTACACCAGCGGCTGTTCCTGCACCTGCACCAGCCGTCAAGAAGCCTCAAGCGACATTCGGCGCATTCTCATCTACTTCCTCTCCCTTCGCTAAGCCCTCAGCAGCGTCTGGCTCGGGCTCCGCCTTCGGGAGCGCCAGCACCAGTACCGGTGCGAGTGCGAAGCCATTCTCCTCCTCTGGCTTCGGCGGCTTCTCGGGCTCTTCTTCGCCCTTCTCGTCAAAGAAGACCTCGGCGTTCGGGTCGGCGGCTGCCGCGTCCGGCACTGGGGCCGCGGCCGCTGAGGTTAGCAAGAAGAACGGGATTAAGGCGGACAAGGCAGATGGGGAGGATGTTGACGGGAAGACCAAGGACGAGGACGAGATCGATGGGGAAGAGACGAAAGGGAAGAAGGCGGACTTTGGGGATATATTGTCGGGCGTGGGTGATGAGGATGAGGAAGCCAAGGACAGGCCGCAGATGACTGAGAAGGACGGTGAGCTTTCATGTCGAGCATCGGTTCAGGATAAAGAGCTGACTGTGTAGTGGTGACAGGGGAAGAAGACGAATACACCAAGTTCCAAATGCGGACCAAGCTCTACGTGATGCAATCTGACAATTCATGGCGAGAACGAGGGGTCGGGGTGCTTCGCCTGAATGTCCGGAGAGGAGATGGACACGGGGCGAGATTAGGTGAGCTTGCGATCCCGGACTGTTTGGCACCGGGGGTTATAGAGCTGACCCAGTAGTGATGCGTGCAGAAGGCGTACTGAGGCTCATATTGAACGTCTCGCTGTATGTCGGGATGACGTGTATGGAGGATGGGAAACATGTGCGGACGACGGTATTTGAGGATGGGGAGCGGAGATTTGTGACGTTCAGGGTGAGCTAGTTGATACTTCGCGTGCCCCTCTGTGGACCGGGACTTAGCTCATACCATCAGACTGGATCGGCCAAGGCAGCGCAGGAATTGGCATCGAATATCACGGAATGGGTCCCGCTAGAGACGAGCTCGACCAAATCGCCCGAACCTGCGAAGGACGAAGGACCAGAGGGTGGGTGGTAGCACTGTGTATGCGATGCCGAGGGGGTTTGTATATAGGTAAACTTAGGTAGCTAGGATAGGGTCATATACATAGGCGCGTGTGTCGGGATGGCAGGTCTTACGTCGGAGTGCTCTATGCAGTGCTCTCCCCTCACCCACATCGGAAGCAGTACAGCGGGCTGAGCAGTGCATCAAGATGACCGCCCTATAGCTCCGTCCCATTCACAGCCCCCCGCCCCTCCTCCCCGAATTTCAGATGCGCCACAAACGCCCCACTCTTCACGCCCTTCTTGATGGACATCCACCTCCCCAATCCCGGCTCCTGCGCTACTGCAGCCACAAGCAAAATCTCCATCTTGCCCTTCGCGCTCTTCCCCTTGCGCACTTGGTCTCCGCCGCCATTTGCCATCTCAGCTTCTTCGCCATTAGCGTTGGCGCCATTGGAGAACGTTTCCGAGGTGACAGAGGATGATGGGACAGAGAGGATCTGAATCGAGTTTATAAAGCCCGGGACGGCGATCGTGTGGATAGGTTTGAAGGCTCGGAGAGCGGGATCGAGTGCCCAAAGTCGGATGACACCGTCCCATGATCCTGTGACATCAGCTTTTGCTTTTTCGTTTTACGTGGAATAATTGCTTACCAGTGGCGAAGATATCTGAGCCCCGGAGAGCACCGATAGCTGTTATCCATCTTGGACCGGTCATTTCCTTGTCATCTTCATGTAGGAGATTGTCGACGCCGTGGGCTAATGGGTGGGTGAAGATGGGCTTCTTCTTGGCTGTTTGCCACAAGCACAATGATCTGCGACTGTCAGTCCGGAGTCCATACACTATCAAAGACAAAGACTCACCCGCTGTCCCCACCCGAGACGAACCGCTGATCATCCAGCATACAGACCGTATCGATACTTCCCTCGATAAACTCCTTTCCTCTCCCCTTTCCCTTTTCTTTCCTCCGATCCACCTCCATCCCATCCGCTCCAATCTCCTCTTCTGCCGGCTCCCCCTTCTTCGCCTCCCCCTTGGCCGACTGGCCCTCAAAGCTCTTACCTCCGCCCCGAAACACGAGCTGGATCTCCTCTTCGACCTTCCACCACCGACAGGTCCGGTCCCTGCTTCCTGCGGTCACGGCGAGTGTGGGCTTGAGGGACGAGATGGACGAGATGGAATCTTGGTGTCCGAAGAAGGTGTCGATGGCGGAGAGGGTGGACAGGGAGTGGAGGGCGAGGTGGCGGGAGAGAGAGGCCGAGAGGATGTGATGCGAGGGATTGGAGAGAGGTGGGAAGGCTATACTCTGGTATGTCAGCGCAAGCCTGGTAGCACTGCTTGGAGGATAGAGCGTACAGTGACTGAATCCTTGTGCCCCCTCATTCCAGTCAACCACTTGACTCCCCCCTCCTCGCTTACCTCCCATACACCCACCAGCTTATCCTTTCCTCCACTGACGATGAACCGCCCATCCTCGCTCGCCGCTACGCAGTACAGCTCGCCTGTATGTCCTGTTGGAGCAGCCAAGCCTTTGCTAGTCGTTGCTGGTGTGGCTTGAGCTTGGCCAAAGGGCTTGCCGATCTGTTGTAACGACGGCAGGGCGTAGCGGAACATCAGGCCTCGTTTTGTCGAAACAACGAGTGAAGTGGGTGTGAGGGCGACGGAGGTGGGTATGTGGGTAGGTAGCTTGACGAGTTTGGAAGTGATCGATAGGGGACGTGAAGCGAGGAAAGAGTGGATCCGGCCTTCCGTCTCCGACTGCTCGTCAGCTCTGCCTCTCGGTGTGCTCAGTGGGACAACGCACCACATCTTTCTGCAGCCGAGCAGCAATCAGTTCTCGATCAATCTCGGCCGCATCATAGTCTTGATCATCTTTCGCTACTCTATCAGCTTTGTCACTCTGTTGAGCAGAGACCCAAACTGACCCGCTTCCACCTCATCCTGCACCTTCTTCAAATACCCCCTCGCCAGCCTAACGCGCTTCTCCGCCCCCGTCTCATTCTCATCAATCACCTCCTCGTCCTCCCTATCCCTATTCTGATCCCCCCGAAAGTCCATATCGTCCAAATCACCCCCATCGTCCCCCTCCGCATCCGACGATAAATCTTCATCCCGCTCCCTCCCTTCGGCTCGGGACTTGCGATTCGCAGCGTGCCGCGCTTGACCCTGGACTTTTTGGCCTTTACCGTATGCGGAGGGCCGGAAGGGCTTGTCGTAGCCTGAAGTAGAGTCTGAGCTGGGTCGTCCGCCCCGGCCCCCACCGCCGCCGCCGCCGCCCCGGGATGAGCTGAAGCCTCGGCCACCGCCTCGACCGCCGCCTACACCACGACTGCTGCCACCGCGCGAAGGGCCGTCGGAGGATTCACCGCTTCTTGCGGGGCGCTTTCGTTTCTTGTCGGACTGGAAGAATGAGTCGGGCATGGTGCTGTTCCCTCTGGTAGACTGGTGTGATAGCTGTAAGTAGGAGTGTAGAGATCACTGGACTTGGGTGGAGGAACTGAGCTCGAAAATCTCAGTGACGCACGGTCTATGCCGGCAGAGACTAGGCTCGCGCGTCGGTCAATCTCACACGCCTATCTGTCTGACCGGCAAAGCTCCGATTAGGCGCGCCTCATTATACTGTACTCCACGCAGCACGCTCGAGGAATGACGGGGCACGCACGACAGCAACCTCAATCATACATCCCTACAACCCTACCTCCCCCTATCATACACTATTTCATAGCCTCATAGTGACCTCTCACGGCCCCATATCCTCTTATCATACACCCCTGAGCCCAAGCGGCCGCGACATCTCCGCCCAGGATGAAGCTCAAAGACATCTCCCGCACAGCCACTTTTGCATGGGACCAGACCTCCTCCTCCTCCCCCTTGCTCGTCACCGGGGCAGTCGCCGGCGCGCTCGACGAGAGCTTTAGTAATGAGAGTCAGCTGGAGATTTGGAGGCCGGACTTTGGCGGAGAGGGGGTTGGCGCGCTCAGGTTGGGCGGGGAGGGGCAGAGGGGGCCCGAGGGGAGTATCACGGTTGGGAGTCGGTGAGTTCGAGTCTATCGCTTGTCTGGAGTTTAGGAGTAGGGCTGATAGGCAGGTTCAACCGTCTCGCTTGGTCCTCGCCGAATGCTTCGCACGCTCAGGGTGTGATTGCTGCGGGTATGGAAACGGGCGAGATCAACGTCTATGATCCGGCCAAGATCCTTGCTGGCGCCGAGTAGGTCCTCCCAGCCGCCGCGAGACCATACGAGACGCGAGCTAATGCTCAAGTGCCGATGCCGCGCGTATATTCCGGAGCGACAAGCATGCAGGCCCCGTCCGAGGCCTCGACTTCAACCCTATCCAAAAGAACTTGCTCTTGAGTGGAGGTATCAACGCCGAGGTATGTCAGCTTTCCGATACCTTGCCTTCAGAACGCTCGGACATAACCTGACCCCCTAGCTCTTCATCTTTGACCTGAACAACCCATCCTCTGCTCCTATTCCCCCAGGACCCGCATCCACCAAGCTCGGCGAAATCACCTCGCTCCAGTGGAATCCGACCGTCTCGCGCGTGTTTGCCGCGTCGTCCTCGTCGGGCTATACGTCTGTTTGGGATCTCAAAGCGGGCAAGGAGATTGTATCGCTGCAGTATGGCGGTGGAGCGGCCAAGGGCGGGGCGGTGGCTGGTATGGCGGGGTTGCAGGTCGGCGCGAGAAGGGGAATGAGCGATGTCTGCTGGCATCCTGAGACAGTGAGCTCAATAAACACCTCCTAGTAGTCGGTAGGGGGTCAGGAGCTGATCCTGTAGCCTACGCGATTAATCACTGCATCGGAGGACGATGATTCGCCAATCATCATGCTTTGGGATCTGAGAAACACTAGGGCGCCAGAAAAGGTATGACTATATCTAAAACGGAGCTGATTTTCAGATTCTCAGCGGTCATACCAAGGGTGTCCTCTCTGTCGCTTGGTGTAAGCAGGATGCCGATCTGCTTTTGTCTTGCGGAAAAGACAACAGGACGTTGTGCTGGAATCCCCAGACCGGCGAAATCGTTGGAGAGGTGAGCTTCCGTGTCGAGACGAGGCCATAACAAGCTGACGGATAGCTCCCGTCAAGCAGTGACTGGTCCTTCCAGACCACCTGGTGCCCCCGCAACCCTGACCTCCTCGCTACTGCCTCCTTCGACGGGCACATTGGTATCCACTCCCTCCAGACCACTCAGGCACCCGCCGCTCCCACTTCCAAGCTCAGCGAGACTGCCACCGCCGACGACATCTTTGGCGCTTTGGGCGATACCGACCAAGTCGACGACACTGCCAACGTGCTCTCACTCATCCAGCCGCCCAAGTGGCTGCGTCGGCCCGTCTCTGCCACCTTCGGATACGGCGGCCTGCTTGCGAGCACCAGCAATCTCACAGGCGCGACCGGGAAGCACCAGAGCGGTGTTGCTCACTTGCGCAAGATCACCACGGAGCCGGAGATCATTGAGCGCGCGGAGAAGCTGCATGCTGCGGATGGGCAAAAGGAGCAGCTAGAGAGCTTCTGCGATGGGCGCGCGTCGGATAAGGGGGATGCGGCGTGGAAGGCACTGCAGACGCTGTTCAAGGCGAATTCGAGGGATGAGCTTGTGCAGCTGCTAGGGTTCTCGAAGGAGGAGGTGAAGAAGCAGGTGGAGGAGGCGATCAAGAAGTTGCCGGGTGGAGGTGTGCAGGCGGAGGCGACCGAGCCGGAAGCGGACGTGGAGGAGGAGAGCAATCTCTCTACGCCAAAGAACGAGACGGCCAACGCTACGCCATCCGAAACCAGCGAAGCTGCGCCCAGCGGCGGAGCCGAGTTGACCGAGAAGAGTCTCTTTGACCAACTCGCGGCCGACTCGGGATCGGCGGACGCGGACGGATCCGACTTTTTCTCGTCCATCGCCTCGGGTTCGCTCCGGAACCCTCGGCTCGACAGTATCTCCACTCCCAAGAACGAGATCGCCGAGTCGTCCCGCGCAGCTACGGTCGGCTCCCGCCCTTCGTCGGTCCGCAGCGAGAGCATCAAGGATAATACCTTCCACATCTACCCGTCAGGCGAGAATGACACGGACCGGCTCATCACCCAGGCGCTTGTACTCGGCAATTTTGCCTCGGCGGTCGACCTCTGTCTCGCCTCGGAGCGATACGCGGACGCGCTCCTCCTTGCTGTCCGCGGCGGTCCGGATCTGCTTCAATCGACTCAAAAGGCATACTTTGCCAAGCGGACCACCACGACGCCCTTCCTTCGCGTCTTCCAGTCTATCGTCACGGAGGATCTGGTCGATATCGTCCAGAATGCGGATCTCGGTGAATGGCGCGTCGCCTTCGTCGTCCTCTGCACGTTTGCAAAGGACGCCGAGTTCAACAATCTCGCGGACCAGCTCGGCCAGCGACTGCAGTACAAGTCTACTACATTGTCGTCCTCGGACACTGCGGCTGCCAAGGAGGCAAGGCAGGACGCTACGCTGTGCTACCTCGCAGCGCGGAAGCTGGAGAAGGTGGTCAGTATCTGGAGCGAGGAGATGAGAGAGGAAGAGTCCAGCTCAGAGTCGTCCAAGGACACTACGAGGTATACCGCCCACGCGCTTGCCCTCCAGTCGTTCATCGAAAAGGTCGCGGTCTTTACCGCCGCGACCGGCTATGTCGACCAGGACCTCATGTCGCCCACCCAGTCGACCGAGACGGCCGAAGCGGGCGCCAGGACGTACAAACTCGCGTCGCTCTACAACCGGTACTACGAGTACGCGGATCTGCTGGCGGCGCAGGGTATGGTGGATATCGCTGCCAAGTACGTCAAGCAGACGCCGGCGGACTATCGCGGCGCGTCGGGCTCGCTCGATAAGGCGAGGGATCGGCTCTTTGCTGCTGCGGGCATCTCGTCCGGGTCTGCTCAGGCCAGTGAGGCGTTCGGCGCTGCGCTTGCGCCGCGGCAGCAGGCTACCAAGGCGGCTGCGCGGCCCGCTGCTGCCGGTCTGGGGTATCAGCAGCAACCTCAGCAGCAGCAACAGCAGCAGGGTGGGTTCCGCCCAGCTCAGCCTGCCGGACCGTACGGCGTTCCCCCCGCCGCCAACCTCCCACCGATGCCCACTCAAGCCCCGCCTGCTTCCTACCAACCCAATCAGTCGTCCTTCCAGCCGTCGTTCCCGCAGCCGCCCCAACAGCAGCAGAACAACTTCACCTACAATGCGCCGTACCAGCCCTCGCAGCAGCCGCAACAACAGCCGCAGCAGCAACAGCAGCAGCCGTATCAGGCTGCTCCCTCGCCATACGCGCCCAACGGGTACGGAGGGCCAAGCCAGCAGCAAGGCCAAACCGGCGGCTATGGTCTCCCGAACCAGCAGCAGCAACAGTACGGTGCTCCTCCCCAGGCGCAACCACTCGGCCCGCCGCCTCGCAGTAACCTCATCAATGGAACGGGCGCAAACGGAACACCTCCTCCACCTCTTCCTGCGGCGCAGCGTCGCGACATCCCAGGCTGGAATGACGCTCCCGCGCTCAGCTCTGCCCCGAAACGCCCCCAGAGCGCTGCGAAGGTGGCTCCGATCATGAGCCCCTTCCCGATCTCGGATCAACAGCAGCAGCAGTACATGCAGCAGCCGGGTCAAGGGAATGGCCAGGGCCCACCACCGATGGGCATCACCCCGCCGCCAAACCGCGCTGCGCCGGGTATGCTGCCGCCTCCGCCAAAGGGCGGACCACGGCCGCCGTCTGCGCAAGCTGTGGCGAGGCAGGCAGCTGGTCAGCCGCCTCAACAACAGCAGCACCAGCAGCAGCAACAACCGCCATACCAGCAACAGCAGCAGCAGTATCAGCAGCCCCCTCCCTCTGCACCGCCACTGAACCGTACGCCCACGGCTGGCCCTCCCCCACCCCAGCGTGGTTCCACACCCCGCGCAGGACCGCCTCCGCCAGGTTTATCCGCCGGTCCACCACCCCCTCGTGCGCTCTCGCCGTTGGGTCCAGGTCGGGGACAACAGGGCCAGCAAGGACAGTATGTCCAGCCCAGTATCGCCGGTCAGCTCCGCCCGACGTCTGCGCAGGGTCAACAACAAGCGCAACAACAGGCGGGTCCACCCCCTCCTGGACGTGCGGGTCCACCACCCCCCAATCGGGCTGGTTCGGCGATGAGCGTCAGTCAGGGAGCGCCGCAGGTCCGCTCGCCACCTAGTCAGAGCTCGCCGGTGATGCCTCCTCCACCGCAGGCAAAGGCTTTACATCGTGAGTACGCGGTCTGAGATGAGTAGGGGGTGTAAGCTGACCAAGTAGCTCAAGGAGACCGGTCGCATATCCCCCAAGAGGCGCGAGGGATCTACGAGACGCTCAATGAGGAGATGAACCGAGTCAAGGGGGCGAATCTGCCGGTACGTCTGCCCTGCTCCGATATGCAAATCAAGCTGACAGTCGCAGGCCCCTCTTCAGAAAATCGTGGCTGATACCGAACGCCGCCTGAACATCTTCTTTGATGCGCTGAATAACGAGACGGTGCCGAAGGATGCTGTACAGAAGATGGGTCAGATATCAGCTGGTGAGTTACAGAATCTTGTGCGCGATCTGGGCCAGTGAAACGATAGCTGACTATCGGCAGCGATAGCTGCGAGGGATCTGAATGGCGCGCTGGCGCTGCATGTGGATATGTTGACGGGTGCGACAGGCGAGATGACTTCTTGGGCTGTGAGTTGTTTCCTTGTCTGAGGATCTGGGGATCGAGGCTGATGATTTACAGCCTGGAGTGAAGCAGTTGATCAGGCTGGGTGTTTAGATGTCTATCGATAATGGAGGAGCGAGGGTAAGGGGGAAAGGAAACTTAACGAACAGAATGCATTGCTATTGACCTGTTGGACTTGACTTTGCTCGTGCATCGCGATCTTTGGTGCCCGGCTGCATGATGGTGTGATTGTGACATCGTGTACATTCGACCTTGAGCCTCGAATTTACTTACATGGAGTCATACTGTCTACTCTGCTGAACCTCTGCAATACAGCCGATTCTCATCCACCCCTCGTACAAGTTCGTCTCCCCGCTTATAAAGAGACTTACTCCCTACCGCCCTGCCTCGCATGTTTACACCGTCTCTCGTCGCTACATGCAGCTCCCCCCGGTCATCATGATGAGACCCGCTCCCTACGCAGACGTCAGACCACGGTGGGCAGGAGCGGGCGTACTGGGCAGGTTGGGCGGGAGGGGCTTGAAAGCGCGTATAGCGGCCGGGGAGGCGTATAGGGAGACAGGACGGCCGGAGGGTCTGCTAGTATCAGCTCATTCCCCTACAGGAGACATCGCACATAGAGCTTTGATCAGGCTTCGGGTAGCCTTGGATAGTAGACAAGAAGGGGGACGTACGAGAATGCCCCATCTAGACCGCTAGCGCCAGCTCGACCCTTCTTCTCCCTTCTCCGCCCAGTCCCCTCTTCTCCGACTCCATCGCCCGCTGCTCTGCCCTCTGCCCAGACCTCCTCCCTGATCCCTTGTCCCCCGATTATAGCAGTACCCTGCGCCGCAGACGCAGATGCAGATCCAGACGGCATCGTCACCATACTGGCCGGCGCCGACCTGCACTCCTCCGCAAAGCTCGCCTTCTCCCACGTCTTGCTGAGAGGGTGTCGACCGACCAGGGTCCGGCGGAGACGTGAGATGATTGGGCTACGGGGTGCCTGATGCTCGCTTTCCGATGTCGAGGTAGGTAGGGAAGGGAGAGGCGCCACCGCCTGATGCGCCTGAGCAGCGTGGACGGGAGGGACTTGAGGGGGGTATGAGGTGTAGCCGTGCGCTCCTCCCTGGCCGGCGGGGCGAGAGTAGTGGGATGTATGCTCCGGACTCGGGTGATGAGCGGGAGACGAGTGGGGCTGGGTAGCGGTATAGTGAGAGACAGAGGGGTAGTTGGAGGCGATGGTGTGATCAGGCGGGGTGTGATGATGGGGTACCGCCGAGGCTGAGCCCGACCTGGCGTGCGAGTGCGACTGGGTGTGGGGAGTCATGCTGTGCTATATCTGAGGATTGAACAAGTATGTCAGATGAGGGGATCAGTGGGCATAGCGAGGTAGACTGTTATCCCGGACGATGACCTTGGGCAAGCCAAAGGAGGGTTGGGCCATCTTCTACGTCACCGTCCTTTCCCCAGAGCTTGTTCTGCCGAGGAGGGATTCGAGAGCGGCTTGATCAGCACCACGGTACGCTCATGCGTGCTGAGCTCATAGAGTGAAGCAGGTACATACGGAAGAGATATTCTGAGATATAGAGTGAAGGCAAATTACAAAAAGAAGGACAAGTCCCGCTCAGCCAAAATCAACTGAACGCAAAAAAGCCCACCCTCTTCCCCCTCAGCCCCGCTCAAAAGAGCAAGACCGAGAAGGAAGGGGTGGGCAATGCGATAGATCAGCAGGGACGAACCTCCATTTATCTGTAGGGGTACGGGGTTCCTAACCTGCTGATGAGAATAGACAAGAAAGTGGTGATGCGTAGAGGGAGGGGGATAAAGGTGGGGCAAAAGTGGGGAAGGATGAAGAGAGTGGAATTGTCGAGGGAGGGGGACCGAACGAGAGCGAGTACCGATAGTGCGAAGATAGAGTAGAGTAGAGCAAACCAAGAGGAGCTCGTGTCAACGCCTTGTTCTCTTCGGGATGGCAGACCAGACGGGACGAGAGTCATTGCTGCTACGCGGTTTCCCGTTACACAAAGCGAATGCGGAGGTGGATGGCGGGGAGTTGGCCGTGAGGAGGGGTGTGGGTGCGGTAGGGGAAGGTGGCGAATACGAACCCTTTTCGAGATGACAAAGGCAGGAACCGCAAGAGTCAGAGCTTAGCTTCTCGCAGGTTGAGCTGAGACGGGATCCGATTCGACCGAGCGCGCGCGATAGCGAGATGATTAGCCGCAGTCACGGGACTTGCCGAGACTAGGAGCCGAGCCGAAGCCTCTGACTGGACGTGTTGAACGCGAGTGAGCCGACGATGACGTACCGTCTGGCACAGCCCCACAACGGAGGCCTGCGCCGAAACGATTTTGGTGTCGAGTAGGCCGATGCCGATGACTTCCGAGAGTCGCTGATGCGAACTAGCGATAGCCGTGATTAGACCTGTTGTGATAAAACCCCCAAGAATGAACCAGAAGCCAAAACTGAAACCAAAGGAAAGAAGAGGGGAGAGGAAAAGGAGGGAACCGAAAAGAAGGACGAAAAAAAGAAGAAAGCGAGACCCGCTGGCGTACCAGACAACCCCCAGAACACAAACAACTCCAGGCCGTGTAACAGCCGAGTGCGCTTGCTCCCGATGGGCGCCCGATCCGTCAGACGAAACCGACCGACTCCTCCACCTCGGCCACTTTCCACCACACCGTGATACCGTATCCCGATCCCGATATCGATCGATGAGTCGGACTGGGGCGCCTCGCTAACACCGACGGGACGAGCCTCGTGAGTCGCTTGACGCCGAAATTAGATTGTTGAGCTGTCGCTGCTGTCCCCCCTGTCAATGCGGTTCCTTGCCCCTCCGACCGATGAGTATCCCCGACCGTTCTCAACTCAGAACCCCCTAGACCCTATCCCTCGCTCCCTTCATCCAATTCCGACGTTCCCCTGAGCCAAATGACGATCCCGATGAGAAAGCGGGTACGAGACCGCGCCGATTTCCCGAGACCGCTGCAGGACGAGGCAAGAAGGTAAGGATGAAGCGGAGTTGAAAGGGATGAGAAGAAGCGGTGGCGTTAGATCTGGTTAGACCGACGATGCGAACCCGTGTGGACGAAAAGACCCGATGACCAAGAGCGCAAAGCTCTGGCCGAAGAATCGTAAGAACCGAGAGAACCGAGAACCGAACCGGACCGGAAGCTGCAACTGCTCGTTATCGAGAAACGCTGGACCCCAACGCCACTTGATTCCCCGGAGGGAAACCTCGGTGTGTTATTCGCTAGCGCGGCCATACCCTCTCGCGTTGCCGACCAGACTGTCTCTTTGCCGTGTCGAGATTGTCGGAAAAGAGACACCCTTCCCTTTTCAGGGAAGACCGCTTGCCCACCCTTCTTGAACCCGCGCATGTGTGGGGGAAAATGCATGGCGAAAAGCGGTGACGTACCGGAAGGGGGTGCGGGTGGGCAGGCAAGCGTTCTGGTCGGGGCGAGGGGCGGTACCGGGCATCACGACACTGCCAAGGCGGGGGAAGGCGGACACCAACGTTCCTTGTCGTATGTCGAAATCAAAAAGCAAAAGCGGAAAGCCGCGGCTTACTGGATCCTCATTCTCCTTGTCTCTCAATGTCTCCTTCACGCCCTTACGGTGCCGGTGGCGGAGACGATCACACGGACTCAAGTTTCTCAGCGAAGAAGGACAAGAGCCGGTGAGTTGCCTGTGCGGGCGAGTCAGGATGACCCAGACCCTTGACGCTTGGACCGAGTGGGCGAGGGGACGTCTGTGCGGTGTCAGCGCGGGACCCAAGCGGGGGCGGAGGAGGACCTGTTGAAGGTAAAGGGGAGGAGGATGGGAGCGGATCGACTGCAGCAGGGAGAACAAACAAAGACCGAAGGTCATGAAAGGCTTACAAGCTGGGTCGACCGCGACCGCACCAATGCTCGGTCAGCCATGAGACTGGACGCCCGGTGAGAGGGCGACACAACCTTTAGATGTGAGCGGCAGGTGGGTGATGTTAGTCGCGCTGACCCCGTTGAGGAGGCAGCACGCTGACCCGAAAGGGTGCGAATAGGGTGTTGTCGGACTGACGCGCAGGTGGCGGATCTGAAGCGGATTTTTGCTCTGTGCGCTTGGTCGATGTTGATGATTGGCGAAGGTCCGGTCGAGTTGCGTGGTAGGAGTAGTGAGGTTGTCGAGCTGTCGTGGGGGAGTGTGAAAGTAAGAGTGTGGATGGACGAGGATGAAGAGAGAAAGGAAGAGGAAGGATGAGCGGGTGGCAAAAGGCAAAGGGGAAGGGGGAAAAGCTGAGTCATCCAGACTCAGGGCCAAATCACAACAACCCCCTGCAGAACCCTGAAAGGAAGCTGCGCGGGCATCGCCGCACAGACCCGCTTCGGGCATTTTGCTGACCTTCCGTCGGAAGCCGCTCGGGTGGCACATGGCGAGTGTGGCACTCTGCAACAGCCGCTTCAGCTGCCATGGCGCCCTTGCCACTCTTGTAAGAACAGCTCGGACACAGGAAGTGATCAGGAAGGACTGCTGCTCTGCCAGTCAATGATGAAACATAAGATGGCATTGTGACCCGGTATGATGAATACACTAAAAATATCAACTATATATGGAGATCTAGGTATCTGCTACTCTACTCTGCCCGTCGGTTACCCTACTGAATGTCCTCTCCCTCATTCGCCACCTACGCATAGATATATGGTACCACTCCACACGCCTCCAAGTAATCTGGAGGCGGCACGATCCACCCATCCTCGCAGCTGACCCCCTCGCCGTGAATCATCCTCCCCGTCTCCGTCTCGCCCGAACCGCTGAGCATGAGGTCCGACCACCTCGTCGTGTGCATAGCGCCGCGCGGCTCCGATACTGATCCGATGACGACCGGGAGGGGAAGGGTCTTGATCGTTCCTGGCCAGGTGCGCTTGATGTACGCCATTGGCAGGGAGGAGAAGGGGGATCCAGGCTCGACCGCGGTGAAGACGCCTTGCGGGGGCAGAATGTCGAGTGCGGATTGAGGGAGAAACCGGTCGAGGACAGGTGAGGAGATGTCGGAGATGGGGAGGAAGGCGAGGGTGCAGCAGAGATGGAAGGTAGATGAGACCGAGATGCTGGTGTTGTTGGCGTCACCACCTGCGGACCCGACATTGAGGTGAGTGGAGTACCCATGACGCCATGACTTGCCGGGGAGGGTGATGGGGAGGTCGACATTGTCCAGAGTGATATCCCCATCCTGGTCGGTGCAGGTGATCCAGCCCCACCGCACCGACACCTCGGTCTCCGACACCAGCGCCATCTGCGTAGCGGGATCCACCGGGACGTTGGTCACCAGGGAGGAGTGCTCCCGCCTGAGCAACGATAACCGGATCAAGACCTGGTATGCCTGGCCGGTACCCTCGGTTGGTGGTTTCAAGCCGAGCTTGAGAGGAATGTTGGAGGTGGGCGAAAAGGCGGTGGTGGGGAGTTCGGGAGAGACGGTCCAGCGGTGGTTGGGCCGGCGTGTAGTCCCCTTGACGCCCATGGCACCGGGAGCAGACTCATTGTCCATCCGTACCCAGAACGTCTGCGGGGTGAAGCGAGGCGCGCGGGTTGGCATTGTGTCCGGCATCATCTCAAACGGTCTTGCCGCTTCGGCGAGGACGACCCGGTTGCCCGGACGATGGCAGTCGTCGCACGTGAGAGTGACAGTGAGCGCGTAGGTGACCGCGAAGCTGGCTCCGGGAACAGAGTAGCTTGGGGGAAGACGGGGGGTGGAGGGGACCTGAACCGTGAGGGGAAGAGAGTAGGTACCGCCGGGTAGACCGACCGAGACGTCCGGTACATCTTCCCGCCCCACCCGATCCGCGTAGGCCGAGGTGGCATCCCGCGCCCATAGTGCGAGCCCTTCCGCCAGTGAAACCGAGACGCAGATGATGGTTCGAGGAGCGGAGTGAGGGGTGTGAAGGGTACCGACCAGGGACATGGTGAGAGTAGGATTGAGGGCGTGGGGGAGAGATGAGTACCGGTCGAGCTGGAAGGTGAGGATAGTCGGAATGGCTTGGCCGGGGTAGAATGCGGGTGGAATGTCGGCGTTGGTGTCTGAGCACTGGAACGCGGCAGCGAGGGTGCAGGTAGGAAGCGAAGGTGGGAGCACAACAGAGATAGGCGCTGAACAGTCAGCGCTTATACGGCTGGGTTAGTGGGTTCTGACTCACCAGTAGGCTCATCCAAGTCCATGCGGTCATCCTGTACATCCTCCTTCCGCTGCATCTTCTGTCCGCCTCCTGAAAATCCCAGATTCGACCAGAATTCCCTAGACCTCGACCGCCTGTGGTTGCTCGGCCCCGCTTCTGCCTGACAGTCCATCGAGTCAGACCGGGAGTAGACGCGTGGGTGGAGGGCGGAGGTAGCCATGGCGAAGATGCTGGAGCGGAATTGAGATGAGGGAGGGGTGATCGGGGCGGGTGGCGTAAGAGGGCTAAAGTCCAGAGGGTGGAGAGGTGCGAGACAATGTGCCGGGGTCAAGGTCGGCGAAGAGAGTGGTGTGGAGAACTGAGAGGGTGGGGTGACCATGAGAGGTGGGGGGACTGGGCGGTGGGATTGAGGTGTCGAGGGTGGTGATGGATAGAGATGCTGGTAGGATGGGGTTGTGAACGACATGATGAGTCCTGTGCGCTGTTGCTATATAGCTACAGCGCAGAGAAGTCGATGGAGGTAAAGCTGGTGAGCTCAGACGAAACACCGAGCGGTGCAGGTGATGACCTTGTGACGTCGGTTGTTTGACCTCAGGTGAGACCTGCACGGGACAGGTAGTCACCGCGAGCGCCGAGCGTGCTTCCGGGCGTAAGGCGCCGATATGCTACCGTTACAACCGATACCGGTAGACGATGAGGCAGGTGTCGCTGTTGGCGGCGAAAGGTGCCAGGGAAGATGATGGAGGATAGAGGGAGGTAGGGAAGATGTGACACCGAGGTAAGGAAAGAAGGAAGGAAATGTGTGAGACTTGCCCTTGAGGGACGGCGTGGGTGGGTGGTGGAGGGTCGAGCGGTGTGCGTGAGGTGGTCTCAAGTGCTAGGGATGTCCCTTGTCCAGCTTGATCGACGCTTGTGGATGGTCCGATGGTAGGAACTGGTAGATCGGGGGTCGACCAATAGCGATGGGGACGTTGGGCGTAAGCGCGAAGTGTCGAGGATCTGAGACAATCCCTGGTATGGGCAAGGTGATGGATGTGCTTGCCCGAGCCGGTCCAAGCGGGATACTCAACCCTCCCTAGGGTGTTGCAGTGAGATCCCCTCGAAATCGCCTATACCAACAGCCGTCCCTTCTTCCCCTTGTTCACCGACGTCCCTTCGTCCAAGCAGAGTGTGTCGGGAGGAGGTGTGAATCCTACGCTTGTTCTTATTTTTTTGCCGCTGTTTCAAGTCGTCCCGCTCGGACCTATGCAGTCGAGATGGCGAGTGGCGAGTAGCGCCTGCGAGCACGGTGAGCATGGTGTCTATTTTGCCTTGTATAATGTCTTATAAGTTACCCGCCTATGACATGTCCCGCTTCAACCTTTGCTGCGCGGGATCCGCGGGAGTGGAGTCCCTATCAGCTGGGAATTCAGGCACGATGACGCTAATCACCAAAGGTGGTAACCCCTATATTTCCTAATTGGCTCTACTCCACAGATCCACGGCTGCCTGCTATGCATGTACCCCAACATCCTGTGCATGCATCGGCTCAGATACCATCGCTTCGGATCACCGACTCCCTGTACCAGAAAACGAGTGCCCTTCATCTGCTGCAGGCTCCAACGAACTGCCGATCGGCAAGCTCGAGCGATGTCTCGGACATTCCCAGCGGGGCCAATAATTTGCCAAAAGCGAACATCTCTGAAGGAATCATGCTGTAAGGACAGCGAATTTTAAGGTGGAGTCTGCGGGGGCGAGCAGGGGCGAGCAGCAGGTACGGGAATTGCGCGTGTCTCGGATGCATCATCGGACGCACGCTTTGAGCAGCTGCACACTGTGGAAGGCTAGTGACGGAGCTAGTGAGGGGATCTGATCACGGCGCCTGTCCCGAGAGTTCGGTAGCACCCATACGCGGCCGCTGTGGGCAGTGGCGAGATCTGCTCATACCTGCGTGCGGCAGCGAGCAGATCTGCCTCCGCACGTAACATATGCTACTACGACAACTTGATGACCCCGATCGAGGGCCCATTCAAAGAGTATCGAGTATCATATGAGACACAATTTGCCACCGACACCTCTGTTTCAGCTGTTTCACCTCGCTGGCTGGTCAAGTACCCTAATCGAGAGATTGCGCTTGGTCCATCATTTGTCGGGCGCCGGCGCCGTTCCGCCGGTCGTGTGAGGGGTCCGACGTTGAGTGTGGGACAGTCTGGCCAATGTAGCACGGTAGGCATGGTGATATACTCTACGCCAAGGCGGGACCCGCGTGGTGACCCTCTCATCTACGACATCTCGAGCTCACTCAAGCGTACTTGGCGCGGCGTCACGCTCAATCCCTGTCCATACTGAACCATCACTGGCGCGGAGGAATCTGTGAGCCTTCAGCGCCGAGGCTCTCGGGCTCTCACGTGTATGCAGCTGTGTATGCTATCTGCATCGACCCACCCGTTCCCACTGATCATCCTGCCATTCCGGTCCCTTCCCGCGCGGCGAGTATGGAGCATATGGAATGTCCTAACGATCAGGATGCAGAGTCGAGCTGGTGGCCCTTTGTCACTCCGTGGCGAACTCACGATCCACGTTTCAGCTGGCTGAGCTGGCTGAGCAGCGCAAGGTCTGCGCGTTTTAGACACGCAAAGATGAAGTTCCCCTGAGGAGTGGAAAGGATTGTCATGACACATCGGAGCTGTCCTCACCATCTATCAGCAAATCAGACTCGATTGGACCTCACCTTGGCTTTTCTGAACATACTCTTGCCTCTCCCGCCACCTATATTATGGCGAGCAGCCGTCATGCACCCTCGCTCACTCCAGCTTCTGTACCAACCTCGCGCCTCCTACCAGAAGACATCCATCGGGCTCTAAGTGCCCTTCACCGGATCTACGGTGACTTCGACGGGCACGAAGCGTTCGATCCAGACGCTACACCGTGGCCCGGGGATCCTCGACCGGGACCGCGAATATGGCGGATCGCTTCTGACTTGAGCCGGATGTCTGATGCTCAGTCGGAGTACACTGCCCAGATGAAGGTGTGCAGTGATCGTGACGCGCTGCGAGTTCTGTACAGCCGCTTCGAGGTGCCATATCCACCCGAACAGCCTTCACTCCGAGCTCTCAGCACCACAGACACCCTCCAACTCCTGTCTCTGCCTGGGATGACAGCCAGAGACGTCCGACCGACCGCGACCCTCTGGCTGCTCGCTCGCCACTTCGTCTCACAGCTTCCAACCAAATCAGCGCGTCTGCAGAGACGAATGCTGGATGCTTTGTTTCCAGGAGATCGAGATGCGGAAGGGCTCAGCGGTCTTGCGACGGATCCACCGGTACCTGATCTGCCTCCTCACGTGGGAGAGGATAGCAGTCTTGCTACACATGTTTTGCTTCAGGCACTCATCCCTGTCGCTCGGTACTCCAGCCGCTGGGGAGGGACTTCTTCTTCTACCGAGGTGTAAGGTATGGTTCTGTTGCGACATGTATACATTCAGTGTCTAGCAGTATACTTGAGAGGTAGGACGCTGCCAGCAGTATATAGGAGACCCGCCGTGTGCCTCATACGTGCGGCATCAGAGCAGAAAACATCAGCCTCGTGTTCAATATAACTAGACGGTATACCACTGAAGATATCAATACATCATACTACGACCTGCTGTGGTGCCAAACCATACTCTATACAAGCGACCCTCTCAAAGCTCATCTATCTCCGCATCCAGCCCCGAGTCCTCACCAGCATCCGCCCTCCCCGCCGCCCTCCTCCCAATCACACTAAGCACGCCCACCAGTCTTTCCTTGGCCTCCTCAAACCGCCTCATCTCCCCCTCCATCTTCTGTACAGCCTTATCCGCCTCGTCCTCCTCGTTCAGCTCGACCACTTCCTCTTCTTCTTCCTCCTCATTTACCCTCGACCCCGCCACTGTGTCCAAGCCAACAAATTTGCATTCCGAGATGACGAGCCGGAGGTCGGCTGTGGCCCGACCGATAGCGCGGGCCTTGTCCGCCTTGCTTACTCCGCCGAAGGAAGCGCCGCAGGTGTACAGCAGCGTCACGTAGGCGATACAGACCAAAGCGAGCTTGTCGAGCGCAATAGCGTTCTGCGGGAGGGCAGAGAGGCGAAGCCGGTCTTGTGCCACGACAGACTGGGCGGCGCCGGGGTAGAGTAGGTCCAGCATCGACGAGACACTGGACAAGCCCGCTCCACCGCCATTGATCTCTTCGCCTGCGAGAGCAGAAGCCAGACTGGCCTGCGCTGAAGGTGCGGGACCGGAGAAGACGCCCCATAGACCGATGAGGACCAAACCGAGGGCGTGCGCCGCCGTGCCCCTCGACACGCCCAGCATGGTGTCCCGGATCTCCTGATCGAAGGTGGATAGGTCCGCTTTGAGCGATTTCGAGCTGAGGTTGTCGATGAGGGCAGTGACGGAAATGGGGAGAGAGGTGTGGGAGATGGTAGAGTCGACAAGACGGGTGAAGAAGCGCGAGTAGAGGTCGTTCAGGTGAACGAGGGTGATCTGCTCGGCGATGGCGGGGATGGGGGATGAGGTAGTGGGGAGGAGGGCGAGACTGTTCTTGGCCTCCTCGAATGGGAGAGCGAGGACAGCTTGAAGAGCCGCCGGGTCTTCGGCGGATAGACGAGCGCGTGCCTGCTGCCATGTCGCCGACGGAGACGGTAAGAGTCTAGTCTCGGGCTGAGTGAGAGCGAGAAGCGCGAGGGCGTAAGGAGTGGTAGCTGTCCGCCTGAGCTTCATGGCGAGATGGAGCCGAGCGAGCGCCGTAGGCTGCGCGGCTGCAGTATCAGCTTGATCCCGAACATCGCGGCAACTCAGACTCACCTTTCCCAAGCACCTTCGCACCATACTCCACCCATTCCTCATCTTCCTCCCCTTTGATCCGCAATCCAAGCTTGACCGCGTCCTTACCCATCTCAACCAGATCTCCAGCGGGTACATGTTCCTCCTCGCCTTTGGTCCACGCCCTGATGATCGGGCCCAGTACCAGAACCAGCACGGCCGCGACCAACAGCCGCCAGGTCCAGTCCACCATCACGCCAGGTGTAGGCACGACCGCCGACGGGAGGACCTTGGTGAAGACCCGATAGACATGCTCGGCCGTGATGAGCGGTAGGCGGGAGATGACCTGAGTGGGTGTCGCCTCGCCCGAAAGCACGTGGCCGGGAGAGATGTCGCCGACGGGTTGATGCCGGAGTAAAGTAGATGCGGACGGGACGAGCGAGAACGACATGGCGAACGCCGCAAAGACCCTGACGCCATTCCCGCTCGACTCTGCCTCAGCCTTCTTCTTCTTGCCGGCCGCACCGCCAGCAGCAGGACCCCTCTTCCTCTTCTTTGGCGCCTCATCCTCCGACTCAGAATCGGACCCATCCATCTCAATGACATCCATCTCCTCCTTCTTGACCTTGGCAAAGGCAGCCTGCCGCGCAGCCTCCCTCGCGTCAAAGTCTGTTCGCCAGCGCTCCAGATCCGCCTGACCGGCCACGCCTACCCGATACGCCTCGAGCTCGTCGATCTTGCGCTGCATTCCCGTGAGCCGGCTCTGCAGCAGCTCGATATACAGCCGAGCACCGTTGAGAATGGTGGCCTTGGCCGAGGCGTTCGGGCGCGAGACCTCGCCGAGACCGTCGACCGTGCCGTCCGCCGCCCGGAAGTCGGTCGTTAGCTTCTGCTCAGCCGTGGATGTGCCATAGTGGACTCGAAGAGCGGGAACGGCATCGCGAAGCTCGGCTTGAGCGACCTGGACCTTTTGGCGATATCGCCGTTCAGTCTTGTTGTGCTTGCCGCCAGCTTGTTCAGGTGGTGAAGTAGACTCGCCGGATGCTGCTGGACGAGCAGACTTTGGAGGCCTGCCTTTCCGTGGTGCAGCGGGTGCGGCTGGCTTGGCCAATTCATCTGACAGTCAGCTCGATACTCAGCCGTGGCTGAAAAGGACACTCACTTATTGCTGGCGGTAGAGTAGGCGGTATGATCCCTCCCCAGTTCTGGGCGCCCTGCATCTGCTGGTACTGCGTCGCTCCCTGATCGGGGGCACGGTTCATCCAGCTTGGCGGAATAGCCTGAAGCTGGCCATTCTGCGCCACCGCACCCTGCTGCTGCGCCCTCTGCAGCGCCTGGATTTGTTCCGCCTGAAGCATCTGCTGCCGCCTGACCTCCTCCAGCTCCCGGTTCGCCGCCGCCCTCGCCTGCTCCGCCGCATCCGCGACCCTGCGCAGCTCCTGTGCCGACTGCGGCTGGGCGCTGTAGTTGTTCTGGAGCATAGGGGGATTCGATGTGGACTTGGGAGAGGTGAGGTTGGAGAAGTCATGGAGGTTGTGAAAGGCATTGCCGGACATGGTACCGTTGGAGGTAGGGTTCATGTTGTATTGCTGGGGTTGTGGGTATGATGGTTGCTGCTGCTGGGGTTGACCGTATTGGAACGACCAGTCCTTGGGCAGATGGAAGACCGGTTCCTGTGCGCCCACGCCTTTCCCGCCCGCTCCCTCCGCGCTCGTCCCCAGCATCAACCCCGGATCCTTGAATAGCAGTATATCCAGATCATCCTGGCCGAAGTTCAACATGAAATCGTCGGCCGTTTGCGCTGCCCCGCCTGAAAAGTTCGAGCGGGGGCTAGCGGACGAGAACGAGTGGGGTGGTGAGAGACCCTGGTTGGACGTGTTGGAGAAGCCCGAGTTGGAGTTGGCCGATGCGGAGAGATAGGATGGGGACAGGGAGGGGACCCGAGAGCCGGGGAAAAGCGAGCTCTGGAAAGCAGCAAAGTCGTCATCGTCCATCCCGCCGGCGGTACTGAGACCGCCGATAGAGCCGCGATGAGAAGTCGTGGAGGGACCGCCGTAGTTCTCCATGGGGAACATGCTCTGCTGAGGAGAGATGAGCGAGTCGTCAAAGGTGTCCTCGGGACGGGAGTTATATATTGTTGACATGGTCGGAGCTCCTGAGCTGCGGGAGACGGCGGTCGGGCTGCGTGAAGGGCCGGTAGCGTTGTACTAGCAACAGATGTAGCTTCTACCGGTGCGGGTCGCGAGTATGATATGTAGAAGGACAATAGATGTATGCTTGCACAGCAAGCAAGCAAGGATGAGATGCCTGGTCGAGTGAAATGATCGTCCCATCTTGCGTCGGACCACACCAACAAATAATTACCACTTGCGGTAATTCGGGGCCGGGTGGCGACAAGTCCGCCTTGAACGTGCAGCTTGAACTCGTACCATCTTGACGGACATATGGCCGCCAAGGGCGACGACATCTGTGTACCGCAGATAGATGACGCACCTTGCAGAGCAAAGGCCATGCTGAATCCCAAAAGATGCATCAGAAAGGCTTGTGCTTGAGCTCGTAAGCGAGCTGCTTCTTGGTCTTCTTCTTCTCCGCTGCCATGGCTTCTGCTCTCGCCAACTCCTTTGCTTTGACTCGCGGATCGATGACCTAGACACCATCAGCGAGACGGTCCCTGGCAAGGTGGAGCGAACAAGACTTACAGAGTACTCCTCCTCTGCTCGCCGCGTCAACTCCTTCTCATCCACCATAAACTTCAGACTATGCTTCATCCAGCCCACATCATCATCCACCTCCCCTTCCACATCCTTGACCGGCTCCGCTCCCATTCTCGACGCCCCAAAGATCCCATCTTCGCCATTTTCCACCTCATCCACGTTCCCTCTTTCCTCCGCGTCGAGCCTATCCGTCTCCTCGTCATCTACTACCTTCTTGACCTTTTGACTGAACATGGACATGGCCTCAATCAGGTCATCCTCCTCATCTTTTCGGCCTTTCCGGTTGATCTGTCGTTGTTTCGCGGCGAGGCCTTTGTTCTTCGAGTACTTGGCGAGCTCTTCTTGAAGGTAAGAGGTTCCCTTGCGCCGTCCGTCATCCGAGTCAGAGTCAGAGTCGGAGTTTTGGCCGGAAAGTTTCTTCAGCTTTCGAAGGTCGTCTTGCATCCGCTTGATCTCGGCTTCTCGGGCGGCACTGCGCGAGTCAGCTAAGGTCCTTGACTTTGCATACCGAAGGCAAGTGCCGACTCAGCACTCACCTATCGCCAAGCCGGTCCCGCTCATGTTGAGCCCTGATATCCTTCAGATCCACCTTCGCCTTCTTTACCTTGCCCTGATCCTTATCCGCTCCAAGATCCTGCAGTGATGGCGGCAGATCGACAAAAGACTCGACGGCTTGCTTCTTCTTTGGCCGCTCATCCAGCGTCTCCACTACTATCGAGGTCAGCTGTATCCTCACCCTACCGCTCGCTAGACAACAACTCACAGTCTTGTCTGCCCATTCCCTTCTTCTTGACCGTCACCGCCTCCTCTGGAATCTCTTCCGCCTCTCCGAAACTCAGCAAGCCAGTGTTCCTAGTATGTCAGCTCAGCTCGTCAGGTCGTCTGAACCCCGTAGGCTCACTTCTTGGCCTTGGCGCGCTTCTCCCTCACTTCGCTCTCCCGCTTCGCCTCCAGCCTCGCAGCTTGCTGTGCACGCTTTTCGGACGCTGTGATACGAGGGACGATATCATCGAATGGGTTCTCGACAATCCGGATGCCGCGGATCTTTGGTGGTCTACGAGATCAGCTGCCACTCAAGCATCAAACGGCTCACAACAGCTGGGAATGATGAGGCAGGACATACCGCTTTGGCTTCTCATCCGCGTCAACATCGAGCTCGCCTATACTGAGTACATCTAATCTGTCAATATACCGCTATTGCCACTGCGTTTCCCCTTCCACGATGAGCTCACTGTATATCGTATTCCCCATGATCCGCCCAAAGACCGTATGCTTCCCAGTCAACTCGTTCGCCGCATCCAGCGTGATGAAGAATTGTGATGTATTCGTCGACCGTTTCCCGCTATTGGCCATACCTATCAGACCTCGCCTACGGGATTAGCTTGAGCTCAATGGTGGCAATATGGTAGCTTACCGGCTGAACTTCAGTCGCCCGTGGATCTCATCTGCGAACGGCTCCCCATATATGCTCTCTCCGCCTGTCCCTGTCCCCGTCGGATCACCAGTCTGGACGATGAAGCCCTTGACGACTCGGTGGAAGATGACGCCATCATAATAGCCTGTACAGCGGTCAGCGCCCGTCCCGTAAAGAGAGTTCTCGACTGTCGTCCTGGTATATCCAGGTAGAGAGCGAGCTCAACATACCTTCCATAGCAAGTTGTAGGAAGTTGCGAACAGCCTTAGGCGCTTCTTTGCCCCATAGCTCCATCTGTCCGATCAGCTGAGCACCGCCGTAATAGCCTGGACAGGCTTACTTCGACCTCTCCTGAGGTGGTATCGAGGATAACCTTTCCATTGGGTACTGGCTACGCGCAAGTCAGCTCTCAATAAAGGAATAGCTAGAGATCCGTCGGCGCGAACACACCTCGGTGACATATCTGCTCGGTCAGCGAGGCCCTGCCTGCCAGTGATTTTACTTCTGGACTCACAGATTACTCATGTCGTCTCCTTGGGCCTACGTAGGGCGACTCTATAGCTGCTAGGTTGTATGAGCAATGTTGTCGGTGGAGATGGACGTTGTGGGCCCCGCACTTTTAGGTGTGCCACATTGGGATAAACAGCGGTAAATCCCGCTCCGCGGCTTGGATGCTGCTGTGCCCGCGCGACTCCTATGACCAACGTACATCGCTAGACGATACAAGACATACTGAGTCTCAGCCTAGATAGCTCGCAGCTCATATCGAGTACAGTAGTAGGAGATCTCGTTTAATCAGTCAAGACTCCCGTTTTCGACTCGGCAAACCCTCTTCTCCCGCTCCAGCTACTTCCTGCCTCGTCGCGTCCTCAACATCAGTACACCTTGACCATGACTGAAGGCCTGACAAGACGGCGCGGAGCCGGTCAAGGTGACTCTGTCGACCTCGGCTCACCTACCGGCCAAGCCTCGCGGAAGCCGGCCGCGAGCGTGCCAGCCAACAACACGACCGGCTCTTCCGGCGGATCAGGCGCGATGGAGGGACGGGGCAAAGTCGCCTTTGATAAGCGGGACTTTGAGAACGGGAATGAGGCTGGAGGAGATCCCAAATTGACAATCATGGAGGAGGTGCTGTTACTAGGGTTGAAGGATAAGGCTGTATGTGTCTCTCAGCCTCTGGAAAACCGCTCGGGCTGATGTTCAGGGATACCTGTCGTTCTGGAACGACAACATCTCGTATGCCCTTCGGGGGGTAATCCTTATCGAACTCGCGCTCCGGCGGCGGATAGCGATGGTTCGGGATCCATCGCGGCGCAGACTGGCCCTGTCGGACCGGCTGATCGAGGTGATTGATGAGAGACAAACGGGCGAGACGATTCTGGATGAGGCGTTGAAGATGATGAAGAGTTCGGAGAAGTATGGAGCGGGTGCTTGGGTAGATCTCATGTCGGGTAAGCTCGCCATCCTTCTGCTAGCGTGGCTGAGCTGACGTCGCAGGCGAGACATGGAATATTATGAAGATCGGATATCAACTAAAACAAGTGCGGGAGCGGCTCGCCAAGGGACTGGTGGACAAGGGCGTACTGCGGACGGAGAAGCGCAATTTCGTGCTATTCGACATGGCCACCCATCCCGTCGCGGACCCAAATGTCAAGGAGGAAGTCGTATCGAGGGTGTTGTCACTGGTCACGGCGCAAACGACGGCGATACCGCCAAAAGCGCTGCAGAAGGAGGAGGTGCGGTATCGGCATATGCGCGCAGTGGTTTTGGTCTGTGCGGGTGAGTGATTGCAACTTGGTCAATCTGGATCTTTGCTGACCTGTAGCGTACGCTGCATCCGTCCTCGAAAATGCCTTACAACGGCTATCGTATGACTCCCGCGAGGCCGCTTTCCAGCGATGCGACGACATCCTCGCTGAGTTCTGCGTCTGGCCATTCGGGCAGACGGTCGCAGCATCAGCAGGCCCAGTGTCGATCGGGGGCGGACCAACGCGGAAGCGCGAGGGCGGAAGCGGGTCAGGCAGAGAAAGCGTGCAGGAGCTGGTACGGAAAGTACGGGAGGAGATGGCGGCGGGCGTAGCCGCACCAGCAGCAGGTCAGCCGGGAGCGGGTGGGAAGCAGGAGGGCGAGGAGGACCCCTGTTTCGAGGTAGTTGCGACTGTTTTGGAGATCTTTGGGCGGATGGATAGCTTGGTAAGTCCGATCTTGGCGTGGTACCTTGAACGGGCTGGGGCTGACCACTCAGCTGTAATTTGGTATCGGATCATGCGGAGAAGGAGAGCGATGCACATAGATGACGAGGTGGCCTTTGCTACAAGGCGGGAGGAGATTACGATGATAATTATGAGGGGATGAATGTTCTACTTATCACTAGGTTCGGTGTCTGCAACATCAGCAACAAATCTGACAGGCGGTGAATGTCGGTCTGAGCTCACAGACGGCCATTGACTGTTCGGAGGATTTCCAGGCCGGAGGGGTGGTAGATGTGACATCCTCCAGGCGATAGTGGACAAAGATCAGAGCAGACATGGGCAGATGGTGCCAAAACATGATATGCCGACCGTGCCATGAGAGTCATTAGAGATTGAGATCATGTTCAGGTTGAGGTGCAGGTTGAAAGTAATATCCATAAGATGTCTATGCTGAGATATAGGAAGATACAACAAAAATCCCTAATAAAGATCTACATTTGATAGTTGGCAAAGTACTCCTGGTTCCCCATGACCGGCGTGTAGAACACGTCGTGCTCCACCATTGGCATCCCAAGGCCCATGCCGATCCCCAAACCCATCAACTGCTCTGGCGCCTTTCGGTCGGTGCTGGGCATCTCAGGTGCAAGAGTGGGCGAGACCTCGTAAGAGGGTGGTGAGGGGGTGTAGAGGGTGGGCTGACCGCTAGATGACCCGGAAGAGTAGAGCGAGGGGGTGGAGTGAGGGGTGTAGTAGGTGGTGGGCGTAACGGGAGGGGAGGAGTAGGGGTACGAGGCCGTAGCGAGGCTCGAGTTGACCTGGATCCCGAGACCCTTGAAGCTGAGGGGTGGTGGGCGGAGGTGGGAAGGCGCTGCCGAGGTGGAGGGGGTCGACATGGGAACGTAGGCTGAGGGGTACTCGGCTTCCATCGAGCTGCCGCGAGACTCGGGAGGTGTGAGGGGGAGAGAGGACATGGTTGGGACCGAGGGCATGGGGGTCGACATCATCTGATAGTGCTGAGTGTGGACCGGAGTGACGGGGGGGGCAGCGAGGTAGGCATTATGGTAGGGGGTCTGCTCGAGCACCGAGGGGAAGGCGCGGCTTGGGGTGTACGGCGCCGAGACGGGTGCAGGAGCCGGGGCGGGGACCTCGAGGCTGGGAACAGGCAGGGCCGCCGACCATCCGTTGTACATCCATGCCGAGCTCTCGAGCTGAGCGGGAGAGTTGAGGAGAGGGGCAGAGGGAGGGTGGGTCCACGATGCCGACTCGTAGCTAGGCGCCGAGCTGGTCCGACGGTGGGACTGGTAGGCAGGGCGCGAGGGAGTGGCCATGACGGGCGCGGGGGCGGTAGCGATGTAAGGCATGTCGAATGTAGGTACATCGAGGAAGTAGGGAGAGTAGGCCGGCATGGGGGATGGGACGGGGAGAGCATTGTAGCTGAAGGTGGGGATGGAAGGAGTGGCTGGTGAAGGAGCGGGCTTGACGGTCTTGGACAAGGCCTTCTTCTCACGCGTAGCGCGGTTGACCTCCTCCGGGACGGGGGTGTACTCGCACTGCCGACCTGATCGAGTGCAGTTGCGGCAAGGTGCGCCTCCACAGCATCGGATTTTACTGAAAAGGTCAGCTCATGTTCATGAAGGCCAGGCTAAAGAAAGGACTTACCGGTGACGACAGTACTGGCAAGCCATAGAGATGCGCTGGCGCCGGGCCGAAGACGACTCGGCGTTGACCGAGAAGGACTCGAACCCGTCGAGCATGGGAGAAGGAAGAAGGGTAGCGGTAGTGGGCTGCATAGTAGCGGGTAGGTGTGGGAGAGGTTGTGTGGTGGAGTGAATGAGGAGTTGTAAGTCTGTGAGTTGAAGGTTGGTCGGGAGAGGCGGGTTGATGGGGAGAGGAGGCGGGAAGGTGGGCAGTATATATGTGTTTCTGAATGTCTGCCAGTCCACCCACGGCCGTCCGGATGCTGAGCTAGGGTCGAGCGGGTGTCTCGGGTTTGACAATCGACAGCTACACTGATGAACGGGTCCCGAGAGGTCCAAAGCCGACTACTGTAAGGGCTTTGCGGGAGTGCTCGGCGGCTGACTCTTTCGCTGATCAAGGGGGCAGATCTGTGAGACATGGATGTCTCGGCTGTACTGATCGACCGTGTGCATGGTAGGGTAGTCGCTGTCTCAGAAAGATAAGAGAGGCGTCACCAAAATCCCTCGCTTTCCCTGCTCTTTCCCGTGTTACGTTATGATCCCGGTCTACCGGCATGCCGTTAGATGTCTCACCCTGGTCCGAGCGCTTCCGGGCACTTGGACGACGCCCTGACGAGATGAAACGCTTACGAAGTAGCCAGCGGAAAGCACCTGAAGGTAATCTCAGGTACTCCCGAAGATCTGGTAGCTCGGCTTAGCTCGTGCATGGGCAGCTGCATCAGCCAGCATGGGGAATGGCAATTAGCAGATCTTTCGCGTTCCGGATATGCCGAGATGATCGGCCGGTCGTTTCAGAGAGCCGGCGGGGGAATCAGTTTCACAATCTGACCCAATGACGCTGAGTCAGATACTCGGACCCCACCCGCATACCTAGAAACAGATGCGCATTGACTGGATCTGATCTGAAACAGCTGCTCCGTGTAATGAGGCAGTATAGGTGACACGGACACTTGAATGACCTCAGTGCGATGCATCCATCAACGGATATAGTAATTCACTCAGACATATGAACAGCGAAACGCATGGGCTACCTGACGTCGTACTCAGCCGAGCTCGTGCGTCGGTAGCAGAATGGCTTTGGGGTACATCCTACATCCCTCATCAGCCTGCGTGCTGGCTGACTAGCATCCGCCCTAGTACGTTCGTTCTTCGCTTCCCAGTCCTGATCTACGCCGCGAACGGGAATGCGGCGGAAGCTGCCAGATGCATAACTCTGCATATACCTGCCCGCCTCCAGCGCCTCATAGATCGACGTCACAGCGGCCATAGTAAGCTTAGCTGATAATCTGGAGGCAGGCACTCCCGGGTCCGGTCGGCCGAGCCGTAAAGGAGTCGCAAGGGTCCCGAATCTGGTCAGATCTGACCGGCTTTCCGGCATATCTCGTAACAAGTTTCGCTCCGTTCAAATTTGTGTGCGCGTTTCAGATTACCCTCAGGGTCGATCGCCACCCATATTCGCGGCCATGACGCCCCTCAAATCCCTCGAAATTCCGCCAGGACGCCAAGTGCGCTGTGCAGTCCAGATTGCTTCGAGCGGAGGGCCTGCATCAAGTCACCGGGCCAGTCGCCGCATGAGAGTCCAGACGTTTCACCATAATGTGACGAACGGCCGAGCAGTGGTCCGTAGCAATCACCAGCTAATTTACCCCGCTCAGGTACCCTGATGTCTCGGATGCCTTACGATCCATCGGCCAGGCCGAGATCGTCGTGTCCTTCGGACTAGTCCTTCATGTAAATCACCCGCTCGGCCCTACTAGCTCGTGTTTCAGCTCAATAGCGCATGACCGCGCATGGTACCAGACGCTTGGCTCATCTTCACGAACTACTGAATACGTAACCAAGATGGACGCCGGTGTAGCGGGCATCGCCACGTCGCCACGCATGCTTCGAGCCCGCGGTATAGCAGCAGGACAGATGAGCCACGCAGCTAGACATCTCATCCGTGCATTTACGTGCAGTTGACAGCAGTGCCATGGGCATGCAGAGCTGTACGAACTCTGTGGCGCTGAACGATCGGATCGAGCTGTGCGAACCTGTACGAAACAGCTACGAAACAGCACTTCATGTACGAAACAGCATTACGAAGGTGCAGAAGGATTCCTGACCGTCCCTGCCGGCATACCCTACTCATGCCCTCGTTCCTGAAGCTGACCTAGGCGTGCGTTTCTCGAATTCCGTCATGCTGAAAGTCTGATATTCCGAGAGGTTTGCTCATACCTACAAGGATCTAATCCTCCCTAGTGCTTACAACGACGTCGCCAACCCTGTCCGATGTCTCCCCAGCAGCCGATATCTCGATGGATGGCGATACGGGCGATGTAGGCGATGAGGAGCTAACGTCTCCTGATCCGCTCCTGAGCATCTGGGCGCCCAATCGCACGTCGCCGGCGGGAGATGGGGAAGGGGGATCGTGCGAGTCCGCAAAGTCATCCAATGCGGCGGTGCTGGGGTTGAAGAGGTCGTCGAGCATCTTTTGCGCCAGACTGCCGTAGTCCGACTCGTCGCCGATGGAGGGGAGCATGAAGTCGGAAAAGTCGCTATTGGCAGGGATGGGGGATAGAGGGGGTGCAGCGGCCCGGCGTTCCCGCTTGACCCTGGGAGTACCCTCGAGCTTGAGGCGCTGGAGGCGGGCGTCGATGAGATTGCCTTCGACGGACGCGCCTGTGGGTTGTGGGGATAGTGCGGCTCGAGCGGCGGCTCTGCGGTCTCTGGCGGTGGCCTCTTCCTGTTTTTGGCGGTTGGCGAGTCGGCAGAACTGGAGTCAGCTATATCCTAGGCGAAGACGTACCTTGTACGAGCTAGTGAATGTCCGGAAGATGCCAAAGAACTCTTGACTGGGAATAGGCCTGCCCATCTCCTCCCCTTCCCCGTAGTACGTCTGAACATCCCTCAACGCCGCCTCTGCCTGTATGATCCCGTCCCTCAGCTCCTTCAGCTCCTCTTCTGCCACAGCGGCGAAGCGGAACATCTTGCGCGTGTAGCCATCCGTGCTCGCCTCGAAGTTGTCGCTGAGGGATCGGCGGATATAGCGGATCTCCTCGAGCATTGTCCGACTCGTAGACTGCATGTCTTGGAAGTTGACTATCGGTCAGCTCATCCTTAGGCCTGAAGAGCAAACTCACCTCTGTTCGCATCCGACGGCCTCGCCAGCTCCTCCACGAATCCCTCCAGCTCCGGAAAGTTGATGCTGACCTGCCGTTCCAGGAAATGCAGCAGGTTCTGTCCGCTGCTCGATTTGGTATCGACCAGCCGGTTGATCGAGGCGATCTTGAAGCCGAAGGCGCCACCCGCAAAGTTGGTCCCGTTCATGTAGTTTCCAATGTGCAGAATGAGCTGGCAGAGGCGACGGAAGAGAGGGGCGTTCTGCAGATCGGTACAGGCGGCGATGAGGAGATCGAGACTCTGCTTGAGCAGTTCGATGTTCTGGGGGAAGCGGACCTGGAAAAGCATGCCCTTGACGCGGTCCGAGAGGTGAGGAAGTTGGATGAGGCGGACCATGAGTCGATCGGCGGGATGAAGCAGCTCGAGCTCGGAGGGTGTGTCGGCGCTGTGTGTGAGAAGCTTGCCGCGCTGAATGTCAGCGAGGTATAACGCAATGTTTAGATCGTAACTCACATCGTCGTCATTCGGCAGGACACCTTGGAGCTCCCGGAGGAAGGTCTCGCTACACAGATCCTTGTCAAAGTCCGCGATAGCGTCCGACAGCTTTTCTGGCGCCTTGTTCTTTGCAGCGGTACCAGCCATGAGAATTTCTATGATCAGCCGAGCCCGAGTAACAACTCACCTATTCGTTTCCGATGCTCTGGACCCAATACCGATTGCAATTCAGACTCCTTCTTCCGTTCTGCTCGTTAGCAACATTCTGATCAAACACTCACTGACTGCATCCCGGATGATCTCCTTTGCCTTGAACTCGTCCTCCATCTCGGACCACAGGTTCACCGCCTGCATCTTCCCCATGAGCTCATCCTCCGTTGTCGCCGTCTCACCCCATACCGTCTTTGCCAGCTGCGTCTTGGAGACCTTCTCCCATTGAAGCTGCTTCATCTTCTTGCTCGCCATGAGTGGCACATCCTTCCTGCTGTCATTGGCGCCGTGGAGGAGAGACGTGATGGGTGCGAGTGGGGCGCGAGAGGCAAGGTGGGAAGCGAGATTCTGCTTGGGCTTCGACGGGGGTGAAGGTGGAGTACCAGGTTGGGCCGAAGTCTTGAGTTTGAATCCGCCCTTGATTCCAGCGAGAACGCCGGCCATGCCCACCACGCTTTGTGCATGGGCAGCGCGGGTGGTCTTGGCGGAGGGATTGATAGGAGCGGAACTGGAAGCGACCATGCCGCCAGGCGGGGGAGGCGGGGGTGGTGGTGGTGGAGGAGGCGGTGGTGGTGGTGGAGGAGGCGGTGGTGGCGGGGGAGGCGGAGGCATCTCGGCCGATGACTTGGCCGAGTATCGCTCAGGCGTCTTGAGCATCTCGTCGTCCTCAGTGACCGTACCGAGCGCGCCTTGCAGGGGTGGCAGGAAGTCCTCTGTCTCCTCGGATCCTGCCCGAAGGCTCCGAGCCCGACTCAGCACCTGAGCTGCGAACGAGTCTCGCATGCGAGCCGACTGGACGGGTGTCCGCAGCTCAAAGTTGGAGCCGGACGAGGTATCGCTCTCCAGTCCGCTCTCGCGATACGTGCTCTTCTCGAACGCATCGTCCAGTAAGCTGACGGTCGGCGCTGAGGCCGAGCGGGACAGATGGCGATACTGTAGCTCTGCGAGCAGACGAGCGGGTAGTCTGCCTTGCGGGAAGCGGTGGATGGACTTTTCGCCGATAGGCGGGGCGTCCGGACCGCCTCGTCGTCGAGTGGGCGTATCACCACCTTCTCGCGGCCGAGTGCTCCGAAGCGAGCCTGTTTGTACTTTGGGTGACTGACATCAGCGATATAAGACGTGCCACTCACGATATGGTCCGAACCCCTGACAAGAGCATCTTCGATATGCGCCCGGACATCGTCATCCGCTGCGTCCAAGAACTGACTGCCCGATATCGCCTGCCTCTTGGGCGCCTTGGGTAGCTCCCCAGGTGTCGCCCGCTTCATCACCACCTTCTCTGCCTCCAGCACCTCCCCTTCCTCCTCGTCATCCGCCGCTGCCCCCTTCTTGCCTTCCCCTCCCTCGAGCTTTTCGATCGTCTTCTTCCGATGCCACTGCTCCCGCAGATCATGGATGAGCTTGGCGCGATTGATCGGTCCCTGATCCAGTCCCGCCACAGTATCGAGATGACTGGTCTCCCGGAGCATGTTGAATAGCTCCTGGATGATCAACTCGAGATCCGCTATCCGGGCCTCGTAGTCCCTCTTGGTCCCCTCGAGCTGATCCCGCAGAGCATCTGTTGCTGCCCGAGACTTGTGAAGCTTCTCCTCGAGCTCGTGTACCTGGGCCTTGAGCTGCCCAACGAGGCCATCGTTCCCGCCTGCCATCTCATCCGCCATATCCGCCTTTTCCCGATCCGCACGTGAAACCGCCGCCCTGAGCATCTTGATCTCCTCGGTGGCCTGCTCCATCCTGTCCTGCTCGACAAACTTGCCGATGAGATGGGTGACCGAGATCCCGAATGCCCGAGAAAAGTCGTAGCTCATCTCGGGCGTATCGCTGGTGACGATACTGACGATTAACCGGTCGATGAGCTGGAAGAAGCGCACAAAATCGTGGTCTTGTCGGATGAGCAGCATGTGCCGCATAGCGTCGAGAAGGTACGCGCTCGCCTTGGTTCCGCGGGTGTTTTGTAGTAGCGCCCGGAAGACGTCCTCGGGTGCCCGCATGGAGTGCAGCACAGTCTGCTGTTGCTCCTCCATCAATTCGCGCCGGTCTGCCTCCGCTTCCTCCTCGTACCGCTGTATCAATTCGGTGATATTTGGATCCCGCCATGGCCGAACCTTGTCGAATATGGCGACGAGGCCTGACGATTCCAGTTGAGCACGGACGGAACACCGGGACCGTAATTGATTGCTGGACGACATGAGCTGAGCGAGGTACAGCATGAGATTCTGGGCATCAGCTATGTCCACAACGTGACTTACGCAGTACTCTTGCACGTGTATAGACTCCTTAAAGTCCTTCGACATGCCCACCATACTCCCCATCCTTCCCCGCCCGTCTATCGTTGCCTCCAACTGCCGCAGCCACATGTCGAATTTGCCAACCTTGTTGGACACGTCCGCAATAGCACTGTTCAGGGTCTGCTCGACATAGTCGAAAGCAACTAGGACCATTCCTAGCCCCTTGCGATCCGGTGACTCCTCGTCGAAGCTGCAAAAGAATATGAGCATTTCGGCGGCGAGCTTGCGGCATGGCTGATAGGGTGAGAGCAGAGAGGTGCAGATAGCGTTGACGATGGTGGGGCGGGTCATGGCGTCGTGCGCTCCGAGCTGTATTATCAGCTCCGAGCCAGGGGCGCGAAAGAGGTACCCACTTTATTGCTCAAGGACACCTTCATGCACTTCAGACACTCAAACTCCAGCTCTACATCCGCTCCACCTCGATTTGGCCGACTCGTGATATTGTTGAGATACTTTGCTAGTACCTCCTGACCCTGGTGGTCTAGCCAGTTCCGCATCCACCTGCATGTCAGCCTCATCTTTGGCTCGACATCGAAGCGGTACTCACTCTACAGGCTCCGTCCTCAAGCTGACACTGAGCTTGTTGAAGTGGTCCTTTGTGAAGCTCTGCGTCATGATCTTTCTCAAGAACCACTCGACCGAGTTCTTGAGCATGACCCCTTCTCCCCTCGCCTTGCCCGCCTTCTGCGCCTCATCAATCTTCCGCTTGGAATCGTGTGCCTTCCGTGCATTATCCGATATAAGTTTCCACTTCATATCCGTTGATATGCTAGCGACTTGACCGACGGCCGAGACGGTTGATGCGACGGAGGCGCGAGAGGAGAGGGTAGGGAGGTGCGCCGAGGAACCGAAATCCCGATCCTCTACCAGCCGAGCAAACATCTCCTCAACCTCGTCGTCTGACGGTCGAGGAAACGAGAAGGCCGAAGTAGACGGGGATGGTCCGAGGCCCGGGACAGCTGTGAATGCCTGCTGAGTTGGCCGGACTGGCCGGTTCATCGCATCGACCTGGAACGTGGGATACCGTCCCAGATCTCGATTTGGCTGAGAGCTAACGGTCGAAACGCTCCGTATTGACGACGTCTCCGGATCCCGCGAAGACTGCCGCCAGTCCGCAGAGGGCATTGGCGAGACGTAGCGCTGGCTATTGTACGTGCTCGCATCCGACGAGGGCCGCCGAGAATTCTCGAGCGGGGTGATTTGCCCGCTCGACCGATCTTTGCCAGGTAAGGGCGGACCATCCCTTCCGAGCCCCGAGTTGGTGCTTGGAGGAGAGATGAAGTCTTTGAGATTCTCGTATCCGTTGACATCTCGCCGTATGCTCTGGGTAGAAGGACCAGCGACCGGGAGACCGTTCGATTGAGGGAGTTGATTATATGGCACGCCGCCGAGACCGGCTGAAGGTGGCGGTAGAGACGAAGAGCCTGACGAACGAGAGCTCTTGCTTTTTCGGAACAGAGTGTCCATGGTGGTCTGGCTATCAGCCCTAGCCAAGCGTACCGGTGAAATAGCTCACACAGGTCACAACAATGTCAATGCGGAAATGTCAAACAGGGGAACCGGCTCGGCTCGCGCTCGTCTAGATCGAGAAAGGGGTTTCGTACATGGTCGGGCCGGCTAGCAGGTGCTTGATGGAGTAGCTGCGTGGGCTATGAGCCAGAGCCGGAGTAGGATGATATGAATGGGCGACGAGGTATGAGCACTGCAACAACAACCCTTTCTGAGCTCGGTACGCGCCTGGCCCACAGACCCAGTTGAGTGAATGCCGTAAAGCAAGATCGCCATAGGAGCGAAGCTTGCTCAATGGGTCTCTCCTCCTTCCATACTTCATCCGCTCTTACAAGCATGTCCTTTGACGCATCGCCGTGGGCAGCTCCGGCTGCGGAGAACGCTGCTGAGCCGACAGTAGCCTCAGCCTTGGAAAAGGAAAAAACCATCAAGGATATCATGACCCTACGAGATGGACTTCGCGGGCTGCTCGTCCGCGTCACCGAGGTCGAGGCGGATAATGACAAGCTCAAGCGGGAGAATGAGATGCTGGCGACATATGTGGAGAACTTGTCAGTCCTCCCTAGATCACTTGGCTGGGGCAAAGCTGACGAGCAGGACAAGAAACTCGGTCGTCGCTGCTGGTGCCAAGCGATAAACGCGCGGTCTTGATGCATCGCTCTCCCTCGCAGCGTCAGTCACAACCCTCCACAGCTACGAATGCCGTTCAAGAAGTGTAGCTGATAGCAAATAGTCGTTCAATATCAGGTCAACCCCTTCCGGCCCGAAGCTTTGAAGCACGGCATGCTCAATAGGTCGGATTGGCGCGAGAGAGCTAGGCCTCAACCCCGTGACAGCCTGTAGGCTCAAGAGGATATAAGCAAGGTGCTGCTGGCGCGGTTGTATGAGTGTATCCATAATGATGTTCGTGATGAAGTCGTAAAATCTGCTCCCTGCCCTCAATCGCTATCATCGCTCGGCGATCCTAGGAACGCCAACACAGCATCCGTCGCGCCCTGCGTGATCAGTCTGTGCCCCCGAGTCAACAGCTGACGAGCTTACCGGCTCTCTCTCTTCTCCGTCATCATCAGATCCCTCAGCTGCCGCCTGCGCTTTGGTTGCACGAGCAGCAGTCCTGCTCGGGCGACCAGGAGCGGATCTTCCTCGCTCAGCTTCGTACGCCTGTATATCCTCTTTGAGATCAGCTTTTACCCGACCGAGCTCATCGGGGTCACCCACTCAGCTCGGCCGCTTCTTCCTTATCCCTCTTGATGGTCTTTGCCTTGGCCAGAGTTGGCGTCCCCTCCATTCCGAGATCCGACAGTATCCGCTTCAGATGCGATATCTGCGACTTTGCCTAGAATCAGCCTCACGCCACCAGGTTATGGCTTACTGTTGTCATCCCCTCGAATTCCTTGGCCCTGGTCATCAGCTCTGCTCATGACATGGGACATGTCGACACACCATTTCTTTACAGTTCCACACCCATGTACGATCCGCTTGAGATCCGCTATCTTCCTTTCTTCCGGTGATAGCTGGCCTGTCAGTCTGAACGCCCACCTCAGCCATGAACGACTTACGCCCTCATTTGGATCTTTCCTAGTCCGTGGCTGCTTGTCAGCATGATCCCATAGCTCCTAGATCCTGAGATGGCGCACCTTCTTTCCCTTGGCTGCCTTCCCAGCCGTCCCATCGGTCGATTTCCGTTTCTTCTTCTCCTTGACCGGCGCGTCATATACGCTCGACATGTCCGATTCTTCATCTGACTCCGACTTGCTCGGCTCCCCTTCTGATACAGCCGCCACCTCCGGAGTAGGCTGACGCCGCTTCACCTTTGCTTTCGGAGCTGGTTCTCGCTCAGTTTTGACCGGCTGGGTGGATTTCTTTGTCTTCGAGGTTGATATCTTAGGGCTTGCTTTTGCTGCTTTTGGCACGTCTTGTACCGTAGACGAGAAAGCTCCATCAGTGTCATCATCCAGTGCTTCCTACTATATCAGCGAGCAGCTAGCCCTTCCGTGAGACAGGCATACCAGAGCCAAGTTGACCTCTTCCTTCACGACCTTCTTCCACCGGCCATCCAGCGCCCCCTCGTCCAGCCCCAGAATACGCGTCACTTCTGCCCGCGCAGACTGGAACGTAAACTCGCCCTTGTCCATGGCACCATCGGGCTCCGCTGCGGCCTGAACGAGGTGACGGACTGCGCGCTTGAGCTGAGGGAGTTTCGAATCGTCCATGTTTGAAGGAGGAGATGTAACACCAAAATTTCAAAAGTCGCGAGGAACCAAACAAACCCGCTTGGTGGTGCTTTCGGGGGAACCAATGCCAAATACAGCTAAAGCGGCAGCACAACACCAGAGGACACCATCTATATACATTGTCCATGATAGTACTGCAGATTCGTTACCTATGCTGCTCAGAAAAGAGCAGCCACCCCGCCAGCCACACCCGCTACCGCCACGCCGACCACCCAACCCACTCCCATTCCCTCCCACCGCTTCTTGCCAGCCGCCCTGGAGCTCTGCGCCGCCGCAGAACCTGACTGCTGAGTCCCTACAGTCTGCGTCCTTGACGCGCCAGTACCAGATGCTGCGGAGCTGGCGCTCGACCCGGTAACGTTGGACTTGGTGGACGAGTAGATGTTGACGTAGTTGATCTCAAAGTAGGCATTGTCGTACTTTTGAGCGGGCTCATTGATGACATAGGTGGTGTAGCTACTGGTCAATTGCGACCGCATCAGCTCGAGGGAAAGACGTACCAGGTCTGAGGGCTGACGAGGGCGGGGCAAGTCTCCTGAATTGCGTTCCCAGCCCAGTCTCCACAGAGCGTAATGGTCAAGGTCAAGGTTTGCGCTGAGATATCAGCTTCGGTGATGAAGATGTGAACGCATTAACTCACGTGTGAAGAGCTGCGCGATGTTACACGACGAGCTCGAGTAGGAAGCGACCGGTGTCCCAAGCGTGCTCGTGTCGATGCTCGAAGAAGACGCAGTCAGTGTACTCGGTACGTTGGAGCGCTACTTTCAGCTGGATTCGGAACGGGAACTCACGCTCATGAACCAGACTCGAATCCCATCCGACGCGAGCTCGGCGACATACACTCCTCCGCCAGCCGCAGCAAAGGCTGACCCGAACGAGTTTGCATTGTTGTCCTTGAAGAGACAGCCGGAGGCTCCTGCGCCTCCAGCGCAATTGGCCTGAGTGAGAGAGCCGGTCGTTTGGCCGATAGGAGTTGCAGTGCAACCGGATGCAGCATGGACGGCGATCTGGTTGCCTGATCGTCAGCTTTTCAGGCCATTTGACTTATCCGACCAGCTCACCCTGCTGTTGATTGATGCCTTCGACAATGTCGATCTCGCCTCCATTTGGCCAGTTCGGTCCCTCTGAATAAGTCAGCTTGGTCTGAAGGCACGAGGCAAGAGGAGCTCACGCGTCCAGAATGCCGGCCATACCGAGCATCCGTAAGGCATGTGCACGGCATCCATCACCCAGACCGTTCCCACCCCATACGCGCTCTTCGACAGCAGCTTGGGCGCGAACCGCTTGTCGTTGTAAGGGACGAACGAGGTGTTGTCAACTACGATCGATCAGCACCTGGAAGCATTCTAGTCGCGTCGAGTTAACTTGCCCTTCAGGATGGTGGTGCCCTTGCTGGTGGTGTAGTACAGGGATTGATTCGAAGGCTTGCCCCAGAAAACATCACCACTGATGATCGTCAGCTGTGCCGCTCTTGAAAACGGCAGAGGATCTTACTTGGTCGTATTGTCATACGCTGACGGATCACCATTCCATCCGTTCCTGTGATGTCAGGATCGAGCTCGGTCCATCCAAGCGGCTCGATCGAGGCTTACAGGAAATTCGAGCCACTCCAGCTCTCAGCGAGCGGGTACGTCGCTCCCAGGACGATAGGGAGCACGGCAAGGGCGAGCACAGCAGCTTTCATGTTGCGTGATGGCGGCGAAAGATGGAGATCCAGATATAAGAGCGATAGAGTGATGCTGGCGATCGGAAGAAAGGACAAGAGGCGATGTAGGAGTGTATAGGAGGACAGGGAAGCCGGCAAAGGAAGGACAAAGGATGAGGATGGAGAGGTATGGAAGCAGGAAGAGTAAACAGAGCTTTGGATGAAACTGCGAATTTAGACGCGAAGCATAACGATGCCGTAAAGTAAGGTTTCATCGCTTCGAGGGTCGCGCCAGGTCAAGAATGCTCCGCAAGGCCCGCTAGCATGGCAGACCTCGTCGCTGCGGCGACGCGTCAGTGTGTTCTTCACTCTGGTCTCGGTCTCAGCGCGGTATCAGTCCTCCTTGACCATGAAGCTATGATACATAGGGCCAAATCGCCACCACACAGCACCTCCATTTTGGTCGGCCGATCCGGTGCCTGACGCGGCCCTTACGTGTTTCGAAATGTCCGATCGCGAGAGGCTTGTCAGCGGTGCCAGTTATACGATTACGCTCATCTCTCTTTCCTACTGATTTCCTCGCAAGCTCTTTGCCCGACCACCATGCTCTCTCTCATCCTCTTGGGGGTAGCAGCCCTCACCTACCTGTTCAGACGATGCATCCTCGCGCTCATTACACCTGGCGGTATCCCCGGTCTACCCTCTTACCCCGATCCCATCCCCATCTTCGGCGACCTCCCACGAGTCGTCAAGTCTGTTAAGGCCAATCACAGCTTCCGGATCTTCTTTGACGGGGTCGGCAAAGACCTAGGACCCATCGCTCAAGTCAAGTTGGGGCCCGGAACGACCTTTGTGATTTTATCAGACTATCAAGAGATCGAATCCGTCTTTGCCCGTCATGCGGACTTTGACCGTGCGGCACAGACGACAGAGATCTTCGATCTCTTGATACCTACCGCGCAGATCTCGCAACGGACCAACACGATGTGGAAGCATCATCGCCGGCTGATCGGGTCTGCGATGAGCACCAAGTATCTGGGGATGACGGTCCCGAGGGCGAATGAGGCGGTGGATGAGCTGGTGGATCTCTTTGAGGCGAAGATCGACAAGTCGGAGGGCAAGCCATGGCAGGTCGAAGGGGATATGATTGCGGCCACCATGGTGAGTCCGCCGGCTAGATGCCACTGACGGGCAGGATGTGATTTGCGGGATGGCATTTGGAGATTCGTGGGGGATCGTACGGGACTTTGCGAGGGAGGTGAGGTCAAGCACACCAAAGAACGGAACGCTGGATGAGGCGATCTTTGCGACCGAGATGCCGCCGCTCGCAGTCAGTACGATCGCGCTTCTCGATGTAAGCTCTTCAACTCTGGCTCAGGCATCTCGCATAGGACTGATCATCAGTCTGTACCCGTTCAAGCCACCTTCCCGCGCCTGACCAAGCTCCAAACCCGTCTCTCGCCCACCTACAACCGCCACCGCCGCCTTGTATTCGGGTACATCGATACCAAGCTTGCGGAAGCCCGAAATCGGGCTGCTTCTCTGGGCGAGGCAGCAGTGGAGTTGGCAGACAATACGCTGGATATGATGGTCGCGAGGGAGATGAGGGGGGACACGATGACTGATGCGGAGCTCAAGGATGAGATCTTCCTGTGTGAGCGCACCGAATATGAGAGCAGGATCATGACTAACCCCTCAGATCTGGTAGCTGGGACGGAAACTTCCGCTGTCACAATGTCATGGGTGCGTTCACTCATCATCAAGGGCTGATGTCAGTGGTTCAAATTCATGACAAATCATCCCGATGTGCAGCACAAGCTTCGCCACCATCTTCAAGAAAGGCTTCCTCAGCCCGTCACAGCTGAGAGCCTCTCTCCCCTCAATGCCCCATACCTCGAAGCGGTCGTCCAGGAGACTTTGCGCTTGTCTCGTACCGCGGGCGGTACCACACGGCAAGGTATGTCCTCCTCCTTGCCTGTCTTGTTCTTCCCTAGACTAAAAAGCTGATACGCCAGCCAAAAGGGATACGGTCGTTCTAGGCCATGTACTTCCCAAGGGAACGACTGTCGTCATCCCATCAGCGTTCCAGACAGAGGAAGAAGGCAAGCCAGCCTGGTCCGGTCCACCCGACCAAACTACGAATCTTGACGGCCTGCGTTCAGGCGAGGCGCGCAAAGTCGGGTATTGGGCAAAAGGGACAGGCTTGAAGTTTGACCCGGATAGATGGATGAGGGACGGGCAGTTCGACGCGAATGCTGGTCCCTCAGCTCCGTTTGGTCTGGGTCAGCGCGGTTGCTTTGGCAAGAATCTGGCTGTGAGTAAGAGTAAAGGTCAAGTCTGACGAACAGTTGCTGGAGTTAAGACTATTGATAGCCCGCTTGACATTAGCGTTCTACTTTGCTCCGGTGGAGGATCGGCACAACTCGATGGAGATCTGGGAGACGATCACGGGCCATCCGCGTCAGAGCTTTATTCGGCCAGAGCGGTGGCCATCAGCCGAGTCGACTGTTTAGCTCCTTGTAGATGTTAGAGATGCATCCTGCCGTTGCAGCTACTGCAGCACCTACATCCGCATAGGTCTCAACCAGCTATCTGCGCGCTCAAACTCCTCGGCCACATTTGCAGCTACGATAGGTACAGCCGATCCGGGTGGCTGCTCCTTGACCAGCGTTCTGATCGCCACCATGATCTACTCATCAGCCACTCCCTTGTCATCTTAACGTAGAGCTCACGGTGTCCCAGAACCTGAATCCCCGCTCAATCTCCTGCCTCGGCTGCCTGACGCTAGAGAAGGACGACTCGATGAAGCTCAGCGCCTCATTTTTGGCCGCGATAGCCGCCTCGCTCTGGGCGTTCTCGGGCGTGATGGGCTCGCCGAGATGGAAGAGCGCGGCGTCGAGGTATGTCTTGGCGAGGATTCCGAACCCAGTGTTGACGTCTCCTTGGAAGGGGAGGCTGGTGGTGAGGTCGAGATAGTCATCCCTATTCCGCCTGGCATCGCCGGAGAGGACCATGTGGACGCCGATGGCCTCGAGGAGCTGACGCATGGATTTAGAGATGGCGCGGACGAACGAGTTGAAGGTGAGGAGTTCGCGCGAAAGGGGACCGGCCCATTGTTGTGCCTGGCATCAGCGCGATCAGCACGGCAGACTTACGCGGAACTGCAGAGGCAAAACACTGAGGCACCGCATGATAAGGAGAGCACTCCGCTGCTCATCTTCTTCCCCGTACGACGGCCCGCCAGAGAGAATCTCATTACCGAACCGAGAACCGTGGACGACGCCGGCGCGCAAGAGCTCCAGGACGAGGTAGAGGGATTCTTGGAACCGATCGTTGACTTTGGCAGCTTGGCATCCGGCGTGCATAGCCTTGCCCATGACATTGTGGGTTCGATCTGGGTTGAGGAAGCTGAGAGTCAGCCAAACTCGAAGAAATCGGTAAAGGACTTACCCTCTGACATCCAGGAATCTCCACACGATATTCGCCACGACCTCATCCTTCTTCTCTATCGGCCTCGACTCGATCCGCACCGGCGAGTGCAACGCCGCCAGACACAACTTCATGTCTATGGTGGACGACTTTTGTCTGCGCAATTCCCCCTCGACGACGTTAAGGGGGACGGTCCAGTTGCACTTTTCGACGAGGTTATGCGTGAGGATGTCGGAGAAGGGGATGGTGACGCCGCTAGCGGACGCGTAGGGGGGATCAAAGTAGTAGTGGGCCGATACGCGGCGCATTTTCCAGTGTGGGTGGAGACTCTCCGCGAGGAGGGCGAGGGCGGTGCACCGGGGAGAGGTATGACCCTCCGTGATGACGTCCTTGATGAAGCGGTGGTACTCTGGACTATCGGCGAGCGGCTGAGGCTCGACGATGAGACCGCTCGTCAACCATCCGAGGACCTGGGGTGAGACGAACGCCCGGCAGAGATGGTAGTAGAGTTCATCGGGGAGGCGGGGGGAGAAGATCTCATCGATATTGGGAGGGATGTCCTCGACGAGGGAGAGGACGAGAGGGAGGGGGCAGACGTTGCCTTCCGTAGTGAGGACGAGCGAGTACTTGACCGCCAGCCGAGCGCGGAGGAAGGCCTCGCCATAGTTGGCTACCTGGCGCGAAATGACGATGCCCGACTTGTACTGCCGGATGAGGTCGATGGCGCCCCGGAGTGAAAAGTCTGCGGCCAGGGGAGGGAAGGTACGGGAGAGGGAGCAGCCAGCGAGGATGGCAGTATCGAGGAATTGGTCATCCGTCATGGCCAGGTCCGCGAGGAGTTTGGACTTGTCGACAAAGCTGAACGAGCCAGCAAAGTCGATGGACGTGATGACCTTGTCGACGGGGAAGAGAAGGCATTCCGAGGACGAGTAGATGGCGTGAATGTAGCCCTGGGGATGACGGAGGAGGTACGCGAGCTGCGCGTACTCGAGGTACGGCGCGACAATGTACTCGACGTACCGGTGTCGCAGCTGACGGAGGACCAGCCGGAGCACATCCCGGTGATCCGTCCATGCCCCGCCCCGAACAGACGCCAGCGTCATTACCGCCTTCTCCACCTCGCCATTCTCATAGTAGCTCCACGCCTCCTGCTTGACATTCGTCTCCCGGTCCTGGTGGTCCACCCCCTTCAGCGGAGGTCGCGACGCCAGCGGCAGACCCGCCAGGATAAAGACCGGCTTGATGTTGTACTTTTCGAACGTCCGAAGGTCCGTCTCGATCCGCAGGCCGAGAGCGAGAGGTAGACCGCCGGTGGAAGCGACGAGCGGCTCCCGCGAAGTTGGATCCGAGAGCAGGGTCGTGATGTAGTGGGTAGCGTCGATACCGAGCCTTGTCCCGCGCAACGCCTCGAGCGGGGCCTGAGACAAGAGCTTGCGCTCTCGCATGTAAGGCTCTAGGCCTCTGATGCCTACCATAGTGTAGCGGTAGCGGTAGAGCGATAGAGACAAAAGGGAAGCGAGATGTCACCCGGAGGAACGCGAGTGGACGTGCGCGCGGCATACCTTTGAGCGGCGATCGCCGCGAATGACTCGGCCCAGAGGGGGTCCGTGTGGGGATCCATATGATGGGACGCTTCTGCGTCTGAGATGGAAGAGGAGGTGTCCGAGGAGAGTACGATCGCCTGACTTTTATATGGCTTCTATACATGATTTCCTGTCTGACTTCGACCTTTCTCTTCCCGAGGTTCCCGCTGATCCACCTACAACACACCCAGGACCGCCTTCCTCGCGCCCTCGGCGTCCAGCTTGCCATTGAACAGCTTCTCCTTGATGACTTGCGCCGTCATTCCATTTTGAAGCTCGGTGTTGATGCGGACACTATCATCAGCTCCAATCTCCCCGGCAGGCTCACCTATCCTGCGTCGCCTGGTTCAGCGGTGTCGCATCATCCTCGACCCCCTCATCCTTCTTCTTGAGCTTGGCTGACGCGTCGAGCGGGGCAGAGTGAAGCTTCGCGCCGAGGTCTGCGAGCTGCGAGGTGGCGTATGCTCGGTTCTGTCGTCAGCCAAGCCAAAGAGGAGACTTACGGAGGAGATCAGACTCTGACTGAGCGTAGCAACCCAGTACTTGTTCCAGAGAAGGTCGAGGAGCTGCTCGTCCAGCCTCGTCTTGTAGATCTCGACCTTGAGCGGATAGTACGAGTTGGCGTGTACACCGAAATCCTCGATCTTGTCCATCGGGATGGACTGGTATTGGGATGTCTGGGGTGCTTCGTAACCTTCGGGAAACGTCCGGAACGCTCCGATCTCAACCTTGCCCGCTGATACAGTACGGTTGGGGTCAATCTATCATCAGCTCGGTCCGTCAAGCATACAAGGAGCACTCACAACGACGGCAAGATAAGGGTCGTTGAAGCTTTGGTTGGTCATTTGGGTATTGACGTCGATACCCGACAACCAGCACCCGTAGCCCGGATGCGAGTGATACCATCCCCTCAACATCTCATCCTTCCCCACCTCGTTATTGGCTGTCTGGAAGTTGACCATGTACTCGAACGCCTCGTTTCCGGCGTTGACACGGGTCTCGGTACCTTGGACGGGCAGGGCGGCGGCGTCCATGATCCAGAAGACCCCGTCTCGGACCTTGCCATACATGACGCCCATGATCTCGTATGCTCCGCCCGAGCGCGCGTGCGTCACCTGCCATCAGCTCTGGAGGTGATGATGGGCTTACCATCTTGATGAGCGCTACAGCCGAGATCTTGACGGTGTGGAAGTAGTGGGGACTGAAAGTCAGCTAAAGCTCGACAGCTACTCTGTTCTTGTCAGCTCACTCTTTCTTCCATGGTGCAGCATCCTCGAGGACTCGCTCCTCATCACGAGAATAGGCGAAGAGGGAGTCGGATGGATCGGCTACCTGAACGTCGTTGTTGAGCTCAAAGGTTTTGCGAGCAGTGCTCGAGCCACTGGCTTGAGCCGAGCCGGAGCCTTCAGCCTGCTGAGGTGGTCCAGCCATTCTGCGCGTCTGTATTAGGGGGCAATGTGAAGGAAGAAGGAGAAGGAACGGACCCTCTTGAGCGCTTGCATGAGCTGTCATGAGCGCGACTGCGCTGGTGAAGCCGACGTGACGTAACCTGGTGGGCTTCACTCGGAACTCCGTTGATCGGTATCAACCGCCGCCAATCCCACGTCACCTATCAGCTGCCTTTGTTTATCCGTGTTTCACAAACAAGCTTGGTGTTTCAGCCGATGGATCAGGGGAAATCTTACGGCAACCTGAGCCAATGGTCAGGGAGCTCAACCGGCCCGATGCAAAGCCAACAAGATGTGGCTTGTCCAAGCACCCCAACAACTCGCTCAGCACACTCAGCTTCCGCCTTGTTGTGCTTAGCGTCCCCCTCCCCGTTTCAGAAACAGTGCTCTACGACAACAACAACGATCAACAAACGATAGCAACAATAACGATCCGCCTTCTGAAACCGACAACGACACACACCGCTTTGACCCCTTCGGACCCCCCTTTTTCAACCCCGTCTCCCTTGCGACCAAGATCACCCAAACGGTCATAGCTCTACTCACCCCTTTCATCACAAGTTGACATATCCCTTTCTTCCAACGACCCCCTTTCCTTAGCCTTCATCAAACGCTTTTGCCCTCCTACTTGGCAACCATCTCCCACCACTCGCACTCGTACCCTCATACACACCGCAAAAAGGGCAGGCTCCCTTTCGTACTCTCTCCATCAACCTTCCCAACACACACCTTACCGCTTGATCGACTCCAACAACCCCCCACGCTCTTTTGCAACCCACACTCACTCGCCCACCATGTTCTTCCTCGTCGCCCTCCTCCCTTTCCTCGCCCTCGCCTCGGCCGCCCACAACCCGCCCCACCTTCGGCACCGTCGTCTCGCCCACTCTATCCAGATGCGCGAGGAGACACCCAACGGCGCCAAACTCGCTCGGGCTGACGCGGGTCACGCTGATGCGCTCCGGGTCATCAAGCGCACCGTTGTCAAGCGCGGTCAGACTTGTCGTCCGAGGCAAAAAGCGGCCCAGGCGGTCGTCGCTCCCTCCCCTTCGGCCTCGTCAGCCGTCGCATCCTCATCGGCCGCTGCAGCGTCCCCTACCATCGAAAACCAAAACTACATCGCGCAGCACTCGTCCGCCGCGGCTCCGTGGCACTCGCCGGCCGCTCCCCCTCCCGCTCCCCCAAAGCCCAGCCCACCGGCGCCCCCACCCCAGCAGGGCGGTGGTGGAGGCGGCGGCGGCGTTGGTCAGAACTGGGGCACTCTGCAGGTCAACGACGGCAAGTGCGGTTGGTGCAACTCGAACGGTGATCAGCCGAACGGGTCTCAGGACTGGCTCAACTGCGGTCTCAACTCTGGCGGATGGACCCCTCCTCACGTCACCGTCGATCAGCTCATCACCAAGGAGCTCGACGCCCACGGTGTCTTTGCCCCTTGCGCGCAGTACTTTGATCTGTTCAGGCAGTACGGAGGCGAATTCCACAGTAAGCCTTGAAAATTTGCTTCCGTCGATTTTTGCTTATAACCAGTCCCACCTATCATGCTTGCTTCCTTCGCTATACAAGAGTCAACTTGCAACCCGGGCGTTACTGGTGGTGGAGGGGAGGCGGGTATGATGCAGATTGCTCCCCCAAACTGCGAGGCTGGCAACAAGTAAGTATCCCTTCCTTTGTGTTTGGGCCGCTACTGACCCTTCAGCTGCTGGGACCTTCACTACAATGTCCGCCGGGGCGCTCAGCTCTTCCGCCAGATGCTAGATGCGAACGGGGGCAACGTTCTAGCCTCGATAGGTGCCTATAATGGCTGGAGGAAGGGCATGACAGTCGACGATGCGACTCGCGCAAGGTGGACCGGCAACTGTCGCAACCAGAACAACCTCGACTATTTGACACAGTTCCTGAATGCTTGGGTATTGGGCAAGGACGGCCACTCCGTTGGGTCCTACTGTAAGTCCTCTACGTCCCAAATCGATATCTGGCCCAAAACTGACTTGGTAGGGAACCTCAAAGACTGTTAAACGACTTTTACGACCTTGGGAGCCTCGGTCCCGCTAGACTGGCTCTAGTTTACGCTCTTCCCTTCCCTTCTACGTCTTTCTCTTCTCTTTCTTATCTTTGGCTTGGCGGGTCACTCGCCAAACTGTCTTTATAGGTCGCGCACACCGGATGGATTAGTCAACGTCAAGTTCAAGCTTTAGGGTCGGCGTACTTCAATCTGACCTCAAGCACTCACTACGATGACTCAGTACTCATCCGCCGCAAGCCAACATCCATTGGGCTGGACAAGACAGAAGATACGGGGGCGATAGGATATGTCATCTGAGGACGAAGGCGGGCGGGCGGGCGCGGAGAGAAGGTGGGATTGGGGGGAAGTTACGTTGCCATTGCGGGTCATTGGGCGCAGGAGTTACGGGAGATTGAGGTTAGGGATGGCGAGTCAAGGAGCGAGGGGTTGCTTGGTATCTCATGGAGCTGAGTGAGATGAGATGAGAGAACGGATTAGCTCGACGGAGACAATGGGCCGGGTTGAAACGTTGACATTTGGAGCGGGTGTTGGGGATTGAGGCTCGACTTTTCTCCGTCTCCATTTCACCTCAGCCGCTCCCTCTGCACACCAAACTCAGTTTGCGCAGAGACAGCTTCAGGCGGAGGATTCAGGCAGATGAAACTCTGCTTGCTCGCATCGCACATTATACGCAAATACATGTTGATGACAATTGATTGATGAGATTGATTCCATTACAGAATGATGCAAGATCTACCCTTCAGTCTGCTCGCCATTGCCCCTACTCCACCGCCCCCGCCTCCCCCACTCCCCTTTGCTCTGCTCCCCATAGCCACCCGGGCGGCTTCGTATATCGCCTCTTGAACTCCCCTATTGTGCTTTGCTGAGCATTCTGTCGATCAGCCCAGTCCCCAAGTGCGAGTAGGGGCATGTAGCCGGGGTGGATTGGGGTGGAGGGGAGAGGAGAAGAGACGTACCCAGATACCGTACCGCCCGTATTGTCCTCGCTACAGATAACCCATCTTCATACGTCACAGGCTGCAACGATCGCCTAGCCAGCTTTTCTCGAACCGCTGGATCTTCCCGCAGATCGCATTTCAAGGCTGATCAGTCAGCTCGAACTCCAATCCTATGCCATCTCACGGAGCTTAGCGAGCTTACCAATGAGGATGATCTTCACGCCAGGGCAATTCTCAGCCAATTCCTCGACCCACTGTGACTATCAGCTATGACGCTCGCCTAAAGTCATCGCGATGCACGAAGCTGACCTTTGTAGATGCGTTCTCTAGTGATGTGGGCGAGTCGATAGAGAAGCAGAGCAGGACGACGTGCGTGTCGGCGTAGGAGAGGGACCGGAGGCGGTCGAATTCTTCTTGGCCTGCAGATGTCAGCTAGGTCTAGATTACGCTTCTTTGCTCGTGCACAGCACGACTGTCCCATGTCGTCTGGCTTATGCCTCTTGGACACCTTGACTCCCCCACTTGCTCTTGTCCGGAACGCCCGGCCTGACCCCCGCTGCACGAGCCAGGTTCGGGGACGCTCGCTGCGGCCCTTTCCCCTCGTCGGTACACGCAGCAGCTACCTCCGTCCGCCCAGCCCATTCGAACCGCCTTCTGAAGTAACCAAGGATGGACAGTAAGCTCACCTGCTGTATCCCACAGACTCAACTCGACTTGCTCATCATCCACCTCGAGTAGCTCGACATAGTTCTCGAAGACTGCGAGCTCAGCTTGACCCTTTGTCTCCCCAAGCTTGGATATGCTGGCGTACCGGTAGGCTCACTATCTCATCAGTATGTATCCACGAGGTGACAATGACCACAACAGAGCAGCTCACTAGGAAGTAGGGAAGTAGCCTCGACCGTCAGCTGTAACTCTTGTGCGTTCGTGCAGATTCCGGCTGGGCACGACCCACCTTTCGTAAAGACAGTCAGTAGTGAAGTCTACACCACCATCAGCTCCTTCCCTATCCCTTCTACAAAGAAGCAGGGACCCACCTTCCCACAAGCTCCATCACCTATAACCACCAATTTGCGCGAAAGCTGTACCCCTCATCAGCGCTTCGGCCCTTGGATTTGCTTCTCAAGTTTCGAGCTTGACGCGAGACGTACGGGCTTCCCCATGACCCGCGCATGCAGTCCAGGATATGCCCCAGTGCTTCTTGTCCTCTGCGGGAGGTATGCTCAGCTATTGCAGGCGAGCTGGGCGCCAGATGAGCAGGGTGAGAAGGGGCAGGTGAATTGGATTGTTTGTGTACCAGTTCAAGGTCCAACTGAAATTCGCCACCCAACTCAAGTCAACTCCACCGCCGGTACCGCTCCCTTTCATCCATACATCTACCTCCTTACTTGCATCATGTCCTCATCTACCAAACCAGCCTACGTCTCTTCATCTGGAAGCCTCGGGGAACGCCCCTTGGCTGTCCGTATCTCGGACACCGTGGCAGATGCCGGGTCGCTCGCGTATCTCTTCTTTGAGACTTTACTGAGCGTACGTCCGGCCTTCCCCTTCCCCTTCCCCTTGTCCCCACTTCGGAATCTCTTGGAATCTAAAGCTCATGCGGACGCTGATGTGTAGCCCATCCTGAACCCCGCGTCCTGGACGAACCCCTCAGCTACCGGCTCAAGCGTTACTAGGGGGCGAAACGACGGGAACTCGGGGTCAGGGCGGTCCCTTGGCGGAGGGGGCGGCGGGGGTGGTGGGAGTGGAGGGGGCGGTGGTGGAAGGGGCGGAGGAGGGGGTTTCATGTCGATGGGAGATCTTCGAGGTGGTGGAAGTAGGTCTTTCGCTCAGATATGACTGGCATACTCAAGCTGACGGAGTAGCGGTGGATGGCTGCCGGTCGACTTGCGGATGAGCCCAAACCTCACTTGGTGACTTTGAGCCACCTTCGTACCAGTCTGGTCATTCTCACAGCCATGTAACGTTGTATAGCCTGGACGTTTACGATCTTCCTGACTCGCCTCATCTACTTGAGATCATGCATCGAGCAGACCTACTACCCGCACTACGTTATTCCTAGACATTCCCATGCGCTCGGCGCCGGGATATTTCATTCTGATTCGTGAGACGTATTATTCTAACCCCTCCAGAAGATGGCGCGCTTGCGCGGAGTGGGGATGGCATCGCCGGCGGTGATGGTGACCGCGGCAGCCGAGGAGGAGGACGAGACCGAAGCGGACTCTGACGAAGCCGCAGCAGCAGCGGACTCGGAAGCCGACGCCGAGGCTGAGGCGGAAGCCGGGGCCTCAAAGGCGGAGAAGGAGGAGGCTCCGAACGCGGAGTAGGACGAGGCGCTGGCGGACGATGCGGACGCGGTGGCCGAGGCGGACCAGGAGGACGCGCTGGCGAGGAGGGCTCCGCCGATGCTGGATGCCTCCGAGGCGGATGCGGATGCGGATGACGCGGACGCGGAGACGGAGGACGACAGGCTAGCGCTGACTGCGGCTGCAGATGCGGACGAGACGGATGCGCTTCTGATGGTCAGTTTTGATCGAAGCGTGAGTCGCAAGGAACTGACGAGGCGCTGGCGGTCGAGGTAGCACTGGCAGACGCGGCAGAGACGCTGGAGGCAGATGCGCTATCTATCAGCTCTTGCCCTGACAGTGTGAAGAAATGACTCACCTCATAGCAGCCGACAACGAGCTGGAGAGGGAACCGGATGCCGAAGAAGTCACAGCGGCCTTCTGGGCAGTAGAGCTGGAAGTCAGCTCAATCCCAAGCTCTGCTTTGGAATCAACTCACTTGGTCTGCTCCTCCTCCTCATCTTCCTCGCAGTCCTCATCGTCATAGTACTCCTCGTCCTCGGCCTGGGGCGCGGGCTTGGTGTTGGCGTCTGCTGGGGCGGGCTTAGTGTTGGCGTCAGACGGGGCGGGCTGGACAGCAGAGGGAGACGGCTTGGCCGCGCCCAGGGCAAGGGGGCCAGCGGGCGCGGGGGTGTAGTCGTCCTCTTCCTCGTCGCACCAGGGCTAACGATCAGCTCAGCCCAAAGAGATAAAGCGAGGACTTACGAGGCTCTCATCATCATCGTCCTCGGCGGGCTGGGGAGCAGCGGGCTGGGGAGAGGACTGCTGTTGTTGTTGAGGCTGGGCAGCGGGCGCGGGGGCATTGCCGTTGTTGCCGTTGTTGGCCTGCTGAGGCGCGGCAGCCTGAGCCTGACCGGTAGAGCCGGGAGCGGACGGTGCGGTGACGGTGACGGTCACATAGACAGTGGTCGCCTGGAGTGTCAGCTGCTACCCCAAAGACGACTCAGGCAAGACTCACTCCGGCACATCCAGCATCCTGAGCAGCACCTGGCTGGACCGGAGCAGGAGTCGCGGCGGGGGCCTGGGAGGGAACACCCGCAACGACCGACCCGCTGGGCTGGACCGCGGCGTTCTGGTACTCGGGCTTGGCCTGAGCGGGCGCGGCGGGCGAAGGAGAGGGCGACGGAGTGGGCGCAGCTGGTGCTGGGGCAGCCTCGTCCTCCTCATCCTCGCAATCCTCAAGGTCCTCGTCGTCAACCTCCGGGACAGCGGCGTGGACGTTGCTAGGGAGGGGCATAGAGATAGCCGAGGAGATCATGGACGCCTGGAGAGAGGTGGACGCCGAAGCCGAAGCCGAAAAGGTCATGGACGCCGAGACCGAAGAGGACGTCGCGTTGGATGCCAAACCAGCAGCATCATCATCCTCGCAATCCCCCTCATCATCCTCCCCTTCTACTTCAACGTCGCAGTCATATTCAAGTCCGTCAGTCGCGTTGGTAGCGGTCGTAACATTGGCATTGGTGATCGTGACGTTGTCTGCTCGCGGAGCAAACGAGGTGGATGCGGCGGCGTGGAGGGAGAGCGAGAGAGTCGCAAGGACCAGCGTTGCGGTGAATTTCATTTTGGCGATTGTGGGGCGAGGGTGGCGATGGGTTGAGCGATGGGGTGATGTGAGCCGGTGTAAAGCATGTAAAGACTGATGTGTTGAGAAAAAGAGTGTGATGTGGCGTCAAGTCGTGGATGAGCGCCGAGGAACAGAGACAGACAGAGACAGAGAAGAGAGAGTGGTTGAACGAAGGATGAAGGACAAGATCAAAAGAGCCCAAAAGGTATAGCCAGTAGCAAAGTAAAAGGGGGCCTTTGCGCTTAATTCCCAAGCTGTCCTTGTCAACAAGGAGTACCCTTCTCTAAGCGCGTTTCATCTCGTCGCCAAGGGGAAACCTCCGATCCATAAGGTTTGCCCCCGTCGCCCTTCCCATCGTGGGCTTGGCCTGTTGTTATGTTTTGATCTCCTGCAGGGTGTCTCTTTGAGCCTCTCTATACTGACTGTATTGGATGTAGGTCATGATCCACGCATGCAAGCTCGCCTGATGGGCAAGTACAGGGCTGTGGACACGGTGTTCTGATGCTGCTTCGACGCTAGGGAAAGGAGGGTGTCAACAAGGACACACAGACCTTACCGTTACCCCCCTCGTTTCAGGTTCAGAAATTCAGGAACAGCTCGCGCCGAGAATGACCGTGACGCGATCAGCCGGGCCGAGATGACGGCAGCCGATGCGCCACGCCTAACTGACCTGCGTCCATGTGCCTAGCCTGGTCTGCAAGCCTACTGCCAGTGAAAGAAGTCACTTCCTCTGTCTCTCTGCTTTTGCTCTGTCACTACAGACTCGGCCCTGGTAGATAATGTTCGCCCTCGGTGTGCGCGGCGTAGCATCCACCAGCTCACAACGATTCCGGCCCCTCTGCCCAAAATGTCACCTTCCCTTCCCCACCTCCCCCTTCCGACCTCTCCCCTTCGCACTCCATCTCGCACATCACCGCTCTTACTCGACGCCCCCTCGGGAGCAAGTCCAGCGCTACCTTGAGCAAGCTCGCCTCTCTATCCAAGCGGCTATTCGTACCCTTCGCGAGCATCAAGGGAAGCTCGCAGTGTCCCTCGGGACTCGAGTAGACGGGCTGGGGAGTCGATTGAACCATGTGACGGGATACGAGGATATAGATCGGCTCAAGGCAGCTGTCGTCGCGACTGGTGAGTCTACATCAACGACAGAGCTAATGATAGAGCAGCAACTCACCTCGGCTCGTGACGCCGCCAAAGCTCTGAAACACGCATACGACCAGGCAGTCACTACTCGTGCTTCTGCCCAACGCTCCGTCAATTCCCTCCTCGAACGCAAGGACCGATGGTCAGACTCGGACGTCGCAGACTTCACCTCCCTCATCCGTTCCGACCACGCCTCCAATGCTGCCGTCGCCCAAACCTCGGCCCAGCTCAACGCGGCGGAAGCGGACGTCGATCGGCTCTTTTCGGAATTGACCAAAACCATCCTGACGCGGTATCACGAGGAACAGATCTGGAGCGACAAGATCCGCTCCTTTTCGTCCTGGGCGAATCTGGTGGGGCTGGCGGTGAATCTGGTGGTGTTTGTGGGGGCGATTGCGTTTGTTGAGCCGTGGAAGAGGAGAAAGTTGGCCGAGGGGCTGGAGGGGCGGATGGCGGGCATGATGGAGAGTGTGCAAAAGCAGATCGAGGCGCTGGCGGGCGAGGTGGGGGAGAGGAATCTGTCGGGGCGAGCGGCGTCTCTGCCACTCCAGCCGGAAGCTTTCGACCAGCCACCATTGGCACCGACCGAGATCGCGATACCCCCGGTCCACGCGGTCCAACCCTCGGCCTCAACATCCCCATACGACTACACGCAGTATCTCAATGCCGGTCTCAACCGGTGCTATCACTATCTCGGCGGCGCCGACCACCCCATCTCTGTCGAGCCAGTCTACCTCGCAAGCGTATCGGGTCTCGCACTAGGCGCAGCAATCACTTACATACTACGATGAAACAGCACTGCTGCCTCGGTCTCGCACTCAGGGTACTGAATTTGTCTACTGACACAGCTCACATCCGCGCCCAAGAAGAGTCAGGCCGCGCATACGGCTCCTGCCCATCCGCATCATACTCTTCCACCTCTTCCACCTCCCTCCGCCACTTTCGATGACGGTACCACCACAGCGCCGAGACGGTGGCGAGGATAAGAACTATCGTGCCTGCTATCGAGACGCCGATGATCAGTCCTCTAGAGGATTAGCAACTAGGTCGTGCTGATTGTACTCACTTGTTCGGGCCGGACCCGGATCCCTCAGTTCCCGCTAAGCCCGGAGTGGCGGTTCCGGTGGGGACGGTCGATGGTTCGCCTGACTTGGTTACAGTGAACGTCGTTGTCAGCGTTGAGCTGCCGAGCGCGCTTGAGCTTGACTCAGAGATGTCCGCAGAGGAGAGTGCGATCGAGCTGGAGGTGGGAAAGGCGCCATCTGACATGGAGAGCGAAGTAGACGAAGAGCTTGAAGCCAGGGCAGGCGCGGAAGAGCGGTCTGAAGAGTCAGATGGGAAGGCCGACGATGCCGCGGAAGAAGACGCGGCGGGCTTGCTGGTGATCGCGGATGTTGAGCTGGAGCTTGATAGCGCCGAGACCGCAGACGGAACCGCAGCAGATGAAGCTGCCGCGGCAGAAGAGGCAGGCGGTACAGGCTGAGCGCCCCCAGGATTCGCATTACGTCTAGTCATCAGCTACCCGGCTGGACGAAAGACTCACATGACACCGCTAACAGCGACAAAGTCCACATCAAGCCAAATCAACCCAGGCTGATCAGGCGCATCCCGATTCCCTTCGTTCGTTATCCGCAACGCGTGATCGCCCTGCGCCAGGGTCGAGGTGGCGAACAGGACTTGCTGGAAGATGTTGGGGTTGGCGAGGCCGGAGAAGTACTGTGGGGGCGCAGAGTCTATGATGATACTGTAGATGCCCTGGCGTATCAGATCCCGGCCGAGGCGAACGCTCGAGCGCGACTGTTGGGACTCACATGACTGCTGATGAGCATGCAGCATATGTATTACTGTACGATTACTCACTTGTCCCTCCTGGCGCCGTAGATGGCGATGTCTGCTCCAACCCACTTGACCTCCATAAAGTCCGCCTGAGTACCGTCAGGATGCGGTAGCGCTGGTATGGTGGCGCATGTACTCACTTTCGCATTGCTCGCGTGCCTTTCAGAGTCGAGATCAGTCACTCGTACGCCGAATGCCAGGGCATGAATCGCGGTCTAGCTTACATGGTCTACCAAGCTGTCAGCTACCGCCACGTTGAACGAACACCAGGCCTACCTTGTTGTAGTACTGCTCAATAGGTCCACGAGGACCCGCTGCTGAATCAGTACGATATTGTATTCATAGCAGACCTGACGATGGGTCTGCACTGGGTACTGACAATTATCCTCGATCCTAAGCTGCTTCAGCAGGTTACCCGGAGCGAAAGCAGAGCGGATACTGACCATGTCTTGGGATCGTTACCGTTCCCCCAGAACAGATGTGGGTCGGTATCATCAATTACAGTAGCCATCGCGCACTACTACAATGAACAGGATATTGACAAAGGTGAGTACAGGTCACAGACAGGCTAGTTCGGAGCGATACCTGCCCTAGATGATCCACTCTCATCGTCTGATGTTGTCGAGAGAAACGACCGCTTTGCGGCCCTTTGATTGAAGGCATGAGGGAGGTAGGTGGTGGTATCCTTCTGACCCAAAATGTTCCCAGCTGTTTCAGACGGTAAAGGGCTCACTTTGACGAGTTGCACGATCTGTGATTACCTCCTTCGATCATCTGCTACACGTCCCGTCGAAGAGACGCAACACAGGGTTCTCATAAACTCATATGCTAGTCCGCAAAAGTGAGGTCGAGCATCAATAGCCAGTGATAACTATCGCCTACGTTAACGTTAAGACTGATGTACACCCGGGCGCACTCCAACCAATGTGCAGAGAGAGAGGAAGCAGCACAGCTGCATGATCTGTATTTAACCTGATAGTCCATAAATTAATTCCTCACCCCCTGGTCATATGCGCCTCGTTCACATCCGCGCCCAAGACGAGTTTGGCCGATCGTACGGGTTCCCCGTCTCGTACATGTCTGGCTCTTCCGCCTCCCTCCGCCTCTTCCGGCGGCGATGCCACCACAGACCGACGACTGTGCCGATGATGAGGACAGCGAGGACGATAACCGTGCTGGATATAGCAACGACCGTCGTCCTTCCAAGTGTCAGCCTGATCCCTCTGGGCGGACAGGGCATGACTAGACGTACTTGTTCGTTCCCGATGCTGCACCCTCGGAATCTGGCCCGCTGGTCCCGGACGGTGTGGACGGCTGGCCGCTCGTCTTAATTGTGACAGTTGTAGTGCTCGATATGGAGACGGACCCGGGACTGACCGATACGGACGCACTCTGGAAGCTTGATGGCAGAAGTAGCGAGACGGAGGCGGAGAATTGGCCGCCGGAGTTGGTAGATGCTGAGGACACTGAGGCGGAGGCGGAGGAGGCCGAGCTCGCGGAGGAGGAGATCGCCGAGGAGCTCGATATTGATGACGAGAGGGAAGTCGACGTGGAGCTAGAGGACGAAGCGACGGCGGCTGAGCTAGGAGATGGCCTGGGAGGTGTCGATACGGGCGTACTGCTAGATTGTGGCGGAGGGGCTGATGCCGCCGAAGAAGGCGCTGGAGCAGACTGTGCGGTAGTCGGTTGTGGTGCGCCAGGTATCGCATTCCGACTACGAACAGTCAGCACAAGTACCTATCATTTGCGTTCCATAGTCGGACTCACACAGAACCGTCGAATGCGATAAAGTCTACGTCCAGCCAAACTCGAGAGGCGCTTTCAGCCGGGTTACGACCATTCTCATTCGTGAGTCGCAGCATATGGTCGCCCTGTGCCAGGCCGGACGTGGCGTACAGGACCTGCTGGAAGGTATCGGGATCGGCGAATCCTGAAAAGTATTGCGGAGTGCTTGAGTCGACAGAAACGCCATATATACCCTGTTCGGATCAGTATGGCACTCATATTACCGTGGAGACATGACGGAGCGGCACGCACATGACTATGCGGCATCAGCTGTAGCTCACATCGACTTCAAATCGGCGTAGACTCACTTCCATCGTCGGGCGCCATAGACGGCGATATCCCCTCCGTTCCACCTGATCTCCATAAAGTCGGCCTTTTGAGCGTCAGCCGATGCTCCGTTCGTAGATCAAGGCAGGCTTTTACATTATTGATGGAGGCCTTCCTGGATAAGGTCAGTAACATTCGGATCCACAGCATGGGCAGGATGAAGCTCACATGGTCTGGTAGATCGTCAGCTTTCAGTACCCTAGGGTAAAATTGGAAAGCACTCACCCTCATGAATGTCTTATCAAGTCGATCTGGAGTGTCAGTTCAGTCCTGTCAACGCATGATGGGACCCACCATTGCCTGAGCTCCTGGTGTTCATCAGTATGAGCGTTTTCTGTGGATGTCACTGAACTCACCAGTTAATCTGGACATTCCCGTTGCCCCAGTACAGGTTCGGATCGGTATCGTCAATCACCGTCACCATCTTGAAGCTCTTTCACAGATCCTAGACCGCCGGTGGAATGAGCGCAAGTCGGCAGGCCGCGAAGTCCCGGTCTAGCAAGAGCAAGCCGCACCGCTCCGGCCCTACCCTCCTTTCTTCCCGATGAGGAGGCGGCGTATGGCAAGCAATGCCTGATTGAGAAGGCGAGCGATACGATTTGTCTGAATGAATAGACAGGTAGCTACTGATGTGGTCGGGTCGGGATGTGAGGTGAGTGAAAGGTAAGCGGAGATGAGAGGACCTGACCTGGATGAACAGGAAATGAAACGGCGACCCGTCCCTCTCCACCCATCCTACCCCTCAGCATCTCAGACACCTATCAGAAAGGGTGTAGCCACCCTGGGCCCCTCCTCGGATTGACTCCTTTGTATCGCCGGAGGTCCCGCCGCAAAGGGAGTCCATCTTGATCAGGATGCGGGCCGAGCGATTAATCGATACATTTGGGCACTTTATCTGGCATCTGAGACTCTAGCAGATGCTATGAAGGCATCGAGCCGTTCGCGTTCGGTGGTGGGAACTGCCCGCCAGCAGCCTCAAACTGGAATCGTTCCTGCTTGATCAGCCCAGCCACCTCCAACATCAAGGTCCAGGGAAAGGCAGGGGCAATGAGGGGTCAGGTCAAGGAGGTCCTGGGTGGACTGCCTTTGGCATGTAGCAAGGAGAGCAGGTGATGGGACCCTCGGACTCACTTGCTCAAGCTTATGCGTTTCCTAAATGGATCAGCTGCACTCCAAGATCACAAGGATCGAGGTCGACTCACTTCTCTTCTTCTCATCGCTCGGACTGAGAATCCCTGGGCGATGAGGAGACCACCATAGCCCTGCCTATGTCAGCATGTGTAACTTCAAATGACACTGAAGACTTACGCAGGCTGCTAGCGATGTCAAGACTGCGCCTCGCTGCAGGATGTCGGGTAGGGTAAGGGGCATGATCGGGAAGATGGGCGTCGGTCGGGTACAAGAGTCGAGGGATTTCAATATGATGTTTCGATGCCGGACGAGCTAGGAGCGCAGTCAGAGAACGTCTCGTTGTGCTACTAGCGTAGAGTGGTGTTTGAGTCTAGGATAGTAGATGGACGATACAGACCGCATGTCGATGGCATTGATCGCCTTGCCCACCTTGCCACCACGCACGGATGTGCGACTCAAGCGAAATGTTGACAAGCTGAGAACAGGTGAAAGGTCAGTACAATTTCTACCTCATCTCTGGCTCAGAACAACAGGCTAGCTCAACCCCGCGGCCCCTCAGAATGATTTCAGAATCCCAAGGAAGCGGGAGCCGCGCCAATGGAGCCGTCAAACCCGTCATAGGCATCATAGGGATGGGCGATGTGAGCTCCTCCTCCCGCTGCTCATGCTCCCTGCTAATTGACAGATGGGAAGGATGTACGCACGGCGTCTGCACGCTGGAGGAGCAGGAATGTACGCTCAAGTCTCCGACCGCACTGCGTCCCGCTGACAAGCAGGATATACGTCTGCGACCTGCCCGAAAAGTACTCGGCGCTCCAGGAGGAATTCGCAGATACTGGCATCATCGCTCTTCCGGACGGTCACGCCGTGTCCCGCTTGTCGGACTTTATCGTCTACTCTGTCGAGGCGGCACATATCGGCGCCTGCGTGAAGGAGTATGGGCCGAGTACGAAGGTCGGCGCGACAGTAGCGGGTCAGACGAGCGTCAAGGCGCCAGAGAAACAGGCGTTCGAAACGTACCTCCCGCAAGATTGTGCGGTGGTCAGTCTGCATAGTCTGCACGGGCCGGGAGTGACCACGGAGGGGCAGCCTTTAGTGAGTCTCGAGTCAGGAAGTTCATCGGCCGTTGAGCTGACAAGGGAGATCATCATACATCATCGAGGACCGAAAGACCGCGTGACCATGGTCGAGGATATCTTCCGGTGTTTCAAGTCCCGCTACGTCTACTTGAGCTACGAAGAGCACGACATGGTCACTGCCAACACGCAAGCTGTGACCCATGCTGCTTTCCTGAGGTGAGCACCCACCTCCCAATCTGAGCCTCAGCTGATCAGCAGTATGGGAACAGCATGGCACAAGTCCTCCGCCTACCCCTGGGAGACTACGCGCTACGTCTCCGGCGTCGAAGTCGTCAAAGTCAATATCACCCTCCGTATCTACTCTGCCAAGTGGCACGTCTACGCCGGTCTCGCCATCCTCAACCCAGCCGCCCAGGCTCAGATCCAGCAATACGCCCGATCCGCCAGTGAGCTGTTCAAGCTCATGGTGCAGAACAAGGGGGATGAGCTGGGCGAGCGGGTCTGGGGCGCAAGAGAGAAAGTATTTGGGTGGACAAGGGACCAGGAGGGTGGAGGGGAAGGGGAGGGAAGGAGAGGTCCGATCTTGCTCAGTGAGGATGTACTGGATCAGTTCAGTCTAGGCAAGGCGGGCGGGGCGGAGAAGGAACGAGAGAGGAGCAGCAACTCGCATCTCAGCTTGTTGGCTATGGTGGATTGTTGGGCGAAGCTGGGGATAAGGCCATACGAGCACTTGGACGTGGCTGGGACCCCAGTCTTCATGCTCTGGATAGGTAAGTCCCCTGTATTTGTTGAGCAGGAGTCCGGCTGACCCCCAGGCGTCGCAGAGTATCTCTTCAGATCACCTGCTCTTCTTACATCCTCCATACAGGCCGCCCTCTCGGACAGGATACATCGGCCAGATGATATCGAGTTTGTCGTCGCAGCGAGGGGTTGGTCAGAATGTGTGACATTTGGGAACTTTGATCTGTACCGAACGAGGTTTGAGGAGACTGCTGGTAAGTCCTGCCATCATCCTTTCGTAGAGCATGGCTGATCTGTAGCGTTCTTTGCGCCGAGATTCGAAGAAGCGACAAAGCTGGGGTCGAAGATGATCAAGGTGATACAGGACGCGCAGCGGGCGAAGACGGAAACGTCAGAAGCACAATGAGAATTGGGGAAAAACAGCAATTGCAGGATGCACCTCCTCTACATCTATAGTACAAACGTCGATGCGTATACACTGGTATCTCCGGCCGCGTGATGACCTTCCTAGCGATAGATGATACAAAGATGATGAGGTGATAGCTCGCGGAATCCTATGTGGCGGTTTGTCCGAGCTGAGCCAGTATTGTGGTCGGGGACTCAAGCCGACGCTGGGCGCCGAGTGGCCAGCCGGCGTCGGTGGTAGCCGGCGTCGGTGGTATAGATGGCGGATACAGGCAGATGAAGCGCTTGTCTCGTTCTCAAGATTCACCCCGTGCCTCCTTCTTCGCCCGCGATTTTGACTTGATCAACTCGAGTCGATCCTTGTACTTGATGACATTCGCTTTCTGGAGCCAGCTATCAGCATGATTCGCCCGTATTGAAGAACAAGGGAGGCGGACGTACCTGCTTCTCATTGTCCGTCTTGAGACTCTTGACTTCTTCCTCCAGCGCGCCGATCCTATGCTTGAGCTTCTCGACGGTTTGAGCATCGTCGCCCTGCTTGGTGGTTGTCGAAGTGCCGACGTGTGTATGCCTAGCCGGAGGAGCAGCGGCGTCGGTGCTGATGCTCGCTGAAAGTATCTGCGACCGCAGAAGGACACTCGTATCCAGTCGAGCCTTCTCCGCCTGCGTGCATCAGTAGACATCCTCCCCGCTATGGCAGATAGGGAGAAACTCACCTCCTTCCTGACGCCTTCCGCGATTGTCCGCAATACAGCCTCCCGCTCCAGACTCCGCTTCTTCAGCTCCTGATTCTCCCTTTCGACCTGTTGATTATGCACAGCCAGAGCATCTAGGGATGCGCGAAGAGACTCGTTCTCGAGTTGTAGCTCTTCGGGCGTTTTAGAGGACGGCGAGCTACCAAATGTCAGCTAACTCCACAGGTAGGCCGGTGAAGTGTAGGTATGGAGGCGGACATACCCCGTACGGCCTGTTCTTGATGACGAGGCCGCTGGCGCTTCAGACGAGACCATACAGTACGAATCGCTCGGTGAGGCGGTGCGATCTTGAACTATCAGCTCTAGCCCGCCTTCGCCGAGCAACACCGATACTCACCAATCTCCATCCCCTTGGCCTTACTCTTAGTCCTCTTTCTCTCCCTCTTCAGCTTCTCGCGCTCTTTCCGGCCCTCGTCAAAGTCTCCATCCTCCCCTTGCCCCATCGCCTCCGATTTTGGACCCAGAGGGACACTAGCGAATGCCACCGGCCTACTAACCACATCCAGGCATTCCTCCAGCATCCCCCAGAACTTGCTAAATGGATCCACCTCCTTCCCTCCTCGTCCGGCCTTACCATCGCCCGCCAGCCCGAGCCCGAAGGTGATGTATGATTCAGCCGGGTCGGGGTCTTCGGACGACGCGGACGAGTAGAGCGGGGAGAGGGTGGGCTGATGGACCGATGTGCTTGTAAGGCTCGGCGCGGCTGGTGTTGAGGTAGTAGCCGGATGTGGTCGTTGGGCAAAAGGTGGGAGGGCTCGAGTACTGTTTCCTACTGCCTGCGTCAAGCTAGGCCGGTGCGCCGACGCTGTCGAAGCAAAGAAAGGGCTGGGAGTGAGACCGATAGCGGCCAGTCCAGCTGGTTCCGTTGGCCGCCGTATTGGTTCTGAGGGCCGTGCATCTCGACCGACACGCCCCGGCGCTGCAGAAGAGCCAGTAGCGCCCGAGGACGAAGGAGCTGGGACCGTTGCTGCTCGACGGAGGATAGGCTGTGCAGACGCAATCCGCCGTTCGAGATCCTTGACCAGCTTCCGGTGCTGTGTAGTGAGGAGCTGGAGAGTCTTGAGCGTTCCTGAATCCACACCGGGCACTGTTGTAGCCTGCGAGAAGAGCTCGGCGGCCTGGCGATAGGCGTCAAGGGCTGACGTGAGGGCAGGTAAGGGTGGCGAGGGGGAGTGCAGGAGTTCTGCAGCTTGGGCAGAGAGGGCGTGCGCCTGAAGGTCAGCGATGACCATCGTCAGTGTGCTGATGGCGGTGTGAGTGGACATATACTGTGCCCAGGTGTCCAATGGGCCGAGAAGGAAGAGTGGCACGATGGACTTACCCTTTGCAGCGATCCAGCCTCGCCGTGCCCGCTCATCTTGGCCAGCGCAAATGTCGCTCGCTTGATTCAGATCTCATCTGAAGTGATGGACCAGTCTTTCCTGAAGATGGTGTCACACGAAGAGCACAGAAGGAAAGATGATTGACGATGTCACAAAGGTACCGGTAGACCTCGGCCTGATAGATCGTCGGCATTTCGGAGCCGAGGAGACCAAGTCCATAAGGAACGCACTGGTCCACCCTTGACATGTACGTCTGTCGTCCGTGGTCCGAAGTAGAATCCTGCAGTCACGAAAGATAGCACCAGTGAGCTAGCTATACTGCCTCGTGACAAGAATATACACTGAAAAGTCCAGCTGCTAAAGATGTTCGACCTCGAGTGGTCCAACCTCCCTCAAATCCTCGCCCTCCTCGTTGGACCCATCCTCTTCACCCGGACCTTGCGCTTCCTCCTCACCTCTCCAGCGCGGGACCATATCGCAGAGCTCTTCCGCACCCGGTCCCAGCGTCATGTGGAGCTCGTCAGGACCCCCACCGAGCGGTTCAGCTCGATGGTCACCGTCTTGATCTCCATGGGTCTGCTGGGGCTGAAGCACCTCGGCCTAGGTCCCAAGCTTGGCAAAGTGCGGTCGGATGGGACGGTCCTGCTCCCGTCTCTGTCCGTCTCTGCACCTCTGCTGATCTCAGAAGCGGACGTTCAGGCCTACCACCGCGCAGTCAAGGCGGACAACACAGCTGCCCCGCTGTTCCTCCTGGCGCCCCTCGCCGCACCCCTCGTACCCTCGCTTATGCTCCTCGCTGCCAATCCCATCAAGCCACTCGGCGCCGTCAACGTGCGCAATACTTTCGTCTTCCACCGGCCAGACTTGCAGAGCGGGCGCAAAGAGGATGGGAAGGATTTACGGGCAGAAGCCAAGATGGGCGGGGAGAAGATGCTGGGGCGGCGGATGAAGCGGGGTGTAGAGTATGATACTCTCATCGAGGTGTTTGAGGCTGGGGATACCGCGTCTCCTGGGCAGAAGCGGCCGATCTTCTCGTTTACATTTACTACGCTCTCACTCGTCCGCCTACCCTCATCGGCGCCCCTCTATGCGGGAGCTGTAGCCTCCGCAAGCATGGAGCCAGCCTGGTACGACGATCCCACTCCGCTCTCCCTCCCCACCTCCTCGACGCCCCTCGGCTGGGCGTCGCTATCGAAAGACTACAACCCCATCCATGTCTCGCCCTTCCTCGCCAGGCTGTTCGGCTTCAAGCGGAACATCGCCCATGGCAATCTGATCGTCGGAATAGTGATGGACCGGGCCACCTCCGTCCCCAGGGCGGATAAGGGGAACCGAGCGAGGGCGGCATTAGGGCGCTTGTGGTCGTCGGACCAGATGAAGCCGAGTTGGCTGGTGGTCGAGTTCAAACGGCCGGTCTTCGTACCTTCCTCGCCAAAGGTCAGGTGGTCCGAGGGCGGGGTGCAGGTGTTTGAGGAGGCGGGCCTTGGCAGAGGGAAGAAAGCGCCGGGACAGGCCGAGAGCGAGATTAGGGTCTTAGTAGACATACGAGCAGGGGAAGGGGTAAATGTCCCCGCGGTATAGGTCCACAATCAGTATACGTCAGCAATGGGAAGCAGTGCGACTTCAATACTGAGATATTCTTTCCACAGAAAACCCTATTAACATGCGTATTATTGTCCTCTCTCTCTCTCTTCCTACTTGCACCTGGCAAGAATCATACGCAGCTCGCTCAAAGGACGTACGCGACACCGGCGGCGATACCGACGAGGCCAGCGACCACAGACTGGAGACCCTGGGGAAGGGCGGCGACGGCCTGGCCGGCAGCGCGGGAGGAGGAGGCGACAGCAGCAACCGAGCTGGAGGCGGACTAACCGTCAGCACTTGCTCGTGGTGGGTATAGCGAAGGGCTCACGTTGATGACGCTGCTGATCGAAGCAAGGGCGCCGGAAGCGGAGCCCGAGACGGACGACGCCGAAGCGGACCTGGATGTCGCAGACGCAGACGCGGTCGCAACGCCCGAGGAACCCGAAGCGCTAGCGGAGCGAGACGCGGAACTGAGAATCAGTGCAGCCCAACAATAAGTTGGGTGGGTCTACTCACCCGGCAGAGAGAGCGGTGCTGCTCACGGCCTGACCGGCCTGGGAGCACGCGCCGGCAAGCTGACCGAGGACGGCGTTGAGGGATGAGACCTCCGAGGACGAGACCCCAGGGGTGTTGCTAAGGACACACTGGAGACAGCCGACAAAGTTGGAGTAGTTGCTCGGCTGGCAGACCGAGAGACAGGTGTTGGTGTCGCCCGAGGTGCACGCCTGGTAGATGTTGAGCGCCGAGGTGCACTGGGACTGGCACGCCTGGGGGATCTGGGCGGGAGTGATCTGGCGCGCAAGGAAGGGGGCGTGCTCGGACCGGGTCATGAGGTTGGAGACCTGGTTGGCGGCTGAGAAGTCAGCGCCGAGACGACCGAGCGGGCCATAGATACTCACAGGCGCTGAGAGCGCCGACGAGGGCGACGAGGGTGGTCTTGCCGAACATTCTGGTATGTCAGCCAATGCGATAGGCTGATGGGAACGAAAGGAGGGCAGTGCTGCTGAGGACGACGCGTTGACACGCTCGGACTCACTTGGTAATGATTGATTGTTTGGTAATTGGTGACTGTGTTGGTAGAGTAAATGAGCGTGGGGGAGTCACGAGGTGGGGGCGAGCTATCTGTCTTTATAGGGTAGAGCGGAAGGATATAGGCTGAGAGGGGGAGAGCGCGACACGGCGCGACGGCGCGGAGACATTCAACGCGGCGCCACCAACAAGCTATGCTTAGTTCAGGGTCACCTTAACCTATCAAACAAAAGGGGGGTCCCACTCTAATCACGTTTCAGCTCACACATCTTACTACTTCAAGCAGTTGCAAGCCTCATCCGCAGCACTATCACACCCTTTGCCTCCGCGCCCCTCGGCTCCGCCTCCGCCTATCCTCCTATTTTATCCTCCTCCATCGCCTCTTCCGCACAGCTCCACTCAGTCTCAATCAGCAACCGGTATAAGGTTCACACGTTCCTGACCCTCTCGACCCTTCGGCGCGGCCCTCGGCCCTCGGCGGCACCGGATCCCGCTTCTATCGCTCCCGGTGGTCTTGGTCGGCAAGATCTGAGACATGCTGCACGCTGCGCACATCGCGGCACCCGAACCGCTTCAGCAACGTCTCGAGTCCACGGCGCATCTGACGTCCAAATCAGCAGGTTGAATGCATGAATCCCAAACTCTTCCCGTGTATAGTGATCAGACCCATGCCCACTTCCCCCTCTCCTGAATGCACGCTACCCTATGTTGAGTAGAAAGATGGTAGATTGTACAACGTTGATTACAAAGCGTTTGAAGCGCAAGTGAAGGCTGTCCGGACGGAGCCGGAACTGACGTTGTCAGCTTGGTCTCGAATGGGGGAACTCCATCACTCACTAAGCCAAGACAATCGCCTGTACACTGGTATATAATCCGGGGCCGAGCATGAAGAGGCCGAGGACGAAGATGAGGATGTTGATCATGGTAAAGGTGATCATCTTGGGGCCGGCGAAGAGGCGCCCCTTGTTGAGGTGGTAGTAGGCGACCGACCAGTAGATGAAGCCGTAGAACGAGTCGAACGCAGCGGACCTGTAGGTCAGCACAGGCCAAGGACATCGAGGACAGCCTTCAGGGCACACTCACATAATGCCCAGGAAGTCGCCCATACTTGGAATGACGCTGATCATCAGCAAGAACTCTCGCACAGCGTGTTGCCCAGACTCACTTTCCAAGGACGAAAGCCAGGACCCAGATGAACACGACGATCCCGGTCCATACGCTCCAGCCGACCAAGCTGTGGCTATGCGCGTGTTTCGAGTTGTTGCCGAGTATCCGCCTGAAGAGGAACTTGCTAGCAACGTTCGAGTAGATGGCGCCAATGACAACGGTAGGAACGAGAACGAACGCAAAGGCCGACTTGCGCGCCCATGGCTCAAGGAGCGATCCGATGGACGGTGCGGTGGAGTACTGGCCCATGTAGTAGTATCCGACCGCAGCGGTGACGGTGAAGAGGATGAGCTGGAGACCGGTGAGGGCGGCAAGCGCCTTGGGGAAGTCCTTGGGCTCCTTCATCTCGGCGATGAATGAGGGGTAAAGGATCTGGCCAATCCACAAGAAGGTGATGCTAAAGTCAGCATTGTCGCCCAGGGTCACTTACTTGAGGACAGCGTTAAGACCATCAACAAAGCCAGGTCCACCGTTGGGTAGTCCGACTGAGGTCTTGACGGGTCCGAGAGTGGGGTAGTTGCCGCCGTAGCCGTAAAGCGGGTTGGCCTCGATACCGGCGTAGACCAAGCTCAGGATGATGGCGATGCCCATGCAGATCGCCGAAACCACCGACATGGTAGAAATGTGGTTGAGAGTGCGTGGGAGTGAGACGAGGATACCGATGATCGCAGAGATTGCCTGGAAGGCGACGGTGCAGATCGACGAGTCGGAGAGGGTGTTGAGGATCTTGGCGCCGGTGAAGACGTGGAAACCGACTGAGAGGTGAGCGATGTGATGACTTGGTGAGCGGGAGACGCACTCAGGAAGATGTTGTTCAGGAGAAGCATGACGGCCGTAGCCTCGAAGGCTATCCGAGGGCACCATGGCTAAGGCATCAGCTTGAGCCGTACTAGGGGGAGCGAGAGGTGGCCAGGACTTACGAAAAGCAGAGCAGCGATGTCGCAGATGTCTCGGACTTCCGGATGTTTCATGCAGAATTGCCAGAGGATGTAGCTGGTGTCTGGAGTGTCAGCTCAGGCCGGACGAGCAGTTTTTTTTTACTTACACCAGGTGATGGCGCCGAGCCCAAAGGTGATGAAGAAGCCGCAGACCCATCCGAGCACACTCCAGCTCCAAGCCAAGGCGAGGATAGCCAAACAAACATACTCGCCGAAGAGGAGCAGTGTCGTCTTTTGCCATGATAGCGTCCTGAACTTGATCTGGTGGTTCTCCTCCTCGAGCCGGAGAGCCTCGAAGGGGTCGACGACAGTGGTGTGGGTCTCGACCTTCTTGCCCTGCTCGTCGTATGTGACCTTGTCAGCGGTCTCAGCCGCCAGATGATCGATTTTTGACCCAAGCATGGTTGTCGATGAAGGGGAGGTGGAAGGGGGGAAAGCCAAGAAGACGCGGATGTCGGTCGCTGCCTATATGGTGGCATTCGATGAAACCAAAACACACGCAGATCAGTGCCGGTCAGTCAGTCTGAGCCTGAGCCGGGACCCGCGGATTGGGTCATAGCTCGTCACCGGAGCGCCGATCTTCTCAGACGCCTGCATCTGACTACCCCGAAGCGATCCCGAAAGCTCTTCTTTCCGCTCTACTGCCTTCTGCATTAGGAAAAAAAGGATCAAAGAGGCAGTCGGCGATGGCGGAGGAATGGCGTGATGGTCGACAAGTCATAGGAGTTAAAAATAGTCCCGCCAAGCCCGGCGATAGCGGAGATAAGATCAGCCATGCGGCAGCGTGGCATCAGCTCAGATAAGCCTTTCCGTTGGGACTGTTTGGCTCCTTGGTTGGGCGCGGCGCATCGACAATCCAATCACTGCGTGACCCATGTACTGCTCCAGCCAGTACTATAGAAGCTGACCGGACTGGATGAGCCTCGAGCTTCTTCCACCACCGCGCCACGCTCGGGAGCAATCCGTCCGTGAGGCCCTGGGCCCTGAGCAACGCCGAACCAGACATGAGCGTGACCTCTTTGACGACTGATCTCTGCACTCACCTTTACACTCAAGGAGCCGTACGGAAGATGACCGAGATCAACAAGGGTCAAAGCGTCACCGCCGAGGTACCTCTGCTTGGACAGGATGCGCTCTTAACCCTCGAAGGGGAAAGGTGCGGGCTCAACAAAGCCTCTCGCTTGTCGGGCTTGGTGATGTGGGTAGTTGCTGCTGCCTCAGATAAGATGGTGGACATGGCAGTTTGCTGCTGCACTAGCGGCGATGGAATCCGGGTGGCACAGGCTGTGTAGAGTTCTAGAGCTGGAAGTCATAAGCAGTGCAAGAACCTATCTATTCCATCTGATTCCATCCAAGATCCTAGCAAACAGCTAGCTACTGTGACCAAGGTCCTTGGTATTGAGCCAAGCAGGATGCGACTCGAGCTCCTTCCACCACCGCGCGACATTTGGGAGCGACCCATCTACGAGGCCAGGGGCGACGCCAAACTTGCTGTCAGCCCCGCTCGTCAACAGCTCATGTATCACTCACCTTAGCAGCGATCGCACCATACGGGAGGTGAGCCAGATCAGCCAGAGTCAAGACATCACCATCGAGGTAATTATGCTTGGACAAGATACGCTCATACCCCTCGAGTTTCTTGGCAAGGACCGCTTTCTGCTTGCGGATGAGCTCGTTTGTGGCAATATCCGCGTGGCTGTCGGTCAGCAAGGTCCAGGGCTGATCAAGGATGAGACGGCTTACTTCGACATTGAGCCTATCTCATGCGCCATAGCGTCCGTCGGACCCATGAATTGGGTAACTTCGTTCTGCGCAGCTTGCTCGTATCGGGCGTAGGCGGCCAAGTCCCCGTCAGCAGTAGGTTGGAGGGGTGACTTGACTCGACTGGCAACATCTGGATGTCAGTGAGGAACCCTGCTGTGAACTCACATCGGATCATGGCTCGCGTCTCAAAGATCTCGACGCCGGTTTCGGTGTCGACGAGATACGGGAGCTGGCCGAAAGGTTGATGCTCCAGCCAGGCAGGGGACTTGAGCTGCGAGAAGTCGGCCTGGTCAATCTTGAAGTCTTGCTCATCAGCTTGCAGGTCCGTCTGATTGAGCTCAATACTAGACTCACCCTTCTGGAGCTCAAGACCCATCGCCAAGAAGGACACAACGACGCGCGCGGTACACTGGTGATCAGCTCGTGGCGACAGCCGACAGCTACTCCCGGCGCGATCGTCGCCATGGGAAAGACGGATACACGTACTGATGAGATAATGTGACCGTGAATGATATAGACCATGTTGCTTGTGAGGCTGAGGTATGAATGTAGAGACTCGGCTGGCTGCTGATGGTGCCGCTTATGGTGGATGGGATGGCGCGGCGTAGATAGGTAACTCCCCTCGCTCGAAGCTAAGGTTAAGTGCGATCTGTGAGCAGTAGTTCGGGGTCCGAGCTCCGAGCTCAGCGGGGTAGTCAGAGGACCCCTTTGAGTTGAGTCCGATCATAAGCTTTCGCTTCTCGTCCGTCCTCGTCAGGCTGAAAGTTTCGCCCGAACTTAAGCTCAGGCAGGCGGAATCATCGCTCTGCCAGCAGTGGACACTCTCGCTGTGCTGCCATGACTCGAAATCTGCGGGGAAGAGCGACAAGGAGCGTCCACGGTCAGCGTCGGTGCTCAGTACTTGTCCGGCAGATTGCTCGAGAACAGGACACTGTGGAAGCAGCGTGCATGTGCTCGTACTGACCTCAGTATCCAAAGCTGCCCCACGCTTACAAGTCGTGCGATTGATGTCTGACGGAATACAACGAGGCCTCCATACCCCTCCATAAGTACATACCACCAGTCCCTCAGTACATGTATCGGAACGATCGGGTGTTCGCGAGATCGGTCAGATCTGCGAACGCAGCGTCGTGCTGGACAATCTCGGCCTGCGAAATCAGCGTAGCTCCCGAGCCCGAGAGGGAATATGAACTTACAGTTTGGGGATCCCGTGCAGAGAGCTGCGTCATGTTCCCCTCGACCTCTGCTTGCGCCTTGCGCCGGACTGAATTGCGGCGCATGAGGACGAAGCGCAGTAGTATCGCAGTGACGATGAAGAGCGCTGATTGATCAGCACGGCCACGATCTGACTGGGACCAAGCCCTTCTGCGCAGGACTGGCCGTAGAGCGCGATGTGCACGCTGAACGCCGTATGATACCTCGGCCCATCAAAGGACTGGAAGATCTGTGGTCCGACCATATTGCCAGCTGCAAACATGATGAACATCTGCGCATCAGCAGGTGCATCGGTTTGCCACCCCTGAACGGAGACTCACCGAGGTGTACGTAGTGACCTTCTTGGACTGTCCAGCTATGTTGCGGGTCACCAGCGACCAGAGGAGGTTCCCAGACACGATACAGCAGTTGGCGAGATCTGGGGAGTCAGCTGGGACCTGCTTCTTGGTACATGAGTAGCGGCTCACAGAAAGCTATAAGCAGCCCAGCGGCAGTAGCTGGCGTAACGGCGACAGCGTTGAGGACGATAGTGCCGACGAGCGCGACAACTGGACCATTAGCCTGGAAGATTGACGACAAGCGACATCAAGGAGCTCACTCATAAAGCAGATCAAGACCAGAATTGTTTGTTTCGTCCATCGAGCCAACCAAGCAGAGCCTTCCCATCAGCTCTGAGATACCGGACACGATCCTCGACAAGGACTCACTGATGTAAATCAAGACACTCCAACCTCCTTGAGCGAGGTTCAAGAGCTGTGTCTGGCGTACCGAGAAGCCCAGACCGTTGACGATGATGTTGGAGAATACAGCGAGGGAACCAACAATGAGGAAGCAGGTGAACTGCATGAGGAGGTATAGCCAGACGACTGGGTCTTTGAAGGCTGAAGGTGTAAGCTAGCGTGTCTTCAAGGTAAGCGGGAGACATACCCTCTCGTAGCTGCTCCCACTTGAAGCGTTTATCCTGCACACCCAGCTCATTCACGCGCAATCGCTCCAGGATCAGAGTCTTCGTCTCCTCGTCAAAGCACTTGGCGCGCATAGGTGAGTCCGGCAAGAAGACCAGAATCAAGCAGCCCCAGATGACAGTGAGACCTGTATCGTTAGCGACCTGGCTCTTGCAAGATCCGTGTCCCCATGCTGCCCCGCTCTGCTTCTGCGTGACGTCAAGGCTTCGTATCCGTCCCTCCCTACACTCTCGGAGACGCCTCACCAAAACCTCCCACACCAGGTAGGAGGAGCTCACCTCCGACGATCAGGAATAACGCTTGCCAAGAGTAGATTGCGGCGTTCTCAATATAGGTCAAGCCGTAGGCAAGCAATCCGGCCACCCCAAGCTGCACACGTCAGCTTTCTATGCAATTTGTATCAGCCTATCCTTGATGGGTACTGACCTGGACGCCCTGCTGGCAGTACCTTGTTTCGTCAGCTAAGCCTATCCTACTGCCGCAGCAGTCGGGGGAGATCAAGGGGCGACACACCAGTAACTAATGATTGTTGGGTGTTCCTCTCGCCGATAATACATGACGGTAAGGGTCATCAAGCAGGGCTGAACCGCGCTGGCGTCAGCTAGATCCGGCTGTGACGCACCTCTCAAAGAGCCCGAGCAGGAATCTGACAGCCATAAGCCCTGACCAAGTCTTACATGCCGCATGGCACATGACCAGAATACCCTTTGAATCAGCCCCATCTCAATGTAAAGCTTAGTCAACCTACCCAGAGGATGATGAGTACGCCGAGGAATTTGGCGATGGGGAAGAGCTGGATGATGCGATTAGCAGGGATCTGCGAGTCAGTGAAGACCAGGGACCAGGAGTAGGGTGTACTGACTTCGCCGACCAGGATCCCAACGTAAAGAATCGTGCCGAGCAGAGCGTACTGCTGGCCTACCAGTCCGACATCTCTTTGGATCCCCATGATGGAGGAGAAGGCAAGGGTTCCTTTATCGACTGTAGCAAATCAGCGAGATAGTCCATGATCACAAAGGCAACGTACAGGTCTGGAAGAAGTAAGTGATAATGAGGAACGGCAGAATCCGGCGGTTGAGCTGTGCGGATCAGCGGCAAGTCTGGCTTCGTTCTCTGACCTAACCGAACGCACCATTGACTTGATCCGCTGATTGGTCTCTTCGTCGATCACAATGTCGGGATTGAGATACTTGGCCGTCTCCTCGTCGATGGCGCCGAAGGCAGCGGGAAGTGTCTTGCCGCCTTCGACATCTGCATTCGGCGATGCGGTTGGGATGGGGTGGTCGACATGCTCTACCTGGGCTTTCTTGTCGGTCCCTGTAGCTCTGGAAGGCATATTGGAGGGCTTCTGTCGTAGGTCTCGCCAGGAAAAGTGAGCGGGAGGAGGGGGGCAGGGGACAAGCCTGTCGATCTGCTCATCATATAAGTCAGAGGTGGGCAAGGGCTGCTGAGCGCTGAGGCCGACATCCGCGGCCCGATGGGCCCGTCTCCATTCGCCCGGCCCGAAGACGCCCCGAAGATGCTCAGGCCTTATTAGGGGTCCCGCAAAGGCGCGGTCATGGCTGGTCAGCTGGTCATGGGTATGGTGGTGTGGAGCTGGAGAGGTCAGCTGATCTTGCAGCAAATCCATATCCGCCATCCGCGTTTTACCGTGCAGACCGCAACGGATATAGCCGTTTAGGTTGCAGGAATGCTGATGACGTCTAGGAATCGTGAGGCCGCTTCGGCCGACATTATCGAGCTCCTACATCCTCGCTGACCACCATGTAGAGGTATAGGATCGTGTCTTCACGAAGTCCTGCAGCCAGCTCGGTAACACGATGGTGCGACGGACATTTGACCGCGTCGTGTCTCCATGACTCCCCAGCTTAGCTTGCAAGGGAGAGTTGTGGGGCCCCGCGCGGAGCAGGGCCATGCCGTGATGTTCTCGACCGCTTCAATCATGACGGACGCGATGGCATCTTTGCTTCGAAAGTGCTTTCGCGATCGCGTTGACCTACATTACCCTCGTCTTGCAACGTGCACCTCACGATGTCGATGAGAGAGGACAGAGAAGATCATCCGGCAGCCAAGTTTGGCCCAGCCGGCCATGTCATCTACCATGGGGAAGAATGCGAACCTGAACCACGCGCCAATTACATTTCGGAGCTGTTTCGTCCCTGGATTATACGCCAGGTCAGCAGAGTGACCTCTGTGCTGTAGCGTAGCAGCTCACGACTGACGATATAGTGGATTGACGCCGTAAGTCCCATCTGCAAGCTGGTCACGGGTGTAGCTAATGAGTCAGGGCAAGATACACCGCGAGCCCACTCCGCGCGAGACGCCCCGATTCGAGCTCTTCTTCGATCTGCTTTACGTGGCGGTCATTCACCAACTGGGTGAGCTATTTCGGCCTAGCTCGGAGATCGTAGGCCTGCGGGGATAGTACAGACTAGTCTCATAAAGGCGCCCCGACTGACCACTCAGCTGAGGAAGCGATCTCGGAACCCGGCTGGCCCGCTGTCGTCCGCTTCGTGCTGGTCTTCTGGCCCAGTTGGAGTATCTGGGAGGAGGCACGCAAGTATTCGAACCTGTCAGGCACCGACGACGTAGGTCTCGACCTCGATAAAATGTGTCAAGCTGATCGTCAGTTGCTACATCGGTTTTGGATCTTGATTGGCACAATCACCATCCTTGGGTACTCCGCCAATGCCTCGGCTGTGCGCCTCGAAGTCTCGAAGGTGTCAGATCACTATGCCGTCCACTACGCAGCAGCTTTCTGGCTGATCATCAAGCTCACGCGGGGTAACTCACACTTTTGCAGACAGGGAGCATTAAGCTGACGCCTAGTCATCATCCTTCTGCTCTATGCGTATCGTCTCCCGGACTTCCGATCCTCTCAGATCCTCCAAGCGGTAGCTGTCCTGATCCCGATGTTCCTATATCTCCCGCTGCTTTGGACCAAGCATCGCCACATGCACATCATCCTCGCCACGCTAGGCTTGGTATTCGATGTCGTCAGGGTCGATCTGCTGGTATGGAACATTGTCGGCAGATGGCAGGCGAGACGAGACGGAAAGGTCAAGGTCCGGTGGTGGAGCATGCCGAAGCTCAAACCTGGAATCCGGATCCCAGGTGAGTCCCAATGACGATCTTCCAGGCAGCCGTGCTTATGAGATAGCCATGAACATCGAGCATGCTATCGAGCGGTATTCAGCCTTTCTCGGTGAGCAATCTCGTTGCGGTTCATGACTGGCGCTGATTAAAGTCATTGTTCTTGGCGAGCTCATCATGAACCTACTCTACACCGCGTCAAAGAAGGATCTCGGGCTCTCTGTGAAGTTCGGCCGTGCGACGCTGGGTATGATGACAGCTTGGGCCTTGAATTACTTGTGAGTCTCAAACGAGCCAAGGTACTCCAATACAGGCTAATATGCAGATCATTGCTGCCGTCCGAGCCGAACTCTGAGTGAGCTCCGATTCCCAGCTGCATCACCTGCATAGGCTAATGTCAGATACGAGCACGCATTACGCCGCAGCTGGTTCTCGGGAATCTGCTTCAGCGTGTGAGTCCTCAGCCTCTACTCAACTACCTGTCGATCCGGCGCTAATGACTAGCTTTCACTGGCCTCTTGTCGCTTCCTTGCTCCTGGCCTCGGCGGGGGCGAAGCATCTTGTCGACGAGACCCAGGTGGAAGAGGGGACGAGGTGGTACTGGTCGACTGGACTGGGTGTGGCGATTCTGTTCCTTGGCCTGATCGATGCGACTCATCGCGATCTTGCGCCAAGATTCGCAACTAAGATACCCAGGGTGAGTCGTTGCATTCTCAACGGTATCAAGCTGACACAGCAGTTCCTCCGCCAAATCTTCACCCTCATCACTGCCGTCTCCCTCATTCTCTCCCCTCTAACCGCTCCCATCCAGCGAATGACTTCCATCCAGCTTCTCGGCGTGGCAGTAGCGGCCACATGGGGTCTCCTCATCGTCCAAGTGCTCGGATCACTGCCGCGGGCTGGCTATCGCGGAGTCAAGCTGGACGACGAAGGTGAGAGTGTTGTGGAGCAGGAAAGGGATGCAGAGGCTGCGGAGGCTGCCGGTGAGGGACAGGATGCAGAAGGACCAGAGGGGGAGGAAGGGGAGGCATACATTTGACCGACCCTATTCCGATGAAGCATGTACAGTACGTATTTCCCGAGGTGTCCGATATTTAGCCGACCGTACAGATTCCAACTTGCGCTAGCTATGTCTGTCTTCCTTCCGCCTCATGCCTCGTGACTCGTTGCGTATCAGCCCGAACGTACCCACGCCGAAGCACGCCGACCTCTTATCGTAACGGCCTTATCGTTGGGCACATTCCTCGGCTTGGCGGACTTCGGCTCTCTCGGCCATTTCGGCCTTGTCCGATCGCATTGGCGCTAGTCTTTCGGGTTTGCGCAGCGGTCTACTGAGCTTCTTGAGCTTGACTAGCATGTTCGGCAGGTCCAACCGATGATAAGCAGGAAGCTGCAGCCCGAGTGCTGTTGCTTGATACTGAGTGATGACTCCCACTGAGCGCCGAAATATATATAAGCTGCTGACTACGATAAGACCTTCTGATATCTCCTCCTGACCACCAGCTGAGCGCCCCGTCTTCAGCTCACGATCTCAGAACACCACCATCACCTCACCACAGCAGTTACTCCGCCGCCGTCGCCTCATTGCAAGATGGGGTTCGCACCCAAGGTCCGCCGCTTCTTCATTGGCGATAAGCCCTCGAGTGCGCAGGAGGCCACCCTCCTCCGCAAGATCGACACGGTCCTCCTGGCTTATCTCTGTCTCTCACAATTCATGAACTTCCTCGACCGCCAGAACATCACCAACGCGTATGTATCATGGTTCAACTCGAGTACAGAGCCGAGCTGACAAGCACAGATACGTCTCAGGCATGGCCGAAGACGTGGGATTTACTGGCTTGGACTATAACGTGACACAGACCATCTTCCAGAGTAAGTTGTCCGGGTGCCGGACATCCCGAAGAGCTTGGCTGACCATCAGTCGGCTACATTGTCGGCGGTATCCCCCAATCGCTTATCGTCTCTTCCAACCGGATCAGGTTGTCAATCTGGCTGTAAATTCCCATATTCCCCCAACATCTCCTCTTCCCAGCGAGAGTCAAGCTGACTGGCCAGTCCCTTGTGCTGTATGTGCTGGGGCCTGATGAACCTTGGAGTCGCTTGTAAGTCCTCTTTCGTGCCCAGACCGTGCACGAGCTGACGAGGGCAGTCTCTACGAAGGTCTACCAGATCCAAATTTTCCGATTCTTCATGGCCATCTTTGAATCAGTCTCGTTTGCCGGTGGCGTAAGTTCTACTTGTATACTTCAGTGGCTAGCTGATGTCGTAGCACTACGTCCTGGGGATCTGGTACAAGCCATCCGAGCTGGGGAAGAGAGCTGCGCTGCTCACCGCTAGTCAGAATACCGGTGGGCTGTTCGCAGGCGTCATGCAGGGTGCGATCTACACTACTCTCAACGGCAGGTTGGGCATGTCTGGGTGGCGTGTGAGTAGAGCTGCTCCTAACCGTGTGAATGTGCTGACGCCCATAGTGGATGATCCTTGTCAACACCCTGATGAGTGAGATCACGCACGTTCCAACACAAGTTCAAGCTGACACGAGCAGCTGTCCCGGTCGCGCTGTTTGGCTTCTTTACGTTCCCCGAGTAAGTCTTGATGTCAAGGGCGATGATCATGCAGCTGACCCATCCAGCACACCTCAAGACTGCCGGCGCCGCTGGCTGTCCAAAGAGGAGCTCCAGCTCGCCATCGACCGGGTGCCCGAGCGCGTCCAGACCAAGCTCAGCTGGGGGTCGTTCAAGCGCATCTTCTTCGAGTGGCGCTTCTGGGCATTTACCTTCCAGTTCTCCTTCAATACCATCATGGAGTGGAGTGGTCTCTTTACTGTGAGTTTCCGCCGTGTCGTGGAGTCGAACTCATACTGACATGTGCAGCCCATGCAGCTGTGGATGAAATGGACAGGATGGTACACTGTGCCTCAGGTACGTTGCTCCAGCCTCGCGTCCTCATTCCACTCGAGCTAATAATAGATCAATTACTACCCGCTCGGTACCACCGCCATCATCATCACGTCCACCTTCTTCTTCGCCCTCTGTAAGTCTTCTACTTGGCTCGTGGACCTCAAGCTGACGAAGAGGGTCTGACTACACGCGGTCGAGGTGGTGGGTCAATTGGTGAGTCTGCAGCTTGCACTTTGTCGGACTGGGAACATCAAGCTGACCTGACAGCGTGATGGCCGTCTTCTCAGGCGTGTCCGCCACGATTCTGTTGGTCTGGGAGATCCCGACGGCTGCTAAATACTTTGCTTGGGTAAGTCTCTTCCCCTACGACGTGGTAGGCGAGAACCGTAACTGAAGCTCCAGTATCTGGCTGGCATGGGATACATCGGTCAAGCTACAAACTTTGCGTCAGTACTACATATTGATGCTCGCGATCCGGCTGACTCGACAGCTGGGCCAACGAGATGTGTCGAGACAACGATCAGCTCCGTGCCTACACCCTGTACGCCATGGTCTACGGCTCCAACGTCTCCATCGCCATATTCGGCATCGCTTTCTTCCCGGTCACCGACCTTCCTCGTTTCACCAAGGGCTATGCTACCTCTCTCGCTATCTGCATCCTCTCCCCACCACTCGCCTATGCGATCCACAGGGCGTGCGCTTCCAGGGCGGCCAGGCTCAAGCGGGAAGCCGAGGCGGCGGGTTCGATCGAGTACCGGCCTGCCGATAGCCCATCGGCCGAGGCGCAGTATGAAGACGTAGATGAGAAGAAGGGCGAGGCGGTCATCCCGGAGGAGGGGGATGTCAAGGTCTCGGAGGTTCCGGTTTCGATGGTGCGATGAGGAGGTGGCGTTGAGGGAAGATTCCGAATTATAGATGCGCCTTGTAAATAGATGGTGTGAAGTGATGTGTCGTCAGAGTCGATTAGAGAATATGTAGTGGTCGATGTAATCTCATCGGTGCACGACTTGTTCATCGGGACCATGTCCTGCAGCTTGCGCGTTCTACACCGTACAAGTACAAGTACGTGGTGGACCGCCTCCACATTCCTCGCAGACGAGATCCACATTCATACTGACGTCACTGGTCGACCTTCGTTAGGCCGTTTCGCTCGATCTCAGCGACATTGCACTTGTGCATTGTCAGTCGCATTACCAACAGCATCAGACTTTTCTTTTACCACTTATTTCGCCGTCACAATGTCAAAGTCTCCCGCAAACCGCGTCCCCATCACTCCCTCCCCGCAACACTCGGGATCGACCGTTCGCAAAGCCTTCCTCATCGAGTCCCTCTTCAACCTCGGTACCATCCCCCTCCTTACCCACACCCGTCCTGTCCTCTCTCTCCTCCTAGCTCGGCCAGCGGACATCAACCCCTCTACCATCCTCTTTGCTCGCCTCTTCGCGGGCATCATCATCGGCGCGCTCACACCCGCACTCTGGTTCGGGACCGCCGATACGCGTACGGGCATCGAGTGTCGGCGGCCAGTATACGTCATACTGGGAGGCGGCGAGCTGTGTCTGATCCCGATCTTGGTCAGGGAGGCGCTAAAGCATGGGGATAGGACGGCCGCGTTGAGCGAGCATGGGGCTTGGGGGATGGTGTCTCTGTTGGTGCCTCCTTTCTTGTGGAGGATCTACACGCTATTCATCCGTCCAGATATGATGGGGCGGTACGATGAGAAGAGAGAGTAGGAGAGGAGGGAGTAGGAGCCGATGCTCTTCGAGGCGGGCGGCGTGGAGGAGAGCTGGCTGGGTTGGCGGTTACGTTAAGCCGTAAAGCGTAAACTCGTTGATATAGCAACGTTCAGCAGCATAGACCTCGCTACCCTAGGCTTGTATACAGCTAGCACTGTCTCCTTCAAGACGTACAAGCTGTAATGCCCATACACATCACCGCTTCAGCTGCGCTCCACAATAGGGCAACAAATTAGTCTCGATTCAGTACCGCTACAGTTCCGAGAAGGGAAGACAGTCGCCGGGAGAGTGAGACGTTCGCTCAAGGAAGGTCCTCGGCAGCAGTACGACGATGGCACAAAGTATGTCTGAGAGCAGCGGATGATTGGAGCCAGTAAATATGCAGACTACAGAGCCTACCGGCGCGCGTCGATGTTACTGCAGTAATCTAGGGATCCTTCGCTTGGGCGTGATCGCTTCGTATCCGGCCCTACATACATATCAGCTAGATTTCAGATATAAGCGACTGAATACTTGCAGAATACTGATGAGCCTCTCCTCCTCGCCTCCCCTGACAGCAAAGAGAATTCCAAATGGAACACCATTATTGGCATACCCAAGCGGAGCGGTCCCCTGGACGAATAAGCTCTGCGTATAGCCCTTCAAAAAAGGGGTGATGATGACCACTTACGAGTGCATAACCTGCCGCTGATACGTATTTGTGGGCCGGCCCGAGATCCACCGCAAACACAGCGGCATCGAGATTGAATTTGTCGAAGATATAATCTAGACCGTTGGTACGGGCGATCTTTTTCGAGATCGCTTGATTGTGCCGATACACGTCAGAATCCCGACTGGGGGCGCTCAGCGAGGCAATCAGGCGGCTTTGGGAGGGAGCATAGGGTGGAAGCTCAACCGACTGCAGGATCAGGCATTTCCCCTGATCGAAACTCACCGCATGATCAATGTGCCATTGTACCAGATCCTCGATATCAAGAATTGGTGACTCCACCAGATTCCCCAGATAGACACTGATGTCCTCCTTGAAATCGCTCTGAAAGAGGGCTTCCTCGCTCTTGACAAGCGTCTGGGAATCCTCATAGCTCGTTTCCATGTTCACCTCGATTATCGAAGCCCCGGAGGACGCCATGAGAGCCGCTGCCGATCGCACAGCTATCACTTCGGTCTCGATAGAGGCCGGGGTGTCGGGCATAATGTCCCGTCCGTCTGCTTCCTCCAGAAAGTTCCTGATCACCAATCCGAGTCTGAGATCCTTCATCAACGGCATATTTGCGGCTTTGGCGTACCTATCATTAGCTCTGGGCTGTAGCCGAAGAGACTCACCGTCCGTCATCGAACGTCATTCCATCCAGCATGAACGCGCAATCTGCCGCGCTGAATCCCATCGGCCCCAAAGAATCTCGGCATGTACTGAGAATCCCATCAGAATCCAGTATGAGATGTTTGCAGAGTAGCTCACCTAATGGGCACCACCCCGTCACTGGGGACGAGACCAGTCGTTGGTCGGACTCCGTACAAAGCAGCCCGACTGGCGGGATGAATCTGCGCTCATGAGGCTATGAGCCAGTGGTGCAGAAGAGACACGTACGAGAGATCCCGAGGTTTCCGTGCAAAGAGCAGCAGCGCCGAAGCCAGCGCTGAGTCCCACGGCGTTCCCCGCAGAACTTCCGCCGCAGGCCGAGGTACCCGCAGCGTAGGCAGACCGACATTGTCCGCCTACGGCCGACCATCCGAGCGGTGTATTCTGTCCCTTGAAGTTCGACAATTCCGAGAGATTGGCTTTGGCGAGTACTATCATCAGCCGCTGACCCCCTGCCCATAGGCTTACTGATTGCCCCAGCTTTCCGAAGCCGCTTGATGACCTCAGCATCGCCTGGGACTACGCTCTGCTCTAAGACTTTCAGCCAACAACCGAGATCAAACAGCGACAGTCCACTTACGAAGTGCAGTACTACCTGCTGTGGTCTTCATCCCCAACTCGACATCTGTCGCAATGTTGTCTTTGACTAGGATCGGAATACCGTGCAAGGGACCTCGGACAGACCCCTCGCGTCGCTCCCGGTCCAAGCCTTCGGCGATCTTCAACACTGAGTCAAGTGGCGCCACTTGTATAATGGCGCGAAGTTCTTGGCCGTTGACATTATTCTGCTCAATGTTGACTGAATAGTCAGCGTTGAATGTCAATTCTGACGTACACATATAGGCCTTCACTAGATCCACAGACGTGATCGCGCCTTGAGCGAGAAGGCTAGAAAGTTCTCCGATAGAGGTCTGAAGCAGATTCAGTGATCTCGGCAGGGTCACACCAGCGGACGCGGGCGTCTTGATAGGAGCTGCGTCTGACATGATGATCTTTTAAAGATGTTACGTTGAGTGAAGATGTCAAGCATAGTCAGAGCGCACTCTGATTGGTGATATAGTCGAGTCCTCTCCTTTGTCATAGTCGAGTCTCCTCTATTGTTGGTCCACTCAGTACCTTTGTTCATATGCACGTGATTGGGACATGGTAAGTCGTGAGCGTCTTGCGATGTCAGGGCGAGCGGGAAGATGAGATATACCGATCAGATGGAAATAAACCGATCAGGATATCACCAGGGTGGCTCTTGCGTGCAGAAATGCCAAAACAAGTAGACACTGGCTATCAGGCACTCGTGATCAACGGGTCTCATCAAGCATTACGCTCTGAGTCTTTGTGCTAATTAGTAAGAGGGCTCGAACGAAGCAACATACGTTCTCAGCAGGTAGTTGGAACCCCTTGGTTGGCCCAATTGGCAGGAAGCATGCAAGCAGGCAGCCGCCTTTTGCCGCCGCCGCTGACGTCGTGATCACGTAATGTACCTAGTGACGTGTCCACCACTGAGCTTTTCCTACCGATGCTCTCCTTTCTTCTTACTTTGCAGCTTGGCTATCCGCACCATCTACCCTCTGTCCATACATCCCCATCAACTCTTACCTCTCTTAACAGCTTCATAGCAAACCAATCAATCAAAATGGGTATCTCATGTGAGTACAGCTCGGCTTTTGAACGAAGCTGTAGAACGGAACATCGCTGATCCTTGTGCAGTCGACTTTTCCGTACGTCTTGCTTCGTCCACGGCACCTCGACAGCAGCTGATGTAGCAGGGCCAGACCATCATCGTTACCGGTGGTAACAGGGGTGAGCCGTCTCACAGATACGCTTAGATCCTCTCTGATCCACAGGTATCGGCTTTGCCATCTCCGAGACCCTCGCCAAGGCGTCCGCCAACGTCGCCATCATCTACAACTCGGCCAAGGATGCGCCCGACGTAGCGGCCAAGATCGCAAAGGACCACGGTGTCAAGTGCGAGGCCTTCAAGTGCGACGTCGGAAACACCGAGCTCGTCAAGAAGACCTTCAAGGAGATTGACGAGAAGTTCGGCTCCGTCACTGGTGTCGTTGCCAACGCCGGTGTCTCGGTCGTCAAGGACGCCTTGGAGATGCAGAAGGAGGACTACCAGTTCGTCTGTGAGTAGCTGTTCCTCTTTCTGCTGGATCTCTGCTGATCCCGGCAGACGACGTCAATGTTTGGGGCCAGTTCGCTTGCGCCCAGGCTGCCGCCGACCTTTGGACCAAGAACGGTACCAAGGGCTCCATTGTCCTCACCTCCTCCATGTCTTCCCAGATCGTCAACAAGGGGATCCACCAGGTCTTCTACAACTCCTCCAAGGCTGCCGCTTCCTCCATTGTCAAGCAGCTCGCTGTTGAGGTGAGTACCCTCGGCCTGCATTACATGTAGTCGGAGCTGACAGTATCAGTGGGCTCCTCACGGTATCCGCGTCAACGCTCTCTGCCCCGGTTACGTCGCGACTGACCAGACGTGCGTTATTCGACCCAATCATATGACACTCAGCTGACTCAGCAGCGCCCACATGGACCCCAAGCTCCTCGAGTGGCAGAAGAAGGACCTTGTCCCCCTCGGCCGCTTCTCCACCCCCGAAGAGCAGGCGTACATGACCATGCTCCTTCTCGACTCCACCATGGGTGCTTAGTAAGTCATATCCATACAAGCGAGGAACCCCGCTGATCGCCTCTTAGCTGCACTGGACAGGAGTACTTCGTTGAGTAAGTCAATATGTCTCCTTTCTCCCGAGACATGAGCTAACCAAGCAGCGGTGGTGCCCAGGCCTGGTAAACGGCTTCCATTAGCCAAAAGCACAGTGTATCCGGTTGTGGATGTGCAAAATAGTGTAGCTATGCATAGAGTTCTTGTCGATAATCTCTTCGGGGCTGACGGGTGGAATGACGTTCATGCACGCGTTTGACGCCGGACTGCACAGCTGAGCGAAGCGTATCTGAATCCAGCATATTCTATCATCCTAAACATCATGTTCTCGTTAAATCATCATTGTACCTTACGGATCAAGCGCTGACTGGCGGACCAGCCGAGGTGGGAGCGGACGGGACAGTATCGGTCGGAGCCAGTGTCGATGCTGCTGACCCCGCTCCGCCGGCTTCAGCCTGAGCCTTCCCTTCGCCGTTGGCCGTTCCTTGCACCTTTCTTCCCGGAAACAGCACCTCCTCCCACTGCCTCTTGACCGTGCCAATCACATCGCGCTTCTCCACCCCGCCCACACTGCCGACGTTGACCATCACCATATCGCCATTCTCTGCCCTTTCCCACTTGATCGGCCCTGCCGGCAGCATGCCCTTCTCCATCCCTTCTGCCCACTCCACCATCTCGCCCATACCGCCGGCCGCGAGATTTGGCATCTGGCCGAAAGTGTAGTCCAGCTGGCCGCCGTACTTTTTGGGTATATCCTGGATCTCCATAAAGTCCGAGAGTGTGGGGAGGACCTCTGCATCGCTGAGGATAAACATCTTCGACACAACGATGGGGTCGAACCATTTCTTGATCCATGACCAGACGGTGGGGAAGAAGGAGGGAGCGCCGATGATCTAAGGGTTAGCTAAGTCGACCCGTGGCTGAGCGGAAAGCTCACAAAGATCCGGTCCAGCGTCTCGGGGTAGTGTGCTGTCGCGAGCGTACTCGCATCCTGCATGTGGGTCTTGAGGTCCCAGAATTGCTTCAATCCGACGCCAGAGATATCGACGATATTGTTGGACTGAGAGATGGGCGTTACGTCGGCATATGGACGGTCGGTAGCGGAGGTGAGGAAGGGGAGGGCGAAGTTGGTAAGGTTCTCATAGAGTGCGAAAAGGCGGAGGAGTTTTGCGGGGGTCTTTCCGGTATAGGACGAAGGTGTGCCTCTGATCCAATCAGTAGATGTCCGTTTCCACGTATGAGCATGGGCTCACTTCAGACTCGTCGCCTGCTCGTACGCTGCGATATCTTTGGAGTTCAGGTTGCCCACCTCAAAGACATAGACTGGGACACCTCGCTTGTCTCTTCTGCCAATCCATTGCGGGTACTGTCATCAGCTTTGGATCTTACTATACGAGCTTGCGGGGACTCACAAGTCGCCTGGTCGACTCATACTCTTCTCTATCGATCCAGCGATACACGCCCTCAATATCGTTCTCCTTCCTCCACTCCTCGGTATCCTTGAACTGCTTGAACGCGCCCTCCAGGTCAAACCTCCTCGCCCTGAGAAACCTCAGAAGAGCAACGTCGTCGGTGCTTGGCAGATCGCCCTTCGGACCGTGACCCGTGGGCGAGTACGCCTTGCGGTCGGTACAGAGCTGCTTGAATTGGTCAAATGACGCCTGCTGCGAAGGGGAGAGGTGACCGAGGTGTCCCGAGGGGTACTGATAAGCGCCAGCGGCGCCTTGAGTGCTAGAACTGGGCATGATTAGCGAGAGATTGGCGGTAGGTGTAAAGTCGCAGTTGCAGAATGATGCGACAGGGTTGAGCGAAGTTCTTCCCTTTCATTGCAGACCATGAAGACTTTCTTGTGCTCGATAAGCGGAACCATGCCGTCATTGTCATCCTGATCATGCGTCATCGCAACGGCTCCCGACGCGCCTCGGCCTCGGCCATGCATCTGGCATGTCCGAGGCTTCAGAGTGGACATACGGCCTCCCATGAGTGTATTGAGCAGACGCTGGATCATCCTAGAGGGAAGTCTGCGGAGTGTGTCCGTGGTCAATGCATATCTAATCTCTATCCATCAATGACCGCCCGATTCTCCCTACCACCTCAGCGATGTCTACCGTCCCCCTCAGCACCGCCTCGATGTGCTGGTCAGGCCGGACCAGTACCGCTCCACCTTGGTTCAGGCCATAGCTCCTCTCCCAGCTGTCACCCATCTCGGCCTCTACCCACTCGAAGTCCTCTCCAGCCGCCAAGACCCGCACTCGTTTCCCCGCAGCCCGTAAGCCTTCCTCCAGCTGAGTCCACCCCTGCTTTCCTGCTGCCGACTGACTCGAGCAGACGAGTAGGTACGCGTCGATAGGCACGAGGTCGAGTATGGAGTACCGCCAGCTCTCCTGCTTTTCCTGCGACAGCTCGTCCTTGATATACTCAAAGTCGACCGGTTGGGCGAGACCCGTCAAGCGATCTTCGTTCGGTCGGACCCAAGCGTGACCCAGTCGCGCTCCTTTCCGATAAGCCGGCTCGAACTCGCTTGGGTTTTCGAATGTCCAGTTAGGCTCATAGACAAAGCCCAGGTGTAAATTGGTCTGCTCCATTAGCTTCGGACGAGCCATGCGCACACAAGGAAAGCTCACGCAATTGAACTGCTCCGCCTGTTCCGCTACCATTTCCGCTATCTTCGAGTCCCATGTTGGATCGGCCAATCGCTCAAACATGTTCTTCCGCGCAGTAGCGATGTCTGGATCGGTGGTTCCGAGGGCTTTGAGCAGCCCGAAGACCTTGCTGCCGTATTCGACGGCTCTAGCAGAGTTGCGGAGACCGACAGGACGGCGCTCGGATTCGTATGTATGAAGGGTAGATGAGAGGCGGTTTTGGGAAGGGGAGGAGTAAGATTGGGCAATCTTCCAAGCGAGATTGTGTGCATCTACTGGATCAGCCGAATCCAATACAGAGGCACATCAGAATTACCATCTCTCCGCCAAACTACTCACCAGCGATGCCAGAGTTCATACCCAGTCCACCGGTAGGTGGAAAGCTGTGCGCCGAATCGCCGACGACTATGACCTTGCTCTTGCTATACGTCTTGGCGACCTGCGACTTCATCTTCCACGGGACGCAGCTGAGAAAGTCGAACGGAACATCGCAACCGAGCGCTATGCGGATGATCTCGCGACATCGCTCCGGTGTGAAGGTCTCGCGAGCATGTATTGTGGGCTGTCAGAGTCAGCTACGATCACCATGTCGCGTCTGGGTCTGGAGGGTACGCACGTCATACTGGTGCAGCAGCACCTGGTTTCCGCCGAGATCATACGCTATCACCACGCCCTGTACCGCCGGGTCCATGATCCAGTACAGCATGGCCGTGCGCTCCTTGACTACCGGATAGAGGTTGGCGCTGAAGTGAAGGCTCATCATTTGCGCTGTACCATTAGTTCCATCGAACGTCTATTGATGATCAAGCGACAAACTCACGCCCATCCTGCTCGTCCAGCTCGATCCCTGCCGCTTGCCGTACCTTGGAATTCGTTCCGTCGCCCGCAATGATACAGCTTGACCTGATGGTCTGTTGCTCGCCGGTATAGGTATTCTCTATAGTGCTAATGACCTCGTCGTCGGTCTGAGCATCTGATCAGCTACAACTTGCGATAGAGGCTCACCTCAGTGTAAGACTTCCAAGTCCAGCCGGTGCGTATTTCCGCCTTTCCATCTTGCTCCAGAAGTCCCCGTATGAGAATTTGGAGGTCCGGCTGGGGGATGTTATGCAGGATCTACTGAATCAGCTTGACCTTCTCCCGCGCGATGCTGAGAAAAGCTCACCTCGGGTGATATCCCTAGCTGATCCACCTCGACATTATCAAACGGCAGACACCCTATCTCCCTCCCGCCACTAAGGTTGACGTCTGTTACAAAACGGATGTTGCGCGCGTCTTCGCGTTTCGTAGGGTATGTCCTGATCGTCTTGATTGGGATACCGAATTGGCGAAAGATCTCGAGCGATCGAGGGGAGAGGAAGTGAGCTTTGGGGACGGGAAGAGGGGCAGTGTGACGCTCAAGAAGTATTACAGGGACTGTGTGTCAGCGCTCGATCAGGGTCTGATGGTGGTGTGGTGGACTCACCCCCGAGTTTGGAAAGGAAACGGGCCTGGAGAAGTCCCACCGGACCCGCCCCGACGATCAGAACGGGCAGCATAGCGGCTCAGCAGATTGCTCGCCTATCAGATGAGACTGCTGATGCTCGTCACAGCTGGCGACACAGCTGAATATGTAAAGCAGCGAATAGCGAAAGGTCAAGACAACGTTCCGAAGAAGTGATCGATCTGACGCGATCTGCGATCCTCCTATTACGCACGTCAGCCAGTAAGCTTAAGCTTTGGCTCGTTACGTCATAAGGAATGTGTAGCTAGAGCTTCTGCTGGAAGTTCGAACGGACCCGTGGTCTGGTCTCAGCTCCGTCTGTGTCTACTTTGAGAGCTAGCCTGCCTGGAATAAGAAACACTCGAAAGAAGAGTGAGGAAAGTAAGATTGCTCTCCTCCTGCCCGAGTTAGCCGCGCAGTCGCGGCGGATCCTGATAGTCAGCAATCAACCAGCCCCGTCCTGAAATGCCAGATCCTGCCGGCCCGCGATGGCGTCAGTAATGCCCGCCCCCTTTTTTCCTTTTTCCATCATCATTACAGGATATGGCCATATATCAGTAAGATCTGTAAACGATACGCAAGATCTCCAGCAACCAATTACACCACCACAATCCACAACACCCCCCAAGCCTTTTGCTCCTCCCACCAACAGACTCGCACGCAAAGCGGAATGACAGCCCATGTTCACAGTAAGCTAGATCTGTCTAACCTTCGACGTTTGGGATATCTCAGGTTGACATGCTAGACTATGTCAAGCGGGAGTTCCGGGACAACCCCATGATGATCGTCATCACTATCTGCGGTATCCTCCTCGTGATCGCCGCTACTATGGGAATCTGTCTGTGGTGCTCCGAGAATCTACTCTGTTGCAGACGGTGAGTTGCACTCCCTTCTCTTCTTCTCCTGTAATAGTGATACGCTGACCAACAGTGATCGCAACGCGCAAGACGACCTAGAGGCCCAGCGTCCTTCTACTCCCATGGCGTCCACTCCCGCACGCGGATCCGTCGGCGCCGGCCAGAGCATCCGATACGCTCCCCAAGGTAGCCCACAATCCATCTCGTCGACTTCCACTCGCGTATCCGACTTCGACAAGGTGTCTAGCCCTACTATCGCCGAGTCCCCCTACTCTCCCGACGACACGCGCGCGGAACGGATCGTCCTCCCCGCGGCTCCGCCCTTGGCGCTCAAGTCCATTCTCAAGCGCGACTCTACGACTGCATACAGGGCGTACAATAGGGACGCAGGGGATCAGGTTTAGGTCGTCTATAAAATTTGCACGGTGGCGGGAAATGCTCGTCTGCTCAGAATGGGTGCAAAGGCTGGGAAAGGGGAATGTTTGCGCCGATGTCATTAGCTAGTTTTTGGGTATTTTGGTCGTCTCTCTTGTATGCCCTTAGCCTCACTTTCTGGCAGCTATCCCCTGGGTCTCTACTCATCGATCGGACTCGAGTCAACCTGTGCCTGACAGGGAGGATGGGCACTAGTAAGGTCGCCCCCCGCCCATCGATGCCCGGCTCATTCACTCGCTGTAACCGAAAAACAACCAGCCCCGTTTCCGTACCTTGCCATCATAGAGAGCTTTTCTTTCCCGCCCCAATGCCGTGAGTGGCTAGGCTATATAAGGCTGCTCTCCGTGCCCCTTGTCTCCCACCCACTTCCATACCAAACGCACACCTGTCGCCACCCATATCAACCACATAACCAATTTGCCACCCACCCCAAACAAGAGCCATCGTGTCTTCGGAGCACATGCACTGTGAGTCTCCCACCTACAGCAACCATATGAGCTATGACTGAACTTCCTAGCCTATGTCAAGCGCGACGTCCCGCCTGCTATGGCCATGGTCATCGTGCTCACCTCTATCATCGGCACCGGCATCCTCATCTGTCTCATTTGCGAGCTGTTCATGTGTCCCTGGGTCGACAGAGCTCTGTAAGTCAACACATCATGATGACTATAAGAGGGAGGTGCTGATGTGCTGCAGAGACTGGTGCTTTGCTCGTAACGAAGGCCCTCCCACCAACGCCTCCCAATGGGGCCTGAACGATGTGCGCCGGATCCAGACCGGGTCAATGGTCGAGATCGTCCCCCTCGCCCCTCGTCGCCACTGGTGGTGCCGCCGCCAGCCCATCGAGCAGCCCGGGACCACCAAGGCCACGGCTAAGACCAACACCAAGCCGAGGACCATGACCCGACGGGAGGTATCGTACCACGGGGACTTTGCCACATTGCCTGCCCCGCCGGCCAGGTCTTACCAGTCGCCAGCGCATCGTTATAAGGGCGAGGGAACGCTCATATTTGATGCGGACGCCTACAACAAGGTCTGATAGGTGAGTGGCCTCGAGCACCAATGCTAGTACTCTGGCTGACACCAGCAGGCGTGAAAAGCTCCTGGGAGCACCTGAAAAGATGACCGTAAAGGGTAATGTCAGCGCTTGTAGTACGAGATGAAGGTGTTTGCTTAGTATCACCATCATAGGCCGTGCTTTGGGAACTGCGACTCATCCATCTCTGCTAGTCGCTCGCTCTATCTGCGCATAGTCCCTTATCCACATCTCCAGAACCCCTACCAGCGAGCTATCCTCTTCATCACCTCCCGTTCCCTTCCTCTGTGCCGAAAGAGCAGGTGGTAGCCTTTTGCCCGGGACAAGACAGATCTCCAGATCTTCAATAGGGTCTTCGCCTCTGATCAGGTCCGGCGCGAAGCAGATGGCGTAGTTGAGCGCGGTCATACGTGTTGTCTGCTCGTGCGAGACAGACAGCAGGTGTAGCGTATGTATGATGGGAGAGAGGATGACCAGGCGGGCTGGGGAAAGGGCGGGGAAGAGATGTATTGGGATGCTGCTGGATCAGCAAAAGAGCAAGTAGGACTGGGCGCAATATACGCACTCTGATGATGCGCGGATTCCGCGGATGACAGGGTAGATGTCAGATGGGATATATGGTGCGGGAGAGGAGGATACGATCCGCATGAGCAGCTTTGGCGGTAAAAAGGGGTCGTACCGGGCGATATCGCTCCAAGGGAAGGTTGGCTGCGATTGAGGGGGCAGATCAAGCATAGCGATAAGAGGTGGGCGCAGCATAGCCTACAAATCAGCTCCATATCAACAGCATCCCCGGGACAGCTCACTCCAGGTGTCCCGCGGAAAATCCCCTCCACCTTCGAGCACTCCCCGAGAATCGCCTCCCTCATCTGGTCCATCACCATCGGCACTCCACCATACGCCTGCACGAGATCTTCTGCTGTGCGTCCATAGCAGCCCTGTCCCGCCAGCTCGGGCAGGGGCAAAGCAGGCGTAGCGCCATAAGGCAGATATGACGCTGCCATGCCCATCATGTCCTGCAGACCCGAGAACCAACCCCTGGCAGCTGGTGCCGCAGCGTAAGCCCGCTTGTGTGCGGAAGGGAAGAGGTCCTGTCGCTCGGCGATAACACGGCTCTCGTCTTCGAGAAGCGGTAGGGAAAGGTGCATTCCGGCCAGGGAGACCTGGTGTGATCGATGAAGGAGGATGAGGGATTCGAGGGGATAGATCTTGCGGTAAGATTTGGGCGAGAGGAAAGGGAGAACCATCTGCAGGATCGCTGCGCATGGTCAGCACCAGTCAGATGGTGGCTCTTGTATAAGTGTCCGGCTTACTGCGGGTGAACCGGGTCGGATGGACAATGTACTGAAATTGTCAGCCTGTACCTCGTATACCGCTCGAGGACATAGCCTACCATCCTCTTGAGGTTCTTCCTGAAGCTGAAAGTATCAGCGAGTGATCTCGTGAGTTCTCAACAGGCCTTGGTACGGGTCATGGCCCACCTTCTAGGGATATGCCTCCATCGCCAGATCCAAAATCCCCTTCCTCTCCCTCTCGTCGTCACTTGCTCTTCGGATGCCAGTATGACGAGGACATAGCCCTTGCCTCCCTCCTCTCCGACCCACGGCTTGCACCGCTCAAGCAGGCCAGCAAAGAGGTCCTCGTCTGACAAGGTCTCCGGCACTGTGGCAAGGGCGGCGAGGGAGAAGATGATGATCGGCTCGGCGGAATCTGGGTGGGTTGTGGGCGATAAGTAGATTATACGGCCAAGGACATCGTCGGAAGAGACCTTGAGATCATCAGAGATCGATGATGCCGAGCTCATGCTGACTTGGGATACAGCAGGAAGCAGTGTCGGTCAAGCGATGAAAGCGGTGGATCAAAGGAGGTTTGACTTGTAAACAAATATGAATTTGACTTTCAACTTTGCCATCACCTCTCAATATGGCCATCACCACCATCCTCTTCGATTGCGACAATACCCTCGTATTGTCTGAGCCGCTCGCCTTTGCAGCGTGTGCGGACCTTTCCAATGCCATCCTAGACAAGTACGCCCCGGCCACCACACACCGGTATGCGGGTCCAGCGCTTCAGCGCGAATTCGTCGGCAAGAACTTTCGCGCCCTCATCGCTGCGCTCGAGGAGAAGCACGGCTTCTCAATGCCACCTGAAGATGTAGGCGGGTGGGTAGACATGGAGCTAGGCACAACGGTGGCCAAGATCAAGGCGTATGCGACCCCTTGCGAGGGGTCGATGGAGATTTTGAGGGAGTTAAAGGCGGAAGGGAAATACCAGCTCGCGGTTGTCAGCTCGAGCGCCCTCCCCCGGGTCCTCGCTTCTATCGAGAAGACTGGACAAGACGCTTTCTTCCCATCATCTCGTGTCTTCTCCGCGGCATCCATGACCCCTCCCACCTCCAAACCGGACCCCGCCGTCTACCTCCAAGCGTGTCGGCAACTCGGGGTACTCCCCAGCGAGTGCGTCGCTATCGAGGATAGCAGATCGGGCGCTACGGCGGCTAAGCGGGCGGGCATACCATTGATGGGCTATGTAGGGCCGTACTATGATGAGGGACAGGTGGAAGTGGATGAGGCGGAGAAGGTGTTGAAGGAGGATTGTGGGGCCAAAGTGGTGATGCACCATTGGAAGGACTTTAGGGAGTGTATGCGGAGAATGGAGGCGTAGGGGCGAGAAGACTGAGGACGGCTGTCGTCGCAGACAAACATTGTAGCTAAGTTAGTTCGTCGTGCTGATGGTCAACTTCGCTGCCGCAGACTGACATCCAGGCTATCTCTCACACTACACTGACCGCGCTGATGGACGGCTCACTTCTCCTGTCAGGCCGTGTATTTGGTGTGAGGTACTGCTCCTATGAACCTATAGAAGCGAGCCCCTCGTCGTCTTGGTCATGGGCCCTCGGCTTCCCAACTACGACTGCCGAGCGTCCGCGTCCTGCCTTGCCCATTTTCTATCGGTGGCTCTGCGGAAAGACAGCAATAACACGCTGTCTAGCAGCACACACATTCTTTCCAGCTCCAGGCGATATGCGCTTATCGATAAGCATCAGCTGACCAACCGCATACGTCTGTCATGGGAGGCTCCTTGGCTTGATGCATGGTCTAGCTAGACACGCTATGCAGTGCAGCATTAGCCATCAGTTGTAATCAGCCTTATTTTGATTAGCTTTCAATTTTGATTAGGATCTCCTTACGGCATGTGAGCTCGCCATCGCTCGCCAGCCAAATATTTCGGGAATCCCTCTTTCACCTGTCCATAAGCCAGATCAAGCACAGCAACATGCATCTCCATCATACCACCCACAATACCTTACTGACTGCTCATCATGTCCCCAGCCGCTGCTCTCCGAACGGTCCCGTCGCTTGCTGCGCGATACGCCACCACGTCCGCCCACTCGGGCAAGCACAAGGTTGTCGTGATCGGCGCCGGTGCCGGCGGTCTGGCCGCTGCCAACCAGATCTATAATGCTTTCAAGTCGAGAGGGGAGCGATTGAACGATGGCGATATCGCCATCATCGACGTGAGCTACTTGCGTTGATGCCGATGGAATCGAGGCTGATTCCCCAGCCTGCACAGCACCACGACTACCAGCCGGGATGGACGATCGTCGGCTCGGGTCTCGCTGACAAAGCGGACTACCGCCGGCCTCTTGCTTCCCTCATTCCCGCTCACTTCGCACACATCCCTGGATCTGCTGCTGGCGTGGAACCACAGAGTAGCAGGGTGGTATTGGCGGACGGGACGACCGTGGGGTACGAGAGCTTGGTTGTCGCTGCTGGCTTACAGATCAGTGAGTCGTTACTCGTGCTCCTTGGAGCTCAAGCTAAGATCACAGACTACGACAAGGTTGCCGGTCTTACTGAGGCTCTCTCGGACGCTCAGTCGAAGGTAGCCACGATCTACTCGTACGAGACCGCCGATAAGACGTGGCATCTCATTCGCGAGTTTGACGGCAAGGGAGAGGCCATCTTCACTCAGCCTTTCGGACCGGTCAAGTGTGCAGGAGGTGAGCACGACTATGAGAGCATCACTAATCCCCAGCCCCGCAAAAGATCGCCTACATGGCCGACTCCTACTGGAAGACCACCTCTAACCCCCTCCCCTCCCGCTCCTTCATCACCGGTATGCCCACCATGTTCTCCGTCCCACATTACTCGAACGCCCTAAACGCCATACGCCAGGAGAAAGGCATCAACGGAGAGTTCAACACCAACCTTGTCTCAATCGACTCGGCCAAGCGGGTTGCCAAATTCGAGGTGCTGGCTGGCGAGAACAAGGGGAAGAGAATTGAGAAGGAGTTTGGGATGCTGCACGTCACACCACCGATGGGGCCTCGGGACTGGATCAAGAAGTCGCCAATAGCGGACGCGGCGGGCTGGGTGGACGTCCATCAAGGGACACTCCAGCACAACAAGTTTGAGAACATCTTCTCTTTGGGCGATTCTTCAAGCTTGCCAACCTCGAAGGTGAGTGTACACCTCATATCCACCGAGCTGAAGCTGATCATCAGACTGCTGCCGCTATCACTGCTCAGACACCCATCCTGACCAACAACCTTGTCTCTCTGCTGTCCACCGGCAAGGTCGGGGATGCTATCTACGACGGCTACACGTCGTGTCCGCTGTTCACTGGCCGAGGAGAGCTCATGCTTGCCGAGTTCAAGTACGGACTGGAGCGCAAAGAGACCTTTGGATGGTTGACCGACCAGAGCAAGCCCAACCGGTGAGTACGAGCTCATCGTGGCGCAAAGCAGAACGCTAGCTGACTCACAGGGCATTCTACCACCTCACAAAAGACGTATTCCCCCGCACATACTTCAGCAAGATGCTCAAGGGGGAATGGTACGGTCCCAAGGGGATCTTCCCTCCTCAGTTCGTGCCATCGTGATCTCGGTATCTCATCTGTCCTGTCCTGCATTAGACGTGCTGTTGTATGTACAGGATTTCCCCAGAGTGTCCAACTGAAACTACTGATTGAGCTGATGACCGCGCTATTCCTTGACGTAAAAACTGACCATGGCAAACGGAGGCGCGGTAGCGGGTTGTTTCCCGAGTCTCTATGTTGAGCCGGTCGCTAAGTTCCGCAAACGGAGTGCAGACGGCCGACCCAGAGCGATAACGCCTACTCGAGCTTGCTCGCGTCTTCAGAGTAGGTATGTGACGACACCGATCTAGGCAAATTTCCTCGCGATCTGACCGAGTCTGGACGCCTGATCGATCCATGCCGGGAAGGTCCAGAAGGAGGCACGACTATCTAGGCGACCCGACGGGAACACATTGATCAATGCAGCAACAACTACGGAGTTCTCTGGCATGCATCCTACACCTATTTGGCCGGCTGACGTCAGCTTGTGTTCTGCCCAATAGCAGCAGCCGCTCGCATCGCATCGGCATATCGTCGCCGCATCGGCTAGAGGTGAGATCGTGCTCGATTTATCAACCACTTCTAGTGGAATGCCGTCCATCCCATTCTGTCGAGATCGGGGGCTGGTGGCGGTGATCGTATGTATGACACCAAGCCTAGACCAGCCTAGACCACAGTGACATGAGAGCTGAGATGAGCCGCGGAAAGCCATACCTTAGGTACGATGTCTTGGGTACGACAGCGGCTTCTGCTTCGATCCGATCTGCGGACCCTCTCGGCAGCGACAAGGAAGATGGCTTAAGATGATTCGTCAGGTCATTGAATGGGTTCACATAAAGCCGGCCCTGCGTGACGTTCTCTGAGACCGCTTCTGAGACATTGATCTGCAGTGTCCTGTGACAGCTGGGCCGCAGAGCCGAGGCCTGAGGCCTTATGGCTGGGCGTATATCAATATCCATATCCATACCCATACCCGCATCCAACTGTACGATCGCGATGTCATATCTGATGGCCGGTCGAGTCTGTTGACACCTCGATCCTTGCCCCAAAACATCATACAGAGGACTTGATCAATCGAAGATTGATCGATCTTCTATGGATGAGTCAAGATAGCTCAGAAATCACTGGCAGATCATCTGCAATTCCCTATCTCGCGATGTCTCGATTTTAGCGCTTCCGAAGCTTGTTAGAGCAGCAGGGCGATCATTTCCTGCCGCAAAACGCGGGCATCAAGCATGTTGCGCGATGGCTGATGTCCGAAGGATTCGGGTATGCATGCGACTGGTGTCAGGCGCGAGCTAGGAGGGCGGATGCTGCGGTATGCTACCGCCCGCTTTTAACCTTAGCCCTCTGTTACCGTCACGCGTGGAGCGCCACATTGCTTGTAGTTTAATTTGCAAACGGCAGATGGATCGACAGTATGGAACGGCACGGTTGTCGGCACCGCGGAGCGTCATACTCGACCAATTAATTCGTGAGGTCGTGACAGCTTATTGTACCGGTTGCCCATATTCCTCTGCCCCCTCACCTTGCCTTGCGCTGAAGGAAGCGAGACGAAGGGCTTGGCTGGGTATTCGTTCCGACGGAAGGAGACAAGAGGGCTCTAACTCCGAGCCCTCGGCTCCGCTCACTGCCCGCAACGAATGGGACTGGACTAGTGGAGATGGTCTTGTGTTATAGCCCAGCTGCTCGACACAGACGCAGACATACATCGTTTGTGCCTGCCGGTTGCGCCGCTCCGTGCTCCTTGGAATCAAAGTTGTCCGTGTCGAAGGAGCCGAAGTAGGCAGTAGCGAGGGTCCGAGCCGGGTAAAGGGAAACGTGCTTCCCGTGAATGGATAGCTCGAGGAATGAATCCAGGCCTTGTCAACTCAGGGTCAAGCCCGATGCCCGCCCTTTGCTTGCTGAGATGAAGTCCTATACTGGGCACTCCGTCCGCAGCTCCGCCCGGACTCCCCACCCCGTCGACTCGTGACCGCCGGCAGTTATCAATCGAATCCGGAGCTCCGGCCTGGTTCGTGGCGCGCGCAGTGACAGGCCCAAGGAGTAATTTCAAAGGTCTGGCCCGTCCCGTGCCTGACCATGACGCGTGGTTCAGTCATGTCCATTTGAGACAAGGCTTCCCTGTGATAAGCGGCGTGCCTTGGACCGCCTGTTTATAAGGACCTGTCTGCTTGGCTTCGACTACATCCCCACCACGGAGTCACCACAGCTTTGCCTTTGCATCTTTCGACGAATTCCTTGCAAGCCACTTGTAAGCGTAAATCAAGCTTATAGGGCTGGTGTTATCGCGATACGATAATTTGCGTCATCCCTTTCGGCAGGCGATCAACTGCTTAATTGCTGGACCTCCACCACCGCTATTGGACTAGACCAGGAACGAGCCTCGCCGACGCCGAGAACAACTCCACTCCATCCCATATCGCCTCGTCATCCATCCTCGTCGTCGCGGAGCGATCCGGAGACACACGGGGTCGAGGAGGAGCCAAGACGCGGACAGGTGGAGGCATAGAGAGGCTTAACGCGTTTGACAATTTGCGTAACCGCTCGGACACTTCCATTCCTCGCCACTGGAACGGCGATACGGGTCCTCAATCGCGGTGCGCATCGCCCAGCATCGAGTTCGACTGCCACTACTGCCACATCGACTGCCACATCTGCGCTGGCGCCACTCCACGCCGAGACCCGTGCCTGAGGCACACACATCCTCCCCAGGCACACACTGGAACACGCAATTAGAGCCCCTTTCGCATTCCTCCGCTCGGACCTCCTCTTTGTCCTTGTCCCCTTTTGTGTCCCTTCCCTCAATTTTTGCCATCATACCCGTGAGCATCGGCCCTTGCTCGCCTCCCCTTCTCTCTCTCCCTCATCCCGTATGGGCAGATGACAACTAGCATGCTGACTATCTTAGTACATTATCACTCATTGCCCTCTACGCTTTTCATCTACCACTCGGACCGCCTGCCCTTGACGCGGATCCGGGCATCACGGCTTACACCCCTCGGACCCCCTACCCCTTATCTGAAACACACCAGCCCCGTCCTTTCCCCGTCTCCCCCCTTTCACTCTCATCATCTCTCCCCCCGCTCGCCTCTGACCCGAACTTCGGTAACAGCTTCAACGGCCCTTCACCTCCTTCCGAACCCCCTATCCCTCCATCCCCGACGCCTCACACACACACACGTTACTCCGGGGAGCGCGCTACTACGTGGTCAGTGCAGCGCATCGCATTTCCATCGTTCAGCAAGCCCGTAGCGGGACCGTATCGACCGTAGTCAGTAGCTCTCGAGCCTCCTTCCCCCTGTCCCCCTTGTACATTAAACAAGGCAGATCATCATCGATCGAGGGATACCCCTTACCTCGTGACCTCCCATCAGCCATCAGCGATCCCCTTCCCCATTTCCCCTCGTGTATATAACCTTTCCACTTGGACTTCACCCATCCACTCAGCCCCTCGCAGTCCGTCCTTTCTCTCAAACCTCGAGCTTACCCCCTCACTCGACTGCCAACCATGTCGGACCAATCTCCACCACCTCCCCCGCATCTCGACCCACCCTTCAGAGGCTACATCGAGACCACCTACGACTCGCTATTGGTCTTCGAGGCGGCGAGGCGGGGACTGATACCGCGGGTGACGAGGCGGTTGATAGAGCGGGAAAGAGGGATGGTGCAGAGCGGGGCGGTCTTTGTGTTTGACGAGCAAGAAAGTGGGATCAAGCGATGGACGGATGGGCTGGTATGGAGTCCAAGCAGGATCTTGGGAAACTTCTTGGTGAGCACAGTTTCAGCTTTCGTCACGGTATCTGGCTGATGGTCAGGTATACCGCGAGACCGACAAGCGAGCGACAAACGTCTCCGGGCATAACGCCAACGACTCGTCCAACAATGGCTCCCCTTCCAACACCCCTACTCGAAATATGGGTCCACCCGGTCCCTGGGCCCAGTCCAGAGAGATGCAGTCATCATCGTCCAGCGAGGTCATCCCCATTTTGGCGCAGGGAGCCATCAGACCTCGGTCGTCTAGCGAAGGCGGGATGGACAGGCATCGGGAGAGGCAGCTGGTGGGCAGCTTGACGAATAGCTACAAGTTCAAGGAGGGCGGCCTGGTTAAGAAGGTATGTGGATCCAACCGCGGTAGGGGCTTGAGCTGACGCGCAGACCATGTCCGTCAGCATCGGCAACTACTCCCAACATATGATCTCGTACTATACGGTCGCCGATGTGCTCTCCGGCAAACTCCGCGCGCCGTCGACCATCCCCGAACTCGCATCTCTCGAGATCAGCGCCGACTACCTTCAGAAGCAGAACTTCCGGTTTCCGCCGGTGGTAGAGGTTGGACAGGATGGCGTGCCAAGATACAGGTGAGCGCTTCTCCTACTCTTCACGAGCAGAGCTGACAGTTCAGAGGAGAAGCAGAGGAACCCTTGACTCCAAATACCTCGATGACTGGTTTCTCGCTCCAGTCCCTCCCTACCCCAGGAGACGGCTACGACCCCTACTCCCAAGTGCGCAACCCCATGCAGCTTCAGATGGAGCCGCCCCGGTCCTCCCATGCCCGTAGTATCACCCATCCACAGCACACCTCCATGCCCCTCCCCGGACCCCAATCGGCCGGCCAGTCCACCCTCTCCCCTTCGGGCTATGTCCCCCACTCGGCCGGATCGCAATACTTTGACGCCAACTATCCCGGACCAGCATCCACTCCTCATCCGCATACCGGCGCGCAGCCCATTCCTATCCAGCGCCAGGCATCGGGCGGGCCACATCGCCCTAGCAGCTCGAAGTCGCGGTACGACCCGTACGGCTCGGCCAGCCCACGCGTGGTGTCGCTCGGCGTCAGTCCAGGTCAGCCGCACCATCCCGGCCCGGCTTCTGCAGGCATGCACGGCGCCATGGGGTCAAGTTATGGCTTTGCTGGTCCGTCCACGCCAATGTACCGGCGTCAATCCGTTCCTCACCCCTCTTCTTACCCAAATCAATATCAGCACCAATACCACCCCCACCCCCACCCCGCGCAACATCAGCAACAGATTCAGCAACAGCAGCAGCAGGACTATTACCAACAATATGACGTCAAGCCCATCATCCACCCATCGGGCGCCGCGTCTTATTCGTATCAGCCACCCGCGACCGCGCCGGGCGCTTTTTCGGAATACTACAGCCAAAGCAGCGCGCCGGCATCTCAGGCTCTGTCGGTATCCATCACGCAGATGCAGTCCCCCATCACTGCCTATGCGCCCACTCCAGCCTCTGCCCCGCAGGCACTTCCGTCGGTCCCGCCTCAAGCCTACGGGTCACCTTGGCAAACGGCATCCACCCCTTCGGGCCCTCCTCCCAGCTCACAATCCCGCCTCGTCCCTGCTCCTAGCCGCGACTACGGCCGCCTCTCCCTACACACCCACCGCCCCTCACCTACCGCCGGTACCAGCTCCAACCCCAACAGTGCCAACACACCCACGCACGGTGCTGGCGATCCACCATCCTCAAGCGGCTCGTCGATCAGTGCAAACGGGATGGTCGCTGGCGGGGCAGGCGGAAATGGGAGACCCGAGTACGCCTACGACATGTCGCCAATCCAGCATAGTCAGGGCGGCGGGTGGGGCGGTCAGGCCTCGACCCACTCGAATCGATCCTCTTTGAACGTCGGACCCGGCGGGACGACGCTAAGTCCCCACGCGCCTCACTCAGCCGGGATGGGCGCGCCGGGCGGACTGGGTCTCATGGCGTCCAGCCCGTCCCAGGCGCACATGCCAAGACCGATGACGGCGGGGAGCGAGATGAATGCGAGTATGGGTCAGATGGAGGTCGGACCGTATATGGCGGAGGATAGCTGGGGGAATACAGCGCCGGCATAGCAAGGCGGGCGGGAAGTGAACGTTGTATATTGTCAAACACACGGATAGTAGTGCAAGTGGGCAGTGGGCAAGAACGCCGAAGGGGTAAAAGGGGAGAGACATTTTTGTCAGGTTTGTGTATGAAGAGGGGGGATTAGGCGAGTCTTGGGGGTTTGCTTGATAGCGCTTTATAGCTTGAAATCTGTTTGAACCATGTGTGGGTCAAGGAAATGACGAAGATGTCTGCTAGATGTGATCACGATATTTTGGTCCTTGTCGACAAGATTCCACATTTCGTCCATCATGACTGCCACCGCGGGTATCACGACACAGGATGCATAGTGATACACTTTCCCAAGCTTCCCATTTTCCCACACTTAAGCGGCAAGCTTCTCGTTGAGCAAGTCCTTGAGGGTCTGGCCGTCCTTGGTGAAGCCCTCGATACCCTCCCGGAGCTTATCAGTCGCCATCTTGTCCTCGGACATGGCCTTCTTGAACGCCTCCTGGTCGTTGATGAACGACACCTTCTCCTGCTTGTCCTGGGACGCCGACTCGGACTCGAGCTTCTTGGGGACGGGCTCGCTAGTACTATCAGCTTCATGTCATTGCTGTAAAAGGGACGTTGTAGCTCACGTCGAGTTCTTGAGCTCCTCGAGGAGCTTGGGGGCAATGGTGAGGTAGTCGCAGCCGGCAAGAGCCTTGATCTCGCCAATGTTACGGAAAGAAGCGCCCATGACGATGGTGTCGTAGCCGTGCTGCTTGTAGTAGCTGAGGGTCAGCCTGTGTCCCGGAACGAGCGGCTCGTGACGACACTCACTTGAAGATCTTCTGCACCGACTTGACTCCTGGGTCAGTGTCGGCGGTGTACTCCTCTCCGGTGCTCTTCTTGTACCAGTCAAGGATCTTTGATATAAGCTTGACCCGGATTTATCGCGTCCGACCGGGGAGAAGCTTACACGGCCAACGAAAGGCGAAATGAGGGTGACCTTGGCCTCAGCGCAAGCGACAGCCTGGGCGAAACCGAACAGAAGGGTCAAGTTGCAGCTGCCCTCGTCAGTCATGTCCGTATGACAAGACGGTAAACTTACTGGATACCCTCCTCCTCGAGCTCCTTAGCAGCCTGGATACCCTCCCAAGTGGACGCAATCTACCACATCAGCTACGCTCCCAACAAGCAGCCAAGAGAGATGCCGGCTCACCTTGATCAAGACGCGGTCACGGCCTATACCCTGCTCCTTGTAGAGGTCGATGAGCTGGTGAGCCTTGTTGATGGTCTTCTCTGAACTCCATCAGCGGTGGCCCCTTCCCGGTCCGGATATTAGACTCACGCTTGTCGTGCGAGAACGCAGCATCAACCTCCGTGGAGACACGACCGGGAACGATCTTGAGGATCTCGGTACCGAAAGCGACGAGGAGACGGTCCATGGCGTTCTCGCCCTGGGCGGCGGCGTCACTGATGTTGTCAGTACGTACGCCAAAGGAGTGCGAGAGTGCGGATAGACTCACCCTCCCTTCTCCTTGCCGAACTGGACGGCAACATCGATGAGCTTCTGGTAAGCGGGGAGCTTGGCAGCAGCGAGGCTAAGTAGTCAGCAAGGGGTTCTAGCAGAAAGCACGGACTCCGCTGCGGGAGGTGACCTCCTCGCCAGCGGCGAAAATTGACTGTTTGGAGCACTTACATGAGGGAGGGGTTGGTGGTAGCGTCCTGGGGCTTGTAGGCGGCAATGGACTCGAAGTCTCCAGAGTCAGAGACGACAACGGTGCCGGAGCTATTTCGGCGGAATGCCAATGAGACGAAAAGTTGGTATGTTGTTGGAACGAGGAGAGTCACGAGCAAGGACAGCGAGAGTGCGCGAGTTCGTAAGGAGCGGAAGATTGGGTGCAGGTGCAGCGTAAGCGAGAAGATGGATGACCATGAGTGCGGTGGAGCGGATAACGGGATGAGGCGGAAAAGATGAACGTGGTTAGCCTATCTCCAGTGCGACGAGCGGAAAGACATACGACTTGAGCTGGTCAAGAGAGGTAGACATGGTGATACTGTTCTTGTATTAGGGTGGTAGGTGTGCAGGTGGTAGTGGGTAAAGATAAAAAGTCTGATGGAAGGTCAAAGAGAAAGTTACAGCTGGCTGCAGTGACGAGGGTCGCGGCACTGGGGCCAGGCTGACGGGCTAGCCACGTGGAAGAGCAAAGTGCCGCCACCCGCCGGCCCGAACCGCCGAACACGCCGAGCGCCGATACTCCCCAGCAACTGCCAGCAGCCAGCTGTGCCCTTCTCCCGTGCTGTCCTCTGCATATCATGGAGCTACAGGCTCGCTCCTACGTTCTGCGAGGATACATGAGGAGGGAATTGTTGCTCTACAGTGAGATCGGTCGTCCGAGGCGGATCGGACGCCACAGAGGGACAAGGGTAGCCGCTGTCTTGCGAGCGGTATCATTCGGACCGTCTCTGCTCTCCCATTACCGCGATTATCCTTCCCTCTTTCTGCGTGCCATGTGTATCATCTACACTTCGAACAAGAGCGATGTACATTATGGAGGCAGTTGGATGCACTCGTTTGGTCCCGCCTCGGCCCTCTACCAAGATTCCGCCACAAGCCTTTTTGCCACCCAGAGTCGTGTTGCCGTAATGGGTCAGGAACTCGGGGCAAAAAAGTAAACAAACCCAACTGATGGGAAGTCTCCACACGAGTAGACCTCTTAGCGTTTTGCTGACGTCGAAAGGCGATGCATGCATTCACGTCGATGATGGAGTGGAGCAGAACTTGTCGTCGTACATCCTCCTTGACATCACAGCTTTTTGGACGTTGCCACTCGACAAGCAGCTCCAACATTCGCTGTTGACCCCCTTTTCTTGTTCTGAAACACGCTACGCCACCCGCTGCCCCCTAGCCGTTCCCCTCGTTCCTGAAAACTGAAAGCCAAACAACGCTTGGTCCTTTCTCTCCTCCCCCCTTCACCCCTTGCCCTTCATCGTCATACATCTCTCTCTCTATACCTCTATTGTTCTTTCCCTACTCGACTAGGGCAACACCGAAGCAGATACTCACACTGCACACCCCACGCTCATTTCGAAAACCTCAACTACAACTCTCTTTGATCAGAGGCACCTGTCAACAAACCTTTTGACCCCTATCACACCGCCTTTCGGCCTCCTCCTTTACTCGCCTCACAGCCCCACTTCATTCCAGCTCTTCAGTGGAGATACCCCGGACCAGCTTCCAACTGAGCCATACCGCAGGCCTCACTCCAGCGTCCACAACACTACCGAGACAATCTCGCACCACCGACCGAGACCCGTCTCGAATACCGACTCATAGTCGACTCTAACTTGACAACCAGGCTAGCCTCGTAAGTCATTCACATACTGATCAACGGGTACCCTGTTGTTCTCTCCCTTACTCCTCCCTCGTGCCTCCCTGCATCCCGACTCCCTTGCCGTACGCTCATCGACCGACCCAGTGAAGACTTTGCTGACATCTCAGCCGACGTCGTCTGGATCTCATAATCTAAGTGTATCTCGATACCGGATCCGTGAGCGTCCTTTGCCTCCGATATGCCAAGATGGTGGAAGCTCATACCTATTCAGTCTCGACAACATGTCATTGCTCGACTACCGCATCGGCCTGGCCGGAGGAGATTTGCACCTGCTTGAAGCCCGTCAAGCTCCAACGAGTGAGTTTGGCTTCTTTTCATGCAGTTTGTCATCATCAACTGACATCTAGGCTGCAACCTCGCCGCCGGCGACCTTTACCAATACCCCAACGCGACCTCCACTGTCGACGCTTCCCAACCCGTCACATTCAAGTGGAACACCGCCTGCTCTGGCATCTCGTCCACGGTCGACCTCTACCTCTACTCTTCCGGCTCCACCGGTCTCATTCAGGCCTTCCGCGGTCTGAGTTACGCTCAAGGTTCTTACACTGCCACCCTCCTGCCTAAATGGTGGAACTCGACCACTACCGCCCACCTTCAGGTCAACTTGGTCAACTCGGGCGGCATGTCTTGGGCTACCACCGGCCCTGCCGGTCCCGTCTGGCAGGTCACGTACCCCGAGTCGGCCATGTTCCAGACAGTCACCGACCAAGGCGGGGCGGTAAAGACTTCGACTGCTGCCGTCGCCGCGGCTACCAATTCGGGCGACGCCATCATCCAGAACGTCACCAATACCGAAAAGCCCGGACTCGCCAAGGGCGCTATCGCTGCGGCGGTCATTGTTCCCCTCATCGCGCTCGCCGCCCTCGCAGCCGTTGCGGTCCGGTTCTGGAGGCAAAGGGAGGCGGAGAAGCGGCGCAGGTGGTCCCAGGCTTTGTCGCATCACTCGGCGATGGAGTGGGAGAAGGGAGCAAGGACGGGCGAGAAGACGCAATCTATCCTCGGCCGACCCTCGCTGTCGACGTACATGCGCGGCGGTGCTGGGGACGGAGGCGGACGGGCCAGCATGGCGACCTCGAGCGTCTACGCGGTGGAGAACAACATGGCTGGCGCGGGAGCGGCCGGTCTCGTCCGACCCAACATGTCTGGTCTTCGCTCCGTCTCGGCCGACAACGTCAACGGGTCCAACACTAGCGTCCGCTCATCGGTCGTCATGCCCAACGGTGACGTCCGTCAATCCCGCATCTCCTTCGCCGAGTCTGCCCGCCCCGACCGCCGCTCGCGCATGTCATTCGGTGGCGATATCCGCGCCCCCAACGCAGCCGTCTTCAAGCTCCCTGCTGGCTCTCGCTCCGCCACCGAGCTGGTCACTCCCCGCGGCAAAGCATCGGGCTCGGCTATTGTCAGCGATGACGAGGATGACTTGAACATCTCCCCCACGCAGCGTGATGGACCGTCTCGACCGCCCAAGGTGGCTGGCGGAATCCGTACTGGCGCGAGGAGAAGCGTGATGAGTCTGGTCGGCGGTGGGGACAAGCGAAGGGAGAGTACGGCGTCGGCTTTGAGCCAGCAGGACTTTAGGAGCGCGGTCGACGCTGGCGGATCGGTAGATGAGCTGCGTGACCTTGAGGCCATGATGCGTGAGTTGCTCTTTACCAAGTCTTCTGGATCGAGCTCATTCTTCAGTCTCCCGCCGCTCCGTCATCTCGCAATACTCTGCCAACCGGGCCTCGTCCTATGTCGAGTCTGGCTCCCCCGCTCTCGGCTACGGTCACAACGTTCAAAGCCAATACTCGGATGCCGCCAGCCCCGTCATTCCCCAACACCCTGATGACAATGACCGCGTTGAGGACCTCTCTCACTCTGAGAGCTCGCAAAGCATGTCCAACGGCTCCTACTTCAAACCCCTCCCTTCGGCCGCTTCCACTTCCACCGTCGCCTACGGCCCGGATCACATGCTCGCTGTCTACGCCGCCCGTGCTGCTGCCGCCAAGAGCCCACCAGGGTCCGCTGGCTCAGGCATGAACGTCCCCGCTGCCCCCTTCGGCGCTGGCTCGGCCACCGGCTCGACCGGCAAGAAGGGCGGTATGAAGATCCTAACCAGCTTTGGCAGGAAGGAGTCCGAGTCGGCCGGCGGATACGCGGATGTCCAGCGCGAATCAGGCGCACACAGCCCGACAACCGCTCCTAGCCCAAACCTCAGGGTCCCGCCAGTCGTCATGACGCGCCAGCGGAGCGGAACTGTCGGTCGCGGTGGTCAGCCCAACACGCAAGGCGGTGATGATGTCGGACATGCGCAATAGGCGGCGTGTGGGTTCTGGATGTTGAGCGATGAGCGATGAGTGGGGAGTCTGGGGATCTGGTTCCAGGGACAATCAGGATTTATAACTGCTCGTACTGCTACTCTTTTCCCCTTCTTTTCTTTTGATTTCACTACCCTTTCTTTCGATGTTTATATACTGTATCTCCTTCCCGGTTTCTTCTCTCCCCACTGTGGACCCATCCCCCTTTGTTCGCTCATACCTTGATGGTCCCCTTATATTCTATACCCCCAACCTTTTCGCTTCGGTGTTCCAGGGCAAATCTATATATGTGATTGATATAGTCAAGACAAGGTGGACCAAAACGCAGACTAGGCGCTGACAAGCTGACGAACCTCCAAGTCTGACATCTTGCTATAAGGGCTTGCATCGCTAATAGACCCTTCAGACCCCCGCTCACGTATCAAGGTGCGCGATATCGCCCCACACCTCGACCCTCCCCTTCGCTTCGAGCCCGCACTCCAGGTAGCCTCCATCTTCGCCCTTGCCTCCCTCTCCCTCCTCCCACCACACGCGGACGACACAAAGGGCAGTATTGGCGCATTGCAGTCCGACGTCCACGTCGGCTGGGATGTGCGTGTCGACGATGACGGGCAGCGTTGATGTCTTGCTCCCGTTTCCGGCTGTTGGGGAGATCGGGGAGGCGGCTGGCTGCTTGATCTCGACGATCAACTCAGCAGGCTCATCAGTCATCTCGTCAGCCTTGATGCCCATGTACAGCTCAGCAGGCTCAGCGACGGCAGTACCGGGAAAGTACTCGGTAGCGCCCGAATCAGTCAGTATCTGCAACAATGCCAAGAGGCACGCTTCGTGCGTCACCACCAGGACACACCCTGATCCTTGTTCCGAAGGGGTCGAGGGGGTACGAGGCGAAGTCAGCGGGGAGGAGAGCGGAGTGTGCGTCTGGATCTGATTCGAGAGAAACTTGTGCAGGCGAGCGGCCAGGCTGAGCCGTATGTCAGCTAGCGTTTCCGAGGGGATGGGGATAAGAGAGGGAGGGCTTGCTACTTACGCCTCGTCCGACTCGACGCCGAATGCTGCGCCCTCGGCCGCGGGATCAGCGACCCAAGGCTTGCCCTCCAATGCGCCCATCGCTCGATCAGTGAGGAGCGGTTCGAGCTGGATGGACGTCTTTGGGTGGTGTGGGCCGAGGACGAGCCTGGCGGTCTACCCCATGAGCAAACCAGCCGGCAAGTAGGAGACATAGCAGTATTTACCTCGGCAGCGCGCGGGAGATGGCTGGTCCAACACTCCTTGAACGGGACGGATCGGAGATGATCCCCGAGCCGCTCGGCCTGCTTGCGGCCTGCCTCATTCAAGGGAGTCGGGAGGTGGCCTTGATACACCCCTTGAGCGTTGCTGTTGTATCAGCGCTCGGTCCGCACGACTGTACTTGGCCTCAGGATGTCGTCAGAGACTCGGAGAGGGCCCGACACTGAGGCGGATTGCGAAAACTCACAGGGCGGTCTCGCCATGTCTGACAAGGTAAAGCAGCATGGCCTTGTGTTGGGATTCGCGGAAACGAGAGGTGTGTTGGGTATAGGGTAAGCGGTCAGTCAGGGAGTAAGTGAGAGACGGGACAAATGCGAGAGGATATGGGTCGATGCGGATAGACAGATGGGTAGATACAGGTATGACGTCTCGACTGTTATGGAGCTGAAGAGGATCGTCGAGCCCTGTCACGTTCGCAAACCGTGAGCGGACATACGATATCCTTTGACCTTGAGCACCACACGTTTCTGGCATTTCAGCCGCCGGCGGTCGGAACCCTTTGTACTCGTACCAGCGTAGAAGAGAGCTCGGGCGCCCCGATGAGGTCATCTGACGGAATATCCCGTAGCTCATATGAGGGAAGATGGCGTGGTCGCCTCCCGATCTGAGGAACGGGGTCATCATGCCCGATCGCATCATCAGTGTGGTCAGCATGCGATGGGAGTTCAGCCGTCAGAAGGAAACAGCCAGGAGTGAGAGGACGTTTTCCCGGTGATATATGATCTGTGTACATGATGACGGTGCCGATACCTATGCCTGAGCTTCTGCCGTCTCCCAGCTCATAGGTCGGATATAACTCTGCCTAGGATGCGAAGCGACCGTTTCGAATACCGCCATCGAGTTCAACGCGTCCGGAACTCGGCCAAAGAAGAAGGCGAGGTTGAGTTGAACCATGAACAGCCGCAATTCGAGCAACTGTCGGATCAGCTTTGTTCCCTACGAAGAGGCCAGACATGACTTACAGCCAAATTCTTCCCGAAGCACCCTCGCTGTCCGAGCGAGAATGGCAGACTGGGTCCAGCATACGGATCAAACTCCCCCTTGTCGGTCATCCACCGCTCCGGGTCGAAGACGTGGCCAGTACCAGGGGTCCAGTACCCTACTTTCCGCTTGACTGAGGGGTCGTACCGTACATCTGCGAGCTGCTCGGTCTGCTGTATGAGCGCATCGTTACCGGCCGACTTCTCCGAGATTGTGGCAGAGGAGTATGGAGCGGCGACGGGAGTTGAGGCATCTTCTGTACCGGTGGCGGTGGTGAAGATCACGGTGGTGCCCTTCGGAATCCGATGACCCAGAACGACGACGTCCTGCTTTGCTGCAGAATCAGCAGAGATCTCAAAGGCAAGCAATAAATGGCCTACCCTGACGGACATAGCCTCCGGCAGTGCGTGAGAGGCGCAACGACTCGAACACGACAGCCTCGAGATACGGCAGATTGGCAGCATTCAGGTCCTCAAAGGTAGGCTGACGATCTTGGAGTTCTGGCATGCGTGTGAGGACGTGGTCTCGAAGCTTGCGCTGTACAGAGGGGTTGTTCGTCATGTACTTGAGGAACTATGATGTCAGCATGGCTACCGCGCAGGTCCGGGCTGAGCTTGTTGAGGCTTACCCATGTGAGAGTAACACCGGACGTCTCAGTTCCAGCGACAAGGTCTACTTTATCAGCAGGGAGCGTGGACAGCGGACGACGACTACTCACACTGTAGCACCTCGTCAATCATCTCATTATCCGGCATCCAGTCCTCCGCCCTGAACTCCCTAGCGACCATCATATCCAGAGTGTTGTCCGCCATCTCCACCGCCGCCTCGGGACCTATAGACTTGGTCTTCTTGCGGCTCTCCGCCAGTCGATTCTGGAGATACGATTGGACATTACGGGTATGCCGGCGGTGTGTAGGGGAGAGCGAGGTGAAGAAGTGGCTGATGGCGGGGAACGGCGAAGTGAGCGGGAGGGACTGCTTGTCAGATTTCGTCCTCCCTCGAACTTAGCTGAGACGTACTTCGAAGAGATGCCAAGTAGAGTCGGCGATCCCTGGTCTGGTCGTCTTGAAGACAGCATCGCCAAGAGGTCCCGTAGGAACCGACTCGACCGACTGGATCTGCTCCTTGAACCCATCGAGGATGTCCCACGACGCACCGAACGCCATCCCGCAGATTGCGTCCTATATCATCAGCTAGGACACGGTACACACTGACAGACGGACATACCATAGTTGCGCTCTCCATATCGCCCTCAGCCACAAAGCTTCGCCCCTCCGCCTTGTCCGCCTTGAGCTTGAAGAGGTCGATCAGGTTTTTGACGGCCTCATTGGCTCTCGGCGTAGTGAGGGAGAGGTGTTTGCTCGTCATTGCTGGCCCTATGATACGCCTGTGGTGCTTCCACATAGGTCCGGTGATCTGCGAGATCTGGCCTGTGGGAAGTAGGTGCCGGAAGACTCGAGCTGTATTCTCTCCACGGTCGAATTCGGCATGTCGGACCTGGAGGATCGACTCGATCTCTTGATAGTCCATCACCACGACCAGCCTGATCGATCAGCTCAGGTCCGGAGGTCTTACAGAAATCTAAGGCTCACGTATCGAGAAAGCTGATCCTGATCTGCGCAATAGGTCCGAGCTCCTTCGCAACGACGTCCATGATTCGCGTCATCCCCTCGGTCGTCTTGCCCGTCTTGGCCAGCCATGGTATATCTCCAGTGAGAGGAGCTGGGCTGGGTAGAGTAGGGATACCAGGGATCCCGCGGGGTGTAATCAGGCGAAGAAAGGGTTTGCGGAGTAGGTAGATGAAAGGGATGAAGGCGAGATAGAAGAGGGGTGATAGGAAGAAGTTGGCGTGGATAGCGAGAGACATGATGTCTTGCTGAGAGATTGCCTGTTTCCGATGATGACCTGAGGCTCGCTACTGTCACCGCCACGATATGACTATTGCCAGATAGAAAGGTGAAGGATAGAAGATCGGGCATGCTAGGGATCGAGAACAGAGCAGCGAGGAATGCGTCACAGGCACGGTGGCGCGCGGACCCGAGAGAGGACCCGGCATCGCCGATGCTTGCCTACTCATCAGCAGCAGCCATCACGCCCGATGGATCGACGTGATATAGTGCCCGGAACACATCCACCCAGGCGAGAAAGAGTCTATACATCTACACACAGATATGAGTGAAACGGTGCGACCACCGGCACCCCAAAATATAGTGATCTAGCGAGCCCATCCCCTAAGCCAACACCTGCGCCTGTGCCTCGGCGCACTCCCAGCTCATAGGCCGTATATAGCTCTGGCGAGGATGGTTCGCCACTGTCTCGAAGAACTCCGTCGAGTTCATTGTCTCCGGGACCGGGCCGAAGAAGAATGCGAGGCTCAACTGCGCCATGAACAGCCGCATCTCAAGCACCTATGGAGTCAGCTTTGCCATGCTTGACACCGGGTACGTACAGCCAAGTTCTTCCCGAAACATCCCCGTTGACCTAGACCAAAAGGCATACTTGGTCCTGCGTAAGGGTCAAACTCTCCTTTCGAAGTCATCCACCGCTCCGGGTCGAACAGGTGGCCGGTCCCCGCTGCCCAATAGCCGATCTTGCGCGCGGCGGACGGGTCGTACCTGACGTCCGCGAGAGCTTCGGTCTGGCGGATGAGCGCGTCGGTACCAGCCGGGGCCGCATTGGGGAGATACGGGGCAGCGGTCGGGGTCGAGAGGTCCTCGGTCCCCGTGGCCGTGGTGAAGACGACAGTGGTGCCTTTAGGAATACGGTGGCCGAGCACGGTCACGTCCTTCTTTGCTATCTCATCAGCTATAGCTTGGCCAGGAGCTGAATGATGCTCACCCTCCCGAGCATAACCTCCGGCTGTGCGCGAAAGACGTAGCGTCTCGTAGACAACCGCTTCGAGGTATGGCAGGGTTGCGGCGTTGAGATCCTCGAAGGTAGGCTGACGGTCTTGCAGTTGCGGCTTACGTGCGATGATATGATCACGCAGCTTGCGCTGGATCGAGGGACTGTTTGTCATATACTTGAGGAACTAATGATCAGCTACCTTGCCATTATCCCGACACGCCGCGGGCAGCTCACCCAAGTGAGCGTAGCACCAGATGTCTCCGTACCCGCCACAAGGTCTATGCCATCAGATCTCAGCTTTACCGACAGAGAGGCTCAAACTCACATTGGAGTACTTCGTCTATCATCTCATTGTCCGGCATCCAGTCCTCCGCCCTAGACTCCCTTGCTACCATCATATCAAGCGTATTATCCACGAGATCCATCGCAGCTTCGGAACCGATCGCTTTGATCTTTTCGCGACTCTCGTCGAGTCTGCTCTTTAGGTAAGACCGGACGGTGCGACTGTGCCGGCGGTAGGTAGGGGAGAGGGAGGTGAAGAAGTCGATGATGGCGGGGAATGGTACAGTGATGGGAACCGCCTGACTATGAGCTCCCAGTCAATATCAATGCGCGCTGCGATGGCTTACCTCGAAGATATACCATGTGGCATCGGCTATATCTGGTCTGGTGGTCCTGAAGACCGCATCACCAAGATGACCAGTGGGGGCAGACTCGAGCATCTGAATCTGCTCCTTGATCCCGCCGAGGATATGCCAAGACGAACCAAACGCCATCCCGCAGATAGCATCCTGCACTTTCAGCTTGTAGCCTGGTGTCAGTGACAACGGGACCCACCATAGTTGCACTCGTCATGTCTCCTTCAGATTCAAAGCTTCTCCCGCCCGCCTTACTCGCTTTCAGCTTGAATAGCTCAATCAAGTTCATCACCGCCTCATTCGCCCTCGGTGTGGTCAGTGACAGGTGTTTGCTCGTCATCGCTGGACCGATGATCCGTCTGTGATGCTTCCACATAGGCCCAGTGATCTGCGAGATCTGACCGGTTGGGAGCAGTTGTCGAAAGAAGCGAGCATTGGCTTCGGCTCGGTCAAAATCGGCGTGTCTGACTTGAAGGATGGATTCCGTCTCTTGGTAGTCTGTGACGATCACCAAACTGTTTCTTCAGCCAGTGACGCCGTGAGAGGAAGTAGCGATACATACGTGTACAGGAAGCTGATCCTGATTTGCGCAATGGGCCCGAGCTGCTTCGCAGCAGCGTCCATGATGCGCGTCATCCCCCCTGTCGTCTTCCAAGCTTTGGCGAGCCATGGTAGGTCTCCAATCAAAGGAGCTGGGGTTGGTAAGGCAGGGATGCCAGGTATCCCGCGAGGTGTGATGAAGCGTAGAAAGGGCTGGCGAAGAAGGTAGATGACGGGAAGCAGGGCAAGGTATAAAAGCGGAGAGAAGAGGTCAATTTGAAGGGCGAAGGACATGGTGTCTTGGCTGTCGTCGCTTTGCGGCCTGAGCAAGGTGGTTGAGATTTGTATTGACGATCAATCCCTCTGTCCGGGGCAGACAGAGATACGTGCAAGAGAGAAGGGATGCCATGGTAGTTGAAAGGACTGGTCGTTGATATGATTGGAGAAGTGAAGGGGAAAACCCATGCGGACCAAGCGGAGCAACGGAGTAATAAGTTAGGCACCGCTGCACCGCGCGGCCGGTGGCTTCGGTTCCGATGCTGCTCCACGGAGCTCCATGTCACGGCGCGTTGTTGCAGCTGTGCCTTGTAGTCGCACTGAGCTCTAAGCCTGTGGCTCTCCTCGCCATGCACAAGCTGCGCTCCTAGCACATGGGACGCGAAGCCGTCGCACAGCCCTGTTCATGTCTTTTCATCTACTCATCTACCTCTATTCCCTGACCATCTTCCCCTCCTTGGGCCCAGCCAGGATACTTGAGATGCTCCCCCATACGAGCTTGGGGCTCTGAGCGGCATCGACAGGTGTCCAGATACCAGAGTTCTTGTAGTACTCCACGACGGGGCCGGTCTGGGCGTGGTAGGTTGCCAAGCGCTTCTTGAGGGTCTCGGCGTTGTCGTCAGATCGCTGGATGAGGGGCTCGCCGGTCTTGTCGTCGGTCATCGCCTTCTTGGGAGGGTTGACTGGGGAATCAGTGGGTGTTCTCATCCGCTCAGAGCGCGATTCTGTGCCTCGACCACGACTCACATTCACGGTGGTAGCTCCGGCCGGAAGCGGGGTGTATCAGACGACCAGTGATTCGGCTGATGAGGAGAGCATCGGGGATTTTAAGCTCGACGGCATGGTCGATGGGTGTCTTACTAGCCTCGAGCATGGCATCGAGCTTGGACGCTTGGGGAACGGTACGGGGGAAGCCGTCGAGGATGAAGCTAAGAGTATCAGCTTGCACATCTTGTTCAGCTTCGCGAGCCGCGACGGACACGCTGGTCCGGCCCGTCTAGTCATCCTGGCTCACCCGTTCTTGCATTCGGCGTTGTTGGTAAGCTCGTGCTTGATCATGTTGACCATAATCTCGTCCGAGACCAGTCCACCCTGGTCCATGATCTTCTTGGCAGCCTTGCCGAGCTCGGTCTGAGCAGCGACCTGCGATCGGAGCATGTCACCGGTCGCGAGGTGGCAGACGCAGTACTTTTGCGAGATGTTGGGGGCTTGAGTACCCTTGCCTGGAAAGTCAGCACTTCCTTCATTCCCTTCTTCGCCCGGTGCCTGAAACCTACCAGCTCCTGGGGGACCGATCAGAACCATCCTTGGTGCTCCACCGGCGACACCACCAAAGCCTACGGCCTGCTTGGCGGTCTCGACGGCATTGCTGACCTTGGATGAAGCGGATGATTCAAGGTGACCGATTTTCTCCTGGAGCTGCAATATCAGCTGCTCGTCCTTGCCGAAGTCGCAGCATGTTCGCCATGCGGTCCATACGCGGATCTAAAGGTCTCGTCGGAGATCCGCCATCGAGGCCTGTCACTTTGAGACAAGGTCAAGAGGAAGGGCTATTCACCTGAGAGACCAGCTTCTTGAGGTAGTCGAGCTCCGAGTTGCCCGATGGTGCGGAAACAGCTGCCATTTTTGCGCTCTTTTTTTTGCTACTTCTCAGCAGATGGCTCGAGTATCTCTGCTGTGTGCGGCTTACTGTGGGGTGGGGTGACAAAAGCTGGTGAGATGACGCTGGGAAGAGGGAGCTCACATCAGTACACTATCTTCAGGAGAGCATCATATGAATAGCCGGTTAGCTCTGCCGGCATCAGCGGCGTTTCCCGCTTCATATATATCTCGTAGCCACCCGACATCAGCCGAGACAGAGCCAGCCAGCCAAATGATGCGATGCTAAGCACGCTGAGTATTGTACATATGCGTACCTAAGCTATGGACATGGGTCTCGCGGTGCGTATAGTTAAACGGGCAGTAAAGTGTACGAGAACGGTGAAGGATCAAGCGGCTGCGACCACCTTCTCCTCCAAAGACGTGCCAACTCTGCCAGGCACACATTCCGTCCTGACATTCGCCACCGTCGTGACCTCGGGGAGGACCCAGGCCGGTGCCTCCGGGTTGAAAGCAAAGGCTCGGTCTTCCACCTGTGCGGGCTCAAACGGAGCGTCGAGTATGTTCGTCCTACTGATGTTGCACTCACAAGTCAGCCTCTGGTTGTCGCCTATTCCTCAATCGAGCGATTTCAATACTCACGGTCCAGTACCTGGTATCGGCCGGGTCAAGGGGCTTGAACAGCATCGCCATCGAAAGAACGTACACCGGCACCCCGACACCCTCCGCATTCTCGTACACGCCCTCGGTCAGCCCTTCATCCCACCCCAACTCCTCAGGTCCGTTCCAAGGCAGAACAAAGCCGACCCTGCTGAGGTCGGGAGAGTTGTAGTACATCTCGTATGAGGAACCAGGCTGACGCGCATCCACTTGCGCCTTGTTGGCAGACTGCCAGCCGACCTTGGCGAGTGCGACCTGTGGGCCCCAGCTGAAATGTAGGGCATGGCCAGAGCTAGTGACAGCTGTGGCGGAGGAAAAGGTGAGTAGGCCTAGGAACGGGAGAAGGGGAATGAGCTTGGTAGAGCTGATCATGTTGGCGCAGTCACTGATTGAACGCAGTTGCTGACTTGTTTGGAGTCGTCCGAGGCGTTGACCAGCATATTTGATACGGCGTTTGACTGAGCTAACAGATTTGCTTTGTTGCTCATAGGTTGAATTCAAGCAAGGTCGACCCCTGTCACCCCTGACCGGTCTGACCCCACGAGACTGCCGTTACTTCCAGCTATCCCTTTGTCGTTGGCATATGTCCGTCTCACGTCACGAGATATGGAGCCCGTGGAATCGTCTCCTTTGCCTTCCTTGTTCCTGACATGCAGGGGAACGAGATCTAGTGCACTGACGGGGAGATTGGGAAGGCGCGAAAGGGATGTGACAGGAGGAATTGGCAGGAGGGATTGTTTAGGACACTGGGCAGGGGGGACTGGACAGGAGGTACTGCACCGAGTAGATAGCTAGACAGGGGAAATTGGTAGCGTCAAACACGTTGACGGTCAGGGGAAACATGTATGTTGAAATGGGCCGGTCATGCGCATCTTCCCTACCCGAAGGCCGTCGAGGATGTGCCGCATTGGGCTCCTGGCTTGTTAGCAGGTCTGTGTACACTAGTGGGCTGCCACACGTGCCAAGGTGTCTGGCGATAGGTGCACGCATTTTCATGCGCTAGATCTAGTTAGACTTGCTTCACTATTGCAATCAAGCTGCATCTGCTCAAACGTTCCACTCTCGGTCCGTACCAATGCTGCTTCCTCCCTTCCTTTGTCCCGCTGCTCGCTTTCCCCTTCCCGATTCGCCGCGCCTTTAGACTCTAGACGGCAGACAGCGTCATTCCGCATCGCCCGCGCCCCCCTTCGACTCTGTCTTTTCCTGCGCCGTATCGTTGGGGAGTTGACCGTCCGCGCCAGTATCTGAACCTGACGCTGCTCCATCTGAGCCCCTTGGTAATGTATCCGTGGGGTCGGCAGGCGTAGGGAGTTGATGTGCAGGGTCAGGGGGGATAGCCGAGGATGATAGATCTTCCGCCTGGCCGGGCATTGGTCCAACGGAAGGATGTTGACCTATCTCGCTTGGCGGTCCGGATCCACCTGGCGTGGGAACGTGTACGGCGGCGAGTCCGATGCGCCCGATGGGCGAGTCACCGACTGGTCCGGTCCGAGCGATATCGGTCGATTCAGGCTCCACCGCTCCCGGCTCCACCGCTTCCGCCTCCGCCGTCTCGACTTCCCCACTTTCCCCACTTTGCCCAAGTTTCTCTTCCCCTTCTTCCCCATCCTTCACCTCTTCCTCGACCTCCGGCTCCTTCTCATCGGTAAGATCTGCCGCGACTAGAGCTGGTGACGCAGTGGGCTCCGCTGCCTCGCTCGCGGCAGGTACGATCGGCTTGACCTCCTCCGAGGCCGGGGTTGGACTCTTTTGCCTGCTGACCAAACTCCTCGCCGATCCCGACTTTGGCACCCCGTCCTTCCCCTTCGTCGACGCCTTCCCCTTCAGCGGCGAGACTAGACTAGCTGCACCTCCACCACCCGGAAGGCCCTCCACCGTCTTGGCCCGAGACGCCGCCGTCCCCTGCATCAATCTGCTCATGCTCGAACTCCCCGAGACCCGCTCCTTCTGCTGCTTTCCCTCTGACAGCTTGGAGCTGGGTCCAGGACTCTCGCTCCCCGCTCGGCCTGCCTGCCGAGTAGGCGTGGGGCCGAGCGATATCCGCTTGCTCGCTGGTCGGCCTAGCGACATTGTGCTGGAAACAGGGCTATCGCCGGATGCAGAGGGAGTTGCGCGAGCCTTGGCGAGTGACGATGCGGTAGGTTTGAACGGTGTACCGGTGGTCTGAGGCCGAAGAGGGGTAGTGGTAGGGGTAGGGCCGAAGGCAGAGACTGGTCGGCGTGAGGATGCAGGACCAGTCATGGCGGGAGTGAGGGGTTTGGCTGCCTTGAAGGCAGAGGGAGGACGGGTGGAGGTCGAGGGTTTGGGAGTGATGATGGAGGAGGTAGGTCGGGGCTTGGGTGTAGAGACGGTAGATGGCGCTGCCTTATCCGCTACCCTATCCGACCCCGATGGTTTAGACTTGACAGGGATCTTGCTGGCAGTGGGAGAGTCAGCCATTCGGGAGACCGTCGTCTTTGTGGTGGACGAGGTGGCCGCGCCTTTACCTGGCGCAGCAGTATTGGATATCCTTGATGAAGTAGCCGAGGAGGTGGTGTGCTCGCCTGCATCAGGCCGCACGATGGAGCTCGTCCCAGAAGCCGTGGATGATGAAGCAGCTTGCGAGTGCCCTGCGCGCTTCGCGGAAGGAACGTCCGCTTTGGAGGACATGACGCCAGTCACAGCGGTCTTAGGGGACGGCAACGAGCTCTGAGTAGATTTCGGCGCAGCTCGAGGTGATTTGGCTGTTGTGGGTGATATCTTGGCCGGGGTTGAGGCAGGAGCGGTGGAGATGGGAGCCGGCGTCCTGGTGGTCTTGGGGGATGGAGAGGAGGGAGCTTTCGGTGTGATCGTAGAGACCGCTTTTACCCTGTCCGATTCCGCCTTTTGCGGAGTGCTTGGTCCACCAGTCGCTGCGCTGCCAGTAGGCCCTGGCTTCGTCCCCGTCGTCTTCCCCGCCGAGGCCGCCCCGCTCCCACCGTTCAACTCCGGCCCATTCCCATCTTTATCCTTCAAGACCTCCATGACCTCGCCATCTCCCTTGCCACTCGCAACGGTGTCACCGGTAGTGCTCCCCCCACTCTTGCGCCAGCCGCCAGCACTGGTGACCCGCGGTGCATCTCCGGCAGGAACGCCAAGACTAGAGGTAGCCGAGGAGGAAGATGAGCGGCGTGATGCCTCGCGCTGAGCTGTAGCTGCGTTGTGTGCTGCGGCAGTCTGGAAACGAGCGACGAGAGCGGATACCTGGCATGAAGTCAGCCTAGATACTTGCCGGGTAGGGTCTCTCAAGTGGACAGCTCCCGGCACGGACGTAGGTAGGGAGAGATGACCTACCGATCCTTGTGATTTCTCGACGGGAAGTGGCCTCGTCGTCAGCTTTTTCCACACGGGTCGGTGCTGTCCGCCTGAGCTGTGCCGAGATGGCCGAACCGAGATGACAAGTGGGTGGAGGAGGCTACTTACATGATCTCCTTTGTCCGACGCGTCTACCAAAAGCGACTCTCAGCTCGATGTTGCAAGGGGGAAGGATAGTCAAGCGGTCAAGCGGGATCCTTGCCGCAGGTCTGATGGACTCTGGATAGATGCAGACCCTCGACGGGGCGCTGGACGGTACGTGGTAGATGGACAAGCGATGTCAAGGGCAAGGTAAGGTTGCTCGAGGCTCCGAGCGCGCGGACCGAAACACGCGGGGTAAGTTGCCCCGCGATGAGGAATGTGGCGGACAGGGCCCATGGGCCGAGGGACGATGGCAGTGATGACCCCCTCAGGCCTGTGTGCTCGATGGTCCATGTATACATACATATCCTCTTGATCACCGAGCTCTCCTTATCGCTACAAATGAAATCAAAAGTGTCCACACAAAGAGCAGAAGACCGGGGAGGGGTACCTGGACGCGTGGCCCTACTGAACTGGAAACAAGCCCTTGAGCCGGAAGGCCAGCTCTGTCGGTCAGCTCTGTCCTTAGCTAATTAGGGGTATGATAATGAGGTAACGTAGTGAGAGGATAACTTACTCCAGCTTGGGAGTTCCCGTCGTTATCGCCACCTGGATCGCAAATTGATAGGTCGTTTGAGCGCTTGGCGTGATTGAGGACCTCAATGCTGTTTGTGTCAGGTTTGCCGATAGCGACCTGCTTGATCTGATCACCTCATGAGCATGATAACTCGAATCGGAATGTCGTGAGAACTTACGTTGCAGATCCCGATGATGCAGTGCCTGAGCGGACAGTAGCAGACCCGCTGGAGGAGGAACTGCTGGCCGGAGAGACTGAAATGGAAGCCGCAGAGGCAGTGACAGAGCTTCCATGTGCCGCGCTGCTGGGTACGGCCGGAGGGGCCGAGCTGCCGGGAGCAGCTGGGCTCGGGGCCGCGAGTTGTGGATCCAGAGCTGGTAATGGGAGATAAGCCATATAGTCGAGATCCATATCTGGTCGGCATCAGCTCCAAATCGATCCCCTCAGTCCTGGCCGCGACCACTCACAGAGTCTCTCTTCGGCCTGCACCTCATCGCTCTGCATGTACACATTCTCATTCCTCAGCTCGACATGGTGTGCGCCATTCGGCAGGCCTTGGCTGGCCCACAAGACCGCGTCATTCCTAAGGGTATCCGAGAACCCGTTGTAGTATTGCTTGGGTCCCCTGTCGATTGAGATCGAGTAGAAGCCATGACTAGATATCTGTAAGCGACATTTCCCTTCTGGGATGTGGATGCACTTACTTTGGCTTTGTCGCGCCGACGATGGTCACATCACCGCCTGTCCAGTCCAGCGAGACGTAATCGCCGTTGTTGGAGCAGGCGTTGAAAGTCCCGTTGTCGTACTTTAGTCTGTCTGGGTCGGCTGAGACGTCAACGCTGGCCCCGCTCTTGTCATCCGCACATCTTTGACTTACTCGGATCACTCCTCCAGGCTCCATGGTACTGCAATCGGGGATCCGGGGAGTCGACCGGCACCGCTCCCGGCGCAAGAGCCATGCCGAGCTAAGTCTTGGCTAGATGCTTGTTGGTGGAGATAGCGGTAGCAGGTAGACGAGTTCAAGCCGAGGCGGGACGGGCAGATAGGAGAACGAACGATAACCTCGATTTCAGGACAGTGAGAAGAGAGGGTAAGAGAGATACAGGCCCCACGCCGGCTGCACACAACGAACATGAATTAGGATACCTTTGTTCGGCAATGGTGATCCACCCCCTGAGAAAAGGCACCCCTGTCTGATTCTCAAAGGCAGGAGAAAGTCTGATTGTTCATTTGCAGGACCCTGCCCAGCTTCGAGGCAGTCAGTACTGTCATGATTCCCAGCGCGCCGTGAAAACGAAGACATCCTCATCGGCGGTTCTTACATCAGCACTAGCTCGCGCTTTGACTCCGGCTGGTTCATATCTAAAATGGTCAGTGCCATGTGAGCAAAGGACCCTGCTCCTGAAAGAGGGGTATCCATGCCTAGCTCACAACTCGGCGGATCATCAAGCGCCTCAGCTGTGCAGGTCAGATGCCCGCCATACCTCTCAGACTCCACCGACAGGCTGACTCTTCTTCCCGCCCGCCCCCTTCCGCCTGACCACAGCTGGTACGAACGCTAGAGCCAGAGTAGCATCCAGCTGGCCCGCCAAGTCGTCCATCTCGTCGACTTCCATCTCGCCGGCCGAAGGTTCCACAGTTGTGGGAGGATCAGGCTGGGTCGAAGTGGTCGAACGAGGTTTTGGCGCTTGCTTGGCCGGGGTGGAGACGGGGATATCGCGGCGTGGTCTGATGAGACTCGCTGCTAGGCCTTCTTGTTGAAGGATCTGGTTGAGCTGCAGTATCAGCTAAGACCTAGCATCAAGAAAGGTGGTCAGGGACCGTACACCGTGGTTGGTGATTGAGAAGAAGTACTCGTTCGGATACTCTACAAGCGCATCAGCTCCATAATCGATGATGCGCACCCAGTAAAGCGGTATACGCACGATGCTTGGCTTTCAGATGACTCCGCCTGGTAGCTGGTGTCTTGAACTTCCGGCCGCACTGCGGCGCAGGTATGAAGCATTCGAACTATCAGGTGAGTCAGCGCTCTCCCAGAAAAACGAAATGTATCTGGCTCACAATCTTGCTCCCATTTGCCTGCTTCTCTCTCGCCATCATATCATGTACTTCCGTCTGATGCTAAGCGTCTCGTCAGCCTCATCCTACTCAGTGTAAGCTTGAAAATGGTGGACGATAGAAAGGGCAGACTCACAAGCTCCAGAAACCGCTCGTCTGGAAACACCTTCCCGCACTCCTTCATCCGCCCCCTTCCACCTCCGCTAACGAATCCATCTGGCAGGGCGCTTCCCTCGGCCTCGCTCCGAGCTTCGGAGCGCGTATATGGTCGTCTGGAGGCGCCCGGGGTGTAGTCCCGGATAGGCACGCGGCAGATGTGGTTGTGGAATTGAAGTTGATGTCGCTCCAGCTCCGACTGCGAGGTGTGTGATGTTGAGGAGTCGGGCTTGTTGCATGTCGGAGGGAGGTGGCAGGTGTACGCCGAGTCGGAAGCGGAGGTTGATGGTCTGTGAAACTTGGGCGGGGGTGAGAGACCGCCTGATGCGGAGTGGACAGAGCTCGAAGTGCCTGCCGAGGAGGCCGACGAGATGGAAGCTGAGCGGTATCTCTTGTTGCGGGGAGTGCTCTCGTCCATTCTCGGTGGTGGCTGGGGTGTCTGAGACGTAACAGGAAAGAGAGAAGCTGAGTTGAATGTGTGGGATCCTCGAAGCCTAGTTCAGGCACGTCCGTGCGCCCGTGTTTCAGGTTTGGCGAGCTGCTGTTCCAGGATGCTCTTGCTCCGGCGCATCGCTTCTCGCAGCTGGGGGCTACTCACTGATCAGACTGATGGTTGGGACAGCTGCCAGCTTCACGCATACATGGACTTGAGCCTGATATACAAGGAAAAACGATAACGTCGTCAAGCTGCCAACCTAGATTTACTGAGAGTGGCGGGTCATCCGGCATGATTGGAGCCATGAGGAGATCTGCATTGAGTTGGCCGAGGTCGACGGGCCATCGTGCAGTATTGCACATCTACCACACTAACAGCAGTCACTCGTATGTGTTGCGATGCTCCAAGGCCAAAGTCCCGATGCTTCCCACCGCTGTGAGCGATCTGATCGGCTTTGAATCGGTCCCATCGCCTTCCCTGAGTCGGTCAGGTCACAGCTTGAGCTTCGTGCTATGCAGGCGCTGAGTGCCACTACTATCTGCTTTTCCGGGATGATGTCCAACAGAGTGACCGCTGTGAGACTGCAGAAAAGGTGATGGGTGGTGGCGGGATAAGGGTGCCACATTGAGCTAATACCGGGAATCGCCGCCCGCTTGCTGCCCTGGCTCACTCCGCTCAGTCACTGTCATCGATCTCCTCCATTCAATTAGATAGATAGCTATACAAAGGTCATACTAGACACCCCTCCACACACATCACAGCTACTGTGAGTATACAACCAGACTGTCACGGCCTCGAGACTCCTGAAAAAGCTGGTCGCGGAGCAATCCTGCTGTCAAGGAGACGCCTCCCGCCGCTCAACCCTCCACGTTCCTTTCTCCCGATCCGACGCACATCTTGGGGTCTAAGCTCATCATACAGCCCCGAACACTCAGCAAAATGTCTTCCGTAGCCGACCTCTGCCCCGTCTATGCGCCCTTCTTTGGCGCCATGGGCGCGACCGCCGCTATCGTCTTTACGTGTATCGGCGCAGCGTAAGTGTCAACGTCTTAGCTATCAACTACAGCTGACGCCGATGCAGATACGGTACCGCCAAGTCGGGTGTCGGAATCTCCGCGATGGCTGTGCTCAGGCCGGACCTGATGATGAAGTGCGTCGTGCCCGTTATCATGGCTGGTATCATTGCCATTGTGAGTCCGGGCAGCCACCGCAGCATATGACTCGTGATCGCAAGCTGACAAGGATAGTACGGTTTGGTCGTCTCGGTCCTTATCGCCGGTGGTCGTGAGTCGTCCCGCGTATTCGAGAGGGATGCAGCTGATGAGAACAGTTGAATCGCCCATGCCCCTGTACACCGGTTTCATCCAGCTCGGCGCCGGATTGTCGGTCGGTCTTGCCGGTCTCGCTGCTGGATTCGCTATCGGTATCGTTGGTGACGCCGGTGTGCGCGGAACAGCTCAGCAGCCAAGGCTTTTCGTCGGTATGGTGAGTTGGCTTGACTGGACGGTTGAGAGGTGCTTGGGAAAGCAAGCAGTACAATGGCGATTGGGGAGAGTCCGGAGACGAGGCTTTCCAGAGGGTGGGCGGCAGGGGAGTATAGGGCGCAAGGAAGGACGGAGCGGGCTGGACTGATTGGTCGAGCGAAACTATATTATGAGGCCATCGCTGACCCCTCAGATCCTGATTCTTATTTTCGCCGAAGTGCTCGGTCTTTACGGCCTGATCGTTGCTCTTATCCTCAACACCAACGCCGCCACCTCCTACACTGTACGTCGAGCCTCCTACGCTTTGTACTATCCTAGCTGACTCTCAGTGCCCCGCCCCCAAGTAGACATTCCTAGCTGGATGATCCGCTATCACCCTTCTTCCCCTTCTCCCCGAAATACACTATGAATCCTCGTACCTCATTTGCGCAACCCGCATCACATCGCATTGCCTGTCGTGTACATCCGAACGGCCAGACGGGGATAGAGATAGCTCGCGCTGGTCTAGACGGGGAATGTGTCGCTCGACCGTGTTCTCTTGTCCCGGGCCTCGGCCATTCGATCCTGAGATCAGCTTTGGGGGGGTGCCTTGAGCGCTTGGCCTGACGGGTCTGCTGCTGTTTGCAGTATGATTTTACTGCGACGTTGACCCTGGCTGATGATTTGATCTCGCCGCACGAGTACGAGGCGGGCCGAGGAAGCTGTTGAAGTGCTGCTGAGGCGCCGAGCAGAATCGAGCCATCCGCGTCGCTGCGAAAGAAGCCTTTTGTTCCTGAGCGACCCCACGACCAACTCTAAGTTTGCCTTCTATCCTGTCAACGATGTGCACCATCACTTGCACCTTCTTTTCGTCTTTCATCCCAATACTGAGCCTCTCAGAGCTCGTATGCCCCCGGACCGTGAAAAGCTCGAGATAGCGAACCAGCGAGCAGCATGGGCCCGCTCCACCCCCTTCTCGCGCCTCCACCGCAGCTCGCCTTGAACCCTCTGTCGTCAACTTCGGCGCATCTGCTTTCCTTTCTCTTCACCTCGGGCTATGTAGGGAGTATCTATATCTCGAATCATCTCGCTTCGAGCGGTGATGCGCCGAAACGGAAGGCTGCAGTCTCTGCGAGCTCCACAGGAGGTACAGAAGGTACGTCGTCCTGACCCCCCTACACCTCTTAGCAAGCTATCAGACGGAGACCTTTCCATCTCCAGCGTCTTACGCTCCCATGCAGAGGCATATACACTAAACGATGTACTGACTGATACATAGCTACTTCGGCAGAGAACTCTACTTCGCTGCCTCTCCCACCAATATCCGCGGAGGACGCACCTGACGATGCCTTCCTCGACCCCAGTGCACCCCAGCCAGGGGACCGGAACCACCCAGCTACCATCCGTAGTCGGATGAAGGCTGTTGGACTCGCTACTGCTCTGAGCCTAGGCGGAGTCTGGTACACTGTGAAGACAATAGGCGGATATGGGGCAGTGGAAGCTGTGGGTCCAGCTCATGGGTTTGACGGTGACAATGGCTGATGTGCCAGGTCCGCCCGACGCTCTCTTTGCTCGGCTTACCACTTCCTTCCTTCCCCTCACTGTCCGCTCTGCCAATCACGGTCCTGCCCTACGTGCTCGCGCCCGCGCTCCTCCTCGGCCCGCTATACGCTACATATCTCGACGGTGACCTCCCTTCTTTCTCATACACCCGTCGAGAAGGCCTGCAGATCCAATGGGACAGGTTCAGCGGGCCAGAGTCAGGCTGGGGTCTGGCGGAATGGCGAAACTACGTCGTGGTCCGTCTCTCTTTTCAGGCAACCACGGGTCGAGTGTGCTAATCGTCAGGGCCCACTGACTGAAGAGCTCGTATTCCGCTCCTGCCTCCTCTCGGTCGCCCTCCTCTCTCGGACTTCTATGCGGTCCATGACATTCGCCACTCCTCTCTGGTTTGGCGTCGCACACGCCCATCACGCCTGGGAGACATATACCAAAGGTGGACGAACTTCCTCTGCGGCTGTCCGAGCTGTCGCTGGGTCCCGTAAGCTTCCCTTCAATCTTTCTGGCCGTAGTGTCCGAGCTGACGTCCGTAGTGTTCCAGCTGACGTATACGACCCTCTTCGGCTGGTTCGCGACGTACAGCTACCTCCGGACCGCGTCTGTCCTCCCTGCGCTCGCGTCGCACGCTTACTGCAACGTCATGGGGATCTACCTACCCAACGTGGCGGCTCAGCGGCACCCGGGGCGGAAAGGGCTGATATGGGGCATGTACGGGCTAGGCATCGCTGGGTTTGTGGTAGGTCTGAGGCGCCTGTGAGCCATAGCAAGGGGCAGACAATGAGGTCTGCGCTGTTTAATTCTAGAGGTATATACATGCAAGAATCCGCGACAAAATGCACATGCCAACACAAGATACACTACAAAAGATTCTAATCTATCAAAAGTCCTGATACATACGCTACAGATGTCCCGCCTCTCGGACTTAACACTGCTACTCTCGCTCAAGCACATCCTCCTATGGACTCGCGCCCTTCACTGACGGCTCGCCTCGTGACCCGCCATGTCGCCAGATCCCGCCCCGGAACTACCCTCATACCCGCCACCTCGCTCATAATAACCCTCCACCGGCCCAATGGGCGGGACAGGCGGGAGAGACGCTGTAGCCTCGACCGACTTGGTAGCCTTTTTGGGTCGAGCCCCGGGGCGCTTAGTCGAACCGGCCTGGGAGCCAAGCGAGACCCGTTCTTTGGTTTTGCGGCCCGGTCCCCGCCGTTTCAGTGCGGCATCGTACGAGCATACATCTTCGTCTCGGCGCGCACAGTGATGACATCGTGGTCGAGCGCCATCGCATCTATCGAAGTCAGCCTGACTCCCACAATGGGGAAGACGAGGGACTTACTTGAGTTTCTTGGCTCGACAAGTATAACAAGCGATAACAATCTTCTTGGCTCCTTCTTGCTGGCCATCCACCAATCCCTCCGGCTTGTCCTCCGCGAGCGCGCCCTCCCCGCCCTTGTGACTGTCCGAGCCACTATTACTGACGTCGCGACATCTCTTCCCCAACGCGCCCTCGCTCTTGCCCTTGGTCTCCTGTACATCCGTTGACCCCGTTGACTTCACCCTCCTCTTTTTGGGCTTGTCCAGCTCTGCCAACGGCGCCGAGGAAGGCACGAGCGGGTGGGTTGGAGAATGCGATGCCGCCTCGCGCTTGATTGGAGGGGAAGACCTAGAAGCAGTTGCAACGGGCGCGGTCTGCGTGGGATTGATCGATGTCCATAGATATGGGGATGTGGACGGAGGAGGGAGACCGAAGCTGTGCGACCTTTGCGTCGAGGAGCTACCGGCCGAGTGGTACTGCTGCGAGTCGTGCAGGTACTGAGGGCGCTGCTCGGATTTGTACGGGTTGGTCTCGTACGATGGCGAAGATTGAGCCGTACGAAACGCCGAGCTGGCAGACCTGTCGCTGGGGAAGAGGGCGGATTGGGCATCGTAGCACCCGGTCGCGGACGTAGGCGGGGCAGCGTACGGGGATATTCCTGGCGGACAACGGTGTGATGGGGAGGTGTTATAGTTGCGCGAAAGTGCCTCGCTGAGCGCTTGATCCTGTCCTTGGCTGTTAAACCAAGGAGCGGGATCCGGGTACCGCCCATCCGGGGCCTTCGAGGTGGGGTGTTGGTACTGCTGAAGCTGTGGGTAGGGGTAGCCCCAGTCCATAATGGCCGGCGCGCGGTTATTGAGGTAGTTCTGTGCCGCGAGATAGGGTGTTTGCAATGTCAGAGGTACAACAGGATTGGATGGGGTGGCAGTTGGGAAGAGGGCGGCGTCCGATTGCTGATAGGCGTAGAAGGGAACGAACGAGGGGTCGGGATTGCTTCCCGCTCGGACGCCGGGGACGGGGTACTGTGATGTGCCTGACGACGTGCGGGAGTAGGGGATCGGTGCCGTGTTTAGGGGAAGGGCAGGCGAGGACTGGGATGATAGGGATGAGATGGGATCTTGTCGATGATATGATGAAGGGAGGGATGGTGGAGGCGCGAGCGACTGGGCAGAGACGGGCGGGGCGACCGGTTTGGTCTGGGCGGGCGTTGACCAGGTGCTCGGTACCTCCTGCGGGATATCGTACTGCCGAGTGTAGGGCTGGGAGTGGGTCAGATTGACAGGTGAGGTGGAAGTGGGAGTGGTGCTGCTGGAGGCGGCGGGAAGACCCAGTTTGGCCTGAAGAAGCTGATCGTACCGCGCGCCGGTGGGGATGTTGGTGAATGGGTAATCGATGGGATCACTGTATATCAGCTATGCAGATACTGACGCATTCGTTCGGAAGCCATGAGGAGCACTCACAACGACATGAACTCTGCAGGCGCATCGGTGGGTCCGTGCGAGCCCATCCACTGCTGCTGAGGTACCGTATGCTGCCCCAGGGTGTACATCGCCTCCTGCACGCTAGTCATCCCGCTCGTCCCATGTCCAGCGGGTGTGCTGTTGAGCATCGACGCAGTGTAGGCCGCATTCGACTGCGCCGCCTGAATCTCCTTGTCCAGCGCAGACATCCGACGCGTCCTCTCTGCGCCTCCTTGCGACAAGGCGTCCATCATCCCGTTCAGACCGACTGTGGCTCCCATCACGCTGTACGCCTTTGTCATTTCCAACGCCTGTTCTCCCTTCGCAGCCGAAGTATCGCCGCCGATCTTGGTATCCATGCCGCCTTGTCCGCCCACCGCGTTTCCGGATCCGAGCGCGCGTGTGACCGATTGACCGGGCATGAAGGGATTCTCAAAGATCCACCCTCCTCCGTAGGGATTGTCACCGGTGGCAATGGGTTGAGCGACAGCGGTAAGATCGGTACCGATTTCGCCTCCGAATGAGGTGGACGCGGACGAGTATGAGAGAGATGGAGCCGAGGTACCGAAGGACATGGCGTGTGTCCCTCAAAATGGGACCTATTATTCGAAAGCGCTGGAGTTGGAGTTGGGCGATTTTAGACCCCTTGATGGCGAGTTTCAGAGCTTTTATCTCCTCGAGAAGGAGGTACCATCGTCGGAGGGGGGAGGGGCAGTCGGCGTGTATATGACTGATGGGTGGAGAAATTTGCAAGGTGGTCTGTGATGAGATATACGAGTTGATGAGCGCGTCGACTCCGCCAACTCCATGGATCCAAGTTACTCGGGCAACTTCTGCAGCTTGGTCTACTCGAGATCTCGACCCGGGCCAGGCCCTGCCAGGCCCCGCCACTAGCGCGTCAGCCGCGCAGTAAAGTGACACCCCTTTTTCTTCGGAATGACGTAATAACCAGACGGGAAAATACCGGCCGGAGTCGGCCTCTTTTTGACACCGGGAGTTTACCCGCTCAACCCGATAACGATAATGCGAGACATCCGCTATTCGGACATGTCATTCGGGCCATACAAAAAGGTCCCCACGAGCCAGCCCATGCTAAAAGGCACAAAAGATCCACTGTGGAGTAAGGATCGACGCACGCAATTACTACGCGACACAGGGACGTACATATGCAAAAGATAGACACTCAAGATCATGGATACAACCACTCTGAAACACGCCCAGCCTCCGCGGCTCTCCCCCTTGCTCCTTGCTGCTTGCGCCAACTCGGCCATGCGTCATACCGCGCAAAGTCCACCTCCCGCCTCCAGTCTCCAGGCCTCACTCGTCCCCCTGCTCCCCTTCCCCGTTGAACATCGTGGCCAACCCATCCGCAGCATCGTCCTTCGCGGGGACAAAAACCTGAAACATGAGCTCTCCGCACTAAAACCTCAAAGTTCAGATCCACAGAGTTTAGGTCCGCAGATCTGGTTCAGGCACTAACCTCGAACGCGGTCTTTTCTCCTTTTGCCCGCTTTTCCTCCCCTGCCTTGCCCTTCGCGAGGCCAGCCGACCACCCCACTTTTCGGGCCATAGCCTCCTTCGATCGGTCTAGTAGGATGGCGAGATCCTGGTCGCTATCCGATCAGCCCATAGCTCAAACTCTCCGCTTTCCCTCCGAGCCGCCAGTACTGACCTGATGATGGTATCGTCCTTGGACGCGACATCCACCTCCTCACCCTCCAGATCTAGCAGTGCCCGCGCCATATCCGCCGTGCTCTGCTCCTTGTTCTTACTACGCCCCAAGAGCACCTTCCCATTATCATCCACGACCCGCCCAAACTTGCCCTGGCTGATGACCAGCGCTTCGAGCTTGCGCTTGTTGCCGGCCTTCTGCAGGATCTTGGTCTCGATGGTATGGGCCGAGACGAGGCGGAAAACGAGGACGGGCCGGGTCTGGCCGATCCGGTGAGCTCGGTCCTGCGCCTGCAGGTCCATCTGCGGGTTCCAGTCTTGGTCAAAGAAGATGACCGTGCTGGGGAGTCAGCTTGTCGCTCAAAGTGGAACAGAGGTGGAGCTCACTCTGCCTCGACCAGGTTGATACCAAGCCCGCCAGCGCGGGTACTGAGCAAGAACAACTTGGTGGCATCTGGAGATGTCCCGCCATTGTTGAACACGTTCATCTGCTCTCGACGGGATTCCTGGCTGGTCGATCCGTCGATCCGGCAAGTCTTGATCCCCTTGAATTCGTTTGCCCATTCTTCCTAAAGATCATCAGTTTTGCTCTTCTCCCCTAGGCATGTATCACTTACAATGACATCCAGCATAGTCGTAAATTGGGAAAAGATCAATACCTTGTGGCCGCGGCCGAGCAAAGCGTCGAGGAGTCGATTCAAGAGCAGCATCTTGCCGCTGGCATTGACGAGGTCCTGATCCACGACGAGCTCGCCCGTCTTTTCGTTGTATGGCCAGTCGAACAGGAAAGGATGGGACGAGATCTTTCGAAGTTGCATAACGAGATTCTGGAGGCGCATGTTATTGACGGATTTCGCTAATGGTCAGCTCGATCCAAAGCAACGGAGGAGAAGAGCTTACTAGCTTGCTTCAAAGCCCAATCCTTGCCCACTTCCGCCGCGCTCTTCTCTTCCACCCCACTCGGCTCATCCACCTTCACCCCATTCTCCAGATCCCTCACGTACTTGTTATCATTCTCCTCGATCTTGTAGTTGACTCTGCCCCTCTTCCGCTTGCCTCGCCCATTGGCATCTACCGCCTCGACCACCGGCTCCGGCTTTTCCTCGGTCTCAACCTCGCCATTCCCGGATTTCTTGTCCACGAGGAACTGCCTGATTTGACCCGAGACGATCGCCTGGTAGATGTCCTTCTGTTGCTGCGTGAGCGGAGCATAGAGGAGGTATTCCTTCTTGGGCGGGAGGTCCTTCTCGACGTCCACCTTGAGTCGGCGGAGTAGGAATGGTTTGAGGATGGCGTGAAGGGAGGTGACGACGGAGGATTTGTCGAGGAGAGCAGCATCCTGGTTGCCGGTGCTTGACATCTCGTCAAAGTTGAACCATTGCTGGAACGAGTCGAGGTCGTCAAAGATGTCGGGGAGGATGAAGTTGAGGAGAGACCAGAGCTCGGCGAGGTTGTTCTGGCTTGGTCAGCTTGGCCCGTCCACAGCAAATGAGAGAGGACTAGCTCACGTGAAGAGGTGTACCAGTCAAGATCATCCGGTTTGCAGAGGTGTACGTCTTCAGTTCCCGAATAAGCCTATATAGTCAACGCGTATCCCTTCCCAGGTTCTCCAGAGACCACTCACTTGCAGTCCAGATTCTTCAGCCGGTGCCCTTCATCCACCACAATAAACTTCCACATAAAGTTGCTCAAGAACTTTTGATCCTTCATGCAAATTTCGTAGGTCGTCACAACGACCGGGAACGTCGAAGTCGAATTCCCGCCTGATCTCGAGGTGTTGCTCTTCCTGCCGCCCTTCTTCTTGTTGGCGCCAATGTCCGAGGCGGAGGGGGGTTGAAGACGAGTCGCGCGGAGGTCGGCGCGGTGTTCGGGGGTGCCGTGATACATGATGACCTGAACGTCAGCTGTGCCTCCTGCGTAGGACATAATTGGCTAGCTCACAGGGATGGAGGGGCAGAACTTCTCAAACTCCATCATCCAGTTGTTGAGTACTGATAATGGGCAGACGATAAGGAAGGGTCCCCAAGTCCCCTTGGACCGCAAATGCGCCAGGAAGGCGATGGTCTGGAGGGTCTAGCCCGATAAGCTACAGCTCCACATCTGGTCGAACAGAGTAGCTCACCTTTCCCAGCCCCATCTCGTCCGCCAGAATTCCGTTCAGCCCGTTCTCGTACAGACTGATCATCCACTGCACCCCCGCCAGCTGGTAGTCCCGGAGCTTGGCGCCAGTGACGAGCTCGGGCTGGGCGAACGAGTACTGCTTCATGTCCTCTCCTTCCTCCCCTTCAGCTGCTTCAGCTGCTTCTGCTGCCTCTCCCTCAGTGGCCTCAGTCTTGGCCGTCATGGGTTCGGTCTCGTCAGCCTCCACGTCTGGCTTGACCTGTTCGTCAGCCCAGTCTCACAGTATCATGAAGGCGACTCACCTCCTCCTGGTTCTCGACCTTGGCCTTCTTCGCAGATCCTGCTGCGTCGCCTCTCCGCTTCCGCTTCCCGACCCCAGTTTCTTCTTCCTCCTTGGCAGCGGGACCCGCCTTATCTCTCAATCCGCCCCTTGTAGCGGTCCCCTCTCCTCTCTTCTCCTTGTTGGCCTTACGAGTCTCGGCCCGTTGCTCCGCCTTCCGCTTCTCGATCTGCTGGCGCGCCATCCGGTCCCCGATGATCTTGGCGTAGATGGTTGATTTGTCGAGCAGGAAGCTCAGGCGATTGGCGCGGGCGTCGGCCTGAGGTACGGGAGGGTGATCGTAGTAGAGCATGTTGAGTGGTGGTGCGTGATAAGGCAAGGTGGATTCGGGATGTGGGGTGGTGTAGAACAAAGGAAGAATCGGGTCAGCCATAAGCTCGGCAGATGGAGGTACAAGTCATGGAGCACGCAAGGCAATCCCTCCCCCTTCGTCTCAACCTCCCAAGACCTCCCAGGTCGGTAAACAGCGCAAAGGCATCTCTTCAACCAGATACACCACTTTATCCTCCCTCTACACCACCTCGTCCACATCCTTTGCACCACCGCGCCAGCTGAATCAAGCCATTTCCTGCGACTTACAGCCGGATCGGCTTCCACAGACTCCTTATCCTCCTCCATGACCACGTTGTCGGTGTCTCCGTTGGCTACATGGACCTCCGCCTTGATGGCTGGACCAGCTGAGCTTGGCGAAGCTGGCATGGATGTCGCGGCTGACGTTGAGGCGTTGGTCAGATTTGGTGTGGACTGTACGTCTGAGGTGACGGGTGAAGCCATTGCGTGTGTATTCCCTTCGTAGATGCTGCAGAATCAAGACAGTATGTGTATGAGTAAGCAGCTAGTCAGATATAGGTGAGATGTAGATATGTATAGGATGAGGACAGAGCAGCTAGTTGGAACGCGTCCGATCGCCTTGGTTGACTTTTTGCGGAGCCCACAAAGGAAGACCTCTGACGCGCATCGACGGAACCAAACAAATCAGGGGTAATTAACCGTTTCAGACATCGGGTGGCAAATTATTCACGTGGCTCAGCAATGGGAAACTCGAACGCCGACAAACTCCGGCCGGTCTCAGTGAGTGTGGCGTTTTCAGGCTTTCGAAATTGACTCCATCCGCTGCAGCTGGTCGTTGATTTTGTGCACAAGTCCTCGAGCTATCCCTATACCCTCCTTATCCTCCATTAATATCAGCCCACGATGCCGTCTCTTAAGTGTAAGTCAGCGCACCGAGTGCATATATCGACAAGCACCCAAGCGGAAGAATTGCGTATCGATACGATACGTGCCATTCGGGTCACTGGCGGAATGGCAGGGATTGAAGGAGCGATTGAGGGAGAGGCGCTGGGCGGCAGAAGGGGCATGATATGCGGATGCGGCAGAGGGGATCGCTGCTCGAGCAGAGCGCACGCTCTCTGGCTCAGACGAGCTCAAGCGTGTATGGGAGGCGGTATAGGGGGATCAGCGGAACAAAGATCATGGAGAGACTATGCGCGTTCATATGAACTCTAGCTGACATCTCAGCCGCCGCCGCCGGTACCAAGTTCAGGATGACCCTCGCTCTCCCCGTCGGAGCCGTCATGAACTGCGCCGACAACTCTGGAGCCAAGAGTGAGTTGGAGTTTGTTGGACGGAATGGAGTAGGGGATACGCGAGGGGGATGCGGATTTGATGACAAGAGAGACGTCGAGGAGGATAAGGGGACCGCGCTATCAGCTGGGCTGGGGAAGATTGGAAGAGGCGTGGTCGGAGGCGGACAGTGGGGACAAGAAGGGAAAATGGGTGGACGCTACCGGGTACTCTGATCTTGAGCTGACACTCAGACCTGTATGTCATCTCAGTCGTCGGCTTCGGTGCCCGATTGAACAGGCTCCCCGCTGCCGCCGCTGGCGACATGGTCATGGCGTCCGTGAAGAAGGGAAAGCCCGAGTTGAGGAAGAAGGGTGAGCTGAGACGTCCCTTGGGCATGGTAGAAGGGATGTAAGCTGACAGGGTAGTCATGCCCGCTGTTGTTTGCCGTCAACGCAAGGCCTGGCGCAGGCGGGATGGTGTCTTCCTCTACTTCGAGGATAACGCCGGTGTGATTGTCAACAACAAGGGGGAGATGAAGGGAAGTGCTATCAACGGACCGTGAGTGTCTGTCCCTGGGTCGGGCCGGGTCGTCAGGGACGAATGGCGTTGCGAGGAAATTGTGCTGGGACGAAGTGCTGATCCTTCAGCGTCGCAAAGGAGTGCGCCGACCTGTGGCCACGTATCGCCTCGAACGCCGGTACCGTCGTCTAGATGTTCCTCTTGGATGTCTTTGTATGGGGATGCATTTCGGGTGGCTCGCACGATCATACCAGCGGGGCGGGGAGAATGGGTCTATTGAGGATACTGAAGCTGGACCTGAGCGTGGATGAGGGAATCGCGGGGTGATGATGCTGTTGAAGGAGGTGGGGCAATATGGGTCGGTCGTCAATGCTGGTCTCGTTGGTGCGCTTGAATTTGCTTCGACTTCTTCGATCTTGACAGAACGGGAAGAAGGCCGCACAGGGGCTTTTCAGGCTATTCCCACTTGAGTACAGTTGATACCTGACCGACGGTCCAGCAGGTTCCACATTGCACACGCCTGATCTTTGCCAACACCAATCTTCATTTCCTGGGCAGGATGACAGGCATGCTCGAATCAGAATCATCTGAGCCAGGGGAGCAGTATTCAGGCAGGGGCCTGGTCCAAGGACGGCCATCATAGAAACAGTCAAAGTGACAAAGGCGCCCATGCCAATCCGTTGATCGACGAGGACCGCTGGAGCAGTGGGCACTTTGTTGACATGTATTGTGCATGGATAATGATTGATGACGTTCAAGACTAGCCAGAGTCCGGTCGTATGATATGAAAGCGCGCATGCGTGTCGGGGCAGCATCTAGCAAAAAGCCCAAAATGGAGTCGTATACCCAGGAGGGTATGTGCCGAGGGTCGTGATGGGTCATGGTGTGGTGAATTAAAGGGAACTATGGGATGAGCGATGTCCCGGCTCAAAGTAGGAGCTAGACTTACAGCTGAGCAGATTCAGGCGAAGGAGCCTCGCACGTCAGGGCGACGCGGGTGTACTCTGCCATGGCGGAGTTCTCCCAGAGATCCTCGGGCCAGGTCAGGTCGATACATTGAGCGCATGCGACTACGCTGTCAGCCATAATGCCAGCCTCTTCGTTGAATGCGGGACTTACGCGTAGACTCGAGCCCGTCCGCGCTGCACAGCGCCTCCTTGCCCGAGCTGGCACCCTGGATAGTGCGCACCCGGCAGACCTCGGCGCACTGCGCGTGCCTGTCCTCCCATTCAGAGACATCGTCCTCGTAGGACCCGTACGTCCCGTAATACGCCTCCTCCTCGTCCAGCTCTACCATGTCGGTCTCGTCCTCCTCGGAAGTGGAAGTGGAGGGGAGGAGGGTAGTGAGTTTGGAAGAGAGGGTGGTGGCGGAGGAAGCGAGGACGACAATGACGGAGTTCGCGAGGTGGGGGAGGCGGCGGTGCAGTGGCATGACGTCCTTGGAAGCACGCGGGGCGGGGACCCGAGCAGGTGCTGTGGTGTCAGCGGGTGTCCTTCGCGCGCTTAGAGGTAGGGAGCTCACCTGCCATGACGGAGCCGGCGAGACCGAGAGTAAGGAGAACAGCGAATGAGCGCATCTTGAGATCGGTTTGGGGTTTGGGGTTTGGGCGTGAGTCCTGCTCAGTGTGTGTCGTTTGTGTGTGTGTGTGTGATGTGTTCGTGGCGACTAGCGCGTATACGTGTGATTTAGCTGTGTAGTGACCGTGGGTGTTTGGGCGTATAGACAAGAGGAAAGAAGACCAGCTTCGAGCGTCGTCGTCGGAAAGACCTGTAGATGTTGTTGTTTGATAGGATGGATAGAGAGAAGAGAGACATTCCGGTCTCATGCTGCTACCTATATACCTCGCTGGCCTGGCCTGGCCCATACATTCCCTGTGCTGAGACGCGCTGGGATGTGCCGCGCACAGGGGCTTCAAAGAAAATCACGATTCGTCACGCTGCTGTAAAGACAGACGCGTCGGTCCGTCGGATCGGCAAGGACCCTGAGCTTCACGTAAGGGGGATGGGGATAAGCTGGATATCTCCGCCAGTCCGTGCGTTCGATGAGATTTCTGAAGGCTCTCTCTCAAGCTGGCAAGCTGAGGCGATCAGACGACAGTAGAGATCGTACACCTACCTGCATTCACTACCTACTATCACTCTCCTAATAAGCACTGGATAGACATCGCCGGCGATTGTCAGCACAACCTAAAAACCCCGCCACACTCGAAGCACTCCGATCTACGTTGCCCTTCTCACCATCCCATAATGTCCCGCCTATCCCACCTCAGATCCCTCGTCTCTTCCCTCCCTGCAACGCCCCTCCGTCCAGCCGGCTCTCCACAACTATCAAATGCCCTCGAGTCAATCATCGGCCGGGCGGCGAAAAGCTCGGGTGTCGCAGACGGTGCGCTTGAAAAGGAGTGGGAAGCGATGAGTGCGAGTCTGGATCGGTTGAAGAGTGGCGCGGCGAGCAAAGCAGTGAGTCGTACCGAAGTGCTCCACGGTGGACACTCAGGAGGGTTCTGATCGACAGTACCCATTATCGACCCGCACACTGAGACCATCACATGATCCGATGTACTACACCAGAATCAGGGAAGGCGTGCAGCTGGCGGCGCAAGGCAAGGGGAGAAGTTGGTGGAAGAGCTTCTTCCAGCTCAAGGGGGACGCATAGGCATCTCTACCTTGGCAGACTCTTGAGAAGAGATGTTGTAGCAGTAAGATTTTAACCTCGAGTTCAACGTCTGACATGGACAGCAGGCAGGACCTGATAGAATGCTTTCATCCTGGATGGCCTGCTGCACATCAGCTCTAGAGGAGCTTAGCTACATGTCCTGCCGCACGATTCCTCCCGGGTCCTGACAACGACCCGACAGCAGACATCCAGATATCCACATCCGGCACGCAGTCTCTGTTGAGTAGCCCGTCTCAAGTCCGTATACGATACTGAGCTACTTAACGTCCGATCCTGATTCCTTGCATTTACCTCAGTACCCGAACTTCTAAATTCTAATCCTTCGCAGCCGTCTTCTTATCCTTGGCCGTCTTCGCCTTCATCTTCTGCAACAGCTCCTCATAATCAGAACGTTCGGCACTCTGATCAATCTCCTTGACCCTCTTCATCAATCGCGTCATATCCTCCTTCTTGACCTGTACCCTATCCAATATTCTGTCATATAAGCGCCCGTCAGACTCGGCTACAGCAGCGCCCTGCAACTCACTTGAACATATCCTCCGACAGATAGTTCTGGAACTCGCCATTCTGCAGTCCATCCGCCACGTCCTCCTTATTCACAATCTCCGCAATCCCGCACAATGCTTCAAAACAAGAGATATGGCTCTCGTACCCGCTGGATTCAGGACACGCCTTCTTGATCTCGTTCCACGCCTGCCCGGCCGCCTCGTGCACCTCGTCGACGTAGTAATAGCGGTTTTTCGCCCGCTTGTACCCCTGCCGGAGCTCCTTGTTGAGCTTGGTAAAGATGGGTTTGTAGTCGAAGGCCTTGGCTGCTTCCGTGGCGGTATGCGCCGCGACCCGATCTGCGATGATGCTGGCGTTCTCCGAGTTGAGCGCGGAGAGTTCAGTGAGGATGGAGCGGCAGAGGGGCAGTGTGAGGGTGGAGATTTTGACGGAGGGAGCGGCCGGCTCGAGGGGCACATCGTTGGCGCTGGCTGCAGCCTTGGAGGCTTTGGGTGGGTTCTTGCGAGCTCTCTTGGGTGCACTCATGGTGATAAGGTAGCAAGGAAGGAGGTAAGTAGCTGTAGCTAGGGCTGGGTAGCTCCGAGATGCGAGCTTGAATGAAACGCTTTGAGAGCCCATTAATATTCCATTCCGACATCTGAGATGAGGAATGCTGCACGCGTCGCGCGACGCGTCGAGAGGGGTCCAAAGAAGTAGCTTAGGCGTTTGTGTGCTACATAGCTGGCCAAGTGAGAGACAGTAGATGTGATGATCAAAGGGATCAACGAGATAATGAACTTCATCAGATCAGACGGAATGCGGTCATAAAAGGCCTCACCACCCTCATCCCTCCAGCAACAGCCTAACGAACCGTTTCCGCCCCTCCTGATTCCTTGCCAGATTCGGCCCATCAGGCGGAGTCAAGCCAAAGATTGTTTCCGCCAAGATACCGACTGAACTTGATCAGCCCAATCCAATCTCGCCGAGGACGGATCAGCTTAGAAGAAAGCTCACCCAGATCATGATCAAGTGTCGGGTCTGGCTTGAGTCCACCGACTGGACTAGCGTCTGTCTCGCCAGTCCTCGGCTCGCCCGCCATTGGAGTCAACGAACAGAGCCGGACCACGGACATCAAGCCAATCAGAACCTGCGCGTATCAGCTTACTTTGCGACATCGAGACCGGACTTTAAAACACGACCTACATTCGTATGGACGCCTTGGACTCCCTCAAGACACGCAAATGCCTCGTCTCGGCTCTTGGACTCCAGGCAGAACGGTTGCCATTGACGAGGTACGAGCGGCTCCGGAAGGGACTGGAGCATATGTAGGAGAGCAAGCGAGACTGCCTTGGCCGAGGACGAGGCTGTTGAGAAGGCCGCACCGGTATCCATTGTCTGGGGAGATGTCAGCGGTGTGATAGACCCCACAGATATCTCGACTTACTTCTATGATGGCCAGTACCTCGTCTTCTACGTCTCCCCGCTCATCGGCGATGCAAAGTCCCTCTGACCCCGGACCACGCTCCATCAGGTCCTCCAGCAGTCGCCAGACCTCCCGGGCCGGCTTTGTACCGGTTTCCATGCTACCGTCTGACAGCGCAGCCTTGGCTGGCGTAGGTGGCGCCCCATCCTCCTTCGAGCGGGGTTGAGCGAGCCGCTTACGCTCTGGCAGGGGTAACGAGCGGACAGGACCCGATAGGGATGGTAGACTCTCGAGTGGGAGACCGATGATGGTTGGCGCAAATGTCGCAGAGAGGGATATGAACTGATGAGATGTCAGTATGAGCCGTACATAGGAGATGATCGGATCTTACAGTGTCTTTGCCCTCCTGGACTTGAAGGACGAGAACATCTGCCATGTCAGTCACCTCCTAAGATTAGAGGCCGAAGATCTATTGAGTCACCGTTCATATCTTGTCCAGCAGTCAGGTCCCTCGCGTGATCTTCGCCCACGAACGCGACTATCCTCAAGCTCAGAGCCTGACCCGGCTCGACAACTCCTGACGAGGGCATTACCCAGAAGTATGGCTTGCCTGACTCTTTCAGCTCTGACCCAATTACCTCAACTGGAGCTGGACTTACATATCGACTTGCCCGCGCCTGGCTCGCGGAATGAGAACGCAGCGGGCACCCTCCCCGTATTTCGCAGAACTATATCTTGGACTGCTTGTCGGCGATATCTAAAGTAGGCCGTCAGCCGACGGCCCCAGTTCCCAATGGGCGACGAAGTCTGCACACACCTAAGTTCCCCGAAATCCACCTCGGTCCGCTCGACTTGCAGAGACGGCCTCCACATCTCCTCCAGGCGATCCAATCTCCGCCTCGCCTCCTCGATGGCATGTTTCCGCTTCTCCTCATCTGCCACCCGGACGTCAGTCGTGTACGACCCCGAGACGGGCCGATGGTCGGACCACACGAGCTCGTGTGAGGCGTATCGATCGCACTTGATAGTCTGGGCGGAGCAGGAGGTGCTCGAACGCTCAGCGGCGAGCGCGCTTGGCTTTGACGGAGGGAATGATCCAGGCAGTCGATCTTGCGGAGACGAGGATGCCGCGTCGCGCTTGCGCTTCGTCGACACGGAGGGGGATTTGTAGAGTATTCGGTCGGTGTATGCCGGAGCGCGGCGGTCATCTGGTGTAGTACTGCCATGGATATACTTGTATGTGCTATCGCATCAGTTGTAGCCAGCATATATGGAGCACCGTAACTCACGGAGGGAAGTCAATGTCTCCTTCTTGGTAACTGCCAAAGGACTTCCCCGAAGTAATGTCCGACTTGAGCTGTCCGGTATCAGCACTGCCCTTGTTATAGTTCATCGCCGGGCTCACTTGATCCTTCTCCAATACCCACCCCCATTCTTTCGCCTTGACCCAGCGCTTGAGCGCATCATCTCCAGCATCGACTCGGTAATTCAGGTCGCCCAGCCAGAACTGCCCATGTCAGCTCGGCCCGCTATCACCTTGGAGTGGGGAGCAGAATGGCTCACCAGAGCATGACTATCTTCTACACTCAGACTGCGGCCAGACTTTTCCGGACGGAACTCGTCCAGCGCCAGTGTCTCTTCCGTGCCTGTACCAGACGGGAAGCTCAGGCTGGCTTTCAAAGACGCATAGTCGCTCCGTCTCCGGTCGAGGGCGTCGGCAAAAGCTGCCAAGTCTGGAGAATCAGCCTTGGTGGTCCTTAAAGGTCGCCCGAGAGCGATCCAGCTTGTTGCTCACGGGAGTTGACAAAGCAGAAGACCGTATCGTGTATCTTTAGCCGTACCGCTACGCCCTGATGGTCAGCTATACGTCAGACTGGCTTACTCGAGAAATGGAGACAACAAGCGTACCGCCTTGTTTCCCTGCGACGTCAGCTGGAAGACGCGACTTTGTGCTAAGAGCCCTCACTCCAAAGCCAAGCAGGCCGATCCCCCTCTCACTTGTCTCTATCTCGGTCACAACCTCCTGTAGCGTCTTGCGAACAAAGACAAGCATCAGCACACCGACATACTGCGTCGTAGCTATCTGATTATCCATAAGCTTCTACGTCCTCGTTTGGGCCGAAGATACGTACTCGTGTGTAGTCATCCGCCTGCTCACCCAAACCTTGCGAGATGGCTGCGGCCCAGTCGTCGGCTCGGCTGTTTCCTTGCGAGATGAGCAAGGCGTGGCTTCTCAGGTCTACTGCTGTCAGCTGAGGAGCTGAGGAGCAGGTATGCCAGCAGTCGGGCTGAAAGCGCTCAGCTCCACTCACCGACTTCTTGGAACCCGAAGACAAGGAGGTCGTCCTCTCCATCCCCGACTATAGGCGCCAGCTCCACCGTATCTTTAGGCGGTAATCGGTCATTTACGTTGTAAGTACCTATTCGTAGCCTACAGTGTGAGCTATGATTCCTGGCTATGTGCCAAGCAGCTCAATGAGCCCGATAGCTCACTTGATGGGTTGTCGACTGGACCATTCTGCTTCGGACCGGTAGATATGCTCGCGGAGATAGGCAACTCGCGAGAAGGTCGGATCAAGCGGGCTCGGCTCTTCTTCCGAGTCGTCTAACTGAGTCGCGCTGGCGGTATCGCCCGGAGACCCGATACTGAGGGCCGTCATGGGCGTAGCCAGTGTGGTTTCTGCGGCGTCAGCTCTGGCTGCTCCGCTGATAGTCCGCGTGAAGGCGCACCTGACGATGCGGGCGAAGTCAGAGCAGAAGTTGAATCGGAGGCTGAACTGCTCAGGATTACATCATCTAGCCCATCCTCTCGTGTAGGTGGCTCCAGAGGATAGTAGCCCATCCATGAGGCTCGCAGTGGAGTGGGCGTGATCGATTCTGCCAGGTCAGCTAGTTTCAACGGCGTCAAAAGGATCAGCTAACTAGATAGCTCCTTGACACGCCTGAGCTCTTTGATGAAGCTCTGAGTCCGCCCAGAGTCCTCTGCTGAGACTCTCAGATCCACCTTGTCCCCCGCTGAGCATAACGATAGGGTGATGTCTGCTCGCATAAGCCCAGATCCTCTTCGGTCCTGATTAAGCTGGTAGCTTACGTGGCCGAGCACTCTGATGGAAGTGAGACGTCGAAGGGGACTGAGGAGTCTGATTAAGGGAGAAGGAGAGGGCTTGCGTGATGGGCAAGATGTAGATCAGGCGCAAGCGCTGCTCGTGCGCGGTAGCGGGACTCCGCACCAGAATGAAGATACTGGAGACGGTAAGTGCGAATCCATTTGTATGCTCGAGGCAGAACAGAAATATGGCAACCGCGAAACTCACGCTGAGTCTCTTCCACTGCCAGACTGGACGAGCACGCCCCATCCTTTTGACAGATGAGGTCCTTCAACGCGGACACGACATGGCAGGCAGGCCAAGACAGTCTCTGAGGTGCGGAACCAAGCCGCAACTTCTGCCGGAGGAGTCTGCGGCTGCCTCGAGAACATCCTCTGCGCAGCTCTGGCGGGATGATAAGCTGAGTAGAGCGAGATGTATGACCCTTTTGAGTGGAGGTTCGGACAAGACAAGTGAGATCTGAGGCACAAGTGAAACGTCCGGGGTCTCCATTCCACATTCCTCAGAGCCATGACGTGGCTTTTTGAAAGACCTTGATAGACTGGCTGAGATTTCCAGAGCCACCAAGTCCGATTCCCACTCCATCTCTCTCATCATCAACTAGCTAGTGCAACAATGTCAGGTGCAGGTGTCACATCAATCCCCAAGGGTGCGTCGTGAGCGCTAGAGTAACCCTGAACGTAAATACTGACTTCTGGCAGGGCTGCACCATCTCGAGGTCCTCAACAAGTCAAAGTTTGCCGGAAAGTACGTCCGCACCAGTCCGCCGCAGTAGCCGCATGATCGCAAGTTGACTGGAGTAGATGGCCATCACGTCTCCCTCACGGACCCACTCAATTCATCCAGCCCTCAGATCGGATACGGAGATGGAATGTTCGGCCACAGGACAAGGTCCGGCTGCTCGTCGGCAGGCCGCAGGAGAAGTTCTTGGATGAGACGGTGGGAGCGAAGAGTGGATGGAGGGTATACACTGTGAAGAGGGTAGATTTGGAGCGGAATAAGGTATATGTGGAGGGCTTAAATGTGAGTTCCAGCTTGACTTGAAAGATGCGGGCTGCTCAGTACCGGCTGGGACGATTTCGCTCGCGCCTGCTCATGCTGATTCTTGCAGAACAAGCGGTCCGCAACCGCTCGACCAAAACCAGAGAACTTCAACTCCCTGAGCGAAGCTGAACGAAATCAATGGGAGACATCGGCGAATATCGCCCCTATGGCTCGTCCAGTACATTACTCCAATGTCCAGCTCTGTGTTGAGGACAAGAACGGCCCTGACAGGTGTGTCTATCTCCTTCCTCGGACGTTACCGGCGAGGTCTCAAGTAACACAGCTCATCAGCCAGTGTCTTTGCATCAAGAGTCGCTACATCAACACCATACTTCAACAAAGGCCTTCGCCGGCTAGAGTGGGATCGGTACGCTGCCAAATTGACTGGACCATCCGATCAGGCGCCAGATCCGGAGAGAGGACTGGTACGGATACCTTGGCCAGCTAGCGCGCTGGTGAAGCCCGCCGATCGTGAGTCTCCACTGTTTCTGCTGCTCAAACGAGACCCAGTTGACAATCCAGCTACCCACCTAGACACATCCAGCCCATCAACATCCACGCTCAAACTCCCCTCAACCGACTCCCTCATGACTGCCACACTCATGGGCGAGCTCCTCCCGTCTTCCTCGCTCGAGCCAATCCGCAACACACCCGAGGCGCGAGAATGGCTTGACGCCCATGCCGAGTCGCCCGGCGTGCCAGAGACAGACTCAACAATGCCTCTGTTCTTGTCCGAGGAGCTTTCGCCCCGGTTCTCTCGATCCAAGAAGACAGCCGGATTCAATGCTCGGAGAGAGCAAATAGCGAGAGACAGGGAAGAGGCGGGCAAGGCGGCAGTGGCGGCCTGGGAGGCAGGCGGGCGGGATAGGAGCCTAGCCGATGTGCTCGGTGGAGAAGGCGCGGAGGCACTGGAGGGTGTCAAGCTGCGCGGACGGACACGGGCGGAAGTACGCGAGGCGGCTCAGGTGCTATTTGACCAAGAGGAAGCACGGGTCAAGCGGGGAGTCAGGGAGGCGAAGAAGATGGAGATGCGATGGAGCAAGGAGGAAGGCGAGTGGGTCGCGGGCGAAAGGGTGGAGAATGTGAAGAGGAGGAAGGAGCGGCGGGCGCTGAAGGAGAAGAAGGTGGAGAAGCGGATGGAGGGGTTGAGGCTGGAGCAAGGGAGGAACGCGGTGGTGCCTGAGAGCTTTAGGGCGTAGGCTGTCTTTTCGCTGAGAGGAGCGGGCCGGATGGTGCCTCGCTACCATCTAGAGGTCAACCTTTGTATCAAGTATGATTCAGCAGAGTCTCTGCATCTGAGCTGCTTGCATATCGCGCATAGCGTATCCATGATCCATGAGCTGCCTGGTGATAAGTGCCACACTCGATTTGGGTGGTGGATGGTGCATGCGGAGATAAATTATAATCCCGCTTTCCGGTCTATTCCGTCCCTTGCTCGCCTGGCTGGCTGTGACGCTAATTAACGTGCCGCTCGCTTTGTATTGAGCCAATCCCTAAGCATCCATCTCATCTAAAAGCAGCTCTGTAACACCTCAGCCCAGCATGTCCATGTCCATCCTCCGCTCCCTCCCCCGGACGCTCCCACGAGTAGCTACCCCGGCGATCCGCTCGTACGCCTCCGCCGCATCCCCTTCCATCAGCGTCACTTCCACCCGCTCGAATGCCTCAGCTCCCGCTTTGGCCAACATCGAGGCAAGCTGGAAGTCACTGCCGGCCGAGGAGCAGTTTGAGGTGTACCAGCAGCTCGAGGAGTTGCAGAAGCGGGATTGGAAGGAGTTGAGCGTGGACGAGAAGAAGGCTGGTGAGTTGGATCTTTTTTTTGGCGAAGGCGCGGCTCTTACGGCTGTTCGATCTGGTGAAGGGGAAGGTGGGGTCGAGGATGCGGGATATGGGCACGACGGAAGTGCGAAGGCGGCAGAGATCAAGAAGGCGCGCATAGATCTTGTGCGATCCAGGACTTAGATGGGAAGGCAGACCGGGGGGCTGGAAGCGGTCTGTGAGAGGGGTTCAAGTGGGCGCTATGGCGATCGACACGCGGGATAGAGAACGATACGTGGCGTTGATGGGCGAGTGAGAGTCGTACTTTCACCGCAGCTATCTACGTTGATGCCTGGATGCTTCGTAAACCGGATACAACAGCTTCCAACTCCATGATTCGTACTCAACAGCCTTTGGGACAATTGCTGACCCCGCAGCCTACTTTGTCGCTTTCGGGCCGCACGGTCCCCGCGCCCCTACCATGCCAGAAGGCAACACCCAAAAGGTGTTCCTCTACACTGCCGCTGCCGTCGCTGCCGCTTTCGGTCTCTTCACCTTTGCTCGCTCCCGGGGTAAGTCTGCCCCAGTCCGAAGTTCTTTTCGATCGAGAGCAGTTGGCTGACTATCTGTAGCAAAGGGACCCGCCCCGACCGTGACGCGCGAATACCAGGAGCAGATGACCGAGTACATGCGCAGCCAGAACCAGAACCCTATCGTGCGTTTATCCCACCTACTGAGCATGATGACCACAAGCTGATAGGGTGCAGTCCGGTGTCTCATCGGAAGGCTACAAGGGGAAGGGAATGGTGACGTTGTAAAGACCATTCGGATCGATATAGATGGCGGATGTTGGACGAGGGGAGGCGTAGGACTGTACGATGAAGCGATGGGTCAGACTCGCGGAGAGCTTGGACAGAGAGGGGCTGGGGTGGTCGCGGGGCGGACGAGGATTGCGTGGAGTAGGTTGGGGGACGTGTCGGGAGTGACAAATGGGGTCCCGGAGAGAGGCCGCAATGCGCGAGGGCGTCGCGTGCTTTCACAAAATGAACTGATATCCTGCACTGGGCGCGACCTGAGATTTTCGTCGAGTCGAGCTGATAGACCAACCTACTGATCTGAGGCTGAAGGGGAGCCGACTTGAGGCGCTGAGAAGTGACACTGATGTCGAGAGTGAGAGTGTAAGAAGCGAAAAGATCGCACAAGCATTGCGTCGCTGATCATCTCTTGCGTACTTATACAGGTCCCGTCCTGCTCACAGCTCCGCAATCATGTGGGTCCAGGCACTTTCTCCCGCCGAAGCACCAAAAGTATTACTAACGAATGGGCAACACGTCTATACCATGCGATGCTCATGTAGACTGCCCGTACAATCCGTCTCCTCGTCGGTGGGCTTGACATATCGGTCCGAGGTGGACCAGGGCGACTTCTGGTCGTTCAGCTGGTGTGTCAGCTGAGGGAGTCTGGATCGATCGGATAGATCTGGGCTTACGTGCGCTTCTGACTCTGATCTGGCTGAGGAGATAGCATTCATGTGATACGCTGTATCCTGGAATATCAGCTCATAGCTTCGGGAGAGGAGCCAGGCCCAGGTCTGCTGCCCAGCCCATGCCGCATCTTGGGGGTGTCTTACCTTGGGACCGCTCGATGTCTGGTGGAAAGAAGCATTGATTGTTGTTGATCTGTTGCCTGCTCGAAGGTTGAGGGTGATGAGTAAGCCGAGGACATACACCTTGCTCTGGATGATGCTGGACGTCAGCGCAGCTCGTCGATCTTTCAGAGAGCGCACACTCACATGACAGTAAGAGCCAGCTCAAAGACTTTATTCCAAGCGATCAAGGATACGATGGATCTGCCATATCAGCCTTGTCTCTCTTCGAGGGCTCAAGTACCCGTACAGCTCACCCAATGAGTGCGGGTATCTGCGACTCGAAACATTGTCTGGACGTGTAGTCAGCCTCATGACATGCGCCAAAGCAGTGACCTCAAAGCTCACATCGACAATTTACGCAGGACAGAGTCGGTGTGGGCCCAGCCCGTTCTCACCTTGGACAGGCCGTACACGATGATACCGGTGATGAGAACGTCGGCGACAATGTTTACCGTCAACTGGAAGAATCAGCCACGAGTCCTTGTTCAATGTACTGCGGCATACCCAGCTATAGGCAAGCGCATCGACGAGCTACTGCATCAGCGAGAGAGGTCTACCCGCTGCCAATCACAGTATGCCAACGTACTGGGTTGTTGCCAGTGAGGACATCAGGGGTCAGGTAGGGAAAGGTGCTGAGGTGGTGGAGGAGAGAGATGCCCAAGCACGGCATGGCAAGGCTGTAACTTTCAGCTTGGTCTGCAAGGGATCACAGGCGCGCGACGCACATGAAAGGTCCAGTCACAGCTGCGGGCCACCAGTGGCTGAAGAGCCTGCAAGCACGGTCGACGTAGAATATCTGGCTGTCAGCTTGATAGCTTTCATTCTCAGGGGTAGGTTGGCCTACCTGTACGACCAGCACTGTAAAGATCTCGGTTCCCAGAAACTTGATCAGCCCTTGATGTTCAGCATTATCCACTCGCCAGACTGCAGGGTATAAGGACTCACAAGAGCCGTCGGCGAACGGCAGGTATGTCCCAAAATTCCAGACGAAGAGGTACTGCGTCCAAAGAAGATCGCTGAATGATCAGTATGGTCGGCGACTGACAGGAAGATACGGACATGATGGTGGAAGCTATGGCGCCAGCGACGGTCAGGAACTACAAATCAGCCAGAGCTACCAGAGTGCGGGATGAGACCACGTACGACCAGAAGGACAATGTGCTTCTTGTCGGTGCGAGCATAAGTCCAGTACGCGTACGCCTGCGAGATGACCAGTCCCATCATGACTGCATCTATCCAGCAGCTGTAGAGGTCAGCACAACTGAAGGGCTGAACGGCAGATGGGGCTCACCTGATGAAGAATGGCATGATGAGCATGCCCTTGTCTGCGCTCATAGAATGGGCGGCTAGAGCCTCCATTAGTGCAGCTTGACCTGTGGGAGTCGACATTTGGTAGAGGGATTGCGAGGAAGTCGTAGGAGGAAGACGTGCCACCATGACGGGGCAGCGTTGCGCCAGTGACCCTTATAATGAGCAGCTACACATGAGTAGGCGGACTCTTGGTGCAGTCATGGGATCCAAGGACGTCCTTGAAGGAAGTGGTGAGTCCGCATGTCTGACGCCATGCCCACGTCCGTCCTTCAGTATGGCGCAGTGATTGCGTGTATACCAGCCGAGAGTTCCGGAGGCTTCCCAGTCGCAGGCATAGGATAGCAGGGGAGCAAGGGAGTCCGTTACGGACAGCGAAGGACAGTGGGACAGTCATCACCAATTCGATTGTCCCTTTGAGCACATGATTGTCTTCGGCTCGAGCGGCTCCCGGGAAGCGCTCAGCCGCGAGAAGAGCCTGATCCGGAAGCGGGGGATAATCAGAATGAGATGGGTGTCCGCGCGTGTGGAAGTCTGTGTGGACAGTGTCCTAAAAGGCGTTCTTGAACCGAGGCGAGGAATGTGGATCCTCCGCTGCCGCAATCTGCCGCGAATCAGTCCAAGATTTGGGTGTACGTCCTCCTCTCCCAGCCGAGCTTGTGAATCGACTACTGTATACATCCTTCCCGCCGCTGGGCGAGGCGACCTATAATCTACTTGTACAGACAGGGCAGAGAAAGACCTTCTAAATTAACCAAAATAAACTTCAAATTCTCCGGTAACATTGCCGAGGAGCTGCTTGAAAGGTGGAGGGGGTATGCGCGCGTGTATAGGCGATATGAGAAGACTGATGGGAGGGTGGGGATGGATCGAGAGGATCGAGGATAGGCCGATCGCCGGTCGTTATTTATTTATTTGATTAATGGGGATTAGCCCTTACCGCCTGGAGAGTCAGCTTGACACGTGCTGCTGCTACAGCAAATCAAGGACTCACCTCTGAAGTACCCGCCCTTCTCCCATTGACCTTGAACGTACACCTCCTCCGCCCTCTTCTCGTTGTCTTGCAACGCCTTGATGAGCGCGCGGGCTCGAGTAAAGTCTGGTTATGTTAGCGCGATGCTCGACTAGGATATTGATGGGCTCACCAAGAGGCTTGAGAAGCCAGCCGTCAAAGTGCTCGGACAAGTTGGATCGATCCGACTCGTACAGACTGGCCGACACGGCGAAGATGGGTATCCGGCCGTCAACCCGCACAGGGTCAATATCGTCTCGTAGTATGAGATTTTCCTCCATCTTGCGGATCTCGGCTGCCGATGTTCGACCGTCCATGATGGGCATTCTAAGCATATCAGCCATATTCCAAGACCAGATACCGCCATACTCACTGGATATCCATCAGAACGAGGTCCACATCCCAATCCTTGCTCAACAAGTCGACCGCCTCCTGCCCATTCGTCGCCGTCAGAACAATGTGCTTGTCCATCTTCAGCCGCCTCGTCAAGATTTGAGCGTTGATCATGTCGTCCTCGACGATCAAGACCCTCAGCCGCTGCGATCCATCCGGAGCGGACTTCTCGCGAAGCCCACCAGTTGAATTTTCACGCTTCTTTGGCGGAACCATGGTGGATACGCTCTTGGGCACAGCCGTACTGGCGGTCCCCGATGTGTACTTGCTCGAGCTCCTGGACCTGGCGGGAGTAGGGATCGAGCCTGCACCGGTATCTGAGCGCGAGCCAGAGCCCGAGGCTGAGCTTGACCCATTGTCGGTCCCTTTGAGGTAATTGAGCCGACGGGCGTGCTTGAGCTGAGGGGACGGCCTCGCCTGGTCGAGCATGAGAGACGGGGATGCAGGTTCGACCGAGGCCTGAGATGGATCCGAAGAGTCCGACTCGGCGTCCGCTATCCTGGTAGGGCGTACAGGCCAGGACGAGTCGGTCACCGGGAAGGTACCCGGCTGATTCATCCGCTTTTCGGCCGCCAATAAACGCGGGTCTTGCGGACCGACCGAGGGGTACATGTGGGACGAGCCAAAGTCATGGACGAATGAATCGATCTCCGAGGCGACACCACCAGACCGGGTCGAAACGACCGAGCCGCTTGAGCCGAGGGACGATTTGCGGCGGTGATTGATCGAACTACCACTATTTGGCCGAGTCCGAGGCTGTGCTGGGTCATGCCGGCGCATTTCCAGGGTGAAGAAGAACCTCGTCCCGACGCCCACCTCGGACTCAGCTCGGAGCTGCCCCTCGAGCTGCTCGACGATCCGAGCCACCACCGCCAATCCCAGACCCAGTCCCGTCGGCGCCGTCTCCTGCATCACCTCATCGGCGCCCTCCAGCGTAACGAACATCGCCTGGAGCTTTTCGTTTGCTATGCCCACCCCACTGTCGGCAACGACAAATTCCAGCATGACGGAACCCCCTGGCACCACCTCGCTGTCGTCCTCCCCGTGCTGGAGACCGCAGTACACCTCGATAAACCCAGATGGGGTAAACTTGACCGAGTTGGCGACCAGGTTGGAGATGACGGTTTTGATCTTTCGCGAATCGCCAATGACCTGGGAGGGGATGTTTGGGGCAATGTTGACGCGGAATTCGAGACCCCGACGAGCCGACTCCGTTTGATATAGCCGAACCGCATCCTGAATGCTGGCCCGCAGATCAAAGGGATCATTGAAGCTCGTTTCGTTACCCGTCTCGATCCGTGTTAGGTCGAGGAGGTCGTGGACGTGGAAGAGGAGGGCCCGAGATGCTTTGTGCGAGTTTTCAAGCATCGCTCGGGTCTCGTCGTCGAGATTGCCGGCGAGAGCAAGCTCGAGGGTGTTGATGATTTGGGAGAGGGGAGTGCGCACGGCATGGGAGGTGTTGGAGAGGAGGATTGCCGTGAGCTGATTGCTGGCCATGGCGGACTGCTTTTCTCGCCAGACCTGGATGAACTTTCCGTAGATCAGGGCGAGGACACCGGCGCTCTCGAGCTGGTCGTCCGTCCAGGCCCGAGAGCGCCCCGTGACGACCTCGCTCCAGGTCTTGAAGGACTTGCGCGGCTCAAGGGACGCCGCCTCTCCCGCCCGCTCGTCCTTGTAGGGTTTGCCCGCCCATTTGACCTCCCTCGCCTGACCCTTCCGAAGAAAGACGATAAAGTCCTGTCCTGCCTTTGCCGTGAGGGGCACGTAGAGCAGACCGGCCATTGTGTCGTGCGCTTTTGGTAAGCTGAGATCGGGGAAGTCGCGAGCGAGATGATTCGATGCTTTCAGTGTACTGTAGAGTGAGCTGAGATCTTGCGCAATGATTGTCTCCACTCACTCGAACTTGACGATTCGGAGATACTCGGCGATTGCCAACATCGCCTGGCCCTGATCCGACGTGCCCAGCAGCTTACACCCACTACCGATGACAAGCAAGCCTGCGTCCGCATCAAACACCTGCAGAAGGTCGTCTGCGTTGCTGACAATGTAACCGGTAGGATGGGATTGCGATGGGATGGTGGAGATCTGAGCAGTCAGCTGCAGTAGCGAGAGACAAAGAAACCACTTACAAGCTTGCGGGTATGCAGTCTCTGAGCATAACTCAAACGCTCGACATTTCTCGAGATGCTGTCCGAAAGAATTCGCATCATCTGGCGGACTGGGAACGACACGCGCATACCGTGGTTGCCGTAGGTGTGGCAAGCGATCAGGCCCCATAGCTCGCCGAAAGCCATAACCGAGACAGACATGGAGGAGCGGACGTGCATGTTGGCGAGGTCTGAGAATCAGCTTTGTCCACACGAGACCGCAGACTTACATTTGATGTGGATTGGACTCATTGCTCGTAAAAAGCAGTGCGTCATGTCGAGGGGATGATCGAGGTCCTCGCGGTCGCGTAAGACCATTCGCGCCGTGGTCTGGGACCGATCGTAAAGCATGCGGACCTTGTTGATCTTGTAAAGCTGGCGAGCCTGGGCCGGGATGTCCGCCGCGGGGAACATGAGACCCTTGTAGAGATCGCTTGTCTTGCCCCATTCGACCAGCTCCGCAACGACTTGCCCATTGAAGGACTCATCAAACTGGTAGAGCAGGACTCTGTGGAAGCGGCAGACATCCTGGACGACGCCGACGACGACCTTGAGGAAGGTATCAAGATCCGGCGCCGACCCGAGCTGCTCATTGATTTGACCGAGAACAGCGAAGACGTCCATCGCGCCGGTGCCGCCTGCCTGCTGGCGACGCTGCTGTCGCCGAGCAGCCCCCTTGCCTCCGCGCGCTGATCCCCGTGAAGATCCTCGGGCGGAGCCATTGCCCGACTGCGCATCTTCTCCTAATCCGCCGGATCGTCGCATACGCTCCAGCGCACGAAGAGGCTTGGCGTGATTGGTGGTCGACTCGATGATCCGCTCCAACGGCATATCGACCTCGAGTCCTTCCAGACCTGACGCAGCCTCGCTTCCAAACGAAGAGTCCGGCCGGATGGTCGAGCTTTGTTGCGTGGTGTGCTCACTATTCATAGTCTGCGCGCTCGGACGACGCGTGGCGTCCGCGGCCAGATTGGGGCTCCCGGACGGCCGAGTACCTGTGCCGACGGTAGTGTCTGAGCCTTGGGACGGTTGATTGGAGTTACTGCTTTGGCTGTTGCTATTCGAAGTGGATGCCGAATCGGGGGATTGTCTGCCGGACGATACGATGATAGTTGGCTCGAATGTCTGCATGAGCGGGTTGATGGTGTCCCGCTCAAGCTCAAACTCGAGGATGACCAGATTCGGTGGGGGTACGGGGAGGCCCTTCGCATCCACCTTGTTCCAGGTGGGTTGCTTGGGCCGATGCGCTCCCACCCAGCATGTCCATTCCCTCCGCCTCCCTTTCCCTGCTGATGCAGTCCCGTCGTCCTCCTCTTCCTCTTCATCGCTGGTCCCCGGCTCGCCGAAGCCTGAAAGGAGGAAGACCTGTGGGCCGTCCTCGTCAAGCGCGTTGCTCCCCTCCGCTTCTGGTAGATAGTCGAGACTATCCCGGAGCAGGTCTTCTTGCTGGTCCGTCAAGATCCGTGTGAAGCAGTCCAGCCGGAATAGGTATTTCGGCGACAATCCCAGCAGGACAGTAGAGTTCTGATAGTCAGCCTCGTGTCGTGTCAGGGAAAAGGCGCAACTTACCTCAGAAACCTGTCGAACAAGCAATGTACCCTTCTCGTAATCTTCCTCCAACACAATCAGGACTCCGAAGCCCTGCACGGCTCCAGGAGTAGTGATCGGCTCATCCTCACACTTGCTCAACTTCCCTTCCCGCCCTACCACCATGTGATGCCCTTCCTCGGTAGCAACGTGCTCAAAGCGCAGCGTCGTGAGTGGCTCCGGATCCTCTTCTGCCCTTGAAGCTGACTCCCCTTCCGACTCCTCCCTGCCAGACAATGAAGCTGTGGCGATCTCCGAAGACGCGCGAGTCGAGAGAGTGGTGGCCGTCTTTGGCTGCGACGAGCTGAAGAGGGCACCTGAAGCGCCCTCCGCGCGAGACGATGTCCGCGACAGTTCTCGTGGCTCCGCCTCATCCGGTGTATTGGCGGACAGGCCCATGTCCAATATTTCGTTGTCATCGTCCGAACCCGCCTCCGTCAATGGCCTCGACGGCGAAGGAGCAACCTTGCCAGACCCAGATGCGGGCGTATGCGCATTAGGATCCGACATGGTCTGTGTGTGCGCCTGAGCGCTGACAAAGCGCTGAACCGTGTCCCGAGTTGCAGCGGTAGCTTTACCGATCTCGCGCTGCTGCTGAGCGAGGCTGGCCTGAGTCGTAGGACCACTGGGACCGAGAGACGAGTCGTCGGCCGATGCGACGTCTGCGCGCTTGCTACCGCGCCGTCCGTGAGGCTTTGAGCGGCTGCTCGTCCTCCCATCTCCGCTCCCTACCAGACTTCCCGCATCAGCGAGCCGCACGATGCTGGCAAAGTCATTGATGAGACTCCGCTCGCCATCGTTGCCGTCTTCGAAATTGCTCTCACTTCGGGGCGCGGAGAGTGGCTTTGTTACCTGTGTGAGGCCATCGAAGCCCGACGCGTCCGCGTGCCGAGGTTGGGGCGCGGCCAGGTGGGTGGACGGTGATTCCTGACCAGTGCGCTGGGAAGCACCTTTGGCGCTTCCGCCCGATGGCTCTGATCGCTCGCCATTCGACTCTCGCTCACCAGGAGCGGAGAAAGGGAGATGCTCCCCGGGATCGCCCGATGGGCCCGGCCGGTCCTTGAAATTAACGGCAGCGGGCGCGTCCTGAGGCTGGCCGACGGGGGCTCGAGTCTTGTCCGGCAGGCCACTCCCGCCGGACTCGGCGGAAGGATTGGTTGGCTGAGCCTGAGAGTCGACGCTGATGTGTCGCGGAGAAACCGATGGACCGAGTTTATGTTCGAGATGGATTGTGGAACCGCTGTCCTTTTCTACCAAGGAGGGCCGCGTTGATCCAGATGAAGGGGGTGTGGAGAAGATGGTGGTCCTTGGAGTTCCGCTCCCGCTGCCGCTGACAGTACCGGAGCCGTCCCCACTTCCGCTTGGGCCGTCCAATTGAGTGTCGTCTCCGTCACTCGCTCTTCTGACATCCGGCACACCGGCGACGAAAAACGGCGAGTCCGCCGGCTCTGGATGGGTGAGAGCTGCAGCGGAAAAGAATGGCTGATGAGGATACCGCGTTGCGTTGTGATAGGACGACATGGACCCGGCCGAGGTACTCGGAGGCATACCGTAGCCTGACGGAGAATGCTGAGGTGGTCTTGCCTTCCCCTCACCCCCTCCCCGATCCACTTTCCTCGAAAAGGTCGCGACGCCTGTCTCGCCCGTCGGCTTTGGTCTCGATCCCTCCGCCGCGGCCTCCTCCTGCCCTTCCAACATCTGCGCGATAGACGATATCCCTATGTCATCTTCTGCGATCGGCAGCGCGTCGCTGAATCGTCTATCCTCTGCCCTGGTCGCAGGGGAGGAGCGCAGACGAGCCTCGGCCACGCCGCCTCCTCCCTTGCCCCTTGACACGACCCTAGAGAGGCCGGAGCCCGAGCCCTCTGCGTTCGACGAAGGACCGCTCCCATCCCCACCAGACATGCCCGAGAATACCGATCGGATCGGAAAAACGAACGAGTTGGAGTTGAGATTTCCAGACCCCAGCGCGGGACTGAGTGGCCCGCCGCGACCACCGGGCGACATGAACGTGTCCGAGTATCCGTGGCTCTCCATCCCGGTTGGTGTAGTGATACTCCGGTAGCTCGATGAGGAGCGGAAATGTGATTGCCGAGGGGACGATGTGGACGCCGAGGGGGGTTGAGAAAATTGCGATCCGGGTGATGGCAGGACGATACCGGTTGGTGGCTGAGATCGTTGCTTCTGCAGCACTGCGGGAGAAGGAGGGGTAGGCGAGTCGATGGGGGGTTTCGCCATGGTGGACGAGACGTTCCGCTTGGCAGATGAGGAGGGTGGATTTGCCGATGACGAGCCCGACGCGGGATCTCTATCAGGAGAGGGCATCGCGCTGACTGTCAGTCTAGCCTATTGTGTGTGGTGGAGTTGACATACCGGGATCAGTGCTGCTTTCGCGAAAGACCGGCCAGCTCTCCAAGCTCACACCCGCCAATCCAGAGTAGTTATTGACGATTCCAAAGACGTTGCACGCAGCCTGCCGAAGACGGCGCGGTGTCTATCTTTAAAGCACGATTTTTGGGCGAAAAGGCCGCCTTTTGGCTGTGGTCGAGGTCCGCAAGGTGAGGATCGCCAGGATGAAGAGTATAGACAGTTGTAGACAGATGAGATGGTGGTTGATTTGCTGCGATGCACACACGGCCGCCTCTGATCGAAGGGTTGCCGTTATACCGATGCGTGGTCGTTTATATTGGCTCAGCAAGACGCCGCTCTCCACTCTTGCCCGCGTGCGTGCTATTACGGCCAACCCCGCGTGTAGCTCCCAGGTGGTGCACACTGGCTAGCAGGACGGCTGCTGGAGATGTCTGAGATGATGTATAGTGCCGCGCAGTGGAGCCACAGCTGTGTCGGACGTGGAGAAATGCGAAACAGCTCTAGAGCCGTTTAGCTTGGCTTACATACGAGTAGCTCGTATTAGGAAATTGAATTTTGATTACAAGATCTTTATATTCAGGGATTAGGAAATGTGTTTACAGGGACCGGATTTAGATTTACGGGAATCAGGGGAAAGCCGGGGTGACTGCCTGAGATTACCCGAATATGCACCGGAGAACCGGACCCGAACCGACCACAACTTCTGCCTGTACAAATCTGTACATCTAACCATTACAAGCGGTAGCTCAGGCGGTACTACACATGCACGAGCAAGCATCATGCCGCCGATCAACGCTTCGCGCCAACCCACTATCGAAAGAGCTCAGCCAAAAAGCGCAACCGCTCGCGTCGATGCGACGTGTCGCAGGGTGCGAGAGTGGATGGAGAGCTTACTCAAATTATCCGGGCCGGCGAGATCAGCGGCTCGACGCCAATAGTTCGTGGTGGGCTTGGGTGAGGACGGCAGAGTGGGGAAGAGCGCCGTGAATATCATATTGCCTTTGCTCTCAATGACCCAGCCTCGTACCACTAAGCTGTATCGATAATCACGCCAGCTTCCTGGCTGATGCGTGTCATACCGCCTCGCTGTACCGTCAAAAACGATATCGAACCCACCTAGTGTCTCAACGATAATCTCGATCCAGTACCGCTACAGTACCGAGAGCTGTAACCCCTAGTGCTGACCCTCTTCCCTCCCTGATCTCCATCGTGGTAGGAGGGCCGATACGCGAGACTACACTTGACGAACTGCGTCAGCACCGGTCAGTCTACCTTGTTAGTAAGCTGCGAGCCTCCACCCGTCCATCAGCAGGTCTCACGGACGCCAGCTACGCCTGAGATTTGAATCTCATGTGATATCATGTCAATGCTCCGAGGCCAGAGCTGATGCGGCGCCCCCTTCTCTACCCTACGCTCCCCTCCGAGCCCCTCTTCTGAAAAGAGGATAGCCCCTTTCTCTATTCCTCCTTCCCTCAACAGAAAACACCCCAATCCGACCCCGTAAAGACCCAAGAGCGGAAATTATCGGTTGGACTTGGCGACACGCTCGAGCTCATCCTTCTTCTTGATGGCGTACGAGTTGGACGATCCCTTGGCGGCGTTGACGAGCTCGTCGGCGAGGCACTCGGCGACCGACTTGGAGTTGTGGAAAGCGGATTCACGGGTCTACATATGAGCTCGGATCTTGGGTATTGGATGAAGTGGGACTTACACCGATGGTGAGGAGGGAAACGGCCTGGTTGACTCGGCGGAGAGGCGACACGTCGACGGCTTGACGACGGACGGTACCCTGCGAACCGATACGGGTGGAGTCTTCGCGGGGACCAGTGTTGACGATAGCATCGACTGAGGAATCAGCATTTGCCCTTATCTCGATCCAGCTGCTACTCACCCAAAACCTGAATGGGGTTCTGCTCGGTGACGAGGTGGACAATCTCGAAGGCGTGTTGGACGATACGGACAGCCATGAGCTTCTTTCCGTTGTTCCGGCCGTTCATCATGAGGCTGAAAGTCAGCTATGACCTCCCCACTACCGCGAAGATCAACATACGCGTTGACCAATCGCTCGACGATGGGCATGCGTCCCTTGGCGAACTGCTTCTTGGCATAACGGCCGGCGGTGTGGGGAACGTAGACAGCGTGGCTGACGTTGATGTAGTCGATAAGGGAGATGTCCTTGACCTCAATGCTGCTGGGTCAGTCCAGTCCTTGCAATTCCAATCCCTCCATGCCATCTCCTCCTATCGACCTCTGCTCGCCCATAGCATCCATCGCCCATCGTCCGTCGTCCCTGTTCCTCTTTCCCGTTCCCTAATCTCCTAGTCCTTCACATCCATATGCAACTCCAACTTACTCCTGGGCATCCCACTTGCCGAAGAGCTTCACAGTCCCCTCCGCTCCGACCTTCGCGACATCGTTGGGCAGGGCAAGCGCCATGTTGATTTGGATTTCCTTTTAGATGTGTTTACCGGAGTGCCGACTGAGCGTTGTTGTCGGTAGACCGGAAAGAGATGTATGTATAGCAAGAGTTGGCTCGACTTGAAGGTTAGTGCGAGCCGATGGTCAGTCTCGGCTGAATGAATCGATGCGCGCGGCTGCCACATTTTCGCGGACCGGCATTAATTATAACCCCGGCCAGGAGAGCAGTTTCGGTTGTGATCCGTGCGTCGGTCAAGTAGGCAAGCTGTCCCGGCGATCGCCGCTGGGTCTGCTTGGCGTGACCCTGAACATGAAACATTCCTAGGTGCCCTGAAACAAAAGTCTATTTCGCGCTTACCGAGCGGACGCGTCCCCTCGCTTCCTAATAACCTTCAGAAAACAAAGTCATCACGATCCACTTCACAGCTTCATACTTCATCCTCACTCCTATCGCATCTCTCACTACATACACGTAAGTCAGCGGTATCTGGCTCAGCGCTATCCTCTGTTCACGAGATACACCCCTCCTTTCTAGCGCGTCTCCTTTCCCGGACTGATTGCTTTGTCCCGCCACGCTGGCGACGGGATCCGCAGTACCTCGTCAACACACCTCCCGTACTGCATCTGCATCAACTAAATCTCCTCTTGTTCTCAGCGTTGCTCTATAGTCACCTTATACTTACAGTTTAGTCTTTTACAAACCACAAAATGTTCGGATACGCTGCTCTTGCTCTCTTTGGCGCTGCCGTTGCCCAGGCCCAGACCCAGGCGACTGCCCTTGACATCGCCGCCGTACAAGCTCACTTCACCCGTACGTCTCGTCTTCACGATGTCTGTAATCGAGCTGACAGATTGTAGAGGCCCAGATCGCTGGCCAGCCGACGTACATGCTCCCCACCTTCACCCCTCAGGGTACTTTGGGTTTAACGTTTGGCTCATCCAGCATCTCCATCGGCCAGAAGGTCGACCAGTCCAGTAAGCCTGAGTCTCCTCGAATAGATCGGCCGAGCTAATGATCAGACGCCAACTCCTCCCCCCAGATCGCTGTTGTGCCCGCTTCTAACGGCTCGCGCATCAATGCCCAGTCGGTGAGTTCACCGAGGCGCGTCTGGAGAGGGCCGTGCTGACTGGCAGATCTACACTGTGGCCATGGTCGACGCCGACATCGTAGGCACCAACGCCCAAACCACTCCCTTGACCCGCCACTGGCTCGTCAACAACGTCATGCTCCAGGGCTCAGGCTCCTACTCGATTAACTACACCGGCTCGGTTGGTGTGACTGACTATGCTGGACCTGGACCTGCTGCCGGATCAGGCTCTCACCGGTGAGTTTCACTTGTCTCCGGAAAGGATGTTGCTGACTCCCAGTTACGTCGTCCTCCTTTACGCCCAGTCCTCGTCTTTCCGCCCCCCCGCAAACCTCTCCACCGCTGGTGTCGGACTTGCCACCTGGAACTTGCAGTCTTATGTTGACGCGTCCGGTCTCGGCCCGCTCGTCGCCGCCAACTACTTCCAGGTTGAGAACGGTCAGGCTACCGTCACTGTGAGTTGATTCATCCCCTCGCTTCCACAGTCCCGCTGACAGCTTAGGTCCCCGTTACCTCCGCTGTTGTCACTTCTACCCTGTCTACCGTCACTAGCCCCACTGCCTCGTCCGGCTCTATGTCCGGCTCTGCTTCAGGCACTGGCTCGGCCTCCCGCTCGGGCTCTGCGTCCGGCAGCTCCGCCTCCGCTGCGACGAGCTCCCGCGCCGCTGCGTCCGAGACGAAGTCCCGCTCGTTCGGCCTCGGCTTGATTGTCGGCGCTGTAGGCGTTGTCGGGTGCCTTGTCGGCGCCGGTCTTGGCCTCTAAGCGTGGCATTGAGGGAGAAACAGTGACGAAGATGGGGATGTCGAGAGGATGAGGAGGGAGGAGCGGAGCGGAGGTGAATGGACACTAGAGTTTTGATTTCGACACGATCATGATTTACCAACCTTATGTCAGAGATGAAATCATGACAGCGTGCTATTAGTCAGAGAGACCTGGACACGTCACTGTGCAAACCGAGAAGAGGCTAATCCTGACTTGGTAGACTTTGCACTTCCGCTGATAGACTTCAATGATACATTACGAAACGGTAGTGACCAAGACTCGTTCCTCTGAGATAGTACAGCAATCCACAAGCTCTATCCGCGATGGGTCCGACGAGACGGTCATGACGCAGCTCGTCCCGATGAAGGTCGTCCCTGCATAGTGTCAGCTCCTACCCTTCCGCCACGCGCGACTTGACAGATCAGCGTACCTTCCTCAGTTCCGACCCTATTACACCCCACAAAAATGACCTCCTTCCCCCCGTTCTCAGCGCCGTCCGCCGCGCCCAGCTCCGCATAGTCCGGCGTGGGATCATGTAGCGGCGTCAACCTGGCCGCCCAGTAATTCAAGGTAGACTCGGACGGGGCATCAGGATCCTGTGGCGGTGGGGCATTGGGCGGTTCGACGGGCGCATCGAGCCAGTTCATCCTGCGTAATCAGCTTTGCTGCAGCCTTGGGTGCTGCGAGCAGAGATGGTGATGGTGACATTGACGCACGGTACGACCAGTGTATCGATGGCGTTCTTCCGGGCGTAGCTGGCGAGTTCGAAGGCATCCCATGGCGCTGGTCAATGGTCAGCTAGTGCAAAAGGGTGAGGCATTTGAAGGCGGTGGCCTACCGACAAAGTCTTTGGGGTTCATATCTGCATCTGGTCAGCTCCGAGCTCTGAGGAAACCCGAATCTCACTCAAGTCAGACTTACCCATACAAATCCCCAGCCCGACTCGACCTAGCGGCGCCCCGAGATCAAAGTGCTTGAATCCATCCCCTAGACAATCAGCTCCATCTTTTTTTCCTTCAGCCGCGGGAGTATGGACCTACCCTCCCTCGCCCAATTCTTGTCCGTCTCGAATCGGAAGGTCTTCCTGTAGTTTCCAATGACCTCCCCTGGTGTTATGAAAAAAAAAGAGGCAAGAGGGGGGACCCCAATGAAAAGAGAGGAGAAGGGAGAGCCAGGGAGGAAACAAGAAAGCGGAAGGGAAAGGAAGAAGCGGAGGCAGGAGGGAGGAGTGGACAGGAGGGGAGGAAACAAAAGAAAGAGAACGAGAGAAGCAAGACACAGAGGAGGAGCAGGAAGGACCGCGGAGGAAAATTGAAAACAAAAACAGAAGAAAAGGAAGAGGAGAGAGGGTGCAGGAAAGAGCCGAGGGAAGGGGGGTCAGAGAAGGGGAGGCAACCACGGGACGGGATAAAGGAAAGATAGAACGGGGCACGGGGAGGAAGAGGGAGACAGGAGGCAGAGAAAGGGAAGGGACAGGACAAGAGGAGGCGATAGAGGGAGGAGACGAGGAGGGGGGAAGGAAGCATAGGGAGGAAAAAGGCAGGACGGGAAAAGGAGGAAGAGGGAAAAGAGAGGAGGGAGAGAAAGAGAGGGCACAACAGAGAAGGAAAAAAGGGTAGAGGGAGGGGGAGAAAAGGACACCAGCGAGAGCGGGAAGAGAGGCAAGGGAACGAAAACAGGGGGAGGAAGAAGAGAACAGGGGAGCGGAGAAAGCGGACAAAAGAGAGCAGGATAAGGCGTAGAGGGAGGATGAGGAGGGAGTAACAGGACGAAAAAGAGAGGGGAGGGAAGAAGGCCCAGGAAAGAGGGGAAGACAGAGGAAGGAGCACAAGGGGGGGGAAGGAAGCAAACAGAGAGAAGGGAGACAGAGAGGATAAGAGGAGAGGAGGGGGGAGGGAGGGGGAGAGAAGGAGGGAAGGGGAGAGAAGAGGCAGGGAGGGGGAAGGAGAGGGAGGCGGTGAGGGGGAGGAGAGAAGGAACTGAGGAGCAAGCGGGGAAGGAGGGGGCGAAGGCGAGAGGGGGAAGGGCAGGGGGAGGGACGGGGAGGGGAAGCAACGAAAGACGGGAAGAGCGGGGGTGGAAGGCCGAGAGACTGAGAAGGAGGGGGTGGGGTCAAGGGGCGGAGTACGGCATGGGGGCGGAGAAGAGGACAAAAAAACAGGAGGAGCTCACCGGGGAGAAAAATGGATGACCAGCTGTCTGACCTGCGCGCGACTGCTATTCCGGGATGTGCAACTACGGCCACCCGCAGATCTCGTCGATCTCGCCCGATCGCCTGTGCCTTGTCCAGACCATCGATCGGATACGGTTTACATCCGCCATGTGCTGAACCTCCCCGCGTACAGGTTGGCAAGAAGGCAGAGCCAGGCGATGACCGACCGAACGACGAGCGGCTCCAGCATGCACGAGACGCAGAGGAGAAGTGGTAAGATAGCGTCCATTGATACAAATCGGGCTGCGCGGTACTCTCGGCCAAGAAAGGTCTTCCTGCCAACGCTGCGTCCCAGACGTCTACGCAGTTGGATGCACCTCATCCCTGCCTCTGTTTTAGTGTCAGCTTGTGGACCGATCGATGTGTAAACAGAAGTATGAGAAGGTAGGCTTACCTGCTTGTGCTTCGGGTCTTTGCTGCAAATGATGTACACCGTCCCCTTCCTGCTGGGTCAGCTTGGCTGTCACAATGTGCATCAACAACCGGCTCAGCGCAACTCACCTTTTTACCATCGAGCAGCTATCACAGAACAGCTTGACGCTACTCCGGACCTTCATCCCCCTCGCCTGATCCACACCCGCCAACGCAGCATTCACCCGCCCCGTCCCCACTTCCGCCTCCTTGGCCAGAGTTGCCCTTGTCAATGAAGATGTGAGGCTGGTAAGAGGCCTCGAGGCCCGAGATGATGATCCCGAAGTGGGCCGACCGAAGGGCGAGGTGGGGCGGAGGATGAATGATTTGAGGGGGTTGGAGGATGCCGGGCAGACGGGCGGGGGGATGACGGATCGAGCACAGGTGGAGCACGAGCGGGCGGCCCTGCAGCTGGACGAGGCGAGCGAGGGGAGGCGGGAGGAGAGTGCGGACATGTTGGTGCAGTCTTACTGTAAGGTCAGAGAGAGGATACAGGAGGTAGGAGGTAGGTAGGATAGGTAGTCGTCAGGTTAGCTCAGTGGTAGACCACACCACTCCACGCATCGCTCGGGAATATACGGAAATACCGCTTGATGCATTTCGGGACTAAATCTAGCTTGCGCCACGTTCGGCGATCGCCGCTATGACAAGCTGAATTCTACCCTGAGCTGTTGGCTTTGGTCGCATTGGCCTCCACCCAGCCTCTTCCCCCTTTCTTCGCCTCCACCCTATAGTCAAGGACAGCTAACACAGAGTATACAGCATAGACATATCACATTCTACCCATACAGCTGCACGCTCTACTACATCGCGTAAGAGCTCGTCCCCTGTGCGAGAGAAATCCAGCCTCAGCAGCGCGTATCCTGCGACTTCGACCAGCAAACACAACTCGACCCCGGTGGAGGTCGTCCAGCCTCCACTTCGACCCTCTTCCACTCGCTCATCTATCGACCAAAAGCCTCCGTCCCCTTCCATACGAGGCACTACCTCCTCAAATCCGCCAGGATGTCGTACCGGTCGCCTCACGACCAAATGGATGCATATAGATCACCAGGTCCTCCGCCTCCACCCGGACCGTCCGCAGCGGGAGGGACCAAGCGCGGCCGAGAGGGGAAGGAAAAGGAGACATTCAAGTGTTCTTTCCCAGGATGTGGGCAGGCGTATAGTCGAATGGAGTATCTGAAGCGACACCAGAGGAAGCGTGAGTCATGCTAGCGCTTGCCTATTCTGAGCAGTGATGATAAAGGATGGTCAAGCTGATGTTGCAGATATGGATGTCCGGCCATTTGCTTGTAAGGATTGTGACAAGTCTTTTGCCCGCAGGTGAGCATTATTCTTTATAGAGCACGAGCCAGACTGACAAACAGCGACGTGCTTCTCCGCCACAAACGGCGATGCCATCCTACCCCTCCACCAGAGTCTCGCTCGTCGCGCTCCCCTCCTCCCTCACTCCGCCCGTACCAAGGCGTTCCCGTCTCTTCTTCTCGGAATGACTCGCGCGAACTCTCCCCCGGCAGAGAGCGCCGAAACACCAACGACTACTCGGCCCGCGCACACGAAGGCAGCCACAAGCGAACTCGTACCCGAACCCGGACCCGCACGGGGTCCGAGGAGGAGGAGGAAGACGCGTTCGCGCTCGCCCAGCACATGCAAGCGAGCGGCAGCGGCGGTGGGCGGATCGGTCACAGACAGCCCGAGCACGAGCGGGAAGTGTACGATATGGGCGGCGAGTACTACAATCTCGGCGAATCCAGCACGTACACCCCGCACCTGCTCCCCATGTTTCAAAACCAGAACGGCAGCGTCCCATACCCCAGCACCAACAACAGCAGGCATCAGGACATGGACGATCATCACCCAATCCCAAATCCCAGCTCTAACCACAACCATCTGGAAGATGCAAGCGTCCTCTTGTCGATGGCGTATCCCGGTGGTGTGCCTGGTGATGGGAACCGAGGGGGTTCGGGGTCTGCCTCCCGCTCTTCTGGGTGGCGCGGACAGGATGAGTCGGGAGATGTCGAGCTCGGCGAGTCGGTCGGGAATTTCCTCAGCAACATGGGGTGGTTAGGCGAATCTTCAAATTCGGGAAAAGATGACGGGGGTGGTGACGCCAGTAAATGGGTGAGTCCTGTTCTGAGCTCAATGCTCAATAACTGACGAGCAGGTGTCTGCTGCCCCCGCAATGACGCTGAACGATGCGATCGATCCTCAGCTCATCGGCGAAGCCCCGAAAACCCTCCCACCCCCCACTTCCATTTCAGCTCAGCCTGCCCCAGAGAGCCAGCCTTTTCTTGGCTCACTCGACATGATGAACCCACCCTCACCATCCGCGTCCCTCTCGGCCATGTTCTCTCCGTCGGTCTTTGGCTACCCGGCCGTACCCCCGCTCGTCCAGGAGACAAGCGAGGATAGTTCGCCCGACGACCCGCTCGATGACTTTGCCGCCAACTCAGCGGCGGTCATGGAACTCCTGGAGCAGCTGGGACAATACCAGCCTCCAGAGAAGCGAACCATCACGACCGACCCGGAGCGGCCGCTCATCACTATCGAGCATAACATCTGGCTTGACAAGGCTGGCAAGACCAATGTCGACCCAAGCAGTCCTTTCTAGTGAGTTATCCACCTGGACTTCCGGTCAGCAGCTGACAACCAGCCTCGATCCAACTCGCTTCACCAATTGCTACGAGATCCCGCACTGGCGCATGCCGCCTATGCGGGTCCTGTCCATGATGGCGTCCAAGACGTACCATACCGTCCTGAACCACTTTTCATTCATCCATCAGCCCACATTCAAGCTTCACGACACGGCCGCCTGTCTCGCCTTCGCCATCTGCACCGTCGGCGGTATCCGGTCCTCGGCAAAGGTCGACCAGGGCTGGGAGAGTTTCCTCCCTGCTCCATTCCAGCCTGGTGCGCATGTGAACGGACAAGGAAGGATGGACGGCCCGGTCGTTCCCGAAGCGTCGTGGGAGAGTCTGTATGCCAAGAATTACGCGAGTTCGGGCAGGGGAAGTGCGTCGGGTTGGAGCTCGGGGTCGAATGATAGTAGTCCGGTGGATGCGCAGAAGGAGCAGGAGGAGGAGAAGAGGATGGTAGAGCAGTGGGATGGAGCGAATCTGGTCAGGAATGACAAGACGAATATGCTCGTCAAGGTGAGCCATGCGGTGACGTGTATTCCTAAAAGGGCTGGACTGACGCGTCCTTAGTCATTCTCCCAGGCCAAGGGCGTGTTGATGACCGACTATAATTGCGCGCTTTTGCAGGCTTTGGTGGTGAGCCCCCTCGGAACTTCGGCATGCGGGACTTAGCTGACTAACCAGCTGTATCATGCGCCGTACTACTTGAGTGAGAATGAGCAGGAGCGATCGATGGCCAACATGTTCATGGGCACCATCGTCAATGTGAGCTGCCCAGTGCCTACCCGCGGCGCTGCAGCTGATCCAGCAGATCACTCGCCAGATCGGCTTCCTCACACCCGAGCTCGAGCACTTTTCCACCTCCATCACCTTCCCACGCGAGCCCTCCACTCCCAACGACATGAACACCGCCTGGCGCCGGTGGATCCAACTTGAGACGCGCCGCCGGACCGCCTACCTCGTGTATCACCTCGACACGGTCTCCGCACTCGAAGCCAACATCCCTTGTATCCTCACTGCTTGCGAGATGGGGCGTCTCCCCCTGCCTGCGCCCGATACGCTCTGGAAAGCGCCGACTGCCGAGGCCTGGGCAGAGGCGGCCCGGTCATACCGCTCCATGACGCTCGACGAGGCGATGCGGCGGGTTTTCTTCCTTCCCTCTTACGGCGCCTTCGATACGCAGCACGCAGCGGCGGATACGAAGTTCTACAATCTCTTGAATGAGCAGGCGTTTGGCCCGTTCGCGCGGGTAGCGATGGTGCTCACGCTCGTAAGGGGCGTAATGGACATTGGGGAGGGCAAGCGGGATCGAGGGGACTGGCGGGATCTGACGGATCTTTGGGTATCGTGTAGTTGGCTCAAGCCGGGGAAGAGGATTGTGGATGGGGATGGGCGGGAGGTCGGGGAGGTGACTAGGGTGGGGCTAAGAGAGAGGTTTGCGCTTGGTCTGGACAGGGTGAGCTAGATTTGTCCCAAGCGCTTTGTGGGCCATAGCTAACAGTGCAGTGGCGCCAAGGTTGGGACTTTGACCCGTTATGCTCGAGCATGACTGGCTCCCCCGCAAACGGCGTGAATGGTAACGTCAACGCAGGAGCGAAAGCCTGCGCCACACTGATGTACTGCGAGGGTGAGTCGACTCTAGAATAACTCCGCGATGTCACCGAGTAGCTGACATCTCTCAGAGGCCCTCCCGTACTACTGGCTCGCCCAAGCACTACTCGGTATCCTCAACTCCTCGCCCCCCGCTGAGCCCGGCTACAACTCCTTTCGCGGTCTCAAATACAGCGAGATGCTCAAGTCCGCCCGGACATTCACGCGACTCGGCGAAGGGGCTTGCGGAACCGCTTCAACAACTACGGACACCGTTGTACCGCCAAACCTTGCCGCAGCTTTGGGGACGACAGGACTTCCGTCTGGCTTTGACTTGCAAAACTTCGTCATGCCTCTCTCGGGAGATGGGACGGCGAATGGTGCCACGGGTGGAATGATGGATATGACTGGGCTTGGCGGGATCGATCTGAACCTTCTGGACGGGATGGGGATGTCCGAGTGGGTGTGAGCGGAGTCTCTGAGGCGGATCGCGGATTGTGTATTCTTCTGTGATTATCGAGAGCTTGGACCTGGTTGGTGGTTTGAGATCGTGGAGTGTGGATCACTCGTACATATACCCTTAGTCATAGCTGGTTGTGTTGTATAGACGTTATCATGTGCATAGGTCCAAATGGGTCTCGGAGCAATACCTTATCGATAGTGCCTCGATTAGCGGATGACGTCATGTGTGCTGCTGCTCCGATCGGACGCAGATCTAACACGAACTCTGATATTTGTTGACATCCCACCATATCGGTCCGACAGCTCAAGCGTCTTGCTCCTCTTACTCAGGTACGAGCTGAAATGCCCTCCAAAGCCTCTTCCGCCCCTCGGGTGCTGTACTGGTTCCGCACCGACCTGCGCGTGACCGACTCGCCCGCCCTCACCCGCGCGCTCGCCCTCAAGCCGAGCACCTTCGTTCCCGTATGGTGCTGGGACCCTTCGTACATATACGGCCACCGCGTCGGGCTGAACCGCTGGCGATTCCTCCTCGAAAGTATGACCGGTCTCTCCGACGCGCTGACCGAGCTCAACCCACAGCAAAAGCTACATGTGGTTCGCGGACGACCGGAACAGCTGCTTCCTATCCTCTGTCGGCAGTGGGGCATCACGCATGTCGTCTGGGAGAAGGACAGTAATGCTTATGCGAAAGAGAGAGATAGGAAGGTCAAGGAGGTGCTCGCTAAGGAAGGGGTGGAAGTTGTGCATGAGGGTGGGAGACACCTGTATGATCCGGACGAGATCATCAAGGGGAATAAGGGCAAGCCGACGATGACGCTGCATCAATGGCAGAAGGTGAGCGGAGCTTAGGGTAGGGATCTTGGGGATGGGCTGATGATATAGTTGGCGGAGAAGCTGGGCGAAGTGGGAGATCCTGCGCCTACGCCTACCTCGCTACCTGGCCCTGGGGATACGAAGCTGGATGTGCAGGACAGCGACTGGAAGTTCCACTGGGACAAGGTGGACTTTAATGCTGAGATTAGGACTGGAGTGGATACCTGTTTCGGTGGGTTCATCCTTTACTTGGTCGGGGATGTATCGCTGATGACCTAGACAAGCTCTGCGGCCCAAATCACGATTTCGCCGTCCCTACCATGTCCGAAATGGGCTACGCCGAAGCCACCACCACCGTGCGGGGCGGCACCGCCGAAGCGCACAAGTGCCTCGACAATTTCCTCGCCGATACACTACATGTAGCGACCTTCTCCAAGCCTCACACAGCACCTACCTCGCTCGAACCCAGTACAACCCTCCTCTCGCCCTACATGAAGTTTGGATGTATAGGCGTGAGGGAGATATGGTGGGGGAGCAAGAAGGTGATTGAGGAGTGGAAGAAGAAGGGGAGTAAAGGCGGGAAAGAGACCAAGGAGCCGGAAAACATGTTTGGGCAGCTGCAGTTTAGGGATATGTACGCCTGTGCTGAGGCAGCGGGGGCGCACTTTGAGCGGATAAGAGGGAATGGAGTGTGTCGGTGAGTCGTCTCGGTATATAAGGAAGGGAAGACAAGCTAATATCGGGCAGGTATATAGATTGGAAGTTGCAAAATCAGTATGATGAGGACGGGAACGAGATTCTGCCGAGACCAAAAGAGGATGAGGTGGATGAGGAGCGATTCTTGGCGTGGAAGGAGGGACGAACGGGGTTCCCGTGAGCTGTCTCGTCACCAGCCCTGATCGAGTGAAAGCTCACCTCTTAGGTGGATCGACGCCTGTATGCGCCAGCTTAAGATTCAAGGGTGGATACATCACCTCGCGAGACACTCTGTTGCGTGCTTCATTACACGAGGCCAGTGCTATATCTCCTGGGAAAGAGGCATGGAGGTATTTGATGGTGAGTCTGTTTATGTGGAGCTCGAACTGCGTGCTGATGCCACAGAGTATCTAATAGACTGGGATCCTGCGAGCAACGTATGTCGGCCGGAGCTGATTTTCGCAATCTGAGCTGACGTGTCTCTTAGCCGGGGAATTGGATGTGGCTGTCATGTTCAGCTTTCTTCTCTCAGTACTGTGAGTCAGCTTATGGTTGTCGCCACCCGAATAGACTGCTGATCCAGCTAGTCAGAGTATATGGACTAGAATCATGGCCACTACGAACCGACAAGTCTGGCGCTCTTGTCAGAAAGTACTGCCCAGAACTCAAAGACTTCCCAGATAAAGTAAGTCAATCTCCCCGCTGATTTTACTGTGCTGATACCCCAGTACATCTACGCTCCGCACAAAGCCCCAGTCGACGTCCAGCGCAAAGCCAGCTGCATCATCGGCGAGCAATACCCCTTCCCGATGCTGGACGAGCACAAGGAGAAGGACCGGTGTATCGCGCGTATCAAGAATGCTTACCATCTTGGCTTCCACGGGGATAGTACGGAAGTGTTGGACGGTAGTGCTAAGCGACTGTTACAGGAGGAACATGAGCGGACGGGGGTGGATGAAGGGGCGGACAAGACGGATAAGGAAAAGAAGGAGGAAAAGGGGGCGAAGAAGCGAGTGGCAGATGGAAATCAGAGCCTGGATGGGTTTGTGAAGAAGGCAAAGGTGGCGCCTGCTAGCAAGGGGAAGAAGAAAGCCTGATGCACACGGATACACGATGAGATATGCCCCTGGTTCTTCTTGTACTCAACGCCAACGCCAAGCCGCAACATTCCGCTCATACCAAAACGTAGCCCTGCGCCTCCGTCGCCTTGTCCTTGAATTCATTATACACCTCGCGCAGGGTATCCAAGGACTCCTGAGACTCCTCAGCCCACTGTTGATCGCCTTCTCGCTTCGCCTTTGTCACCCGCTCCTCCATGGTTCTGCATTTGGCGAGCCACCAATCTGTCTGCAGACTGAGTGATTCGGCCAACGAGAGCTGCTCAGGTCGTGAGGGAAGGCAGGCCGGGTATTGGCAGTCCACTTCGGTATCATCTCTCAACAGACAAATGATCGTGTCCACGTCGATGTCACGAGCAGGCGTGAATGGCTTCAGAGACTGGTTTGAATTGTCGCTGAGGTCCGAGGTCGTCCTCACCGTTGCGGGCAAACCATCCAGGGCACGCGATATGAACGGATCGAGCATGTCTTCGTACGAAAACCGCTTGAATTTTCCTTGCTTCATTGTATGCAATTGCCCTTTGGCCGGGTCACGCGCAATCGGCATGAGACAGGGTCCGCCGTCTGGATAACGGACACAAGACCACACCTTCTCCGGAGTCAGGTAAGTGTCCGGCTGGTTCACGTCGACCACTACCCATAGCCCGTTTGTGGCCTTCGGGTGACTGGTTGTAGGTGACTCCGTGTCATCGTCCGTCACATCGTAGGGGAGAGTCGAAGGACGAATAAAGCTTTCGCCATTGCTGGAGGCATCTACAGGGACCCTCAGCGCAGCAGCGGAACAAGAGGTGGCTTGCACCTCAGGCTGAAAGATCTTGCAAAGAGTACGCAGAGCGCGGCAGTCACGAGAACTCACTGTTGGCAGACTGAAGCTGAGACATCTGATATGAGGTTGAGTGGTTGCGTACGCGGTATATGCAGGAAGAGGAGATATGAAGTATGAAGAAGGGGGAAGAGAGGAGAGGCTACAGGGTGGCGCGAGACAACAGCCTTGATCAGCTGATGCTGACTCTCAAGCCTCACATGATCCTATGATGATCTGACACACCAGCGACATCGCATCCCTTGTGAGCTATCATGTATCTCTGCCTGAACGATGCAGCACCTCTTGCCCAAGTGTCGCCCAGGCGCCACCCTTTGTCTTTCTGCTGCAGCAGAGTCTGAGTGGCACTCTTGCGGCGCCACTCTTAGCTTGCAGTATGACGTGGCATTTTTGCGTCATCCTGCCGGGCCGGCTTGCTTGCCCTTGCCTCGCCTGCCCCCCATCTGCGTCATACCTTCCTTATCCTCCCCTTACACTGCCAATCCGCCTTCTATCTCTATCACGAGCAGCAGCAATCGCGACAGAGGCGTATACCACCGCCCTACAGAAACGACGGTACCCGCTTGATCCACCCAAAACAGCCCACAATCGAGCAAGGAACTCGAGATAAGCCAACACGCGACCAGCCGCTTCTTCACATCCCGCTGAGGAGCTTTTATCCAACTCTACCCTCGCTGTCAGCTCTTTCCCAGCATGTCGGTCGAAATCACCCCCGCCGCCCAGATGGGCTTCCACAGTAAGCCCACCCATCGGATCAGCATCGACCGCAAGCTGATCAAGCATAGGACCCCTTACCCGGCTGGTCACCCAGACGATCAAAATCCATAACCCTCATCCTCACCCGGTAGCCTTCAAGGTGAAGACGACGGCGCCGAAGCAGTACTGCGTCAGGCCAAACTCGGGGCGCGTGGAGAGCGGCGAGAGTGTTGAGGTACAAGGTGAGTTTCGGGTCCTTTGTGTCAAAGTGAGACTTGGGCATGGGATGGGGATTGGGGGCTTGTAGGATACGGCCCGGGAGGCGGGCGCACTGTGCCTGTGCCAATTTTGGTGTGGCGGGAAAACCAGAGGATACCTTGCCGTGCTTGTCGAGTCTAAAACAGCGAAAAATCATGCTGACCCCTCAGTCCTCCTCCAACCTCTGGCAGTCGACCCCCCACCCCACGCCAAATGCAAGGACAAGTTCCTCGTCCAGTCCGCCTTCATCACCCCCGACGAGGAGATGCACACCCTCAGCGAGATGTGGTCCGCCACCGAGGCAAACAACAAGGGGGCTATTCAGGAACAAAAGATCAAGTGTGTCTACCTTGCGGCGGAGGACGGGCGGGCAGAGAATGGGATAAAAGAGGAAGAGGAAGAGGGTATGGAGAGTAGGGTGATGGATGAGTCGGTGAGTCTTTTGCGTTGGGTTGTGGTTCGCTATGTCAAAAGGTCGCAAGGGACATTTGCAGGGAGAGGGTGTTGGCGCGGAGATTCGTTGTCAGGAACGAGGATCTGCGGGCGTCGAGATGGAGATGGGACGTGGTCTGATACGTCCATATGCAGAAGGGCAAAGAATACACCTCTCCTGTATTCCGAAATGGCGGCGAGTCGTATTGGGAGCCGTCACCCCCGCCATATATCCACCCCGCTCGCAGAGTCGGTTTGACAATCCTAGGCATGCAAGGTGAAGCCCGAAGCTGACTCTGCAGACTCTCTTCACTGCCGCTCAATCGAGCCCCGCACCAAAAGCCAACGGAAACAGCACGGACCGCTCTGCGGCTCTCGCCTCACCCATCGAACAGCCCACACAGGCTGCCCCGTCCCGACCTTCCGGCTTCGCTACCACCGTCACCCCCATCCCCTCCTCTCTTCCAGCCAGCACGTCGACCCCGGCTGCATCAGCCGAAAAGTCGCGTCTTCCGGACCTCACCGCCGAGAGTATCGGCGCGACCGGGACCGGCGTCTCGCCAACCAACTCGGCACTGGAGAAGTCCCTCGAGGTGGCTACGACCGACAAGCAGAAGCTCGAGCTGGCCATGGCTGAGATTGAGCGACTTCGCGCTCAGCTCAAGTCACCTGGCGCGGGCGAGACCGACGCGAGCGCAGAAGGACCGACCGTCACTGGTCTACGAAGACGGGGCGGGGCGGCCGCGTCCCAGGCAAAGGAAGGCGCGGAGGTCATGGTGGAGAAGGCCAAGGAGGCTGTGTCGTCGGGCGGACAGGGCGTGCCCGTCGAGGTGGTGGCGGCGTTGGTGATCGGTGTCTTTGTCATGACTTACTTGTTCTTCTAGGCTGGGCGGGGAGCGATAATCAGGGGTGAAATGTGGGGAGTTCTATAGATGTTTAGGGGTTTGTAGTATACCAGAATCAATACATGGTTTGCACTCCTGGGTCTCCGGGCGGGTCCCAAAGCCTCCAGACTACTGTCTTGATTGGCATGACCCAAAGCTGGATGACAGTCGGCCGACTTCCGCGGGCCGCGGGAGCGCTTTGCTGGTGGAGCAAGTCCGCTAATGTTGCGGAATGCAAACCTTGTTCGTCCACCTTTCCCGTCTCACATCATCATCTCCATTTCTGATATACCTTCTCTGCGTCGCCTTGCGAATAGCTCAAGGGTTACCCTCACTCCCTCAGCCCAGCTCAACTAACTCAAGACAGCCCATAATGCCCGGCTCTAAACGACGAGCGCTCAAGAACCTCCTGTCTCCTCATCACTCCCCTGCACCGCCCGCCCCCCTTCACCCTGTCGACTCCGGGACATCCCTTGCTTCCATCAGCTCCGCCCAGTCCGGGACGTCGATAGCGACCGACCCAGGAAACTATATGAGCGATGAGAAGCTGGAGCAGGATCTGGAGCTTGAGAAGATGCGTCAGCGGGAACAGGGGATAGGACATGGAGGAGGACTGCCGCCCGCTGAGACTGTGCCGCCTCCTGCGCCAAGTGGGATGATTGGGCGGCAAGGCGAATTGGCAGGCGGTCAGAATGGCCAGAGTCAGGCTGGAGAGGGGGGCGGAGGCGGCGGGAAGAAGAAGAGCAGTAAGCAGAAGTTTGAGGAGAGACAGGTGCGTACTCGTTCAGCAGGACCAGAGAGAAGAGCTGACTCAGATAGGCGAGGAAGAAGGAGGCGATGCTCAACTCTGCACCACCGTCGAATCCTGAATGGGACGCTCAGCTCGAGAAGGAGCGCCAGGAAGAGATCAGGGTCATCTCTGATGCGTGCACCACGCTCGGCAGGGAAATACACGAGGTGAGCTTACCGTCATGAATGGGGTGGGGGCGATGCTGATAAGCAGATCACACCTGATGGGCACTGTATGTACCATGCCATCGCGCATCAACTCGCTTCCTTGGGCATGATCCCGTCCGACCAGGTGAGCCTCTTGCCTATCGCCTTACTCCTCTCCAGGACTGACTGCTTCAGGCCGACAATCCTGGTTACACCCGTCAAGCTGCTGCAAGATACATGATGGCCAACCCAGAAGAGTTCCGTTTCTTCCTCCCATCGGTCAATGGGGAAGATACGGCCGAGGCGACGGAGCACGAGGGAGTCATGACTGAAGAAGAGTACTCGAGGTACTGCGGGAACGTGCAGAATACCGGAGAATGGGGAGGAGAGCCGGAGGTGAGTCTAGCATCCTCACGCTTGCCTCGCATAGGATGTGAGATCTTCACTGACTCGCCCAGATACAAGCGCTCTCACGAGCATTCAAGATTCCTATCCACGTAATCCAACGGGGACCACCTACGGTCGTCTCGCACGGCGGCGTGAACGATACCGCTGGAGGATCGCTCACACCTCAGCAGAGCGTGGCGGAGGGGGACAGAGTGGTCAGGATCAGCTATCATCGGAGAATGTATGGGCTTGGCGAGGTAAGTGAACAGAGTGGTCTGAGATGGGGGGGAGCCGAGGAAGGGAAGCTGACTGGATAGCATTATAACTCGCTGGCGAAGGCCGCTTAGCAGACGGACTGAATTCACTTTGGGGCGCGGAGAGACGACCTGGAACAGACGGCGGGGCTGTGGTATAGATCTAGGAGAAGCAACTCGAATCATGATGCATCCTCACAGCACGCAGAGCAAAAGACCCTCTTAAGTGCTGACGATAAATGAAACACGCACGGATCAGGAGCATCCTTGGTGTAGCAGGAGCTCGTAGATGATGATCTCCTTTCTACCTCATCTTTGCACTGCTTATAGACGACTCGGGACCTCAGCAGTCGACGTTGATGTCTCGACAATGATATTCCGGGCTGAGATGCGCCGTATAGCCTCGAGAGACTCAGAGAGCGACGGAGGTCCACCGAGCCCTGGATCGTACATTCTCCCGCTACTGGTCATCGTTGTCTTGTGTGCGGGCTACGTATGGTACAGCCGCAGGAAGCGACGAGACGCCAGCTTCGAGTGAGTGTCTTCTGTCCTGATTCGCATGCTCGTACTGATATGGCAGGCTGAGAGATGTCTTGAAGTACCGACCGCCAGGAATGGGTAATCCCGATGGCGTCCGTCTGAGTATTGACGATATGGTGAGCGCTGCGTCCTTAGCCGGTGATACAGCGCGCAGGTTCGTCAAGTACGTATGCTGATGACTTAGCCATCCAGAGCGGAGTTCCTGACCAATAACGCATCTACCGACTCCCTCCCGGACAATGTCGAGCTCCCCGTCTTCTCCCGCCCTCCAACGCACACCGCCTGGCAAGGCACCTCGAGTGGAGGAAGAGGCCATCCGTCATACAACTCAGCATCGCCCTCGGGCGCCTCTACGCCCTTCATGGACGATCCAACACCGGCGCAGGGAAAAGCAGGAAGGATTCTGGGCTTAGGGGGTGGAATGAAAAGCGCAGGCGGGGGCTTTGGGCGGAGATCAATGCGGAATAAGGGGCCCGTCGAGGCGGATAGCAGTAGTGAGGGGGATGAGTCTGATGAGGGCGGTGCGCGTGGTGGAGATGGGGGAGGGGCAGCGGTCTTCGGCATAGGCGATGAGGACGAGGAGGAACGGCTTTGAGTAGGTAATTCGGCTGGATGGCCTTGTAGCTATACTTCATGCATTGTAAATATTAGCACCCTCGCAAGCTCACAGTAGCAGAGCATCGAGGGCGTCTGGAACCCGGCTGGGCTGCAACCCAAGTCGTTGATGGTTGGCAGCAAACCAAAAGGCGGATCGAGAGACGCGTGCCTGAGCTTTTTAGCGTTCGGCGCGTTTCCGACAACCCGACAACATCTGGATTTGCCTTACATCTCTTACTGTACCTCCTTGCTTGCTCGCTGCCGCCTTCATACAGCTCCGCAGCAGCTGAGGTTTCCTCTCTGTTCGTGAAAGAGATAGCTCGCCCTCGCTCGCAGCTGTTCGGCATACGTGAGGAGCTCGGTTGCGCTTGGGAGAGCTCTTCGCCTACACGTGTGCCCGTTACACTGCTCAACACCTAGCTGGCCCTGACACCACCATCACCTTCTTCCAGACCGCTGTAGTCCTCGCCCAAGATGTCGCACGCTCTACTGTAGGTCTACGTCCTCTCTCCGCTCGCTCCTTCTTCGGCATTGCTGCCAAAGGCCCAACCCGTATCCGCGGAACTAGGGCGGACTGTAGCTGACATTGTAGACTTCGTCTCTTCCTCTCCCCCTACTTCTCCATTTCAGTCGCGATGCACTACCTCAAGACCTACTCTGATAGCATCGGAATATCACATTACCTCTGCTGGCGGATGAAGGGGATGCGAGCGGAGGAGGTCGAGAGTTACTGGCCGCAGCTATGGTGAGTCCTCATTCTTACTTTACTTTGACCGGCGAGTGCAATTAGCTAACTCGACGAGCCACCTACTCATCACATATCCGACGCAATCTAATGCGCTCGAGTCGTTCATCCTCGAGCGGTCCGAGGAGAGTACGCACTCGGCAATGCTGGTGAGTTGGCTCTGCTGCAAAGGCCGCTGAACTGCAGCTATCTGGTAGTCGAGGTGCAGATAAGCTGACTTCGAAGACCTTCTGGTTCATGCAAGCTGCTCTGCATGACCTTACACCTACCCGCCAGACCAATCCCCGCCCTTTCCTCATCTGCCAGCGCGTCCTTCATCGGTGCCACGAAATCCTCTTTGGCGACCCGCCAGAAACGACCCGGTCGCCTTATCGCTCCCTCCCCCAATCTCCCTCCATGTCGACCATGGCACTTCATTCAGCGACTGCACTGGCGAACGTCCTCCGACCAGATCCTACCAAGCGGGTCAAGATCAGGGTCAACCAGCACGCTCTTGCTGCTTTCGTGGGGATGGGCGTGGCCATTGGCGCACAGGGCATGCCGGCGCTCGGGGATACTGTCGGTGCATGGGCGATCATGCAGGGTCGGAAACCTCGAGATGAGGATGCAGAGGGACGGGAGAGGGTCGAGAATGCGGCGGAGGAGGGTGCAGATGCACCAAAGGGAGGAGCGCTGGATCTGGGCCGAAAATCGGCGGATGGCCCAGATTCAGAGGAAGAGGGGGAAGCAGCTGTTGCTCCGCCTACTCCCGGGGCGATCACCCCATCAACAAAGTCACCACGGCTTGACCGGCTCACACCGAATCACCACACCCCACACCCCGCGCAGACAACGCCCAACCTCAGCTCGCCGACGCGGCTGTCGGCCGATCACTCCCCATTCTCCACTCGGACACCCAAGTCGGAGGCGGTAGATCCATTCTCGCAGGAGCTGGATGAGCCCTCCGGCCCGTCAAGATCCTCAATCTCCTCTCCTCGACTTCCTCATCAGCCGTATCACTCCGTACCCGACCTGTCTCGCAACAAGTCTCGGGCGCTGCGTCCAAATGGTCAACCCGTGTCTGCCGAAGAGCTCCTAGTCGGTCTCAATGTCGATACTCAGCGGCAGATGCTCAGATCACATTACTGCCGGTCGCAGATCCGGTTCTTGCTCTTGCTGGAGGATATCAGTAATCGGCTATTGGTCGTCCCAAAGCCAGCTCGTGTACCAGCTTTGCGAGCGGAGTTGACCAGTCTAAACCATAATCTTCCAGCTGAGGTATGTCATTTCATATGCTTTGCCGGGATCCTCGCTGATGGCCAGATCTGCATGCCGCTCTGGTGTGCCGCGGACCACTCGCACGAAGACGGCGGGGAGACCGCATCCTCTACCCCCCTCAAAGCTCGTCCAGATCGCCGGCATGCCTCTCGCATAAAAAGCCATTGTCGAGTCGTCCGGATCTCGCCAGGCGACTCAGTCGTGCTCAACTCGGCTGAACGGGCGCCCTTCCTCCTTCACGTCGAGATCTTGGAAGGCGACCTCGACTTTGATCCTATGCGTCGCGAGAACCGGGAGCTCCTCAAGCGGATCGTGGTGCAGAACGATCTGAAGAGGCGGAAAAAGGAAATGAAGGGGTTGGGAATCAATGAACCTCTCATCGGACTGGGGAGACGGCCTAGTGCGGGACTCGAATTCGAGGATTTCGGCAATTCGCAACCTCTTCCGCAATCCGCTCCGATCGACGACTGGACGTCTCGCCGAGTCTCGGACGGACAAACGGGAGACAAATGGAGGAGAACGGAAATCGTCCCTGACGACGGGGACGAAATGGACCTAGTGGAACAGCTCTACGGGGCCAAGATCTCCGTCAAGGATACTCTGCCAGAGTTGACGGATGCGCTCCCGCTTCCTACCGCGCCGAAAAACAAGGCGCTGGATGTCGCAGCCTGGGATAGGGGATCAGACCTCTCCAGTCGGCGCACGAGCTATACCTCCCAACCAATTTCATCCTTGACCTCACCAGGAACCCCACTCGCGGATATCACACTATCCTCCGACCTTGCCACGACAGACTTCACGCCCAACCCCTCTGCTCCATCCACACCTGCCCACCCCTCGTTCCCAAACATACCTAGCCCAGGCACCAACCGTATCATGTCCCTCGAAGACTATTCGGAACGCATGAGGACCGCTGCTGTCATGCTGGCGCAACTAAGCGCATCGCTCGTGCCCGCTACGCCGGAGCAGACGGGCGGATCTACTGGCGGGCGTTTGTCATGGATTCCAGGGACGGGCTGGATACTCGGATCGTCTGCCCCGCAAGCAGCTAGCGCGCACTCGAGCCCCAGCGTGCTGGAGCCGGCGGCGTCTCAGGGTGCCGGCGGCAAATTGAAGCTGGCGGCGGTGCAGGCTGAGGCTATACGGAGTCGGATCATGGAGGAGATGATGGCTTTGGAGGAGGAGCGTGTAGCGAGGATGACGGAGCGGCCAGAAGGGAGTGAGCTGCGGGTGCCGGAAGCTGCAGATGGGGCGGGTACAGCCGAGGACGAGGGTATCGTCAGACGCGAGCTGAATAAGGCGGATCCATCAGGTACGTCTTGGGTCTCAAATAGAGGGTGTCAGCTGACGTGATAGCTGCGGTGTTCAAGGAGTCTTGGACGGCCAAAAAGAGCAGAATCCGCGCTAGCTCGCCTTGGGGTCATCTGGCCAACTGGGACGTCATCTCCGTCATTGTCAAGACCGGGACGGACCTGCGGCAGGAGCAATTGGCGACTCAGTTGATTGATCGGTTTGGGAAGATCTTCAAGGAGGAGAAATGTGATTGCTGGGTCAGATCGTAAGTCGTCTCGGTTCATTTTGAGACTGCAGCTGATATGACAGGTTCCGCATCCTAATCACAGGCGAGCAGTCCGGTCTGGTTGAGACTATCACCGACGCTGTATCCGTCCACTCCATCAAGAAGGGCGAGTACGCGCGGCGCATATCGGAGGGTGGCCCCATTGGCCAGGTCTCGCTGATGGACCATTTCGTTAGCGTACGTCCTGTCTGCTACTATAGGTTGAAGTGCTGACCGACAGACATATGGCAAACCCGACTCAGGCCGCTTCGCTCGCGCCCAAAGAGCCTTCATCCGCTCCCTCGCCGCGTACTCTGTCGTCACGTACCTCCTGCAAATCAAGGACCGGCATAACGGCAATATCCTTGTCGATCGGGAAGGCCACCTTATCCACATTGACTTTGGCTTTATGCTCTCCAACTCGCCAGGCGGAAACATGGGGTTCGAGGCTGCTCCATTCAAGATGCCCCTCGAGTACGTGGACATCATGGGCGGGCTGGACTCAGCGGGATGGGTGTACTTTAAGCGATTGTTCAAGGAAGGATTCGAAGCTGCCCGGAAGCATTCCGACAGCTTGATCAGTGAGTGCTCTGGTCTGCTTGGAAGCAATTAGATGAGAAGCTGATGTTGACAGCTATGGTCGAGTTGATGCAGAAAAGTACGCTCAGATCTCGCCTCATGCCTACCCTGAATGCGAGCTGACATCGCAGACTCAAAACTCGACTGCTTTATCCTCTTCGGCGATCAGACCGCCCACCACCTGCGCGAGCGCTTTGCCCTCAACCTCACTACAGCCGCTGTTGACAACCATCTTGAACGCCTCATCTTGAGCTCAACGGGGAGCAATTACACCCGATTATACGACACATTTCAGTACTATAGGTGAGTTCAGCCGGTCGAAGCCTGTCGTGGGACTCTGGCTGATCCTTTCAGTCAAGGCGTATTGTAGACCTATCGTGGCCAGCTTTGTATGCATACTGTGCGGACAGGCCCAGCATCCTGGATATCCCATCAAAAGAGGTTTGGAGCTGACCAACCGACGCTGACACTGCGGATGGCGGAAGCAGGCGATCACTAGTCGGTGAGTGCTTCTTCGTCCGGTAGCTCTAGACGCGAGCTGATGAGATACAGCGCTCAAAATTTCCAGGCTATAAGTTGCAGTCATGACCGCGCGAAATTTCCTGGGACAACCCTCCTCCACATACTCCACATTCCTCACCTCCTCCACTTCTTCGGATCAATCTCCACAAGCACTCACCAAGGTATATAAGACCCATGTTGCGGCTCTCTTCTCGCCTATCGCCCCTTCGTATGCTCGATATCAACACCTTCATTCGACCGAACAACACTTACCCCTTCGCATAATCGATAGCAAGCGCACATGACGGCCGACGAGAAGGCAAGCGGAGATGCGGGCAGCCCGTCCAAATCGCCACTGGGATCAGTCGAACTTGCATCAACTGGTGAGCGTCGCTCATTCAGGCCAGCGCGTTTGGGTCGGAGCGGTGTAGAAGAGTGGGAAGTCGAGAAGGCGCAGACACAAGGAGCTGAGGCGGTCACTTTCCCGGATGGAGGCCTGCGAGTGAGTATTCCGCTCTTGCACACTCGCCAATACGATAGCTAATGTACCAGGCATGGCTGGTCGTGGCCGGAGCATTCTGGACAGTCTTCTGCGGCTTTGGAATAGCAGCTGGAATCGGCGCGTTCCAAACGCTATATCGCACAACTTTCCTCGTCGCCTATTCTGAGAGTCAGATTTCATGGATCACTTCGTATGTCCCTCATCATATGTAGCCTGACCAGGACTTACGCTGACTATGAAAGTACTCAGGCCTTCTTTACTTTCGGTCTCGCATGTTTCACCGGCGCTTTATTCGACAAATACGGACATCGCCCGCTCATCGCCGCGGGAACCTTCTTCCTTGTGCTGGGCTTCTGCATGCTCAGTCTTTGCACCCAGTATTACCAGCTATTCCTGGTACATGCGACTCTGATAGCGTGGGGTTGCAATCTGCTGCACGTACTTTCATCTTCGGATTATCCGCGGGCGAGCTGATTTGGCTCAGGTTCATCTGCCCGATGGGCGTCCTGGGTCAATGGTTTCAGAAGCGGAGAGGGCTGGCATTGTGAGCATCTACTACCTCTTTTGTCTTGATCAAGAGATGGAGCTGACTTACTAGCGGTATTATGAGCTCTGGTAGCTCGGTCGGCTCAGTCGTCTGGCCGCTAGTACTGGCGAGCCTTCCCCCTCGTAGTAAGTTATTTCGCGCTCGCCTTCTTCGTAGATGATCTCACTGAACTCTCCTAGTTGGCTTTGGCTGGACTTGCCGCGTTATGGCTCTCATCGCACTCTTCTCTGGTGTTCTGTCGTTTTTCCTCCTCGAGACCCGTTTACCGCCGAAACCACCCGGCTCCTTCTTCTACCTCGAAGCTTTCCGCAATCTCGAGTACACCTGTGTCTGTGCCAACTATTGGGTGAGTATGATTGCAGAACCAGAATAGGATAGACTGAGAGCTGACTCTGCAGACATTCTCATTCGGCTTCTTCGCCATGCTCACCTTCATCGGGACGTACGGCCAATTACAGGGGTTCGGAAGCTTCGCTCCATATCTTCTCATCATCCAGAATGGCTCGTCGCTCATCGGCCGTATCGGCGCTGGTATCCTCGCGGACAAGATCGGAGTGTACAACACTGTCATCAGCGGCTGCACGATCATCACTATCATGTTCTGGGTCTGGCTGGCTTGCACGACCGTACCCGCCTGTATCGTCCTGGTCGTAATCATCGGCATATCCAGCGGGGCTTTCATCTCGCTACAAGGTCCGATGGCTACCATGACAGCAAAGGATATGAGGTACGGCGGGACTCTGGTTGGACAGGCTTTGTGTAAGCTAGATCTGCGTATCGTTACAGGCCTTCGCTGATGTTGCAGTCATCCAGTCTTTCTCCCAGCTCATCTGCGGTCCATTCTTTGGCGCGGTACTCGGTACTGGAAGTCCAGAGGATCGTCTGCGCCGCTTCCCTTACGCCATCGTTCTCGCCGCAAGTATGCTCGTCGTCTCGGTGGCGGTTCTGCTTCTCGCAAGGTGGAAGAAGGTTGGTTGGGAGCTTAGGGTCAAGACATGATCTATATGTATTTCTGGATCGACCATGCTCTGCTACTCTTCTCAGCGGCCTGTTACTGCACTGCAGTGCCCGTCGGGCATACGGCTGTCATTGCTGTCCCCACCGTAAGCATGGCAGCACGATCGGCTCTAGGATTACTCTGCTACCGTACAAATCTCGAGAGTAGATGGACCTCCACTTCTCCGCGTCTCTGTGAGCTGTGGGAATCCGCGGCCGGATATGTGGAGGACACATCCGCACTAAAATCAGTCCTTGTTTCTACCTTCCTTTGAGCACTATGACAGAAGCTAGTAGAGAAGTAACACCGGCCATTCCTTTGACTTGCACAGTACCTGGGTGTGGACAAGTGAGCGAGTCTACGAAGAGATTCACGCCAAAGTGTCCCATGTCTGACATGGCAGGTGTTCCGTCGGCGAGACTACCTCCTGCGTCATGAAGCTTCGCGTGGGTAGCCAGTGGCTAGTGAGAGGTCATGAGACTGATGTGGAGCTGATATGTAGATACCAACGTCCGGCCGTTTGAGTGTGATCTATGCGGAAAGGCCTTTGGCAGAACGTAGGATCTGCCTCTAGCTGGGCGCCATCAGCGGGCAGTGGGCTGACGGACCAGCGATGTCTTGACCCGACACAAGAAGAAGTGCTCAGGAAGCGAGGCTCCGGCTGGGTCGGCATCACCATTATCCCCTCGACGCAGAGCTCCCGTCTCGCTTCCATCTCAACCGAGGTCCGCACGCCCGACAACGGAAGTGACTAGCATCATCGCGTCCATGGGGGACATCGAGAGCCGGCTGCCGCTTATGCCTGTCACGAACGGGGGAGGTAGCAAGCGGAAGCGCAATCAGGTCGACGCTAGGGAGAGTGACGGAGACTCTCTCAGCGAGACGAGTGCGGAGAGTCTGATATTGCGAGAGAGGCTGGGTGGAGGAGGTCAACGAGGTGACCGAGGTGGAGAATCAGGGAGGTACAGCTCCACTGCGCCGGCAGAGACCTCACATACCGGGAGGAAAGGAGCGAGGCGGCTCCGGAGGATGCCCATCCTCGACGTCGACTTTCCCTCGGGCATTGATAAAGAGACGGCGGCAGCTGCTGCGACGCTGGCGGCGGTCGAGCTTCCTGCATCGGACGCGGCCAGATACTTCGCACCCGCCCAATCGCCTTTCCCGGGAGGCCAGATGGCTCAGCCGGGTCCGTCATACTCGCAAGTCTACAACGACGATCCCTATGATATGAGCTGGTTTCAAAATCAAGGGCGTCCCGGTTCGTCTTCAGTGAGTAGCTTCAGCTGGACACGAAGATAATTAGTGCTAAGGCACTAGAACGACATGCCTCCAGCTTCGAGTCTTGACAACTACCTCCCCGAAGCTTTCCTCGACTTCGAGGCATTCTTGGCGTCATCGTTCGGGGATAGTTTCGCAGCGCCCACCTCGTCCGATGCTCTCGGTATGCCCCTCACCGCTTCGACCGACAGTGGCCTCATAATTGGCGCAGCATCGACGGATCCGGGCGTTCCTCTAGCGGGTACATTCTCTGGGAGCGTCGGGCAGCCCTCGCTCACCAGCAGCATCTACCAGTGAGTACCAGTCCTCGCCCATCCCAGGTGATGTTTCGCTAATTGAGGCAGAGTCCCCGTCGAGCGCTTCAAAGCCTACTATCAGATGTCGCATTGGACGCTTCCGCCCCTAGATGCGCTCGCATCTTTCGCTGAGACAGCACGATTGGAAATATTACCGCACTTTGGATTTCTGCACCTGCCTACTTTCCGACTAGACATGCTGGCGACGTGTCTCGCGTTTACGCTCTGCACTATTGGAGCCGACCGTGCATCTCGGCAGAGCACCATCAGGAATGGCGGACAGACTGACGAGCACATGAGCTGGGTGTATGGGTCAATGGTGCGGAATGAAATGAGCATTATGATCATGAAGGTGAGCCCTGTAGGTAGCTGTGAGGACTTCAGGCTGACCGGTCAGTCTTTCTCGGTCACGAAACGCATGACGATGTCTGATTACAATCTTGCGCTCAACCAGAGCCTCTTACTGCTCCAAGCAACGGATATGCTCAGCCAGCATAGTCACGAGCGGATGCGTGCCTATATGTTTCGTACCACCATCATCAATGTACGTTATCCTCCCTGCATGATCCTTCGCCTCTTGGCTGGCTGACGTGCAGACTGCTCGTCAGCTTGAGTGCTTCAATCCCCGCTCCTCCCATTTCCGGCATGAGATCCGCTTCCCCATCCAGCCATGGACTTACGCCGAGCTCGACCTCCACTGGCGCCGCTGGATCCAGCTAGAAGTCCGCCGGCGCACCACGTACTTCATCTTCGTCTTCGATGTCCTCGCTACCCTGGAAACGAGCATCCCGTGCATCTGCTCGCCCGCCGAGGTCTGCTATGTCCCCTTGCCTGCGCCTGCTTCGCTGTGGTGCGCGGGAAGAGGCGAGCAATGGCTGTCGGCGGCGAGGGTCTTCACTCCCGTCTCGCTCGATCAGGTACTGCGAGTGCTGTTCACCTCGGATGCCAATCCTTCCACTGCGATCCCGTCTCGCCCGATCTCGAGATCGCTAGATCGGTTCGCCATGCACGTAGTCATCCTCACCCTTTTGCGAGGTGTGATTGAGATTGGAGAGGGCAGAAGGGAAAGAGGGGACTGGTACGATTTGACAGATTTGTGGCTGGACCGGAGTGAGGCGGAAGAGTGGATCTCGAGGTCCCTTGATGGGTCGGGGGATAGAGCAGCGGTCTTGGCGCTTTATGGAAGTGCTCTGCGTACGGTAAGCCAGACTGCTGTGCAGAGCTGTTGGAGGATAGTGGAGGTAGCTGACAACCATATAGTGGCAGAGATGGTGGGATGCTCTACCCTCCCGACCTTCGGAGAGCACTCTACCGTTCGTGCCGACCTTATGCGAGGGCGAGTCTATGCAGTCTGTTCTTACTTCCAAACTGACGAGTCAGATGCGCTTCCCATCTACCGGCTTGTCGAGTCGCTTATGGGCGTAATCGCTTCTTCTGCACCAAGCGATGTCCGACGGGCATTCGTGACACGCATCAACTTCGCGGAGATGCTCAACACAGCGAGGACCATACCGAGGGCGGCGTAGCAGACCATTGAGTCGGCCTCTTCTATGTGACGCACCTTGTGTCGGCCTCTTAGCTCATCAGACAGACCGAGCGCTTATGATCACACAATCGCACTGATAGGGGCCATGCTCCCCACGCCCGTACTTGGGCTAGCAGACTCTGACATCTATCAGCCGTACCAGCTCCGCCCGCTAATCGCTCAAGTCCGAGCCGATACGACACCGACCTTTCCATCTGAGAGCGATGCTTTGCAACTGACCGAGTGGCATGTTCTCTCCGATCGGCTCTGTCTCCATACGTCCGAGCTCGAGATGCGGAGGAATGAGGAGCGATTCAGGTTTCATTTGCTGTCTCAGTGCTCACATTGCTTCGCAACTGGCGGGACTGCTTGGAGCTCCAGCTTCACAGTGATTGCTACCAGAGCAAAGGCAGATCAAGTACGTATACTAGCTGGGATGACAACATGGCTTCGCTGGACTGACGGCGAGGTTGATCGATCTCCCCGTGACACCAGTCCTTGCACTTAAACAGACATCGAGTCAATGGAACGGATGAAGAATGGTAAGCCACGCAAGTTTCCAATTTAGTATACCTCTGTACATAGCGTCGCACTTTTAAACTTTAGGTCTGGATTACCCCGCTCCCTTTTGTGTCATCCCCTACTCCTTCCAGGCAGCATCCACCAATTCCTTCATTGACTTCGTCTTCATCTCGGTGAACCGCCTATTGAGGGATTCCTCCGCCTCGTCCGTCTTGACATCAAGCAGCCCCGAGGCAAACATGATACCAAACGCGGCAAACATGCTCCGGAGCATCGGCTTGGGCATGAACCGGTACATGCCCACGTGCCCCGGCAGCTCCGTCATCTCCCCCTTGCGCAGTGCTTCGACAGAGTCGTACGATACGGCGAACTTGGTGCCCTTGGCGCTCTCGACGAGGTGGAGGAGCTGGTTGAAGGTGACCTTGTCGCCGACGACGACCGAGGCGCGGGACCATGTACCGGCGGGTGCACCGACTAGACGAGCGACAAAGGCAGCGACGTCCGTACTGTGAGTGAGGGCGACAGGGGTGTTGCCGTCTCCGGGGATGGCAGCGACGTTGGAGGAGATATCGAGGAAGAGGGGCATGGGCTGGAGGTAGGACGGGACACGGGAATTGAGGAAGTAGTCGGCAAAGAAGCCAATGTTGATGGATGACCATTCGAGGGGAGAGTCCTCGAGTCGAGCGGCGACTTCCATCTTGCCTCGGCCCTTGGGGAAGATCTCGAGGATTCTGACAGTCAGCCCACATGACTCCTCGCCCGGAAAGAAACAATCCACTCACTCTTTGGTATACGCGATGCCCCACTGGGAAGGGATGAACCTCTTGGTGGCCTCCGACTTCTCCGCCGCGTCGATCAACATCATGTCTGGACCAGTACCGTCATATGAGTTGATGGTGGAGATGAGTGTGTCGATGTGGTTGGTCTCAAGAACGCGCGTGAGAGCGGCCACGTCGGTGTAGTCCACCGCGAGGATCTTGGCGCCGATTTGGGCTTCCTTCTCCGGTGTAGACTGCATTTCGTAAGCTGATGTCCTGGTAATACGGTGGATATGGTTCTTGACATACCTCGCGAGCGAGAACAAACACCTGGTGACCGCCCACAGCCTTGAGCGCGTCGAGGATAGACCGGCCGAGCTTGCCGGTACCTCCAGCGATAGCAATGACGGACATGATGTGATCGTTGAGAAGGATCTAGGTAGGAGTAGAGAGTATGGTATAAGCCGAGAGGGGATGGGGTGTGGACCGATAGACTATTGATTGCTGGTAGCAGTTAAGACTTAAGAGCTGAAAGATAGAAGATAAAGATTGAACTCGTTGAGCTAGATGGGTGTTCTCAACCTCTTCGGTCCTTGACAATATATATTCCTGGCCCCGCTGCGGAGGCCGAGACTGAGCACCTCAAAAGGGCTGTGTGCTTGGTCATCCTCTTGTCACCTCACAACGTAAACAAGTTAACTTATAGCTGCGAAGATGCGCTGAGCTGTAGAGCAGCTTGTAGAGCCCGAAGCTTGCTCAGCCAATGCTTCAGCGAACGCTAGGCTTCCGACGGAATGCCTGAGGAATGTTGACCATGCCGAGGCCGAGGCTCGGCCGATGCTGCCCGAGCTCCGAGGTGAAAATGATCCGACGGAACGGAAGGCGATGATGCCGATGATGAAGAAGTGCATGTGTCGAGGTGAGAGTCCGTTTGAAGCTGATTACCCTGCTGTACTAACCCCACCTGTGTGCCCAAGACTAGCTAGCTGCAGCTCTCTGAACTATGCGAGCTCCGGTCGAGTCGACAGATGTCACATTTTGCGCAGTACTTTGCCTAGATCGCTGTCGCAATCGCCGCCGTAGAACATCTCCGTGGCTCAGTGTCCTACGCTCAAACCCGCTATGACCTCCACCTTGCGCCACGCAGACCTCTCTTTCGACACCCAGGAAAGGTCTTCGGAGCTTAGCGTCGATCCTCTCGACCTCGCAGACGGGGATCGCTTGAGAAGGCGGTGGGTCTCGACCCCGATGTAGCGCATGACATCAAGTTTCGGGAGCTGCGCCTAGAGGCTACAGCCCAGGACGTCGCGCAACTGATGAGCCGATATTAGGTCTGTCCCGCCAAGCACATACAATCGGCCTTGATTCTTCACCTTGCACGCTGATGTCAACCGGGACCCGCCACGTGAGTAGGATCGCGGTCCGTCTCAGATCTGGAACGAGCCTCACTTGGAGCACGATCCGTCTGGGAGGGCTCTGACTGTACCAACACCTCTGGTAGGTAAGTTCTCATGGCGATCAGCCATTACTTCGCCAATAGTAACAGTGCCATCGGGATAATGATCGCCGACAACAATTAGCTGCTCGAGGCTAGCGCGCAAGGTAGGGTTCTAGAACGCATCCTTGGGATATATTCGCTCCGAGCGATCTGATGCAGGTCAAGACTCTGCTGCAAGTGCTCAGGACCGAGGCGCCAAGACCCTCAGACCATTGCAGGCTGTGGACCGCCTCCTCCTCAGACCTCGGATCATCTCGAAAGTCGCCGAGTGGCGGGCCCTCCAATGACGATGCCGCCCCATTAGTGGCTTGAAGCTGCAACTGTATTTTTGGGTCCATGTATAGCGATCGCGACTTCGACAGGCGGTGCACGGCGACCGCCGTCAAGACGTACAGCACTGCCAGTTAGATGTTCAGCCACTGTACCTGGATGGTGCTCGAGATATCCGAGCAGGATCAGGATGCTCATGCGGGGGCGACAAGTTTTCTGAGGGATCGGACTGGCCTGGCAGCTTGGGATCATCCGCTGATGGAGTCGACGGTCCGGATGCACCTCACGCTGTAGTCTGACGACGTCTTCAAGCGCAAGCCGGAGGTCTGCAATCGTCGCTTCGTACTTCTTGCAGATATGAAGGCAGTCGAGTGTGCATCAGTGCGATCATACCCAGCTCAGCTTTCACTGGTGGAGGGTGGCTTGTCAGTGTGAATATGAATCAGTAGTATCACCAGCGCCCTCCCTGATCTTGCTTACGTACGTTGCCTATCTGTACATTCTTGATTTGCCGAGCTGCGACTCTTTACTGGTTCTGGGCACCATAACCCCTCAGGCTTTCTGCAAATCCCCATTCTGTCTCGACGCTCTTCGAATCGGAGATTTTCACACCTTCTGAAGTGACGGTGGCCGTTTGGTACTATATAATCAGCGATATCCCAATGCGGAGTGGTATTCAAAAGACACACCTTGTTGATACTTCGCGCGTCACGGTAGAAGAGCACCTTCATACAGTCCGCCAATACCTTCTCCGCCTCCTCAGCGGTCAAAAGCGGCCCTTTGCCGTCGATGCCCGCCTTGTCCTCATACGCCTCGCGCAGCAAAGGAGTAGCAATGTGCGCACCGTAACCCGTTGCGAGGGTCGGTGCAGAGTAGGTGGTACCGAGCAGATCGACAAAGCCGAGGAAGCTGAATGTCAGCTATGCACGACGTGATCGTACGTATAGCGCACCTCTCGTTCTTCTTGTTGTCCCAGCCACCAACCAGCATGGCGTTCCAAAGGGGGTTCATCTTGCTCCGCCGAGCGTAGAAGAGGTTGGCGAGGAAATCGTATATGTGCTGAGGGGAGAGGGAGGGGTGAGAGTCGGTGAGAGAGAGGCCGTTCTCCTCGCGTCTGCAGCATCAGCCATTTCTCGACCGGTCCGGGCGGTGAGACTCACAATATCGAGTCCAGCTCCTTCTTCAGCCACTGGAAGTCCGACATGTCTCCTGACGCAGCGATAACAGTCTGCTTGCCGAGAGGATGTAAACGCTGGATGTCCCTGAATCGTGCGAGAGAGCCATAGGAAGCTGCAGAGTCAGACTCCCTTCCATACCGGTCATCTTGAGAGACCTACCCAAGTTGTCGGCTGCGAGCATGACACCTCCTTCATACTTGATACCGAGAACCGAAGTACCGGTCACAAGGGGTTGTCTGACTTATCAGCTGCCGGTTTGAAATATCTCGAGCGGCGGACTAGCGTACTGGGTATGGGTGATCGGTGCTGCCTTTGGCGCTTGTCTATAGCTTTGACCTGGGTTGAACATGTCAAACTGGGCGTGGGCGGGGAGGGGTTGACCCCAGGCTCCGGGATGCTATTTCTGTCAGCTTTATGTCCATCTAGGAGTGCTCAAGCTCGGTCCCGGGATGCGATGGAGAGCAATGGTGGGAAGAGGTTCACTTACATGGTTCATATTGCGGGTCTCGAGGGCGATCGGTACGTCTGGAAGATCTATGGGGACCGGGCAATCTCTATCTGGTTCCAGTGGATATCGAGCTATAGTACGCAGGTATGAGTGGTCCTAGAGTGAGAGTATGCGATGATGACGCTGTGGATAGAGGAGGATGAGTACGAGTCCGAGGAATGCAACGCCAACGACAGCGCCGACAGTGACGCGAGCGCGAGCCTATTACAGCCATGAATTAGGCGCGCCTACCATGACCTCCTCCGCATGAATGGTATTTTCGGATAGGCGCGCTACTACCTCCACTTTCTGAGCTCCATCGCTGCACCCGCGAGAAGAGAAGCACCAAGCGCTCCATCAAGGTGAATGTACGCAGCAGCTGTTGACAGCCCAGCTGATCGCTCTCTTAGCTCCCATTGGCACACGATGAGCTTCTATCCTCAACCAGCCCAGCAGTCGGAAAAGCGCATCATCCACCAATGTCCAGTCCGCGCCCCAGCCGGTCTTCTCGGCTACCTCGACAGCCTGCACACTATATCGACCGAGCAGGAAGACGCAATCGACAGGACAGAAGTGGAAAAGGTCGGATTCGATAACTATATGAAGGACAAGTATATCGCGCTTGATCAGGACAAGTGCTGGTTCGTGTATCAGACTTGTCTGGCCACGGGTGCGCGAAACGTCGTTGAGGTGAGCTCTACTCGGGATGAAAGTGCCGCCTCTGATGCTGGGATAGGCTGGGACGAGCTTCGGTGTCAGTACGATATACCTCTCGCTAGCCGTACAGCAGACGATCAAGCTGCGAGGAGGGGAGGGGCGAGTCATCGCGACAGAGAACGAGCCAGAGAAGGCCGCTCGTGCCCGGTCGACGTGGGCAGAGGCGGGCGAAGGTGTAGCTGACCTCATCGACCTAAGAGAAGGCGATCTGAGGGAGACGCTGAAGGATGGACTCGCAGATATTGATCTCCTGCTTCTGGACAGTGAGTATAGGCCAAGTCACAACGCTGATAGCAGTCTGGGCTCCGCTTGCTCTGCCCGCCCTGCGGCTTGTAGAGCCACACTTCAGACGCGGCGCAGTCGTTATCTGCGACAATTCGATATCGTCCGCGGATCGCTATGCAGACCTCCAAGCGTACATGCGGGACCCAAAGAACGGGTATGCCAACCTGACCGTCCCCTTCAAGAATGGCCTCGAGATGAGCGTGTATCTTGGCAGGTATGGAGGGACATAGTCAGCCGACTCTATATGCGTACTGTATCGCTGGTATCCCCAATATGTACTTCTCTTCATCTCAAGATTTTCCACTATATCTACATTGTCCGCTTCCTCTGCCTAAGCCTGGACGAAGAACTCCTTCAACGCCTTGTGCGGCCTCTCGTACCACGGCTCCTTCTTGGACTCGCTCGGGTGACATACGTCCAGCCCATCCTTCCCACCAAGCACCACGTTGTTGCAAACGTAGTTGATCTCCTTGGCGTCCTTCTTTCCGGGCTTGACGTTGAAGTCCTCGAAGCGGATCCCATTGCACGGGGCGGACTTGGCGCAGTCAAGCCAGACGACACGGTTGTCGGATGACGTGCCGGTGATGTTGGTCATGACGATGTCTTCCCACTTGAAGAGACTGGTGTCTCGACCTTCTCCCTGCCGCTCAATGAGGTACAAGAGGCTAGAATCAGCTCAGTCCCATAAGGAAAAGAGAGTACTCACTCGGTCTGTACAAAGACAGGTCGGAGGTTATCCTTCATCTCGACATTCTTGATACGGATGTTCTTGGTGTACCCAAGACCTCCACCGCCGCCGTTAGGAGGTGTGCCGATGGGGTAGCCGATCCAGGATTTGAAGTAGAGACCGTTCTGCTGCTGGTGCTGTCGGCTGGGGTAGAGCTTGATGTCCTCCATCTCGATGTCGACGAGCCAGTCGGTCCGGCCGGGGTACTGGGCGATAGAGCCGAAAGCGATACCCGTGCCGCCGTAGCATGTGACGTTGCGGGCGGTGATGGCGGACGAGTTGGGCTTGAGGGCGAGGCAGTCGTCACCTCCCTGGTAGATCATGCCATCTAAAGAGTGAGCTATGCCCTTGGGCTGCGAAGTGGCTAGCTTACCGAAAGTGACATTGTTGGAGACGTAGGTATCGCATCCATCGGTGTTTTGCAGCCAGGTAAGGGTGTGGTTTGCCGCTCCCGGGTCGTACTGAGTCGCATTGACGTAGTAGTTCTTGTATAGAACGTTCTCGCTGCGCACGACGATCGACGCCCAGAACTGCGGCTGGATGACGGACCAGTCTGTACATCAGCACAAGTCCCAGGCAGCAAGCAAATACCGACTGACTTTGCACGGTGACATTGGTCGAGTTGACGATAGCGAAACTCATGGGGCGGCCGTACTGCCTGATCAGCCCCGTCCGCTCTCCCTTAATTTAACAGACTCACCTTGTTCCCCTCCTCCTTAGCCCAGCTGTACCATACCTGCCCGTTCCCGTAGATACCACCACTTCCATGCCCGTCCAAGACGTAGTTGTCTCCGGTGATGACCCAGGCAAGAGCGAGGTTCTGGAAGTCGAGCGGGACCCGCTTGGCGACCCAATTGTCAATGTCGGTGGAGAAGGAGATGAAGCCGGACACCGAGAGAAGGGCATTGTGGAGCTCCATCTTGATAGGGGAGTTGATGGTGCTGGAGGGTCAGCTCGGCTCACGTCGACCCCGAAGAGGGTACTTACTAGTTGGCATCCGGAAGCCTGATGATACCCCCATTTCCACACTCCTCGACCGCCCTGATCAAATTATCGTCGTCAAAGCCCTCACCCTCCTTGACGGGGTGGAGGACACACCGCTTCCGGTGCCCGCCGGTCGTAGCGTCAAAGAACAACGGGTCAATCTCGAGGTACTCGCTCGACACATCCTGCGTGAGCGAGAGGACCTTGGAGACGGCCGAAATGGGGTCGAGGATGGTAGGGAAGGCGAGAGCGGTGCTGCTCAGCAGCGCAAGGGAAGCGAGGAGGCGCATGGTGGAAGGTGGAAGGGGCGGAGAAGGTGGATGAAAGGAAGAACAAGCAAGCTGCACCTGAGAGTTTTGCGAGCTTTCGCCCGACCGGACTTCGGAGTCCGGTTGACCGGCGATTTTCGGGCCGGAGCTGAATGTGGCGCGGGTATGTTCGATGAGAGTGGCACTGCACTGGTGGTGGCCTCGCGAGGCTCAGTCGCATGATGTGGAAGGGGTAAGTTGATGCATGTACTACGGCCGCTGACGACCAACCACACTACGATATTGTCCTACAATACTAATTATAATCGAATGTCAATCTTCAAACCCTCTGAATTGTCCTTCTCCTGCGCCAATGTCCCGCTCCGCTCTAGTTGTTACAGCACGCAGCGTCGACATTAGCAGGTACGAGCCCCTGCCACGCCGCACAACCGCCCTTGAGGTACGTGACCTCCTGACCGATCCGTTGCCATGTGCCGTGGCAGAGACCTTGGGCCTTGAGGAAGCAGGGCGTGCCGTTCGGCCGAGGGTTACCGGAGAAGGCAAAGACGACGCCGATGCAGATTTGTTCTGTGGATATCAGCAAGGATTCGGTCTTTTGTGCGGACATGCGAGATAGAAGGGGATGAGGGGATGTAGATCGGTGGAGGCGCCAGTAGAAGGGGAAGGAGAGGCGAAAGGATGACGAGAAACTCACTGTTGGTACTGATATAAGAGTTGCAGGCTGCAATGCAGCTCTCGCCGGACGGGACGCGAGGCCAGATAGGATTGTAAGGGCTGATATCATCTTGGGCTAACGTCCTGCCATCATCAGCTCAGATACACGACGAGAAGAGACATGACGTACCAGCCGGTGTACTTGGCATACCCTGTTCCAGCACTCTTGGGGCACTTTGGGTAGACTTTGCCGCTGATCTTGGGCCCTGGTACATCTGTGCACGATGTCCGACGGACGAGATCGACAGTCTCTTTGATGTCTTTGCGCGCGAGGTGTTTGGCGAGCGAGAACTGGCGGGCGGCGACGATGGACCGGATATGGGCTTGTTGGTCGTTGACTTCTGAGACTGTGGGGGTTGAGTGGGGGAGAGCAGAGACATACAGGATAGAGGCAAAGAGGATGAGGAGGAGGGGGCGGATCGAGAGCATTGTCGCAGAGTAGGACGTGGGTGAGTCGGTGATGACTGTACAGGGGAGAGAGGGGATGTGGCGAGGGTTCTGTGGAAGATGAAGTAGGGAAAAGGAAGGGGGAGATTGAGCTCAGCTTTATATCCAGCCCTCTTGACCGTCGAGGCGTCTCTCATCCTCCCTGCTCCGCTGGCTCCTTTGGCCCGCGGGCCATTCTCAGTGCCCCTGGTCCTTCAACGGACGTCTCAACGCGTTGTTGTGAGGCCGAGCGCTGCCCGGGCCGTCCAGCTCAGCCCTCGGCAGCTATATCCAAAGTCTGAAACGTATGCCTTTACACCTGTATACCCCCGGCTAAGCTCCGCTCCCTGATCTCCCAAGGCTCGATCCCGCCAGCAGCGCGTCTCAGTATGTCAACACGCGCGACTCCGGGAGGAAAGGTGGAGCAAGGGGCCTTTCGGTCGCGCTTGAAACGTCCGCGAGCTGGACGTGTGGAGGGAATCGATATATGCGGTGCCTGTGACGACGGAGGATCGACGTAATTCTCCGAGCGTCGATGCTGTGTGTCGAGCTCGGGCAGCGCCCGGGTTGGTCTGCCCTCTCGGCGATATCTGAAACATGAACACAGATCAGTCGAAACACAGTCGTGTGGATGAATGCCGTAAGGTTGCCTCTGGCGCCATCGCGCTGGTCTGAGCGCGCCTTGAGTCTGACGAGCAGCCAGGAGACCGTCTCGTGAGCGGACTCGCCAATGAGCGTATCAGTGCGAGGAGTTGATGATCTGACTGCCGCCAGGCCAGCCCAGTTGTCAGTCCACTTACAGCCATTCGAGCCTTGTCAAAGCTGTCACTGGCGTTGAAGGCTGTCCATACTTACACGATACCCGTGCAAAGCGTGCCACTCCACCTCCATCTATACTTCGCCGTAGCCACCCGACTTAAAGACGCCCTCTTCCTTCTTGACAAGCTCCTCGAGAGCCGCTAGCCAAGCCTCCAGCTTCTCCATAACGACGTCCTGCGGTTGACCGAGTTTGGGGTAGAATGTGGCGCGGTAAGGGCAGGCCTTCATTGCGAGCTACTCTTCAGCTATACAGTATACCTTCGGCGCTCCCAGACTTACGTAGAAGATTGGCTTGACCGCAAAGCCGTGGTACTTCTTCAAACTGCCCTCGTACCCCTTTGTGAAACTAGCGCTGAGCTCCTCTTTTGGGTTATTGACGTTCTCACGCAAACCCAAAGAGGTGAACTTGAGTCCACGGAGAAGCCAGAGGAGACCGGTCGTAGCCTTCTTGTCCTTGTCGGTCTTGAGCAGGGATTCGAGGGTGTCGCCGTCGGTAGGGTTGTGGAGGAGGTAGGCGCGGACTTTCTGCTCGCTTTAGCTCTGAATCTCGCCTCGATGACCTGATCAAAGAAAAGTGACACTGACAGCAATGTTGCCTGTCAAGTCGTTCTGGACGACCGAGAATGCTGGGTTGCCGAACAGGCCTACATGGTCAGTCTTCCTCCATCGACCGAGTCAGAAGAGCTCGGACGCACCGAAGATCTTGACCAAGTTCTCGGAGGCCTCGCAGAAATCGGCAGTATTGACGCCCTTTTCATCTACCTTGACGTCGGTAAAGGACTGTCTGATCAGTCTCTGTACGCTTGACCCGGCCGCGCACAGCGATGTCGTCTACCGTCATCTTGATCCGCCAAAGCGCCCTTCTGCTCTCTCGATCTCGCGCTTTGTCACCCGATATTTCGATATTTGAAGCTCACCTTGGTGATCGTCTCAAAGAACTGGGGTTCTGACATGTTGATAGGTGTGATATTGAGCTAGTGGGTGGGAGTAGTATAGCAAGAGACGCAGTCATAGAGCGTCGCGTCAATGGTAGACAGTGAATTACCACAAGAAGCAATTCCAAGCAAGGACGGCGATGTCCGCTGACGCGTTAGTCGCGCGCGTCAAAACAAATCAACCACCACTGCCAGTTTGACTGCCAGCCACAGCAACACCTTCTCTATTGCCCCTCATTCCTCTCTATCCAGACAGCAGTCAGCTTCAGCGCTAGAAGCCCATTAAGGCGCCATGTCCGACTTCATTCTACAGGAAGAGCTGCTTGCCCTGTCATCGGACATCTCATCTTACACCATTCCGTCAGAACTCGACATCCCTTCCCTCCCCGAAACAGAAATCGACCTACACCTCTCATCAGCTATCGACTCGGTCGTCAATGATCCCGACTCCCTCTCCCACTCCTCACCTACAACGTTCGACGTCTTCCGCTCTATCCTCAAATATGCGGACCACCCCTCGGTCAGCGCTGGCGTTCTCACAAAACTGCTCGATGCCATCGTTTCGGGGCTAGGGCATCACAGCATGGCGGTAATGGCGATAATCCATAACCAGGGCTTCGAGGCGGACATGGACGCTCCGATGGTCCATCGTCCACCATTGGAGATGTGGGCCTTCCTGCTGCAGTGGTTCGTCACGGCCGCTCAGCTCATCCACGGTCGAAGCGGCGATACGGCCGCGCCCGCTCGAGGGAAAGGTGCCAAGGCAAAGAAGGCGGCCGCTTCGTCCGCGGTGGCGACCTTCAGATGGCCGGACTACATCCCACTCGTCCTCACTACTTCCCAGCGCTGCCTGCAGCTCCCCACTTCCCGGCTATGGCGCACTTCGGTCGAAAAGGAATCCTTCGTATCGTGCTTCACCCGTCCAGCATACCAGCTATGCGAGACGGAGTCGCATCTCAAATCAGCCGAGATACGGACGGGTATCTACCGGGTCATCTGCCTGGCAGTCAAGTTCAGTGGACACGCTTTCGGAGCCCAAACTACCATCGTCCAGAACCTCACCTATTTTGAGCACCTCTCGGAACCCATGGCGGAACTGCTGGAGATGCTCGAGAAGGAGTTTGATTATGGACAGCTAGGCGAGGAGGTGTTGAGGGATGTCGCAGCCAAGACGAGCTTTGCCAAGGAGGATGTCAAGGGGCCGAGGAGCTTCTCCCGGTTCCTGGTCAAGATGGCAGAGGGGGGTGTGCGGGGTGTGCAGAAGCAAATGCCGCTGTTACTTGTGCAGCTGGACAATGAAGTGAGCACTGTTTCTTACAACTCTGGGTGTGCTAACTTTAGGCCCACCCAATGCGAATGGCCATCATCGAAATCATCGGTATCATGATCCGAGACGTATCCTCTTCGGACGAGGGGGACGAGGAGCAAAAGAAGAAGCAGATCAAGCGGTACTTTGAGCTGCTCATGGAGCGCTTCCTCGATCTCAACTCTTGGGTGCGGTGCAAGGTGCTGCAGACTCTCATCAAGCTATGCGAGTGAGTGGGTTTTACCTCAATTATCATCCTTGCTGATTGCAGTCTCCCCGCAAAGTTCCCCAAGCAACGAGCCCTCATCACCGACCTCACCATTCGGACACTCGAGGACAAGACCTCGTCGGCTCGTCGGTACGCCATTCAGCTCCTCTGCAAGCTGCTCGAGACGCACCCCTTCGGCGCCATGCACGGCGGGACGCTGAATCTGCCCGAATGGCAAGATCGGTACGATCAGGTATCGAAGGAGCTGGAGAAGGTGGACGCGGTCGAGCTGGAAATGGCCAAGCGGGACCTGGGCGTCCAGGATGAGGAGGCGGAAGAGGCCGAGGAGGCGGAGAAGCCAGAAGACGAGTCGATGGAGGGTACGCAGGAAACCAAGACGGAAGGAGATGAGGAGGAAGAGGTGACCCAGTCCACACCTCAGCCAAGAATCAAAAAGGCGCGCCCATCACTCGACGTCGCCTCTCTCGAGGCTGAGCGGGCGGCTCTCGACCCGGAACTCGTCCAACGGCTTCGGCTCACGAAAAAGTACTACGCCGACGCCCTGCAGTTCATGCACCAGGTTGAACGCGCCATCCCCCTCCTCTGCACCTTGCTTGTTAGTACGACCAAAACCGAGGTGCTCGAGTCCATCCGGTTCTTCCGGACGGCGTACGAGTACAATGTCCAAGGCGCCGAGATCGGCATCAAGAAGATGCTGCATCTGATCTGGACGAAGGATGTCAATGCGCCAACGGCGGTGACACCGGGAGATGCGGAGCAGGTGGATGAGCGGTCAGTCAAGGGGCAGCTGATCGAGACGTACAAGAGTCTGTACTTTGATGCGGTGGAGGGCTTGGCGGGGAAGCAGCAGGTCAGCCGGATCGCCAAGAATATGATTGAGTGAGTTGGCCGTTGCCAATCTGTTCAACGCAAGCTGACGTATCAGGCGGACATACGGTGCCACTCTCGCCGAATTGACCAGTCTCGAAGAGCTCATGCGGACCATGATGGCGGATGGGGGTGTACATGGAGACGTCATCAACAAGCTGTGGCAGGTGTACAGTGAGTGTGGCGATACAGCCCAAGAACTGGGCTAACTTGCAGGTACCGACCAGGAGATCCCAAAGCAGCAGCGGCAAGGAGCAGTCATCATCCTTGGCATGCTCGGCGCAGCGAAGCGGGAGGTGGTGACTGAGCGAGTCGAGAATCTACTGAAGATCGGTCTTGGGCCTTTCGGAATGGTAGGTCTCCACCTAGGGCAGTCGGGTATCCTTTCGCTGATGTCATAGAGCGACTTGGTGTTGGCCAGGTACACCTGTACCGCACTCCAGCGGCTTGGAGGTAGCGCCAAGAAGGTCAAGGGTGAGCTTGTTTGGACTGGCCTTTGTTCAGAAGCAGTAGCTGACAGACCAGGGTCACTGGCAGACAAGACCCTGCGGTTGCCGATGGACAATCCCATCTTCCTCAAACTGAAGGAGATTGTCGAGAATGCTCCAAAATCGCCCTACTGGTAAGTGTAGTCCCCCGTGTTGCGGGTTTCAGGGCTGATGACTAGGTTCGGTATGGCCGAGCAAGCCATCAACACCATCTACCTCCTTGGCGAGCAGCCCGACAGCCTCTGTGGGGAGCTCCTCAAGAACCTCACTGCGCGTGTCTTCTCCGTCCACCCCGCCCCAGCAGCGAATGGCGACGCCGCCATACCCTCCACTCCCAAAGCCGCGCCGACCGAACTTGAAGCGGAGACGCCTATGCCGCTTGTCTACGAGGAGACGCAAGGTACGCAAGCGGCTTCGCCAGTCAAGCCTCGCTCGAGTAACGGATCGGCTGCGCAGGATATGGTCGGATCGTTCACCCTCGCTCAGCTGGTGTTCGTGGTCGGGCATGTGGCCATCAAGCATATTGTATACCTAGAGCTGGTCGAGCGAGAGTTCAAACGCAGGAAGGATGAGAAAGCCAAGGGTAAGCTACGTTGTGCGCCGCGAATGGTGAGTATCCAAGCTTACTCAAGCAGAGACTGCCGCTGCAAAGGTGGCCGATAAGGACGGGAACGACCTCGACGCTGTAGCTGGGAACGCCGAGGACGATATTGGGGATCTCATCGCCAGCATCCGGGAGAAGGAGCTGTTGTACGGCGACAAGAGCCTGTTGGCGGTGTATGGGCCAATGATTGCGTCGATCTGCGCCAGTCCGAAGCGATACCGCGTCAGTCCACCGCCATCACATTATGACTCTTACTGATCAGGCAGTCTCCCGTCCTCCGACAAGCGGCAATCCTCGCCTTGACCAAGCTCATGTGCGTCAGCGTCCAGTTCTGCGAGCAGCACCTCGGCCTCCTCTTCAATCTGCTCGAGAAGAGCAAGGATGCGGTCGTACGGTCAAACATTGTCATCGCGCTGGGTGATCTCGCCGTCTGCTTTGGTAGTCTGATCGACGATGTGAGTTTACGCGGGCTGAAGACTTCAACCGCCAAGCTGACCTTTAGAACTCGGAACGCCTGTACCAAGGTCTCTCCGACCCGGATCTTACCGTCAAGAAGAACACTCTTATGGTCCTCACCCATCTCATTCTCAACGGGATGATCAAAGTCAAAGGCCAACTCGGCGAAATGGCGAAATGCCTCGAAGATCCCGATCCGCGCATCTCGGACTTGGCCCGCCTGTTCTTTACCGAGCTCAACACCAAGGACAATGCGCTGTACAATAATTTGCAGGACGTCATCAGTCATCTTAGTGTGGGGAGGTGGAAGGTCGACGAGGAGTGCTTTGAGCGGACGATGCGGTTCATCTTTACGTTCATCGAGAAGGTCAGTTCTGCTCCTCCCATCCCTGCTGTGCAAGAGAGTAAGCTGATTCATGTAGGAGAAGCAAGCCGAGTCGATCATCGAGAAGCTGTGTCTACGGTTCAAGCCGGCGTCTGATGAACGGCAGTGGAGGGATATTGCATTCTGCCTGTCACTCCTGCCCTTCAAGAGCGAGCGGAGTCTCAAGAAGCTTATCGATGGGTCAGTTGCCCGGCGTACCATTCGGTCGTCACAGCTGATCAGACAGATTGCCATTCTACCAGGATAAGCTGCACGAAGAGATGGTTTCCAAGCGGTTCTCGGAGATCTTGGCTAAGGTGAGCTGCACAATCCGCAGCGCTCGGCATGAGGTCAAGCAGCTTACACTTGTAGGCTAGGGCAAATAAGAGCTCGAGCAAGCCCGAGACGGAATTGAACGAGTTTGAAGCCGTAAGCTTTCGTGTTCCGATCTGAGTCTACCCAAAGCTGACAGGTGCAGATCCTCAATCAGCACCAAGCCAAGGGTCTGGAGGCCCAAGCGACCGAAGCCGACGTCCTCCGCAAGACGAAAGCGGCGAAACGGCGAGCAGCCAAACGGACGGAAGGCAAAGCAGCGGCCGCACCAGCGAAGCGGAAGGGTCGATCAAGGAAGGATGAGGAGGAAGAGGAAGAAGAGGAAGAAGAGGCGGTGGAGGAAGAGGAGAATGATGAGGATGCCGAGATTGCGCGTTTGAGGGGTGAGGAGGAAGAGATAGAGCGAGCGAGAGAAAAGCAGAGGGCGAGGGAGGAAGCGGGGACTAAGAAGAAGGCTGCTCCGCCGAAACGAGGTGAGTTGTTCCCTGTGCATCCTTGATTACGGCGATGAAGCTGACGCGATCAGGTGGGAGAAAGAAGGTCGTTGTGGACAGTGATGAGGACGAATGATCTGAGTAGGACGATGGCTTGTTGCACGAATAGATTCTGGGATATATGCTGCTCCTGTCTGGCTGCAGCGCGTCTTTCACTCTCGCCATCGCACCCCCCTGAAAGCTGGAAGGATCATGACGTTTCAGCGCACAAGCGCTGTTCCATGAGATATTTCATCCGCAGATCATCTACCCAGCCGCTGCTCTACCGCCCGCCACGCGCGCATAGCGCCCTCCCACTCTTCCCTCCCTATCCGCCCATCGCCCTCATACAGATCAAGCATCTCATTCCGGATATGTGGCGGTGACGGAACGAGCTTCCCAAGTTTGCGGAGAAAGGGAAGAGTGGATGTTCGGGCGAGGTGGAGAAGAGGTTTGAATAGGGATAGTAAAGGCAGAGGAGGCGGGTGATGACTGAGGGGGTCAGCTTTTGCACGCTGGGGAGAGAACTCCCAACCGTTAAGGCCAATAGGCTCACTAGATCTCCGATATCCTCAGAGTCCAGAAAGGATACCCTCCTAGCTCTGGCGCAGGTCGAGGAAGCCAGCTCTTCCATCCGACAGGCTCGACCAATGTGTGGACGATCAGCAGATCCGGATCCCGGCTGAAGTGCAGAGCGGCTGAACTCCATCAGCTACATATCCATACACTCGGTGTAGGTTGCTGGCTCACCTCGTACCCCTTCGTCTAGCATACTTGGCGTGATGTCTTCCGCACGTACCGAGGTCTTGACAAGGTTGTTTGTTACCGTGGCGACCACCTCGGATGCTGAAGGCGGGATGAGGTGAATCGTCAGCCGTCGAGTTTTGGACGCAGAATCAGTCGCCCCGGCATGATAGTCTGAGGATATCAGCACACCTTCAATGGCTTGTATGCGGAAAGCAGGGACGGACTGGACGAGGGGAAGACCGTCAGAGTCGTGACTTGATCTGTACCTCCAGAAGAGCCCTAGGATCGTCAGCTACTCTTCTCACTCATCACAGGTTATGACAGACATACCATGGCCTTGCCTACACGATCATCCACCTCATGCAGCTCCTCGCCAGGGGTGCCAAACCCAGAAGAGGTCCTCGGCTCAGATGCAGGCGGGGACAACGGGAGGTACAGCAATTCCGCCATAATCTCATCCTTGGCCGAAGCTAGCAGGCCTAGCTGTATCAACCTTGCTCCCGTCCTTTTCATCATTAATAGCAATACGTACCGCTCCGTTCATACACGCTGAGCTCCACCACGCCCTCCTCGGCTGCAAGCTCCACCAGGTTCAATACGCACTCGACCACCCTTGACTTCTCCTTGGCATTCCACGTTGTAGCCGAGGTCCGGCCCCTCGAAGTATGCCTTGGTCGACTGGGAGCGAGAATGACCATCCCGATATGCTTGGGCGGACTGCTAAGTTCTCTCCGCGCAGGAGAGCGGGTAGAGCTGGAGCTGGAAAGCTCATCGTGGTCGAGGTCCGTTTCTGGGTTGGTGAGGAGTTCATACGTCCTCAGGAAGAGCGAAGAGAGGGTGAAGAAGACATGCAGTAGTGTCAAGAACGGCAGCGCGGGTATGTCCCGAGCGCGTAGGCTGGGCGACATCCTGGTGACTGCCACTGAGAGCAGGAGTAGCAATGGGATGAGCTGAAAATCTGAAACCTTGAGTTCGACGTTCGACGTGGAGGTGATTGAGGAATGTGGCGCCAAGCAAGCAGCAATTCGCTGAGTCCTCAGCCGCCCAAGTAGACCTGGATGAGGAAGCTGACATAGGGATTCATCGTCCTTGTTATTTACACTCGCTACTCATCTACACATTCTACACATGATAGCACACCTAAAAAGCCCAAAGGTCTAACTTATATACAGATCGTAAACTCAATGATACCCTCGCACTAAACACCCTAGCCACCTAATCATCCGCCGCATTGTAGTCGAAGAGCCGCATGAGGTCCTGGACCGTCAAGCGACCCAGCCTGCCACCTGCTCCCTCTCCCATCGCACCGTCCGCCAATGCCGACTTCTTCTCTTGCAACGCCAGAATACGCTGCTCGACCGTACCGTTGATGATAAGTCGACGGATGTCGACGGGGCGGGTCTGGCCGATACGGTGTGCTCGGTCGGTTGCCTGATTCTCCGACGCGGCGTTCCAAGCAAGGTCGAGGGAGATGACCTAGCCGTCAGCTCGGTCGACAAGGGATGGGAAATTGAAACTTACCTTGCTAGCTGCAGTCAAGTTCAGACCGGCACCGCCCGCCTTCCGACTGATGAGCATGACGCGAGGCGAGTTCTCGTCCTTGACCTCCCCGGTGAACTCTCGGATGACGTCCAGTCGGTCGGATTGCCTCATACCGCCGTGGTAGATCCGGTTCTTGATGCCCTTGTTGTCGAGGAATACCTCAACGAGCTTGAGGTATGTGACGAACTCGGAGAAAATGATTACCTTGATGCCGTCTTCGGCGAGGTACTCGTCCAGGAGATCCCTGATATTGTCAGCTGAGTATCGATCGAGACATAGAAGACTTACCCCATAACCTTCATCTTGGTGCTGGGCAGGACATTGGTGATCTCGTCCATCTCTTCTTCCTCGACTGCACGCTCCTTCCCCTTCCCCTTCTTGTCCTTCTTTGATTTCGGCCTGGCAGCAAGGAACTCGTCATCCTCGTCGGCTTCGCCCAGCTAGTCCATCAGCCAGAGTTCCACTTGAGATAGACAGTCCTTCAACGAATAGAAATGATCTACTCACAGACTTGCGCTTGCCGGCGCGGACAACGCTGGACCCCTCATCCATACCCGCCTCAGGATCCTTGTCCACCTCGGGTTGAAAGAAAGCCGCCGCCGCATAGAGCTTGGTGCTCTCGATGACCTCGCGACAAAATGGACATTTTCGCGCGCCGCGTGCCGCCTGCTCGTCGGTGAGATCGCCGCCGGCAGTGGGAGGATTGGTGAACCACCCAGTGATACAGGTGAAACAGAACGAGTGTTTGCACTCGGTCAGCGTTTCGGTGGCGAAGGGTTCGAAGCAAATAGCGCAATCATCGTCCGTGTGCCCGCCATCGTCCGCTTGCTGGTCGCCCTTCTGGATCGATTCGTACCGCTCTCTAAGCTTATTCGAGACGGACAATACCCATTCGGGACCGAGCGTCGTTGCAGCCTTGAGAAAGTCCTCTCCGGCATTGACGACGGGGACGTTGAGCGAGAGCGTCAAGTCCTCGTCCGAGACCACAAAGTCTTCCGGGTGGGCGGGATCGCCGGGGTTGCGCCGGAGGAGCCAGGGGTGGCAAGTGAGTTGGCGGAGCCGCATCAACATGGTCAAGACGCAACTCATGTTTTTGAGGACGGTACCTGTCGGGGTCAGCTTTGAGCCCGCGACTGAGGCAGCCACAAGGATCAGATATTTCTGGATCCGAGACATGTGTAGCTGCCGTGATTATGTCTGTTGCGAAAGCATCCGCTTACCTTGCTTGAGGAAGTTCCCAAACTTGATCTTCATCCGGTGCTCTACCTGGTCGTAGATCGCCCGCTCCTCTGGCCCAAAGTCGAGCTCCACATGCGTGGTCTCCTTGGGCGGCAGGTTGAGCAGGCGCTGACCGTTGAGTTCCGATTCCTTGTGTCGGCGAATCATGCAGGTCTTGAGGATGGCCTATAGATCCTTCAGCTGAGCCCAATCATTCTGACGCTGCACTGACCTGGGTCCGGTTGGCGGCCAAGCGAGGAGCCTTCTTCACCCGGTCGGTGATATGCTTCTTGAAATCACTCCACTCTGATTGCGGACTGATGGAGAGGAAGCGGAGGTGGGGGAAGACATCGTCGAGGGAGTTGTTGACGATGGTACCGCTTAGACTCCATCGATAGATAGCATCGAGGTCTGCGACAGCCCGAGACGCTTGAGTGCTCTTGTTGCGGATGATGTGCGACTCGTCGAGCACGATCCTGAAGAAGCGGAAGCGGAAGCAAGGACCTGGCTGGTCAGTACAGTAGCGGTAATTCACGTACCCTTCTTCCGAGCGGGTGGGGGAGGCGCGTCATCCTCTTCGTCTGAATCGTTGGCGCCGCCCGGCAACGGGTAAAGGCGCTTCTTCTTCTTCTTGGTCTTGGGCTAAAGGTGATCAGCGGGAGTTCACGCGAGCTGTTCTGGTCAGACTTACCTCGGCAAAGTCAGAGATGAGCGTTCCATACGTAGTGAGGACGATGTCGAATTGCTTGAATTCCTTGGCAAGTTTGTACTTGGAAACCCCATGATGAATTCCGACCTTCAGCAAACCCTCGGTGGTCTTTGATTCGATCTCGCTCTTCCATCTGGGCAGTCAGCACAAGAGCTTGGCGACTTGGCAAGATCCTCACTGGTTGAGCACGGCCAGGGGTGCGACGATCAGCGTGGTCTTGACGCGAGGGTCGACGCTCTTGTTCTTGACGATGATGGCGATGGTCTGAACAGTCTGGATGGTCAGCCAGTAATGCAGAGCGTCTGACGGATATAGACCTACTTTGCCCAAACCCATCGCATCGCACAAAAGCCCTCCCTGGTACCTTCTATCCTTCTCCTTGTCGAGCATAAACGCCACGCCGAGGATCTGGTGCGGCATAAGAGTCACCAATAAGTCGGGCAATTTTGCGTCCATGTTGGCGAGACCGAGGGTCTGCAGGGCCTTGTCGACGTCTTGATCGTCGCTGAACGAGGCCAAAGAGTCTTGAAAGAACTCTTGCAGACTACATCATCAGCACGGTGAACGTCATGACATCCGGGGGCGCATCGACTTACCTCCCATTTGGTCGGTTCTGCTCTCCATAGCGATCCACCACATAGTCATCGAGCTCGTCGCCAGCGAGATGGGCGGGGACTGCGACGGTCTGACCGCCGGGGAGGGTGACGACGCTGGTTGCAGCGCCGACTGCGGATGTGGAGCCCAAGGCGGCTGTAGAGACGAGCGCGGCGTGCGCGGGAATGGGGGACGAGCCGATAGCGGGCTGAGATTGTTGCGGGCCAGCTGCGGCCAGAGCGAGCCGATAGGCCTGCGAGGCCTCGGAGAGACGCTTGTAGTAGTTGCGGCATATGGTGTTCTGGTTGGCAATCGCAGGGTATGCTGATGCTATCGAAAGTGGCGTGGCGGGGTAGGGGGTGGTCTCGGCGGCGCCGTTCATGCCCTTGAGGGCTGCGGTGAAGAGCCTGATATCGGCCTGGAGGGGCGTGCTACAGCATAAGCTTCCTGAAGCGACTCGCACGAGGTGTTTCGGCTTACCTAGAAACCGCTCCGGGCTGCCAAAGAGAGCAGACATCACCATACAACCTCGCAAATGCTTGGTTGCGGGCCGCGCGGAAGGTGTCGACCGCGTTGCGCAGTTGCTCGAGCCTGATCGCCTCGGCAGTCTTGGGTGTGGGAGGGCGATTGACAGCCAGACCCTGTTCCACCTTGGGCTGTATGACGGTCCGGTCTGAGATATCAGCTTCGTACATCGGCCTCCAGCAAAACACGACTCACTCTTCGTCAACCGGTCGAGCGCGTTGGCAGCGGGCGAGGAGGGCATGTGCCCGCCCACGCTGCTTCCCTGCGGTCGAGCCGAGCTGGAAAACGGGTCCGCCGCATCCTCGTCGTCCGAGAGCGAGAAGGGGTTGTCCCTATTGGTGGGCTTTTTGCGGTACTCCACGGGGATCTCGTCAGGTTGAAGGACTTCGACCTCGTCGTCCGCATCGAGCAGGGAGAGAACTGACTTGCCCTGAGAACCGCCGAGGAAGGGCTTGCTCTTGGTCCTACTCAGCGGCGAGGATGCCGGGAGGTTGTGCCTGCTTGTTGGCTGCAGAGCGTTCGAAGAACTCCCCCTGAGCAGCGAGGACGAGCTCGAACCTCCGAGACCGACTTTTCGGTCCATCGGGGCAGGCTTCGAGCTGCCGGCTTGGCTACTCGACGCCGAGGCGGCCGGTCGAGAGGCGGACGACGAGGACGAGGCGGTCCGGGACGGGCCGGCGGCGGCAGATGGACCCGGGGCTGGCTGCGCAGCCTGAGCTTGCGCGGCCGCAGCAACAGGAGCTCGGTTCAGTCCTGCCGGCTGATAGGTGACGCCAGTCTAGCCTGGTCAGTTCTTACTCTGGTCAAAACGGGCGAGATGACTCACGTTCGAGCACCGCTGGGTCCTGCCTCGGACGTGATCCGGGGTTTCGCAGTGAATCTATACATCAGCCGCGTTCATGTTAAACACGCAAAAGACATACCTGGTATTCCCAGAGTGAACCAAAGCCGTTCGTCTTGCCGCCATCCGCAAGATTGGGGTCTGCACCAAGGCGCACGTCCTGGTTAGTCAGCCAAGCTGTGCACGGGTAAAACTAAGATGAGACGTACAACCCAGCAGAAATCATCTAGGCCTGGATCATCAGCTACTTTCTCGCGGACGAGCTGCTGAGCAGAAGCAACTCACAAGTTGCGACACCAAAGCCATTCCCGCCAGCTGAAGGCTTCTTGACCGAGGCAAGCTCGACGATGAAGTTCAGGTCGTTGGGATGCTCCGCCGCGTGCTTTCTGAAAGCCTCGAGATAGTACGGCTCCAGCTTCTGCATCCCATTAGCCACGTGCTCTTCTTCGTTGCGCTCAACAGAATGAGATGCGGCGCCATGATGAAGCGGGACTCCGCTTTGTACGCGACCGTGCAAGCGCAAAGCAGTGATTATGACTTACTGCCGAAGGTCTCTCATCGATTTCGCGCGTCTTCCGGGCCGCCTCGACTATCTGACTTTCAGTGAGAGTAGCCATGGTATCCTATGATGATAGACGCTGGATATTTGGGTGTATGTGGGTATCGCCCGCGAGGGAAGGAAATTGGACGCGAAGAAGGGGTTTGAAGTGAAGGTTTCGCTCAATGTGTCGAGCATGTCAAGCCGGGCGGGTTCCCCGATCAAATGGGATCGCTGCGAATGGGATAGAAGGAGGTGTCTAAGATGAAAGAGGAAAGATGAAGTACAGAAGAGAAGGAAAGATGAGTGGAGTTGAGCGGAGTGGAGTCGGCGACGGAGCGCGTCCAAGACCAGTTTCGGCTAAATCCCCCGGAACCGACGCAAAAATCAAAGTCAGACGCGTCGAATCGCTACAAGTAGTAAGAAAGTGGAGGGTGTCAACAAGTACGTCATCTTCACCTCAGCGTGACAAGCGTGACAGTGAGGGTCGCCTCCGCATCTTGACTGTCAATCGCATGTATTCGCTGTCAGCCTGTCAGTTTGCAGCATCATAGTCGACCGTATATAGCCAACTTGGTTCATAAGGGACGTATTCTGATTCAGCTGACCCCGAATTGACGGCTTGGCTAAGTCTGGCCAAGCTAGCTCTGGGATGGGAGCCGGTGTGGCATGTCTCGAGCCCGTTCTTTCCGCGCAGGCCGTGAGACGTCCGAGCTACTTGAGGCGGTCGAGGCCCTTTCGCTTATGGAAGCCGCCGAGTCGAGGTGGTTGTCCGACCCAATGCCGTATCCGGTAGCTGCAAGGACGAGGTGGGCGACAAGACCCGCTGCGACTTGCGGTCGGTCCCCGCTGTTAACTTTTCCAGGGATCAGGATGGGCAAGACACTTTTCCGACTGCAGAGTGAGGATGCATTGGACTCGAAATGACCTCCTTATATATTCCAGCCTGACAACTTCCTACAGAGTGTAGGAAGTTCCTACGAGTTCCTACGAGTTCCTACGAGTTCCTACGAGTTCCTACGAGTTCCTACGAGTTCCTACGAGTTCCTACAGATCTTCCTACTAGTCCCTGAGATCTTCCTACAAGTCCCTACGAGTTCCTACACGCCATAGGAACTCCTACTGTGCTAGGACTTCCTATAGTCCATACACAGCCTACTTGGTCCATGGCTTCGACGCCCTCAGCGCGCCACATTGACCTGCCGCCACTGCCCTAAGCAGTACGGCATGGGATTTCGCCTACTCAGGCGTCGCACTCTCTGGATCTCCTACTCGACATAGGAGTTCCTACTCGCTACCGAGCTCGCCTCCGAACAGGGGTGCCTCCTCGCTACCTATTCGCCTCCCGCTTCAGAGAGCCTAGAATCTCAGATTCCTAACACCCGCGCCGATACTCTGAGAAGATCCCTCCCGCCTCCTCCGCTGACCCGCCGCTAACCTCTCTTGGTCGCCCTCCCTGACATTCTCGATGAACTCGCCTCTGGTCAAAGAGACGACGGACATGGCTCCGGACAGCTTGGCAATGCATCACTAATACCTACTTCTCTGAAGACGTAAAGCGAGCGACGATCGTGCCCCTGTACAAACGAAGCGACCCGACTGACCCAGGCAACTACCGCGGCATTACCCTTTGCAACCTCATCTACAGTCTGAATGCGTCGTGGCTGACTGACCGGCTCCAGGCCTACTTCTGGGATCTCGACCTCCTCCCCGACACGCAATTCGCCGTCAAGAAGGGATCACGCCCGTCCGACGTCACCACCTTCCTCAACGGATATCAGGCAATGGCGAACGAGTCCTTCGTCAACTCCAAAACCAGCCGCGCCGCCCCTCACATCGAAATCTTCGCAATCAAGCGCGATCAACGTAAAGGCTTTGACTTTCTCCATCACACCGCTTTCGAAGACATGGTCACTTTCAATGGCCTACCTCAAAGCCTAGCTGAGTACGAGCGGATCCGCACTGCTAACGTGATCCACCGGATCAACTATAAGGGCATCCTCTCGCCACCCGTTATCACCTCGTCCCTCAACAACCAAGGAGGATCGCTCAGTCCTCTTAAGTACGTGGCTGCTATGGCTATGTCCCATTACTACCTGCAGCACACGACCCCTCCCGAAGACATCCCGGTGCTCCGCACAAAACAGGGATTGCTAAATCAGTTTCACACTAGCAGCGACGCGCTGACCATCTCCACACCCCTCGTGTCTTTCGTGGACGACACCGTACTCATGTCGGCACGGCTGACAGGACTTCAGGGCATGCTGACCAAGCTCGAGAACTTCCAAACCGCGTATGGACTGGAGACTAATTGGGATCCCGGCAAGACCACAATGACAGTACTACGCTACCGCAAGTACAGCGGTGGAAGTCACGTACAAGACACGGCTCCCATCACGCTGGAGACCCCTCAAGGCCCGAAAACCTTTGTTCCCGAGCCTAGCTTCACCTTTTTGAATACTCAAATACCCCCCAATAAGTCGAGAGCCGAGGGCATGGTTCAGTTGATACACGCCTTCGCCATCCCGCGGCCGACGGGGCGGCGCATGACGCTTCCGGGAGTCGTGCGCATCCTCAACGTATCTCTGATAGGCAGGATTCGAGCCCAAGCTCAGCTTTTTCCCTTCGAGGCTGGTGAGGCCGAGCGCATGGACACCGCATTAACATGGAAGGTCAAACATTACTTTGGACTTCACTTCGCTCCCTCGAGCGCGATTCTCAGTCGCCCCGTCGGCCAGGGCGGTAGTGGTCTGGACAGCATCGCGCTCATCAATGCCAAAGCTGCTATCGGAAATCTCCACAGATCACTGAATATCGATCAGCCGATACAGAGTCGCATGGCCCGCATCGCTCTCGCAGGAGCACGGTGCGCAAATGGATGCGATCACAATAAGGCGGGCATGTCACTTTCGCCCCGATGGAGGTTTCACAAGATCGTTCAGGACTACTTGTCCATCACCGGAATGAGTGTATGGGCACGGCAGGAGACTTACAGCCATGCGCACGTGTCGCGATCCTCGCCCATCCCCATCACCAGACGCGCGCTGATGTACACGCTGGAGCCGGAACATGGCGGTGGACCTGTCAAGCGAGCGCTTCGCAACTTTGCCCGCGCAGGCATATCTGTCCCACTCGACCCCGCATTGATCCTGGGCATTGCCCAAATGAACAACGCTCAGTACCAGGCAGAAGAGCCAGATCTGACATCATGGGCTTCTGACGGAAGCTACATGGATGGACGCAGCCCCCTCCCACCCTCAAACGGGTTCGCAATCATTGGCCCGATCGCGATGGGTCTGACAATCGACTCTAAGACGTCCAGCATTCAAGACGCTGAGATATGCGGTATAGCGATGACCTTGCTGGCAGACCGACTGCTGAGACAGCGCTCCGAGCGTGCACCGCCTCGCTCAGTCCTGTATACTGATCACAAGCCCACCGCGGATTGGCTGAACTCAGCCAAGCGCGAGATGACCTCGGACACTTCTGCTCGTCACGCGCTCCGCTGGGCGGCGTCTCTCCTGGACGCGAACCCGAATATGACGGTAAACCATCAGAAAGCCCACACCGACGGCACCTCCATTGCGGCGAAGCTCAACAGGCAGGCTGACGCTGTCGCACGTCGAGCGGCTCAGACCAGGGCACTAACTGTGCAAGTCCCGCTAGAGTTCTATGACGAGTACTGTCTCATGACCAGTGGCGTAGTATCGCACGAGCACCCGCCCAAGCTCATCAGTCGACTATGGTGGCAGAATCTGAAGCTCTCCCCATCCGTACGAGGACGCCTGTATGGCACCACTCCCGCATCCCTATTGAGCACCTACGAAGCGGATCCCCGTCCAGCAAGGCTGTTCACCGGCACTACCTCTGGCGCCACCGCGCTCACCCAGCTAATGGCGAGGAGCGGCCAACTACCGACCCCGCAGCGCTTGCAAAGTCGCCACATGCCCACCTCGGGATGCTTACTGTGCAAAATGGCTCCTAGAAACGCCGACGAACATCACATATTCGTGACTTGCCCCGCGATCCAAGATCACATCAAGACTCACGCCGAGCAGTTTGCCACCCGCGTCTCTGACATCGTCAAGCACAGCGACGTCGCCCGCTACGCAGACCACTTCAAGCTCATGGTATCAGACGGTCCACATTGGCTGGATCTACGCTCCTGCTATTACCTCGGCCGCATACCCGAGCGCCTGCGGCTGAACAGTCCGCGCGATAACGATCATAGGACTGCAATGACGATCCTCGCATCACAGGCTTTGACCCTCGCAGCACACATATGGTCCATTCATAAGCAGACGCTGTGGGATAGCCGGAAGCTGTCTGCAGTACCGGCCCCATGAGATCAGGGTCCCCGCCCTGATCGCCATCCAATACCTCACGCCCTTCCCTCTACTCACTCCACACTCATCTCCACCTAGACGCCACACCTCTACTACACCTCATACAAATATCTCGGTGGATGAAATTGACGATGACCGGCAACGGTCATTCAGGGTTGAATGGCATAGCGAGAACCGAAAGGGAGGCGGCCTATCCCGATAGCGCCGCCGCAGCTATGCCCCCTGACAAGAATCAAGCAATGCTAGACTGGGCGGACTCGGGCGGCGGCCAGATCTCGGTTGGGTCGATCTCGGTACGCGTATCGTCCGCGACGCCGTCATCTGGAGTGGGAGGTTTGGCTGATGCTTGGGCGGGCTGGGATGACGCGGCCGTGCGGGTCTTGTCCTTGTCAGGGTGATCTACATCAATGACGCTCCTCGTTGGACATACCTTCTGACTTTGCCCCAACCCCACGATCGCTCCCCTTGTCCTCTTGGCTCACACGACCCCTAGCCACCACTGACTGTTTCCTCTCCGCCGAAGCCGACATCTCATCTGATCGATCTTTACCTGGTGCGTGTCAGCTATGGTTCTTTTCTACCTCAGCTGTAATCTCTGGTGGAACTCACCCCTCACCCCACTATCATCCCTTTCGACTCTTCTGCTGCTACTCCCGACATTGACCGCCGATACCGCAGACTCGGTCTTGACGCTGGGCTGCAAAGGAGATTGAGCGGATATGCGATGTGGTGCAGCCTCTGCAGGTAATGGAGTCACGCCGCGTATAGCTGCCTCCGATCGAGGTGGCACTGCCCCTGCAGGTCGAGCCGGCAAAGAGGCCGGAAGTGGGCGTGATGGACGGCTACCACTCGTGGGCGCTGACGCCGGGGCGGCCGCTGCGACTGACGCCGAAACGGGTCCCGGGCGAGCCTGGTCGGACCAGCGAAGAAGAGGAAGCGTAGTATTGTCCGTAGAAGCCGAGACGAGCTCGAACGCACTTGACGGAGGAGCTGGAGCCGCGTCACGTGTACCGGACCCGCTGTTCCAGCGCAGGGTGGGTAGGAGACGTGGTAAATTCGTAACTGTGGCTGATGGTGGATCGTCGAAGCCTAGGCGCATGGGTGGTGGTGTCGGTACGTTCATGGAAGGCGGAGCGGGGACATAGGGGACGTGCGTGGGATCATGAGGGTCGAGCGCTGGGACTGGCGCGTTATTGGCGGGTCTCCGTTGCTGACCTGGGTGGTGAGGGGGTCGAGGGTGCTGAGGGGGCATCTCGGTCGGGCTGTTCTGATGTGAGTTATGAGGTGAGGAAAATGAATCAAACATCACAGCGACCGCCCTTAAGCTTTCCCACCAAGGATCTGTGCGCAGTGTGGTGGTCAGGGGTGAGGTGTGTGTCCCAGGAACAGGGGTCAAAGGTCCTCAGATCCGAGTGCCGCACGATCCACCGTCCAGTTCATTTCCTCTTCAATGCAAGGTAAGGTACACTATGGCCTTCTTATATCACCCTCTATAGTCTCATCTCCTTCAGCACCGTCTTTGCCAATTGTTGATACGCCCACCCATCCCCTGAGATCCGCCTGAACTGTATCCCATGTAATGGCAACCATGGCACCTATCGATCAGATATATTCCCACCATTAAGCAGACTGGACATACCTTCACCACACTGATTTCAAACCTGACAATCATCTTCCCTCCTACCCCACCCCCAGCGGCTAGCGCCCACGCATCAACATCATCCTCCACTACCACCGGACTCCTCGCCGCTTGCTTCTCCGACGCGCCAATACCGAGATTCGCCATCTGGCCATTCAGCGGCGTGGCTGACTGGTCGCTCGCGCTGACAGTCCCGCTGGACCCACCGGACCGGAATCGAGACTCCCCGTTGACCGTTGGCGTTTGGCTCGGCGTAGTAGCTGGCGCCGGACTATTGCCCCGCGAGATGCCTTCATCCCCTAGCTGCTGCTTGCTCTTTTTCCGCCTGACGCTCGGTCTCCGCATAGTCCCCTTGGACGACGCCAAGCCCGTCCCCGTCGTTGATGGTAGGTCCAGCATGGCCTCGTCCGCCTGTACACTGCCCAGTACAATACTAGGTACGTGAACACACTCGAACCCGCCTCGGATCGGCCGGTACTTGATCCCGATCCGATTGAGGACGGCGGTGATGTCCTTGTTGAGCGTAGCGGCCGGTTTCGTGCTGGTAGTAGCGACACTGAAGAGGCCTTTGAGATAAACGGATTTGACCTGTTCGGGCTCCTCTTCGTCGGATTTGCCGGTAGCGCCGGTGGTAGGGCTGGGAGGGGTGATGGGTCCGGGCGTCCGAGTGCGAGCTGGAACCGCTGGAGTCTCGTCCATCTCCTTTTGGTCCGGCAACCACCCCACCTCGGGTGTCTTGGCCCCACTCTGCCCCTTGTTCTGGCTCGCCCGCCTCCCCAGTCTGCCCATGCTGTTGGATATGCTCCCGACTGACACCCTCCGCTCGTGCTTCTTCTCGTTCAGCGTCGCCCCGCGCGTGTCCAGCGGCATGCTCGGACTAGGCGACATCTCGCTCCGGCCCTCTTCCTCCACAGCCTTTCTCCCGCCTCGTCCGATAAACCCAAACTTCTTCCCTCCCGGACCCTCTTCCATCTGCATCAGACTCGGCTGGAGCGGTGTGGGCGGGTTGGACAGACTCGGCTGTCTCCGATGATGCGCGACAGGGACGTCGGCAATTTGGCTATTCTCCTCGTCCGCGCCAGGGTGCTGCATGACGGCGTTGGGGATATCGAGTGCGCGTTCGCGAGGCCCAGCACCACGCGGTGAACCAGGGGCGAAAGCTGACGAGCTGGGCGGGTCGTACCCCATCGTATGGGTCGTGGGAGGTACCGCCAGCGATGGCAGGGCCATACCGAATCCGCCTCCGTTTACCGGCTCGATACTGGTTTGACTCGACGCAAAGTGCCCCTTCCCATACACCCTCTCCCGCTCCATCTTTTCCCTCGCCAAAAAGTAGATTGATATGAGGGGGTCGAAAGCGCGCGTGGGGTCAAGCCGCTCCTTTTCCCTCACCACCGGCTCCTCCACCTTCTTCTCCTCCCTAAACAGCTTCTTCTTCAGGTCAAAGCCCGAGAATCGCTTCTTTTTGGGCGAGTCGCTGCTCTCCGACAGGTTCATCGAGCTCGAGCTGGCCCCGATGCCCGTTGGCGGCCCGCGTTTCCGGTTCCGCTTGGCCTCCCATGCAGAGACGGTGTGTAGGTACAACTCTGACGAGAGGATGGAGTGCAGCTCCTCGTAGATTTGCTCGGCGCCGCCAAAGGTGAATCCGCCCATCGCATTGATGACCTCCCAATCCAGCTCTTCCGCCCGAAGCGGTTCCCGCTGGATGAGATGGGACTCGGGCGGCCCATCATACCCCTTGACCATGAACGGGTGTTGGAGCACCTCGCCCAATGTCGCACGATCCGCCGGGTTCGTGACCAGCATCCGAGCCAAGAGGCTCTTACACTCGTTGGAGAGCCAAGCGGGGTACTCGACGAGACCGCGCTTGATCTTGGCGTGCAGGGCGGGCATGCTCTGGTCGTCGAACGGGACCTTGCCGCAGACAAGGACGTAGAGGACGATCCCGAATGACCAGACGTCGACTTCCGGTCCAGTATACACCTTTGCGTTGAGGAGTTCCGGTGCGGCAAAGTAGAGGGACCCGCAAAAGGTGGAGAGGTGTCGAGAGGGGGAGTAAAGGTTGGACAGGCCAAAATCAATGATTTTGATATTGCCATTCTTGGAAATGAGGATGTTCTCGATTTTGAGATCCCGATGGACGATAGAGTTACGATGGCAGTACTCGAGCGCACTGCCGATCTGACGAGCGAACTTTCGCGCCGCCCGTTCCCGTAGTCGACCGTGTGAGATGATGTAGTCGAGCATCTGCCCGCCGTCGATGAACTCCGTCACCATATAGTGATGGTTCGTATGGGTGATGAATTCGCGCATTCCGCAAATGTAGGGGTGGTGGAGCAGGAGAGATATGGCAGCCTCGCGGATGGTCCGAACCTCCTTCGAGTCCTCCTTTTGCCGCTGCTTCTCCGCCTCTTCCGCATTGCGGGGTTCCTCCCGCCGTGTCGCGTCGCTATATCGAGGAATGATTTTGACCGCACACTATCATCAGCTTTGTCTCGTTTAAAGCTCACCTTTTCTTTGGTATGTATATTGGTCGCCAGCTTGACCTTGCCCATACTCCCCGCTCCGAGCGTCTTTTGCAACTGCCAATCCCCAACCGTCCGCGTCCTGCTCCTTCCCTGTGCTGGATCCCGCGAAGAGCTCCCGTTCGTCGCAGCCGGAGCGCCATTCCGAGCGTTACTGCCAGACGCGGTCCTTCGATCCGAATCCCTAGCATCCGCATCATCTCTGGCGCCTTGACTGAGTCCGACCATCTTGCTGACGTGCGCAGCAGCTTCTTGGGTCACTCGTGGGGATTGCGAATAGGCTTGAGATGCGCTTGAAGGCGAATGAGGGTGGGAGTACCCTGTAGGTGGTGAGGGGTGTGAAGACGGGCCGGCATCGCCAGCGTGGGCAGTGGCCAGTGGGGATGGGGAGTAGGAGTGAGAGCCGACGCGTGAGTCGGTCGCTGACCGCTGGGGAGATCGAGAGGGACTGAAAGTCAGCCAAACTGCGCGATTGATTCCATATACAAGTCTAGGTCGGTGCGACGGCTCAGATGCCTCCGAATCCCATCATCCAGACGTCCCGGCGTCGTCCGATAGCGTCCTATCCAGCAAACGACCACCTTGCCCAACCCCCTGTCCGAGATCTCCAGGCAGCAAACTCACGTCCGCTTCCCATCCTTCCCCATGACATAATCCCACTCATATCCCGTCGTCACTGTCCCTCCATAGCTCGGCGTACTCTGACCCCCATTCGGCGCCAGCTCCTCCTGCACCGCCTGAAGATGCGCCGGTAAGGGATTGAAAGAGGTCATCCCGGTGGATGGTTCTTTGGTGAAGTTGGGCCCGTGTTGACAGGTCTGGGAGGTATGTGGAGCGGGCGAGTCCGGGTACGTCCGCTAGGTGTTGGTGAGGCGGAATGATGCTGTTTTGATGCGCCTCTCGGGTGGAGGATGAGGGTGGATAAATCGAAGGTTTAAGGTATGCCTCAATTCCCCAGCAATCCCCTCCAATCACCGATATTGCGCTCCGGACCCCGATTTGCTGTCCGTTCAGGCTGCCGCGGCCCCACGCCTACTTTGCGGGAAAGCAGGGGTGTCGGGTTTGCGGGTGAAACACAGGCGCAAAGACCGCAGGGGGTAGGGTGGTATAGTCCGCCGGTCCTTCAAGGAATGCGATGTTCCGAGATGATGAGGGATCCGGAAAGCAGCGGATGCCAACAGTGATATAGTAGCCGATACTCTGGTGGAGTGGGTGAGGTATGTGGTCTAGCGATGGACTAGTGTACCGAGCTATAAGCGCACATGCAGCTGTTGATGAAATAGAGTTCACAGCTCGAGCAGCTCCCGGCTGATTCAGGGTCTCATTCCGCTCCAACGGGACCCTCACGTCAGCGGCTCAGGGTGCGATTGGAATAGCAGCGGGCATCGCCGGTACCGCTATCTCGGCTCTCGGGGTAAGGAAACTCGCTCTCCGACGCCGCTAATGTGGTCGCAGCATACTGCAAGCTGATCGACCGCCAAGATTGACCGCAACGACGATGAGATGCATGCTGAAGTCAATCAAGCCTCATCGCCCCGAGCCCTTCGCTTCCCAGGTATCTTCTTCTCGGTCGCGGCGACTCCCACCTCCCTCGTCTGTGTGCCTATCGCCGCATGGGCAAGGAAGAAGCAGGCGGCATCGCCAGCTGTAGCAGCCACATGGGCCATCGCAGCCCGGATGGGCGAAGTAGGCTGGGAGGTTGGAGAGGTGGGTGAAGAGGTGGAGGAGTCGGGGACGGTGGGGATCGTCAGGCGGGCGGGAAAGTACCACTGAAGGGGCTTGTCCAAGGGCATCGTGGTGGTGGATGGGGAGTGATGTTGTAGGGTGTGATGACGTGATGATGCGATGGTGAAGAGTAGACGAAGTGAACCTACTACATGGGTGCGATTCGTTCTCACGCGGGAAAAGACCCAGGAAGGCTGAAAGGATGACTCACTACACGTATCACCATCACCATCCCTTCATGTCCTACTCGCTGCAGCTCCTCGACCTCCTTGAGTATGAGGGCTGCCCCCTCCAAGACACTCCACAATTTACGCTTATATCCCCAATATGGCTGCATCTCTCTCGAGTATCGCCCATCCCACAGCCTCCACCAACACCTCTCCTACCCAAACTCATATCCACACCATCACCACCGCAATGCCCACCATGACCTCTGACATCGCCCTCTACCCCCTCTCCTCTCTTCCCGCTTACTCCACGGAGCCATGCTCACCGCCCCCTTACACCCCTCACGCATCCATCATCCCCCTCGGCCCCAGCCTGTTCGACCTCGCCCCGACACCCGAATCTCCTACTCGCACTGATGATCCCCTCTTCCGGGCCGCTTTGCGCGAGTATCAAGCCACCCAAGATCCGCTCAACTGGGGCAAGCGCCTTACTCAACCCCAATACCGATCACACTGGCGCGAGGATGAGCAGCAGGGTGGGTGGTGGGGGTGGATATGGTACTGCGTGGAGTTGATGGCACCGGAAATTCCGGCGGGTCCGCATGGGCTGCCTGTGGGCGCTCTGGGCTTCCTGCCGCACATGTGAGATGTCTGGGGCGGACAATGTATCAGTCGACCTTGACAGTAGACGAGGGGGTCCGCATGTATTACCTTGCTTGTCTAGACTTGGTGATGAGGTCAATCGTTGCGTCAGTACCACACCGTACAATCCGACAGCCCGTTGCATGACTCATAACCCCTCTCGTCAAGCCGCTCCGACACACCTCATCTACGCCCTGACCCAACTCCGCCTCTTATCCTCCGCACCGCCCTGCCCCGCCCGCTTTGTATCATCCAGACTAATCTCCTCCATACCCTCGTCCACCCCCTTCTCCTCCGCGCCCGCCCCGACAAGCCTTATACCCGGCACCCCGCTCGCACTCCCTTGTCGCGCCATCTCCCTGTCTTGCTCCATCCCAAAGCTGACCGAGCTGCGTGCCGAGCTGCTCCCCGGCCCGCGCTGCATGCCCATACTCGGTACATCCGGGTTGAACATTTGCCGAGGGGACTGAATGGTAGGAGTGAACATGATGGGCGGCGAGCTGGCGCGGGAGTGGGAGGAAGAGAGGGACATGGAGCCCGACATGTGATTATCGAGTAGGCCAGCCTCGGAGGTGATGGACGTGGTGCTGGCTTGTCGATCCCGCGGATCCCGAATCAGGGAAGATGGCCGACTCCCGCCTGGACCGTTGACGCCAGGAAGTCCAGCAGAACGGATGACCTCCCGATCCCGTTCCTCATCGGGCGTCCACGATCGAGCAGAAGTGCTATCCACCGGACTGGCGATCGGGGGCGGTCGACGAAGACGGTTTGTAGCCGCCAGAACCGACGCATGGGGAGCGACATTGTCGTCTCGTCCCGAGGCCCGTGGGGTGTCATCGTAACTCGGGCTCGTGGGTCTCGACAGCGGACTAGGTGACCGCGTCCCATTACTTCCGCCAAGCAGATTCGGGCTCGCCCGCCGATGTTCCAGTCCCGCCATCGCCAGCTTCTCTTCATCTCTCTGCCTCGCCATTTCCCGGTCCGAGTATGGCGCATTCCCAAACTTCTCCGTCCTCCCTCCTTCCAGGTCGATATCCTCCATTTCGTCTTCCGGCTGCCGCTGACCAGCGCCCCGGCGGGCATTCCCGGTCATATCGAGGTTCATCACCCACCCGCCTCGCAGCCCGCTCGACTCGGCCTGATGGATCGCCGCCATCGCTTGGACATCTGCGCGGGTTGGCAAGTCCAACGACGTCGGAGCGGGCATTTGCGACCGCCGACGGTTGGCATTCTTATGTCTGGGCGGAGAGCGGACGGGGGGCGAGAGGAAGCCACGGTCGTCGGCGTGGGAAAGGGGGTGCTCGTTGGTCGGTAAGGGGGTGATGACACGAGCTGGGGATGGGGTATGGGGTCGACGAGGTGGCTGGTCCGGTGATGCAGGCGGGAGGAGGACGTCGTAGTCGCCTGGTGTGGGTGTGCCAGGTTGAGGTATTTGTGGAGACCCCAGCACTGCGAGTCAGCACAATCTCACCATGATGAAATGCGACTCACCTGGAATTTCCACCTGAGCAGAACTCGCGCCTAGTCCCATCCCAATTCCCAGCCCCACCCTATCCCCACCTTCCCTCCCTTTCCCCTTCCCTTCGTAGCTCTCCCCCTCCTCTTCGTACCCCGCCAACCTCCTCGCCTCCTTCAACCCCTTCTCGACCTCCTCCACATCCATCCCCATCCCCATCTGCTCCCACTGCCGCACGCTTCGATCCCACCACGCCTCGAGTACATTCCAGCCTCTGTACTCTCCGGCCAGGCGCATCCCCCTGCTTCCCTCCCCATAGCTCTGATTACCCGCATAAGAGGTATACCCCGCCTCTTCATCCTCATCCGAGCTGTGCGACTTGTCGGCTTCCCACCCCTCTCCCGACTCTAGCTCATCCACGAAGGAAGCGAGCCACTTGCCCCACCCGCCCTCCCCCTCTCCCTTCCACAAGACGCACTTGCGATCAAAGTCACGCCCGAACACTATCACCTGGCCCCAGCTCCCGCCCGGACCGGGGTCGAGGTCGATCCCGACGTAATTACCCGTCCGGTCCGAAAGGAGCGGTATCCATCCGCGACACGCGTACTGGCTCTTGATCCATGTAGGCGGCACCGACGCCATGGTAGCTAGTACAGCGGCATTCTGACCCGCCATAGGATCGTGTTCCGCCTGCCGCCAAAATGCCCATTCCCGCATGACCTCCTCTAGGGGTAAGAGGTGGAGACCATAGAAGAGACCGCCGTTGGAGAGCTGGTACGCCGACTCGAGGTCCTGCCCGTCCGCCACGAGGAAGGAGTCACGGACGGGCGGGGGAAGGGGACATCCCAGCTCCGCTTCGAACGACGCGAGAAGATCCGGGTCGACCGGCTCATTGAGCGTTTCCAGCAGCTCAGGGAAGGTCCCAGAGAGAGCTTCGCGAAGTCGATGGAAGGTGTTGCTAAGGGGAGGGAAGGCGGTCAGGGACGGTTGACTGATATCAGCTCAAGCTATCTCTGGACGAGGAATAACCCACTATGCAGATCCAGCTGCAGGATAGTTCGTATACACGCTCGTAGAGCCACGCCGACTCGGTCCGGGCGATGAAGATGCACTATCTCCTCCACCTCCAGGCTAGAGTATCAGCGAACGGCCGCTCCCATAACTGCAGCAATGGACATACCGCACTCGCCCCTGGACCAGCATACCTCGTCGTAGGCAGACTAAACGCGTCCATCGTGGTATTCATCACGCTCCGCCGCGCCTGGTGACGACTAGCAGTGGCTGCGGGCTGATTCCCCGTGAAGAAGTTGGTGAAGTTCTGGAAGAACGGCATTGTCAGAACCCCTTGACGGAGGGTGTTCCGGAAATTGGGGCAAGCGGTTTGAGATGTGTAATGGCGTCCTTTGGCGCTGTAAAGCTGGGGGAGGATGCGATTTCCTTGTGCTTAGCTTGGTTGGAGAGCTGCTGTTCGGTCCTCTGTTGGCGCCGCCGTGAGTCGGGCCTTGGTGGAAGGTCGGAATGGGGCACGAGGGGGACGTCCGCAAACAAGCCCGAATAGCCTCAATGCGCGGCGTAGAGGAAAGTCCGCGGATGTGGCTGGGGCGATACACAGAGGGAGGGGTCGGCGAGTGGGCGGAGCAGTTTATGATGTTTGGTGCAAAGAATGTAGAGCTGAAGATGTAGGAGCAAGCGAGAACCTGCTGCTTGCGGCTGCGAACGAGGCCCGAGCTCGAGAAGCTAGACGCGCCGCACGGATTATGCTAATCTAGGTTTTTGATACCGCCCACTCGAAGAATGACACGTCATGTTCAGCTCTGCAGTGAGCGTAAGGATGAGGTGATCATGCATTGATCATGCGCTTCACAGTAAGTATCTTGCCGCACCTGTTAATTGAATCGCGCGATGGCGGTAACGCTGCTGGAAGCGAAGGCGTGACATTAGGCGGCTCGTAGGATGAGTGGCATACGGGATAGCGCACCTATCCGGGCCTTAGCATGACTGGACGGTCCAACATATACGGAGCTGCTGCCCATATCTGCCGCCGAACCGAGGAGCTTACTTGTCTGCCCTGCTTCCTCGGGGTAAGCGCCTCATAGCAGTACACGCAGCCTCGCGTTCACTGCAGGGACATCCACACCACATTCCGCCACGTCTCGAGATCTGTCCGCCGTTTCAGATAATTTTTCCGATCTGTTACGAGACCCGGTTTCCAAAAGCGGTCTAACGAAAATAACCTTAACGCTTGGAGTCTCGATCCAGACTTCAGCCCTACTCAGTATGGGAGGGCAGGTAGAGGCTGCTCCAACTGCGTGCAGGGCTGATCGTAGCCTAGCGGAGCAAGGCGGAGCAGCTAGCGGAGCTCGTAAGCTCGGTGACAATATTGGGTCAGGCCCAGGATAACTGAATCAGGGCGGGAGGCACGAGGATCCCGGTTCTCGGCAACGTAACACGGGAGGTCGGTTGCCGAACCGTTGTGACTCTGGGAGATCGTTTTTTCCAGCTCGCTGCTTGACAGTCCAGTTTCAGCTTGCTCTATATCGTGTCTACTCCCCAACAGCAACACGCCTCATCACTGAGCTCGGAAGATCTGTATCAGCATACAAATACCAGAAATCAGACTTTGGAAGGCCCATCCTTCGACGTTCTTCTCCGAAAGCCAATCGACGATCAGGTCCCAACCTTATTGGCGCGTGTTCCACACAATCCAGACCAGGCACACACCCCTTGTTCTTTTCCCTTAGGACCAGCCCGGAATCTTCGGTAGCCCCCGCTCAAGAATTTGGTACGCTCTTACCAGCCACCGCATATGGTCCTGTGCTGACTCAAAGCTCCACAATGTCCCGCCACTCCCCCGTCATCTCCCTCAACTCGACCGAGTCCCTCTCCATCCCTCCTCGGGCCTCATCTCGGGTCGACTCGCCCCTTCACCCCGGAACAGAACGCCTGTACTCTCCCTCGCAATTATCGAGGCACTCCTATCCCTCCCACACCTCCCCCAAGCTGACTCGGGCTGAGTCGGACGGCGGCTCGGAAACATCCACTCAGACTCCTCCGTCCCCCTCCCACTCCCCCTCCCCCAATCCGGGCCACACTCGCAGGCGCAAGCCCGTCCCCGCTCTTCTGCCGATGCCGGGGCAAGACCTCCCCCTCGACCATCCATTCTCCACTGCAAGGCGGTCCCCAGGCGTCAACGGGATGAGAGTCACAGTGGACAGCTCGTCCATCCACAGCGGGGGCAGCGGGAGTGAGCTCAACACTCCCGGGTGGAGGGACGAGAAGGACCTCTTCTTCGGATCGCAGACGGTCTCGGGCGCAACGGCGCTCAGTCCCTCCCCCCGTCGTACACCAAAGCGGTCTTCTACCCCTGTCACCGCCGAGCCCGTCATGGCTCCCATCTCGCTCGAGAGCCCCGTCCACATGTCCCCGGTGCTGGACCACCGCCGAGGCACCTTCTCCGGCGGCCTCAATATCAATGTACCGGGTATGAACCCCGAAGCCTCCGCAAGTTCCATCACTACCGATGCCGCCACATCGGACGGGTATGAGACTGCCCAAACCACCCCGTCGGATCGAGAGACTACCCCTGTCGCCCCCCCTCGCTCGACAATCTCCCCCGCCATCAAGAGCGCATCTCCTTCACCCTATCACGCCCGGCCAGAACGGCCTCTCCCTCCATTGCCCGCCGACGCAAGCTCCGCATCTCTTGACATGGCCGATATCCTCGCTGGCGGACCCTCACAGGCGGACATTCGCACCCGCTCGGAGCGTGGGTCGCTCATATCTCCAGCCCCGGTGTCTGCTCCCGCCAACAAGAAGACGTACTCTGCGCTGGGCGGACTGAGCCTGGGCCGGAAGAACAAGATGAAGGAGCATCTGCACGGGGATGAGGACGAGGACGGCTTCTCAGTCAGTCGTATCCCCACCAAGCGGGCACTATGGGAGGCTGGGACCCACTTCGTCCGGGACGAGAATGGTGCCTTGGTGTACTTTGGCGACCTCTTCCCCAAATGGGATCGGGACAGCTCGGTTCCTCCTCTAGCGCACACCAAAGAAGAGTTTGCCTCAAACCGCGCCAAACCCTACGTACCACCCACGTCCGATCCCTCGGCGGTCGACCCAACCCGCCCACCACCGCGCACCGTCCTCTTCTTCATCCGTCATTTCTGGTGCGGCCAATGTCAGGACTACATGTTCGCCTCGGTCAGCCAGCTCGATCCCGAGGTACTGGCCAAAGACAATATTCGGGTCGTGATCATCTCGAACGGGAGCTGGAAGTTGATCAAGGCGTATCGGAAACTCACCAAGTGCTCTTTCCCGGTGTACGTGGATGGTCCGCGAAAGCTGTATGGACTCATGGGGTGAGTCCTACAGGGATCTGCAATTCGTACGTCTACCGAGCTGACACGGCAGCATGACCAAGCAGACTATGGATATGGGACCCTGGTTTAACGGCCGGGCCGCGTACAACCAGTCTTCCGTCCCCGGTCAGCTCATGAACAGTTTCATTGTGCGTTGCAAAGTGGTCTTTGGGTTTGGACGGCGCTGATCATCTCAGAGGGCTCCGGGAATGGGGCTGAACGCGTGGCCTGGAAAGTTCAGACAACTAGGCGGAGAATTTATCCTGGAACCTGGATTTGAATGCTCTTTCGCCCACCGGATGACCAATTATTCGAGTGAGTAAGCAGTGTCTCCAAGGAGCCAAGCTGACATTTAGATCACATGGAAGCTCCTGATATCCTGCGATTGGCAGGTTGTGCCGCTCCGACCAAGGAGGAGGTGCAGCAGAACAAGATAGCCGAGGCGGAGCAGCTTGAATTGGAGCGCCTACAGGCGGAGATGAGCAAGTGGCGCGTAGACAGGGAGGCCGAGCTGGAACGGTGAGTCCCTACATTGCTGTCGAGAGCCAGGCTGACCCGTCAGTATCCGGCGAAAGAAGGCCGAACGACGAGGGTTAAAGTACACGCCCATCTCGAACGTATCCCGTTTCGCACTCAACCTCGACGCTACCCCCGCCGTCGCTCCAGAAAGAAGAGAATCAAATGTGTCAGAAATGTCATTCATGACTGCCACGCCGGGCGCGCACGCCGGGCCTGCGGCCACGCAGGAGCTCGACGTCAGTCTGGATGATGTGGCGAGTGGGGAAGCTGGCGAGATGGAGGAGTTGGAAGAGGAGGTGGAAGTGGGGGAGACATTGAGCGAGGGGGAGCTGGATGAGCGATTCGAGAGGGCGATGAAGATTGAGGAGGAGGCCAAGGGGAGGTTCGAGCAGGGCAGGGCCGACACCGGTGTGATCTCAGCTTAGCTTAGCTAGTTTTAACAATCCTTCGTTCGATCTTAACATCAGTCGGGTTTGTATCTCCGGTGTGCACTTTCCGGGTAATAGGTTCATATACAACGACACTGCACCCACTTTCCGCCACTCAAACAAGATCACTTGGCTGCGGCCCTTGCCAGCTTCTTCTTCTCTTTCGCTGATCTGCGCTTCGCCCGGACCTCCTCCATCCTTTTCTGCTTTTTGGCGTTCCCGTCCGCCGGGATGGTCGTAGTGATGCCCTTGACATGCAGCGGGGCGTAGTGTATATGGGGGAGGAGAGCATCGGCCTTGGTCCGCTTGGTCTGGGCGGGAGGGGCTGGTTTTGGCATATCCGCGGATGTAGTAGCTGTAGCGGGGTCGAAGGGTAGCGTGGGGGCTGAAGTGACGGTGAGCGCCGAGGTGGGGAAGGGGAGAGTGAGGGAATGTCGCGGTGGATGTAGGATCGATTTGGGCAGGAGTTTGTGAAGAGTCTGCACTTGTGGATGGCTCGACTGTCGTGTCAGCTGCGACTCCCGGGCGAAAACTGTGTTGGGGCAACTCACCCTGACACCGAGACATGCGACCCTCCGCAGTCCGACCAACGCCGCCAACTCCTCCTCCACTTTGCCTAGAGGTACCACCCTAACCTCCTCCACCGGTCCGCCTGCGACCTCCTCCGCCTCCGAGGCCTTCAGCCGAGTCCGGGCGATCTTGGAGATATGCGTATGTTGATATACTAGCGTATTGTACGTGGCGCAGTAGGCGGGGATGGGAGAGACGAGCGAGGCTGGCGAGATGGATAAGAGGGGGATGATGATCCATTCGACAGGTGCAGGTGGTGAAGACGCCGAAGAGAAATCTGTCGGGGGATCAGACGTGGAAGTCGATGCGGCAGGAGCGGTATCAGGTGGGGGTCCCATAGCCGCGTCCTCTGCCGGTCCCTCAGCCTCCATATCCACCTCATCCTCCTCTTCCGACTCATCATCCTCCCGAGGAGGTGCAGTAGGCAGGAGCATCCGCGTCTCCTTCCCACCCTTCTGCTGATCCGCCAGCGCGTCCCCTATCCGGATGACACGCAGCCGAAGCGCGTCCGTTTGTGCCTCGAGCGACTTGATCACCTCGTTTATGCCGAGTACGAGGTGTGGGAGCATCGCTGGCTTGTCGGGACGGACAGAGGGGGTCTGAACGTTCGGTGGATGGGATACAGTGGGTTTTAGCTTCTTTGAGGCTGGCTCGTCGCTGTGCTCCGTTGGCGCCTGCTTCTTCGCCTTTCCATCTGCTGCAGTTTCCTCCTTGCTCGCTGCAGGTACTGCGCCCGCAGCATCTCCAACGCTCTCTTCTGCCACTGACGCCTTTACTCCCTCCGCGTCCTTGCTCGCCGCCTCCTTGACGTGGCTCTTGCGTCTCCGCTTCTCCGTCTGATGACATCTCGCTCGGTCGGTATGGTAAGCCGCGATATCGGACGGGACGAACGCGGGAAGATTGGCAAGTACCGTAGCTTGCAGATGCTTCGGTATGCTGGGCCTGAATCTCATTAGCTCTGGCGTGTACACTATATCGCATCGAGAGCGTGGCTCACCATGGCACGATTAGAGGATTCGCGAGAACAGCCTTCGTGATCGTCCTGCTTGCTCCTGCTTTGTCGGTTCCTGCCTGCTGCTGGTCCTTGGATTTTTTCGGCTGCCGTCTGTTGGAGGAACCTGCGACTGATGCAGGAGTCGACATAGCTGGCGCGTATAGCTGTAGATGTAAGGTGAGTAATGGAAGCTCCACCCGTCTTTGCAAGATCAAGCTGACTAACTTTAGGCGCGTTTCAGCAAGTGCCACACGTTTCAGATTTCGGCATTATCGCTCAACTTTTGGCTGGGCAGCGAAACTCCGAGTTCCGTGCGTCGGAATTTTGATCCCGCTGTGCTTCTGCGCCATCCAAATTGTTGCTCGCTGCGTGTGGCTGCTTCTGTATCCTTGCTCCTAACAAAAACAGCTACTCTTTAGCTATCCCCCTCCGATCAACCTCGTGACGGCCCTCATCTTGACGTGAGGCACCCCCACTGAGGCAGCACTAGTGCTATTCATATCCCGAAAACCGGTTCTCATCTTCGCAGTTCTTCCTTACCGAAACCTTCATCTAAGCCAAAATGGTCCGCGTATCTGTCCTCAACGATGCTTTGGTGAGTTGAGGTACAGGTCGGGGGGATGCGCAATGAGGCGGAGGAGTGGCTGGGTTAAGCAGGGAGGAGCGTATGCTGATCCCACCAGAACAACATCGTCAACGCTGAACGTCGTGGAAAGCGTCAGGTGCTCATCCGCCCTTCGTCCAAGGTCGTCGTTAAGGTGCTCTCCGTCATGCAGAAGCACGGTAAGTCAGCAATCGGACGACGGGACGGGTCAACTGGGATATGCGGAAGACGGAGACCGAGCAGAGCAGGCCAGACTGTGGGCGGAGGGAACGAGCAGATCAGGGGACACTTCGGGGAAAAGAAGGCGCGGGATGATGGACCAGGGCGGAGGCCGCGAAGGGAGACTTACATTGGCCCGAACACGGCGACATCCATCACCTTCATCACCTTACCCATACCCGGAGTATAACTGCCCCTCATCTCCATTCCTCACAGACGAGAGGCTTTAAGTCTTCCGGCAGAGCAGGAACTACTCCTCAACTCTCTTGGTCTTTGCGCGGTGGTCCATGTCCTCTGGCTCACGCCGGGGACAGTGGAGTATCAAGCTGATCGAGGGAGGACATCCATCCTCTCCCTTGCCATTCTCCATTTGGTCCCCGCATACCTAGCTTGGATATATGCTGATCCCCAGGCTACATCGGCGAGTTCGAGATCATCGACGACCACCGTGGTGGCAAGGTCGTCATTCAGCTCACCGGCCGATTGAACAAGACCGGCGTCATCTCCCCCCGGTTCAACGTCGCTGTTGACAGCATCGAGAACTGGGTCGCCCAGCTCCTCCCCGCCCGTTCGTTCGGCAAGATCATCCTCACCACCTCGGCCGGTATCATGGACCACGAGGAGGCCAGGCGGAAGCACGTGAGTTAGCCTCAACGAGATGTATTTGGTAGAGAGTTTCGCTGACGAGACAGACCGGTGGCAAGATCCTCGCGTACGTTTACTAGATTTTAGGAACGTTTTGGGATGCATCGGGTGAATCTGAGCGAGGGGTGTTTATGGCCTGCTGACGGCGACACTCCCCAATTCCTCGCGTCAAGCTCGGGGCAGATCGCTGAGCGGGTCACTAGTGACCACCGGCCCGTTCGTCTGGGAGTCACGGATCCGGATCAGGTCACAACGGAGCTGACTGGAGAGATGCTGAGGATAAAGGAGACCGGCTGGAGATTGGGAACTCCTTGACTTCAACGGCTGTCCTTCGTCCTTCGGGTCCTTTCGGATGAATCGAATACGGGGAGATGGCTATCAACCCTGAGTTCCCAATCATCCCTGTCTGACCCTTGCTCGTTGAAGGCAGTATTCTGTTCATCACACAATGGAGAAGTTTCTACCTACCCTGCGCTTATGCTTGCTGACAGCATACGTATTGGACTACAAAGCCAAAAGATGTAGTCACTGAGCCCCAAGAACTCTCTCAGTCCCACTGATCTAGTCTAGCTCCCCGCTTGACTAGCTTGACTGCCGGCCAGTCCCTCCCACTTTTTCCGCCCTCTGACCCCTGCTTAGCCCTCTCCCATCCAGGTGTACTGTTCATACCTACCTTCTTGTATCGCACCCTGGACGCAGACCGATTTGATTCAAGATGCTCATTGGTGCCACTTCCCTCACAGTCGCCCTGACTTTGCTCGTTCCGGTACTAGCCGCTCCGTGGCAGCGGGGGCACTGGCGACCCGCTGGAGCGCCTGCTCCAGCTCCAGCTGCTCCAGCACCCGCTCCAGCGGCCCCGGCTCCAGCTCCAGCTCCAGCCCCGGCTCCTGCTCCGGCAGCACCGGGCAATAACGCGCCCCAGCCCGCAGGCGGCGAGAGCCACAACGTCGAGGTAAATTCCCTCTCTTCTCTGCACCAATGCACGCAGTAAGCTAAAGAGCAGATCATCAACCGCTGCGGCGCCGGCAACCCCGTCTTTGTCGCTCAAGGCGCCGGCGAACGCGGTCCGGGACTCATCAACGGTCCCCTCCGGGGCGGGGTCGCCTACCTCTCAGGCTACAAAGACTGCGCCGCCAACGGTGTCAACTGCGCTACCGTCGAGTTTACGCTCGTCAACCCCGATGCGGGCGGGGCGCAGAACTCAATCAATTATTCGCTCCTGGATGGGATGGACAGGATCGCAAAGACTGGGCTGGGGAATCACAAGTAGTAAGCATGGCCTCTTCGTCTGAGCTCGGAGAGGAGTCCCAGTGCTGATGTGGTAGCAAGTATCCGATGTTCTTCGAATATACGGGTGGCGCGTGTACAGCCAAGGCGCCAGGGGCGTGTACAGGACAGAGCGCGGCGCAGTGCCCTGGTGCGTTCTTGGGCGACGCGACGGAGGTCGGGGCGCCTGTCAATTGTCTTGGTGCGAACGCTGGGGTAAGTCAAAGTGATAGGGGGACTTCAACTCTGAGATGACGCTGACCTGCAATAGATCCGGATTACCTTTTGCTGATACTTGCCTCGGTCCTGATCAAATCACATATACCGCCTCCGTCTTGTGACTAGTGAGCAGGAATGTATAGCCTATACGTCTAATGGCTTCAACGAGATGGAAAGCCATTCCCGGTCGGCTGGCTTTATTGGCATATGCGTCCACCCTTGGCAGTGGCCGGCGCCCGACCAAGCAGCGCACCTCCTTTCTTACTGTGACCCGCCACATTCCTGATGTTTCACCTCACCCATGTTCCCCTCACACCCCTGACCTGCTGAAACACGTCTCAGGTGCTTCAAATTCATGATCTCTTGTGATCTCAACGGATGATGATGCGTGTATGGAGTGCGATGTGGGACCGGTCTGGATGGCAATCTCCCCTGGTCTGGCTGAAAGGGTCATGTCAGGCGGTCAGGAGAGATGGCGGCTGGTACCTGTATCAGTGAATACTGAACACGTGTCAACCAAATCGCCAAGTCCGGGAACATGCTCAGTGCAAAGCATATATAGCTCACCCAACCCATGGCCCTCCTCGCCTTCGTCTCCAAATCGTCCTAGCTGCTGGTCAGCAACCTACAACGCTTGTGAGCCCCGCCTAGCTCGACCTACCGTCCGTCGAGATGTTCGCGTCTTTCTGTACATCACCTGCTCTACTGATCGCCCTCCTGGGTCTGAGCGGTCTGGCCCAAGCTCTACCACGGCCGCCTCCAGCCCCAGTCTCAGGCGTTGAGACGCACAAGATCACCGTAAGCCTCATCTAGCATCCCCTGATCCCCACAGCTGACACACCAGATGATCAACAAGTGCGGTACCGGCACGCCCAAGTTCCTCTCCCAGACAGCCAAATCCCAGGGGTCGGGCACCATCACCGGCCCCCTCCTCGGCGGTGTTGCCTGGCTCGACGGGTTCGGCGGGACATGCATGGAGAACGGGCTGCACTGCGGCTCGGTCGAGTTTACGCTCATCAATGGGGGCACGGACAGTCGGAACGCTATGTGCTCCATCAACTACTCGCTGTTCCCGGATAAGCACCCTTAGTGAGTCTGACCGCTGCTGCCTGTGATGGAAGCCCAGCTGATGCTCCGCAGCACGTACAAGATGCAGATCGAGTACGACGACCCGATATGTCCCCGCACCGGAGTGTGCTCTGGGGCTACACCCGCGCAGTGCCCTCATGCCTACATGGACCTGTCGAAGCCCGAGGGCGATCCCTCCAGGCCCGAGACGATGCCCTTGCAGTGCTTACAGGCGAACGTGGGAGTGAGTCGAGGCTGTCGAGGATTCCCGGCCGCCATGGATTCTGGGTGTGAGTGGATTTGGCTGATTTCACAGGTCACCATCACTTTCTGCTAAGTCCGTCGCCTCCAATCAACAACGAGTGAGGCTGGAAGGTTGTCTGTATAGTAGCGCTTGAAGTGTACTTGTATCTGTGCGATCTATACCATAGTGTCAATATATCAAGATTGAGTTGTGATCTGATGTCAATGCCTGGATCATCAAGAACACCAGTGCGCCCATTACCACCCACCTGGACGCGTACAGTCAGATCGACATCCTGACATCACGCCAGACAATGTCCGCCAAGATGCATAGTCCACCAACAAGATCCCACCTCATCATCTCCTTCTTAACTCCCCTTGTTCATCCCCAACCAGCTCATCACCCTCCCAAAGCTGGGCGACTTCGCATGTCTCCCCTCCCTTCCAGGCGACCCTGGCGACCCACTCGGCGTCTTGATATCCGTATCTATCCGCCCCATTGCCGGTCTCCCCGCCCACTCCCCTTCCAGCCCCCTGTGCAGTGAGAGCGGAAGGAACACCCTCGGCTGGCCCGCGATGATCGGAACAGTCAATCCGCCCTTTGAGTCCGTGGCGAACACGTGGCCCGAGATGATGTCGATGACGGGAATGAGGGGTCGATAGCCCGTCTGCGCGGGCGATATTTGGAGGACGACAGGTGCGGCGCGGGAGCCGTAGTTTGTCAGAATGGAGACGAGGGGGGACTTTGTAATGACCATGGCGTGCGGGTTGAGGCGGGCGGCACGCATCAGGGTGGAGAGATAGGTTGGGTGTCGGGAGGATGCGGTGCGGCGGGCGGTGTTGAGGCGGCGGTACAGGCTGTACAGCTCCTGGCGATGTCAGCTTGTGTGTCCTGCACGGTCGCACGAGCACGGCAGCATACCGTCTGCGTGTCAAAGCCGTGCTGCCAGATAGCTTCGCGATTGTAGGGGTCCTCCCCGCCCGTCATGCTCTGTGTCATCAGCCCAAGGCTTATACTGGTGATAGGTGTAATTGAACCTACGTGCTCTTGACCGCTGTACACAATAGGGAACCCGTCGGTCACAAACGGATACACTATCGCGTTTTTGACTAGCTAGATACGTCAGCCTCGGTTCCCGCTCCAAGCCGGCGAGTCTACTTGGGTACTCACGGCTGGATCGCCAGCTAGTCCAGCTAATCTAGGAAAGTCATGGTTGCTGTGATGATCAGCCCCCGCCCCATGAGCGTGACGTGCCACTCACTCGAGGAAAGATCCCAACAACGCTGGCGATGGGAGCAGCTTATGTATCTTGCCAACCATATCTACCAGATCTCCTATGTTTCCCGACGTGGTTTGGAACGCCCGTCGCAGGTGGAAGAAGGTCGCAAAGTCTAGCAGAGACGCCATCGACTGTTGCTGATACGGCGCGAGGTAGGCGGGGTCTACCGCATCAGTTCATTGCACCCCTAATCCCGAAGAAACATACCTCCATGCAGAACCTCGCCCATCGCTGGCACACCCGCCGCAGCGACAAAGTCTGGCCAAAAGTCTTTCCTGATATGCTTGACGGTATCGACCCGCAAGAAATCGATGTGAAAGTGGTTGACCATGGTGTTGACCCATGCGTGAAGCTGCTGAACGACCTTTGGGGACTCGGTATTCAGGTCAGGCATCTGTGCGGCTAGCCAGCCTGATGATTCAGCAGAGTATCATGAGTATGAGGGGACGGGCTCGACTGACATCTTTCGACTTCCAGCTGGTTCTCCCAGTCTGTAGGATAGCATCTGGGGTGAAAGTCCTCGGGACTCGTGAACGGTCCATAGTGTGGTCCGGGGAAGAAGCTCGCTTCAGACTCGGTACCGACATGATTGGCGACCTCTTCGTCAGTGTATGCACCAGCAGATCTAAGCTCCCACGATCCAGACCTACCACATCGACCATGAGGTACATGCCTCGCTCGTGCAGCGCCGCAGATAGGTCCAGCAGATCTCTCATCGTGCCGAAATGAGTGTTCAGCTCTGCAGCATCAGCACTGAGCAATATAGGCCTGCAATACCAGGTCATGATCAGCTCACTATACATATCCCCAGTCCAGTAGCCTGGTCAGGATCAGCATCGTCCACAAAGACCGCATGACGGCTCGTGCAGCTCACCATGATATGGCGCATCGTGCCCCGGCGTATGATCCATCTGCGCCACGATCGGACTTATCCAGACTACCCATCAGCCCTACTCTTCTTCTCCCCATCTTAGGTGCCCGGCTTACCCGTATCGAACCCCATCCCCTGGATATACTCTAATCTCCTTTCGATCCCTTTCCAACTCCCTCCGCAATACTGCTTCTGAGCCAGCTCGCATGGCGCGTAGACATCGTCCGCTCGGGCAAAGCGGTCCGTCAGGACTTGATATATCGACCGATGGCGGAGGTCGGGCTGGACGAGTGCCTGAGTGGGGGCTAGAGAGAAGAGGAGAAGCGCGAGGGTGAAATGTCCAGCTGAGGAGAGCATGACGAGCGGAGTCGCAAGTCGTGGTCCTCAGAACTAAAGATATTGCGTGACGAAGCGAGTGCCCGTTCTAATTGCTGCTAGGCGAGCCAGCACCGAGGATTGTGGCCTATGCGAGCATGAAGTAGGGATGCAAAGCGTGGTACACTGTGCCCTTGAAACATGCTTCTTGAGCTGTGCGCTTGAACTTTGGCACACCCGACGCGACTGATCTTGGCTTTGCCTCCTGAGCATACCCCGCAGTGGGGTATTCTGGGCATTCGACCTCGACTGTGCACTGTGGCAGCATCGCTTGCATAAGAGCTGATCACGAGGTGACAGCACGGCTGGGATCACCCAAAGACGGCGCTCATTCGTCATCCTCGTCCTCGTCTTCATCTCCCTTCTTTCCCTTTTTACCCTTCTTCGCCGCCGGCTTCTTCTCCTTGGGCGGGTTCATCACGTCACGGACTTTCCGCCACTCTTCTCTGATCCCTTCTTCCTGCTCCGCCCACTCATCATCTGGTATCGCCTGGATCCGGTAGAGTAGGCCGATCTCCTTGACCCAGATTGCCAGCTCCCCAACTTCGAGCGGGTTTTCGGCGGCAGGAGTTTCGAGGATGAGCGGTATCCCAGACATGACTGGGTCGCGCATGAGTTGTCTGAAGCCTGACAGGCCGATTTTACCGCTGTATCGTCAGCCCTCTCCTCACAGATTGCCAAAAGAGAAGTCTTACAGTCCGATGTTCTCGTGTAAATCCTTCTTCTCCCCCAAACCCATCTTGGAATCGTTCAGATGGATTCCCGCAAGATACCCATTCCCCACCTTCTCGTCAAACTCCTTCATAACGTTGGCGTAGCTCTCGGGTGTCCGAATGTCGTAGCCCGCTGCGAAGAGGTGACAGGTGTCGAGGCAGACTCGGACGCGTGACTTGTCCTCGACGAGCGCGATGATCGAGGCGAGATCATGGAATGTGGTTCCCACTATATTTGACCCAGCATTCGCCTATCGAGTCAGCTAATTGTGGAGTAGGGTCGAGCTATGACTTACCATGTTCTCAATGACGCAGACCACCTCCGGCACGTCCTTGTGCACCTTGTTGATGGCTTTCGCTATTGTCCCGTAGCTCTCTTCTTTCGTGCAGGCACCGACAGTTGATCCTGGGCTAGACAGATTAGCGCCAGCTTCGAGCGCGAGGGCAAGCAGACTCACTGCCAATTGTACAACTTCAAGCCCAATTGATGACAGCGGTAGATGTCGTCCTTGAAGCACTCATAGGCCTGGTCCCACTTGACCCTGCTCTATCAGCTGGACCCTCATGAGGGCGGTTCGCATGAGCTCACGGGTCGGGATTCCTGGAACGTCAGCGAGTTTCGCAGAGTTACAGAGCTGGACTGACCCAAGATTTATCAAGTAGCTACCATGTACTAAAATGGACTCTGGCCCATAACCCATACCTGACATGTCAGTCAGGTCGAAATGGCTCTGAGCTAGACAGGACTTGCCGCCTTGATCAACAGGTTTCATCAGATCCCTGAACCGCTCTACTGCCTCTGGCTCATACGGACTGCTCTTCCAAGTCCGCTGGCTCTTCAAGAAGAGGGCCAGCCCGTTTGCTCCCGCCTTCCCAGCTCTCAGCAGCGCCGCGGCTGGTCCGCCCGCCATCGATACGTGGGCACCGAGCAGCATTGGTCGCTGGGTGTTGAGACCAGCGTCTCCGACTCCGCCGTTTGGTGGGACACTGAGAGGAGCGAGCTGGAAGACCGGATGACCTTGCCGCTCCGGATGTGATGATGGCTCAAGACCCGGCGGAGGGAACATCTTCGCCTTGGGCACCTTCTTTGGCTTTGCTTCTGCCCCTTCCTCGTCCTTCGCTTTTGGCTTTGCCTTCGCCTTGGCCTTTGCTTTTGCCTTTTTGGGCTCCGCATCTTCCTGTACCTCCTCCTCCTCTGATAACTCCTCCTCCTTGGCAGCTGCTTTTGACGCTCGTCCGCCTTTGCTCGCCCGAGGCTTCTTCACCGCAGGCTCATCATCGCTCTCCTCCGCCTTGACCGCTGCGGCGCTCTTGGCAGCTCCTGCGGTCTTCGAAGCCCGACCTGGTCGGATAGGTGTACCAGATGTAGATGCGGTCACCTTCTCGGCCTTTACCTTGGGTGCGTCCGAGAGGTCGGAGGAAGCAGAGCGGTCGCGCTTCACGCTGGTCGATCCGACCGACTTTCGCGCCATGTTGATGCAGAAGGCCCTGGCTGGGATCGGACGAGCAGCAACGAAGGCAGATCTAAGGACGCGCGCGGTAGCTAGCGTTCGCTGTATGGTGAGTGACTCCTTGCGCTTGCTAGTGCGGCACAATGGGTAGAGACGCAAGATGGATACTCTTGCAGTGCAAAGTTGGCTGAGCGGAGATGATGACTGATGGCTGTGACGTAATGACGTCACTTGGTTGCGAGATGCTCCGCGAACTCCGATCTTGGGCATGTAGAGTCGCTCTTCATCTCACTCTTTACTTCGTATCATCAACAACACCCAAAGACACTCAGACGAACACCACACAGCATCCGCAATGTCAGCGCTCCTCCGCTCAGTCACAATTCCCGCTCGATCCATAGCTGGGCCGAGCCGCCTTCCCCTCCTCCGTCCCCTCTCATCCACCGCCACCCATCTCCGCAATCCCCAGAACTACGCCCGACCAGGTCCTCCTTCACTGCCACCCAAGGAACAGGCGGAGTTTGACGCGCTCGTCAAAGCCAACGAGACACATGGTGCTACCCCAGCCATCACCAAGCCGGCGAGCGAGATCGAGCATCGGGATATCAGGCGGGGACCCAGAGCAGAGTTCGATGGCGATATCAATCCCAAGACGGGGGAGCAGGGCGGACCTAAGGTGGATCCATTTAAGGCGGGAGATGGAGACTGGCAGTATGCGGGCAGAGTGACGGTGAGTTCAGCTCCACTTAGCTGGAAAATCAAAACTGAAACTCCAGGACTTTTAATCGCTGCCCAGATCTCACAATAGACCATGCATCGTTGGGTACGTTTCAGGTCAGAGAAGGCTAAATCCTATCTGCGTAACTCATAGTACCATTACTGACTGCGTTCTTGTATCATAAGCAGCTAATAGCCTACCGCATTTGCTATGAACATCCCAAATATCAGCGCTCCCGCCAGGTAAGCGCCCTGAAATAATTTTTGCGAATAATCCCCCTTCCTCTGTCTCCCCACAGGTTTCATCACCGCCAGCCACGCAGCTCCTGCCGCGGCGACCAGCAATCCCACGATCTCCCGCCCATCGCCGAACAGTGCATCTTCCGCTGCCCACACCGCCTGCTCTGCTCCAGATACCGCGCCGGCCAGCGCTGGTACCATCCTATCGCCAGCGCCGTCTACCACGTACCGGACAGGACCGGCGGCACTACTGACATAATCAAAGTCTTGATCGAGCTTGTACAGCAACAGCATGAAGAGGAGCGCGAGGAGGAAGTACTGGAATTTCTGAGACGGGTACTTCGGTTTGGTATAGACGCGGAAAGGCCAATCTCGGATGTAGTCGACTAATAGGGGAAGGCCAGCGATAATCAAGGCGATCATCATCCGCACAAGGCGATCGGAATCTCTCGGTCCGCTGAACTGCAACATGGGCTCATCGTCCTCGACGCGTACGGTCATGACAGGTTGCGGCATGGGTCCGAACATCCGTGATCCGCCACCGCCCACATTGATGGGTATGTCGGACCCCTGCGCGTGGATGTTATTGATGTGGATTCCGGATCCGGCTGATGGTATTTCTAATACAGCCGGGGGCGGCTCGCTGACGACCCATTTCGCCGCAGGACTCGATCGGGCGGTCCCGGGCGGCAAAACTATGCTCTTCTTCCTGGGCGAACGAGCTGCGGACGACATGAGCGCGAGGAGTGGGATCAAGACGAGCAATGCCAGCAAGAGCTTCTTCGGCGTCAAGTACGACTTTGCCAGGTCTTGTATGTCGCTGCCCGTGTCGCCGGAGCCTCGTGGTCGGCGACGCGTGGCGTCACCGGAGCCTGGGGTAGCAGGTGGGTCTTCAGTTCCATTTTGTCTCGCCGCCCGCGCCGCATCCCTCACTCTCTTCTTCTCTGCCGCCTCCTCGGCCTCGGCAGCCTTCTTTGCCTCCCTCTCCTCTCTTCGTTTCTTCGTGGCCTCCGCTTCCGCCGCCGCCTTCGCTGCCGCCTCCTCAGCCTTCTCTTTGTCCCGCTGCTCCCTCCGCTTCGCGTCCCTCTCCGCCGCCTTTTCTTCAGGTGTCTTCGGTTTACTTCCGGATCCCGTCTTTGCTTTAGCCTCAGCCTCTCTTACCGCCTTTTCTCGCTCCTTGAGCGCCGCCTTCTCTTCCTCCAGCTTTTCTCTGCTTTTCTTCACATCCGCTTTACTTTGGTCCACCCTCTCCTTCTCCTTCTCCATCGCTTTCCGCTCTGCATCCGCAGTATCTTTTGCCTTCTTGGCATCCCTCTCGTCCTTCCTCGCTTTCTCCTTGTCCTGCGCGAGTCTCGCCTTCTCCTCCTCTGCCCTCTTCTTGGCGTCGGCCTGCTTCTTTGTCTCCTCCCGGACGTTGGCCTTGTCAGCGTCATTTTTCTGCTTATCCTTCTCCACTTGCTTCTTCTCTCTGTCCACCTCACCCTTCGCCTTGGCCGCGTCCCCCTTCTCCTTTGCGGCCTCGCCATTTGCCTTCCCCGCTTCCCCCTTCGCAGTACTCGCGGCTTTTTTGTCCGACTCCGCCTTTGCCTGATCACCCTTCACCTTCTCCTTGTCCGCCCTCACCCTCTTCTGCTCTGCTTCTACCTTCTTCTTCTCCGCCTCCAGCTTGGCCTCCTCCCCTGTCTGTTTCCCCTTGTCCTTCTTGAGCTGCGCCTCCTGAGCAGCCAGCTCCCTCTCCTTCTTTTTGGCGTCCTTGTCTGATGACGCCGCGGCGGAATCGCTGCCATCTTTCTTCGGCTTGCCAGTAGCGGGGTCGACTACTTTGCCGGTTCTCGGATCGACCTTGGTAGTATCGCCAGCTCCCTTCTGCTCCTTCTTCGGCTTGCCCGTCGCCGGGTCGGCCTCCGTCCCCGCCATGGAACTGGCTTTCCCATCCTCTCCCTTCGCCTCCTTCTTAGGTTTACCAGTGGCCGGGTCGATCGATTTTCCCGTCTTCAGATCGATCGGCTCGCCCGTCTTGGGGTCAATTGGGAAAGGCTTGCCCGTTTTTGGGTCGATGAGATTTCCCTGCTTATCCTTCTTTGGCGGTGTGACAGGCTTGCCCGTCTCAGGATCGACCACCTTGCCTGACGAGTCTACTGATTTCCCGGTACTGGGATCCTTGGTAATGGGCTTCCCGGAGCTATCGAGGACATTGCCCTCCGAGTCCTTCTTGGCCGGCTTAAGAGGCTTGCCTGTCTCCGGATCGATTGGTCTCTTCGTCTTGGGATCTAACGGCTGACCGGTCTTCTTATCGATAGGGTAGGCCTTACCCGTGGCGGGGTCGATCAGGTTCCCCTGAGTATCCTTATAAGGCACCTCAGTCGGCTTGCCCGTCTGATAATCAATCACCTTGCCAGTCTTCTTGTCCACCGCCTGCCCGGTCTTCTCGTCGACAGGATACTCCTTCCCTGTCTTCGGATCAACAAGCTTCCCGTCTAGATTCTTGTATGGCTTATCGGTAGGTAAGCCAGTCTGTGGATCGATGGGTTCTCCACTCTTCTTGTCGATTGGCTGACCGGTCTTCTTGTCCAGAGGGTAAGGTTTATCGGTCTTGGGATCGACGAGTGCGCCAGAGGCATCAAGGTATGGCTTGGCGAACGGCTTGCCGGTGTCAGGATTTAGGGGAGTGTTAGTCTTGGGGTCAAGGGGAAGCCCTGAGACTGGGTCGATGGGGTATGGTTCGCCAGTCTTGGGGTTGAGGAGGTTCCCATCCTCGTCTTTCTTTGGCTTACTACTTGACTAGCTGATCAGCTCTGTGACCATGAAGTAGGTCCTGCTCGATTGGTCCAAGCTCGCCTTCTCATCTTTCTCACCCTTCTTCTCAGTCTTCTCCGACTTCCCGCTCTTACCGCCTTCAGACTCCTGTACGTATAAGCCAATATCTATATGACACAGCTTTCACCACTCACCTCGCTATCCCATCCCAGATTGAGCGCTAACAAGACGACCACTATCAAAATGACCGCCAAACCCAGTCCCGAAGAGTCGACATAGCGCAAGATGGGCAAACCCTTGGTCTGCCCGTCCACTGCCCCGGCTTCGCCCAACACCGCCCTATTCCCCATGATAGTGTTGTTCCGGATAGGTAGTACCCTTCCTATCGGTCGCGCCGCGCATACCTCCGGGTAGAGCTCACACCAGTGGGCACTAACCTCTGCGGGGTTGGGGTACATGCCTGGCCCAGCACCGACGATGACTTGCTGAGAGTTGCCTGGGCCGACGGCCGACTGGAGCCCGCCTGTAGGGTCGGGGGCGAGTGACTCGGCGGCATAGGGTATCCAGCTCTCGGGGTACTCTTCCTCCCACGGCTCCTCGACCTCGTCGTCCCAGTACTCATCGTTGATCTCGATATCACCATCCTCGCCCTCGCCATCATAGCTGTACGATACCTCCGGCTCGTCGCCCCAGTCATCGTACCTCCCTTGGCCGTCATCATAATCGTCAGGTGGGTAGACGTAGCCGTAATCGTCGCCCTCGTCGATGTAGCCGGGATCATGATATCCCGCCGCCATCCTAAGCGGGACAGTCCATGGATGAGTAATGTAGCGAGGACATTTGATGCTGACGATAACTTGCTAGGTACCCGGTCAAGGAGGCTCAGAGGGGTCATTCGACAAAGGATGCCCCAATATACAGGCTGGAAAGGAGATGACTCCGGTGTATCTATCCAAGGGAGATGTAGGTGACCGGCCCTCTCGAAGTCACTGATCAGGCTGATGATACAAAGTACATCTCGAGTACAAGACCTGACCACACTGACGTTCACCCTGGACCGGCTAGATGTCGAGTGGCCTTCTTGTCATCCGCAGGCACCGGCGCAGACGCCCGGGAGCTGACCATGTAGATCAAGCCGACGATCATTAGACAAAGAATGATAGTCGCCTCCTGCCAGTTCTCGAACCCGCCACTCTCTTCAACGCCTCCAATGCCTATAGCTGCGTCTTAGCCGAGAGTCAAGCCGAAAAGAAAGGGCGCTACTCACGCGGCTGGAGAAGGGGAGCCCTGACCGGTACTGCCACTTTCTTGACCACGACAGCAGGCTTGGACTCGGTCTTCTTCCTGACCACCCGCCTAACCACCTTGGGTCCACCTGTGTAATCAGACCGTCGCTCTTTCCGATACTATTTGAGTCACTCAGGCTCACCTTGTATGCTGACCTTTGTCGATCCCTTCTTTTTGCCACAAGCTGATTTCTGCCCACAGCCGCCACTCCCGGCCCCTCCTTGCTTATTCTGACCCATCATGGAAGCCATCTGTGCGGCCTGCATTTGCTGCGCTGCCATCTGCTGCTGCATCATCTGACTCATCATCATCATCTGCATGGTCTCCCCCATGTTGACTCCAGGCGCGGCGGGGGCCGCTGCAGGGGCAGCATGGGGCTGATTGGCCGCATACACCTGAACTTGGGGCCTATCTGATCAGCCCAGTCTCCAGGCACATCTGGGTCTCAGACTTATACTTACCCGGACGAGGAAGATCGCTCCCGCGGCGGTCTACGATCATCCTGATCCGAATACCTTGGGACGCGCTTTCGAGGCTTGTCGTACCAGTCTCCGCCCTCGCGCTCGTATCGATCATGACTTGAACGATCTGGACGCCTGTCTCTTCCTGAAGGTCCCTGCCATTCCTCATGTAACCCGTGATAGTTTGCCGGAGGTACATCGCGGTGGTGGACTGAGTAACCTCGCTCCGCGTGAAGGTCGTTCGGCTGTGGCGGCTGTCGTCCCCGGTACTGGTCGTGTGGCTGGATCTGTGGGGGTGGCCGGCGAGCGGACTGAGGGGGTTGGAGGTGCTGGTAGCCTTCATAAGGGTCTCTCACCTCCTGAAGAGGCTCGCCAGATGGGATCAGCTCCGGCACTGGCGCGTCGGGGTACCAGGTGCCGCCGCTGACCGCTTCCCCAGCCGGTGCAGGAGGTGCGATGTACGCACCCTGAGATTGCTCGAGCTGTTCGGTGCCTGCCAGAGGATACTCACCTGGCATCCCATATTCATGGGAAGGGTCCATTTGACCTTGCTGTGGGACTGGAGGCTCTTCTTGATCGAGCAGCGGGTCATGTGCGTGTTGAATATGCGGTTCGCCACCGGGTGGCGGAGCGTACGGGACTTGCGTGCTGTCCCATACTTCTTGGTCGTGCCCCTCATCAATCCTGTGGTGACCGGTCACAGGACCGCCCCACTCATCGTACTCCATCTCTGCCTGTTCTACAGGAACGGTCGGCTGACTAGACCAATATCAGCAACACGCAGGCAGCACGGGAATTTACTTACCCTGGGTAGGCTTCCGGAGGTCCTGATGACATTCTATGCTTGCACAGGTGAGGCAATGCTGCCAGACCCTGCAAGCACGGTGTCTTGCCTGCCCAGCCTATCTTACATGCTCCAGGTCCCAGGAGAAGGCCATCAAAGGACATATTTGGGTCGTGCGTGGGAGCTGGAGCGTAAAGGAGGGGAGCCTGATCGAAAAATTACACCTCTCAGAGATTTGCCGCAGCAGCAAAGCAGGCGTATGAGCAGCAGCGGCATATGTGAAGCTGATGCCGGAGTAGTACGCAAGGCCATATCACTGGTCTGCAGAGTACAGATGCATACAAATCCTCTTCACTCGGAGCTGTAGTTCGCTAACTTCACCATCGTCCGACGAGCTGTGGAGCCATGTGTGCTGGATACCCCTCCAGTGGTCCCCCAGGAAGAGAAGCATAAGGCACATCCGCCTTCCCCACAGAGAAACAGTACCGCCTATAGTCCGGCTTGGTGTATCTCCAGAACTTGGGCTGACCATAAGAATGTGCCCGCGGCGTGACGCTCGCCCAGCCAAAAAGTGGGGTCGGTCCGAAGCCCAGGTCATGAAGTGGCCGGGCCTGTGAGAGGGGATGGGGACGAGGGATGCCTGGACCCGGAGGGAGAGCAAACTGGGGTGGTAGGAAGGGCATAGAGGGGGGAAAAGGGTACTGGACATGATGTGGCATATGGCTTTGAAAATATGGAGGTGGCGGTGGCTGGCCGGGAGGAGGAATATTGGGTTGACGACGATACTCTTGCGGCATGTCCTGTGCGTTTACGGGGGTTTCCTCTCTGGGATGATGTATCGTTTGACCACAGTGAGCACACCAGTCAGTGTTGGGCTTGGAGTGAGGGTATTGAACACAGCAGGTCCGGGGCTTGCAAGTATGGATCGCTGCGCCACCATGATGAGTTCCCGGCCAGGAGCGCCGATAAGTAGAGGAGGGCTCAGATGTCCTTGATGTGGCTGAGGACATTGCTTGGGGTACAGTGGCTAGAGTCCTTCTGACTGTACCCCATCTGATATCAAGCTCTTTCGATGTACCCAGGCCATCGTATATAGGAGACCTCCTTTCACCCGCGAGATCAAAGGATTTCAGAGAGTTTCCAGGGGCAATTGCCAGGATTGGATGGCAAGCTGGCCCTCGACTTCTGACGAGCTGCAGATCGCCACTGGATTGGGGTGTACACGTACATCTTATATACAGGCAACACTGGCTAGATATGCTATTCTTACAATGACTTCTGACTTTCTTTCTCTTCTTCTGTCGATCCATCTCCCTCGTCTCCGCCAGTCGAGAGATGGAGATGGCGTGGATCACCAGTACGAACCCGACATGTAGTAGGGGTTCATCCACGCCGCGCCACCGTATCCCATGCCTCCGTACATTCCTCCGAGGCCGTAGTTGGGACCATAGCCATATCTGAAGCGGTTGAAGCCGCCGCCGTAGTAGTACGGATTTGAGTAGGCTGAGGCCATCAGAGGTCCGGCCCCGGTCATTGCAAGAGCTCCGTACATGGTTGCTAGTAGCATCAGCGTGTATCGCAGACTATGTATGGATTAGAGACTTACCTGAGTACTGATGACTGTTGGTCGAGGTAAGGCTTGAGCTAGGCAGATGGTATCTGAGAGCTGAAGGTTTCCAGGTAGATATTGGATTGAACAATTTCGCCCTCTCCAGACCAGTATTTATACCCTCGACCTGAGCATTCGGGTACCTTCCTTAACCGATCATGTGCCCTCTTGCGAGTTTCAATGTCAGACATCCTTTCAGCCCCGCTCATTTGCGTGGCTGTTAGATCCCCCATCCCACGCCCATCCTTTAATGGGAAAGGTGGTGCGTGTGAGAGCTCGGGAAAAGCGGCAGGGGCGATTGAGAGGGTGAAGGGCGGTCAAAGGACGACACCTCGTTTGGGTACAGGTGTTTCATCAGGGGTCAGGGGTGAAGGGAAAGCTGAGACTGGTACATATGCGTCATGAATTGGGGTGTATGATAGTGTCAGCGAAAGCAGTCGGTGTAGTGAAACGCACGATTCGAGCGAGTCTACCGCGAACTGATGAGCTTCACGCAAAGTCAGAGAAACCAGAGTGAAGACCGATGAGTGATGTCCTCGTCTACGTCCCGGCCAGCTCGGCGATGTGGGACTACAATCCCAGTGGGCTCAGCGGCGGTTGGACATCTGATCCTTCCGGTCGAAAAACATGTCCCAGGGGGTTGATGTGTGCTGCCGAGATACTAGGGACGGAATGTGAGTAGACGGCGACGTCTTGTCTTAGCATGGTAGTGGATCGACAGGCTCATAAGATCAGTCAATCAGGTCAGCTTTCTCTGGGAGGGATCAGCGGGAACGACAGTATCATTAGGCGTGGATGGACAATTGTCCACAGGCGATGCGGGTGCCGGGAGTGCGCAAGTCCCGGTGGCGCAGGGCGTCCATACCGCTCGGATACAGGTCGACAGTACCCAAGCAAATAAGGGCAACAACTTTGGCTTGATTGGCGCGACACTCAAAACTGCCGTTTCTTTCACTTCATCGTCAGTACCTCTCCACTTGTCGTGCTGACTCTCAGTTCCCAGAACTTCACCCTCGACGACGCCTCATCCGCCATCACCTACACCGGCTGGACCAGCACCACCGTCTCGTCCGCGCCCGTCGAGGCCATCCGGTCCGGCAAGTTCTGGCACGACACCATCTCTTATACCTCTTCATCCAACGCCGCCGCTTCCTTCACCTTCACCGGCCAGCTGCTGTATATCTTCGGATGTACGGGCCCCAGCTTTGGGACGTTCCAGCTCAGTATCGACGGATCAGCATGTGGCATCTACAACGCCACGTCAGCGGTGAATACGTATGGGACATTGCTATTTGTAGGGCAGGCGGGGGACGGGGAGCATAAGGTGGAGGTGAAGAATATGGAGGATGGCCGCTTGCTGGCGCTGGATTATTTCGTGGCTACGTCGTCAGGGTCAGGTGGGGGCGATTGGAGCAATACGCCAGCACCTGCTCCAGGACCCGCTCCGGCCCCCGCGCCAATACCCGCACCAGAACCCGCCCCCGCTCCATCACTGTATCCTGTCCCAAACCCAAGCCCGGTCAGTCCCGCACCGCCAGCAGTGTTCCCAGGCGGACAAGGTCAGACTTCTACCGGTACCGAAGGCGGTACATCTTCGTCCGTCATAGGCGGTATCCTAGGCGCTTTGTTCGGTGTGGTGAGTAGGTCTCATCCGGCCCCAAAGCTTCGCTGACAGCTTACCAGTTGCTCTTGTTCCTGCTGTGGCGGTACCGGCAGTTCCGGAAAGAAGGTGGCGAGGGAAGCTTCTTTGCTGCGCTGTGTGGGCCGTCAAAGGGGAAGCCGCAGACAGCGGGCACGGGGACGAATGACTTCAAGCTGTGGCCAATGGTCAGATTCCGACCAAAGTATGCGACTTGAAAGACCCGATAGCATGTATTAAACATCAGTAGGGTCAATGGTCAGAAAGCGTCAGAATCAAAGACCCAGAAAATACATAGATTGATACAGCTCCACTGATCTGATCTCGTGCCCTCTTCTCACAGTACCGCTCCCGAGGCGTCACAGTGATCCTACCCCTACACCCATCCCGCCTCTATCCCTCAAACTCTCCACGCTCCGCTCATCCCTCGTCCGTATACGCGGCGTGACATTGATAGCCTTGCCGGGGGATCTCGTCAGCTGAGGCGCATCTCGAGGTGATGAAGGGGGAATGAGCGATGTCGGACCGGTATGTCGACCTATATTTAATGCCCGCTTATTGGGTGGGATGGCTCGGGACTGAGATGGCTGGGATGTCGGAGCGGATGAGAGTGGACGGGAGGGGATGGTTTGTTGTGGTTGATGCCCTGGCTGGGATGCGGTGGATGTCGAGCTGGATTGCGGCGGAGGGACCGAGGACCGTTTCCGGAATACTCCGACCAGGTTCTTGAGCAATCTCCCATGTCCTGGTCCATGGGAGTGCGATCCTGACGGGGCGTCTGCGTCGTGCCCCGTCGCCCCCTCATCCTCATGCATCGCCTCATCACCATCCACCTCCTCTGGAACGTCCAGCTGGCCCATCTCAGAGCGTGGTATGGAGACACCCATCACCGTCCCGCCTAGCACATCTGGGGTGCTTGTCCCCCTGATCCCCGCATGCCGCCTATCCAGTACCGCCTCCGCCGGCCTTCCAGACCCCGCCAGGTTGGTCAGACTCGGGGCGCGACCGCTAAGCCGGGCTGAGCCCCGAATACTCGACCGTGACGAGGAAGGAATAGAGGATGAAGCGGGCGATATGGGCATATCCCGGGACGACGGTGAAGCCTCCATCTCTGCAGCTCGAGGTGCCTCGGAGCTGGATGCGATAGCCGATTCGAGCTGATATTGGGCTTGCTCCCCGGGGACCACCTCGACGTCGACAGGCTCCACCTCCATAGCCTGGGAACTCTTCCGCCGTCTTCCTCGCCGTATGACCTGCCCTCCTTCGATCTGCACCGCCACGCCCAATACCTCATCCACCGACTTTCGCCGCCTCCTGATCTGCTCCTCTTCCTCCGTGAGAGGTCCAGGCGGACTTCCGACCTGCGTATCATCCCCGTCCGGCGACCCCTCGATCATGTCCTCATCCTCTGCCTCTGCCTCGGCTTCTTCGCCTTCCATCGCTTCCTCGCTGCCTCCGTCTGATGCGGGCGGTTTCGAGACAGAACGTGGGAAGGCGCGGAAGGGAGGGACGGCGGGTGCGGGCGCTTGGGTGAAGCCGCCATGGGAACGGATGAGGGAGGTGTAGTAGCGTTGTAGTAGATCGGCGTTGCACTAAGCGAGTCAGCCTTAAGCTGCCCCCCATGCTATCCCGTCCACTCACACATAGATTCCACTGCGTCACCCTCAAGAACTCCCTCTCCAGCGCATTGAGCTCCCCCACCTTGATCCCCCCTACTTTGGCATAATGAGAGTTTGTGCAGAACACATCACACTGCGCCTTGCTCCCCGCGCATACGCCAGCGATGAGGAATCGATGAACTGTGAGGGTCGACAAGGTGAAGGTGGGGAGGTGGGCGCAGGTGAGGTCGATATAAGCTAAGAGAGATAGGAGCGGGATTTTCTCATAGATCAGCTCCTGCTCACATGTTGGGAATACGGCTAGCTTACCTCCATATTTGTATACTTGACTATCCGCCTGAGATACTCTATCACGCTGATCCCTGGCGCCGCTCGCGAGTGGAACCGAGTGAGAGCGTCCGGCGTGAGAACGACCTGATCATTGTGCTCAATGAGCAGATTGAGCATGTGCGAGATGAGGATGATGAGGTCGTCCGCTGAGCAGTCATTGAATGCCCATGGAATCTCCGGCTTTGGGGCCGAGGAGGAAGAGGAGGGGTCGGATGGAGGGGGTGAACGAGGGGACGTGGTTGATGGGCCGGGCTGGGACATGATGAGGCGTTTTTGTTATGGTGGGAGAGGTTCGATTTCTCTATAAGGAGTGCGTGGATGGGAAGATCGAGGTCGACCGTGGATCACATTGGATACCTGAGAGTCGACAGAGTGATATTTGAGAGGGGGATAGTCGACGGAGAGCTGAAGTTTTGGTCCAAGAAGCTGCACCCCAATGGATCCGCTTGGTCGGCTTTGGCTGGGCAAAAACGAGGGATTTCTTCGCCTATCGAGCTTATTATCCTTGCACTATCTGATGCGATAGCTTCACTGCGACTGACAGCTGTGATGTACAACGTGCTTGTATGACTGATAAGAGGAGATAGAGAGAACACCGCAATGCCCTTTGTCGCTGTCAGCAGTGGTGAGGTGATCGTCCAAGATAGCTCTCGAGATTCAGATTCAGATTCAGGGCACACGTGCGTCGACCAGTGACTACTGAACCACCTTAGGGCCATCGTCGATCCCTTGATTGGAGTCTCCATAGCTTCCCCACGTCTCAGAAGTCTGCTGAGGCATCTCTACATACGTCCTGTATCACATGCATGCTGGTCCTATGGCTGCTGGACGACTCTACTTTGGTGGCTCGTAAGGTGTGACGAGCATCTGCACCCATCAGCTCTAGCTCCCTCGCTTGGTCCGCCCAAAGGGGTCCGTCCGGACTCACCCTACTGAACTCCTTTATCTTCTCGACACCTCTCACCTCTTCCGTCAATAATGGCAATTGCACAATGTTGAACCCATCCTCGTACAGGTCAAACGCCTCCTTGAGGTATTTTTGCTGCATCTTGTGCCTGACCGTACATTGCTCGCAGTTGTTGGCTAGATGTCAGCTTGGGTCCCTATCGCGCGTCGTGCGGAATAGAGACAACAACTCACTAGCCTTGGGGAAGAGCAGCTGGTTGACCACGATGTTGTGGGTGTCGATACCGTACGTCGTCAATTCCTGGATCAACCGCTCGGTTTCGTACAGCGACAGGAACTCGGAGATGCAGACGCAGACGAATGTTGTCTTCTCCTGCACATTGTGAGCTTAGGATTCGCGCAGGATGCAGGACTCTTCAGCGACTTGCAGACTTACAGGATCTTTGAATTGAGTGTTCACCTCGGTGATGACCTCCTTCATTTGGTCCAGCTTGGCAAACATGTCCTCTTGAGGTGCCCCGCCGCCGAACATTGATTGCATCTGTGAGGTCAGCTACAGCTTTGTCCGACCACTACGCAGTACGGCGAGGCCCAACTCACCTGAGATATCATGGGTCCGAACCGGCCGCCAAGGGTACTCAGCTTCCCCAGAGCCTTCTCAAGCACTGAGGGGAAAGAGAGGAATCGCAAAGTGTGACCGGTTGGTGCTGTGTCAAAGACGATAACTGAGAACTCCATCGACTTGACGTGCCTGTCTATCAATGTGGTCCTTGTCAACCTCAGAGAGGAAGTCCCGACTTACTTCATGATCTCCGCGAAGCCCATAGCCTCGTCCACACCTGGAATGGCGAATGCCAAATCCTGCATCATAGATCCCATTCCACCGCTTTGGTCGGCTATGATAGATCAGCTACATTGAATCCCATGGAAGTCCAGTAAATAGCACTCACAGCTCTCGATCATCTCCTGCAGACTCCCATTTGGGTCAATCTCCATAGCGAACAGATTATCGAACCCGTTTACTTTCGTTGCGTCCTTCCCGAATTTCTGCGAAAAGGCGTCTGAAAGGTTGTGCGCGGGGTCAGTGGACTGAACATCAACATGCGGCTCCTGTCATGCCCCTCTGCGAGCGTGCGAGGAGGGAAGCTCACGATGAGAAGCACGGATTCTCTGCATGCTGCGAGCTGGACAGCTAAGGAGCAACTGGTGGTAGTCTTTCCGACACCTCCTTTTCCACCTGAGTTGATCAGCTGAGCTCTATAGCGACCTCCTGAAGGCCGGTGTCTCTTGTGTCGACTGCGCGAAAGAGCTGGGCGAGCTCAGCTGCAAGGGAGACAGGACGAGGTGACATACCGCAGAAGATCCATTTCAGCGATTTCTGGTCCAGTACATTCTGCAGCGTTGGGTCAAGTGCCTCAAAGTCGCTCATATTGTCTGGATGGTACAGAGTCGGCGTGTAGGCCGGCCCGGGATATAGCTATTGATTGGCAGCTGAGTCGGAATGTATTTGAGCGCTGAGCTGTTACGAGCTGGCGATCGAGGCGATCACGCTTGGTTCTTGCTTAGTTTGTCCGGGGGTTCGGATTGATTGGTCTAGCTCGTGCTAGACCTGGCGCTTGTAGATAGCTATAGATGCTGCTAGATGTTGATGGAAGTTGCAAGAAGATGCGCGCATCAACATGCCTTGCTGGCGATATCGTAGGTTCCCCGGCGATCGCCGCCATGATCTTCCGCTGCATCCTGGGTCTCATGCGCAAGTACTCGCTCCCCCCCTTCCTGCTCAGCGCCCGCCGCTCATGCCTTGCCCCGCCCGCTCCTCTTCCTAGGGCTCGCTTCGACAGACTCTACCCTCTTCACCGTCTCCACATCCACCTGGACAGCGGGCGAAGGGAGGGGCATAGTTGCTTGTCCGTGAGAGCGCTTGCGCTGCCCGGCGGCGTTGATGGGCAATTTCTGGGATCGGCCGATACCGAGGAAGTACGCCATTCTGCACATAGTCAGCCCAGACATTACACGATTGGGTAGCAGGACTATCGGGTATCGCGAAAAAGCTTGAAGCCTCTGATTCGGTGGGCCGGAATGGTCAGGGTGAGTGAAGAGGGACTCACCGGACTGCAAAGAGGAAGACTGTGATGGTGATGTTCCCATGCAGAGTCCCGGTCCACTTAGACGGACTCTTCAGGAAGGACATGGGTAGGGGTAAGAGGGTCATAGCGATACTATGGAAAACATCAGTAACAGATCTGTGTATATCCGTCAAGGTGGAACTGACTGCGAGAGCTATACATGATCAGCTAACGCCCCGCCAACACGGCCAATTGCGGGATGAGAACTTACATCTGCAATAGCCAAGGGGACCAATAGACCCCTGACCATCTTGGCCTGGACGACGGGGTTCCCACCCAAGTTGTTCTTGATCAACGGGAACATCGAAAGCGCCAGCATCGCCAGCAGGAGGAAGCCTGTATGGTCAGCTAGGCAACAGGCACCACTCAGTGCCGGATGAAGGACTCACATGAGCCCAGACCACCAATGGCCATCTGTCCCCGGCTCGTCGACCCCAGGATGCGTGTGACGGGCTCAATACCGGCTGGGAGGAGCGCCTCGGCGTATGCCTGAGGTGTGGCGATACAGAGGTAGGCGCCAATCAGTATAAGTGTCTGGCGTTAGTATGATGTCCTTCTTCAGAGCTGGAGGGAGTCTTCCATAAGGCCTCAACGGACCGTACCCCCAGTATCAGGAACACTGCTCGGCAAAGGGGGAACGTACCGGCTCAAAGAAAGCGAAGAAGATGTAGTAAAAGCGGGGGAGGGGATTGAGCGCCATTTTGTCAACGCTAGCCGAGTCTAAACGGTTCTGTACTTTGAGCGGATAGAGTATGGATGAGAGATGGGCGGTTCAGTCGGTCAGAGTTGGTGGTTGACCGGGAAGAAGATGTTCGGTGAGCTATAGTGAGACAGATCCAAAGCAGCTCCCTGTTGACATGACGTCAGTCTCCACATTCCTCATCTCGGTCTTCTCCGACGCGTCTTGGGGTTGCATGTGCTCCCCCACCTTGGCCCTGTCTGCTTGGGGAGCGACAGATAAGGCAAGAACAAGGGGTTCCGTCCGGTCATTGTCTTCTCCCTTCATACGCTGGCAGTATGAAGCTGCTCACCTTCCTCGTCGCTCTCCCGGCAGTTACCCTCGCCCTCCAGCCAAAAGCTGAATACCGCGACCTCCCCACGCTCCGAAAGCAGGATGAGCTCGAGAAGCGCTGGGTGCAGAAGCGCTATGACTTTATCCCTTCTGTGCTGAAGAAACAGTACGTCCTTCTCCTATCTATCAGCTGACGGGACAGTGGGTATGACGCCTGGATCCTATCCATGCGGGAGTACGCGGAAGACACAGCCTTCCGCTCGCTCGTCTCATCCACCACGACATTCTCCGCACGTCGCCGAACTCTATTCCTCTTCCACACGCACCCGGAAGTCGAGAACCCCCTCTATCTTATTGACAACACCGAAGACCTCTGGCACACCCTCAACAAGACACTGGAGCGCATCGACCCCAAGAAGATAGCTGTCAACGTAAGTTACCCCTCCCCCGCTCATGCTGATTCCGTAGATAGACGAAAACATGTCATTCTCAGACGGGTTGCACACGGGCGAGGGGCAGCTCTTACTCTCCAAGCTGGGTCCAAAGTGGGCGAGCCGGACCTCGAGCCACCGCGCGATCGGCGTGGAGGTGGTCGCTGCGCGAGTGGGCGGAGAGGAGCAGCTGGGGATGTACAAGCTCATGATGGAGAATGTGTGGGCGATGGTCGCGGAGGGGTTCTCGGAGAAGGTTGTGAAAGCGGGAGAGACGACAGCGGAGGATCTGGAATGGTGGTTTAGGGATGTGATGCGCTGGCGCGTGAGTCCGGGATGCTCGAACGTCAAAACGAAAAGGGGCTGATGTCAGATTGGGACGGGGACGTGGTTCCCTCCTTCGGTAAGTATCTATCGGTCACCGTCTGAGCCATCTGTATCGGAGCATCCGGCGATGAGGGAAGGAGGTAAGATAAGCTGTGCTCTCTGGATGCTCCATAGCTGATACACATAGATATGCTCCACGTCGACATCGGGATCACGGCCATGAACATGAACACCGACACGCAACACCTTGGCTACATCCTCCGCGCTAACGAGACCTCCCCGCCCGTCGGCCTACTCAAAGGTCTGGAAGCGGGCAACAAGCTTCAGGATCTAGTCAGGAATCGGATGGTCCCCAGACGAACTGGGGACGGGGTCTTGAAGGATGTCCGAGGGGATATGGACAAGAAGGGTTTGAAGGGGTTGATCTACAGCCATCCCATTGGCGATTATGGTCACTCGGCGGGTGCTCTTATCGGTGCGTATGACTGCACTATCGGTCCTGGGGAGAAAAGCTGATTCAGGCAGGAATGACCAATCTTCAAGACTGTGCGTGAAGGTTAGCGGGCCAAGCTGATCTCTAGCCGTCCCAGGTGGAGGTCAGAACACCGTACTGAAGAACTACTGGACTTCGATCGAGCTGTCCGCAGAGACCTATGTCCCAGAATGGGGTGTCGACCAGCTCGTGAGTACTTGTCCTTTACCCCTGCGCGAAAGGTCAAGGCTGATATCAGTTCCCGCTCGAGGAGGACGTGTATTGGGATAATGAGACCGAGGGATTCGAATGGGTCTTCGGGCGTCAGACGGAGTTTCACTTGGTCAAGCCCAAGCACAAGAAGAGCGCCGGAGTCGCCCTGGCAGAAGGGAAATCGGGACTGGTAGCGGCTGCAGCCCGGTGGATGGGCTTGCAGGTAGTTCGTTGGGTTTGAGTGATTTGACGTACCTACAGATAGGCGGAATCAGAGCCATCAGTAAAATCATTATGAATCGTGTGAGACCGAGCGTGGCGCGGCGAAAGAAAGCGTTCTGGCTCCATGATCGTCGGGTAGATGCATGCCCATCCAGGACCGCTTTTGACTTCTTCATCCGTCCTTATTCCCTCCGTGCCCCTACGGCCCCTCCCCACCCATTCCTTTGCCCATCCCTACCCCCAAACCCACCCATCCCTGTCCTCGGCCCTTGCCCCTGCACCCCCCCTCCATCCCCTTCCCGGCCATACCGCTGCCCATAGCCTCCCCCTCCGCCCTCTTCTGCCGCATGTGAGTTATAACTCCTATTCGACGGCTGCGACCTGTCCGCACCGGACGGATTGGATGTGGAGTTGGACATGGGAGTGGCCATTGTTGAGGTGGGACCATTCGACTGGGGGTTGCCTATCGGACCGGTATTATTGCCGGTTCCGACGGCGTCGAGGAGGGCGCGGTTCGAGCGGTATTCACATATCGCTGATGGTGGGAGATTGAGGAGTGCGAGGATTTTCTCCCTAGATAGTCAGCATATAACACGAATCCCCAAGCTCCTCGGCTTGATCCTCGTAGTTATCCCTGGACCCGCGGTGGAGATGACTCACCTCAGCGCCCCACTCCGCAATGCCTCCCCCTCATCCTCCACCCAGACACTAATCAGATCCTCCGGCTGCCGCGCACTCAGCACACATCCCACCACCCGGTCCTCCTCGTCAAACTGATCGCCTATCAGTGCGAAGAGGAGAGATTCAAACAGGAGGGGGGTGATGGGGTGGACAAGGCGAATGGTGAATTTCCCTCCGCTACACCAGTCAGCTTCACCTCTTCCGCATGTAGTCGGAGGAGAGTAAGCTCACTCGGGCATACATTCCCATGTACCGGGTGTGGGGATCCGAGCGAGGAAAACCAGCACGTCTGTGACGGGCTGGAGCTCGTTAGGCGGGATAAGGTGGGAGTAGATGTGGAGGAATGATTCTATCTGCACAGAGTCAGCTACAGCTCGGGACCTGTGAAGACCCGTCGGAGAATGCGAGCTCACAGATCCAAACGTAGCCACACGCTTGATCTCCTTCTCATAGTCCACCTTCGTTCCCGGCGGTCTGTGCACATACGATACAGACCAACTACGACTTTAGCTAATCCCCTGGTCCCGCAGCTGCCCTTCGGAAAGGCACTCACTCGTGCTTGAGCGGATGCCGCTCAGGAGCGGACACAGGTGCTCCAGTCCCGTTCGCGGTCTTCCCGACTGACAGAGCTAATCGTGATGAGCCCTGGGTCGAGGTCGTCCGTCGGGAAGAAGGAGGTTGGGACATGGTCGTCGTTTGGGTCGGTTCCGGGCGTGAAGGGACGTGGAGCAGCGATTTTTTCGCCGGTATATTTGTGGGTAGATATCTACGCTGTCTGCTCTTGCTGGCTGTGTGTTCTTAGCTGTGTTTGGGTATAGTAAGTGCGATGTGGTATCTGTATGGTGGATGGACCTGTTCCTCGGCGGATTTTTGGCAGAGCATGTTGACCGGACAAGACCGCCGAGCGAGCGGCGCGAGAATTAGGCACGGCATGATCGGGAACGCCTATCCAGGGCACTGAATAAACATATATAGGCTTGCCTTGTCACTACGTCATCGGGCTGCGACCAAAGATGTCTGAAGCTATATATCTTCAGCACAGCTGAAAACGCAGCACTCATACCATATCTTGCAACACTATACGCACTATCATCATACCCGTCAGCCCGCTCCTCGCCTTCGAATCACAACTTATCGGAAACACATCAGCAAAAATGCACTCCGCCAACCAAGTTCAGCCATCCATCGAGCAGGGATACGTTGCCAAGCAGCCCGCTGCGCAGACCATGATGAGTGCGTTGTGGTATTCTCTGCCTTTCATGGGAAACATCGGAAGTACACAGCTGACCAGCCAGACTCGAAAACACCTGCAACGGGAGAGTCGACACAAAAGGACGATGTCTTGCGCTTGAGGGGAGGCTGTCCCGGTATGTCCTCTTCCCATGACTATACTGCGCTTTGACCCCTCTCTGCTTCTGTGTCTGGGAACCAGCTGACGTCCGCAGGAAAGTTCTGTGGACTGCCAATCCTTCCATGTCGATGCGACATTTGCATCATCCCCATCCCATGTTGCTAAAGGAGACCGGGCAGGGCGGACGGGAGGCGGTGGCGAGGTGTTCTTTTTTCGGAGGAGTTGGGAGATGACTGTAGCTATACACGGTGTTGACATGCTTACTGTACATGGATTACGACTATAACGCCAGGTTGCTCCTTCTTATCAGCTCTGTTCCCCCAAAATGGAGTGATGAGTTGTCGGCCCTTTGGGACCGCATTCACAAGCAGCTCCAGACCTAACTGACAAGGGCGCTGACGTCCTTTGCGTGTAAGAAAGGGATGCCGACCGGTGGACCCCATACACTTATCCCAATGCTGGATGCAGAACAAAGGAAGGAAATGGAGGAAGAGCTGTGTGCATCGCGGTGAGCCGGGACACTGAAGCTTGACAATGAACCTACAAGTATCTCGCATAACCAGCTCCCTGTCTGTTCCTACTGACACTCGCACTCTCGCCCGACATGCCGATGAATATCAACCCTCACATGATCCACCACCCATTCGTCAATCCCGATGAGTAAGCACTCCCTCAGTCTGGGTACAACGGTCGCTGAGTCTACCTTAGGATCCCCTTTCCGACGATGGTACTTCCCGGAGGCGGCCGCTTAGCGATCTACCCGGCAGTCAAGACCCGCTACCCCGGTCCTGGGGTCGGGATCGGCGCTGGTGTGAGTCTATCTCCAACTGTAGAATCGGTATGTTAATGCTCAACAGGTGACTGGGATGCCTCATCAGCTGGGCGGACCGCTCGGCTGGGGTGCCGGGACCGGTATCGACTGCACCGCCGCCGCTTGGAGACGATACTATGGCGTTGGTGGGTGAGTACATCACATCAGAGAGAGCTGATGTGGCCAGTATGATGACTGGCTACCCTCTCGGATACAGACTCCCAGGTCCAACCGGTATGGGCGGGTACTTTGGCGTGAGTCCCTTTGCACTTGGAGATGCTGTGCAAAACGCGGACGAGTACTGACGGAGCAGGGATGGGGCGTGCGCGACTGAGGCGTTCGGGGGCTCGCCCTAGGCTCGTATACCCGTATCCCTGCATGTATCTTGTTAGTGGTCATGGCACGCGGAGATGTCAAAGCGGTGCAAAGGTTGTTCGCGTCCACCCGCCCGAGCCGACGCTCAGAGGGATATATCCCCGAGCGCCCGCGATGTGATGGTGAGGGGGCCGTTTCCAATTGACATGCGATAATCAATCCCAAATCTCGGCAGGGAGTAGGCCCCAATGCACAGGGCTGTGATATAGAGTCTCCCGATCAAAACAGAGCATTGTGTGTGCACTTGAATCACTTGCGGGGCATCATGGGGTCTCCCGTTGTCCGGATCCGAGTCGCCTTTTGGCTTTTGCTTGTCAGCTGCAGCGCGATCCCATTTCGGCCTCTCCTCTCCCATCTCTTCCTCTCTTTGCATCTCTTTGGATACATCTATATCTTGTAGTACTACCCTTGTCTCACCTAACACTGCCCGCTAGCAGTGAATATCCCGCACCAGCAGTAGTGCGTCCCGCCACCATTCGCACGCGTCTACCGTCTCACTTTCTCGGTCTATTGGGGACCTCGCATTCGACCGAAAACAACAAACCAACGGGCGTCGACTCTTGAAAGGGCACCACCACTCGACCACCTTTCTGCTTCTAACAAGCCATACATACACCTCGCCAGATCAAGACTACGCAATCTGGAGATGAGGGCGTAATGTCCACATCCTTTCGCAATATCGAGGATGTGGAGGATATCGACGGAAGCCAGGAGGCCCCGGTTGCTGGGCCGAGCAATTGGTGGCGGAAACTTCGGTACGGCCGCCTCGGCTTTCAGAACGCGGAGAATGACGAGGAGGTCATGTCATTGGGCGGCGAGAAGGCTGGCCCCGTGGAGAAGGCGAAGGAGGGGTCAGGTCTGAAATGGACGCGTAAGATCCAAGCCCCTCCCCCTTTCCTTCTCGACGACCGGAAAGGCAAACGACAAGCAACCACCTCCAGCTCGGCCTCTCCCACATCATCGGTCAGCTCTTCATCCTCGTTCTCTACCGCGCCCCTCTTCGTCCCTCCTCCTTCGACATTCACCTCGTCCGCCACCGCTACCGCAAGTGGCAACACAACATCCTCATTCATCTCCGGCTCACCCGCCTCCTCGCTTCCTCTTTCCTCCGTATCCTCATCATCCACATCGTCTCCGACCCGAGCGCGATCGTCCGGCTCGTCGGACTCGCGCACATTCACCTCGCTATGGTCCACCACCCGTTCCGCCTCCGCGTCCGCCACCCCCACATACGTCCCGGGCGTCACCTTCAATCTGACCTTGGGCGGGACGAGGGACGACGAGGCGATATATGCAGTAGCTGTGGAGCTAGGACATGGAGCTACTGCCGAAGCTCAGGCGAACGCCTATGCTTGGGCAGGGGAGGAGGGCGAACAAGGCGATCTCAGGCGGGAGGTATGGAGAGGAAAGAGACAGGTACTAGATACTGGACCGGGGTACCAGCGCGTAAAGCTGCAGGTGGATCTAGGGAGCTCAGATATGGTGAGTTGGCTGCCCTCTTCGGACGCGGAGCATTGAGCTGACCTTCCTAGTGGGTCGCAGTGACGAATTGCTCGACTTCCGATTGTACTTCCGCACCCGCCAAGTTCGACTCGTCCCTGTCCATCTCATCTGGCGTTCGAGCGAACATGACATATCACTCGGGCGCAGTCAGCGGGGAGATCATTTGGGAAGAGGTCCAGCTCGACAGATTTGCCATTGCCTATCAAGCCTTCAGTACGTTTTCTTCTTTCCTCAAGACTAAAATCCGGCTGACGCGATAGTTGCTGGTGATCGAGTGACCAACGAGAATCTTGGTGGCGGCGACTTTTCGGGAGTGTTAGGCATGGCTTGTACGTGGTCTCATCCCCCCTCATTCATCCTCAGCTGATGGGTAGTACCCGCCAACTCGATCATCTCGAGCCAGATCCCCGGAACGACCTCATCGAATCCAGACGGCGCGACCTTCCTCGACAACCTTTTCGGTTCTGGTACATTCGCACCCACACAGCGCGTCTTTAGTCTCGCCCTCGAGCGGCGCGAGGACGTGCGAACTCGATCCCTTCTTACCATTGGATCAACGTACGACCGGTACTGCCCCGCTCCGTGCTCCCCCTCGTATATACCCATCATCGCCAATCCGAATCTCGGCGTCATCGGATATCTACATTGGCGCGTCCCATTGATGGGCGTCATGGCCACGGATTGGTCGGATGGGCAGCTGGGCTCTGGGCCGACGGAGAAGACGATCCCTCTGGGCGGAAGTCTGGTAGTGAGCAGCCGGAGTCAACCGCTAGCTGTGCTCGACTCGGGCGGGGTGGCGATTCTCGTTGGCCACAAGCCATACGCGGACGCCATCTACGCTGCATACGGGATCAGCGCGAGTGGGGACGGATACTGTAAGCTTCCGAGGCCGAGCTCAGGACCAAGCTGACGTACAGACCGCATGCCATGCAAGACCCAACTCTCCTTCAGCTTCAACTTTGGCGGCAAGTGGTACCCTGCCCACCCGCTCGACATGTCCTGGCCGGACCCGAGCGACCCATCCCAATCAACCTGTATCGGCGCAATCCAGTACACCCCCCTTCCCAACGACGCCGGTGACTTTGTCTTTGGCTCGTCCTTTCTCAAGAACGTCTACTCGGTCTTTTCATACCCAGACCAAGCACGGAACTCGGGGACGTGGCAGCCTGGCGTGGCGCTATACAGCCTCACCAACGCCTCGGTATCTTCGCAAGACTTTTACGCCGTTCGAGCCTTGCGGCAATCGCTTGCGCAAGTCTCATCCCAAGGGCCCTTCATCGGCGGCTCGTCCCCCTCCTCGCCGTCCTCGACGCCTTCATCGTCCACAGGCGGCGGATCCGTGGTGAATACCACTGCGATCGTCGCTGGATCCGTCGTCGGTTTCTTCGTACTCGCCGCAGCAGCATTCAGCGCCTGGTTCTTCTTCCTCAAGCGGAAATACGGCAATACTGGATACCCGCTCGGCCGCTCTCGTGGTGGTGGCGGAAGAGACACGCCCGAATCGGAACCCGCGACAACTTTTACGCGGCGTACCAAGAAGCATCAGGAGGCGCATCGGCAGAAATCAATGATTGAGGGGTATAGCGATTACGAGGGGGATAGCTGGACGGAAGGCGGTGAGAGCGTGCGGTTGGGGTATTTGCCGGAAGTGCCTGAAGACGGGGGGATGGAGGGGATGCGCGGAAAGAGGGTGGGGTCGGTGGGGAGTAGCATGGCCGCGGCGGGGATGATGAGGGAGAAGAGCCATGCAGGGAGCAGTCTGAGGGACGAGGTCGGTGCGGGCGGGTCGTATGATGAGAAGGACGCGATCTTCCAGACGACCGACTCGCCCGCTTCGACACCAAAAGGTCTGCCTCTGGCTGGATCCGGAAGAGCGCGGTCTTCGTCCCGCCCCCGTCAAGCCGATGCGTACCGGCCCGACTTATCCAATTTCACCTACCCACCCGTATCACCTACCTCCCCCGGCTTCACTGCACCCCTCATCTACTCTCAGCCCCTCGCAGCACCCATCTCGCCCGCAGTTGGCGAGCCCCGTTCCGGCTCTGGCTCTTCAGGTCGCCGAGCACCCACGCGCGGCTCGTCCTCCCTGTCCATGTCGGGTCCGTTCCCGTCTGCGACGAGACACGGTCTAGGGGATCTGGACACGAGTCCGATGTATGAGATTCGGTCGGCGGATTACTTTGATGTAGGCGAGGCGAGGGGGAGGAAGGGGAGTGTTGCGGCTGGTGGGGCTGGGATTGGGGATAAGGAGCGAAGGCAGGGGAGTGGGAGTGGCAGTCGGGACGGGCTCGGAGCGTAACCTGAGGCCTACAGTTCGAGGACAGGGGGAGTAGGAGTATCGAGAAGGGAGGTGGAGGTCGGGACAAGCTTGGACCGTCAGCTGGAGGTCCGGGTGCGAGACACTCAAATTCAGGGGATAGGACATTGTATCTCTAGCCCTTGTATCAGACTATCAGTTGCAAGATGTATGGATATCCTGTACTTCACAACGGTAGCTAACAGTACAAATATGAAACCGATTAACAACCAAGATATAGATGACCAGTGTCCCAGATCCCCTTATACGTACGATAACCTCAACCGCCCTCGTATTCAGCCTTCACCGACCCTCTCCACCGCTCTTGCTTTCGCCTTGCCCAGCCTCCCTCGCCGCTTCCTCTCTCGTTTTCTCCGCTCCTCCCCCTCCCGCCTTTCCTGTACCTTATAACCCGGCACAGCAGCCCACATCTTCCTCCTCAAATCCTTGATCGCCTTCCGCCTCCGCTTCTTCCTCTTCACTCGCTTGACCTCATCCGCCCACTCCCCAGCCGGCGTATTGGCCAGAATCCGCAGATGCTCAATGTCCAATGCTTGCCGATCTACTTCGAGCGCTTCGATAGCGTGCGAAGTGACGCTGCGGGGGAGGTATCGCGGCGTTTCGATAATCCAGGTAATGTGCTCGAATGGTGGATGGCGAATGACGGTGCGGAACCCTTCGTCCCCTATATATCCTGCTCCAAAACTGATCATCAGCTCGTGTCGGCTGGTAGCAAGATGGATGGCTCACTCGGCGTGTAGATCTCGCTTGGAGCCGTGGGGTACAGCGCACTCGCTGACGTGCGCACAAACAACATTCTCCGCGCCCAGCCAGGTATCGACGTCGTCGAATAATGTCTGACGCCCAACGGAGGAGGAAAGGTCGTGTGATATCGAGTGGACGTGGCAGAGGTCTAGACAGAATTTGATCCGGGCGGGGAAGGACGAGTAGTGCCGTATCCGAGCGAGCGAGCGGAGAGTTGTTCCTGCTAGTCGGCCGTTGCAGCATGTCTGCAAGTGATCAACGCGAGTCATCCGGTCTGCGAAGGAGGTATACTGACCATGCTCTCCAGGACGATGGTGATGCCTGGATGCCGCTCGAGCAGCGTGTCGATATTGCCAGCGATGATCTTGAGGGTCGCACGATCATTGCCTTTCCCACCGCAACGTATGGAGGAGCCCGGGCTGCGTTGGTGAGCTGAAGCATAAAAGCCGCTTGTGGATAGGCCAACTCACTGGACCACAAGATACTTCAAGCCTAGCTGTTCCAGCGTTGCCATTTCGATACTGAGGCCTTCGATTGTAAGGTGGAAGATCGCTGAGGAGGATGAGGGCATGGTAGTAGAACTGTCTCGTCAGACGACTGGATCATGCGCATAGTAGAGCCCGAAGTGCAGGACTCGCCTTGACCCGATGATCGGGGCTGGACAAGCGAGATTGATCGTCTCGTGCGCGTGAACAAAGATCCTCTCCGAAAAGCCAGGACCTGATGCTCAGCTCAGAGATCTCCTGTACCTCTAGGTAGACTGTAGAGAGGATGACTCACTCAGCCAGTCCAGCCTGTCCAAGCCTTGCCTGACTGCCCAGATCTTCTCCTCGCTCCATATCTCCCGGACGTGCTTCTTCGGGCAATACAGGAACATCGACAACCCCGACATCCCATCTTCCTGTACTAGCCGTTCTGCCGCATCGAGGAGACGTAGATGACCCAGTCTCGACGCGAGATGGGTCCCTAGATGCAGGGTGGGGCCGGGGAGGGGTTCCCGCCCCGGACTGGGTGATGGAGAGCGCCGGATAGGAAGAGACAAGGCTGGTGGAGGGAGGTTCGAGTGATCATTCCGGACTTGTACAGGCTCGGGTGTCGCTGCACGCTCGACATGCTGGTGATATCGCGGATCGAACCAAAACCGGTCTTCCTCGTCCACCGGATCGACCGGAGGGGGATGACGTGCTACGAGTTCCGGACGAGCATTGGGGAACCCGGACCGGATGGACTTGGTCTGCGGAGGGACCCTAGGCCTTGCAGGCCATAATACCCGCCTCAGGCCGTCCAGCCCACCTTCTCGAGGATCCGCCTCGTCGCTTGAGCTCGCCGAGGCGACCGAGGGAGTCCGACGAGCCCTTTTCCCTCTCCCTCTCCGCCAATCCTCCCATTCATCTGCTGACCGCTCCTCCTGGTCCTGCCCTGTGTTTTCTCCGCCTTCCGGCCGGACGTTCCCTAGCTCGACACCCAGACCTCCTGCCTCGCGGCGTAGCTTCCCGGCGAGCCCTCCGCCCGCGGCCAGTAGGACATCGAACCCCTCTCCATCCGCCTCCCCCTCCGCCCCTTCATCTCTCAATTCCAACTTCCACCGTTGATCCTTGAACGGACTGGTCTGCCAGCCCCACCCATCCTTGCGCTCTGAATACGCATGTGGAGTGATAGGCCCTTCTGACTCGGCATCGCTGCCATCGCTCGACGCGTCAGGTTGGCTACGAGGAGTACGGCTCGGACCGACTGCCCAGTGATCCGATTTCGAGGGAATCGATACTGCTTCGTCTCCCCATTTGCCGTGTCCGAACAGTACTGACTCTGACGGGACGGGCGATGGGGATCTGAGCCAGCGATGGTGCGTAAACGGTCCGAGGGGTGATTCGGTCGGTGCGCGGTAGAAATAGCTCGACATGGCGCGTCGAGCTCACATCGTGGGATTAGGTCCGTAGGAGAACGTATTGACTTGTGTTGTGCTTAGCATTTTTGCGAGTATGGGTGTTCAGGTCGTGAGAGATGACGTTGTGGTGAGCGGAAGGGTGTCCAGGAGTGACACAGAGTGACATATGGATGCAGTGGGCACTGACAAATTTGCTCAAAGGAGGCGCAGCCGGATTGAGCCGAAATCTGAAACCTCGGCGAGGTTTCAGTTGTATCTCGGTCCCTCTCCTCTTCATGGGGAGCTATCCTAGTCTCTCAGCAGCATCACTGACTTCCACCACAGCCGGACCTGCACATGAACATGTCACTTCTGATTCATCTTCTACATAGCTGCTTCCTTCCATGATCCCCTGTTCACACCTTTTCCCGCCTCTTCGTCCCCTCTTCGTCCCCTCTTCCCTACTGACCTCCACGCAGACGCAACACCAAGTGGAGCGTAGACTCCTTCTGGATGTTGTAGTCGCTCAGGGTCCGCCCGTCCTCCAGCTGCTTTCCGGCGAAAATCAGACGCTGCTGGTCTGGGGGAATACCCTCCTTGTCCTGGATCTTGGCCTTGACGTTGTCGATAGTGTCGGACGACTCAACCTCGAGGGTGATAGTCTTGCCGGTCAAGCTGGTTTGTCAGCTTAATATTCGCATATTCGCAAATGACGCGCATTGCAGAGCAACTCACGTCTTGACGAAGATCTGCATACCACCACGCAGACGAAGGACCAAGTGGAGAGTCGACTCCTTTTGGATGTTGTAGTCCGACAGAGTCCGGCCGTCCTCGAGCTGCTTGCCAGCGAAGATAAGGCGTTGCTGGTCTGGCGGGATGCCCTCCCTGATACTGTTAGCTTTGCCCTGTTGGAAGTGCCGGGAATGGAGAAGCTTACTTGTCCTGGATCTTCGCCTTCACGTTGTCGATGGTGTCACTGCTCTCCACCTCGAGTGTAATCGTCTTCCCCGTCAACGTCTTGACGAAGATCTGCATACCTCCCCTCAGACGAAGAACGAGGTGCAGGGTAGACTCCTTCTGGATGTTGTAGTCCGAAAGGGTGCGGCCATCCTCGAGCTGTTTACCGGCAAAGATGAGTCGCTGCTGGTCTGGCGGGATGCCCTCCTTGTCCTGGATTTTCGCCTTGACATTGTCGATAGTGTCGGAGGATTCAACCTCGAGAGTGATCGTCTTGCCGGTGAGGGTTTTGACGAAGATTTGCATACCTCCTCGGAGGCGGAGGACAAGGTGAAGGGTGGACTCTTTCTGGATATCTGGAATGTCAGCTATTGATGCGAGGATTCCGTAGCCTCGATAGCTCACTGTAGTCAGACAGAGTTCGGCCATCCTCAAGCTGCTTTCCGGCGAAAATCAATCGCTGCTGGTCTGGGGGAATACCCTCCTTGTCCTGGATTTTGGCCTTGACATTGTCGATGGTGTCGGAGGACTCAACCTCGAGGGTGATGGTCTTGCCGGTCAAGCTGATTTTATCAGCTTTCGTTTTGCCAGCAGGTCGATCAAGGAAACTTACGTCTTGACGAAGATCTGCATACCACCGCGCAGACGGAGGACCAAGTGGAGAGTTGACTCCTTCTGGATGTTGTAGTCCGAAAGGGTCCGCCCATCCTCGAGCTGCTTCCCGGCGAAAATCAACCGCTGCTGGTCTGGGGGGATCCCCTCTTTGTCCTGGATCTTCGCCTTGACATTGTCGATCATGTCGGATGACTCGACCTCGAGAGTGATAGTCTTGCCAGTGAGACTGATGTGTCAGCTACTCTTCCCGCTCCCGGAAACCAGAAAGGCCAGCTCACGTCTTGACAAAGATCTGCATACCACCTCGGAGACGGAGCACCAAGTGGAGGGTAGACTCCTTCTGGATGTCTACTTTGTCAGCTCAAGCTCCACATTGCCAGGCGTGCTTCAACTGACTGTAGTCCGAGAGTGTCCGGCCATCCTCCAACTGCTTCCCGGCGAAAATCAACCGCTGCTGGTCTGGCGGGATGCCTTCCTTGTCCTGAATCTTGGCCTTGACGTTGTCAATGGTGTCCGAGGACTCGACCTCGAGGGTGATGGTCTTGCCGGTGAGGGTCTTGACCTGGTGGCGAATCAGCGATTGCCCGTGCGATGTCATGGATGCCAAAGGCACTTACGAAGATCTGCATGTTGGTGCGATGTACTGGTAGATGTAGTGAGGGTGACTGATGATTGTTAGCGGACACGCTGAATGGGAGATATATGTATAGAAGAGAGATTGAAAGTGGTACGATGGAGAAGGAAGGGGAAAGGTGAGTCAGCACCGCATTGACCACGGAAGCTTCGAGAACGACCGATCAGATCGCCGTCCTCCACTTCCGGTTTCCATCACAAGACAACAGCGTCCTGCTAGGACAGCGGGGCTGGGGACACGGCGGTCGTGTAGGATGGGGGGAGCAGGGTGGCAACGTGCGATACGATAAGGATCGCGAGGGACGCGATCCTACGGATTTCGCGAACCCTCCCCACCCGGAGATCCCAGCAGATCCGCCAGTGAAGACGAGACGAGAAGCTGAATGATCCACTCACAAGGTATCTGCTGTTGGCTTCTGTGTATAGAAGGTAGATAGAAGTATGAAGACAAGATGAATCGATTGATAAGACATGCCTCCCCTTCCCCCCGCAGTCATTGATGCGTCCCCCCGCATACAGTAAGCGGGGCTCGCCGCCACTCAGGGTTAGAAACGTCACACACCTCAGGGTACAGCGGGGTTAGTCGGTATAGCGCGAGTGTGGCACCACCCAGGACCCTCGGCTCCGTCTTCACGGTCTCGGCTCCGTTCAGCAGCAAAAAGAAACCTCTCGCTCACAGTCGGCTTGTGTACGGATCCATAGGTGATCATCTACCCCTAAGGGTAGACGGCAGAGCTATTGGACATTGGGAACGGCCTCCGATGGCGGAACCACCGGAGATTCTTATGGTTGTTCCATGGCGATTCTTTTCCCCACCACCACCGGGAGCGTCCCCCGATGAGTGAAATGTGAGTTCAAGGTCTCCGCATCGACAGCAAGCATTGCCACTCTCCCAGGGGTGTGCACGGTCCTGCCAAATTGGCGTTTCGCGTGTTGCCCTAAGAGCGCAGGACTGGAACAACTTTGTTTCGGTAATTCTACATTGTACTATTATCCGTGCATGACGGGTGCTGACTATGTAGTGCTGATATCGATACTGGAGGAGTGGCGAGAACCTATGGCGACAGCTCACTCGCGACCTTCGGGTTTAGCTTACGCCGGGTATGTGGCGGCCTCGTGGGACGGGGCTGGACAATTGTTGTTTCGCCACTTAAATGGCTGTAGCGTCCGCCGATAGTCGCAAGAAAGAGGTTCGGGATGCTGTGCAGGCGCCTGGAGAAGTATCCCGGGTCCGGAAGACTTGCAGCTGCGGTAGGTTGGGTACCCTCGAAAGCATGGATGTCGTTACAGTTGCCCAACTGGGGCCGGCCGGTGTGGTTGTATACCACTTGTACCTGGCCTGACCCCCAGTAAAGGTGGCTCGTCTGGTAAATTCGTCATCCGTTCAACGAGCCGTTAGTGTCGCAGGTCGGAAGGAACCGGCCGCATGAAGCACTAAATTTTTGCATTCAATTACCTGGCTGGCATGGTCAGTCAGCTGGCAACAAATGACCGTACTCAACCACATCCATCTGACTCCATCATGTGCGGGATACGCTTCGCCTGTCACTCGTTCTAAGTATGGAGAAGCACTCATCTATCCCGCTCGCCTCTTATCCCGATCAACAGGGTGTGCGTGAGCGACCGCCATCATACAGCCTTCCACTACCCTGCATACTGTATCAGGGGCTGTACACGGCTCTGTACACCTTCCTCGGCAGCTGCCACATCCGCCACCGGCGCCACACTCGCAGCAAAAAAACGACGTGTTTCATGCTGTTACGTAAAGCGTTTCCCGCTGTGATCGCGCGAAGCGCGTCTCTGCTGCAGGTGCACGAGACCTTTGCACCTTCTTAGCTCTGCCCTCTATCCGTTGTCCGCATCACAGCTTGTAGCCCTACACGTATCGCTCGCCTTGCCCTCCCTCACAGCTATCCGCAAATCACAGCCGAACCCACGGCAGCTTCAGTCCGACCTCGCAGCTCGCAGTCCTCCCCTCTCCTTCGCGCTTTCCACCGAGGACAGGCTCCTTCCGCATACCTTGACAACTACCCCTGACTGTCCGAAACTTGTTACAGAGTTCATCACATCGCTAGCTCTTACTTGTCGTCTCTCATCGCTAGCGCTTCACCGCTATTTATCACCCTCCCCACCTTCGCATCCGCCGCCATGTCTATCTCGCTGCCGAACGGAACCCTGCTCGCCACTCCTGCGGCGCAGACGCAATACACGGCGGCCGTGACCCGGATACTCCACCTCTCTAGCTTCCCCGCCGAGTAAGTAGTCAAGGCAGGTTCTGTAGCAAGGGGAATCGATGCTGACTCCTAGGCTCAAGACCCGGGACCTGCAAGCCATGTTCAAGGAGTACGAGGGCGAGAAGGGCGGGTTCAGGATCAAATGGGTGGACGACGTCAATGCCCTGGTGGTATTTGTCGATGCGGGTGTTGGTCAGTTCTGCTATCCCCTTCTCCCGGAAAACAAGCTGACCTTTTAGCCAAACGCGCATACCTCAATTTCCTCCTTTACCCACCTATGGCCTTCCCCGCTCCGGCCAAGATCCGTCCCTACGACCGCCCCGACGCCGCGCAGATCATTCAAACCCTCACCGCCCGTACCATGGGCCATCGCTCCTCCATGTCCAACGCCATATCCACCTCGGGCGGACTACACACCGTCCAGCCCGGCCAACCCTCCATTGACGGTCTACCAGGCTTCCACTCGCGCGCAATGTCCATGAGCAACGGCATGAATCCCTCTTCGGCCACCTCCTCCGCCCCTACTATCCCCGGGACTATCGGCGGCGGAATGGGCGCCTTCGCCTTCCCCAAATCAGGAACTGGCCGGCCCATGTCGGGTCTCGCTTCCCGTACCCAGGTTGCGACCGGGGCGGGGCACGGTCGTTCCGGTTCCGGTTCTGCCTCATTCTCCAGGCAGGCAGGCTCGGGGCTCGGCGCTCTCAACTTTGGCGGCTCCCGCTTGCCCACCCACGCGGAATCGCTCGACTCGCCCGCTCGTCCTTCAGCGCCATTCCCGGTCAGGCGGACGACCAAGGAGATGGAACAGTCCCGCTCAAACGAGAGCAGCGACACGAGCACAGAGGCTATAGTGGTCATGGACCATGCGCCGCTATCGGGCGGGGTGCCGTTGGGGCTGGGACTCGGAGCGGACCCGATTCCGGGCGGAGGGAGCGGGTTTGGGCAGTGGAAGATGCCTAGCAAGGCCGGCGGGGGTGCGCGGAGGGAGAGCATGTCGGCAGAGAAGGCGATGAGGGAGGTGGAGAAGGCACTGGCGGGTGTGGAGGCGAGATAGGCGGGTTTGGGCGGGGCAGCATGGGGCTTTCTGTTGTTACCACTTTCAGCACGGCATTTTGCGAGGACACATCCTCTTTTATACTTGTTGGTAACCCACGCTCATTCTTTCTAGCAGTAACCAGTATCATACTAGCACTCTAGCAGATGCAGATATATTATAACTCCTATGATTGACTACCCCTCCGCCTGCTTTACCATCTCAACGCCTCCCCTCTTTGTCCCTCCCCTATCGACTACCCCTCTTCCTCCTTGACCATCTCGACGCTTCCCCTCTTTGTCCCTCCTCCACTGCTGACTCCACTGCGCACACTCGAGCCAGTCATCTGGGGCGTCATGATTCGCGCTCCACCGGTGATGCTCCCGCCTGTCATTTGCGGCGTCAACGCCTTTCCGCCCATTGATGGTGTTCCGGGCGACTTGACACCAGCCGGTGCTGGCGAGTTGACCGCCGAGCCCGAGGTCGAAACCGAGGCCGACGATCCCATCCGCCCTCCGCCGGTATGTTGACTAGACAATGGCGGTTGATCCCCCGTCAACATCTTCTTGAGCGTCAACTCCTGCCTCCGACTCCTCGCCCTCTCCACCTCTTCCGTCCCACCGGTCTTCCTCAACTTCCGCCCATTCACGAACCCTTCCAGCTCGCCCGCAAACTCATCCTTCTCATTCAACTTCTCCATCTTCTCCTTCTCGCGCTGACGCTGCTGCGCCTCGATCGCCCGGAGCCGGGTATTGGGATCCGCCTCCTTCGTCCTAATCTCCATAAGCAGATTATTGACGCCGCCGCCCGGAAGGTCCGCGTCGGGCGTAGGGGGTCTATACCCGATGATTCTCGTAGGCGTCTTGGACCCTGTCCCGGAGGGCGACATGTCGCCTTTCCGCTGCAACACGAACGCCTCGACATTGTCCCACATCTCCGCCGCGTCCTTGAGATCATTCTTGAGATCGTCCCCCAGTTTACGCTGGTGCGCAAGCAGGTTCTGCTCTTCCTTGACACGACTGAGCTCCTGCGCCCACGTCGCGCGCCAGGTCCCTTCGGACGTGCCTACATCCGACGCAAATCGGTCCGCTAGACCTAGAGCCCGGTCCAGCTCCGTCCGGATCTTCTTCATATGGCTAGAAGACGGAGTGACGAAGCGCTTATAAGCGTCTTCCCGCGCCGCGTCGATAATGTCCTGGATCTCCTCGACCGCTTGGATCGTCTCGCTGCATTGCGATTCGAGCTTCGCTTTGCTATTGTCCAGCAAGGCGCGCGAGCCGCCGATCTTGGTCTTGATGACCTCCTTCATCGAGTTGTTTTGGGTCCGGAGCGCCGAAAAGGCCGTTTTTGTCTCCGAGAGGAAGTCCGAGTGGATCTGGCGCATGACGGCCAGATCGCGCCGGAGGGATTGGAGGGATTCGTGTTGCTCTTCCAGCTTTTCGCGGCGGATGGGGACAGAGGGGAGGGAGGGGTCAGAAGGTGCGAGGAGGGGAGAGGGGAGGCGGGAGGCAGGCTTGGTGGGCGAGATGAAGGGGTGAGGGGGAACGGTAGCCGAGTTGCCCCGCATTGTAGCCGAGGACTGAGATTGGGAGACGGCGAGGAGGGAGGTGGCGGTTGATAGAGACATTCGACGTGAATGATCTAGCGCTTTCTTCATCTCCTTGACTTCAGACATCAGGCCGGCGAAGGTCTGATCAAAGTGCTGCCTGACTTGATCGAGCGCTGGGGATCAGCTCCTTCCTGAGATTCCGCCGCCACTCAGCAGAGGTACGACTCACGCTCAATGTTCAAGCTCAATACAGACCCCTCCCGGACATCTTCTATCTCCTCCAGCTCGTAACCCACTCCACTGACTGGGTCCCTGACATACACGTCCGGAAAGTCTCCCAGTCCCGAATCGTACTCAAACTTCTCCATGAACAGCAGCCGGAGCCCTTCAAAGGTCACCGGCGTTTCCAGCCTGCAACGCTTGACTTGCCGGCCGAGCTGGAGGTACACCTGCAGCAAGGCGGGCGTGGGCGGCTCGAGCGATTGTGCAGGTTCTGGATGTTCGGAGGTGGGCGGAGGGATGGTGGATGATCCCGCCTGAGGTATAGAGGATCGGTCGGCCGCTCGCGGGGTAGTCAGGGAGAACGAGGGGTCTTCCGAGATTGATAGATCACCATCCGTCGCGCGCGTCTCCGGGGTCGAGATGATCTTCATGGACGAGCTAGACATGTCCGAGTCGGGCGACATAGGATCCTCCTCTTCCACTGTCGGCGTCTTGCTCCCGTCCCCTCCATTAATCCCCTTGACCATCCTCGCCGATGCGGACGGGTCCACTCGATGTGCCTCAGGCAGAGGCGGCATCGGCGGGATCTTCTCCAGCAGACTGTCCGCCCGCCGCATCGCTGGTCTCTGGGGACTAGACCCTGAGCCGCTTCCCGCCCCGGCACCATCCCTCCGCTTGTTTGGCGAGCTCGGCAGCATCTTGTTGAATGCAAAGCTGCTATACCGCTTGCTCGCCCTCCTCTCTAGCGGGTCAAATCCCCTCAGCGCCGCTAGCGTCCGTTGTGACTCTGGAGGTATGTCCGGCAGACCAGCGGGTTGCTCTTGCTCGCTTAGACCTGGACCTACATAGCCCAGGTCGTCATTGAGCGATATGCTAGTGGAGGGGAGTTCCAAGCGAGGAAGGGCCGGAGCATCGGCGGGAGCGAAGAAGGACGTGGAAGCGCCGGTAGGGAGCGCGGGCTCGATCCCCTCGTCCAAGGTCTGGATGTGGGTCGAGGGTGAGCGAGCAGGATTGGATTTGACGGGTGAGGCATTGGTGATATCCGAATCGGCCGAGAAGCGTGAGACCCGTCCGCCAGGAAAGGAGTCGCGATCGCGCGAATATCGATCCGGCCGGGGTGGAGTGGGGCCTTTCCGAGATGACATGCTACCAGACAAGTTCATCCCGGCCGGAGGAGGTGAAGGGACGGGACCGTCATCCTTGAGCTGGACGCCCCGAGACGATGTCGAGTCTGGAAGTGTAATGTTGGGTGGAGGTTGGGGCGAGGGGTTGCGCGGACCGGCAGGCGGCTGTGGATTCTGACCAGTATCTGACGCGATGCGTCGGGGCGGACGGAAGGCGTCTGGAGGAGCAGGTCTGCTCTGCCCGCTTGGCTGTCGTTGCGCCCGTTCCCTTTCTCTCTCCGCCAACGCCGTTGAGCTGGGTACCTTGGCGGGCATCGGTAGGTCCCCCGAACGCATATTTGGGCTCGTCCCACTTCCAGAGCCACTTCCGCCAGCCTCGACCCGCCCGCCTCCCATCCCACTCGCATTCGACGCTCCGCTCTGCACAGACAACCGATCATCTACCGGTGGCGCCGGACCCGGGCGCGCCGGCCTGGGTCCAGAAGGGACCTCACCCTGCTGCGACTTGGAGGGAGAGACCTCCCGTATCGTTTGAGGCGGGGCAGGATGCGCTTGAACTTGAGCTACCGCCGGGTCCTGCGAGCTCGCATTCGCATTCGCCATGTTTCGCTTGTATAGCGCCTGTCTCCGCTTGAGACCCTCGAGGAGGTTATAGATGATTTGTCGAATAGCGGGGAGGTATAGGTTGAGGGATTCCTGGCAGGGGTCTTCGGCGAGGCATTGTTCGAGGCAAACTCGGAGATCCGAGGGGATCGCATCGAGCTCCCTAGGTGATGAGCTTCTTCTTTCGCATGTCCAAAGAGATACAGTGATGGGCAATAGCTAGCTCACCTGGTGGATATCCCGACTCGATGAAAGGCTCCCACGCAAGTCTCAAATCCGTCCCCCAGCCGCACGTATATGTCGCTCACCTGGACATCAGCTTCACCCGTCCAAGACGTAGTATGGGGGGATCCAGCTCACATTCTCCTCGGTGAGGTATCCCTGCGCCCATTGCTCCAGACCCTGTAGCAGCTGTTTCGTCACAACCAGCAGCCGTGTGATGGACGAGTCGAGCGCAGTAGGCTACCACATCAGCTCGAGCTCTGTCCATTTCCCTCCTCTCTACACGAATTATTCCCTCCAATAGCAAAAGACCCACCCCAGCTCTTGGAACAGGTCCATTCCTGATCTGCAGACTACTCCTTCTCGGCAGATGCGTCGTGTCTACCTGCGCTTGCCCCTGCGAGGAGTTAGACCCCGAAGAAGCATTAGCGGATCGATAATTTGATGGTCCGGGTTGAGCCACCGGGGTCGGGTACGAGATGTTGGGTCGGGACATCTCTGCCTCGTGGGTAAGCGGCTCTGGCGGTAGACGCTCTCAGGGGGCTCGCTCCCTCTTCCTGGATCTCGGTGGGGATGATGGAAGTAGATAGATAGAATGCCAGATTTAAAGGCATGTTTCAGGTCGCGTCTTTGGTCGAGTGCACGGCGAAGCTTCACAAGGTTCACATTCCTCAACTCGTAGCTGCACGTGACCAAATCAAAACCCATCACTGATGTCCAAGATTTGGTTTGTTGTGAAGCCTTGTGTGAAGCTCCACTCCTCTACTACCATTATCGACATGTCGGAGCAGAGAAAGAAGCCGGGGAAGGCGCCTGGGGGCTCCCTTGCTACGGGCGGGACGACTTCTGCGGCCGCATCAGGCCAGACTACCCCTGTGTCTGCTTCAAAGCCAGTCACCGATATCTACCGACCATTGGCTGCTGCTATCCAGGTAGGCTGCATTTGAGCCCCTGGTTGACTTTTGGCTCACATCTCAGCGCCCCCTCGCTCGCTTACTACCCGCCTCATCCACTCCTCTTCCTACGACCGTAGCCGATATCTTCGAGCTCGACCCGTCCACATTCACCTCCCGCCTCAAAAACAAAAACATCCTCCTTGACACTCCCTTTGCTTTGGCAGGCCAACCGTCCAAGCTCATCCAGGGAAAGAAGCTGCATAAGGGCCATCCGGAGATCCGGGGAAAGGTTCGGGAGGAGGCGGAGTATGTTGAAGCTGAGCGGAAGGCGGATGGGGTTGAGGGGGTGAGGCGAGTCAAGCGGAAGTTGAGGGAGACGGGGTGTGTGATGGACGCTGGGATGAGTGTACCGTTCGTCTCTCTACTCTTCCTATCGAGAGATCCAGCTGATGGTTATAGCTACTCGTCTCTGGTGCCCCTGAACCACATGCACCTCGCCTACCTGACCCATCTTCTCTCCCTCCCTCCCCTTCCCTCAGCCTCGTCGTCCAGCACATCCCTACCCCAAGGCATCTCAGCCGAAGGTATACAATCCCGCCTGTCCAAAGCAGACCTCACCGGCCTCTCCATCTCCGTCCTCTCTGCCCGCAATCCCTCATTGCACGGCATCACCGGAATCGTCATCGAAGAGACCTCCTCCACCTTCCGGCTCGTCCCTCCCGACTCGCGCGTCCGCGTCATTCCCAAATCCGGAACACTCTTCGAAGTCCTCATACCCGCATACGCACCGCCAGGCTTCGAGGCCTCTGGCGAGCTCTACGAAGCAGAAGGAGGCGAGAGGCCCGGCCCGGTAGACTGGGAGAAACACCTGGAGGTCTGCCCGAGAATCAGGGTGTTGTTGCTAGGGACGGCGTTTGGGTTCCGATCGGGCGATAGGGCGGGGAGAAAGTTTAGGCCGGCGCAAGGACGAGGAGGGGGAAGTGGGTGGGGCGAGCAGTGGGTCCAGGGAGAATGGGCGGGGGTGCTGGAGGGTGTGGAGAGGGATATTAAGGCAAGAAGCGGGGGTGTGGAGAAGGGGGACAAGTGGCAGAAGAAGGGAAAGAGGCATAGGAATAAGGGGAGGACCAAGGATCCGCCAGCGTGGGGAAGGCTGGAAGTGACATAACCACCCTCGGCTTGGACTTCAACGAGGACTACGACCTGGCATATCAAGGCTCGACAACATCCCCACCGGTGATGGTTGTCCGGACACTGGAGTCGGGCCCCGCTCATCGCAGGTGGTGAGCGGTGTTGCGCTTTGCCATATCACAGAATGCATGATTTGTATGTACAACATCCGACCTATCCACAGACCACTAAGTCTTGATTCTCCCTGACCAGTCTATACCCCTCGAAATGACACATTGCTATTATTCCCTTTTGCTCACGTCCCAGCTCGCTGCCTCCTAGCTTATGCAGAAACCTCATACCGCCCAATCGCCCTCCGGATGATATCCAGCTGCTTGCCCAACTCCACCCCATTCCCTTTACCCCCCTCCCCGCCCTCACTCCCTGCCACCACCTTGCCATCCCGATCCCGCCTCGTTCCTAGCAGACTCATCAAGAATGCGAAGTCCGCATGGGCGACCAAGGGCAGGTCCGAGCGGCGCTTAGCGGCGAGTTTGGTCTTGAATGCCGCAAAGAACTCGGCGGATACTTGGTCGGCCCGTTCGACAACTGGTTCGGGGACGCCAGCGAGGCGGGCCACGTCTTTTCCATTAGCTGGTGTCCGTGTCTATGCAACAGAGAGGAGCAGCTTACGGGTACCGTGCGAAGATTCCGCTACGCCCGGGATGAGCTTGTACAGGAAGATGACTTGGCGCTGCTCGTCGTCGACGTGGGTCTGCATGTGCATTCGCCTGATGTTGGGGTGGTAGGCGAAGTCGTCAGTGAGGGAGCCGTAGTGGGTCTACCGATGGTCAGCTGTGGACGCTCTGAGATGATAGCCATCTCACAGCAAAGAATCCTAGTGGCAGAGTATGGGTAGCGAGGTGGTGCAGGACCGCTCCAGCAATAGCCATCCCGTCATATGTCGAGGTACCTCGTCCAAGTTCTGATGGATCAGCTGTTGGGTCTCGGCTTCAGTCCGACACGGCTAGCTCACCATCGAGAATGACAAACGACTTCGGACCCGCCTCGCGCAGGATCTTACAGCACTCATCGAGCTCCACCTTGAACGTACTCGCACTCGCAAACATATCTTGCCCTGATCAGCCACTATCCCATCCCCACTCCTAGCTGTGCCAACTCACTATCGTAAGCCCCCATCCTAGTCTGAATTTTATCCACAGGACTCAACACCGCCCGACTCGCAGGCACATAACACCCCATCTGCGCCATAATAATCCCCGCTGCCGTCATGCGCAACAAGGTACTCTTGCCCGCCATGTTCGGGCCGGTGAGCAGGACCTGGCGCGGCTCGTCCCCGCCCAGGCGGACATTGTTGGAGATGAAGTCGGCGCGGAGACACATGGACGGATGGCGGAGGTCTTCAAAGTCGACGAAGGCCGTGTCGGAGGGAGTGAAGACGGGTCGGCATTTGGGTTCGTCCATATTGGCAGAGGCCTTGGCGAGGGAGACGAGGCAGTCGAGCTCGGCTATGATCCTGAGACCGTCAGCTAGTACATCGAGACCCAACAGCGGGCACACTTTAACTCACTTGACGGCCGCCAGCCAGACTTCTCGGTCTTTGTCAAACTCGCCCAGAAGACGGCGGAAGAATGTCTTCTTTGCTGTAGCCTGGATCTCCCTCGCCTCTTGCAGCGCTCGGATGAGTGGAATCGTCTCCGGGGTGTAGTACCGGTCAAAGTTCTGCACACAGTCAGCTCTGATCTCGAGACATCGATGAAGCGTTTGCAACTGACCTTGGTACTAGACTGCTTGGTCCAGTCCCTCGGGACGCTCACCCCAGAAGGGATCTGCAACTGGAAGATCTCCTTCCCTCCCTGCGCACTGTGCCAATACTGCACCTTCTCTCCCCTGCTATATCAGCTCTGTGCTCTTCGTTCGTGGCACTGCAAGCTCACTTGAACATCCGCATTGTCTTCTTCAGGACAACATCCAGCTCCTGTTCACACTCATCGACAGTCGCATCTGCCTCATCACACTCTGCATCGGCGCCCGGTTCCGGAAGGATCTGGAGAGTTTTGCCTGCATCCCGTCAGCCGCTCGCCCGGTCGACATGGGGCAGAAAGCTCACCGTCCTGCTTCTCGTTGAAGAGCGACTGGATATGCTGGACGTAAGACTTGAGATCTGGGGCGGACCGGAGCAACCCCGAGACGCTCTTCGAGTCGAACTCGGCTGCTTGACGTCCGAGGTCTTCGATGGCCTTCATGATCGCCTCAAATGACTGTCAATATCAGCTCGCGGGTCATGGGTACGGGTCAATCCTCTCCGGTCAGCTGTGAGAAGTATGACGCACATGGACGACCTTGACAAAGTCAGTCTGCTTGACCGACCCCGCATGGATTCGGGATATCAGCCGCTGTAAGGTGAGCTTATTTCCTCCATACGGTGCTGAACAACTTACCTCGAGATCAGGCAGAGCCTTTGCCATCTGGGTAAACTGCCCAGTGAAGGACTGATACTTCATCAGATCCTCCACCGCGTCCAGTCTGGCGTCGATGGCAGAGATGTCGCGCAGGGGACAGGTGAGCCAAATCCGGAAGAGACGTTTACCTGGACAGCGTAAGCTAAGCCTCGCCACCTTTGCGTATCAATCAGCTTACCGAATGGCGAAACGCAAAGCTGCATGATCTCCAGCAAAGTCCCAGCGAGCTCTCCTTCGTTATTCACCAATACCTACTAATCAGCCCTGTCCCCTTTCAACAGAGTAAAGACGCACCTCCATATGCCCCAGCGTTTGGCCATCCAACACCAAACTCTTTCCCTCTCTGATCGGATCATACACGTTAAAGTTCCGCTGCGTGATGAGATCCTTGTCGAGGTTCAGCGTTTTCAGGTAAAACATCATCCCGCCAAGCGCCTCCATCGCCAGTGGATTATCCAGCATCTGTTCGATCGCAGGCGGGAGGGGCGCCTTCGTCCCTGGCTCGTCATCCTCCGTTTCAAAGAGCTGGGTGAGCTCATCGAGGGTCTGGTCGGCCGTGTAGAATTCCTCGACGGGGCGGAAGGATTGCCAGAGTGTCGAGGAGGGGAGGATGTTGCGCAGAGTGCGGGTGGTGGTGACTGTCAAGTTGCCCTATGATGGTCAGCTGGGCGTGTCCAGTGGAGCATGAAGACCTAGGAAGCTGACCTTTGCAAAGACGAGCTCTTTGGGTCGGATCTGCCGGAACATCGTCTCGAGCCGAGTCCGGCAGACATCATCCTCGAAAGCGACGAGTTGGAACTCTCCGGTCGACGCGTCCAGGATACAGATACCGAACGAAGAGGGCTCACTAGGGTCGGGCGAGTATTCCTGGGCTCATCAGCTTTGCTCCCATCGTCGTGAGCTTCAAAGCTCACCTTGATTGAAACACAGTGATTCGCCTCGTCTGTAGTGAGGTAGTTGCCATCGACGATTGTACCGTTGGTAAAGACCTGCTTCAACTCGCGTCGGACAATCTTGTCGGGCTTGTCGTCGTCGTCCCCATCGTCCGACTTCTTCTTCTTGGCGGCGGGCTTGCCCTTGGCTCCCTTCTGCTCGGCTCCTCGACGCATCTCCGCACTGACAATTAGCGATCTTCTCGTGTTTGCTGCCAGCGGAGAGCTCACCCGATAGCAGTCTCGACCTGGTCCACCCGGCCGACCTTGTACCCTGCCGCCAGGAACTTGGCTGCCCAGAACTCGAAGCTTTGCTCTGGAACTCCAACCTGAACGTCAGCTCAGGTTTGCCGCATGAAAACCTCTCAGCTCACCATCTTCATTCTGACCCTCTCGGTCAACTTCAGGTCGAACTCCTGGTGCCCTATTTGCGCATCCTCCTCGTACAGCTCAAAGAACTTGCCCTTCTGAAAGAAGAGTACAGTCTGTGCGTCAGCATGGAGGGCATTGCAAATAGATCTTCAACTTACCTCCATATTGGTCTGCTTGATGCTCCAGAACTGCTTCTCGAACGGCTTGAGCTCCCTCATCTGCTCTGGCGAGATATAGATCGTCCTCGGATCATAGTCCGGATCATCAGGCTTCCGGCGCTGCTTGTCCCTCCGATTGATGAGGAACGAGAACACCTCGTCACTTTCCTTCTTGTCCTCCTTCTCTTTCGCCTTGCGGGTCTCGGCCGCGGTGAGGAACATGGTGGACGAGTTCTGGAAGGAAGAAGAGGAGCCCCGTTTGCTGGCTGCTGAAGAGGCATTGGCAATGGGTTTGGGACCGGGACGAGGTTTGGGGGCGACGAAGGAGGAGGTCTTCTTAATGGGTTTCTTGCGCGGTTCGGGCGAGGCGGAGCGGATGTCGGGGGAAGAGGAGGGTGAGCGGAGTCGAGCTTCAGCTTGTTCGGCAGCAGCGGCTGAGATGTCAACTGTGTCGCATGGTAGCGCCAGAAGGTGACTTACCAAAGAGAGCATCATCTGCATCGTCCATCTCAAAATCGTCGTCCGAGGAAGCCTTCATGCTCTTCCGAGGCCGAGCGGCTGACTCCGTCAGCTTGGAACTCATGGTGGAACTGGGTAGCTCACGCTGTGCCCTGGGCTTTGACGGACCAGCCGTCGCTGTGATGTCCGCATCCGATCCCGAGCCTTCCGACTCTGCGTATACGATCTTGCGCTTCGCTCGTCGGCCGCCCTGGGTCGTCAGCCGGGGTACTAATGACTACCGTCAGACAGCTGAGCTCACCTTGATGGGCGGAGACCCGTCCATCGGCACATCCTGACTATCTGCCTCCTCCTCTGTATCCACCCTCATGGACATACTCGACACTGGCCGCTCAATGATCTCGGGTGGAGGCGAGAGCTCCTCCCTGTCCTCCATCATCGCAGACTTCTTGAGCGGGCTGCTGCCCCTCGTCCTTTCCTTCTCTTTGCCATTTCCATTTACGGCCAGACCTCGCCCGACCGCGGGCGAGCTACCAGCGACGGACGAGGGCGTGCGAAGGGTGGTAGCCGAGGCAGGGGAGGAGGTTGCTGTCGGAGCTTTGGTATTCGATCCGCCGCCAACACTGCCCGAGGAGCCGGTTCGAGAGGGAGCCGGTCCCGGCTTTTTGGTGAAGAACCCATTGAGAGTAGATTGTTTCCTACTGGATCAGTACAAGGTCAAGTGAGGCTCTACAATTGTGGATTACTTGACGTACTTGGGGTCTTTAGCTGTAGCAGCTTTCGAGGAAGACATGATGGAGTAGTCGTCTTCCTTCGCCTCCTTACAGTCGCTCTTTTGGTGTATGGATAGGTTGCCCAGTGATCCCGCTATGAATGATTGCGTGACCGAGCCGGGATGAAGGGACGTTCGGGTGACCTGCCGGTGTGCAAGCTACGCTGCTTACTGTATGCAGTCCTCGTTGCGCGGACGTCTCTGGTCTCTGGAGTCTTGGAGCATTTCCTCCTCGAACGATTCGAAAGACGCACGGGCCTCCACCGCGCGTCTGGAGTCCGCCACGTGGCTGTCGGCCCTGAAACGCGCATCTGTGTGTGCGCTGGCGCTTTTCCTTTTTGGCTCACCTGAAACACCGTACCGTGCCTGAATCAACATGACTGGACTCTTCTCACTTGGCCCTGCATCGGCCGAACACACACAAAATGCGCCACCTCTTGCCCTGATCTTTGTTGGTTTCTGCACGCGTTCACGCGAACCCTATCAAAGTCGCGTCGGTCGGATCGTCGCGTCACCAGTCGATCGTCCCTGCCTGCCAAATATAAGGAAAGCACTCCTTCGCCAACTTTCTCTTCTCTCCATCATTCCATCCAACAACAACTTCTCTCTCGTATCCCTACCACATCAACACATAGCTAGCTCGACGCTACAGCTCTCATCCCCACACCCATCCACCATCACCACTACCACCTCCACTCCATCACTCAACATGTCTACCGAATTCGAGACCCCCTCCAAGGTCGCCGCCTCCGCCCTCTCCACCATCTCCCTCAACACCGTCAAGGACGTCACACCCGCGTCCGACGTTCTGGCCAAGCTCAAGGCTGCCGCTGCCGAGGCACAGGCCGCAAAGCCTGTCGTCGAGGAGGTCAAGGTCGCAGAGCCCCTCGAGGAGTACCGCACGCGCTTCGTCGGCGACCTCGAGTGTGAGGAGAAGGATGAGCCTCTCCTCCAGGAGTCCAACAGCCGTTTCGTTCTCTTCCCCATCAAGTACCGCGAGGTGAGTCAACTTTTCCGAGTCTTCTTGACGCGTCGCGAATGGGACGTGGCTGACACGCTTCAGATCTGGCAAATGTACAAGCAGGCTCAGGCTTCCTTCTGGACTGCCGAGGAGATCAACCTCGCCCCCGATCTCCACGACTGGGAGAACAAGCTCAACGACAACGAGCGGTACTTCATTGAGCACGTCCTTGCCTTCTTCGCTGCTGTACGTCTTCCCCCTTTTCTTCCCTGTCCTTGGTCTCTTCCCTCCCTACTACCCCTCCTCCCCTCTTTCTCAACTTTTGCTGACCCATAGTCCGACGGTATCGTCAACGAGAACCTCGTCGAGCGGTTCTCGGCCGAGATCCAGGCTCCCGAGGCCAAGTGCTTCTACGGTTTCCAGATCATGATGTGAGCTACTCTTCCCACCACCCCCGAGCCCAGCTGACAATTTAGGGAGAACATCCACTCCGAGACCTACTCCCTCCTCATCGACACCTACATCAAGGACCCCGCACGCCGCACCTACCTCTTTGGCGCCATCGAGACCATCCCCTGTATCAAGAAGAAGGCCGACTGGGCGCTCAAGTGGATCACCGACACCCGCTCCACCTTCGCCGAACGCCTCATCGCCTTTGCCGCCGTCGAGGGTATCTTCTTCTCGGGGTCGTTCGCCTCCATCTTCTGGCTCAAGAAGCGCGGTCTCATGCCCGGACTCACCTTCTCCAACGAGCTCATCTCGCGTGATGAGGGTCTCCACACCGACTTTGCCTGCCTCCTCTTCTCTCATCTCCGCAGACGGCCCCACCCCGAGACCATCAACAAGATCATCAAGGAGGCGGTCAAGATTGAGCAGGAGTTCCTCACCGGTATGTCTTCTCCTCTATTTGCTTTGGGCTTGGCTGATCATTAGATGCCCTCCCATGCTCCCTCATCGGCATGAACTCCAAGCTCATGTGCCAATACATTGAGTTTGTCGCCGACCGTCTCCTCGTCTCTCTCGGTAACGAGAAGGTCTGGAACTCTTCCAACCCCTTCGGTAAGTCACCCTACCCTTCATCCTGTCAATGACCCTCGCTGATCCTCAGACTTCATGGAGATGATCTCCCTCCAGGGCAAGGCCAACTTCTTCGAGTCACGCGTATCCGCCTACTCCAAATCCGGTGTCAACCAGTCGGTCGGTTCATCAACAGATCACCAGGCAGTCAAGAAGGGCTTCTCTCTCGACGAGGACTTCTGATCGACTCGCCCCTCCCCCCCTCTGATTGCTGGCGCTGGCGTCGTCGTCGTTGTGTATAGAAGACAAAAAGTAGAAATGATACCCAACCCTCCTCTCGTATATTAGTAACCACCTTGCCTTTCCCTTTACTTAGGCTGTAGTCTTACCCCCGTTGTTTCTTGTTTGCCTTTTGCTTTTGCTTCATAGTCCTATTCCGGTTTACACGTCCATAGCGAGGACCTGGCTGCTTCGTATCACGATACTCTGTACGACATCACATGCATATGATAACTCAATCAAAAAGTGATGGTTCTGCTGAATCAAGCCGTCTCTGCTTCACTGTCCCTGGCAGCCAATTTCTCCGCCGTCAGCTCGTCCTTCCAATCTGATATGCGTTGCGGCATGCCTCCGTATTGTGTCGTGGCCAGAGGGTAACCCAGACTGTATGCAAGCGCACATGAGACGCAGTGTGTGGCCTTCGGGTCGCCGATCCGACACACCTCTGATGCTTTTGAGGCGACGGTAGAAGCATCGAGGCCTCTTCGGATCGCAGCCCGGGCATTCGTCTCCAGTTCGCGGTACGTCTGCTCGTTAGGCACGATGTGCCGCATCGCGAGATGTGTCGAATCATGGGAGTCCGCCGTCGGCCAGAGAGTATCGTCCCTCTCTGCCATGGTGACGACCGACTGGATCTCTGTACCCGATGATGGTGCAGGAAGGACAGCGGACTGCTCAGGCGAGGCGCACAAGCTGGTCGCGGCGGTAGATGGCGACCGGGTAGTGTCAGAGTCGGATGTCGAACCAGGAGAGGTATCGGAGGTGTCTATGTCGAGAGCACCGTCCAACGGCAAGGGCTGCTGAGTGTGATGCGGTAGGTCAAAGTAGCCAAGCTCCTCGCGAGCGTCGGGCCTGAGATTGGACATGGGGTGTGAGTGAGTGGGAGAGGACAGATACGGTAAGGGAGCTTGCCTGTTGGGGCAGAAGAGTGGATGTACTGTCGAATATGAAGGACGACGAGGATGGGAATAGACGAGAAGAGAGAACGGCCTCGTCCTTATGTCCTGGCCTCCAGTGCGCCCTGAAGTCGACCTCGCTTACCTCCCCGTCCTTTCACCCAGACTGACACACGTCTGAACCCCACCCGCAAAGCCCGCTCAGATCAGCTTCCCTTTCATGGCCACCCTCACGACACACGTTTCGTAGGTGGTGAGCCTTCGCTTGCTGTGCGAGTGTGTCGGACATCGTATCGGGGTGCGATCTGGGCGGAGTGCCGAAAGCTGTGAGCAGGCCAGGCAGAGTCCGTTCAGTATGTCAGCGGATTGAAGATGTGACTGCACGACGTGCGTCAGAGCCATACACGGTGTCTCAAGCGTACAGCTTTGATAGGGGCCCGTGGGCTCAGATCAAGGCACACCGCTCCCGGCCGTCGATCCGCCAGCATCCAGCTCTTCTCCCTTATTGCCCTTGAACCCGCTCCACTTCCGCATCATCCCGACATCCACCACCCCCTCTCCCTCCCCTCTTCTCCGAGTCTCCTCGCTCACCTCCTCCGGCCGCTCAATACACCTCAGTACCGACTGAGCCACATGATCGACATGTAAGGGATGTGTGCGAAGTCCCGCTGCTGCGCCGCCGAAGACCGAGTCGGGGCTGAAAGGAAGGGGCATGTTGATGCGGTCGTGCGCGCCGGCGGTGAGGGAGAGGAGGAAGGCGGGCACGGTGGAGAGGGGGCGGATATGTGGGTGGTAGAGGAGGCCCGGGCGCATGAAGAAGGGCTGGACCGACCCAGATGCTGTACATCTCTCCATGATGCCCTTCTCTGCTTCTCGCTTGCTTTCGATATATCGGCGAGGGATGAGCGGGCGGAAACAATCTGCGGCCGATACGTAGACGAAGGCGCGTGGGGAGGGAGAGGGCGATGTTGATGATGATGCGATTGGTGAGGCAAATATGTATGTATCAAGCACAGAGAGGGCTATGGTATAAGCTCAGGATAGATCGCAGCCTGTACCCATAAAGCTCACCGCTATCCCTGTTCATCCCATCATATCCCGACCGTCGCTCCTCCTTCGCCCTCAGCGGACTTGGCGTGCCAAACAGCCCTCCAAAAATCGCCTTGCCCACGCCAACAGGGCTCCCTTCTCGTACAGCCTTCTTGTACCCCGTATCTTCCAGCAGTATTCCTAGGGTATGTACGACCGCCGTTGAGTCCGCCACCAGAGGAGCATAAGTCTCCGGCTCGAATGCTGAGGCGCGATGCCATTTGACAGAATTGACCCATGTCAGTGTATGTCCCGCTGGAGTCTTATATGGTGATCCGGAAGAACTACGATCATGAGCTCATGCACGTTACAGACCTGAAAGAGGTAGTTCACCTCATGCTCGAGACATCCCAGCCTTTGCCAACTGCCGCTCGACAAATCGCCGATCCTACGCCGTCAGGCAAGCTCGATCCAATACAGCTGGAGACCCACCCAAAAACCCATTTCCGCCAACGACTAGAAGCTTGGGGACCGACATGATGCTGTGCTGTGCTTGTATATAGCTCTGGCGATGATGTACAAGTGATGCACGAGATCGCTGCACAACTTGGCTGTGACTGACATTTTTGGCGAGATAGACGATAGGCTATGCGCCGGTTACTTGTCGTTGCGGTGGCCTAGCTAGGCTCGGAGAATCGTCCGCTCTCGCCTCTTGCTTCTACCTCTTTTCTCTTGGTACACTTCATCCGATACTTCTACAGCTACGATGCAGTCCTTCCTCGGAGGCGACAAGGGCGGGTCATCGAATCCGCTCAAGCAAATCTCAGGCCGGGAGGGCACAGATCGCAGCGTCTTTCGAGTGAGCGCTTCCCTTCCCCTTGACTCAGTTGGGCCTAGCTGATCATCAGGACCGGCACGCACCAGCGGGACCGCAGTCGTCCTCTCAGCATGCCTTCAATGCTCCGCAGGCCCAGCAGAGCAATCAGCAGCTCGTGCACGCACAGACGCCCCATCCGTTCAACCTATCCCACCTGTCCTCAGCATTGTCGTCCTCGACCGGCTCGTCCGCTCAAGTCCGCCCTCCAGCGCACTTCGATCAGACTTGGTCTCAGCGACCGGTAGGGCCAGCTCCTCAGCGATACGCCGACGCAGGCTGGAGCCAAGGCTATTCTCAGTCTGCTCGGCCAGCCGGACCCTCCTCGGACTGGGCGAACGGATTCACCGCTGAGGGCAAAGGCAAAGGCCGAGCCGAGCCGTACATGCAACAGCAGCAGCATCAGCCCCAGCAGGCGGAGCACTATGACCCTTATCGGTCGTCGCTGAACATGGGAATGGGAATGGGGATGGGCGGAGGGATGGGCATGGGCATGGGGTACCAGCCCTCTTTCCAGCCCATGTACACCGGCTATCAGCAGCAGGCGCCTCAAGCCGCTGCGCGTGTGCAGGAGATGACGGACAAGGAGCACGCCGAGATGGAGGCGGCGTTCGAGAGGGCGTTTGAGGATGCCAAGGTGGCCGATCCGGTCGAGGTGGGAGATCAGCAGGAGACTGCACCGCCGGAAGAAGAGATCCGAGAGGCAAAGGGAGAGTTTGATAAAGTCTGGGAGAGCTTGAAGCCAGAGGCGGAGAGGCTAGGGAAGCTGGCGGAGTGGGAGAAGGAGTTTTCACAGGTGCGCTCTGTCGTATTGGACAATGGCTGGAGCTGATACCTCAGTTTACGAACGATGAGGATGATCTCTTCGAGACTCTCAACGATAGCATCACTCGGAGTAATATCGGCCAGACCTCGCTGGACGACCAGCTCGAATTCGGTTTGGGAGGCGATCCGACTCTGGTCCGGCCTGATTTGATGGGCTACCTCGACCACGACGACGGAGTCCCCACCCATCAGGAATACCAGTTCCGTAAGTTCCACGACTTAACCTGTGCAACCCTATCGGATATACGGACATACTAGCTGACTATGATCAGGCGAATCGGCTTCCTCGAAATACTCGGACCTCTCACCGGCGCAAGCGCTCATCGTCGCTCGCGCGATCCTGCAGACCGGCGGATCGCTCACGGACGCCTCTGATCTGCTCGAGACTTTCCTGCAGCGCGCCACGCTCGCCGATCGGGCCGAAGCGGGCGTCGGCGATGTTGAAGTATGGACACTTTTGGGCCGGACGCACGCCATGAATGAAAAGGAGGAGAAGGCCTTGGCGGCGTTTGCGCAAGGCCGGGCAGCTATTGAGAACAGCGGCGGGACGGTACAGCCCATGACGGGGGAGCTCCTTACTGTGAGCTACCAAGACCGCGCGTAGTCTGCACGGATTCGTTAGCTGACTCTCAGAACCTCGCCATCTCATACGTCAATGAATCGCTCGACCTCGCGGCTCTGACTGTCCTACACCAATACCTCACCCTCTCCGCGCCTCAACTTGCCGGCCCCAAGCCCCTCCGCTCCAATATCGCATCCGACGCCGGCCCGTGGGTACTCCACCAGAGCCTGACGGAGCAGTACCTCGCCGTCGCGCGCCATCAGTACGAGACCAAGGGCGAGGTGGATCCGGACGTGCAGGTCGGACTGGGGACGCTGTACTACATGATGGGGGAGTATGGGGACGCGAGGGGATGTTGGGTGAATGCCTTGGGTGAAAGGCCAGATGTAAGCCGGAGTTGGCGGAATGGTGGGAACGCGCTGATAGACAGGATTACTTGCTCTGGAACCGCCTCGGAGCGACTCTGGCGAACGGCGGGAACCCCGAAGAAGCTGTCGATGCGTACAGGCGGGCACTGGAGCTGCGGCCGACCTTCACAAGGGCTATCTTCAACCTTGGAGTCGCTTGTCAGTTCTAAACTCTCGTTTTGTCCTTAGCACATTTCCCGGACCGTAGCTAATTGTAAAGGCTTAAACATCGGCGTTCACCGAGAAGCCGCTGAGCATTGTAAGTCTTCTCTGTCATACTCTGTAGCAAATTGAAGCTGATACCACAGTCCTGGCCGCTCTCTCCCTCCACGATGACAAGGGTGATAGTCCCAGCGGAGGCAATGATTCCGCAGCATTGTGGGCTACGCTCAGACGTGCTTTTGCCGCTCTTGTGCGTTCCCAATCCCGCATATTCTCATATGTGATACTTCGCTGACGATGACAGGATCTGAATGACCTGGCCGCTCAGGCTGTACCCGGAGCAGATCTCCAGATCTTTCGAGCTGCCGGATTTGACTTCTAGGCAGCCCGCCTCGGCCTCGAGTAGGAGCACAGGAATCATCCCTGCATATCATGTCTCATCGTGGACGGGCTTTGATATTGCCCTGCTTACGGGTATGCATATGATATGCTGGTGAATGATACTGCTAGATATAGGATGTGTCCTATGCTATTGGCCGCCCGCTGTTCTCCCCTCTTTGTCCGCAATCGCGCTCAGTCCATAGTCCTTCAGCACTCCCTCCTCCGCCTCCCTCGGCGACTTGAATACCGGATCATATCCCGCCCCAGTCTTTGGGAACGCGATGACCTCCCTGATAGACTTTGCGCCCGCCAGGATGGCAACGAGCCGGTCGAAACCAATAGCCAAACCAGCATGGGGTGGTGCACCAAATTTGAGGGCTTGCAGAAGATGCGCGAAGCGAGATACCTCATCCTCATTCAGCTGCCAAGATCAGCTCGTAATCCACTAGACCAGCAGGAGACTCGTTACTTCAGCACTCCAGCATGATGCTGCCTCCGGGTGGTACTTCTCCGCCGCCGCTACCCGCACGACACTTCGGTGGAGTTCGGACAGGGTGAACTTGATACTTACCTGCAACACCTCCTTCAAGATATACTCTTGCAGCCCCGCATCATGCACCCTGACACTCCCGCCCCCTACCTCCTGCCCATCAAGTACCAAATCATAGTGCTGTCCTCGAACCTTGTCGACCTTGCCCGCCTTGAGATCCGCGAGGTCCTCAAACATGGGCGCAGTGAATGGATGGTGGGTCGCCGCGTATCGGCCCTTAGAGAGGTGCTCCTTGTCGGGATCGGCAAGTGTAAAGAGGGGGAATTGGGTCACCCAGAGGAAGTGCGGTTTGGGTGGTGGAATGATGGAGCCTGAACGTCAGCTGGTGTTTCACGAAGCTAAGGGGGAGAAGTGGTACTGACCCTTATTGATGAGATGCTCAAGCATCTGGACTCGCAGTCTGCCCAATTGTGTCCAGCCGCCTTCGGCAATCTTCTTTCGCTGGGCTAGGAAGATGACGTCCCCCGGATTCGGCCCACCAGGGAGAGAAGGGTCAATGGAAAGCCCCTTGGAGCTGAGAAGGGGCGTATCGGCGAGCCAGGAATGGACATTCTCTTCCGTGATGGCGATCTGCTGGATCTAAAATGTGTCAGTGCCTTCTCCAGGTCCTCAATACAGGCGAGCTAGGGGGCTGGCGCTGCGGCTACATACGAAATTGTTCGTCCCAATCAGTGATGGGATATCCACCTGCTTGGCGTACTCTCCGGCCGTGACCATCCATTCCACGGTGTACTGGCTTTCATCCAGCAGGATCTTGTCGAGCGACTCGTCCGACAGCGTAGGGTAGTAGCCTATTGGCAATGTCTGATGAATTCAGCGTATACTCACCACGCACTCAGAGGGAGGATGTACTCACGTACATCTCGAACCGCGTATCAGGCTTGTCAGAGCCATACTATTTTGTCAGCTTGTTCCCCTAAATGCTGATCAGGTACAGGCCAACACACCACGTCCATAGCCACCTCATAAGGCATCACCCTAAACTCTTCCAGCTCCATCCCCTTCACTTCCCTCCACACCTGCCTAATCAGACCCTCCACCACATCCCTCACCTGCCCACCTCCGATCCCCCACGTCCCGCTCCCCCCTCTCCCCGCCGCGCCTGAGGCTGCAGCACCATCCACAAACCCCATCTCCAGATCGATCTGCGTAAACTCAGGCTGCCGGTCTTTCCGCCCATCTTCATCCCTGAAACACCGCGCGATCTGGTAATACTTCTCGACGCCGCCTCCGGCTACGAGCAGCTGTTTGGGTTGTTGTGGGGATTGGGGGAGGGCATAGAATGTGGGTTGGCCGGAAGGGGTGAGGAGGCGCGTGGGGACGAGGAACTCGCGTGCGCCTTCGGGAGAGGGGTGGAGGAGGTTGGGGGTTTCGATCTCGGTGAATCCTGGACGTCAGCGAAGGGTCTGTAAAGGGGAGGTGATGAACAAACCTTGCTCGTGGAAGTAGTTCCGGGCGATATGGGCTACCTGGGACCGTAGCTTTATGTTATTGGCCAGCTCTTTTCGCCGTAGATCGAGGAAACGGTATTGCGCTCGCAGTTCCTCATTCGCCTTTGAGTCAGCTTCTCTTCGTGGAGAGTCTTGAGCGGCATGATCACGTACCAGTTCCAGTCGATTAGGATAGAAAGGCAAGCTCTCTTCAGCCGGGTTAAGCAATATAGCCCCAGAAACCTCAATCTCCAGCTCATCCGCCGGCTGATACACATCAGCTTGATCTTTTGTCCGACGAAGACGTTGATGGTGCGACTGACCTTGTCTGCACTGCCCACAGCGGCCGAAGCGGCCTTTTTCTGTTTCTTCGCCTTGACTGCACCAGATACCTGAACGACAGACTCCAGTGGCAGACCCATCAATAGCTCGGCGGAACTTTTGTCCCGACATACGAGCTGGACCGACTCGCCGCTGGAATCGCGGAGGGTGAAGAAGTGGAGATTCTCGGATGCTCGTCTATGCCTTCAGCGCTTTGCAAGGACAGAGATCCAAGAAAGACTTACCGCTGTGAGTATAGCCAGCCGGCAAGGACGACCTCCTCACCGCTTGATGAGAGGGACAGGGAGAGCTCCGGTATACGATGAGTAATTCGATCTCTGGGTCCTGGACGTCAGTCGACAGTCCTCCGCCCGACCTCCAACGAAGTAGTAGAGACCACACACCATGATGTGCTCGATGCTTCTTTCCCACCGGCTCGACATATGGCCGGATAGTAATTCCCGCTGGAATCTCGCTCGTTGTCGAATTGAATCTTTTCTTGGAACCGAATGGCGCCCGAATGATGCGCGCGGACACCATCGGTCTGATGGACGCAGCAGCGCAGCTGGAACATACTGGGCGGCCGGATAGTGCTCGCAGCGCTCTCGAAGGGGCTCGTGTAGACATATTGAGTCACGGGATGACAGAAGGTGAACAGGTCAAAGTGAGACCGACGGAGGAATGAGGAGTTTGGAAATTTCAGTGGCACCTCCACTTCCGAGCCTGCATCAGGCAGAGCCACTTGAGCAAGGTCACGACATCAGCGCAAGGGAGAGTATGAGGAAGGCGGAGCGGATCGATTACACACTGCTGATGCATACTATTCTACTTGATTGACAAATCTTGCTACTACTTCTCCCCTCTCCCCCCTCCCCCCCCTCCCCGCCCCACCCTCTCCATCACCTCTCGCCTTTTTAAATTCTTGACCCGGAAGCTTCTACACAACACGACTGACTCCCTTCACACTACCCTTCCACCAGATCGCACCGCACCCACCCTCTTGCATCCACCGTTGCCCGCCTAATCCTCCTCACTCTCCTCATCCTCACTACTATCACTATCATCATACCCGCCCGCCGCCTGCCCCTGCCCCTGACCACCCCTCGAATCAAAGCTCTGAAGCTGCGCCTCCATCCGCTTGATCCTCGCCGCTTCTTCCTGCTCATTCATGTGCTTCTTCCCGGGCTTGCGTCCGGGCTTTTTACCAGGGATGACGCCGCCGCCGTTCCCCGCGCCAGAGGCCTTGGGGCGTCCGGGTCCCTTCTTGGGGGTCCGACCGCGACAGACGAGGTTGTACAGCTGGACGACGGTTCGGGAGGGGAGCGAGTCGATATCGAGCTCAATCTCGTCGTTGGTCTGTATTGTCAGCTTCAGCCGCCACAGAAGCCAGCTATCTTAAACTCACCCCGTCCAGACCGGTAGACTTGGAAATCAGATCGATAGCCTTAGCCAGCGTGCTCGGATCCGCCTGCGTAATCTTCTCCGCCAACTCCTGCTTCTGAGTCAACGTAATGTTGGTCACCTCCTCCTCCGACTCATCACCGCCAAACCCATTGTCCTCGTGATACGAGACATCCTTGCTCTTCCTCGGCTTGGGTTTAGGCGCGGCGTGACCGTTCCCGTTCGCGCCGGGCGAGTTTTTTACGTGAGAGATGGATTGTTTGCGTGCAGGTTTGGCCTTTTTGGTAGGTCGGGGAGGGCGTGACTTTCGGCGCTCGGCTTTGATCTGTTCGATCTTGGAGTCCATCTGGGCGATCTGTTCGCGGAGCATGACGATGGTAGGGTCTGATCTGTCAGCTATGCTGCGAAACTGCAATTGTAAGCAGGAAGCTCACCATCCTCAAAGTCATCATCCTCGGCATCCGCCACATCCTCCACCGGATCATCACTATAGCTCCTCGCTCTAGGCGGCGCCTCCTTGGGCGGCAAAGCCTTCCACTTCTCCTCCCACAGCTTCAAGAACCGCTGCGCCGCAATATGCACATCATGCGATGGAGGATTAAACTTCATCGCATTCTGGCACATCATCCGGAAGTCCGAATTGAGTTGCTGAGCATCATCGTATTCGCCCTCATTGATCCGCGCTTTGATGTGGTTAAGATCGACAGGGTTTTTGACGACAGTGGTATAATCGGGAAGAGCACGGACGATCTCTTCGACGGGGTAGAGGAAGGGACCGGCCAAATCGGCGTTCTTCGCCTCAAACATCCGGATCTGCTTGGAGAGGTAGGTGAGCTGGGGGTCGGTCCGGCGCTTCTTGCGCGTTTGGTCGTTGGCGTAGGGAAGCTCCTTGGAGGGTGGGGGGTGAATCTCGCGCTTGGGGCGGTCGAGACCGTCTGAGGAGCGGCGAGGGGCGGGTGGGCGGGAGATGGAGGCACGACGAGCGGTGGAGGGGCCGGCGGAGGGGGCCGCAGGCGCAACGAAAGGCGCAGGGGAAGCGGCAGGGGTAGAAATCTGAAAAGTCAGTTTTCAGCCCCGAAACTACGAGCCTCCACAAACTCACCTCGACGGGCAAAGTAGCCAGTGCCTTCTCATAGATCTGCTCCAACCTCGTCGCCGACTGCGAAACCAGATGGTCCGGCCCGTTGAACATGCGCGTATTCTCCCAAATCTGCCTCACGTCCCGCGTCACTTCGCTCACGCTCCCATACCGCCCCTTGCTCACATCCCAGTTCCCCATCTTGCTCTTGTCCTTGGGCGGACCCCGAGGATTGCTGACAATCAACTTGGTCTCGACTGTACCGAGATCCATCGGGTTCTTGACAATGTTGACATAGTGAGGAATACCGAAGCGGACGATATCGACGGGCTCGAGAAAGTTGACCGAGTCCTTGTTCTTTTTGAGAGTCCGGACGGTGGAGAGGAGGTACTTGTGCTGGGTTTGGGTAAGGGGGGTGATGGGTCCCGGATCGCGATGAGGAGGCGGGTTGTAGACCGCGGGAACGAAGGAGGTGGGCGTTCCGGCGGGATAGTAGGGCGCGGGAGGAGGGGCGTATGCCTGGGGAGCCGGTACCGGTGCTGGTGCAGCAGCGGGAGCAGGGGCAGGGACGGGAGCAGGTGAAGCTGTCAAAGGAGGAGGAGCTTGCTGCACCTGCTGAGCCTGGAAGGGAGACTGGGAGTGGGTCTGCCTCCGCTTCTCGTCCGATCCTGCCAAGTCGTCCCCGGACCGCTTGACTCCCGCCGCCGCATACCCGTTCGCCTGAGGAACCGGGACGGCCTGAGCCTGCCTCATCGCCGTGTCCTCGTCCGACCCAGGCGCGTCCGCCTCGCCATCCACCTCCATGCCGTTATGAGTCGGTGGGTGCGCCATGAGGGGAAGCGGTGCGGGGGGAGCTGGTGCCGCTTGTGCTGGAGCAGGTGCGGGAGGAAGTGATGCGGGTGCTGCCGGACTTGCAATGGGCATGGAGGAAGGCGCGTTGGCGACCACTTCGAGACGAGCGGGACTGGGAGCAGGCTGAGACGAGACGGGAGCCAGGTCGTTGACTATAGGCGTAGGCGCCGGCTCGACAACACCGCCAGTCGAGGGTACGCCGAGCATAGCGTCGTCCTCGGTCGAGATGACGGTAGGCGTCGATACCGCCGGGGGAATCAAGCCAGGCTCGACGGGGGGCTGAATCTCGTCGTGTGGCGGAGCAGGGCTAGGAGGAACCGGTGCGTCGATAGCAAGTGGAGACTTATCCCGGCTTGGGCCGGGTACAGCTCCCACCTCCGTCGGTGATGTCCCCACTGACTCCGCCAGGGTTGCAGGAGCGACACCCTCCGCCATAGCCACACCCGCAGGGATCTCCGACGGATCCACCACCGACTCTGGCGCGCTCGTCAACGCCGGCAGATCGACATTACGACCCAGGTCGTCTGTCGCTCCGTTCGCCGCGTTCGGGGAGCGTGGTGGCTCGGCGATGGTGGAAGCGGGAGGCGTCTCGAGCGTCTGCAGGGGGTTGAGCAGAGGCTTAAGCGTGGTGGGAGCCTCGAGAGGGGGAAGTGGGGAAGGAGGAAGGAAGGGCGGTGCTTCTGTAGGAGGAGGAGGGGCGGGGCTGATGGGTGCCTGGGGCGCAAGGGGGATGGAGGGGAGGTCGGACATGGTGTATATGCTGATGAGTGAGTTTGTCATCAGAAGGAATGCAGAGGAGGTACCGGTCAGAAGTAGCTATGTTGGTGAAGCATGGTGAAGGAGGGAGGGGTGGCATATCAGTCATAAATGGCGGTCCCAACTCGCCTGCTTCAATGGGTGTCATACTTCCTATTCCGGCACCATGACCACCTCCGTAGCCGTCTTGATACCGCCTCATGCTCCTTGGAAGGATGGAGGAAGGAAGGCAGATCACCGAGGTGGGGCCCAAGGTGGAGGCAGTACTCACAGAAAGGGAGGAGGATCTGGTTTCCAGAACACTGGGCTCTTCCCCGCTTAGTCTGAGGCTTTTGCTGTGGAGCTGTGTGTATACCTTGCGGAGTAGCTGGGGTATATGTATAGAGTGAAGAGAGAGAAGGAAGGTGAGACCTGAAGGTGAGGAATGCGGAGTGGGCAGCCCGAGTGAAGTGGGGGAGGGCGGTGGACGGAATCAAAATTTCGGATGGAGGGAGAGAGATATAAAGTGGAGGTGGGCGGAGAGAAAGAGGAATCAGCCGGCGTCCTTATGTACCGGTCAGTGGCGAATAACAATTTCAGGGTACACTCAGGGTCAAGGCGCAGCGAGAGAGCGCAAAGGAAGGGTAAAGAATGACGTAAAGGATAAGCCTTGTTGACACGTCGATATCGCCGAGAATAGGCTAATCCCGATGTGGCACTTGCCTCCACTCGGCAGGTCCACTGCATTCTAGCCTACTCTTCCTCTCCTTCCTCCTCCATCTCTTCCTCCTCCTCATCCTCAAACTCCACATTCACTCCGTCCAGACCCTCGTCGTCCTCCTCTCCATCACTTCCCTGATCATACATATCCTCTCCATCTTCTTCGTCGTCATCCTCCTCCTCGCTGTCCTCATCATCCACCTTGACCCCATCTTCAGCCTTCGCTGCACCCCCTTCGGCCTTGACGGGCTTCTTCTCACCTCCGATCTCGCCCTTCTTGCCGTCAGCCAGGAAGACACACGTTAGGCGCGACCCCTTGGTATTGTAGGAAGCGACCGGTCGGACCTGGGGAAGCGCAGACGCGTCTCCCATTGCGCTCTCGGAGCTGGAGGCGTTGGCGCACATAGCTGACGAAAGGTCGTAAAGGTTGATATACCCATCCGAAGAGACGGTCGAGAGGAGGACGGTCCGGCTGATGGATGATGGGTCGGACCCGATGACAGGCTGGGAAAGGGTAGATAACGATTTGATACTGCCATGTCAGCTGAAAGTCCATGTTCTGACATATATTGGCGAACGCACCGATTGGTATGTCCAACAAGGCTGACCACATGATCCAACGTCGCTCCGCCTATTGGCTGAGTCTCCACTTCCTTCCCAGCCTCTTTCTCAGTCACCATCTCCGCGTCTCCACCTTCAGGTACAACCTCCGGCTCCTTCTCCTCATCTTCCTCCTTGACCTCATCCTCGTCCGCAATCTCCACCTTCCGCACCTCCACGACCCCTTTCTCCGTCCCTACACACAACACCTCCTCCTCTTCCCCCTCTGCTCCAGGTATGAGCGCAAACTCGAGAGTGTTGAAGCGCGACTTGGTTTCGATCCGGTGGAGGAGTTTGAGGGTGAGCGAGTAGAGTTCGACCTTCTTCGGGAAGAGGACGGCAAAGTGGGTGCCGAGGGGAGAGAATCGGACGATTTCCGCTTCTGCATCTTGTCAGCTGAGATCGAGCCTAGGAAGGGATGCCTCAAGCTCACCGGTGCCCAAAGCCAGACTGGCAGCTCCTCGTCCACGCATCAGATCCCACATTCGCAGTGTCATGTCCTTGCCCACACTCAGCGCAACGCGCCCAGTCGGGTGCACATCGACATAGTTGACCCGGCCCGAGTGGCCCTTGAGCGCCTTGAGGCATGCCCAGTCGGACGTCCGGAAGAGCGCGATGGTGCCGTCTACCGAAGTCGAGACGAGGTGAGAGGACGAAGGGAAGTGCAGAGAGGTGATGGATCCTAGCAAAGTCAGTCTCTATCTTACCATACTTGGTGGTAAGACTCACCTGTGTGTTGACTCAAACTACCCATCTCCCTCCTCCTCCTCAAATCCCACAGCTTGATAAACTCATCCTCACTCCCAGTCGCCAACCACTTCCCGCCCGGACTCGCCGCTATCGCTTTGACGCAAGCGAGATGCGCTGGGAAGATGAAGATGGGTTCCAGCTTCGTCCCCGCTCCTTCCCCCTCGTCCGGCCCCGCAGCTGCGGAGGAAGAAGGCAGGGACCCTTCGAGACCGTATAGCAGCTTCTCATAAGAGCCAGCAACGACCACAAAGGTTCCCTGGGTTACGCCGGACTGGTCCTGGTCCACCGCCTTGCCTTTGCCTTTGACGTCTACTGTTGCTGGGACGACCGGCTTCTCTTCCTCCGGCTGAGCTGAGGACGAGCTGGCCTTAGGCGCTTTCGTGGCGGGAGCAGAGGGCGCGGGGGTGGTGGAGGAAGAAGGACCGTCGAATGTGACCTCTACCCGAGCCTTTTGCGGGTATGGAGCGGGCCTAGACTTCTTGCCCTTCGGCTGAGGGGGCTGCTTGTTCGTCTTTGCCATTGTGATGAAGGTATTTGAGTAGGTAAAGGCAGGTCGATGATATGAGTTCAAGGTGGACCTGGACCACTTCAACTTTTGAGTGCAGAGATGACCGATGACGTGGGTTTATAGCGCCCCCCCGTATCACACTTCCCCGCATCCCGCTACGATCTCCCCCACGCCGACAGCACTCTCTGCTGGGCTCTCTGTACCCTCTACACTCAGCTACCGCTCACACTAAATCAGCAGGGGCATGCTCTCCCGCTAGGATCGGCAGCTCTGGCATAATGTCCACCCAGTCCGCCTCAGCGGCAATCTCCGAGGTCCTCCGGCAGCCAGACGACCTCCTCAAGCTCGCCGCATACCGCAAGAAGCTGCTCAAGGAGAAGTCAGCACTGGATGCCAAGCTGGCCAGTGGCGTCAAGGCCCAGCTGGACGCGACGCGAGATGCGCTATTGAAGCTGCAAGCGAGTCGCGCGGCCGTAGGGATGATTAGGGAGGAGATGATGGTTGTTGAGAAGTTGAAGGGGGAGGGTGGGGAAGGAGAGGCTTTTGATCGGATCACCAGAGTGAGTCTGCCGGCGCTGGAGAGGAGAGAGGAAGGAGCTGATGTAAGGTGTCTACAATACATCGAAACTTTGCGCAGACGACCAAAATGGTCCAAAACCTCCGGTCCATGTCTGACAAGGTCGCCAACATACACGCCCTCCTCCAGTCTGACATGTCACACCCGCTCGGTCCGGCCGGACCTTCTCCCAACCTCCTCATCATCCACTTTCAACTCCAGCAGCTCGAGGCATTCCGGAACGAAACGCTCCATCAGGCCAAGAAGGGCGGGGCAGAGGAGCGCGAGACGCTGGTCAATTGGTTTGAGCGATTGGACAAGGTGGGGATAGAATTCGAGGCGTGGTTATGGGAAATAGCGGGGAATGTGGTGGAGCTAGTCAGGAAGGGGAATGGGGGAACGGTAGTGCGGCTGCTCAAGGTGGTGGAGTTTGAAGGGACCGAGGATCAAAAGGTGAGTCTGAGTGCGGTTAGAGCTGATCTTTAGGCCGTAGCCATGAGGCTAGTCCGGCGTGTCGCCAACTCGGACGCAGCGTCCAAGTTCAAGTCGATGCAGGCCAACGCTCGGGTCATCAAAAACTACCGCCATAAACTGCTCGACGCCATCAAAGGGTCGATCAAAACGGCCTTCCAATCCCATGCGGAAGAGTACGCGCAGGACCCGCTGGGCTTCATCGAGACCCTCGGGTGGATCTACAAAGACATCATCCGGATCAAGGACGATGTCGACCCTCTCTTCCCGGAAGACTACGAGATCGTCCCTACCATGGTCAAGGCGTATCACCGGACGCTGAACGAGACCATCGTCAAACTCGTCACAAACGCGCCAGAGGCCAAGGTTCTCCTTGACCTCCACGCGTGGATCAAGGAGTACCGGGTCTCGATGAAGGAGCTGGATGTGCCGGCGGCGTGGCTTCAGCCTCCACTGCTGGATGGGAAGAGCCAGGACCTCATCGAGGACTATGTCAAGCTCATCGTGTCCAAGCTGGACGAGTGGACGCAGAATCTCATGCGGGAAGAGACGGCGAAATTCTCTTTCCGCATGAATCCGCCGGATCAGGCGGACGACGGGCAGTTGGGGATGGAGGGAGTCGTAGACTTCTTCCAGCTGGTCAATCAGCAGTGCGACCTCGCGCTCGATTCCAACCAGGGCGCGGTGCTCGCGCGGGTGGTCACCGAGTGTGCCAATGTCATGCGGCGAGCGCAGGGCGAGTGGCTCGCTGCGGTCAGCCAGGAGGTCAAGGCGCAGGTGGAAAACAAGCCGGAGGAGGTTCCCGGCGGACTGGTCGAGTATGTCATTGCACTCGCAAACGACCAGCTCAAATCGGCCGATCACGTCGAATCCCTCTCGGCGCGGCTGGAACCCCTCGTCTCGGAGAAGTACAAGGCGGTGATCAGTACCAAGCTGAACGAGGCTATCGACGGCTACCTCGACGTGGCCAAAAAGTGTACCACCTCGCTCGTCCAATTCGTCTTTAACGACGTTCGCACGGCGACCAAAAACCTCATCACGCCCGCATGGTACAATGAACCCCTGATGACTCAGATCATAGAGACCATGCGGGACTATATGGGCGACTATCAAACCCAACTCAATCCCTCTATATTCGATATCCTCATTGAAGACCTCCTCGACTCTTTCCTCATCGTCTACCTCACGGCCCTTCGGCGCGCGCCCGCCCGCGTTTTACGGATGCCCATGGCTATCGACCGGGTCAGGGAGGACGTCTCGGCCTCGTTTGACTTCTTCTCGACATACAAGAAGCCCGAGGACCTCGAGGTCAACTTTGAGGTCATGGATCAGGTGCTGTCGATGCTGGGCGCGAGCAGTCAGATGGTCTTTATGGACTATTGGACCTTTGCGAAGCGGCATGGACCGCAGTTGGCGTTTGTGGAGGCGTTGATTAGGGCAAGAGATGACTTTGATAGGCCGATGGTAGGGGAGATTATGGAGACGTTGAGGCGGAAGGTCAAGGAGGAGGGGATCGTGGATCCAGAGGAGCCGACTATCATGGTAGGTGCAACTTGCCGTGCGGAGTATCTAGCTGACAACACAGAACAAGGTACAAGTCACCCAAGGATCGATGCTCGACAAGCTGCAGCAACTCCCAAATCTCTCAAATCTGCAGAACCTCGCGGGAACATATCGCGAGCGGATACAAGATTACGGCGGGCAGATCAGGGAGTACAGGGAGAGGCTGCAGGACCGGCTGGGATAGGAAGGAGACCAGTAGGAGGTGTGCGTGACACAAGAGCAGGACATGGAATAGGCGCGAGTGAGTTGGAGCTGCCTTTCGTGCGCTGGGGTCTCGCTGATTGCCCAGGACGCGCCGTGCTCGCGGAGGGCGGTGGTCCCCTCATCCAGACACCTTGTTCAGGTCGCTTGGGCTTGCGGACTCCATGCGCAGGCGATTTGGAGCCGGGATTGGAAGCATGGAAAGATCTGGTGATCCGGGACCTGGGATCGGGGGGGATCTCGTACAGACTAGAGCGGATCGGTTGTGAAAAGGTATTCATAGCCACTGTAGATTTACATTCGCCTTCTATGATTGCCACTTCCTGTACAGTTCCGACGATACTCAGCCTAGTCCTGCTTGGCCTTATCGTTCCCAGGCTGTGTCGCGCGGTTCGGCAGGACCTCCGCGAGCTGATCGATCCGGTTGAACTGATGCTCGAAGCGCGAGTTGTAGAGGAACGGACGGAGGTCGAACCGATTGTCATCGGGGCTGTACTCTTCCTTGATCCCGTCAGCTGTTGCCGCGCCCCCCCGATCGGCACGAGATAGCTCACCAAGTGGACAGAAGGCGTCAAGGTGGTCATCTTGTGCCGATTGATAGCGTGGGTAAAGAAGAAGTGCTTGACCTTCGTGGCGATCTATCTCATCAGCTTTTGTCCTTGAGTCACGAAGGAGAAAGAAAGCTCACTTCAACAGGCGACAAGAAGCTTCCCCAATCAATGACCAACTTCCCAAACATCCCGTACGGTCCACACTTCTCCACCTTCCTCAGCCGCCCATACACCGACAGCTCCTCATACGTCATTCCCATCTCGACCTCGTCTGACTGGGCCACATTATCCTGTCCCATGGGAATGAGCTCCGCGGTGGGTATGGCATCGAGGAAGCTGTATATCAGCAAGCTCTTCGGGTCGGCGTTGGTCGGCGCAGTGGAGCTCACCTTCCCAGTATGGGCAGATCGAACTCAGTCTGGGCGTAGGCGATGAACTTCTTGAGGTCCGTTTTGGAGATACCTCCGATGGGATTGACGTCTGCGGCTGAACAGCTATGGGGGTCAGGCGATGATTCCCGACCTCTGCAGGCCGGAAGCTTACTCGTATTTCGTGTAGTATCCGCGCAAGCTCTCATCGACGTTTGCGCTTCCCAGAACGAGCAAACCCCCAGTCTTCCCTCGCACCCATGGCAGGAGTTGAGCGAACATGTATGCCAAGACCATACGCAACCGAGCCTACCCACATGAGCCTTACGCCTCACATCGCTACTTCAAAGAGCGAGACTCACCTGGATATTCTGCAAAGCCAGACTCTCTCTCGCTGTCCCGCCCTGCGACTCGAACCTGGGAGCCTTGTTGGTCGTCATGGTGAACAAGGCCTTCATGGCGGATACCACGGTGTCCATGTTCAGGTCCACATGGTAACTGAAGTATCAGCTCTTGTGCGATCTCAATCGTCCGACCGCTCCATGAAGCTCACCAGCCGATTGCCTCCGCAAGATCTTTTGCTCGCTTGCGCGTTTCGACACTAGAGTGCTCCGTGCCCATATAGCACGAGTGGAAGATCCGATTCGTAAACTCGCGCGGGTCGGAAGGGACATAGGTCGAGTCGTCAGGCTCGCCGGTCATTCTGCGAGCGTCGGCTATGACTTGTTCCTCTGCTCTGTCAGCTCACGGCACGCAGCATGGTGATCGTCTCAGCTGACCTCCGCGCTGAGCAGCCTGCACGACCAGGCGTGACATCGAATAGACAATGACCGAGGTGGCGCAGCTATCGATACCGCCCGACAAGGGCACAAAGTATCCCGCCTGTCGAGATCGACGGAGATAGTCCCATAGCCAGCACGCCGGACCGAGACTGCACCATCAGTCTCCCACCTGTCGTTCAGCAAGCATAGGCAACTCACGCAATCTCCTCTTCTGGTGTGTTATATTTGAACTCGATCGATTTGGCCTTGGACTCCTCCTCGCCGACCCTGATCCCCATTCCTCCATCTAGACGGGTATCAACCCAGACCCGCTCATACGGCTCCGACTGAGCCGCCTGCATCCGCCTTGACGACTGCGTCCTCGCTGCACGGACAGCCTGGAGGTCGAGCGTGGCAGTCACAACCTCGACGTCGGAGAGAGAGAATTGAGAGCCCTGTGCGACAATCCGGCCGTTCAGCGCAATCATGCAAGCTCCATCGTAGTATAGCCGATCGCCATCGCAGCCTTGCTGGTTGGCGTAGAGGTAGATACCGCCGTTCTGACTGTCAGCTGTTGTGTCGCATACGAGCGAAGGACTGGGCTCAGCTCACTTTGGCAGTCGCTTCTTTGATCAACTCGACCCGCTTGTTGAGCTTTCGCAGCTCGTGGTGACTCGCAGAAGAGTTGGTGAAGATCTCTACGCCGTCCAGACCCATCTGGATGTGCGGTCTGCGATCAGCCAAGACCTCAACGAAAAGGGCTGAACTTACGAGGCGGGCGTGAAGAGCTCCTCACATAGCTCCACCCCGATCACAGTGTCCTCAGTAGCCACGACGGCATCTCCGAACGGTACGACCGTCTAGCGATGTCAGCTGCGTCGCTCCGCTAGGGACCTTTTAGCTTACCTGGCCAGTGATCTTCCGGATGATACTGGGGAGCGAGTGAGGCTCGGTATGGCGGTGCTTATGCCAGGGTGTGAAGTATCGTAGCTCGCGCTCATACGTCAGCTTTCCATCGTACAGCTGAAGGCTGGGGAGAGCTGACATAGTTCCCGTCGTTCGCCATCCACATCTTCGGCCGGATCATCGCGATCTTGCCATTGTGGATGATGACCCGGCAGTTGTAGTTGCTGTTCTTGTGGGTCATGGGCCTATAGTCTGAGCCAGGGCTCCTTGAAGGCTGCAGGGGCTATGTTAGCTCACATGCCGATATCACAGACGATATCCCTCGCATCCTCATTCTGCAAGATCTTGGCCAGGATCTCCCACGAGTGCAGGATGGTATCCCCTGTCCCTATCAGCTTGACCGCGCTGCGACAATGCTTGAGCAATGTCACCCAGCTCACCTTCCAAGAAGTGATCGAGACATCCATAGCCTGGAATTTCGAGCTCTGGTCCGACACGCAGAGTCGCACCGCGGGACTTGGCGATCGTGATGGATTTCATGATCCGCTCATAGTTGCCCTGGCCGTGTCAGCTGCGGTACATGGCATTATCGTGATATAAGATATCTACCGTGAAATCCAGAGCCCATTGATTGAGAGAGCTGAGGCAGGTCAGCTACATATGGCAACACCGATCTAAGTTGGAGGGTTCCCGACTGACCATCTGGAAAGATCAGCTTGCTTTCCTGTGTGATCGACCAGGGACTGAAAGCTCACGTTGCAACAGTGACGAGGTGCATCTTGTCGAATGTCTGAGTGGAACAAACTCAGCGTGAGGTGGATGTGTAGGTAGCTGAAGAGGTGATGAGGAAGAAGGTCAGCAGTTAGCGCATGAACGTGAGCGATGACTCGGACTGTGGGGTCTCCACGCTTCTTCCGTCGGAAGCTGGAGGTGGTTAGCCGGACCTGCAGTGAGGAGCGTCCTTCAAGCCTACTTGGGAAAGTCCACCAGCGATGATGCGTCCATGTCTTTCCAGGCCGCTAAGGTATCTCCTCGCGACTTCAGGTGTACGAAGGGCAACCCGTCATACTCATATGCGCATGCGGAGAGACCGCAGAGGGCGACCGGGCGACACATTCCTTGTTACGTTATCGGCCCGCTTCACTTCGCGCCCAGCCGCTCAGCTTGCCATCGTCGCAACTTCCCATCCACCACTCATCCACTCCCTTTCACTTGCCATGCGACTCGCAGCTGAAAGACCTTCTTGACCCTTTGGTACGCGATGGTCCGTATGAGATCGTCATGACGTCAATGCGCCGCGCAGTATACCCTTAGGAAAGGAATTCGGGGAGGCTTCGCACCCTTTCGATCAGCTCGTCCGTGTCTCGGCCGGACGCGGAAGTTGCTTGTCCCGCAGCTGTGTGCTCTCTTGGCTAGCTCGACGAAGGCTGATCTCCCGGCTGATCCTCGCCGCCCGGCAGCAGAAAGGGCGCTACGGAGCACATCTCTCGAAAGGCACACACGACCTTCCACACAAAGGTCCTCCCTTCGAACACTCACGGCTGATCTCATACTCGACATCGGACACAGCCTCCCACTCATCCTCCTTTATCCTCCATTGTTCTTCCTCTTACTCTCCTTCACGCCTGATAGCTTTGGCTTGGAGCTAGCCGATGCCGACGTCGATGACGCTAGTCGACCCCCTTCAGCGCGTCACGCCGTCCTTCCCGCCCATCCTTCAACATGTATACCTCAAACTCCTGCCTCCTACCTCAGCATCTGATAAGGCACATTCGGGTCGGAAGAGACGTCCTTCCTGTGGAGCGCCGATGGGCGGTGATATGTTCGCCGATGTTCGAGATGGATGGTCTTGCCACCTTGGCAGGAAGATATAAGGGGGAGAGGGGAAGGGGGAAGAGAAGCGCGATTCTGATTCCTCCAACAGGTCCAACGTCTAGCTCACTGCCTCACTGCGTTTGCCACTCTCTCACCACCCATTCGCCACCACTTGATCCCTTATCGCGATGACGCCAGAACAAGCAGCTCTCGCTGAAGCACTCGCTGCCCGGATCATCGGCAGCAACAAGGCTCTCCGGATACTACCGTACTATATCGGGCAAGTCCTCTTCCTCCCTGTCGTTTTCAAGATGGCACTGACCAGCTCAGAGGCTTTCTGGATCACGTGCTCCTCGGCCTAGTTATCGGCCAGTGTCTGATCTATACCCGCTTCGTCAAGACCGACAAGAAGCACATCGTCGCTTTTGTAGTGAGCCGACCCATTCTCGCATCCGCTGTGATCCCTATGTTGATACACCTAGGTCGCGTCTGTCATGTGTACACTTGCAAGCACAATAGAGTGCGCCTGGCTGTCTTGAGTTGTTTGCTTTAGCTGACGCCCAGTATCCTACTATGGTTGACCGAAATCTTTGTCTGGCACTTTTCAGAATACCTCATCTTCTCGGACGGATCGTGTAAGCCCATTCAGCTTGTGAGGTGCTTGAGAAGCAGCTGACGAGTAGATATATACCGGCTTGTTGTGATTGATATCGTCTCTACTTTTGTCGTACAAGTGAGTATCCGGCGATCTGGGGCGCTGAGATCTGAAAGAACTGACTGTCTCAGGCATTCTATGTGGACCGGGCGTACCGCCTACATAGGCACTGGTGGCCCCTCGCGTTCCTGGGGACAGTCGTGTGAGTAGAATTGGCTCTGGAGAGCAAGCCGTCAGCTGATCAGGGCCAGATTTACTGCTCTCGGAGTCGGTGCTGGCTTCATCTCGGTCATCGCCAAGAAGTTTATCCGACTCGATTCGTCAGTAGTGGACGACCCCGTGAGTGATATCAAGATCAGCCATAAGACCCTAGCTGACGGATCAGACCGTCAAGACCATGGCATACACCTGGCTCATTCTCATATCGCTTGCGGATCTCAGTATCACAGTCGTCATGGTCTGGGGCCTGGACAAGAACAAGACGGGCTGGCAACATACCGACTCACACTTGAAGGGTCTTGTCGTGTGAGTCTTGACTGCTCGCTTGACGGGATGAAACATCGCTGATGGCCTCATAGGAGGTGCTTCGAGGCTCAGCTCCCCGCGCTTGTCATGTAAGCCCCGTGTTCTCTGCGGCTGCTTGATGATGCTGACTTCCAGCGCTATTGCCACCCTCATCAGCTGGAACCAGAAGCTCGAGATTGCGATTGTCTTCCTGTATGCCTACACGTGTTTTCGAGTCCGACCCAAGCTGATGAGCTAGCATGTCACATAGCAAAGTCTACACACTGGGATTGCTCGTCACCCTTAATTTCAGAGCCAATCACAATACCGACTCCCCAGCTCAATCGTACAAGTCCGACGCAACTGTGAGCCCATTTCTCGTCCGAGTCAGCTCAGGACCTGCTGACCTGTGCAGAGCGGAAGCTACGGTCTCTCCGAAGTATCAGGGAAACACAGAAATGTCGTCGTGGTCGACCGTGAGATCGATGTATCGGTAAGCTGTGCCACTACTCGGCTCGCCATGTTGTGGGCTGACTCTCAGATCGATCAGGGCCAACACTGGGACATGAGCAGGCGTAACAGAGTGCTGGACGTCGAAGAATCCAGCGCTCACTCAACGCACTCCATCAACCCCGGTCACTCTGATCACCCTTTCGCCCAGACCCACGGAAGAGCAGAATGGGAGTCGACCACCGCGCTACATGAGCTGCCGCATGTGCATGTCCGGGGCGCAGGACGGGGATATTGAGCACGGCGTCTGCGGGTTTGGTAATCTTCTGACTTATTATGTGTACAAGTTGAGCGACATGCAATAGACTATGGGACACGGTCGAGAACGCCCTCCCTCAGCAGGTGCAGACTGCTTGCAGTGACTAGTGAAGTTTGAACCATCCCTGCCACACTCGGCTGCAGATTGGGTCCGCGTCACGCGTTCCGGTTCCGGACCTTACCTTATCGGAGATATCCTTTTCGGGCGGCCCTTAGCGTGTGACGATCTCGGCTGTTATGCGGCCGATCACCCATGCTGACTAGTACCGTAATGTGAAACGCCAACTCTAAATAGGCCTAACTTACCCTGAGTCACTGGATGGGCCGGGGTCGCCGGGGAATCTTTGAATCTCAACTCAGGAACGGATTCAACAGAGACAGCCGCGCCGATCTAGCGAGAGTTACGTTGCCGCACGCCAACACTTAAGTCGAATGCAGCAAGGAAGCGGAGAGAAGAAGGAGGAGAGGAAACCCGGCGCACACAGCATCGTTACATCTGCCTCGTCGTTCTGTTCTGGTTCTCCCTAGAAGTTATACTCTTCACCGTCATCATCGATCGACCCGCCGGCCGTGATCCGCATACCTCCATTCCGCTCCGTCAGCTTCAGGAGAGAAACTGGGGAAACTGCGGGGAAGCCTACACGACAAGGGACAACAGCAATCTCTTTGCGACGCGCTCATACCTCCACGCCTCTCGCTTTGCTACCAGATTATTGGTAAGTGTCTCCCGCTTGGGCGCTTGTTGAGCTTCTTTTGGAGATCGCCCGCGGGCGTGTGTATGTGTGTGTGTGCGTTTATGATCTGTCATCAGGCACGCGCGACTAGTGGGGGACCCTCCTTTGGAATCCACCCTCGACCAATTCAACCTCTCTTTTGTGAACAGACGCTGATCAGACACAGCTCTTTCCATACCTTTCGACGGCGGTGCATTCTCATTACATCTATTATCGCTATCACAACTTCATTATACATACGCCACCTCTCAGATCACGTTGCAAGGCGAACTTTCGCACGCAAGAGCCAGGGAGACCTCGCAACCTTGAAACCCCAGCAGTCGACGACCTTTCATAACAGGTGAGCATCGTTTGGCCCTACTCCCCGTCTCCCTTTGTTCATCCTGGGGATGAGATGTCGTTTGAGATAGATTGCTCTTTCCTATCAGCTCGGTTGAGCAAGACGAGATATGGCGAGCTTGGACCGTGGACGATCGGTTCGGGAGATGAAAGGAGGAGCAGATTTTGCGCGCCGGTGTTGCAGCGCGGAGCAAACCAAGGTCAGGCGCATGAGATGATGGGGTTCGAGCGACTAGTCATCCCTCCTCTACACAACAACATTGGAGGGAACAAAGCTAACGATTTTCTTCCCTTTTCACAATGATCTCGACCTATCAACATTTTACTCTCCCTACAAATCATGCCCGACCCCGAACACAACGAAACCCTCTTCGCACAGCAGACATAATCAGACGCAGGATGCCTGATCCACGAGAATACCGCGATGTGCGAGACCCGAGGGACCACCGGGAGAGGGAAATGCGGGATCCGCGAGACCCGCGCGATCCAAGGGAGATGAGAGATATGCGGGACCCGAGGGACATGCGGGATCCGAGGGAGATGAGGGACCCAAGGGACATGCGGGATCCCAGGGACATGAGAGACCCAAGGGATATGAGGGATCCCAGGGACATGCGGGACATGCGCGGAGGTGATCCGAGGGATATGCGCGAGCGGGACCCGAGGGAGATGAGGATGCACCCGCATCCCTCGCAGCAGCACCCCTCGTCAAATCAGCAACATCATCCTACGTACGCTCACCCGTCGCACGCTCCACATCCGTCTCACTCGAGCCATCCTCAACATGCCCCGCACCCCTCCCACCAATCCCACCCGATCCATCCCTCGCACCAGACGCACCCGCAACATCCGTCCCACCAGTCCCACCCCTCCCTCTCGCACCCCTCGCAACACCCGCCGGGGCCTTCTTACCCGCCCCAGCACGCATACCATCACTCGAGCAGTCGGCACAGCAACGGCGGTCCCACCCCTGGCTTGGGTATGCAGAACATGGGCGGTCCTCCACCCGGAATGGTGATGGGCGGACCACCCGGAGGCGATCCCCGAATGCCGCCGGCAGGTCCGATGATGCCGATGAGCAACGGGGATGCCCATGGTCCAAGCTCATCCGCTCATCCTCATGTCATGAGGGACCATCCTCCCGCCATGCCTCCGCCACCAACCAACCTCACTTCCAGCTCTGCGAGGGCCAAGGACAGGCTAGACCACTTGTCGGCGGGATTGACATCAGCAAATGAGAATACTTGGCTCCTCATGGGTAAGTAGAGCTACTGGGTGTCAGCTCGTCGACATATAGCTGACTTGGTAGGCGCCGTTGCCGAGCACGTCCGTGACTTCGACCGAGCCATGACCGCTTTCGAACATGCGCTTCGTCACAATCCCAACTCCATCATCGCCCTCACCAGCGCCGCAGAGATCGCTAGGAACAGAGATCAGTACGACAAGGCTATCGAGTACTTCCAGCGCGTTTTGAACATCAAGCAGGACAACGGGGAGGTGTGGGGAAGCATGGGTAAGTTGTGATGCACTGTCAAGGACGGAGCGTAACTGATCGGCAGGGCACTGCTTGCTGCTGAAAGATGATCTGCCTAAAGCCTACACTGCCTACCAGCAAGCACTATACCATTTGCAAAACCCGAAGGTGAGTAGCAGTGCTTTTGCATGGCATGCTCACGCTGACAAAGCAGGAACCGAAGCTCTGGTACGGTATCGGCATCCTGTATGACCGTTACGGCTCGTTCGAGCATGCGGAAGAGGCGTTCTCAAGTGTGCTGAAGATGGATCCGAGTCAGTTCAGACCATGCTTCCTGGCGGAGCGATAGCTAATGAGCAGAATTCGACAAGGCGAATGAGATCTACTTTAGGTTGGGTATCATCTACAAGCACCAGAGGAAGTACTCTGCCAGTCTGGAGGTGTGTCTTCCACTCTACTTGTCGAGATTGTCGCTGATTTGATAGTGCTTCCGCTACATCCTGGACAACCCGCCGCGCCCGCTTACACATTTCGACATTTGGTTCCAGCTCGGACATGTCTACGAGCAGGATCGAGACGTGAGTACATCAACCCCCCAGTGATGAGTATCGCTGATTTGGCCAGTTCGACAATGCCAAAGATGCCTACATGCGGGTGCTCACGCATCAGCCAGATCACGCCAAGGTGTTGCAGCAGCTTGGCTGGCTTTACCACCAGCCTGGAGCGACCTTTGCGGATCAGGAGGCGGCTGTAGGGTACTTGACGAGGAGTCTGGAGACAGGTACGTCTTCCCGAGCTGCCATGAGATACCAAGCTGACGGTATAGATGGGACCGACGCTCAGAGCTGGTACCTCCTCGGTCGAGCCTTCATGGCCGGACAGCGATACAACAAGGCCTACGAGGCATATCAACAAGCTGTCTACCGGGATGGTCGCAATCCGACCTTCTGGTGCAGCATCGGTGTCCTCTATTACCAGATCAACCAGTACCGCGACGCCCTCGACGCCTACTCTCGCGCGATCCGGCTCAACCCCTTCATCCCGGAAGTTTGGTACAACCTCGGGTCTTTGTACGAATCGTGCAACAATCAAGTCTCGGACGCTATCGACGCGTACTCGCGCGCTTCCGAGCTGGACGGTACCAATCAGGTCATCAAGAACCGTCTTGCCTTGCTTCAGGGTCAGGGTTCAAAGAGTGCCCCTCTCCCGCCGGCCCCTGGACCGGTCGACGTCCATCCCAGCCAGTACGCCGCCACCCCAACGGGCGCACCGGGAATGAGCTCTCCTCGCGGCGATCCCACTGCGCTCGTCGGCGACGGTCGCCCGGCCGAAAGGCCGCCCACTGCCCCTCGGGGAGAGCCCGCTCCGGTCGCGAATGGAGCTGGACCGCACGGCAGTCCCGGTCCCTTCCATGGCGTTCCGCCACCGCTCAACCAGGTGGACGAGACCCGCGGGAGCATGTCGCGTCATGCTCCCCTCGCGCCTATCGAGATGGACCGACCGGAGCTGGCTCCCATGAACGACAGGGAACGATCTGGCGCTCCGCCGATCACGCTCGCCCCGAATGGTCGGGCCGATGAGCGCGGCTTGGACCGGCGCGGACAGCCATCGCCGGCTGGGACTCGCCGTCAACCAGAAGCAGGGCGAGAATACGGATACCCACCACATCCACCTCCGCCCGGCGGGGCGCATATGCGCGAGCGGGAGCCGCAGAGCAGGGAAGAGTGGGAAGCTAGGGAACGGCGGAACGGAGCCCATCCGCCAGGCGGACCGCAGTATCCTAGCCAGCCCATGATGGGCTCTCGCGGACCCAGCCCCAGGATACCGGATCGAAGTGGTCTCCAGCAACCCGGTGGACTCAGGCGTCAGCCCTCACCACGAGTACCCTCAGACCCGCGCGAATACGGTCGTGACCCAAACTACCCGTATCCTCCGCCGCATCCGGACGATCGCAGACGATACGAGGAGCTCTCGATGATGGGCGGAAATCGACACCCGTCCATGCCGCGCGACGCACGGCTGGAGGAGGCGCGTATCTCCAGTCCAGCACCGAGCAATTCGAGCCGTGCAGGCAAGCGAACGAGGGACAGCGCAGGGCCAGGACCGGTCAAGCGGGCAAAGGACGATAAAGGTGGAGCGGCGGTACCGTCTAAGCGAAACTCGCAGAACGGGGAGAAGAAGAAGGAGTCGAAGAAGACAGCGGCGGCCAAGTCGCCCGCGGAGAGTGTGAAGACTGCACCGCCGGCTGGACGAGTGGTCGATGAGGGTGAGCAGATTCTCCGCCAATGAGGACGGCCGAGCTGATTATCAGAATACGACGAGGGCGTAGATGCGCTCATGGCGCTCCATGGCGACCGACCCTCCAATCACGGCAGCGCTCGCGAGTCCAGCGTCGGCAGTACAGCAGCACCAGCCGTTCCCTCCCCTAGCGCGCCCACCGAATCAGCTGCTGCCCCCGCAGCTACTTCCACCCCAACGCCGGCCGCACATTCCACCGCGGAGACCGGAACCAAGCGGGACGATCCCACCTCCCCTCGCTCTCCCAGCACCGTCACTGCCAAACGACCAAAGCCTATCACGACCAACTCGACGACTTCAGTCACGAGTCAGCAGCCTGGCCCAAAGAAGACTGTCTTCTACGAGGTGCTGAACGCGGAGAGCGTGCGGAGTCCCGGGTCAGCCTCGGGCTCGGCACACGGCTCCGGGTCGGCGCATGGCTCCGGTTCCGGGCACGGCTCGGCCGGGGCGGGAAGCCATCGAAGCGGCGGAGGCATGCCGGCGATGATCGGGACCTACCGTGCTAGAGATGAGGAGAAGGCCACGGAGGAAAGAAAGGAGCAAGTCAGCGCGACGGTCGCGCCGAGGGCGGAACAGGTGCCGGAGCGAGCAGGCGAGAAGGAGTCACAAGCGGCAGATCAGGGAGTAGGGATTGATGTGGAGATGGCGGATGCGAGTCATAAGGAGCCTGAGAAGGTGGAGAATGAGAAACTGGCGGCAAAGATGGACGTGGAACGTTCTCAGGCGGAACCGGAGAGGGTAGCAGAGGCGCCATCACCTCCAACCGCCCAGGAAGCGCCGGTTGCGCCGGTAGACGAGGACGTTGCGATGGCGGAACCGGAAGCTCCAGCCTCCAAGGCCGACGGCAAGACATCAGCAACCTCGGTCACTGCGGGGGCTCACGAGTCAGAATCTACTCCGGCGGTCAGTGCAGCTGGCAAGGAGGATGCGGGTGCAAGAGAAGGAGGTGCGGAGAAGGAAGTGAGGGCGGAGGAAAGAGCTGCTTAGATGATAGGACGATTTAAGTATCCGTGCAGATCTGTGCATATTGTGCTGCTTCACCCTGAGGGCGACTGATCATCGCTCACTTGAGTTTCTGACAGCAGTGTCGACACTTTCCGGCAGTAAAGTCCGCGAAGGAACGGCCGGACGCTGTTGGACCGGCGGCACATTCCACCACCACGGCAGATCGACCGGTCTGCTTCTGAGCCCGACAAAACAAGTCAACACCGGCCCCATTCACTCTCGGGCACGCCTGGCCAAGCATATCTTTGGATGCGCAAACAAGCGTTTCGACTTGTTCACGATCCCCAATTAATGTGGTAGGCCGGAGGTACCAAGCTGAAACCGACGACCAATACGAGTAGCTCCTGCATGTTGCCCTTGTTTGCCTTGTTGTTTCGTCTTCGAGGCAATGCTCGACACAACAGGAAAATGGTGATGATCTGGGTGTGATCGGTCACCAAAGCAGGTGAGTCATGTCTCAGGTTGTTTTGACATGTCCCCTCCCGCCCCGCCGAATCTCGAATGCTTGGGCCAGCTTCAAGGAGGGGTGAATGATCATCTTGCTACCGTACTATTCGTTTCATGTCCCTTCACGATTACATTGACCTGCATCATTGACACCCTTCGTCCCGGCATTTCTGACTTGACAGGCTTGCGCAAGATGTATAAGAAGGACGATGAGCTCGACCTCCGATCCTTCATCAGCTCACTCTTCTCTCATCTCCTTCTCACATCTACTTCCCATCTCAGGTCTCTATCTCAGGCTTCTATCTCACCTTCCGTCGCTCTCTGCATACACAGTCTCGCAACACGACCACCTACCCAGCCAAACAATCAGCAACCATGCCCTCGTTCACCAAGATCGCCGTCTCGTCCCTTGTCGCCTTCGCCTACTCAGCCAACGCCGCGCCGATCCTTTCGGGCCTCGGCGGAACCGCGAGCGGTAACGCGAATGCGAATGCCAATGCCCACGCTGGCGCCAAAGTCAACACCAACGGGATCGTCGCTGCTGGTACGACTACCGACCTCAAGGTGTTTGCGGATGCCTTCGTGCGTATTCTTCCCTTTCCAGGCTCTTAATGAAGGATTGACTGACTCCCTCAGCTCAAAGTCGCCACGGGTGGACGTGCCACCTCTTGCGACAACGTCAATCTCGGTCTGGTCACTGGCCTCGCTACCGTGAGTCTTCCCTGTCCCTCTCTAGAGTTTGTCTCCTGACTTTACAGAACCTGAAGGCCTCCCTCTTCAGCAAGCTCGCCGTAACCCAATGCATAGGGTCATACTGTACGTCTCCCTCCATCGCCCCTCATACGGACTACAGCTGACGTCTCAGCCGATGCTGTTGCTTGCACCGAGTTTGGCGCATACCTTGCCGTTTCGTATTACGCCTACATCTCGGGCTGGACCGGTGCTACCCTATTCGCTGCTCTGGAGAGTAAGTACTATCGTCCGTATTGGCTAGTCGAGTGAGCTGATCTTCTCCAGCCACCCGGGTGAACCGCTTCCACGCTCTCCTCGACGGATTCTGCGGGGCGCAAGGGGCCCCCGCCGGCACGTGCGATGACTGGTTGACTCAGGTGAGTTCATGACAAGCCGATCCCATCAGACAGCAGCTGATTCTCAGTGGAACACTTTCGAATACGCTTCTGCTGGGATCAAGGCCGACGTCCAGGCTGCTGCTGTGAGTATCATCTCTAGTCTCCTACCGCACAGCAGCTGATGATGTCAGAAGGCCAACCTCCAAAAGTCCGGACTCCTCACCGTCTGCGACACTACCGCCATCGTCAAAGCCGCCGCCAACGGCAAGATCATCGTCAACGCCAGCGCGAACCTTGCCGCCCACGCCGCCGCCGTGGTCAAGGCCGACGCCAACAGCAAGGTCGGGGCTGTCGTCCACCGCGGTCTTGCTCTCGGCGGGCAGGGCGCTGGTCAAGCCAACGGCGTCCTCGGTGCATCTCTCGAATCCCTCACCGGCAACAAGCACCACAACGACCGCATCATCTCCAACCTCGTCGCTGGTGTCGGTGCGGCTGGCCACGCGAACGGAGCAGCTCATCTCGGCGGTCTCATCGACCGTGACCTCCTCGACACCGCTCACATTGTCGGTGGCGCGCAGGGCCAGGGATCGGCCCACGGTGCCGGCTTCCTCGGTATCACTGGCGATAAGCTCGACCTCGGCCTCGCCGGCCTGGGCCACGGTCAGAGCCACGGCGCAGGATTCCTGGGTGTCACTGGCGACAAGCTTGGTCTCGGCCTTGCGGGCGAGGGGAAGGGCAAGGGGTTCTTGGGGGCTGTTATCGCCTGATCGTGTGAGGCGGAGATGTGCACAGCGATGGAGTGGGGTTCTTTCTTTCTTAGGGTCTTTGGTTCGGTATAATATCTCTTTCTGCGGGTTTAGGGCCGCTGGGTACTCTGGTATCTCTTGGTAATGATGCATTGTTCTGCATTGTCATATCACTCTGATCCACACCTCGTCAGCTTTGGCAGGCAAAGACTTGTGTGAAGTTCCGGCGAACGGAGGTAGGGGAAATAGGTAGTCCGATACTGACATGCGCTTGATGTGATCTGGTCTCAGAAGCGGTCAGGTAGGGCGGGCAGCTCCTCGATGCTCAGCACTCAGCTTCGATCTACGCCTTTGCGAGACGCTGTAAACCAGATCAACTTTGTACTCCAGGCCGCCACACTGCCACACCCCGGCTGGCGACCGTGCATCGTGGGAGAGTCAGATCCGCATTCAGCGCCGAGCTCGAGCCAAACACTACAAATGCTGCATCAAACCATCCAACAACTTACTCCCTTGTGACCTCTCCCCATTGCGTAGCTGGCGAGCACATTACAGGCGGCGATCCTTCTCGACAGTACAGATCCCACATAGGGTAGGCCATATTAGGACTGCTGAGATGATCTCAGCTTCCATTGGACCGGTCCAGTATCCAGATCGCAAAACCCGATCTACATATCTGACATTTCGACTGTTCTTGCTCAAGCTCATTGTGCTGATCTCGCTTCTCCTTGATTCCCATCTCATACAAACACTGACTAGCAACTCGTCTTGGCGTCAACAAAATGCTCGTGATTCACTACAACGCTCACAGTCCGTCAATCAAGTTGACAATGAGCCGTGTCTCACTTCGACTCGGAACGCTGATGTGGCTCCCGTATGGTCATGAAACAGTCTCAGGATGAAGGAGCTGGTAGATCAGCTCATTGTCCATGTACTCGTTTCATCCTCATTCGACAGTGGTCGTGTTGACCATGGCACGAGCTGTACTGACCGGCTCAAGGATCTCGAGCCAGATATATAAGGCCTGCCCCCAGCCTGCTCTTTCTCTCTATCAGCTCACATTTCCCATCCTCTCTCATCTCATCTATATCTTATCTATCTACCATCTCTATCTCTATCTCGCTTCTCGTCCCTACTCGCTCATCCAGCAACGATAATCTCCACCCGATACAACCACCCACCTTCACACTCCTATACCAAATACACATCAGCCAACATGCCTTCCATGACCAAGCTCGCCCTCTCGTCTCTCGCTCTCCTCGCCTACTCTGCAGATGCCGCCCCAATCTTCACGTCTACTAGCGGCAGCGGTAGCGCTCACGCGAACGCGAACGCCAACGCTGCTGTTTCGCTCAGCGGCAGTACCGACCTCAAGGTCTTTGCGGATGCCTTCGTGAGTTGTCCCCTTGCAGATCCGGAAAGGGGCCGGAGCTGATCATCTGCAGCTCAAGCTGTCCACTGGCGGTCGCGCTAGCAGCTGTGACAATGTCAATGTCGGTTCGGTCCTCGGTCTCGCAGCAGTGAGTGTTGTCTCATGCCATGAGCTTGGATACTCATTGACACTGCAGAACGTCAAGTCTTCGCTGTTCAGCAAGATCGCCGTGACTCAGTGTATCGCTTCTTACTGTGAGCTGCTGCAGCCGTCCCCTTGTCTGTTCAATGCTGACCTCGGTAGCCGATGCTGTCGCCTGCACCGAGTTCGGCGCGTACCTCGCCACGACCTACTACGCCTACATTTCCGGCTGGACTGGCGCCACGCTCTTTGCTGCTCTTGAGGGTAAGTCATATTCATATTGGACCTTGATCTGCGAGCTGATTGTATAGCCACCAGAACCGACCGCCTCCATGCGCTCGTTGGCGGATTCTGCAGCACTGCTACCGGTGTTTCCTCAGGCGCTTGCGACGACTGGATTACCCAGGTATGTCTCACCGCGCTACCCCGGTGTCTTCAGCGCTGATGATATAGTGGAACACCTTCGGGTACGCTTCGGTCGGTCTCAAGGCGGATGTCAAGGCGGCTGCTGTAAGTTCCGCTGATACCATCCAATTGAGCTCAGCTGATCCATATACAGAAGGCCACCCTGAAGACCTCTGGCTTGCTATCCGTCTGCGACACCACCGCTATCCTCAAGGCTGCTGCCAACGGCCAGATCACCGTCGGAGCTACCGCCACCGCTCAGGCCGCCGTTGCCGCACACGCCGCCGCTGCAGTCAAGGCGGACGTCCAGAGCAAGACTGGCGTCGCGGTTCCTCGTGGTCTCGTCCTCGGCGGCCACGGTGCTGGGCAAGGCGCCGGCGTCCTCGGTGTCTCCCTCGACTCCATCACTGGCAACAAGCACCACGACAACGGTCTCCTCACCAACCTCGTTGCGGGTGTCGGCGCCGCGGGCAGTTCCAAGGGCGCTGTAGGTCTTGGTAGCCTCATCCACCGTGATCTCCTCGACACCACCCACATCGTCGGCGGCGCACACGGCCAGGGATCCGCTCACGGCGCTGGCTTCCTCGGCCTTGACGGTGACGACCTCGACCTCGGTCTCTTCGGCAAAGGACAGGGCCAAGGCTCCGGAATCCTCGGTGTCACCGGTGACAAGCTCGGTCTCGGTCTCTCAGGCGAGGGGAAGGGGAAGGGCTTCTTGGGTGCGGTCATTGCTTGAGATAGTTGTTGGCGAGTCGGGCGGGTTTCAAGTTTGGTCTCTCTTTGGGTTTTAGTTCATCTCTCTTCGCTCTGTCAGGATTCCCCTCCCCTGGTAGCTTAAAAGCTTGACCGGTTTTCGTCAGTACACCTTATATTTTAGCCGGTCAGGTAGGTAGTCTTGGGATGGATGCATTAGCTGGCATCGTCAAGATCATCCGACGTCGGGCATCAGCGTCTATCAGCATGAAAGCGCCCCGCTCGGGGTGCAAGATTATTGGACCCCAGGCTGATGTTGATGGATGCGTTGCGATCTTGAGCTATTTGCCTCCTTCGCTGAGCCACGCCTATATAGGCATGCTTTGGCAAGTCTTATGGATGGACGTTTCGAGAAAAGTCCATGATGCATGCAAGCGAGAAGCGGGGGTCAATTTAATCCAGCGAGAATGGTCCGAATGCCCCGCCGGGCGAGTTCGAGTTCAGGGTAACGTGGAGGCTCCCGGTATCGACCGCGCCGGTCAAAAGGTCGTCATTCCCCCCTTCCTTCTTCTTTCTCTCCTGCTTCCATACTTCATCTTTGCTTCATCTACCAGCAATAACAAGTGAGTCTTCTCTTGCTCTGGCTGTACTAGTCTATCACTGCGAGAAACGCCTGCTCACTCTCTCTAGCCTCCACCATTCTACCCACACTTTCACGCGCATTCCGCACCTCTCAGTTCAAAATGGCTCAGCAGTCCTTCAAGCTCGCGTCTGGCGGCAAGCAGATCCCCTCCATCGGTCTCGGTACTGTGAGTTGCCTCTCCTTGCATGAGTGCAGAAGAAGGATGCATTGGAGATCGAGCGCTGACTGAGCTTTTCCTTCTTTTCCTCACCGATTCTGGACGATTCTGCCTTGTCTTCCCTTTCCTTCCGATCTTTTCTTGGCGCTAACAGTGGCAATCCGCGTGAGTGGTCCTGGCAGTAGATATACCCACACAGAGCAATTTACTAACGTTCGCAGCAAGGGTGAAGTCGCCAAGGCCGTTGAGCACGCTCTCAAGGTAAGTCTGAAAGGAACCTGACACAAGAAGCAGAAACTGATTCCTCAGAACGGCTACAGGCACATTGAGTGGGTACCCATATCCAGCAGGCTCTGACCACATGTGCCAGGCACTCCAGAGCAAGCGCTGACTGTACAGCTGTGCCTGGGCTTACGGTAACGAGGCCGAGGTCGGAGAGGGTATCAAGAACTCTGGCGTCGCCCGCGAGGAGATCTTTGTCACCTCCAAGCTCTTCGAGCTCCACCACCACCCCGAACACGTCGAGCTCGCCATCAAGGACACCTTGAAGAACCTTGGTCTCGAGTACCTCGACCTGTACCTCATGCACTGGAACGTGAGTGACTGGCTTTCTAAGTGGGTGATCTAGGCTAACACGATCAGATCAACCTCCAGGTTGACGCTCCCGAGGGCGTTCTCCCCACCCAGGACCACACCATCAAGGCTGAGAACGGCAAGAAGAAGCTCGACGTTGCGCTCGCCGATGACGTCACCCCCACATGGAAGGCTATGGAGAAGGTGAGCGGATCGCAGAAAATCGCATGGAGCAGAAAGCTGATCCAGCAGCTCGTTGACCAGGGCTTGACCCGTGCCATCGGTGTCTCCAACTTCAACATCAACCGTGTCAAGAAGCTCCTTGCTGCCGACATCAAGATCAAGCCCGTTGCCAGTGAGTACCAGATAAGACCATAGAAAATGAGCTGCACTGATCCCCCTAGACCAGGTCGAGCTTTCGATCCAGTGCCCCCAGCCCGAGCTTGTCGCATGGCTGAAGAAGAACGACATCCTCCCATGCGCCTACTCTCCTCTCGGCGGAACCGACGGCCAGCACTTGCGTGAGCACAAGACCGTTGCTGCTATCGCCAAGAAGCACGATGTCCACGGTGCCACCATCCTCATCAGCTGGTTGATCAAGCGCGGTATCTGCGCTCTCCCCAAGTCCGTGACCGCTTCCCGCATTGACGCCAACTTGAAGTGTGAGTTATAAGGCGTCTACGATCTCGAATTTAGGCCAGGAGCTGACATGCCAGCGGTCGACCTTTCTGAGGAGGAGTTCCAGCAGCTCGAGGAGCTCTCCAAGTCGCACCCTCCCAAGCGTGTCTGCGACCAGTCTGACAGTGAGTTCTATACGACCCAAGCGCCCATTGCAGAAGAGAAGCTGACAGTAAGGCTTCGAGCCCTTCTACGACATCTACCAGGAGAACGACAAGGAGTTCTCGGACAAGGCGCAGTACGCCCTGGAGAAGTAAGACGTGGGACAAACCAGGAGTAAAAGTGCAGGCTGTAGCATCATGTAGCTAGATCAGGTCATGCATGTGCATGGTAAACATCATCACCCCCTTTGGCGATGAGAAAACGAGGCTATCCTCTACTCTGTTGTCAGCTAGCCAACCTGCGCAACTACTGTACAACCTGCCAGCGGATAGGCCAAATCACGTGACCTCTGGCTGGCGGTGGAGGCGCGTCTCCAGAGCTTGTACTGCACTGAAATTCAACTAGTTCCTTCACTTCATCTTCATCCACTCTGCATAAGTATCGCCCCAACACCAGCGCATCATGGCAGCCGAACAGCAAGTACAGCTCACAGATTTGGAGCCTATCCAATTACAGGAGGTGAAGAAGCAGCTTGACCAGGTGAGTGTGAAAGATGAGCTGCCCGAGCGTTTCCAGATCACGAAGATGAATGCGGCGTTGCTGCACTGCTGTTTCTACTGCGAGGACTGAGCTGATCCGAGTCCAGGAGCTCGACCATCTCACAACATCATATCAGCAGCTCAAGCAGGCTCAGGCGAAGTTCAGATCTTGTCTGAGTGATTTGGGCGAGTTGACACCGTCAGCGAAGGGTAGGTTTGGCATCCACCATCCTTTCCCACTTCCCTGTCTTGGTCACCCATTACGAGGATGGCCAAGGCCGCTTTGTTGACGCTATAGAATGCAAAGCTGATACATGGCAGGCAAGGAGGTGCTCGTCCCCTTGACCAGCTCATTATACGTACCCGGAAGATTAGCAGATACCGAGATGGTCGTGGTGGATATCGGGACTGGCTACTACGTGCGGAAAGTGAATACGACCGCTGTTCCTTCTCGTCGAGAATCCGGAGGTGGGAAGTAGGCGCTGATATCTTCTAGAAGCGGTCAGAAGCACGGGAACACTACACTGCCAAATCCGCCTCCATCCAGGGCAATCTCGAGACATTACAAAATACGATAGAGCGGAAGCAGGAAAACGTGCAGACGGTGATGCAGGTGCTGCAGATGAAGTTGCAGGGAGGGAGGGGAGGCGGGGGAGGTAAGTAGACAAGAGACATCGCAGGGATGATATACATGTGCAAGGACTGCTGGCGCTGTCTGAATTATCGAGAGGATGGTGGGTATCACTGATTGTATCTACTGATTGCAGGCGAGCCATACTGATGGCATGCGGCAGAAGAGGCGCTAGGTCTGGTCAGACGGCACAGCAACGCCCAAACGCCTTCCAAACTTCCAGTTGATCTCGATAAAATTCGGCTCCGTATCGGCCGTCACCATCCCATGTCGGATCATGAAGTGGACGAGTACCGACGCGCAATTTGGCTTGAACTCACCCGCGTGCATGGCTGCCAGCACGTCCGGGATAGACATCAGCTGTCTCTGTCAGCGGGCATAAAGGATGGTCCGTCACAGTAAAGCGAAGAAGGGCTTACGGCGAAAGATTCCACCTCGCCGTCACACGGGCGGGGCTCGACGTATTCCGCAGAAGTACGAGGGGAAAGTTGGAGGTCGAATGTGTAAATCACCCCTGCAAGCCGTGAGTCATGGACCCGAAGGCATACTAGTATATATAGAAACAGGAGATCCACTGACCAGGTTGCAGATATCCGTCAGGCGTGATGGCAAATTCGGTGATCGCCCCTGTGGCCCTATTCGATCAGCTCGGCGCCACACCGGTGATCTTCTACATGAAGGATTTGATCACACACCTGATTCGCGACAGCAAGAACGACTCGGGCAGACTGGCCTCTTCTCCACACTCCTTGACCATAGTATCCAAAGGGCTCATTCCGGCTGGTATGCCGCCAGCAACTGTCTGACAATAGTCTCAGCTCATGTAGCAAGTCAATAAATGTCTCACAGACTCACGTTGTCGAGCATGCCCGGGAAGGTCTGCTTGGTCCGACTCCGCCTCGGGACCCAGGGCTTCATGCTCTCTCCTTCGCCCTCGTATGCGGTCATGTGGACCCCGAACGTGGGAAAGCCGAAGATGGCGCAAGCCGCTCGCTCGAGGGTGAAGGCCTTGTTGGCGAAGGCCCCCTGTAGCGGTTTCGAAGCGAAGAAGGATGACTTGGGAGAAGCGTAGATCTGGTACAACTCGTTGCGCCAGCCTGAAAGGATCAGCGCGAATTATCATTGAGCGCATAAGATGCGTCTTCTCGCCTTCACAAGCTTGAGGCACAAGCACTCACCAGCAAGCTTGCCCATAAACTTGCCCTCCTGCCTCCATCGCTCGGCTGCCTCTTGCACGACACGACTCATCCCCTCTGCTCCTTGCTTGAGCACCCAGGCCGCGAAGAAACAGCACTGGCACTCAGAAGCGGCGTCCCCTCCGCGCCCGCCAAGTCCAACGGCCTTCTTGTCCACCCTGTCCATTGTGCTGGCAGTCTCCGCAGCCGGGTAGAAGCGCCACGGACTCCCATACTCTCCACCCACATCCGCTCGGAGCTCCACAAGCACCGCCGGACGCAGAAGACCCACGGGCGGAAGGGACGCGTGATAGTCCGCCAAGGTCAGGTGGAAGGGGACGTACCGCTCTGAGCCGTCTGGTGAATGAGAGGGATAAGGCGAAGAGATGTGGTCCGGGAAGTTGTCGGCTGCTTGGACGATTGTCAGTAGGGAGGGCATCGCGATGGTCTCCTCCGGTATGACAGCTATGTGTAAAGCTGAGGACACCCAGCTTGGGCCATCATAACTTGTCAGAGTGAGGTTGAGCCTGAAAGGAAGGTGCCGCAGAGCTCAGAGAAAGAATTATCAAAGGAGGTCGGACAGATAAGCACTGTAAGTCGAGCTCAGCTGGGCGACCGCTCGTAGCTTAGCCCGATCTGGTTACGGCCGTCCACCCTTCCTTGCATTCCAGCTACCCTGACGGTACAGCCACGCCCAGCCTCCTTGCTAACCTCCATCGGATCTCGAGATAGTTCGGCTCATCGTCGGTCGCGACCATCCCATGCCGGATCATAAAGTCGACGATAACCGATCCGCAATTGGGCTTGAACTCGCCCGCATACATGGCGGTCAGGGTGTCTGGGACGTTCATCAACTGGTATAATCAGCCTGGATTCTGACGACAGGTTAGAGATGTAAAGCTTACAGCGAACGATTCCACCTCGTCATCGCATGGTTTGGGCTTGATGTATTCGGCAGAGGTAGACGAGGGGAGGGGGAGGTCGTAGATGTACTCTAGCTCTGTAGTAGTCAGCGAATGTCGCTGAGTGTCTTGAACAGACTGACCTGGCTGTAGGTACCCGTCTGGCGTGATGTAGAAGTATGTGATGACTCCTGCGGCTCTTAAGAGATCAGCCGGGTGCTTATATAGCTACATAGCAGGACGACTTACTTCAGCCTGGAGACGACGAACGATTCCGGCAGACTAGCCTCCTCTTGACACTCCTTGATCATACTCTCGAGAGGGCTTATCCCAGCTGGAATCCCGCCTGCAACCGTCTGGGAGGTCAGCACCGTCACTGGGAATCGGGGGAAGTGCTTACATTGTCGAGCATACCGGGGAACGTGGGCTTCGTCGTGCTTCGCCTAGGCACCCAGAGCATCATATCCTTTCCTTCGCCCTCGTACGCCATCAAGTGGACCCCGAATGTCGCGAGACCGAACAGAGCACATGCAGCGCGTTCGAGCGTGAAGGCTTTATTGGCGAAGGGTGCTTGAGGAGCAGTCGATGAGAAGAAGGATGACTTGGGTGATGCGTAGATCTGGTATAGCTCGTTACGCCAGCCTGAACATTAGCATGATCTTTGTCCCATGAGATGCGCCAAGGCGTCTCATACTTACCAGCCAGCTGCTTCGCGAACTTGCCCTCTTTCTTCCACCGTTCCGCCGTCTCTCGCATCACTCGGCTCATCCCCTCTTCTCCCTGCCTGACCACCCAGTCCGCAAAGAAGCAGCACTGTACCTCCACATCGAGGTCCTCTCCGTGCTCATCAACCTCCATCCCTTCGTTTCCCTCTTTCTGCTTTGCCTCAGAGCCGGACGCACTGGCGGTCAAGTAGAATTGCCACGGGCTTCCCTCTTCCTGTCCATCGTCCGCTTGCAGCTCGGCGAGGACTGTGGGGCGAAGAAGGCCTACAGGCGCGAGAGAAGCCTGAAAGTCCGAGAAGGTGAGGTGGAAGGGAACATATCGCTCCGTGCCGTCCGGCGAGTGGGTCGGATATGGAGATGAAGGGTGAGCGGGAAGGTTGTCCGCCGCTTCGACTATGGAGAGAAGACTGCGCATATTGGGCAATGTAGTAGATGGGGCTGGTGAAAGAGAGTCTGACAGCCAAAACCCGTTGAGCTTTCCAGGCACTCTTTTGCGGAATGAGTCGCAAAATCTCAGACACCTCGTTCTGAGCTGTGTGATTCGCTATCCTCGGCATTTCATGAGCCACGTATGCACTGCTTTGGGAAGTCCTAGTACTGCGCCACCTCTTATAAGGGAAGATCTACCAGGTCTCTACCAGTCTGCACTGCTCCGCATCAGAACCAAAAGTCTACTGGAATCTCTCGGTCAGAAGGGATACCTCAATAGAGGCGCTGTTCGGCTGCGCTGAGATCGACACCAACGATACGTCTCCTTCCCCGTGTATGGTCGCATACCATTACAGGTATCTACTCCTCCATAATCCCCCTACACTCCTTGCAGCAAACTCGAGATACCCTCCTACCGATCCAGCGCCCTTCTCAATCCCATCCACCGTATCTCGTGTCCGCCGATAAGACTGCAAATTCCGCTCGAGCGCTTGATGCGCGGAAGCGAGATGAGGATTTGGCTGCTTCTCAGCGTAGACCTGATTTGGCGGTAGGTCGGGGTATGGCTTGAGTAGATGGGATTCAGCTCGAAGGTATGCGAGCGCGAGCGATATCCGGCTAGTATACCACTCGGGCTGATCGGTCAGCAATGACCCTCCGAGAGGTGCGAGAGGACTTACACCAGGTCCCACCGGCTCATTCATGACTCCCCGCTTGATCCCCTCTGCCCTTTCATCCGCACGTATCGCCGCATCTGCTATCCGCCAAGCATATGCCATCGGACCAATAGGATTCGTCAGCGGGATGGGTAGTCGCCCGCCATTTCTGCCCGCCACTCCTGACAGATAGTCTCCGGCTGACAAGGCGCCATGGGCGGCCAGTCCCGGCGGTGTGTATATAGGCGGCAGCCGGAGACGGAGGAGCTGGCGGATAGGAAGAGGGATCGAGGGTATTGGTATGGATGTTTCCGATTCAGGAGCTGATAAGATGGAGTATGCCTAGAGCATGAGCTCTGAGGTATAAGGCGACCAAATTGGCTTACCTCTGGGAGGTAGTGACCGAGTCCAGCTGAGTAAGTTAATCTCGATCTCAACCTCGACTCCAGTCCCGCGATTGAGGGCTTCGAGCCAGACTCCGCCTCCATGGGCTCTATCCCTTCCTCTTCCCATCTCTGTACGAGAGCCTTGGGGGCTGCCCGACCATCGCCAAACAGGGTGTCGAGCACCGAGTCTGGGATCGGCTCGACGCGATGATCTGGATGGTCCGAAGGAAGGCGGGACAGGGCGAGCGCCAGGGTCTGGCGCGTGAACGAGTGGGTCGGGAGAAGCGGTAGCGAATGGGTGAGGATCTTGGCGCGTAGAGACATGGTGGGTCTCTGTTATATGTGTCTATGTTATCGCGTCGATATCGACCTCTTCAACATCCAACTTTTGGCTGTGTATGCGAAGAGTAGGGTGTCGGCGATCGCCGAAGTATGACGAGATTCTTCGGCCGATCAGCTGGCTCACACGATCGACTTTGAAGGTGCTATCGACCCATATCTGCAAGTTAATAAGAGCCTAGGCTGCTCCAGTCCACCCGCAGCACCCATGATTGGGGTCCAAAGTCGTGGTGGTCGGGCCCTGGAGCTGCTCAATCACGCTGGACCATCAACGAGGCGTCACATCGCTTCCTCGGCTCGGAGATCGGCAAAAGTGGTCAATCACTATGAAGCCCTCAAATTGCCAAAGAACGCCACGAAGCAGCAGGTGAAAGCAAGGTTCTACGAGGTGAGATATTCAGCGTTCTGAACAGCCCAAGAAGGACGCTGAAGATACCAGTTGTCGAAGAAATACCATCCTGACACGGCCGGAGGTGATATCAGCCGGTTTCACAGCATCAATGATGCCTATGCTACTCTAGGTGACGATTCCAAGAGGTAAGTTTTGATTAGTCGTCTCCCGCGATGAATCTTTTCTGACCCTATCAGGAAGCAATACGACCAATCTCAATCTCAGCCATCCTCGGGCTATGGAAACAACCCATATGCCTACGGCTCATCCCCTCTCAGACCACAAGCTCAAGGTCCTCATCGATCATGGGGCCGAGCGGCCCCTCGGCGGACAACCGGACCAGCCACCTCTGGCGCACATTACAGCCCTTTCGGCCGCAGGACGCCCGAATACGGTGCCGCCTCAGGATCGTCGGCGTACGCACGGACTGGCACAGATCCGTTTGGCCGGCCAGTCTTCTCCAGGCGCAAAGGTCCAGCTGTAGAGAGGGATGACGAGGAGAAGGGAGAGAGCGGGCTGTGGCGATTTGGAGTGGTGGTGGGGCTGTTATTGGCGGTGGTAGGGTTTGGAGGCGGTTTGACGGCGAGTGCCGATACGGGGCAGAGGCATAGGGAGAGACCGCCAAAGGAGCGGTAAAAGGAGGGGGTGCGTAATGATGCTGGTATGACCGTTCAGACTCTACACGGTGCCAGGGACTGGAGGTTGACCCATACACTGCTCACCTTTCACTGACATCTCCTCAGATCAGCCTTTCGGCTTCAGCCCCTATACCCTTGTCAACGCTGCCAGCTAGATATACACATCAACCAGGCCAACGAGCACAGCTCGACCGCAGACTACACACAATTATCCTGCGCGCTATACAATGATGATCAAGCAAGACTCGCCAACCATGCACGCAACCCTCCTTGACCTCATTAAGTCTATCGACCCGTACGTATACCCCTCGAACCCCCTCGTTCATCCTCGTGACAATGCGCGGATGACCCCATTCCACCTCGTGATCGGTAACCATCACGTCGATCCTCCGATTCTACCCATCGGCCACATCCATCCGACAATCCTCATCGACATGCTCGCTTACAACGTCGAGACGGTCGGCGAGAGCTTCACATTCTACCCCGCGATGGGGCCCCGACCGGAGAGTGCGGTCCTGCGAGCGGTCAAGGCGGTCGCTTTCAGCTACCAAGCGGTCAATAGGGGCAAAGACGCGCTGACGGGGATTATCGACGGTCTGGTCGATTTCATGCGGAAGAGGGGCACCGTTCCGGAGGACAAGTGTAAGTCTCATCGATGTGTACCATATGCCTGCCACTGATAGTCAGACGGCCCAAATGAAGAGCGATTCGCAATGTATGCGTCTCCACGCTCGACGCACTTCGAGGGGAAAGTTCTCGGTCCGATGAGGAATGCTGTGGCCACGGTGGCACGAAGTCGGAGCGGCTTTTTCGGGTGTGCAACATTTGGCGTGAAGGCTATATGTGCGTATATGTCGGGCAGAAGAGGAAGCCGCTCATTAGTAGTGTACGAAGGAGAGGGAGAGGGAATGCGGATCTGGGTTCAGGTCCGAGGCGGCAAATTGAATCAGTGGGTCCGTCTCGCATGTTGAAGTTTTCCGGACGAAGCTGACTCAGGTCCAGTTGGGGAGGGCAATACGATGTCGTAAGTCTTGCACTGTCATATCTTGCATTCTCCCAATCTGCGCGATTTGACAAGCTGCTCACTTTGTAGACCGCCAACGGGGCCCTTCCTGCCGGCCTGCTACCCCTCGAAGGCATTGTCAAGGAGTGTGTTGAGGAAGCGGACCTGCCAGCTGAGTTCTGTGCGGCAAATCTGAAGTCATTCTAGTCGCTCTACCTCAGCGCATCGCTCGGCTGACACATCAGGCTCACCGCTACCGCCTCTTACTGGATGATCGCCAAGGAATGGGTCAGACCTCGTGAGTCTTATATTTCACCTATGGGCCCGCAGATCCTCGCGCTGATATAGCAGATACGACGTGAGCGGCGCAGACTATATCTTGGTACCTATCAATACTTACATGCAGCTTCACCTTTGAGCTACAGCTGCAGCCCGGCATGCCTCGACCAAAAGCTCCTCCAGTCAGTGCTATTGAAGCCTGTCCCGAAGTGGACGGCTTCAAGGTGAGTCTGCCTCTCATTGCTCACACCGCTCTTACTGATACCTCGACCAAGGTTTTGAAGCCGTTTGAGGTCCGGCAAGCGCTACTTCAGGGCCGGTTTCAGCCAAACGGAGCCCTCAAGATGGTGGATTTTCTGGACCGTCATGGTCTCCTCGAAGGTGAGGATGGACTAGAAGAGATCAGGTGGAGGATGAAGAGGGAGCAAGGTGTAGCCAAGCCCGTCGGGATTGGTCTGTAGTCACGGGGCAGGGTATGCATCAATAGACTAACAGCACCTAATCGTTCATTATCAGCTTGGCGCTTCCTTCTTATCGCGATGATAAGACAATCTGCGTACGTACAGGAGTGAAGTTTAAGGACACATTCGCGCGGCGGGGCATCCTTCTAAACGCCCCCCGTACTGGACCTTCGTACACGTGTGAGTGCTCAACACGATCCTTTGACGTGTCGACCCCGGCAACACGGCATCGTCATCGTGCCTAGACCCATGTCAGCTGTAGATAAGGCATACACATCTTGGTCTTTTGCCAGTCCTCGAAAAAGCCCTTCTCTGCAGTGTCTTTGGGGTGATCCCGCCAGCTGATCAGCTTACTTCAACTCATCCCACTTCATTATCCGGCTCTTCGTAACTCAGCTACTGACAATACTGACACAGTTGCAAACAACATGTCTGACTCCCTATACAAGGCGTCCCTTCTTGACCTGTTGCTCGAAGTCGACCCCCATCCTCACAACGCTGATCCATCCATTCATCCCGTCACCAAGCAGCGACTGATTCCCTTCCACCTGGTCCAGGCAGACTATCACCTCTCTCCACCCATCAAGCCGATGGGCCGGATCAACCCCGACGTCTTGCTCGAGATGATTGCCTTCGAAGCCAATCGCCACTTTCCCGTCTTCACCTTCTTTCCCCGCCTCTCCGCCAAGGAAGTGGTACCTCAGGCGGTGCGATGTGTCGCATTCGATCCCGACCTGGTCAAGGCCGGGAGGAAGGCGCTGGCGATGGCGATGGAAGCGCTGGTGTGGTTCATGCGGGGCCGAGGAAGCATGAAGAAGCGGGCTTGTAAGTCCTACCTTGTACTTCTAGACGCTTGCAATACGTTGCTCATCCCATAGTCGACCGAGAGGACATCTTTTCCGTCTTTGCTGATCCCCGCTCGACTGCTTTCGCGGATCTTCAAGGCGAGATGGCGGTCTGGGACAATGTCGGGCTGACCATCTTCCGCGGCTCAACCTACTGCTTCGATACGTGCTGGATCGGGGCTACGATGATTGGTAAGTGATTATCCAATTTGAGGGGTCCGCTGGCTCACCTTCTCAGTCTACGAGGGGGAGGGCCGAGACATGAAGGTATGGGTTCAGAAGCGGAGTGCGCATACTTCTTATGGAGGCATGCTCGACACTGTGAGTCAAGCTTCATGGGCGGCGACTGATATCAGACTGTCGGTGGCGCGGTAGAGACCGAGAGGACCGCCTGGGAGGGCATGGCCAAGGAAGCTGAGGAAGAGGCCAACCTCTCCGAAAGCATCATGAAGGAGTACGCACGGTGAGTATCGGTCATCATAACGGCCGCAAAGCAGAGCTGATGAGACAGTTTCGTTGGGACGCTGAACTTCCAACTCGACCCCAAGACAGTGCCCAAGCCTCGTGAGTAGCGCACCCCCTAATTGGCTCGCCAGTGAGCTGACGGTCCAGTCGTACAGTGAGCTCAAATCGCCATGACCGAATGAGGTCAGCTGACGATTAGCTTGTGCTTTGATCTCAGGCGTCCCGAGCCTTCATTCTCCGATTACGCAGCCACTCAACCTCAGATCTGCGACGACGAGGTGGACTGCTTCATTGTGAGTGCTCCGCCTGAGTCCCCTACCTCGGTTCGTCCGCTGACTAGCTGTGTCAGCCCATGTCAATTCCGGAGATCCAAGAAAGCCTCCAGCAGCGCAAGTTCCAGCAATCTGCCGTGCCCGACCTGATCTTCTTCTTGTTTCGCCACGGCTTCATCACCCGCGAGAATGAGCCGCAGATCGACGAAATCATGGCGCGATGTCAGCGGGAGCATCATGTGGCATTCCCGCACCGCCTCACCGAGATCGACCGAGTTTGGCAGTGACGTTCTGATGACTGGTGGACTGATAATACTGATGTCTTGTGATTGGATTAAATTAGATGTCGATTTGTGAATATTGGCCTGTCCGATGTGAATGGATGAGTACTCCCTGCTATATCAAGGTGCATACCATCCGATCAGATAGGCTGGCACTCCTTCTCGAGCCACTGCAGCGCTCGGTCATCCCCAAACTCCTTCAAGATCGGAGTCACCTTCTCCTTTACCTCAGCATGGTAGCTGTTGAGCCACTTTCGCTCGCTCTCCGTCAGTAACTCAGGCAGAACCAGCTTCGTATGTATCGGACACTATAATCTTAGCTCCGCCCGCCAGAGTCCACGACGTGGGCGCCAGGACGTACCATGGTAAAGTGCTCAAACTTGAGATACCCCTTATCCCCGAAATTATGGAGTGTCTCCGCCGGCTGAGTGACCACAACATTCTCGATCCGAATGCCCCATCGCCCGTCGGCGTAGTATCCCGGCTCATTCGATATGACATGTCCGGCCTGGAGAGGGGTGTCGTTGTAGGCTGGTCGTTGTCCTATACCTTGTGGGCCCTCGTGGACATTCAAGAAGGCGCCGACGCCGTGGCCGGTCCCATGCCTGGAAGTGAGCTATGGTGTGGATTGTGTGGGTAGTACGACTGACCTGAAATCCAGTCCGTCCGACCAGAGAGGTCTACGTGCAATCACGTCCCTGCCATGGTCAGCGAATATGCATGAGCGATGTCGGGAGACAGTAACGCACAAGATGTAGCCGGTTGTTCCCTGTGGAAAGACCATAGTATCTATGGCAATGTGCCCTTGGAGCTAAAGCTAGGTCAGCGACTGCGCTTTCGCCGGGTGCAGAGAGAGTGCTCACCACTCTGGTGAAAGCGCGCTTCTGCTCGTCCGATGGGGCGCCAAAGTGCTGCTAATCAGCACTGCTCGCGAGACTGAATCGAGCCAATGAAGTTCAGCTCACCCAGGTTCGGGTAGTATCGGTGGTGCCGTCCAAGTATTGAGCTGTATGAATCAGCAGGTTGTCACCCGTCATGGTATTTGATGGAGAGCAACCTACCTCCCGAATCGCAGAGATACATTGCGTCCTTCTCGATGACAGCGCTTCCCTCCTTAGGCGGAGCATAGTGAATGACAGCTGATCCAGTCAGCTCGATGAATCACCCTACCGCGAGCGTGCTTACCAGCATTAGGACCGGTGGAAGAGATGGTCGTGAAACTCAAGCCCTTGAACAGCTTGTTCTCTCTGTGTCGATCAGCCTCGGTTCCGCCCTGTACTTCTCGGTACTCACTTTCGGTAGTTCTCCAGGACTGTGGCAGCATCATACTCGGTCCAGCTCTCGCCCTTCTCGAGCGCCTCCTCCAGCCACGAGAAGTAGCGGACGAGCGCGGCTCCATCTCGGATGTTACATTGCCTAAAGCCCTCAATCTCAACCTGTATACCGGGTCAGCGTGTATAGCAGGTTCCGAGGGGCTAAACTTACCGGGTTCTTACGTGCTTTCGTGTCTTCGATCATAGATCGTCGCGCTTCGACGTGGTCCTAATGATCAGCTGCATGTCAGAAGGCGAAAGTGACAATCAGCTCACCTCGCCAATAGCCTGTGCGACAGCCCAGCTCGTCTTGTTTCCTACGATGACCTTGTCCGTCTTAATTAGCTTCTCCTCATCCGCAGCTGCCTTCCCGCCGGGTGTCTTAACAGGCTTTGCCTCCACATGCCCGTTGGCATCCGAGAAGTGCTGCGAGCCCAGTCCAGGGATGCCTTTTGACACCCTATCCGCGCGAACTCCCTCTCCCCACTGAGTAAGCGATGTCCAGAACTCGTCGTATGATGATACCGTCACCCCGCTGCGCTTGAGATAGTCGCTGACTTCCTCGGATAGCGAAGCAGGATTGACGAATAGCCGGCAATCGTTCGGGGTGAGGATGGCGTACGTGAAGAATACCTGAGCGATCAGCAAGCGGCCTGCCTCTGCCTGGCTACGGGACTTACCGGGTTGTATGGGATATCGCTCCCTCTGAGATTGAACAGCCAGGCCACCTCGTCCAGCTGTCCAATGACCATCCCTGGACTCCCAATCCGCCTCAGCTTATCCTGCATCATCCGCAGCTTCTCCTCGACGCCCTGACCGGTATACTTGTCTTCCAGCTGGAAGACGGGATTGGTCGGCCGAGCGGGACGGTCTGACCATATGGTGTCGATAAGATTGTCAGGCAGGGGTACGAGGAGGGAGTTGATAGAGTCTTCAGCGAGTGACTTGGAGAGGTTCTTGTACTCCGAGAAGGGGAGGACAGTGGGATCGATGCCGATCTTTGAGGATTTGGGCAACTCCTGACCTTTCAGCCTGATACCGCGTGATTGTCACGATCGCTGACCTCTTTAAGCCACTTTCCCCAGGCCGGCACGTCGGGCAGACCATGCTTCATCAAAGTCCATCTATAAGTCAGCTCATCCCTCCACTCGGGTTCTCAGAGCTCCGACAGACTCACCCCTCGCCAAGCTGCTTCTCCGCTTGCAGCCAATACCTTCCGTCAGTCCAGCATCTCGCTTCAGTCTGCGTGACTACCGCAGTCCCAGCAGAGCCGGTGAAGCCTGTCAAGTGGGCTCGGCGGGCGTCACAAGGCGCAAGGTACTCTGAGGAGTCTATAGCGCATTAGCTTTGGGGTATCAGTCGGGTAGACAGCGGAGACTTGCGAGCGTCTTCAGAGGGAATGACACTGCCGATCAGCTTGACCATGCACACGCCTCGCAGATTGCGCTTACTATGCATCGACCTCTCTCTCCTTCATCATCGCCCGGACAGCCTCGAGGTTGCCCATCGAGTTCAGGACGGGCATCGTAAAGATCGAGCGAATGAGACCGAAACTTGTCAACACAGGTCGGCCAGTAGGGTAGGGTATTATTCGGCGGGGCGTCAAAGACGAAGACCGTGCAAATGTCCGAGAGATGACTATACACAGTGATGGAAACAGAACAGGCATATGTACAGTCTCTTGAGAGGCAACGCTGGCCACCTGTTGTCCTGTACCGCCCACATGGTGGGAGGTGTATTTACGGCGGCGGTGGAGGCATAGCCGGCGGACCTGACCGAAGGTCAAGATCAGGCACGATCTGAGGGTCCAATTGTCGGAACTTGAACAGCGCGCGACCATCCTGGACAAGGGGCTGTACGCAGCCAGATGCTTCTGTGGGACTGCTTGAAGCCGACTCCAGCGCCCGTGTGCGAACCCAGAGCTGTCATGCAGCAGAAAATCAGCTGAGAAACCAGCATACCTCAGCCACGTGGCGCCGGGCCGGCTCGGCGCCGGGCGGGCGGTGGAGGTGTCCTCGCCCGCTCCACCTCCATCGCCCGCTCCATCGTCATCTCAAGGTCAAGATGGAGAAGACTTTCATTGCGCATCGGACGTGGCCCCTACAACATCTCTCCACATCGCCGTTGAGTAGCGAACAACCATGTCCACCACAGTCCTCATATCAGGCGGGAACCGAGGGTATGTTGTGCCCGACCCCTTGGACAGAGTAAGGCTGATGAAGCAGACTCGGCATGGGTCTTGTCCAGGGCTATGCGAGCCGTTCCAACTACACTGTCATCTCCGCTGTCCGGAACCCTGATTCCATGCCAGAAGTCAAGTGTGGCGAGGGGTCCAAGGTGGTTGTCGTCAAGCTGGACGCCGGGGTCAACGAGGATGCTGAAAAGGTACGCCGGGTCGCACATCAATGTAAGCTGGAAGTACCGCTAATCCGCTAGGGACTTAAGCAGGCGGAGACTGAGCATGGCATAAATAACATCGATATTGTCAGTATCTGTCGCCACTGTTAGGTTCGACACAGACGAGTGACGGGCTGACAAGCACAGGTGGTCGCCAATGCTGCTATTGGTGACTCGTTCTACCCGCTCGCCAAGGTCCCCCTCGACAACTTTGAGGAGCACTGGCGTATCAACGTATGTCTCGCTCCAAACTCTTCTGTTTGGGCTGATCATTCAGGTCCTCGGCGCTCTCGCTCTCTTTCAGGCCTGCGTGCCCCGCATGTCTAAAGGCGGCAAATTCATCTTCATGTCCTCCGGAGCGAGCCCTATTGATCGGATACCGGACAAGGAGGATGCGGGGTATGGGATCACCAAAGTCAGTTCATTTGGTCCGAAGGCTTACTTGACGCCTGAATCTGACGCCGTGCAGAGCTCCTGTAACTATCTCGCCCGATACGCGCATTTCGAAAACCCCGAACTCGTGGTTTTCTCGCTTTCGCCTGGATGGGTTCAGACGTGAGCTTCTTGGATCTGCAGGCGATGTCGTGGGAATCAAAGCTCATAGCTTATAGGGATATGGGTGATCGAGCGGCAGTGCGATATGGGCTCGAGAAGGCACATATCACAGTGGACGAGAGCGTCGGTATGTGCAGTCGCTGTGTTCAGTCAAAGAGCGTGAGCTGATATCCTAGCTGGCATGCTCAAGGTGATTGACGAGTCTTCGAGGGAGAAGTGGTCTGGTCTGCATGTCAGGTAGTAAGTCGAAGCTCACCATCACCCGGACCGGAACCTAGCTGATTGAATCAGCGACGGAACGCAATCCAAGTGGTGACAAATCTTCTTCGCTGTCCGTATCTGACCTTGTATGCGATACTTGTATGCTGCGTCTTTATCGGTTCCCAGTGTCATGATATATTACATGTCGCCATTTCCGCGAGTCACCAGTTACCCCACCAGAATAGTGTCCTTGTATAGTACAGATCCTGCCGCGCCTCCTTTCAATAGTGAGCCATTCATCCCGCCAATCACTTCCTACTCCTCGTCGCCCGCGTCGTCGTCACTGGCTCCACCGCCACCGCCGGCACCTCCTTCTTGACACCCCTCGCCCTGCTCGTCCGCCCAGCCGACACCTTCTCCTCGGCCGCTACATTCTCCTTCTCCCCTTCGTCCTCCTTAACCGCACGCGTCCGCCTCGTCGGCGCTGAGACAGTCTTCCTCTCCACCACAGCAGCCGGCGCCGCAGCTGCGCGAGCTCGTGTAGGCTTGGACGCAGCTGCCGAGGGAGCTGGCTTGGCTGCGATCTCACCGGCGGGCTGATCGGATGTTTCCGAGAGGACCTTCTTGGGCCGTCCGCGGCCGGCAGGGGCGGATTTGATCTCCGGGCTAACTGGACGAGAGACCGCGGCGGTTTGGGCGGAAGGTACGCGAGAGCGGGTCGTCTTGGGGATGGCCGCCTTCTCCTCGGTCCGCTCGGCCTCCGTACTGCTTGCAGCGGCGCGACGAGTAGGCTTCGACTTGGGGTCGACCGCAGGAGCCGCCGCGACTGGAGCGGCTGCTCGGCGACGAGAAGGTGCAGAGGGCCTCTCGACCTCGACCGGCTTCGACGCTGAGACAACACGCGTACGAGCGGGCGCTGACTTGCGCTCCGGGATGACCGCTTCCACGGTTGGCTTGGCCGAGCGGATGCGAGCGGAAGATGTAGCTCCCGCCGTTGCTACGGGCTCGATGGCAACGGCGGCCTCGTCAACGCTGGGATCGACCGCGATAACTGGCAGCTCAGCCGACTGGGATCCCCCCTGCTCGGTGACCCGTAGCTCGGCCTGTTGTACCGCTGCAGATGACTTCCTCTTAGACCGGGGCGTCTTCCGCTGCACCTCCTGCTCCACTTCAACCGCCTGCTCAACCTCAGCCTCCGTCGCCTGTTCCTCCGCCGCCTCAGTCCGAGCGGGGGACCGCTTAGCCGGCGAAGAGAACATCTCCTCCATACCCTCCATCCCTGGGGTCGCCGCAGTCTTGACGGCGAACATCCCCTTCATCCCCCTCATATCCGGAGTCTTCGGCGGCAGGGGAAGGGCGGGATACAGATTCTTGATACCCGAAAGAACAGGCGAAGCGGGTGATGGGATGGCGGGGTAAAGGTTCCGGATATCGCCCATGTATGGTGTCTTTGGCTCAGGGCGCTGGTCCCGTGAAGCTGGTCGCTCCGAGCGCTTGACCGGTGTAGTGGCCTGTAGATGAGACGTGATGATCTCCGGCGACGCTGGAGTGGCATCTTCGTCCGCCTCTTCCGACTCCTGGATGGGCGTACGGAGGATGAGGGAGAATGGCGTTCCGACCTTCTTGGCGGTCGACCTGACGGGTGTCTGATGCAAAGAAGAGATGACAGAATCCCCTTCTTCCTCGTACGCGCTAACGACGGGCGTCTGGGGCGTGGGCGGAGCAGCACCGCCGAACCGCGCTGCAGGAGCGGCAGTGTAGCTCGCACTGGCCTTGACAGTGGGCCTGGCGGGCGTCTCGGGAAGGACGAAACCGACCGTGGCACGCCGTCCGTTCCTCTCCGCCGGCCGAGCGAGCTCACGGGCAGACGAGTCCCGCTTCATCTTGTTGAGCCGGGACCTGATATCCCCGATGGGTGTGTCGTCGTGCTCGTCCTCGTTGTCCTTTGTGGGAGACCGAGTGAGAGCGGGGTGGGATGGTGTCTTGACGAGGCTGAAGGCGCTCTTGACGGGTTCGCGGAAGCTCATGGGTGCTGCGGGGAGTTGACGGGGGGTAGCGAGGGATTGACGGCGCTTCCTGATCTGGCACGTCAGCGCGCGAGCTCGGATCAGAGCTCTGCAACATACCTCGGCCAGCTCGCGCTCAGAGACAGACGGCTGGAGAGGGGCATGCGACTCCTCGCCCGACTGATCGTCCGCATCCTCGTCCTCTTCGTAGGCCGCTGAGAGATGGCTGGACACGGGCTTTGATGGGGTCGGCCGGAAAGCACCGCCGCCAAGAGGGTTGGGCGAGGCTGGTACGCCGAAGGTCCTTGAAGCAGGGCCTCCGATAGCAGCCAAAGACCGGCGAGGTTGGTTCTGGTTGCGCGAGACTTGTGGTGTATAGAAGCGGTCGAGCGTCCGAGACTGGACGTCAGCTGAATTCTAGAAGTATAGAGCGCGTAACTCACGTGGACTGGTGTTGATGCAACAGGTGCCTCAGCGAAAAGGTCCTCTTCCTCCTCTTCCTCTTCATCGCCGTCAATGTCTCGATCATCGTACTCGATCTCCTCATTGCCTTCTTCATCTTCCTCATGTTCCTCCTCGGCGTGACCCTCATCCTCCTCATAGGAGTCTTCGTGCTCATCCAAAGGCGAACCGGCTGAGACGTCTGCGTGCAGATCGAATACACCTTGACCGGGCTGACGCGTCAGCTGGAGACAGGCCATGGTTACCCCAGCTAGACTTACAATATCAAGCGACATGTCCGCCTCCAGACTGTCATCCGCCGAATCACTCTCCGCAAACGACCCATCCACCCCCGGGTCCTCTTGCACCCACTGCAATTCGGCCCGTCCCTCTGCAATCTCTTGCTCCTCTTGCTCATCCTCATCACTGATATCCGAGTCCGGCTCCGGCGCCGGCACGCTCTTCCGCGGCGTCAAGCTCTTCCGCTTCGATTCTGCCCCTTCCTCCTTGGACGGGCTCTTGCTCTTCCGCCTTCCGACCTCGATCTTGCCGTCCGCTACTGCGTCGTCCACGTCGTTCGGGCGTGATTCGACCCAAGCCTTGCGGGCAGAACGGAGGAGGAGAGCTTTGTGGAGGGTCATCGGTCCCGGAGGCGTCGACATGGCGACTTTGGAGGGAACGCGAGGTGGGGTCTGGACGTAGGGTGTCTGGGCGGGCGCGGGGAGGGGAATCGAGCGAGGGGTTTTAGGCGGTACGGGCGCAGACTGCGATGTCAGCTCTCAGGTACGTCATGTAGAGTACTAGGTCAGATAGCTTACCTTCACAGCAGTCTCGGCCGTCTCCTCCCTTGTCTCAAGGATGATCATGTCCCCATCCTCATTCTTCTGCACGTCGACGATACCCTCCATGTTGCCATCCTCCTCCTCTTCCTCCTCTACCGGCTGAGACAGGTGGCTCCGCTTCGGCGTAGATCCGCCATGACCAACGTTACTCTGCCTCCGCTTCATTGGCGAAAGCGGAACAAACGGCTTGTCGGCCGGCATAAGGCTGAGCCGGTGGCTGGCGCGCCTGCGGAGTGGCGTATTTGAGACCCTTGGCTTGGCGGGCGTGCCTTTCCCTCGTACGGGCGTGTTGAGAATGCTTGGGGAGAGAACAGAGGTGGAGAAGGTAGGTGCGTCGGGGTATTCGAAGCGGAAAAGCTTCTTGCGGATGATGAAGCTGTCGCCAGAGGCAAGGGATTGGCGTGCGGTGGGCTCGAGCTTTACTCGAGTTTGGTTGGCTGGCATGAAGAAAAGACCGTTGGAGCCGATAACCGAGAGAGTGGCCTGCATATCAGTACACGTCCAAACAAATGAGACGGTGGACTTGCTGAGCCCTCGAGGAGGTCAAATTGAATCTCAGCGTGAACGCGGGAAACATCGTCCCAGTGTATCCGGATCTAATCATCAGCCGCTTGGCCCCCAGAATTCGCCTGAGATACTCACGTCACAGTCCGCATCTCTGAGATTATAAGCTTCCTCCCTCCCTGATGGAGATGAGTAAGGAGATGACCCACCTTCCAAATGTGATTTTCTCCGCATCGATAGGGTAGTTCTGCTTGACCTCGCCCGATTTCCTGTCGATATAGAAAAGCGAGCCCAATATCTGCGGGGCAAATACAGGATCCGGGGTGTATTCTCGATCCATGTTTGTCGATGTTGCCGAGGTCAGTGTGCCGATGTAAGTAGTCGAGAGATAAGACCAATTGAAAGCGTAACGTTGAGTGAGCTGTTTGTTTACCCTCGCCGAGAAGTCAAAAGCATACACGGGTAAGCTTTCCCACGGTCGCATTTGGACCCGCCGATGACCGAGTCTAGCTTCAGTCCGTGCGTCAGTTGTTGAGGTATTTTGAGACACGCCCAGCTGATAGAGATAGCGAAGACCCATTCATACCTTTGCTTTGTGTATATCGCTTATAAACAATATAAGCTCCTAGTCGAGCACACCGTCAGAGGATCTGTCTAATAAGCCCCGGTAGGAAGAAGCCATCATGCCGCAGAACTACGGCGCCACCAGCCCACCTATCACCCCTGCCTCCCGGCGGCAACTCGGTCGCGATGGTCGCACACCCCAGGCTACTCCGGCCAAGAGCATCGCCTCCCCCGAGCCACAGGGGACGGTCTTCTCGTCTACTGTCAATCTCGCCAATACGACAATAGGAGCCGGAGCTCTGGCTTTCCCTTCAGCGTTCGCAGCTATGGGGCTCGTGCCCGGAATAGCGTCGTGCTTGATATCAGCGACAACGGCGGCGTTCGGGCTGTACCTGCTGAGCAGGTGTGCGACGCAGGTAGGGCAGAGACCAGGGGACGAGTGGAGGAAGCCCAGCTTCAATGAGGTGGCCCGGATATCGTTTGGCAAGGGGTGGATTACGAGGCTGTTCGATGTGAGTTGGGAGCTGCGCCGATTGGCGGTCCGGGAGCTGACATGCCAGCTAGCAATAGCGATCAAGTGTTTTGGTGTATCTGTATCCTATCTCATCATCTGCAAGGTAAGCTCAGGCCGCTTCTAGATGATGAGGATCATCGCTAAGATCGGTAGACCCTTCTACCCAAAGTCTCCGAGACTATCGCCGCTGCTCTGAACCAACCACTAGCCACCGAGTCTATCCTTCGATCCCAGGACTTCTGGCTCCTGATCACCATGGGCGTGATCATCCCCCTGAGCTTCCTGCGGACCCTGGACAGCTTGAAGTTTACTAGCCAGATCGCGCTGGCTTCGGTCGCTTAGTAAGCTCTGTCACCCTGATTGAACTCTGCAAAACATAGGGCCCAAGCTGACAGGATAGCTTGATTTGTGTCGTCGTCGGCTGGTTTGCCTTGAAAGGCCCGAGCCCGGAACGAGGCGAGGTCCATCTTTGGCGGTTCGGCAAAAAGACCTTATCTAGCTTCCCTGTCCAGGTGTTTGCCTTCACGTGAGTCTGCCCTACCCCCACAGTGGGTTCCAAGCTGACGATATAGATGCGCTCAGAACGTCCGTTGCGCTGAGCTGCTTCGCATCAGTACAAGCAGAACTGACTTGACAGATCTTCCCCATCTATAACGAACTCCGCGAACGATCTCAGAAGAATATGAATGCTGTCATCCTCACATCTATTGGATCTGCTGCTGCCTGCTACGAGATTGTAAGTTTACACCCCCTGCTGTCGGCGCGTGAGTGGGATACAAGCTGACTGATCTAGCTCGGCATCGTAAGTCCACTGCCAGCTCATCACTCCTTGCTTTCACTGACACTCAGATTGGCTACCTCACATTTGGTGACCTGGTCGGATCGAACATCATCGCCATGTACCCACCCACCTCCCTCCTCATCGCGCTCGGCCGGCTCGGCATCGTCCTTCTCGTCGGTCTCTCCTACCCGCTCCAGCTCCTGCCCTGCCGAGCGTGCATCTACGCATTCACAAGCGGGATTGTCAAGGGCAAGAAGGCGCCTCCGATGTTTTCATCAAACGCGGATGATACCCCTGCGGAAGATGACGAGGACGACGATGAAGAAGACGGGCCGTTGATGCCGAAGCGCTATGTGTATGGAACGGCGATCGGGGTGGGGGAGATGCGGAACAGCAAGTTTGTAGGCTTTACCTCGGGAATTCTGCTGGCTGGATTCTTGATTGCCTTGGCGGTGGACGAGCTGGAAGTTGGTGAGCTTCGGTTTCCTCATCCGACTCATGGTGAGACTCTAGCTGACATCTTAGTGCTGGGCTTCGTCGGGTCGACAGGATCGACCATTATCTCCTTCATCTTGCCCGGATTCTTCTACTTCAAGCTGTTCAGGAACGAGAAGGGGCCGGTAAAGTGGCTGGCTCTCGCGCTAGGGATCTACGGACTTGCCGTCATGGCCTTCTGGTAAGCTTCTCCTTCTTTGAAATATGAGAGAGCCCGAGCTGACTGCATAGTCTCACGTTCAACATCATCAAGCTCGTAGCTGGTCAACCTCCAGCGGGACACTAGGCCACTGGTATCCTGCTTGTCACATGCATGTTGTCACCTTTGCTGACTACTCTGCTGACTTTGCACTGACTCCATCTCACACGAGATCCCTCCTAGCGTCATCCTCCGCCTTGCGCATCGCAAACGCCATATCCGCCGCCATCGCGCTCTCCCCATGCGTCATCATGGCCGTCATCGCCCCGTCCGTCTTCATCCCCGTGAACGGTAACGGCGTCAACCCCGGCTTGGGTTCCACGTCCCTGATCTGCCCATCGCCTCGACACCTCGCACACCCCTCGACCAACTCTCGACAATCCTCTTCTATGCCGGGCCACCAGAACGTCTCGCCCATCTTTGCCAGCATCGTTTCTGGACCCCAATGCGCCGAGCCGCCCTCATCCCCTCCCTCCAATACCTCGAAGTGGGCGTCCTGGAGCAACTCCCCCCGGATCTGGCCGGCGGGCGGGACGAGCAGAGCATCCCCCTCCTCCGTCTCGGGCCGAAGGTACAGCAGTCCCACATCCGACAAGACAAAGTCTTCCGACTCGCCCCCGGCTCGGAGATCCGCTATAAGGGAAACCAGGTCTGGGTCGAGTGGGTACGCGGCGAGCCAGCGGACCGTCTCGGGGTCTAATGGGGCCGCGGGGGCGGCGGTCATGGAAGGCAGAGGAGGCGCAAGGGGGTCAGCGGGGAAGATGGACTCGGCCCGCTCGGGATTGGCAAAGTAGGATGGACCGCCGGTCTTGCGGATGTGGCGCATGGGGCGGGAATTGGGCGGGAGGAGGATGGCTGCGGGAGTGGGTGAAGGGGGCTCGTTGAAGGTGTTGAAGTTGTGTTTCTGGGCGTCAGCTTGGCATTCCCGTTCCACGCTCCTGATTTGAATCCGAAAAATGTACTTACACCGTGGAGGCAGTATCTTACGGACGATACTATGGGGTCCACGCTGAATATGAGTGCCATGACGGGGACAAAGAGGCCCACGCTAGAAATCAGCTACTAAGAAGCCAAGCGGCGGACTGACTTACCCATACGACGCCTTGCCATCTACAGCCGCTCCCGTCACCTGCTGATAAAAGCCTACCGCTATACCGAGCTATCATGTCAGCTCATCGACCTGATCCCTCCATTCACGTGCATCCTGGACTCACCGCGCACAGCCCAATGACCCCTATGAGCGCCGCAAAAAGATGCCCCACCGGCCCCCTTCTGTGCGCCCACCAAGCCCACCACACCCAGCCATACGCCTCATACGGGGGCCGCTCACACCTGATCCTCAGATCTACTTCTTTCTGAACCACCTCTTCTTCGGTCACGCTCACGGCCTGTGGCTGAGGACGTGTTGCGCCGGTGGTGCCGGGTATGAAGCCCGTGAGAGGCGGGAGCGGGTCAGAGGTGGTGAAGAAGTACCAGGGGATCGAGAGGCCGAATAGGAGGAAGAAGTGGAGAAAGGCCGAGGTGATGTGGTATACGGCTGAAAGCCAGGTGAGGGCTGTGAGAGCTGCCATGACGTTCTGAAGACCTGCTTGGAGGGAGTCACTGATCGTCAGCTCGGCCGGGCGCCGTGACGCGTGAGCTGGTGACAAGGACTCACGGCCCTGGGATCTGAAACGACTTGGAGGAGGAGACAAAGTCTGACTTCTTGTATGACTTGCAGGTAGGCCTACGGCATCAGCCTCGGCGCATCATCTGGCCATTGGGGGCACGCACCCGTCCTGGTCTAGCTGACACCACCCGCTGATGCCCAAGCCGACCTTGCCCATCATTCCATCATGCACCTTCCCACCAAATCCGCCATCCTCAACCGCCACAAACGTTCCCAGTGTCCCTCCAGGCTGCATCGCCAGTGTCAGAAGCATCGCGCTAGTCAGTAACAGCGCGGGAGTGATAAACGGCCTATAAGCCAGGTAAGTCCTCCCAAACTCTGACATTCTCACATTTGCCAAAAACCCCTGGTCTTGCGTTCTTATAGTCGGGATAGTCAACCCATTCTTCAGGATCCGGATACCCTTCTTCTTCTTCTTCTTGGTTTTGGAAGGAGTCGGCATCTGATCTTGCTGGAACCTGAGTCCGCCGGGCGGGGCGTACGGATTAGACTCGACTGACCTGGGTGATACGCTATTACCAGGAGAGATACCTCGAGCGCCAATATGGCCATGGCCGGCAGATGGCGGAAGGGTGTATCGCGCAGGAGCGACCGACATCCTCCCTAGACGCTGATGAGCCGCCGGTGTGAGGAGTGCGGCTTGACCGTTGGAGTCCTGCGTATCGTGCGAGGGACCACGCCGATGCAGGCCTTCCTGTATGGCAGAGGGAGAGGCGATCGGGTAAGGACCGGGCGAGTGGCGGTCGTCGAAGGGGTTTCCACGTTCTAGCTGGTTGATATCGCGAACTGTACTCGCCATCGAGAGGCGGGATGCCCGAGCAGCTTGCCTACGGTCCATCTGCCGAGTATCCTCCCGCTCGTCCCCGTCGAGGTCGAGATCGTCATAATAGCCACCATACCCCTCCTGTCCATACCCCTTCTCTTCCTCTTCATACACCGTATTGAGCTGAACAGTACCCCTCGGCCGAGTCGGCGCATAGCTGCTCTTACTCCACGCAGTCTTTTCCTCCTCCCACTCGGCCTCATCATTCACTTCACCCTGCCCCTGGGGGCTCTTACGACGACCTTCTGGATCCCCCTTGCTCGGCACCGGAGTCTTATCATAATGAGTCTCGTCATACGCGCTTTGAGCATACAGCGGTGTCTCCCGCCCATCGCCTTGCGTCGGAGGCGCAGTATTCGGTGGGTACTCTAACTCGGAGTATCCCGAGTCCCGCTTGCTGGCCTGACCTGGGCCCTGTAGGCCTCTCGGAGTGGGGTCGTCCCAGTCCGACCGAGCGTACGCAGGTGTCTCGCCTTCTCTCGAGTCATCGTCTTCGTCGTCCGTATCGACTAATAGGCGATTGGCTGGGGTCTGCCTGGTCGGCTGAGGAGGCGTGTGCCGGACTGGAAGGCGAGGAACAGGGGGCGGGGTGGACCCGGCGGAATGAATCGAGTATTGGAACGCTGTAGATGCGGCTGATGAAGGCGTGGCTGGCATGGATGAGGCAGGACGGGCCTTATTTCTAGCTGGTGCCATGCCTGCGGCAACCTCGATCGATGAGATAATGCAGCTCAGTCAGTATCCACTCAGTGAATCTGCTCACCCTGATGAAGTAAGTAGGGACCGGGCACAAAGGATGGTAACAAAGGTGGGATGTATGTTGGCAGGTCCTCGTGTATTATTAGTATAGGCCTAGTCAGCATTAATGTCTGAATTGCATATCGACAAGCTGCTGTGTTTACACTGACTTCTCCTCTTTATCACCTTGCTATTCTTTCCCATACCCTTACTTGCTGTCCTTGTCAAGCGGTTCGATGTCTGGGTGAGGACCGACGGGAACGATCCGAGTAGGGTTGATCTGAGCGTGCGAGTAGTAGTAGTGCTCCTTGATATCTGCCTTTGTCAGCTTGACCGTCACGTCAACGCGACAATATAAGCTCACGAGCAAAGTCTGTGGTGTTCTTGAAGGCTGGGTTGTTCCAGTACAGCCGGCGGAGCCAAAGGTTGAGCTTGGGGAAGTCGTGGCGGACTATTGGTCAGCTAAGTTCGGAAGATCGGAGGATCCCAATGACTCACTGGTACCGAAGTTGCACTTGAAGTGGCCGTGGTAGACGGGGTCAAAGCGCACGATAGTAGTGTAGAGCCTATCAGTCAGACAGAGTCTTCTCGAAGAGCTGCTGCCAGCTCACCTAATGTCCGCCTCGGTCAACCTGCCGCCAACCAAGAACTCCCGTCCATCGCTCAACCTCTCCTCGAGCTTCTTGAGCGCCGCCTCCAGCTTGTTGACCGCCGTCTCATACGCGTCCTGCTTGGTCGCGAACCCCGACTTGTACACGCCGTTGTTGACATCATTGTACACCCACTCATTGAGCTCGTCAATCTCCGCCCGCAGTTCCTGGGGGTACAGATCCAGCTCCTTCTCCTTGCCGCTGAGCGAGTCGTTGAACCCGGTGTTGAGGAACCGGATGACCTCGCTCGACTCGTTACTGACGATAGTCTCGCCCTTCTTGTCCCAAATGACGGGCACGGTGAAGCGGGCATTGTAGTCCTTGTCGGCCTTGTAGTAGAGGTCGCTCATGTAGGCGGAACCGTACAGCTTGTCGGCGGTCGCACCGGGGAAGGTGTCGGTGCTGTGCTCGCTGACAGGTGCGGGCTCCTTGGAGGCGTTCGAGGGGGAGACAAAGTGCCAGCCGCCTTCGAGCATGTGGGGGTGGACTGTGGAGACGTCTACGATCGTTAGTATATGTCGTCTCACAAGAGAGACAGGAGCTTACCGATGTAGTCCTGAAGACCCTTGAGCTCTCGCACAATCAAAGCTCGGTGCGCCCAGGGGCAAGCCAGGCAGACGTACAGGTGGTACCGGCCTACATTTATCAGCTGCAGCCCATCTGATCGCACAGGCGGCCGAGCTCACCCTTCTCCGGCTCGAATTTGCCTCCCTTCTCAATGACGTCGCGGAAGCTACTAGACTGGCGCTTGAACGAGCCATCCTCCGATGCCCATCCTGTAATCTTCTTGTCGCCCGAGGACTTGTCGGCTGAGGACATGATGGGTGCGGTTGAGAAGTAGTGGCGGAAAGCTGGGGATCGGCTGTTTGCTACGGTGGAAAGTCGCTGAGTGACCTTGTTTCCGATGAGTGAGGTAGTTGAAGTGCCGAGTCTGATCGCCTTGAGCAGCATATATAGTCGAGAAGCAAGTAGACTACTAGAGAGGCAAGGTATGCCTTGATCAGCACCTCCGTCAGCCGTCAGCCAGATCGTGCTGGACAGCTTAAACTACGGCTAAACAGTATTTAACCTTAACTCAGCAGGATCTGGTAGTGACGTCATGCAGCCAGCCCTCCGCTCCAATTGACCTCGCAATAGCAGCAGCCATCTCCACCTGCATCCACCTCAATCCACACTGATACGATCCTCACAGTAGCTACAAAAATGACCACACTGATCACGATTCCCTCGGCGAAGGCCCTGCATCTCGCCGCGCCCGGCAGCGCTCCTCTCCCGCTCTCGACGGGAGACCTGACGCTCACCCTCATCCCCGCCAACCCCCCTTCTCACCCGTCCGAGACGGTCACTCTCTCCGTTGGGTCATCGTCCTTCCCCCTGCTGCCCATCAGTCCGCTCCAGCGCGTCAAGGCAAAGGAGGAGCACCCGAGCTACCTCTTCACCCCGCTTCCGGTCGATGGGGGGGCACCGATCGGGCAGGTATTGATCCAGATGAGTGCCAGGTACGCCTTTGACTCTGCCTTGAGCGACAGGTCCTCAGCTGACATTATAGCACCAACCAAGGCCAATGGGACGCGACCGAGGCTATGTGCCATAAGCTCGAGGCAGAGCTCAAGAGCCGTAACTTGTGGGACGAGAAGATCCACTTTGTCAACGACGAGTATGATACCGCCGGCGTGCCCGTCAAGGGCTGGGGAGAGACTGTCGCGGGGGCTGTAACTGGTGGAGCAAGCTTCATTGCTACCAAGATCGCAAGTATCGCCGACTCGTAAGTCACACATCACCTGTTTCGATCGAGCAAGCATTTGGGTCCCGCAATCCCGGCTCAAAGCTGATCATCTAGACACGTCGGATCAACACCCGCCAAGGTCGGTACCATCCCCTCACGCGACACAGCCGGCGGCGCCGCAGCTGTCCGAAACATGACGGCGCGTTTCGACGACAATGCCCACGCGACCGCCGCCAATGCCGGTCTCAGGGTCAACGAAGCGGGGAAGGATCTCGCTGCGCAGCTGCCTGAGGGTGTGCAGAAGCTGGGGGAGCCGACGCCCGAGTATCAGAAGGGTGAACTCCGGAAGATGGCGGATGAGGGATGGGAGCAGGCGACTATTGCGGCCAAGGGGATCGCAGGGGCCGTAGGGATGGTCGGGAAGAGCTTGAGTGAGAGTACGCATCGGGCGGTGGAGCACAACTTTGGCAAGGAGACGGACAGGGTGGCTCAGGGTGAGTGGTTGCGGCTGGCCTAAGCGGCTGGCCTAAGGAAGATGCTGATGAGCAGACATTGGCCAGGCTGGCCAGAACATTGGATCAGCGGCTCTTTCAGTCGGCACAGCAGCAAGTACCGCTGTTCATGGCTCGAACACGACCACTGTGAAGCCCCCGGGAACCCTATAGGGGTCGCCATAGCCAGCAAAGCAGTACGAAGAATGCGATGTAGCAATTAGCGCAGGGGAACGGCCATGCTCTACTGATTGATCTGTGAAGCATGCCTCGTATATCAGACCACTAATGACTGATCTATGCTTGCGCCGGTAAGCTGAATTGCCTCGTCTCGCTTGTTCACGATCCCCATTTGGCTCTATGGCAGGCATAGTGCTTGACCTGCCGTCCTGAAGACGCCGAGCGAGACCAGAGTCGATCACATTCGTCTCCTGCCGCCATATTCACCTGCATCCGGGTGAAACCGCCGACTGACGTATCGACCGCCAAGTATTAACGAGGGCGAAGACCACTGCGTCCGAGCTCACTAGGTGGCACCGCATTCCTCGGCTCTACGAATGACAGCACTGACGCATTGGCTTCTTATGCTGCTTCTGCGCAGCACCCTGCGCACACCGAGCTGGTACTTGTAGGAGCCTGCGCAGTGAGCTTGCGATGCGGCTCCGAGTCAGCTGTCTCGACAGAACAAAAGCAGCACATATCGCTTGCTGGACCGCTTGCGTTCTGATAAGATAACGGCCCATTTCGCGTCCAGAGCAAGTCGGAGCTTTCAGCTCAATGCGGTCTATCCAGTAGCCTTGCTGCAACAAGCTCCACCGCCACTGCCACTCGTAGTGCCCCAAACCTCCGCAAACCATATCCACCCGGATCAGAGCGGATCAAGCTTCAAGACAGGCGGCTGATGGAGGATCACCTCATGCCGTCATGATTGCCTCATCCAGCCTTTGGCTTGGCATCTGATAAAGTCAGTCACCCCGGTCCCAGTCCGGTCCCCGATCGATAACCTCCGATTCATCATTCCGCAAGATCCACTTCAGTCCACTTTGAGCAAGGCTTGGCGAATACAGCGTCATTGACAGACAGAGGACGCTTGTACGCTTGGCTCTCATCGAATCATCAGCCTGTCTCGCCTTGTCCCGCCCATGAAGAGGCCCCTTTGCTTCGCCGGATCAACGTCGGATGCAGAACATCCTATGCAGACAGCTGCATCGCCTCTGCCGAGCAAGCGATCGAGGCTATCGATCAACCAAGACCTTCGAGCGAGGAGCAAACATATTCCTCTTCTGGTCGACGATATCTCCACAAGAGGCAAATTTCCTAATCTAATCAAGCCATCTCGTACACCTCAGGCCCGAAGCCCCGACTGTCTGAGGTGGCGTCTGCGGAGGTTGCGTTATTAACGTTGCTGTCGAACGATGATCCCCCTCTGGAGTTGCGAGCCAAGCCAACCGGTCTTGTCATTCATCGACATTGGCGTACGTACCGAGCCGGCCGGTGGCTCCGCTGAGCCGGGGCCGTGGCTTGGTAAGAGATGAGCGAGCGACATATATAAGCTGGACCGGGGCGGCTGAGATGCCCCTTCTTCCACCACTCTATCCACCACTTTACCACTTCTACCACACCACCACCACACCACACCCACACATTCAAAATGAAGCTCACTCTTGTCGCTCTCCTTCCCTTCCTCGCCGGCGCCCTCGCTGCCCCCATGAACGATGGCAAGAAGCACGAGGAGTCCAAGCCCACCCCCGGCAAGGGCAAGTTCGTCCACTCCTTCCCCTTCGACTTCACCTCGATGGCTATGGGCTGGGCCGGACCCGACCAGGTGATCAACAACTCCCAGGTCGCCGTTCCCGGTCTTCCCGCCGGCTACGGAGAGTTCCAGTTCGGTCTCAACTCTGAGCAGAACGTCCTCTGCTACGTAAGTCTTCCCTCCTCTACTTGATAGTAATGGAACGAGGCTGATCCGCAGAACATCTCGGTCTACGTCAAGGGCAACTACTCCTCCCCCGCCGTCACTGCCACCCACATCCACGAGGCTGTCCGCGGCCGCGCTGGTCCTCCCCGTATCGCGTTCCCCAACCCCGTCTCCACCACCGGTGCTCCCCTCAGCGAGTTCTCGTGGCGCCGATCGGTCGGCTGCTTGACCGGCCCCTTCACCACCGGTGTTCTTGCCAACGGCTGTGAGTACTTGCCTTCGTTCAAAGGGGGTTATGGCTGACCCAATCAGCCGACACTGGAACCAACTTCACCGTCGCCAAGCTCGAGTCCAACATCGAGGGCTTCTTTGCCGACACCCACACCGTCGAGTTCCCAGCGGGTGCCATCCGTGGTCAGCTCTACGCCAAGAAGTAGATAGTCAGGGTGCGATGAGTATGGACATTGCCTCAGTCTCTGCAGCAGCAAGATAGCATAAGTAGAAGAAGAAATAGTCAGATGTCTCGTATAGTATAATCTGTGAAATGCAATCTTGGCTTTAGCCCTCGCTGCAGGCGGTCTTCATGTGGTACTTTGCCTCCATCGTCTCCTGTGGTGTTCAGTCAGGCAATGTCAGTCTGCTTGACGCCAATAAACCTCTGCTATAGCGCGTACATACGTGGTTTCCTACTCAGCTACATGTTGACATGATTTACACAATGCTCCTACGCTCGACTGCACAACTGTCACGCCGTACCACTCATTCCCTCCCTGGCGCCTCTAGCTTCAACTCAAGTCCTCCTGCCTTGCCTCCATCACCCTCCGACATGAAAGCTCATCCATCATCGCCCCATCTCTGTCTCCGCGCAACAGCCAGCTCCGCCAATAGCCTATTCGCATCCTCATACCGCCTCCTTGTTTCCTCCTCCTGCGGAGTCATCTGTCCGTCTTCTAGCTCTTCCATCCCGGTATCGCCTCCATCGTCAACATCGGTATAGTCATAGTCCAGCTGAGTCGTATCGCTCGCTGCAGCACCAGGAAAGGGGGACGACATGGGGTATTGCGTAGACCCCGAGGAAGGTGGATGATCGCGATAGGGTGTGGGCTGGTATTGAGGATTCAGGGGTGTCTGTTGTGGATATTGCGTCTGTGGTCGGGCGGGTGTCATGGTAGAGTAGTTATGTGGATTGGGAGGAGTGACAAAGGTGTTGGCTCGAGCTCGATGCTGCGAGCATCAGAACGGCCACATTCCTGTCGACTTGACTTGGCGACTCACCAAGCTGTGTAGTACTGAGTTCTCCCTTGCGTACTCGCCCCACTCTCTTCCCAGCTCATCTTCGCCCCAGTCCGCCTCATTCCTCGGATCCGCATCTTCCGCAGCCACCCCCGCCACCCTTGCTTCCGCCGACGAGCGGAACGGACTCGACCCGGGTGGCTGATGACGAATAGGCGAGCTCGACATGAAGTGGCGGTGGAAGGGGAGGTCTGGCTGAGAATGGGCGCGCCCGTACTCGATTGAGTGGGGTGATGCGCCGTACCCTTTATGATTTGACGGCGCGGGCTGGGAGGCACTCGGGAGCGCTTGCTCCGCTGCTGACCCGCCAGACACGGCGGAAGGCGGCGGGGCATTGAGGTGCTGCCATTGCCTGCTTCGCCGGCCATTCACCGCGGGACGGGCAAGCCAAGCGGTCGAGCTCTCCGCCTGCGCAGACGGGTCCAGAGCGCACGATGCAGCGGATGGCTGACCATATGGCTGAGGCTGAGGGTGGGAGTCGGGAAAGGGGTATCCGTCCGTGTTGAACACCGCTTCCCGCCGCCGACGCTTGATGAGGATATCAAGGGGAGATGCGAGGTCGACATACTCGTCAGGAAGAGGAGGGGAGGGAGACCGTTGTCGCTTGGTCCGAGGGAAGGGGGCAAACATGGTGGCGAAGCGCGCGGGGGCCGAAAGCGCGGTACACAACGCTTGCGCGTCAAGCAAGTTGGGGTGTCGCCCGTTTCTTCAGACCTAATATCCCTCGGGCTGCTCAAGATAGCTGACAGGGTTGTTATCTCTGGTATATACAGAAGAAAGGTGGAAAAGATGAGAGACAACGCCAAAACATACGGTCGCGGACCCCTTTGGTCATCTTGGCTGGGCGCCTTTACGTAAATTCATTTTGGCTGAGGATCTTCAAAATCTGATCCACACCTTCATGCAGAGACGCTATCTTCTGTTCGTACATCAACGCTGCATCCCCTTAACCGCCAAGAGGAACCCCTCATCGCCCTGGAGCCAGCACTTATCAGTGCACTCCAAAATATGGCCGCAATCGATCAGAATGACTTCCAGCGCGGAGACGACTTCATCTCGTTCGGCGCATCACCGCCTCCTGCTGGTGGTCCATCTGAGGCAGGCCCATCTCGCTCGGCGCTGAGCTCTGCCGACCAGGATAGTCTCGATTCCCGGAATGGCCGGAGCCGTCAAGACGCTCCTGCTGCGCAGGTCAAGAAGAAGGACAAGTCGAAGAAGGGAAAGGGGAAGGAGAAGGCGAGCGAGCCAAATGGAGATGTCGCGGGCAAGAAGCGGCAAAGGGGAGGAGATGACCCCGTCGGCCCGCGGAATCTGAAGGAGGAGAGGCGGGCGGCGGAGCGGCATGCGCCTTGGACGGACTTGGTGGACTGGGATGCGTGTCAGGACCCTGCGGAGATGTACGCATTTGAACCTTTCTCCTTATCGTCAAGACGCTTCCCGCGGGGCCAGAACGCTGATCTATGAAGGCTCAATGCTGAGATCGATGCGTTCTATCGGCACGTCTCGCCGACGAGACAAGAATACGAGGTCCGGCTGTTCATGATTGAGATCATCACGCGGGCGATCTTGCGCGTTTGGCCTGATGCCGAGGTCACGCCGTTTGGATCATGGCAAACTCAGCTGTATCTGCCTCACGGGTAGGTCAATCCTGGAGTACCTAGAGGCTCAAACCTGACGGTTCAGCGATATCGACCTGGTTGTCAGCACGAAGCGCTTGAACGATGCCAACAAGGCCAGACTGCTTGCCGAGCTGGCAAGAGCGATGCGGCAAGCACACATCACCGACGTGGTGGCCATCATCTCCAAGGCCAGAGTACCCATCATCAAATTCGTGACGACCGAGGGTGAGTTCGGACTGATCTGTCACTCGACTTGGACTGGCTGACGTGAGTCAGGCAAGCTGAACGTCGACATCTCCCTCAACCAGACGAACGGTATATCCGCCGGCCAAATCATCAACCAATACCTTGACGTACTACCCGGAAGCCGCCAGCTCATTCTGGTCGTCAAAGCCTTCCTGAGCCAGCGGAGTATGAACGAGGTGTATACCGGCGGATTAGGAAGTTACGCCGTCATCTGCCTTGTGATATCCTTCCTGCAGGTCGGTCTTTTCCCACGTCAGATAGGGGCTTGAGCTGACTGGAGCCAGCTTCACCCAAAACTCCGACGGGCAGATATAGATCCAGAAGAGAATCTCGGTACACTCCTCGTCGAGTTCTTCGAGCTCTACGGCCGGAACTTCAGCTACGACGAAGTTGGCATCTCGATCCGGAGAGGCGGGATGTACTTTGCCAAAAAGTCCAGAAATTGGTACAGACCACAGCAGCCATTCTTGCTCTGTATAGAGGACCCGCAGGATCGAGGTGAGCTCTGCACCAGTGGTCAGGATACACAGATACTGCGCTAAATGACAGACAACGATATATCGTCCGGCTCATTCGGGATTCGGCAGGTCAAGAATACGCTGGCGGGCGCGTACGAGATGCTCCAGGCGAGGCTCTTTGAGCGGGCGGAGCAGATCAGCGGGAAACAAAGCGGGAGGTATCAGGGGGATTGGGATCCGGACGAGATGAGCATCTTGACGGGTGTTATGGGAATCACCAAGGAGGTTAGTTGTATGTTCTGCATCTGAGGCGGGCCATCAGCTTATACTGCTAGACTCAAAAGCATCGTCGAGAACTCCGCAAGTTACACGAGGAAGGCCGGTTACAACGCCAATTATCCATTCCCCCAAATGCCTCACCCGAGGGATACGTCCAGAACTACCGACCTCCAACAGCTACCGGCGTCAAGCGGAAAGCCGGCTCTATACGACTCGTCGGCGCAAGCAGAACCACTGTGACCGGTCCGAATGGCGACGATGATCAGCCGGTCAAGAAGAAGATGCGGAATGAGACCGGGATGGGCGCTGTCATGCTGGATGATGATGTGGAGGATGGGGAGCTTAGCGAGGGGTCAGAGATCTTTGAAGATGACGACGATGAAGAGGAGGAGGAGGAAGACGAGGACGATTATCTCGTTGGTGGAGGGGTATCGAGAGCATATCGGGGAGCCGCAACGCACGAGAGTGATTCAGAGAAGGAGGTGGACGGGGCGTTGATCGCGGAGGATACGACCGACGCTAGTATATCGGGGGTGGTCGGTATCGAGGGGGCCGACACATCAACGGAGGACGGCGAGATTGCCGAGGTCTCGCCTTTTGCGGAGCCGGCCCCGCTGCCTCGTCGGCAGGCGAGGGACGAGTCGGTATCGCACGATTCGGACGATTACGAGATCCAGCCCTCTCAACCCAGGAGTCACGTGGACGTCGAGGGTGGCGACTCCAGATATAAGGCGCTGAAGAAGGGGAAGGAGAAGGCGCCGGGCAGAGGCAAGGGAAAGGCGGGGAAGGCGAAGGAGGTTGAGGTCATCTCTGACTCGGACTCGGACGGGTCGTCCATCATCGCCATCAGCCGGCCGCCATCGCCGCCAAAGGCGAAGCCAAACGGGTCTAGCAAGGTTCCGAAGGGGAAGAGCGCGGAGAAGGCTAGTCTGCCGAACGGTCCAGGTGCAGGCGGAGTGGGGAAGAAGCAGAAGCGCGAGTTCTGGTTGGCCAAGGCAGGGAGCAAGCAGGAGGAGGGGGAGATTGAGGATGAGTTTGGAGGAGGGGCGGACTTTGTGCGGTTGTAGATGAGGCCAAGAGGCGTATTCAGTCGTCAGTGCAGAGATTGGGGGTTTTCCACAGCATCACTTTGATAAGGCAGTCAGTACAAGTACCATGTAGCCATGCACATATCGTTCGTCCAAAGATACATCACCCAAGATGGTTTATCAACAAGTCAGCCACCCTACCGCATAGGTGGTAACGGCCGTTCTTCCTCTAGCTCATACTCCATCGCATCCTCCACTCCATTCCGTCCTGTTGTACCACCCCCACCTCGTATCCTATCCACTGCGCGTCCAAGCCCGCCTGCCTTCTGGCTCACCCATCTCAATCCCTCTTCCAGCGCAACTTCCAGCCCCGCCGCTCCATCCTCAGCAATCGGACCACCCACCGGCTCCCAGTTGCCCCCTGCTCCACCGGTAGCCCAGCTACTCGCCGAGTCGTTTCGCATATGCGTTGGCTCCCTTGGCACAGCAGAAGCAGAGGTGGGAATGGCGGCGCTGACGGGTACGGAGGTGGCGTGTTCATGCTCCATTTGTGCTTCGTGACGGAGGACATCTTTGACAGTGACGAGTCCAACGAGGTGGCCTTCGTTGGCTACGAGAATGACGCGCGGCCTGTGCGTCAGCTTTCAAATCACTACGTATATTGTGCAGGAATCAGTAAGCTCACCCCATACGCCTGAAGAGCTGCATGACGATCTCGAGCGGCATCTTGGGCGAGACCGTCAGCGGAGTCTGATGATCAGCTATACCCCACGACTCAAGTGGTGCTGAAGGCAGGCCAAGCACTCACCTCATCCACATACTGCCCAAAGTCAACCTGCTCAGCCATAACCCCGCTAGTCCGCCTATCCTGGCCCATCTCCAGCTGAGGCCCTCCTCTGACAGACGGACTTCTGAGCGGACCCGCACTTGCTCTTCTTCCAGGAATGACAATATCGGGCTGAGCGAGGAATCCATTCTCGTCCGCTTCTGTTGAGGGTGTACATTCGAAAGAGCAGATGGCGGAGTCTGAGACGTTTCGGGTCCTACGAGCTTTTTCTGGTGAACGTCAGCTCGGCGACCTCCGTTGCCAACCAGCCTATGTGGACAATGCGGGACTGATAGCTTACCCAGCGCATATCGTAGTTCCGCTTTGCTGACTATCCCGACGATGGTCTTGTCGAATTCGCCGCGGACCACGGGGAAGCCTTGATAGCTCGTACTTTGGACGATCTCCTCTGCTTCAGTCAGCTACATCCAGGCGCGAAAGCATGGGCCCTTGAGGTAGCTCACCGATTTCCTGGATAGGCATACCGTCGGCCCGCATCATGACGATACCGCGCTTCATGACGTTTCCAACTGGCTAGTCAGCTAACGTCCCAGACTTCAAGGTGGAATGGCTCACTAGGCTCGATGAAAGCATGATCTCCAGAGTCCTTATCTTCCTTCTCCAAGAACGGATATCCGTTGAAGCGGATCATTTCGTCGGCTATCCCAGCACCGCCAAAGGAATCGCTGACGGCTTTGGTCACAAGCAGGACAATCTACAACATCAGCTCGAGTCTAGGCCCGAGTCTAGGCCAACAGACTCGATGGAGTATGGCTCACCATAGTAGGCAGGATGTAGGTCAAGGCACCAGTCAATTCGAACATGATGACCACAATGGTCACGGTCAGCTTGGTGACGCCTCTGACTTCATCAGCTAGCGTTAAATCACGAAGGTCACAGCTTAGCTTACCCAAGACATGCAGCTGCGCCCAAGAAGGCATAGGTCCCAGGAGTGATACACGGCGCGTCCGGCTGACATACAGCAAACCAAGGTGCTTCTGGGAAAGCACTGCCAAGCTGTCAGCTCCATGGGTATACTCGCACATGAATGAGGCAGCTCACGTGTGCATGGCCTTCATCAAAATGCCCACCATCCGTCCGAACATCGCTCCGACCGCCATGGACGGTACGAAGATACCGCAGGGGACTTTGCAGCCGTACGAGATGATGACGAGCGCAGTGCGCACGATCGTGCCGAGCAGGAGCGAATTGACCATTCGCCACTGTGCCGATGTCCTATGCAGGTAAGCTCGCGTCCAATACCATGTACCTCGAGGACTCGGGCTCAGACTCACTGACACAGCCCATACTTATCCCCTCCGCCCTCGCACTCCCTGAACAAGATCTCCATACATTCCGTCATGTCGATCCGGAGGAATCTGTTGAGATAGCCCATGACCGCAGTGAGAGATGCAAGACCGACCGCTTCGAGTACGCCGTGGTCTTTAAGGTGTTTTCGCCGGAAGGCTGCGACTTGGAGGTTGAACTTTATCACAAAGACTCCGTATAGACCCTATAGATCAGCTCGATCCTTGTAAGGATGAGGAGAACATACCCCGAACACGCCGATGAGGAGGTACGCGGGAATCTCGAAGTAGTGCCAATCACGATCATAAGACACGGTGAAAAGGACCAATTTCCCCGTGCGGAAGGGGTCCATCGACTGGGGGAGTCAGCTAATATTCACGGTTGAGAGAGGCTAGGCACCGTACCGCCAAGGTGAAAGTCGCGACCAGGGCGCAGACGAAGCTCTGCCACATCGTCCTGGTTGAGAACGCCTGATTCATCTCCTCGATCGAGAACAGAACACCGCCGATAGGTGACCCGAAAGCGACGGCGACTCCTGCTGCGCTAGCGGAAGTCACGATATCCCGCATCTTGGCTATCTCGTCAGCTTCTGAGCCTCAGTCTGCTGGAGGAGAGGAAGCTCACATGCACTTCTATCGTACCGCTGGAACAGCCGCCCGACGACGTTCCCGATTCCGCATGCATAGTGAACCGAGGGACCTTCCTTCCCAACAGAGAGGCCGGAGGCGATAGTGAGAGGCTGCGAAGGTCAGCTGGGGTACCGAGCGATATGGTGCTGGACACACCAGAGTCAAAGCCTTGACAGCAGTCGTAGCGGCAGACAGGAAGTTCTTGATGATGAATCCGCCCAAGATGCACTTGATCTCTGAAATACCTGATCCAGCTGCGTAGGGCGCGAAGGCTTTGACAATGTTCGCAGCCGAAAATGAGAATAGGGCCTAAGACTTCAGCATAACTTCCCCCTCATTGTGACAGACAGTAAACTTACAGCAAAGAAGATGTACGCCATATACCGAAACGGTTCCACCCCTCCCCAGTTCCTCCACTCCGCGCAGCCCTCTCCTTCATCCGATACCTCCAGACAGCAGAATTTGCGATTCAGCCACCATCCAGTGGTGCAGTATCCGAGCTTGATGTCGGAGAGCCATACAGAGGTGATGGAAATGAGCGCCATAGTCATTCCTATCGCAACACCTGCGCAAATCAGCTCCTGCTCATCCGCAAAACGTTTGAGCGCTATGAGCTCACCGACGAGCGATATGACTACCCAAGTCTCGCCTTCTTCCAGTATCTGCGCTATAGCCCGCCCGGCATACCCTACTGGGCCCTTTAATCGACTCAGCCGAGCAGTCAGGGACGTCGCATGGGACGGAGCGAGTACACGTGCATATCGTTCGCGCAATGAGTCCTGGATCCAGTCTAGTTGGCTTTTAGCATGTAGCCTTAGCCCTATCGCGATCGAAACGCGGCTCACCGACGGTGGAGAAGTCTTCATATCGCCTGGTGCATCAGTAGCTGGCCTAAGGATGATCGCACAAGGCCAAACGGCTTACTTGACTTGGCTCAGCTCCTGCTCAACTTCCAGCTCCTCTTGTACCGCATCTGGTTCTTCGCCCTCCATAAGGGGGCTGGTGATCCGGCTTGACCCCTCTCCTCGTTCCCGATCTGGTGGGTACGACATCTCGGAGGGATTCCGCTGTAGCGCTTGCTGCAGCGTGATGGCGCGGGATGCACCTTGTATTTGATGTGAGAAACACAGATGGACACCTTAGAACCTTGTCTCGCAGGCTTAAGGAATGAGGACGCGACTGAAATTACGCACGGATCACGCTAAACTCGGTCTTCGCCGCCGGTGCCTGAATGGAGGCTCGTTCCGCTCCCCGAGCTCCCTACGGTATCATCGTTCTTCATGTTTCCTCTTCACATCCATAGTACAGTGGCACTACAATCAGGCGCAGTGCAGCGTGAGAATCAGAGCAAGGCTTTGTAAATAGATATTTAAGGCTCGTAGGAGTACCAGCGGCGTGCGAGCAGTAGTTTTGGTCAACGTTGAGCAGATTATCGCGCCTTCTTATTTCGCTTCTTATTAGAGCTATGGAAGAGGCGTGGAAAGCCCTTGAACGCTTCGCGTGAGTCATCACCCCAACCTTTATGAGCGCTTAGCTGATCTAGGCTTCATTCGATCTGCTCCGATACGCGCCAACTTCCCCTTTACCTTGCCACCCGCCGCCTCTCTCCGCGCGTCTACAATGCAGTCAATCCGAACAGCAGCGTATATGGATACGACAAGAGCTGTTACGCAATCCACCCATACCTCCAGTAGACCCGTTCTCGTGGCTGCTTTGGCGGAGCAAGATCGCCGAGGGCATACACCCGGACGAGGCTTGGGCGTGGGTACTGGCGCAGAACTCGGGATCCGAAGGCGAGCAACAGCCTGACGTGGCATCGGTAGAGACGGAGAGCGTGACGATGGTGGGCGATGTAGAGATGGCAGAAGAGCAGGGGGTGAAGGAGGAGGTCAAAGTCGAGGGGACACCCGATAATGGTAAGTTCATCCCAACTGATGGTCAAGCAGCTTCGCGGATCAAGTCATCCTGCACGTCGGGGTTTACTATCGCTATGAAACTTTTCTCTTAATCTGCTTTGGCTCAGCCCATAGTCGCGACAAGCCAGCCTTGCTTGCGGCTGTTGCGCATATCCCACCCGGGAAGCGTCCTCACCGAACGCGTTATGTACTTCCCCACCCGTACCGCCACACGGCATGCCGCTTTTTCAAATCTCCGAAACCCCGCTTCCCGCCATTATTTTATTTCCTCCCCCCTGTTTGCAACGTGTTTCATGTCATCCGTGCGTAACGTGGCTGACGTTTCAGATCTACAACCCAAAGTGGAGGCGAAGCCGTGGGTTGCCGCACACCAAGATGGCTTGTCCAATGTGAAAACGGAGGATATCAAGCCCAGGGTGGAGACTGTACCTCCAATCGAGATACCGCACAAATATGTGCAGATGAATGATATCCTTCCGTTACCATCTACTTTACCGTACGATGATGCCGAGGACGCGATGGGCTCGCCGGAGGAATCTGGCTCGTACGCCTCATCCGCTGCGGATACATCTACGCTCCAGGACGTGTATATGCAGTCCGCGGGTATCAAGTGCGTCTTTGTTTTCTCCGAGAGGATACATGCTGACTGTATAGACCGGCATTACCGGAAGGGCTGGTCGATGGCCCGCCCCTGGTGCTCATGGCTATGGGCACCGCGGATCGGCCATATGACATTGCATCCCCGCAAATCGACCACACTATGGCTCAGATCGACCCCCCATCTCGTCCGACCACTCAACCCGCCCAGGGCTCGCGCTCCGGAACGCCAAGCGGGGCGACACCCGCCATCCCAGCTGACCCGACCCGGGCTCGCTCGACCACTCGCTCCCCGCCAAGAGCGGCTCCCCCTTCGCAGCCCGCCTCCTCCTCCACCTCGAAGCCAGCCGTCGAGGAAACCATCACAATGGACACGCTTCGCCCGCTTCTCACCAAGGAACGCCTACGCCATCCAAATGAAAAGCCCGGCAAGATCTGGAAATTCCTACGCCGCCAGGCCAACGGCAATGATCCGAGGTTCAAGCCTAACCCGGCCGAGCTGCGCGAGATCCTCGCTGCTATTCGCGAGCATGCGCCACACTCGTACAAGCAGGAGATGGCGGACAAGTGGGAATACTCGGAGCAGATTGGGAGGTGGTTGAAGAGCATGGCGCAAGATCCGGAAACGTGGGAGGTCGCAATCGTGCCTATGATGATTGTGCGTGTCAGCCCTGTTGCCAAGTCCCAGCTGATCTTCTAGCTTCTCTCCGAGACCGATATGGCTGTAAACGTCATCCTGGAATGCAAGATTGCTCGAGCACTCCAGGTGATAGCGAACAAGGCAGCGGAAAAGGACCGACGTGAGTTGTGATTTGAGTCAGGATCTTGCTCGGCGTAAGCTGACATTGGCAGAACTCAGCAAGAAGTCTAATATTGCCTCCGCGTTCAAGCGATACCAGGACCACTTCAAAAACAAGATTCAACCCTTGAACCGGAAGATACCACCTCGAGCAGTCGAAGCGGAGGATGAGCGTAAGTTGGACATCAGCAATGTCTTGAGATCTCGCTAATATCCTACAGCACTAAAGAAGCGGAAAGCAGGCGAGATGGGCGAGGATGTCAAACCGAAAATCACCTCCACCGGAAATGCAGTCGCTGGTCCCAGCCGGCTCGCCATCCCGTCCACCTCGAAAGCTCTGGCGAAACCAGCCCCATCTCCAGTCGATATCAAACCCTCAATAGAACCCGTCACAAAGCGCCCAAGAGCAGCCCTACCACCCATCAAAAAGCGGGATCCCGCCGAGTCCGGCAACCCCGCTGCGCCCTCCCCTTCCACACCCACTGCTCCCCCGCAGCTATCCCTGCTTGCTGCCGCCATGGCTCGTGCTCGCCAAGCCCAGCCAGCAGCAGGGACGTCCGGTATTGCGGAAGCTGCCCCGCCTGAATCCCGTCCAGACGCCAAGGTCAAGCTCAACAAGAAAGGTCATCATGTTCGGTTCAGCGATACTGTGCCCCAAGCTCGGCCGTTGGTCGAAGAGCGGCGATTCACACAGGATCCATGGGAGCAAGAACCTGCACCCTGGCAGGTCAACGGGGTTGGTCCATGTTCGATTATTCGTATGGGTAATCAGCTGATTATTACAGGATGGATCGGAGGTTCACATATCCGCTGCGGACATGACGCAGAATGAAGGAATGACCTTGAAGCAGGACGCGGTGAACCACAAGGAGGACGAGGAGCAGGAAGAAGAGGAGCTCATTGCATGGTATGAGCCAGACTGTAAGTGACGAGAATTGATAACATCGCAAGACACGTCACTGACTGTTGCAGCCTACAACACGGCACCATTACTCGAGCCGACGGAAGAGACACTCGTGCAAGAAGCTCGCGAGCGCGGTATTCTCGCCGCGCCGGGCGGTGGTAATGCCGATGAGTCTTCGGTCCAGATCGTCCCTCCCACACCCTTCCGGACATTCGAACTACACTCTAGTATGAACGTCGCTCCTCCTCCAGTCGGCGGTGACATCTCGCAACTCCTCACCAGCCTCGCTCCTGCTCTCGGCAATCTCGGCAATCTCGGCGTACTGTCCAATCTCGGCGGACCCAGTAATCACTTTGGCGCACCACCTCCGCCTGGCCAGAACTTTTACAATCAGGCGCCGGCATCATACCCTCCACCCCAGCCACACGGTGGGCATGGCCAATACAATGCGTACCCCGGTCCGCCTGGGCCCGATCGGCAATGGGGCAATGGCCCAGTCAACGGTCAGCTGAACCAGGGCTTTCCTCAAGGCCCAGAGAGGAACTACGGCGGGGCACTGCCTGTGTGGCAAGGAGAACCAGACCGGCCACAGGGGGGGAATGAGGGACATCGGCGAGGCGGAGGCGGTCGTGGTGGACGGGGAGGCGCAGGTGGAGGCGGAGGCGGAGGCGGGAAGGGTGGGAAGAAACGGGGCCCACCGCCTTGTAAATACTACCCAATGGGACGGTGAGTCTATATCTGGTCATGAGCGCCGGAGATAGCATAGCTGACTGGTATAGATGCGAGCAAGGCGCAAATTGCGCGTTCCGGCATGGATGAGTTGCGCTGGCGTAACGGACACTCTCGAGCAGGCCTCATCACGCCTTATGCGGACCCCTTCTCCATTCTTGGTCGGTCAAGTAGTCATAGAGGATTCATTCCGCCCCTCATACTGTATTCTAGCAAGCATATTGGCATCAATTCCTCCACATGCCACCTCCCCGATGACGGCATGGATGAGCCACAATGTTATCTATGTTAGGCTATCTCCATCTGCCCCTCCGCACTGCACACTCTATTAGCTACTTACCTGCTGTCCAATCGACAATGAATCACGCGTGCTATAACGAAGCCAGCGAGGGCAGCGCGCTGGTACGAATCACCAATCAGCATGAGCTGGTCTTTCTCTCAGACGTTTGGAACGTCGCGTCCCGCCTCATCCGCTCGCCGCGGAGCGTAAATGCCCTCGCATCGATGTTCGCTGTCCCCTGGGAGAAGCTACGGCCAAGCCAGCCCGTTCTTGCCGAGTTCGTCGTGGACGAAGCTGGATTCGAGCGACAGGAAGAGGTGCGGGCGCTCTTCGGACAGCAACGGCCAATTTTGGTGTCCAGCGCGGGGATAGAAGACTGGGGAGAGTTCCGACCAGAGCAGCCAGGTCATATCTTCCTCCGATCTGACGTGAGCTGCCGGGCCGAGCCTCAAAGAACGATCGTGGCCACAGCTGATCTCCTCAGTTGATCAACGCCGGAGCTGTAGCCGTTGGACAGGCGGTCGAGGAGTCGGTGTACTACATGCACCTCCTGTTTTGTGCGGTGACCCTCTGTCACGAGATGACCCATTGGGCGCGCTATGTGAGTCACTGCTCACGGAGCCTGTCAACAAGATACGATTTAGCTGAGACTTTGAGGCCCTCGCAACGTTGACGGCCTCCGCGCTGGATCCCACACGCCGGGTATCGCCCGATACGCCGCCAAAGATATATGTTCTGGGAGGTCCCGGACGCATACAGGGCACCTCAGATGACCCATATCTGTGCGGGGAAGGCGGCTGGGTGTGGGAGGCGTCAGTATGTGGCGGAAGAATGGTAGCAAATGGATTGGATGTCAACAGCGTACGTTCGAACGTCTCCAAGGCCTTTGCCAAGGCATCAGGCTGACAGGCAGACGCTCGAGCCGTCACTCAGGCTCGTTGGGCTGCAAGGTCCTCTGACGCTATACTCGAAGGCGATCAGCGCCCAGCACATCAAGGCATTGATAGAAGGTGAGTACGATTTGTACCGAGGTCTGCGCGAAGCTGATCAACAGGTTCTGGACAGTGGTCGGCACTTTTGCCGTTTCTCGGGCCGTGGGAGGCGGGCGCAGGCTCGTACGAAAGGAACCGTCGGCCGTATCTGCTGCCGGTCGGACACGACTCTGTTGTCGGCGATGCGTGGATCAGGACCTGTCGCAGAACTCCCTCATGAGGGACTGTAGGGTATGAATGCTGTATGTAAAGTACTACTATCTGCCTATCTACCGGACCCCCTAGCCTAGACCAGCCTGCTCGCCAGTGTACCTTCTGCCTGCCTCTTTGCCCTGACCTTCATCGCCGCTCCGCCTGTAAAGCTCTCCTTGCTCAGATCCTCCGCCGCGGCGCTGACAACCCCTACCCCGCTCGAGCCCGCCAATATACCCTCGTGATACTCCTCCCTCTGCTTCTTTTGCACCTCCGCCACCCTCTTTGCCTCTTGCGCCCTCTCCTCCACCTTGTCCTTGGCGAGATGAGCCAGGTCGACCGAGTCCTCCTTGATCTCCGTCATAGCCCGCCCCATCGTCCGGGTAGCATCCTGCGCAGCTGCCGCCGTTGTTTCCCTCGCAGTGTTGACCGCCGACTTGACCCGTTCAAAGATGTTCTCCGAAACCTCCTCGGTCTCATGCGCCACGTCCCCCGCCTCGCGCTGCAGGTCCCGCAGTATCCGCCTGCCCCCACCCTCGGCTTGACGCTCTGCCCGCTCCATTGCCGGCTTGGCATCCTTCACTTCTCCGCTGATCTTGCGCACGACGCCCCGCCCGCCTTCCGCGATACCCGCGCCGACACTGGTCCAGTCGGTGGAGCGGACAGAGTCCACGCCCCGCTCGACAGCCTGGTTCCACTTGGTCCGGAGGAGGTCCGAGAAGCGGGGTTGGTAAGGGTCGCGCGAGGGACCGATCTGCGAGACCGGTGCTCTTGGGGTTTGTGGGTCGAGGGAGGAATTCATGAGGAAAGTTGTGCGGTCCAGTCTATGTAATCAGCTCGAGTCCACAGCTTAACGAGGGCAGACTCACTCGGCTTCCAGCGCAGAGGTGTCCTGAGCGAGATGCGCAGACATGGTGTAGTACACCGCCGCCGCGGCGAGTACTCCGGAGCCGGTCCCGATGATGAAGCTGGCCATATTGGGTAGGGTGATGTGCTCTTATAGGTAGAGACGAGAGAAAGTGGTGGATGCCCCGACTTTCCCCTTGCATGACGAGCTGAGATCCGATAGCATGACGTGGATATAATTACAACGAGATCTTATCAGTCCCCCACCTACATACCCCACCCTACACCGCCGCCACCTTGCCATGCTTCTTCTGCATATCCGCCAATACCGCCTGCACCTGCTGCAGCTCCTTGACAAGCACGCCAATAGTTGTGTTGACTCGGTGGACATATGCGTTGACGTCGAAAGCAGGGTCCAGCTTGAGCTTCCTCGCCATATTGGGCTTTGAACCGGCTGACAATGCTGCCGTGTAGAGCAGGAACATGATGGCCATGAACATGAAGACCGTCATACCGTCGCTGGTACGTAGGTGCATGTGGCCTCTCTCTATTCTAGACATTGGCGTCAGCTTGGTCACAGATATACAAGCAGTTGTGCACCTACTTGAATAGGAGCCATTCCTTGGGCTTGCCACCCGCGCTTACGTTGTCTGTGGCAGCCAATCCGTCGTCTTTGGGCTTCTCCCTCGCGCCCACATATAGCTTGGCGTCCATCGCGGTCGTTTATCGTCTCTGGTGGGTCTGAGTAGAGGGGCTGTACACCGATATGTAGAGTGCGAAAGACAAAGCACTGATCATCTTCACATCTCCACGGCGCGGGAACACGTGTCTAAGAATAGCCCGAACGGAGACGGCCCGGATCCAAGCATTTCCGTTGCTTGCAACCAGCTATCATACAAGAGCTTTGCATAGTGGTTACAAATTGTATCTACCTGATTTCTTTTTGATTCCTACTTTATGAGATGTATGGTACCTTCTACATGATAGCCTAGCTCAACGCTTCACCTCTGCCCGACCCTCATCGACACCCGCGCCTTACCCGACGCTCCCGAGACCCTTCTCTACACTCCACATTTACTCCTTCCCCTTGGTCTTCAGCCCACTGAGCATCTTCGCCAGACTCTGTATCTGCCCCTTGATCTTAGGCCTACTCGGCTCCGCCGCATCCGCCTTGCCAACGGTCGGTCCCACGATTGTGCGGCTGCTCTCGATGGACGCCGAGCTCTGCCTGGGAGGAGCGACTGGCTGAATCTGATGCGTCGCTGCCTGCGTAGTCGATGACACCGACTGCCCACTGTATCCGGACCGTACCGTCTGGAGGGAAATAGAGTCCGGCGCGGTATAGCGGGAGGTGAGCGAGGGGGGCTGAGGGGATTTGGAGCTGAGCATTCCCTGCGCGTTCGGTTCTGCGACGTGGCTCGGTCGAGCGGCCGATAGCGCAGAAGCAGGATTGGCGAGTGCGGGTGGTCGAGCCGATTGGGGAGACTTGATGGGGACCGAGGTAGAGGGAATGTGAGCGCGATGAAGCGAGCTGTTGAGACCCGGAGGGCGCATGGGCGGCTTGCCAAATGACCCCATCGACATCCCGTCCAGACCACCCGTGATAGCCGCCGCTGCCGCCGCCGCCCTCCTCGCCCTGTCCAGACTCTCGTCCCGCCTGGCTTCCCTCCGCTTCTCCTTCCTCCCCCTCTGCTCGGCCGCTTCCGCCTCCTCCTCTTCGTGCGTCGCAAGCTTCACCGGCCTCCTCCGCCAATCGTCTTCCTCCGCGCCAGACATACTCGACGTGGCGGATGCGGAAGAGACCTGACCAAAGCTCGAGTAAGCGGATGCGGGACCGGCACTGCCCCTGAAAGGCGAGCGCTTTGAGTCTGGGTGGCCCTGCAGCTTGGCGGGGGCTGACCAGTTCCCTCCCGACCCGGCATCCCGCTCCGCCACGCGACGAGCCAGAGCTGCAAGTTCCGGATTGGCCGATGAGTCGGACGTCTTCATGAGATTCTTCCAGCGGCTCTTTTTCGCCTGAGCGACCTGGGCGGGACTCGTGCCCAGAGGAGGGAAGTCTTCGACCCGGTTGAAGTCGAGATCCTCCTTCTTGGGACCTTTGGAGAGATCCCGAGCAAGCGACTGGGACGCCGCAGCGAGTTCTGCGAGAAGAGCATCGCGCTCTTCCTTGGTCGATGGGTGCTCTCCAGCCGCTGCTGCCGCCAAAGCTGCTTGCGCCGCCTTGCCCTTTCGGACGCCTCGCTTCCGCCGCTTGTTGGTTGACAACGACCGGGCGTCCGACTCGCCATCGCCAATGGGTCCTTCCTCGCCCCGCTCAGACTGGCCGGGCGAGTACATGGTAGTACTGTCGACGGGTGTAGGCTGTTCGTCGTTTGTTGTGGCCGAGGTGAGCTCGTCGTCCAGCTCAGGGGTGTGGTCGCCGCCTTCCTCTTCCTCCGTGGGAATGGCGGGGGCGAGTGGCCGGATCGACGCCGACAACGTAGGGGTGTTGGATGAGGCAGTACTGCTGGTAGTTGTGGTGAGGGATGTACCGATGGGGATAGCCGATGTTGGCGCCGTGCTCGTCAAAGCCGAGGCCGACACCTTCCTCTCCTGACCTCCGACCCCGCCAATCGGGCTCTTGACAAACATGCCCGGGGCCGCCATCGCCCCATTCCCATCTTCCCACTTGTGCACCCGCTCCCTTTCCTTCCGCTCCCTCCGCTCCGTCTTGATGTGAAGCATCGCGCGCTTCCCGCCAATCATCTCCGGCAAGCTCTTGACCCATTTGCCAAACTGTCCCGCCGTGACTCTGTTCTCGACGTCGAGGCAGAGCACATGCTCCGCCAGGTAGGTCGCAACGTCCCGCCCGATACCGGTGAATTTGGAGAGCAAGAATCCGGTGGGATCGTGGAGAAAGTTGTCAAAGTTCGGATCGCCCTCGGTCGGGTCTTTCCAAGGATTGCGGTGGAAGAGCATGTTGATGAGGACGATACCGAGTGACCAAACGTCGGCTAGGGCCGGCATGTAGGTTGGTCCGAGGTTGTTTCGGCATTCTGTAATATGTCTCAGCTTTCCAGCCTCGGTTCCACATAAAGCTGGAATACGCACCATAGGACATGTATGGCTTGCTCCCACATTCCACATCCCCACTATCTTCCTCAGTCGTCGCCAATCCGAAATCCGTCAACTTGACCACCACCTTGCGCTTCGCCTGCGGACCGAAACCGCCCTCATCCTCTTGCCCCTCGGCAACAACTTCGAGCTCGACCGAATCGCAGCAGATAAAGTTCTCAGGCTTGATATCGCGATGCGCAACACCGGCGTCGTGGCATACCGAGACAGCTTCGCACATTTGCGAGAACATGGAAGCGATAAGCCGGAGTCGGCGGGTGGAGAGAAGGGTGTTGGCAGCGAACGCCGAGAGGAGCGAGGGAGTAGGTGGTGTCTGGGCGGCAAATGACGATGAATGATGCCCGTTTCCGTTGTGGTGAGAGAAGAGGAGAGAGGCGGGGGATTGGCCGTGGAGGAACGGCGTGGAGGTCTGGCTACTGGACATGCCCATAGACATGTGGCTCATCCCGCCAAAGAGCTGACTGGACGAGAAAGGGATGGATGAGGAGGAGAACTTGGAGGATGAGGAGGGGTGATGCGAGGTCTCCTCGGGTAGGTTTGCGTTGACCGGCGGAGGCGAGGCGTCTCGCGATTTCTCGAGCCAGTAGAAGAGATCCTCGCCCGGGCAGAGTTCGAGCATGAGGAAGAGCCAGTGTTTGGTCTGGAGGGTTTGGTGGAGAGTGACGATGTTGGCATGGATGGGGAGGGAGAGGTGGATGGTGGCTTCAAATAGTTGAGTTTCGATTTGTTCGTCCGTGAGATCTTGCTTGGATAGACACTTTAAAGCTGATCATCAGCTAAGTCCGGTTGGAGAGACTGAAGACTTACCGTATTCACGCTTCCGACCGCCCTTCTCTCTAACAAGGTACACAACCGCATAGCTCCCGCTCCCTAAAGGCCTGACCACCTCATACCGCTTCTTTGTCTCATCTTCCGGCTCCTGCAGGCCTGGTCGCCGCTTCTGCCCAACCCCACTTCCATCTCTCCGCAGAGGTAAGATCCCAGCCCCATCCGCGACCTTGCCTACTGCCGGCTGGATCTTCTCGCCGTGGAACTCCAAGCCCTCGCCGAACAGCATCCCGGGACGCATGATGTCCCGAGCCGGGCCTTCCGACTGGCCCGTCCAGGACCGGTCGTACTCTTCCCCACCATACTGGTCGTCATCTATCGCCGAGTCATCCTCGTCCATATCACCCAGTATGATCCCACCCGCAGGCTCCCACTTCTCAAAGACGTCCGCATCCGCCTGGCGGGGTTCGCCCATCTGCACGAGGACGGCATCCTCGTTCCTCGGCGTAAGATTAGACGAGCGACTGGGCGTGAGCGTGCCGCTGCCGTTCAGTCCGGCATGACTGCCGCGGGGTGTGCGCGACCGACTGCGGGTGCTGAGGGAGATGGAGACAATAGCGGCCGAGTTGCGACGAGAGCGAGGGGGTAAATCCGCCGCCGGACCGCGAGGAGAGGAAAGAGACGGTCGCGGGGAGGACATGTCCGGGAAGACGTACTGGAGCTGCTGACCTCCAGCATGATCAACGGGGGTGGACAGCTGAGGGGACAGGAGCGCATGCCGCACCGTGGTATTGATGGGTGGTAGGCGGCTCTGTGCTGAAGGGAACGCTATGTCGGAGCTGGTGCTGGGGAAGGCGGTCTGAGGGAGGGTCGGCGAGAAACCATAGCTGGTCCGGGAGGGTCGAGGAGAGGAAGGACCACTCGGACCCCCGGTGGCGCCAAAGTACGGGCGCCGGGGTGAGGGGAGCGGGGATTCCGACATGAGAGGCGATAAACTCCTTCTGTCGGCTGCGTAGGATGGGACAGGATGGGGGAGGGGGAGGGAGGGGGCAAGCGAAGGACACGACGATCCTTCGCTGCCAGCCGAGAGGGATCCGCAGATGGGGTGAAGGGCGGTATGGTCACGTCAGGTGATGGGTGGAGGTGATTGAATTTGGCCGGCGGTCCGGATGGCTCAGCCTAACGGAGAGGTTCCTGTGATCCGCGAGGGCCGAACAGAGGCTGTATACCGATGAGCAGGGAGAGGAAACGACGCCGTCCTATAAACAGCAAGGGTCCCCCTTCTCTCTGGCCCCAAACGCTCCAACGGCCAGCTCCAGTCCCCCAAACAATTCGCTCTCCTTCGAGTCACTCCTTGCTCCTTTGATCCGATGCTGCGCGTTACAGATGACGTGCCACGCTGTCCCGCGTGGAATGTTCGATAAGGCGTCGCAAGATCCGAGGGGGAAGATCCTTTGACGAGGGATTGAAGTGGAGGGTGGGGCTGACAGATGCCGGTGGATGAGGGGGAAGAAGGATGTGTGGTCGAGCTGGCCAGCAGTCGAGATGATGGACGGTGCTGGAGCTGTCGAAGGGGGCGGAGCCGTTGTCCTCAGAACTCTATACTGGTATTTCCGGAGTGCGAGCTAAGGATTTGGGGTGAGGAGCTGGCTAGCTCGGGTGTGTGTGTGTGTTCCGGGGTACGGGGTACGGGTGGGCGATAGGCGATAGGCGATTATAGAGCGAGGTGGACCGTATTTCGACGTTTGTGCTTGCTTACTGCACTGAGCGATGAGCGTGGCGCTTACGCAGCGGTGTCGATGCAGGTGAGACAGTAGTGGTGGATGGATAGGTAGCTACACAAGATGTCTGATGATTATAGATGGGTAGTGGACGGTTAAACGGTAACTAACGAGAAGGGGTGACGACTCCGACAAGAACGGGCGAGCGGGTTGTGGATCATGTGCTGCTGCTTATCCTCCTTGTCTCCTTTCCTCTTGTCGAATGCTTGTAGTGTAGTTAAGATGGCGGCAAGAGCCGAGACACTAGACTATGGAAATGCAGGACGGAGCTGGATAAGGCGTGTGAGTGTCCTCAAGTGATACATGAGCCATCCGTCCCAACAACTGCGCTAATCTGATTACGAATCCTCCCTATCAATCCGTTCGACTCGACTTCCACCCAGCAGGCCGCAGGCGCAGCGCGTTACTCAGCTGCTGCTGCTCCAAGCATGCAAAGCGCCCTATAAAGTATAGTTTGACAGCTGCGGCCCTTGTTCGGCTGCGAAGTTATGGGGCAGAAGCGAAGCACGGAGGTAGACGGAGATGGATATGGATGCATGCGGTGCATGAAACTTAAGGCACAGCCTGGGATTCTCGGCCGAATCTCAAACGTTGAATTTTGTAGTCAACGATGAACGAGTAGTCTACGACTCGATGATGACTCCGGGTGGCAGCATGCAGCCATCAACGCGGGGAATCCACACGTTGCCGCACGCTGCCGCCCAGCCTGCCTGTGCGCTTGGCAACGAGGAGAGTCAAGCCTCGCCCTCGAGGAGGCCGAGGAGAAAGTGATCGGATTGCCGCGGCTAGCTCAGGAAGCTTGCTCAGGAATGGACTTCCAGATCTCCGTTGGAGGCTGTTGGAGGCTCGGAGGCATACCGGCGTAATCTTCCACCGTGAGCGGCCGCGGAGCACAAAGCATTCTTCCGTATATGGCCTGTGCCAGCTGGCCGCTAGGTCCAAAGGCAAAGACCATGCCGGCCACGGACACCAAGACGGACATCCCAGTCCATATGTTTCGTATTAGCCACGTCTGGTATGATGTCTCTCCCCAGCTCCCAAGATCGACCTCCCTTCTGGGTACCTCATCGCCACTAACCCCGCTCCCGTTCATGCTCTACCCTTCCGCTCTTCCCCACTCCCCTCCTCCGTCTGCCTCTCCTATCCATCCCGCCAGACACCGCTCACAGGCCCGCCCCTATTCCGACTATCCTCCCCCACCCCGTACCCGGCCGCTGGATCTCCTCGATCCCCCCAAACGTAAACACCTCGGGTACCAAATGGACGTTCGAGAATGTCCGCTGGACAACGCAGACAAATTCGGCGCCTTGGAGGGGGAAGGGGCGTCCTCGGGCTTGTGCCGAGTGGAATTCGAATGTCTGGAAGTAGCGCTGCCAGACGGACAGCTGGGTAGGGTTGTTTTGCGTGCCGGTGCGGTAGTATCGCCTCAGCCTGGGCATCAGCTGCTGCTTTCTGGAGCGCTTAAGTGAGGCGGAAGGATAGAATAGGAATGAGGAGACTGACGTACCATGTAGCGGCGCGATCTGGTTCAGGCATACCCGCTATATCTTCATCGGGAACGATACCGGCCGGTCGAGGGGCTTGCGCTGGAGGACGCGCCTGAGCAGGCTGGACGGCCTGTGATGGTATATGTGGCGTTTGGGCTGGTCCAGGAACAGGCCGAGCAGGAGCTGCGGGGTACTGGTGCGCAGGCGGTGCCGGAAGAGGGGGAGGAGGGGGAGGCAGCGTCTCGGTCGGGAACGAATAGGGAGGTGGAGGTTTGGCATCCGTCGTCGGCGCAGGGGATATGGAGTTCGAGGGCAGCTCAATAATCCCCGGCTCCTGTTTCTGTTGCACAGAGATAAACTTCAGCCGCTTGTACGCAGCCTTCGGCTCGCCGGTCACTGTACCAGCCGAGGTATCGGTAGACGGTCCCGAATGGATGGTCCGAGAGCTGCCTGACTGGGCAGAGGGGAGTCCACCTGCCGGGACGGAGGCGTTCGATATGGCCGGTGAGACGGCAGGAGCGGGCGACGACCAGCCCTGCGAGCCGGTGAAGATGGGATGGAGGGGAACGACGGGGTTTGGCTTGCGGCGAGGAGCGGGTTGCGGATGGACTCTGGGTTTGATGGCGAGTCCCTCCTTCGAGCGGGCGTTATTGATGTGTTCTTCCTTGCCATGTCAGCGCAGCTCATCAGATGGTAAGAAGGTCAGCCCTGATATCATACCAGGCTGGAACCCGAAAGTGGTCGTCGGCTTGGCCTCGCAGAGTGGGGAGTTGGCGGTCGAGTGGGAGAAAGTACAACATACCATGACACACAGCGCCAGCTGCCATCTCCGCTCTTCGTCTTCTGGGTCGATACAGCGAGTACAGACCTCCTGCGCATACTGAGAGTATCAGCAGTATTCCCTGTCCCCGAAGCAAAACATCAGAGGGCTCCGGCGCGGTACATTTTCTGCGCCTTCTCTTACTTCTCCCTTCGAAAGAAGCTTCATGACCGCCCTCTCCCTCATCCTCTCCGCCCAGTACGATCAGAAGTGAACGACTCACGTCCCTGCTTCCATCCTCATTCGGCTCGAAGTGCGCCCACGGCCACCCCACTCCGCACTGCTTGCACTGCTGCACCCGCTGCCCCTGTTCTCCGCCGGTCGGTGAGGCCATACGTCCCGGCTCGACAGCAGCCATTCTGATGTCTGGACGAGTTACCTGGTATGTCTAGTGTCCGGAAGGGACGGAGAGGCGATGTCCGAGGCGATCTGACGCCCGCTCCTGTCCGGAGGATACGGGGAGCAGGACTGGCGAGGTGAGGCGCACCACGCGTGTGCGGACGTGAGCGCCTGAGCGTTGATTGAACCGACTCGCGCAGCTGGAGACGAGGAATTTTGAGTTCGAGCGTGGATTGGCGCGAATGAGGTCAATGGATCAGCTGTGAAAGAGAGACCAGAGCTCAGATGGTTCAAGCCCAAGTTGTATGATAGATGTAGAAATCGCACCGGATGAGATGCATGCATGAGATGGCTGATGGGGTCGAGCGGACTTTCGACGCGCCAGGCACGCGCCTCCACTCTGCAAGTCCACTGAGCCCGCGCTATGCTGAGTGGGTACCTGCTGATCCGTCTGTGTTCTGCAAGGATGGACTTGGTTCGCCACGAGATGCAGAGAAGATGTGTTCAGCCATCTGGATTCATTCACGAGAGCTACAAATCTGGGTATCTACAAGTCTTATATTAGGCCGAATCTTGCTATGTACTACCATTATCTTTGCTACTACCGATTGCTCAGACCACAGATCTATACCAGCTCAAACTCATCCTCCTTGTCCACCCTGGCCGCCCTGGGATCCACCTTCTTCTCCTCGACTTCCGAGTTAGGGGCGGGTACTGAAGCGGTGTCGACGGGGGCAGAAGTGGGTTCCGGCTCAGGGACGGTGGGTGTGGACTCGGCGGGAACCTCGAACCCCTTGACCTCCTCCTCGTGCTCCCGTACCTCGCTGGGATCCGCCACGCTACTTCCGCACGACGAAGACGAGGCAGAGTGGTGCTCGAGGTGCTCGGTCTCCCCGCGCTCCCTCGCCGCCTTCACCTCCTCCCACACCTCATCCCTGCGCTTCTCCAACCCCTCGATCTCGCGCTCGACCTCCCTGACAACCTCCTTGCGGCGCCGGCGGACCTCCTTATTGCCCTGCGAGTTGATGGCGTCCGCGGCTAAGAGGAGCTGGAGGAGCTTGTGGGTCTGGGCGTGGTACCCCGAGTTGGCCTTGTTGAAGAGGAGCGCGGGTGGGGAGGGGTCGGTAGATGAGGGAGAGGCGAATGAGAGGGTGGAGGGGAAGTCGAACGAGTCGCGTACGAGCGAGAGGTCCGAGGAGATGGTAGATAGGGTGGAGAGGGCAGAGGCAGTGTTGTCGACCTCGGGAGCGGCGGTCGTGGTAGGGACAGGAGCCGGAGTCGGAGATGGAGTAGACTCGACCGGGACCGGAGCGACGACAGGGGCGGTGACGACAGCAGGTGCCTTCTTCTCCCCCTCAGCGACAGCCTTGCCCTTGCAGTTCACCGCCTCCTCCTTCTGACCCTGCTCAGACCGGTGCTGCTCCTCCTTGAAAGCCATCTCGACGTTACCGAGGATGTCGCGGACGAAGGGCGGCATGTCTGCCATACCGTTCAGGAAGGTGGTGAGCGGATGCTCGTCGGTAGAGGGACGAGCCTGGGGCTGCGAGGATGATGCGACGGCGGGAGCCGAGGTAGAGGGGAGGACGAGGGAGGGGAGAGTGGGCTCAGGAGGATCCGCGACGGAAGTGGGAGCGACCTCGACCTTCTTGGGCTCGGCGGCGGTAAAGGGCGCGGGGGCGGGGGCGGTGGGTGCAGCCTGAGCTTCCTTCTCGGAGTCGAGAGACTCAGGCTCGAAGACGAGACCGAAGCGAGAGAGGAACTCGTTCAGGCCTTGAGGAACTGCGTTACCGGTGGAAGGGACCGAGGTGAGCTTGGGTGACGGTTCAGTGGTAGGTTCGACGCGAAGACCGAGGACGTGGGAGAGGAGTTCGTTGACGTGCTCCGGGAAGGCATTGCCGGTCTGCTCGGGCGCAGTGGAAGGGGCGGGGGTGGCCGCAGGAGCCGGTGTCTGGGTACCTGCAGGCGCCGGGGCAGGGGTGGGAGTGGGAGTGGACTTGGGCTCTGTAATGAGATCAGCTAAAGTCCAGAACAAGAGATCAAAGGACAACTTACCAGTCGCCACCTCCTTCTTCTCCTCTACATCGGCGAGGCTGATCCCAAAGAGACCAGCGAGCAAGTTGTTGATCGCCTCGTACTCCTCCTTGTACTCCTTCTTGACCTCCTTGACGGCGTGCTGACCCGCGCGCTGGGCGTACCGACCTGCGCACCGCTTGGCACACTCGACCTTGCTAGCGATAGCCTGGTCGATCTGCTGCTGACGAGCCTGGTTGATAGCGGCGATCTGGGCGGCGCGCTGCTGTTGCTGCCGGTGCTGGACGAGGCGTTCCCGGTGCTGGGCGACGAGCTGGCGGTGGCGATCCTCCTCCTCCTGCTGACGACGGTGGTGCTCCTCGATGATGGCCGCCCGAATGCGCTCCTTCTCCCTAGCTACCGCCTCCGCGATCGCCTGCTCCCTCTGCTGTTCGATAGCCTTCGCAATAGCCAGCTCCCGCCTCTTCTCGGCGACAGCACGACGGATCGCCGCCTCCCGCTCCTCCTGTGCTCGAAGCCGGATAGCCGCCTCGCGCTGGATGGACGCCTGCTGAGCCTCGCGCCGCTGCTGGAGGTGCCGAAGGTGAGCGAGGGTGGCGCGCTCCTCCTCGTCAAGGTCGTAGCCCATCCCAGCGAATGGAGACGAGGTAGGGGTGGCGCGATGGTGGTGCGGGGTGGGGTGGTCGAGAGGAGTGTAAGGGGATGGTGAGGGGGATCGGGTGGCGCGGTGGCCAAAGATGTGGTGGGGTTGGATGTTGTAGTATGACATGGTTGTTGTCGTGTGTTGTTGATTGGTTGTTGCTTGGGTTGGTAAATATGGATGTGAGTGGCAAGTGTTATTGCAAGGATGAGAGTGAGGAAGTGAGTTGGTCAGATGGTCTCCCCTTTATATCCTTTGAGTCCAAGGACGATGCATCAGCGCTTTGTCAGCTGGTAGACGCGCGGCCTCATGACCGAAGGTCATCGTCGCCGATGGTACAGTCTGGAACGACATGGACGTTGCTGGAAAGTGATGGAAGGTGGAGGGAAGATGGCTTGCTCAGCGTTTCCAGGCGCCAGAAGGTGCTGGAACGTTCCTCTACCCGGCACTTGCCGGTTTAGCCGAGCTGCCGTAAGTGCCACACCCCCATCTTAACGGAATCTAAATTTCAGGGGTCGGGTTGCGCTCAGACGTGGCGGTATGGCGCGATGGCTCGGGATTTTCGAAAAATCAAGTTCAAGTTGATCGCAGCTTGAGAACGTGCTCTTCCCTCTATACCTCTCTTTCATCCCCCCTTACCCCTCCCCCTACTAAACAATACAGAACATAGCCAATATGGTCAAGTCCGCTGTCTTGGGTTACCCCCGTATCGGTACCGGCCGTGCCATGAAGAAGGTACGTCCTGGTAGCGATCGAATAGGCGAATATTCAACGACAAGGATCGTAGCTGATCCCAACAGTCCATCGAGGCTTACTGGGCTGGCAAGGAGTCTGAGGAGCAGCTTCAGGCTACAGCCAAGGCCGTCAGGCAGGAGCGATGGGAGACCATCCGCAACGCCGGTGTCGATGTCATTCCTTCGTGAGCTTATCCTCACACAACGTGAGACCGGCATCAGCTAACCCGTTCAGCGGTGACTTCACCCTCTACGACCACCTCTTGGACCACTCGTTCAACTTCGGTGTCGTTCCCCAGCGTTACGTTGAGCAGAAGCTCTCCCCCCTCGACACCTTTTTCGGTGAGTTTTGGCTGAAAGAAGGTCCGAGCTCGGGCTGATTCCCCAGCCATGGGCCGTGGTCGCCAGGACAAGTCCAAGGGTATCGACGTCGTTGCCTCCGAGATGGGCAAGTTGTACGTTGGAATCTCGTCGAACGGCGCAGGATATAGCTGACATCCAGCTTCGACTCCAACTACCACATTGTCAAGGTCGACCACGACGAGAACACCAAGTTCTCGGTCAAGCGCAACCAGCAGCTCGAGGAGTACAAGGAGGCCAAGGAGCTCGGCATCGAGACCCGTCCCGTCATGTTCGGTCCCATCACCTACCTTTCCCTCGTCCGCAAGTCGCGTGAGGCGTCCGCCGACTTTGAGCCTCTCTCGCTCCTCGACTCGCTCATCCCCGTCTACAAGGAGATCCTTACCTCCTTGAAGGAGGCCGGTGCCGCCGAGGTCCAGCTCGACGAGCCCATCCTCGTCATGGACAAGGCTGAGCAGTACGGTGACCTCTTCAAGAAGACCTACGAGGCGCTCGCGTCCGTTGGTCCCAAGATCACCATCACCTCGGCTTACGGTCGGGTCGGCAAGTCCATCGAGTACTTGAAGTCCCTCCCCATCCACGCCCTCCACCTCGACCTTGACCGTGAGCCCAAGCAGCTCGACGAGGTCCTCGCCGCCCTCAAGGGCACGTCCATCGGCATCGAGCTCGGTGTCGTCTCCGGTCGTAACATCTGGAAGACCGACCTCAAGGCCGCCAAGGCCCTCGCCGAGAAGGCCATCTCGGCCCTCGGTGCCGAGAAGGTCGTCGTCTCCACTTCGTCCTCCCTCCTCCACACCCCCATCTCCCTCGCCGTCGAGAACAAGCTCACCGCCGAGCAAAAGTCGTGGCTCTCTTTCGCTTCCGAGAAGTGCGAGGAGGTCGCGGCTCTTGCCGAGGCTCTCAACGGCCAGGAGGGTGCTGCGTTCGAGCAGAACACCAAGGACATTGCCGCTCGTCGCGAGTTTGAGCGTACCTCGGACTCGGCCGTCCGTGACCGGGTCGCCGGTATCACCGACGCTCAGCTCAAGCGCAAGTCGCCCTTCCCCGCCCGTCGGGAGGCCCAGAAGAAGCACCTCAACCTCCCCAAATTCCCCACCACCACCATCGGTTCGTTCCCCCAGACCAAGGAGATCCGATTGGCTCGTTCCAAGTTCACCAAGGGCGAGCTCTCCCAGGAGGAGTAAGTCTGCATGTCACTCTGTTCAGGATTTCGCTGACACTCAGCTACGAGAAGGCCATGGAGGCCGAGATCAAGCACGCTTGCGAGTTCCAGGAGAAGGTCGGACTCGACCTCTTCGTCCACGGCGAGCCCGAGCGTAACGACATGGTTCAGTACTTCGGCGAGCAGTTGACCGGGTTCATCTTCACCCAGGTAAGCTTCTTCCCACTCTTCCGATGGCTTAGCTGACTTTTAGCTTGGTTGGGTTCAGTCCTACGGTTCCCGATACGTCCGTCCCCCTATTGTCGTCTCGGACGTGTCCCGCCCCTCTCCCATGACCGTCCGTTGGTCGGCCTACGCCCAGTCGCAGACCTCCAAGCCAATGAAGGGCATGTTGACTGGTCCCGTCACCATCCTTAACTGGTCCTTCCCCCGTGCCGACGTCTCCAAGGAGGTCCAGTCCAAGCAGCTCGCGCTTGCCCTTCGCGACGAGGTCGTCGACCTTGCCAACGCCGGTATCAAGGCCATCCAGGTCGACGAGCCCGCGATCCGTGAGGGTCTCCCCCTCCGCAAGGCCGACTGGGACAACTACCTCCAGTGGGCTGTTGACTCGTTCCGTCTCTCCACCTCGGGCGTCGAGGACGACATCCAGGTCCACTCGCACTTCTGCTACTCTGACTTTGGAGACATCTTCCCGTCCATCCAGGGTCTCGACGCCGACGTCATTTCGATCGAGGCGTCCAAGGCCGACCTCAAGCTGCTCGATGTGTTCAAGAACCACGGGTACTCGAACGAGATCGGCCCCGGTGTCTACGACATCCACTCTCCTGTAAGTTGCTCGAAGCTTGACGTCGTTTGAAGCTGTAGCTGACTCTGCAGCGTGTCCCCGGAGAGCAGGAGATCAAGGACCGTATTGCCGCCATGGCCAAGGTCCTCTCCCCCGATCTCATGAGTAAGTCATCAGCTCACCGGTTCACACCCTTTTGTGCCTGAGCTGACTCAATAGTCGTCAACCCCGACTGTGGTCTCAAGACCCGTGGGTGGAAGGAGACCGAGGAGTCGCTCGCCAACCTGGTCGCCGCCGCCCGGTGGGCCAGGAAGGAGTACGCCTAAGCGTCTTCTCCTCCCTTCCTCCCCCAAAAAGCATGGTTTCAACAGCCAATTGCAACCCCTTCCCCCTTTCCGACAGCATAGAATCACCCCCAACCACCCATAATCATCTCATCAGCATAAACCCCCATCCTGCATTATCGACGTGTATATACCCCCTCTCTCCCACCAGTGCTCTTCCCCTTCTGGTCGTCAAGTTGTGTTTTTATAGAATAGGTCTCGGTTTCGGAATAGGTGTTCAGGCGTAGTAGTAGAAAGTAGTCAGCAGTAAATTGAAATGAAAGTCTGTTCAACCGGCACCACACCCTGGCTCTGCTTGATATCTGGTACTTCATCATTGCACCTCGGCGGGGTCTACCTTATTGACATCGTTGGCGGGGCGGACTACGAGGCAAAGCCAGAAGGCGAGAGAAGGAAGAAGAGCATGGCCGGCTAAACCTCGGCTGAATCTCGAATCAACGCGTTTGATCTTCGCGACACGCTCACCTCTTTCGCCATCCCAACTTCTCTCTGTCATTCATATCATTACATCTGCTCTGCTGTACTTACTCAATCTGATCGCCTGCTGTGGTATGGCGTAGTCCTGTGCAGCTTGCTTTATCATGTCTTTTACTGCTTTCCCGCTCGATAAGCTAGGCCTGACGCCTGCTCAGCTACAACTCTGTACGAAAGGTATGTCCCCTCCTATCGAAGACCGCCTTCTCCCTTGGAGGGTCGAGATAGCTCCTCATCCGTATGAGTCAGTGCTGATAGGGACAGCCAACTACCTAAACGCCCAAGACGTCCTCCTCATACCCCTCCCCGACCTATCCCGCCGACTCAAAATCCGCCTACCCGAAGCTCAAGCACTCATCACCGCTATCTCCAAAGCGATCGCTCCTCGTAGCAGCCTGGTATCTTCGCTCGTAGGCGATGACGCCTCGACGAGCGGTGCGGGACTGGGAAAGCGGAAGAGGGGGAGTAAAGGGAGAGAAGGGGAGGGGTGGATTAGGACGGGGGATGTTGAGCTGGATACGTTATTAGGCGGAGGTGTCAGGGTAGGAAGCGTGACTGAGATTGTCGGTGAGAGGTGAGTTCATTCGATCAGCAACTCGCTTGACCTGGCGTCTGCATGCCAATAGAGCTGACATCTGTAGCGCAGCCGGCAAATCCCACCTATCACTCCATCTCGCCCTCGCCGCCCAACTCCCCTCTCTCACCTCTTCCCCTGGTGGAACGATTATCCTCACCTCCGAGCGCGAGTTATCTACCACCCGCCTCACGCAAATCGGGGAGGTCATGTCCCGCCGACACGCCCAGAACGTCTTTATGAAGCGGGACAGCCTGTCAGACGGGGTTCTCACTCGTCGAGTAGCAGATGTGGAGGAGCTGGAGGATGTGCTGAGCTACGGGGTGCCGGCGCTACTGGAGCGGGGCAGGGGCGGTCCGGGTAAACGTGGGTCGAGGTTGATGGGATCTCCCACCGAGGAGGATGAGGCGGAGCGGGAGAAGGGAACGCAGGCTGGACCGTCCGCTCTCGGAGCGCAGCGACCAGGGATATCCAACCCCCTCTTGGCGCCCTCACCGCGGATCAATCGTCATCCAGCCCGTACGTCTCTACCTGCACCGACCAGCCACCGCGCCCCGCCCGCCCCCAAACCCATCCGCCTACTCATCCTCGACTCCCTCGCCGCCCTCCTCCGAGGCGCGGAGACGTCCTTCTCGTCCTCCCGCGCCGGACTGACCGCGCGGTCCCGCCATCTCTGCTCTGTCGGGGATAAGCTCAAAGCCCTGGCGGTGGAGTATGAGCTGGCGGTGGTGGTGATCAATCAAGTGTCGGATGTGTTTGGGAAGCAAAGCTATCCTTCCACGTCGACGGACGATACTCCGCCTGGACCCGCAGGGACCTACGCCAACGGCAATGGCAACGGCAATGGGAACGGCTATCGCAGCACTCCGTCCCAACACCCCACATCCTCTCAATCCCTCACGCACGATCAGGCATGGTACGCTGCCGGTCCCGACCCGCCCATGCTCTATGCTACACAAGCACGGTGGTTCTCTGGCCAAGGGTCCAGCGGGAAGAAGGAAGCCGCCCTCGGGATCGTCTGGGCGAACGCCATCAACACTCGGGTCATGCTCAGTCGGACGGGGAGACGGCGAGTCCTCAAACCAGAAGAGAAGGGGGATCAGGCGGACGTCCCATTCGCGGAGATGAGAGCAGACGGGGATGACGAAGGAGAAGGCAACGGCGAACGGACGTTGATTCGGCGTGCACACCTCATCTTCTCGCCCTTCGCGCCGCCTGGAACGATCGATTTCGTCATTCGCGGAAGCGGCGTGCGTGCCTTGCCGGGGACGTATGCGTTAGATGAGAGCGGGGCGAGGGTGTTGGCGAGAGCGAGAAGGCGGAGCGCGATGATGGCTGCTGGGGAGGAAGAAGAGGTTATTGCAGAGGCGGAAAGAGAAGAGGCGGGACCGGGAGCAGCTGCTGAGGCAGAGGCGGACGATGATCTCTTTGGAGCGATGAGCGGGATGGAGGACGTGCCGGATGAATGGTGGGCTGGGGCGCTTGATAGTGAGCTGCAGGCGGAAGAGGCGGCGGCGGCGGTAGCGGCTGGGGTGGCAATGGGGCGGTAGATGTATGAAGTAGACGGGTGATGTCAGTTGTAGATCGATATAGTGCTCCGCGCGATCATACATGTCATGTCGTAGATAGTGGTACTGCCGGGGTGGCGTAGTGTAGCCTCGGCATATACAAGCTATGATGGCTGCCATACAATGTCTATTGGTCTGCGCTTCTCATCATGCCTTCACCTTCTTCGCACTCTCCTCTTCCCCATCTTTCCCCTTCTTCCCCTTCCCCCCCTCCGCCATCTTCCTCTTCCTCTCCTCATATCTCGCTTTCGCCTCCGCCCGCCTCTTTTCCGCTTCTCCATCATCACCCTCCCTCCTCCTCCTAGCAGCCTCCTCCTCCTCCCTCAGCCGCCTCTCCGCATCCGCCTTCTTGCGCTCATTCTCCTCTTTAAGCTGAGCCGCCAGTCTCTCCCTCTCCCTACGCATCCGGTCCTGATAACCAGCTGCCGTCCCGACCGCCTTGGACTGATACACGCCTCCTTCCAGTCCGGCGCCGGTACCTCGCCCGCCTGACCGAAGCGAGTCGGGCAGTTCCGCCTTGGGCTTCTTGGTGATGTTTAGCCCGGCACGGAGGAGGTCTCGCTTATCGACGACCTCGCCTTCGTCGTTGATATCTACAGACGAGCCGTCTGGGGCCGTTGCCGTCTTTTTAGCTGGAGGAGGAGCCGAGGAAGAGGAGGAAGAAGCGGCTGCTTCGCGAGCGAGGAAGGGGTCGTATTCCGCTTCAGGCTCGTATCCCGGTGCAATAGGTGGTCGGATTGCAAGTGATGGACCGGCCGCTGCTGGGGCTTCGGTGACGGCGTCATGAGCCGCTGCTGAGGAGTCGAGCATGGTCTTGTAGAAGGCGGTGAGACCGGGGCCTTTGGCTGATCTCCGCAGCTTCTCTGCCGCTGTCAGCTGTGGCCCCCTTGAAAACAGTACGCGCCAAGAGCTCACCTTCCCGCTCCCTCTCCTCCTCTTCCGCCTTCCTCACCTCCTCCATCTGCTTCTTATACCCTTCCGTCACGAACTTCTCCTTATCCTCATACATCCCACCCTCCTTCTCCCGCTCATGCGCCAACATCTTCTCTTCCGCCCTCAATCGATCCAACTTTCTCGTCTGCGCACTCGCCAGAAACCCCTCCATGTACTTTGGCTTCCGATCCTCACTCTCCGCCTTCTTGGCCGCCTCCGCCTGCCGTTCTCGCGACTTGAGCTGGTCATAGACCCCGTCATAGTCAAAGACGGAGGCGTCGAGCGCGAGGGCCTCTTCCTGCGCTTTCCGGCTCGCGCGGGGGAGAGGGGCTGCTCCGGATCCGGACACCGCTGGCTTGGCAGAAGGACGGGAACGTGAGGGACCAGCGAGAGAAGGAGCGGGGGCGGGGGTGTCATCCTCATCCTCGTCGAAGAGCAGGGGTTTGGAGGTGGGTTTAGATTTGGCTTTGGACTGGGCCATGAGCGCTTCCAAGTTGGATTTCGGGGATGTCGCTGGGGCTGAGCCAGTCGCTGGGAGCTTAACCCCTCCGAACGAGAAGGCTATCTTGGTGTTGGCAGCCATGATGCTGTATGGTGTAGTGCTGGATGTCCAGGCAAACAGAGCGAGTTTTGGCTGGCGAAATCACACCGACCGACCGAAGCACCGAAGCTCTACGCACGGAGTACTGGTGGCAGACGCAACGGCGAAGACCGGGTGGCGAGTTCAGCAAACGTGCCTGAATATCCTATTGCGTCATTGACGTCATCCCGCTTTTGCGCGAATTCAAACTCAGTCCAGCTTCAAGACACAGCAACTCCGTCAAATTCACTCTTCTATCTGTATCCTCATCGCAATTCCCCAGCACCACCCAAGCCAGTCGCCGAAAAGACTCTACAAAACCTTGCAGACAGAATGCCGTTCACATGTGAGTCTCTCGCCGACCCGCGGTCGATCGTCAACGATGTCTTGCAGGAGGTCCGGGCTGATGCTTGGCGTAGATAACAAGCGTGTCACATTGATTCCTAGAGTGAGCTCTCTTGATCTCTTTCATGCCAGCAGTGGAATGCAGTGGAATTCAGCTGACTTTCGTAGGTGCTCTACCTGAACATCTGGGGTGAGTCTTGCATCACTGCTTGATCAGTCTGGCAACTCCGGTTTGCGCTCGGTCCCTCGCTGATGGGATAGGCAAACGCTGGTCTCTGAGCTTCGGCCGCAGCGGACACCTCAACTACCACCACTAAGTGCACATGTCGGACACATGAGTCAATCATAGAACACGTGAGTTCTACAGTTTCGATGGCAGACTGGCAGCAGATATGCTGATCATTGTAGCACCCTTAATCATGGATGATATCCCAGATCCCGCGTGCGCCACACACATACACGTTGTATCATATACCGATAGCGGGACCATTGCACCGTTCTCTATAGTCCATCTCTGCAATAGATCTGATGGATCTGACTTTGATGCATCCAAGATCTACACGCAACGTCAAGACATGATCTACAGTGGTTCTCGCCATTCTCCGCGCCGGCTCGCTCTTTTCGTTATATGGGTACAGTAACGCCACACAGGCACCCGGGCCCCTCGCTTCTGATCCTCTCCATCCTCATAGTCCCCTCCTTCCCTCAGCCACACCTCGCTCAATACATCTCCTCGTCTGAACCGGGTCGCTTATATCCCTTCTTCAGGGGTGACCCGACTTTGGCTATCACCCGTCAGCTTATCTTCATCAGTCCAGACTGGAAACGGCAGACTCACGAGCGTGTATCAGGCTCTTGCGCTTAGCCTCGGCGATCCCGGAATGTATGCTTGCTAAGATATCAGCTACAGACCGGTAAAACGTCATATGGAATGCCGGGAACTCACAGGAGTACGAGTGGCTCTGCCCGGGCCCGACCGAGCTCGACAGTGCAGCCAGCGAGAGCGATTTCGGCTCCATACTCTTCCGCCTCTACTTGATCAGCTCTGTCTCTCAACACCGCTCTTGAAACTGACCTTAGCAAACACATCCTCCTCTCCCACTTCCACCGCATACTTTCCCTCATCCAGCCGCTTCCCCGCCTCCTTACTCCGCGTCACCCAGCTCAGCCCCACAATGTGCGGTCGCCGACATTCCGGATCTTCCTCCTCGAGTTGCTTCTGCTTGCGATACCAGTTTAGCGTGGCTGGTCGGCCGGATTTGTAGATGATGTGTGTACACGAGTCGGATGGTCTGCTCAGTACCTGACAAGTCAGCTCTGAGATCCCCACGGCGGAATGCTGAAGTAAGCTCACCCTAGCGCCTAGACTCCGGAGCATATCGGCAAAAATCCCCGAACTGTCCGTCCCGTCCGCAGTCCACACGTCCACATATGCCACCACGCCCTTCAAGCACCCCATCCCGCTCGTGGATGAAACAATCGCAGCGAGGCTCTTATCCCCGACCTCGTCCTCTGTTCCGGCCACGACAGCACCGCTCACGCCCGCTCCGGAGACCGAATACCTCGGCTTGTGGACCGCCGATAATCTCGCCGAACTCGCCGAGGACGGTAACATCGACTTGCCGAGGATATTCTCCTTCTCGCCATCGACGACCATGGCGAGGCTGGACCGCGCCGATGAGGCCGCGAGTGAAGGGCGTCGCGTAGGCTCTACGGCCGGAGCGTCTTTCTTGACTTTGAGACGCTCGAGGGCTTCGCTTAGCCCATGCAGGGATCGAGAGGTATCCATCCATCCTTCCCGCCTTGTGCTGAGGCTGAGCGAGTTGCGCTCGCTCGACGGCTGGTTCTCGCGTGCCGCAGGGGCCGAGACGGACCGGAGTGGCTCGCGCGCCGGGCCGCTTGGGTGCGAGGGACCGGAGGTCGAGGTGGGAAGGGTTGGGACGTCCCGGAGTATAGGCTCGATGATGTGCGAGGGGACAGGGACGGAGATTTGACGGTCCCGCGGTCGAGGGAGGAGGCCGGAGCCGAGTGAAGAGGGGTAAGAGGGCTTGCGGCGGACCGGCTGATCTGCTTGGGAGGAGTCGGACGAGTGGGAGGGGCCAGTCGGACCGGCGAGAGAGGACAGGGAAGCGTTGGAGGTGGTGGACCGGGCGAGAGGACGGGCTGCTACGCCTAGACTTCCGAGAGCGGACCGCTTGAGCGCGCCGGCCGTGGGGGCGGAACCGGAGGATGTGGAGGAGGTCGTACCAGTGAGAGCTGCCGGCTTCGATACGCGAAGAGGGATCCGGGACGGAGGCAGCATACCGCCTGGCCGAGCTGCGCCCGCTGATGAAGCGGCCAACGATGGCTTTACCATCGTCTCAGGTTGATCCACCCCCATATCGTCTCGTAGAGGCTTGATCTTCTCCGACACCCTCCTCAGGGGAGCAGCTGAGGAGGATGACAAGGGTCTAGAGGGAACCACCGCCGGTCGCGAGAGGAACTGCGTCATCGACGTCTGACCGCCCGTGCCGGTTATCGTCGTCGGTCGGGAGGTAAGAGCTGGTGCCGGTGGACGGGCCGCGCCGAAGCGTGAGATGCTGGAGAGGCCTTTGCGAGGCGACGGGACGATTGTGTACGCTGGGGTGGGAGGAACAAGCGATGATGTCTTCAGCGGACTGGGGGCGGCGGGTAAGGACGGCTGACCGAAGGTTGGGAATAACGAGCGGTCCGCAAGAGGTGCGATAGGAGGGGATTGCGTGGGGGTGGTGGATAGTTTGAAGATGGGATTGATACAGGGCGGGGTGGCCTGCCTCGGTAGGTGGAATCGAGGGGGCGAACGGGACGTGGAGGGCTCGTTGTTCCCGAAAGTGTCGGCCACGCTGTCGTCGATGATCATGCTCTCCTCCATGCTTTCCTCCTTCATACCGACATCCTCCAATCCTTCCTCCTCCTTCGCCTGCTGTTCCACCTTGACACCGCCTTTCCATCCCCGACTCCTCAGCTCCTGCACGGTCTTCATAGGTGTATCCCCCGGACCGACTCGCGAGACCGGGCTATCGCCTAACAGCATCTCATCCGAGCTCACGGAGTTCCCCTCGTCCGGCGGAGTTGCGGATACCCGATTCGGAGTATGGGCAAGCGGGTGGACCCATTTTGCCCCGCCTGGTTGCGACGATACCGCGTGTTGACCGTAGCGCGCCGGAGTAGAGAGTGCAGATGGGCGGAAAGCCGTTGCCGACGGCCGGTTTGGAGAGAACCGAGAAGTCACTGTAGGTAGCCGCTGACCTTCAGGCGAGTACAGCCTGACCTTCTTCCCGATCCCGCCCTCATCCGAAGCCTTCCGCTTCCCATTCACCATGACCGATCCCGCGGACGATGATGATGACGTCGACGTACTTCGCGGGCTGGTATCGCCTAGTACAGATAGCTTGGTCCGACCGAGCCCGAAGCCGGTGGTGGACCGCTTGAGGGTTGACGAGGCTTTCCGAGAACTGGATAGAGTCGGCCTAGTGAGGGTGGACGTGGAAGAGGTAGTGGATGTGGTAGATGAGATAGAAGCGAGACGGACCATTGAGCGGGTGGAGACGGATGAGGGGAGGCGGGAGGTCGAGCGGGAGAGGGTTGGGCGATCCATTTTGGCGAAGGCGGGTTTGGGTATGGGTTAGGGGCGAAAATCAGGCGCGTGGAGGATGCGTTTGGGGAGAGAGTGAGACGTCGACCGATCGCGATGATGCGCAGCTTTCGGGCAGGAGATTCCGCACAGCTGTGCGCCCTACTCACGGGAACGTCGGACTGAGCAATGGCTCTGCTGTATATGCAGTATGGCGGGGATATAGATGCAAGATGAGGGAGCAGCTCAGCGGGGTTGTTTGTCCCGGAAGGGGAATTCCGATGGGCGATGCGGGGTATTTCACCTGGGCATGCGGGGTAAAGCAGGCCCAAGCCTGCCCAAGCTCAGGCAGCGAGATCCAGCAGACTCATCAAGCAGACATCAACGATATACAGCCTGACTAGGAGGATGTCGCTCCGCCTCCGCCAGACAGTAGCTGGCCAGTCGAGTATACACAGCAGATATGGCGTCGCTACGATTGCCTTGGCGGACAAGGCTTTGATCGTGAGTGTCCCGTAAGCAAATGAGGAATCGCAACTCATCTGACAAGGTGTACCCCTCGGCCTCGAACGTAGTATTGCTGAACCATGAGCTGGAGCTCGTGCAAACCTTGCCTTTCTGGTCTGCGTTGCCATATCGGGCAGCCTCGTCTTCGAAGCAAGGTGTAGAAGGGGTAGTGACCAATAAGCTGGCTGGACTGGTATGTCCACCCCAAACCCCTCTCGCCAGCTAAGGCTGACCAGCAGATCATCGCGTGGAGCGGGACGCATGCTGTGCTATGGCAGCATATTACTGCGAAGGGTATCGGCAAGTGGGAGGTCCACTCCACACTGGTGCTCTCAGCGCAAATCACTGCTGTGGACTACAAGGCTGGTGAGCTGGCAAATCCCGTTGTACGCCGGTGGCATAGCAGCTCATCTGTAGGTATGCTGGTCGTCGGCACTAGAAACGGCATAGAGCTATGGAAGCATGATCCCAAAGCTGCCATTGTGGTTTGGAATAGGTTATGGGAGCGGTACGTCTCGCTTTCTGATGTCCATAAAATGAGCTGAACATTGCAGAATGCTACCTTGTCCAGAGTCCGTCATTGTCTCGCCCGCATCGGGCCACATCGCCTGCTTCTCTGCTGTAAGCTACCAGGGCCTCCATGACGTCCCGCACGAGCTTATTGGTCAGGCCGAAAGATGCGTCCGCGTCCTGACCATCAATGCGAAAGGGGAACTCTCGGGGATGCCGCAGGAGATGCGCCATCCGCGTGAGCTGGAATGGATAGGCTGGCGGAAGCCTCGTTCAGTCGCGTGAGCTCACTGTTGCCTTCGTCACGCGATAAGGACCAAGAGCTGATCATAGCAGAAGCGGCGACGCCCATCTATACACCATCACCAAGAACTCCGTCCTTCGGATATACGCTCCGGTCCTGGACGATCCCGCTTGGTTTCAGCTCCACTCAACTTTGGACGGGCGGGCATTCACTTCGGTGCCCACCAGGGGGAAGGGCAAGGCGGTGGTTGCGGAGCCGACGGGGCGTATATGGCCTTTGGAGGCGGATGTCCTGCGGGACGCTCTGGAACGAGCTTCGGAGGAGCGGGAGGGCGTAGCGGGGCTTAGCGCCGAAGTGAAGAAGACGGTGGAGGGGTTGTTGGCGGAAGAGGCGGATGTGGTGCTGTGGGTCGGCGATGATGGGGTTACGGCTGTAAGGTCGATCTTGGTAAGCTCGACCGCACCGACCGCTACTAAGTCAAGCAAGAGCTGACTGTAAAGAACATGGATCGTAAACCGCCGACACTGCTCAAGTCAGTTCCTCTGGCTCGGATACAGTCGTCTATTCGAGGTGGACCTCTTGACCGGTCCATACCGCATCTCCTGCTCGTTCCTTCATCATCTACCATTTTCGCCATCCCGCCGTCTACCTCAGATTCCCCACATGTCCATCCACTAGCCTTGTCTCTACCCATTCTCCTCATGGGAGATCCAAACGGAATGTCCACACTCCCTTCGACTGCGCCAGACGAGACGCAAGCCGTACACCTCCAATCCGATATTCGCTCTTTCGTCCGTACACCGAACGGCCGAGGACTGCTGGCCATCTCGGAATCAGGCGAGATTGGCGTTTGGGCGAAACATCAACGTGGCAGACCTAAGCGGGGAGTCAAGCAGGCCAAGACCCTGTTGGGTCGGGGCCAGTGGACTAGGGATCCTGCGGCGCCATCGGACCTCTGTGCGATCTTCGCCAAGGGTCGAGCTATCGTCGCGTACTCGCATCCCCCCAGCGGAAGCGGTCAGATCAGCTTACAGCACCTGGATATGGACGCAACTTCACCTACACCGTCGATCCCACTCCCGGACTTCCACCTGCCCGAGGGCGAGGCGATCAAGATGATCCTGGCGGTCTCAGACATCGACGATGGGATGAGCGCAGCGGGGAGGCGGACGGAACGGGCCGTCATCATGGCGGCAAGTGGGGCGGGAGAAGCTTGGGCGTGGAGTGTCATCTCGAGGCGGATCTCGGCGGACGAAGCGGATCCAATGCCGGAAATCAAGCTCCTGTCGCGTTACACCCTCCCGATCGAGCCTGGATCAAACGGAGAGCGGGGCCGACCGAGACTCATCCTCCCTGTGGATCCAATGGGATGGCATCAGTCCACCGTGGATTGGAAGAGCGACACGCCGCTCCAGGATATGGTCTTGACCATCTCGGACGCCGGGGTCCTGGAGTTCTGGCGGCCGAGATTGGCGATGCTGCTGGGCGGGGCGAAAGATGGGAAGAAGGAGGCGGCGTGGACGCGGACCGGAGTGGTTCATACAGATATCACCGATATCTGTATGGCGCGATGTAGCTCCAGGAAGAAGACGGTGTTGGTCCGCGTCGGAAAGGGAGGGGAGCAGGAGATCACTATATGGGATTCGAATGTCAGCGAGTTTTCCACAGGTCTGGAATTGACCAAAGCATATGGGTGAGTCTGCTCATGGGTATAGTCACCTTCACTTCGCATTTGGTGTCGAGGCTGACTTGTTCAGGAAGGAGGATGTCATACAGGATCTGGATTGGACGACGACTTCCGATCTTCAGTCTGTCCTCGCGGTCGGCTTTGCGCACAAGGTCGAACTGGTCTGCGAACAGCGAATGAGCTATGTCGACGAGGCCCCAGGGTGGGCCACCTTCATCACCATTGACCTGAACCAGTAAGCACAGTCGGTCCTGGCTTCGCTTCGTAATACTTACCGTCTCAGATACACCTCAGTACCAATCAACGACTCGATCTGGCTCGCTGGCGGCTCTCTAGCCGTAGGCTGCGGGAGTCAGATCTACCTCTTCAGTCGTTTCCTCAATCGCGGGTCGCCCGTTCCCACGCCAAGATCTTCGGCCCAAGATATCCGTTTACAATCGCAAGATCCGGAGGATATCTTCCAGCTCATCGCCCATCAAAATGGGCCGTTATTGGATTATCACCCCGTCATACTCGCGCAGTGCCTCCTTTGGAGTGAGTGCATAGTTATACGAGAAGACCTGGATGCTGATACAACGTAGACAAGCTGGATCTGGTCAAGGAGATCCTGCTCAATTTCAGGCAGAGCTTGCGGAGCAGCGAGGAGGAGGGATCGAAGCGACTCCTATTCGAGCGGATGGAGCCGATGGCGTTCTCTAAGCGGTCGGCAGACTTGCCGAGAGGGGGGAAGAAGCTCGCTCCAAAGTACGAATCTCTCTTCGACACCGCGCCGAATCCGATCGCGGAGGACGAGGGGTCCGACTTCAGTCAAGAGACCATGTCCGACCTTATCGAACGGCTCGAGAGCAATACGATTTACGTCCCTCTCTCATCGAATGAGAAGTCCATGCTCGCGACGATAGCGCAGGCGACCGTCGAGGGGGAGCGCCAGCGCCGCAGTCTCGACATTTGCGGTCTGAGATACCTCATCTCGATCCGGATATACGCCAATCTTGATCGACTCTCAGGTCGGATGAGCGGCCCAGCCACGCCAGGGTCAAATAGCAGTAAAAGACCACCAGCTCGGCTCTCATTTCGCAACATCGTCTGGGCAAGCCACAGCGAGAGTGACGATGTCATGCTATCTGCGGCGACGGAGTGCTGTGAGGGCGGAAAGATGGTGTGGGCGGACGCGAGGCGGTTGGGCGTGTTTCTCTGGCTCAAGTCTGCCGAGACTGCTGTGAGTGGCGCATGTTGAGGGAGTGGGACCAAGCTGACGATGTAGAAAGCTCAGCTGGAAATCATGGCTCGAAATCGGTTCATGCAGGACGAAGACCGCGATCCGACTTGCTGCTCCCTCGTCTTCTTCGCTCTCGGCAAGAAGAAGGTCATTCACGGTCTATGGCGGCAGGCGCCAGGGCACAAGGAGCAGAACCTTATGCTGAAGTTCCTCATGAATGACTTTGAGGTGGAGAGGTGGAAGACCGCAGCGACAAAGAATGCTTATGCTCTGCTTAGCAGACAGCGGTATGGTGAGTTGATACATCTCGACCGATCCTCCGCGCTGGACTGCCAGCTCATACCATAGAATATGCCGCTGCCTTCTTTATGCTCGCCGGATCGCCCAAGGACGCCATCAATATCGTTCTTCGCCAGCTGGACGACTGGCAGCTTGCCTTCGCGCTCGCTCGCGTGGTGGAGAACGGGACGGAAGGGCCGCTTGTCAAGTGGATATTGACGGATACTGTCATTCCAATGGCGTTCGCGGGCGGGCATCGGTGGTTGGCAACGTGGGCGTTCTGGACTTTGGGTCGGAGGGACTTGGCCGTTAGGGTCCTTATCGTAAGCTCTTCGACTGTGCATCTAGTCTCAGCAGCTGACGTATCAGTCACCTATGGCCGACGTCGCGCTGGACTGGGCAGCTGGATCACCCATGTTACCCGTTGGGAACTCGGAGAATGATGACCCGAGCCTACTTCTCCTCTTTCAGCACCTGAAGAGCAAGAGTCTGCAGACGGCAAAGGGGACGAGCGAAATCAAGGGCAAGACGGAGTTTGATTTCGTGCTTCACAACGCTAGGGTGTTCTGCCGAATGGGTGAGCTCTACTTCTAGTATCTCTCATTGCGCAGGCGGGATCTGATATCTGCAGGTTGCCATCCACTTGCTCTGGATCTACTCCGCTCATGGTCCTTCGACCGGCCATTCTTCCCACCCACTCGCGCTCGGACACGCAGCAAACCCCTCACTTCCCCTGATCCCCTCACCGACCCCAAACCTGTCCGACCCTCACTCGAGAGCCTGTCTCCATCTTTCACCCGACATCGTCGCCCGTCTTTCATGCTGTCCTCTCATGGCAGGCGGGAGAGCATGGTCATGGACATGGACGTCATGGCGGAGTCTGAGGCCCCGACGAGGACGGGCACGCCAGAAACCAAGCTCGGCGGGGTGTTTGAGGATGGGACATTGGCAGAGAGCGTGGCGGACAAGGAGAATGAGAAGAAGGAGGATGTACCGCTGGAGCCGCCCCGGAAGATGGGGAACTTGATGAAGGAGCTGAAGCAGGATGTGCAGCAAGGAGGGATGGAGTTCAATATGGACAACTTCTTCTAGGCCCTGTCGGATTGGAATGCTAGGTACACCTCGATGCATCCCCTGCTATCTGGCGGAAGACAGTGGGATCGAGTGGTCTGAAAGAATAGTCTCGCACTCCAGCCCCTCGCTTCATGGAGAGTACGGAGGGCAAAGAAGGGGCAACACCAAAAGGGGACTCTCCGCCCCATGAGCGACCACGTCCCTTTCTCGGAGCTGTAGCAGTAGTGGATCGAGACTGATGAGAGGAGTGGACGGTTTACCACTTTTTCTCGCATCATGTACAAAATGTATAGTCGGGCTCAGAGGCGAGCTGCAGGGGAGCTTCCTCGGGATCTCTTCACCACTGCGGGATCCAGCCGAGTACGTATCCTATGATCATGGTCAGCTTGTAGTGCTGCTATAAAAGTGGGAGACCCACCCTGTGCAAGATTGGCGGGATCGGTAGCCTCGGCGATCAACAGTTGAACCTGTCGTTTGACTTCCAAGGGTTGTTCAGAGCCCTTCTCGTAGCCTGAGAACTCAGCTCTCAGTCCCAATGCACGCGTGTCTAGAGTGTAGCTCACCAGCAAGCTTCCGCTCGATCGTCGCCAATACCTGCAAAGCTCTCGCGTTCGTCATAGACCCGCCAGCTACCTTGGCGATCCAGCTATCGTCCGTATAATCGGCATCCACCAGGCTATTATCGATCCGGTGGTACGCGTCCGAGTCCCCTTCTTTTGGCGTAAAGGCAGGCGCCACGCTCTGAGTGTGGTTGCGCGTGGTGGGTGGCGGGTTGAGCCGGACGGACTGTTCCTGCCGACCATGACCTTTCTGAGCGGGCTTGTCTTTGCTCTGCTCCTGCTTGTTTACCGTAGATGAGGTGCTGTTCGCCTGGGGATTTCAGCAAGGAGACCAGAGCTGATGATGCACGGAGACATACCGTCCAGTGCAAAAGCGGGTCATATAGGAAAGCCTCCAGCATAGCCAGCAAAGTCCCCCTATTCTCCCTCAAGACCTCCATGGTGTAGACCGACGCCTTCTTGTAGCTTCCTCGCGTACCGGGAACAGCGTGACCTTTGTGACTAGCAAGCTACTGAGTCAGCCCACTTCCCCAGGCATATGGGCTTGATAGTCACCTCGAATGCGTTCGTCATCATCCTGGTAAGGCGGAATGGGACCTTCTCGGGGAGGTATGACCGATCTTGTGAAACACAAAATAGCTAAGATGATCAGCAACAATCGACGGGGCAGCGGGTCATGCGATACTCACATCGCCGAAATCGATGTGCAGAGCGCCCCACGTCAGCTGGTCGACCAGGATGTTCGATCCGTGTCGGTCACCGAGACCGATGATGTGCCCGACGAAACCTGGTATCTTAGCTGGTGGTCTACGAGTGCGACATCAATATGACTTACTGCCAACGCCTAAAGTACGGGCAAAATTGGTGCGACGCCTGATCCAGATCTCAGAAGAAGGGCTGCGTTGCCAGAGGACGTCTTTGAGCTCGCCTATACCAGATCACCCCTGCCACTTTTTCTAGCCAACACGACAATGCCTAATACTACTTACCCTGCTTGGAGTGCGACCACGCGGCCTGAAGGCGCTTGACTTTCTCCTCGGTCGGCAGCTTGTCGTAGCGGTCCATTTCGGATGTCAGATCTGAGCGCGGCTTGTCATGGAGCGAGTCGAATGTCTCCGGATCGTACTGCGCGGATCAGCTACCTCAATGACAGTAAGATCAGAGCACTCACTCCAAGCATTGAGGCGAGCTCCCTATCGCTGAGCTTGTTGTTCTTGTTCTTTTCGCGATTCGCTTGGATCATGCCTTGTAGTCTGAAGGGTCAGCCGCTCTCCGCTACGCTAGGGTTAATGGACGTACTGCTGTGTATTCGGTACCCAGCTCAAAAGACCTGCGGATGGTGAGAGCGGGATGACTTCATACGGCAGTAAGTGCAGATTTCGGCCAAATGACTCGCTGTTGTGGTTGAGCAGGGTGTTGATGAGGGTGAAGAGCTGCATGATACGCTCGTCGCCCCGAAGATCCTCATTCCCTTGTAGTATCAGCTAGTATCGGCGACGAGCGGAGACCGGCTTACCTTTGAGGAGGAATGTAAAGTTCGTGAACTCGTCCCGCTGAGACCGCCATGATCTGATGGACAGCTTGCGAGGCAGCATCTTGGTATTGAGGATATCAACTGTAGCTGGAAATGAGTCGATAAAGGCTTGATCGTCGAGCTTGACCTGCGGATCGTACTGGCCTGCGCTTGTCAGCTTCTCGCACAATCGACCAGCTCAACGTGCTGATACTCACCGGGTACAGTCAGAATACAGTCTCGCATAGCAAGCAACCTGGGAGCAGTGTCACGCATGAACAGCTTCGGATTTGACACCTTGTACTGCTGCGAGATCGCCGCGTCGATATTGCCAAACAGCTTGTACAGCTCGGTATACGCCGTATTGACGTAGCCGACCGAGCGAGTCGAGCGATACCGCTGAAGAACAGCATATACCGAGTCGATATGTCGCCCAAAGCGCTGGACGAATGCATCCTCGTCCGGCGTTTCGGGGCGGCCAAGAGCCTCGTAGTCTTCTTTCCAGAGCTCGGGGACTTCGTGCCAAGCGATCTCCATGAGCTCTACTCTGGGCAGGCATTTGTCGATGAGGCCTCGCCACCTGTCCAATCAGCTTGATCCATCACGACGAGACGATGAGGACTCACTTCTCCATCCACGATGTCGACACGCGGATCAACTCCCGCCCGACCGTCTCGGCCTGCTTGACCAGCGTCCCGCCATCCTTCATCGTAGCGATATGGCTCATGATAACCCTTGCTGCGTCCTGGTGCTCTGCCTTGCTCTGACTGGCGGTCATGAGCGGCCAAATGATGGCATGCGGGTACGCCGAGGCGATGTCCTTGAGAAGCCCAATGAGGAGACCCTGCAGATCCCGATGCTGAGTACCGAGACGAGCGATGAGCTGGGGCACAGCAGTGAGCCATACCGTGACTGGCGTAGATGCGAGCTGTTGTTCTGCTTCGATGAGGACCGACTCAGATTCGCCATATCGGAACCAGACGGTGACGAGGCGAAGGAGCGCCTTGATCATCTTCTCGGGCGACTCTTCGGCCCGGATGGCTTGGAAGAGGCCTCGGATAGCGGGTACGACTGAACCGATCAGCTAGACGCGGATAGTGATTCCCAGCAGGCATACCGTAGTTGTTTATGGCGATGGGATCCCGACTATCGTGATTCTTGGCCTCGAATATAGCCATTGCAGCTGTAGAGAGCGCATATGATCCAGTGAACCTGTCCTTAAGTATCCATACTCCAGCATGATTGGAAAGGGCTAACCAAGTGTCATCAAGCTTTGCGGCAAGGCTGTAATACTTGTACACCTCCGAAGCGGGATCCTACATAGCGTCAGCGCCGCCGTTCTCACCTGCAGAGCGGTCCAGACCGGAAAACTCACCGAGATCCATTCTGGGCCCTGGATGACCTCGGACCACTGTCCCAGCCTGTACATCCGCCTTCCCAGAGTCCGCCTGTATCCTTGATCGACATGCTCCGTGGACGTCAAAGGCCGCATCCCCAGCCCTTCGTTCATAAAATCATCCTCCTTGATTCGATGATGCTTGATGAATCCCGAGGCGTGCGTGCGGAGTGTGTCAAGGAGGTGACGCATCGCGGCGGAGTCCTGGCGAGCGCAAGCGTCCTTCCAGCTGGCAGATCAGCGGACTGACTCGAGTGCCAAGGTGCCTCGTAAACTCACAGGAAGCGCAGCTTCGTATACTCGACCTTGCAGCCCTGTAAAGTCAGCTTTCTCCCTTTGAGGAGCTGAAGCCGGAGGCCTCACAGGTGGAGTCACATCAGGCGTCACCAAATCGATGATCTTCTGAGCAGACTCGTGCTTCCCCTGACTCTCGCAGAGCTTCGCACAATCCAGATAGCACACCTGCAGCTCCCACACCCTGGGCTCGCAGGCCAGGCTCCAGATCTGCAGTCGACGGAGCCATGAGTTGCTATCGGGGTGGCTCTGCTTGAATCTTCCCCTCCAGCCGGCCAGTATCGATTGCCGCCGCTCAGGCTGCATCTTGTACGCCATGACCTCGGAGAGCTCGACCAGGTATTCCGTCTTGGCGAGCGTCTTCCCCGCTTCCGACGGGCTGATGCTGAGGCAGGACTGGATCTCGTCATATGCCAGTGTTTGGGCTTTGGAGATGCGCTGAACGGCGCTCCGGTATTCTGCCGCGTTGACGTCGATGATGGCTTTGTACAGCGATTTCGAGGTACCCTTGGGATGGAATGCGAGATAGTCGGCCATGGCTTCGTAGTCGCCCTACACCGTCAGCCTGAATGCTCCGCCACGGTAAAGGCAGTACATACCATATGCCAAGCGGCTGCAGTCGCCCAGTGGGCGGTTTTCCGGCGCTCGTGATCGGTCAGGCCTTCGTACATTGCCTGCGCCAGCTCGTAACCCTTTTCAAATTGCCCAAGAGCGTGATCTGGACCATCAGCCCGACTCATTGACAGATTACTGAGACTTACAGCACAACATGCGGGTATTGAAAGAACCAAAGGTGTCCACAACTCCCTTGTCCATCCCTTCCTGGGCGTCCAGCGCCTGAGTCCAATGTCCGAGCTGGGTGATCCACATGGGGTCTGGCTGGGTATCGTAGTCGTCCTGGAGCCACATGAGGGAGCTCCACGCGGAGTCATGACCAGAGATCCCGATGCTGCCGGTTATCAGCTACTCCCACACCATGGCAAAAGCCAAAGATGAAACATACCGGATGTTCGCCTCGACTAGGTCTCCGATCCTCTCAGCGGTCATGCTCCTCTCTGCTTCCGCTTCGATGAACCAACTAAAAAATCAGCTCAAGACTCCTCCAGCAGCGATGAGACTAACAGGCTAGCAGCAGGGAGGATACCGTGCAAGTCTCCCAGATCCGACATCGCACAAGCTGTAGCAGCCTTGAGGACCTCCATCGGCATCTCCTTCTTCTCCTTCTGCAGGAAGATGAGCAGCTCCAGGATCACCTCGACTATCGCTTTGCTCGTCATCGGGTCGGCGAGCAGGCGTATCAAAGTCTTGTCCACCTTGGCCTTGAACGCGACGTCCGCTTCGATCTGATTGTAACAAAGGAGGAAAGCCGTGGGGAAGAGATCCTCGTGGATCTGAGTGTCGAGCTGAGGATGTCAGCTGGGACTCGCTAATATGGTCAGAGAGACACTCACCTTCCAAGTAATGACCATTTCGGGAACTGCACTCGCCTCCACCGTTGCGCGGTATAGGTTCGCCAGCCATATTTCGTGCTGCTCCGTATTCGGGGCAAAGAGGGAGTGTGTCCAAGCGTAGCGAACATCGCGGGTATGAGGGGGGAGGTTCCCTTCGAGAATCTCGTTCAGCACTGGATGGAGGGTGGGTCCTGCAGCCGTAGCGACAGGCGGGGCTTTGAGACTGCCCGAAGATGCCTGAGTATTCAGTATACTATGACCAGGAAGTCATGGAGGACAGAGCTTACAGAGAGATCGGTCGAAGGGATGCTTGGGATCAGTTCCAATCCCAGGTTACCGTCCGCCTTTCTCAGCTCGTCCGTCTCGCCCACGCCATCTAGGACCATCAATGCCTTCAAAGGCTTGACAAAGCAGCTCTTCATTGGATCCACTATCCCAGATACTTCGGCCAGCAATCGTAGACCGGCCAGGATCACCTCCGGTGTCCGGGTCGTATCGATGCCCTTCAGGAGCAGGGGCATCCAGATCGACGAGGTGGTAGCCATTGTCCGACGAAGTTTTGGGTCAGCAAGCATCCTGAGGCCCTCGAGCCATACTGCGTCGTCGTAGGGTGCCATGGTAAGTCCTTGGCAGATGAGAGGGACGATCCTGGAGAGGATCGCTTGAGAGGATTGACTGGTCATGGTGCCGGAGAGCGACCGAGACGATCCTGGTCGTTAGAGGCAATGAGTATACTTCTTGAGTAAAGTGTACAGCCTCGACGCCCTTGCCTCACCTGTATCAGTCTATACTCATGTCATCCTTCGATGATGAAAGGTAAAGGGAGAGATCCTTTGTGCTCGATAGCTTCACCACCTCCACCCCTGCCGCGGCCATCTCCGGACGATGTCAAGACATGGCCAGACGACCTGCACTAGTGAGGACGCTCATTCTCCAGCTATGCATCACCTATAAACGTCCATCTCGCAAAGCTGCTCATCTCCGAGGGTCGAGTGAGCGCTCTATGAAATACCTGGCGGCGTTGTGTCGATGACTCAGCCCAAATAGTGTAGAGTTGTCAAGATGACCGCTCCGGAAGAGGCCATCTTCGTCCGTCCTGCAGCGGACGCCATACGGTGAGCTCGTCTCACAGCTCCTCCGGATGATGGACATCGCTGATTCATGGCAGCTCAGCATGGCGCTCTGTATTCTCCGACCCGCTTCTGTCACTCGCTCGACTGAAAGCTCAGGCGACGACCAAGGATGGACTAGGAGATGAGGAGGGGGACGGCGGTATCACGCTGCGGTCGGTGTATTGGCGGGTCAGTCTTCCTCACCATTGGCAAGGCAAGCCGCTGAAGGATGACAGCTGTACCACGGCCTTCTTCCTCCTCCGACATCCCAGAACCTTTTCGCCCCAACCCTCGAGATATCCCGAGCGATGTACACATCGCTGCGAAGGCGGTACCTGGTTGCTCCAGACGGACGCTGGGCATCTGACTGCTCGCCTGACGACCAGTCTCCCTCCTCGCCACTGCCTCTGCCTGCTCCTGGTGGACCAGAAGGAGAGTGGGATCCACTGAGTCTGGACGGGCAATCACCCTGGAAGACTTGGTTCGCCCATCAGGATCTGCGGGCGACAATCCGCCAGGATGTGGATAGGACCTTCCCCGACATCGACTACTTCCGAATAGAGAGGGTCAGGCGAATGATGGTGACCATGTTGTTCCTCTTCGCTGTGCAGAACCCGGATGTCGGGTATCGCCAGGTGAGCTTGACGTCGACATGCACCCAAAGACAATGGCTGATTGCGGCAGGGGATGCACGAGCTCCTGGCTGTATGCCTTCTGTCGGTCGACCGCGACTCGCTGGAAGTCGACGCCAATCAAGCTTCATCATCAGGATCATCCAGCCAGGCTGTCATGCTTGAAGCAATGCGGACGACTTTGGACAGACGATGGGTGGAGCACGACTCCTACGGGCTGTTTCAGGAGCTGATGAGGGGTGCCAAGGCCTTCTACGAGTGGCGAGCTGAGGAAGGACCAGTAAGGCTACTCTTCACCGTCACTGGCGTGTGCTTCGAGATTGACGTCTTAGCGGACCAAAGTGCCAAATGCACCGGTTGCGCCGATCATACTCCGCTGTCAGCAGCTCCACAACTCGCTCCTCCGGCGTATTGACCCCCAGCTATGGGAGCGTTTCGAGACGGAGGGACTGGAGCCGCAAATATGGGCAATGTGAGCTGATCCTACCATCAATCCACTCAAAGCTGATACGACAGTCGATGGATCCGACTTATCTTCACCCGAGAGCTGCCTTTCCCCGCAGCAATACGGCTGTGGGACGGGATCTTCGCGGAAGATCCAGGTCTCGGGCTGATCGACTACGTCTGTATCGCTATGCTGCTGCTGATACGGAACGAGCGTGAGTCTCCGTCACGCTGCTTAAGACTGAGGAAGTAGTACTGGAGGCAGACTACTCGACACTCCTGTCCAAATTGCTTCGCTATCCCTCATCGTCCACCCAGTACCCCTTCTCACCGCATCTTATCCTCGCTCAAGCTCTGTTCTTACGCGGCAACGTCACGCCCGCTGGCGGCGTCGAGGTGGTGCTGCAGAATCAGGACCTACTCGGAATTCGCGCAGCACCGCCTGAGCGGACAGAAAGGGACGACCATCAGCCGAGACGCCTGAATCATGGCCGGACCGCCAATACCCGTCCGCCTCCTCCTCAACCCTATCGGCCCGGGGTACAAGGTCTGGCGCAGGGACTATTCGAGCGAGCACAGGCGGCAGGCCTGGATAAAACATTCTACTCTACCGTAGCTGATATCCGGGTGAGCTTAGCGCTTAGCTGGTGGAGCTGCCAAGCTGATAAACAGAAAAATCTGCCCGAAGGCTACTCATCCTACCTCCCAAATCTTCCCTTCTCACCACTCGGCACTCCATCCCCACGCGACAATCCACAGTTCTCCTCGATCCCCTCCTCAGCATCCGCCATCCCACCGAGGTCGAGCTTCTTCTCTCCGCCTCACAATCCCATCTCTTCCTTCTACCCGGCAACCCGTCCAGAAGTAAGCAAGCGCCCGTCCATGGACAGTAACATCTCGATCAAGTCCCTCCGGGATGCGGAGCGGGATATGGCGGAGCTTCGGCTGGCCATGGTCGGTATGGGCAAGGCGATGAACGAGTGGATGTCTGCTCTGTCTGTCACGGAAGAAGTCGCGAAAGGGGACGCGTATAACGGGCTGGGAAGAGTGAGGGACACACTGCTGGATGCGGCAGGGTGCGAGGTGGAGGATGTGGTCAGGCAGTGGGGATGGCACGAGGGGCTGGAGGCGCCGAGGAGCAGGGATGAGACATTGTCTTCTGCGCCATCCTCGGCAGCTCGACCGACTCAAGCGGAAGCTCCGCCTCCTTCACCCACACCCAACCACTTCTCATCGCCCGAAACGCCGAAGGTTTCGTCTTTCCCCACCGCGCCACGTCCGGCTGTCATTGCGCCAAAACCGACTCTTCACCTCTCTTCCCGCGACGATAAGCCAAGTACCGGTCTCTCACGTGTCCCCTTGACTCCACCGGTCCGGGACAGCATGCGTGCGGAGCAGAGTCGAGTACCAGCGGGGTCAGCGGTCCCGCGGAGGGATGGCGGATTGGCAGCTGGCGGTCCGAGAGGAGTCAGCGACCCTTTAGATCCGCTGGCGGGTCTTCACGTCAGCAAGGACCCATTAGGAGGTTTTGGTCTGCCTAGTGGGACACATCAGGAGCGGTCAACGGGGAGATACGGGTGATATGTAGACCAGCCGGTACCAGCTTGGATCATCAGGTGTATTTTGTACCGCATTCCTCGTTTCCGATCCAACATGAGAGTGCGCAGTTCCGGGGCCAATCGTGTCCGGTCCAGAAGTCCAGAAGAGCGCGTCCGCGACGATCTGCTCTTCACATTGTCATCTATCCATGAGTGGGGCACCTAAGTTGCCGAGCTCCAAAGCGCAGCTATGGCTCATCAAGGCCGAGTCTGCAGGCCGGACCGAGGCGTATCAGGAGGAAGCAGAAGCAAAGGGGTTCGAGGTCCGATATCTCCCTCCGTTAGCGGAGCGGTATGAGACGGCCGAGCTCGAGGAGCTGCTTTCGCGGAAAGGGAGCAAATGGTATGGGGTCATTATCACTAGCAAGCGAGGAGCAGAGGGATGGATCCGAGCCGTGAAGGCCTTGGAGGCTCGTGGTGGATTTGAATCAGGTGAGCTGGTCATCGAGATTCTTACAGCTGGAGCTAAAATTCAGCCCCGGACCTGTCCAAGCTCGCCTTCTATACTGTCGGAACTACATCCACCGAAGTATTGGCAGCTTCGGGCTGCGCAAAGTCGCTCCTCCCCGATCTCGGCCGCGTCACCTCGGCGAAGACAGCCACTCTCCTCGCCGAGCATATGCTGGAGCAGCTCTCCACCTTTCAGCCCGATAGCGCTGCCTCCCGGTCGTACCTCTTCATACGGGGTGACAAGTCTGCCAACAACCTACAGCCCATCCTCCGGGATGCTGGCCATACGGTATACGAGACACAGGTCTACAGTACCTCTCTCAACCCCGAATTTGCCGGTCTCGTCAAGAGCGAGATCGCTTCCCTTGCGGCAGGCGATGCGCCGGGTCGGGACTTATGGCTGGCCTTCTTCTCGCCCTCTTCGGCGGGATATGCGTTACCGTACCTCACTCCATTGCTCGACTCCGCGGCAGTAGGCGAGACAGGTCCTCGCGTACGGGTCGCAGCGATCGGGGAGACGAGTCGGGCGTACCTCGCTGAAAGCGGGATAACGGTTCATGCGGTTGCGGACCAGCCCAATGCTCGCGGACTGGTCGGTGCGATCACTTCGGGTTCTTGAAAAGTGGATCTGCGTCCAACAGATGCGTCGTGGTAGGTTTCTTCATCTACTAGCTGGTCCAAGTAACTTTCACTGACTGTGGCAGCACCAACCCCTATAAAAGCCTTGCCTGAACCTCGAAGTGACCCTTGGTCACAATGGCAGGTCCGCCGTCGGTTCACGACACTTATCGGTCGAGGCGGTCCAATTCTGGTCGGGCAGCGTATACGCTGAGTGAAGAAGGCCACGGCACAAGCCAGACCATCGCATGGTAAGCGGACGAGCTTTTATCATCCAGGCAAGGGGACGCGCTAAATGAGGCTAGGCGGAGAGGGTATTGGAGAACCCAGACGCGATATCTGGCCTATCATGGCGGACGCCCAATATGTAGCTTAAAGCCCAGACACTATAAGTAGAACAACATGATATACGAATGTCCCCCTCCGTTCCAAGTCCAAATCCGCCCTGTCATCTGATTGGCCTCTCCGCTGTCCTCACTGCCCTTTCAGGTGCTTGCGTCTCCGTCGGCGCCTTGCTAGACTTCTTGTTCCCGCTCGAACCCATATGGAGATGCACCTTCTTCAATACATCCCTATCCCGTCAGCTGTGTCTCTTGGCAACTAAGTGGGAAACTCACATGGCGTAGTGCAGCTTATACAGCACCCCATCTACCCGCTTCTTCTCGCGCGGGTCCATCCCTTCCTGCTCTTCTTCCCGCTTCATCCACATCAGCTCCTCCAGGCTCCAACACCACAAGTTGTACGACTTGTCGATAAAGGAAATGACGAGCCCGCCTTCGCTGAGGATGAGTTTCGTGTGGTCGTAAAAATTGAACTGAATATCAGCCTTGCGTCTTTGTTCAGGGTGGAAGACTCACCTGCACCACATCGTTGCTCAATCTAAACACGATAACATGCTTCATCCGCAGATACCGCATGACGATCGTCATCCCCTTTGTCAGACCGGTGTCCTCATATGTGTATGGCATCTGCCCGACTAGCCGGTCTGCCATGTATCCTTGGAATTTGAGCAGGAGGGCGAATTTGTTGCTGAGCTCAGGCGGGGCAGAGTCGGCGAGGTAGTTCTTTCGGCTATGTCCATTACCTTCTGGGTAGACGTGGTCGGCATGACTTATGATTAGCGATGTTCTGCACGGTGAAATGAAGGATGATAAACTCACGTCTTGGCAGGAGATAGAGCTAGTGAGGTCGAGTCGTTGAAATGGACGCCGACTGTTCCATCCGACATGGACCATCCCATCCCATATTTGGTACAATAGTCCAGCCACGAAGCGACGAACACCTGAGGCGGCTTCGGGTCCTGTAGATCAACTGTTTCAGGTCAGCTTGGTACCCAGCTCTACGCGGAGCTGTCACTCACCCGGCGCGCGATACCCCTCATCCGTATCTGATGCTGCGAACGCGTCCGCCAGAAGGACTCCGACCGTCTCGAATAGCCCCGGCGTCTCAGGCTTAGCCGCCATGTCCACCGCCTTGCCCTTGCCCGTCGACTTGTGCTCTGAATGCGCCGCTGCGGAACGAGTGGACGGAACCGTAGTTGCTGGACCAAGGGGTTGTTTCCGAGGTGATGGGCGACGGACCTGGACCTCCTCTCGCTGCTCGCTGGCCGCCATCTCCGACACGATTCGGATCTTCTGCGTAGCAAGTTCCCTCTCGCGAACAGCGGTATCGTATCGAGTTGGCGGTAGCTCCTCTCCCATAGCATCGTCCTCCTCTTCCTCTCCCACGGCGGCCATGTGCCTCCTGGAAGGTCCTGCCTCCACTGTCGTGGTACGTGGTGCGTGACCTCGACGTACGGGACTGAGAGTTGCCTGCGCACCGGCAGCTGAAAGTTTGCGCAAAAGGGCAGAGTCCTTGATCTCGGATGGACCCTGGACGAGGGGTTGACGAGCGGATCTGCCTGTCAGCTATATGCCGCCTGCCGGAAGACCTCATACTCACTTGATGAGGGCACCGAGAGGACTGTCGGGCTGTACCGCATACTTGAAATCCCTCTCTTGCTGGATGATGCTGGGTCCGAGGTTCGTTCGTATTCTGCCAGTCTCGGTGTTGATCTCGCTCGGCGCGCCAATCTTGGCCTTGTGGTAGACTGCCTGTAAGTTGCGTCGGCTCTCCGTGATGGTGAGGCGGCGGAAGTCGGGCGCAGAGTCGTGGGCCGTGACGGGCACGAAGGGCGGGAACGGTCCATCGTGGAACCAGGAATGGCGGAGGATAGCGTCGAGGCTGGGACGCTTGTCTGAGACTCTCAGCTAGATCCCTCAATCTATCGGAGCAAATTACCTGGTTCTGGGTTGAGGATACTGGTGATCAGGTCTTGCGCCGATGCTGATATCTCCTTGTCCGCCGGGAAGTCGTATCGATTCTCCTTGATCCGCTTGTAGATGGCCTTGACGTCCTTGGTCTGAAATGGAGGCTTTCCGATCAATAAGGTATATCTATCAGTCAGCATTGTCGACATGTTCGGCGACCAAACTTACAATATGACCCCCACAGACCATATGTCCACCTCGAAGCTGTGCCCATTGACAGTGTCAAAGAGAACTTCAGGAGCGATATAATTGGGTGTTCCGCAGATAGTCCTGCTTGATCAGCTCACCACTCTCTTCTCCCTTCCCTATCCACTCACTTCTTCCGGTCACCCGGCTTCTCTATCAACGCCGCCAATCCGAAATCTCCAACCTTCACATTCATCTGATCGTCCAAGAACAGATTTCCTAGCTTCAAGTCCCGGTGAATGACGTTGGTCTGGTGCATGTACTGACAGGCGGCGATGAGTTGGACGAGGATGACGCGAGCTTCTGGTTCGGTATATCTTCTCCGCTTCCGAAGAAGGTCCATCAGTGACTACGCTATCAGCTTCGACCCCTGCGACGAGCACCAGGACTATGCAACTCACCCCGTTCTCGCATAATTCCAACATCATATATACGTTCTCATCGTCCTCGAAACAGTCCTCGAAAGTGACGATATTTGGGTGAGTGAGCATCTGATGCAGCTTGATCTCCGCCCAGAGCTGCTACATCAGCATAGAACCATGAATGGCGAAAGTAGGGAACAATCACCTTCGTCTTATTCTTCTTAGACTTGATACTATCCTTGTTGACCACCTTTACAGCCTTCCTCTCGCCGTGTATTGTCGTCACTTCCCATACTCTCGCAAACCCACCCTGAGAAGTCAGCTTGGCTCTTTGTTCTCGCGAAGAAGCGTTTCAGCTTACCTCCCCCAAAAAGCCAACTCTTCTGTATGCATTCCCGGTCGTCTCATCTCGAATGACCCTTGGAGGGCTAGGCGGCACCACCTTCTCCTTTTTCTCCATTGTTTTGGACGGTCGATTGAGAGTAATATAAGGACGATGCCTGCGAATAGGCGATGTAGGTCAAGCTAAGGGTTGATGAGTGTTATGTATAAGCTGTATAGATGGAGAACAGAGCAAGGTCGAGGGATTCGATGTTGACAGCGCTGGCTGGAAAGCCAAAGTCACACGCGGTAATACCGTAACAAAGAGGCATGACGTGGCATTTACTCCTATCCTGTCCCAAGCCAAATTGATACCACTCGCTCAGGCCAGCAAATCTCATCTGTTCACCTGTCAACTATACCTTGACCCCGGCAGCAGCATAATAGAGATACAGGTGAGCACAGCCGTCCTTCCTCCTCTCCCTCACAGGCGGCATCTCCCAAGGACGAAAATTTATCCCATCACCTCAAGGTGCCCAGCCCAGGGGGGTCAACGAACCCCTAGGTCATTTCCGTCTCCTGTTTGGTGTCGGACCGTCTTGGTCTGCCCGATCTGGGGGCCGGGGGCCGTCTGGGCGATGGGGGACTCTAGTTCATAGTTACACTGAGGGAGATGCCGCTCCTGATTTGCCATCAAATTATCTTGACGACAGGATCAAGCTGATTAAACAGACTTCCACTGCACTCAGGGCGGACTGTCGCCAGCTCTCGAGCATGCTTGACAGGTGCCTTAGCTTCTCACTAGATGCATATCATAACAACAGTACTGGCGACCGCCACGACGTTCCCGTCCGCTCATACCTCTGACCTAGCTTATACACCGATAACGTTCCCGCATACGATCCATACCCACGGCTGCATACCCACCCAACACTCCTCTGCGAAGCGGCACCCCATCGACCGGCCTGCTGCGTCCAGCGTGGAGCATATCGTGCCCTTTACTTCATCTTCGCTGCCCGGTTCATATCGCGGATTCGCTTTCCCGCGGCGTTGATCATCTTTTTGTGAAGTTCTGGCTTGTCTGCAAGATCAGCGGCGCCCATCACCGTCTCTGATCCTCTCTCGAAAGGCAAGGCACTCACAGTTGAAGAAGGTAAAGAGCATCTCGAGGTGGACGAAGAAGGGGGCAAGGACGAGGGCTGCGCGTCAGTCATGTCGGGACCTTGGGCGGAGCGCTTGAGAAGAGCTTACCTTGAGTCAGATTTGTGAACAGAGCAGGAGCCCTGCCTTCGAAGACGCCATGACCGATGAATTGAGCGATCCAGCTAGCAACATTGAGTGCGATGGCGAAAGGCATGGCCGAGGGGTGTGCGACGCCTTTGTACAGTCGCAATGGGAGCGAGAGGGGAGCTGAGTTGGCAAAGGATGTTGCGGTCAGGTACATTAGGGTGCCGATGGGGACAAACGTCAGCTGGAGACGTCAGTGATGCGCAGACTCTACTGCAGGTGGACGTGACCTACAGCTCCAATGGGCTCAAGCAGGAAGTAGTAGATTTGGTATCCAGCGTAAAGCGCCAGAGCGGCGTTGGGTCTGATAGCGAGATTCTCGGTGAGATGCACAGTCTTCGTACCGGATAGAGGCAGGTGCGCGAGCATGATCATGGTCGACCTTAAAACCGTCAGCACCATCCTACATCCAGCAAAACAGATCGCCTCTGATAACAAGGACATAGTTGGGAGGGATGGGTGTGACAGAGTACGCCTTGAGCGCAGGACTCACCACAAGATCATTGGGATGCAGACGAAGTGGATGGCCTGATTGACCTTGTTCGAGTGATATGCAGCATAGAAGCCAAGCTGGCCGTATCAGCCTCGTATCGTATCGGTGAGGTAGCTCAGTCCCCTTGTCACAGTCCAGTATTGTCAGGCAGCATACCTCTTCCTCCACCTTCAGCGAAGCTTGGTGCGGGACTTTCTTGCCGTCGACCGCTGTTTGGGCGAAGTCTGCAGGCGATGTGTGAGACAGCACTTTGGAGTCTGACATCATAGATGAGTATCTGAGTAGAGATGTATGGGGAGGAAAGCAGGACAATGGCGGGAGAGGGACAAGGAGAGGGACCGGTTGCTGGACTTCCTCCGGCTTCTTCCTCTACCGGTAAGTGGGGCCGTTTCGAGTGGGGGATGCCTCAGCACATCGCGTCTGCCAGCTTTCTTCTCCTATGCTAGCCATCTATGTATGCCATTTCTGCATATTACCTATATACCCTACAAGACTACCTAAGAAGAGAGTGTCCGTGCCAGCACGAAAGAGATCTAAAAGATTGTATAAGGAGGTCGTTAAGCTAAATACTACTGATATCATAAACAGGGAGCCCGTAACGCCTAGACGCCCTAGCTCGACCCGACGTAGTAGTTGTAGTTGTACGATGAAGGTGATGTAGTGTACTGGCCGTTGATGCTGGCACTGGCAACATCTCCTCCATTCCTCGTAATCTTCCCGCTCATACCGCCTGGGGAGTTGGCAATCTTGAGCTTGTTGAGACCGGCCTTGACGTTGAAGGTCTGGGTATTGGACCCCGACGTCAAGGTGACGACCGCATCGGACGTGGTGAGGGCGACGGCCCAGACGTAGTCGGTAGTCCAGTCCCATCCGGTCGGCTTGCCAATGTAGTCGTTGGCGTTGGCGTCGTGCGCGTGGGGACGGGACCAGAGGACGAGGGTGTCCTTGGTGATGGCTGGGTATTGGCCGGTTTTGTACGCGGTAGAGTAGTACTGGGTAAGAGGCGCGAGACCCTGGTGGTCGAAGCCGTCGACCCACTTGCCCGAGTAGCCGGGCAGGGCGCCCTGGATGGGACCGATGTACGATGACTCTCCGTAGTCGTTCCAGGTGAGGATCTCGACCTGCTTGACCCGGTCGCGCATCCCGATGAGCTGCTCCCACCGGGCGCAGTACATCCAGTCATCGGCACGGTACAGCCAGTTCTTGTTCCAGAGGTCGGCGCCAAAGTGGGTGAAGAAGAAGGGGGAGACGGCCGCCATGTACTCTTTGGAGCCGAGAGCGTTCATGTACCGGTTGTCCGTGTCGGTGGAGATCTGATTGTTGCCCATCGGCCAAGCAGAGTTCCAGTTGAGCTGATTATCAGCCTTGTCCAATCTCGGAACAGAAAGTACTCACCTCGCCGTCCATCCAGGAGTTGCCGCTGAATGTGCTGATGTCCGAGAAGATCGAGGGAACAAAGAAGATGTTTGTCCCCTGGTTCTTCAAGGCATCAACAAACATACTCTGCCACGCCCCCGAGCCCGAGCCGGTACCGAAGTTGCAGTCGGAACCGGCAAAGGTGGAGACGAGGACCTTGCCGTTGTGCTTGGCCTGGTTTGGGTGGTTGGCAAATCGCTGGACGATACTGACGAGATTGGACGCGTCGCCGCCGGACCAGCAGCCGAGGGACGTGACGTCAAGCGAGAGGAAGAGCTTGAAACCGGTTCCCGAGTTTTGCGCGGCAGCGTAGGCGTCCGTGGCGCGGTCGACCTGCCATGACTCGTGTCCGAGGTTCAAGGCGAACCCGTCGATGGCCTGTGCGGATGCAGCGCGAATATCGACGAGCCAGTTGGCCTGGGTGTACGGGTAGGTGTTTCCGACCATGTGGTGGGCCCAGACCTGGCGGTCCCCGGAGGCGCTAGGGGGCTGAGCGGTAGGTGCGGGCGCAACGATGGAGGAGGTGGTGGTCTTGGCGGGATTGAGGGGTGTGGTCTGGGCAGGGGAGACGGTAGCGGTAGGAGCAGGGATGACGATGTTGTTGTTACCAATGTTGGTCACCGCGGGGACCTGAACCGGGCAATCCGCACCAGCCTTCATCAACTCAAACACCTCCATCGCCCAAAATCCGCCGCACGTCTCCTTGGCATTCCCCTTGCAGGGAAGCTGGCAGATATCCGCGTACTTAATGCTAGCGGGGAGCTTGGAGCCACAGTAGCACTGCTCTCCGTACTCGACACCGGCGAACGAGAAGCCCTTCTCCTCGCAAAGATTGAGACACGAGTCGACGGTCATGTTGGCCATGGCGGTGTTGGAGAACTCGTTGAGGATACGAGGATTGGCGTCGACAGCGCAACCGTGGGCGTACCACTCGGAGCTGTCGGTACTGTTGTGAACGGGGACGGTGCTGTTCTGGGCAGGGAGGGTGCTGGTGGGGGAGGGGATGGGGGAGGCAGTGGTGGCTGTTCCGGACACCGAGGCGGCGGGGAGGGAAGGGGTGGTGCAGTTGGCGGAGACCGAGGCAGTGTATTTGTAGACGTTGAGGAACCAAGCCGCTCCGCACTTCTCTGATGCGTCTCCCTTGCAGGCCATGCTGCACGCCGCGTCTGGCTGAGACTGACCGCCCGATCCGACAAAGGTGTTACCGCAGTAGCACTGACTGTCAGCGAAGCTCAATTACAAAAGTATATTACTCACTTCGTCGACGTATTGTGTTCCGGCGTATTGGAAGCCCCGCTTCTGACATTGAGTCATGCACAGCGTCGGGGTCATCTTGTTTGACGAGAAGGAGGACCCCTCGAGCAACCGCTGGTTCCATGACTCGTTCATGCACCCCATCGACGTCCAGTCGGCGGGCATGTTGTTGGCTCGACGCTCGATAAGAGGTGGGGGTTTAGTCTATCAATCAGCATTGACCCGAAATAGCTACTTGTAAACAACGCACCATCCCCTGGGAATCACCATAGTACCGCGCCATGAGCTTGTGGAACTCGCGTCGAGCGTGTCCAGCAAGCCCCTTGTTGTACACAGCCGGAGCCATGTGTCTGCCAGGCTGGAGAGGCCCAGCCTCGGCGACACCAGCGACTGCGAGCAACGAGAGGAGGAAAGGAGCGACCGGCGCCATTATAGGATATTATCGTTGGGTAGTGGATTTGAGTGTCCCGATAGGGCGGAAAAAGGAGTGTGTGCCGTCGAGGCTGAGCACCGGGCTCGTAGAATTTGCAGTCGAGAGAGGGGGTCGAAAATTAGAGGAATGAACAGATGAGAAGGATGTGAGTGAGATCAGAACGACAAGGTGAGCAACTCCGTCTGCCACCTGCCAATTCCTTCTCGGAGGTCTGGCTGCGCGCTGGATGTGACATGACGCGACGAGCCGGACGTGCGGCGTGCCACTTTACTCGGCGCGTTCCTTCTCCCGGGTGATATGCCGTCAAGAACAGCTCGGGAACTTGTTCGGATGGTAATTGTGCACCGTAGGATAAGGCATGTCACCTTGAGAAATCCCTGACTTGATCGACAAAGGCGGAGGTGTGGCTGGACGCGTCGTGAAAATCATGAGACGCGTCACAAAGGTGGCTTACGTGAGACCGGAAAGTCAACCTTTATCCGTGCGTATCCGTTTGGGCTGAGACGGCCAGCCATCTCCTCCTTGTCCCCATGTCTCGTCCTTTCACCATCAAGCGGATGAGACGTGTATCAGCAGGGCGCAGGCCAGGGCAGCTGAGATGGCCCACCTCGAGACCTACTCAACGATATCGATCTTGGCATAGCCAGCCGACTGTTCATAGCACTGACGCCATGCTGATAGCACTCGCGCTCCTCACGGCCGTTTCGGCGCTGACCTCCGCTGCTGCCCAGGCAACACCTAGCAGCTCCCCTTCCTCATCAGAAGGCACCGACGGGGAAGCATGTACGACGGACAATGGTGTGACGTGAGTCGGACCTCCTCTTGCCCGCCCACCCCTCCCCGCGCGCTGTGATCCCATGGCCCTGCTTCCCCCTCTTGTCCTCTCTCTCGTGCCCCACTCGTCTCTCCACCTCCCCTCCCCTCATCGCCTTATTCTCTTCCTTGTGTCCCAGTGGCCTCCTCTTCTCGTCTTATGAATCTCTGCTTCCAGTCCTTCCGCGTCAATCCTAAGCTGACAATGTCAGCCAATACATTTCCTGCCAAAAAGCCAAATTCAGTACCACCCAACTCGTCATCGGCGGCATCGGCGTCGTCCTCGCCCTCTTCCTCGTTGGCTTCGGCATAGTTTGGCTGCTCCACCGCCGCCAGAAACGGAAAACCGGAGACGGCGGGGAGTCCGGCAAAAGCTTCCGAAACTCCAACGAAAAGAGGGAGGAAACGGACGACGAGTACTCTGATGACAGCGACGACGATGAGATGGATGATCGACGAAGGCGGGACACCAAGGGAGGGAGGGACCGCGACAGCGAGAGCGAGGATGAGTCCGAGGAGGAGAGTGAGGAGGAGAAGCCCAGGCCGGCGGTCAGGCAGCAGAGGCAGCAGCAACAGCAGCAGGCCCGGAGTGTGCAGCAACAGGTGGCGAGGGCGAAACAACCCTTGACGAGAGTAGTGGAGGAGCCGGAACCCCGCTCGGCTGCTCGATCATCCCCGCCGTCCTCCCGTCCGGCGTTGCAGCAACGGCCATCCCACTCTGCCCCCTCGCCTGCCGAAACTCGAAAGCCCTCCACCTCCTCCTCGGCGCCCAAGAGCAAAGCGGCACGGGTGGAGACTGAGTCGGAGGAGTCAGAGGAGGAGAGCGAAGACGAGACTGAGTCCGAGGAGGAGACGGACGACGACTCCGAAGACGACCACCGAGGTAACACCAAGAAGAACACCGCCCCTCCCCCGCCGAAACCAGAGATCAAGAAACCCCAGCCGGTCGTTCAGAAGATCCCACGTACCGCCTCACCCGAAGCTCTGACGGATGAGGGGTCGCCCATCGACCGCGAGAACAGTCGGCAGCTATACGCCTCGAATGCGTCACCCGATCCTCGGCTCCAGCGCGCATCTATCGTTCCCCGGGAGGCTGTACCTATCGCCAGGTCCCGACCGAGCGAGGACCGCCTGCCTGCGATGCCCACCGCTGCGAGATCGAGGGGGAGCACTCTTCCCCTGAGCGTTAGGAAAGACTCGAAAGGGGCTCGCCTTCCGTCCTACTACGAGCCATCGTCCCGCCCCCTTCGGTCCAGTCCGCCCGAGACCTCGGAGACGCAAGCGCCGAGAAGGCCGTCACTCCCCGAGGTGAGGAGTGAGCCGCTGGTCGCAAGGTCCGCGGAGAGGCCCAAGGCGGATAGGCGGCCTAGTGAGGGCAAGCATAGACGCCCGAGTGAGGCCAAGGAAGGGAGTCGGAAGGGGAGCAGTAGTAGCTCGAGGCGGCCCAGCGATCGCAGTGAAAAGGTGTAAGATAGAGCGTCGTGAGAAGAATGTCCATACGCCATGTAGACCTGCCTCCTTAGCTGAGGATCGTCTTACCCGCCAGAAGCAGCGACGACCGCAGACCCGCTAGCAGCCAAAGAGCAACGCAGGGTTATCTGGGAAGATCCCCGAGGAATGTTGAACGAGAACGAGCTGTTGAGCAATTTGCCCAATTTGCCCTTCATCATTCTCCCTTCATCCCAGTTCATTGCTTACTTACTGGCTATACCCCGATAAGCCTCAGCGAAATAGCATGGCGTCCACTGTAGAGCCCACACCATTCCGCTCGGCCAGTCGGGACCTCCTCGACTCGGCAACGCTCATCAAGCAAGGCGCTGAAGCGGTTCGTTTCCTCCGCCTCCTCCTCCTCCTTCTTCTTCACTTCAAGCTGACATTCCAGCGAGTCTACGCACTATCGACCCACCTAGCCCCTCCATCGGTGTACTGGCCCCCATCTTCCACTCCCTCCTCATCCAACTCGACGCCTTTCCCTCCCTCTCCAGCCTTGATACTGAAACACCGCTTCCCCAAGACATACCGGCACCCCACCCTCGACGCCACCCTCACAAAGTCCCGCCTCTCCTTCGAAGCGCGCGCGCTCGCCCGATGTCTCAAGGCGGGCGTAGTCGTGCCGCGCGTGATGTGGGTGGACGAGCGGGAGGGGGTGCTGGGGATGGAGAAGGTGGAGGGGTGGAGCGTGAGGGAGATTTTGGGCGGAGGGGCCGAGGGGGAGGTGGAGGTCGATGCGGGGGAGGCGGAGGAGGAGGTTGAGGAGGGGATGGAGAGGCTGGATGTGGATGGTGAGGCTGGAGGGGTGGAGGAGAGTGAGGGGTGGATTGCATTGAAGGGGGCGGGGATATCACAGGGTAGGTCTATGAGAGGGAGACAGGGATGGAGGGGGAGAAGGGGGAGAAGGGGGAAGTTGATCCCCAGAATATCTTATGGCGGCTATAGGAGCCGCTCTTGCTCGACTGCATAGCACAGGTATCATCCACGGTGACCTCACAACGAGCAATATGATGATTCGCCTGACACCCGGCAAGGCGGAGGCGTACGATGTGGTACGTGATTCTTCATGTCCAATTTCTAGCTCAGCTATCCCTCTCCATTCAGACGATGGTGTTTGGGAGGTGGGCTGACAACGCAGGTAATGATTGACTTCGGACTTTCCTCGCAAGCGGTATACGTCGAGAACTACGCTGTGGACCTATATGTCCTCGAACGGGCGTTTGGGTCTACACATCCGGCCAGCGAGGGGTTATTTGCAGGCGTAAGTCTCATATCCTTAGCTATGTGGTACCTGAACAGGTGCTCCGACTAGGACATTTGGGTGGTAATCTGACATGTCAGGTGCTGGAAGCGTATGGGAAGGGAATGGGAAAGAAGTGGGCGGATATTGAACGGAGACTGAAAGACGGTGAGTCCCGCTTCTTTCCTCCCCCTGAGATGCTCGTCGACCCTCTGGTTTCACTCCTCGGGCTCGTCTCAGATCCCGGATCCGACGAGGATCGTAGCTTACGAGCCAGTGCGCATGCGCGGTCGGAAGCGAGATATGACCGGATGACATGCACGCTTGGACCAAGGCACGGATCGCCTGACTTGCTCGAGAAGCTGAGCATTCACGAAGCGCGATCGATCGGGAAGCTGTGCTTCCGATCCCGAGCGCAAGATCAGAAGAAGCTTTGTGTGACGATACTGATATATTGCGCATAGCCGGACTTTATGGTAAACGGGGATCGCAGAGCAGGAAAAAGTATGAAACGGCGGAGGGAAGACTATGCTACAGAGCGGAGAGGAGGATGGGGGTACCACTAGGATCTAAGGCACAATTAATAACGCAGGCGATATATACAGTCTGACGAACTCGCTTACTACTTACTCGTATTTACAGGGGGATAAAGAAGTCAGGAGAGACGGAGGTCTCGGATGGGAGGGAGCCAAATGGTGGTGCTCGTACCCGCGCGGATTGGCGGGAGAGTCGTGCCATTGCTCCGCGAGATCGCGGAGGCGATGGCATACCTCTGCACGGACGGGGGGAGCAAGGCGGTCGGCGGTCGCTGAGGCCGGTTGAAGAGGTGGCTCGGCCGCGTGTCAATGAGGCGGAACCATTTACCCCATTTGGCGGGGACGGGGGCCTCGGGTACGGCGGGAGCAGCGACGAAGGGCGAGAGAGGCGCCTGCGAGATCAGCTTGGATCTCGGGCTAGCACTGTGCGACTCTCGGGGAATGAAAAGAAGCCGACATCGAGCCCGAGCGGAGGGGGAAAGGGGTAGCCCGAGAGGCGACAGCCCGAAAACAGACAGACAGACAGCCCGAGAAGGCGCGGAAAAGGAGGCAAGCCCGAGAGACGTAAAAATGGCAGGGAGAATCATGAACTTTCCCAGAACTCACCTCGCTTTCCCCTCGACCAGCGATCTCGAGTAGAGCCTCTGCGGCCCGTCTCGCCTCGTCCTCCCCATCCTCCTCTACGTCCAATGCCGCCTCCCACCGCTCCGCATCGCTCTGGAGGACGATAGACTGCTCCTCAAAGTGAGGAGAAAGAGCGGCCCGCTCGGGGCATATATCGTCGAGAGAAGCCGAGGAGCCCAAGGTGAGCTTGAACCGAAGAAGGACGCGTTCGTCCAGGTCGGAGGAGGGTAAAGGGGAGTCGTATGACTCGGGGGAGGAGACGAAGACTGGAGCGCCGTAGCCTTGGGAGGAAGCGGATGCCCGCGAAGAGGAGGAAGGTGGGGAGGTGGCTGAGTCCGAGGAGGACTGCTCGGGGTACTCAGCGTCGGACGGCGAACCCGAGCTTCCGCCGGTGACCCTTCGCTGCTTGCCGTTGTTTTTCCGCTGATGAGATCAGCTGGGAGAGCTCTAAAAAATGCCCATTCTTTCAGCGGAAGGAAAACGTACGTATAGCCCGCAGGCCGAGCACATCCTCTTCCGACCTCGCCCGTAGTCGCCAGACTCGTCGTAACGCCACTGCGTGGTCTCGAGCTAAGCTGATCAGCAGCCTCCTTGGAACCAAGAGGATCCTTGCGCCTCGAGGTTCTTCATCCCGCTGTCTCGGTCGCCTCACAGAAGCTCGAGCCAGGTTCAAGACGCGGAGTGAGTGACTCACGTGTGAGCACCCGCAGTTGATGCAGCGACCGGGTACAGGACGCCGACCAGCCTTGGAGGCAGCCTTCTTCTTGCTCTTCGTTGGGGCCATCGCTGACGTTGTTGGAGTAGGACGAGCCTTGATAGTCGAAGAGGCGAGCCGCTCAAAGACGGGGCGTGCCGAGAAGGGGTCGGGTTAGAGCTGTCGCTGTCGAGGTGGGTTGACCTGATGGAGTCAGCTCGGTTCTCTGACGCATTAGGATCCAAATGTCGCGACGAGAAAGTGAGCGGATCGCTGAGACCTCGATTCAAGGCGGAGGACATACTCGAGCCGGGGGGAGTCTCGAGCGAGCTCGTAAGCGGAACCAAGGGAATCAGGGCGCTTTAGAAGTGGGAAGTGGTAGATGTAGAGCATGCACTACGGCATAGACGGGAAGCAAGTGATGACTGTAAAGATGTAGATGCTGAACGCAAAGAGGAGGGAGTAAGATGGGAGAAGGAAGATGGAGGAAGGAAGAGGGAGGAAGGAGGAAGGAAATGGTCGTATATGAGATCTGGGGAGATGAGAGGAGGGATAACAGTGGCTGATCTTGCGAGCAGGGTGGGCTGACACGATGCAAGCTGAGTTGGATATCATGGTGATGAAAGGATATGTGGGCAAAGATGGTAACTCACGGGATGGAGATCTGGCTTGAGGCGAGCAATGTAAGGAGTGTGTTGCCGAGGTATACCGGGGGAGAGGTTGACGGTAGAAGGCTAGACGGTATTGCTAAAGAGGGGAAGGCTGAGTGAGTGGACTGTATGCGGTAGTAGAGGTGAATGTGAAAGTAGAGATGAGGATAAGAAAGATGGGCGGGGAAAGTGAAGAGGGAGAAGGAAAGAGCCGAGCCGTGTATATACCTCTCCTCGTTGCCGGTCGAGGAATGCCCCTTACTCCGCTATACTTTGATCCTAGCGTCTAAAGTAAGCAGCTCAGGCACAGACCACCCCATCCAAATCCGAGCGCACGGCCGCCATCAACAAATCACTCGCCTCCCCTCACTACCAACTGCTCGACCATGACCCCAAAACAGGCCCGTCATTCAACTTGATACTCAACTTGGTTGAAGCGAGGCATGGGCGGCGATCCTCCCGGCGCTAGCAAGAAGTGGGACGAGTCAGAAGCGGATGGAGGTGCGCCCACCCGGATCATATCGCATCAGATAGGGAGGAGGGATCAAGGTATGGAAGAGGTGAGGCGACGGCCTCGTTGTTGTTTGTGTCGAGGTGACGGTGTAAATCGAGATCGGTGTCCAGGGTAAGTGTGTATCCAGATACACGTGAGTATGTCATCGTCGGTATCGAGGCCAGGGTATAAGGGTGAGTTGTGTGTCAGTGGCTGAGGGAAAGGGCGTTTTATGGGGAGCCGCAGAACGCGCAAAGGGTGAGGCGGAAAGTCTATTGATGGAAGGAAAGGGGGTCCTTTGAACACAAAGACGCGCGGAGCGTCGGACTGGCCCGTAGAGATGGCAGACTTTTCGAGTACGAGACAATATAATGGCGGCTGTCCGATCAGCAAGGCACTCAGCAAGCTCGAGGCAAGGAAGAAAGTTGGCGTATGATCTTCTTTTGAACGTTGAACGGCAAAGCGCACTGATCAGAAGCAGGCGGAGCCCGGAGCCTGCCGGCAAGTCAGAGGCTCTGATCTACCTTGACATGCAGAGAGACATTTTCATTGAGCTAGCCGAGCAGCGGACATCATCATCATGATAAGCGAGCTGCGAGGAGCATAGCGAAGGGTCCACACGAGCCGCTGACAGCGAGACCAACCGCGATCGTCTCCCCTGCGCGCCTTCTATCCCATCTCCATGGTCTCGACCTCCTCCTTGGAGAATCTTCATCCCGCCTGACCTGCAGTTGTCAAAACCGTTCGACAGGTTTCGCCGTCCAGCAAGCTGACACACTTCAGCCAGTCCACCCATGAAGCTGCTCGTTGACGCCTCATGCTTTCACGCACTCATCCCATACAGGACGCTCTCTGCAGTAGCCAATTCACTAGCCATCTGCGCCCGATACAGCATCCCCTGCCCACCATCAGAAGGATCAGGACCCAGCAGCAGGAAAGGTTCCAGCCGCGGCCGTATATCCCTCCTCGTTGCTCCTTCGATATGTGTGGTTGCGCTGCATTTGTACAATGTGTGTTCGGTTTGCGAGGTATTGGTACAGGTCCGGGCCGTCCTATCTATTCTTCGTTTGTCTATCATCATCAGCTACCTCCTCGCAGTACGACAGATCGAAGTGGAGACAACTTACCTATAGCTGAATTTTGTTCTTGTCGGCGAGAACTCGCCCAGCTTGTGCCCCACCATCTCCTCCACTATCTGCACCGGCAAGAAGTCTTTCCCATTATGCACCATAAACTTGAGTCCGACAAAGTTGGGTACGACCGTACATGCGCGTGACTTTGTGTAGATCGGTGCGCCCGATTTGAGGGATTGAGCGAGGGAGGGGAAGGCGGTGAAGAATGGACCTGAGGATCAGCTGAGCTCTCTGTCGGCCTTGGCTGGTGGTGAGGACCGTGGATTCCGCACCTTTCCAGGTCGATCGCCGGAGGAGGATGCCCGTGGGCCGCATCGCAGTGCCAGGAGTCTGGCCCTGTGGACGGTAAGAGGAGAAGTTGGTGGTGAAGGTTACAAGGTGGAGGTGACTTGTCGACTTTTGACGCTCCTGCAGTCGAGCCATTAGTAAATTCGTTTTCCTAATCAACCTTCCTGCAGCCGACTTGATTAGGACAATTCGGAGTTATACGGGAATAGCGATAATCCGATCGAAGAGTATTTCGGAATCTGCCTGACGCGCGCGCGCGACGGTCCAGTTGGTGCTGGAATTTCTAAACCACCAGCAAGCACTATCACATACCTCTTCACCTATCGCTATCCACATCTCGCAGGCAGCTAAGGACCTGCCATAGCCACCTCAGATCGATCACTAGCGAACACTCAGTCAAAATGGCCGGAAATGTCATGGTGATGAGTGCGTTCTCGCCTCGACCGGCTCGATTCAGCTCGGACGGCATGAACAGCTTGCTGATGGTGTAGACACGGGGCCTGAGAGGCAGACGGGTCGGAAAGCGCAGACGGCCAACATCATCGCGGCTAAGGTCAGCTTCACCTGGCTATATCCAAGCTTGAGCCAGAAGCTGATCCTATAGACCGTTGCAGATGTCATCCGGACTTGTCTCGGACCAAAGGCCATGTTGAAGATGATTCTCGACCCTATGGGCGGTATCTTGTACGTCAGCTATATTAAGTGGTTCCGCTCATCAGCTGACCTCCAGATTGACCAACGACGGCCATGCTATTCTCCGGGAAATCGACGTCGCACACCCCGCTGCCAAATCCATGATTGAGCTCGCACGGACGCAGGACGAAGAAGTCGGAGACGGAACGACCAGTGTCATCATCCTCGGTAAGCCATCCTTGCAATCTCAGCTGACATGTAGCCGGAGAAATCCTTGCCTACTCCCTTCCCCTCCTCGAACGCAACATCCACCCCGTTGTCATCATCAAGGCGTTCAAATCCGCGCTGAACGACGCCCTGGACACTATTGCCAAGGTCTCCATCCCCGTCGACATCACTTCGGAAACCGAAATGCTCGCCCTGATCAAGACGTCCATTGGCACCAAATTCTCGTCGAGATGGTCGGACCTGATGTGTTCGCTTGCCCTGCAGGCAGTGCGGACCGTCGCCGAGACGGCCGAGTCGGAGAATGGGTTGATTGGGGGCAGTGCGGCGGGCGAGTCGGGCATGTCGGCGCTGAATATCAAGACGGTGGATATCAAGCGGTATGCCCGGGTGGAGAAGGTACCGGGCGGGGAAATTGAGGATTGTCGGGTGCTCAGCGGAGTCATGGTCAACAAGGATGTGACACACCCGAAGATGCGGAGACGGATCGACAACCCCCGGATCGTCCTGCTCGACTGCCCACTCGAGTACAAGAAGGGAGAGAGTCAGACGAATATCGAGATCCAGAAGGAGGAGGACTGGAATCGGGTGCTGCAGATTGAGGAGGAGCAGATCAAGGCGATGTGCGACAAGATTATGGAGTTCAAGCCGGACTTGGTGTTCACCGAGAAGGGTATCTCAGGTGAGCTGCAGCGTTCTGAACATAGGCGTCAAGCTGACGACCAGATCTCGCCCAGCACTACCTCCTCAAACAAAACATCACCACCATCCGCCGAGTCCGCAAATCCGACAACAACCGCATAGCCCGTGCCGTCGGAGCTACCATCGTCAACCGCGTCGAGGACCTGCGCGAATCGGACGTCGGGACGGAATGCGGCAAGTTCCACATCGACAAGCTCGGCGACGAGTACTTTACCTTCCTCGAGGAATGCAAGTCCCCTAAGGCATGCACCATCCTCCTCCGCGGACCGAGCAAGGATATTCTCAACGAAATCGACCGGAACTTGGCGGATGCGATGTCGGTGGCGCGGAATGTGGTGTTTAATCCTATTTTGGCGCCAGGGGGAGGAGCGACCGAGATGGCGATCAGTGTAGCGCTGAATGAGCGGGCAAAGACGTTGCCGGGCGTGGCGGGTGCGCCTTACAAGGCGATCGCGGATGCGCTGGAGGTGATCCCCCGGACGCTTATCCAAAATTGCGGAGGGAATGTCATCAGGACGTTGACCGAGTTGAGGGTGAGCTCTATGTCCTTCGAACATGAGGATAAAGCTGACAATCAGGCAAAACACGCAGCAGGCGAGAGCATGTCTGGTGTAGATGGCGATACCGGCAAAGTGACCAACATGAAGGACTATGGTCTCCTCGAGTCCGCTAGCGTCAAGATCCAGACTTTGAAGACTGCTATTGAGGTGAGCTCGCAATCACGACTTCGTCTCAAGGCACGGGCTAAAGCTGACGCATCAGTCCGCAACATTATTGCTCCGCGTGGATGACATTGTCAGTGCTCGGCGGCCGGAGGAAGGTGGAGGTGGGGGCGTGCAGACGATGGGTGGGGAGATGGGCGAAGGGGACGTCCCCGAGGGAGCGGAGCAATAGATGGGAGAAGTGTAATCATGCAGCAGCTACTTTTGCCCGGGCGGGCTGCAAGGGCTTACTGACTCTGCAGAAGATGACAGCTGCAGCCGGTCTTACTCTCACTCACTGACGTAAGCCTCATATGGCGAAAATGAAGGCCAAGAAGCAACCTCAAGCGCCACGTCTGGCAGATGGTATTGCTGCTTCGCACCGCTTGACGCCCACCTGCTCGCTAGCCATCGCGCCAGCCGTCGTCATACGGTCTGATGGCCATCTCAAAGGATCAAATCGCACGTCATGCCCGGGTACTGGCCAAGGTCAAAGGACTGGGTCAAGCGACTTGCCCAAGTACTGGCTTGGCGATGCACGAAACATCACTGGCTATGAGTTGCGACCTGCCGGCTCGGCTTGTGTCAAAGGAGCTGCACGGCCAGCTCGCTTCTGCTCGTACGCGAGAGCGATCGATTGGACGGGTAGCAGACTACATGAACCCCTCTCGGTCCCCCTGGACCCCCTCTATCGCCTATATCTTTACCTTCTCTTCCGCTCACAGACGCACACTCTAGCACCTACTCGCCACTTACGATTGAATATCAGTAATCGCCCACCCTCTCAACTACACACCTGATCCCTGAGCATGGCTACCATCGACAACGTCTCCGCCATCGAGGACTGCGAGACCGCCAACCCCACCATCAACTACGAGGACCCCCTTCTCTCCCTCCTCGGTGAGCCCCTCCCTGGATACACTACCACATTCAAGGCCCACTGCCCCAAATGCGAACGCGTCGAAGACTTCCGCATCGACCACAAGCCAGCCTCCGAGTTCGTCGGCCCTGCAGCTGAACACGGCACCAGCTTTGAGATCACTTCTGTAAGCCCGTCCCATCCAAATCCCGTCCGACATGGTTGAGATGACCTAACAGCTGTCGGACTCCGGCAAGTCAGTCATTGCTACCATCGAAGCGCAGGACAAGATCGCAGCCTGGGCCCGATTGTGGTGTGCAGTCACCGCTCCAGCTGAAGCTGCGAGTGCGGGCCCGACTTGCCTGACGAAGGTGTTTGCTTCCCTTGCCGACAAAAGCGCAAAGGAGGTTCGAGACGACACGGAGAAAGAGGGCGACAAAGAGAAAGAGGGCGACAAGGAGACAGAGGGCGACAAGGAGAAAGAGGGCGACAAGGAGGAAGAGGGCGACGAGTCGGGCATGTTAGCTACTGATCCGAGGGGCCTCATGACCGTCTTGACGATGGGGGACAGTCTGGGGTTGTTCGAGGAAGATGACGAGGAAGTAGATGAGATCGATGTTCAGTACGAGGATCAGTAGGCGGTTGACTGGCTGTTGACGCGGACAGAAGCGTGTCCGGGTTACTGTATGTTCGCATGTATCACTGATGATCAGATCAGACACTGTACGCCCGAGGCCAATGAAGGTCCAGTACAACAGCCATGCATGTCCAGCTGTGTATACTCCGCCCAGGATCTAACAACGTACATCGGCACCGACAAATCAAGCGACCGGGGCCTTGATCTTGCGCTGTCTGGAGGATATCAGCTACTGCCCTTGACATGGTACTCGGACCTGACAGATGACTCACCCAAGGAACGAGTTCTTCTCCTCGATGGTCTGGAAACCAGAGTGACCACGCTTGCTCGAGGTGTCGATGAACTTGAGGTCGATCTTCTCGAGATCACGACGCGAGGTCGCGGTCCGGAGCGCCTTCCTCAGCACAACGACCCTCTTGCGCACACCGGGGATACCACCCTTGACCATGACAAAGTCGTTGGCCACATCGGGGGCGTGGTTCCAGCCGCCGAGGGGGTTGATCGACTTCTTGGAGATATCGTAGGAGGTGGCACCTGACTCGTTCGAAGTTCCGTTGCTGATGCGGTAGATCTGAGAGTTAGCTTTGGTCTTTCGCACCGACGGAGATGACTCACCTTCTTGTTCATCTCGGTACGGTGGTGGTAACCCCTCTGACCTGCTCGGGCAACCGAGAACATGACCTCACTTGGGTGCCATGCTCCGATACAAGCGACCTTCCTCAACCCTCTGTGGGACTTCCGGGGAAGCCTGGACGTCAGCTCAGACTTCGACATTATAGTCGATTGACTCACTTCTTGACACCCCATCGCTTGATGACACCCTCCACACCGTGACCCTTGGTCACAGCGATCGAGTCAATCATCTCATCCTGCGAGAAGACGCTCCCGACCTCGACCTCCTTCTCAAAGTGGCTCCGTGCAAACTCGACCTTGTCGGCCACGCTTCCACCGTTCACCTGGACCTCCATAAGGTGCGCCTTCTTCTGCTTGAGCCCAGTCTTGGAGATCTGGGTGTGGGCAAGAACACGGACGACCGAGCAGTACTTCTTGATACGCTCAAGCTCGCGGGCAACCGACTGGCCGGACGACTCCGAGTGCTTCTTGGCGTACCGGGTGAAGGCCTTCTTCTTCGAGCGGTACCAGTTCTTGTAGAACCGACGCTTGAGCTCGTCCGAAAGGTGCTCGGCCCAGACGGTGGTGAGGGAGCGGAGACCACGGGGAGTTTCGACGTAACCGACGAGACCGACAATGACCATGGGGGGAGTTTCGACGATGGTAACGGCCTCGACGACTTCACGCTTGTGCATTTCTGTCATTAGCCTCGATCTTCTCTTCATGTCGGACTACACTCACTTGATCCGGGTCGGTCCAAGTCACGAACAATGTGGGTCATACCCGTCTTGTAACCGAGGAAAGCGGTCAAGTGGACGGGGTTCTTGGCATCGTCCTATTATGATCAGCCCTGTCCTCTGTTCCACCCAGCTACATCCAACGAACCTTGGGGAAGGCCTTAACCTTTCCACGGTGACGGGCCGCACGCTTCTTGGGCAAGAAGGCGAGGGATCCGGAACGCGGCTCTTCGTACTTTCGGTGAGACTAACGGTCAGCTATGAATCTTATGGTCGGTCGAGCATCTCCTCTCCCTCTCGAGACGTCCCATGCTCGGCTCGCCATCACCCTGGCCCGTATCCCCAGTGTATCCTTCTCCTTAGCCCAGCATCTCCACTCCATACCCCCTCAACTCCCTGATCAACCACCAGGATCCCCTGTCCCCTCTTCGATCCATCCCTCTCGCCCGGTCCGGCATTGTCCTCGCTGCCTGAGACGTCGTGCCCATCGGTCCAGAGGTCGAAGCTTACCATATCGATAGTTGTCGAGGATGTCGAGTCTATTGAAGGATGAACAGCTAATAACGACAACCCCTTGCGCAAAAGCTGCGAGTCAGCAAACGGCAGCAGAAGATACCAGATTACCGCTTTGGGTAATTTCGGATTTAAGCCGCTTAAAATACATGCAATTCTTATCGCCGATACTTGCGGGACTAGATTTTTACAACTCGTTAGGACACGTCCAGTCCCAAGCCATACCCCCTCCCCTGCATTCACCTAGTCCCATACCCCACCAGTCTTCTACCACGCGCGCGACTGCTTCTCTTGCACTGAGCGTTTGGGTTTCCATACTACTGATCAGCGTGGCCTCCCTGACTTTACTGAAACCACTCACCAAGAGATCCAAGGCTCCATTGCCGCGAGGTACTGGAACCCCTTGAAGGGCTCGACGGGCGCGTAGTGCGAGACAGGCGTCATGCGAGGGTAAGCGTCCCATTCTTTCCGATAGACCCAGCTGGGCCGTTCGCCTGCTAGGTCCGCCAAAAAGTCGTCGTTCAGATAAGTCATCGAGAAGATCTTGACGGTGTATTCGCCTGAGCCAGGGTATGTCTCACCATGCCACCCAATCGAGTGGAAACGAGGTGGTGGGAGTCCCGCGGCGCCACTACGTGAGAGGTAGGAGGAGGTTAGGATGAGTCCAGGGAGGACGGTATCGGGTGGCAAGGAGAAAAAGACGGGGTCGGGCCGGGCTTTGGTAGTGGTGAACAGCGTGACGTGGAGGTGAGTGTACTTTTGATGTCTGACATCAGCGATGCAAGGGAGCGTAGACGTACGGTATCTTCTCGTCAAAAAAGTGGGCCATCGACTTTGATATCGGGCTCAGGTGCCATGGTGCGGCAAAGAAGACGTTGTCGAAGGGCTGGGCTTGTGCTGACTCTGATGTATTTGTCCGCACTTCGAACATCCCTTCGCCTTGCTCATTCGTGAAGGGCAAGATGTCGGTTACCTGCTATCAGCTGAATTGATGCTATGACTCACAGTTGTCCCCAGAACCAGTGTGGCCGAAGCATTCTTGAGCATCCCCTCAAAGACCCGCCAGTTCCCGCCTTCGATACTGGATGCTCCGCTAGTCGCCATCGACACACCAGCGGCGAGGGCGTGAATCGAGCTCATGTCCATTCCGTACTACCCGTCAGTATCCCGCTCCCATCCTCAGCACTGGGACATACCACGTTCCTAGTCGTCCCCTCCATCACCTCCCCCATCCACTTCTCCCCAACTCCGACCCCCTTCAACACCCAGTCATCCGCCTTCCGCTTCGTCATCTCTGCTCCCAGTCCCAAATGATCGGCCATCGCCCGGACGGACCGTACCGCCCCGCGTTCACTCATAATCTTGAAATTGTACAGCATAGAGAACCGCTTGACAAGCGCGTTGACGGCGGAGTTGGTACGGATGGGCGAGAGGGGGCCGTAGCGGTATGCGGCGGAGAGGGTGTCCCACCATCCACTGAAGATCGAGTGGGAGAGTGAGGTCTGATAAAGGAACGCAGTCCCGTTCTGTAGCGTATCAGCTACTATCGATAGCCCCGATGAGCAGGACATACCCAGATACCTAGCCCGGTATCGCCAAAGTCAGGCTGGACGACAGTCAGATTGAACAGCTAGCGGGTCAGTATAGTCAGTAGAGAGCGAGGAGGGACAACGCACCTTCGCAGCCTTGTTCATATTCTTGTTGGCTTCCACAAAGACCGACGCGCCGAGCTCGATAGGCCTAGCTCGAGGATCGTCTCGAGGATAGACCGTAGTACTCCCTATTCATCAACTCTAGCTCCTCTGTATGGGGTCCACTCTGACTCACGTCCGCCCACATATCCCTCCTTGTCTATGACCACGATATCACTGACCAGTCTGCCCTCCTCCACCCCGATCCTTTCCTCCATGACCCGCGCCGCCCGCCGGAGAAAGAAGGCAGCTGCGGACCCGCTAGCCCCCGCGCCGACAATCAAGACCCGTTTGGGCCGGAGCTGCGTTATTGCCGCATGATGTGGATCAGAGGGATACTGAAAGGTTGCATCGTTGAGGATGGCGGCGGTGGTGGCATCGAGATCTGAATGAGGAGGGGAGCGGAAAGGTCGGAGTAGGAACGCGAAGAGGAGTAGCGGGAGGATGGCGAGGGTCAGGCGTGTCCGGATAGGATAGGCTAGGAATGCCTGTAGAGGGGTAGCTATGGGCATAAGGGGCTGGTGAAGCTGAGGAAGGATGACAGAGATACAAGTGCGAAAGGACGAGCGCAGATGCGTCTGCTTTGGGAGCATCGTCGCCGGACCAGCTGTGCCTCTCGGATCCGGTGGAGGCCGAACTACCTGTCGTCCCGCATCTCTGTAGCTTGTCACTCGTCCTACTTTGCACGACTGATGGCCGCTGATGACATACTGAGATACGTGACATACATTGACAAGCCATGACTGATGTCGTCCCATACAAAATACAACAAGCAAAAGTCCTTGATTGAATAAGATGCCCGTCCCCAGACAGCCCCTCGTCAAACATCCCAACCTCAACCCTATGACAAGAAGAACGTCTCTGCTACATCCGCCTCCTCCTTGCTCTTGATTTGCGTCAAGCCAGCGGCGATACTGGCATTACTGTGGAGAGTGGGCTGGCATGATATTCGGTTGCTGGCGATACGGCGTTGTTGCGCCAAATAAGAGTCGTGGGATGTGGGAGGGGGCCGAGTGGTGTTTTTACGACTGACAGTCTGTTCTATCAGCCCTTACTCTGACTGATGTCGTTGAAAGACTTACATCTGATATGCCCATAACGCTCTTACGCCACTTGCTCTCCTTGCGCTCCAGTCCTGCTCCGGTCCCAATCGGCGCCTTCCTCGGCGGGCTGCTCCCCGCCAGTCTCATCCCATTCTTCTCGGGACTGCTCTCACCCTCACTGCTGCTCCTCCCGCCAGGAGAGTAACCCGAGAGCGAGGCCGCCGAGGTAGGGGTTTGGATGGTCGACTCGACACTGCTGCCGGTATCAAGCGACCGGCCGGGAGACGCGTCTCGCTGCCGAGCGGTAGATATGCTCAGAGGCTGGAGAGGGCGGACCTCATCCGCCTTCTCATCCGTTAATTCGTCGATCTCGAAGCCTTCCAAGGAGTGCATAGGGGCTTGGCGAGCCCGTCGGGCATCCCGATCGAAAGTGAGGGGAGGTGAGGTAAAGTCGATGAGGTCGCCTTCGGAGAGGTCAGGCGAAGGGGGAAGAGGGATGTTGACGGGGTCGACCTCCTCGGGGACGAGAGAGGGGAGAGGGGAGGAGCGGGAAGGCGCGGAGAGGGGTTGCGGACCGCGTATGGGTTCGCGCGTGTCTACGGTGGGACGGGTGGGCATGGAGTTTTGGCGCACGGCCGCGAGTCGAGTCGGAGCAGTGTACGACGATGGACCCGGTGCGGTCTCTTGGCGGGCGACAGGGGGACGAGTGGGGGCGGAAGAGGGTTTCGTGGAGGAGGATTGAAGCGCCGGAACGTTCTTGTCCTTGTTCTTTGGGCCCTTGCCCGTCAGGCGCCGAAGAAAGGCAGAGAAGGATCCGCCGGATTTGGCTTTAGCCGGTGGCGCAGACTTCTGGGTGATGGTCTGTGAGGAGGAGACAGGTGTTGGCGACGCCAGGACGAAAGGTGGTGGTCTACAATCAGCTTGCACCCATCTCTGACCATCAAGATGCTCACCTGGTATCCGTGTTTGACCTCTCCCTTCCCTTGCCCTTCTTCAGGTTCCCCATACTCTGCGTCCCCATCTTGCTCATCTTGCGCCTCGCCGCGTCCGCCTCAGCATACATATCCTCCATCTCGTGGTCTGTGAGTTCCTCCTCTGGACCATTATCGTCGACACCCGGGTGGTAGACCGGCGTCAACAGGTCCGTCATGGCCGATTCTGTAGATTGGGCGTTGGTCGATCCGGCAAAGTCTGATGAAGCGGCGGTACGAGAGGAGTGGGTGGAGGCGATGCGCTCCAGGCTTTGAGCCATAGTGATAGAAGGGGATACAGCGGTGGTCATGGTGACGATGTGGATGGGTAATGCTACGCGGTGTTGGTTCTCTCCGCCGCCAAGATGCCCCAGAGATCGATGGTACTGGCCTTAGCGCTACAGGTCAGCTGATGCCTTTCCCCACTCCGGCTGAGACAGCGGACGGAACATGTGGACCATGTCTTGCCTTTACCCCGCAAACAAAGGGGGTCGGGAGGTTTCAGAATTCGGGGTCGAGTGGAACTGAACTTACGGGTCGTGTGCGGATTGGATTAGGTGTCTGTGCTGAAGGTATAGTAGCGGTCGAGGTCACCAGATGAACGAATGTGAGCAGAAGGACGCGCTTTTTGACTGCGGAAGGGATGGCTCTACTGCAGACCGCTGGTGATAAAGCTGCGCCGGATCGAGAAGAACTATATCGCGCGAGCTGTCTGGAAATCCTCCGCGCGGCGAAGGCTGAGTGTTGCGAGTATGAGTTGGAGAGTAGAAGTTACAAGTCAAAGTCAGACGAGCAGAGTCGTACGCGCAGCATCATCGCTACGATACGACGCCCTTCTTCTCGGCTTCGCTTAACAGAGAACAGCGCCACGATAGTCACTCTGCAAACTTGCTTGTGGCTTTCGGGATGGCGGCCCACATGCCACAGCCAAACCGCCATCGCCGCAGTCGCAACAGTTGAAACTTTGGTGAAATGCCCGTAGCGGACGATCAGTTTGTACTCGTTAGCCCAGGAACCAGGGTCCGGGGGATTGAATCAGCCCGGCTGTTGGTGATTGCCGGAGCTTAAACGCAGCTTAAACTTTGGGGTCTCCGCACGGGGGCGTTTGTTTGGTTCCAAAATGTTCCCGACCCGGCCGAAAATAGCCGGTCCTTCCAAAGCTTCTCTCGATCGCTGCGATGTTGGGCGCGAGCGTCGGAAGAGATCTCCTCTTCGCAAGCTAAGCTCACAAAAGCCCACTCGCACATAGAGCGGCAGCTGTTCGATGTCCCCCTCCGAAGGCGGCCTGAATCCCCAGAAATCGACTGAGCTCCCTGCCCCGGCCCCTTTGCTACGGGTCTCGCCCGTATTGACGCTCCTGACACATGCGTACGCTGTACTGACTGGGACCTGCCTGACTGCCATGCAGGCTGCCCATTGGATGTTGAACTCGCGGGTCGCGCGATGTCTATACCACTGGAACCTACCCTATCAAGGTGACCTTGCACGGCTGACATACCGTCGACCGGCACGTCAGCATGCGAAGGCAGGCGGCGCCTTTGGCAAGGGCCTCACCCGTGACCGAGTAGCAAAGGAGGCGCTTTGGGCCCGATCACCGCCGAGCGGGGTCAGCTCGTCAGCGGGAGTCATCTGACCGCTTCCCATTGTCTGTCTCTAGCTGTCGACTGCCTACTCCTAGATCTACTCGCTACATCCCTTGATGTATCCTCATTGTTCACTCAACACAAAGGAAAGATTCGGGGTGATGGATCTGGATTGCCTCGGAGTGCTTGCGACAAAGGAGTTTGATGCTGACCCCTCTGAAAAGGTGCCGTTCTGTCCTATACAAGACAGGTATGGGAATCTGTGTTCTCCCGACTTCGTATCCAAGAGCTACCAAGTCAGTAACACCAAAACACTCAAGCATCATGCTCCTCTCACCCTCAAGCATCATGCTGGCACTCGCCTCTCTCCTACCCCACCTCGTCTCCGCCAAGCCCCTGTCTATGACTTGAAAAGTCAGATGGAGATGTCAGTCGGTGGGTCAGTAATCAGCGGGAGAACCTGAGGAGATGAAGTACCCCCCATATGCACATTATAAGACGTTACAAATCCGTACATACCAGGCGTAGCGTACAATCATAATTCGCCAAACGTCCCGCCGCCGAGTCGCTTAGTAAGCCACCAACATGCGCCGGCGAGTCCGATACCGGTAGCGATAGCTCGAATGACGATGGCTACGACGAGTGCTTGGCGGACTGCCGAGTAAAAGGTGGAAAGAGCGGCGCCAGACCAGTTCGTCCTGTCGATCAGCATCTCGACCACTATCAACCAGATGAAGACCAGACACTTACCGTCTATCCTGTGCCCTGACCGGCCCCCTCACACTCTGCTCCCAGCCCTTGACTACCTTCCTGTACCTCCTCCCAAACACCCATATCCAGAAATTGACGTCCGGGTAGGAGAACCGGGGAAAGACGGCCGTCACGCCTGGTCCCACGCCGCGCCGTCTCCGACCCTTCGCCATCCCCTTTGTATCCACTTTCCGCCCCAGACTACCTCTCCTGTCTAGTCCCGCACCTGATCCACCCATCCCAGGTGCCTTCTCCACCTGCATCAAGCCCGAGCTCTCCCCATTCGCCAATCCCGCGGCCTCCGCCCCAGCCACTGCTTTCCCCTTCTCCATGACTTTCCTCGCACTGTCCCACTCGGCGTCAAACGAGCTCGTGACCGTCACTGGTGTCTTTGGACCGAGGAGGCTCTGTTGTGGATCTTCCCGACGAGATGTATCGACCATGATTGGCTTGTCGAGCGCCGAAGGGAGGAATGCGAGTAGATCGAGCGTCATACCGAGCGATAGTCCCCAGAGACGAAGCATCCGCTTATTGCCACGCTTGTCGTACCAGCTACCAGAGCCACCTTCTGAGGGTCCCGAGACTTGGGCGGAGGGGTCGAAGCCTTCTGCAACGCAGTCAGGCTCGTCAGGGAGGAGGACACAGCCGAATCTGCTCATCAGCATTTGCCCATCGTGACGAGAGGAGGAAGTCTCACTCCATCTTCCCGACGAGTCCCCTCAGCGCCCATCGCACAAACTTGTTTCGAGGGCTCAGGCGGGTGGATATGTCGATCTCGATGTGGGACCATTGGCTTTGAGGGTAGGGCGGGGTGAGTGAGGGTAAGGGGATCCAGTGGACGGACGAGACTTCGCTCTACTATCAGCTGCAATCAGTACAGTCACGTACTGCTTGTAATTCTGGTGCTGGAGTGAAAGGCGATGTTTGCAGGAAGACTGCTAGTCAGCTCGGACATCAGGAAAGCATTGAAGCTGACTTACCGAAAGGCGACAAGATCATCAACAGTCTCTTCCCGAGACTTGTCGTAATTTCCCGCTCATCCAGCCTCCCAACTTGCACGAAATCCTTATCCGCCAAATCCAGCCCCACCTCCTCCCACGTCTCTCTCAAGGCCGTATACAGCGCGCTCTCATCCGTCGGCTCATGCCTCCCTCCCGGGAAAGCGATATGTGACGCCCATCGCTTGCCTCCGCTCCCTGTATGTCCAGCTCGGCGGATGAAGAGCAATTCTGGGACCGTGAGGGGATGATTGACCCATGGGAGCTTAAAGAAGTCGTCTATGGTGTACCCGACGCCGAAATCGTCCTCTGCGATAAGGTCCCCGGTGTAGCCAGGTGGGGCATGGCCTTCGAAGACGAGTCCAGGGGCCGGCTTCATGCGGACAATAAGAGCCACAGATGCTCGGCGGGGCTGGGTAGGTGGAGATTGGATAAGCCGAGGAGCGGTATGGCGGAGGGACATGAGGAGGGAGTGAACATTCTCCGCAGGTGCGGATTGGGGCGATTCTGCGAGATGTCAGATGGGGGTCGTGTGCACTGATCGGGAGGAACTGGAGGAGCTCACCGGACATGATGTGCGGACCAGCAGAGGGCGAGTGGCAAGATGTTATATAGTAGGCTGGCCGTCCAAACTATCGCTCGTGAGGCTTTATTAAAGCTGTATCGTGTGGCAGGATCGGTGACCTCGCCAAGGACCGAGGGTGAGGCGAAGAGAAAGGATTTGGACTGGTGGAACGCTGATGGCTCGTCGGGTGTGGTGTTGAAAGTGAGATTGCCGGAAGTTTGAAGCAGCTGAGTGCGCCTTGTTGAGAAGCTCTAGTCTCCCTCTCCCTATTGTCTCACTGATAGCAAAGTGACTTGGAGACAAGATGTATCAGAGGAATGCAGCTTCAAAATCCTTGGGGATGTGGGGAACAGAGATCTCGCCGATAGCCGAGACCTGGAGTTCTCCTTACAACTCCGTTTCCCCTTTGTTCCTGAGCACGCCATCGATTTTCCCCCCAGCAATTGCACATCCTACTCGCTATCTAATCGATAAGAAAGCCTCACGATGACCACCGCATCTCCTGCCCCTCGCAACCCAAACAGACTCTCCCTGCAACCTCCGGCAGGTCTACCTGCGCTTCCCGCATCCCCTTCGCCGCTCTCCTCGGCGCGCTCAGCGACATTCCCGCGCCCTATCAACCAGACTCGACCGGGAATCGCGTTCGACCTCCCGGACTCGGACCCCAACGAGGCGTCTACCAGGGGTACCGAGAACTCAGAGTACACCCTGATCGGCTGCCTCGCTGGTCTGTCTATCTCTACACTCCCATCCCTATCGTCCCTGGATGGCGAGAGCGGTAAAGGACCCGTCATCTCGCGGTTCCCTCATCCTGCTCCGGCAGCCCCCTCGTCTCTCCTGGGGACTCGAGAGGAACAACGCAGGATCTACCTCGGCCCCAAGCTCTCAGACCGCGCCACGGGTGGTCCTGATGCTGGTCCGCTCATCGAGCGCTTCAGCTGCCTGTTCAAGGACCGTGTGTACCCTTCTCCTTTCTCGGCCGGGACTTGCCGACTGATGAAACAGAGTATAATTGCGCAACGAACCCCAAAGGGATTGTGTCCATGGGTGTGGCGGAGAACTTCTTGATGGAGAAAGAGTGCATCGAGGTGTGTTCTCTCTCCCTCTGGTTAGGATATACAGGCTGATAGGCTGTATAGCTGTTCTCGAAGGCATTGGCGAAGAACCTGCTCGCTTCGGACCTGTCTTACGGGAATGACCTGTGGGGCAGTCGACGGATCAAGTCCGCCCTTGCAGGCTTCTACAACGAGTAAGCTTACCCGATTAAGCCCTTCGGTAACAAGCTCACCGAAGTAGCTGGTTCGATCCTGCAGAGCCCATCCAGCCGGACCATATGATCACAGGTGAGTCGGGTTCCGCTGATCATGGCATGGACTGAGCTGATCAGATAGGCAATGGCTGCTCGGCTGTGTTGGACCAGCTCTTCTATACCTTGATGGACGAGGGTGAAGCCATCCTCATTGCTGCTCCCTAGTGAGCTCCACTCATGCCGTTCTTGACAGACAATCGCTGACAGGCCAGCTATACAGGCTTCGACCGAGACCTCATCGGCCGCGCTCGAGTCCGTATCGTCCCTGTCCACATCCCCGATGATCTTGACCCATGCGGCCCAGAATCGCTGGAAGCTTTCGAGACCCAGCTACAGCAGCTCAAAAGCGAAGGTATCGTCACTCGCGCGGTCGTACGTCCTTACCCAGCTCACCGGCCTGCTTCAAGCTGACTCATAGATCCTCTGCAACCCTCAGAACCCCCTGGGCAGGACATACCCCCGCTCCACCCTCCTGGCATACGCCAAGTTCTGCGAAGAGCAGGATCTCCACCTTGTCTCGGACGAGATCTACGCGTTGAGTGTGTATGATACGCCGGACTGGAAGGAGGCGGTGCCGTTTACGAGTATGATGAGTGTGGATGTGGAGAAGGAGTTGGGGATGGACTTTGATCGGGCTAGGGTGCATGGTGAGCTTGCATGACTTGGTCTGAATGTACCGTGTGTATGTGAGCTGACGTACTAGTGGTGTACGGGATGTCGAAAGAGTAGGCTCCTATTACAATCTAGTCAAGACGAACTCAGCTCACCTACCAGCTTTTGTGCGAACGGTCTCCGGGTCGGCTCGCTCATTTCGCAGCACAATCCACTGCTCTTACGTGCCATGGCCAACATCTCCATGCTGATGAAGAGTGAGCCCGCTCCCGCTCAGATGCCGCCAGGCTCAAAGAATCAGCTAACATCTCAGTCTCCTCGCCAGCAGACATCATCTGGTCTTCTCTGCTTACCGACTCCACGGCCCTGACAGCCTTCATCTCGGAGAACCGCCGCCGCCTGGCCGAAGCCCACGCACTCACCCGAGGATGGTTCACCGCTCGAGGTGTGCCTGTTGCTAACAGTAACGCGGGGCACTTTATCTGGGTCAATCTCGGCGGGAAGCTCGGATTTGAGGAGGGAGAAGCGGGCGTGAAGGAGGAGAAGAAGGTGTTCCAGGAGCTCCTGGATGGCGGGGTGTATATCGTGAGCTTCTACTGTCTGATTGAAGCAGGGAGCAGGATTGATACAGCAGGCGCCTGGGACAGCTTATCACTACGACAAGCCGGGATGGTACCGTGTGACCTTCAGTATTGCACGTGACAATCTGCTCGTAAGCCGCTTCGACTCTCCTTCACTTGCTGAATCCAAGCTGAAGAGGCAGGTCGGCTTGGGCAAGATTGAGAGAATCTTGGACTTGACGGTGACTGCCTAGATACACAGAGATCTACTGCGGATCGTACCATCTCAAGGGGATGTGCTCGAGGCGTATATTGTGATCGGAGCTCGAGTGACAGGCGTTGCATTATAGTGTACGAGTATTATTTCTAGCTGCTTATCTACCTTCTATCCAAACCTATGTACCATTTCTTTCCCACAAGACCGAAAACTGCAAGCTCACCCCCGTCTCCACCACCTCGATTTCTTCCCCTCCTTGACACTCCCTTCCATTACACCCGCCTCCCCATTAATCGATTCAACAGGTAGACCTCGACGCACAGTAGCATTCGCCCGGATTGTACTTCCGCCTCTGACCGTACCTCCTCCGTCCGTCGTCCCCGTCATCCGACTCCCCGTCATCCTGCTCGAGCGCTTGGTCAACTTGTTTCGCTCGCTCGTACCGCCCCTCCCCCCGTTCTCTTCTCGACCCACCGTCGGCTCCAGCTCCACAATGTCCTTCATCTCCCCCTCTCCGTCCCGCTGGCTCAGAGGGGTCAGGACGAGATACTCCCTCCCTGCCACCCGACTCCCGTCCACTTCATTCTCATACCCATACCTAATAGCGGAGGTCCTCTGTCCCTGCGTAGATGCAGACCGGAGCAACAGCCCCGCCTCTTCCCTCTCCATACTGTCCCGCCATACCGCCTCTGCCTCATGGATCGAGTCCCAGCCGCGCTCACCCAGATGCTCGACCCGCTGAAACCACTGAGGCGGGAGACTCTCGGACTTGCGCCGCCGTTCTTCCTGCTTGGAGCGGGAGAGGTCTTCGTCGAGGACTTGCTGCTCTAGCGGGACCGGGAGAGTAGGGCCAATGGGAATCGGGGCCGAGCTAGGAAAAGGCAGCGAGCGTGACGTAGCGGGGTTACGTAGTTGCGTAGGAGGCGAAGTAGGGAGGGGATGCGATGGGATCGGGATACTGGCGTGAGGGTGAAGATGGGCGTCGTACGCGTCCCGCCGTGGTGGAAGACGAGTGAAGGCATCCTGCAGACCCTCCGCGTCTAAGCCGGGCATCCCGTCGTACCGCCCACTCATACTCGGAACTCGCATCCGACGACCCATATCCGGGTCTTCAGGCCCGGCGCCATTATGCTTCCCCGCCATAGACATCAACAACCTTCCCCAGTCGAGCGACTCCTGGGCTAGGCGGTGAAACTCCTCGCCCATCCCGTTTGCTTGAGCCGAGTGGCGCATCAGACTTGTGGCATGCGACGAGAAGAGATGGGAGGCGATGAGGAGGGGAAGGTCAGCTGTGCTGTGACCGTGCCCATGACCATGGCCATGCCCGCTGGAGGAGAGTGGAGGTGAGAGTGAGGGCGGCAGGGGAGGCAGACCGGCTGGTGAGGCTTGAGGAGGGCCGTAGAACGATACGGGGCGAGCACGGGTCCATTCGGGTACTTGGGGCGGACGAGCGTTTGGCTGGTCTGGTCGCGGCGATGGGGAGCGCGCGATGCGTGGTAGTGGCGCGATAGGCTGGTGAGGACCGAGGGAGAGAGGTGCAGTAGGTAGCTTCCGCCTCGTAATAGTGGCTGGAGGATCCCGACGGGCCTGTTCCAGCTTGACCGCCGTTCGGTCCTGCTCCTCTTGGCCAGCTTCGCTGACCTGCACTTTGACCCTAGCCCCGCCGGCCAGGTCGTGCTTATCACCTTCACCGCATACCTCCCTCGCACCGAGGTACGATGACCTCGCCACGTCTGCTGTCCTCCCGCCCAGCGCCTCACCGGAGGTTTCCTGCTGTCTCTGAATTCGCGTATGAGCCTCATGTACCGCCTCCGAGCTCATCTGCGCCGCCCGAAGCCGCTTGGGATGGGGATGAGGGGGCGTCACGGCCGATACGTCCGGATCGGTCGAATGGACCAGGCCTGGCGTCCGAATGTCAGGATCGGGGCTGTGGGCGCTACCGGGACTGGCGGCGAGGGGACTACTTTGTCCCTCCGTAGATTCGGTCGGACTGATGTCAGGCTGGCCGCGTAGCAGTGTGGAAGCGTCGTGGCCCGGGGTGAGCGAAAGCGGGTGGAGGCGATCGAGACGTTCGGAAATGGCAGCGGGGTAATGGTGATCGGTATTGCTATGACCAGTATGTGATCTCTCCGAGATAGGGGGAAGCCCATCGCTTCTCCGAAGAGCGGCGTCGAAGATGAGGTCCTCGGCACTGTCCAGTGCGTTGGGCGAGTACAGATCGCGCTGTCTATCCGGGGAGAATGTCCTCGCCGTCCCCGTTGTGATGTCTGTTCTGAGCGAGCCGGACCGCTGGCGATTCGCGTCATCCCGCGTGGTACCGAGAGGCTGACCGAGAGGGACGACCCGCTCCGCCTCCATCACAGGACCGCCGCTCGACCAGCGCCTAAGACCCAGCCCCAGCATCCTGGGCGACTCCAGCGCCTCCTCACCCTCTTCCTGCCGGTGGAATACGCCCGAGTCGTCATCCCTAACCCCGAACGTCCCGCTTTTTCGTACGGTAGCTTCCAACAGACTCAAGCCGCCCCCTCCTTCCCCATCCGCCACATGCAGACCATCCGATACAGGAGCAGGTATCGACTTGCGACTCCGCTGGCTGAAGTTGACCCTCCCCTTACTTTCCGCCCGGACAGACTTGGGCTTGCTTTTGGCCAGCGTAGACCGCTGTCGCGCTGCCGCCTCGCCACGGAGTTTCGAGTGGGTATGCTCGTCCCCGAGTGCTATGGACTCACGTTTCCGCTCCGAGGGCGCATCGGAGAAGAGCGAAAAGATGACGTTGGGGATGATCCGGGAAGTGCGCTTTTTGGTGGATGGGGCGGTCTTGTTGCGGGTGAGTGATCGGGTGGGGGAGGTGGAGACCGGCGGTGCTGGCGAGGAAGGTTTTGTGGGGGAGTGGGACTGGAGGGAGGCGGTGGTTGAGGGGGGACTGAGCTCGAGGGCGTCCTGCATTGAGATTCCCTGAAGTGTCAGCTTGTGCAGACGACCTGAAGCGCTGGACACTGAGCTCACTCTGCGCGGGACCGGCACTGCTCCTTCGGTGACGGGTCTCCCCTCTCCCCATCCGTGATCGACATCGCTCACCGCAGCAGAAGTGACAGCTCGACCGGCCTTGTCTGCGCCCTTTCCAGACTTGTCTCCCCGGATACTGCCCGGACGGCTGACGGGCCTGCTCGCCGGTGGAGACTTGAACAGCTTGCTAGAGGGTCTCGACTTGAGAGGGGGCGGGATCGGCGATTTCTCTGTTGGGTAAGAATCGGCGAACGTGGGGATGTTGTGCAGGGTTGGATGTGCCGGATCGTGGAAGAATGAGTTTGGGCGAGACCTTGGCGGTGTTGGAGCGTTCTGATTATCAGCTATGTTCTCCGCCTCGCGGAAGGAGCGACTGACCTCCCTGAACCGCTTCATCTGCATGTCCTGCTCCTCCATGATACCCTTCAGCGCCACCTGGACCTTCTCCACCCCTTCTCGTCCAAAATCATCCGAGACGCCCCGCTCGCCCGCTCCGAGACCAGCCAGCCCCGCCGTCGTCGCGGTGGCGACACTCCGAGCGTCAAAGTCCGCCTCGTCGTCTGTTTCGTCTAGATTGACAGGCTCCCTTCCGCCAGGATACGAGTCGACGTGTGATTGGCGTCGGCGGGAGGGTGGGGGTGCTCCGATGGGCTGACTGAGTGTGGGGATGGGAACGCGGTTGGTGTAGGACTGGGCAGAGTCGCGCTTGCCTCGCGGAGGAGGTAAAAGCCCGCCAGGGAGCGCAACTTCCATCCTGCTCTGCGACGTGGGCGTGGACGGGAGGGAGCCCCGAGGCGTACGGCTAGGCGATGGCGACGTAGAGAAGGCCTCTGACGACGGTCGAGCAGCCAGGAGTCCGGCGGGCTGACTGCCATCCTCGCCATGGCGACCATCTCCTATGGTGGTCCGTGCGGTGATCGTCTCGCCTGACGATACCTGCGAGTAGAGACTCCCTTCGTCGTTGTCTTGCTCCCGCTCGGACTCGTATGAGATCTCGCGGATAGGCTGGGACCGCAGAGGTACCGTAGGCGAGGAGGGCATGGAGCGGCGAGAGGAGAAGGAGGAGCGTTCCGTGATGGGCGAAAGCGGCCGGTCTACCATATCGAGTCGGTCCATCGTGTGGGTACTACTGAAGGAGAAAGTCCAGTGTCATACCTTGGAGCAGGCCTTATAGGTTGAGGTCGATGAGAGAAAAGTTGGTCGAGTTGGTCATGGCTCGACGTCACCACTCCCCTGATTGACGGAGTGAAGTGAGGGTGAAACGAGCGGGGACCGGGAGACGAGGAGATGAAACCGTATCTCGATTTAGGCTCGGACCTGTCTGTACCGCCCACCTCCCCATCTCCCCAACCAAAGCGGGGCGACCTCCCCTTGACCACGGGACAGCGGGAGAGCGCGGTATCCTTCCGACGCGGCTGTATATCTACGTCAGCAGCTCGCATGGGAAAGGATCGGCGCCGTAAGGCGGAGATGGGCAGGGGTTGCATGCGGGAGCGAGGTTCTCGAGGACGGTTGATAGTCTAGGCTGGCGGACGATTGGGTCTGTTGACCTGGCTCAATTCGTGAGAGCGACCGGGACTGTACAGTAACGTCTCTGCCTTTGTCCGCTGGCTCTCTGCCTGCAGCGAGTGATAGACACTGCGTGAAGAGCCCGTATATGGCTGCTGCAGCATGTGGCTGCCCAGCTGCTGACCGTCCCGCCGGGAGAAACGCGTTTCAGAACGCACGGACATGCCTAAAATTGCTCCAAGCGGCAAATTCCAGGTGACGGAATCTAATTTGGCGAGCCTTTCAAACATGCTACCCTGAGCTCAACGTTGACTTCTCCTTTCGCACTGACAACTCTCAAAATCACCCAATCCTACCTCCACCTCCCCTCATACCTCCCCATCCAGCCTCGACGCGACTGTCCTTGCGACCCGGCAGCTGTTTCACTCGGCTTATCGATAACGGGAGGGCGCTGCGACTTTCTGCGCTGCTTGTACGCGGCAAAGCCCCCCACGTCAAATCGCACCTTCTTTCGACGCGCCTGAGGTAGTGCATACAGTACAATGTCCGCACCGCAGCTACCCAGCCCGGAAATGCTATCGAGCATCCTCTCCGCAGCTGGCGCTCCGTCAGCACCGCCTGCTGTCCAGCCGCTCGCGTCGGTCGAAGCGGTTCCCGCCACCGCTCCTGCTGTGCCATCAGCCCCGGCTGTTGCGGGTCCATCAAATCCAGCCCTCAATGGGAACCCAGCTGTCCCTCAGGGAGTGCCCCAAGCAGTGGATGAGGAGCGAAAGATGGACATGATCAGGGGCATGGATCCGGCCAAGCTGCAAGGTATACGCAAAGTAAGTTCAGTGGCTGCTTACGGTTTTGCAATCCAGGCTATAGCTCACTTTCTAGCGAATCAGCGACTTGTCAAACCAGGGTCTGACCAGGGAAACCTCGTCCGAGCTTTTCAAGCTGAGCATGATCATGGACTTGTACAACAAGGCCAAGGCGACCCAGTAAGTCTTACTCGGATACAAGACAACGCAGGAACTGATCTCATAGTGATGCCAAAATTGCCGCTGAAGCTACTGCCAGTCCCTCGATTCCCGCTGCAGTGCCAATTCCAGCGCCAGCTCAAGCCGGCCCATCAAGCGCACCCGCGCCGTCCAACCCACCGGCACCCTCCGGCTCTTCCGCCCAGGCGGCGATGTCACCCGCTCAGATTGCCCAGGTCCGAGCCCAGACGCAAGCGTTCCACCACGTCGAGCACAACCAGCCTATCCCTTCCTACCTCCTCGCAGCCGCTCAGGGCCGCCCTCCACCCGGCGTCGCTGGCGCGCCCAACGATAACCCCCTCGGTACGGGCTTAGCCGCCACAATCACCGAAAAGACTGTCGATGCTGCGGTGCTGCAATCCCTCGAACAGCCGGGAAAGAAGGCGGATAAGATGGAGGTGGACGGAGAAGGGTCGGACGGGGAGAAGATTGTCACTCCTCCTTCTGGCCCTATATACGCCATGGAGTTTGACGAGAAATCCATCATCTACCCCTACAATGCCTATACCCACCCCTCGACCTTTGCGGACCGGAAATTCGACGACGAAATCTCCAACCCCATCAACAAGCTTCAGCGGATGATGGTGCCCAGCGTGATGCCCAAGGGGCTCGACCCGTACCTGCTCATGGAGGAGCGAAAGCGGTATGTCGAGACGAGGATGGGATGGCGGATGAAGGAGCTGGAAGAGATGGGCGCGGCAGAGGGGGTGGAAGAAGGCGGAAAGGACGTGCCGGGGATTACGGACGATAAGGCCGAGACGTCCATGGGGATCCAGGCGAGGATTGAGCTCCTCAGTTTAAGGCTGCTGGGCAAGCAGCGGCTGCTCAGGGAGGATGTCGTTCGGGCCATGCACCACGCGACGGCCGTCCCCGCCGACCGGTCTCAATTCCGCCGTTTCCGGACTCACGCGCTTCGGGATGCCCGCGCTACCGAGTCGGCCGAGCGGCGCCAGCGGAGCGAGCGGGAACAGCGGGGTAAGCAGCGGCACCTCGCGTATATCGGCTCTATCTGCGATCACGGTCGCGCTATCGTCGACGCCGGCACTAGCACTCCCAGGGGCTCTACCGGCGACAAGATGCGCCGACTCGGACGGGCGATGCTCAAGATGCACTCGGACACGGAGAAGGAGGAACAGCGTCGCCTTGAGAAGCTCGCCAAGGACCGTCTCAAGGCGCTCAAGGCCGATGACGAGGATGCGTATCTTGCCCTCCTCGGCGAAGCCAAGGACTCGCGTATCGGCCATCTGCTGCGCCAGACAGACTCGTACCTCGAGACTCTGGCCAATGCGGTGCGAGAGCAACAAAACGACGATGTACACCGGGACCAAATGACGATGGATCACTTTGAGGTGGAGGATGGACCGGCGAGCGAGGCCATGTTTGGTGCGCGGCGGCAGGATGGCGAGGAGGAGGGCGTGGAGAGGAAGGAGGGCAAGGTGGACTACTATGCGGTGGCGCACAAGCTGCAGGAGAAGGTCACGGGCCAGGCGCAGATGTTGACGGGTGGGACGTTGAAGGATTATCAGGTCAAGGGGTTGCAGTGGATGATCAGTCTGTACAATAACAGGCTGAACGGTATCCTTGCCGACGAAATGGTGAGCTTTGTTGCATTGAACCTGTAGAACAAGACAGCTGACATTATAGGGTCTCGGTAAAACCATCCAAACCATCTCCCTCCTCTGCTACCTTATCGAAAAGAAACGCCAACCCGGTCCCTTCATCGTCATTGTCCCCCTCTCGACACTCACCAACTGGCAGATGGAGTTTGAGCGCTGGGCACCTACCATCAGCCTCGTCATCCTCAAGGGCTCGCCTATTGCTCGAAAGGAGGCCTATCCCCGGCTCCGGGCCATGGACTTCCAAGTCTGCCTCACTACCTACGAATACGTCATCAAGGAGCGACCACTCCTTAGCAAGATCAAGTGGATCCACATGATTATCGACGAGGGTCACCGGATGAAGAATGTCAAGAGTAAACTCAGTCAGACGCTGAATGAGTATTACTCGACGCGGTACCGGATCATCTTGACTGGTACACCTCTCCAGGTAAGCTTATCGCTTCGCGACGGCTTTCGGTGTCTTTAGCCAAGCTGACTTTCTAGAACAACCTCCCCGAACTTTGGGCGCTGCTCAATTTCGTCCTCCCCAAAATCTTCAACTCTGTCAAGTCATTCGACGAGTGGTTCTCCGCGCCCTTCGCCAATACCTCTGGCGAGAAGCTCGACCTGAACGAAGAAGAACAGCTCCTCGTCGTCAAGCGTCTTCACAAGGTCCTTCGCCCTTTCCTCCTCCGTCGATTGAAGAAGGATGTCGAGAGTGAATTGCCCGACAAGGTTGAGCGCGTCATCTATACCAAGATGTCGGGGTTGCAATGGGTGCTGTACGAGAATGTCAAGAAGTACAAGATGCTTCCGAACGATACGTCCGGCGGGTGAGTTGAGGAGTGCCCGTAAGAAGGGTCGCCAAGCTGACAAGGACAGGCGGAAGCGAAAGAATAACCTTCAAAACGCCCTGATGCAGCTTCGAAAGATCTGTAATCACCCTTTCGTATTCCCCGAGGTAGACGACGATTTCTCGACGGGAACTGCGGTGGACGAGCAGATCGTACGAGTTAGCGGGAAGTTTGAACTCCTGGATCGGATCCTCCCCAAGCTGTTTGCGACCGGCCACAAGGTGAGCTTCCGGCATCGTTGTTAACGGACAGACCGCAAGCTGACTCTGATAGGTCCTCATCTTCTTCCAGATGACCGAGATCATGACTATCATTGCCGACTTTTTCGACTACCGCGGGTGGAAATACTGCCGATTGGACGGTTCGACCAAGGCGGACGACCGGCAGACGCTGCTTAGTACCTTTAACGACCCGAACAGTCCTTACCAGGTTTTCATCCTGAGTACAAGGGCGGGTGGTTTGGGTTTGAACTTGCAGAGTGCGGACACTGTCATCATGTGAGCTGGACCATTCGCATCTTGGAAGCCTGGACCTGCAGCTGATATGTAGCTATGATACGGATTGGAACCCCCACGCCGATCTTCAGGCTCAGGATCGGTGAGTCCTGCACAACACCAAAAGACATGATGTCAGCTGACTTTCAGTGCTCATCGTATTGGTCAGAAGAAGGAAGTCCGGGTGCTCCGACTCATTTCTTCGAAGACGGTCGAGGAGCTCGTTCTGGAGCGAGCGCAGAAGAAGCTCGAGCTGGACGGCAAGGTCATTCAAGCTGGAAAGTTCGACGAGGTCACCACTGGTCCGGAGTATGAGGCCATGCTAGTCAGTTACCGTGATGTGTTGTGTATAGAGCACGTGGACCGAGCTGATCATGTCAGGCCAAAGTTTTCGAAAGCAACCCCGATGAAGACACCGAGGAGACCAACGAGCTGGACGACGACGAGCTGAACGAGCTTCTCGCTCGGGGCGACCACGAGCTGGAGATCTTTGGCAACATGGACAAGGAGCGTAAAGCCGCCAAGCTCGCCGACTGGAAAGCCTCGGGCAACGCCGGACCGGCCCCTCCGCCGCTCATGGAGCACATGGAGCTCAACGAGCAATACCGCCGCGATCTCGGAGCCGAGCTTGCTGCTGCCGCCGTCGTCAATCCCGACGATGAGGGTCGGGGTAGGCGGACCAAGACGGAAGTCAAGTACTCTGACGGGTTGACGGACGAGCAGTGGGCGAACGCGGTCGATGCGTCGGATGATGATGTCGACGAAGCGGTCCAGAGGAAGCGGAGCCGGATTCAGGCAAGGAGGGAGCGGTTGGCTATGGGTGCAGCGGCGGAGGAGGCCGAGGCGGATGGCAAGCCGTTCGCGGCCAGTGGGATCAAGATGAAGGGGCTGCTGGGTGCTAATGCGGGTGCGGGGACGGATGTAGAGGGGCCAGAGACGCCGACCGGGAGTAGGGCGGGTAAGGGCAAGAAAAGGGCGAGGCCGAGTGAGAGCGCGACTCCCAGTGTACAGGGCGATGATGCGTCAGGGGTGAGTTTGCGCTTGCGGATAGTTTGGGACTATGCTGATGACCCTTAGCAGAAGAAGCGCAAAACTGGGTCTTTGTCGAACCAGGAGGAAATTGCGCTCATGCGTCGGTTGTACGACCAGACGAACGCTCAAAAGTCGGAGGTGGGCGAGGATCTCAACCAGTACTTTATCAAGCCTGTCGACAAGAAGGTGAGTTAATTTGTTCCCTGACAAGTCCAAAGCCAAAGCTGACACAACAGCTCTATCCCGACTACTACCAACTCATTGCTCAACCGATCTGCATGAACCAAATCAAGCGCAAGCTGGGCACACCGTCCTACTCGCTCCAGAACTTCCGGAACGACATGCACGTCCTCTTCAACAATGCCCGGCAGTATAATACCGAGGGGTCCTGGGTGTTTGACGCGGCGGACAGTATGCAGGCGTTCTTTGACAAGATGTGGGATGAGGAGTATCCCCGCTTGTCGAGCAGCGGGGGTGGTGGCGGCGGAGGCATAGGGGGAGGGAGTGGACCCAGTCACAGGGGTCTACAGGAAGATGGGGGAGTGAGCGGCTCGTCGACACCTATACATCAGCAGGGGACGCCGGCGGGGACGAAAATCAAGCTCAACCTCGGAGCGAGTAAGCGCAGGGAACCGATCGCGAGCGCGCCGACTCCGGTGGCCAAGTCGGAAGAGAGCGACAGCGATATGGACGATGATTATTAGAAAGAAGAAGGGGGAATTTTAGGTTGCGAGGGGCAGTGTCAGTGTAGATGATGACTAGTAGTGTCTGTGTAGTAAACGTATTCTGGGTTATGCTCAATGTATTCTGTGCTCTAGACCTCCGCCGCGCAGCGCTGTCAAGAATCCACGGAGTTGACTAGGCTGATGACGGCGACACTGCATGCATCTCAATTGCTTCTTCTACTCTCTACGACACCTCAACATATCGGGGTCCGATAAGACGTCTAGCCAAGGAAGGTCTTGACGCGCTCGTCGAGGTCCTGGAACTCCTTGGGGTGGGCGGGGTTTCCGGGGGGTCCAGCAGGGGTACCGAACGGCATCATGGCGGTGCACTGGGGGTCAGCGTCATTCTCACTGCAGCTCAGTATTGGTAAGAGGGACTTACCTTCCAGTTGGAAGGGAGCTGGAAGGCCGAGGTGACCTCGCCCTGAGCCTCCTTGAAGAGGGTGGCGTAGTGCTGGAGGGTGGCACCGAGACCGTTGGCGCAAAGCGCGGTCCAGACGGTGTAGTGGAGAATACCGGCGGCATCCTCGGACCAGATCTTGAAGCCCTGCATTTGTCAGCCTCTGTCGCGAAGAAGGTCGGTGAGTAGTCGAAAAGAAAGCGGGACTGACCTCCTCAAACATGGGCATCTGCTTGGACCAGTTGTTGACGACGTCCTGGTCCTCGAAGAACACGACGGTTCCGTAGCCGGCCTTGAAGCAACCTTCGATCTTGCCGCGGCCGGCCTGCTTCTGGCCTGTGGGGTCAGCTCATGAGCTACTTCGTCAAGGTACAAAGCATGTCCTCCTTTCTGGCCTCGCCGTCATCGCTTTGACACCTCTCTTGCAACCTTCTCATCCATGCTCCTGACCGCTGTACCCGCAGGCGGTAGAGACTAGAATGAAACTCACCCTCATCCTCGGTGTTCTTGTCCGAAAGCTCAGCGATCTTCTCCCAAAGCAACTCGTGGTGCTTGCCCGTCAACAGCACCGCCCGCGAAGATTGCATGTTGAAGGACGTAGGCGAGTGCTTGACGCATCGCTTAACGATCGCCTCAAGCTCGGCGTCAGAGATGGGGCACTCCTTTTTGATGCCGTAGTAAGAGCGGCGGTTCTGGCATGTCAGCTTCCACGTCGAGGGTCAAAGGACGGGACGAGAGCGGTAAGGCCTTGAGGTGGGCAACTCGTGAAGGAGGCAGCTCACCTCCATGGCGGCGAAGAAGCCATCGGACAAGTTTTGGCCAGACATTCTGAGTGATTGATTTCTTTGTTGGGTTGAGAAGAGCTGAAGAGAGATCAAAGGTATGAAGACAAGAGCTTAGATAGACGAGGTTGTGAGGTATTTAAGATGTCGCAGTGACGCCGGTCGCTGATCTCAGCTTGGATTCAGGGTCCACCTTGCTAATCAGCCCGGCTAGTTCCGTCGGAAGGCTTGCTTGATCAGATTGCCGCGGCTAAACGCAAGGCTAAACCCAGAAGCTTCAGCTTCAGCTTGATAATCCGCTGATACATCGCTACAATACAGAACATCCCAACGGATAGCCCAAAGCACCAGCTTCCAACGGATACCGACCCACCAGCATGAGCGCTGACCCAGCCTACATGGACCAGACTTTGGCACACCCATCTCTGCCCCCGCTGACGAGATACCGGTCGATAAAGCGCAACTTCTCGGCTGGTTTCGTATGGCCATTGACGATGAGCCTGGTGTGTGCGTGTGTCGTCCTATTGTATACCTATGATGTATCAGCTATCATCTCGGGCTACAGAGATGAGTCGATCAGCTCACCTCGACGCCGTTCTCGCCTGTACACGCGACGACTTTGCGGCTGTCGAATTGCAGCGCTGTAACGGGGTACTCGTACCGGTGCGTCTCGGCCACTGCACCTTGCCGTATATCCCATATCTGCCGAGGGTCAGCTAATCGTTCTTGAGAAAGGACAGGACGTATAAGCTTACTCTGATGGTCTTGTCCAGTGATCCGGTAACGACGTGGTTCTCGTCGAATTGGAGGCAAGTGACCGGAGCAGTATGACCGACGAGGGTGCGATGTGCTTGTCCTGTCCGCACTGTCCCTGTCAGCTGCTACTCTCGGGGGCGCGGAGGGATCGAACAACTCACAGTCCCACATCCGCACCCCTCCATCTCCACTCCCACTCGCCAGCGCATACCCCCAGAACTGCAACCCGCCCACAAAGTCCTGATACATCTCCCACGTTCCATCCGCATAGGGCGGGGTAGGCACCGCAAACTGCGCGCTCGTCGCCGCAGCCAAAAGCTGCGCGCCCGACATGCCGGCGCCCATGAGCCCAGTACCGGGCCCCGGGGACGGGAGGAGGTCGTCATAGTGATTTGAGCCAAATGAGGTGGAGGAGCGATGTCGGAGTGCAGGTTTGCGGCGGGAGGACGAGGAGGGCGCAGACGGGGCTTGTGGAGGGGGGTTGGAGATTGCCCAGAGAATGTCCATGGTCAGGACGCATTGACCGGTGGTGACGTCCCATTTACGGATCGTCTTGTCGCTGGAACCGGTGACCTGGACTATCAGCTTACTTTCAAGGGCAATCGGCTAGAAGGAAGCTCACCAAGACATTGTCCTCGTAATACAGCGACGTGACGGCCTTACTATGCCCCTCCAAGACCCTCACACACGGCCCATTATCCTCCTCCAGCCTGCTCATCGCCGTATGGTCCGTATACCCGCTCGGTCCCTCATCCCAGTCGAATCCTTCCCCATCATCATGCTCCGCAATCCGATCCAAGACATTCCTCTCATCCTCATGCTGCGTCATCTTTTGGAGTCGATCCTCGAAGTCGTCGACTAGTCGGAGATCCCAAAGACGGACTGCGCCATCTGCGCCTCCGGTCAGACAGAGGGTATCTTCCACTTGCAAGGCTTTGACCATTCCTGCCTGGTCAGCGCGGGACAGTGATGACCAAACGTAGATGACATACCATTGTGCCCTCGCAATTGGCCTATCTCCTCCCCATCACATAGGTCCCACACCTTCACAACATCGTCCTGCCCCGCAGTGACCAGCATCCCATACGGCTCGTCAAAGTCCAGCGCCGTGATTGGGCCCGTATGCCCCATCAGTGTCTGCCCATCAGCTCTTGGTCCGCATCCTGGGTGAACACATAAGCTCACCATGAAGGCCACACCAGACGGCAAATCGTCATGCTCGCTAGGCAAGAACGCCGGCCCTCTTCTCCGCCTCGAGCTCTTCGTACTCAGCCCACTCGCAGAATTCGGCAACGCTTTCGTCCCCGCCGCAGAGGTCATCTCCGGGGACGTCATCAGCTCCTGTACGCCTTCGAGCTCGTCGTCTAGCTCGAGCTGTTCTTCTTGGAGATGGAGGAGGGATTCTTCCAGCCGCCGTCGGATTTCTTCGAGGGTATCGATCTTGGCGGACACTTCTCCGATTTCGGCGTGTATTAGCGACTGTAACGATCAGCGCGATGCCTCACCAGCCTGTGAGATACGTAACTGACGGATCTCGTCTGCAGATTATCCTTATCCTGCGCAATCTCATCCGCCTGCTTCACCAGATCCTCGAGATGATACTTCCCCTTGACATGCTTTCCCTCCCCCGCCCGCCTCTTTTCCCTCGCTTTCCGCCGGCTCCTCCTCCCTCCTACATCCGCACTACTCTCTGACCCCTCACCTTCCTCCCCTCCCTCAGTCAGCAGCCCTCTCGCTCTATCCCCTAATCGCTTCAATCCCATCTTCCCACCCAACTCCTCTTCGGCCATTCCGCCCCTTATGAGCCGACGCCGCTGCTTTGCCATCTCCGATGAAGGGATCGTAGCTTTGAAGCCGCGGATAAGACTGGGCTGTTCTTCTTGTAGAGAGTGCAGCCGGGGCTGATCCAATGAGAGAGAGGCGAGCTTGTCGACGGATTCGAGGATCGCGAGGGAGGAAGAGGTGGTTTTGGTCGAGATCGTGGCGAAGCTGGAAGGAAGGGAAGTAGGGAGCCGAAGAAGAGAGTGAGGTCGTGCGCCTGGTGGGAGAGAGCGTTTCGAGCTTGACGCTTGACCTATGATTCGGGGGTTCATCATTGCCGGAGTCACTGGACTGTCAGCTCTCCCTTGTCATGAGCAATCTTTGGAGCAGCTTACAGTCTGATAGTATCCGCATACTCTCTGACCGCCTATAGTCCGATCCCAGACCACCCATGATAGCCTCCTTGGCCATACTAGCCGCCGTAGTCAGACCAGAAAAGTACGGCTGGGACAGCGGGTCCAGAGCGGATCGAATGGGCCGCCGCCCGGTCGGTGTTTCGTCTCCGCGGGGCATTTCGCCAGGATCTATCGAGTCTAGCAGGATACAGAGCTGCTCAGCGACTGTATCGTTGCACTGTCGGCCTGCTCTAGCAGCTGATAGGGCGATAGTCGTCAGAAGACCCCTTCAATGACGATCTTTCCGTTGCGGAATGAGGAGTGATTTCGGCGATCGCCGCACGTCGCACCTCCACCTCAAACTTCCAGCTACAGCCATGCTGTATGTCGTGCAACTATACCATACACACCTAGAACAGCTCAAGCTCAGCCACAGAGAGCCTGTGGCCCCAGTCAATGGAGCGCTCCGTCGAAAATGGCTCTGATCACCATCTCTGGCTTCCCCTGTTCGGGCAAATCGACCCGAGCCCTGCAACTCCAACAAGACTTCCTCGCTCGTCTCTCTTCTCCCGAGTACACCGGCCCCAAGCTCAGAGTAATCATCGTAGATGACGAAAGCAATCACGTTCCTCGATCAGTATACGACAGTGAGCTCGAAACTTCCCAGCTTTCTCAAATCGGGCCGAACAGCTCATGTCCCAGGTAGCATCTCCGAAAAGTCTGGCAGGGCGAACATCTACTCTGCGGTGACGCGAAACCTTGGAACTGACACGATCGTGATTTGTGATAGTCCGAACTATATCAAGGGGTTCAGGTATCAGATGTACTGCGCTGCCAGGGAGGCGCACGCGAGGGTGTGTACTGTAAGTCTTGCGTGTCTTTGGGGAAAGAGGGTAAGAGAAGGGTATAGAGAGGCTGATGAGACAGCTGCATATAGCGACTCCGCCTGAGGTATGTCGGGAGTGGCACGAGAAAAGGGGGGAATGCTCCTATAAACCGGAAACGTGAGCTTCCAACCTTCCACCGTGGCGGGCCAATCAAGCTGATACACCAGCTTTGACAACCTCATCATGCGCTTTGAAGAACCCTCCTCCATGGTCCGCTGGGACTCTCCCCTCTTCACTATCCCCTATATCGACCCGCTCCCCCTCGACGCCATCTGGGCCACCATCACCACCGGCGCCAAAGCCCCACCTACCGCCGCCGTCCTCGCTCCGCCCAAACCACCACCCAACACCCTCCAAATCCTCACATCGACCACATCGGCCATCACGACCGCTCTTCTCGCGCACGTCAACGCCACGCCGGGCTCCTCAGGCTTTGTGGTCCCTTCCCCTCCTGCGCGTCAAGCTGGGGAGCTGAGGGTGCGACTACCGATGAAGCGGGTGACGCTGAGTGAGATGCAGCGGCTCAAGCGGCAGTTTGAGGGCGTGCAGATCAAGGCGCATTCGAGTAATAGTCGGGCGGCGGGCGTGGGCGGCGCGGATGAGGTGGCGGTCAAGTTTGTGGGGTTCTTGGAGGCGACTTGGGATACAGCTGGAGATTAGGGCTAAGGAGTGATATGAGCTGGATCGAGGGCTGCTCAGCTCCAGCCGGATGTCAAGCTGCCATCGACAGCATAAAGACGCGGTGCCAGGCTCTACGCGTCGTCGCCAGCGTCCCGAAGCCGCGGCCCTTCCGGATGAGAGGCTGCAGGACTCCATAGATGCCGGGCACGATGCCACCGGGACACGAACCAAATCTTGGAAATGGCGGTAAAGCATCCTTGGACGTCCTCGTGTCAGTCTCGGTTCTTTTCCTTCACGGAACGTCAGACATCAATGAGTAGATCCCCCGACGACCCGACTAGGAATGCCAATGAACGACAATGGGGCGTGTACATTGCTGTACAGTGAGTGCCCCCTGCTTCCCCCCCCACCCCCCCGTGCTGCGCGGGCGTAAATCTCCGTTCACGCCTGAAGCACCTAGAAGCACGCCTGCCTCCTTCATCTTGGCCACGAGCTCCTCAACGTTCTCGACCTGACAATGTCAGCTGGAACCTATCATGGACCGTGAGCGGCGAAACACACCTTTCCTCCGCCTTGCCTCTTAGGTGGCTCGGATACCGAGATGGTCTCGAGCCGTGCGGCCTAAAATATCAGCACGTCGTCAAGCAGATGGGGAACAGAACAGACGACTCACAAAGTCAAGACCCAGATCCTCAGGCTTGAGCGTTTCAATCTTCTTCTTCTTGGCCTTCATGATGTTTGGCTGTTTTATCAGCCTGTGATTCTGCAGCTAGCCCTGAGCTGAGATTCAACGTACCAATGAGGCATATCTAGGTTCTGCCAGGCGTCAGCTTGCGCTCAACTCAAAACAGTCATGCGAGCTTACCGTTCAGCCTGTAATTGTCAGCTCTGTCTTTGCCAGTACTGCATGCGCAACGTCAAAGCTCACCTCAGATCCGTCGTCACGATCAGCGGCAACTGCCCCTCCAACTTCTCCAACCCTCCATCGATCTCCCTCGTGACCGACGTCTTCCCTCCATCCGCTACATCCAGCTTACTCGCAAAGCACGCCTGTCCCCAGTTCAACATCCCCGCCAACATCCCACCGGTCGTTCCCGAATCATCATCAATCGCCTGCTTGCCCATGATCACTAGATCCACCTTATCGGCCCCTCCCGCCCGCTTCTCAATCACCGCCTTGATGGCGCGCGCGACCGAGATGGGCTCAACGACGGTATTGTCGGGCACGGTGATGTGGATACCGGAGTCAGCACCCATGGCGAGTGCGGTACGGATGGTGTCTACCGATTTGGCAGGACCAATGGAGAGGGCGGTGATGGAGGTGACGGATTTGGGGACCCGCTCGCGCAGGCGGATAGCTTCTTCGACAGCTGAGGGGTCAGTATGGACCGGCATTGGCGGGATCGGGAGGTCATACCGATCTCATCGAAGGGGTTCTGCCTTGTCAGCTATGTCCGCGGCCCATCGCAGCAGAATTGGAGCTCACCATAGAGTGCTTGACGTTAGTGTCTACACCTTTACCGTCCGAGGCTATCCTGATCTTACTGCACTCATTCAGCACGATCCAGCGCACCTCCTCGACGCAGCGCCGAGCCGTCGGCTGAGCTCTACTCACACAGCATAGTCGATCGAGCGCTTAACGGGCACCAAGATGTTGATGAGCTTGGGTACTGTGGGGCGCATTTTGGCTGAGCTGAAGTGGTGTTTGTGAGATGTATGAGGTGGTGCAAGTGTATGATACAAAGTCCAAGAGATTGTCATTCTCGGAGCCTGTCCGTTGTCGGCCGCGGGGGTCAAGTTACCCGGTAGCCGAGCGGGATCTAAATGGCGGGGTTTGATAAGGTCGCGTCCAAGAGGCCACGTCATAACTCCACATTCCTCATGACGCGTACCTCGCTGCTCTCTCGCGCGCCACCCACTCTCTCACACAGCAGCTTGGCTGTTTCAACGCTACTTCCCTCATACTAAGGTGTATGGCCAACCCCCGTATACCCCGCAGATACTTAGCCAAAGCGTCCATCCACCTCGGACCCGTCACATCCAGGAAAGAACGACAAGAACAGCGCAAGATGACTCGCACGTCGCATAAAGCGCACCCGACCCCTGCGTTCCCGGTATACTGCCTCGACTGGGCGGATGACGAGGTGGTGATCATGGGCGGGGGAGGTGGGGCCAGTCGAAGTGGAATAGAGAATAAGCTGGTCAGCCAGCTTCAATGACTGGTGTGTCGGCGACAAGCTGACGAAGCAGAAACTCGCAAAGGTGTCGAAGGATGCGAGGAACGTCAAGTATATCAATGAGCTCAAGTTGAGCAGTGAGGAGGATGCGCCGATGACTATCGCGGTTGATAGAGAGGTGAGCTGACCCGAAGCGAGTATTGGTCACTCTGATGCTGAAGCTGACGGATGTAGTCTAAGCAGCTTATCACTGGTATCAACGCTTCTTCCTCCTCGATACAAGCAGGGAAGAACGAGCAATGCCGGGTCTACTCATACGCTGAGAACTCGTGAGCTTACCGGTTAGCATGGCTGTCATGTGCACTCTAGCTGACAGTCCAGTCTTGCATTCTCAAAGGGGAAGCAGACAATATCAGCCGCCTGGTCGGATGACTACCCGTATCAAGTCAGTTGTCTCATCCCTCGATGCGTGACAGCGAAGGGAAGCGGAGCTGACGCCTCAGAAACATACGTCCCTCTCTCCAAATGCAAAGTACCTCGCAGTAGGATCAACAGACGACTCGGTCTCGGTCCTCACCTTCCCAGCCCTGGAGACCGTCAAGATCGTCAAGCTGGAAGCAGAGGTTGTGGACCTGGACTGGGGAGGCGAAGGGGGAGCATGGGTGAGTTATGCGGTCTCCCATGTTGACGAGATTCAGCTCACCAGATAGCTCGCTATCACCACTACCTCCTCTCTGTTCTTGTACCACCTCGTCGGATCTGGCGAGAGCTCCAGCTTGGAGCTGAAGCAGACCATCTACCCGCCTAGTATTGATATCACCAAGGTCATGTTCCGTGCTGCTCGGTACGTCCGCTTTCTTGCCAGTCCTACGAAATGATGAGCATCAGCTGATTATGTAGCTTCTCCCCTACTTCAGCCGCCCAGCCGAAGATTCACGCCGTCCTCAACTCCGCCCCTCCCGCCCGAAGTGCCAAGGGTCGACCCCGGAAAGCCTGGATATGCACATTCGGACTCGTCGCTGGACCGAGTGCCGCCGCTGTGACGACTGCCGAGAAGGCGACAGGTACGCCGGTGAAGGACGGTCAAGCGGGGGAGAAGGAGGGCGATGAGCTGGGGAGATGGGATGTATTGGTCAGGAGGGAGGTGGCCGGGAAGCCTGTGACAGTATTTGACGTCAGGTGCGTCATGAGCCATGAAGATGAAGTGGCAGAGAAACTGATATGTAGTGCGGACGGCAAGCTGTTGTCATATGGATGTTCAGATCTGTCCATCGGAATGCTAGATGCTGCTACCCTGAACGTGAGTTGTCCTGATCGTATCCTCGTCAGAGACATAACCTGACCTGCTAGCCATTACTCAAGATCCTACACGCCCACAACTTTCCCCCAACAGCTCTGAAATTTAACCCGTCAGCGACACTCCTCATATCAGCTAGTGCAGACAATACGCTTCGCGCGATCGTCGTACCAGCTAGTTTTGCGGGAGGTGAGTTCTCCAAGGCTCCTTATTGTTATCGGACAGGAGTTGATATGACAGTATCCCCGGTGCTGATCGCGCTGCTTGTGCTGTTGTTGGCGATCATTGCAGGGGCTGTGATGAGGCGGTAGGATGGAAGATTGGGCATGATGACGTCTGGGATCTTTCGGACTTTTGGGAATATGGCTACTTTGTGGTATGTATACTAGGGATGCTTCTCTGGCAGGGACAATCTCGCCGCAAATCGTCACTGGTTGTTACTGAACGGGTCATGTTTATCTGGGCGAACAGACTTGGAGCATGATGACAGTTAGCTATGAGATGCATTCAGACTCAAGCTAAACAGGAGTAAATGCAATCAGAACCTCATTGGACCAGGCTCTGGTCCGCGGGCTCACTACTGCTCACTCGGCCACCATCGATGCTGCACGCTTTCATCAAAGCGCCCAGTACTCCGACTGGCTGACCGAGCTTTGGCAAGGGGGATCAAACCTTTGCTGGCTTATTGATCCGCAGAGATGCGGAGGTGGTCGCAGCGGAGGAGGAATTCGACATGGACGAGTGGCTGGCTTACCCTGATGCGGATGCGAGCTTGCGCTGCTTCTTAGGGGAGGAAAAGGAGGCTAGGTCGAGAGAGCTGGCAACGACTTCCTCGAAAAGCTTCCTTTTGGTGCCCGAGTAGGACGACGGGGTATGATACCCGGACGGACCGGCTACCGCGGGAGCGCGGGAGCCGGGGGAGCAGGAGGGACGTAGCCATCCTGCCAGCCGGGGACGAAGGAGGTTGCCTGAGGAACCGAAGACAGATCATCGTCTTGCCAGTGAGATGGATAAGAGGAGGGAGCCGTATAAGGAGTGACGGTCCCAGGCGAGACGGGCTGGCTGGCGGGCTCCAGAGTGACCGAAAGAGCGTTGGTACCGTAATTCCCAAGCATCTATTCGTCAGCCGACGTCATCCGAGACAACCGGAACGTCAAAATAACGTACGAAGTTCTGCAACTGGTCCGAGTTGCTGCCGTACGAGTAGTTGGAGTTCTTGTCGAAGTTGTCAGACATGTTGTGCGAGTTGGCGAAGATGGAGAATGTGGATGAGCTTGGAAGAAAAAGCTGGGCGAGCCCGACCACATATACACCTCAACCGACACCGCGGAAACGCTGAGCGCGGAGACCATGAGCGCGGAAGCGTGAGGTGCGGAAACGATATCATGTGACTAGGCGGAATGGTAGTCATGGGAGCATATGACTCGAGGGGGAGTGTTGGTCTGGAAGTCAGCCGCTACACACAACCCCATCCCCACACAATCACTCACAATCTCGACCACCTCATCCTCCTCCTCCTCCGGGACCACATCCAAACCAACATACATCGCTTCACCACCTTCGATTCATCGTCGAAAAAACCTTTCAGGGATACTATCCTCGGAGTCGAGCTCGTCCACCTCGTCCGAGTCGGGGGAAAATCGAGGCTCGGGGTGGTAGTGGCAATGGAAGAGTGTGGGGTCGGCCGTGGCGGCTACACAAGCGGTCATTACACCGACCGCTACACCACGCCCACTCAAGCGTCGTACCTTAATTATTCCTCCGGATCGTCCGCGTACTCGCCCACCCTGTCCAGCATGTCCGCCATATCCGCCACCCCCCTCACCGGTGTTACCAATGAGGGTGATGGAGACCAGATCGATGTCCATGGGGGGCAACCAGCCCGCCTTGTCAGGGCCGCCTTTCGGGCAACCGGTAAAGGCAGGAATGCTCCCACCCTTCCAGACCATACAAGTGAAGACGATGATGACGTCCGGGTTGCCATCCAGGTCGTCAAGATCCGCGAGGTCGACGGCGTCGTTAAGGTCGTCACACCCACGGTCGTCCTTGATGTTGGCGAAAGTACTGGCAGTCAGCATGGCACATGATGAAGAGGTGGTATGTGAAGCAGACTTGGCGGAACGTCGGAACTTACAGGGTCTCGAGGCCATCCTCGCGGGCAGCGGGCACAATGGCCTTGCCTTGGGGACGGTCTGCGAGAAAGTGGCGTTTCCGGACACAAGTTTCCTGGCCATTAGTTGGTGATGTAGACTGAGATAGAACAACTCACATACCCATGTCTCGGGGGAGACAAGTGGTGTCAAGCACCTGCTTCACATACCCGAGATTGGCCGAACACTCCGCCGTGTCGAGACCGGTTGGACGACGGAGAAGGACTGAAAGTCCCCGTTGACGTGGGTCTTTAGGAAGCCCTCGATGTATTTGCACGCGTATGCAAATTGCTAGAGGCATCAGCCTGGTGCACATAGAGGACAAGAGAGAGTGGAAGGGGAGGGATAGGACAGAGGCAACGTGAAGAGACACGACGTACCGCATGCTTCCCCTCCACCTTCTCCGTGAGCATGCCGAGGCCGCCTTTGCCATCGGAGTTGGGGCGCTCATAGTAGTACTTCCGGTCCCCCGCCTTTGAAGCGTGAAGGTCGCTGAGCTTGAGCTGGGCCATTTTCCTGTATATCAGCACGAACCAAGCTAACGGTCAAAGAATGAACATACGCTAGCACCCGCAACTGCACCTGGGTCATTGTGCTGGAGCTGCTGGCCGTGGCGTTGGTGCTGGAACCGGCAGAAGGGGAGGCGGGCGGAGTAGAATCCGGAGCAGCGCGCTTGTTGTTTTCTGGCGCCCATTGTTGAGTGAGTGTCGTACGAGGATGAGTCTCGAACCTGTGGATTTCCGGGGGTCATCACGGTATCCCAAGTGTGGGTCTTGCGCTTCCGAGGGGAAGGGGTCGTAGTCTCAACGACCTTATTGGCGTAGAAGGTCTTGGTGTTGGGGCCAGCGTTCAACTAACGGCAGTCAGCTTCAATCTGACTGAAGAACGAGAAGTAAACTCACTACGCCGTCCACATGGATCCTCACCGGAACCCAATCCAAGCGCCAGGAACCGGTCCGTTGCACAAGCTGACTTGTCAGCAGATACCTCGTACACAGCGAGTGGATCAAACTCACCTCCATGTTGAAATACACCGTGATGACCGTGGTAGCCGGCGCCTGGTTGATGGAGTGCGTACCGATTGGCAGCACCTTGCCTTCCTTAATATACGCCAGAGTGGGAGCCCAATCGAGCCGGGTCATCTTGGATTTGTTTTGCAGGTCGGGGTCGTCGGCGATGAGAGGCGATCCGACGAGGGGCGGACAAGAGGAAGTCGCATGCTGTCAATCAGCTTTGTACGACAAGCGGTAAAGTGACTCACAGCTGAAAGCCCATAATCCTCCTGGACCGCGTTCTGAGCCTTGGCGATCTTCTCCGGAGCCCAGAGTTTCCGCGTCAACTGGAACCTCGCGTCCTGCGGGAAGTTGGACGCCCTGCCGACCGAGGAGAAGTTGGCCTGGGTGGGGATCTTACCGACAGCCGCCGTGGGGAACGTCTGAGGGGTGACCAAGGACGTGGCGTAAGTGAAGGTCCCGGATGCGTTGGCAATTGTCTCGGGGGAGTGAGGGTTTACACCGATGATGTTGACGGCGGAACCGAGTTTGACAAAGGGGCTGGTGGTCAGCCAGTCCATGTAGGGAACTTACTATATCGAAGAAACTTCATTGTTTGACCTTGGTACCGTGCCGGTCCGTGATATACGTGGCCTCCATCACCTTCACATTGGGAACTTCCATCTCCTCCGCCTGGACGGCGTGCTCCTGATTGTCAGCTCGTGACGATCTCTTGACTCACGCTCATGTGTTCTGTCATCAAGGTACCAGGTTCCGACATGTTAGTCGTGTCGGTATTGAGAGTGCCGGTGATGAAGAAGGTTACGCTGGATATCAGCTCCACCTTTCGAGAAGGTCAAGCCAACACTCACGGCTGCCCGTGTTTGAAGATCAACTGCCGGCCGGCCCCCAAAGGGCATGTCGGCGTCGTTCTTCGCATGGAACAGCCGCCCTTGGGGGATCCTCTCGAGCTCGTACCGGTTGGTCGTGACCTGCAGCCACACCCTGCGGTCAGTACACAGTATACCACGCCAGTGCCGCTCGCTGTCAATAGTGAATTCACGGCCGAGCTCCCGTGAGATCTATTGCACCTTGTGGTGCGTTCAGAAAAGCCTGCTGGACAGCCGTGCCGGTCTTCGGCACGTGAGGTGCTAGAACGGCCAATCCCGCTCTTGGGCGCGGAGCCTCTATCGGATACCCCACACCTCCAGGTCCGCGTTGAAGTGCGAGACCTTGCTGATTTCCCAATCCCCCCGGCTCTCCGTCCACCCTAGGCCTTTTGATATACCCATCCTGCGCCGGATGGTCATGCTCGGGTCCCCTCTTGCGGTGGGGAGGAACTTGGTGACTCGTCTTCTAGCTTCGATCAAGTTGGACGTCGAAGAGGTACGCTCATGCCAAGCCCCTCGCAGCCAGAGGGATCCTGGGAGAGATCCCTCTGCATCCCTCTGAGGCGAGGGGGCCAATGACCGTGGCGGAATAACGACTGTACTCATCGCCATGCCCCGCCCCCCATGCCACCTCGACGTCCGACTGAGCTGCAAGGGGCCTGGAATGAGCGTACTCTCAAGTTTTAGCTTCATCGTGCGCAGCTCAGATCAAGGTTCAGGGCTACATTCCTCGGCCGGATTTACCCTGTCCGGACGGCCGGTTCTGGAATAAATTGGCCCAATCCGACGAATCGACTCGCAGCTGCATGCCTGATTGTTGTCTTTGCTTTGCCTCTCATCTCAGCTACACCCCCATGTCGTCCACCAATGAGACACCACACACCGGGTCGCCTCTGGATATGCCCCACCTCCTCCTTCTCACGCTTTCCTACGCGTCCCCACAAACCCTCGGCCGCTGCATGGCCGTCTCCTCGTTCTGGTACGACGCCGCCACGACCTTCCTCTGGGCGCACATCTCTTACCGGGTCAATCGCTTCCTCACGGATCCCGGAGTCACACCCTTCCTGCCTGTACCAAGCGGTGATCGCTTCCAGACACTGCGGCGGGCAAAACGGCGGGCGGTGCGGCATGTACGGGTGGTCGAGGTGCGGACCCACGATTGCGACGAGATTGTGTGCGCGCGTATGAGCTTGCACGGCGCAACACAGGCGGAAAGCGAACAGATGAATGGTGCGGCGGAAAGGGAGGATGGGACGGAAGACATCAGGATGGAGACGGATCAGGAAGTTCAGCGGGTCTCGTACTACCGGCCACCCCACGTCCTCTCCGCGCTTCGGCTGCACTGCGACAATCTGCACAAACCTCGGCCAATCCCGTTCCCCTGCCCCTTCGTCGCCCAGCTGGATACATATACCCTCGTCCTCGTACCTATACGCAATCTCTCGATGGAGCGTCCTCTCCCCTTACCCTCCCCGACATCCCTCCGGAAGCTGGTGCTCCTCCTCATACCTCCAACACAAGCTCCGGGCGAGTACCGGATCGCCGACACAATACCTCCAAGCGTCGAAGATGTCGTTGTCTATCTCTGGCGGAGACATCCCGGGTCAAAATATGACAGCTTTCGAGGCGCTTGGGCGGCGCAGATGGGGCGGATGAGGTGGGGACCGGACAAGATCTGGAATCACTGGTGCAACCTGATCCTGGCGTCGAGTCCCCCAACTACGGACTGGTCTACCGGATCGCATTCGAGGGAACGGAGACGGCGGTATACTTTCGTCGGCACGGGCAGTGTCGACTCTACGTGGCTGGATCTAGCGGACAACCCTTCGCTCGTCCCCACTTTTCCCGGCCAAGACGCAGGGGAAGATCCGGCGGGATACGGGTTGATTCAGGAGAAGTTTGAGGAGGGAATGAGAAAGTGTCTCGAGGCCAAGATCAGGGCCAAGAGGACGCGTCGTGTGGGGGAGGAGGCGGAGGCGGCGGAGGCCTGGGAGATGGAGCTCAAGGGATACCTGGATAGTATGCGGTTTCTGAGCAGGGAGGACTACCTGGCGGAGGGCGGCTGGGAGGGTGAGTTCACGAAGGACGAGGTAGTATACCATGGGTGACCTTGTACTTGATCGTATTAGAGTAGCTGTTGTCTCCATAGCATAGCCAGTTGTCGCATTACAAGCTTTATAGTGCCGGTTACGCATTACGGCATTCGGACGCGGGTGCAACTTTAGCTTGACACGAGTCGCGGGTATCATCACCATCTTCACCTATATCTATAACCGCTCATCTACTCGGCATTCCTAAAGCTCACTCGCTAAGGGAGGCGTCGAGTCTCGCCGTGATGCTGAGCAGCATGTCACCGCTCTCGCCAGCCGCGGGGAGCAGCAGCAGCAGCACAGCGGTCATCACGCCCGGAGTCGACACTCAAACATCCTCATCCCGCTCGACCTCCTCGGCTAGGCGGAAGGGGAAGGGCAAGCAGCGCGAGGAAAGTGCGCGCGACGCGTACACAGACGAGTCTGATGGGGAGGCGACGGTGGTGAAGCGGAGGGATAGCCGGAAGAAGTCATGGCAGCGAGTAAAAGTTGAAGAAGACGCAGACTGTATGTTGTCCATCTTCTTTCCTCTCCGCTTGTCGCCTACACTCGGCGGGCAGGGACTGATCCGTTCAGATCAACCACATCATGACCAGCAAGCCCGCTCGAAAGGCAAAAAGCGGTATCGACCGCCCTCATCCACTCGCTCTGTATCTCCAACCCCTTCCACCTCATCCATCTTTACCGCCCATTTACGCCAGTACGACCTCACGCCCGCTCCCACGCCGCGCCGTCGGTCTAAACGGCCGCTATTACCCCAGTCATCTCAAATATCTGTACCCTCAACCCTACACACCGGCGACGGCCCGGTCTCGCCCCGTCGGCGAGGCAAAAGACGAGTGATGGAATGTGTGGAGATACCATACAACGCGGAGCTCAAGCGTCGCATTGCGTCCGGGGCGTACAAGGATTGGCCGGAGCCCGGACCGATGGCTATCAATCCGGCGTCGTCTGACCTCTCCGAAGAGGAAGAGGATAGGGTGATGGAGAGGGGGAAATCAGCGGTATACGACGCGCAGGAGCAGGATACAGGCCCAGAGGCGGAGATGGGAAGTGGACAGAAGGGTGATCTGGTGAATGATGAGGACGTGGAAGAAGGCGGACAGGAGACGGATATAGCGGAGGAAGAGGACGAAGTGGAGATGGTGGTTCAGGTTGAGCCAAGCTCCACACCCCCTGCGGACGAGCTCGCAATTCGGGCGAGCCCCGGATTTGACGACGGCGCGGAGAAACCTACGGTCGACGCGTGCGATATGGATGGGGAGGATGACGCTGGACGAGTCCCGGATGCTGAGAGCTGCTCAGACGCGGATGGGCGAGACAGGAGAGAGGAGGAGCTTCCGCTTCCGCCTCAGGGCGCCGAAGCCGCAAAGGGCGGGGACGATGAGATTGTGGACGAGGCGGGTAGCGTGTGCGAGGCGGACGGCCTGGGCGCAACCAGTCCGGACGCGACCGAGGCAGATGGCGTCATCATCGTGGTCGAGGCGGTCCGGAATAACCAGCCAGGCACCAACGGGGGCTACGGTAGCGAAGCCGACGCTGAAGGTGAGACGGACACAGAAGACGTCAACGGCCAGGTCGAGGCAGACGATGAGCGGGACCTGGAGGTCAATGGGGAGCTCACGACTGTTGTAACGGAGGATGCTCAAGGCGGATTGGCTGGAGCTGCGGCGGATAGGAAATCTGTCGGGACAGGCGTTGCCCCGCGTCTGGAGACGGAGCTTCTTCCAGTAGAGCAGTCGGAGCTGGAAGCGGAGTCAGAGACAGGCGTTGTGGTTGATCCGGATGTGGACGCGGAGGAGATGCCAAGGGTACCGCCGGATGAAGCCGACTTCATTCCGAGGGAGAAGTCAAAGACGGAATCGGAGGGCGAAAATCATGCGCCGGCCGCCCAGGTCGTGGAGACGGGCGAAGCGCAAGCGGTCCGGCCGGACGAAGTCGACTTTGCCATCGTCGTCGAAATCCACGATAATGACCAGGAAGAACAACACGTCCTGGCAGAACCGGAACCGGCGGACGACCCGGATTTTGCGGACGAAAACACGTCCGAGGGGTTCAGAGACGTCCTGCTGGATACGGTGATAGCTGTCGCATGGCACCCGGAGCCGGCAGTGAAACAGGAGGCGCTCGAGCAGGTAGCTCAGCAGGCGGTTGCGGATTTGGGTAGAGCAGTAGGACACGACAGCAAACCCCTCCCATCAGTGAGTCCAGCCTATCTCCTCGCTCTATTGGGGCTTAGCTCATGATCGCAGATCACATCCAGCTCTTGGTGCCACCACTGTCGTCGGAAGACCGATGATCCCAAGATGCTCTGCAACAAGGCGCTTCGCCGGGGGAAGAAATGTTTGATGCAATACTGCAAATCTTGCTGCAAACGGTAAGTCCTTCTCCCCTCGGTGAATATCCCTAGAAATGGTACTGACAGGCTAGATACGACTTCACTTTCGAGCTTCATTCCACATCATTTGTCTGCCCGCGCTGTACCGATACTTGCATCTGCTCGAAATGCCTCAAGAAGCGGGGCCTACCTCCAGTGGGCGCCAAGCCCAAAGGTCGCGGGAGTCAGGCGTCGCGATCACGGACATGGGCTAGTCCCAGTCCGTCTGAGACGCAGGAGTGGGAAGATTCAGGCGCGGAAGAGGCGGTTTCGATCACGTCATCGGTCGAGCTGGCTTCGACCTATGGGGAGGAGACAATCGTTGCCGAGCGGGCCAGAGCAAGTGGGAGTCAGGCGGTTATAGGCGTAAAGGGAAAGGGGCGGCCGAACGGGACGGCGGCATGGGCAAAGGAGAGGAGGGCGAGTAAGCCGGAGAAGCCGACCACTCCTCACAGTGGTGCCAAGCCAAAGACAACGATATACTCGCCCATCATCCTTAGGCTTCGTATGCCTAAGCACGGCAAGCAATCCCCTCCAGGAGCAAAGCGCGTCAAGGAGGTCGATTCGGACGGGGACACGGTCGGAGGGTACTCGTCTGCCGAGGACGCACCGAGTGCGGCCGGGTCGAGCATGTCGAGTAATCGGTCGCCCTTCCCAAACTCCATCCGTCCTCCACACGACTGTTCGCCTACGGTCATGGTCAAAAAGGCGGCTCCGCTGAGTACAAACGAGTACTTGTCCACTCTCGCTGGCCCCGTCGATGGGGAGGGGGACGACAGATTCTCCTCCTTCGCGTTCGGGGCATCGTCACAACCGGATCTCGCAGATGACGAGGTCGACGGTTTCGTCTTTCCCCTCGAGGGAGAAGACGACCACCTCTTCCCTGACACGCCTTGGTCAACGGGCCCTAGCAAGGCATCATCCTGCACCATCCCAACCCTCGCCGCAGAGTCTAACCCCCTTGCCAGCCAAGCACGGATCGCCCTATCGGCGGGATACTTCCCCGCGGGTCATCGTCGACCCTCTCCAAGCGAAGCCCCTTCATCATCACCCATCCTGGCCGTCCCGCTTCTCTATAGCAATGGGGAACCGGAACTCGGCAGTCCATCCTATCCCTCTTCTCCCGCCGAGTCCGAACTTGGCGATATCCCCTCTCTCGACGCTTGTACCAATAACGACATTCCAACGTATAGCCAGATCAAAGCATCCACATACATACCCCACTCGGCTCCCACGACCGTCCCCACCATATCACCCTTCCGCACGACATCAGCATTTGCGCACACATTTCCGGTTCCCCCGCAGCCGTGGGTCCCAACGTCTGCCCAGACAAACCCTTACATCGTCAACCCTCCACGTACCGACCCGGTACCGTCTCCATCATCGGCTCGGCGGTCGGGTACAGCCTGTGCAAGTCTACCTCAGGCTTTGCAAGGGAACGGCCTTCCCGCCATGTGGGGGTGGATGATGGACACTCCACTCCCGCCGTCGCAGCACGAGATGCCGGTGTCCTCTCGTCATCCTCTGCTGGGGGACCGCCGCGCGGCTCCGTTATCCGTCTCAATACATCCAGTCGGAACCATCACTCCGGCTGTCCTCAGTCCCAAGCGCGTATTGGCGGAGCCGACTGTTTGGGTCAGGAAGGGGAAGAAGGTCTGGGTGGGCGCAGAGGTGGGGACGGACGGGAGAGTACCTGGGAGGGGACGGGCATCAATTCATACTGTAACACCATAGAGTCTAACCATACTCAATATCACACATATCAACACAATATCTATCACCCTATATAGTCACGCAGACGAAGCCAATCATTGTAAATATAGATATGCATAGCAAGCACCAAGAAGTGATGGGTAACAAAGCCGCACAATCAAGACACCCAATCGACACGGACATCTAGATCCTCTAGCTTAGATCCTGCTACCATCCCCCAAATCCTTCCTGCTCGCTGGCGACAATCTCATTCAGCCTCTCCTGCTGCTCCTGCCTCTTTCGTGCCTCCTTCTCCGCATATGTCTCGTTGATGGGTTTCCCACCCCGCCTCTTTGGCGCAGCAGCCAGGATGGCAGTCGCCCAACCCTGCTCCTCGATCTGAGGCGGGATGACCAGCTGAGCCGGAGCGACAGCAGGATGCTGGTAGTTGGTCGGGGGCATCATGTGCGCTGGCTGACCGCCGATAGATGCTCGGTCGGCCCATCCCCGCCGAGGCCCGCCGGGAGCAGTCACACCGGGACCGACTCCGCCAAAGTGGGATCCGAAGCGGGCGCTCGATCCGGCCGAAGAGGGAGTCTCCGATATGTCCGAGGCGGCGCTTCGGTGATTGACGGGAGAAGCGGGCTGGAACGATTGGGAGTGGGTGCTGGGGGAGGCGAAAGATGAGTGGATGGAAGGGGCCGGGGAGGGCGAGGGCGACGTGATGGGGCTGAGCGGCTTGGCAGGCTCGGCCCACATTGACGGCTGGGCTCTGACTGGCGCTGGCTTGGGCCCAAGCGGCGAGTCAGGCGCGAAGGCGTTGAAGCTAGAGTCGAAGGCATTGTAGTTGAAGTTGGGTATCTGTTGATGCGCCAGCATCGAGTGGTCCGCCGGGGGCGAGTATGGCTGCGGGGCCTGACGAGCTGGGGCTGGCTGGTATCCAGATTGCGGGTATCGCGACTCTGCGGCGGGGTATGGACGACCGTACCCGTTGATGCCTTGCGCGGCGATACCGTAGCCGTTTTGGACCGGTGGGGCGGGAGCCTGGAAGGACGGAACGGGGGACGGCTGGGGGTATCGATCGTAGCCCGAGACGGGCGCGCCAGTGGGAGCGGGAGGTCCGCCTCGGCGCGCGCCTAGAGGGACATTGTTCATGCCCGACACCGGCGCCCGCATGCCCATGGGCTGCGACGGGAGTTCGTCCGCGTACTCGTCGTCGACCTGCTCCGACCAAGGGCGATTGTCGGACGAGGCCGCCCAGATGTCCTTCGAAGGCGCACTTGCAGCCGACTGCGCGAGCAGGGCCGCACGAGCTTGGTTCATGGGGATCACCCTGGGCTGGACCTTAGGTTCCTCCCTGATCTCCTCCCGAGGCTCCTCTCTGACCGCCTCCCGGACCTCCTCTCGCGGCTCTTGCTGGCGCTCGTGGCTGAGCTCTTCCCCGTCATGCACTCCACGCACTTCCCCAACGTGATCTTCGTCGATGATCATCCCGGTGTCCTCCCTCTCCTCGCTCCAACCAGCATCCCCGCCGCGGATCTCGTCCGAGAGCCGGAGCTTCGACTCGGCTTTGGGCGTGAAGTCGGGAAGGGAGAAGTTGGGCAGGTCATTGGTATGCCAGCGGCTCTCGGACGTATTTGGGCCCGGCGAGACGACACCTGACCGAGACGGCAGCTCCGGGAACGCCTCCATCCCCGGCGGAACGGGGTCCGGGATGATCTCGCCGAAGCTGAATGGACTGGGCACCTCGACGTGCTCGATCCGATCCTGATCGCCGAGGATCAGACCCATGTGCGAGACCGGCTCCGTCTTTGGGTGCTGGAATGCACTTGGGTCCTCCTCTTCCGCGTCCGAGATGGAGAACACCGGGAGAGGCTGGTCGAGCGCGACCGCCGGGTCCGGGTTGAACTCAGGCGAGTCGGGAAGGGGGATGTCGCTGTGGTCCATATCGACCCACTCGTGATGGACCGGCGGTGCCGGCTCGGGCTCGGGCGGGTCAAAGTAGTCCGGGTTGGGCTCGAACTCTTCCTCCGGTGTGTAGCCCTCATCCTCGATGATGATGGGCTCCGCCCTGCTTGGAGACGCTACCATTGGCTGGACAGGCTGCATAGGCTTGAGTGCCCACTCGAGCGAGGAGAAGGGCTTCTCAGCATCGTCCGCGCCGGAATCATCGGCGACCTGAACTGGGGCGATATTGGCCGGGCTTTCTCTTGGGATCTCGCGAGGGGGTGATGTGTGGAGCGAGTCCGAGGAGTTGGACGATGGAGACGCTGACAAGGGCGGGAAGGCAGCTGCGAGCGCGGATTGGCCACCATGCGCGAAAAGGCTGACCCGGTGCTGCTCGTTCAGCTTTGATGCCCAGTACGCAGGCTATGTGAACACAACTCACAGCCTCCCTGTCCTCGACATTGAAGAACCTCTCTAGACACAGCTCGCAGCCGTACGTCCGTTGAAGATCCGGCAGAGTCGGGTCTGGCTCAGGTGTAAGAATGGTGTCCTGCAGAGTCGGGTTGGAGCTCCGGTTTGTGCCAGAGCCCGAACGGGGAACCGCCAAATTAGGGTTGGATGGAGTGGAGCCTGCCTCAAATCCATTCCGCGCGGGATGGACGCGACGATAATGCTGAGGGTGTCAACTTTTCCGCCCATATCGATTCAGCTGGTTAAGACCTACAATCTTTTGGTCGTCTGGAGTCTTAAAGCGCGGGATACCGCACTTGAAGCAGCCAGCTGCCCAAAGGGGAGGATGGCAGGCGGCATTGTGCTGGATCTCGGTCAGCCTCCGGCTTGTGCGGACAGAGAATCAACTCACCTGAAGAAGCGACACGTTGCTGTCGAAGGTGTGTAGGCACATCTCGCAATGCGAGTCCAGAGGAACATTAAGCTGTGGATCAGCATCTGCCTGGCGACAGCTCTGCGAGACAACTCACAGGGTCGATAGAGGGTGACCGGTCGGTCTTTCCAGCAAAAGAGCCCTCGTCTTTGTGCTTCTTGATCTTGTGCTGTGAACGGTCAGCCCAGATCTTTGCTTACAAGATACAACTTGCCTGATCGAGATCATAGTGATCCTTGAAAGTCTTCATACACGGTATGCAGACCAACGGAGCTGGTGTCTCATTGGATCGGCGGGGGACGGGCTTGGCTCGAGCCCGCTGGCTGTCAGCTCAAAGCTCGTACGACTATCTGAAGGACTCATAGGATTGGCTGCTGCGCCTGATGTCGAGGATGAAAATCCGGACCGACTTCGGACATCGAAATGGGGTGGAGGGGGCCTGGCAAAGCCCATTTCCCTTCGAACTCGATCAATCTCGTGCTCGAGGCCCGCCTGTACGGCTTGCACAGCAACGATATCCGCCTGAGTGACGGGTGCCGCTGCCGGCGCGACTGTAGCAGTCGGGACATCGGGGACATGGGAGACCTCCGGGACGGATGGGAGAGCTGGGACGGCCGAGACAGCAGGCTGGGCCGGGACAGCTGGGGCGCTGGAGACGGCAGGACGAACGTTGATCACAGGAGCTGGCCGAGGGGGAGCGGCCGCCTACAGCGTCAGCTTAGGACCTCGGCAGCAAGAGGATGCATCAACTCACCTTGAAGACCACCCTCTCGGTCCTGCTGTCGGACGAAGCGGAGCTACGGCGTTGCCTCCGCGGGCGCTCTCGAAGCTTGATAGCCGGAGGGGCTTCAAAGAAGGCATCTTTCTCGAGCTCAACCTTCGAGTACCTCCACAGGGACACGAAGGCGAGGAGACCGAACGCGAGTTCCCACCACATACTGTATACAAGTTGATCCCTCTACCCGCATCAAAGTGGGGGAGGGGAAATTAGGGAGCGCGGCGGGCCGGCAGTGGGAGAGATTTTGCGCGGCTAAGTACCCTCGACGATGAGCTTCGATTGGCTGACGATGGGGGACGGGGGGAGGGGGAAGCGGGCCCTCTAATATAGCTGTCAAGATGATGGGCAACGACGGGAGGCAAGCCCGGCTAGACCTTTTTGGGTTGCCCGGCGCGTCAACGCGTGATTGGAACAGAGCCAAATTTTGCTCCCGCGGACAGACACCGTGTGGCAGGTGAAAGTGGGTGCACGAGTAAAGTGGGGGATTGGGACCAGGCAAAGCACTATAGGGAAGGACAGAGGGCGCTTTCCTGGAGATGGAACCGGGAGAAGGAGGATTGGGCTCTAAACTGAAAGCGCGAAAAAAGGCCAGTTGATCGGGCTCGGTACAGCAATTCCAGGTCGACCCCAAAGCTCAAAGTCTTCGAGCTGCAGATCTCCTGAGCGAGCTCGTCACTGCCTGCGACCGCGCGTTAAGATCGCTCGTACTTCTTCCACCGTCATGCATCAGTCTCTTGGGCCGACCGCACTGACGACGAACGCCCGTACTCTCTTCTGCTCTTCGCCTCCTACTCCATCGATCTCCTCCGGCGTCTGGGAGTCAAGATTTGCCTGGTATCCAGTCAGCACGAGCACTTGAAGGCAGTAGGTACTTAGGAGAATCACTCACGCGTTCTCTGTCTGCTCCAGCTTCTATCAGCATGACGGCGACCGCACCGTGTCCTGATTCCATCGCCAGGTGCATTGGTGTGTTGCCTGTCTCGTGAGCCGGGCCCTATCTCGGTGGAAGAGCGGTGGATGTCATCTCACCTGCCCTATCTGCACCATTCAGCCGTGTTTTTGGTCTGCCTTCTGGTGGGTTCAGAAGGATATTGACGAAGGCTGTTGAGCCGGTGGATGCGGCTCGGTGCAGCGGATGTTGAGATGCGCGATCTTTGGCGTTGATCTGTCTTGTCAGCTCACAGCTCTGCTATTCGGAACATCAGCGCCATGGATAGGTCGAACAACATGGACCGCGTAGTAGTGACTCACATCTGCACCCTTTCCTATCAATGCCTTTCCGATCTTAACAGTCAGCACGGCCCTGCTCACGACCCCGATGAGACATGCTTACCGGTGTGTTGCCTTTAGAAGCAGCATAATGTCTGCATCGGTTAGTGATGTCCGATATAGCAGTAGCTAAGCCCTTACAATGGAGTTTGTCCCTTCTCATTGGCAGCATTCGCGTCCGCACCAGCATTAAGCAGCTCATGGACCGCTTCTAACCTCCCACTCGCAGCTGCAGTGTCAGCATCCACAACATACCCGGACTCCGAGTCACGGCATAGGTACAGATAAAGCTCACCTGCAACCATAAGACTCGTCCAGCCCATCGCATCCCGCGCTTCCACATCCGGATGAAACCCCATCAGAAGCTGCATCATCCCCAGATTCCCCGTCGTGCATGCCCAATGAAGTGGTGTCCGCCCATCCTTTCGGACTGTCAGCTTCGAAGCCCCAAAGGTGAGAAGCAGTAAGCGGCAAACTCGCCTCGTCTTTGGCGTTGATCAGCTTCGGATCTTCGGTCAGTAATGATCTGGCGAGACCGGGTTGGCCTGTACACTTAGCGTCCTTTCGCATTTTGATCTGCTCGTTGGATCTCACCTTCTAGCGCTGCCTTATGGAGTGAAAAGCTGGACATAGCTAGAGCGTCGAGTGGAAAGTATGGGCAAAAGATAGGTAAAGTTGAGAAGAGAAGCAACGCCGCGCAAGCTGGAATCTCCGGCAGACCGATGACGTTATGAGCGGCTCTGGCGAGCTAGGCGAAGCTCGTGTGTCATGTTTCATGTCACTGCTCAGGTGTTTCAAGAATCAAGATCTAGCATGCAGCTAAGCAGATCGGATACTGGGTGCTGACTGGGTGACAATGGCTGACTCGTGGTCGATGAGATCCGCACATCGATCTCGAAAGACCTTGGAGAAAGTGAAGCGACACATCGCGTGGCCAACATGCCTCATACTCTTTTTGCCGTGTGTGCAGACATACTTCTAACTCAGCTTTTGCGCGGCAGGACGTCCGAAGCACTCACAAGCCGGGGCGCGATGACGAGCAATCCACAAGGGACATCGCAGACCCAGCCTGGACATCAAGACACATGACTGCATGGACTGCTACTTCCTATCGCTGCTACTTCCCATTTGACCCCGTTTCTTTCTAGTAGACCTTCTTGGTCGCCTCCTCCAGCTTCCTCCCAAACACCTTTTCACACCTCACCGTCTCCTCCCTAACGACCCTCAAAAAGTCCCTCTCATCCGTGTACTTGGGCCTCCACCCAATACTCTTACTCCGATCCGCCCGTCCTCTCGAGTTCCCGCCCATATAATAGCTCCCGCCATAATACTTCTTCATCTCCTCCTCTGACAGCGTGGTCGGCTGTGACTTGTCGCTAAACTTGTTCTCGACAAGCGCTTGCCCGATCGCTTGAACGGCAGCGAGAAGGGTGTACTCGCCCGAAATGCCGAGGTAGTATCCGGACTTGCCGTGTCCGATGTCGCCCTTCTGCGAGCGTTGGTATACGAGCGCAAAGAGGTCGGCGATGTCGCTGATGTTGACGTGAGGCCAAATGTTTGCGCCTAAATTATCAGCACAGGTTGCTACCTCGCGTCGGTTCGGTACTTACCCTTTCCGACCATGCCGGCGACACCTCGGTCCAGAGCGATCCTAGAAAGCGTAGGCATCTGGTCCGAGAAGCTGTTGGAGATCCCCTTGTCGTAGATCTCCCCCTTGGCCTGACCCCAGATCGTCGAAGGAAGGATGATGTAGCTCTTGAAGTCTCCCTTGGCATCGCCCTCGTTGATGGCAATGTCGACCTCCCGGTGCGGGGCAGACGACGGGATCTCCTCCATCGACAGAAGCGCAGGATCGTCTCGTGTCTTGGGCATAGGGTTGAGGTCGGTGTATGTCTAACAAGATCAGCTCAGAGCAACCAATCGCAGCACAAATCGACTCACCACGTCGGTAGGATACTCTCCCTTGGCCTGATCAACCATAACGCCCGTCCCGCTCGTCTGGATAAACAAGCTCCTGTGTCCCGTCTTCTCCCTCCGGTTCTTCATCCCCTGCATCAACGCCTTGATGCTGTCCAGCGCATCCGCGTTCGCAGTGTTGACGATCACCTCGTGCTCCTCTGCCGCCTTGATGAGCTTGTCGTGCTCCTCCAGCGAGCCCTGGAGGACCTTGAGGGTCGTGCCGGAGGGCAGGGAGAGCTGGTCGAACAGCGGGGCCTTATCGGCGGACCGGACGAGGCAGGTGATACTTGAGGGAGGAGTGGGGAGGGAGAGGAGCTTGGAGAGGACCGAGCCTCCCTGGAAGCGTCAGCTATAATGACCTGATCATGGGGAGGGCAGGCAGCTCACGATGTAGCCAGTCGCTCCGAGGAAAAAGACGGATTTGCCTGTTGTTTGCGACGACACTGCTTGTCAGCAGGCTGAATCACTGGCTATTCCGCTCCGCTGTTAACTCACTGATATTTGTGTGTGGTAGAAGTGTATTAGATGAAGTAATGGTATTTATGTGCACTCGATATGGAAGACAGAGGGAGAGAGACTCTTTGTAAGCGCTTGGCTGAAAGTCGTCGACGGTGGAGGCGAGCTGACGTCATGCCGAAATCCGCCGCCGGCAAAGGCAGAACTCCATGCTAAACTCTGTGCTGGTCTATCACTGCAAAGGCTGCTACAGCTATGCAAGTATGAAGCCACTAGCAACAAAGCAGACCAAGGATGAGGCGGTAAGCAGACCAGCAGCCTAGATACTCAAGACTTCTACCTTACCCGCCACACTCCCTACTTCCGGCTCCTCCGCATCCTCATCGCCTTCCGCTATTGTTTCCTCTGATGGCTTATCATACCCATCCCGTTCCTCCTCTTCCGCCCTCTGTCATGGCGTCAGCTACATGTCTCACCCTATCGATCAGTCAAGAAGTCCACTCACATATCTCGCCAACATCCGACTGATATCCCAGTCCTCACCCCCTTCCTCCTCTTCATCCTCATACAGCTCCCCGCCAAAGTCAAACATATCCTTCCCAGTCATACCCGTCATCTTGCCCATGGCCCGCTGTGACGCTTTGGCCTTCTCCATTGCCTCGGCCTCGGCCGCCTTCTTTTCTAATCGGGTCTTCTTCCATGTGGAGAAGGTTTCGGGAGTGACGGGTGTGAGGGGTTGTTTCAGCTTGTGGCGCTGATCATCAGCTCGATTCCCTCTGGCATTTGCAGAAAGGCTCACCTCAACTTCCAGGAAGTCCGCCAAGGATATTTGCTCCTTCTTGGCTTCTTCCTCCGCCTTCTTCTTGTCCGCCTTCAGTACGAATCCTGGTGGTAAGGCATGTCTGTAGCGGCATTTATCTCCTCCGCCGGGCTGTAAGGGTTAGTTATATCCGCATTTGCTATGATTCTGTAGGACATACGCATTCCCAGCTGAGATGTCAGCGTGGCACACCGCGAAGGACGGCAAGATCCAACTCACAACCATCCATACTTCTTATCCTCGATGGCCTGAATAAAGAACTTGCAGACAATCTGAACGGATCAGCTGAGATATCTCTAAGATCGGCAAAGCGGCCGACATACATCTGTCGCATTTGTCTGCTTGTTCTCCTGCTGAGTGACGACTTGCCGCAACTTCTCTTCGTCCCATCCTGCCATATCGTCTGCAACGTGTCAGCCAAAGCACGCCTTCAGCTTGGAACTCCAGGCGTACCTTTCGCTTTCTCTGCCGCTTCTGCCGCCCGCGTGTCCTCGTATATGTTGACTTTTGCTGCTTTCCGCTCGACATTTGGATCGTGTGAGAATTTACACTTGTTCCCTGGGAGGTCAGCTTCTGCTCTCGAACAAGGTCGAAGTTGAGCTGACCCTTGTCACAGTGCCCAGCTTTAAAGTAGACACAAAGCACCTATCCAGTCAGCTACAGCTCCAGGATCCATTTACTGGAAGTGGAGAACTTACCGTCTTTGGATCTGTCCCGAATGCAATCTTCTGCACCTGCGCCGGCCTAAACAAGTCCGCCTCCATCTTCTTCCTAGCTTCCAGCCTCGCCTTCTCATCCAGCTTATCCTGCTTCTCCTTCGCTTTCAACAGCTACCTCCATCAGCTATACTCTCTTGCCTACGCCGCGGAGCTGGATCTCACATCTGCCGGCGACTTTCCAGCCATCGACTGCTGTTTCTGAATAGTCGCGATCGTCTTTTGGACTTTCGCCGACTTGTTCTTATTCTTCATCCCGAAAGTCTATACCATGGTCAGCTCGTCTCCCGGGCAGGAGGTGAGGGTGGCAAGGCGGACCTTGTCATCTTTGACAGCTTTTGGCGGCATATTGAGCTGAGTTTATGGGATTTTTAGAGCCGTCAGGCGGTTCCGTATTGGTTTCTCTGCTGATTTACCGATGTGGCGAGGCCGAATGAGAGCTCGCACTGCTGCTTGTGGGTATGATATGAATTGCTCAAAATATCAGTAATAAGGCGGAGCTGCAGCAGACGACCTTCTCGCTTGACCTGCAACGGAATCAGAAATCACGTGGCCCCACAGCTGCGAGACCGTGGGAAAGTTACCGCGCCTCCACCTCCACCGCGCACGTCCCCTTCTGAGCTCTCAAGCTCACTTCTTCCAACTTCCTCTTCCCTCCATCATCCTCCTATACCCTCACAGTACGTATATCCCCTCTCCTCTCCGCCTCGTATTCTTAAACAACCTCGAAAGCACCACCTATCACCACAACCACAATGCCGCCCAAGAAAGAGCCCAAGGAGAAGCAGATCAAGGGGGATGAAGGTACGTCAAAGCTCACTGGGGAGGAAGGAACCCTGAAGACTTGCTGACTCCACACAGCCGACGAGGTAAATAATCATATTCATAGAGCATGAGCTATGTACTGATACGATATAGCTTGTATTGCAGTACCTCAAATCAGTGAGTCTTCCTTCCCCCTCCGTACGGGTAAGGAAGGCGAGAATGAGCTAACGCGTCAGGTGAACCGCCCATATGCCAGCAGTGAGCTGCCACACTCTGACGCGTCCGTGATGCTGGTCTTAGCTGACATCAACAGCCGATGTCTCCGCCAACCTCAAGAACAAGGTTCCCAAAGCGGCAGCGCAGAAGGTCATGCAAGCTCTAGCGGGTAAGCTGCACACCGATGCATGACGCGATCAACAGCCCTGCGGTACACAGCTGACACTGCAGATCGCGGAGAGATCACTCTCAAGCCATACGGCAAGCAGACTATCTTCGTGTACAATCAGGTATGTCGTCCTCCCCATCCTTCCCCCGACCTGACGGGAGCTGACAAGCAGGACAATCTCCCAGTCATGTCTGCAGAGGATATGGCGACTCTGGACGAGGAGCTCAAGTCTGCCCAGGACTCGCTGAAGGAGCAGAGGGAGCAGTTGAAGGAGCTGGAAAGGAGTCAGCTGATAGCGCACATGACTGCTGCAAGCGCTGACCCTGTAGACCTGGCGGCCGTGGAAGCCTTACCGAAGACACAAGCTCTGCCTATCGCCATCAAAGAGATAGAGGAGCAGGTGAGAACGATCGATCTGTTCTCCTTCCCACTGACCGCTACTGACCATGCCAGAACGCGATGACTCTCCGCACCCTCGCCCCATACCGCAAGAACTGCGACGAACCTCAAGTCCGACCTCTGACGCCCGAAGAGATCAAGCAGATCGACGCCGAGTTTGTCAAGTGGCGGAAGCAATGGGTGGATCGGAGGAGGATGTACAAGATGTGAGTCAGCTTGCGAGGGAGGGAAGCGAGTGCTTCTCATAGAGCTGATCTGAGCAGCATCACGGACCAATGGGCTGAGTCCGGCGTGGGCATCGATGCCGAGTGGCGAGACTGCCAGGGAATCACGGAGGACGACGACGAAGCGATCGCACTCGAGACCGGCGAATTCTGCAAACCTCAAGTAACCGCCCGATCGAACGCTAAATCCAAGGCCAAAGCCAAACCACTCACTCCACCTTCCCGACCCTCATCCGCCGCGACAGCCGTCTCGAAACGATCCCTCAGCGATACTGCGAGCAGTCAAGAACCGGCCAAACCCAAGAAGAAGGCGAAGAAGGCGTAGGCGGGCGGAGAACGGGTCAGGGTGATCGGAGAAGTTATATAAGGGGGACCAGGGGAGGTCAGGGATTGTATCATGTTAACGACCGGTTGTGCATAGTACTCATGTATCGTCTCATGTATGCCCTTCCTTAATCGTGACCGGCATATAATTACTGCTTACATCGCCGTATTCTGAGCCCGCGCAACGTTCAGCGCCCCCGCTTCGGCCCGCTTCCCGCCCTTCCGCTCCGCCTCGGCCACCTTGACCGCGTTCTCCGACTCCTCGAGGGACTGCGTGTCGGGAAGATGAACATTGTTGATCATGAAGATGGAGACGAGCAGACCGAGCACGCAGACACAAGTACCGACTATGACGATTATGCGCTACTCACATCAGCTCATCCGCCCTAGCCTTCTGATCTGGAGCCGGGAAGGAGACTCACCTGAGCCTCATCCTGCGCTCTTTGGAGTGCCTGTCGAGGGAGCGTGTCGAGCCCATACTCAACAGCAAAGCCGAAGGGGTTCCCGTATGCCTTGGCCGCAAGCGCTTCATTCTGCATGTACTCGCTGATCCGGGAGGGGACGATGTTGGTCCAGATGGCGCCTCCGATGGCTGCGCCGATACCGCTCTGGCTCGTCAACTCCACACAGCACTGAGGACGCCGGAACTTACGGAGAGGTAGAATACGATGAGGTAGGCTGCAGTGATAGCTCCAAGATGCTCATGTGGCGCTGCAGACTGGATCACCGCCTATCTGTGTCAGTTGTCGCCCCTCTCGGGCGGCCGCGGACCTAGTAGCTGACCTGGGTAGGGAAGCTGATACACCCGATACCGAACCCCTTGATGGTCTGCACAGCGATAAACTCGCCGACCGAGTTATGGGACTGGCGGAATCGGATCATGAGCCCGAATGCGAGCGTCTGGACCGCGAAGCCAAGGACGATCTGCCTTGTCAGCTTGAGCCCGTCTGCAGTTCGAAAGCTTAAGGGCAAGCTGACGATAGGCTTGATGCGACGAGTGTAGCGAACGACCATCGATGCAAAGATGGCGATGAACGTCGCGGCGAAGGAAGGGACGGTAGAGAGGCGGGTGGCGGTCTTGACGTCTACGCCAGCGGCGACCACGACTGATGCGTCAGCTTCTTGCCTATCACCCCGCGATACGGAAGGTAGTATGCAACTTACAGAAGGTGTTGAGATAGCCGTTGACGATACGTCCAGCCATAGGGTGGATGAGCGCAATGAGCATACACCCAATGACGGTCTTGTTCCGGAGAAGGCGGAAGGGGATGAGCGGGTGGGGGGCGTAGTAGTGCTCGTATAGCCCGAAACCGATGATAAAGAGGCCGCCGAGGATGAGGAGGGCGATAGCGTGGGCTGAGAGGTCAGCTGGAGGGAGAAGAGGGATGAGCAGGAGGGGCTCACGGTCTGACCAGCGGGCAGTACGCGAGTTGGCTAGGGTGATGGTGACGAAGAACATGCCTGACCTGTCAGCTGTGTCTCATCGCGATTTGGGAGGGTTCAAAGCTCACCGAAGCCGAGAACGAAGAGCACAAGACCGATGAAGTCGAGCTGAAGATCAGAAGAACACTCAGCAGCAGTTCAAGGTGATATCGCTCACCTGCCAGAACATCGCCCTCGCACCCTGCTTGAACCGACCCAGACTGAATCGCTCACCCCGCCTCGCCGCGCGAATCTCATTACGATGTGTCCGGGGCGCCCTCGTACCGCGCCATAGGACAAGGATGATGGGCGTCGCCAGTATAGGGGTCAGGATGATGAATATGGCTGTGTCTGTCAGCGGTACACCAACCAGAAGGCGTTGGGGAGAAGGGGGACTGACCGAACCCCCAGCGCCAGCGCCACATCGTCCGATTGTTCTGCAAGAACGCATCGACGACGTCGCCTGCGACCCAGGTATTGATAGCCCCGGGGATGGAGGGGAAGATGGTCCACCAGTCTGCGGGTCAGCTTGGTTCTTATCTTCACAGGGGGTGAGGGGACGTACATCGGTTTCTCAGGCTCGAGATATCACTGCAAAGTCAGCCTCAGCAGCGGCAGCAGATGTGGCAGTGGACATACGAGATGATGATGTTTTGGAGCAAGAAGAGACCTGTGATGCCCAGGATATATATCGAGTTACCCACGGCGAACGTCACTAGATGATAAGCTCTCTTCACCCATGTAGATCCAGGCAGATATGAACTTACCGATGTTGTTTGACGAAGCAACGATGATATAGCCAATAACGTAGAAGACTACACAGCCTATATAGGCGTTGACTCGACCAAAGACGTCCGCAAACTTGGCGATGGGCGGCTGGGACATCGCTTGGAATACGGCAGTGACGGTGTTGATGGTGGACTGGAGGGCGTGGACGCCAAAGCTGGCGGAAACGGCTGTCTCTAGGAATCGGCCAGATGTGGATTGGTCTATACATCAACTTGGAGCCCTAAACTATTGGACAGAGTGACGCAGGAGAGGACGTACTGAGGGCCAAAGTATAGGCGAGAACCATGAACCCTCCATAGAGAAGAACGAGATACTTGGTATTGATCCGAGCTGCTAGATACTCCATCTCTACCACCCCCTTGGACTTCTCCTCGATGAGCGTATCGCCGGCCGAGGAGGCATCTTCGAGCGAGTCATCGTCCCGAGCTGGTGAGCTGGCGAAACGGTCCTTCTTCTCCGTGATGGGTGTATCGGGGGTCGAGTCGCCTTCGCGTGGAAGGTGGGGGATGGCGGTGGACATGCTGAGCGCGGTGTGGAGGATGGCTCGCAAAAGAAAGAGAGGAGCGGTCTTATATACCCTGCGATCCCCTTCCTCCCGAGAAATTTCGAGGGCGGTCCTCATGGGCTCATAGCGTATTCGTCAAGTCGGCCGAAATTCAGCTCCACATCGAAGAATGAAACAGATATTTTGGTCCTCCCGCCAAGTGTCGAAGGCGTAAGACGAGAGGAAGCCCATCCTCTCCGCCTTCTATGGCGTCGGATGTCCCGATGAGGGCAGGGAAAGCCACTAGCGCGGATGGGAGGAAGGGCATATTATCTGATAAAGGGCGAAGGGGGAGCGGAGCAGGGTTTATCTGATAAGCGAGCTCCGCCCGGACGTCGGACGGCATTCCGCGCGCATGCCGTGCGATGCCGCGTTGGTGCTTCGGGTGTAAAGCGGCCGAAGAGATCTTCTGGAGTCTTCTGGTCTTGTGAGCTCTCATCGGTCTCGATGCAATTGGCAGCGCTCGCCGATGTACGGATACGCGGACCCCATCATCCTAGTCGTCGGACTCCACAGTGGAGCTTGTGGCGCACGCTGGAAGCGGAGGGAACCGAGGGCGAGACGCGCCAAACGTGCGCTGGGCCACTGGGCTCATGCGAGCTGTGAGCCGTTGGAAGCTGTATCGGACCTCCGCCATGGTATCGAACAGACTTAGACTAGATACACAAGGGAATATCAACAGAGAGCGAAAGCCCGTGACGTCAATGGCACGCCAGTCCCTTCCCGAAAGCCCCGTTCAATATCGACCTAAGCTGATCAGTCGTGCGCTCGTCTGGCCAAACACCCCGGGCTGGTACTTACCCCACGTCCATATCTCCCTCGTATAGCACATGCCCGACGAAGGCGCCGACCACGATCGAGAGGAAGAGATAGGTGTTGTAGGTCATTGCGACCAGCATCAGCTGCAAACGTCAGCTTGAGTCTTGAGAGCACGACCAGCTGCCTGGACCCGAAAGCTGGACTTACCCAGAATGAGATGGCCACTGATAGCGCATACATCCCGGCTCGCATCAGTCGGATATGGGCGCTCAGCTTGACACTGCAGCCGTCAGCTTTGTACGGCGGGACCATTCGACTGTCCACCAGCCAGCTCACATTCCAGCCCTACTGTTTCCTCCGCCTCCCTCTACCGTCTGATAGCTATTAGGTATAGGCAGTATGAGGCTCTCTCTCCTGCTTTCTCTCCGAGCAGCGCCTGCCCCTCCTTTGTCGGCGTTGTGAAGGGCATAGGCGACGGTGGTGTCGAATTGCTTGATATAGTGGAGGAGGGAGGAGTAAAGGATTGAGATAACCATGACGGCGAGACTGCAGCATAAGCTCTGGGACAGCGCTGACATATGTAAAGCTGAGTATAGGCTTACCAGGATATAGCCATGGTCATCCAGCCTCGGATATGCCAGCTCGAGAAGACGACGCACACGTCCTCTACTTGATTGTTCCACAGCATATTCATCTGGAGCTCAGCAAATATTCCGTTCACTTCGTTCTCCTCTCTTCGAATATCTCTACTACCCGTCGACCCAAGAGCTTGCTGGACTCACCGAACACATGGGCATGTCCCCCATCGGCATATCGCCCATGGGCATTCCGTGATCTCCATGATGGCCTGAATGTCCCGAGTCCATGCTGTGCAATCAAGCTTCAGCTGAATGACAGGCTGAATACAGCTAGTCCTCAATGATGTACGGGCCGGCTCTACTTGGGTCTTGTATGACAGAAGCTGAAGAACACGAGCTGCACGCTGCAGACCGATGCCCGAAGCCAGGTCCGGCTAAATCTCGGGGAAACCTCCCGAAGGTTCCGGGGCCACTTTCCTTCGGTCCGACTCAAGCGTCACTGGAAATTATCGATCTCTCCCTCGCTTCTGCCTTTGTCCCTTGTCCAAGTCGACATGAGATGACAAGTACAGCTCCCCCTTCCAGAGTGAGCGTCCTCAGTGGCCGCTGAGTGTCTATGAGAGGAGTAACGATGGTGCTGATCCCCTAGGAGCCGGAAATGACTGGTCCAGACGAGCCGTTGATCGTCGAAGCCAAAGCGCCGGTCCATCATCCGTATATCGGCTTCGCGGCTGGACTATGCTCTGGGTGAGCTCAAGACCGGAGCTGACTGATGCCTCTCGAAGAGTACGAGCTGATGGTGTAGGTGGACCAAGCTAGTGGTGGGGCATCCCTTCGATACCGTCAAAGTAAGTCATCTTCAATGTCCAGGAGGCTCGTAGCTGACCTATCAGACTAGATGTGAGCTGCTCGGCCTCCTTGACCCATACTGACCCTTACTGACGACCCAAGTACAATGTGCGCCTCCGGGGACGTTCGGTGGAGCTTGGCACTGCCTCATAACGACAGTCAAGAAGGAGGTGAGAAAAGCTGCAAATCACAATTAGAGCTTCAGCTGAAGCTCTGCAGGGACCAAGAGCGCTGTATAAGGGCGCCTCAGTACCGGCTGTATCATGGGGTATCAGTGACTCCATGCTCATGGGGAGGCGAGTTCTACGCCGCCCGATCGTTTTCGGCGCAAACAGCTGATGAGAACAGTCTCCACAACTACCGAGCCTATCTACGGGATAACGGCTTTGGAGAGCACGACCCTACTGGCGCATCTCCAGACGGCAGAAGATTGAGTATATTGGGACACACAGTAGCCGGTCTGTTTGCAGGATGGACAAAGTAAGCTAGGTCTTCTGTGTATCCGACCTGGAACAGAGCTCGAGCTGATGGTACGCAGTGCGGTCGTCGCCCACCCTACCGAAACGATCAAATGCAAGCTACAGTTGCAAATAGCTCAAGCCGACAATACGCCAAAGCAGTTCAAGGGACCTGTAGACGTCGTCCGGCAGACAGTCAATGCGCAGGGAATAGCGGGGATGTGGAGGGGTTTAGGGGCGAGCTTTATCTATCGGAGTAGTTTCTTGGCGATGTTCGGAGGTGAGTTGTCCTTCAGCTAGACTTGGCGACGCATTGTAATCTAAGAGAGCTGACGTGTGCAGGATTTGAGGTCTTTAATCGGTTATTCGCATCTTGGGACGGAACGAGCTGGGCGATGAGCCAAGGAGCGGCAAACTTCCTCGCCGGTGGATTGGCGTCAAATCTCTATTGGGCAATGGCACTGCGTGAGTGGTAGACAGACCTCGTGCAGGGCGCTGTAGCTGACATGTCGCAGCACTAGACAATATCAAGAATCGGATCATGACAGACTCGGTCACGAAACCTCGATATCATGGTGTATTTGACGCGTACAGGCAGGTATGGACGGAGAGTGGGAACCCAAGTAAAGGGGTCGTATGGAATGCTTTGGCGCGGACGAAGAACTTTTACAGGGTGAGTCCGCTCCGTTGTTATTGTTCTGGCGCAACGGAGCTGATGGAGTATAGGGTGCGGTCCCGGTTGTACTGCGCGCGTTCCCGACGAACGCGGCTGCGCTGGCGGTGTATGAAGCTGTGATGCGGTATTCGAATAGCGTGTAGCCTAGAACATAGATTTTTCTAATATCTGATATCTTCCCATCTCTTACTGTCTATCCGGCTATATGTCGACTTGCGATTGCAAGCTGGTCTGAGCGCGATTCATTACCCAAAACATCGCCTTGGGCCGGTCACCAGCGCTGGGGAGAGGCTATAGTGATCGATGAGCTACATGTACTGCACTACAACGCTATGGCTCATCAGGTCTGCTACGGCTACACCTAAGTAGCCGAACCGCTCCCTACCACCTTGGCCGCCTTCTTCCCCTTCGCCATCGCATCACGAACCCGCTGCTGCTCGGCAGACCTCAACACCCTCATCTCGTCCGGCGCCAGCTCTCGCTTGCTCTCGGGTCCGTCCAGGTAGTCTAGGAGCGAGACGAAGTGGAGCCGATCCATCACCGCCATGTCCGTCCCGCTCTTTGAGATTGCCTCGGTCATCTCTGCGCGTATCGCCTTGGCCCCATCCATCCGCTTCCCCTGCCCGTCCGAATGCCACAAGCCCGAGGACGCCAGCCGTTCCGCACCCACTACTGTCCAGTTCCTGCCGCCTACATCGCCGCCGTGAATGAGCCACTCCGCCAGTCCCACAGATAGAGCTGGAAGAGTGACGCCTTGCGGGATCCCTGTCGTGTTGTGAGGGTTGGACGGCATTGCCGTGAGGAGGAAGACGATATCGGTAATGTGCGGGGGAACGGTGTGGTGTATGTGCTGCGCGTCTGAGGGGTGCTCGATGGCGCTTGCGAGAGGATTGATGCAGAGGAGTAGGCGGTTGAGAGAAGGAGGGAACGATAGACCGCCGGGAAGAGGGAAGATTGGGGATTGGTTGATATGGTCGATCCGTAGTGTGGTAGGCGTGAACATCAGGTAGAGTGGGCAGGTATGTGACGGTGGTGTCTCCGTAGCATCTTCCGGCCGGCTGTGACTGTTTGCCCGCGCAGCGTGTAACGGCGACCGATCCTCCCTACAGAGACCCCGCCGATCAACCTGCACCGTCCGCACCATCGCCACCTGCTCGCTCCGCACCATCCGCGGCGGACACGCGTACGCGGCGTGCGGCATGATCTTGACCATCCTCGCATACTGTGCCAGCAATCTCTGCATGGGCGCAGAGAACCACTTGACCGCGTCCGGCAGGTCCCGCCGCGATTTGATGGCCCTGCGACTATCGTATGGATCGAGGGAGGCGCAGGGCCAGCGGATATCGACGATCTCTGCCAGGAGGTACCGGTTGACCTGCATGAGCCGTGCGAGGGCCTGGTCTGATGCGTAGAAGAGGATGAGGGAGAGGATATCGGTGTGGAGGATAGGGTGAGGGGCGGGTGGAGTGATCGGAGGCTGGGGGCTGTACATGGCCAGACTGGTCAAGTCCTCGATCTCCGTAGTCATTGAACTCATGTGGATACAGTCTGGCCTGTCAGCTTCTTATTCCCGGCTCTTTCAGTTCGTACACTCACCTGGCCTTGAGCAGGATGTATGAAGGCAACGCAGAGAAGTTGCAGAGGCTAAAAGACGCCGCCGTTGATTGATGCGATCTCAGTGACGTAATTCTCATGCTTGGGCTTTATCTGAAACACCACCCAAATTTGATTCCGAGCGAGGCGAAACTCCGCATTCCTCGTTCTTACCTTCACTCAACCAATCCCTCCCCTTTTCTTGGTATCTTCAATAAGAGGAGTCACCCCATCCGCACCAGGTCCCAGACAGTCAACCAGGTACATAGGATGGGTGTACTGTACTCCAAGCCAAAGGTGAGTGTTCTCAGTGTAGAAATCTGTCGCTCGATCGTCCCGGAAGGATCCCATTGTGACCGCTGCTGATACGCATAGGGGGACGACATGGGAGACGGCATGCCAACCCAGAATATACACGACGATCTCTCCCAAGCTCTAAGCCCTGCCAATCCTCCTCCCCATCCTATAACAGGCGATATCCTCCCCCTCGTCCTCGCTCACCTCGGACACGGCGATCTCGCGCGATGCCTCCGGGTCAATCATCAATTCTTCGGTTGCGCCGGCCGTTTGCTGTACAAGGTCATCGAATTTCACCTCTCTACCTCGGAACAGCCGAGTTATGCTCCAAAGCTCTTCACAGGCATACGTGCCAATCGGTCTCGGTACGAAGCGCTGAAAGCCTACCTTGGCGGCGGTATGGCAGTCCCATCCTCCACCAAAATGGAGCTGTTGTCGTTCACCCAAGACCTCCAGTACGCCGTCCACCCCCTTACCGACTGCATATTTCACCCTGTGACGGATCTCCTACCCTCTCTTGTCTACCTCAACATCTTCTTTTCTAATTCCCGTCCTATTCAGGGCGCCACCTGCGAATGGTCCTGCCCCATCCTCGACTCGATCGCTCCAACGCACATCCGCATCGTGGACGGCCGTCTCGTCCGCCATCTCGAGCCCCACATACCTCTCGGTAGCCTCTTCTATTCCTCTATCCAAGAAATTATCATGTACGTCGAGACGACGACTATCAACGGATCGGACGCCGACCGGAGATTCTCTCCATCGAGTGGCCAGCGTCTATGGCGCGTCTCACGCTCGTCCTCAACCGTCAAGTGGCGTCCTCTTTCCGTAAATATGATGACGACAATCCCCACGAACAGAACGTCCTCCCGGTACTCGCAATGACCGAGAAGGAATCGGACGGAACCGCGGAATTTACCTACTCGGTGGTCCACCATCTCCTCGCCGCCGAGTGGGTCGGCGCCAAGATGACGGTCTACGTCTTCCAGGGCCTCGTAGGGTTCGTCGTCGGTCCGGACGATGAGGGAGGCAGGGATCCATGCGATGCTAAGGGGGAAATATTCAGGCGGGAGATTTTCGGCGGGTGCCGGGAAGGGCTAAGGAACCCGTTTGAAAAGGCGCGAATGATGCTCGAGCTGGTACTTCGTCAAGGCCTGAATCCAGTCGTCAAGGGGCGAGCCTTTGGATAGACACTCTTCACAGCGACCCTCGCATGCGGAGACCATCTGTAGCTCGTCGTACGTCCGTGACTGTTCCTCGGTCAGGTAGACGGGAGCGTACCTCACTTCACCGTCTGCAGTTTCGGTGAAAACGTAGACGATTGGCTGATCGCCGACAGGATCGGAAGCGGCAGTCCGAAATACACCGCTCTTGCTCCGATGTGTCGATGGGTAGGCGGTGGGCCGAAGATCAACGAGGAGGCGCACATGCCAACATTACATTTCTTCCCAGGAGTTTCAAGCTGGGCTCGCCCTCCATGGATCAGTCATACTCGGACTCTGTATTAAGATCACGACTTTACACAGAGTTGGCCGTCCGCTCATATGTGATGGGCTGCCTGAGAAGCTATCGCCGTGGATAATGCCAGATGAGGCCAAGAGCCGGGGTGCCACAATAAGCTGTCCGGAGTAATCTCGGCGAATTGTTTGGCGTATCGATTAGACCTCGGCTTCGGATTGCCTGCTTCGTTCTTCCTTCCTCCTCTCATCCTCGTTTATACAGCAATGTCTTCCTCAAAGGCCTTTGCCCTGCCCGCAAGGCCTCAGTCGCTGGCTGAGCAAGCCGCAGAGAGCAAGACCAAGGTCATCAGCGGCGGCATCAGGCTGGGGGGTCCCATCACTCTGCCTCCCGCTCCGGTGGCTCTTCCTTCCTCAGAGGCTTCATCGTCCTCCTCGCAGGTCACCCCGGGCGGACCGGGCGGATCTTCGCCCATGGTCATCAGAGCCCTCACGAGCGAGCCCAAGCTGGCTCTGGGACATGACACCGCCTCATCCCAGACCGCTCTCGGCAAGCGCAAGGCTCCCTCCGGCACCCCTCCCCGTGACTTTACCCTCCAGCCTGGGTCCACGGCCCGCACCGACCGCGCCGCCTCCACCTTCAGCACCTTTTCAACGGATACCAAACCTCTCCTTCCTATCGCACTCCTTCCCCTCCCTCTCCCCTCCAAGCGCTTCAAAAAGTCTGCCTCGTCCAAGGCGGTCCTCATCCCGGTCGAACAGCTCCCAGTTTACCCCCTCCCGCCACCCCCGCCCATCCGGGACGCATCACTCGCTAAGCAGGTCTTCATCCACTCGAGTTGCTTCCCTAAGACCCGGAGCCGATTCGAGGACGCCGCCGAGCGGCCAACGGAGCATTATGAGAAGCTGGAACATGTGGGAGATAGCATTCTGGGGATGGTGGTCACTACTTGGCTACACGAGGTGAAGCCGGGTCTGAGCTGTGGGACTGCCAGTGTGAGTCAGCTGTCTGACGCGGACGGCGCCGGAGCAAAGCTGGCCGGAGCAAAGCTGACCCGAGCAGAAACTTAAGGCGCATCTCGTCTCGAACGCAACGCTCTCGCACATTTCGGGCATGTACAACTTCCCTCAGCGGCTCCAGGGCGATCCACACATCCTACCGGTACTTCGAGCGCAGACGGACGTCCGAGCGGCAATGATGGAAGCGTATATCGCTGCGCTGTACTTCTCCTTCCCGGTCGAGCAGCGGTTGGGGGAGGGATTGCGGGTGATCGACGCGTGGTTGAGGGAGATGTACGAGCCGCTCTTTGACTTCTTCTACGATTATATGAAGTCAGCTCGCTTACCCACGAGATGTTGAACAGAGCTGATATTCATAGGAGCGAGTACGAGCAACACCACCTCACCCTCTCCTCCACCCTCTTGGGGGGATCCCACATCTACACCGAGGACGAAATCGCTGCCATCGACGCTTCCTCTCAGGGCATGGCGAACCTCCTCAAGATGTACTGTTTCCGACAGGACCGGGAGCTACACTTCGAGGAGGAGCGGTATGAGACGCACTGTGGGATCCTGTGGCGGCTGAAGTGTACGGTCGATGGGATCGAGGTGGGGGAGGCGACGCGGAGCGGGAGGAAGGTCGCCAAGAATGTTGCGGCGTGGGAGGCGTGTAGGCGATTGGGTCTGGTGGTGAGTGCGATTCTGAGATGTATAATCAGGCGAGAGGAGCTGACATGGTAGAAAGATGAGGACACCGAGATTGTGGACCTACCGGCAAAGAAGGATGTCGAGGGAGACACGTCTCCGCTGGAGGAAGTCTCCGAGGAGCAGGAGTCATCGCAGTAACGCGGCGACAAGGAGGCGGCCATTCGACACCATCAGACCGTAGCACGACCCAACGACTTATCGTCGAGCCAAGACTCACGGCCCGCCCTGTTCATAGCAAGCCAAGTTGTACATATTTAGCCTTCCATGTTGTACATAGCACAGCTGTAGCCCAAGAAATCGTATACTATCATCATGCAGATCGTCAATTAATCGTTTCGCCAATCTGGCTATGTACTCCTTCATCCCTCCCTACCACTGCTTACACTCCGGATCCGATTACTTCAACCTATTCATCTCCCTCTTTGCCTTGCCCAACTTGCCTCCCGTCTTATCCACCGACGTATCCAGATCATCCAGCATCTCATTCTGCTCCCCAATCTCCTGGTAGATCTCCTCCCCCATCTTCCTCTGCCTCTGGAGCAGCTTACTGAGCTCTCCAAGCGCCTGATCCTGCTCGCCCATCTTGCTCTGCTGTAGCTGAAGCACGCCCCCATCGTCCAGCGGCCGCGTCTCCTCCGTCTCCTGCGGCGGCGCCTTCTGCCCAAACACTCTTCCCGGTGCGGCCGGTGCGTGGGCATGCGAGCCAAATAGTGCCGATGACGCGGGCGTTGGCGAGCCCGAATCGCCCCCTCCACCACTGGCTCGGGAGAATCCACTTCCTCCCCCTCCTGCCCTGACTCCCGCCTCTGCCATCCTCGTCAAGCTTCCTCGTTCCGCCCGGAGATTCTCAACCATCTCTTCTCTCCGCCGTTTCTCGCCTTCCCCTAGTCCGCCCTTCAGTCCACCCAGCTCCTTCTCCAGTCGATCCACTCGGGGTCCTAGATCCCGTAAGAGCCTCTTGGCCTCAACGCCCGCCTGTCGACTGCCTACTGCGTCCGACATGCCCGCCAAAGCATCCCGCTTGAGGAGCGCCGACCGGATCGAGCGGATGAGGGAGGAGAGGGCGGTCTGTTCCGAGAGCCAGGTCTGAGGCGTCCAGATCTCGGGAGACGGGCCGACGGTCGATGAGGAAGAAGGGTCGAAGGAGGAGGATGAAGAGGAAGGGCCAGACCCAGATGCGCGGACTTGCGGGACAGCGAGGAAGTCGGTCCACCCGTATGCTTGGCGCCAGCGGGTGTCTTTGGTAGTAAGGATGGAGCGGAGGTACTGCTCAAGGAGTACACGGCGTTCCCGGATGATCTGTACGGTCAGCTCGAGCTTGAGCGGCATGGTGGTTCGGTCCTTGGTATGACTCTGGCTCACCTTGTCATCGTAGACAGATCGTGTCAAGCTCCAGACGTGCTTCCCTGGTAACGTCCCGGGTGGCTCTCTCCCCGTCGAAGATGTCAGCTCGGCATGGAGGTCGATAAAGTCCGAATAGCGCCGCGCTACGGTCCATGTCCGGATTGGCGTGGAGACTGGCGGATCAGCTTGTTTACAATGTTGACAATTTGGCAAGCGGATGTGCTGTGGGGTAGGGTCTTTGAGTGCCCATCCGATGATGCGAACTAGTCAGACAAGGAGCAAATCAACAGGCAGACATACTTTGGATAGTGTAGGTCGTATGTGGCTTAGGTTGCTGAACCGTCTGAGTCGAGGTGATGGCGATATTCTGGATGTCCGACATGGTGATGCGATGTCGACTGCACGTCTGCTACTTGTTGGTAGACTTGGAGGCGGAACTTCGCAATGTGACGAGAGTATCTCTGGTAATCGCAGATCTGTATAGGCCGAAGGGGTTATGGGGATGATGAAAGTTAGACAGAAGAAAGATGGATGAAAGCTGCAGCTGCACAGCTGGGTTCCGCAAAGATCGGCTTTCGGCTTCCCCGCATCATCGTCTCAGGTCCACTGACACATCCATCAAACAGCGCCTATGGGCTCGCGAGCGCCTCTCATCTCGCCCAGCCGATGATGCTGACCAGGTCTGAGGCAAGAGACATCGCGGAATGCATGGTAGCGTAAAGATCGTATACTATAGTATGATCATACCCCCTCTTCTCCTCTTCCCCTCTTCCGCCCTTTCCCTGTTCCCCCTGCCCGCTTCTCCAGCTCAAGCAGGCGCCACCAGCTGCCCATGAACCGGATCCACCACATTTCGCAGTGTCTCCAGGAGCGTCTCCGCCCCTCGCCTGATGCCCCAGATACTGACTTGCTTGATCCGTTTTGTATTGGCGACTTCGGACGAGACGTGGTGGGTGAGCGCCGAGTGGATCTGTTGTGAGATGGAACGCATGAGGCCAGCTGAGATGATCAGCTCTGAAGCATGGGCGATGCTTGTCTCTCAACTGAGCAGGGACTCACTCTCGAACAGCGTCCAAGAGCCATCGAAATCCCGGAGGTCTGCGTCGACTTGACAGTGAATAGGCATGAGGGTACGATTGGCACTGATGTATCAGCTACTGCATTGCAAGAGGACTACAGGATCAGACTCACTTGATGAAGGCCACAATAGGCCGGATGAGCGCATTGTTCGTGACGCTCAAATCCGTCGTGTAGATAGGCACCGCCGCCTTAAGATCCCGGAACCTCAAATCGATATCTACCGTCACCCTCCTACTCCCATTCTCCACTTCCGCCGCCTTGCTCGCCGCCCCCTCATCCTTCGGCGCCCGAAGGGGAGGTCGCGCGAGCCTGGCCGCTCCGGGATTGATATTGGATATCTTCGCCTCAGACGCAGCTGCAGCAGCTTCAGCGGCGAGGGCAGATTCGAGCGCTCTGAACCCGCCCGCCTCTGCTCCAACGACATCCGCGGGAGCCGTGGAGTCCTCCGAGTCCGGATGGTCCCCTCCAGCGATCTTGCCGACGTTCCGCCCAATCTCGTCAAAGATCGCTCGGAAGTCGACTTGCTCGTCTGGGTGGAAAGGGAACTTGATGTCGAGCACGGCATCGAGCTTGCCGGCTGTGATCCAGGACATGGGACCCGTGTGGCCGGTAGCGTACTGAGCGTGCTCGATGGGGAGACCGTCGATCCGGAATCGAGCCTGAGGTATGAGCTAGATCTTCGACGTAGAGGAGTTCATGTAGCTCACCATGCGCTTCACCAACCCCTCTTCCGACTCATTCGCCTTGCCCAACTTCTGCGGCATATGCAGGCTGAAGAGACAATTATCAAACTGCCCCGTAATCGCCTCGGCGCTCATCATGTCGTAAAACATCCACCGCTTTCTCAGCGGCCCGATCGCCGCGTTGAAGATACTGACATTGAATGGCCGCTGCCCGCCGGGCTGGTATACCGTGATGAGCGCATCCTCGACCTGAAGGCTTTCAAACTCAAAGTCTCCGGGCCGTGTGGCATGGCGCCAGTCTTCCGGCTCGAGCTGCTTGGAGGTGTCCCACCATACCGACCGCCGATCGACGACGCCCCGGACGCCCTTGATTTTCGCATCCTTGACGAGACCTTTGCCGTCTAGCCACCGCACGATAGAGAGGGTGACTTCGACTTCGTCCAGGTTCAGGTCGAACATGGTGTAATTGTCCGTCTCGGATGCTGGGGAGGAGGAGTAGGTGTCGGGAGAAAGGGACGAGGAGAGGAAGGCGGTAGGCGAGGGCGGGGCGGCAATGGATGCTTTGGGACCGGGAGCTTTGGGCTTGGAAGCTGATGAGGTGGGTGTGGGGGTTCCGGTTGGAGAGGTGGAGTCGGAAGCGCGGCGGGATATGTAGACATTCTGGAAGGTAATGGTGGATGCGCCCCAGCGGGGTACGATGGCTGATTCGAAGCTGGGATGTCAGCTTAACAGTTTGTGCACAATTGGGGCTCTCAGCTTACATGACGGTCACTCCTGTTTCTGAGGTCATGTAGTCGGAAATCCACCTCGCTGCGTACTCTTGCAACGACAAGGAGTTGAGAGTGGCGAATACTGCTGATACGAATGTCGTACTAGATCATCAGCTGAGCTCCCCTTCGGTCGTGACCCAATCGACGTACGTTCCGATCAATATCCATAAAGCTGGAAGGATCAGCTTAATCCAATATACGATATCCGGAAGCTGCACTCACTATTACCCAAGACGAACCAGCTCGCAAAGGCACTCATGTCATCCGTATTGAACCGCCTCCACCCTCTGATCGTGAACCACTTGACACGGATTCGTAATCTTTCCCACCAGCTGGACGCCGCGCCTAGCAGCTCTTCCTTGCTTGGCCGACCAGTGGACGTGAGGGGCACCGCCGCCCGCTTCATCAGCCGCTTGATGAAGGGCGAGTAGTCCTGGGCATGGTCTCGCCGAGGCCCGGCTAGGGGCTTCGACGAGGAAGCCGACGCGCCGGGCGAGCAGTGAGGACAATCATCCTTTCCCGACGGAGTGGACTGCCACCGGCGCTGAGTGAGCTGACGGATGGATGTCGCTCGAGCCAGCGACCGAGACTGAAGCAGAGACGGCGCGGTCTGCGCTTGACGAGTGAAGAAGGACCGGATAACGAGGTATCGATCTCCAGTGACGGGACGCGCGACCGATGCCCGGCTCGATGCGAGAGCTGATCTCGCTGCTCGGAGCGGGAGGTGGGCTGTGAAGCCGACCATACCGCCTGGAGCTTGTCGGAGCTGTACTTGATGACAGGCAACCCTTCAAGCCCTCAAGAGACTAGCTTAGCTGACAAGCGACTGCACGAGTAGATGAGCGACGCAGTGAAGAAGGATCGCCGGTGAAAATCGTAACCGTTGAGCTGAAACCTTACCCCGTGGAGAAGTAACGTAATTCGCCACCCACTGGCACCACGTCACTGAGGTTATCGTGCCACATCTACAGCCTAGAGCAGCTCACTCTCCTATGCACGCTCAAGCACATCCGAGACGTCGGGCTGTACATCGATGCCTTGGTTAGCCAGAAGGATGCACGTATGACAAGCAGGCCATGTGCCCCGCAACTCCTCTCTTCTGCGATAAGGCGGCTAGCGCCGGTTACCCCAGATAGCGTGATCCGCTCTCTCTCCCATTTTCCGTGAACAGCGACTCGAGCTCGTTTCATCGCCTATATTAACTCTCCAAAGCTATTACATCTTGTGCATTGACCCATATCTTCACATCTAAGCAAAGATGTTCCGCCCCCAATATAACGAGGATCCCTCCTCACCGACCGAATCATCTCTCGCTACTTCAATCTTCGAGTCACCGTCTCACAGCGTCTCGGACGCAGACAAGCGTGCAGCCCAGATTGCGAAATGGCGCTTCTCCACTCTCGCTGCGAACGTTGACACGAAGGATCAGTACGGGGCCAGCTCGACTCCGATATATCAGACGGCGACGTTCAAGGGGGTGAACGGGGAGTATGACTACACCCGGAGTGGAAACCCAACTAGGGGTGGTTTAGGTGGGTCTCCCTTCAACGCCGTGATCCGTGCGGCATGAAGCTGGACTGATGGGTAGAATCACACTTGGCTAGACTGTATGGCGCATACTCTGCCTTTGCTCTTTCGACTGGTATGACATGTCTCGACATGATCCTCCGGCTGGTCAAGCCAGGAGAGACCGTTCTCGCCGGAGACGACATTTACGGCGGCACCAACCGTCTCTTGACATACCTCAGCACGCACGGTGGTGTAGACGTCAGACATCTCGATACTACCCGTCCGGAGCTGCTGCTGCCGCACCTTGGCGGAGGCAACAAGTGAGCTGACCCTTCTGTTCGCTTGGACAAACAGAAATCAGCTAACTCTCACAGGGTCACTATGGTCCTCCTCGAATCACCTACCAACCCCCTACTCAAAATCGCCGACCTCGGCGAGATCGCCGCACTCGTCAAATCTCGTGCGCCGAACGCCCTCATCGTCGTCGACAACACCATGATGTCGCCGTACCTCCAGCGCCCGCTCCATCTCGGCGCAGATATCGTCTATGACTCGGGCACCAAGTACCTCTCGGGCCACCACGACGTCATGGCCGGTGTCATTGCGGTCAAGGACGAGGCGGTACACAAGCCTATCGCATTCATGATCAACTCGGTCGGGTCCGGTCTTGCGCCGTTCGACTCGTTCTTGCTCCTCCGGGGAGTCAAGACGATTTCGCTCAGGATGGATAGGCAGATGGCGACTGCGCAGCTGGTCGCGGACTATCTGGACGCTTTGGGTTTCTTGGTGCACTACCCGGGGCTCAAGCATCATCCCAAGCGGGATGTGCATTACAAGCAGGCGACAGGTGCAGGGGCGGTATTGAGTTTCGTGACGGATGATAAGGCGCTCAGTGAGCGGATTGTCGGCGGAACCAGGCTATGGGGTATATCCGTGTCCTTTGGCGCTGTCAACAGTCTGATCAGCATGCCCTGCATGATGTCGTACGTCGTCTCTATTCCGTAACCAGCTCTTGCTGACAAGCAGCCATGCGTCCATCTCCGCTGCGGTCCGCGCCGAACGCGGTCTTCCCGAAAACCTCATCCGCCTATGCGTCGGTATCGAGGACCCCCGGGACCTGATCGACGACCTCGAGGCCGCTCTCCTTTCTTCCGGTGCCATCATCCACAACCTCTCCTACTCCCCTCAGAACCCTACCAAAGTCGAGGCGATATTCGATACCGACCCGTCCAAGTGGATCTTGGAGCGGGCGAAGGCGTTCCGCAGGCCGGGAGAGGAGTCGGCGATGGCCAGGCTGGTACAGGGCGTCAAGCGGTCTTTGGGTATGAGCGCTACTGAGCGGAAGAAGGTGGAGGGGGAAGTGGTGGTCTCTGCCCCGGGGAAGGTCATCTTGTTCGGAGAGCATGCGGTCGTTCATGGTGTAGTGAGTTGCTTCGCGCGGAGTTTGGGCTGTGTCCTCCAGCATCACAGCTGACCTTTAGACTGCTATTGCCACCTCGGTCAACCTCAGATGCTACGCCGCCCTCACCCCGCGATCCGATGACAAGGTCGCTCTCGAAGTGCCTGATCTGGGTCTCGAGATGGCGTGGGACATCGACTCGCTTCCATGGCATCTCCTTCCTATCCAGGTCGAGCAATCTGGATCATCTCGGCGGCTGGCGGACAAGGATCTCGACGCTCCACTTCTCGAAGCGCTCGAGGAGGTGGTCAAGGCCGGGAACGTCAATGTGAAGTCGGCGCTGGGTGCGGCGGTCGCATGGCTGTATCTATACATGACTATTGCTGGGTCTGAGGCTGAAGCGTGAGCTTTCTACTCGCAGGAACTTAAGAAGCGAAAGCTGATGATCTAGCTTCTCTGCCACATTCACCGCCTCCTCCAATCTCCCCATCTCGGCCGGCCTCGGTTCCTCCGCCGCCTACTCAACATGTATCGCCTCCGCCCTCCTCATCGCGCACCAATCCGTCCCCACCCCTTCTTCCTCGTTCACCGCAGAAGAGACTAACCTGATTGACGGCTGGGCCTTCCTCTCCGAGAAGGTCCTGCACGGCAACCCGTCCGGTATCGACAATGCCGTCTCTGTTCGAGGAGGCGCTGTTGCCTTCACTCGAGCTATCGGTGGTCGAGCGGGCGGTCTGGAGATGCTGAGCGGGTTTGAGAGTGTACGGTTGCTTCTCACCAACACGCTTGTTGGGCGGGATACGAAGACGCTCGTAGCGGGTGTAGGGAAGTTGAGGGAGGAGGAGCCGGAGATGGTTGAGGGGGTCATGCGGAGTATTCAGGCTATTAGTGATGAGGCGAGGGGCCTGCTTGGCGCGGGAGAAGTGCTGGATAGGCAACGCCTCATCGAGAGGCTCGAAGTGAGTTCCCCATTCTGACTCTCCGAAAGAAACAAGCTGATCTCTAGGCCCTGATCAAAGAGAACCACTCTCACCTCGTCACCCTCCGAGTCTCCCACCCCTCCCTCGAGACCATCGTCGCAGCAACTTCCCGCTCGCCTTATAACCTCAGTACCAAACTCACCGGCGCCGGTGGCGGAGGCTGCGCAGTCACGCTGATCCCGGACGACTTTGACCAGGCGTCACTGGAAGAGCTTATCGAGGTGCTCAGGAGGGACGGGTTTGAGCCGCACCTGACATCTTTGGGCGGGAAGGGGGCCGGTGTGCTTCGGAATGAGGAGAAGGATGGGGCAGGGAGGGTTGTCGGGAAGGGAGAGGATGAGGGTGTGGGTATGCCCCTGAGGGCGGGATTGAGGGGTGTGGGGAGGGAAGGGGTAGGGAAGTGGGCAGAGGGACTGGGGGAGTGGGTGTTTACTTGATCTTGGTCTAGATACTGATTGCTGGGATGGGTGGATGTTTCTCATTTGTAAATATATTGACTATGGACAGGATTGGACGCGGATCGCGGTCAAGCTGACTCTTCTTCTGGGTTTCACTTCTTCTTCTAACTTCTGATCCCTCTCTTTCGCGCTCGAGAACATCCTGATCAGGGCGACCACACCGAGATTTGCGAGAAGCCCGCCGGAGAGGATGTATTCGGAGCTGGCGACTCCGGTGTTGTGGTGTTGAAAGCAGCGGCGACCTTCTGCCAAAAGACGACGGGGGTGTCTCGCTGGTAAATTTGGCGCTGCTCGTCAGCTTTACGACTTTTGCGCATTGATTGCACCGGACTTCGCACTCACGGCCGCGGTAGCGGCTTTATGGGCCCTAAAGTACCCCAACAACCAAGCCACTGGGAGCGTCTCCGCCTCTCTCGGGTCCAGCCTGTCCGGATCCACCTTGCTCCTCCTCTCCTCGCTCAGACCCCCGAACTTCCCGATCGCCTTCTTCGCCAGTGCCAGATCCTCGTACCTGGCTGCAATGCACAGCACGCGCCATGGGTCCGAGCCAAAGGTGGGCTCGAAGTGGTTAAGCGCCCGCTCGCGCATACCCGGTCCGCACTCGAACTGGTCGAGAAGCTGGAGAAGGGCGGACAGGGCAGCGATGGCATTGGAGCGCCCGCGGTAAGCGTTGTTGGCGGATCGAAAGAGATCGGTGAAGTGCGGGGTGGGGCCGGACTGGGTTTCAGCAGGGCTGGAAGCAGAGGGAGGCGTCGATGCGAGAGTCGGAAGCGAGGGGCCAGGGGAGGGGTCAAGTGGATCCGAAGCGGTCGCGAGGAGGTCGGTGTGGTACATGAGATCGATGAAGAGCCGGACGATGAGCGAAGGGGCGGAGATCTCGATAGGCGGCTGTTGAGTAGCATTGGGGCCAGTCGTGTCGTTGGTACGCGCAGCGGAGGAAGTAAGCATGCTCCGGAAGACTCCGCTGAGACCGTCAGCCACTTGAGGGTTCTATTAGCCACCTCAGGCCCAGCTCACCTTGCTGCCTTCAGATAGAAGGCCTGGACCTTGAATATCGCCCCATCCTCGGACCTGAGCTGCAGCTCCGCATCATCGTCGGAGTAGGGGTACTGGAGTGCGCCAAAGTCGATTCTGATTCGCTGTGTGCGAAACCGGTGTTGGGGTCCGTGAGAACCGCCGTTCTTGCAAACTCGGCCTCGAGTTGAGGGGGGGATTTGAGGGATGTTGGGAATTTGGGGCAGGGACATGGTCCGGTATTTCACTGAGAGGTAGAAGTAGAGCAGGGGATCTGGAAGAGGCGCGCGGCAAGAAGGATGATGGATGATGGCGGGATTCTGGGTTGAAGTGGGGAGGTGAAGGTGGGTGGTCTGAGCGGTGGCAAAAATCTGAAACATCCGAGCGTTTCGGATCCCAGCCTGGGCTGCACAGGTAAGCCCGCCAAGAGCGGCGCTTGCCAGTCCTTCCTGTAGACATGGAGTTGGATATTCATGCCTATGTGATATGTGTGGGATACGGAACGATCGATTACCGTATATAGATCAGGCAGCTCTTCCTTAAAGGGCTGGACCCATGAACTGCTGGGCCACTTTTGACCAGAACCCTGTCTCCAGTTCAGTCGTGGCTACAGGGCGAATCACCTGGATAAGAGTCAGTCGCGCACTACTCGTTATGGGGAATCCGAAGTAGAGCAGGTGGACATACATAGGGCTGAACGGCGTGCGCCAAAGAACCCCCGCGGCCACGGCCACGGCCAGACCAACTCGGCAGGTGGGCAGCTTGAAGCTCCGGTTCCGCCCGAGAAGCCCGGTCATAGGCCTGCCAGTACCCGACCAGCCATGCTAGCTCGACTGATGGGGCAATATCGAGCGCCATGTGTGCCGGACATATCCCCCGCTGATATTCGCTGTCCTTCCTCCCTACGTCCTCGATCGCCTTTTTGGCCATCTTGATATCGTCAAGGACGGCCGCCAGCGCATATACCGTCCACGGATCCATGTGGAAGAGGGGTTTGAAGTGCTTGAGAGCGCGCTTGGCCATGGGGCTTGCGCACTCGGCCCAGCGCATGAGCTCGATGATCGCCACCAGGCATTTGATGCTGTTGTCTGGGCCGTGAAGCTCGTGCGTGACTGGGAAGCGAAGAGTGATAGTCGCAGGGTCGGACAGCTCGTTGTGTTTGAGCAGTTCGATGAATGCAGCGAGGACGACAGAGTGGGCCGGTACGTCGATCGGGGGACCGGAGTGGGACTGCAAGACTCCGCCACCAGTGGTGATGGGAAAGACGGAGAGCATGTTGCGGAAGGTCCCGCTGGGCTATCAGCTATTATCCACGGGCCGAGCCTTAGAGTCTAGCCGAGATGTCGTGACCAATGTAAGCGGCAAGTGGCTTACCAACTGGCTTTGAGGTAGAAGTCTTCGACCTTGAAGATCACGTCATCCTCCGACCTGAGCTCCACGAGTTCATCCTCAATGACTTTGGGCGATAGTGCTGCCATGTTGTCTCTGCGGTGTCAGCCACCCATTGATCATACCTAGAGACAGTACCTACTTGGGCCCTTCAGCGGTAAGGATGAAAAGAGAAAAAGCAACATGATCCTGATGAGAAGGTGGTCATGAATGGGTGTGCTCGGACCCAAAGGAAGGTGGATCAGTGCAAAAGCGCACACAGGGTGTGTGTCCAGGGACGTGCGACCAAGGCGAGTGGAGTGACTGTGGACTGTGAACGTGACGAGATTAGTAATAGAGAAGACTCGCCTTGGCTTCACTTACAGATCAGTGAGCGCGGCAGGCTTAGTCCACACTGCCGTTTGATGCCTCCGGACTCCAGCTCCGCCCGCACCAGCTCCTGCACAAGGTGGTCATACGCGTCAGTCATCCAGTTCAGTGGTTGTCAGCAACGGAGGTGTTCAAGTCATAGCCTCTGGGCGATGGGTCCTGTCTGACAAGAAGGTCGGACTCAATATTAGGAAGTCGATCCTTCATACCATGAGAGCTTTTCCCCGAGAGATGACTCGGTCAGATAGGCTGGGCATCTCCCGCTTCCGGTCCGTAAATTGACTGGCCAGGAGGCCACAACTGTATAAGCAGAGCGGCGACAGATACATATCTCATCCTTCTAAGCAGACACCTTTAGTTAGATCCTGCGCTTCTTCTTCTTTCCCAGAGAGTCGTCGCCGGCGGCGTGCTTCGGCGGAATAGCCCTGGCTATCGCAAAGCTAGCGGCGACTTCGTGCCACTTGAGGGTGAAGTTGCCTTGGAAGATCATGTTCTGGAGTACTTATCAGCCGAGACCCTGATTGGAGAGCTTGTCCAGGAAGGGTTAAGCAATCACGTAGGCTGACAGACAGGAAAATAAGGTCGACTCACTTTCGTCTGTTCATTCCACGCCCGACAATACCCCATGAACCAGCCCAATGGCAACCGCTCCGCCTGTTTTGGATCCATAGTGTTGGGATTGACTGTCCAAAAGTCAGGACCTCGCAAGCCGCCTAGATCGCCGAATAGCTCGATGGCCCTCCTCGCCAACGAGACATCCCCCGTTTCTCCGGCATAGACCAGGATTGACCAAGGGTCTTCCACCCAGAACGGCTCAAAGTGCGCTAGCGCTCGCTCTTCTAAGCCACTGCCGCATTCGAACTGGCGAAGAAGGTGGATGATGAGGTTCAGGCAGTTGAAACTAGTACCAGAAGGGTGGTACAGCGGATGTCCGACAGGCAGGTCCCCATAACGAGAGGTGGATTTGCCAGACTTGTGCTCGAGCAGGTGGACGAAGAAGTGGAGGATGAGGGAGTGGGGTTGGTATGTCGATGGGAGTAGAAGAATAGGTGGCGACGCTACTGAACATGTCTCGGAATGTCTCACTACACGATCAGCCTCATGTCGAGACACTACTCACCTCGCGGACATGAGATGGAACGCCTGAACTTTGATGACTACGCCATGCTCCGACTTGAGCGAGATCGTCTGATTCGTGTTATATTTTGAAGGCGCCATCCTGCGTTCTGAATGCGTATGCTGTACTGAGAAGAGAGGCTAACGACGGGAGACACAGTGGATCCGGCGGTCTTGCCTCGAGGACAAGGAGCCAGGTAAGGATGTGACAAGCGGGGCTCCACGGAATGCGCCTTTTGTCCTCGTTTCAGAATCAGCTAGGGGTAGGTGGGGTTTGGAGCCCAAACGAACAGTACTGGAACCCGCGGGTCAAGCTTCGCAGCGGCTCAGGGATCGCCAGGAAGGCATCGTACAGGCTGATGTAGTGTGATGTACCCGCCAGCAGTCCCAAGGGCATCCGCCACAAGTACTGCCACACCCCACACCGGCTTGCCCGAGTGGGTTACGGCATGAAACACCTCGACGAACGTTTCGCGAAGATCAAGCTCTCCTTCCTGCACCTACCATGTCCTCTTCATTACCGGGCCCAACAGCCTCTACGCCTCTACTACACGCTCAAGCTGGGCCTTCCAATCTCCGGCCTCAGCCTGGGTCGCCCGCTGTCTCATACTCGGGCACGCTCACCGACCCTTCATCCTCACAGCAACGACCCTTCCTTTCCCCACTCTCAAGACGACGTCGCAAGGCATCGCCTATAGTACGCGTCGTGCCTGCCGCTTTCCTGCTCGTACTATTCACAGGCTTCGTCTTCATCGCGTGGAACATCAGCTCGGTGGGGGCATGCTATGTCCCCTGGCTGTGCCGTATACTCGGCAAGGGGAAATGGAGGAGTGATGAGGTATGGTGGAGGAATACAGGGGCATATGCACCTTTTAGGTCAAGAGGGACAGGTGGCGGTCAGATCAATCTACCGAGGGGATGTGTAATCGACCAGGTCAACGTGGTGAGTACACATGCTGAGGATGATGCAGGCGAGAACTTACATTACCAGCTGCACCGTCATGCGGCGAGATACCCCACTACCGGCGCAGGCCAAGCCATGCAGAAGTCTCTGACAAAGTTGAAGGGCCGAGTGATCAAATCGCCCAGGAGACATCCTGAGCTGGACTTTCTGAACAAGGCGGACCTCGATATGACGGGCTGGAGATTCGATGCCTTGATGGATCAAGGCCGAAGAGCGTGAGTTCTTCATCTCCCCTTAGCCCACAGCTCGGCTGGAGCTCGAGCTGACTTATTAGGGCATGGCGATCGGGTAAAGAGTTTGCGGCACGATATAGGAGGTTACTGGACAAGGGTGAGGGGATATTCAGCCGATCCTCTGGCGGAGACAGGGTGGTAGAGACGGGCCAATACTGGATGCTTGTAAGTTTGTTCACGCCCTAGTGCTCGTGAGCCTCGCTCATATGTCAGGGACTCAACGACGAGGCGTTCAAAGTAATGAGCACCAAGAGCCTTCCCGGCGTCAATGTAACAATCTCGGAGGAGGACGTGAGTATAGCAAACACAGCTGGAAGCCCGGGACGAAAGCTGAAGCATCGCAGGGGTTCAACAATACACTATCGGTTCATAGCTGTTCTGCATACGAGAAGCTGTACGTTCGATTAGCGCTCAGCGAGACCATCAGTCAAGTTTCCAGCTGATCCCTTAGCGATCCTCCAGCTGGCAGGAAAGAGCGAGAGGCCGTGTACCCCTTGCTCTCATCTACGCTTCACCGCCTGAACGATCTTCTCCGCCCCGATCCCGCTCTCACATACGATGACCTCGTCTACCTGGCCGACATGTGCCCCTTTGACTCGCAGCGCGAGGGGACAGAGTGGAAGGCGTGGAGCCCATGGTGCAGGCTATTTGACGGTTACGAGTGGGAGATACTGGGCTATCTGAAAGATGTCGAGCGATACTACGAGGTCGGACAAGGCAGTGTGAGTCTCCTCTCCGTTGACCACCGCCAGGGCGCATGCTCTTGTGCTGACCTGAATAGCGATATGGCCGGACCATGGGCGCTGGCTGGGTGAACGAGCTCATTGCGCGGCTCACGGATGCGCCGGTCTCAGATTCGACCAGTACCAACCGTACCCTGGACCAAGACGAAGCGACATTCCCACTAGGCGGGAAACGGCTCTTCGTCGTAAGTCAGCTGATCTTGTGTCGACCAAAGCACTTAGCTGACTGGTACAGGACTTCTCGCATGATAATGAGATCATTGAGATCATGACTGCGCTGAACATCATTCCAGTAAGCCCAGGTGTAATGCCTGATAAGGCCATGACGCTGATGTGACAGCAACACCGCGATCTACCTACAGACAAGATTCCACGGAAACGCTCATATCAACTCTCTGGCCTGATACCTTTTGGCGCTCGCCTCGTCGTGGAGCGCATAGCCTGTGACCTGGCCAACTGGGAGCCGGACCCGAACTCGGGGGAAGATCCGGATGGGAACGGGCGGGAGGGAGATGGCCGAAAAGACTACGTTCGGATCTTTGTCAAGTAAGCTCGTTGGTATCCTGTAAAGGCACCAGCTGATGGCTCTAGCGACAAGATCTACCCTGTCGACTACATCGATTGCAAACAGTCGGGCTTTGTTGAGCATGACATGTGCGAGGTCGAGGCGTTCTTGGCGGCGCAGTCTTGGGCAACGGAAGAGGTGGATTGGGGGGTATGCTATGCGCGGGATTGACGCTTGAGCACCACTTTGTATTGAATGGGATTGTCTATATCGCTAGCTCAGTCTTTTGTCATGATCATGAGCTGGCAGGCGCTGCACCTTGGTCCTGGGTCCTCGATACTCTCGCACCAGATCAGCTTGTCCCAGATGCCGTCATCGGACGTGACGATGTTCCGTGCGTACGTTTCAGCAGCAGCTATCTCAGCGTTAACGTTGCGATTATACTTCACCTATGGCGGCATCATGAAGCTCATAGATGGCATGAGATGACACGTCAAAGAGCCATATATCAACGCATACCCTAATAAAGCGCTCCAAGGGCGACTGTGGAACCATGGGGAACGTTTCGTCGATGGCTCGGGCGTAAGTTGGCAAGCCTGCCCTCCCCTCGCAGGACGCGCTGATCAACTTTTTAGCTCGACGGCGCTGGACTCATACGTCGCCGAGCTTGGCCATGAGATATCGTATGATAAAGGGTGAGCTAGAGCGCTCCTTCCGGAGGACGAGTCCGGCTGACGGATCAGGCTATCCTCATCCCGGTTCATGAAGACCATTCTTGCCCGACATGCGGACGGCCCAGTCGTGCTCAAGATCTTCATCAAGCCTGACCCTTCGATGTCATTGAGACTACATCAAAGAAGGCTGAAACGTGAGCCGCATTACCCTGTAACAGCGCAGAAGCTCACTGGATGCAGATGAGCGAGAAGCCTTGGCGGATCTGTCCGGGGCGAATACGTATCAGATGTTCGTGGAGACGGAGAAGGCGGGGTACCTGATCAGACAATGGATAGGATCGAATCTGTATGATCGTGTCAGGTAAGTCCGGGGACTCTCCTCGCTGGAAGTTGCGCTGATATACAGTATCCAGCCTTACCTAGCGAGCATTGAGAAGAAGTGGATCGCTTTCCAGCTCCTGACTTGCCTGAGGGACGCCCGGAATCGGAAGGTATGCCTCATATGAGTCACCACGCTGATTGCAGGTATCGCATGGTGATGTCAAGTCCGAAAACGTCCTCATCACCTCGGACCTCACTGTCCTTCTCACCGACTTCTCATACACCTTCAAACCAACCTACCTGCCAATTGACGACCCCTCGGACTTCTCCTTCTTCTTCGACACGTCCGGCCGGCGAACATGCTACCTCGCTCCAGAGCGTTTCGAGGCGAAGGACGAGCGCGAACGGCGGCAGGTCGAGGAGAAGAAGCGAATGGAGGAGCGGAGAAAGCGGAAGCTAGACGCGGCGAGCAGCAAGCGAAGACCGTCAATAGCTGGCGAGAACGTGCTTGACGCAGAAGGGAGGGTTATGCTGGACGATGATACGTTGGCGAACTATCGGTCGACATTGACGGAGGAGATGGACGTGTTTTCGGCGGGATGCGTCCTGGCGGAAATGTGGACGGACGGCCGAACAGTGTTCAACCTCAGCGAGCTTTTTGCGTACAGAGACGGAGCATTGGGGCTGGAGGGTATCCTAGACAATATTGAGGACCGGCATGTTCGCGTGAGTCCTCTCTCTATCTGCTGATCTCTGCTGACCGGCAGCAAATGATCACCCAGATGCTATCCCGACATCCAGCAGAGAGACCGAAGTTCGACCTCATCCTCGCTCAGTACCGGGGGACGATCTTCCCCGAGTACTTTTACACCTTTCTGGAGGACTACATGATCTCCCTCGCCGAGCCTCCCGCGAAAAAGACCGAGAAGGGAACCTTTTCTCAGGTGTCTGCCGCGAGCTCGGGGACCAAGATGGACCGGATGCTGTCCGAATGGGACTCGATCTCTGTGCAGCTGGAGGGGACGGCGGGACAGGACGGTAAGTCTGCCATGCCAACCGTGCTGATCTCAGATGGGCCTGCATTGCTACTGCTCAACATCGTCACCTCGTCTATCCGAAATTGCACCTGGCCGAGCTCTAAACTCCACGCATTACAGCTATTCCTCCGACTCAACGCGTATATCTCGGACGAAGACAAGATTGACCGGATCATTCCGTTCACGGTCGATCTGCTCTCTGATCTGGTTCCCATTGTCCGCGCGGAAGCTTGTCGGACGCTCGTCCTTGTCGTGAGTCTCGCATCACCAGCTCTCATTCGATAGATCTGACTGAAGATCAGGTCGAGTCGGTATCGTCGGTCACGCCTATCAATGCAGCTTATATCCCGGAATACCTTCTTCCTCAACTACGCCAACTCGCCGCAGATGAGGACGTCTTTGTTCGAGCTACCTACGCAAGAGGTCTCGTCCGGCTAGCTGATGCGGCGCTGAGTATGCTCGAGTACAGTCAGGCAGCCAAAGCGCCAATGTCGGAGCTGGAGTCTTCCGGCGTCGTTGAGGTGAGCTCTCCACTATCCGACATCGGTCAAGTTTGGCTGACGCTCCAGCCCGACTACGACGCAATGCTCTTAGAAATTCAGTCTGCGGTGGAGGAACAGGCCACCCTCCTACTCACCGACCCCTCTGTCCAAGTCAAACGTGCCACTCTATCCAGCATCGCCGACCTCTGCCTCTTCTTCGGCCGGCAAAAGTCGAACGAGACCGTCCTCAGCCACCTCGTCACCTACTTGAACGACCGGGACTGGACGCTCCGGCTCGCCTTTTTCGAGGGCATCGTCGGTGTCGGCGCGTTCATCGGGCTCAAGGCGGTCGAGGAGTATATCCTCCCTCTCATGCAGCAGGCGTTATCGGATCCGGAGGAGGCGGTAGTGGCCCGTGTGTTGACCTCGTTGACGAGTCTGGCGTCTTTGGGGCTCTTGGCGAGGATGCGAATATGGGATATCTTTCAGGCGGTCAGGGGGTTGCTGTGTCATCCGGACACCTGGATTCGGCAGGGTAAGTGCTATTCAGAAGACGGAGAGAAGGTGAGCTGACGACCCAGGCGCCGTCGGTCTGGTAGCTGCTGCAGCGAAGAATCTACCGCCCTCAGACGTCTGGTGTATCCTCTACCCGGCTCTTCGCACCATGCTGCGCTCAGATATCCTGGTCGTTGACGAGCCATCGATGCTATCTTCGCTTCTGTCACCTGTGAGCCAGCTGTCTAATATCCGGTAATGACCCACAGCTGACGAAATCAAGCTGTCCAGAGCCAAGTTCATCGCTGCCCGCGCCGCCGCACTGGAGGACAGTCCACCGGGATTTTGGCGCCCCACGCAGCAGAAGGGCAGTGTCAAAGCGGCCATGAGCAAGTCTGCCCTTAGTGGGAAGGTCTCGGACAGGTGAGTAGGCCATACGTCTTCAGCTGATTAGCAGTGCTGCTTTGCAAGACAAGAATTTGTCTTCATCGGACGAGAAGATCATCACCGCTATGAAGGACTTCATCTTCAAGCAGGCGCACTCCATTCGAGCGTAAGCTAAATCTCTATATCTCGCATGGGCAGGAGTTAATCAACATCAGCCGAGAGTCATTTGACCCAGCTACTCAGTCCGAGAATGCGCTCGTCAGCGATAAGGCGGTCTCTCTGGAGAAGCTGGGCGTAACTGCACAAACGGTCTTCATCAGTCCAAGAACGGTCGAGATCGATGCCAAGGCGGATCTGCGCCGGTTGCGCCCTCTCCTCGCCTCGGATCGCGGTACACCCAGTCGGAAGAGCTCGTTCGCCAGTAAAAGCCACCGGGGTCCGACCGACAATCCGCTTGATGAGATCAGGCAGCGCCTCGCAGACTTTCCACATGCACTGCCTATCGACCGGATGTCGCCTCTTCCAGCTCCCATATCAACCGCACCGGACCTACCCGGTAGTCCGTCCGAATCGGTCATCTCGGACCTTCCTGGAACGCGGTCTGGGAAGCGGCGACTGGAAGGCAAAGCCGCTCCAGCGGTTGCGGCGAGCCATGCCAACGCCATCGGCACTACCTCGGTCCATGAAGATCTCTTCTCTGGCCGGACAACGCCGACTGCTAACGGCGCGAATACGCCTCGAGCCGGGCCATCCACCGCCCAGCCGCACTATGGAACCTCTTACGACGGCCACGACCCCTCCGTCCGCGCTTTTCTCGAGCAGGTTGATCTCGAAAACTACCGCGAGCCCCTGCTCGACTTTGGTCCCCGCATCAGTGCCGCGCAAAAGAAGCGGTCGGTCCGGACCAAGAGCGCTCCGGGACAAGGCGTCACCCTCATCGCCCACCTCACTCAGCACGTCGCGCCCATCACAGCCATCGTCAGCTCGCCAGATCACGTCTTCTTTGCTACGGCATCGGAGGACAAGACGGTCATGATCTGGGACACCGGGCGGCTAGAGCGGAGCGTTGCGACCAAAGCACGGCTGGTGTACGCTATGGACGCGCCGGTGTCGGCTCTGTGTAGGATCGAGAATACGCATTGTCTGGCGGTGGCGGCGGAGGATGGGCAGATACATGTCTTGAGGGTGCATGTGGCCGGGGCCGGGACGGGGTCGGCAAAGTATACCAAGATTGAAGGGATCAGGAGTTGGAGCGCGGAGGAAAAGGACGGATATGTGACGGGGATATCACATCTTCAGGGTGAGTACTGGCGTTGGTCTGGGCTGATTTATAGACTCCACTCTCCTCATCATCACTTCTACCTCCGTCATCGCCCTCCTCGATATACGCGGGATGACCATTACCCAGCGCTTTCAGCATCCGCTCGAGATGGGCGCCATTACCGCCTTTTGCCAATCGCAACACTGGCTCATCGCCGGCTCAGAACTCGGCATCCTCGGTCTATGGGATCTGCGCTTTGGCCTCCTCCTCAAATCGTGGCGAGCAGGCGGGGCCATCACCTCTTGCCAGCTACACCCATCGCGAGGAAGGGGGAGATGGGTCATGTGCGGAGTTGAGCGGGATGAGGCGGAAACGCCGCTGGTCGAGGTGTACGACATTGAGACGTCGAAGCTGGTCGAGGTGTACGACAACCGCTCGGAGCGAATCGGCAGCAAGGAATCGCCCTATACGGCTGGAGAGGAAGCCGGGCGAGATATACCGTCAAGGCGGGAGCTCGTCGCGGAGCTTGCCGCCCGTCAGGCTTCTGCGGGGGTGGTATACCCTCAGAAACCCGCTACCGTCCTCTCCGTCCTCGTCGGCCATCGCTTCGCCTCGCTCACGGCGCCTGAGGACGATGGCGGTCTCCTGCTTCCCTCCCAAGACAAATCAACCTCGGCGCCGCCTGGATACCTCATTACGGCGGGTGAAGATCGGGTCGTTCGCTACTTTGATCTCCCACGCCCTTCGAACGGCATGATTATCTGCGGCTCGCCAAAGCAGAAGGACGTCCTCTTCCGGTCCACTACCCTCGGTGGGACGTCGGTGACGTATACGGTGCCAAGGTCAGCGGCGGCCGAGCCCAAGGTTGGCACATCGGCGGCGGCCGCCGAGAGGGCGAAACTGGAGGCTGTTCGGGAGACGTTGGGAGGAAGGCAACCCCTCAGACCGCATTACGATGCGATCTGCGCGTTGGGCACGGTCGAGACGGGCGTGTCGAGCTGTGTGATCAGTGGGGACAGGAGCGGGGTGGTCAAGGTGTGGCGGGTCGAGGGCGCGGGGAAGTGAAGGACGCGAGTACGATCTTGAGTGTATCAAGGTATCAAGGTGTTATAGTATATTTGTTGTACATTTGCTACGGAGGAGCGCCTAGATGTTCTGGCGGCCACGATGTGACTGAGCAGTACTCACGCCAACACCTTTCTGTTGTCATTCTCACCTGCCCTTACTCGTACTCGTGGACCGAATCTAGCCACGATTCTGCATGCATAGTGGGGGTATAGCAGCTTGCTCGAAGCGCGACCACATTTAGGCTCACGCGCAATCCCTTCAAAGAACTCACCCACCGCTTTGGACCCCGTTCACGCTTCTTGGCAGGGGCTCGGTCGCCGTCACCTGCGCCATCGGAAGACTATGCGCTCCGTCGACAAAGCTGTGCAGGCCGATGTCATCTGGCAGAATGGGGGAGTAAGGGGGGATTGATCGGCTATCTGGTTTCGGGGGCGAGATGTCGACAAGTTGCCCCTTTCGGCCCCGCATGCCGATCTCGTCATACCTGCCGGTGTCCACCAACGTCATAATGCTCATGACCTCTTTCCCGGCTCTTGCTCTCCTCTTCTCGGCGTTCTCCCAGCAGTAATGCTGGGCGAGAGCTCGAGCCTGTTGAAGGCGCATGTGAGAGATGAGGAGCTGTCAAGCAATCTTGGTATATCCGACCAGAACTGCCTGGCCAGGAGGGGAATGTTAAACTCGCGGCCTCACCGGCCACCGGTAATTATCCTGCCTCACCGGGGCCACAAAGGCTGGGCATAGGCGCCTGATAGAGGAGCTTAGGATGGCTATAGGCTTGCAGTGTAGCTGCGGCGCGGGAGAGCAGGCCGAGCAGGTCAGACCGGTCAGCCAGGCCATCGAGATGTAAGCGTCGCCTCGATGGCCCCTTCCCTTCCAGACGTACGGCCCGTACCGGTGTACCGTAATGGACCAAGACACGTCTTCTATTCCTTCGGAAGTGAGATCTGTCGGCTGCCGGAAGTCATCACATGCAAGCATCACCAGCTTCGGCGACGACGTCGCAGATCGCTGATCGCTGACTGCCATAATCACACCATACAGTATAGCATATTCGCCCTAACAGCTGTCCCTAAACAAGTATCACCAGCGCAGGCTGTACCCTCTTTTCCTCTTGCTGCGCCCTTGACATTGCGGACCTTGGCGACCTTGCCACCAAGCCACGTCGACTTCGCAACTCACCAACCTCCTTCGCCCCCACAGGTCTCGCAACACCCATTGCACCCTCGCGTGAATCAGCGTGATCCCCCTGATCCAGCATCACTCAATCAAACTGAAACACACACGCCCTGCTCCTCCCCACTGTAACTCGGCGCATATTTCGGCACTGTCCCCCGCTTACCCCGGCCGACAGCGAACCTTCCTTTGAGGCCCCCGACACTTGGCGCGCAGAGCCCCAGGGGCCAAGGTCAGCTTCGGAGACGACCGCGAAACCCTATTCTTCTCGCCCTTTCTGAGTGTAGAGAACATTCGATTACCCCACACAAATCTAGCTCGACACGTTCTATACGAACGCACTCCCTCATCTCGCATCGTCCATCGCTCTTTCCCACCGCAATTCATGTACTTCGATCCGGATCGGAAACGGAGAACTGTTCTTCGGGCCTCACCTCGCACACACGCCGAGCTCCCCTTACGCCCAGGGCGCGACCGGCCGGTATTCCCGACGAGGTAGCTTGAACCAAAGGTGAGCCCTTCTTCCATGACTCTCGCGCTTGGACCTTTGGATGTTATGCGGAGCGTGGGAGTCGCATTTCATGGTTTGCAACGAGGATTGGGGTCCAGGGAAACAATGTAGATGGAGTAGGGGTAAAGGGAGGGGGCGCGTGTTTGAGGGATATATCTCGGGCGCGGAGCTGCTCGGTATATGCGCGACGGTACTCGAAGGCGTTGTTGTTGTGTATGGGGACTGAGCAGAGTTGGGCGTCGGGGACAGCGGCGATCATGAGATGGCGGTAGCGGAGGGCGACTCGGCGAGCCCCTTGTCCGGAAGTCTGGAGCTTCTTTTTCAGGTCCCATCACTGTACACATTTTAGCGTTCTATGGCGTGACAATCTCAATCAATCATCACGCTCCTTCCTCGCTTATCATGGAGATCGGTCATCCTTGTCTCTAATGAAGGGCAAAGTCGCTTACTAAGCCATAGACTCCCCTCCCCCACTGTCCCATCTCACACTCGCTCCTTTCTTCCCCTCTTCCATTCGACACCTTTGACCCCTCTGCATGGACGTACTTTGACTGTCCATCCGTCAACTATCACCACCCCACCTGATCACCGCCAAGCGTTACACGGTCAGCCTTCAGACAAAAGAGTCATCGAACGGACGTCATCGGTTTCACCTCGCCTCGCTCGGACCTGATCTTGGATACTAGGCTAGCCCGCCAGATCTCAGCCCTTCTTTTTGGGGGTGCTATTTGAGGGTGCGTGATCTCCTTTCCTTATCAACTTCTCAACCTGACATGAAAGGACAGGACGGGTTGCTGACTCTTCCAGCTCGCCCATCATGGAGGCGGATTCTGGAATGGACGTGGCCTGGTGCCTCACCTGTTCCAAGCGGACTGTAAGTCAGAGCTACCCATGCCGCATCAGCGCTGACACCTCAGCGTGATGCTCGCAACACCTACTGCTCGGACGCCTGTCGTGAAGCAGATAGCGGAGCTACGCCCTCTTCCTCCAAAATACCAATCACATCCCCCGTCCCGCCTGCCCTCTACCCCTCATCATCCGTGAAATCGCTGGATCGTCGACGATCTAGCGCTTCACCCACCAAGCCGAGCGCGCCTCGTCCACCACTCGCTACACGCGCCGCTACCTTCCTACCGCCAGCGTCAGAAGCAGATTTCGCGCCCGTCATTCCCGCCGGAGCACCCCGCGATCGGCGAGCATTCTCCTTCCCCTCTGCCCCAAATTCCCCGCCTATGCTGTTCCCTCTTCGAGAGCATCGCAAGAGCACCGTCCTCCCTGCGTTCGCCCGGCGGGAAATCGTGGCGAACATGACGCCGAAATCGCCGGGTCTGACATCGGTCAAGGAGGACGGGCGGAGATATAAGGATATATTGGCCAAGCGGCTAGCCAGGTCGACGGGTGGGGCCAACACCCCAGGCACCGCGCCCGAGTCGGTCTTCCTATCCACATCAGAGAGCAGCGATGGGGAGGACGACGAGCCTATCAAGCCTGTCGGAATCACCCCTCCCCTCCTCCCGGTCCGAGCGGTTTCTGGCGGCAGTGCAACCGCCCAGGTATCCACACTCCGCTCCCACCTCTCCCTCGGTCGCACCAACTCTCTCCAGACCCGCAGCACGTCGACCTCCCCCGTCGCCGCGATGGTTGCCTCATCGGCCTCATCTCGAAGTCGGGAGGATATCATCTCCTGGGCGCGCTCCATCAATCGCCGGGACGGAGATGAGGCTGAGGACGATAAGCCGCGCGGCCGTCCCCGGACCAAGCGGATCAGCAGCCTGGCTTGGCTGCCCCCACCGTCGACGGAGCCGCTAGATGACCATGTCGAGGAGGACGAGGTGGTCAATGATGCCGGAAGCACCGGGTTGGGTACGACGCCAAAGGGGAGGATAGGGTCCGCATTGGCGGGACTGAGCGGGTATGGCATGGGATCGATCGTCAAGGCTTTGACGTCGGTCACCTCCCCGAGCAGGCCCCCTGCGCTCCGCAAAACCACCACACCGGGTCGTCCAGGTTCTTCCACTGCCGACTTTGCCGTTACGCCCTCTCCGGCCGAGGTCGCCAAGGTCGCCGTCGTGGCGAGTACAATGCCGTATGACGATGGACCATCGTACATGGGCGGCGGTACAGCTACTTTATCCACCGTCTCCTTTTCGGAAGCCATCGACCCATCTGTCGTCGGCACACATGACCACGTCGATATCGTCACGGATGACGGGGCCATGTCGGCCAGTTCGTCCAACTTTGCCCGTCGGAGCAACGGCCGGGCCAAGCTCTCTTCCCGTAAGGGCAGCATAGGAGCCGTTCCCCCTCCCCTACCTGAACGGCAGAACGCCCTTGTTCGCCCAGCAGCCTCCACCACTAGCGCACTGTGGAACCTCTCCAGCTACTTTACCCGCTTCGCCCCATTCGCAATATCCTCAGTCATATCTCCCTACGCCACCGCTCCCATACCTCCGCGCACATCCCAACCACCTTCCCAAATGTCGACCGTCCCCACCACCGTTACTTCCACGGCACTCACCTCGCCGGAGGCTGAGCCCGCCGAGCCTCTTCCCGCTCTTCGCTCGCGCCCGGACTCGCCAGATAGTCCGGCGCAACAGCTGGTCCGCTCGGTCCCCATGGACATTGCGATCCCCGCCTGCAGCGTCAGCCCGGAAGACGTGGACATCCAAGCCAATGCCCATCGATCGTGCGTTGATCGGGATCGTCTTCGGAGCTCTCGATCTCGGGCGCGGAGCAGGTCAAGGCGGAGAAGTAGGAGCCGGAGCTCGTCGGCGGGTAGGGTGCTTGATCGGGAAACGCGCAATGAGGATTTGGGGAAGGGCGTCGGGATGTCCAACCAGGGTCCCGATGCGGACGCGGATGTGAGCGATGAGGAGGGTGTGGCGGACCGGCGCCGAAGGGGAAGGGAGAGAGGAAGGGGGAGGGAGGTAGGGGACGAGAAGGAGAGGGGTAGGGGAAGGGGCAGAGATCGGTCCGTCAAGGTCATCTAGGTCACCTTCACTCTCAACATCCACCAAACGCATGACTGCCATCGGGCACTACACCATCACTCAAACAAATGGCTTCTCATTGGTATTTGGCAGCTATTCATAGGCTACATACACGCGGTCAGGCTTGCCACCATTTTGTTCTTTTGTATAACGGATTTTCCGGCACATAGGGGGTTGTACTAGTAGCTAGGGTGTACGGTAGAAGCAGAAAAGTAAACCATAACATATGCAATTACCATCCATGTCATCTTGGGTTGCGCTGGAGCATCTGGATGCTTCTAGAAGGTGGTGTAGGAGGATGACCGATGGCCGAGGTGATGAAACTTGGACGCACCGCGAGCTCTGCTGCAACGCTTTCGTCGTCCTTTATATCTCATCATCCACATCCAGCTATCCTGGATCATCTGATTACTACCCTTACCAGCCTCTCAGACCCAGCAAGATGGCGCCAGTCCAACTCTACGTGTACGACTTGTCGAGGGGAATGGCGAAATCCATGTCGCTCGCCCTCACAGGCAAGCAGATCGACGGAATATGGTGAGCTTAAAGGTTGCCTTTTGTGCCACTGCTTAGTTGACGCATAAGGCATACTTCTGTTGTTGTCTTTGGCCGCGAGACCTTCTTTGGTCAGGGCATCCTCCACTCTGTCCCTGGCAAGACGCACCACGGCGCCCCGGTGCAGATCCTGGACATGGGCGAGACGCAACTCGACGAGGAGACATTCAACGAGTACATCGAGAGCATGGCGGAAGAGTATACGGCGGAGAAGTACCATCTTATGGAGTTCAACTGTAATCACTTCACCGCAGACGTGGTAGGATTCTTGACGGGCGGGACCATACCCGAGTGGATCAGCGGTGAGTCTGAGAGGGACAATGGAATGAGCAATGCTGATGGTCAGGCCTACCGGCAGAATTTTTGGCTACGCCATTCGGGCAGCAGCTCAGGCCCATGATTGACCAGATGTTCCGCGGCCGATCGTCAACGGAGCACCGGGTCAACCCTTCTGCTGGACTCAGCACATCAGCGCTTCCTACGCCTCCCGCTACTCGCTCGGGCACACCCTCGGCGGCAGCCTCGAGCCTCCTCGCTTCGGTTGCTCAAGCCGCGTCAGGTCCACCTGGCTCTTCCTCTTCCCCTTCACTCAAACCCCTCACTACCCCACTCGCACTTGTCACCTCCCTGTCCAACTTCAACTCCATCCTCTCCTCAACTACCGCCGTCATCGTCAACTTCACCAATACCCCTACCTGTCCTCCTTGCCGGATGATCAAGCCGATATATGAAGCACTGGCGAACGACCTCGCATCTATGTACGCCAGCAAAGGCATCCGCTTCCTCGAGGTCGAGCTGGGCATGGGGGAAGGCCGGGACATTGCCGGTCGACATGGTGTCTCTGCCACCCCTACGTTCCAGTTCTTTCGGGATGGCAAGAAGGTGGAGGAACTTCGTGGAGCGAGCAAGCGGGAACTGGAGTCCAAGGTGGAAACCTTCCTAGATGAGTGCTTTCCTCGGCATAAGCACAGGCGGGTATACATGCCTGCCCTGGAGCATCTCCCTATCGACCCGATACGGAGCTCAAACATCCCAAATTACGCGGCGCTGCTCGGCAAGCTCGAGGGATTTGCTGGCGGAGCAGACGGGATCAGGGTGCTCAAGGAGCGAGCGGTGCCGCTGCTGGAGGGCAAGGTCTCAGGGGAGGCGGAGCGGAAGGCTGTCTATGCGGAATGGACACAGGCGACTACAAGTCTTCTGGGCTCGCTGAAGGCGGAGGAGACCTTCCCCGTCGTTGACCTGTGGCGGGTCGCACTGCTCCAGCCGGCGCTCGTCGCGCTGCTCACGGTCGCCCTATCGCCTACCTCACCCGGCCCTGAACCTATCTCCCCCATACTCTCGCTCGGTGCGGCGACATTGCAATCCAAAGGCGCCGATACGCCAAAACCATTCCTCCTCACCGTCCTTCGCACACTCACAAACCTCCTCGCCTCGCTTCCTCTCGCAAATCTCATACTCGGCTCCCCCTCCACCAATCAGTCAGATCTCATCTCCATCCTCGTCGACTCCCTCCTCCACTCAGACGCCGCCGTCCGGACGGCTGCGGGCGGGCTAGCCATCAACATCGCCAACTGGCGACATCGATCTGCGAAAGCCACCGGCGCACCCGCGGAAGAAACAGGCGAGCAAGACTGGGAAGTCGAAGTGCTTTCGGCGCTGGTGGAGGCGATAGGGAACGAGGCCGACGAGGACGTCAGCCACAGGCTGCTAGTGGCGCTTGCGCAGGTGTGTTATCTGGCGCCAGGGTACGAGGGGAATCTGGAACCTTTGTTGGAGGTACTGGGGGCGAAGGAGGTGATTAGAGGCAAGATGGCGGGATGGAAGAAGAAAGACGTGAGAAAGTTGGCGGATGAGGTGTTGGGCAAGTTGATCTAACATAGAGAGGTTGAGTAGGCTGGTAAAAGCAGATGTAGATGCGGTTCATAACCTTGAGGGACTCAGCCCAGGTCCAGCTTGCAGGCCAGATGACCAAGTGCCACAACACGTGGCTTTGGTTGCTGGGTGGCAAAACAGAAATCAGGCGCGTCAGGCTTTGAGCCTGGACGTCAACAAACCATAACATTCCACCTCTGTTTGACTTGCTCTCCAAGCAAGATTATATCTCATACATCTAGACGGCATCATCACGCGGAGCAGGCTTGAAGCTATATAGAGGTATAAGAAAGTGTACCCCGGGCAGACCCCCAGAACGATTCCCGGGTGAGTCCTTTGGAGCACATTATGCACCTAACCAGAGGCTAACCATCCTTAGCGGACCATCTTTTTCACCCAGCAACATCATCTGACGACTGAAAGGATATCGACAGTCGGCATAATTCTCAATCACGATGATCCCAAGCACGCCGTCTTCGGCCGGGCTGGCAGGCCTTGCCTCACCCCCTCTCAAATCCCCAACGCCCAACGATTCACCCCATCTCCGCGCCTCCCCCTCGATACCCAAGAACTATCACCCTTATCTCATTCAAACGACCTCATCGTCCCTCCTGACCCGCTCAAACTCATCACCTTCTCAGCCGGTCGCAGAATTGCGACACAAGTCTAGCCGGAGCATGAGCAGTCTCGCCGCGAGTGCGTCTGAAGGGGAGCTGGACAAGGTTGCGAATGGTGGCGCGGGCGGGGGGCTGTCGAGGGAGGAGAGGGAACGGAGGAGGCGGTCCATGGAGAGTCCGTTGACGAGGCCGGGGATGAGAAGGAGTGGGACGCTGCCTGTCTTCCCAAGGGTGGAGGAGGTCATGACCCCGACGAAGGGAATGGATTTGCCGGTGAGCCAAAGGCACACATGCTGCTCTTGAGTGAGCTGAGAGGCGACAGCTGACTAGTAGATGGATCCCAAGTTGTGGAGCCCGTCGGAGCTGGCAAATTATCTCGTCTATACGCTGAGGACCGGAGGACCGGACGGCTCTGGCCAGACTCTACCTGGCCCGCTCGTCAAGGATATCGAGACCTGGGTGTTGCGGCAGCAAGTAAATGGCCGAGCCTTCCTCAAGGGAAACCAAGAGTCATGGACGTGAGTCTAGCTTACGCAGCGGTCGGGAGGTCATGGCTAATCTAAACAGATCTTCATCTCGCCCTCCGCCTTTCCTCCCACTCCTCCTTTCCATCTCCCGCCGCCTCCGCCGCTCATCCCTGCAATCCCGCCTGTCAGTCGACAAGACATCCTTCTCGCCTTCCCCGCTCAATTCTGACGTCCCACGCACCGGTTCCACCCTATTCGAAGAGGACGAAGATGGCGATGGGTACATCTCGCCCGTATCCGGTGTCCGGCGCATGGCCAACGCGTACGAGAGCAATGCCTCTACGCCGAATCTCGATGAAGAACCCGAGCCGCTCAAGGCGCAGTGGACGGGCGGCAGCTCGACGAGCGAAGTATGGCGACGATGGGAAGATATGGGCGTGGGAGTGCGGCGGAATCGGCGGGACTCGACGAGAAGTCTTGGCGCGGGCAATATGGCGGATGAGGAGGCGAGTCCGGCGATGGGGAGTGTCCCATTAAGCTCCGGGTCGGGGGATGAGGGCGAGATCTCCGCCGATATCCCCTATCTGGACGAGGACGAAGGGCCAGGCGGGACTGTCAAGGGACCGCCGATGGGGTTGGGGCTGGGTCTGGGCGTTGCCGGCCTTGGAGCTGGAGAAGCAGGAGGCAAAGGGAAGCAAACGAGTCCACCTCCACCTTACCGATCTCCTGACCCGGACGCATCACCTGCGCAACTCGTCGTCCCACTCGAGCAGGCGTCGGATACCCCACCTAATCGAATGAGGCTATCCGTCACACCGACCCCGGAACGCCCTCGGATCCCGTCGAGCGCTCAGACCGACGACGCTGCTCAAACGGAGAGCTCTCCATCTCCTACGAGAGACTCCCGCGCGGCGGACGGCGGCTCCCCTCACATGTCCAACATGTCTACACACCGCTCATCCGGCTCGGACCCCTACGCCGCGCTCCGTCAGCCATCCTCCACCGGTCGCCGTAGTCGCCGCCTGCCCCAAGAGCTCCGGGTAGCTTCCGGTGGCGGAGAAGACAGTGCCAGCACCTCTCGTCGCGTGACAATCCGCCCTAATCGCGTCGACTCGCTCTTCGCCCCGCCCTCCCCGCCTATCAAATCCCCACGCGAGGCCGAGCTGGAGGATCAACTCAGTCAGCTCGTCTCGCGGGTCAAGGAGCTGGAGTCGAGGCTCGAGAGCGTCTCGGACGAGGTCAGCCGGAAAGGTCACATGACTACGCCGTCGTCGCCTACCGGGAGGGAGATGACGCGCCCGGGCAGCCCGGTGGGGATGCTCTCGGACTCTATTCTGGCGAGATTGGGGCTGTTGCCGGAGGCGGAGGGGCTGCCGGTGAGGATCAGGCAGCTGCCGGGGTATCTGTTCTTGGTGGGCGTGGGGGTGGGAGCGGTAGTGGTCAGGGTGTTCATGCGGAGGAGATAGGTCAATGATTGCGTCTGTTATATCTCGTTTTCATTGAGCATCTCAGCGGTGCGGATTTCTGTATTCTAGATATCGTGCTTGCGTTATGCTATGCAGGACATACCGACTCGGACCAGGACCAGACCCGTTCAGACAGCTCGAATTCTCAACTACAGTACAATCCTCGAAGTCGCGGCGGCCGTGGCTGGTGCGGTATGACGTCACTGCTCATGACCGATGGCCGAGGTCGCCTGGCTGCCGCTGCTGCCGATGCCTCTTCAAGCTGCAGCTGGCCTTGTCTACTGCGCAGACCACGGCAAGCGAGCGGTGTCTATGATGCGCAATGCTCCGGCCGATGCGAGCAGTCAGAAGGTGCATCAGACATCAGGGTGTGCAAGTCAGCAGATGATCTCTATTGCGTTACTCACTCTCGCGCGCTCAAGCGTCATAGCCAGCGACGCGTAAGCTCCTTTGAAGCCAGATCGCATCAGTTCCCAGCTTCTTGCTTATATCTCTCTCTCATCCATACTTCATCTCAGCATACCGAAAATGCTGCACAACCTCTTCCTCCTCTTGCCGATCGTCGCGGCCCTTCCTGCCCGGCCTGCTCTCCCCGAGCTCACCGTCTCGCAATGGTCCAATATCCAGTCCGGCTTTGTGAACGGCGCCAAGGACCTGGGCGAGTGGTCCTTTGGTAAAGCCCACGAGATCATCGACTCGGTCCAGGACGAGATCGATGCGGTGGTTGCCCACCAGAACAGCGGCGATGAGACCCAGGAGACGATCTGGAAGAAGCTCAAGGACGACCCGCACAGCTTCTCCAAGTTGACCAACGTGATCGATGTGAGTGTGGCATCTTGATTACGAGCGACCGAGCTGATGGGTAGTTCGTTGGCGGCACTGCCAGGGAGATCCTTGACGATGGGAAGCTCCAGATCACCTTCTTTGTGAGTACAATCGATCAGATCGGCGGGTAAGAGCTGACAGTCTAGGCTCCCAACAACGACGCTCTCACCCCTCCTGAGCACCACCACCACCATCATGATGATGACCACGCGGAGCTCACCGCTGTAAGTCTCAAGCCATGCTTCAGTAGATCTGGGCTGACTGTCAGCTTATGGCCAACCCCTCGCTCGCCACCGTCTCGTCCCTTTTGGACCGTCAGCCCGCCTACCTCCTCGAGGATGACCACCGCGACCACCACGGTCACCACGGTGGCGACTCGGACGAGGACAAGAAGCGGAAGCGGGAGATCTTCAAGAAGATCGCAGCCAAGGTTCTGGCTTACCACGGTCTCCCCAAGGCTTACACCGCGTCCGATCTCGCTCAGAACTCGACGCTCGAGACTGCGTTGAAGGCTGGCCGAGGTGGTGGCGGGGGTCTTTACCGCCGTATCAGGGTCGAGAAGTCCTTGCTCCCTCCTTGTAAGTCCCAGTCTATTCGATCGGAGGCCGTTGCTGATCATCAGCGCTCAAGATCAACTTCTACGCCCGTGTCCTCGTCAGCGACATCAAGGCCAAGAACGGGTACCTCCACACCATCAACCGCCCCCTCCTCCCTCCCGGATCGATCTTTGAAAGTCTTTACGCTTTCCCCGACTTCTTCTCGACCGTCACCTCGGCTGTGCAGGGCACCGACGGCAGGCACTACCTTGACTACGCGTACGACCGGAACGCGTCCAAGCCCGGTCACCCAGAGTTCACCGGCTCACCCCTCGCCACCTTCTTTGCGCCAACCAACGCCGCGTTCGCTCTCCTTCCCCCCAAACTCAAGTTCTTCCTCTTCTCCCCCTTCGGCAAGCGCGTCCTCGCCAAGGTCCTCGCATACCACTACATCCCCCACTCGCTTGTCCTCTCGGAGTTCCAGTACCACGAGAAACACGAGAAGCGCTCCTTCATCGAGGCGGCCGAGGGCATGTTCAACGTCGCGGATGACCCGAGCTTCCGTCAGGAGCTCGAGGTGCACACTGGCTTGCCCAACTCTACTCTCAAGCTTGTTCTCGAGAAGAAGAAGGTTCTCCCCATTGATTGTAAGCTGCATTTTGGCGGGGCGATGAGACTTTTGCTGACGATATAGCCGCGATCAAGACCTCCATCACCGTGAACGGTCACGCGGTCGAGACTATCGACGTGCCGGCCCGCAACGGTGCTTTCCACGTCATCAACAAGGTCCTCGTTCCCCCTCACCACCACCACGATGACGAGGGTAACGACCTCTCGGCGCAGGACAGCTGGGCCAACTGGGAGCAGTGGCTCCCGGCGTGGGCTGAGCAGGCTTAACCGTCTGTACTCACGCTCAACGAAAAGAGACTTATACGGTGGGGCAGAGATCAATGTCAGAAGTGTAAGATATCGTAAATGGCAGTGATAGTATGCAGTCTGTGTAGCGGTATCACATCGCGATCTGGGCGTCAGAGGTCGTGCAGCATGGTCTCGCGAGGGCAAAGACTGGCCAAGTGAGCAGTACTGGACCAGCTACAGGTAGAGTCATGACCTGGCGATTGAGACATGGGCTTGTACCCTCCCGTGGCGCGTCTTGCATGGTGATCAGGGATCGTAAGGTTCAGTCTGCAGCGAGCGACCCATCAGCTTGAATCTCGTCCAGCATGCGCTTGCCTCCCTTACAAGCTGCCCCTAGCACCACGACCGCCACACTGCCACATCCGTCCATCCTGACGCACGGATCTTGGATCTTGCTCATTCCCTCAGCTGGCCGGTTGACGAAACCGCCGCGCCCTTTCGCTCCCCTTTCGTCTCTCTTCCATAGTACTTTATACCATCTTCCTCCATTGCGTAGTGCGTATATCACGCACATAGCGACAGACTCCAAGATTAGTATACATCACGCAATTTTCCGCGCACCTTTTCATCGAGATCCAAGCGGATGGCGGTCACACGCCGCCAACATCATTCCTTCCTTTCACCTATAACCTCCCTTCCCTCTCATCCTCGCTAGACCCCTTCCATGGGATCTGCGTCGTCCAAGCCACCATATCTTGATCACCACAACTCTTCGGAGAGCATCGGGTTGCGCTCAACTGCCCCGAACACCATGGCCACCTTTCAGAACAACGCTCGGGCCGGTCCAGGACCATCCACAGCGGCTCGAGCGCCCCGAACAGCGGTCGGTCAGCCTTCGTCCGTCCCGAAGGAAGAGGGCGAGATTAGCTCTGGAGAAGACGACATTCAGTATCTCGGACCGCCCACTCCGCCTCGACGACCTCTGACGCCACCTCGACCTCGATCAACCCATACTTCACCCACGGTCAAAAACTTCCCTTCGCGCTCTGCCGCATCGTCCTTGCCATCTGGTCCAGCCAGAAAGGCTCCGTTACCGAAAGGACGCCCACAATCCTCCGTACCGCAGAACCGCGCCCCTCCGCCGCACCTTCCGCCTGATCCCGAGCCGGAAGTGAAGGTTACGGTGGAAAGGTCGAACTCGGCGAGAGTTATGGACTCGCCCGGACCCCTAGCTCCAGCCCCAGCGGGTGAGTAAAAGCTCAATATGGAGAACGCAGCTGATTGGAAGGTATCTCGCCGGAAGAAGCGCGGCAATACATGGACATCATCCGCAACCTTCTCCAAGAGGGTTTCCCGCCCGGCGATCTCATCGCCCGCGGCGCAACCGCTCGCTATGTCACTGCCGTCTGCGAAGAGATCGTCGCAGGGGCCAGGAAGAGGGTCCCGGCCCCTTCGGTAGCTCCGTCGCCGCCGAGGCAAATCATGACGCCATCTCCCCCTCCCCCCGCTCCTATCACCAGGGCGTTTCAAATGGCTCGGAACCCCAGTCATAGCTCGGAGGCATCAGAAGAGCATCTCGTCGACATATTGATGGGTCCTTCGAGTCCCAAGAGAGGCTCGAAGCTCATTGCGAGATCCTCTTGGCATCCCTCTTCGAGCCCATTACCACCGCCACCTCCCCCTCCATTCGGCGATTACCGACCCCCATCCCCCCTCCTCCGGTCCGCATCGAGAGCTATCGTCCACCTACTCCGCCAGGCCGTCCGCCTCCCCAGGCTTACTCGTCCCTGTCCTCCAACGGTAGCTCGTATACTGCAGGGTTGACAGCCCAGATGAAGAGTTTGCAGCCGCTGTCATCCTTCTCGCAAGCATCTTCATCTGGCTCTCATCCTGCCCAGCCCAACCCATATCTCCCCAACCCCTATCTCCGGCCACCTCAACTCAATGCCCACCCGCCGCATCCACAGGCCAGTCGACAAATTCCTCCCCCTCCCCCGCCACCAACCCAACCCCCATCTCTGCCCACTGCCACACATCCGAACCCCTACATCGCAGCGCTGCAGCCCACAATCTATCCTGCATCGGCACCTCCGCCACCGGCACATCCAATCTCCAGCCCGCGGTCCAGCCCACGCTCAAATAAGCGCGCCAAGCTTCCGCCCCGGCCGAATCGCTTGTCGGCAGCGCCCACCGAAGGGTCTGTCATCAGCACGGACATCGCGGGTAGCAACTTCTACAGCTTCAACACAGGTCCCAGCGAGCAAATGGCGAATCCATACCAACCTGTCGAGCAACCTGTCTTTGAGGCTCAGGCCGCGCCTCGGTTGGTCGGGGCTGAATTGGCCGCTCGCACGGCTTTGCTCGAAAGTCGGCGCAAGGCGATCGAGAGTATGAAGGCGAGGAAGGCTGCCAAGCCTCTAGTTTCACCGATAGAGCCAGCAGAGATGTTTGTCGAGCCGGGATCGATAGATTCTGCTCCAATCGTCATTGACGAGGATAGCGTCTCGGCGGACAAGACGATCGAGGAACAGATGGCAGAGCTGGAGGAAGAAGTGATGGGGCTGCAGACGGAGCAGAGGGCGGCTGAGGCGGCGATGGACCAGGATATGGACATGGACATGGAGGACGATGAGACTGAGGAGGGGCAGATTGAGGATACGACGGAGGACCCGCCTTTCTCGGCCTCGTCTACTCCGATCCTGTCTATGCCCTCTCTCCCATCGGATGTCCCTGTCTCGACCGCCCTTCGGATCCCGCGCGGCGTCAAGCGCGTCAATGCGGAGGACATGATGGACAATCGGCCGACTTCCCTCCCTGCTCGTCTTCCACCAAATAAGCGCCGCACCCTATTTGGCGGTATACCCCAGCGACCCAATCGGCTCGTCATGTTCCTCGACCACTCGGATTCCGACTCGGACTCGGAGGACGACGGGGACAAGGCGGGTCAGATGTCGCGTTTGAAGATCACGTCGGGCAGTGCAACGCCCATGCCCAGTACGGCGGCGATGGCGGCTACGGCCAAGTTGCTGGCGGAGAAGGAGGAGGGGATCCGCAAATTGAAGGAGCAGATCGAGCAACGGATGAAGGCGAGGATTGCAAAGAGGGCAACGAGCGAGGCGGCGGCCATCAGCGCGCCGGTACAGGCTCCGCCGGTGTCGCTGTCAGTGGAGGTGGAGGTCAAGGTGGAGGAGGAGGATGTTGTCATGGCTGAGAGCAGTGTGTTTGGCAGCGGGCGGCTGGCTTGTGCAAGCTGATAGCCAGGTGAAGTGCCGGATGCGGTCGCGGAAGCGGCGGATACTCCCCCAGAGCGTGAGTCCGCTGATCATCGATCGTTGTGTTGGTCCCTGCTGATCAACCAGTTGAGGTTGTCGCACATGATGGTGAGTGTCTTGGGGTGTCGAGCTGATGTCAGATCCGCTCCCTGAAGAAGCAATGGAGGTGCGACCTGCGACTCTTCAGCAAGACCAAGGTATCGGGCATAGCTGACCTTTTCTTCAGCAGGACATACCCCTCCCTGCTGCAGTCAACACAGATCCCGCTCCTCAGCAAGTGCGTCGACACGCGGCCAGTACACTGACCAAAGACCTCCCTTCCCCACTTTCGCCCATACTCCCCGCTTCTTCCCCGCTACCCTCAGCTATCAAGGATAGCGAGTCTCGCGCCGTCCTCTAGCGGACGAGGAGAGCGAGCAGGTACCCTTCTGCGGCTCGAAGCTATTGACCAAAATCTGCTTTCTTCTGTTATACTAACGCGGCGGATGAGGAAGGAGCCAGAGGTGGTGCTGTGCGCTGCAGAGGCGGGAGGGGGAATGTGTGCAGACGCGACGTGTAGCGATATACATGTAGCCAAGGACGTGCCGACTGGTAAGTCCAGTTTGTAGGTTTCAGCTAAGGTGCAGATGCCGATCTGGTCGAGTACGTCTCGCATGCCTTACCTGGAAAATCGAAAACGGACGTCATCGCCAGCTTGGCCAAAGCCCGATTTGCGCTTGGTTCCGGTCCGATCACCAACGAGTCGACGTCGAGCGAGCGTAATCAACAGGTCCAAACAGGCGGTACCAACACTTCGTCCGCGCGGAAGGACACGGTAGACCTCGGTCACCTGCTGGCTCATATGGGTCAAACACTGGTCGGCACATGAGCATCTTTGCCCATCCCACGGTACCTCTCTCGGCGTGATCCGGCTGCTCGTTACTTGTACATAGGGGTTAAAGCAGAGTTGGAGCTCTCTCAAGTAGGTAGTGTTTGTGAGGTTTGACGTATACATCATGCACATGCATCTGGTCAACGGTACCTCTTCTACCTGGCTCGCATTATACTGACGTGTCTGTCTACGTCTACTGATATACAATCCAATGAGATGTAGCAATAAGGATGAATCTATATGACAAGTCGAAGCTCGGTCTACCTGTGCCTCGGCCGCTGCTCCTCAGCCCATTCCGGTCGGGGCCTGTGCGAGCTGCTGGCGGGACGCTGGTCGTGGGACGCAGTGGGTGGGTAATGCCCAGGCGAGCGGACAGGCGTGTCTGAGCGGATCAAAGGACTCGGCTGGGGGTAAGGCGGGATATCTAGGCGGGGTCAGCGCAGTGCCCCCTTCCCCTCGGATGCAAGATCGCCTCAGAGGCAACGGAGAGCGGAAAGAGGACTCACCAACTCGACGGTCGAACGATACCGTCCGGCCTCTGGCGCTCGACATTGCAGGACTTGCACCTCCCTCCTCCTCCTCCTCGAAGCTGTCCGTGCTGCCTCCTTCCCTCTCCTGGCCTTCTTCCGACTCAGATTCGAGCTCGGCGGTCATTCCTGCTTCAGAGGTCCGCGCCGCGATCTTCTTCTCCTTCTGGCGCCGATTCTAAACGACGTCAACTGAGTCTCACATAGCGTATCTGCGGGAGGGCTTACCTGGAACCACACCTGGACTTGGCGCGGAGTCATCCCGGTGTATTGGGCAGCTTCTTCTCGCCGAGTCTTGGGTGGGGTACGAGTCTGGATGTCAGCTTCAAAGCTAACACAGCTGACAGACGTACCAGAAGCCAGATCCCCTCCAGATGCATCTGTTGCCATCCCGTCAATCTGATACGGGTTTTCGACGCTGGGCTCGGCGCCGCTCCGGTATCCGACCACCAGGAGTGCTTCTCAGCTGTGACTGGCCGAGAGGCGGAAGGCAATGAGTGAGACTTGCTCTTGCCTTCATTCCTGCTGGAGAACGGGCGCACGGACGGTGGAAGACTGAGTTGCTGAGGTGGAGGTTGAAAGGGAGGTAGTGAAATCGCATTTCGCGGCAGGACGAGGAAGCGGTCTGAAGGTGAGAGAGGAGGGGAGGGCGACTGATCACGTTGGGCGGGGTGGATAGGGATGGCGCCATGTGAGAGGGACGAGCGTGGTGGGGATGGTCGAGAAAAGTAGAATCTGTTGGGTGTGGAAGACATGCTGCGAAGCGGCTGGGACGGAGTATCGCGTGGTAGTATATCGGTGCAGGGTATGCGGCCTGAAAGTACGGGATTCTGAGACCTCTTTGGCGATTTATTGAGACAAAGGTAACGAGGATACTAACAACTGTGCATCACTTTCGATCACATTCAGGCACAGCCGCTTGCTCCCTCCAGGCACAGAAAGGATCCGAACCACAGCAAGGGGCAGGATAGCGATGAGGGGGACTTGCAACGCGAGATTGATGCTCTGCTTCCCCCGTGTTTCACCGTCTAGATCCGTGTTTCAGATCTTATCGCCCCCCATCTCCACCGCCAAACGCGTCATGGTCGCGCGATAAACTCTGCTTCTCCGCGCGGTCGACAGGAAGGGGGTAAGCATGGTCTTTCGGGCGAGGTATACACTCTCCCCTCAAAGGAGTTTCGGATCGGGAAAGATCTGGCTTCCCCGAGATTCGCCATCCTTCAAGTGGCCAAGTGGAGGCTAGATCTGTATCCGTGCCTGTGCCTGACGCCAGTGGAAGATTGCTTGTGTGCCGCGTACAGAGTTCTTCTTGCTTGACACCACGCTGGGACTGGCCTCGCATGGCGCCCGGCGACAAGCGGCTCAGCGCCGAGGGAGTTCGCGCATGGTTGGCTTGCTAGCACGGCCAGCCACGAGGCAGATCTGACAATCTCCGCACAGCTCGGTCCTGCTGTCTCCGGATTGTCCATCTCACACAGCTCACTAGTCCTTAGTACCCTCATCTTGACTATCCCTGGACCCTATCCTCATCCCCAACGTCCGCTTGTCCCGCAGATTGGACATGCATGGTACGATAAGCTGACACACTGACCTTGTCCTCCTGAGGTATAAGAGCCCCTCACCCCCACTCCACAAATCCCCATCTCATGCTCATCCACCGAATTCATCCCAAGTCACCCTTCTCTCCACGTCGTCCACCACCCACCATCACTAGATCAACATCACAACCACCCTCCACACCTCCTCTCATCACCACCCTACACCTACCTACCATGTCTCAAGTCGCTACCTACTACTCTGACGACGCGTCTCCCGGCTCCGGCAGCCCTACCGAGCACAAGGTCCACACCAACGGCGGCGCCGTCAAGAACTACGGGAACGGCGTCGACAAGCTCGCCTACAGCGACGATGAGGCGGATGTGAAGCTCAAGAGCACGGACGGGAGGGTGTTCAAGGTCCACTCTTACCTTCTCAAGGCTCAGGGGTGAGCCATCCCACCTTCAATCCCTCTTCGTGGAGATCTCAGCTCATGCCCAGGCCCCACTTCCGCTCCCTCCTCGTTCACCCTCCCTCGGACCCCATCCCCATCGACGCCTCCACCAAGATCCTCAAGCTCGTGCTTGACCTCATGCACCTCAAGCCCGCCCCCTCCGGCGCTATATGGGCGTACCGCACCCAGATCCTCAAGCTCTGCGACGACCTCCAGCTCAAGGGGGTCGCAGAGCGCGTCCTCTTCAGCATGCACGAGAACGTCGATAAGGATGCCTGGGCGGTCTTCTGCCTCGCCAGCCAGCACAACAGCAGCGCGCTCGCTCGGTCGGCCCTTCGCGCGATGGACAACGGGGAGGGTAAGGAGGGAGGCATCAAGCTGGACAAGCTCGGTCCGGATGCGGTCAAGGGGGTCGCGACGCCGTATCTCCTCGGCGTGTTTGCGGCGGCGCTCAAGGCGGCGGAGGCGGCCGACAAGGGGGTCCAGGTCGGGTGGAAGGAGGTTGCAGCCAACTTTGTCCCGATCTCGGTTTGAGAGTAGCTAGCAACTGTACCTAGCACAGTATCATACTCATATCTCTTAACGATAGCTACCCCTGTGTCTAGTAGCGTGATGCAAGCCTGCTTTGACGCCTTTCCAGACAGTCAGCTTTCAGTGAGCGCTGCTGCCGTATCATTCAGTGATAGTCTTGCACACTCGTCAGATGTCATCACACTCCATGCATGCCGTATCTGCAGCTCTACATCGATTGATTTATCCCCGCATAGCCTGTCCAATCTCGCTCTGCCACCCCACCGCCCTCTCGAACCCATTCTTGCCCGTCCTATAGTCCATCACAGCCTCCCGCACCTGCCTCTCGGAAGTGACGACAAACGGACCATACTGCACGACCGGCTGGTCGAGCGGCTCGCCAGCGACGAGGATGAAGTGAGTGTCTTCCGGAGCGTCAAGGTGGTCTGGTCGACGAAGACGAACCCCGGTCTGGCCGGGCTGGGTGGAGAGGACGAGGGTGTGGAATTTGGGGTGGATAGTGGGATCGGAGTCGATCTGGAGGGCGCCTTTGATGACTGGGAGTCAGCAACAGCCACATCATAAGGATCCGAGTAGAATACTAGAGACTGTTACTCACGGTAGACGAATCCAGTCCATCCTTCTGGCAAAGGCTGGAACACCTCCACTCCTGGCTTGGACAGCTTGTAGTCAAAGAACCAACACCCGCCTACAGGCCTGACGAAGCCGGTCGTACCGTGTGATTCACCCGAAATTATGGTGACCGAGACGCCGTCTTGTGGGTGGATGGTATCGATGCTACCTCGTTAGCTTCGCCCACCTCTAAACCCGAATGTGATTACTCACTCTTTTGCCTTCTTCTCCTGATAAGTCGGCTCGCACATCTTATCCTTCGCCGGCAGATCCACCCAAAGCTGTATCCCCACAGCAGGCTCCACCTTGGCCGGATCTTCATCAAAGGACGGCATCTCGGCGTGTACGATCCCCCGCCCGGCAGTCATCCACTGGACGTCCCCAGTCTCGAGCAGACCCGCGTTGCCCATGAAGTCTTCGTGCCGATTCGAGCCTCCGGTCATATACGTGACCGTTGACATCCCTCGATGAGGATGATCAGGGAAGCCAGCGCCTGGGTTGACCGTGAAGTTGTCCAGCCTGATTAATCAGCTCAAATACGCAAGGGGGAACGCGCGCGGGAACGATGAGACGGCAACTCCCGCTGTGTGATCGCGATGGCAGAACAGAGGATCGTAAGAGGTAGTGATGTGCCCTAACTGGTCATAAGACTCACATGAGGAAGGGAGAGAGATTCCGAAGCGCCGCAGTTCCAATACTCCGCCGCACGGTCGCACCGGCCCCTTCGGCGGTCTCGACGGCATATACGGACTTGACGACAGTGCGGGAGTGCTGAGCAGCGGCAGTGGTCGCATTAGAGGTTGACATAGCTCTTTTATTGAAAGTCGAGATGATGTTGGAAGGGGTAGTGATTGATCGTAATGCTCGGACAGGTGCGAGAGTCATGCGTCGATTAGATGGGGAAGAGGTGAGATGTCTGGATTTTCCCGGTCTTTATAGATCGCCTTTGGACAAGATGACCCAGCGACGATGCTTCCAGTGAGTTCGAGTCAGTTCTATCGATGAAGGCATGACCAAGTACCAGCTGAATAATGTGTGCGCATCAAACGTGGACGGTGGAGACGGCTTGGTGATCAGCGCCCGATGACTGCTAAACCCGGCTAAAATGGGACGTTCCGTCGGAACCAGCCGTGCCTGGTGGAGACCAGAGTGGCGGTAAGATCCCGCAGTAAGATCCGGGTGGCAAGTAGGCGGTCTTCGCTACTTCTCTTCTATGAGCTTCACCGGTACGGATTCGCAGGGACCAGGACAGCTAGAGTCTCAAGCACCGATATGATTCTGACTGCCAAAGTCTGGCAATCTACCGGTGGCAGCGAGCATCTTCGGCTCATCTTTCCTCTCTAAGGTCCTCCGGCCCAGCGGTCCATCACGGTCCATGTAAGATTATTCTGGGCGGGTCTTGTACTCCCGTCGCTGTCGCTATGGAATATACTTGCCGTGCTGCGGCATGCTATTGCTGTTCACCCCAGGAGCCAAGCCCGAGCCGGCCAGGTCACGCTCTGGACCGATTCACCCCACACTTTCCAGCTCCCCATAGCCACAGATCCCGCATTTCATAATGGCCGTTGCTGCGCACTCTGTGCACTCGAAGTGAGTCGAAGCAGCTGGCAGAGACGGCTGCTGTGTCGCGCGCCTGGACTTTTGCCACAGAACTTTTACCGTCAACTGCCGTGTGCCAGTGGAGGTTCCCCGCCAGACCCCGCATTCCGTCGTCATCTCTCGTCATCCCCCTCATAATGAAACGCCCTGAAACTCAGGCACGAGACCCTTACTCCAGCAATCCCCTTTTTTCCTATCTCGGCAATCTTGTAATCTTTCCCTGACAGTGGCGGTCAACTCAGGTTGAAAAGCAAATAGGCTGCAAGCAGCAAAGAGGGTCAGAGCGAGCTCGCAGCAGCTTGCATTGCATGCCTCAGTCTTCCGATCATACTCATAGCCTCTCACTGTACACTATATAGTCTCACCCACAGGCGAGCATACAGCCCGCCTCAGCGACAAAAGCAGGCTGCCCAAAGGGTACGGTGACAACCGGTACCTTCCAGTGAGTGGATCTTGTTTGCGGGGATATGAGTGCAGATTGGGTTTCGGTTCTCGGAGGACATGAGGAGGCTTGCATGGAATGTGGATTGGGGAGCAACTGCGCATTGGGACTGGGACTCCCGTGTTCTGTCCAGAAGATCGTAGAGAGCAAAGAGGAGCGCTGAGGAGCAAGACGAGCCCCGGGACTCGGATGAGAGCGGAGAAACCTGGATGTCTCAGATGGAAAATTGTCCTCCCGCCAAGGCACCAGGGCCGAATGCTGACTGCACAGCTCCTTTCACAACCCCAGAACAGTCAGCTGCAAGGCTTGGACGATAGGACGATACAGCACAGAGCAATTGTACCCAACCTCTTCGTACCGTACCCCCAGGACCGGAAACCGTCGCCCTTGACTTGACCGAGCATGTCATTCCAATCGCTCACTGCCTCGCGAGCAGCGGTGACCTCAGCCTCACAAGCTCCAGCGCCTGCCTCTTCGGCAGCACCCGCATCATCTGCCGCTGCAGCGACGACCCAAGCCCGTGCTTCGTCTCAGGCCGCAGCCGCACCCGCTAGCTCAGCAGCAGCCAGCACGGCCGCCGCTGCCACATCCGCTGCTGCACCTGCTGCTTCCACTTCAGCCGCTGCTCCAGCCGCTGCAGCGGCCTCGTCATCCTCTAGGGCATCCTCCTCGGCGGCAGCGTCCTCCTCAAGCGCCGCCGCATCCTCGTCATCAGCCGCAATATCCTCCTCGGCCGCCGCATCTTCCTCTTCGGCCTCCCGGACATCATCCGCTTCCTCTTCTATTGCCTCATATGTCGGTTCTTCCGCCCAGACCACATCCGGCGGCAGCTCTACCCTCCCAGGAAGCACCATCGGCGCTATCGCTGGCGGCGTTGTCGGTGGACTCCTCTTTATCGCCCTTGCCTTCACTTGCTGGCGGCGCATGAAGGGGAGGAAGAACCGCGTACCGCCACCTCCTCCGAGAGACATGGCCTTCGTACCGAGTACTGCTCGGTCCAGAGCTGTGTCTGGCGGCATGATGGAACAAGGCTTAGGAATGGGCGTAGGCGGTATACATAGGGAGAACTCGTTTGCTACCCGTAAGCTGCCTCCAATCCAACATGATTTTCCGCTAATGCCTTAGTCCTGCACACCAATCCTGCTGGCCAGATGTCCCGCAACCCCTCCTACTATAATACCTACCCCATCGCCACCCCTTCCACCCTAAATGGATCCCCTCCCGATACCTCCCCCGAAGTCCACCCAGTCGAAGACCCGGCGCTTCTCGGCGGTATGGTCGGGGCCGCCAGCGCGCCCATGATGGCTTCCGGTTCTAGCTCGTCCAACTACGCCGGAATTGGCGCGGGCGGAGAGGACCAGCAACGACCCGCTTCTCGGAGCAGCCGGCGTATCTCCTCGGTCGACAGGTTGCGGATGGAAGCGGCCACCGGTATTCGGGGCGACCGCCCATCCTCGCCCGCGCCCTCGGCGCTCTACTTCCCCTCACCCCATCCTGCCCCATATCCCGTTCCCGAAGATTCAGTTCCAGAAGGCAGCGTCACCCCTCCCTCGCCACCATACCCTTACTCGCCCAGCCGAAGCTCCAGCTCGCCCATGCTCAGCCAAGGTGGCTATCCGAGACCAGCGAGCATGTCGTCCCTCTCCAGTAGGGGTCACAACTACCTGCACGTGGGTCCCGCTAGGGGCGCACCGCATCAGGGCAGACCGGTGCAGCTGGAGATGCCCAGACTGCTCTCGGGGGGCTCGGCGGAAGGACCGACAAGTCCGTTGTCGCAGAGTGGGGAGTGGGGGAACAAGCGGTACAGCGGTGGGATGCCTCCCGTTCACGGTAAGCCGTCCTCGCGACAAGACTTGTGTGGCCATGCTAATCGCCCTAGACTATCTACCCAACCCATACCCCTCATCACCGCCCCAATCTAGAAATCACCGTCGCATGCCCTCGGGTCAATCATCGAGCGGTCTATCAAGACCACAGTAAAATAGTCATCGGACAGTTCGCACACGATTAGCCCGGCACATCATTATTCATAGCTCCACCTTGTAGACTTCTTCTTGGGATTTAGATGGCCTAGGACATACACGTATATAGGGCCGAACAGCTATATCCAACTTGTATTTGATGTAGCAAGATTGCTGCCCCCGGCGCTGGTGTTCTTTGGCTTCTGAACCCGAGCATGTGTGGTCCGAGGTTGTCCGCCTGCCGGCTCGGGAGGCCGACTGCGTATATAGGCAGTGTGCGTGAAGTCCAGCTGACTGGCAGTCTATTGGCATGACTGACTGCTCAAGGTCAGCTTCCTCTTCAGGAGTTGGACTAAGGGAGCAACTCACGTTGGTGGGTCCGGCGATCCGAGCGGGTCTCACGATATGGCTCCCACTTCCTCCCCAGCGCCTTGCCCGGCCCCTTGTTCCCTATCATCCACCAGCTCAATCCTCGTACAGTCCGCCTCCTTTATCAAAACCAACCCCAGCCCCCTTCCGCCCCACCCGGTCCCTGGTCCACCGAAAGGCTCCGACCGGGGGTCCCACTGCTCCCCGTTCTCCCATCTTTCCTGCAAGCCCCTCTCGACTTCTTCCCTTCTCCGGAGCAGATCTTCCCGATCCCCGTGAAGCTCCAGCTCGCGGTTCACATCAAACAGGTCGCCGAGCCAGGACGGGAACTCTTCCGCTTCGGACAGGACCATGTTGCCTCCGCCGTCGATAACGTGTAGGAGGCCGACCACTGTACGGCGATCCTTGAGGGTCACGCGGAGTGGGCGGTCCAGGAGGGCAGTGAGGAAGGAGGTGGCTTCTTCGGGGGTAGGGCGGGATATGGGCTCGGAGAGGGCGAGAGCGGGTTGAGGAGGGCTTTGGATGTCCGACGGGGAGGTGGATGTCGGGGCGCTCGATGTAGCCGAGGCGGTCTGCACAGGGGAGATCTCGTGCCCTTGTCCAGGATCTGGTCTGGCGAGAGACATGGCCTGACTCTGCACCGCGATCAAGACGATGGACTAGAGCAAGGATTACCAGAAGATATGGACGCTCATCACACCTGGCCTGTCATGGCGCACGGATTACGGTCCACTACCAGGTACTATGTACTGCCTGTACCTAGTACTTAGCGAGACCAAGACCTCGTCAAATCGTACTGCAAGAGAGCTGCCGCACATGAGAGTAGTGGTAGCGGTAGACACTAGGCGGGCAGCAGAACATAGGGAGAAACAAGGGAGAAAGCCACCTTGAGGGGAGACATATACTTGCCCGATCCTGTGAGACCGTTCCGCCCCGTATTGATCAGTCTGGAGGGCATGAGTATGGCACACCGATATCATATCTCGGCGCTCGTGTCTTCTGACAGGTTACATTGCGCTTCGTCTAAGAGATGTACACGTACAGGTGCGCCTCGAGCGCAATGTTGCTGGCTCCGCTCCTCCCTCCCCGACCATTGCCTTTCCCGTCCCCCTCAAGCCTCTCCCGCCTGTGCCTGTCTGGCCTCAAACCACCCTTCCCACTCCTTCATCCCCCACTTCACCTCTCCCTTCCCACCCCGCTTCTCCACAATCTCCCTCACCACCTCTCGCTCTCCCTCATCTTTCAGACAGTTGACCCACCACCGTTCGAGACTCTGGCCGTGCATTATGCTTGGGCTGAGGTCGAGGTGTCCCTCCGAGTGTAGAGCCGTGAAGAAGAGGACGTGCGGTGCGGCGAGGGATGAGAGTGGAGGGAAGAGGGCGAGGAGCTTGAGGATTCGAGTGAGGCGGAGGAGGTTGTGTGGTGCGTGGGTGAGATTACGGACTGATAGTCAGTACACTAGCACAGCTTCAGAGCCATTGCAGTAGGTGTTGACCTGTGCATCGTTGGCCGGTGTAGTGAGTGATGGGACCTACGCCTTGCCTTGTGGTCATCTGCTAATGACAACCGGTTCTGGTTCGCCCTATCCACCTTGATACCATAGAAAGCCATCATCTACGCCTGTCAGCCACTCCTCGCCAAACATCACGTACCATGCTGTATGATCTGAGTAGCCGATCAATGACACTCTCGTCTGCTATCATCGCCTGCAGCTCGTGCTGCTGTAAAGGCTGAGCTCGGTAATTAACCCCTTGTTCCGGAATGGGGAAGAGCCCTTCAGAGTCAGCCTCGTATCAGGCCGATGCGTATCAGGCGGATGCACCACGAAGACGTTGCGTGAAGACTTAGCTGACTCACATTGTATGTAGCCACTGTATAAGTCAGATCTATCATCCCGGTGAGGGAGGAGATCGGGGAAGGAAGACATACTGATTCGCTTCCAGTTCCTCGTAATCCCGACTATACCGCCGCATGAACGCATCATACGTCAACCCCTCAGGCATCATCGGCCTCTCATTTCGGTAGAAGTCGAGGTTGGCCTTCTTATCGGTGTCATTAGGGGCACCCGGATAGCCCGCAAGGAAGATCTGCACATCTGAGTGTCAGCGAGTTGACTCATCGATGATTGGCAAGCAGCGCGACATACCCCGAGGTACGGCCATACAGAGCGATGAGCTACTGTATGATTGAGAGAGTGAGATGTGAGTGATAGCTGTAGGTAGGCGGATGTAGGTCAGAGGAATAGCAGATTTGAAGGTTAGAGTACGAAAGGTTGAAGTGAGGATCCGGGGCATCACCTCGAGGTCTTGTGCGATTTTGAGACGAGCGGTTGGTGCGAGCTTGCGTTGCCTCGTGGTGAATCTCAACCAGGCCGGCGTGCGATGTCCCCTTCCGTCTATAGCCTCAGCTAGTCGACGAGACTCCAGAGATAGGCAAGATACCTTGAGGAAGGGCAATGTACTGTAAGTGACAGCTGGACAGATCCAGGCACGACAACGAATTCCTCGCCGCCGAAGATCCGAAATTTCCACCCATCATACATCTCGCGCTTACACCACACCCGCCATCCGTATCGCATAATGTCGCTCTCCCTGTTCCCCTCGCTCAGAGCGAGCTCTTCCCGCCTACCTCTCGCTCCCGTCATGCCCCTCCGGCGGCACTTCCACGCCTCCCCGCCCACCTCCGCCGTCGATATCGGAACGACCGTCCAGTCCGTGGACAAAGCCCTGGCGGACTTGCAAAAGTCATCAGCGCAGATGCGAAGGTCTGGGCGGAATTTGGACATCACGGCGATGGCTACGCCGGTAATCGGTGCGCTCGAGGATCATACGAAGGTTGAGAACGGTGCTGATACGAGGCAGAAAGAACGGTTGAGCCGCCATTCCGCTTCAGTTGGCTCTTCCGATCCAAGGGGAGGGCGTACGCTTCGCAGCGGTTCGTGAGATTCAGGACGACACGGAAATTGTGAGCTGAACAAGCGCCACCGGAGCCGCAGAAGCTGACGGAGTAGCTTGAATGATATGATCCAGAAAGACCTCTTCCCCAAGCGGAAAGGATCTAATTTCTTGTCGTCCATGGTGCAGGGCGTACTTTGCCTACGGCCGACGCACAAGGCAGGGTTATTGATGAAGGATCTGGAGAACGTATATGCGCGGTTCAACGAGGCTCAGGCAGCGTAAGCCCCGAGTTTTACGCTGAGGCGAGCGAGGCTGATGTACCAGTGGGGACGAAGTTCGGATACGAGCTCTGGCCACTGGCGAAGCACTGGCATTATCTCAAAAAGTGGCCAAAGCGAAGCGGCAGATGAAGTGGGAGCTAGTAAAGAGCAATGCGGAGCCAAAGTTGATCAGCGCGCGGATAACACCACTGGACGCAGAAGGGAGATTGGAATTGGCACAGGTTGTAGTGCGATTCGATACAGATCAGGTGAGCGGTCTTCCATCGGATCGACGAACGACATAATGCTGATTGCTTAGGCCCTGACGACAAAGGGCGGGCAGGGATCGCAGACCAAGCAACAGCGAGTTGTGGAGAATTGCGTGTTTGAGAGGCATCTGCCAACCAAGCGCGGATGGAGGATAAAAGAGTCGCTGGAGACAAGCGTTCCGGACGTATGAGCGTAGTCAGTATGAGGCTGCGATCATGTATCTCCTACCTCTCACCTGTCAGTCTGCCTTCAACGATCGCTTCACACAGCTGGTCAACAATTTTACAGTGTCTGCATCTTACATGACTGGATTACCCCATGCGTGCTCCTTGATCCAATCCGCCCCATGCTCCATGTATTCTTCCCTCGACACCCTCGCGGCCTTCGCCTCGTCCGTTACGCTCCAACTCGCCATGCCCTTCCACGCCTCCAGCTTGGGATCCCCGCCGTCCCATGACGAAACGATCTTTAGGGGTGCTCGGAATGGAAGTACGGGGGTGAGAGCGTTTCTCAGTCGAGGGATGAAGTTTGGTATACTCGAGGCGCCACCGGTGACGAAGATACACTAGGTCGTGAGCTTGGCATAAAAGACGTTTCGGACGTTCGAAGCTCACCTGCATCATCTTCCTCCGTTGTTCCTCCTCGAACCCATTCAAGAGCCACCCCGCCACTTCGCCGAGACCCGCCGAATCCACGCCAAACATTGCAGGCTGGAAGTACGCCTCGGGTACGCGAATCCGCTCGACATTCAGGTGTAATTGATAGCTCTGCCTCAGATCTGTCGGGTCAAACCGATCCGCCGCCCCACCACGAACAAAGGCGTTGATGAGGGCGTTCTTGACTTGTGCTCGACCGACCATGGTATCATCCTCGGTGAAGGTGGTGTCGTGCTGCAGTAGCCTGGACTCGATAGATTGTAGGGTTGTGAGGTCGTCCTCTTCCGCATCCGAGTCTTCCTCTCCGCCCTGGCTATCAGCTGTGTGCATGTGAAGCTTGAGTGACCAAGACTTACCACTTCTCGATATACCGCCCAGTCCGAGTCGTCTTTACCAAACCCATCGTCGTCTATACCAGTCAGCTTATGAGGCACGCCAAATCAGTCCCGCTTGACTAACCATCTCCCTTCTTCCTCTTCTTGGTGTTGACGACCTTATCTTCGGCTGCCAGATTGGCGATCGTCTTCATCCTAGATTGGGCAGCAGCGGATTTCCGGTCTTTCCGCTGCGACTTTGTCTTTTTACGGCTCTCCATCCGCAGCATGACAGCCTGAATGTCAGCACATCACTTTCTCAAGTCAAGACTGTACTCACCTCCTGCTCCAGCCTCAATCTCTTCGCCCACGATTCGGGATCCGCCAATCTCGCCTCCTCTTCCTTCCGCTCATCTTCTAACCGGCGTTCCTTTGCCCTCTCCTTCTCCTCCCTGACCTTGACCCGCGCCTCCCAACCAGCCTTCATCAACCTTTGCCGCCGTTTCTCTCGGAGTTCGTCCTCATTCAACTCCTCATCCGGCCTGTCCACCATCGGGAACACGGGATCCTCTTCTGGCTCTGCATCCTCCCCAGCATCCTTCTTTTGCTTGCGCTTGATATCCGCGTCGGTCTTCTTGACCCAGGCTTCGAGTTCTGCTTCAGACTCGAAGTCCGTTTCGGAAAGGACAAGGTCGAGGAAGTCATCAGGAGCCAGGAGGGAGCGCTGGAGGAGGATGTTGCGGTATATCTCAAGGGCGGAGATCTTTTCGGCAAGCTGCGAGTCAGCTTATTCCCGAAGGATGGTACAGGACATACCTTCTCGGCCCTCTGGGTCTTCTGCATCTCCTGCAATCTTCTTCCATGCTCTTTCCGCTTCTCGCTCTGAGCCGCAAGCTCGGCATCAGTCTTCTCGACCACATCCTGATAGGATCAGTGCGTCTCAGCGCGTACGAGGCGACGCTGTCACTTACTGGTACAGTGAACGGGAACTCGATGATCTTGGTCATGGCGGACAGCGTTGCCGGGTTCTCCAGAGTCCGAAGTTCTGCTTCATAATCGGTGGAGAAGTAGCAGGTCTCGCGAGCCATAAACTGGGTTGTCAGCGAAAGTCCGAGCTTCGACGATGGTGAGTGAAGAGTGACGCACGGTAGCTTGTGGTATTGTCACCTTGAGCGGGAACGTCGGATACTTCAACTGAGCGAGCTTGAGCAGCAGCTCTGACATGTTCACACCGCCTAAAGGTATTCTATATGTCAGCTAGGCTTGATGACAGATTTGAAGGAAAGCTGCTTACCTCTTTGATCGGCTGAGGATGCCTCTGCCATTGACGACAGGTATCACCGTCGTAGCATTATGGCCCATACTGATAGCCAATCCGTCCGAATGCTTCTGCCTCGAGAAGGCAAAGAGCGAGTCTATACCATATGTCACGGAGGGAGCATTGTACATCTCGAAGAGGAGCTCCGAAGTCACTGAAGATCAGCTGGGACCTCTACGCGCAACGAGAACACACAGCGACTTACGAGCTCGTGTGAACAAGGGATTGGCTAGCCGTTCTGTCATCACTATCGGATGTTCTATCCTTGCCGTATCTATTCCCAGTGTGAGGAAGGTGAAGTCCAGCGCGCTTTCCTGCAAGAGTCAGCTCTGAGCTCCGCTGCGCCAGGCATGTGCAGGTCAGTAGACATACCAGCACATCCCCATGAACCAGCAAGTCCCCGTCGAACACGGACCGCCCATTCGACCTGGAGTTGGCATCCGCCTCTATGTCCCGCCCAAAGAGCATAATGTTCCGCCCCTGTTTCCGCTCTTTGTACTTGGCGACAACGTTCGGTCTGTCAATGTACGGCGTTGATTGCGTCGAGAAGCCAGCTCGCCATGAGCTCGAGCCTGATGTTGTAAGCTATACGGCTTCCAGCTCGAGGAGCAAGTCAAGATCACCATTGTCTATGCAGATGACGGGGTCTGCATGGGCTATTGAGCGATACTGGAATGCAGGTTGAGGTTGGGCATCATAGGTCGTCTCCGGGACATAGAGGACATTCGACCGGCCCCTGGTCGAGGATGATGCCTCCGGCTGGTCGAAGTCCATCCTGGGTCTGATATCGATGCGATACTGATGCTAGGGGTATTTCAGGATATGTATGGAGGACAGAGACCTATTCTGTTCGAAGCAGCTCCAGAGCTCTTGGTGAGAGAGCTGAAACGCTCCGCCACGTGGTGAATGATGAAACCGACCGCAACGGCAGCGCCGACGACATTTTGGGCGACCTGGACGATCAAGGTGACGTTCTGACTCTTCACTTCAATATCAACTCAGTGGGACTGTCTGACTCAGTCGGACCTCACTTCTAGGCATTCTTATTCAGCGTCTGCGATAGAAAGGAGCAGAGAGTCTCGCCCGTCATGCTCAGATGATCCCCTTCAGGCGGTCGACCATCTCCGCCTTTACACCATCCCGGATCCTCAGCCATCCGATCGGCCATGCTAGCATATCCCAGCAGGGAAGAAGGCTTTGGCGGTCAGCGCCTAGCTCAGCTGCCGCAAGCAAGGCCAAGGCGTCAAAGTCCACCATCCTCTTAGGGGCACTGCCTACACATCTTACCGATGCCCAGGGGAACAAGGTCGGATCATTGCCGCCTGATCCCGGAAGGAGAGTGAAGACGGCTTCCAAAGGAAAGACATCCAAGAGTGAGCAGACCGCCCTTCTAGACCTATCAGGCCCCCTGCAAGCTCTCGGAGCTGATCATCAGCTTCCAAAGGGAAGACTTCGCTCAGCTCGTCGATGGGCGCAGAAGCTGCCGAGACGGTCCAAGCTGTATCAGAGACTGGCTACAGAGCAGCTGTTACTCGAGGAGAAGTGCCGGACAGTCCTCTGGCGGAGCAAGTGTACGAGAACTGGAAACGCTTCCCAGATGCTGTCCTTTTGACCCGAGTCGGCAAGTTCTACGAGGTAAGCCTTCACTAGTACCGCACTGCCCTGGCTGACGAGTAGTCCTACTTCGCCCCAGCGGTCGAACTGTCCTCTCTTCTTTCCCTCAAGCTCGCCTACAAGCGGTACGCTGGCGGGAATTTCCCCTTCTCCGGCTTTCCCGTACACCAGCTCGACAAGTACCTCAAAATCCTCGTACAAGATCTCGATCGAACCGTCGTCCTGGTGGAGGAATACGATGAGGAGGGCCGGAAGGAGGGGTTGGACCCAATGCGGAAGGTGGCAAGTGGGGCGGATCTGAAGGATAGGCGGGTCGGGCGGGTTGTCACTCCCGGAACGCTGGTTGAGGAGAGCTGGGTCAGCGGGGACGAGAGCCGATACCTCCTCGCTGTCTCGGTGGACACCGAGGGCGGTGGTCAGGAGGACTGTCGTGTCTCGCTGGCGTATACGGACCCGTCCACCGGAGAGTTTTTTCTGCGGGAGACAACGGTGGAGTATATCGAGGACGAGGTTGCGCGAATCGCGCCCTCCGAGATCGTCCTCGATGCTGGGCTGAAGGAGGCCTGGTACTCCGGAGAGCAGCTCGTGGGGGCTATGACCCCGGTCAACGACCTTTTCCAGCTCTTTCGAGTGCTGGGCGTGCACGTGTCTTTCGCCGTTGCGGAACACGGCGCGACAATCCGCTCTCCGCCCAGCGCACCGGCCGCACCCCAGTCGCTAGAAATGCAAGCTATTTCTCTACTCCGCCGTCACCTCGAGTACGCTCTCCGTGACTCCATGCCGGAACTCAGCAGCCCGAACAAGCAGTCATCCAGCAAGACGATGCTCATCGACGCGGCCACATTAGGCGCTCTCGAGATCCGACACGCTATCCGTCCAGGCGGTATGTCCAACGCCAGCGATTCTTTCGGTCGGTCCTCGCCTCTCTCCAGTCGCGGCACACTACTCTCTACCATGTCCCAGACTACCACTCCGTCTGGCCATCGGCTCCTCGTCAGAACCCTTACGGCCCCGTCGACTGATATCACGCTCATCAACTCTCGGCTAGACCTGGTGGAAGCTCTTGTCGGGCAGGAGGAGCTGCGGACGGATCTGCGAGATATGATACGCGGAGTAGGGGATGTCATGCGGATCGTACAGCGGTTCAAGGGGAGGAGGGGGACTGGACGAGATGCTTGGGACCTCGCGCTATGGGTGCGGAGCTTTGAGCGGGTCCTTGGGAGGATCAAGCGGGACTCGGCGGTCGAGGGAGCTGGAGGGCGGTTACAGGCGTTTATCAAATCGGTGAAGCCTCTCGCCGATCTGGCGGAATTGGTCGAGGGAACAATCGACGAAGCGGCGGTAATGAAGCAGGGGCTAAGTGAGGGAGATGTTGATGACGAAGATATGGAGCTCCAAGCGGGAGATGCGATGCTGGCGGGGAGTAAAGCACGTAAAGGCGAGAGCAAAAAGCAGCGTATCGAAAGAGAGAAGGCCGAGAACGATGTCAACCAGTGGTGGATGAAGCCGCAGTGAGTCTATCCCCGTTAAACAGCAAAGACCCGCTGATAACCAGCTTCACTGAAGAGCTCAAATCGATGCACGAGGAATTGACGGGCATGAAAGCCGGTCGGGCGAAGATGGAACGGGATCTGCGGAAGAAGCTAGGTACGTGGCCATAGATGATGATCATCTATACGAATGCTGATCTATTTAGGTGTGGAGAAGCTGTACTTGACCAAGCACCGCAATGTCTTCGTGATGTCGGTCTCAGACAGGCTCGACTACGCCAAGATCGACAAGCTGCGACAGTTCGCCAACATCTTCGAGGGCAAAGCGAGCAAACACTACGCGTACAACAGTTGGACTCAGCTCGGTGGTCAGACGGACAAGCTCATGGAGGATATGCTGTTCGCGCAACGGAGAGCTTTTGATCTGCTTCGAGACCAGGTACGTACGATCATCGCGAGGACCAGAGCACCGGCTGATCAGCTCAGATCGTGGCGCGAGCGGAAGATGTCCAGCACAACGCAGAATTGATGGATGAGCTCGACCTGGCTTTGTCGTTCGCGCAGACTGCTGCGGATCTCGGCTACGTCCGGCCGATTTTGGACGAATCGTGCGCCTTCTTCGCCTGGTTTTCAAATGAAGCTGACAGAGAAGTACGGACCTAGAGATTACCAACGGCCGCCACCCCACTGTTGAGACTTCTCTACTGAATCACTCCCGCTCCTTTACACCGAACTCGACCAGCATGACCCCGTCCTCTCACCTTCACATCATCACCGGTCCGAACCAGGGCGGCAAATCCACTCTACTGCGGCAGACAGCGGTGATAGCCATCCTTGCTCAGGCCGGAAGCTTTGTCCCCGCCGAGCGGGTCAGGATGGGCATAGTGGATAGGGTGTTCTCGAGAATAGGGGCCCGGGATGATCTGTTCCGGGATCGGAGCACTTTCATGCTGGAGATGGTCGAGTGAGTGCTGAGACCTCACCCCATGTGTCGAGTAAGCTGATGATACTAGAACCGCTGCGATACTGAGACACGCGACTGCGCGGTCGCTCGTCATCATGGATGAGATCGGACGGGGAACGACCCTCCACTCTGGCCTGTCGATCGCCTATGCCACGCTCGACCATATCTTGTCGAAGATCAAATGCCGTACGCTGTTTGCGACCCACTATCACGAAGTAGCGGATATGCTCGCGGTGGAGAAAGGCGTCAGGGATGGCGTAGAGTTCTGGTGCACTGATGTCGATGAGCTGGTTAGTGCTGCTCAAGACCATGGGACAGGATTCAGCTGATCGAGCAGGATGGCGCCTTCTCGTATCAGTACAGGCTACACAGGGGTATCAACCACAAGTCTCATGCCATAGTAAGCTTATCAATGATCACTACGACGCTACGAGGAGGGCTTCCCAGCTGATCATCGTCAGAAAGCGGCGCGGCTCGCAGGTATGCCGGATACCTTCCTCAAAACGGCTGAGATCACCCTGGTTGCGCTGGACAAGGGATTCAAGCCCTCGGAAGCCGTTCGGGTGCGTAAATTCCAGTGAGGTGGCAGGACTAAGATCCGCAGTCTCGGCTCAGTCAGCTGCTATAGCTAGCCGGCCAGATTAATGTTGATCAGCGCGGATGGGGGACAAAGGATGGTCATCTCAAGGACGTAGCATTAGATTTTATACAGCTCGAACAGTACAGCCAGAATGTCAGGTGGACCAGTTCCAGCCAGTCAGTACCAGTGGCTGGATCTCCTTGAGCACCGGGCTATAGTGAAGCACCTCCCGCCACGCTGGCTGTTCAGATTCAGTCAAATATCGCGCGTGATATTCGCTTTGGCGCGACGCGTCAAAGCGGCTCAGCCTCTGATCATCCTCAACTCTTCAAGCAATCAAGCTCACTTCGTATAATAGTCTATCGGCATATCTATCGAGGACTCCATGCTCCAACACTCTCATGCCTCGCTCCATCGCGGCAGCATAGCGCTGTATTGAATAGCGAAAGCTAATCCAACTCCCCCGAAGCGGCGTAAGGATAACAAACCAAACAACACGACCCTTTTCGGTACATCCCTTTCCAGCTGTTCCATCCGATGCAGCTCCGTCACTTGCTGCGAGCTCCGGACCATCACGCCGTGAGGGGGATGTCAACAACCCGGCTGCTCTTACCTACTTTTACCCTCAAACCTTCGCACGATGTGACCGTCCATCGGGGCATGTCAGGGAAGGGTTACGGCGCGCCTGATTTTCCTTATGTCACTCGTGCAAAAGCCTGAAGGGATATTTGGTCCCCCTGCGCTTGTGGGTCTCCGATGGCGTCTGCGCCAGCGAACCAGCGGGCGGCACAGCGAGGAGACTCGAGAGGTGTTGTTATGCGATGCTGGGAGTGGTCTTGAACGACGTCGAGTATCACTGACAATTGTTCATCTATCTTACCATACACGCTCTTTTTGACACTCGCTACACGACCAGATCTCACCACTCCGACAAGGAACACGCGCCTGGCATCGGCACACGAGCCATCTACTGTCCCGTCAGCTCAGACGGTCATCTGCGCGACCTACCTATTCCTCAACACCACACCTATATCACCTCCCTCCACACCTCTTTCGATCATGGCGGTCGAATCCACTACACAGCCGCGCGGGGAACCGTGCTCGCGTCAGGCAAGCAGCAGCCAGGCGAGCGGCAGCGTATCGCGGAAGGGCTCGACGGCGGGGAGGTCAAGAGTGCTGGATGAGCGTATGATTGGGCAGTGGAGGATAGGACGGACGATTGGCAAGGGTTCATCTGGTGAGTCTCCCTCGACGCGTCTGATCCATTTTCTCGTGGTGTCTTGAGGAACCCCAGCTGACTTGTACAGGCCGCGTCAAGATCGCCAAACACGCCATCACCGGCAAATATGCCGCCATCAAAATCGTACCTAAAGGCCTCATTATCTCGTCTCGCATGTCTGTCTCGGAGGCCGGCGCAAGGGCGGACAAGGTACTGTTGGGGATCGAGCGGGAGATCGTCATCATGAAGCTTATCGACCACCCAAACGTGCTCAACCTTTACGACGTGTGGGAGACTTCTTCGGAGCTGTGAGTACTCACCCACCGCGCGCGAGTAAACATCACTGATGCGCAGCTATCTCATCATGGAGTACGTCCCCGGGGGAGAGCTTTTCGACTACCTTGTCAAACGCGGCCGCCTTCCCGTCTCCGAGGCGCTTCACTACTTCCAGCAAATCATTCACGCCGTCGATTACTGCCACCGCTTCAACATCTGCCACCGAGATCTCAAGCCCGAGAACCTCTTGCTCGATAAGGACAAGAACATCAAGGTGGCCGACTTTGGTATGGCTGCCTGGGAAGCTGGGGAGCGGATGTTAGAGACTAGCTGCGGAAGTCCTCATTACGCGTCGCCCGAGATCGTTGCTGTGAGTTCCTCAAATCCCGTCGAGGACTGAGCTGATGGAGACAGGGCAAGGCATACCACGGTTCATCGTCCGATATCTGGTCATGCGGTATCATTCTCTTCGCCCTCCTCACCGGCCGTCTTCCCTTCGACGACGACAATATCCGCTCGCTCCTGCAGAAGGTGAAGGTCGGGGTATTTGAGATGCCGGATGAGATCAAGGGGCCCGCTCGGGACCTCTTGTTCAAGATGCTGGAAAAGGACCCGGAGAAGCGTATCCTTGTAAGTCTACTATCGCCTAACCTTGACCAGAGCTGACTGGCAGATGCCCGATATCCTCTCACATCCCTTCTTCGTCTCCCGCTCGCCTCGCCCCATCCCCGGCCGGTCTCTTGTCTCCCCTCCCAGTCTGGATGAGGTCGACAGTCCCGTCAGCTCGGCGGACGAGATCGACGAGGACATCATGAGCAACCTCAAGACCCTCTGGTCTGGTGCGGCGGATGACGAGATTGTCGCGGCTCTGATGAGCAAGGACAAGACGTGGGAGAAGGCGATCTATCACTTGCTCGTCAAGTACCGCAACAAGCACCTCGAGAACTACAACATGGAGGAGGAGGATGACGAGGCGACCCAGACCCGCCGTGCCGCTCGCAAAGCTGTCACTTCGTCCTCCCCGCCCAAGCGCAAGGGTACCGCACCTAAACGCGCTCCTCTCGGCGAGAATGAAACACTCCAGGACTCGGTGACCACTACACCCGTCCAGCGACCCCAGGCGCCAACACCCAAGAAGGCGTCCGCTCAGCCAGAGTACGAGTCGCCCGTCCCCAATCGCCCACAGAGCAAAGTCGCTTCCCGTCCCGTCATGGGTCCTCGTCCTCCAATGACCAGGGGTAATACGGCTGCTTCGGACGTCACATCTCCTGTGCATGGCACCCCATCCATTGTCCTCCAGGAGGCTACGCCCACCAAGGACATGCTACCACCCAAAATTATCCCCTCTCGCCCACAGTCGGTTGTCTCAACGGCGCCTCCTCCCGCTACCGAAGCGCAACTCGCCGCCCTCAACGTCCCACAGGTCAAGGATGAGCAGCTCCAGCACTTCTTTAATGAGGTCGCTGCTCAGCTCAACACCATGAACATCCGGTCATCGGTCGCTTCGGGCTCGTCCAGCTCGTCAGCCATCATGGGCAGCGACTACCAGGCGTACCTCTCATACCTCGGGGCGGGCGGCATCGGCGTTCCACCACAGGAGTCGGCGGGAACGGAGACCATGGTGGACTCCAACCAGTTCGCTGATGCGGATGATGACGAGACCGAGGCGGCCAGCATCCACAGCATGGCCATGTCCATCGTGCCTCAGCACTCCCCTCTCGTCGGTCTCGGGCTCGGCGGCCCGCCCCTCGGACATGGCGCACGGCCCGCACTGCACCCCTCCCCGGCGGTCAACACCAACCGATGGTCGTACGCCTCGTCCAATGGCTCGTCGTACCGCGGTCCATCGGCATCCTCCTATCCCCCACAGTCACCAAGTCCATCCATCAACCCGCAAGGCATCATGTGGGCCGATCCCAATCCCGCCCCAACTCCTCACACCCAGGTCATGTTCGCTCAGCGTGCCCCTCCTCCTCCTCCCGCAGCTCGCGTGGCCACCCGTGCAGCTCCCGCACCACCACGACCCATCAGCACCGTCTCTACCGGCGGCGAGCTTACTCGCGATGGCTCTTTCATCATCATCAACCACGCCGATACTCCGTCGGTCGACCAGGCATCGTTCGCCTCTCGCCAGTCTCAGGCCAGTTCAGGCTTCAGCGCACATCGCCAGGACGCCTTTGGCATGCTCAAGAAGAAGAAGAAGGTCACTATCGACCCGGTCGCATACTCTCCTTCTCAGTCCGGCCCACAGACCGGCGGATCCAGCGCTGGCCCTAGCTCGGGCAGTCGCAGTGACTCCAGCCCCAAACGGAGCTGGTTTAACAACCTGTTCTCGTTCAAGCCGGCGCCAGCTACACTTCTCAGCCATGCCAACATCGGGGATACGAGGGACGCGGTCAAGAGGACGCTGGCAGAACTTGGGGTCCGAGTCGCGGTCGTCGAGATTGACGGACTGAGGGGTCTCAAGTGCAAGTTTGACGACATCAAGGGTGAGTATTTTACTTGGCTTTGGGGTATCCAGGCTGATCGTCCTAGACTCGGCTGGAAACATCAACATCAAGGGAGTTCGTTTCCGTGTAGAGTTTGCGAGGTCAAACGCAGCCACAACTGGCGGGAACTACAACACTCTTGTGTCACTCGCATTGGAGAAGGGCGCACAATCTTCTTTCAGGAGTAAGTATTCTTCCGCTAGTCCACGTCCACCGCTGACTTGCAGATATCTTCAACTCCCTGAAAGCCTCCATCGAGGAGGATGCAGCCGCGCCAACACCTATCATCCGCCGCCCGCCGCCACCTATCCAAATCCACTCTTACGTCCACCCCCAGAATGAGCCTCACCCTGCCCGGGCACCCATGTCGGCCACCATCAGCGGTCCCGCGTCGCGCCAAATGCTATCGGCGCCACCAGTACGATGGACGCATTCTGCCCCCACATCACCCAACATGCCTTCGACACCTCGCTTTGATGCTTCTCCGCAACCACCTCGGTCTTCACAACTTGCTCCGGCCATCCGCTTCTAGACTACGTTGTGCTCCTCTTTATCTTCTTCATAGACATACTCTCTGGTTCTTAGGTAGTAATCGCAGGTGCTTCTTGAATTCTCTGTAGTAGCTGTATCTCTTTTAGGAATGGACTTTCGCTGTACGCTAGATCATGCAATCGCAATTGCTAATATACATCCCACAACAAGATAAGCTAGAGAAGGTCATGAATCCTATGCTACATGTCGTATATCCGTGTGTATGAGATGACGGGCCTTCGATCTTTACAATGCTAACCTCCCCCCTCTGCCTGTTCCGCCTTCCCAAATCCGCTCCTTCCGCTCCTCGTATATCGTTATCATGATAGGCCGCGATGTTGTGTGATAGCCCGCCCAGGCCGGAGTACCAGCACCAGGACCTTGGAGAGCCTGAGCTTGAGACCAGCTGACTCGATTATTCCGGCGGTGGTGTCCTAGCCGTGCGTTCGTTCTTACGTGCATTCAGCTTGAAGCCCTGCTTGATGAAATGCTCCGTCAACTCGGTCGGCTTCGGTATGCCTGGGAAGCTGTGGGATCAGCTGGTGAACGCGATACATACCATGTCTCGCTGGACGTACGCCTTTGGTGCCCACACCTTGAATATCTCGCTCTCGCAATTGGCGAAATGCGGGACGGGCGGCATCTGGGGTTTGATGACAGACAAGTCAAAGACACGAAAGCGCAGCCGATAGCTAGAAGGATCAATGATGATCTGGCTCAATGTAACGGATGCACGTACTTTCCCTCGGTGCCGACGCATAGATCCTTGAACCATCAGTCTAACGTTCCCACCGTAGAGGGGTGCACTCACGGTAAAGAGAAACCACAATCCTAGCTCCCCAGAAGGTGCGACGACCTTGACGCCCGACACATGTAGCGCCCCGAACAGATTCCTGCCAACCTCGAGACGAGCCTTCTTGCCTGACCTTCCCGACCCCTCCAATTCCTCGTCTGGTTGGGCGTGAGGTAACTTCCGCGTGCGCCCCGTATCACCAGGAGCGTCCGCTATCAAATGCTGAACCTGCTCCGGGTAGCCCTGCATGGTCCCGCTCGGACCAGCCACCGAACGGGTGTCCCAATGTTGATCCGAGATCCAGGAGGACCGGTGCTGCAGAGAGGGCATATTGGCTGATGACCGGTCCGATGTTGTGATGATTCGAGGGAAGATGGGATTGTGCCGTGGTCCGGGAGTGGAGTAGTAGGGTAGGAGAGGAGGGCGGTGCCCATCGTAGGGATGTCCGAAGGGAACATGATGTGAGGGCTCGAACAGATGGGTGTTGGCTACGTTTGAGGGGCCTTGCGTCTTGAGAGATTGGGGAAGAACGCCGGCGGGTAGGTCCACAGGGGGTGAGATCTCAGCTTCGCAGATCAGACAAGACGGGTCGATATCACTAGATCCGTCAGTCAACTCCTGTACTTCAGAGCCTTCTGCTTACCTCAAGTCGAGATCACTTTCCGACCATCCGCCCATGACGTCTTGATAACACTCCTTGACCCACATCCGCACTATGGGGACCGGGGCCAACGAACGCCTATCCTTGTCTGTCTTGCGCCGACCCGATACAGGCTCTTGCACACATTTGAAGAGGAACCTTTGCAATCAGCAGGGTTCACCAAAAGCATAGTGGCGAAGATTACCTGACGATCCTCCCCTCAAAAACTCCATCGAGAACATTGACTGGGTCCGTCCAGCGCTCCTCTGCTGCTCTCGCCTTTTCCTTGCCTTTCACCACAATTTCCGCTTGTCTCCCGATATCCATTCCTCTGCCATCGTACGAGTGCTGAACCTCAAAGTACTGGCGATTGGACGGTCCCGCACGGTCCCCATAAGGGTCACCATTGACCATCGAATGTTTGCCGTTCAGTCTCGCTGGCCCGGAGATGATGAAATCAAGAGATTCGTTGATGTCGATGTGGAGATATGACGAGCGATAACCAACTCATGCCCTGCTTCTTGATATGGTTCGAAGCAAAGTATAGAGTCAAGGAGATGTCGAGATGCAGGCCCGTCCGCTTCAAATCTGTCAGCAGGAATTCTACTTGAGTGAAGAACTGTACGTAAACCTGGTCATGCACCTGGAGGCGTTCAGGGAAGACTTGCGCCTGCATGCTTCTCTTACCGTAGTGGTGACTCAGCGTTTTAGCATCCGAACATCGACCTCCAACGGCTACTTCACCCCTAAACTTAGATAGCCTGTTGCATCCTCTGAGATATCGGCTATGACTTGGCCCGCTTACAAGCAGCATCCACATCCCCTGCTCCATACTCGAGATCCAGTCCGCCCTCCTTGTAGCTGTCCCGGATCATCTTGTCGTCCCTCGCCGTTTCCTTCTTCAGATCCTTCGTCACCTCGACCCATACCGCCTGGATCAGCGCAGCCGAAGCCGGGTCTACCCCGCCGGCAGCACCTCCCGCTGCCTCCTCGTCGGTAAAGTGTTTGTCGACACGCTTTGCCATCGCATCCACCGCCTTCTTCATATCCTTAATCGAGAAGTCGCGGAGGATCTTCTTGAGAGTCGAGCGAGAGTAGGTGGGATTGAGGGAGATCTCATTCGGCGGGGTAGTTTGTAGTAGCCGCTCGACTCCGTCGAAGAAGTCCTGTACATCAGCACAAAACCCAATGCAGAATGAAGAGACGTACCATCAGACGACCGAAAGAGCGACGTATGAGCATCCTGGTGTAACTGCTCATATTGTCCTCGTACAGCCCCTTTGCTCGTTCCAGGAAGACCGCCAAAACTGAGGCATCTATCCGTCGAAGATCCTCGACAAAGTGGTACATGTTTTCTGCGTTTGATAAGCGCGCCGCACCAGAAGACGGTAGGTAGTAACGTACCGATCATGATAACGTGGTAGTTTAGCTGGCCCTTATCCTCGGCGGCCTGTCCTTCCCCCTTGTCCATCTTGGCTAGATGCGTCAAACTCGCAAATATCGCAGTGACAATCTTTTCGTATCCGTCATTGACTCGGCGGCGGATGTCCAGGTCGCCATTGCCCTCGACCTGAGCCTCCATGCGCTCGACGAATAACTGCGGATCATCAGCCTTGGCCTGTCGGACGCTTAGCCTGCCAAACTTACTGGAAAGTGGCGGATGAAGAAGGTCACTCCACGTCTCCGCTTGCTGCTCGACTTTGCAGAATCAATGACTTTGACTTGCTCATTCTGCTAATTGGCTTTATTCGTCACGATTCAAAGGCTTATAACTCACGATGTAAGCATCGAAGATCGTATGCTGCTTGGCGAGGAGGCGATCAAACAGCTGGCTGAAGTATATGCTAGTATTCTCCTGCTCGGCCTCTTTCGCCAGTCTCTCGGTGATACCAATGACGCCGATCACCGAACTACCCGCATCAGCAAGAGTCTGAGTCTGGTTCATGAGTCACTCACATTGGGTTCCGGTCAACCGCAGCCTCGACCCAGTGTATGAGCTCGACAGGCACGAAGCCAAACACCAAGTCCATCATACTCCGCACGAGCTGGACCATGCCCTTGCTCATCCCGCCGCTAGCATGTCGAGCCGCTTGACGACGGAAGTACGAGTCGAGCTCCATGTGGTCCGCAAAGGTGGATTCGGTATCGCTCATATGCAGGAAAGCATTGATGTAGTCCTCCTCAGTGATGACTTGGTTGATGATCTCGGTCAGGGCGGATTGGTATAGCTGGATGATCAGCGGTATCCCCCGACCAAGGGCGTCCTGAGCTCACCTCGCCGATCTTGAGGCTGCCATCATCGCCATTCCGCTGTTTGGCTGCTGCCGCTTCCTTGCCCTGTCCGCCGAACCCTATGACTGCTCTCGACTTTTGCAGTGCGGAAGGCTTGTTCTGAGCGCTGGCTGCAGCGGCACTGACGAAAGCTGAAAGTATGGTCAGCCTGATCTCCTACAGATTTGACGAGCTTACAGGCTTCATTCGGCTCTCCCGCTGCGGACGTCTTGATGGTCCCCATGTGTCCCATCAACAGGTCCTTCATCTCGCTTTGATGCAGTGCGCTAGCGGTAGAGAAGTAGTCCTGCCATGTCAGCGCATGACTATGGTATGTGCGAAGATCCTGGACCTACCGAGCATAGCCGTTGATATCTCCCCTCGTCCATCTCCTTCATGAACAGCACCAGACCCTCATACATCATGAGGTACTCGCCCATAGTCGTATGTGGCCGCAACCCGCCCGCTTTGCCCTGCTTACGGAAGTCGGACAACGTCTGGTCAGACTGGTATTTAAAGGTGATCTCGAGGTAGTCAAGGAGCCGCTTGCAGAATTGGGATGAGGACTCCTGATACTCCCGTAGACGGTGTATTGTCGCTTGTACCTCGGCGTTGGCTTGGTCCATTAGCGCCGTCTATGTTGAAACTGAGGGCCTGCTCACCTGAGTCCATACCCGCTTGCAAAGCTTTATATAGGGACGCCGCAGCCTTCTCGAGCTCTTGCACACCTCGCGATGTGCTTGGCGATTCTTGCTGCAGGATCTTGAGATCTTCGGGTGGCACCTCAGCGATTTGCTAGGATATCAGCTGGATGCGCGGGGCCTGATGTAACATAGCTTACAAGAAGCTGCCTCAACTCGTCCAGTAATGCCTGCTGGTTGGACGTCTGAACTTGCAGCCCTCGATTTTGGCTCTCAATGTAATTGATATCCTCCGTGACAGCCTTACTCATCAGCTGATTACTAGCAGCATGATCGGGTGGAACTGACATTGAGATGTACTCGGTAGCCTGTTATTTGAGAATCGATATCTTCGAGCTCGAGTAAGGCCTCATCGATATGACCTAGGACTTGGGCTATCCTGTCGTCAGACTCGAGGAAAGCGTGAATGTTTGCCTGTCGGGTAAGCCCCCTCTCTTTACCTTGACTCCGCCACTATGAAGCACTCACCGAATCCAGAGCTGCCAGCTCATCTAGTAATCTTGACTCTATAGCATCTGCTCCCTGCTTCTTGACACTGCCATCTGCGCCGGCAGCAGGTGCCGTCCAGTCAAATCCCTCGAGCATTTCTTCCACACTCGCCATCACCGCATCCTCCTTCGCCTCCCCCTCGTCCACAGTCAAGCCCGCACCAGGTAGTAAGCCTGTGCGGCTGGTAAGCAGGACTTCCCGCGAGAAGGCCGTCGTAAGTGGTGGCGGATGAAATGAAGCGCGGCGTGTAGGCTTTTTGTGGTCGCCGGGCAGAGGGGAGAGGGTCTCTTGTGACGGGACTGACGGCGAGGGGAGAGTAGTGGTAATGATGGGGGCGAGCTGAGATTGTATCGGTGCGGGAGTATGATCTTTCCGATCTGAGAGCGCAGGTCGTGATGTGTAGTCCCGGCTGCCGCTACCGCTCGCGCTGCCATTCGCAACCATATCTGCCGAGCCTCGGGGTGTGCCGCGGCTGGGTCGAGAGGGGCGTTCTGGAGAAGCAGGGGAGACTGGCCTGGCCGAGTGCTGCACGCGGTCTACGCTTGGTTGACGGGCTCGATCTGGCCGGTCCGGGTAATTGGACGTCTCGCTCATCTCCCTCTGCGGCGCCGTGGGCCGGTCCCCCAGTCTGCCCGCGGACATGGGCACACCCAAGCCAAGTCCGCTCCCGCTCCCATTGGAGTGCCCGTACGGTCCCGGAGAGACTGCACCAGGTGTAGACCTGCCGTGGCCATTCACGCCCAGCCTGCTGTCCCCAGACGGCCGCCTCTCGAAGCTCGTACGCGCCGGAGGAATGTTCGAGTCTGACAAGGGCGACCGACTGAAACTCTCCGTCCGAGGCGTATGTTGCCGTTGGTCGACAAGACGAGTGCGAGAGCCCTGAGGTTGCTCCCCGTAAGACGAGCTCTGGACAGACGCGAAGGAGGAGGAGCTGCCCGACCGCTGAGTCTTCGGCATTTGGGGTGGACGCAGGTCGATATTGGAGGGGATATGTGAGGGTGATGCGGGAGAGATATGGCCGTCATACGCCGCGCTGTGTATGCTTTCCGACGAGTTGGACGTCGCGGTAGTAGGTCGACTATCGGAAGGGGGAGGAAAGTTGATGAGCTCGGGCGACTGGCCCTTGGTATATGTCCGATATACCTTGACAAGGGCGGTGAGGAACGTTAAGAGCTCCTTCGGCCGGTCGGTCTGCCAGTGATACCGCCGTATAGTCATCGTAAGGGCAAAGTCGATCGGCTGAGATATCAGCTCTCTACCCTATCCCTTCTACCCACGCCCTGTCCCCCGACTCACCCCTATCATCTCCACTACCCGCACATCCTCCAGATTCCACGTCTTCCCCTTACTAAACGTCAAATTGCTATTCCGCTTCGCCTTGTGGATCACCACCTTCCCCAGCTTGGTCACCGCCAGCATCAGATAGCGCTGCTTCACACCTGCTCCGCCAGATGGGGCGCCGTCGATGCCCGAATCATCCTCGTGCACCTTGACAAACGAGATGAGCGTTTCCTCCGGGGTTCCGTTCTCGTCCGTCCGCGCAAATAGGGATGAGATGATATGTTGGCGGACATCATCTGTGACCGGCGGCCGGCCGTTTGCGTAGCTCATGACGAGCGCTATCGTGGCTCCAAAGGGAAACCTAGTGGTAGTGAAGCGGAAAGGTATTGACGTGCGAGATTACAGCTGCAGCTGGCCGGCGTCACCGAGCTGAGCCGGGGTAACGTAAAGGCAGTTCACCATACCGTGCCTGATCAATCTACACAGATACAAGACATCCATCCAAGAAATCTACCGCTCTATACGTTGCCCTACTGCCCTCCGAGTCTCCCAAACAGATTCCCCGCAGCTCCACTCTCCCCTCCCTGGCTTTTATAACTCTCCAACAGATCCCGCATCATCTTATATTCCATCTTCCCCTCCCCATCTAACCCCTTGACTTCCTCCGGATCCACCTCTGGATCAAAGTCAAAGTCGTCATCATCCTCATCGTCCTCGATACCCGCCCCTTTCAGAGCCGCCCGTAGCTCCCGGTCCATCGCAATCAGGTCTTCCTCCGACATGGCGTCAAGATCCGCTTCGGTCGGCAGGGCCGGAAGCGGTCCGGTCTTGGGTACACCGGAGGGGAGCTTGTTTGAGATGGTAGTCTTCTTCGGTGCGGGCCCAGGTGTGGCTTTAGCTTTCGCTGTGGTGGGAGCAGTAGGAGGTGGGACGGGACCCTTCGCCCGAGCGAGCTCAGCGTCCATGGCAGCCATAACGGTATCGAACGAGTTGAGCGCCATATTCGGCTGGCCGTCCACGGGCGGGCTGACCTGTATCGACGGGGTAGTATCGAGGGCCTCGGCCGAAGGGGTAGCCGCTGACTCCTTCTTCTTACTCGAAAGCTTTGGCACAAAGGCTCATCGATCAGCTTGGCTTCTGTCCCCGTGAAGTGGTCACTCACCACCACGATCCTCCCTGTTCTTGACGATCCCCGCCCACATCTCCTCATCCACCCCCAGAGCCTCCCTCGCAAATTTCAAAAAGGCCTCCTGCTCTTCCCCCATATCCACATCCTCCTCCTCATCCCCGTTGACCACTACCGGCTTATCCTCGCCCATCTCCCTCTCGTGATCCTCCCGCACCTTCCGATGCATCGCCTTATCGATCCCCTCATCCCACCGTACGCTCCGATCCCGCTTCGTATCGAGCTCATCCTCATCCTCTACTTCCTCTATCCGAGGCGCCGTGTCTGCCCATCGCATCTCGGCGATCTGGCGCCCGAGGGTGCCAGGCGGAGGGAGAGTATCGTCCTCGTCATCTTCCGAGTCGGACTCGTCGATGACACCGTCGAACTCCTGCTTCGAAAGGACGGGTGGGCGCATCACAGATCCGCTGGCCTGGGGTACCGTATTTCGAGGAGCGGCGGGTTTTGGAGCGGCCGAGCCGACCATGACGACGTCCTCATCCTCATCCGCCCCCTTCTTGCCCCACTCGCCTTCCTCCAACGGGGCAACAAGACTCCGCATCCGTTCCTCCTTTTGCGCCGGAGTCAGGCTCTGCCACTGATCGTCCTCGTCCATCGCATCGTCATCGTCGTTGTCGTCCTCGTCGTCGGACAGCTCACTACGTAATCAGCTTTACTCTTCTGCGCCGGTGTCGCAAAGCTTACTCTCCGAATCTGGCCCCCATCAGGTCTCCTTCCCCGCCAACAAACGTTTGCACCTTCTGTGCCAGATCGTGCAATGCCTTCCCGTGCTCCTCAGTAGGCTCTGCCTGCTCCTCCTTCCCTTTGCCCTTCCCAGCTGCCGGCCCGGCGCCGGAAGCGTCCCGCCCAGATGCCCTCATCATCATCCCGTCCAGTTCGTCAGGCGAGACCTCCAGCCACGCCTCGCTGTCCTCCACGTCTTCTGCTTTCGCCGCGAGGGTGGATGCATCGATAGAGGGAGTAGCAGCCAACGCCGAGTCGACGAGATAGGCAAAAGAAGGCCGCTGCTCCTTGGTGCTTCACTTATCAGCTCCTCTGATGTGCTGGGAATCGTTGAGACGACTCACTCGTCCGCGCGGATCTCCTTCCAGCCCTTCATAGCCTTCTCCTCCCTCGCTTTCCACTTCTCACTCCCCTCCATCTCTGCGCCAAAGAATCCCGCCTTGCTCAGCGATTCGATATACGCCTTGTACCCCTTATCCGCCCGTACATCATCCCCGCTGACAGTCCCACTCCGCCCCCTCCTCCCTCCTTCCTTATACATGATCTCAAACCCCGTCGCCATCTTGACGCCGAGATCCCTCCACCGCCTCTCATCCGCCTCTCCATCTTCCCTGACTGTCCACTCCGGCCCAAAGACTCGAGGAGGGTGGAACACCTGGCCCTGTAGTTGGGCGTACGCCGCTCGAGTCATTGAGACGGAAGAGAGGACGGCTGGGGCGGGAGGGAAGTGTGACATTTTGGCGGCGGATCGAAGCTGGGAGGGATCGCGTACGTAGAAGCCTTCAACGGCGCGTTGGATGAGTGTGGGATCGGCGGAGAGGGCTCGAGCTATTGGGAGTGGGAGGTACGCTTTGGTTCGATGACGATGTTCCGAAAGTTTAGCGGGGTAGCTTAGGTCAAAGTCAGCTTATAATCTGTGTATACAGTCAGACAGATCGTCTAGCTTACTGTGATATCCTGTCCCATACAGCATTCTCCATCCCCTTCTCCGCCTCGTACTTGCCCAGCCGCACAGCCCGCACTGCATCTTCCTCTGACACGAAAGCCTCCGGGTCAAATTGCCTTTCCTCCGCTTCATCATCCGGTATATGGCGGACTGATAGCCCAGATGATCGGACATGAAGTGGTAGGAGGTGTAGATGGCCGCCTGAGAGCCAGAGACGGTTCTCGGCGTTCTCGGGGGATACCCACGAGGGGAGTTCGTTAGCTGCTTCAATGAGGAGGAATTCGCCGTCTGTATCTCTTATACTGGAGGGTCAGCTTTCCAGCCCGCACACCATCCTCCTGAGTACTGGCTCAAGGCCATGAGTCCCTTCTTCAGTAGACCGTAGACATACCTGATAACGATGTCCTTCCATTTCCTGCTAACCTCCCTCAACAGCCAAACGACCAACCACTCATCATCTACCGCATCGCCCACCCTCATCCTCCCCTCCAATTTGCCCCCTACACCCTTCTGCACCCTCCCAGAAGACTCAGGAGCGATCTTGAGCTCCCATGCATCCTTGTTCCAGAGCCAAGGGGAGGGGAGGAGCGACTGAACGTATTCGGTGATCAGGAGAGCGGTGGACGAGGGCTCGAGGTGCACCGGTAAGTGGAGCGAGTAGTGGAGCGTGTCTTCCGCTATGGTCGGGAGGGGGAATGCGCGGGACTGGGAAGACATTGAGGGGAGTGAGGAGTCCATGATGCAAGTTATGGGAAGGAGGAGAGGTGGACGGTCGAACAGTCGAAATTCGGTAGAGGCCTCTTGATTTTGGCTGGGTGGCGAAGTTAAGCTTAAGCTCGCCCAATGGCCCTGGCCCTAAAAGAGGCATCCTGCAGGTATGATGCCTGTAGGAATGCACATCCGCCTGGCCTGTGAATAGTGACTGTCCACAGCCTCACCCTGCGACAGATAAGAGCTCTGGTCGATGGAACGTGCGATATGACGTCGCCGACGGTCAACGGTGCACAGCCTGAAGGATTACCCATTCACATATCAATGTAGCAGGAGGAGTCCTGACGTAGGGGTGAACTCGACCCGCCACGTCCGAGTCCCGCCCCTCTAGCGGGTTGATATAAGAGCTCTCGCCCCGAGATCTCTTGCTCTCCATCCATCCTCCCACCTATACCTCAAACCAGAGTCCCCAGTCCGCAAATCTCTAAGCGTATCGCGTACACTGCTCATCAAGCACAACCGTAAGTACGTCGTCTGTTGCCAAACAAGACCAAAGACCAAACACCAAACAAGGAGGCGAGCTGATGTGTCCCCAGAACGCTTTACATCGCCCTCCTAAGGCTCGAAATCGCCGCCATCACATCCCGCGCGATGTCTGCCGCCCATATCAACGACGACACCATGCCCTCCATCGTCGCTCACGCCGGGACTGGCGTAAACACCCCTTCGTCCCCTGCCTCGTCTGCCGCATCTTCCCTCAACCTCACTCCGCCCGAGTCGGTCGTATTCGATGACGACTCGTGCGTCATCATTGGCGGCGAGTATTTCGACCTCGATGCCTGCGGGGACGAGGCGAAGGACAACATCAAGGACAAGCTCGCGGAGCATCACGGCGAAGGGGAGGTAAAGGAGGAGAGGAAGATCGTGCTTGTGATCTGTGGGGGAGGGGCGAAGGCCGGGGGATTGACGTTCATGTTCCCCGCCGAGCAGATCAAGGAGCACTGGTGAGTATGACCTCCTGAAATGAAAGTAGTCTGTGTGGAGACAGGTGGACATCGAGCTGACATTCACAGGGGCAAGCAGCGCTGGGTCATGCCTATCTCCATCTCGCACGCCCACGCCAACGCCAATGCGGGCCACCTGGTCTCCCTCCTCCTGGACGATCAAGAGGAAGAGGTCGACTTCACCTCTTACTCGTTCAAAGAGCTCAACAGCGCCGCTTCCATCGCCGGGGACCTCTGTCTTCGCCGTATTCAAGCGGAGATCAAGCCCCACATGCTCGCCAAGCTCGCCCAAGCCGCCCCGGCCATGTTTGTCGACGCGTCCAAGCAAGGGAATGTCTGGAGAATGGTAGACGCCATCCGGTACCTCGGATCCACCGACAAGTCCGCTGAGATCCTCGCGCTTGTCGAAGTCGGGAACGCCTTCTTTGTCCGCATGCTGGCGGCGGCGGTCGAAGTGACGGTCGGAGGTGGGGATGGGGAGAGCGTGGACTGGGAGGCGGTCGCGGATGCGTTTGAGGACGGGCTTGAGGCTCTTGGGGAGGATGATGACTAGGCGGAGGAGTACTGGTCAAAAGTCCAAGGGAACAAAAGGGCGTGTGCAGACGGGGTGCGCATGCTCAGGATATACATAGTTTAGTGTCTGTAGCTTGTCTCGAGATCAGTAGTATGCGAATGTGTCCTAGACTCCTCTCTGACGACAGCATGATCTTCCCTCCTCTCAGCCAACACCCAGCCTGCATGATTGCCACATGCTGTGCGCTGTGTACTCTGACCAGAACGGGCGGGCAAGGTGAAACACGCGGAATCACCCGAAGCGGTAATCCCGATAACAGAGGAATGCTACGCGCCTTCGGCACCATAATTTCTGACCCCGGAACGCGTTGCGCCGCGCCTTCACGTCTCTTGTCCCTCCTTGTTCTTGTCGACGTTGACAGCTTATCCACGCCGTCACCATGGTCCTCCAAGCCCTGTCCGGTATTCCCGTAGCAGGCATCGCGCGACTCGCCAACTCCAGCCGCAAAGAGCAACAGCTCGCATGGAAAGAACCCGCCAAGGACCGGCCTCGGCCAGACTACGTCCCGCTCAATAAAATGACGGAGAGCTATGTCGCTGCGAAGCAAGTCAGGGATGCAGGGGACCGCATGGAGGGCCCTGGTGCGGAGGGGAAGATGGGCAAGGAAGAGGATGAGTATGCGTACGAGGATGAAGAGGGGGGTGGAGCGACTGCGCCTGGGTCATCCCGGGCTCAGCAGAGGCCAAGGACTTGGAAGGGGAAGTTCGTTGAGGCGGGCGAGGGAGGGATGCGGTCAGGACCGGTGTTCCAGGAGAGATGCGTCCGAATGCCGAAGTCCATGCGATTATGTTATGATGGATGAGCTGGCAGAGCTGCCGCTGGGTCGTTGACCACCTCGTGCGATGGAGGCCTTGTCATGCTCCCCCCAGCTCCCCCTCAAGCTCAAATGGAGCCACTTGTGCACTTGAGAAACTGAAACACGTGCGATTGCCCGTTCGGGTAATCTTGAGACGAGGAATGCTGGCGCGTCGGCGCGTGGAGATGCCGCTTTTCTGGCCATCACATATCCTCTTCCCCTTCACCCTTCTTACGGTCAGAGCCAGAACTCACTGCTTCCACGATGCGCACCTCCGCTGCTGGCGTGAGTCACCCAGCTTGCAGATCGTGATGGAGCTGACTACCTAGCCATCTCGCGTCCAGCTCGAACCGAGATCTCAGGCGCCCGCGACCGCTCCCTCCCGCTCAACGAGGAAAGCGCCCGCCAAGGCCTCAAAAAAATCGCAAGACAAGAAGCCCGCTCCCGGTCTGCCTACAGGTCAGATCCATACCATAGACGTGAGTCGCTGGTGCCCTTCTTCTATCGCATATGGAGACACCGAAGCTGACGGTAAAGACTTTCGCTTCCAGCTCGTCCAGCAAAGTCAAGGAAGAGACCAACGAGGACTATGTACCCAAAAAGGTCGAGAAACCTGTTGCGCAGCGAGCGCCGCGTACGTCAGGCCCGGGCCAAGTACTCGGGACAGGCGCAAGTGCAGTGAAAAAGGTGAGTGCTCCAAATGGAGCTGGACTGATATCAGGGCAAGGGCAAGGGTAAAGGCAAGCAGAGCTCGCCGCCAGCGGAGGACGATTTGGAGGCGATGAGGCAGAAGAGGCTTGCTGCGCTTGAGGCGCGGATGTCCGTCGAGCCTGAGGCCTAACGTGGCGGTCCGGGGCGGTTGTGTACAGTATCTGTGAGAGGATCTAGATGTAGGACGCATGTTTGGGTTGATGTAGGAGTATTGTCGGAATGAAAATATCGATGTGGACTATCATCGCCGAGCTGGCGATACCAAATCCCAGTCTAACATCGCATGGCTCGCGCGCGCAGCTCTACAAACTAACACATCTCAGCCACAAGCTCTGAATGACTGCTCCTCTGCCCCGGCGCCATCGCAGCGTACTCAGCATCGACAGTCTCCTCCAGCTTGAAGGCGCAGCATCCATCAGGCAGCGAACTCTCGGGAGGGAAGAGCCCATCGGCGACGGCGACCTATATATGGGCGTGTTCTTGACAAGATTAGCCGCGGATCTCATTTGTAGCACCCGACTCACGTTATGAGGGATGTGATGGTACCGTCTTACGGTACTCTGCGCTGGAGTACGGCTGAGAGTGTACCTAACTGTATCTTCACTATGGATCGAGTACCCGAGGTTGCGCTGACTCGTTAAGCCATTTGAAGTTCGGATACACCTATCCCGTTAGCTCAGCCCACGACAAGACCAGTCACTCACCCTCGCCAGCACCTTGGCCTTGACGATCCCGACCGGGACAGGCCCATACGTCCTCGAGTCGGTACTATTGCTGAGATTGTCCCCCGCAAGCCATACATGCCCCTTGGGCACCTTGATGAACTGCCCCTCCCCTCTCCTTCCCATCCTCAGCGGCCGATCATTTGTCGATACCGCGTCCCTATTATTCACCTCCTCCTCCCATGGCTCTTCCCCCATCCACTTTCTATACCCCGTCCCCCTTCTCGGCTCCACCTCGACCACATCCCCCTCGACGCCAATGACCCGCTTGCAGACGGTATTGCGGGGATCGGTAGGGCTGAAGGCTACGACCAGATCGCCGCGCGAGGGCGAGAGGGACTTGGCCCATGGTCTGAAGTAAGGCAAGGGGGAGACGAGGACCCAGTCCCCGTCATGCGATAGAGTTGGGAGCATGGAGAAACCGCTGCAGAGACGGAGATCGGCGATGCAGGTGGTGAAGAGGTGATAGGCTGCGAGCAGCTGTACCGTTCTGACCGCCGAGTGGAGGACAGGCGGGGACCTGATAGACCTCCACGCTGGGGACATTGGGTGAATAGAGGATGGGCTGTAAGGCAAGGTATAGTCGACCATACTGTTCAGCTTGACTTGGTCCTGGCTGGGACGATTTGGTGGAGGAACGGGATCAAATTTGGCTGGGCTTTCCACCACCACCAAAGGTTCTCTCGGCTCTCCTTGTATTGCACCTCTCTTCGCTATAACTCTATATAACGTCCCCTGCAGCTCATCAAGTACTCTGAGGACGCATAGGAGCCTATAGTCCCCCGAAAAGTCGGCTCGAAAAAGCACCGGAGCGGCGTAAACATCTGTGATCTCTACGAGCTTCGCTCCGCTTTGTCGGCAAAATGGTATGTCAAGGCTACTCACCCCTTGTTACCAGTACTGACAAATTAGGTCCGAATCATCATCAAGGGTGGTGTCTGGAGGAATACCGGTAGGTGGACCGGCAAAGGGAAAGGCTTGGAGCTAATAGAATAGAGGACGAAATCCTCAAGGCGGCCATCTCGAAATACGGCAAGAACCAATGGGCCCGTATCTCATCCTTGCTCGTGAGGAAGAGCCCGAAGCAATGTAAGGCGAGATGGTATGAATGGCTCGATCCGTCGATCAAGAAGGTCGAATGGTCCAAGGTAAGCTACACGCCCATATATCGCGGGGCATCACTAACATATTAGACGGAAGATGAAAAGCTACTCCACCTCGCCAAGCTTATGCCGACTCAATGGCGGACCATCGCCCCTATCGTCGGCCGTACCGCTACTCAGTGTCTAGAGCGGTATCAGAAGCTTCTCGATGATGCCGAGGCGCAGGACAACGAGGAGCTCGGCTTAGGCGGAGGCGATAATCCGGAAGCTCAGGCAGCGGAGGGTGTCCGGACGCTCCGTGCCGGTGAGATCGACACGGACCCGGAGACGCGGGCGGCTCGACCGGATCCCGTCGACATGGACGACGATGAGAAGGAAATGTTGTCGGAAGCTCGGGCGCGTCTTGCCAATACCCAAGGCAAAAAGGCGAAGCGGAAGGCGCGGGAGAGGCAGCTGGAGGAGGCGAAGCGGCTGGCCTTCTTGCAAAAGAAGCGAGAGCTCAAGGCGGCCGGGATCAACCTTCGACCCAAGACGAAAAAGAAGGGGATGGACTACAATGCGGATATCCCTCTCGAGAAGCGCGCGGCTCCCGGTTTCTACGACGTCAGCGAGGAGGCGGCCAAGACGTTCTCGGCGCCGGTCGGACAGTCACTCCGGGCACTCGACGGGAAGCGGAAGCAGGAGCTCGAGGAGGAGCAGGAGAAGAGCAAGAAGCGGAAGGGGGATGATGGGAAGCCGAAGGGGCAGGCGGCGCAATTTGTGCAGGCGCGAGAGGCGCAGATCAAGAAGTTGAAGGAGCAGGAGCAGGTCATTAGGCGGCGGAAGCTCAATCTGCCGATGCCGCAGGTGGGAGAGAGGGAGCTGGAGGATATTGTCAAGATCGGGCAGCTGGGAGAATCGACGAGGGAGATGGTGGCGGGTGACGCGGATGGGGCGACTGGCAGATTGCTGGGAGACTATGATACCGTCAGGGGAGCTAGTATGGCAAGGACACCGAGAACTGCAGCTGCACGTGAGTTATATTGAGCCGATTCTCGCTAGGCAAAGCTGATATTCCAGCCGATACTATTCTCGCGGAAGCACGGAATCTCCGAACCATGACGGCCACCCAAACACCCCTTCTCGGTCAGGAAAACACTCCTCTTCACAGCGGCGACGAAGGCACTGGCTTCGAGAGCGCCACTCCCCGCCACGATGTCATGGCTACGCCCAATCCCCTCGCTACTCCACGCGGTATGGCCACTCCCCGGTCGGTCGACGGCGGGATGGGTCAGACGCCTATGCGGACACCCATGCGGGACAGTCTGAGCATCAACGACTCGACCCCCATGTACGGTGCCACACCCCAGGAAGAGAAGCGGCGTATGGCGCAAAGCCGACGCGCTCTCAAGGCTGGCTTTGCTTCCCTTCCAGCGCCGGAAAACAACTTTGAGCTGGCGGAGGAGGACGAAGAAGAGGAGGAAGGGGAGGATGTGGTGATGACGGTCGAGGATGCGGCGGAGCGGGACGCCCGGCTTAAGGCGGCGCGGGAAGAGGAGGAGCGCAAAGAGCTCGAGCGGAGAAGCTCGGTGGTCAAGCGGTCCCTCCCTCGTCCGGCCAACGTCGACCAGCGCCGGATCTTTGGCGAGCTGTCTGACGGCGAGACGTCCACCATCATCCAGCTCATCAACTTTGAGATGGCCGCTTTGATGAAGCATGACTCGCTCGCACATCCCCTCCCTGGTTCGTCCGCCCCATCAGGCATGTTCAGCGACTACGACATGCCTGACGACGACTATGTCGATCTGGCCAAGAAGGAGGTCCATGCTGAGCTGGCTCAAACGGTCGGTCTTCCAGGCGCCAACGAGTCCCAGCTTCGGATCGCCATCAATGCGGGAATCGCCGATGATGCTTTCGACGCGTCCTGGGCGAAAGAGCGGGAGAACCTCATCCTCCATCCCATCCTCGGTTGGGTCGAATCGGAATCATTATCCCCAACCGACCTCACATCCGCCTACTCCCACATGATCAACGCGTCCAAGGAGCGCATGATCGCCTCGGCGACTACGGCGGCCAAGGGGGAAAAGAAGCTTGCCAAGCAGCTCGGCGGGTACCAGGCCATCAATGCCAAAGTCCGCTCGGGGATACTGGACGCGATGAATGATATCCACGCGACCAAGCGGGAGCTGGAGACGTTCTTGATGCTCAAGGGGATGGAGGAGGCGGGGGCGCCAGGGAGACTGGAGAGGAAGAGGGAAGAGGTGGCGGTGCTGGAGAGGAGGGAGAGGGATCTGCAGGCGAGATATGCGGAGTTGAACGATGAGCGGAGAGAGCGGGTTGAGGCTATTGAACAGGTACGTCCTTCTGCTCCTTTGCTCTACGATGAAATCAAGGCTGATCAATATAGCTCGAGGAGGACAAGATTGTGCTGTCGGCGCAGCTGGCGCTGGACGACCAGGAGGAGGATGGGGATGCCGGTATGAATGGGGAGTAGATTGTCTGACATCTAGATACTGAATATGTATTCCACCTGGTCGTCTTTACCGAGTCTACGACGGGCCGACCTCGCTATACCACCAGCGTGGTAAGACGGACTGCCTGAGACCAGCTTGCGTATAACATCACCGCCACAACATGACTAACGCCGACGTATACCCGGCGCAGGGCGGTGTGTACAACGATAAAGGATGGGCCTGCTCTGACGTGTGTGGTCCAGCTGTGACACGTACGATGCTACCCTCCAGGGTCCGAACTGAAAGGTTGTCCGAGTATCTGCTCATGTGGGGCCAGCTGATGGTACTTGGCGGGATCTTGATAGCTGACGATCTTACCTTCCACGTGCACACATATCCCTCAACCACACATATCCCTCAACCACACAAGATCTCACCAATCCCTCACAACCTCCTCCTTCGCCCACCAACTGCCATAACATCTCCCCTTTACCGCCACAACACAGCTCGGACGCCGATGAATGCATACGTCTCAGATGATCGCGGTGCTGAAGACGAGGACATTGCTGTCGTGCCGGTGAACTTTCCCATACTTCCCATACTACAGGTCCAAGACGATCACGGTGCCGAACATAAAGAAGACCCGCCTGAAGATGAGGAGCCATGCCATTTCGACCTCTCATGCTTCTGGGACGGCCGCAGTCCAGACGGGGAGAAAACGTCAGATGGCGTCGGCCAAGTGTATGCTGGGTTTGCATACGGCACCAACGCAGCGCCACCGACCGGGAAGAAGGACCTCTGCGATCTCTTCACACTCATCGATCCCAACAAAGACCTGAGTGAGCAGTGGGCGCGCGCTCGCTCGCATGGAGGTTGTGTTGACCGTCTTTCGTCCACCATCGCCGAATGCAGCAAGGCCTACAGCAAGCTGAACAATCAAAGAATCCGATGACTCAGCTGGGCCCCTTGACTGACGCCGATACCGATTGGTCGGACGCTGCCAGAATCGCTACGAGATTGTTCCTGCTTACTCGCGCATTGGGAGATTGGAAAGGGTTGACATACGACCAGGTCACTGGTCTGCGCAGGGAGCAGGAGCGAGACTTGGATTCCCAACCCCAAGCTGGGGCGCTCAAGAATCTACGGGCTGATTGGCTTGCCGCGAGCGCTTTCGCCAGCCGGTGCGGTCAGCAGGACCTCTTTGCAGACATTCGTCCGAGCGAGACAGACATTGTTGACAACATCGATGCTCTGGATAAGGTCATGAAGACCCTGCTGTCCAGGCTGAATACTACCGCCACCCGCGCGCAAAACGCTGAAATTCACAGGCAGGAAGACACCAAGCACTCCCATACTGCGGAGGAAGAAGACACATGTTGCTCAGGAGCGCTTGACGACATCAGCGTCTTGGGGGATGATGATGTCCTACCCGTACCCGATACCCCAGGCCCTCTTCCTATCTCACCCAGCCCTTGTCTGGCAGCCGACGCAACGCATACTCCTACCCCCTCTTCAGACGGTGAAGATGATTCCATGTACCACGAAGGTGCCCTCCTTGCCGGCGACGACGGTGGCCAGATCCGCAAGCTACGCGCCGCCATCCAAGAACGCGTACCCAATCTGTCAGAGCTGACAGAGGATCAGAGGAAGGAGCTATACAAAGACGGAGGATGGGATGATGCGTTACGGGCCGCGGCGTGCTTTGTAGAGTTGTCGCACATGGTGAACGCGACAAAAGACCCCACCAGGACGATCCAGCATTTCCACGTCCTTCGGCCTGACGACTACAGCGCAGAACAGTCCGACGCACTCGCCGATATCCAGTGGGCCGGGCTCGTCGCAGCGGTGAATCACAGAGCGGAAGCGACGGGGTTCGCGAAGGACAATTTCGTACTCTCAGACGATGGCGCTTCACTCTTCGAGGTCGAGCGCTTGACAGAGCACGTCAACCGGGTGTGGGCGAAACAGGAGAGTTCCGTCTCGAAGCATGATTCACGGGAGATTGAGCAAGGTCCCGTTCTGGGAACATCCATGCTCCCGCATGACACGGAGGAGGATCGAAGGCTATGGGAGCGCGCCTTCGATGAGGCCAAGAGAACCAAATACGACAATATGACGGCCCGCGCTGTGTGCACATCCCCAGTCGCGGAGACAGATGAAAACTCGCAATCAGTAAGTACACATGTACCGTCTCGCTGCATCCAGTCCGATCCGCGGTACTCGGCGCTGACACATACCAGAACCTCCACGCGAGCGGCTCAACGAATGACACTGGCTCTTACATCGGCTCTGCGCTGTTCGCGGTCGGCGCGATGAGTGTCGTCGGCTATCTCGGGCGGGCGGCTTACAATGCGTTAACCGGTGGGGATGAGGACAGGTAGTCATGGGCAGCTGGATTTGTATGGTCTTACTGGTGGGCGTCAGGTACAGAGTAGATGTGGTTCAGTATCGACTCGATGTAGCTGTGGTAGTCTTTGCCGCTGTCAGTACACGCATCCTTGGAGGTTAGTTTGGAGTGAGGGTTGACGATGTCAGCGTCGCCAGAAGATCGTCTTCACAATTTCATATTGTACAAGGCTTCTTCCCATCCTTCGCCTCAATCCAGCAGCTCATCCCCCGAAGAATCCCCATGAACAGTTCTCCGCCATGACCGAATGAAAGGTGGACGACCGAATATAAACAACGCATGCTCTTCGTGTATAGATGCGCACCCCGCCGAGGTGTTTTACCGGATGGGGTTGTAGAACCAAGTGACGAGCGCGATCGAGACATACGCCATCATCATGGCGAAGCCTTCGAGGTAATTGGTGCGCCCGTCCGAGATAGCGAAATTGACGAGTAGGACAGCGATGACCAAGACGATACTACAATATCAGCATGAGCCCCACCAGACCAGAGACAGGTACTCACGTCTCGAAAGCGTCAAAGAAGAGGGTCAACGGCTGCCCGATCGCCCAACCAATCAGAACCAGGATGGGCAAGATACCCAGCGACACCTGGATACTGGAGCCGACCGCGATGCTCATACTCAAGTTGAGCTTGTCTTTGACCGACACCGTGACCGCCGTAATGTGCTCGACCGAGTTACCGATGACGGGAAGGAGGATCAGACCGATAAACTCGCGCGAGACATTGGACGCGGCCGTCATACCGTCTATGGAGCTGACGAGGAACTCGGCCGTGACACCCGCAAGGGCAGTCATGGCGACGAGCAGACCGACGGCGTACCAGAATTTGATGGTGGGGAGCTGGCGGTGGGGGTCGACATCTTCCTCCTGGAGACGCTGGACCGCCGCGGTGGTGAGCGGGGCCGGAGCGCCGGGCTCGCGGGGGACGCGGACAGCGGGTACCTTGGGTAACTTGAAGCGGGTCTTCAGCGGTGGTTTCTCCTCGGACCCGGTGGTCAGAGCGGTAGGCAGGACGGGAGGGTCGATGGTCATGACACCCGCGCTCAGGCCCCGCTCGAGATCCGTATCGTTGTCCGGAGCTTCCGATCGCTCTCGCCCGGAGAAGCGGCGGAACCGACGGAATGGGTGACCCGAGGTATCACGCGACGAGGTGGTAGAGGAGGTGTCGGAGCTACTGCCAAGGGTGGACACCCAGTGGGGCTTGGGGAAGACACGATTATTGTCGGGTACCGGACCAGGCAGCGGGTGGAGAGGACGATTCCGGGGGACCTTGAAGAGGTACGCGTGAGCTGCCGTGTCAGCTAGATCTCAGTGGACTAGAAGAACTACTCACTGTATAGCTGGAAGGTGAGGAACATGGCGTAACACGCAAGAAGGATGAAGCTGAGACCCCGCGAAATGATAAGGAGGTTCTGCAGCTCGACGCCAGTGGGCGACGCGCCATTCGGGATGCTGTCGACGCCAACGGTGTTGGGCCAGGCATAGTGGTAAGCAGCCGGAAGGGTGATGGCCATGAGCTACGGATCAGCGTTACTCTGTGAAGGGGCCAAGTACCACTTACAGTGATACCCAGCAGACCGATCTGCATTTGAGCGTTGGGGATGGCATACATCTGCTCGTGAAACCGAAGACCACCAGCGAAGTAGGAACAACCCAGAACCAAGAGCACTTAAAGTCAGCGTCGTCTTGAGCAAGAAGAGGTCAGGCTTACGGTTACTGAGGATGGACCCGATCATACTGGCTTGGACGATATCAATCTGCCCATCGACGAGGGCGATGATGGCGATGAGCAGCTCGACGGCGTTTCCGAAGGTGGCATTGAGGAGACCTCCCCATGCCTCTCCAACGCGGAGCGAGAGCTCTTCGGTGCTGTAGGATCAGCAAGAGCCCAGTCACGACAAGGTAGAGCAACTTACGCAAAGGAGATACCAGCTGCGAGCGGGATGACAGCAATAAGGCATGTGACGAACACAGCGACGTCATTGGCTTTGGCGAGGTGCAGACCCCACGCGACTGGGATGGCGACAGGCAGGGCGCAGACGAGGGGTGCGCATTTGAGAGTGTTCTAGAGGTCAGCATGTGCCAAGCTCCGCTAAGGCGCACGCGACTCACGATGAACGAGGCCTTCCAGGTGACTTCTGGCACCGCTTCGTCATCGTCCCCATCGTGGCCCTGATGGCCAGAAGGCATAGTTTCGTTGGTTTCCGCGCGATTCAACTCCATCCCCGCGATCGTCCCATCCTTGTGCTCGTGCTGAGCTGCGGCACTCCCGACCGGCAGGCCGAGGACCGACTCGGGCGAAGGTGGCGGTCGATTACCGCCACCCGAGCTAGAGCTCCCGTGGTGTCTCTCATTGTGCGCTGCACCGGTCCGATCGGACGTGGAGCGGATGAGGAGGGAAGGACGATGATAGTCCTTGCCTGTGACCGTAGGCAGAGGCGATTGAGCCTCTACGGCGTAGGCTTGGCTGGGCGATGATTGCTGTAGGCTATCGCTTGTGGGGATTGGGGTATTGCTCGAACGCCTTCGTATAGCGGCCTCTATATCGGGCTCGGGTTCCTGCTCGACGAGTACGGGATTGACCATAAGAGTATAGGAGTATGTGCTGGTGTTAAGAGCGTATGTATAGAGAGATAAGGCGGAGTGAGAAAGGAAGAAGGGAAGGTCCAGAGCCAACGTGCACTGGATCCTTATACTATCGCGCGGTGAGCGACTGGCTTGGCGCTAGGAGATCGAATATTACTCCTTTGGGCAATTATGAATGCGGTGTAGCGTCATACCCTCGGTCATCGCCGACGCCCGCGATGTGGCAGCAGCTTGGCGAAGCAAAGGTTGATGGCGCGTCCAGGTGGCTCGACAGACAAGACAGGCAGCTTGCATATAGTCGTGTAGACTGAGTTGTAGCAGCTTTGTGGCAAGCTGAGGTATCTGTGCGAGACATCGAAGCAATGTCACAGACAGGAAAGGGTACAATAGATACATTAAAGCCACAAATTGTCCGTTCTGACATATCAATCGAAGGGAATCCAGCGCCACTCCAAGCTCTATCCGCACATTACTGTAGACTTCTCCTTCTTCTCTATTCGGAATGATCTCAGATTTCTGCCTTATCGTCTACTCCTGACGGTCAAGAGCCCGCTTGACGTTCTTGACGGGGACGCACTCGCGGCCGCTGAGCTTGAATCCGGGGTCGCAAGCCCAGATGGCGCACTGGCCGTGGGTGCAGGTGACGCCGCCCATCGAGACACCCGGGAGGGCCGTGCAGCTGAGGTATCAGCTCATGTCGAAGACAGATAAAGAGCGGTAGACTTACTCAACGCCAACGGAAGAGGTACCGCTCAAGACGCCAAACTCGCCGTTCATGCAGCCACCGCACGATTCTGAGGGTCAGCCTTGACCCTAATGCGAATATAGTAGAGACTTACCGAGGTCGGACTGGGTGTCCATGCACTCCCAACTCTCCTTGCCCTGAGCCACGAGACACGCCTTGCCCTCGTCCGGGCACAGCTTCTGCTCCTTCTCCGCGGCGAGGCGGAGCTGCTCCCTCTGCTGCCTCTTGACGAAGGTCGAGGGACCGGGAGCGCCGGTGCCGTCGACGGTCTGGCCGGCCGAGTGACCAGCGTAACGAGCAAGCACACCCTTGGCGCAGGTAGCCTGGTCGGCGGAGGCGACGTCTCCGGCGTCCCGGTCGCAGGTGCACGAGTAGCCGGTACCGGAGGTAGAGGGAACGAGGGTGGCAGCGTCATAGTTGAGGCAGAAGCGGAAGCACTGGCTGTGGTCGGCCACGGTGGTGGGACCAAGACGGAGCGTGGGGTCCGAGGTGGTGGTGTAGCCGGAGTAACAGGTCGGGACGCCGAAGGTGGTGAGGGGGATGCGGACCTAGCACATGAGCTAAAATCCTACTAAAAATCCTACTATATCGTGATTCTTGACTCACATCCCACTGGGCGGCAGTGCATCCCATGAATGCGTCGGTGGCAGTCGAGTACTCAGCGGCCGTGGGGCCGACGTTGGAGCAGCCGCACTGGGTTGAACCGGGAGAGAGGTAGGCGTATCGCCAGTTCATGTTGGCGCAGTAGGTCTAGCATCGTCAGCGGTGTTGCTGATATGATAGCCAAGGCAAGGAGTTACCGAACAGCCACCGGTAGCATCGGCGATGGGGACAAGGACGGGCAGACCGGTAGGGGCAGCATCGAGACAAGCGGCGTACGACTCGGCCGCCGGGAAGATGGCCGAGACGAGCGAGGGAAGGACGGCGACGAGCGCGAGCGAGACAGAGAGACGGGAGAACATTATTGTATGTGTGTGGATGTTAGTGTGGTGTGTATATGGGGTTGCGGTCGTTATACGTGTTCGTGTAGTCGTAGGAGAAAGCGTATAAGGAGCGTGGGGGTAACGAGTGTCGTCTAACGAGTGTGGGTAACCGGCCGGGGTCAGTAAGATCGCAAGTCGAGTAAGATGATGAACAGATGAAGAAGAGTCAACAAGAGTGAGAAGGTCACCACTTGAGTGTTCCTCGACGTCGCCTCGGCCCTTGCCCTCGTGAAAGCAAAAACATGCGCGCTCCGCGTTGTCCTCGATACTTTCCGCCGATCGGAGGGATTCAAGTGGCCGAGGTGGCGGCAGAGCCAAAAGCTCTAACGCTTATCGATACGAGCGTGTCTGATCCACAGGGTCATGTCGCGACCCTTAGTGCGGAGCAAGGCGGAGCGTGACATTTAGCTCAGGTAGAGGTGCGGAGGCGCAGATTAAGAACGCCGTGGAACGCGTGACGAAATGTGACGAAAAGAAAGGCAAACGCGTCGAGAGCTCCGGCAGCTCCGAACTCCGCGTGTGTCTGTGGCATGTGGCATATCGTTTGGGTGGCAAAAACCTTGTGGTCTCAGCTGGTTTCAGCTGCAGCTGCTCTGAGCAGCTCAATTGCAGCTGCATGGTCATCGCGCACGCTGCATGGTCATCGCGCACGACCGCAGTCGAGCAGCCCGTCGTGCAGAGGTACATGTGGCGTCCGTTCGATTGGGCCGCAATCAGCTATCTTTCGGAGCTGGCTTGGAATGTGACCTGGACTGTTTTCTCTGGGTTCTGATCCCTTTCGGGCCCTCGTATCATCTCGATGTCCACACTTGCGGCCATCTCAACTTTGTCAACCTGAGTAGACAGGCAAGTCGAAGCCCCGCTGGCGGGACAGGCCGCGCTCGAAAGCTCCAGACCAGCAAGTCACGTGATCCTACGCACGGACCTCTCCTCTTATCGGATTCGGGTGGCGACGGCTAAAAAGTTGAACTCGAACGACCATCTTGATCTGACTCGAAATCATATCGTACATCACACTCAGTAACCACGCAGCCAGCATCACAGAGAGCACTGACCAACTGCTATCCGCCTCGCCTTGTCCTAAGACCAGAACTCGACCTGCCAATTCAGCTATCGATCATGTCGAGCTCCTCTGAGCCCATCATCATCGGCGTCCTCGGTACGCTCTCCCCTTCCTTTGCATACCTCCTCTGCCCACGTCCAACCAAGCTGACACTCACAGCCCTTCAAGGCGCATTCGCCGAACACATAGCCTACCTAACCCACTGCCTCCCCTCTTCATCCACCTCCTCACTTACCGCGATCCCCATTCGGTCCCCTACCGAGCTCGCATCCTGCTCGGCCCTAGTCATTCCAGGTGGAGAATCGACCGTTATCCAGTCCGTCGCAGATCGGACGCCGGGGATGCTGGCTACCCTGCAGGCGTTTGTGAGGGATCCGGAGAAGGCGGTGTGGGGGACGTGTGCGGGGATGATCCTCATGGCGGAGGAGGAAGGGGTGGGAGGGGGGAAGGTTATTCCGGGGAGGGAGAGGCAGAGGGGATGGGGTGGGATCGAGGGGCTGAAGGTGTGGCGGAATCTGTACGGGAGTGAGTCTGCCCATCGTGAGTGTATGGAGGACCGTTCTGACACAGACAGACCAGCTGGAATCGTTTGAGGCCCCTCTGGTTATCCCAGACCTATCCAATCCGACCGAGCCCTTCCCAGCGATCTTCATCCGCGCTCCAGCCGTCCACTCTCTGCACCCTAGGAAACTAGAGGATCACACTGCCTCCTCATCCGCATCTTCATCCGCTCCCACTCTGTCAGCGTCTTCCATCACCTCCCCCGCCCAGCTTCCTACCCCCGCATCGACCCCACCCCGCCTTGCCTCCCCGTCTTCCTCGTCAAGAGTTCCAGTAATAGCACTGGCGACTCTGCCCGCAGAATATCAACCCCCACCGCCGCCCTCCGACTCGCACCTCGGCGCACCGACAGTGGAGGATTTGGGCAAGGTGATGCTCAGACAGGGCAAGAAGATGGTCACTAGTTTCCATCCGGAGTTGAGCGGGGATGTGAGGGTACATCGATATTGGGTGGAGAAGTGTGTGTTGGGGGAGAAGTAGGGGTATAGGAGCTGATCTACGCGTCGTTCTTTCGGATGCATCGATATAATTTGATCTTCGACCTGGCCGTTGACGAGCTGATTATATGGCAAGCTGACCGTGATGCTAGGCACTGAAATACTGCTGACCATTGACAGCCTGACTCGATAAAAATCGTGGCCGAGCTACCGAGTCATATATCCAGCGGACAAGCCATCCATGCAATGGACCTCTGGTATCTACTGTGTACTACCGCCGACGAACTCGAAGTGTGTTTAAAAGGTGAGAAGGGGATCGAAGAGAGAAAGAAAAGCTATCTACCGGAAGGCGCTGTACTACATATATGATGATGCCGAGGGTCAGGTCAGGTCGGGATTAGAGAGTTTGTCTACATAGGCAGAAGGAGGGTAGGGAGGAGGTATGAGGAACTAGAGGACTAGAGGACTAGAGGATGATGTTATGATCCGCCATTGAATGCACACGTCTACCTGACCCCGGGTTTTCCACCCCACTCCCATCGTTCCCCCGACCCGGGATCCCACCTCTTCCCTCAACACCTGCCGCGCCCGCGCGCTCGCTCTCTTGGCGCAGCCATCCCCTCCCCACATCGCAGTCCCGCATCACAGGTAAGCTCCCCCTACACGTCGAGCGTTATAGTCGTGCCCGGTCGTGTTTCGTCCCAAGATCCCATAAAACCCCAAAAGCCACAATCCTTCTCTTCCTCTCTTTGTACCGCCGCCTATACCGCGATGGCCTTCTCGAGGTCGACTGGCCGCCGCACGTCTCGTCCTTTTGGCTTGAACGAGACGGTATAGACGATCCGGTCGGTGAAGAGCTGCATGAATTGCGCTTGGAGGAGGGGGACGATACCGTACACGATACCTGCTGGGAGCGCAAGGTAGCTGCTGATCAGCTCATATCTGAAGCATGAAAATGCTGAAACTCACTCGAAGCAGGCAATAGGGAATGGTCGGAGACTCCTATCTGCGCTCTGAACACCGAGACGCCCGCCCGGAATGCTCCAGCGGTGCTTGACGGTCGCCTGGTGATACCTGTCGTAGCAGATGAACATGACGATGGTGAGGACGAGCGAAACATTCCGCATGCGGTCGGTGACGAGGTATGCCCAGTCGACGAGTTCGCCGCTACTTGACAGCATCGACATGGTCGGGAGTGGGGGAATCATAGGTTGCGCGGGCATAGCCTTGCCGGTGGTCTGAGCCAATATCCGCAGGGCGACGAGCAAAAGCATGTGCCTAGAAATCAGCTTCATCCCCCTTATTATATACTGATCACTCACCCCATGAGAAGATGCGCCTCGTACAAACGGAAAACGAGCGAGATGAACGGTGTTGTCCTCCTGACCAGCACCTCCGTATGTTGCTGCACCGGCCGCACCATCGGCTGCTTCTCATGCACAAACTCCTCCGTCTCGCTCAGACTCGAGTTGGACGTCTCCTCATCGTCCGCCGAAATAACGCTCTCGGCCGAACTCGACGCTGACGAGTCTGAAGGACTCGGCATCGTAAAGTCCTCCTCTGCAAAGTTTCTCCGTGACTTTTTCACCGGCATCTCCTCCCGGATCGTCTTGAGCCCGATGACGGGTTCTGGCTGTGCGGTGAAGACGGTAGGTGTGGGCTGGCGATGGGTCATGGAGAGCTCCGGCTCGGGGTGGGCCGTATAGTCCGCGTTGAAGAGACGGGTGAGACCGTAGCCCGTGTCGAGCGATCCCCACATGTGCCGGATGGCCTGCTTGTACCGCGCGACGTGGTCGTTCCAGAATCCGCGAAGACCGCCACGCTCGCCGGCGACGACGTCGAGCTGCGACGCCGGCGAGTAGATGGTCTCCGAGATGAGGTTGCCGCCGGTCGAGAACAGGCACTTGATGTACATGTGCATGTCCTCGCCGATCGCCTGGGGTCCGGCATCGTGGAATCCGACGCTAGCGGCCAGGGAGAGGGACAGCGAGTAGGCCGATGTGGGGATTTTGGCGCCGGAACCCGTGTAGATGGAGGAAAGACCAGCGAGGGCCCACATGATGTCGGTGACGCGGACCGAGACGGGCACGTCGTGTGCGTTCCGGTCAAAGCAAATGGGAGGGACGAAGGTGCAGCGCGTCCTCTCATTTGGTGGCCGAAGAGCGAATTTGCACGAAATGGACGAAAAGTAGTCTCCAGCAAGAGCGGCTAAAAGTCAGCCCTGCTCCTTTCGGAAAACTCACTGTCAGAGTCAATAATGGTGATGACAGTCTTCTTGATCCGCTCTTCATCCCCGTCATCCTTCAACTCATTCCACGCCTGCCTGACCGCCCAAGCCAAATTAGAACTCTTCCCCGCCGCCTCTCCATCAATTCCTCCGGGGTGCAGCGCAAAGCCGATATCCTTAAAGCTGGACCGGAACTCGGCCATGAGCTGCTGCGCCTTGGCCTCTGCGCCGACCTCGCGCGCCTCCATGGCGAGAACGGGGTGGTACGATGTGAGCGCGAGGGGTTGGGTCGAGAGGAGGTAGAGGGTTTCGCGGAGGACCGAGATGTCCTCGGCGTAGTTGGGGCAGAAGATGAGGTGCTCGACTTCGTCAAAAAGGTAGGCGGTCGACGCGTCCTGAGCGGAAAGGAGACGTCGCTTGTGTGCGTATTCTGCGCGCCAGTCGACCGCCGAGTGTGAGAGTACACCGCGCCACGCGAGGAAGGCTCCCCATATTGTCCTGATTGTCAGTGAAGCCCTTTTTGTAGAAAGAGGGGGACATACCGGAAGTTGACAGTCAACAACATGGCGTGGACAAAGAACAGCACGGCGACAAACAACCACGGTAAAAATCGCGGACCGAGGAAGATGAAGGGGATCATCGACATGTGCGAGATCATGGGTAGCCGCTGGAACAGCGCCGGCAGATGCCGCCTCGCTGATGCTGGGAGGATAGTCATGGTGGTAAAGATCGTGGGGTAGGGAGTGTAGAGTTGAGATGAAGGGTGTGAGGGTTCACTCGATCCGGGCGGGCCGAGCGGGAAGGTCGATCGGGATTGATAATGAGTGTCTATGCAGTTGGCGGCGGGGGTGTATTATATGGTCAAATGTACCGGTGGGTGATGGGATACCGTTGACGGGTCGGTGAGAGTGAAGGGGGAAAGGATAGGAGGAAGGGACCGAGCGGTATAAAGCGCAAGTATGAAACTTGACACTAGACGGGCGCGACGGGGGAGAAAGAGGGTTTGGTGATTCGCACGTTCGAATCAACACCCTCGGCTATCGGGCAAGGGTGATGCTGACCAAGCGCTTGAGTAAATCTCAGCGATAGAACGTTTATTGATTGAATGGGCGATGAAGAGAGGCGAGGGCTGTTGTGTATCGGTCCGGAGGGGGTTGGGGAATCAGAGCGAGACACCGAGGGATTATTTGATAGCACAGCGCGGGAATGGCCGAAAGTGATTCCGACTGTCGTTTGCGCGGCTGGAGAAGAGGTGAAGGGGTCGAGGGGATCGTAGGGGAGAATGGGTATAGGAGGAAGAGAAGCTTTTGAGGATGAGAGGGATGGGTGAGGATGTAGAGGCAAAGAGGCGAGGCCAAAGCGTTGCTCTGCTTTACCAGCGTGATGAGGCCGCGAAAACAGTTTGAGCACCAACACCGCGTACCGTCCAAGGGACCGATATAGAAATTACTACAACAAGCAATTCTACGGTCACACCCAACCCCCAATTCTCTGCGGCTTTTCCTAATGACCTAATATTTCTTAATAGCCCTGAGCTATGCGGGGTCTACGGGAAAGCGTGTTTTGCCACCCATTCACTAATGAATCGCCTCGATTGGGACGTTGTAATACAGCTTGTAAGGATTCGGGCCCGGCGGCCGGGTCAGCGCGTCATGGGCGTGGACTCGGGCGTGGATCTGATGTCAGCGGCAATGGAATGTGGACTGCTGCATGTGGCACAGTGTCAGTGGCGGTGAGACCGAGTGGCAGCTTGGCAGCTGGAGTCAGTTGGCAGGAGGGCGGCTGCGGAAGGTACCATTCAAATGGGATTATTTAAGGATCAGGTCGGACTGGATATAGCGCGATCGCGATGCAGGTTGAGATCTGAAATACCACGTTGACCCGTATCTTCGGCTGTCGGCCCATCTTTCTTCTGAACCGAGGTGCATCGCCAGACCTAGCTACATAAGAACATCTTGTACGCCATATTCTCCGTCTCCTCCACATAAGGATACCCCAGTTCCTCGAGATACTGCTCAAACTCGTCCGACGCATCCGGGGGTACCTGTACACCAACCAGGACCTTGCCCACATCTATCGGCGTCAGCTCCACCCTAGCACTGTGGCTCCGAGCCACGATCAGAAGTCCAAACTTACCCGCGCCGTGATTCCGGTAATGGAACATGGTGATAGTCAAATCCTTCCTCAGACCCTTGAGGAAGTTCCCCAGCGCCATCGGTCTCTCCGGGAACTCTGCCTGATCAGCTCTTCTTCTCGGTACCATCTGTCGACCTCAGCGGGACTGACCAAACCTAAACACCCGCTCATCCTTGACGTCCGCCCGACCACCGACCAAATGCCTGACATGGGACTTTGCAAACTCGTCCTCGCTCAAATCGACCGCCTCGAGCCCATGCGCCTTCATCGTGCTGATCAACTCGGCAATTTCTGTGGCGCGCGACTCGGCCGATGGGCCTGAAGCGGACGAAGAGGCCGATTTGAGGAGGAAGGAGGTGATGATGTGGCCAGTGGTTGGTGAGGAATAGCGGTATGAGAATTCGGTGACTGCTCGGCCGTCCAGAAGGGAGTGGAACTTGACAAAGCTGAGGGTCAGCGGACCTCGATACTCGGTACAAGCGAGGGGAGAGAGTACTCACGATCCAGGCTTCTCGGGTATCCGGAGACACATCAATACTTCTCTCCGCTCTCCGACCTCGGCGCGCTCAGCGACGAAGCGTAATCTCCCAAAGTTCATATTTCCCCCAGAAACCACAGCGACAAACTTCTTATTTGACCCTGTGAGGTTGTTGCGGACGATATAGGCTTTGAGACCGGCAAGGGCGAGAGCACCGGAGGGTTCTGGGATCGAACGAGTTTCTGAGGGTCAGCTTACACCCTGCTTGGGCCGGAGCAGACGATTTAGCTCACCCTCAAACACATCCTTGATCGCCGCACAAATCTCATCATTGTTCACCAAAACCACCTTATCCACCACCTCCCTACACAGCCTGAACGGCTCCTCACCCACAATCCTGACCGCCGTACCATCCGCAAACGGTCCCACCTCATCCAGGAGCACTCGCTTCCCCTTCTTGAGAGACCGGTCCATCGCGTCCCCATCTACCGTTTCTACCCCATATATCCCCAGATCTGGCCTCGCAACACGCTTGACATACGTCCCCAGACCCGACAGTAATCCTCCACCGCCGACGGCAGCAAAGATCCCGTCGAGCGAGTCGATATCGGGGATCTGGCGGCAAATCTCCATACCGATCGTGCCTTGTCCGGCGATGACATAGGGGTTGTCGTAGGGCGGGATGAAGGTCAGGCCGTCGCGCGCGGACAGGCGGAGACATTCCGCTTTGGCGGCATCGAAATCGGCACCGTGGAGGATAACATTGGCGCCGAGGCGCTGGACGTTGCGCCATTTGATGGAAGGGGTGGTAGTAGGCATGAGAACAGTAGCGGGGATGTTGAGAGCTTTGCTGGACAGAGCGACGCCTTGGGCGTGGTTTCCTGGCATATCAGCAAGGTCCTGGCACCTCGCGTAGTCGACATACCCGCTGAGCAGGTAATCACACCCTTGACCTTCTCGTCCTCGCTCAAATGTGCCATCATATTGTACGCCCCGCGAATCTTGAATGAGAACACAGGGTGCAGATCTTCCCGCTTGAGCCAGATCTACCGGTCAGCTCCTGCTCGGTCTATGCTCCGCACACCGGCCAGCTCACCTCGCACCCCAGCCTCGCCGAGAGGTTGACAGCCAGCGTCAAAGGTGTCTCCTTCAGCTTCAGTGGTGCCGCATAGGTCTTTGCTATATCCATCAGCCCCGCTCCTCTCCTTTCCCAGTCCCCCTGACTTCTTCCTCCTCCCCTCCAACTCACACATCAAAATCATCTTCAAATAGTCCGGAACCTCCCTCCCCATCTTATCCCTCGTCATCATATGCCCCGGTAATCGGTCATACAGATGCTTCGGCACCTCGTCATCCATCTCGCCATTCTGCACATGGTTCGACGACGAGGGCGGTAACGGCGCAGACGAGGCGTACTCGATCGTAGAGCCTGTAGGTGGAGACCGGGCAGACGAGGTCGAGCCGGACCGGACGGACTTTAGTGTGCGGGGTGCGAGGGGAGGGGAGAGGGAGGTGAGGCTCGCGGTGGGTGCAGGGAGGTGGTGGTTTGATGGAGGGGGGATGGGGCTGGGACTGGAGGTTCAGCGATGATGGCGCAGGTGTGAGGGATCCGAAGGTGGTAGCTTACTTTTGCACCCCGTTTGAGTTGGCGTGTCCGTTGGAACCATTGATGCCTATGGCAGTCATTGCTGCTGATAGTGCTGCTGCCATCCTGACAGTGTGAGAGGGAGGTGTATGATAAGTGGTCGAGTCGAACTTGAACTTTTGGGTTGGAGGACCGAGCGAGATCTACGGTCAGGGACTCCACGTGGCGTGATAAGGCACGCAAATGGCCATGGGTGGTTGGGAGGTGGCAACAACAAAGGCGGGACAGACCTCTTTTTCGCATCGTATCTCCTTCTCTGTCCTACTCTCCCCCACTCAAAAGGCCACAGGTTGGGTCCGAGGTCCCCTCGTCGGATCTTCGGTAAACAGCGATCATTATGGACTTTTTCGGCGGGCAGGGCGGTGCCTCTAAAGGTCCCATCGTCGGGAAAGCGATAACCAAAAAGATCATCTCTGGTCCTCGACCCACGGGCTCTGGGTCTGGGTCTGGGTCGAGTAGCGCCCCCGCTACAGCTGGTCGGTCTACACCTACCATCGCTAAACCTGTCGCGAGGCCCGCCGCTGGCTCCGCCCCTGCACCAGCGAAAAAGGCATTACCGGTCATTGCTAGTACGAGCGCGAAAGCTGGTCCCAGCCGCCCGATCGCTGGTGGACTCGCCGGACCATCCGGCTCCAAAGCTCATCTATCCGCCACTTCCTCCCGGGCCTCTACACCGTCCTCACGTCGTAAACGGACCCCATCGCCTGTCCGGTCCGAATCCTCTTCGAACTCCGACTCGGGGTCCGAATCGCCAAAGGCGAAGAAAGCTCAGGAGAAGAAGAGGAAACGGGTGGACGCTCCTCCAACTGGCGGATCAGGCTCAGCCACACCGGTCAGTGTGGGACGTATAGCCAAGCCTGGCGTCAGAAGGGAGGGCGAAGAGAAGAGGGAGTTGTGGTGTCTTGATAAAGTGGATGAGAGGGGAGAATGGGGACGAGGATGGGCGGGGTTCGTGGGCTCCGAGGCGGCGGTGAGGCAGGATGTGCTAGGTTTTGCCGGAGGCAAAGGGGAGGGAAAAGTCAGCTTGGACAAGTACATGGCGTGTGAGTTGATTTCTGAGGTATGGACGGTAGGTGTTGAGCAATAAAGCTGACTTGCAGACTTCGACCAAGAGGGCTTTGGGAACCAAGAACCCCTGCCCAGCGTGGAGCTGCTCTACCCCGCCGTGGGGTGTAAAGAGCGCTTTGTCCTCCTCGTCCCGACCTCGTCTAGGGAGTACAACCCCATCTCGGAGCTGAAGTCCGTCCTGAAGACCATCCTCGAACGTGGGTCTTTTCCATCCCCCATCGCCTCTCAAGGGGTTGCGCAAGCTGACACGCTCAGACTACATCCCCCCCTCCCACGCGCACCTGTTCGGCACCCTCTCCGACTCGATTGACCTGGACCCCCTCCCCCTTCCTTCGCGCCTCCACTCCCCCCTCCCGCCTTCTTCCTCACTCGCCACTCCCCCTCCTGATCCATCTACCTCTTCCCCCGCCCCCACGCCTGCCACTCTACGCCAGGAAACCATCGGCGATGCCCTCCGAAAAGCGCTGGCCAATAATAGGAGAGACGGGCCCGGCTTTACACGTGCCGTAGAACGGTACAATACCGCCATGGCCGACCTGCAGCGGTCTGGGGAGATGCAGGCGTGGATGCGGGAGAAGAGCGGGGTGATGGGCCAGGGGGAGTGGAGCAGTGTGGTGGAGGTTGTGCATGAGCAGGCGTATTCCAGGGTTGTGGGGCCTTATTCGGATCTGCTGGAGGTGCGTCTTGGCTACGAGAGGAGAGTGGGGAGGAGGTTGAGGCTGATCTAGTAGCATCACCCGAAACATCCAGACGAGGTGGCGAAAGCCATTAGCGGGAAAGAGGATGCCTACGGGGAGCTCCGGCACAAGTATGTCTCCCCTCACCGATAATCTTGTCCTCGAAAGCGATCAGCTGATGCCCAGATTCATGTCTCAAATCGTCCACGACACCCACCTCACCCCCTCATCAACCTTCGTCGACCTCGGATCGGGCGTCGCCAACTGCGTCCTCCAGACCGCCCTTCAAGCCGGCTGCCGTTCCCTCGGCGTCGAGCTCTTACCGGTCCCCGCGCACTGCGCCCGCCTGCAAGTCGCCGAAGTGAAGAAACGGTGGGCGATGTGGGGGCTGAATGGGCATATTGGAGTCGAAGTGAAGGAGGGGGATTTCAGGACGGGGGAGGTCGGGAGGTGGTTGGCCAGTGCCGATGTGGTGGTGAGTCCTATCTCTGCGTGGAAGGTTGCGAGAATGTGGGATAAGGGCTGATCGGACAGCTGGTCAATAATGAGGTATTCCCCCCTGCTCTGAATGATGATCTGAAGAATATGTTCTTGGATCTGAAAGAGGGCGCAAAGATCATCAGTCTCAAGCCGTTCGTCAATGAGGGATTTCGGATGAATGAGAACAATGTAAGTTCTTCCTCTGCTCTCCCTTGGCCCGCCACGCTCTTCCTGCCGTGCCATCCGGGCTGGGACTGACGTCCAGTGTGACTCATTCGACGCTATCGTCCGCCTCTCGGTGCACAACTACTACCAAGACTGGGTGAGCTGGAAGGGCGATTCGGGGCGGTATTATGTGCAGGTGATTGATCGGAGTAAGCGCCGCAAGTTTGACGAGGAGATGAAGGGGGGCAGGAGGAGGCGGTGAGCATGTCGGGCGGTTGTAGAGGTCCGTGTTAATCACTTATCCATACTTATATTTCTACTTGTATGCAAAGAAGGCGTGCCTGTCAGCTAGGCCGTCGACATCAGGAGAGATCGGGCCTGTTGGTCAGAAGGCGGATGGCTGATTAGTCCTGGGTCTTCGTGGTTCACTGATGGGAGGTGTGGTGCATGATTGTGAAGATATTAATGCTACTTTTGGTTGTCTTTGTTGTCTACGCCGCCTGGCCCCTCTGGCCTCCCCTATCCGCGCTCTGCATCACGCCTACTCTATTTGCGTCACCCCGACCTGCGCCGGCCTCAACACCCTATTCCCAATCATCCACCCCTCCTGCCTAACCTCCACGACCTCTCCAGGCCCCCACTGCTTCCCATCCCCCTTCTCCCCCGCATGCTCCTTGGGCACCTGGAACGCCGCATCGTGCGCATTCGGATCAAACTCCGTCCCGCGCCCAATATCCATCTTGACCACCCCGTTCTGCTCAAATGTCTTCCACATGGCCTTTTGCGTCATCTCTACACCCGAGACCAGCGAAGCGAGGGGTGTTCCGGGCTCGACGGGCTTGGGGACGTGCCCGAGCGCGGTGGACAGGACGTCCGAGGTGGAGAGGAGGGAAAGGGCGAATTTGGAGATGGCGAAGTCAGAGGCTTTGCGGCGTTCTTCCTCGATTCGACGGGAGAGGGTTTGGATTTCCGCTTGCTTATATTTCCGGTCTTTCTGAGAGGGATAAGTAAGGGCGCTTCTACCTTGACCAGGGTATGACCAAGTCATCGTAGCGATCCAAAACCCACCTCAAGCTCCTGTATTCTTCCCTCGAGCTCCTTGACCTTCTCCGCCTCTGCGCTCTTCGGCTTCCCAGCCTCATCTGCTGCGGCTGGCTTTTCCGCTTCGCTTGATGCAGAGTAGGCCCGCCATGATGCAGCGGCGATCGGGCGAGATGGGAGGGGTGCCGCCGCTGCTGCTGTTGGCCGAGCGAGACGGGTGGCGGTGCGTAATGAAGGGACGGCTCGTGAGAACATTTCTGAGGATGTTTTACGGGTCGAGGGAGGTAGCTGAGCTGTTCTGTGTACAAGTAGATGGGTCGTAGGTGGATATATTGGATAACTGTGAGTATTGAAGTAGGAGGTGGATCGAAATCCGAAATCTCGCTCGCTCTGCCGTCCGCCGCCCCGCTGCGAATGATCCCGAAGCGGCGGTCGCCGGTAGAATGCCTTCCTTTGTTACCGCTTTGAGCAATATTAGAGGCTGGCACTAAGTACAACAGCCGGTGCAGCCTCTTCTCTCGCACTTCAGTCGATACATTGTTAATAGCTACCATACCCTATCCTTTCTGCCCCTTCCCCTCGACACACAGTAGCCATAGCTAGTACAGCCCAAACGGTCACCGCAGCTCGATAAAACAACAGCAAAAGGGCGATCCCACCCCGCTAGAGCTCCGGCCAACATGTCGGACACACCCCTCGTGCCCGAGGTCCAGCCATCCACCTCCTCTCCCCCTCTCACCCCTGCTCCCGCCGAAGTCGTCGAGCAGACTGCCTCTCCACTCCTCGCGGAACCTATCCCCTCCGCCTCCCTCGCTCCCCATTCCGCCGCAAACCGCAAGCCCACTTCCTCATCATCCACCGTCCCCGTCCACCCCGTCTCCACACGCCTCAAGGCACGCACCAAGTCAACGGGTACCGGCCCATCCATAGATCCCCAACCAGCCATGGGAATTACCGAGTCGATAGCCTCGGCGCCCGCCCCCCGGCTCAACGACTTTTCGTACGACCCCAACGCGGTCGACTATGAGATTGATATCGAGGCGGCTTTGGAGCGCGCGGCGAAGGATGAGGATATGCCGGGGAGCCCCACGTCAAAGATTATGCGGGCGATCGCGCCTCCTCAGGCGGGTATGGTGGATGTCAGATGGCCAGCTGTGAGTGTTTAGTCTTGGGTTGTGGCTGGGGGTATGTGCAGGAAGCGGTGGACACGCAGGGTGGAGGGCGAAGGTGGCAGAGTGGCAGTTCGTCAGATGCACGGGCAAGAGCTGACTGTGGCGTTTAGCCACCACCAAATGCTTCGGTAAACCTCTTTATCGGTCGCGCATTGCTTGCGAACGGGAATGACAATTGGCCATTGGTGAGTTTTGGTTTTTCTGCATGCATATGACTCCCGCTGATATGCTTTTTCCTTTCCTTCACCTCTACCCTACAACTTCACCCCACAGAAACCAAACGAGATTGTCAATTGGATACGCAAACACTATCCGGGCGAGTGGGACGGGGACGAGGGCCGCTGCTCTGCCCATCGCGTACGGACGTATCTCGCCCGGAAAGGTACCGACATGTACTATGAAAAGCTCGCGCAAACGACCATCTCGGGCTGGCGGATCCGGCAAAACCATCTCTGGCGGTTCGAGAATGGCGGGTTCCAAGGACGGGGGATGAAGCAGGAGGAGGCGATTATGGAGAAGCAAAAGGAGCACGAGCTGGCCATTACCGATCGGCACAAGGCCGCGGCGGCCGAGGCGCTCGCTGCGGGTCATCCAGGTGTCAAGACAAGTATGAGTCTGCCCGGGACATCGGACGGATCGCCGGCGATGAAGAAGGCGAGACTGAAGGGGACGGGACAAGGGGTGGGGCAGTCGAGAAAGCGGAATATGAAGCGGGAGGACGTGAACCATATCCTCGCGGGGCTGCAGCAGCAGGCGGCTCAGGAGGCGCAGGCGCAGGCTCAGGCCCAGGCGCAAGCCCAGGCATTGCAGCTCCAACAAGAGGAGCAGCAACGACAAGAGGCGGAGCAGGAGCAACTTCAGCCACTCGAGCCGTACTATCCTACATCGTATCAGCCCCTCTCGGGATCCAGCCAACATCCGGACGGAATGGAGCAGGAACCTATCGATCCCATCCTCTCTGCCGCGGTAGCCGCCGCGGGCGAGGTCGATACCGGCACCGACGACCACGACCCCAACGAGATTGACATGAATCTCGTTCATCAGGCGATGCAGGCGGCGGCGGGGCACATTGACGATCTGGACATGGGGATCCAGTTGCCGATAGAGATGCAGATGGGCGAGGGGGAGCATGATCATGATCGCTCGGCGGGGCAGTATTATGATCAGGCGTTCGGGTCGGCGCAGGGGTATGGGATGGGACTGGGGACGGGAGGCGCGGCGCAAGGGTACTGGGGAGATGGCGGCTACGGGTACCAGGAGGGGCAGTAGCTTGTGGCGCGGAGGGACAGCGCAGGGATACACAGATGTTGTGCAGTAGTATTTGTGCGGGCTAGCTAGTGGGCGAGATAGGCGATTCTCGCACGAGGGAGAAGGGGTTTGACATTACTAGAGCTTGGTAGCCCACTGTACTGTACCTATATGATTATGCCAGATATCGACTGCACGACTAGGCACGACTGCGCAACTGCACCAGTTGCAGGGACTGTCACTAGAGACCAGAAGGTCATAAAGCCACGTCACTTTAACGGAGTTGGGCTCGGATCCCCGACGACTCCGCCTCCGGCCCGTCCGCGCCAGCCAGCCAGCCAGCTCGAAGCTTCAAGCGGTCTGCTCTTCCCTCTCTCGTCCATACCTACAGCACAACTACAGCTTGGTAGGCGCAACGCTAGCGCATTGAACCGCGGACAGTCCGTAAAGGTCCCCTTCTAAGAAATCAGCGAGCTTCCTTCCGCCAGCACATCACTATGCCGCCCAAACAACCCATACCCTCCGCCGCTTCGCCCTCCCCTCCACCTATGACAGTGACGAACGAAGCGCAGGACATGCTCGTCATCCAGGACCTGATGGACACGCTGGATCAGCTTCCTCCAGAACTGACGAGGGTGTACTCGGACCTCAACGAGCTCGGGGCTGTACTGTATAGTGAGCTAGTCGAGTCTCGACCATTGGGTGACAAAGCTGATAGTGCTAGCGACCTTGCTGCAGCTTCAGTCGAAGCTCAATCAGCTTATTGATTGGGTACAGGACCCGAGGATCGGTCCGGAGCAGCGGTTCCAGCTTTTGCAAGAGATTGCGGAGGAGGCGGCGCGGTACAAGTTGGGCGCAGACGATAAGGTCCGGGTGGCTGGCGGAGCCAGTGAAGGGGTGAGTGTCTGCTGGCGATGCCTCCGAGTATCTTCATGTCTCAGGAGGGCGCAAGCTGATCGTGTAGATTATGGGCCACCAGCGACACATCACCAACCTCCTCAACGCCTCTACACTCCTCAATTCCGCCCCGCCCTCCCCTTACACCCAAGCCCTGACCCTCTCGCAACTTCCCCTCCCTGCCAATACTCGCCGAGGCCAGCTCTCGCGCGCTGCCAACTCGCCATTCGGCGGTAGAGGTTACGCAGCTGCGGCAGGTGGTGCGTCAGACGAGCGGGGCACAAAAGTTGGCGATACGCCGACCAAGAAGAAGAAGAGTCGGGTGCAGCAGTTGGGGAGGGAGGAGGATGAGATGAGTGCAGGAGGCAAGGACAAGAAGGTTGCCAGTAAGAAGAGGAAGACGTGAGTCGTGTTGCTCGTGCTACATGATACGGGTAGGAGCTGATGGAGCAGAACGAATCGTGGTGTTTCACCTACCGACTCGCTCGGCTCCGCCTCCCAATTTGCAGGCTCCAAGCCCGTCGAACCACGTACAGCTCGTCAAATCGCCGCTGCTGCTGCCTCCCGCGCCCGACAGATGCAAAGAGGAGGCGACGACGATTCGGACGATTCCGAGCCCGCTCGCAAACCCGCCGGAGGGGTCGGAATGCAAATCACTCCTTCTTCCGATTCGATGGCGCTCGACCGGGGACTCGGGATCGACTTTGGGGCAGCCGGCGGGCACAGTCGCGAGAGTACGACGGGCCGGGCTAGTGCGCAGGCTACGCCAACCATCGCGCATGCCCAGGTGGCGGGTACGAAGGAGAGCGGGCGGTCCCGACAGCGTAGTGGGAATGGGAATGGATCGGGCGCTGCGGGGTCTAAGAGACAAAGGGAGGAGATGGAGGATGAGGGTGAGAGCGAGCTGGACGAGGAGGATCGACCGAAGAAGGGGAATGGGGCCGCGGGATCGGGAGCGGCGTCAGCAGGTGGGGCAGGGGCGGGTGGGAAACAAGGGGCCGCAGTGCCAGATGGGGAACTAGGGGAAGGAGGGGATCCGGATCTGGAGGTGTACTGCGTGTGTAGGCAGGTCGGGTATGGAGAGATGATTGGGTGTGATGAGGATACGTGCGAGATTGAATGGGTGAGTCTTGGGTCTACCTCAAGCACACAGGGGATAGGCTGATGGGAATAGTATCACGTCGCGTGCCTGGGGTTCGACAAGCCGCCAGAGGGCAACTGGATCTGTCCTCAGTGTGTCGAGAGGAAGAAGAAGAATCCAAAGGCTAAGAAGGGGGCCAAACCCCGGCGGACCAAGTGATTGTCCGAGGGAAGAGCCGATCGATTCGTAGAGGGCGTATTTGTACCAACTAAACTTCTCCAGCTGGATGTATTCTCATTAGTTCTCATGCGGGACCGGCGATGCGAGATCCAGCCTTGATCTGAGACTCCTCGGGTAGCTGCACGGTCAGTGCCAGTAGTTGTACAGTTGCATTGGCATAGTCTAGGCATTATATTCGGTACCGTATCCCTCATTACGAAAAGCAGAATAGAAACTAGTCCTCAATCCAAAATTGTTCGATTATCCCCTCCCAGCCTTTAATCATTTTGCACCCTCTGTCGCTTGCTCTCATCTAATTACCCGCAATCCTACTCCTTCCCATTACCTCCTGCCCATCCCGCGGGGGAGATACGACCGCTTGACCACCTGATCATAGTACGTCGCCTTGCCCGAGCCGGTGAGGTACGCCGAGATCTGCCAGGCCGCACCGCACTTCTGGGCCGACGATGCTGCGCACGCCATACCGCACCCTTTAGGGTCCGAGGTGGTGACGTTGTCGGAACGGTTGATGTAGTTACCGCACATGCATTCCTGTAGGGTCAGCAATGATCTTTGGAGGGGGAAGAGGGGCAACTTGCAGCTCCATAGGTGGTACCGGCGATAGCAAAGCCGCGTTGGGCGCAGTAGTCGACACAGTAGTTGTTGGTCATGACCTTCTGGTCGCCGAAGGGGGCGGTACCGTTGAGCTGGCGCTGTCCGCGGTCCGTGAAGCACCCGATGTAGCCGGTGGGGGCGGCGACTGCTGATGAGGTGGCGGCGGCGGTGGTCGTGGAGGACGTGGTAGCGGCGATGGTGGTGGTGGGGGAGGTGGCGATCGTGGTGTTGGCCGCGGCAGTGGTGGGCGCGACGACCTTGGTGGTGGACAACACCGCTACGGTGGTAGTGTTGGCGGCGGCGGCGGTAGTGACGGGCTTGGGGGAGGTGGTAGCCACGGCAGCGGTCGTCGAGGACGTAGTCGCGGCAGGGGCGGCGACCGCAATCCTGGCTCCGTCGGGAGCGAGCTGGAATACGGATGCCCTTCCTCCACCTCCACACTTCTCTGATGGTGCACCCACACAGTTGAAGTCACACTCCGCCTCGGCAGTTGCGTTGGAGTTGGTGCTGAGGGCGAGACCGGTGAAGCATTCCCGACCGTAGACGAGGGCGGCAAAGGTGTGGCTGTTGGCGCGCGCAAAGGCCATGCAGGACGTGCGGTTCATGTCGCCCGAGGTCTTGTACGAGCCCTGGACGGCACGGTTACCGTTGGTCTCCGAAAAGCAGCCGCGGTAGGCCCAGGACGAAGGGGCGGGGCTGGCAGTGGAAGCCGCGGTGGTGGTGGCAGAGGTGGAGGTGACTGCTGGAGTGGTGTTCTCAAAGATGTTGAGACGGTTGGCACCACCGCAGAGGGTCATCTTGTCGCCGGGGCAGACCATGGTGCAGCCGTCGGTGGCCACCTTGGCGACGGTCGCGATGGCGTCAGAGCAGAAGCACTCTTGGCCGTACTCGACACCGCCGAACCGATAGCCGCGGGCCGCGCAGCCAGCGAGACAGGTGGGGATAGTCATGCTCGAGCTGGAGAACGAGTACTTGGGGAGGGTGCGGCCGCCATCCTCCTCCGTGTAGCAACCACGGTTGGTCCAGCCGGCGACGGTGACGTTGGCGTTGTTGGGAACGACGGGAGCGGCGATGGTACCGGTGTACTTGAAGGTGGTCATCCGGTATCCGGCACCGCAGGCTTGGAGGGGGTTGCCGGCGCAGGTCATGCTGCATTCCGAGGCGGGGACTTGGACGGACCCCGCGGCAAATTCCTGGGCGCAGCGACACTCGCTTCCGTACTCGATACTGCTTGTCAGCTTGGTCCAGCATACATGTATAATAAGACTTACCCGGCGAGAGCGAAACCCTTGCTTTGACATTCGAGCATGCAGACGTCGTTGGTGATCGAGCTGTTGGAAGTAAGGGGACCGGCAAAGGCGCGACCAGAGGTAGCTTGCGCGTTCCAGCAGCCAGTGGCGACCCAGTTTGGTGGAAGAACCTTGGGAGCGGCGGCAGTAGCGTTGTAGTAGTACATGTTGAGGCGGCGAGAGCCACCGCACATCTCGTCCGACTTGCCAGAGCAGGCCATGTTGCTGCAAGTCAGCTGGAGCTGATTCATCAAGCAGATCGACTTACCACTCGGTGGTTGCAGCCTCGGTAGATCCAGCACTGACCGAGGAGCCACAGTAGCATTCGCTGATTGTCAGCTCAATCCAAGTCGAAACAGGACAAAGCTCACCTGGACCACTGAGTTCCAGCGAAGGTGAACCCTCGAGCAGCGCAGAGAGACATGCAGACCGCGGGTGTCATAGTGCCGGTCGACATGCTGAAGCCGGTCAACGCGCGCGTGTCCGCCGGCTCGGCAACACAGTTGCGAGCCTTGCGGAACCAGCCGTCGACGCCGGCGGGGGAGGTGGGGTTACCGACCGAAGTAGCGTTGAAAGCGACGGGGACGAGGAGGGGGTTGGCGTAGACGTTGAGGGTACGAGAACCACCGCAGTTCTCGTAGATGTTACCGCCGCACTTGGTGTTGCACTTCTCGGCAGAGAGGGAGGTGTTGGTGGCGCCGTGCTTGAGCGTAAAGTCGCAGTAGCACTCGATCCCGAACTGGGAGCCGGAGAGGGGGAAGCCGCGCCTGCCGCACTCAGCCGCGCACATCCCGCGGGTCATGTTGGGCGCCGAGAACGAGTACCCCTCGAGCGCGCGCCCGTTCACCGCCTCGGCGATACACCCGACGGCCGACCAGTTGGGAGGGATGACGGACCGGAAGTCGGTGTACGTGGGGTCGGCCTCGGTGTAGTTGTCGTACGATGGCTTGTCAGTCATGCTACCGGTCCAGAGAGGGTTGTTTCCGGGGAGACGGGCGATGGAGTGGCCGAGACCGACGTCCTCGTTGACCAGAGGGTTTTGGGGCTGACAGCCATCCGCCGCGGCGCGGTTGATGAGACCGGCAAAGGGAGGGCAGAGCTCGAGGTTTCCGCCGACCCCGTTATTGAAGTCGCAGTGGTCGATAGCCTGCTGGAGTACGTTGGTTCCGTTGACGAGCGCCGGCCAGCCGTTGAGGAAGTCACCGTGGAGACCGTAGCCGGAAGCGTCTCCGTTGGCCCAGACCCAGGTAGGGGTACCAGCGGCATTGAAGGGGAACTTTTGGACCTCGAAGATGAACTCGTAGAAGAGCTCGACGACCTTGACGGGGTGGCTGGCCGGGCAGTCACCACCGCCGTTGTTGTTACCGTTGGTAGGCCAGGCCATGTGCGACCGGTGGTCCGGCGAGTCCAGGTCCTTGCCGTTCCAGCAGGTGGGGAAGTTGATCTGGGCACGCATACCGTCCGGGCAGTTGTGGTTGAAGAAGTTGTTGCGCTGCGCCCATGCCGGATCACCCTGGTGGCTGTTGCTGTAGTCGAGACAGACGTAGCTGATGGCCTGGTCGTCCACGTCGGTCTTATTGAAAATCCGACGAGAAGGGTCCCCCGAGATCATGCGGAGACCATCAGGGAAGGCGTGGATGGTGTCGTTCTTGCCGTACCGGTTGAGATAGTACTGCTAGTCAGCAGTGTCATCGCTTACGAGTAGCAGCATGTAGCTTACGGTGTTGACATATGCGGCGGGGATGGCCTGGTACGTCTTTTGGACCTGCAAGGTTCAGTTGTGTGTCGCTGCTGGTAAGAAGAAGTGGGGGACGAGATTTTGAACATACCGGTTCGTAATAGTACAGGGACGGAATCCAGTAGTTGGACTTGTCGACAGTGATGGGGGCAGTGGTGCAGCCGGACGCTCGGGCGGACTCGTAAGTCATGGACTTGTCAAAGTTGGACCCGCCGGCGATGGTATGGACATGGCCAGAGACCGTTCCCGGATCGACGATACTGACGAGTCAGCTTGGGCAACTCAGCGAGCAGTAGAGGTACTTACGGGTCGAGACGAGTGGTGGCCAGGATGGGCTGGGTCAAGATGAAGAATGCCTGCGCCGAAGCGAGGAAGGGGAGAAGGGTGACAAGGTAAAGCATCGCGCTAGGCGTAAAAAGGAAGAAGAGGAACCTGTCCTAGATAAAGTATGAAGCAGACGTCCAGCGTCGGCTTGAAAATCGTGAGAGGGAAGGCGAAGGGGCGAGTGAGAGATGGAAAGAACAACGAAGTCCTGTCAGTACTGTCAGTATATATCAGCTCGCGATTTTACGCCGATCTAGCTTTGGACCTAAAAAACGCCCCGTTAACGCCTCAACCTTCGCTGGTCTCAACAATGATCGGCGGCGGTACCTCATGAGAGGATGCAAGCAAGTGGCGTTCTCACGATGCATGTTAGAGGAGGATCGGCAAACGAGAGGGGTGGACTGGAATCGAGGAATGAGGTCCGGAAGAGGAAAAGAACGGCAGTCAAAGTTCTTGCTGTGAGACGCTGTGGCCTCGTCGGGGACTTTGACAAAGTCCGAGACGGACCATGTGGTGAGCGAAGTCTTGATAGGGAAGGCCGGAGCTTGACATGCAGTGAGATGTATGAGAAGGCGAAAGACAGCCGGTTGTAGCAGTTCATAAGGGAATTTCGCCGGAAAGGGAAATTTTGGTCAATGACGTAACGAGAGCAGCCGAGGAATGCTGATCGCGCTCGGAGGTTATGGCCTCGGACGAGCATATGTTTAAAAGACGAAGACCGAAATGTATTTGTCCGTAAAAGACGAAGCCTTTCCGCCACTGTCTAAAAGACGAAGTCCGGCCCTAAAGGACGAACGGGAATGTTCCGGATCCGGTGATGCCGATCCCCCACTTAACGTCATCCCCCAAGGCTCGGCTTGTAATCTCACTCAGCTGGAATCAATGTACATCCATCTATCCATCTATCTATCTACAACTCTATTTTAGAAGAAAGCGGCGTAGCGGTCATCGAAAGCGGGGTCGGGGCATTTACGCGTATTGTGACCTTCCTTCTTACACCGGGCACAGTGCTGAGGCGCACCCGCTGGCCTGCCCCTCCTCTTCCCCTGTCCCCCAAACGCCGGTATCTCCCGCTGACTCGCCTCGGTCGGCCTGACCCCTCGCGTCCCCCTCTTCTGCCTCTTCCGCCCATGCGCCATCCTGATCGGAAAGGGTTGTAGGTGCTCGAGGGTGGCAAGGTCGTCGGTCAGAATGACGGCGAAGGGTACCGAGTACGCCTGTCGCCAAGACGCAGAGCGATATTGAGGTCCAGCGAGGCTGTAATATTAGCTGGTTCTTGTGATGATCAGAGCTGAAAGTCTACTCACTCCTTGACCCTGTTGCTCGCGCGGACCTTCTCCAACACTGCCACGACGTGCTTGCACGGTAGCATATGCTGGCGGGGTATACCGCACGTGCACGTCGCCGAGCGCGTCGCCCAGTTGACCACGACCCATCGCTGCTGATCCGCATGGTCATACACCCCCATGATCCGAGCGAGAGCAGTAGGGATGGTCTTGCCGGTGGTGAACGCCTCGTCGTTTTGGGTGATTACGACGTCGTGTCGGACAGCGTCGCTGGCAGATGTGAGCCAATTAAAGGCGAAGGGGCAGTTGGTACCGTTGTGCTGGGTCGATAGCAGCGAGCGCTCGACCCAGTTCTGGGCCATAAGGTCCCAGATGCCCTGCAGGAGCTCGACGATGGGACGACTCCGTAAGGGACCGAGCCAGTTGTTACACTGCTGTCACCTAGAGCCACGCACGGACCAGCCAAAACGATTCCGCCGGAACCCTCGCTCCTCATTCCTCAAATTCCCCCTCTCCCCCGGAACCTTCCAGAAATTCCTCGCAGTTTCCACCACCTTCTACCATCTTCTACCACCTTCTACCAGCATCGATTCAGCTTCCATCGGCCTCCCCGCCCTTCCAGTATCTTCGACCCCACTCGCCATCAGCATATGTCATCATGGAAGGCGCTGGAAGGATGATCTGGAAGCGGCGAGCGAGATATAAAAGGAGGACGAGTCGGGACTTGTAGATGTTTCATCCGCTTTTACATTAATCTTGCCATAGTCTCATTTGCATACCATTTCCTCACCTGCCCAGCTTAGGATCCCGCGCACTCACCCCTCCCCCGTGACAACTGCTCGGAGGTATTGGAGGTGGTTGTACCGTAGCGAGGGAGGGGGAAGGCGTAGGTTGCCCATTGGTCGTGGGGGATGGAGTTGATATAGAAGGCCGCGTCCGGGTTCTCGCTCTCCAGCGCCGAGAGGTGTTGCTTGAACTCCACCTCGGTCTTGGCGTACAGCATGGAGTTGAAGTAATCGACCGCTTTGGCCTTGTATGCCTCCTTGATATTGGCTCGCAGATGCTGAGCGCAATGACCGTGATGGGCGGCAGGGAGGACGGTACCGACGGCGTTGAGCAGGCCTTTCTGCCGGTCCGACACGATGACGACGCCCTCGAATGCGAGACTGGGAAGGGCGACGAGGAGGTTCTGGCAGAACCAGCTCCAGGTGGCGGTGGACTCCGACTTGACGAGCGCCCAAGCGAGGATGACGATATGACCCTCGCAGTCAGACGTGGAGGCGAGGAGGAGGTTGTAGGTATTGTGGGCGCGAGAGTATGTCCCGTCCAGGGTGAGGAGAGGCCGAGAGTGGTGGAAGAATGTCCGCGCCGGCGATGGGGAGACAAAGAGGCCCAATATCGCCACGTCCTCTTCATCGTCATCGCCACTGTCCCCATCCTCTGAGTCCCTGCCGTCCCCACCCTGCCCAGCTCCATCTCTACGCTCCCGATACCCATCCAGAGGCTTGTCCGTCTGGAGATCCAGATGAGCCTGCGGATCCCGCTGGGCTAGCAGGTCCATATAGGCGGGGAGACGACGGAAGTCGGCGCAGTGGTTGGCCGCGGTGTCCCCCCTAATCTCCTGTACCGCGCGCGAGACGGCCTGGCGGCTCAGATCGTCGATAGTGGAAGCGCGGAGGGGACCGATGAGACCTTTGGCGGAGGCTTCGGCGAGAGGGGTGCCTTTGTTGAGTCATGTGGCCTGCATGTGTCAGCTATATCAAAGCCAATAGTTGCGTTATTGACTCACCTCGGCGAGAATGAAGCCCCTTTGTCTCGCTCCAAGTCGCGCGGGAACGCCGTGAGGAGAGCAAGTGTGTTCGTCGATGAGAGTTTGAACGATACACCCGCCCGACGCCCCGTGCGACTTGAGGTAGACACGATATTTACAACCGTCCTCCTTCTTGAGCGCGCACGAAAGTATCCGCGATCCCGTCGGCGCCTTCTCCGCCTTGACGGACGGCAAGAGAGTGGTGGGTGATGTCGATTTTGGCAGTGTCGAAAGAGCCGAAGGTCTGCTTGGCGTAGAGGACAGTGGTAGGGGCAAATGAGGTAGCGGGGGCGAAGGTTGGTTGATTACTGCGACGCGTCAGAATGGGCCACAATAGTCCTTAATGCGCGAGACTACCTACTCTGACATGATGAGAGACGGCGGTAGGGCTAGTAATAGTGCTTGGCTGGCTGATGTTGTTGCTACGTGGGTATAGAAGCGGAAAGTGGAGAGGTGAAGGAGCGGAGAGGAGAGGATCAAAACAAATACAACGCGTCGCGGGGCCGGCACACTGCCGGCATGATAACAAGCCGAAACTATCCGGCTTCGTCCTTTAGGCATCCTTTAGGCCGGACTTCGTCTTTTAGACAGTGGCGGAAAGGCTTCGTCTTTTACGGACAAATACATTTCGGTCTTCGTCTTTTAAACATATGCTCGGCCTCGGACATCTTCGTCGTTTCGAGAACTCGTCAAGCATCCTCGGAGCTCGGCGCATAGACATCTGATCGACATGAACGCGTCATAGACGCGTCAGTGCATGAGATCAGCGATCAGTGGATGAGAGCTAGCGAGCTGAACGATCCGCCTCTATGCCACATTTGAACGGCCGTTGGAGCAAGTCAAGTGATCCGCCGTCGAAAGCTATACCCAGGGACTTACTCGGTCGCTCCTGCCTGCTGGACTTTCTAGCGTGGTATGCAATAGGAACCTCAGCTACCTTGTGGGACGTACGGAAAGAAGAGTCGCCGACGCGTGTCGGCTCCGACTCTGTGCAAAATCAAGCGCGATCTGAAACGCGACGCGCACCTTTACCCTGCATTCAATAACGCGTCTTTAGCTGGGACCGCGTTAGCACACGAACGCTCATCTCTCTTCTCCCTCTTTCAATTGCCCTTCTCACTCTTGCACTCGTATCTTCATCCCTAGTTTGCGCGCTGGCATCCCCAAACCGAACGCACTCTTCAATATCGAGCTGCACTCTCTGTCTGGCCTTGTCCGTGCTGCTCGGCAACTCCTTCGCCTGCCCCTCCGCCTCTCCAGTCTCTCGCCCACCTTGCTCGACGCGCTTCATCCCCCTCTCGCTGCCGCACGCCTGATCTTGTACCCCTTCATCACCCTCTCGCCGCCCTCTTCAATCCGATGTCCAACCACAGTCATCCTTAACGTCCTCTCGATACCTCTCGACCATGCACTGCTCTCCGCTCCCACATCTTCGGTGGTCGCTCGCTGTCTGCCCAGGTGCGAAGCGGACCTCACCGGCCTCACCGCCTGTGGGCATGGGCGGCTGGCTTTCCCACGGTCTCCATTTCTGTCAGCGTGACGGAGCGTGACAGAATTAAGGTTGGATATTACGGCAAGTCTCAGGCACAGCGCGGAGAAAGGGCAAAGGGGGAGAGGTGTGTCTCGCGGAGGATGCTGCGAGGGAGACAAGTTGAGTGAGGGGAGTGGGGTTGGTATGACTGTCGGTGCTGCATACCGAGCTCCCCATGCTGTCCGACTTGCTTACCGGATGATGGACTGAAGGATGTTCTTTGATCGACAAGGTGCAAGGGAACCAAAAGATCAAAAGGCGAAGAATGATCTGTCGGCGCAATCTCTGACTGGACGTCCCTGATTTGGTCACACTTAGCCGTTTCTTTCCCTCCGTCCCCATCATCCATCCTCTCCTCTTACTCCCCCTAGTAGCTACTCGGCCTTCGCTCTCCCCCTCTCCCCGCTCTACAGGCAGCCGTACGTCGATCCGTCGGTGCCTCTTACAGCCAAATGGGCGCTATCAGCCGGTAGCAGCTGTCCCACCGTCCATAGCTAGACCACCTCTGTGCTCCTCTATACATCCGACGACCACTCCCATATCATACTTTGCTTTACTCCATCCCCGTCGATCCTCCACCCCTGCACAAACTCTCCTGCGCTCGTCAGTTGCCGCAGCAGCTGTTCGGCCCGCACCAGGCCCACAAAGCCAATTATCCACAATTACCCGAAACCAGCCGGCATCCTTGTCAACGAGCACCCTGCTCATCATTCCGCCCATGCTATAGCCTGCATACATACTCGACACCGCAGCAAGTCTTTGCCGTCCCGGATCAGTCCAGAGCAAACATACAAGGTGCAAAAAGCAAAGCGAAGGAAGAAGGAAGAGGATTTTCTAGGTGAGCACCTCCCATCCACTTTGGCCGATACCGACCAGCCCCCTTGCGGTGTGGAGCCACTCTTGTTGATCCGTACCTGGGAGGGCGGCACATACTAGCTGTGCCTGAGCCATTCCGACAGGTGCTACGATGGCTGTGCATACGTCCAAAGCTCAATCTTTTCTCTACCTTTCCTTCACCCATTTCCCTCCACCACTCTTTCCTTCAGTTCTTATCAGTTGCCCAATCCATCCTGTCTCAGCTCAGTCTCACCCCGAGAATCATCGCTTACAATGTTCTTCCAGGCCGACCTCCTCATCACTCGCTACTTTCCTTGTACCCGCTCCAGGACTTCGAAGCGGTCAGCCACCCCGAAGATTATGGCCGGAGGGACAATCTTTGAGGAGCGTATATCTTTGCCCCGATCAGAGCATTTGGACTGGGTACCGCAGGATAAGGAGTGAGTCATCCGATGTCTTTTTTGGCTGACGACAGTCTACTCCAAGGACCTATGCCTTCCCCTACCAACTCGCACTCCACCGACTCGGCCGCATCCCCGTATAATATGCCACAGACGGCCAGCACGTCGTACCATCCGTACCCGCCCGCTGGACCTGCCAGCCAACCTCGCTATACCCATCAGCCCCAGTACAACTCGTCTGGCGAATACGACGTTTTTCAGACCCCCACCCAGCCCCACCGGGCGGGACTCCCATACCCTCAGCCCATCATTTACGAGCAAGATCAACTCCCGCACCTTACAGCTACCTCCGGGCCCCGGTCTTACGATACCACCATCCCGCAGTACTATCCCATCATGGCGGAGCGGTCATGGTCACAGACCCCAGACAAGGCGGGGAAGCGGAAGCGGGCGGAGAAGAGCAAGGAGGCAGCCACGCCTGCTCCAGTACAGGCTGTCAAGACGCCTAAGCGGTCGAAAGGCGGGTCAGAAGAGAGGGCGGCTAAGCGGAGTAGGACGGCGAGTCAAGCCGAATCGCAATCTCAACTGCCTACACCGCCTTCGACCGGTCGGGACCTGCCCAGCGTAGGCCTGCCATCGCATCTTCAGCCGGCCAAGCCGGTCGAAGAATCCCTGCCGCCCGTTGAGGAGACGCTGGAGCCGGAGCCGAGGAGGGGGTTGAAGGTGCTTCAGTCAGAGGAGGAGGGAAGGAAGCTGGCGGTAGGGCAGGTTCTGGAAGAGGAGGAAGCGGGACAGGCCGAGTCAAAATCGCTCCGTCTCGCTCCAGCGCCTACCATCATCACGGCGAAGAACGGCTCTGCCACTCTTGAAACGCTTCCCATCCTCGAATCGGAGCTATCCTGGCTGGAGAATGCCGGTCGACCCCTCACCCCAACTCCCCCTCCTCTCGCCCTACCTACACTCCTCGACCCACCCATCTACCCCGACGAAGAAGCAGATGCCCCTGACGTCAAGGCCGAAAAGGTCAGCAAACGGCTTCGGGCGTTCTCTATCACTGCTCGTTCGGAGCCAATGACGTGCACCAAGATCGACGCATTCGGCCGGGTCGCCGTGCGCAAAGATGCGGCGCTAAAATTTCTCGGTCTCGAGGCGGCGGACTCGCTGATCGAGGAGAGGAAGGAGGAGGATGAGTGGGTAGAGTCGTCGGTAGCGAGCAGCTCGAGGGCACGAGTCAAGCCAAGCTGGCCGGATGAGCTGGCGCCGTGGTCAATCGGAGGCGGAAGGGTGAAGCGGATGAGGGAAGAGAAGGAGCGGGATGTACTGCTCAAGCGGTACATGGAGCACAGTGGGGATGAGGCATCGGACGAGGAGATCATCTACCCCTCTGTACACGGAAAGGGCAAGGGGAAGAGCATCACTCAACTCGTGCGTGTACCGGACGGAGCGGATCCGCGGCGAAGGATACGACCGGATCTCAACGTCGATACCGACGCCAGATCGGCCCTCCTCACTGCCCTACGCTATCGATCACTCCCTCCCCTCCCGGTCGGTATCGTCGCCTGCGCATGCGGAGCACGCTCGTCAAACGGCGTTAGCGCAATGGTGGTCTGCACCAATTGCCAGACTTGGCACCATACCATCTGCAACGGCGTCGACGAGCACATGATGCCCGCTCGGTGGTGGTGCCCAAACTGCGAGAACCAGGTTCTACGCTTGGCGACTCCCGCGCAAACGCCTCGTCGAGCGTATCGTCAATCGGAGGAACGGTCATCAGCTTTCAAGGGACAAGCGGACAACATCGCCCTTGCACCATCCCCAATCTTCGCATCGTCCTCACAATTCAGCCAAGCGGGACCGTCGGTGTCAACACCGGCCAATCGGGGCGGCATCGCATCACCGACAAGCCGGAACCATCGGTCTCGTATACTCAGCTACGGTTCCGACATGTGGGCACCGTTCGGGGAAGAGCCGGGAGCAGTCCAAGCCCCCACTACCCCTGTCCCCTCCGATACCCGCTTCACCACCCCTCGAATAGACGATGCCCCCTTTGACGTCACCTCTACTCCCTCGCGTCATCTCGACTTCAACTTTGGCGCTCCCTCCTCCCTCTTTGCTCTCACTCCCCTCGGCGGCCGGTCTCGCGTGACGAGCAATATGATGTCGGATACACCCCTCACGTACCGGCATCGGCTGGCGAGTCACTCGGAGAATCAGGCTATGAGCGGGCGGCATGACTTCCTACGCGATCTCGCGGGACCCAGTGCGGTCGGGCCGCCTAGTCCGTCATCTGCTGGTAGGAGAGGGCCGTCCTTATTGGGCGCCGGGTCCATCGGCTCTGCCTCCATGGGCCATAGGCGGACTTTATCGGGGAACAAGATGAGCTCGATGAGGAATAGCTCGAGAAGTGGATTAGGGCTGGGGATGCCAATAGGAGTGTCGCATGATGATGAGGATGCGGAAAGAGGTGAAGAAGCAGAAGACGTGAGTACTGGATCTGTACCGCCGGGGCTGTAGCTGATTATCAGGACCCGACCATTGACGAAGAAATATGAATGGACGCAGAACTATGCTGTCTGTACGATGTGTATGAGGCGATCTTGACGTGTGGGTAGTATTGTGGAACTTGAAGTATAGTAGCCTCGCGATAGGCCATAGCCCGCTGGGCATAGGCAGAAGAGATGCAGGTCATTGCAGTGAGGAAGTATGACGTGGCGCCATGCCGTTATTTTGCCACCCAAGACCTCCGCCGAGTTCAATTTCTGAAATTCTGCACTTGTTCACCTACAACACCTATCCATCAGCTATACACTCAAGACAAGATGGTATTGATGGACTATGAACCTTCGGCGCAGGGCCAGGAGAGCTATATTCTGTGTGCGGACTGCGGGACAGTCATCTCCAGCGCGAACGGAGCGGGTCTCTGTAAGTCCTGCCTCTCCACCTGAGCGAGGCGAACTCGGCTGATCCACTCCCAGGCGTAGGCTGTCTGCGGAACTCGATCGACATCACAGAGGGGATCCCCAAGGAGGCCTCTCTCATGTTCTGCCGAGGATGCGAGCGGTGGTCTTCCCCTCCTACAGCTTGGGTGAACGCTCAGCCCGAATCTCGAGAACTGCTTGGTAAGCTCTCCTCAGCGGTCGCGTGGTCTCAGCTTACGCTTAGCACTCTGCCTCAAAAAGATCTCCCGTCCCCTCCAAAAGGTCCGACTTATCGACGCCGCCTTCATCTGGACAGAACCCCATTCCCGCCGGATTAAAATCAAGATCACCATTCAAAAGGAGGTCCTGGCGAATACGGTCCTCCAGCAGACGTTCGTGCTCGTCTTTGTCGTGCACACTGGCCAGTGTCCGGCGTGCACCAAGCTCGCGGCGAAGAATACGTGGAAGGCGACGGTGCAGGTCAGGCAGAAGGTGACGCATAAGCGGACCTTCTTGTGGTTGGAACAGTTGATCCTGAAGCATAATGCGCACAAGTGAGTCTGGTCGTTACTGCGTAGGGGTCTGGGCTGACTAGCAGGGATACCATCAACATCAATGAAAAGCGGGATGGGTTGGACTTCTTCTACTCTGAGCGGAATTCGGCCATCAAGATGGTCGAGTTCTTGGCGGGTGTTGTGCCTTGCCGGTAAGTTGCTGTCCAGATTTGCTGGGGATTTGAGCTGACTTGTCAGAGTCAAGAGCTCGGAACAGCTCATCTCTTCGGAAAAGCAAAGTAATACGGCCAACTACAAATTCACTTATTCCGTCGAAATCGTCCCCGTCTGCAAGGACGATCTTGTGTGCCTTCCATCGTCCCAGGCCAAATCATGGGGGAACATAACGTGAGCTTGCAGTAGTGTCGATGGCCCTCTGATACACAAAGCTGACATTTAGACCATTGACAATCTGCTCTCGAGTGGGAAACTCGATGCATCTCCTCGACCCCATGACACTTCAACAAACCGACGTGACTGCACCGGTCTACTGGCGCGGACCGTTCGAGGCGCTAGCGACGGTTACCGACCTCGTCGAGTTCGTCGTACTTGACATCGAGCCATCGGGACCCGTGCGGGGCAAGTACGTCCTCGCCGATGCCCAGGTCACCCGCACCACACCCACCAACGCGGAGAATGACCAGGACGGGATGGGAGACGACGGAACTTTCCACACCCGTACCCACCTCGGCGCCATCCTCCAGCCCGGAGATACCGTTCTCGGATACCACCTCACCAAGTCCAACTTCAACTCGGACCACTATGAATCACTCGACGCCGGCCGGATCCCGGATGTCATCCTCGTGCGCAAGACATATCCAAACCGCCGCCGGAAGGCGCGTCCAAGGAACTGGAAGCTCCGGTCGATCGCCAAGGAGGCGGAGGACGTTACGGATGGCGCCAACACTCTGGGTCGAGGTGCGCTCGGACGGAGAGGTGGTGTGGACCAGAAGAATGTCGAGAGGGATTACGAGCTCTTCCTGCGGGATCTAGAAGAGGACAAGGAGATGCGCGCGGCGGTCAACTTGTACAGGCACGACGAGATCAAGAAGGATGCAGATGGGGATATGGAGATGGACGCGGCGCCAGCGAAGCCCGGGTCGGGGATGAGGGGCGGCAAGCAGCGGCGGGGCAAGGCGGCCGCGGCTATGGAGGTGGAGGAGGATCTGCAGGGCGTGCAGGACGCGGATGGGAGTGAAGCGGATGATGAGGAAGAGGATTTCCCGGAGATTGGGGTGGATGAGCTGTTGGAGCACTTTGAGGAGATGGGAATGACGGATGAGCTGGAGGGTGGAGAGGAAGTTAATTAGACTGCAATGTATCACACATTCGATGTATCAAGCTCATGACGCCTTTCTTGCGGGATATACAATCTTCGCACCTCATGAGCTCCCATACAGCCTTCGGCTCAACTCCCTCCTTATCCTTCTTCTGCGCCAATCACTCCGAAGTAGCGGTAGACTCTGTGTGCGATAAACGCAGTCGCCGCCAAGCCAGCCATATCCCTCGCAGTCTTGACCGCTCCCACGAGAGCACTTTCCCATCCTCGCTCGTGACCCGCTCAACTCGATGGGGCGCCTCGTCCTCGTACTGAACTTGAACTCGCGAGCCTCTGGTGTCGTCGAATTGTGTCGTGAGGTACCTGATGCGCCCGAGGACATCATCCGACTTGGGCCGCTGGGGCTCGCCTCGAACCCATGCCGTCCATGGCTCAACAAGATTGTCGTACTGGCTCTTGCACCCCAGAATCTCATCCTCCAGACCGCCAAGCATAGACTGTATGGAGCTCTCTGCGTTGTCCCGCGCCCCCAACCAGTACCCAGTCGACCGCGCAACAGCCGTTTCGTTGTCGGCGTACACGACGTCGCTGCGAGCGCTATCGGGAAGCGCGGACAGAGCTTGTGTGATCATGTATAGTCGATCTGCAGTCTGAGTGATAGAGGAGTCGGTGTGATATGGTTTCGTCTCGAAGTCCCAGTTGTCGCGATCCACTCCGTCCACGCTCGAGAGATAACCCTTCACTTTACGCTCGAGTTGCCTGAGCTCGCCCTGTGTCAGATTGGCGATATCGCATGCGAGCCTCAGCGCATCGAGATCCTTGAAGACAGAGAAAAGGTCTCTGGGACGCGCGAAGTTCTGTAGTGGCGAATTGGAGTTCTGGCTAGTGTGAGGGCGAACAAGATTCCTATGACCACGGATATAGGAAGTCGGTGCAGAAGCACAGTGTGTCGTTGGGCTGGTGGGCGTGACAGCCGATGTCGATCCCGCCTCTCCATTTCCCTCTCCCTCGTCCTCATCCTCGCTGTCGTCACTCGGCACTAGTCGCACTCCCGGACTAAGCGAGTGCCGATGCTCCGCTTCCCAGCTCGCAACAGCTGCTCGCTGAGCGTCAGCCAGGCGGGCGGCATTGCTCACCAATCCGTTAGTGTCGGTCTCAGGCTGTGAGCCGTGGCTGGTCTTCATCATGCTAGGCTTGTAGTGGCAGTCGCTCGTGGAATGTGAACGGACGGCTAAGGAAGGGGCCGACGAGCGGGAGGGTAAGTAACAAGGATGGAATGAGATTTATCGACAGCGGAGTACCGAGAGACCAATTCCGACAGGGTAGCACATCAATCGCTCGACGGTATTCCAGCATCCCATCCTTTTACTCCAGTCAGCGTAGCCGTACATGCCTCAGGTGAGTTCAAACGCGTATAACGTACTGAAACGTGCAGACATCCTTTCATTTCCATCCATTGAGCGCAACGCAGACCAAATGGAGCTGTCACATCAGTACTCGTGTTAGCGAACATGAGTGTATATGCGACTGCTTTAGACCTCGATCGTTCAAGCGCGAGAGACAAAGGTATGGGTACAAAAGCAGGTATCCCATCTGACGTCACCGCGCCCACGGGAAGTCCGGGAGGTGCCTTCTCGAGCTCTTGAAGCTCTTAGATGGCTTCAGATCCCTGATCATGGGCCCGTCCTACCACTCAAGTATGACGCGCCGATGATCCGACGGTGAATAGGGTCGTACCCAGGCATGGTTAGGCACGCGCTCAGGTCATGTACTTCTCCTGTGCCAGTCAGTCTTTCTTCACTTATTGATAGTCCTGTCAAAGCTCAAACCCACCTTCCATACCCAAGCGAGGCCCATGGTACTTGAGCCTTGTCCGAGCTGCAAAGTCAGCATCATTCACATCCCAATATCCAGGAGTTGCTCGAGTCGAGCTTGAGAACACTCACAGCCATCCGGTACCACTTTGCCGCCTCCTTCATATCCTTCTTGATCCCATTCCCGCCTTTAGATAACAAGAAGCCGAGTTCTGTTCGGGATCAGCGGAAGATCTCCGTGCAGACCAGACCAAAGCAGCACAGACTGAGAGACTCACGTTCTTGAGATGCAAGATCACCTAGATCACCCGCAAACCGGAGATATGACACCGCCACTTCCGAATCCTTCTTCACGCCTACGCCATCGAGGAAGCAATTGGCAACTTCGAACATGCCCAGGGAGATATCTCGCTATAATGTCAGCTTCTCTCCTCGATACACCCAAAGAGGGATCGGTAGCTCACCGCTACCGCCTTCTTCTGCTGTATGGACAGCTGTCCACTCTCGGACGATACCGGCAGCTGTACAGAGCCCTGCGCTATCGACCCATCGCACGCCGTCCGGAGCTCAGCGAATGCCTTGCGCTCATCCCGTGCCACTCCCCAGCCATGCCGAAGAGCCAGACCTGGTCTCATCAGCTACCACGGCAGCGGTCCAATAGAGCCAGAACTCACCCCAGTAGATTCGGCCTGTCATACTGCCCGCATCTGCCGCCTGACGGAAATACCATGCAGCCTTTGGCAGATCGCCCTTCCCCCTCGCCTCCACACCCTTCGCGAGCAGATCTCCCTGACTTGCATTTCGGGGATCAAGGAGCGGACTCCTCGGCGGCGCCCTGCCCGGTTCTGAAATCATCCGTCGTCTCCCATCCTCCTCGCTCCTCGCCAATGCTGACGCCGAAACCTTTGTGTAGGTGCCTTTGGGGAACACCATCTCCCCCCCTCCTGGTGTGGACGCCCGCGGGGTGTCGAACGAGGGCGAGGATGCGCCGAGCCCGTCCAGGTCATACAGCGAGAATGCGTTGGACTGGATGGAAAGAGCCGAGTTGCGCGAGTTGTGGCCTTTGATACGGGAGAAGACGGGTCCTGGGAGCGGGGATGGGTCGCGGACAGGCATCATCGTAGGCGCCTGGGCGGCCCCTTGACGGAGCTGCCGCTGAGGTTCCTGGGCGCGGATATTTGGGAGGGAGGTCTGGACAGGTATGGCTGGGCGCTTTGAGGTGGGTGGCGGGACAGAGGGACCGTCAGGTCTTGTACCCGATTGTGATGGTTGGACAATGGTGAGAGGGGGCTGAGTGGGCTGACGGGGCGATCCGGGTCCGGGAGGGGGTGGAGGTGCTGCCCGCCTGGGCATGATGATATGCTGCTTCTTCAACTTCCGCCCCCCTACTACATGCCCGTCGCCTGCAGCTCCGCTTCCACCTGAGCTAAAGCCAGGGACCGCCTCGCGGAGCTTGGCGAACCGTTTCCCCGGGCTCAGCCCCAACGCCACCCGCTCGGGTTGATGCCCATTCAAAGCCGCCGGGGCGCCATCCGTATCCAGCCACTCGAACCCCGCTTCGTCGTCTCCCCATTCCGATCCTTGCTCCCCATGAACACTCTCCCAATCCTCTAGCCCGATGCTCCGCCGTTGGGGATGTTGAGCGGCGATCTCGCCTCCGCGCGTGATCGAGTCGGCGCGTCCGCGTGCGGGCGACGTAAAGACGTCCTGGTGCGTTTCGGAGAGGAGACGCGAGGTACTCGTGGAGGGACCGGGACCCGCTTGAGACAGTTGAGCCAAATGGACAGGGTCCAGAGGAGGAGGATTGACGTGGCCCTGACGAGACCGGACAAAGAAGGATCGTCTCGGCGTCGTTTGCCCCGCCGATAGGTCCTCCGCTGAGCGCGTCGCCGCTTCCTGCGCTAAAGTAGCTGTAACGGGAGGACCGAGATCAAAATAATGTGCCCGCTCCGCCTTGGGTGTTGTTGGCGTCTCGACCCGCGCGGAGAAGTCTATCGGCGCAGGCAAGGGGGGTGAGGGTGGGGTGTCGGACCCAGAGCTGGACCCGGCGTCTGACGGAGGGAAGAAGGTGCCAGTTGCATGGTCCTCCGAGGAGGTGTCGAAGGAGGAGAAAGTGTTGACGGAGGATACCGAGTAGACCGAGTTGGAGCGGAAGAGGTTAAAGTCTAATGCTGGGACCGCTTGGGCGCTCGGTTGTGCAGCTGGCCGGCGCGATGTGGACGGGCCCGCTTCTGGATCTTGATCAGGCTGCAACGATCAGCTAAATTGAGAGCGGGCGAACAAAAGGGGCGGCTTCGCGAAGACAGAAGGGAACGTACCAAAGCATTGGCCATGCTCCGTACTTGCGCAAGGGGGCTCCTGAAATCCGCGGCGTGCAACACCTCCCCAGCAGATGACTTTTGTCCCAAACGTCTTCGCTCAAGAATGGTAGACATCGTGACCCCTTTGGTGTGCGCTCCAGGTCCCACTGAGATGAAAGCTATAGCGACGAGTAAAGTAGATAGGACAATTGAGCTTTGTTGACAAAGCGGAGATGATAGGTTTTGGTGGCGACAGGCTAGTGAGGGGAATGTGGGGTAATGCGGGGAATTAGACTTTGCTGCCGGCTGTGATCAAGGGCAGTGACACTGAAGAGGACTTGAAGAGGACAGAGGACGTGTGCGGGCTGGCCTGGCAGCGGGCAGGACAGCTTCCTTGGGATCAACAGTGTCTCGGAAGGAGGCAATGACAAGCGAAAACATGGCTGCCAAAGGATCCATCAGGCCGCCCCAGCTCACACTCGCTCAGCGAAGGGGAACCCACGCCACACGCTTTGCCACATCTATGCTCTCCTCACTTGCTCCTCTCGGCTCTGCGAGCTCACGTCAAGTGCGATGGCCACTGGCGCTGCGATCATCGAGGGTCGTCCGCAGCTCCTCTGCGCTACCCGCCATATGCCGTGGTGGACGATCATCTATGCATCTCTGACGGCGGTGTTACGTTTCAGATCCGCTCGCGTGAGCCCCTGCGCGCCGGGAATCCCCTCTAAGCGATGCCATCAAGCTTATCGGCAACGGATCTTGCTCGCCTCCCGCGCACTGCTCTCCACCTACGTCAGTCGCTCCCAATGCACAGCATATCATAGCCTATAGACTGGGTGAAGGATGGTCCGAGTGGGTGGGGTAAAAGTCAAAACAAACAGATCGGTTTCGAAAGACGGAAGCAGATTTCACAACATGCATATCCTCGTGCTGCGACGCGCTTTTCAACCTTTGCTTTGACATTCATCACAGTGGCCATCATACATCATCACACCTAGCACTACTATACAGACACAGCAGCTTGGAGTGTAGCTCTCCAGGTTTAGCATTCACGACGCGCTCAGCATCTCCGCCTGCTGGTCCCTGTCCGTCGCCTCGGGGAATTCCTCCAAATTTCACCTCAGGGACAACAACAAATTCACATTCCGCACGGGATCCATATCTCGCGCTCCTCTTGATCCTCACCGAGCACTACTATCGCTGCTAGCGATCTCAGCTAGACGCGCTCCCATCAGCCATGTCCCTCGGTCGTCCAGCGACCAAGGTCGCGCCGCCGCAGAAGGTCATCAGGGCGCTCGAGTCGCATCGGTCGACGAACCCTCAAGAGCTCAGCTATCAGAAGGGGGACTTCTGGTATGTGACCAGCGAGAGAGATGGGTGGTATGAGGCATTGAGTGAGTGATGAGTCGCTTCTGCGAGGGCCGGAGCTATGCTGTGTTGCTGGTCTGGCGAAAGGCAAGGACTGACGGTGTAGATCCTTTGACCGGGTCAAGAGGTCTTGTCCCCCGGCAGGACTTTGAGGAGTTCAACAAGGGTGGAATCAACAAGAGTAGCACAAGACCACCAAGTCAGGAAGCTAGGTGAGCTGTCTCGAGGTCTAGATGGGGAATCAAGCTGATAGTCAGCCGTTCAAATACACCAAATACGGGCCCAGCCCATCTGTCTATGTCGAGCAATTCAAGATCACCGCCTACGCAGACGGTATCGCCTGCCGATCCTGTCAAGCGTCAACCGTATGTCCCGGTGTTTAGGTCGTGAAGTCGGCTAAAGGTCAGACTATATGCGATTGTGCAATATGACTTTGCCGCAGAGCGACCAGACGAGCTGGATGCGAAGGCAGGCGAGCCTATCGTTATCATCGCGCAGAGCAATCATGAATGGTGAGCTATACCTCGTTTACGGGCTATGATCCTCTCCTGACCTTCAGGTTTGTCGCTAAGCCCATTGGCAAACTCGGCGGTCCCGGTCTCATTCCCGTCGCGTTCGTTCAAATACGAGACACCGTCACTGGCAAGCCCGTCGACAGAATACCAGACTCCATACCTCTCGTCGAGGAGTGGAAGAAGCAAACAGCCGACTACAACGCGGCCAAGATTCCTCTCGGACGCTTCGACTTTGCAGGCAGCAACTCTAGCGTCACGGACTCGCCCTACGCCCAATCGTCCAGTTCAGGCGGGCGGAATAGCCAGCAGATGCCGCGCAGCGGATCGCAGTCGTCGCTGTCGATCCCGCAGTTGAAGGGGAAGAATGGCAGCAGGGGCAGTCAAGGAGCGGTCAGGAGTCCTCTCTATCGTCCCGAGGTGGACCCACACCTACCTCCAGGCCGGCTGACGAGCCTATCGGTCCCCTCCTTCCACAACGAATCCGGCAACTACTGGTTTCGACTGCAGGTCACCTTCCTCCCCGACGATCCATCTGGACCCGGCTATACCCTCACGCTCTATCGCACGTACGAGGACTTTTACGAATTCCAGATCACCCTGCTGGATACGTTCCCGTACGAGGCGGGTCGGCAATCCGCGGATCGGCCAGACTCGTCACCGCCAGAACGTATACTGCCGTACATGCCGGGACCGGTCGAGGAGGAGATTGACCACGAGTTGACCGAGTATCGGAGGGAGGAGCTGGATGCATACGTCCAGGCTCTGATTGACTTGGGCGATAGGGGAAGAGATGATCTTTTGCGGCATGAGCTGTTCAGGGCCTTCTTTGCGGCCAAATACGGGGACTACTGCGAGGAGGTGGCGAGGACGGATGGCGGTGCCGGTGGGGCGGAAGGGGTCGAGGAGCTGGATGAGCGGATGGGCGGGATGAATTTGAGGGAGAATGAGGGATACGGAGCCAACGGACACGCGAGGGGACCATCGCCGTCTCAATCCCGTGTTGACTCGGGATCGAGCTACGATCGTCGATCGGGCGGACCGTCGCAACCGCAGCCTGGACCGAGCCGGAGTGGCTCGTCCAGAAACCCTTCGCCTCTCCCGCCGATCGACACAAGTCGGCCCTCCTCCTCCGGCTCGCAAGCCTACCCTGCCTCGGCGCACGTTCGCCAACCCTCCTCATCGGCCCACTCACACGGGCACCATTCACAACAGCAACACTCCGCCACCCCCTTCTCTGCCGGTCCCTCCACCGGCGCATCCTCCTCCTTCTCTGGTCCCGCCGGCCGCGCAAGCGGAGGTGCCAACCCACCACCATATATCAAAATCAAGATATATGATCGGTCGACGGACGACCTTATCGCCATCCGCGTCCATCCGGACGTCAACTATACGGAGCTGTTTGACAAGGTGCGAGCGAGGTTGGGGAATGAGATCACGGTGCTGCGGTACAGGACGGGTATGGGGAGTGGGGTCAATCCGGCCAATGGGGGCGGGTATGAGGAGCTGAGGGATGACGACGAGTTGAGATGGTGGTTGAGCAAGGAAGATCAGAAGATGGTACTTTACGCGGAACAATAGGAGGGGCGGGACGCAGACGAGGGCAAGAGGAAGAAGATTGAAAGAGGAACTTTCGCTAGATTAGCTTGCTCGACTTTTGGGTTTACATCATTGCATGTACTGTCGTCACGCATGTTGGCTATGCGGTGTTGGGTCTGGAGCGCTGTCTGACCGGCTGACCCTTTCATATCGCCATGAAACGGCCTTTCGCAGTCTAGACTAGTCTGGTTGGGTTTCATAGTGGCGGGGATAGCCGGTGGGTGGGCGGTGGCCGAGGTGGCTTGGCTTTCGGCAGCGATGGCCGACGCGATGACGGCGCGGACTGTTCTGGAATGCGTCGACAACCCTTGTCTCTGTCTCTCCCTCCTTGATACCTTCCACTTCAAGACCCCCTTTGTAATCATATCATATCATATCCCCATCATCCCCATATCTGCTTGTAACATCTATCATACACCTCATCTTGTACGTAGCGCAACACCCAGGAACCGATACCGACAACTCGCTTAGTCAGGCGATAACGTTCACGCCACTCTCGTGATCGATAACCATGTCGTCCCCTCCCGGCCCTCCCCCTCCTGCTGGCGGGTCTCCACCGTCTGACGCATCTGGCGCAGTCCCAGAAGCGCGGATCGAGATGAGCTTCTTCGTGCCGTTCCCAGGCGGTAGCCCCGGCGACGGGGAGGCTCCACCATCAGCTGAAGGAGGATCGGGCGGCGGAGAGGCGGGCCCAGGTCCAGCGCATCAACCGGGAGGCATGGTCTGGACCTTCCACCTGCAGCCAGAACGAGCAGCATCGCCTCCGGTCGCTGGACCTTCCGCTGGCGGATCATCCCACCCACCTGCCGCATCCTCATCAGCATCACCTCAGCCGTCAAGTTCGGCACGCCCTACCCCGCCATCTGGTCAAAGGCTATCCGGAGGCCTTCCTTTCAGCGGACCTCTCAATCCACCGACACACCCTCTATCCTTCTCTTCCCTTCCACCGCCACTGCCACTATCACCACACCTCGCAGCCCTCTTCCCGCGCGCTTCGGGCCAGGCGGGATCATCAGCAGGACCACCGGGTCCGAGCGGCGGTGCGGCAGCTCCCGGAGGTGCGGGGAATCCTGGCCCATTCGCTTCTTCCATGGTATTCATGGTTCGCCCAGACGGCTCGGTCGGTCACATGCCACCTCATGGCGCTCCTGCACCTGGACACCCCGGCACAGGTCCAGCTGGACCCGCTGGGGCTATATTCGCGATGCCCCCGCAGGGCTTCATGTTCCCCTTCCATCTCGCTGGAGCCTTCGGCGGCGGTGCTCCTGCGCCCGATCCAGAGAAGGCCAAGGAGCTGCTCACGTCGCTCCCAGAGGTGGAAAAGGGGTTGATGAAGCGGGTAGACCGGATCTATGCGGCGGAGAATGTCGAGGAGGGCGCGTGGAAGTGCGGTGTCTGCCTCGAGGGGTGGGAATCAAGCTCAGAAGATGGCGACGTTAGCGCGGGGAAAAAGGATGCGGAGGCGGATGAGGGAACGGGCGTGAAGCGGCTGCCATGCAACCACCTCTTCCACGGGGAATGCCTGCAGCCTTGGTTTGAGACGAAGCATACTTGGTGAGTATCGCCCATATTCAAGATGCGAAGTTGGGAGCTCATCACGCAGTCCTTCATGTCGACTAGACCTCGATCCCGGGCGGACTTTACGACCCTCAACCGGCGGCTCCTCTCTCCGAGCTCGTACTTTCGCACTCGGCGGACGGGAAGCGAGACAAAACCAGCAACATCCTTATCGACCTCCTACTGGTGCAGCTGCCGCATCTGGCTCAGCTGCGGCAGAGTCAGCACCCGATGAGCCCCCGGCTCAGAGAGCCAGCGGTATGTCCGCCGAGGAGGAGAACCACTGGACGACGACCGTCAATATGTTTGTTGACATGGCGGCCGATGCGGCGCATGGCGCACTGGGCGATGCTCTGGCAGCCGGCGGACTACAGCCTATACTAGGGGATGAGCATCTGACTGGCGAGCCTTCCCCATTCCCCTCCGCCGAGGCGTCTCCTGTTCCTCGCTTCGCGTCTTTCGGGCGTCGGACCGGCATCATGCCCCGCATACAGTCGCCCGCCGGCGGATCGTCCGCTTCTAGCGCGCCTACACCAGCTAGTGACCCACACCATCATCATCACCATCACCACGTCCACCATCATCATCTACCCCAGCATGTCCCCCCTCCTCACTTCCACGTCCACCGACACGGCCCGATACCCGCTGGACCCAGCGCCGCCGCCCCAGCAGCTTCGTCAACCGATTCAGCACAGCGGACACACCACACGGACAGCGCCTTCATCCCCACCAGCTTCCCCGTTCCCACTCCCGACCGCCAAAACCCTCCCGCTGCCGGTCCCGACGCCTCGGCTATCCTTGAGGGCTTCACTCAAACCTTCAACGAGAACCCCTTCACCTTCCTCTTCCCCGTCGGTGGAGGCGGACCTGCTGCGCCCCCCAGTCGGACAGCCCCATCCACTGCCGCTCCACCGGTCAAGCAGATCCCGCTGGAGAAGTGGGTGCAGAATCACGAGCGCGCTCTGGGATGGTGCTGCGACTCGGCCGCCTGCGGGATCGCACCGACCAACGAGGAAGGGGATGCCTTTGCCCAGATGGCGGTGAAGGATAGACCGAGGGTGCGGGATCTGATCGGTGTGAGGGGGTGCAAGCATGCGTATCATGCGCCTTGTATCCCCGGTGCGGTCAGCGTTGTGCCCGAGGAGGACGGAGGCGAGGTGGCGGAGGATGAGGTGAGGGTCAGGTGTGGGGAGTGTGAGCAGGTGGGGACGATGTTTAGGTGGGACGCGGAGGGGTGGGACGAGGAGGATATCGTAGAGGTCACCTGCTAGAGGCTGAGTACATCCCAACACGAGACGCAGATCATGCAGCGCACGCTTCCGACTTCTGCCGACACTTAACCCTTGACTGACGGAAGGCGCCACTGGATACACACGATTATGGACTTCTTCAAGAACAACGAATTCCAGCATCCTTTGGCTGCGTCAGCGGACAGAGGGGTCGCCGGGTGTGAGGCAGAGAAGCAGCGAAGAGAAGCTGACCCGCATTGGTGAGCACACTATATAAACCAGGCTGGACCGCCCTTTGGCCCCTCAGCAAACGACAACAAGCTCACAAACCAGGAGTTCGCTATGCCTCAACAGTACCCCGTGAGTCGATTTGTGCTCATACGCGAAGCACCATAGCTGACCCTCGATCAGCTTACCAGGCAGCAGAAGATAGATATTCTGGAGTATCTCAACAACATCACGCCCAGCAATGTCACCGTCAGCACCAATGCGGCAGATTGGGAGCACTGGCACGGAACCACTCCCAGTGGCATGTCCAACTGCCTATACTCCATCGAGTCCATGATTGATTCGGACGGCATGCACCAGGTCAAAGTAATGCCCCGCACACCCATCAGGACTCGGGTCTCGCTCGAGACACCAGTCAGTGTTATCATCGCCGAACTGATCAGGCAGGTTCAGGCACTCTGAGTAAAGCCCGTAAGTTGTTAATCGACTTGCAGTGCCGACCCTCAGTGTTGGACTTTGCTACATCGGGCGTTTCACGATGGAGTCACGAGGAAGGATGGATATGGCGTTCATACACAGGCTAGCAGCGCCAGCGCGGCATGTACATTTTGCTACGTTATCTGCTGCAAGCTTCCCTAATGTGCGATCTAATACCCGTATAGTCCCCACTCAGGGTCCTCCTCGTAGGCCGCGCGCTCCTTCGGTGTAAGGGTGCGTTTCCATCTTGCACTCTTACTGTACCGCCAAAGCCGCGCTGTATCGACCGTCTCGCCTATCGCCCCCGCCTGCCTGCCCAGATGAGCTTGAGCAACGAGGCCTACTGCACCCCTCTCATCCATGGATTGCTTCGCCCGGCGCCATTGCTCGTCCGTCTCGTCGGCGTGTCGCAGCCGGGTGCAGGCGAAGTCGATCGCGACGAGTCGATAAGTTGGGGAGGGGAAGGTAGGAGAGGACGAAGAGGTATGAGGGGTATCGCTGTTCGCCGCCGCTAGAACGTCAGCTCTGATCCGTGTCTTTGCCGCGTTCAAATACGACTTACGACAAGAGACCACTAGCACGTTCTCCAGTCTCGCATCCCGATTGAGTACGCTGAACCCATCGAGCCGATCCATGACCGCGACTGCTTGATCGCAGACCGCTGAGATGACCGCGTACAACGGAGGATTGGTGAGAAGGGCTGCATCGAGGAACTCTTTGAGAGTGATGGCAGGGAAGTATTCAAGTATGAGACCGTTGGCGACAAAGGGTGGGAAGCTGTCTGCGCCACCCAGTCCGCCGAATGTGTTGGACGACGTATACCGTATCGACCCGTAGAGCTTCGGGATGTGCGTGCCCTGGACCTCGCGCATATCCTCATACGCCCGCCTCTCGTCCACAAAGAACCGCTGAGAAGCCTCCTCGAGACACGCCTCTATCCCGCCGTCATCTCCTTCCCTTCCCAGTTGTCCTATACTCTTCTCCTCCTCTGATGCATCCCGCGGCTCCAGCAGATACCGCTGATACGCGGCCTCTTTCGCCGCCGAATACGGCCGGTCCTTGTCGAACCGGTGTCGAGTATTGGTATCGTACCGCCGGTCGTAGATCTTGACGACGCAGATGGAAGGTAGGGATGGAGGAAGGGGGGAGCACGTTGGACTGTGGATGCGGACTTGGAGGACGACCGAAAGGGTAAAAGGGCTATAGGCGTGCAGGATTTCGAGTTTAAGATCGATCTCGCTGCTTTCCCCGGCTTTGTCGCCCGATGACGAGATTTGTGCTGGGGTGTATCTGACGCACAGGCGCTTGCCAATATCGTAGTCTCCCATGGCTGGTAGATGAGCGAAAGCTGAGAAAGAAGGTTGATTTGAAGAAGAAGCAATAGGGTGTGTGCCTAACGCACACGCCCCGCATGCGGTCACCTGCCCGCTCGGACCTCCAAAGGATGTGGGCCGGAACCTGTGGCTTGGCGCCTCGATCCTTGATCGACTCTGATGCCTCTGTGATGATGTATCATTGAGCCATCGTGATGTGCGGCAGGTGTGGCTAGGCAACAAGGTAGTTAAGTTAGGTACAAGATACCACTTAAGTGGGGGGAAGTTGCTGCTGAAGCGCTGAGCAGCTGAGGAATGAGGCGCAAAATCTCGGCGGCAACGTTTAATGACGTAGTTATGGCGGTGAACTGCGAAAGTAGCGAGTCGGAGCTGGGGATGAGCGTCACAAAGGTAGAGATGATGGTATATGTATATATGCTCGACTGGGACTGTGACCGATGATATCTGACTCTCGAGCATATCCCATCCCTATTGCTGACCGGCCGCCTTGGACAGTCCCCAATGACCGTCTGTCTGATACGCCTTCTGCTCCTCCTTACTCAACTCCCGGTACCAACGCCTATTGGCCCTCACATTCTTCCACAGCCCCGCCTTAGCAGTCTCCGACGGCCGCGCCCTTGCGAGGCTCGCCAGAAGCTGGCTGATGTGACAGCCGATGACCTCTTGCTCTGATTGGTTCTCCTTCGCCCGCCGCCATTGCTCGTCCGTCTCGTCTGGAAAGCGGAGTCTGCTGTAGGCGAAGTCGATCGCGACGCAGCGAGATGGACGGATGGATGAGGGAGAGAGTTCCGGTTGGGAAGCGGCTACTAATCAGCTCAAGTGATGGGCGATCAGAACGTTATGGACGGACTTACCGTCAGAGACAACCAGTATGTTTCGCATTCCGCAATCCTGGTTCAGGACTTTGAAATTATCGAGACGGTCCATGAGCTTTATCACTTGGTCGCAGACGTCTGAGATGTAGTCGTAGGGGATGGGATCCGATTGCATAGCTGCCGTCAGGTACGCCTCGAGAGTTGTCGAGGGGATATGTTCAATGAGGATTCCGTTGACTCCGTACCGGATAGGCGAGGGAGTTCCGCCGACCGGGGAGGATGATGGGAGGGGTGCCGCCAAGCGATAGCGTACCGAGCCGTATAGTGTCGGGATGAGCGTTCCCTGCAATTCCGCCAGATCCCCGTACGCCCCCATTTCCGCGATATACTGCTTCTGGCAGGACCGCTCAAGGTACGCCTCCACTCCTCCCTCATCCTCCTCTTCGGACAGCTGCCAGATAGTCTTCTCCTCGATGGAAGGATCTGCGACCGCCGCCTGGAGGAACCGCTGGTACGCGGCTTCCTTCGCCGCCGAGTAGAGACGCCCGGCGTCGAAAGTCTCGCGCGCATTGATGGCGTAGCGGCGGTCATACAGCTTGAGGACGCATGTCTCCGGCAGACCACCTACAGGCGGGGATGTTGAGAGTGAAATGATCCGGACCAAACATACGACCGACGTGGTGAACGGTGTGTAGGCGTGCAGGATCTCAAGTTCGAGATCGATCTCGCTCCTTTCCCCGGGGTTGTCCCCGGCCGATGAAGAGGTATGAGCTGGGGTGCATATGACGCGCAAGCGCTTGCCAATTTCGTACTCGTCCATCTTGAAGATGTGAGCTGATGGTCGGAGCAGAAGGTTGACGATGGCGAGAAAGAAGCAGGGGAGTTGTGTGCGCTGCACACGCGTGATTATTCCCGCCCGGACCGATGGATGATATCTTGGGGCTTGCAACTGCTCGCGCCGGAGAGAAGGATTACCACTATGCGAGTAGGCCGTCTCATCGTGGGGTCTTCATTCCCTACTAGCATGCCAGAAGTGGACACGACATGCACAATCGCGATCAGCTTCATCAGATGTGGGTCGCTGTGTGCTAAGTGGGGGGATCTTGAGGCGTGAGGAATGAGGTGCAAACTGGTGCAAACTGTGGCAGTGCTGTGGATTGACTGTGGACGTCCGCCGCTGAGCGACCGTTTAGAAACCCTTGGGTCGCGCGATGTAATGCTTCATGATAATGCGTGCACATACGTGACTAGAGTAATTCTCATCTCTATCGTCTCTACCACTCTCGAATTGCCCGGAAAATTCTACGCCTTTGTGCGAGCCTCTAAAGTCTCGCCTCCCTCTCTGCCGCCCTCATCCATCTCATCTGACTCGTCTGAAGCGTCCCCACCCACACTCCTGTCCTCCTCAGCCAACTTGCCCGCATACAGGCCCCATTCGTCGTCTTCGCAGTAGACCTCGTACTCCTCCTTGCTGAGTGTCTGATGCCATCTCCTGCTTGGAACGTAGGTCCAGATCCTCTCCCCATCCACCGGATCATCCCTGAGCTTGCCCTCGTTGCGCAACGTCACACGTATCACGCAGCCGATCGCCCCTTCCTCATCCAGCTTCTCCTTGGCCCGTCGCCACTCCTCGTCCGTCTCGTCATGGTACCGGAGTCGGGTGCAGGCGAAGTCGATGGCAGTGCAGCGAAAGGCGGTGTGAGGTTGCAGCGGAAAGGGGGAAGAGTAGAAGGTCTTGGAGTCATCCTTGGCTGGGGATGTCAGTCTTGACCCTCCTCAGTGAGGCATTCTGCAAAGCACTCACAAACTGCAGACACCAATACATTCTCCAGTCTCGCATCCCGATTGAGCACGTTGAGTCCGTCGATCTGATGCACGAGCGCCATTGCCTGGTCGCAGACAAGTCGGATGTTGTCGTATAATGGCGGTTCGTTCCGCATAGCTGCCTCGAGGTATCGACGGAGCGTAGAAGATGGAATGTGCTCCAGGATGCGACCGTGTGCGGTGTAGCGATAGTCCGAAAGCTCGCCCGTATCGGAGGGAGGAGGTACCGGTGAGGTGTACCGGATGGTCCCGTATAGCGAGGGGATGTGCGTCCCCTGCAGCTCGCGCATCTCCTCATACGCTCGCATCTCGTTCCTCATCATCCTCCTGCATCCCTCCTCGATCTTCGCCTCATATTCCCCGTCCCTCTTGCGTGCACGCCGAGTGATCCAGATGCTCCTGGGCTTCTCCCGGGTCGTCTCCGCCAGATACCGCTGGTGTGCGGCCTCCCTTGCCGCCGTGTAGGGCGATTCTTACCCGTAGTAATTGCGTGTATTGTGCTCGTACCGCCGGTCGAAGAGCTTCATGATGCAGGTTGAGGGAAGCCCGGGAGGCAGAGAGGACGTCGGGGCGATGGGGTGGATGACGACCTTGCAGATGACCGAGAGCGAGAAGGGTTGATAGGCGTGGATGATCTCGAGCTCGAGATCAGCCTCAGGGACGGAGTCTGCATCGGCACCGGTGGCTCGAGGGCTGTAGCGTACCAGCAATCGTTGACCTGAATTGTACTCGCCCATGTCCAGCGACGGGGTAGGCATTGTAGGCACGTTGAGAAGAATGCTGAATGAAGGCGGGGTGATTGGGTGGAAGCCGGGTTTGGGAGATTCGCTGGTATTCGATTCTGCGTTGAACTCGTCCTACTTATATATGAGGTGTCGGAACCGAAGGGAGCCGTTACAAGTCAGTGCGTTCTCGGTGAGTAGAGCATTAGGCAGTCGACCGAGTCTTGACCGAGTCGTGCAGAATCTTGACCTTCGGATCCGGCGTACCTTACCGCTTGCGAGTAATCCCGGTTGCTGCAGTCCGAAGATATCGCTTATCTTGCCCGTAATGGGCCCACGAGCGTATAGTCCTGCTCGAGTGCTATAGGGCCGCCTCTTAGAGGTCCATGCTAACCGCCTCTCTACTTGTAAGTACAGAGCTCGAAGAGAATGGCTCGAATGGACCCATGCGAGCGATTCGGGTGAGACCGACGGAGGAATGCACCGGCCGGGTCCACCTTGGACGATGGCTATAAGTAGCTCCCTTTAGCTCCCTTATCTACTCATCGATCGTACATATCACTCCCCCATCATGCTCCTCTCAGCCGTCCTTCTCCCACTCCTGCCGCTGATCGCAGCGCTGCAGCTCCCGCACTTTCCTACCTCCCCACAGCAAGCTCTCCAGGCCGCCGATGCGTTCCTCCACTCCGGCTCGGCCGCGACCCACCTCAGCCCAGCGAGCGATATCTCGCTGGCAGACCTCAAGGGAAGCGAGGAATTTGTCACTCTGACATCGGCGAGGCATCCAGGTCATTCGGTACGGATCAAGGAGACGACGGGATGGTGTGATCCCGATGTCCGATCGTTTACGGGTTATCTCGACGTCTCGCGAGGTGATGGAAGAGACCTCTTCTTCTACTTCTTCGAGTCGAGGAGCAAGCCTAAGGAGGACCCAGTCATCATGTGGATCAACGGTACGCTTCTACCAGCCTCACTCGTAAGGTTGATAAGCTAACCAGAGTAGGAGGACCTGGCTGCAGTTCCGCTCTCGGATTATTCATGGAGCTCGGACCCTGCACCGTGAACGACAAGCCTAAGTCCGCGAACGACACCACCACCAACCCGTACTCTTGGAATCAGAACGCAAATGTTTTCTTCCTTGACGAACCCCTCGGCGTCGGGTTCAGCCAGGGCGAGCACGGGCAAGCGGTCAAGACTACGGAAGAGGCAGCTATGGACGTTCAGGCGTTTGTCCAGATCGTAGGTCCCCAGCTGCCTGGATCGACAGGGAAGAGCTGACAGTCAGTTCTTTGATACCTTCAAGGAGTATGAAGGAAGGGACTTCCACATGGCTGGCGAGTCGTACGGTGTAAGTCTTAATTCCTAGCCCCTGGAATACCGCGCTGATATTCCAGGGCCGTTATCTCCCTGTCTTCGCTTCCGCTGTTCTGGACGGAAACAAGGCTCTCAAAGCTGCAGACAAGAAGCCGATCAACCTCAAGAGTGTGATGATTGGGAACGGTATTACGGACTTTTGTAAGCTTGGTCTCTTGTTGACGCATCCCGTTGAACCAGCAGCTGATGTGATAGTCACCACTACTGAGTCATACTACCCCTACGTGAGCTGCAATGTCTCGCATATCCAGATCTGAGCTGATGCGAATAGCAATGTCAGACCCAGCTCGGCCGTGATGAGCCCGTGCAGCCAATCGGCGAGTGCGTACGCATGGCAGAGGCGGTATGTCCACTTCCGCTATTTAGGGTTCATGCGCTGATGTACAGGTACCAAGATGCCACGAGTACACCAAGAAGGGCTGCCTCGACTCGAGCGACTATGTCAAGTGCAGCATGGCCATTGAGTACTGCGAGGAGACTATTGGCGGATCCTTCGTTTCTGCAGGCGTCAACCCGTAAGCAACTCACCACCACCATGTATGCTATGCTGATGTGCAGGTACGACATCAGCAAGCCCTGTACCCTCGAAGAACTGTCCGACTCGCTTTGCTACCCCGAAACGTAAGCTGTCTTGCCTGCGAAAAGGGATTCAAGCTGACTCGTGTAGCAAGAAGATCGGGCACTACCTCAACCTCCCCGACGTCCGCAAGACGCTCGGCGTGGACAAGGCTCACGGCCCCTGGTCTTCATGCGACAACCTGGTCGGGACCAACTTCCACGCGTCGCTCGACCAGGTCGGCAAGACTTGGCTGTACGTCTCCAACTTGCTGGAGCGGGGTGTACGGATCCTGAATTACGCCGGTGAGTTCGCCTCGTCTGTACCGTCTAAGCAATTAAAGAGAGGCCTGAGCTGATGTGATAGGCACCTACGACTTCATCTGCAACCATGTCGGAAACGAAATGTGGATGGAGCGCCTCGCTTGGTCTGGCAAGAAGGGGTTCAACAATGAGAGCCTCACCGAGTGGAAGGTGGACGGAAAGGTCGCCGGAAGCTACAAGTCATACAATAACCTTTCGGTGGGTCATCTCTGAGCGGTACATCCGTTGGAGGGTTGTTTGCTAATTCGTCCAGCTTCTCAAGGTCTACTATGCCGGGCACATGTGAGTCATTCCAGAGTGTGATATGCTGGGACTGTCCAGCTGATCATCAGGGTTCCGCTCGACAAGCCCAAGGAGGCATTGGCGATGCTCACTTCATGGCTCGGAGCCAAGTCGTTCGCGGCGTAGAAGCGTACATTACATCTGTCATCAAAGTCGATATAGTCTAAACATGATGTGAAACTCAATTCACCTGTTCAGCTAGGCGTGTATATCGGTACATTTGCTTTCTGACTGTCTGAGGCGCTATATTACATACTGGACGGCGACCCTCCCCGACACAGCGGCCAGCGCTTGACAACGGCCAGCCTAGATACCTCATCTGGATCCTCGCATCTGCTTCGCAGCTTGAACATCACGCCATCTCCCCCGCCCGCTCACGCCCCAGCTTGACCCGTACGTCCCAGTGCCCCGTCCGCGCCGTCCAGAGCTTGGTGCCTGCCGCTCGGGTATGACGAAGGCGGTAGAGCTGAGCGAGAAGTAGGATCTGACTGATCGCGAGGGATGAGACGGCGAGGCCATATGAGATGGGCAGGAGGACTGCTGGGTCAGCTTTGCGGGCAGTGAGAGAAGCGTAGCTGGAAGAAAGACTCACCAAGCTCTTTGACGAGCCGAGCGGACAGGATCTGGAAGATTGTCATTGCTGATGGAACGCAGTCTAGGTGGGTCAGCTACACGTACTTACACGCACTGACCACTAGGGGGTAACAGGGGTCAACTCACACGCCCACCCAGCCAGCGCCAGCGTCCCCATCACCACCTCCGACCCTGTCCTGGTATAGACGTGCCCTCCTTCCGCCGCCTTTGCATCATCATCCACAATGTCTGCCTCCACCTCAAGCCCCGCCTTCTCGTCCACTGCCTCCGCTCGTGCTGCATACGGAGCAGGCGCCAGATCCGCCAATTCGAAGAGGATGAAGACCTTCCAGAGGAGGGTGAGGAAGGTCATGCCCGAAAGGAGCTTGACTGCGCGCGACAGCTCGGGGTACGCTTCGAACAGCTCGCGCGCTATTTCGTCAGCTTTGCTATGCAATACGGCGTGAGAGGATTGAGCTTACGGGCGACGGCCATGGTGACCAGTATGACGTGGGCGAAGATGAGCAGCGAGCAGATCGTGACGGATCGCAGGGTTGAGCGAAGCGCCAAGAAGGTTTCGTCGAGGCCGAACATGGCTGATGGGTTCGTTTGATTTTGATCGAGAAGAATCGCGGATGACTGGAGTATTGCACAGGGTACGATTAGTGAACGAGTATATGAGTAAGTAGAGGAGTATGTTAGATGGACGGATAGAGCAGTGCATCATCGCTTTGACGCTCTTGGAGCCAAAGGACATCCTTGTAACTTAGCACTGGAAATGAAGGGTGAGGGGAATCAAGGTTATCCAGACACACACACAGACTTCTTGCTCACTCCACCCTTTGCCCAATCCTTCTGGTCCGCCTTTGACCTTCGATGACGGCGGTATCCCTTCCGGCTTCGACAGGGCTAGATGCGTCAGAGCGAGACGCCATCAAGCCGGCCATAACAGGCTCTGCTCCTGCAGGAAAGCACGAGTATGGTCGATGCTGTGAGGATGCAAGGATGATGATGCACGGACGACGGACGACCCGCACCGACGTTTCAGAGTCTAGGTGTTTCGCCGCCAACACGATGCTAGCGCGTCCCTCCGTGTATAAGCGTTTCAGGTTTCCTTTGATCGAGATCAGATCACTTGATCGCTTGTCCAGGATGCAGGGTGAATGAGGCGTGCGATTCATCATGATAGAGTCTGTCAGCGCCGAGTTCCAGATCAGATTGGGGAGATCGTTTGGATTTGCGCCGAGGGCAGCAGCGGCTTACGCGCTTACGGGACCTGCCATAAGATCGTTGCGCAATCGTGGAGCTGTACCTGTGCAGCTGCGAATCTCCCTTCCTAGCGTTACCACATTCACATGCTTACTCTCCGAGGCCGAGCGGGCTGTGGACGGCGCCATCGGCCACTGTACAATACCCGCTACCTTGTAACATGCGGAAGAAGCTATATCTGGGCCTCTATTCTAGGCGGGTTGATCCATCGTAGAGATGCGGGGTCAAAGACTGTGCATCGGGATGACTAGGTACCGCGCAACCCCATCCTTCATCTCCCTGACTAGCCTGACTGCCCGTGTCTCCGTCAATCGAGGTGCGCCGAGCTGACCCCGGCATCGTGCTATCATACACAGCCTGCTGATCCCGCTCTGGCGGCATGACCAGTGGGACAAAGGGCGAAGGGAGGGAGGATAGGGACTGATTTTCGGGAGCTCATGGTAGCTTTTCGGGGACAGTCTCAGTTTCAGTTTCAGGATAGTTTCAGGGACCATATCGGCACGAGTGACGCCTCTCTTACGGCACAATGGCGGAGCAAAGATTTCAGTAAGATCTGCATTTGCCACCCGACCCCGACGAGGGAATCTAGTTTGGGCTGGGCAGAGGTGAATGAGGGCCTGAGGCGGAGGGGGAGCCGGTCAAGCTAGGGACATGGTGAACAAGGGTACTGCATCGGTTTGGCTGAACAAGAGTTAACGAGTTGAGGGAGTTGTGGCAGAGCGATCACTTGCTGGACCATACTTGTACGTTCTCCATCTTCCATTCTCAGTATCACCTCGTACGCCAGTATTACGAGACACCCTGAAACACCTGTCATCCCACGGCCCCGCACTGCCGCGACGACCCCATCCTCGTCCGACCGACCTCATCACGGCTGAGTAAGGCGCAGTGCCCCGCCGCTGGTACCCTCGGAGGCGAGGAGTACAGGGCGGTATCGAGGGCAATCACGGAGAGCGGTGCTTGATTGAGTCTGGAAGAAGCTTAGGACGGAGATAGATCTCGCAGCTTGTAAGCTGAAGCTCGGATCGCCAACCCTAGTTCAGCAAGGTGAGTGATCAATCCTCCGTTGTTGTCAAAGGATATAGATGAGCGATAAAGCTGAGCTCAAGGGTGTCCAAGCGCTGTGTCTTTGGCCCAGGAACTTGACCATGGAAGTAGCCCCAAATCAGGTCCACCCCTCGTCCTCGTCTCCACCTCCTTCGCCTCACTCCGGTCGTTACGATCCGTAAGCTCGGATCACCGTCCTTTTGGTGCCTATTCCCCGCTACAGTGACAAGCATACAGAGGTGAGGAGTGGCGTAGCTTGGAGACGCAAGGACTGGACGGAGCTAGGCGCACAGACGTCAGACCCGCGCGGGTATCAGGCGGTTTAGCATTCCGAAGCAGACAATCTGAAACGCCATTTCCATTAGAGGTGAGTCAATCGTCCCTTTTCTATAGTACACGCAGGAGCCGAGAACCCGTACCTGGCTTGGACTCCGCTCTGTCCTCTGCCCCTCTCCCCCTCTCACCCCTTGTGCCTGCGGTGGGCGCCTCATCATGGTCCCCAGAATCAATCCACCCCCCTTTGACCTCCGCCCCGCCCGTCCATCTCGGCCCTCGGAGGAGAAAGACGTGTGTGTGTGGAAGCAGGGGCTGATCGGCTGTAGCGCGCGCTCGACCAACATCTTTCCTTCCTCCTTCATCCATCCTCCTTCCTCGACTACCTCTCTCTCTCTCAACGTATCTTGTCTTACCTCGCTCAACGTACCTGTACAAATCAGAAGACCCCGGTCGCCTGTCCGCCCCTGCTACTTATATCAAATCTCCAAAGTCGAGATCACCCCGCTGTCTCACGCAGGCCGACACCGCTCGCCCCCTCATTAGTCGCGGAGCAGGTCAGCCATACGAGATCCGGGTCAATCGAGAGACATTGCCTAAGGAAAGGCTCATTCCGCTTATCCCTGATACGCGGTGCTGACGCGTCGGGCCCCTCGAGTCGAGTAAGTGTTTGTTTCGGTCGACTGCCTCCCTTGAAACCCATGCGGAATCTCCTACCGAATCCTCCTTCGTTCTCATCGTCTCATCTGCTATACAGACTACTCAGAATGATGGACCGTACAGAATGGAGAGAGACTGACGACCAGATCGTTGCCGAGGAGGTGATATCGACTCCCTCGACCGCTTTGCGACGGCCACCTCTCCCCCTTTGCCCCCTCCACGTCAAGACCAACAACCTCCCCGCCGCGCTTCGTCACTCTCATTCCGGTCCTTCAGGAACGGGCGGATCTCCACCATAATCGAGTCGATGCATCCTCGCGGAACCGAAGCGGCTAGAACAGAGCTACGGCGATAGAGGCGGGTAATCTTCTCGCCCTTCGACTATATAAGGAGTCCTCCTTCCCATCACTATTCCTCGCCGCCCACAGGCCACTCCCTCTCCCTCCCCCTCCCCCTTCGCTCGCGGCATGTCCCAGTCCCCACACCTGCCATCGAGCGTCGACACTCCTCCTCCCTACAGTATGGCGGACCCTTCGATCGTCCACTCTATGGCGACGGGGGGTCAGCAGGCTGAGGACTATCATCCCTACTACCCCTCATCCGCCTTCCTCCCTCCCAGTCATGTCGGAGGCTCCGATCAGGGGCTGGGATCAGGTCTCGCTGCCGCTCCGGAGATCGTACCGAAGCGGCAGGTGGATATGAACTTTGCTCAGAAAGGAGAGCAGGCTTCACTGCCGGGTATAGATACTCCTCTGGCTGTCTATGCAGGTAAGCTCCTTGTCCTCCTACCCTCGATCTAGTACGGTTACAGTCCCGAGAGATGTAGCTGGAAGAGGCTACTTGCGCGACGATCCTCCTTCCCTCTATCTCCTCTTCACACTACTCAGTCGCCCCCTCCCTTCTCTCCTTCACTCTTTCCCCACCGCCGAAGACAATAGCTGACATACTCAGCTCAGATGGTGGTATGGCTATGGTTCGGCAAAGTCAGACCGTCATTCCACTTCTCCTCTCCAGGGCCTATCGGTTCGGGTCGGCCCAGCGACACGTTCGATATCAATCATGACGCTTTCGAGTACCCTCGCCACCCCTCCAACCCCCTCCATCCACTCCAGGTCGCACCATCTCCCGACTTTACACACTGCGTCAACAGACTCTTACGGATCACCGGCGTATCGCACTCGGTCGTTCTCGTCGCCTTACTATACATATACCGACTCAAGCGCAAATACAGTATCGACGCTGGGCCGGGCACAGAGATGAGACCCTTTATTGCGAGCATCATATTGAGCAACAAGTACCTCGACGAGTGAGTGCTCCCCTCAATCTGTGAGGGATATCGCTGACCATCAGTAACACATATACCAATCACACGTGGGCCGAATTGACGGGCCTGACGGTCGCCGAAATCGGTCGGATGGAGATCGAGTTTCTCCGAGGGCTAGAGTACAAGCTCTGCGTCCACAAGAGCGACTACGATACCTGGCGCCAACTACTCGATGGCTTCATCGCATCGCGTCAGCATCAGGGCATCTTCCGCTCTCGCTTCGACCCCGTCATCAATCACTCCGCGCCCCCGTATCATTCTCTTACGCCCTCCTCGGCGGAGGTCCCATCCACTCCATACGTCCCCTCACCAGCCGAGCCCCGCGCCAGGTCGGTCTCGCCCACTACCTACAACCATGATGATCAAGGGCAGTACGTGACACCCGGCTACGGATATACTCGGAAGCGCTCGGCGGTCGACGCGCACGACGGCGAAGAGGACCCGGCTGAGGCCTACGAGTCCCAGCGGCGGCCTACACGTCGCACCAACGCCTACAACCCCAATCTACCCATGCCGCAGTCTCTCAATTCGGGACTGAACCGGTCGTCCAGCCTTAGCAGGCAAGGTCACCGCTTGGCGCCCATGCTCGGTCAGCATGGCCGCCGTGGGTCGACGTCGGGCGACTTCAACACTGCGGTCTGGATGAACGACGCAGATTTGAGGCATCAAGCTCAGACCCATGCTGCCCAGATGTCCTCGGCGGGGTTTCTGCCGGCCATTGGGCAGCAGACGGAGCATGCGCGTTGGGACTCGCTTGTTGCGCCGTACGACCAGGACTTACAGATTCAATCTATCCCACCTCAGGTTCGTCGTCTACTTGCTGTTTAAGATAGGGGTTCATGCTGACAATACAGCACCTCATCTACTACTCTATCGCCGCGGACCCTCATCCGGGCCAAGACGGACGGCCTCGCAAAGCCATCCTCCGCCAGCAGCAGCCATATCCCTGCACCTACACCACCAACGGCCAGCCGTACACCATGACCCAGCCCGATCCAGTCCAGCCCCGACTGGTATGGCGCGGCAGACACGAGACCGCTGCAGCTTCACCCACCGCCATCCTCGGCCCCACCCTCTTCAATCCTGCCTCGACATACTACCCCACAGGCCAGCCGTACGGATCGTACCCAGTCCCCACCCCATTCCCCGCCATGCAGCCGTACGCCTATCATCCCGGGCAGGCTGTCGAGCCCCTCCCTGGTCAATTCGCCAACGCCGGTCCACCCGGATACACCTACAATCCCAACATGTACCCTGCGCCCCCGCCGCTCGAGTATCAGCCCGTGCCGAGCCAGGTCAGGGAGTACGCCATCCCCTCGTACAACCCAGCTTCCAACCCCAATCGGTGGTCGACGGTCTCGGAGGAAACGGCGTACCAGCACATGCACGGGATAGGGGGATCGATTCATGCTGCGCAGTCGGGGGAGCCATGGCGGACGAGAAGCGAGTGGAGTTCGCCCCTTCCAAGATATGAGGGATGGAGGGGATAGATGAGGGTGGGCGCAGAGGGGATAGGGAGTGATGTGTAACATTAGCATTATTCGTCCGGTTCGACCCGTCTCGGTATACGACCCCACTCAGGCAACGACGTCACGATACGATTTCCCCCACGTCCATGTACGATACACGACTTCAAGACCCCAATCTTGTATATTAGCCAAGCCGAAAGTAAGATAGCAGAGTAGTGTGTGTGATTAGGTCCTTAGTACATAGCATGAGCTAGCAGCAAGAATAGCAGCAGATAGAAATGATGCATTGATATAGATATGTACCCGCCATGCAATAGCACGCAAAACCGAGCTACAGACGGACCAAACATGTTTCATCTACTGAGCCATAGTGGCCAGAACGATAAAACGGCAGCTCTGACTTACCATATATAGGCAGCATCAGTCGAGTTGAGCTTCAGCGAGTAAACAGGGCACTCGACTCGGCTTATGCAGCGTGCTGCGCTCAATCGTGCGTTGTGACCCGGCAGGGGCCTAAGGACGGCAAGAGCTCGACCTGTTTCATCTTTCCCCTGGCCCTCCTTTCGAAACGCCCCTAGTGTTTCATCTTCTGAGCTTACCATCTCCGGCGAAAAGCGTTACAAAGGACGTCCTCTGCGCGTGAGGCGCATGGTACAGCGTGGCACCGGCGAGTCAGACTCGGTCGCGAGATGATTCTAGTGCTTGTAGAGCGTTCAGCAGCAGTCGTCATGAGCGTTCCTTTGTTCGTCGGAATGCGATGCACACAGGGCTGTCTGTCCGGGGTGTGCCTTGTTCCTCCCGTTGCCTCTCTGTCTACCTCATTCTTACGATACACTATAGTCCACCATCACCATCCACATCATAACAACTCAAGGCTCGAAGTCATATCGCACCCAAGATCTGAAACAACGCTCAGACCTAATCGTGCCGAAACCTCGGCGCCCCCACCGCCCAGCGGCAACTGAGTTTACGGCTCCCGCCCCCTCACGACCAGCCTCCAGGCACCGATCAAGATGGACCCAATGTCAATGATGATGATGGTGAGTACTTCTTCTTTGACATCTTACATCCCTCCACACCTAGCCCACCCTGTCTCTCAATCCCTTTCATCATGGTGAAGCGCAACCGTACCAAAGCCGAGATCATCGCCCACTCTCTCTACCTCGCGACCCATGATCCCCTCTACGCACCATACTACCCACACGGCATTGCGCACACCTCTTCCTGCTACTCTCTTCCCGCGTACCCTTATACCCGGTCGCCCGTAGCGAATGCTTATGCCTATCAGGGAGGGATGGGCGGAACGGGCGGATTGGGAATGGGCGGCATGGGAATGGGAGGAATGGGCATGATGAACCCGATGATGATGGTGAGTCTACCATCCGTCTCAAGTGTGCATACATGTGAAGTATGATACTTGACCTGATGAAACGAGGATCCCATGATGGTATGTGTCAACCCCTCAAGATCTCAAGATCCGCCTAGACGGGTATAGGAGCGGTTGAGCTGACGAAGCAGGGCATGGGAGGCATGGGAATGGGTGGTATGGGTATGGGCGGTATGGGGATGGGCATGCCTGCTATGATGGGAATGGGTGGTATGGGAGGGCTAGGCATGGGTGGCATGGGCATGGGAGGACTGGGAATGGGTGGGATGGGTATGGGAGGGCTAGGCATGGGCGGACTGGGAATGGGAGGGCTGGGTATGGGCGGTCTAGGCGGCATGGGCATGGGTGGTATGGGTATGGGAGGGATGGGCATGTCTCCTTACTCCATGGTCTGCTTACTGACTATCCTTCACATCTTGACCTCGCTCTTGCTGTTCCTCGCCCTTCTGATAGTCTAATATTTGATGTGGCTGGCCTCCGCTGACGATTCTGAGCATGGGCGGCATGGGCGGTATGGGGATGATGGGCATGAATCCGATGATGATGGGCGGCATGGGGATGGGCGGTATGGGAATGGGTGGATATGTGAGTCTCGCTTTCGCTGTCGTCTTCGCTCCGCTTCATGCTCGACTATAGCGCGAAGACTTCTCATATCGACCCGTACCTTGGGCGCGATACTGCCTCTCGCCTACCACTTGTCCCTCCTTTCTTCCAGAGTCCACAACGCTGATCCCCAGGGCATGCTCGGCGGCGGGCTAGGTAGCGGCGCATACGGTGTTAGTCACAGTCTCCTCACCCCCTGGTTGGCACAATGCTTACCTCGCTCCTCTTGGTACTACTAGATGCCACGCTATCCTGCCGGCGGGTAAGTTCTCCCCTCCCACTGATGGCCGTGTCAGACCATCAAGCGAAGGAGTAGGGGCTGAGGGGTGTAGACTGTTCGGTGACTACGGGATGGGGATGGGCGCGCTGCCCGGCGGGATGATGGGTGGACTGGGGACGATGCAGCAGGGGTACGGGATGGGATTGACGGCGGGGATGCCATTTGGCTTCTAGAAGAAGGAGGAAAGCGTTGTAGAGATAGGAAGAATGTACCTGTAGCATTGCATGATCTCGAACCCAAAATCTTGACTGCGTCCAAGCCTCAAAGCACACCGTACGTCAAAATTGCAGCCATGAACAGACGTATGTCCGTCCATCCCTCGAGATCCGCGGGCCGACTGTCGATGCCGACAGATCTGGCTGTTGATGACTTTACCACAGGCCTAGGGCAGTCACGAGGTTGGTATACCAAGGGGAAGATCAGTCGTGCCCGCCTGCGATGTATTGATGACCCCTGCTGAGTCAGCTGACTGCTACATCATGACAATCTTGGAGATGTGGAGCTCACAGGGGAGTCACATTCCCTTGCTCGTCCATTAAGCGGTTATAAGGATGTACGCCATGGAGATTGGAGGGATCTCGCACCGCGCCGAACCAGCAATATCGCCTGTGTATGTTAGCTCGTGCGCCACTAGGTGGTGCTGGAATGCCAACTTACATGATGTACCCTGTCTCGTCAAGCCACTTTGTCGTCTGGCCTGTCCAAATCAGCTGAGCCACACCAGTCGAGAATCTCATATCTCACCCATAAAGTCGTGCACCTGCTGCTGACTCTGTGGACCTGGTACATTCCGAGAAAAGCTCTGAACGGATCAGCTTCGGTGTGATAATGAGCATCGAGCTGACTTACTTGCACGGCAAACTCGGTAATCATAATGGGCAGACGGAACATGCTGTAGTACTCCTCAGCACTAGCCCTGAAGCTGTCGAAGGTGGTGGTATATATGTGTATCGCTAGGATGTCTGGCATCTCATCGGGCTCTAGGCACGAGAAGAAGTCCTGCACTATCAGCCAACTCACGTTACTTCCGGACATCCGGCTCACCTTCAACCAACCTTTGTCCGAGGCGACAGCAGGCGAGACAAGCTTGATGGCGGGATCCTGCCGGCGAAGCTTTGCAACCTCCTTCCAGCTGGATGTAAGCTTGGCCATGGGCGCAGACTCACCTTCTAGCTGCATCGACGGCGCTGCATCTACTCGCGACGCTCGGGTCGTTATGATCTGCTATCGTCAGCACTGCCGCTTGTTGGCGCACTCAGAAGACTGACCAGGCTCATTATACCCCAGCAGCATACTCCATCCTTCTTGCAGCTTATCTGCATTGTGCAGGAAGTCGGGCTTCCACCTTGCGACGTCAGTAAGCGGTCAGAGGGGTGGTATCGCCATATCAAATGCTCACAGCATAGGCACGAACTCCGCATCAATCTTGAGCCCAGGTGTAGTATCAGGCAGTAATTCCGACCAGTTCTTGTTCCAATTGTAGTGCCATGACAGCTTCTGCGGGCTGTCAGCTCAGAGGGGACAGGCTGGAGGCACAACACACCGAGCCCGGTTGGAAGAACTTGGCGACGGGGTCGCTGGTCAGTTCCTGGACGGGCCAGCTGATGCCTGCCTATCTCGAGTCAGTACCGTAGTCATCCCCATATGGCTCTCTCGCGTACCTTCCCGGACATTCGCTTTATAAGCTCATAGATGTGTCGAGACAGAGGGATAGTTGGCGCTGACCTGCCGAATCAGCTGTCCATCGCGCACGGTCCTGCTGGCCAGCTGGCGCTTGGTCAATATTATGCCGTAAGGATCGCTTAAGCTTGAAGCTTGCTTGACGCTTGACGTCAAAGCAACGAGAACCACCGAACAGACGTTCCCAAAGCATCTTCAAACGACGATAACGAATATCATAACGCTCAGCAGCTCATCTGAGGAGGACATCGCAGCTCCTTGACGCCAGAAGTTATACGACACAGCCGAAAGAACGAGCCTAGAAGTCCAGCGACAGGCTCGCACGACCGCGTGACGCGACGCGACTGCCAGCTCAAGGACCGCCCCGGCGCCCCCGCTTCACCAATATCCAGAGCAACAACTCTGCCCTCGGGGGCTGCATGACTCCAGACTCGCTGAGACAGGTGTGATCAACGTTCTTGGGGTCCGTCTGACGAAAGGTGAGTGGTGCAAGTCGATGCGGTCCAGGAGTGGCGACTCCCTTTGTCATATAACTGATGCCCGTTCAGCTCTCAACGCCATGGCCGGGCCATCGTCCTACCACGCAACCGCTGAACAGGAAGCTTCCTTCACCTCTTCCTCTCCACCCACTTCCTCCTCCTCTCGCCCGAGCACATCCTCACACCCATCCGCCTCAAGCAGTCGGAGCAATCTTCCTCAGGCGCCGCCGCCCGGCCGGATACCGCCACCGAAGGGACGGTCACTGCATGCCGCGGGGCAGAAGCTCGGCTTGGGCAGGCGCAAGGACAGGGACAAGAAGAAGAAAGATGACGGCGATGAGGAGTGGACGCTGGAGGATGGCGCTATAGGGAGAGCAAGCGTTGATGGTGAGCGGGAGGAGCTGCTGTCGATGGACAACTCCCAGATGACAGAGAAGCCAGCAAAGGAGTCCAAGGGGAAGCGGCTGGCGCACAAGACATCACAGCTATTCTCGAGGAAGGATAAGGATAAGGACCGGCCGGCCGACGATAGCCAGTCCAACCTCAATCTACCTACTACGAGTCGCCAGACCTCTTACTCGTCGGTCGCTTCTGGCGAGTCAAGTAGGACGAACGGGTCCTCCAATCTCTCCTCCAATATCCAGCGTCCTCCCTCGAATCCCTCTCGACAATCGTCGGCAATGTCGGTCCCGGTCGAGCCAAAAAGACAGCACTCTCGCCGGATTTCCCAAGATTCCCAAATGTCGTGGCACGGCATACAGCGCACCATACGCTCGGGCTCCTCATCCGGCGATTCGCCTACGGAAACGCATCTCCCCATTCCTCGCCGCCAGTCATCCAATCTCAGCGCCTCAGTGCCCGCACTATCTCGCAACGCCCTACCTCAACCCGGACCCCATCTCGCCCCATCCTCCATGTCCACCCGGATGTCTTCCTGGTTCACCCATCTCATATCTACCTCATCCTCCCCGGAAACAGTCGTTGCTGCTTCTCCGGAACCCCCTTCCCCAGCGCGGAAGCCTACATCTGCTGCAGCTAGCTTCCTCAATGCCGCTCGGCAGCGCGCCGTAGATGGGGTCCGGAACCTCTTGCTGGACACGGAGGCGCAGCCGGACAAATCGGCGGAACTCATCTGGCTTATGGGTACACCCCATCCAGGCTATGTGGCGGCCTCGCCCCTTCCGTCGCCCTCTGTGGAGCTTCCGGACCCTCTCGAAGAGCGACGCGGGTCGGGCTCGTCTGGCCGTCCCTCACCGCCATCAAAATCGGATTCTCTGCGGCCAGCGGCATGGCCCAAGAAGAAGGATACAGGTCCGATGTCTCCGCCAAATCGATCTCTAGGACAGCTGTTGACAGGCTCGGCGATATCGCTCGGTTCGCCGGGGAAGCAGGACGGTAGCGCGGAAAGTCCCGGCAGGAGGAAAGCAGCAGGCAAGGAGAAGGAGGTGCTGAAGTGGCCAGATGCTTGTGAGTATACCTTAGCTTGAAAGCGATTTAGCTGAACCACAGTCTACGACGACTTCCGGACCCGAGTCTGGTGCTCCTATCGCGGCCAATACGCACCCATCCTTCCACTCCCTCAGAGCCTTCTCATCCCATCTCCAGGGGCCTATTACTCCGCCTTCGCCTCTTCCTCTAGTACCGCACTCTCATCCTCGCCCGTCGATGTTGCAGGCCAGGCGGGTCTAGCGACGAAGCCTTCTTCCTGGGGCTGGTCCAAGCCACCAGAAGAGAGGGGGCTGACGAGCGATGCTGGGTGGGGGTGCATGTTGCGGACGGGCCAAAGTTTGCTTGCCAACGCGTTGATCAACCTACATCTCGGTCGAGGTGAGCTTCGCCTCCCTCAAACGTTGGGAGACAGCTGACTCTGCAGAATGGCGAATTCCACCTACGAAACCCATCTTCGACCCCTTAGATCCAGCGACTCTTCCCGAGGCCGAGGCATATGCTACCTACGTCCGCATCCTCTCCTACTTCATGGACGACCCCTCCCCGCTCTGTCCCTTCTCTGTACACCGCATGGCTCTTATTGGCAAAGAGCTAGGCAAGGAAGTCGGGGAATGGTTCGGCCCATCCACCGCTTCTGGGGCACTCAAGACGCTAGCGGATGCGTTTCCGCCGTGCGGGCTGGCGGTGTCGACCGCTACGGATGGGATAGTGTACAAGAGCGATGTGTATGCTGCGTCGCACCTGCCGGAGGGGGATTGGGGTGGAGATGGAAAGGACGCACGAAGTGTGGCGGGGAGATGGGGTCACAAGGCGGTCTTGATTCTAGTAGGACTGAGATTGGGTTTGGACGGTGTGAATCCGATCTATCACGATAGCATCAAGGTAGGTTCAATTGATTGAGGGCTAAGGCGGATAGCTGACCCCTCAGGCTCTATTCAAATTCCCTCAATCAGTCGGTATCGCTGGCGGAAGACCGAATACATCGTACTACTTTGTCGCATCGCAAGGCAATTACCTATTCTACCTCGACCCCCACTTTACCCGCCCAGCCGTCCAGCTCGAGATCCCTCCGGCTGCGACTGGTATCTCAGCACAGCCGCGCTCGTCCGCCGATACCGGGGCGTCCAGCGTGGCTCCTGTGCTGGAGACGCCGCTGGACGTGGACGAACCACCTCGGGCTCGGATGGACATGATCGACGTCGATGACATCTCGGATGACTCGGACGACTCACTTTCCCCAACAAAGAACCGGCCCAAACGCGGTCGGCACGCCAAGAAGCTCAGCATCGCCCAGTCCATCCCGCGCGAGTCACCGCCCCTTCCTTCCCGTACAACGTCAACTCCTACCACCCCCATTCCCCCAAGCTCGAGCAAGACAGCGGACGTCTTCGACGCTCCCCAACCCTCCACCTCCGCTCGCGACATCGACGTGTCAACCGACACCGGCGAGGCCCCACTCATGGACCCCCAGACCGCATGGTACATCGACGCTTACACCGAAACCCAGCTCCGGACCTTTCACAGCGACAAGGTCCGGAAGATGCCGCTTTCTGGGCTGGACCCCAGTATGCTTCTGGGCTTCCTGGTACGGGATGAAGCGGACTTTGAGGACTTCTGCAGGCGTGTATCGAGCGTAAGTCTACGTCACGTATGAAATGAGAGAGTGAGGCTGATCCCTCCAGTTACCTCAGAAGATCTTTTCGGTCCAGGAGGAACCTCCAACGTGGGATGACGATGATGCCGCCGGTCTCGAATCGGTGTCGGAGCCGGATCTATCGGATGAGGATGGGTTAGCGCGGCCGATACCAGGTGGAGACGAGGAGGAGCTACTCGCGGATCCCGAGCTCGTCACTCTGGACACACGACCCACACTTCGACAGGCGCCCAAGGTTTCGGTGGAGGAGGATGAGTGGGATGCTCCCTCCCCTATCCCTATTCTCGGCGGCGTTATCGACCGCTCCGCCACGCCAAGTAGCATCCCCGTTCTCGTCGAGCGCCCATCGATGGACATGCCAAAGAACGCCATACCGGCTTCTCCTTCCCTTGGGAGGGGTCAGGGCGGTAACGGGGACGGAAGAGCTTTGATGGATGAAGGGGAGGAACAGAGAGGAGGGGAAAGTGGCGGTCGGGAAGAGGAGGAGGATATGGCGACGAGTATGGATATGGGGCAGCCGAGGAGGCCGGCGCAGGGTGCGCGGGGAATGATGAGGCAAAGGACGGATTCTTGGGTCAAGCCGGATCGGCCGGATGATATCTAGGTAGCTGGTAGCAGGTGTATATGATCCCTGTGAGAGTACTGACACACTGCCTGACATAGGTCCAAAGAGCGGATGGTATTTATGAAGACACAGCTCGCCTCACTGACAAGCTGGAGTGACGCAAGGGAAGGGAGCCGGCTATCAGCATCGTCCTGGCGGTTGGTTGATGTTGACCATAGCATGAGGCTGGATCCCGCTCCTCGCAGCAACCGTCCGAGAGTGACAAAGGGTCCTCCATCCACGAGTCGACTTAGGGCTTCCCAGATCTGGCCTTCTGACTGCACGACACATGGCGTGATCTGCCTGTGCTGCGCTAGATTGCGCTTGGTCAAAGGAAGGACCTTTCGTAAAGAACAATTTAGCGAGAAGAAGCGTTCTTGGCTTCACTAAGGGAAAGTCTTGCCACCGTCAAGCTTCACCCTTTTGTGTATATAAGGAAGACTCTGGAGAAGCTGATCTGTAATCACTTTGCCTCTCCTCAACGCACATATGTCATGAGTTTTCCCCAGGAAGCCCTACAAGGCAGAGGCCGCGATGACAGACTTCCTCGACCTCGCCCCTCAATCAGCATCGATCCCGCTGACCCTACTGACTCAGGCGGAGACGACCGCGAATATCCCACTACTCCGACTACATTCATGGTATTGCCCAGTCCCAAGAAACTGCCTCGGTCCACGGCCTTCGAGTACGTCAGGAGCTCTTGGGGTGATGCTTTCTCTGAGACATACGACTGCGCCAAAATCAGCCATCGACTGCCTTTTGCCTACACCACGCTCATTTTTCATGATTCCGAAGATTGCGGCAAGCTGATCATGTGGCATATCTATGGTAACAGTGAACGCACTGTACACAACCAGGTCACATTGCAGGCCGAGGAGGAAGTTGACTGGTGTCCACACGTGAGTCGAAGTCTCCGTTGAATCGGCTCGCCGCGTGCGATGTCACGGGTCTCTCGTCTAAGCTCTCAGGAGACCCTGCCTAGTGAGTGGAAGGCGGACAGAATCGGCTCGTACTTTGATCGGCTGAGCTCTGAGCTTTTCTGCAAAACTCTTGCTGGCGCGCTCAAACTCCCCAAGTGGGTCGGCCTGCAAGACGCTGACTCAAGCCCGGACCATAGTCCGACGTCGGCCAAACATCCTACAGCCTCCATAGCCGGCTCACAGGGAGATACCGGACCCTCATCTGTAGCTGAGGCTCGCAGAGCGCACCGGCGAGCGTGGTGGATCGCAAAGGACCGGACTCTACTGAGACGTTTCTCGCCCAGCCTGTACGATTTCTCAGACTTGAAACCAGGAGATGCTGCAAACGAAGATCGAGAAATGTTGGCGCAAAAGCATGAAAGCTGCTCGATTGGTAGGCCATTCTGGAACCCTTCGGCGATCATCCAAGAGAGAAGAAGGAGAGCGGAAGAAGCAGGCTCATCAAGCAGTGCCGGTGGGTCCCCAGAATCCAACGCAGGGATGTTCCTGCCTACAGGCGCCCACTACGTCCCTCAGAATAACTCTAATACCAGTTGGACCCCGCAACAACTCGGGCGCGCCCGGTCAACCCACTTCGATAGCGATGTACCCCACTTGGAGAGCGCCGCACCTACCGAGCCCCCTTCCCTAGATCAGTCACTCGCGTCATTACCACCGCCGAACTGGGAGTTTCCTGATGCGGGAGGGCTGGTGCTGAGCCCCCTCATGGCTCATCCCGTACACGTCCGGGTCAGGGGACTGGATCTCCGGATCATAGGATTGGACACAGAGTCAGAGGGGACTGCGGGTGAGCATTAGAGGTAGAGGTATTGATCTTGTCGACATGCATCACGCTTTCGTACGTACGTCAAGGATTAGGTCAAGGATCAACCGCTACTTACTGTCAGTGTCCGGTATGGGTCCCGGTGTACCCGGCTTCCGTGCCCGGGGCTGAATCATCGATCGCTGCCTGGTTCACTGATTGAATGTTGATATTTTAATGCTGTCAGAAAGGCTACAGTGGTTGTTGCCGTTCGCTCGCTAGCCTTGGCGATGTGGAGTACAATGTCACCTGCGGCAGCTCTCCAGGCCCTCTCTGTAACTCACTACCATACAAATGAGCGTCTTGGTCTGCCACACTGCCTGAGCCCCGGCCCCTCTGGCTGACCACTCCTCATTCCGCAGCCACGTGGGACAAAGCTGAAACGTCAGGCACGTCTGACGTAAGCTGACCCTGAATCGCTCAAAAGATTTCCGACGCGACTCCATGTTCCATGCTCGAAAGATAAGATATAGATACAAGCAACTCTTCTACTTACACCCAGCTCACACTTCTGCCAACATGTCCGCCGAAGAGATGCACAGCGTGTACGACACGATCCTCATCCTTGACTTTGGATCTCAGGTGGGCTGCATCTTGCTTGATAGCTAGCAAGAGAACGGGGCTGATGGCTACAGTACTCGCACTTGATCACCCGGAGATGTCGCGAGATCAATGTATGATCAAACCTTCTGCCGAAGGCGTGCTGGTACTGATGATCCAGGTCTATTGTGAGATGCTGCCCTGCACCCAGAAGCTCAAGGACCTGAAATGGAAGCCTAAGGGTGCGCTTCTTTATCTCCGGACCTGACGCAATTGCTGATGTGAAAGGGATCATCCTCTCTGGCTCGCCCTACTCCGTATACGACCCCGAATCGCCTCATGTCGACCCCGATGTGTTCACTGCCGGTGTGCCCGTTCTCGGTATCTGCTACGGCCTCCAGGAGATTGCCCTGTCTCACGGAGGAAAAGTCGAAGCGCATTCTCAGCGGGAATACGGATATGCCAAGATCAAGGTGGAGAAGACAGGCATCGCGCACGCGGACAGGCTATACGACGGCATTGAGATGGAGGAGGATGGAGGTCTCCAGGTAAGCTTAACGGTCCGGATGCTGATTAGATGAAGCTAATTGGCAGGTCTGGATGTCCCATGGCGACCAGCTCACCTCATTACCACCCAACTTCATGACTATCGCCTCTACTCCTACATCACCGTTCACTTCCATCGCCCACAAGTCGCAAGATATCTTTGGTGTGCAGTTCCACCCCGAAGTCTCGCACTCGCCCAAGGGGAAGGAGGTGATTGCTGCGTTCGTCAAGAACGTGTGTGGTATCCAGGGCGGTTGGAGCATGGTGAGTCCACCGCAAGCTACTAGCGAACTTGAGCTGATTGGCAGGACTCTTTCATCCCCAAGGAGATTGCCCGGATCAGGGAGATCTGCGGAGAGAAGGGACAGGTCATCGGTGCTGTGTCTGGAGGAGTAGACTCCACTGTGGCTGCGAAGCTCATGCATGAAGCTATTGGTGACCGGTAAGCCAGTCCGCACCTTTGCATTTATCCCGAGCTGATTTTCAGGTTCCACGCGATCATGGTCGACAACGGTGTTCTCCGGAAAGACGAAGGCGCCAAAGTCCACGAAATGCTCACCAAGAACCTCGGCGTCAACCTTACGGTCATCGACGCATCGGAGCTCTTCCTTGGCCGTCTCAAGGGCGTCGAGGACCCAGAAAAGAAGCGCAAGATCATCGGCAACACCTTTATTGAGGTGTTTGAGGCGGAAGCAGCCAAGCTGGAAGCGGCGGCCGAGAAGGAGTTGGAGGAGAAGGGCGGAGAGGCCAAGGGGAAGATTGAGTGGTTGCTCCAGGGTACCCTCTACCCCGACGTCATCGAGTCGATCAGCTTCAAGGGGCCGAGCGCGACTATCAAGACGCACCACAACGTCGGCGGTCTTCTGGAGAACATGAAGTTGAAGTTGATTGAGCCTTTGCGAGAGCTGTTCAAGGGTGCGTCTGATCATTTTACGAATCGGGTCGGAGCTGATATCGCAGACGAGGTCCGCGCTCTCGGCCGTCTGCTTGACATCCCCGCTCATCTCGTCGGCCGTCACCCCTTCCCCGGACCGGGTCTCGCCATCCGGATTCTCGGCGAGGTCACCAAAGACCAGATCAAGATCCTCCAACAAGCGGATGACATCTACATTGATGAGATCCGCGCTGCTGGTCTGTACGACCAGATCTCCCAGGCTTTCGTCGCGCTCTTGCCGGTCAAGGCCGTCGGTGTCGCCGGGGACATGAGGACGTACGACCAGGTCGTAGCGCTGCGGGCAGTGTCGACCGAGGACTTTATGACTGCGGACTGGTAGGTTTGGTCTGACCAATAGAAATAGAAGGGACAAAGCTGATGGGCAGGTTCGTATTCCCGCCCCAGGTATTAAAGAAGATCTCGTCTAGGATTACCAACGAGGTCAAGGGGGTAAACCGGGTTGTGTACGACGTGACGTCGAAACCGCCGGGAACGTGAGTTTGATCGAGTTGCTGCTCGTTGCAGCAAGCTGACATAGCAGTGTTGAATGGCTATAATCGTGATGCATATCTACTGCCAGCTAGTCGTATCGAGGTGGAATCTATCTGTAAATGTCCTTGTTTTCTCCCTTCTAGGTCTTCAGCCGCTCCATCGATGCTAGCTTTGCCTGCGACGCCTCCCGGACAAAAAGTTCCACCTTGGCTAGCGTCGGCCATTGTATGGTGAAGCCAGTGGTTGGAGTACCGTGGTAGCCGTGGGAGTGCAATAAGCATTTCAACAAGGGCAAGTGCCAGAGCTCGCGGACGGCTGAGACCACCTCGAAGACGACAGCGGAATCGAGCTTCTCTTTCATTTCTCCGCAGCGGAGCAAGGCGATCTTGGCATTTCCAAGGTCGTCGTCTTGACTTGCGGCGCGGAGCAGCTCTAGGGGCTTGTCCTTATAGGCTATCACGTATGCCCCGGCGAGGAGTATCTTGAGCCGATCGCAGTCCAGATAATGGACGAGTTTACGGTATTCGTGGAGGACCGCGAAGTTTGTGGTAGTATGAGAGATGGCGGAAGGGGCAGCGTACTGGTCGAGGAAGAGGGAGATGGCCTCGATACTGAAGTCGAGGGGGATGGCGTTTGAGGGGGGCATATGCGAATTGGGGATATTGGCGAGCATATCTCTGAAGAGGCACCTGGACAGGTCAGCGGATAATGCATCGAGTAGATCCATAGCCTACTGGACGTCGGTTCCACTCACGACTCTCTCTTCAGTGCGAAGGACGATGCCCGGCAGTACACTCCTTCCTTCGAACAGAGGACGACGTCCTGGATTGGGTCGCAGTGGAACTCGTGCCACTCGATGGATTCCCCTGCTACAATTTTCGGTGCAGGTGATATAGCGTTACTGCTCGTGGCTGGGCCGTAGCCTGGTGGAAGTGGGGTAACGACCGCAGTACTCATGATGTTCTGCATGGCGTCTCGCTGGATGCAAGTGACGAGGTGTAGACTTGGAAGTGAGGCAGCGGAGAGCGCATTGCATGCAGGCCAGCCGCCTCAGGCGCTAAGCTAGGCTCAGGCAATGCATGCAGTGTAATTTGGCCCCTCCTTTAAGCTTTTAGCTCAGAGCGCTGAGCCGAGGAGGCTGCACCTCGGCCATCGTTCTCTCTCACATCCATATTATATAGCTTCCTCTCTTGTCCAGCCTACATTTAGTGCAGCGACACCGCTGAGATATACCGGCACAGCCGCAAGATGTCCCACTTGTCCAGCCAGAGCGCGGTAGCTCCAGCAGCAGCTCGACCCGCCAAGGCCGCTCACTACTCGTCGGCTTTATCCGCTGCCCTCCTGCACGGTGCTTGGGCAGATGGGCACGCCGGCAAAGACGCAAAGGGATATGAGGTGTCCTGGGGAGAATTGGTCAGGAAGTGGGGCAAGCATACCGGCGGCAGTGAGTCCCTAACCACGGTAGTATCGGCGACGATATGAAATGCGATACTTCATGAACGTGTTTGTACGATCTCGGGCGACAACTGATTGTCAGATACCGCTTTAGTGCATCATCTTCGCGACATCTCTCTGCTATATCTCTCGGCACATTCGACGGTCCAGACATCTTCATCGGGATATATCACTGTCTCGACACCACCTATATCCTCGGCTCAGTCACCGCCAAATACCTCGGGCAGCCATCCCGTAGATGGCCAGCACTCTTCCACATCCTCAGCTGATGCTGGAGACAGCTCTCAATCCGGCTCTGGGTCTTCCTTCATCCATATCCCACATCCGCACCTTCGCCGACACAAGTCGAAGCCGTCCTTTGACGCTACCCGAGCTGCGACCAACGCATCGGGACCCAGTATCGGCGGCAGCACGGTCCGCCAAGCGGAGAAGGCCGCCTTCCTATCTGCGTCGGACCTGGACGGTGATGAAGGGGAGGGAGAGGAGTACTGGGCTGAAGGTAGTGGATGGTGGAATGGAGTGGGAATGGATCAGGTGGAGGAGGTGAGGGACGGGATACGAGGATCAGAAACTGCCTTGAAAAGCGGAAAGCTGAGCGAGGCCGAGGCGCAGGTGAGCTTGGTGGCAGGCAATGACTATGTTCATGGCTGATCTCTAGTCTGCGCATCTTCTACTGGCATATCATCACCACGCAATTGGCGACCATCAGATGGCTCTCACAATCCTAGAGGGCGTGCAGTGGAGTTTGGAAGCTGCAGCTGGCGCAAACGGCGGCGAAGCTGCAACCCTGGAAAGAATACGTGGAAGATGTCTGCAAGGTAGGTTTGGTCCACTTAGACATCAACGAAGACTGACAACCAGGCATGTCCTATGAGCTGCTCGACCCCGCATCCCCAGCGGCCCTTCAATGCTATATATCTACAATCGCTCTCCTCGGAACAGCCTTCCCTTCCCCTACGCCATCATACCTCTCCACGTCCTCCTCGATCCCTGCCGTTCGCCTCGCCTTTGAGCCAAACCGCGAGCTACACCGCTGGCTTGCGACATCCCTCTGCCGCGCAGCGATCATCTCTTCTCGGCAGCCAAACGCCATTCGCCAAACTCACCAAATCCTCCGGACATATCACAACTATGCCGCCTCCTGGCCATCATCCTTCCGCCCAAATCAGCGTCATCGAATGCTGCTGCTGTACCTCTCCGCTCTGGCGGCCGGGTACCCCGTCGACAATGTAAATGCGGACTCGCCATACCTCCTGTCTGGAGGCGAGACTAGCCTATCCGCCCGAGCAGTGTGGCGGAAGGAAGCGGAAGTCGCTATCCGAGACGGACAGCGCCTTCTTGCCCAGACGACCAGCTTCCCGCGAGCTGGTGCGATCAACAAGCCCGTGCGGAGCTTTACCAGTCTCTGCGTCGCCCTAGCGGACCGTTCTCCCGTTCTCACCATGGCGGTCATCGATATCCTCTGGTGGTCGATGACTCTGACATTCCAGAGTCAGAGCGTCTTGCGTCATCTCACTCGGCTCCTACACCGCAAAGACCAGGACACGGACGCGAGGCGGACATTCGAGCTCTACGTCCAGTCGGTCCTCAAGTCCCGGCAGACCGCTCAGCCAGAGGCCTCGCTCTCGCTCAGAGACGACCCGTCGGATGAAGCGCCGGAAGTTCCCGAGCATGATGATTCAAAGGAGGCGACCACGTCCATCAGCGGGGAAGAGGCGCAGGGAATCGACAGCCAAAAGACGGAGGCAGAGTCGGATGGGGACGAAGAGTTTGTGGAGGCGTTGCTTGTCGGTGTCAGGATCATCTCGCGGGATCTGGGCGAATTGGCGGAAGGGTGGAGATATGCTTGTCTAGCTAGAGAGGTGGTTAGTAGACTGCCACGAGGTGGTCAGGCGAAACGATTGCGAGCCGAAGTGGAAGAGGTATTGGGAATCGTAAGAATGGCGATGGCCACAATCGGTGAGAATCAGTCTGGGATATGTTTAGGCTGTTTCAGCTGACGTTGCAGCTGCTGACCCGATCACTCGCCCGAAATATCAAGCGCAAGCCATAAACCACCTGCTGACATCGTGCAAACTCGTCCCTTCCTCGGGTGAGATCCTGTACCACCTATCCTACGCCCAAGCCGAGGCTCGCTCGATCGACGATGCGACACAGTCCATACACACTTCGCTCGAACTCGACTCGGAGAATGTCCAAGCCTGGCATCTCCTTGCGCTGCTCCTCACTGCCAAGCAGGATTGGGAAGGCGCACGGAAAGCCTGCGAGGCGGGTATAGCGATCTGGGAGGCGGACGAAGCCACCGATTCCGCTACCGATGAGGAGGATGACGAGGCTCCCGTTCCGGCAGTACCCGAGCTGGACGCCAGCGTCGAGTCGAGAGACTTTGCCACTTCTCCCTCGCGGACAACCGGGCCCACAACGTCTTCAGCCGCACACTCAGATCCGCTACTCTACCCATCCGGATCGCTCCGCCCCCTCGCACCTGCTCCCCCACACAAGATCCCTCGCTCACGCCGACTTCATAACGTCATTCGACTCCGCATGACACTGAACGTCATCACCGAGAAGATGCAAGGTGCTGAAGTGGCCATGCTGCGGCACCAAGAGCTGTTTGCGTTTTTCTCGGCCAGGTCTGGCGAGGGAAGGCGGCAGTTTGGGTATGGGTCAGGCGGGATGGGGACTCTGCCGAGTATGAGTACTGTCGGTGGACTGGGTGGAAGTTACGTGAGCGTGCTGGAAAGCGATAGCCCGGGGGATAGTGTTGTCAATGGTGAGTCTTCCTTCAGGTACTTATGTGTGCTCCGCTGATCCCCAGTACACCCGCCAACGCCTGTTCCACCACAAGGCTACACGCTTGAGACTCCTCCACGGATCACTCACTCGACCGCTTCGTCCTCACGAGGCTACTCTACCCCCGAAGGCGACGGGACGGACGATGATAACGCTGGCATGGAGACTTTGACCCGTGATTTTGCGGAGAAGGGATCCATCCAGGAGAAGGACGGACGAACATCAGGCTCGAGGAAGGGACTGGCGAAGCACCTGCACGTCTCCGGGGTGAAGGGCATGGGGATGGGTCGGCCGAGCAGTGTTCGGAGGACGCAGGACGGGAGCGGATCGGGTGAGTTGGCGATTGATGAGGTTGAACTTTGCTTGCAGTGAAGCTGATTCGAATAGACCTTGCCCAGCGGGACCGAACGGCCTCAGCATCGTCTGTCGCCTTGTCCGTCGCGCCCACCGCCAAGTTCTCGCACTATCGCGGTGCCGGCCCCAACGCATCATCCCTCCGAGCCCCTTCTGCTCCACCCATCAACGCTTCGGCTCCTCCACACGGCCGGACACCCGGCGAAAGCCGGATCCTCTCCAGTCTTTGGCTCATGTCAGCCGCGACATTCCGGCGATTGGGCGAAATGGAGCAGTGCCTCGTAGCAATCAACGAAGCCGAAATACTCGACCCGGAGAATGGCGATGTCTGGATCCAGCTGGGATTGTATCACTCGGCCGGCGTTCCGCCAAATTACCCCGCTGCCCAATCAGCCTATACAAAGGCTGTCCTCCTTCGTCCGCTCCACCCGGCCGCAATCATCCACCTCAGCAACTTGTATCTCAAGACGGGCCAGGTAGATCTCGCGCACAGCTTCCTCAACCAGGTGACGCAGGACAATGGGTGGGATCTGCCCGAAGCGTGGCTACTGCTCGCTCGGGCATGTCGTGAGCAGGGACGAGAAGCGAGAGAGAAGGAGTGTCTGATGTTCGCACTGGGCTTGGAGGAGACGCGCGGTGTACGAGGGTGGAGGGAGGCGGTTGATAGATGGGTGTAAGGGTTTACGAATAGATTATAATACTGGGTTTTGTGGGAACGAGGTTGTCGGTCATGTTCGGGAGTCATTGATAGATTGCATGCACCTCAGGGATGCGCCCCGGATCAAGCTTAGATAATCCCATACACTATAAACCCAATGTCAAACCCTAGATATCGTACCGCATCGTCTAGATTCTGCCAGCATTCAATGTGCTTAAGATCGCCACCACAACCTTGCAGCCCCTCCGTGACCCACACGACCATCTACTCGACGCCAAGCTTCATCAAGCTCTTTAGACCCTTCGCCACGCCGAAACTCGCCGCGGCAATCCCCTGCCGCACTTCCTTGCCGAATCCTGCCCCTCTCGCCGCCTCTTGCGCCTCACTGAGCTTATTGGTATCTTCCACCAAGCCCTTGAGCAGGCCTTCGCCCTCGTAGCGTAATGCAGCGGGCAGAGCGTTCCCGGCAACCGCCACGATGGACGATGCGATCGCGATGACTTCGGACAAGTGCTCCGTCAGGGCGGGGGTTTGCTGATTGGTCCGGATAGCAGCGAGGAGGTTTTGAATGGAATTGACCAGTGCAGAGGATTGAGCGTTCAGATATGGCTGAACAGTCAGCTTACATTCCATCGCAGTGCGGGACCCATCAACTCACCTTGAGCTCTTCCCATTCCTCTTCGCTCCCTTCGCCTTGCGCATACCCAACTCCGGGAGACCGCTCCCCGTCTTCCACCCTGACCTCGGCCAATCCCGCAACGTGATTTGCCGGAGATCGCGCAGTGATCGGTACGACCTGGCTGCTCGCCTCGCTCTCTTCGCTGGACCGACCGCGGTTTCTGCTAGGCACGAAACGATCGTTCGTCGAGCCAGAGGCTGAGCGGACCGGTGCAGGAGGAGCTGCAGATGGCCTGTAGCTGTTGCCATTTGCGTTCACGGCGGGATTACCGTTTCGAGACTCGACGACCGGTCTCTGATCCCGAGGATTGGAGATGACGCTGGCTTTCCGCTCCAGGTCAAAGCTGTCTGACCGAGCTTGCGAAGACGCCGACTGGTAAGAAGTCACATTCGCGCGGAGGTGATTCCCGGACTCGCCGAGATTCCGCGCTGACAGCTGATTCTGAGCGGGAAAGTAGGAAGTAGGAGGATGTGTGATCGAGGGCGAGGGGGTTTGGCGGTCATTCGTGAGGTTCCGAGTGGCGGACGGCCGCGAGCTCGCAGAGGAGGCTACCATAGGTGCGTTCTGAGCACGAGAGTTTGACCTGGCCGGCTCGACGACAGACGGTCCAGGCCCGACCGGAGAAGTACCGTACTCCCGGTCAAAGGTGCCATTCGCACCCTTTGCGTCCCGCCCGACCATGTCCCGGATACTCAAGCTGCTCCGGCTACGTCGTGCGGTCCGACGGATCTTGAGCAGCTTGATGATCTCGACGACATTCGAGGATAGGTGTCCCGCTGCCCCGTCAAGCAAGGATACGGGCGAGAGACCAGATGCCATGGCGTGGTTCCGAGCAGCCTGCATGAGCGCCGAAAGCCGAGTGGTGGATTCGTGTTTGAGCGATTCGAGCTTGGACGAGTCGACGTCGAGATTGGGTTTGGCTTCGAAGGATTTGACATCCTCGCCAATCTCGGTGATGGCTTCTACGATCGCCTTCATGGCTGGCAGAACGCCGGAGGGTGCAGATGATCTGACAATCAGCTCAAATTTAGATCAGCAGTCTACTTTAAACATACCTAGCAGCAGCCAGAAGTCCGTCTATTCCAGCCTGGAATGCTGAAACGTTGACGTCCGCGATATTGCCATCCGGAGACGCGGGCAGGTGGTCGTCTGATAATGGCTTCGAAACGAACATGGTAGATGTCGCTGAGAGGTCAGCTGAAGACCTCCTCGCGAATCTGTAGCGGCTCACCTTTCAAGTTTCTGAGCTCAATTCGGACAGCTTCATACTTCCGCCGGTATTCCTCCACTCGCGCCTCCATCTCGTTCATACCCGCCGCATCCTGCTCTCGCTCCGCCATCAACTCGTCATTCTTAGCCGAGAGTGTATTTAACTCGTCAACAAGGGAATGTATTTCGTTTCTCAGCTCGGATATCGCCTCGTCCTGCAGGGTCAGTGCTGGAACTCGCCACTGCAGCTTGGACGAGACTTACTCCTCCACCTCCACCGCCGGCACCGCTTCTCGCGACCTGATCTCTCAGACTCGCATTCTCCTCTTCGAGACGTCTCAGCTCGTCCTCGAGTCCATCGCATCTTTCCCGCCATGATCCCAGCTCATCTTCTCCCTGTCTTGACGACTGTTCAGCGTGATTCCGGGCGGTATCGGCGGCGTCGCGTGCAATGTCGAGTTCGTGTTGGACTGAACGGAGTGAGGAGGCATGAGTGGTGGCGCGCTGAGTCGTCAGTTACTCTGCCCATCCGTCGCTGACAGGAAGGAGCAAGACTCACCTCTTTCAACCCCCTCACTTCCGCTTCCCATTCTGCCCGCTTCTCCTTCTCAGCCTCGGCCAATCTCCGCATCTCCTCCCGCTCCGTCTCCATAATCCCCAACTTGCGCTCCAGCCCCGCCACCCTAAACTCATATTCCTGCCTGATCTTCTGCTCCCTCTCTTCGTCCATCGCCGCCTGCCCCGGTCCACCCGCAGCCATCATCCTCGACTTGCCCGTCACGTTTGAGCTGAATGACATTCGGTCATAGTACTCTCTATCGTCCGTCATGGTCGGAGAGAGCGCGTCGTTCGTGTTGGGTATCGGTCGAGGTGGCTGGGCCGAGACCACGGGCTGTAATGGCGGTTGTCGGGCAGAAATGGATGTTCCCGCCGACATCTGACTATCCCGGTCCCCATCCCGCCCGCTCGCCCGACTTCTCGATCTCGATCCCGGCTGACCAGGCTCCAACACCGAGTCCCGCGCATACGGGACCTCAATCTCCTCCTCCCTCATCCGGCTCTTGTTTGGGACAACCATATCCGATGTCGCTCCGATGGGGTTCATGTTCCCCCTTCCCGGCGGTTGTGGCCGTTGCCCTGAAGTCTGCCCGTACCCCATACCATTGAGCCCGGAGCCCTGGTTGAGCTGCTCTATCTCGTCCCCTCGGTCATCCCTTGATGGGCGGGATCGATGTGTATTTATGCTCGAGCCCGAGATATTCCGGGATCCGGACCGCTGGTGAGCGGACTGGTTGCTTTGCAGTCGGTTTAGAGGGGGTGGAGGGGGTGTGGGGTTGACGCGAGACCGGTACTGAGGATCCGAGCCCGAATGATTGGATGTCAGAGATGGTCGGGGAGCGGGACCAGGTGCGGGTGGCGGCTCGGCGTAGTCTTCCTCGTCTTGCTGCTGACTTCAGCTATGATCGACCAAATCAGCATGAAAGACAAAAAACACCTCTTCTTCCTCGAATTCAGGATACCGCCTCTTGAGCTCGTAGTAGACATCGCTCGCCAGGTCCTTGAATCGATTCCGAGGCAGCGTAGCCAACTTCTGGCGAGCCTGATTTCGTTTGGGATGGAAGTCGTCCCGAACCGGTAGGAATGGTACTAGACAGTCAGCTCTGCGCTGTTCCGAAGGCGAGCCAGCTCACTAGCATCTTCTGGAGATCCCTGCTCGACAGATAATCGCCGCATCAACTCGTCGTATACGTCTGTCGACAATTCTTGGAATTGCAGCTTGGTCAAGCGTGTAAGCTTTTCGCGGGCGGATGCTCGAGCCTGAGGCATTTCTGCTAGTCAGCTTTTGGCATCGCCGAGCCCCACCACGACTCATACAGGAGAAAGAACTCACCCTCCTTCAGCCATGTAGCCAGAAACTCCCTCAACGCCGCATAATGTACCCTAGCCACCTCCTTGCTCTCCCCTTTCCTCTCAGAAGAGGGCGGCTTTAGTCCTCCTCCCCCTCCGCCGCTTGGTCCCCCATTCCTACTCCCACTCCCACTCCCGTTCACCGGGACCCGTCCTGGCGGTCCTCCCCCTCCTCCTGGATAGCTGCCGGACCCTGCGCTTGGGTTCCGACTCCCCGACGCGTAGTTGCCATTGGGAGTTTGATTGTATGCCGAATAAGAAACGGAGGATGCGGTCGCTGCGCCCGGGGAATAGGGGCCGCCGCTTGACGGCTGGAGATGAGGGGGTTGGCGAGAGTAGGATTGGGCCGAAGACATGTTGGAGGGTCTTCCTATATGTATGTCCGCTGATGGAGGCGGCCGAGGTGGACGATGATGACTATAATGTCACAGCGGCGCGCATACCGGAGTGCCAGCGAAATTTATCTGGCGAGCCGGCTGTTGGCGTCTTGACCGCCGAAGGACGCGTATTTACCCGTTACAGGTGGGCACCGTTGGGCGTATCGCGCTAGTGCGAGCTGAGGAAGTGTATGGACTATAGTCAAGGCGATGGATGGTCAGTCGAGGATAAAGATGGTGTACGAGATAAGGCTATTGCGCAAACAACGCCTCCCGGGGTTTATAATACGCGGGGTACCTCGTGCCGATCTCCGTGTGTTGACAAGTCCGTCCAGCTGGTGGGCTCGACGGGTGGCGAGTGGCTCCTGCAGGGCGCCAAGGGAGACCTCCTTTGACACTTTCGTCCTCGCTGCTGCTGCTGATCTTTGCGGGTATGCTGGACAAGGTGAAACGCGAACAAGTGGAACCTTGGAATGTTTTCGCGGCCGCTCGGACGCGATCGGAGGCTAAATCAGGATGCGTTCTGGGTCCGGAAGCCTTGCACGACGCGATATGTAGCACATGATGATTGCACTGGCCACTCTAGATAAGTCTAACGTCTATGCTATGTGCGCGAGATCATAGCCTCCTCTTCTCGCAGCGCTCAACGACCAGTGTCGAAGCTCTCGACGTTCAGACGGAACGAGCCCGCTCCTTCCGGCATCGGGATCTGAGCCAGAGCGACCTGCTCGCGGGTGCCGCTCGCCGTGTGCGGCTGAGACTCAAGGGAGTCATCTGAGCGGTTCTCCGCCGCACGGCGCTTGGATGAGGCCCCTCCCCTCTTCTTCTTGTCGACCGACCATGCGATCTGGCAGCAGACCCACGCGCCCCAGGCTTGGGCCGCGAGGAGGCATGGGATCGTGAACCAGAGTATGACGCTGAAGGCGATGTCCGTGGGCTCGCGGTCTGGCGCGTCAGCGTGCGTTCCCCAGTTGCGTTCCCCAGGATAAAGCTCAGGAAGAGGCTTACATGTTCGCTGTTTGGTTCCCCAGATGACAAGCAGCCAGATCGCAGCGCCTACTTTGAGCACAAAAGAGACCATCGCGCCCGGTCCGAGGCAGGACTTGGTGAATCTAGTTGGCCATCCTAGTCGATCTAGATATCAGCATAGTGCCTTTTGTGAAGAGGCTGTGACGTACAAGATAGCAAGCCAAGGAAGACGACCTGCTCGAGTGTGGCCTGGAATAGCCAGACTTCGGCCGTGGTGATCAAGCTCGGATGTTGCACTTGATCCAGGCAGAAGACGACCCAGACGATCGCAAAGATCGTAAGGAGGTGGTGGATGAGTAAGGGGAGGCGGATGGCTTCACGATGAATCATCTCGAATATATCTGATATGTTAGCTCTCATCTCCAGCGTTCGGTCTAGCGGTAGTCGGGACTCACATAGGCCGGTAATGACCACCCCAGCAAGGCGGATACAGCCCACAGATGATACGCTGTAAGAGTACCAGGCGGTGGGAAAGGCCGCCAGCTGGAGACCGAGCGCGACCGAGGTGTAGACGGTAGAGAGGACGTCTTGCGCGTCAGCGGGCTGCTCTCGCGAAGCGAAGGATCTGACTCACATACGACGCAGGTGCGCTGTTGAGACCAGGAAAGCCGAACAAAGGCCTTGCTCGTCCGTAGAAGGATCGCTCGCGTCACGATCGCAGACAGCCACAACAAGAAGAACTGTGGATCAGCTTGGATCTGAAACCGAGCAAGTTAGTCTTACGTAGAGTATAGCGATGCTAGGGAACCATCCTACAGCGAACGGTCCGACCAGTAGCATGCCCACTTTGAGCAGCTCGGTCTCGCTAGACGCCGAGATGCCCTCGAGGCTTTCCGGGGAGTTGGAGGCGGGAGCGATAAAAGTATGCTCATACATCTGCTTGGTGACGACCTGAGTGTAGTTCCGTACAACGCACATCTTGCCACCTGAGTATTAGCTCCATATCATAGTACAAGATCGGCAAGACGTACCAGAAGGACCGATATTTGGGCAGTGCTCGGCCGGTCGATTTTTAAGCAGAGTGGTATGCATGTATCTGCATCCCGTCGTGTCCTGCCCGAGCGCCCACGCGGCACCGAACGTGCGGTTCCCAGTGAGGAAGTCGAGGCACTGCGAGGTCGAGTTGTACTGTTTGAGAGTGGCATCAGAGCAAAAAGTGTCGTGCAGAGAACAGATTCGCCGGGCCGCATGGAGCGTCAAGAGTTCTATGGGTCAGCATATTGCCCCTCGCAATGCCAGCTTGGGACTTACCTTCTTGAGTCAGGCGCCCAGGTGTCACCTCATTCTCCTTTTCGAGATCCGGCATGAGCAGCGACATTACTTCTTGCCAGAACCATGCCCACCGCCTAAAGGTCACGTCGTACTGCGACATCTGGCCACTCTTGCGATCAAAGACGAACCACGCATCGAGTTGGAGCGGTATGGACAAGTTCTGCTTATCAGCCTGGCTCTGAGGACAGCCGAGGGGAAGAGTTCACCTGCTTGAAGAATGTGAAAGACACGATGTTGGATAAGGAGACGACATTGTCCTGGATAGCGAGAGACTGTAGTCTGCCTGCGACCGGCGTAGGGATCAGGGAGGTCGGTTCGAGCTGAGCAGAAGACGCGTTGGATTGAGCAAACAAGCCAAAGACGTACTCGACTGCCTGATCAGCATGCCGAATGATCCAACGGAGAATACAGGAGACAGACCGTTGAGCTCTGCATCGTTAGCTTCCGACCGAGCTTTCCTTTCGCAGTGGAACACTTACCATCTCCCTCGAGTGCGGTCGAGATGTCGATGCGGCCTTTAATGTCTGGCTGAAAAGTGGAGTATGTTCCGCTAGCAGCGATAGCAGCATTGGCGGGGTACAAAATGCTGTCCGTCAGCTACCCCTTCTCTACTTCAAGCTGCTTGAGACTCACTCCTTCGAAAACTGCCCGACGATGTCGAGCCAGTGATAAGGCTGGCGAGCAGCGACGCTTCCGACCAAGCTGCTGATGGTGAGCAAGGTAAATCTCATCGTGGAGAGTGAGCTGGATAGTAACAGGTAAGAGTTGATGCCGATGAGCACGACATCAGTGAGTTTAAATCCCGCTGCTTTCAAGTACAGCTGAAGGAGCCAATGTGATCTGGAGCGCATGGGCAAAGCCCAAAGGTCTCCGAGATCTCAATACTTGCGGCAGAAGGGTGTGAAGGCGGTTGCTGTCCGCACTAAACGCGCTAATAAGAGGAGTTTCCCCTGAAACCTCGTCCGCTTTGACCGTCCTTCCTTGCCGTCCGTCGTCCCCAAAAGCGGACCTGCCACGTTTCAGAGTACGGCCCACATGGTGCAGCCGCATGGCCAGCACAGCCATGAGGAGACCAGTGTGGAGTCGGCGGTGATTTTCCGGATGGGCACGATGCGACGGAGACCGTACACATGGTGAAAGTGAGAGGTTGCGAATGATGCCGCACAGCGCATACCTTACCGTTCAAGGAATGTATAATCGCAAACACGTGATCATATATCATGATATCTTTGATCGTTGATCGTCGGAAGTGATAAACCGAGCTGTTGATGTACCGTGCTCTCCTCACGTCCGCATCATCTTCTCGTGCACAGACGAGCGGCCTACAACCTGTCCGCCTGTTCTGACACTCAACCATAGTTCGAGGTCAGGCTGCGTTCGAGGTCAGGCTGGTCTGCTTTGCACGCATGCATGTCCCGGCTAATACTGACACAACTAATCCTGCCCGCCACTAGCCCGCCATAGCACGACTCCACGCCTATCCACCACGCTGTTCTCTCGGGACTGGAAGCATCAGCACATATCCCGCGTCTATGGGCTAATTGAGCTGTACTCACCGGACCAAGAAACACTCAGAATCAACGAATCGTAACCCCTCCCGTTCATCTTTTGCAGCGCCTTCTCCGCATCATCCCTCGACTCGAAACTGACAAAGCCCAGTCCCCTACTCTCGCGCGTAACGTGGTCGACGACGACGTTCGCACGTACCAAACGACCCTTGCTCTGGAATGGCTTGAAGAGGGCTTCGAGATCTTCGTCGTTTGCGTCGGTCGAGAGGGAGGCGATACGTAGGGTGGGGAGGTCGTCACGATTGCGGTTCATCGATTCACCGCCGCCAGTAGCGCCTGCTCGTTGAGATCTGAAAGTCAGCACTCCTCTACGGGCAATAGCCGAAAAAGACAGCAAGCGCTACTCACGGAGGGACGTATTTGCCTGGTATACCCGCCCCTTTCGCTCCGAGACCGCCCGCTGGTGCAGCCTCCACCTCATCCGCGCCCTCCTCGCCACCTCCGTCCATAGAGTCGATAGCGGCCAAAGCATCCTTGTAGGGACACTTGGCAGTAAAATGTCCTCCCTTACAGAGACGACATACGACACCTTTGCCGGTGGGTGCCTTGGCGGCTTCGGGTTCTGGCTCGACTTGCTGCTTTGTCAGCCGTACCCCTACAAGACCTTGATGGCGGTCCGGAACGGAGGCGTACCTTTGACGCAGCGGAGATTTTGAAATGGAGGTTTTCGCCAACGACAGTGGTGGCGCGGTCTGGGCCGGCTGGCTTGTTCTTGTCGGCACCGAACCTATTCGATCAGCTTCTGCTAGCAAGACCTTATGCCGATTGGATCAACTGACTTGGCCCATCCCTTTCGCTCAGCCACATCGTGCGACACGAGCTGAGTCTGCAACTTCCGCCTGACCCGCCTCACGGTCTGCTGATCAGCTCCAGTCCCTCTCACAACTACCTGAGGAAAAGGCAAGCTCACCTTGACCTTCTTGTCATCATCGTTCAGCTTCCAAGTAGTGATCACCGTGATCCCATCCGCGCCAGTAACTTCCGTAGGCTCCGGGAGCTCTGGTCCGCGTCAGCCTCAATCTCCTCTGCGGTCCGCTCCTCCTTTCCCCGCTCTTCGGGCCTCGGAGACGCACCGGTGTCCTCCTCTGCTGTCCAGTCTGTCTTGATAGCTTTTGTGTCTGCCATTGTTGTTTGTATGGATGCTTATGAGATGTATAGAGAATCGCGTTGAATGGTTGTTCGAAATCTCGGTTGGGTGGCGAGCGAGATCTGACATAACGACGCGCGCGGAGTTAAGCGGGATTATCGTGGTGTGGCAATGGGTTCACCACCGTGTCCACACGTTGAAATATCGCACATGTGTGCACCGCAGGTCATAGATATTCTGACAGCTGCGGAGAAGTCGTTGCTACCTGCAAGAGATGCATAGCGGTGAACAGGAGACAGGACTTCCAAGCTAAAATCGCCTTCCTCCGCTGACAGCTCCCCACCCTCCCGACGCCCCCGCCTGGTGCCGATGAGCACCTGCATGATACGAAATGCACTGGCGAGGCGTTCCGGTGTGATACGCTCGTGGCCGTGATAGATACGCGAGGAATGAGGGGGCTTCGGGTATGGGGGTTCGTTATCGTCCCTACGGTGCGGTATTATGGAGCCGGGTAGATGGAAGCGGGTATCAGGGGGACTTCCAGGCAGCTAGCGGTACGAGGGTTTCTGCTAAAAGATCAGCATCTAGCCTCGATGGCACTACCCTGGTAACAGTAGACACACGTACGAATGGCGGATCCAAGCGCGACTAAAACCCCACATCACCCCAAACGCACAGAAGCGTACACGCCGATGTGGTCCGACATATACACCACCATCCCAGCGTACCTCGCATCACTGACGTGGACCCTCTCATTTCCGAACAGCTCCGCCTTGACCACCTCGTACGGCCTCGAGGGGTCCACCATGAACAGCCTGTCGAGGCGTTTGGGCGATTCCTTGACCGGGTAAGTGACTCCGAATGTGGGAATATTGTGGTTACGAGCCGCCCGAAGCCAGAGATCGTGCTCCCTCCACCAGTCGAGCGATGCCGGGAAAGCCGCCTCATCTTCGGGAGAGACGTTGGTGTCTCCGCAGAAGATCGCCCCTTGGCCACCCGCACTGAGGATGGTCTTGGCCTCCCCAAGCTGCCTTTGCCGCTCCGCCTGGCTCCGATGCTGGGGTGTGGGCGACTCGACGTGCGACGTGCCAACCTTGAAGCCGACGAGGCCCTCGGTAGGCTTGCCCTTAACGCCTGAGAAGGTAGCATAGAGGAGATGTCGACCTTGATTGGTCCCCTCGCGGGGTATGGGGCTGTCCGAGTATTCCACCCGCATGTCCGATGCGGCGACAGTGTCCCTATTGAACAGGATGAGGCAGCCATACCAGGTCTGAGGCGAGATATCCGCCCCTTCGTCCCCACCGCCAAAGTACCCAAATTTGGATCGCACCCCCTTGTGCGCCCGCATCATCGCCAAGAACTCCGAGTTAACTTCTTGTAGGCAGACGACATCTGCTCCAAGCCCGACGAGGCAGTCGAGAATAGCAGCGAAGCGTACCGAGCCGTGCATCTTGTTGTCGAACCAGACGTTTAGGGTGGCGACGGTAAGAAGGGGCCGCTTGGGTGAGGGGGGGGGATGTTGAGGTGATTTGAGCGGGATCGAACACCATGTCTTTGAGGACGTCAAGCTTGGTCGCCGGAAGGCAAAGGCTGCGAGTCTAGGTGTAGATGCCATCTCGACGACTATGGTCGTGTGATATGAGCAGTTGAAGGAGCTTGAGAGCTCGCGGCCGGAGAAAGGCGCTGCGCGCTGAATGGCTGCGTGGGCGGCTAAACCGCGGATAGTGTAACCACACCACCAGAATAGCCCAACAGCCAAGCCCGAAACGGTCTCCACGTTCGCGGACAATCTGCGAACGGGCAAGGAAGCCTCAGAGCCGCTTGGCGGACGTGCCCAGACGCCCAAATGAGGGTTGTGGACAAGTTGCTCTCGCTCGTGCTGCGTGGGAATTCTGAAGGTGCGCGTTCATGAGTGAGTTTCGCTCGAAAGCGGGCTGGCTCTGGATGCATGCGAGGCAATGGTACGCCTTGCTCCCATGGCCATCAGCAGTCGTGGACGCTCAGCGGTTATCAGTTGGGTTGTCAAGTCTATGAAGCTTCGGTAGCCAAGACGTGCCCGACGGCGACGGAGACCTTCGGGAAGCTTCGGGGCGATCAATCCCGAGTTTGCTTTGTCCGGATTGCCTTTTTGGCGCGTGCCTGAAACACACTTGGCGATGACGGCATCCTTTCTTGGCAGCTTATCTCGTTTTAGTTCGGGACACGTTCACTCGTCACTCTAATCACTTGAAAATAGCTCAAGAGTCAGCAGGGGAAGGCAGCAGCAGTGAGAAAGGCATACATGCATGGCCTCGCCTTGGCCATCTACGGGACCCGAGTAAGCTTGCTGTGGTCTTCGCTGAGCAGACACGAGGACAGCTGTGAGACGGAGACGGAGAAGCTGAGCCCAGAGCGGTGCCAAGAACAAAAATATCCCCGGGTGAGCTTCCTTGAAATCTTGGAATGCTGGGCCAAGCCAAGGACATCGAGAATAACTCGCTCAAGTCTCCTTGCGCTCCTCGCCCACTATCTATAGCCAAGAACTCCCTTCACCTCAGCATACCCGATGATTGTCCGCACCGCAGTCCCCCATATCAACACCGTAGACAATCCCCCCCGCCCCCCTTTCTTCTCTTTCATACATCCATCTACCAATACTCAACCTCCAATACTTAAACCAGCCTCAACTTCAACTATACCATGACTACCACCCAGCAACAACCACGCGCCATGGCTACTGGCCACCGCCACCACCCCTACGCCGCCGCGTCTTCTTCCTCCTCGCGCGCAGTTCAGCCCCAGGCAGACCGCAAATACACCTCCGCCCACGCCAGCTCCAGCCGCCGCTCACCCGAGCACCACGTCAGCCAGGTCATGCCTCCCTCCCCTCCTCGCTCGCGTCGTGATCACTCAGAGACCCCTCCTTCGGGTCTTGGCGCAGCCTTTGGCGGTCGAGACGGCGGCAAGTGGTGGGACGAAGAGCTGGTAAGTCTACCGTGCTTTCTAGCGTGAACCTCGCTGACACATCAGCCTCAACCTCCTGCATCCCTCTCCTCCATCCTCGACTCCTTCCGCCGCTCTGGCGAAGGCGACCGGGACCTCCTCCTCGCTATCCTCGGCGCCAAGAAGGCCGAGGAAGAACGTCTCACCTCCCTCATCCAAACCCGTCTCACCATCCTCCAGGCTCGGCTCAGCGTACACGCCGCTGCCGACGCCGCTCCCACCCATGCCGAAACCATCTACTCCCCTCGCGGCTCTACCACGGCTCTCATGCCCGAGCGGACACCCAGCCTCACCTCTCGCGCATCTGCTTCATCCTCCGCCGGCCCCGTCTCACCTATCGATCAGCCCCAAGCCTACATGTCGTATGACCCTCGCGAGTCGGTCGCCCGATCCCAGGCTTTCCACCTTCCCCCTCCCTCGGGCCTCTGGCGCAAGGTATCTTCGGGCCCCGAGACGCTTCCCTCCATCCGGATGCCCGCTGGCGGCGTCAAGCGGTCAGAGTCGGAGTTTGGGTCGCCCAGGCATGACCTGAACGGGCTGGACATGCTACTGGATGCGGGCAGGCGGGTGGAGACAAGGTTGGAGTAGGGGAAGAGTCAGAAGTATAGAAGTAGCATAGCGACAAGTTGTACAGACACACCATTGTAGATACCATGTAAATAAGGTCTGTTTCTCCCCTGCTGCCGGTGGCTCGCTCTCGCGCACAGACCTACCTTCTGGACAGTCATCGATGACGAACCATAGTGGCCTGACCGGCCTGATCCTGATCAACCATCTCGACCGGGGCAAGCATGGTCAAGACGTCAACCTCCACTTCACCTCGACAAATTTCGCCCGTCCATATGTCGACTCTCCCACTTCATACATTGCACATCACTCTCTACGGTGTCCCCTGCCCTGTCCACCGCTGTCACTGGCTCTGCTCCTCCCTTCCCGATCTGCATCGCAGATCCTAGTCTGCGGACATCTTCTCCTCGTCATCTCTATCACTCCGCATTCCTCATGTGCCGGTCAAAATCTATCGCCTTTTAGCTCCTACACCCGACCCGACTGGCCCACCGATCCGTCAAGATGGTTCCCCGCCCGGCCTTCGTGTTCCCCGCCCACGTCCCTTCGTACTTTCTCGGACACATGGCCCGCTCACTCCGAGACCTCCCAAAAGTCCTGAGCGACATCGACCTGGTCATTGAGGCCCGAGACGCTCGACTACCGCTCAGCGGTGTAAATGGGAACTTTGAGCGAGTGATACGGCGAGCATGGGGCGGGATGGGCGCTGGCGTAGGCGGGAACGAGGGTGCGGGATGGGGCGGGAACAGGCTATCGGGCGGGGGTGCTGCGGTACAGAGGGCAGAGGGCATGGGTGAGGGTAAAGTCAGGGAGAGGATTGTGGTGTATACGAAGAGGGACTTGGGGGAGCTTCGGTATGAAGAGGTGAGTCGATCCTGTTGACTTTGGTGAGATGTGCTGATGACAACAGCCACTTCGGAAAGCCTTTCTCGAGCACGCAGGCCAAAAGGTCTTCTTTGCAGATACCAATTCCGACAAGGACGTCAAGCACATCCTACGATATGCTGTACGTGAGTCTTCCCTACGTCCTACACATCTCAGCGCACCTCTCTGATATCAAATCTCCGTCCCAGAGCTGAGCAAGCAGAGGTAGCAAACGACAACAGGGCAGTTATGAACGAGATGAAGATTCTCGTGGTTGGTATGCCAAACGTGGGCAAATCATCCCTCCTCAACGCTCTCAGAAGAGTTGGCGTCCATAAGGGTGAGCTACATCTCTACGTCCTCCCTGCCGATGAGTACCGAGCTGACAAGACAGGCAAGGCGTTCCGGATATCCTCTCAGCCAGGCTACACCCGCAAGCTCACGGGTACGGTCCGTATCCACTCTGAGCCGGACTTGTACGTATACGACACGCCGGGCGTCATGGTGCCATACATGGGCAAGGGGGAGAAGGGAGCGGAAAGGGCGCTGAAGTTCGCATTGACCAGTAAGCTGCTCTGCCCGTCTGAGATCCCATCGCAAGCTCATCCCACAGCCGGAATCAAGACCGGCCTGTTCGAAGAGGAACTAGTAGCCGAGTACCTCCTCTACCTCCTCCGGCTGCATCACTACGACCGCCATCCCACGCCCTCCACACCATCATGGCAGACAGCGCTTGGCCTACCGGGTAAGCCAATCGAATCGCTAGGCGAGCTCCTTGAGGCCTTGGCGAGGCGGCTCGGTACGCTCCGGAAGGGCGGAGAGGCGGATACGGATGCAGCGCTGGTGTACTTCCTCAAAGCATTTAGGGGGGGGAAGTTGGGGAGGATGACGATCGACGAGCTGCGTTCATCTATTGGGATGGGTGGGGATGCGGAGCCGGCTGTGATTGAGGTCAACAGGGAGGAAGGGAATGAGGTGGAGAATGGAGAGGCGGAGCTCGGATCACCGGCCGAGCTGTCGCCGCCAACACCCTCGACTGCGATACTATCGGCAGAAGATCAGTCATCGACATCTGCATCATCGTCATCTTCGCCTTCGTCAGACCCATCCAGCACAACTACAACTATTCCATCACCCATGCCATCGCCCACACCATCGATTATCTCATCACACACATCATTACCCGCACAATCGACCATACCATCATCTCAGCCCCCTTCCTCATTCCGGCAAAACCTCGACGCCGAGATATCCGCCTCGGTCCGTACGTTCCTCCTCGACCAAGCGCGCAAGCTGGACCAGACGGAGGAAATGTCTCAGTCCCAAGAGCGGAAGAAGGAGATACAGCAAAAGAAGGCAGAAAAGGCGTACAAGTGGAAGGCGAAGCATCCGGGTTTGGCGGCGGGAGTGAGCGGGCAGGCGATGGGCAAGGGAGTGGGGTGGAGTAGAGGGGATATGAGGATGAAGGCGAAGAGGAGGAGATGAGATGTTTGTGAGGAGGGGCGGGGCGAGTTGGTTGATGCGATATTGACGCCATTTACTGGGAGGCTTAGCATGAACTTGCACTCATATCTAATCACAGCTGATGGATAGCATGGTGTTCTCGATCGCATGAAACAGACCATGTCGACTGGTCCATGTCTGACAAATGGTCCGCTGTGCTCTTGTACAAGCATCTTCGTACACGTCCAGCCTACGAGACCACCCCTCGGACGGTCTCCGAAGTCCCCCCAACGTTGTGGAAACCCACATGATGGCCGGCTCGAGCCATCTGTTTGTGCCGTGGGGAAACGCGATCATACATCGGATACATACAAAGATCAAGCTAAACAAAGAGGCCTAGCCACACAAGGTCCTACAACGACTGCAGTGGTCTATGCGCTACGCCTACTTGACACGCATGTTCTCTCATACTAAGCGATCTCCATCAAGCGCTTCGGGTCGGCACACTTCATCTCCCCCCCGCACTTCAGCGACAGTCCGAACTGCACGTCGCAAGCTACCTTGTAGGGATCATCCGGCTTAGCGATCTCCCAACGGACGCGCCGGAAAGAGTCACCAGGTGCTTGGTCGAGCGTTCCCTCGATCCAGCACTGTCCTCGTCAGCATCCTGTAACGATACTACATCAATCGTTGTGCACTGACATTCACAGGTGGGGCGTCTTTTGCGATCCAAGTGAACGCGCCTTTTCCCGAAAGCCAAGAAGATTCGGTCTTCTTAGGGTCGTCGTCGACGTAGAGAAGCAGATAATCGCTTGGCGACATGTATTTGAAGGTCAGGATCTTGTGTAGGCCTTGAGCGGCACCGGTACCGCCAATGGCGAGATGGTGGGGCCCGGTATCCTCCCCTTGGATAACAATGCGGATGAGATCCGCCTCTTTGGCGCGGACGACTAGGAGGGACGCGAGAGAGAGGAGCAGGGCGATTGGAGTACGCATGATGGTAAGGTAAGCTCGTGGGGGTCAGTCTTTGCCTTGAAGATACTGCAGGATTGGGGTTTGGCCTTGAAGTCAGGCCGAGGGTGGGTCAATAGTACGGCTACGTGGTGGTCCACCTTTGTAGCAAATGTCAGCCCGTCACAAACGTCACACCTTTGTGGTCAGTGTCAGGTGATGGCAGCCGATTGACGGGGAGATTGACGGAGAGATTTGACGGGGAAACTGAACATTTGTGCCCCTGGCAAGTTTCCTCTTTGTCCTCGAGATCTCGTTCCCGTGACTCACGTGAGAGCACTCATAGATTACTCTCCCCGTGGACCATCCTTTGTTCCCCGCGACAGACCAGAGTGACAAAGGAAAGGAGCTTGCTTGTTCGCCACCCAACCGCCACACACGAAGATCAAAAACCTGCGTACTAACCTCTTTTACCCGTCCCGGTGTTCTGCGGCGTTTCAGTCATTTGCACTAGGAGCATTTCGAGTTCAGTGAAGGTGAGTATTGTTGACTTCGAGTTGCGGCTGAGTAGCATGTCCTGTAGTATGTACTATAGCCGCCTAAATACTCCCTCGCGTCAGCTGCCTGACATGCACCAGTCCTGCTTCCAAGCGATCCAGCGTTCGTCTTGCCCCTAGGACAGCCATCACCGCAGGTACACTTGGCCCCTTCTGCTCACGTCAGCTCATTGCCCAAGCGCCCACCCGACCAGTCCTGAAGTAACTCACGCGGCGACCCGTCAGAGCATGCCGCATGGGCGTCAACAGCTCCATCCTCGCCTGGACCTGATTTTCCCGCAGAACAGAGTTGATAGCTGCCCAGCCGAAATCCTCTGTCAACACGCCTGTCCCCTCAGATAGGCGTTTCTCCAGCTCGCGCACAATGTGCTCGACCATCTCGACTACAACATCAGCAGCTATCCGATAGCTTGAGGACCAATGACATTACCGTATAGGACTGGGTTCACGGTCTTGAGCATCTCTGAAGTCTCGACAGCTGAGAAGTCCGGGTCGAGGAAGAAGAAGATTGACGACGTGCTCATGTCTTTCAGAAGCACCGTTCGGGCCTGGGATTTCAGCTATGAGACAACGGAGGGATCTTGGGGGCCTTACTAGCTCAGCGTCGAAGACCTTCTCGACGTAGTCCAGATCCTCCACCAGAGCACTGCCTAGTCAGCATCACCAAGCCACGCAGATCCCTCTTGACTCACTTCCCCTTCAATACCTTCTGCTCCCTCAGCATCCCTTGTAACCTAGTCACCATCTCTGCCCTCTCCTGCTCGTGCCCCTGCATGGTCTCGTCTACCTCTTCCGCTCCATCCTGTCCTTCCACAGCTTCCAGGCCCTCCTTCCCCTTCTCGACCAAGACGCCATCATCGCCCAGCCGACCTGCTTTCCGGCGCAAGGTAAGCTTATTGATGAAGTCCAGCTTGGACATGTTGACTGCCGCCTTTCGGTGGTTGATATGTTCGATGGAGAATGCCGCGATGAGCTGGCCGGGAGTAAAGAGGTCGTAGTAGGAGTGAGAGTCTGCGCGGGTCTGGGGCGGTAAGAGGGGTCCATCGTCCGGAATGTCGGTTGAGCTCGTCACGAGCGACTCGTCTCCGCCCGCTGGAGCCACAGCAGAGGTGCCTGAGGCCGAGGCGATCTGCTGCTGCCGCTGAGCGAGTTCCTCTAGTGCGGAGTGGTGGTCCCATCCCATCAGAGCGAGAAAGTTGAGCAGAGCTTCGGGTTCGTACCCCTTGTCCTGCCGTGTCAGCTAGAGCGCCAGCCGAAGACAACTTGAAACTAACTCGGTAATGCTCAACCCGAACATCTCCCGTCCGCTTGCTGAGTTTGGTACCATCCGCGTTTACAAGCAACGGCAGGTGAGCAAAGCCAGGTGGTGTCCAACCGAATGCACGATATAGCGCATGATGCTTGGGTACGGATGGCAGCCATTCCTGCAGATCAGTAGTCGATCCGATCAGCTATTAAGCCGACTTACCTCTCCTCGTAGCACGTGCGATATTTCCATCGCGTGATCGTCTACCACGCTCGCTAGATGGTACGTCGGCCACCCATCAGACTTCAGCAGGACAAAGTCGTCCGCTGCTGCTAATGGCGGGAACTGTACATCCCCGTATATCAGATCTGCCGGTATTTGGCCGACATTTATCGGGTCCTACGAGCTCAGCATAGTAAGAAAGTGTACGTTGCTGAAGACTCACCTTGACACGGACGACATACTTATGCCCCGCCTGTTTCCGCCGAGTCCGGTCCTCGTCCGTGAGATGTCTACACCGACCGTCGTACGCATGCCTATGTCCCTGCTTGACGAGCTGCACCCTGATCTCTTGGAGCTCAGAGGGCGAGCAGAAGCATTCGTACGCGTGATCATGGCCCAGCAGATACTGTGCATGATGGCGATATAGATCGACTCGTTCGGACTGTCAGATCAACTTCGGGCTCTTGATGCCTAAGACGTCGCTGGACTTACCTGGACGTATGGGCCTTTTGAGCCACCGGCTCCGACGCCTCATCAGTCAGCTTCAGTCACAGATCGACCTTTCTAGCCACGAAGATACCTTCATCATAGTCTAGTCCTGCCCATTCTAGCGTGCTTCGCAACGAGTCTACCGCACCAGGAACCAGCCTCGTCTGGGCTGTCAGCTAGATCATCAAGTTATTTCGGGCTACCGCACCTGATCTGTGTCCTCGATGCGTAATATCCACTTGCCCTTCCACTTCCTCGCCAACAAGTGGTTGAACAGAGCTGTTCGTAGTCCGCCTAGATGCAAGAAACCGGTCGGAGAAGGGGCGAATCGAAGTCGAGCATTAGCTGGCGGTGAAGCCGGAGGAGAGGCCGATTTGGAGTAAGCCCTCACAGAGGGAAGCTTAGAGGGGCCTCCTAAGCGTGGAAGAGCTACTGATGCCCTTCTCATTCTGTGTATGGCTAGGTGAGGTGGATTGACGGTCTCACAGCCAAATCGCCTGGTCGTCAGAAAGTTGAGGAATGTTTGTGGGGCTCCGCGCGTCTCGCCTGGCCGGCCGTGAAGAAGGCTTGGAGCTTGGACAGCGTTGAGCGACCCCCTTCATCCATCATCCTACATCATAAGCTCGCCCTGATAAGCCCCTGTCATGACATTTTACCCAGATGGTGACTTATATCCTGCGGGATTCGCCACTTCGACCCTTGTCGTCGTAAGTCTCAGTCCCGCGTGCCAGCGAGCTGAAAGCGGGGCTGATCGTTCAGCCCTCGGTCTCCCTAGCCAACCTGCCTCAACTATGCGTTGATCTACTCATCACGTCTCTAGGACTAAAGAGAGTCGGATGGATAGGGAAGGGAGACACGGTCGCTCCGTTCGCGGGACGAGGAGAGCAGGGCGAGGTCGTTACCGGTGGATTGGAGGGTGAGGTCTTCGGATTCAGGTCGGGTCGGGGTTTGTACATCTGCTGACAGGATAGTATATGGTTCGGCAGAACAAGGACTGTATGTCATCCAGCAGAGATCGCCTACGCTGAAAGTAGGTCAAAGTCCAATTACAAGCTGATCAAGTAGAGCAAGAAGGACGAGCACGTCGAGCTACTGCGCTCATTCGCGGAGGACAGCAAATTCGGCTTCGTCTTGGTGCTCACCAGCTTGGATGCGGCGAACCAGGACGATGCCCAGCTCTTGTTTGTGGTTCTCTCTGGACACAAGGAGTTTTGAATACTGACGATGTGCAGAGCACCACATCAGCACATCGCTCCGCCGTCTACTCCAGCGCCATCTGACGTCCTAGACCGCTTGCGATCCTTCCCTGCTCTCTCCTTGTCCCTCGCCTCAGACCGACCTCCCACCTCAGATCCTCAGAGATCTACAGCGCAATACCCTCCATTCCTTCCCTCAGCTGGCTTGACCCGAAGACTTCTGGCTGCGCTTCAGACAACATCAACACCACATGGGTGCCTCACGGTCTGGTGCGCCGAGGGAGACAACCGAGAAGACGCCTACGCGCTCACCGCTCGGGTCTTGTACCTCCTGGATAACCGTGAGTCATATCCGCTGTCGCTGAGATCATTGAGACGGGGCAAGCTGATCAGTACAGGACCGGAGCAGATCAAGGAGCCCAGAAGCTGGAAGGGCTTATTCGGCGTCGCGGACGGATGGAGCGGGGGTCATGGAGCTGATTCCGAGATCTATGGGTGATGCATTGGTTCATGACCTTTGCTTTACAGGCCTATACTGTCGACCTTCCAGAGGTCATCCCTGCGGGTCAGCTCGTTTCCAGCCCAGCCCGTATGGCTAGATTTTCAGAATACAGCTCACCCGATCCAGCACAAGATCTCCACAGCTACGCCCTTTCCGCTCTTCTTCACATCCGCCGAGCTCTCTGCCATCTTGCCAATTCCGCAAGCATGGTTCTTCCCCTCTGCGTGTACGGCCACAATCGCGTCCTTATCGAGACCGTCCGGTAATGCTCCACCAGCAGATAGAAGACCCGGAGCCATCATGTTGGCGCCCTAGAGGTCAGCAACCTCGCTCGAGCACACCGTTAGTTAGCAGGGAAACTGACAGCCAAGAGGAACTTGATCGCTCCTCGATCTATCCGAACATGGGGAAGCATTGCAGGATCTGCGAGTATCAGTCCTGAACAGGCGAGGTGAGTGATTCGACTTACACTGGTGCAGCAGTTTCAGAGTTGGGATATAGGGACCGTCAAAGTGGTTGAAGAACAGAGGTGTTCCGGCGAGCGTGTAGAGTGATATCCGGTCATGACTGACTGTCAGAAGTTGCAGCGGCAGTTAGAAGAGCACGGCACTCACCATTTCGTCAGGCCCAGGGCCTCCTTCTTCGGCCATATCTCATCCAGCACATTCTGCTCCCCATCTTCTTCCTCTGCCTCCGCTACTTCTCCGCCCTTATCCTTCCCCTTCCCCTTACTCTTTCCTCCTCCTTTCCCTCCGCCCTTCTTGCCTCCCTTCTTCTTGCTGCTCTTCCCAGTATCCTCTTCGTCCTCATCCGCTGCCTCTGGCACGTCCGCCACTGCTACTTCTTCCATCGAGAGTGGAGCTGCGGCAGAAGGGTCACGGTAGGCTGGTTGGGTCAAGAATGGGTATTGCGTTAGGAGCGCGGACCGAATGCCCCGCTGAACCGATGACTTGAGGGAAGTCGAGCCGGACACATCGTCCTTCGGGTGGAACCTGGGATATTAGTAAGGTGATTTGGACCACAAGCACTTTGCAAAGCATCCGGTGAGATCCATTAAGGGTGTCTGTGCCGTGCTCGAAGAGTCCGGACTCACTTCTTAAACATTTTTTCGCAGCTATCTAGCGGGGGTGTATTGTTCGAGCTTCTTCTCCACCTTCTTCTCAGCTGATGGACTGGTTGTTTTCAATGATGAGGTGAGAGAATGTGCTAGGAGAGACAGAGAACTCTCCTTCCAGCAGCTGCACACCTTTCTTTCCGTTGCTCGGGAAATGACGCCATCTCCGCAAAGAGGAATGCTGTCTCCTCTGCGACCTTTGCCAGGAGTCTTCAAGCTTGAAGTTCTGTTTCATAGTTGCATACATCTATCTAGATACGCTACGGAAGTCACGCGCCACCCCGCGACCAGCGCAGAGCAGCATCAGAGACGACTATTCGCGGAGAGAGAGTCCGAGGGTGTTAGGGGGGGTCGGAGGAAAGGATGTACGGGGTCTATGATAGAAGGCTGAATGTCCAGCTATTCAAAAATGACAGATCGTAAGAAACAGCGGTACCCGAAATACGAAGTCGACGTGACAGATAATAAGAACGGGGCTCAAGAAGCCTAGACGAGGGTTGGGTGGGTGAAGTACTTGACATACGACACCTATACTCATCAGCTCTGCCCAAATGCTATGCCAAACTTCAGTACTCACCTCCCAGAACGCATCGTTGAACTTCGAGCCCTCGTTCCTCACGTAGTCGTCGCACTTGGAGTACCCGGTGATCGCGGCACAAGACTTGTCCTGGCCAGCGAAACCACCGTAGTTCCAGATACCGTCGGCTCCGGCCCAATCACCGCAGAAGGTGTTGGTGAAGATGTTGAAATTGTCGTGGAAGAACTTGTACGGGTCGCAGAGATCCGAAACGAAGGTTCCGACGGGGAGACCCCAGGAGTCAGGGTTGGGTTGCTCAGCGGAGATGTCGGCGGGGATAGCGTAACGGGGGAACCACCAGACGCGGACGCCGTTCTTGGCCCAGAGCACTGCTCGTCAGCTGAAGCTCACGACAGTCTAATCAGAGCACACTTACAAGCGTAGACACCACCACCAATGTCGTTGAAGGGCTTGCCGTAAGACTGACCCGACTTGAGGTCGCGGGTTCCGCATCCCTGGTTGGCAGTCTCGTACGAGGCGCAGTTGTACGAGTCGAAACCGCCGGTGGTGAGCACACCAGTCTACGCTGTCAGCTATGGCTCATGTGCAAAGGAGCAGACTTACTTGGAGCTCGTTGGTGTTCCAGGGGATACGACATCCGGAGCCAGTGTGGACGGATACCTGGTTCTGCGAGAACTCGTTGACGCCCTCGAGGATATCGATCTCACCACCGTACGGCCAGTTCGGGCCGTTCATCCACCAGGCGGGCCAAGTACCACACCCGGTAGGCATGTGCCATGCGTCCATGAGCACGAGACCACCGGTGAATCTGAACATCAGCATAAGGTCTCTCAGCAGATCGCTAATACTCACACCTTCTTGCCGTGCAGACGGACAGCTTTCCGTCCTCGACCGCCGATGTGCTGAGTGGTGTCGACCTTCATCACGGCGTTACCCTTCGAGTTGGTCGAAACGAGTCCCTGGTCCCAAGATTGCCCTCGGTCCTGGTAGTCAACCGTACCGTGGGTGGGATCATCGTAGGACCAGAAGTCCCAGTTGTCAAAGAAGGTGTTGCCGGACTGCAGGTCAGCATGAGATCAACAACCTAGAACATTGACATACCCAGTTATCGGTCATGCGCCAGCCCGAGTTTGACGCCGGCTTCGGTGAAGGGCTGGGAGATGAGGTCGGAACGGGACTGGCGGTGGTAGACGAAGCAGGGATGGGGTTGGCATTGAAGCCTCCGCCGATTGTGGTGTTCGCAGCCGGCACCGTGGGCGCCTTGCATGCGCGCTTCTTGACCGTCTTGCGGACTAGCCGCTTAGCCTTGCCGCCCTTGGGGCTGACGAGGTGCGATCGCTTCTCGGAAGCAGGTGTCGCCTCGGGCGACGATAGCCGGAGGGCGAGCGCCTGGTGTGTCCGACGAGCGAGACCGTGCAGCGAGAGCGCCGAGGTGAGAGGAAGGAGGGGGATGAGGTAGTTCGCGAGCAGCATTCTGACGTGCGTATGGGGGTATAGGGGATATGTGTTGGGCCGCTAGGGCGAGCGTGGGAGGTGTAGGACCGGTGAAAGTTGGCCTGGAAGGGGAGGATGCTGGGCGCGCTGCGCTAGCCTGTGTACCGAACAAGAGTCGAAGAATTTGGCGCAGCCGTGGACAGCGATGATCGGAGATCCGCCAGGGATTTTGGTATAGAGGCAACGAGACGAAGAGCGCGAGAAGGGAAGAAGGGTTGCGGGATGGCGAGGCACGGAGATGATACCAGGGGCGGACATCGTGGGCAAAAGTTGGTCGTGACGGGCAGGCGAGGTATCGGACCAGCATATCGGGAATAGAATAGCGTGTGGGTGGAGGTTCGGAAGGGGAAGAAAAGCTATGTCAGCGTGTGAAACACTAGCAGGTGGAGTTTGGGTTGAGACTGAAACATCGGCCCCATACACATGTCCTCCTCCATCCCTTCGGCCGTACCAGGTGCCTCCACCTCGAGTGCTCCACCATCCCCGTTCGCTTGCGGCGCACCGATGCAGCCAATGCACGTCGCATCCAATCCCCCCGCCCACAAACATCGCTCCTCTCAGTCGCGTTTTCCCCCTTTTCTTCCTCGCGAAATCACGCGCGTCGCGACTGAACTCTCAACTCACCTATCCTCAAGAGAAAAAGATGTCCGTACGACGGTGGAGAAGAGGGTTGAGAAGGAGTGAGAATGAAGGACAAGAGACAGATGAACCAAGCTGCCAATTTGATAGACGCAACCTCGTCAGTATCGCTCAAGCACCAACAGACGAGCCAGCAAGCCCACAATACCATCCGACGTGCCTCCGTAAATGTGACATAACCCTTCGGACCTGTCACCTGAAAGTCAAACACCAACAAGCCTTCCGGCGCCGTCGCGAGTGCTTCCTTCCGCGTTGCGCCTTGCTCAGGGGTTCGAGATGGGCCGAAGACGTAAAGAAGCCGGAAACCCTGTGACAAGGCACAACAGCGGAGGATAAAGATGAAACGCCTTGCCACCTCTGACGTGGACGTTTGAGGTCCTCCTTCTGTGACTCCGTCCACTCCGTGTCATGGTATGCTGTCGAGGTGAAAACCAAGTGAAGCTCGGCAAGCCAAGGGGAAGGCCAAGATGTCGTCTTTTAGGTGGAGTCTGAACGTTTGAACGACTATACATCCGACGCTCGGTCAAGCTATGGCAAGCCCTGCATGATCTACTGGACGCGATGCTCACAAGGTGTCTCCTCCAGAGCTCCGAAGTCCGAGACATATGCCAGGATAGAGATGTCAGCCTGCTGCCGCTGCAGATCACTGATCTAGGTGATCAACGTCTACGGTCGGTCTCGATGGCTGATTGCAGGATGGACGGCACTGCTGTCATCCACGCGCCACAAGGTTGGCGAGCTGCTCCATCTGCCGAAGTATGGGATATACATATTTCAAGACTATCTACAAGAGGTCTCTATTCACAGCCGCGCTCGCTCGCTTCCATCTTCTGCTGATGGTGACCCGAGCTGCCTACTTCTTCTTTGTGGCAGCCTTCTTCGGAGCCGCCCCATCTGCCTTCTTCCCCTTGGGTTTGACGGCCTTGATGAGCTTATCCTTCGTCACATCATTCTCCCCATCGCTATCTCCCTTCCCGTCTGGCTCATCCTCAGGCGCCACTTCGTCCTTCATCATCAGCTCGATCCTTGTCCAGGGGGAAAAGACTCACCTCAAACACCTCATCGTTGTCCGGCGCGGGTCCCTGATCTGCGATCTTCTTCTTGGACGCGGCGAACATGTCACCCTTGTGGAAAGCGATCGGGTGGTCGGCCTTGTTGTATCTGCGGCGGTGAGCGCTGTCCTGGCCGTAATCAAAGCCTATAGACTCACTGCCTCGTGAAGGCCGACTTGGTCGCAGTAGCGATCTTTTTCATGATCGCCTCGCCATTCATCTCTCCCACCCCCAGCTCAACGAAAGCATCCCAATCATCCTTCCCAAGGTAATACTCGTCCATGTAAGCAATGGTCTCCTCGATAGCATCCTTGATCATCAGCTTGGATCCCTGGTATTTCACTCGGTGACTCACCGCTCCGCGCTCCTTCAGCGGAAGAACGATCTTGCTCGCCAGCATTGGCATGTACTGCTCCCTGATCTCCTGCCGACCGCCCGAAACACGCAGTCGCATCCGAATTTGGATGTCGGTGAGTTGCCGACCAAGTTTGCCTTGCTTCGAGTTCTGACCGAGCCACCTGGGAATGTCAGCTAGATCTCCTGACCATGCGATTGATGCCGCTCACTGAGGGAAAGATGGTCCGCCCCAACCACCGCCACCGGTATTCCGACCGGTCCCGAAGACGTGGAAAGCAGGCGCGACGGTAGACGCGATAGCATGAACAGGAAGCAATGACCAGTGCTGCTCGGACCTGCAATATCAGCTCTGACTCCACTAAACAAAAAATTATGGGGCTCACCCATGTATCATCCGATCAATAAGGTCACCATCCGAGATGCTGTCTGCGGCTTTGCTGACCAGCTCCAGATGCTTCTGGTCCCTCTCCTTCTCGCCGTAGCCATTCACGGCCGATGGATTGGTCTTGAGGTAGTGCTCCTGCGAGTGTCAGCTATTTCCCTTCCAAATGCCGAATGGATAAGCTGACCTGCATGAACAGCGGGACGAACGAGAAGTCCTGGAAGTACAAGTCCGACTTATCATTGAGCGATTCCCGATTGGTCTTGGAGAACGAGTACGGCCCGGTGAGCTTGTCGATGATGGTGAAGGGAGTCAAGATCGTATTCTTCTCGTTGACCTTGGCGCTGCTATCTCAGCTTCCTAACCCGGCGATTTCAGGCTGATAGACCTGACTCACAGATGCTTGCCCTCGTCAAAGTTCATTTCGGCCTTGGCCAGCTTGAACGTTGAAAGCATATTCAGTACCTGCCGGATGTCCGAATTGGCGCCCTTGATGAGTTCATCGACGACGTTGGGCGGGACTTTCATCTTCTCCCTGAAAAGTCAGCTTGCTACCTGTGTGCCTCATGAACTTGACGTACTTAAAGAGGATCGACATGATACGTGATCGGATCTCATTCGGCTGAGGTCTGGGTTATCAGCGTACAGCCCCGTCCCGACTAGCCCCTGCACCAGCACGTACCGTCTGAAGGACATATTGAACGTTGTGCTCTGCAGTGGCTTCATCTTTTGCAATGTCCGGTCATTACAGATGAGGATGAGAGGTATCTGCGTCATCAGCGAGACGTCCGATATCGCATTCACAGGCTCGACACTCACTCTGGTCTTCTTGATCAGGACATTCAAGGCTCCGACACCTCCTCGATCACCAGCAGACATGCCGTCCACCTCGTCCATGATCAGACAAGTCTTGGAGCCTATCCGAACATCCGCCACCATCGTTGACTGGGCGATCAGCTGGGACTCTTGCCGAAAGATCCTGATATAGACTTACACCGATGCCCTTGCCGGCGAAGAAGCCGTCGAGACTGGTGTTATCGATATTTGTTGAGTTCTGGGCTGGATCAGCTTGACTGCCCTTGGTCGAGCAATACAAGACCTATTCTGAGACTCACTTCGACCAGCTTCTTGCTTCTGGCATCACTCGCATTCAGCTCGATGGGGCTATATCCCGCCATTTTGGCCATCAAGTGCGCGCTGGTGGTCTTGCCGATACCGGGCGGTCCGGAGATGAGAAGAGCGCGGTAGATTCCCATACCGTCTTTGCCAGGCTTCTTGAAGCCTGACTTGAAGTTGGCCTCCCTGAGATGTCAGCTCTGCTCAATTCCATCTGATAAACGCAGCTCACCATGCCTCCAGCCAAACCAAAATACGATCGACCTGCGTCTTGTTGCCGCATATCTCCTTGACGTTCTGGGGCGCATACCTCGTCGTCCAGAGCTGAGACGAGGACGATGTCACTTTTCTGCACGATCAGCCGAGATACCCACTTCAGGCCTTCTGACTGACTTGGCCGCAACACCCGCATCCGCCATCGCCCTTGCCTTCCTCTTTGCCAATTGCTCTGCCTCCTTCTCCCTCACTTCGAGCTCCCTCACCTGAGCCTGAATCTTCTTCTCCTCATTGACCTTTGCCTTCGCTGCCGCTGCGATCTCCTTGTCCGTGAAGGTATCCTCGGCCTTCACCTTCCCCTCACTGGCACTCCGAATGAGCTCCAGGAATTGATCCTCGTTCAATGCCTTTTCCTTGTTTTCTTCGATGTATTTCAATTTGGATGCGCCAGCGTTCTCGCCAACGACGATGTATTTTGTCTTGCCCGATGGAGCTCCAGTCACGCGTCTGCAATTTCAGCTGCAAATCCCGAATCCCGTATGGCTCGGAGACGTACCCAGAGCACCGCTTGACCAGCTCGATCGCCTCATCTCGACCCAGACTGTCCAGTTCGCCTGTAAAAACAAAGGCGACATCTTGCAAACAGCCTGGCTTGCCCTCGGGTATGTCCTTTGAGCCAGGATTTTTCGGTCCAGCCTGTTTGGCTGCCGCTGCGGCTCTCCAGCTGCACACGTCAGCGACATCGTATCATGACATATCGGCACGTACTCAAACGCGGGCTTTTTGGGCTTATCGTCGTCCTCTCCATCTTCCTTTTTGGCCGCCTTCTTCTCCTTCTTCACGGCTGGCTTTTTGGGGGCATCGGATTTGGCGGCAGCCTTCTTGGGCGCCGGCTTAGCTTTCGCCTTTGTCGCCTTCTTCTTGGGCTCGTCGTCTTCGATGAAGTCGTCCTCGTCTTCGTCGTCGATCTCCATGGGCTGAGGTATCAGAGGGGATCACACAATTGCAGGGGGACCAAGGAGGACTTACCGTCGCGCCTCGCTTGCCCTTGCTTCCAGCCTTACTCGCCGGTGTCGCCTTCTGTGGCTTGTACTCCGCCTCCTCCTCTTCCTCGTCCGAGCTCTCCTGGTAGCTTGGCTTCTTCGCCTTTGCCTTGGACGCCCCGAGCGATTGCCTCTTGGCGGGTTTCACATCTTCCGAGTCCTCCGAAGTCATCCGCCTCTTGACCGGCGTGTTCGCCTTTGCTTTCGATGAGGATGCTGATGCGCTGGCCGAGGGCTTCGACGCAGCTTTAGCCGGTGCCGCAGCTGGCTTGGCTTTGGCTTTCGCCGGGGGAGGCGAGGCTGATTCCGAGTCGATGATACGAGATACAGCCGTCTTTTTCTATCATATCAGCTATCATATCATTATGCTAGAGTCCTGAACGTACAGGTATGATGGGCTTAGCATCAGTGTTCTTGGAAGAAGAAGCCTTCGCGGACGGCTTGGAGGCAACCAGGGTCGGCTCGTCGTCACTGTCATCTATCGTGATCGGCCGCTTTCCAGTCCCGGTCCCCTTGGCTGCTGGAGCCGGCCTCGCGGAGGTCTGAAAAAATCAGCTTTATATGCCACGACTCGCCGTCCCCGAGAGTACTTACACTTCCAGCAGACGATCCTGGAGGTTGTGAGAACTATCAAGTTAGCAAAGGGACAAGCTAGGGGACTGGACCAAACGCACGAAACCTCTGATATCCGCTCCAGCTGGTTTGTCATCCTTTTTGACCGGTTTCTTCTTTTCTGCCGCGGGAGCTGCTGAGCTCTTCTTGACTGGAGAGGTAGATGATCGTTCAGCTGATGGCATAGTGGCGAAGTGAGTGCGATTGGTGGACGGACAAGACAAGATCATCGCTTCGCTGACCGTCGTTGCGCGTGTGGGCGTGTGGAGATGACGCGCCTCGGGGAACGATCGATCTCCGTCTCATACCTCTGCAGGAGCCTTTCCGGGCGCAGCCAAGGCAAGCAGAGTGTCTCCACTGTGCCCTTCATCCTCGTCACAAGCAACATGCCTCCACGCGCTACAAAGCGGGCTAGGATCGAGGAGTCACCCGAAGAGCCAGAAGAAAACGAGCAGAGCGCTTCGCATCTCGTCTCGTTTCTTACGGGATACGATAATCGAGGGGATGATAGGGAGGGCTCGTCAGATGGGGAGCAGCATAACGAGGCGGGATCGGACGCGGCGGAGGACCAGTACGATGAGGACGTAGATGATGAGGATGATAGGGATGAGGAGGAGGGCGGAACGCCGATCAAGAAGTCGAAGCATGGGCTGGTGGGGACGGCGAACGAGCGGGGATCATCACGGGGAACGGCAAGCCCGCGGTCCACACCTCGGAAACGGGCGACAACTCGCAAAAAGGTCGCAGCTACTCCTCTTATCCAGGAGGGGGAGCCAGGCTTCGTACGGCCGTCGAAAGCGGACGCGTACTTTTCCGCTCACGCTCGGTCGGCTCGGACATCGGGCAACTCGTACTCGGCGCTCGTCAAGCCTCTCACTCAGGCCGAGTATGAGCTTTACGCTGGAGCAGCGCGGTCGAAGAGGGAGCGCAGTCAGGCGGTGGTCGATGGGTTGCTGGACGACCTGGTGAAGAGGTTCGAGCAGTGGGAGGTGGAGCTGGAGGAGGGGTTCAACCTGCTTATGTACGGGTTTGGGTCGAAGCGGAGGCTGTTGAACCGCTTCGTAACGGAGAGGCTATGCCGGAAGGGGCATTGCGTGGTGGTGAACGGGCACTTTCCGGGGCTGGGGATCCGGGACGTTCTCTCGCAGATCGAGGACACACTGGCGGTACCGCAAGACATTCCCGTCCCGGCCACAGCGGCGACTCCACTCGAAAGGTCGGCGCACCGGCTCTACGCGTACCTCATCCCGCCCGCGGCAATCCCCTCTGCTAAGCGCAAAACCACCCAAGTCTCCGACAAAGACCTGTACCTGGTCATACACAATATCGACGCTCCTTCTTTGCGGACCCCGCGCTCCCTCGCCATCCTCTCCCTCCTCGCATCCTCACCTCGGATACACCTCATCACATCCTTTGATCACCTGCATACACCCCTCCTCTTCTCATCCAGTATCGCCAAGTCCCCTCCTCATCTCTACGCTCCGGGGTCCTGGACTGGCGCCCCTCCCTCCTCCCGTGGCTTCAATTGGCTGTACCACAACCTTACGACCTACGACGACTACGACCTGGAGCTCTCATACCAGCGTCTATCGGCATCATCTACCCTTTCCGGCTTGTCGAGCGGAACCAGCGGCGGTATCTCCGAGGAAGGCGCTTTACAAATTCTGCGTTCCGTCCCCACTATGGGTCTCCGTCTCCTCACACTCCTGCTATCCAAGCAACTCGCATCCCTTCCTCCCAACCCCTCGAGCCATACGGCTTACCCCGCCAACCCGGTCGCGCCTGTCTTCGGGATAGAGAATGATATCTTGGCGAAATTGGCGAAGGAGAAGTTCATCGCGAGGGAGGATGAGAGGTACGCGGCGTTGATGGGAGAGTTCAAAGATCACGGGCTGGTGGTGGAGGCGTTGTTGGACGCGGAGGGGAGGCAGGGGAGGTGGGTGTGGATACCGCTGGGCAAGGCGGCACTGGAGAGGGTGATACAGGAGATGGGGGGTGTAGACAGCGGATCATAGCGAATTAATATCAGGTAGATACATAGAACTGCTTGTACATTACAGTAGGAGATCTTGTATCATAGCGTAGTTCGAGTCCAAGTTGTCCAACAGCATGGCATGCCGGCTGAATTGAGGAATGCGGAGTTGGGTTCCATCGGAAGCTGCAAGACCAACTTGCGAAGTCGCGACCGAGCTTGACTTCGGCCTAAAGTTGCTTTCACTATTGACAAACATACAAGCAACGAGCCTATATACCCACGGCAGGATACCAGATACCCTTAGTAGATAGGCGGCAGCAGTTCACGGCTGGCATTGAAGAGGTCCCTCATCGTTCTCGAGCTCAAGCCGCCTTCCCTGCGGCATCACCAAAATGCCCCGCCCAATCGTCTTGACCTACACGGTCCACCCGACCCAAGGCCCCCAGCGGGAGTACCTGACAGATGCGCTCACAGGGATGCAGGCGCAGCTGCCTTTGCGTAATTTGCACTGGAAGTCTCCGACACGGACGGCGCTGCGGACGATTCAGGAGGTGGATGTGCAGCTTATGGAGCTGGGAGAGGTGGGCCCACCAAGGGAGGTCGGGGGAAGTGTATTAGAGGGAGCGCTTGTCAACTTGTGCTTCATTGCATGTGACGTGAGTCGGCTTCTAGTTTACCTCTGGTACACGGCGAGGCGTGGCTCATCCAGCAGGACGCAGAAATATACAAAAACTCGACGCGCTCGTTCATCCGAGATTGGCTCTCCCTGCTGTCGGCTCGCCGGAATGTCCATGCCCCACTCATCATCCTCGTCAATCCTCCTTCAGCCAAAGATACGGGTAAGAATGTATTTGGGCGGGACAAGGGTATCCTCGGGAAGCTCAAGTCGGACTTTAACGTTGGCAAGCGCGACCGGTGAGCTAAATGGTCCACCTCAGTAAGGAAGGCTCAAGCTGACACTAGTAGCTGCGTGCAGATCAACTTGCCATCTGGAAATGTGGCGGACCCAGCAGCATGGCCAGAAGTTATCAATAGGCTGAAAGAGAGCATAGTGTCGGCGTTCGACTCGGCTATCTTGGAGCGGGAGGAGGAGGTCAAGCGGGGTGAAGCGCAACGGATGACGGTCGGATGGAACTTTTGTACCTGGTTCCTCCTCAAGGTGAGCTTCCCTCGACTTCCTTTGGCTTCAAGCTGATGGCCAGGAATCCCTCGCACACTCTTTCGAAGGGGTCAACCTCCACGAAGACGCCCTGATCGTATATGAAGAGCTCGACGCAACCTTCCTACAGATCCTCAAGGAACAGAATCTCTCCTGGTTCGGTAAACTCGGCGCGACGGGACCGCAGGATGACTCGCTCCCTATCCTCGACGTCCGCGCCAAGCCATACAAGGAGATGCTTCAAAGCAGCTCGATCAGCATCTTCGACTTCAGGGTGTATGTGTTTGCGCGACAGGCGGTGTTGCTCGGTCGCTTAGGGAGGATCACGGAGGTGGCGAAGCGAGGACAGTGGTTCGTTGCAAGCTTGTCGCGAAGGCTGAGGGAGAGTGAGGTGAGCTGGTAGGGGCCTGCCAATGTACTGAAGAATCCGAAGCTGACTGTTGCAGGGCGATCTCGCTGAGCATTTCATCGAATCATGGACGTTCACGGCGTGTATGGACATCGTGGCGAGATGCGATGAGTGGTCCCGCGTCGACAGACCAAATGGGGACTACTCAGGACTGATAGCGTACGAGTCTGCCCGATCAGAGCTGCTCGACATTGCTCGCGTCCAGGTCAGTCCGGCCCCCTTGAGCCTACAGCCCTGCCCCACGGAAAAGATCTGATAAAGCAGGTCGAGCGGATAGGCGTGTCAGCTGGCCACCTCCCCAGCGCATACCCTTTCCTCGCGCCCACCGGCCTCGCCTCGCAATCCGACGACGTCCTGTTCGAATCTTCCGATAACGGCCTCTCCGACGACGACGATGACGAACAGACTGGCGATGATGGCCAGTCCGATCGGGCTCGACTGTCCAACCAGCAGCTCGTGGACGCCATGGGCGACGTCAAGAAGTTCCGGAATCTGTACCTTGGCATGACGAAGAAAGCGATGTCAGCGTACGAGGCGTGCGGGAAGGTGAATTCGGTGGTGAGGCTCAAGGCGGATATGGCTGCTTTGGCTTTGTGAGTTTCCTTCTTCGTGCACGTGCTAGGTATATGGCTTATGCGAAGGCACACGGAGGAATGGCGGACAGCGTATGACCTATCCCGGGCACTCGCCAAGGACTGCGCCGACCTGCTTATCTGGGAACCTATCGCCAAGTTTGCGTTGGAGGGAGCACTACAGGCGCATCGAAACCTGAAGCTCGCGAAAGACGAGGAATGGGCGAATATTGCTACCGCGTACCTGCGGGTCAGAGCAAGCTCGAAGGAGGGTGTGTCGGCGCTGGATGGGCCAGCTGGGCAGGAGGCGGATATGGGGTCCGAGATACAGCTGATCTTGGGGGGTCTGAAGGAGATTGAGGTGGAACATACTGGTGAGCTGGCGCAGTTTTAGTCGACCTTGGGCGAGAGCTGATGGATAGTACACGATCACAAGCTCTTCGACCTGTCTTTGGTATCGAATCAAGCGTCAGCGATGAATAAGGACCGGCCAGACATCTCCATGATCTCCATGGCCATCTCAAGTAATATCGATGAAGTGAGTCAGGAAAGTTCTGCCATCTAGCTCTGAGCTGATAGGCCAGCCCTTCGACGTGGATGACATTCGCTTCGTTTACGAGCACGCCACAGCCGGCATCGTAACATATAATACTCTCGCAACGACGCTATTCCCCGGCTACACCCAGCTCGACTTGTCAAGCGAGGTCAGTTACTCAATGACAATGATCAGGGCCATGGAGCTGTGAGCTGACCTCTCAGAGATCCTGTGAGGGGGTGCTGAACTTGTCCGAAGCGCAAATATGGATCGGCCAGACCTGCTTCTCGTACGCCCACCTGGCGAATGACAGTCAGGTCATCGCTCGCCGGCACCCCGATGCGCCCAGTGTGAGCCTGCAGATGCCCCGAACAAGTACGTATAGTGCTTTCACGGGACTAGGAGGTTGCGAGGCTGATCGACCGCAGTCTCGCTCGATGCAGAACCGTCTGTCGTCCTCCATATCTCGGCTGGCGCCTGCGAGATGGAGCATGTGGTCATCTCGATCGTGTCGCTACATGACGAGATGGCTTTCGACGTTTCAAGACTGTCTTCATCCAACTCAAGTAAGCTAATGAGCTTCGGTCCTTGCTCTTGAGCACAGAAGCTGATCTTCAGATGTGTCGGTATCCGATACGGCCGCTGGGATTACCTCGCTCGCGAAGGGAGAAGACGTGGAGCTGGCTATACCCTATCGCGGCACACCGCCTTCTGAGACTGCACATGTGAGTGCTCGCCGCGCCGTTCACGCCCAGCCGAGCTGATGATACAGGCCCGGATCGTCATGCGGTACAAGCGCGCTGGGTCGGATGTCTCGATGACGTACATCGACGCGTCGAGCGTTTTTGTCGGACTGCCCTTGACGGTCAATGTCCAGGACTTCTTCAGGAAAGAGAGGTGAGCTGCTTCGCTGGCCGTACGGGCACACCATATGTGGCGAAGTTAGCTGACCGGAGTGCAGTCTGATCTCGCACTTTACGATAGCGTCGGACGGGCGGGAATATCTACGCGTCAAATCTGTGGACCTGCGTGCTGGGGAGGACAGCGGGGTCGATGTTGAGCAGGCAATCAAGGTGGATACCAGTACTGTGAGCTTTGAGGTCGACACTCTGCTTCGGAAGCGCATGAGCTGACACGATGCAAGGTTGTCACGCCTGAACAGCACCTTTCGTGCCTGTTCAAGATCCGCCAGAGAGAAGCTTCACGGTCAAAAAGTGAGTCACAAAGCCCACTCGTATCATGTCAGCGGAAGGGTGGAGCTCATACCTTAGATGTCGGCAGCGTGCTAAGGCTGATCATCGAGTACTGCAACATCGAAGAAGGTGAGCTATCGCAAACGATTCATTCCCGGCGAAAAATAGCTGACGGATTCGCAGAGGTCGAAGCTCGGCTAAAAGGCGTAAAGGCTGTACGCGCGCTGAAGCGGCGGAATCGACAGTCATGGTTGCCTATGTACGCTGCGGAGGAGCGGATAGAAGGTTTGCCCGAGATTAGCTCTGCTGAGGTGAGCGTGAGCGGGAGGTTGCGTCGATTGGTTGAGCTGATGAGCCCGCAGACTGCTATCAAGCCTGAAGCTTTACCGTGGCGGACTCTCGAGATTCCCGTAGACGTGCCCTCGCGACGAGTAAGCTGTCGGGATTTTCTTATAGAAAGGCCCACAGCTGACGCTGCATAGTTACTTGTGATCGCCCGCCTCGCCGCGCCCACATCAGCAGCATCCGAGATGATCTACGAAGGCCGAGCACTATCCATGACCCTCAGTTTCCGGACGAGCTTCACCTGGGCCGGCCGGAGCTCTGGCAGGCAGAGGCTGGTATTTGATATCGTGCCCAATCCGGATGATTGGATTGTGCTGGGTCGGAAGAAAGGGTTCTGGGACGCCGAGGTGAGTGCAACCTCCTCGACCTAGCCTTAACCTATAACTATCATCCATCAAGACTACATGCTGACGGGTCAGCCTGAGAAGGAGGAACGACATGAAATCACCCTCATCCCCATGCGTCCCGGCCCCCTCCTCCTGCCGACCGTAACGACCGCTATCCTGCCCGCCTCCCCCTCGGATTCTGCCAACCGAGGCAACGATGAGCAGCTGCTCTGCGAGACCTACCTCGAGAACGCGGCCGAGGTCGTCCGGGTCTTGCCTGCCAAGAAGACGGTGAGGGTCATGATACCGCTCATCAACGCCGGTGGCGGGATGGTGGAGCAGCGGAGGGAAGAGTGGGGGATGGTGGTCTGATCTTGGGGATGTATCCTGGGCCATGCTGTGCTGGGGCGGGCTTGAGCGTTGTCTTCGGCTGACTAAGACCGACCTCGGCCATCGGGCTCTTGGAACTCGGCCGGGCCGCGCGTTCGGCTTGGTCATCGACACAGCTTATTCATCGCGCTCGTTTCAACTCATCAGGAAAGATACTAACAAAACGACAACTTATATACAAGATACCCTATCCCCATTCCGATTCCTTGATATCAATTAACAGATGTCTACCCGAGATTGTCACCGACAGAGCACAGATCAACACCTCCCTTCCCTTCCGCACAGACACCTCCGTTCACTCGTCCTTCAGCGCCTTCCAACTCCTCCGCTTGCCGATGCAGCCGACTAGCTCCTCCAGGTTCTCTCCTGCCTCGAGCAACGGCTCCCGGGAAGATGACTCCCTCGCCCATCCTCCCTTATCGCCCAACGCAGAGGTCGAAGCGGACGCCCCTAGACCCATCGCATGCCCCGTCGTATCCGCCCTCGCGTGTCCCGGTCTCCCGCCGACGCCCATCAGCGCCGACATCTCGGGCAACGCGGCACTCTGACTCCGCGCAAGGGCTAGCCCCATCTCCGCCCTCTCGTCCTCATCCGGACAGCATGCATACTTCTCCCTCCAGCAGCTCGCGGACTTGGCGACCGATCCTTTAGCGAGCACCCGCTCCGAATGGACCGAGATGTGTACGATGGCGCCATTCTCGTCGAACTCGTTCGCGAGGCGCGCGGTAGAGATGGCGCGGGTGGTCAGGGCAGGCCGACGCTGAGGACGAGGGCCGGCGAGTACGGGAGACGCGACGGGTCGAGGAGGGGTGCAGAGCCAGACCCGCTGGCAAGGGGACGAAGGTGCCGATTCGGAAGTGGAGGTAGAAGTGGGCATAGTGAGGGTAGGGATGTCGCGAGGGGAATGATGGACGGCGGTGGAAGCCATGGGGATACGGCGGGGGAGGACAGACGCGTCTTGAGGAGAGATGAGGGTATCATATCCTAGCCCTGGAATTGGCTTCTCGCCCGCGCCGATCGATGCCGGCTCCTCGCTCAGCACCTCGTCTCCCTCGATCAACTCCCATCCCATGTCTAGACTCGGCAGGCTAGGTAGCGTGCTCGATCGAGCTATGGGTGGACGCGAACTCCTTGACTGCTGGGGACGACCCTCGCCGAGTGCGACTGCCTCTTTGGAGCCGGTACGAGTAGGGCTGAACGCTATAGGCTGAGGAGGTGGTCGCTCGGAGGTAGGGGAGGTGGAGAGGCGCCGGAGGAGACGCGAGGAGGTCATGAGGTTGGTGAGGGATAGACGGGAGCGAGGAGCTGGGCGGACAGAGGTCGAGGTAGCCTCAAGGGACGATCGGCGATTGGGGACTTGGGGGAGTCTGGGGATGGACCTGATGGATCAGCTAGACCGCTGAAGTCGTGAAGCCGGAATCCAGCTCACATCTTCCGCTTCACTTTCCAGGTTCTACTTGTCACTCCTTCAAATTCTGGCTGATGCTGGTGACTTCCTGTCTCGACGACGTAGGAGTCAGCGCTGTGGTGGTAGGGCTCGAATCCGTATACGTGAGTGGCGGGATATACCACTGCGCCGGGATGGAGGTGGTCGAGAGATAAGGCGTGATGGAGGGAAGGCTGGGTCCTGACAAGGGAGGAAGTCATCGCGGGCGGCTAGATTTAGGTTGTGATGGGTCGATAGATTAGCGGGGAATGTGGAGCGGAGCGTGTGTCGAGAAGCGCCAAAGCGCAAAGGAAGGTTGAGTGATGGACAATAGGGCGATTAAGGACGATCAAGCGGCTAGCGTATGGGCACAAGGGCGTGTCCGAGCTCTCAAAGGAGGGGGAAGCGTGTGTGCCTGAAGTCAGTAATTGATTGCTTGTGATTGATGGCGATGATGGAGGAGATGGACCCTTCAGAGGCTACATCAGGTGGACAGGTCTTTATTGTCTCGTGTTAGCTAGTTCCTGATCGATAAGACAGTCCTGCGGTGCAAGAGATGGTCACTATGAACCACCCAACCCCACTGCCGCTTAGACCTTTGTTAGCGGGTTCACCTGAAACACACACCCATACACACACGTCGCGACGAAACAAGCTCTTTTTGCCACCCCCACCCTTAATTTAATCGGGCGTCATTCAGGCACACCACGTGTTTCACTTGGGCAACCGTCGATGTGACGCTGTTGCGAGGCGATCCGAAGCGTGTCCATGTATCCGTCTTGTCGACAGGTAACCTCGTAGGCCTGAGCGAGAGCGGGGAGACCGTCTCTCGGTATCGCCTCTCTCCGCGCGTACCGATCGTTACCTCCCTAGCTTGTCCAGCTTGAGGTGTGTGCTTCACTGCTGATGCTGACCAGACGACCAACTTACCAATTGTTATTGTTACTGATGCTGCAACGCGCTGACAAGGCTACCAAGATCTATATGTGGAACGAGAGACCTACAGTCGCATGGTGCCAAGGCCTATATAGCCTCGCAGGGTCTCACCTTCTGCGTCCGCTCATCTGCATCTTTCCTACTTTTCACCATCCTCATCCCACACCTCTCTTCAACACGGTCCTGGTGACCTCTTTATACTTCGACTTTGCTCCTATTGTGACACTTTCAAATTATACCAAGCTGGACTTCGTATACATCTTTACAGCAATCACCAACCGACGGACATCCTACTTTCGAGCATCGACTGCCACCAACTTCTACCCGAAATGAAACTCATCGCTCTTCTACCTGTGTTTTATCTGATCCTTTCCGCCGCTGGTCGGCCTGCTCACCTTGTAAGTCTGCCCTATCCTTTACCAGTAGGCCAGTAGAGCCGCGGCTGAGATGCCAGGCGCGCAGAGACGACCAACTGCCCGCGCGAAGGGATGATCCCGCCCTTCCTCTCCCCCTGCAGGCCCTCACCACCGCCTCTCGCACACATCTCATGATCAATCGCTCCCTCCGCGCTCCCTCCGGTCACACTCGTCGTCAAGCTGGTAGCCAAGGTCGGATCGGCGGCGAAGGCAGACAGGGCGGTGAAGGCAGACAGGGAGGAGAGGGTCAGGCTGGAGGTGAGGGACAGCAGGGTGGACAGGGTGGTAATAACGGCGGTAACAACGGCGGCAACAACGGTGGCAACAATGGTGGCAACAATGGTGGCAACAATGGTGGCAACAACGCGGTTAGTCTTCTGCTCACATCACCAGGGACATGCTGATCGTATAGGCTGCAGCTGCCAAGGCATCTGCGTCTGCCGCCGCCGCCGTCGCCAAGAACAACGCCGGGAATGCTGCTGCTGTAAGTCTACCAGAGTCTGACTTTCGCAGCTGTCGTCATAGCTGATGTTGCGCAGAAGAAGTCTGGTCCGGCTGTCCCCAAGCTGACTGACAAGTCTGGTCTCAGTAAGTCACTAGTCAGCTCTGGAACCATAGGGCACCGTATACTGATGTCTTAGCCTTGCAAGGTGCAAATATCCAGAAGACACCTGCCGGACCCGCTCTCGCCGGCCAGGTACAGAGCGCTACATCAGATGGCAACTTCATCAACGTGAGCTGCTTTCTGTATCCACACAGTCATCCGCTGATCCTCAGTTCTGCACCGGCAAGACGCTCACCAATGGCAAGCAGGTCAAAGGCGGCTCCTGCAACCCCATTCCCATCGGCGACATCCCCAACACGCAGAACATGGTCACGGCTGTCTTTGAATCACCCGTAAGTAGATCAGTGTGGTATCAGCACAGATAGCAGCTGATTTACAGGCCAACTTTGCCAAGATCCCCGCCAAGCAGGACTTTACCATCGCTCTCCGTACCCAGGGACTCATCATGGGCTCCTTCGTCGATCCGCAAGCGGACTACTATGCAGCTCCTCAACAACTGCAGGGAGGGTGAGTACATCTTGCTGGATGGGCGGTGGAATCCCAGGCTGAGACTCTCAGCAAAATCGTCGGTCACGCACACGTCGTCATCCAGAAGATGGACAGTATCTCCTCGGCCAAGCTGCTCGACCCAAACACATTCACCTTCTTCAAGGGATTCGACTTCGCTGACGGTAAGTTCCTCCACATCTGTTGCCCTTTAAGCTTGGGCTGACATTCCAGTCAATGGTCTCTCCTCTCTTCCGGTAGCGGGCGGTCTCGCCGCTGGCGCCTACCGGATGTGCACCATCATGTGTAAGTCCCGCTCTTGTCAGCTGACTGAACCGGGCTCAGCTGATCTATCAGCCGCGTCGAACCATCAGTCCGTCATAATGCCTGTCGCCCAGCGAGGAGCGGAGAATACCTGTAGTTACTTCACAGCCGAGTAGGAGATCAGTAGATGGAAGCTTGATGTGCTGCCTGCCACACTCGAACTGATCGCCGATGCATGCCCCTGTCCGATTGTGATCCTCTGCACTCGGCTGCCATGACACGGCGGCTGACGTTGGTTTGGACGCTGCCCGAGTCGCAGCTGCAGCGCTCTCATATCAGCGCTTGTATATATCAGCGGCGGGATCTCGGCGCCACTCCGGCGCCACAGTCGAACAGCCTTTCGATGCCGAGATTCGGCCAAATTCAGGCACAGAACCTGAAACATTGCGTGATTCACGACGCGTCGAGACGCGTCCCCCTGATTTTAGCCCGCCGAGGAGAGATTTTGAACGGCGCAGCAGCCGCGATGGGGACCACAGATGACCTCGACAGGGCCGTCGGAGTGAGATCAGAGACGCAATCAAAGTGGCAAGGCGGAGAAGAGAGGAGAAAGTGGGCTAGAGCGATGCTGACAGCGGCTGCAGTCGCGGCCGTCGATCGGTCTACAGCAGCGGCAGCGTGTCTATCCAACTTTGCATCTCCTCTGCTCCGACCGTCCACCCTTCTGCCAAACTCCTAGAGAGCATCACTCGTCTGTACTACCTTGTGTTCGCTTCTGAAACAAGGCCCAGAGCCAACTTGACGACAACAAGCTCGCTCCCCCACTTTTCCATTCGCCACCCACTCATAAGGGCGGACGCGTTTTATCTCCGGCCCCACATTCTACGCGTCGTCCCTGGCCTCATTCACCACACATCCCTCTCACACGCACATCATCCCTCATACCTTGCCGCCGGTATCCTCGGGCCCAGGTACATAGGCCAGCATTAACAACAACAAGAAGTCCATCAGATCGGATAGCGAGACCACCCTCGAAGGGCCTCATTGCGACCTGTCTCACCTGGAAACGATCATTTCGACTCTTCCCCCTCATTCACGGTCAATCCGGTATTGACGCACCCTTCCCAATCACATCCCCTCCGGTCTCACCATCTCACAATCATCCTCTCCTTAGCGGCTCAGCACTCCCACCCTTCATCTCACCCATCGCATCCCCAACGGGGCTTGCTGTATTCCCCTACCAAGGCAACAAGCACCACAGCAGCATCCGCGGGCGTGTCTTGCTATTGCGGTGTTTATCGATCATCGGTCAACAATAACAGTCATACGTCAGGTCATATAAGGGACTCGATTTTGCCTTACCTTCGTCTCATCTCCCCATCTCTTCACACCCAACACTTTCGCTCGACCCATCCTCGCGACTACACTTGTGTATAGTCATCTACCCCACTCTTACCCTCTACCCTACCCACTCTGTCCACAATGCCGCTCCACGAGCGCCGACCTCAGCTTCTCAGCCTCAGCATCAAGTCAAGCTCGTGAGTACTTCCCCAAGCATCTTGTCCAGAGCTGACGTCCAGTGCGAGCTCGAGCCAGAACGATGAAGTTCGAACTCCCCTCCCTACCTCTCCATTCGCTTGGAACCAGGCGCAGGCGCCTCTTATCATGACCCCCGACACACCCTACTTTGACATGTCGTCCGTCGGCGGGATGTTTACTGGCAAGGAACAGGCCGTAGAGATACGCCAGGAGCCCATCGGCAAGGAGGCGGAGTGGACGGAAGAGGAGGATGATGTGCTCTCCAGTGTACGTCCAGTCTTCGCAAGATTCAAGAAGGCAACGCTGACTCTTCAGTACCTCTCTCGACCCGCTGCATCTCGCGCCTACCCGCCCGGTACCCTTCCCCCCTCGGATCTCCTCGACAGCATGACCACCCAGATCCTCTCGCGCCTCTCCCGCTCCTCTTCGATCTCCTCTCTGTCGTCCGCTTCGTCTTCCGACTCCGACACGGACATGGACTCGGACGACACCATCACCCTCAAGCGCACGTCGGGCTGGTCCCACTCCTGGTCTGCGACCCGCGCCCGGCTCTTCCGCATCGCCCGCCTCGAATCCCGCGAAGCCCTCGGCGGTCACACGCGCAACAAGTCGGAGAGCATGGTACCTGTCATCATGGACAACCTGGTGCTTCCCAAAGGAGCTGTTATCGGCGGTGCCTCCATGAGCAGGCAGCTGAACAGCATGGAGAACATTCACGGGGCTGAGCAGACCATCGATGGAGCTGTCAAGTGAGTTATCCACTAGGCTTGGCTGCCTGTACAATAGCTAATAGACAGGCTTTCTGGTGCTCTGCAAGGGCAGGCTATGTCCGGTTCTTCTGTCCTTCACTCGACGCAAGACCTGTCTTCCCGTACGTTCAATTCTCTCGGGCATTCACATGACTGCCGGCTAATGTCTCAGCGGTCGCGTTCGAATTCGGTCCATCTGTCTTCTTCTCCGCTCAATCTAGCGCCTCAACCTCGTCCGCCCCTGCGCCGAGCCTGGTTCTGCCTCGGACGGCAATCAACCGCAAACTCCCACCATCCTTCCCCATGTCAAAGGGTCTTCCTCGCCCATCCCTCCTTCAGCGTGGTCGGTCGTACACCGGAGCCGACCTCGCTCGGGAGCGCGGCCACTCTCGGGACACCTCGGTCAGCTCGGACGACACCATGGACGGCGAGGACACCCCGGTGGACTCGCCCATGTCCTCGGGCAACTCGCTCTCGGCTTTGCCTCCTTACGTGAGACCCTCTGTCCGACGTTCCGCCACCAGCCCTACCGCTTTCGTTTTCCCCCAGCCTCAGCCAATGACCGCCATTGCCGTCTCGCTGTCCAGGCGTGGATCGATTGAGCCGGACCCAATCACTCCCCTCAATCAGACCACCTTCCCTCAATCCGCCATCGGGTTGGGCAATCGGGTGCTCACTGGCATGTCGGACGACTCGGACTGCACGCCCAGTGCCACTCCCGCCATCACCCTCACTATGACCTCTCCCGTCGCGAGCCCCTCGCAAGGCTCTGGGCCCCACCTCGCACCCTCTTTTGACTTCCCCGCAACAGAATTCGCCAATCTCTGCATCGCGACCCCAGCTCCCGCCGCCATCAAAACCAACTCGAGCCACATCCGCCGTCCTACGCGGCCCGCTCCCCTCACCCGGTCACTATCCGAATCCACCTCGCTTGCCGGTCTCGCGTACCCCAATCCCGCCCAGCTGCCGAGCAGCACCTCCCACCCTTCAGGCCTCAACACCCACCTCGGCCCCACGCCCACGGTAACTCCCATCTCGCGCCCGTGCCTCGCCATGTCGACCATGGATGACGGCTCGAGCGGCTCCGAGAGCACGCGCGAGACCAAGCGGCAGCGCGCCATGCCCTTCGCGGGTTCTTCAGCAGCTGTCTTCCGCCCACGCCTCAACCCCGGTCTGACCGTCGTCGTGCCCAATACGGGCCTCGGTGGAATGGCGAGCGACGGACTCAGGAGCCCATTCGAGCACAAGGCACCGGGAGGGGGTTTGAAGATCTGAGCGGGTTTGGGATTTCCAAGGGTTTGGTTTTGTATCTGTTTTGGCTATAGTTGTCGGGTGTCGGATCATTTTGATATCTTGTTACGATCTATACACGGTCTTGTAGACTTCTATTCGATGTATTGGGTTGTAGCTGCCGGCCGTGCTCGGGGGCGGACCACGAGCTCGGACCAAGCTGACTCGCTAATGTGTCTGCAGTTCGTCTGTGCTCACCGAAGAAGCCTGGCCAGGACATTGACGACTTCTCTAACATGTTCTTACCTTTCTTTCTTCCTACCTTTCCTCCGTCTCAAGCTGGCACCCACCCGTCATCACGAACAATGACGGCTCTTGTCAACCAAATAGACGGCACAAGCATGATGGTCGAGGACCTCATAGCTCGCCTGCAGAGGGTGGGTACTCTGTAATCGTGACCGAGGCTCAACCTAGGCGGTACTGATGCAGCAGGTCAGAGCCCTCATCGAAAAAAGACCAGGCTCGAGAGATTCCTACGCAGTCCAACATCGTCGATAACCCCCCTGCGATACCCCCTCACACATTAAGATCTCACCGGGGCAAGCTGGACACCCTTCCCGACGAGGTCTTACTACCGATCCTCATTTCTCTCGCCACCGACCACAGCTTTGGCTCGCTCGCCGCCTTGGCGAGGACCTGCAAGAAGGTATACGACCTCGCGATCCCGTTTATCTACCGCGATATCTACCTCGAGACAGAGCGCACCTTCACTGCTTTAATCGGCGCTCTCGAGCATAATCGTCTCAATCGCTACGAATGCGAGGGTATCCAGGGTAACGACGACCGACCGCGCCATCGACTTAGAGCTCGTCAGCGCTTGCTCAACAATTTCCGGCTGACCAGACGGGTGACTATAGGCGATTCACCTGACGGATCGTACTGCGCCCGCTTCGCCCACGCATTGAGCAGGTACGATGGTCTCAGGGAGTATCCAATCCTATGCCCCAACTCCAAGCTCCTTCGAATCGCACCGCTCGAAGCATACCTACCCGGCACTGAGATGTGGCGCATGTACACATTCGCCAAGGCAGCGCGCGGTTTCCTCGAGCAGCTTTGCTGCCCCCGCGACATCTGTCTTTACGAAATCTACGGTAGCGAAGCGGACTTCGACCGACCCATCGAAGACCCCCGCTGTTTGTTCTCCGACCTTTTATTCCACGATCACCTTCCACAACGCGCCTGGGGGGCTGGCCACAAATCAAGCCTCAGCTGGCACGGTCCCCTCCTTCCCAGCCCCATGGTCCACCCTCTCGTGCCTATCGACAGGTACGGCTGACACGGGCAAGATTTGCCCGGCTTTGTCTCCCATCTACGACTGTACGCATCGAATAGACTACTCGATGTCTACTGGGAGGGTCAGCAGCCAGGCTGGCCCGGCTGCATTCAGAGCCAGCTGGACGATAGCACGCACATCAGATGGGCGCAGTCGCTGCTCTATCAATGGCCACGATTCTGTCCCAGTCAAGACGATAGCACATGCAGGCGGCGGACGACCGTCAACATCGAGGCTGCATCATCGACCGACAACACGGTCCAATTTCGACTCGTCGCTCTGGCCGCCGATGATACACCGCCGGCGGATGAGCTGGCGTTTCGATCAGCTCTCTACAATCTACAGGTCTTGTCCTTAGATATCGAGAGTCTCGCTCCTTCCGATGTGCTCACTGCCGTGATTCAACAAAAGGTTATCCTGGGGAAATTTCCTTGCGGCATCTGGAATTCGGAGCGAGTTATTTCCCCCATCCAGCTCCTACCCGAAGCTGAGCGAGTCATCAACGAGGCTTTACGGTACGCGCCCAAGATAGGTCGACAACAACTCATCGATGCGATCATGGAACACGCGCTCTATGAGTTTTATGATTTCCGCGCGATACCGCGCAGGGATCCTGAAAGCGTGAAGATCCTACAAGAGATATATGGGCGGATCGATGTAAGGATAGGGCGGGAGCAAGAGCCTTGTCCCGTCTGCGATTGTAGGTGACCGTTTCGCCGTCTCACCCCTTTTTGTGTGAGCTGACACCTAGACCGTCCCTATTAGATGGCTCAGTGAGTACATACTCAAGCTGCGAGGGTACCGGTGACGGGACGAAGCACAGGCGTGAAACGATTAGAGAGGGTCAGGAGATTGACGCGGGAAACACAAAAAGCCATCGATATGTATCGCGATACCCCATCACAGCTCTATGGGTAGACCCTTTACGCAGCAAGACGCGTTCCCTACGAGCCGTCCCCGACTTCCACGTTTCAGCATTCAGCCGGTGCAATGTGGTTGGAAGGCCTGGGTGGCGGACCATTGGCTGAGTATAATGAGCCTCATATGTATGTACCGACCGTAGTGATACCAGTCCACTCCTCATGGTAACGTTCATGATGTTGCCGCTCTGCGTACCAGGGTGTCAAGCGCACTCCCGCGCCCTCGTTTGCAGAGCCTGCTACAGCTGCAGCTGTGTAATAGCTGTGTTCCGTTGACGTCATACGTGTTTCAGCTCCGTGGCGCGTGGGGACGCGTGTTTCAGGTTTGCAACCACTATATTGTGTTAAGCCACCTTTGTCGGCCTTGGATGTTTGTTCGGTGTCCCTCGGACAGCTTGTACATGGAGCTTCTACTTCTTCTATCTATAGTGGCGAAGCAGAAGATCGAGCACCGTCAGTACATCTCGACTGGCTTGGTGATTCCGCAAGACTAGCAAGCAGACACGATTTGACACTGACGACAACAGCAACTCCGTAAAGCATGCTATTGATATCCCCCCCATCGTCCTCTCTTTCCAATGGAGTTACTTCACAACGCCAACAATGCTTCAATACCCCCTCTGGTGCAATCCTCCCCGCCGAACTTCTCCTTCGCATAGCCACAATCCTCGCTCAATCCCATCAATTCCGGTCGCTCGGCTCCCTTGCGCGGACGTCCACTTCACTCAACCTCTTCGTCACCCCCCTCATATACAGGGACGTCTACATCCACTCCAAGGCAGACTATGAATCCATCCTGACAGCGCTCTCCCAATCGGCCAGCACGGCGGACGGGGCAGACGGCCAGGCGAGCGGGAGGGGAGGAATCATGGGGAGTTTGCGCTTGACGAAACGGGTGACCATCAGGGATCTACCGCATCCTCACTTTGGACCCCGCCTATCTGCTGCGCTCGCGAGACATCACGAGACCGTACTTTTCCCCAACGCCGAGTTCCTCGCTGTCGCTCCTCTTCAGCCGTACTTGCACCCCCCGGCGGACAAGGCCGCCGCCGCTCGAGGAGCGACAAGTCCCCTACCCTTCCTCCTCTCTCAGCTCTGCACTCCGGACCACCTGTGCCTCGACCACCTCTTCGGCCCCTCGGCGGACATCAAACTCTCGCGAAATCCCTGCTGCGCCTTCCTCCACCGGTTGACGTCCGCGCTCCCGCGAGGGAGTTGGGCCAAGCACGCCCAGCCCACGTTGAGCTGGCATGGTCCTCTCAAGGAGCGCAGCGGAGTCAGGCCGGCTGACTTCCTCTCCTGGGAGCGAGCTGTACAACAGTTCGACCATGTCCGGATCTATAGTCCCTCAGACATCCGTCTCAACGTCGACGACTTTACACGTACACATGGCCAGTCGCCACCCAACCTCGTGGGCGCATGGGCGGCAACACTCGCTGAGGGCCTCTGCCGCTCCGGCCTTTGTCCGGTCGTCGCCGAACGTCCTACCATGTACACACTCAACATCGCTACGAGCGGGCGCGACGCGCCGGAGGCATCGGCTACGCGGCTGGGACTCGCCATCAGCACCAACCTCAGCAATGGGTCGCTGGCTCTGCGCAAATCAGCACTCCTGTGCATCAAGGCCTGCATGGGCAGTATCAGCCAACTGTGCTTAGATACAGCAAGGGCAAACCTTGAGCCCATCTGCCAGCGGTTGAGCACGCCTTGCTCCGATACCGGCCGATCCACGGCGGGTCTCATCTCCCTCCTTCACGAAGCACAAGAGCAGCTCAACCGAGCGCTCGAGGAATCCCCTTTGGTGGACCGGGAAGACATACATCATGCTCTAGTCAGCGGAGAGCTGGCAAGGCTAGATCCGGCTCCTTCCGCCTGGCGGGTGGAAGGGGACCTTGGGGGGAAGGGGAGATTGCGGGGTATAGACGTCAGGATAGGGCAAGACCAGGTTCCGTGCCCTGTGCTCTCATGTAAGTCAGTCCTTGGTGGGATCGATGGTCTGTATTGACGTTTAGATTGTCCGTACTGAGGGGGATATAGGTGTACCGGTACAGCCGCGATTCGGGGCGGGCATGCCGGCGTCTGAAGAAGCTGCTTGAAGGATGAGCTCAGATCTCAAGGTGAGGTCAGACGATCAGAGCGTAAGCTGTATGATAGACTGAGTGTGTATGGTTGTATGTCAGTATGCAGGGCTGGATAGAGCTAGACCCAGGTCAAAAGCGATGGAAATGCTCGACGTCCAAGGGCACAGGAGATCGCGGACACAATCAGGTCTCTCCGGTCTCCAGCTGCTCCGCATATCGTCCTGCCGCGTTGTTCGCATGGAGCTCCCGATGAATAGCTAGTATCCCTCCAATCCTTCGTTAAAGTTAGGCCCTGAGCCGCTCGCATACAAGCTTTGAACAGGTATTGCCATGTATGAGATGATTGACAAGCCCAGAAGGCTTTTCAGGCACGCGTCTCGAATCTCGAAGCTCGAAGCTCGACGCGTCCACCAAAACGCGTAAATTCAACTGTCCACTTCTTGCCTTTCATCGACCTTACACTTTTCCCATCTTCCGCCCTCCCCTTCCCCATCATGTCGACGAGAGGCAGCTTCCGAGGGGGTCGTGGACGCGGTGGTCCCTCGAATCGCGGTGGCGGTTCGAATACCCGCTTCACTGGCAAAAAGTCTTCCTTCCGAAAAGATGCTGGTCAAAAGTTCGGGATCGACTCTCGGTCAGATAAGCCTGGAGTCAGCAGGGAGGATGACGGGACGGCCGCGATGGAACGTTTCGAGGAGGTCAAGGCGGCGGATGAGGTGGACGGGAAGATGGGCTTCGACCGGTTCGAGAGCGCGCTGGCAAATGGGGAAGAGCGAACTGGGTGGTTGGTGAACATGCACCAAGTGAGTTTGACGGCCAGCCCTCCCGGACAAGACTGACTGTTCAGACGTTACTGCCTTCGCCAAATTGCCAGACTGGCCAACAGGCTGTGGACTTCTACTTCATCGAGGACAATGGCTCGTCTTTCAAGGCGACCATACCATACGAGCCATACTTCTACCTCACTGTCCGAGTAAGTCTGCCTATCCTCCTGCTACGAATCATGACTGACAGTCAGGCTGGGACTGAAACGATTGTCGAGGAATGGGCGGTGAAGAAGTTTGAGGGCGTCCTGAACAGGGTTGAGAGGGAAAAGAAGTGGGATCTCAGCTTGGTGAGTTCTGTTCCCTTCCTGCTCCGGTCAACCGCTGACCTCCAGCCAAATCACCTGTTATCAGCACCACCAATCTTCCTCAAACTCTTCTTTCACAACACCGCCGATCTGCAATCCGTCCGGCGAGAGCTGTTGCCCCTCGCCAAGGCGAACTCGGCCAAATTCACGGCGGTCGACGCGTACGCAGATATAATAGGCGCAGAGGCGGCTCGGAATGGGCATGGAGATGAGGAGATGGAGGGCCAGGCCTGGGGAGCTGAGGCGGATGGGCGGAAGCGGAGAGATAAGGAGCCAGCGGAGTGCATCATTGACGTCCGGGAGTACGACATCGCCTACTATCTCCGGGTAGCGATTGATCTCGGTGAGTTCGATCCCGCTCAATCATCTGAACCAGCTGATATGTAGATGTTCGAGTCGGTCTCTGGTACAACGTGAAGTCTCATCAGGGCGTAACGTCCCTATCCCGTATCACCACCATCGTCAAGCGTGCCGAGCCCGTCGTTATGGCCTACGATATCGAGGTCACCAAGCCGCCCCTCAAGTTCCCAGATCAGCAGACCGACCAGATCATGATGATATCCTACATGATTGACGGTCAGGGGTATCTCATCACCAATCGGGAGATCGTGTCAGAGGACATTGAGGACTTTGAGTACACGCCGACGGCGGAGTATCAGGGGGACTTTACCGTATTCAACGAGCCTGACGAGGTAAGCCGCTCGTACCGCTCTGGTGAACGACGCTGACATATAGCCCGCTGTCATCCGACGATGGTTCGAGCACATCCGCGAGGCCAAGCCGACCGTCATCGCCACCTACAACGGCGACTCATTCGATTTCCCCTTTGTCGACGTCCGAGCCAAGATACACGGTATCAGCATGTACGAGGAGATCGGCTTCCGCCCAGACAACGAGAACGAATACAAGGCGCGCGCGACCATGCACATGGACTGTTTCCGCTGGGTCAAGCGGGACTCGTACCTGCCGCAAGGGAGTCAGGGGTTGAAGGCGGTCACAACGGCAAAGCTGGGGTACAACCCGATTGAGCTGGATCCAGAACTGATGACACCGTGAGTACACCACTCACACTGGGCTGATTTCAGATACGCTATCGAGCAACCCCAAGTACTGGCGGCCTACTCGGTATCTGACGCCGTCGCGACCTATTACCTCTACATGAAATACGTCCACCCCTTTATCTTCTCCCTTTGCAACATCATTCCCCTCAACCCGGATGAGGTTTTGCGGAAAGGCTCGGGAACTTTATGTGAAACCCTCTTGATGGTGAGCCTACCGCTACGGCTTCAGAGCTGACCTCCAGGTGGAAGCATACAAGGCGCACATCATTATGCCAAATCGACACGAAGACGCGCATGGGAACACCTACGAAGGTCACCTCCTTCACGGCGAGACCTACGTCGGAGGTCACGTCGAGGCGCTCGAAGCCGGCGTCTTTCGCAGCGACATCCCCACCCACTTCAACGTCGAGCCGGCGGCGATCCAGCAGCTGCTGGATGACCTCGATTCCGCACTCCAATTCTCACTGGTTGAGGAGGGCAAGATCGGGCTAGACGAGGTGGCCAACTACGACGAGGTCAAGGACCAGATTGCTCAGGCGCTCGAACTCATGCGTGACAATCCCAAACGGCTCGACCCTCCCCTCATCTACCATCTTGACGTCGCCGCCATGTACCCCAACATCATGTTGTCCAACCGGCTACAACCGGACTCGGTCAAAGATGAGGCGGCCTGCGCTGTCTGCGACTATAATCGGCCGGACAAGGAGTGCGATAGGCGGATGGAGTGGGCATGGAGGGGAGAGTACTTCCCCGCCAAGAGGGACGAGGTGAATATGGTCCGCTTCGCGCTGGAGCAGGAGCTGTTCCCGCCTCTTTGGCCGAACGGGCCGAAACGTCGGTACGTTGACCTCAAGGCCGACGAGCAAACGTCCTTGATGGAGAAGCGGCTCGGCGACTACTCTCGGAAGGTCTATAAAAAGACCCACGACACCAAAATCGTCAACAAGACCGCCATCATCTGCCAGCGCGAAAACTCCTTCTACATCGACACCGTCCGGGCGTTCCGAGATCGGCGGTACGAGTACAAGGGTCTTCACAAGACCTGGAAGAAGAATCTGGATAAGGCGCATGAGGAGGGCGGCTCGCTGCCGGAGGTGGATGAGGCCAAGAAGATGATCGTGCTGTACGATTCACTTCAGCTGGCGCACAAGTGTATCCTCAATTCCTTCTACGGATACGTCATGCGGAAGGCGGCGCGGTGGTACTCGATGGAAATGGCGGGGATCACCTGTCTCACTGGAGCTGCCATCATCCAAATGGCGCGGCAACTCGTTGAGCGGATCGGTCGGCCTCTCGAGCTGGACACGGACGGGATCTGGTGTATGCTGCCAGGCGTCTTCCCGGAGGACTTTTCGTTCAAGCTCAAAAACGGCAAACAGTTCGGCATATCCTATCCCTGCACCATGCTCAACCACCTCGTACATCGTCAGTTCACCAACGAACAATACCACGAACTGGTCGACAAGGATACGGGGACGTACTCGGTCAAGAAGGAGAACAGTATCTTCTTTGAGCTGGACGGGCCGTACAAGGCGATGATTCTCCCCTCGTCCAAGGAGGAGGACAAGCTGCTCAAGAAGCGGTACGCGGTCTATAATCCCGACGGCTCACTAGCCGAGCTGAAGGGGTTCGAGGTCAAGCGGAGGGGGGAGCTTCAATTGATCAAGATTTTCCAATCTCAGATCTTTGACAAGTTCCTCCTCGGCACCACTATTGAGGCGTGCTACGCCGAGGTGGCAAAGGTGGCGGACCAATGGCTGGACATCCTCGGGTCCAAGGCGGCGAGTCTGAACGACGACGAGCTCGTCGACCTCATCGCCGAGAATCGGAGCATGTCCAAAACTCTCGCCGAGTATGGGACGCAGAAATCGACATCCATCAGTACGGCTCGTCGGCTCGCAGAGTTCCTCGGGGAGCAGATGGTCAAGGACAAAGGTCTATCCTGTCGCTTCATCATCTCGACCAAGCCCAACGGGGCGCCGGTCACCGAGAGGGCCATTCCGGTCGCCATCTTTACCGCCGAACCGGCTGTCAAGCAGCAGTACCTTCGGAAATGGCTCAAAGACAACAGTCTCGTCGACTTTGATCTCCGTACTATTCTCGACTGGAACTACTATACGGAGCGGCTCGGCTCGGTCATCCAAAAGATCATCACCATTCCCGCCGCCCTCCAAAAAGTCGCCAATCCCGTTCCTCGGATCCGGCATCCGGACTGGCTGTTCAAGCGGGTGGCAGCCAAGGAGGACAAGTTCCAGCAGCACAAGCTTACAGACATGTTTGCGAGGATGCGAGCTGCTGGGGCTGAGGATATGGAGGATGTGGGGAAGCGGCTGAATGCGCGGAAGTTGGCGGTGGTGAAGCGGAAGAAGCCAAAGGAGGTGATTCGGGAGGTCGCACCGGATCCGCTCGTGGACTACTCGGGCTACCTCCGGGTCAAGCGGAAAGAGTGGAAGGCGCAGCGGATAGAGCGGGCGAGGGTGCGGAAACAGGGCGGGCCTAGACAGGACGGCTCAATTTCGTCGATGCTGCAGACGCGGTCGCTCAACCTTACGGCGAGGCAGTGGGACATCATCCAAATCGCCTCGACCAGTCGGCCGGGCGAGTATCGACTCTGGCTGTCGATCGACGGGACTTTCCAGTCTGTCCGGCTGCGGGTGCCCAGGGAGTTTTACCTCAATTTCAAGACTCTTCCCCCTTCCGACACCTTCTCGGACATGTACGAGGCTACTTCCATCGTCCGCAATCTCCCTCGGGACCAGCCCGTGCACAACCTCTTCCGCCTCATTGTCGACGAGAGTCTCTTCGTCGAGGGGGAATCGCACTTTTCCAGCCTGATCAACAACCCAAACGTCGACGGGGCGTTTGAGCTGCAAGTACCGCTCATGGTACGAGCTCTGCTCAGCCTGGGTACATCGTGCGCACTCAAGTCGGCGGCGGCGGGCGGTCTCAATCGCGGTCTGGACAAGGGATTCGACCTGACCGACCTGGAGCGTCCCGGGTCTAGTGTCCTTCGTCACAAGTACCTCGACGATGGCGCGGGGTTGCGGTACCACCTCCTCTTCCACGCCGTCATCGCTTCGCGCCACCTCATCGGTCTCTTCTCACCCGGTGGCAAGGCCAAGGTATACGTCGTGGATAACGCGAGGAACCGACAGCAGCTGCCCAGCCCGGCTCGGTGGTATGCTGATCGGGTCGCAGCGGCCAGGGGCGGTGTCTTTGGCTACACCGACGAGCTAGACGTCAGCGTCAACTACTACCCGACCGAGGGCGGCGCGATGCGCCAGCTTGCCAAAGACCTCTCGGCGATCAAGCGCGGCCTAAACGTCATCGCCCTCACCTCTCCTTTCGAACACAGCTACTACCAGGTCAAGGCATCCATTTTCTCCGAGTTCCCCTTCATCACGTACAAGATGTTCAAGGAGGAGGAGGCGAGCTTGATGTGGCTGCTCCAGACGAGTAGGAGGATGGTACAGCAGTGGCTGAAGCTGTCGGGGTGGCTCAGGGAGCAGATAGATACTGCTGCTCATTTCGATGTACCGCTCGGAGTGAGTAAAATCATCTGATCGCGAGGTTAAAGCTGACGAGCAGAACCTTGGCAACGACTCTCCCATCTTCCTTGCCGATATCGACTTTGCCCGTCGGCTCAAGGCGCAGGATATGGTCCTCTGGTGGTCTGCCGCTCCCAAGCCGGACCTCGGAGGCTCAGAGGAGGACGCGAATTCGACCGAAGAGCCAATACCGCCCCAGATCTCAGTGAAGGGGTGTTACTCGTCGGTCGTGCTGGAGATGGACGTCAAGCAGCTCGCGCTGGATGCGGTCCTACAGTCGGCGCTGGTGAACGAGATGGAGGGATCGGGGGCGGGATCGATGGCGTTCGACACGGCGTCGCATAATCTCGACGAGTACGTCAAAGGCACGGCCAACACTAGTGTCATGCTCGGTGATGCGGTGCTTTCCACCCAGACCTTTGGCGTGCTCAAAGCGATGCTGCGTACCTGGTTCTTGGATGACGTCCGTCTCACGGCCAAGGGAGATAGCGGCAATCCAGCCGGTCTGCTGCTAGATCACTTTTGGCGGTGGGTTCGATCCAGCTCGTCCAACATGTTTGAGCCCGCCCTCCATCGCTTCCTCCACGGTCTCATGCGGAAGACCTTCCTCCAGCTCCTCGCCGAGCTCAAGCGTCTCGGCACAACCATCGTCTACGCCGATTACCAGCGGATCTTCCTCCTCACCTCCAAGCCCGACGCCGGCTCGGCGGTCGCATTCGGTAAATACCTCATCACGGCCGCCAACAGCCAAGAGCTGTTCCGTCATCTCAAAATCGGTATCACCCACTACTGGAACTATCTCGCCTGGATGGACGTGGCCAACTTCGGTGGCTTCCGGGTCACCCCCGAGGAGGCCAGCCGGCGCGACGGCCACCGGGTCAAGATTCCGGTCTCGATGGACTTCAATATCGTGTCCTTCTTGCCCGCACCCCTCCAACCTGTATTCGAGCACAACGTCGGGAACTTTATCTATCACCTCTACAAGGCCAAGCTGGGCTCGGATAACGGTCGGACCCCTCTTCGGCCAATATACAACCTCAACATTGACACTCCTGGTGATATCGCCGCCTCGGTCTCGGATCCAACCAAGGACCAGGAGCGGGCGGAGGCGGAGAAGAGCATTACATCCACGCTTACGCGGAAAGTGCTGGAGGATGTCAGTGCGGTCAAGAAGACACAATCGGCTGCTCTGCTCGATGCCGACCTCGCGGAGTCCTTCTACTTCCCCGACCTCCCTGGCGCCCGTCCAGATCGTCACAACCCAACACTCGAGCTGGTCAAAGCCATCACTGAGGTCTTTTCACTCGCAAAGGATTACTCGGTCGAGGTGGGCATTCTCAAGCGAAATCTGCTGGATCTGCTCGGGGTGCGTGAGTTCTCGCCCGAAGCGGCATGGCGGAACCCGTGCGAGAGTATCGTGGTGCCGATGGTGATTTGTCAGCGGTGCAGTGCGATCAGGGATGTGGATCTGTGCAGAGATCCGGATAGGTTGCCGAGGGTGGACTCAGAGACACTGGAGTTGCTACCGCCGCCGAGGAAGAGCTGGTGCTGTATCGTGAGTCACTCCTTGCCTGATCTCTACTCCCGAGTGTATCGCTGATCAGACAGGCATGTGATACGGAGTATGACCGCTTCCTCATCGAGAGACCGCTCATCGATATGGTGTCAAGACTGGTCACGTCGTTCCAGACACAGGATGTAAGCTTTCTTTCTGTTATGGGACCGGCAGAGGCCATCAAGCTGATCTTCAGGTAATCTGCACAAAGTGCGGCCAGTCCAAGGACGATAATTTGGCGCCGACTTGCGGATGTGGAGGGTCATACAGGACGAGCTTGAATAGAGGGGAGGGTAAGACCAAGTTGAAGATGATCAAAAGTGGTGAGTCCTTATCCCGGCTCTTTTGCGCGAGAATCATGAGCTGATCCTTCTAGTGGCTGAGTACCACGATCTGCCGATGATCAAGGACTATGTAACGCAGACGCTGGAGCGGTGGTGAGCGTGGAGGAAAGGGGCGATCTTTTGGGCTTGACATCTCGTTCTGTGTAGACTATCTTGTTGTGCTATTTGTATCTTTTGCATGGCGATGCGCCCCAAACTGTAGATCTGGAGATGTTATTGACAATGCATGTATCGTATGATCCTCTAAACCCGGAATTTTGCCTCGAGCGACCCAAGCGCTTCTTTACGCCTGGTACTCCTTGTAATCCTTCCATTGGTTTTGGCTGAGCAGCTGCGCGACGAATGCGTGGAAGTTGGGCGCCTGCTGGGCGGTCGACATCCTGTAGAGGGGGACGACAGTCCGCAAAGTCGACCTCTGCATCTCCTCTGCGAATCGTCAGCTCCGAACTTTGCCTGCTCGGGCGGACGAGAGTAGCTGCACTCACCCTTCCGTTCCAGATCCTGCTTGATGGTGTCCTCCTTCACCTCCATATCCTTCATGATCCCCTGTACCGCCTCGGCGACCTCGTCCAACCTCGGGATCACGCTGTTGGGCGCGAGCTGGCCAAGACGGAGGAGCAGCATGAGACCGAGCACCTTGATCTCGTTCACGTCTGACAAGGCAGCCATGACGCGGTCGGTAAAGGTCGGGAGGTCGATCTTGTTGAAGCAAGTTGCCAACTATTGTCATCAGCACAGGTTCTGCATCCGGGACAAGAAGAAGACATACTAGAGTGTACCTGATTCATCAGCTCGATCCTGACTCGGAATGAAAGGGAACTCACATTGTTTCGTACGCAGTCTTCCTGTTCTCCAAACCATCATCCTCAATGACTGTAAAGTCAGCTTCGATCCTCCAGGATATTTGAGGCCTGTAAACTCACTCTTGAAGGGGCCCATCATGACTGATCTTTGCAGCTCAGGCTTGACCACCGTTTCCTGGAACAGCAGCGGCTGAAGCGTAGCCAAGCGGTCATTAACGAGGTGCGGCTTGTTCTGGATTGCCGCGTTGAGTGAGGCGAGTGACAATCGGCGGACAACCTAGACCTTCAGCGCTGTTACTCAACAAATCGGAGCAGGGCTTACCAAGTTCTCATCGTGCATCAAGCTCAAGAATTCAACGATGAGGGGCGCAATCAACTCGTCGTAACTCGAGCTGGTGTCGATGAAGGTGTATCGAACAGCCGCAGCGACGATAGCCCGGTTGCGCGCACCTGAACGGAGGAGCTTCTGGAGGACGGTCAGCTTGGCCTGCTACCAATGGGGCTGAGCAGCTTACCTGGAGCTGGGGCAAGAACTTGGCAGGAGCAGTCGTGGTGAGCTTGCCGATGCACGCCGCCTTGACGTTCCGGACCCCATCATCGCCGAGATCTTCGCCGCCCTTGCCTCCACTCTCGTCCGCCAAAAGTGGCTTCCAGAGGGAGTCGGCCAAAAGCTCAAGACGAGCGGAAGGTAGGTGGAGTATAACCTGACGGTCAGCTTATGCAGCACGCGCAGATCTGGCAGACAACAGCTCACCTCTTTCAGTGCGTGCAACAACAGCAGACGCGAAGCAGGGCTCTTCTCTGATCCGATAAGGTCGACAAGGGCAGGGAGGAAGACGGTTTGTGACCCAACAGCGAGGTTGCCTGTACCTCATCAGCTTGGAGCATCAAGAGCGAAGCGAAAGACGAACCAGCGGCGAAAGCAGCAGCGCTACGGACCTCTTCACTGCCGTTGCTGAAGAACGAGGTGACCTTCGAGAAGAGCTTGGCATCTGCAGACAAGTCCCTATCGGTATCAGCTGCTCTGCTTTCGCACTGCAGGCTGCGGATCGTTCAACTCACGCGATACGACCAATCTCGCCGACGCAGAGGAGCGCGAGGTAGATCTCCGCTTCGGGTGCCTTGGCAGCCTACTTGCATCAGCTTCGCTAACTTGATCAAACACAGATAGCCTCACCTTGATAGTCTTCTGGAACAAGGCAAGTACACCCGCGGCGTTCCTCGGGCTCGTCTGAACGATCGCACCGATGACCCGAGCGGTAGTCGAGTAGATCCCCGTTCCGCCCTGAACAGCATCGGGGATCTTGGCCGACTTCCCGAGGTTGTCGACCAGCTGAGGTACGAGCTGTGTCGCCGAATCAGGATCGCCAGCGACGTACGCCGAGAAGAAGGTCGTGAGCGCCTCGACCTGGTGTGCGTTCGCAGCCATGGGGGTCTTGATGACCTCGTACACCTTGGGGAGGAGGGCAGTGACGGATGCGCGAGCCTTGGGCTGCTTGCCGAGGATGAGACCGACGGTCTGGATAGTTGTGGGCTGAGCGAGGAATGGTGAGAGTTCCCCGATCATCGAGTCGGCCGTAGCTGCCGGCAGCTTGGCGCCGATCCGACCGAGGATGGCAGAGAGGCAGTTGTACTCGGTATTCTTGCCGGTGGACCGCCGGGAGCGGCGAAGAACGGTGACAACCTCAGGAAGGACCTCGAGCAGCCACTTGTCGACCGTGTTGCCCTTGCAGAGGGGCGACTCGGCGATCCTGCCAATGACGGTGACGGCGGTGATGGCTGTGGACTCGTTGCCAAGGCGGGCGGTGATGAGCGGAAGAGACTTCTCGTATGTCCCAGTCAGGGCATCACCCTCGTGTACCAGGATGTTTCCGAGCGTCTCCAGTGCCTTCTCCCGCACCTCCGCATCGACCGTCGTATCGCCCATGACGTCCGAGGTGGCCGCGAAGAGCGTTTTGACCGGGCCAGTAAGGTCGGATTTGATTGGCGAAGCGGAGCCAAGGGGCCTGATGGACTGCGCCAGAGCCGAGGCAGCATTGAAGGCCTCAAAGTTGATCCGCTGGAGCTTGTCCTTCATGCACCGGATGATGGCGGGGACGAGGTCCTTGAGGTATTTGGCGTATGCGCGGGAAGGGTGGGACCGGAAGTAAACGGTGAGGAAGGAGAGGGCAGAGATGGCGAGCGAGGAGGTCGTAGCGGTATCGACGGATTTGAGCGCAGACACAGACGCTGAGCAGATCTGGGCAGAATCCGCCTCGAGTCCGCCAGCAATGACTTCGGAGAGGAGGCGAAGGATGTCAAAGCATTCCTGCTTGGTAGCGATGGATTTGCTGTTGAGCTGCTTGAGAACGGCTCGGAGGACTTGGGGAAGGGTCGCTTGGAGAGCGCTGGTCACGCTGGATGATCAGCTTAACACGACCTCAGAGTCAAAGGTGAACATACCTGTCCTCGGGTTCGCTGTCATCCTCGATCTCGTCTGTCCGCTTCCGCTTGTTCCGCCCACCACTCGCCAACTCTGCCTGTTGCGCGGTGGCGGTCTGCTTCAGCAGAGCCCCGAAAGCCGACAAGATCTCGAGCCTGACACTCTCCTCTCGCTCGTCCATGCGAGATACCAGAATAGGCGAGGTGTTCTTGTAGAACTCGGAGAGAAGTTCGTTGCGGGTACCGACCAGGGCGTATAGGAGCTTGGCAGCGGACCGCCGGACCTTCCACGAGATATCGTCATCGTCCGAATATCTGACTCATCAGCTAACATAGCGGGGACCTTGCAGAGATACTCACGGATCCTCATCAAACTCGTCATCTTCGTCATCATCGTCCTCGTCCATCTCGACGTCGTCATCATCGAGCTGGACAAAGTTCTGTCATATCAGCCTTGTTCTCGGCGCCGGCGGTGAAGGCTTACCGGGTCGTATTTGACCAGCTCAAGAGCGAGATTCGTGATCTTGGTCACGGATGGTCCGATTTCCGTTGGGCATCGAAGAACCAGTACTTCCAGAGCCTACCTCATCAGCACTTGGGTCACAGGTAGAGCGGAGCTCCTGGGAGAAAACGTACCATCAGTGCTCCTTCGGTGGTCTCCACATCCTCCGGGTCCTCCGCTTGGTCCAGGATCAAGTCGACCACCCTTCCCTCGTTCAAAAGCGCCCCAACCCTGGCCGCACTTTGGCCCCTTGCCAAGCTTGCCACCACCGCGGACCATACCTTGGCAGTATCGCCTCCAGCAGCCAGTCCCTCGGTGATCTTGGGCTTGACACCGTCGAACAGAGCGGGATTGGTCGAGACCAAAGCCCCCAGAGCGGGAATCGCGCGTCTCCGGATTGAAAGCTTGCTGGATGACAGGATCCGGATCAAAGCGTTGATTGAGGTACCCTGGAGGGTTTCCGATGTCGTGACGATGTGAGAGAAGCGGATGTAGATGTCGGCGAGAATCTGGAGGAGTTCGGAAGCGAGCTGCGGATCGGGTGAAGGCTGACAATCAGCTTGAGTCCGGTTGCGGGGAAAGTGAATTTACCTTGGTGAGGATAGGGTAGACCTTATTGACGATGTTCTCCACAGCTTGAGCAGCGGGTTGTCCCTCGCTTGGCATCTCCTGCACAGCAGCTTTGAGTGCTGCGTTGTGAGCTTAAATCCAGCACCTACTCGTATCCAGAAGGAAACTCACCGAGGCACGCAATATCCCTCTTTCCCTCATTCTCCTGGTTCTCCTTGTCCGAGTTCCCGGCACCGTTCAACAGGTCATTGATGATCTGGTTCATGTACACGGGCCGAGTTCGTCGAACCATAGCTCCGATACTGACCAGTCAGCTTACATTCCTTCTTGATTACGGGCACGGCCTGGCGAGCAGTAACTTACCACGACACCGACATATTCTTCACCTCGGCTATAGGATCGCCCAGCAGCTTCAACACCGCCGTTGTGAGCTCCTTTTCTACCAGCTCATCGGTGTAGAACACGTCAGCCTTGCGGGATGACGTTGATTGACTGGATGACAGGCTCGAGCCGGTCGCTGGACCGGTCACGCGGAGCAGGTCCTTGTGGAGGTCGATAAGAGCCATGGATCTGCCAGTCAGCTGAGAGCAATCATATGAGCCGGCTAGCCGACCTCAAGTCAGAGTCGTTCGACCGCATCTGCATGCCATCAGCGAGCCAATCCTTCTCATGACAGTGAACAGCGATAGACATACCTTCTCGAAGAGCTGGGGCATCTGCAGGGCCAGCATTGGGGCCTTGGAAGACGACATGTCGGCTATCTGTGTCTGAGTAGGCTGTGCTGTGCTGTCTACCAATAGTATGAAGGTAGCTTAGAACAAGAGGTAACTTAGTGTCGAAGAGGAAGTCGAAGCCGTGACGAGGAATGCTGAGTGGACTTGACCTTTTCGACGCGCACACGCGCCGTACCCAGAACACGTGGTCAGACCTCACGTAAAGCTAGCGGTTTTGACTTTTGCAGCGCTGAAGCAGCTGGTATGACTGTTCATCTATACGTCCTTCTATCCAACCCTAAACCACTTGTACACTCTACACTCTCAGCGGGATCGCTCACCGTGCACCTCGCAAACTTACGCGAAGATCAAAGTTTGATCAAAGATCAGCCAATCCCGACCATCTGGGCCGCAAACCCCGACGCTCCACCCCAAGCCTTCCCCCTCCTCCCCTCCCCTCGCGCATCATGCCCGTCCGCATCCGGCTTGCCCGCCACGGCCAACGTCACAATCCTTTCTACCACCTCGTAGCTATCGCCTCCAACAAGCGAAGAGACGCCAAACCTCTAGAGCTGCTCGGGACATATGACCCCATACCTCGCCTACCCTCCACTGCCGATCTCCCCTCCTCGTCCAAGGTATTCGGGGCGAAGCTTGAGGATGTACCAAAAGAGAAGGAGGTGAAGTGGAATGTGCAGAGGATACATCACTGGTTAGAGACTGGGGCGCAGCCAACAAAGAGCGTAGTGAAGCTGTTAGAACGGGTACGTTTGACTTCTGTTCCAGTATGGATGCGGGAGCGTGAAGGCTGATCGGGTAGGGCGGTGTTTTGACTGTACCACACAAGTGGCAGCACCAATATAGCCCAGGACTGGCTGCAGCCATCGCCAATTCCTCCTCCTCGTCCACCTCACCACGATCAAACCTATCATCCTCACAAGCTTCTTCCCCTTCCCCCTCCGCTCCTACATCAGGCGTGATAGATTCTCCGGCGGTACGGACGACGGGATTTGCAGGAGCGACAGCCACATAGGATCTAGCGGAATGGAGGGGAGGGGGGAGGATGACATGGAAGGACTCTGGCTTTGATCTGGGATACCTACGGGAAATGCAGCCTCTGCGAGCTTTCAAGTCTGCCTGGTATGCCTGGGTCCTATTCTGGGCGTCCCCGAGTCTTGCATCACCGCCAAGGCTGCACATCTTCCAGTCTTGCTGGTGCTCTCTGCCATCTCTATGACCCAGTACTGACCCGCTGCGCTCTCAGCCAAATTCCAGTCCGTGCGTCAGCCGTGCCTGAATTTCGCAGATCCTGCAACTTTTTCGGCTGCTTCACATCAGCCATAACATCTATCGACATCTTCTATACATCCCTCCCCCTCATCTATCAGCAGCTCGCTCGCCATGTCCTCGACAGCCAACGCCGTGGCCAGCTCATCCAAGCTGCCAAAAACCAAAAAGTCAAAGTCGGGCAAGCACGACAAGCCCAATGGCTCGTCCAGTCATAAGCACGCCAAAGGCGCCAATGGGGTCAAGGAAGGTGGCAGCAAGAAGAGCAAGTCGGAGCGTACGGGCCCGTTCGAACATCGCAGGATGAGGATGAGACTCAGCGTACCACCCCGGTTCTCGGGGGATTACATGGTGGGCGTGAGGGAACAGCTGGATGGGATGGTCATGCGGTGAGTATTCCGTCCTTGTCGAAGGCGCCTGTCCTGGGAGATACGGATATCCCTGGTATGGGCTGCAGCTGATCCCGTTAGATATGTCTCACATGTCCAAGGTGTCCTACTCGCACACTGGGACCATACGTTCCTGGATCAGACTGTCAACATCATCAACGAATGTCCCTTTGGCGTGGCAGACATCGAATTTGAGGCGTTGATATGGGCGCCAAAGATCGGCCAGAAGCTCTGTACGCCTCCTCGTGTCTTTTGACCGCACGAAGCTGATATTTTAGATGGTACCCACTCCCTCTCATCCCCGTCGCACCTCTCCCTCCTCTTTTCCCGCACATTCAACGTCTCAATCCCCCTCCAACATATCCCTCAGGACACGTACGAGTTCGAAGCGACCAATCAAGACGATGAAGAAGAAGAGGATAGCGATTCGGAGGATGGCCTGATAGGTCTCGGTGGACTCAACGGGCATGGGCAGGTCGAGGAGGTCGGGAGGTGGAAGTCGAGGTCGACGGGCGAACTCGTTGGACAAGGTGGGAAGGGTGTGAAGTTTACTGTCATCGGGTGAGTATTAGGCTATTGTCGTCCGGCTGTCGTTGCTCTCGCCTTGGAATCTGGCTGACCTCCAGTATGCAAGTCACCAACCAGATGCTCTCCCTCACCGGCTCCCTCCTCGCCGACCCCCACAACCCCCCTTCACCCCCTCCCACCCCTGCCGCCGCTCAACCCATGCGCGACTCCCCCACTCCCGAGCCTGAATATCACTCCCAAACGCCCGTTCGGCCAGCCAAGAAGCCCCGTCAAAACAAAGACAAGGAAAACACCAACAACCCCATTGAACCGTCTCATCCCATCCCCGCTCGCGCGTCAAAACAGCCCCGACCAGTACCGGTCCTGGAGGAGAAGGAGGAGATTGACGAGTCGTTCTTATCTGCACGGGAGCTCAAGCAGAAGCGCAAAGAAGAGGCCAAGGCGAAACGGGATGCGAGGAAGGAGAAGAAGGCGGAGAATGTGATGGTTGCGGCACAGGCTGTGGGTGGGGATATGGCTGTGGGTCTGGAAGGTGCGGAAGATGCGGGAGCGGAGGTGGGGAAGAAGCGGAAGGGAGGTGCGGGCGAGGGTGGGCAGGCCAAGAAGAGGAAGGAGTGAGGGGTGGGCGGCACATCTTGTTATATTTGGCGGTATCGTATTTGATTTGGGATGGATCTTGGATGTCAGGTTGGCTGCTGTTGTCACCTTCTCGCTCAAGACCTGCTCACGATCCTAAAGAGACAGGCTATTTTGACGTTCTCTCCAACTCAAGGGGCATGTCTGTACTCTGACTAACGACTTCTTCGTCCCCAATCATCCTCCCGCTCCGACTGGGTCGAACTCTTCCGCCACTGCCTCCCAGTCCACCATCACCCGCCTCACTCTCCCCACCGCTGGCGGAGTACTGGCCATGAAACCCACCGCCCTCGACAAGGGCTTCAGCGGACTCTGGCCCGGTCGCCCTGGTCGCAATGGCGAGTCGCTGGGCTTCCAAGACGCCGACATCGATCGGAGCGGGGAAGAGGGAGGGGGCCTGGAGGGGGACAGGACGGTACGGGAGGGAGTGAGGGGCGACCGCCCTGGTGTGGAGGTGGAGCGATAAGGCGAGAAGGCTGGGTGAGAGGTGTGTCGGTCCTTCAGCCGAAGTAGTTCCAGCAGCCAGGGCTGCGGTATGTCCTAGGCTTGTCAGCCGCGGCTCCACCGCAACCAGGCCGACCATGCTGTGCTCAACTTGGTGTCCTCCCTGGACCAGCTCCCGCCCGCCAGCTTGCCCCCCTCCCTAGTTGCCAGTCCTCTGATTGCGCATCGCCCCAGCTCGACATCCCCACCTTCCCCTATAGACGATGCGAAAGCTAGGACCCGCAATGGCTGCTCGTTCGCCTTCTCCCCTATGACTTGCCTTGCCGTCGACACCAGTGCCGTTGCTTCAAGCTGCTCTAGTAGACTGTAGATCTCGAAGAGCTCGTCGAGCGGGAAGGGCGCAAGCATATGGGCCCGGCAAAAAGAGGGCACGTGGAGAAGGGCGACGAAGAGGTTGACGATGTCGGTTGAGAAACGCAGGCGCAATCTGACCGGCCGCGACAGTGGTAGATTGAGGTCGCTATCTCACATCAGCTCACTGTCTCTCTGGGCTCGTCTAGTGCATGGATGGGATAGGAAAAGGCAGAAGCACGCTCACCAATGCCTCTCGAAGAGAGCTCGTCCGATGTACACCCTGGTCCCATCTCCGCTCTCGATCACTAGTGGCTCCTCTATCTTGCCTCTCTCGACTCTTGCATACTCAGGGCTGTCTGCTTCTTGGTCGATAGGAGACCGAGGCGAGACCGGTGGAGGAGGTCGGCGATGACAAAACCGAGCGTTTGGAGAAGGAGCACTTCGGGACTGAGGGGTCTGTAGCCTATTGTCATCGCGGGTAGTCGTATGATGAGCCGGGTGCCGAGGGGGTCCAGCGTGTACGGGAGATCCAGACGTACGGCCTGAGGAGGAAGGGAGGTAGGGTGATGCGAAGGGTATGCGGGCCAGAGCGGTCGAAATGGAGCGAGAGGACGAGGCGACCGGGGAGAAGATGTCGTCAACTCGGCGAGGCGTGACGGGGCCGTGGTAAGACATGAGTGTGCGTACCGATTGGATGTGATGACTCGAGCTCAATAGGTTCGCAGATACAGCTAAGCTTTGCAAATGGTGACGAGACTTGACCAAGGAGAAGGAGGAGAGCTGGTTGAAACGTCGATGATGTCATGCAGGTTTCAGTGTTGTTGGCTTGAATGGGTCCACGGTAGAGCGTAAACAAACAAGGCGTCGCGTTACTCCCATCCATTGGGACAGTGGAGGAGTCGCGACCGGTCGCGACCAGTAGCGACTGAGTAGCGACTCGTAGCGACTCGTCGCGACTCGTAGCGACTCAAGTAGATAGCCAGTAACTAGGACCCTATATAAGGAGCAGTAGTCAAGCCCTATGCATCCCCAGTCTGCTCTTGAAAACTTAACAAGTGTGACCTGTGCATACTCTACATAGGCTTGTGTATACAGTGATCTGAGAAAGGCTAGATTGACAACCCCCAGGGTAGATCCTGTACGATCAAACGAGAAGCGACATACACAGTATCTACCATTAATTTACAGATCGATGGTGACTACCCGTATACACTCATGGTCGCCACCCGGCCCTGTATATATCACCTCCCCGTATCTTCGCAACCCAGATCTTGTCTCCGGCTGAGCCATCATCATCTTCCTCTGGAGTGACCACCACTGGCAATCGGGTGCAAAGGCGGTTAATACGGATGGTCTGCGCTGTCAGTATCTCGGCGACACGAGGATACTAGTCATAGTATAAGAGAAAGGGAAAGCTCGACTTACAAGCACAGACAGGGCAAGGCTCCTGCTCGTCCCCCATCTTCATCTCCAAATGCAGCCTGGGAGATGTCCAGACCTCTCGCCCGTTTCGGATGTAGTTCTGGAAATCATGCCCTTCGAAGGTCCGGTGTGATTGATCCCCCTGAACTCGCCCGATGTCCTCCTCAGTATGCGCGTCCCGTATCTCACGATATCTTGCCACCTCCACCGCCGTCCAGGGGCGCACAACGTCTGTTGTTACCTCCTGGATCCTCAACTGCCAGAACGTGACTAGGGTTGAGGCGATGTCGCGAGCAGTCTGCGAGTCAAGCTGAGTACCGTCGTGCCGTATGACCTTGATCCAGCACTCTAAGAGGGAGATCATGTCCACGCCAACCATGATCACGGGGTCATGGGCGTCGCATAGTGCGTTGTGTAGTCGGACGGTGCTCGCCGAACAGGAGGTGGCGACGTTGATGACCCAGGTCGACCGTCGAGCGGTCCAGGGGTGGTGGAGCTGGGGGCTTGTCATGACATACAGCGCCTCGGCCCAGGTAGCTATAAGGGTAGTCGCGCCCGTACAACGCAGCCGTTCGTAGCTATAGCCGAAGGCGGCTGTCGGATCCGGCACGTGAAGCCGGACGCGATCGAAGCTATACGAGATTGATGTGTTGCACAGGCCCGAATGTAACGCTTCGAGTGCTGCGTCGTAGAGGGTAGCCTCGCTTCCGTGCCAGTCCAGCTCGACTGGCCCGTGGCCCGATTGTTGAACAGCGTGAGAGCCGATGCTCTCGAGCAGAGGGTACCAGTCTGCAATCCGGCTGCCAGTACCGAGCTTGGAGGAATCCTCGGTGAAGCAGACCTGCTGAGGAGTGCAGAGGCTGGTAAGGGAGGGGCTCTGCTGAGGGGTGTCCGCTGGAAGATTTGTGGGACAGATGTGGAGTAGCTTAGCGAGGGGAAAGAGCGACTTTGGCCCGAGGTGAGTGTCGCCGAGGATCTGCGATAGCCGTACGCCAAAGGGGATGTTGGGCATAGTGCTCAGAGTAACTCTTCGGGTCAGAGCGCAGTGGGAGAGGAACCGTCCCTCCCACATCTCCGACCGAGCGTCTTCCTTCTCCGGCACCGAGGCGACCGAAGCCGGCACTACGAGTGCCGCGAGGATAGCATCGTACGCCGCCTGCGAGTCGATGTGGACATCCCGGTAGATGTAGGGAATGACGGGCTGGTAGAGCGCCTTGCAGGTGCGTACGAGGGAAGCGAGCGAAGCGAATTGCTTTGATTTGGCAAGAATCGCGAGGATGGGGGAGAGGTCGTCGAGGGGGATAGTGTCGAGCCGGAGCGGGCGCTCGGAGACGGAGATGACGGGGAGGGGAGAAGGTTGATTGAGTTGCATGATCGAACCCATTGCTGCTGACAGAATATACCTGCGAATCAGCTTTCCTTCTCGCGAGTCCGTCGACCTGCTCGCTAGCTAATATGGCCTCGACCAGCTTACCGTGAAATGCTCAGCCCTGTTCACGCTGTTGCTGGCCTTTCCTTGTCATCACCTGTACTGCTGATAGTGCGATAGCGCAGGGCAATGCAATAATTCACCTTGCAGGAGGATGAAGGATGATGGCAAGAAGGAGAAGCTCCGATTGCCTCGCCTCCCGCACAAAAAGGCACTGAAACGCCACATTACGTCATCATCTGTTTCATCTTGTGATATGCATCCGCCTTTGGGTCGCTCGGTGTGATATTGATGATCCAGAAAGACTGATCCCTCTCGCGCATCCACCGCGCATGCCGCTCGGTGAACTGTGTCAAGGCAGTAGGCCAATATGACCTCGCCCCGTCTAGCGACATGGTCTGTCCGGGCGAAGGTGCCGATTACGTAGAGGCGGACACCGGCGAAACTGCTGACGAGGCGGTTCGCTGGATGGGAAGTTTGTGATCTGCGTCTCCATGAGCAACACAGGTAGGCCGGAAGAGGTCGGCCATGTCGCACAGGGAAGATGGTCCCACATCGACGCGGCGATGGAGTGCTCCGGAGGCAAGGGGACACGTCCAGTCTCCGGCCGCTCGTCAAGGCAGACTGGCTCCGGGCGGCAAAAGCGAGAGAGGAAAGCCCTCCCTGCTATTTGCTCGTCGGGAAGGGGTGTCTCTACGTGGATGTGGGCGACGAGGAGGAGTTTGGCGTTGGGAAAGAGGAGCGTTACACGCTGGGGTATTGGGGGTGTTGCGGAGACGAGACCCATATCCGAGGTCGCGAAGTCCGCCAAACGTGATCCGCCGCGTAATCTCGCAGTTCTCGAGGATTGTTCTGGCAGTTCTCGAGGATTGTTCTGGCAGTTCTCGAGAATTGTTCTATATCTGGTCCTTCCCCCATCCGCTATCCCGCTAGCCCCCCCGCTCCCGCCAGACGCTAGTGCGCTATTGACAGCGCGGAGGAGAGGATTGTACGCCGCGGAAAAGTCGAGGTGGATGTCGCGGTATAGGTAGGGGATCACGAGCGAGAGGAGCTTCCGGCGGGTCCAGCGAGGGCAGCGAGGGTTGCGAAGTGCTTGCGAGCAGCGAGGCTGAGCAGGACGCTGACGACTGTGTCTCCTGGGATGGTGTTGCTATTGGAGATCGAGGGGAGGCGAGCATAGAAGCAGAAGAGGCAGGTTCGGGGCGGAACTTGTACAGTACACCGGGCGAGAAATGAGTATAGGATGAGACCTGGAGGATCAGTCAACCCTTCCTTCGCGGCCGAGGCCAAGATTGCTCACGGTCAGACTGGCGCGGTCTCCTAAGTCGGCCACTCGCTCTTATATGATGACCTCGCTGTCGAGCAAAAATGATGGTACCTAAGTAGTGAAGCTGATCTGAGGAGTGGACGAGAAGGAGATGAAGTTATGCGCGGGCTCTCCGAGCTTCGAGACCGTTAGGGCTGACCGGATCAAGTACCGCCGACCCACCAAGCGAGTCACCATGCTCGCCATCGCGTGCCAAGCTACATCCACTTGATATGCATATCTCATGCTCGCCCTGATCATCATTTTAGAGATTAGGACTACTCTACGTCCTCGAGCTGGTCCGTCAGCTCCACTCTCAAATCTTCTTTCTGAGAGAATAGTGAACTCACGCTCAGCTCCTTCGCCTTGCCCTTACCCTTCCCCTCGACCTCCTCCTCATCGCCCTCGTCATCGTCGCCCTCGCTGTCGTCGTCTCCGTCGTCCATGCCGCCCATACCGGGCATACCTCCCATACCACCCATGCCGCCCATACCGCCGGCTCCGCCCATCTGAGCCATGAGTTTGGACTGGGTATCGTCAGCTTTCATTGCGATGAAGGTTGTGTGCGGGACAGGATAAGAAAGGGCTGAGAGCAGAGCGAAATAACACCAGTGGAAACAACCAGAAGCTCAGAGGGGGAGATAGTCCAAGAGGCCAGACTCACAAAGTCCATGCCGCCAGCCCCGCCAGCACCGCCCATGCCGCCCATCATGCTAGCCATGTCCATGCCGCCCATACCGCCCATGCCTGGGGGCATGCCACCGCCCATGCCGCCCATGGGGTCTTCCTGGCCTCCGAGACTGTATCGTCAGCTTCTACCCTGTCCAGCGTTCAACATGACACCGGGCCTAGAAACTCACTCTGGTGCCTCTCCGTCCTGCTCGTCCTCGTCGACCCACTACTTAGTCAGCATGAAACCTCATACTCAATAGCAGCAAATGAGACTCACCTTGGCAAAGTCAGTCTTGACCCAGTTACGGTTCGGCTTCTCCTTTGTGAGGCGGAGCCAGTACTCTGAGCTCATTTCCTTTTTGCGCAGAATCAGGACGATCGCGCGCGAGGTGGTGACCTTCTTAGTTTCCTGAAGATCAGTCAGTCCCACTTCTTGCTGCGAAGAGTCGACAAGGGCGGGAGGAGACTTACCTCGGGGATAATCTCGCCGTAAAGCTCAAGGTCGAACGCGTACTCCTTCTCGGGGAGACCCTTGGCGGGGCTGCAGGAGTCAGCACCTGCTATTGTCGAGTAGCTCTGACGGTGGGAATGAAGCAGGATAGGATAGATGGGGCGATACGCGCAGTATTGACCGAATAAACGATACTCACTTTCCAGCCTTCGCCCTGAACTTGATCTCAGTCGGGGTAATCTCGAGCGTCGGCTCGCCCTGCACGTCCGGAGCATGGATGGTGAAGTAGATGATGTTCTACTATATCAGCATCTCCCTATGGTTTCCCCTGTCCTATCGCTTCTCCCGTCCATCATCCCAACCTCAAGCACAAGCAGGTAAGCGAAGGGAATGCGGAGTTTGGAAAGCAATTCAGAAGGTCGAAATTTACCTTCTCCGGCTCGGTGGGGTTGCATCGCTCGGCGTAAGCCACTTCGGGGTGGGAAGGCTTGATTTCGGACATGATGCTGTAGTGTGTGTATTGGGAGTAGATGCTATAGTGAAGCTTTTGGTGCAATAGGGAGGCAGGTTGAGGGAAGTTTCAGTGAGAGCTTGCTGGCGCTGCAAGCAGGGAGAGGAATGTAAGCCACGTGGGGCGATGACGTTTTGCTGGAAGGTTCGATTTGGGCTAGAACACGAGCTGAGTCCACAGAGTGCGCTGCGAGGGGTACTCAGAACAGGCGCGTCCCAAGCCCCGCATTCTCGGTGTGGCAAGCACGACCGGAAGGATACCACTAAGCGGGAAGGGAGTGAGCTTGGGTCGAGCCTGTACTCAGAAACTGTGATACCCGTGGCACGCAGCTGGCCACTGGTTTCACTGCGTGTAGACGATATAGCTGAGCATCTTTGCATCTTCTTTGCCCGCCTGGTTTTGCGTCTTCTCTACAATCTAGCTCCGAGTCAAGCGATCGAGATGACCTGCTGCGCGAGGAACTCCTCTCCCGGCTTGAGAGTCTTGAACTCGTGAACGTATCCCGGCTCGACACAGACATAGCGGTCCTGGGGATCAGCTGCCGTTTCGCCCTTTTTGAAATGACGTGTCGCTGGGAACCAGCTGGGAGACTTACCCAACCGCCCTCCTCCATGTCTGGCATCGACCGACCGCCCTCTGAGGGGTTCCAGATGGTGCAGCTGGAGGGTCAGCTCATGGACAAGCCTAGGAGTAGGTCCAAGACTGCATAACTCACTCGACAAACTCGCGCCACCTAACGTTCAAGCCTGACCCGTCTCCGTTATCGACCTTGAGCTCCTTGGTCTTGAGATTCTGGTACACCCTAGACGACGTCAGCTACTCGTTCCTGTCCGAGAGTCGTGTTCTACGCCAGCTAGCTCACCTGTCAGTAGCCTTGTCCATGGCCAAATCCCCACCCTCCCACGTCTCCCGCTTGAAGTCCAACTCCTTGTCAATATACTCGGTCCCCTTGTCAAGCCCCACAATCTTGACCTTCTTCGCATCCGGAACAGCCAAGTAGCTGTGCAGTAGCGCCTGGAACTTGAAGTCCTCCGACTTGGACGTGTTAACAATGTGGAGATCCGTCGACAGCTGGTGCTTCGCCAGCGTGACGACGTAGGACAGGCGGTAATCGTGCTTGAACTCTGCTGGGGGCGGGCCAGAGAGCAGACGGACGGAGACGCCTTCGGAACGGTCCATGACGACGTGGTCGAGCGTCCAGGTGAGGGTACGGGCGAAGCCGTGCTGCTTGAGCGCGGCGTACTCTGGGGGAGAGGAGGGTGGGGCGCTGAAGATGGGCTGGGGGTCAGCATGAGGCGCAGATAGCTTGATGAGAGGCAGAGAGACTGACGAAGCAGATTGGGATACCACCTCGGATCTTATTTGTCAGCTAGGGCCAGTATCTAGCAAAAGACTGGGAGTGATGCGATGCCTAGACGTACTGGCTTGCTACCATCCATGACAGCTTTGGAGCTCAAGAACAAGCGCTCCTTGCCGTCAACCTGCCAAGAGGTAATGTGAGCGCCATACCAGCTACGACGGTCAGTACTCTGGCAGACTATCGTCCAGCTCATCATCTCTGGTGCTGCTGGAGCTCAAGAAGGCGACTTGCTAGATCTCGGCGCGGGCACCCTTGGTTGTCAGCTCAACCCTCAGACCGATGATTGACGGGACGTACCGACTCGGTCGTGATCACGAGCGACTTTTCGTTCTTCTCGATGGGCATGTTGATGGATTTAGATGTGAGTTGTAGTGTGTAAGTGAGAGGAAGTACTTGAGTAAGCTGTAGATGATGTACTGTACCTTAGGAACGTTGCCCCAGAGCGAGATCGATGCCCATGACGCAGGTATGTGATGTGGGGTCTCCATGCCTCGTTAAACGGGGGTAGCTTTTAGATATTTGGCCTTTCAAAACATCCTTGTCGCCACCTCATGCTTTTTTGGGGTGGCCTATCATATCACTTGCCCATATACACCACATCACCATCTACAACCTCCACTACACAGGTCCACCCAACCATCCACCATGGACAATTACATCCTAGACGACTTTCACTCAGATCATCATGAGCTACAACTCTCAGCAGCAGACATCGACGCTATTGGATCCGAGTTCCCCTCGCCCGTCAGGGAACATATTCCACTTGCGGAGGAACATCAGCTCCATCTTGATCCTCAGCTACAGCAAGAGGAGCAACAGCTCCAACAGCAACAGCATGAGGAGCAACATCATATGGACGAGCACGGACAAGGCGTCGAGCAAGAGCACGGGCAAGAGTACGGACACTCCGAAGTCGTCATGCAGGAGGATGAGGAGGGGGAGTTCTTGCCTGATCCACATCAAGATCAGCAGGAGCAGGAGGACAATATGCATGAGGAGGGAACGGGACAGGAGGGGGCGAGTCTGATGGATGGGGAGATGAGGGAAATGTGGATGCCAGGTGGGGACGAGGCGGGTCCGTCTTCAAGGCGGAAATCGTCGGGATTGACGTCGGAGGAAAAGAAGAGGCGGATGAAGGATAATAATCGGAAGGCGGCGGAGAGGAGCAGGGCTAAGAAGAGGCAAACATTGTGAGCTCTTTGTATACTCTTGGGAAGATTAGACACAGCTGACAAGAGAAGAGATAGCACAGAGCAGCAAGTCACAGCCCTGAGGAAAGAGAATGAACGACTTCGCGCCCGGCTTACGGCCCTCCAATCCAACCCCGGCGCGATCGACAACTACCCTGAACCTACCCCTGGTCTCCTCCTTCCCCGTCCACCTGTCCCCGCTCCTATTCTCGACCCAGAAGACATAGGCATCGACCGCGCATACACGCTCAAACTCGGGTACGAGCTTCTCCAAGCCAAATCTGCGCTGCTGGAGAAGCAGATCGAGTTGGAGGGGATCCGCGGTACCCCGTCGCCTGAGGAGGTCATTCTGGTCCGTCGGCAATTGGTAGAGAAGTATGCGAGTATGAGCGTCTTGCGAGCTCAGGAGGCGGCGATGACTTCTGTCCTGGGGTTGTTGAAGGGGGAGACGACCGAGTTGGGGGTGAGAAGAGCGGCGATTGAAGGGGAGGTCGCGAAGCGCGGAGGGCCATTGGGTGCCGCGGCGTCAGGGAGCGGAGGCGATGGGCATGCGGTGGAGGTAGAAGAAGCAGGAGAGGAGGATAGAACGCAAGAGGAGGAAGCGGCGTCTCATACGCAGGTGTTGGCGCAGGCGGTGAGGGATGTGGCTATGGGCGAGGCGAGGCATCTGGGGGCGGAGCATGAAGGGGAAGGAACAGGAGAGAAGGATGTGTATGATATCCAGCCATACATCGAGCAGGCGGTCAAGGAATGGGTGAGTATTCAGCTTGATCAGGGGTCAAGCAAGCTGATGATGAAGCACGAGCACCAGGACATTGATCAGCTGGGAAGAATAGATATCGATGGGAACCCTATATGACCTCGGCGGCAGTATGGGGAGATCGGTACGAGGGTAGCGGGAGATTGTATAGCTAGACGAGCCGTTGTATATGTACTCAACTAGGCATCGCTCAGAGGTGTCCTCCATGATCCCCTTACAGCCTTGCGCTGACCCACTTGCGATGCCGCAACACCCAAGACAGAATTCCTCATCCGGACCGTCGGACCGGCTTCCCGGACGGCGGCGACTTTTTCAGCGCTCTTGAGTTTTCTGGAAGCTCAGAGATGCCCCAGCCCTCCCCCTCCCTAGCAGCACATTCAGTCATGTACCGAGCAGACTCCGAGCATATAGCGAGCAGACAACTCATGTAGAGCCCCCTCCCTTTTCCTCTACCCAATTACGCCGTGAAATGCCACATTTAGCCGCGTAATAGGTATTAGCGGGATCAAAATTGGCTGACCGGCCGAATTCAGGGTTCTTGCTTTGGCTGGCTGCGTTTCGTATCCCCCCCAGCCCAGCCATATCCACCTTGCTGACTTTCTCTCTTCTACCTTTTCTTCAAAAGCTCTATAGCATCCCTCTTATCCCGACACTCCTACATACACCCACTACACGTACCAAGATGTCTTCCGAACTGTGAGTCTTGTGATCCGAGGTTAGGGAAAGAGGGCAGGGGGCAGGAATGTCGATGACGAGGGAAGACGGGTCCCATCGTTCGACTGCCGTGCACGAGCATTTGCAGCAGGAGCGCCGTCGGACCCCATAGATATACGATCAGCAACTTGAAGAGCGCTTCGCTGACCCTGCAGCGCTGATGTCGGTCTTATCGGTCTCGCCGTCATGGTATGCTACTCACCGAAGTCTTGACGACCACCCAAAGGACATCGCTGACACGTTCCTCTTCTTCTCGATTCGTCTCTAATCTCTACCTCTTGCGATTTAAACAAATAGGGCCAGAACTTGATCCTCAACATGAACGACAAGGGCTTCAAGGTCTGCGCTTACAACCGGTATGTCTCTCTACCTAAGATCGAGGAGGACCGAGCTGATTGACAGAACCACCTCCAAGGTCGACGCCTTCTTGGCGAACGAGGCCAAGGGTGAGCTGACCGATTTCACGATGAAGGCACATCTGACATTCAGGCACCAACATCATTGGCGCCCACTCGGTCGAGGAGCTCTGCTCCAAGCTCAAGTCTCCCCGTCGTATCATCCTCCTCGTCAAGGCCGGCCAGGCCGTCGACGACTTCATCTCCCAGCTCGAGCCCCACCTCGAGAAGGGTGACATCGTCATTGACGGTGGTAACTCGCACTACCCCGACTCTATCCGCCGAACCAAGGAGCTCGAGGCCAAGGGCCTGCTTTTCGTCGGTTCCGGTGTGTCCGGTGGTGAGGAGGGCGCGAGGAACGGGCCCAGTTTGATGCCCGGTGGTTCGGACGCCGCTTGGCCCCACATCAAGGAAATCTTCCGTGAGTCTAGATCAGAAAAGGGCAAGGAGATGAGCTGATTTCGGCAGAGAAGACCGCTGCTCAGGCCGAGGGCGAGCCGTGCTGCGACTGGGTCGGTCAGACCGGTTAGTCTGCTCGCACCCGAGCTTTCGACGGTTGACGCTAAAAGCTGACCCTCAGGTTCCGGCCACTACGTCAAGATGGTGCACAACGGTATTGAGTACGGAGACATGCAGCTCATCGCTGAGGCCTACGACATCCTTAAGAGGGGTCTTGGCTGCGACGAGAAGGAGATCGGTGACATCTTCGAGAAGGTGAGCTAGATCTTGCGCAGTCGTGGCAGCACAAGCTTACAAGTCTAGTGGAACGAGGGTGTCCTCGACTCTTTCCTCATCCAGATCACCCGTGACATTCTCCGCTTCAACGACGACGACGGAAAGCCGATGGTCTCCAAGATCCTCGACGCCGCTGGACAGAAGGGTACCGGAAAGTGGACCGCCATTGACGCCCTCGACTACGGAATGCCCGTCACGCTTATCGGCGAGGCTGTGTTCGCCCGGTGCCTCTCGTCCCTCAAGGAGGAGCGTGTCCGCGCTAGCAAGTTGATCCAGGCTCCTGCTCGTGAGGAGTTCAAGGGCGACAAGCAACAGTTCATTGAGTAGGTTTCAACGGATCAAACGGTATGAATTGCAAGCTGACATACCAGCGACCTTGAGCAGGCTCTTTACGCCTCCAAGATCATCTCGTACGCCCAGGGCTTCATGCTCATGCGTGAGGCTGCCAAGGTCAACAACTGGAAGCTCAACAACTCTGGTATCGCGGCCATGTGGCGTGGTGGATGCATCATCAAGGTAAACTGAGGAGTCCCCTTGAGTCGAGTGCTCTTTAGCTGACATCAATAGTCGGTCTTCCTTTCCGACATCACCTCGGCCTACCGTGAGAACCCCGACCTCGAGAACTTGCTTCTCAGCCCCTTCTTCCTCAAGGCCATCGCCAAGGCCCAGCCCGGATGGAGGCGCGTGGTTGCCCAGTCTACTCTCTGGGGTATCCCCATCTCGGCCCACACCACTGCGGTGAGTTTCCCCGCTCTCCAGGATTGGCGCGAAATGAAGATTCGAGCTGACATATCAGCTGTCCTTCTTCGACGGCTACAGGACCGAGACCCTCCCCGCCAACCTCATCCAGGCCCAGCGTGACTACTTCGGCGCCCACACCTTCCGTGTCCGCCCCGGAATGGAGAACGAGCGTCTCCAGGCCGGCCAGGACATCCACATCAAGTGGACCGCGACTTCGGGTAACGTAAGTTTCTGTGGTCATTGGGATCGGCTATGCAGGGACAAGAAGCTGACATAAAAAGGTCTCGTCGTCTACCTACAACGCTTAAAGTGGGATGTTGCGTGTCGAGAAGAGCAGGAAGTAGAGCTTGGAAATGATAGCCTGGAAACACATGCAGCTTGTGCTTGACTAGCTGTCTGTTGCCCTCTGTGTAGCGGTGCAATATGCAGGACCTCTCCAGGTCCGAAAAACCCTACTCAACATACTGCCTGCGCATCACCGCTACCCCGTCAAAGCTTCCAATGTGATAGGTCGGAGGTTGTGGTCAGCTGCCCGTAGTGGTGACGTCATCCTTTCACCTCCACCTCCGCCGCCGCGCCCCTCCGCTACACTATATTTTAATGCAGGGGCAAGAACAGTAAGCCCGCCACCTTATTGCCTATATACAAGCCAACCCCATCCAATCATCGTCTACATTCACATCCCCATCTCGAATTCATCCCAATACAATCGAAGTCCCTTCATCAAAGATGTCCACCACATCGCTGCTCCAAACAGCACTCCAAAATCTCAAAGTCTCACAACAGGCTCGCGACCCCTCGCTTACCCCTTCCACCCTCTCGGTCCCCTCGTCCCCGCGCCGGCACCCGCGCGCGCTTTCTCAGACCGGGTCGGAAGGGACGACGACGCCCGAGTTTTCGAGCGACGAGTATTCTGACGAGGATGCGGCGGATGCGACCGATGGTGTAAGGGGTCGGAAAGGAGATGCTGGGAGGGAAATGATTTCGGTAGGGAAAGGGACGAGACCGGGGACGCCGGTTGGTGCCAAGGGGATGGTACTAGGCCAGCGAGTGGGGAAAGTCAAGGATCCCGTAAGTCTTCTTCATTAAGGGAGAAGCCAACAGGGAAGGGAGACCTTTGGCTGACTCTGAATAGTTACGCACGTTGCCTACTCATCTGGCTGTACGGGTGTTCTTGTCACTCGACGTGAGGAGTCTTGCGCGGTGTGATAGAGTGTGTAAGCGATGGCACAAGTCGTCCACGCTCAACTACGGTATGTACCCCTTGAAACCCATCATGACACAGGACAACGCTGACGAGGGCTCCAGTCTGGTTCCTCCAGAACCGCGCCCTCACGCTCCCCCTCTCCGCCATCCAGACCGCAGCAGGCAAAGTCCGGAAGACCGGCTCAGACACTCCTGAGTTCTTCGACCCATACGACAAGACCCCTCGTCTCGCCTCTCTCCCTCGCCCGCCTATCCCATCCTCCCCCGTCCCCCAATGGAGCAAGGCGGAATCCAAGCGCGCCTGGAAATCCACCTTCCGGACCACCCTCAAGCGTTCCGATCCCAATGCGGAGGAAGAGATCGATCCGCTCCGTGTGGATATTGCGAGTCTGCATACCTCGGGAATAAGCACGCCGACGGGTAACGGTCATGCGCACGCGGGCGCGGGATCAGGGGGGGCGGCGAGGTGGGCCCCGGCTGAAGGGGAGGGGATGACGAGCACGGAGCGGAAGGTCGCTGCGAGGGAGCAGTATAGGGCGCTTGGGGGCAGGAAGGCGAGGGGGAAGAGAGGGATGGGAGGGGAGATGGGCGGGAAGGACAGGGGAGGGGCGGTGGAGGATGGCAGGTTTGACGCCCCATGGTAGCGCAATTCCAGGAGTACATCGCTCGGACTGGACTTGAGGAGATTCTCCATTTGACTCGACGCTATGTACACCATATAATGTTGGTAGGGACCCCTATATACAACTGTCTGCTATGTACAACCCGAAGATTCCTTCCGAATGTCCGCTATACTGTACAAAAACTCAACCCCACTTGCCCGCCCTGCCCTAGCGTCCACTCACTGCCGCTGCTACCCTGTCGTTCAAGCACCATCCCTTTCCGCCTTCGCCGCCAACAAAGCCTGAATATGTGGCGCATTTACCGCGTATTTGGGTGCAAGGGGAGGAGCGGACTTTCGCCCTCGACGATCCGGATCAATCGTTTCGACCTTGACACGTGCCGTTACGACGGGAGGAGTAGCGGTACGTGAAGCGACCGATGTGGGGGTGGTTTCGGCCGCTGAGGTGGGACGACCGTTCGGTTGTGATTCCTGCTCCACCTTGACGTTGGCGACTTGGCCCGATGGCTTGACGCATGTAACGGAGTGTCCGTTCAGCTGCGTTCCCCGCTCCACCTTGATGTCGAGCTTCGGTAACTTGGTAATGGGCGACAGTTGCGAGGTGTGCGAGGGATAATTGGGGATCGAGCGAGGGAGGATGGCTCTCGACGTCGCAGCGGAAAGTGAGACCGAAGGACGCGATACGGCCGGTGCCCTTCTGGTCGGAGACTCCTTCTTCACCTCGACCTTCGATACCTCCTGCCTGGAGACCGCAGCTGGCTCTGCCTTCTTGGGAACCGTCGCCATCTGTAGTACGACCGGTGCCGTTCTGGTCGGTGGCTCCTTCTTCGCCTCGACCTTCTTCACCTCCTTCCTCGCTGCCGGCAGCTCTGCCATCTTGGCCGGCACCGCCACAACCTCCACCTTCGTCCCCACGCCCCTATCCTCCTCTTCCACTTTCACCTCCGCCAACATTTCGACATCTTGGGATTCGCTCGTCGGTGAGCTCTCCCGCATCCGCCTCCTCTTGTTCCTCCCCCTATTCTCCTCGTCCGTGCTGTACCCGTCCATGTCCCCATCCCATCCGCGGCCCGCCTGTCCGCCGATCGCAGCTGACATCCCGCCCCCTATCCCACCAGCACGCCACAGCTGGTCCGTTGTATGTGCACTCCTTGTGCCCCCACCACCCCCTAGTGGCCCGCCTTGACCGACCCCCATACCATCCAAACCGGGGAGATAATCATCCCTCTCCGAACCGCCCATCTCCACCAAGAGCTCCCTCGCCAGGTCCACCCCTGCCGCCTGCAGCTGCCGCATCTCACTCAGCCAGGCAGAGCCGAATTGCGGCTTGCTGGAGAAGTACGTGTCCCGCTCGAGAATCATACGGTCGTACGTTCCCTCGCCGACGTGGTCCGCCAGCAAGGAAGGGAGGAGGAAGTAGTCGAGCCCTTTGGTTTGGGGCACGAGGGTGTTGGGTGAGATATTGTTAGGTCGGAATAGACGGACAAGGGCCTGGAGTTCGGGCAAGGGGGAGTGTCGGGCAATGGGGCATTGCTGAGGATCAGCTGGGTCTCGCTCCAGCGGAGACGCGGCGATAGAGGTGACAGCTCACGATATTAAAAGGCCAGTCTCCTTCCCCGATCGCCGCGCTCGTGAGCGTCCGTACGAACGCCTCTCGCTCCAATACCCAACTCGCAGACTTCACTTCCACCATGTTCACATGTACGACCCGCTTGCCCTTGTTCCAGACCCGGTCACCCTGGGCGTTGAAGGTCCGACAGGCTTCGCATTTTGCCCACCGCTCGCACGCGTGGAAGCGGGTGGCGGAGGGGTCGGTGGTCGTGCAGGCGGACAGGAAGGGGTCGGACCGGACCGCGGAGTAGATACTGTTCTTGTACCGGTCGACGTGGACCTGAGTATCAAAGTGCCGGGCGACCTCTTTCACGACATCTTCCCAGCTATGACGGTCAGCTGTACCGTCCAGGACCTCCTCATGTATCCAGAGGTGGGAGCTTACCCAAAGCACCAGACGTTGAGGAAGAACACTGTATCAGGCGGATACAGGCTCATTTGCTGCAGGAGATCTTGCAGAGCTTCTTCCTGCCTGATCAGCTACCGGTTCCAATGAGGTCAAGGGCCCTGCGCCGATTAGCTGACCTTATCCGGCATATCCCCTGTTCCCAGACTGTTTGATCAGCTCTGGCACGGCGAGCATTACCGCGCGATACAAAACTCACAACGCGCTGGTATCGAGGTATATTCGGTCCAACACTCTCCGTCCACTCCCCTTCCGCACCTGCTCCGGCCCCGACTCAAGAGCTTTCCCCTTCCCTTTCGGGTCCTCTTCCACCTTGACGCGGGTGCTTGGACCGGGAGCAGAGAAGCTTGAGGTCGGGGCGATGAACTGCTGAATGGCTGGATTGCGCATCAGGGTGCGCATGAAGAGCTTATCTGCCCGGATATCGCCAGTATGCAGGACAGCCTTCGTAGGGGAGGTTATAAGAAACCTGAGAGATCAGCTTCCAGTAGCCATCATTCGGTGATGCTGGACAGAGGTGAAGTGGGACTCACATTGTCGATCCAGGACAATGGTTCGCGTCGAGTAAGGTGATAGTCACAATGATTGTTTTCCCAGCTTCATCGCATCCGAGATCATACTGCCTAGGGTCATCGAAAGGCACAGCCTCCTGCAGACAGTCAGATTGGGCCTGGGCTCAGGCATACCCCGCCCAGAGATGCTTCGAGCAGACTCACAATCTGGTCCACTACGCGCTCGCGCTCCCTCTTCCCCTCCCCGACCTTCTCCCGCCTAGGCGCCAACTTGTCATACTTTCGCCTGATGACCTCTCTCGTACCGTCCACCATGAATCCCCGCTCTTTCTCCGCTTCAAGACGAAGAAGCATACGCTTCGTATCTGGTGAGCAGACGATACGACCTGTGAAGGAGTTGGAAAGGCCGAGGAGGTGGTCCGAGTGGACATGGGTCAGGAGATTCATTTGTGCTGTTGGGGCAGCGTAGGTCCCGATTGGGGACGAAGAAGAGGTTCCGGGAGAGGAGGAGGCGGAGGGAAGATGGGGCAGTTGGTATGGTTCATTCGGGCGGGGAGAGGTGAAGCAGTCAACGCGAATTTGGGGGAATTCGAGGAGGTGCCCATCTGGTTTATGTCAGCTGGAAGCCCATCACTCTGAGCCGCTTAGCTCACTGTATATCCCCGCCATGGCGTTGACGAGCCAGCGCCGTTACCAAGGTGGCAAGTATACGAGGTGCGAATCGAAGTTGATGTAGAAACGCAAAGTGAAACGCGACCGAGCGCGAAGGTGGACTTTGCGAGTGGAGGTTTGGTCATCAGACGTCAAGGTGACTGGACTCCTCTGCAGCTTATAGCGATGGTTGGTGGTGGCATGAGAAGCATTATACATCTATGGAAACAACAAGCAAGATCGTTACTGTATCAACTCGTCTACTGATGACTACTCAGATACCCTCCTCAAAATGATGACTGCGCAATCCTCTCCCTCGAGTTTGACCTCTTGGGCACCTCGACCGCCTCCTCCTCTACACTCTCCATACTGCCTCGCCTGGACCGCTCGCTCTCCCAGCTGGCCTCGCGCTCCCTGCCTAGCCTCCTCTGCCTGAGAGTGTAGACCACATACTCCTCCTTCTCTTTTGCGATTCTGATGGCCGCCTGGGATGGAGCGAAAAGTGGCCGTGCGGCAGGTACAGCTGACTGGCGCGAGACGGAGGGAAGTGCGAGGGGGTAGAGGGAGAGCACGCCGTCCTTGTCCATCCAGCCCTGAACGGGAGCTAGGGAGCCGCCGGGGGTGCGTGGGGTAGTGGCAGACATGCGGGTGGATGTGCGGGAGAGGGAGAGTTCCGAGGGTGTCACGATGTGTTCCGCGGACAGGGACGAGTCGGTCCGACATTCCAAGGAGGAGACGGACTGCCGGCGAGAACGGGGTGCGAGAGACGCCTCGTCCGAGTCTTTGTGGATGCACATGTCGCATACGCGCTCCTTGACGAGGTTGTGGTCCGCGTCGTAAAGCAAAGCTTTGTTGTTGGAGTGGGAGGAGCAGAAGAGGAGACCGCATTTGCGACAGTGGTGCCGCCGGGGGCCGAGGGAGAAGTAGGATGCGGAAGGGGAGAAGATGGTGCTGCAGAAGGGCTGGCTGCAGAGGGCAGAGGAACAGTCGGGCTGCCACCGCTCCCGGGGGATCACGTGACCAATGGACCCGTCCCGAACAGCGACTAGGTTGGCGGATGTGCACCGCTCCGTGTCGAACTTGGGGTGAGCGACATCGTTCGACATGGAGGATGTGGGGTCCTGGTTGAGGTATGCCATGCCTGAGGAGGTGGAGGCGATGGGCTGTTGGAGGTGGAAGGATGGGGAGGGAAGGGCAGATGAGTAGAGGGATGGAAGATCAGAGTGGGAACCAGCTGGTGGATCAGCCAAAGTGTTCCCATCACGATTGAACGTAGCAACTTACAGTTGGCTCTGCTCCTGGACCTGCCGGTGGGGATGAACGTCTCGGGCAGATGCCTCGATTCGTGTGTCTCGAGATGGAGACGCTGGGCGAGGATTTGGCTGTCGGTGGGTGACTGGGGCTGTGGGGGGAGGCTAACAGGACGATGTCTCTGCAGCAGAGAAGAGTCAGACGAGGTGTGAGACATGGCGGAGGGCGGGGGGCGGGTTGGGATAGGCGATGTACGCTAAGTTGGGGCGTTGGGATGGTGTGTGTTTTTGTTTTTGTACTGTGGCAACGGTCGTGTGATGCAAAGTACAAGTTGATACAGTCGAGATAGAATGAGAAATGTGGCGATGGGACTGATGGGGGGGCTGTCTACCTTATGTATAGTACTCCACTGGCTAGGCCGGTATTGGTCGGACGAGCAAGACGAGTGATCCGGGGAGAAAGAGGGGAGGGATGGACCAACACACCCACGCTCTACACTTGATCTAAGCCCACACGAGATTCAGTTAACCTTCCCTTACCGTACCGCCGGGGCCTGATTCTCTCAATCTCCGAGAGGAGCACGCACCACACAGCTGCATCTAACCTGAAACAATCCCTGACCCTCTGGTCTCCGAAACCCTGACATCCCTCCCCGCCCTAAGCTAACTCCGGAGACTTCGGATATCAACTCCGCCTTTCTCCCGAGCAGTTTTGCCCCCGATCTCCTCTTCCGTAACAAGGTCTGGCCCATTCCCGCAAGATACGCTTACGGCGTCCTGCTGACAGCAGCGGGTGACAAGATCTCAAGCAAGATCACATCGCTGCAGTCAGTCAGCTGGTGGCTGGGAAGCGTAGAGTGACCACAGCGCAGGTCGCCAAGCCATCTGCTGACCCGACGTCCAGGCTCTCGTCGCGCTTGCCCAGCTCTCTCAGCGCGTCAGCCACTCCACTCCGTGCCGCTGAAGCGAATTCTGAGTACAGTTTGGCTGAGCGGCAGTGGGCGCTTGGATCTCCTCCCCCTCAAACCCAATCTATGCGAAAGGTACACTCCACACACATGCGCTAGGGTACCCCGCACACATCGTACCGGTACTAACTCAGTTCGGAGATGTTCCAGAGGCGGCGCCGAGGCGTCCTCTTTGCCCGTAGCCAAAGTCCGCAGTCGGCTTTGCTCGGAGACAAGGTATCGGTAACTCTTCCCGAAGACTAAGATCTGAAAAGCCAGGTGGAGGCGGTCTCCTAGCGCGTCTGAAACACCTCGCCTGACGGTTACTGTTTGATCCGACTGCAAGCGAGACGCGCGAGGACAGACTAGTCTCCCGCGACCCAGGATGTGCGCAGTACGGCCGTCTCGATTTGTCTGGGTTTTTGCATGCAGACGAGGCGATGTTACTGACACAGCCCGCGACTGCCCAGCGACGGGCGGGAGAGCCGATGATCGACGTTACTCGCTTATATACTTTGGATCCGGTAACGTGAGCAGGGTCGCAGATTCCAGCACTTTTTGGTCGCGGCACAAGCGAAACCCTCGATCGGCGACGTAAACTTGAGTTACCAAAACTATGGCACATGCACACCTGCCGCAGTTGCCCTGCCTCGAGGTCCCATACGAACGCGAAGTCTTTTCATCACTACACGGCCCACTCGGCTGATGTGCCTCCTAGACATACTATCCTCTCCGCTTGACAAATGTCTACCATCAGTCCCGTACCCACCGCTCACACCCGCGCGGAGGCACTCACCTCGAGATCTGTCAAAGTCGCCACCGCTAACACCCATTTGCGCTGATAGTCTGTCACTGATGCATCAGCTCAAGGCCTATCGGCAAGTCTTTCCGGACCTCCAAACGAGGCCAGTCCCTCCCATCGTCACGCCAAGCAGCTTGCGTCATGATTTGTCTGACGAAGGGAGCATGTACCCTCAATTACGCTTATGAGCGGGTATACACTTTAAGCCTACTGATCCCCACCATCCCTATCCGCACTCCTTCTCCTCCACTTCCGCATTGTCCAGGCGGAGGGCCAAAACCCAGGCAAACGGTGATGACGACTTACCCAGTGCAAACTCGGTACCTTTTGATCGAAAGAACTCCTCTAATTCCTCCAGTGGCGTATCGGGCGTAATGACGGTGTAGGGATGCGATTTGGAAGCGAGAGGGAAGTGCGTTGTGTGGCGGTCTGCGGAAGTATCAGCTGCGACTCCGCGTCACTGTCATGAGGCCCCGGGTCGATCTTTGTTGGGTCCAGGCACAGACCGGAGCGCGGAGAGAGGTCCGCTCGATCGCACAGCGGAAATGTACATCCGCCTGGGGGCGGGCAAGATGGGGCTTACAGAGTTGATCATCGTCCCGAGCTTCCCCTCGCTTGTACTTCTCCTTCAGTGATGGTACGTTGAGATAGCCGATGGGTTTTCGGCGGTCGCTTAGCACTCTACACATTGTCAGCCATGGTTGATGACGGAGCGGACATAGCCGGACCGAGTTGAACGAGGGGGATCGATGAAGCTCACGGTAGTTGATCAAACTCCCTCTCATATGCAGCTTCCAGTGCAGCCGCTAGGGGAGCTTCATGAGGCAGGCAGAAAGCAGGCGGCAGTTGCAGGTCCTGGCCCATCAGCTCGTGGGATGAGGTACTTGAAGGGGAGAGCGGGAAGGGAGGACTTACGTCTACCACCGCGCCTCGATACTTGGCTCCTGGCGGAGGAGCAACGGTCGAGCTGCCTGGCGTCGGCGTAGTATCCTTGTCAGATAGCGGCATGGTACGGTGTTGAGTATGGTGAGGAAGCGAGCCAAGTAGCTTCAAGTCAATGAGGAATGCGGTGGTGGACGCGCTCGGACCCGGATCTTGGTCCAAGCAATTCACTTTCCCACGGTCGGCATTCCTCACTTGTCGGCTGTGACGAGAGCCGGAAAGGCTCAGCATTCCTCGTCCACGCTCCACCTTCACCATGACATTCAGCTCTGTGCTGACTGTATCTCAGCCGGCCTAGTCTCTACACACACATCGGCAGAGCTGGAGCACTCCGCAATCGAGCCTGGAAGATGTCGTCCCCGCGTGCTCTGTACCCTCCAACTTCGCCAGGCTTCACACGCCGCCGCCAAGCACTCATCGTCGCGCTTATCGCGGTAGCACTCAGCAGGTCCGCTGCGCCGGACGCCTCCAAGGCCGTGTTGGACGCGATATCATTGCGATCATGGCGGGAGGCAAAAGCTAAGGAGAGGGAAGAGAGGCGGCGGAAGCTGCTCGAAACGCCTCTGTACGTGCTCTGCTGTACGACCGAATGGGCTCAAGCTGATGTAGAGGAACACACCGGCTCTGGAACGGAAGATGGTAGATTTGGTGAGCTAGCTTTAGCCTGATCATTATACAAGCCCAAGCTCACTCACTCAGTACATCCCCGATCCCGCTGGTCCCTCCCGGACGCTCCTAGTCCCGCATCGCGGCCGGATATCACGCGTCCGCATAACCCCCACCCCGGCCGAGCTGTACGCGCAGCACCTGTCCCTCTTCCCCCCTCTCCGACCAGGGGAGAAGCTCGGAGTCAATAAGCGGTTTTGGTCCATGCTCGCCGCCGTCCTGAGGGTGGCTTTTCCGAGGTCAGCTCACTCCATCTCCACTTGGTCAGAAGGAGTAAGCTGATGATCGCAGCAAAACTGGGAAAGAGGCGCTTCTGCTTGCGCTGCATACTTTCTTCTTGGTAGTACGGACGGTATTGAGCGTGATGGTGGCTAGGCTAGATGGACGGATTGTGCGGGACTTGGTGAGCGCAGCTGTCGAGAGCATTGATGGCTCTTAAAGCTGACTGTTCTAGGTCTCTGCGAACGGAAAAGGCTTCATCAGAGGTCTGGGATGGTGGTTTGCTTTGGCACTGCCAAGCACATATACCAATGCTATGGTATGCTCAGCCGCTGGCGTGACCGCCATTGGCGAAATAGTCATGAAGCAAACAGCTGACAGTGACAGATCCGCTTCTTGGAGCGCAAACTTGCTTTGGCCTTCCGCACAAATCTGACCCGATATATACATGATCTTTACCTGTAGGCTGCTAGCTTCGCACCTCCGACTGTCGAATGCAGAAGCTGATCAGCCTAGGAACGACAAGCTGAACTACTACAAGTTTGGACTGGGTCTGGGCGCTGTTTCTGCCGGACCCCCGACGGGAGACGGGAAGAAGGGAGGTGCCGAAGCGTCAGAAGCTGCAGCGGGCGGGGCCGACCAGTACATCCCTTACTATAAGCAAAAACGGGCTCAAGCTGACACTCAGGCTCATTACTACTGATCTCGCGAGATTCTGCGACGCTCTGGCTGCACTATAGTAAGCTGAGTAGTGCGGTCCGCGTTCTAGCCAGCTGACTTACGCAGCGGTAACATGGGGAAGCCCTTCCTCGATATGGTCATCTTCACATCCCAGCTCGCGGCTGGCCTCGGACCCCTCGGCACAATAGGCCTCTTCGCCAACTATGGCTTCACGGCGTGGATTCTCCGTAAAGCGACACCGGCATTTGGTAAGATGGCTGCAGTCGAAGCGAGGCTGGAGGGAGAGTACCGCGCGGGCCTGGGCCGGATAGGTAGGGATGGAGAAGAAGTAGCGTGAGTTGAGAGTGGCTTCTGACGCAGCCAATATCAAGCTGACCCCCAGCTTTTATAACGGCGGCGCGAGAGAAAAGGCCATCCTGACAGAAGCGTACCAAAAGCTTAAACATCACGTCCATGCAGTCTTCAAGGTCCGGATACCGTACGGTATGACGGAGGACTTTGTGATCAAGTATCTGTGGTCGGCGGTGGGTTATGGGTTGATGTCGATCCCGATCTTGTTCCCTGCTCAGCGGGATGGTGAGGTGCGGACTGGAGGGTTGCAGGATGAGGTAGCGCACCGGACAGAGAGTGAGTTATGATCTTCAAAGAACTCGATTCAGTTCCGAGTCAAGGCAAGCTGACCCTTGGTAGGTTACGTCTCGAACAGACGGCTCTTGCTTTCTCTCGCGGACGCCGGTGGGCGTCTCATGTACTCGGGTAAGGACCTAGCGGAGCTATCGGGATATACGAGCCGAGTCTACTCGCTTCTCGCATCTCTTCATGCGCTCGACAATGGGATCTACCAACCAAACCCGCGGCCAGAAACACTTCCTCCTCAACAGGTCAGCTATCTGCTCGGCAGCGGATTTGAATCAGCTGATATGAGTAGGAGTTCTACGATATGGCGGGAGTTGCCGGTCGAGTCATCCTCGGTGCGGATCATCTACTGCTGAAGGGCGTACCGGTCGTAGCTCCCGCTGGAGGCGCAGCTGGGGCTGAACGAGGTGGAGAGGAGTTGATTCGCATTTTGGATCTGAGGGTAGAGAAGGGGCAACATACGCTCATTACCGGACCAAAGTCAGTTCCCTTGATTCGGCTCGTCTTCGTGTTGTCACGATACCAAAGCTCGGAGCTGACTCGATCAGTGGCGTGGGCAAGACATCTATCGCGCGGATAGTGGCGCAGCTTTGGCCGGTTTGGTCGGGATTGATGGAGCGGCCACTACATGGCGAGGGAGGGATTTTCTTCTTGCCTCAGAGGCCATACCTCAGTATTGGCAGTTTGCGGGATCAGTAAGTTCAGCTACGAGTATCTGGAGCGCTTTCCTTGCGTGGACATAGCTGATATCTCAGGGTCATCTAGTGGGTCAGGCAATACTGTGCGTACGCAGACCAGCTGACATTCCAGTCCGCACACATACGCCGAGATGAAGTCTCGCGGGCGCACCGACGCCGAGCTAGCCGATATCCTCGAGCACGTCCACCTCGCCTACCTGCCCGCGCGTGAAGGGGGATGGGAGACCCGCAAAGAATGGAAAGATGTCTTGTCGGGCGGAGAGAAGCAGCGGATGGGGATGGCTAGGCTGTTGTGAGTTCAGCTGTACAGATCGTACGATGGTGCTTCCGAAAGCTGATAAATCCAGCTACCACCGGCCAGCTTATGCTATCCTGGACGAATGCACCTCGGCGGTGTCGTCAGATGTCGAGGGGTTGATGTATGAGCATGCGAAGAGTATGGGCGTCACGCTGGTGACTATCTCGTGAGTTAACGACATGATCACCTTGGATCTGAGGAGGTTGTCCAGCTGACTTTTGAGCCACCGCCCATCCCTGTTGAAATACCATAATCGCCACCTCCGTCTAGGCGAGTCTCAGACTGCCGCCCCCGGCTCCCCACTCGCCTCCACCTCCTCTCTCAATCTCAACGCCATGCGTATGGGTATGGGACTCGGCATGTCCTCTGCCCTCTCTGCTCTTGACTCGGAGCAGCAATTGCCCCAGAGCCAAGGATGGCAGTTGACCGTTCTGGACGATAAAGCTACCAAGGAGGAGGTGCTGGAGTTGGACGGTGAGCTGGAGAGGCTGGAGAGGGTATTGGGAACTGAGGTGGGGGAGTGGGAGCGGCGGTTGGGAGAGATCAATGAGGAGCTGAAGGGGAAGAAGTAGCTTGGTGAGGGGGCTTGCAAGGCCGAGGACCTGGAATCGGAGTTGTAGCCATGTAAATCAGTTTGTACTAGGACTCTCTGCATACGTCGTGAATATACGTGAAACTAAAGCACTCAAGATTATGATAGCTGCTACAAACAAAATCCCTCCTTCTCCGACGAAACCCCTAGTCCAGCTCGGCATGCGCCACCTGCTGACCCGCCTTGGCCACCGCGCTCCTCAACCTGGCCGCCCTTCCCTCTACATCATCCAGCATCCGCATCAACTCGCTGACCTCGCTCTGGGGATCCGCGTGGCCCTTGTGCCCCATCTTCACTCCGCCCGACTGCTCCAATAACAGCCTGACCACCTCGGACAGCTCATTCTCCCTCCCTGCCCTCCTTGCCAGCCGTTCGGGCGCGCGTTCCCTGAACGCAAAGTAGGTATACACGTTCGACGCCAGCAAGAGAAGGATGAACGTCCCGAGAATGACCTCCTTCCCGACTGGCAAGTCGCTAAGGAGGTCCCCGACGCTGCTAAAGACCGTGGAGAGTCCGGAACCGATAGCGCCGAAACCGCCGAGGACGGTATCGATCCCGCCCGAGATGAAGCCCTTGTCGTCGTCCATTCGCTTCTTGCGGTTCTTGGCAGCGTATGCCTCCGCCTCGGTCTGCGTCTCGCCGTCCGCCGCACCGACAGCTTTGGCCGTCGCGTCGTCGTCGTCCGCCCCTTCGCCCTCGGGCGCGCCGAATTCGGTCTGGTGCTCCTTCATGTACTTCCGAATGGCAGCGGCGAGATCGTTCTGGTACTGCTTCTGCCCGTCGATACAGGATTTCTCAATGATACCTGCCCATCAGCTAATGCTCTTCTCTCAGCCGAATCGACTCACCCTTGACCCAGGACTTCCCAGTCCACTCCACCGTAGTCGTCACGACCACCTTGGTCGAGTTTGCACCCGCCCACATCAGACACGTCCGGGTCTTGACGCTGAACACTCCGCCGGAAGGCACGTCCGGCGTCTTGGTGGTAGTGATGGTACTGATGTACGAGTCCTCGTCGTAGTGGTCCTGCTCATCCACGATGTGGCACTTGGTCTGCTTGGGGCCAATGGAGCCGTTCAGGGGCTTGATGTAGGACATGGTGCGCGTGAGGAGCTTATCGCCTTCCTTGATGGGCTTCCAGTCCGACATCTCCAGCTCTGATTCGTCAGCTGCATTTCCCATCACGATCAGGCGCAAGTAGCTCACCACGCAACTTCTGATCCTCAGTGAGGAACGTCTTGACCCATTCACTCGCAAACATCAAATTGTAGATCTTCTCCGGCGTGCTGGACAGGGTCGTCTCCAGCGCAGTCTCAGAGTAGTGCTTTCCATCCTTGCCGCATGTGCACTTGGTCGGCGAGTGCCCTTTCCCGCCATCCACGGCGCCCTTGGCCGTCTCGTTCGTGGGGCTGTCGCCTGCGTCCGTCCCGGCAATAGAGGCGGGGCGAGAGGTGGTAGCGAGCGAGAGGGACGACATGACGGCATTGGGATTGCAGAGCCGCCAAATATTCATCATGACGTCGTACGTCGTGTCGCGCGAGAGGAACGAGGCGAAGGTGTACTGATCGTCAGCATAGGAATGTGGTGCTCCTGATTATGGACATACCTTCTCCTTCCCGGTCGAGATGCCGATAGCGTTGGGAATGACCAGGGCAGTCATCTTCTTCTCGACAAGTCGGATCTCGTTGAAAGGTACGACGACCTGCGTCGTCAGCTCAGCTTCTCCAGGGGTCTCAAGCGGAGGCTTACGTCGGTGACCCAGCCAAAGATATTGGCGTGGAAGCAGATGTGGTTCTCCGAGACGTACAGCCGACCTTGAACAAGGATATCCTTGGACAGCGCACATCCGTAGTCTGCTATTAGCTAGAGCTCAACCATTGACGGCGAATGCTCACCTTCGATGAGATAATCCCCCTCGTCGACAGTCGGGAACAACGCATGGAAATCCGCATTCCGTCTGTTGCTCGCGACCGCAAACCCGGTAACCGGCAGGTCATCATCCAGCTCGCTCCCCGAATCATCCTCGTCCTCTTCGTCATCGTCATACGCATACCGCGAACTACTGTCCCCGGTGGTATTGTGTGCGCTCCGAAGCGAATGACGTTTGCTCTGAGCGTCGTCAGGGGTAGAAGACGAGTGACCCAGACCGCTGATGCTGTGCCCGGCCTTCTCGACGATGGCTGAAGCGATACTTTTGGCTTTGCCCGAGCTCGTCGACATCCGCCGACTACGCTTCTCCTTGTCCATACTGCGCTTGCTGGCCTTTTCCGGCTTGACGTCAAGATGGGTGGGCGAGAGTTTGGGGGAGGACCCGCCTTTCAAACGCGAAATGATGGAGCTGCTGCGTGCCTTGCGCGTCTCCGGGTCTACGCTAAGATCCGACGGGTCGCGGGCGGTGGAGGTGTGAGGAGAGAGGTTGGTAGGAGCTGATGCGACCGAGATGTTGGACTTGGAATCACGACGAGGCGCGATAGGGGGCGCGAGGGGCGGTTCCGGCTTTGCCGTGAGTGGTTCGTCGGGGATGGAGTTTGATGAGTCCTACTTGGTCAGCTCGCAAGCTCGAGGTCGGGAGTGGATCCACTAACCGATGAGGTTGAGTAAAGCTCGTGTGCTTGCGTCCCTAATCCAAGACCGAGGCCTTTAGATCTACGGTCTGGACTGTCTCTCCCTGGAGACGAGCTGAAGCTGCGGGGACTGTTGGACCCGGGATCGGTAAGGACGAGCTTGGGCGTTCCGAACGGCTGACTCCCTTTGCTAGCTGAGTCAGGCAGGTCAAGCGCGAGGTGCTTGCTTGGGCTCGGGGTGAGAGTCCCGATGTTTTGCCCGCTAATCTGTTTTCCGAGAGGAGAGAGCGGTGGGGCTTTGCCTTCGCCAAACTCTTCGATAAAGTGACTACCGGAGAGGGTCGTGCGACCAGACGAAGGGCCGAGCGAGCTGGATTTGGAGTGCGAAGGGGAATTGGACGAAAGGACGGTGTGTGACTCGTCGTCCGATCCTGAACCTTGATCTGAAGAGCGCGAGTGGATAGGGATGGGCGAGGAGATATTGGGAGGGGTATCGTCTGACGACGTGGAGGCAGCGCGCTTGAATCTTGCTAGGATCTTGGACATGGGGATGATGGAGAGTGGGCAGGCTGTACAAAGGATGAAGCGAGCCGAGAGACAGGGGTATAACAGAGAGGCTGGAGCGATGACCCGCCGAGTCATTGCCGTGGATTCCAGCGGTTACGTCGCTACGTCACTGCCCGAGCCAGGCACGGGCCAGACCTTCGCAGCTAGACCTGACAGCGTCCGCGTCATATGCTTATCATCAGGAGCTAGCGAGCGCCTGCTGCGCAGCCTGGGCTCCTCGATACAAGAAGATGTGGCCTGCCACGGCAGGCGAAGCAGCACAAGGGAGGAGCAGCTTCATGACAGCGAAAGAGCGCGCGCAGAAGAGGCTACAGCTGGGTCCTTCTGATGAAGCCTAGCTCGGTCCTCTTTTCGCAGACCTTTCTAGCTAGGGACGAAGTAGCCAAGCAATCCATACAGGACATCAAGCAATATAGGAAGCTATGTGACCCCCCAACTCATAGATTATGAATCTCCCGGCGGGCCAAAGAAGCGTCCTTGGCGAGTTCGATCTGAGATGACCACTTTCGAGTATTAACGATGAGCGACTGTCGACTCGTTCTACGCGCACCGCGAGGGTGAGCAAGAGGTAGCGAACGAGGGTCGTGCAGGGTCTCTGTATTGAAAATATGAAGAAGAAAGAGAAGAGACGCTGGGGGAATTTGGCGGGTGGCAGCTTGCAGGTTGAGGTTGAGTGACGTGGCATTCCTCGGTGCCTGGCTCAGTGATCCTCTTGATCCAACACTGGTGTGGAAGAACTGTTGACAATGCTACAAGTACCATATGTTGTCCTCTAGCAGCCCAAGATGATCGAAACACAGGCAGAACGACACCTCCTCTGCGTATCAGCCATCGTCAGAGACCTCATCGCGTCTCACAATGCTTCCTCGTCCTCAAAGACATCGACCGACCCGCCAAATCTCAATACCCTCCGCATGAAATATGCCAAAAAGTACAGCCTCTCCGCTGTGCCTCGGCTCACCGATGTCCTCGCTGCGGTGCCGGAGGAATGGAAGGAGCGGCTGAGAGGATGGCTAAGGGCCAAGCCCGTCAGGACGGCGAGTGGGGTGGCGGTCGTGGCGGTCATGTGCAAGCCGCATCGGTGTCCACATGTGGCCATGACGGGGAACATTTGCGTGTAAGCTGGACACCTATCCTATCAGAAAGAGGGGATGGAGGGCTGATTGGTAGTTACTGCCCAGGAGGACCGGACTCAGACTTCGAGTACTCGACGCAGTCGTATACAGGATACGAGGTGAGCTGACAGCTGAGTTCTCTTTTTGAAGAGCTGGAGCTGACACGGCAGCCTACCTCAATGCGAGCGATCCGAGCTCGGTACGATCCATATGAGCAGACTCGGGGACGAGTAGACCAGCTCCGAGGTCTAGGGCATAGTGTCGATAAGGTGGAAATGATGTGAGCTGTTCTGGCTGTTCCCATTGATCGTGGAAGAGCAGTTTGCTGACCCAGCAGCATCATGGGCGGTACCTTCATGTCTATGGCGGAGGACTATCGTCACAAGTTCATCGCCGGACTACACAACGCGCTGAGCGGTCATACCAGCGAGGATGTAGACGAGGCTGTTCGGTATGTGTCTCCAACTTACACCCTGGACACAGCTGATAGGCAGCTTCTCGGAGCAGAGCAAGGTCAAGTGTGTCGGGATCACCATCGAGACTCGACCCGACTACTGTCTCCGCCCCCATCTGAGCCAGATGCTCCGGTACGGCTGCACCCGCCTTGAGATCGGTGTTCAATCAGTCTACGAGGACGTCGCCCGGGACACCAATCGCGGCCATACCGTGCGCGCCGTCTCCGAGTCATTCCACATGAGCAAGGACGCCGGGTACAAGATTGTCGCGCACATGATGCCCGATCTTCCCAATTGCGGCGCCGAGCGGGATATATGGCAGTTCCAGGAATTCTTCGAGAACCCCGCATTCCGGTCGGACGGGCTCAAGCTGTATCCGACACTCGTGATTCGGGGGACGGGACTGTATGAGCTTTGGCGGACGGGAAAGTACAAGAACTATCCCCCGAACGCGCTGGTGGATATTGTGGCGAGAATCATGGCGCTGGTGCCGCCATGGACGAGGGTGTATCGGGTGCAGAGGGATATCCCGATGCCGCTGGTTTCGTCGGGCGTGGAGAATGGGAATCTGAGGGAGTTGGCGCTGGCGAGGATGAAGGACTTTGGGGCGGAGTGTAGAGATGTACGGTATAGGGAGGTCGGCGTGAGTTATGACATCCCCAACCTCGGTGTCTAGCTGACCCCTAGCTACACGAGATCCATCACCGTATCCGCCCCCAAGACCTCGAGCTCCTCCGGCGCGACTACGCCGCCAATGGCGGATGGGAGACTTTCCTCTCCTACGAAGACCCCGCTCAAGACATCCTCGTCGGTCTCCTCCGTCTCCGCAAGTGCTCCGAGGAGGGGACGTTCCGCAAAGAACTGGTCGGGATGAAAGGGGGCTGCAGTCTCGTCCGCGAGCTGCACGTGTATGGTACGGCGGCACCGGTACATTCGCGGGATCCCAAGAAGTTTCAGCATCAGGGGATAGGGACGTTGCTTATGGAGGAGGCGGAGCGGATTGCGCGGGAAGAGCATGGGAGCGGAAGGATAGCGGTCATTTCGGGCGTGGGGACGAGGGACTACTATCGGAGGATGGGTTACAGCCTGGATGGGCCGTATATGGTCAAGGACCTGTTGTACGATGACTAGATGATATCTTAGGTGATTGCGGGCGGATTTACGTCCCTGACCCCGCTTTGGGACTCTGCTAGGGAGACGAAGCTCAGGAGTGCTGTATGTCTATCTGCAGTGAATGTTCAGCATCCCGTGGGCGGTAGAGATGCCTTCCCGTATACTACTGCTTGACAGTAAAGGCTAGTGAGACGACACTAATGTCCGGCGAAACGCGCCCCTGAATGATCTTCCTTTCAGATCGGGGCTGTGCATACTCACTCCTCCCACACGTACTAAGGCTGTGCAAAGAGTACAGCTCTGACCTGAGTACGTCGAGGAGTGTATCAAGGGTGGGTCTGTTTGAGGCCAGCTTCAACTGAGGACTTGCTCAAACTCCGAAAACTACTCAGACTCCACTCAAAGACTTCTAGGCAGCGATGCCCGACCTGTGACTGTTTCACTCCTCTAATTCGCCCTCCGCCCGAAGGCGTGCGACCGCAGCACGGCTGATAAGAAGACCGACCAACAGACGACTTGACTCGTCAACCCTCTCTTTCCACTATCCCTGATCACATTCTAAGCCAGGGCGAAGATCCTATCCCGCTTTTCCTCCTGTTCTATCTTTACCATATCCACAAATTCAGCAGGGCATTCTTCCTACAATCTCACCCCTTTGGCCAGCTCATTATTCCGATATGGCCAACAACAGCCCCGTTGACTTGTCTGATCTGACCTTCACGAACGGGGTCGTCTATTCGCGGCCTTCCGTCAGGTTTGTGAGCAACTTGCATCCTTCTACGAACCAGGCGATTCTGCTGCGGGGCGTACGGTGCGTGAAGTGCAACAGCGAACACTCCTTCGCCGATGTACCTGTCGATTACCCATCGGCGACCGATCCGCTTGCCACGTTGCAAGGTCGGCTGGTCTGCGATACCACTTCGTGCGCTACCTCCTCTGCGGTACCACTGTGTCTCATCCCGCCCGACATGGGAGGAGCCGCGAGGACCTACCTACATACCAATTGTCCGGCCCGCACCGATATCTGCGTTTCTCAAAAGCTACAGACAGATCTGCGCCACGCCCTCGTCGAGCTGGACAGCACGGACGCCCTCAAGCTTGAAACGACCGCCATCTTTACCGACGAGACCGGTTACCTTTGGCAATTTTTCCCTTCTGGAGGTCAGCAGGCATCCGACCCGACCCTCTGCCCTACATGCAAGACCGGCGCCGATCCCCGCACACACACCTTGACGTGGATAGACGGAAGTTTCATGCAGCGTTGCTCGACAGATCCCATTCTCCTCAAGGGACGGCTGCTACTCGACATGGAATCTCCGAAGACAGCCACATTTCATGCGCTCGCTGTTCAGGACCCATACATCTCTGACCCTTCTACTCTCACACATGACAAGACCGGTGCGTGCCCTCTGGACTCGATCAAAGACCGGGTCAGGAACGCTACGAGAGCTTTCTCCACAGGTATGTTTGTTGGCTTGGTAAGGTTAAACCATCCCACTTTCGGCGGGGTGGTTATCAGACAGTGAACGGGGATGAGACTCGTGGATAGTAGTCAGTCAGCCCCAGTATGGAGTGTGCCCGGCCCGTCCACCTTTCTTTGGGTACAACAATTCAAGAGAATCTCGCACTTTTGAAGGTCTGTCTTGTTCTGATCAGCTTGAGTAGGGAGAGAAACCATAATCAGTATCAGCGATGTGATTTCAGCATGTAGATCCCCATCGTGCTTTGCAGCGGTTATGATTCCGGTCGTCCTTGTCCCTGTTTACAGCCCACTCATTTTCTCACATCCCGGAACATCACTCACCTGAAGGTTCTCAGCTTCGGGTTCGTACCCGTGCATGTATACTTACTTACCTTTCCTCTCCAGCTACGCAATAAGCGGGCAGCCAGAAGACGTTTTCTAGCGGAGCGCGGAATCAGTACCGCACAGCCACCTAGCGTGAGCAAAGTTGTGGGTTAGGCTAGTCAGCACTCATCATACTGCCCACATCCCCCTGACACCTCTATGCCCCTCGCAGCGCACGTTACTTTACCTGAGGGGGAAGACCTGGTCGTATATTGGTCCCGCCAGGACTAACATCAGTCTGGCTGTTAAGCCTATTAGCCTCAACCCAATTAGACTCATATCAGTATTACAACGCGCCTGCACCGTATAAATGCATTCCAAGCTCCTACATAAATTCAACTGATGACCGCCTCTGCAAGATATTTTCCAGTTGACAACCCCTTTGTCACCTCCTCAAACTTCCACCCTTCGGCCCCGACAACCTCAATCCCTATCCCACTCGCCAGTACCCCTTCCGCCGCCCAGCTCGCCAACACACCTTGCGGCCTCAACACCTCGCCCGCCTCCGACGTGAACTTGGCAATGATCTTCCCTTCTCCACCCTGCACCGCTCCCATATCCCACGTCATGCGCCGTGTAGAAGGGGACCAGACCCCTCCGGCCGGTTTCGCCTGGACATTGGAGACGGCCGGTCCTGGCTCAAACGCCGCATTGAACGAGAGACCGCTCATGCTTCCCGACGAGACGTGATCGGGGTTTGACCGATAGTTGAGGATCATGCGCGTCTCGCCGTCTTTGCAGAGGAAAGACGGCTCGAGGATGAGGGGAAGCGCCGACTTTTCCGTTCCGGCCGAAACGTGCACCTGGTACTTGAAGAGCAGGGTGCCTTTGGGTGACGCCTTGCCCGACGACCCAGCGAGCGTCTCCGAATTGAGAAGATACTCTCCGGGCTTGTCGGGTACCTGCGCCAGATACTGCGGGTTCGGGGCGATCTTTTCCAGCCGCTCGAAAGCGTCGAGGCGGATGTGGATGGGACCGTGTGAGGTGGCGCCGCGCAGACCGAGGTGAATTTCCCCGGTGATTTGGAGCCGCTGGACCTCGCCCGCCCGCATAATGACGTTGATGGCCTCGGTGATGTTGGCCCGAAGACCTTGGCCGGTTGCGACGGGCATGGAAGGCGCCGAGAGGCCGGGCGAGTCGAATGGGTTGTTGGAGAGGGATGCAAGGGATCCCTGACGGGGAGTGGCTGCCATGGCGTTCATACCGTTGACGCTGGCGGAGGGGGAGGTGGGAGAATCCATAGTCTCTGGCTCTTCCGAAGTAGGACTGACGCCGTTGAAGCCAAACATGGTATTCCGGACGTCTCGCCGTCCGCGCGTAGTGTTCCGCCGAGAAGGCTGCTGAGGAGGAAGTTGGAGCGTCTGCTGCATCTTCTGCAAGGCGGCTTGACGCTCCTCCTCACTTTCCTGGATCGGAGCGGAGGTCATGGCCATGTTGCCCCGGCTGAACGAGGCGCCACCAAGGGTTTCTTGCGATTCCGATGGGGATGCGTCTAAGGTTTGCGCGAAGGACGATGACGCGGGCGTGGCGGAGGTGGGTTCCATTGGCGGCGCCAGTCCGTTAGATTTGGAGGGGACGATAGATGCAGCTTTTGTAGCAGAGAGGGGGATATCGTCCTCGTCCGGCTCGTCCCAGAGCGAGCGGTGTCGATCCGGCGGGGGTACCGAGAAGCCCTCCTCATCAACCGGCTATTCACTGTCAGCTATGTCCACCCAGGCTGGTTTCACATCAGCTCACCCTCTCGCTGATTGCCCGCTCAGAAGGCCTGTCCTCGCTGATCGACTCGACAGGCTCATCCCTCAGCTGGACGGAAGTAGCGTTGCTGTTGCTCCTCCCTCGTGCGAGGGTCTTGGATCGACCCAGCATTGACTTGAGACCGCCGCCGAAGGACGAGGGTGGCGGTGCGGGCGATGAGACGGCGCCGCTGGAGGAGCCGTTCTGCCTGAAGGCTGGCCGAGGGGTAAAGTCCGAAGCGTTGGTAGCCGATGATACTGTTCGGTCCATCCGGGCTGGAAGTCAGCTTTTTGCTCACGGATATGGGCTGTGTCGGACTTACGAGTACCTCCACTAACGAACGACGGCGCCGCACCAAACGAAGGCGCTGCGCTACCCGCCCTACTTCCTCCGCCCGCCCCACCACCCAGCTTCTGTCCCACCGCCATGACCTCATCTCCCGTCTCCCACCCTAGCAAGTTCCCGACGCTCCTCTCTGCCCGCTCCCCATCCCGCACCGCCATATCTCCCTTGATCGTTCCCCATCGCACCACAATCTCCTTGAGCGTACTCAGCCGCTGCTCATCCAGCCGCTGGTACGTTGTGTACACCATTGGCGAGAGTGACGAGAGTGACTGCGTCAACTGGTTGAGCTCCTGTTGATACGCATCCGCCTTGCCGGCCTTCTTTCCGGCTGCCTTGTCGAGCTTTGCCGAGACTTTCTCGTAGTCTTTGAGATTCTTGTCGAGGGAGGAGTCTTGCTCTCCAACCCGGCGCCAAGCGACGATCTTGCTCGGTAGCTCACGGATGGGCTGCTCAAAGTCCGTCTTCAGCAGAGCTGACAGGGTCGAGTGCGAGGTCGAGGTCTGCCAAGTCAGTTCGGCTCCGAGGTTTTCGAGCGTAAGAGCTGACCTCCGCAAGATCAGACACCATGGCTTCCCATAGCTTGGCCTCTCCGCCTCCCCGCTCCCACTCCGTCCCGTTCTTGGGAAGCAACCCCCCGTTCTCCGCCGTCCTAGCGAGCTTTGCCAGCCCGTCGGCATACTGCTGCTCTATCGCAGCACGCTGCTTGAACAGATCCGCCAGAGCATTGACGTGCGAGGTGGACCCGGCTAGTCTGCGTTGCAGCGCAGTGAGGAGCGGCCGGGGTGCCGAGGGGAGGAACGAGTTGACCCAGGTATCTTCCGGTAGCATGCCGGACATGGCGGGTTGATGAGCTTGAGGCTGGGCCTAGCCTTGATTTTCCCGTAAATATGAAAGCTGCTGATGAAGCGCTCGAAGCCTCTGTAGATGGTAGGTGTATGTATAGAGGAGAGAGCTGGGTAGGGGGGTGAGTAGTCCCAAAGCCCGCTTATTGCAACTGCTCCTCGAGTGGGCTGAGGGAGATGTCAACATTGCCGCTTTGGGAAATTCCTCAACTGAGCGACACACCGACGTCACGCTCTCCGCCACCATGCCGCAGCAGTCTAGAGTCCATCTCCATTGTATACACCATACCATCACACCATTACATACCTGATCATCTCTCCCCTACACATATCCCATAATGAAGGTCTTCTCACTCTCACTCCTATCCGTCACTTCTGCAAGCCCGGCGCAGGCGGCTTTGCTGGGGACAGCGCAAGATCTGTCTAGCTTCTCATTCTATCAACGGGGGTCTGTCGGCGAGTTCATGGGCTTCTTCACAAAGGTCAGTTGTCAATCCGGTTCCAGAGGTAGCTCAGCTGATATCATAGACCGTTGCCGAGCGTACACCTGCCAACCAACCATCATCAGTCGAAGAGAACAACTACAAGGCGCACGTCTTCCGGACCGCTGGTCGGAATGGAGGACCCGGTCTTGCTGGTCAGCTGGTCTTTCTGCTATTTTGGACAAAGCTTACCTTTCAGCTGTGATGATTACGGACCTGGAATATCCCTACCGACCCGCCTTCTCGCTGCTTACCAAAATCCTGGATGAACACGCCGCACTCGCCAACAACCTCCCTGGCGCAGCGGGCGGATCGCTCGGCGGAGCAGCTAGTGCATTCTCGGTCAACCCTTCGCAGGCAGCTGCGGGCGGTCTGCCGCCAGCGCAGAAGGGCAAGCTGGAGGCGACATTGACGCAGTACTTGACCAAGTACCAGGACCCGAAGCAGGCGGACACGATTATGAAGGTGCAGAAGGAGCTGGATGAGACCAAGATCGTGCTGGTATGTATCAGTCGAAGGTACACAGGATCTCGGCTGACATTGTAGCACAAGACGATCGAGTCGGTCCTGGAACGAGGAGAGAAGCTCGACAACCTCGTCGAGCGGTCGAACGCCTTATCGGCGCAGAGTAAGATGTTCTACAAGACAGCCAAGAAGGTGTGTCCCTCCTAACTTTCCTTTGGACTTAAGCTGATATCCTAGCAAAACTCATGCTGTGTTGTCATGTGATGCTCTCTACCTACTTCTTCTGTTCAGTGGTCTCTGTATGCCCTTAATGCACGTCCCTCCATTGTAGCTCTGCACCTTGCCTTGAGCTCAGCCGCTTCCGTCGGAAAGAGACGCGTTTGTTGACGCGGTTGACTGGATTTCTCGTTCTGATCCTCACTTTCTACATCTATCTCTGCTAGCAACAGCCAGCCCATCTTCATAGTATCTACACCACCTTGAATCGTAGATATGCCCGACTACATCTTGATCAGCGATGGCGAGGACGACATCATCAGCATGTCTGGACCGAGCCGTCCGTACGCGCCTGCCGTGTCCCGCGGGCCCATGCGCGCTCCCCTTTCAGCCCCTATCTTCATCGACGACTCGGACGACGACGAGCCCGTGCAGAGCATGACGGAGCTGGTCTCTGATTTCTTGACGGATCGGAAGGGGAAGCGGAAGGCTTCGCCTGTTAAGATCGCGCCTATCCGTGTACGTACCCCGTGATCAGCTCGGTGAAGGGTATAGCTGATGCGCATAGTCCGCGCTTCTTGATCTTCTTGATAATGACGCAATGCGTCTCGAGACTCCCAGCACCGAGAGTGAGGTCGATACGCCTCTGTCAGAAGGGGCAAAGAAGAAGAAGACGGCCCCCAAGAAGAAGGTGGACAGCGGGGACGGCAAGGACAAGGAGGCGGAGGCGGCGCGGAAGCGTGAAGAAAAGGAGGAAAAGGAGGCGATGAAGCAGCAAGAGAAGGATGAGAAGGCTCGGAAGAAGGAGCAGGAGAAGGTGGATAAGGAGGCAGCCAAGTCTTTGGCTAAAAAGGAGAAGGAGGCGAACAAGGTGGGTCTTTCCGAGCTAGAAAAGGGGTTTGTGCTTATGATAGCTACGGATCAACAAGAGCGATACGGTCCGCGAGATCCACCTCTATCTTACTCCCGACCTCCTTGAACCCTCTTCCCCCATCGCTGCTGCGCTTCCCGAGATCCGGACCCGGTTCGTCGGCAACGAGTCCGAAGTGCACACGCTCAACGAAAAAGAATGCCCCCAGGCCGGCGTGATCCGGTTCAAGCGGCACGTCAAGGCGAAATACGATGCCAAGGCGAAGAAATGGGTCATCCTCGCGGAAGATCGATGGGAATGGGAATCCACCGTCGTGCTCGTCGTCCAGGCCGAAGAGATCCTGGATCTGATCCACTCGAAGGCGAACGGGTTGGCGGAATGGGCGAGCGATGCGCGGATGACAATGAGGTTGAAGCAGACGGATCAGGTCGTGGTGATGATCAAAGGGCTGCAAAAGTATTACGCCAAGACCAAGACGCTGGCGAATAGGGAGTTTACCGCGGCGGCGAGGGCGAGCCTGGGGGAGATCAACCCGGTGAGGAGACCGGTAGGGGTACGGGCGGATAAGGCGATGGTAGAGAGGGAGCTTGTCAAGCTGCAAGTGGCAGAGCGATGCTTCTTGGTTCATGGTACGTCTAGTACTCAATGTGTCGGAGCTTCTCAAGCTGACCAGCAGTCGAAAAGACCGAAGAGATCGAAGATTGGGTCTATAACCTCGGGGCCGACGTCGCTATCCGACCTGTAGGTCCATTCATCTGAGGCATCTTCAGCATACTGAGTCCGCAGTACAAGTTGCTCAGAAAGACTCATCTAAACTTCTGCCCCGCCGACGGCGCCGCTACCAAGAAGAGCTCGCACCCGTCCGACGCCTTCAAATTGATGCTTGAGGCTGTCCACGGCATTACGCCGAGCGGCGCAGCGGGCATCGTTGCCGAGTACCCCGTCTTCAAGGACTTGATGGAGGCGTACGACAAGGCTGAGAGGAGGGGACACGGTGCTGCGCTCTTGTTGCAGGATTGCGAGGTAAGCCTCAGCTGGTTGAGACATGGGAGGTGCTGATGTCCAGGTCCGTAATCTCAGGAATGGGACAGCGAACGGTCGGCTTCTCAACAAGGCGTTGTCGACCAAGGTGTATCATCATTTCAGCTCGACGGACGGTCTGGCCTTGGTGTAGACGTCTTGCTTCTATTTTTCTGTCTTGGGAGATCCCTTGGTGGCCTGTCCTTGCGGTAACCCAATTGTAACATTACCAAAGCTAGAGATCCCGTCTAGAATACATGTCCACACTGTATATACATCGTATGAATATAAATCATGTCCTCGCGCCCGCATCATGCTTCTACCGCCCTCTTCTTCTTCTTGCCGGGTGTATCCCGCCCCTCGGCCTCGCTCTTCCGCTTCTTGGCTGCCGCCTTCTCCGCCTTGTTCTGCGCTAGGATACTAATGGCATCGATTGGCATCCCCCTCGCTGACTCTGGCGCTTTCCGGGACTCTGGCGCTTTCCGGCCGGGCGCTCCAGCAGGCCCGCTCGTTCGCGAGCCAATAGCGTGATTCCGAAATTTGAGGAGATGTGTAGGTTGAACACGCTTGGCGGGGGCGTGCCGGATCGCGTCATCCGCTTCGGCGGCATCGAGCGCGTCGTCCAGTGCCGATGTGGCGAGAAGGGAAGGGAGGGCGTTCTCGTTCGATGCGGATGTGGATGTGGCGGTGTTGGGGACGAGGATGAGATGGCGAGATACGTTGATTGGCGCTGCGGATCAGCATCGACCCCTGATGCTGCCAAGATGTAGCTTACCAGCATACAGCTTCCCGCCCTTCTCGACTCGCGGCACCATGAGCGTCATCCCGCCCATCATTTCCGCTCCTCCCTCGAATCTCAGTCGCTCTCCGCCATCTTCCATCATCATTGCGTCCGCCAGACCGGGTCCCGCCGTTGGCTGACGCCCTTCTTCATCCACGTCAGCCGTAGCTGGCGTGGGGAAGCCGGCCGAGTGAAGGGAGTAGGAGCTGGATTTGACAGTAAGAGAGCCAGAAGGACCAGAAGAGCCCATGGCAATGTTCAGAGCGGTAAGGCGGGACGACTTGAGCTGTGTGGGGTCAGCTCTCGCCCGTGGGATTCCTTTGCACAGCGTGATAGACGCACGTCTACAGGTGCACGGATCGACCAAAGTTCCACTCCTTGCGCCTTCGCCATAGCATCCCATTCAAACGGCGACGAAGCAAAGTTGACGCTCAGCGGGAGTGGCATCATACCGTTCGGCGGGGCATATCGTCTGTCCTTTCAGCCAGACCCTCATCCACTTGCGAAGGTAACTCACGGCAGTTGTCCCATCGCACCTCTTCTAGATCCCGAGCCGGAAGCCTCCCCATTATCCCTTCGTCTAGGTGCGACGTCCTCCAGCTCATCACTATCCGCCGAGGACGTATCATCGTCCCCCAACAGACTATCCCGCTCAGACCTCTCTTCCACTTCTTCCTGCTCCTCTTCCTCTTCTTCCTCCTCTGCGCCCGATTCGCTAGCCTGGGAAGCTACGTAGCTGACCTTCTTGGCCGGCGAGTCTGCTGGAAGTTTGCTGCTTGATGCTTTAGCCATGGTGATCAAGATAGACAGGGTCGATGAAGATGCGAAAGGCAAGAGACAAATTTTGGCTGGCAGGCTGTCGGAGAGTGTGGGGTAAAGCGTCGATCCCTGAGAATGCGAAACGCGGGGTAAAAGGTGGTCCAATTCACTAAAAGCAACAGCCGCAATAGCTCATTCAGACCATCTTCTACTTGTATATCGCGCTCAGGTAGCCACCTGTAGGATGCCAGAGCCGACATCGCCTCACCTGGCAGCGCTACAGGAGCTGGAACTGGACGACTCGGTCGATTCCCGCTCAGACACGTTCGAAGACGTCCCGACGACCCCAAGCGCCAATGCCTCCCCGACAAAGTCGCCCGCTGCAGGCAGCAAGGTGCGCGCCGCTGCTGCCATGTGGGAGACCGGGGCTAGTACCAGCGCCAGTGTCAGTTCCAGCTCTCTGGCGCCTCAGGCAGCCTCGACGTCCCCTGTTGGGTCCTTCAGGTCCATCGCGCCGGGCTCCAGTCCAGAGACGAAGCCAACGGGACCTGGCGGGCTTGCTCTGAAGCCTTCAACGCCGGTGTCTGCTTCTGCGGACGGAGGTCAGTTTTCGGAGATCGCCCTCGCGGCAGAAACGGGGCCGGGGCTGGAACCACTCCGGATCAGCTACAACTCATCCCCCGTCCCCGTACCCTCGGACGTGATGACGGCCACACCCACAGTCGTCACCCCTCCAGCGGAACCACCTACTGCCAAGGCATCTTCCTTCTTCTCCCTCTCTTTTGGTACACCTTCAGTCACGGCCGCCACGCCCCTCGCGCCCTCTCGGTCCGCATCAGGCGGTACCCCCGCTGGCGGCTGGAGATCGACCATGTCCAACCTCCTCACCCGCTCGACCTCATCTGCGCCCTCCGAACCCACATCGGCAGGTCCCGAGTCGGCAGGTCCGTCCCGTATCCCCTCGCCGTCCTTGTTGCTACACCACATCAATGACGATCTGGCGATCCGGGATCGGCGGCAGAGCCGGGAACTGGGCGGCGGCGACAAGATCCGGGAAGGGTTCGAGCGGGTCCGAGGGGAGATGGAGGGTGTCGCGAGGGAGATGAGGCGGGAGAATGCCGCGGCGGCGACGGCGGAGGAGTCGGAGGAGAGCGCTGAGGGGGGTGCTTCGCCGACTAGGACGGAGGAAGTGGATTGGGTGTTTTGGGGAGCGGTCGTCCAGGATTTCGAAGAGGTGGCTAGGGAACGACCGAGAGACCTGTCCAAGGCGATACAGCAGGGTATACCAGGCGTCATCAGGTAAGCTGACGGGTGCTTGGTCGCTTCTCGGGCAGAAAGCTTACTTTTCAGAGGATCAATATGGCAGCTCATGTCGTCCTCGAAATCCATCCCGCTCGAAGAGACGTACAAGCAGCTCTTGAAGCACACCTCGCCACACGAAAAGTCAATACGAAAAGATCTGTCCAGGACCTTCCCACACCACAAATTCTTCCAGGACGCAGGAGGCCGGGAGAGCCTGTTCATGGTTCTGAAAGCGTACAGCTTGTGAGTTCCGATCCGAAGAAGGAGCTGATGTCAGGTATGATCCTGAAGTTGGATATACGCAAGGGGTCGCCTTCATCGTTGCTGCTCTCCTACTGAACGTGAGCTTTCGATCGCCAAAGTAAGGTAATGCGTAGCTGACGTTCAGATGCCGGATGAAGAAGCCTTCTGCGTCCTTGTCCGTCTGATGGACTCGTACAACCTTCGCTCGCACTATCAGGCAGATATGCCCGGCCTCCAGCTCCGGCTGTTCCAGTACGACCGACTCCTCGAGGAGCACGTTCCGCTCGTCCACACCCACTTGCTCCGGAAAGGGATCAAGAGCAGCATGTACGCCAGCCAATGGTTCATGACGCTGTTCTCCTACAAGTGAGCTACTCTGTTTCTAGAGTAAAATGAGTGTCAAGCTAACGAGCAGATTCCCTCTGTCACTAGTATACCGAGTCCTCGATATCGTCTTTGCCGAAGGCATAGAGGCCGTCTTCCGGTTCTCCCTCGCACTCCTCCAAGCGGCCGAAACGAAGCTCGTCGAACTAGATTTCGAGCAGATACTAGAGTACCTCCAGACGGACCTGTTTGAGCATTATCGCGAGAACGCCACCGAAGACGGAGAGGAGTCGTGGCGCGCCAACGACTTTGTAAGGGATGCCTACGAGATCCGAATGTGAGTTTGAGAAATGAGGGACAGCGAGGGTGGGTGGTCGTCTGCTGACTAGGCAGAACACCGTTCATGCTGGACTCGTATACTGCGGAATTTGAGGAGGAGCGGAGGAATCAGAATAAACATGCGGCAGAGGTGGACCAGTTGCGGAATGCCAACCGACATTTGAGCAACCAGGTGTAAGTATTGGGCTATCATTCGCCAAATGACGGAAGGCTGACGTATCAGAAAGCAGTTGGAGTCGACATTAGCAACGATGTGAGTCGGGCTCATACTGTTTCCCGTGGTGTGGAGCGTCCCGGCTGATAAGCTAGCAATGAGGAGCACGTTGAATTGGTCCGGCAATTGGTGATGACCAAAATTGATAAGGAGGAGACGGAGAATGAGCTTGTGCGGTACAAGATGATGTGAGCGGCATTTCTCCTTGGGGGAAAGGGAATAGTCGCTGATGGGTTAGGTACGCCGAGTTGGCGCATTCGCAGCAGGACGCCATGTCGGTGCACAGTCGGCGATCAGCTGGCTCATCTCGACACGACTAGATCCAGGGAGGGTCTGGACCACGACGATAACGATCACCCATATGACCCATGCGCTATACTATACAACATCATATGCATACTACTAGACATCGTAATCTTCGTCCATCTCCCGTTCCTGGGCAGGTGGTGGGGCTGGTGCCGCTGCGGTCCCTTCGTCCACTCCCACTTCCTCCATATCCTCGTCCTCATCCTCCTCCGCATCTTCATCGCCTTTCCCACCATTCGCCCTAGCTCCCTCACCATCCACTGCGTCCTCCTCTTCATCGCTGCTCTCATCCTCCTCTTCCTCTTCTTCTGGCGCTAAGACCAATTGCGGATCAGGCACTATATCAAAGTTGACCTCGGCTAGGCGCTGATGTGCTGGCGGAAGGCGAACGACCTCGAAGGATTCAGGAAGGACAGGGAGGGGGTGCGAGTTGAGCTCATGTGCCAGAGATGCTAGATACTGCCTTTGTCAGCTCAAATCACGCGAAATCGTGCAGTGTGCAGCTTACATCTCGTGGAGGAGCTTCGAAGAACTCGTATCGCTTCCTCATCATGATGGCCAGCTCCACATCATCCTTTTCTATCTTTCCGGGACCGGGTCGGCTCGCATGATCGCTCAGCGCTTGAGCATTCTGGAGGACGTCTGCTGTGTAGCCTAGACGAATATGAGCTTCTGTTCGGTCCGCCCAAGCGAGAGGCCTCAAGTCAGCTCACGATAGGAGAAATCCATGAGCTGCTGCAAGACTCGCTCGTCTGCGTCCTGGATGCCCTTGGAGGCGAGGATGAGGGATATGAGCCGTCCATCACGGGGAACTTGGGCATCAGCTTTGGGTCTCCGCGACGCGGTCAGTTTGACTGTAAAGGCATTAACTCACTCGGACGGCTGACGTTTGTCATCTTGGCATGAGCTGTAGGGTGGATGGTAGGGCGAGTAGAGCGCGTATTGGATGATGAAAGGCAAAGACAGAGTATATACGCTGTATATATATAGGTGTGGCTTGATCTTGGTGCACGAGGGTATGCCGTAATTCCGATGTATCAGATTCCCCGAACCGGTTCCTTCTGATCAGCTTTCACCAGTCCACTCATCTTTTGTCCTTCTCTACTTGTACTTTTGTCATCGGCTATTGTGCATCAGTCTATCAGCAGGCCTGCTAACCCCATCGGACAGGCAGGCTGAAAACACCCGCCCACGCACACTACCCCCGAAAGCTCCTAGTCCTCCGCTTACCATGCCACAATCTCGGATTCACGACCACTTCGCTCCGAGCAACAAGTACCCCCGCGCAGCTACCCAGAGCTCCCGGCGCCCTCCTGCACATCGTTGGGAGTCCGACTCGGAAGGCTCGGACGGACTCGAAGCGATCCAGCTGAGCGCTCAAAAGCCCAAGCCGAGCAGGAAGGCAGCGGAGGCTCCCGTCAGCCAGAAGAGGGGGAAGCGGGTCGTCCTGGACTCGGATGACGAGTATGGGGAGGGAGGGCAGGAGGAAGAGGTGGATGACGAGGATGAGGACGAAGATGATGAGCGGACAAGAGTGGAGAAGCGGACTAGGTCCGGTGGGAAGGGAAAAGGGAAGGGACGGGCGGTACAATCGACCGAGCCGGAGTCGGACGATACGGTAGACTCCCTGGTCGTCGGGGAGAAGCTTCGGAAGGCGGCCAAGCGGGCACACAAGACAACTTCCCCGGCTCCGGCGCCTCCTCGGACCAAGGTCACCCCTTCGCCTAAGACACGTACCCGTAAACGTGGGTCCAGCCCAGACTTCGTGATCGAGGTTCCTTCCCTCTCACGCGAGCGACGGAGCCAATACTCGGAAGTCCCTATCTCCCCCAGAACACCCTCCAAAAAGCGCAAAGCCTCCATCATTGCCCTCTCTAGTGACCCGGAGAGCGATAGCGACGACAATACACCCATCATCCACCGGCGGCGCGTACCTTCCAAACCCAAATCCTCTCCCGCGCAGCCCAAGCGCTGTCGGACTCCCGAGTCAGACAGCGATGACCTGCCGAAGCGGAATTCTCCACCCAAGCCGAAGCCCATCTCTCCAAAACGGGCCAAAGCGGTCGATCCGGACGAGAGCGAGGAGCCGTTGACGGAGGAGGAGGATATGATGGCGGAACTGGAGCTTGATCAGCCGGATCGGTTCAAGAGCAAGACGCGGCTCCGGGAGAGGAAGGAGACGGACTGGCAGCGAGCGCTGCGGAAAGCCAACAACAAGCGGAAGGGGATTGTGGAGGACACCACGAGCGAAGAGGAGTCGGAGTCGGAGGATGAAGGGGAAGTGGAGGATGCTGTTCAGGGAGGGGAGGTGGACGAGGAGGACGATGACGACTTTATCTCGGATGACGACGACGACGGACCGGTGCAGCTCCCTCACGAGTTCTCCAACAACTCGATCCAGACGCCCGAATTCAAATACAAGGTCGTCTTCCACTACCTCCTCTACCTCGTCATGAAGGGGTCCAAGGCCCTTCCTCTGCGCGGCGAGAACGCCGAGTACTTTGAGCCGCATCTTCGAGATGTCCGGCGGCGGGTCACTGGGCTCAGGGATGCCGGAGTGCGCAGTCAGATCTGGTCGACTGTCTTTGTTCGCGCGCTGGAAAAGTATCCGATCTTCAGAGTAAGTCCTACAGCCACGTAGTCTGGGAGAACACGAGCTGACGACGAGTCTGGGTACATGGATATGGAGGAGCCGATCTGGTGGTGTCATGCTTGTCGGCGGAGAATGCCGTCCAGGTACGAGGCCTCGCTGGATGGCAAGCCTTATAACCACGATACACACGAGGAGGTCGAAGAGGAAGAGTCTGATTCCGAGCCGGAGATGGATCCGGAGACGGGCGAGCCAGAGACGCAGAAGCGGCGGTACGAGCGCAAGAACAAGGCGTTTACCATGGGTATGTCCGGTCTCGCGTTACACTTTCTCGCCAATGGGTGGAATATCGCTGACTTATTAGGCCCCAAATGTCTGCGAAGGTCCAGGATCTTCCACCAGATGTCACACTGGGAAGACGACATGTACGACCGTATCCGCGAGCTCTACCACAAGGTCCTGCGCGCCTCCGGCAAAAAGGTTCCGGACGAGTCGGACACTTCCGAAGACGACGACGAGGACGAGCATCATCTCGATCGCAACATGCGGCGGATGGACCGCGCGGACCGGCGCAGGCGCTCCAATATGGAGGCTGCGGAACTGAAGGGGAGGGCGTTACCTAAGGATGTGCACAGCGTGGAGGATGTGCTGGAGTGGATGGATAAGGAGGGGTGGCAAACCAAGGTGAGTATCTCTGCCTGAAGGGGTTGTACAGGGCTGATTTGCTAGCTGTTCCACGTGATGGAGGATCTGGAGGAGGAGGCTCGAGCGCTGGAGCACGACAAGTCGACCGATCGAGCCGAGCTGTGAATATCGACCGAGCCATATCTATCGTCAATGCCTGACTTCGCGATACATACAGATACGATCTAGATCTTGTAAATATAGGTGACACCCCTTTCTGCCCGACGTTGTATCTACGTAATCCCGGTATAGTACTCATGCGATATGTAGCCACCTCATCCAGAAGCCGGATGAGATTCGCCGTCGAGCCGAGGCCCTGCTTTGGCTCGATCCGGGAGGTGTGCTGGAAGTCGGAGAGATGGGGATCGAGGTGGGGATGCGGCCGATGATGCCGTCGGCGGTGGTCTGGGTGGCTGCTAGCACGGATGCGGCTGTCAAGCTATTGGTCAGCTACGGAAGAGGGGCTGACTCACGCAGAGGCAGCTCGATCTGGGTTCCCAATAGGTCCGCCGATAACGCGATTCACGAGCTGATATCAGTAACGTTACCGGTGCGCATCACTGAAAAAGCTGACGGGACGGGACGGGACTCACATGGACTACCCCGTTCGTGCAAAGAATATCACTTCTTACAATCCTTGCGATCGCTCCGCCGCTGGTGATAAACGCTCCAGTCGCATTGACACCGTACGCCACAGTCTGGCCCGCTGCGCTGATCCAGGTATCTCCAGCATCGAGCTCGGTCGAGTAGCGGACATCCCCGTTGATGACCTGTCTTATCAGTCCCGTCCTCATCTGGACGTAGGGTGAAATAAGACGTTACATGTCCGAGCAGAACATTAGCCCTCTGACTGGAGACCAACGCGTCGAAGTTGATGCCTGCTAATGCAGCATCGTTGGGAATGAAGAATGTACATCCCTTGCACCCGGTGAAGGTGTCTTGCAGACCGACATTGTTGATCAGGGCGAGAGCGGCGGTCGTTCCGTTGACGGCGGATGAGTCGAGTGGGTGACGTAGGACGTCCAACAGGGGAAGAGGAGGGCTGAGAACCTAATGTGTGAGCTTTGTCAGATCGACCGTCGGGAGAAGACTTACTCGGTCGATGGGTTGTAGCCAGATATTCCCGTATGCTGTCCCATTCCCGCGACTGGTGGTATTCCAGTCCGCACCCCGGATCAGGACACGAGTATCGTTCACTGGCGATGTCTCGAGCACAAGTACTTGGGGTTGTCTACCGGGGAGAGCTTGGTCCTGTCGGAGCTCGGTGTAGGCGATAGTGTGTCTCCGCGGCGGGGCGATATCGGTTGTATTGATGGAACTTGGCGAGATCTTGGTGTCAGCAGTCATCGGGAACGTGTTAGGTAGTGAAGGCGACTGACGTGATATGCGAGCACCTTGGCTAGATCTACATTCCCAATTGAATCCCACGCCTGATCATCAGCTGCCGATCTTGCGATATTGACACCTGAATTCCGCTATATCAAGCGCTCACCTCGTTCACCGGCACATAGACAGTATAGGGCAGGCTGGAACCCAGGCTGGCCAGTAACTCAGATCCAGTAGAGGTCGTGCTGAGGTTCTTGATCGCATCGGCGAAGCGGCCGAATCCCAAGTTGCTCAGGGTCGACTGGAAGGTAGGCAGGAATGGTGCTTGTGCCGAGGCAAGAAGTGGGAGGCTCAGCACAGCCAGGACAGCGCGCAGCATCTCAGCGGGCTTATAGATGATGATGAACAAGAAGCAATTGCATTTGTAACGGACTATCGCCTCTTGTCACAGCATCGAAGCACACACAAGGGCACGCCTTGTGTCCACGCATCACTCAACCCTGCCACACAACCAGCGCCACATTGCACACAAGGGGTGATTGTTCCAGTTTCACTGATAGCGTTTCAGATGTTGGGTGCAAAGTCCACGTCATCGCCCTTCACAGCTTGACCTCCACATCAAAAGTCACTTGCCCTCTCTCTTTGTCTACTCCAACTTTACAGGCTATGAGCTACAGGGCAACAGCGACGTGCAGACAGTGCGCCTCAGCACTGAGGCAAGCGTCTCAAGGGTCATTCTTGGCACCTCGGACGTTTTCGCGGCTCCCAAATCGAGCCCGACTCGCCCCCGGACCAACAGCCAGGCGGTTCTACTCGGAGGGCGAGCTGCTGGAGGCGGCCAAGGCGAAGCTGGGACTGAGTGATGGATCGGTCAGTCACCAATAGCCTGAGATGGTAAGAATGTACTGATCTAGCAGCCCGAGCTCTCCGAATCATCTCGCAGACAGCTGGAACCTCTATCTCAGATCTGGGACCAGCATGCCCGACTCCAGAAGGTGCGTCTGACATCCTATCGGGGGTAAGGGTCAAGCTGATATGTAGGCTCGGGAAGAGACTCTACGCCAACTCTCAGCCATGAAAGACGCCGAAATGAAGGAGCTATTCGAAGGCGAGATCACCGACTTGGACGCCCAGATCACCGACCTCGCCACGCAGCAACTACCCTCCCTTCTCCTTCCGCCAGAAACGACCGATAATCTCCCAATCATGATATCTATCAATGCCGGTATAGGCGGAGACGAAGCCACGGCGTGTGCGGCCCTCCTCATCCGTGCATATCAGCGGTACGCCGAGATCAACCGCTGGGATGTTGAGATTATCAGCCAGGCGGAAGGCGCGCAGAGTAAGGGCATGCAAGGTGTCAAGGAGATGACGATGAAGATGAAAGCGAGGGATGGGGGTGCGGGCAACGTGTACGAGCGGATGAGATGGGAAGGGGGTGTTCATCGATTCCAGAGGGTACCGCCTAATGACGCGAAGGGAAGGGTGCAGTCGTCCACGGTCGCGGTCATCGTAAGCTAGCTCGACCCATGATATGACTCACGGAGCGCTGACAGCTTGCGCGTAGGTGTTGCCGATCATCCCCGAGGGGCAAGAGGCGGAGCTGGTGGATCCCAAAGATGTCAAGATGGAGGTCATGCGATCGCGTGGGGCAGGCGGTCAGGTAAGCCCGAACAATGGAAGAGCACTGACAGTCAGCACGTCAATAAGACGGAATCTGCAGTCCGGCTGACGCATCTCCCAACGGGGATCTCGGTGTCTATGCAAGACTCGCGCAGTCAACATCAGGTGTGTCCGTCTCCCTCTGTTCCAATGCGTCAGCTGACGAGGCAGAATCGAGCGTGGGCATGGGATATCCTCCGCTCCCGCCTGTTCGAGCGGAAACAGGTTCAATTACAAGCGGATCGGCGGAGCAAGCGACAAGAGGTCATCTCGGGAACAGACCGGTCCGACAAGGTCCGATCATACAATGTGCCCCAGGTGAGCGGCCTCTGCCTCGGCGATTTGACTGGACTGACTCGCTAGGACCGAGTCACAGATCATCGTATTGGCTTTACTTCATCCAACATGGAGGGCGTCTTGGACGGCGATCTCGACCCGTTGATATACGCCTTGATAGATGACTACAAGACGCGCAGATTACAGGATATCATCTCGGGAATAGACGATGTAGATGCATAGACACCCAACTCAGCTCACTGCAAGAAGAGCTACTTTGCTCCGCTGAAGAACGCGCGAAGGTCCTTTTGCTTCTCGTCGAATCCCTGACTCCCTATCCCACCTTTCTGCCGGTGCACCCCGTCTAGGTGCTTGGTTACGTCCGAGCAGAGAATGCGGACGGCGAGCGGGGAGCCGTCGGGCCTTGACGACGGGGCTTCTTTAGGTACAGAAGACGCTGGGACGGGACCTTCTGGGTTGGTCTTGACAACGGGTGCGGACTCGGTCATTTGCTCGTCCTGAGATCAGCTTCACACGTGATTGATTTACACGAGGCTACAACTCACGGTGTAGCCGACTTCTAAGCGAGTCCAACCGGTCTGGTCAGTGAGCGATGTGATCTTCGTTGCTGTAGCGCTCTGGTCGCACTCACATTTGTCATACCTATCAGATCAGCCACTGTTCACCGTGTACCGGTATTGTAAATGCGTAGACTCACCCTTATATGCCCACTCGACAGGCCGAGGATCGTTACGCCTAGCCAAGAAAGCGCCGATGAACTCCGCATTGAAGATCCCGTGAGCAACTACCATGAGGTGTTTGTCTGCTGCTGCAGATCCGTGGCACTCCTTCAAGACGGGCTCGATAAACGCTGCTATGCTGGTATACGTTAGCGTTTGGACATCTTGTCAAAGTGAGCAAGCTGGATGGAGCGGTACTCACGCCTTGTTCGCCCGATCGCGAACATCGTCCAAGCTCTCACCCTCAGGAAAGCGGAACGAACGTCCAGATTCGCGATGGTATGCGCCTTTACCATCACCGAAGGGCTTTTGCTCAGCTACTACATCAGCCTCGCTTCTCCGCAGATCAGTAGCGAACGGACCTATTCCAAAGTGCTGCTCTCGCAGAAGGGGCGAGACCGTAAAGCTAGGTTTTGGATCGGCGAGCTGTTGCTTCTCGACCTGCTGTGCCTGCCTCGATCAGCGATAGCGGTCGCTAGCGGTCTGGGTGGACTGACCGTCCACAGAGCCCTGAGAAGGGGCGAAGCAAAGATAGCGTCCAGCTTGGTGCTCTCGAGGGACTTGCCCAATGCCTTGGCTTGCTGCCTCATCAGCGCTTGATCGTGTTGCGGCCAACAAACAGCCGAGATTTACGTTCATGCCTGTAAACGTCAGCTCCGCAGACAGATAAAGGAGTCTGCTGGCAGCTCACCATGATTAGATAGGGGAGCGTCAGCCCAGCCTGCCCAGAGGGCTTTCAAATTATCTTAGGATCAGCTATAGGAGTCGCTCGGATTGAGCTGTGGATTTACCGGTCGATTCGCCATGTCGGACCTGTCGATATCAGTCATCCATCCCTGTGATAAGATTTGCCTAAGCGGACGCACGACTGTCAAAGTGATCATCTTACGATGGCTATGGGAATAAGGTATCAAGCGATGGTCTTGATTAAGGGCAGATAGAGCAAGACGTCACATCGGGGAGGACAAAGTGGAGGTCGGTCCGCTCGACTCGACCGTAACGTCATTGGAGCTCTGGGGAGCCTTGGGTCATAGCAGGAATCATGGAAGCCCCTGTCCTACTGTCAACTACCCAGTGCTCCCAGCATCATCTGGAATCTACCGCAGCTCTCAGATCCAAGCAATGCATCCCAAATCCCCTGAAACTCATCTAATAGGTCATCGCCTCGCGATCGTCGTTCGTCAGTCGCGCCCATTCCAGGCATAATCTGTCTCGTCAGCTGCGTCCGACTTCAAGTCCCAGCTGCGGGTGCACGTACCGGTACACATAGACTGCAAGATCAGCTCAAGTCATTGGTAGACACAAACAGGCAAATGTAAACTCACTCTCCATATCCTCAATCCGGCCATGGTTGAAGATCCAGTCCCTCCCGCTCTGGGCAATCTTCCTCAGCTCGGCATCACCGTCAAACTTCCGTGTTGACATGCCCGCGGACTGATAAAGCGCCCTTGTGGAGTTGGCGGCGTCGACCATGGACTGTGATGGGCCCGAGAAGAAGGCGTGGATGTTGTACAGCTCGGAATAGAGCTGCGAGACGGGGATATAGTGGAGCCTGTTTGATGAGCTTCACGCAAGTACAAGAGGTGCGTGTCAGCTTACCAAGGCTGGAGCCATTCAGACATGAACTCGGTGTATACCGTGGACTTGAGGACTGCGCTTTCGGATTTAAGCTATCTTGTCAGCTTCGCCTAGCTTGAGACAGCGCTACGTAGCTTACCAAAGCGAAGAGTCGAGCTGAGTACCCCATCCCGTCCACATCAATCAAATACTTGTGCCTCCAGTTCTCACCGAGCGGGACCGCATCCGCAAACCGGTGGTCCTTGCGCATCCCATCACATCCGCCCGGGTACTGCACGCATCCGACTGCCTTGGTGAATGCCACGTCCATGATATCGTTGTTGAGCTCCGCGATAGGAACGGGAGCAGCGATGAAGTTATTGGTCCCTGGCGGATCGGCAAAGACGACTGTCTTCTCCAAAGGCGAAGCATCAGATGCCATCCGGATGAATCTGACATCAGCTCCGTCGTCCCACATGGACGTACCGATGTCGCTGGTATTGCGCAAGGAAGCCTGGCGGGGTACTTCCACCACCCGTCGTCGCACCCCTCCAGAACACATCATCAATCTTCTCCTCCCACGGCACCTCCATATCATCCGTGTCCTGGATGACCATGTTGACCGGGTCCCAGCCGTACGTATACCGCTTGGTCGATGAGTAGTAGTAATGGCTCGGGATGAGGAGGTCCGAGTACCCCTTACCCTTGGCGGGCGAGAAGAGCGGGTAGAGTGCGTGGATACTGCGCCAGTCCGAAAAGAAGTGGCCTTGGTTGTAGTGCGCCCAGGGGTGGTCGCAGAAATCGTAATTGTCATCGACAGTTTCGGAGAAGGTGAAGTCTTCCGATACGGACGATGTTGCGATACCGGCTTTGGCGAGTCGGGAGACGGGCGCCTGACCCTCTTTGAGCTGGGCGCGGAGGGAGCCGAATAGCCGCCTGGCCTGAGCAGCGGGCTCGCAGGTGCGGCGATACGCCTCCCAGACGCTCCCATCGCCTCGCCAGTCTGGGACGAATTCTCCGCCGAGGACGTGCTCAATACCGACTATAAGATTAGCTGTATTCCCCAGCCGAAACTTGGGGATGCCGACTCACGCTCAGAGTCCGCTGTGATGTTCGGGAACTGCTTCTCCTCCCACGGCACCAAGATCCTCCCCTCCGCCTTCTCATTGATCGGGAAGTCCATGTTCGGAAGCCTATCCTGGAACCTCTCCAGCATAACCCGGAACCCCTTTGCTCTCGCGCCCACTTCCGCATCGTCGAATCCCTGCGAGACGTCGATCGTCCTCGTCTTGCCCTCCTCAATCCGCACCAGATCCACCGACGGCAAGTACCCGACCTGGACACAGCGCCGTCTGAGCTCTGCACCGCTCATACCCCAGAAAGGCTCCATGTCCTTGGCGAGCTGATCATACTCGTCAATGATCGTCGCTCCGTTCTCCTTCGCAAACTCGTACCACTCGTCAAACCCCTTGGGAGGACGACGTCCATACCGCCTCTCATACTCGTCGACCGCCTCCTGCAGAGTCTTGCTCTGCCGCTTGATCTTTTCGTCGAAAGCCCGACGAGCGTCGGCCATCAATTTGGGGATGGGGTGGTGAATGGGCGGACGAGGGGCCTGGGCTCGCGCGCGGAGAAAGCGAGAGCGAAGAACCGAGGGGGAGGTCCATCCTTGTGATGGGCCGAGGCGGTAGGAAGAGGGGACCAGGGCGTTGAGGAAGAGACAGCCCGTGATGGCCATAAGCGAGATCGCCAATAGGCGCATCCGCGGGGAGAGACCGCTAAGGATTGTCATTTTGCCTGAAAATGAGCGGAACTTTGGGGAGCTAGCGCGCTCGCAGAGCGTAGCAGGACCGCCTTGAGGCTAAAGATGACTAGAGAAAGCTGAAGTGAGGACAGCGGATAAGGTGCAAAAGTCAGCGCAAAGTTCCTCGGACGCGTCGGACCAAGGCGTCGTACATGTGGCGGAAGCAGATTCACCCTCCATACTGAAGATACCCTATGGATACAACCAAGATGCTACAGTACTGTACAACGATACTATGCCCAGCCTGCCCGCCTGCCCTAGCGCCGTTTCTCCTGCCTCTCCTTCTTCTCCTCCCTTTTCCTCTCTCTCTGACTGTTGAGCTGGGAGATTTTGCTCTTGACGGTGAACATTTCGCTTGAGAATTCAGCCCAAATCCAGATTGTCATTGGTCGACGTACCCATAGTCGAGGAACAACTCCTCTCCGGCAGAGATCTTCTGACCTGCAGGATCAGCAGGCTCCCTCATATGCTGATGCTAACGGGACTTATTGGTCCTGATCAAGATCCTATTCCGCCCCTGCGCTTCCACAGCTGAATGCTTAGCGCGGCACTGAAGATGATGTAGATATATTGAACTCACAGGCGGCATCGGTGTTGATCTTCCTCCTCTTAACCGCTTCTAGGCCATACACGGTGTTTATATACCGTGCGTCATTGCCCATCAGACCGGCATCGAGGGTGAAACCAAGCCATCCGACAACGTCGAAAAGGTAGTTCCTTTTTGATACGGCCTGCAGATCAGCTGATGTAGACGGAAAGTCAAGAATGCCACCAAACACACGTAGAAAAGACTAGAACGTCAGCACGGCGAAGCAAAATGGGTGCTGAGGGGAACTCACGACCTGTTGTCCGATTCAGCGTTCGGGATATGCTCGCCCGTATACTCTAAGGCATCAGCGGGCTCGATTTGTGGGCTCACCGAAAATGGGCTTATTGTTCGAGATGGGGACACGTGCAAAGAGACCATAACCGGAGGTTTTGCTAATACCGACGCGGAAATCCTGGCAGGTCAGCTATCATCGCAGTCGGACTCACCGTAGACGGCCCAAGCGGAAGTCTCTGGAGCTGCATGTTTGTGCATGTGCCGCAAGAGGGTGGTTTGGGGGATTCGGAGAGGATACTGTCCCAGTCTTCCGCTTCAGTCGAACTGTCATGATCAGCGCCGAGCAACGAGGCCGCAAATGAGAAGGTAGAACTGACGGATGGCAAAGCTCGGGGTCGCACTCTCTGCCAGCTGCTCGGCAAGGGCACGACTCTCCCCCGCAGAAGGAGGAGCGTGATGTTGCTGCCTTGCCTTTCTGGCGCACAGAGTGACAAGTGCAGCCTTTGGGAGCGGCGATCGCAACATCGTTGCTTTGAGATGGGTTTCGGGCGGGGTTCATTCGCAGCAGAGCAATCTTCCGATGCAACTCTCGTCAGCTATGCCTAGCTTATAACATACCTCGGCGCAAGAACGGCGGGGAAAAACAGTTCTGAGCGCACAGCTGTTGGTGTCGGGCAGCCAATCCAAGCACTCCTGAAGCTTGTAGACGTGAGCTTCGGGCCAGTGCTCGTGTACCAGCGGGTCTGAGGGGGCTGGCCGGCGATAGCACGACCCAGAGCATGGAGACTCGCCGACAGGATCGAAGCCGGTGAGTGGCTCGGTCGAGCGAAGTGTTGGTTGTGGCTTGACCACAGTCAATGTACCTCGAAGGTTAGCTGAGCTTGGGCGACCCGGACCAGACTTTTCGTGACTTACTGTGTAGCTGACACCCAAACGTCCTGCAATCTCGCCGAGGACACAGCCTTGCCTGGGCGTCCAGGTGAAGGCGCTCTGGATCATCGACAAAGCTTTCGGCCGCGACAGGTAAAATGCCCTGCCACGCCTTAGCACGAGAGGTGGATCCAGTGGCGTCTGTAGAGGCAGTAGGGAACGGAGGGAGGTCGCGGAGGATATCCAGATCGACGATGACGTCGCTGTGGAGCGGCAGGATCCGCGAGCGGTCGATATCCTCGCGGTCAAGACCCTTGTCCATCAGGCGCTCAAAGGTCTCCAGAGCGACAATGTCGACTACAGTCAGCTCCTCACGTGATCTGGGACTCACTATCACTCTGCCGACTTGGCTGCTCATGGAGCCAGCCCCTGCCCATATATGCCGCCGTGAGCTCATCCGCCCTATCGTTATCCTGCATGATCGCGTGAGTGAACGCCGCAAAGCGTTCAGTCTCACGGAACACGCAGGTGTCGATAGGGCGACAGAACCGGTAGGGCGGAATTGTGGCACTTGCGGGGACCAGCAAAGCGGATTGCTGAATTGCGCAGATGTCGATCTGACGTCCGTCTCCGCGCAGACGCTGCAGCTTTGCCTGGCGGACTTCCAGCTGGTGAGCAGCGGGTGCTGGAGCCGGCCGATTCGAGGAGCTGTTCTCGAGCACGGTGGCATGATGAGGATCGTACCACTGTTCGAAGTAGTCGCTGATGGCATCGTCTACTTCGGCCGATACGTTGGTGGCTGCAAGATAGCAGGGGAGAGTTTCGGTGAAATGGGGTTTGTGATTATGGTACTCGCTGTACACTTGCCGGTACGTCCGCTCGATACTGGCGTGAAGAGGATCTTGTGGGGTGCTCATGATTGTGATAGATGAGAGGAGGATATCGGCTGATGTGAGCCAGATAGATGTATAGTAGATGGAGAGGCAGTCGCTGAATTTGTTGACAAGTTGAAGTTGCTTCAACGTTGCCTCGGTCGCGTCAGCCAAAACAACTCTACGCACGGATCACGTTTCAGATATCTCAGACGCGTTAAAGTCGTTCGAGCTCCTTCAAGTACCTCATCTCTCGCTATTCTACCATGCAGACCACCGATACAGACCTCCTCTTCCAGACGGACAAGGATATCAAAGATGCGGTGCGGCGAGAAAGAAAGTTGAAAGTGACCCAAACGATCGGACGGCCGATATCCCTCTCGAGCAAGGTTCTGCGCGTGCTCGTGGACGGGGATACAGCATGGACGGCCGAGTCGGGCTGGCAGGCTAGGGCTATCGACCTCAAGGTGCGTAGAACGCAGTATATGCAGCTCTGGACCAGTAGCTGACGAGCAGACAGGGACAACCAGGCGACTATTTCGCGGACACACAGGACCGGTCACCTGCGTCGCTCTTTGCCAGGGACAAGCTGGACCTGTATTGCTGACTGGGTCATGGGACAAGACCATAAGAGTATGGGATGCCGCTGTAAGCTTTGGCTCGTGCATAGTTCGATACTGCACAAGGCATAGCTAACATATTAGACCGGAGTCTGCCTACAAACCCTCCAAGGCCATTCGGACTTTATCAAATCGCTCACTATCCTACCTGGTCCGGCCCTCCTCTCTACCTCCTCCGACCGCACCATCCGCCTGTGGGACCTCCGACCACTCAAAGACGGCGCCGAACCCAAATGCGTGCAAATCCTCCGCCAACATACTCGGCCGGTAGAGTGTGCAGCATGGCGTTCTGGTACCCCAGACTACCCCGAGTGTATCGTCTGGACCGGCGACTCGCTCGGGGTGATGAAGCAATGGGTGTATGATGAGAAGGCGGTGTCACTCCGACTGGACAAGGAGCTGAAGTCGCACGAGACGAGTGTATCCCAGTTGCGATCATGCGCTGCCGGCGTGTGGAGTGGTGAGTCTGGCTTGTACACACTACATGGGGAGATGGCTGTGCTGATCACCTAGCTTCGATGGACAATACCGCCATGCTCCATAGACTAGACGATAAGCCCATCATCCGCATCACCGAGTCCACCTATATCCGCTCCCTCCTCCCTATGGAACACGTCGACGGCGCCGAACACCTCCTCCTCACCGGCTCGGACGATGAGAACATTCGAGTCTATGATGTCGAAGATACAGAGCGGGGGCAGCCAAGGCTGCTAGCGACGGTCCCGGGGCATGCGTTCCAGGTATCGGACCTGAGCGTCTGGAGCGACGGTGAGAAGTGGGAGGTCTTGTCGACCAGTTTCGACCAGACGATCCGGAGATGGACGTTGTCAGGTGAGACGCGCGAGTGTGGACGGAGCTGACCATAGATCTGCTGCATCCAAAATCGATCCCGGAGGCGGAGGAGCCAGAAGAAGAGGATAAGAATGGGGGAATGACGGCGGAAGAGGCGAGGGAATTGGAGGAGCTGATGTCGGACACTGATTAGACATTTTAGTGCGTGATCGATGCCCAGATGGCACCTCAACATGGGTTCCGTTGCGACTACATGGATGGGGCAGCCGCCCCCACTACAGCGCCAGCCTGATTTGATCCGCAGCACAGTTTCCACTTCACACCTCTTATCTCTGAGACCACATTCCTCACTCCGGATTTCTCGGAGGATCTGCCGAAGATTGTCCGTGCGCCACCATGCCGGCAAACCTAGAAGCCTAACATTTCGACCACCGCCGGCTGGTGCGGCTTGGGCAGCTTGGCGCTCTCGACTTTTTTTTCAGCCTTCAGCGTGGTGAGACTGCTTGGAAGGGTCGTCGTTATGAATGCGATAACGATCGTTGGATAGGCTCGCTGAGACGCTCCACGGTCCGAGAATGCGGCGCGCCGACCGCATGGGCTTAGCTGAGCGAATCCCAAGCTCCGGAAAGGCTAGGGTCCAGAAGGTGATATCGGGTATACCCGGCAACTCAAAAAAGAGGTACCATGTGCTGCACGCGAGCGGAAAGAGAGATAGCGAAATTTCGGGATCGGCAGACCAAATCAGGCTAGCTAGTGACCAAGTCAGGTGGAGCGGTCTCTTGCTCCAGCTCTCTCTTGACTTTGCCATTCCACCTCCCTCTGCCCCCCCCCTCCCCTCCCCCACCGCCCATCCCACATCATGTCGCTCGCGGCTGCCCGTCGACCCACCGCTGAGAGCGATGAGCACTCGAACGAAAAGGGGCTCGCCCTCCGCCCTATCGGCGAGACCGCACCCCACCTCCTCCAGAACGACCCGCAGCGTCAAGAGTCAAACGACGATGACTCCAAGGACACATATAACGGATACAACGCAGACGTCTCGGCGGTCTCTCCCCCTCCCGAGGAGGAGCACATGCACGAGTCCGGCTTCCGAGGCCAGCTTCGGCGCCATCGTCGTCCCTTGACCCACCTCTTCATCTGCCTCCTTTCTACAGGATGGTGGATCGCCTCCCTCGTCCTCCACCGTAACGACAAAAACTGGGTCATCCCCTTTCTCCTCTGGCTCGCCATCAACCTCCGGCTCCTCACCTTCTACACTGGCGTCCGGTTCATCAGCGAGCCTCTCAAGTGGGGATGGCAGCACACTGCTGTTCCCGCTCAGAGGCTCGTTCCGGAGCGGTTCCAGACACTGGCCGGTGCGGCTATCGCCATCGCGGCTATGCTCGTCGGCGCCTTCGTCTCCGAGGAGACCGCAGACAACACTCGGGGCAACCGTGCCATCTCCATCCTTGGTCTCGCTGTCATCCTCTTCGTCTTCTGGGCTACCAGCAAGCACCGTCACGCCGTCAACTGGCGGACCGTCATCGTCGGTATGTTGTCACAGTACATCATCGGGCTCTTCGTGCTGCGCACGCAGACCGGGTACGACATCTTCAAGTTCATCGCCGACCTCGCCGGGCTGTTCCTTGGCTTTGCCAAGGACGGTGTTGCCTTCATCACCAGCAAGGAGCAAGCCAACACCCCCAACTTCTTCTGGGGTGTCATTCCTGCCATTGTCTTCTTCATCTCGGTCGTCCAGGTGAGCCGATCTGATCAGCGGGAGGGATCGAGCTGATTCTCAGGTCCTCTACTACATTGGCTTCATCCAGTGGTTCGTCCTCAAGCTCGCCGGCTTCGTCTTCTGGGCGCTCGGTGTATCCGGTGCCGAGGCCATCGTCGCTGCGGCTACCCCCTTCATTGGGCAGGGAGAGTCGGCGATGCTGGTCAGGCCCTTCGTCCCCCAAATGACCAAGGCGGAAATTCACCAGATCATGACCTGCGGTTTCGCCACCATCTCCGGCTCCGTCCTCGTCGGTTACATTGGTCTCGGTCTCAACGCCGAGGTCCTCGTTTCATCCTGCATCATGTCCATCCCGGCCTCGCTTGCCATCTCCAAGCTGCGGTACCCCGAGACCGAGGAGTCTCTTACCGCCGGCCGGACCGTCGTTCCCGAGTCTCAGGAGAAGCACGAGAACGCTCTCCACGCTTTCGCGGACGGTGCCATGCTCGGTCTCCGGATCGCCGGCAGTATCGTCGCTGCACTGCTATGCATCATCGCCCTCGTCGGACTCATCAACGGATTCCTCACCTGGGTCGGCGGTTACCTCAACATCAACGGTCCCCTCCTTACCCTACAAACCATCCTTGGCTATGCCTTCTACCCCGTCTCCTTCCTCCTTGGTGTCAGCAGGCAGGGCAATGACATCCTCTTGGTGTCGCGCCTGATCGCCGAGAAGGTCATCACCGTGAGTACTTGTATCAATATCCCTGAGATCCACCTAATCGGCAGAACGAGTACAACGCCTTCTCCGCCCTCGCGACCAGCGCGGAATACGCCGGTCTCTCCGCCCGGTCCAAGCTCATCGCGACCTACGCGTGCTGCGGTTTCGGCAACATCGGGTCCCTCGGTATCCAGATCGGTATCCTCGGTCAATTCGCCCCCAGCCGAGGCGGTGATATCTCCCGCTTGGCATTCTCGGCACTCATTGCGGGTGTCTTTGCCACCCTCACGTCGGCCTCTATCGCTGGCCTGGTCATTACCACCCAGTCGTCCAACTTTGTCGTTGCGACGTCGTAATTGCGGATGGGGAAAATGGGCAGGACGGGGTAGAAAAGGGCGGAGGAAGGTCTTTGGGGGAAGAGGGGAGGACTTGGGAAGATCTTTTTGGGGAGTGGAGAATGTTCACCTCTGCTGGTGATGCTGAGTTTGTAACCGGTTGATGCATACACAGTTGCTTGCTTTATGCTCAAGTCACAGTTGAGACGCACCATCGAGCGCACGAATGCCACTCTCGCCTCAACCCGGCGGATCGGTGTATGTTTCACCGTGTTTCACCGAGCGAGCCTGGTCCCATTTGGGATCTGGCGTTCGCCGGAACGTTGAGTCATCTTCTATCCACTTCTTTACCTCTCCGTCGCGGTCACAACCAATCTACACTGCCTCCACCATGCCGACCGCTGCCGACCTCCCCTCCTCGTCCCTTGGACGCACGCCGACCACCTACGCGGACCCCGAGTTTATCCTGTACGACCTCTGGTCACCGGAGCTCCAGGTCTGCTACAACACGGAGATCCTCTACGTGCGCGCCGTACTCAACTACAAGAGGATTCCATACGAGACAGTGCTGCTGGAGCATCATGAAGTCGAGGCCTACTTCTCCCAGCGGTGAGTGGACGGTCAAAGCTGCCTCCCCAACTTGAGCTGACCTTTTTAGGCGCATACGATTTTACCCCGGCAAGCCTACGGACAGCGCCTACCTGTCGCGCATGACCTGCTTCTCCTCCTTACCCGTCGTCCAGCACGTCCCGAGCCGGCGGCATATCGTCGGCAGATCGAAAATCGTCCAGTACCTCTGCACACAGTATCCTTCGGCCCCTCGGCTGGAAGGCTCTTCTCCGAGCTCCACCGTCACACAACCTTGGAACAGCGCGCTTTCGTTGATCCTTCGGCATTTCATCTTTCCCCGCGAGATCCTCTTCCTGTCCCCCCAAGCTGCACTAGCTTTGCGCCGTTACCGCGACAACCAAAACGAAACTCTCCTCGAGAGTAAACTCTGGGACGACGATTACCTTTGGGAGTCCATCCGCCAACACCTTGGCGATTACAACAAGGCGTTGGGGAAGCGTGCCCTCGCCGGACAGCCCTATCTCTCCACCTCCGGTATTCATCCGAGCGGCGCAGATCTCGACACTGCAGCGGATCTCCATCAGATATTCGTCTTCGACCGCAACGCCGTCGCTCAAATTCAACGCTACCCTTATATCTGGAACCTATACCTTTCGATGGAAGCGTTTGTGAGGGAGCGAAGGGAAGGCGAGCCGGGTGCGAAGAGAGTGAGGGCCTCCTTGAAGTCGGACATGAAGTGAGTACCACTCCATACCTTGGATAAAGAGCGGCTGTGATCTTGAACATATCGTAGCTGACTTACCAGTGCAATGTCACTACCCAGATCCACTACTCCGGAGGGAAGTCCGCCAAGCATGATGCTGAAGGAGTAAAGGTGGTGCGTGGATGGCAGGAGTCTGGGCGGGGCGGGGGGTAGCTGAGAAGGCTGGATGAGATAGATACGGGGCGAAGAAGGGGAGTAGGGGTGGCGGGCTCAGAGGAGCATGGAGAGGCAGACGGCGCCAAAAGCGCGGAAGTGGCTCGTCGGGGTCGGGCTGGGGGTAGGGGAAAAAAATGACGCTTGACGTTCGTAGCAGTGACTTGTTGTACCCCTCTGCATACATTGTATTGTTCGCGCTCTGGAGTCTGGATGCGATCGGGCGCGTGTCAGAGCAATTCCAATTCCCGAGGGGCCCAAAGGAGGGCTCGAATTGCCGTCCGCGCGGCATTAATGGCAGCTTGACGACCACGACTGTCGTTTAGGTCTGAACGATCATCTCATCATCAAGCAAGATGGCACAACCACATTCTTTGACTCCTGATCCTGACTCATCCTGCGCAATATGCCTTCGCTGCCACCACAGACACACCGCTCTACGCCCCGGCGTATAGGATCAGCGGATGACGCGTGTTTCAAGATGTTTCACCTGATCAGCCTCGCTCTCGTCAACTTCCGGGCACTCCCCTCCAGCTGGCACCCTCCATCTCCGCACCCGATCTCCAGCCTGACATGACCGACACCACCGACTCTCATGGTACGAGCATACGACCTGGCGCGCCACCTGATCCCGAGGTGGTTCTTTTCGATATGCGGTCCCCTACCCTCAAGGTCTGCTTCGTATCGACCATCCTGACGGTCCGATGCTTGCTCAATTACAAGAAGGTCCGCTATCATACGGTCTTCATGGAGTACCACGAGGCGGAGAAGAAGCTCAGGCATATGTGAGTGTCCGGTATCTATTGGGAGCAGCGCTGATGTCCAGTGGTCGTGGAAACCCAGTCCCATCATCAGCGCCTCGATCTCGGCTCGTTCTTCCCGCCTTACACCACATTCCCACCGCCCAACTCATCATCGGCGCCCCAGCCATCATCCACTTCCTCCAGCGCCAGTACCCTGATCCTCCGCTCGCCCCTTCGGACCCCGAACTCCGGGAGCAATGGATGCAGGCGTACTATCCTATCAGCGACCAATTCGTCATCTCCCGCGAGCTCCTCCATCTCTCCCACAAGTCCGCACGACTCATACGGATCCACCGGGAACAGGAGCTCGGTTTCCCCCTCGAGCGCCTTCTCAGGGAGGACGAGGCGGTCTGGCTGGAAGCCGGCCAGGAATTGCGGGAGTTCGGAGACGAGCTCAAGCGGAGACACCACCGCAGACGGTACCTATTCAGCGGTGACCACCCGAGTCTGTTCGAATTTGCAGCGGCGGCGGAGATGCACCAGCTGAGGCTTTTCAGCCCGGAGGCGTTCGAGCGGCTCAAGGGGTACCCTGGGTTCTGGAATGTGTACCTCGCGGTGGAGGAGTTCACCAAGGGGCGGACGTGAGCTGGAGGAAGGGGCATGGGTGGCTGGCGAGAGAGCAGTGAGTGAGGCCCACCAGCCGGTGCTGGGGTATGCTGCGGATACCGCTGATGCCCCAGGGTTGATCGAGCAGAGAGAGCGTTGGGCTCAGTGAGAGTCTAGGTAGCTTGTATCATATCTGCATGTAGGACACGTGTCTTACAGCGTCGACTATACTTTCCCCGATCGGTTCGACTCATCTACGACAGAGCTTGTTATACTTCTGATATTCTTCTCCACACTTCTTCGCCTTGTCTTTGATCCCCATCCGCTTCATAGCTTACTCGTCTGTACTGGTCAGCTGTTGCCCGAGCTACGTTTCGAAATCAAAGAGAACACACCCTTGGTATCGTAAGACGAGTCGATAGCGCCCATGAGCAGCTTGACGAGCCACAACTCGGGACTGAGGTCGACACCCTACTCGGTCAGCTCTGCCTCCGCCTTGCCAAAACGGGTATCAGCCAACTCACAGACTTGCGCATCATCTCTTCCTGCTCCAACTCAAAGTTGGACGTGCAGTCGACGAGACCACCGATAGTTGGGTGGTTGTCCAGCTCCTCGAGGAAACGTGTCGCCTTCTGGTCATTTCCAACCTGGGCGAATTCTGCTCATCAGCAGTGGCTCGTTGAACGTCATCACAGATGCTGAACTTACGGTATGAGATCGCGTCGGGACCGTAGCGGGTCCTTCTGAGCTCGGCGTCTGTGCGCTGGATGACACTAAAGATTTCGTCCTTGTTCTCGCCGGCGGGGGTTCCGTCCGTGATGGCGATGATGAGGACGGGCTTCTGGAGCGCGTTGGCGCGGGCAGGGCCGAGCACAAGAGGCTGGATGACCTTGTTCCACATACCGGTACCGAGAGGGGTCAGACCTGACGCGTCAGCTAAAGTTCGGTGTATGTGGAGGGGCCTTGGAGCTTACCAGAGAACTTAATCTGCTGGACGAGCTGGAGCGCAGCCTGCTCGGAAGCAATGTTGTTGCCCTCAAGACGGTTGTTCATGAACCTGACCTGGATACCATCGTGGTCGAAGAGCGAGGTAGCGTAGGCGACACGCGAGAGAATACTGGCTAGTCAGCTCAATAATACAGAGGCCGTCTTGAAGACCAGCTTACAGCTTGAGATCGTCGATACGCTCTCCGCCCTCCTCGAATGCCATACTTCCCGAGTCGTCAATGTAGAGCACGACGTCGAAGAGACTGAGCTTGACCAGGTCGGACGCGAGCTCAAGGGGCATGCGCCATTCGCTGGCGATCTTGGCGAGCGCGCCAGAGCTGGCGACCTTGGCGGCGATTTGATCGAGCGATCCAGGAGGGTAGAAGGCCTGGATGTTTTGCTGCGGTGTCAAATGCGCCCCGCTTTGTATTCAGGTGAAGATGAGATGTGCTTACGTCCTGCACACACTGCTGCAAGATACCGACGAGGAACCTGGGGTCGGCAGTCTGACCACCGCCCGACGCACCACCCGCGGGAGGGCCGTTGTACGAAGGGGGCTGTTGGCCGTACTGCTGGCTCGGGAGCTGGCCCTGACCTTGGCCTGGGGGAGCACCGGGGGGCGCGCCATACTGTCCCTGCTGGCCTGATACGTCAACAAAGTCTTCTCTCTCGAGCGCGGCCGTATAGCTCACCCTGCTGCTGGCCGTACTGACCCGGCTGCTGGCCGTGCTGGGGCTGCTGGCCGTACTGCTGCTGCTGGCCCTGAGGGGGTTGACCGTACTGGCCTGGGGAATCAGCCTAATGCTCCCCGAAGATCATACATTGTGAACATACCTTGCTGGCCCTGCTGGCCCTGCTGGCCGTACTGACCTTGCTGGCCTTGTTGACCAGGGGGAGGGGGAGCACCTGGAGGAGCACCGTACTGCCCAGACTGAGGCCTGGAAGTCAGCATGAGCTCTGTCTATTTTCGATCCGCCTCGCTCGCTCCTCCTGATCCCATCACGTCGGTGTGTGGTTCGATACACATCAAGTGTGTCGCCACCGACCCCAGTTCCCCACTCTCGTCGAACATTCCCACCCTACACATTTCACATCGTGCATTCCTGCCGGGATGTCAAAACATACCTGTTGGGCGGAGCACCTGGAGGCGCACCATACTGCTGGCTCTGGCCCTGAGGCTGGCCATACTGCTGTTGCTGCTGCTGAGGGGGCTGACCGTACTGCTGCTGTTGCTGCTGGGGAGGTGGGGGCGCGCCGCCGGGAGCTGCGCCGGGAGCACCACCTGCGGATTGTGCGGCTTGGAGTTTAGAAGCGAGACCCATTATTGCGATTCGTTGATTTGGTAGTAAGAAGTAATGTGTAAGGTGTAGACGATGTATAGAGTGAAGAGAGAGCTGGGCGATTGCGGTGCGAGCACTAGAGCCGAAGAGAGCTCGGCCGGCCAGCCTTCCGCCAAGCTCTTATGACGAGGGACAACAAGAACCGCTTGTTGCCGAGAGGAGCAATTCTGACTTTGATTAGCCGAGCCGCCGGACATCGCCGACTCCCGAGAGGATGACGCAAGGGGTCCCTTGCCGGATAAAAAGCTTAAAGGTATGCACAGGGAAAAGTCTATTTTCTAATAAGGGATATATACTTCCGCTAATGCCCTGATGACCTGATCTAATACGTACGTTGGCAACAACAAACCTCTTCAGTCGACCATCCCATCTCCCTCCTCTATCTCTGTCTCTGTCTCTCCCCCTGCTCCATCTCTCTTAACGCCTTACGACTCACGCTCTTCACGATCATATCATCAGTCACGGTCAACGCATAACGAGCACTCCCACAATACTGCATAGATAGACATACTCAATCGCTTTCCTCTTCTCCCCCCACATTTTCTTGCCTTGTCAAAAAATCACTGCCCTCTTGACGACGATCCCGGTCTCACTACGAAACGATCTACATCCACCCACCCACCTCACAGTCATTACGATACCCAGCCCCGCCATCCATTCGGACCACCCTCACCCACGCGCCAAGTACACATACACACCATGTCATCGCACCAAACAAGCAACCTCTCTACCTCTCCGCAATCCCCTGTGGGCCATCATCCGTTCCACCATCCTTCGTCATCGCCGCCTTTGCCAAATATCCACTCGCTCAATATCTCGTCGTACGGCCAGCAGCAGCACTACGCGCAGCCGGGCATCCCTCAGTCCCCGGGCGTGCACGGAAACGGCGCGCCGGATTATCGGTACAACGGCGTGTTTGGTCCGCCAGCTGGCTCGCCGCCTACGCAGAGCCAGGGCTGGGGCAACGACAAACGAGGGAGCAGGTCGGGATTACCGACAGTGAGCTCACCACGCCTTCGCTTCGAGTACTTGGCTGACAGTCAGAACTGGTACGATCCTCCTGCGCCGTTTGACGCGTATCGTCAATCGTCACCGGCACTCTCCCCTCCTACTTCCTCTTCTTCGGGCCCTTCTTCGGCCTCTGCTCACCCGTACCACCATCAGCCTCCTCCCTACCCCGACTACGCGATGGGCGCCATCGGCCTCGTCAACACCCCCTCCCCGCCCCCGATGGGGTTCATGGGCATGTCAGTGGCCAACTCTGCGCCGAACCTGCACAGCATCCACTCTGGCATGCCTGTATTCGGCTCGCAGAGTCTCGCAAACCTCTCGAGGGGCCCTGCGGGCTGGCGCAACTCGTACACCCCTCCCAACGCCCCGGCGGACGACGATGTCATCCCTACCGCCATCGTCATCAAGAACATCCCATTCCAGATCCCGCGCGAGGGATTGTTGTCCATCATTGAGTCTCTCGGCGCGCCGCTTCCGTACGCGTTCAACTACCACCATGACTCGGGCGTCTTTAGGGGATTGGCATTCGCCAATTTCCGCCAGTCGGACGAGGCGGCGGCAGTGGTGGCTGCGCTGAATGGGTATGACGTGCAGGGACGCAAGTTGAGGGTTGAGTACAAGAAGGTGCTTCAGCCGGGGGAGAAGGACCGGATCGAGAGGGAGAAGGCGTTGAAGCGGATGAGGAGTGTTCAGGGGTTCGACAAGGTCAATATCGAGATGCCGCCCCCTCTGCCGTCCCTGCGGTCGATGAACGGCTTCGCGCAGCCCACACCTCCACCGGCACCACCTATGGACTCGCCTCCCCACTCGGCCGTCTCCACCTCTACGTCCTCGGAAAATCTCCCTACCTCGCTCGACATGAACGATCCTGCGGCGCTAGAGATCTACTCGCGCTGCCTCCTCTTCAAGGAGGATCGGATGCGGGACGAGCTGTCCTTCTCGCGCGGCTTGTCTGCCCACGAGCGGCGCGTCGTCCACCTCGTCGCGCAAAGGCTTGGCCTCAGCAGCGGGACCAAGGACGGGGACGACAGCCAAGGCAAATCCGTCGTTGTCACGCGTATTGAAGCGCCTCGTCCAGCCCTCACTTCCTCGGCGTCCGCGTCGACCGCCATCTCTAGCACCTACCTTTCCCCCTACGGCTCGGAATACTATCACCCCGGTCAACAAGCTACCCCTACCTCGGTCTCCCCCCATCTGCGGATCAAAAAGTCCATGCCGGATCTTCGCGGATTCAACTCGTCCCTCTACCGCGACCCCTCCAAGTCCCTCTCCACGCAGCGCAGCTCGGGCAATCTCCGCGAGGCCAACCGCGAGTACGTTTCTATGGGCGCCTCGGCGGGTCGGCGCGCAGGCAGCGGAGTCAGCGGAGGCGCATTCGGTTTCCTCGGGGATATGGCCCCGCCTCCGGTGCCTCCCATGCCGAGCGGGATGGGCGGACACCGGTCTACCTTGTCTGTCAATGACGAGACGATGTCTAGCTCTATGCCGAGCCGACACCCGCGCGGTCCGGCCGGCGAGTCGAGGGGTTTCCAAGGTGGATTGGGGGAGAGTGCGCCGATAGGTCGAGGATTGAGGACGAGCGCGAGCGCGGCGGTCATGCGGAGTAATGGGTTTGGTGGGCTTGGGAGAGGGGTTCGGGAGGAGGATGAAGGGGAGGTCCGGGAGGAGGCGGTGCGTACGAGGGAGAGCCTGGATTTGTAGGTCTGTTGGGATATGGGTAGACTGTGTGTATCATTCGGTGTAGGGCTTGGAAGGGGGTTTCGTCATGCATGGAATCTTGGGTCATCTTGTATCCCTGGCGTTGTTACTGCCACTCTGCCATCTGCCACTAGCTGCCACTCTGTCATGCCTGCTGCTGGTCCGATGGAAGGGTCTCGGCCTTCGCCAGCGCATCTTGTCTGGTATGCCGTGATTGTCGCTCAGGCACAGGAACGGGCACGCACGGGCGAGCATCAGGGGGAAAGTTTAAAAAAAGGCGGCGCGTTCCCGGCTTACAGTCAGTGACAACGACGATGATGAGCAAGGGGATCTGGACTGGACTTCTGGGTGGTTGATGATCAAATCCACAGATCCACGTTGATAGAAAAGTCGGTGTGGTAGTAGCACTCGTATACGACCCGACCAGCCCATCACTTTGCCCACAGCATCTCAGTCTGCGCTCGGAATCGATTAACTCATCTTGTCTAGTCTCCGAACAGGGTGAGTTGATGAAGCCGTGTGATGTCTACCGTGGGTGCTTTACTGATGAAATAGGCTGTCGCCTCTCTCCTCTCCCCGCCGAGGATCCCCATCCATCATGTCCTCCCCTCTTGCGTCTCCACGATCATCCACCTCCTCGACCGAGATGCACACCTCGGAACCCCCTCTTACGCCCATGTCCGAGGTGGGTCTGGAGAAGGCGACCGAAAGCCTGATCCTGCGAGATCACGACATGGATGAGGAGGTCGTCTCTATCCCATCACCTGCGGGCGGGCGAGGCAAGGAGGCGGTCATCAAGCCTATAACGCAGGGCCGGCAGGCGTATAGGACCCGCCCGGATTCGCGGGAGACTGCCCATGATCAATTCGCGGGGTTCTCATTTGGCGGACCCCCATCACTTGAGCAACCCATCGGCCAGAACCACGCCTATGCGGACGAGATAGCTCCGTCTCCCGTCATGGGCAGCCATGGTCCATCGCCCCTCGCAGCGCTCCCCATCCCTTCATCCCGCGGACCTCGGAGGTCCCCTAGTCCCCCTCTGCCCTCCGCATCCTTCTCCTTCGGCTCCTGCCCCTCCATGCCCCTCGCTAGCACCCCTACGGCGGAACTCGGCGCCTTCGAGTACCCGGACAACGAGTATGGCCAACCTCACCCTGACCGCCCTCTCCCTTCCGCTTTACAGTCTACGGGCATGCGCGCCTCTGACTCAACATCCTCCACTTCCAGCTTCTCCTCCACCTCGTCCTCCTTCTCCCGGGGCTCAGCATCATCTATCCGCGGGTCGGTCCCCCTCGGTCTGGCGCTCGGCGAATCTCACCGCCGGAACAGCATCATCTCGCGTCCAACTCTGCACACTGCCCCCTCTTCCTCATACACGAGATACAGCTCTTCCTCTACCTCGGGCTATCCTAGTATGCCACAGACAAGGCGAAGTTCCACTACCTCCACAATCACCACTATCCCCTCTGCTGGTCGAAGACCAAGCATCATCCACTCTTCTACCACTGAGTTGGGCTCAACAGTCCCGCTACCTAGCATCCCCTCCGCCTACCCCGGCGCCCCTGACGAGCCCTCGTCATTCACCTCCACTACCGCCCCGTCTACGCCGTACAACGTCAATAAACGGCGTGACTCTATCCTCTTCACCCCAAAACACCTGCATCAGCCCATCCCACCCTCCCTACTCGCCCGGAGAGGTTCTATGCCCGTCGCAGCCCTCGAGGGGAACGTACCTGGCTCGAGTCCTCGCCGGGCCTTCAATTCCCGCTCGAGCATCTCGATTCCGGTAGCGGGCTACGGTGCCGCCGGGCAGATAACGAGTCATCGGCTGTACCATCGGCGAGAGAGCGTGCTTAGTGTGGGCTCGAGTCAGGGGAGCGGAAGTACCGTGCGTGCACCGGGGGAAGAGGTGTCGAGGCGGTCTAGTCTGAGGGAGACGGGAAGAAGAGCTGGCAGCAGAGAAGTCGGAAGAAGAGAAAGCGCAGCAACGGAGACTGCGGAAGCGAAGGGCTCGGCGGAAGAGGAGCAGGAGAGAAGAGGGAGTGGTGGGCTCGCGAGGAGGGCGAGTATGCCCATACATCACGCGCTGTCGTCGACGACGCGAGTGCAGGCACAACAGGCGTATCGATTTGGTGCCGGTGGGAGTGGGCCACTCTCAGCATCGGACGCTTTGTCGAGCTCTCCGTCTTCGGCATCTCGGTCGACTCTCCCTCCGTCGAGCTATAATTCCCCCTCACGTCGGTCGAAAGCTTTACAATCAGGAGCACCGACATCGGATCTCGGTGTACCGGGATCAAGGCGAGAATCACATTCCGGACCCGAAGCCGAGCACACTCGGAGGTGGACACCTAGACCTAGTCTGTCCGGACGGACCCTGTCGAGCTCGGAAGAGTCGGACGAGAGCGGGGAAGGTGCGAGCGATGGTCTGGTCGATGGGAGGGAGAAGAATGCACAAAGCGGGGAGGGCGTATTGTTCTCGGACCCATTCTTGGGGTCCAGGCAGACTTCAGCGAAGGGGGAGGGCGACGGGGCGGATACCGAGGAGCAGGCGGATCTGGGGAGAAGGGACTCGTTGGCGCACAGAGGGAGGCCAACTCTGGAGACTGTGGATTCGGACCAGACTGAGAGGGGATGAGGGGGGATTTCCAGGCTCACAGAGGACAGTATTTAGCATGGGTATAATGGGTCTTTGCGTGCGGCGGAGGCGAATTGCAACTTATCAGTATATCTACATCTAGGTCTGCATCTATTTAGCATCTTGTATTATCGCGAGTCGGATTGATAGGATCATAGCCTCGCACTGCAAACCGAGTGGGGCAAAGTGGGGAACGCCGATGACGTACGTCCCAAGACATTCGCCACCCAACTCGTTGAAAAGACCTCGCGCACCGCCCTCGCAGTCTTTGACAGGTATCTTCTAGACGAGATTGTGACTCTCAGGAGACGGCAGCGTAACGACTGAGGACAGAGGGTCGCTCATTACTGGCCACATTCTCCCTTCAACCGATCGATGCTCTCCCGCCTGCTGCCCTTCCTTTTGGCGACCACGACTGCTATTCTCGCGCAGACCGATCGGGCAAAGTATCTCGCCTCGGGCGATACTATCCGGGGCGTCAATCTCGGCGGGTGGCTATTGACTGAAAGATGGTACGCTCATGCTCCACCTGCTGTGCATGATGATGAAGCTGAGTCAATAGGATTACACCCTCGGTGTACAGAGGAACGGGCGCATATGACGAATGGCACCTTTGCGCTTCGTTAGGCAGATCAAGCTGTCGCAGCCTGCTCGAGCGGCATTGGGAGTGAGTCTGGTACCCAGAGTCTAGGCTACCGGAGCTGATGATGTAGTTCGTTCTATACCTACGACGATCTGGCGGACATCAAAGCGGCCGGGCTCAATTCACTACGCATACCAGTGGGATACTGGGCGGTAGATCTAGCTGACTATGAGCCATATACCAATGGCCAAGTGAGTCCTCCCATTATGTAACGCATCTGGGCCATGGCTGACGGGCAGTATCCCTACCTGGTCCGCCTAATACTCTGGGCTAAGATGCTCGGCCTCTCAGCGTCGATCGACCTCCACGGCCTCCCTGGTTCTCAGAACGGGCAGGACAATTCGGGATTGACGGGCGGAGTATACTTTGCGGCGAACAGCAGTAATACGGATCGAGGACTCCAGGTGCTTGGGAATCTGTCGAGGGAATTTTCGGGGGATCAGTATGGCGGAGTCGTGAAGAGTGCGTACCCTAGGTCCGCAACCGGTAGGGGGTCCCCGCTGATTGTTAGGTATCGAACTCATGAATGAGCCCAGAATAGGAGGGTCCAGTTCTTTCTCGATGGATCAGCTCAAGGCATTCTATACAGCCGGGATCAAGACGGTGCGCGATTCTAGCGGGGGCAAGCTGAGCGCGACGATACATGGTGAGCCCCATTCTTCCCTACCCTCTGCGCTCAAAATTGACCCCGTAGATGCCTTCTATGGACCGTCATACTGGAGGTACTACGACCCTACCTCCACTACCGCCTCTTCTCCTGTCAACTACGTCGCTATAGATACACATCAATACTATGCCTTCCCGCCCCTCCAGAACCTCACCCAGTCGGTCATCCTGCAGTCGGTCTGCAATATCTCAAAGATCCTCAAGGGGACGAGCGGGATTCCGCGCATCAATGTCGGCGAGTGGAGCTTGGAGACTGGTATGTCGATTCACAAGTGTGGCTTGTCAGTCCTGTTCTTAAAGCTGACCCGATAGGTAACGCGCACGAAACAACCTCAACGACCTACGCGAACTCGCAGGAGAAACGGACGTGGTTGCGGAAACTGTTCGAAGCGCAGCTTGCGGCTTATACCCCGAATGGCCCAAATCAGCCCTCTGGTGGATGGTATTACTGGACATGTGAGCCCCTTTTATCATCCTATATGAGCTAATTTGCTGATCAAGCAGGGAAAACGGAGAACGACATCGATACCTGGTCATACCGTCGTGGAGTGTGGGACGGGTATATTCCCAAAGACGTCTCGAACGCCTCTACTCTGGCATTCCCGCTCAGATCGGATGGGTGCATCGATGATACGTTTGCGTACCAGGCGCCTTCGAGACCTGGGAGTGCGCGCGCAGCTAGAAGATGGATAGGGTGGGCAGGGACTACGGCGGTTGGACTGGCGGTGGCGGCGATTTGTGTGATGTGATCTGAGTGAGCATACGTAGTGGACTAGATCGTAGATGACATTTTGTTGTATCCATTGGCAGCTGCAACACTCCCCGTCATACGTGAAGTAGCTTGATCAGATCAGAGAAGCAAAAGTCATGGTTGTACATGATGGATGCGCGTCAAAGACGGCCTAATAACTTATTCACATAATGAGCGGGGGAGGGACAGTCCTGCCGAGAACTTAGTCCTCCTCGCCGTGGCCGTTGGGCAGGGATCGGAATCGGCAGCTATCGCCACTGGAAACATCAGCTCGCTGATCTCTGCAGAGGATATCGAGTCATGACTCACAATTTGCAAGAATCGCCGCGAGGGCAGAAATGACTAGCACGTCAGCCCAAAGTTTCAAAGCGGAAAATGAGGACGTACCCATAGACACACTCCTCTTCAGAGTAGTGACACTTGTTGTTTCGGATGTATGGGCAGACCATCTCTTTGGCGAGCCGGCGGAGGTCGTCTATCTCCTCGTCATTCAGGTCTGACCGACATCAGCGGAGCTCAACATTTGACGACGTGTAAACACTCACTATAATCATGCGAATAGTCACAGTTCTCGCCCGCCTTACAGCCCCTATCGGATAAATAATACCTACCGGAGTCAGCTCTGTAGCCTGCATATATCAGACAGATCAGCTCACGTATGGCAAGGCCTCGGATCAAGCGTCCTGACCGAGTATCCCTTCGACTTGCCATTCGCCGCAAACTTCTTCTTCTTGTTTACCTTAGTATCATTATGGTTGTCCTTCTTGGCCGGAGTAGGCTTCTTGGCGACCTCCTTCCACTCCAGTACCTCCACACTCCCAGCGGCGGAGCTACGATCATCGTCGTCCGTCATGTTCAACTTGGACTTGGACTTTTGGGCAGGAGGCGGCTTCTTGGGTGCCGAGGCGGGCGTAGGGGGCGCGGCGGCGATAGATGAGAATGAGAGCGGGACCTTTGTCGTACGGAAGAGATCGGGGATGACGACTACTCGAGACATGTATTGGCGGAGCTGGCCGGCGAGGTCGGTGTAGCCCTTGAGCAGGAGAAGCTTCGATAGGCGGTTCTCGGTTTGGAGGCTGGTACGTCAGCTGAGCCCCGAGGTCGTACGTAGTGTAGCTCACGAAGACAGAATATTGGCATAACCGTTATCGTGCGAAGCCCCGAGAACGATCATCTCGCACTGCGGGCTCCTAGCGTACAGCCTGAGATGTTCTATTGGTCAGCTAGGAACGGGCGGCTGGTAGAAAGGCAGACGTGCCCCTGATCTTAGCGTCGGCAGCCTCCTTGCCAGGTCCAACATCGATGACTGCGACGTAAGCAAAGTCCCTATCTTAGTACAGTTTGTAGCGCACTAGAGATGAGCTCGTGAGCGGCACTGAGGCCCTCGAAGAAGCTATTGTAACCTTTCCAATCGGGGACTATCTTTGCCTGGCTCTCGTCAGCAGGTCTCTGTATGTCCGATGGCTGATAGCTTACGTTAATGAGGACTTGACCAAGACCAGCCTTATTCAAGAAGACATTGATCATCGCCGTGCCGATCTCCCTAGCCGGAGCAGCCTCGATCTCTGCGGCATCGAGGGTGACGTCCGCGCCGAAATGCTTCGAGGTCGGTGAGATCTGGGCGTGGCTGAGCATATGGGACAGGGACGAGCGAAGCTTTCGAGCTGCGTTGAGACCGCCCTTGTAGCCTGCTTGGAGGAGGGCATCTTGGAACTGGTCGTCAGCTCAAGCAACTGAAGAGATCGGTTGATTCACGATGAGACCATCGCCATCGATCAGGACAACGGAGAAGGAGGCGGCGAACTGCTCATCAGCCCAAGTCACTTCATGTCCTGCAGATCCAACTCACCTGCTTTGCGTCTCCCGCAGCCTTGTTCGACTCCATCTTGTCGCGATACTCTAGCACCGCCTGCTCTATTCCCTTCTTCTCCTCTCCGACCTTGGCCCACTCGTTCTTCCACATCTCCGCCTCCTTCTTGAGCTTCTCCACTTCTTCAGCGGCGCGGGCCATAGGACCGATCAGCCCCTGGAGGGAAGCGAGGTGAGACATCGCCTGCGTGGCGGCGTGTCCCATCGGTGCGACCGGTCCCTGGATCTGCTGGGTTGCTTGAGGCGGACGGTAGGCGTTATCGGTGGCAGTAGGGAAGAGCGGAGCCGTCCTAGGCCCTTCCTGAGGCGTTCCATACTTCATGTCGAAGGCACCACCTGGCCCCGACTCGAGACCCCGGCCCGATCGGCCCCAGTCATCCCATATGCTACCGACGGATTCGGGGACGCCGTATTCGGTGACGCCATTAGTCTGGTTGAGACGAGTGCGGGCGAGGAGATTGGTGAGACCCAGATCATCGACTTTGCGAGTCTGAGTATACATAGTCGTAGGCTGACCAATGGCGCCTGGGCCGGGCGAGCCGGGGACACCGAATCCGAGGTGTGGGTGAGGTGAGTCCATCGCGAGATCGTCGTCGTCTACGAGGCCGGCTGTAACAAAGAGGGTATCAGTAAAGCCCATCATGGTCGGAACGAGTAAAAGACGAGGGGTTGGAGTACTCACGGTCCCTCTTCTATACTTGGCTGACGCTATGATCGCTGGGCAGCGAGACCGCCGCCCTGGAAGATCCTTTCACGAGCTATGAAAGGTACAGCTGAAGGGAGATGTGGGTTATGGGGCGGTGGCAGGGGTCAAGATGACGAAAGGAGCAGATGTGGCTATTCCCAAGGAGATATGCGATGATAGGATGCGTGTAGATGTATGTGGACAATGGGTGAGATGGATGGTATGAAGATGGTAAGCACCTCGAGGCCGCAAAATTCGGTCAGCTTCCATATCCGTGCGTGGTCAAAATGACCGTGTTTCAGATTCGACCCCCCACTTCATCACATACTGTCAGGCTGCAGATTTCTCCGTCTGGCAGCGGACACGACTGTAACAGAGGTGGAGAGTCTTGCTGGGGGGCTGCCAGAGTATTCATCGCGGAAATGCTCTGCGCGAGGACATGTCTGAAACAGAGCACCCTCCACGGGCGTTCGCAGCTAGGTCAACGGTATAGCAGGGACCTGGTCAAGCTTGACCTCAGAGCCGCTCCATGAAGCCCTTACTGCTCTGTCTGCCGGCTCACACCACTTGTGTGAAGGCATGAGCAGCATTTCCGTCACAGCAAGCAGTCTATGGTCAGCATCAGAGTCTGCAGAATGCCACGAACCGGATGTATGACGTATTGCCGGTATGACCGGTACCGGGCCGGCGGGCAAGCCAGCCTCATCAGCTGCCTTCTTGCTCCCTTTGTCCACCATTCACCTTCCCCTCGATGCAGCACCTTTCCATCGATATCTGCTTCACCGAGCCAGCATCTCCCTCATCCATCACAGCCAGCAGCATGCCGGAGCTCACTCCCAAAACAGAGTCCACCAGCTCCGCTCGTCCCGCTTGGCCTGCCATCAAAGGGCTCGGATTCGGCGGGGACTACAATCCTGAGCAATGGCCGCGCTCGGTCTGGGAGGAAGACATGAGGCTCATGAAGGCGGCGGGAGTCAATGTCGTCTCCGTCGCAATCTTCTCGTGGGCTTTGCTGCAGCCCACAGAGGATACGTGGGACTTCAAATGGCTCGACGAGATCATCGATCTCTTGCATGAGAACGGCATCGCGGTCGATCTGGCTACTGCCACGGCCTCCCCACCTCCTTGGCTCACCATCAAACATCCGGAAATCCTCCCTGTCACGTCTGACGGCAAGGTGCTCAACCAAGGCGGTCGGCAGCACTGGCGTCCTACCTCCCCCATCTACCGCAAGTACGCCATGGGCATCGTCCGCAAATTGGCGGAACGGTACGGATCCCACCCCGCCGTCGTAGCTTGGCACGTCAACAACGAGCTGGGATGCCACAATCACTTTGACTACTCGTCAGACGCGGCGGCGGCGTTCAGGGTGTTTCTGAAGAAGCGGTATGGAAAGGTGGAGAAGTTGAATGACGCGTGGGGGACGGCCTTCTGGTCGCAGCACTACTCTACCTTTGACGACATCCTACCTCCTGTCCTCGCCACTACCTTCCCTAATCCGGGCCAGCAGCTGGACTGGCGACGCTTCTCCTCCACCGCGCTCAAAGAGTGGTACATCGCCGAGCGGGAAATCCTCCATTCCATCACGCCGGACATTCCCGTCACCACCAACTTTATGATCATGGGGGATCAGAAGGACCGGGACTACTCGGACTGGGCGGGAGAGCTCGACTTTGTCTCGAATGACCACTACGTCACCCACCCTCTTTACGGTCGAGACGAGCTCAGCTTTTCGGCGAGCTTTACCAGCGGGGTCAGCGGCCGCATGCCCTGGTTCCTCATGGAGCACTCTACCAGCGCGGTCAACTGGCAAGCCATCAACGTGCCCAAACGGTCCGGCGAGATCGCGCGGGATTCGCTCTCCCACGTCGCGCACGGAGCGGACGCGGTCTGCTATTTCCAGTGGCGGCAGTCCAGGGCGGGCGCGGAAAAGTACCACTCGTCGATGGTGCCGCATGCGGGGGAGGACAGTCAGGTGTTCAGGGATGTCTGCAAGTTGGGGCAGAATCTCAAGGATTTGGAGGAGATCAAGGGGTCCAAGAAGGAGCCGGCGCACGTGGCGATTGTGCTCGACTATGAGTCGTGGTGGGTGTCTGAGCTGGACTCCCACCCGTCCACTCTGCTCAAATACCACCAAGAGGCGCTCGACTGGTTCGTCGCCCTCATCAATCTCGGGGTGAGGGTGGACGTCGTCCCTGTCCTGAGCGACTGGTCAGCCTACAAGGCCATTATCTCCCCCATCCTCCACGTCATCGATACCTCCCTCCAGCACCGCATCACCAAGTACGTCGACAACGGCGGTCATCTCGTCGCTACCTACTTCTCGGGCATCGTCAACTCGGATGACCACATCTACCTTGGCGGGTATCCCGGGGCGCTGAGGGACGTACTGGGCATCAAGGTGGAGGAGTTTGCGCCGATGCGCGAGGGAGAGAAGCGAGAGCTGGACGATGGAAGTTACGGGACGCTCTGGTCTGAGCCGATCCAAGTGGGAGAGGGGGTCGAGACGCTGCGCAAGTGGAAGGAGGGGGGTGCGGCGGTGACGAGAAGGATCGAGGGCAAAGGGTCGGCGAGCTATGTCTCGACTCGGCTTGGGGCGGAGGGGTTAGGGAAGGGATTGCTGGGCGACTTGATGAGCCATGCGGGTGTCAAGAGCGAGATGCCAAAGGCGATGCAGGGGAAGGTGGAGCATGTGACAAGGAGCAAGGAAGGGAAGAGGTGGGACTTCTACATCAACAGGACGGATGAGAGTGTGGGGATGGAGGGAGTGAAAGGGAAGGTCGTTGTCAGTACGGGCGAAGCGGGTAAGGGGGAATTGGCTGGTAGAGGCGTTGTAGTTGTTCAGCAGGAGTAGCTTAGTTGTAGTTAGGAGCGATCATAGGGTATCTAGATTACTCGTAGTATCTTGTGAGAGATGCCTGTAGGGTTTAGCTGTATGTTATCTGGTATGTCCTCCTGCGCACACGTTGTACTAGAAGCCAGCTTCGGAGTACGGAGCAGCTGTCTCCGAGACGAGGAATGTGGGTTCACCGATGATGTCATGGCGATTCCAGCTCCTTTCAAGATCGCTCATCTGGACCATCATCAGACTTGACTCACTTCTCTACATCGAACACACTAATAGCAACCCTCATTCCTATACATCACAATCAAGTCATCCACAATGTCCGGCCCACCCGCGCACAAGATGGTCCACCTCGAGGCGATCAACGCCCTGCCGTCGCAGTACAAGGACTTCCGGACCGTCCTCTGGACAGGCGAGAGCAGTCAGCTCGTGCTCATGACTGTCCCCGTCGGAGGCGATATTGGAGAGGAGGTGAGCGGTCTGCTCCGGCATACTCAAAGGGGCTCGACTAACGTATAGGTCCACGAGGTTGACCAGCACCTTATATTTACCTCCGGAATCTGCAAGGCGATCGTCGCGGGTGAGGAGAAGGAGGTGAAGGCCGGTGATCTGGTCATTGTGCCGCAGGGGACTAAGCACAACTGTGAGTTGTAACGCACTCTCCGAGATCATCTTCCAGCTATGCTGGGGGCGAATGATGCGCTTTGCTGACTGTTCAGTCATCAACACCGGCCCCACCCCTCTCTGCCTCTACACCGTTTACGCCCCGGCCGAGCACGACCCCAAGTCGAAGCACAAGACGAAGGAGGAGGGTGACAAGCTGGAGGATGAGGGCAAGGACGAGGCACCAGAGTGGGCGCAGCCCAAGTAGGCGGTTGATCGTTGGCCTGGCGGGGCTCCCATTTGCCTGACTGCCCTTGTAGATGGATAATAAGAAGTGAAGTGAGCTATGTAGCTGACCGCTTGTCTGTCTGGAGGGGCCCCAAGGCACTGCCTCCTTGATCGTGACCCACATGCTCATAGCATATGGCAGCAGGGGAGACCTATAACTGTATGTATGGCGTCCCCATTACGTGATGCGGAGTTGAGATAACGGCCGCGCCGGGTGAGTCAACCGGTTCGCCCGCTTCGGCCTTGGCCAGATTTGGCTGAACGCGTCAAGACGAAGCTTTTATCTTTTGTACATCTCACTCTCCAACTTCATCTTGTATCTTACACACCGCCTACTCATAGCTTGCCTGGTTCCTGACTGGAGGGACTCCAAAGAACCACAGCGCATTCCTCATCCTTACTTGCCAATCCGGGTTCATCGGAGGCGCCGTCAGCCTCACTACATGTGCTTGTGTACAGCCGGGTCTTGATCTTGACCTTGTTCAACGTCTCCAGGTCAGTCCTGCCAACCCCAACCGCATCTTGGGGTACAGCCGCTGATTTTGTTCCAGACCAATCGCTCTCAGGGTTCCACTATCTTACCGGTACCCCTCTTCACGGTCATACCTTCTTCTCCTCTCCTCTCAACCTTGTCAGCATGCTGTCATCGCAAGGTAGCATTGGGCCAGACTGGGCGGCGTCGATGTCAGCTGGAGGCGAGGAGTTGATTGACCTTCTGCAAGGACAAGGAGGCATTCACGGGTCGGTCGATTACGATATGGTGAGCCCCCTATCCCACTTTCAGAGCCACAATGCTTCCCTGCTGACGACCAGCACCGAGCGGGAAACCATCATTCCTCACAATCCTCGTCCCAAACAACGCAGACAGGCGACAACTCGTACTTTGACGCCTTCGACCTGTCTCAACCGCAAATTCCCACATTGCTGTCCGGTCCATCCCCCTCTCAAGCCAACATGTACCCCCCTTCCAGCCCTGTAGGTCACGGCTTCGCACAGCACGTCACGCCCGCTCAGCTCGCGATGGTGCTCGACCACACCGTCCCCGCGCCGAACAATCCCTATCCCTCGCCCATTTCGGCCGCGCCGGACTGGTATCATAACGGAAACGACTTTGAGGTCCATCACAGCGATGATGCTGGGCCGTCACACCGCCGTTCCAACTCCTCGGCGAGTCACCAAACCAGTACTACCAACGCCACCTCGCGCTCGGTCCCGGCGTCGGATTACTCGTACTCTGCAACGGATATGAGTGAGGGTGAGGATGCCGAGATGGAGCAAGCTGAGGTGGCGGATGGATTGGGCGAGCTGAGCATCGGGCGGGCGGGTCTGAGGGGGGAGAAGACGTGGACGCAGGATGACCAAAATGCGGTGCAGAAGGGCGGCAAGGTCGGGCCGATCCGGAGGTCTAGCGGTGGAGCGGCAAAGAAGGCCGATAAGGAGGTCGATAGGCTGGAGCGTGAGTTAATGACTGGCTTTGTCGCTCTGTGGATGCTGACTGATATCCAGACCGTCGACAGATCAACCGGAAGTCCGCTCAGAAACACCGTCAACGCCGCAAGGACGAGCTCGAAATTCTCACTGCGATGGTCGCGGAGCGAGACTCCAAGATCGCCAACTTGGAAAAGGAACTGGCGGTGGAGAAAGCCAAAGCGGGGCAATTGATGGAATTTGTCAGGCTCAAGAGTAGCTCTGGCGGCTCAGCGCACGGGTCGAAAGGTGGGGATGCTGAAGAATCTGGCAGTGAGAGGGAGGCGGCTGCGGAGAAGGGAGGGCGAAAGACAAGGGGGACAGCCAAGACGAGTACGGCGGGCAAGGGCAAGGCGACGGGGACTGTTTATGGCGATGGGAGGGATGCGGGGTGGTGAGCAAGGAGGTCAATACGAGTAAGCTTTTTCTTTCCTGCTGGACCAAGATAGACTACAACAATAAGTCATGTAGGCAAGGCTGACGCGTCAGCCTGAAAATTGAACTCTCGGCCGCAGCGCTTCCCTCTCAGTGTGTATAGTGCCACTCGAAAGCAGTCCCCTGTCCCTACGATCTTGCCTGTAAAAATCTATCGGTCTTCCCCCTTGTGCACAGCCACCGATCCCAATATACGCCGTCCTATTCCCCCGCCTACCAAATACACATTGCATATCACCAAGGCGTCAATACCGCCTGACATACCTCACCGCCCTCGCCCAGTGAGGAACCACGCTCGATCTTCCCCACCAAACGAGATCACGGTCAGGGGGGCGGCCGCGGGCCAGACGTAGCCGCTACGGCTTCGGCTCAGGAGGAAAGAATAGCAACAAGGTGTGTATAGGAAGGATGGCCTCGAGTTAGCTTATGTGTCTGATTGTAGCTGTGTATATGCTTGATATTCGGCTTGCTCACCAGCTGACTAAGATCTGCAGGCTGGCCTTGCGGATGTCCGTCACCTCCATCGCTGACAGCACTGAAGCTTTGCCCAACTTACGCGTCGTAACAGTGGCCGTTATGATGGAGAAGAACCTGCGGCAGGAGGACAGAGCGGTCTAGACCCCCAAATCCGCGCATGCCTCGCGATGCTCATCCTGGCCCTCCACCGGATTCGATCACCGCTGGCGATCGCCTGTAGCGATCGCCTCCCAAGCTAATCGAGTCTCCGACCATCATTACCATGATCGAGACTCAGCAAGTGTATCATGGGGTCGGTGGAGCGCCAGATGAAAGGAGTAGCACGCCACTCGAGGTGTATCTGGTGCATTAGTGCGGAGTATTATTACAGTGGCGCATCGTCCCATCATGGGTCCGCTGCGGATTTGCTGATCTCAATGACCCAGGCGAGCTAGCGGCGCTGTAAATCTCCCGCTCACACGGCACCCGCCTGATCTCACCATCCGACAATAATCACTGCTCTGCTAGATTAGTAGCACGCGCAGCGGCCACATCGTCGCTCAACCCCGGCGGAGTTTCGATCATGCTAGTCCGGCTTACTCGCCTCCATGGCCTGCTGACTGTCGGGGCTGGACTTGCGACGCCACCTTCTAATTGGGCACCGCTCTCAAGTCAGCTTATACCAGCTCCGACGCAATCTACTTCGCCGCTTTGCCCGTACTCCTTTAATTGTTATCTTCCCGGATGGCGCCTCGGCAACCACACGACAATCAAGATCTCAAAATGACGAGCTTGATTGTCAGGCAGAAGGCCGGGCGGAAAACGGGGTGTCAAACATGAAGCACTAAAATCGTCGGAACCCAGGGGTATGATCCTTTGGGTGGCCAAGGCTGTCTGTGGTATAAGAGCAGGGTTCATGCCCCCATCTGACGATCACATCACACATCACACATCACACATCACACATCACACATCACACATCACACATCACACATCACACACCACACACCACATCCATCATTCCACGGCCCCCCTCGAACACAAGTCTAACCACACTACCGCTCGTCAACATGCCAGCCAACAGCCAGTTGCCCCTTTTCGAGAATGCTCGCGTCTACCCGGATCCTATGACGGCCACGTTCACACAGCATACTGTGCAAGGGTCCTGGGAGCACTCCCAAGACTGCAAGACGTGCCTCAAACCCCACAGCTGGCGGGCGACCTCCAGCCTCAACTTCCCTGGCATGACACTAATCTCGGACACCACGCCCCCACCTGGATGCCACGGGCCGCTCCTCATCATTCCTGACGCAGTGCTCGGCGCAGCTTCCATGTCTATGAGCTTGCTGCAGAACTCCTCTCCCGGTCCAGACTGTACCGTGACGGAGCTTGTCAATAAAATGCAAGACATCCGCCGCGGAGCAAACCTTCCCGCGATCACAGCCGAAGGACAGAGGTGCTGGTTTGAGGATGAGCGTGCACGGGTATGGGAGTTTCGGCCGACCCCGCTGGCGAATCCTGTCACCTCTAGAGCGACATGCGGCAGCTGTGACGTCGGCCTGCACTTCATGCGCTCTGTGCCTGGGAGTGTTGCACTCCTTACTCGCACGGAGGGGTTGACTACCGCCATATCGCAAGGCGATCTTCGCTGGGCAGTCTTCAATCCCTGGGAAGAAAGCAATCCCCCTTCAACGTTTGTTTCGCGCGGCCTCCTTCAGGGCTTCATTGCGAACGCAGACAAAGAATACGTTGCATCCGCCCAGCAGACCGCGGATGCAGGCCAGTGCCCAAGGGAAGCCACAAAGTCCCTCATGCGGAGCCGAATGACCCAAGGCACCGCCACAGCGGTCGCCAAACTGGGTCCCCCTCCACCATACGCTTCTTATGAGTAGCTAGTGATCATACGTGATCACTGCTGCGGTGAGTCGGCGGATGAAGTTTTCTTTGTGCCACCCCATGATCTGTGAATAGCTCTATTGGTCTTGGCTCTGATGTATTTGTCCTACAAGCGAAAAGCATTCTAATGGTCATCACGATCCGACCACCGGCTGTACACTATACGAAACAGCTTGGGCGAGCACATCAAGGGGTGCCTTCCCGAACCCTCTTCACGTAAAGTCTGACTGGGTGGCTTGAGGAATGTCGACGTGTGCCCGGGATGGCGTTCATGTCATGCTGATCTTGATTTACGAAACTGTCAGCTTATCTGTCAAGCTGATAACGGGGGAGGGACGTAAGCGATAAGATGTGAAGGTATGGGTAGGTGTGGGAACATCTTTGCCAGTCAGGCAGCCTGGACCCAAGCCACGCCAGCGCTCTCACGCCAGCGCGAGTTCAAACCTGACAACTTTCGACATACATTTAAAGTCTTTTGCAATATCGTGAACCAACTTAGATCTATCCTTCTAGTTATGCCTTCCCCATATTCTTCCCTTAGATCAATCCCGACTCGCCCGTCTTGGCCATGTGATCCTGGCACTTGACCAGCATCGCCAACTGCGCGCTGATCTCATCCAACCTCGAAATGACCGTCCCGTTCCCCTTGACAAACCCGTAGATGGTGTACTGAATCCCCGTGTCCTTGCAAAACTCCTCAACCAGGGGCTGAATCTTGCGGAGGTTGTGACGGGGAACGCGGGGGAAGAGGTGGTGGATTGCCTGGAATTGGAGACCGCCGTGGAGCCAGTCGAGCCAGATGGGGCAGACGACGTCCATGGTGGTCCGGAGTTGCTTCTGGGCGAACGACTCGTTGTTGCCGAGGTCGCAGGTGGGCATGCCCCAGTGGGAGAGGGTGATTTGGACGTGGAGGAGCATGGTGATGAGGTGGGAGGAGAGGACGAAGGCCACGCGGGTGGGCCAGTCCGGAAGGGTGCGCCAGACGAGGCAGTAGCCAAAGAGGAACCAGTAGGTAATCATTCCGCAGATCTCGGCCGGGCGAGTCCAGGCGGCCGCACCGGACGTCTTGGACCGAGGGGAGATGAGGTGCATCCACCCCAGCGCGTACAGGTTGAACCGTGCGAACGCCATGATGGGATAGTAGGCGTACCGCTGGTAGGGGATGAGGAGCTCGCACGCCTTGTCCCAGACAAAGTCAAAGTTGTAGTAGGTAGAGTGGACGTTGTTGAGCTGGGAGGGGCAGGTAGCGAAGAGGGGAGTGTTTTGGATATCCGGATCGTGCTCCGGGGAGTTGGTGACGAGGTGGTGGACATTGTGGCTGGATTTCCACCACCCAAAGCTGAGGCCGCAGCAAAAGTCGGCGATGAAGATACCGATCATGGTGTCGTAGGTCATGTTTTGGGTGATTGCCCGGTGGCCCGCGTCATGTGCGGTGAACATGATTTGTTGCCAGAACGCACCGAGGGCGATGGCCGAGGGGATGTAGTAACCGCGGTGGAGGAGGGTGAGGAAGGTGATGAAGAGGATAGTGTACCGGATGGATTCCCGTCCATAATCGAGGTAGTTGCAGGTGTAGAAGCCGCCGTCGTGGACTTTTTGGTGGAGGGCATTGTACTTTTCTGTGATGGCTGATTGGGTAACGGGATCTGGGGATGGGTAGGCGGCGAGACACCGGTCGACTTCCGTCTGCATGGCAGCTGCGACGCCGAGGTCCCGATCCGATGGGAGATCCCCAACGATATCCTCCACCCATACCTCCTCCTTGGCCTCCTTTGCGCTCAGCTTGCGGTAGACACCGCCTCTGATGGGTGGGGCAAAGTTGGTCCAGTCTGCGGGTGCGTAGCCTATGCGGTAGGCGGGCATGGTACGGAGGACGTTCTCGCGGTGATATCTGCAGGTTCAGCCAAGGTCTACGCCGTTAAAGGTTGAGATGGAAACTCACGCTTTGATCTCGCTCGTCGCATCATTCCCGACCATGTGCTGAAGCGCTAGCCGACCTCCTGGATGTCTGTCCATCCACGTATCCAGCTGCAGCACCTGTCCCTCGTAAATGACTAGACTGCGCCCCTCTGCGATCATCCCCTCGATAGCGCGCTTGGATATGACCTGGTTGCGCGACATGGTGACGGAGGGGGACATGGTGGTAGGGGATGGGGGATGAGGATGGGAAGTAGTGAGCGTGAGGGGCGAACGAGCGAATGTAGGAGGTGCACTGTAGTCGTAGGTCGAATGAGTGAGACTTGTACCGGAGTCGAGTAGCGCTAAAAAGGCCGAGCGGTGCGGAGGTTATATGGGACGAGGGTAACTGCGGAAGATAAAGCAAGCGGCGGTCTAGGCCGAGAGGGGTGAAGGGGGTCGAGCACAAAGGTGTGGGGTAATGGGGTATTGACAAGACGAGGGGAGGGGAGAGGGGAGTGCGATCCGCTTTGTGCTACAGAGCTACAAGGCAATGAGGATGGAGATGGGATATGGTATGATAGACACCTCTTCTCATCTCCTTGTTTTCTGCCTTTGCCCCTTTTGCCTTTCCGCACTGCATGCATGCTGCGCGCTCCACGTTCCTGGGTCTTGCTGCACCGGCACCCGCTCCGGATCACACCAAGCCCGGCCGGGTTCGCTTGGGATATCGGATAAGAGTGAGCGATTTAAAGGGGCCCTCTGGCGTACCGTCAGAGAAAAAAGAAAGGGGCCACAGATGAAACCGAGCCCGAGTAAAGGGAAAACGGGCCAAATCTCCGGGGCGTGCGGACACCACACAGCCGATAATCAGCCGATAACTTTAAAAGCCCTGAAAGCCAAAGTCTGGGCCCGAGCCGGCCCTCTTGTCCCACGCCTCTTGCCAAGGTTCAGAATTTCCAGGGGGATCGACGTTCAGGGCATGGGGTTGAGCGTTATCGAAGGGGCTCCACTAAACCTTGTCACGGTCTAGACTTCGATATGATGTCACGCTTCACAGCTATACAGCCAGCTTCCAGGCTTCCAACTAGCTTCCAGCAGCTGCTTCAGCCAGCTGCCCCGATGCAACTAATCCTCTATCATTTCGGTCCAGCATTGCATCGGAGGATGAGTTCAAAGCGTGTGAAGGAGACATCGACCGCTATCTGCTCATGCTACGCCTTCCTCCCGTACTAAAGCGGGCATTTTATTACAACCTGCATCCAACTGCTACGTCCGCGTCGCCCACTCAGTGAGATCGACTCGCGCCACCGAGATGCCCCTCGCCATGAAGCCCACCGCGACTACCCAAGCTTCTCTCCTTCCATTTGTCCCCTTGGGATCGATAGGCAGCAGCATCGCCGTCGTGGCCGCATTGACCCATGCCCCATCATCTTCCAGGAGCAACTTCTTTTCCCATTTGCCCGCTGCTGTCTTCCTCGCAAGCCAGATCGCTCCCGGCGCGAGTGATTCGGGGTCTGCCGAGTGCTCGCCGAGCTTGTGGGCCTGGAGGAGACCGGCGAGGACGTAGCCTGACAGGTCGGACGAAGGGGTCGCGTACGGATCAGCGAGGTAGGTAGGGTTGTCGAGGGTACTGGGGAAGCTGACGGTGGAAGTGGTAGTGAGGTCCGGGGAGAGAATGTGAAGCACTCCACCCGCTGCGCTGCCGAGAGCAATCTCGCCGCCCGGTCCATGTGCTAGCCCATTCGCCGAATGGATCCCCTTCTTCACCACCTCCGCTTTGATCCCTGACGAAGCGTCCACCTTGACCACCGTCGTCCGGCTCGTGAGCTGAAGAGTGAAGACTTCCTCCGCCGTCCGCAGTAGCCCCGGCTCCCGGTTGACATGGTCGTTCGTCACGAGGAACTCGGTCGCGCTGAGCGAGTAGATGTCGTTGGGAGTGACAATGAGGGGGTGGTGGACCGTTTGGAGGTGTGTGGCGCTCGAGTCAGAGATGGAGATACGGAAGATCTCGACGGTGGAATTGGCTTTATGCGGTCCGTGGGAGGCAGGCTTGTGGTTCACCGCATGGAGGTAGAAGCCGTCCGGTAGGCCTTTAGGGGAGTAGATGTCGAGACCGTGCGGGATGAAGGGGCCGGTAAAGCCTGAGATGGAGAGCCGGCGGGACTTCCAGGTCTGCAAATCAGCACGAGATCCTCCTTCTGGTATTAGCACAACTAAGAAGCAAGGTACGCACAGTAGGGTCCAGAATGTATATCCCTCCGTTTGTAGTCTGAGCGTCCTCCGGCCGGTCGAGGTGAAGGATAGGCGGCCACCAGCCATACCGGCCCGACGGATGACCCGGCGCAGTCAGCACAATCAGCCCCGAAGGCTCATGGTAAGCAAAGTCCTCTGCCTGTTTGACGTCGGGTAGGACGAAAGACTCGAGAATACCCGGGGTGGACGTGCTAGAGAGACGGGCAGGAGGGGTGGAGCGGAGGAAGCCGAGCACGACGAGGCGGCTGTATAGCCCACTCAGGGGGTAGACGAGGAGTGCGACGACAAGGGCGAGGGTGCGAAGGGAGGGCATCTTGGACGACGCGGAGAGAGAGGTGAAGGGAGATGAGCGGTGAGGTCAAGGAGTATCTACAAGTACTGAGGCCAGGGACAAGTGGACGCGTGGATCATCCGCTCGGTACGGTAACCTCATCAACCGGCGAGTAAGCGGCATGCGGCAACCGGCGAGTCTCTTGCAGCTGAACGTCTGCCTTGCATACCATGTCCAGTTGCAGTCCCGAGATTATACCTCGAGACCGTCCTCTCGTCTCTGCTTGAATACCATACGCGTGTGGCGAAAGCAGCAGGAGAAGTACTATATAATACCCAATCCGTGTATGCCCGTCGGTCTCGGGAGCTCGGCCTCGGAGTTGTCAACTTACTCGGTCTCGAAGGCCTCGAAGCTCGGCCTGTGTCGACTTCGACGCTTCGACACTGCCAACACGTCACATAGCTTGCCCATTCTTGTTATCCTCCCCCTTTGATCTCTACACCCGCCCCAAGAGTCCGCCGTACTCAGAACTACTTCACTGATCCACCTTCTGACTCGCCCCAATATGCCCGGAACAGTCGTCATCACCGGCCCTAACGGGGGCATGACCGTCCTCACTGCGCGCCAATACGCCGAGGCCCACCCAGAGGACCACCTCGTCCTTCTCGTGCGTAATCCCGCTAAGCTCCCCGCGGAAGCCGTCCCGGCTTCAGATAAGGTCCTCTATGAGGCTTTGGATATGACTAGCCTGGATGCCGTCCGGGCGGTGTCAGCCAGTATTGCGGAGAAGGTGAAGGCGGGGTCTTTACCTCGGATCAAGAGTCTGGTCTGTTCCGCTGCCATTCAGGTGAGATCAACAGTGGCCAGAGCGAGACGGGATTTGGCTGATGTAAAGGTTACATCAGTTGACCAGCCCCACATCACCGCGGACGGATACGAGGAGACCTTCGCCGTCAACCACCTCGCGCACTTCCTCCTCATCCTGAACCTACTCCCCTCTATGGCGCCAGACGCGCAGATCATCATCGTCGGTAGCGACTCGCATCGGAACGACTACAAGTTCTTCCCCAAGAAGACGGCTTATAGACCGCTCGAGCAGCTCGTCCATGTCACCCCTGGCGGTGAGCCGGTCAAAGACGCAAAGGATAATGGCCTGCAGCGGTATGGGACGTCCAAGATGCTGCAGATGATGACGGGCCATGAGGTGCGTTCTATGCTGCTCCTGATTGGCCTGATCAAGTACTGGGATGTAGCTCATGAAACAGCTCGCACGCCGGCTCAAATCCCACCCCGCCTACTCGGGTATCAACACCGTCATGTTTGACCCTGGATCAATGGGCGGTACCGGTCTCCTGCGAGACCAGTCTCCCATCCTACAATCCCTCCTAGGGGTCGCATTCAACTTCCCGCGCTTCTTCAACTGGCTCGACCCGGAGCTGCAAATCTCGCTCAAGGCGGACAGCGCGGCGACGTTACTGCGGCTTATGGAGAATCGGGAGATGGCGAGGACGGAGCCGCTGGGGCCGGTCAAGGAGACAGGAGGGGCACCGTACTATTCGCCGAGTGGAAAATTGTCACAGTCGTATGGGGAGACGAACGAGGTGGAGAAGTCGAGCGCATTATGGGCGGACTCGGTGCGGCTCTTGGGCATCGGGAAGGATTTGGCCTTGATGTAGACGAGATTCAGCAGTAGAGAGAAGTTGTGTGAATAGTACGTTTCAGACCATGCATAATGCCTTGTACCCCATATGTGTTGTCGTCAATACCGCATGCCCTCTAATCTAATCTCTATATCCCTCACAAACCCTGTAAAGCCCCAGTCCCTTCTGTACTGTCCACATCGCCTCCTTCCCTCAATACCCTCCACCCTCTCCTTCCCCCACCCTGTACCTCGTGTCCGCCACTCTCGACCAAGTCCCATCCGTCCTCACGTACCACCTCCAGTCCGCCTCCTTCCACGCCCAGATCCCTCGTAGCAGCGGTCAAGAACTCTTGCGCCGGTGCCAGCACCCAGCGCTGTTTCGAGCCTTTGGTGGAGAACCAATTTCCGTCAAACCAGCCGAGATGGCCGCCGCTGCCTGTGATAGCGAGGAAGACGTGTGAGGATGCGTGGACCTCTTCGACAGGAAGGTACTCTGCAGAGTCAGCTGAGCTATAGTCTAAACTGATATCAGGACTTACTTCCGTCTATGACTGGATCGTCGAATGCGTTGATAGCGAGTGTGGGACTGTATAGTCAGCTGCCGGTCCCGACTGTACTGCGTCGCCTGGATCACCAAAACTCACCGCTTCACCGCCTCTACCCGCTGAAACGGACTCGCATACTCGTAATACGCCTCAGCCGACTTGAATGGCCACAATCCCTCCCCATGCGGACCGCCCAATCGCGACGTCATCACCTCGTCCACATCCTTCAGCCTCACGCCCAGCTTCTTCTTCCGCATGACCTTCAGCTGCGGTACACATTCCCGCACAAACAGCTCGTCCCGATCAAACACCTGTGGTGTGTGGTCGTATTGCCTGAAAAAAATACGCATGACGTTGGTCGCCATGGCGCCAGAGTAGATGATGCGGTGGAGGGCGTCGCCTTCGAGTCGGACCGACATGCCGGGGAGGTTCCATGGACAGCCAAGGGCGAGGCCGGACGAGAGAAGGGATGAGGAAGAGGAGTTGCCGAGGTAGTTGGTGAGCACGGATGCGCCGAGGGAGAAGCCGATTCCGTGCAGCGGAGCGTTGGGGTATCGATGTCGGAGGTAGTGCAGGGAGAGCTCGAGGTCGACGGTAGTGGCGGCAGAGTAGAGCTGGGTGGAGGTAAGAGGAGTGTTGGCGCAGCCGCGGAACTACATGTCAGCTTGACTTGCTCCTTACAGCGGCAGGAGCAACTCACATTGACAACGACAGCTCTGCCCTCGAGCCCTCCTTCGGATTTCGGCTGGACCACCCATGTAAGCACGTTCCGGACATAGCTCTCGTGGCTGCCTCCCGTCAGGCCATGACAGATGACCAGTATTGGTGCCTCGTCAGACATCGAATCGTAGCCTTCTGTGAAGTCGAGACCGATTGTACCGCCGTCTGGTACGCGGAGGTAAGTCCTTCAACATCAGGATGCAGTCCAGGCTATTGACACCTTGGGCATGACTTACCGCTTATATGTGATCTTATCCACCTTCAAGAAGTTCCCGACCACAGAGTACATGGTCTGCAAGTGCCCACTGCTCACATCAGCACTGTCCCTCCGGTCTCGGCACAGCAACCAAGAACTCACTTTGGCAACCACCACGCCGGCCTGAACGTGCCTTTCAGACTTGGCACATTCTCCGATATCCACCTCGATACCGTCTGACCCTCCTCCCCACCTTCATGCCCATTTGACAGCTTGCCATCGCCCTTACTGGTCCGCATCCGTATGTGAGCTGCCAAGCGAGGCATGACGCGCACGACCTGCCTCGGCCACGCAGCAAGCCCGACCATGCTGAGCAAGGTGAGGATGATTGTACCTGGCAGGGAAGCTATCTGGGCGAGGAGCGACATGACTTGCTCGCCTAGGGTGGGTGTGATCATGAGAGATGATGTGAGCGTAGACGGGCAAGTCGAATTTCGCTTTTGCTCAAGGAATGGAATATCGCACAATGGGTCAGTGACGTCATCACGTCAGCAGCATGACTAAAATTGACCTCGAGCGAAAAGGTGGTCCGAGCGCGTCTTTACCGCTCTCTTGAACAATGCTCTTGAGCGAATCAATGCTAGCTAGCTGTCACCAGTAGAGCTGCTCAGAGTTGTCAAGCTCGCCGACCGAACATCTCTATACCCCACTCCAGGCTCGACCAATCTCGGAGACCCCACTCTCAGCCCCGAGCTTGGAGACGGGGAATCTGGGGGCGTTCAAAGTCAAAGGACACTGACCTCGCCCTCACACACCTCAAAGGAACTCTCCTTTAGGCTCTCTTTGCTTCTTCTCCACACTGACTTTCCTCACTAGGCACCTGACCCGTCCCGGGTGGCGTCCGGCTCGGCACAGCGGCAGCTGCAAGCACGTTCATGTGTGGGTGTGGATCTCGACGGCCCCAGCTCATCCTCTCCGGCGGCAAGTCGTCCCAGCGAGAAGCACAGACACCATTTAGGTTTTGTTCGGATCAGCAATATGTTATCTTTCGGGCGAAAGGAGACGGACGCCTGGACCGGGAGCCATGAGCTGTGGGCGTGTGCCGGCTGGCATGATCGGGAAGGCGAAGAAGGGCAGCTGATACGACGCGCCTTGGGAGAGGTCAAGCGAGATGGAGCGATGCGGCGCTATATAGACCCGTTCTGGACTTTTGACTCTGTGAGTGGAGCGGCATATCTCGGTGGCGCGGATTCGCTGATCGACCCTTAGAGTATATAGCCTGCACGAGCTTTCCGACCCCGTCGAAACTCTTGTTTATCTGAACTTTGCGCGGACGAGCCAGAGCCCGAACGGACCAGTTCGGCTCCCCACCTCTCGCTACCAACACTATCTCGGGCTACATAAAGGCATCCCTCTCCTATAAAGGCAGTTCCCCGCGAAGGTAGGTGTTCAACCCGTCCTGCTCTCCACTCCATTCTTCTCTGAGATATCAGCCATATACACCTCTTCCCTACCCCGATCGGTAGGCAGGTGTCCCGACTCAGGCGAGAAGAAAGGAGAGACCAGGGGTCAGGCACTAGTAAGGACGGTGTTGTGTCCGGACGGAGTCCTGTAAGCCGGGTGCCTATCTTTTGAGCCTATCGCCTGCCCATCTTCCTGTTCCCCGCCAGCTAAAGCCGATCACACTCTTTGAACCTCGCTCATTACTGTATAGAAACCGCGCTACCTCTCACTCTCACGATACGACCGGAAACAACCCCAATCCACAACCTCCTCATCACGACTCACGATCACCGGACCCGACATCCTGGGCTAGCCCCGCTCCTCCGGACCTATCTCCTCAGCCGTCCACACACCCTCGTGCAAAATGTCACTGGACATGCCACCACCACAGTACCACCATCAACAGGGTCAGTCGCAATCGTCAGGACCACCGGAATCTCCAGCGATAGATCCGCATGACCCTACTCCCTATACCTATCAGCAGCACCAGCAGCAGCCGACACCATCGCCCGGCCAGCCAGCGCCTACTTGGTCTACCCTCCCGGGGCTCAATACCACCTTTGAGCTCTCAACGTCATTTGGTCACGGTCCATACACACCTCTGAACTCGTCTCAGTCGGACGCTGGCGTTCAGCACACCTCGCTCTCCCCTCTGGTGGCTTCATGGTCCACCTCTCCCCCGCTTCACGCTTCCGAGCCAAGCCGGCCTGGCGGACCCGTCAGGAACTGGTCGGCGTCGGCATACCCCCGCAAGCGGTCATCGGGGATGAGCATGTCCCCGCCGCCTATGGCCACCTACTCTTCTCCTCATCATATCCAGCCGTCGCCAAACTACCCTCCATACACACATCACCAGACACCGCAGCCTCAACCTACCTCCTCGCCGTACTCGGCTCACGTGTACCCCTTCTCCACGTCAGCGAGCATGAGCGCCATCTCACCGCCCCCCTTCGGTCTCGCCCAGGACAGGAGGATGTCATCGCCGGTCGGTAATCCTAGCTCTGGGCTGTATACCTTTCAACCATCCTACACCCCGCAAGGGTACCATCAGCTCCCCCATGGTCAGAAATTACATCCCGCTCCGCCCGGTATGGCGATGACGTACCCCGACCTGGCGTCGGATGCGAACAAACCCCCTCGTTTCCGGCCGACAAAGGAGCAGCTGGCGATTCTTATCGGGTCATACAATAAGAACAAGTGAGTAAGCCATCAATCCTCAGAATCCAAGCTGATGGACAGGAACCCCGATACAGCAGAACGCGAGGCCCTCGCTCGTCGCCTCGGACCGGATGTCCGCTCCAAGACGCTTCAGATCTGGTTTCAGAATCGTCGTTCCAAGGCACGCGCAAAGGAGAGGGAATCGGCGGCGGCGAGTGCTTCTCGGATCTCGTTTAGCGGGAGCGAGATCGATGTGGGTGCCAGTCGGGGCGGATTCGATCCTTTTGTTGTTGAGGGAAGTGGGCGGAAGGGGAGTTTGACGGATGTCGAGTCGTTGCGGGCAATGGTGCACGATGATGATCGTGAGTGGACTGATCGGTTGCGCTGAGACTAAGCTGACGAATAGCTGCCCTGCAGATAATTCCCATCTCAGTATTGGCGATTTCAACCTGGACGCGGTTCCTCACTCCTGGTATGACCGCCACGCCGGATCTCTGCCTCGCACTTCGACTTCCATCCCCGGCGCCTGCGATTTTCATCTTCGTCGCTCACCTCGCCGAGACTTATCGGATCACCATACCCCTCGATGCCCCTACCCCTACCTCCGCGCATTCCAGCTTCGACTTCAGCCCGACCCACGCTGAGACAGCTTCGAGGAATCCGATCTCGTTGATCGAGGCAGCGGCGAACCCGACGCTGAATGCCGAAGCGGTGTTGTTGCGCTTCGAGCTGGGTCAAGGTGCTTGCTCATTCTCGAGCTGGAACACCACGAGCGGGTCGTGGGTTGAGACTGGTGATTTTTCTGGCGGGGTTGTGGCTGGCGGCGGCAAGGTCGAGGTGACAGGTCAGAGAGATGTGAGTGACCAGCCACTAGGCCGACGACTCAGCTGATCGATAGACTCTTCTTCCCGCTTTCGGACAGGTTCATCAATACCTCTACGACGCACCGCTCCTCACACCTGTGACCTTCACAAATCACCAAACCTCACCTCCGCCTTCACCGTACACTCCCACACCGATCGCTTCCACGGCTACCTCCACTTTTCTCCCTTTGCGCGTCGAGCCCGTGACCAACTCCTCGCATACTGCTTTCGCGTCCACCTGGCGGTTCCCTCCCCCTACATCCGCAACGTCCGCCAATAATACCCCGATCGACCCCTTGGCACCGCCTGGAAGCGACGTCACTGCCATACGGGTTCGAGTCGGCGCGATGGGACACGCCAAGCAGCGTAGCTTGAGTGCTCCGATGGCGATGCCTGCGGAGTATGTGGCAGGGCGGAATGATTTGGAGATGGGAGGCGATGCCACCGCTGAGCGGTCCGGGGGGCCAGAGTACGTCTGGCCAAGCTCGCAGACGTACGGCCAGGCCCCCACAGACCAGCCGCTCCGCTACCAGCTTCAAAGCCATAGCACTCCCGTCGACGCGCACCTATACCGTACCGCATGGCCATTCGAGCCCCCCGCGAGCCTCGGAACCGTCGGTCAGCTCATCAACCCCGCGCATACCGCTCCTACCCCGTCCGCCGGCGCTTATCTCAACGGGACGACTCGACCCATCCCGATCGCGTCGGCAAGGCCGATCATGCACAATCGAGCTCCCAGTTATGGCAGCGACGTCCGAGGGGAGCGGGGCGACTCGGTCGGTCTGTCTCTACGGAGCGGCGCATCGAGCTCGGGCTCCATCATGCTCGCGGCCGAGGCCCAGGCCTCTCCGCCTTTCGTCTTTGACGCGATGATGGGTCTGGGGATAGGGTATGATGCGCAAGGTTCTGGCGTTGAGGGCGGGCATGACGGTAGTCGCATGGGAGGGATCAAGATGGAGGTATTGGAGGAAGGGTGATCTGAATCGTGTAGGGATAAGGACAGTAAGGGTCTCTTCGGGTACTTGATCGATTGTAGTGCTAGCGCCGTATCTCTCTCTATTGGTCGTATTGTCTGGCTGTTGATAGCAAATAGAAGATATGAACCATTATCCCTGGCGCTAAGGACCACAATTGCTGCGCAGGCGAGGCTTGCCTGCACGCGCGGAGCCCCGCTCGGGTCAGGGTTCCCTTTGTTGACGGGTGCATGGTGGAGGCACCAAGCGCAAGCCCAAGCGCTCTTTCTTCTGTACTTCGGTCTTCCATCTCATCAGCTGCCCCGTCTGATCATCACTGCAGCTATCGGCAATGGCCGCGGACCTCTCAGACCCAGCGATTGTCGCGGCTATCGAGGCCATCTCGGACCCCGTCTCTCCTGTCTCGATGTGCGTCTCCAGTTTCGTTATCCGTACCCGCTGGTCCATCAGTGCTGAGCCTGCCGCCTCACTTAGGGCATGCTGTGGAACAGCGGAAGCTGACCGATCAGTATCGCTCTCACCTACCATCCGACGCAAGAGAAGACCCTGTCCTTGGTCTCGACAGCGTTCGACCCATGGGTGCCGCACTGGCAAGAGACGATAAACGTGCATAAGGCGGAACCGCTCTTTGGGTATGGTATCGTCGCGAAGGGAAGGCCGCTACGGGAAGGCGGTGAGAAAGGGGTGGTGCTAGTCTACCTGCCAGAGGAGGTCACGTACGTGCCTACGCTTCTCACTTTGGCATTCTTGAAGGATTGAGCTGATCTGACAGCGGAGTACGACGAGGTATGTCTCGCTGATTCGCGTCAAGAGCCGGGAATGCCGCGCAGCAAGACAGACCTGGACATGAGATGCATGAGATAAGGTGCTGATATTCCTAGCTCGAGCTGTGGTGCATTCCAGGGCTCTGGCCAACAAGTTCCCCGTGAGCTCACTGGTAGTGCCTCTCTACTGATGTTGAGCTGACGCAGCTTAGGACTACTCTGCGATCATCACCATCTCACACCCCTCACAAATCACCGAAGAGTTCGTCCGAGACCAAGTGAACTACTATAATCAGCCCGTTCCCACTCCCACATCGAGCCCTATCAAACCCCGTACGCCCGCACAAATGGGTATCGGGCTCGGACTAGGTCGGCCGTCCGGCTCGACTGACGAGTCTTCCCGCGCCGCCTCGCCCTCGATTCGCGGTATCCAGCCGTCCTCGTCTTCCGCTCGGTCGATGGACCGGCCCCTCCCCGCTCCGCCGGCTCAGCCGCTGGACCTCCCGGACAATCCTAGGCTGAGCACACCGACCCCGCCAAGATCATCCAGTCCTACTGGACAGCGGTACGCGTCCGGACCTGTGGAGCATCAGCACAGCCGGAAAGAGTCGCTCTCTTCCCGCTTCACGAAGGCTTTGCCGTCATTTACCAAGTCGCACAAGGACAAGCCGGAGCAAGGGAGCGGAGGGGACTCGCCAAAGTCCCCTTCGAGATTTGACGCGCTTACGTCGGGCTTCGGAAGGGGAGATAATAGGCGGGACGGGGAGCAGCAACATTCCCCCAGAATGGCGTCTGGAGATGGGAGATTCGGGCACGGTCGGGAGGCGGAAGCGGTGCACTCTGCGCACGGGCAAACGGCGCCGTCGGAGCAAGCAGGCGATGGGGTGGACAATGGAGGGTCGATTCTTTCAGGTTCGGTCCAGCAGCCTCTAGCGTCGGGACCACACAGCCGAGGTGTTCACTTCGAATCATCCGACCCTACTCCCGCTTCATCCAGCGAGTGGCAAGTACCGGATGCCAATGCGATCCAGGGGCCTCCGCGACTGCAGAGTCTGCCCGAGGTGACCCAAGCGCCACCGACCGGCTCGATGGCGGCGGAGTCACTTCCGCCTCCCCCTCCACCGAAAGCCCTTCCCACTGTCCCCTCTCCTCAAGGCGCGGGATCGACCTCACCCGTCGCTCCCACTCTCAACCGCCTACATACCCTCGGCGCGATCATCCCCTACTCCGAAACCGAGTCGTCTTCACAACACCTTCACCCCAACCCCACCGCCGCCGCCGTCGATCCCAGATCCGCAGCTGTAGGCGTAACCTTCCCTAGCTCCCCGACTGGCGCGGCGGCGCTCTCTACGGCACGCGCAAAGCAGCTCGATGCGGAGACGAGGATGCACGACGAGTTCCGTCGGACGGAGGAGGAGCGGACCCGCATACGTGTCAATTCGGGGAATCGGAATGCGGGCATTGTGAGGACTCCGACGCCCATGCAGCGACGAGAAGAGGGGGAGGACGATGATGAGGAGGGTCTGCCGTATGATCGCCCGGACAAGGACGAGATGGCAGAGGAGACCAGAGGGTCTGGCGGGTATGCCCAGGATTCATCGAGGTATAGCGGACCGCCGCCCGACTACCACCACCAGTCGCATCATGCCAACTCAGCCGGCGCGCATGAGATGCCTGTGCCCACTGTGTTGGTCGGAGAGGCGTCGAGACCCCTTCCTGCACCACCGCAGAATGATGCTAGTCTCGAGGAGCGTCATGCGGAAGCGCGCAATGCCGACGAGCAGCGTGCTCGAGCGGCAACCGAGGAGCAAGAGCGGGCAGCAGCTGAGGCCGATTACAACAGGCGGGAACAAGAGGCTCGCCGAGCTGCATTGGAGGCGGATGAACGAGAGCGGGAGGAGCGGCGGCAGTTCGATCTGCTCCGAGCGCGAGAGAAGGAAGAGCGGGAGCGCAGGGAGAGGGAGGCGGAAGATGAGCGGCTGCGAGCAGAAGAAGAGGAAGCCAGGCGCATCAAGATTGAGCAAGAACGGGCGGCGGTTGCTGTGCAGGAAGCAGAAGCAGAGCAGGCGAAAGAAAGGGCGAGAATACAAGCCGAGGCGGAAGCGCAGGCAGAGGCGATGCAGGCTGAGCGGGAGAGGGTGCGCCGAGTGAGCGATAATAGGGAGAAACTCGTCAAGGGGAAGACAGGCGGAGGCGTCATGCTGACTGGGGTGAGTTTGTTGCCTTTCTCATCTGTGGATGGGATCCCGAGCTTATGTATCGCGCAGCACGTCACAGTACAGACTACGAAATCTGTCACCTGGCGGAGACGGCATTTCCAGCTCTTCCCGACGGAGCTGAGGCTGTTCAAATCAGATACCGTGAGGTTTTGAGCATCCCATCTTGCTTACTGGACTGGTCCACTCACGCTCTATAGGACACCACGCCCATCCAGATCATCTCCCTTGCGGCCGGTACCAAAGTGTCGCAGACATACGAAGAAAGTCAAGTCCAGGGGAGCTTCAAGATTCTCTCTGCGGGCAATGACGGAACGGGCGAGGTGAGCGAATCGGACCACCTTCTTCCCTAGTACAAGCTGACCCTACAGGACTTCTTTCTCTTCTCGGACTCGGTGGAAGACAAGGAGATACTATTGGAAGGGCTCAATATTGCACTAGGACAGTGAAGTGTGCAGCAAGTGCTCGGATGGCTGGAAATATGAAATCTCCAGATGCATCTGACTAACTTAGATCATTCGACATGGTACATGCTGCACTGCGCTCATTTCATTGCCGCTTTGATCTGCATCGCTCACCCTCCCCCTAGTCATCCATCTCCATATCGCTCCCGTACTCCCTCTCTCCCCTCAAAGGGCTATCCGGTCTCAGCTCTGGCGTTGGCGACCTTGCTCTCTCTTCCGCCTCCTCGGCGCCACTCCTCCTAGCTGGACTCCTGCTCCGCCGGTCATCTCGCTTTGTCGTCGCATTCCATGCGTTGCCTCGATCCCACCTGTCCTTATCTTCCGCCCCAGCCCCTGCGCCGTTGCCTCGTCGAGCATCTTCTCCCTTAGTCTTGTATCCGTCGAGCCCCCTTCTTCTGTTCTCCGCCTCGAACACGGGTCTCGCATCTACACCTTTGATCCATCGGTCCCCGTCTGCTCCGCCAGCCCCAGCGGAACCGCCGATTCTTGCACCTATGCGCGAGGCGAGGCCTCCCTTGGGCGCTTGATCCGCGTACATTCCCCTCGGTGGTCGCGCTACAAATGGCACTGGGATACCGCCATGACGGCGGATTTCGGGGTCTTGATAGCGCATTGCTCCACGACCTAGACTATCAGCTTGACGGTCCGCGTGAGTAGCGGATCGACTTACCCTTGCGGACTATACCCCCGTTCTCCTTTATACGCCTCGCCTCCTCTTCCTGCCTCTGTTCTCTTTCCAGCCTTTGCTTCTCCAGCCGTTCTTTCTCCTCCCGCTCCAACCTTGCATCTAGCTCAGCCTCCGTCTCTTCCTCCCCCTCTCGCCTAACAACCTCCCCGTCGTGACCGCCCTTCCGCTTGGCCCGTTTCGCCTCTTTCCTCTCCCGCTTCCGCTCCTTCTTCTCCTTCTTTTCTCTCCGCCTTCGAGTCTTCTCGTCCTCTTCCGAAGCAGCGGACCCTGAGGAGGCCGAGTACCGCCTCCGTCGCCTGGGAGATGGGCTGCGACTCCGGCTCGACTGGGAATCGGGCGAGCGAGGCCGGGACTCGCGCGCAGCTGGAATAGGCGCAACGGGTGGGGCTGCCGGGCGTCGGAGTTCCAGCTCGCCGCAGTGTGTGATGAGGACAGGGGAGATAGGGCGGTCACGAGAGTCGGTGGGGAGCTTGCCGAGTGTCAGAATGTGATTGAGGCCATTGACAACTCGACCGAACACGCTGTACGATCAGCTGAGCCAGGATGCCGGTCCGGGGTGATACGCACACATGCTTCCCGGTGAGATGTTGCGCCGGAGCCAGGGTCACAAAGTACTGCGAGCCATTGGTATCTGGTCCTCTATTCGCCATGACCAACAGCCTATCCGTCAGCTTCGCCCGGAGCATAAGAAGGCAGCGTTTGTGCGCACCCCTCCCTATCCACCTCACTCCCGTCTCCTTCCAGCATTTCATCCTCGAATTGCCCTCCGTAGATACTCTCCCCGCCTGTTCCATTCCGCTTCGTAAAGTCTCCACCTTGGATCATGAACCCATCAATGATTCGATGAACGGGTGAGCCTTTGTAGTGCAGCGGTATAGACGAAGATGGGGATACGCCCTTTTCGCCGGTACATAGTGCACGGAAACTGCCTGTCAGCTAGGGAGCAGCTATGAAGGGCCTCGTAGCTCACTTCTCGGCTGTGCGGGGTACACTGCGAGGGTCAGTAGGTGCGAAGGTTCCAGTAGGGCGAGACTAGGAGTCTAAGGGAGCTGGAACTCACACATCGTTGAACAGCTCGAACTGGAAGCGTCAGCTCACTCCCCTCGGCAAGCAAGACGAAGGGGCCTGGATACTCACAACTACTCTTCCGAGTGGTACATGCCCTACTGAGAAGTCGAAGAAGGTGCGCGGATTGACCATGGTTGCTGTTCGAACGTATATGCTAAACGGTCAAGTGAGCTAGACTTTTGGAATTCCCGAACAAGCTTCGCCGAGTGTGTGAGCTTTTGTCAACCTTCTCCTTCGCCCATCATCCATTGACTGAGCACCTACATAGCAGCCAATTCGCGCACGCCCCTGCTACACTGGGCCCGTCCACGACCTGGAGCGGGTTGATGTACGCGCGGCTCCCGACTGCGCCACACAGCGAGCCCTCGGCAATGCGGTATCATCGCGCCCAAGTCCGAAGATAAGAGAGATCTGCGTTCTGCTCGACTCGCTTCCACTCCTGCTTTCCGCATCCATCCTCTCACTCTGATAGCAGCTCACATCAGGACCTGAATCACCTCTACACTCATATACTTGAATTAGAATGGCCGCCACAGCAATTCTGCCTGAAGGCGTGGCAGCCACTACCAAGGTCTTCCACCGCAAGCTGAACCACGAGCCGCTCTTTATCGACCGAGCGGAAGGTGTATACCTCTACGAAGCCAAGACGGGTCGCAAGATCCTGGACGGGTGCGGAGGCGCTGCAGTCGTCAGTGTCGGCCATGCGGTCCCAGAGATCGTCAAGGCGGTATCGGAGCAGATAGGGCGATTGCCCTATATCAGCTCGGCGACTTTTGCGCACCAGGTATTTCCCAGCTCAGTCTACACTCCTGCGCCAAGCTTATAGGCATAGGAAGCTGAAGAGCTTGCGGAGATGTTCTGTATCGATTCGGGCATGTCCAGAGCGCTGTTTCTCACGGGCGGGAGCGAGGCGGCAGAGTCTGCCATCAAGGTCAGCTAGCTATATGTACCCCTCGATTGTGTGTTTCGTGCTGAATAGACAGCTGTGTCGGCAGTATCACGTTGAAAATGGAGAATCAGAACGGGTCAACTACATCGCTCGGCAGAAGTCATACCACGGAACTACCCTGGCTAGTGAGTCAGCGGCGCTCTCTGTACTTTATGTTTGGCGCCCCGAGCTGATTCTCAGCTCTGAGCCTCGGTCGCCATGGGCGCCGGCGAGCGCACTTTGAGCCTCTATTCGCCGATGTCTTCCATGAGGTCTCTCCGTGCTACGCATATCGCCACAAACTCGACCAGGAATCGGACGAGCAGTATGTTGCACGGCTGGGCGGAGAGCTTGACGCCAAATTCCAAGAGCTGGGTCCCGGAACTGTGTCTGCCTTCTTCATGGAGCCCGGTCAGTCGTCTTGCAGTAGCTTAGCAGCGGAGAGGGATAGTCGCTGACTCGGTAGTGGTGGGCGCTACGACAGGCTGCGTTCCTTTCGTTCCGGGATACATGAAAATGATGCGGGACGTTTGCGACCGCCACGGAGCGCTTCTGGTCTTTGACGAGGTGAACCCAGGTCTGGGATCGGAAAGCAGCTCATCGCTGACAAGTAGATCATGTGCGGCTTCGGACGAACGGGCAAGCTCCACGCGTGGCAATGGGAAGACTGCCAGCCCGACGTCCAGATCCTCGGCAAAGGCGTCAACGGCGGGTACTCACCGCTGTCCGTCGTACTGATGAACGAGAAAGTTGTGGATGTCTTCCGCAAGGGTAGTGGGGCGTTCATGAACGGGTACACCTATCAGTCATCCGGCGTAGGATGCCGGGCTGCGCTTGAATGCTACAAGTACATCAAGAAGCACAACTTGTAAGCTAGACACCGAGACGAGGGCAGAGCTCAGGCTAACATGACAGGGTGGAACAATGCCACGAGCGCGGTCTCTTGCTCGAGAAGCTGCTGAATGAGAAGATCCTCCCGCATCCTAACGTAGGGGATGTCCGGTATGTTCCCTCTCACGGCTCTCGCTAGCCAACATCAGCTCACACCCGTAGCGGCAAAGGTCTCTTCTGGGGAGTTGAGCTCATCAAGAACAAAGCAACCAAGGAGCCCTTCCCTGCCGACCATCCCGTGGCCGATCTCATCACAGCCGAGGCGATCCGCATTGGTGCGGTCGTGTACCCCGGCATGAAGGGAGCAGCGGACGGCGTGCTCGGGGACCACGTTATGCTCTGCCCGCCATATACGATCAGCGAGGATGAGCTGGAGTATCTGGTTGACGTGCTGGTTGAATCAATCAAGGCGGTTCTTGGGTGAGGAAAGCGTATATGATAATTGTGAGAGACTTGCATAGCTTGGGTGCAACGTTACAGCAGACGCCTGGCCTCGCCTGGCCCATGGGGAAATGTTCATGGTAGGGGCGAAAGTGGACATTGAGATGCTTGCCCGTCACGGAGAATTGCGGCTTTACGGCCGGCGAGATCTCTCTCAAATCAAGTACCGGCGGCAATCGGCGGTTTCCCCGCAAAGTGCCTCCGACCGATGTCTCAGCTGGCAAAGTGGGGCCGCTTCGAGTACAAGCGGGAGCGCTAGCGAGCATATCGATCAGTGTTCTTCTACGTCACCCCCGCCTCAAGAAGGTCCCGACAACGCCTCTCCTGGTCGACCTCGGTGTATAGCAGGGATATCGCCCGAGGGACCAAGGGGAGCATGACCCCGCCCCCACTGCCCGTTTCTGAAATTTGTCTCCTCACACTCCATCTCTTTTTGACAGCTTGTCCGTCTAACATGCTCACGTCTCTCCTACCTCTGCTGGGCTTTGGCTTCTGCCTCTCTGGCAGCCATGCTCAGTCTTCCACGAGTCAAGCTCCGGCGCCGGGCGCAACTCCCACGGGCAACTATGCAGGTGCTCTGCGGCCACAGGTCCACTTCTCACCGCCTCAGGTAAGTCCTGCCCTATATCTGCGCGGAGGCGGCCATGCTGATCTGCTAGGGCTTCATGAATGATCCAAACGGGATGTTCGTCGATGCGAATGGAACTTGGCACCTGTACTACCAATGTGAGCTGTCCAGCTACCGGTACGCATGAGGTCGATGCTAATAGGACAGACAACCCCACAGCACTCGTAGCTGGCAATCAACATTGGGGCCATGCGACCTCGAAAGACCTATACACCTGGACAAATCAGCCTATCGCGCTGTACCCGCCGAACAACACGTCGGGTATATTCTCGGGGTCGGCGGTCATTGATACAAACAACACTTCGGGCTTCTTCAACAACTCCAAGACAGGGGTCGTTGCCATTTAGTGAGTGGCCCATCGTCTGTGGAAACGGATCATGCTGATCTACAGCACCCTTAACACACCTACAGAGCAGACCCAGGAGATCGCCTACTCGTATGATGGCGGATACACATTCCAGCCGTACGCGCGCAACCCGGTCCTCCGCATCGGTTCAAACCAGTTCCGCGACCCCAAGGTCATCTGGTACCAAGACCACTGGGTCATGGTCGTTGCCTACTCGGTCGACTTCACTATCGGTATCTACACCTCCCCCAATCTCAAAGACTGGAGCTTCGCTTCCAACTTCACCAACCACGGGCTGCTCGGTCTGCAGTACGAGTGCCCCAACCTCGTCCAGATGCCTATCAAGGGCACGACGGACTCGGCGTGGGTCATGTACATCTCCATCAATCCTGGTGCACCCCTCGGCGGATCTACTGGCCAGTACTTTGTCGGCAACTTTAACGGAACCCACTTTACCACCTTTGACAATGCCGCTCGTCTCCCGGACTTTGGGAAGGACAACTACGCGGGACAATGGTTCTACGGGACCAAGGCGGGAGAGGATCCGGTGTCGATCGCCTGGGCGAGCAATTGGCAGTACACCAATGTTGTGCCAACGGGATCGGAGGGATGGAGGAGCATCATGAGTCTGCCAAGGCGAAATTACCTCGACAAGGCGACCAGAATCGGCTGGGTGCTGGCCTCGGAGCCGTACGACCTCAGCCCCATCCTCGGATCGACCCTCCTCCAGAGCGCCAACCTTTTCAATAACTCGGCTACCCTGGATTACTCGTCCGTCTCATCCGGCGCTATCTACTTCCGGGCCAACATCACCTACCCCTCCACCCTCGCATTCTCCGCATCCACCCCCGCCACCCTCAACTTTACATTCTCCTCCTCGGCATCCGGAGAGTGTATGCAGGGCGGCTATTTCTTTTCGTCCGACAATGCTGGGGCAGTCTGGGTAGACCGCAGCACCGTCAAGGGATTCCAGAACCCCTTCTTCACCGACAAGTTCTCCCTTACCCAGGCGGGACCCCCTCTCGCCACTGTCATTGAGGGCGTGATTGACAGAAGCGTGATGGAGGTGTTCATTGACAACGGGCACTTCAGCTCAACGTCAGTGTTCTACCCCAAGGAGAAGCTGGACCAGATGTTCATTGGGACCGGAGGGCTGGCCGAGGGGATGAAGGTGGAGATTGGGGTATGGGGATTGAAGGGCACGTGGAAGTAGGGGAGAAAAAGCAAAGATCAAGCAGAGCAAGTACTATAATGCGATCACATCCTGCTTCGTCCTCATCTGCTTCGCTACGAAGACCTTGCGGGAGGCTGTGGCATCACCTGTGCTGCTAGCTAGCTCTCTAGACGCGGACGTGCCACTGGTTGATTTGGCCACCCGCGGAGCCGATGGATTGTTTGCTTCCGTGTTTCGGTGACGACACTGACGATGACTCGGGCGACCACCACAAGTAGCGCCTTCCTTGCGATTCTACATCTTTCTATCTATCATCAATAATAGCAAGGCCGCCAAACAGTTGCAGAACCAATCACATCGGACGAATTCTACATAACTACCGAAAACCCCCTTAAACTCAACTCGAAAATGGTGAGCTGCCTAGCTGCTGACCGCGCTGGCGGATCGATGAGAACGTCGCTGATCTAGCTTTCTTCGCCTGCATCATTCTCCGTCGCTCGTTCCATACCATATCATGCTCAATACTCCAATGCCCCTCCTGACAGTCTGACGATTGGGACAGACCTCAGATCATTGGCCAGGGCCGCAACAAGCCCTCGCAAGTCAAGGGCGCCTCCTTGAACAGTAGGTTCCTTTGTTCCTGTACATGGATAGGGGCGGAGTGAGATAGGCAGTAGAGTGTAGCAGGATCCCGAGAAGGGGACGGAGGGAGCAGATGGACAATGCTGACATCTCCAGTCGCTCAGCGATCCGGAGCTGCGATCGATACCTCTAAAACTCAGGCTGGTCAATCGAAAGGCCGTGAGTGATCCGAGACATCTGTGACCAGACTATGGATGAGCTCGGTAGCTGACCGAGAACAGCGGCCGACCACGGAAGAATAGCAAAGCTGGACCGGGATGATGCTCCCAAGCCACCAGAGAAGATCGATGGAGCGTGAGTCAATTGGCCGCCTTCTGGAAATGAGAGTCTTCAGATCGGGTCAGCTTGGGGAGGGGGACTGCTGGAAGTCAGAGAAGCGTGGAAGCTGGGGGCGGAGGAGACGGCTCGTTTATCTCTTCAGGAATCGGAGCTGATCAGAACAGCGTCGGCAAGGCTCTCGCACAGGCTCGGGCTGCCAAGCTCAAGCCGGACGGAAAGAGCATGACGCAGAAGGAGTTGGCTACCGCTGTCAACGCAAAGCCCCAGGATGTGAGTTCATCTCGCGGTCACAAGGCGTCCAGGTGGTTCAAGAGACTTGGCCTGAAGTACAGATTGCGGATATTGAGACTGCTCGTGCTGTACCAAACCAGCAGCTCTTGGGCAAGCTGGAGAGGATTGTCGGTGTCAAGCTGAGAGGTGCGGCCTCGCTCATCGGGACACCGCTTGGTGGACCCAAGAAGTAAAGGCGCTCAGGAGAGCTCTGAGTAAGAAGTAGGGAAATAGGGAAGAAGAAAATGCAATTGCTTCTACCCAATTTCTGCCATCACCTATGGCTGTGCGTCCTGGCGGCCGACAGGGCGGTGTAGCACTCTCTGTGTAAGTAAGATAGTGAGATTGGGTCTGGTGTCACCACCCAGAGAAAGAGGCATTGGCCATTGGGCGTCCGCACTGGTCCGAGGAGATAGTGCACACGGACTACCTTTGCTGCTGGCCTGCTGTGTCTTGCTCGATCCAAGCTATTAATTGTTAGCCGACGTATCTCTTGTCACTTGCCTTCCATACGTCTAGCTCATATCAAGTACCCAGACGATCAACGCGCGGATACTGACATCGCTGGACATTGAGCATGTCTTGGAGCCAATATCCCGGGCAGGGGCACCACCAGCAGCCCCCGCCTCCACCGCCTCAGCAATATGGGCAGTATCAGCAACAGCCGCAGTATAATCAGTATCAGAACTTTCCACCGCCCCCTCCGCAAGGCAATTGGGGCGCTCCTCCTCCTCCGGGCAACTATGGGTAAGTCCCACTGCGGCAGCCACAGCGCTAGTGCCCGAAGCGGGATATCGGCTGACAATGTAGTGGCTATGCCCCGCCTCCGCCTCCACAGTACCAGCAGCAGGGCAACTATGGGCCTCCTACAGGAGTACCCCCGCCCGCGCACTATCAGACCGGCTCAGCAGGTGTGCAGCCGCAACAGCAGCAGCAAGGCTTCCAGCCACCGTATGGCGGTAACCCAGGTGAGCTACACTCTCGACGCAACGACTCATGGCTGATCCAATAGTGAGACCACCGACTCAGAATCAGTCCTATGGACCACAATTCCAAGGTCAAGGTGGACCGCAGCGGCCATTCTTCCAGTACTCGCAGTGTGGGTCATCTCTATGGAGTCATGCCGGGGTGAAGCTGATAGCGAAATAGGTACAGGAAGTCGAAAGGCGCTATGCGTGAGCTGACTCTCACATCTGCCCTTGCAATGCGAGTATCTCTGATCGCCTGCAGATCGGTATCAACTACTTTGGTACCTCTTCGGAGCTCAAGGGCTGCATCAACGATGCCCGAAACGTCGAGAAGTTCTTGTGGTATGTCCACCAGCCCAATGTCCCCTGAAGACCCAGAGCCCTCCCGGCTTAGGGGAACTGAGCAAGATCACTGGCTGATCAGGTAGCACAAGATACAACTACCGCTCAGAGGATATTGTCATGCTCACCGATGACGCCCGGAACCCTCGTCAGATACCTACCAAAGCAAACATCATCGCTGCCATGCAGTGGCTGGTTGCCGGCGCGAAGCCGAACGACGCTCTCTTCTTTCACTAGTAGGTTCTACTCGGCTACATCTGAGAGGATGCTCACCAGTTTCAGCTCCGGACATGGTGGTCAGACTGCTGATCTGGACGGGGATGAGGATGACGGCTTTGACGAGGTCATCTACCCCTTGGACTTCAAGCAGGCCGGTCATATCGTGGACGATGACAGTAAGTCTGTGGTCTCGATCGACCGGCACATGGAGCTGAACATCAGTGCACAACATAATGGTCCGCGCCCTCCCACCTGGATGTCGTCTGACGGCCATCTTTGACTCTTGTCACTCCGGAACCGCGCTTGATCTGCCCTACGTTTACTCAACGGAAGGTGTCATCAAGGAGCCTAACCTTCTTGCGGAGGCTGGGCAAGGTCTGCTCGGTGCAGGGATGAGCTATCTCAGGTATGTCTTCTGCTGAAGTGTGAGGTGGAGCGAGCTGACTCGACAGAGGAGATATCGGAGGAATGATGAAGGGCGTCATGTCGCTCGGCAAGAACATCATGAACCAGAACTCTGGGGCTGCTGAGAAGACCAAGCAGAGCAAGACGAGTCCAGCGGACGCCATCTCATTCTCGGGGTGCAAGGACTCGCAGACGGTAAGCACGGATCCACGTCCACGGAGGGCAGCGCTGATACCGGAAGAGTGCAGACACGTCCATGGCTGGCCAGGCTACCGGTGCCATGTCCTACGTGAGCTGATTCCTTGGACGTATGGGCGCTGAATGCTGATGTCTAGGCTTTCATCGCTGCTCTCACTCGGTATCCTCAACAGAGCTACGTCCAGCTGCTAAATACGATCCGAGACGAGCTCAAGGGGAAGTACGAGCAGAAACCCCAGTTGTCTGCTAGTCACCGTGAGTCTGACTGCTGCGTCTCGGAAATCAGGTATGACGCCGAGCTGACCATCTCGCTAGCGATCGATACCAATTTGCTCTTCATTTGCTAGTATGGGTCAGGAGGAATAATCTGTCGCTCAAACAGGCTGGTGGGCGATAAGCGTGCTTTCTCTATGGCTTCGTAAGTCTCGCGAGATGAGATCATCTTGGATTCATCCTTTCACCAGCCGTCCCCTGCTTGTACATTCGGCGCTAAAGGAGGGATATGGCTCGGTGATGCCCAACTCAGACTCACGGATTGGGATCACCTCTGGCTCGCCATCAGCCCTGACCAGCGTCTGATTGGGTTGTACCTGTTCGCCGGAAACATCACCTCGTATGGCTATCGGGACGATCTCGCGAGATATGTCGGGCAAGTACACCATGGCCCAATCAGCATGCTCCAAACCCTCCCCTGCGCAGACTCTGTCAATCATACTCGACCTTCTAACCTCGAAGCTGATCGGATTTTGTACTGCTCGGGATCTGTCCACTACCCCTGGTATAGGTCCTGTCGATCCGGTCTTCGATGACCCTCACCGTCCCTCCCCTTTCGAGGTGGCCGCACCGTGCACCTCCATACGCACCATTTGGATCGGACATGCATCGACCTACACTCTCTTCCCTACTTCCGATCCCCTCAGATCTTTCGGTGTGCTGACCGACCCCATCTTTTCCAAGAGCTGTTCGCCTGTAGGATGGCCGAGACGGAGGGTCGCTGTCCCGTTCGGGGTCGAGGGGCTCGGACCTGTCGACGCGGTCATCATCAGTCATAATCATTGTGAGTCTCGGCTTTCTGTGCTGGGCTCGAGAGTGCTTGGCTGACCTGGTAGACGATCATCTCGACAAGCCCAGTATACGAGCTATTGAGGCTCTCGGCAGAGATACGAAGTTCTTTGTACCCCTCGGTACTGGTCGCTGGTTCGTCAAGCTCGGAATACCCCTCCGCCGCATCTTTGAGCTGGACTGGTGGGAAAGTGTCAGTCTGGCGGAGACTGAAGGGGGCTTTGTCGTCTGCGATGATTGTCCCGCGGGGAGCAGCAGGGAGAAGATGGGGTCCAAAGGGAAGCCTGCTTACTTTGGCTCCGCTGGCCGACCTGCCGATAAAGAGGGCGACCCAGCTCGAAGGCTCTCCGGCTCACTCCACGTGCAAGTCGTAGACGAGGACAACGTCCGCGCAGAATGCCGCAGCTGACATTTCGGAGCCAAAGGAGGCGTCAGACTTCAAAAACGCTGACATCGCTGAATGCGAAGAAAAGCTTGTTACAGTCGCTAGCAAGCCACAGGAACTACGAATGGACGATCTGCCCGCCCTAAAGGCGGTGTTCAAGATCACATGTACGCCCGCACAGCATCCCACAGGTCGAAGCTTCCTGTTCTTCGATAAGAATGCGACGAAATCGGCGACCTGGGTGGTGGAACAGAGCCCGTGTCGAGGGGTTTCCGGTGGTTTCCCCCAGCGAGAGGGGGCGAGAATGTTCTTTGGAGGTGACACAGGTTTCCGATCGTCGGATGTGAGCCCTGTAGCTGAATTTGTGCAAGGTGAGTGGCATCGTCCATTATTGCCGGAGATGCTGATAGCTTAATCGGCAGAAATCTGCGACCGCTTCGGACCGTTCAATCTCGTCTTCGTCCCTGCCGCCCCTGGCTCACTATCGTCCCGCTTCGGAGTCTCCGACAGGCTCGTCCGGCACATTCACGCAATCCCAGCCGACGCAGTAGACATGTCTCTGATTCTCACCGGATCTACGCAAAGCGGTCAGAACGGAAACCCGGCGGAGGTCTCGGCTCAGGCGGAGAAGGCAATCACCATCACGATGCACCATACCACCTTTGACTCGCGTAAGGGTGCACAGGAGACCATGAAGGATCTGGCGGAGGCGCGGGCGGGCAGAGGTGGTCTTAGCGGGAAATGGGAGGACGGTGGTATCGTAGCCTTACAGCCGGGACGGTGGTGTGATATGGCCGAGCTGTAGATCCGATGTGATGTCCCGGAGTAGAGCGCAGTATGTTCATGCCTCAGTACATAGTCAAGATGTATTATAAGATCACATGTGAAATCACACAACGACAAGCTGAACAAGCAAGAGACCCAACGAAGCATGGCCAGAATATTTCCCAAAATATCTCCCCGTCCCATCTCAACCCTGATCCTCCCCTGGTCGCCTGCAACCGCTTCATCTCCGCTTAGAGAAGAGCTTATTGAACAACGCCAAGATCTGCTGTGTCAGCACGCCCATCTCATTTGACTTGAGGAGCCGCTCACCTTGCCGACATTGAGCTGGACGTATTCCAGATCTAATGACGCCTGGTTATCTTTTTGCTGGTTTGTCAGCCCACACTCCATCCTCTTCGGACAGCATGCTGGACTCACCTTCTCGAGCAGGTCATCGGTCTTCAGATCCATCTCCAAGATCGGCTTTTCTCTCCCCTTGAAATGCAGAGCGATGATGAAAGTTCCGGGAGCGGGCGAAGTGAGGTTGAAGTAGATGTTGATACGCCTGGAAAGTCAGCATTCTTTCTCCCTGCGATCTATCCGCCCGTCTTGCTCACCTATTGTCGGGCACATTACTATCCATGATGATCCCCTCCTTCTCAAACTGGCTGTGAGTGAACCTGTATGGTCCCAGCACAGTCGTCTTGATCTGCTTCTTCTCCTTTCCATTCACCGTCACCACCCCTACACCGCCCGACCCCGCTCCCTTCTCCTTGGTAGTCACCAGCCGGACATTCTGGAGGTACGCCTTGTACTGCTCGAGCTGAGACCGAAGGTAGTTGTTGTGGTCGCAGATGGTCTTGTATACCGCCTCGAGCGATCTCGTCTCCAGCACGACCTTCTCCTTGGTATTGCCCAGATGAACCATCTCCGCCGCCACCTCGTCCTGCATAATTTTGTAGTCGTCCGCCTTGTCAATGACACCTGCGATGTCCAGCTCGGATAAGAGGTTCTGAACCTTGATCCCTCGGCGAACGAGCACGGGGTCTTTGGAGGTTGCGGCGCGCTCGGCGAGAGCGGGAAGATCGATGGGTCGTTTGGCGGCGATGGAGGGGATGGAACGGAGGAGTTGGACAAAGATAGATTTGGCCTCCATGTAGTTGATGTCGTTCTGCGTAACGCTATCTGACATGAGAGCGGTTGAAAGCTCCTGGATGGGCGTTTCCCAGCGCGAGTAGAGCGGGAGCTCCATCGAGCGGTTCTCTTTCCGAGGAACTTGGGCAGGGGCGGGTCCGAGGTCGTCAAGAAGAGTGCGCAGGTGAGCCTTGTCGCTTGGCGACTACCTCATTAGCTGCTACTTACTATGAAGAGATCGAAAGCACTTACCAGTACTTCAGCATGCTGCACCAGCAGTCCGTGCGTATTGTACAGCTCGTTCAGAGTGATATTGATGGACAGGTCCTTCTTGGATAGCGCCATGTACTGGTCGAGCTACTACATCAGCCATCGCCTCCTCCTCGCCGAGGTCATGATGCTCACCTCGAGCGACTCGTAGAAGTCTCCGACCTCGCACAAGTTGTTCAAGAACTGGTTCATCCGGACCTTGTTGGTCTCGACGAATGGGTTGAGCGACATCATATACTGCTCCTTGGCATACGAAGGCTTGTTTGCGAGGTTCTGAAGCATCTTGGCGATCTGATTCGGTCAGTCACAGGCCAAGAGATGGCACTACCCGGCCGGCTTACCAGGGTGAGGGTCCGCCTGGGGTGCTTGGCCGGTACGCCATCAACCAGCATGTACGCCTGGGGAGTGACAATTGCGGGGTTGATGAACCGAAGGAAGAAGAACCCGCCAATAAGAGAGCATATCGACGCGTCCGAAGCATCAGGGTATTTCCGCTGCCGCGATCAGCTCTGGTCCTGGACGGGATAAATGAGCTCACCCTGGTCAAACTCCTGATTTGCTTGCAGATCCACCTGATACCATATGGTACGCTCTCCATACTATCGATAATCGTGCTGAGGAAGGTGTTGGCGATCTCCATGAGCATAGTAAGACGAGGTACGATGATGGCCTGGACGTCGGCGTTGTTGGCTGCCGCTTCGGGAGCAACTCCGCGTGGTAACGATGCTGGAAGGGCGCCGGTGTCCTCTTCGATCTGGAGCACCATCTGCTCATACACCTGATATTTCAGCTGATGGAGCACGAAAATGACTGCAGGCTCACCTTCAACGGGTTGATCTCCAAATTCAAGTCCTTGTGCTCAATGAGGCTGTTGATCCGTTCCGCCAGCACACCTTTCAGATAGCTCTGTCCAGGTCCTCTCCGAGTGTATGTGGTCATCATCCGCGATACGGGCGTGTTGGCGCGAAGAAGAGAGCCGAACTCGGAGGTGGTCTCGAATTGGGCAGAAAGGACGGACTGTGGAGTCAGCTACTTGCGCGGCGATGTGAAGCTGGGGTAGCTTACCTGGAACATGGTCAACAGCAGGTGCTCCTCCCGCTGCTCATACTGATTTCCAAACAGCGTGAACATGACACTCTGCAGCAGCGTATCTATTTCCGCCAGACTGACTAGCCTGCACAAGCTGGCGACATGCCTCGGCTCGCTTTGGAGCAGGAAGAAGAGGTTCGAGTACATGCCCATCCTCTTCTCGTCCATGTGCGACCCGTCATCCTCGACTATATCCTCCAGCGCATCCGCCACCTCCTTCTTCTCCTCCGCTGCAATCTTGTTCTGAATGAGCAGAGCAATCCGCGAGTCGAGATACCGGACGTCCCGCTCCAGGACGAAGTTCTTCTTCGACTGCGCCGATATCCGCGATTTGAGGTCACGCAGCCGCTTCTGAGCGCGGGCGAGGTCGTCCTCGATGTCAATGTCCTGCTCGGCCGCGAGCGAGTACATCGCATTGACGGAGTACCGGTTCGTCATCCGGTTGGTGAGCCTGCGGGAGGATATGGAGGTGGATGGCGAGGGGAGGGCGGACAGCCCCATGGCTCCGCTCCCACCGCCAGTGTATGCGCCGGAGGGGAGTGTCATCGTCATGGCGTTGTGGATGAGGGGGTGTGTGATGGGTGATCAAATTGGCGAGATAGCGGAGGAATGTGGGCTTAGGGTAGGAGGGAGACCGTGGGATGATGGAAGGTGCTCCGAAGGGAAGTGGCGGGGTCCAGGAGTGATTGACCGGCTGAAAGGACCAAGTCTCTGGGAGTACCAAAGGGGACCCTCGCAAAGGTATAGGCGTTGAGCGTGTCGAAGGGCAGGGCCCAATCCAGCTGATGTTTTTGCTTGCGCACGGCCGTTTCGCAATGAGTCTCGAGATGTGGCCTGCTTTCGAGGCGTCAAGCCGAGATTGAGGTAGCTAGCAGATCGCGCGAGTTCACAGATCAGGCAATCTAAGCGAGGAAGGGGTCAGAGCAATGTGACAGAGCTAGATGAAGACAGGCCAGAGATAGAGATGATGGAGAGATATGGATGTGGGCGTAACCGTAGAGCGGGGACGAGCCAAACCCAAAAGGATCAACAACCAAAGTGCCGAAAGCGGAAATTCCTATCGACTGATAATAGCGCTAGAGTAAATTAAGGTGGAACAGCTGCATCATCCTCCGCGCCCTCAGTCCCGGAGTCCAGCCACAACGTGGAGGTGAGATAGGTGCATATCTGGAGTACCCTTTACTTCTTCCCAGACCTGTCGTATCAGCATAGCTAAACGATTCGCGTGAGGAACGGGAGTGCAGCCGGACGCTTGACGAGCAAGCGCGATTGAGGTGAACTTACTTTTTGATACCTCCTCCTTGCAGCGGTCCCTTGCCCACTAGATCATCAGCGCGTGTTCTCGTTGTACTCTGTTACCTCGAATCCCCCAAGGAAGCTTGGACCGATAGCTTTTTTTTTGTTCGGGCTTGGAACGTCCGCGATACTCACACTTCGATGCGGCCTCCTTTTGCTCCTTCTCTTCGGCTTTCTGAGATCATCAGCAAGAGGTCTATTGTATCATACCTTAACACCCCGTCAAATGAGAGCGGCGACGCGGAGGCAGAGCGGGCGAGGCAAGATAAACAAGGAAGACCTCTAACCCACCTTCTTTGCCAAGAACGCCATATCGTCCTCGTCCAGCTCCTTCTTCTCCTTCTTGGGTGCCTGTGCCGAGAGGAAAGGTCATGAGGGTATTACGAGGTTTAGTGTAGAGGCAAGGGGCCGAGTTCGGTGATATGAGGCGTGACAAGGAGAGATTGGTCGGGTCATCCATCATGGCAGAGTCAGAGCAATAGTATGAGCGATATAACAAGTCAAGTAGCGAGGAAATCTAGGTCAGCGATTAAGTCGGGAAGAATGTAGTCGTCTTGAAGACGGTGACCCACCTTTAAAGGCTTGACTGGCGCAGGGGTTAGTAACTTCCGCAAAGTCTCGGCCATGCGTCACACAAACATACCTTTACCACCTATTTTTTTCAGCTCATGCCCTTCACCAGAGCAGCACGACTGTAGCTTGCCGTGACTCACCTTGCGCACCGGGCATGTTGTATAGACTTGTCAGGAGTGAGTGAGATAAGATGAGGATGATCACCAAGTTTCCTCCTTGCGCTGAACGCAACTTTCGGCTCCGGTCATCGCCGCCCAAAGATATACCGCTTTCGGCAATTGGAAGCGTTTCAGGTGGCGCAAGGGGGTGGTTGTGGCATTGCGGCTGACAGACCGCCAGCCTCAGCACGCAAGGGGGAGAACGTGGTAGCGAGCACCAGGAGAATCACCCATGCTCTACCGCCTGTGACACCCCTGGCGCCCCCTGCACAGCCCCGACTATGCTGTAATTCTGGGTGACAACGGATGCTCCAGGTCATACACGTCACAACCGGGCACATCCCTGACTTCGAAGGCATACTCCGCCGCGATCTTCCAGCTCCTCGAACGTCCTAGAGACTGCCAATCCTTTCACCCTTTATCCTAGTCCCAGTCCTCGAACGCGTCTGGACCTGGCTGACGATGAAAGGATGTAATCGACTCGGGTTTGACCACTCATTCTTGGGGGGGTTGAACTGTCTATAAGAGGCGTTCCCCTTCCCCCAGGATTCCTCGTTCATCCATCATCCTTCCCAATCCATCTACCACATTCACAAACTTTACCCAAACAACCAAACGACCACCAGTATGTTCAAGTCTACACTCACTTTCTTCGCCCTCCTCCCCCTTCTGCTCGCGGCTCCCAACGCTCCACAGCCCGAAGCGCCGAAGCCGTCCGTGTCTACATGCCCTCCTCCTCCTCCTGCTGTGACCAGCATCACGACCACCACATGTACAAAGACCGAGACACTGCCTGCTCAAGTCACCACTACCACCGCCACCATACCCACCACCATTTACCAGACCGCGACTACCACCCAGGCTGTTACCGCCACCGTCAGTCACAGCTGCTCCATGACCTGCTCGGCCGTCACCATGCAACCCAGTGCTACTGACAGGGCGGGTGCTCTTCCTCCTGTTGCGGTTCCCGCCGGGAAGAAGCGGCGATCGACGTTCTAGGAAAGGGCGGTTTTAGTGAGCGAGAGGCGAATGCGCAGGACATTGGCTTGAAATTGAGGCTTGTAGTCAGAGGGAGGTGTATCATCATGACGCGTGATGGGCAGCAGAAAACAGAGAGGTGAAGTACTTGCTGTGTATACTTGATGTATTGGTTGTTTCTCGCTGCGTCAGCTTTGCGGTCCACAGAGCATTGAATGATGTAGAGACAGACAGTATGAAGCCGTCCAGCGGGACCCGTCTCGACCTCGATGTGCTCGGATGTAGGCCTGTGGATGTCGATGAATGACCTTCATCCTGCTGCTCACCACAGCTCGACGGCTCGTCGACAGCAAGGGTCAACACGTTAAGCCGTCTTCAGATGCTGGTACTCACATACTCATGTCTCGGTCTCCGAAATTTCGCATCTGTTTCCCGAATCTTGCAGGAGTCGTCAGCCGCGGCTGTCACTTGACCTCCCCATCAGGTTGGTATAGACGCCGATAGCGTTGGTATAGGGATCAAGCAGATTGGTATTCTGTCGCCCCAGATTGGTATTCCCGGTGACCCGGTCGACCGGCTCCGGCCCGATCAGCTCAGAACCGCGTTATCCCGAAAGCCGATGAATGAGGTATGCTGCCTCGGCGCAGCTCCGCGCACTCTGCTTTCTATCTCCCCACTATCGCCCATGGAGCTTGGAGCTCCGCCTGCCGGCAAGACAGGGCAAGCCCCGGAGAAACAGCTGGAGAAATCTGGGGGGCTCTCTTGGCCCCGCGGAGATTCAGGATGGTCTGGATTGGTATTGACCAAAGGCGCGGCACAATGCGGGGTAAGACTCTAAGAGGACCAGTATAAGAAGGGTGGGCCGCCTCTCGACTCCCCATCTCTTCCATTCCATCTGATTCCAGTGACTACTGGGTGTATATACAATCTGACGACTAACTCAACTCACGACCGCGATTTGGAGACGAAAGGAGAGGTCGGGATGGACGAGATCAAGGACCAGCGCGAGGTCCACGCGTATGCGGTTAAGCCGGCCAGTCTGGCCAATATGACCGACGAGGACATCATCGCGCTCGACAAGAAGATGGTGCGCAAGATGGACCTGGTCATCATGTGAGTAACCGACCTATCCCTTGTCTGACTCTGGCTGACCGACAGGCCCATCATCGGTATCCTATACATCTTGAACTGTAAGTCCCACGCCCCACACCGATCTGGCATCTGCTAACTATGCAGATGTCGACAGGCAGAACCTCGCAGCTGCCAAGCTACAAGGCGTCATGACCGACCTCAACATGAGCGAGGAGCAGTTCGCTACAGCTATCTCAATCCTCTTTGGTACGTCTATCTCTCCCGGATCCTGTATGGCTCTAGCTCACCCTCTCAGTCGGTTACATCCCCTTTCAGATCCCATCCAACCTTCTCATCAGTCGTCTCAACCGACCCGGTCTCTACATTTGCGGCGCCTGCATGCTTTGGGGTACTGTCTCGGCGATGACAGCGCTGGTCAAGACGTACGAGCAGCTGCTTGTTGTCCGGGTCTTCCTTGGTATGACTGAAGCGGTCTTTGTGAGTGCTGCCTGTTCCAACCGACGGGCGTAGCTGATGTACAGTTCCCCGGAGTCATCTACTACCTCTCGGCGTGGTACGTCAAGCAAGAGCTTGGTAAGCGTCTGGCTGGGCTCTTCATCGCTCAGCAACTTGGTAATGGTATGTCCACTCCTCCTATCTCTCCTGAATCTTGCGCTGACCTCATAGCCTTCGGCGGTCTCATCGCTGCCGGTGTGCTCACCATGGGAAGTCGACTTGGCATTGCTAGTTGGCGTTGGCTGTTCATCATGTACGTCCAGACACGCCGCCTGCCTTGCACAGCAGTTGACAATCCTCAGCGAAGGGGTCATCACCGTTGGCTGCGGCGCGATCTTCATCTTCCTCATGGTCAGTGGCACTTTCCTCTTGCACATTTCGGTCTCTTAGCTTACGCCTTTAGCCCGAATACCCGCACAAAGCACGCATGCTGTCACCTATCGAGAAGGACTATGCGGTCTGGCGATTGGAGTCCGAAGCTGGTCAGACGGAGGCTAAGGAGACTATAGGTACTCTTCAGTCTTTCCTCATGGCGTTGAAGGATGTCCGGGTGAGTGATTTCTCAGCTATTGAGGTTAAGTGCTCGAGCTGATCCAGCAGGTCTACACCTTGATCTTCTGCATGATGATGAGTCAGGGCATGGGCACCATCACGTAGGTTTCTTCCCTCTCATAATCCCTCTTCTTGGGCGACCGGCCTTCTGTTCTGGCGTGCAGATGCTGACTCAATTAGCAACTTCTTCCCTGCTATGTAAGCTCTATCTAAGATTCACAACCATCAAGATGAGCCTGTACTGATCGCTCAGCGTCTCATCTCTCGGCTACACCAACTTCATCTCGCTCCTTCTTGTCGCACCGCCATACATCTTGGCTTGCTTCATCTTCTGGGGTCTGTCGTACTGGTCTGACGTGAGCTCTTCCCCTGCTCGTCAACCAGCCCCGGAGCGTTTACTGATGCCCTTCTAGAAGAAGCAGACGGTATACTGGCTGCTTATGGGGTGTCTCGCCACCATGCTTCCCCTCTACGTCATCCCGCTTGCGACCACCAACACTGCGGCTCGATACTTTGCCATGATGCTCATCCCAGGGGTCGGAGGTAGGTCCTTTCCCCCTCAATACTTCAAGATCTCTACTGACTTGAAGTCTGTCCCCAGATCTTCCTCTACAAGACCATGAATCTCCACAACGCTCGTCCTCACACCAAGCGCGCTGCCGGAGTCGCTCTCATGAACGCTATTGGTGGTACGAGCAACATCTGGGCCAGCTACTGCTGGAAGAACCCTCCCAGGTACTTTGAGGGATTCGGCACCCGTAAGTACCCCTTGTCGTGTGAAGATGGGCGTCTTGCTGACTATCAGTAATGGGTCTCGCTGTCGTCTTCATGCTCGTCATCACCGGCTACCGCTTCTTCGTGCACAAGCAGAACCGAATGCTCGACTCAGGGGACGAGACGCAGATCAAGAAGGTCATGAAGCATGGCGTGACCCAGGAGCAGGTGGACATGGGTTGGCGATACGAGTGTTACTAGGCCGTCTGCCTCGGTCGTTTTGGTCATTAGCAAGGGCGGAGGAGATCTGGATGGAGTCAATGTAGGTTATCAGAAGTCAGCAGTCAAAGACCGAGCATTTCAGTATCATGCATTGTTTATGCTGTGCGTGTGATCCTTCAACAAAGATCAACATGGCCATATTGATTGGACGGCTGCGCTAGCACACCGAGGGGTCTCTGACATGATATCCGAACAGTCTGGAGGTAGCTTCGCCTCGCTCGAGTCGACACCGAACTGTATTGTAGCGATCTCTGTATATTTGACCTGTGATAGTCAGCACCGTCGCCTTCAGCGGATGAAACGCCCTGTGCTGACCTGAGCGTGAGACAAAGATCATATATTGCCCTGGTCCCGATGAGGGTGTACTTAGCAGGTCAGCATCTTGGATCACCGCAAGTGCAGTTCAGAAATGACATACCTTACATCTTGCTCACATTGGCTCCGATTTTGTGCGCATGTACTGGGCTCGTTCAATATAATAGACTTCGAGCTGGGAGGCTGGACCGCTCTGAGGAGTCGATGAGTCGCTATGAGGTCAGCTACTGTTCCGAGTACTCGTCGCCTGAGGAACTGAGACACGTACCGGGGAAGAGTCGACCATTATCACCATTATCACCATCACTCCTCCTCGACCTCGTCACTATCCTCACCCTCGTCCTCCTCCTCCCCCTCATCGCCCGCGTCACCCGCCACGTCCGAGTCATCAGATGATAGATGTTCACCCTGGTAGATCCATCGCTGATGATACGAGCTATACCCATAAAAGTTCCCAACATTTTCTCCCTCCTCCGACTCCGTCTCTCCCTGCTCTTCCTCGCTGTCATACTCAAAAACGCTGAGGACATCCGCACCGTCATCACCGGGTTGGACGTCGTCCCAATCCACCCTCCCCGCCTCGCCTCCCACCTCTTCCACGCCACTGCGCCAGACCCTTGAGGCTACGCCGTCGGCCCAGCCATTCCTTACACAATCCCACCGCGCCATCTTGGCCGGGCTGCACATGTACGCCCTAACATGTGCGACCCTGCTGAGGAACCGCGCCTCATCCCACAGGGGGAAAGCTTGGGAGCAGCCGGTCTCCAAGTACTGGTCCGCACGGAGCGTCTGGCAGATCGCGCGTTTGATGAGTCGCTTGTGCTGGATGAAGGCGGTTTCCGATAGGGGAGAGAGCCAGATTGTGACGGGTACGACCTCACGCGAGTTACGGATGGTCCAAGCGACCGTCCGAGCGAAATGCAGCTCGGCCCGTAGCATCCCGGTGATTGAGAGATCCTGTTGTGAGGAGCTGATATCGAAGAAGATATCGTAGGAGAGGAGATTGGGGAAACTGGCAACGCTGTCGCGATCGCCGGAGGAGATGATGAAGGGGGTAGGATATGGATGAGGGTTCTTGTACGGAATGATGTGCTCGAGTCTTTTGACGGACGGCCAGTGCGCCGGTTCCGAGCCGTAGACATGAGGATAGCGCGATATACGAGCGAGCGCCGCGAGGTCTCCGACGAGAAGCAGGTGTTCTGGCTGCAGGCCGACCAAAAACCACGGGGCTACCGGATGGACAATCCGCCCCGCCGGGATGTCCACCGGGTCAGTCCGCAGTATCAGCGTACGAAGATGTGGCAGGGCGTAGGGCGTTCCCGTTCGACGGCAAACCATATCCGTGATCTGCGCATTGTCGAGCCAAATGGCAGCACTCTCCGTGATGTCCACCGTTCGAACGAACTCGAACAAGCGGGATTTTGTAGGACTCGGCAAGCCTTTATGGCGATAAGGGATAGCCAGATTCGTACGCTGATACCCGGCGCCCGGTACAATTTTGATGTCGCGATACAGCTTCTGCCCGGCGACTTCGAAACATTGCCGGTTGACGCGGAGGACGCGTGCCAATTGATGCGGCAGAAGGTATTGGCATATCTCTGCGATGATGGATGGATGGTTCCGGAGAGAGGAGCGTCGCAATGGTGAGGGGAGTGTAGGAGCTGAGTCCGGGAAGGGCAAAGATGTGGACGAGGTAGAAGCCAAGTCGGTCGCCTGGATCAGCGAGGTCGACGGAGCGCTCACCTTTTTGGCTTTGCTTCGTGGAGCCATTTTGTGATCTCACCGACAACTCGGGGTTCTTTCAGGGGATTCTTGTGGGTCCGTCGAGCTGTGGACTACTCTCAGGAGACAAAGATAGTCGGACGATGGTATGACCTTAGATGAGCAAATGCAAGTCGAGAGGAGGATGAGGAAACAGTAAAGAACGCAGAGCTCGGCATCAGCATATGAGCTTGCCGCTCCACATACCTCAGACAATATCCTGATCCCACACTGCCCCAAAGGCTGTGTAGACGGTGGCTGACCAGATTCTCAGCTGGCCGCTGGTTCCTTGGTGAAACGGAACTCCAGTTGGTCATGTGTGGCACTTTGTCCGTATATGAGCACCCCCCTGAGCACAACGACTGATACGTGATCTCTTCGACATCAATAACTTCCAGATCTGCTTCGTCTACTCATGCTCGTCCTCGCCTTCTCCACCAGTCCCAAAGCCCCCTCTCCCGCCACGTCATCCACCACTTCCGCCCACCCAAACTGCACCCCCTCCTCCTTCAGATATCTAAACATCACGTCCCTATACGCCACCTGCCTGAGCACACCGCCACCGAGCACCAGTCCCGCCTCCCCGACCTTCCTTGGTCGGGTCTTGGACCTACACAGCTGGTGTACGAGCGAAACGATCGGAGCGGCCAGTCGGCCAGCCGAGTCCTCTACTGCGCGGATGGCGAGTGCGTCGGGCGGCGAGCGCGCGCAAGCGGCCAGGACGAGTCGGGAGAGGGACGAGATCTGGAGCTTGCGGTTGTTGGTAGCGTCAAAGGGGCTTAGGTTTGGGTCTAGGTCGTGCTATTCGTGTAAGCTTTCGCCGCCGTGGATAAGATGGCGGACGTACCGCTTTGCCTAGTATCTCCGGAGTCGTTTCCACCTCAAAGTGCTCCCGCATGTCCTTCGCTAGGCCGTCTGTAATTTCCAGCTCCTCGTCGAACGCGTCGACGGCAAAGCGGATCGCGGTCCTCCCGAGGTCAAAGGCTGACTGATCAGCTACTCCCATATGATCAGGCTGGACAAAGTGGGACTTACCACTGCCATCATCCCCCAGTAGATACCCAACCCCACCTCGTCTTCCGATCCCTTTGACCCCTCCTTCTTCCACCTCAAGTCCGACCACCACGCTCCCTGTCCCCGCGATGACTGCCACCCCCCATGGTGCGTGTCTTTGCAGCAACGGTCCGCCGAGCAGATGCGCATCGTTAAGCACCGATAGCGAGGGGAGATGATGGAAGAACGGAGATAAGAGAACAGACATGCGGGTCTCGTCGAGTGGGGTGTCGCAGCCGGAGATCTAGACATCAGCTGAGGTCGAGCAGTCTGGATCCAGCGACTCACGCCAGTCCAGACATCTGCAAAGACGGCAGGGCAGCTCTTCGCTTTCACGCCTGCGTCTCCTGGAGAGCGTTGATATGCACTTGGCAGATTGGCCACAGCTTTCAGAACGGTACTCCGGATTCTGAAACCGTCAGCACAGTGATGAAAACGGAGCGAATCAGCACGCACTCACATCTCGGATGTCATTTGTGCTCCCACCTTGGTCCGTCAGCGATGGAGATCTTGAAACGGACGACCTGACACACCTCAGCCATGTTACCATTACCACCCTGCGCTCGAGCGATGACCTTTCCCGCAGAATCTGCTATTGCCGCGTCTGTCTTTGTACCCCCACACTGACCGGATTAGCAACAGCATCGTTAGTGCGGAAGCAAGAGATCAACGCACGTCAACGCAGAGGTAGAGCTGATCCTGCATTCCACTATTTGAGCTTGCCGGTAATTGCTGTCCTGGGGGCGTGACCTTCTTAAATGCCACGGTGCAAACGACCGTCCCAACCTTGCCGCCGAAAGTGTACGATTTGTGGGGTACAGATGAGCTAGAGCATCAGCGTAGCTACCGAGTTTGAACAAGCTGGGTCAAACTTACTGATACTCAAAACCCAAACCCTCTTTTGTCCATCTCCGCTTGATCTCCTCCTCCGTGAAGTTACAGCTCGTGATCAAGAAGGATCCGCCAGTCTTTACCAGCTTGGCGACCTGCTCCGGATATACCACAGATGGTAATCTCCCTCCCCGCTCCGCCACGACCTCTTGGCTGAGACACAGCGCATCAAAAGTCCCCTTGTCGAGTACGAGATCCCACTGCTCCTCCATATCGTCCGCCAGCAGGTCGCCCGTCCGCCATTCCACCTTCGCCGGGTTGACCACCTCGTCATTCTCCTCCGCGTCGGCTCTGAGAGTATCTCGTCGATTGGCCTCTATTGATCTGGACAGGCGAGTAGACCCCTCGGAATAGTCGATACCGGTGAGATGGAAGGGTTGCGGGCCGGAGGTCTCAGGCGAGGTAAGGAAGGAGAGCAGCAGTGTCCCATTGCCTGATCCGCACTCGAGGACTCGTATGAGCTCTTTGCTTGGGGGCAAATGTTCGGTCGCCCACTTGCGCATTTTGGTGACGCTGGACTCGCCAAACCTGTTCGTCAGCTCCAGTCATCAATCGACCCAAAGTGAATAGCTCACCACACCTCTCCTTCATCTCCCACATCATCATACACTGCGTTTTCCCGGCTGTACTGCTCAGCTCATGCCTGCTTCGCCTCAGCTCCAAGCTGGAAAGACCCACTCGTAGACACCATCCCAGTGTTCTTTCGTACCGAGCTTGGAAGGCGGAAGCTCTTCCTCCTCTCCGACAGTCATGTTGCAGAGTCTTGCGGTATTGATAGTAGCTCGTGAAGCTCGGAGCTCTGGGTGTATACAAGTAGCTTTATGCACACAATCCAGAAGGTCGAGGCGATTTCCTAGGCTTCTGATGTCAATTACGTCAGCTGTGCCTGATGTTTCAGATCGATAATTACCGCATTGGGTGAAACAACCTTATTAGCACACGTTGTGGGGAAAGCGCAGGTTCAGTACCAAAGGAGCCACACAGAGTGAGGAATGCGGATGTCCGTGCGCAGCACACAGGCGAGGCTGACTAGAGCCAAGGATGGCTTAGCTGGTAGGGAGATCGTCAAGCACCGTACATAGCACTAGCCACATACATGTTCATGTAGCTCTTGCTCTGTCCACCTGCAGCTTGACCTATCGACACTCGGTGCTATTCCCATCGACATCTATACGGCTCGGCACACTCCTCGTATCCCTCTCATACCCCTCTCCTGTGCGCCAGTCCTCCCTGGTTCACCTCGATCTCCTCTCTTTCGCTAGCCATCGATCCGGCTTCCACCCTTTTTCACCACAACGTCGAGCGCAGCTTTGATCTTCGCGCGCAACGGAACAAGCGCGGATAGTCGTGATCTGGATGATAGCTGTATGTAAAAGCTGGAGTGCTTCGGTACCGCGACGGCTTGCAAGCGGTTGTCTGGCAGACCACCTGTCTCGGAGCTTGGGCAGCTGCTTGGGCCCTCGGGTCCCCCAGATCCAGATCCGCATTCCTTGGCGATTGCGTCCTTTCCGAACCTTCATTTCATCGATTTGTCAGGCGCACACACGTCCTTCCCACACGCTTTCTTCGCTTCCATCTGCTCCGCCCCGTGTTGTTCCGTGGCGGGCCCGCACTCAAAGGAACAAGAATGTCCGGCGGTCGTCAGCCTCCTGAGACGGCCACCGCTATGTAAACCTTCCTGTGCTGATCCTGCTGACTCCGGACCATAGCCTTCTCTCACTCTTAGACAAACATCCTCGCAAGCACCAATTAGACTAGACGACACGCCTTATCTCCTCGCCGATCATGCTGTCCCCAGGTCGGACACCTCTGCAAGACGCGGTACTCAAGCAGTTGATCGGCGAACGGATCCTCGGTTTCTTCGTCAAGTGAATCAAGTCCGCTGTGCCCAGCCTCAGGCCTAGAGCTAGAAGGATTGAGCTGATCCTGTGTAGTACAGTCCTTGATTGCGTCATGATGGGTGTGGTGGTTGTACAGGTATTCGCATACTGGCCCCATATCCGAACGGACAAGAAGCACATCGTGGCTTTGGTCGTAAGTGATCATGTTCTTGATGTCGTCAAGGTCGCACAATAGCTGCACCCAGGCGGACAGAGCAGTGCGCGGCTGTCATCTCGACTACTGCTACGACGATATTGTGAGCATCCCGGTGACCACCTGAGCACACAGATGAGCTGATGATCGCAGTCTCATGACTTGGGTGAATCACCTCTTCGTATGGAACTTTGGAGACTATTTTCCCTTCACAAGTATCGCTTGTGAGTATATATCCTTCTCTCTGTCCTCGTCGGGGCCCGATCTCTGAATGTGTGCTGATGACTTAGGGCTCACCAGAGACTTCATCCTCATGATCACTGCCGTCTGCATCGTTGAAATTAGTCAATTCTCACCAGTTGTCAAGGCAAGGAGTAGAGCACATCAGCTGACTGACAGATTTTCTACGTCGACAGAGCGTGCAGACTTTACCGCCACTGGTGGCCAGCCGTAGTCCTCAGTCCCTTCGTGTGAGTCCTAGCTCGCCATCTGATGATGGGCCCGGAAAGTACGCTGACGCGAAAGCTTCGCATCGGTCGCGTTCGGTATCGCGCTCCTACTCGCCCTCAACCGCAGATTCGAGCTCATCACACCGGAAACGATCAGGGACCCGGGTATTGCGGTGCTCACTTATAGTTGGGTAAGTCAATTCCTATCCCTGCACGAGTCTTGGATCTTCGTTTAGTCTTAGCCTCCTATCATCCTCTCAGCTCGGGTTCCTGCTCCAGCCGGTGGCGCTGTCAATATCCAGACAGGTAGTCTAAGTGGCTGACAGTACAGCACGGCTTTACATTGGCTTCCGACTTTCTCATCACTTGCCTTATCGCATACGGGCTCAAGCGCGTCAAGACAGGATGGACACATACCGACTCGATGTTGCGCCGCTTGATCATGTGAGTTCAAGCCGATGGTATCCCAGTCTCTGTCGTTTAGAGCTGATATTCATAGACGATTCTTCGAGACGCAATCACCAGCTCTCATCAGGTCGGTCCACATTAGGATCGCTATGGCTCGGACTGAGCCTGAGAAAGGGAAAAAGCTGACTTTACAGTTCAGCTGCTACTCTTATAGCTTGGAACAAGCGCTACGACGTCGCCTTGGTCTTCCTGTGCGTCCCTGCCCATGGTCTCTCTGTGCCATAGCTGACATCCAGCTCCGTACAATCCAAGATTTACACCATCGGCCTCCTCACAACCCTCATCCTCCGACCAACGGCCGGTGATGGCAACACCTCCAAGTCGAAATCCTCGTATGCCGGCTCTAGCGGGAACGCCTACTACCCCAAGCCCAGCTTGATAGGTGTGGATGGGGAAAGCAATCGTGAGTCTTGAGCCGTATCTTGTCACCCTTCACCGTATGGTGGATGGGGTAGGGCGCTGATGTAGTAGCTGAAGGATTTGAGAGGTCGACAGATGAGTTCGCGTATGTCCCAGCTTTGAGGTCAGGCGGGCAGCGATAGGTCCAAGTCAATGGTAATGAAGGTAGTGCAGGGGACGTGTGCGGAAGCTGGGAAGTGCTGGGGCTTGAGGATGGCGAGGTCTATGGACGCGAGCGGACGACGGGAGTGTGGATGAAGGACTCCCTGGGCAGGATTGGAGCTCGGTTCTCATGCATCCCTTCCCCCGCCGTCTTGTGCCACACATTCACTAGCTATAGCTTAGGATCACGCTTCTAACAAACATTACGTCAGCTGTGCCTTGTGTTTCAGATCGATAATTTCCTTATTGGGTGAAACAACCTATTAACGCGCGCCTGAGCGAGCGGTGACGCGCAGAGGACAGCTTGAAGGTTCCTTCATCCATCCATCCTTCTAGTACTGTATATCGCTAGAACTACAATGCTCTCCTTACAAGTAAGATCATCTCTGAAGGTTGATACGGCGAGAAAAGCTGACGTGCGTCAGACACAGTACTGGGCAGTCAGGGACTATCTTTCACCCGTACGTCCTTTCGCCACCTGGGCCCTGCATGCAGCGGATCGTGCGTGACTAACGCGACGACAGGTGCTGCGCGAGAGCAAATTCAAGGAGCATGGTAGAATCACGCCAGGTGAGCTGTTGTGAGCTTTTGATATGCTCCGGGGGGGAAGCTTACCCAGACAGAGGAATTTGTCGCTGCCGGTGATTTCCTTACCGACAAGTTCCCGACCTGGCAATGGTGAGCTAGATTGCCGAAAGTAACCTCGGATCCAAGCTGATCTTATCAGGGAGAAAGGAGATGCTTCTCGCGCAAGAGATTTCTTGCCGACAGATAAGCAATATCTCATCACCCGAAACGGTCAGTTGAGCGCCAAGGCATGTGTCTTTGCGGAAGCTGACGAGTATAGTCCCATGCCTTCGACGAGCTATGGCCGTCAACTATACCGACGCCGATGAGGACGCCGAGAAGCTGATGAGCTTCCTGGACGAGGTGCGTGATACCGTGCGATCCTCAGTGAACGCTGCTGATGCACCAGGCGGACGAAGCACCTGGACCAGACGGAAAACCAAGATCAGGAGAGGACGACTGGGTAGCTACCCATATCGGACGAGGTGAGCTTATAGTTCTCCCGATTGTTTGCGCACAGATCATCAAGCTAACATAGCAGCATCGCAGACCGACCCAACTATCAATGACATTCCCGACATGTCTGACTCTCCATCAGCACCGGCGGCTGCCGATCCATCAGGCGCTATCGCCAATCTCAGGCTCGATGATCGGGGAGACGAGGTCAAGGAGGAGATCATCCCTGATATGGACGATATCCCAGATATGGAGGATGAGGGTGCGGGATTGGAAGAGGAGGATGACGCTGCAGTCAGGATTGTGCACCCGAGCGCGTGAGTCTCTGCTCATGAGAGCTCAGCTATAGAGGAGTGACTAGCTGTGGGCTGGTCATCTCAAGAGCTAAGCTGATACTCCGCAGATCTGACATCAAGTCTACTGCTGGCCAGAATCTGCTGCAGGTCCGGACATACGACTGCTTCATCAGCTACGATAAGCACTATCAGACCCCTCGGTTCTGGTTATTCGGCTATGACGAGGTGAGTTGACGGTAGCTTTCGGTCATGATGTACCTAAAGCTGACCATACCAGAACAAGTCACCCCTCACGACCACCCAAGTCTTCGAGGACGTCCCCTCCGACCACGCGTTTAAGACGATGACGATGGAGCCCTTCCCTCATTCGGGCCAACAACTCGCTAGTGTCCACCCGTGCAAGCACGCCAGCGTCATGAAGAAGTTTATCGATAGGATGGACGAGCATCAGAAGGAAGGCTCAGGATCAGCAGCTGGTCAGCCGGCGGGAAGTACGCCGGGGAAGAGGGGCTCGGCGGGCGGACGATGGGGTCTGGGAGGGATGGTGCGGAAGGTGACGGGTGGGAGCGGGGTGAAGAAGGAGGAAGGAAAGGAGAAGGAGGTTGAGGCAGAGGGAGAAGGGGAGGTCAGGGGGTTGCAGGTGGACTTTTACCTCGTGATTGTGAGTCATGGCAAAATTGATCGTGTCTAGTCATACTCTCGGTCATGCTGACGTTCACAGTTCTTGAAGTTCATTGCTAGTATAGTACCTACTATCGAGGTAAGCTGGAGTCACATGTGCGGATGACAAGTTGAGCAGGCGCTGATCCGTACAGGTCGACAGTACAACCGCAACGACTCTCTAACCCTCCGATATCCTCCTGCCGTCAGCGTACCTACGATCTTGTACATATGATATAGCATATGGCTTCATGTGTGATGACAAGATGCGAGGGAACATGTGGATAACCGGAGAAGCGCGGCTGAGTGGTATGACATGGCTCGGCGAGCGTGATCGTGCTAGCCATCCCTACGCCCCAGTAGCCTGATCGTTCTTCTCTTTCTCCTTCTCCGCCTTCTCGGCCTCCAGCCGAGCTAGAATAATATCCTCATCAACCCCATCGCGGCTGCGCAATATCAGCTCGCGTGCCCCATCTTGGTCCCTCTCGAGGATCCGCCGCTAGACCGCACAATGAAACTCACTATAGCTGAGCGTTATCTTTGCCTATGACCATAGTAGCGATCAGCCCCAATTCCCTGGGCTCCCACGCCGTCTCGCCGTCGTTCTTGTAATCCTTGATCGCCTGGAGGAGGGGCCGATACTGGCCCAAGATGTAGTCATTGCCCTTGTTGCTCCGTAGGATAAGCTTGACGTACCGCTCGGCGAGCTGCAGATCCTTCTTGTAGATCTGCACGCCCAAGCGCATACAGCAGGCAATGTAGACGACGGAGGGATTGACGGGGAATCTGTCACCCATTCCAGCCCCGAAAGTGAGTTTGCGCATGACCGACGTGATGTGCGGCCGCGTGAGTCTGGCGCGGGCTTCATCCTCCCTGCCCTCCCACTCGTCCATGAAGCAGTCGAGAGGAAAGCCATTAATCTCCTCGACGGAAATCACTTCGTCTAGGATATCTGGGATGATCAGGGCTTGGCCTGGTCCGGTAGACAAAGAGGTCTGGCGGCACTTACGATCACACTCAAAGAGGCCCTGGGTATGATCAGCTCAACACAGTTACATTGCAATTTGGCAGTCAAGCAACTTACAGGTCCCCACGCGCCCGTACGAGCAGCAGACGAGTGGAAAGAAGCCTTTGCCGGAGGAAGAGAGCGAATTGTACCGAGTGAGAACCCAACCAACGGTGTGCGGACGGATAGACTGAAAGATCTCGTCGCAGGGATCGCGCGAGCGGAGCAGACAGGTCGGGCGGCGGAGCGGATCACGTTGAGTAAGAGGGTCATTGCGATGATACGTAGGTGACATCAGAATCAGTAAGTGTTAGACGTCCTCGATATCGTCGTCTGTGGAGCTTGACGAGCTGGGTGAAGGGGTCCAGGATGGAAACACACAGCACGAACCTTGTCGAGTGAGAATTCTCCGACCTCCGTCGCGTCGAGATCTTCTGCGCGTGCGGCCTCCAAGCTCCCCCAAGTCCATCAGTCTCTCAGGCAGGTCAGCAGTAAGCGTCATCGCATGTACATCCCAAACTACGTCAAATCCCAGTAAAGACCACTACTAATACTATACAGATCATAAGATTCCAATTGTCCAGATACTATCACTCCTCTCGTCACACCACCCCCTCCCCCTTCCTACCCGTCATCGTCCTTCCCCCCTCCACCCCCAGCTGCACCTGTACCTGAACAGGCGCACTCCTCGTCTTGCCCATCGCCTGACTCGACTCCCGCTTCGTTCCCGCCGAAGCCGCACTCGTCGAGCTCATCCTGTTCGGTATCATACCCGGACCAGAGGCTGAGGTGGTGTGCGTGTGCGTCGTAGACCGGCTGACGGACCGAGCTGCCGCCGTCCGATCGTGCTTATCTTTGGTCATAGACGAGAGGAGGTCTGCCCAGAGTGGGTTGGAAGGGATCTTGCCAATGAGCCCATTGAGGGTTTCCATCCTGCCCATTAGCTTCATCTTCCCGGTCGGTCAGAGAAGAAACTCACCATGTAGCTTTGTCGCTATCCTTATCCGCCGAGAAAACAATCCCCTCCCCACCCTTGAACTCCACTCTGAAGCTTCTGGGGCGCGCACCAAACATCCCCATCCCCATTCCTTCATCATCGTCCACGCTCCCACTCCGGGTCTTCTTCCCCGCTGCTACAAGATCCCGCTGCGACTGGTCCGGGTTCAGATCAATCACGGCGGTCGCCTGGCGCAGATCGATCGTGGTGACCTCTTTCCGAGTGATTTCGTTGTACGCCACGAGATTGCCACCAATGAGCTTGAACGTCCGTCTTCGCGGTATCTGAAAATCAGCACTACCCCACCGTGCAAGCCAAGCTTGACACTCACCGTACAGTCCCCGCCCTCCTGCGTCAAATTCCCCTCGTGATATTCACACTCATGCCAGGCATGGTGCCTCATCCCCCTCAAACACTCATCGATACACTGCGGCAGATCCTCCGGCTTGATACCCGGCAGAGGTGGCAGCCTGAAGACCTGAAGCGTGACCTTCGCCACCTGTTTCCGCGGCCCAGTGGCAGGGACGTTCGTATTGCCGCCATCCCGAGGTCGGTCAGGTTCGCCCTTGAACATCGCAAACATGGGGTATCGAATCTCGAGCACCTTGGCCTCGCACTGCTTTGCGATAGGCTTGAAGGCGACGTGGGTCTTGGCGATTGTGCTCGAGCTGGGAGTGGCGAGGTATCGCGCGATAGTCTCGGGCTGGGATTGCGAGGGTACTGGTGCCGCTTGCGGGGTGATGGGGCGAGAAGGGGGAGCGGAGGGCGGGTTCTTGGCTTTCCGAGGGGACGAGAAAAGGTGGCGGATACCACTACCGGTCGAAGAGGTCGGCTTGGGCTGAGAGAGGGACGCATTCCGCTGGACAGTGAGGTGGTCCTGGTCCTGGAGCGCTCGGATGATATGAGGGTCCCGCCGGATGTCCATCGCGAGCGAGAACTCAAAGTTGGGATGTTCGACCCTGATCGTCAGCTCCGACACCGGATCCAACAGAGTAAGGAGCTTACAAGGCGAACTCCTGGTTGACTCGCGCACCATCCTGCAGGACAGTATACGGTGTCCGGATATAGTCGATACCGTTGTCGAGCGTCATGCAAAAGTATGTCGGCTCGGCCGGGACAGGCACAACCAAGCTCTCGATCCCAAGGACTGCTCCGTCAGTGTTGGCCCACGAGGCTTCGCGCCGGTTCAACTCACCCTTGACAAAGATCGTCCCGCTGGCTTTCCCATGGCTGACATCTCGGTCTCGCATCGCTCGAATCTCCGCAGCATGCTCATTCTAGCCCGTCAGCTCGATCCCGCCCAATGGAAATGGCAGCTCACGATATCCGAAGGCCGCCTCAACTGCCTCCACGCCTTTCCAGTATCAATATCGCCCGCTTTCGAATGCGAGACGGTGTTCCCAAAGCTGGCTCCAGAGACGTGCTTCTCGCGAACCTTGTACTTGCGCTAATGAAGTCAGCTGATGCTCTTGCTCGCCGGGCGCCTAAGCAAACAACTCACATCACCGCTTATACTCTCCATCTCATCTCTGAATGAATCCGACATGCTCTCCTTGTCCTGTCCCAAACCCAGAGTAAGCCGAGGCTGTTTCTTCGACGACGAGGGCTAGCATATCAGCTCAAGTCTACCATACCGCTCGGGAAGAGCTCACCATGATCACCTCATTCGCGTCACTCATGCTCATGCTCCGCCTGCTCTTCCGGCTACTCTTACTTCCGCCCTCATGTATCGCGCTCAGACCACTCACGTCCCGCCCTCTGGAGCCAGATGCGCCGAGCCCAAAGTCCGCTGTGGAGGAGCTAGATGAAGAGGCCATCATACCGCCGGATGAGCTGGGCGCGCGCACGGGCGCAGTCTCGCTCCTGCTCGGTGTACGGGGTGTCGGCCGGCCCGTGGTAGCTGAAGATGGCGCAGGCGGAATGTAGGGGTGAGGGTTCTGGAGGATGGATACCGGCCGACCGACGACGGCTGTGGGACCGTATGATGACCCTCGCTGGGGCAGCCCTTGGATCGGTGCTGCGTGTTGGCCGCCCGCGATGATCCGGTCGAGGCCTGAGCTGGGCTCAGCGCCCATCTCGGAGGACTGGCGGATGAGCTCCTCCGCTGCGGCAGGTGCGTGAGTATACGAGCGCGGGCGGTGTAGAGGCGGGGGAACGACATTCGAGCGAGGTACCTCCGTGGCGGACTTGAGCATCGGCGTGGAGGAAACACCCGGCGGAGGGGGTAAGGCCTTGTTGCGAGTCGAGGCGTTGCTAGACGATGCGGAGAGAGTAGGAGGGGCGACCGAGGTGGAATAACCCGTGCCGGGCGTACTTGCCCGCTTCATCTCGGCGCTCGAACCGAAGCCCGAGCCCGAGCCTGAGCCCGACGCAGACAAGGGGTCTTCGCTGCCCATACTGGAGTAATTGGACGAGCCGCCAATACCGAGCGCCGAGTGAGGCCGGCGGGAGATGGATCCCTCAGCGTACTTCCGGTCGATAGTCTCCCTGATCATCTCCCGACTGATCCGCTGGCGGATACGCACCGAGCCCTTGTTGTCGCCGTCGGCGATGGCGCGGACGTTATCCTGGGAATAGTAAGGGTTGGTAAAGCCCGAGCTGGACGCGGAGGTCGAAGTAGAGACGGGCTTGGTGGGACTGTAGGGGTTCTTTTGGATGGTCGCGCGGCGGACTAACATCTCTTCCGAGGTGAGCTTGATCTCCTCGAATTCAAAGCTGGGGATCCGGTGGGCGTTGGCGAGTGTAGCATCGTCGCTGGCCGAAGTGGCTGGATGAGAAGCGACGGATGCGGGAGAGGGAGTGACCGGCCGCTCGTCGTCCTCGGTAGACATGCCCGAGGTCGAGGCATCGTTGGAGGGGATCCGGATTTGGGATTCGAGAGTGGGCGTGGGGCGGAAGAAGGGGGAAGTCATATTGATGATCGGCAGGGCGAAGCCGGAGAAGTCGAGTCTGCTTGACTGGACTATCAGCTGAGCTCATCTTTGAGCAAGGACAGACTTACTCGCTTCTCAGCCTTGTCTTCCTGAGATATCACCGGACTCTGTACCGGACTGGGCACCTTGACCTCCTGCACCTTTGGCACTTTCGGTAGCCCCCTTCTCGGCGTCTCCTCTTCCTTCCAGCTCTGCCCCCGCTCGTCTTGCTCCGCCACCACCGTCGTAGTCTTGGTATTAGTGGTGACGGAGGTCATGCTGTGTCTAGCTGGAGTCGAATTGGGGTTGAAGAACCGCTCATCATCCTCGCTTCCACTATCCACCTCACTCCCGCTCTCGCTGTGATCGTCCGTCGCGTCCGAGGGGACGCGTCCGGGGGAACGAGGCATCCCCAGCCCCAGACTCTGCGTCGCTAGCGCCCTCGCTGCATTGGCGCGGTCCGCGTGGCTTGTGCGTCCGAGGGGAACACCGCCTTCCTCTCGCCGATCCGCTTGAGGGGACATGACGGACGTGACGGTCTGGACGGTGATAAATGGGTCGTGCATCGGCTCGACCTGCTGCGAGAAGTGCTTTGTCCCCGGGGTGGGAAGAGCGCGAGAAGGGATGGCGGGATTGGCGACATTACCGTTGAGGAGCATGGTGTGGTCCAATGATAGGGGTAGATGGGCGCTGGAGAAGGGCGAGCTGGGCACCATGGGCGGGAGGGAGTGCGCGAGAGCTGCCCGCTCGGCGTGGTGTGTCCGACCGTATGGCGCGCCAGCCGAGTCCTTCTCCGGGTACTTGATCTCCGGAGCCGCAGACTCGGCGAACATGGGCGACATGAGGACGTCGTCCCCGAGAGAGGGGGTCGAGAGGTATGGCACCGAATCCTCTTCGGCTGAGGATGGGTCGAAAGTGGGCTGGTCCTCGAATGCGGGGGTGTGCTGGTCACCGAGAGCAGGGGTCTGCTGAGGCGAGAAGAGGCCTTCCTCGATGAGCGTGTTGACAAAGTCCGCCGTGGTGCTTTCGTGATTTGGTGTAGGGCTTGGCTCGTCCACCCGCAGCCTCTCCATACTCGCCATTACCGCCTGCGCATTCGGCATGATCTCCTCCAGACTATCGTCCAGTCCCTCCGTCCCCTCATCCACCCAATCCCGATCATACTCCGATCCGCTATCCAGCTCAATCTCGAAGCTCCCATCCGCACTTCCCTCGACACTCATCTGCTCAAACTCCTTGACATCGGGCACCGACTGGAAAGTGACCGTCTTTGCCTGCTTGGAGGGCGAGTCGGTGACGCCGAGCGCGTGGCGCGGTCCGAGGAGCCGCCGTGAAGGTGTGAGGGCGGATTTGGGGCCAGAATGAGGCTTGCCAAGTGGCGAGGCATTCATGAAGGAGTTGGAGTGAGAAAAGTGTCGAGGTGGAGAAGGGGTGGGCGAGTGTCCGGCTCGGGACCGGTGATGCGCTGGGGATACTTTGCGCTGTCCAGAGGTTCGGCGCGGAGAAGGGGAGACGGACAGGCCCTGACGAGGGATAGTCTTGGGGGATGGGGCAGACTCCTCCAATCCGCCGTCGCTGGACCGTCCGACGACAAAGGGTGAGCGCGAGACGTGATTGCCGTCTTTGAGCCCCTTGACGCCAGAGCTTTGTCGAGGTTGACGCTGGCTGGTATGTAGGTTGGGCGACTCGTTCTCTTTACTGCCGGTGTTCCGGTCCGCCGACACTCTGCGTTCCCCCGACACCCGCCTGGTCTCCCCAGCTGAGGTGGACGGGATCGCTACTCTGCCCTTCTCCGATGACACCCTCCTTGTTCCAGACACAGCCGACCCAGACCCACTCGCAGTCCGAGAAGACGACCTGGGCTTGGCCGAGATACCCAGTCCAATCGCCGCCTTTGGCGTCGCCGCTACTCCCTCCGCCGTTGGCGCCTCTTCTCCCATCCTACTCCCCTCCCCTACTCTGCGCTCATGTATCACCTCCTTCCCCTTCTCCTCCACTTCCAATCCCGCCGCCTGCTTCCCCTGCGTTGTCTGCAGGTTCTTGAACGGGCTGTTGGCGACAAGAGAATTGCGTGTGACGTGTTTGAACGAGTTGCTAGTCCGGCGAGGTCCATCGTTGGAGGGTGGGGCAAGGGAGGGGTTGGGCGATTGCTGCAGAGGGGAGATGGCGCCGTCCCGCTTGTGGATCTGAAGCGGGGACCACCCTTTAGCCGAGGAAGATATGATCGACTCGCGAGCTGCGCGTGATGCAGCGACACCGCCTGGCGAGGGGTGTAACCGAAGCCGAGTGTTTGTGGGCGGTGGGTGCGACATGTCCTTGGTGGAAGCTGTCGAAGCTGGCAGGGGAGTCAGCACAGCGAACACCATGATGCTAGATGTTTGTCCGGTAGGTGATGGACAGCTAGATGGTGGAGAAGAGAACAGTAACGCACGAGTAAGCTGCGGTTCCTGTCAACAAACACAGCCTGAATTCAAATGACCCTCTTTTTGCACGCTCGGGGTCACTCAACCCAATACACAAGGTCTCCCTGAAAGCCTGACTACGTCCGTCGCGTCGTTGGTGTCAAAGTTGTCGATGGTCCGATCGTCGAGATGGTCGAGTGTCGCTATAGCATGTCGATGTACAGGTAGAAGCTCAATACATATGCTGTGTCTCATATATTTCCATGCACAAGACAGCTTTTGGGTGAGAGGCGATATGGCGCGCTGGGTGGTGCTGTGATTTTGACTTTCAGGGAAATGACGCTGGTCCAAGACCGAGCGACCCCCGGAACCAAACAAAAGTCAGTCGCGCAAGCGGAGATACAGGGTCGGCTTGGCGGCGTTTCCTCTGTGTGGCAGCCGGAACACGAAGCCTGTCTCGCCAATCTCGCCTAGCTAAACTCGCCAATCTCGCTGACTAATGATTGATTGTATGACGACCACCTTCCAAGGCTTCGCTTCTCTCACACCATAAAAGTCGTTAAAGGCATCGAGTCGTCGTCTGTGGATGTATATAGTCCCTAGCCAGGTCGAGTGCCCCCTGTGCTGTTCTTCATCTTCCCCGTCATCCACCCAGCTAGCGGAACCATCTCAGATCAAGAGTGACACCTATCGCTGTCATCGAGGGCACATACCGAACCTCACGCGACATCTTGCTCCAGCCATCTGCGCTCGGACCTTATCTCTATCAGGCAATCCGCTTTTCAGCTTGTTCGATATCTAGGCCATTGATCTACATCAGCATTATGAAGGATACTATTAGAGACTCGGTAAGCTCCATCGCCTGATCGACGGAGTAGGCGAATTGTCCGCTGACCTATTCAGTTCATCGGCCAGATCATACATAAGGCATCTAAAGGCCGCTTGTTACCTTACGCCGAGGACTCTCCTTCCTTCGTTGTACCCAAAAAGTACCTACTCGATCCAATATCGCCCACATCCACCGCACCGTCCACCCGTACCGCGCATCTCCGACTCGAGGAGACCTTTACCAGTCAGGCGTCGGCTACGACTCTCAACGATGGGCATAGCGGCTCTCATCTGGCAAAGGAGAAGGAGGGAGGTGGGACATCTGTCAGGAAAACGCGGAAGCTAGGTTATGAGGGAGAGCCCATAATAGTGGATTGGTACGGGCCAGACGACCCCGAGAATCCTCTGAACTGGTATGTCGTCTCTTGACTGACCTCCATCTGCCCGAGCTCATTGTCAGGCCGACAAGAAAGAAAGTCTGGTTGACATGGTGCATCATCGTCCTCACGTTCTCCGTCTACATTGGCTCCTCCGTCTGGGCGCCCGCACTCTACGTCGGCGCCGATTACTTCAACATCTCCCTCATCTCCTCCACTCTCGGCATAGCGCTCTTTGTGCTCGGGTACGGTCTCGGACCACTCTTCCTCGCGCCCATCACCGAGATCCCAGCGGTCGGGCGCACAGCACCGTACATCATTACGCTGCTCATCTACTGCTTGTTGCAGATCCCGAATGCGCTCGTGGACAATTGGGCGGGGTTCTGCATCCTGCGGTTCTTGAGCGGGTTTGTGGGATCGCCGGTGCTTGCGACTGGAGGTGAGCGAGCTTTATTGGAGCTCTCGCATTGCTGCTGTAGAAGCTGACCATCAGGTGCCTCCGTCGCGGACATTTTCTATCCCGAAAAGGTTGCCTACGCTATGTCCCTCTACGGCTTCGCGGCCGCCGCTGGACCCGGACTCGGACCTATCGCCGTGGCGTGGGCGATCGACGCAAATGGTTGGAGATGGGCGTTCTACGAGATGCTCATGCTCTCGGGTGCCGCTGTGCTGTTCTTATCCGTCGTCATGCCTGAGGTGAGCTGACTGTCTTGTTGATATATCAGGACTTGAGCTGACATTCAGACCAACCCAGAAACCATACTCCACCGCCGTGCAGCTCGGCTTCGCAAGATCACCGGCAATCCGAATCTCCGGTCCGAGGGCGAGATCCTGCAGTCCCACCTTCACCCTCGGGAAGTCCTCAGCGAAGCTCTGCTCCGACCGATCATCATGACCTTCACCGAGCCGATCATTCTCGGTGTAAATCTGTACATCGGGCTGATGTACGCTACGTAAGTCCGACACCTGACTTGAGGCCTTGAGGCTCCGGGAAGACTTGGGCTGACCGATCAGGATCTACACCTTCTTTGAGAGTTTCCCGATAGTCTTCCATATCGGATACGGCTGGAGCTTGGGCGTCTCCACCCTACCTTTCGCGGGCATCATGATCGGCGAAGCGATCAGCTTTGGCCTCTACTGCCTTTGGAATCGGTATGTCCTTTACCCTGCCCTTTGGATCCCCGCTGACAAGGTAGACTGTCATTTGAGGGGAAGTACATTGCGAGCAAAGGGAGACTGCGGCCAGAAACGCGTCTGCCGTTGACGGTCATTGGGTCTGCTATCTTGCCTGTAAGTTTGATCCAGCATAGGTACGAACAGCCGAGCAGAAGCTGAGACTCCAGATCTCGATCTTTTGGTTTGCCTGGACTGCCAACAGGACGCACTGGATCAACCCTGTCTTGGCCGCTTCGCTCTTCGGCGTCGGTATTGACTTTATCTGTAAGCTATACCTCCCAAACTTTAGATAAAGCAGCTGCTGATAACCTCTAGTCATGCCATACTTTAACTACCTCCCGCAGGGTGAGCATACTGCATCTCTACGCCCCTCATGCTTGATTAAAGCTGATCACCAGCTTACCCCCGCTACGCCGCCTCAGCACTCGCCTCGAACGACTTCGTCCGGTCCATGATGGCCGCAGCGATGCCGATCGTCTCTGTACCCTTGTTCCACAACCTCGGGATCGACTGGGGAAACACCATCATTGGATGCTGCTCCATCTTGTTCTTGCCACTACCGTATGTCCTCTTAGCCCCCAAATGTAATTATAGCTGATCGGCTTCAGGGTCCTGCTCATCAAGTACGGCCCGTATCTCCGCGAAAGGAGTCCAATTAGTGTACACGAGGAGGAGGTGCAAGCTGGGACAGAGTGGGAGAAGTTCCACGGGAAGGAGTACCCAAAGACGGATAGTGAGGAGATGGTGCAGGGTGTACCGGAGCGGAGAGGCGGCCCGGCAGTTGGAGCGGATGGTGGGGACCGTGAGGGAACGACAGAAACGGCAGAGTGGGGTGGGGCGAGGGAGCTAGCTGGGCGCAGCTCATCTTGATCTTGCACTTGTTGGACTGAATCTTGGGGACGTCGTATATAGTGCTGTTGCAACAGCTTACTTAGATGCATAGAGTTACTACTCGTGACGTTGCTTGACTTGGTCCGCATCTCCTTCCCAGAGCAATCTATCTTGCCAACCAGCTGGAGGAGCCCACTCGTACTTGCCGTATCTCCCCACAAAGTATGCCCAAGCCCGATTATACGCGTCGACATATTGCTATTGAGCATCAGCTGCGTCCGCATGACCGCTGTCACGCAGGATGCCAGTACGTACCTGTTCCTCCTTGACAGGATGCCACCCCACCGCCGTCTCCGGGCCGGCAATCCACCAGTCCCACTGCGCGCCTAGGCGGTATTCTAGGTCGATACGGAGGAGACCGGTCCGTGGGTCGATTCGAGGAGGGGGTGAGTTCCAGCCGCCCCGCGGAGGCGTGTGGGGAAAATGACTTTGGTATGATGTGCTGGAATTGTATCGCCCAGTCTGTGTAGGCTGTTCACCAGCTTGGGGTTTAGTAGGTAAGAGATACTGGTCTTCAGCTGACACGTCGGCCTGACGTGGGATAGTGACTCACCATCATCTCACCCATGAATGCGTCCTCATCCCATTCGCCCGTGTACATCCGCCTGGGAACTGCAGATGTCGCAATCGAGCGAACCTAGAGAGACCTCAGCTCTGGTATGCAGTTGGTTTGAAGTTGATGAAAGCACTTACCACGCCCCATGAGAAGCCATACATCATTCCGGTGAAGTACCATAGATAGCCTGGCCAGTGGTCAGTGCCCGATCCGATATAGGTAGGTATGGCGGGGTCGAGCTGTAGCAGCACGCCGAGGAGATTCGGGAGCAGGATGTAGATCTGGTATCGGTGATCAACTTAGCACCTGCAAACAAGGGAACCCATACATCGTCATCGCATTTGCTTCTATCGTCAGCTATTGGTCTCGACACCCAGAAGACTGACGAAGGACTCACAAGACCCATTGCGCCTCTCGTCCCTCTTGACCTGCCCAAACAGCCCACTCCCAGCTTTTCCCCCGGTTCATGTTCTCCCCATTCACCAGCCCCTCCAGCCTGACCATATCGTCATACGTCTTTGCCTCATCCTCCATCGCCCTAACGTCTAGCTGGTCCTCCGGACTCAGAGTCGCCTTGTCGGGATTTGCGTACCCGACGACGAAGCGGATCCGCACCAGACTACGAAGATGGGTAGGGAGCGTATCGAGCGGGTCGTACTTCCGGATGAGGTTCCGCCGAGCTCGAGAAGCAGCAGTGGGCGTGGAGAAGATGTAGAGGGCGACCCAGACCGGCCTTTCCGCCTTCAGGCCCTCTTGATCGGAACTCTCCACCGCGTCCATCTCGTCGGCCCCGATCTTTGGGATCTGCGGGACCTCCCATGATCCTGCGCATCGCGCGGCAGTCAGCTCCTTGACTTCACGCGGAGGCCTCAAATCTTTGGCGCCGACAGGCGACCAGCGATGTCTGATGAATCTGTGTGTTCAGGTCGGGGTCCGAAGGAGGAGGTAGTTCTGCTTCTGCATGTTGGGTAGGCGGGCGATATGGCGGATGTAGTGGAAGGTGGCGATCATGAGAATGCCGATACCAAGCAGTATGAGCATACTGGGGAGGGGGAGAGGAGTCAGGCGAACTGAGAGCCATTGTAAATTTTGGAAGAGGGGAATACTCGAGTCTAGCTTGAAGGGGGTCAGCGGCGTATATGGCAACCAGGACATTGAGAGATGATGTCAGTAGCGACGTAGCGTACATAGATCGTCAATCAGTCAACTGCGAGCGCTGTGAGCCCCATCGAGTGTGTATATACCCTCCTTACCCTCCTTACACTCAAAGGAACAGGTGGCGTTTTGACCAAGTGCCGATGTGGCCCAAAAGTCGCCCGCCGCGAAACCTCCCGAGCAGAGCGGACCATAGACTACAGCTGTGGCGGTCGAAGACATATAGCTATGGAAAGCGTCGATATCTGGCGTGGAGCGTTGACGAGGCGACAAGGGATGCTACTGTGGATCGTATGCAAACCCTTAAGGAGGCTCGAGGCGAGAAGACATGGACGCGACGCGTCTCGACGCGTCGATGGAGATCCCTAGACTCTCCGTGTCAACATTCCATGCACCTCAAGGTTGTTGCTGCGGTTGTTGATCGTCATCCACACCCTACAGCTCGCTATATCTCTTTGCGACACACCATACCAACCGACAAGCAAGCTCAGTAGCATCACCCGTGCCTCAAGAAATTGTGTCCTCGCCATTCGACCGGTATCGACTGCGAACTCCACATTCCTCGAATCAGACGGGCGTGACTAGTCAACTTCGTACAGCTCGTCCAGAGCTGTCATGGGCAGGGAGATCATCACTCTGCAGGTATGTGCTCCTCTCTTCCTCAGACGGGACCCTGCTTTGCTGTCAGGCTGACACAGTAGGCGGGCCAAGCCGGGAATCAAAGTAAGCGCTAATCCATACTGACCTGTTCTTGATGTCTGGCTGACGACACCCTCTTCAGTTGGAGCACAAGTAGGTCTCACTCCACTATCCAAGATACATTGGGGCTAGCGTCTACATGGGCTAGGATAGCATGCTGATCCTGCTTAGTACTGGCAGAAGCTTTGCGCGGAACATGGTATCTCCCCGACCGGCACATTAGAGGACTGGGCGGCGGACGGAGGGCAGGGAGATAGGAAAGATGTCTTCTTCTACCAGGCAGATGACGAGCATTATGTGCCTAGGGCGATCCTGATAGATCTGGAGCCAAGAGTAAGTCATCCGACTGGACGAGGAGTGGGACACTGCAGGCAGCGAGGGGGAATGGCGAGTCAGGCTAGGCCGTGGTCATGAAGACCTAGCTACCGTTAGCACTGCGAAGAGAGCAGGAAGTGTTCAAGGGCAAGAGCAAAATAAGAGGCGCTGATACTGCAGGTCATCAATCAAATACTCGCATCCCCCTTCAAATCCCTCTACAACCCCGAAAACATATACATGTCGAAAGATGGCGGAGGTGCTGGAAACAACTGGGCGCAGGGATATAGCGCGGGAGAGAAGGTGTATGAGGAGCTTATGGAGATGATTGATCGGGAGGCGGATGGGTCGGACAGCCTCGAGGTGAGTTGTCGGTACTTTTAAGGCTATGCGGGCAGTGGTGTATGGGGCAGACACCTGTCAAATGGGTTCGGGCGCCTGGGCGAAGCGTGAGGAGAGGGCTGGAGAGCTAGCTGACAGCCAGGGCTTCTCCCTTCTTCATTCCATAGCAGGCGGTACTGGCTCAGGCCTCGGCTCCTTCCTCCTCGAACGCCTCTCGGACCGCTTCCCTAAAAAGCTCATCCAAACCTACTCGGTCTTCCCCGAATCATCCGATGTCGTCGTACAACCCTACAACTCTCTTCTCGCCTGCAAGCGGCTCGTCAATAATGCAGACTCGGTGGTCGTGCTGGACAATGCGGCGTTGACACGGATAGCGGCGGATAGATTGAATGTGCAGGATCCGAGCTTTATGCAGACTAACCAGCTTGTGAGTGGTATCAAGTCAGGTGGGGAGTATTTGCTGATTGACAGGTATCGACCGTGATGGCTGCTACCACGACAACATTACGGTATCCCAGCTACATGAACAACGATCTCGTCGGCATCATCGCCAGTCTGATACCCACGCCTCGGTGTCATTTCCTTACGACCAGCTATACGCCGTTCACCAGTGATGAGATTGATAAGGTGCGCTGACGGTACTCCATCTGCGATAAGAGGCATAAGCTGACCCTTATAGGCCAAGTCAGTCCGCAAAACTACCACCCTCGATGTTATGCGCCGCCTCCTTCAACCCAAGAATCGCCTCGTGTCCACCACCGCCTCCAAATCCTCCTGCTACATCTCCTGCCTTAACATCATCTCGGGCGACGTCGACCCGACCGATGTACACAAGTCATTACTGCGGATACGAGAACGTCAGCTCGCCAATTTCGTACCCTGGGGGCCGGCGTCGATACAAGTCGCGCTTACGCGGAAGCGGGGAATGCCGGGCAGGGAGGCGAGTAATCGGGTCAGCGGGGTCATGTTGGGGAATCATACGAGTATTGCTTCTGTGAGTAAAAATACTGGAAGAGGAGGGGATGTAGCTGATAAAGCAGCTGTTCAAGCGGATGATAGATCAGTACGACCGATTGCGGAAACGAAACGCGTTCTTGGAACAGTATAAGAAGGAGGACATGTTTGCGAATGGGCTGGAAGAGTTTGATGATTCAAGAAGAGTGGTCGCGGAATTGGCAGAGTGAGTACTGCTTTGTCTTGATGAAACACGAGTTGAGCTGACTCGTGTCAGTGAATATAGAGCCATGGAAAGTCCAGATTACCTCGACTATGGAGCAGAATGACGGGCTCGGACTCGAAGTTGAATGTGGCTGGAGGGATCGAAGTTTTGGAGATCTAGGTGTATATGTATATCGTGTAATGTGGGTCGTGTACAGAAATGCATGGAAGAGCTCTCGCCACGTACTGACTCCTTCACCTGACGTATCTGATACCTGTTGACCACGAATTCCAATCGCCATCCGCTCCGTCGCCTGAATCGTCGATCGCGCTTTCGGCCTCGTTCGCCTTTGTCGTCTGCACACTCATTTCCGGTTTGGGTGGCGAATCCTTCGAGCAGGAGACTTTGGGTCCCGACACCCACAGCCCGTACTCGTCAAGCCACCGTGTATGCTCCGTCACAATCCCGTCCCAAATTTGGTCGACTTCCCGTGTATGACCGACAGTCTCCGCGGACGAGGCCAGGAAATCCTTCACTTCTGCAGGCTGTTCCAGTGTCTCGATGGACAAATCCGCATGACTGGAGATTGTGTTTGACACCCACTCGGGGTATGGCCAGCTGCCTCCAGCACCCATCTTGTCCGCCAGGTGTAGGATACTAGCCTCAGCAGTGTCCGAAAATCCGGACTCGACAGAAAGCTTGTGGTACTCGCACTGTGGCCGCGTGCTGCCTGACAGCTCGCCCGACGACCTGTTGGTCACCCTCCAACCTGGCAAGATCTTCCGGACGAAATATTCCCCCCCCACGTGTTCGCAAACACTCTCTCCATCGTCCGACGCCGCATCCTTACGAAGCCTCACAAGTCGTTTCATACTGTAGTGCTTCCGGTGATAAGGGAAAGGCCGGGTTTTGATGATGGTGTCGGAAGTGGGAGAGGTATGTAGTGTCGAGAGCTTGTGTGCGAGTGTCCCGACTGAGCGCACAGACAAGTATAGGGAGCTGAGTGGCTTATGTCGTGACAAAGGATGCACTGGGCTGGTCACCTTTGTTGTGCCGCCTCAGCTGCACCGCAATTTGCGATGTCTCCTACACGTTCGCGCGTCCCCGCCGGCACTGCACCTCCGTATGCTCTTGAAAGGATCGTAACGCAGAACCTACTAAAAGGACCTGCTAGAATCCCACCAGCCAAAGACCCGGCGGTATGAGTCAAGATCGGATGACGCCCTGCCACTCGGTGGCGAATCCGCTGGGTGTCCAGCGGCGCTGGAGCCACTTGGAAGCATCACTGTACTGGCGGCTCAGCATCGCAAAAGAGATAATAAGTTGGAGAATACCACGTCTTAGAGCTGCTACTAGACACATCATACATTATCGATCGCCGAGTACATGAACAAGTGCGCGCAGGTCAAAGTTCCTTTCCCTCGACGTAGCGCCAAGACGCCCGCCATCAATCGATCTCGATAGGTGTGCTCTCGCCTCCCGCGAGAAGTCGCGACCCCTTCTTGGCGACATCGGACTCCGTGATCCACTTCTCACGCATCTCGACCAGAGACCTGAGACACTCGACGACCCTCTCCCTGCGCTTGGACTTCTTCTTGCTGGTACAGTCGAGGAAAGTGGCGATCTGTGGTGGCATCGGATCGAAGAGCTCGTCCAGCTGAATGAGCTTATCAGCGTAAGAGCGGAGCCATTCACCCTCCTTATCAAGTATCGACATCGATACACCCATGAGCCCTCCGATCTCTGTGATGTGATCCTTGGCGGCTGATGACATCCTGGTGTCTTTGGTATCCTTGTCGCGCTTTGCTCGCGACGAGACACTCTCAGTCTGGCTTTCCGCGACATCCGCGACCTTGGTAGTTCTGTGCCCTCCTGCCTTCTCGGTCTGGGCGAAGTTTCGGCTCTGTCCGCCGCTTCTCTGGGTCAGTGCTGTAGCAGAAGCGGAGACAGACGCAGACGGTTTCCTTGTAGGTCGAGACGTGGGAGGACCCATGCTTCCGCGAGTTGAGTTCACGCTAGTCGAGCGACTAGTAGAGCTCATGCTCGAGTGAGTCGAGACTGGGCTGTCGTCGACTCTCTTGCGTCTGGGTTTGGTGCGTGAGGCGGGCATGTATGCAATCGCGATCGATGGCGCCGATGAGATCAATGTATCGAAGATATGTAAAGACTAGGCTTACAGACGGCGGTATCGACTCTTCTTTTTAGGCCCTCCGAGCGTGACCGACTAAGTCAACCGGAGCTCCCTTCACATCAGAAGCTCGAGAACCTAGAGAAGCTTAGGCCGCGGTCTCGCTGTAGGTGGCGTGATACTCTGCGAGGTAGAACAAAGGGAACAAAGGGAACAAAGGGACGGTCTGGCTAGCAGGCGGGTCGGCTCAAACCTGACGGATCACCCGGTGATGACCCCCCCTCAACAGGGGATTTGACAGCATAAACTTGCGGTCAACCTGCTGATCAGTCTACATGAGGTTCCCCTCGAGTAGCCTCGGCCTCGGGTCATCAATCCGGTTCGCTCTGCTGACAGTGATGCGAGCGATAGGAACTTGGCTGTACACCCTACATTACTACAAGCAACCGCTCTCAATAAGGCTCATTGGGATCCTGGTCTCTACATCTACTTCGAGCAAATCACCGAGGATCCAGGTCTCCAGAACCCATACTCGTTCAACCAAAGGTCGTGCTGCTCGTCCATCTTGCCCCACAACACTTCCACCTGTGCCTTTGCTCCCTCATCGCCGCCGAAGCTCAGGAAGTCCTCCAATAATGAGGGTTGTAGCATCTCAGCAGTGCTGAGGCTCGTATGGCCACTCTCAGCCTCGAGTCTCTTCATAAGGTCTGTATCGCCCGGAGAGCCCAGCATGTCGCACATGGACAGATAGTCACCTCTCGCCCACTCTGAGAGGCTGGCTTCGATACCGGTGATGTGTTTCTGGCATCGAGGGATTTGGATCATGTCCTCGGACCTCACATCAAACAACTCTGCCGTACCGCCTGGTTGCTCACTAAGAACTGCGTTTGGGGCCCGGGAGCGCATATCGCAAAGCGATAGCCTAGATCGACCGGTAATGCGTGTGAGCCGATCCATATGATCGTGCAGTTCGGAGGCTGGTGAGGGAGACTTCTCGGTACGAGACCTGGTGCTCTTTGCCGAGATTCAAGGTTGGTGGTACAGCGAGATTGACGGAAACCGAAAGATAATGCGCGCGAATCAAAGCTGTCACAAATAGAAGTCTGTAGTATATTGTGAAGCTGAGAGGAACTGCACAACATCGGCGGCGTATCTGATAGATAGGTGGCTCAGCTCTACCGAGCAGCGGTGACAAAGGATCATTGACAGCACTGGAGGCGAAACACGGGGACGGTGTACATTGTCATCCAGACAGTGCAGACGCGACTCTCAGACCGCAACTCCTTTTTGGGGTTGCAACAGATGACACTGACTCCAGGGGACCACGCCCAGCTTCATATGTGGCTCCATGGAGGACCTCTAATTGTAATCGCGAGAGATAGGCCCTACCTGAATACCCAGTCTGTCCGGAGCGACTGAGCCTGATTGAGTCACGAGCGCCACACTCGGAGGGATCTGCCACATCGAACCGCATGCCGTAACGGCAACCTGAAACATCGATAATTTTACCATCTCCACAGCTTGCTCTTGACTCCCTGTTCTACTGAGTGGTTCTACTCATCATGCCCCGACTCAAGCTCGCACTTCAGGCACGCCAGGCAGCTGCTCATCGAGCTGAGCTGGCCAAGAAGTCTAGCCAAAATTCGGACTCGAAAGCCAAGTCGGTCAAGGCGAGCACGTCCGGCTTGAAAAAGGCGCAGAAGAAGGCTCGCCTGGCCGCCCGCTTCCCCAAACCAGCAAAGGATGGCGAGCCTGGAGAGCCAACAGAGGTTGCTGAACCCGAGGAGGAATCCGCTCCGGTCGCCATCCCGCGGCAGGACAAAGGCAAAGCCAAGGCCATCATCCCCTTCACAAGCGACGATACCATCCTCCTCCTCGGTGAAGCCAACTTTTCCTTCGCCCTTTCTCTCGTCCAACATCATCAACACCCCGCACACCAAATCTTGGCGACCAGCTATGACTCGGAGAAGGTGTGCTTGGAAAAGTATCCGGACGGGGAGGGAAATGTGCGGGAGCTGAAGGAGCGAGGGGTTATGGTGGAGTTCGGAGTGGACGGAGGGGCGCTGGAAAAGTGCAAGAAGGTCGGAAAGGGCAGGTGGTCCAGGGTGATCATGAACTTCCCACATTCCGGTAGGCTACAGTTCACCTTTGAGACCCTCCGAGCTGACTTTCAGGATCTGGAATCAAAGATCAAGATCGGAACATCCGGGACAACCAGATGCTCCTTCTTCGCGTACTCCGCTCCGTCCGACCTGTCCTGACAGCTGGACCGGACAAGCTGCTGCCGGGATCGCACTCCGGAAAGGCGCAGACTAAGAAGCGGAAGAAGGGGGATGATGACGATGAGGAGGAGGAAGAGGCGCCAGCGGATGAGGTCACCGATGAGGAGGACGCCTATCTTTCGGATGACGGGGACTACAGCAAACTCCACACACTTCCCACTACGAACACCTTTACTCCTCCAAAGAAGCCCGGCACTCTTCTCATCACACTTCTCGATCAAGCGCCCTATTCCCTCTGGTCTCTCCGAGCGCTCGCCATCCGCCCGCCCCACGTATGCCCCGGCACCAAACTACCTCAGCCAAAATACAAGCTGATACGGTCGTTCCGCTTCGATCCAGCCACATACCCAGGCTATGCGCACAGGCGGACGCTGGGGTTCAAGGCGGGCGTGAGTAAGAGCGGAAACGAGGAGATTTTGGGGCGGAAAGGGGAAGCGAGGACATGGGAGTTTGCGCCTTCGCGGTAGGACAGGGCTGTGCTGCTTTGGCTTCTGCGCACCAGATCATACAAGAGACGTATACATACCAATCTAGATACAAAAGGCTGAACGCGTTAAAAATACTGACACCAAAGCTAGATTACCAGCTTCGCCAACCCCTGGGCGGTGGCGTCCCCTGTGGTCTGGTTGACCTTCCTCCGCAATTTGGCGAGACGCTCAGGCGTGACGCGGAAGCTGGCGGGCATGGCGGCATCCCACTCGCCCGTCATCATGTACTCGGCAAGCGCAGGGGCGCAGAGGAAGATCCGAGCCATGCCTGCTGATCAGCTTTGACCTGATCCGTCCTGCGAGACCTTACTCACCATGTCCGTTGTACCCCGCGGCGACATACTGACCCGGCTTGTCAGGTACGTCACCGATCAGTGGGATCGCGTCGGGAGTCTATAGCGTCAGCGCGGTGTCAAGCGCTGACGGTTCATGCGAAGACTCACCATCCCGATGATCCCCGTCCAAGCGTAATCGTGTCCATTCTTCTTCCCCTTGGCCTCCAGACTGGGGTCCCATCCACCAGCCGCAAAGAGCTTGGCGAATTGACCCATGGCATTCTCGGTGATCTCGTCTGCGGGCTTCGAGTCGTCAACTGAGTTGATAAGGGTTGCGCGTGTCTCCGGGGACATGCCGTCCCATTGACGAGAGGTCCCAAGGACGATGGACTGATCTGGCCGGGGAGCTCTGTCAATCAGCGCAACTCGTAGATATGAGACATGGAGAGCACTGACACGGAATAGAAGTTATGGACGAGGTATCGCAGAGAGCTGTTAGTCAGCTAGAATTGCCGATCTTGGAGAAGTCTACTCACAAACTAGGCTCGAGGATCGGGAATGCCTCCTCTCCGACCGGCGCCTGGGGCAATAGCACCGCTTGTGCCCTCCAAGGCGTTATCAAACCCTCGAGCTCGGGCACGACCGCCTGACTGTACGCGTTGGTAGCAAAGACCACTTTGCCAGCCTTGACCGATCCACGGGGCGTCTTGACGCTCCAAGACTCGCCATCTTCAGCCTGCGAGACCGAGTGGACCGGCGCGTAGGCGTATAGCTCATACCCTCCTTGCTGTGTGTTGAGAGTGTGAATGCCCAGAGTGAGTTTGGCGGGGTTGAGGGTTGCAGCGGGCCACTTGTACCCGCCGATGGCAGCGTCCACTCTGGTATCCTTCACATCAGCGGAGCAGAATGAGATTGACATACCTTTCGCGCCTCTTCGCCACCGAGCACAACGTACTGATCCGGCTTTCCGCCCGCTTCCGTCAATCCCTTGTATGCATTCGCTTCGAACTGGTAAAACTCTTCCGTCATGCAGACATCATAGGTCGGACGAGGAGTCCACTCGCACTCGATGTTGTGCTTGTTGACAAAATCGTCGACCCTTCGATATCAGTACAGAACGAGAGGTTCAGCACTACACCCACCGTTTAAGAACATCAGACTCCGACGACAGGATATGCTTCGCTTCCTCTTTCCCGTGCATGCCTGAGAAGGCAGTGAAGCCTCTCGCTGCATCCGGACGGCAATGACCAGCATTGCGACCGCTAGCACCAGAACAGATCTCTCTAGCTTCGAGAACGACGATCTTCTCGGGTCGGTTGGGCGAGTTGAGCAAGGTATGGGCTACGACCGCACCTGGGAGTCAGCCAGATCAATGCGGTCTAGCTACGGGAACATACCGCACATCCCACTTCCGACGATCACGACATCCGCCTCGGCGGGAAGCTCATCGTCCTTTCCTTGGTTCAGGAGCGGGTGATCTCTTGTTGACTCCTGCCATACTGATAGCTGACCTAGCGGGACAGGCAGATGCGGGTGCGGTCTGGTGATCGCGATGGGCATTGTGTATGGTCCGCTAGTGCTGCAAGGTTGGTGAGCGAAAGTATGATGGGGAAGCAGGGGGCGATGTCTTATCGGTGCATCGCTTGTAGGCACTCCCTCGCTGATCACTGGACAGCCCATCGGCTTCGGAACTCGGGACGAGCATGGAGCTATCGGGAGCTCTATTCGGGCCGTCGGGTTTGACCGATAGCTCCCCCACTTTACTGCTGCTCCGCTTAGCCAGTCTTAGCCGCGGCGAAGACCTCGCTTACATCGGTCCCTGGCCTAGGCCTCAGCGCCTCAGCTATTTCCTCGGATCCCGCAAGGCGACCGTCAGGTACAGGGTCTGGAGCCTAAAATCATTCATCTGGAGCCCGATGGAACGGGACGAGAAGGATGAGAGCAGCTGTGTGAGCTGGCAGCACAGGAGAGATCTCAATTAAGGCACGATAAGGTGGTTTAATTATAACCCTCCCCCACTCTGCTCCTCTCGATTGTCTCGGCGGCGCTACAGCGGAGCAATTCTCAATTTCACACAGCCGAATGCTATAGCCGATCCCGATAAGCTAGGGTCGGAGCCATGATCCGAGCCTCGGTCCCTCTCGGTCCGTCCCCAGCTTTGCCAACTGGTCGCATGACCAGCGATTTGCGGATAAGGGTTTTGTCGAGGTATAAAGACCACAGGGCATATCCGTGCCGGCCCCTCGCCCCTTCTCACTTTACACTGACTGCTTCTCAGCCAGCAAGATGTCGTTCCCTTCGACCATGATCGGCGGCGCGCCCAAAGGTCACTCCATCCACGAGCCCGAAACGGTCGCCATCATTGACCCATCCGCGTCGATCGACCCACAAACCGGTGCCATCATTGAGAAGAAGTCCAAGACTGAGCGGCTGTTCGTCGCTCGCTTGGACGCTATCCTGCTGGTGTACTGCTGTATCTCTCAAGTGCTCAAGTAGTGAGTCCACACCTCATCTGTCAGCAGCCGAGCACGGACATCACCCGTCTCGGAGCGCCACCTACATGCCTTCCCGCGAGATGTCGCAGGCTTATCGGGTCTCGCTGACTTTCCAGCCTTGACCAGCAGAACATCAATAACGCCTATGTGTCGGGTATGAAAGAAGGTAAGTCTCTTCCCCCTCTGACCTCGGCCCCTTATTCGATACTGACTCTTGCGCAGATCTCAACCTTATGGGCAACGAATACAACTTCTTCACCACCTATTTCAATATCGGGTCAGTTGCGCTCGCCATAGGGAGCTACATGGAGGGGGAGCGGGGACTGACCCGCGCAGATATGCTATCTTCCTCATCCCTTCTCAGATCATTATCACCCGCGTCCGCCCAAGTTACTGGCTGCCTGCTCTCGAGGTCTGCTGGGGCACTCTCACCCTCTTCCTCTTCCTGGTACAGGATGCGCGGCAAATCTACGCCATTCGAGCCTTCATGGGCGCCTTTGAGGCCTCGGCGTACCCCGGTGCTCTCATGCTGTTGATGAGTTGGTATACCCCGCGAGAGATCGCCTTCCGAATCGGATTCTACCACTCCTGCCAGTCGAGTGAGTGTATCCGCTCGATCAGGGCTCGAGATGGAGATAGCTGACAGCACAGTCGGCTCCATGATGTCGGGCGCTCTGCAGGCGGCGATTCAGAAGACCTTGAACGGCTCGCACGGCTTGTCAGGTTGGCGTTGGATGTTTGTAAGTCTCTAATCTGGATCGTGTGGTGACTCTCTATTGACCTACTAGATCATCGACGGGATCATTACCATAGTCTGGGGATTCGTCGGCCTGGTCCTCATCCCCGACTTCCCCTCCAACCCCAAGTCAGTGTCAGGATCTAGACCTCAAGGCCCGAGCTGATCAGCAGCCCTTGGGCGTTCTGGCTCAATGAATCTCACCTCGACCTCGCGCGCCAGCGGACCATGCGATTCCGCCGTGCCGACAACAAGAAGTTCACTCTGGGGTCTATCATCCGAACCTTCAAGCAGCCCCAGATCTACTTCTTTGCGTCTCTCTACCCCGCCTCGGTCCTCGCTCAGGCTGGGTATCAGTGTGAGTTCATTCACGTCAAACCGCGTCCCTTTCGCTGACTTGTCAGACTTCACTCTCTTCCTCAAATCCATCGTGGACGACCAGGGCAAGCAGGTCTGGTCCACTGAAGCAATCAATGTCATTCCCATCGGCGGGTCAGCCATTACCGTCGTCACAGTCTGGGTCTATTCCTACTTGTCCGACTACTTCCAGTCCCGTTGGCTCATTGTCGTCCTCCAAGCGGTCTGGGGTCTGGTGCCCTGTATCATCTTGAGCGTTTGGAACGTACCTCTCGGCGCCAAGTATTTCAGCTGTAAGTACCTCAGCTTGCTTCACGGATGGGGCTAATTCTCAGACTTCGCCACCTACCTCTCCCTCGCTACCGCGCCGTCCATCTTTGCCTGGATGTCCGATCTCTGTCCGCACGATGCTGAGTCTCGGGCTTTCATTATCGGTTTCTCCATCGCTTTGTATTATGCCTTTGGTAAGTCCTCTCGTATCTACAGCTGAGAGGCCGGCTGACGTCCAGGTGCCTGGTCCAACGTCCTCATCTGGCCTGCCTCCGAGGTACCCCACTACCGCGTCGCATGGCAGACATCCATCGCGCTCTGGTTGCTGGTCATCATTGAAATCGCCGCTCTGCGGTACGTCGAAATGAAGTACATCCGGCCTCGCAACTTGCGGATCACGCAGCAGATGGAGGCCGACCGTCAATTCGATGGGGCAGACAACGCCAGGCTGGAGGATGAGGGGCTTGACAAGAAGGACGAGGCGATGGACCACGTCAGGGACGTCAGGACGGCTTGAGCGATGTCTTTGGGTTGCTGTGTTGTCAGGTTATATCAGGGAGCAATTTGTAAGGAGTTCGGTTTGGATCGATATCCAGTTGTTAGAATATAGTCGAAATGCGATGAATTTGGAGCAAGTGCATGCTTAGACAAACTTCCTGGCGAATTCCATCCCGACCTTGGCTGCGTCTTCCTTTTGCTTCTTCTCGCTCTCGACGAGATCGTCCCCACGAACAGTGAAACCGTGGACCGCGTTGGGGTAGATCTTGAGCAAGACCTTGTCGGCGCTCATGTTCTTCTGGAGGACCGTCTCGTACCCCTTGAGGGCATCGTCGGTGCACATGTCCTGGATATTTAGCAAATACACTCCGATCAGATAAAAACAGACCCACATCGTGGTCTCCCTTCAGCAGCGCTGATGGGGTCTTGACGTTCTCAAGGTCGGCATCGGTGACGAAGCTGGGGTGGTTGGCGATGACGACGTCAACCTTGGAAGGCTCCTGGGCCATGAGGAAGGCGTATCGCGCACCCCAGCAGAAACCGACCGCGATGATCTTGTCACTGGGGGTCAGCTGGCTGAGCACTAAGGCTATTATTAGCACCTACGTTGCTGGGTCGGCCCGTACCGCATCGAAGAACTTCTCGCAGATGGGCCGGGCGACTATATGTTAGCTGCAATCTACGCGTCTGGGGAGCAGGAGACTCACCTGCCTCGCGGTGCTTGACGATCCACGGCCCAAGAGCGGCAGCAGTCTCGGCAGTGGCAATAGCCTTGCTCGCCAGAGTCGCCTGCGCCTTGTCCCGCATGTTTGGCGCAATCGCCTTCAGGTGAGAGTCTGGGACGGCATCCCCCTCGAGCACGTCAGGAAGGAGTACCTTCCATCCGTTTGCCGCCCACTCATCCGCGAGGAGCTTGGTGTTGACGAGATCGACACCGAAGATGTCGGGAATGAAGATGACCACTGGGGACGTCAGCTGGCGTCTTTCGAGCTCTACTTGAGCTTACCGGTCTGCTTGTCTGATGGCTTGGGGTTGGAGACGTAGGTCCTGAGGCCGTGAAGGACCTCAAACTTGCCCAAAGGCGTACCCTCATGGACGTCTGCAAGTTAGCTGGCGCGCCTGAACTCATTGAAGCACCACTCACGTCCGGTGACACAGCATGGGGAGACGGAAGTTTGCTCGGTGCTGGACATGTTGATTTGCGCGGATCGATATGAGTGAAAGATGGCTGTATAGAGTCGGAAGGAAGCGAGATGCGTAACTGACAAGTCAGCAAATAGCTTGCAAGCTGGAAGGCAAACGCCAGCACGCGGAGCAATGGCATGTGGCATCATGACGTCATACCATGTGGAGATGATACCATCTCCACAAGAAGGTATGCATCCGTAAGTCCGACTCGTACATCCGACTCGCACTCAAGATCAATGAGTGCTTGCTCAGCAGACATTGCACCACATACACCATAATGAGCGAGCTATCATACAATATCATATACGCCTTTGCCACCTCACCCGAGACTGGCAACCCCGCAGCGGTCGTGCTCCTCCCGCCCGCGCCGGAACATGCGGACCTCACTGCCCTTGCCTCGCTCTACCCGCCAGATAAGGTCCTCCAAGCCACAGCCGCCAAGGCAAATCAACCCATGACCGCCTTTGCGCTCCCCTTGCCTAGCAAATCATCCACCAGCCGACTGTCCTACCCGCTGCGATGGTTCAATCCCGTCACAGAGGCGTGGCTTTGCGGGCACGCAACCATGGCGACCTCGGCGCTGGTATTTGAACAGCAGCCTCAGGTGGAGGCTATAGAGTACACGACAATGAAGTATGGGGTCATTCGTGCATTAAAGGGGAGCCAGGATCGGGAGGTGATGATGGATTTCCCGGAGATTACGGATATCAAGCCAGTCCCGTTGGGCGAGTGGACAAAGGTGCTGGATGTGATAGACGAGGCGGGTACCGGACTGGATCGCAGCGCAGTCCTGGAGGTGTGGGACAGTGAGGACCGGATGCTAGTGGAGATGAATGGGGAGTTTGATCTCGCCAATCTCCAGGTGGACTGCAAGAAGATGGTGAGTCCTCGGTCCGTGGCCGAGCTGAATTCAGGCGTCCTTGGCTCCAAAGACCTTCATCCTCACCCAAGTCGTGCAAGATAGCGGCGCGGAGGAACAGATCCGGTCCCGGGTTTCCGTCATTGTACCTGGGTATGAGCACGAGGACTCAGTTGTGAGTGCTGTCAGCAAGTCAGAGCTGACGTGCAGACGGGGTCGGCGCACTGTCTAGTGATCCCGTACTTCCGAACTAATCCCGCTGCACAAGCTCGACTGCAAGCCTCCAGTCCCATCCGCAAAGACACCGAGGGTAACAATCTCATCCATGTCCACCAGGTCAGCCCGAGGGGTGGCAAGTTGCAGGTGTCATGGCGGCGAGCAGAGGGGACGGTGAGGATAGCAGGTCGTTCCGTTTTCTAGATGAAGGTGGATATTGAGCGGATCAGACCGGGTCCCGGCCCGCTCAACAGGGTCCTCGATGTCATCAAGCTTGCAGTGAGATAAGACCTGCCGTATTTTACGGCGCATTCCTCGATGGCCCGCCGGGATCCGGAGATGCCGCTCCTGCCGCATCTCGGCAAGTGGTCGAAAATAGCATCAGGAAGCTAATCTTCTACTCTGAGACAGCCTCAGTGCCTCCTCCACCTTTCATCCACTGAGTAAGCATTTGCGCCGGGGCGTCGGGCCGGGAGGATCGCGCCCTGCCTTCTCCACAATACCAGGACTTTCGTGACAGAGACGTGAGTGGAAATCACGCGGGGCGAGACGGCCCCGCGGGCCGGCGCTTCGGTCCCAGGGGTACCCCGTCGCGATGGATAAGAGGGATCGTCAAAGCCCATGCCCCTCACATTTACTGACCTCGCCACTCATACACTCATCGTCTAGCACCAACAGCCATGGCGTCGAAAGGTATCACTTCCGCGCAGTCTGACTTTGTGTGAGTGTTCTTCTTCATCGATCAAGAGAGGAACTGATGAGGCAGCTCGGACTATGCTCCCACACGCTCAGGCGAGGAGGGTGCACACATCCGCGACCTCCCGTCTGCATCTCAACGCTCTCCCAAGTGGAACGTCAACTCGAGGGCGTACCTCTGCGCTGCCATAGGCTTCTTGGGTATCTTCCTGTTCGGGTACGATGCTGGTCTTGGTGGAGGTGTCCTGGTACGTTGCCTTACTTGCTTACCTGCGGGCACAGGAGCTGACTTCTAGGTCCTCCCTTCCTTCGCATCTGATTTCGGCATTGAGGGGACGGCGGAGCACGTTGCGGATCTTCAAGGAAATGTCGTCTCCATCTTCCAGGGCGGAGCGTTCTTTGGTGCTCTTGGATCCTCTCCGATCATGGACAAGATGGGTCGTAAATGGGTAAGTCTGACTCTGATCGCACGAGCTTCCAGCTGACAATTATCAGTCACTCATGGTCGGATGCGTCGTCTTCATGATCGGCGGTATCGTTCAGACTGTCTGCTTTGGTAACCTCAACCAGTGTACGTACTTCCTATCCTCCATTGGAGACGCCCTGCTGACGTACAGTCTACATCGGCCGTCTCGTTGCTGGTCTCGGTGTCGGTCTCATGAGTTCCGTCTGCCCCACCTATTCGTCCGAGATCGCGCCCAAGGAGATTCGAGGCCGCGTCACTGGCCAGTTCCAGGTCATCGTCGTCACCGGTGTCGCCATCTCTTTCTGGGTGAGTAGGCTTCATTGTCCCGCCTGATCCCAGCTGACAGTCAGATCAACTACGCCGTCAGTCTGTACCCCGCCTCGGCTGGGTCCCTCCAGTGGCGCGTCCCCATTGGGTTCCAGCTCGTGCCCGTCGGTCTCATGATGATCCTCTTGCCCATCATGAAGGAGTCTCCCGTACGTCACTTGACCTACATCTTTGATTCTCGCTGATAGGTAGCGTTGGCTCGCTACCAAGGACCGTGAGGACCTGGCGCTCAAGAACCTTGCCTGGCTCCGCAAGGCCGACGAGCACGACGAATACGTCCTCGCCGAGTTCGCCGAGATCACCGCAGCCATCGCCGAGGAACGTGCCGCTACCAAGGGAGCGAGCTGGCGCGAGTGCTTCTCCAAGGGCAACCCTATCCGCTTTGGTATCGCCTTCGTCATCTTCACTCTCCAGCAATGGTCCGGCCAGAACTCCATCTCCTACTACGCCCCCACTATCTTCAAGGCTATTGGAATCACTGGCTCTTCGACCTCCCTCCTCGCCTCCGGTATCTACGGTATCGTCAAGATCATCTCGACCGGTATCTTCATTGCTTTCGGTATTGAGCGCTTCGGCCGGAAGAAGCCCCTCGCGATCGGTGTGGCGATGATGTCGGGCTTCCTCTTCATCATTGGAGCCGTCTTCAACACCCACCCGCCTGTCGTCGGGTCAGGCACCGTCTCCAGCGCCAGTATCGCAATGGCCGTCATGGTGCGTCTAGCCCCGTCTTCTCACTCGACATTGAGCTGATGGATCAGATCTACCTCTTCGTCATCCCGTACTGCTTCTCCGTCGGTCCTCTCCCGTGGGTCATCTGCGCCGAGATCTTCAACAACCGGACTCGGTCATACGGTCTCGCTCTTACCGCTTCCACTCAGTGGTTCTGGAACTTTGTCGTCAGGTGCGTCCTTCCCTCCCTTCTCACTCATTCCTCGCTCGACCATCGCTGACTATCGTAGCAAGTGCACACCTCTCATGGTCATCGGTATGCCCAAGGGCGGTATCTTCTTCTTCTTCGCCGTCATCAACATCGTCAGCTTGTAAGTCTACTCTCTTCCCGCTGTTCTTGCTTTTGCTTGCCGCTAACTCCACAGCGGTCTCACCCTGCTCCTGCCCGAGACCCAGGGTAAATCATTGGAGGATATGGATCTTCTCTTTGGTTCGGTCACCCAGGAAGAGCGTGATGCAGGTGTCGCGAGGCGGGCGGCCGAGCTGCACGCTACGGAGAAGATGGCGGATGAGCACGAGCACGTCGAGGACCGGAAGTAGGGATTGATCTTTGAGCGCGTGATTAGGTAGAGCCGCTCTTGGCTGTCTCATGTATGGAGTATGCAGTGTGTGATCATACCACAGGGGAGATTGGGCTAGACATGAGCTGGAGAGGGAGAGCACTTGCTGCCAAGCAGTCAGTTTTACTGGGTGAAGTGTGTCAGTCAAGGTTCTTGAGATACATGTCAATAATGATTTACACCTCCACCCCCATCTCCTTCATCAGCTCCTGGACCCCCTTCTTGTCTGCGCCCACCTCCGCCTCCCACCCCTTCAACCACCCCGTCACTCTGCCTTCTTTCGCCGGCACCCCGTATATCCTACTCGCCTGCCACACCTCCCCATCCACCTGCGTCCGCACAGCCGGGATGACAGTCCTCGGCGCAATGAGGTTACTGCTTCCGTCCACATCGAGTACCACCGCCTTTCCTGTCCCGCTCAAATCGACAATGCCCGAGATCCCAGCTTTGGAGATGGCGATGGCGCAGTTCCCGGTGGGTGACTCGTAGCTCCCGTCTTCGGATTCGGAGATGGAAGTGACGATAGGCAGGCGTCGCTCCGAGTGCTCCGACGGACCAGTGTGCGAGTGGATCGCCCAGCCGCCATCGACGGCCGTAAGGGGACGGGCGGTTTGGATGTGGTGGAATCGGGTGTGGTAAGGCGTATCGGTAGACTGAGGGGGGACAAGGTAGGTAGTCACAGTCACATCGTCTGTATGGTTACTTTGAGAATCAGACAGGCTTGTGAGACAACTCACTCCATGGCTTCCAGACACCCCGGATGACTCCGTTCTCCCTCACTTCCACCTCGGTACAGCTGTACCTTACCCGCCAGTACACCTCGTCCTTGTCGTCCGAGAGCGCCAAGGTAGAGTCTGGGCAGACTTGACGCAGACCGTGCGGGCCGGTAGATGTCGAGAAGCCAAACTGGGCAGAGTAGGCGAGCTTGCCGTACTTTGCCTGAGATATCAGCGACCGGACCCATCGGCAGAGGACGACCAAGGCACTTACAAAGTTTGCGCGATGGACGTGGTCCGTGTATCTGTCACCATCAGCGACAGCAGATACTGAAGGCGCGACACACGTACGATCCAGAAGAGAGCATAAGGTCATGTCCGGCCGCATGGCTAAAGGTCTGGCCCCATGATTTGACAGTGTACGTCGACTCTTTGAGGAAATGCGATGGATAAGCCTCCTCTTTGGCAGCCCAGAACGGGTGGGATTTGGGGAGCGCCAAGATGAGGAGCGACTTGAGCGCCCAGTAAGGCGACTGAGGCGAGTTGTAGTCCTGATCATCAGCTGGACACTCACATATCATCGAGCTGACTCACCTCGCTGAGGAAGTACTGCGGGTATGCCCAGCCGATCGTCAAGCTTCCGTCTCGGTTGAAGACGCTCTCGCGCTGGCTGAACCATCGGATGTTGCGGAGGACGAGACCTTTGACTATGCCCCATGTGAAGCCTTCGGGGAGCTGCCGATCAGCACAAGCTTTTCGCAAGGCAGACGAGACTTACGTCGAGCTCGGCGAAAGCCACGGCGGACCAGAATGCGGCACAAGCAAACCGATAAGTCATGCTCCGTCCAAAAGGGATCGCAGCACCGTCCGTCCCAAAGAGGTGGATCGCAAGTGGCATGTTCTGCTTGGCTCGCTCGCGATACTTCTTGGCCCGCGAAGGGTCGGTATCCCCTGCAAGACGGCAGTAGATGAGCGAGTAGAAGGGGATGGCGAACGAGGTGGCGTAGTAATCATAGCCCTTGCAGTTGGGCTGGACACCGTCTGCGGGGAGTCCCTGTTAGGTCAGATTAGGGCGGTGGAAGGAGATCCAGGACAGACTTACATCTGGACCGTAGAATGACTCCATGTACTCGAGCTCGTCATCAATAGCCTGCTGCGAGAATTCGGCGCCGACCTTCTTGAGTCCGAGGTTGATAAAGACGCGGAAGTCTGCCGGTCAGCGAGCTTCAATCGACCGAAATCAGCTGGCTTACATCTCCAGTTGTTTGCGGGGAAGGTGAAGCCATTGGCGGTGAGTAGCCATTTGTTGACTGCCTTCTTCTCGGTGTCCGAGAGCGGGTCCCAGTAGACATGGGGTGCGAGGCAGAGCGAGAAGCCCTACCGGTCAGCTTGAGTCACCTTGACAATGAACAAGACTTACCAAGGCGGCCATTTCTACCATCCGCTGATCATGGTTGCGGACATCACCCCAATACTCGTCGCTGTCCGGGTTGGTCCCCTCGGCCAGACCGCTTGCCCACTTCTGCCTCATCCCCTCAAACCCCTTCCTATCCGGCTCGATCGAGAGCAGAGGAGTCAACCCCCACAACGCTCGAGCATACCCCTCCATCTCGGCGGCGGAGGTATCAAAGTGGGTGCCCGAGAAGCCCACACGGACACGTGCACCCCCTTCGGACTGTGCGGCCGACAAGGGGGTGATGAGCGCATGAAGCAGGTCGACGAGGTCATCCCGGGTCGAAACGGGGTTGGAGACTATTTTCTGGACTGCAGCTGGGACTGGAACTGGGTGAGGCATCTTGCGTGAGTATGGTGGGAGGGAACAAGGGGCGCATGGCTGCTTCTTATATGCGAGGTGGTGGTGGAGTGGACGGAGCATAAGGATATAGCTCGCCCTTGTATCCGGCCCGAACAGCGCCGTAACCGAGCCACAAGCCAAGACACGGACTTGGCCGGGGGACGCGGAGATTGGGCTCTCCTCCGTGGTTCCGCCGGAAGCGGGATCGAGGCACGCAGCAGCAGCAGCTGGAACGTCCGCTCGCACACAGACCGACAGCTTCTTGACTGCACCTTTCGTGTACACCGTTCAATACACTTCTACACCCTCACACCCAGCACGCACAGACAACATGGCTACTATCAACCCTCACAATCTCCTGGCGACACTTCTCGCTTCAGAGGTACAACCTACAGCCGGACCCTCTTCACATCCCAACATGCTCCGCTCGACTTCGCACGTCCACTCTGCGTACGCCGATGAAGAGTACGGTGGCGAGATCGAGCCCGAGGGCGACCCAGACGAGAGCATGTTCAGGGACTTGACTTTCGACGAGGTGCTGGAAGACCTCAATGCGAGGTTTCTTGTCAATCTGCCTCAAGAGGAGAAGTCGCTCGTCCGGATTTATTGGCAAGCGGAGCAGGCGTAGGTCACCCAAGCCTGGCGCAGAGAGATTGAGCTCAAAGAATAGTCATTGGTTCTATGAGGACTACCTTCGACCGCTCAACCCCAATCTACCCTCAATGGGTCAGAAACAATTCACCCAACTCATCATATCCACCTCGCCCCTCTTCTCAACGCTCGCCGGTCCGAACGGGATAGATTACGCGGGCGGTTGGACGGACTATATGAACTATAAGAGCATGGTGCCGTGCTGTGGAGGGATTCTGCTGAACGAGGCAGGAGACAAGGTATGTTCTGCTCCAAGCTGCGGGGACATGTAGGCTAATCAGCAGTGTCTCGTAGTGAGGGGCTTCAAGTCGAATGCTGGATGGTCTTTCCCACGAGGGAAGATCAACATCAACGAGCCGCCAGTGGAGTGTGCTATTCGAGAAGTATGTCTGAGTCAAGTGATGGATTGGCATATACGATAGATAGCTGATCACACAGGTTGAGGAAGAGATTGGCTATGATCTTCGAGGGAGCATCAATGAGCAGGACCAGATCCAGACGCACATCAATTCGCAGCATGTCACCATGTTCATCGTGCCAGGAGTACCGGAGGCCACCCTTTTTGAAGCGCAAACGAGGAATGAGATTGGGGTGAGTTACACGCAGAGCCGGTGGTCAGAGCCCAGCTGACGAGATAGGCGATCGAGTGGGTCAGGTTGGCGGATCTGCCTACGTGGACTGGCAAGAAGCCAAAGAAGACACCGGGAGTCAAGGAGAAGAAGTTCTATAACGTGACGCCGTTTGTCGGGTGAGTTCGCACGCTCGCACGATTGCTGGCTCCAGCTGACCTGAAAGACCCCTGAAGAAGTGGCTCTTCCAACATGGCTACAACCCAAATCCCTCGAGCAAGAAGAAGCAACCCTCTTCCCGTCCCCCTCCCGCCCCGCAGAACAGCCAGCGCAGTCTCCAACCCTTCTACGACGGGTCCTCCGCCATACCTCTGGGCGAGGCACTCCAGCCTGACGCTGAGCCACAGCATGTTCGCGGTACGAGCGCCCTCGATTCCCTCTTCGACCGCTTCATCAACAAGCAGGAGGAGGATCTGCTATCGAGCACCGCGGAGGCTGTCACGGGTCCAGATCAGAAGGAGGGCCTCAAGCGGCTATTCGGGAACCTGAATGTGCTGGATTCGCAGCGGGCGGCGGAGGAGGTGGTGCGCCAGAAGAAAGAAGAAGAGGAGGATCTGGCGGCTTTGCTGGGTGGGGTGGTGATTCAGCCGGCTGCACCGCCGGCGAGCGAGAAGCAGAACCGGCTGCTATCGTTGCTCAAACCCGCCACTGTGCCTGCTCCGAGCATTGCGGCTGCTCCCCCAGTCCCTCGCGAACCGGCTCCAGCGGCAGCACAGGTACCGGCTCCCGCTCCCGCCCCCGCGCCTATGATGAAGCCTCATCAGGCTTCTTTGCTATCTATGCTCTCCCCAGCTGCTCGATCTGCCACCGTCGGCCAGTCTTCCGCTCCTCCGCAGCCTTCGTCCGGCTACAATACCCACCAGGAGTCGGCTGGATCGACAGCCAAGCCCATATCACTACCCACCAGTCCGCGCCCGCCCAGCGCAGACGAGCGCGAGGCGGAACGGCGGGACAAGCAACGCAAGTTGCTCGAAATGACGATTGCGGGTATGGGCCTCGACTCTACCGCGCCGTCAAGCAGCCACGCTGCCGGCGGAGGGACGGATGGTGGGCCGCAGCAGGACTACGGCTACAACTCTGGACCACCTTTCGGAGCCGGAAACATCGGCTATGCTCCTCAGGCAGATAATATATCTCCCTCGGCTCAGCAAGGCGTTTACTCCAACCGGCCTACTCCGCCTTCCCACCCAAATAACCCGGGCTACCCAGTCCAAACCACTCCGACGAAGCGGTATCAGCCTCATCAGACCAGCTCTACGTCCAGCCCGTCCAAATCCCAATCCCAGCACCCGAGTTTCGGCGGAGGTATCGCACAACACCCATCTATGGACGCGCCGTTCGGGCTGCATGCTTCGCATCCGTCACAGCAGCTACAGCCACAGCAGCAGCACCAGCAGCCGCAACCTGCATTTCAGCCGTACCGACAACAGCCACCGACCGGACCAACAGCGGAGCAACAGCGGCTGCTCGCTGCTCTTCAGGCTAGACCGCCGCATACTGCACCACAACCGGGTGGACAGCCCGGCGGGTATGGGAATCCATTGCGGTCAGCGTATGCCTCGGCGGGGATGGCGCCCGGGAGATCAGGAGGCGGAGGAGGCGGGTACCAGATGGGTGTTCCTGGTCAGCCCGGTCAACCCGGTCACACCGGTCAGCCTGGTCAGCCTGGCTCCGGACATGTCCAGTCAAACTTGACGACGGTCAACTTCCCGCCACCTCTCTCGGCAAATCACTACCTGCATAATAATCCTCAACAGCATGCCTACCACCCACCCCCTAATCCCCCTTATCCGCAGCATCTACCGTATCCCCCGCAACCTGGCTCGAACTATCGGCCGCCCCTACCGCCTCATTCGCAACAGCCGGGATACAACCAGCAGCCCGGCTACAATCATCAGCCGGGGCAACAGCCGGGATACAATCACCCTCCGCCAGTCCATCATCCAGTGTATCAGCACCAGCAGGCGCATGGATCGGGCGGATATGCTCAGATGGTTAATGGGCAGTCCAACCATACGGGCAGCCATCCTGGACAGCAGGGTCGCCAGCCGGGTCCCAACTCTGCTCCGGACCAGAATACGAATGTCCTACAGCCGGTGCCTATGCCGAGGCAGGCGACAATGGGGTTGTTGGCGATGATCAATGGGGAGACGGGGTAGTGGGGTGGTCAGTCGGAGTCAGTTGGGTTAGGGGAAGGAGTGTGGGGTTTGGTATGGGTCTCGGGCGATCTCGGGCGGGAGAACGGCCTCAGCGAGAAATTGTTGAGTCGATGCAAGTAATCTGTGCAGGAATTTCGAGTCGAGACCGTCCTTTGCGATCCATGATCGATGCAGCCTGAGGCCACTGCGCCACCAAGGAAGCGGCGGCAGGATCTTATCGATCCCTGCCCAAAATAACCCAAAGAGGCAAAATATTCGCGATCTCGGCATGGTCCGACCCGGACTCTGATTTAAACTTGAGATCGACTCCTTCTCCGAATTTCCACACAACCCCTCCCCCCCGACATTTTCCTACCATCGCTCGCTGACCATCGACCATCAGTCTCGATCTACTTTATACCACTACCTCCTACCTATAACCGATAAGCCCATACACTATGTCGCTTGGATCAGAACCCACTATCGTCCCTTCCTCGGCCGCGCCGAATGGCAGCTTGAACGGTACTTCTACGCCTGTGCCCCAGCGGGCTGCGGCGGGGGGTGCGGGCGGCGCTGGGACGTTTGGCGTCAAGACGGGTCTTGCGCAGATGCTGAAGGGAGGGTGAGTCTTCTGGCCATACGCAGGAGATCAGCGGCCTGCTAAGAGGACACGGACTGATCGACAGTGTGATCATGGACGTTATGAACGTCGAGCAGGCCAAGATCGCCGAAGAGGCCGGAGCTTGTGCCGTCATGGCTCTTGGTGAGCTTCATAGCCTTGACCACTGTTGCGATGGATTTAGCTGACTGTAACAGAGCGTATTCCCGCCAACATCCGTCGTGATGGCGGTGTCGCCCGGATGGTATGTCTGACTATCGGAGCTGTTGTCGCAGAGAGGACAGCGCTGACCCGCAGTCCGACCCCGGTATGATCAAGGAGATCATGGCTGCTGTCTCCATCCCCGTCATGGCCAAAGTCCGTATTGGACACTTTGTCGAGGCGCAGATCCTCCAGGCTGTCGGTGTGGACTACATCGACGTAAGTTGCTTTTTTCTGGGTGGGAATAGTAAGGCGATGGATGAGATGCTGGCGATATCGCTGGAAAGCACGGGGAAAGACACTGGGAAGACACGAAGAAAAACGAGCGGTCACTGACAAGTAGGAATCCGAGGTCCTCACTATGGCCGACGACAAGCACCACATTGGCAAGCACGTCTTCAAGGTGCCCTTCGTCTGTGGATGCAAGAACCTCGGCGAGGCTCTCCGACGTATCTCTGAGGGTGCTGCGTGAGTCTCGAGCCCCGCATATCCGGTCAAGTCTCGTGCTGACTTTCCAGTATGATCCGCACCAAGGGTGAGGCCGGAACCGGTGATGTCGTCGAGGCCGTCAAGCACCAGCGCGCCGTCATGGCCGACATTCGCAAGGCTGCCGCCATGTCGGATGATGAGCTCTACGCATTCGCCAAGGACCTCGCTGTGCCTTACCACCTCTTGAAGGAGACTGCCCGTCTCAAGCGATTGCCCGTTGTCAGGTGAGCCTTCACACCAGCTGACGTGGCAGAGAGGGACTCCAGCTGAACATCCAGCTTCGCCGCTGGAGGTGTCGCCACCCCCGCTGATGCCGCCCTGATGATGCACCTCGGATGCGACGGTGTCTTTGTCGGATCCGGTATCTTCCTCTCCGGCGACCCGGCCAAGCGCGCCCGCGCCATCGTCCAGGCCGTCACCCACTACAACAACCCCGCGATGCTCGCCGAGTGCTCGACCGGTATCGGAGAGGCCATGGTCGGTATCAGCGTGTGAGTTCAGTTTTTGTGTGTAGACGGAGGACAAGAGCTGACAGTCAGGGCTGCGGAGGGTGAGCGGATGCTCGGCGGCAAGATGTCCAACCGAGGTATCTAGTTGGAGAGGCATTGTAGGTGGAATATGCATGTCGTGCGAGTAGTCATCCATGAGCTCGTATGATCTCTGACGGTAATGCTCGATCCAGCTGATTGGCGCTGGACGATAGGCCTTCGCTCGTGCTGGCTGCAGCGCACACTACTAAATCTGCCTACTTGGGAGCTGACTCTCCGCCGCTCTTCTTCTTCTGACCCTCTTTCGACTTCTGCTTCTGCTTCTCCTTCTCTGCCGCGACGTGCTTGTCGACAGCGGCGGTCCCTGCCTTGGCTTCGAGATCTTTGAATATCGAAGGCCACTCGGCGCGCTTGATGGCGTTGACACAAACCTAAAAGCGTCAACTCTGTCACCTGCGGCACGAGTTCCAGCCAAGCCGTAACTGCTGAACTGATTGCGATCAATCGCGAAACGTACGACAGCAGCAGCAATGCTATAGTTGTCAGCTGTGTTACACTTCATGAGGCTCCAGAGGTACTCGTATCTGACTCACTTGGCGAGAATGTTGACAAGGTAGATGAAGGTAGCGTACAGGCAGTAGACCTCGGTATCGATCTGAGGATTGTTGGGATAGAGACCGCGCCATGAGGTGGAGCCGGTGGCCTATCGGCGTCAGCTCTCGCGGCTCGCAATGCGCCGCCTGCAAATCCGAGAGATACTGACCACGACGATGAACAGTTTGAGGAAGCAATTGGCCTGGCTAAGTCAGCTCAATGTACTCGTGCTTGGATTCTCGGCACGCGATGCCAGATGGAAGCTACTGACAAAGATGAAGTAGTAGTCCAGCTCGTCAAGGTTCTTGTTCGACCAAAGTCCGGGCGTGTGCCACATCACTAATCATCGTCAGCTTGCTCTTTCGCCCAGATCAGCAGATGTGGCTAACGTAGGAAGCGCTGTACGCTTGGCCACCTCCACCTAGCTGCATCAGCGAGAACAAGCCTTCGACACTTGGAATGACAGGACATACGCGACATCCGCGGCGGCAGCGATGAGGATGAAACCCCACATGGAGATGGCGAACATTGAGGCAAAGCTGGGGCATCAGCATAGTATCAGACTGACAATGGTATACCGAATACATACACAGCACCCCCAAGCTGTTTCGGCATGTTGGTATTGGCTGCAAATTCAGCTGGTGCCTTAACACACCCGCCAATCCTGGTGGTCGAGGCGATACTTACCGACGTATCCAGATCCGATATTGCCATCGAGGGCATCGTAGCGGTTATGATCGTTTCCGATGTATCGATCTGCTACTTAGTGATGTCTTGTATAGTCACATGGAGATGGTACCTACCGTTGACCTTCTTGAAGACGTCAATGTTCTGGACGAAGACCATGACCCACAGCACCATCATCTGACCGATCAGTGGGACGAAGAGCGTTGAGCACGGACTCAGGCGAAAAGAGACATGGAGACTCACCATGACGTGCGTGCCGATCGTGACCCATGTCCAGATCTGGGCGACCAGCAGCAAGAGCTTGCGGAACGTCGCCTCGCCGTACCAGGATGCTTTGGCTTCCGCCATTGTTTCTTAGAGGTCGTGACGAGTGCGTGGAGATGTGTGAAGTCTGTGAGATGGGAGTGTGGTTGGATATGGATTGGACTGTGCGGGTGATGCGTGATGGGGTAATGAGCGTGATTGAAGATATGGGGAGAGTGCTGTTGAGGGGGGATGTGTGACGGAGCAAGAACATCTACCGATCCCGCCAATGAATGCCCATCTGACAGCTCCTCGGTCGTCCGTCTCAGTGGACGTCTCATCTTTGACACCCTTTACGCCACCCCTGGAGCCATCAGGGGCGACGCCAGACACGTCAGACATGTGAGAAAGGATGAACGAAGCTGAGCGTTTCACGTCAGTGTCGCTCATCAGGCCCCCTTGGAGCATTGGTAGCCTTCGGTTGGACCGCTGATACGTGCATGAGCGCAGCGACTAGGGGTCGCTGAACGCGTGGAGCCCACTGCTCAATAGCTTGATGTATGGTGGCAAGGGAGGCCATCAGTCCAAGTGCTCGATGGCTAAGATTGAAACTCCGCTTTATTCCCGATGTGGCAAGAGATTTTCGGCCCCGCCTCCTCCTCCACTCTTTCACTTGTTGCTGCTAGATTCATACACTTTTTGTATACACAATCCTATAGCTACACTACAGCTATACAACAACCTCACAGCGCAAGCTACTAGCAGCATCAGCACTCAAGCGAAACAGCGAATCCACAGCGACAATGCGTGAGCCGCTATAGCCGGAGATGATGGCGAAGAGGGCCCATAGCTGACCTAGACTCTCCTCGATCACCTACTCATACCTCATCCTATCCGTCTTATACTCGCTCGCTATGATCGTTCCGAACTACAGCTCCCAAGAAGCAGAAGGCGCAGAAGATGGCGTTGGGGGACTTCTTCGCGGACACGAGTGGGTCTGCGAGGTTGACTGGAGGTACGGATAATGACTGATTCTTTAGCCACTGGATCATGGGCCGATGATGACTTCCTCCCTACTGCTCGTAAGCTACACCGTCCGGATGTGCTCCCCGCAGCGGACTATAGCTGACAGCTGCAGCTGCTCCCAAAGACCCGTCCATCCCCAAGCGCGGTGACCCCGGCTACCTCGACGCCATGCCCGACCGTGGTGCACGTGGTGCGTCCTCCACCCATCGAACTGGGCTTGCGCTGACATACAGGCTTCGGCGGAGCTCCCCAGGACCGCGCCGACGTCCCCATCCCCACTGCTCCCCCATACACCGTCTACGTGGGTAACCTCACGTTCGAGACGGACGAGTCTGAGCTCCTCGGTTTCTTTGGCGACCTTACGCCCGTCACTAGCCGTTTGGTCAAGACCGAGGGCAAGTCAAAGGGGTTTGGCTATGTTGAGTTCAGCAGCGTGGAGAAGTTGAAGCAGGCGCTGGACTTGTCTGGGTCGCAGTTGGGCGGAAGGACCGTGAGGATCTCGGTGGCTGAGCCTCGTGAGTTGTCATTTGTGTATATAGTGCTCTGCACAGCGCGAAACTGACGAGTCCAGCATCCTCGAGGAAAGACTTTGCACCCTCCGCAGCTGAGGAGGCCTCGCAATGGCGCCGGACCGGTCCTCTACCCGCTCGTGACGCCGCCCCCGCCCCTCGCCGCGGTACCTCCTTTACCTCATCCCCCGCCGAGGGTGGCGCCGAGCGCGACTGGGGAGCTGCCCGCGGAGCTCGCTTCACACCTTCGCCCCAGGTCGCCCCGTCCTCGCAATTCGGTGGCGAGAGGAGGGAATACGGCAGGGAGAGCAGGGAGAACTCGATGCCTGGTCGATCGAGGGAGGAGATGGGTCCGAGCCAGGCGGATGATGCGTCGGCATGGAGAAGCTCAAAGCCGCTCATCGATGTTCGGGCGGCGGATGCGGGACCGGGGAGGTCGAGTGAGCAGAGCAGCCCGGGCTTGGCGGATACCGAGTCTACCGTGAGCTCGCCGTTCGCATTTTCCTGAATAGCCAGCTGACATTTCAGTGGTCTCGAGGAAGCAAGTTGAGGACGCCGGTGACGGAAGCGCCGGTCCGTTCAAACACTGGCTCGCCGGTGGAGAGGGAATGGAGGAGCTCCAAGCCGGCTGTGGACTCGACGCAGAGCAGTGTCGACGGTGCCACCCCATCAGATAGTGAGCTAGAAGATCTGTTGCAAAAGATATAAGCTGATATTTAGGCCCCAAGATCCCTGCCGCACCCCTTGAGCGCCGAAAACTTACCCTCGCCCCCCGTTCCGCCGCTTCCCCTACCACCGACTCTCCCAAGGTCGACTCCCCCACATCCCGTTCTTCCATCTTCGGCGGAGCCCAGCCTATCGACACAGCCGCCAAGGAGACCGCTGCTGCCGAAAAGCTCAAGAAGCAGGCGGGCGAGCGACGCGCGGCCGAGCACAAGGCGCGCGAGGAGGAAGATCGCGCCGTCAAGGCGTACGCCGAGGAGCGGGAGAAGAAAATCAGGGAGGCGCTGGCGGGCGCTGGTGTGGTGACTACACCCCCTGCAGCTCAGCAGGAGCGTGGTGCAGGCGGAGATCGCGGAGCACGAGGCGGCTTCCGTGTTGGAAGGGGCGGAGGTGGACCGGGGAGACAGCAGAGTGGGGACCGTCAACGGCCACCACACCAGGCTCAGGCACCATCGCAGGCGCCGCCGGCCAGGCAGAAGGAGGCCAAGGCCGCCCCGGTCTACGACTCGGACGGTTTCGTGGTGGCCACAGGCAAGGGATCGGCGCCGCCCCCTGCCCAGTCACCGACGACTGCTGCCAATGCTGGTCAGCCCCGGAAAGAAGTCAAGAAGGGGTTCAGCTTTAGCGCGGCTGTGGCGGCGGGCGGGTTCGCGGACGGTGAGGAGGGGGAGAAGAGCGGAAAGGCAGAGATGAACGGGGAGGGTAATGCTGTGGAGGAGGTGACCAAGGGGGTGGAGGACGTCACTGTCTAGGCAGGGGGGTGCTATATTTTGGAGGCTGGATATCATATTGGATAATCAAGGAGCATAGAAGTAGTGCCAATGTAAATGATAGCTTGACAGATATGGCCTAGATACACCGGTCCATGAAGGCTATCAAGCAAAAGCTACCTCCTCCAGCGACTTCCCATCGATCTCCACCGGCAGCGCCGCAATCACCACGCAGACCCATCTCGCCCCCTCCGGTCCTGCTTCCCAAGCATGCAACGTCCCCCTCTGAACCACCACCTCTCCCACTCGTACCAACACCCGCTCCTCCTCATCTGTCCCATCCGCCCCCTTCTTCCCCGTCGGCGTGATATGCCAGACACTCCCGCCGGTGACGATATTGTAATCCACCGAGTTGGTCCGGTGCATGGGCACCTGGAAGCCGGGCTTCAGGTCGGTCATTTGACAGTTGACACCGTTGGGCATGAGGACGCCGGGAACGCGGTCCATGGCCGCCGTGATGTCTTCGGAGGAGAGGTAGGGGGTGGAGGTGGTTGGGCAGCCGAGGGAGGAGTGCAGGGGGACGACGGCGGCGCCGGAGAGGACGGGACGGAGGGGGACAAGGTCGGTTGTTTGGTTCACGGAGGAGCCGGGGGTAGAGGAGGGAAGGTGAGAGGTGACGATGCGCCGCACGGGCGCGGGCCAGGTAGATCCGGTGTGAGGGGAAGACATTGTGAATAGTCGTGCGTGGGCCGCTGGAGGGCTCCACGATTGGATGCTCTGTGCTTATATAGTCCGGCGCTGGCGAATATGGGGAGACAAGGTGATGATCTCCTGGATCCTGCCAGCCTGGCTTGCTTAGACTTCGCCTGCATAGCAACGGGTCTCGGACCTCGAAACTCGGTGAATCTTCATGCCGAGGCGAGACTGGTGAGGAATGTAACGGAAGTGATCGCGGGCCTGCGTGCAGCCTTCCTTCGGTCGTGCAAGACTTCATTGTAAGAGTCCTGAGAGGCGGTGTGAGCCTATCTGTAGCCCGGCTCACCGTGTCTTCTAGCTACATGCTCAGATCACTAAAGGCGACTGCAGCTGAACACCAAAAGAGGGGGAGAGTGGGGGAAGCGGGGCTCCACATGGGTTATTTGGAAAAAAAAGTTGGATGGCGCGATCGCCTCCACTCGTGAGATCACATCATGCAAGGACAGCGCCGAGAGAGTCAAGGGCAGCGTAAGAAGCATCCCCTTTGTCTCCATCATACATCTCTCCAATCCCTTTCTAACAACTACTAACTACCACAACATCAATCAAAATGGCGCTCCGACTTGGTGACACCGCTCCCGACTTCACTGCCGAGACTACCATCGGCAAGATGAAGGTGAGTCAGCGCGGATGGGGATTGGCACCTGGATGACGCTGATCAATCAGTTCCACGAGTACATCCAGGGCTCGTGGACCATCCTCTTCTCCCACCCCGATGACTTCGTGAGTGTCCCGCCCCTCGATGTGTTCAGAAAGAGAGCTGACTCCCAGACCCCCGTCTGCACCACCGAGCTCTCGGCTGTTGCCCTCAGCTACGCCGACTTCCAGTCCCGAGGCGTCAAGGTGGGCTATCTCCAATAGATGTAGAGCCTTCTAGCTGACTGGCAAGCTGATCGGTCTCTCCGCCAACAACGTCGAGTCCCACGGCAAGTGGATCCAGGACATCAACAAGCTTGCTCCTGATGCGCCCGAGCTCGACTTCCCCATCATTGGTGATGAGGACAGGAACGTCTCCACCCTCTACGGGATGCTGGACAACCAGGACAAGAGCAACGTCGACAAGAAGGGGTTGCCTTTCACTGTCCGGACCGTCTTCATCAGTGAGTTTGGTTTTCCACTCTGGGGTCGGAGCGTGGGTCAATTTGAGCTATGGAGGCGCCGCTGGTCAAGCTGCCAGCGACTTGGGAGGAGGAATGGAGGATGGCGCCGTCCTGAGGGAGGGAGGGACGGAGCGCAGCTGAAAATGAGCTCGCGAGGGCGGCTGGAGCTCTATGGCTGGAGCTACTCGTTTTGTTAGCCAGGGCTGAGCTGACCTGGCTAAGTCGACCCCGAGAAGAAGATACGTCTCACCCTGGCTTACCCCGCTTCCACCGGCCGCAACTTCCCGGAAATTCTCCGAGTCATCGACTCTCTCCAGCTCGGTGACAAGTACAAGGTATGTCTACAACTCTCGAGGTCCATCTGTCGGGCAACAAGCTGATCTGTACGATTACAACTCCGGCGAACTGGAATAAAGGCGATGACGTAATCGTGCACCCGTCTGTGCAGGGCGAGAAGGTCAAGGAGCTGTTCGGGGACGACGTCAAGACCGTCTACGTGAGTTGTCTGAAAATTTGAACATTTTAAGGGGGTTGGCTGAAAAGTTAGCCTTACCTCCGTTTCACGGCCGACCCGTCGACCAAGGGCAAGGCTAGTGCCTAGATCTGCTAGAGGAGGGCGGAATTGTAGAGCATGAAGCATATTCTAGAGCTTAAGCAGGATCGGGGGAGAGGAGAGGTCGGATCTTGCTGACGGCCGAAACGCGGTTCCTGATACTCATACTTAAGCATCTGATGATTCTGGCTGTTGGAATATCTACAGAGATAGTAGATGCATGGGACCAGCCGGGAGTCTGCTTATCTCGAGCGAGAGCAAAGGCTTGAGCTGCACAGAGTAAAGCTGAAGTGTGAGGTGTGTGGCAAAACCTGAAACACCGCGTGTTTCAGATGAGACACGTCCTTCCCCTTGCGTTTCATCTTTTCTCATTCGTTCCCATCTGTTCCTATCGTGTATACAGACCCTCTCCCGGGTCTCCATGGCAGGTCATCCCTGTCCTTGAGGGTCTACGACTTTGCTATGCGTTCAGTAAGTACCAGAACCGATGTTTCACTTGACAGCTGGCAACCGAATAGCTTCGGAGCCGAGCGTGCGATCGGTCGCGACTGTCGCGATTGTCGCGACCGATTGCTCTTGATGGCTATCGATAGAGATCTGTCAGCTGACACATACAAGGGATGGGTATAGAAGGCGACGGGTGTGGATCAGTTCCTAGAAATAGGATATCAAGTGACAGAACTTGGCCTAGACCCCGTGACGCACCTCGGCGCGCGGTCAGCATTTCTGATCCACCTTCGCCACTTTGGCACCACTACCTTCTATTCGACATCGGTTGCCTACTATCTGCCTTAGTACAGCCACCATGCCTCCCACAAGGATTAGCAAGAAGCAGCATGGAGGACCGACCGAAGCAAAGAGGGCAAGGACGTCTGGGGACTCTGTGAGTACGAAGACGAATGGGAAGAGACGCTTGCGATCCACAACCCCTCTCCACTTTTTTCACCTCCTCCATCTCCACTTCCCTACTTGATCATGTCTCACGGCACGCTATCCTTCTGCAGAGGACTTTGATACCTTCTCGACGTCATGCTTGCGCTCTGACCCGCAGACACACTAGTCTGGGTCGAGCTGATACGCCAGATCGCCGCTGTCCCCGCGTCTCTGGACATCACCGCCTACCCCTACGTCCTCTCAGTCATCATAGGCCAGTCCTCCCTCTCCGCTCTCACGATTCTCGCTCGATGCAGCAAATATACCTGCCAAGCTGTCATTCCCAAGCTATACCGCAATCTTCGCCTGAGCACCAGCCAATTCGAGCAGCTCATCGAGATTGGTCACGCCCCGTCGAAGCGGGGCTCAACATCGGGACTGCTCGGTCGATCGTTCTCTCCATACCTCCGCGAGGGTCTCCAGCATGTCCGCCATTTACACATCACCGATCTCACTTGCCAATGGGTCGTTCCACCCATCCCGCGAGGCTGTCTCTCGCGCGTCACGAACGTCACGATCACGCTCACCGCGGACGACTGGCGTACTCAAAGCACCCTTCCTCTCCCATACAAGCTCCTTGAAAGGCTGTCAAAAGCACTGCGTAACTTCACGATCATCATCAATCCTTCGTACTCCTTCACATGTCGGTACCCATACATCCCACCGGGCACCATTTACGACTTCGTCACTGGCGCCTCGCTGACGGCGCTGACTGTCGTCTTTCGACCCGGCATCCTTGCTATTTTCCAGAGAGATGTCCTCACGCGGCAAGGTGTCGTCCATGAGTGGCCTCTCAGCCACCGTCTGAGGCCCCACATTCCGCTTCCATATACCGTCCGCCTGGTCGCCGCCGAGTATTCCGGCTATGTCTTTGCTCCAGCAGGATCTGCCGATACCATTGCGATGGGTCCTGTCGCAGCTACAGGCGGAAATGCAATGCTTGATTTCACTTCTTGGCTGGATGCGCAGGAATCTGGGGCCATGTTCAGCGAGCAAGACGAGGCGGTGCTTAGGAGGATGGATCGGGTCTTTGGCACAGTTCGCAAGTACTCGGTATGCAGGATAAGTCTGCGCCAGGTGAGAATAGTCAGGCTGATTTGTGTAGTAGATGAGATTCCTCGGCCAGCCTGACTCGGAACAGCGGCTATGTATGGGTGATGGGCGTTCTAGAGGCGCGCACGAAACCAAGCGGGGCAGCAGTATGGATGGCGGGACAGACGCAGTCAAATGAGTTTCAAGGTTCATACGATTAATACGAACATGCATGACCTCACGCAACCTCATGGACTATATGAGTACCACCATTCTTCGAAGTATAGCTGCAGCGGCCACTACTGCTTGATCCCGCTTGATGCGCCACAAGCTAGCTATCCCATGGCGAAGGTAATTTGGTCACGTGCTTCAGGTGACACGCGTCCCGCTAAACGCTGAGTTTCACTTTCCTTCACTTCTTCAATCACCTCTCATCCTCAATACAACGACCATGCCAACCAAGAAGACTAGCAAGGAGAAGCGAGGTGGAGCGGCCAGAGGGAAAAAAGCCAAGGCAGCCAAGGATACCGTGAGTGCGATGGGAGATCCGGATCACGCGCGCTGTCATCACCCTCCTTCTTTCCCCTTCCTCGCCTCCTGAGCCGAAGATATGCCAATATCCTCGTCGTGCCCTCTTGACGTTGCGTCGTACGAGCTACCTTGCAGTTCATATGGGTCGTGCGCTGACGTGACAGGTCACCTATGACGCCCCTACTCCGTTCGCATCCGCCACACTCGACGTCACCAGTCACCCCTACATCCTCTCCCTTATCATCGACCACACCCCACTCCCTACCCTCTCTATCCTCGCGCAATGTAGCAAATACACCTGCCAGGCCGTCATCCCCAAGCTATACCGCAAGCTCCGCCTCACCACCAAACAATTCGACAAGCTCATCGAGGTCGGGAACGCTCCGTCAAAGCGTGGGTCGATGTCCGGTCTGCTCGGCCGTTCATTCTCGCCGTACCTCCGGGTGGGGCTCGAACACGTTCATCACCTCCATATCGTCGACTTCTCCCCTCAATGGGTCATGCCAAAGATCCCCCGAGGCGCTATGGCGAATGTGATCACCGTCGTGCTCGGCTACGAGCCCCACTACGTCTGGCGTCGACGTTTCACCTATTCGCTGCCCGTCGAGGCGCTCAGTCGGATCTCGAAACACATACGCGACGTCACGATTATCACTCGCAACACATACGGCTTGTATCCGGTCCTCACCAGACACATGGACGTGTACAAATTCGTCAAAGACGGTGTGCGGAGCGTGACATTCGTATGCCAGCCGGTGGGGTACGAGACCCCGGAAGGGTGGCGACGAACGGAATACCTCGGCCCGAAGTGGAATTACGCTTTCCCCAAATCCGCCAACAACCCATCGCAGTATGCTGTTCGTCTCATTGGCGGCAATTACCCCGGCCTCGACACCCCTCTGGCGCCGCAAACGGTCAACTCCGAGCTCGCGCTATCGTTGCACGCCGACGCCGCTGCCGAAGGTACCACCATGCTCTCTTTCACAGCGTGGCTCGACGTCGAGGACAATGAAGCCATCTTCGGGTCGAAGGAAGTGGCGAGGTTCAGGAAGATCGATGCGGGCGTTTAGGTCATCGACTGAAATGCCAGGCGGTGAGTCAGTGAGTCTCCTCGTTTTATCTGATCCTACGCTGACAAGCTTTAGTGTGTATATGATCCAGCTCTTCCCATATTACCGAATCAGCGGCGTTCGATGGGTGTTCCGCGGGGATGTGCATATTGAGGAGAGGCAAAAGCAGCAGGCAGGTAGGGCTAGAAGTAGTCAGAGAGCGAGCAATTCATTATGTGTGTATGTATATCCATGCGTGAGCTTCTGGTCCATCAGCGCCCTCGGCCAGCTCCCATGAGATTGGTCGCAGCTGCAATTCGACAGGGCAGGGCAGACTGGGCAGATTTGATCACGTGATTGAGGTGATACGCGACCGGCCAAGAGCTGGGTTTCACTTTCCTTCGCTCCATCAACCGCCTCTCATTCTTCCAATCCCAACATCATGCCGCCCAAGAAGGGCAGCAAGAAGGCGCAAGGAGAAGTAGCTGGAGGAAAGAAATCCCAGGCAGCTGAGCAAACGGTGAGTCCTATCGAGACGTGGGCATGGCCGGATTCTTCGCTCCTCCTGATTCCCTTCCTTCTCTTGGCCTCCCCCATGGACCCAGCAACCCACAGTATCTGTTTTGGGTTCTTGGCCCTACATCATGAGGAGTCTAGATGTCAAGACAAATCGAGAAGAGTCCAGCTGACGAGATAGGTCGCCATCGACGATTCCATCCCCACCGCCGTCCCCGTTCTCAACATCACTTCACACCCGTACATCCTCTCCCTCATCATCGAGCAGTCACCCCTCTCCACTCTCACAGCCCTCGCCCGCTGCAGCAAATACACCTTCCAAGCCGTCATTCCCAGACTTTACCGCAATCTTTGGCTCAGCACCACCCAGTTCGAGCAGCTCATCGAAATCGGGAACGCTCCGTCCAAGCGCGGTTCGATGTCGGGTCTTCTCGGGCGGTCTTTCTCACCATACCTTCGGGAGGGGCTCCAGCACGTCCACGCCCTCCATATCACCGATTACTACGTGGAATGGGTCATACCGAAGATTCCTCGCGGCGGTCTTTCGAACGTCGCCAGTGTCTACATATCGTTGAGACCCAGCTGGTGTGCCCCGCACGATGTCCGACTCCCGTCGGACATGCTCACACGCATATCACGGAGTATACGGACGGTCACATTCATACTCTCAGCAAATTACTGCTGCAATTTCCACCCGACGATCAACCCGTCCTGCCAATCGAAACTGGTCACGAATGAGGGTCTGCGAGCCGTGACGATTGTCTTCCGCCCGAATCACCACTTGTCTGGACCCCCACGTCGATGGACACACAACGTGCCCCTGTCATCCGACGTCTGGCCTCTGTATACCCTCCGCCTCGTGGGCGCCGCGCACTCCGGCTACGTCCTTTATCCGCCCCCAGCTCAAGCAGGCCAGGAGACCACCTCAGACGACCAGGCGGTCGGTCCTATCGGCAACACAACCTCAGACTTCGCTACCTGGATGGACGAGCAGGAGCCTGGGGCGGTGTTCAGCGAGAAAGAGGAGGCAGAGCTCAGGAGGATTGATCGGATATATGATTCTGAGAGTGAGTGATCATGAGACGCGGTAAGTACCATCTGATTGCGCAAGCAAGTGTATGCTAATTCTCCTCAGTATAAGCGGCCTTCAGCTAGCCACGTGGCTGTCCTGGTTCCGGTCCGATTCACGCGTTCTTTCCACGGCAAGGCGAAGGAGAGGGAGGGGGAATGTGCAGGTCTCGACTCCGTTCGGTTTATTATTACTTCAGCTGTCCTTCATGTATGTGCATAACGATCCTTTGTTTCGATGCGTTTGACCACATGCTCCACTCTGACGTTCTCTCCAGTTCGGTTCTCTCATTCTGAATGGTCCCACAGCTGCTGCGCTGCTACGATATACGGTCGGCCGCACCGCCCGCCATGCATGCGAGCTGTCGGCCGAAAATAACGTAACCTCCCAAACTGACCAAGGTCCGGCCGGGCGGAGCTTGCTGAAACGAAATCAAGTCTTGGTGAGGAATTTTCACGACTCATCCATCTGTTGACGCTGATAAGAGGGTATTGACAGGGGTATATAAGGGTAGGGGGGCAAAGGGAGGAGAGGTGTATCCACCCTCATCTATCCAGCATCTAATAACAGCTAAACTGATCTCGACAAATCTAATCTCACCCAACTCATCTAGCCATGCCTGATCTTCGCCTCCTCACCTCCGCCGCGTCCAACGACACGCTCTGCGATCTCCCCCTCAAGCAGCTGGCTGTCCGTACACCACCTGCAGCTTGGAACATCCGTGTCTCTCCAGCCATCGTGAGTATTCCGTACAGCTTTCGAAGACCCATGCTGATCTCCAGGCCCTCTCCCGCAACCCTATCCGCTCCACCATCGCATCCGTCACCTCCACCCCACCTCAAACTACTAAAGCACCCATCAACCTCGGGCTCGGCGATCCCACCTCCTACCCTCTTCACCCACCACCGCCAACCACTTCCGCTGCTATCATCACTGCCGTCTCGGGCGAGCGGTCGAACGGCTACGTACCTGGCGCGGGGACGACAACGGCGAGGCAAGCTGTCGCGGACTACCACGAGAGATGGGACCGCGTCCAGTACGATGCTGATGATATCACTTTGGTAAGTCTTCAGACTCTGAAGACATCGAGTCTGGCTGATCGTCCAGACCCACGGTGTCGGCCAAGCTCTGGACATGCTCTTTTCGGTCCTCTGCCCTCACTCGCGCATCGAGCAGACCAACGTCCTCCTCCCTCGCCCTGTCTTCGCGCAGTACCCTATGCTCCTGGCGAATCTTGGCGTCGAGGCGAGGTTTTACGACTGTATTGAGGAGAACGGGTGGGAGGCGGATCTGGACATGCTGCGGAGTCTGGTAGATGAGCGGACCCGAGCTATCGTCGTGGTGAGCCGGTCTCGCATGGGCTTTTTCACATGAGTCACCGCTGACTTGCAGACCAACCCTAGCAACCCTTGTGGCACAAACTTCTCAGCCAAGCACATCTCGGACATACTAGCCGTCGCAGAAGAATGGAAAGTCCCCATCATCGCCGACGAGATCTACGGACACATCGTATGTCCTCACCTATCCCGCCCAACCTATAGCTGACATCCAGACCTGGTCCACTCCCTTCACTCCCCTCGCCTCCCTCTCCAACTCCGTGCCCATCCTCACCCTCTCCGGCCTTTCCAAACGCTTCCTCCTCCCGGGCTGGCGAGTCGGATGGATTGCGCTTCACGACCCCCTCGGCGTAGCTGGACCTATCCGAGAAGGGCTCGCAGTATGGGCAAACCGATACTTTGGACCTAGCAGTCTTACCCAGGCTGCTCTGCCTGAGATCCTCCTGACTCCGGACGCATGGCACGCCGAGGTCCTTGCGAAAGTCAAGGTGAGCTCCTCTCTCCACTAGATCATGGCTCAAGCTGACTTGCTCAGCTTAATGCGGAGATCATGACCTCATCCATCAACCAGATCCCCGGAATATCCTGCGTCGCACCTACCGGCGCGCTTTACATGCTCGTTCGTATCGACCCCCTCTCCTTCCCCGAATTTACCGACGACGTCGACTTCTGCGCAGCGCTCTACAGGGAAGAAGCGGTGTTTGTGCTCCCGGGACAGTGCTTTGAGGCGGTGGGGTACTTTAGGGTGGTGTTGGCGAGTCCGGCGGAGATCATGAGGGAAGTAGGGGTGAGGTTGGCGGAGTTTTGTGCGAGGCATCGGGTATTGTAAATGTAGTCTGGTCTGATCTCTATGTATCTATATATCGAGCTCGCTCAACCAATGGGTCTCCGGCCGTTGACACTCAGATGACCACCAGCTGTTCTTGGCTGTAAGCAGTACATGCTGGATACCAGCCGCTGAGACTGCGCAGCCGCCTCACGAGGGCCAAAGTCAGACAAGTGATCTGTCAGAGGTCCATACCAAGGAGCCATAAGCCAGTGTGTCGGACCTCTTCATCGAGCGGCAAAGACAGAGACTCCCCGTAGATATCTCACATAATCCCCGCCACATAGCCACAATGTATACGCCATCCCACTTTTGTCGAGCTGTTCTATTTCTCTTCTCTCGTGTTTCGTGCTTTTGTGCCGCGTGCACTCTCTATCCACCTCCTCACTTGTATGACCCCTTTCGTCCCCAAAGTCGGTACTTTTGCTTTCGAGCCGTCGGTAAGCGCTAGCTGGCGGACCGATCCTGCAAGTCGGATGAGTTCATGGATCGTGGGTCCGTTGGATCCCTCTGATGCTTCGTAGTACTCGCCGACACGCACAATCGCGTCGAGAACATCCATCGCCGGCTGTGTTCGGACGACCAGTGTAGCCAGTTGTGTGATCGCTTGGGCAGTAGCAAGTGGCAACCTCTCATCCGCGTAGGTCTGCGTATCCTTGCCTATCATCCACAGCCTGAGCAGGAGATTGGGCGTGGCTGGTAGGTTTGTGGGTGTTTTCAGCAGCTTCCTGTAACTCTCAATGCTGGTAGAGATTGAGTACGCCGTTCCAGGTGTAGAGAGGTATGAGCTTTGGCGGAGGGAAGAGCAGAGATCATCCAGTGCCGAGTTGCAGGACGAAAGTGCATTGGTCTCATCCTCGCTGCTTGCTTGGGGGGAGGTGAGCTGCTGAGCCGCTCGAGTGAGCTGGTAGTGGTGTTCAAGCGCTTGGTTGAGCGCATCAACATCGATTGCGGTCTCTGCGACAGGGTGGGTGTCTTGCTCCGATTGGGAAGCTTAAGGGGTATGAGATGAAATGGACAGTCGGGAGATCTTCGGCGGGGACGCAGAGCCAGGCTTCCGCGATGAGGTGTTGAGGATCTTTGACAATCTTCTGGGCAGTCTCATCGTATCCAAGGCGAAGACAGTGGAAGAATCTTATCAAGGCTGAAGCAGGTGAACACAGGTCGAGAGCGAGCGGGGAACGAATGCGATACACAGCTTACACCGTACAAAGGATCGCGGGCAGAAAGGAGCACCTTTTTAACGTGTCTCGTGTACTGATGATATGCTACCGACAGCGAGCTCAAGCACATCTTCTTCAGGCCTACGATCGCCTATGGCGAGCCTGGACCAGCCCTGTGGCTATAGAGGGTGGCGAATTCATCGTAGCGGCACCACTGACAGCGCCGCATTCCTTAACTTTATTTGCTCCCGCTACTGAATCTGCTTTTTGAACCAAGCGAGTCCCGAACCAAGTTACAACCTGTACCTCTCGTGTACATATCGCTCTGGACATCCTCATAACATACCAAACCCTTACAGTCGAATCAGACAAGACGTCAACTAGCGTCCCATCACTCGGCTACCAAGATTCGCAGCGATCTAATCCACCATGCCGTTCGCAGAATCCCATGACCTGCCCGAGTTCAAGGCGTGGCTCGTCCGCACGCTCGAGCCAATGTGAGCTCTGTCAGAGAAGAAGCGCTCGGACATCAGCTGACCCTTCAGGTGTGATGCCGACCCTGTGGTCATGTCGGACTATATCATTGCGCTATTGAAGCATGAGGCGAGCTACACTGAAGAGCAATGGCGAGATGTGAGTTACCCATCTCCAGGTCATGACTACATATCTTTGTCATGGCAAGAGCTGATCATGCTCAGTTCATCACTCGGGAGCTCGCCGATTTTCTCGAAGCTAGTACGTCTATGCACGCGTTCGAGGCGCCCGCTGCGCAGACAGGCGCTGATAGGCAGAATCCGCACCATTTGTCGACCTCCTTTGGCAGACCCTCTCGACCCGGTCTTTCCTGGCCACTCCTCAGGTCTCTATCGCCCCCTCAACAGCAATAGCCTCACATCAGACTGCGCAGATAGCAGCCGCTGCACAGTCAGGTGACTATCCCGGGAGCGGACCAAGCGTGGTATCGTCATACCGACCACCAAACGCAAATGCGCCACCTTCAGGCCCATCCCGGATGAATGGAGCTGGAGCGGGGGAGGTACCGGGTGGGCTGCGGAAGGGGATGTGCTTTGACTATCATAGTAAGCGTTCTCATCGGGGATGTGGACCGTTGCTCACGAGGTCAGATCGAGGTTTCTGCCTTCGAGGTGTAGCTTGCAAATACGAGCACTCGGACGATGTCATCATCCCATCTGCAGAGATGGGGTTCCCGCCATTCGTACCCTCCGGACCTTCTGGGCGCGGTCGAGGCCGAGGCGGACCTGGAGGACCCGGACCGTCCAACCAGGGCGGCCGGGGACAACAGAACGGGCGGGATGTCCCACCACATCAACAACAACCTCAGGCCGACTTCCCCTTCGGCATGCCCTTCCCTATGCCTGGTTTCCCGGGCATGCCCGGTATGCCAGGCATGCCATTCCCCTTCTTCCCGGGGATGCCCGGAGCCCAGAAGCACAATATGCAGCAGGAGTCGGAGTTCTGGGGAACTAATAAACCGCCACATCATACGGAACGTACCTCGACACTTGTCATTACCGATATCCCCGTCGTCAACCTCTCGGTACCGGCGATCCGGGAATACTTTGCTGTATTCGGCGAGGTCACCAATGTGGCGCTGGAGGCGAGGACAAAGCGGGCGATGGTCACATTTGGGTCGAACCGGGAAGCGTACAACGCGTGGAAGTCGGACGAGGCGGTATTTGGGAGCAGGCATGTCAAGGTGCTTTGGCACCGCCCTCGACCAGGCCAGGGCGAGGCGGGACAGAAAGCGCTGGAGGCGAGCGCCGGTCTGATCGATAATCTCAAGAAGATGGAGAATGGGGATAAGGCGTCGATCCAGGGTGCACAGGCTGCCAAGCTGTACGGCCCAGAGCAGAAGCTGCGGGCGACGATACTAGAGCTGGAGCAGAAGGAGAAGCGGCAAAAGAGGGAAACGTTGATGGCGGAGCAAAAGGTCTTGCTAGCGCGGACGAAAGCGGCAGACCAGGCGACCAAGCTGGAGATCTTGAAACGGTTGAAAGAGGTCGCGAAGGAGATGGTGGAGCTGGATAAGCCGAAGGAGGTGGCCAATGAGGAGGATGTCGATATGGACATGAAGTCGGCGCTGGACAGGGATTTGGAAAAGCACGGGATGGAGAGTGTGGGGAAGCGGGATGAGGAGGAGCTTTTGAAACTCAATGCTCAGTTGACTGCCTTGAAAGAGAAGGTGCGTTTGGACTTCCTGTGTACGATTGAGCGGAGCTGATAATACAGGCCAGCGCACTAGGCGTAGCATCCACACCATCTCGATACTCCCCATATCCATCTCGTGGAGGCGGTTTCCGCGGACGTGGCGCTCCCCGAGGTCGAGGCTTCCGAGGACGCGGTGGCGGATTTACTCCTGGCCATCTCCAGCTCGATAATCGTTCTCGGACGGTCATCATTGCGGGAGATGGTCTTGCGTCGGCAAAGCAGAATGTCAAGGAGTGGTACGAGAGCCATGGCGGGAACGTGGAGGATGCGTTGGGTGGAGAGGGATGGAAGGTGGTCTTCCCAAATCGAGATATGGCCGAGAGGGTGAGCTATTACGAAGTTGCTATACTCACACGAGCCAAAGCTGATACCTTAGGTGCTGGCCATGGGCGTAAAAGAGATCCCGAAAGTCACCGGCGACTTGCGCATACAGTGGGATACCGAAGCGCCGGCATATGGGAATGGCGGTATCAGCGCTCCTGGCGGCGGCGAGCGGGATGTGGAGATGGGCGAGGACTCGCACCGCGGGGAGAGGGAAGATGACGAGTAGGCGCACACTTAAGGAGAGACCATGAGAAGCAGTAGGAGCATCTAGAGATGTATCAGAAGGCCCTGCGTGGCAGACCGAGCTACATGCTGTGTGATCTTGGGAGGACTGAGTTCTCATATATGATTGCCTGATATTTTCCGGAACACAACCTTCCTTTGTTGCGATCTGTTGTATGTGCTCCAATGCTGCATGCCCGCCGCTTCATCTCCCCAGCATCCCAAAGTTCCCGCCGTTCGACTGCGCCAGATTCGCAAAGTGGTTCTCGGCGCCCTGCCAAACCGTCTTCAGCACGTATGCTTCCGATAGGAGGAGCTCGACGTCGTGATCTGTCCACAGATCGGTCGGGAGGCGCTGTAGGAAGATGATCATCTCCTACGGACATCAGCTCTTTCCTTTTTGTTGAAGACTGACGGCCTAAGGGGACCTACCTGGAAGTCCATCTCCCGCAGCCGTTCCGAGTACTTCACGAGCAAAGCGGAGCAGACGTAGAGGTGAAACTGTGAGAAGGCGTCCGTCCCTTCTGCCTGACAGGTTGTCAGCTACGGCCTTGAGTCAGATACAAGGAGCTTACCAAGTATGTATCCCACATTCTGATGGTGCATTTTACGCTCATTTCGCGCATCAAGAGACAGTTCATCCATCTGAAGGCAAATTGCAAGAACTCGACGCCTTGATCCTCAAAGTGGGCTGAAAGAGGGGCTAATCGTGTCAGTCCGACAACTCTTTGCTACCTTGAAGGAAACAAATCAAGAAGCCTTTATAAGGACAAAGAACACTCACCATCTATCCGCTTGACAAGCTCGCTCATCCGCTTGACAAGCCGCTGTATACCCGGTTGTTGTGAGATGTAGTTGTCTTGTATCCCATCGAGCAGTTTGGAGAGACACCAGAACGTATCCGCTTCGATAGCAGAGAGGACTGAAGGTGGTAGGTGGGTGACGTCAAACAGCTCCGGGTCGGTATCTGCCTGATCAGTTTTGCCCGGGCCTCAGCTAAGAGACGCCTACCGATATAGGCGCTGAGAAAGACCTGAAAGAATGGGCAGACGAGGTCGTTGATGCCCTGTACATATCCGCTGGCGGGATGACGGATTGCCCAGACGTATAGGATCCGTTCGAGCGATCTTTGGGCGGTAAGACAGGACCAGAGTGGCGCGCCTGGACGAGTTCGCGGTACGTCGATCTCTATTTGATGCCAAATCTGCGGTGTCAGTGAGCTACACCAGACTACGGATCTCAGAGTTGATCTGGACGCACCTGTTGATCCAAACCAGCTATTCCTCGGGCGAAGTACTGGTCCACCAACTGGGAGTACTCTTTCCGCTTTCGAGACAGGGTGGTGAGTCGAGGCTGAGTAGGTAATGGAAGATAATTCTGGAGAGGGGTCAGGTATGCTCTCTGCGTGACAGCCTTTGGACTAACCAATAACAGCTGCCAAACGATCGGCCTGACTTCACTAGGTGTGCCGGACCAGGCCAGTCTTCTCAGCTCAGCTGTTAGGTAAGCAAGCACTTCAGACAGCTCGAGCCGAGCTACAAGTACGTACCCAGATCAACACCGCCCCCGTCCTCCGCTCTCCCTTTCAAGGCTTTCGCAAACCTCTCTCTCCTCCGCTCAGTCCTCACGCTTCGCTTCCGGTCCAACTCTTTTCTCGGTGGGGCCTTCAGAGTTTGAGTAGAAGATCCGTTCCGGTCGGGATTGAGAGTCTGGCGGGATGACGAAGAGCCCGATGCCGATGTAGGTGCGAGGAAGGGGAAGTTGGAAGGGGGCAAAACGCTCGTCGGGGTGGGAGGAGCCGATATCGACAGAGAGGACAGTAATTGTAATGGATCTGCTTCATCAGCTACTCAATATCAGACAGATCAGCAGCAACAATTACCTCGAAGAACGTCCTCAACATCCTCCCGGACCGCTTCCGCCCCAACCTTCTCCACAGGGATAGCAACCACCGGCTCCGCTTCCGCTCCGTCGACCAGCTCCCATGCTCCTCCTGGGGGCAGCTTGGCCCCTGGTGCTTTTGCCGCCATGACCAAACCTGGCGCCGGGAGAGATGCTCCCTCCGTACAAGTCTTTGCCGAAGACAAGATCGGGCGGACGATCACCGGCGGGGAGGACGAGTCTGGCGGCTCAACGTGCTGGAAACCGCTACTCCAGCTCGTACTCGCCGCGACTCCTGACGAAGTGGACGAGCTGATCCGATCATCCCCGGTCTTGAGAGGTGCAGTCGTCCGTATTGGTATCGCCCTTGCCGAAGAGTGGGATTTGGTATGAGAGACCCTCCGCCTGGAGGGGGCGCCATTGCCGGTACCCGGCTCGTCATGATCCTCCTTATCCGAGGAAGAGTCCCATGCATCCTCCCAGTCCGTCTCGCGCGTCTGGTTCACGCTTAGAGAGGACACACTGCGAGCGTGAAGAGCCCGACCATTGCCGTTGGAGATATTGGAGTTGACCGGGGAGGCGGCGCGGGAGAAGGTGGGGGCGGCAGGCAGGGCGGCAAGTGGATTGGCCGAGTGGGGTCGAGTAGGTGGCTGGAATGGCATCGTAGGGGCAGACTGCTGCTCGCGCTGCTCGCTGGGCCTGTAGCTGGACCGGGCGAGCTGCTATGATGGTGGTAGATGGATGTAGAGATGAACAGCGTGGATGTCGATGAAGGAATGTGAAGAGCCAAAGGCTGTTGATTTGATGTTCCATTCATCATCTCGCTCACGCTATCCTTCATACATATCAACCGCTCCCTAGATTGACTACAGAGACCACTACTGGCTACAGGGAAGGGAACGTCCGACCGCTGCTTACCAACAGGCGGGAAGACTATTCGCCATATCGAGCTTCAGACACCTGCCCCCTTCAACCCCACCACTTCACCGGTCTTGTCGATCCTCCTATGGCCAGCCTCCCATCCTCCGCGCTTCCGGCTCGACTCGCACTCCCCCATCATGCCACCCTCACCTCGTCCTCTAACCCCTCGGCAACCAGATGACCTCGACATGACGGCCGTCTCAGCCGAGCCTTCCCCTCGTAATCCCCCAACCTCGCCAGTTCGGTTCGCAACGAGCAAGAACGCCTTTGGGCTGCACGCTTCCCCATCGTCCTCGTCCACTTCTAGCACGAGGGAGGACCGGAATCTGCTCGTGGTGGAGCAGTCTCCACCTATGGGCTCCACTCACAAGCCACGGCTGCGGCGGCCGAGTATGCTCAGCCTGGCGCAAAACGCTAGCTTTGGGAGCGAGAGCGAAGGGGGTGGCGATGAGATGTCAAACACGGAGGGAACTGGACCTGGCCCACCAGTATCAGCGCCTGCGGGTCCTGCTGCTCTTTCGTCCTCGGCGGAAAATCGTGGTGGATCACAAGCACACATCAACCCCTTTGCGCCCACGTCGCTCCGGTACCCACCTCAATGGGGATCGTCAGCATTCACCCTTCGCAGCCAGCAGGAGTCCAGGACGAATCATCCCACGTTCGAGGGTCTCAGCACGACCACTCCTCCCACGGTAACGCCAGCTATGATGCCGGATCAATCGGGACCGGAAGCGGACATGGAGGACCCCCAGCCAAAACCGCCGCTGCGGTGGGTACCGAGCCATCTCCAGACCGCCTCGGCCCGTCGGAAAGGCAAATCTCGGATGGAGGATCAGCTCATCATTGATCCGTCTCCCCAGCCAGAGCTCCACCGACCACCCTTTACCGGTCGTCCCCTCCCCGCATCCCTCCTCGCTACCCTCATGTCCGAGTCAGCTCCGGGGGATCATGAGATCCAGTCTGAAGCCCGGCTTCAGCGTCTCATCTCATCCCATCCCCGCGCACTCCCCTTTACCCCTCGTGCATCCCGGAGTCAACGCGGGCGATTTCCCGAGACCGTCGGTGACGATGAGGATGACGACGACTTTCCGAATCGTCGTGCCATTTGGGCGGCTCGGGCTTGGACAAGGCGCGACAGCTCGTCCGACTCGGATTCGGATGACATGCCGGTGGACGAAGGTCCACCCGAGCCGGTCAATTCGGCCTTTGCCGCGGGGATGGATATGGACAGGTTGATCTCTGGCTCGGACTCGTGGCCGCACCTGAGCGACTCGGGTCGGGTCACCCCAAGTCTAGGAGGCGGAAGCGGGAGCGGGACTGGCTCGGCGGGATATCCGACCCCGCCGAGTAATGGTCAGCCGTGGGATAAGTCCAGGTCCGCGAGGATGAGCTTTTCGGCGGGGCTGGTGCCCAGTCCCGGAACTGGGTTCGGGTTGCCGAATGCTTTCGGTGGATTGGGGATGGGGACGGGGACGCCTATGGGTAGTCCCACAGTGGAGAAGCTGGAGGTGAGCTCGATCTGATGCAGCTTGATGGTGTAGCTGATCATGTATAGCTTGCTGCTTCTCCGGGCGCGCATTCGGCCATGTCAACCGCGAGTCCAAGTCTCATGCAGTATCGCGAGTCGAGCGGCGGCTCTGCATCTGTCCGACCTGGAAAGAGAAAAGGTGCGCATCGTCTGCTCATGCCAGACTCGGACTTGACTAATCTTTCAGCTCAAGTGGACGACCGGTTTGACCCATACAAACGCCATCGCGGCTCATCCCCCTCCCTCCCTCCGGCCACCGGCTACCCCATGTCCCCATCCCGCCCTACCGCAGCCATTCCCATCCCCCCTTCACCGGGATACAACCTCTACTCGACCATGCTCTCCACCTCCACGTCCACTCCGGGCCAAGGCGGTCGAGAGCAAATCAACCTACGCACAAAGGCGAACCACCCATATACTCGGCCGATGGCAAGTCGCTCGCGAGCGGCATCACCAGCCCTGTCGATTGGATCCACTTCGGGCAGTCTGGGTACGGGCGGAGGGGGACTAGGGAGCGGGAGAGGGTCTTTCGCCCTCGGTGGAGCCTTCAACCAGGTGAATAATGGTGGGCCGGGAGTGCCGGCGCCAGCACTGGGCGGACTGGGACTGCTGAGCCTGGCTCATCGGGGAGAAGAGGTGCGGATGATCAAGGAGGATAGGGAGGGTGAGGAGGGAGAGGATATGGGGAGGACGGATTCCGGCATGGGGAGCGAGAGAATGGAAGAGGATTAGGATGGCATGCTGGTCAAGCGGCACAATGGTAAGAGGTACGCTTATGTATCTATAGCAGATTACGTGAAGTCGCTGGCTTCGACTCGCTACACTGACTGCTGTGCAAAAGCTACATGTTGGACTTGCATACAACTCTCTAGTCGCTCTCCGACCGTCGCCGCCTGTATCCTCACCACCGTCGGCTCAAGCTTACAATGCTGTCTAATCTATCTACTCTGTCCTAAAATCCCAAAACTCCGACCGCCCCTTCTCCTCAATCATCGCATTCTCCACCTCCAAATCCCTACACTCCACCGGCTCCTTCTTCACATCAACCGCCCACGACACATGTAGCGTCTTCATGCGATTGATCCACTGACATACCCGCAAAGCAGCCTCCGTCCGGTCGTACATGTACCATGGGCGATTTCGTTGTCCCAGGCTGCGTAGGGCGAGCTCGTGGTAGTGACCGATGAACTCCATGGGCGAGAAGTCGGTGATCCAGGTGGGATTGGCGAGTCGGCCCAGAGGGTGTTGCTGGTACCCGTCTCGCCGTCTCAAGAGGTCGAGGTAGTGGATGTCGGGTAGGGGGTCGGGGTCGAGTTCCCACTCGCACTCGTTGACGGGGACCTCGCCTACAGTGAGTTCGAGTAGGCAGTCGCCTTGTACTGACTGTCAGCTGGAGAATCGTGGTACAGATGAGTAAGCTTACAATGCAGGATCTTGGCCTTCTCCCAGTTGGTCGCGCAGACCGAGGAGGAGATGTTGTCCAGTATATGGTAGGCGGACTTGAAATTGCCAAAGAATGACCGAAGAACAATTGCGATATTGATGTTGAGTTTGACAATTCTGATCAGTAAGCTTTACTGAGTCATGTGATCGACCGGAAGATGTCCACTCACAAGCCGCCCAGCCCAAGCACCCTTGCCTCCCAGGGAGCGATCCAGTACTCGCTCGGATACCAAGGTAGGAGTACCTTGATGGCGTGGACGTAGTTGGACACTGCTCCAGGTCCGTCATTTTCCTCCGCCGCTCTGTATCATCAGCCACTTGTGAAGTCTCACACGAGGTCTGGGCTCACTTGTCGCCTTTATCCTTGTAGCCATACGCCAGATCCATCGACGACGCAACATTGAGATCCGGTGTATCATTCAGGTCATACCATACCGCCGTGACGGCCTCTCGGATAGGCTCGGCTACTGTGTGGTTGAGTCCGGCGACATTACAGGCGACCATGAGGGATTGGACTTGACGGAGGTATGGGATACGTGATGCGAGTTGAAAATAGACGGAGGTGGTTTCTTGATAGGCGGGTGAGGTTTGGATATCGCCGGCGTGTTCCTCGTCCCTGAGCATATCTGCGCACCAGTCGGCGTATATGTCCTGGAAGATGGGTCCCGCCCTGTAGCTCTCAGCTGCGCGCTCTTCTGGTCAAGGTTGACGTTCAAGCTTACCCTCTCATCACATCCTCTGCTTTCGCGATCTCCGCCGCGGCACTCTCGTATATCCCCATAATGATCGCTTTTGCATCCCCTCTCGCATCCCAGTCCGCACAGAATAGGGCAGCCCACAAGAACTTGTGTCGCGACTCCTCGCCGATAGGGAGCCGCTGTACCGCGAAATCGCACCGTTCCTCTTCATTTGCAATGACGGTATGATATGGCCGATGCCGATGGCGACGGAAATGGGGTGAAGAGGGGTCGAGATCGTAGTGCATCCATCGGAGGTGTATGGTGAGGCCGCGAGAGGACTCGGAGTAGATCGTCGCCTTGGAAGGGGAGGGGTTGGGGGTCGTCATGGGGTTCGACCTGGGGGAGGTCGCGAGGAACGCGATGAAAGAGGGTGCGGGCGAGCGAGGAGATGAGGACTCATCTGGAGATTCTGGACATGCTGTTAGACTTCATCTAGACGCGGGTATCGTAAGCTTTGAAGGTACATCTAGTTGGCAAACGAGAGATGGTGCTAGCAGAGTGGAGATGGTCGTCAGGTCTTCTACCGTAGCGGAAGCTATGACGCGTCGAGTTCCGTGCGTACGTTTCGTCGTGTTTCAGCTAACGTGATCACGTGAGCATGTGCTGTCTGTTCTGACGGTGACTACACGTTCGCCACACTGCCAGGAAGTCTTGGAGACTACCAGTCAGTACAAAGGTAGCAACTGAATACAAAGTACAAGAAATTATGAAGTGGTATCCTTCCTATTCCTATCAGACTTTCCAGTCCTGCATCGGACCATATCCCGACCGCCGGAGCGCGTTATTGGCCGCCAGGTCGCCCTCTGCATCGTCTTCCGCACCCTCCAGCTGCTCCTGAATCACCTGGTACCACTTTATCGAGGTGTGCCACTTGGCCATCGGGGAGTCCGGCTTCTCCACCTCGACGCGTCTCCTGGCCCTAGGCCTGATCTGTGATCGTTCGTGGTCTAGATCGCATTCCGCTCGGAGCGCGAGGTAGTGCTTCGAGAACCGCTCGGGGGAGAAGTCGCCGATCCAGGGCTCGTCCGCGAGCTGGCCTAGGGGCGTGACGAGGTATGTGTCTCGTTTGGCAGCGAAAATAGCGGCCTGGTCGATAGGATCGGGTAATGGTTTGGCGCAGGCTGCTTGGATATGGGTGGCGCATTTGCTCTGGACTATCGGTGTCAGCAGCATCCCCACAATAGGCGGATATCACTCACGATGCAGTATCTTCGCCTTCTCCCAGTTGGATAAGCATGCCAGCGATGATATGGTTCCCAGTATCTGGGCTGCGACGCCGTAATTTTGCAGAGCATGCATTGCGACCATCGCGAGGTTGATATTGCACTTGACGAGGCTGCAGTCATGTCAGCGAAGATGCATAATAGTCGGGATAATACGACTCACAGTCCGCCAACCCCGTTCAATCTTGCCTCCCAGGGCGCCATGTAGTATTCGGACGGAAACCAGGGGAGGAGGACCGTGATGGCGTGGACGTATCGGGCGACAGCTGTACCAAGCGCCACTGTGTTCGTCATATGACTGAATGGTCAGCATCGATCAAATTTACCTTTTCGCGTTGGAGAAGCTCACCTGTCCGCTTGCTTCTTGTGCTCGCGCGCAAACATGACTGCCTCGCCCAGGCTAACGACTGGCGCGTTCAGAAGACGATAATGGAGATCCTTCATGGCCTCGCGCAGCGAACCATCGACTTTATTCTTGTATTCCATAGCTTGGTAAACGAGAGCGAGGCTCTGGACCTGGGCGAGGTACGGAAGGCGGCAGGCGAGCTGGTAGTAGACCGCCGTAGCTCGCTGCCAGAGCGGGAAGGAGTATATCTCGGCCGTCCCATCTGCAGCCGGATCGATCGGATGAGCTTCGTATACTGGTTGGAAGAGCTCTCCAGTACTGTTACATCAGCAGTGTACAGGACCGCCGCGTGAGGGAGAGAAGGGTAGAAGCGTCGACTCACGCGAGCATCATATCCTTCGTCTTGTCCACCAGGTCCTGAGTTTTGGTCAAGATCGCATCTGTTATTTGCGTCTTCCCCTTCGGGACCTTCCAGTAGTCTCCTGGGCAGAGAGGTCTCCAAAGGAACTCCCGACGCGCCTTGGGTCCCTTGGGCGTTCGCTGTGCGCCGAGATGATAGCCTTCAGGCGCCGAGCTGATCGTGCCGTCCTCCGGTCGAGGGGGTCCATCATACATAGTGGAGGATGGATCTAGCTGGATATGCATGTACCGAAGGTGGAGGGTAAGTCCAGGAGAGGTGCGGTCGTACATGGTGGAGCGAAGGGGCTTGGGCGTTGTGATGGCGAACGTTGGTTGACTGCGGCTGACGAAAAGGGAGGCGGGTTCGAAGCTGAAGAGGTGTGGGCTCGCTGTCTTTGTGTCCAGAGCGAGGGCTATGCACAGTGATAGAGGGGGTCTATATACACTACTGAAAGGTTTGATTGAGAGAAAAGAGAAGAAGTAGAGCCGCGTTGACATGGTGCGGAGCCAGCCCCGTCCTCGACTGTTGAGGCGTTGATCCGTGCGCATTAAGGCACGCGTTTCATCCTGTTTCATGAGGCGTACCTCATGTCCCCCGCATTTCCCTGATAGTCTGCTTAGCGTGCTAGGAGGGTGTGAGGTCAAAGGAGAAGAGAGGTTGTACAACCTGCTATGAGCTACAAGCAACATATCTGAGGAATAAGGCTACAACAATCAAGCTCATACGTCCAAACTCCCCTAGGCCTGCGTCTCTGCACCTCAACCCCGCCGGTGATCACACCTCCCCACTGGTCGCTCCCATCCGCCTATTATCTGCCGCCAACTCATCGTCATCATCCTCATATGCCGCCACCATTTGTACTCCCCACTCCTCCTGCAGCTTCTCCATCCTCCCCAGCCAGCTCGCCATATGGATCGCCCCGGCTGAATCGCCACGATGGTACCACCGCTCTTCCCGCCCGGACGCCTTTCCGGGTAGACGTTTCTTGAGGGCCTCGTAGTGCGAGGCAAAGTGCCTCGGGGAGAAGTCGCCGACCCATGGCTGATTTGCGAGCTGGCCGCGGGGTCTGCGGAGGTATTTGGCGCTTTGGGTAAAGAGGAGGGACGAGGGGGACATGCCTTCCGAGGCGAGCTTGCGATCGACCAGGTATGGCTTCTGATGCTTGCAAAGGCGTTCCCGATGATCTTGAGAGATCCGACCCTGTACTATCTATGGTCAGTTCGAGCCTTATCGTATGACGGTGCGATGCTTACGGTGCAGAATCTTCGCCATTTCCCAGTTGGTCACGCACGTGAGCTGAGCGGTCGACTCGAGTATGCGATATGAGGTGTCCTCCATCCGGAATTTGGGAGACTTGAATACCGCTATCGCCAAGTTGATATTGCACTTGACAATGCTTGGGCGGTCAGCAGGGTCGCTCGGAGTGGAGGCGGATGTGTACTCACAGACCGCCTACACCGCTAAGTCTGGCCTCCCAAGGAGCCATGTAATAATCAGAGGGGAACCAAGGGAGAAGTTTCGTGATAGCCTCGACGTAGAGTCTGATGGACTTCAAATGGGTATCGTTTACGTTTAGCGCCCTAAAAGTGGTATCAGCTCATCTGCTCCTCAAGATTTGGTGATGGAGGAGCTCACTCGTCTCCTCTCTCTTTCAGCTGTGAAGCCACCTTGAGGGCTTGCTCCAGACTGTGGAGCTCGGGCTGACCGACCAGCAGCTGGTATACCGTGCTGATCGGGCCCGGACCATCGGATAGGAGAAAGCCGATCAACGAGCAGGCCATAATGAGGGACTCGATCTGACGGAGGTATGGGAGGCGGCAGGCGAGTTGGAAGTAGACTGAGGTAGTCTCTTGTCAGATGGGGAAGGAGAAGATGTCGCCGTTGTAATCGTCATCCTCGAGAGATGCCATGGAGTGGCTGACGAGTATGGGATGGAGGATCTCTCCGGCCCTAAACTTGGTCAGGATCTCTCTGCGACGCGACCTAAAGCACAACTAGATTGGACTCACGCTAACATCATGTCCTCGACCCTTACGATCTCATCCGCGACCGATTGGGCCATTTTGATCTCGACGAGAAAGTGGTGATTAAACGCGTGCCTCAGAGGCTCCCAGAGGAAGTGATGCCGAGCTTGTCGTCCGACCGGAACCCGCTGCGACCCGATCTGATACTGCTCCCGGATCTCGACGTCCTGATCGTTCTCGACCTGATGCGGCTGAAGGTAGTCGGAGGAAGAGGGGTCTAGGTTGTAGTGCATGTACCGGAGGTGGAGCATGAGACCGGAGGAAGCTGGCTCGTACATGGTGAGAGGATTTGGTCGAGTAGGGTTGTCGATTACACGAGGAGCGAGGCGGAGGGTTGAGCGATACGAGTTGCGAAGGGGGTCGCGCGGATGGTCCGCTCTAGTTGCAACTCCCAGGATGTAATGACGGATGATATACACAGTGAGTACGATAAGCGGCGGACTGGAGGAGGGAGCAGGAGGAAGAGGAGAAGAGAGGTATGTATGAACGATAGCAGCGAGAGACGTCGGACGTTCCAGCCAATTGGCGCAGACAGGTCCGTGCGGGCATGATGTTTCATCTGGTTTCACTTTCTGGGACATATGAGAGCACGCACGCCTGACAGCATAATCTACGCTGCCTGACAGATGGCATAGCTGCCCCTTGTCTCCGTAGACCGGCGGCTTGCGCAATACCCTGCGGTCAGGATCATGCAGCTTTCGCAGCTATATAAGAGGAGAACCTGCACGTGACCAAATATTCTAGGCGGAGCCCCGCGGACGCGTCTTGCTGTCGAAGGCATCTCAACTTTCACCTCTTACCGTCCTCTACCTTTCGTGTCATCCACACCAGGCCAGTACGATGTCAGCCACACTGGCAGACGCCGAAGATCCGACATACACCCATTTCGCGCACAAAGATGCGTTCTTTGGTCTCCTGTCGGACTTCCTCGCGCTGGATGTGAGCCGAGCTCCGGCGAGAGGGGAAGACGAGAATGAAGAGGCACTGGTCAAAGACCTTGGAGCTATTGTGAGTCTATCCGTAGAGAGCCATATCCCCAGCTGCGCTGATGGACGTAGCTGGATCACTACCTGCCCCTGCCGGGATTGTTGGACCCCCATATCGACCAGATCATTCCTCCGTTAATGGACGCTCTGGCGAAGCAGGTCATTGCGCTCGCCCAGGATACGGAGCTGCCTAATCCCAGTCGTCTCAATCGACTTGGGAGGGTGATCAACTGGGTAGTCAAAGTCCGAGGATGGAAAGCTGTCGGTATGTCGAGCCCGCCCTGGAAGAGCCATCTGTCAGCTGATCATCTAGTCCAACACTTCCCTTCAACAATCTCGTACCTCCCCTCACTCATCGCCATTCTCTCCCCGCCCACCACGCCCAGCTCGTCCTCGACACCCCTGACGGCACAGCATCCGCTCATCGCCCATCAAGACGCGTGGGAGACTCGAGCGGTCCTCCTCCTCTGGCTCGCCCTGCTCCTTACCGTCCCATTCTCGCTCTCGGCCCTATCCGCACCCCACCCGGTCCAAGCTAGTCAATACGGTATCGACGCCCCGGCATCCGCCCTTTTGTTCTCCGCACCGACCTCGGATCTCTCCCAGCGCGTCATCCTACTGTCGCTCCCGCTGCTCCAGCGGTCCGGCAAAGAAGGGGCGTACGCCGCGCTCGTCCTGGCCCGGGTTTTCTCACGGACCGATGCCGTCCAAGGGCTCAGCGGCTTTCTCGGATGGGCAGGTGCGGAGCTAGAAGAAGGCGACAGGGAGGGAGAAGCCAATCTTGTCGCGTCGCTTCTGGAGTTGCTGGCGCTGCTGCCGTCAATGCTGCCCCTCGGCCACCTCGACACTCTGGATGGATTCATGGCGAACACTCTGCTTCCTCATCTGAGAGGGAGCAGGACAGCGGCCAGCTCGGGTCTGATACGGAAGTTAGCGATCAAGGCGAGGGGGAGATACTGGTTGACAAAGCTGAGCCAAGTGAGGGAGAGTGAAGGGGAGGAAGCGATTCCAGAAGGACTGGAAGAAGAGCTGGATGACCTGATGACTGGATTAGCGGACAAAGTACGTTCTTCTCAGCTGCATGGCATACCTCGATCTGGCCCTCGAGCTGATCCTACCAGGACACGATCGTTCGATACTCCTCAGCCAAGTACATCGCCCGACTTACCGCTGTTCTCCCTGAAGACTTTGCCTCGCAGATCGTCTTGGCCACTATCAACCTCTTCCAGGGAACAGAAGACGAGCCGGTCGTCGAGACGCCCTTCGGTACCGTTCTCGACCCAGGTGGGAGCGCTCCGGGCGGAACGATGGGTTTTGGTGGGACAGAAGGGGCGAACAAGGGGGAGTCGAGGTGGCATGGTGTCTGTTTGGCTGTTGCGGAGATGGCGCGGAGGGGGCTGGTCAAAGACGAAGCTGTGGGAGAGGCTGTACAATGGGTAATGAAGGTGTGTCTCCTCACTCGAACCAGGACCCAGCTTATCCTCAGGCTTTGACCTTTGACATTCGCCGTGCGACCCATTCCATCGGCTCGAACGTCCGCGATGCCGCAGCATACGTCCTCTGGTCCCTATCCCGCGCGTGTCCGCCGGCGACAATCGCACCATACGCGGAGGATATGGCGACCGGGATGATGTGCGCTGCGTGCTTTGATCGAGAAGTGGGCGTCAGGCGGGCAGCTAGTGCCGCATACCAAGAGGGAGTGGGGCGATTGGTAAGCTATCTCCCTTTGCTCCGCCTTGGCAGATGGGCAAGCTCATGTCTTAGGGTCTGTATCCTAAGGGAATAGACGTGCTGGCGAAGTCTGACTTCTACTCGGTGAGCGTGAGAAGGATCGCCTTCACCATCGCTGCTCCAGCCATAGCTGAGTGAGTAGCCATGAATGTGTACCATCAAACTTCGCTGACCTGACAGACATGCCGTCTACCGTCGCCGGATGCGGGATCACCTTCACAATATCACTCTTCGACACTGGGACGAAGCGATGCGGACATTGGCGGCTGTAGCGCTCAAAGATCTTTTGAAGCTGGGGGATGAGGATGGTCTGAACGACGCGATTGAGCGAGAGGTGCGCTTCTGCAGCTTTGATAAAGCTGGATCCAAGCTGATAAGGCAGATCAAACAAGTCCCATCAATGGATGCGAACAATGTTCATGGAGGGCTTTCGGCTTTGACTCAAATAGCGTCACTCTTGAGCGTAACGGACGATAGACGAGCCAATGTGAGCTGGCTCTGGTTCCCAAACTGAAGCGAAGCTGACACGGCAGATCTTCCTCGCGCTTGGCTCCATCCGTCCTGCTGCCCTCGTTTCCCCTCAAGCTGGCCCCATCATCAAACAAGCCTGCGACGTCATTTGCGCCACGCTCAACCAGGCTATCATCAAGAGCGCGGGGAGTCAGGCGATCCTAGACAAGTTCATCGAGGCGGGAATGAAGCGGCGGGAGACGGAATGCCAAGAAGGGGTGGCGGATGTGTACGGCTGTTTGAGCGCTTTGCGCGACGCGTCGAGAGAGGTCGTCAAGTGCGTCCTGCTGCCGGACTGTTTGCAGAGTGGAGCTGATACGGTAGGCTTGTTGGTGACCTCAAGGCCACGAGAGCTGTTCAGAAACAGGCGGCAGCGCTGAGTCTCGGACATATACGATATGACGGGTGTCAATCGAGCTTGGACAAATCGGTGGCTGCTTTGCTGGCGCAATTGGAGGACGGGACAAAGGTCAGCTATGCATTTCACATGAGTGGCAAATAGATTGGCAACTGATGATTAGGCGGATGTGGAGACTCGACGGTATGCTATTCGGTCTTTGGCTGACATCGCTGTCCAGCAAAATCAGGACGGAGTCAGGCTGGGTAAGTCTCAACTACCTCGTATGCGTTGCCGAGGTCTAGTTGCACAGCTGACCCCAAAGTCGCCGCCGAACAACTGGACCAGCTCATCTCCGCAATCACCCTTGCTCTGGCCGATTACTCGACTGATCAACGCGGAGACGTCGGATCCTGGATTCGCATTGCCGCTCTCAATGCCCTGGCGCTGATCGTACCCGATATCGCACAAGCTTCACCTGCTGCACCTGGCAAATGCCCGATCTCGCAGAACAGCTTCGACAAGCTCATGGGTGGTATCGTCAAGCTGCTCGTGGAGAAGCTGGAACCAGTCCGAGCGGCCGCCGCTCGATGCTGGGGACTCCTGCGGGCTGCCGGAGTCTCTGAGGTATGGGTATGGCCAGAGGGGAAAGTGCTGGATGTGGAGTTGAAAGAGCCGTAGTAAGTTTGGACCCCTCTGGAAGGGCACGGATGCGGGATCGAGCTCATACTTACAGCGAGGAGGCATTTCGGTATGTCGACCAAAAAGATTGGTTCGGTCGCACGATGCCGCTCCTCCGCACCAAGTACAGGGGCGAGCTTATGGCGGGGCTGGTCCTGTGTATGGGAAGCCAGATCGTCTCTGTGGTAAGCGTCTTGCCGGGTCTTCTGCGAAGTAAGTCACTAACGATCCTTCAGTCTGCCATGGCATTTGAGCCTTTCCACGCTTACCTGTCGACGCAAGACGCTGCTCAAGCTGGAGAGGAGTCGCTGAAAGATACGGTGATGCGAGATCTCGGTGGCATCATGGCCGAAAATCTTGGCTCGAACAGGGTCTTCGTCCCCTGCCTGGTGACCAGTGCGAAGGTGTTCCGATCCGGCCTCTTCTCAGACGTTGACGCTTCTCTTGCCGGCCTGTCAAAAAGGTAATCTACTTTTCTCCCTCCCGGATTGGGACTATAGCTAACTGGTGATCAGCTGCACTCGGTTCATCAGTCTAGCTAGTCGAGGCATCGACAAGATGAAGTCTATCGACCGGATCAGCGCGAGTATGGCCGTCGTCATCGCTGCTCTCAGGCTGAAGGACGCTGGTGTCAGGCATACAGCAGGAGGCAATCTTGGGGTCTTTCTCAAGCATCGCTTTCCCAGAGTAAGTCTGACCTTCGCAGAGTCGACATGCACGGCCTCGGCTGATCCTCAGATCCGGTCAATGTGCGCAGAACAGCTGTATCTCGAGCTCTCGGACATTCAGGACGAGGTCCATCCCGAACTGGAAGAGGTGCTCATCGGAACCGTGTGGACCGAAGATGAAGGCTTCGAAGAGGCGGCGGATGAGGTGGTCCGCCTTGTGCAGCAAGAACTAGGTCAATGAGACATGGTGATGACGCGGCAGTGAGCAGGTGGGTTTTGACTTTTTACATCATCTGCGTGGGATAGTGGGTGATGACCAGGTCGATCGTGTCGACTCCAGAACTCCTCTTCTCCCGTCGACTCGACCGACAGCCGCCCACGGCGCACCTGTCGCGGCCTGCCCCTCTCCCTGCACTCTCTTCTCCTCTCCCTCTTTATTTTCACCGCCACTACTCTTGTCGACGGGCACATCCTCCCCCCACAGCCACCCGCCAATCCATAATCCCTGGACGACCACCTTCTTCCCTACCACCTCACCCAGAAACATCTTCCTCAGCCCGCTATGCGGTTTATACCAATTTGGCATCTGGCATAAGGAGTACAGGAGGGGCGAATGCTCCGAGAAGGCCGCGCCGCTCTTGAAGAGTGTAAGACGGTAGAGGGAGAGGGTGAACATATCGGTCAAAGGAGTGGAGGGGGATAAGGGGATGAGGGTGGGGACAACGGACGGGGTGGAGGCTTGGGCGAGGGCGAGTGATCTTGGGGGTGTCAGATCTGAACCTGGAGGATCAGCTTCGGAACCGGAACCCGAGTTGATGAATGCAACACCTACCGAGAAGCTGGGCAGAGCCAAAGAGGTAGCTACTCTGTCAGCGTGAGGACAGAGATGTAGCAAGATGCACGAACGGGAAGAAGCAGTAGTCATCTAGACCCCATACACCGTGAGATCCAGCTGGCTCCAGACGGTACTGCATCTGGAGCACAGTGGTGAGATTGAGATAGCTAAACATGTCAGCCGAGAGCCAAATGGCAAGGAAGGAAGTCGGATGTACTGTGCGAAGACTCGTAATATCAACTCATCCTCCTCATCCTCTCCGCCTTCTCCGCTCCCGACCCAGCCAGAGGCAACACAGCACCATAACGCCAACACAAAGGCTAGCTCGTGCCCTGTCCCGTAGTCCAGCCGAGTGGCGTGGCCGAAGGCGCTCGATTGGATCAGTAATGGGAGGATCTGGTTGGCGAGATACGGCGGCAGGTCGACAGATTGAAGCAGAGCTGGGAGCCGCTGATCGGTCAATAGAGCACAATGTCTGTGAAAGATGGAGGCACACCTCTTCGACGAGCTTGATGTACGACCTGAAAGCGAGATTGCCGAACCTCTGACTGCTCTGCGGCTGTGTAGGCACCTCCTCAACCCAGCTCATCAAGCTATCCAGGATGAGCATGAGGTGCTGTATAGCCTATCGCTGAGTCAGATTTCTGCACAAGCTCGTCCAAGCATGGTCTGGGCTCACATACAGGCGTGCATCCTTCAGTTGAGCCAGACCTGATCTCTTTCCCTCTTATCCGCTCGCACCGACGCTGGATCCAGCCCCAGAACGCCCGGAACCCGGGACTGGCTAGCCATTCAGCTACGGCCTCGTCGGTATTAAGCACCTGCGCCGGGGCGGCGGGGGACGTCGGGAGGTAGAAGCCGGACGTCGAAGCCATAATGCATATAGAGGAGATATAAAGAATGGTCGAGCTCGTCGTCGAAAGGGTCGTCGGCGTCGTCGGAAAGAGCTTTCCCACGGTCTAAACGTTTCAGATCATCGTTCAAAATGTTGACGTCGTCGTTCGTCTGTCCAGCTACTGTATCACGCCCCTCTAAAGTCAGCAAGATGCCGCTCTACGTCCTCCGAGTGTGTATGGAGCACGCTACGTTCCGGATCCCATCGCTACTCTCGGTCGCGCAGCTGTACGGCTTCTCTATCAAGTTCATCTCGGAGGATGCCGACAGGGGTATCGTTGTGATAGAGCTGGACGACGATGAGGACGTTGACAAGCTCTTGGAAAGAGGTACACTGATCTTGTGAGTGCAGTCTATTGATAGACCAGCAGGAGAGAAGCTGCCACCTGATCCGTATGCGAAACCCTCCTCTGACTTACGGCTGACCATGCTCAGTACCGCCAGCCGCCTTCTCGCACAGGCCGACTCGTATGACCAGCTCCATGCTTACTTGCACGAACATCCGGAAGGGCTCAGGCCATATCTCGACAAGAACTTCAAGTTCTTCGTTGAGGGTATCAACCACAGGATACCCTCAAGCCGCCAGCGGTGAGCCCTAGCTCCGCTTGAGTTCTTGGAGATCAACAGCTGAGGCGAGGAGACAGAAAGTCGATAGATGCTTTTGAACAGCATGGGTACACCGGTAAGGCTGCGATGAAGGATCCCGAAGTCGAGTTCATCATCTACGAGGAGTGTGAGTCGGCTGCTATCATTCCACTTTCAGGTGCTCGGCTAGCACCCGGCTCGCAGCTGACTAGTAGATGACCTGAACGAAGCGCACTCCCATGAGAAGAGCCACCGGCTGGAACGAGATGGCCAGTTCCGACAGGTGTACTTCTGTGTAAAAGTGTGTCTCCCTCATCAAGGTTCGACCGCGCCCTGCTGACCTGACAGATGGGCGAATCGCGGGCTCGACCACTCATCCAGGCTCACTCGGTCAAGACCAGGTCATACTACGGCAACACGTCCATGGAAGCAGAGATGGGTTTCTTGATGGCTGGACAGGCCTTGGTGGGTCTTATCGCTGCTCGCAAATGGTGTACTGAGCTGATCTGTTCAGCCTGCACCAGGAAAAATCGTCTATGACCCCTTCGCCGGGACCGGATCCATGCTCTACTCGTGCGCTCACTGGGGAGCCACAGTCTTGGGTTCAGATATCGACGGCAGGCAAATGAGAGGGAAGGGTAGGTTCAGCTAGTCATTGCAGTCGAACAGTAAGCTGATACAATCAGGGCAGGGCAAAGGCTATGTCCCAGGCGTATATCGCGCAGCCGATCAATACGGAGTGCGAGACAGAGTCCTTGACTGTATGACTTTTGACATCACAAGAGGTCCATGGAGGAGGGGAGGATGGCTCGATGCGGTCGTTACAGATCCGCCTTGTAAGCTCACGATTTGACATGTTTGAAAGTCTGAGCTGACTTTACGTAGATGGTGTACGTGCAGGCGCAAAGAGGCTGGGAAGGAAGAATGACAGGAAGCCAACTCAGGAAGAAGCCTTCCTGATGCCAGATGGAACTCCAGCTCATGAGCGAGTATTCTCTCCACTCTCACGCAGGACCATCAGCTGATCCGCTAGACTGCCAGACTATCGACCCCCTTCTCGCCCATATGAACTGGTCAACCTCACTCGCGATCTCGTTCTTTTCGCTCGGTGGATTCTTGTGCCAGGCGGACGGCTGGTCTTCTTCCTGCCGACGGTCTCGGAGGACTATGATGCGGTAGATGTGCCGGTTGTGGAGGGTATGCGGGAGCTCAAGTGGGGCGAGGGCAGTGTGCAGGACTTTGGAAAGTGGGGAAGAAGAGTGAGTAACACATTCTCGCGGGCAGCAATCATGTCATGTGCGCGAACCGCCAGCTGATACAGCAGCTCATCACGATGGAGAAGACAGCGGATGACGACGGGGCGAGACCATCCTTCGATGATAGCGAGGCGGTCGAGGTGGACAGCGGAGCCAAGATACCAGGGCATTTCCAATTCCGGGAAAGGGTGAGTGACGCCATTCCTGTCTGGTCTTGCCTCATCCCACAGCTGACCTTGCCAGTATCACGAGAAATTCACGCCTCGGCTGCAACCGTCCTCGAGTGCCGCTTCACCCGGACCAGAAACGTAATACATGATCATCACAAACTTCACGGCCGATACCGAGCGAAAGAAGACGTCATCGCCGCAGGCAGAGTAGGGTATCTATGCACTGACGGATATTCAGTTGCATTTTGCGCTACTCATGGTGCGACCTTAGTATCGGCTCGATGGCTCCCAAAACCGTGCGCTGGTCTTCTCATCCCTCGACTTAAGCGAACGCTTCTCTCGTTTGTAATCCCTGAGAGCCATCGCCGCCCTCACACCATGATACACCGTACCTAAAATTGGCACCCCGCTGACAGCTGACTGGAAATGATGCTTCAACTTATCGCGACGGGACTTGACGGACCGTTCCGCGGCTAACCGGGAGGTGTCCCTGGCCAGTGCATCAAAGCACTGAGAGACGGAAGCGGTGTCAAGATCGATGTATGATGACCAAGGCCGGTAGAAATCATCGTCGGAGTCAGGATGGAGGGCGCTGAATGCCGATTGGAGATTTGCGGTGGCAGACCTGAAAGTATGACGGTCATGAGCACTGAGGGTGGAATATGAGTCGCTGAGCATCTTATGGGCCGGGTCCTTTTCAGTGGCGTCGACAATGGACAGCGTGTCACTGACTGATCGATTATCGCGATCGATGAATTGATTGGTCACAGAGGACGACGACGACGTCGACGGCCGAGGGATGATACAAAGTTGCGCGGAGAGTGATGGCGCTTTCGAGAATGAGCCGATCGGACTCACTGCTGATCCGATACATGGGCTATGCTCACGCGCGTATGGTCCTGCATCCTTTGTGGACCATCGCTGATACGTGTATGATGACTGCTATCCTTTCTCAGGATGGCGAGGCTGGTGCTGCAGACGAGGTGTGTCTTTCGGACCGTGCGCACAGGCCGAAGCGAGCACGGACAGCAACGGTGGGCGTCATGAATTCTAGCGGGCGCAGCTTTGAAGACGATCTTTTCGCTGGTGTACTGTTGGTCATATTATCGCGGACGGCACAGGCAGAAGCCCTCATTGGAGCGCCATCGGTCGACTACTTGGCAAGCAACTCGAAACGCCTTTCCCGACGACTCTGTACATGGGTATGTAGTGTAATGAGCACTGGGTATAATATCGATATCGCCTAACATCTGTGCCACAACATCCATCTCAGCCATCTGACCCCGCTACTCATCCCCCTTCGCCAAATGCGTGCACACTGCCTTCACAACGGTTGCTGTACCCAGAGCCGCCAACGCGAAAAATAGTCCGCGGCCCATCTTGGAGCTCCCGACGTCTCCCCAAGTGGTATCAGGGGCCTGGTGGCTGTCCCACTCCCCCTTGGAGTTGAATCTCTTGGGCGGCTCTTGTGGAGGGCCACCACCGGTACCAGCTGACGCCTGTTGCCAGGTGGCTCGGGAGGATGAGTAGGTGGCCGCGCGTTCTCTCAATTTCTGCAGCTTCTTCACCACGGCCGCAGTGATCAGCTCCAATTTCTTGCGTGCGGAGCACTCAGCGCCAGTTCCCATCACGAACGAACCATGCTCCCCAAGTCCAAGTGTTTCTGACAGGCGAGTATTCATGGCCTGCATGATGTCGAGGGAATTCCGGTGTGGGTCGAGACTGCTCTCCACTGTGGACCAGTCCTCCAGAGTTCTCCAAACGTGCGTCGGGGCTTGAGACAGAGACGGAGGGCCCTGGAGATCCCCAAGCAACTCGTTCAGCGTCATGTCGGCTAGGCTGAGTTGCTCAAACGGGTCAGGGAACTTCCTTGAGAGGTCCTTGAGGCACAGCCATTGCGCGATCTCCGGGGGGTACATGGTGCCACTGATATTGATCAGCTCTCTGATGATCCGACGCGATTGATCGACGGTTGCGATGGGGGGAGCGTCAGGTTCAGTCATGTCTGATCTGACATGTCTGCGGGTCAACCCAGAGGACGCGTCGTCCTCCCTGCGGAAAGGACCTCTTCGCAGGGACCACCGCGACCGATCTCCGAGAGGAGGGTTCGGGTCCCTTGGAGCCCGTGGAGTGAAGAATGCCCGCATCTGTCTTCTCAGCTCAGAGGGTGTCCGGGAACCCTCCTTTGTGCTGCCCTCCTGCTCGGCCCTGACCGCAGGTGGTTCTCGGTGCTTGACAACCGCGGTGCTGTCTGTGTACGCATGCGCAACTGGAGCGGTCTCAATGCAGTCCGCCTCACTGGTGTAAGAGATCACGCTGAAGTGGTCCGCACCATCATCAGCTGCAGGCTCATCGCCGTCCTCTTCCGTGACATCAGCGAGGACTCGTCCTGGTGCGGGTGGTAGCTGAGACTGCTGCGCCTCATTTAGCCGGCTGGTGTGGGCAAAGTCGGACCCGTACGGCGGAAGAGGCCGATTGAGGTCTTGGGAAAGCCCGGTGTTCATGACATCCAGAGGTACAAGTGGTCAAGTGATGTGAAGATGATTGACGCAGTAGGGTTGGTTGAGTTGATCGCGCAGAGGATATGGTATTGAAGGATAGGATGATGTACGAAGTCATAATTCTCTTCCCCCTTCGTGACTTATATATCCCATTCTGACATGATCTGTCCAGTCATCCCTTGACTCCAGCTCCTTGCGGACTTTGAGGTCATACACGTTCGAACCCTGCGCCACTCTGGCGTGCTCCTACACGTTCGGGCGAAAGTGGCACTTTGTAAGGATGTCTGACAGTCTGCAGCCTTCACGCTCTCTAGAGGGTTCTAGAACTAAGCGGTCATGGATAAGGGATCGACCGATTGATCCACATAGCATCACGGCGTGAGGTCAGCGGTGTACTGTCAACACATAACGACATGTCGAGGACGTCCACTAGCTGACAGCCGTTGAGAACTGGCGGTGCCACTCGCTCCAGCTGGTTCCGCCCATAGCGGCCGTTCACTCGAGACAGCTGACAAGGGTCTATGATGAACTCTGAAGCTACAGGACAATCCATGGTATCCTGGGAACCATACAGATGGGGTCTTGCGTGACCTCGTCAATGATCGCAAGCCAATGGATATTGATTGAGTAACTCTTGCGCGGCATGTTTCACCTGCATCACGTGACCCATGACCATTGATGGGCGAAAGGTCTAGACGGCGGGTCAAACAGACACCGTCCTGCGCCAGTCGATGTTCATCAGCACCAAACGGACGCCTAGTCAAGGCGGCTGTGAGATGTACGCGCGCCAGTCATACTGCCAATACTCTACATGCTTCGACTCCGCCACTCATTTCTCCTGCTTCCACCCGCTACCAGCTTCGAATGCTTGGCCATCGCGCCCCTTTTGGAGGTGACAGACGACTATACGGGCGAGCTATATACAGGAGTACGATAAGTCGTTGCTGGATGATAGCTATCGATCACGGGGATGGCGTGATGAAGGTTGGGAAGAGTAGGCGCGGCGCCGTTCGGAGGGGTGTAATGATGAGGGTGATCTGGACGGTCGACTAGTGGAGCGCGTGTGGGACTGGGGATAGTCGGAGTACTGCCGAGAGCGGGAATGATCGAATTCGGATGGGTAGTGTCTTCGGCGGTCACTGGATTTGCGAGAGCGAGAGCGAGATCGACCGCCCCGCGTCGGCTGTCCCCTGGAGCGAGATCGAGCACTGTCGAGGTCGACCTCAGAGGGCCAGCTCCCCGGCATCTCGCTCTGACTGGCTGGCTCTACAGATCGTGGATCTACGGATCGACCGCGTGTGGAAGGGTAAGGTGCCCGAGATGAGTGGGAGGAGCGAGACCGGCGCCGTGATGGTCGGGAGGAGCGGGAAGGGGACGATGTAGAGGGGGGTCTTGACCGGTGCCTGGGCTGGCGCTTGGTGACAGTGTATGTGCTATCTGACACGAGTTTTCGACTGTCCTCGCTAGGATCCTCATCTCCTGAGACATAACCCTCATCCTCAAAGTCTTCTGTTACCAGCCCGCCACCCTCAGTCCCCTTCATCACCTCGTCTCGGGTCTCTTGGATCTGATTGGTGATGCCGTGTATGCGCTTACAGCAGTCATCCAGCCATTCCAAAGGCTGACCGGTCCGCTCGGTCATTTTAGACCGAGTGAACATGCTCTTGAACTTGCCTTTTGGTTTGGGTCGCGCGAGGGTCACGCCCGAGAACGCCGCAGCTGACTGATCTAGCGTATCCAGGAGCCGGTCCACAAAGGGAGCTGTCGTGTATGGTGCAAACAGGTCAATGCCGATACAGGAATCGCCCGACTCGTCGTCCGTCCTCATGGTCTCCCTAAACTCGTCCGCTAGTACCGTCCTCTCCCCTACCGTCGCCTCTGGATCTTCCCACATGAGCTTCAGGTTGTTTCGATTCCTCAGCGTTCTTGTCAAGGTCTGTGCGTACTCCAGCTTCTTCACCATCTCCATCGCCTGCGCCGCTAGTGCCTGGCTCTTCTCGATCTTGCTACCCCTCGTGACTCCTGTCGTCTGTGTCGTCTGGCCCATTGCTTTTTTCCAATCGATCGGCATGAGACCATCAAGTAGCTCGTTTACCCGGTCTGAAAACCTTGAGAGGTCGCGCTGCGTCAGGCCCTGGTTGGCAATGTCCATCCGGTCTTCATCTGTTATCTGTAAGTGAACACTGGAAAGTGGTGGTGCTGATCGTCGTGCTTTGCGTAGTCGCATTGTGGGGGATGGTTTGGATCGAGGGGGGTGGGGAGAAGGATGGGCAAACAAGCACCGCTGCGCCAGCGATTATGAGTTGGTACAGTGCAGCTATCCTTTGTAGTTCGCCTTGAAACTCCAGAACTATCTAGATCTTTTGATGCGGATACTCTGTAGCACGTTCCAGCGCTAGTGATACAAGGAGAAACATCAGACTCCAAGCACTGTCAGGGTGAGGTCCGATGATACGGAGTCAAGGAGGCCCCATTTGATGGAGATCAGTAAGGCCAGTCAGTCTCGCCGTCAGCATAGCATGTGCTATATGTCGGAGTGAGTGATGGCTTCACAAGGCTCAAAGGAGTGGCTGCCGATGTCTTCGCAACGCAACACAATACGTCAGATAGGTCAACATCATGTTTAGGGTATACATGTTTCCGAAACGTATACGACCTGTCATTCAGCGTGTCCGTTCGCCTGAGCCGCCTTCTGCATCTTGAGCGCCTCGTTCCCGAACTCCAGGAGATAGTAGTCCGCATCTGACGATATTAGCCTGATTCCTGACCACCATCAAGCAGGACTCACAGATAAGCCCATGGTCCATGAACTGCCTCGTCGCCTTCGGATTCCCATTGATCGTCGAGTGCATCAGGATCGTCTCCCATCCGCCCTTACCGAAGTCCACCGAGCCACCCTCAAGCTTTGCAGCAGGCGCGGCGCACTCGCGGAGGGTATCTTCTATGAGCTTGAAGGCGCGCGCGAGGTACTTCTCGGCCGAGGTGGGGTCGGACTTGGAGAGGAGGCGGGAGAGCTTGAGGAGGCCGCAGGCGGCGATGGTGGCTGCTGAGGCATCGTATGGGCAGGGACGAGGAGCGGAGAAGTCCCTTTAGCGTCAGCGTACTGATCGGGATGGGGAGGAGTCGCAGAAAAGAAGAGAGACTCACCACCACGGGACACCAGACTCGGGGAGAAGAGACAAGAAGACGTCCGACAGCTTTCGGCAGATATCGGTAAAATCTTGACGACCAGTCCGAAGAGCTGAGCATCAGGTATGCTCCTGCTCAATCACTAGATTAGACACTCACCACACTGTGCATAGCCATATATCGCCCAAGCTTGCCCTCGAGCCCAGCAAGAATCGTCTGCGTACCCTATCCCATCAGCTCTGCTCCTGCTTCCGTGTACTGAGAGGAAACTCACCTTGAGCAGTCATGAGTTCCAGCGCCTTCCCGGTCTTCTGATCCATGTTCACAACGTGGAAGGTGGTCCCATCTGGCCTGACGTGGGTGTCGGAGCTCTTCTCAGCCTGACTGTTCGCGATGGCAGCATAGCGAGGGTTCCCAGTAAAGTCTGTAGCTTCATACATCATGTCCAGGTTCATCTGTCTGTCAGCTCTGCCCTCTCATCTTCATGTGGAGCTACAGAGAGGAGCTCACCATGTTGTCAATGATGGTGAGGTAGTGCTCGTCCATGTTGTCGATACTGTATTCCTTGTCCATGTGTTTTGCCCGCAGCTCGTCCCAGCTCCGAATACAGCCAGCCTTCGTTGATCAGCTCATCATCTCGCTACTAAGGCTGATCAACTCACAGAGTCACTGAATCGGTCTACCAGACTATCAGCAGCAGTGATGACCACCTGCTTGGCGTCCTCGCTTCCCGTCATATTGTAATCACTGCTCCATCAGCACAAGCCCTTCTCTTCAATTCATTCTGGCAGGCGGTGGTACACTACTCACCGGCCAAAGCTCAACTGAAACCTGAACCCCTGATCGTGGTTCTGACTAGGTCTCGCCAGATACCGGAACGACTCTTGCCATCGTCGAGCGAGCTTGATGAGCTCTTCCTTCTGATAGGTCCCTTCGACGGACGAGGGGAGGAGGGAGATGCGTTCGGCGACGAGCCAGATCAGGCCGGGAAAGAAGCCTTGTGTCCATGAGGAGGCGACTGAAGATCAGTCAGAGTTCCGCCGTTGAATGCGTAGTTGAGGCTGGGCAAGAGGAGACGAAAGGGAGGAGAGCAAGTAAAGGACGCGACGTACTCTTGGAGCAGTGATAGTTGTTCGGACCGCCCGGGACTGTATACTCCGGAATCCGCTCAATCGGCTGACCCTATCATCCATCAGCTCCTGCTCTTCAAGAAAGACCTCGCACAGGCCTACCTCGGGCGCGTTGTACTTCTTCGCGACTTCAACGACCTTGACGGAGAAGCTGGGGTCAAAGAGCCCAGGAAGAGCAGAAGGGAGGTTCTTGAGCGTGTCCATGGTTGGCCAGATTGTTGCTGCGGGCGAAGTGGGAGATGCGAGAGGAGAGGAAGGTGGGCTACATGTCCGACTTGCAGCTGACCCCTGGCATGATATAGCTCGAGTCCCAGAGCTAGTTCCAGGAGCCGAGGAGGAGGTAGCGAAGGTGGACCTTGTTTTTGTATATCCGGTCAACTACATCCCTCCGGCCCGTATTGACCGGTCAGGCACGCTTCATTATGTCAGGCCGCTCGTTAGCCACTCGCAGCCAGCTGTGACTGTAGCTCCGCGCGATGCGGCCGTGCTCGAGCCCAGCGTCACCCTTCCAGCGCTAAGATCTTCCAACAGTCTACTATACTTTGCTATACCTTGACCCCCGCCCGTCTCTGGGCAAAAGGGGCCATGTCCAAAATCCTCTGATCCCTGCCCTCAAATTATCTTCTTCCCCCCTCTCCCTTCTCCCTGCTTCCTCTCCTCTGCTCTCATTTCACTGTCTCCTCACTCTCCCCTTCCAGGCCCAAGTCTAAGCTCTAACCCGCTGATAAAACAAGAGATACGCGCACTTTTCCCTTCCACCAATCAACCCCGCCCGGCCACTCTCGGCCTCTTCGGGCGAAACGACAACTTGGTCCGTCGGGACCGGCTGGACCGTTTCGTCGTCGAAATGAATCCACTGTTGGTGGTCTTGCCGAGAGACGGCGACGGTGTAGTGTCCTCCGCCGGCAGTAGAGCCATGGTGATAGACGACTGTATTATCAGCTTGGATCCCCCACGGCTGTGAGAAGGCACAAGCTTACCGCCGAAAAGTCTATATTTGACAGGAACAGAGGATCGTTTTGTCGGTGATATTATCTCTGTCTTGTCAGCTTATGTCAACGGAGATTCGGGAGGGTGACAGCTCACCATTCGGCACGATCAACTCCGTCCCATACGCCACCGCCCTCGACTTCTTAACCACCTCCCTCTCCTCGGCATCATACACAAACCTCTTCAAATGGCAAATCAACACCGCCGGCCACGTCTCGACAAACACCGTCTTGGTCGCATCCACATTCTCCTTCTTGGCAGCCGACCACGTCTGCACCGTCTCGGGCGTACTCAGATGCCGGAGGGCATCCACCACACTCATGGTGCTGGCGGGATCGGAAATGTCGAGCTGGAGAGGTTGGTACGGCTCGAGCGTGACGCTGTCTTTTGCGCCGGGGATGTGGAGGATGGAGCGGAGTGTTCCGCCAAAGATCCGCGTGATGGCTGATTCGCGCGCTTCGTTGGATCGGACGACGTGGGTGCGTTGTTTCTTGCCGACTTCGAGCCATGCGGAGGCGCCGCCCGAGTCGGCCTGGGCGGAGGGGGAGAGGGGGCGCTCGATGGAGTGTTCTCGGCCTTCCGAGGAGGGCGTACCGTTGGCCTGAGCAGTGGAGCGAGTGTGGGTGCGAGATAAGAGGTAAAGTAGTTCTTCGTGCAGAGTATTCAGGAAGAATCCGAGGTACTCTTCTGCGTCTTCCTGGAAGCCGCGCTGTACTGTCAGCTCATATCCGCATTGCCTCTTCCCCGCGCTGTTCAACTTACGCGCATAGAATCAAACCGCTTGTTCTCCTTCATCGCATCATACACATTCTCCGGCACGAACGCATCCTTGCCTCCCACTCCCCTCCCTGTCTGCTGGAATGAAGTCGGCGCAGTATTGGCTTTGGTCATTCCCCGAGTGGGAAGAGCACCATTGACGACATTCAGCGGCAGTGCAGACCCGCTGGGCTGAAGTTCGCGCAGGAATACAATGACGGATTCGAGGAGGGGAGTTTTGCGGCCGAGATCGGCTTTCAGACGCTGACCCAAGGTCTCGAGGAGATCGGTGAACGGTGGACAGTATGCGAGGGTCTGAAGGATCTGATATGTCAGCTTCATGAGTTTCCCGCCCATAGATGAGCTGCAAGCTTACGGTGTTGATGAAGCACATGTTTCCAGTATTAATCAAACCCCGCGGGATAGTCCCCTTGCTCACGCCCGGTGCCGCCCCCCGATTGCCCAAACCCTCGCTGAGCAGCTTGACGAGCTCATCAGCCGGACTCAGCGCCGCGCCCGCCGCAGCGGCCGCAGCGTAGTTGAAGGCAGGACGCTTCGCCGCCGGAGCGCTCGCCGCAGAAGTAGGTACCGACTTTGGGGCGGATGGAAGAGTCTCGTTTGAAGAGAGCTCGGGGGTGGTAGGAAGCGGTGCGGTGGATCGTGAGGGGGAAGGGAGTTTGGAAGGACCGGCAGAAGGGGTAGGGGTGGCGGTGGTGGATGCGACGGAGGAGGCGGAGGTGGTAGCTCGGGAGCCGACTAGGGCTGCCCAGGATGTAGGAGGAGCCTTTGGGCGGGGAACGGCGGGTGCGGCGGCAGGTGATGGGGCGGCGGATTCGGCATCCGGAGTAGGAGCAGGTGCGGGAGTCGACGTCGCTTCGCGAGAAGGAGGAGCAGACGCCTCGGGGGGCTGAGAGGATGGTACCGGAGCGGTTGCTTCGGGTTTTGGCTTGACCGCTTCCAATTTTGCCGGCACCACAGCCGTCTCCGCCTCTTCCGATATACTCCCAAACCGCATCCTCCTACCAGCGCCCTCGGCCTCCTTCCTCCCCTTCCCAGCCTTCAATCCCTCGCCAAACGCCAAGACCGCTCTCCGTCTCTGCGCCCTCTCATTGCCCTTCTTGCTCCCTGCAGAGCCAGACCCAGCACTAAGAAGCGTCGCGGTAGACTTGTACGCATTCTCACCCTTCTCCTTGGCTTCAGGCCGGGTAGACGTAAAGACCACGGGACCGTCCATGACCGCCTTTGGCTTCCTTGCTGGCTTGCTTGGACCAGCCTTGGAGCTGGACGCGGCAGCAGTGCCGCCGACCTGGGATTGGAGGGGAGCCATAGCCTGAGCGAGGCTCGGAGGAGTCCCGTTGCTTGGCGGTGACATGTAACCCTTCATCGTCGGACCGTAGAATTGGATTTTGCCTTGGAGGTCGGCAGTGTCCTTCTTCGATGGCGAAGCAGCGGCCGTTTGAGGGTGCGTGGAAGGTGCGGTGCTGCTCTCGTCCGTTTTTGAGGTGTCGACGGGTGGGGAAGAGGGGGTTTGGGCAGACGATGCTGGAGCGGGTGCGGTCTCAGTGGCAGGGGCGGCGGAGGTTTCAGGAGCGGGTTGTGTTATGTCTAATGGGGATACCGGGTGTAGGTCGATACCGTTCGGCTGCGCCTCGGAGAGACCGAGGACATCTCCGCCCGCCAAAGTCGGTATGGCCGCTGCGGGCGGCTCGGCATACTCTCCCTCCGACTCCCGCCTCTTCCCACCGATCCCCTTGAGCTTCTCGCCATCCACCATGACCGGCTGGAACACCTTCTGCTGGCTTGCGGGCGGTGCCGCCTTCTTGGGCGTGGGAGCGCGCTGGATCGACGCAAAGACGGGAACGGGTGCGTCTCCCACGGGGCCTGTAGGTGCTTCCGCGGGCGGTGGAGGTGCGGCTATTGGCGGAGGAGGAGCTGATGCGGGCGGAGGGGGTTGGTGGGAGGGAACAAACTTGAAGCCTTGGGCTGCGGGGTTGAGGGATCGGGTGGGGCCGTTCGTTTGTGGTGGAGGAAGGGGGCCGGAGCCATTGTTGATGGGTGGGATAGCGACGCCGTTAGGAGTTGGAGGGGGCATAAAGCCATCGCCAAAGCCATATCCGCCATACCCCTGGACCGGGGCGTACGGGGCGTATCCGACACCTATACCGCCGCCGTAATTGTATGGGTGATTAGGAGGGAAGTAGGGAGGTTGATATGGACCAGCGCCGTTAGGTCCGGGAGGTATCGACGCGGGGTGGGGATGAGGTGATTGTGTAGATGCAGCGGAAGCGGGAGGATAGGGGAAGTCGGATGGTGGACCGGGTCCAGGAGGGAAGTTCGGTGCGGTCGCTGATTGAGGGTCACTTTCGGCGATCGCCGCCGAGGACTCCCCCTCTCCGCTCGGCCGCCCATCGTATCCGCCCGGCCCCTGTCCAGGTCCACCCGCGTACATCGCGCCGCCGTAGCCCTGAACGCCGTACGCATAACCATTCTGGTTCTGCATAGTCGCAGGCCCTGGTCCGCCCATCTGAGGGTACGGCTGGTTTGGCGAGGGGTAGTAGGGACCCCCTCCGCCGGTCCATCCGCCATACCCTCCTTGGAAGCTCGGGTCGGGATAGCGGTTCTGGTAGGATGCATTGTGCTGTTGGAGATGAGAGTTGGAGTTCTGGTGTTGTAATTGGTGGGGAGCGTGGGGGTACTGGTTTTGGGGGGGCTGGGAAGGTTCCGGCTGATTCTGATATGCGGATGTATGCGGATGTTGTTGCTGATGTTGTTGATGCTGATGATGCTGGTTCTGATGGTGCTGGTTCTGCTGACCGCGGAAGCCAGACTGGTTCCGACCGTAATATGGTTGATGGGGGTGATGCTGATGTGATTGGGGATGCTGATTGTACGGCTGTGATTGGGCGGGATGGTGGGGAGGCTGGTACTGATTGTACGGGCCCGCCTGGCCGTTGTAGCCGTTCCCGTTACCGTTGGCATTCGGTCCATTCTGGTAGAACGATGGACCGGGACCGGGAGCCGGTGGAGGGGCAGCATTGGCCATTTGGGGAGTACCGTTGGCGGGAGCCGCGGCGGGCTCAATGGAGCTGGGACCGACAAAGGACATAGCAGGGGAGGTGGAGGGGAAGGACTGCTGCGAGGCAGGCATGGTGGCGGTGTGCATCTGAACGTCAGCCTCAGCACATGATAGCCTGAGAGGGACGAGGTATGCGCTGACTCACGATCAAAGGAAAGGTGGTCCTGCCACGGTTGCGGCAGATCAAAGATCGCCACTCCGGTCTGGAGTCAGGCCGATAGGCGCGGTGAAGATGACGGATATGGTGCCACCAGCTAGAGTGGACCGGTCGAGAGCAGGACGCCGATCAGGTGGGTTGATACCTGCTGCTATTTTGAAATTTCGGTTGTCGAATTGCGCCTCTTCTGGTGGACGTGCCGCTTTGATTGGAATGAGTGGTACAATGTGTGGCGGGTATCTTTCTGCAGCTGCTATTGCGCTGCGTATAAGACCCCTTGAACAAGACGCTGACTATAGGTATAGGAGGAAGGCAAGGTGATACGCTGAGCTGAGCTGACGAGCAGCAGGCCAGGCGGATCGGCGGCAGAGGCCGCCGGAGCTAATCCTGAATAGATCTTGTAAACGTTTAAACGAATTTATCCCAGTCTCGAAAATATCCTCTGTCTGCGATGATGATCCTTGCTATACACTGACCTATTACTACCTATCGCTCAATACCTATCAAGCACTTGCCACATAGCCAGCAAGACAGGCAGACAAATCAATCAACACATACCTAAAATCCATATCGACAGTAAAAAATGGCTTTCGGTACGCTTCGCTTTTCGGAGGAGAGCGGATCAGGCGAAGCTAGCAGAATTTCAGCTAATATAATCAGGTGACCGAGGAGGCGGCCGAGGTGGTGGACGGGGCGGTGACCGTGGTGGACGTGGTGGTGGCTTTGGCGGGCGAGGTGGCGGTGGAGGCCGTGGTGGATTCGGTGGTGGAGACAGGGGAGGTCGAGGTGGTGGACGGGGCGGGTTTGGTGGTGACCGAGGACGAGGTGCTCCCCGAGGTATGTCCCGTCTCTTTTACGTTCTAGAACGACACCTGACGTCCAGGCCGTGGTGCGCCCCGAGGAGGAGGACGTGGTGGTGCCCGAGGCGGAAAGGCCGGTGTCGGAGGCAAGGGTCCCGGCGCAGTCACCCTCGAACCCCACAAGCACGCCGGTGTCTACATCGCCAAGGGCAAGGAGCACCTCCTTGTCACAAGAAACATGGCCCCCGGAGAGTCGGTATACGGCGAGAAGCGAGTATCGATCGCGACAACGAACGCAGAGGGAGAGGAGGAGAAGGTCGAGTACCGTGTTTGGAACCCTTTCAGGAGTAAGCTCGCGGCTGGTATTCTCGGTGGTCTCGACAACATCTACGTGAGTCCCAGCATATCCTAGAGCAAAGTTTCTGCTATTTTCGCTAGTACCCAGCTGACCCCCAGATCCAACCCGGAGCAAAGGTCCTCTACCTCGGTGCCGCTTCCGGATCATCAGTCTCGCACGTCTCGGACATTGTCGGTCCCGAGGGGGTAGTGTACGCCGTCGAGTTCTCGCACCGTTCAGGTCGTGACTTGATCGGTATGGCCAAGAAGCGTACCAACGTTATCCGTGCGTCCACCTTATTCCTCCCATCAACCATATACTAATCCCACAGCCATCGTAGAAGACGCCCGTCACCCCCAAAAATACCGCATGCTCGTTCAAATGGTCGACGTCATCTTTGCCGATGTCGCCCAGCCCGATCAGGCCCGTATCATTGCTCTCAACGCCCACCACTTCTTGAAGAACAGCGGCGGTATCGTCATTTCCATCAAGGCCAACTGTATCGACTCGACCGCACCCGCCGCCCAGGTATTCGCGAGCGAGGTCAACATTATGAGGAAGGAGGGTATCAAGCCTAAGGGTGAGTTAGCGTTTGCGTTCTTGATGGATACAGACGGGAACCAGGCTGATCGACTAGAACAATTGACATTGGAGCCGTATGAGCGTGATCACGCTATCGTCGTCGGTGTGTACGAACGCCACGGCGGAAACTAGGCCCGGTGTCCAGCTCGCTTATTGTACCCTTTCTCGCTTTCTCCTTCTCGTCGGCTCGGTCTGATCTTGGTAATGGCATGTATACTTGCAACAGGAGGGAAGCGTCGCTGTACTGATGTCTGTCTACCCCTTGTCGCTCTGACCTCACTGATGTCGATACTCACACAACAGCTTACCAGCTCTGCGGTCGCTCCCTTTGGTTTAAAGGGCGAGAATCAGCAGCAAGTGCAGGGGGAAAGGGGGAAAAGCGGACGGGACTGTCCAGACCCCCAAATCCTGGCATCCCGCCGCCCTCCGTATCGAATTCGAACGCCGCTATCGATCGCGCTCGACATGTCACATCAAGCCGACCGAGTCTCCGACGATCAGTACCAAAATCGAGACTCAGTGGGTTTATCAAAGGGTCAGTGGAGCCGCAAATGAAAGGAGTCGAGCGCGAATCGAGGAGTCTCGGTAGCATTTGGGCGGAGTGCGGTCCAGCGGCGCGGTATCGCATTTCAAGAGCCGCCAAGCAATCACCGATTACAGTACACATGCAGCACGATACGCGGGCGGAACAAGACAAGAAGGCGCGATCTGAACCGGACCTTACTGTGGCGGCGCAGAGTGCTCCTGAGTTTCTATTGGACACTGCTTTCCGCCTTCCCTCACACCCATCACTCGTAAATGCAGACGAGAAGGCCACCAGCGCATTCGGGTGGCTATAAGAAGCAGGCCTGGACCAGCATACGCAACACTGCCCTCGCTTCCACCTCGAACATCACAGTCCTTCCTCTCCGCATCACCCCAACACTCCTTCCTCACACCACACAGCTTGTGATCAATGTTTGGCGCACGCAGACCCAAGGTTCCCCCCAAGGGCGATCCCAAAGGGAAGCAAAAGTCGACCACTGCCGGCACGACGAAGCGCACCAAAGATTCCGGGTCCACACTCGCGCCCGGTCCCACCGGCGTTGACGTGGTCACCGCTGAACTCTCGAACGTCACTTTCCAAGACACCGAAGCCAGGCATGAGGACAAGTCAGCAGGCGAGTCCAGCACCGCTGCGCCGACGTACAGAATCAGCTTGCTCACCCAAGGTGAAAACTTCCTGGCGGCGCGGGCCGCTGCCACTGTGTTCCGTGGAGAGCATCCAGAGGGTCGCGAGGATCAATACGAGGCCTTGGCTGAAATGCTCAACGACTACGAAGAGAAGAACCTTGAACTCACCAAGAAATCGCCCGCCTACCCCCTCGACGGTGAGACATACAGGAGCCTGTACAACATTATCACCAAGTTTACAGAACAGCTCAAGGAAATCACGACATTGGCGGCGTGGGAGGCGGATCTCAGAAAGAGATTCAACAAGACAGAATCAGATCTCGAACAGAGTCTGGAGAAGCTTGCTGAGTGGGAGGAAGTGAATACATACTACGGGAGACCCGAGGGCAAGACGCCGCAGCGCGGCTGAGGCATGAGTCCAGCAACTACACTGCGATATTCCTTCCTGAACTTAACTGCCCCAGAGGCAGTCCTTTCATCCTTGATCCCTGATGCCTACTCGAAAGCATATATTAAGAGTATAATCAGCCGCAATGAGCTGGTAACATGACATCAGTACTCGAGCTGATCCATACTCGTATAAAAGCAGTGGCTAGCGCGATATTCTCTTCAATCGGCGTGTCCCCCTTGAAGACACCGGACTTTCTGGTTTGTCGACACCGCCGACCCGATCAGCTGCACCGCCGTCAGACAATTCCTCAGCTCTTCCCACTCATTGACCGCCCCAGTCTTCTCAGTCTCTCGCATCCAGGTTCCAATATCAGTGACCAACTCTTGCAGCTTCTCATCCCCGATCGTCCCTTCCTGCCTATACTCCCAGATCAGCGTCTTCACCCTGTCCACGATTGACGAGTCAGTACCCGTTCCCAGACCACGCAAACTTTGCGTTCGGTCGATCCCCGTCGTCCTCGACACCGCCAACAGTGCAGATTCGACCTGGTCGACCCGCCTGCTCGTTTCCTCGGCAATGTGATTGTCGCAAATGATGGTCGGAAGTTCGCCTTGGGCGGCGGTGCTGGCTGGTATGCTCCAGCCGGGATACAGGCTGCGAGCTGTACGAGGTGCGTCACTGGTCCGTCCGAGAGGCTCCCATGAATCCGTCGGCCAGGTACATTGCGGCGTCGTCGGGTCCTTCAGCGAGGTCTCGACAGGTTGAAGGCGAATGATGAGGCCGGTGCCTCTGGTCTCGCCTTCACGTGGTCGGACCGGAACGTGACCGACGCGACCAGGCATCGAATCAGGTGACAGGACTAGTGTGAGGCGTGAGAGCGGTAAGATTCTTGAGGAGGAAGTGATCACGCTATGGGAAGAGGAATGAGCTTTGGGTAAGAAACCTGAGTCAAGCGTTATGTAGCGGTAGCGGGGCGCCGAGGAGGGTCCCCTGATACGCCACCTGGCCTTCCTCGACGCAGATTATCCGAACCCTGTTGTCTCAAGGTTGGCTTGATCATCAGTAACCTTAGCGATCGTCTGGACCAGAGTCCTTTCATCAGCTCGGCGTATTAGTAGGCCCAAGCACGCAATCGAGCGCCACCGGAAGGCCGAGCATCACGTGCACGAAGTCCTCGCCGCTTCAGTGCACTTGCTTCTCCATCGAAGCTGTCTCGCAGACTCTGTCGCCTGCGTGACCCAGGGCAATGTTGAAGCCTTTGCGCCTGTGCCGCATCTGAGATCTGACTGTTGGCTTGCTAGTAAGCTGGTCAGAAGTCGTATCTCGATTAACAAGTCAGACTGAGTGACTATACATACCGCTATCACCACCTCTTCCCGACAGATCACTTCTCTCACCCTTACCACCAACCCCACCCGCCATGCCTCTCATCGGCCCTCCCCTCCGGCGCTCCCCTCCCTTCGATCCCCTTCCACCTTCGCCAGCGTCGTATGCGTCTTCTTCCCAATCCTTGCCCTCTCCCCAATCTCATCCCTCACGACCTTCCTAAACGCCTCGAGCCACCTCTCAATCGTGCGCGGGATAGCACGCCCATCATCGTCCGTCTTGGTAGTCACCATGAGGTAGTGCGAGTGCGCGAGGAGGGGGAGACGACGAAGGAAACGGCCGGCGAGGTTGGCGTCCTATCTGCGTTAGCTACATCCCGATCTCAATCATGGATGGTAGCTCACATGGCAAGTCACAGCGATATCCCAAAGCGCCACCCCCGCCTCCAACTCCCTCTCCTTCCCCTTGAGTCGCCTCGTCAGATCAACCGGACCGACCTTCGCCACTTGCCCCCGCATCCATCGCGCATGCTTCGCCTGGAGGACGGACGAAACCCCACAAGGCCGCATCATTCCCTTCTCGTCCAGCTCCTCCAGACACCCCTTGAGGATCCAGTAGACAGCCTCAGGCGGCGGGTAGTCGACAAAGAACTTTTCGTCCGCTCGGTCGATAAATGCAGAATCGATCGTATCCGGGATGTTGGAGGTGGTGAGCACGAGAACGTTTTGGCGGGTCTTGAGCTTGTCGAGCTGGGTGAGGAGCGCATTGACTACCTGAGGGTGTCAGCTATGGCTATCCGCTCGAGCGAATCTACCTGATCACTTAGCTCACACGTAAAGCATCACTGGGCTCCGAGCCGTTGATAGCTGCACTCCTCGCAGCCGTCAGACTTTCCACCTCATCTAGGACGTCAGCTCATTCCCCCATACGACAGATCAAGGACGCGGAAACTGACCAATCATGACAACCACCAAGCACCTCTGATCCTCCACCATCTCCCCTACTCTCGAGAACAACTTCTGCACCAGCTTTCCTGATTCCGAGAACCATTTCGAGAAGAGCGAGTGCGAGTTGATCTCGACAAGCTTGCCTGTCCGGTATCTACCCTATCAGCTTGCCCCTGACCGCCCACAGAAAAGACGCACGTATCACCCATCCTGACCAGCAGTTTCTGTGCCAAGGCTCGACACAGACTCGTCTTTCCTGTACCTGGTGGACCATGCAGTAATACAAGCCTGCCTCATCAGCTATGATCCTAGTACAAGATACACGTAGCGGAGTCGTACTGACCGATTCCACGACACCTTGTTGAAATCCACTCGGGCATCTGAGAACGCCATAGTCGAGTTGATGTATCTCAACAGCTTCGGCTTCAGATCTGACGTATAGATCAGACTGCGCACGTCAGCCGGCTCAAACAGCTGGACGGTATGGTAGATACGCACTTTTCCCATATCCCCTCCAGCTCCATCGAGGGCAATTCCCGCACACTAGCAGCGGGAACTGCCTCGTCCGCATCGTCGTCTGATCGTCAGCCCTCCTTCATCCATGTATAGGGTCAGCAGGAAGGCACGCACCCTCAGTTACAGCTGTAAACTGCTCTAAATCGGTGATCCCTGATGGCTCGTAAAAATGATACCGAATGTTGGCTTTGCTCGGGATGACAGTCTCCGATGGTGGTTCTAGCCCATCAGTTCTCTCCATTAAACCAGTTTCCGAGGCACAGGCAACTAACCTGTCTCGGCCAGATACAGCCTATCGATATTCCGGATGAGCGTCTCGTTGCCCCATGCCTCCAGATCCACCTCCGACCCGATTCGCTGGACGTCCTCTGAAGAATTGAGGAACCCTTGTACGATGCCCTGAATGAGTTTATTGAGTACCCGACCTTGTCGAATCGGCATACGGCGGATCTCGACTGATCAATATCAGCTCCTGTAAGGTCCACTGCCCCACCCAGGACTGCAGAACTCACCATGTAATATCGGTCTCTGCCCTCCATTTCTCTTGCCGTCCTCACCGCCATCGTCCAGGTCGCTCCACTCGCATTCTTCCTCCTCTGCCAGATCCTCTCCCTCCCCCTCACTCTGATCCCCATTCAGGTGCCCATTCGGCGCTCCCGCCTGATGATCGTCTTCATTCCCGCTCGGTCCGGCGTCGACATCGAGGTCCATCTCCCTTTCCCCGTCCTCGTCAGTCACCCCATTCTCCACCTCGCTGACGCTCTCCGGGGGAGTCAAGCGACGCCGCTTGTCGGGCGATTGGCCCGCCGATGAGAGCTCGCTGCTGCTTTGAGAGGAAGTCTCTGTGCGCGCGAAGGAAGAGGTGGAACCGACCGGACGGGCGTCCGAGCTGGGTGATATACGCCGAGCGAGCTGAACCTTTTGCCGATTACCATACGTAGTGACACCTTTGGGCGTGGTGGACATGATTGATGAGGTACTCGTCGTAGTTTTGGTGCGGGGAGGTGGAGGGGCCGGGAATTGATGTACGCCTGGCATTCGCTCGAGGGCGACGAGTGGTGCACTCAGTGAGCCGGTGAAAGCGCCTCGCCTGGAAGATTATGTTAGCTTCACAAGGTACTGCCTGCTAATGAAGGGCGAGGATGAACGTGAAGTGTAAAGGCAAGAGAGAAGAAGGAATGAGGACCGAGTTTTGGTTTGGGAAATCAACAAAATCAAAATCGCCGCGACGCGTCAATACGCGCCGAAAAGGCTCGAGCTCTGGTCCAAGCTCAGCAGTCCTCCCCGCAATCATATCGATCTCCAAAGCGTAGTAGGTGTGACTAAGATCATTAAAAGTCATATTATGGAGATACATCCAGGCATCACAGCGGGAACCTATCTATTACAGGGTGAGACGGGGGAGGAAATCGGGGTGGAGAGAAGATGACACGTCTAGTCGACCAGGAAGGGTTGGATGGACCGAGGTTGGAGTACCGAGATATCGTCCATCGAGGGTGTTTGAGACTGGGAAGGAAGGTGAGGGAGATCGAGTATAGCTCTTGCGAGCTCAGCAGTTGCAGCCGTAATTCTGCGAGTTCTCCGAGTCGATCCGGATTGGGTCGGGGTAGTCGGCGTAGCTAACGGATCAGCATGTATATTTAATAACACTGAGTCTCGTTCCGACGATCCAGCCATCTTGACGGACCCGCAAAGGTGCGACCTGTGCGAAGACCCATCCTCCCTCGACATGACCACTCTTCCCCCCAACCCCGACCGCTGACCCACGAACTGGACAAAAAGCTTACAGTTCAGTCTCGGCCTCCTGCGCCAAAGCATTCTTCGCGATAGTCTGGAACGCCTGCTCCACGTTGATAGCCTCTTTCGCCGAGGTCTCAAAGTACGGGATGTTGCCCTTTGCTTGGCACCACGTCATGGCTCGCTTCTGGGATACCTGAAGAGTCAGCTCGGGTACATTAACCGACCAGACATAGACCGAAAGCAGTCGGCAAGAAGTGTGGGAGTGTCAAGCATAGATGTAAGAGGGTGCTAGTGGCACCTGTGGGAAGCAAGACGGAACCTACCATCCGCTTTGACTCCTCCATATCTATCTTGTTCCCGAGTACGACGAATGGGAAGTTCTCAGGATCATGCGGGGATGCCTACCCATCAGCTTTATTCCCAATCTTCACACTAGTCGCGTGGTCTGCTCACCTGTACCAAGAACTCGTCCCTCCACCCATCGAGCGCCTCAAAGCTCTTTGAGCTATTGACGTCATACACCAGCACACAGCAATCGGCACCCCGGTAGAACGCGACACCGAGGGATTGGAACCGTTCTTGTCCGGCGGTATCCCACAGCTGCATAGTGACCACTCGGTCATCGACGACTAATTCGCGGGTGAGGAAATCGGCACCTTCTTATCAGCCTGGTGCGCGTGTGCTATACCGGCTGGCTGGAGACATACCGATGGTCGCCTTGTACTGGTTCGAGAAGCGCTTGTTAACATATTGGTTCATCAGGGAGGTCTTACCGACACTAGGAATCAGCTTGAGATCCTGTCGTACGGTACAGCTAGCAGGGCCGAGGACCGAGCACAAAGGGATGCAGGTCGCGAAGCAATGCTTCAGCCATATCCGGACTGTCATGGCCATATGGTCTTTCTGATAGGGGACGTGACATACCCTGAGTCACCAAGGATGATCACCTACGCCCATTAGCGGGATGCTCCTATTCGCAGTCGGAGGGTGTGACGAGCGCGCAGGGTCAGGAGGTAAGCGACCTACCTTGAGGAGAACCTTCTTCCTGGACGCCATTCTTGGAGCTGAGGTTTAGAATGAGCGGGTGGGTTCAGATAGGCGCTGTGTGCTTCTGTGCGAGCGTACCGTGGGCTATACGTGGCTAGGAGCTGATAGATGGAGTGTATGAGGTGGATGTGTAATAGCAACAAGGGGGATGTATGAGCCGGTTGCCACCCGGGGTACTGTAGAGGAATTGCCCAAAGCGGCGATTATGACCTCAGACCCGTGCGTCACTCAACCCACACCCATGGCTGATCCTCCGCCAGTCTTTGCTTGTGCCCCTCTCCCTAGACACTAGCCAGCAAGATGGCACCCGCGCAATACCCCTTCCCGAGCCAGCCAGGGTATCAGAAAGTCCTCCGAGATAGGCTCATGGCGAATCAAGAGCACTCGGAGCAGTATCGGGAGGTCATTGATCAGTGTGGGTCCTTCTGGTGCCTTCGCGAGGCGCGTCCAGGATAGGCGCTAGACGACCTTGTGATGTCTCTCCGAGAGCTTGGATGAGCTGATCCTCTACAGATCGTCGCCTAGCTCGTACGACCAGAGAGCTGAAGATCCGCAACCGCGCTCTACTACGCTCAGGAACAGGTCCCAGCGCTGGATCAGACGGGTGCGGTCATCATGCCCCTCAATCCCGTCTAGAGCCATGAGCTGATGCGATAGTCTCCTTACCCATCTCGAATCGCAGCTCACACTACTCCGAGCGGAGCTCTCGACGCTATACCGTACCCAGGCTGCTGCTCAGAACAAGCAGCTCCAGCTGTCGGACTCGCTCAGAGACAGGGACGAGGAGGTTCGAGGGTTGAGAGAGGAGATACGGATATTGAGGGAGCAGAAGGAGATGGTGGGGCGGAGAGAGGAGGAATGGGGAGAAAGATGGAGAGCGAGAGGAAGGGATGTCGAGGTGAGTTATTGGGCTGTGACCGCCGAGCTAGCTGACCCGTCAGACGTTGAATGACGAATTGCTATCCCTCAATCTCGAGCTTTCATCGCTACAGCAGCGTAATACGGCACTCCAAACGGATAACGCTCAACTACTCCAACGGTGGCTGGACCGGATGCAGGAGAATGTGGACGGGATGAACGAGGAGTTTGAGCGGGAAGCTGGAGCAGCCGTTCCGGCGGGTAGCGCGCAGGGCAGACCCAGCGCAAAGGAGGGAGAAGTGGATGATGATGATGGCGTCGTCGTAGAGACAGCGGCGGAGCTGCCAGTACCCGTACCAGAGAAAAAGGCGGACATTAAAGAGAAGGAAGCGCCCGCTCGACCTCGGGTATCCTCTGCCGCACCCCCTCCTGCGGCCTCCACCACCACAACGGCGCGATCTCTTTCTGGAAGCAAGGTCGATGAACGCCGGCGGATGTTCGAGACGAAGTCTACCTCGGCCAAACCAGCGAACGGACCTGGACCCTCGGGGACGGCGGCGAAGGAGGGTTTTCGGCTCGGCGGGAAAGCGAAGTAGTGCCTTTGTCGGCTGGCGCTGCTTCTCTTTCCCGCGACATACTGGCGAAATCCTCGACTTACTCGTCTGCCGTCGCCGGTGTCGTGCCCGGCGGGCCTGCTCTCGCCATACCCACGTTCAGAGCACCCAGCGTCAGCGATGACCGGCCCGCCGCTTCTGCGCATATCGGATCGGAGGTCGGACGGGGCGGCGGCTCAGATGTCGACGAAGGCTGGGAGGAGCTCAACGCTTCGGTCGCGGCTGGGGTGGTCGCGGCTGGGGTGGTCCCGGGGCCCGCTGGTCAGACGGCAACGGGCGATGAGGAAAGCCCACCAGTGGCTGATGATGAAGAGGATGCAGATGGAGAAGGATGGGAGGAGGCGAGAAGAGCAGCTTGAAAGTGTAGATTCTATCAATAGGCGATTGACACCACACGCTTTGCTGAGGGGACCATCGATGACTCTGGCATCGCAAGCGAGAGTTCAAGTTCGAGTAGACGAGTTCATGAGATACTCTGATTCCGTCCTGCACATTCCTCGCTACCCCGTGTTTCAGATTCGCATCAAGGGTGACGTGGCGACCAATGTCGGACGGAGATCACCTGCATCGATATCCTATAGATTGGCGCACTCGCACTCGCACCCGACTACGGGACATACGGCGTGTCCGAGTTGTCCGTCTAGACCGCCTTCGAACCACGGTAGGATATGGCCTGCGTGCCCTGGAGTCTATCAGCTGGTCCTTTATCAGAGGAAAAGGCGCGGACTTACCTCCATGTCGACATGTCTGGCATGCTACATACGCTGTGTCGATAGTATCTATCAAGTCAGCCAACTTTTGCAAAATTGGAAGAAGTACGTACCCATGATATCGGTCCCCACTGGAAGATGATCATCCCCTAGACCTTGTCCAGCTTTGAACTTCGGCTCGACATGCGTCAAGCAGATGACGCAGCGGGGTAGAGCATTGCCACAGAATGTACAGGTATAGGTCTACCGTGTCAGCTTATAGCTCGAGGCAAATTGAGCAGAGCGATATACCCGCTCGTTCGGCCACGTCGTCGTGCCTTTCAGCGCCACTTTCCGCTGAGAATGGTCCAGTTCCTGGCGGGACAACACATGGTTGCAGCTAGAATTATCAGCTCTGGTACACTGCACTCCAACAAGAAATTTAAACGGAGCTGATAGCGAAACTCACACAGGGCAGTTCCCTTTGACCATATCGCCCATCTGCATACCCCCACCCAACTCCCTCGCTTTCTCTTGCCGCCGCACATCAAAGTCCACTCTCACCGCAAACATCCGCCACCCATCCAGCAGATCTCGGTACCCCTCTGTCCACCGTTCTACCATCGTCCGTTGAGCCGGAGTGAGGTGTTTTGTAGGAATGATCGCCGCGAGGAGGGATGTAGTCTGGATATCTGCGTGTATATCGAGGTATGACTGGAGGACGGGGACGAGGTGGTTCGTTAGGCCGAGAAGGGGGATGGCGGAGGGAAGTGATGAGGGGGAGGAGGGATCCATAATGGAGGAGTAGAGCGAGTACAGAAATTCAGATAACTGGATGTATGAGCCCGTATCCCCGTCGCTGGGTACCGTTACTCACGTCGTTATCGTTCAGGTTGTTGACAGCGATGATGACCCGGTCAACCAGATCCAACCCCTCTTTTCCGCCTTCCCGAAGGACGGTCTCCCAGCTATCTCCGCCGACCCGCCTGAGCACAGCTCGGATGTAAGGGTCGTCCATCCCCTCAATGACCGAGATCCATTCTTCTCGATTTGGTTTCCGATTCGAGCCGGAGCGGATGAGTGATGTTGCCAGCGTTGCGCCAATCAAGCGATGTTGAGTATCTAAAGCATCAGCTCTAGATTTAGGCTCCATACCCATGTCAAGCAGCCTACCTGAACTTTCAAGAAGTATCCGCACAGCCTCTTCCTCTTCGTTCGCAAAGTATGCCCAAGCGGCCTGTCTTGTCCGCTGGTCGCCCTCGCCTCTTGGGGCATACGGCTCCTGCTCGCACAGGGCAAGTATGACCCGCCTACACGCCGTCCGCTCCCCACTCGGCAGAGCCTGCTTGCCCTTCCCCGCTCGTCCCCCAGACCCCCCTTTCGCCTGATACAGATTCGCCACAGCAGCAATGTGCTCATCGGTCGGTACCGGCGCCCTCGACACCGTACTCGCACCGACACTACCTAATCGGCCCGCACGCGATGTGCTGGACATCGTACGTGGTCTGAAACCCGAAACGACCGAACCGGGGGTTGTACCGCCTGACGAGGGCGTAAGATTCTGGCTGGGTTGCGCTTGCGATTTGAGGCTTTCCCACGCGCGCGAGTTCTCGCGGATCGGTTCGCGCGTCTTAGAACCGGAAGGTGCGGTGGAACGGGCACGGCCGGAGGTGCTGCTTGATTGAGCTGCAGTAGGGAGCGCGAGCTGTCCGGTCCATATGCCCCAGATACCTTGATGAGTTAGGTCGGAGGGTGAGGCTGATTCTGGCGACATATAGTCAGTAAGGTCTGCTAGATCAGTATTGTCCGTCGAGCAGTGAAATTAGCTCACGACCGACCGTCTCCCATAATCCCTCTAAATGCTCAGCGCCGGGGTATCGGGCAGCTATCCCGGCATTCCGTCTCACCTGAACCCATCAGTAAGCTTCCCAGCAGAGTTGGGACAGATGACTCACATCAGCAAGCCCATACCCCGCCTCAGCCCTTCTGCGCATAACAACACCCACGTCCTCTCCGCTGATGGCCCTCCATCGCCCAAACCCCTCTACGACCTCTTCCACCTCACTCTCCGCGTCAACAAACTCGGGGATCTCGTGCGGCAGTCGACGTCGAGATGGTCCCGCAGCCGCAGTGAGGGGTAGCTGAGCATCGGACGTTTGATGCGGCAGAAGTGTATTTGAGGAGCTTGAGGGAAAGGCGCGATTCGGTCGGGCTGTTGGAAGCGGGCCCGGTCGGTGAGCGGCCGGCGTCGATCCTGAAAGAGTCATAGCGGATGGCGTGAGAATGCGAGTATCGGATGATGTGACGGATAAGGCGAGATCGCCTTGCGGGCTCGTTGCGATCTTTCGAATCAGCAGAGTACGATATGGTCAAGTCGGCTGGGAAGCGACACTCACAGCTGGAGTATCGGATATAGGAGCGATGTTGATGATACCATCTTTGCCTACGAAGAGGACGTCGCTTGATGTTCCGGTTGACGCAAAGGCAAAAGATTGTAGATGTTGCCGCGGCTTGACGACTGGCCTTATCAGCTCATCTCTCTCTCGGAGCCTGAGGGGACTGAGGCAACGGACCATTTCTCATTCCCCCAATCGCCATCCAGTCCCTATCGTCCATCCTCCCCCTGCCCTCAGTGACATCCCACAAGCTCACCCCGCCATCTCTCGACCCCACGCCCAGACTATCCCCTCTCCACTCGAGCCCGACCACGGCCTCTGGCACATCAAAGCTGAGCATTTCTCCCGCCATCCTCGTATCCCATATCCGGACAACGCTCGGTCCCTGGCCCTGGCCCACTTCGAAAGAGGCAAACCGTTCCGTCCGGCTCAGATGAGGGGTGAGGCCATATACCGCCCTGGTCTGGAACTGTAAGACGGCACCCGCCCCGGCTGCAGCGGCATCTCGAGCGGGCGCAGAGCTGTGCGAAGAGCGCAGGTCGAAGAGCCGGATCTGGCGATTGTTTGTCGATGCGAGGAGGGAGTATGAGCTCGGCAAGAAGGCGCAGGCGTTGACGAGCTCGGACGCGCAGTACGCCTGCAAATGACGAGGCTCGGAGATACGCGAGGTGGGATGCGCGTTCGTCACGTCAATCCGGTCGCCCGGTCTTGCCCAGCGAGAGTCTCCATCTGCCGGAACGCCGGAAGACGAAGAGGCAATAGCGTCCGCGACGTCCCAGACCAAGAGGGAATGGTCGGACCGATGTCGCTCGAGACCGGCCGCAATATAGTTTGGGTCCAAGGGGGAGAAGGCGAGCGAGGTGACGGGGCGATTGTGCTTGATGTTTAGCGTAGCGAGGGGTCCGGAGGGATGGTTGGGAGAGGGCACTAGAGTAGAGGATGAGAGCGAGTGAAGTGTGGTCCGACCTGTGACTAGACCGGTAGCGATGATGGAGGGGTAAGTCGAGTGGGGCGACCATGCCATTGCCTGGTCTTGTCAATACCCTTGACTCCTGTGTGCTGTCAGAAGAAGCCTTACCCTGATCTGGCCAAGGTCCGTCTGGAGACCTATCATCCGCATTTCCTGCCTCTGCCTGAGTCAGCTTGAATATCGAAATGATAGCACTGCACAAGGCGTGACGTACCTCTCTGACCCACTCGTACAGCTTGACATCCCCGCTCGCGACCTGCCCCTGCCCGCCAACCGCGAAACGCGGCTTCCCATGCTGCAACGGCGAAGCCAGGGCGATACGGCGCGCCTCTGTAGTCATCTTGTCTGTCTACCGATGAGCCATACCAGGCAGCTGAACGTACAGAAGCTGGACTCACGCATGGCGCAGAGTGGGGGACCAGATTCAGGCACGAGTGACGCACGGGCCTCGCGTTGAACCTGTGGACCGTCTACGACTATTTCAAGTCATCATCTCTCCGCTTTACACCTCTACAGACCCTTCCGATATAGTAGACGAGCACCTGAGTAGCTCGCCCAGCCGATCAACAAGTCCTATACATCACTCCACAAACTTCATTGGCGCGAAACCGAGCTCTATCGACCGAGAAATCCACCTCGACATGGTCAACGCCGTAGCGACTGGCAAGATGGCTCCTCAGCAGGGCGTACAACCGTGAGTCTACGTATATGATGAGGTGCTGGAGGAGCTACTTCATATGCTTTATCCTGTGTCAGCAGGACTTTCATGTGATCGGAGCTGACTGACTCAGCGCGGTCCTATACAAGCTCATCTTGTTCGCGATCCTCATGGCCGTCGTACCTATCGGCACCTACTTCGGCTCTTTAAACTACATGTGGAACGGTGAGTAGAGTGATCAGGAGACGGCTGAAAGGCTGTATGCTGATCATGCAGGGTCTACCACCTACTCCGCCATCTCAGCGGTTGTCACCGCCAACATCGTCCTCGTCGGATACGTCGTGGTTGCTTTCGAGGAAGAAGCGGCATACAATACCACACCAGCTCCTCCGCTGTTACGGAAGAAGGAGCAGTGAGGGGAGCAAAGCTAGACACATAGACCGGGGATATATGATAGATGGTGGGTCTGGCGTTACCGCGTTGATAAGAACTACTGATCTGAACTGATCTTTGCTACCAAATCCCGGCCCCTCGACTCTGCCAAGCGATCTATCCTCATCTCGGCGCAAGCATCGATTCACTAATATGTAGCTCTCACTCGCACCTACTGAGGCTTGGTAACTCAGCAAGATAGTAACCAAGCACACCCAAGAACATCGCGCATTGATCCCCGGCGCTTACGTCCCCGTATACGGACACCTGTCCTCCTGTGTTATCTTTTTCCGTAACGCGACATCATGCCCGACAAGACACCAATGACTTCCCTGGACGCGTCGGGAATCCAGAACACAGGAGCCAAGACTGGGGACGGCGGAACTGACAGCGGATCGTTTGCCGCTCGCGCCCAGTCTGCGGGAGGTACGAATGGCAAAGGTGAGACTATTGGCGGCGGCGATCATAATGGTGAAGGTGGGCAAGGTGGCGTGGGCGGCGGTGGCCAGCAGATGAGCGGAAGCGTACCCAGTCGGACAGCAAGACAATGGATCGGCCGGATCTTAACGCTCAAAACGTATGAATTCCAGCAAGGCTTCATCGCCCCAGCGTGTCCCTTTGTCGTTCTATCCCCTATGACGTGCTCGGCTATCCTTTACTTGACCGACATTTCTGACCAATGATACTCCGAGTCGTATTGGGTGGGTGGCGTCGGCCCCCACATTCTGACTCGTAATTGCCACTTATCCTTCAATACGACATCGCAAACTCGACCACCCTCCGATTACCTCGCTCATCCGAACGTCCTCAGAGTCACGTACTCTGCTCCAGCTTTTCATCTTCGTGCACCCGTCCCACAAAGACGTATCTTCACAATCCGATGCCTACTTCTGCTCTCAATCCGTCTGACGGCCCTCTGAACATCGGCCTTGTCTGCGGCCATCTCGCCAGGCTTCTCGGAGACATCCAACCCGTCGACAGTGGTGACCAAAGTGCAGATACACCGGTCCACGGCACGCACGTGACGGCCGGTTCCGACCTTGAGCAGCACGGAATGGAGCTGATCTTGCAGGTATCAGCTTTACTCCTGGACTTGGCAGAAACGGAGATTACGCGAAGGTTGGAGGATGCTGGTGCGGCTGAAGAAAGTGTGCAGTGGCCAAGGGCCATGACGGGAGCTGTCAAGGAGGATGTGGACGAAAGAATCGAGCAGCTCGTGTCGTGGACGATGTCCGATGATGCAGCTGCTCGTGAATGGCTGCAACATCACGAGCAGCCAAACTGGGTGCTCGCCCCCAACAGCGCGGACTTCGAAGCCCAGTCAGCTGCGCGTCAGACCTTTCTTGGGAACATCATCAAGAGTGCGACCCGAGAGGCCTTTGCGGATGCTGTCAAACGACTTCGCGCGGCGGTCACGTACGATTACATCCAGGCGCTGCGGAGTGTGGAGACGCAATTCGTGCACAACGACTCCACCATCAATCCTCTGTGGGGAAGCGCGAGCATTCACACCGTGGGATACGTTGCACGCAGGGCTACCGGCTTTCTCATCATCAATCAGTGGGGAAGCATCGACAGTACTGCGCTCAACGCAGGCAGCGAGGGAATCGAAGAAGTTCATACCGACGATGCGTGAACGTTCTCGCGACATCTCCTACGGATTTGCGGTAGGATTGTGAGACTGGAGTGATGCATTTGATACGTCTCAGCGGGATGACAGTGAGCTAGTAAGCGTAGATGGGGACAATCGAATCTTATTTGCAGCAGCACGCTCCTGTGTGGGCAAGCAAGTAGCAAGCTTGGGTGCATCTCCGCGTCCCTCGTGGACTGGTGCTGCATGATGAGCCTAAACGTTGCGTCACATCCTGGCCAGTGCATAGTGACCCAGATCCCATTCGTCCTACAATCTGCGAGCGCGCAAACAGCAAGCTGATTAGGCACTCACCATCCCCTGCCGCCTTGTCCAATTACACCGTTCCGAACTCCCGAAGTCCGCGTCGTGCCTGACGTGTTCGGCGGCGGCGAAAACGGCGATCAGACCGACGGCGCAGCACTCATTCACGTTGATCGCAGCTTCTTTCAACCTCACTCTTACCTTCTTCCTTCTACCCCTTGCGCATAGTCCCCCTTCTCCCATTATCAGGCATACCATGTTCCCATAGCCCCATAGCACAAACGGCATCTCCCAAAATGCCCTCCTCCCGCTCGTCCCTGGACAAACGGGACATTTATTACCGTCTACACAAGTCCGCAGGGTATCGCGCACGGTCGGCATATAAGCTGATTCACCTCGATGAGGAGTTTGATCTGTTTGGAGGCGTGAAGACGGTGGTGGATCTGTGTGCGGCGCCGGGGAGCTGGAGTCAGGTCGTTGGGGAGCAATTGGGGTGAGTGTACTTCTTGTTGACGTCTCTTCAAGGAGGGCGTTCGGAGAATTTTGAGCTGGTACGCGGGTGACCATTGGGCTTAGATCCTTGCAGGCAGGCATGCAGGAGGTCCGAGGTGTAGACGCACCCGTCCGAGATGCCTAGACCGCATATTTGCGCAACTACTGATAAAGCAGATCTGAGCTCGCATCTGGCGCAGCTAAGCTCGTCTCCCTCGACCTCCAGCCCATGGCTCCCTTGCGCCATACCACCACCCTCCAAGCCGATCTCACTACGCCAAGCACCATCCCTCTTGTCCTCTCTCATCTTGGACATACCAAAGCCGACCTGGTGATCTGCGACGGCGCGCCAGACGTCACCGGCGTCCACGACCTCGACGCGTATCTGCACCATCAGCTCCTCATGGCTGCTTTCACGCTCACACTCGCTATCCTCGCGAAGGGCGGGACGGCGGTGTACAAGGTGTTCTTATCGCCGTTGGATCCGAAGGGAGAGAGACTGAGGGAAGGGGTCAAGGTGTTCTTTAGGGAAGAAGGGGATGGCGGGGAGTGGTTTGCGGAGTTTGACGATGAGGCGGAAGGTGCAGAGGGGCCGGGAGTCGATGCTATGGGCAGGAGGGGAGGAGTTTGGATCAGGAAGCCAAGAAGTAGTCGGAAAGGAAGCGGAGGTGAGCTATAGCTTCTGGGTGCCAATATGCCTGATACCCAAGTGGACGTACTGACGCTATACAGAGGCATTTCTTGTCTGCCGGAACTACGATCCATCTACTGTTCCCCTCCCACCTACGTTCTCCGCCGAAGCCCTCGAAGGTTTGTCCCGCCAGACATCCGGGACTTTGACCCTCGACTCGCTCGCGCACCTCGCCGGCGGAGATGTTCGCATGAACGAAGACCAGGCGAGGCGTTGGGCAGTGCTGAAGGCCTGGGCCGGGAAAGGAGACCTCAAGTAGGTTTCATCTCAACAGACTCTGACGTCAGAGACAAAGGAGGTGTATGCGTGCTGATAGGATAGCGCTATGGCACAACTGTCCGATCCTCCGGCCGCCAAATCTGCGAGAAACTCCTTGGAGGTCGACGAAGCCTTCCCTCCGCCACTGACTCCACCGGCGCCTTCCTCGCCCACCATTACCCGTACCGACGCCACACCCGGCTCAGCTGCGCAAGGCCGTTCAATGGCACCTCTCTCCCTAACCATGCCTTCTCCCTCGCACCTTACACCCCCTCGCTCGACCCAAATCCCCGCTCCGAAGCCATCAACCAGCAGACATCGGCATAGTCGCTCTTCGATTGACTCGGATATCGTCTCGCCCTCCTCTCCTACTGGCCTGACTTCGGGCTGGGACCGGCTCGGCCCCTCACCCCTCCCATCTCCCATCTCCCCCTTCCCTCCAGGCGACCAATCCGGGTATCTCAATCTTCGACAAGAATACCCTATCCCTCCTCGCGAACCATACGCTCTATCTCGCTACGTCGCGCCTGATCTGTACACGGATCCTACCTTCCCGCGCCCAGATACGGACGGCGCTATCAGTCCGGCTCTGAGTACATCCAGCAAAACCGACATCTTCTTCAGCTCAGCGGCGAGCGCGTCCGGATCGGACATCCTCCCCGCTCCTCCAAGACCACTCTCCGGTACTACTTCATCGGGAAGCGGGTCGCTAGGTCGTGCCGGATCGATCGGGAGGGGACGTCCACCTCCTCGATCCCTGCTGTCGGGCGAACGTGAGCGTGAGCGGGCGGTCACGATGCCCACTACTCCGGTACCGTTCGCAGGTATGCCACCTCCTTCACAGGCCGGCTCGTCGGTCAGCGATGTATGGGGACTTCCGCCCCGGTCCCTCGAGCCCGCCTCTGCGCCTACTGGAGGTCGGGATCGGCGACTGAGCGGTGCTGGCCGCGTCATGTCCATCGCGCAGAGCTTTGGGTCGGGCGCGGCGTACAACCGCGAACGGACCGACTCGATCACCAGCATCAATAGCTCCACCGAGCGGGTCATGGCTAGCCCTCTTACCGGTCTACCTTCCGGCGAGTCGATACGCGGTCTAGCCAGCGCAGCTAGCGGGTCGAATATCCGTTTGTCGCCGACTGTCAAGCGGGCCCAGCTTGGCGTGCCGGTAATAGCAAGAAGGGAAAGTCAGATCGAGCGGGAAGAACATCGGACGACAGGCGACCAGGAGGGGGCACACACTCCGGGTGAGGTACTCGAGCCGATCGAGCCGACCCGCTTGGGCGATGTGGACGAGGACTATGAGATGCATGATGAGGAGGCGGAAGCGGGGACGCCGCTGGTCATGATGGGTTTGAGAGAGCGACAGGGAGATGTCATGGGGAGCTTTTCGGGCGTGCTGCCGGAATTGCCGCTTCAGAGGGGTCAGAAGAGGAAGTGGAAGTTGGAGAAGAAGTTGGGTGAGGGGGCGTTCTCGGCGGTCTGGGCGGCGACAGCGCATCAGGACGATGAGGACATGGAAGGTGTACAAAGTAAGCTCATTATCCCGGAAGGCGATTCAAAGCTGACCCTGCAGAACGTCCCTTATCCGCTGCCATCAAGCTTCTCCCTCGCCGCCTGACCACAACCAACGACAGGACTCGGATCTCATTCTTGCGGGAAGTCGGTGTTCTCTCCCGTCTTTCGCACCCATATATTGTCGCGTTCATCGACGACTTCGAGACCAAGGGGTACTACTGCCTGGCGCTTGAGCGGGTGGATGGTGGCGAGCTGTTTGACGTGATCCAGAACCCAAAGTGGGGCTCGGTCGTTGGCGGTCCGAAAGCCGCTGGAGAGGTCTTGGTCAGGCGGATATTCACCGAGCTGGCTAGGGCTACGGGCTTTTTGCATGCTTGCGGGGTCGTCCATCGAGATATCAAGCTTGAGAGTGAGTACTGAGTCTCCTGAGCGTTTTTGATGACAACGCGGCTGATGTCCAGACATCCTACTCGCCTCGAACCCCATACTCACTCTGCCTACCGACGCCGACTTGGCGGCCGTCTTGGCCTCGCTCCCACCCCAATCCGAACCCCTCATCAAGCTTACAGACTTTGGCCTTTCCCGCTTCATCTCCCCTTCCTCGCCTTACCTCACTACCCGCTGCGGTTCCGAATCCTTTGCCGCCCCTGAAATTATCATGGGCAAGCCATACGACGGACGTGATACGGATAGTTGGGCATGCGGCGTCGTCCTTTACGCCATGATCACCGGGGAACTGCCATTCGATCCCCCCGTACCGGTCGACATGAGCACAGAGGCGGAGAAGGAGGAGCGGCGGAAACGGATGCTGCGGATCGCCAAGGGGACGTATAGCTGGCCAAAAGAGGGGATGGGGAGTTTGTGCAGTGAAGGTGTCAAGGGGGTTGTGAAGCGGCTGTTGGTCAGGGATCCAAAGAGGCGGGCGAGGATGGATGAAATCTGGGGAGAAGAGTGGATAAAAGGAGAGGGTTCGGTGGGGCCTGTTCCGATTGCGCCGGAGGGGAGCGCTGAGGGATCAAGAGAGGAAGGAGGGAGGAAGAAAGTGTTGGACGGATGGGTGATATTGGGCGATCAAGGGGATGAGGGAGATGACTAGAGAAAGAGGACAATAGTCTCGTAGAAAAAGTAGACAAGGTGTCTGTGGATCATGTCCGTATGATGTTATAGTATGTGAGAGATTAGCATAATCATGTCCTCTAGTTGCGACATGTGCGCATTCTTGACTTCACCATCGACTGCCTCGGTCGTGGGTTGTCGAAATGACAGGCTGGCAAAGTCAGGTCCAATCGCAGCCCGGAATGTCGGATTCTGACCGGGAATGTATTCGGAAGCCCATAATTCCGGAGGCACTCCACATTCCTCGACAGGACCGCAGACGAGAAACTCGCTCATCTACACCGTCACCTCCATCTCTTACTCTGTACAGCAACCTGCGGCGACGATGGAGCCTCCCTCTTCGGACCCGGTACATCCACAGCTCCCTCCCGAGATGTGGCTGAGGGTCATCGGTCATCTCCAGCGACCTCGACCCCGGCCGACGGGAACCAACAAGCCAGCATCTATCCGCCAGCCAGATCTAGCGACTTTGATGCGCTGTTCCAAGGTGAGTCCACATACACACCCCAGCTGGAGGTTATCACCAAATACTACTATGATTGAAACAACGCTCGGCGGCCCGGAGACAGCTCATCTCGTGGGATTGTGCTGATTAGCAGCTGTTCAACAACCTCACCTCCACGGGGCTTTACACCAACGTCGTCTCGGACCACCTACCATCCCTGATCTACGGTATCAATCGACCGTCCAAAGATGTCATTGACCCTGAGGAAGAGCGCTTCGTACGCGGCTGGAAGGGGGACGGAACCCCTGACAATATGATCCCCATGATGCTCCGGATGAGGCGTGAACATTTAGCCCGCATGGGTAGGCCGACTTTTCTCCATCCATCAAGCCAGCTGATCAGTGCAGAATGGCCACAAGCATGATCACGATCCTCATCTCTGCGCCGACCACCGTCCGTCCTACGTCCCCGGCAGCAACCAACGCGCTGCAGCAGACGGCATCAAATCCAAGTTCGAACTGCTTCGTATGACCAAGCGGCTGTACCTCGAGTACCTTGACAAGACGGAGCCGACGTACGAGCGCCTCATGCATTACGGCGGGGCGCTGTACGATCTGTACCAGCCAACCAAGGCGGAGATGCTGAGGGTCTGCGAGGCGGAAACGGCCTGGATACACGCGGCCGCAGAGAAGATGGAGCCGGTCAAGCCGAATCTCGGCAGCTTCTCTACGGGTGTCTACCTCGGAGGTCAGACCGACGTCTGGATGTACCTGGAGGAGCATCAGGTCCAGCCTATCGCCAAAGCCGTCAGCGCCTGCGCCGTCGCGATGCTAGCGTTAGCGGGCAACTCCAAGGCCGACGTCAAGCTTTGCAATCGGGCAATTTACGGTCCAATACGCCTGGCTTCTGGCGTCTTCCCTCTTCACGGATCTGCACCCCCCTCCTCGGTCATACACACCGCTCACGTCGAGTCCTACACCGGGTCCGTCCCGTGCTTCCCTAGCCGGTCGGGTCGATGGTACTGCACCTTCGAGCAGATCGGTGCCAAATCCCCATACACCGTCGAGAGAGCCAGGACGTACCTCTCGTCCCTGATAGAAACATTCAGAGGCGGGAGAATATGCTCAAGGATCCCTCCGTCTGGGGGTCCCCCGCAATTTACACGCTCTCATTTGATATCTACCTCCCTGCCGTCATGATGAAGCCAGTGGCTCAGACGGCGCTTCGGAAGGTGATTCAAGACACGGCGCGGCGGACCAAGATGAGCATGGGGATTCCGGAGAGTCGATACAAGGATGAGTGGCGCCTCAAGAGCTTGGATTCGGCGCCCATGTGTGAGGCTTGCTTTTGGGACGTGTCAGATCTCGAGGTGAGTGCGGATCGAGAATGAGAAACGGGGAAGATTTGGCTGATTGACCAGGCGGTAGTATGCGACAAGTATGAACCGTGGTAGGTGCAGGTATCATACCTGTTGGTGGACACAATGCACTGGTACGTCAGTAAAGTACTACATGGCATGAAAGTCCAGGCTAATCTTGCCAGGAGCTCGCCCGGACTCTACGGGAACTGTGCGGGGCCGAGCAAGAAGAAGCGGAGGGGGTAGTCTCAAAATCTTGAAGTATACCTAAAATGTGAGATATTTTGGTGTTCACCACTTTTGCGGCGTTTTGAATTTCCGAACGTCGCGCGTGAGTGCTCCAGGACACTCTGCCACGTCATAGACAGTCAATCACCTGGTCAAGTGACAGTCCTCCGCGGTAACCACACTGCGATTTGGTAACAGTCCTCCGCGGTAACCACACTGCGATTTGGTATAGTCCTCCGCGGTATCAACACTGCGATTTGGTATAAACTGACCCCTCAAGTAGATAGAGGCAACTAGTACCGGTTCTCGGCCCATTACCGTTAGGAAGACAACAAGGGTTTACGGCTTGTCCGGTTTCTCCCGAGGAATTCATTCCTTTTGCACCTCTGCCGCAGGCTGCTAGATTTTTCTTGTTTCTTTAAAGGGTATTGACCAAAGCAGAAACGCGATGCATATGTGACGCACTCAAGCGAGCGGTTTTTATGGGCAACGAACGGGTGCACATTCAGCTCCGATGCTCCCTCTCTGGTGCAGGGCTCGGGGCTCTGGTAGCCTCAGACGGACATTGCCAGGGTCCTTGAGTCGGATGCGCTGGCCGACACAACTACTACAGCTGCCGCAGGGTGGCAAAAGATGCCCACCGCCACAGACATGCCGTAAGCCTCCGCATTCCTCATCTCCTTGGCCCTGGCCCCTGCGGCCCTGCGCGAGAAAAGGCCAGGCTGGAAAAGGCCTTTTGGCGAAGTTCTTGACCGTCACAAAACTTACCATCGCTCGTTCTCCTTCTACCATGCCTCACTGGACTCCCTTGGACAGCTACAGCTACGGAGGGCAAAGAGCCTCGTGGCGCGTTGTACGACCTTTGAAACGCGGTGCTCGGAGGAGGCAAACCTTCTTTCGAGCGTGTGTGTGTGCGCGAGTTGGGCACTTTGCCTTCGCGACCGTTGCTTATCCCTCACATGAGGCCCACATCGAGACGCAGCTCACATACTCAGGAGATGCTAGTCACCGGGAAGTGCTCTGCGAGGCTTGACCTTCTCTGCGTTCATACTGACACCTCTTTGACGGCCATCTTTGAACCTAGAAGTAGCTCGGCGTCCTCACACACACACAAATCACACAGCCCGCCACACAGACCTCCCATGCCGCATCACTCAACCTAGGCCATCCCTTTCCCTAGCAGCAGAAATGTCCGCTTCTCCTCCTCTTGCACATCTCTTTGTGCCTCTCCCTACCTCCTCCCCGTCGTCCTCCTCTTCCCCTTCATCCCCAGACCCGGTGACGATAACGACCCTTCACGATCACGATATACCGGCTCTGTCGCCCATTAATGAACGGAGCTACGCCCCGCACGACCCCTCTTATAATCAAAACCACTCCATCCCACCTATCAGACCTCCTCGCTCTCCACGTCGCACCCCACCAAAAAGGCTTGACGCCGAGTCACGTCCCGCTACGGATCGTCCTCGTAGGTATCGAAACAACTCCTCGCTCAGTCTCACATCGCTCGAGTACGTCCGGACGGCTTTGCGCAACTTCCGTGCCTCGCTTCCGGCTGCTCGGTTCCCCGACAAAACGCCAATCCGGTCACCTTCCAGGAAGTATCATCGAACCCGCTCGCCCACCGCCGATCTCGTTCTCCACAATCCCAGCTCTCCTACCACAGAGATGTCGTCGGCGCGAAGGCAGTCACAGAGGAGGAAAGAGGCGGTGCTGGCGGGTCTCCAAGGTGGGATCAAAACGCACGAGCGCTATGGCTCCGTCAAAGAGGTCAGGAGGGAAGGGGTTGGAGGGCACTGGAGGAGCTACAGCACGCCGCCACCGAGCAGCATCAGTGGTGCTCGGGAGGCGCTGGCGGAAGAGGGATGCGAGGAGGGGCATAAGCGAGTCATGAGCGAGGGGAACGATAAGCCGGCTCCTCTCCGAGCTCGCCCTGGTATACCGATATTCGACCAGGCGCCGCACCCTGCCGACGGTCGAAGGGCGAGTGTTCCTCCGCCTACTCTTCACATCATCCATCCCAGCATCTCCACTACTCCCGAGGATCCTACCGTGTATCCACCAGAACGCATATCGGTCCATGCGCTCCATCATCCCCACGGAGCGCTCGTTGATGATAGCGTAAACAAGTTCGCCACCGTTGTAGGCATCATGGATGCCGGTCAGGCGGCACGAGGGGCGGATGGGGATGATGCCGTGTACATGAGTCAACGCTTCGGGAGCGGAAGGGCGCAGACAGCGAGAAGGAACAGGGTGGGGCCAGGTGGTATTATCTGTAAGTGCTTCAACCTTCTTCGAACCAAGAGGTCCCTCGCTGACGAACAGCCAAAATTGCGTCGCGATCTTCCTTGTCCAAGCTGAAAATCGCTTTCGCACCATCGACTCCCGCTCCCGATGCGTCCCTCCACCCCCGCAACTCCGTTCGCCGACAGCCATCCCCGTCGCCATCCGCAGCTCGACACAGCTGTCTCTCCTCAGCCTCGCATCGACCCGCTCCACTCCCTCCTCTTCTCCTCAATCCTACTCCGAATCGCTTCGCGCCGTCTTCGTCTCGGATCCCTTCTCCCTCTCCGTCCGCTACTCCTACGCAGAGCCGAGCCCCTACGCCTCTCATCGTCCGAGATCATGCCGCCGGAATGAAGCTGAATGGCATCCCGCCAGAGAGGTCGTCTATGTGGGGCAAAGAAGAAGGACTGGTGGAGATACCGAGATTCAAAAAGCGGGAGCTGAATCTCGGGATTGCTGGAGGAGGTCTGGGCCAGAGAGCCAGCTGGGGTATGCTATGGATGGGATGGCTTATATGGGGCTTGTTATCGCTGGTATGTATCCGAGCCGTCCCGCGCAGGATCGAGCTGATGTACCAGTTCTTCGACGTCAACGTGCTGTACATGCTGGTCCAGTACATCCTCATCTTTCCTCTCGGCTCGCAAGCATGTGCTGATTTTGCAGATGCGCACAAAATCCCTCTACAGCGCCCGACTCGGCTTCAGCGCGGACATGGGTCTTCGCTGCGGCAGCCTTCTCGGTCTGCTGGCTGATCTCGGTATTTGGGGTCTGGATAGGCTGGGAACTTTGCTATGAGTTCTGGAGAAGGTGGAGATTACGTGCGTCGTCTTTGCTTGATGTGGTCATAGCCTAGCTGACACATCAGCTCGGCCCGCTATCGAGCCCATCCACATGTCTCTTCCCGCCACTCTTCACCTCTCCCTCTCCTTCTTCCAGCACTTCGCCTTCTTCCTCTACGTCCGCCTCTCTCCGTTGCGCACGCCCCACTCCAAGGATATTCTACCGGAGACTGCCCACCTGGCGATCCAGTCTCTTCCGGGTTTGGGTCCAGTCCTACCCCGCGCCAGTCTCGCAGTGGTCCTCCTCGTTGCCTTCTCCAGCGGGGATGACGGCAGCATCCGAGACGCCGCATTCTGGACTCCCACGACCGGCCGGCTCACCATGTACGCGCACGGAGTCTTACTGGCTTTCGGCAGTCTGACTGCACTGCGTCTACTCGTCGTCGTTCTCTCTGCTATCATTCTATGGGCCTTCTCCCGGCCTCGACGGCCAAGCCAATCTCGCCTCCGGTCCCGCTTCGACTCGTTTTCCACCTCCTCCCCAACCGATACCCGCCCGACTACACCCGTGGCAACACCCACCCGTCGCGATCCCGCCGATACCCAATCTCCGTCGAAGGGCTGGATAGCGGAGTCAGATCTCAAGTGGGAATGGCGCGAGCGGGGGCGAAACAGGCTTCAAGACGCTTTTGAGCTGTGCATGATTCGCCGGCCGAGGTCGGGGGCGCCTAGCCCGATGCTGAGGAGTACGGCGAGTGTAGGGCAGGGCTCACCATCGAGGGCAGGGGGTCGAGGCGTCCCGCTCGGTCGGATGGATATACAGCAGGCAGGGGGCGATGGAAGAGAAGGAGGGTGAGGGGGAAGGAGGAGAGGAGATGCTCAGCCCAACTACGGCGGATCCGTTCATGCAGATCGAGCCATCCAGGTCTCGCTCAACTATCCGCTTCGTCACTCCGCCTCCGCTGGACCGGACGGAGACGGATGAGACAACCCGTCCGGCTACCCTCGCTCCGGCCACACCCTCTGCTGTGCAGGCCCGACCTGAGTCAGGTACTCTGCCAGTCAATGGTACGCCTGTCCAGCCCACTAGGCAGTCCGATCCCGTCACGCCTACTACGGCCGGGCAGGACTCGGTCAATAGCCTCGACCCTCGTTCGGCCGTCGGTCTCGGCGGTCTTGCGGCTGCTCGGCAATCCGTCAGCAGTCAAGACCTCTTTTACACACCCATGAGTCGGACACCCGCCACGGAGAAGACGCGGAGCCGCACCGAGCTCGGCGGAGTGCATACGGAATCTACGTCAACTCTGGGCGCAAAAGGGACAGGCGACGCTGCGGCACTAGGCGGGACGTCCTCGTCATCCCTGACGCCCGCGCCGCCGAGCGCGTACCGCCCACCTCCTACTCCAGGTCCGGAACCTAGCACAGCTGGCACCTCTTCCACCGCCCTGCACGCTCTCGTCTCGACCGATTCATCTCCACAATATGCGGACGGATCGCATCACGGCTCAGCTTCGGACAAGGAGAACCAGCCTCATCCGGCAGCTTCGGACATATAGGATGCTGGCCTGGCGTCGCCTACCGCGCAGACCCGAGCCAGTACCGAGGCCACCAGTACCACCTCCATATCGGACGATTCGGCCGCCCTTCTTTCACGCTCATCCAGCTACTCCACGCACACTGTACCCGCTTCCCAGTCGTCCCACTCGCACGCCCACTCCACCCCGAATTCCGTGCGGCGAGCGAGCCAGGTGTTCCGAGACCGCTCGGCATCGCTCATCGCGAAGCTCCGGGACCGGTCTGCTTCTCTTGGTGGCTCGGACCAGAGTCATGGAGTGGGGTCAAGGAGGGGATCTTATGCCACGCTCAAGGATGGAGGGGGTTTGAGCGAATTCGGGGTGGACATGAGGGGAGGAGTGGGGAGGGGGGGCTTGGGAAACGAGCGCTCTACTAGCGTAGGGCAGGCAAGGGAGGTAGGGATGGTGGCGGTCAAGAAGGTTCGGAGCGGGACGGTCGGCGATGGGGTGAGCTAAGGCGGGGTCATCACGGCAGACCTGGGGTAGCGGTGGAAGGGCAAGGAAAGGAAATACCATATCTGGCGGAGCGAAAAAAGGTCTTGTGCGGCCATGTCGGAGATGTGTATCTACGGGCGATGTATTAGGGATGCGCATATCCCACGGATGGGTGAGTTGCAGGTGTCGCAGACTAGCGCCGTTTTGCCCGATCAGAGGGGCGAGATCCGGCCGGCTGGCGGCTAATCTACTCATCTAGTCGAGATCTAGCGCCACCAACTGCCTCCAGGATCTGTTCTCAAGCCACTCACAGTATATTGAAACGCGAGTGGTCCTTTCACGAACTCCTGATGAGCACTCTAGGAGCTACGATACGGCGAGGTCGCCGCTCTCACCGAGATCTACTCACAATTTACGAGGTCGAGGACAAGGGAGGCTAATGATTGATGATCCGGCCGTGGATCTAGCTTCGTAGAAAAAGGACGACTCGACCGTACGCGTACCCCATACACAGACATAAAAGGGAGGGAATGTCCTGCTCATTCCGCCTTCCTCATCACTTCCCTCGTTTTTGCCACCCACCGTTGCTCAGGTCCCCCTTGGCCCACTCACAAATTACCTGCTCAATACCATACAGCACCATGTCTGTCACATCGGATACTGACTACGTCAGCATCGATCAGTGTCCTCCTGACGGAGCTGACACCCACCCATACGTCCCGCTCACAGCTACCCGTGAGAGCACCATGGGAGTGAAGCGAGTCACCTTCGCACCCAGATCCGAATCAGACTCGGATCAGAAGCCGGAGAAGATGTCGACCGAAGGTGCACACCCTGACCTCGTAAGCGATCAGTACCTATATTGCGTGATTGACTGGCGAAAACTAACGGCTAAGGGGCCCGAGTCCGGCGATCCCACTGCACGCACGTTTCACAGGATACCCAAGTCTGTCGGCAAATGGCAAAGCCGAGCCCTGGCAGCTGAGACAGAGCTGGCCGCCAGTCGTGCAAAACTCTCCCGATGGTCCACCTACTGCTCGAATTCCGAGCTCTACGCCGAAGAACTGCGCCGCAAGATCCAGGAACACGGGGAGTACGAGAATCATCTGCTCGAGACCAACGCAAAGCAGTCCGAGAGAACACACTCACTGGAGGAGCAATTGTCTGCTCGGACTGAGACGGCCCGGAAAGAAGCGACGAAGTCCGTGGCGGGTTGGAAAAAATGTGCAGAGCTCGCGAATCTGCTTGTCGACTCGTCTCTCGCCACGATCCACGGTCTTGCCGACCATGCCATGTCCTCAAGTACAGCTGAGTGGTTTGCTTTGCCGCCTTTGCCGCGGCCTACACCGCCTGGACCTGCGCCGCCGAGCCCCTTCAGTGATGCCGGTCACGTCACGACCACGACCGCGAATGGCAGCGTGGACACGCATGCTCCGAATTGGGTGGAGCCTGCGAGGCCGGGAAGGGAGGGTGCAGGCGTACAGCCCTTCGGCTACGCTACCCGAGGTGAGCCCTCCTTGGACCTTTTGTGTCTCCAGCGATTTTTGTTTAGGCGCTTATACCGGACAGATGACCAGGTGACTTTCGACGAACAGCATCGTCACAATGCTGCAGCCTTCTCGTGTGCTTGATAACATGGGTTCCGGTCTGGCAGAGAGCGAGATTGTCTATAGGCTATAGTCGATCGTATGCAATGTGTGCCATATACGGAACTGGGCAAAAGAGACCTACCGCATGACATCCCTCCCAGCTTATTTACAGGTCTGTCTCATTTAGCAAGGACCCGTCACCACGATACTTAAGGAGAATTCAAAGCGCGAGATACATACAATGATCGCATTTGAGACTACATATATCCCGCAATGGTCACAGATAAAGGGTCTGGACCCCCCTATCGGCTGGACAATGGAACTACCTTCAAATGAAGATCGACTCAATCTGACATTGCGAGAAAGCACTGTACACCTGCAACGGGCAAAGCGCCGAAGACCGAGATTGCTCCGTCTGAAGTCACCGATGACTGCAAGGATGACTATGGCAGGTGATAAGGCGTGACTCTTGGGGTGAAAGGATAGTTGACGGGGGCAGGTTCAGGCCATGGAAGGGGGGAGTCATATACATATCCTCCCTGCGGGCCCTTTCCCCGGTCTTATACATATTACCTTGTATCTGTGATCTTACCATACACCCGCGGCCTTCATCCTCGGCTGCACGTCCAATTGACAGCGTCGAAAGCATGGTGACCATACACTACACTCAGGGCCCAACCGACTCCACGAAAGGCGGCTCCTCGTGTTGCGCCACCCGGCCCGGCACCCCCTACTGCGACGAGAAGGGCCCTGTCCATCGCTACCCCTCTCTTTCCAAAGAAGAACAGCAACGGCCCAGTACTCTCCCTCCAGAGACGACTCGCCAGCCCGATCCTACTGACCCCTCCTGCTCGCTCGTCATCCGAGAACCGGTGGCAAATCGGGTGTCATTCGACCCCTCAGCCGCCATCATCCCGCCTCTCCCGTCTGACTCTGGCACGGATCAGCCTCAGCCTACGGGGACATCCATCCCGGATGCTTGGCACGGAGACAGCGCGTACGAAGACGATGCTGCGACTACTGCGTACTGGAAGCATCAGTACAATCTCCGCGGCGAGATCATCGCTTCCCAGCAACACCGGATTGATCGCCATTGGGACGAATTGCGCAGGTACGAGTCCGCGCTCCAGGCTTCCGAGAGCAGGGTCAGCCAGCTGGATCACGCCTTGCAGCAGTCGGAGCAGGACAGGGAGGAAGGAAGGTGGGGCCTGGAAGAGACGTTGGCGCGGCTGGCACATGTCGACGCTGAACTGCGCGCTGCTCACGCTTTCAGCGAATTCGTACAGTCGACAATGCGCAGTGTGGTGGACACCATCATGAGGGAGGCGAAGGAGGGGATGAGGCAGGCGGAGCATATTCTACTGGAGCAAGAGCATGACGCTGACGACGCATCGACTGGCAAGAGGATGAAAGATGAGGTGCCGATTCATTCGGCAAAACTGGATGTTCACCGTTCTTCAGAGTTCCGGAATCAGTCGGTATGGAGCAAGGATCGGGCATGTACTTCGTAGTACGTCTCCAGGTAACATTCTTATGTATTGTCCGAAATCAGTGATCAAGGGTAGCTTTCAACCTTGATACTGTCGGATTGCACGGTTGATTTGTGTGTCTGCGATGTCACCACGTTGATGGTACTCGCTTACGCGGAGGACGGAGTAGTACGAGCCGGTGTCCCAACATGCGGAGAATGGCCGAGCATGCGTACGGTACTTGGGTATATCTTGATACAATTACAGACGATACAAATACAGGTGTCCGAGGGTGTACAAACTCGTCCACTCTGGGCAATTATCACTTTCCTGCGAGACACTTCTGCAACGCGGTGAAGTGGGTACCACCGGCTGCGCCTCCGTCATCTTGATCAATAGACCTAATGATCAGCTCGAGCTGTGAGAAGTATGACAAGCTAGAGCGAAATGGCAGGAACTCACCAGACCATGACGCCTCCCACTTTGGGTAGATGGAGCTTGCAACTGTCATAGACGTCCGTAGGACTCGGCCACGTGTAGAACACCTTCTGAGTCTCGTCGTAGTAGGAGGTAGCGAGTGCGGAGGCATCTCGCACACCCTTCGCCTGGGTCGCAGTCCAGCCTGCGGCCCCACCGATCTTCGTACTCCCAAATATGGGGAAGATTATCTCTCCCATGACGTCCTTGACGTGCAAATCGTTGTTGAAGAAGAGCACCCCAGACATACCTGTATCTACGCCGGTTGTCGACTCGAAGGCGCCCTTGGGAATCTTGCATCCGATCGGCTTCGCGGCCGAGCAAGCATCTTTGGGGACCGCTGCCATGTCAAAGTACTTGCCGTACATGGGGTATCCGAAGTTCATCTTCTTCGGATTGACACCCCGCGAGTAGATCTTGATCGTATTGTCGATCACACCACCACCAGCGTGATGTGACGTTGTCTCGCTGCGTCTGTTCATCGCATCGTAGCTCATGATGTTCCAGAAATCGACAACTTTGTCGATCTCCTTCATGGCATCCTCATCATATGCGAGATTGATGTCGCCCTCCAGTGCGGGTACTGCAAGGCTCAGGACGTAGCCAGGCTTGGCTGCGTCCAGCTTCTGTCGGATGGACTGCATGAGAAGGACGTTGTTGCGTTTGTCGCAGGGGGAGTTTGGCCTAGTTGTGAGGTAGGTCGCGCCATTGCCGACCGGATACCTAAGTCTATTAGTACTCGATCCTTACACAGTATTTGGACAGACCACTCACTCCCAGTCAACGTCGATTCCGTCCAGATTGAATAGTTTGACAAACTCCACAAAGACGTCGGCAAGGTTGTCCCGGTTCTCATCGGTAGCATTGAACCGGAAGAACTCGTCTAGTCCCCAACCGCCGACTGCGACCATGACCTTCATGTTTGGGTTGACCTTCTTCAACTCCACAGCGGTCTGTTCGTTCCACAGGCTATTGACTGAAGTGACAAAGGTATCGAGGGTCTTGGGGTTCCAGAAAGCTGGAGGGTTAGCCTCGTTCTCTAGCAACCCTCCCTTCCACGCTCACCAAGGATAAAATGGGTCACTCCAATCAGCTGGTCTTTGGTTGGCAGTGCAGCTGCGGACATGCCTGTACCATGCCATGCACTCCAGTACGTGATCAGTCGCTTGTTGTCTGCGTTGGCCGTTGTGGGGGTCGGAGGCGTGTACTTGGCTGTGACTGTCGCCTTCTCGGAAGGGCAAGATGTGACGATGCCAGCTGGTGCACCTCCGGCAGGCATGGGGATCTTGGCTTTGATGCGTGAGACATGCTGTGCGGCTGGAGCACCTCCCCCGCCTCCACCTCCCGCACCGGCAGGAGTATCGACCAGCGGCGGGGGACTGTCAAGTCAGCCCAAGTCTCGTAGAGCTAAGTCTTGAAGACTCTGACTTACGTATTACCAGCAACAAGCACGCTTGCTTCGCCTTCACCTTGACATATCTGACCTTGTGGAATGGGTGTCAATTCACCGTTGATATAATACTTTGATGTATCCGGCCGGGCGCATCTGATGGGCGCCTTCGGGGGAACCTGGGGGGATGGTGTAGCCCAGGCAATCCCGCTGGTGGCGATCGGTGCGAGTAGGGCAAGCTTCATGATGGTCTTGATGATGGAAGAAAAGTGAGTGAGTAAAGGAATGTCGCGCTAGATGCTGTCAAAGCACTGCTTGTGGGAAGATGAGAATTTGAATGGGGATCAGGGTACTGCTTATGGGGAACTGAATTGGGGAGAACAAGCCCCACTTATATCGTACTTGGGACAAAGATACTTGAGATCATCACCAGCCCCTTCGGGTGAGCTCATGAAAGGAACGCAGGTGGCAGCTTGGGCAAATGGCCGTCATACCAAAGCCTTCAAAGGGGCAAAGGGACCCTACGCGTGAGGCCCGTCCCTACGCACCCCTAGCTGATCCTTTACACGTCTCGAGCACTTGGAGGCAGTGTCAAACACCCTCACCTAGGGGCTGTACAAAGGTGAAGGCCAAAGCAGGGACAGCCGGTGAGGCGTGTGGCAGCTGAGCGAGGGATGAGGTGAAACGCAGCGGGATCAACCTGAAACGACTGCAGCCGAGATGAAACGCGGCGCGGCGGCCGTAGCGGCAATAGCTGACGTAAACCGCGTCTGAGTGGGAACTGCGTGGACTGCCACGTGGAGTGAGATCTCTGAGTCATCGGCCGCTGTTTGTTTTGACTTTTGCTTTGATTTGCGATCATCCTCTTGTCCTCTCATTCTGTTCTCTATACCCATCACACTCACACTCATTCTACAACCCATTATAATCAATAACCATGTCCCGCAACCGCATCTTTGCTTTGGCAGACGTGTCCAACCGTAAGCCCTGCTTGATATACGCTCTTTTTGCCACTTGCTGACACGTAAAAATAGATGCCTCCCGATCCTCATGCTACATGTCGTACCGAGGACAAGTCTACGATGTCACCCCATTCCTCGCCGATCACCCTGGAGGTGACGATATCATGCTCGAGTACGCTGGAAAGGACGTGGGCGTAGTCATGGGAGACGAGGATAGTCACGTCCATTCGAGGAGCGCGTACGATATGATGGAGGATTACCGCGTAGGGGAGTTGGGTGGGGATGAAAAGATTGTCAGCGAGGGTGAGTCTGCTTGTTCCACTTCAAACTCGGAATAGAAGCTGGTGCTGATTTACAGATTGGGTCGCACACGAAGATTTCCATCCCGACGAGACCGACGCGTTGGCCGACTACAACCGCAATAAATTCCTCGATCTCTCAAAACCCCTCCTTATGCAGGTATGGGGAGCGCCATGGACGAAGGAGTACTACTTGTCGCAAGTACACAACCCACGGCACTTGAAGGAAAGCGCGAGATTATTCCAATGGGATGCGTTAGAGGTGGGTCCGAGCTCTGCCTCGCGACCAACGGTATTGAGGCTGATCCACAGATGCTTACCAGGACCAAGTGGTATGTCGTACCCCTGTTCTGGGGTCCGATCACCATCTTCATGTTTGCCTTGTCGATCCTTCAATTCACCGATCAGTACGTTCAGCCAATTACGGATAAGTGGGTGTGCTAACGCTGCAGATCCATTTCCGCATCACAACTCCTTACCCTTCCTCTCCCCGCGCTTCCCGTCCCCACCCCTCAGGCATTCGGCAAGACCATGGCTGCCTTCTTTGCCGGTAACATCATCTGGACCATCCTCGAATACACCCTCCACCGCTTCCTCTTCCACGTCGACCACTATCTGCCGGACCAGAACTGGGCGATGCTCCTTCACTTCCTCCTTCACGGCATCCACCACTATCTGCCCATGGATCAGCTCCGACTCGTCATGCCACCCACCCTTTTCTTTGGCCTGCAAGCTCCGTTCACAAAGCTCGCGCACCTCCTCTTCCCCAAAGCCGTCGCAAACGGTATCATCGCCGGCGCGTTCACCTTCTACATGCTCTACGACTGCATGCACTATGCGCTCCACCACACCCGGCTGCCGCAGTACATGGCCGAGATGAAGCGTTACCATCTTGCGCACCACTACAAGAGTGAGTCCCCGTCTTGCCCGGAGGTCCGAGCTCAGCTGACGGAGCAGACTTTGAGCTGGGCTTTGGCGTCACATCAAAGATCTGGGACTATGTCTTCAACACGGTTCTGCCTGTCCCTACCAAGTAGATCTTTCTGTATGATACGCTGTGGCCTAATGCATCTACCTACTATAGAAGGCAGACAAGAGACTCGGTCTACCACGGCAAGCAGCGGGTCGGTCCAACCCGAGTGACGTAACCTCGACGTCCATCGCGCTGCAGCAGCAGCTGGCAACCTTGCTGTCAATTGCAAGTCTTGCTCAACTACCATCTCTGTAGCCTTCGCTTCAGAGACCTACAGAGACCAACGCCGCCATCATGCCGGGAGGATGGCACCGCGGAAATCGCGCTCCCGCACACCCTGAAGCCGCCGCCGAGGGCGAAGGCGAGAGCTCGCAGGCAGCTCCTTCGCCGGTCGTCTCCACCCTCGAGCGCCCCCGAGAATGCATCAACCGGTACTCGACGCCACCATTCCAGCTACTATGTACCATGATGGACCGTCTGAGAAGCGAGGAAGTCAGTAAGCGGAAGGAGACGCTGAAGCGGTTCTTTGATTTATGGCGGGCCAGAGTGGGGAATGACCTGTACCCTCTGATCCGGCTCCTACTGCCTGATGTGAGTCGGGTCAGCCACAGCTCTTGGAGCTGTATGAGTAACTGACAGCCAGAGAGATAGAGAGAGACCAGTGTACAACCTCAAGGAAGCCATGCTTGCCAAGTGCTACATCGAAGTCCTCGGTCTCGACCGGCACTCGGCAACCGCCACGAGGTTGATCAAGTGGAAGCAGCCCGTCGAAGGGGAGGTGAGAATCTGCTTGCTGAATGAGGTCTAGAGCTGATAGACTCAGTCTAACGCGTCGGGGGACTTCGCCAATCTGTGCAAGCAGGAAATCGAAAAGCGGTCCACCGTCCAGGGTGGTCAACTTACCGTCGACGCTGTCAACTCGCTGTTGGACCAGCTCGCCGGCGGACGGATGAAGCAGTCCGAGTATGTCCCTATACTGCGTAAGATCAATCAGCAGTGTACGGCGCAAGAGCAGGAGTGGATTTTACGGATCATACTCAAGGGTGAGTACTGCCAGCTGTCGACTGGTCGGGGATGGGGCTGATGGTATCAGATCTGAGGATATCTATCCGCGAGAAGGGCGTCCTGGCGGTCTTTCATCCGGATGCGGCGGACCTCTTCAATGTCTGCTCGGACCTCAAGCGAGTGTGCTGGACGCTGTACAAGCCCGAGCTCCGCCTTGCAAAGGATGTACGTCCCCCTTCGCTCCATCTCTCCTCGATGAAATACTGACCTTCCAGGAAACGAGTATCGAGCTCTTCCGCTCTTTCCTGCCTCAACTCTGCTATCGCTCCCCTTCCTCTTCCCATGACGGTATTGCCAAGCTCGTCAACAACCCGCGAGACGGGTTTCTCATGGAGGAGAAGCTAGACGGAGAGCGGATGCAGTTGCACATGAGGGGGAATGGGGCACAGTGGTACTACTGCTCCCGAAAGGCCAAGGACTACAGTGAGTCTGGTATGGGCTGGAATGGTAAAATCACGGGATTTTGGCTGATTTGGGGTAGCGTACATGTACGGCGCTCATCCTGGAGAAGGGTCTCTGACGCAGCATATCTCTAGCGCTTTCAGTGATGGTGTTCGCAAGTAGGTCATTCTCCTTCCCGAAACTGACCAGACATTGCTGATCGATTCAGCATCATTCTTGACGGGGAGATGCTGGTCTGGGATCCAGTACTAGAGAAGTATCTTGCCTTTGGAACGCTCAAGACCGCCGCTCTTGGTAAGCTCCCCCTTTGCGATAATGACCCCTCTGACGGTATAGATCGAGGTGGGGACGAGAACTCGCCAAGACCATGCTGTAGGCCCGACTTAGCTCTGTTGTGAAGGCGAGTAAGGCAGCTGATGGTTCCAGTCAAGATCTTCGATATTCTCTTCCTCAATGACAAATGCTTGACCAATACTCGCCTCTCGGAACGGAAACGCACCTTGCAGGACAAGCGAATCTTTCCGGATCTGGAGGCATACAAGGGGAGACTGGAGTTTGCGGAGGAGTCGATCGGGAGGACAGGGAAAGATATTCGGGCAATGATGGAGCGGATCTTGGAGATTAGGTGGGTTCTTATCTAGCGTGTCTGTAACGTATCCGGGGAACCTGCTGATTGACTAGAGGGGAAGGCCTGGTCGTCAAAAGGTTGGACTCGGTGTATGAGACGAATTCTCGAGGGGCGAGCTGGGTCAAAGTGAAGCCTGAGTAAGTCTTGTTGCAAAGCGGTTGGGAGTATAGGTTGATGAGGCTCAGGTACTCTGATCAGATGGGCGAGAATCTCGATCTGATGGTCTTGGGCGGATGGTGGGGCAAGGGCGGTCGGACGGGGAAGGTGTCGAGTCTTCTATGTGGATTGAGGGTGCAGCAGGAAGACGATGGGGATATGGAGTTCCCAGAGTGAGTCTGCACGGACAGAAGAGGGGTCCGAGCTGATGGTAGGTTCACTTCGTTCTTGAAGATCGGCTCGGGGATGAGCTATGAAGATTACGAGTGGATCATGTGAGTTCGGTCCTGCTCCAACTGTGCAAGGCGTCGCGACCGTCGCTGATCAGACAGGAAGAAACATCGTGTACACATGAAGACGTTCGATAGGAAGAATCCGCCAAAGTGGCTCAAGCTAGGCCCGACAGGCCTGGACGATAAGCGTGAGTGGCCGATCACATCATCCAGCTCTTGGAAGTCAGCTGACAACTCGCGGCTGATGTCTACATCGAGCCCAAGCAGTGAGTGTCGGGTTATACCGCCTACTTTCTAAGCTTGGCGTCTACATGAGCTGACTATGACAGGTCCTTCGTCGTCGAGGTCAAAGGCTCCGAGATCGTCCCTACAGATGGCAACTTTGGGATCGGCTACACTATGCGATTCCCACGGTGTCGCTTCATCTACTGGGACAAAGCTAGCCGGGACCATCCGACGGGCGACGATACGCAGGATCGGGACATGTGGAATTGCCTTTCCGCGGACGGTATGTCGACTGCTGGGTGGCCGGTGGCTGATCTATTCAGAGTTTCTGGCTTTACTCAATGGACCGACTAAGCGGTATAGGGATGACCAGACTGGATCGTGAGTTCTTGAGCTCGTAACGGCCATGACGCACGGCGGAGCTGATAACGCAGGTCAAGGAGGAAAAAGCGGAAGGTCATCCCTCGGAAGGTGAGTTAGGACATCGAGATCTTGGACCCTATTTGTAGCTGACCAAAGCAGAAGGTCCAGCTCATGGAGGGCATCAAGGGCCAGAAGCTGTCCAAGGAGGACATCTCAAGTCATATCTTTACCGACATGACGTTCTGTGCGTATCCCTTCTGGGGCAGGGTGAGTTTTGCTGACCAAGTAGACATTCCCCGAGGGAGCGCCAAATACAAGAAGCCGGACCTGGAGGCTATGGTCCATCAACATGGCGGAGACTTCACGCAGGCCCAGCTATCGGACTTGACGGCGTATGTCATCTCGCCGGACAACAAGAGTGAGCTTCGGATAAGAGCGCCTGGTGATAGTGGGTGGGGCCAACGAAGCAGATCCTCTTGTCAAGGCTCAAATCAGGAAGGGTGTGTCTATCATCAAGCCCGAGTGGATCTTGGAGTCCATCAAGCGCCAGAAACCCCTTCCTTTGCTGAAAGAGTGAGTCTCCTCCGGGTTCAAGAGGAACGAGGGGGAGGTTGTTGATGTCTAGACTTCTTGTGCATGCCTCGGAATCGACACAAGACGGCCGGTACTACAGCAAGACCTTGGCCGAATACGACCAGACCAGCCTGGTCCGAGACCGCGGCGGGAAGGACGGCGCCGCCGATGATGATGACGGGATGGAGGAAGAAGGGGCAGAACCAGAGGAGGAGTACGCCGAGGAGTTTGAAGATGGGGATGAGGCAGCCGGGCCAGCTCCGCCAGATCCGACGATTCGGTCGCATCGGGATACGAAGGACAAGACCGAGGCGCAGCAGAAGCTCGAGGCGGAGTGGGGGCTGTATCGGGAGGGATCGTCCGATTCGGCCTCCCAGACGACTAAGGGGGACAGAGAGGAGGAGAGCGATACGGATGACGAGCTGGATTGGAATCGTCGGGATTTCAGGGTGAGTTCAAGAGCTTAAACTGGAGCGAAAACTAGGCTGATGGTCTAGTCGCCGAGTGTTGCGGATAGTCATGAGAGCGAGCCGGAGTTGGAGGGTGACGAGAGGCGTCTCCTGCCGCTCAGTGATGGGAAGGCGGAGGCGAGTCCATCCCAGCGGCCTTAGAGAGGGAGATGCTGATGTCATAGGCTGCGATGGGGATAAGCGCCGCGGCCAGGGAGTACGATGAAGAAGCTGTACGTCTCGCTGCTGGCTGGACTATCTGGATGGAGCTGAAATCCAGATCTTCACGCATCTCACCTTTTACATCGACTCAGCGGCAAATGCGAAGAAGAACGGTCTGGCACCGTCCGATCCGCCTGCTGAGGCCATCGAGCGGTACGTCTGCTCCTTCTGTCTCTTTCTCGGGCTGCGCTGACCCAACGTCAGACTGGCCGCTGCGGAGAAACTCCTACGAGAGAACGGCGGCGATATCACCACTTCCATCGCCGACCCAAAACTCACCCATATCATCACGGACGATGAGGATTCGGACCGCTATGCCGAGCTGGTGCGCAAGACGGGCGAGCCGAAGCGGAAACATATCGTGCTGCCGAGCTGGGTGGATGAGTGTATCGAGGAGGAAACGCTTATGAACGAAGATGGTGGGTTTCGCTCTACTTGGAGAATGGAAGGCTCAAAGCTGATTATGCAGCTCATAAGCCCAAGTAGGCTTTCACATACGATGAACAGGACGATACGACAAGGTTGTATATATGCATTTTGGGATAACAGGGCTGTACGTATCGCGTTTCCTTCTGCACAGTTCCGCTCCCAACTTCTACTTCACTCACCATGCTATTCCAAGACCTCCCGGTACATAAGCTCGAACAGCCAGTACACCTTCTATCCCCGGCTTCACTGTACAATTGTGCCTACACGTCCGCGACCGCCTTTTCCCGCTCGTCATTCGACGCGACGCGGGACATTCTGGTGGGCGGCCGAGACAGGGGCGGGGCATCGGTTGTAGGAGAGGTCAGTGTCACTTCTCCCGCGCCGGGCCTTTGGCGGTCTTGCCACTGGGCGTCAATCTCCTCGAGCGAGCTGTTCAGCGTCTCGGGAATTCAGAAAATGGCCAAAGTGACCGAGAAGACTGACCATCAGTCTGAGCTCCGATCCGCGTTGAGGCGATGTCTATACTGACGATTGAAGCCACCCAAAGTGAACATGACGGACACATCGCTGATTTCGAACCATCTTGGCGTAGCGACGGCGAGAATGATGTTGCCGATGGTTAGTGCTGCTCGACCGAAGGAGGATACGGTGGATCTGATTTCGTTTGGCAGGATCTCGCCAGCTACGACGAGGATCTGACCGACAAAGAAGACTTGACAACTGCGGACGATCAGCTGATTCCTCGTGTCACGACTCACAAAACAGTGTATAGGATGATGAGACAGATACTGTTCCACTGGACAGCGAATGAGTTGGTAACGGAACTTGCAGCGAGAGCTCCGATGATGACTACAGATATCAGCTGATTGACAGCAGAGTCTCCCAGGACCGGACAACTTACACAAGCAGACGGCCATACCGAGTGCGCCGATGGCGATACTGATGCGCCGCCCGATGCGGTCGATGAGGTACCAATGCGCCAGTGCTGTCAAACTTCATGTGGATGGTGAGCTGTAGAACGCAGGGTGTTGTGAACTGTCACCTACACCATCATGACCACGGCCATGATGCCCGACACGACAAACGTCGACAGGCGCAGCTGTACTCCTACGCGGGAGAAGAAGAGGGGTGCGTACCAGAGAACAGCATCAATACCTGAGAGAGCGACCATGAGACTGAGCACCTGACTCCATCAGCCAGTATACATGCCCGAGGCCGAGGGCGCAGCTGACCACCGGAAGTAGAGCACGACTGTAGTTGGACTTGCTGATTTTTGTACCCCACCCTCGTCTTGCGCGGTGCTGTCGTACCCCTGAGCTGTGCGGTCGATCTGTCACGGCGGCAGGACCTGCTGATACCGGAGTGCCTGGCGTAGGCACGAGCTCGACGCATGCTCCACGCTCAACTTCGACGTCTTCCTTGATCTTGCGCCAGCTTTCTGTTTCTTCTTCAGGCGTCCGCGCGTAAGCCTTGATGAGCATCTCGGCCTGCACAGCTCGAGCAGGGTTGTCTGACATGAGTAGCCATCGAGGGGATTCGGGAACCAGCGGAGTCTGTCCTGTGGTCAGTGCCGTACTCGTCATGACAAGGAGGGCTCACCAGACCAGTAGTAGGAGAGTCATGACGAGGGATACGACGCCATGTACGCCTGTGACCTGGCGCCAGGAAGCAGTAGAGTCGATTTGGACCGTGCCGTAGCTGATGAAGTATCCGCTGGCGAGGCCGAACTGGTTGATCAGCACTACTCAGCTATACTTAGGGCAGGATTCTCGCACTCACGGGAAACAGGAGGAGTGTCATGGCGCCAATCTGTCTCCGAATCTGGGACTGTCAGCGCCTGCGCAGACAAAGACATGACTTGAGGTACTGACAGCATCAGGCGCACTCTCGACCTGCCAGACACCACTGATGGTGAAGTAGAACCCCTGACCAGCACCGACAACGGCTCGTCCCACGATAAATTGCGCGAGCGAGAAGGAAGAGCAGAAGATGAGGTTTCCAGCGATGCCGAGCACGCCGCCGATGGCGACTATTGGGACGCGTCCGTCCTTGTTTGCGAGGGGTCCAGCCGCGAGGGAGAAGGGTAAAGCAGAGAACAAGATCTAGACTGGCGTGAGCCGCGAGTGAGTGGGATGGGGGCGATGCTCACGGTCGCAACGACCATACCGCGAGGAATGGGATTCAGGTGGAAGAAGTATGGCATCTCGGTGACGGGTCCGATCGCGCCCGCATCGTAGCCAAATAGCTACGTGGATCAGTCAGGACTCAGCACTCGCCTGTGGTGACTAGTCACTAGCACTAGAGGTACTCACGAAGCCGGCCAGAGAGACAATGAGGGAGGCAACATAGATCTTGGGCGTCAATACAATCATGATTCTTGGGCAGGTGGCGGCAAATGTAGGGAGATGGCGAGACCGAGGTCAGTCACAGGGCTGTCAGTCGAGTAGATTGAGGAACGGGCTACGAGTTGTGCTTTGCAGGCAGGGGAGGGGATTTGGCCAATTTGGGACAAGGGGCAAAAGCAAGGACGCGACGAACAACTTGGGGCGAGACGGCCCATGGTGTGGAGCGCTTTCCAAGACCGCCTCACGCCGGAGGCTGAAGGGATCTCAGCGCTGATATGACGCAGCTCGGAATCCTATGTGTCTTCCGCCCCTCCCTTGGCATTCCGACCAAACGTGTAAGATATCGCAAATACTTTGACACGATGTGAGGGACTATCCGTTGTCATGATATGCATGTTCGTAACCTGTGTCAAAAGACTGGGCGTCGCCGCTGTCCGAAGGAGCATTTTAGGTGCATGTGCGCGAGAATAGTCTCGCTAGTGAGAGTTCATATCAGCAAGCAATCACGCAGGTTCTCATAGCTCCAAGATTGCTCAGCCAGACTGACTGCGACGTATCGCATGCACAGTCGAGAGCCTGCAGCTCGGTGGGCCTGATGAAACATCTTGAAACACAGATCGATTCGTAGCTGGAAGACCCGATTATAGACTAGTACACGCGCCAGTACATGCACCGATGCGCGTGTGTACTGACTGAGGCGCGGGGATGAGCCTGAGGCCTAAACAGGCAGATAGCCGTGAGCTGTTTAACATGGCCAAACACCGATCAAGCGTCGCACAGGTGGTCGTACAGCTGTCGTACCCCACTTTCGTAACCCGGAAGAATGGAGTATGCCGTTCCGATGGATCCGACATATGTCGATCAGCGTCGTACTTCTATGCCAGCATGTTGACAGCGCATCGGTAGGATGGTACCGACGTATCGTCAGATCGCACCACGAGGGAGATCGGGCCGGACCGTATGCTCGAGAATGTACGCACTACTAAATGCTAGTGCGTGCGATACACTTCGGACGAGCCGGGAGTCGCATCGTGCTTGCGACAGATGTTTACTGCTTGAGGTCGAGATCTAAACAAGTAGCCTGTCAGCTCAATGCCCAGAGATATATAAAGACGCCCAGATCAGCCTTCTCCCCTCATCATCTCAATCCATAATCCTCTTTCCTCAAATACACCACCGCATCTACCACCACCCGCCCTTCACCCACCCACTCCACATTCCTCCACCGACCATGTTTCACATCGCCATCGCCACCGCTGTCCTCGCTGCTGGATCCGCCCTCGCTCAGGGCCAAAGCGCTCTTCCGCCTCTGCCGTCCATGATCGGCCCTCTCAGGTAAGTCTCGGTCGTGAGAGCGGGATTCGTGAGAGCGGGATAGGAGTATAGCTGACACACTGCAGCTTCTCTCCGCAGTGCCAGCAGGCCGTCATTGGCGTGGCCACTCAGGGCGCTCTCGCTCAGTGCTTCCCCTTTGCCGATCTCTTCCCTTGTACGTCCATCTGTCAGCTTGTCGATAGCTTCGCTGACCTGCAGTGCTGTCTACCAACACCTTCATCATCCCCTTCCTCGACAAATTCCAGACCGACCTCTGCTACAACTACCCCACCTGCAGCCAGGCCACTCTTACCGCTGCTGCCCAGACCGTCGCCCAGGGCTGCGCCGAGGACCTGAAGAAGGATGGTATCGCCGCCCAGACCATCATCGACATCTTCAGTGCCTACCCCATTGTCCGCGAGGTTCTTTGCCTCAAGACGTGAGTACTGAGTGGATCCCAATACAGTTCAAGGCTGATAACCAGGACCGACCCCTACACCGCCAAGTCGTACGGGGGCTTCCTCGGCGCGCCGCCAATCCCCATCGTCGGCAACCCCATCTACAACTCGACTGACGGTACCTTCTGCCTCACCTCGGTCGCCACTCAGCTCTCGGCCTACTTTGGCACCCAGCTCACCGTCCCTTACCTCGCCGGTCTGGTCAGCGGCCAGAACTCGACCGCTCTCGCCCTTGCCACCTCCATCAACCCCAACATCGTCTGCAACACCTGTTTCTTTGCCGCACTTGAGATCGTCGACCTCATTATCCCCGCAGTTGGCAACACCCCCGTCGCCGCCGTCATCCAGTTCTTCATGGCCATGGTTCCCAAATCGCTTGGCGCCACCACCATCAACCAGCTCTTCGACTGGACTTGCGCCTACAAGCCCTTGTCTTTGGTCCTCGGTATGTCTCTCTTTCCAATAGGTGGCTCGGCAGCTGACACTCCAGACGGCAAGCTCCCTAACGGCGTCTCGGTGTCCATCGTCAACTCGTCCTACCCTATCCCCATCTCCAACGGCCAGCCGCTTCCGGTCAATTGCCAGGCCAAGAGGGAGGAGGTCTCGCTCTTCGGCAGGAAGCGAGCTTAAGAAGGGTCTTCCTCACTGCTACAAGAACCTGTCTGGACACTTTCCTTTGGCTCTCAGCTAGACTTGGACACTTTGATTATGGACACTGTTGAGATTTCACTTGATATGGCCGTAGACATCATGCACTTTCTACTATCTCCCGCACGTGTTGAAAGTGATGCAAGCTATCCTCGCAGCCATTCTTGAGCCGCGGTTCGTACCTAGAGCTCACTTGTAGCGTTAATGAAGACGATTAGGAGGTGCAGATCAGGCTGACCCAAGACCAAAGGATGGCTTTCTCCTTCGCGCTTCGCCACACATGCCTGCCACACTGACGCGTGACGTCATTCGCTTTGATTTTGGCTCATTGTGGTAATAAATTTACTTCCGCTAGGGTCAAATGGGCGATCGCGAAGAGCAAAAGGAAAGGAATAGTAAGTCGCGTCGCCGCCCTCCAGCTTCAGCTTCCCCTTCCCCTTCAGCTTCATCTTTCACATCCATCTCACTCCTTCTACACCCACATCTTGGCCGTCTTGCTCATTTCAATTCCACGCTATAACGGACGCTCATTAGCGTTTCACATCACATCACCAGACGCGCAGGTCTCGCGTCAGCGTCAGCGTCACGTCACGCCCAAGCTGTGCATCAGCGGGTCAAATTTGACGCGTTACATCTCGACCCCGCCCTCGCCCAATTTTGGTCTCGGACCTGATTCGGTCAGCTCTTCGACTCACTTCTCCAAACTTCCCCTCGCCGCTGGTCGACACCGTCTCATCGTGAAACGACGCTATTAACGACCTTCGGCTGGCCCGACCCCCTTTTCCCGCAGAAATCCCCCCATTCAAGAGAGAGACTCGCCCTCTCGCAAACATCCGCTTATACGAGCGGGTGGTAATCCGGTCTTCCCCCCTATCCGACTCGGGTCGCACTGCCACGTCGACACCCTCCCTCCTCCTATACATACTGCGCGCGCATCGCAAAGACAGATTTCAACACCTGTCTCGCACCTTCAGTGTTTGCGCAACAATGTCCCGACCTGGAAGTTCCGCACAGTCTATCGGTGGATATGACGAAAGGTAAGTCCGGTCTTGGCTGACGAGATGATGGGCAGATGCTGATACCATAGCCGCCCCATGTCCGCTCGACCCCAGTCCAACGGCTACTACACTTCATCCCTCCCGCTAGACGCGATGACCGGGTGGGAGATGGGACAGGGGGGCGCCGTCAATGGGATGGCAGAAGGGAGGGTCGTCTATCCCATGCCCGGGGGCGTCGCTATCATGGCTTCATCTGGTATGCCCAGACGTATCCCTGATGATCAAGACGAGGAGGACTTCTTACCTATCCAAGAAGGCAACTACGCGTACACCCAAATCACCCCTTATCACTCTCAGCATCACGTCCAACACCCTCCTCATCCCACCTCTATCCCCGCCCACTACATGCACGGCGCCACCCCATATCACATGGTCGGCCCATCCCACATCTCGCCAACCGCCATGATGGGGCAGCACGGATACCCCATGATGCACGTCCACTCGCAATCCCCTACGGACGGCATGTATGTCCAATCAGCACCCATGGGCCACCACCAGCATCCCGGACCTCCTCCACGTCGCCACACATCCTCCCGAGGCAGCATCACAGCGGCTTCGCGACCATCTATGGGCCAGCGCCAGTACTCCCTCCAGCCCCCTCCAGCCCGTGCCGGCGACGCGTCGAGCCAGGATGTTTTCGTCATGCCACCTGCCAGTACCCCGGTCCGTCACGTTCCAGGTCACGGAGAGTTCCAGCTTGACGGAGGAGTAAGTCTATCCATGTCTAGTTCTGATCGCGGCTGACTCGACAGCAATACTATACCCTTCCACAGGGCATCTCCCCAGCCCGCGCCCTCGGTCCAGCCCCCACGCAGAGATCGGCTCTCTCCCCTCCGGCCGATCCTCTCAATACCCCCCAAACCAAGATTCCCTCTCTCATCACGCCTTCCTCTCTCGCGTCGACCGTCATGACCGAGAACTCCTCGGATTCAGAATACTCCCCTCCGGATCGCGTCGCCGCGGCCAGTGACGACGAGGACGTCTACTCCCCTACGAAGCCCACTAAGAAGCTTGTTCTCGAGAGAACACTCGAGCCGGCCCCTCGGCGCCAGAACGTCCCCGCTATCAAGCTCAAGGGAGTCATCGGCGGCCGTACCAGCGCAAAGTTTGCCAAGGTCGCCGAGGACCCCGGAGTCGAGGGTGTTCCGCCGGGACCACGCCCTCTCGAGCGTCCCGCCCCCTCCTTCGCCTGCATCATCGGTCAAGCCATCCTCAAATGCTCGGCCGGCGGTCTCTCGCTCGAGCACATCTACCGCTACGTCGAGACCGCTTATCCCTTCTTCAAAACCGACAACTCTGCTTGGCGGAACTCGGTCCGACACAACCTCTCCATCCACAAGATGTTTGAGACTATCCCCCGCACGGAGCACTTCCCTCCCGGCAAGGGCGGGATCTGGATCATCCACGAGGAGGAAAAGATCCACTGGCCAGCCGAGGACAAGTTTATCAAAAACTTCCCCCAGAACCACGCGCATCACGCTGTGTGTCGGCAGACGCTCCACGAGCGGGCAAAGGAGCTTGAGCAGATGGCAAAGGCCAAGGCGGAAGGGAGGGAGTATGTCCCCAAGAAAGGCAAGAAGGCGCGCAAGGTCGTTGACGACTTTACGCCCGAACCAACGCGGGCCGCGTCGGTCATGTCGGATGCGCCGGGTCCCTCCAACTACATGCACGCCGGCCCCTCTGTCCTCGCACCAATGGTCCCGCCGCCCCCACCAAAGCCAATGCCATTACCCCTCCAGCGCCCAGATCCTACCCCGGAGCCCGAGGCGACCCCACCCAAGGTGGCACAGAAGATCCTGCACCCTCCCCCATTCTACCGTAATCTCTCCTCCAGCATGGCGCCCCATCCCGCTCCACAACCCCTATTCGTCGCCGATGACGCCATGCCCAAGACTATGGTCCCTCCTCGGTTCGGGTCAAAACGCCCGCTTGATGGCGACGAGGAGAACGTCTTTACGGCGCCGCCCAAGCGGGTTCGGGTCAAGGAGCCACAGCCATTGGCGCCTCTCCCACAAGAGTCGCTCGACGATCACTACATCACCCCCGAGCGGGAGCGGCAGCTCCACAAGGCGATGCCAATGGGTTCGGCGTTCAAGACTCCCGGTCTCGTCAACTCCGCGTCATCACCAAGCTCCTCCCCCATGCCGCCCACCGTCCAGCGGACCGCGCACCACCATCCCTCCGGCCTCCAGCAAACCTGGACCGAGGAGGACGACGAGGACATGTCCCCTCCACCCGCTTTCGCCCTTGATGCGGCGTTTGAGGTCAAGCCAAAGACGAAACCCGCCCATCTCAGGTCCCTAGATGCGGAGAGCTCCCAGACATCTCTTGCCTTTGCCATGCCATCGGTCCCTTCCCCTCGTCAGCCACCAAAGACACCCCTCACTCGGTCGTCGGCCGCGGGCGACCGCGTCCAAATGGCACATCGTACGCCTAGCATCGGCAAGACACCCATCCTCTCCCCCGACAATATCGGCGACATCCCCTCTACACCCATGTGGGAGATCCAGGGGATCTTGTCGCGTTTGACTGGCCTCAAGGCGGCTAGTCAGGCGGAGGGAGTCGCGGCGCCGTACATCTCCACACCTACGTCCTTTGCGGGCCTCAGTCTGCCCCTCGGTCTCCGGAGTCCCATCACCAGCACCGACCCCGGGCGGAACCTGTCGACCCTGTACGGAAGCATGGTCCCTCCATCACCCTCCAAGCTGTCATACTCGGCCATGGCGAGCGGACTGACCGTTGCGGACCTGCAGGGCACGTCGCCCGATTCGACCCCTCCATCCCCCTTCTTCCCCTTGCCGTCCCCCTCGATGATGGAGCAGCCGGCACCGGAAGTCGACAGTGGGGATGTCGTGGCGACGTACGACATCATTGAAAAGGCTCTAACGGGTCGAGAGTTGGGGATGCGGTTCGATAGGGAGGGCGGGTATTGATTAGAGAGAAAGAGAGAAGGGAGAAGAGGAAAGAGAGAGGGAGACAGATTTTGTATACTGGCTCTTGTATAGCCCCTAACATATTACTCCCATCATAAGATCCCCCCGCATCACGTATACCGTTGCTTGTCTTGTAGCCCCTACTTTAGCTTTTGGATCTCGTCGCTTGCCTTGTAGATACCGTAGTCACTGGTCGATACCGAGATGAATTTGCAGATATCGTACTTGTACTCTGATCAATACATCTTCGTCGCGAGATGCTGGTCCGTCGGACTGCTTGAAGTCTTGCTTGTTCTTCTCCTGCCTCCCCTATACACTTCAAGCTTCAAGGTTCAAGCTTCAAGCTTTCAGCCCTCTGTCGACTAGAACTACTCATTCCTTATACCGGTGTTTACCGGTGACCGGTTTCTGCGGGGCACCGGGCCGGTTCTTCGCCCCTCGACGCGATTTTGATACGCGCAAAGATCGCAGTATCTGCGCTAGTCCTCGAAGCGGACCTGCTCTTATCGCCCCAAGCTAGTCTCTAATCGGGGAGGATGAGCAATCTCGATATAGGAAAGTCCGGAAGCCAGCCCGCCAGGCGCGCATCAAGCTCCCAGCCAGTTTCCGCGCTGCTGCATCATCGACATGCCAGTCCATCGCCCGGAGAGGGGTACCAGGCCTCCTCGAGCGCAGCAATGAGCTCCGCGGGAGGACAGTCATCTCGACCGATCATCTCAGAGGCCTCATCCCCGTCTCATCCGGCAATACATCCATACACCCAGCCGACTCGGCGTTCTGCCGAGTACAGCGGTAAAGGTCAGTCCAGCGCGGTATTTCTGGACGACGACGGTCCGACATCCACACGAGCTAGTGCGGTACCATACGTCAAGATCTTCCCGCTGTGCTTGTCGCGCGTGGCGGAGGGTATGATCTTTGCGGTGATTTTGCCGTATATCAACGAGATGATCAGGGGGTTCGGGGTGGAAGAGAAGAAAGTCGGAGTGTATAGCGCGATGGCGGTATGTGCCCTTCCATCCAGGTGCAGAAGCAAGGCTGACAGGATAGGAATCGGCACTGATGATCTCCGAAGCGATCTCTGCTCCGCTTTTTGCGCCACTAGCGGACTCGTATGGCCGGAGACCGGTGTTCCTGATTTGCGTCTTCCTATGGGGAGCAGGGGCGGTGTCTTTTGGGTTTGTGGGGAGCGTGATGGCTGCGGTCGTATGTCGAGGCTTTTGTGAGTCCCGCATTCCGTTGCTGACTTTGTATGAGGGAGATAGCTGATGAGGTCAGTGGGATTGTTGGCTGGAGCGGGGGTACTCTCGAGGACGATGGTGGGCGAGCTGTGCGACAAGTCAAATAGGATACAAGGTGAGAACAAGAGCTCATTGGCATCTCAGATGGATCGTCCAGCCGGCTGAGGTCTGCAGGCTTCGCTATCTTTTCGCCGTCATTGACTGTTGGCGTGACTTTGGGGTACGTATACGTCTTCTGGCTGGACACTCCGGCTAGGCCAAGCTGACCATTCAGCCCAGTGATTGGCGGCTTCCTTTCCAACCCGGTACCTCGATTCCTCCCGCCATCCTTCACGCTCCTAACTTCATACCCATATCTTCTACCCTCTTTGGTTGCGGGAACGACCGGGTTTGCAGCCTGGGCGACTAGCTACATTTATCTACCCGAAGTAAGTCCCTGTTGACTCGTTGACTGGTTTCGGACAAAGAAGGATGATGCTTATGACTCTAGACTCTCCCACCATCCCTGCGGCGCTCAGAGAGGGATCTGGAAAAGACATCAAAGCCAGGTGTCGGTCAACTCCTGCGGCATCGGCCCTTTCAGAACGTCTTAATCCTATATGGCTGTGAGTCGCCATCCCTATCGTCGCCGGCGAGAGCTGACCTCCAGTGACGAATGCGGTTCAGTTTACTTTCGAGGCTATCTACCCATTATTCGCATTCACACGGAAAGATCTCGGTGGATTGGAACTACCCGTGAGCATTCCGAGAAGCGTATCGACATGGGCTGATGACCTAGACGGATACTATCGGGGTCGTTCTCGGCTTCTCCGCTGCTCTGTCTATCTTCATGACCATCTCGCTCTTCCCCGTACTGCATCGCGCTATACCCGAGGACATCTACCTAGTACTTTGTAAGCCATTTCCAGACGTGTGCTCTCACTGGCCCGAGCTGATACCTCCCAGGCCTGCTATGCTACCCGCTTGCTACCATATTCTTCCCCCTCATCTGGGCGTCGCACAATTCAGCTGCTCCTCATGCGGGTCTGGGGTGGGGCACGATCGGGCTCATGAGCATGCAGATGCTCATACGGCGCGTCGGGGACTTCTCATGCACGTAAGCTGCCCATTGCGACCGAAAGTGGCCGGATGAATCGCATTACCAGCTGACCCAAAGACTGCTGGACACCATCATCTTCGAGACTATCCCCTCGCCGAGTCTGCTGGTAGTCGCCAACTCCTTGACCTTCAGCATCGGGGTGAGCTTTCAAGCCGTCTACTTCCTCGGCAGCGCTGATGCAGGCAGGCAATAGGACGCGCTATCGGTCCCTTCATCATCTCCTACTTCTTCTCCATCTCGACCCATTTCGCTTCAGACCACCCAGCAAGACAAGCCGTATGGGTCATCTTTGCCCTGCTTGGCCTGCCAGGGGCATGGCTGGCTTGGAACATGCGGAACGGGACGGGCGGTTCTGGATCTGGGTCTGCAGGAAAAGGGTATGGGGAAGAAGAGGAAAGGGTGGAGTTGATGGCTCGAGATAGGGTTGCCGAGGAGGTCAGGATATGAGTTAGCATGAAGGTGATCACACTGTACTGATTCGATGACTCAAGCGCGCTCAGCGATACAAGCTACATCATAATCCGAGTTGTGTCACTAATGTCTTAATAGTGCTCTCCAATAGTATTGATAGCGGAAAATACCAGCCTGGTATACTAATACCAGCGCCTCTGGTATGGTATAGTACTTCTACCACGTGCCAGGGCTAGTATCAGTACGGTATTTGGTATCGGCCTCGCCAATTCCAGTGGTAGCGGGTATTACCAGGTATCAGGGCTGGTATACCAAAATTACCACACCTTTTCCCGCCGCTCGTCCTTCCGCGGTGAGCTGCCTTCTCTGTGGCGGCGCGGGTAGGGTGACTGTGTATCTCAGTCTCAGCTCTCAGGTAGCCCTTGAGTACCTTGGGGTCTGCACTTGCGCTACTCCTGGAGCTATGACATCCGACGGGCACCACTTTGTCCGAAGTCCCTGGCGTCTTGAGAAGTAGAAAGACGGAGAGGGCGAAGAAGGAGAACAGCAGTCACAGGGGTCAATTGTTTCTCACGTAGACGGCCTGACTTGAACGGGGATATGCATCATTACCGATTGAATCATTCTTGTCTGTCAGAGCGATTCCCCGCTAAGCAAGGATGATGGACACTCCCCTTCGACTCGTTGCGTATGACGATGAAGTCATTCTGAAGCTGGACGCAGCCGAATTCTGCGCATCTCCGCTGACAACCCTCCAATCAGTGTAGACGTAAATGCGTTATGCCTAATGGATCGCACCAACCTGCCAACCGAGCCGTCAATTGCTCGGGAAGCTGAAGAGATGAGGACCGTGCATGGAGTCTCGCAAGGACCGCTGGCAAGGCTAGAAATCAGTACGAGATGACAACGGGCGCTCAGCATTCCAGAGGTAAAATTTGGTGCGGGATAGTGTCACTAGATAGGCTGGAAGCAAGGGGACCCGTGAACTCAGGATCCGAGGGGATGATCTGTAAGCGCGGGGATCAGTCTCGCGGCAGTCAGATAGTCCCTTGTATGACTGTTCTTCGCGCTTGTACGCAATTGAGTCAGTGACGCTGGGTATCAGCGAGCGACAAGGAGCATATTCCTGGCGTCCAGAAGATAGAGATGAAGCGCTTGTATGAGTTCTTGTACTGCATGCTGCCATCTCGGCAAAACTTCTCTTCTATCCGACCACACGATGCAGTTTTTGGATCTCTACGAGTTGTCAGCTGGATCCTGTATTACACAACTTCGAAGCTCACCGGTCAAAAGGACATCCCCCTGTTTCACCAGCGTCTCGTACACCCCCGTCTTGCCCACCTTCTCCAACCTATTCGTCACAATCACACCCTGGACCTTATCGATCCTGCACTGCAGTCTCCCGCTCGCGATAAACTTGCTCAAATCCCGATCCATAAACGCCTCGCTCACGCCGAAAGACCGGCACATCCGCTCGATCGTGAGGGAGCGATACGACTCTAGGATCTGGGCATATGCCTTGATTCGCATTTCACGGACGTAGAAGCGTGCGTGCGGGGCGAGGAGGGGAGAAGGGAGGAGGTATTGCTGTTCGACGTCCGCGAGGGCCGAGAAGAAGTCGGCGTACGCGGACTTTTGGAGGGAGGTGGTCAGGAGGGAAAGCGCGGGGAGTTGGGGGAGAATCGAGTTGACTTCGGAGCTGCCGAGGATCTGCCAGTCAGCAAGAGCTCGTAGACACCAGGAGAGCAAGACGTACTTTGGCTTTGATGGCCTTCCGGTCGCATCCCACCGCAGCCGCCAAAACCGCCACCGCCACAAACTCCTCGTACTCCATCAATTCTGAAGCGGTGAAGGTGCTAAGCGAGTCGATGAGCAATTCCGACGCCTCCTTGAAATCGCGGATGGAGAGGTGGTGGAGAGCGCGGTACACCTTGAGCCGATTCCGACGGTCCCAGTCTCCACCAGTGTCGATCAGGCTATATAGTCAGCTTGGCGCTAAAGAGGGTACGCTAGCTGATCAACCCACTCTAATGCCTTGGCAATATTGGCGGTGATGAGCGAGTTGTCCTGGAAGAACAGCCCGATGCGGACTTTGGCGAGGACAAGGTCTATCCGCGCACCGAGACCGGCCGTCTTCTCCAGGGCGACATCGAGGGCGGGAATCGCGCGTTCCTGCTCAGATCAGCTTGATTTCTAGTCGCCGAAATGACGGCCCATCCAGCTGTGATATACCTTATCGCCTATTCTGCAGAGGTACATTGCCCGTTGTCTGTACTGCTCCGACACATCACTCTCCGCCAGGTTCTCCTCGGCATCCTTCAACTTGGTATCTATCTCGGCGAGGAACTTCTCATTCTTCTCCTTGAGAGAGCTGACGAGGGTGGACCGGTCCGACGAGACCAGCTCGGAGGGAAGGTAGGAGACATAGGGTGCCATTTCTGCCGCAGTGTCAGCTTTGGGACTTTCCAGCTACGGTGCATGTCAATCCGAGAGCTCACCATCAGCTTCGATAGCTTTCCAGAGGGAGGAGCTGGCCTCTTCTGCCAGTCGAGGGATCTGCTGTATCTGGTACGACCATTGCGGCACTTTGAGGTTGGGGTAGGGGAGTGGTACGCTGTCGTCTGCCATGGTGTATAGTAGTCGCTGTAGTGGTAAGGGTATAGAAGGAATGTATGGTGGAGAGTGGAGAGACAGTGACGCGAGCGACTGATTGATTGATTGATTGATTAGGAAATGGTTCATTAGGATTCCATTACAAAATAGGTCTGCTTCCGCTAATGATATTCCGGTGTTAACGTTTAATTGACCTCAGGGTCGACTGTTTTGCCTTGTCTCTTCTCCTCCCTTTGTATTCCCCGCCTTTACATCTAATATACCACTACAGCAGCGCACTACAGCGCTGTCACAGTAGCCACAGCGGAGCTTGGGCTAGACAGCCCTGTGAAAAACAGCTCAATCGAACCGTTTGATCCATCGAGAAGAGGTCAAAAGCGGTACCGCAAACTCCCGCCGAGACGCGCTCATCCGATCCCTCCCGTCCGGCTCAACGTCCACTCGCAGAGAATCTCCACCCACCTCCTCGGTATCGTCTGATACCCTCTCCGAATCTTCACCATGTCGTCCCCATTCCAATTTGGAGACTTCAACTTTATATGCGAGCGGGCGGCATTGACGGTATGCCCGCTGCTCGGCACGGCGCAGGGGGTGATGCCGACTTGTTATGCTAGGAATGTGCAGCTGGGGAGTCAGGTCTGGTTCCAGCCAGGTGAGTCTGCGTACTGAGCCTGTGGGAACAAACCGGTATGGAGGGGAATGTAGGGGGAAGAACAAGGGCAATCTAAACCAAGTGGCGGAACTGCTGCGGAGCGGTGCATGCAGGGGCAAGAAAGGGGCACAGACATTGGAGTTGAGTTGCTCTACCGGAGTGCGGAAAGTGGAGAACCGCTGCAGCGGACCACACGCAGGAGAGGGGAAGACAGCGTGGACAATCGGACGGGGCCAAAAACAAGGCGGACTTGTACAACGACATCCCCGCTGCGCCCTCCATCCTGATCGGTCCCAGAGTTGCTAAAGAACACTCCCCTATCCAAGTAGTAGCGCTGACGCCTCAGCTACCTGCTTCGTCCACATCGCCGCCCTCGGAATGACCGCCATCATGCTCTTCCACGTCCGATCGAAATACACCGCGGTCGGACGGAAAGAGATCGTCATGTTCTTCTACATCTACATGTTCATCAGTTTGCTCGCGTTCTTCCTGGACTCGACAGTCATCCCAACTTCGCACGAAGTTTACCAGGTGAGCTACTTGCCGCGTTCCAATTGCTGGACGGAAGGGAAAGCTGACGGTCGCAGTGGTTCACTGCTGTATATGCCGGAGCACTAGGCGCACTGTACTGGTGTATCGTCATGAACGGCCTCGTCGGATTCCAAGCATGGGAAGATGGAACGCCAAGATCTCTTTGGGTAAGCAATTCCATCGATTTGAAGATCCCACGTGCTGACTTCTAGCTCCTCCGCCTATCCTGCCTGATCGTGTGGGGCGTCACCTTCTTCGTCGCCATCGCGACCTTCAAACAATGGGCCTCATTCAGCTACACCCGCCCTATCGGACTCTTCATCACCTACCTCCTCTTCCCCGCCATCTGCGTCGTCGTTTATACCGTCTCGCAGCTCGTCCTCGTCATTCGCACACTGGACGACCGGTGGGTCATCGGAGACATCATCTTCGGGATCGCCTTCTACGTGGTTGGCTGCGTGCTGCTTTTCGCATTCTCGACGCGGATCTGTGATGCCGTTAGTCACTATATCGACGGGGTGTTCTTCTTTAGCTTGTGCATGCTGTTGACGGTTATGATGGTGTACAAGGTGAGTACGATTGTCAAACGGTATGAAGAGGGCTGATGAGTAGTACTGGGACTCGATCACCAAGGAGGACCTGGAGTTCTCGGTCGGATCCAAGCAGGCAGTATGGGAAGTCAAGGAGCCTCTGGTACAGGTAAGCTCGATCGTGCCCAGGGGTGGATCATCAAGCTGACCAGTCTAGGGAAACCAAGAGTACTTCGAAGATGACACAACATCAGCATACCACGGCGCAGGAGGCAGCTTGGCCGGCGGGTACGGCGCCAACTACTATGCCAACTACCCACAAGGTCAGGGACCGGCGGGCGGTCAGGGCGGATACGGCCAGCAGCAGCAACAGCAGCAGCAGTATGGTGGTCAGAGCGGGTATGGCCAGGGTGGAGCGAGCGGGGGATACGGGCAGGGCGGGTATGGGGGTGGGCACTATTGATGAGTAGCGCACTGGGAATGTGATGCGGCTGGATCTTTGTGGGAAGGGAGAGTCGGTCTGGTGTAGCTTCGAGTTTCCGCTTTGTTTTTACGTAGATATGATGTGGACAATTCACGACCTACCTATATTCGTGCCTGATCTGCTGTTTCATGGATCCATAGGTCGTCGGGACATGCAGCAAGATCGGCAGAGGTGGCTGGCGGGCACGGTTTCAGGCACGGCTTTGAAACACAGCCACCAAATGGCGGGCTAGCCCAAATATAAACCCGCCAATTCTGTCAATCACCTTTCTACATCACACTTCGACCTTCTCAGTCCAGCATGTCCACCTCATCGCGCTCCTCCTCGTCTACTCTGGCAGACTCGACCGACCGACCCCCTAAGGTCCGCCCTGATCCGGTTACGAAGCCCGCGCCCAACCCGGCAATACAAGACCCATTCGCCTCTCTCCCTGCTGCGTTCGATGCGGAGCGGTTCCAGCCTCCTGCGTGGGCCAGGGAGATGGGTCACATGGGACTTGATAGTCCGGGCAGGGAGGATAGACTGGTAGAGAGTTCCAACTCTGGCCGGGAGCGCAAGGAGGCGGGGACGGGGGGAAGAGGAGGGAATGACGAGGGAGAAGGGGATGACGTGGAAACGGAGAGCCTGGGATTGAGCGAGCAGGATGAAGTCTGGGAAGACGCCCAGGAGGAGCTGGAAGGGATGATAGATGAGTCCACTGGAGAGTTTACGCTCGCCGAGCTCAGAGTAAGCTCGATTTGGACCGAATTGGGAAAACGGTACAGGTAGCTGACTATACTAGCGGCTGTTTGAGAAGGCAACAACTCTCAAGACCGAGGGAAACGCCCATTTCACCGCGAAGCCCAGCAGGCACGATCGGGCCGTGGAGGCGTATCAGAATGCTCTGGGGTGTTTGCCGAAGCGCGATCCCAAGCCGGATGTCGTCAAGGAGGATGGACCATCTCAGACGGAGACGGCGGAGGCATCGTCCTCGAAATCAGCCACTACGGCACCACCTGCTCCCCCTCTCGGTTCATCAGGGATACAAGAGCTCTCCGAGGCCGAGGCCGCCGCTCTCGAGGCGGAGCTGAAGCGTACCACCGCAGCTGAAGCAGGGGAGGATGCGGAAGAAGGGGAGAAGAAAGCAAAGACGGAAGAAGAGGAGAAGGATGAGGTGTATGAGGAAATACGGCAGTTGAGGAAGGTGTGTTATGGGAATCTGGCGGCTGTCTACCTGGCGCAGGAAGGGAAGGAGAACGAGTGCGTGGAGGTGTGCACGGAGGGTGAGTCCGGGTTCCTCTTCAAGTGATATTAGTGGGATGAGGCGTGCTGATAGGTCGTAGCGCTCAAGATTGACCCGATGTATCTCAAAGGCCTCCAGCGGCGCGCTACGGCCAATGAACGCCTAGGAACCTGGTCCTCCCTTACTTCAGCACAAGAAGGTACGTCTATACTTCCCTTCCTGAAACCTACCTTCAGTCTCGGATACGTCTTGGCACAGAAACACCCGCTGACGCGGTATAGACTACACCACCCTCCTCCCCCTCCTCCCTATCTCCTCCCGCCCCGCTCTCCGACGCACCCTCTCGACCCTCCCCGCCCGGATCAAACAACGCCAAGATACCGAAAAGGACGAGATGCTGTCCAAGCTCAAGGATCTGGGGAACGGCTTGTTGGGCAAGTTTGGGCTGTCGACGGATATGTTCAAGTTTGATCCGCAGGAGGGAGGGGGGTATAGTATGCGATTTGAGCGGTAAGCGCTGAGAGTGGGATAGGCCCGGGCGGACCGCTGTACTATCTCGTGCGGTCTGAGAGCTGGGTGCGTATGTATGCTGGTATGAAGCAGAATGGCCTGGTGAAGAGCATGATTTGACATCTCCACCCGATTCCTACTCTACAATCTACAATCTATCGTCTATCCCCACCATATACCCACGCGCCCAGCCCATACCGCACCCAGAACGCCAGCGCACTACACCCGACCTGTACACCGCCCATCACGCTACAAAGCGTATCCTCGCGCATCGGCCCCAGACGCACCAGCAAGAAATTGAGGATAGTGAGGTTTGTCGAGGAGACAATATCGCCTTTTTGCGCTGTCCACGCTCGTTCGACCGAGCCTTCGGACGTCGACGGGGAGGGAGACTCGGCGGCCCGTTCTAGTCGAACTAGACCTAGTATCTCCAGGACGGACAGGACGAGGCGAGTGTGCGCCGCCGGGCGCTTGGCGAAGATGACCCGGGAAGGATGAAGCAGATTCGTGCCGGTCTCATAGCTACGATCAGCTCCGTCTTCGAGTGAGAAGGAGAAAGGACTTACTGAGGCAGTCGATGTCTTGGGCATTCGACCAGGTGGAATAGCTGTGGGCAGGACAGTATAAAGTTGAAGATCTGAGGCACAAAGAAGAGGATGAGCGTCTTGCTAAAGTGTCCCTGGAGGGCGACGGCGGAGAATGCCATTCCGGTGAAATAGCAGAAGGTGTCCCCTGGGAATGCTTTCGCGGGGTACCTGTTCGTGTCAGCTCGAACCTATACCTTCCTTTTATGAACGAGTGAAGAGGAGATTGAGGGCGAAGCTCACCAGTTATGCCACAAAAACCCCGCACAGACACCCACCATCGGCCCCATAAAGTACGCACTCATCAGATGCCGCTGGACCATCTCTCCGCCCGCGAACGCCAGGATCTTGCCAGCATCAGGATCGCCTATCCCGCCCAGAGCGACAAGGAGCCATCGTGGCCAGAGAGGGAGGAAGAGGAGGTCGTTCAGCAGTACGGAAGCGGCGATGATGAGGGCCTGGATACATTCGACGCCGTTCACACCTGCGAGGATGTTGATGCTGTTGGTGGTAAATGTCGGGAGGAGGAGGAGGTAGATGTAGTAGAGGGGACCTAGGAATCAGCTACAGAATCTGATCGTATTGGGGAGTGTAGTGACTCACCCAAGTCGATGACTTTGGATCCTACCCATCCCCCCCAGCCCAGAGTTTCAATCCACCTTCCCACTCCTTTTGGCAGGACGACGGAAGTCAGCCCTCCCTCCGAGTAGTATACCACCAGGGTAGGAATGGCCGCTATCAGCGGGATAGGCAGCTTGTGGCGCCATCGAATGTCGAAGAGGTCATCGATGAAGCCCAGGAGGGTAGCGACCATTAATGAGAGGAGGGAGGAGAGGTAGAGCGTCAGCTACGAGGTCAGCTCTCTTGTCTCGCGGATCGTGTGATGGGAAGAGGAGATCTGAACTGACTTCGCTTGTAGGGAAGCACTCTCGCCCAACTGACTTCTCGATCTGACCTTTCCGGCCCGAGTTGAACATGTGCGAGAAGGGGAAAGGGATGAAGAGCATCATGAGCAGAATGTATAGGCAAGCTATTGGCAGCCCGAGGCATTCAGGACTATCATCGTCAGCTAGAGCGCGGTACAATAGCGCCATGTCCACACAGATGATGACTCAAGCCAGTGGGTGATTATACGCACATCATAGGCCCCGACACCCTTCCTCCGGGCTTGAGCAAATCCCTCCCCTGTATCCCCTTCGCCATCAATGCCGCGCTCACAGCCGGTACAGCAACCAGAGATCCCACAAAGGTCAGGATGGAGAAGCCGAGGCATGCTTGCAGAGCTGGGAAAGCGGGTGGAGGGGGTAAGTTGAAATGTTGGAGGAGATGCGAGGGGAGGACGACGGGGAGGAGGGGTTGGGCGATCAGGGCGAGGGCGATGGACGTGAGTGTGTACAGAAGGAGGGTGGGCAGGGGGTGGCCGTAGCGCTCTGGGCGAACCGACATGACAGTCTGAGGACCAGATCAATTTAGGTGATAGACGGATGATATGAAGGAGTTTGCTGCGGGGTGGATCTGGTGGACCGCAAACGTGGAGGTTTCTCGGCAGCGGGATTGGCCCGCATCCGTTGCGGTGCTCTATAGATGCATCCATCCGGCAGATTACTCGACTAGTTTACTAGGACTACACTACTTCTTGGCTACCAAAGATCGGCCGGTCATGTCTGAAGATCTCAGCTAGGTTCTCATCTGCATAATCTTAAAGACTTACCCTCGGGTTGGGGGAGACCCATAATTTCCAGGACGGTAGGCGCGACGTCAGCGAGGGTTCCTGGCTCGCCAGTCACGGTCAGACCGCCCTTATCGCCAGTGACGATGAATGGAACAGGGTCTGCAGAGTCAGCTTCCAGCCTCGACTGATATGGAGGGCGTCAAAACTCACTGGTAGTGTGCGCCGTGTGCGGGTTGCCCGTCACGGGGTCGAGCATCTGCTCCGCATTCCCGTGGTCCGACGTGATACACAGGACATAGCCCGCCTCCTCGCACGCATCATACACCGTCTTGACAGCCTTGTCGGTCGCGCCAATCGCCACCACCGCGGCGTCATAGTCGCCGGTATGGCCGACCATGTCTGGTGGGGCAAAGTTGCACATGACAAAGTCATAGTCGTTGGTCTTGACAACCTCGGCCACCTTGTCCGCTACCGCCTGCACGCTCATCTCGGGCTGCTTGTCATACGTCGCCACCTTGGGCGAGGGGATCATGGCCCGGTCCTCCATCTCGAATTGCTTCTCGACACCGCCGTTGAAGAAGAAGGTGATGTGGGCGTACTTTTCCGTCTCGGCGATATGGCACTGGTTGGAGCCTTGCTTGGCGAGCCACTCGGCGAGGACGTTGGTCATGGATGCCGGGGGGAAGGCGATGGAGAAGGGGAATTCGGCATTGTATTTGGTCATGGTGGTGATGTGGAGGTCGGAGGGGACTTCGACTTCCATCGGCTTGTCGGGCATACCGAGAACTTGGGTGAGTTCTCGCATACGGTCCGACCGGTAGTTGAAGGTGAAAAGAGTGTCGCCCTCTGTCAAATCAGCTCGGTCCTGGAAGCTTGAGAAGGCCCTGACGTACTCTTGATCCGGCTGTCCGCGGACCCGCAGACAATGGGCTTGATGAACTCATCCGTGATCCCGTTCTCATACCCCTCCTCCACCGTCTTGACAAGATCATCCTGTCCGCACGTCTTCTCCCCCTTGCCCTGGACCAAAGCATCCACCGCAATCTTGACCCGGTCCCACCGCTTGTCCCGGTCCATCGCATAGTACCGCCCTACGACCGTCGAGATCTCTCCTACACCGACCTCCTTGATGTTGTCGAGCAATTGCTGGATGTACTTGGTCGCCGACTTGGGTGCCGTGTCGCGCCCATCTCCGAAGAAGTGGATGTAGACGTGCTCAATCTCGTGCTCCTTGGCGCACTTGAGAAGGGCGAAGAGGTGGAGGATGTAAGAGTGGACACCGCCGTCCGATACCAGACCGAGCAGGTGGAGCCGGGATCCAGCGGCCTTGGCCTGCTTCATCGTCTTGACGATGTTGGGCTGGGTGTGGAACTCGTTCTTCTTGATGCCTGAGAGTCAGCTGAGAACAAACGCCTAACGCCAAAGCTCACACTGGTCAATCTTGACAATATCCTGCCAAACGATCCGCCCAGCACCGATGTTCAAATGCCCCACCTCGGAGTTCCCCATCAAGCCCTCCTTCAACCCAACAGCAAGACCGTGCGCCTCCAGCTCGACAAAATTGTGCTTGTCCCGGATAGCATCCATGTGGGTGGTGTCACCGTGAAAGATAGCATTTCCCTTTTCGTTGAAGGAGATTCCCCAGCCGTCGTGAACGCTACAGTATCAGCTACAGTCCAAGGTCACCGGTAGGGACCGCTCACATGAGGCAGACCTTCTCTAGAGAGTTAGCTAGCTTCGAGCCTCACTTCAGGCTGACAAAGCTCACTCTTGACGTCCGCAGTCTTTTGACGCTTGGCATCGCCGCCTGGCGCGGGGGAGGTAGCTTCTCTTGTGGCCATTTTGTACTGATTATTGCCTGTGAGAGGCAGAGATAACAGAACGTTGCGGCAGTGGACGTCTGCGTCAGCATTCCCCACCCGATAATCAGATTCCGAAATCCTCGCCTATACTTCCGGCTATAACGCCGCTAATTCCCGCGTAGATTCAAAAGCTACATCGGTTTTGGGAAAAACCAACGTAGGTTTTGGATCTGCCGAGGTCACTCTTGGGCGAGGGATAGCACAGTCCGATAGTAAGCCCAAGACATGGCGATGGGTCCGTTGCATTCCGGAGAGTCTGCCCTCCAGACGGCGGCAGAAAGCGTGACTCTAAGTGGCCTGGCCGAGGAGATAAGCGCCATCCAAGACGGGCATCATTTCCGCAAGTTTCTGCACCAATTCGCGGCCAAGGCGGTCAGAGCTGTGAGCTCCAGGCCCTTCGGTGAGACTGGAAGCGGTGCCCTCGTCCAGCTATGATGTATGACATATGCGCAAGATATCCGCCCTACAATGAAGCCCTGATGAAGCCCTCCAGACCCCCGTTTACCCACAGCTCCTGTACACTCCGCCCGACCCTCGCGCTCGGGAACACCTTCTCCCCCTCATTCCCCATCCTCACCGTCACGCCTCCTCTTCTCGTATCCACCTTGACCTCCCAGTCTTTAGGGATCACCGTCAACTCTCCCTCCTTGCCGCCCTTCCCCCTCTGCCCATCCTTCCCAAATCGCTCCGTCAACTCGGTGATCAGTTCTGGCGCCTCGACGAGGATCAACCCATTGTTGATCGAGTTGCGCTTGAAGATATCACCAAACGAGCCGCAAATGACTAGCGGGATCCCGGCGTTCTTGATGGCGGTCGCCGCCTGCTCGCGGGAGGAGCCGGTACCAAAGTTGTAACCGGAAAAGAGGATAGGAGTGGAGGAGGAGTTGGCGGTCCGGATGTCCCGAATGTCCGCAGCGAAGGTGGGGTCATAGTTCTCCATGACGACCTCGGCTTGACGTTCGGGCGTGATATCGTCCTGGTATGTGTACTTGCCGGGGTACATGCCGTCCGTGGTCAGGTTGTCTTGTGGTGCAAAGACGAGGGGACCAGAGAAGTAGTCGGGGAAACCAGGGAGAAGGGGTTCGAGGGATGCCTCGTCGACTGGCGAGGCGGGAGGTGTAGGTTCGCTGATGATGGAGATGGTTGGCCGGTCCACCTGAGGTAGGGCGGACATGTCCATATCGTCCGGCCCGCAGATGATTCCCCGAGCCGCAGAAGCAGCAACGACGGCGGGACTGGCGAGGTATGCCACCGCTCCGGGATCGCCCATCCGGCCCTTGTAGTTCCGATTCGTCGCGCTGATCCCAACCTCTCCCTTCTCCAGCAGTCCCACGCCGAGTCCAATGCACGGCCCACAGCCCGCTGGCAGCGTCTTGGCTCCGGCATCCACCAGCGCCTGCCAGTCTCCCGCCGACTCGGCATCCTCCTGCACCCTACTGGACGCCGCAGCAATGTAGAACTCCACGCCCGGTGCCACCTTCTTTCCCCGCAACACCGCCGCCGCCGAGGCGATATCCGATGCGCGCGAGTTGGTACACGAGACGAGGTACGCCTTGTTGATTTTGATAGGGGGGTTCATGAGTTTCGTCAAGGGGGTGGCGATCTTGACCGAGTTGGGTCCGGATACGTAGGGAGCGAGGGTAGAGAGGTCGAGTGTGAGGCGGCTTGCATAGACCGCTCCGGGGTCCGCTGTTGGGCGATTTGCCAGGGCCTCGTCTAGCCGAGAAGAGTTGAGCCGGGGATGTGGTGGGCTTGGTTCGGATGGGTCGGAGGGGATGGGGATAGGAGAAAGGGAAGAGTCGGATGGGGAGGAGAGGAACCGCCGGAGCTCATTCTTCCGTATCATCGCCTCGTACCATCCCCTCAGCTTATCATCCACCGGGAACACACCCGCCACCGCGCCCCACTCGGTCGTCATGTTGGCAATGGTCAGCCGCTCGTCTATTGAGATGTGCTCAATTCCGGAGCCGGTGAACTCGATAGCGGCGTTCAGAACCTCGTCCTTGTTGAACAGACCAGCGAGGGCGACGATGACATCCTTGCCAGTGACGCCGGGCGAGAGCCGCCCGTCGAGGTTGACCGAGATGACACGGGGGATCTGCCACCAGAACTTTCCGGTCGCCCAGATCCCACTGCCCCATCAGCTCATCTCCACCCTGTCTGTCTGGACACTCACGCAGCGTCTGTCCTGACGATAGCAGTCCCCAAGCACCCCACTCCTCCGTAGTGGTTACTGTGACTATCACTTGCAACCACCATCTTCCCCGGCCACGCATATCCCTCCTCCACCACAATTTGATGTCCAATCCCTCTTCCGGCAGGGTAAAAGTCCACCTTGTGCTCCTTCGCAAACGCCTCGATCTTCTTGTACTTCTTCATGTTGGTCTCCGACTTGTTCTGGACGTCATGGTCGAGCGCAAAAACGGGTTGACGGGGATTACGGATAGCCGAGCAGGACAGGGAGAGGAACTTGGAGATGACAGGTCCTGTATTGTCGTGGGTCATTCTACCTAGTCAGCTTCTGCTTCTTTCGCTGTAGTTCCCTGTCATGATGCATAGCGGATGCCGACGTACACATGCTCAGGCTGGATCATGACATAGTCCCCACTCCGGACTTTTTGCCCAGCAGGCAGGTCCACCGCGTACTTTTGTACAATCTTCTCGATGAGCGTCTGCGGATTCGAGACTGTCGCGTATCCGCGAGCCCAGCGGGAGGGGCCAGCGAGCCGGATAGAGCGCAGCATACTGGTCATGACTGCTGGATATGGGTTGATGGTCAACAGATGGAATTTCAGTTGGCAGACCAGCGAGTCAAGGTGGGTCCGAAAATCGCCGGATAGAGCCGACCGTTCAATCAGAGCCTGCACATAACAGTCAGCTATAGAGGTAGTGTCGAGGAGCTGTCCGACAATAGACAGGGACGCTAAGCCGACTGAGATAGGTCACCGTAGGAGCCACGAGCGTTTAACATCCATACGAAGGGATCAATGAACCTGGAAAGTAGTAAGAAGGACTGGAGGACCGCCTCTCTCTTCCCCCACCCAAGGCTCGACCCCTTTCACACCTCCTCCAGCTGATCAATCTCCTTGATCCGCTGGGCGAGCTTACTCCGCTCCAACACGAGCTTCATCACTTTGTCACTCTCCCTTCTGATATTTGCGACTCTCCTCGACGACTCGCGATAGGCCGTTTCCGCTACCTCCGCCTCGCGCTTTTTCTTCTGCCAGCACTCATAGAGAGTCTGCTCAGATGCTGCCTCATCTAGCTGGTCCTCATTGAGCTGAGCAACCTTCGCGTCCAGGGGAGTGAGCCCGGGCGACACTGGCCCAGCGGCGGATGCCTGGACGGGAGGAGGACGCGCGAGATTCGACCTTGATGACGGGCCCGGTTGGGATTGAGATGGTGAATCGTTGACTTTCCGTTTCTTGCGAGAGCCTGGTAGCTCAGCATGGAGTAGCACCTGCAAATATTGATTGGCTCACCCTCCGCCTGGCTCGGCTCCTGCTCGGCCTCACTATTTCGCAATCTGGACAGGAGCGATATGGGACGAGCGACAGGGTCTTCCCGCTTCCTCGCCAAAGACAACGTGTACGGGGATTGGCCCCCGGGTACTGCATATGATGCCCGAGTGATCCTTGCGCCTTGCGCAGGGGTCGGCCGCGTCGAGGCCACAGCGGCAGAGGGACCTATCCGGGAAAAGAGCGAAGGGTTTCGTGCCGAGGAGTAAGAACGGAGCCCGCTCGTCGGTGGTGAATCTTTCGCTTTCGGTCCTCCTGGCTAGTCAGTCTCCGACTTGTGTGACTCTAAGTGCACGCGGACGCAGCTGCCAGCAGGCTTACCGTCGCAGCCCATTCCCTGCGCCTGAGACATCTCGAGGTATTGCTCCATGCTTTGGAATTGACGGAGATGAGTGACAAAACGAAGGACAGAGATACCAAGTTGAGGCCTCAACGTTGAGGCCGGTACCGATTGTCTCGCGCTCGGGGATGGGTACGTGGCTAAGACTAAGCGCACGAGCCCGACCACGTTCATCTTTGTGGCACAGCCGCTGTGGGCTTGCGCTAAGCTCGGTAATGAGCAGGCGAATGCGGCAGATCCGGAGCTCACAGCTTTGGCGCAGTGATCATTGGGGGATGCAATACAGCTATACATGCGAGCGCGATTGACGTCTCCAAGAGATGAGAATCCGCCATCCCTCGAGCTCGAGGCCACGCCGCCGAGCCTGACTCAGACCCCAGGGGTCAAGTCCTATCTGCCCTGCTCCTGCTCATATATCTCCTTGATACGCCGCGCCAGCCCATCCCGCTCCTCCGCAAGCCTCTGCACCCTCACCCACTCCTCCTGGAGCTGTATGATCCAAGCCTTCGACCCGGCGCGCTTCTTGGCCGCAGCGTCGGCCTCAGCAATCGCTCTGTCTCGCTTCTCACACGCCCGTTCGTGCTGCGCCGCAAGGACTGATTGGACTTCTGTCTCCGACCGGATAGACCTCTCGAGGTTGGCGAGTTTGATGTCGAATGGGTCTAACGCAGAGCCAGGAACAGGGATATGCGGTGGGATCAGAGGGGGTGTCCGAGGACGAAGCCGGTCTTCCGCGACGGAGCGATCTGGCGACTCGTCTCCCCGTGGCCTCTTCATGGGCGTTACAGGCCCTGCTCCATCAGCACGCATACCGAGGAGCTGATCTGGAGGACTGTGACTCACTTGGGGTATAACTTGTCGTCACATTGCTGAGATGGCTTTCTTCCTGCCGACTTCCCTGGGTATCTCGCCCAGAATACCTACCCTCTTCTTGCATATAACAGGGCACAGAAGAGGGTCGAGACAGCGCTTCCTCTACCTCCGACGCATCGTCGGAGACTACGACCTCCTGTACAGCCTCCGCTCCCACCTGTTCCGCCGCCGGGACCAGCTCCGGCTCGCCGGACTGAGGTGCGTCCGTCGCGACCATTGTCGCTGCGACGGCCTCTGCTTGGTCCGGACACTCCTGGATCAAGTGACCCTTGATCCCGCACTTGTAGCATTTCTTGAGGCCCGTCCTATTCTTCTTTTTGCGGGGTGGCTGTGATGGTCCTGCCGCGGCGAGAGCGAGCCAGGCTTGAGGTCCGAGAGGCGGCTGGATGCTGAAGCTAAGCCTGACATTGGATGCGGTGATGATCAAGGTAGTTCAAGTACAATTCAGTGAAAAAGTGAACGCAAAATCTTCAATTACGCAAAATGAAATGTGCCAGGATACTGCAGCCCGCCGCCCATACGACCGTGGATAATGATGTTTGCAGTTTTACTCGGCTCCTAGTGAGCGCGTACCGACATTGGCGGGCATAAGCCGCCAGCCAAAGGTCTGGCGAACCGGAAGCTAGATACAGGCTACTTCTAAAAGGCACAAAATGAAAAAGGCACAGACCCCTTCCCCACTTCCCCACCCCTTGCCCTGCACCCAGCGCCTAGATTATCTCATGCCTTCTTCACCACCTCATCGATCGCCTTCATGCGCAGCACCAGATTCTCCCTCTCCGCCTTCAATCGTTCCAGCTTAACCTTGGCATCCAGAGCACCCTGAGCGGTCTCATGGCGGCGGGCACGCGTATCCCGAGCGGCCTTGAGTCGTCTTTGGGCAGTTTCAAGGGTGGCTTGTGCCGCAGCAACGACACGTTCCGCCGACTTGACGTCTTCGTGAGACGCCAGGAAGCGATCGTCGTGGGCCGCGACGTTGATGCTCGCCAAGCGGATCTTTCCTTCGAGATCCGCCGTCGCCTGTTCGGCACTGCTTGGACGAGGAGAGTCGCGCCCGAAGAAGTCCAGGGGGTCGCATTCGGCTGGCTGCCGAGGTTCATGGGCGCCGATAGTGTGCCTTTTGATTTCTGCTCAGTCAGCACCATCTGGGTGTGGTGTATGCATAAGGAAGCAGCGTGACTCACTCTTTGCTTGCCTGGCCTCCCCTTCTGCATCCTCTTCCGCCGCATCTGACATCCGCCGTCGGATCCGCGCTAGCCTGTCCGAACGCTTAGGTGTATCCTTCAGAGCAGTCACAGGCAACCCGCTAGCTTCGTATTGACTCTCCATGTCAAGACTAATTGAGATGTTCTGGAAGCGCCGTAACTTATATGCACAATTAGAGATAAGAGGCAATGACAAGATGTAACTGTCGCATCCGGCCGAGGTCAAAGCTGAACTTCGGGGCCGAATTGTCGGACGCGACGACGCGTTGCGGATGCGATGGAGCTGATCGCTAGTCGAATAGATCCAATATACTGTCTGGCATGAGAGAGCTACCAGCGTCTGATCCTGCAGTGCCCATCGACAGATACAATATATACAAATTGCCCACACAAGCTATCTCTCTCCTGCTGAGTTCTGCGCGTGACCATGAAGCCTCAGCCCACCAATCAATAGAGACCCTACTGCTCCCGCCTGTGCGCCAAAGCCGCCTCATCAATCTCCTTCATCCGCTTCTCCAGCCCCATCCTCTCCCTCTTCATCGCGACGACATACTCCTTCTCCCGCTTGGCTGACGCCAACGCCCTGACAGCCGCCTTGCGTGCTTTGCGCATCTCGACCACATGCGCCTCCGCCGCTTGTACAGCCTTGTGTGCATTCAGCAGCTGCTGACTGGCCTTCTCCTCTGCCTCCTGGGCCATACCGTAGCTCTGCAGCCGTTCCGCCTCGACTTGGGCTAGATCGTGGATCTGCGCGTCGAGCGCGGCGTAGGCAGCGTGTGCGGATGCAGAGGATTCGCCGGATATGGATGGAGCGGCGCCGATGAGTGACTTATCGTCTACGCCCTCGTCGTGTTCGAGCTTCACGCCTGCGCCGTCAGCGATTATGCAGTGAAAGGCACGACAGGACCTGCGAAATGCTTACGTTTGGGACTGGAACCTTCGGCATCCGCGTCCGACCCGTCCGACCTTGCACGCCCCTTCTCCGCGATGCTCCGACCGGACATGACGATAGAGAAGCAGGTAGGCTATATTGTGGTGCCCAGCAAAAGCCGTAGTTCAGGGATAAGGGGCGATATGTTCAACGCTGACTTCCATGGCGCGGGCGCGGGATCCTGTGATTTCAAGCGTGCCTGACAATAATTTTAGCTCCGCATTCCTCGCCAATAATTTGTCAATTCCGGACCAGACGCGACAAGAGCTGAGCTATGCAGTAAAGACAGCTATGGATGTGCCGCAGCCTGCCTATGATACATGGCCTAATGGATGACGTTATGTAATAGCTACGTAGATCGTACATACACCACCTGCTACTGCGCCGCGCCCTCCTCCTTTACTTCCCCCTCAATCTCCCGCATCCGCTTCGCCAAGCTCTCCCACTCTTCCTTCATCGTCTTATACTTGAAAACGTCTCTCCTGGCCGCCGCCATGATCCTATGCGACTCCTGCACCTCATCCGCCAGCTTCTTCTGCTGCTCCAAGAGCTGCTCGTAAAATTGCTTGGCATTCCCCACTTCATCCTCCATATCGTTCGCTGCCATAATTCGCAGATTCCACTCCCTTTGGCGCTCGTTGGCTATTGCTTCGAATTTCGCGATCTTGGCATCGAGTGCGTCCACAGTTACCTGTGAGGACGGCATGAGGGCGACTGCTTGGGCGGACGAGGATAGGGCGGGCTCGGGCTGGGCGGTTGGTGGGGTCTGGGGCAGGGGATCGGAATGGCCAGGTGTGATGGGGAAAGTGGAGGGTATTTGAAGGGGAGTGGTGTTGCTGTCGGTAAAAGAGGAGGTAGGCTCGGTCCTTGCACCTGCCCTATCAGTGCCCATCGAGCAGATCAGGCAGGATGCGGAAGAGAAAGGAGTGAAACGTACGCTTCGTTTCCCTCTCGTCAGCCACTTCTTTCTCTGCCTCCAGAGTCCGCCCTCGTGTCTGCTGCTGGCAGAACTCCTTCATCATTTGCGAGAAAGGCGGCTCTTCCTCTTCCTCTTCCTCCTCGTCCTCGTCGAGCTCGTCGGGTTCTGGCAAGGCTGATGATACTGTCGATGGGCTGCTCAACATATTTTGTATTTTGGATGGATATGTACGAAAGATGGAAGGTTAGAATTCAGATTCCGGAAATTCAGCGTTTCACTTTCAAAGTGAGGCTCTCTCCAACTCCTCATATGATATAGTAAGAAGAACCTGCATCACTTCGTAGGCTGAGTTCGCCGCGACACAAGCATTGAATCTACTCTCATCCAAATACAACCTCTACCGGACCTGACAGATCAAGACGCAACCTAAGCCTCGCTACGCCTCCTTGCTTGCTCGCAATACCTCTGCTGCCATCTCCTTCCGCTGGCGCTCTAATGCCTCCCACTCCGTCTTGCGTTCCCTCCACTCAGTTGTCTCGTCTCTGGCCAACTGAGCTTCGACGGAGACTGAGTGCCGCTCGTCGTTGACCTCCTTGACCGCTCGAATCGCCATGCCCAGCTGCTCTCGTGCGGCAGCGCGCGCGGCTTCAGCTCTCACGAGCTTGTCGTTGAGTCCGCCAATCTCGGCGATGAAAGCCAGGTCCTTGTCCATGCCCCCTCGGATATTTTCATCGATCAGAGTCGCCGTCGTGCGTATAGGTGCCGCTTCCGGCAGGCGCTTAGATGAGGTCGCAGCGGCTTTTGGTCTGGAGGAGCTTGGAGGTGGTGGCGGATCTGTCTGATCAGCTAGGAGTCCCCATGTAGGCCCCAATGTTATAGACAGTCTAGCTTACCGTCGGCATCAACATAGGATAGGTGCGCGCCTGGTGAGCGGCTCCGTCCGCGTTTTGGCCTAGGGGCCAGGCCATGGCGCTCTTGTCGAGCTCGTTCTTGTCCTGATGAGGCATCAGTATATTAAGAATCTGAGACGCAGAACAAAGACCTACCTTGGGATCCTTCGGCAACGGCAGCGGCAAATGGACCCGGGGAGGGACTCCGCCCGCGTTTCCCCATCACCCTTGGGGATTGTCTTGGGCCCATCGCACGCGCTAGTGGATCAGAAGCTACGTGATAAGTAACCGATTCTGCCGCGGAGACACCCGGAGAGGGAGACGAGACGGCGTACAAGGCGGTCTGTCGGGCAAGCCGGCCGGGTAAGGAGAAGATCGTGGACTTCGCCGAATCCACGTTGGTCTGGGTATGACTGTCTCGCCGAGTTCTGAGAAGCAATACTCCATACAAGGGACGATAGGATCTTTTCCGGCCATTCGGGACCTGGTGTGTGGGCATGAACTGGAGGAGGTTGAGAGGCAAAGAGTGAAGAGGAAGAGGAAGAGGAACGCGTCGGAACATTCCTCGGCTCTGCTTCGTTACGCAACTTCCCTGAGGCCAGACCCACCGTCGTGCTGCAAGCGAAGCTAGCGAGCCTGAGTGCGAAGAAGATAGAAATAAGATGCACCGGTCATCGAGATCTAGTCTACTGTATATACTTGTACGGATTCAACAGCCCCTTGGGGTCAAACAGCTGCTTGATTTTGCGCATCATGTCAATCGAAGTCTGGTTCTTCGAGTAGCTGACGTAGGGGGCCTTCATGACCCCTAGACCGTGCTCGGCTGAGATGGATCCGTTCTCAGCAGCTGGAGGTATCAGCTTGTTTGCTCAGGGTTCGTTGCAGAGCGACAAGCTGGACGTACCGACGATCTCGTACACGTATGGCTCGATGACCTTTTCTATCTCCTCCGAGTACTTGTTGGCGACAATGTTGATGTGCAGGTTACCTGTTAAGTCAGCTCCTATCACACACCAGTTCTGTGCTGCGAGCTCACCATCACCCATATGCCCGTACCCGACGCAAGCCCGGATCGGCCCCTCCTTCTGCCCATCACCCACCAACAACCCCTCGTCCCTCAACCGCTTCCGCATCTTCTCAACCAGCCCGTACATCTTGCCGACCGGTACACTCAAATCGTACTTGTACACCGAGCCGGCTTTGCCGCATGCCTCGGGGAGCAGTTCTCGGAGTGACCAGAGCGATGCAAATTGGGTCTGGTCCTGAGCGAGGACTCCGTCGAGGACCATCTCGTTCGACATGAGGTGTTCGAGCAGGCCGGAAAGTTTCTGGATATCAGCCTCCGCACGTGGCATCAAGATGGGCAGTACGTACAGCCTCGTCGTGCTCGGCATTACTGCCTCCCGTCTCTATCAGACAGTAGAAGTCTCCCTCGGTCTCGAAGATTTTCCGCTCGCTTCCGTGGATCTCCTCGATGTGCTTGCTGGACAATGCGAACTGTATGATCAGCCGGGATCTCTCAGGCGGATAAGATAAAGACAACTTACGCCCTGCTTGTCAAAGAACTCGAATGCGGACAGGATCTCGCCAAGATGTGATTTCGCCTCTGCGTAAACCTTCTGTACCGCCTCGTAGCTCGGCAGGGAGAAGACAGCCACGTTCATAGCTGTTGGTCTCCGCGGGCAGAGGATAGAAACAGCAGTGATGATACCGATCGTTCCTTCTGAGCCAATGAACAGCTGCTTCAGGTCAAATCCTGCTCGTCAGCTTGCCGTCCCTGGGAGGCGCAGTATGTTTCAGCTCACCGGTGTTGTCCTTCCTCAGTGTACTCAGCCCATCCCATACAGTACCGTCCGGCAGGACCGCCTCCAATCCTAGCACCGACCCGTGCAGACTCCCATATCTCAGCAACCGCAGTCCACCAGCATTCGTCGCTACGTTTCCGCCGATATGACATGATCCCTTTGCACCGAGATCGAGAGGGAAGATGAAGCCTTTCTCGGCAAGATAGTGGTCCACGGTCTCGAGAATAGCTCCGGCGTCGGCGACGAGGATGCCTGATACCGGGTCGAAAGATCGGACTGATGAAAGATTGGCGGTGGATAGAATGAGCTCGTCGTGTATAGGTGTGGAGCCGCCTGACTATTAGCTGACTGGCGCGCCTGAGCAAGCTGACGGGCTTACCGACTAATCCGGTGTTCCCTCCTTGGGGCACGACGGCGATGTCATTGTCATAGCAGTACTTCATGACCTTCCCGATCTCCTCTGGTGTTTTGGGCTTCACCACCACTGGCGATTTCCCAAAGTATTTGCCCATCCAATCATTATTGAAGCCCGCGAGATCCTCGGGTGAGGCCGAGTTATCCAGCGTGGATATCAGGGAGCCGGGGGAGGAGAGAAGCTCCCTAATAGCCTTGATGTGATCAGGCGTGAGCTTGGTGAATTTGGAAGAGCGATCGGGGAGGGAGCCGCCCCATCTTCTGCTTGACACGGAGGGGGTGGCGAGGGGAGCGAGGGGCCGCGATGCGAGGGAGTGGAGAGCGAGGGAGCGGCGGGCAAGATGCCTTGGTAAAGCCTTGACGGCTGATCGAGCTGCTGACATGGTGGAGTAGTGGGTTGGAGTAAGAGAAGAGGTATGGTACTATAGACAGTTGTACAAACAGAATATACAAGATGCCTCTCGGGAAAGGCTGTTCAACGTTCGGCCTCGGCGTCCGAAATGACTACTTTGGGAAATTCCCATTACAAGACCACCAACCCTACCGCCGCCTGTCGCGAAGCTTGCCGGCGGGACCGTTGCTCCTTGACTTCATCCTCCTCACTTGCGCCCACACCTTATTGTACACCTTGAGGTCGATGCGAAGGTCGAGAAGCTCCCGTTCGTCACGCTCCAGGAGTTGTTGAGAAGTTGGTACCGATTTTTCTCTCCCCGCTACGGCCGGTTTCGCCCGTCCGACTGGGGGATCGAAGACCCTCCGCCCAAACTTCCTGACCAGGATCATCTGCTGATAGCTCCCCATCTTCCCGAAGGCGCTGATGGACTGACTCCGGAGTGCTCCGAGTAGACCTCGTCCGTACTTGAGGTCTGCGGCGCAATCCGCCTCGATCTCGGCGAAGTCGTCGTCCTCCGCCTGTTCGAACTTGGGGAAGGGGAAGGGCGCCGTCCCGGCGAACTTGAATGGGCCGTACATGCGCTGATAGCCTGATTGGAGGCAATTACGGACCCTCTGCTCCGCTACCCGGTGAAATGACTCTTTGCGGTTCGCGCAGAAGATACAGGGGCTCCTAGAGGGATATGCTGTGGTCGAGGAGCGGAAAGAGCGGTCGAGCTTGCAGAGGTGGCAGGTGGTAATGGCGGCGTAGCTCCGTTGAACTGCTTCCTCCTTCCCGTCTGAGCGTCAGCGATGCCCGCAGTACTTTGCTGATCGTACTTACCCCTCATTACGCTAACGAACACATCGCCCTCACAGATCACGACCTTGACTTCCTCGCCGAGTCGGTATACCGGTCGATCGTATCCAACAGGAGTCTCGTCATTGACACGAACCCAATTGTCTCTAGGCCGAGCGGAGGCACGTGGCTTCTGGGGGGTCTGATACAGGACGAACAGGTCGGTGGACATGGTGGGATGAGGGCGGCAGGGTAAAGATCGATCAAGCTACAAGCTTCAAGTTTGGGATGGCAATAATGATCAGTTATGGGGCGCTCGAGTAAGCGCCATCCACTGTATGTGGTGGACAGGCAGCGAGGCTAGTACCGGTTTGAGCTCGGTTCGCCTGACAGCTTCTCCAGGTGACAGGAGTCCAAGCTCGTTGAGGTTTCGATCCTGTACCTTGCGCCTCGTCCCCGGCTTGATGATGCTTCCTCCTTCATGCTTCTTGTGCAGAACTGTCTTGCGACTCGCGAACTGTGCGCGACACCTTGTACCTGTGTTTGGAGCTCTGCCAGTCCATCGCTGGGATCCAACTTCAGTCTAGCATACCACACGCCGAGTCGGTCGGTGATTGCCGCTAGATTTGCCACCCAGGTTGTCAACACTTGCCCGTTGCGTGTGCTGCGCGGCATCCATTACTACTCGTACATCTACTAGCTAGCTATACCGTCTTTAAGCAGTACACTCACCGCACAAGCTAGCACTACGTGTCTCACAGCTCAATGTGAGCAAGCACAGCCCGGAACGGCAAACTTCGACAGCCGCAAAGGACAACGGAAGCTCCACCCTTCGTCAGCCCTTATCTCGTGATACATCTTCGACCTAATCACTGTATCAATCCCTAGCACTCGAAGTACGCTCCGGCGTTATGTCGCACCCCAAGCATGGCGGGCCCTCGGCTCCGACGTCTTTCTCGACGTATGCGAGCAAGTTCTTGAGCGGGAAGGCACCTAATCAGGGTGGAGCGATAGAAGGAAGTCAAGTGAGTCATCTGCCTTGTTGACGGTATATGCCATTGGCTGTGTGACTGATCGACAGATCTTCCACGCCTCATCTCCCTCATCGTCCACGCATGACCCCTTCCTCCCTTCCCCCTCAGCCTCACATTCCCATCCCCACCTAGCAGGCGGATCCCGCTCGCCCTCTCCTTCCCGGACACCGCCCCACCCTGGACCTGGTATTGACTCTATCCCCGACATAGACGATTCCCGGCATAGCGGTATCGGAATGGGGCTGCTCTTCCAGGACGAAGAAGAAGCCCCTCGTCCCGCCCCTCCGGCTGTTACGCCCCGAGGGAAAGGAAAGGCTACTGCTCGGCAGCTCGTACCGAACCCTTACGCACCATCGTCTTCTGAGAGCGACGAAGAGCTCGAGCCTGAACTCGAGGAGGTAGCTGCTGTCCGTCGAGGCCTGGTACGGCCACAGACACAGCGTGCCCCTCAGTCGGAACGAGCCAAGAAGGGTTGGCTAGCGCATCATTCGGTCTTTCCTTCTTCCTCTTCGTCCTCGTCGGACGAGGATGCTCAGAGCGAGAAGGAGACGGAGAGCGATACGGAGGACGAAAGGTCTAGGATGATGGGGCAGTCAAGGCGGAAGCCGCGGGCGCGGTCGAGGGCAGAGGATAGGGAGGATGAGGAGGGGTATGATCTGTCGGCATCGGAGCTGTATGCGGCGAATCTGCCAGATCTGGGGCAGGACGATAGGACGGATCTGGAGGAGCCATTGCTTGGGCCAGAAGAGCTGGAGCGTCGAGGTGGCACGAAGGTTTCTATACCGAATCGACTACAGGTGTATCACGGGCGCTTTGGGCATTGGGAGCGGGAGGGTCTGCGGAAGTACAAAGGTAAGCCGGCATCACGGAAGTCGGATGAGTAGCTGATATGGCAGACTCTGGCTTCTTGGCTTTATGGCTCGCTAGTATATTCGGCGTTATCTTTGGCTTACTATTCGTATGGGGATCAACCGAGGTGAGTGTCTATCAAGCAGGTGAAGTCAAAAGCTGATCCGTCAGCCGCCCCACGAATCTCCCTCACATCGCCCTGCTCCGTCAATAGTACCGCTCATCCCCCTCCTCCTCGTCCTCCTCATTCCGACCATCATCATCCCGCCCGCCTTCCTCCTTCTCCTGCAGAAGACCGTCCGGCCCGTTCTCCTCGCTACCGCAATTTCAATACCCTTCTCCCTCTTCGTCTGCGGCTGGTGGTGCCTGGGAGCAAGCTTTGAAACGGGCGGATGGGACGGGATCGACCAGGGAGAGCGATGGTGGGGAACAACGGGGCTGCGGATCCTGGCGTTCCTGCTTTGGGCGCTGGCAGGGTGGTTTGGGCGTATGGTCTGGGTGCGGCGGAAACGGCTGGAACGCACGGTCGCTGTCGTCGAGCTCTCAACGCATCTGCTGCTCACTCACACGCCGCTTCTTCTTCTCACGCCGGTCCTATTGGCGGTCTTCACCCTGACCTCCCTCCCTTTCTTCACGCTCATCATCCGTCTCGGTATGGTCGGGTACTGGCGCCATCCGAAGGAGAATACCTATATCTATCATCTGCGGCCATATGCCGGATGGCTGATCTTCCTGGTCGCTCTGATCTGGGTATGGACATGGGGCGTTATCAGAGGTGTAGGGAGGGTAGCAATCGCTGGTGTGATTGGGGAATGGTATTTCCACCGGTAAGCATCCCCTTGTCTGCTTCGACACAGCTGATCGTCAGTCAAGAACCAACCCACCCCGACTCACTCGAGATCACAAAGGCGGCTGTCCATCGCGCGACCGGCTCCTCCCTCGGCTCCATCTGCCTCGGCGCAGGTATCGTCGCTACCGTGCGAGTCGTTGGCCGATCCGCTGCCGAGCTTAGGCGGCTTACCTCCCCTCGCACAAAGCTTCTGCCTGACTCCCTTGCCTTCCTCTCTCGCCTGACACCCTTCTTCGCGATCGTCGCCGGTGTGCTGGATCAGCTGAATGGGTACGCGTTGGTCTACGTCGGTATCACCGGAGAAGCATTCTGGCCTAGTGCGAGGAAGGCGGTCGGTCTAGCGGGGAAGAGGAGTGGTGGTCATCTGCTGGATTGTGAGCTAGCATGTCTGCCGGCTATAGGCAGAGCAAGCAAGCTAACGATCAGACACACTCATCAAGCTTCTCCTGACCCTTAGCTCGACAGCTATGGGCGTCTTCACCGGTACAGCGGGATACCTGTACATGACACACTCGCTCAGTAACCCGGCGTATGCTCCGGCCGCGGGGCTGCTGTGTGGTGGTGTGCCCTTCTTGGCTGTCAGGGCGGGCGCTGCTGTTCTTGGCGACGCGTGAGCTTACGTGCCCCTGATAATCGGGAGACATGAAGCTGATGGAACCAGAGCGGATGCGCTGTTCATATGCCATCAGATCGACCGGGAAGCGGGCGGCGCACATTGCGAAGAGGCCAAAGCTGCGGTATGTAGCATCATCGGACCATCGGTGAGACTCGTAGCTGACAATACAGTTCTTGGGCGAGAAGCCGACTGGAGCGGCCGCAGTATGACCCGATCTGATACCCCTTCATCCAGCTCTTGTCCCCCGCGCGCAGACGGATCCCCACTCTTTGTTTCAATATACTTCGACATCGTTGTTCTTCGAGCTAGAGGTATCTCATGCGTGCTGTATGAGTATGTTAGTCCTCTCCTGCACACCAATAGCCATTCATGATCACAGTAAACTCACCATGCGGCCGCGTATGGCCACCCGCCATACTCATATGCTCACCACATGAGGAATGTAAAAGGTCCCGCTTTTGGCTGTGCGCTTTGACCTCCACTTCGCCGGTCCACTCATCATTCAACTTCGCCCTTCCTCAGCCAAATTCGTTCTCTTCGATACTTCTACCTCCCTACATCTCGCGAGCTCACTTGCTATTTATATAGAGACAGATCTTACCAGAGACCCTACTCGTACTCGTTACATAGCCGGAGGAAGGAGAGAAAGCGGAAGAGTAGGCAAGATGGCCAACTACAAGCAGAGCGTGGTAAGTGCTCTCTCCAACCCAACCTAGACTCACGCCTTCCTTCCTCTCGCTATTGGACTTCCCGCAATCTTCACTCCCGCTCAACTCAGTAATGAGGTCTCGGCCATTCAGAGTCCACCCCATCCATGCTTACATCCTTCTTCCAGACACCTCAGCGACGAGGGTTACGTCTGTTGGCAGAGTCTACGCTGACCTTCTTAGCGGCCTCAGAAGACTGTAGGCTCGCAGTCGCAGTCGTCAATGCCCAAGCAGAATGGAATGACCGGATCATCCAGTCTAGCATTCGTGGGAACGATGTTGGAAGCTGCTCTCGGGACCTTCCTATACTTGAGGTGAGCTAAGATTTTAGGCACGTGCGGGAGACAGTGCTCACACTCCAGGTACATCTTCCCCGACGACTACTTTGAGACGATGGAGCTCCGCAAAGACGTCTTACCCGTCGAAGCTGCACCGACCGGCGACACACCCCTGGAGACGATGATCCCGGAGGACAGCCAGGTACCGGTATCTCATCAGGTGCCAAAGCCGCTCACAACTAAGCGGGTGATTGGGAACAGTGAGGGGTCGAAGCTGTTCCTATCGCGACTGGTATGTCAATAGTGAGACCGCATTGACGTTCTCAAGCTGATGCCTCAGAATGGCATCACCGAAGCGGTCGGCCTTGGCTATATCCGCAGCTTCATCCTCTACGTTGTGCTCGACCCTGGAAGACCAAACCAGTAAGTCAAAAAACCCGTCCCGGGTCGTACACATATGCTGATCAGGCTAGGGTACTCGAGACGGTCACCTTCAATTTCTCATACGATATCTCCGGGCCGAGCTGTAACTTCACCCGAGACAAAACACGCGGGCAGGACGGCGAGGTCACATCTCAGTCCACCTTTCCGTCCATGACCCAGCAGCAGATGTACCAGACCATGAAGGTGCGTCTGGTCTCATTTTTGGGGATGTAGGGCTGAACAAGCAGTCGGTGTTGAGGGACTTTGTCAAGGAGAGTCAGGATCTCCCAGATCTGCCAGGTGAGCTTCTCGATCAGTACCAAGGGTGGTGGCCTGAGCTGACGAATTAGAGAAGAGAAGCCTGAACTTCAAAGTCTTCTACACCGACTCTGCCCCTTCTAAGTGAGTACCCCACTGCGATTGAGCTGACTTCCAGATATCAAGTCAAAGGGTTTGAGGATGCAACGGACGATGGAGGGCTGGTGTTTGGTACGCATTCGCGATATGAGATGCCGGCGGAGATGTCTTCGCACGAGATGCGGACTGGATTCCATGGGTGAGTTAGGTGTCGGCGTAGTGCCTGTTGAAACGTCAGCTCATTTTTTGCAGTGTCACCGCACGTATCGCCACCATCGCAGGCTACCTCCGGCCCGCTACCGACATCCAGGCCCTGGCGGAAGCTCCCCATGTTAGGTCGGAGACTGAGAAGGATCAGGCGTACGAGAGACATCTCGATGATGCAGATCGTCGAAACGTGGCGTGGGTGAGCTAAGTCTGTAGCAGAGGTCTCACAGACAAGAAGCTGACGTCCCAGGATGCCGAAGCGATGGCGGTCGACTCCACAGGCGCCATCACCGCCCCGATCGGGATCGAGAGCCAGGATGGACGGATACACGAGCTTCCAGAGAGCGAGGTACGCTCCGAGGCGGACAGTGATGAGGGTCATCAGCGGATTTATGCGCATGGACACGGCGAGAGGCGGACAAATTTAGCTTTGGTCCCCACAACACAGCCAGTAGGTGTCTCACGTTGTACTTTGGGCTGGGCTGACTGCGCAGTGGGGCATGAGCGATCTATTCGTTGCAACCCAGGAGGCGGGACTTTTCAATCAAGGCCCGAGCAGTCAAGGTGAGCTTCAATGTTTACAGTGACTGGACGACAGCTCACACTCGCAGACACCGATATCGTCCACTCCGATCCTGACAGCCGACACCGCCAGCAAAGCGCCCAAGTCACGGGCAGTCTCTCCCAGATCGGTCCTCGCCCCAACAACTCGGGTTCCGAGAACGACAGCCGCTCCAATCCCGAAGCCGGCCTCATATCGAGTGACGAACACACCGATCCGTCAAGTCAAGAATTCGCCACCGAGAAGGACAGCTTCCGACCTGCACCCATGCTCTCCTTATCGGCTCCGAAACCCAAGAAGACTGCTTCACGCACCGCTACGGGCCTCACGTCCCGGACGGACCTCATCAAGCGTTCGAGTAAGCCCAAGAAGGCTGCTAAACCGAAAGAGCCTGCGAAGCCCCGCGAAAAGAAGACCAAGGCGGCCCCTACCGCAACTAAGGCAACGACAACCGGGACGACTAAGCGTCGTGCCAAACCTCCCAAATCGAGCTCAGAAAGTCCGACGAGTGGGAGCAGTACCACGAAAGTTTCGAACCGCAAGAAGACGACACCGGCGAAAGACAAAATCAAGGCGAGAACGCAGCCAGCCAAGGCGCGCAGTGCTACACCGGCGGCTCGATCGGTTCGAGGGGATGGCGATGAAGAAGAGGGAGAAGTCCGGTGTGATTGCGGGGTAGAGTACGAAGAGGGGCAGTCTGAAGAGGCGATGATACAGTGCGATAGCTGTGATGTCTGGAAGCACTCTGTCTGCATGGGGTGAGTGCTACCACAGCCCATCAAATCCGTCGCTGATCATCGCAGGATCCTCCGACCTCTGGAGCAGGATATCTTCTTCTGCCCCATGTGTCGGGTGGAGCAGCTCGAGGTTTCGGAGAGCCTCAAGGCCGAGAGTCAAGGCTGTTTACACAGTCTCTGCTTGCTCAGGTCAGTCACATCCAGAGCTACGAGGCAGTGTTTGATCAAGCTGATGGAGTCAGGCAGATACTCGTCATGGTCAGAATGCACAATAAGGTGGTCCCGGAACGATCTTACCTATGCGAAAGGCTTCGCAAGTTGCCTTCATACCGAAAGTTGAATCTGAGCTGATACTTCCAGAATGCGGAATCGCTGATATCGAATCACTCATCAGTCGCCTTCTTGACGAGGGGCTACTTGTCAGCGAGAGTGAGTGTCTTTCAGCTGTTGCTGCATTGCACGGACTGACGTATTGCGGAAGCTCAAAAGAAGGGAGCGCCGGCTATCCTGCGCTATGTTCATGACGAGAATACAAAGACGATTTTTTCGGCTTACTTCAGGAGTGGCGGAAAGAAGGAGCGGGAGGAGCTGCCCGGTCTGGCTGGCGCATCGCAAGTAAGTCCATCAGCAAAAGGCGCCAGAGATCCGCTCTGACAAATAGCTCCCCTCTTCCCAGATCCCCAGCTCGCAGTATACGACCTCGCACTTCGGCAACTCCCAACGCGCACGATCCTCCCACTTCCAAGCCTCATCTCGCCGCTCCCAATCCCGACAGCCGGATGCGGACAACGATGTCGACGTCGACATGGAGATGGACCCCCACAATCAGAGCACTACCCAGCTATCTCTCCGGCCTTCCGGCATCACAAATCTCGATCCAATCGAGGAGAACTCGACGTACCCTCTCGGCCAAGGCACACTGGACATGGACGTCGACGATACGATCGAGCAGACGGATACTGCGTCGGCGCTGGCAGGGCGGAGATTCGATCGGAAGGGCAAGAGAAAGGCGGAGGATCTGATGAGTGGGCGGCCCTCGGCGCGGATCAGGTCGGCGACAGGTAAGGGGTTCATCGAGTGTCCTTTCGTGGAGATTTAGGCGGTGGTGGTGCTGTGCAGGAGAGAGCTCGATTCTGATTTGTACGAGTATTATGTTCATTACGCTGAGAGGTGGTTTATAAGCTGTGTAGCCATGTAGAGCGCCGTTGTATATAAGAGTACCGAAGACATACTATGCATACTATACTGTGCAGATCTCCTCCCACTATCCTCTCAAGCCTGTCGATCTCTCACCCACTCACTCTATTTTCCTCGTCCCCGCCGCCTTCCCCTTCACGCCCCCACCGACCTTGGCACTCCGACTCCCAAACTGCATCGCCCTCTTGACCCTCCTCGCCGTCCCCTCCAACCCCGCTCTCTCCGCCGCCATCCTCAACAGTATCTTGTCACCCCATCCCTCCCCCGACTCATAGTGCACCTTGTGCCATATAGGCACTTCCGATAAATATCGGATGAAGGCCAGGGAGAGGTAGGGGTACCTGGCGTCCCGAGCAAAAGAGGAGAGGAGGCGGTCGTCTCGCGATGTATTGCGGGTGGGGAGTTGGGATATGTCGGTTTGGAGGGAGGAGAGGAGGCCGGGGAAGGAGAGGGAGGTGTAGGCGTGTCGATGTCGGGCGTAGCCGCCTAGTTGCCTGCGGGAGTCAGTGGCGGTCGGGAAGAGGAAGGGAAGGGTGGACTGACTCGTCCGCGCCCAAACCGGAGATGTAGACTTTTGACTTGACTGTATATGGCACGCCGTCGAGAGTGCCAATACCCCTAGAGGCAAAGTACAGCGGGTAAGCTAGGGACTAAGAAGGTAAGCCATTGCCCACTCTTGTGCGGCCTGGTGCAGAGACATATGAGGTACTTACAAGGTCCATTTCTGTCGTTGCTGGGTACATAAGGTCAACAATCCGTTGTCGATGCTCATGATACTCCTGCACCGTATCAGTATGCATCCCCTTTCGCTTCAGGCGGCACGCTAGCTTACCTCGTACGTCACATTGACCTCGACGAATCGCCACTCCCGCCCCTCGCACGCCTTTCCCAGCTCCGTCAAAGCTTCGTACCCAGACAGCCGATCTGGCGTGTCGTACTCGGTCGCGATCTCCGTCCGGCCAGAGACGGCTGCGCTGGCGCCCCGATAGTCCACCGGACCAGTGTCTCGTAGATCCGAGTCGCGTGTGCTCGTAGACGGGGAAGCGAGGTAGGCGATCGGATTTCGAGCTTTCTGCTTGCCTTTCGCGGGCTTCTTCCAAGCTTTGGAAGTCATACCGGCTGACTGATCCGATGGTAATCGCTGGAAGGCCACGTTCACGAGCTCTACGGGCTCGTTTGCTGGAAGGCACCTGGATGGTTAGCTGAATGTCTCATCTCGGTAGAGACCCAGTGAGCTCACTGGTGCATCATGCTGGCTAGCAGGGTACAGTCTACTCCGCCCGAGAAGAGCACAGCAACTCGCGCGTTGCTGATGACATCAGCGTCTCCGTCACCACCGGTGACTGATCTACGCACCCAGGCTCGGGAGCTGGAATGTTTTCGATCCTGGACTTGACTGCAGCCAGGAGTTCCCGCTCAAAATGTTCAACCTCGTCCCGCGCAAACGTTTCTGACGGGATGGAGTCTGAGGGCGGAAGAGTGGTATTGATAGGATGTACACGGGTCTGACGTGTCAGCTATTGATATACCGAAATGACCGGACGACTCACATAAGTCGATGGACCGGGAAGATATGGCCGCATCTCCAGCGCTTGGTCGATGTTCATGGCGCCCTGCTCATCGACAGTGACTCTGTCAAGGTATACTGTGCCGCCTTCACCTCCTAGCAGTGCCCGCATCTCGGTACCGTTCTCCCGTTCGTAAGCTGATCTCGTTGAGCTGAGCGCGAGAATCGGGCTGGTAGGGGTCGGAAGAGCGAGTAAGAGGGAACGGCGAGATAAGGGGTCGACCTGGAATGATATCGTCTGGTCGTTCCGCTATTCAATTCAGTGGGAATCAACCAAGCTATGGAGGAACATACGCTGTACCAGACGCAGGCATACCTATACCTCGTCAGCACATGTCCAAGGGTTAACAGCCTTGGTCGTGGACTTACGGCCCCTCTATCCGGGAGAGCACGTCCTCGAAGCTCACTCCAGATTCGAGTTGTTCAAAGATTACGCGAGTATCGTTCTCCCCTTTATTGACATCTAGACCGTCGAATACCTCTTGAGTGGTCAGCTGAGGTTTCAACAGATAGGTGATGTTGCTCGCCTCACCTGGCCATTCCAAGCGAGCACGCCGGTCTCGCCTACGATTGGCTGAGCGGTCAGACTCCCTCGCAGACCCAGCACGCTCGATGTAAGCTGAAGCTCGAGCTGCTTTGTACCATTGAGATTGATCATTGCCCGGTGGGTATTGCTAGAGTCGGGTCCACGGCTGGAGTTGGACTCTGCGAGAGAAGTGTGCAGTGCCGAAGGGGACGCAATGGCAGACCCCAAAGATGAAAGGTATGGGCAGAGCGAGAAGGTGATGCCGCACATCCTGCCGAGAGATTCTGCCAATCTTTATAGCGTTGTCCTGGGAGAGCTGCCGGTCCTGGCGTGGTGGGAGAGAGCAGCAGCAGCAGCGGCGAAGGTATAAGAGCTTTGCTTGAACTCGCAACTTTTGGTCCACGATCAAGCTGTCGTTTCCCTGCCGTAATTTCTCACGTGACGCGTTTCAGAATACTCCGGGTGGCAAATCCGAGAGCACTTTGAGGCTGAAGTATTCGTACTACAGTCATGCAGGGCTGTATTCACATCGCCTGCCTGCCTCACTGTCTGAGGCCACGCACGCAGGGTCGCTCAGCTACTCTGCTGTCGTCAGGTCTCAACATTTTTGGTCTCTGAGTTTTCATGCCCTGTGGAGCTCACCCTGATCCTGAAAAGCGGAGTTACCACAAGTGGTAAATACCTCGTCTCCCTCTCGCGCCACACTCAACTCGATTCGGGGTCCCCTTGCTCCCGTCCTTGGGCGGTGGAGATTATGGGTCGTCTGACCGCTGAGCAGTATGCAGAGAGCATAAGGCAGTTGTGGGCTGGGTCTGCAAGGATCTAAGAGCTTCCCTATGTACGCCTGCAGCTGCTTCTGATCCATAACATTAGACCTTCCCCACAGTTTTTTGGGTGAATCTGAAACTTGCCCCCTTCCATAAACGGAACCTCTTTTCCCTGGCTCTTGTTGCTCACTCCTCCTCATCATCAGTACATCTCCCGTCCATCTCCTGGTCTGATCATACACACGCTCGCATCGCGACACCCATCGCCATATAGAAGGGAGGAGGAAGACGAGAGAATAGTCATGCCCACCGCGTGAAAGGAGTGCCATCCTGCCAGGCTCCGACGCGTAGTGAGTTGCGCTCCTGCTCCCTTCTGCTCGGGTGTCTTGCGCCATCTGAGACATCACCGACTTCACCTCTCTACTTGCTTTTCGTACCATACAGTAAGCTGACGCTGCTCAGTACCCTTCACGACTCACACGATCTATCCACATCTCCGCATATCTTCCACCGAGATCAGCCTTCGTTACATCTGCTCATCGTGAGCCGCCACCCACAACTCCGATCCACCCGCAACCCCTTCGCCCACCATGTCCAACCCCTATCCCTCCCTCGCCAACATCTCGGCCATCCCCCCGTCCTTCCTCCAAGGCAACGGCAACATGTCGGATCATCTCAATAGGGCGAATCTGCAACAAATGGGCGCAGACTACGGAATTCAGATGCCAGGACAGCAGCAGGGGATGTACAAGCCTCAGCAGCAGTTCAACATGTCTGCGCTCGCAAACATCCCCGCCTCGGCTCTGGACGGTATCCAGCTCCCCGGCCAATCGCAGCATGCGATGCAGCTCCCCCAGCAACAACAATCCCAGCCGCAATCGAATCAAACCAACAACTTCAACCAGGCGCTGCAGACCTTCCAGCGGATGCAGGCACAGGAGAGCCAAAAGACGGAACAGCAGCGGATAGGCATGGGGAATGGCCAGTCCGGACAGGCTCAGCAGCAATTACCGCAGAGCCAGCTCGGGCAGCAGCAATTCTTGCAGCAGATGGGGCAGATGGCGCGGCTGCAGCAACAGCAGGTGCAGAGGCAGGTGGGAGGCGGTAATGGGGTGCAGCAAATGGCGAACATGAATGGGGTGAACATGCAGGCGGTCCTCGCGGGGATGGCGCAGGGCATGGGGCAGGGAGGGCAGGGGCCGAATATGCACTCGCAACAGCAGGGCTTGCAGCAGGGCGGAAGGAGCGGCGACGAGGATATGGATGCGAGTCGGAGGATACAACTGCAAAAGTGAGCGCGGTGCTCCTCGGATCTAGGAGGAAGGGCTAACCATCGCAGCATGCTGGCGCAAACGCTTGCTCCCGGGGTCGGTGGGCCTCAACAGCAGCAACCGTATCAGCAACAGACACAGCTCCCCCCACCTTTCCAATCTCAGCAACAAGCCCCACAGCAATCCAGCGGCAACAACTCGAACCTCCACCCTGATCTTTTACAGGTCATCATGAAGCTCCCGACCCAACAACGCGAAGCGCTCATGTCGAAGCACAACGGCAATCTCTCGGCGGTGATGCACGAGCTCATGCAGCATGCGCAGCGGGCGCAACTACAGCAGGGACAGGGGCAAGGCGGATCTACCCCAAACTTGCAGCAGGCACAGCCTCGGCAGGCGCTGGCGATATCAGTCAATGGCATGACTCAGCAGCAGATGCAGCAGCAGCAACAACAGCAGCAGCAGCAAGGAAGGGGAGGTCAAGGGCATCAGAGATCTGACAGCCAGCAGATGATGGGGAACCAGGGGCAGGTGACTACGCAGATGCAAGGGCAGGTGGGGAATCCGGGGCAGAGCGGGCAGGGAGTCAACTTCGACCCCAAGCAGTTTGAGGCTGTGAGTGGTAGCTAGGCGCCATCACGTCGGAGTACCCGCTGATCTAGTAGCTGCAGCAGATGAAGGAACGCCAACAACGTCAATCCGGACTCATCACTCCTCAAATGCCCCACAATGCTGCTCTGCCGATGGTCTCGCCCCAACCTCTCCCCCAGATGCTGCAAGTCCAGCAGCAACAGCCGCAGCAGCAATACCGTCAGACCCCGCAAAACGTACCCGCTCAATTACCGCCCCAACAGAACTTCGCTCCACAGCAGCAGCAGCAGCAGCTCCAGCAGCAACAACAGCAGACTCAGGCCGGCGGACGACCAAATCAGGGCCAGACGGAGGACGGACCGAAGAGGAGCACGGTCGAAATCATTAGGACGCTCACGGACGAGCAGCTCAGGGGGTATACGGCGAATGTACTGAAGAGACTGGTCTCTGGGCCTTCTGTGAGTCCTTGCAGCTACTGTCTGGACCCGGCTGATCAGCATAGCCGAAGGACGATCCCTCTCGCTTCCAACTCTTGACGCTGATCTCGGACTTCAAGAGGCGGGATATCGCTGTTCCGCAGGAAGCGATCAATGCTATTGGAGCGATGTGAGTAGCCCTATCATGACGGCGGGGAGAATGCTGCTGATACTGCAGTCTTGGTAATGGTCCCGGAGTCCAGCAGATCCTCGGCGCCAACTGGCAAGCCATCCAAGCTTTCGCTCAGCGGTCGGCGGGACAAGTCCCTAGCGGTCAATCCAATCAATCCCAACCTACTGTTCCTGCACAGTTCCGTCAACCCCAACTCCCCCAGCAATTACCACAAGCTCCCTACCCACCTCAGCGCCAATCATCCATGACAGGTAGCGCAGGGAACCCCATCGAAATCGTCACTCCTAAACTCGGCTCCTCGTCCGCCCTTCCAAACCCCTATACACCAAATAGCCAAAATGGACAGCTTCAACCGGTACCTGGTCACCATCGTGCTGCGAGCTTTACGAGCGGCAGAAACTTCGTCCCGTCCCCGCAACAAGCTCAGCAGTCCATTCCTCCTCCTCAGCAGGTGCAGAACCCGACACCTCGGTGGGGCGGTATGGACTTCAGCGGGGAACCACTCCCGTTTAGCGAGGCGCAGATATGGGACTCGCTTAAGAAGATGCACAAGCGGCAGGATCTGCCTATTCCCATTGTCGAAGGACGGCCGATTGACGTGTACGCGCTGTTTGGGCTGGTACATCGGAATGGAGGGTCTGCAAAGGTGAGGTCGGCTTGCAATTGTTGCGGAGTAATGCTGACTCTCAGCTCGACCAAAACCCGGTCATGTGGCAGATCGTAGCTGGACATCTCGGTTTCGGGCAAAACACAGGCGAACAACCCGCTCGCGCATCTCAGGTGACGGCCAGCGAGCTTCGGCGGACGTACGCAGGATACCTCGGCGCCTTTGAGGAGGCGTGGTACAAGAAGCTCTACGAGAACCAGCAGATGCGCAACCATTCACAACAACCGCAGATGCCTCGTCAGTCCATCTCGAACCCCAACTACGCCGCGAGCCAGTCGTCCATCTCTTCCAATCAGTACAACGGGCCCATACCGGGATCGGTCGGATCGTCCACCCAGGCACTGCCGGTACAGCAGATGCAGATGCTCCAGCAGCAGCAACAGCAGTTCCAGAACTTGCTGCAGCAGGCTCAGCAGACGAACCAGCCTTTCCCGCCGGGTCTGTCGGCGCAGCTTCTCGAAGCCGCCTCGAAGAACAACGGTGTGCTTACCGATGCGCAACGGCAGTACATCGAGCAGGCGCGTCGAGGGTCGCAGGCCACCAGCGGGGCGAACGGGACGCCAAACATGTCGACGGTGGGGTTGTCGACGCCGGGGCAGTCGAGCCAGATGGGGCTTCCTCAGATGCAGGGATTGAACCCGCAGATGGGCAATCCAGCGGCAGCGGCGATGTTAGCCGCGCAGAATCAAGCGCAGATTGCTTCGGCGTCGCAGTTCGGTGGTGGGCCGGCGGTGATGCAGCATGCGGCACAGACGCTGAAGGGGAACCCGCAGCTCTGTCTTCAGTGGATCAAATCCAAAGAGGAGCAGATGAAGAGCAAGTTCCGTAAGTTCAGTATTTGTATCTTTGCTTTAGCAGAGGCTGACGAACAGCGACACGCTTTGTCGAGGTCGCTGAGCCATTACGCCCGCAACTTTTGGCCGATTTACGTACGCTTGCGGGTGCGGCAAGAGACGCGCAGGAGCGGATGCCAAAGTACCAGCTGGTAGCGGCCGAGCGGAGTCCAGAGGAGTTTGCCAAGATTTCGGGCCTGATTCAGCTGGTGAGTCTTACCATTTTCAGGCAAGCATCCAACTGACGATCAGTACATGGCCATCCTCATCACGTACCAACACGCCGAGCAGGGTCGATTCTGCTTCTCCCCCGACCACGTCCACAAGCTCAAATACCAGCTCGCTACGCTCATCACCAATGCCAATACCCTATACGAGGAGTATCGAGCGGGTCCGGAAGGGCCTGCGCGCGTCGACCGGCTCTTTGGCGGGTTCGTCAAAGCGTCTCCCAGGGATACGGGCAATAACGGCGGTGGCAATACCACAGCTCTGGCGGCTAACATGCCCAAGGGTCTTCGGGTGGAGGATCTCAAGCCTCCACCGTCGAAGCGCGCCAAGGGCAAGGCCGGGGCGGGTACCAACAGCTCGCCTGCGCCAGGAGCGGCACCCACTCCGGAAGCTGCCAAGACCCCTGCTTCCCACCTCGCCGATAGTCCCATCGCGACTTCCAGTCCAGCCGGACCGGTCAAGAAGGCAAGCGCGAAGCGGAAACGGGGCGCAACGGTCACGGTCAAGGAGGACAATAAGGATACGGGGGCCAAGGAGTCGCCTTCAGGTCATATGCCTCCACCACCGGCGCCTCAGCCGGTAGATGTGGTCCCGACGGCAGCAGAGATGGCTGCGGCGCAGCAGCGGGCGTTCTTCAAAGCGAGAGCGGAGGTGGAGAAGGGTGAAACGGACATCTTGGCTGCGCTGCACAGTGCGGTCGAGGAGTTCAACAAGGCGCTCTCTACCCCTACGGGGACGATACCTCCCTCCGGAACCGGAACGGCCAAACCCGATACGGAGACGGACCGATCCTTCTTTGCCCAATGGATCGATGTGGATCAGCTGAACGAGCTGCCCACTCCCGAGCTGTATCATCCCGGCTGGACCGAGGAGGATCTGGATACCTCGCCAGAGAGCATCAAGACCGTTCCGAGCACGACGCAGCTGGTGGTACCTCTGCCGGCGGTCGAGAAGGTGGATGAGGGGGATGAGGAGAGGCGATTGATAGGATTGAGTCCTGGGAGTGCGGCGTATAATGGGGGATTGTTTTGGGAGGAGTACGATTTCGGGACGGGGATAGCGATGTGATACAGGGACGGGAAGGGGGTTCGATGAGGTGGACGATGGCAAGGGGCTCTTGCAGTAGTTGTTCGGCTGTCACATGGCTTGTAAAAGTATAATGTCTAGTCATTTTTGTAGGCCCATCACATGTCAACTCTCATGTTCCGGATTATCTACCTAGTCAAGCTACCAGATCCTAGCTGGTCTCAGCGGCCTTCATCAATGCGTTGTAGAGTCCGCCTTTCCCATCGATTCGCAGCAGATCCTCATCTGGGACACCTTCAGTCCGGTCTGTGGCTCGTCAGCCTTCCAGTTACATACATGATGAGGAGACGGCACACTGGAGACAGAAGAAGGACAACGTACCAGCGGCTCCGCTTCAGCTCGGTTGAGCTCCTTGACACCCTTCTGAATGATGAGAGCGAGCAACTTGCCCTTCGGAGTGAGTGGAGATGGGGGTGACCGCTTCTTGGGAGGGGAAGGGGTCGTCTTGGCCTTCTTGGGGTTGCTGCCGGACGCTTTGGCTGCCTTGCGAAGGGAAGGCGAGCCGGCGGATCCGGACGGGGAGGGGTAGTCGTCTCCAGAGTCATCGCGCTCGACGTCGGAGGAGGAAGAGGGGCGCTTCATGATGATCTGAGGTGTCGTCAGCCAGGTCTCGTCAGCCATCATAGGCGACGTACCAGGTGGAAGAGGGGTAGGGCGAATGTGGTACGGTAGTGGAAAGGTGGTAAGTGGGATGAGCAGTGATGAAGTGAGGAAGGATGTGGTCAAGGGGGCTGAGTGGTAGATAGAGATAGGAAGACGGAGGGGTCAGCGAGGGCCAGAGAGCCCCTTATATAGGCCTAGCCGGCCAGAATCTGAGGGGTTAAGCGGATCTAGGCACCGAGAGTGGGGGCGAAGCGGCCACTAGCGTACCACTCAAAGGGAGGGGAGTCCGTCAATGGGTCCCCTCGACTGCGACGACTGATCAGTGTTGATCCGGCTTCGGACTTATCAGGGCTGTCAGGCAGAGGTCAGCTTGTGGGATACAGAGAGGTCGAAAGCGTACGGTGTCTCATGGGCAGACATGTGCAAGAGGAGTGATGATGGATCTAGGACAGAAAGCTGTAAGGGAGGGTCGAGGCTATGTCATTGATACCTATGGTACGTGCATGCGTCATGGCCCGAGACCATGTAGTGGAGACCACCTCAGACCGGCTCTGTCTACACCCTACATCTGCTCAGCGACCCGCATCAAGGCATTATACAACGATCCGTTCCCATCCTCGCGCATGAGCGCCCTCGTCTGGGTAGGGTTCAACCCAGTCTGTATATCGTCAGCCACACCATCGCTGATATCTGATCCGCCGTGCCTTCTCCACGCGGGATTCATAGAGGGGGTGTGAAACATACCATGCGCTCCACATCGCCTTTGTCCGCGGTCTTCATAGCCAGCTTGACACAGTAGGCCAAAAGCTTCCCCTTGGGGGAGCTCGGCTCGATCCTCTTGTCCTTGTAGCTGGTCTTGGGAGTCGACCTCGGCTTCGTAGGGGACTTTTTCGCCTTCTTTGACGCTGGCGAGGAGGTAGGAGGGGGGCTGGGGGTGGACTCGACGGCGCCGTCGTACTCGCTGACGTCGAACTTGTCCATGTTGGGCGAAGTAGAGGAGGGGCGCTTCATTTCGATCTAAGATGTCGTCAGCCTCATCCAAGTCGAGGTCAGAGTGAGGACATACGAGCTGGTGTGGGAGGTATGGGTGTGGGTGGGTGAGTAAGTGATGAGCTGAGGGAAACGTGGAGTCTGGGGCTGTGGCGTAGCCAGATGAGGGAAGAGGCGCGGTCAGCGGTGGGAATGCTCTGTTAAGATAGGTTTGGTGGGCCGAACGACTGGGCGTGGAGTGAATCCAGGCACCAAGAGTAGGGGAGGTGAAAGGGCCTGATCGTGCCTCACTCAAAGGGAGGGTTGTCCGCTTTAGGATTCAGAGTTTCCCTCGGGCTTGGAGGTGAATGAGTGCCATCAGTGATTGGACTCTCTGGTGGTGTGATAGTGGCGAGAAGACGGAGCTTAATCAGTAAGCAAGTCGTGTCAGTCCAGTCAGCGATCTGAGGCCAAGCGGCAATCAAGAGGCCTGCGAGTGGAAAATGGAAGAGGAAGATGGAAGATACAGAATGAGAAAAACTCTGGATCCGACGGCCGAGGGTCGTAACGGCGCAAGTCCGGCCTGATTTCCTTTGCATGCGCTACTACTTCTACCTCAATCTACTTGATATCCTCCGCGAGCTTGATCAGCGCATTGTACAGAGCTCCCTTCCCATCCTCCCGCATGAGCTCCCGTTGCTGAGCGGGCTTGAGACCCGTCTGCATGACGTCAGCCACATTCCTTGCCACTTGGTCCATCCACCCGCTGTTGCAGATCTGACGGCAGTAGCGAGGATGGACGTACCAGACGCTCTGCCTCCGCTTTGTCCACCGCCTTCAAACCCGTCTTGAGGAAGTAAGCGAGCAACTTGCCCTTGGGAGACTGGGGTTCGACCTTCTTGCCCTTGGATGACGGACCGGCCGACTTGGTGGGCGACACCGGGGACTTTTTGGCCTTCTTGGTCGCTGGAGACGGGGTTGGAGGCGGGCTGGGAGAGAACTGGGAGCCGTTGTCGAGCTCTTCAGTGGAGTCGGCGAGGAAAGCGGAGGTAGGTCGCTTCATTTTGGCTGAGATCGCGTCAGCCGTGTCAGACCGCTCTTAAATCAGGCATGCACTTACTGTGGCTGGTAGTATAGATGGGATGGGTCCGGTGCGGTTGAGGGTAGGGGAGGTGCAGTCGAGTGAAAGCGGTGGTGAGGTGTGATGTGATGTGATGTGATGTGATGTGATGTGATGTGATGTGGGCAGGAAATGGAGGGGTAAGTTGTAGATGAGGCGATGACTGGGGAAGACACCGGCTCTTATAGGTCTCCCAGCCTAGCCCTGAGACAGCATGGGCGAGATGACCCCAGATCTGGGGCGTGATGGCCAAAGTGGTGCCTTAAATGAGCGAAAGTTTGACTTGGAGTGTGTGGATGGGCTCGGCCATCGGCCAGATCCGCGCACAACGGGAAAGCGCTATCAGCGTCTGTCAGGCTCAGTCGACGCCGACAACCCACCCAACCATTAGTAAAGGACAGTTAGCACAGCGTCGTCAAAAGCCTCATCAACGAACACATTAGTCTCGGAAATGCATACTGATAGATAGAGTCAATCCTTTCCGGGAGACAATTACAAGTCGAAAGCTTCGCCTATCCCGTCCGCCCCATCCTTCCCATCCACTATTGAAGCAACACATTCAGAGTCTTTTGGAAATCGTACGAGTTGGCCGCTAGCGCTTCGACGACCAGACCTCTGCTGAAGCCCATTCCACAGAGCTGGGGGATCAGCACACCCCTCCAATGATCATCAAAACGGACGTACCTTCTTCACATCCTCAATATCGTCAGGCTGGGCCTCGCTGTCCCTGCGAATGGGAAGAGGCGGGGCGCTCAGCATGCCCGATCGACCTGGAGGCGGGCCCGCCGGAGGGTCAAAGTGTGGCTGAGGGTGTGCGGCGGTAGCGCTCTCTTTATTACTGATGATCAGCGAAGGCCAACCCTAATGACAGAGACAACCTACCCATTCTCAAAGTCGTTTCCAAAGGCATCATCAAACGAGAAGGCGCTTGCGCCCGTTTGCATCCCCGCACCCTGAGCCTGACCCGCCGGCATTGCCTGCTGATAGTGCTGACTTCCACTCGCACCCCCAAACGGCCCCTGCTGGCTAAACGACTGCGGTGGCGGGGAGACCATCTCGTAGCTCTTGCTCATGCCCGTAGACGCCTCGCTCCCTTGCCCAGTGGACGGCTTTTCAAACTCGTCGTCAAAGTCAAAGTCGTCCTTGAAGGACTGAACGGGCGCATGGGCGGTACTGGCCGAAGCCGAGTCCTCGACTTTGGCAGGTGGAAGGTCGGAGAAGTCAAAATCGTCCTCGTCGAATTGGTTCCCGCCCGTGGTCTGGGGTTGCTGGACCGGAGCAGCGGCGCCGGGAGGGAGGATGGCTGGAGTGTGGGAGAAGGGGGTGGTGGTGGGAGCTCCGAAGGGATCAAAGTCGTCAATGGGGATAGGAGCAGCGAGAGCAGTGGAGCTCTTGGCAGAGGGAGGAGGGGGAGGGGCGGACCGGCGCGTCTTGAGCTGTTGCTCCGTCTCGCCTGCTGAGCCGAAGGGCGACCCCATATCCGACCGCGCCTCGGACGAAGCAGGCACGGATGGCTGCTGCGATCCGAAACCGCCAATCTCCCGTGATTGTGGTGAGGCCAGCTGAGATCCGCCCGTTCCGGTAGCATATAGCTTATTGGGGCGGTCCAGGTCCTCCGGCCCCTCATCCTCATCCGACGATCCGTCTTCGTGCTCCAGCGCCTGAGTCTGACCGACCGGCGAGTCAGGCACGCTCGCGGGTGCGATGGCCTGAGTGGAGTCGGTCCGCTCTGCGTCAGGACGAAGGTACGGGACCGCTGATTTGGGGATCCCGCTCGGGAGACCCTCCATCTCGCTCGGGCCCGATGGGGATTGCCCGAAGTTGCTGAACGCCGAGTGGAACTCTGGCTCGCCGGTAGTCGTCGCCCCGCTGATGTCACCCTGGTGAGGCGCCGAGTCAAAGTCCGTGCCGGTGCTGGAGCTGGGGAAGATGCCCCTCGAGTCATGAGGAGGGGACGCGGCGTGCTGCTCAAAGCCTGACTCTGCCGACGGGAAGGACGATGTCGCAGCCGGCTGAGCTGGCTGCTGGGTGGCGAACGAGTCGTCAAAGTCAGAATCAAAGTCCGGCGCCTTGGACGCGGCAGCAGGAGCAGTGTGGCTCTGCTGAGCCCCGAAAGAGTCCCCGAAGCCGGAATCAAAGTCGTCGAATTGAGCGGCACTGCCCGGCGCCGTACCGGTGGGGGCGCCAAATGGGTCGACCTCGACGTGCTGCTGGGCTTTTGGCGACCCTTCTGACGCGCCAAAGGGGTCCTCCTCGTCCTCATCCTCGAGCCCGCGATGGGATACAGGGGGAGCGTCGACGTGCGAAGCGGCCTGGTGCTCGGATGCCGAGTGGCTCAACACTTGAGGCTGGACTGATTCGGCAGTCTCCGGGACCGGAGACCGCGAGGCCGTCGTCTCCTCTCCGTTAGACTTCTTGACCTCCTCATCCGGCGAGACCGCGTGCTTGGCGGCCTCAAAGATAGTCGTAGCGCCAACTGCTACCACGCCAGCTGCGAGTCCGACCGCCGCTCCTGCACCCAGCAATACCGATGATACGCCGGTCTCGCCGTGTTCCTGAGATGTTTCCGAGGGAGTGGGGGACTTGGCAGCGTTCCTGAGCCGATCAAAGGGATTGTTGGACCGCTGCGACACGCCCGTAGCGACCGGACTGAGCGCAGCCGGTGTGGCCGGAAGGGGGATACCAGCGGCCGAACCGGTCGAGGGCGAAAAGACCGGCTCCTCCCTCGGCTGAGCTGCAGCAGCAGCCTGACTCGCCTCTTCCGTCTTGATCTCATTCTGCACTCCATCTCTCGAGCCCTCAGCCGTCGTCAACTGCTTCTTTGCAATCGACACCATCCCCTTTTGCTGCCTCGCCTCCTTCTTGAGCTTTTCGAGCGCAAGCTTCAACCCCGTCTTTTCATCCTCCACCTCCTTCATCTTCTTTTGCAATCCCCGCACTTCCTCCTTGTCACGCAAGAGCGTCTGCTCCAGTTCGTCCTTCTCGGACCGCATCGCCGAGAGGTCCGATTCGGCCGAAATGAGATCCTCGTTGAGCTTCTGGATACTGTCTTGCTGTTGACCAACGCGGACGCGTAGGTCGCTGACAGACTTGCTCTCCGCCTCGTGCTTGACCCGCGCAGACGATAGGCGCTGCTCGATCTCCTCAAGCTGCGCCGAGGTGGACTGGGCAGAGCGCTCCAGGTCGGCGCGCTGCTTCTCCAGCTCGCCGACGCTCCGCTCGGTGTTCTGGAGTTGGTTTTGCTTGTTTCCGATCTCGACCGACCGATCAGGGACGGAGCTGGCTGCAGCAGAGGAGTCGTCTCCGAGGAGGTCGCTGGAGGGCATCCGGAAGCCCTGACCGGGACCGCTGAAGCTGTGGGCGGATGTACCGGTCGCGTTGGGAGAGAGAGCGCGCGAGACTGGTGGAGGGGGAGCCGTGGCCTTGCGAGATGGCGGCTGGGGGAGGAAAGCCTGGGGAGAGAATGGCTGAGGGGCAATAGAGCGGGCGGGCGAAGCGGTGGGCTGGAAGGCCGGAACCGGCGCAGCAGGCTCGTCATCCGCAAAGAGGTCGAACAGGTCTTTGGTGACGCTGCTCGTAGGCGCCTCCTGCTGATTCGAGTATTCACCCCGCAATGATGGGGGGATGAGACTGTTGGGCAGGCTCGCCGGTACGTCCCTTCCCGCCAGCTTGCCATTGATGAGGTACATCGCCACCGCGAATTCGTCCTTGGTCAACTTTCCCTCCTTTCTGATATCCGCCAGGTCCCATATGCTCGCAAGGGACGCCTCGTCCAGTTGACTTTGGAGCATGAAGGGGACAGCGACGTCGCCCTCGATGACGCCCTTGTTCTGGGTGTCGAGCTGCGAGAAGAAGCGGTCTGACGTAGCCTTTGCGTCGGGCGTAATGTCCCACTGCTGAGTAGGAACGGGAGGCTTCGGCGCAGCAGAGGGGAAGGCGGACCGACCGGTGTTCTGTGCGCTGAGCGACGGACCAGTCTGCTGGGGCTGCAATTGACCGGTGTACTGCTGCCGCATGGGCGACGCTGGTCCGGTGTTCTGCCGAGCGATAGGGCTAGTAGGAGGGGGCCGGCCGCCTGAAGCTTGCTCGTACACTGTAGGAGGCAGCGTAGCGGGCAGAGTGAGGGATGTGTTGGCCATGCATGACTGGATGAGGAACATGCCGATGATGAAATCCGGAAGGTCCAGCGAACCGCGCTGCTGGGTATCTGCCAGAGTCCTGTATCTCAGCTATATCCTGGGGTCAAGCTCACCATATCTGTCCCAGTTTATCATAGCCTAGCTGGCTCTTCAAGAACACATCTCTCGCCTTATCGCCCGAAACGAGCCCATTCTGTGGTCCGCAGCCCACAAAGATCTTGGTGAACTTGGCGCGGTCCGCCGCTGTGAGCTGGGGAAGGCCGGGCTGGGGAGCTCGCTGTCCCGTAGTCTGCGCCAAGATAGGCGCCTGCTGAGGCGGTGTCGGGTGACCGGCAAAGGAGGGGAATGGTCCAGCTTGCTATCAGCTACGGCCGTCTATTGGGCTTACCTTTCGAAACGAGGCTCTCGTCCACCTGGGTCTGTCCGCCCTTCTGCATCCACCCAATCAGCCTGGCGGCGCGATACCATGCTTCTCTCGTGAGGAATCCATTGTTCTCCGGGTCGGCCAATGCCCAGACTTCACCGAGTGTCTGCTGCGGCAGGTTGGAGGAGACGAGGAAGGGGAGGGCATCCTGGCCCGGGAGGACGCCCGAGTCGGTCTTGTCGATGACTGAGAAGAGCTGGTCGTAGTACGACTTCTCTTGCTGAGAGTAGGACGCCATGCTGGCGTGTGTGTAGGGTGTATATGGGCAAGGTAGATATCACCTTGTGATATAGGCAATCTATAGGCGGGGTATAGGGTCCTCGGCTGCAGCAACGTCATTAGCCCGAGCTCGTTTGGTTCCGTCACTCACAGCCAAAAGTCAGAGCCAAAAGTCATCTCCACCTCTATTATTATCACCTCACTATGGCAGCTACAGCATCGTCAAGCAGATTCGCAGCCCCGTCATGGGTACATAACCTGTACTCACGCTTCCCGCTAGTCGTTCTTGAGCAGGAGGACGAGATTCCATGGCGGCGAGAGCTCCGAAGCTCTGACGCGGAGTGCTCCCTCTGGGTATGTCCTTGCCAGCTAATACCTCGCCGCACGCTGACACCTCTAGGTACAACCTCCTGCAGCACCAGAGCACCCATATCATCGCTCATGGGCTTCATCAGATCCTGACTCCCTACGCGCCCAGCTACTCTTCCTCCTCCGCAAGGTTCCCGTGTCATTCAGACCGTGGTCGAATGAGCAGTCAGCCCCTTCGTCGAGATTACCAGCTCTCCAGCTTGTCCTCGATGATACGTTGCTATCATCAGACGAGGTCCGAGGATGGCTAGACCAGAACTATCCCCTGAAAGGAAAGAACAAGGAGTACGTTGCGGTCAGAGCGTAGCTGATATCAGAATACAAAATATGCCGTCGCAAGAAACGTACGACCGCGGGGTGGCGCTCGCCCAGCTCGTGCTCGGCGACCTGTACACCGCCTACCTATCCGAGAGCAAGAAGAGCATGTACAAGCACCTGCCAAACCCCCCGCCGCTGGCAGCTGGACTCAAGACGCCATTACCGGCGGCGTTGACGGGTGATTCGCGCACGATCAACGCGGAAGAGATGGCGGAGAGAGGTGAAGACGCGCTGGAGATTATAGCGGGGCAGATAGATGGCTCGTGGGCTTTAGGGGCGAGGTACGTCAGCGGAATGGTACTGGTGAGATCGAGCTGATGAAGCAGTCAAGCGACACCCCTGGACGCGCTGATCGCAGCTCATCTATACCCACTTTTCACACTCAGCCCCTCCTCTACACTACGACGAAAAGCGGAGGAACTGCCTCAGCTTGGGGACTATTTGGATCGGGTGTTGACAGCGGCTGGTGCCAGTATGCGGGAATAGTATGCAGATTATATCCCTTGACGCCCGTGTCCTGCCCGTCGCCTGCAAGAATGTCCAGTTAGTACGCCTCGACCCGTGATTGGCATTTCTATATTATCTGCATGGTTGCTATATTGTTCTTCTGACCTCCTTTCCTCCTTCAAGCCTTCTGGAGAATCTCCGCGAGCTTCTCCCCGAGAGCCTTGGCGCTAGCCGGGTTCTGGCCTGCATTGTCAGCTCCAACCCTGAGATCCAAAGATGAGACGACTTACCAGTCAAAATACCCTGGTCCCAGACAACCTTGACTCCCCAGTCCTCCTTGGCCTTGGTGTACTTTCCACCGCTGAGCTCGCTGAGCCTGTCCTCGAGCGAGAAGGGAAGGATGTTGACAAAGTCATTGTATGGTGTCTGGGCCTCCTCGGCGTTGGAGAAGCCGGTGACCTCTGCGCCTTTGAGGATGGAGTCGCCCGAGGGAGTCTTGGAGGAGACGAGGGCGGCGGGACCGTGGCAGACTGCCGAGACGGGCTTCTTGGCCGCATAGAACTATCATAAGCACCTCGCATAGGCGAAAGAGACAAATAACTCACGTCACCAACGAGCTTGGCGAACGCCTTGTCCTCGGCCAAGTCAATCATGGGCCCGTGCCCACCGATGACAAAGATCGCAGCATAGTCCTTTGCGTCGACCTCGCTGATCTTCTTGGTCTCGGTGTAGAGCTTCTTGGCCTCCGCGTCGCTGTTCATGAACTTGACAGACTCGTCGTCCTTGAAGTTCTCGACCGAGGACTGGTCGACAGGGGCAGCACCGCCCTTGGTGGAGGCCGAGTCGATGTTGAAGTGGGGCTTGAGGGCATAGTAGCTGATCGTCAGTACTCGTCAAAGGAGCTCATAGTGTTGGACTTACGGGTGGGCAGCCTCAGGCACATACCAACCGGTAGGGGCGCCGTTGAGGAGCTTGTCGGCCGAGGTGAAGATGAAGAGGATGGTCTGCTGGCTGGACATTTTGTTGATTATTGTTGTTGTTGGTTGTTTTGGATAGATGAAGTATAAGTGGGAAGTGAAGACAAGTCGTGAGCGTCAATTTTATAGCTGAGCTTTCGGACCCTTTCTTTCTAGTGCTTTCAAGGCAAAACCTCCACCTCCACCTTGTTACCAACCATGACGATGACGCATGAGGTATTCTGATGACGCACACATGATGACTCATCACTGATTTTGCGGAATGTGGAGTCAGCGGTTAGTCCCGTCTGCCAAGACATGTGCTCTCGTCTAATCCTGACCCGCCGCTCGGAGTATAGTATCCCCACCGCAGTACCGGGCCTGCGCGGAAGCGCTCGTCTGACCTGCGCGGTGCCTCGCGGTGCGCAGGGTCTTGTGAGGTAGCTGTGTGTTACGCTGATCTGATCCTTCTTACTTCAGCATCTATACTCTTACTCATCCATGTATGATCCGTAGCCGGGCGCTGTTGGCAGTCACAGCTATACCCGCAAGCGTGCTCATCCTATATACTTGGCACCCATGGCAAAATTTCAGTCGGATCGACTGTCGAAGAGGGCGCCAGCAATTCGAGCGGGAGTATGGTCGTGCGAATCTCAGGCTATCAAGGGGTTATGAAGGCAGGTTCCTGTCTGAGGGAGTGTCTGACTCTCAGGCTCCCTGTACCGGCTGAAAAAGTTCATGGATAAGGTCGCGAAGGGAGAGTCATTGACCATCTCTGTGGTCGGTGGAAGCGGTACGTCTAATCTACCCACGGACTAGGCTGGACGGTATCAGCTAAGCTATCAGTCACCCGCGGGCACCATGTTTGGACAGAAGAGATCTGGTTCTCGCGCTTGGTAGAGTGGATCCGATCAGTATCTCCCAGAAAAGCGAATCACATCTCTGTAAACGGGGCTACCGCAGGTGAGCCCCAAGAAACACTCTACCTTGTCAAGCGCTGACTCTTCAGCTACTGGCTCCGACTACTTTTCTTACTGCTACCCGCTGCATATCCCCTCCGACTCGAATCTGGTGCTCATCGAGCTGGGGATCAACGATTCAGCATGGGAAGGGCATATCGTCAATCTAGAGAATCTGCTGCGTGGACTGTTGGAGATGGAGTCGAAACCAGCGGTGATTGTGGTCGAGGCGATGGCGTTCGCGAATGGAGGGGTGGGCGGAGGTGGAGGAAGGATGCATCTGTGAGTGGAACTTCAAGTCGTTCTGAACGAGGCCAATAAGCAGACCTGTTGCTCAGTACTATGGTATGTCTTTCTGCTGGTATCATGGAAGTAGCTGATCCTCTCAGATGTTCCGGTCATCAAGTGAGCTCGTTTATATCGAGCCACCGGAAAGGAAGCTGATGTGCCAGCCAGCGACACCCTCTAGCCAGCCATTTCGGACGATATCCGGAACTGCTACGCGTCTACTTCTCGCAAAAGTCCGTCTTTCGGTCCATTCGTCCATTCTGGGCTACGCTAACACCCCAGCTACTGGGGAGATCCCGATACCTGGCACCTCAACGCTCGCGGCCACTACGACCTCGGGATGCTCATCGCTAGTTTACTCCTCGATGTAGCCTGCTCTCCTCCGCCCATCGATCCAATACCCCCAGAAGCCAGTCTACCGTGGGGAGTAGAGGACGACCGAGTCCCGCCCGTCCTACCAGGCCGTTTCATGAACTCTACCGAACTAGACACCCTTCCTCGTCTGGGCGTCCTGGACGGCTGGGACCCGGACACGGAGCATCGTCGGCCTACCTGGAGGCCCATATGTGTATCGGAACAATCGCCAGACGCCACCACGTCGCTGCATCCGGTGATGAATGACGGATGGGTGCATTGGGAAGATCCGGATGGTCAGACCAAGCCTTACTTGACAACTCAAACACCCGGGGCGCGGGCGACATTTGAGATTGAGGTAGGGGATGTGGGGCGGGTTAAAGTCTATTCGATGCGAAGTAGGGATCTGGGGCTGGGTTTGGTACGGTGTTGGGTGAATCAGGATGAAGATCAGGCTGTCAAGGTTGTCGGTTACTGGGATAATGATGCGTGAGTCTTAGAATAGAGCGGGAGAGAGGAGATGAGCTCGGCTGATATAGCAGGAGTATCGGCCGATTGGCGGTTGTGAGAGAAGGGGTGGCGCCGGGCTTCCACACTGTCACTTGCGAGTTGCTAGAGGAGACTGCAGACCCAGGTGGGGGACATGAGTTTAGGATGATAGCTATCATGAGGTGAGTTAGCGGTCTTAGCGATGCTGCTGGAGCTGACAGACCAGCGCGTGAGCCCCTCTCAGGGAGCTCGAGGGAATTATAGATCGAAGATGATACAGTCTGTGACGACCCCTGTGTGAGCAGTGTTGTACGCGTCAAAGCGCGATATCTTCCGTATACGATGAGACCTCCTGAACTGTGTATAATAGCTCAGCATGGCTGCGACATCCAAAGACAGCACCTCCATCTTCCTCGCAGCAAATGCTGCCCAGCTCGAATGCCGTACGAAGCGGTAAGACCCGGCTACTGCGGTTACTACCGGCACGGGTGATACTCGGGTAAATACGGCCGGGCCGGCCCGCTGCTCCGTTCTTGCTTGGAAGGTCATCGGGCTGGGCAGCTGTGTGAAGCGCTGACAGCGCTGAAGGCATCTACAAGAACATCGCATCCATACTCATCGCGAGAACATCACCCTAGTATCTTGAAAGCGACTCACCTCATATACTTATCATGTCAGCCTCCAAAGTCAATGTCGGTTGGATCGGTCTCGGCGCCATGGGCTCCGGGATGGCCGCGAGTCTCGTCGAGCAAGGCTTCCCGGTCCGCGCCTTTGACGTGTGGAAGCCTTCGCTCGAAGCTGTCGTCAAGGTCGGCGCGACTGCGTGCGCTACACCTGCCGAAGCAGCGAAGGACGTCCAGGTCTTGGGCCTGATGGTCGTCAATGCGGTTCAGGTGGAGGATGTTCTGTTCGGTACTGGCGAGGTCGCTTCCGGTGAGCAGATCTAGATCTTGATCAGATGGACAGAAGCTGACAAGAAGTCCTCAAGCCCGGCTCGTCCATCATCTGCTTCTCCACCGTCCCACCCTCTTTCCTTGTCACCGTCCAGAAGCGGCTCGAAGCGCTCGGTATAGGACTGTGCGACTCGCCCGTCTCGGGCGGGTCGACCCGCGCGGCCGCTGGTACTCTTACCGTCATGACTTCCGGCACGTCCGCGTCTATCGAAGGAGCTCTGACTGTCCTCGAGGCCCTGACTCGCAAGCCCGAAGGCAACCTCAGCGTCGTCGGGACCTCGTGCGGCGACGCGTCCAACTTCAAGCTCATCAACCAAGTGTTCTGCGCTGCACACATTGCGGCGACGAGCGAGGGGATGGCATTCGGTGCCAAGATGGGGCTGAACCCAAGGATGCTATACAACATCATCAGGACCGCTGCTGGTGATAGCTTCATGTGTGAGTGCGGCCGGGGCCATTGACCTGGACTGAGCTGACGGCAAAGTCGGTCACCGAGTTCCCTGGCAGCTCCGGCACGATGGTGTCCCCAAGTCTGCCATGTCCATCATCGCCAAGGACTCCGGTATCGTCAATGACGAAGCTCGTCTTATGGGCTTCCCAGCACCCATGAGCGCCGCCGCAGAGCAGCTCTTCATTTCGGCCATGGGAGCGGGTATGGCGCGCGAGGACGACGGCCTGCTCATCAAGCACTATGAGCGGTTCGGCGGTCCTAAAGTCGCCGAGACGGGCACGGAGGAGGAGGAGGCCGAGAAGGCCAAGGAGCTCTCGGTTACGCCGAGCGGGAAGCCCGAGAAGGTGTTGTTTGTGGGACTGGGCGCGATGGGCAAGGGTATGGCGTTGAGCGTGCAAAAGGCGGGCCACAAGGTTGTCGGTGTGGACATCAGCGAGCAGACGGCGGAGGCGTATCGCGCTGCAGGGGGCGAGACTGTCAAGGACGTGAAGGAGGGAGCAGCAGGCGCGGATGTCGTGGTGCTCATGCCCAACACGGCCGCGCAGGCAGAGTCGATCATGTTTGGCACGGAAAACAACGGGATCTGCTCAGGTCAGCTGTATTGGTCGCGATTGTGGTACACATCCAGCTGGACAGTCAACTGACCCCACAGTGATGCCTGAAGGCGCCGTGATCATCCTTGGCTCGACTATCGCCCCATCGTCCGCAGTCAACCTGCAGAAACTCCTTGACGCCTACGGCAAGGGTCAGCAGCTCGTTGACGCACCCGTATCAGGCGGACCATCCCGCGGCGACATTGGTGATCTTGCGATCATGGCCTCTGGGTCAGATGCCGCGCTCGCCAAGGCGTGCAGCGTGCTGCAGGCCATGTCGACACAGGCAGGCAACACCGTCAACCTGCACTTTATCCGTAAGTGATCGTCAGCACTATAAGTGGGTTTTAGCTGATTAGCCAGCGGGAGGTGTCGGATCCGGAAACAAGGTCAAGGCGGTGAACCAGCTCCTGGCTTGTATTCACATGGCCACGGCCGCCGAGGCGCTCGCATTCTCCGTCAAGAAGGGTATGGACCTCGACGCCGTCATGTCCGTCATCTTGAGCGGTGCAGCCTACTCTTATGTCGCCAAGGACCGTAAGTCTGTTCTGTCCTGCTTGGGCTCCGAAGCTTACGTCCAGGCGTGCCCCGGATGCGAATGGCCAAGGCCCCCGTCTTCTCCGCTACAGACACCCTCGTCAAAGACCTCGATATCGTCTTGACCGAAGCGAGGAAGCTCAGCCTCCCGCTCTTCCTCGGCGCTGCGGCTTACCAGCAATTCGTTGCTGCTCAAGCAGCCGGGTGGGGGAGGGAGGATGACTCCTCCTTGTCGAGGCTCTGGGAGAGGTACGGGATCAGGATCAGGGCGGCGGAGTAGGGTGTCCAAACTTATAGGTTGTTTACGCGCACGGACTGGATTTTGGTGCATCAGATCTATATTTTCGGGCCGTTGGTGATGTCTGTGTCATACCTCAACTACCTATCCAAGCTATCAGGAACATGCAGACCGAGATCGTCGACACGGTAGCTGAGGCTGAGCGGCTGGACGCGCCTGCCGCACAGACCGCAGCAGCGGCGCAAGCGGAGGGAGGAGAAGAAGGAGATGAGGATGAAGATCAGATTGATCTCGCCCATATCCAAAGCTTCGCCGAGTCAGTCGCGCGCTCCATCCCGCGGGCTTGGGATCAAGCTGATGCTTCTAGAAAGGTCCAGCACCGCCCAGGACATATCCGACCCCAGATCACTATACCCAAGCGGGGCGAGAAGGACTTTGAACCGCTGGAGGAGACGGTCAACCTGCAGGAGATGATGCTTCAGCGGAGTCGCGAGGCCCTGTTCGGTGCTTTGCAGGGTGTGAGAGGAGGGAGCAGGTACGCTGGTCGGTAGCTAGAATCTCAATAACATCAGCTGACACTGACAGTAAATCCATGTCGCATGCGCTCTACTCGCCGCAATCCCCCTACCCATACCTCCTCATCACCCACGGTCGCCTCCTCGACTCCATGGGCATCTCCATACGCCCCATCATCTCCACTGCCGACGGTGGTAAGGGTAAAGGCAAAGCACGTACCGAGCTCTTGCCGGAAGAAGCGCTATTTCTGCTCGAGCGGGGAGCACTGCAAATCTGGCTAGGTAACGAAGGGGCGGAAGAGGGAGAAGGAACGGAGGGGACGTGGAGCGAGGAGGAGTGCGGGGTGATAGGTGCGGTGGAGATGAGCGTGAGCGAAGGCTTTGCGGCGTTTCTGGGGAAGGATGGGCTCACCTGGGAGCGGTATCAGGTATGTCCCTTATCTGCGCCAGAGGCATAAGGCTGATCAGTAGGCGTACGCGTATCTCAAGCGACTGGGGTATACTGTCCAGCGGACACCACGGTTCCTGCCTGAACATTTCAAGAGCGTGCCGTTCGCAAGCGCACAAGAGTCAACGCTACCGCCCTTCCGGACGTGGTGGGCTAGCGTACCGACCTTCTTATCTCGCTTGATACAATTCATCACCTCGGCCGCTGCGCGAGCTTGGAGGAGAATACGGTTCAACCCTAATCTCACACATTTATCATCCTGGACTGGAATAGATTATCGTATGTCCTCACCTCCCTAGCCTCGTACTGTATCCCACCGCTGACCTCCAGCCTCTTTGTTCCGACACCTCCGCCTCGTCCCCTCATCTCACGCCCACCCCCTCCCTTCCCGCTCAGCCTCCCCCAACCCCTATCTCCCTTTCTACCACATCTGGAAGCCCGCCGTTCCCTGGTCCAAGGCCAAGTGGGAGCGCGGCTCCCCCGCTGGTCTCTTGCGCCAACCCCCAGACTTCCAGGCGGCAGCCATCAATGCCCGGACGACCCCCTTACCGTCCATCCAGCAGCTACACGAGATCTTTGAGGAATCGCCCGAGGAGCACCGCGGCCCAGTACAGCGACTAGGACCGCAGTACCGCCAGGTAGGCAATCCGGGGCGGACGAACCCGATTGCCGAGTTGAGAAATGGGGATCGGGCGTTCATTGTGGCTGTGAACGATTCGGGCAACTCGGGGTGGGTAAGGTTTGGCCGGACAGGGTTTGCGGGATTGGCCATGGTGTAGAAGAGGCAAGATAGGTGTACATGAATAGTCTATACTATGGAACAGTATCTACCAGGTCGATTCTTGCGCGAACCGATCAAGCTGCAATACGGACGCAGCCACCTCCTTTTGACGCGCTGTTCTCCGATAGTATATTGGACAATCTGCCGAGGTGCAAATGACGTCCTGCTCGTCAGTCCTATCCAGCTCGTATTGCTCACCTGATGTAAGGAGCCCTGACACCGCTGACATTGGGTCCAGAGGCGCGCAAAGTCGACCTGGAGGGAAGAGGTATACGTGATCTACACGTCAGCTCGGCGTATTCATAGCTGTGTGGAGACTCACTTGTTTTTGGTACAGATCAGGTAGCTTCGGCCGGCAATTCACACAGACCGCTATTCCTTCTTTGGCAGTCCGTAATGGAGTTTTGCATCCCAGGCAAGTGACCGTCTTCACCGCGAACTTCATGAGACCTCCCACCGTGGGTGTGGCGATTTGGATACTGCGGGTATGATCTCCAGACACTACTCGGTAAGCTTGGGGCCCAATCGATGGGCGGAGATGAACTTACGCAGACTGCCCGCCTTCTCGCCGAGAATAGGCTCGAAGATACGCATGAGCGGTTTCGACAGCTGATTATCGAGGTAGTACCGCGTATCGATAGGCACGTTATGTTCCAAGACATAAAGCGGGTCTTCGGACTTGTCGTACGCCGCCGCCCCCTTGATGCCTTTTACGATGACATAGGCTACTCGATCTCCCAGAGCGGGTGCAGAACCTGAGATCAGCTGCATGTCGGTCAACAAGCTCACCTGCGTCTCGTTTCCGCATACGTTCCGCCAGCTCGACGTGGGCTTGCTTGTTGGCATAATCAGCCTTGGCGAGGGCTTTCGTGATGACCAGTTGAGACATGTCGATACGATTCTGCAGCAAGTCTGCTATTGTCCGCTTGACGTAGCTATCGTCAGCACAATCACCAGCTTGACCTACTCCTCCGCGCCCTTGACGTCTCGGTCGATGAGCATCTTGAACAGACACGTCTCGATGACAGTAGATACCAGCCTACAGTTATCACGACGAACAGTCTTTCATCAGCCTCGTCCTGTCTGATGACTCACCTCGATACCCTTCGTGTCCATCTTGTCATACTTGTCCGGCCTGGTCCAGTAAAGCCCCGCATACCTCTTCTTGCTGATGAGGAGGTACGGAAAGTACACCTTCTCGAATTCGAGCTTAATTGGCTTGATGAAGCTGGACGAGACGAGTTCGGCCGCTTCCGCTCCGAGTCGCATTGCAGTGACGAGGTCTGGGCAGCCGAATTTGATCATGACCGAATCGGTATCACCGTATACGACCTTGGCGTCATGGTCGTACCCGTTCTTCATGCAGTATTCGGTCTCGACGACTTGCTTGGTCGCTTCAATCATTTGTCGACCGTACGCGGTGGTACTGGACGAGATGGCGAGACAGGGAAGTTTACCGACCGTGGCGCCGGTGAAACCGTATACCGAGTTGGCCGAGATCTGGTATCAGCTCTGTCGTGTATGACGCTCACCTTCAGCGCCAGTTGACGACCATCCAGCACAGCCCGCTTGAACGGATCCTTCTCCACCTTCAACTCCTGCTTGGCTCGTTTACGCGCAGCGAGCAGGTTCTCCAGCACCAAGGGTAGCAGTCCCTTCCGCTTCTTGACGGTAGCAAAGTAATCTATTTGTCAGCTCCGGGACCCTGCAGATACTCACCGTTATTGGGCGTGTGTACATAATCCTCCCCCTCGACCAGCTTCAGCCGCTCGATTGTTCCCTTATCGAGCAGAGTCGTATAGCACAGATTGTGCGCCTGCATAATGGACGGGTATAGCGAGGCGAAATCGAGAGTCGCGATAGGCACGTCGTAGTACCCCTTTGTGGGCTCAATGACCGTAGCTCCTTCGTACTGCTCGTCCGACCCCTCGCTCTTCAGCGCCGGGATGACATATCCCGCCTCGCCCGCACTCCGGTATAATTGCGAAACGACCTTGATTTGTTGTCCGCGCGAGAGGAGGTAGTTGAAGGGTACGCCCGTGACACGCGCCATTTCCGTATAGTTGACAAAGCACATGAGCTTGTCCATGAGTCGTTGTGGGAGGTAGGCGTCCTGCCATCAGCTAGGTCTAATAGAGACATACCTTCAGACAGTAGACAGCTAATCTTCTCCTCGAATCCGCCGTACCGTTCTGCAGCTCCGTAATGATCGAATGGTGCACATCCTCTTTTTGCTCTCCGAGGAAATGAGCACAGACAGCGTTGAGGGTATAACTTCGCAGCTTGTAGTCCCGCTGCATGACCTGAAGGATATCGAGCTGGAGTCGACCGTCAATGTTGACCGCCTTGGAGTCGCGCTGTCCGAACGCCTTGGACGAGAAGTGTGTGTCCTTGACCTCAGACCGGATACCTGGAATCAGCTTAATCCCGAGATGTTCTCACCTTTCATCCGCCCCATGTACGCAAAGTCTGGGATACGGAGCGCCTTGGCCCGGTCGAGCAAGTACGGCAAATCGAAATTGGCGATATTGTACCCAATCATCATGTCTGGGTCGACCCGCTCGATGAACTTGCGCCATTCCAGCAGCATCGACTTTTCATCCTTGAATTCGAGCACTTGCGAGCCGACGATGTGAGCGCAGGAATTGAGGGTGAAGACGTTTCGGATGAACGGTTTTGTTTCGCCTGGAGTGTCAGCCGGGCTTTGCATCGGGTAGAGAGAGACGTACCCTGCCGCGTGACCATAGTAGCGATTTGGATGACCGGATCGATCTGCGCTTCTGGGAAGATACCCTTTCGTCCAGCACACTCGATATCGAAGCTCATGATGCGGAGGGGAGCGATTTTGGCCCATTCTTCTTCTGGCGCGTGCGAGATCAGGTCTTTGTAGCTGGGGTCAGTATAGTATTTCAAGATTTACTCACTGACACGACACCTCAATCTGACACAACGACTTCTTCTCCGACCCCTGCATCTCCGTGTACTTTCCGCCCTTCAGTTCTACCCAGTTCATCCCCACAACCTGATCATCAGCCGAGACCTTCACTGCTGCTCACCTTTGTATCTATCATGAAGCGAAGCGTGTATGCGATATTGCTCTCAAAGGTCATCAACTCGTCGGGGAAGAGATTGTTATAGTTGATCTGATTTCGTTCAAAGGCGCGTGCTTGATCAGCTCGTATCTCAAGCGATAGACTTATCTTTCACCCTCGACAGACTCTTGTGGTCATAGCATGTAATCTTGATGAAGGGTACGTTGTCGTCTCCGCGGTAGCCCCATAATGACTTGCGGTTGTGGATAGTGCAGCCAGTCACCGAGGGTATGGCAGATTGGACATTGGCCTATCGTCAGCTCGGCTGCGGCGAGACGTACGTTGATGGTGTCCTTTAGGGACTCGAGATCCTTGTTGAGGAAACCCGGAGGAGCAGCGACGTAGAAGTATGGCCTGAAGCCATGGATATGCGCGAGGACAGAGTTGCCTTCTTGCGATACTCCAAAGAGGCGTAATGTCGGCCCGAGACCAGGCTCGACCGCTTCTTCCACCTCAATCTGCTGGAACACTGCTTGGTCAGCTAAGCGTGCGGGAGCATGAATCAGAGCGACATACTGATGGAGTCGGTCTTGCGGTCGAAGTTTGGCACAGCAGGCCGAGGCCACGCCTTGTCCGTCTCGATATTGTCTGCCAGCTCAGCTTTGGTCACAAAAGTTCGAGCACGAGTATCTCACCGCCCGAAGCATCTTCCTCTGCCTCCAGCTGCATCAGGATATCCGAAAAGCTCTCCTGCTTGACGATCCCATTACTTCCGTTCACCTGGAGCTTCCTCTTCTTGTTGATAGGCTCGGACATAGTGGCTGAGGGGTAGCGAGCAAGGTATAGATGCTGAAGGTGACCAAAATGGTTGTGGACCTCCACCGACGCGTCGAGGGGTTTACGAGAACGGTGGAAGCGCTCGCGCCTATTCTCACATTCCTTACTCCGGCGCGTTGATGAAGATAGGCGCGTCAGCGGGTATAGACGCTGTTGTGGTAACCGGCTTGTCCACTTTTCTCATGGATTTTTGTTTGAGCATGTTTGAGATTATATATTGATCGATCATAAGTGTCCACATACAAAGACCCATACAGCTCTCTACTGGAGTTCGCATCATCTCAACTCTCCTCCCCAGCAGAAACCGTAGACGAGATCGCAAAATGGCAGCTCGATCCTCAATCCTCAAGTCCACTCGGTCGGTGGCGACCGGTTCGCGATCCGTGTTGGCTCGTCGATCGTACGCAACGCCTGCTACTGGCACCAGTGAGTGCAGGTCTATGAGCTTGAGATCGCGGCTGACATCACCAGCTGTAAGCTTCGGGCTCAGCGATGACCAACGGGCAATTCAAGGTCCGTTCTGCCTTGATGATGCTGGGCTCACGTTGCTGATCAGTCAGAGTTGGCGCAGAACTTCACACGAGAGACGATCATGCCGGTAGCGGCAGAGTACGACCGAACCATGGTGAGATCCTCAACCTTGTTTCAGTGAGCGTAGCTAATTGTAGGCGTACCCATGGCCTGTGTTGAAAGAGGCGCACCGATTGGGTCTGATGAACACCCACGTTCCTGCTGAAGTGAGTGATAAGCCCGATCTTAGCTGATGGCAGTATGGTGGACCCGAGTTGCCATTGATGGACTGCGCTCTGATATCCGAGGCGGTCGCCTATGGATGTACCGGAATCCAAACAGCTATGGAAGGTATGTTCCCGCTTGAAAGGCTTCGAGGATGTAGCTGATTGGAAGCGAATGGACTGGCAGAAGCACCGCTCATTGTCGCCGCCTCCCACGAGACCAAGATGAAGTACTTGGGGCGCATGTCTGAGGAGCCTCTGATGGCCTCTTACTGTGTGGTATGTGGCTCCCCGTCGAGTCCCAGAATCTTCGTTGACAGAGCAGACTGAGCCGGGAGCGGGATCGGATGTGGCGAACATCAAGACTAAGGCGGAAAAGAAGGGCGATCAGTGGGTGATCAACGGAAGCAAGATGTGGTATGTTATTTGTTATCTGACAAGACTAGCAGACGCTGATTGTACAGGATGTAGGTTATTCTTCCCGGCAGCAGCTGACGACAGTACAAACTCAGGCCATGCCAACTGGTTCTTCGTCCTCGCTGTGACTGATGCCGCTGCTTCCCCATCCAAGCGTATGACAGGCTTTGTCGTCGACGCCGACACTCCCGGAATCACGCTCGGCAAGAAGGAGGTCAACATGGGTCAGCGCGCTAGTGATACCCGCATGGTCACTTTCCAGGATGTCGTCGTTCCCGCCGAGAACGTGCTCGGATCTCCAGGAGAGGGGTTCAAGAGTGAGTCCATGGTATATGTCGCGCTGACGTCAGTCGCTATGAAGGCATTCGATATCACTCGTCCTCTTGTGGCTGCCGCGGCCACCGGTCTCGCTCAGCGGGCGCTGGAAGAGGCGGTCAAGTATGCACAGGACCGAAAGGTATGTCTAGCCCGGAGACGTTCGCTGAAGCTGTAGACTATGGGTCAGGCTATCATCAACCACCAGGGAGTGGCATTCTTGCTCGCGGATATGGCGATCGCCGCAGAGGCTGCTCGGGCGCTGGTCTGGAAGGCGGCGTGGGCCAAGGACGCTGGGGAGCGGAACAGTGAGTAGCAGCTCCGGTACAAGCTGATCGTCAGCCTTCTACGCGTCCATGGCCAAAGCATTCGCGGGTAAGGCTGCGGTCGATAACGCCAACAACGCCGTCCAGGTGTTTGGCGGCGCGGGGTACTCGTCCGAGCTGCCAGTGGAGAAGCTGTATCGTGACAGCAAGATCTTTGAGATTTGTGAGTACAGCGTTGGTGCATTAAGTGACGATGAGCCAAGCTGACATCGCAGATGAGGGTACGTCACGTCTTTCTGAGCCGCCAGGCGGAGTAGTCGAGCTAACGAACAGGAACCGCACAGATCCAGCGATTGATCGTTTCCCGCCATTTGAGCTCCTTATACCCTGCATAGCCTATACCATACCGTGTTGTACTGTGCTGCCGAGTCTTCCAAGCTCTCACTATGAAGATGCATTCTGATGGACATTTTGCTTGCAGCTTGCAGAGTACTCTTGCAGCTGGCCTTGAGGTAGTTGGAGGTGCATGACGTCATGACGTGTTTCGGGTTGCTGATCGTAGCGGTCTCAGCTGGCTTGATCTCCTACTGTCTCCACCTCCACATGTACAGCCTGTCCGCTCTGGTCAACAGCAGCTCGAAGGGATTGCACACTATCGGAGCTGTCAAGCACGCCTTCATCTTCCGGATGCCTCCTACCCGAGCAGCCTCGAGCAGTTCCAGCCCCGAACCCGCTGCGAAACGTCGCAAGCGTTCATCGCCATCAGCATCGCCCTTGCAGGACATTGCGGACGCTGGCGACCGCTTCGGGGATGAGTATGGCGCCAAGTGGGCAGAGTGGCCTGCACCGAGATCGCAGATGACAGCGGCTAGCGAATTCATACGCGACATGTGAGCAGATCTTTTCCGCATGGGTAACGGGAGAGAGCTGAAGACGGCAGAGTGAAGCATAAGCGATCTGTGTTGCTCGTCCCGGATAAGGATGCCGACGGACTATCAGGTGAAGATCTCGTATAGAGATGGCAAGGAGCCGAAGCTGACGGCTCAGCTGGGACTATACTGTATCAAAGCCTCGTGCACCTCGGTCTGCCAACGGATCGAATACAGGTGCATCATCTCTCAAAGGGGACCAACGTACATTCCCAGAAGGAAGCGGAGCGGATCGAGGCGTACAACACAGACAAGATCGTCGTGCTGGATCAAGGAAGCCGGCCGGGAGAGCCAATAGCACCTGCAAGAGATGAAACGCCTCGCGTTCTCATCATTGACCATCATCAATCAGCCGAGGTGAGCGGCTTTGCTGGCGGGCGCGACGAAGAGGTAAGCTGATGTCTCAGTGGCCTGACCAGTCTCTGGTGCTCACTGCGTGCAATACACCGCCAATAGCGACTGCCGCATTGCTGACGTATTCCCTGGTACGGGATCTACATCCGAGAATCAGGCCAGAGGAAGGCTGGCGAGCGCTTGTTGGCGTCTTTGGAGGTGAGCAGGACGTCCGACTCGGCTGACAATGAGATCTCGGACCAAGTGAAGCCAAATGGGGAAAGGCGCCCTGGCCAGCAGAGCTTGGGGACATGCTCAAGAGGTGAGCACTGCATCTTCACCGTCGGCACCGCACAGTGTTGCTGACAAATCCAGCGTTGGCTCAAAGAACGTCTCAGACGCCGTAGCAGCCGTCAACGCGCCTCGCAGAACCGCAGACTATAATGGTGAGTTCTAGCTCTGGGCTGAGCTGACGTACAGTGCCAAGAGCATGGGATGTGAGTGCGCCTTCTAGGCAAGACTGACCTCAGATCATGCTGCAAGCGAAAGGACCGAAAGATATCGCCAATCACGCCTACCTCAAGCTGTGCAAGATAGACGTCAAGGATGAGACTGAGAAATGGGCCCGGACAGGTGTGTCTCCCTCGTGCTTCAGCTGATGGTAGCACCGAAGTTCTCCCTGGATGGACGAGTAGCGGTGGTCACGATTGATTCTGCCTTTCAAAGTAGGTCCATCGAGGAGGTGGAGCTGATTGTCAGTACATCCTGTTATCGCTACGCGATGGGCTGGGAACCTGGGGCGAAAGAGCAAAAAGCTCATCATGGTCATGGTGAGCATTTTTCCTACGTTGCGCGGACTCGTAAGCTGAAGTCACAGTGCGCCAATATGGGCTATAATCCCGATCCCGCCAAGGTGTCCTTCTCTTGTCGGATAGCAGCGAGTCTGCGTGACCTGCCGGACGAGGAAAGACGTGAGACCAGCCTGCGTGCTCTGCTGATCCCAGCCAATCTCATCGCCCTTCTCAAGGAGTATGGGGACATGATACCAGGGTTCCGCGAGCGGGTGGGGGAGGACTTTGCCCGAGGACATAAGGAGGCCACTGGAGGGATCATTCAGAAGGTGAGCTCACCATTTTGTTTTTGTCTCTAACTGACGCGAAGGTCGAATTTGCGCACCTAATAGAAGCGATGGGCGTACCGGCCAAGGATCAGCCTCGGCCATCGCCAGCTAAAGCTAAAGGTCAATCACCTGCCAAACCGTCCGACAGCAAGTCGATCAAGGACTTTTTCGCGGTCAAGCCATCGGTCAAGCCTGCCGTCAAGAAGGAATAGGGTGTCCAGTATATCGCGATGGAGATGCGATCCTGCTGCTGAGTGACTGCTGGCGGCTCTCGGAACTACTAGCGGTCTCAAGGGGCCAGGGCCACCGGCCTTGCGCCTGCAGGATCAGACAAGCGTTCGGCCGGTCCACCGGGTAGGAGGTGCTCGATAACACCATGGTCGCAGTCAGATCATCTTGCGATGCATCAGCTTGTATCCGAGCACTCGTTCCTGCCTGATACTCTTCACTTCTGTCGGCCATAGCTGTGAGGAGTCCGCAGGAACCCCCGTCCAAGAATCCATAAATAGCAGTTCTCGTTATCGATAGCGGCATCTGGAGATCTGCGAACTACCATAGTACTCGTATACCTTCCTTGTTCCCTCGATGTAATCAACCTTCAATAATGTTTCACATCATACATATCACCTTGATTGCGCTCTGCCAGCCTCTATGCAGAGGTCCGCAGCCAGCGGCCTGCTCCTCCCTCGATAGCTGAAGCAACCAAGCTCCAGCGCGATGGCGGCGCCGCTATTGCTCTTCTCGCTCTCGGACATGGTTCGGTCGCGGAGCCACTCCAGTCAATCAGAGGAGCATCCGGATGACGAAGGAGATGACGGAGATGAGAGGGAAATTGCGGAGGGTGCAGAGGAAGACGAGAAGTATCGACAGCAGCTGCAGACGTACCGGCTGTCGAGGGCAGGGACGAGGGAAAGTCGGGAGAAGGGAGAAGGGGCGAATCCCTCTGGTAGTCATGTCGAGGCGCAAGCCCCGGTAGATGAGAAGGGCAGAAGTGGTGAGGGTGTCGTGGAGAAGAGATCGGAGAGTAAAGCGGAAAGTGAGTAATCCGCGATGTGGAGAAGCAATAGAACTGGTCTGACGCATTAGGTGATGTAGAGGCTACCGGAAGAACGTCTCCCCCTCCCTCGAACACTAAAGATGGCGGTTCTGCAGGAACGGAACCGCCAGTCTGGTGGAGAAGGATCGGGCGCTTCATCTTTGGCGCGAAGGAGCAGGGAGGGGCCCAGAACGCAGCGGGCCCGCACGACCAGATAACGCCCAAGTACCGATGGACGCCCATCTTCTCCGGAATCGCCCAGCCCTTCTCGATCCTGCTCGAGATCCCCGGCCTCACCGAGCACTGGTACGTCCGCCAGGAGAATGGCGTCGCTGTCGCGTATCAGGAGAACCCGGTTATCCTCAATGTCGGGCTGGCTCTCTCCATGGCCTGCGGGGTAGTTGCAAACATCGCCCTCATCAACCGCTTCCTCGAGCGCAGGGTGTTCGTATCCACCTTGGTCTGCATCATCATGCTGTCCATCCATGACATCATCAACATCGTCGCGTTGGCCATCTTCGGGGTCATCCATGGCGTCGATGACGGGTTCGACTATTCCGAGGCCTTCTGGATGTGCGTCTGCTCCACAACCGCAAGCTTCTTCACCAATATCACCCTCATCTTCGACATCGCTCGGACCAAGCAATTCAGGCACTCGGGGTCGGGCCTCACGGCAAAGCAGCGCAAGCTCGTCATTGTCGTTATGGTCCTCCTCACCTATATTGCGCTCGGGGCGCTCGCCTTCAACTTTCTCATTCCAGAGATCGCCTTCCAGAATGCCCTTTTCTACACGGTCGTCTCGATCGAGACTATCGGCTTTGGCGACATCTCACCATCGTCTGTCGGCGCCCGCGTCTTCCTCTTCTTCTACGTGCCTTTCGGGATCTTCAACCTCGCTCTTGCGGTCGGCACGGCGCGGGACACGCTCGTCGAGTCGTGGTCCGCGGCGTACAGGCGGAGACGGCACAATGTGGTCAAGCGGCAGAGAGAGCGCAAGCAGCAGCGAGTGGAGGAAACGGCTCGGCTCATGGCGGCCGGACAGGGATCAAAGGCGGTCGAGCAAGCCTCTCGTGGGTTCAAGGGCGAAGGAGTCCGAGTGGGGAAAGCACGAGCTGTGATGGAGCAGTATGATACTCGGGATACTTCAGGGTCTGAGGAGGAGGATGAAGAGGAGCGATATCGAGCAGCTCTGGCGGAACTTTGCATGGAGAACGAGGAGGGGTACAAGAGCTTCCAGGAACGCATGGCGCACGAGGAAAAGATGGAGAACATATGGAAAGTGAGTCTCCATGTTGGGTCATCAGGACGAGCTGATCCAGCTAGTTTGGATCAGCCACCGGTCTCTTCGTCGTTTTCTGGCTGGTCGGAGCGGGCATCTTTACTCGCACAGAAGATTCTTGGGACTTTTTCACGGCGCTATACTTTTGTTTCGTCACTTTTACCACTATCGGTGTGTACTGTATCTAAGCCCGGTGGACCTCGCTGACGAGAAAGGCTATGGCGATGTTGTCCCCAATTCTCCTGCTGGCCGTGCTGTCTGTAAGTGAGCTCACGGTCATACAAGTCTTAGCTGATCGAACAGTCATCATCTGGGCAATCTGCGGAGTCGGCATTGTCACACTCATCATTGCCGTCATCACCGAGGCCTATTCGAAACGATATCAGACCGCTGTGACCCGCCGGATCAGAAACCCAGATACGCCTGGCTTGCCGCAGCTGCTTGACGGTCTAAGTAAAGATCAGCCTCCGGTCGTACAGCGGCAAGCTGCTGCAGAACTACCGCACGAGGTATGTGCTGTAGCATGCTGCTCCGGCTGGCTGTGCATCAGCTGATGTCATCAGATCCTGCAACTGCTGGAAGGTTGGAAAGAGCACATTCATGTCGCTCGATTGGCAGCGTTTACTGGAGGCCCGATCAGTAAGGAGGCGGAAACGATGATTGACAACTTCATGGCATCACGAAATGCCGACGGAGGCCAAGCATATTTCAACGAACCTGGTCATAATCGAGAAACCTTCTGGGACAGCTTTGAAGGTGGGTCTTTTCGCTCATAGCTTCCCATGCCGCTACTGATGATGCAGAGAGCGCACAGCGACTCATCGATAGTGTTGAAAAGGCAGTCCAGCGCGTGGATCAGGGCCGCCGCGACTTTGACATCTTGTACGGTCCAGGTGCATCCATGTCGGAACTCAAACTCGGCACCAGCGACAATCCTCTCGCGCCCGGCGACAGCACGACAGACCAGCCTGATCGGCGTGCGCATGTCTGAGGCAGAGACGGCACGGAGGAGGAATGGTCGGAACCCCTTTTGAGGGTCAAACATTGTGAGACATTCCCATCCAGCCAAAAACGGACTGCACGTTTGGTGGATCTCAAATCATTGACTCAAACAGAAACCGCTGAGGGCACGTCGCGTCAAGGGATATTAAAGGAGACCTGAGGGCAGGATACTCGCTTCATCCCTCATCCCGTTACCACTTGCACCTCTCACACCTCGGCCGACGTCGCGCACGCAAAATGAAGCTATCGCTCCTCCTCACCTCGCTGGTCACCTTCACCATGGCTACCGCCTACATGGACGTCAATCCCCCGGCCAGCACCCTTGCCGAGCGCTCGCACACCGGTGAGCTAGAAGACTGCTTCACCAACGCCGAGTGTATGCAGAAGGGTCTTCCCCTCCGAGCTCCGCGCCGTCGAGGGCGGAATGAGGCTCGTGCGCCTATGGTCTCTCCCATTCCGTGAGTAATACTTGATCCAGTGTCAGCTCGTCTCGCTGACAGCACCAGAGTGACAGGCAGGCTGCAAGTGTTCGACCAGTCGGGCGCATCTATGGGCTTCGTTTCGGCGTCTCGGAACGCTTACGGAGAGTATGGAGTGGTGAGTACCGTGCGCGACGCATTCTGAGTATCTAGTCGACCTCCAATCCGCTTTTCGTCACTCTCAACCGGGCGACTAGTGGCTCTCAGGACGTCATGACTGTTCGGTCGGCTGTAGGGTACTCCAACCTCGCGGCCGGTAAGTCACATATTGATGCTCGCATGGGCACACGCTGACGCTCAGTCGCCGGGTTCGCCAATACCAACAATAACTTCGGGACCGGGTCATTCAAGTGAGTATCTGCCTTGCTCTCTGAGGAGAGGTGTAGCTTATTCTGTAGCTACGCATATTTGAGCGGCTCGAACAGTCAGAGTGAGCCTTTCTTTCGGTGCTCAGTCTTCTGCGTCCTGGATGTAGGCTGATAGCTATAGCTCCTGTCGGCTCCAGGCCCGTGTCCCTTCCCAACAGCTTCTCTGACGCATCTGCGTTCAGTACCCAGAGGGAGCTTGAATCAGCGATCGTGAGTGGTCAATTGATAAGCTGGAAAGGATATCAAACTGACGCTACAAGTTCCGGTACAATCCAGTCACCATGGCGGTCACCCCACACTGGATCAACGCGGACGGTTCGGCTCCGGCTACTTTCTTTGTATTCGTCCCCTCCGACGGTGGTGAGTCCACTTCGGGAGCTCTGGCTTGGTGCCTTGAGGATATGTGCTGAACCTCCAGGCTTCTTGGCTTTGACGGGAGACGTAGCGAGCTTCCGCAGTACCTTTGGTACAGGTTCCCAAGTCGTAAGTCGCGGCTCCTCAGACTAATCAGGATAAGCTGATGTGTAGACCATGAAACTCGTCATCTCATAGGTTGAGGTAATGGATCCCTGGTCGGCGAGGGCGTGAATGAGGCCTAGGGCCTAGCGGCCGGGCTTTCGTAGAGTAGAACGGACATTTGGGGCATACGCTATGGACATTATGGGCAACACTGCCGGGGAGCTCTTGCTCGTTCTCGGCGCTGTAGGTAGCGCTGTCCGTCGATCCCGACAGCATCTGCTGGAACCTTTGTCGATCCAAGAGTCCAGGCCTTGCGCAGTAGTGTATTAGGAGTCCAGCTTCCGCAGGATCGCTCATCTTTTCGGCCGTCGGGACCGGTTTCACTTCGGGTAAATTTTGGGTGCACCATAACCGCCATAACCGGTCCTTTGCTATCTCCCGCAAGGCCGCAATTCGGTTATCAACTCCTGGACCATGTCTAGATCTGTCTCGACGGTCATAGAGTGGCCGAATGGACCTTTGAAAGGCGGTAAACGACTAGCATTGAGCCGCCAGCACACACACCTAGCATCATTCCCGGTCAGAACATAACCGCAGGCGCAGCTTGCACTTTCCTTCCAACTTCCTTCGCAACGCTCAGGTATTTTGGCCACCTTGCCGCCGCCGACAACACTGACACTTCTCAGACAGTTATTCCATATCACTCCAACTACAACATGTCGAGCTCTCCAAAGTCCGCTCGATCGCCTACAACCCTTACCTCCCCCACCCTCGCATCCCGGCGGACCTCCACCACACCTCGGAAGCCCCCGAGTAACGTCCGAGCGGCACCATATATGGTCGCGCTATCTGGGTGGCCAGAGCCGGTCTATATAGACAGTCAAGGGGTGGGGGCGGTACGCGGAGCGAGATCAAGGTCTGGGACGCCCAGGGGAAGCATCAGCGGCCCGAGCGGCGAGGCGGCAAAGACGTATGGGGGGATCGAGAAGGTGGAGGCGGTAGTGAGCGTGAATGAGGCGGCGAGAAGAGTGGAGGGAGGTGCAGGGCGAACATCGAGACCAAACACGCCAGGCGCCGGTCCAACTATCACGGAGGCCCTATACCCTTACCTCTACGCTAATACACGTCGGGGATCCCGACCACCTACACGACCCGGATCCCCGACTGAGCCAGCACCCGCACCCGCCGCGGCAGCTCCTTCCCATCATGCGCCTATGGCTCCGCCCGCCTCAACATCGGCGCCCGTACCCACCATCATCGCCTCCCCTCCTCCCAAATCAACGCCTCGCCCTTCCCCATCACCCTCGTCATATCGGCCAAAATTTGCCGACCCCCGCTTTACCCCACACGCCGCCTTTCTAGGGAAGCAAGGCGGTCATTTGCGGGTCGTCCCTAGCTGGAACGACTCTGCTCCAACCCCAGCGGCAGCTCGGGTCCTCTTGAGCAGGCATGAGGCTCCACCCGTGTACTCGTCCATCCGCACGCAGCACCCTGCGGACCCGGAGGCTTCGGAGAGCGAGGCGGAGGGCAATGGAGACGGGGAGTCGTTCGCGCGGCGGGTGGATACGGCCGCGGGGGTTGGGGGGCGGATACTACATCTAGGCACGATCAACGGGAGGACCTTACCGGCGATCATGCGCTCGACGCCCGAGGTGTATCCACCACCTCAAGCGCACGCGGCGAGCAGGAGAGCGGGCGGGATGGTGCCAGATGGGGCGGTGGGGGTCGTGACGGAGGTGTACCAGCGGGACCCGGAGAGTATGCACCTCTGGCCGGGGATAAAAGGATCAGACGGCGGTGCGGGGAGTGGGAGCGGAGGAAATCACATACCTACCGTTCGGCACGTCCCAAATCCAACTCAGCTCGATCCTCGGATCCGGGAGCACTATAACTCGGCGTTGGGCTCAGAGAAGCGTGAAGGGTGGACCCGGCCGGATGGCGGGGACGAGTCGAGGGGAAATGGGGAGGAGGAGGGTGTGGAAAGGTCACAGGGAGAAGAGGGGATGGTAGTGGATTGAACTTGAAGAGTTACCAAGGTAGTTAGCGGAGATCTAGCAGTCGTTAGTAGTGTCCATAGGTCAAGCGGTTATCTCGTAGTGTATATATCTCTTCTTGTAGGCTGTATGAATGTCGTTGTAGTCAGACTGATCATTGACCCGTCAGAATCCTTAGCATTGCGTTGACGAGCTGACTTGGAAAAATAAGACGCACTACATCCCTCGGTCAGCATATCCCCTCAGATCGCCATCTCTATAGTCTAGTAATGTGCCGTCAGATGATCAGCTCGGAAGAAGCTCCTCTTCCTCTTCCCCCTGAGCCAACCTGGGTAGGTCAGCACACACACTTCAGTTGTGAAAGGAGCAGAACTGACAGGTAATCTCGTTCAACCTTGACCTGTTTCTCCCGGTCCCAGCCGAGACCCAGCGATATACCCAGAGCCACCAAGCATCCAAAGAGGGACGTCTCGAACGCTGCGGCGTAGCACGGCACGCCCAGAAGACCTTTCAAGTCAGCTTATGACAGTCACAAGGCCGAGGTCCCGAGGCGGCTACCGAAGATGAAGCTTACAGTCATGCGCTCCTTCAGCTCTTGGCGTCAAGGTCCGTATCGTCAGCCTGACGACAGCCGATACTGGATCTTCCGCTGGATTATCTGGAGCAGCGATCCGGCCGACCTGTCTATATGAGCACGTTTCGCGGAGAAGCGAACGTGATAAGCAGACTGACCGAGTGAGAATCGTAGACTTTACCAAAGATCAGGTTGAACAGGTTGCCGCCGATGACTGGGGCAACGCAAATCCACCCGAAATTCTGAATTGTCAGCCTCTCCCGAGCACACGATGAGCTCCGGGATCAAGACCTGCCTGGCTGAAGTGCGCTGAGACGTGGTCAGCTCACGATGGAAGCGCCAGGTCATGAGAGCGGACTCACCCATGCCGTACCACTCGAGAACGAGCATAGGGAGCACGTTGAAGAGGCACCCATAAGATACGCCGAGAAGCGTCGAGACGAACCAAAGCGACTCGACGTGGGTCGTGAAAAGGGCAACGGTTTGGGATAGGATGAACAGTCCAGCCACCACGGGTAGAAGCCAGATCTGATTCAATTTAGCAAGTTCCAGCACTGTACTCACCCTTTGACCATTGAACCGAGCTTTCCATACGTCGGACGCGATACCTGTCCAATTAGCTAGAGTCGACCGCTGCACACTCGTGAGGGGCGGCGCTCACCTCCTCCTATGCGTCCCAAACAATTCCAAATGCTGATGATCCCCACGTTCTGGCTCTGCCACCCACTGACCTCCTTTTTGTTGTAACCCGCCCTTCCCTGCCGAGCCAGAACCAAAGCCACTGTGCCGACGTTGTTGATGTACATGAGGCCCGTACCGCACAGGATCGCCAAGACGAGCGCAAGGAGGTAGAAGGAGGGTGTGCGCAGGAGGACGAGTGGGCTGTACTCTGTACGAGGCGGAGTGTGGCCTGATTTGAGTAGTGGACCAGAAGAGTCGTTCCTGTCCAGTCGGGGTGGTATAGCATGTGGTGTGTTGGAGGACCGGGAGCGAATCAGCTCGAGGGACGGACCGTTACGCGATGATGTAGAAGTCCGGCCTCGCTGCTCGTCCACTGAAGACCTGAATCCCGAGTCAAAGATGATCTCGGGGATATGGCTGTCCCCGGCGTGTCCCTGGATCCGCTCATATCCCTCTTTGCTGGCGGGTGGGACGGCTTTGATGAAGAATGACCCGGTGATCATCGGTAGTCCTGTTCCGAGTGCCAGGAGGCCGACGAGCCCAGCTGCTTCTCCCGCGAAAAAGACGCGACCGAGGGAGGAGAAGAAGAATGCGGACAGGCCAAAGCCGGCGAGGACCGCTCCAGTTGCAGAGGCGCGCTGCGCGTCGGGGAAAGACTTGGCCGTTGCGTTGACTGCTGAGGCCAGACCTGCAGAGCCGGCGGATCCCGTGAGGAACATGGCGACCAGCAGGATCGCGAGTCGGGGCGAGGATGGGAGTGAGTGTGGCGATGCGCCCGCTGAGCGGAGGGAAAGGGTATGTACGAGGAACAGGCGGATGATCGAATACCCAGCGAGAGTGGAGAAACCTCCAAGCAGGAGTGGTCTGGATCTCAGCAGACTTATCCACTCTGTAGGTTAGACAGCGACTTACAGTCTCTGCCCTCGCGAGTCCACCATCTTGCCCCATATCGGGCCCGTAGCGTACACGCCCAGATTCCCCGCAAGACCGATTAGGTTGACAGTCGTTGAGGACACGTGTAGCTCGGTAGCTAGCTGGGGCGCATACGCCGAGTACACGTAGTTCGACCCACTATCTATCAGCGCGGCTCAACTGACCTACTCACCTCGCCAGACCGACCAAGATACACAGGCCAAAGACCAGCCATCTTCTCCTGTTATCGTCCATCTTTACTTGGCGGTGGAGGTGCCAATTTTCGGTCGACGGAACTGCGGATAGTCCTCAGAGCAGCTCGATAGCCATATCGCTCTCTCAGCTGGACTAGCGGCTCTGCGACTATATTAACACGAGAAGTATAGTTGTGAGAAGGAAAGCGAAGGACGCAAAGATACCTTGCTGCAGAGCCTTTGGCTCTGGCTGAGTGAGATACATACGGGCCGGGCCGGATCCGAGGATATTCCGAAACCGAGTACGTAAGCCTCAGGCGATCTGCCGTAATTCTTACTCTCGCCGGCGTCGACGCGACCGTGGTCAACTGTCAACATCTCATCTCTATAGCTACTACATCCTGCAATCGACTACCTACACCATCTCTAATGTACACTCACATCCTATCGACGCGGTAGGGGACAACGCCATGACAAGCACCGCGCTAGCCTTTGCTGAGTACTCCCCTCTTACAGCTGCGGCACTCGAGACCTTCCCTTCCACATTGCCCCCCAATTCGTCAATCACAGCAAAGCTTCATTCTGTCGCCGACGGAAAGCTCGTCTCGCCCTATATCACCTGCTACTTTCGGAAAGTCGTCCTCCCCGGGACCTTAGGATCTGCGGCACCACAGTACGGAACGTCTGACAAGCTCCAGGTCCAGGTGAAGCTCAAGCTGGACTCATCATTGGCCCACCTGCCGCAGGAGCTCTCACGCACTCGACTCGACAGCGCGCGAACCCTTCTCGTATCGCTCGTTGGACAACTCGTGACTATCTCAGTCAGCGGAGGGATTTTCTCTGGTGTTGAGCACAACGAGTTGGGGCGATCCATTATCATTGAGTGTGCCGGAGATAGGTTGGCTGGGGTCGTAGGACGACATGCCAGTAAGATCGAGCTAGGTGAGTCAGCTTTCGTAAGACTCCACGCCCGTGACCGTGAGCTGATATATAGGGACACCGGCTGCTGTGCGCACAGCCTCCAAAGCACCATCTTGGCTTTTGCCCTCATCGCCCGTCCGCCCATCCGCAATGCCCCACTCCGGCCCTTCGGTTTCCCACCCTCCTCCTCATCAGCCCACGTCTACCTCGGCGAGGGGAACCGGTGGCTCGTCACATCCACCACCTACCCAACGCTTACAACCCCTCAGCTCCCACATGCCAAAGCTGGACCCATCTTCCGCTCCGCAGTCACAGCTTCCTCAATTCGGCAAGCGGCGCTATCCTAGCGACGGCCAACTGCCTGACAGCTCTCACGCCAAAAGGCAGAAGATGGGGGAGACGTTGGGTGTGCGGTCTCACTCGGACTTTGGACATGGGTCGCAAGCTGGAACAGCTGCGCCTGGAGGGAGCACAATATCGGGCGGTCAGGGACGCGGGACCCCTGGTCTCCCAGGAGGCGTACAGCCAACTCAAGCCGCAACGTATACGCACCGTACGCGACCGGTGCAGGAACCTCTTCCCTCCGCAACTCCCATCCTCCGTGCGGCTGAGATCTCCCACCCCCAAACACTCTCTCGGACCTCCTCGACCTCTTCCTCCCTCGCTGGTCAAGCGACGCGTTCAACCTCCACTACATCGTCGAATCGCGCTCGTACCGACTCCGGAACGTCCGTCGAGGGTGCAGCCCTTCGTGCGGCTGCCATCGCAGAGGCCAAGCTGGCATCATCGGCGGATTTTCCGCCTCGTGCAAACGCCCCAATCCAATCCACTCGTCCTCCAGCGCCTCCGGCTGGAGCTGCTGCCCACGTCTCGCGGGCTTCAGTCCCATCAGGACCCATCGCGATCAACCGGGTCCAGATCGTGCCGGCAGGGGCTTCACCGCACAACGGCAACTCTGCGCCAAGTACTGGGCGGAGTCAATGGGGCGGTGGAACTGCAGGTGGACAAGGAGGTTCGGCCAGCATGGGCGGCGGCGGACAGACGACGTATACCGATATCGCGGGAATGGGGGCCAAAGTCAGGGGTATAGCCAATGCGATGGTCATAATTCAGGAGTCGATGGCTGCGATAACGACAAGTGAGCTCCGCTATATCCTGGTCAGCGGCTGGGCTGACTGAAATAGGAACGGGTGACTGGATGCGCAGTTACCGCACGACGGACCCGAGTGCTACCGACGAAGACCTGATCGTCGCATTATTCAGACGGACGGAAGAAGAGGTGCCTGTCCTACCTCCGGGGACACCAGTCCTATTACAAGGAATGAGTGTGAGGTCTGCTCTATATGTCATGGGTCAGTATGGGTCAGAAACTTACAGGAGCAGGTGACCGAGTACAAGAACAAACCGAAGTGCCAAGGTTTCTCAAAGCCTGGCAATTCCTGGGCCATGCTCAAGGACGGTCAGCTCTTGCGACCGGAGGAAGGGAGGATACTTTCGCCCATTAGCGAGCAGGACATACAGGACCTCAAGGACATGAAGCGATGGTGGGATGAGACTCACGGGCGCGGGTCTCGAGCCGGCGGCGCACGGGAGGGGGACTTCCCCGTGCATCGTCAGGCCATCACCAGCGGCAGGAAGATGATCGAGCTGAAGGACGCGGTGTTCAGGGCTTATTGCGATATCACGGTCAAGGTAAGCCCATATCCGCCAACGCGGCCCGGTCAGGGGTAGCATCTCTGACAGTCAGATTCTGCAAGTCGCCGTGCCAACCAGCGGTACAACCGAAGTGGAGGTGTGCGTGACGGATGGTACAAAGCATTCTCAACCCCTTTGGGATCATCACGGAGTCGCCTCGGCCAATGGACTGCCTCTTGGTACCGTCTGGCAGATGTCGATCGAGACTCGACCGGATGATGCGCAAATGCAGGTTCTGGCGATAGGCAACGTCGTCAGGTTGACGAATGTCTTACCGAAAGAGAACAAGAAGATGGGCCCGTTGGAGCTACGATGGTGTAACAAGAACGGGGCGGGACAGGAGCACTACCAGCCCAAGAAGGCCATACTCATCCCGCCCGGAGACTCAAGGGCCCTTGCCATTGAAGAGTGAGTGACCTTGGAGATTTCAATTAGTATCATTCAGCTGATGAAACCCAGGCGACTGAGAGTGCTGAGAGGCGGATCGCCCGCCCCAGCGGCTTCAGTCCGTGCATCCCCGATGACGGCTGAGCATGCACCGGTCTCCGCCCCGCCCCAGCCATCCCATCGCCCCCAAGCACCAGCAGCTCAGCCGTCCCATCGCCCACAAGCACCAGCTCAAGCACCAGCTCTAGCACCAGCTTTACCCCCACTTCCTGCTTCGGCGCCGGCTCCATGTCCACCGGTCAAACCAACCCACGATCCCTTCCATGGCGTCCCGAAATCCACTCAAATCAGCACAGTCAACCAAGACCCGGTCCGGCATCCCCTCACACCTCTGTCCGACATCGCTGGGAATGGCCAGGTGCCAAATCGGTTCAAGGTACGAGCCAGGGTGGAGAAGGTCTCGTCGACGGGGAAGGTACAGGGTTCATTGGTTATCAAGTATTGTAAGCGTTGTGAGCGAAGGTGAGTCTCGTACGGAAGGATTGTCTGGCTGGACCTCCTCGCGACCGTCTCATAGACGAGGAGCGGACAAAGACCTCGACTTTCACCAGGCCATATGGCTGACATGCTAGCTTCGATACGGCTTTTTGTTTGTCTTGCAACGATAGCGATTGGAAGGCGACAGAGCTGCGATACCGCTTCGTCATCATCTTGACCGATGCCCGGATCATCCCAGCAGAAGGGCAACCCCCGTCAGACACCCACGCCACCCTTACAGTCCTCGTCAGTGACTCGAACGCCGCGGACTTCCTCCCCCCTCTCCCACCTGTCGATACCAGCAATAACAACCCCAACAAGCAGAGGTCACTCGATGCGCGCTTAATGTCAATCAGCGCGAACGTCAAGGACCTGCTGCTTGGGCCCAAAATCGATGGCGTCGAACCGCGTCCAGAGGCAGAGTGGTGCGTGGAGAGCTATACGGCGAAGCCGAAGCAGGGGAAGAAGAAGGGGAAGAAGGGGAAGGCTGCGGCGGAGGGTACGGGAAAAGAGGTGGAGGGGTACGTCATGCACAGGGTGTTTGGGATGCAGGCGGCGCGTCACGCTTGAGGAGAGGGAGGAGATCTGGGCCATGCTTATCGGACGGAGATCATCTGTGAGTCATCTCGGCATTATAGCCGACGGCGCTGATGTCCAGGTAATCATATCTGTACTGCTTATTATGCTATAGTAGATGCCCATCAACCCTCCTCTTCCTTGACCTCTGGCTGTTGCTGCCACCATGCCTGCTCAGGCACCCACCGCATCCCATACCATCCCCACTCAGGCTCTCTAGGCTCTGGCAGAGGTAGCCAGCCGACTGCGCTCCGCCCAAACCTCCCAGACCACTCTTCCCACTTGAGCTTGGCATCCTCCTCCTCCGCCTTGGACTTTTCCGCCTTGGCCGCGTCAAGAAGGGATTTGGCGATTAGTGCGATATAGGCATTGTCGGTGTTGGCCGCCAGCGGCTCGAGGGCGTCGATGAGGGGTACCAGGGAGGCTGACGGGATGGCCTGTAGGAGGATGACCGCCTTGAATGACGATGGTGCAGCAGATTTGAGCCGTTCCGTTAGGGTGGAGACGATTATGCCAAGTTTGTCACTATCACGTCAGGCTATCGTCAAGGAACGGGTGTCCATACCGGGAGCGCAGTTGCAGGAGGCGGGAAGAACTCACGGGTGCTGACACCAGCTTTGAACTAGCGCATACGTCGGCCAGTCGATGGAGAGGTAGGGGCTGCTGTTGGTGAGCCACTCGATGGTTGAGCGGACATCATAGAGATCGTCATTGCCTGCGTAGAGGCTCGTCATCGTGAATGTCAATGGTGAAGTCGTTCATCTTGCAGTCTAGGGGACATAGGTGGCGAGGGGTCTGCAGGGCGAGAGACCAGGCGCACATACTGCATGGCCCTCACACGAGATGACACGAGGGGGCACACATCTGCGTGTGCTAGCCACATGCTCAGTGTTCTGAGACTTTCCGGCCGGCCGAAGCGAACAGAAGCCTGGAACGATCGGGCGGCAGTTGTACGACCGAGCACGGGCGGTAGTCGGAGGGTTAGGTGATCGAGCGGCAAGTATCGGCTGGGTGTCTGGCGATAGATCTGTGCCCAGACCTTCGGGACCCTCCTAGAGAGCTGAGACATGCTCGGTAAGTATCTTGCTGAGCCAAGCTACATACTTTACCAAAAGCGAAAGAGCAAGCAGAGAGAAGGTGGGCGGGAAGCTTCGGGAAGCGGACCATCCGAGACACATGACCCTGAAGTGCCGGCATTTTCGGCTTGAACCTGAAACGCGCCGTAACGGGAGAGGTGACTGGGCCTTTTTTCAACCTGTCGGGAGGTCCCGTCGTTCTATACCTTGTCTCCCGCAGAGCAAAGCCCTCATACCGCATACCCAATCACCTACAATCCATAGCGGCCTATGCTAACCGTCCTCTCATTACCGACCCGTCAATGACCTGGCATAGGCTATCTAGGGGTCGAGGTATGCCTTGAGACCGGTCTTCAACTTTTTCTTAGCACCTCTGTACAGGTTGGCACTCCCGAGCTCAGGTCTTTGATCGAAGGTGCACAGCACTCTGACCGATGGCCCGATGTATATAAGATGAGAGCTGCTCACCCACTGACCCACTCATCTCACCTTCAGTCTCTTCACCCCTCTCCCTCAACCCTCCCAACCACACCTATCCTCCTCGCCTACCTCCCAACCTCCAGCCACAATGCGCTCCGCCGTCGCCCTCCTCTTCACCCTCCAACTCCTCGTCACCTCCGCTATTGCTCGCCCAGGTCAACAGTCAGAGCGCGAAGACTTCTCCGTCGGTACAGTCTCGGCTAGCAAGCGGACCCTGGGCTTCTGCTGGCTCACGGGGTGTGACGATGGGCAATTCTGTACCTTGACCGGCACCTGCTCCACCTGCGATGGTGGCTTCTTCCTCCTCTCAACTTCCAACACCTGCTCCAAGTGCCCATCTGGTGAGTTAATTATTGTATACAAGACCTTAGAATCGCGCTGACTATTAGGCTACTACTCTCCCTTCGGCTCCCTCCAATCCATCATTTCCCCTGCCGGTTCCTACTGCGCTGGTGACGGCAACGTAGCTCCTACACCTGCTCCCGCTGGCCATTACTGCCCTTCTCAAGGCGCCACCACCCCCACTCCCGCCCCCGCTGGCTCTTACTGCTCCGGCACCAAGAACACCGCGCCTACCCCCGCTCCCGCCGGCTCTTACTGCTCAGGCACCGGTAACACCGCCCCCACCCCTGCACCCAAGGGTCACTCCTGCTCGGGCACTGGTAACACCGCTCCTACTCCTTGCGCCCAGGGCTTCTACAGCGACATCCTCGGCGGCTTGACCTGCAAGACTTGCCCCCTCGGCTTCTTCTGCCCTCCCAAGTGCGAGTCCCCCCAGCCCATCGTCTGCGCGGATGGCAAGGAGCTCGTCGGATCCTCGTGCGTCAACTGCGACCCCGGAGAGTTCTCCACCGGCGGCAAGGCTTGCCAAAAGTGCGCCATCGGCTTCTACTCGTCGTCTCCCCAATCCACCTCATGCACTGCCTGCCCCACTGGCCAGACCACTACCACCACCGGTTCCTCCTCCTGCTCCGCCATCACCTGCTCCGCCGGATCCGCCATCGTCAACGGTGCTTGCGCCCTCTGCCCCGCTGGTCAGTACTCGGACGGCAAGTCGCCTTGCTCCTCGTGTGCCGCTGGCTCCTTCTCCAAGGCTGGCGCCGCTACCTGCACATCCTGCCCTGTCGGATCGTACTCCTCCTCGACCGGTACCGCCAACCAGTGCACCACCTGCTCCACCGGCACTCAGGCTCTCAGCACCGGCTCTACCTCCTGCTCCCCCATCACCTGCAGCGCCGGATCCGCCCTCGTCAACGGTGCTTGCTCTATCTGCCCTGCAGGTCAATACTCGGACGGTAAATCGGCTTGTGCTCCTTGTGCTGCCGGTTCATTCTCCAAGGCTGGCGCTGCTACCTGCACTTCCTGCCTCCTCAACACCTTCGCATCCGCCACCGGGACCGCCAACCAGTGCACCGCCTGCTCGGTCGGTACACAGACGCTTACCACCGGCGCTACCAAGTGCGACACCACTACCTGCCAAGGCGGCTTCTCGCTGAACAACCTCGGCGCCTGCGTGGCTTGCGCTGCTGGCAAGTTCTCGGATGGCAAGTCGGAATGTCTCCCATGCCCGGTCGGCTACTTCTCCGGCGCCGGCGCCAACGCCTGCACCTTGTGCCCGATCAACACCTTCACTTCGAGCATCGGTACGGCCATTCAGTGCACCATCTGCGCTACCGGTACCCAGGCCCTCATCCCCGGTGCGACCAAGTGCGACCCCAAGACCTGCAGCGCCGGCTCCGGTCTCTCCAACGGTGCCTGCGCCACCTGCCCGGCTGGACAATACTCTGACGGTACCTCGGCCTGCGCCTCCTGCGCTGTCGGCACCTTCTCCAAGGCCGGCGCCTCCTCGTGCTCCGCTTGCCCCGCCAACACCTACACTGGCAAGACCGGCACGGCCGACCAGTGCACTGCCTGCGCCAGTGGCTCGACCTCCTTCCCCGGCTCATCCTCTTGCACCACCACCACCTGTTCTCCCGGAAACTACCTCGACATCCTCGCTGGCTCCTGCAAGCAATGCCCAGCCGGTAGCTTCTCCCTCGACGGCATCGCCGCCTGCGCCCCCTGTCTCCCCGGTTCATTCTCCACCGCTGGCTCGTCTTCCTGCACCCCATGCGCTATCGGCACCGCCACCCTCCTCCCCAGTACCCCCAACTCCTGCCCCGCCTGCCTCTCTGGCACCACCACCTACTCCAAAGGTCAGACTATTTGCGTCCCCGGCTGTCCCGCTGGATCCGAGCCCGTCCTCTTTGGTATCGGCGGATGCAGTGTCTGCCCTACTGGCAAGTACTCCAGCAACGGCTTGGCTTGCCAGGCTTGCCCCACCGGTCAGACCAACAACGCCGCACACACCGCCTGCCAGGTTGCTCCCTCCATCGGTCTCACCAAGTCCCGCCGCTCCATGGTCTGTGACGCCGGTCGTACCGCCTGCGCTATCGGTGGCGGTCCCAAGGTCCGCGCTTTCGAGTGCGTCGACACCATGAACGACATCCAAAGCTGCGGCGGATGCTGGTCTACTGGTGCTGGCGTCGACTGCACTGCCTTTGACGATCGGGCTACTGCTACATGTGTTCGTGGTCAATGCCAATGTGAGTAGTGTCTCTTTGCCTTGTCTTGAACAGTTGCTGATATCGCAGACCAATGTCCTCTTGGTTGGGAATTGTCATCGACGGGGTGTGTGAAGAGCTCGGCGGGCGCAAAGAACGGATCGGCCAAGTCAGCAGCGATGGCGGGGGTTTGGCACATCCAGGCCAAGGTATGAGTGGAGCTGTAATTTGGGATAGAAGGGCTTAGACAATTAGACGACTATATAACGACTATAATGTAGCTTAGAGCAGACATCATCTTTGGGCATGTACGATTTTCTTCTACACTATCTTCATCAGTTCAAGCTCTCCATGAAGATCAAGTGATCATCTCACATTTGACTACTGCTTGAAGTTCCCACTAAGAGTGTAACCAGTCCGCTTGACTGCCCGCTGATAGCTCTCTACCTCTTTTGTACGCTGCAGCCATGCCTCGACCTGGGGCCATCTTCCCTCTCCATGTCCCTTATTGCCCAGCTTGCGCTCCAGCATGAACTCGATACTGACTGATCAGCTCACAATCGCCTAAGATGGCCGCAATTACTCACCTGAATTGCATCTGAATGTCCGCCGCAGACATCTTGTCCCCCACGATCCACACGCACCCCCTCGCCTTCTGCGCCTTGAGCTCCCCCTCGAGCCAATTCATATCATTGACAACATTCTTGCTCATCCGCTCCTCCATATCCACCATCGTCCCCTTGGCCTCTTCCGCAATGTTCCAGCGGGCATACAGGATTGCCGACGCGTGGAGCATGAACGTCCCCTCGGCCGCGTGAAGCCACTGCCGGACGTTGGCCCTCTGCTGTGGGTCCGTGGGAATGAGGGGCGAAGACGTCTTATCGCAGAGGTACTCGATGATAGCGCCAGATTCGGTCACGACGACGAGATCATCCTTGATGGTTGGGCTCTTGCCGAGGGGGACGGGGATTTGGGATTTGAGCCCAGGCGGAGCTTGGCCGTTTGGCGCTCGGTCGGCGCCAACGAGCTCATACTCGAGTCCAAGCTCCTCGAGGAGCCAAGCGATACGGATGGCTCGGGACGAGTTGAGGAAGTAGAGGGTAAGCATGGTGAGGGTGATGGACAGATCAGGGGAGGGCGAAAGTCGGGCGACCTATATACCCGGAGTCGGCTGGCGGAGACACCGGTGTTTGAGAGTGGAGGTATGAGGTGCAAGCCGGAGATGCGGTCAGCTGCGAAGATGTGGCACTGATGGAGGTGGCGGGATGACTAGTGCTAATCGCTACATCGAAATCTACTGCTACAAGGTATAGGGCCATCTACAATACAGCTCCAATGCTCATGACCGAGCCCTTTTTGATTGAGGTCGATCCCCGAGATCCTCCCCGTCCGCGTTTGGGGGCTCGTCCCTGACCCGCCCCGCTCTCGCTCTCTCCAGTCTTCCCTCCTCCGCCTCCTTGACGATCCCCTGGATCACAGACATATCCGCCAGTCCCTTGACCCTCCAGCCCGTCAACGCCGCATCCCCGCCAATCGCCGCCCGCTGCAGCCTCGGATCAGACGATCCCAGACCTGTCAACGCGTAAATCGCGCAATGACGCCAGCCATTCTTGCTTGCAATCTCCCTCATCTGCTGCGCCGCCTCAATCCCGTCTATCCCAGGCATGCTCACATCGGTGAGGACGAGATGGGGCTCGAAGTTCTTAAACTTCTCGACCGCCTCTTCTCCGCTCGCCGCTTGTAAGCATTGGACAGGTGTCTCGCTTTTGCGCAGCATCGCCCGGAGGACCTTTAGGCAGATGGCATTGTCGTCCACGATGAGAACGCGGAGTTTGTCGGCCGCCTTTTCCAGGAGAATGGCGATAGGTATCTCCGCGGCCGTTCGTAGCCTTTCCTCCTGCAGCACTTCCCGGACTATACCTCGGGGAGGTGCAGCTGCGACGGGCAGAATCGCTTCAAACGTCGTCCCCTTCCCTACCGCCGAGTCCAGGTTGAAGACCCCATCCATCGTCTCGACCAGCTGCTTGGTGATATGCAGGCCGAGTCCCGCGCCGGGCGAGTGCTGGTCCGCCTTCGTGAAGGGTTTGAGGAGACGCGGAATAGCACTGGTGTCAAAGCCGACGCCGGTGTCCGTGATGCGTGTGACGAGGCGGTCTGTAAAGGATATGGAGAGGGTGATGGTACCGGTTGGGCAGAACTTGATGGCGTTTGTAAGACCATTTATGAGGACGCTAAGATATCAGCTGCATTCCTGAAACCGTACGAGGTACTCACCGATGGTATCTTGGCTTGTTGACGCGGATCCGGCGCTCTTCGCACTCTAGCACTATCCTAGCCGCCGTCTCCATGCCCTTATATTGCGCCATACACATCCGCGCCGCATTCTTGACCACCTCTATCAGCTCCACCTCGCTCTGCTGCTCCACGTGCTGCTCCATCGACCCCGTCTGGGCCGGCCTCGAAAAGTCCAGCACGTCGTTGAGGATCATGCTCAGGGCTAGACTGCTCGAATGGGCAATGTCTAGCACCTCCGCTGCACCGACTGTATCCCCATCATGTAGGCATTTCTGCGCCAGCTCCACCCCGGACAGGACCCCGTACAGGGGTGTCCGCAGCTCATGGCTTATAGACGACAAGAAGGCCGTCTTGGAGGCATCCGCCTCGAGTACGCGCGCCTGGGTGCTATTGGAAAGCAGTATGGCTCCGATGGAGCGGACGAGGTTGGTGGTCGAGTCTGGGATAGGGACGCGGTGGGATATGCCGATCAGGATGAAGTTCGGTTGGTGATGCGAAAAGTAAGGGACCAGCATGTGGGCCTCGATATCGTCGGGGAGGTAGATTTCCAGCCCCGATTCCGAGCGAGGTCGCCTCGTATAGACAAAAGGAGCCAGCTCGTCGTTGAGGTATGCCAGGACGCGGTCCGTCGAAGGGGATTGGGACATGACTTGCGGGCCTGATGACGCGACGATGGTGACGGGGCGAGAGCTGACGGGGTCGAGGATGAATCTGCGACTACCTGGCTGGACGTCAGCGAAGGAGCCGTGCCAGGACGTACCATAGTGCATATACCCCTGACGTCGATCAAAGCGGCACCCGTCAAATCTGACGCCGCAATCATCTTGTCCAGTGCAGACTGCGCAAGCTGCGCAAAGCGAACGCCACACCCGCTTGATCCCTCTCCCTGCCGCTGACCCCCGTCCAGTCCCTCCGCAATAAGCTCGGTCACCACCTTTCGCGCCTTGGCCTCCCTCGTCCGGAAGTGCGCCTCCCACGTCAACCTCAATTGTGCGGTAAGCATCTCGGTGGTATTGGTAATGACCATCCGCTCCGCGTCCGTCAACACCTCGTGGTGCGAGTCGACAAACATGATGTTGATTGCTCCTATGGCTACGCTGTCCGGACGTCCGGGTGAGGCAGGTAGGGGAGTGGTCTGTCCGGTCGACTCGAGGGGGTCGCATTTGAGTTGGACCGGGCTACCGATGTAGCTGACGACCCCGTCATGGACGTAGGGATTTGACCGAAAGCGCCAGTCCTCGTCCATCCTGGAGATGAACATGATCTTGTCCTCGAGAAGGACAGAATGACCGCACAGGGACGTGAAGTTGGTAACGTCCGTATTGTTGATTATACCGAGCCGATCAATCAAGGGTTGATTGCCCGCCACTCCGAAAATCGTCTGGACGTTGTTCCGGAATAGGGTGAATGTGAGGACGGCCTGAGGAAAGAAGGCCGACAGGATGTTGACCGCCGCTTGGATACTGCCTGTCTGGACGGGACCGAGAATGTCGTACTCGGCCAGTAAACGTCCGCGGAGGGCCTCGTGCGGCGAGCGGGGAGGGGGCATGTGGTCCTTGTAGTAGCAGTAGGCTCGGACCTGACGCGCGACATCGTCGGTGATGGGGGAGAGTGTGTATGGAGGGTACTCTTGAAAGTCGTCTAACAGGGATGGGTGTGGGGGTGGGGGAAAGGGGAGGGATGGGTCTCGAGCGGCCCCTGGGGAAGGCCGACGGGGGAAGGTATCAGGAGAGAAACTCCCTTCAGAATAGCCTTGAAGAAAAGTCTTCCATTCCACGATTGTCGAGTCTTCCGAGGGGAAAGAGTCTGCCATCACGACGATGAAAATGGAACCTGACTATAAACACAGGGAGAGAAGAAGGCTGAGAGGCAAAGAAGAGTTTTGCACTAACGTGCGTCACAGGGTGGTGATACACACCCAGTCGTGATACAGCGGGGCCAACTACCTCAATGCCGTAAGACACAATTACCGAAAGAGGTAATTTTTCAGGCGGCGTATCCCGACCCCGTGTGTATCACGACCCTGTGAGCCACGTTAGCTAGGTGATTTCTTGGCTGACCAACCTTTAAATTGATGCCGTAAGGATCGTGTGCGTCATCGATATCGCTCGCCCATCGCCCACCTCATTCCTCTGTGCCTTATTTTCGCTTCCGCTTCGGCGGGCAGCGAAGGCTATCTCTTGGCCATCCCCTCACCGGACTGGGGGCGTGGCATGACCTAGCATCACAGCGCAACTATCATAACCTATGAGCTCATCACCAAGCCGTATGCCCACCGTCCACCATCAGATCCGCCCCGGTCATGAAGCTCGAAGCATCCGACAACAGGAAAAGCACGGGTCCACGGAACTCGTCCGGAGTGGACAACCGTCCCAGCATACTGCCCCGCGTCCACTCTTCCTCAAAGTCGGGGCGCTCAGCGAGGAGGGCATCCGTCATTGCTGTACGGATGTAGCCTGGGGAGAGGGTCTGCTGGTCAGCGCTATGTACGCCTGTGCGAACAGACCACGGGAGCGGAAACCGATGAGCAGCTTACATTGATCCTGATGCCGTGCGGACCCCATTCTGCTGCTGCACATCTCGCCATTTGTAGGAGAGCCGCTTTGGAGCTGTTGTAGGCGATACATGCCAGCCCTTCATGTCAGCGCGGCGGAGCGGCTTCAGAGTTTATACACACCCTTATTTGCAACTGTGCCCGACATGGAAGCGGTCATGGCTATACTTCCGCTGATCTTCCGCTTAATCATCTCCTTCGCGGCAGCCTGGATCGTAAGGAACATGCCTGCTCGTCAGCTTAGCTCTCTCGCCATTCTCACCTGTCACGTTGATATCCATCACTCGCCTAAAGTCCGCCTGCTTAAAGTCCACCGCGGGGCACATGAGCTGTATGCCCGCCGCTCCAAAGAAGCGGGAGATCGACACCTTCTTGCCCTCCTTGTCATTCTCTTCGTATGTTGTGCCGATGACCTGCTGGACCGCCTCGGCATCCGTGATATTCAGCTGGCGATAGACGATCTTTGAGCCTTTGGCCTTGGCGACTTCCTCGGCTTTCGCCCACTCGGCAGCGTTGGGTGAGGGGAGGATATCAAGGCAGTATACCGCAGATGCGTCGGCCTCGAGAAGGGCGATGGCGATGCAGAGACCGAGACCGCGCGCTCCGCCAGTAATGAGGACGCCTTGACCCTTGAGGGAGAAGAGGGTAGGTGTGGATTTGGAGGCGTGGGAGGTTGCTGCCTGGTGTCAGCGACAGAAGTTCGCCAAAGCAGAAGGCCAGGTAGACTCACCGCTTGCCTCGGCCGTGCTAGCCACAGCGAGGTCCACCACGGTTTCGCCCTTCGTAATGTCTGCCGAGTCCTTCTTGGTTGGGTGCACCCCTGGAGACGAGTCGGTGGCGGACATGGCGGGTGAGCGATTTTTCACTAAATTTTATTGATGTTGAGAAGCAGGAGGAGCTGCTATATAAGGCGTAACTCTACAAATCAACTCAATTGACGGTAGTACGGTAGTAGGTCCGGTTGCAGCGTGTAAGCTCATGTCAGCCGGGGTTCGGTCGGCGGTGGAGCAAGTGGAGGTCAACTGCAACGGAGCCCCACCGCACCGGGCCGCGACATGCCGGACTTGTCCTCCGACCGATCTTGCCTTGGCCCAACTTTTTTTTCCTTGTCACCTTGCTCTTCACACTTTCTCTTTTGATTGATCCTACAAGCTATATACAAGCTTAGATATCTTTAGATTCCCGTATATGTAGGATATCGTCAACTTCGGCACCTATCAATCAGTCTCGAGAAGCCGCTTCAGGCTCATCCGCCCCTCCACCCCATTCCCACCATTCGATCGCGATCCCTCTGTCCCCACGACCGGTACTGCGACTGCATTCGGAGGCAGAAGCACGTCGTTGGGAGCGCCCATCTCAACATCCGCCGGAGCTGCCTTCTCCACCTTCGTGTTCCTGCTCATTGCGCCAGTCTGCATCTCCCTACTATCCGCCTCGTCCTCCAGCATCTTCAAATGCCCGTCACCCAAAGGCACCGCCAAGACCTCGCCGTCTTCCACCTTTCGCCGTTTGACGCCCTCCCCCACAAAATGCGGATTCGGCGGCTGCAACCTCCGCCAAAGTCCCCACCAGCTCGTCTGCGCCTGCTCGTTCAAAAGGCCGACAACGAGGATGGTCGGGAGCATCTGCGCGAGGGTGTGGACGATCTCGAGCTGCGCCTCAGATGACCAGGTGTATGAGCCGACTTGAAGAAGGCGGAGGTATGGGAGCTGGGCGATCGGCCGGAGTAAGGTGATCTGTGGGTCAGCTGGATCAAAGGGTCAGAAAGGGGACATACGAAATGCGCTACGGTCGTCTCGTGTGCCTCGTGGCTCTTCCTCAGGGGTCGGTCGATAAACAACTCCTTAAACCCCGTGTACTCCCTCACCATCTTCTCTAGAAATCCGCCTCGACCACCGCTCCCCACATCCCAGCCTCGGATCGGCCCGCACAACGTCATCGACACCCGCTCGCTCTGCTCGCCATTCGGTGGCGGTCGCTGGCGCAGCTCGCGGCATACCGTCAGGATATCCTCGGGATCCATCTCGTCCATGTCTGCGTCGAGGACGAGGGTGGAGAGGCGGTAGCAGTGCCGGATAAGATGGAGGGTCGAGACGAAGGTGGAGACTTGGGCGTACTGCCGGAATCCGGATGGAGGGGGAGCACGTTGGCGCCACCCGAATGAGGTGAGCCGGGCAGATATAGGGAGGGGCGGTTGGTCCGGCACGGGCGTAGCAGGAGCGAAGAGTGGCGCTGTGGCCGAGAGGGACGCCCGACTGCGTCCAGTGGGGAGGAGCTTGGGCGTGCTGGGCCGGGTTGGCGGAGGAGGGACGTGGAGCGAAGGGTGGGCGATGAGTGATGAAAAGAAGAGAGCGAGGGCAGAGTCGTCTGACGCATCTGCAAAGATGGACATGTGGGATAGGGACGGGAGAGAGCGAAACAGCTCGACCAGCTGGGCTGATTCCGACCAGCACGACCTTGGCTGGCGTGGAAGAATGGAGTGGACGAGCCGGCCCTGGGGGGTGGATCCGAGGAATGGCGAGGTATTGAGTGAGTCTGACTCCGGGTCGGGATCAAACATGTTGAGGTCGATGATAATGGAGCTGACCATCAGCAGGGTCGGCAGTCTTAGTGACATGACATACCGAACATACTTTCCCCAGCTATCTCTGTGCTCCACCACCTCGTGAAGTTGCTTCAACTCGTTTACCCGGATACACCGGAACAGGACGACTCGAGCCTCTCGGCGGACTTTGCGACATACCCAGCCGAACCGAATCAGACTCGCGAGGTCTTCTTGGCGGGGACCGTCCATGTCGACAGTGGAGAAGATACCCCAGGCTGCGGATCAGCATCACGGAAATATGGATACCCTTTCAACCTCCTCGTTCCCGTCGTCCACGTTTTGATATGCATGCAATTCCCCCTTCAGGCTCGGACACAGTAAGGAGGGACTCACTCAACCTGTCCTGCTGGCTCAATTCGAGTGGATCGTATAGATGAATGCAGACAAGGCGGATAATCTCCCTCGGCAAGTCGAGCAGCCTGAAATGAGAAGCTGGACTGGCATGATGTCCAGCCATCCCGGTCTCCCTCTGTTCCAGCGCAGCTAGCATCCTGATCTGAGAGTACGGTGTAGTGGGTATGAGGACACCAAGTTGTGACTCGGCTGAAGCCTGTCGCGGGCGTGAGGTGAAAGGAAGCGCGAAGCAACGGTTGATAGCAGCCCCAGTGGTCGTCCCTCGTCATCTAGGAATTCAGGCACGGGATTGAAGATCACATGACTCAGGGTGAATTAGGTAATACAGGGAGCCAATCACATTTTACCTCCGGACTAGCTGTTTACAAGGAGGTCCCAATCAAATTTGTTAGAGGGAATTTTTATTAGCGGGATCTAATCTGCCCCATTGACCGCCACCGCGCGATGACGCGCACTGTGGTGCACACACCCACCACCGGCCACCATTAGTATCTCCTCTCCCCTCGTCTCTTACTAGCTGTACCACGATCATCTACACACACCGCTACTCAGCACATCTACAGATACACCAAGCAAAACAGCTATCATCAAAATGGACAAAGAAGAAGGTGGGTTGCGCGATTCTGGGCACCGGGAAGAGCTGGTCCGAGCTGCCCTTCCAACCTGTTGTTAGCCATCGGATGCACGAGCTGATCATCAGGTGCCGACGTCCCCCAGGAGCAGAAGGCGACATGGGGCGCTTTCCTCAAGTCACTCACTCACATGACCGGAGACTTGTCGTCTATGACCGCGCCGCCTTGTAAGTGTTGACTGTTTGTTTTGGTCGCGTGGCTGCTCTGGGTGGGAGTGGCAATCATGCGGCGAAGCTCTGCGCAGGACACATCGATAGCAGTTGTGCTAGTGCTCAGCTGACGCATAGTCATTCTCTCGCCCGTCTCGCTCACGGAGTTTCCCGCGTACTGGTGTGAACACCCCGGTCTTTTCGCTGAGATCTCGGAGGGCACCACCCCGCAGGACCGTATGGAGCGCGTCCTCAGGTGGTTCATCGCTACCCTCAAGGGACAGTACACCACCCGTAATGAGAAGATGGGCAGTGAGAAGAAGGTGAGTCGAGGTTTTCATCACGAGCAAAACAGCGTAGCTAACATCCAGCCCCTCAATCCCGTTCTCGGCGAGCTGTTCTACGGAGTCTGGCCCGATGCGAACGGCCGAGGCGAGACACAGTTGATTGTCGAGCAGGTATCGCACCATCCGCCAATCACTGCTTAGTACGTTTCAGGATTCGCTCGGGAGATCGCAGCTGACTTTCAGCTTCATTGAAAACAAGAAGGCTGGCGTTAAGCTCCAGGGTCACTCTGGGCAGAAGACAGCTTTCACCGGTACCGCCATCAATGGTCAGTTACCGACGGCCTACGAATTGTGACCAAGCTGATAATTCAGTAAAGCAATCTGGCCACGCTATTCTCTATGTCACTCCTCGTACCGGCGGACCCATCGAGTCATATCTGATCACCCTTCGTGAGCTCGCTGTTGGCACTCTTCGTGAGGATGTCGTCATCGCTGACAATTGTAGCAAAGCTCCGGATTGAAGGTATCGTTTGGGGCTCGCCTTACATCGAGCTGGTCGAGACCAACGCGATTCAGAGCAGCACCGGTTTCACTGCTCAAGTAAGCTACCACGTGCCTTTCCCAGGTCGGAAGCTGACGTATAGATCGACTACAAGGGTCGAGGATGGGTATCTGGCAAGGCCCACACTTTCAAGGCCACCCTCACCCAGACCGACCACAAGAAGTCGCTCCAGACATACGAGGGCCAGTGGACCGGCGTCAGCCACATTGGCGGTTCCAAGGGTCCCGTCTTCCTCGACACATCGGCGGGCGTCAAGGAGGAGGTATCGGTCGCCAGCCTGGAGCAGCAGGGTCCGTGGGAGAGTAGGCGGCTGTGGGAGAAGGTCGCCAAGGGGATCAAGGGCGCAAACTACGATCTCGCCGGAACCGAGAAGAGCAGAATAGAGGTCAGTTGGAATTCGGAGACAACTGTTATCTAGCTGACAGTGCAGAACGAGCAACGTCAGCGCCGGAAAGACGAGGCGGCCGCGAACGGGACATGGGACCTTTGGCACTTTACCCACGTCGACGCCGAGCCCGAATACGGCCGACTCTCGACGATGCTCCACGACAAGCTTACGCCGGCGCACGAGGACGCGTACATCTTCAAGGAGGGTGTACAGGTCGGGTCGAGGAGCACCGCTTAAGCTGTGTATCCTATCCGCGGAGTGGGGATTGGGGGGGAGGAAAGTCGACAGCTTGATACACCATTTCTGAGCCTTCATATCCGGTATGCGGTCGAGACGAGGCCAGTGTAGTAGTAGTACTATATGCATCGATGTTGGAGAATGCTCAACTTGCCTTGGCAGTGCAGCATCGCCTCCGACCTTGTCGGCGGCCCTCTGACCTTTGTTGACGCGCACGGATCGACGGTCGTGGACCACAGAGTCGATGAAAGACGTCCATCAACGTTGACTTCATCCATCAACTCGCTATATTCCAATGTGATGGCGTCTCTGCCTTCTTATCTGACCTCTGGGGCGTCCTCGAGAGCTCATCACGCTTTCTTGGTGAAGCTGCACCGAGCTCAGTCGGATCAGGAGGAGGACGAGGTGATTCGGCATGAGGTCCAAAGGGGGAAGAAGCAGCTGGGAGTGAGGGGTGGGGCGAGCTTGGTATGTACTCCTCTCTTTACCTACATCTGAGCACGAAATGTCCCTCGTGACATCACTATCTACACTAGCTTGAAGCTGATAATTGCACAGAGCGTTATCGTTGACACGCTCATCATCCTCCTACATTGTACGGTGTACCAGCACCGAGCGGGCATCTTTCAGGATCACTCAGGCAGTGGGGATCAGGCTACAACATCAGCCTTCTCTACTAGCGGTGGGATTGGAAGGGAGGAAGATTGGGCTCTCATGGCGGCATTGCAGGTCGTTGAGCGGGCAAAGGATCTCCATCAAAGACGTATAGGTCAGCTACGTTGTACAGCTTGCCCCCACAAGGAATGTAGCTGACAGGTACAGGATATCTTTATCTCTCTGAGAGGATGCCAGTGGGACATGAGCTTCATTTGATGCTCATCAATACTATCCGGAAGGTACGTATACCTGCTCGGTTGAAGCTCAGGGAGCCGTGACTGACAATGGCAGGATCTCGAGTCCAGAGACCCATCACATACTCTGCTCGCCCTGCACGCTATCATTAAGCAGCCCTCTACCGATTTGGCGCCAGCTGTCACGCCACTCTTGGTTGCGAAGCCACTGCTCAGGCATGCGAGGTGAGTTTTGCTAGCGGGAAAAGATAGAGTGAGTTTAAGCTGACTATGTTCAGGCCCGCTGTCCGTCAACGTACTATACAGGCGTTGATGGCGCTCAATCTGGATCCATCGACTTTGATGAAAAGGAACAGCGGGTTCCCCTTGTCGATGAGCAAGGTAGTGAGGCTGCTAGGTGCTGAGGAAGATCAAAGCGTTCTCTGCGTACTGCTAAGACTGTTACGGAGGTTGATCGAGGTGAGCCAAATTCATGATGGCCGAATATCTGCCCAGCTGATCCCATAGACTGGCTCGCACATTGTCAAGGGTACCCAGGAGCACATCTACCTCTTGCAACAAGTCTCCAATCTCATGGGCACCTGGCAGGCAGGATCGGAAATCGCAATGGAGGCGGTACGGGTCCTGCGAGTGGTATCGGCGATAGACCTCGGGCGTGAGGCGGAAGCCGGGGGAATGCTACGAGAGGCGATGGCAGTGGTAGACGAGGTGTTGGAGCACCTGATGGCGGGAGCACATGCCAGTACTGGGAAGAGTGGAGGTACGTTCAAATACTCAGGACAGAGAGCCCGTGGTTGACCTTTATCAGCTTTCATACTGGAACTTTGCGGACTGTACGAGAATCAGTCAGGCCCGGTCCTAGATCTGCCAATAACTCTTGCTCGCCTACTCCACCTAATCACTTCCACCCTCAGTCCCGCCTCATCATCCTCATCTTCGACACTTCCACCACCAAACGACCATATCTTGGTCTTGCGCTGTCTAGCGCGTCTCCCTCTCGACAAGTGGGACAAGGCGCTTGGTACGGTGGAGATGGGTGTCATCATGAGCGGGCTGGAGAGTCCGGACGATACAGTCCGGAAAGCAGTAAGTTGCATTCTCCCTTCCGAACGCCGGTATCGTACGATAGCTGACTTTCAGACTCTTCGGCTGCTAGCAACCTCCGCGCCTGATGTTCTCAAGCAAACCACCGACAATTATCTCACCGCCCTCAAGGACCGGTCAAACCTCGCTCTGCCAGTACACGTCCCACCAAAATTAGAGGCGGCTCAGAAAGTCCAGCTAGCGCTGCACGAGACTGCCGTCCGGGCGCTGGAAGTTGTCTTTGCGGAAGATGCGACGGGCAAGCATGCTCCACGTGCAGCAGAGGGGGTCTATGCGATCCTCATGACTTTGTCTGCCCCTGGCGATGAGTCTGGAGGTGGAGCGGTCAGCGCTTGGGACGGTGGAGTGGGATCGATACAGGAGTTCCTGTCCCTTCGTGAGTTTGGTGGTCCCTCTCTCCTGTGACCTACTGACATTTGCAGGAGCGCCAGAATACCAAACGGGCTTTACCTCGCGTCTACTTCAATTGCCTAGCGCGACTGATCCGTCCGTACTGGCGTTACGAGCATCGGTCGCGCTCGACCATGGCGGGCGAGTGGATGCATCCGACACCGTTGTTGCCCTATTGGCCGACATGTCACTGGCAGAAGGTCAGTCTTGCTTCAGCAGAGCGGCAAGCGCATGCTGACGTCGTAGGCTCAGAAGTGCAGGAGTCCATCTTGGCGGCAATTACGTCGATCCTCGGTTCTCTTCAAACAGGCGATACTGTACATGAGGAAGTTCAGCGTCGGTTGGGCGGGGTTCTGCGCGACAAGAAGATGACCAAGCATGCTCGGCAGGTAAAGTGTTCATTCGTGCGAGGATGAGGTGCGAGGGGACTGGGCTGACAGATCAGCGGATCGAAGTGATCAGTGGGCTTCTTGGGGCCGGTCTCATCAGCGAGATTCCAGTCGAGAGGAGGGGAGGAACTGTGAGTTCTCTTCTGGAAAGCCAAAGAGAAGCCGCTGACCGACATAGCCGCACGAGGTTCTGCAAGCTGCGGAGACGGTTTGGAAGCGTCACGAAGCTGCCCGAGAGAAGGAGGCAACACTCGCCATACATTCTCCGCTGGGCGGTGGCACTGCCTCGCCCCGTACCCCTGCCTTATCGAGTAGCCAACTTCGGTACGGCGCGTACGACCCGCCAGCCGCGCTGGTGGCGACGAGGCACCGCTAGACTGTGAGTTTCTGGCCTGTTCTCCCCATGTTCCTCGGAGTCCATTTCGGCCTTCGGACTCATGCTGTGTCGGCTTGGATCTTGGCTGATTGGCAGATCACGAGACCACCGAGCTAAACCCGGACACCGGCCGCTCCGGTGTTTGCCAAGCCAAACCGAAAGTGACGAGATCGGACCGACCTCCGCGATTGCTTTCGGTCAGGTCCGCGCAGCAAGTCCGACGCTCCGACCTCGGTCTCGCGCTCTCTTCTGCGTTGCTCGACTCTGCCGCTATAACATTCGAGCTATCAGGCATTTTGCGATTATACATACCGCACTTCAACATGACCCAAGTCAATGGCAAGCCGAACGGAACGAAGGCCGCGGCCAAGTCGTCGAGTTCAGGACGTGAGTTATCGTCGCCTCTAGCGCTGGATCGCGAGCTGACTTCCGCAGACATCCACCACGATGACGGCCACTTCGTCCTCACCGGCCCAGGCGTAGATTACCGCTTCCACGTCGACGCCTCCGGAGACCTCATCCATGACTACTATGGCGCGCCGATCGGCGAGTACAGCCCGCAACTGGATACAGGCGGGCGAGGATGGGGGTTGGCAATTGCCGAGCGGAGGCGCGAATTCCCGGACAGCGGGAGAGGGGACTTTCGACTTCCCGCCATCCACATCCGCCACGGCAACGGCTCCACGGTCACCCACTTCAAGTACACCGGGTATGAAATCCTTTCCGGAAAGCCCAGCCTCGATGGTCTTCCTGCCACGTTCGGGTCGGCGGAACAGGTCTCTACTCTCGTCGTTCGGCTCTCGGACACTGTCACCTCGGTCGAGGCAGAGCTACACTACTCTATCTTCCCCGCGCACAACGCCATCGTACGCAGCTTCAAGGTCACCAACCACAGTGCCGAGACTATCGAGCTCCAGCGGGCGGCGAGTATGAGTGTAGACTTCCCAGGGGAGGACTGGGATTTCTTGAGGCTGTGTGGTGATTGGGGGAGGGAGGCGCAGAGGGAGAGGTCCAAGGTGAACAAGGGGATCCAAGGGTGAGTTGCTCTCGGAGACCACCAAGACCTCGCGCTGATCCTTAGGTTTCAAAACTCCACCGGCCACTCCTCCCACTACTACAACCCCTTCTTTGCCCTTGTCGCTCCCAAGACCGACGAGACCACCGGTGACGCGTACGGCTTCAACTTCGTCTACAGCGGATCCTTCTCGGTAGACGTCGAGCGCTTCGCTTACGGCCGCGTCCGCGCGATGATGGGCTTGAACCCCCTCCACCTATCCTACCCCATCGCTCAAGGCGAGAGCTTCCAATCCCCCGAATGCGTCTCGGTTTACTCGTCATCCGGTCTCGGCAGTATGAGCCGCTCCTTCCACAGGCTCTACCGTGACAACCTCTGCCGCTCAAATTTCGTCTACGAGCCCCGGCCCACCCTGCTCAACAGCTGGGAGGCGGTCTTCTGCGACTTTGACTCGAAGCGGCTACTCGAGCTTGCTACCTCTGCGGCGGATCTCGGGGTCAAGCTCTTTGTCCTCGATGATGGGTGGTTTGGGAATGGGAAGAACGCTCGGACCCACACTCAGGCGGGACTGGGGGATTGGGTGCCCAACGAGGAGCGGTTCCCAGGGGGCTTCTCCAAGTTCGTCGACGACGTCGCGGCGCTGCCAACCTCCTCCGGCGCTCCCCTCCAATTCGGACTCTGGGTCGAGCCAGAAATGGTCAATCCCGCGTCGGACCTGTACGAGAACCACCCCGAGTGGGTCCTGGCCTCGGGCAACCATGAGCGGACGGAGAAGCGCAACCAGCTCGTCCTCGACCTCGGGCGTCGTGAGGTCCAAGATCACATCCTCGACTGCATGGTCAACCTCCTCGCCTCGGCGGACATCCGGTACATCAAGTGGGACTGCAACCGGGGCATCAGCGAGATGCCAGCACCCCACTATGCCCACCGCTACGTCCTCGGTCTCTACCGCGTCCTCGAGGTCCTCACCGTCCGCTTCCCGGACGTCCTCTTCGAGGGCTGCGCATCCGGTGGCGGTCGCTTCGATCCGGGAATCCTCCACTACTGGTCACAGTCCTGGACATCAGACAACACCGACGCGGTCGACCGGCTCTCCATCCAGTTTGGTACCACCCTCGCCTACCCGGCCTCATCCATGGGCTGCCACGTCTCTGCATGCCCCAACGAGCAGGTCGGCCGGATCACTCCTCTCGAATTCCGCGCGCATGTCGCCATGATGGGCGGGAGCTTTGGCTTCGAGCTCGCCATGGAGCACATGGCCGAGGAGGAGCGCGCGGCGGTCCCGGACCTGATCAAGCTCAGCGAGAAGATCAACCCCATCATCATCAAGGGGGACATGTACCGCCTCGCCCTACCGGACGAGTCCAACACGCCGGCGGCCTTCTACCTCGACCAGGCGGGCGACGTCGGGGTCCTCTTTGTCTACCGCGTGTCCACGGTCTTGCGCACGGACGTACCGAACGTCAAGCTCCAGGGGCTGAAGGCAGAGGCGGACTATAGGGTGGACGGAGTGGTGTATAGGGGCGCTGCTTTGATGGGTGCGGGGTTGAAGTTCAAGTGGGCAAACAAGGACTATCAGAGTAGGGTCTGTATCGTAGAACGAGTGTATTAGATGGCGACATGTGACTGGCTTGATGGTTGACACTAGGGTCTGAGCGGGAGGATAGCATGCTTGTATAAAGTAGACAGCGCTAGAATCCCCCCGAAGGTCCCCCTTGTCCATTCCAGTCGCTCCCGAACCCGCCAGAGAAGAGGGTCTGTATATCGAAAGCGGGTGGGAAAAGGGGATCATCTTCTTTGTTAGGCAACGTCCAACAGCGCACTCACTGTTATCTCCTGGAGGGATCGCTAAGGACGGAGCGAAGCTTTGCGAGAAGTCCATCTTCGCGATCAGCGGATACTCACACGGAGGGATGCTGAGAGAGCTTACATTCAGCCAAGGATACCCATTCGCGCCAGACCCATCTGGAATCCCGGCCAAGCTCGAGTGACCCGCTGGCAGTGCCATTGCCGCCGTATTCGGGGTGCTCGCAGCCGGAGTGTTCATCCACGAGAAGGGCAAATTGAGATCTTCTTGCCGATGGGGCGAGATCGGACTGAGTCGCTGTGGTATCGCGTACGGACTTTGAGGCCAAGGGATGAACCCTTCTCGACGGGCTTTCTGCAGGTCGTTTTGAAGTAGGCTGACAAAGGAATAACCCGGGACTGTCCATCAGCCCAATCTCCTGTGCTCACTCACATCTTGGCAAGCTCGAGATGAGCTCCTCGATATCCACACCGACCTGCTTTGGGTCGCAAGCAGATGGAAGAAGACCGACGAGACGAATGAGCATGCGCGCAGTCGAGATGATTGCCAGATCTGATGGTCAGCTGAGACCACGGAAAGGACCCGATTACTCACGGAAATAGTGGTTGCCTGATCCATCAGCTTACTCCCAAGAGGAGTCCAGGCAGTGAAGTAGTGCTCACCATACTCCGAGTCCTTGGCCTGACGACCACTGCCGATAGAGGCGACCAAAAAGGCAGCAGCCTGTATCAAGCGCTTCAGACTGTCCCGGCGTTCCATGGTCATTAGGATGACGTCGTTCTTATGGCGGATGCCAGACAAAAGGAGGGAGTTGGTCCGCACGCTGCTCTTGTCAGCTAGACGCTCGCACTGTAGAGCCTTCACCCTCCCTATCATCCCTCTTTACGAGGTGGAGAGATTTGAGAGTACGGGGAGTCTAGGAGGACAGGAGTGAGAAATGGACATACATCGCGTACGCTCGCTGACTTTTGACTGCTGTCAGCGGTCGGTCCTGCACCTCACTTACGCTCTTTCACCAAGAAGTCATCCGCACCGAGGCCGAGGGAATCTGTGGGCACAATCAGCACAGCCTGTTCTGTAGAGGCCCATCTGCGTCTCTCTTCATCGACCAGGATTGCGCTGGAGACCCGCGCGAGCGGTAGACTCACCATAATGAGCTATCCAGAAGTCGAACAGTCCCTCTATAGTCTCGCTGATGCCCTGCACCTTCTCAAGGATGTCTGGGCGCTCCGCAGCGGTGACCAAGTCAAACGGCCGAAACAGTGATTCTGTCGGTCAACATTGGGTTGAAGGACCACTTACGTCGAGAAGCCAAGAACTCGATGGAGACTACGAATCGACTGTCGAAGAGGTTCGATAAGGGGTGCTTCAGCAATTCTCGACTAAGCTGAAGGTTGTTCTCGGCAAGGAAAGCGATAGGTCGAGCGTGATTATAACCGACTCTGCAGAGATCAGTGTCTGGAACTCCGAGACCAGGAGGGCTTAAGCTTACTCATACGCCAGCTTGACGAGCTATAGTCAGCGCGGGCCCTGGTAGTAACTCACGGCTAGCCATATCCGGGCACCGAGGACCAGAGGTCGGTCTCGCTCGAGAGCTTCATCCGTCTTGCCGGCTCCCATCCCAGACTTGGAGAGGGTCGGTAGGCAGCGATGCATGTCCATATCCACACTAAGGCGTCAGACCAGCGACACTAAAACCAAGGAGAGCTCACGCTAGGGTCATCGCGTGACCTGGGGATTAGCGCAAGTCCAGAAATCGACCGTCACTCACATGCTGGTCGCCAGACTACGTCACTCCAGCAAGCCAAGATTACTACCAAGTCAGTCGTCGGTCCCCTGCCTGACTTACCCATGGCTTGCACAGTCTCAAAGTGGGATACGGGAGAGAAGAGAGTGACTTTGGCTGCGTGATCAGCGCTATTCAAGGTCTACACCTACCCATAGCCTCCGCTGCCTGTCGACATTGCGTTGTCATCATCGACCTTGACCGTTTCGCGTCTGCCACTTGAGACGCCACTAGCAGGATGACGGTCGTACAGAATGCTGAGCGCTGGCGGAGACTAGCGTCAGTTGTCGCAGCAGTTAAGTGCTTACTCTTCCCAGGTATCACGTTCTGCATCCATGACTGGCATGAAGGGATGAGAACGCAGGAAGAATCTGAACATCAGCTGACTCCGAAGTCCGACTTACGAGTCGAACAATGCTTTCCCCTCCTCCTCGGTACAATACCCAAGCTGGACGGGGTCAAGGAAGCTTTTCGATAAGTCGCCTTTGCGTCGGACGAGGCGCTCCCCGTCCGGCCCTTCCTCCCCATGACTTCGCTTCCTGGATCCACTGGCCATACTTCCCCCATCCCCTCGATCTGAGCGCTCTCCAGCGTGCCCCTCCATCCGCAGCCGGGCGGCCTCCTCGCGATGGGTCAGAGTGCGCAGAGGCTCCATTCTGACTGCAGCATCGAGAGGATCATCGTCATCGGACGGATGTAAGTCTGAAGAATGGGTAGACTCGACCTGCTGTCCTGACTCGGGTTTCTGGGAATCGTACTTGTTGAGCATATCCTCTTGAGACGGGCCCGCATCTGTACGCATCGATGAGACCCGAGGGTCCATCGTTCGGCTGTTTCCCGCGCCGTAGGACGGACCGGATCGCGACTGAGCTCCGTTATGTGACCAGTGAACATATGGTTGATATGCTGGAGATTGTTGGGTGTAGTATCGGCCTGTGAATTAGCGCAGCGCTTTGCGTGATGGGGGCAGGACGAGGCAGGATGATGAACTGGACGGGAGCAGTGTGCAGGATGACGGATGCAGAGGGCAAGCGGCGACGTCGAGTCCCCTGCCAGGTATGGCCTCGTGATCATACATCACTTACTGCTCGATGCTTCTGCTCGCTCGTCAGGGATGATAGGCGGTTGGTTCGTCAGCCTAGCCAGCAATGAGGCGATGCCGTCTAGCTTCCCGTTGACACTGTCCATCTGCCCTTCGAGGGCGTCCAGGCGACTACAGTTAGCTACATCTCCGCATGACTTTGCCTACCTCTTTGGATCACGCTCCACGTTCATCAGTGCTGGGTCGAAGCTGCACTCCAGATTCATGTGCTTGCACCTCTTGCAAGGTGGCTTGTCTTTATCGATGCACTTGATCTTCATTCGACGACATGCATTCTGATACAGCTTCAGCACCAAACCTCTGCGCAATGCCAATGTGGATCTATCTTGACACGTACACAAGCGCGAGCGCCCTCACTCTTGCTGTCATCCCGCTTGTCCTTTTCCGTCGAGTCGTTGCGCGCTCCGCTAGTAGCGGGTGAGGCGGTACCCATCGTTGTAGACACGCCTTATCGTTGTCCTCCGTGGACGATGGAGGAGTGGATTCAGTACTGAGTGTACTGAGTGGAGGACAGTGGAGGAGCCGAGGGATAACCCCGAAACCCCGCCCAAAGCCGATGTGGGATCTGGTTGAGCGCGCGCCGACTCTCGCTCACCGGAGCGCCGAGGTCGGGCCGACGTGGCCAAGCCCTTCCTCGCCTGCAGCTGACCCAGCGAAGCCCAGCGACCTCCGATGGCCTAATTCACCGGATATACCTCTTTTGGGCCCTTCATCGTCTGTGCCCCGCTGATCCAGACGACCCGACATCTCGGACCTGGAAGGACTTGCCGTGATGTGCCTGCGATCTATATAAAGCTAATTGGCCTCCCCGCAAGGCCCCACACTCACCCCACTCTCATCGTCTTACTAGAGCGCTCGCCCACATCGGTGACATCCTCCCACACATTCTGATTCGCTCGTACTCACAATGGCCACACTCGAGAAGGGGGCGGTAGCCGATGTCGTCGGGGCCCACACCGGCATGACGGACATCCTCATCGCCAAGGCTCAGACTGCCGCTGAGGAGGAGAAGGCCATGCCTTGGAAGCAAGCTGTCAGGACATTCTGGCGAGGTGGCCTATTCTCAATGGGATTAAGCGTGGCCTTGATCATGGAGGGCTACGACATTGGTCTGGTAAGCCAAGAGTAGAGGTAGTGAAGGGAGACGGCTGACCCCTGCAGCTCAAGGCATTCTACGGTCACCCTGCCTTCCTTGAGAGTTTCGGCTCCATCGGGCCAAACGGCAAACTGCTCATCACCGCTGATTGGCAAGCTGGGCTCAGTAACGCCGTCAGTGCTGGTCAGGTCTGCGGTCTGCTGGTACGTTCTCGAAGATGTGAAGTGTGAGTGGCGACAGCTGACCATACAGCTCAACGGCTGGGCTTCATACACATTCGGATACAGAAGGACCTACATCTGCGCCATGACCGCCATGATCGCCACTATCTTCATTCCGGTATTCGCTGTGAACCTACCGATGCTCCTCGCTGGCAATTTTATCAATGGTATACCTTGGGGTGGTGAGTACAATTAATCCGCAGTGTATTCCAGCAGTTGACAATCCAGTTTTCCAGACTCTCACGACTGCCTACGCGGCCGAGATCTGCCCCATGGCCCTTCGTGCCCATCTTACCTCCTTCGTAAATATCTGCTGGGCTAGTGGTAGGTCACTCGCGATATAGCTAAGGACTTGACTGATGCGACAGGCCTGTTCATTGCCGCCGCTGTCGTGCGGGGTACCATCAGCATCCCCTCTCAATGGGGTTGGCGCGTACCTTATATCCTCCAGTGGCTTTGGCCTGTGCCCCTTCTTGTCGTTGCCTGGTTCGCCCCAGAGAGTGAGTTGCCCTTCGATCTGCACCAGTTGGAGCACTGCTGACTCTTCAGGTCCGTGGTGGCTTGCCCGCAACGGTAGACGCGAGGAAGCCCGCAAATCCATCATCCGCACCGCGCCACCCGGCTACTTTAGCTCCGAGGATGTCGACGCTCGCATGGCCCTCATGGATCACACTTTCCAGATCGAGCTTGAGGAGACCAAGAAGGCCAGCTTATTCAACTGTTTCAAAGGTACCAACTTCCGGAGGCTGGAGATCGTGAGTCGACTTCCCTTTTCTTCTCGTACTGGCGCTGACTGAGAAGTGCTGTGTCGTGTGGTCTGTCCAATACTGGTGTGGTCAGCCTATGACAGGCTACTCAAGCTACTTGTGAGTGTATTTCAGCAGAAAGTAATATGATCAAGCTGACTTGCCAGCCTCCAAAATGCTGGTCTTTCTACCGATACCGCCTTCAGCTTGAACCTCGGCAACTACTCTCTCTTGATCTTCGGCACATTGGTTGTCTGGTCTTGTAAGTTGGACTGGACCAGGTGAGCGCTCAACCGCTGACGACGCAGACGTATACAAGATCGGTCGTCGCCGCATCTACCTCGTCGGTCAAGCCCTCATGGCCCTCGAGCTCGGTATCATCGGTATCCTCGGCTGCATCCCTCAGAGCTCGTCCGTCTCCTACGGTATCGGTGCCCTCATGCTCCTCCTCAACCTCACATTCGCCTGCACCGTCGGCCCCGTCTGCTACACCATCGTCGCAGAATTGCCGTCCGCCGAGGTCCGCGCCCAAACCATCGTTCTCGCCCGCGCCTCCTATGTCATCTCCGGCATCATCAACGCCCAGATCACGCCGAGGATGCTGAGTTTGGAGCAGTGGAATTGGGGATCTAAGTGCGGCTTCTTCTTCCTAGGGACGAACATCCTATCCTTCACCTACTGCTACTTCCGCCTCCCCGAGTCCCGCGGTCGGTCTTACGGAGAACTCGACGTTTTGTTCCTCAACAAGGTCCCCGCGCGCAAGTTCAAGACTACCAAGGTGGAGGAGTTCGAGGCGCATGATGCCGAGCCTCTGGAGACTGCGTATGTTGACCAGAAGCTCGAGACGGAGCATGTTGAGAGGCGGAACCAGGAGAGAAAGGGATAGGGAACGGGAAGGGAAAGGGAAAACTTTGGGGAAATTAACGATCTTCTGTACAATTTATGTTCCGGATTTGCATGTATAAGCTGCTCGTGTATCATAACATCCCTTGCATGTACAGTCTCGCGGCCTGTGCGTGAAGCTGCATGCAGACACAGCCGAAGCGGTTGGAGTGGATGGCGGATGTAGTGAATTTCGGCAAAGTGGGGGAGTGGGGGAGGAATGTGGCACTTTTGCCACTCGATATTGCCACCCACCTGAAGAGCCGCGCGCATGCATGTGCGTCTTACGCTCCTTACTGGCGCGCATCGTGTAGTCCCCACGAGCCGTAACAATTGTGCGGCGATGGTCCATTAGATAGATCGGCTACTCATATACAGCCAATGATATTGACGATTATATCAGAAAAAAAAAAGATACTATAACTGCCACTACCACCACCTCACCCCGCCATGACCCGCTCCACCTAGAACATCTGCCTGTTCCTCATCTCCACCGGCAAGAACACCATCATCAGTGCCGAGAGCCAGATACCGCCCGCACCGAGCCACAAGATGCCGCCAGTAGACAGCCCGGTTGTGGGGTCGTAGAACGCCTGACCGGCAAAGGGAGCGACGATACCGGCGAGACGACCGAGGCATGAGAGCATACCGGAGGCAGAGCCACGGTAGGCGGTGTCGAACAGCTCGGGAGCTGAGGCGTACAGGACAGCATTGAAGTACTGGTAGTCAGCGACGATTGACCCGACTCATACATCAGCGGATAGACACTTACTGTCTGCATAATGTACTCCAAAGCGTTGAGCCCGACGTAACTCCTAGTCGTCCGCACCTGCGTGTACAACGCCATCGACAAACCCTGCATGGCCGCCGAGAACACCAAACTCCACTTGCGCCCGACCAGCGGAAGCTGGACCGAGAACATGGCGAGAATGGAGCCGATGATACCTGGGAGGTAGATGTAAATATACTGCCGGTAGGTCTCGGTGACTGTTCCGCCGGTTTGGACGTTGAAGCTGAGGAGGAGGAGGGGGAGATAGGCGCCCGCGAGGTTGAACGACCAGTAGTCTCCCATATACGTGATGGCGAGGAGGATGAAGATGAAGAGCTGGAGTTTGTTGGTGAACAGCCCCTTCATGTGCGCCAGGGAATGAATAGAGTTCTTGGTGACGTATTTGAGCGACGGGAAGAATCCGGGGGGGTGGCCACCGTCAACGATGGCTGACCGGTCCGAGTAGCCTGTCTCCGCCTGCTCGAGCTCTGCAAAGTGCTGGACGGTAAGGGTGGGAGGGGGAGCGCGGTTGAACTTGGCAATCTTGTGCAAGACGTCGATTGCCTCCTGCTCGCGGCCCTTGGAGAGGAGGAATTTGGGCGACTCGTGGAACTTGAAGACGACGAAGCGGAGGAAGAAGACGAAGAGCGTCATGGCGCCGATGATGAGGACGAGATAACGCCATCCCATGTTGCTTTCGACCGTGCAACATCCCGATCCCGGCGGTGTGCGGTTGGCCGGGTCGACGACACAAGACGGAAGCCCTGCGTCGCATCGATACCGTTCCTGGGTACCGAAGGCGATTGCCGAAGCGACCACCACCCCGATGGGTTGCCAGATGGACAAAAGGGAGACAAGGAAGCGGCGATTTTGCGGGAGGAACTCGAGCGCGATAGTAGCGTCGATGGGGATGTTCCCCCCGAGACCAAGACTGGCCAAAAAGTAGATGCCGCAGACCGCCGGGTAGTTGTATCGAGGCGCAGCCTGCCAAATCAGCATCGGACTTGACCTGAAACATCCTGAAACTCACGATGAGCATGCCGAAAACGGAGGTGATCAAGCACGTCAAATTGAACGACCACTTTCGACCTGAGGGTCAGCTCGGTCCCACTGATATCATGCAGGACGCACCGATCACATCTGCCAGCAGACCCCAGAACAGAGCGCCGATGGCAAGCCCAGCGTTGGACATGGTGAAGATGAGACCAGTATTGCCGACCACACCCATCTCCTGGCTCCCAGAGTCAGCTCAACCGATAGCTGTCGATCTGGGAAGACTTACTACACTGCCGAGGCGACCAATCCAACGCCCTGGGCCCAGGCCAAGTCAAGAAAATATCTGTAAATCAGCCCCTCTCCTTCTCCTTCTTCTCTACGTACCCAAAGCCACACAGGAACCAAATACAGATCTGGTAGCGTCCGAAGCCGAACCGATCGAGCTCACTGTAGGATCAGCTCTAGCTCTGCTGCTCGCCTCTCTAGGCGACGGGGAGCCCTTTAGGATGATCGATCTCATCTGTGTACCGAAGGTGACGGGCAAGTAAGGCAGATCACATGGCGTCGCAAAACTCACGCATTGATGAGTGCGGCCTTCTTTTCGAAAAGGGTCAAGCGGCTCGCCGCGCTCCCCTTGAGGATGGAGTTGAAGTTGAGGCTCTCCTCGTCTGCCGCCTTGACTGTCGGCTCTGGCAGCTCGCCGTGCTTGCCGAGGCCTACCGCCTTCTCGTGCTCGCCAGCGCGGATCCGCTCAGGCTCGGCCTCGGCACCTGGACCGGCTGGAGCGAGCATGTTGTCTCTGACCTTGAGCTGCTTCGACATCTGCCTTATCGGCTATGTGTATATGATATCTCTGATCACAACGTACCCTGTGCAGAGATGATGTGTATTGATCTGACTTTTGAGATCGTCTATGCGCTCTTCTCATCCATTTTCCTCGGCTGAGAGAGTGTGTGTCCAGGTGTGATCTTCCCGATGACACAATTATGCCGTAAACAAGGCTGAGGAGAGCAAAACTTTCTGCTTCCTTCGGACGAAATAAGAGGCACGATTCCGGCAAAGGCAATTCCAGGATGACTACCCTAACATCCCTCTCATGCAGATCGGCCCGCCAAAGTCCCCCACAGTCTGACAGAGACCACAGCTTCCTACACGTACAAGCGCTGCCTGTGCGGCGTCGCAGATTCGGGGCAACGAGGCATCCTTATGGGTAGCCTTCCCCCTCGGAGCTCGATATGGAATGTATATCGTCCGTCGAAAAGCTTTGGCTGAAGCAGAGCCGCATACCAGCGTACCGCCTGCCGCCATGCGTTATGTCAGCTGTTAACCTTATGTCGGTTGACGGAATCGGCGATCTTTCGACATTAGGTCATCGCCGATTCGCTGCAGCCCGTGCCGATCGGACGACTTGGCTCAGCATCACCATCGAATCCTCGCGGTCGACGCAAGAAGACAGAAGAAGACAGAGAGCTCAAAGATTTTAATCTTTGGTTCAACGCACGTACGAGTAGCTCTCTGCATGGGCGGATAAATTGTTACTGTCGCCACCCATGCTGTACCGCCTGGCGTTTCAGTACTGAGTCGAAAAGGATGTCCAAACGTGTATTATCATGTCTCTCCGCAGCTGAGTGGATGCCTTTGGCTGCTCCGCCCCGTTGCCTCAAGACTTCCTTTCTTGCCAGCACCACTCCTGTGCAACCTCGCCGCCCAGAGTGCTGTAGTCTATCGTTTACCTCTTATCTCTTACTCTGCTCAAGGACACCTGCCCCACGTTTACTCCCTGCATTGGTCGCCGTGATGGACCCTTTGAGCCCCACTCACGCCAGAGTGACAAGTCAGTCTGCCCCCGCCGATCCCAATGCCTCGCAAGACGACCTGATACGCGGCTGCTTTGCCACCACTTCCCGACTGCGCTTACACTTTCTTACCACCTCCTCACCGCCGATCGGTCTCGAACTCCTTCTACGGCAGCTTTCCTCCGTTCCCTCAACGGCCCGGACCAGTCAAGTTCGAGCTTTCAGTTGTCGACCTGCTCGCCTTCAAAGCAAAGCGTAGGCAGGCGCGAAGGAAAAGACTGCGGCTAAATCTTCACGGGACCCGTCCAACAGCCAGTCAAGTCGACGCGCCAAGTCAGCCAGGACCCCAAGACGACTGCGATACTGTCTTGCCGTCCGCCTTAGCAGCGACATACAGCTCTGTCGAGATGGCGAGTGAAGGTAACCGTATGATGACCGGCTTGTCGAGCATTGTCACCCCACGACAAAGGGCAGACCTGCCAGACTGGCCACCTCTCACTTGTCCCGCTTACCATGTGAGCACTTGGCCGCCACCCACTTACCCAGCCGACGAGAGTGCAGGTCAGAACGACTTGCCTGACAATGTGTTCGCGCAGTTCGATCAAGAGCTACAAGCATACAATCCCTCTGCTCCCGATACCCATACGTATCACACCGGCATTCCCTCGAGCTTACACAGCTCACATACCGCCGCCAGAAGCTTCTTACAGACACGGAACATGTCATTGGCCTTGCCTGTGATGGGCACCAGTGTCTTCTTCCCACAACCCAGTTGGAAGACGCAAAGGCAAGCCCAAACCCCCACGCCAAATACCGCCGATTCTGGTCCCACGTTCCTCCTGACTGATCCTCTCTGCGGAGTCCGTATCGAGGACTGGTCCCCATAGACTTCGTCTTCTTCTTCACTAGATCTTGCTTGCTCTCCCCGTCTGTACTGTATGTCCTGATGTACTTGGTGTATTACTTGGTGCAAGTCTGGTCTGGGAATCGCATCAACCTGTTTCTTTTCCCGCTGTACCAGCCACTCTCTTCCCCCTTACCCAAACCGCCCCCAAATCCCGATCATCTCCGCCCCAGATCCACTTCTCAAAGATCTCCTTCAACCCTTCCCCCTTCCGCAAGAACATCCCAGGACCTCTCGGTCTCACCCAGAGCGCATCGAACTCTTTGCCCGGTAGAAAGTTCCCGATACTCCCTTCAAGGCGACACAGGGCCGCCCCGCCCATGGTGGCGAGGTAAAAGAGATTAGGTGTCGATAAGGGTCGAGTGCGCGGTGGCGAGGGAATGAGATCCGAGGAGGAAGGAAAGGAGTTGAATTTGGAAATGTACGAGGCGGACCGGATGGCGGAGAGGATACCGATCGACGGGCCGCCAGAACAGTCTGTTCCTAGTCCGACCTACAGGTCAGCTAAACGCAAACCTGCCCTCGATCTTACTCACCTTGATGTCGAGATCTAGCAATTCCCGGATCTTGGCCGCCCCCGAACTCAAGAACATATTGCTCCCCGGACAATGGCTCACCCCTGCCCCCGTCCGCCGTATGATCTCCCGCTGCTCATCGTCCAGATGGACACAGTGCGCCAGGATCGTCCCCGGCCCTAGAAGCCCATAATGCTCATACACGCCCGCATAGGTCTTTCCCCAGTTCTCAGCGCCCGTCTCGTCGGCGAACATCTGCGTGACCCAGGCGCACTCGAGCGGGTTCTCCGACATATGCGTCTGGATGGGTATGGAGGGCGTGCGGGAAGCGGATAGGGCTGCGAGGGAGGAAAGGAGCGAGGGGGTGCAGGAGATGGCGAACCGGGGAGTGAGGATGGGCTGGACGAGCGGTAGGCGAGATGGCTTGACCGGTTCGCTATATGTCGGGACGGTAGGCTTGTCGAAGTGGGCGAGAAAGGCCTCAGTACTGGCTATTGACGACTCGGTCGCTTCGGTATACGTGGCGGGGCAGTTCCGGTCCATATTGCATTTTCCGACGAATGCTCTTTGACCTGGAGCATCAGTTGAGGTCGCTCTGTCTGGGCTAGCTGCGAGACTGACCAAGATGTATACAGAGGTCCGCGAGGAGCTTGGTCGACTCCTCATGGATCGTAGCGTAGTAGCAAGATGTAGTTGTCTGCTTGTCAGCCTGTATCAGACCAGCCGATACAGATCAACTCACCCCAGCGTTCAAGCTCCGGCGTATGACCTCCTCATATACCTCCCGAGCATACTCTAGATTCCCAAACTTCACTTCGGTAGGGAATGTGATCCGTTCCAGCCAGTCCAGAAGCTGGAGGTCTGACCCAAGTCCGAGATTAGGGTATTGTGGGGCGTGCTATCTTGTTAGCTTGAGCCCCACGCGCCGACGCAGGCGGTATATGAGCGAACGTACAGTATGTGTATCGATCAAGCCGGGGCAGAGGAAGCCGTCGTCCAGCCACACCAGCTCGACTTGGTCTGAAGTTATACCTCGATCCGCCATGACCCGATGCACCTCCTTCTCCCGCTCGGCCCGAGGCAGTGCGCTGTCCAGGGGCTCCACCCACTGGATGATGCCTTCCCCATCTACCAGGAGTGCCGAGAGAGCCGAGAATTCCAGTATATCGAGCGAGAGCGAGTGGACCAGTGGCGTAATGTAGACTGTGCCCTTATTTGAGTTGGGTCCACCGTTGCTCGCTGGTGTATTTGAGGTTGTTGTCATATTTGTGGCCGGGGCTGTAAGCTAGCTATCGCCACCTTGATACGCGAGTAGCTCTGTAAGAGAATCAGCTCAGTGCTTCAGTTCACAAAGCAAGTCCAACCCGAGCCTAGCGCGCTTCCTTTCAGAGATAGAACCACTCTTGACTGTTCCTTTCGCCCCGGAGAGCTCAGAAACAGCCAAGGCGGCGATTAGCATTATTACGCTGGACTCAAATCAAGGCTGGTCATAGCCCCAGCGATCTCATCATCAAGGAAGAAGCACTGAGTGTGGACGGTGGAAGGAAGAGGGCGTCGGAGCTGGTCGACGAGGGGGGGAGGGGGATTCAGTGGACCAGTGGGCTTGGGCCTTGGCTTGAGCTGGACTCACCCGGTTGTCGATTATACGCTTGGTCCTGCTGTGATGTAGCAAGCACGCCAGGACAGTACGCCCTGTTACTTGCAAGTCTCTGGAAGGGGAAGGTACAGTAGATGAAGTGGTCATAATGGACGTATGGGCAAAGATAAGGCAAGCATAAAGCTTGTCGGATCTTGGCAACTGATTCGCCCGGCCAGTGCAGCATTCCGCAATCTTGCGTTGGTCTCTCGTCTGTGCCTCGCAATCCTGAGGCCTGCTGTCGTATCAACCCAGGCGGGACTCAATGCAATGCTATATATATAAAGTGCGGCTGATCAGCCAACTCCCCTCCTTCCTTGTCTTCGCACGTCCCCCGATCAATCCACTAGATGCCCCAAGCCCATCCGATGATCCCTCCCTCCCGGCGTCACCGTCGCTCCTGCACTCGCGGGCGTCCCGGGCGTTCCCTGCGGACTATGACCCGGAGTAGTGAGGTTCTGGATGGACGGCAAGACGACAGACGGTCTCTCCATGCTCATCAGCCTCTCCTTCTCCCTCTCAGCCCCGCCGCCGCCACCACCGCTTCCGCTCCCGCTCCCAAAGCTCAGACTCAAGCTGCGAGGGGACTGCTCGATCCAGTCGTCTGTGCGCATCCTGGCGTGCGTGGTACGAGCGGACGGCTCGTAGTGATTCGACTTGGCCGGAGAAGGGCGGTACGGGTGTGAAGCGGGGAGCGGGAGGGGGTTGAGATCTTGTGGGGTGCGAACGTCCTGTGGGGTGGACCGGGCCGAGTGGCTGCCCGAAGTGGAGAGGGAGCGGGAGTGAGAGACGTCAAAGTGAGAGTTGGAGTAGGTAGGCGGTTGGTGTTGAAGCGGAATTGAGGCAGGGTGTCGGTCGCGATGCGATTGTTCCGGCACAGATGTGGAGTACCGGTTCCCGTGGATGGATTGTCTCCCATCGCCCTGGCGCTCCATCACGTCCCGACTGTCCCGACGTGTATCCACTCCTTGCGGCCCCATCTCCGGCCGACCTTGGTCTTGCCGCTCTCGCGGGTCCCGTGGGGCGGAGTGCTGCGGCGGATAGTCACGGTACGACGAGGCAGCCGCGCCGATGGGAGGACGCGCGTACTGACCAGGATACGGCGATCGATGCGAGGTGGCCTGCTGCTGGTGCTGGTGCTGCTGGTGTTGGTGTTGATCAGGGTACGATCCGCCTTGGTGTGCCTGCACCGGCCGCCCCCGCGAAGAAGGTGCCGCCTGGCTCGAATGCGATTGACCCGAGCTCGAGTGGTACTGATATTGCTGGTGGCGATACTGCGACCCATGGCTATCGTACCCTCCGACCTCGGTCGTACGCCTGTCCGACGCCTCCCTCAGCTGCGCATCCCTCGCCTTTTGGTCCGCCTCCCACATCCGCCGCTTCTCCCGCTCGTGCGCCTCGAGTCGCGCCACGTCTACGATCCCACGAGCGGACTGGTACTGCGTCGAGCCTGCCTGGCGAGGGGCGGACGATGGGCCGGAAGAGTAGGTCTCCCGCTCGCGCTGAGACGGCGACGGCTGCCGGGGCGAGGGATCGTACCGCATATGGCTTGGATGATCCGACCTCGGGTCGTACTGCTGTTGCTGCTGCTGATAGCCGGCCGGCGCAGGCGGGACGGGATACGCCAAATGCTCCGGATATCCCTTCTCCACCCTCGTCATCTCATGCCGCGACATCTGTTGGGGCTGATGAGCCCGCCTTTCAGCCGCTTGACGAGCCTCGCTAGCCCGCCTCGCTTCCGCTTCCCGCCTCGCATCAATCTCCCTCCGCTGCGCTGCCTGGATCTCGGCGTTTCGCTGCCGGTCCCTATCGGCATAGGGGTATCCGCTCGGCATAGCATGTGGAAGTGCCGGCGCGGGAGGAGGCAACGGAATGGGTTCTTGATGGCCTGGTGGATGGCCAGAGAAGGGGACACCTTCTGACCGAGTGGACGCCTGTCCAAGACCCCGTTTTCGCGGAGAAGGCAGATACGTCGATGGGGGATATCGAGGGTAGTCTCCACCGAGCTCCATGCTGGGTTGCAGGGGCGTAGCGGGCGGGCCATAGCTGGGCTCATAGCCATGAGGGGGTGGATGAGAGGGAGGAGGAGGAGGGTGGACAGCCGCGCGAGGTGGTTGATGAGGTACCGGCGGTGGCGGCATGACTTGCTGTGGGTATTGCGAAGGGTAAGGTGAGGCGGTACTGCCATAGCTGGAGTCGAGGGAGGGACGAGGTCGCTTGGGGTTGTAGAACTCCTCCTCGGTGATGGAGGAGCGGCGCTTATTCTTCGGAGGATAAACGATGCCAGACGAGCGTTCTGAGAGATCAGCTGTGAACCTTCCTCAAGGAGCTTCCGGCAGCTCACTCTTCGTCTCCTTGCGTACTCGGATCTTGAGACCCTGATCCGCGAACGTCTTCGACAAGTCTGTAGCTCCTGTATGTATCAGCTATGAGCACTCCCATCGATCGACCAGCTGCAGTGACTCACGCTGCATCCCCGGGAACTTCTTAGCTGACAAGACCGTAAACGTATCGGTAAAAGAAGTCGCGCAGTAGAACACCTCCTGACTGGCACCCCGTCAGCTCACGCCCTCACCCAGCGCCGAAGCAAGGGGACTCACTCGACGATCTCGAACAATGTCAATTTCAACTTGTACTGTCCCTCCTTCCTCACGCCCAAATCTGGGAACACGAAAAACGCCGCATCCCGGTGGTTCACGTCCTTGAGGTAGTACAGGCTCGAGACGGGCGTTCCGGTCAAAAGGCGGGTCTTGCCATCTTCGATGACGTGTAGCTCGGTCTGCGCTTCGTCGCTCCCGACGAGCGTGGCGTAGAGGAAGTAGTAGGGGTCTACAGTATCAGCTTGATCAAGCCCGAAGCTAAGCGATGAGCTTACTGTGCATGAACCTCATCGAGTTGGTCTTGCTCTTCTTCCCCTTCTTTCCCTTCTCCTGCTCCCTTTCCTTCTCGATACTGACGTCTTCACCGTTCGTATCGGTCACTTTGAGCTGGACGATTGGTGGTGGGTCGATAGGTCTCCGGTCGGCTATGGAGTCAGCTATCGGACCCAAACAGGGGACCAACGAGCTCACCCTTTTCGCCAGCGCTACACATTCTCGCCTGGAGGGGCTGCTGCCGCATGCTCATCTCATACTTTCTGTCGGTAGAAAGCGAGTCGCGTGGGCGGTAATTGGGAAGATAGGTAGCGAGGCGATGGAAATAGGTATCGGTTTCCGTCAAGGTGGGTAATGCGAGAGCGAGCGGAGAAGAAGGAAATGGAGCAGATGGCGGTCGGTCGGGTTGAGCATGATCAGCAGTGGGCGAGGATGACGAGAGCCGAGTATCGGATTGGCGAGGCGAAGGCATGGAGTTCCGATTGCGAGGTACCGGGCGTATGATCCGGGAGGAAGGGGATGCGTGAGAATCGCCGGTAGTCGTGCGATGACCAGAATAGTCCAAGTTTCGGGCGCCGGGAGGTGCAGAGTGGAGATATGTCCGAGGCGAGGGGAATACCGTGGAGGACGGAGTGACGGGGGTGTTCGGTATGAGAGTCGGGAACGGGTTGGACGATGCGGGTACCGAAGACGAGGACGAGGGAGGAGTAGGTATGGGCATAGGCGCATATGCAAGTCGGTGCGTGGGATTATGAGGTGGCCAGAGAGTAGGAAGAAGGTACATGGTAAGCTTTTGATCACTGTACAGAACGAGCTCTGAGACGGGAGGGCAGGCGAGGTGGAAAGAGAAGTGTAGTTGAGACATGGCGGCTGATGGGCGGATCAAAGTCTTGAGCCCAAAGGAAGAAGAAAGGAAAGGATGGGGATGAGCGTCGAATATAAATGAACAGGAAGGAGAACAAGTGGAAGCCTGGACTACAAACACACGAGACAAAGGAAGGGGTACGACGCTCATTGTTCGATAGGTTCTCTCAGGGAGGGGTGAGACACCGCCGTCCCCAAGCACTGAAGAGGGAGTGGGGGTATGGACGCCGTGAGAGTGCACGTCCTCCCTTCTGCCGGTATGGGATAGTAGGCACGGCGGGCGGGAGGGAAAAGTGGAGGCTCGAAATGATGAAAATGAGGAATGCCGTATGTGCGTGTGGGTGTGTTTCAGCGTGTGGAGATCCCTGCGTCTTGCCCTTTCCGGTCTGCCCGGGATCAGCTCAAGGTTTTGGGCACAGCAGGGACAAAAGAGCTCGGACTCACAGTTATGATTTGGCGCGTGCAGTCTCAGGCTTAGAGAGGGGAACAAAAGAACAGTGAAGAAGGGTCAAAAGGGAGGTATGTGAAGCAGAGGAAGAGATACGAGCCCAGCAGTCACGGAAGAATGAAGCTGGTGTACAATGACACCAAGACCCGTCCAAGAAACAAGGCGAGAGACAGAGGGAAAAGAGCGACAGCAAGCGAACACGTAGATAGACTTACAGGTGCTGACGACCTTCTTTCCGCTACATTATCAGCACAATCCCCCTCGTACGCACTCTCCCTTCCGCGTGACTTAGAGCAACTCACCTGAGATACCGCCACGTACTCGTACGCAAAGTCCCCCTTCCCATCCTTCCCCGTCACTTCCTCCACGGCCACCGCTCCCTCAATGACCTTTTTCGCATTCTCCTCTCGTGCCGCCTTCTCCCTCTCTAGCTCTTTTGCTTTCGCCGCCTCCTTTTGCTTCTTCCCCTTGCCTCGGACTTTACGCTTCGCGCCGCCCTCGTCTCCAGCACCAGCCGCCGGGGACAATGTTGGAGCCGAAGTAGGAGCGGATGGCGCGGACACCGAGCCGCGAGAGGTGATATTGACCGGGGAAGTTGGGTGGGTCATATCGTCGTCCTCCCTCTCCTCTCCTCCCTCTTCAAAGTAATCCGAGTCGAGCTCGTCCTCCCCATCTTCCATCTCTTCGTCATCCTCCTCTTCCATGTCGACATCCTCATCCTCACCCCTTTCCTCCGCGACTGGCACCGGCGCAGGAGCAGCGGATGTGGTTGTCTTCCAGAACGTCCCGGATGTCTGACCGACGGGCGAAGATCCCCTTCGAGCACCAGTTGAGGCATGCGGGAGGGGAAGAGCGATCGCGTGGGAGCTCGACGGGCGGGAGGACGGTGCAGCAGGCTGATGGGCAGGACGAGCGGGCTGAGCGGGCGGGCCAGAGGGAGCCGCAGCAGCGGCAGGAGCGATGAATGACCGAAGTGGGGATCCAGGTGGGGTTGGGGAGTTCTGAGGAGGACAGCGTTCCTCCGATTGCCGGAGCTGGCCGTTTAGGTGGGGCGGACCGGATGAGTGAGAGGAGGTCGGCCGGTCCGTATCCTGCTGGATAGAAGCTGATGGAGGAGCGCCGTCACCGCCAACTCGAAGCTTGATACGAGGTAATGGCCGGTCGGCGGAGAGGTATGGCGACACCTGGCTAGGCCGGCGGGGCGCGGCATCCTCCTCTTTTTCACGCTCTTCCACCTCTGTCTCATCCTCCTCATCGCCCTGGTCCGAGCCCTTCCCAGATTCCCCTCCTCCCTCCTCGGCCATTATATCGTCTTTCGGACCGCCGTGAACGTCGGATGGGCGGGATGAGGGTTGATGTTCCGCCGGGGCGGGGAAGGGGTCAGGGATCGACATGTAGAGCGATAGGCGGATGAGAGAGGGATGATGTGGCGGAGAGGTGGTTGATGGGCTCGGTGAAGGAGTACGAGTGCAACGTGGATTGACTGGATATGGACAGATCCCGCGTAGATAGGTATGAGGACTAGGTTGAAGGTAAAGGTTGGAGGTGAAAGATTTGCCAGAGGTATCCGACCGCCGAGAACGACCGTCGCGAGGTCGGCTTTTTGGACTTCAGTGATCGAAGTTGGAAGTGCTAATAAAGCTATTTCGACCGGTGCGGTATGTCCTGTCGCGCGCGATCTGCAGTGGACAAAGGCAGGGCACGATGCACGATTGGGCGAGCGAAGGGATCTTTGTGAGATCTCTGCAAGGTCAGTAGGATGTCCGAAGCATGATCGAGAGAAACGTCTGACAGGCAATGATGTGATTGGGGCAAGGTGCGAGAAGGGGAAGACGAAGCAGAGGAGAAAGGAAGAGATAGAGGGGGTAGGAAGAGCTTGAAAATCAGTCATCAACCCTCTGAGATAGGTGATGCTAAGTTACGCAGCGTTGCGAGTCTAGCTGTATAAGCTTTCGCCCGAAAAAGTAGCGCAGAGTTAGAGTACTTCGGGGGAGGGAGGGAGGGGAGAAAGGAGCCTGATCCGAGGTATCCGGCCTAAGCGCAAGGGGGAGAAGGGCAGAGAGGTAAGGCACAAAGGAAGGACAGGAAAAAGGGGGTGGGAAGGAGGAGGGCGAGAGGGCGAGAAGCACGGCAATGGGAGATGTGTGTGTGTGTGTGGAGGCGTGTGTGTGCGAAGGGGATCGCTCAAAGTGAAACAGACACGTACGATACGCCCCTCACTATGCCGCTCTCTACGACTGCCAATGCAGCCTGTATCCTCTAGCAGCTCCCAAGCACTGCAAGCACCCTTTCACTCCTCCAGTCCACCTATCCGCCTCGAGATTAGAGGTCGAAGTGGAGGTATCGGCGTCGGCGTGAGACCTTGACCACGCGGGGGGGCTGTCGCGTTTCAGATTTTGGGAGGACGAGCAAGGTTCGCATCCGTCCGCAGCGATCGAGCGGGCGGCAGGGCAAGGGTGCACGCGTTTCGCACTGGATCTTGTGGTATGTTGCTGTGCCTTGTGACCGCCTGCGCTGTGACACACAACCCTCGTTGGGTGTTGAGTGATTGCGCGAAGGCGAAGATTAACGTTTTGCGCGCGGCGCGGCGGAGAGGAGGTTGGCGTTTCACCTTTCCGCCGGTAGGCAGCGGGGGAGCGGATGCGCTTCTCGAGCGCGATTCTCGAGAGCGTATCTACCGCTGGTTGAAGAGCCTTGCGTGTGAGAGATTACGAGGACACGCTTGACGAGTCGACCACAACAAGGAGCTCGAGGAGAAGCAGGCTCGAGCGCAAAAGTCTCCCCACACCACACCATGCGGCCGGAAGATGACGCTAAAATCTCGGCATTCCGGTTCCGGGCGGGCGAGAACGAGGCGCGTGGCGGTCGGTGGCGTTGGTTGATCGACGGCGAAGCTTGGCTAGGCTCAAACTCTATTTTGACCAAAAGAAGGATTCACTGCTTCTGCGTGCCAACTTGGACTTGGGTGGGCAGACGAAGACCTTAGACAACAGGCACCATCAGATCTCATCACAGTCCATAAGCCGCAGATCCCGCTAAAACAGCAAGATACAGATGCGGCCTTCCTAGGCGCTATAGACTGAGACCGAGCTAGAAGGCCCACAGCTGGCTTACTATATCCCCAGCAGCCTTCTCTTCGCCTCCCTCCGCCGCCCCATCCGTCGTCTTCGCATCTACGTGCGCCGCATTCGAAGGGAACAAGTCAGGCCGGTACTTGTCATCCACCTCCAGCTGGAGCGACAGTGCCGGGGGATACTTGATCTTCCGCTGGAGCTCCGTCTCGAACAGCTAACCACAATCAGCTACTTCTCTCAATGTTGAGGTGAAGACTTACAGTGGCATAGCCATGATCCAAGAAGTCTTCCAGTGCAAATTCAGGCTTAGTGAATTGTTCCCTAAAGATCCCACTCATTGTCGATACACTGGCGAGGTAGTGATTCTGCATAGACGCCAATTCCCAGAGGGACGAGTCGATCGCTTTCGACGTGAACGGAGAGGGATCGTTGGCGTCGTACGGATCTACACCATAAGCCAAATCTACCTTTCGTCCTGGACACTAGGACTCACCCTCCCATCCGCCCTCATCGTACCGCTGCAGCATCCCCATACAGCCCACATGTCGCTTGAACAAGCCATACACGAAGGGCAAGACAAGCACTATCCCGCCTGGAGGAGCGGTCAGGGCAAGGCGGGACAAGCGCTTGATGAACGATGCGATGAGTGCCGAGGGGAGGAGAGCGGATCGGAGGAAGGTATCGAGGAGACGGAAGAAACGGGCACGGTGGCGCGTGTGTAGCAGAGAGGGGGTGAGGAGGGAGTAGAGTCGGGGGTAGAAGTTGGGATAGTCACTGCAAGTCAGCTTGTCTTGGCGCTATAGGCGTACATAGGGAGTCGATAGCTTACAGGTTGTACTGGGTCATCAGAACAAACAACCCATTCACCGCCAACATCCCCTCGACTCCTCCCCGATCCACCAGCGACCCCAACCAATCCGCCACTCTCACCCGCTTATCCGCGCGCATATGCCCCAAGATCCCCGAGCTTCCATGCAGCCCCACCAAAATCTTTCTCGTCCATGCCTCGCTGAGCGGCACTGTCGATAAGACCGCAATGTACAGATCTGTATATGCCGAGGTATGCGCCGCAGTCGAGTGTATCGCGGCGTGCAGGTTGAGCTTGGAAGTGCGCTCCCTAGGCCGTTTGGAACCGGTCGTAGCAGAGTCCGAGTCGGATCCTGAGTCGTATGCGGCCATCCACTCCGGTGTGGCGTCTACGTCTTTGCCGCCTTTGCCCTTCCTCGGGTTGGGCTTAGACTTCTTCGAGCTGGGTTCAGAGGAGGAAGGGGGCGATTGAACGGAGGGAATGAAGAAGGCGTTCAGGTCGGCTTGTTTCCGGGGGAGGTTGGTCAGTGGGAAAAGCTGGCCGAGGAGGTTCGAGGGGTGCGGGAGGGGGTCGGAGGTCGATTCGAGCATGTGCCTGAGGAGTCAGCTTGGGTCGGACATGACGCCTTCCGTTAGCTGAACTCACTTTGCTTCCCGGAAGAACAGTAGCCGGAGATCATCATACTTTGCCCAGAAATCATCCACGACAAGCGCGATTACGTCCTGTGGCAAGACGCCTGCATCCTCGCTGACCTGATGCGCTGGGACGACGATCCATTGCGACGAAGTCGAGGACGAGCCGACCTTCCGAGGAGAGGCACCGCGCAGAGACTCGGTAGGGTAGATCAGAGCATCGAGGATGATTCTGAAGTAGATGGTGTGCACACCCGATGTTGACAGAGCTGGAAGCAGTGAGAATAGGAGCGGTAGAGCTGATGACTGCAATGTTAGCTTTACTCCCGATTTGTGTAAACGCAACAGCTGACTTACCCGTAATGCCGCCTCATTGTCTCTCAATAAGCCAGCCAGGATCTCCAGGTATTCCACCAGTCTCTCCCTCACCCAAATCTTCACCTCCCTCCCTGATCCGACTTCCACCTCGTCCACCTCGTCCTCGCCCGATCCACGGGATGCCAAGCTGGTAGATACAAGTCCGCCGACCTTGCCGGCGCTAATGAGCGGGATGAAGACCCGATGCAGGGCCCATATGGCTTTATGTACGACCTCCGGGGAGGCGTGCCGCGCGAGGGAGAGGAGCGGGAGGAGGTTGTTCGGGTCGGAGAGGTCGGCGAGGAGCGAGGCTTCGAAGGTGGGTATTTGCTTGATGATTGCTGCTGTTGATGGCTGTTTGGGTGCCATCTTGCTTGTAGTTGTCCACTCTGTAGTGGTATAGCCGCTACTGCTGTAGTCGCAGTAGATGTGATGGTCTGGAAATCTTTACCCGGTGGAGGTGTTTTGATACTGTTTCACCCATAGATGACGTGGCGACGCGTCCCTCTAGAAGGTCCCGCGGGATCATAACCTCAGCTGAGCTGGCTGGATTGACGCGACTTTCGACCTCCACCTCTATCAATCACTCTCACATTCACACTTCACACTCATTAGCTTACTGATACAGTACACAGCGAGGCCCTTGTCTACAGCTCCATCGATCGCTTACCCTCTGAATCCGGAACCCAGCGAAAAGATCGCTTCGCCATCATGCCGCCCCAGCGCACCGTCTCGAACCCTTCCACCTCTTCGTCCCAGTACCCGCCCAGCCGGCCGAGCTCTAGCAAGCCTGGAACACCAGCGAATGGCTCGAGCGCCAACTCGAGCTTAATCCTGAGGAGGCAGCTTATAGGTGAGCTCTCTTTCTTCGACTGCATGGGCCTGGTCATGGCCCCGGTGGCAACTCCTCCTTCCCGTTTGGGACCGGTCGGCAAAGAGGTAAGCTGATCAAGGTAGAACTGCAAAAGAAGCCAGTCGACGGCTTCTCGGCTGGTCTGGTCGATGATGATAATATCCTGGAGTGGCAGATTGTCATCATGGGGTAAGTCACACCGGTCGCGTGCCTGCGGGACGACCGTTGAGGCGATCGAGGATGGATACTGACAGCTCAGTCCCACTGATACGTTGTACGAAGGAGCTATACTGAAAGCTCGCTTAATCTTTCCTCCAGTGAGCTCTGTCGTTTTTGTCAACGGTATTGGCAGGACTTAGCTGATCGATCAGGAGTACCCCCTGTTGCCACCCAGGATGGTGTTCGACTCTGAAATGTGGCATCCGAATGGTGGGTACAGCTGCGCAATGCGTATCCTTCACTCGTGAGCCAAGCTGAAGCCTGTAGTATACACGTCCGCCGATAAGAGAGGCGAGGTCTGCGTTTCGATATTGGTGAGCTCCGCTCTGCTTGATGACGAATCGGATAAGCTGACAGATTAGCATCAACCGGGAGATGACGAGTGGGGATACGAAGATGCAGGAGAGAGGTGGTTGCCTGTGCATACTGTCGAGAGCGTCGTGAGTTGTCAGATCTATGTGTGACGTTATCAGCTGACGGCGTCTAGCTCGTTTCGGTCATTTCCCTCTTATCGCAGGACGTACCAGATCTCAACTCGCCTGCGAATGTCGACGCTGCCAAGGAGGTGCGAGAGGACTTCCCATGTACGTATACTTTGCCCCTCCCTACACTGTCCTCCATATCTTGCCGTCAACCACATCTTACTTCTTCCCCGCTTGGTCCGAATCGTGGAGGGGCATCGGCTGATCATCAGCGTACAAGAAGAAGGTCAAGCGCTTAGTACGCCGATCGGCCGAGGAGGCATACGAATAGCCCGGCGCGGGAGGGCGAGATGTATATGACAGGCGGAAGGCAGAATGAGGGGAGATGTCTGTGCTAGAGGGAAGGAGGAATTGCGAGAGGCGATTCGCTTTATCGGGGATAGGTCTGTACACTGTGCATAACATTCATGCAACCCATATGTCATCAATCTATTCCTTGGCTTCTCATCCATCGCAACTGACATCACGCATATCCCATCTGCCTCAGATCCGAGAACGCCATCGACCGGAACCCCGTATCCCATACCCCTATGTATATCTTATAGCGCCCTATCCAGCTCCGAATCGACACCCAGCTTCCTAAAAATATCGAGACACTCCTTCCAGTACTTCTCCTGCGTCTCCCTCCCTTTAGGCGAAACGACGAAAGTCGAGACTGGCGTCTCTCTGCAGTGATGTATGAACGCCCCAGGCATGGTGGGCTGCGTAGACGAGTACAAAAAGTTGCGCGCGCCCTTCTCAGCTGACCAAGCGATAGCGTTGAAGATCCAAGCGATGACGGGACCCATATTGTCCCTTATTGCCGATTGGCACATACCTTCCAAGTCAGCCTGTGCCCATCCCGCCCGCATCGTGCATAAGCGTGGGGGAGCTCACCTGGATTGACAGAGTTCACTAGCACCTTACCCGAGGTCACTGCTGGGAGCTTGGCGAGTTCGCGGCCGATAAAGACACTGAGGACTTTGGAGACTTGGTATCGCTCGTTGAAATCGACGAATTGCGCGGGGTCGTTCAGAGCATCGATGAGAGATCCGGGCGCATTCGCTTGAGGAAACTTGGACCAGTAATGGACTGTCGCGTCAGCTCCAAACCCCTTCTTCTTTCGAAGACAGAATACAGAAGACCCACCTTCGCTAGCCACAATACTCAGAGTCGGCTTCATCCCCTTGCTTCCTGCGGGGACCTCCCTCCCCGCCGTCTCTTCCAGCTTTGGCAACAGCAGGACCCCCATCAACGCCGTCGCCAGCCCATTGACCTGGAGAGTCTCCTCGTACCCATCTCCCGTCTGCTTGAATGTCTCCGGCTTCGGCTGTATCCCGGCGTTGGCGACGATAATGTCCAGCCGGCCTTTGTCCGCGTTCAGGTCCTGGCAGAACTTGATGGTGTTCGCGAAGCTGGAAAGGTCGAGCTCCATGACGTCCACTACGCCGCGGTAGGATGGGACATCCTCGTAGACCTTCTGAGCGGCGGCTTGACACCGCGTAAGCGAGCGCGAGGCGATGATTATGCGTGAGGCATTGCAACGGGCAAAGTGGAGGACGGCAGCGTAGCCTAGTCTACTTTATTAGCTTCTTTCGCCATTGGCTCTTGAAGTAAGTGATTGACGTAGACATACCCTCCATTACCGCCAGTGACGAGTGCGGTCCGGCCGGTGAGGTCAATATCGGGTGCCGAGAACGAAGCGAATAGATGACCCCAGATGAAAGCGAGAGGGGAGTAGTTCTGGCCTTGTTCTTCGGTCATTACTGCTAGTTGGGACGCTCCTATTGACGGTCCACGAGTGATATGACAAGTATATGACGAGAAGGAGGATTGCGCGGCCTCCGACCAAGCAGACTGCAGTCCGGTCATCTGTGAGGCCGTCGGCCAGCCGGTCAGCCCGTGCCTGAGTCCGTCGTTACCCCGCCTCCAGCTCCACATTCCTCCAGGGACGTGGCTTGCGCTCATGAGAGCATGCATGATAGTGTATCCAGCTGCGCCTCGGCCTGGTCTACCATCTGAATGCATGCCGCTCCCGATCATCAATGTCTAAAGCACCCTGTCCAGCTCCTCTCCCGCCCAGCTGCCTAAAGATCGCAAGACACTCCCTCCAGTACTTCTCCTGAGTCTTCTTCCCCTTGGCCGAGACGATGAACAAGGACGGCGGGGTCTCCTTGCAGTGCGTGACGTATGCGCCGGGAGCGGTCGGCTGAGTGGCCGCCCAGAGAAAGTTGCGAGTACCCTTCTCGGCCGACCATGACATGGCGTTGATGAGCCAGGCGGTGAAGGGGCCCATGCCGTCCCTGAGCGCTGATACGACCATACCTGCTCATCAGCGATTGTCCCGGAGTCAATGATGATAATGAAGCGGATGGCACTTACCCGGACCGACAGAGTTGACGAGTACCTTACCAGACGTGACAGCTGGGAGCTTGGCGATTTCGCGGGCATTGTAAATGCTGAGCAGCTTGGAGACGTTGTACCGCTCGTCGAAGGAGATGAACTGGTCGGGGTCGTTGAGGGCCTCGATGAGCGATCCGGGAGCATTGGCTTGAGGAAACTTGGCCCAGTGGTGAACTACCCGTCAGCTCTTCTCCTCCCGAAACATCCAAAGAGCAATTCACCATCGCTCGCCACGATAGTCAACGTAGGCTTCATTCCCTTACTACCCGCCGGGACCTCCATACCCGCCGTCTCCCCCAGCTTCGGCAGGCACAACAAGCACATCAGAGCCGTCGCCAGCCCATTGATCTGTAACGCCCCCTCGTACCCGTCCGCCGTCTGCTGGTAGGTATCGGTCTTGACGCCCGCGTTGGCGACGATGATGTCGAGCCGGCCCGGGTCACTGTTGAGTGCCTTGCAGAAGGCGATGGTGCTGGACCAGCTGGCGAGGTCGAGCCTCATCACGTCGACGATGCCGCGGTAGGAGGGGACGTCCTTGTGTACCTGCTCGGCGGCGGCTTGGGCGCGCTGGAGGGAGCGGGAGGTGATGATGATCCGCGAGGCGTTTGACCGGGCGAAGTGGAGTACGGCCGCATATCCCAGACTGAGCTTCAGCACAGCCCAGGTAGGGGCGAGCAGAGAATATCACTTACCCCGTGTTCCCACCCGTAACGAGCACCGTCCGGCCAGTGAGGTCGACCTTGGGCGCGGAGAAGGAAGCAAACATGTGATCCTTGATGAACGCGAGTTGCGAGTAGTGTCGGCCTTGATCTTGTGACATGGTGGAAGGGAAGAAGGGGTGTGGGTGTGCGAATGAGAGGGTTGGAAGGGTGATGAGTTCTGGTCATAGACACCCATCGCGCCTATATATGATGTTTTCTGGGTGGGCGAGTGGAGGTCAGTGAGTCGGTCAGCTCGACAAAGGACCTTAGTAGCCTGGCCGATGCCCGAAGAGAGTTTGGGCGTGTGGAGGCAGAAGTAGAAGCTGGAGTGAAGCTGCGGGCCAGAGGCCCGAGGTCATAAATCGCGCATGCCGTCATCGCCTGGCAGCTCCGCATTCCTTGTGCAGCTCGACTGTTTCAGGCTGTCAGTCCTGCGCGCTGAGTGCTGAGCCGCTGGATTGCCGAGCAGAGGATTGACGGCGTGGGCTCTCACGACGTCAAGTACTTTCTGATGTTCCGATTCGCAGACTTACTTATGATGATCGCCATCAGCTATCCCTACTTACTACCCCCAGCCGTCCAAATGATCCAGAACGCGATGATTCGCTTGGTCTCGGTCCGCACACGTACAGGTCCAGAAAGCGAGCAAGTCGACCGTGATCTGATCCACCTCACAGTCAGATCCATGCCATATGGACAGGGCTGAAATAAAAACAAATTATCATACGCCAAATGCCAAAAACACACAGTATCTACGACGCCTAATCCCAACTGTACCAGCCACACTCAATCAGGATTCCCCTTACTCATGTCAGTCTCGTCATCCGTCTCATGTGCCCCTCTTGTCTATCGCCTAGTGCCACGCCCAGACCCCTCATCTGTTCATTCCCAGACTTTGTGAAGGATCGTCACAGTCTCGGGAGCCGTCATCTCATCCAGATGTGCGTGGCTCGCGATCTCGTTGTCGTAGAGCCGATTGACGTGAGCAGCTGTTGACTCGACTGTGTGACCGGCGGCAATCTCGTCGGTGAGCCAAGAGAACGCTCCGGAGCCTTTCGTAGTCTCGACCAGCGGCGTGCAGTCCAGAGTGAGGTTGGCAGGGACCCGCGTGGAGCTCCCGGACTTGTAGTCCTGGCCATCGGTGACGGTGAGCGCCGCGATGACCGCGTTGGTCAGGTTGAGTACAAGGGCATGAGTGGGTAGTAATACTGAGTCAGACTCCTCCGCGGAAGCCGAGAGGTATTTCGTGAGCAGGACGAGGTCTGGCCGCTCAATCGGAGACCATGTGGCGGTGTATGCCTGCTGGTCGGCATCTGCCGCGCTCTCCTCTCCGAGGGGATGAAGGTAAGAGACGAGTTCCGCCCACGCTTCCCCGGACAGTGTCTCGCTCATGCCCAGCGCCGTGTAAGCCTTGAGCACGTCCGAGCACACTTGGTGGGCAGAGTTGGTGCGCCTGACGAGGAGGGCACCGTCTTCCTCATCGAAAAGGGGATCGTTCATGACCGTCGTTCCCTTTTCACGCCGATACAACTCTTCCATCATCTTGAGTGTCACTTCGAGGCACTCCGCTTTCGTCAGAGCAAGACCCATCCTCTTCCAGAAACTCCCCGTGTGATCAGTGGAGAGGAGAGCATGGGGTCGGTGAAGGTCCCTGGGAAGCGGCTTCCAGGTAAAGTGGTTCAGGTCACCCTCCCCGACGTAGAGCCCGTCTTTGCCTCGCGAGATAGCGATCCAGGACAGGTCTTCTTTGTCAGGATCACTGTACACTGCGGCAGTCGCATCGTCGGCCTTCAGCATCCAGTCAGGTCGTTTCTCGCCATCCACTGCTCGCCGAATATCCGAGTAGGTGTACAGCTGACTGTCGAGGGCGGGCATCGTGTGTATGTGTGTGTGCAGGTGAGGAATATCGTTCAAATGTCCGCTTTGATGGATGTATGATAGCAGAACACAAGCGGACGAGGCGAGGTCTTATATTTCTTTCTAAGAAGCGTACTGGTGGCTCGTGTGGAGCGACAAGGACAAAGGGAGGCCTGGAACCCGTCGCAGAAACCGTATCATGTAGCATCACCTTTCATGATCTGTAATTTAGCTCCTCCCTTGACGAAGATCTCGGCGACTTGCCCTAGGTGTGCACCTCCCCAGATCTTCACATGCATTCATCGCGCTTCTTGTCGATAGCATCGAGTCAAAACAGATTGATCGGAGAGGAAAGAAAGGATAGCATGAGCCGCATGTAGCTTCGTTTATCCTATCACGACCTCATGAAGATCTATCGTCGTCTTCGAATAGCGCTGATATAATGATGCGCGTCACCCATCTGCGCGGACCTCGCCCGAAGCAGGTTGCGATCGTTGCATGTGACAGGCCGTACGCTTATCAAGCTGAGAGTCAGATCACAGATCCATGCACACTGATAACTTTCCAAGACAGACACAATCTATTCACAGTTCGACTCCCTGAAGTGGACAGAGCTCCACAATTTCCGACCTCTCGCCAACATATGTAGATCCATCACCGTACCCGAGACTCTGCTGACGATCGAAGACGCTCGACATGGAGATTGGCGTCCTCATCGAAAGTCCCAACCTGAGTGCCTCCCTGAGCATCCTCTTCGTCGCGCAAGAGTGGTGAGACGCTGATCAAAGTCTCGCTGTTTGGCGGTCTGCGTTGCCAGTGTGGTAGATACCGTCCGTTGTAGTTCCGGTACAAGTTCTGAATGTGAGACGCCAAGACCTCGTCATCTGGGCCGGCTCTGTGTCCGATGCCGCCGTCCTCAGCCACAAGCCTTGCGAGGGGGGGCAATTCAGTCTCCTGCTCGAGGACTGGCCACGTACTCGCTCTGACCTGCAGCTTGGAGCAGTCCACGACGTATTCCTCCGAGACCCCCCCAACAGTGTCGCGCTTGGAAGAGATCCGGGTCAATGGTACTGTGCCGCCAGTTGAAAGATTGAATATGGTGACGATCTGCTCGGTCTGCTCTGAGGCTCCCATGGGCTGATGCTCGATGACCATTGCGAGCCAAGGCCGGTCCGTCTGCAAGAGCGCATGGCAGATGGTGATCCCCCACGTATCCGGAGGATCCAGAAGGAGATCCAACTTGGCGAGTGAGGGCGACGCGATGTCAGCCGAGGAGACTCCAGTCAGGCCCCTGGTACTGTCAATGAAGTTGCAGATGCCCAAGCCGGAAGCTGTAAGCGCTGCCCGGACCGTGGGCCCGGTAGGTGCGTTGCGTGTCCAAATCACGTGTGTAGTGGGTTCTCGGGTCCGCATCAGATGTGTCAATTTCCGGGCAATGGGGCGATAGGTCTCATCAGGAGCAGTGATGCGTTTCTGGATGTGTGCGGAAAGGACCGTCTCGTCGGGGACATAACCTGGGTATGTAGGCGAAGACTCCAACATGTCCTCGTATACCGTGTCTTCGTGATCCGTATTGTTGCCCCAGATCAGATGGACGAGGTTCAGTGGTCCACCAATCTCCCGAGTCAGAGTGACGGAGGCCCATTCCTTGGGGTCCTTGTTGGGGTCTTCGAGGTGCACAATGCCTTCTGTCTCAAATGCTTGGTCCAGCCCAAGCAGCTTCCGGTCCGGACGGGGATGTACACTAGCGTGCAAATCAGCTTCAGCGGTGGCGGACATTGGAAGAGGAGCTCTGAGCGGTGATTAGGTGATTTGCCGATAGAAGCTGCGTGATGCAAGAGGGATACGAATCCCGCGCCTCCCTTATATAGCCCTACAGGGCTGGAGGGGAGTCAGCGGACTACAGATGTCGAAACGCGGCATACGTAGATTAGGGCATGACAGACCATCATTCCTTTGTGGGTGAAGCAAGCCTGAGCACGCCATCAGTCGTGATCTATCGGATTTACTCGGTCGACTTGACTTCCCCTTAGGTGATAGCAAGCGCCAGAAAGAGGTTGGTGCCAAGGTGGCGAAGACTAGAGCCTTGGCGGAATGTGGCGCTGAGTGCCACACTCAGACCCTCACCACGTGGCTACTGTCCCCCACGCGCCGAATTTAGTCCCGCCCCGTTCCGCGGTTTCCGATGCTCGCTCTGATCTCCATAGCAAAGCCAAAGTTACACAGAACTATCTCCTCCTTATCTATACCCTACCAAGGCTGCTGAGACAAGAGCTACCCAGCAGCTATCCATAATGGCTTTCTCAGCTCTCCGCGCACGCTCATTGCGAGCTGGCGTACGGGCAGCGGCTGTGGTGCGTTTGATCCATCCCGGAAATTCTTCGCCAAGATGCGAGGAGGCGAAGGATGGACACGAAGGATGGAAGGGACAAGGTGCTGATACTGGTTATAGAAGCCGATGCGCTCGACACTGCCGCAAATCCGGCTCCTCCAGACTGACTCGGACAAGTCAGCTCCCGCCCATGAACTGCCTGCTTCGGGAAGCGATAAGGTATGTTGTTGTCGTTTCTCATGGATTCGGCAAGGGAGCCGCAGAAGGCCACGTTGGGGCAGCAAGCTTGGATGGTGTCGGAAGGGATTGCGCTGATCATGTAGTTCAAGGTCAACCTTCCCGAGGACAGCTTCCACTCGTACCGATGCGACGGACCCAGCACCGAAGTCGAGGTGACCAAGGATGACCTTGTGCACATGTACAAGCAGATGGTGGGTTCCTCGTCGGACATGAAGGGGTCTGTGCTAATTGTCAGGTGACCATGCGACGGATGGAACAGGCTGCCGATGCGCTGTACAAGCAGAAGATGATCCGAGGTTTCTGTCATCTTGCTATCGGTCAGGAGGCTGTTTCGGTCGGGATGGAGAATGCGATTGATGGAGACGATCGGGTCATCACTTCTTACCGGTGTCACACTTTCGCCGTACTGCGAGGCGGTACCATCAAGGGTGTTTTGGCGGAATTGATGGGTGAGTCTCGCTTTTGGGTCCGTACCAGTCCATACCAGGATGGCGGCTGACTTTCCAGGCCGTGTCGACGGTATGTCATACGGAAAGGGTGGATCCATGCACATCTTCACTCCCTCATTCTTCGGTGGTAACGGTATCGTCGGTGCTCAGGTAAGCTAAGACCGCCCTGACGTCCTGATTTAAGCTGACTAGCTAGGTGCCTGTCGGAGCCGGTATCGCTTTGGCGCAAAAGTACAGCAAGAAGAAGGCGGCGACTTTCGCGCTGTACGGTGACGGTGCTTCCAACCAGGGTCAGGTCTTCGAGGCGTACAACATGGTATGTCCTTCACGCTCCAGCTCTGGGTGTGTACTGACCACTCAGGCCAAACTCTGGAACCTCCCCTGTATCTTCGTCTGCGAGAACAACAAATACGGTATGGGTACATCAGCCGAGCGGTCCTCGATGAACACCGACTACTTTACCCGAGGTGACAAAATCCCCGGATTGCAGGTCAACGGGATGGACATCTTGGCGGTCAGGCAGGCGTGCTCGTGGGCCAAGGAGTGGGTGACGAGCGGAAAGGGACCATTGGTGGTTGAGTTTGTGACGTACCGATACGGTGGTCACTCGTGAGTTCAAGTCTTTCTCATGACGCGGGTGGCGAGCTGACGTGTATAGCATGTCCGACCCCGGAACCACTTACCGTACCCGTGACGAAGTACAGGCGATGCGTGCGGAGAAGGACACGATCGCGGGTCTGAAGAAGAACATCTTGGACTGGGGAGTGTCAGACGAGGCTAGCTTGAAGGTGAGCCATGTTTGTATTGTCAAGGAAGAGCCAAGCTGATCTTCAGGCAATTGTGGACGGAGCCAAGACCGAGGTCGACACTGCCGTCGAGGAGGCCAAGCAGTCACCTTTCCCCGATCTCAAGGAGTTCTGGACCGACATCTACTACAAGGGTACCGAGCCACCCTTCATGCGCGGGCGGGAGAAGGAGGAGGTGCACTTCTACAACAAGGAGGCGTAGGTCCGTTCGGGCTCATAGACATGCATGCTTTTCCGGGGTACACAATTGCTTGGAAGTGTGCGATAGCGATCTCGAGGTCGCGGAATACACAGCAGCTCAAGTCGAAGGGGCAAGCCCAGCTGCGTTTGACCTGATAGCTAGTTACTGGCCGAGAAGAAGCCATCAGTCGGAGCTCCCAGAGCCCAAGTCAACCGGTAGAACAGTCCTTCGACGCCGTCCGAGTCTAATCCATATGTCGGGCAAGGTCCTACTACGCAGCGCACGTTTTGCAAGACCAGAAGACAGGATGCGCGACTTAGAGAGCAAAAGCGGTGATATCTCGCATGACTATATCTACACCATACTTATAAACGCCTACGTCTACTTTTGCGTCTACGCTACGCTTGCCTTTTGGTTCTACCTACTCACCCAACCGGACTGACCCATATCTCCACGCTCTAATATCTACATATACAACTTGTCCTCGATACTATATGCACCCTTCCTGCCTCGTCAGCCAATGTCCTCTCCATTTCATCCCAAATCAGGCTGAGGGAATAATGCTCACATTCTTGCCTGCCTGGCCATCATCGGTCTGAATAACGCATGCACCCTTTTCCTGCTCCATCAGCAATAGTCCACAATCTCAGCGTTAGAAAGGCCTCAACTCACATCTTTCCAGCTGCCACATTCCAGCAGCCACTACCTCCCTCTCGCTCCATGGGAAATATGATGCCCCCTCCCCATCCCTCTGCCCCTCCATGCGCCTCTTGGCTCAAAGAACCGCATATTCCCGCCAAAGCCCCCGCGCCCATTCATTCCTGGCACCGGGACGGGCATGTATTGACCCCTTGGACCCAGAGGGGGAGCAGGCGCCGTAGTAGGTGTATGGGGCGTCCCTGCTCCGCCTGACCCGCCCGACGTGGGTGTCGCAGCCGAGTGGGCCGAGGTGGGCGTCTGCCAGCTCCCCCTTGGTCCAGTAGGGGGAAGAACGACAGACTGCGTCGCTGGAGTCTGAGCTTTAGGACCGGTAGGTGGGAGCCGGGGAAGCGGGCTCGTGCGGTCGATGGGGGAGCGGAAGGGGAGACCGGTGGTGCGAGCCTCGGGCGAGAGCGACGCGGCGGTGTACTGCCGAGAGAATTGCTGGTGCGGCGGTGCCTCGCGATAGGGGAGCGGCGGAGGCATGGAGGTTTGCTCAGGCAGTGATATGGTAGGCTTGACGGGCGAGTCTGACATGGACCGCTGACGCGACCGGGATGCCGGCGTGGAGGTACCGGGATAATCATCTCCGCCGGCCGAGGTGGAGCTGGAGACGGACCGGGATGGCGCGGACATGTTGTAGCCAAAGTTGCGACTGTACCCGTAGTCCCGGCCGTTGGGGAGATCGTCGACCCCGGGAAGTGGTTTTGGCTCCTCGACGGGAGTGGCGGAACCACGAGGTACGTACGATGGGACGGCGAGCGATGAGGGAGGGGCCTCGCTGTCCGTAGATGCGCTCGCACGAGGGGTGTAGCTTGACGTCCGCGGTTGGAAGGCGGTGGAAGGCGTCCCAGCGGCCGAGGCAGCGACAGGTGCAGTCGAAGAGGTGAGAGGAAAGTACTCGGACCGAGGGGCGTAGCTGCCTGGGCCTGGAGTAGCTCGAGGTGACTCGGAGATCGGAGTACCGTACGAGCTCGGTCCCGCCGCCGAGGGGGCCGGAGGTGGTTGCGGGCGCGAGCTGGGGAGGAAGTCGTGCATGTTGAAACCGCCTTGCTGGGGTGACGGCGCGGGAATATCGGGCTTGACATCCGCGAATGATACCGAGAGGGGTGCTGCCGCCGGAGCAGGCGGAGTAGGCTCGACGACAACCGCGGGAGGCACGATCGCCGCTGTAACAGCTTCATCCCCATTCACCATCTCGCCGCCATCCGTCGCCTTCTTCTGTATCTTTCTGTTCTTCAGATACTCAGAAAGCGAGACCTTCTTGGGCGGTTCCGGGGGCGGCGGTGTGGCCTCCTTTGGCGGGAGAGGTGAAGGCGACCGGTGGGGCAGTGGAGGTGTAGGAAGCCTTTCCGCCTCCTCCATCTCGACATCCCCATTCCCATCTCTGCCCGACTCATCGGGAAAGAGCGAAGACGCCATCTCCTCCTTGTCTACCTCGGCCCGCCGACGACCCGGAAGATCCATCGCCTCATCCTCTGATCCAGGAGGGGAAGACAGGATCCGATTCCTCTGCCGCTTGTTGCTCCCGCCAGCGCCGGAAGGATCGCGTTTGAACCGCTTATCCTCCTTCCCGTCTTTCCGTATCCTCCGTGCCTTGCCTGCCTTGACTTCCTCTTGTTCCGCCTTGGGACTGGGGAGATTGCTCTCCACGACGGGACTGAGGACACGGCGAACTCGGACTCCGGGACCGTTGGACTTGCCAGGGCGCGTATCGGCCTCTGCCTCGGAATCGGCTTCACCATCGTCCCCTTCGTCTCCGGACGAATTGGATCGGGGGACAGTAGCGGTCGTGGCGTCGGAGAGATGCTCGTCGTCCGAGTCTGGATGTGGCCGAGCGCGGGGACGAGAGCGAGGGGCAGACGTTAAGGCAGAAGATGGCGCAACGGTGGGACGTGGCGCTGGGGGTGTGGAAGGTCGAGGGGATGAAGTGAGCGGTGATGCGGATCCGGATTGTTGGCGAGAATGAGACCGCGACGGCGCCGTGAGGACCGAAGGGGTGGTGGCGCGACCTTCCTCCTCTTCCTCCTCGTCGACGTCCATTTCGATGTCCCCATCACCGCCTTCCTCTTCCTCCATCTCTGTGATAGCTTCTGACGCCTCCTCCGACTCTCTCCTGCTGACCGGCTCCACCTGGACTTCCTGCTCCGGCTCACCAACATCAACCTCAGCCGCCTGCTCCTGCTCCGACATCCTTTCCTCCTCTTCTTTCCCCCACACCCTCCCTTCCAGCGCCTCCGGCAAATTCCACTTTCGCACCCCCTCCATCTCCTCTTCTCTTCTCCTCCAGCCCCTCACCGCGCCGACCAGTGACCCCAGATCCGCCCGCTGACCCCTCCGTCCCGCCCGACTCCGCTCGTCATCCCGCTGCTCGACGAGATACCGCATTTGCGCGATCGCGCAATTACCGAGACTCTTGCACGCGCAGGAAGAGAATGTCCCAAGCAAGTGCGTCAGGACGACCTCGAACTTGTCGAGCAGGCCGTTGACCGCCGGGGACGAGGACGGGAGAGAGGGCGCGAAAGCTGGTCGACCGGGATATCCGTCCGCGAGAGTAGTGGGGTGGATGAGGGACCGAAGGGCGTGGACGATATGCGAGTCATCCCATGCCCATGAGAGGACGAGCTCGTCATCCTTTTGGACATCTTCAGAGGCAAAGATCCCGAATCGAAGTTTAGGAGGTTCGCTCTCAGACGACCGGAAGAGCAGTGGACGGAGGACGACGTTGGGATGACAGCCAGAGCGGATGAAGCGGAGGTCGCACCCGTAGCCCCGGGCGTCGAGCATGAGGTTGACAGGCGGGCCGATGGGATGGACATGCGGCTTCGTGATACCGAGGACGGCGTACTGGTTGACCGGGTCTTTGCGATACGACTCGCAGTCCAACACTTCGGCGCGAAACTCGCCGATAAAGTGTGACGCATGGATGGATTCCGAGGAGAAGACGCCGTACAGCGCTGGACGGGTGTATGAGCCGGGAAGCGGTGTGGTCTCCGAGTAGCTGAGAGGGAGGAAGGAGAGGGAGTGCGAGATGGACTTGACGAACCAGGGACAGCCGAGCGAAGGGAGATCGGGACCGAGCAGCGTGGCGGGTGGCACGGGTGGTGCGAGTGTCGAGTAGTCGGGAAGGGGGAAGATGTTGTCGGGAGAGAAGCGAAGTAGACCGGTTTCGGTCGGTGATGGTAAGCCCGAAGGACCAGCGACTGATCTCCTCTTTGTCGAGGTGGACAAGACCTCCTCATCCTCCTCCGCGTCCACCCATTCCCTGTACATCTTGCCCATGATTCGCCTCGCCTCCCTCCCGCGCACGATATTCTCCGAGACAGGCGTGTACTCCAGCGTCCAGGGTTCTATCCGGAAGTAATCGTCCTCGGCTTCAGCAGCGGCGACGGCGGCAGTTTGGGCGGCGGAGGGGTAGTAGGAAGGTCCAGGCGTTGACTCGTGAGGAATCATCATCGAGGCAGTCTTTTGTTTTGGCTTGGGCCCGGGTTTGCGCCGAGGTTTGGCCGTTGGTGGAGCCATCGATCCTGGACTTCCATCCTTCTCCGCCCTGTCCACTCCGTCCTCGTGCACACTCCCCACTCTCGCCCGCTTCCCCTTTCCCCGGCTCTTTGGCTTGTCGGGGACAATCCCTCCTGACATCGTCACGCCCACTATCGCCGCGCCTACGACCCCAGGGAACCCAATCCCCAGCGCCATATCCCCTGACCGCTCCCTCTCCCTTTTCTCCTTCGCGGCGACCTGTACCTCCCTCGCCCGACCCGGATCATACGGTCTCGGCGAGCACAACTCGCAAAAGTATATTTCTGGCGTGTTGGCCGCTTCCGAGTAGCCGAAACATTGCGCGTGTTGCCAGGCATAGCACGACTCGCATTGAATCGTCAGTCCGTCATCCTCGTCGATCCCGCAGATACACCGGATGATCTCGTTCTCCTCGCCCATAAAGTGAAGTGGACGAGCGGGATCATTGGAGGACCGGCGACTGGACGCGTTGGCGGCGGTACGTTTCCGTTTCTGCTTGGGTTTGGACGGGCCGGCCTCAGGGGAGGGAGCGGCAGGGGAGGATGGGTCGACGGGCTGGAGGTGGGATTGGGTGATGTATGTGGACGCCGAGGCGGTAATGGAGGGAGTATCGCCATTGACGTGGGGTTGATCTGGGGGAGTGTAGGGGTACGTTCCGGGCGCCGCGAGATCGTTGACGAGCCGCGGGGGTTCGAGACCGGTATGAGGTATAGCAGGGGAGGGTGGATCCAGTGTTGGTGTTTCGTCGTGTCTGGGCTCAAGGGTTGAGAAACCCAGCAACAATTCCGCAGCCTCCTGGCTCTGCGTCCCGTGCTCTAACGACGAGTCTGCTTGACTACCCGGCGCCTCGCCCGGTATTGTCGCAGCTGGGTCATCCATCTCGATATCGCCTGTGAGGGGTATTCGAGGGGATACGGGATGTGGAGAGAGTCGTGAAGGCCCAGCGATGGGTTCCTCCGCGAAAGCGACGTGTAGCTCAGCCATTGTGAAGTGGCGAGTAGGACGACGCCGAAAGGGGACAAAGGTAGGGGAAAGGTGGGTATCTGTTAAAGGGAGTCAGCGGTGGTCATACAGGTGGCGATCAACACGACAGAGGACCGCTTGGTTGCTTCGAGAGTACGGGGAGAGAAGGAGACGTGGATTCTGGGTAGACGATATGCTGACAAAGCCGACAGAGACTTCGACGCCCCGATTCGAGCCGAATGTCCATCTCCTTCCATCGCGCCCAGTATTCCCATTGTCCTTTCCCTTTCGCCCGGCACAAACTGCCCATCTTGAGACAGAGATGGATGACCTGCTCATAGCGAGCGGGCAGGACCAAGCTTCCGCCAGCGGCCGTCTGGCTGACGAGCTCGACACTGCGGTCCCATTTCCCACTCCACCTCGCTTTCTCTCCCTTATCCATGATGTCCATCCTTTGTTCCTCGAGCAGAAATTCTACTCACATCACACAATCCCAAAAAGCGCCCAGTATAGCCAGCGGCTCGTACTAATTGTCCATAGAGAAGAGGTTGGCGCCTAGACGCGAAGAGGTAATTGGGGGAGAAAGGCAAAGTCGAATTGTATCAAGTCGAAACTTTATCGCTGATATCGAATGGGGTATATTTTGGGTATGATCGATACGGCTGGGTATGTGGGTGCTTTCGAGTGGGTGTATCGGTGTGGGTTGGCTAGTGTACAATTGCTGAGAGTCGACGGGGGGTTAGATGGAGAGGAGAGAGGGGGAAGTTTGGGTGTGAAAGTTGCCTACAGCCAGAGGTTGAATTCGACATTCAGGGTGGCCAACAGGAACAGAGTTAGGCGCGCAAACAGAGACAGACAGGGTAAAAGAAGGCTCAGGGAAAAAGAGGGCAGCCAAAGGGAGGGATCGAATAGGCTCAGTGCTCGGTGGAGGATTTCGATGCATCCGCCAGCAGCTAAAGGTACATTGCCTCTGTATCATATCTCCTTCTTCCTCCTCGTCTCATACGCAAAGAGCAGTAGCCAGGCTCTATCACAGCGTCATCAAAAGGCTCGCCTACAGGCGCCATCGAAGAGCCCTTCTCGACTCACGTATCACGAGTCAACCGATTCTGGATCGTTGAACGAACGATTCTTCCCCTTCCCTATACCCCTTCCCCCTCCCTATCACCCTCAGCCAACATGTCGGGCGCAAAGAAACCCGGACAGAGGGATCTGTCGCAGTTCAACTATGGTGCCATGTCGAGTTTGGTCGTCAATCAGGGTGAGCCTTTCTCGTGCCGGATGCGCGTAAGGTGGCAAGAAGCTGATCCCCATAGACCGATCCGTCGTCCGTACCGATGAACCTACCGGCGCTCCTGAATCCCTCGTCGGCCGTATCAGCCTCAAAGATATGGGGTCCCGCGTCACCCGCGAAACTCCCGACGAGCTCAAAAAGCGGAAAGCAAAAGCGGCGAAACTATCCTCGGCGGACGAGGTCGAGCGGAATATCCGGCGTCAGCAGGAAAAGACCAATGCTCGATTTGGGACGTCGGATGTCCTCGAGGCGGTAGCGGAGCTCGAGGGGCTGCGGTATCGGCCTCGGACGGCCGAGACACGCGAGGTGTACGATCTCATGTTGGGATTGGTGCACCAGACGCTCGGGGATCAGACGCAGGAGGTCGTCAGGTCCGCGACGGATGCGGTGCTCGAGCAGCTCAAGAGCGAGGACTTGAAGGAGTTCGATAAGCGCAAGGAGGCGGAGAGCGTGCTGGGACCCATGAACGAGGAAGTCTGGAGCCAGTTCATCAATCTGAGCAAGAAGATATCGGACTATGGAGAGGAGGAAGAAGTGGCGGCCGGGGACGAGCGGGAGCGGGCAGTGGATAATGAGGGAGTAGCCGTTTTGTTTGAAGACGACGAGGATGAGGAGGAAGGGGACGAGGCGTTCGAAGTCAAGGGACGGGACTCGGATGACGAGGAGGGCAGTGAAGAGGATGAGGATGAAGAGGACGAGGAGGAGTCAGGCGGCGAAGGAGTCGACGAGGAGGAAGCCCTTATCCTCGGCAAGGAGCAGAAGGCGGCCAAGTCCAAATCGGACAAGGTATCGCCACATCAGGTCGACGCTTTCTGGCTCCAACGTACGATCGGTCAGTTCTATACCGACCCCGTCCAATCGTCCGACTTTACCACTCGCTCTTTCGACCTCCTCTCGTCCGAAGCGGAACTTCGGGACCTCGAAAACTCTCTCGCCGAGATGTTTGGGTACGAAAACTTTGACCTCGTCGCTCTGCTCACCAAGAACCGGGAGGTTATTGTTTGGTGTACCAAGCTGGCGCGGGCGAACGAGGATGAGAAACACGATGTCGAGGTGGCGATGCGGGAGAAGGGAGCGGGGTGGATTTTGCGGGAACTCCGGGGCGGTCAACCGATCGGCGGCTCCGGGAACGCTGCGGAAGCTTCATCCGTTCCATCTAAAGCCAACCTCGCGCCCGGCTCGGTTGCTCAACCCCGCAAAGTCATCGACATTGACTCGCTCATCTTTACCGAGGGCGGACACCTCATGTCCCGTAAGAAAGTCAAGCTGCCGGAAGGAAGTTTCAAGCGGCAGATGAAGGGGTACGAGGAGATCCACGTGCCTGAGCCCAAGCGGAGAGAGGCTGGGGAGAATGAGTGGATGCCGGTCAAGCGGATGCCGGAGTGGACACAGCCGGTCTGGGCGAGCGTCAAGGCGGAGCGTTTAAACCCTATCCAGACGAGGGTGTTCCCCATCGCGTTCGAGTCGAACGAGCCCATGTTGATTTGTGCGCCAACTGGAGCAGGAAAGGTGAGCTACCAGTCGACCACGGGCTCAAAGTCGATCTCAGCTGACTTCTAGACCAATTGCGCCGCGCTCGCCATCCTCCGCACCATCGGCCAATTCCGGGACCCCGAGACCGGCTACATTGATCGGGACGCCTTCAAAATCATCTACGTTTCGCCGATGAAGGCCTTGGTCCAGGAGCAGGTCGCTGCCTTCTCCAAGCGGTTCGCGGCGCTCGACATCCGGGTCGCCGAGTTGACTGGTGATAGCCAGTTGACCAAGCAACAAATCTCGGAAACGCAAATCATCGTCACTACCCCTGAGAAATGGGATGTCATCACCCGTAAATCCACCGACACCTCCTACACCAACCTCGTCCGGCTCATTATCGTCGACGAGATCCATCTCCTGCATGATGACCGAGGACCGGTCCTCGAGTCAATCTTGGCACGTACGATCCGGCGCATGGACCAGACGCACGACGAGGTCAGAGTCGTCGGTCTCTCGGCTACTCTACCCAACTACAAGGACGTGGCCGCCTTCCTCCGGGTCGACGTCAAGAAGGGTCTCTTCTTCTTTGACGCGACGTATCGTCCCGTCGGGCTCAAGCAGCAGTTCATCGGTGTCACGGAGAAGAAGGCAATCAAGCGGCTCCAGACCATCAATGAGGTGTGCTACGAGAAGGTGCTCAACCAAGCGGGCAAGTCGCAGACGATCGTCTTTGTGCACTCGCGCAAGGAGACGGCGAAAACGGCCAAATTCCTCCGGGATACGGCGATGGAGAAGGAGACCATCACGCAATTCATCAACCCAGAAGGCGCGTCCCGCGAGGTGCTGCTGCACGAGGCGAACGAATCGAAGGATGGGAACCTCAAGGATCTCCTTCCGTTCGGTTTCGGGATACACCACGCGGGTATGACGAGGGAAGACCGGACGACGGTCGAGGAGCTGTTCTTTGACGGCCATATCCAGGTGCTGTGCTGTACGGCTACCCTGGCGTGGGGAGTCAACCTGCCCGCGCACACGGTCATCATCAAGGGGACGCAGATCTATAACCCCGAAAAGGGGAAGTGGTGCGAGTTGTCCCCGCAGGATGTGCTCCAGATGCTGGGGAGAGCGGGTCGGCCGCAGTTCGATACCTATGGCGAAGGGATCATCATCACCAACCACGGCGAATTGCAGTACTATACGAGTCTGATGAACCAGCAACTCCCCATCGAGAGTCAGTTCGTCAGTCGGATGGTGGACAATCTGAATGCGGAGATTGTGCTGGGGACAGTGAGAAATAGGGATGAGGGAGTGCAGTGGCTGGGGTATACATATCTGTAAGCTGCTGCAAGGCCTACCTTTCTGCGAGTTCGACAGCTGACAGTCCAGCTACGTCAGGATGATCGGCTCGCCGGCTTTGTACAATGTCGGCGCAGATTACCAAGAGGGCGACCCGACTTTGATTCAGAAGCGAGGTGAGCTTACGGCTTTCCTTGCGGGAGACTAGAGCTGACTTTGCAGCCGATCTCGTTCACTCTGCCGCTGTGCTGCTCGAGAAGGGCGGTCTCATCCGGTACGACCGCAACACCGGTATATTCCAATCTACCGACCTCGGCCGGATCGCCTCGCACTACTACGTCACCTACTCGTCCATGTCGGTCTACAACAAGCACCTCAAACCCAACATGAACATGATCGACCTCTTCCGGGTGTTTGCGCTCTCGAACGAGTTCAAGCTCATCCCGGTAAGGCAAGAGGAGAAGCTCGAGCTGGCCAAGCTGCTCGAGCGAGTCCCCATCCCCGTCAAGGAAGGCGTCGAGGAGCCCGTCTCCAAGGTCAACGTCCTACTCCAGACGTACATCTCCCAGCTCAAACTCGGCGGATTCGATATCGTCACCGACATGGTCTTCATCCAGCAGTCGGCCGGGCGTATCCTGCGGGCGATGTTTGAGATCTGTCTCAAGAAGGGTTGGGCGGGTCCCATGCGCTTTGCGCTAGACTTGTGCAAGATGGTGGAGCGGAGAATGTGGAAGTCCATGTCGCCCCTCCGGCAATTCCCTCGGATCCGACAGGAGATCATTACCAAGGCGGAACGGAAGGACTTCCCATGGTACCGGTACTTTGACCTGGACGCGACGGAGCTCGGCGAGCTGATCGGTCTGCCCAAGTCCGGTCAGCTCATTGAGAGCTTGGTCCACAAGTTCCCGCGGCTCGATATCCAGGCGCACGTCCTGCCCCTCACGCGGTCTCTGCTCAAGATCAACGTCACCATCACCCCGGACTTCCAGTGGGACTATGATATTCACGGAACGGTCCAGGCGTTCTGGATCATTGTGGAGGATGTGGACGGAGAGAACATCCTCTACCATGATCAATTCCTCCTCCGCCAGCGGTTCGCGCAGGATGAGCACTACGTGACCATCACTGTCCCGATCTCGGAACCCGTCCCGCCCAACTACTACATTTCGGTCATTTCGGACCGGTGGATCCAGGCGGAGACCCGACTACCCATCTCCTTCCAACACCTCATCCGGCCTGAACCCTTCCCCCCTCACACTGCTCTGCTCGATTTGCAGTCCCTCCCCGTCTCGGCGCTCCACAACAAGGAGTTTGAGTCCCTCTACGCGTTCGACAACTTCAACAAGATCCAGACGCAGGTCTTCCAGGCGCTGTTTACGACCGACGACAATGTCTTTGTCGGCGCGCCAGCGGGGTCGGGCAAGACGATCTGCGCAGAATTTGCGCTGCTCCGTCTCTGGAGCAAGAGGGATCCACCACGCGCTGTCTGCATCGAGCCATATCAGGAGATGGTGGATATGCGGGTCAGCGAGTGGGCGGACAAGTTCTCCGACTTGTCCAAGGAGGTCGTCGCGCTTACTGGCGAGTCGACGGCAGATCTTGCACTCCTCCGCAAGGCGGACCTCGTCGTCTGTACCCCGGCACAATGGGATCTGCTCTCCCGTCGGTGGAAGACAAGGAAGGACGTCCAGAACATCGGGCTGCTCATCGCCGACGAGCTGCAATTGATCGGAGGTGACGTCGGGTCAACATACGAAGTCATCGTCTCTCGAACACGGTACGTCTCGCAGCAGACCGGCGTGAAGACGCGGATCGTCGCATGCTCGGTCTCCCTTTCTAACGCGCGGGATCTCGGAGACTGGATCGGATGCTCCTCGCAGACCATCTTCAACTTTTCCCCCTCGGCCCGCCCGCTCCCGCTCGAAGTACACCTTCAGTCCTTCAACGTACCCCACTTCCCATCCCTCATGCTCGCCATGGCGAAACCGGCCTACCTCGCCATGGTCGAGCACGCCGCCAATCGCCCAACGATCCTCTTCGTACCGAGCAGGAAGCAGTGCAAGTTGACTGCAAACGATATCTTGACGTATGTCATGGCGGACGAGGAGGAGGGGCGGTTCTTGAATGTCGAAGAGGCCGAGCTGGCGCCGCACCTCGAGCGGATAGAGGATAGGGATCTGGCAGAGACCCTCAAGTACGGGATTGCGTACTATCACGAGGCGCTGAGCAAGATGGACAAGCGGATCGTCACTGCCTTGTTTGAGGAAGGCGCGATCAAGGTTTTGGTTGCTTCCAAGGTGAGCTGGGTCTTGTGAGGAGCTGTGATCAAGCTGACGTTCAGGACACCGCATGGTCCCTCCCCGTCAGCGCGTACATGGTCGTCATTATGGGCGTGCAAACGTACGACGGGCAGGAACACCGCTATGTCGACTATGCCATCGCGGACGTCCTCCAGATGATGGGCCGGGCTTGCCGTCCTATGGTCGACACCTCGTCCCGCTGTATCCTCATGTGCCAGCAGACCCGCAAGGACTTCTTCAAGAAGTTCTTGAATGAGGCGCTGCCGGTCGAGTCGTCGCTGCCCAACTATCTCCACGACCACTTTAACGCCGAGATTGTCGCCAAGACGATCGAGAATAAGCAGGACGCGGTGGACTGGTGTACCTGGACATGGTTCTATCGGCGGTTGATGCAGAACCCAGGGGTGCGTGTTTTTGAGTCGCAAGAGAGGCTCGAGCTGATGGCTAGTTCTACAACCTGCAAGGGACGACTCCCACGCACGTCGCCGACTACCTCTCGGAGCTGGTCGAGTCTACCCTTACCGACCTGGTCAACTCGGACTGCATCATGGTGCAGGACGAGATGGACACGCTGCCCAACAATCTGGGTATGATTGCCTCCTTCTACTACATTTCCTACGTCACCGTCGAGACCTTCTCGGCGTCCATCAAGGAGACGACCAAGCTCAAGGGCCTCCTCGAGATCGTCTCGTCCGCTCACGAGTTCGAGACCATCCCTATCCGGCACCACGAGGACTCGCTCCTCGAGCGGATATACGACCGGGTCCCCGTCAAGGTCGCCAAGGTCGACTACAACTCGCCGTACTTCAAGACGTACCTCCTCCTCCAGGCTCACTTTTCGCGCATGTCCCTCCCACCTGATCTGGCGACGGATCAGGCGGTCATCCTGGGTAAAGTCACCGGACTGCTCTCGGCGATGGTGGATGTCATGTCGAGTAAGAGCTACCTGGGATGCCTTGGCGCCATGGACCTCAGCCAGATGTGTGTCCAGGCGGTATGGGACAGAGATAGCCCGTTGAAGCAGGTGCCGTACTTTGATGGCGAGGTGCTGGGGCGGTTCAAGAAGGAGGGGCTGGATAGCGTGTATGATATCATGGAGCTGGAGGATGATAAGCGAAGCGAGCTGCTGCAGATGAACGAGAGGCAACTGTAAGTTGGTTTTGGTACAGGGCAAGGGCAAGGGCAGAGCTGATGATCAGGGCACGAGTGGCCAAATTTGTCAACTCCTACCCCAACATCGAAGTCTCGTACGCCATCGACTCGCCCGAATCCCTAACATCCTCCGAACCCATCACGCTCAACGTCACGCTCGACCGCGAGGCAGACGAATCCAACCCGGACGACCAGCTCGCCGACGCCCCCCTCTTCCCTCATAAAAAGATGGTCTCGTGGTGGCTTGTCGTCGGGACCGGTTCTGGCCCGAGCAAGACGCTATACGCCATCAAAAAGGTCACAGTCAAGGAACGGCTCGAGGTCAAGCTTGACTTCAACTTGCCGGCGGGCGAGCATGGGCTCAAGCTGTTCTTGATCTGTGATAGTTATGCGGGGGCGGACCAGGACTTTGAGATTGAGAAGATCAAGGTGGAGGAAGGGGAGAGTGATGATGAGGAGGAGGAGAGCGATGAGGAGGAGGGCGGGGAGCCGATGGACCAGGACTAGAAGGGCGTAAAAGCGTGTAGAAGAGCGCATGAGGTTTAGAGGTATATCTGTTGGGTATCGCTAGAAGTAAGACAAGCTTGAAAATGTATATGATTCGTTGCTGGCTGGGCCGCTGGCGCGAAGGTCGAGGTGAAACCTATGGGGCTCCACATCGTAAGATGGTGCTTCGTTGGGGAGCCTCCACCTTGATTTAGATTCCCCGATTTCTTGTATGGCTGACAGCGCGCCTCATCGTCCCATGCACAGCGAATATAGCCGGCACAGGGAGCCGAAGAAGCTGTCATTCACTCTGCACAGTGGTCAATATAAAGGCGCTGGTTCAAACATTCAGCATCAACGCAAGAATATTCGCCACCCGACCCCGCCTTACAATATCGTTACCCCACCCTCTAAATTGCCCCACTCGGACAATCTAGACTAATCGGGGATTATTACCATTTTCCTTACGCTCAGGGCGCGTTTCGGACGCGCAGAGCTCGACCAACCGGGCGGTCGAAAAAACGCTAGGACCTATTGTGCACAAGGGTAGAATAGAGACAGCACCCATCTCTTCGCATTCCCCCTTCATACCTTGCTCGACAATACGAAGAGAGCTAGTCGCAGCTCGTACGATAAGAAATCACTTCGGCGAGACAAAGGGGGTCAACCGGGAAATTTCGATCAGGCCGGACACCGACCAGCCAACTCTCTCCCCACCCAGCACCAACTTTTTCGCTCGAGGAGGACCGTGCACGCGACTCTTTGCTTGTCTCTCTGAGGCATCCTCCCCCTCCCCTCCATCCTCCCCACCGCCGAGATGATACGCTCAACCGTTCGCTCGACGCTCGTCACCCTCTCTTCGCTAGCCTCGGCGGCGCCGATCGAGGCCATCACGGCGACCTTCATCATTGTCACCCTCACCTACTTTCAGCTCCTCCATGCCATCAAGGGGTCCGAGTTCTTCCAGGTCCCCCAGGCATCTATCGCTCCCAAACCGAGACCAGTCCACCTGGTTCGCCTATCCAACCCTCCCTCCAATTCGGACTCCGCCCTCGGTAGCCACTACGGCGCCACTCCTTCCCCCAGCTCCCCCTTCCTCGCGTCCCTCACTCGCAGTGAGAAATGGGCGCCTCTACCAGTTTCCGACTTCCGCAGGATACTAGAAGCCAATGCGCTGGAGGGTGGCTACACCTTCCCTCCTGAGCTAGGCGGGAATGTGGAAGGGGAGAAGGCTTCAGTGGTGATGGTCAAGCAAATGACTGTCTCGAGAGAAGACGGAGAGAGTGGGGTGGAGGAATGGGCAAAGTGGGTGTTGAATGACGTCGGCGTAGATCTGGGAGGGAAGAAGTACACCTTCCAAGACCTCTGCTTCGAGTGTCACGAGACCGCCGTCGCTCCCCATCCCCTACACCCCTCACAATCGATCCTCACCCTCTACCTCAATCCACCAACACCAGACACTCCCACCTTGACCTACCTGCATCACCTCACTCGTCTACCGCCCTTCGTCTCGTCCACCAATACCACCTTCCGCATTATGCCGACCTCAACAGGCGGCGCGAGCGGCTCTTGGGGTTTCCTCCCTTCCTTTGATGGAGCGGGGCTGTTTGCAGGTTTGGGTGACCCCACTGCGGGCCAGACTGAGCGGGAAGAGGAGGAGCTATTGAGCGGGATGAGGAACGTTCGCTGGTTCGCGTATGCTGCGAGAGCGTTCGTTATGCGCTTCTACGCCTTGGCCAAGGTGAGCTTTGAGGAGGTCAAAATATCCACTCGAACCGAAGCTGATTGCCAGAATGCCGACTCGGCAGACATCTTTGTCGTTCTCCTCGGCTATGTCCTCATGCACGGCACATTTGTACACCTCTTCATCAACATGCGAGCTCTTGGATCAAGCTTCTGGCTCCGTAAGTCTCCCAGTTCCCATACCTCGGAGAATAGTCAGGCGCCACTGGAGATCACCTGACTCGGCCGATTTTCAGATCTTTCCTTTTTGTCTGATCGTGCCTTGTCCGGATCTCAGCTGACATGCATAGCTCTTGCCACCCTCATCTCCTCGATCTTCGCCTTCCTCACTGCCCTGCTCTCCGCCCACTTGCTCAACGTCCCGATCGACCCCGTTTCGCTGTCAGAAGCACTTCCCTTCCTCGTCATCACTGTTGGCTTCGACAAGCCCTTCCTCCTCGCTCAGGCAGTCTTCCAGAACCCGGAGATAGCACCCATTGCTGCATCGCCCGAGCTCTCACCGGTGGATGACGAGATCATGACCAGCGAAGGTGGTCTCGATCTCGGCGTACTGCACAAGGAGCTCGCACCGCTCGAAAGGCTACAGCGATTGGCGGAAGGCAAGGGTGTGCGATGGGCTGCGCCGGTCGCGGCGAAGAAGATCGTGGTGGATGCTGTGCTCAAGGTTGGGGTGCCGGTGGTTAGGGACTATGCCATCGAGATCGCCGTGCTCAGCGTCGGTGCAGCTAGCGGTATTGGAGGTCTGAGGGAGTTCTGCTACCTCGGTAAGTTGGACGTTGCGAAATGTAGATCACCGCTCACGCTGCAGCCGCGCTCATCATGGCTGCCGACTGCCTATTCCTCTTCACCTTCTACGTCGCCATCCTCAGCGTCATGGTCGAAGTTCACCGTATCAAGCTCATCCGCGGAAAGAGCCGGAACAAGGGCGTCCTCCGCCGCAGCTCGACCTCATCGCTCAACCTGGCTGGCTCGGTTCAGACCGACTCGCCAACCGGCAAATCGGTCAAGCCGAACGGGGACCACGCATGGACCGGAAAGAACCAGAACAAGGATAAGGACCAATCTCAGCCCGAGAACCCGGTCGTCCGGCTCAAGCTCTTCCTCATCGTCTCCTTCCTTACCCTCCACATCCTCAACCTCTGTACCACCCTCACGGAGCAGACGGCTCTGATGCGGCACTCGAACCACTCTATCCGGCATACCGCCCGGTTCGACGCCCGGTCACCCACGCTCTCCCCCCTCCTTGACGCGCTGTACGAGCGGCACTCGGGGTCCGACATGGCGGTCCAGATCGTTCCGGCCACCAATATCCTCATGACTTCGGACAATTACACCTCCTCGCGCATGGCGTCCATCGACCACTTTATGAGCGGCTGGACCCAGCTCGTGGGTGATCCGGTACTCTCCAAGTGGATCGTCGTCGCCCTCGGTATCTCGGTCATCCTCAACGGCTACCTCCTCAAGGGTATCGCTAGCAACTCAATCGGCGGTAAGGGCCCAGTAGCTTCGGCTGCTCAGGCCCTGGCTGGCATTTTCGAAGCTACCATCTCACAGGCCAGCGATGGCCGTCGTTCTCGCCGGCCCTCTGCACCTGCCAAGCTCGACCGCAGACTATCCGGTGGTCTCACGCCACGCCGGTTCAGCCGATCGGGCCGTCCAGGAACCATCATCATCCAGCCACCCTCGGTCGGCGGAGACGAGACGCCCAAACGTGATGACTCGAAGGGTCACGTCTTTGTCCCCGATACCCCCAAAGTCCCCATCATGCCCCGTCCGTCTGCCCTCGAGAAGAGTCCTTCTTTCGAGAACCTTCAAGGAACTACTTTTGGTCGGAGACCGCTCGACGAGTGCGTCGAGATCTTTGCGGGTGGCGTCGGTGCCAACAACCTTTCGGACGAGGAGGTCATCCTACTCGTGGAGAAGGGCAAGGTGGCGCCTTATGCTCTGGAGAAGGCGTTGAAGAACCTCGAGCGGGCAGTTCGGATCCGACGGGCGGTCGTCTCGCGTGTGTCCCTCACGCAGACCCTCGAGGCTTCAGCACTACCCATGGCGGACTATGACTACAAGTCCATCATCGGGGCGTGCTGCGAGAATGTCATCGGTTACATGCCCATTCCCGTCGGTATCGCCGGTCCCCTCCTCGTTGACGGCCAACTCCTCCACATCCCTATGGCAACTACCGAAGGTACCCTCGTCGCATCCACATCGCGTGGCTGTAAAGCCCTGAACTCTGGCGGCGGCGTCAATACCGTTCTCACACGAGACGCCATGACCCGTGGTCCCGCTATCGACTTCCCCAGCATAGCCATGGCCGCAGCCGCGCGGATGTGGATCGACTCTCCGGAGGGCTTTGCGGATCTTTCGGCCGAGTTTAACTCCACCTCCCGTTTCGCCCGCCTCCAATCCCTCGAATGCGCCATGGCCGGTCGGACCCTATACGTCCGGTTCGCCACCTCCACAGGCGACGCCATGGGCATGAACATGATTTCCAAGGGGACTGAGAAGGCCCTGGCGAGATTACAGGAGCGATACCCCGAGATGCACACCTTAGCACTCTCGGGCAATTACTGTACCGACAAGAAGCCGGCGGCGATCAACTGGATAGAAGGAAGAGGGAAGAGTGTGGTCGCAGAGGCGGTCATCCCAGGGGACGTCGTACGCAAGGTGTTGAAGACGACGGTGGAGGATTTGGTGAATCTGAATGTGAAGAAGAACTTGATTGGGAGTGCGATGGCGGGAAGTATTGGTGGTTTCAATGCGCACGCGGCGAACATCTTGACTGTAAGTGCTTGCTTTTGGTAACACGAATAGATGAGCTGACAGCCAGGCTATCTTTATCGCTACTGGTCAAGATCCGGCGCAAAATGTCGAATCAAGTATGTGCATGACTTTGATGGAATCGTGAGTCTATACCCCTGCCAAGAAGTCTGGGTCACTTCGCTGACTTGACAGTATCAACGACGGCGAGGACCTCCTCATGACCTGCTCGATGCCCTCGATCGAAGTCGGTACCGTCGGCGGTGGAACAATCCTTGCTCCTCAGCGCGCCATGCTCGACATGCTCGGTATCGCCGGCGCTCACCCCACCGCACCCGGCGCCAACGCCCAGCGTCTCGCCCGCATCATCGTCGCGTCCGTCATGGCCGGCGAATTATCGCTCATGTCTGCCTTGGCAGCAGGCCACCTCATCCAGGCGCACATGAAGCACAACCGATCCGTACCCGTCACGCCGGGAACAATGACACCGTTCACGACTGGCCTAACACCGCTCAAGCCAGATCCGGTCGGCTTGAACGGAGTGATTGGGGCGAATGGCGCGAATGGGACGATGAACGGTGGAGGGAAAGAAGGGGTGAATGGGCTGGTTAATGGCTTTGGGCATGGGTCACCAAGGGCGAAGTTGGGCGGAAACAAGTTGTTGGCGCCTCCATCTTTACATTGAAGAGGATTTGCTTTGATACTGTCGGAGGGAGAAGTGAAGCGGAAGGCTGGGTATGCACCGGTTGATAGTTCGGCATTAGTCTAGAAACATGCTCAAGACATGTATTTGCATGGGATCCCGGATCATACGAGCACCGCACATACTTGTACTGGTCTTGCAGGAGCTTAAAGCCGAGTTTGACAATGTAGTGAAGAGGTCATGGATCAAAGGTCTCAGCGAACCAGCGCTCAAAATATTGCGGCGACATGGCGGGCTCCGGCCTGACAGGGTGAAATATGTACGGTATCTACAAGCTCATCTGAATGCTGCGTCTACATAGATCTGCTATAAAAGTGTCCCTGTCTGATCAGCGCCGACTCCACGTCGAACGAAAGACTGGAACTTACTTGTCAGATGCCCAAAATGCGCCGACGCATATCTCCCCATGATCCTATGCCGTCCATCCCCTAAGATCCCCTATTCTGACCCACACTTCCGCCCCCTCACCTCCGCTCTCCGCCGTCATCTTTGCTTTCCATCCACTTTCATCCATCTCTGCTCCCTCGCGCCATCGCTCCAGATCTGCCCATTCGACATCCAGCGCTCGAACCGCATTCCCCAAATACCCCAGATCTGCCGCTAGCTGATTCGCCCCCGGTGTTGTCAGCCTCGGTAATGACGGTAGTGTAGTCCGCGTGAGGTGCGCGAGGAGCGTGAGCGCAAGGGAAGCGATCCAGGTTGAGAGTACCAGCTCTGGCGCTGCTGGCGTGGACGAAGCGGGAGGGAGTGCCGAGGCCGGGATAAAGGGAAGAGTGGCGAGGCTGTGGCCTAGAGCGGGGTCTTTGGCGTACACCTCGAATACCCGGAGAAGGTTGAGAAGGCCTTCCGAGACGCGTGCGATAGTATCCGTAGGGGAGAGGGAGAAGGTGGGGATGGAGAGACCGTCTCGACGGGCTGTACGTGGTTGTGAGGACCATACTGGTAAAGAAGGGTAGGTAGATAGGGCGGACCGAAGGGGGGAGAGGATAATGCTTGACAAAGAGATCTGAGCGGCGGCTGTTAAGTCGGACAAGGCTTTGGTGGCTGGAGGAAGGAGGACGCGGGGTGGGCTCGATATGAGGGTGTGGAGGTCCGAAGAGTTGAGTGTGGACTGGCGGAGGAGCTCGACTGCACCAGTTGGGGTGGATGTAGGCGGAGGCGGGTCGAGAGCGTGGTCGAGCGATGTACGCAGCTTCTCCTCGAATGAGGAGAGCCGACCCGAGATATCTCTACACACCTTGAGGACATGCAATCCCGACTGGAAAGCCGTCCAGTCTTCCGTAGAGTAGTCCATCCCAAAGTCCAGCTCATCCTGCACGACCACGGGCTGCACGTCCAGCACCGAGTGACTGCCCTCGAGAAAAGAGGCGAGGAAGTCGCCCAGGGCAATGAGCAGCCCAGGCGCACCGTACCCGTGCGTGAACGCCATACAGCGGGAGATGGCGTCTCCGGCCATGCTGAACATGGAGACCGAGCGGTCCGACAAGGCGTTGGCATCCCGCTTCGCCGAGGAGGAGTGAGACCGGAGCAGGTGTAAGAGGTATCGACGTTCCAGGGTAGAGTAGGCCGACTGAAGGTCCAGGAAAGACTCAAAGAGGGTAGACTCCCACTGGTCCGGATTGATGGATGAGTTTGACCGTTTTTCCGGGGATGACAGGAGCTGAGATGCCCGCTGAGATGCGATGTCCGATACCGACCTAGGGAAGTCACGTTTTCGGGGAGTCGCGCGAGTGGGAGTGTTGGGTGATAGGGGTGGAGCTTCAGTCGCCATTCGATCCAGGATAGCGTGGATAGCGAGCGACACCTCCTCGGTCGCCTTGTACGCCTTAATGAGCTCCGGTAGCGCGGTCGGTCCCTGTGCGTCCGCCATGCTCCCAAGCCGCGTCTGCAAAGACGGCGAGAGTCCCTCCAGCGTCCTCTGGATGAAGGCCGCCAGTACCCCTTGTCCACTCCCAGCGGGGTAGATTCTCCCTATCTGCTCCACCTCCTTCTCCAGCGTATGTCCCAGCACCGTATAGAAGTGAGGGAGGAACCCCGCCAGTCCGTCCCCTCCCTCGAACGCCGCCCATTCGTCCAGTACCCCCTTCCGCCTCTGCGTATAGTAGTAGTTCCTGAACTCGGCCTCCCTACCCATACTCTCGAAGACCCCATAGAACCTTGCACACTTATCCGCATCCGCCGCCTCCAGCGCCTGCTCCAACGCCGTCGCCAGCGCCGCCTCCAGCCCATTCTGCAACGAGACCAGTAGCGCCTTCCGTGACTCGTACTCCCCCGGCGTCGACTGGAACACCACCATCGACCGTTCCGCTTCTGCTAGCCGCGCCCCCGCCTTCTCCCATTCGGACGAGGAGATGGACGACGTGATTTCCGATTCAAGCGTGGACCAGCTCTCCGCCTCGCGCAGAATATCCCGAGCGGACTCCATCCGCGTTTTGAGCTTGTCGAGGTGCGCGAGCTTGTCCAAACTCTTGGTGGACGCCGCGTTGGAGCCTTCTCCCTCTCTCTTGGCTTCCTCTACCCGCTTCACCCGGCCTTGAACCGAGTCCAGGCTGGACTGCAGCGTCGCAGCGCTCTCCCGCATGAACTGGAGGTCATAATTCAGCCGAGGGACTGTACGGGATATGTCCGAGATAGATTGCTCGAGCGCCGATGAGGTGTCCTGCGAGAGGAGTGTAAGGCGGGTGAGGAGGTCATTGAGGGATGTGTCGAGATCGGAGAGGGAGGCGGAGGGAGGGAGGAGGGATGTGAGGAAGGAGGGGATATCGAGGGGGTTGGCGTCCAGCCCGGAGGCCAGGGTATGCAGGGAGATGACTGGCTCGGGCGAGTCGGTAGCTGCGAGCGGTGGGGAGCTCGTCAGGTCAACAGCTGTACCATTGATAGCTGTGGTCATGGTTGGAGTGCGGACGAGGAATGTACAAAGGTGAAATCTCAAGATGCGGATCTTTGGCGCCTTTGTTGTTGCTCCTCTGCTCATATCTCGCCTTTACAGTATGTCGGTATATGAGGAGGTCAGTCTGCTGTCTGTGTCCTGATCTGGCTGAGAGGGAGCAATACTGCACACGTACTCATTACTGACTCCTGATCAGGCCTTCGATGTCCCCCTCCTGTCAGCGCCATGGCACGCCCTCCCCTCATCTCCCTCCGACCCTTCCCGCCTCATCCTCAAATACGCCCCTCATCCATCTCGACCTGGGTACATCGTACTCCTCACCGACCTCGCAGCAGTCTACTGCGAAGTCCTCACCGGCCCGGGTGTGCCATCACGGACGACCGAGGTGGACCGGGCGTTTCACGCAAACAGCGCGAAGGGAAGCAAGGGAAAAGGGAGGAGAGCCGGTATGGACGAGGAGGATGTGATTGGGAGGAGCGAGGCAGCTTTGAAGGATGTTGGGGAGATGTGGGACCGGTTGGAAGGGGCCAAGGTGGAGATGAAGGAGCATGATTACCATGTAGGCGAGCTGTCTTTTATCGGGAGGTACGGAGCTGACTTGGTAGGACGCTGTGCTCTCTGTGCAGACAGATGACTTCTCCTGGCTCTTCTATCTCACGTGTGTTGTCCACCTAAAAGCTGAGAGAACTGTAGCTGATCCGAAGGGAAGCGAGCTGAAAGGCCGACAACCTCTCGCAATCCTCGCTCAGCAACTGATCGCACCATTAGCGGGCATACTACTCGAGACGAATCACATACAGACCGAGGTCAGTCGATACACTGGCTCGTTATCACGATACTGACCCGATCAGGGCAAGCCAGGACCCATGGAGCTCGTTTATACCCTCTTCCACCAGTCCCCCACTATCACTCAGCACATGGCGGCCCACCATGCCTCGTCTTCCAAGCCCAAAGGAGCTACATCGAAAGCTAAGTCCTCGACAACTAAGGCCCCGGCGAGCCCCGTCAATATCAAAACCAAGGCTAAGCCTGCTACACCGATTGCTAGACAGGCGGACGCGGAGGACGCGGAGGAGGAAGAGAAAGAAGAGTATGTCAGCGAGGAGGAGCAGCCACATACTCGCTCGCGGGACACACCGAAACGTTCATCTACCAAGCCCCCGATTTCACGATCGACCGACCGGTCGAGTTCGCCCGAGCGTATGGTCGTGGACCAGGACCAGGGGCCCCGTCGGGGTTCTCCTTCACGGTCTACCACACCCACTCGCGCACCTCCTCCCTCGGCGCCTAGATCTGTGAAGGCGACTCCCACCAAGTCTAAAGCCCGCCATATCATCGAGTCGGACGATGAAGCAGAAGCGGAAGCTGAGGGAGAGGAGTCAGCGGATATGACCTCGGAAGCGGGATCAGCGGCTCCCGAGAAATCGGCAACCCCGCCTCCTCCTGCAGCGTCTGCTTCTTCTCAAACGAGTAAAAAGGAGAGGGAGCGGGCTGAGGAAGAGGAGATGCGGGCGAGGGCGGAGGCTATGAAGCGCAAGATGGAGGGCGGAGGGGCTGGGGGTGGAAATCTGGGTAGACGACGCTTGCGGCGTTGAGCTCGTTCAGGCTCTTGGCGCGCTCTTCGTCTCCTATCAGAAGACGAGATGATAGGAAAGGCAAAGTCCATCAAGATTATCACAGACTTGTGGAATCCGGAGCGTGCATACGTGCCTGGGAGCTATCCATTCGCATTAGCCTTAATCCCTCTGACAAGTAGTAAGTAAAGGTGTTGATAGCTGGCCGAAAGCCCACGAGGACCTAATCATCCTGCTTTGGGTCGAAGCAAGATCATATGCATCTACAGTGATCGTGATACCCAAAGCTCAGCACTACTCCCTATCCCAATACACCGCCTATGCCTTCTTGCCCAAGACCGCCTCCTTGGCCTTCTTGCCTGCACCTCCCGAACCTATCGTCGAGCTCTTCTTGCCCGCCTTCTTTGCCCCCTTGACTGCGTCCGCCTTGACCGGCGCGACCGCCTTGGCCGCTGGTGCTTTTGGCGCCTCCACCTCCGGCGCAGTCTCTACCACCTCGACCTGCATCTCGCCATCCGCCCCATCGGCGCTTACGGGCGTCGCGGCCTTCTTGCCTCCCTTCCCCCTCTTCGTACTGCTCTTCTTGGACTTCTTCTTCTCCCCCTCCACCTCCTTATCGTCCGCCTCGCCACGAGCCAGCTTGGCCCGCTTCTCCTCTTCCTCCTCTTCCTCTTCATACAGCTCAAACACAGACTTGCGCTTCGCCCCCTTCTTCTCCTTCTCCGCCGCGGCCGCTTCTGCCTCTTTTTGCGCGAGGTCGAACCGCCCGTCCAGAGTTGCGGCCCATACTGGGAGAAGAACCGAAGTGGAGGTTTTGATACCGAGGGAGAGGATGTTTTCCCATCCGCCGTTTTGGGCAGCGACGGCGGGAGGAATGGCGGCAAGGAGATTTTCGAGGGTCTGGGCGGCGGAGGAGGATGAGAGGGTGGCGATCCGGATTGATCTATTCCATCAGCTTCGCCAAAGCAGCCAAGAAAGGGTGAACGCACATTTGTGTTCCGGTAGATGGGATCATATATGTGCTGGCAATAGCCTGAGCCAACTCCTTCTTCAAATCCTTTTGCTTCAGATTGACAGGTATAGGCACCCTACGGTCATCAGCTACCGCTCCGCTTCGGCTCGGTCAGTCGTAACTCACTTCTTGGACTCGTAGAAGATTTTGCCCAATAATTCCGGCATCAACCCCATAACCCGCTCATCGGCCAAAAACAGCTCGTGCTCCTTCATCAATGCACGCCTGGCCTCGAATGGCTTAAACTTCCCCTTGAGCTTCTTGACGCCCACGACGCGCGAGACAAACTTGATGTCGCTTGATGCGAGGAGGTCTTTGTATTCCCGCTGGGGGTCTTTGACGATGAGGCAGACGGAGGTGGTGGGGGGTGGGGGGAGAGGAGGGTGTGGGAGTTGACTGGGAGTCAGTGTGTAGCTCGTCGAGGTGTGAGGCATGAACATGGATCCCAACAGGGATAAACCTGTGCACCAAGACTGCCAGTTGCAGCTGGCTTGGCTCCGCCCTTGCTTTGCCCTCGCAGAGTAGCATACTAGCCGAGCAGCCCAAGCGCTCTCTTATGACTCTCCTTCGCCATCCATGATATGCTGAAGCTGACTTACATTCGCACAGGCATGACCTTCTTCTTATTGCTCCCCGTCTTCAATCCGACATTCAGCCAAATGTACTCTTCCCTCGGAATCAGCTCTGTCGCCTCGCGCTCCTTGTCCGCCTTGGCCGCGTGTGACAGAAGCGCAGTGACCGCCTTGGTCGCTTGCGGGCGCGAGAAGGAGGCAGGAAGGGGCAGGGCGAGGGACGAAGTCGAGGGGACAGGGGCGGGTGTGGAGGTCGTGCTGGCCTTGCTGGACTTAGCGGCCTTCGGGACCTTGGAGGCCTTGGAGGAGGCCGCAGTGGCGGAGGAGGCGGTCGCTGGAGGCATCGTAGGTGCTGCTGTGTATAAGAGATAGGTGTAATGTAGGTGTATGAGGAGATGACAGCAATAGCTGGACCGGTGGACCTTCCTCTGCGCAACTTTTTCCGTGTTACCCCATCTTCAAAAAACACGTCATTTGAGGAAAGTGCATCTTGCGCATTCATTTGCCTCGCTTGATGGATCTTTCCGCGCCCTGCCTGTACTATATGGGATAAGTCTTCCAGAATCAATATCCTCCATATGACCGCCGGCACGACAGCCGACATCCATCTACTTCTACTCTGCCAAAGACTGGTATCCACGTGAATCCCGTTTTGGGTCCGCCCGCCGACGAGTGACTTGCGCGGACCCATCCCTCCATGCTGCATGCGCCTCATATTTGCCGGGCGGGAAATTGGGCAGGAGCGTAGGGGCCGAGGATATCAGTCTCGCCTCTTCGTCAGAATCCACGAATGGAGCCGTAGACGGGGAACGATCACCAGAGGATGGGTCGTCGATGGGAGCTCGCGTGGTTGGACGATAGAGGTTGATGACCGGAGGTGTGATTGCCTTGTGTGGCGACGAGGGCGGCGTCTGCGCCTCGTTAGTGACCAGACACATGTATGGCCAGAATCTAACTGAACTTCACTCACAGCGGACCGGGATGCTGTATCGTCCTCACCTCGCCTGCCCTCGGGCTCCGCGCACTCCAGTACCTGCTGCCTCCAAGCACCTTCCGAAGGTGCAAGACGGTCGATCAGCGAGATGTCGAGAGGCTTAACGAAGCTCCAGACGACAGACAGAGGTTCATCCTCTGCGAGTGTGTCGATGAGCGCGCCTAGGACTTGAAACGGTAATGTGAAGTCAGGGAGTGTGGCATCGATGTGGGCGGGTAGGCTTCGACGAATTAGTTTCGCCTCCGCTGTGTACCAGGCGGATCGACCAGTGAGGTCGAAGTCCTCGCTCTGGATGTAGTTCAAGAAGGCCGTTGAGTGAACTGATAGTCAGCTGATGTTGCATGATGAACCAGGGCTCTTGGTGGCGAACCGTAAACGTACGGTGCAACCCATGAATCTAAATGTCGATCAGCACATGCGTCGTCTGTAGCAGCAACTACCTACCAGTTGGACATGGTTCCACCATGGCTTTTGGGAGCTGCCAACCAGCTTGTGTTGAGGAGGCACAAGAGTGCTCTGACGGACCGCATGTTGGACCTGGACGACGTGTTCGATGACATTGTAGGCTCGTATCCATGCGTCAACCACCTGCACTCTGGTAATCTGGGGTAAGTGATGCACCGCTGTTAGACTCACATTCATCTCTGCTTGCCCTCGAATATCTCTCGGCCACTTGAAATGCGTGATGAAGACTGAATCACCCTTTGGCCAGTACCGGAACGCCCCCGTTGACAAAGGGTCCCCCTGAGGACCTTCCACGCTGTCTCGAATGAACCTCAGCGCTTGAATCTTATCCGGGTAGATGTCCAGCACATTATGCGTCCTTGACAGGTGTGACATGATGAGATTAATGTATGGTCGAGTGATCAAACAAACCCGACATGAGCGCATGAGCGCTGCATGATGCATGCGCATGAGCCTCCTCGCTTCGGATCTTACGTACGAAGCTTGAGCTTTAAGCAGCTTAATCGAAGCTCAAGCTGTGCGCCACCGCGTTGCGATCTGCTTCACCGGTCACCTTAGGTTCTCATCCAAATCGCTTTCCGGCTATGGTCCCCTCTCTTACTCTGTGCTTGCTCTTTCTGTCAGCCACCATAGTCGAGGCTACTGGGTATTCATCAGCTCGAGTCACGACGGATGGGTGGAACTCCCGCGAGCTATCCGGTGCCGGTTCGCCTTCAATCCACCACCACCCTGCCCACGCCAACAGCTCTTTGGTAAGCCTAGAAGAGACCTTAGATCGGCCTACAATACTGAACATACCATAGGTTCCTCCACGACGGCCGCCGGGACGGCCAGATCAATGCCCACCGTGCTTCAACTGCCTCTTGCCTGCATTTAACTGCGGCAATGGCGGCGAATGTAATCCGTACGATGGGCAATGTCGATGTCCGCCAGGCTTCGGGGGAGAGGATTGTCTGACTCCTGGTCAGTCTGGCTCCGGAGTTCCGACAATAAGTGTGCTAGCTGACGTCGTAGTATGTGGGGCTTTGACAGATGGAGATGAGAGATACCCACGACCAGCTGGCGAGCTTTGTCAGTGTAAAGACGGCTGGGGAGGAATCAACTGTAACGGTGCGCTCCCTACAAGCTAGCAGATTGGGCGGCCTAATGCCAATGGTGGATACCATTCTGACACTCACAGTCTGCAAAACCGATAAGTCGTGTAAACCCTTCAAGCCTCGCACACCCGTCGATGACGGCCGAGGCGGCCAATCGCCTGAAGATGGGGAAGACCAAGATGATATGGTATGCTACAAGGGAGGTATAGCTGTCGAGCACAACTACCAGATGTGCGATGTCACCAGTATGTCTCCAGCCTCTTGAGAGTGGCCTCAGCTGATCCCCAGACCGGAAGATCATCGACACCATCCCCGACAATCGCCCTCCCCAGGTCACTTTCGACTGCACCGCGAATGGCCCTTCGTCCAATACGACTAGCTGGCGCGATCCCCGTCATCCCCTCCTTCGGACTTTCGATGACTCGCCCATTAACGATGATGTCATGGGGAAGTGCACTTTCCAGTTCTGGGTTGATCGCATTGAGAGCTTCTACTGCAAGCTGGACGAATGTTCGTGGAAGTTTGACGGAAGTGAGCTACCTGCACAATCACAATCCTGGCCAGAGTATCAGCTGACGTCCAGATCTTAACGGCTCGAGGTACGAGTGCCAAAAGCTGGACTGCTCTTGCATCCCTGGCAGATTCCTCTGCGGAGAAGACGGCTCCGTCAGTAAGTTGGAATTGACTTCGGGGAATCTGAACAGAACCTGATGAGGCAGACATCGATGACTTCCTGGAAGAAGAGGTACGGGGTCCTGCGACCTTCGAATGCACCGAGGGCAAGGGCTGTACATTCTCCGAACCCGCCATGAACGGCCTCATCAACGATGTCTTTGGCGATCGCGCAATCTTCCTGGATTGCGAGGCTGGCGAATGTCTCCATTCGAGTCAGGTGCCAGGCTATGTCGTCCCTCAGGCCCCAGACAATTCGACCCTGGTTGCGGTCAGCGCTGCTGCTGCAGCTCTCGTCTTCATCGTCGCCTGTCTCCGTGAGCCGGCTCAGACCCATCCGGTGTATATGAGCTGACGAACAGTGATGTGGTATCTAGGTCGCAGCGATCGCAATGCGCCAGGCTACAACTCGGTCCAGCTACCGGAAGACGAAGCGGCGAAGCTCATGACCGACCATGTACCCGCCACCATGCACTTCAACAATATTTCGTACACTCTCCCCAACGGCAAGACTATCCTCAACCACGTCACCGGCACGGTCCGACCTGGAGAGCTCCTCGCGATCATGGGCGCTTCCGGAGCTGGCAAGTCTACCCTACTCGATATTCTTGCTCGGAAGAACAAGAGCGGGACGGTCGACGGGACTTTCTACGTCAACGGTCGGGAAATCCCGGATGACGCCTTCCGCCGGGTCACTGGCTACGTCGACCAGGAGGATACTCTTCTGCCGACGTTGACGGTGTACGAGGCGGTACTGCTGTCCGCGTTGCTCAGGCTACCGAGGGATATGTCGCGGCAGGCCAAGGTGTTCAGGACGCTGGAGACGATGAATGAGCTGGGCATATTGGGCATCAAGGATAGTCGGATCGGGGAATCAGGGAAGCGGAGCATATCGGGAGGCGAGAAGAGGAGGGTATCGATTGCGTGCGAGCTGGTCACTGGTCCAAGCATCCTTTTCCTGGATGAGCCTACTTCTGGTGAGCTTGATTCATCTATGACTCTGTGATGGCATCTAAGCTGATGCTTAGGTCTGGACTCCTACAACGCGCACAACGTCATCACCTCGCTCGCAACGCTCGCCAAAAACTTCAACCGCACTGTCATTTTCACCATACATCAGCCACAATCCAACATTGTCAACCTCTTCGACCGCCTCCTCTTGCTCGCCAAGGGCCAGCTCGTCTACAACGGTGACGCGAAGAAGGCTCACCAGCATTTTGAGAAGCAAGGGCACAAATGCCCAGAGGGCTATAACATCGCCGACTACCTCATCGATCTCACCGTCGATGCGGCCGGTGACGGGAAGCCAAAGGCATCTAGCGGGTCAGCGGGTGTACGCCCGTCCGGTCGGGGCGCCGAGCGGGACCTCGAAACCGGGCATCGTCGACCACGGTCTGTCTCGAGCGACTCCTTGGGCAGCTCGGACAGCGGGGACGCAATGCCGACCGGCACTGGATTCGCCGCGGCCAAGTCCAAAGCTGCTCGTCTCCTCGGCATGTCGCCCAGCGAAGCGGCTTCCGCGTCTGCTTCTGATCGGGAGGCGGTGCCGCAAAAGCTGGCCAGTCTTGTGCTTGCCAACCGAGCCACGGACGACGCAAAGATACTGGAGGCGGAAATTGGGCGGATCCAGCGAGGCTCAACGCCCGATGGGATCGATCCGATCCGGTCAGACGGGCTGGGAAGGGATGTCCTGGGCGAGGCAGATATCCGAGGCGCAAAGAAGGCGAGCTGGGGCAGCCAGTTCATGCTATTGAGCGGCAGAGCGTTCAAAAATCTCTACCGGTAAGCCCCTTATCTGTTGCAGTCTTGGCAGCCCAGCTGATCGAGCAGGAACCCAATGCTTATGGCTGCCCATTACGCCGTGGCTATCGCGGTGGCGCTGATCTGCGGATTCTTCTTCTACAGGGTCACCAGCGATATCCCAGGTTTCCAGTGAGTAGATTCTAGGCGCTCATCTGAAGATAGCTGACATGCAGGAACCGGCTGGGTCTGTTCCTCTTCATCCTGTCTCTCTTCGGATTCTCTTGCCTTTCCTCTCTGGGAATATTCGCGAACGAGCGTATGCTTTTCATGCGCGAGAGGTGCGCAGTTGTCTTCCCCCCACAGGAATTTTTACTGATGCTCCAGGGCGAATGGCTATTACTCCCCTTCGGCCTACTTCCTCAGCAAAGTCCTCTTTGACATACTTCCTCTCCGGCTCATCCCGCCCTTTGTCCTCGGCTCGATCGTGTACGGTCTGGCTGGTCTCAATCCGGACGTTGCTTGCTTCTGGAAGTTCATCATGACTTTGGTGCTGTTCAACCTGGCTGCCAGTTCTGTGGTGCTCTTCCTGAGCGTGGCGGTTCAGGATCTGGGAGTGGCAAATCTGCTTGGAAGTCTCGTGATGCTCTACAAGTGAGTCTCGGCAGCTATCTGAATCGGTAACTCGGCTGATGAGGTAGCCTCCTCTTCGCCGGTCTGCTCATGAACTACGACCGAGTACCCAACGGCGCCAAGTGGATGTTGACCTCGTCATTCTTCCACGCGGCGTACGAGGCGTTGCTGGTCAATGAGCTTCGGTACCTGCAGTTGGTCGAGCGCAAGGTGAGCTTCCAGGCCAATTGATTCACGTATCAATGCAACAAGCTGATGCACACAGTTCGGTCTCGACATCCAGGTCCCATCTGCGACAAGTAAGCTTTGTTTCGCCAACCCGGTAGTGTCCCAGCTGACACCCAGTCCTGTCCTCCTTTGGGTTCCATGCCCAAGCCTTCTGGTGGCCCGACACTGCTCTCCTGGTGGGCGTGTTCGGCTTCTTCATTGTGGCGAGCTACCTCGTCCTGGAGCTGTTCGTCAAGGAGAAGCGATAGTGGAGTGCCATGTGACTTTGATTGAAGGACCGGTCGAGTGCGGCCGTTGTGTCGATCTGTATATGCATCAGCTGCTGTCTATCGTTCTTCGCAGGGCTACACGGACTGTGACAGCTCTCAGCTACCCAACCCACCAGTGAAGCAAGCAGACGCGAGTCCGAAACCACCTGGTGGACCAGGTGGAGCCCCGCAAACAACGCTCAGCCAAAAGTCGCAGCTGCTTCGCCGCAACACCGTGACGAAACCTACATCTTTCTTTCATCCTGACTAGCTACTGCACCTCATACAGCCCTCGGAGTCCGCCACCTCGGGAACGAACGTCAATGAGAGGGTGATTATACCACTTTCCCCGCCAATATGCTCCCCGCGCTTCCCCTAGCCCGGCAAAATTCGTCGGCCTTCACCCTCCCTCACCCTTCGCCTTCGGCCCATACACGCACCAGCTCGTATCGACTGACGTCAAAGCATGATCGGGAGAGATCACTGGGGTCTGCGTCCCGGCCAAGTGAAGAAGCGGATGAAGGTGAGGAGGACGAGGATCTCAGACGCGAGCTCGAGATGGAGATGGAGGAGCAGGGAGGCGAGGGATTGGAGAGGGAAAGAGGATTGGAAGATACGCTGGAGAAGCTGGGAATGGGTAGGTCGAGATCTGTCTGATGAAGTCCTGTCGAGCTCATGCCTGGCTTAGGAACGTATCAATGGAGATTACTTGCATTATGCGGGTTTGGCTGGATGAGCGATAATTCTGCCCTAACCTGTATCGGTGAGCTGACGCCCACGACTGACTGACCAGGATACAGAAGATAGCTGATACATTTAGCTGTTATCCTACCACGAGTCCAGATACATTTCAACCTCTCGCACCAGGTCGTTGGCTTCCTCTCTGCCTCTACCATGGCCGGAGTGAGTTTGACCGCTCCGATCAAGCGAGCTCCTCACTGACAAAGCAGATGATGGTAGGCGCTATAGGCTGGGGGTCGATCTCGGACATCCTGGGACGAGCTCTTCCCTTTCGAACCACATTAGCTCTCACATCGGTCTTTGGAATAGGAGCGAGCTTTTCGCCGAACTTCGGGGTTCTGTGCTGCTGGATGTTCATGCTGGGCAGTGCGGTTGGGTAAGCGGCTCTTACGATGTAGCAGATAATGGCTGATCAGTGCAGAGGATCTATGCCAACAGATGGAACGCTTTTCCTCGAGAACCTGCCACATAGCAAGCAGTACCTCCTCACCCTGCTCTCCGTCTTCTTCTCCCTCGGCGCAGTCTTATCGTCCGTCATTAGCTATACCTTCCTCCCGGGCGCTAGTTGCTCTCAGTACGAGGGGTGCGACATCGCCGGTAAGGCGAACGATGGCTGGCGCAGAGTACTGCTTGCACTTGGCGTGGTCGTAAATCTGACCTTTGCGATTACAACAGGAAGGGAGCTGATATCCCTAGAATATGGTCTGCGCCCTAGCCCGCTGGTTTCTATTCCGCCTTCATGAGTCACCTCGATATTTGGTGACACACGGCCGCGAGCAAGAAGCTGTCGTTGCTCTCCGTTCCATTGCGACCTACAATGCCCACACTATCGACATCACGCCCGCGGATGTCCTCATGCCTCACGCTAGCCCGTCTCAGAGCATGAGTCAGCGATCACTTGCACGAGACAAGAAGAACTCGGAACTACCCTCACCCTCTCATGAGGCGGATGAGCTCTCTCCCGTCGGATCAGCAGTGGGTCTGCCTCGATATCGCGAGACGGACGATAATGCGTCAAGCGGGCCTTCGTCACGTACCCTGTACGACTCGGTCGGTCTTGGACCAGCCCCTCCACCCAGGAAATCGCCAATACGGCTCGGCTCGGCGTTTTACTCGGCATCCCATGCTGGATCACCTCTGGATACGACGACGAACGCGTTCGAGCGATCATTTGCCGATGCCGCCATTCGAAGCGGACAGTCCGTCGACGAAGAAGCAGGAGAGGGAGCACCGGACGAGGCAGAGGCGGATGTGGAGGGGGCGTTGTTACCGGAAAAGTCGACGGTGGGACAACGTGCGGGGCGCGAAGCACGGAAAGTCGGAAGATGGGCAAGAAAACCGACAGAGTGGTGGAGAAGCTGGATGACGCAGATGGCGAAGCTTTTTGTACCAAAATGGAGAAGAACGGTCATCTTGATGTGGATCATTTGGGGATCTATGTCTTTCTGTAAGTCACTCTCTCCCGACACGGACGTAGCTGATCATGATTAGCATATACGATGTTTAACGTTTGGTTACCTGCTGTTCTGGAGAGTCGAGCGGAGGGTGAAGGGGACGAGGTGATCAAGATGGCGCTGAGGGAGTTCATGCTATATGCTGGTCAGCTTTACCTCTTTTCAGTTCAAGCACTGGCTGACGTTTCAGTTGCTGGATGTCCAGGATCAATTGTAAATCACATTACAGCACGACTTAGATGGATCAAGCTGATTGTCTAGCTTGGGGCATGGATGATCCAGACCCGTCTCGGGCGTCGCAAGTCGCTCGCTATCTGCACAGCCGCAACCGGAATAGCAACTTTTGCATTCTTGGCTGTGACCAGCAATTTAGCAGTGATCATCAGCTCGATGTTGATCAGTACGGCCGCAACGGCTATGTACGCTGTTCTCTGTAAGTCACCCAAACCAAGATTTCGTAGACCGGGAAAGAGCTGATCTTGGTAGACGGGATGACGCCAGAGACCTTTGGCACCGCCATCCGAGGTACCGCATGCGGCACGTCCGCCGCCCTGAGTCGGCTGTGCGTCTTCTCTCTGGATCGACGACTGGACTGGAATGACACGCTGAAATTTCGCAGGACAGGTGTGATGGCACCGATCTCGGCTGGGTTCTTACTCTCCGTCTCGCCATCCCTACCTGTCTTCACCTCCGCTTCCATCTTCTTCATCGCAGCAGGCTGCAGCTTGGCCTTACCATTTGAGCGGATAACCGAAGGGAAAGGGGGTGGGGCGGTCATGGCTCACTAGACGAAGTAGAGCTCGAGGCTCGACGGAGCACGAGGCCATGAGGTGGGAAACCTGTATCTATACCAGACACTGTACATCATCAAATTGATATGATATGAACATCAGAGATGTCGAAAGTATCGTAGTAGGAAGCTGTCAGGAGCGACGTCAGTCGTTGATGATCGAGGCCTGGGACATGTAACTCGATTCGACTTGCTTCACGGCAGCCTGGGACCGCATTAGCGCTTGATGCAAGATGGCTTGGGAGGGCTACTTACTTCTAGACTGAAAAGATAGTCGTCCTTGACGGTCGGGTATAGGTTCCTCACAGACTCGGCGAGCTTATACAGGTACTCCTGGTCATTAGCTTACGACTCAGGGTACTCCAGTATGACTTGCCTTATTTGGTCCGGATGGCCCATGACATTCGTATATCCTCCTCGAGAGATAGTCTAGCGGCTCTGGTCCGACTACGAGTGATCAGCGGTAGCTCTTAAGACGGCGTGTGGGCGTGACAGCGATTGTCTCACCGAAAGCCGGGTTATCCAGCCTGCCGGTCCATATCACCGAGCTGTCCACTATCACCTCTTCTTGCCCTGATTCACTACGCGAGTAGACTGGGATGTCATGAGGAGTATAGCCGTTCTGTCATGTCAGTAGTCTCCTCCGAGAGAACGGTTGTAAGTGTTGCAGACCCAGTCGGATGACTCGATGACTCCCCAGTGGGAAGAAGGGGACTTGCCTGTTCTCTGACCTCTGCGTAGTGTCAGCTCATCTCTGGGCACTGGATGAGCTCTGAGAGACACAGCTCTTCTCACGCACCCATATACTCTCGAACTTCCTCCTCCCTCGCCTCGTCTATCCGATATGCAACGCCCCAGACAATGTCCTCTTGCTCTGTATCTGCAGGTGCCTGACCATCAGCGTCCCTCAGTACATCTATTACCGGGCAGCCCTGACAGTGTGTATGGGATAGACTCACCTCGCCGCTGAGCGCATGCCAATCCTTCGCGTCGATAACAGTGACCACCCTACCGGGCTTTTCGGGTACACCCCGATGATCGATAGATGATTGCGCGAAACGACGCAGTACCCCCTTGACGTAACCGCAACCTGGATCTCCGTTAGCTCTTGTGCCCTGCTATGTTCAGATGGTGATGACCTACGTTGCTCGACGGAGTGAGGTCTGCTTTGGTCAGTAACGGACAATCAGTCAAAGGTCAGACTGGATCAAGACTGGATGGTTGGAGGGAGGGTTGGAAGAGCAGAAGAAGGACTTGCGGTGGTTTCCAGATCAACGAGCCGTACCCAAACACCCAGTACACCATACTCCCAAGACCAGGCGCTAAATCGATTCCGATGCAATGCGAAGAGATAGTGCCTAGCATGACTTCAGCGTGGGGTGACGAATTCCAGCGAGATCGTCCGCACGGGCGGCACGTGGCAGTAGAGTGGGGAAAGTGGGGAAGTACTCGCTACTACATTGGCAATGACAAGACGACGTCGCACCGGTGGAGGGCATATTGCATGCTCAGCAACTTAATGGCTACATATGTACACATGATCCTATCCAAGGCAACTCCGCGACCCGACCAGAAGCACAGCCCCCTTAGTCCAGATCGATCATCCCCTCTTCCTCCTCCCCATCGCTTTCATCTCCCGCGTCCCTATTTCCACGGATAGCCCAGCTATCTTTCCTCCCTCCACTCGGCGCCTCATACTCGTACCGCTCCGGCTTCTTGACATTCTCCGTCCTGATCTTCTTCTTTGCGTTGAATCTATTCCCCGAATCCGGATTCTTGAGGAGCGCAATCGTCTCGTCCTTCCGCCTCTTCTCGTCTTTTCCCAACGTCGCCGCCCGAGCCGCCGCAGTGGGATCAAAGCCGATCCGTTTGACACTTTCGGCATTGAAGGGTCGTTTCTTCTCCTCCTCTTCATCCGCATCCGAACTCTTCTCCTCTTCCACCTCGACCCTCCGCTTCTTCCTCTTATCTTTCTGCCCCGCCTCCTCCCTCTCCCTCTCTTTCCGCTTCATCCTGATTGCCTCGAGATTCCGCTGTCCACTGCTCCCTTGCCCACCGACCATCAATCGCTTCAAGACCTCCTCGTCCTCCTTCACCTCGAGCTTCTTTCGGACGTCCCGCGCGGTCCGATTCCGCCCCAGTCGCTCATTCAGATGCTCGTCCCCAAAGCCCTTCAGACCCCCTTCAGAGCGGTCCGTCCGGATCGTCTTGCCGCCGACCATATATGTCGCACCGCCACCGCCATTCTCTGCTCCGCGTGGTGCGGCCTGTGGACCGCCGGCAGGTAAGAGACCGGTTTTGGTTTGGTGATTGATGCCGCTCCCTTTGCCGGGGATGGGGGGCTTGCCAAACCCAGGTCGGCTGGGCTGGGAAGGACGCGAATTGGTGAGTGCGAAGGAGGAGGTGGAAGCGGTGAATTCGGCTCGGCCTGCTCGGGCGCGCTGCATCGAGAGGTGAACGTGGTATTCGCAGACTGGGCTTTGACGCCTAGTGTATCAGCTGTGAAGCTCGCACGAGGCGAAACCGAGTGGGAAAAGCAAGAACTTACATGTCGACCCATGATCTGCACCTGTTCCCATCCTTCTGTACCGCCGAGCAGCGACCCAGATCCTTCGACTTGCCGATGTAGAAGACCGAGTCGCCAGAATTGGGATTAAGCGCGAGTGGCAGGGTGAGAGGATGTGGGGCACTACCTCCAGCCTGACTGTTTAGCTCTACCGGCTATCGACCAAAAAGCAGACTCACTTTCAGTGGCCTGAGTATCCTGGGACTGATGATCCCCACTACATCCCCTACACCCAGATTCGCCCACCTCTCGAACGCGCCTCCACTCCCACCCGCATACGTCACTTTGGCCTTCCCATCCTCATCCACCTCTTCCGACTTGACCACCGATTCTGCCTGAAACAGCAGTAGCTGGAGAATCGCATCCCCTCCCGCTCCTGGCACACTTGCCATCTTTGTTCGGGATGGAAGCGCCGCCAGCTTGAGATTGACGTATTTCTTTGGTTTCCTGCGTTTATAGTCGGATTTGGCGTCTTTGCCTTTGGGTTTCTGATACGTCTTCTTCGAAGGAGAGGCGAGGGAGAAGTCGCCCCGCTCCGGAGCTCTCTTGACCGCCGCCTCGTCCTCCGAGGTATCGTTGTCTTCTGCGCGCGAACCGCCTCCGCCTCCTCCGCCACCGCCGCTGACTCGGATATCGCTCTTCTCGGCCACGACAGCGATGGTGACCCAGTCGCCCTCGACCGGGACGTCATATGTTGCGCCATCGCGTGACAGGCGGATGACCGAATAGAGGAGAGAAGGAGGGAGGTAGTACCGGCCGTACATGTGCGCTTGGACCGTGTCGTGGGGAAGTTTCCGCTCGCTATTGATCAGCATGTTCCATTCGATCTCGAGACACATTGTGAGAGATACTCACTTCAGCCGTATCTTGCTATTCGGCTCGACATACTCCCATACCTGCTCGCCCTCCGGATCAAACCCAAACTCCTTGGGCCCCATCTCGAGCTTCTCGATGATCTGCAACGTATGCTCGTCCCGCGTGTACTTCTTCTCCTTGACATCCTCCTTCACTTCTTCTTCGTCCGACGCGCGCCCTTTGCCCTTCACCGATCCACCGGCACTAGCGCTGGCGCTGACGATCGGTTTTGGGATCGAGCGGGATCTGCCAGCCCATTGTGAAGGGGCCGGGACTGGCTTTGGCTTCGGTGCTGTACGAGCCAGGGCCGGAGAGGGGTTTCGTACGGCCGCGAGCTTGGAAGCGAAATTAGAGGGTCCAGCTGTTGCGGAGGCAGGTAGCACGGGGACCGAGGCAAGTGATTGAGTGGGCTGACCAGGTCTGGCTGGTTTCGCCTTGTGGACATGGTTGGCGAGAGCAGATTTTGGCGCTGATGGCAGTGGGACATCGGTCCGGACTTTCTCTGCAGTCCATCAGCGCATTGACTAGCTGCTAGCCATAAGACTTACCCTTCTTGGTCGGCGTTACAGCGACCAAGATGTGCGCATTCTCTCTCGCCCTTCTCTCCTTGTCCCGCTTAGCCTTCTCAACCTGCCGCCGCCTCGCTTCCACAAGCGCGGCGATTTGCGCATCAAGCTCTGAAGTGTCGACTTCCCCCGCATCTTGCCCTTTCTCCTCTTCCTCGCTCTCTCTGCCGACCTCGAGGTCGCTATCGCTATCCATGGCTGCTTAAAGGTGATGAAGAAGGTAATGAAGGAAAGCTTTGACCGTGGACGCGACTTTCGGGGAGTGACGTAAAGACAGGCACGTCCGCTTCACGTGGCTCATCTCACCCAAGAGCGCGTCTGGAACGCCCAGACGCTCGTTCATGTCACCGATATACATCCTTGGCAGAACCCACCGTGATCTGCGAGATGACACGCCCGCTGCCTGGATTGGAGCTGCAGGAGCTTGCTGGACCGTCCGGGTCGTCCGTCAAGGTCGTGGTCCCGCCCATCAACTTCGCTATGGTCGTCCCCGGGATCTATCGGAGTGGACACCCGAATAAGAAGAACCTGAGCTTCCTGAAGAGCCTTGGTCTAAAAGGGATCATGTGAGTATCCAGCGGGACTCGTATCATTTGTGTGCTGGAGCTGATGAGGCTAGGTACGTCGAGGGCACGGAGGAATACCGGAGAGACTCGCTCGACTTTGTACAGGCCGAAGGGATCCAATTGCACCGATACGATCTGTCCAAAGAATCAGTCAGTACCCTCTCGCCTGGGTCATAGGACCTCGTACTGACGTCTAGTTACTGTTCACCCAGAAAGGCCGAGAAACGATATACGCCGCCCTGCGCCTTCTACTTGACAGCACCAACCACCCTATCCTCATTCATGACGATTCGGGCAAGTCGACCGCGACGCTTATCGTTTCGCTCATCAGAAGAATGCAAGGCTGGAGTCTGACAGGAGTGTATGCGGAGGGGGACATGTTCTCGGGTCCAGCGGGAGGCGCGGAGGGTGATGGAGTGGGCGAGGCAGGAAGAGAAGTGAGTCAAGGCTCTGAGTCAGGGGTATGCTGCCACACGACAAGCGTCCGCAGGGGAGAGCTTGAGATAATGCTGGAGGATTATGAGAAGCGATGAAATTACCGAGGAAGCTCCCATGCTGATCATCTAGTTCATTGCTCTCTTTGAACCGAGAAAGTTCAAGTTTAATCGCTCGGCCAAGCCATCCTGGCTGGACTAGGTATCCCCAAGGCTCCCTCGACCAGGACGGCTGCGATAAGGGGTGTCGGTACCGCAAACAGCCGCATCGTCATCATCGGCTTCTCTGCACCGCCACATGCTACAGCGAAATCTGCCACTCACCCCCCCCCCCAAAGGCGTCAATCTACACGGGCAGAACCCATTCCTCGCCCATCTCGCATCCATCCCGTCCATGATCGACACTCGGCCATCATACATCCTTCCACGTACCCCTCGCCGGGCTCGTTATACGCTGTCTCGGCCCCTGCCCAAGATGCGTTTCGCTTGACCATACACAGCATGACACAGCTCGATGCAGAAAGGATCCCCGTCCTTTCGCCGCGGTTTCGCCCTTTCCGTTCTGCGCGATTATCCTCGTTCGGGTTTGAGAGGTTCTCTTACTTCTTCGAGGGGCGTCTGGCATGATCTACGTGACTCAGGGGATCGGTTTGGGCGGATGGGGGGTTTGAGGTGGGTGGCGATGGGGAGGGATATAAGCGGGCGGCGAGGATGGGGACTTCGTCGTTCAATACCACTGCATCAGTATACGATACTGAGAAACCGACCTCATCGACAAGCCAGCTGGTCAGACGATCTATCAACCCGGTCCGCACCGTATTATTCTTCGGCGCAAGGCTCAGGCGAGATGCCATTCGCCACCGGATCGGGCCGGCCGGCCTCATCCGCCACGCCCATCCCCATCCTCGCGCCGCAGGCTCGCAAGCACACCCATACCCGTAACACCTCGGCGCCAATCTACCTACCCTCCACTCCTCTGCCTCGTCCAGCTGGTCCGGCCAAGTCGCCCCGTGGGCCAGGACTACGCGTCATCACCTCCTTCCCCCTCCCTCCTCCTCGTCGGCCTAAGCTCGGTGCGCAGACTCAATCGCTCGATCAAGGTATAGCCATCAGGCAGCCCGTACCCGTTCGTCATTATGCGCCACCGCTGCTCAATACCGCTCCACTGCCTGCCACCCGCCGGGATCATGCTGCCTCCCTTCCTCGGCGGGCGGTCTACCGGAAGCCCGTCCCTGCGCTCCAGGTTGATGTGGATATGGAGCATGACCACGCGCAGGTTGTCCCTCCAACCAGACCCTGTCCGCCCATCAAGTCGAGCTTGGAGAAGCGGATGCGTCGGGAGGCGGTCATCATCTCTGACGGGATGTACACGTCGTACCAGCCGGACAGGCTTGACTGGGGTACGCGGGACACGTCCCAGAACGACGGAGCCATCTCGGCTCCATCTCCTACCCGGATTATACCCTCGACCAGCCGACCCTCAGGCAGGGGTCACAAACGCACCATCTCCGACAAGTTCAAATCCCTCTTCTCCCCTTCTCCACCTCGACCTCCCCATATCCAGCTCTCGACCTCCTCGCCTGCACCATCCGCGGCTCTCGTCCTCCCCGAAGAAGACCTAGAGCGGATACCTATGAATGACGAGTCAGACATCCCCACCTACTCGGCGACCTATCCGCAACCGGATGATCCGTTCTACCTCGCCGTCCCACACACTCCTGCTCTGACCGAGGCTGCGGGTCAGCCGGGCAGGCCCTACCGATCCCCCGGAACGGCGAGCTTTGTGGTGTCTCGCGAGGAGGACATCTGGGGGGTGTCGGCACAAGGAGGCGAGGCGGACGAGAATGCAGCGAGGCGAAACACGTTCGGGGTGATAGAATGGCCAAAGACGGCCATGGCTAGCTTGGGGACAGAGGTGCGTTCAGTGGCGGGAAGCGAGGGGTTCAGTCCGGGTTCGAGGGCGAGGGGCTCGAGCGATGGTACATGTGAGGCGGACGATGAGATGAGTCCCGAGATGGACCCGGCGGGGGAGGTTGTGCTAGCGTACCTTGTGGGAGGAGATGGCGGGGTGACGGCGTGATCATGGGAGTGCAGATGGCTCAGGCAGCAGGTCCCAGGGGTCAAGGAAGCCAGGGACCAAACACGAAAGAGGATTCTCGCTTCTGCTTACAAGATTGTACTTATATCTGTCGTGGCTTCATCTGTGACCAGTCGGAGGCTCTGTACTTGTAGTCGTTGTATGCATTGTAACATTAGCCTGTGACCCCTCTGCAGCTGTCTGAGCCAAAAGTGCCACACTGAGGCGCTGAGCTCTGGAAAGCAGTGACGTGTATCCCGGCATTACGATCGGTCATATACCAATATTTCCCAAAGTGGCAATTCACCCTTGGGTGCAGCAGTGAGCTCTTTGTTTATCCCACCCGCCCACCCGCAGCAGTCGTCGCCCACTCACTCACCCATTTCTACTCCACCAGCCAAATCACTACCACCACCCAACTCACCACCCAGGAGCCACATACCGGCACCCACCTATATACAACCTACCTTACACACATCGTAAGTCACCTTCACAACACCTATCCTCCCTCTGCATAGGCTATCAGAGAAGGGGTTCGAAGCGTTCCGGGACGCTCTGGGGCGCGTTGGCGTCGTCGGGGATGGTGTCGACCCTGCATCCTCGTTTTGGGTGGTGGTGCGGTATGCTGGGAGCGAGGCGACTGATTTCGTCAATATGAGACAATGGTCCGGGGGAGTCCGATGTGCATGGCTGGGCTTGTCGCGTGGTGTCGGGGAGTACGAGGGGTGTTGGGGGAGAGACCGGAACGGCTTCAGAGGCGATAAGGAGGAGAAGCGGAAGTTCGGTGTGCATACCCCTCATCCTTGTCCTGTCTCGGCTGGCTTCCTTCCCTCCGTTCTTCTCCGTCGTCCTACTCTCGCGCCACGGTCCAGTCTGGCGCATCACCAGGTGCTTCATAGCTATTGCGGGTGCATAGAGCCCTCCAACTTACACTCTTCCTTCCTCCCCGCTTGGGTTCTTTTGTTGACACCAAATCCGAAATGATGAACTTCGCTAACCGCATTCTTCCTCTTCCTTCTTCCTTCACTGTACCTTCCGCCCCTCATCCATCACCATGTCCTACTACTACCCGACCATCCTCGGCGTCCAACCCATCTTCCGACACATGCCTCCCCCTCCCAACTACTTTTGGAAACTCCCAACCCCCGCTCCGACCGCTGTGCCCACCCCCTCTTCGCCTGATCCGACCCATACTTCGCCGCCGCCTCCACGTCCGCCCACGCCTCCTCGCACTCGCCGACGCTCTTCCTCCCCTTTGCCTGGCTCGCTCTCGTCCCTGCCCATCCCCACCAACAGAAATAAGATGCCCAAGACTGCCACCGAGAAGACATCCAGGTCCAAGTCGGGCGAGGAGAAGAAGCCCAAGAAGGAGGTCAAGGACCCGAACAAGCCCAAGCGGTGAGTCTCTGTCTATGGAGCGTGTGTCGTGCGGCATTCCAACCGCGAGGAGCTTTGGAGCTTTGGAGGTGGCACATTCTCGCTCGTCTCGTCCTCGTCCCTTGTCCTTGCTCTCGTCTCTCTGGCCCTACTTTCCTTCTTCCTTCATTCTTAACCCTTATCATCATCGAGACCACCACTGACCCCGCAGTGGACTTTCCCCCTACATGTTCTTCGTCCAGGACTACCGTGAGCGGATCAAGGGCGAGAACCCCGACGCCACCTTTGGTCAACTCGGCAAGCTCCTCGGCGCCAAGTGGAAGGAGTTGAGCCCCAGCGAGAAGAAGGTGGGTTTTGCTTTTGCGCAGAGGATTTTAGTGCGCAAAGCTGACTGAAAAGCCTTACGAGGCCCAGGCGGAGAAGGACAAGATCCGCGCCACCAAGGAACTCGGCGAGTACGATATTGCACACCCTAAGGCACCCAAGGCCCCTGCGTCCAGGAAGAAGGCCACCAAGTGAGTTGACATACCCAGGAAGGGAAGACGAGGAGGGGCATTAGCTGATGTAGTAGGGCCGCGAAGGAAGAGGAGGAGGACGAGGATGAGGATGACGACGACGCGTAGGGGCCTCGGACTGGCGGATAGGTGGATCAATCTGTGTGTATAGGGCTCGATGAGGGAAATGAGAAGGAGGGAGACTGAGAGGGAGAGAAAGAGAAGGAGAAAGAGAAATTGCCTGCGCCCCCCCATTCCTATTTGCTTAATGTACCACTCTTTATACCCTTTCCTAATTTCGTTTTGTCTATACTTCATCCATCTCCTCCTCCCCAAACATCAACATCTTCGTCGGTCGTGCCCTTCGCTTTAAGGTGGCGGCAGGCGAGAAGGGAAGGGTTGTTTCGTTTTTCGCTAGATCTGATTAAGGCTGGAATATATGAAGTATGAAGTATGCAGAAGCCACGGCTGGTATGGGAGCCTCTCGGGGTGTGGGTGGGGTGGCCTTGGTGTGTCTCGAAGGTGCATGGGACAAGGAGGCGCTCCAGAAGACCATTCGGTGCAGCCTCATTCCCCGTCAGCCACCTGCACCCCGGCCCGAAATATTATGTTGCACGTCATCATCCTAACAACCTCCTCCCCTCTGACTTTTATCTTCATCTTGCATCTTGATATCTGATCATATCACCTCTCCTAAGGCTCTCGTCTTTTGGCCCCCGTACCTCCCGGTCGTATCCAGCGAGCAGCTCAGTTTAGCGCCCAGCATGCGTATCACCAAAGCCCAACTCAAGGGGCTGGACCAGTACAAGTACTCGGGGATAGATAAGAGCGTCGTTTCGCGTTATGCGCTCGGACCGTTCTGGACTTGGCTGGTCACTATCATGCCGAGGAACCTGGCGCCTAACTCTGTGAGTCTACCTCTTCGGATCATGATGCTGATGCAATATGGTCCCTGCTGACAGCGCAGATCACCTTCCTGGGCCTCTGCTTTGTCTTTGCGAATGTCGGCACTCTGTTCTACCTCGATCCGACCTACTCGGGCAAGGAGCTACCGAGCCTGGTCTACCTCAGCTGGGCTATCGGACTGTTTGCATATCAAAGTGAGTCGCGGCTTGGGGGCTCTCGGATGGTCGAAACAGACGAGAAGCGAGTGGCTGATCAACAGGTATGGACGCTATTGACGGCAAGCAGGCTAGGCGGTTGAATATGGGCAGTGCTCTGGGAGAGATGTTCGATCATGGTTGTGGTGAGTCTTCACAAGCATATACTCCTGTGTAGTGCTTGAGCTCATCATTGTAGACGCCATCAACACTACCGTACGTCTTTCAAAAGGACTTTCCGGAGTCAGAGATCAAATACTGACGACCTAGCTCGAGACCGTGCTCTGCTGCCACGCCCTAGGCCTCAATCGGTCCTGGTGGACTGTCACAAGCCAAGCCGCGACCATGTGTAACTTCTACGCCTCCACGTCAGTCCAGCTCCTCTTTCCCCCTTTCTCTCCCGGAACCGCACTGATGTGTAGATGGGAAGAATACCACACCGGCACGCTGTACCTCTCTGCCTTCTCCGGTCCCGTCGAAGGCATCCTCATGGTCGTCGCCATCTACGCCGTCACTGCCATTCACCCGCTCGGCCAAGCCTTCTGGTCCCAGCCAATCTTCAGCCTCATCCCGGGTCACTACGTCATGAACTTCTTGGGCCAGGTGGACAAAGTCCTCGGTCTTAAGAGCGTTCTCGCTGGAAGGGGATGGGCGGGCCTTGAGGGTCTCCCGATCAATGTGGCGTTCATGATGTTTGGCGGTGCAGGGACTATCGGGAACATCGTCAACAGGTCAGTCGATACTTCTGTAGCAGAAGCGGGGATGAATGCTAATGAAGTAGCTACTACAACGTCATCGCGTCCCACAAGAAGAGCGGCAAGGCCATCTATACGCCTCTGCTTGGCTACGTCCCGTTCCTCGCCCACACTGGTATCCTCGTTCTTTGGCTGCAGGGCGAGCTCCGAGGTGGGGTCGGGATCGTACATGATGCGAGGTTACTCCCGTTCATGCTGTACTGGGGAATGGCGTAAGTTTCTCCCTTGCTTTGTTTTGACATTGAGAGCTGATCGGCTAAGGTTCTCGTACCAAGTCTCCCAGCTTATCCTGGCGCACGTCACCAAGAGCCCATTCCCTTACTGGAACGGCATGATGGTGTACTCGATCTTTGGCGCTCTCGACGCAAACTCGCAATGGCTTTTCAACCGGTAGGTCTTGTCTTCTCCGCCCGGAGAAGAAGGGCTGATCAGCTAGGGGACCGCTTGTGCAGTCTACACCGGTCGCTGCGAACGTCTTTGTCTGGATGTCATTCCTCCTCGCCCTGTTCAACTATATCCGTTTCGCCCGAGAGGTCATTTGGCAGATGTAAGCTTTTTCTCGAATGGCAAGCCGGTCACCCGAGGGGATAGAGCTGATGAGTACCAGCTGCGAACATACCGGTGTCGCCTGCTTCACCGTCAGGCGCAAGAATGCGCAAGGACAGTGGGTGGAGAAGGACGAGGTGAAGAACCTGAAGGCGGCGTAGATTGCGAGTCCGGGGCTGCGGTCGAACAAAGGGGCTGCCCGCTGACGGGTGACGTCGGTGAGCGCGAGGGGAGTGAGAAGTAGAGCAATGCATAGAATGGAGTAACTATGTACATGACGGACATCCGCGACCGAGGGGAGCGAATTATGAAGGGGCGTATGCTTACGGCATCTCACCCTCCCAGTCAAATTGAGCCGCAGACAGATAACTCATGCATGCGGGCGTCCGAAGAGCCATGAGAAGTGCTGGAAGGTGCTTCCAAGGCAGGAGATTCGAATGGTCCATGTCCCAGGACGACGAACGCGAATTGAAGGAGCAAGAGGAAAATAAAGAACGAATGGGGTTACCGTGAAATGAATGGCATAAGTTACGCCGATAAAAACGGAAAGCCACTGACCGCGTTCATGGGGTGACGGAGATTCGCGGCGATAACAATTCGCAGCCGGACCTAATTTCGGGATCAACCTATAACGGGGCTTTTAACGGGGCTTTGTATTGTCCAAGGTGATCCAAAAAGTTCTAACTAGTCATACACGTCCATCAATCCACCCATAAAACAACAGCATACAGCTTACAGGCCACTACCTGGCAGCGCGGGACCACAAAGCGGCGCAGAAGCAGCGAACAAAAATCGTTCAAAAATGTCGCTGTCCGGCTCGTCCTCGGCGCTTCACCTCTCCCTTCCCCCTACCACCCAATCTCGCCCCCCTACCCAGATCAACGTTCACCCCTCCGTCATCGCCTCCATCCTCACACATCACTCGCGCCGCCCCGACTCGGATGCGCCTCGGGTCGTCGGTGCCTTGATGGGTCAGCGGAATGAGACCGGGACAGAGGTGGAAGTGAGGAGCTGTTTCGCGGTGCCGCATTCGGAGGACGCGGAAAAGATTGCGCTGGACATGCCTTTCCAGCAGAGTATGGTGGAGTTGTTGAGCCGGAGTGGAGTCAAGGAGCAGGTTGTTGGATGGTCAGTCGCATCTGGCCGTATTTGTGGCTTGCCAAAGGATGCGGGGCTGATGAAATAGGTATTCCACATCCCCAACAGTTAACAACTACTCTGCCCTCATCCAGGACTACTTTACCAACGAGACATCACCATTCCCCGCCGTCCACATGACGGTCGACACCAACATGACCGAATCGGGCGAGGGTCTCGGCGTAAAGGGATACGTCTCGATGCCGCTGGGTATCACGTCAAAGCCGGAGAACTGCATCTTCTTGCCTATCCCCGTGGCTGTCAAGTTTGCTTCGTCAGAAAGACCAGCGCGTAAGCTTCCTTTCATCTCGAGATGCCAGGACTCAAGCTGACAAACTAGTCGACCTTTTGACCTCTTCTGCGGTCAAGCCCGTCCCTTCCGCCCAGCCCCCTCTCGCCGCCCTCTCCTCGTCCCTCAATCAGCTCTCTACCCTTCTCGACCAATCCCTCGCCTACGTCCAATCCGTCAACACTGGCTCCGCAAAAGCCGACCCCGAAGTCGGGCGGTATCTCCTCGAGGGTGTAGGCCGGTGGACTGCTACTGGATCAGAAGATGAGGGAGGCGTCAAGGAGGGTCTGCAGGACACGTTGACAGTGACGTACTTGGCCAACCTACTGAGGAGTCAGATTGAGCTGGCAGGGCGGTTGACGCTGTTACAGCAGGCCCAGGCGCCGCAGCAGCAGTAGGGGGAGCATGGGTGGTAGATGTATAAGTGCATTTGGGAGTAAGAGCTATGATCTCGGCATGACGACCCGTTCTCACTTCGTTGTCGGATTGCTCTCAACGCCCTGCCCTCCTTTCATTATGGATGACTAATGCGAGAGTGATATATGGCTGCCTAGGCAGCGCTGGACTGCCTGCAACAGGCTGGACGAGGAATGAGGAGTGATGCCACGTGGATCTTAGCAAGACGCCCGCCGCGAGCCCTGATCTCCCTCCATCAATCAATCTCAAGCCAGGTTGTTCCCTGTATAACTCGCCATGCCGACCGTGATGAGTCCTGACGATGCTGTAGAAGCACTCAAGCTCGAAGAGACCCGGTTCTCGGGCGATGGCGGGGACTTGGCTCTATTGCACTCGTTGCGGAAAGCCGAACAGGCTATCGAGGTTGCGAGCTCGGTAAGTCTGCACGAAGACCAGCTCAGTCGTCGTCAGATCATCGGGGTTTGGGGCTGACAGCATGCAGGAATCTCTCTTGGAGGCTCTTCCCTCGATACACGCTCTCTTTCTCAAACTCCTTCTTCCTACCCTCACGCCAACTCTCCCCAAACCAGGTCGACCAATACGCCATCTCCTCACACGATGCCTGATCAGCATGCATAAGAAGGTCGAGTCGCGGAGTCTCTTCGACTTTGTCCAGGCGGTACTGCAGGGGATAACGGACGGAGGCGGGAAGAACATGGGCAACGCGGAGAATGTGATGCGTGTTGCTGGGTGGTTTGTCGTGGGCGAGGTCATCAAAGAGCTCGGGGCTAATGTGAGTAGTCCAGGTGGATGTTGGCTGACTGTCAGATGATGTCCTTCATGGCTGAGATCACCACCGCCGCGGTCAAGGTGCTGAGGAACAGCAATCTCGTACGTTGTCCACCGAGGGCGGGCTGACTTTTAGTCGATCATACTCCGCACCCATGCCATCCAGGCGTTCACCAAATCCCTCAACTCCGCCGGGCGGGCTATTCCCGACTCACTGGTCAAAGACACGCTTAAGGCCCTTCGAGCGGGTCTGCAGGATAAGGCATTGCCGATCCAGCGGGCCTGTGCTGAGGCTTTCGTCGGTCTCAACCTTTACACCGCAGCAACGCCGCTACAGCCCAATCTGGACGCGGTCCTTCCGCTCGTCTTCAAAAGTCTGGAAACGGCCGACTACCTCACCCGGCGAAGCCTCAGTCGCTTGTTGGCGCATCTCCTCGCGAGGACCCAAGAGCCCGGATCAGGGGTCCCGGCGGTGGACACGAAGAAGGCGGTAAAGAAGGATGCAGAGGTGGATGGGAACGAGCCGAATGTCATCACATCTGCTCCAGAGGATCGGACGGGTCGGACACTGCACACCACGCAGGAGATGCTCAAGTGTCTCTCTGTGACGTATAACAAACCGGCGACGCCTCGGAAGCTTCGGAACGCTATCATTGACGTTTACGCCTCCCTCTTCACCGCCCTCGGTCCTACGTATATCGAGAGCCACTATACGGAGATCGTCAGACACCTCATCGACGAGATTGTTCTCCCGGCTCGAGCGACGTCGACGCGGTATGAGGTGCTGTCAACGCGAGAATCGGTCAGGATACTCTTGCGAGACCTGATCGGAGTACGACTGCTCTCGGAGGCCGGTCAGGTGATGGCCATCCGGGAATGGTCTAACACCTACCTCAAAGAGTGGTCCCTCACAACACTGCCCGGTACCGCCAACATGCATAAATACGCCCTCATCGTCGGTCTCGGCGAAGTCGCCGGACTCCTCGAGCAGCTCGGGAACGCCCCTCCGTCCATCCTCGAGCTGCTGGCGGAGCCGCTTGTCCGGCTCCTATCGCACGAGAGCTACTCGGTCCGGGTCGCCACTGCCTACACCCTCCGGCGATTCTGCGCCATCAATCCCAGTCAGCTCCCGCGCATGCTCAATATCCTCCTCGTGGACGTGACCAAGGAGCTGGCCAGCCTGGGCTCCCCAGCTGCACCGAGGGAGCTCCCTCAGCGGATCCTGGGCAAGACGTTTGCGTTGTCGGCCCTGATGGCGGTATCGCCCTCCCGCCCGCTGTATGTCTCGCACGACATGTCGTCCAAGATCTTTGATCTCGCCGTCAGCCTGCTCAAGAAGGCAGGGGATCACGACATACCCACATCCACCGTGGAAGTGCAGGTGGCGTGGTACCTCATCGCCTCGCTGATGAGCCTCGGACCCGGCTTTGTCAAGATGCACCTCCCCCAGCTTCTTGTACTGTGGCGGAACGCACTGCCCAAACCAACGTCAAAAGACACCTCGGTCGGGGAGCGGGGCGGAGCCGAGTGGTCGTTCCTCCTCCTCGTCCGCGAGTGCACCCTCGCCGCGGTTCTGAACTTCCTCCGCCACAATCAGTCCTTGGTCAATATCGACGTGGCTCGCCGGCTCGCCACGCTCTTTACCAACTCGCTGAACTTTGTCAACGGCTTCGCTACCGCCTACGCCGAAGCGCTTCGGGAGCAAGCGGCCACGAATCCCAATGCAACATCCTCCCCCGCGGCTCTGAGCAACCACCCAAGTCTGGTCGAGAGAGAGGCCAATCTCCGGCGGCGGGTTCTGCAGTGCTTCACCTCGCTTGGGCCCAGCAGCGCTACCGAGTCGATGCAGTCCGCTCTGCTTCAGGCGGCCATTACGGTGTTTGCCGACCCAGAGAATTACTCTGGGTCTGCAGCGCAGGCGGCCATTGCTGCTCAGGCTGGGCAATTTCAGGGGGTCTGGGGTGCGGTCGATGGCTATGCCTTTGGCGTTACAAGCCTGCTGGGGTCGAGAGAGCTTGAAGGGGCGGACAAAGACGAGGGGTTCTTGAATAGGGATAAGATTGAGATGGCCATCGAGAGTCAGGTAAGCCATTATCTGCCTCCAAAAGCGAATCAGCTGATCCCACAGCTATCCCACCCCATCATAGGGTCGCTGGAGCACGACCTCCTCGACCTACTATCTTCTCAGCCACTCTCCACGCCGCCTGCTCCCGCACCGACCCAGACCGGCGTCATCGACTCTGGTGTCGAGCTGTTTGCAGCCATGTTTGCACACCAGAATGTCGAGGGAATGGTCCAGTCACTAGGAACGCTGTCGAGCCACGTCAGATCCTCGAAGCTCGAGAAGAACCCAGGACGTCGCCAGGCGGTCGTCGCGAATACTATGGCAGTTCTGCGGCGGAGTCTTGCCAATGCCGATGGAGCAGGACAGAGGGCAAAGAAGATTCTCGGAAGTGTGCAAGTCAGCGATATGATCAAGACTCTGCTCCAGGTAAGTCCCCAGGCCAAACTCCGGACATTACTGATACTCTACAGGAGGCCGTCCTCGATCCCCAACCCTCCATCCGTCAAGCGGCCGCAGACTGCATGGGCCTACTCAGCTCCATCGCCGGCAGCAACTACCTCACATCGCAAATCCAATGGCTCGTCGATCAGGTCGTCAACAACCGTATACCAGACTCCCGAGCTGGCTGCGCGCTGGCTTTTGGATCAATCTACTCCAACGTCGGCGGTCTCGCCGGCGGACCTATCCTCAAAACCATAGTCAATATCCTCATGTCGCTAGCGACCGATCCGCACCCTGTTGTCCACTTTTGGGCGATGGTCGCTTTGGCTCAGGTCATCAACGCGGCGAACCTGTCATTCGAGCCGTTCATCACCAACACCCTCGGTATGCTATCCAGCATTTACCTGCTGGACACACATGAGCCTGATGGCGGATCCCTAGGCAGCGTCAACCTCCGGGGCGATCTACCGGCTTATCAAGCCATGTGCCGAATCCTGCATGCCATTACGGGTGTCATTGGTCCGGAACTGCAGGAGCCGGGTAGAGTCCGCTCCCAGGTTTTCTTGCTAGTTCACGAATTCGGCGAGGAGATAGACGAGGGGCTCGCTGTCGAGGCAATCAAATGCGTCCAGCAATTCCTCATGTTTGCGCCCGCCGAGGTCGACGTCCCCGGTCTTCTCGCCAAGTTCCGGACGCTCCTCGCATCGAGTCGACGACCGCTCAAAGGCGCAACCATCACAGCCCTATACCAGATCGTCCAGCGGGACGCGGTCCTCATCTCCAAACTCGGCGGAAATCAGCTAGTCGAAGACCTCTTTGGTCTGCTGGACGATGATCCGGGGCTGGAGGGGGTCCGAAACGTCATCACTGCCTGGTTGCAGCAGACGGCGTCGTCCCAGCCCAGCGGATGGATCGACCTCTGCCAGCGGATCATGACCCGCACTGCAGCATCGGCTGCGGCTCAGCGGGCAGCACAGGCAAAAGCGAACGGCCCGCAATTCATCGACGACGAAGGCGAGTCATTTGCTGGCGAAGCGGGCGCAGCCACCAACTCTACCGGTCTCACCTCTCGATGGCGGACTCAGCTCTTCGCCCTGCAGTGCCTGCACAATATCATACAGGCCGTAGCGGACGGGAACCGTCCAGAACACTTTGACCCCAACCTCGCCGCCACTCTCGGCCTACCCACCCGACAGATGCTCTTCTCGCGCGTGGCGGATCTGATCCGTATGGCGTTCTCGGCCTCCGCGGCGCTCGTCATGGAGGTCCGATTGCAGGGTTTGGTCGTGCTCCGGGATGTGGTGTTGAAGTTCGCGACGGCGGCGGATCCGGACTTTGAGGGGTCTCTGTTGCTCGAGCAGCACCAGGCGCCTATCGCTGCGGCACTCACTCCCTCGTTTGGGAGCGACTCGGCGCCGGAAGTGTTGGCGTTGGCTGTGCAGGTCTGCGCGGTGTTTGTGGGGAGCGGAGTGGTCAAGGAGGTAGGAAGGATGGGGAGAATCTTGAAGCTGTTGACTGGGGCTTTGGAGCAGTGCAAAGGTGTGTGCAATGTGGCCTGTATCGAGCAAGACACCAAGCTGACGATCAGACGGAGACACTCTTTCTCTCGGCGACGCCAACAACCTCTCGATCAACGCCTCAGTCATGCTGAAAATCTCGATCTTGGCAGCCTGGGCGGAGCTGGAAGTAGCTGGTGTCCGACAGACGTACCTGAAGAATGTCATCGATCCGTACCGATGGCTCTTGGGTCCGCACTGGATCGGGGCGCTGCGAGATTACGCTGGTTTGCGAGCGGACCCGGAAATGGGCATGGGGATGGGAGGTGGCGATCTGGGTCAGGGCCTGGGCCGGGATGTGCTGTTACCGGTGAGTCCATCGATCAAAGCTGGTATCGAAAGCTTACCCTTCAGTACTATGAGCAGAGCGTACCGAAGTTGCTTCACGCTGTCGCCATCACCTTGTCCAAGTCCGACCTCTTCGCTCTCGGCGCAATGGACGGGCAGACCTATAATTCATCCGCTGAGCCGGCTTCTGTCGCGTCCGTTCGCCCGGAACCCTGCGCGAGCTTTTACACCATGTACGGGCTCGCGTTTGAGACACTCGTCAAGTCCATGGGCGACTCGGCCACGACCGCCATGGCGTCGGTCGCGCTCAGAGCAATGACCAGTCTCGTCAAGCCTCAGCTCAGCGGTACCACCGTCTTCGACGGCGCGTTCTTCGACGAGCTCTGTACCGTCGCTTACCGGGTCGGCGTTAGCGAACCGGCCGTCATCAAAGCGGATATGCTGGAGGTAATGGCCAGCTCCGTCACCTCTCGCAAGGGCGTCATAGCCACGGATCAGGCGCAGACCCGACGCGCGCTGGCGGTAGTCACCTACACCCTTCGGCAGATCATCCCCAGCGCCGAGGTCCGGACGGTCTTCAACTACTCCGACTCGGCTCCGGAACGGGTGGCTTGCCTCCGAGCGGGCTTCTCGGCGTTCGGCTGGATCGTGGACTGTATTGATCCGGTCCAGCGGGGAGATCTGTGTGCGGTCGGCATTCACCTCTTTGCGGACCTGCTCAGGGAGGAGAGCCCTATGGATCTGGCTGGGCCATGTCTCCCGGCGCTGAAGGGGCTGGTGGATCAGTGTGTTCTGGCAAACGGGGCCATGGGGGCAAAGGTGGTTCATGGGCTGCTCAGTGCTTGTCTGACCAACATTGACGAAATGAGGTAAGTCATGTTCCTACCAGAGCGACTCCCCTCTGACAACGCAGGACACGAGTCAACTCCGTCGCCAGTATTAAGATTAAGAATAACCTCCTCGCCATCACACTCCTCATGACTACCCTCTCCCCCTCGACACAAATATCCAAACCACTCATCGAGCAAGTCGGCTACACCCTAACGCAATACCTGGGTGCAGGTTCCGAGCGGCCAGAGCTGGGCCTGACAGCTATCCACTGCGCGACCACCTTCCTCGCCACCAGTCTCCGACCGGCGGGGCCAAACGGCCAAGTCAGCCCCATCCTATCGCATACCAGCCTGTACATCCTCCCGGGCCTGGTTGGCTATCTGGCGGAAGCGGTCGTCGCGTCCGCAACGGCCGAGTCGGAAGCCGTGGTGAGATCCACCGCGGAGGGAGTCAAGGAGGTCATCAAGGCTTTGGTGACCTGGACGAGCGGTCTCTCGGAGGAGCTTCGACCTCGAGGCTACTCGGTCCTTCTCCCTAGTCTCTCACTACTGCTCGACCAATCTCCGGGACAGCAATCGCAGCTTCACCTGATCGCTACGACCACACTTCTCGGGCTTGCGCAAAATAACCCAAAGGCCTTCCGAGATGCCACCATGGGAATGGAGGAGGCGGATCGTGGTAGGCTAGAGAAGGGGATCAGAGATGCTGTGGGGGGAGGGGCGGCGCAGAAGGCAGTTGGCGGATTAGGCGCGGAGAAGAAGGGTATAGAACTCAGGAGCTTCGGGTAGATGTCTGCTGAACGATCTTGCATATAACGGGAATTTGGGATGACTATTTACAACGATTTCTTATGTTACATTTTGCCGGGAAATGGTTGTGCACGACGATACCTATGAAACTGACTCCATTGGATCGCATCACTCGGATCCGTCCTCCTCCTGGTCAGACTCTTCGGACGCTTTGCGCTTCTTCTTTGTCCCCTTGGCGGTCGCTACGAAGTCAGCTGGACCTTGGAGAATGGCGGGAGTGGATGGAAGCTGTACCCGTGCTGGCCTTGGTAGGGGAGGCTGACGCCCCGGCCTTCGCTGCGGTCTTGGACTTCTCGCCAGAGTCGATGAGGGTGATGTTGACGGTAATCTGTTTCGCGTCAGCCACTGCGCATGAGATGTTTGGGATCGCGCAGCTCGTACTCACCGTCACGTCTCGCTCAATACCGTCAACCGGCAATGTGGCTTTCTTAGATGCCGACCAGCCAAAGCTTCTGAATTGTTAGCGCTCCGACATCTGGTGTGAGGAAACTCGCACCTACCCGGTACTCATTTGCGTACTGTTCGCCTTGAATTCGACCGGGTTTGTCGCCTTCGCCGGACTAATCACGACCTTCATGGGTTTGGCGGCCGTGGAGAACTCCTTGAAGGTCAAGGGGATATCGTCGCCCTCGGAAGACTCCGCCTCGCCCTCACCGCCCTCCTTGAGCTTGTCGTCGTCGTCATCGTCCTTGGTCACCTCCACATCCTGCGCCGCCTCCATCTCCTTCTTCTCCCTCTCCATCCGCCACTCCTGTTCTTTTTCCCGCCTCTTCTGCCGCAGGTTCGCTGCGCTTGTTCCCTCGATCTTGGCGATCTCCAAGTCCAACCGGAACCTTGCCATATCAAGCTCCTCCCGTTTGGTGAATCGCACTTTGGCCTCTGACATCACCTCGAGCTCTTCCACTTTGCACCCTATCTGACTTGTCAAAGTCATACCACCCTTGATAATATCCTCCTCGACCTCGCGGGGCAAGTTCTTCTCCCCACACAACGCGTGGAGAGTGTCTGACAACACTCCCCACCAACCGGCCTCTTCCCGACGAATACCAGCCCGGCTGGCGAGAGGCAGTCGGTAGTTTAACCAGGCCCGAGTTGCCGTGGGGACGAAGTAGGTGCCCATGATGATGGTGGGGACTTTATACTCGGTGAAATTGAGGACCGCGAAGCTGAAGAAGAGGTACAGCAGAGCGCAGGAGACGTCGCCAGACCCTGTTCATAGGATCAGTGCTGGCCCATTTGCGTGTTTGAACATTATGGCTGAAGATCCTGAGGCAATATCCAGACATCTCTGGCAGCCAGGCTGAAGCAATTCGCCACAAGGATGCACAATTACAAGAAGGCTAAAGCACCGCTCACTCACTTACTACCTTACGCCAGCCAGACCTCCGGATGACGGGGAGAATGGGATGAGGGAGGGGTGTCTCGTGTAGCCCCAGCTGGGGAAAGATAGGACGGAGTAGCCGGAGGATTTCGAGCCGATCCTCTGTCTGAAAGGCGATAGCGAGAGGTCTTGCGACCAGGTCGTAGTGCTCCGGCAGAAAGATCTCGGTCATACTGTGGATGAGCTGCGCTTGATGTTTGAGTCAATGACGGGGACCCGCCGCTCTCAGCTGGGCAGATCTCAGCAGCCCTGCTCATCAGTGGTCGCAAAGGATGCCACATTACAACGGAATGCCGGTCAGGTACCGGAGTTTCGACCGCTGAGAGAAAGTACCGTCTCCGGCCGCCACAAGCCCGCCCGACAATCTGAAACACACGGGGTATGTGTCACTGAATCCGTGGTGACTTTTCATGTCCATTCAAGCTTAGCTGCGCACCCATGATGCGTCCCCATGCAGCTGGTATGCAGCTGTTATACATGTCTTGCTGGCTACTAGCCCCCAGTTACATACAAATGCCTATGATACAGTAGGAAATTGCCAGATTGCTGCACCGCAAAATCGAATTTCAGAGCTTGCGCTCTCCTGCCTCAAGCCCCGTCATCCCCATCCTCCAGATCCCCGAGCACCCCAACACTCTTGATCTCTCCTCCTGGCGCGTACACCGTCGTCTCATTCGCAGCGCCTCCTTCCACATACCCCTCGACCAAAAAGTGGATATCCGAGTGACTTTGACTTCGTTCTCGCAGGGAGGGAGGTGTTTGGGTAAGAGTGGGGGACCGAAGCCTCCGACGTGATGAGGGAGTAGGCGAGGAGGGGTGGGAGGGAAAGTAGGAGAAGGATGAACCGCTCGGTGCGCGCGCATGGCCCACTGATCTTGGGGAAGACGGACCAGGAGGTGACCAGGGGTAAGGGTAGGATGAGGTATGGAATGAGGCGGTAGGACGGCGTCTTCGTACAGTATGAGCTGCTGGAGACGCGGCGCTGGTAAGCGATACCTGAGAGGACGAGACCGACGCCAGACTGGTGACTGACCGCCGCAACCGAGGTGCACGAGGTGGTGGGACGTCTGTATGTCGCTGCGAGGATAGGGCCGCAGTCGGCCGAGATGCGGGCGACATCGCTCTGGAGGGTGTTGGTGTAGGCGAGCCGGACCTTGGCGTTTGTGCAAGATCGATATCGGAGCCTTTCCGACTTTGACGATCGTTGAAGTCCAGTCCGAGTCCGTTGGTCCGGGAGGACCAGCTCGCTGCTCCTGCCGCAAAGACATCCCTAACCCCCTCGGCCAGTCTGTCCCCTACATCCGCGTGTCTCTCGACAGTATGTGGGTCCGCCTCCATCTCGTCCGCCATTCCATCCGCAGCTTTGTTACCCAGCGCACCCGCCTCCTTGCTCCCCTGCCGTGCCTCCTCTATCTTCGGGAGCGTCACCTGAACCCACCGCCCGATACTCGCGATAGCAGCTTTTGCAGCGGGTAACCAGGTGAAGGTCTGGAAGACATGTACCATGTCCTCGTACAGCTCGTGCGTGATGTCATCACCGTAGAGCGTAGCTTTGTGTGCGAGCAGCGTGATTTCGTCACGGAGGACCTCCGAGTCGCCCGACTGGATAAGCATGGGTGGTAGGCCCGAGAGGTCGCCGAACAGGGGCGACGCGTAGGGGTGGGTGATGTATTTTGATATTCCGTCTGGACCGAGGTAGCATCCGACCGGATTGAGGTGATCTGTCTGTCAGCTCAAACCTCTGAAGAGATTTTCGCGGGTATGAAGCTTACCATCCGCCTTGGGCTGTGGAACGACGTCTGTTCCCCCATTCTCATCCCAACTCCCGCAACTCATCGTCAGATCCACCCATGGACTCATGAGCACCAGTCCAGCGGGCGACTTGTACCCCTCGTCTCGAAGATACATGCAGAGTGCGAGACTCAAGCCGCCACCTGCCGAGTCGCCCATAATAACGATATTCTCTGGCGGGATGGAGAGCGGAGGAGCGAGGAGGCGGAGGTATCCGTGTAAGACGTCGTGGAGAGGTAACGGGAAGGGGTGTTCTGGGGCGAGTCGATATGTGATAGCTGTCTAATCAGCTATGCGGACATTTCTCACCGTCTTGGCCGGACTCACCGAATACCCGTGCATTGCAGGCTTTGCTGATTCCGATAGTTATGAGCCGATGCGTAGCTGCATTACCGACGTAGTATGCTCCACCGTGTATGTAGTAGATGACCCTCTCGCCCGACGGTGCCCTCCGTGTCGAAGCTGTCGACTCGGTATCGCTATCGATATCTGGGCTGTGCCGCCCGCGCAGTCCCTCCAGTACCGCCCGTCTTTGTACCGTATCCTGTACAGACGACCCGCTCAGGGTCCGAGGATGACCGAGCTGGGCACCCGCTGTGGGGGTAGCATCGGCCGACGCTCCTCCCGGACTCAGACCTGACGCCCTCCTCGACTTTCTCCTCTTCCTCTCGGCCTCCTGCCGAGCCCGCCTATCCCCCTTGAGCCGCTTCCATACATCCGTGCCCACCACCCACTCGCCCGTCAACTCTCGCGTCCCCGTCTCCATCCCGTCCAGATCCCGCAAGAACCCCCGAGCCAGGCCCTCACCCGTACGAAGAGGCACCGTGAATGTGATGGGCGTGACGACCGCATCAGCCGGAAGCGGGATGAGCTGATGGAGCGATATAAGCCTCCGAACGAGGATGATATCCGCCAGATTGGTATGTTCCGCTACATTTCGCATGAAAGAGGTGATCAATGTCATCCGATATCCCCAGGAGGGACGTTGAGGGCCGAAGAGAAAGTGACTGAGCAGGGACCATATGATGTGGAGACCCTTGGCGAGGGCGAACCGAGCAAAGACGATCCAGGTGGGAATTGTCCATAGTAGTGGAGAAGAGGCGGAGGGTGGGGCCTGCTTCTGTGCGAGCTTGGGGTCAACTCGAGATGACGGCGGAAGAGGGGAGGGCGAGCGGAGAGGGTGCGAGGAAGTGTACGTCGCGAGGACATGTCGAAGGGGGAGAGGGGCTCGGTCGGAAGCAGTACCGGTCCGAGCGGGGAGAGACTTTGTCTGCATGGCGAGTCCGAGTACGAGCCCTCGACAGGGTGCGTGGAGAAGAGGGTGGTCAAGCGGATTCGCGGACTTCACAGGGCTATTATAACATGTCGAAGATGGTAGATGGCTATATGGGAGACGTCAACAATTGCATACGACCAGTTTGTTGACGAAAATGGACGTGGGTGACCGTTACGTCACGCCTCCGCGTCATCTTCAGTCCCCCACCGGCGTCCCCACTCTACGGTGCAACACTATCGGCTGACAGAGTCTCTGCAGCATCTGATCACTACAGAATGCTAGTCTAACAGATGAACATTCACCAGCTCTCCTCGCCGCCTCGACCCTGCTCAAACATTTGCTCGACGTACGCAACCGCCTCTTCGCTGTCCAACGTCCCCGCTCCCTCCGTCGAAATACACCAAGCCAATGCCTCCCGGACGGATTTGGGCATGGCATTCGATGACCTGTATATCAGCCCTAATGATACCCCGCCACTGGAGCCAGCAAGAGAGCGCTTGGCTTACCCGCATATGTAGACATGCCCGCCGCTCTTAACAATCCAATCGCAGATCTTCTCCTTGTCCTCGCGGATCAGATCCTGGACGTAGACCTTCTCCGCGCCTTCTCTGCTCGCAGCGACCCGGACACTTGCGCCGAGGTTGCGGTACTGCTCCCATTCGGCCGCAAAGTACTGATCGGCACTCAAAGACCGACAGCCAAAGTACAGCGTGGTATCTATTCCGTTAGCTCCCGCTCCAACGTATCCGGGCGGCGACGATCAGTATCGTGACCCGCCGGCAGCAGAACAGTTCTGTCTAGCTCGATGACGAAGATCTCTTCGGGTCGGTTGGGCGGCACACAAGGCGGGGCCACTCACTGCTTGCCGCGCCCTGTCGGACCCTTTCCTCCAGGAACGCCCGCATCGGCGCCACACCAGTTCCTGGCCCCACCAGAATGACGGGCGTCGACGGATCGGTCGGCAGATGGAGAGTCGGCGCAGAGATCTTGATGGGTATCCGAGCGCCAACGGGGAGATCTTGCAGCCATGAGGAGCATAGTCCTCGTCGTGGGATCTTGAGATTCGTCTTGTACTCGACCATGGCGATGAGCAGCTGGGCCCTTCCCGGATGCGCCTAAAAAGTCAGCTCAAGTTCGTATTCCTTCCAATGAAAAGGATGATGCGTACGCTTGAGCTACTGGCTATACTGAATTGCCGCCGCCGTAGGGGAGGCAGGATCTCGAGAATATGCGATAAGGGTATTCGGACTTCGCGAAAGTCGGCTAGTGTCTCGACAATCGACCGACTGGGTCGGGTGGCGTAAGTATGGATCTCATCCTACATGTGAGCTATGTTGCCTGTCTCGCATGAAAATCCTCGCGTCAGCTTACCGGATCAGAGATAAATTCATCTAGCCGTTCCTGTTCCCGTTCATCCCCACTCAGCCGCCTCAACCACTCAAAGAAGCTCTTCCGGGGAGACGCTCGAAGGTCAAGGTGATTGGTGAGTAGACGTCGAAGTGTAGTTGTATGGCCAGAAGGAGGCAGATGCGAGGGCATAGGCTGATCGGGCAGCGCTGAGCGGATCGAGACCGGACGATCGGCGATGTCGACCAGCGCTTGGCCGGCCAGAAACGCGTCCACCTCTTCAGTGCTCATCGCCGGCTGTAGGTTGGCTATCGAGGCAGGGAGGTATTCAGCTCTGATCATGTCAGCGTGGTCCCGAAACAAGTAGAATTAAGGACAACGTACTCCGTGGAACCTTCGAGTTCCAGCTCCAGCTCCCTCACGTCCTGCCACCACCCCTCCGCCGTGACCCTCTCCTTTCGCTGCAATGTCGCCCAGACCCAATCGTCCGGCTTGAGCACCTCGTGCGCTTGTCCTCGTGTCGCATCCTCCACCCTGACGGGTGCGATTGACCCCTCGACTCCCTCTTTATCCCCATTTGACCCGCCATTCCGTTTCGGTCGACCCTCCTCATCCAGACTCAATCTCGCCAGCTGAGTCGGATCCGTCTCGTCGTCCAGGAGACTCATCCGGTATATAGGCTCCGAGAGATCAGTCCGCTCCGTATTCGCATGCTTTGGTACAGGCAATAGATGGGGTATGACCCCCTCCATCAAGCTCTCCAGCCAGGGGACGAAAGCCTGCTCCATACCATCTGGGGCTCTTTCGTCTCCGTACGTAGCTTCGAGGACTGGCTCTGCGCCGAGGGCGACAAGGCGGCGATGTAGTAGCTTGCCAGCGTAAGCGAAACGCTCGTAGGAAGAGTCACCCAAGCCGAAGAGAGCGAAATTGACGCCTGAGTGTCAGCTCTTGCTCATCCAGCTATGACGATGGGATGGAATCATCCTAGCTCACCTTCCAAGATGTCGGGCGGTAGGGACTTTCGTAAGAGAGCAGTCCAGAGGGGAAGCATTGTCGGTGGTGGGTCTCCTCGGCCGTGAGTTGAGGTAATGAAGACCACCAGAGGCACGTGTGGCAGCTCCATCTGCGAGATTAGTATTCGTAGTCATACATTTCCAGATGCCCGCAAGAAGAGAGCTGGGAGAACGCACCACATCATAACGATCCATACTCTGAACAACACATCTCCTCCCCCTCCTTCGTACTTCCCTCCCCACTCGCTCCGCTGTATCCTGCGAAGCCCCCGTTTCCGACGCATACAGAATCAGGAGGTGGTCGATATACTCATCGTCTAGGGTGTGAGACGAGGAGGATGCTATTGGGGATGCCATGGTCTGATATGAGCGAAGGCAAGAGAAGATAAGTAGAGATCGAGTTGAGCTTTGAGGACTTTTGGGTGTGGTGCTCCACAGAGTGGAGGTTGGGCGAGGAACGGTCACAGCTTGACTCTGGACCGCTTCGAGGTGTTGTACATCTCGCTTGCCTGACTAGGTGACTCCCTAGGTGATACAGAAGGACCGCAAGCGACCATCTACGATCATAACCGAACCGACATCTCGCCCCAGGGACTGCCCGACCGCTTTGTATAATCGCAACATGGTAGACCTCTTCCAGCTCCCTGTTGAGCGATACTCACCAAAAGACAAGCAGAGGTAAGACTCCTCCACACCCTAAAGGCGCAGCTGATAGGTACAGCTTCGCGTGAGAAACTTCTGATACTGGAAAAGATACTCCTACTGACCTACTGATAGCTATACTACTGTCGTCAAAAGGTACGCAGCAGACTAATACAAGGCCATACCGGCTCAATAGCTGACCAGCAGATGGCCAGTGATCATCACTAGCATCGTCTCAACAGTAACAAACCGTCTTCATACGCTCTCCACGTCTGGCAGTGCCGACGATAGCGAGACCAAAGACAGTATCAAGGAGGGGAAGGAGATCGTCGCCAAGCTGTCGGCACTCAAACATGAGATGGGCAAGAACGCGGTCTTGTCGTAAGTCCCTGCCCAGTAGATCTCTAAGTCATAACACAGCTGACGTATCAGTCCAGTAGAGCAAGATGGCGGGGGCAATATAGCTTGTTACAATGACGAGCTGGCAGCTTTGCCCGAGGACGACAAACGCTGGTTTACAATGAACTGGCTGTTTGCGGAATGCTACCTGTCAGTCTTTGCGGACTGCTTTCAAATCATGAGGAGAAGAGCAATAGCTGATGGTCAGTTATCGGAGAGTACGCACATTCTTTGCGCTCACTCAGCAATGGAAAGAGTATGATCCGTTCTTCGATTCCAAGGCGGAGACGTACCGCTCGAGCTCATTGGCGATATTGCGTGAGCCTGCTCGTTTGACACAATAGAAACGCCGGCTGATTGCCCATCAGATCTGGCCAAAGCTCTGCATGCTATGGTAGATCAGCCGGAACTCAGCAAGGACTTCGAACAGCCTGGATCCCCTTTGGAGATTGCCTTTCTGTATGTAACCTTATTCCGTTCGCGCCTTCGGGACCCGGGTCGGGGTCGAGACGGCCACCTCGGACCACAGTTCCCAGGACCGGCGCTGGCGCTGGCGCTAGTGCAGACGATGAGGAAGACGATGAAGATGATGAGTACGATGATCATGTAGCTGATGAGCCAGGGAGATGGTCCAAGCAGATCTCTGGGGCAACGCGACAGTAAGCTACCTACTATTGTCGATAGCGACGGAGTTCCGCCAGCTGATTCTATAGGACCTCTCACTCCTGGTCGACCTAAAGTATGAGGACCTGCAGAAGCTCCAAGCGGTCGGCGCGGAAGCACAGGCAGAGCAGGCCAAAATGATCCTTCGGAATGACCTTCCGAAGGTCTGGGCGCATTTGAAGGGACTGAAGGGCGGCCAAGTTGACATCGTGCTCGACAACGGTGTGTTTGGGCTTCCATTGGCCGTGTAGCCAGGAGAGCGTGGCTGATACCCCTCAGCTGGATTCGAGCTGTACACTGACCTCATCTTGGCGGACTTTCTGGTCTCATGTACTCCTTTCGTCTCGACAGTAGTCTTCCAGTAAGTTCACTGCTCACAGCCGTCGGTCCGAAAGCTGACATTCCAAGCCCAAAAGCCATCCCCTGGTTCGTCTCGGACGTCCTCCCCTTTGACTTCACATGGGCCATCACCTCCCTCTCCGATGCCTCCTTTTTCCCTTCTCTCGCCCTCGAGCAGATCACCGACCTTGCCCGCCTTTCTGAGCGATGGCAATCCCACCTCAAAAGCGGCGTCTTCAAGCTCTCCGTCCCTACCGCCACACCCCTCGGAGCGGACACCACAGAAGGCGGATTCTGGACAACGCAGCATGCGTTCCAAGATATGCCGGCTGTTGATCCAGGATTGGTGGAGACGCTCGCACAGAGCGGACTGGTCATCTTCAAGGGGGATCTGAATTATCGAAAGTCAGTCGTGGACTCTCCCTACTGACTGAGGTGCTCGTCAGCTCACGGGTGCAGACTGATCGGTGATGCCAAGTGGCCAGCTACTACGCCGTTCACAGAGGCCTTAGGTGAGCTACCCCTTGGATGGAAGACTTGCGGAGCCTAAGCTGAATGAGCAGGACCGTTGGCGGGAAGATTCCCCCTCTTGAGTCTGCGAACAAACAAAGCCGATACCATGCGAGTCTTCTGCGTTGATCCCGCTTGTCTTGAGCTGACTTGGTTAGATGCGGCCTCGCGGAAGGGGTCGAAGCTGAAATAGGGGCAAAGTCACCGGACTGGAGGGTATCAGGAAAGTGAGTCAGTCAACGCTTCCAAGGCTCGACCCAAGCCCACATCCCTATCCGCTTGGTGAAATCTCCGTTCCGGAGGTGCTTGACACACCGAGAATGCGCGGGGCTTGGGACGCGCCTGGACGCTTCCGATCGAGTGGAGGGGGATCTCGCTGACTAGTTCAACAGATACGCCGTCGTATCTTTCTGCCTCAAAGACTAGATACTAGACCTCTATGCAATGAAGCAGGACTTCCAGGACCCAGACCACCTGTCATAGCGCCTCAATCACCCCGCCATCGCCCATACGAATTATTTGCCGGCGGAGAGAAGTCGGGGGGATCTCTTCATGTCAGACAGATGACATCATCCCAACCTCCCGCGGCCGCTCTACAGTGTCGCCGCTCTGAAACCTTATCCGTTTTTGCAAGTACTGTAAATCTTCCTTCACACCTCGTTATATCCCGCAAGGGCACTTGTCCAAAGCCTTCCGTCAACGATACAGCAGGAGAGGCCACAACGGGCCCATTTGCCACTGTCCCATCAAGAAAGAAAACGGCCCAGTCGCTTCTCACCGCTTGAACACGAGGCGGTACACCTCGAAAACGTGTCCAGCAGGGACAATTGCCGGACACCCCATCAGCTGCAAGCCTTCATCGCCTTATCTCCATCCTCGACCCTCTTCGTTTGCCAGTCTACCTATCACACTTCATCTCGAGGGTCTGTCATCTACCGGAACGCAGCTTCCTCTCAAAGCTGTGCCCCCTCCGCCTGCGCATCTTCGGGACACACACCCGTCCCTGACTTGCTGGTACTGCTTACGGGCCGCACCTGAAACCTTCCTTCCCATACTTCGTCACACCAAGGCCGGGCGCCTTGCAGTCAGCATCTGTCTGCCTGGAATCCTCGCCAGTACGGAGAATAGGAGGTCGCATCCGTGCATAGTACGGTGATGTCGGCCACGCCCGCCCAAAACGGGACACCTGGGAACTCTAGAGCAGTGAGCCGTCGTCACTATGTTGCTCTGGATGGCTGACACTCTCGGTGGACGGCTCGATGGAGCGATAGCTGACGCCCCCGCAGATACGTCGGAAACTGGTCATCGTTGGAGATGGAGCTGCAGGAAAGACTTCACTGCTGAATGTCTTTGCCGTCGGGCACTTCCCAGAAGCATATGTAAGTACCCATGAGCGCTCTCTGCCTCCACGAGACCACCAAAGGAGAGGAACGAGCTGGGAGCTGATTATGACAGGAACCAACAGTGTTCGATAATTATGTGACGGAGATCGAGCTGGACGGGAAGCCTATCCAGCTGGCCTTGTGGGATACAGCGTGAGCTTCAAGATCCATGTTGTCGAATCACAGGGACCAAAGCTGATTACAATAGAGGTCAAGAAGAATACGAGCGACTACGTCCATTGTCATACTCCAAAGCCCATGTCATCCTTATCGCATTCTCGGTGGATACGCCCGACTCGCTTGATAATGTCACACAAAAGGTCAGCTCGTTCTCGCATCGATGTCTGTGTGATTCAAGCTGACTCATGAAGTGGATAGAAGAGGTGCGGTCGATTTGCGGGAGGGCTATCCCAGTGATCTTGGTCGCCTGCAAGACGGATCTGAGGGATAAGGCGATGGGGAATGGGACGTTCAGCGTGGACAACTTCATAGACAGGGATACTGTGAGTACCGACTTGTGCCATAATGATGCTTCTCACCGTGAGCTGGTGTAGACCGAGGCTGATTCTTTAGGGCCAAAAAGTCGCCAACTCCATCGGCGCCAAAGCCTACTTTGAAACCTCCGCCCTCAACAACCAAGGGGTCGACCAAGTCTTCGAAGCTGCAACCCGCGCAGCCGTTCTCACCCGAGACGCAGGCCATGGGGGTGTAGGCGCCGCATACGACCGAGACGGCATAGAGAAGCGGGACAGTCATCAGGGGAAGAAGAAGAAGGGGAGTGGAGTGGGGGGATGCTGTATCATCGCTTGATCAAGCGGAGGCTTATCGGAAGAGCGGAAAAGGAGACGAGCGAGCGGAGATCTCAGGAGTAGGAGATCATCACCATAGACGAACCACGACCCACTAATTCCCCGACCATGACTGCGACGTAGATGCTATACTTTCCGCTCCTTTTGCTCTTGTAGAGATGTATACACGGCTCTGTTCCGCTAGAATGCCCGCAGGTCGGCGTAGACGATCAGGCGGGTGGCTGGCCTGCTGGGGTGGCGATTACAAAAGCAGCCGCGGTCGGTAATTAACCAATTAGTAATGAAATCGCCGGAAGGGGCAATATTGAAAAGGAATCCTGCTGGGCTGACTAGTGTCGTCATTCCCCCACTCGTAAGCCCACCCATGCCATGGGCAGGAGATCTCACCTCTCCTTTGTCCATCTCACACAGCACAAACACACCCAGAACCTCCAATACAGAAGCAGCATCTCTTCACTCATCACCTGTAGCCCTCCCATACACCGTAGCCGTGCAGTCACCCAAGCCCTGGTTAAGCTCTATGACCTAGAGTGTGAGTAGCTTGTCTATCCGGCCCAGAGCGAGGATCAGCCGCTGACTTCTCCAGCCATCATAGCAGAAGCGAGTCTCGATCTCCCAGCTTTATCTATCCTCTAAGATGTCGGACATCACACTCTTCCCCCCAACCCATATCCTCACCAATCACTCGCACCAAATCTACCACCATTCCCCACCGCCACTACCTCAATCCTCCAGTGGGCCCTACTTTGGCGGGCTGGAAACGGAGCGGATCGCTCGACTCGCTCCCCTCATCGAGCCGGGACTCCCCTGTCCGATGATAAGAGGAGGGATGAGCGGGACGCACACTCCCTCGCGTCAGACTACAACGGTCCTACGTTCGCCATACGTTCCTCCTATGCGGCGGCATCCAGTCCCAGCCCGGCCGGCACGACCCCCTTTGGACGGTTCCAGCCCCTTCATGGACCTCCCTGACGAGCTCCTCCTAGAGTGCCTGGGCCACCTTCGGTTGCCGGACCTTCTCCGCCTCCGCCGCACTTGTAGCCGCTTCAGCCAGCTTGCACTGCACAGGAGTCTACACCGGTCTCTCTGCCTCACTGAGGTCCCGCTTTCCCCACTCCCCCGGCTGTTGACAGGCCACATCCTCCCAAGCGTTCGAGACCTCCGTCTTCAGCTCCTCCCCTTACCTACTCCCTCCCCCCTCACCTCGTCATTCTTCGGCTCGTCCAGCCGCAAACAGCCAACTCGGCGGATCCTAGACCTCCTCGATGCCATCCCGGCGGATCAGCTCGTCTACCTTTCATTCACACACTCCACTTCATTCCTCTCCTCCACTGAGCTAGGGACTCTTCTCACTCGCATCGGCGGCAAGTTAGAGTCGCTCGACATTAGCGGGAGCGCCATCGAGGGATCAGACTACCTTGAGTGGCTCGAGACCCTCGGATTGCGGAACCGTTTCGGCGGCCTCAGAGATCTCAACATTGGCTTTACAGGCATCACTGCCCTCCCTTTCCTCGGCGCCTCTGGCTCGACTGGTCAATCGGACCTTTCCGCCTATCCCCTCGCACAGGATCCCGTCCCCCCCTCGACGTGCTGGAACGCGCTGCGGACCCTCTCACTCTCGCACTGCACGTTCCTGTCCAGGACTGTACTTCAAACCTTCCTCGCTGCCCTTCCGGCCAATATCGAGTCGCTCGATCTCACGCGCCTAGATAGAGTCTCTCACGAGGCTTTGATGGGACTCCGGGTCGTCGTTCACCCTGGTGACGATGCGGACGCGGATGCCAAGGCGGAGCCCACCAGGCTTACCTCCATCAAGCTGACCGGTATCGACCATCTCACCAAGTCGGATATTCGTCGGGCCAAGTGCTGCTGGGAAGCCCAGCGCCGCGTACTCGTCTCGGACCCCGCCACACCTCCCCTCCCCGTGTCCTCGGAACAACAAGGCGCAAGGCGGAGGGTATGGGGCGAGCCTGCCACCCCGGAGCCTCTCCCTATCCCTCCCGTATCCCTTCCTCGCCGCATCCCCTCTATCCCAGCTCCCATCAACGGCGGAACAGCTTCGTACAGCTGGACCTCCCTATCCGCCGGTCCACCCTCACTGAGCTCCAGTAGCTCCAGCGGGACGTCGGCCGCCTCTTCCGCCGGACCCGTCTCGTTCTCCCGCGCCTCAGCAATGCCCGAGCACGCCGCGCTCTGGGCCGCCCTGCAGCGCGATAGCGATGAAGGGATGGTGGCCAGTCCGGGCGTCTGGCGTTCCAAACTCCCTTCAAACCCTTATCTCCCCTCCCGGTCGCACCCTAGACCTCGACCCAACCCCCTCTCCCTCGAGAGCGGAGGCGGAGCTGTGACTTGGACCAGTCCCTCTCCTCTCCCGCCAAGGAGGCGGATGAGCCCGCCATCACTCTGGGAAGGGACCACGGACGTGGAAGCGCGTATACGGATCAATATCACCCACTCGGCGATCCTCGAGAGCGAGACCATCGAGGGGTACAGGAAGTTTGTGTGGGAACGGACAGGCTCAGGCGCAGATATCGCCATGCCTAGTGCGGATCTTGGATCGGGGCTGGGGCTGGGGATGGGCGTGAGCGTGCTGGATGTGGAACAGGACATGCCTGGTTTGGGGCTAGGATTGGGGATTGGGCTGTTTGGGGGTGGACTCGGCGGGTGGGGAGGGGACGGGGGGTCTATCGGGGGATATGCGGACGAGGGGGAGGCGTATCTTCAAGAATCAGCTTTCGGGCCTTGAGCTTGAGGCCTTGAGGACAGATGTAGCGGTAGAGGACGGACTATTTGTAGTGTTATTGTCGATCATACCCATAGTGGCTGTTGTTAGATAGAGTATCTCATAGTGTTTGCTTGTTTGTATTCTGGGCGGCTTTGTCATAGCTAGACGGACCAATGCAGTTGTAGCGGTAAGTAGGGAGATCATGCAAGGATTGACTCGTGCAGTAGTTTCGATTCTCCAGTCGCTCCCTCAGTATCATTACCCAAGGGAAAATCGATAATCAACATCTCTCTGGATCTTTGCTTTTTCGCCGAAAGATACATCGAGAGGCTTGTGATTCAAAACGATCGTGCAGCTGGATCAATTAAGCTCACACAGGCACCACAGAAATCCGTTCATTCATACACAGTTCGTACTCTGAGATCTGGGATAACGCAAAGAAGAAATCTGAGAAGGGGAAGGAGGGGAAGAAAGCTAGCTAGACCTGCCTAAATGTGTGTCTTTTATGGTTTGAGTTGGGGTTTCGAGTAGAATGAGGGGAAAGGGATAGGAGTCGCGTAGATTCTCCTCCAATCAATGCTGCCACCCCGCATACCCGTTCCTGCCGCCTCCACCGCCACCACCGCCGTACCCGCCGTACCCACCCCATCCACCTTCCGCACCGCCTCCACCGCCGGCGTATCCCCCGTACCCGCCGTACCCGCCGTACCCCTGGCCTTGCTGCTGCTGCTGCTGTTGCTGCTGCTGTTGAGCCTGGGCTTGGAGAGCCGCAGCGTGCGCCTGAGCCTGCTGCGGGGTCTGACCCTGACCCTGGCCCTGCTGGCCTTGGCCTTGAGCTGGAGCCTGGGTCGAGGCGGGCCGAGCGGCCGAAACGCCCTTGTAGCCGCCTGCACCGGCGCCGGTCGAGTCGTCGTTACCGGGTGTAGAGGCCTGGTTCCGGCCCCACTGGGACGCAGCGTACGCATTGGCAGCGTTGCCCACCTGACCTTGCTGCGCCGCCGAAGATCCATAACCGCCGAAAGCGGGTTGCTGGGCATTCGCGCCGCTCGCAACGCCCGCACCAGACTTGTCGCCGAAACGACTCAGCGAGAAGTCGTCGTAGGTCGAGGAAGGGTAGCTTGAGGGTGCGCCGTATGGGGATTGCGCGTGCTGTTGGTGTTGCTGCACTTGAGCGGGCTTGGCGGGGGAGGGCGCACCAGGACCGGGAGCGCCGGGTCCACCGGGAGCGGGGGCGGGCTGGCCGTACATCTGACGCTGGCCGAGAGGGTAGTACTGCTGGAACGAAGGCGTAGGGGCTTGGCCATCTTATAATTAGCGACAGTCCACATCTGTGAGCTCAGATGGACTCACATTGGTAGTACGGGTTGTATGGCGCGTTCTGGTAGTATCCCATGTTGGAGTAGTACCCGCCCTGCTGCTGCTGGTGTTGCTGCTGCTGAGGGATCTGCGAAGGCGCAGGGGCGGCCGGGGTGTGGGTCTGCGGCGGCTGAGCAGCCTGCTTGGGTTCCTCGGCTTGCGGCCGGGGGTAGCCGCCCGAACCGTACGACTCATATGCCTACAACCGTCAGCTTAGGCCTTTCACGAATGAAACATTCACGGGAGCTACTCACGCGCTGAGCGTACTCATTGCCCTGGTGCTGTCCAGCGCCCTGACCAAAGAGGTGGCTTCCGCCGAACGCGTTCGCACCGCCAGCCGCAGCGCCAAAGGGCTCGTATGGGCTTTGGCTCGGTGCGGGCGCCTGCTCCTGCTGAGCCTGCTGGGGCTGCAATTGCTGCGGCGTGGGCTGGGGAAGCGAGCCGTACTGGTCGAACCCACGGAACCCAGCATACCCCTGCTGAGGTTGCGCCTGGGTCTGCTCCTGCTGGGTGTGGGCAGGTTGCTGTTGCTGCTGGGCATACTGCGACTGGTATGCAGCCATCTGCGCCTGCAGTGTCTGCTGGTTTGACTGGTATCCGCCAGCAGCGGGAGCGGCGGGTTGTGCTGGGGCTTGTGCCGGAGCAGGGGCCTGAGCCTGATTTTGCGCCTGGTATGGGTGGTATGGGCTCTGCGAGTGGACTGGGGCCTGTGCAGGGGGCTGCGACACCGGTTGGCGGATCGGGCTGGTGATTTGCTGCGGCTGCTGCTGGTGAGCGGGAGCAGAGAACTCCTGCTTCGAGTCCTGCGGCGACAAGGGAGCAAGGGGGGCTTCCACGCCGTCACCGTTCAGACCGCCAAAGCTGAGACTGCCGAACTGCACCTCCATGCTGGATGTAGCCCGGTCAAGCGCGGGAGGAAGCACGACGCCCTGTCCGTCCGAATTCTTGAACCGGTGGGCGGCGCGCGAGTTGGTGCGTTGAGCGTTGGAGATGGAGGCGTGCGAGGGGATGGCCGTGGGAGCAGCGGCGGGGGCGGCGGATGTAAGGGGAGGTTGGGCGGATTTCGAAGGGAGGTTGTTGAAGCCTGGAGGGCCAGTGTAGGTCGTGACGGGTTCCGGCTCCCTTGCTGGGGGTGAGAGTGCAGCGGGCTGAGAAGAGGCCCATTCTGGCTGAGCACCAGCGCCGGCACCGGCGATAGCGGGATCCGATGTCCAGTCTTCCTCTTCTGCTGGAGCTGACTCCTGCACTTCGGGCTCTTCCGGAGCAGCCTCCTCCACGGGTGCTTCCTCCTCGACAGGTGTATCTTCCACCTCTGGCTCAGCTTCGACCGGCACTTCGGCTTCGGGCGCGACCTCCTCGGCGGTCTCCTCCTCGTCGAGTGGTGGCTCGGGAGCTGTGGTGACTGGCTCCGCGGCCGCTGGCTTTGGTTGGGCGACAGGTGCGGGGGCTGGCTTTGGCTTTTCGACCGGCCTGAACATCAGCTACGACCTCTGCAATACGGCGAAAATCAAAGGCAAAGCTCACTTTGCGATTTGAGCCCATGTCATCTTTGGCTTGGCCTGGGGTGTCTGACCCGCCTTGACCGCATCCGCTGCGCCCTTCAGTTCCTTGGCAGACGGAGCATCCCCGAGCCCATTGACAGGCATGAAGTCCGCCTTGGGCGCCGCAGCTGGCTCGTCTCCCCAACCACCATCATCCGCGTTGGCCTTGGCAGGTGCAGCAGCTGAGACAGCGGCAGCAGGAGCGGCAGGGGCCTCATCGCCCCAGCCCCCGTCGTCGCCGGTGGCAGGTGCAGCGGCAGTCTCAGTGCCCCAACCCCCATCATCGCCGTTGGTCTTTGTGGCTTCCTGGACTTGAGTCGCCCAGCCGTCGGTCGTAGTAGCGGTGTTGGTGACTCCGGAGCTGCCGTTCGCGTAGTCTCCGGATGAGCCGTTTGCGTAGCCGCCTCGACCGCCTCGGGAACCGCCTCGGCCACCTCGGAATGGCTCTGAGCAAAGTCAGCTCAGGCTCTTTTGCACGTCACCGCCAAGACGGGACGAGACAAGCTCACCTCCACCACGTCCACCGCGACCTCCGCGTCCTCCCCTACCGCCTCGACCGCCCCTGCCGCCCTTGAACTCGCCATCACCTCCATTGACCGCCTCCCATCCACCCGTATCAGCATTCCTGTTCGAGTGCCTCTGGGTCGATTCCTTGGGTTTGGCGGCCTTCTTCCGGCTCGTGGCTTGGGTGAATTGGGCAGCACGACCTTGACGTGATCAGCATAGCCCTTCCTTCTTGAGATGAACGGCCCACCTTCAGTGATCATCATAGCTGCCTCGTCCACATTTCCTCTCGCATCTTGGAGCGTGAATGCCAGGTCTGATTCGTCCCATGATGGGAAGATTGCCTGGAGCTGCCCCAGCTGTTCCGAGTACTTGCTGGCGAGTTCGTCGACTGATGCCATAATGGGTAGGGATTGGGGGGGAGGTTGGAAGGGTGGGAAAAAAGCGATTGATTCGTCGCCTTTGATGTCTGTACTATGCACGTCTAGCGTGTAGTATAGGAGTGTGATTTGTATGTGATGAGTAGGGTATAGAAGGTTGAGAGAGGCACAATGAGAAGGTGTCCAAAGTCAGTTCAGGTCAAGATTCCTTGCCGGACTGGACTAAATTTGATCCCGCCTCTTGGTCGAGTGGCGTGATCTGGCCCTTATCAAAATGGGCCCTCTCGTCATTCTTTAACGCCACGTCACTCGACACCCCGGATTTTTTGCGCTCTCAGCCACAGCCAAGGTCCATCTCGTGCAGCTTTGCACCTCGAATCCATCTCTACCATACCTCCAGCTCTACCTCTGTACACCATGTCTACCGTAGCAGGCCTCCAGGCCATCGCGCCAGTCCCAAATGCGGCGGACTTTATCGATGCCGTCCTCAACGCGACCATGCGAAAGACCCCGACGCAGATTCACAAGAACGTGAGCTATCCCCTGGGCCGCCGTTGCGATGGACCGGACCGAGCTGACTATGCCAGTTCAAGATCTCGCGTATCAGGCGATGTAAGCTGACGGCGACTCTCATCCTATGTGCAACAACTGACATCTAGTCTACATGCGAAAGGTCAAATTCACCCAGGACACCTTTGACGAGAAGCTCGGTCGGATCATCTCCGAGTTCCCAGTTCTCGACGTATGTCTTTGCTGTCCATCGCCTGACCTCACGCTGATCATCAGAACCTCCACCCCTTCCTCTCTTCCCTCCTTAACGTTCTGTACGACAAGAACCACTACAAGCTCGCCCTCGGCCAGCTCAATACCTGCCGCCACCTCATCTCCCAGGTCGCCAAGGACTACTGCCGTCTCCTCAAATTCGGTGACTCGCTGTACCGATGCAAGCAGCTCAAGCGGGCCGCCCTTGGTCGTATGGCGACCATCATGAAGCGTCAGAAGGACCCATTGGCGTACCTCGAGCAGGTTAGACAGCACATTTCGCGTCTGCCCGCGATCGACCCCAACACCCGCACGCTCTTGATCTGCGGCTACCCCAACGTCGGGAAGAGTTCGTTCGTCAATAAGATCACTAGGGCCGATGTCGATGTTCAGCCCGTGAGCTCTATCGTCCATCAATCCTTGCGGCAGTGAGCTGACCCCTCAGTACGCCTTCACCACCAAATCCCTTTTCGTCGGCCACATGGACTACAAGTATCTCCGATGGCAGGTCATTGACACTCCCGGTGTGCTCGATCACCCTCTCGAGGAGATGAACACCATTGAGATGCAGTCGATCACTGCGCTCGCCCATCTCCGCAGTGCCGTCATGTACTTTATGGACTTGTCGGAGCAGTGTGGCTACTCTGTTGAAGCTCAGGTACGCCTCTTGCTCCTTTCCCTCCAAACCACAGCTGACATCCCAGTGCAAGCTCTTCCACTCGATCAAGCCCCTCTTCCAAAACAAGCCCGTCATCCTCGTCATCAACAAGATCGACATTGTTCGCCTTTCCGACCTGTCGGAGGAGAACCGGGCCTACATCGATTCCATCACCTCCGATTCGACCGTCACCGTCGTCGAAGCCTCCACCTACTCTGAAGAGGGTGTCATGAACGTCCGCAACACCGCCTGCGACGCTCTTCTCGCACACCGTGTCGAGCAAAAGATGCGCGGAAACCGGATCGAGGCGATCGCCAACAAGGTGTACGTGGCGATGCCGGCGAAGCGGGACGAGGTTGACCGGGCGCCGTTCATCCCGGATGCAGTCAAGGCGAGGGAGAAGTACAACAAGGAGGATCCCGAGCGGCGGACGCTGGAGAGGGACGTCGAGCAGGGGATGATGCACGGCGAGGTCTTCTCTGCGGACTCGAGGAGTGAGTACAGCTCATTAAAGCGGTTGCGAGGTTAGAGCTGACTCTCAGAAAACTACATCCTTGCGGACGATTCTTGGAAGTACGACAAGATGCCAGAATTCTTCAACGGCAAGAACGTCGCGGACTTTATCGACCCGGATATCGAGGCCAAGCTGGAAGCTTTGGAGCGGGAAGAGGAGGCGCTCGAGGCGCAGGGCTTCTACGCGTCCGACGAGGAGGAGATTGTGAGTTACTGTGTACCTCGAGTTTGTCTGAAACTGACTTTTCAGCTCGACTCGGACGAAGAGGCCTTCCTGGATGCCGCTGCGCAGATCAAGTCCAAGGTGGCAGTCATCAAGCAGAGCTCGCAAGCCAAGAACCGGCTCCAAAACCGTCCCGTCATCCCCCGCAAGAAGCGCCACATCACCCTACAGGAGATGATGGCCGGTATGCGCAAAAACGGTGTCGACCCCTCCGTCATCGAAAAGCGGGCGAAGCGACTCATGGCGCAAAAGAAGGCCGAGTGGGAGGCGGCAGGCGGGGATGCGCAGATGGAGGACGGCGAGGGAGACGACGGGATGGATGTCGATATGGACGGCGGAGATGGCGCGTCGACGGCGACGGGCACGACGGCGGGTACGAAGCGGTCGGCGTTCAAGGGGCTGGGAGGCAAGGTGCAGAGGGGCAACAGGCAGCTCGCGGGTCTCAAGAACCGAGAGCAGGACCTCAAGGCCACGGAGCTTCGGAAGTTTGCCCAGAGAGAGCCAAACAGGTTGGCCAAGGCTTCCGAGTCGGATCGTCATATTCCAATCACGAGGCCGAGGTGGATGTTGGCCGGGAAGCGGAAGAATGGAAAGACGGATTACCGTTAGTCTGGCCTCTGGCTGCGGTGGTGTGGCGGTGTGGGGAGAGTTTCTGGGTCTCTTTGGGTAGATGTCTGTATGTGTACTTTTGTTGCTCCGGCGCTGGGACGCCGCATCTTGTGTATAGTACTAGCATCGCGATGGCATCTTATACCCTGCAGCCATCCTTTCCGTATCGGCAGAGCCCTTGAGCTGGGGTCGAGATCGCAGCCAAGAGCCAGGGATCGAGATCGTGCAACATCGCAAGAATCAAGCTTCAAGCTATTCGTTTGAGACTACCAACAGCTATGTACAGTGTCTGCGTGTTCGAACGGAAATACACAAGTAGGGTCGTGCTAGAATATTAGAGCTTTGCTATGCTACAGGTTACTTCATCATCACTCCCGTCCCCTATACCACACCGACCACTAAGCCCCCACGACCATGCCCGCCTCGCCATATATCTGCCTAAACACCCTCACGTTGAACCCCGCTATTCTCTCCATCCGCTTAACAAGCGCCCGCATATCCCCATACACCGGCTCGAGGCCATACAGCCTCGCAAGCCGCTTCTCCTCTGCGCGCTGTCGTTCCCTGACCGCGCGGGACTGCCGGCGGACCGCTGTCGAGTCGGTACGTTCCTTCTCTGGTCCGCCCTCGGCGACGCCGGCGGCGGCGGGGACAGAGTCGTCCTCGTCGTCGCTATCGGCCGAATAGCTCTTGATCCCCCGCATAGCCTTGCAAGCTTCAATACCCGCCACCCCCGCCCCGCCCGCACTCGCCTGAGCGACCGTCATCTCTCCTTCGAGCTTCAACATCTCGTGCGTGAGCATGACGCGCACGACCTCCTCGATCCGCTTGAACGAGTGCGCAAAGAGCGTCGAGTCGGGCCGAATGTGGGTGGTGATGTATTTGGAAAGCTGGTCGGCGAGGCGTTCGAGCTGGATGTGCTCGGCCGAAGTGTAAGGGAAGGAGGTGAGGTCCGAGGGTTCGAGCCGGAGGATACGGGCCGCGAGCTGAAGGGCGACTTCACCGTCTTGTTCCCCACCGCAGACAGGGTGGTTGGAGAGGATAAGGTCGAGGTCGTTTGAGATATCCTCGAGGTGTTTCCGGCTGGCTTTGGGGGAAAGGGAGGGGTGGATAGACGGGAGGATGTCCCGGCATGCGAGGATGAGAAGGTGGACGATTGTCATTTCGACAGCCTCAGCACTAGTACATCAGCTTCTAAGCTCACGATCGATGTCGGCATCAAAAGCTCACTGGAACGCGCTGATCCGCCTCACATCCATCCTCAGGCTCTCCGGCACACTATCCGCCGAACAAGCCTCGACTGCCATCCCATTCTTGGGGTTCAAGAATGCCTGCCACCTCCCGCCTGCCTTGCCCTCTCCCATCTTCCAGCCCTGATCGCCAAAGATGAGCGCAGTGAAGCCGTCCGCCGCAGACCGGAGCACGAGCTCGGTATTGTCGCCGAGGCGGCATGGGCAGTTGCCGACGAGGTGAGTGCGCTCGGCGGGTGATGCGCGGGCGACGACGCGGAGTGAGGAGGCGCGAACCCAGGCGCGGGTGGAGGATGAGGGGAGGAGGATGGAGGAGGAGGCGAGGAAGGCGTGGAATGCTGATAGCTCGTATTGTGTGGCGCAGGACCAGAGGTATGGACGAAGGGCATGGACTTGGTGGTTGGCAATATCCTAAAGATCAGCTTGATATCACTCCGGGTGATGCGAAAGGAAACTGACCAGCTTCATGATCTCCACGCAGTCAAAGCATTTTCTCAACCCCATAGCCACCCCTGATCCCGTAGCCGTCCTAACCATCTCATCCACCAGCCCATCCCTGATTGGCGCGCAGTGCACTTTCATCGCCTCGCCGAGCATCTCGAACAGCGAAAAGTCGAACGTCTGGCGTCGGACGCGTCGGGTGAGGAACTCGGGATCGAGTGCCTCGTATAGCTGCGGGACAAGTGCGTGGGTGACGGTAGGGCATGTGAGCTCGTGTAGGTCGAGCGCTTCGCGGGAGAAGGAGTGGGCAAAGTGGTTGGGACAGGGAGTGGTCGAGCCCATCAAGGAAATGAGGATCTCGCGGAGCGCTAAGTGGTCAGCTCCGCCTCGGTACATCGCGAGATGATGGAAACTTACTCTTGATCAGCTCGGGGAGACGGCTCTTCCACATCCTGCTCTGCTGGAAGGACCACCACTCATCCTCGTTAAGGTCCGATCGCCACTTGCCGCACACGCACTCCATCATCCTCTCCTTGCCCTTGATACTCTTGACGTCCACCTGCTGACCGACCGGGACCTGCCACCGGGTGCACCGACATCCCGTCGTGATCTCCATCTCGACGCTCTCCCAGTACATGTCCGTCACGGTACACGCTCCCCGTGCTACGGCCGCGACCGCCCCGCTCGACGAGGCCGGTTCTGCCGTAGCAGCGAGCTCCGTCCCTGTCGTGAGGGTCTCCGAGTACGTCGCTGCCGAGGATGCGTTGATCGGCCGGAAAGCGAGCGTGTCGAAGAGGAGATCATGACGGAGTTGTGGCTGTTTGAGTATCTCGTGGGCGTCGAGCGAGCGGAGGGTTTTGATGTTGATCGGTGGATGATGAGAAGCGACGACGATCTGCTCCCCTGGTCGACACCCGCCCTTGAGCGGACGCCCAGCCAAGAGTCGCGCGCCCAACTCTCGCGCCCGCGCTTGCTGCACCGAGAGCCTCTGCGGGTCCCGCAGGCGCTGAGCAAAGATCCGCGCGCTCTCCTCGGTAGGTGTAGGCGCGTCCCCCGCAACGCGCCGCCGCTTGTGAGACGTTATCGTGTAAGGGAGGGAGGAGGCGCGGAGTCGCCGCTTGCCCACTCTCGAGCTGGCGCTGGATCCGGTGGCGAGTCTGCCGGAGGTGGGGACGGGGAGAGGGGACGGCGCAGTGGACGGTATGGAGAGCGCGGGGGAGGGGGCAGTGGATGCTGACCGGTTCAGCGGTTCCGAGGTGAGTAGGGCTGAGCCGGGCGTTTCGAGGTAGATGTCTTCGGTGGGCGTAATGGGCGAGGAGGACATGGTCTCGTCGGTATCCCCTTCGGTGAGGAAGTGGGTCGAGGGGAGCCGGCTGCTGGATGCTATGCTGGAGGGGTTTACGGTGGCCTCGTCGTCTTTGGACTGCCAGGAAGCGGAGGACGATGCCCAGGTGCTGGACCCCGAGCTCTCGCCGTGCTTCTCGAGTGGCCATGGATGGTTCGACGTCTGTCCCGGGGGACTTTGTTGACTGGACGATGGACGGGGCATGGTCGATGAGGGAGCGATGGGATCCGAGGGATTGGAGGAGGAAGTGGGGCGCCCGCAGGCATCGTGATGCTGCATGGGCGAAGAGGAGGGGATGCGATTCTGGTCCATGATGATAATGATGAAGACCGAGCGTTACAAGCGAGGACGACGGTATTCAAGCCTAATTTATCAGCTTGGGCCTTCAAGCTCCGGCGACCGGAGGATGGGGGACACTCACAATATCCAATATCAGTCAAGCTGGATTAGATAGGGTGCAAGAGGAGATGGTCGATACCAAGGTAATGGGAAGTATAGAAGAGAGACGAAGTTGGCGAGAAGTCAAGAAGAGCTTGTTGATGAAAGTGTGGGTCGAGCGCTGAGACGAGGGTCAGCATTGGCTTCTATAGGCTGGGGCGTGTCTGATCGCTGAGCTCGGGCAAATCGGCCGAATGGGAGTGACAAGCCAGGAACGAGGATAGGACTGAGCTAAAGAAGCGAGAATACCCCAAGACCCCTGCCGGTGACCCGGTGTGGCCGAGCGAGACACAGGGGGAATGAGTTGTGAACGCATGGTCTCAGACCCGGCCAAAGGCGCATCATGCGGCTATGTCTGCCCTTTCCACCGCCTCGCTTCTCGCCCTCTCTCTCCCCTCCCCTCTGCCCTAGCTTTCGGACTTCGGTCATCCTCTCGCCCGAGCCGTGTGCACGCCTCCACATCCGTTCGATCACCCCCCGGCTAGCGTCTCAGCCGTCACCCCGTCCCCCAAAGGTACCCCAGGCACACAGCCGTCGCTCATCGCCCCCAGACCAACACAGCTGGAAAAGCGCAGAAGACGGGACGGGCCAAAGGGATGCGATGGACTCACGAGGGGTACCAGAGCCAAGCAGTCCGGTCCAGGGAGAAATCCAACAGTGTCAACTGAGAGGTCAGCTTATTCTCAATCGTCGCATGACCATGCGAGGGCGACCGTACTTGTGTGCAGAGGGTGGAAAGGCGGGGTCGGGATGCTCACCTGCTTCCAACGACGATCTCCTATGATACACACAACTCGTCGCCCTCGTCGGAATTGTATACTTCGGGAGGGACGCCTTGGCTTTCGGGCGCAGACGTGTAGCTGAGGGCGAAGTTACTTTGGCGCTATAAAAGTCAGGTACGGCTTGGTGGAATTGGGGTAAGAGGTCCGAGCACCGTCCCTCGCCCCTGGGAAAGGAGGTATGGTTGAGTTCGTACCTCGTTCCTCAATCGTTGGAGTTAGGCACCGTAGTCCGGCGATCTCGGCGAGGGTCTGGGATGGTCAGCACCTTGCTCGGTATCATATGCACGCATGAGTATAGGGTGGCGAAGGTAGTCAGCAATGATGCCGGAGCATCCGAAGGAGCGGGGACGAACAAGGTTCAAGGGGGTACGGAGCGGAATCGTGCAGGGGAAGCAGGCTCAAGGTGTGGGGTATAGTTGGTAAGGGGGTATAATGGAGGCGTGGGGTATATGGGAGACAAGGTATAGTAGAGTGATGGTTGACTAGCCGATGGATACTCAACAATCTCCTGCGCCTCCCGCCTCCGATCCGACCCCACACAGTCCAAACCCAGGATACACCCCGCCATCCTCGGTCCCGCCGCAAGTGCTAGACCCCCTTAAAGTGAGACAAGATGGCCAAGACGGAAACTTAAACGAGTGGGGGAAGAAACTGGACTGGCAGGAGGGCGGTGAGACAAGGGAGGTCATATAATGCGAAAGGGTGAATAGCTCGACCGAATTCGGATCCCCGAGTGTGACCATCGAGACCGCGACCAGCCCAGTCCTTCCAGTCCACAAGCACGCTCTCGCAAACAACGCTCAGTGGGCTGACTGTACTCACTTGATGCTCGAGGCCGCGAGAGATGAGGCCGTTGGGTGCGCAGTAGAGGGCGAGGTAGGAGCTGCAGGGTCAGCTCGAGTTGCGGGGTCGGGGCTGTGTGGAGGGGATGGCAATGTGAAGCAGGACTGGACTAGCTGATCGCCCTCAGACACCCACGTAGCCGAGCTCTAACCATACTCCGCCCTTCACCTTCAAGCTTCATAGCGCCCACAGCAGCTTTAACCTTCAATAACGCCATCTTGCCCCGCGCAGCAGCCTCCACTCGACCGTTCCGGCAAACCGGTAACCTTCATCCTCCTTTTTCTCCTCTCCCTCCGCTAGCCCCGCTAGCCCCTATTACGCTGAGCCAGGCAAGCGGCACATCGTAATAGTCGCGAACTTGACGAGAAGATGAGGTACTAGGGAGGGGTTCTCTCGATATAAGGGTGGGGGCCATGATTGGGTGATGTACGGAAGAGGAGAGAAGGGTAGATCTCACCTTCCTTGATATCGGCACTGGCTAGCGCGGATCTGGCCGGAGGCGGTGGTCGAGACGTCGATCAATGGATTTGGATCAAGCAGTAGCGACTGGGCATGGGGTGTGGGGAGCGTTCGAGCCTAGCCAAGACCTATATACCTGGGCAGCAAGGCATGCATAGGGGACTGAACGGCCACTTTGCGCACAGCTCTTACTCATACTGCACAGAAATCTTCGTCCGACCTCTCCACAAGCTCGGCGCCGGTCGTCTGACCCATTCCGAAGACCGCTCACTCTCGATCACCCATACGCCGAGTCCGTCCTTGTACGGTCCGTGACGCCGTGACGCCGCATGCAAAACTGTATCTCGTCGCGGGGAGAGAAAACAAGCTCTAGCTGCACAGGTTGATTCCCCGTCCGAGACCTTGAGCTTGAAAGCCTGTCAAAAGCTTTGACGTTTGCCGTCGGAGCACCCGCATGCTACCGTTTGCATGGCACGGGCTTGGTCGGGGGCCGAAGAGGAATACCTGTCCTCGGGGGCTTTTGAGCAGGCAAGGCATTGCAGATGACATGATGACCCGTGTCCAGGACGATCAGGATGTCTCAGATCTTAGATCCCCGGCTAGAGCATGATGTAAAGTCCGCCGTAACCGAACAAAAAGAAGGGAGACTCCGTCGATCGCTGACGAGTCCGAATGGGAATGTTCCGCATGGTATCGGACTTCCTCTCGGTGGCCGGTGGCCCCCGGTGGCTGATGACGCATGGGTAGCGCGGGTCCAGCGGCCGTATGGGCAAAGGAGATGGCAGATCTGGATCTGCGGCAGTGCGCGTCAGGCATGCGAGCAGTAGCTTGAGTGCCCCCTGACCTCGAACCTTACATGCAACCGCCGGTATGCCAGCTCACCACTGCTCAAAGTATAGTCACCGACCAGATACCCTGGCATAGGACCTAGCCCCAGGTATGAGCGATCGAAGATTGCCAATGCGGAGGTGAGATGATGACCAGGATAGAAGCGATGCGTTGGTGGCCATATCGACTTCGAGCAGATACCGCCTCACAGTCAAGCGGCTGACTCGATCACCTTGGAAGGACAGCCAATAATCCTTACCGGCCTCACCGCTCGTCGCCCTGCTTTGCGGCCGCTGCGTGGCTGCCGATGGGGTAAATGCTCATACACATCAGTTGTCTGATCATGCCGCTGTGCTTGCTGTACTCGCCTAAGTGGACGAGGCCGACCAAATCTTCGGCATATGCATGATCATTCTAGCTCAACTGACATCTATCCACATCACAAAGACAGGCTACCTGGGTATACTGACTCCGATAACTAACCGGGGTATATCTGACTCCGCTGACTTCTGCAACTACTGAACGTCCCTCCCTCGGTGACCTACACTCCTTAGTCCACCACGAATTCACCGGTACCGGAAATCGCCTGTCTTGTCCCGCACTTCTGCCTGCTCGGTAAGAGGCGGCAGGCTAGCTTGGGCCGCGCGGATGACGAGGCTGAGCACCTCGCCGCGCTCATCCGGTGCGAGGCGCAAAGCCATTGTAAGTGAGCTCGACATGTTCTCTGGGCGGCTGCAGTGCGCGTGGCGGTTGTTGTTGACTGGAGGAATGAGGGGACCTCCACGATCGACTTTGTTGGGAGTTTCTTGAACCCCAATGCCAGGGCAACCACGATGAGCCTGACAGCTTCGCCTCGAGCTTCAGATCCGCTTCCCTGTCCTCGCGCCTCTCCTTTCTCTCGGCCTTCTCCTTCTCTGCTTGCTCTCGTACCTTCACCCGCTCATCCTGCGCCTCCCTGGTTTTCTTGACAAAATCACTCGCCTCGCCTATCTCGAACAGATCAATCGTCGCCTCGTTTCTAGGCGGTAAGTTCCAGTGCTCCGGATCCTCTTGGTACAGGAGAGCGGACACGAGATCGCCCATGAGAGTTCCCTCATTGGCCTCTCCGATCGTGTGCTTGGCGTATAGCCATTTGGAGTGATCTTCCGGATCTGCACGCCGGGCCAATGATGACTGCACAGATTCTTTGACCGCCATCGTCGTCTTCCGGCCCAAGGTCGAAAACAAGCCTGCAGAAGCGAGCACCTTGGTGTTGAAGGTTGTGTCTGGCCCAAGTAGGAGTAAACCTAAGGATCCAGCAACGACCAGGGGGTTGTAGGTCTGGCTGTAGTCCCAAGCAGTCGACAGGACGGATGTGGCCGGATCATACCACTTTGTCGTCGAGGTCTGCGGTAGGTGTTTCACGACCGAGTTCGTGATGGACTGCCCTGCCTGCAAGGTGGCGAGACAAGGAGGATCAAAGTCGTATTCGGTGCCTCCCTTCTTTAGGATGTAGCATTCGTTGGCCTTGATGAGCTCCCACTGTATGGCGTCCGGGTTCTTCTCTTCTGACGTTGGCGTGGTAAATCGGGCAGTGATCTGTGTCGGGAGGATTTTGTGGTCGGCCTGGCATTTCGTTCGCCAAGTCAAGAGATTGCTCAATGTTCCAAGGGGTGCTTCAGTCTCCAACAGGAACCTCTCGGTCTCGGCTTCTGACGCCCTGGCCCTAGGGGATCCTCGATAGCGCCGGATGCTTCCCCTCAGCCCGGTTAATGTTTTACACAGGCTACTACATGCCGCCTGTGGATTGTCAGACTTGCAGAAGAAGGTAGTTTCCTCGGGGATTTGGAGGCGGAGTTGTCGGCTCAACGCGGCCTGAGCTTTCTTGTTTGAGGATCGTGACGGAGGCATTGTGGATAAGGGATGTACAAACAAGGTTTCTGTCTGCTAGTAGAGGGCTCTTGAGAGCCGAGAGTGTGCCAGGGAAGAGTCAGGTGGATGGGATGAGGGTCGTCGTGGTATAGTATAATAGGAGGGAGCGCGATGCTCGAGGTAGGGTCGCACGCGGGGAGGGGATACAGCGGATTATGGGGTGGCGTAAGTGGATGGTATTCTCGTGGAAGTCTGTAAGAATGGGTTGTGGCGCTCGTATGTAGGGGACGGATGAAGTATAGTGGTGAAAGGGGATATAGTAGGGACGGTCCAGTGCTTTGGTCTTTATGGAAAAAGCTAGAATACTCCAGGCGCTGGCTTTCCTTTCACCTACTTTACAAAGCCCCCTTGGGAACTCCCCAGCCCAAGGGATCGCTAGCACCCTACACGTACGACAAGCATGCTACGCGTTTCGAGCAACTGCCACAATGTCTCCGAGCCACCGCTCGCACCGCCACTTCAAAATTGCTCCTTTGGGACGATGAAACACCACCCGGAATCCTGGATTCCTCACGTTTTCAGGGGTGTCAACAAAGGTGAAGACGTCATGAGGCATGATCCGACCATCTCACCTTTGTACAATTGCCACCTAGCTCACCCTCGATCTGCCCCTCCTTACAGCGACCTGACGCACGTCCCAGCCTCGGCATAGCAGTCATGTCATTTGGAGGAACGCCCAACTGCGCAGTGTGTGGGAAAGCGGTGTACCACATGGAACAAGTTATCGGTCCGGGACGCAAGGTGAGTTGAGTGTTTCACACAGGTGTGTCTAGATGGTGCCTGACTGCTCTAGATCTATCACAAGGCTTGCTTGAAGTGCCAGCAATGCGGGAAGCGGCTCGATCAGGGGTCTGTGGTGGAGCATGATCTCTCGGTAAGCTATCGTCCGTTCCCGATACGCGCTCCTGTGGACGTCGACGCTGATCTCCAGCCCTATTGCACTAGATGTCATACTCAAACTTTCGGCACTCGAGATCTTCGACACGGAAACGTACATAACCCCAGCTCATCACCTCTTAATACACCGCGTGTCAAATCCCCTCCCTCTCCACCAATGCCTGCATCACCACGTCCTCTCCCCCGACCCCCTACGGCCATCACGGAGTTCTATACACCCCCTCGAATGGATGCACAGCGGTCAATACCGAACGATACACCAGTATCGACTCCTGATGCGAACACACCAATAACGCGACCGGACTTTAGGTCGAGTCGACCAATATCGGTACCATTTGCGGGTGGGACCAAGGCGCTGGATGAGCGGGGATTGCTGAGAAGAGCGGAGAGTCCGCGGAGCAAGGTTGGGGAGAAGATTATGGGGGAGGAGGCATGTGAGGGATGCCGGAAGAGGGTCTATGCGGCGGAGCAGGTTAACGCTATCGGAGCCAAGTGAGTTCAGCTGTCCCGTATATGCTCGTGGGACCACCGACCCAAAGCTGACGATTTCAGGTGGCATAGATGGTGCTTGAAATGTGCGACCTGCAAGAACACGGTCGACGCTAGTAAGGTATCAGATAAGGACGGTCAAGTGTACTGTAAGAATTGCTATGCCAAGGTAAGCAAGACGGGTTAGAGCGGGCCTCAGACATTATCTGATCGATCAGAACTTCGGACCTGGCGGGATTTTGGGGAAGAGATGATGGGTAGGGCAATGGCCCAGAGGCGGAGTTGTATCTTGCGGTATCTAACAAATTAAGTACGGCGGTATCTCAGAAGCAAAGTGTGCAGAGGGATTTGGAAGTGGAGCTGGTTCCACCAATGGGCTATCATCTTTTTTCGTCTGCCTGACTGTTTCTCAGCGCCGACAACTCATCCCCCGCCGCCCGTCCCTCTGCTCTTTCCTTCTCATCCAGCTTTTCTAGTCTCACCAGATTCCGTTTCTTGACGAGCAGACGGACTGTCCTCTCCTGCTCAAATTCGCTCAACTCGTGCCAGTTGGAGATGCGAGAGAGGGTCTGCTCGGTCAGCTAAATGTCCAGGACTGCCCGGGTTGGCGAACTTACTCCATCTGTATTGACTATCATAGGCCCTAGCCTGTCGAGCTTGACCACGTTCCCTGCTCCCAGATCCAGAGAGTGCACCTGCTCCGCCTCTGGTTGCTTCGTAGAGTCGGCTGACTTGTGTTCTATCGCTAGTGGTCGTGGGTTCGCGATGGGCTCGGGCGATTTTTGGTCGTTTTCATCAGGCGTCTGTTCTGGTATGGAGGAATCGGGCTGGTCCAACGGGGAAGGCATCTTGGTTATGGGGTAGTGTGGTGGATAAGGGAGAGATGAAGCACTAGTGCAAGAGCTCCCTGGTTGATGTACCGGAGACCACGTGCACGTGATTGCCATGACGTAAAGCGCGACGCGCTTCTGATTCGGGCGCGGACGCGACTGGCGCGAGGACTGACTTTCACTTTCTACCTCACTTTTGCTTGCGTTTACATCGCCCTTACTGTCGCACTTCTAGCATCATGCCCGCATTCCGCAAGCCCGATGCCAAGGTAGACAAGTTTGCCGCTCTGAAAGAAGCTCGAGCCAAGGGCGGTCGGTTGTCCCAATGGAAGGTGAGGCTTCATTCTTTGCCTCGAGACCGCAAGCTGATCACGATGCAGCCTAAGGACTCTGACTTGTACGATGAGGTACCGGACGAGCAGTACCGCGCGATCGTCGGCTCTAGACTAGATCAGGACGACTTCATCGAGGATGATGGTGTGGGCGGATATGTTGATAATGGGCAGGATGACTGGGATGAGGAGGATGAGGAGAGCGAGGATGAGGATGATTTTGAGGGGGAAGATGAGGAGCTGAGGAAAGGTGAGCTCGCATGACCTGCAAGCTGCAGGCGGAAAGCTGATAGCTTAGCGCGCAAGCTGAAGCGAGCGAAACTTCGGGCCAAGCTCGCTGCCAAACCCGCTGCGGCCAAGCCAAGAACCTCCTTGAACGACTATGCCCGACCAGCAGTAGCGTCCGGCTCGACCTACCGCCCCGCTCACTCGGCAGCGAAGGAGGACGACTTCATGGCCCAGCTCCTCTCCTCAGTCACCGCGTCGTCCAATGAAGCGGCTCGGAAGCGCAAATCATCCCCCGACTTCCCCAGCTCAGACCCTCACGAGCCCAGCTCGGATCACTCATTCTTTGGCGCCAAGAAACGCTATGGCCAGGAATCGGACGAGGAGGACTACTCCCGTCGGCGGTCAACGGTCGGGAAGAAGCCTCGGGTTTCGGAGGCGACTATCATGCCAGCTGACGAGAATGAGCCGGATTACGGGGACTACGGGGATTATGGCGGGATGGACGTGGATGAGCCGCCAGTCAAGGCGGAGGTACTGTCGGACGACGACGAGATCATGATTAAGCCAAAGACGGCACCGCTCGCTTCGGCCAAACTCAATGGACAGGCGGCACAACGTCGACGGGTGGTCAACTCCACATCGGTCAAACACGTCGAACCGAAACCCGAGCCTATCGTGGCCAAGGCCGAGCCGGAACTGACGCCTGTCAAACCGAGGTTTCCAATGGAGAAGAAGCCTCTCAACGGCGCGGCTCACTGGTCATCAGTGCAGGAGACGCTTGAGAAGCAGGTGAAATCGAGCGAGCTGGATGTGGTCAAGGCGCCGACCGGGTCGGTCAAGGTGGAGAATGTGATAGAGGAGGATGGAACAGTGAGGATGTTCTGGCTGGATCAGATGGAGCAGGATGGGGTGGTACACCTGGTGGGGAAGGTGCTGGATCGGCAAACCAACAAGTATGTCAGTGCTTGTGTCAGCGTGAACGGTATCAAGAGGAATCTGTTCGTCAAGCCACGGGCGAAGCGCTTCCGTGAGTCTGTAATCCATTCAGATCGGCTTGGCAGCGGCTGACCAGAGACAGAGGGCGGTCACGAAACGGACCTCGAAGTCACCAAAACCGATGTCTACCAGGACTTTGACGAGTATCGGCGGAAAGAAGGGATAGAGGAATGGGCAGCCAAATTCGTCCAGCGGAAATACGCCTTCGAGGATCCGGGTGTGGAGAAGGGCGAGAGCGAGTGGATGAAGGTGGTGTACGGGTTTGATCGTGAGTCTCTCGCCCCTTAAGTCTAGCTCCTTCTGACAAGGCAGAGCCTGAACTGCCACATAGTGCCAGCGGTGCCACCTTCAGCCATGTCTTCGGCACCAACACTACTCCCTTCGAGCTCCTCGCGATCAAGCGGAAGATCATGGGCCCGTGCTGGCTCGAGATCAAGAACGCGTCCCAAAGCTCCAAATCTGTAAGACTTGTTCACCGTCGTGGCGCAGACTGTGCTGATCCTGCAGACATCATGGTGCAAGGTCGAGTTCACCGTTCACGATCCCAAGAACGTCAACCCCTTCTCCGAGACAGATCAAGATGCACCCAAGGATGCTCCTCCGCTCACAATGATGTCTATCGCTATGCGGACTATCGTCAATCACCGCGAGAACAAGACGGAGCTGCTTTGCGTCACCACCCGGATATGGGAAGGCTGTGAGTTACCGCTCAGCTCGCCGAGGAATGGCAAAGCTGAACCAATAGGCAACATTGACGATCCTACACCTCCAGATCGTCTTCCGTCCTCGCTCAACACCATCGTCCGGCCTATCGAGAAGTTCCCGCCAAATCTTGAAGCTCGTGCCAAGACCGAAGCATCTCCCTTCCAAACCGTCAAGGCCGAGCGAGCACTCTTGAACTCCCTCCTCGCTACTATCCAACGCCATGATCCGGACGTCATGGTCAGCCACAACTTCCTGGGCGGCAATTTCGAGGCGCTGCTGTACCGCATGAAGGAGCTCAAGGCGGATCATTGGTCCAGGATCGGCCGCTTCAGGCGGAAGGCCATCAACATCAACAAGATGGGCAGTAATGTCCGCTTGATGGCGGGTAGATTGGTCGCCGACCTGTCTAGTGATGCTGCTAAGGTGAGCTTCTCGCAACTCGATGTGTCCGAGTCACAAGCTGATTGGATAGGGCATGATCTCGTCTACGACGTGGTCGATGACTGAGATGTGCGGTACTCATCTCAAGATCCAGCGCGAGGATGTCGACCCGGAAGACACCCATACCTACTTTGACCACACTCTCCCCACTCCCGACCGCTTGATCAAGTATATCCGGCTATGCGAGATCGACGCGTACTTCCAGATGGCAATCGCTAGTCGGGTTCAGATGCTGCCTCTCACTAAGCAGCTCACCAACCTGGCTGGTAACTCCTGGTAAGTCATTACGGCCTTGTTGCAGACTTTTAGCTGATTCCATGTAGGAGTCTTACCCTCACCGGAGGTCGAGCAGTCCGAAACGAATTCATTCTGCTGCACGAGTTCCACCGGCTCAAGTATGTCTGCCCCGACAAGATGTTCCGCAAGGACAAGGTCAAGGCTCTCCCGACCGGCGACAATGACGACGAGGACGATCAGCCAACAACGTCGACCCGCACGAGGGGTAAGGCAAAGTATGCCGGTGGATTGGTGTTTGAGCCCAAGAGGGGATTGTGGGATACCTATATCTTGGTCATGGACTTCAACTCGCTGTATCCTAGTATCATTCAGGAATACAATATCGACTTTACCACCGTCGAGCGAGAGGAGGACGAAGATGTGAGCTTCTTTTCCCTTGCTAACGCGATTCTAGAACAGAGCTGATAGTCAGGCGGAAGAGGAGAAGATTCCCGATGTGCCAGAAGGAGGTACACCTCAGGGTGTCCTCCCGAGGATCATTGCCACCCTCGTCAGCCGTCGTCGACAGGTCAAGGCATTGATGAAGGACAAGTCAGCCTCCGCTGCCAAATTGATGCAGGTCAGTCTGAGCTGTCGGTGCCGCGATTGTGATAGGGCGCATAGCTGACATGGACAGTACGACATCAAGCAACAGGCGCTCAAGTTGACCGCCAACTCCATGTACGGTTGTCTCGGTTTCGCCGGCTCTCGATTCTCTTCTCGCCCACTCGCCGCCCTGACCACCTTTAAAGGTCGAGAGATCTTGACGCATACACGAGAATTGGCGGAGTCGCTTCAGCTGGATGTGAGTTGTCAAGGATTTCGCCCATGCCCGACCTTCTCAGCTGATACATTCAGGTCGTCTACGGTGATACCGATTCCGTCTTTGTCAATTCCAACGTCACCACCTACCCCGAAGCTCTCAAGATCGCCAACGAGTTCAAGAAGCTCGTCAATGAGCGGTACAAGCTACTCGAGATTGATCTTGATGCGGTCTTTGAGCGTATTCTCTTGCTCAATAAGAAGAAGTATGCGGCGGTCAAGATCGATGAGGCTGGAGAGCGGATCACGGAGGTCAAGGGGTTGGACATGAAGAGGAGGGAGTTCTCCAAGGTGTCCAAGGATTCGTCTAGGTGAGCTGGTCAACCCGTTATGTGAGGTGATAGCAGCTGACATCCCTAGTGCGGTTCTAAAGGAGATCTTGTCCGGAGATGTCACCGAGAATGTGGTTGGGAAGGTCCACGATCTCCTGACTATGCTGGGCGAGCGTGTCAAGTCTGGCGCGGTACCTTTGGAGGACTTCATCATCTTCAAGGTCAGTTTTGCTTGCGTCGACAACCGGGATCGCAAGCTGACATCCATAGCGTCTCGGAAAGAACCCCGAAGACTACCCCGACAAGAAGTCACAGCCGCACGTCCAGGTCGCTCTGCGTATGAAGTCCAAGGGCGCCTCGGTCCGCGCTCACGACGTCATCCCCTACATCATCTGTCTCGGCGAGGACGGCAAGTCGGGCAAGACGGCGTCGGCGGACAAGGCATTCCATCCTGATGATCTTCGGAGGCAGGGCAGCGAGCTCAAGATTGGTATGTTGTTTATCTGCCCAGCAGGAGCGAAGTGCTGATCGGTAGATTACGAGTTCTACCTTGATTCTCAGATACTGCAACCTATTTTGAGATTGTGCGAGTCCATCGAGGGGACTGAACGGGCGAGATTGGCGGAATGTCTGGGTGAGCTGGCCACCACCTCCTTCTGATTTGGGCACCGAGCTCACATTCCGTAGGTCTTGATCCAGCCCGATACTCCTCATCTGGAGGCGGCGAGGTCGCCGAGAAGCAATTCTTCACCTTCGAGTCTCAGATCTCAGACAAGGAGCGCTTCAAGGACGCCGATCCGTTCAGCGTACGTTGTATGGCTTGCGAAGCGACGTTCGCTTTCGAGGGCTTGCTGGAAGACACCGTGAGCTCATCCTCTTCGCAGGCTTTCATGAGAAATCGAGCTGACTTGCCCAGGCTAGCGTCGTCCAGGCTATCGGTCTCGTGTGTCCCGGCTGCTCTGGCGTAGTACCCACCCCATCAGTATCGGTCCAGCTCGAGATGGCCGTCCGGTCCCATATCTCGAAGTACTACCTCGGCTGGACGGTATGTGATGGCGAGGGCTGCGGAGCGCGGACGCGGATGATGGGCGTGTATGGGCGGAGGTGCCTCGGCTTCGTCAAGGAGGGATGTACGGGTACCGTTTCGCTTGAGGTGAGTCGACGAACACCTGTCTTTGGGCTAGAACGAAGCTAACGATTTAGTATTCTGACACCAAGCTGTACAACCAGCTCCTCTACTTCCACTCTCTGTTCGACCTCGAAAAGGCCGTCAACACTGCTCGCGGAACGGGTCGAGGGGAAGAAGTCCGAGCTTTAGCCACAGCGAATACGAGGGGCTTTGCAGAGATCCTATCGGTGGTGGAGCGATACCTCGAGCGGAACGGGCGGCGGTACGTCGACATGAAGGGGCTGTTTGGGTTCATGGAGCGTATCAAGATTGCGTAGATATCGGGGGAGAAATCATCTTGGGAGACATCACATTTCGTGCTTGGACATCAGTTTGGGATGTTGTAGAATAGATATGCATGTCTACACTTCTAGAGCACCATAGACGATCTGGCCGTCCATGATGGTCGCTACTACCTGGATCTCCAGCATCTCGTTCTGTGGCACCTCTATGAGATCGTCGTCCCAGATCACCGCGTCGAACCGTTTGCCAGGGGTGAGCGAGCCCGTCATATTGGAGAGGCCCGCATATGCCGCTGAATGAATCAGCTGTCTTCTCTTCCGATTAAGAGCGGGGGCAAAGAAGAGATGATGCTCTGTGACTTACCATCCACCGTGAAGCCCCTCAGCGCCTGTGCGCGGCTCAACTTCTCTTCCGGGATCCATCCGTCGGGACCGTGTGGCGATGTACCCTTCTCAGACAGCCGGGTCGTAGCTGCGTAGAACCCCTTGAGGGGGTCGAGCGATTCGACGGGGAAGTCTGATCCGAGGGCGATCCTGCCACCGGCTCTGCTCATGTCAGCGATGTCGGTGCAAAACGGGAGCGGACACTAGGGCAAAGGTGGTACACGTACTTCAGATACGACTGCCAAGCGTAGGCTCCCTTCAGTCGTTCTTTGCCCTGAAACAAATCAGCTTGCCGACTCTCAATCTCCTACTACCGGTTCCGAGGTGTAAGACTCACGAGGCGGTCCTCGGCATACCACATCTACCGTGTCAGCTATGAAAGCCATCAAGGAGGAACTTGACGACTCACGTCACTTGTAGCATGTGTTGGCTGGTAGCTAGCGATGACTGGATACGTTAGCTTGTGCCCCCTCAAGTCTTCAATTCTACTAGCTCACCTCCAAGTCTGACCGCTCGTTCCAAGTCAGACGGAGTCATGATCTGCGCATGTTCTAGCCTGAAACGCCTCGTCGAGTCGACAGCGGGATTGGAGCGTATAACGGCCTCGATTGCGTCAAGAATGACATGGTTACTTCGGTCGCCGATCGTGTGGACGTTCTGTAACAGGTCAGCTTCACTTGCATGCCTCGGAAACAATGGGGACTCACCACTTGCCATCCCTGCAGATCAGCTCAATTCTCATATAGCTCCATCTTAGATGAACAGGTGTACGTACCTCATCGAACCACCTCCTGATGATTCCCTCCCACTTCTCCTCAGGAACCAGCATGAACCCCTTCCATCCCGGCTGATCGCTATAGTCCTCCAATAGCGCCGCACCTCTGGAGCCGAGCGCACCGTCTCCAAAGAGCTTGACCGAGTGAACGTTTAGTCTGCCATCTCCTGCATTGGAGACCCGAGAGAAATCATCACCGCAGTAGTCGGTCGGGGTGAGGCAGAAGACCATCAAGTTGAAGCGGAGGGGGAGGTCGCCTGAGTCGGCCACCCTGACTTCGTCAGCTATTCCCTAAGAGCGTGGTAGCACAGCAGAACAGACTTGACGTAGAAGTCTACATCGGCTTTGCCTGTTCGCGCGTTGTGCACCCCAGTCAAGCCCCGCCTGAGAGCTTCGTCCGACATGCGCTTCAGGAAGAGATGGCGTTGAGCATCGGTCCATACTGGCTTGATCTCGTTGATGAGGTCCATCGCATTGTCGACCTATGATATTAGCTTATTAGACTATATGTCGAGGGTTGTGGGGCTAGAGGCTTACAAAGACACCCGTCGGCCTGCCCTTCTCGTCCCGCACGATCAAACCCCCTTCGACGGTCTCGGGCAGCCCGCCCGGCCTGCTCTCTAGCTCATCAAGCACCGCCCGGCTGACCCAAGCAGCATGTACGTCCACTCGAGCCAGGCAGATCTTCTTCCCGCGTAACGACGGGCTGGTCTCGAGGTCATCCGCCGTGGGGAAGGATTTCGAGGGGAAGAGATTCTGGTCCCATCCCATTCCCTCAATCCAGCTTCCAGCGGGCAGATCCTCACCTTCGTTCGCGAGGAAGAATTCCACCTTGTTGACGATTTCTTCGGTTGACCGGGCGCCGAGCAAGGGGAGCTGGGCGTAGAAGCCATATTCGAGGACATGCCCATGGGCGTCTATCAGGCCCTGATTGGGCTCAGCGCTTGAATAGCTCGACGGCGAAGGCGAGCTCAGAAGGTGGCGACAGATCTCACTGGTGTCATGGTGTGTCCCTCCTGAAGGTAGAGGATTTGCAGTCCCCCAGCTTTCCTCATTTCGGCAGGAGACTGGTCAACACCGCCGATCCCAGCTTTATCACCCCATCTCCTCCGTATCCTGTCTATCTCAGCATCAGCCTTTGCCCCTCCTGCAGGAGATACCACTCACTAAGCGATCCAGTATCTACTACCTCCTTACCACTGACTACCACGCACTCCACCGCTCCTAGCCCGGACTCCTCTGGTACAGTATAGATCCCCAGCCTATCTTTCGTACATATCCCATACGTGCTCGGCAGCGGCTGATGTGCCGGTTTCAGACCATATATGGTGGGTGAGACCTTCTTGCCGGTCCGCTGGGCGTAGAAGACGACGAAGCCGAGGATGAGGATAGTGAGCGAGAGGTGGATGGCTCGAGTGGGGCGTTGAGGCGGAGGTGGGGCGCGCTGGTACTTGGCCGGAGTGCCTGCGAGGGGCGTCTTTTCAGAGGCGGAAGACATGACTGCTGATCTTTGGCGTAGGGCGGAAGGAGCGTCCGCAGTGTCAGCCATGACTCGCGACCAAAGTGAGTGAAGGGGATGAACAGCGAGGGCATTGTGACTTTGAGTGGTTCGTCGGTTCCTTACCCCGCATTGCATCAGGTCTGGGGTGGAATTACGGCAAGAGAAGGAATGGTGACTGATATGAAGCTGAACAGTGCTCGGACCGGAGACTTCATTACAAGGCCCCGAACAGCCTATGTAGCTATGGGGCGGACAGAGAACGGATAGATGTGGGATGATGGTATGACTGGTGAAGAATATACCCCCTCCGTCCAGATTTATCCGGTCCACAACTCGTAGGAGCCGTGAGCAGCGATTGATATCTTGCCTTGCGCCTTCTGCTTGCAATTGGGCTAGGCGGCGAGTTCATTCAATCTGTCCGACGCAGCGGCGAGTCAACCACGATCATGGAAGGATAGATTGCTGGACTGCTGTATTTGCAAGCCCAGAAGTGATCGTCGACAGACCGCCACATTCGCCCTTTGCGTGCCACTTTCCCACGATGCCGCCATTTCCGAGCGGTGGCTTCCTTTCAAGCGCCATTCATTCACTTTATTAACTCCCTTGTCTACTTCCTCTTATCCTATCATACATCTACATCTAAGATATATCCACCATGGCAGGCGACAAAGACACTCTCAACGACGACCTCTACGGCGGTGACCTGTACGGCGGTAAGTCGAAAACTATCCCCTTCGGGGGCAGGAAAGCCGGCGAAGAAGCTTCTCCGTTTAACGCTCTACCTTCTCTCGCTGAAACATTCCCGCTGATATCCCAGATCTCGACCTCGAAGAGCTAGACGCATCACAGCTGGACGAAGAACTCGAAGATGTACCGGACCTCCAGCCGCTCTCCGACCCGGGACCCATGACCGCCGCCGAGCTCGCAGCGAGTTCCTTCGGTCAGCCGCCGGTCAAGCAGGAACAGCAGCAACAGCAGTTCCAGCAGCAATCCCAGCAGCAGCAGCAAGGCGGGCAGTTCGGTTTCGGCAACTCCGCTCAAGCGGGCTCTTCGGGCCAGGGGCAGGGACAGGGCTTTGGCCAGGGCGGCGAGTACAATGACCGGGTGCGATCGAGCGATGCGCCTGACGAGGGGTTAGTTATTCATTCTTACTCATCAAGGGGTCTCTATTCGCTTGTGCTCCTGGTAGTATGTCGGAAGAGGAGGCACCCACGGGTAGACGAGGTAGTCAGGCAGAGTAGAGGTCTAAAAGATAGCTACGTACCCCGTACCCAGTCCTATATCTCTTATACTCCCCCTCCTCTATACCTTGTCGACAGTCTTTCTGGTAGGATCCGAGAAGAGCTATATACTGATCAAGATGTACCTTTTGTCCCAACTCCACATTCCTTGCTTGCTCTTGATTACCTCCCTCGACACCTACCTCCCTAACGGTAAAAACCCCCCATGTTCCTTTGCATGCTGATCACCACCTCGACACGCGATGTCCAACAAACAGGAAGATGTTCATTGGCGGTCTGAACTGGGAGACGACCGAGGGTGAGTCTGTTGGGAGGTCACGGGACGGCGCATATCGTGTATCGGGCTGATTAAGCAGAGGCATTGAATGAGTACATGGGGCAGTATGGTCCCGTCGAGGCGTGCACAATCATGCGTGACCCCAACGGCCGCTCGCGAGGGTTCGCGTTCTTGACCTACAAGCAAGCGGACAGCGTGACCAAGGTGCTCGCTGAGGTACACCACCTTGACGGCAAGCAGGTCAGTCGGGCTCTTCTGAAGACACAGCTCGCGCTCTCGTGTCCCGCCATACTCGATCCCGTACTGACTCTCAGATCGACCCCAAACGAGCCATTCCCCGGGCGGAGCACGAACGGACCGCCAAAGTATTCGTCGGTGGTCTCGCCGCGACAGTCACCTCTGAGTCCCTTCGGGTCTTCCTTACGCAATTCGGACCCGTCATGGACGCTACGGTCATGTTTGACCGGGAGACGGGACGGTCCAAGGGGTTCGCATTCGCGACATTCGGGAACGAAGAGAGTGTGGGTGTGGCAATGGCCGCTAGCGGTGTGGAACTAGAAGGGAAGGCCGTGAGTACTCTCTGATATGCAGGGGTCTGGCCAAGCTGATAATTCAGATTGAAATAAAGAAGGCTCAGCCCCGTGGCTCCGGAAACCTCCCCAACAAGTTCTCCAATCAGGGAGCAGGGAACATGGCCATGTCGATGGGTGGTGCCCGCGGTGGTGGCGGGATGGGCATGATCGGTGGCGGAATGGGCGGGATGGGTATGGGCGCCGGGATGGGGGGTATGGGAATGGGAGGGATGGGAGGGGGATTCGACCCGTCGGCGATGATGATGATGTACCAGAACATGATGAAGAGTTCAGGAATGGGTGAGTGCTTCTGCTGTAAAGACTGGGGGACTGGAGCTGATCTGATAGGTGGGATGGGCATGGGCGGTGGTGTCGACCCTACCGCGATGGCTATGATGTACCAGAACATGATGAAGAGTGAGTATAGCTTTTCCGATCGTTAGGGCGTAGCTGATGACCAGACATGACGGGAATGAACGCGCCAGCGATCAACCCAAACATGGCCCGAGGCGGAATGGGCGCGGCTGGCGGTATGGGCATGATGGGTATGGGCGGCATGATGGGAGGAATGGGCGGCATGGGTGGGATGGGCAACATGGCCGCTGGAATGGGCATGGGCGGTGAGCAACGCATCTCGCTTAGTGGAGATAGGAAGGAGCTGATGGTTTCAGGCTACGGAGGACAAGGTATGGGCATGAACAGGGTAAGTATTATACATAATCCTCACGAAGCGATGCTGATGCCTTGCAGCCACCGCAAGCTGGTCGATCAGTTCCTACAGCTCCTCGCGGTCCGGCGGCGATGCGTGGTCCAGGTGCCGAGGGCGGAACGACACCGACGAGCGGGGCTGCCGGTGCTGGGCCAGCGGGCGGGACTGGCGCACAGAGATACTCGACTCAAGGGGCGGCAAGGGCGAGGCCTTATTAGTGGTGGGAGAGACGCCTATGATTATCATTTGATAGTTTGCATGTATGATCGTGTTACCTGAAGATTTTGTGCAGGTCCAGGATCACTCTTTTGCATGAGCACTTGCGAAGTACGTACCACTTCAGAAAGTCTAGAGTCAGTATGCAACGATGAGCCAGGGCTATTCAAGCTCGCCTGGGTCAAATAAGTAATCAGAACTTTCAGTCGTCGAGCTGTCCAACGCTCTTGGCCGCCAACAAGATCCGGAAAGCATGACATGTCATCACACTCCCATCGCAAATCCCTACAAACCCCTCGCTCCAACCGTCTAGTACGCAGCAGCCTTGGCCGCAGCGATCCGGAGGTGGGACGCGTGCTCGTCGTACGGGGTCTGCCCTGGGGGGATGATGCGCCAAAGGTCGGGGGACTGGAACTGGTAGGTCTTGGCGAGAGCGGCAACGGTGGCCTTCAAGAAGTTTCCCTGGGTAGCAGTTGAACCCTTGGATTGGGCTGTGACGTCAGCTTTTGCCTACTTCTAGCAGAGGCCAAACGTACTGTAGCAGTCCTGGATACCGGCCATCTGGAGGAGACGCTTGGAAGCGGGGGCGGCAACGATACCGGTACCACGGGGTGCGGGGATCAGACGGCACATGACCGAACCGTTCTTGCCGGACACCTTGCAGGGCACGGTGTGGGGCTCAGCGATGTGGGAACCCCAGTAACCGCGACGGACGGGGACGATGGAGAGCTTGGCGGTGATGATGGCACCACGGATGGCGGTAGCGACTTCCTTGGCGCACTTGACACCGAGACCGACGTGTCTGAAAGGTCAGCGGAGATTCCTCTTGTATTCCACAGACTAGACTAACCCGTCAAAGTCACCGACGGCAACGAAGGCCTTGAAACGGGTACGCTGACCGGCAGAGGTCTGCTTCTGGACGGGAGCGATCTGCATGACCTCGTCCTTGAGGGTGGGGAGGAAGGTGTCGATGATCTGGAACTCCTTGACGGGGAGCGAGAAGAGGTAGATCTCCTCCATCGACTTGATCTTGCCGTCCTTTACGAGCCGGCCGAGCTTGGTGACGGGGACCCTGGCGAATCAGCATGGGTCTGAATGCGGGTCAAGCCAGCGCAGTGGTCCACATCTTCGTCCCTCTTCACAATCTCGCCTTATCCTCCGCTCCCAGCGCAAGTCATGCCCCATTCCCCATCTCCTTGCTCCTGCTTCACATCCATCGTCCAATCCTTTTGCCTGTCCAACTCCGTCCGGCCGCCCCGAGATTCCCCATTCCGATCCTCCCTTCCTTCATCTCCACCCAATCATGCTCAGCCCTTCGCAGCAACTCACCACTCCTCATCCTCCTTCTTTCCACCCCTCCGGGGTCCACGCCTGCCTCGGGGCGCTCCACGTCCCCGACCGAAACCACCACGCGCGCCAGATCCTGCAGCTTCTGCCATTTTCGGGTTGTTGGGTAGGTGTTGCTTTTGTCGAGCGAGCGTCGAAAAGAGCAGCAGTGAGCGAGAGTATAGCAGTTGGTGCGACTTTGGCTGGACAGGCAGTCGGGCAGGAGGATGCCGTAAGGAGGGATGGCGGCGTTACCGGCATTTTCAATGGTGCAGGAAGAGACGATTTTGAGACGTGGCGCGCCAACATCGGCGATAAGTGACAGGTTTGATTCCGCTCTTCTTCTTCTGCAAGCTGCATGAAGCTTCTCTCACCGTCTTCATTTTGTGGTAGTATTCCAATTAGACGATAAATATCCATCTGCTGCCGCTACTTGCGATGGGATACGCGCCGCAGACTGAGCCGATACGAACGGCTCCAAACACTCAATATTCTTGATCACGGCTCAAGGTCGCGATGAGACTCCAGTCTCCATCAGTCGTGGTGCAACAGACCATACGAGCCGATTCCTATCGTCTGATACGACTGACTAATACTTATGGGTGATTGGCTACGTGCTACATACTCAATGCAAGACATAGCTGTACGCAACCGCAGTTCCCAGCTTCCGACTGGGAATTATTCGGTTGAATCATGCGGTGCGGGTCGACCACGTACCGCGCAGCTATTTTGTCCCTGCGCCGTATTGGGAGTGGACTGTACACTGAGCCGGCACTTACAGCCGACTGCGCGCGCTCATCCCACGCTTTCCATTACCCAGCTCATTGCCCTCACCGAAGATGACTATCGTGACAAGCTCCGACGATCGCTTTCCCCATGCGTGCATGCATGTAGCATTTTACGGTCCGACTGGCGTTACAGAGCGTGGCGCCTCAGTTTACTAATGCTCCTAGCTGGTCACGGGACAGCTGATGGCGGACGTGGAAGAAATGTATGGAGGCGGATCAAAATCGCGCTAATACCGCGAATACGCGCTAACCACTGGGCGGAACGCGGCTCGCGTGCCATAGTTGCACTGTTATAGTCTTTATTCGAGCCCAAACGCAAACGCGGCTAGATTCCTTTGGCTCTCCTATCAAGAGAGGCTCAAGTCGCGTGCAAGTTCTCCCACGTGTTCTCACTTGCAAGGCCGCCTTGCTCCGCCTTGCCATGCAGCTGTTAGCAAAGCATGCGATATGCATCTCGGATCTCTTGCTTGAGAGCCAAGGCTAGTATACTCGCTGAGATAATTCGAGGCCCCTGCTGACGTACCGCTCCAGAACAGCGTCCAGAACTCGTCAGCGAAACCCTAATGAGACGCAGCTCGCTCGCCACCGATGATGCATCCTGCTGACCGCGGACAATTCCCCTCGTGACAGTCGCAGCGCAGCGACTGACGCGGCTCGCAAACCTCCTTCGTCGAGGCACGAGCCTCTGCGGGTCCGCACAGCTTCCGCGTAACTTCTCGATGAGCGTCACGTCGGTTTCGATCGAGACCCAAATTCTCCCAATTGCCTTCTGCATTTCACGTTTCATGTCGCCCTGAAACGGTTACGCAACCACCATGGTGGAGGTGTGGGGTACTTTGTTTGGATGCTTGTTTGGGCAATTGCGCCGCAATCGATCGACGTCGGCCGAAAATCTGGCTGACCCACAGGAACGGGACTTACGAGATCATTCACTGACTGACTCTCGACTGCCACTTGCAGCGAATCACAATCACGGGATCCGAATGCGAGGCACGGGGGGGCTGAGATCCAGAACTTTCCCTTCCCGCCACCTAAATGTGCGACTTTCCCCTTTGGATCTGCAGCCACGGGCACGCGGGCGAGGATGACGAGATAAAACCTCCGGCATGACCGCCACCAAAGCACGCAGCCGCAACAAGCTTAGATGTGACAGCAAGGTATATTCGCTAACCGCAAGCGGTTACGACGCCTGTGCTTTGGGCGGGGTCTGCAAGGGTCTGTCAATACTTGCGGAAGCGCGAGTCGGCGCGGCAGCGCTCGGCGTCGGCGGCAAGCGATTTACCCTTTGACTTGGTCATCTCCTGAGATCCTTTTCGCGCTCTGACAGTCTCGGCAAGGTTTGGCAAGCGCAGTGCCTCAGTACTCCACCACCGCCTCCATCTCGCAGTGCGGACAGAGTATAATTCCCGTCCACCTCGTCGACAGCTGCTTGCGGGCTAGCACATACTTTCAACTGAAACGGGCGGTCAGGTATCTCCCCATCCTACTTCTCTTGTTCTCCCCAATCCCACTATTCTCCCTTGACGACCGCCTCCCCCAATCCTCCGCCACTCCGTTAGCTCATCCCCACATCCTGTCTCACCTCATTCCCTCAGCCCTGCCGTACCCGTATACCTCCTGCCCGCTTCCATAACGCCCATTCCAACGACAACCCTCTTGTATACCCCCGAGCTAGACATTTTTTTAAACAACATCTCGACGACTAATATCTGCACGACATCTACATCACGACCACCATCTTGCACCCGTCAGCATCCGACTCAGGCCCGGTCATCCTAAAACACGTCGATCCTCTACTCGCCGGAACCACATTGCCACCCACATTTCACCCACTCCACGTCTCACTTCCCTAGCGCCCCATCGTTTCATCCCAGGACATCCCATTCCCGCCTGGCCTATAATATCTTCTCGCCCAGGCGTCGATCATCAGCACGCCCCCTCGTACCATGGAAGCCTCTTCATCCCACCCCGCCGGCGGATCACCCAGATACATTGACGAAGGCTACCTGGAGCTTACCGAAGTCATCGGCACTGGCGCGTACGGATGTGTCTGGTTAGCCGTGGACGGGCGGTACCCCCACCTGCCATGGCGGGCTGTCAAGGCGTTGAGGCGGCATGGGCTGGACGCGAGGCAAAGGCAGTTTCAGCGTCGAGAGATCACGCTGCATCACCTCGCCTCAAATCACAGCAGTATCATCACGATGGATAGGATAGTGGAGGAAGGGGATCACATCTACGTCGTGATGGACTATGGGGAGGATGGAGATTTGTTCGCCATGATATGTGATCGTCAACGCGTAAGTTCCTTATCCAAAGGCATCCTTTCCCCCACTCCCCCACGTCTCCGTCTGTGCGCGGTGCTGATCTTCAGTATGTCGGCGATGATGAACTCATCCGCTCGGTATTCCTCCAATTACTCGACGGTATCGCACACATCCACTCCCTCGGTATCGCTCACCGGGATATCAAACCCGAGAACATCGTCTGCTCGGACGACGGGCTCCGTGTACGGATATGCGACTTTGGCCTTGCCACCTCGGAATCCCAATCCTCGGAATTCGGCTGCGGCTCCACCTTCTACATCGCTCCAGAATGCCTCGGGGAATCCTACCCCGCTCGCACATCCTACCCTACCAAAGCCGGCGACGTCTGGTCACTCGGTATCATCCTCGTCAACCTCGTCTGCGGTCGTAATCCCTGGCGGATCGCATCTCCCTCCGACGACTCCTTCAGTGCCTTTTGCAAGGACACCACCTTCCTCCGCCGCATCCTCCCTATATCCAGCGAGTGCCTCGAGGTCCTCGAGGGCATCTTTGCCACGGACCCCGCCGAGCGCGTCAGTCTCAACGTGCTCCGCAAGCAGATCCTCCGCATCAAGAGCTTCAGCATGACGGAGGCCGAGGTGCGCCAGGCCCACGCTGCTGCGCATGCCCAGCAGGCCAAGGCCAAGCAGGCGGGTCTCACCGTCGAGGCGGTTGAGGAGGAGGAGGAGGAGGAGGAGGAGGAGGAGGAGGAAGAGTTTGAGGTGGAGATTGCGTCAAGCTGGACAGAAGATGAGGACATGCTCCCCTTCGATCTGGAGGATGCGGATCTCGAGGAGAAGCTGCCTTCACTACGCGCCGACTCTGGATCGCCCTCCCCCGCCGCCCTCCAATCTCGCTCGTCCTCGGCAATGAGCGCCTCCCTTCCCCCTACCCCACTCCTCGCTGCCAATCCTGGCCTCCCCACACAGCTCGAGCCTCACTCCAAGGCTTGGGCGGACCTCTTCCACCAACCACCCTCTGCCCTCCGCATACAAGACCCCGCGTACCTCTCCCCCGAACCCATAGCCGCTGGCGGTCCTAATCCCTTCTTCCGGTGACATTGGCGCCTGTACTATCACGACCCATCTTTGATTTCGATCACTTAGTTTTCGCATTGATCAGCACCATATATAGGAATACATGTAGACCCGCACATAAGATCTCATAGGTAATATCTTGTACTTGTATTATGCTATAACGCTTTTTGTCACGACCATGGATATGGCACAGTCCCAGCTAAAAACACTTTGATCTCATCATCGATCCACCAGGAAGCCGGCTTTTGACATTACAAGTGGGCGTTCTCTGTTCCAACCGAGGAGGCGCTCTTCTCTTGCTTGCGCTTACCTACCCGATCCAATCACCATGTCATGCCTGCGCCAGCTGACGCTGACGTCGGGTCGTCAGCAGCTACACTTGGCCGGGACTCGCCTTGTCAGATTGTGTAGCAAAGTTTGGCGCGTGCCTGGGCCAAACTCAAAACGTTTGAACCTTGTCTGGATTTGGGACAGCTGCTGCAGCGCGTCATCTCATCTCAGCTCAGCTACAACTGTCTATAATCCCCTTTGCTGTAACAGCCTCTTGTGCATGTCTCGTATCTAATGGTTACGGTGTAAGACATCGATCATTCGGTGCATACCCCTTGACGCAAACCCGACTGTTCGGCTCGGCCTCGTCATTTGGCCCCCTTGCCCACCTCATCTCCGCACCCCAATGTCTCGGATCCACTATTCGTGACCCAGCCCCGCCGGGTATCGGTCTCCATATAATCAATGTGTATGTCGATATTCCCTCGTATACAAGGAAAGAGACCGTACTGATTCAGTACTAGCAGAGGAACGTCACTTCCACTATTCTCCGTTTCCGACAAGCCTAACGCCCTAATCTAGTTCTGATCACCCCACTCCCGGTGAGTCTTCTGTCTTCTTCGAGCTTGTTTGAGGCGGAAAGGAGACTTGCTGACCGGTCTCAAGACGCAGAGCCTACCCCACCTGTGCATCTAGGCCCTACTCCGAGTCCTTATAATCACCCATAATCGCCTGCCCAAGATGCCGCTGTTCAAGTCTAGCTCGGCTGCCAGCTCCGCACAAGCTGTACCACCAGCTCGTCCTCCATCCCCCCTCTCATCGGCCAATTTCTTATCCAGGTCTTCGCGTCCGTCTACAGCTGCGGCCGGTGCGCGCCGCGTCTCCGGCTCTCGCGGTACACCTTCCATCTCTTCCGGATCCTCCATCACCGGTATCGCTCCCTCTGCGCCCGTGCAGCAACCCAGCGCTCCTCCATCTACCTCCTCATCCTCCCGCTCGCTCTCGTCCCGTCTTCTCCGGCGGCGTCCCTCCGAAAAGACTTCTCTCTCGCGCACACCCCGCCTTCCATCCCTCAGCGCCGCGGCTGACGAGAGCGATGGGCCCAGCGAGCCCTTGACGGGCAGTACAATGGGCGGAGACGTGTTTGCCACCCAGCAGGATGATGATGATTGGGCGGGAGGACCTATCATGCCACCTTCTCAACGCCGCGGGAGCCACGCGGAGATCATGGCCCGGTTGAGCTCGGGATCGGATGGCGAGGGAGGATCGTCCCGCCGGGGCAGTGCAGATGAGAATCCCTACATTCGGAGACCGACGTATGGGCTGCTTGGTCCCGGCTATCGTCCAAAGGAGCCATCGCAGCCACACTCGGGAGTCACGGCACTACTACCGCCACCTCGGCCGGGTGCAAAGCGATCAAACAGCGCGGAGAAGGCTCTGGAGGTGGAGGTGGAGCCGAGGGATATCTGGGGACGAAGGGTATCGGAACCCGTTCAGCCTGCGTGGGATATGGAGTTTCCAAAGGGTCATCCATTTGCCAAGAGCTGTACTCCTCGGGCGGTATCGGTGGGCGTAAAGACGTTGGATGAGCGGGAGAAGGCGTTGAAGCAGAGCATGGATGGTGGGAAGAATAGGTTTGGCGACGCCCCACCATTGCCGTCGTATCCCAGCTTAGACGGCGTCCCTATCTCCACCGCACCCAAGCGCGCACTGCCGAAATCCCCGCGTCAAATCGCCAAATCCCGAGCGCCCGACCTGGCCGTGACTCCACCACCCCGCTCCTCGTCGCGCCTCACCAATGCCTCTACTCGGCTAGACGGGTCGACTACCTCTCTCGCGTCTTCCCTCTCTTACACTACCTCTTCCCCCACGATCGATCATGAGGTCAGACGGCAGCCGTCCTTCGTTGCCACGGGCAGACAGTGGTCATCCCAAAAGGTACCGACCGCTCGGGTCCGCTCCAACTCCTTCTCTAGCTCAGGCGCTACTTCACCTCACCACGATATCCCCATCCCTTCCTACATCCCCGACATGTCTGCTCCGCCTATCGCCCCCCTCCGGTACTCGCTAGTATCCCGCTCACCCCGCCCAGCAGCGTCGGCACCTCACCTCCAACGCTCGGCGGTGCTTTCGCCCAGTCGGCCACCTCGGTCAGTGAGGCGTACTACGGATAGCTCGGTGGGGTCTACGGATGACGCGAGTGTTGAGTCAGACGAGGAGGGATCAGTGGGCGTAGTCGCCGATCGCGGGATTTATGACGTCTCTGTGCAAAGTGTGCCAGGGATGGGTCCCGATGGGGAGATCAAGTGGGAAGTCACTATTCGGCCGGGAAGTAATGCTGGGCGCGCCATGCCGGTACCCCTCATTCCGGGCGTCACTGCCACTACAACTACCCCCGCAGGAACGACGTCGGTCAACCTCTCTCTGGCGACCAGCCAGACCACGGGACTACTCAGCTTCACCGTGGCCCCGTCTCCCCCGGACGTCCACGCAACGCCCACTCGCCGTCGGCCTGCAACAAACGCCCACACTGCGCCCACGTCGGACCATGTGCAGACCCACAAGGAGGAAAGCACGGAGCCATTCGCGCCCCACGCGCGAGGCAATACCTTTGGCTTGGCTGGTGGGCGCAAGCTAGCTACGGGACTATACATCAATGAGGCTGAGGGCTCGCCCCGACCTCCTTCGGCGGACGTGACCAACAATCTCGACCGGCGGAATACGGTTACTCCCCCTCCGCGCATGTCTACTCCCCCACCGATGCCGTCGGTCCCATACGCCAACACTACCCCTGTCTCCTCCAGCAAGCGCAGCTCGCGTTCGACCAGTCAAGGGGAGCAACGGTGGGCTCTCTCACCTGCCCTATCTACACCTATCGCTGGGAGCGGAACGCGGACACCGCCGCAGATGGGCAGGACGCCCCGGGAGCTCACGTACGTCTCGAGCCCGTCGCCTAGGGGTACACCACGCCGGACGCGGATAGTCAGTGCGAGCTCGCTCAATGGAGGTCTGTTTGCGCATGGGACGGTGGATGGCATGAGTGAGGAGGCGGAGGGGTAGAGAGAGCGGTCAGTCGAAGGGGCACAGGTCTGGTCAGGGAGAGAAGGGGCCGGGAAGGAGATCTCGAGGCTTTCCATCAGCATTCGTCGGTCGGACAATCAGCTAATTTACACCGCTGTAGCTCTCTTGTTGTAGCTCCCAGCTCGCCTCGTTGGTCTGCGTTGAATGTCAGCGGAATAGTAAGGCCGCCGCCGCAAGGTAGCTGCGCACACCGGTCCATCGGCTTTCATTCACTAGTGCATCAATTGAACAGGTGGAGCTTTCCGGCGGGAGGTGATGGATGCCGGCATGAGGGGACCAGGCACTTGCCGCTTGTAGTAAGTATACGGCATGGAGGAGTGCGTTATCCTCCACTATCTATGGGGTTGGTCAATTGCCTCGGACTCATATAACCGGGAGGCATCAACGACTTCTCTTCCCATCCCCCTCTCTCTTTACATTTACTTACTTATTCCTGCGATCTACCGCCTCCTCCTTTCTCGCTACTCTTACCTCCAAGATGAAGTTCTTCTCCCTCGCTCTTGCCGCTGCGCTCGCCGGGGCCGCCTACGCTCAGTAAGTTTGCGCCGGACGTAATGGGTTAGTTGATGGCTAGCGCTGATCGTACCTAGGACGGCTTGTATCCTTACCTGCTCGACCAATGCCGCCGCTGCCGCCGGTTGCTCCAGTATGTGAGTCTCGTTTCCTTTTCCTGGTTGCGATACCACGGAAGATTCCTGAAAGCGCGTTGTGTGTGCTTGTTGACTGATGCCCGCAGCACCGACACCGGCTGTGTCTGCACAAGTGCTACCTTCCAGAACCTCGCTGGCGCTTGCCTGATTGCGTGAGTAGCCATCTCCTCCTTCGCTCGAGCGAGACCGTCGTCTGACCTGACAGCAACTGTACCGCGGCCGAGCAGCAGTCTGCCGTCCAGCTTCAAGCCGCCCTCTGCCAGGGCGTTGTCGCGTCTGGCTCAGTCAGCGTCAGGCTCTCTTCCGCTACGGGCAGCACCGCGCTCCCCTCCGGCTCGTCCCTCTCCAGCGCCCTCGCGTCGGCCTCTTCCGCCGTATCGACCTCCCGCGCGTCTAGCGCCTCCATGTCGGGCTCCTCCATGTCCATGTCGGGCTCCTCCGTGTCGCGTGCCGCTAGCTCCTCGGGTAACCTTGCTTCTTCCGCTTCGTCCGCCCTCGCCTCGGCGTCGTCCCGCGCGGCCGGCGAGAAGGGTGCCGAGCTCAAGATGGGCGCCATGGTCATGGGCGGTCTCGTCGGCGCCGTCGGCATGGCCGTCGGCGGACTTGCCGTCTTCTAAGTAGGCTCGACTTCGAGCGGACGTTAGGCAGAGTTTCATCTGAGGGGAGGAAGTAATGGGGACGCGGGGAGTATTATCTACGTTCATTGTTGAGTTGTCTATAAGGTTTAATCTGTCCATGAAGCGGCTTGATTATTCCTCACTGGCTTTCTTTGACACCGCTTGCTGAACCACTGATGGTGAGAAAGCTAGTCGTTCAAAGCTAGCTGACCTCTTATACACAGACTCCTTATGGCTACAGATTCTCTACAAATCGCAACCATGCCTCTGACCCTATCGTACTCGCGCGAAACGACCAGCGTTCAGGCGTCCATGTCTTCCACGATTACCCATACTGGTCCACCTCCGCATCCCGCTGGCTTCGGCTTCCCAAAGGCATACACCTCCGCCAATCTCCCACTTCGTTTCTCCATTAGGATAGCCTGAAGCTGCTCTGAGACCTTCCCAGCATCGACCGTAGCCTCCAACATCGCCGCGTTCGGGAAGATGAGCGACTCCTCGTCGTCAACTGCAGGAGTCAAGCGGATGCGGCATGATGAAGGGGCAGATCCGTGTGTTGTGAGGAGGTACAACAGAATCGCTAGGGCCGACAGCGGACTGAACATCAGCTTCCACGTCACCAAGCTGGCAGCTGATAGCGAGACATGTACGTACGCCAGGTTCTCGGGCCAACTCAAGGTAGACGCGACGTATTCTAGGCCTACGCCCGCCATGGTCAGGAGAAGGATGTAGATCCCTTCATAGAGAGATATGGAGGTCGTGTCGTCCTGCAGGGCGTGTGCGTCGTGCCAGGGCTCTGGCTTCCCATTCGCAGAAGGGAAGAGAAGGTCTAAACGGATTAGTACGCTATCATGGGAACAGCCTGAGTAGACTGCTCGGACTGACTGTACGGGGTGCAAGATTGCTTGCAGCGCGTGTGGATCGGCGCAGGTAGCGGGTCGTGCGCAGCGTAATAGTCGTCAGTAAGGCCGAACATCGCAGGAAGGTATGGGACAGCAGGCCAGCTACTGATACGAGTGTGCGGGACGTGACGGGCAGGTGGGAGACCGCGGGTTTCCCTGCACAGCAGAGGTCGAGTGATTGTGCGGAAAGGGCTCGTCAACGCGGACGGAGGGTGTCGACCAGCGACTGCCGAAAAACAGGGCGAGAATTGAGATGAAGCCAAACATGGGGAGCCAGCGGTCAGTGTTACAAGGGAGGCAGTCTTCCATATTTGCACAGGCAACGGACATGCTGTGTGAAAGGGGGCCCATAGCGATTGGATTAGAGGAAAGGGTTGTCCGTTGCCCCACCTCGTTACCCCTCGTTTCTTGGATGCCTTGGGGTCTATGAGGCGCTTTTTGAGGGCTGCAACAATGACTCGCCCTCCCCGGGTTAGGCCGGTTTGGGGACTGTTTCATATCCGTCATCCTGTGTGTTTCAGATTGTCCTTCGGATTCTTTGCTAGAGCTGTCAGGAACAACAGCCGACGGTGCATATAGAAGGAGAAGGGTGTGCATACCAGATGATATTACTGTTCGCCTTGATTCACCTACTATATCCCCTGTCCCATCCTGCTCATCTTCTTATCGTGCCCCCTCGTTCTCGCGGCATTACTATGCCCTCTGTTCCCTTTGGACTCCCCCCTTCCTCTCCCACCACCACCGCGACTACTTCCTCCTGCGCTATCTCCACCGACACTGGAGTTGTCCCCTCCACCGCGACTCCCTCCGCCCCCGCCCCCGCCATTCCGGCCACCTCGACCACCCCGGCTGCCTCCCCCACCAGTACTGCCAGCGACGGATCGCCCATCCATGACGTAGTCTAGGTTCTGGGAAGGGACGAACATGTGTCGGCCAAGAATAGCTTCTTTGTGGATCTGCAGTATCACCTCCTGTCCAGACTGAGAAGACATGGCAAGTGAAGAAGACTCACATTGCGATCCAGCATGATCCTCCACCCTTCCAACTGATTATCGTCCATCCCCGTCGCCTTCTTGAGCTTTGCACGTGCAGAGCTCCGCCTCGTTTCGCCGTCTTTATCAAACACGCGCACATCCGCCAGGTACGCGAGTTCCAGCTTGGTCTGGATCGTCACGTCGTATCCGGTGTTCTGAGGTTTGTTCTGGTTCTTCTTCGACGTCTGACTTTGTGAGCTTCGACTCTGACACCATGTGACAAGAGCAGTCAGCTCACCTCGACGACATTCTCCCCGACTTCCTCTTCCCCACTCTCGTCCCCTTCCTTCAATATCAGCCCACTCTTCCCCCCATCCTCTTCTTCACCGTGATCATCATCATCCTCCATGCTCTCGTTGATCGGAATCAGACCCCCAGCCTCATCATACCGCTCCGGCCGATACTTCTGCCCCGTGGCATTCGCGAGCGCCCGAGCCTGCTCCTCCGCCTCGATCCGCTGCCGATCCACAAGCCGCATGATGCTAGCGCGCATCTCGTCCGAGACTTCCTTGCCGAGCCCAGGCGCTAATGCGAGGGGGGTAGGCACGTCCGTGCCGTCTCGGAGTGTAAGGCGGGAGAAGTCCAGAGGTGCGTCATCGTGGATATTGGACCGGACGTAGGGTTGGGGCTTGGCGGGTGCGGCTGGGGGCGCAGAGGAAGCGTGAGGTGGAGGAGCAGGGACAGATGCCGATGTAGAGATGGAGCCTTGTTGATCGGAGACGGACTGAATGGCATGTCGCAGTTGAACGAGATCGGATGGTAGGTCGGACCCGCCAGAAAGGATGACCTCGAGCAGGGGCGAGGCCTGTTCTTCCGGAGTAGAGGTGGACGAGGTGGCGTATGAAGGGTGATTGAGAGCGAGGAGGAGCTGAGCGGGCGGTAGCGATGGGAAGAGCTGCAGAATAGCTTGGACGCGCTACTGTATCAGCTTGCCGTTCCCTAATACAAGCCATGTCGACTCACGGGATCACCACGAGCCTCATCGTCCATGTTCTCCTCCAGCATCTGTGTCAACTCCGGCACGATCTCACTCTGCTTCGCCTGACCCTTCTCCTTGGCATCGATAGCAGCAAGATATATCCCCAAATCCTCCCCCATCGAGTTGTTCCTGAGGAACCCCTCCCCGCCCTCCTTCAGCTTCACCGGGACCCCCGCCAGCCGCTTCAGCCCCTCCCGAACAGTCTCGCCCTGTACAGCTCCGACCAGCTCCGCACAGAAGAGCAATATGCTCTCTTTCGCACGGACCGCCTCCCTACTCAGCGGCGCCTCGCTCCCATCCGCCGATGGGGCCTGCTCGAGGCTAGTATACGCCCCTCTGAGGGTTGGAAGGATATAGTCCGCCTCACTCAGCAGAATAGCTAGGAGCTCCTCGTGCGCCCGAACCATGACCAGAAGGAGAGCAGATACGGTACTGATATCGGCGACGGAGGGCTTGTGCTGTATGCGCGAGACCAGTGCAGGGACGAGTTCGGACTGGATGAGAAGGACGAGCTCGGAATCCGCCTCGTCCTCGCTCCCGCCGCTTTCTCCCGGGGATTGCGCATCGGTCCTCGCGGTAGCGGCGACAAGGGATTTGTCAAAGGCGTGATCCCAGATATTGAAGATGGCGTTCCGATGTGCCGGGTACGCTGACGTGAGGTCTAGGAGGAGAGGGAGGGGGAGGGCCGGTGCCGATGTCTCGGAGCCGGATAGGTGAAGGGCGAGTTGGAGGGGAAGGACGGTAGTTTGGGATAGGTGGCCATGGTGTTGTCGGTCGGACGCGAGGAGTCGGGTAGTGGATGACAGAAGGTCAATGATGGTTGTGTGGTCAGATAAAGGGGTGGAGGAGAGGCGGCGAAGGACGATAGGGAGGACTCGGGCCTGGAGAACAGCTGGAGGCAGCGACTTGGGCAGCGGGGCCACCATGCTGGCTGTGTCGCTTGAGGGACTGATACAGTCTATGGTCAGGCGGAGTACTGCAGAAGTGCGAAAGGTGATGGTCGCGGGTGCATGGTCTAAAGGTTGAAGGTATTTTAGTGAGATCGAGTTCGCCGATTTCCCCGGATCCGACCTATAAGTGCAGTCAACTCCCTCTTAACTCAGGCTCGACCCAAGCCCACTCCCTTCCTCCCTTCCGGTCGTGCTTGCCACACCGAGAATGTGCGGGGCTTGGGACGCGCCTGCTCTTAACTCATAGCCTGGTAACTCATCCTACGCCTTGACTCATACCCCATCCCGGGACCCGATACCCTGCCTGCCACCCGTTCCCCACCCTCTTGACTCATACTTCCTACTCATGCGCCCCCTCGCTCCGCGGCTATTTGGGTTTGAGTTAAGAGGGAGTTATCTGTGGCCATGAAAGCTTAGGGGGAGGTTCTTCCACCGCTCACAGTGCGGCTTGGGACGCGCCTAATGAGAGCTGTTGAGAGACTGCTTTATTCCTGTTGTGACCTTGGAGGCCGCAGGAAGAGCACTTGATAGGCACAGCACTAGCATTATATACAAGATCGTTATCAGATACTCTACAGTCCACACCCCTGCGCCCTCACTCCAAATAGATCCTCCCTAGGCCGGCAAGCCCCTGCCCACGCTATAATCGATGACCCGGCACGAACACAAATATACACGTCAATGCCGCCGTCAACGCCAGACACACCGCCTCGATCCATACCGCCCGCAGAGTGAGCAGCCGGCGGACGTAGCCTTCGCGTACGCGCATGGAGCGGAAGGCGCCGGTCTCGGAATGCTGGAACACCGCAAGGAGGGGGGAGAGGGAGTAGTATGCCGCGAGGAGGAGGTTGGTGGATACCAGAAACGGGAGTAGGACCTGGGTAGCATCAGCCAAATGTCAGACCGAGATCCGGGGAGACGGAGACGTACCCAGACTCGGACAGCTCTAGGCTGACGATCGAGGAATATCAGACTGAAGCCCAGTACGAACCCACCCCAGAGGATGAAGAGACCGAGGACGAGGCGCCAGAAGCTGCCTGCCGGGGAGAGATTGGCGAAAGCCTTGGCGCGGAGGAAGCGGGGGAACGCGTCCGCTTCGAGCGCGCGGAAGATGTAGTGTTTTTGTTGATGAAAGAGGTCGGGGATGAGTGGGGAGGGGTTGGAGGAGGATGGGGATTGGGGAAAGTCGGGCATGCGGAGGGATGGGCTAGAGGGTCAGCTCGAGCTACTTCTGCGACTGAAGGAAAAAGCGGAACTTACGGGAGGTAAATCTCCTTCTCTGCCCCGGGAAGCAAATACCTCAGATATATCCTCTCCGCAGACTCGACCAGCGCGTCCTTCTGTACTGCCCTATCCCTCTGAATGACCGTCGGTGCGCGACTCTGACGCGGGTTTCGCCCCCACGTCCTGATGCTCATCCGGCTCCCCGCGCCCGTTCCCCTCTGCGCATCATGATCCGTTCCCGCCGTGGGCGCATCGCTCGGCCTGATTCGCGAGGGCCGACCAAACTCGCCAGCGTTGGTGATAGGCGACCGGGGGCCGTGCGACTCGGTATCCCGCCGTTCGCGGCCGTGCGTCATGGACATGGTTGGTGAAGTGGTTCCCGCTTGTCCGGTAGAGGAAGATGGGGCACCCGAAGAGCGCGGGGGAGGAGACGCGCCAATGTCAATAATGGGCTTGTCGCTGAAGTTGAGAAGAGGGGTGAAGTGGGAACCGTGGGTCCGGGCATAGGCGGCGTATTCGGGCCAGTCTTCGTCAATGGTGCGGTCTGAGCGTTTCAAGTCCTGCCGAGCATGAGCTGCGGTCCTTTGTAAGCAGGAGTATCAGCTCACCTTGAAGTACGCCTTGCACATGTTCTCGTGCTGCTGCACGTCGAGCCAGAAATCCAGCGCATCCTCCGCCGACTCCCTTTGCAGAAAAATCTGTCGCATCAGCTCGTGCGTACTTCGAGGTATGAATGATGCAGGTGGCTCACGTAGAAGCAGAAGAGATCAAGTGGTGGTCTTGTACGCCTATCAAGCACCTCTTGGAGCGTAGGCAAGCGGTTCAGCTTGAGATAACGCGTCGTTGATTGACGGCGGTCCTGCTTGGACGTCGAAGGTTCGGCGTGTTTTTCGTCCATTTTGACAAAAGTCGCGCGGCGGTCAGCGCTGTGGACCGTCGCAGTACAGTGGTATAGCCTTCTGTACGATAGCGAGATATAGCTAAGCTATTTGTATGCGTATTGGATGAGTGAAGGTACACGTCGGAGATATAGTTGGGATGTTTGGACCCTCCTTTCAAAGTCAACGCGCGCACAGGATATTAGCGTACGTGTTTCAGAATTTGACTTTACGTCAGCTTGTCGTCTCAGCTATTTCTGACGTGGCGGCACTCAAGACGGTATCAAACGGCCCAAACCAGCTGCCAGCCATCCATCCATTCCCCTCTCTCTCTCTCCATCTTCTCCCCTCTTCCCTTTGTTATCTGTCCATCCTTATATCCTTATCAGTCTCATGCACTGATACAGTCACATTCGCGCTCCTCCTCTTCAACCTCGACTCACTCACGAAGTAATCCGCAAACGGACGATCGCTCGAGTCGAGCAGAAGAGAGGAAGGAGTCACCCACCGCGTCCATCTAGCAGGGGCACAGAAGCAGGAGCAGGATGTTCTTCCTCGTTCGTCGCATATCCAGTGCGGTGAAAACTGCGCTGACAAGAGTGTTTATTTCTTGATGCGACCCACGATGGCTACTCTACTACTACCTCTTTCTTCAAACGTGTACTTGGGGGACATAACAGAGGGAACTTACCCACACCATCCTCCTCCACCCGTCGTACTTTGGGGCTCAGCTCGAGGATTATCTTCGGCAAAAGCTGTATGAGGATGTCGAGGGGACGTGTAGTGGGAAACATGGGTGAGTTGCCTGCTTTTCTCGCCACTGTAGAGGGGCAAGAGCTCATCATAAAGATACATCATCTCGGTGATCCATATCTCGTCTATAGGCGAGGGGAAGCTGCTCCCCGGGACTGGTCAAGCCAGGTTTAAGACAAACTATACCGCCGTCGTGATGAAGCCCTTCAAGGGTGAGGTGGTGGATGGGCGCGTGGTGAATGTAAATAAGGTGAGCTTGCTCTCTCGGTCACTCGGAGCCAAGCTAACCCAGCAGATGGGTTTCTTCGCTATGGTTGGGCCATTACAAGTCTTTGTCTCGTCACACGTAAGTTTCATTCTCCACTGGCTGTCGGTTTTGCGTCCTTCTTCATCCCCTCCCCTCGCCTACCTAACCCCCTCCCTCACAATGATGAACTTAAGCATAGGGACAGCAGACCTTCGGGGTTGTTGATTTATGGAAAAGATCTTGTAGTAATTGATCATACTTATCTGACTCTCCTCCTCTCCTTCGTTTCCTCGCTTTGACCCAGATCAGGAAAACAGGAGCTGACGGTCATAGCTCGTGCACGCAGATATGAAGTTTGACCCGAACGCCTCGCCTCAGTGCTATCGCTCCAACGACGAGTTGATACAGAAAGACACCAAGGTCAGGATCCAGATCGTAGGGTGCAGAGTAGAGGCGAACGATATCGTAAGTGTCCGCTACGGAGCCCGGTTCGTCATTTGAGCCATAGCTGACTGATCAGTTCGCGATTGGGACAATCAAGAAGGACTTCCTCGGTCAAATGCGAGAAGAATAGCCTTCCGTCACCACCGATTATCCCTTGGCCCTCGCCAGCGTCCACCTGTATCTACAGCATCAGCATCAGCCACCCCGATCGCTCCCTACCTATAATCAACGTCCATACCAATCATCGTTGCCTGGACCCCACCCATCCCATTCCGTTATCTTGGTTGTATACCTAGCATGCTCTATCGAACAATATACCCCCCACAAAACTACGCTCGTCGCAGAGTATGGACACGAGGGAGAAGGTGGCAAAAGGGGAAAAGGAAGTGAAGTGGACAAGACAGTAGATAGGCAGGCGGACAGACAGTAGGTCTCACGCATGGTTTTCGTTCCGGGCAAAATGTATCGCTTGAATCTCATCAGCGCACTGGATGTTGGGCCCTAATGTAAAGCTCTGTCACACAATCTCCGCACCAAAATCCATTGTATGTGTATATGCGCACAAGATCCCAAAGATATCCCTGCTGATTTTCTAAAGTATTGTCCTATTATTCACAAACCCATCCCCTGCGTATCCGCCTTATCAAGCCCGAATCCCGCTCATCCCGCTCACCCCCGTACTCCCTTTACTCGACTTCCCGCCCTTCCTCGATCCGGGCGTCGGCACAGGCGGCAGATTCTCATTCTTCTGACTCCCGCCCTTGGACGTCTTCTTCCGACTCGGCGTAGAAGGCGGTAACGACCCGGCTGTACCATTTTCACCAGCTCTCAACCCGCCGACGTCTCCTTGATTCTTCTCGACGCCCATCTTCGGTTTTGCCCCTCCAGCGCCAGCCAACAAAATCGACGCCGGCCGATTCGCGACCAATCTCAACGGCTTCAGTCCCTTCCTCTTCTCGGGCGAAGGCGGCGTCCCAGGCGGGATCCCCAATACCCTCGCCCGGGTCTCTATCGCCGCCACCTCCTTCTCGACCCTGCCTATCCTCTCTCGCTCCTCTTGCTCCGCAGCGGCCTTGCGCTCCTGTAGCTCCTTGACGAGCCGGAGCTCTTGCCGGCTCATTCGCCATCCCGGCTGGCGCTTGACGGGCGGGGTGGATTGGTCGGACGCCTCCGAGCGGATCGTTTCCGCCGATTTACGGGGCATGATGGTGTGTAGCGGGGCTTGTGGGGCGACGGGGCGATTGTGCGGCGGGACGGGCTGGGTTGAGATGGAAGCGGTAGAGGCGGATGTACGGAGCGGGATGGATGCTGCGGCGTTATGGACCGGGAAGGGGTGCGCAAAGGTCTGCGACATGGGTCGACGCATCGATTCCGGAAGCTCCGGGACGGGCGGTACGGCGATGCCTGGGGCGGAGCGGCCGAACGTATGGTTCTCGCTGGATCCCGACTCGTCCGACCGAGTAGCGGACCGCCTCGACGCGATAGTCGACGCCGACACCTTTTTATCCAGCACGCCGTGCCATCCGCTCCCGGCCGAGCTGGCGCGCGAGAGCGGTCGACCCCCGCTCATCCTTGACCAGGACGTCCGGGCGCTCACCGTCGTGGCTTCCGACCCAGTAGGAGAGATGACGAACTCGGCACGCGTAGGCGTGTCCATCGCGAGGACCTGCTCCATCTCGCGCGCCATGGCTTCGTCGTCCGAGACAAAGCTGTCCTGGCCGACGAGGTGCGAGTCGGTTGATAGCCTTTCTCGCTGGGATGCCGGCGAGGTATAGGTGTGTGAGGCGGGCGAGGTGTACGCGTGGGAAGGGGACTCCCAGAGCGCCTCGGCCGAGAGAGTGAGGTGGGCGAGGGAGCGCATATTGGTCGACATGCGCGTCTCGTTCCCCTCACCCACGGTGGAGAGATAGCTGCCCGGCGTAGCGGGGTATGGAGCTTGCGAGTAGTCTACCGGGAACGCGGGAAGGTCTACCCCGGCCTCTTCGGCAGGAGCAGCCGAGAAGTCAATCACCTGCCGGGGGTACTCGTACTCGTACCCATCGGCGTAGATGGACCAGTCGTGCTGCCGCTCTTTCCCGACCTGGCGGACTTGGGACCGAAGGTCCGAGAAGCTGGCTTTGTCGATGAGGGGGAGGGAGAAGCTGTGCTTGTGCCGGAGCTCGCGGCGGATAGACTTCGCATTAGGGGAGGCGGTGTGGGCGGGTATGGGGTGATCCGTCTGGGTAGGGGCGCTACCGATGGAAGAGCGACGTAAGAGACGGCTGGTGCGGGGCGACTCGGCGTCCGCAAATTGCTCGGAAGGGCGAATGCGGTGCGAGACTTGGTTCCCGCTCATAAGCCTACTTGGTGAGCTATGTCCGCATCGCAACGGGTATCAAAGCTTACTGGGGCAGTATAGCAGACTGCAGCCAGTCCAGCTCCCCATCCCCTCCTTCATCCGTTCGCTCCTTCCCAAAGAAGTACGTCGGACTCGCCGACATCCTCGCCCTCGTAGCCACCTGAATCTCCGGTTCCGCCTCTTCTCCGTCCCCGTCACCGCCATCGCTCGCCTCGCCGATAGAGTATCGCGCCAGCCCACTCTGCCGCCGCTCAAACTTGCTAGGCGAGGTAATGTGGATCGTGATCGGGCTCTGCGGCTCGTCGTCCTCGGCATCATCATACTGCGATACCCCCCTCCCTCGTCTCGGCGTCGACATCTCCATCCCGTTCGCCACTCCATCCTGCAGAGCCATGATCTGGCTGAATCGCTTCGGCAGCAACATCGAGACCACCCCTCCCCTCAACTTCCTCATCATCCCCTCCCCCTCCTTCCTCGGCGGTCCCTCCAGTATCCTCAGCGCAGGAGACGGGCGAATCATCTCTGCCGCCCTCTCCAGCACATTGCCCGCAGGCTTCGCATGTCCCGCCTCCAGCCAAATATCGACCGAGCGCCTCGCGAGCATCTTACGGCTGTACTCCTCGGACGCATCGTCCCGCGCGCTGAGGGCGCCATAGACTGTATGCCGCCGATGCCCCTTCTTCTCGCTGGCGGAAGGCGGCTGGTATCCGAAGCTCGAGATGGACGGTTTGGGCTCAAGGAGGCTGTTCCATTTCTCGGCGAGAGGGACGGAGGCGCGGTTCCGGACGGGCGGGGTGAGTTTGGGGGAGACGGTACCGGGGAGAGAAAGCTGGGACTCAGATTTGAGCGCGAGGGATTGGTGAGTCGATGTGGAAGCTTTGGAGGCTTTGGAGGACTTCTTGAGGTTGCGTGGCTGGGTGGGGAGGGGGAGAGGGCGCGGGCGGAGGAGGTATGTCGAGAAGAGGAGGAGCGTGGAGGGGAGGAGGATGGAGATGAGGTAGAGGATCTGCGTGGTCTGGGTGAGACCGACAGCGAGGAGAGGCGCCGAGAAGGCCTGAATGTCAGGGTCGTCTTGGGCTTAGGCAGGGGCAGAGCTTACGGTGCAGATCATGAGCCCAGCAAGCGATAGCAATCCTACGCCTCTCCCTCCATTCCCCCAACTCTCCAGCCCCTCCCCCTCATCGCTCAGATCGATCATATCCCATTCCCTCTCGCCGCCCATCAGAAGCTCTGTCGAGCCCTTCCCGAGCGCGCCGCACGTACTCTGGTCCCATGGCGTCTGGCTTCGAGAGAGGGTTGGCGTAGGAGGGAGAGGCATGGGGTAGGGGAGAGGGGGAGGCGGGGGTGCTCGGCGGGGATCATCGGACCCTCGACCCCGAACCTGCGATTTGGGCGTCTGGTACGATAGCGAATGGTACGACTCGAGCGTCCAGGTTGAGTCTCGGCCTTGTCCACCTGACGCGGTCTGGACCTGCGACGGGACGAATGTAAACGCCGACCCGGACCGATTTTGGCGCTCGACCAGGCTGGCGCGCCTGGCGAGCTGGGAAGGGGTCATGGGGAATTGTGTGAGCGATTCGAAGCCCCTCGGCATGGGATGGAAGGGGTCCGGGGAGTAGCCCGCGAGGATGGAGCCGCCAGGCGAGCCGAGGGCGGAACCCGGAGTAGACGTGAGGGGGATGGTGTGCATGGAGTGGCCGCTCGCGGTCTGGGCGGATCCGCGAGGCACAGCGCGGGGAGAGGAGATCTCGGGCAGCGCAGGCGAGGTGGATCGTGGCCGAGTGACGGCCGATGAAGGGGTCGGTAGGGACGGGGTGGGAGAATGGGTAAAGTCCCAACTGGCGATGGTCTCTGGAGTGGCAGTGTATTCGGTCAAAGAGGTCTTGGGAGTGTCGTACTCCGACATACCGGTACCCTCGGACTTGGGCGTACGCGAGTCGGACTGCGTATGGGGTGTCTGAACAGAGGGCGAGTAGGAGAAAGCGGAGTGGGGAGTGGGCGGGCGGGCTGAACATCAGCTGTATCCTTGTCATCCATGAATATGGATGTTACTCACATGGGGAGCTGATCATACTGTCCGAGTATTGATAGGCTTGACTATGCTTCTCGGCCATACTGACCCTATGGCCAGATCGGGAGTCAGGCGAGGGAGAGGCCAGGCGAATCATGCCCCTCCTAGCTCGGCTTTGGCTCCGGACCGAGTATGATGCCAGGGCCATGCTGGATACCGACAAGAGGGAGGTGATGATGAGTAGGAAGATGCCGGCCGAGGGGAGGAGGACGGTGATAGCGCAGAGTAAAGCAGAGGCGAGGGAAGAGTAAGGGAGGATGCGGGGGATGATGGTGCTGTGAGTGACGCCGCCGGAGCCGAAGATGGCGGAACGGATGAGGGAGAGCTCGTGCCTAGCGATATGGTGCGGTCGGCGCATGGCCGAGAAGAGGGTGATGGTGGTGATACCGACTGCGACGGGGATGACCGATAACGCCAGGCACAACCCCGCCAATCGACCCGTCACCCCCGTCGTCAGGTAGACCCATCCCGCTATCAATGATACCCCCGCCTGGGCAGCCATCATAAGCATGACTTTGCCCCGAACGCCGAGCGCCGAGCCCATCGTGAGGGACGTGATGGACGATATTGAGCCATTAGGGGAGGTAGACCGAGGAGGAAGGTTGAAGAACTCGCGAGGGAGGTTACGGGTCCGGCGCCGAGGGTTTGGGATGAGTGCTGTGATGCGAGCGAGGAGGGGTCCGGGGCGCGGGAGAAGGTGGAGTAGGGGGAGGAGGTAGTAGGTGACGTGGAGGATGAGGGCGAGGAGGAAGGGTACTGGGACGGCGACGAGGACCTCGAGGGGCAGCATGTTGCTCAGGTATACTGGGTGAGTGTAGATAGGGTAATGTAGACATTATAAGCGGGAAGTTGTTTGTTCTGATTCTACTATGGCGCGGAAGGAATGAGTAGATGTTGGGCCAACCCTCCACACAACACCCAAACCCTGAAACACACGGGGTGATCCTCATGCCGTAAGCATGTTTCGCCACATACAGACCGCTACTTCAAGCTCGGGGTCTTTGAGCCTTTTTGCTCCGGTTACCCTCATGTTTCGCCACCCAGAAGCCAGACAGCTACTAGTGAGGCTCGCTGAAATCTTTTGCTCCTGCAAACTCAGCAGATCCTTCGGCACTGGGAGGCATCTGCCAAGCATAAGTCTCAGCTGGTCTACGCAGAATCTCGCGGCAAATACATATCTTAGCTCTCGAGTAAGCCAAGCTGTGAATATTCTTCAAGCATCACTCCTCTCAATGTACCTCGCCGCTTGGTTCTGAAAGTGTACACTGGCCGTGTCGAAGCTACACGACGGCTCGTAACTGTCAGGCCAGGTGGTGCCAGTTTTGCCTTTCTTCCATCGCACAAGATAGCACCGTCTCAAGTCGCCGTTGGCAGTGACAGCCAGCCTGGACTCGTTGGGTACGAAACTGACGTAGTCACCCTCGTCGCCCCGACTGTAGACTGCCTCGCCGGATGTCACATTGGTGAGCGGTGTGCCGACAGGAAGCCCCGCAGCGGTCCTTGTCCTCCCCAGTTCCTCCCAATCGACCTTGTTCTGCTGAACGATTTCGTCGAAGTTGACCTTTGCCTTGGCGTATGCGGCCCTGAGCTTCGTCTCCTTGTTTTCCGTACTCTTGTACCAGGCCTTCCAAGCAGGCGGCATGTCCTGTGAAGTGATGTTGCTGGCAGCCGTGTGGCTCTCCAACTCGGTAACGCTGACCCGTTAGATTGCTTGTTCGCGAGCAGTCATGCGGTATGCGAGCTGGTACTGGTTTGCACTCACATGCGCGTCCACAGCGACTTTATGTCGACGCATGTGAGATCATACTCCTCTACCTCCCCTTGTCCGTTCTCAACGCGTTGCAAGAAGAGGTCTGCCAGCTCCTGCTTTGTGAGATCTGAGAAGAATGTGTTCCTCGTCTGTATCAGTCAGCCATGAGGACACTGCTGCCTAGTAAGTCGGTTTGGGGCGGTTCCCATGTAACAAGACACCTACCAGACCAGCCACACGCAGTGACTCGTATGGATTGCGCCCTTCGTCACTCTTTCCGTCAAGTTCGGTCTTTCCCCTGGACCGAGTTATCCGACGCGTGGACCCTTTGCACTCCGTAGCGGCTCTGCGCTGCGAAGACCTTATGGTAGGCATGGGCCTCATCACAGAAGAGGGAAGATCAGAGTGGGAACGTGTGCACTGTGCACTGTGTCGGGAGATGCGGTATGTGGAGTATTCGGTGCGAACGAGAGAGGATTGATATGTAAACCTTGGGATGAAGGCGGGTGAGGTTCCCCTTATGTAGCTTTGAAAGCATGGGGGACGGCCTAGTGCGACTGGTTGAGACCGAAATCGGGCGAGTACACGGGGTACCTCCCAGGGGCGAAAACCATTATGCGATAGCAGCTTCCTTTCGACAGCGTCACCGTAAACCTCTCCTCGTGCTGTGCTATGACAACTTGTGACCGAGCATGCCATGGCGGCTGAGACGCCGTCTGGGTGAAACATGGGGCGGTCCTGTTTCGAGGGGCAGCAAATCAATGCAGGGGCTCAGAGCGGAGTTTCTTGTTCGATGAAAGCGGTGCTTCCCTGGAGGTGTTGAGGAGCGAACGCAGTTGGAGACATATCTCGAGCGTGGCTACTTTCTCGGGTATCAGATCGCGACGGTGAATCAGATGCGGAGCTACATGCTTTGGCGGAGGCTGTGCAATCCAGCGTGCCGATAATGATCCGACGCAAGGCATAAGTACTGCTCGCGCACTATCAACCATCAGCCTGATGTCGGACGAAAGCTATACGCGGGGGTGAGGCAGCTGGTAGGGTTTCTTCTCCAGCCTGCCACTACTGCACCCCACTACGTTGTGGACTGTCAATGGTAGCTGATTCCGGGTGCCTGGGCCTCGAGCTTGTTATTGCCCCACGTGCACCTCGGGCGCGATGATCTACCTGCACCGCCATGAGAGGCCAAAGGAGTGCGAAAGGCCACTCTTGTCTGCCGCTACACCCCTCGGATAGACCTTCCTTTAACTACGTTCCGCGCGCATGCCTCGATCCAGCATGAGCGAGCTGAGGGGCAGGACCGAGTCAACGACTGCTGCGACGTCAGCACAGAATCAGCTGCAGTGCGCGAGGCCCTTGATCGGATGATTGAGATGACGCCTGGGTACCGCGTCCCACCCAATTTGCCCTATCCGTGCAGGTCCATGCCTTTCTGGGCTGCCAGCTAAAATGCCAACAAAGCCAATTGAGTGAGGTGGAGGTGAGTAGGGGGCGGAGTGAGGTTCACTGGGTGAGTAGGTAGACTGTATACAATATGCATCTACTTTTGATATCGTATGATAGTATCTCCTTTTGTTCCTTCTGAACCACTACTCGCAGACATCCCCAGCGCCCAAGAATTTAGAAGCAAGCAAAAAGGGACCATATACAACCCGCACGCGCCATCCCGCCTTACACCCTGCCCATCCGCCTCACCCTCATCGCCTCATCAAGCAGTACCGCCTCCCTCCTCATCCCCTCTTCATCAATACTCATATCCCCCATGCCCGTCCTAATCTTTGCCGCCACCCCGAGCGCGGGCGCCGCGCCGACAGCGTAGAGAGATTCCCCACCGGGACTGAGGATGGAGGGGGAGACGATGGTGGGAACGGTAGACGCGGAGGACGATTCGGCTGCGGACTCGGCGTCAAATTGAGCGCGCTGGCGAGCCCAGTCGGCTTCGGTCTGAGCGGCCTCTTCGGCGGATGGGAAGGAGGTTTGGATGGCGCCGGCCGAGAAGGGGTTGGAGGCGATATGGGCGGAGAGGAGGGTGGTGAGGTTTCGAGCGAACTCGACGAGCTGGAAGACGAGTCTGGATGTCAGCTTAGATAGTATAGACAAGATGGTGCGGACTCACGATACATTTGGACCGATCCAGCAGCTTTTGGCTTTGATAAAGTCGTAGGTATCCTGCATGCCCTTGAGATGACCAAGGTACATTGGCAGTCGACCCGAAGCAGCAAGTGCCATGGTGTAGGCGATGACGAGCGTCGCTGAGCGCGATACACCGCATTGACAACTGCTGATCAGCTTCATCCCATACCTACATCCCTAAAGTGAGACTTACTGTATGAGAACCGCTTCGCCCCGTTGTCTCCCTTCCTCCATATACCGTATCGCCTCCCAGAACCTCCACTTCTCCCTCTCTTCCACTGCCGCCTCGACAAAGCTCCCCTCGATGACATCGCCCATCCTCATCCCCTCATCTACCTCCGCCAGTCCAGACTCGCCATGACTCCACGCGAGGTGGGTGTACTCGACCTCTGGCCGCCCTTGCCCGACGTCGGCGGAATAGACTGCGCGCTGGACCTTCCCCTTGCCTTTGCGCGAGATGGGGACGATTCCCTCGGCGGCGAACGGGTCGTCAATCTCCTGAGCGACATTGAGGATGCGGACCCGATTACTCCGAGCCCAGGAAGACCAGTGATACATGGTATCTTCGGCGCCGAGGTATACGCCGGGAACGATCTCGATGGGTCCGTCGGCGTATGGCTCGTTGGTGCGGGATTGGTATGGCGTCTCGAGCTGAGAGAGGGAGGGCGAGGAAGTGGGTGTAGTGGAGAGTGAGCCGGCGTGGGAGGAGATGGTGGGTGTTGGAGACGAGACACGGAGGTTTGTGTCTGTGAGTGGGACGAACGTGGTGTTGTTGAGCCGAGGGTAGGCTGAGCGGGATGAGCGAGGGTCGATGGAGAGGGTAGGGAGGACGTCGGCTGTGTTGCTTCGACGACGAGGAATGTGGGATGTGTGATATGCGTAGGAGAGACCCGGAGTGGGTGGAGGGTCATACGCGGATGGGGGCTGGGTGATGAGGGAGAGGAGGTTGGGTCGACGTGCTTTGGTCTGACGGCCGAGCGTCATGGTCATGGTGGGTGGATGGGAGGGACCAGGGGTGACGGGCCCATTGTCGGTGTCGGACGGAGGGGTGAGGGACCGGCGGATGGCGATACTGGATGGGCCGGGCTGACTGGGGATGGCGAGCGAGAGCCGCTTCGGGTTGCGCTTGATGCTCATCACCGAGGGGAGGTTGGGTGGGGACGATTGCCTGGACGACACCGACCGTGGAGAAGCGAGTGACGACGGTGAGGGCGGCATGTCGGGACGGGCGGTGAATGGCTCATCCGACGCAGAGCCGAGTGAAAGATTCGTCTGAAGTGAAAGACGCATCTTCCCCTGCCTCCCCATATGACCGCCGCCCGACAACGGAATGCTCCCAGCCCTCATCAAAGGGGCAGACGGCTGCCCCTCTTCCTTTGAAACACCATCCATCAGATCCTCCATGGTCGCCCCTGGCCGTTGACTGATGTCTGAACGGACCTTTTTCGCGGGCGGGGTCTCGGGCGACTCGGGGGTAGGGAAGCGAGCGCGTTTTCGGTTGACAGGGAGGTTGAGCTGGACTGGAGAGAAAGGAGGGGTGTGAGGCGAGGGAAAGGACGACTGTGAAGGAGAGAAGGGGATGCGTCGAGGCGATGCGAGGACCGAAGGGCGCCGGTGCGCAATGAAGGGGGGAAAGGTGGGGTGCGAGGGGGTTCGCGCTATGATATCTGTTGGCATGGCGGCGTTGTCAAGGTGGGTGATGATTTCGAATGGAGAGTCGACCAGCGACGAGATATATAGGTAGATAGATGGTGAAGGGTAGGATGGGAAGAACGTCGGTCAGCTATGCTGTCTCTTGCTATATATGCGGTATGGATAAGGGGTATGTCTGTCGCGAGGATAAAAAGAGGTGCTCGACAAGAGATGCAACAAGCGAGGAGGACGTGTGTGTAGAGGTGGAGATGGAACAAGAGAGCCGTCGGTGCCAACGACCACGGTAGGAAGGGGTGCGTATGGAGAATAGGCGATAGATGGTATGGGATGAAACGGTCTCCAACGCCAACCAAAGTGGTCGTCAATCCCATAAAAATGGTGCGAGATAGATGAAACACGCTTCTCACAAAAAGCGCAAAGAGAGTAAAAAGGGAAAGGACACACACAGGATAGCGCCGGGGGTAAGTGGAAGAGGGACATACCATGACGACGGCCTCCAGTAGGCGGTAAGCTAGTCTGATGGGTGGAGCACAGTAACGCAGAGCCGTGCGTGATGTCCGTTTCCCAAAGTTATTCCTACTCCTCGGGTTCCTGGCAACTCCTTCTCCGAGCCTGACCGGGACGATCACCTTCGGGTGTCTCGCCGCAGCTCAAGTCTCGCCCAGCGAAAGGATCGCCTCGCAATCTAATCAAAGGCGAGTCGAGGCGCGTTTCATACCCTACAGGCCGGCTGTATAGGTGTCGAGCTTGTGACAGAGAGAGCGACAGATGGAGGTGTGAGCGCAGTTTCAGGGGGAAAATTGAGTTGGCTGTGTGTGTGGGGGAGCGGGGCGGAGGGAGGGGGCGCGCAGCGGCGAGGACAAAGGGACAAAGGAGGCGCTTTGAAAAGATGAAACGCGCCGAGAGAAGGCGTTGTTCCGCGTTTCAGCGTCGCGAGGAGGATATCCGCCGAGGCTTCCGAGCGTGCGATGAGCGATGGATAGAGAGAGTGAGACGTCTGTGTAGATGAAGTAGTTGTAACTTTCACTAGCAACTTCAACCCCCATAGCGATGACTTGTCCTGCTCTGCCTCCCACAGGTGCACCGCTTCAACTTTATCCGGTTTCGCTGAGCTCACCTCGAAACGCAGTCGAATCAACAAAAGCGGCAAATCCGGATTCACTTTAGCGTCGATTGCCGTTCAATGCCGGCATCACGGAGAAATCTTAAACGCTGCTAGCATAATTCCATCGGAGGAAGAACGTCCGAGGTGGAGGCTGCGCTGGTGAAGGTCCAAGTACAAGTACGGTCGTATCTGTGCAGCTCGGAGCTGTGTAGGGCTTGAAAGTAAAAGGGCAGGCGTGAAGATGTAGCATGGAGGGATGGGGACGATCAGATGTCATGCTCAAGCTCTGTGCAATTTCTTCCCATGAGTGAACCGTCTCGCCCGGTGCCCCTGCTCGCCCCCTGGCCCATGTCCATCCCGCCAGCACTCATCGCAATAGACGTCATCGTCACAACCAGCACACTGCACCGTTGCGTCCTTGTTGCATATACCTGCACCATCAGCATGAACTCCATCGCGTCGCAAGATCCCGCAAAGAGTAGGCCGCTGAACTCACAGCACCAACTATCCAGATCCTCGTCCCGTCCATCCTCCCATCCCGGTAGATTCCACCCCTGCCCTGCCTGTCTCCCTTGCGCTGGCTTGCTAGTCGGTGCTGATGGTAGCTTGGGACCGCCAGGATGAATAGACGGTCCCGGAAGACCAAGGAGCATGGCCATGCGCGCGTCGACGGCTGGGTCGTCTTGGTCGGCTTCGTCAAGCTCTTGTGCTGGCACGTGCGTCGGTATCGATGGGAAGAGATCCACCTCGTCCTTCGTCAGAGCCGCTCCGTCATTCGAGAGGCCCACCGTCGGCTCCAGACCCGATGCTGCCTGAGCAGCCTTCTGTTTCTGTTCCTCATCCACCTCCAATTCGGCCTCCTCCAGAGCCCGCTCGAGGATTTCTTGCTCCGTCTCCCCGTCATACACCTCCTCCTCATCTCCACTTCCTGCTGTGTTCATCTGAGCGTTTGCTGGGACCGGCGGCTCCGCCAGATGTCTCGTTTCCCGCAGGATCGCGTGCGCCTCTCTGAGATCGTCACTGTCTCCTCTTGGCTGCTTCGAGACTGACGTCGACGTCGGCTCGGGGGTGCCTGATTGGCATTGGGCAGTAGCAAGAGACGCGATGAACGCTTCCACCTAACATCAGCTCGAATCTCAATACAAAAGAGATACACGTACATCGTCATCCCCATCCCCATCTTCCAGACCCAATTCGTCCATTCCCCATCCTCCTCCTTTCCCATCATTCAGGCCCTCATGTCTCCCCTCCAACTCCCTTTCTTCTCGCCCTGCATCTCTCGCAGATCCCCTAATGTCCCCCCATGTCGAGCCATGATCGAGCGGCCGCCCATCCGCGATCCTCTCGAGATCCTCTTGATCTTTTCTCGCGCGTTCTTCCGCGGAGGCTATGTGGTGCGCGTACCCATCAGACTTGGATGGGCCAGCGATGGGTACCGAGGCCGGATTGGAGCCTTTTAGGGCGGCGAAGCGACGTAGAAGGTCCTCGTCTGTCATGGCATGATGGCGTTGTAGGGCAGAAAGCAGACAGAGGGATGCAGGTCGCACCGCCGACGGGGCGACCCAGTTAAGATTCGCTTAACTCGCCAAAATGTCCCCGCTCGATCCTGCTGCAGCGAGGAGCAGCTCGACTGTGACCATCACTCCATCTCATTTGACAGCAGGATGAAGGGGTTAGCTCTTCCTCCTAGACAAGCAATCACGGCTCGAGTGGGACTCGGTCGGAGGGCGACACTCCAGCCAATAAGTCTCGGCCTCCACAGACAGCTCTTTACCACGCGACCGAACCCCCTCGCCCAACCTTCCGCGCCTCCCCCACCCGCCCCACCCCCAACCCAACCAGACAACATCACCACGCCCCCCTCTATCGACACCACCACGCCCCTCCTCTCCCCACACACCTCCCCCAAGATCTCATCGACCCGACTCCAAGCGTACGCGCCCCGCCTGACCGCCATTTCCCGCCGCACCGGCGTGCCCTTTGCCTCCCTCGCTGGTTCATTTCTCGTATTACACGAAATAACCGCCATCGTCCCCGTCGTCATCCTCTTCTTCATCTTTCAGGCGCTTGGCGCGGGTGCAGGCATAGTCGCATGGCTGACGAGCCTGGAAGAGGGGGTGGAGGGGACGGTGAAGGAGATGTGGGAGGAAGGTGGTGCTGGGGGTCAGGCTGTGAAGAAGAGTAGGGGGTGGAAGGGATGGGTGAAGGATTGGATGGCGGAGGCGGAGGAGAAGGCGGAGAGGGTGGGGAAGAGGTATGGCATCTTGGGGTATGAGAAGGTGGTCAAGCCGAAGAAGGGCGAGGTGGCCGGTAGTGCTGCGGCGGGAACGGCGGGCGCGAGCGGAGGAGAAGCGGTAGCAGGAGCCGTAACAGCTGGGGGAGCAGCAGAGAAAGTCGCCAATGCCATCGCAGCATACGTAGTAGTCAAGGTGAGCTGCCTCCTCGCCCAGCGGTTGAGCACTTCGATCATTGCTAACGGACATCAGGCGATACTTCCCCTCCGAATCGGCCTCTCCCTCGCCCTCGCACCCTCTTTTGCCCGCTTCGCACTCTACCCAATCCGCCGTCTGATGGGCCGCATAAAATCCAAGCCAAAACCACCTATCAAAGGCGATGCATCATGATCGGGATCACACCTGCACAGCTCTGGCAGATAAGAGACGATACTGTCCTGTTGCCTGCGCCGCAACCAGCTCATCCGGCGTCAAACGCAACACCTCCGCTTCCTCCTCCTGCACATCCTCCATCGGATCATATCCTTCTTGCCAGGTTTCTGCTGGCGGTGGTATTGGCCGAGGAATGGCCTGGATGACGAGCGTTGCGCCCTCTCTTGAGACGAGCTTGCCGATTTTGTATACCAGCTCGGGCGCGAATCGCGTGAGGTTCAACTCGACAGCCTGATAGATTAGCTTGATATCCCACCTGTCGTGATAGAGGGTGTGGCAGCTCACAGACCAAGCTATCAGACCTCCCATTTCTACCCCTGCGCTCGATTCGGGCGATAAGAATGGCAAGCCATAGAAGCTCAAATCCACCTTTTCCCAGAATGAGGCCATAGTCTCCGTCTCCGCGACCTGTTCTTCCTGCATCTCCACCTCGGCCTCCGGTGCAGGAGGCGGCGGAGAGACATGCCGACTTGCCGGAAGAGAGGGACGGGGCGGCATGGTTGGCTTCTTGGTCCATTTTCGGACAAAGGGGAATTGGGCGGTGGTGATGTAAAGGTTTGATGGAAGATCCGCCTCAGCCGCTGATGCCGGTTGCGTACCAACCGCAGGTACGGGCGCAGCTGTCATCTCCGCCGGTGCCGGTACAGGTATCGGTTCCAATCCGCCGTTTATGACCGGTCCTGCCGCAGGATTCGCCGCCTCCGCCTCGTCCCCGTGAAAGACAGTCTTCAGCCCCGTCTTTGCCATCTTCAAGAACCCTTTCCGCTTATTGCGATTTGCAATGTCTTTCTGCAACGGCAGGATGGAAGGGGCGTTCGCCGTGGTCGTGACTGACCCCGATATCGGTTTCTCCGCCGATGTCGACCCGTTCACCTGGGGGGAAGGTCGAGGCGAAGAAGTAGCTGCGATAGCTTTGCGCTGGATGGCCAGCTTCTTGCGGCGACGGAGATTACGAATCTTTGTGGCGGGTTTGCCTTCGCCGGGAATGATATTGCCATCGGGATTATGACTGGATGGTCAGCAGAATACCTCGAAGGCCCAGAGAATGGGGCCTACATAGCCTTGAGTAGCACGGGATATGGGTTGGTTGGAGATTTTGCCCGGGACAGCGTGATAGGTGCGGCTGACGATGGACTGGCCGAGGTGGTCGTCGACGAGCTGGAGGATCCGGATGATGAAGACGAGGAGGATGAAGAGGACGATGAGGATGAGGATGAAGATGAAGAGGAAGAGGAAGAGGAAGAGGATGCAGAGCGAGATCGGCCTGCGCGCGACTTCTGGCCAGCCGCCCCGGGCCCGGCCGGAGCAGTCGCGACCTGCCCTATGCCCTGGCCTACAGTCCGTACTGAGGAGGATTTGACCTCGGGCGGCTCGTCTTCCTCGGAGTCGGAGGTGAATGAAGATGTGGACTCCGACGATGACGAGGAGCTGCTTTGACTGGATCCGCCGGAGAAGCTCGCCTTTTGTGATGTAGCAGCCAGCCTCGGTGGTGCCTGGCCTCGCCGTCCCTCCGATATATCCTTCCCCGACGCCAAAGCAGCTCGTCGCCCCGAGGGTGAGCCGCCCCTCTTCTCGTACTCTGTCGTGGCCGAAGGTGACTCGGCTGTATCCCGCTTTCGTTTCCGGCCAGCCTTGGCAGCTCCATCCTGGGCAGGTACGACCGATCTAGAGCTACCAGCAGCCAGTCTGATGCTGAGGTATCAGCTCGACTGCCACCGACACACTCAACGGACTTGCGAGCTCACCAGACGACATCCCCTTCTCTTAGGATATCCAGCGGGCCATCAATCACCTCAAATCCGTCCACCTCCAGGCAAATCTCTTTCGGATGTCTCACTAGTCCCCTTACATTCTCGACGGTGGCGAGGATGTGTCGTTGGAGATCCGAGGTGGTATTGAGGGTGGAAGGGATAGGAAGGAGGTATTTCCCCGCTGGGAAGGGAGGGAGCAGCGAGATTCTGAGACGAGACGGGTTCCCGTTTGAGCTGGACATTTTTCTGTCCCCTCTGTTCTCCTCGTGAGCCGCTTAATGCAAGCTCGCGATCGTGACTCGGAGTACGAGGAAGGTATACTCCATGCAACTTATGAGCAGATGCGAGCTTCGCGAAATATCTGCCGACCCACCCACAAATACGCACGGATCAGACACGGAGATCCACGTGACCCCGCCCCGATGCCGGCATCACCCCGCCTCGCCTTCGGCCCAGCCAAAAGCACTCAGATCTGCAACCCTCTCTTGCTTCCATACCACATGTCCACATCCACCCCGCTAGTCATATTCCTCATATTCTTAGCCTTATTCATCTTATTCAAACCTAGTAAAGCAGCTCCCCCGCCCAGAGACCCCAGCATGGCGCCAAATATCACCGAGATCACGTCAACGTTCCGTGAGCATTACCCTTTGTCAGCGGGCGCAGTGATGCTGGAGCTGATCAGGTAGAGTATGACGGGATTGTCAGTGCTTTGCCGGCTAATCAGCTGCTTGTGATCGGTAAGCCTGCTTGATGTAGACGCCTTGTCATGAAACAATAGCTGATGTGCGTAGACTTCCACGCTGTATGTTGAATTGGTCATCCGACCCGGAGCGCTTGCTGACTGCCTAGGTCTGGTGTGGACCATGCCATGCCATTGCCCCAGTGCTTGAGCAGCTTTCGAACAAGGTCAGCTTCTCTGTTCGGGTTGTTGGATCCCGCAAAGCGTCAGCTGAGCCGGTAGTTCACCCATGTCAAATTCGTCAAGATTGATGTGGACAAGCAGGCGCAGCTTGCTCAGAGGTTCAAAGTCCGCGCTATGCCTACCTTCAAGTTCATCAAGGGCGGCAAGGAAGTCGATGAAGTAGGTGAACATGACCACTCGGAGGTGAATCCAAGGCTGATGTGATAGCTCAAAGGCGCTTCCCCTCCCCAACTCAACGCCCTGGTCGCGAAGCACGCTGGCCCCGCATCCGCCTTCCAGAACTCCGGCAGCGGTCAAAAGCTCGGTTCCGGATCTGCATCCACCATCTCCGCCTCGGGGTCTTCGTCCGCCTCGGACTCTTCTTCCCTCCTCAGCCAAATAACCGCTAAAGGCCTTTCATGCCTTAACGAGTCGGCCTCGCACCCCCTGTCGTCCATCGTCGGACCCGCCCACGGACCCAAGGGTACCTCATACCTCGAGTCCGACGTCGACCCCGAGCTCCTCATCTCCATCCCGTTCAATGATGCCGTCAAGCTCAAGGCCATCTCAATATTCTCGGGTGTGTCTCCCTCGCAGGCCCCCAAGAACATCAAGTTGTTCATCAATTATACGAGCATGGACTTTGCGGATGCGGAGCGCGAGTCGCCGGCGCAAGAGATTGAGCTGAGCAAGGAGGATGTCAAGGGCAACAAGGTGGAGCTGAGGTTTGTGCGGTTCCAGAGCGTGAGGAGTCTGCATATCCTGATTAAGGATAATCAGGAGGATGAGGAGACGACGAGGATTGATTCGATTGATCTGTATGGGAGCGGTAAGTCTGATGTCCAGCTAGTAGCCAAGGGATTGATGGCTGATGTTGTAGTGGGCCAGACGTCGGACAAGGGGCCTCTGCCGAAGCACGATCACGAGCATTAGTAAACCGCTCGATTGTCGATAGACTTAGATATCAAGGTATGCAGGTGATACGTGCTAGCCCCGTTGTCGAAGGTCCCCACTCGATTTGCCATATCGAGTCTCTCTATCTGTGCATACAAACCACCTCGCCCAACCACGGCACAGCGCGCCACCCACCCTCACCCACCGCACTCAAACACCACGCGGAACGTTATCGATAAGCTTTGAGCCAGTGAGCCGTGCCTGAGCCCTGAACACGTCACTGCCTCGATTTGCTGGAATCGGAGCGAGGAATGACGATTTCGATGCCTGCCCCGCGGCCCGTCAGCATCTCCCAAGTCAAAGTCAGCAGCATCATCGCTCTTCCTTCCATACATAAGTTTCTCGGTTCAGGCATCAACCCCACCCTTTTCAAAACTCATACAAAGTCGATACATTTGCCAAAATGCAGAGCATCCTCCACTCCGTCATCGGTGAGTAAACGCTTGCCATCGCTGTCCAGCGTGACCTCGCACAGAGCAGGAGCTAACAATTTCAGGTCCCGCCGGCCCAGAAGTCGCAGACCTCAAAGGCAAGACCGCCATAGTCACCGGCGGTGCCACCGGTATCGTATGTCCTTTCCCCTCCCCTTTCCCCTTCCCCTTCTCCTCCACGACTCCTGATCGAGACTGATATAGCAGGGCTTCGAGGTCGCCAAAGCCTTCTGCCGATATGGCTGCCGGGTCATCATGGTCAACCGAAAGGAAGAGCAAGGCAACGACGCGATCGCGGATATTAAGAAGGATATAGGGGCAGACTCACAGATCGAGTGGAAGGAGTGCGATCTGGGGAGTTTGAAGATGGTCAAGGAGGTGTTCGGTGGGTTTGCGAAGGATCTCGAGAGGCTTGACTATGTGAGCTCAGCTCAGCGCTTCTTCTCATTGAAGGCATAAATAGCTTACAAGACAGTTGATCCTCTCCTCTGGGATCAACGTCAACTTCTTCCGTGTTGACGCAGACGGTATTGACGGTCACTTCGGAGTGTACGTCCACCTCTCCCTCTTCCCACTCCCTCCCCGCCCAAACTTCAACTGACCAACAGTAACGCCCTCGGCCACTACTACGCCCTCAACCTCCTCTATCCTCTCCTCCGCAAAACCTCAAAGCTCCCCGGTACCCCAAAAGGCTCCGTCCGAATCGTCTTTGAGTCGTCCGAGATGCATCGTGCCGCCCCCGGGTCGGAAGACTCCAAGGAGCGCGCCCGGGGCTGCCACTTTGGGTCCGAAGAGGAGATTACAGAGGGAGGCAAGACGCTCGGCCCGACAGAGCTGTATGGGCGGACCAAGCTCGCGATGATTCTGTATGGGAAGGCGATGAGGGATAAGGTCATCGAGAAGAATGGGGATGATATTTACATCTGTGAGTATTCTCAGGGGAAACGATGGGTAGTGACTGACACAGCAGTGAGCGTCCACCCCGGAGCTGTCAACACCGAGATGCAGCAGCAATGGAAGGACGCGTACCCCGGTATCCTCGGGAAGGTCCTCTCGAACGGTATGCTCGCGTTCGGCCGGGACGCCGTCCAGGGATCGTACTCTGCCCTGTACGCTGCGTTGAGTCCCGAGGTGGTCGAGAAGGGTTGGAACGGGGCGTACTTCAGCGACCCGGTAAGCCTTGGTATTTCTCGTTCTGAGTGATTGATCTGATGAATACAGGCTACGCTCGGTGGGGAATCAGCCCAGGCATGCGATACCAACCTCGCCACTGCGCTCTGGGAGCTGTCGGAGCGGATGGTCAAGCGGATCGTGGGCGATGATGCCCTGGTCAGCTGGTCCAGCTAGACATCAGATGAGGGAATATGTAGCGAAATAGACGATGGTTAGTAGCAAAGATTGCTTCATGTATCATGTGTGACTAGCCACTGGCGTAGCATAATGAGTAGCATTAACTCAAGATATAGACAAAATCGAAAGAAAACACCCCCTCGCCCCTGATCTTGCTGCTCTAGCTGTACCCGCTAAGCTTCAAAGGTGGACAAGCAGCCGACACCTGTTCATAGATCAGCATTAGCCCATCTCGAAGCACAGAAGGCGACTCACCATGCATTGCTTCAGCCAAAGCACATCACACGCCTTCTTGTTCCCGCTCACACCCTTCGGCAAATCCTTCTTCCTGCGATCTTTCTCTGCGCTGTTCAGGATGAGGATATCGTACGTGTCGTCTTTGACGCCTTCGAGGGTCGAGATCGTGTCAAAGGAGATTGCGCCCAGGCCGAACGCGCAGGTCCCGACAATCTTCTGTATACGCGTCAGGTGAGGCAAAGGAAGTAAATGATTTGAGCTTACCTTGAGATCGACAGCTTTAGGGTTCAGGTTCATGAACAGAATCCGCTTATTCGCGAGGGGCCGACGCATGTGGCGCGCATTCCGGATAGACCAGGACTCGGTCCCCCACGCCAGATCGACGATCTGAGAAGCGGCCTGCTGGGTGATGGCGGATGTACCGGGGCTGACGAGGTGTGCAACCCAATCGCAGTTCGGCTAAAAGCTTCAGCTCATTCCCTTTCATTGCCAAGCCATATACCCACATCAGACAGCGCTGCCTCCACATAGCCAGGGTGCAGACACGGCGCACCAAAACACAGAGCCGCCATGCTCTTGACCTTCATCCCCGTCCGCGCCCCCTCCACGTCCCCCGTGCTGATAAAGAACGGCACCCGTCCCAGATCTGCCCGGAGCGGATGCCCAAACTCCGTCCCTTCAAACAGATCGCTCCAGTCACACAGTTGCCCGCCGTTCCGAGTGATCGTATTCCGGAGATGGGCGGTCGTCTCGTCCGTCGGGGTGATGAGGAAGATCTTGTCCGAGAACGTCGTCGTACCCGTTTTGGTCTTGAACACGACAGAGGCCGACGAGCGCTTGGCGAGCTCAACGTCCGACTCGTCCGCCTCTTCCTCGGGGAGGTCGGAGAAGGTCTCGGCGGAGACGAGACGGTCGTCGAATAGCTTGAGTACCGTCGCGCGCGCGAATCGCACCTCGCCGACGTCGTACATCCCCACATCCCCCTTTTTGCCCTTGACGCTGACTGTCCCATCCCCCTCCGCCCAATCCGCCGCAATCTCCAGGTCGATCCGTTTCTTCATGCTGGGCATGTCAAATTTGACCCGATCGCCCACGCGGAGCTCACACCGACGCATCTCGTCCAGCGCTACATGAGCCGAATCGCCGTCGAGGTACCGGACGCGATAGATGTCTCCGACCCGAGCGACGACGTGGGCAGGGTAGTAGCTTTGATTGGGGCCGTAGTATGCAAAGACGGTTGGGCGATCGGTGACATTGTCCTCAGCTTCGTCCTGCTCCGTCGTGGACCGCTGGGAAGTGTATGTAGGAGTGGGGAGAGGTGGGTCATCCGCCAGGACCGAGAGCTTGGAGTTCCGCTTCTTTGCCTTGGCCGGAGCTTTGCCTTTGCTCGGAGCGGTCGACATTGATGTGGAAGCGACCGAAGCTTGACGCGAGAGACGCTTCTTGTCCGAAATCAGAGGTTTCGCCGGCGCGGCCTTCTTGGACAGCTTGAAGGTTTCGTCGTCCGGGTCCTGCGGCGTCGGCGGACTCTCCGGCTCCGACAACTCCGACATCTCCTCGTCCGCCTTCTTTGCAGCAGCCTTCTTCCCCGCCCCCTTCTCCACTGTCTTGACCACCTTCGAGTTGTCCGTATCCGATACCGCCCCGCCCGTCCCGCTATTGTTCCTCGAGAGGTTGGAGGAAGGGAACCGGTTCACCGCGCTGAACACCTTCCTCGCTGGCTTCTCTACCGCCGCCGCGGGAGCTGGCGCCTTCTTCGCCTTAGACGAGGCCTCGCTGTTTGGCGCAGACTTCTTCCCGGGCTTAGACGTCACGCTCGCACCGCTAACCCGCTTGATGACCGGACGATACGAGTAGTCCTCGGTATCCTGCGGAGTGGGCTGACTGGCCGGCTCAGGTGGCTCATCCACCTCCATCCGGTCGTCGCGGGCCGGCCCTTCGTCTTCGTCAATGACAGAGCCGAGTGGGTCCGGAGAGCCTTCCTCGTCGTCCGCTGCAGCCTTGCGCTTCTTTCCGCCACTTTTGGCTGGCTTTGGTGTTCGCACAGTTTCCGCCTCGGCCGCCTCTGTAGCTCGACGACTCGGCTTGGACAGCCGTTTCTCCTTGGTCGGGATTTCAACCATGGGCCTGACGGGTTTTGGAGGTGGTTTCGCCGGAGTGACGCTAGCGCCGTTCCGCCTCGTGCCGTATGTCTTGACAGGTGTGGGCAATTTGGTAGGTTGGGGAAGAGACGGGACGCTCTCGGCGTCTTCGTCCGTGGCGGCCGACTCGTCCGCTTCCGCCGCCGGAGGTGGGTTCTCGTCGACGCTCATACCAGACCGAGCGGGCGGAAGAGCGGGTGCGATCTTAGCCCGCTTTCCCCGATGCTCGGGGGCAGGTGGTGAGTCGGAAGACGACGAAGTCTGCACCAGCCTGGGCCGTTTAGCACGCCGACTTGGCGTCTGGATAGGCCTCGAGAGCGAGCAAGACCGAGATGGCGACCGAGCGGGCTCAGAGGCTTGAGTGATAACTCCTAGCTGAAGCAGGTCCTCCGCTTCCTGCATGGACGAGCTTGGACCCTGGACATTGGGCGAGCCGGTCTCCACCTGTATCTCGACGAGCGGACTATTTTGTGCTCGACGCGGGAGTCGACCGGGTGTCCGAAGAGCCGCTACAGCGGGTACTGTCGCAGGTGCTGCAGGCGGGGCTGGCGGAGTAGGCAGACGAGCCGGTGTGGCGCTAGCCACCGGATCTGTACGTGATCGACCCGAGGCGACACCGACGGCGATCTGGGGGACGATCGCAGGCGACGGAGCAGGCTGAGGCGCACTCCTTGTCTCCTGCACATTCCGCCGCCTTAGCTGCCGACTGGGCGGGACACGATGGTTGACCTGCTGTTCCGCAACCGGCTCAGGCGTCGGTCGTTGGCCCGTCCCGTCGGCCCGCCGAAGCTCCACCGCCCGCTGCTGAGATGCGTCCGAGACGATCTGGGTAGGTTCCTCGTCGCTCCGCCGAGTTTGAAACGTCATTAATTGCGTTTCGCCGCGATGGGACGACTGCGCCGACTCCTCGGCGGGCGGAGCAGGAGACCGTCTCTGAGCCAGCCGATTCAACCTCTCATTCTCCCGCTGCCGCTCCCTCTCCTCGTCCTTCCTCGCCTTCCAAGCCGCCTGCGCCCGCTCCAAGCTCTCCGGGGCGACCTGCTGCGTCTGCTCCAGTACCATCGCGTCGCCTTGCGTCCCCCGCTGGCTCCCATCCCCCACACTGCTCTTCTGCGTGCCGCCCTCCGATGTCCTCTGCGTCTCCACCTCGGGCACCCGCTGACCCGCAGGCATCTCCAGCGCCGCCGCTGCCTCCTCTTCCTGGTGTCTGCGGGCCTCCTCTTCCCGTTGTCTGCGGGCAGCTACGACTTCCATAGCTCGGGCGTGACTTTCGTCCGACACCAGCTGGGTCTGCTCCTCTCCCTCCCCCTCGCCGTTCGTCCGGCCCTGGTCTCCCTCCAAACTCTCATCTTGCGAAGGCAATACCGCCCTGACCTGAGTTGGAGGGAAGTTCGCCCATCCCTGACTTTGGCTCTGGGAGGCGTCCAGCTGACTCAGGTCGCCCTGGCTAGAGAACAATTCCCGCCGATCAGGACGTGCACTGGCAGAATTCGGCGAGTCGTTCTGGGACAACGACATGCCGACATTCGTGAAGCCTCGCCGTGGGCGACTGATGAGTGACAGCTCTTCGTGGTTTTGGGCAGGAGGGGATGGGATTTTCGGGGAGTGTGGCTTGTTGGGCATGGAGCCACTGGGTTCGGAGGAGGCGGGGACGAGAGGTGGACTCCGTGGCGAGAAGAGCGGTCGGGACTCGGTAGAGGTATCGGCCGCCGCGGCTTCGGGCGATATGGGACGTTTTGCGTTCTGGCGTGCTTTGCCTGACAGTCAGCTACCTTCTCTGGGGATCAAAAAGTAGATAGCTGGCGTACCGTTCGAGCCTGAAGAAAGACGGGAGACGGTCCGACTGAGAGATCTCTTCGCCCTCGGCGACTGGCGCGTTTCCGTTCCTATCCTGCCAACTCCGGCTCGAGCAACTCCCTTATCGAGCGAGACCACCTTCTTCCCCGCTACCTGATCACCTTCCTCATCTTCGTCATCCTCGTCCTCCTCTGCCTCACTCAACCGGCTACGCCCATCCGAGCTCCGCATCTCAGGCGGGATCTGCAAACCCTTGCCTGGCCCTTTTGGGCTGAACATCTTGTCAAAGAATCTTGATGGTGTGACCGAGCGGACAGGTACAGGTCCCGCAAAGCTATCCGGCTCCTCCTCGACGACCTTCTGCTTCTTCGCCGACCGGGACCGAGATGGGCCTGCTACCGGCGCAGCGGGGAGGAAGGAGGAACTCGCCCTAGACGACCGTGTGGGGGGCTTCGCCGTGTCAGCCATCCGAAGTCGAGCGGGAGAGTGCGCTGAGATAGGCTTTTGGGGAATGGTAGATTTAGATGGGGTTGTGACGGTTGATGCAGCCGGAGTAGGTATGTCTTTCCGTTTCCGGGTCGACGGTGGGCGGGTAGGAGGAGCCGGAGGGGGAGAGCTGCCCGATGTGGAGATATTCGCCGTCTCTTCTTCTGGCTGAGGAGCCCTCGGCGACCCAGGAGGGACAGGAGAGCTCGGATCCAGCTCGTGTATCTCCTGCATCAACCCGTCCCCTCCCGGATCGGTGAACTGCGAGGTCGGCGCCAAGGCACTCCATCCTGGCCTTGTCGACGATGTCGCCGCCCCCACTCGCAGCAAGTTGCCTGTCTGCACAGCCTGGACACCTCGGTCGATTAGAGACTCCCGAAGGCTCTCGTCCTCTTCTGCAGGGGCGAGGCGGGATTGATCCAGCTGTTCCTGGACGAAAGCGAGGGACGACTCCCCGACGGGGCTACTGGGTGGGAGGATGCGGCGGTTGCCGTATGGTCGAGCTATAGAGGGCTGCTCAGGCGAGAGTTGGGAGGAAGCGCTGTATTGGGGAGAGGAGTGCGGGTTGATAGAGTGCTGTTGGGTCTCGTCGTCTAGCGAAGAGGCCATCGTGGCTGACAGGATCTGATTGCTCTATTAGCTACTTCCTCATGATGGAGATAGTAGCACGCATTCTCAACGTTGCAAGCACGAATGACTCACTCAGCAGTATGTTTCACTTCACACCTCTGGCTCTTTCCAGCTTTGCCCTCATAACCTTCAGTGGCCTGAGAGTCTCGACAGACGCAACCTTGGCGATCTCTTCCCGCGCTCTGTCCCGAGCTTTGATCTTCCGGTATCACCGTGAACAGCCGTGGCAAGATAGATAAGGTGGATATGGTAGGAAAGAGCGAGCTTGCGCTGATGCTCGCCCTCCACCCCTCAGACGCGTCGATCCTCATTCCGTAGCCCGGCTATCGCCGCTTTCCGCCCAGCCAAACCCAGCCACGTGGACCCGGAAAGGCAAAATCAAGCGCGCCGGCGGCGGTCAGAAGCTCGGACCAACAACATCTACTTCATTCCAACTTCTATACATCTACTTGTTCTTCTCTTCCACCTCTGTTTCCCTCCCTCTCTCACTGCACATAAGGGGCAGCTTCTGAACTCCGCTTCATACTGAAATGCCTATCCGAGTGGAAAACTCCAATCACGATACCGAGACCGAGCCGCGATACCCTGTAAACAAGCCTATCATGTCGACTGGAGCAGGCGGCAAGCCGCTCGCGCAGCTGTACAAGTGGGTCCAGCTGATCGGGACGTGATCTGATATGGTGAACGAGCTGATACTGGCAGATCTACTGGGAATGAAGCGCTTGATACGCTTGCTTTCCTCCACTTACTGGAGAGGTTGAAGGTGGGTCCGTTTTCTTTGTGCTCAAGGGGCACAAGCGACTCCTGGACATGAGCTGATGAGACAGATCGAGAAGCGGACAGGATGGGTGCGAGAAGGCGTGAGTTCGCTCTCTCGAATGAAAGCTATTGGGCCGGAATGTAGGATATGAGCTGACCGCGCCAGGTGCATCAAGCAGAGAGGTCAGCTTCTCTGAGTGATGGTTCAAAGTAAGAGACCACGAACTGACGTGGAAGTATCTCGGATCACATGTGCCGTATGGCGCTCATGGCGATGATGATCCCAAACAACGGGGAAAAGCCACTCGACATTCCACGTTGCGTCATGGTAAGTCTCCGGAACAGCTGACCGATCGCCCTGCCGGACAAGGAGAACCCAAGCTAACATGATAGATGGCTCTTGTTCACGACCTCGCGGAAGCTCAGTGAGCTAATTTGTTCTCGAACGGGATCGCAGATCTATAGCTGACCGACTCTCAGTGTTGGCGATATCACCCCCGTAGAGGGTGTCTCGCCGGACGCAAAGCATGAGCTGGAAGAGCGGGCGATGGACAACTTTTTGGAGGAGATGCTGGGCGGACCGGGAAACAAGGAGGCGCGGGAACGATTCAGGTCGCTTTGGGATGTGCGTTTTGCGTCATTCCGAGGATCGTGATTGCCGACAGTACACAGCTGACTTTTCAGGAATACGAGACGAGACAAACACCCGAATCCAAGCTCGTCAAGGTAAGCTACCACGCCTATGGGATGCGTTGCATATCCGGTCGCAAGCTGATGAAGCAGGATCTGGACCGATTCGAGCTCGCTCTCCAGGCTGTTGAGTATGAACGATGTGAGTTGCGCCTTCTACGAGCAACTCGCTCAAAGTGACTTGCGTCGAGAAGAAGTCTTGGCTGATAATTTCAGCACAAGATATCCAAACCCTCCACCCCTTCTTCACCGGCTCCGTCCCCAACCTTGAACACCCCGTTATCCGCGGCTGGGCCGAAACGCTCATGGTGGAGCGAAAAGAGCTGTGGGCGTCGAGGGGCAGGGAGAAGGAGCAGGAGGAGGGTTTGGCAGGGTACTCGGTTGGGAGCGTCACTGATGGGAAGACTGCTTGAGTTTGCGGTCGCGAGCGGATCGCGAGCGGACTGGAAGGGAGGTATCCCGAACTCGGCAGGTATCACCATGAGGTAGATCGATTATGGACATTCAGGTACATCATGTATCGCATACCAAACAGGGATGGGGGGTATCTCCACTGGCCATGAGTTGATGTTACGTTGAATACATCTAGTCTATATGTTTTATGAGCGTATCCTATCAAATACAATGATTTCCCCTTCTCTATCTGCATCCTCGTTCCCTGACGGCGTTGAAGCCCGTCCCTTCTGTCTCTAACACCACCTAGACAACGCTCTGCTTGGGCCAAGCCAACTTGGGCCCGATCTGGCCACAGCACATCTGCCCCAACCTGTGTCCGACCTCAATGCACTCATCCAGGCTCTTGCCGGACGCGAGCGCGCCGAGGAAACCACCGGCAAACATGTCACCGGCGCCGTTGGTGTCGATGATCTTGTCGGAGGAGAGGGAAGGGACGGGGTAGGTTTTGGGGTTCTCGTCCGAGGTTTTGAGGTTGGACGAGGAGTTGGAGGGGGAAGAGGATGCGACGAGAGTGGATTGGGAGCCCTGGGTGATGATGACGAGACGGGGGCGGGAGGCGTTGGACTTGGTAGATGAGGCGAGGGTGGAGGCGATCTGGGGAAGGGCCGAGTCCTATAGATCAGCGAGCACAGAGGACGGGCGGAGGATTCGACTCACTCCCATACCGGCGGCCTGGGCGTAGGCAGCGGCCTCGCTCTCGTTTCCAATCAAGATGTCGACGTGGGGGAGGACCTGCTCGAGCTGGACCTTGAAGAACTGGGGGATGAACGGTGCCGACAGGTTCAAAACGACCGTCTTGCCCGCTGAGCTAGCCGCCTTGGTGATCTCGAGCACCGACTCGACACCGTGCGTGAGAACAAACCCTCCAATGTAGAAGTACTTGGCGCCAGTCAGGAGCTTGGCGACCTCGGGCGTGGACAAGTGGGACGGGGTAAACATCTCGGCCGCGCGGAGGGTGGTGCACAGGGACCGGTCGTGGTTGGTGCAGATGACGGCGCAGGCACCAGTCTTGGTGGGCGAGGGCTGGACCTGGTAGGCGGACTGAACACCCTCGGCGTCGTTGACCTTCTGGAGAGTCTCCTTGAGGTCGTCGTCACCGACGGAGCCGATGTACGCGACTGAGCCTTGGGGAAGGACGTACTGCGACGTCAGCTAGCCGCCTGGAGTTGGAGCATAGCTGGACCTACAGCAGCGGCCCGAGCGGCGTTCTGGGCAGCACCACCAGCAACGTAGGTGACCTTGGCGTTGGCCACGATATCGTCGTAGCTGCTGCGTCAGCTGTGCACAGTGCTCAAAGCTCCGCCAAAGTCAGCTCACATAGGCATGTGCTTCTCCTCGGCGAGGATAGCGTCATTCGCCTTCAAGTCATACTTTTCCAAGTACTTCTGACCCTCGTCAGCAGCGACCTGGATGTCGAGCTATCGGTGTCAGCTCCTTTCGCATCGGGACAGGCAAGCCAGCTTACGAGGGGGTTTCCGAAAGCGACTACGATAGGGGATGACATTTTCTATATGATTGTTAGGTGGAGAGTATGAGGTGGAGGGAGGAGGAACGTTCGCTCAACTCTCCCCCCCAACTTCTTTTGTGGCAACCCGCGTTTCTTCAATTTCTCCCAACTCAATGCGGAGTTAGACTTCAAACTCCACATTCCTTGCGGGGAAGCGACACTGGCTCCTCATTGCTCCCTTGTCACTGTTGACAATGGAGGCAAGGCAGCCCCAGGGAGACAATATTAGTCCCCCGTCTGTGTATATAGATCTTGGAGAGGTCCTCCATCTGACAGATTGAGCTTGAGAATGATCGTCTATTTCATTCGACACGGTCAAACAGCAGAGTAAGCCGCCTCTTCGATCGTCCATGTCCTCCATATCCCCTTGGCCTAGGCCTTTGTACTGCCAAGCTGACAAGGTAGCAACCTCCGCGGTATCATCCAAGGCCATATTGATACCCCTTTGAACAACCATGGGCGGAAAGAGGCCCGACTGCTGGCTGATCGTCTGAAAGATGTCAAATTCGACGAGGCATGGTCGTCGAGTCTTTCGCGAGCGCGAGAGGTAAGCCCCAAGCCACCACTCTCCTACAACATTATGCTATACTGGAGCGCTGACATACACAGACCGCTGAGATCGTCCTCCAGCACCATCCTGGATTACCGCTCCGCACCGATCCAGGACTGATGGAGCGGTGTTTGGGCAGTCTGCAAGGTAGCCGATGGACCAAGGGTCACCCTCTGCCTGATGATGTCGAGGCTACCGACGTGTGAGTACCCTATTCTTCCTCTTTGCTGGAATGAGACTGAAGTATCAGGTTTCGCAAGCGAATCACCGACTGGTTCCTCTCTTTCCTGGCCGCCCAACAAACCGATACTGCGTCGACCCTTGCCTCTGACTCGCCTGGCGGAACTGCGGAACGCAATATCCTGGTCGCATCGCACGGTGCATACCTCACCGCCTTCCTCTCGATCCTAATTCACCTCCCCTTCTGCTTCGCCTATCCAGACGACCTCGACATCAAGCAATCTTGTCACAATACCAGCATCATGAAGGTGCAGCTCTTTCCGCGATCCGAGATATCGAATAGAGACGGAGACGGGGCAATGTGGAAGGAGGTGCTTAGCCGGATGGAGGAGATTGAGGCGAAAGAGGGGACGAAGAAGGGGCAGAAGGTACAAGGAAGGTCGGAGTGGGTGGGGATGGTGCAGTCATGGGCGGATGTGAAGCATCTGGAGCAAAAGGGGGAGGAGGTGGATGTGGGAGTGGCTGATGATCTGGGCGAGGCCGCACGATAGGTTTGGTGGACTCCGGATCCCCCCTTGCACATTGGCCAAGCTCGATCACGACCCCATGACTGCATCTACCACGGAACTGACCACATTAACCTCAAACCTGATGACTTCCCACTCGAAACGTGATGCGGTGACGACGCGTCTTTGACAAATGACACAAAGGGTGACCAGCCATCGGCTCGTTCGGCCGAGACCCTGGCCGATCTGTTGGGGGCGCTGGACAATCTAGGCGAACCTTTGTGCTAGATTGCGAGATGTACCCCTTGACACGTCGAAATTCTCGCAGTGCTTGTATCTGCTTGCTTCTCTTCGGAAGCGCTGCTCGTCACGGCCGCCCCCGCTGAGCTGCTGCCTCATCCTGCTTTATACATCATCGCGCCTGAACTTTCAAGCCTATCCGCCCGATCTTATACTTATAGTCACTCATCACACGATCATCCCATGTCCGACGCCGAGCCCAAGTTTTCCTGCACCGAATGTGTGAAGGCCGTCTCGAAAGATCCCACGAAGCTGACGCTGACCGCTACTACTCATACGATGGTCCAGACTACTACGTCGATGGTGAGGATGACGACAGTGCCTCTGTGATCAATGTCACGAGTGATCCTGCGCTCGATGTCACGTTGCCTTTGGATGTGGAGACGAAGGGAATTGATCCGTCTTGCGACACGCACCTCACGATCGAGCGGAACGAGCACCTCCAAGGCGGACGCAAGGCACTGATGGAGAGCATCGAGGGCTTCGTGGGCCACGTGTCTGATCGTCATGGGTGGCCATGGCAGGCCGAGACCTTTTTCAAAGGGGCAATTCAGAAGTTGTGTGCGGAGGACCACGACGATCAGGCATTCGTGAAGGCGCTGCAGTCCATCCTCTACAACAGAGGTATGGTGGCTGCCTCTGAGCTGGCCGTAGCGGCCAGTGAGTCATGCAGCGAGCGACCGCCCATGTCGACGGTGGGCAAGGGGGTCTCCACGTTGACGCGCGCGAGGAGCAGGCTGCGCCAACAAGAGCAGATGCTCACTCCCTCCAGTCAGACCCGGGTGCGGGTGCCGATGTGGGTACTCGACGCCAAGCAGATCGTGACTGAGTGATGCCTCAAGTACATGTGCCGTGGCCAGATCGCTCATTACAATGTACTTATCAGCATGCATATATCGGTCGCACTACAACTCACTAGGATCCGCCTGCCTGGCCGGGGAGCATTTGCGCAGCGGTGGCAGGAGGGGCTGTCCGGGACCCAAGGTTGGCGTTCGCCCCGTGCTTCGCTCGCCACTGGCAGCGAAGGGGAGTGCGGCTCCCAACTCTGACACGCCAAACGGTCGTCGTGGACTCGTGGTGTATCCCTTGAAAGGAGCGCACATCCTCGACTGGCCCTTTATCTGTCCTCGCCTTCTTTTGATCAGGCGTCCCCTGCACCTCTAGACAGATTGTGTTTCGATCTATCCAGATCTCGGGGAGCTCGCCGCTTGGCAAATCTTATCACAATTTCGAGGCGCACATAAGTCCTCGCTCATGGATTGACGTGAAAGGAGGAAATCTCACGGGAACTCTATCTGGTTATTTAGCCTCCTTTGACGTACTGTCCCTGGAGTCAAGTGTGCGAGCAGCTCTAGAGGGCGAGGATGGGGATAAAAGGGGATCGACCGGTGTCCCCCCTGTTCATCTGTACATCATTCTTCCCCTAGCCTCTACACACACCCCTCTCTGCCACTCTGCACCAAGCCCACCCAGCTCCAATCATGTAACAATCAGCCACAGTCTCGATCAGTGCCTCATCCGACCCGTACAGTGCAAATTGAAACCATGACACCCGTGAAGACGCCCAAAGGAGACTTCCGCAAGGACATGAGTGTTTTCACTCGCGCAACTTTCAGTCCCACGTTCAAGGTCGAGACCATCCTTGAAATCGACGAGACCGCCAATCCATTGTTCTCACAATCCAAGTACAACCTGGATGGAGTCAGAGTCAAAGACAAGGTATGTGCACAGAGCGATCAATCTATGCAGAGGCACCTTGGCTGATATTTCGCAGGACTCGGCGACCGAGACCCAACAAGCGTCCCACCCATGGTTTCATCACTGGTTGAAGAGCGGGGCTACCTACCAGCAGCAACTCCCGGCATTTGCAGCCGCTCGCGAGAACCTCGAGGCGCAGTGGAAGAAGACACAGCGTACGACGGCGGTGAATGAGGCGGCCGACCCAGAGCGCTTCGATGCCATCAACGCTGTGTATACTGCGGCATCCGAGGGTCTGAAGAAGCTGAAGACCAGCGCTGCCACCGAATCTGAACATGTCGTGGCGCATCTGGACGGTTTACCGGAGGGCCTCGAGGGTCCCACTGACGATGAGAAAAAGGCCACCGAGATATTCAACATTCTCTCGAAATTCTACTGGGATATGGACAGGACCGAGCCCTCAGTGGAACAGACCCAGAAGGCAGACGCCGCGCGAACAACGTTCAAAGAGCGGCCGCCTCAGATAAAGGGCGTGAGGGTCGAGTCCCTGGCCAGTCTTCTTGAGATCCTGTTTCCGGAGGACGAGGAGTTCGAGACTTCACCAAGCCAGATATCTTCGAGTCCATCGGAGATTGAGGCTTATAGGCTTGATCAAGTCTCTAAGCAGATCCTACAGATGTTCGCTTCTCTCGGACCGGGGGAATGAAGAGGGGGCGGACTGTATTGTGATATACTGTGTTCGAAGCTTATGCATCACTAGGTCTTCCTCTGGCACGAGATATGGAGGTAGAGCGTCAGTGACTCCGTGTCAGTGGTACAGCCATTACCGGAGGCTCAAGAGGTGAACCCTGCTCCGAGCTGTCAGCGATTAGAACAGCACCAGCCATTGGTACCTTTGCCATGCACGCGGCAGCATGCAGGGGGTGAGACGTGTGTAAGCGTACTGTGCTTCAACGATTGAGGGGATTGCGAGTGCATAGAATGACAGATATTCTCCCTTGTTTGGGACGCCCTCTGCTTGTCCTTGTATCGCTAGTCATCCACCAAGTACTGCGGTATCGATCCTAGTGATCGTCGATCGCTTCTGCAAGTGTCCGTGGCTATTGGTGGCGTCCCAGCCGTTGGGTGCGCTCACGAGGGATCTTCTCGCTCTTGCTATATTACCGAATACCAAAGCTTACTGCTTAGGCGTAAAGATGGTGAATTGCCACCCGGACTGTCCGTAATTATAGTGTGCAAAGATTGAGCAAAGTGGCGAAAGGCGTAGGTTGACAACCAGGTGCGAGCAGCAATCTAATCGGATAATGATAGGAAGGCAAGTCTACGCCTGACCCTCGATGAGTCGATCTCCATCTACTATGTTTTGTTCAGTCCTCCCGGGCGCCTCAAATTTCGTCTTACTCTATGCAGATCTAGATCTCGGAGCGTTCGCCGCCTCGCAGGTGGTGGCGCAAAGTTGACATCGATGATCCGATGAGTCGACTCGAAGTGAACGGAGGAAATCGTTCACAGGTACTTCCTCTGGTCATGTATGCTCCTTTGACAGGCTGTCCCTTGTGTAGGATGTTCGAATCGCTCAAGTGACATTTGGGGTGTCAAGGCGAGGGCCAGTGTATTTCGTCTGGAGAGGAAGGCTCAGGCGCGAAGTCACAGGTGCATGGGGAGCTTCACAGGAGATCATCAGTGGCGGTATACAAGCGATATCTGGGCCTTGCTGACTCTACCAAATGCGCTCTCGCTCTCCCAGCCGTGGATCGTGGATTTGCCACCCGATCCCGCCACCCAGATCAGAACCCGCAAGTAGCGAGGTGTGCGAAATATGAGACACCAAGTGTCCATCCCGGCGTACTTAGTTGAAAGGAGCGCATGTGGTGACCTACATATTCGAATGCATGTACCCTCTTTTGATCAGTGCTCCCCTGCACCGCTAGATTGCGTTTCACTCTATACAGATCCAAATCTCGGCGCGATCGCCGCTTGGCAGGTGTGGCGTCAAGTCGAGAAAGGAGAGAGTCATTTGGGAGTACTCTATCTGGTCATTTAACGTCCTTTGATAAGCTGCCCCTGGTGTGAAGTGTTCGAGTAGCTCGCGAGGAGTTCAAGGGCAGGTCAAAAGGACGTTGCCTCGATTCCCCCCTTTCCCTTCCCTACTTCAACCCGATCGTCCGGTCTTCCCCAAAATCTCATACTGATCGACCACTGACACTCCACCCTACATCACCACTGCTCATCACACCTACACCGAGATGTCCACCGCAACCATACCCTCGGCCACATCACTTGCTCCGACGCTCTATGGAGTCAGCAGGCTCGTACGCACGATGAAAGGTGCGGATGGTCAGCCAGACATACAGGTTGTCACGACTGTGGGTTTCCGTGAGGACAACCACAAGTTTTGGGGCACGGTCACCTTGGAAGCCCCGCAGGGAGCTGAAGAGTCACTGGAACATCTGAAGTGGGTGACTGGCTTCCGAGGCGAGATTGTCACGCAGGTATGTTGATCGGCAGCACCGTACAAGTGCGTTATAGGATGCATGAGCTCACGACACAGACCTCCGCAAATGATACGCAGCTGTTGCCGTCGTTCCAAGACTGGCTGGACGGGAAGACCGAAGCGGATTACAATTCGATTGGACCCGCTCTGGTGAGGGCCCTCGACCAGCTTGTGGAAAACCTCGAGGTCCGCCGGAACGAAGCGTCACAGGCAGATCTTGGGACGAGCCGCCCAATGGTCTTACAGGAGATGCAGCTCGTCTACGATACGGTACACCAGCATCTGTGCGCCCTCCAGGCCGGCATCAGGGAGAACGTCAAATCGGTCACCGAGGACGTCGCGGACCTGACTGACAACGCAACTCATCTCGGTGCGCTTGAATCACTTGAGCTCAAAACGTTCACCGAGCTCACGGCCTACTTCCGGGAGATGTGCGGGGCCGGACTTCCTGCGGATCGGGCCAAGGCGGCAGACGCTGCAAGGGCGGCATTCCATGAATCCTTGAAAGAGGAGTCGCTTGTGCACCGTTCCCTGGCCAGCTTTGCGGCCGCACTCTTGGAGGGGCCGGACATTGGGTCAATCGAGGTGGACGACGGATCAGACGGCAGTGGTACGGAGATCGGAGACGGCGGCGGCAGTTTGGAGGACGGGTCCGGGACCAGCGCACCCGAGACAGAGGCCGTCCCAGCCTAGATCGGATTGGTCAGAGAGCGTGGCATAGAAGTGTTTCCAGGGAGTGACGTATGTATATCTGCTATCTGCGCCGGCATACGACCGGTGACTGGCAATCCAGCGCGTGTTGCTTGACCGTTTCACTGGTGTCATATAAAGGAGCGAGCCGTGCCGCAAAGAAGATCAATGGGTATGTGGTTCTTGTTGCCATTGAGGAATTCCCTTATTGGTCAGTAGGCTGCACTTCGCGATGGTGCTAGTGGGGTCTGACCTCGACTTGTCTTCATCTGAGGAGGGTTTCTGTGTCACATGTCAAGAGGCAGCTTGATTATGTCATTAGCAGGTCTTAGGATCAGCCGAGTTTGATTAGCCCGCCATCAACAACCGCCAAAACTGGGCGTCAAACACACTGACCCCGGCAGAGCGATGCGATCAGACTGCAGCGTCCGCTAGCAGGCGGTCTTACTTCGATACATACATGAGACTGAGTTATCCCGGAAGAGGAGACGTGATGAGGCTAAAGGTCCGTATACAAGGGTTGAGCAGTGCGCTTTGGCTACCGCGCTTCGAATTGGACCTGATCTGTCAGCGAATCCTTAAGTCATATTGGAGGCAAGCATCACAACATACGACTGTCTACGTCAGCTTCGATACAATACATCTCAATTGTACAGTAATGGCGAGGCAAGCAGGAGGATTACGCACTCTTATGTGTTCTGGGCTTATACATGACCCGATGTCCGCATTCCTTGCAGCGAATCTGCTCCGTCCCCTTCATCGGTGTCTTTGCTCCACAATCTGGCAGATCAGTGCTCGTCCCGGCCTCCTCCCTCGCCACTCGCCACCTCTTGCACCCCGCCTTTGATTCGAAGGAGATATTCACCTCCGCAAAGGTATTCGATGATATCCGGAGCCTTGGGCGTCCCGCGGTCCGGCATAGGGTTCGGGTTCTGGGACTGCCATCGGCCTGGGTTGGACATGGTGGGCTAGTATTGTGTATAGTAGGTAGAGAGAGGTGTTGTTGATAAAGGCAAGATGATGGTTGAGCTGAAAATGCAGTCAGAGTGAGGCTGGCTGCATGACGTGGTATTTTGGGCAGTGATATGGGACGGTCATATCCGACGGTGTTACTGGGCGAGCAGATCTAGATGGTGGGTGAGCAGCTCGCTCAACTGCCTCTCTACTACTCACTCGCCATGAACGATATAGACCAAGCACTATCAGCTCTGGAGGCGCTCGCCTCGGAGCCTGGAACCTCGGCCAGCGGACCAATCCAGTCTCTGCTCGACAAGCACTTTGCGACCGCGCGAGAGCAGCTCCAATCGGGGTCGGATCCAACACAGGTCATCCAGGACCTGATCAAGGCAGTTGCGAAGAGCAAGAAGGAGGTGGAGAAGGGGCTGAAGGGCTGGTATAATGGTCTGGGGATAGTAGGGAAGGCGGTCGAGAAAGTGAGCTCGGCAGAGTGGCCTGAACGGACGAGTAAGGAGCTGACGTGCAGGCCTTCCCGCCAAACCTCGCTGGCATCTCTGATGCATATAATGATCCCCCGCTCTTCTCCGAACCAGACGCAGCGGCTGCGTTGGATAGGGTGATATTGGACTCTTTGGGCCGCCGTGGGCTCTGGGAGGCGGTTGACGTTGGAGCCGAGGTGAGTTCCATTTAGGTTGAGATTGCCTGACTAGCGAGCGAGCTGATAACGTGCAGGAGATGGGAGTGACCTACGAGAATCGAGATCGAGGTGTCAGCGATGAGTTATATAGTATACTGAATGCTATAGAGGCCGGTGATCTACAACCTGCTATCAGGTAAAGTTCGAAACACGCTGGTAGACGGCATAGCTGAAGACACAGCTGGTGTGAAGAGAACGCCTCGTTCCTTGCGACCCCACCACATCCCAGCTCCCTGCCATACTACCTCCACCGCTCCGTCTTTCTGCGTACAACATCCTCAATGGCCGCGCTCGAATACGCCCGAACCTATCTCATGGTATACATGCCGACCCAACCTGTACTTCAACTCATCACATCCTCTCTGTATCCTAGTGCGGCAACGGCGGGTACACCATATAATCACGACGACTACCCGCTGAGCAAGATGTTCCAGGCGGAGTTCTGCAGGAGACATGGGATGGCGAAAGAGGAGCTGCTGGAGGTGGCGGTGGATCTGGGAGGGAAGGGAGGGGCATTGGGCGTGATCGAGAAGGCGAGGAGGGTGATGGGTGAGAGACTGGGCAATGTGCGGACATGGCAGGATCTTCCGGTCAGTCGTCATTTTGCGTGTTGTGTATTGCCTGATGGCAATCTGGGCGTCCGAGCTGATGCTTCAGCTGGAAGTACCTTTACCTTCGAATCGGCGATATCACTCCGTCTTTGTCTGCCCCGTCTCGAAGGAGCAAGCGACAGAAGCCAATCCACCCAAGATGCTCACGTGCGGCCATGTTCTCGCGCAAGAAAGCCTCACCAGGATGTTGAAGGGAGGGTAAGCCGGACCGCTCGAATTGCCCTCAAAATTCTTGCTGATACCTCGTAGAAGGAGAACGGCAAAGTGCCCTTACTGCCCTGTGGAGACGGCCCCATCAGCCGCGCAGAGACTGTACTTTTAGAATGTCGATAGTTAACACGCTCTCTCCTGTTGTATCCAGCCTTGATGGAATGTATGACCTGCCTAAAGTTAAGGATTCGCTCAATGTCAGCCGAGAAGGCAACGTGAACAACAATCACTATAATCCATTCCGATCCAAATCAACTATTAGATCTGCCTATATAGCACTTCTTCCAATCTATACAGTCGGGCCCCCTCTTGGCGGCATCCCAGACTTTCCAATCCCAAACCCATGTCCAAACACATCCCCACCTTCCAGATCCGCATTGATATCTGCACTCCCACTTCCTGATCTCTGCCTCTCCTCAAGCACCTCGCCCGTCCGCGAGTCGGTCGCCTTTCTACTCTTCGACCCTGCTGTCCCTGTCGCCGTGGCCCCGGTCCCTGTCTCGGCCGGTTCTTCCGACGTAGCCGTCGTCACAGACGCTTTGGTCGCTGTTGTATCTCTACGCTTTTTCGGCGAGAAGACTGATCCTGCGCGCTCGCGGATACGCGAGATGCCGAAGGGGTTGGAGGTGGAGCCTGATATTGGCTTGAGAGGGGAGGAACGATTGGGTAGCAGGCGATTGCCGCGACGGTGGGATGATACCTGAGACAGGCGAGATTGCATGCGAGCCATCTGAGGGGTCAGTACCAGTTAAGTTGTGTTAGTAGGGAACTTACGGCTACGCCATTCTCCTCGGTGTCAAAGTCGAAGCCTCTTGACGCTTGTCTGGTCACTCCAGTAGACACTGAGAGTCAGCTCATCCCTCATGTAACCTCGGACGCAAGACTCACTGTCAACGGCACTACCCCTCGCGCTCCCGTGCATCCCAAATCTCGCCGAGCTCATACTTGGCCTTCCCGCGCCGATGCTCGGCCTGCCCACTTCCTCATCCACAGCCATCGGCGTCTGCGCCTTGACATCCACCACACCACCCTGCAGCTCCTTCATCGGAATATCTCCGCGGTCCGTATCGACCTCTTCCGTCTTTTCCTTCTCTGCAAACTTGCCGCCCAGCATAGGGTGCGTCGCGGGGTCAATCTCGGGATTGATCCGGCGTACGAGCCGCATGAGGTCGATATCGTCCGCAAAGTAATTTTGGCGGGCGACGCGGATCAAGTAACGCGGAAGAAGGGCAATGACGAGGACGAATGGCCAGCCGAACCAGAATGCGTAGGAGCGGAAGAGGAAGACCTGATTTCCATATACGCCGGTCACGAATGATCTGGGCGGGATGGACGAAAAGACGGCAGTGTAGACCCAGACGAGGAAGGGTCCCAGGAGGATACCGAAATATGTCCATCCGACCCAGGCGTAGATGTTGAGACCGGTGAAGAAGTTGGCGACCATGACGGCCGCGATGGCCATCGTGGTGGACGCCTCGTAAATATAGACGTCCCACGCGTCGGGGCGGGATGACGGGGTGAGGTAGGTATAGTGGAGGAAGTAGTAGATGACCGCCGATTGGAAAATGCCTTCCAGCATGTAGTAGAAGAACCGCCGGAGTCGGAAGTAGCGCCCTTCCCGACCGTACCGGTACAATTCGGGGATGGTCATGAGCGAGTGGGCGTCAATGTTCCGATCGAACAGACCGATGGCGAGGACGGGGACGAGCGTCCAGAAGACGTTCCAGAACAGGAGGTAGGTGTAGGAGAATACGTAGGTGGTCGAGAAGCCACAGAAGGGCTGGAACCACCAGAGCACTCCGATACCGATCATGTTCTTGTAAAAGAAGTTGAGAATCATGGACGAGTTCCGGAAGTACGACCATTGACCGTGGACGAAAAGCAGGCGCCGGAGGTACCGGAACTGAGCAATGGCGTAATCGGATGAGTTGACGGCTTGGAGACCCTCCTCGCCCGAGATACCAACTCCGACGTCCGCGGCCTGGATCATCGAGACGTCATTGGCACCATCACCGATGGCGAGGCACATGACGCCAAGATTGTCCTTGATGAGCCGGACGATCTGCGCCTTTTGGAGCGGCGAGACACGGCAGCAAATGACGGTATTGCACCGGGTGGAGAGGGCGAGGAGGAGGTCGTTCGTCTCGGGGTCGCTGAAACAGTGCGCCAGAGCCGACCCCTCGATGACGAGCGAGAAGCCGCCGGGACGATGACCGTTGTTGTCGCCGACGAGGGAGCGAGCGCCAGTGTTGATCCGCTCGAGACCGGGCCGGCCGCTGACGGTCGAGACGCGCGAGATGACGCGCGCGAGCTCGTGTTCGCCAAAGAACCCCTCGAGGGCATCGAGGATCTGGTCCTTGACCGAATGCCGGCCTTCCCGGACGATGATGAGGTTGGTCTCGTTGGTGAGAAGGTGGGTGGTATAGCCGATAGCAACGGCGGTTTCGAGCTTGTCACCCGTCGCTACCCAGACCTTGATGCCCGCCCGCTTCAAATCGGAAATACACTCTGGTACCCCGTCCTGCAGCTTATCCTCGATAGCCGTGGCACCGAGCAGGCTGAGCCCTTGCTCAATCCTGCTCGACACCTCCTCAATCTTCTCCTCCCGCTCATCGAGCGCAACGCTCGCCTGGTGGTAATCCTTGGACCACTGCTCGTACTCCGCCAGATCCAGTACCTTGTAAGCGAGACAGAGCGTCCGCAGACCTTCCGAGGCAAAGTACTGCAGATCCTTATCCGTCTTTTCCCGGAGTTCCGCTTGCGAGCTGTCCTTGGTCAGGCGCTCAAAGATGACATTGTCCGCGCCCTTGCAGAGGAGGAAGAGACGCCCCTCGTCATCCATCTTGCGAAGAATGACCGACATCCGCTTCCGAGTAGAGTTGAATTCGAGAACATTGAGCAGCTCGTACTCGTCCGGCGTCTCCGAGAACGGCGTCGAGAGACGAAGGATGTTCTTGTCCCGACCGCGGAAGACGAATCCGACGTCCGCCGCAGACTGGACGAGAGCGGCCTCATCGGGGGACTGCGCCTTGTACTCGATCACGCCCGGCTCCATCTCAGCCGCGAGGACGGTATGGCAGAGAGCCAAGACCGCGAAGAAGCCGTGCAGGACCCGGGACTGCTCCGTGTCGTGCTCCTGCAGGTCCATCTCGAGGGTCTTGTCGTGGAAGGGCGCAAGGACCTCCTTGGGCAGACGGACCTTGACATCGGGACTTGTGGTGTCGGGGAGTTTGATACCAGGGGAGTTGTGGGCGGTGGACGAGTCAGAATCCGACGATGACGCCTTGATTAGGGTATTCTCCGGGACTTCACCGTCGCCAGAGTAGACTTTGCCGCCGACCGAGCATTGACGGAAGATCATGGCATTTTGGGTCAAGGTACCTGCAATTAGCTATGACCAGGTCTGGCCGCCTCCAAACTCACCAGTCTTATCCGAGAAGACATATTCGACCTGCCCCAAATCATCCGACAAAGTCCAGCTCCTCGCCTGAGTCCGTGTAACCACCCCATTCTTTGTGTATTTCATGTCCCGATCAAAGTAGATGAACGCCGCCTGAGCGGTACGCACAAACTCGATCGAGATGTAGAGCGAGATCGGGACGATATTCTGGAACGTGATGAACGCGTTCAAAAAGGTGAGGATCCCGTTGACCGATGCGCCGTCTCCCCGGGTGTCGGCATACAAGGTCCAGTACGTTCCCTCTTGGATCCACCGGACCTCGTTGAAGTAGTTGACGACCGCGCAGACCGTGGCGAGGACACCGAGGAGCGCCAGATTGAGTAGCACCTGGGGATCCATCTGCCGCTCGACCTTGGACCGCTTGGACGGGGTGGCGCCTGAATTTTGGATAATCTTGGTATCGTGACCTGTGTACATGACGATTCCGATGACCCAGGCTGTGTTTTTGAGGACACAGCCACGGAGAAGGGTAGTTTCGAGGGAGATAGGGTGGACAGCAGGAAGACCGTCATTGCCCATCACGTCCTCGGTGACAATGGCTCCGTTGAGCTTGTACATGTTGACTTCTGGCGCGTCGAGGTCGACCCGGAGCTTTGCGTTGCGGCAAGCTTGGACAGTGTTGAGGTGGGTGAGACCGGTGACCGCATGGCGAGATTTGAGGTTTGTCTCTCCATCGAGATTCTTGGTCTCGATGAAAGCGACGTCCTCCTCTTCCGACGTTGCGCAGATGACAATATCTGGAATCAGCTACAACTGACATGCAGGACTCACCAGCTGGGAATTGTTCGTGGTCATAGATCTTGACGATATCCCCCACCTTCAAATCCTCCCATAATGTCCTGTGCCATCCCAGCTCATTCGCCCTATCTCCCGCCTCTGGATCATCCTCCCATGTCGACACTTGCGTCCTTGCCCGACCCAGATCCTCCCCATCTTCCCTCTCTCCCCGCAATTGCCTCTCCGTCTCTTCCTGCTCCTCGGCCGCCTCCCTCTGGTACGTCTTAGCCACCATATTCCCGGCCTCTTTCGCTTCCCTCCGCCTCGCCTTTTTGCTCTTGAACGATGGGATCGGGATTTTCGGCACGAAAGTCTTGGATTTAGACTTCATCGGGTTGATATTTTCATACCCCTCCCCGCCGAGGGTGTGGATGATCGAATTGTTGACATTCTTATCGGCCTGATGCCGCTTGATATCTTCGTATCCGTCCTTCAGCGCCGTAATAAGGAGCACCGCGATGAGCGGGAGCATGACCAGTCCGGGGTTGATGGTCGAGAATTGGGGGAAGAATTGGAGGATATTGATAAACAAGCTGTTTGTCAGATACACTCCACAACTGCGCGTGGAATAGGACTCACAAGAAGCAATTGGCCACACGCCGGAACTGCTCCAACAGGTTCCTCGGGAGGAAGGTGAAGATGGTATACTTTGACGTGACATTTTGATTCGAGTCAAAGCGGCGGGATGAGAGGGGTTTGCCCTTCTTGTCGAAAAATTCCGAGGGTAGGGGTTGATTTATGTAGACCGATCGCGGTGGGGATGGCTTGATCTTCCGGACAAAGATGAACTCGACGAGGGAGAAGCGCGACACCGGCCCTGATACGTGCCTCGCCCACCACCCATTCTTGCGCTTCCGTTTGCGCATCTGCTGGAGCAGCGGGCTCTGCGACGTCGACGCGGGCGACATGGTGGATGCGTGTGGTGGGATCGAAGGGAGGGGCGCTGAGAGTGCAGCAGAGGACGTCGTGCTATCTGTACATGGTGTGTCAGCCTGGTAGAAATGTGGGATAAGACAAAACGGCGGAATTCTGTCAACACGGATGACGGGTCGGGACGCGCTGAATCATCCGACGTACCTGCGGATTCAGATCCGGAACGTGCACATCGCCTGAAGGATTCGCTTCTCTCAAGCGACTATATGTTGAATGTTACAGGTCGACGATGGAGTGTAGATGACGAATGGCCTTTGCTGCTATAGCTATAGCTATCGGGGGCCGGTGCTTCAAACGGAGATAGATGGCAGCGTCAGGGGGTAAGGATTTCACAACTGTTATTGGTAAGGAGACGCGGCCATCGGCCACCGGCCGCAGCCACCAACCACGGAACTAACTTCGAATTTAAGCTTAAACCTAAGAGCGCAGAGGCTTGGCTCGGACGCACGGATCACCCTGTAAAGGGAGGACCAAATAGTATCACGTCACTCAATAGCGCTCCGCCAAAGTTGGCAGCAGCCGCGACGACCTTGTATTCACCTCCCACACCTCACTCCTATAGCCTAGGATGGACGCTCAAGCGGCAGCAGGACCCAGTACGAGGCAGCAGCAGGGAGAGGAGGTCGACCTTGAGGTAAGCTCGCCCGCATGGATCGCAAGCTATTTCGAGGCTGATCGTATAGTGGCTCGAACTCATCAAGACCAACCATGATGTGACTGTTCGCGTAGCAGACAAGGTCCCCTTGGACGGCTTACCGCTGGAGTGCAATCTCCTGGCGGTCTCGAATATCTGGGGACTGGTCATTGTAGGGGCAGCAAGCGGTATGTTATCTCTGGTGCTTCCAATGGCGAGCTGATTCCAGGTGTCCACATACATCGTCTCTCAGAGGTACATACTCAGCTTGAGGGCGCTGCAAAGGACCAAACACCATCGAGCACGCCCATCCAGACAATCGCGCTCCCTGGTCGTCCAATATGGGTCCGGCTGGCAATGAATGACGAGCGCTTAATCGTTTCAAGCGCGAACGGTACCGGTCTTCACTGCTTCCGGCTCGCAGATATCCTCCGCGGCCAGACAACCCCATACCATTCCTTCACCGCCAACATCCCCTCTCAACTAATCGACCTCCTACCGAATCCAGCCGTCGAGCCGCCATCGCGGTTCGTGGCGCTACTGGCGAAGGAGGGGATGGTACTGGCGGATATAGAGGAGAAGAGATTGCTGGAGCCATTAGCAGGCCCTTTCACGTCTGGTAAGCTTCATAGATCTTCTCTATCCGCACCACTAATCAGCAGGGTGCTGGTCCTCCAAAGGCAAGCAAATCGTCCTAGGTACACCGGACGGCCGACTGGTCCAATATTCCCCAGAAGGCGTCGCCAAAGCCGAAATCCCCCCTCCACCTCAACTGCAGGGGTCGAAATACCCTTCCGCTATACAATGGGCGGATACCAACTCATTCATCGTATCCTACGCTGCCACAAATGATCGGCCAAACGGTTCCGTCGACCTCTTCACCATCACCCGCACCAAATCGGAGATCGTCTATTCGTCATATTACGACCCGCTCGATGCGATGGGCATTCCCAGTCGCTCAGCTGCCTTCCGGTACTATGCGGCGCTGAAGAACTGGGGAGACCGCACGAAGCACCTCGGCTTCTTGGCATCTGGAATCGCGTCAGAAGTGGCAGTTCTGCACGGAACGGCGGAGGAGTGGTCACTAGGCGTCCTGGACGAGAAGGCGAGGGGGATCATGCCGATAGGCAGGAGGGGTGTATCAGACGATACGGCCTGCTTGGGGATGGAGCTGGATCTGACGAGCGATAAGCCCATTCGCAGAGGGATTGTCGATGGGGTGGAGATGCCGGATCTACCACCAGCGCCGAGAATATTGGTGTACAGCCAAAACGGGGTGCTCGTTTCGTACAATGTGCAGAACTCGTCGGCGGGCTCATACCCAGGGATGACCGTCTCGAGGGATATCACCAATGAGACTGGAGGAGAAGAGGACGCAATGGGCGAAGCTATGTCTGGGACGACAACGCCAACCCCGGCGGCCGCGGCCGCATCATCCGCGTTCGGTGGCTTTGGCTCATCGTTCGGCTCTGCCCTCGCCCAACCATCCTCGTCATCGCCGTCTGCCTTCGGTCAGTCTTCGACGCCGGCCTTTGGCGCTGCGCCCGCAGCTTTCGGTGCTTCATCCGGAGCTACCGGATTTGCTGGCTTCGGACCACAGTCCACCACTCCCTCCTCCACACCTGTCAAACCGGTATCCGCATTCGGCGCATCTGGTCCTACAACATCAGCCTTCGGCCAGACTTCGACCACACCCTCCGCCACTCCAACCAAGGCCAGCGCCTTCGGCAGCGGCTTTGGCCAGACCTCCACCGCAACTCCCGCAGCCTTCGGCAGCTCCGGCTTTGGCCAATCATCCGGCTTCGGACAGTCCTCCGCCCCATCCGCGGCATCAACAACGCCTTCATCGACACCGGCGAAACCCAGCGGCTTCGGACAATCTGGTTTCGGCGCCCCGGCCACCCCTGCTCCGGCAGCTTTCGGCGCGTCTGCCTTTGGTCAAAAACCAGCGTTCGGTCAGACCTCCACCCAGGCTGCATTCGGTCAATCTGCATTCGGGCAATCTCCCTCGACCTCGACCTCCGCATTCGGCTCTTCTGCCAGCCCGTCATCAGGAGGCTTTGGTGCATTCGGAAACGCCAAGCCCGCCGCCTCGCAGACTGGATTTGGCTTTGGTGCCTCCGCATTTGGAGCGAGCAACACACCCAAGACGGTCGGCGCGTTTGGCGGAGGGGGTGGGGGAAGCGCTTTCGGAGCGGGGAGCGGATTCGGCCAGAGTGGGTTTGGAGCGTCTACTTTCGGGCAGAGCGCTCAGCCTGCTGCGCCAAGTGTACCAGCCGCGTCACCTGCCGCGGGGGGTTTTGCAGGCTTCGGTCCTCAGGCGAAGGCTGGCGGCGCCGGAGCGTTTAGCGGGTTTGGCCAACAAGCAAAACCCGCAGCCCAGCCTTCCCCTCCACCAGAACCCGAGTCCGACGACATGGGCGAGGACGACTTTGGGCTGAACAGCTTCGCGTCCGCGCTTGACACGTCGTCCAAACCTGCTGTCCCTGGGTTGATAGACTCGCCTCCTGGATCACCACCGACAACAAGTAGGAAACCGGGCGGTATCGACGATTTCGACTCTCCCCCCAACTCACCTCCTTTCCCCGGTCAGCCCAAACCTCTGCAGCAGCGGGCAGCACCGGCGAGCTCCTCGGCGTCGTTCATCAAGCCTGCTACGGCCTTCGGGGGATCGTCATCCGCTTTCAGTGGCTTCGGCCAGCAATCGACCACACCTAAGCCTGCGGCGTTTGGCTCTGGCAGCGCATCAGCTTTCGGCTCGACGACATCCAGTACCGCTCCATCCGGGTCATCCGCGCCGGCCTTTGGCGGCTCCGCGTTCGGTCAGTCGTCCAAGCCGGCAGCACCAGCGGCGTTCGGCGGAACCGCATCCGGTCAATCCTCCAAGCCAGCTGCGCCACCCGCAGCTTTCGGAGGATCCGCATTCGGTCAGTCGTCCAAGCCTGTTGCAGGGGCATTTGGCCAGACCGCTGCGCCTGCAGCTGGTGGCTTTGGCAGCATCAGTGGCGGATTCGGTGGTTTCGCAGCCAAGTCCTCCGCCGGTACGCCCGCTTCGGGCGCATCTGCTCCAGGAACGACTGGCGGTTTCAGCGGCTTTGGCGTGCAGGGAGCGAGCAAGAGCGGGTCAACTGGCGGATTCGGATTTGCTGCTTCGTCAGGCAGTACGGGAGGTGGCTTTGACGCCCTGTTGAGCGGCAAGGACTCCAAGCCCACGGCGACACCGAGTGCTGCCAGTGCGTTTGGCTCAGACAAGAAACCCGATGAGCCAAAATCTACACCAGCTCCGGCGGCGGTACAGAAAGAAGCTGTCAAAGCGCCTCTCCCAGAAACGCCCCTTTCGCCGCCTTCCTCCCCGCCAGTCGATGTACAGGGGTACGATGTCCCCGAGCCTGCCCCAGAACCAGCTATCATCCCCGCTGGTTACGGCACTCCGTCTCCTGCCGCTTCGCCCGCCAAGGCAACGTCCGATACATCGCCAACCCCTTCTCCAGCGCCACCCGCTTCCAAGCCGGAGGCTGCTATACTTCCCGCCGGATACGACAAGCCTGCTGCACCACCAAAACCGGACGAGGCTATCCTTCCTGCTGGATACGATGAGCCTGGACCCACCAAGCCAGCCGTGACCGAGAAGACTCCTCCAGTCGAGGCAACCCAGACCGCTCTCCCTGTCCCCAGTACGGACTCGGTGGACAAGGCAAAGAAGGTCGAGCAGGCGGCGGCTGTTCCCATACCCAAGGAGTACAATGTCGAGGTCGGGGCTGCCTGGATTGGCGATGCAGCGGAAGAGACCGATACGGCGGATGAAGTGGGCGGTGAGGCTGTGGTAGTCTCTCAGCCGAGCTCGGTCGCCGCTGGCGAGGCGGACGACGAAGATGAGCACGGGGTTCTGGTCGGTGAGGCCAGTGAGGATACCGCCGGCGAAGACAGCTATTATGAGGAAAGGGATGCCGAAGAGCAGGAAGACTACGAGGAAGAAGAAGAGGACGGAGAGGAAGACGAGGACAACGAGGAAGAGGGATATAGCGAAGAGGAGACACGCTCGGAGCTCTCTGCTGTCGTAGAGGAGGCAGAAGAAGGACAGGAGGAGGACGAGGAGGAGGAAGAAACGGACGTTAAGCAGGAGCCGGAGGAACAAAAGTCGGGGACGAAATCGCCACCTGCCTGGTTCGCTTTCGACAAGCCGGCGGGGTCGAGCGGCTCCACTGCCGGAGTCCCATCGACAGCAGCCCAGCCTGTTTCGTTGACACCTGCAACTACATCGACCGATCCAGCCAAATCACAACCGGGCAAGTTCGCTTTCGCGAATCGTCATGCCGCACGTACGGCCTCTCCACTTGGAAGTCAGCCCCCACACATCGCTACCGAGACAAGCACACCGCCCATGTCGCCTTCCAAGCCAGAAACGGTCGCTCCTCCGCCCGCTACCGCTTCCTTCGCTGGATTCGGCGTCAAGAGGCAGGAGCTGAAGCCGGAGGAGGACATCAAGCCCTCTGGGTCGCTCTTCGTTGCCAAGAGTGAGGCGAAGCCCTTGTTCGGCTTTGGTCTGGGCAAACCTCCTGCACCGCCCGCGGCTGCACCCGTGGAGGTCAAGAAGGAGCCGGAAGCGCCTCCTCCTCTAGCGGCCAAACCAAAGGACTCCGGCTTCGCATTTGGTAGTGCTGCTCCCGCGCCTGCACCTGCGCCAGCAGCGCCGGCGCCTTCGAAGTTTGGCGGATTCGGATTCGGACTTGGACTACCACCTGCTTCCGCTCAACCTTTGGCTTCCAAGCCCGCCTTCGACTTTGGGTCTTCCAAGGCAGTCGAACAGAGCGCAGCCCCTGCTGCATCAATCTTCGGATCCACAGCTCTCCCAGCTGGTACGCCTTCACTGTTCAGCCCAACAGCTGGCCAGCCCGCTTCAACGGCCGTTCCCGCGAGAGCGGTCCCATCCATCCCGGTACCACCAGCCACGGAATCGAGCAAGACAGCTCCTACTGGCACGCAAACCCGCAGAGATGCTGCACCCCCAGCTACGACGTTTGCCGTCCCGGCAAGGGAGACACCGGTGGGCCGGGCGCCGCAAGCGGACGTCAAGGGAATGGCGACCGTCGCGCACGTGATTGAGGGCATGATACTCAACCTGGAGGAAGACATCGAATACGTGAGTGCTTGACTTGACGCCTACTACGATACTTGACTGATCTGGATAGCTGGCTAGAGTGGTTAACAGTGCGGCAAAGCATCACGAGGCACTCCGGACGACCAACTTTGTCAAGGTGGATGAGAAGACGCTGGGGGAGCATAAAGTCCTGCCATTCTCGTCGGCCAAGGATACGTCGGCGATCGCAGATTCACTCTTGAAGCAGCTGAAGGAATGGAAGGGGCAAGATACGGGAGTGGAGCGCAAGCTGGCCGAGCTGCAATCGCTGCTGTTGAAGAGTGAGTTGATTCGAACTCTGCATCGAGAAACAAGCTGACACTTGATAGCGGACATGAGGTCTGGTCAGCTCGACCAGTTCGCTAAAGCTCGAGAAGACCCGTCTTTCGTCAAAACTATCGAGGTCACCCAACTCAGCACACAGCAGGCGTCGGATCAGGCGCGGATCACCAAGGCGGTGCAGGATGTAGAGACCGGATTGGAGGATCTTGAGATGGGTCTGGCGGGACTCAAGAGGAGGGTGGATGACGTTGCGAAGGGTATAGCGCCTGGGTATGTTCCTATTGGCTCGATGTCCGTGTAAAGGGACTTCGCTGATTTTCACAGCTCGGCGTCTGTGGAAAGACTGGAGCGATCCGTCAAGACCCTGGACCAGACCATCCAAGAACGCCAGCGATCTCTCGATGGCCTAGCCAAGCGCTTCGGCTCGATCGACATCCACGCCTCTCCATCCCGCTCCCCTGCTCGTCCTACACATCAATACATCTCCTTCGAGACCCCCAAGAACAACAGCAGCTCCCCTACCAAGCGCGCCCCCATCCCCGTTTCTGCCGAGATCACGGCGGCAGTCAAGGCTGCTCTGGAGGATGATGCCTCAGCACGCCTGGCGGGCCGCCTGAGCGGGATCAAGACCCGAATCACCAAAGCCTCATCTTCGCGGTCGAGCTTGTTCTCACACGCCTCGAAGCAGGCTGTACGGATGGACGACATCCCCGAACCCCTACCCTCCGCGCCAACGCCTAAATCCCCCTCCGCTACTCCTTCTACCAAGGTCAAAAAGGAGGTCGTTTCCCCCTCTACCTCATCAGCAACAGTCACCGCCCCCTCCCCCTCCCCATTCTCCGCCTTCTCGGGGATAACTTTCTCCCTGGATCCTGGGCAGATCACCTCGGTGCCGCGTACAGGAGGGAGTGGCGGACGGAATCGCCAGCACGCGCCGGCGGCCAAGCTGGAGATGTCGGCATCGCCTTCGACGTCCAGTCCACCATCTACAGGGTTTGGCGGCTTCAGCTTTGCCCTCCCAAATACACCAACACCGAGCGGGCCGGCCAAGAAGGACGGGGCGCCGAGCGGATTCTTTAGCCTCAGCGGATATAGTGCAAAGTAGTGTTCGCCGTAGTGTAGGTTTTTAATGGAGCAGCTGGATTATAGGTAGGTAGATCAAATAATGCATCCAGCGGTGCAATGTCGTCTGATTGAGTCCGGTGATCTGGTCCTGATCAAGGTGATACAAGCATTCATTTTCCGAAAAGTACATGAGACGCCCAGCTAATATTCCGACATCGTGAGGGTCTTTCCTGTTCACATCAGCTGCTGTTTCACCGCGCGGGCATCAGAAGCGACTCACCGATCTGCGGTCTCCTCCGCTTAGCCTGCGCAGCCCCATCATTCGCCCCAACGTCAAAGAAGCCAAAGCCGCTCACTGTCGCATCAGCTCCCACTCACGCCTTGCAAACGGCATGAGAACTTACACATCTCCTCCTCCTCTTCATCGTCATTCTCCACCGTGATGGGCTTGCCGGTCCTCGCATCCCTCAACGTCCCGGTATGGTCCACCCAGTGCTGAGGCGCCTCGTTCGCATCCTTCCAGAGGGCAATGAGCATTGTCCGGACCTGCAGGAGGTATGCTTGAAGAGTCGAGAGGAGTCGGCGTGTCTGGAGGTGTTTTGACGACATGCAGATAGAGATCCCTTCATCTTTGATAATGTAGCCTGGAATATCAGATTCTCTCGCACGAGTAGCGGTGGAGCAGGCAACTGACCGATCCCGTAGCCTTCTGGAGTGACAGGCCCAAAACCGAATAGTCTCAACGCAGGATTGCCGCAGTTCGATGTCGACAATACGCTGGTCCCGAGCAGACCATACCCCGGATCAGTGAAGATCTCGGGTACAGTCATAGTATCGGGATCGCGCTCGTGGTCGCTTGATCGTCGAGACGAGGTACCGTCGCCACTGCCTTTGACGTTCTCCTTGGCCGCACGCTGCGCTTGGATATCCCGCTGGATGAGAGAGTGCATGGCGTACATGTGCCTGCAGCGTCAGCCTCGGATCTCTCTTATACCGTGGGAGTGGGCTCACCGGTCCTGCCCCTGCCCGGCCGAACAATCCCTCGTGAGCTGAGTATGACGCTTGCAAGCTGCTCTGAGCGCAGCGATCTTCTCCTCTGGCTTAGCAGTCTCGGACAAGAAGGTCTCTTGATTAGCCGACACCCCTTGTATCGTCCATAGGTGAACCTACCTTGACAAAGTTGACACTTTCTGGCTGGACCGTCCGGATGGCCTCCGTCCGACCATGCAAGAATGCCTTGGTCATAGCTGGCTCATAAGTCGACTCCACGCGCCCTGACGATCAGCTATCCTCCGCACTTCGTAAGCAAAGTACTCACCGTACAGCCCATAGTAAGCCGCCTGGAACGCCATCTGCACAAACGCATCCGGACTGAACCCGTGCCGCTTGATAAAGGCACTTCCGTATCCCTTAAATTCGAGCGCCTGGCTATCGTTCTGACAGATCAGATCAGAGATGCGAGTCTCGGCGTACCGGACGCCCGCGCGGAGGTCGGGCGTAAGCTTCCACTCGAGCTTCTTGGGCGATGTATCGTACTCCTCGTCAGGCTCGTCGTTTGATTTGCCCTTGTTCTTGGATCGGCCGGCGCGGGAGAAGGGGGAGGGACGAGCTTTAAACAAGGATGGGGTGGAGGGGTTGATGGTCTGCCAGTCAGTAAGATCTAGGGAGCAGGTGTAGGGCACGCACCTTCGCGAACAGTAGAACCAGCTCAGTGTACACGTCGGCGGCGTAACGGAGGACAGTGTGACCATCTACACCCGTATGCTCAAAATTGACTCCAGCGTCGCCGTTGCTGCAGACTATGATTTGCAGCTATCCATCAGCTCAAGCCGATCTAGGGACTCACCTTATCATACCACCTGTTTGTACAGGTCCCCGTCTGAATGCCTCCCTCGAGCGCGTAGCTTCCACACAGGAAGTTCCCGCACAGCTCGCCCAGGTCTTCCGTCGCAAAGTCATCTAGACAGACCACGAACAGCGCCGACTCGATCTTCTCCAGCGAGGCCGCATTGGACTTGTTGGATGTGATGAGCTGATTCCGGAGACTGGACCAGATCTTGCGTGATTCGGTGGTCAGAACACCAAGGGCATTGGGGGCGACCTGCAATTAGCTAAAAGCCAGTCGATGAACGTACCTCTTGTACTGGAGTCTTGTCGGAATCACGGACGACAGCTTCGAGGTTGGTCAAGATTTCTCGGTCAGACAGGAGGGGACGGTACTTCGAGTCCAGGCAGTCGAACCAGTCTGAATATGAGCTGTAGCCCAACAGGAGGCCCTACGACTTACAGAACTGTCCGCGACGGATGATGACGACGTGTTTGCTCTCGTTGTGCATTTGCATCTGACACCCGCGCTCCTGTCAGCTCTTGATCAAGTATATGCTCACCTCTGTAGGTACACGACATGCCCCGAACAGCCGCTCGTATTGGCTCATGTCGAGCGGTGTGTCTCGTACGGCGTCCGGCTGGAGCAGTCCATTCCGCTGATCGTGGATGAAGAAGAGTGACGAGAGGATGAGGGAGGCGGCACGAGCTAGCTGAGGGTTCGATCTAGGTGTGACATCCGAGCTAATCGTCAGCTGTAGCACGAGAGGTGCCAGGGCGAAGGAGCTTACGATAGGACGAAGAATGGATTCTACGCTGTCAGCTATGTCCAGACACTGTTTGGTTGTATGTAGCTCACCAAGCTCAAAACAACCGAGTCGGCGAAGTTCAAGTAGCTCTCATCTGTAAATCAGCAATGTCTCTCGTACGCCGTACCCTAGACTCACACCAGAACTCCTCAATGTAGCTCTCCACGCCTTCATTGTACTCTTCGAGCCGCTTCTGCCATCTGGCCCCCTCTCCACTCGTCAAGAACTCCTGTACGACCTTCTTCGTCTTGTCATGTTCGGCAGGATCTTGAAGACCTTCCAGAGCCCGTAGGTACCGCTTGCACGAGTCCTCGAGCTTTGGGATGGGCAGCTTGGGAAGCTTGGACTCCTTGAGCTGCTTGTTGGTGACGCTGCCGTTGGTGCTCGGCATGGCTGTCTGAGAGACTTCGGTCGGGAGAGTTGGAGGTGGGTTGGTACTCATGATAGGGGTCGTTGCTCAGGCAGGGTGTCTCGAAGTATAGACCGACTTGCTGTATAGGGGGAAGGGGGGGGTGAAGGTGAAGTGGAGGTCGTTGGCGCTCTTATAGCGGTCAAGCTGGTGGTCGTCATTCTAGTTCTGCTAAATCTCCCGATCAGTTTAAGCGGATACCGGTAAAGCTTTATCCGAGGTGACCGGTGACGGCATGCAGATCAAAGACCGAGGAATGCCGATCCAACGGCCGAAAGAGCTGCCGGAGGAAGAGGCAAAGACATGGTCAATCCTTTGTCGCTCCTTGAACACTCCCGTCCTCTTGCTTCGCTTCGCAGCTACATATGCAATGCCCTCGCCGACAGATAGTCAAGTAGCTTCCGTGTTCCAGCAGGCTCGCCTCTTAACATAAGTGGAAGACTTCAGCACGGGCTGTAGCAATCCCAATTTGCGCAAAGCGATGATCGAGCGCCGCTCGAACAGAGTCCAGGTCCTCCGGCCCTCCGGAGTGGATATTGATGGGTGGCCACCGTTCTGGACACTCACATCTTGCGACCCTGTTTGTCTACTGATACATCAATTTTGACGCCATCGAGTAAGTTCGCCAGGTCGATGGCTAGTGCTCTAACGCGCGCTAGTGCCACCTTCTAGCACTGCGTCTCGGCATTTCGGAGATATACCCATCTCTCGCCTTCGGATCCGCCATTTCTGGAGCACACATCGACGTCCGGGTCCATGCCGAATACAATTTCCCCATTGCCTTTCTCACTGGAGAACCTTGAAACCCATCTCAATCCTCGTCGACTCACCATGAAGACCATCATTGTTACCGGTGCTGTAAGTCCCTCTTCGACCAAGAACCCTTGGTCTATTAGCTGACTCTTGACAGAATCGAGGCATCGGTCGCACCATGTGCGATGTCATCCTGGCCCACCCATCCCTCACCCAAACCCCCATCACTCTCTACGCTACCTCTCGCGCGGGCTCAGATCTGAACATCATCCCACGTGATCCCACACACAAAATTCACTATGCCTCCCTCGATATCTCCAGCTCGGAAAGCATCTCCAGCTTCCAGCGCATCCTGTCCGAGGCTGGCCAGCCTGTCGATATCCTCATCAATAACGGCGGTGTCTTTCTTGACGACGAGGCGACGTACGAGAACGCCGTTTGCAGCCTGAACGTCAACTATCGAGGGACACTGGAAATGTGTCACATGGTCTTGCCGCACATGCGGGAGGGCTCTCGGATCGTCTCGGTCTCATCCGTCCTATCGCGGCTGCGGGAATACTCGCCAGAGCTGCAGGAGCGGTTCCGGACGGTCTCGACCCTCCCTGAGGTGGAGGAGCTGGCGAGCGAGTATCTGGAGGCGTTCAAGGCGGGAACACTGGCGGAGTGGGGTTGGCCGATGGAGGCGTACGGTGTATCCAAGGCGCTTATAAATGCGTTCACGCGGGTGCTAGCGAGCGAGAATGAGGGGGTTTTGATCAATTGCTGTTGCCCTGGATGGGTGGATACGGTGATGGGGCAGAAGGTCGGGGGTTCGCCGCCTAAGAAGCTGGAGGATGGAGCAAGGATCCCAGTCATGCTAGCATTGGGGGATATAGGGGGAGTGAGCGGGATCTACTGGGCAAATGACAGTATTGAGAGTAGCGAGGAGGGCAAGGTACAGGTATGGTAGATTGGCAGTAGCAGACATCATCAGGACAAACTACTGCGGCGAGTCAATGATCAATGATGGGCGCTTCCGGGCTATGCCCTTAATGGCTCGAAAGCGGTCTTGTATCTCTTCGCTGTGACGGCCGACGCGAGTTCCGTAAAATTATAGCATGAGGAATGAGGACCCCTTGATCGCCATCGTCATCGATCTCGATCGATTCAAAGTCCGGCGGCAAGCTCGGGCGCTCAAAGCCACTGTAGCTGACATCTGTGTGAATAGTATAACTACCTCAACTATACGACTCGTCTTTCCCAAGCAACAGCCAGCACTCAAGGTTTCGTCAACTCCCTCCATTTAACACCCGAATACCAAATGAAGACCATTATCGTTACTGGCGCTGTAAGTGCTCACTACGTCAAACGGAGCAGATCGCGAAGCTGATCGACCAGAACCGAGGAATCGGTCGTGCAATCTGCGACGTCGTCCTTGCCCATCCTTCCCTTGCCACAACTCCCGTCACCCTCTATGCCACATCCCGGGCCGGCTCGGATCTGGGCATCCCCACTCAGCGGCCGGACCACAAGGTCCACTACGCCTCCCTAGATATCTCCAGCTCGGACAGTATCTCCAAGTTCGAGCGGACTTTGGCAGACGCAAAGCAGCCGGTGGACGTCCTCATCAATAATGCCGGGGTCAACCTCGACGACAAGCCGACCGCGGACAATGCGGTCTCCACCCTGAACACCAACTACCGGGGGACACTGGCCATGTGCCGCATGATTCTCCCTCACATGCAGAAGGGATCGCGGATCGTCTCCCTCTCGTCGGTCGGGTCCATGCTGAACGGGTATTCGGACGAGCTGAAGAAGCGGTTCCGGACGGTCTCTACCCTCCCGGAGATCGAGCAGCTGGCGGAGGAGTACTCGAAGGCGTTCAAGGACCAGAAGTTGAAGGAGGAGGGATGGCCGGGTCCGGGCAAGTCGTATAGCGTGTCCAAGGCGTTGATTAATGCCTTTACGCGGGTGTTGGCGGAGGAGAACAAGGGGATCCAGATCAACTGTTGTTGCCCTGGTTGGGTGGAGACGGATATGGGGAAAATGGTCGGGAGCTCGCCGCCCAAGACGTTGGAGGAGGGCGCAAAGATCCCAGTCAGGCTGGCGCTAGGGGATGATGGTGGTGTCACTGGCATCTACTGGGCCAACGACAGTATCAAGGACAGGGGAGAGGGCAAGGTGCAGGAGTGGTAGATCGGAGATGGAACGCTGTTCATAGCAGTATATACAACGTTGTACAAAGATAGAGAAAGCATGGACCGGCCATACTATCCCGCCATAAGCTGGACCCCAAACTATCAGATATCGGACTGCTCCTTTATTAATCATTATCCGCACTGCTTGATAAACTGATACATCAGCGCCCCCTCTTTCCATTCGTGTCTGATTTTGTACTCACCTTCTTCACCGTCTCCAGCTGATGTTCCGCCATATTCACCATCGCCTTTGCCCCAAAGTCCAACTTCCCCGCCCGCTTCAGTGACTCTCGCATGGCCTCAGCGAAATCCGCCACGTCTTGTACAGCAGCGAGTACCGCGGTCTTGCCGCTTGTATTTCCGGTAGCGACAGCATGGGTGCATGCAGTATCATCCGATTCGACCGTGTTGAGTCTGGAGGTCGACGCTGAAGCTGGGACCGGTACTGTAACCGGGATCGTCGCTGGGGCTGGCTGGGACTTGTACAGCGAGAATGTCGGAGGAGGGATGTCGATCTGGGACGGCGGCGGACCAGGGCGTTGAGGGCGATGTGTGGCAGAAGGGTCGGACCGCATGGTCTTGGTCGGGACTGGTGCTAATTTAGCGGCGTGCAAGGCCCGCGTCGTCTTCCTTCTTGGGTCAGCACTTTCCTTCTTCCGTTGGCGACTCTACGTTACTACTCACGATCCGCCTGGTGTCTTCAGTTTGGTCAAAAATAGGTCGCAACCTTTGTTCCACATGTGGCAATGCAAGCACCTGGGACATCAAGTCAGCGCAAGCTACCAGATATGGGCCGGACGGCTGAATCCTACCGTGATGCAATATAGTGAGTCGTCGGGTCAACGACCGACCTGCCCTGCTTCGATGTCGAGGCTTTCGGCTCGAGACGCACGATACAGTCGATGCCGCCGTCCATACAGGTGCTGCATGGGCCCTCTGCTTGATCAGCGGCTATATCGCAGAACAGCCATGAGGACTCACCTGCTCCGCCTGGTTGATCCAAATCAACAATACCCCAGATAGCTGTTTTGTCTTGGAGCTTGTCAAGATTCGCGCCAGCCCGCCTGACCGTCATGCTTTTCAAAGCGTAGTCCTTCGACAGGGTCTCAAATCGCTTGCATCCTTCCTATACTCATCAGCTCCAAGCAAGTCATACCGCCCAGAAGGGAAGGAAAGTTGATTCACCCGCCATAACGAATGCTGCCTGACAGCCGGAAGATGTGTAAAGCTCGGCTGGCGATACTGATGGCTAGAATCTCCCTTCACGCCGTCCGCCGTGCTCGCGGCCCCACCCTCCGACTTTCGCTTCTTGCTGGGTAGCTGGGTTGAGCCATTTCCGCCCAGAGGACGTTTCGCTGGAGCGGGCGGGGCGAAAGGTTCGACATAGTCATCCTCTTCGAGCCAGTCTGACTCGTCATCGACAGAGGGCGACCGTTCCTTCTTGACGGGGGCAACCATGATGCCGTGCAACGGCGCAGTGCGGAACAGAGTGAAAGAGAAGGAAAGTATCAGAAATTGATGAGCAGTGAGCTCGGCGGACGGACTTCTAAATCCAGGCACCGATATGCCGTAAACAACCGGCATTCCTCCTCGTGCAGCCGATATACAGCTTGACCTGAGGCGACGTGTCTATACGGCTGCGACCTCACCTGAACCCATTGGAGCAGATCATTCGCCGTGGTCATCCCTCTGATACATTACACTTCGGATCCAGATACAAATGTACACTTCACAAGCTACACAAGCCACAGTCCCTCCTTGCCTCCTGCCCTAATCCCCTCTTCAGATGCTACCGCTCCTCCACATACTGCCAGTCAGCACACCTCTTGCTCCATTAGACACCAATACTTACCTTCTCTATCAACTGAATCTGATGCTCCGCCATGAGGAACAGACTCCTCGTGGGCAAGTCCAACTTGCCCTTCTCCGACAAGATCTTCCTCATATTGTCCGCAAACTCCTTGACGTCGCTGATAGCAGTGAGAACGTCCTCCCTGCTGCTTTCCGGAGCCCCATAATCGCTCTCCGGCTGCGGAGAGAGGCTTGGTGCCGAGTAGCCGTTCGTAGCTGGCTTGGCCTCGACGGACCACGAGAGGTCTGGCTCGCTCGGCGCTCTATCGGGCTGCCGTACTTTGCGTCGGGTTGATGGCTTCGCCGCGGGGAAAGTAGGCTGCTCTCGTGTTGGCTGTCTGGCAGGAACGGATTTGGTCACTGCCTGAGAGGCGGATTGAGTTGAGCGGCGGGGGAGAGGGGGATCGTTGATGACCTTGGGTTTGGATTTGGCTTTGGTGGATGGCGCAGATTTGGGGTTTTGGCTGCTTCATCAGCTCGCGCATAAACACAGAACCCAAAAGATAAATCCTCTACCCACCTGCTCGAGGGCGAGTATAGAGACAGATAGGCATCACATCCGGCGCATTGGGCAATACAGCGGATACAGCTGTAGCATCAGCTAGACCGAAGGGGTGGGATGCCGGTGGACTGACCGAGAGATCGCTCGATAAGACGTCGAGGGAGCTGATGAGCCAGCCGAGTCAGTCTGCACTGCGGGTTGAGGTGACACCTTGACGATACATTCCTCTTTGGATCTGAAGCAAGCCATGCACGAAGAGTCTAAGCTGTCAGCTCATTCTTCCTCCCTCAGTGCCCAGCTGCCATGACTGACTTTTGTCCCCCATCTTGGACTCGCGGATGATGCCCCAGGTACACTCGAAGTCTGAGAGCTGCTTCAATGACTGAGAAGTCCGTTCTTCGCTCTTGGACCCAGCTGTGCGTTGAAGGGTATCGCTGACCTTCTCGCAGTATGTCTACACGTGTCAGAGCATGATGGCCAGCTACCTGCGCGGATGATGTGCTACAGTACTCACCTGCCATACTGTATTTTCCCGAATGTTGTTGACCAAGACAAAGCTCCCCCTCGCCTGCTCCTTCCCGGTTGAGTCAACATCCACATCTTGTACCGCCTTTTGCGTCGACTTTCTCTTCTTTCTCGCCTGAGGAGAAGGGGCATATTCTGCCTCATTCTGCCTGCTCTCGACATTGTTGATACCCCCCTCGTCAGGCTCGACAAACTCAATCTCGTCTCGCCAGTCCGAAGTGGTGCTGTCGGAGGCCGACCGGGACCGTCTGCGGTTTTGCGACATCGCGGGTTCGAAATGCGGATCTGAAGGACCAAGGATGAAAGCTGTGAGCAGTCACGTACTAGGCTGCTCGTGCAGACGAAACAGCAAGGTAGATGAAAGTTGTTGTTGATAGCAGGTTTGAGGAGGTTTGGCGCAGGCGGACCGCTGATATTTGGCGCTTCCGTCGGAAGTACGGAAGTCAGCGCTGCAGCAGCGCTCAGCCACTGCACCAGCTTCGGTCCTTGTCGAGCGCGACTCGCTTGTTCCGGCATAGAAAGTGATTCATGGTAGATGTCACCGCCTAGATACCGAGCGCATCGATAGTAAATGGATGATATGAGCATACAAAGACCCCCGGAGACATGAGATTGAACGCAAGCTGCCAAATAATCCTAAAACGCGGCCGCCACCTGAACGACTCAATAACTTTCTTCGACGTACTGCTTATCAGCCTAGCCTTTTGAGATAAGTCCAAAGGATGACTGACCTTTCGAATGACCGACAACTGATCTTCTATCATGAAGAACATGCTCCTTGTCTTCAAATCCGCTCCCGGCAGCTTTCCCCTCATACTGAGCACAAACTCGCCCAGGTCTTTAACGGCCGAGTCCGCTGATTCTTTGGCAATAGCGGACGCGATGTTCTTGTCGAGCCTGGGACGTCTGCTGCTGGTATCCGGCGATTCGGGCAGACTATTGCTCGCGCTGAGTGCCGCCGAGACGGGCGCGATAGCGGATGATGCTTTGGGATTCCGCCGTAACCCGGACGCATCGATGGGAAGTGGCGCCTTGGATGTGGGTGGACGCGGCACAGCTACCTTGCTGGCCTTGATGGAGGAGGTTCGGCTGGCAGTCGCGCTCAGAGAAGCAGGGCGCAGATTGGAAGCGACAGGCGGCTTGCGGGGACTTGCGCGAGTTCCAGAGCTTCTCCTCGCTGGCGCCGAGCGCGCTTGGTATGGCTCATCCCTGTGCCTGATGAGCTAGGGCTTCACCTTGCACTCGTCGTCTCGTCATCACGCACGCGTCTTTGTCATGGGTCTGACTGCTCACCAGATCACACCCGTGATGGAAAGTGTGACAGGCAATACACCTACACATGATCAGTATTGGGCATATCACCTCGGCGGGGGTCTGGCCATTACTCACGCAGAGACTATGAAAAGCTCGGAGTCTACCGGAGCTAGCTGGACTATGCAGTCCACGTCTTTACTCTGGCATTGGCTGCAACGCCCAGCTGATCGTCAGCGCAATGCAAGCATGACTTGTGCGGAATACAAGGACCTACCCATCGATCGAGGCTGCTTATCTTCGATGATCCCCCACTCGTTCGCTCTGTCCTGGAACCTCTCCAGTTTCCTCTCGACCTGGCGCACCGCCTTGGCAGAGGTACTGTGAATCTACCCTTTGATGTGCTGGCAGCATTCCTGCCCAATCAGCTTTAGCTTGGCCGATACCTTGCAAACGGCTCACCTCGTAAACGTCGTGGCTCACCAAATTCGACAGCTTGCGCCATTTTGGCTGACGATACGCCTGAGATAGTCGGTGAGCGGTGTGGGCGCTCATTCCACTGTCGACCTTATCGCCTGGCGCTGCTATCCTCGCCTTCTTTTTGGTCGGAGATGCGGCTCGCGGTCGGCTCGGCCCTGCCTCTTGGTCCACATCGACATCATCCTCCTCGAGCCAGTCTGACTCGGAGTCGCTCCCTGGCGAGAACCGACCAGGCTTGCTCATGATGCCTGGGCTGTTCGGCCGAAGGAGCTTTGGGAGGGGCCCTGACTGTGCCGGGCGGTCAATTCGCAAGACCTACACCCCTATAGCTGGGTCTGTCTCTATCTGTGATATGGTGAATGCCATGGTACAATACAGAGGAGAGATAGAGGATGATGTGCACGTGACCAACCTGCAATCGGGCGACTTGCTTCTTGTGGTAATTTCAATCCAATAGCAGAAAAGGTCTCTCAAGCTTGTCTGATCAGCCTCCCTCTCGACATTGACTATATGGCTCCAAATCCCTATTACCATAGGCTCTCCCCGGCACGCACCAGCACTAGCTCTGTAGACGTCTGAACAGATAGCGACCAATTTCAGCCGACAAAGTGGCTCAACTTTCCCGTCTAGGCGGTCTCTTTGCGTGGATTCGCCCTTTTCAGCCCGCCTCTCCGTCCTCTACCCTGCCTCGCACCTCTGGCCTCTGCACCTATATCGAGATCATACTAACGTCCCTCGTCAACAATGTCATCCTCGTGGCCACCTGAGCTGAAGTGAGTTCAGCCTGTCTACCCTCTCGTGACTTGCCGCTGACTGAACAGGGCTTGGGTACAGGAATGCCTCTCAAAGGCAACCCCATCCAACAAGACAGCGGTCAACCTCGAGTTGAAGCAGGTGCTCTTCAAGGCGCACGCAGATGGTACTTTGAATTCGACAGACTGGTCCAAGGTGGAATTACAAGCGTGAGTATTTGGTACTGACATCGCTGCCGAATCAGCTGACCCTCCAGCCTCAAAGCCCAGGCCCATCGCACCACGCACGTCCTGCAGGCACAGACCAGTCCCTATGCTGCACGATCAGCACAAGCCATACCACCGCCTAATGCTGTCCCGGGTCCCTTCTCATCGTACCCTGCTCATTATTCTGCTCCTAACCCTTATCCTGCCCCCAACCCTTATTCTACTCCACATGGAGGGCCAAGTACCAACGGCGGCCCCAGTGGACAGAAGGTTGATGCCCCGTTGAACACTAAAAAGAAGAAGAGAAAGAAGTGAGCAGACCATTTTCCTCCTGCGGTCGAGAGTACCGCTGACATGCAGCGACGATGATTCTAGCAAATCAATGCTTACTCCCTACCACTTCACCACCCTAGCCGAGTCCGAGGCCCTCGCTAGACGCGCTGCGAGATTCTCCAAGCCAGGATTGGGTGGTGGAGGAGCAGATCCAAATTCGATGGGAGCATCGGAATGGTTTGACCCGGACGAGCAGGACATGTTGGCTGGGGCGATGGGGCCGAAGAAGAGGTTGCGCGGAAAGGGCGGACTAGGGTATGGGGGAGTGGAAGCTATGGAGATAGACCCAGTAAGTATCGTGTTTACACTTGGTGTTTCGACAACAGCTGACGAAGCAGAACGTTATTGACTGGGACCATTTCACAATCAAAGGTACCAGTACGAAGCTCGAAAAGTCATATCTCAGATTGACCTCGGTAAGGCCTAATCTAAATACCGGCTAGTCAGGAGCTGATCATCAGGAACCATCTCCAGCTGATATACGCCCTCTTCCCATCCTCAAACAAACTCTGCACCTTCTCAAGACCAAGTGGAAAGACAACCATAACTACGCTTACGCGGTCGACCAGTTCAAGAGTATGCGTCAGGATCTAACTGTGAGTACTATACTCGGTGATAATGCGTAGCGTAGCTGATCTTCAGGTACAACGGATCAAGAACACTTTCACTGTGGAAGTGTACGAAATCCACGCCAGAATAGCATTAGAAGCGGCGAGTTCGGCTGACTTCCCGCATGTTGACGGAGACAGGGAGCTGATATTGACAGAAAGACCTAGGCGAGTACAATCAGTGCCAATCGATGCTACGTCAGCTCTATGAGCTCGGCATCGGCGGCCATCCCCAAGAATTCCTCTCGTACCGCATCATCTACCTATTGCATACCAAGAACAGAAGTGGTCAGTTCCCCTCTCTTCGTTCCCGATAGTCACTGACAACCAGATATGGCCTCTCTGTTGGCCCAGCTAACCCCGGCGGAAAAGGCCGACCCCTCCATCCATCATGCTCTCCAGGTGCATGCTTCCCTTGCTACATCCAACTACGCCCGCTTCTTCCGTCTCTTCAACACCGCACCCAATATGAGCGGATACATCATGGACCATTTCGTCGAGCGGGAACGCATGGCTGCTCTCGCCGTCATGTCCAAAGCGTCAGTCCTCTTTTTTTCCTTGAGACTATACGCTGACTTTACAGTTATATCACCCTTCCTCTCGCCTACATCACCCGTCTCCTAGCCTTCGAGAACGAAGAAGACGCTCACAACTTCCTCGAACACCACGAAGCCGCCATCTTCACGAACCCTACCCTCCCCGAAACAGCCCCTGCCGCCAAGACCAAATCTGCAGCTTGGAATCCCGCCCCAAAGCCAAAACCAACGCCCCTCGCCGAGCTCATCTGGGACGCCAAGAAGGCGGCCGGACAGATTGTGCGGGGGTTGGAAAAGTACCGCATCGTCGACTTGAAGGGGCAGGTGGTGTAGTCGCCACCGCTCATCAACGGCTTGGCGGCATACTTCGCCACCTGCTCCCGTAATCGACCTTGCTGGTTAACCTCATTCGGTCCGGACTATCGTACGGGCTATCGGGTCACAAGGACAATAGGTAAGGTATCGATTCGAGCTGACTTTATGCGGATCCAGCGGGCGGTCGGGCGGTATGCGCAGGGAGGTAATACGTTGACGGCGTGTCTTTTTGAAGCTGGTTGGCGTGGATTTGGGGTGCAGCATCACGTACTCGAGCACTCCATGCAGGTATAGCTATACTGTCATTCCGGTTCTGTCTCTGCGCTGATACCTTCCTATTCACTGGTATCTAGATATCTAGGTCCGCTCGAGTCTCGTCTCGTCTCTCTGCTCGGGTCCACCAACATGACGGAAACAAGCTACATCTCCTCGCTACTCAAGGTCTGTCACTATAGCCTGACTACTTACTCTCCCTCACATGAACTAATTGACGACCGCCTGCTCCATGTCGATCCCCCATATTCCTCGTACACCATCAGGCGAATGGTCATCGCTCAAGGGAGTTGATCCGCCGCCTAGTTTGTCAGCTACCAGCATAGCCACCTGGCCTCCGCTCACCTTTCTCAAGACCTCTATCATGTCTTCCGTCTGCTTCATTGCCACCTGCACCATAAAGCTCAACTTTCCCTCCTTGACAAGATCCTCACGAACAGCAGCGGTGAATCCGGCCATGTGGTCGATGGCTTCTACAGCTTCGGCTCTGCTGACTTTCTTGCTGTGTACGCCGGGGGTGGAGCTTTCCGCGCTGTTCCGGCTGTCGTTGACGAGCGTCGAAGCTGGCGGAGTGCCTTCTACCGATGCCCGGGCTGATGCCGGCAGAAAGAGGGGAGTAGGCCGTTTTCGCCTTGCTGCGGAGCTCGCTGGGGGAGCAGGGGAGGATTCAAGTTGTGCGCTGCTGCTTGGTGAGCTCAGATCTCTTATACCGGATGAGGGTTAGTGGCGTGTAACCAGGCGAGACCAGGCGAGACCGCCCGCCCCTCGAACATGCCGTCGTGCACCACTCTGGCCTTTTTCGGACGCGGCCGCCTCTTCAAGCCCTTGTGTGTCGCAGCGAGAGACACTCACGGTCCAGGATCTATCGCTTGCCACTCCCGGCTGAGGCTGCAGTTTTTGGCGGTGGCGATGCAGTGTACACATCTGAACGCCGACTCAGCTGATATACAATACCGAAGAAGAGCTGAGAAACTTACGCAGAGGCTATCCGGTGCACTGGGGTCATTGAGCCGAACTTACGCAGCTGCACAACGCAGTCGCTGTCTCGCTTAGAACAGGCCTGGCACCGGCCGTCTGCTCATCAGCGTGTATCTCTGTCTCAGGGGTGTGGCGTACCTAAACCGTCTTCCTGCTTTGTCTTGACCGATCCCCAAATCGTATCCTCCTCCTGGAGATACCGGCGGACCGATCTCGCGCACTTCCTGGCGCTAGAGCTTGCCTCGCGGTCGTTCTGGGTATCCCGAGCCTTCCTGTTGGCTTGCTATACGATCAGCTGGTCAGCTACTGGGGAAGTTGTGAAGACCAGAACTCACATCCCATACGGAATTGAGCTTGATCTTGACAATGACCCGCACAGCCTTCTGAACAAAGAGCTCGCTCAGCCCCCCATCATCGATCTCATTCTCCTCCTCCGACTCCTCTTCATCCTCCTGCTTGTCGTCGGATGTGACCACCGACTTCCTCTTCCTTTTGACAGGCTGGGAGGGTCCGGCACCCCTCCCGACACTCTTTCGCTTCCGCCCTTCCTCGTAATCGTCATCGCTCGCGTTGGACTGACGCTGATGGACTGGGACATCGTGGATGAAGTCAGAGGCGTCCGTTTCGGCCGAAGAGAGGCCGGATATGATATCGTCCGAGCTGTCGTCCTCCACAATGACGGGCGTTTGCGAAGAGTTACTGATATCTCTGGACATGGTAGATCCCAAAGACTGTGTGGAGAGGAAGTGAGATGAGGTTGAAGGGTAGATGAGAAGAAGTTGAGTGACCTTCTTCGACCGTGTTTCAGATTAGGTTCCGCCCCTGAGGAATGTGGAGTTGAGGCGGAACTCGGGAGGCGGGCAAAACAAGGTGATCTCCGGAGCCCATAAACTGGTTGGTTCACGTCAGAGTGACGTGCACTACACAAGGCACATAGCGATCAAAGTCAGACCTCTGTGCCCGGCGCAGCTCCAAACGCCACTTCGGCTTGGTCCAGCACACGGTCGCTTCCCTACTCCACACCCGGGGCCAGCTACGTATGCGCGCATTGACAGCCTATCACCCGCTCACGCTCGCCCCGTCGTCGTCCCGGAGCACTCACTGCACCTACGACTCAATCACCCACTCGGCGAGGTGTCAGTAGATGGGAGAGCGGTCCGCCATAAATACGTGTCCATCGAGATTGTGAGCACACCCCTACCGACTTGTACAGATGCAATGATATCTCCTCCCTATGTATGATGTATATCCCAACTCTTTTCTCCGTGCACCTGAGCAAACGCAAATCACTCCCGAGATAGTCCCAACGCCTGATCCATATCAGCTCGACCAGCCTAGTGAGTCTCAGACATTATCAGCGGAGTTCCTACTCACCTCGTTGATCACCGCTTGGTGCTCCTCCATCAAGCGAAACTGGGTCTTGAGCTCGAACCCGAGGACTCCGTTGTTCTTCTCAATCCTCTCCTTCAAATGACCCCTGAACTCCTCGATGTATCGGACGGCTCCCAGCGCGCGCGCGTTGTCCGAGCTAGAGCCAGCAGCCGCTGGTTCCGCCGAACCGATCCAGTTGTCAGCTTCGTATATCTCCACTGCGAAGCGATAAGAAGACTCACACGCCGAAGTACTGTCAACTCGACCCCCAGCATCTTGAAGATTGACTTTGTCTCCCATGGAAGCTCGACCTGGCCATTGAGAGAGAGGAGCTCCTGTCCGCGGATCGAGAAGGCCTCGATATCGTCCAGAGCCGAGAGAAGTTTTGCGACGCTAGGGCCGCGACCGGGAGGAGGGGGTTTGTCTTTGGGTAGGGAGGCGCCGTTGGCGAGGGGCGGATGAGACCGGCAAATGCTGGTGATGGTGGTTTGCTGGGTCTGCGCGATCCCGTGTCTGGCCTCCGCGGTATCTGCCTTGCTGGTAAGCGTGTGCGCAGGCGTGGGACCGATATTGGCGGGTGCGGTCGAATTAGTGCTCTTCGAAGCCGGGAGTTGGGGTTGCCGCTGGGACCGTATAACAGGAGCGACGCTTCGGACACCTGAAGGAACGCCCTTGTAACGTTCCGCCCGGGTCTGTGCTTGATTCGGAGGCGCAGATGTCGAGGGGCCTGCCCAGGAGCCTTGAGGTTGCCTAGAAATGGAGCGTTCAGATGGGCTGGAACGTATGCTACAGGTCTCAGCATACGACCATGTCTTCAAGCTCAGACGAGGACCGAGACTAACCGCTTGGAGACAGAGTTCCGACTCTTTGTGATACTACAGCTCCTAGACTTAGTCATGCAGATTATGCACCTGAGCATCATCAGTACCTCGAACGACGACAAGAACGACAGGACACGTGTCTTTAAGTCACCGGCTTACCTTGACACAACTTTGTAAGAGAGTGGATCCAACCCCACAGTGATGTGCTCGAGACGGACAATACACTCGCGATCGACATGCGCAGCACACCGCGTGCACTGATGTACTGCTTCATCAGTACTTGCTCCTTGTGGTACTTCCTTCTCTCATGTCATTCTGAAACCCATCACTCACCTTGCGCACCGTCTGGAGGGCGCTCGATGATACCCCAGACGGACTTGGGGTCGACCAAGTGCGCGAGGAGGCTCTGGAAGCCCCTCACAGTCGTTGCGCTTGAGCTGGTCCGTATTCTTCCCAGCATAGTATTTCGACATGTCTGCAGTGGTCAGCTCCCTACCTCAAGTAAGGATTAGCTTTACTGTAAGCGTCCCTTACCTCGTACGTAGGGTGTTGTTTGACGTCCGGAACCAAGCGGAAGGCTGGCTGATGGTATTCGTATGCCGACTTGGGTCTCTCAGAGCTATCCGAATGAAGCGAGTGTGGATCCCCTTTCTTCTCTGCATCATCGCCTTCTTTCTTGACTCTGATGTCATCCTCTTCCTCCTCGGTCAGATACGACTCCCCGTCGTCCGAATAGAGCAATTCGGGGTCGTCCTGGGTACCAGCCCCTCGCTTAAGGGATGGATGGGAGCTAGACATACTGCCAAGCGGAAAGATATAGAGCTGACGAGGGAAGAGGGAAGAAAGAACGAAAGGGATTGGGAATGCGAATGCACGTGAACTCAAAAAGAAGGCACTTCAATTTTATCTGAAACGCGAGGGGCTGCCACTATAGGCCCGCCATATACACGAGTCGCTGTCGCCCGCAACCCCTCGGGAAGCAAGGTTTTGGGAATATATGACCTCAGCTGATGATGTGTGATACTGGCATACCCGCATATGTATTGCATGTTGTCAACTAAGCTCTATGTACCGCAAACCTGTTAAGTTTTCAAGAGCAGACTGGGGATGCATAGGGCTTGACTACTGCTCCTTATATAGTGCTGACTGGGGTCCTAGCTACTGGCTATCTACTTGAGTCGCTACGAGTCGCGACGAGTCGCTACGAGTCGCTGCTCAGTCGCTACGAGTCGCTACTCAGTCGCTACCGGTCGCTACCAGTCGCTACCGGTCGCTACCAGTCGCTACCAGTCGCTATCGGTCGCTACCGATAGCTACCGGTCGCCGCGAGTAGATACGAGTATATACCGGTCGCTACCGGTCTATACGGGTCGCGACTCCTCCACTGTCCCAATGGATGGGAGTGCCGCGACGCCTTGTTTGTTTACGCTCTACCGTGGACCCATTCAAGCCAACAAAACCCCTTGTCGAAATGTCACCTGGAACGCTCCATCGAATCAAAGCTGGCTCCGTCAGCTGTGACCCTACTAGACAAACTCGCCATCACTCACTTGCTGCAAGGTGTCAATATGTCCGTTCACTACGGTGAACATGTTCTTCATCACAAAGCGCAACTTTCCACCTTCCGCCTGTCCCGCCAGTATATCCTTGAGCTCTTGGGTGAAGGCGCCGATGAATGTGACCGCAGATGATACGCTGGCGCTGGCGACCCTGGTCCCGGCTCCTGTGCTCAAGCTCTGATATATCAGCCCGAGTGACTGCTGGTAATGATCACTGGGACAAGGAGGACTCACGCGCTTCACAATGTCAATCTAACCCTGAACTCCCTCAAACAGGATCTTGATCTCGTAGTCGCCCATCTGATCTACAAGCATCTTCCTCATCCGCTCAACAAACTCCTGGATGTTCGTGACCGCCAAATTGAGGGCTTCATCCACCGATGGCGATTGACTCGGCTGCGAATTGCTGCGACCGGCTCTTTCTGGCGTGGCGGAGGGAGGTGGAGTGATATCGGGTGAGAAGACGCGCCTGCGCTTGACGCTCCTTGCGAGGTGGCTTTGATCAGCTTCCTGCACTTCCGCGTCGCTGGTCGATCCGAGAGTAGCAGGTTCGCGATCGGGGATAGGGCCGAGTTGCCGGAGGCCGAAAGCTGCTCGGACTGCCGGTGTGTTACGGACACTAGTCGATCAACTTCTGCGTGCAGCACATCTTGAGAAGACTATGCTTGGTACTCACGCATTGATCATTTGTTGAGTGTGAGCATTTCCGTGCAGGGTCATATCACACCTCTTCTCCTGAACAATACAGCACATGCACCTTTGATTAGCATGATAGTCCATACGGTAGATGTGAGGAAGGAAGTAGCTCACCTTCTGATCACTCGGTGGGGTTCGCCAGGGATAATCTCGACCTCCACAATGCAATCTGTCTTCTCTTCTTGAGCCCTGCAGTTCTGACAGGGCCCATCGACTTCTCCATCTGTATAGTCAGGACTCTAGAAGTACTTCGGAACAGAGTGGAACAGACAATGCTCACCCTTGCTCGGTCCCTCAAGCTCATCTACGATAGCCCAATTGGCATCAGGGTCCATCATGAGGGTCAGGTGACGATGCCTGTGGTGGATTGAGCTACCTGACCTATGAGCGATATCGTGCTGTATTCGTATGCAGCACATCTTCGGAGGATCAGCAGTGGTTCCTTCCCGATGGAACGACGCAGCACAAATCGCAATCTCACCTTCCACAGGTCGTGTTTCCGAATGTCTTTGATCGGCCGGCATGCAGGCTGTCGATAGGCGTGACTGGGCTTCCGCTTCTTTGCACAGAGTTGTGGCTGCTCCGGAACGATTGGTCGAGGCACCAGTCCTGCGCCGACAGCCGGCTGCGGCGGGACTGCCACCTCCCGCTCATCGTCCGAGTCCGCGACAAGGTACGGGTTGTCGTGCGAGCCGCGAGGGGCCCATTTCTTGGGGAGGATTCCCTCTTTGGTGTCGCCTGGCTCCATGATGGTGGTTTATGGTGTATAAGTAGGGATGAAGGAAAGAAATTGATGAGCGAGGCGAAAGGAAGCGTGTGGCGGATTAGAGTTCGCTTCGCGGACCTGAAACACACAGATGACGTCACCCTTGTAATAGCCAGCTGTGCATCGGTTCAGGCCTATAGAGGCATTTCTAGCTGCGAGGGGTAAGCCCAAGCCTCACTCCTGTGGTATGAGGCTTCACGAGGCTACTCACCTCCACAGTGTGACTCTGACCACGGATGAGAACACCAAAATCCCCTTTACAGGCCATCATCTCCCTCTAGCGGATCCCTTCGCCCATTCCGGAAGTAACGCCTCATCCTCCTCCTGTCAAGTCAGCACCGACCTACATCTCCTCCCTTGTTCAAGTTGGAGTCAAAGACTCACCGGAAGATCGTCGGTAGAGACCCACAACCTTCGCACTTAGGAGCATCCTCGAGCTTGTGCCACCGGATAACGTCTTTCCCAGATTGCGACTCGGACGTATTCGACGTGGCCAATTGCGTCTCCCTTATCTGACCCAACAGTTCCAACATCGTTTCCTTGGTATCAGGCCTCAACATTGCCCTCGGTACGTAGATGTCCAGGTCGAGATAGGGCGTATCTGGTAGAGTTGGCTTGTCCTCCTCGTCGATCCTTGTCAGATACTCGGCCCTATCCCCTATCCACCGCCTGACCATCTCCGCCACCATATTCCACCCCACCGTCGTCTGCTCCTCGGGATCATCGATTTCCGCTAGGGTAAAGTCCCACCGAGATTTCCCAGCCAGTATGAGGGGCGGGTAGAACGCCTCGGACCCATCGTAATGGAGGCAGTGACGCAGGTCCGCGGTGGTGTGCTCTTTTTGGTGATAGAATGTGCGCGGATAAGTGACGTGGGGGATCATGATGGGGATGTAGAGGGGACCGCGCCTCGTCCTTGAGCAATACTGGGCCGGCTGCGTGTCCTTGACGATATGGGCGAGTTTCACCTGGGCGCGACCGAATTGCTGGCCGAGCTCGTCCGACCAGACCTCCTTCCAGATCTCATCTTGCCCGCCTAAGAACGCCCCCGTCGCCAGACTACGCAATTTGGCTCGACTGACAGAGAGCAATAATCCCCTGGCGGCGGTAATGATCTTGTTGCACTCGTGGTTGCAGAGTTTGACCAGCCTGGAGCGATTGACCATCTCCTAGGGAATGAGGCGGTACGCGCGGGGGCCGTCTCGCATGATTTCGAGGTAAGTTGGCGCGAAAGATGAGTACTCGAGGTAGAGGTGCTGACATTGCTCGAGCAGCTGCGATTTGCTTTGTATACCTTTCGCAGCTGGACCGCCAAAGAGGTTGGCGGTGAGGAGGGAGAAGTCGTCGGCGATCACGTTCTTATACAGGAGGGGAGAGGCGATGTTATTGAACAGCTATATAAAGCATTAGCGATATGGTACCTCATGCTAAGTGATTCGATACTAGGCGTAGCTCTTCGTAACCCACTTTCGAAACGCGCATGGCTACTGCGAGCGACGTCTGTCGTATATCGGACCGCTGGCATTTGCCAGTAGGGCGAGGGAGGGGCTTCTGCAAATAGCCTGAGACCTGGACCCATATCTCCGGCGGCAGCTGCGCTCGCTCCTTTTGGCTCGTCGCGCTCTTCTCGCTGGTAGAATGAGACATGGTCGAGTGTGACATGAGTAAGGTGTACGCAAAATCAAAGACAGCTCCGCTAATCGGGCGGGTTTCGGGCAAGAGCGCATGAGCTTGCGGCCGTACGGCATGCCGCTCGAGGAATGCGGCACGACCCATTCAGATTCTTGCTTGCGTGCGAGATCTCGGTACCCACCCTACATGGAGTACAGGAAGGTACAGGAGCTACAAGGTTCGAGCTATAGGAACGTACTGCTAGAGTCGCGCTATCTGTCTACCTAGTCCATCACCGCCAAGAATTCATGTTTCGCTCAGCCACAACCTATCCGCCAGTATCCGCCCCATCTCCGCCAGCAGCTAGTGCAAATGGTGATCCTTCCCGCCCCAGCATCCCGGCACATGACACAGTTAACCGTGCTCACGGGGCTCCTCATCACTATACTCCCCATCGTCTTCCTCGTCGCCCTCATCAGTGTCCTCATCCTGCCACCTAGGCTCTCTGGTCACCACAATCTCGCCAGTTTCGCTGTCCCGCCGGTTGATGGCGAACCAGTCATATGATTCGGGCTAGGGTAATTAGCTTATCCCCCTGACTATAGCCTGAGCACTCACGGGGATATCGTCCGAGCACCAGCCACACACCTCGCAGGGCGGCGCCTCCGCCATCGATCCCAACTTCCACACTCATTCTGAGATCGAGATTTTGGTACGTGGTATCCCTGTTCATAAAACAAGGGGACACAGTTCCTGACCTCCTTCTCCACTATACTCCTGAAGCCACCTCGATTGAGACTAGACGAGAGGAGGATCTCTAACCGTCAGACTCGGATCCTTTGCAATCCTCCGTCTCCCCTCTTCCTTCAACCAGTTCTTGATCTTTCCCTCCCGACTCTCGATCAGGTTGCCGATGCTCATCACCACCAGCTCCGAGCCCTGCTGGAACCTCGCCGCGTCATCGCCGAGGAGGAGGTGTGTGGTGAGGTACCACCTGCTTTGGCCGCGAAAGACGACGGGGACCTGGCATTCGAGGGACTCGACATGCAGTCGGTGTTGGAGCAATTTCCCGCCGCCGGCATTGGGGTAGTCGATGAGAGCCAAGTAGGCCAGGGGACCGTTTTCGATCCGTTGGCAGAAGGTAATGACCCTTGGCCGGTCGATCAGACTCGAAAGAACGAACTGTGCCTTCTGGATGGTAGGCGACATCTCCTTCATTTCCTCATTCGACGCCCATCGCCGAGGGTATGTGCGCCTCTGTCCGTCAAGGAATGCCCCGGTGGCAACGCCTTTCAGCCGGATGAGATGACGTCTCCTGGCAGAGATGCCTGCGGTTATTCCATTCGCCTCCTGGAGGATCAGATGCTTGCGCATCCGACCATCAGGGGCGATAAAGTCGAACATCCTAGAACCGGCCTTGGCCTTCATGATCTGGTGATATGTGGGCCCGTTATTCTCCGGGGTGGGTCCGTATTCGAGGAATAGTCGCTCATAACCGAATAGCTGGGCTTTGGATTTGATGCCTCGTGCAGCTGGAACACCTCCGTCCGTCCCTCCCAGAATACCGACGGCGAGCTGGGCGGCTGGGCTGGACGGTCCGTGACGACGACTTTGTATAGGTGCTGAGCTGCGCAGTGATTCCAAACCTAGGTTTCAGCAACACTTCTGTGATGGAGACTCTGCTAGAGCGTCCCTCAAGCTTAGTTTGTAGCGGGCTTACCCTGTTCACTCTCATACACCGGATGAGGTCCGGTTGAGAGACGGATCTCCACTCATTCTTCCCGTTCGGGGTGGGTAGGGGACGCCGAAGGTGGGATATGACAACGCCCCAGAGGTCGTCGAGCAGCTGAATCGGTGCCATCGTCGCTATGGCAGCAGGATGGTATGAGAGGGAGATGTAGACTATCAGAGGGTGTAGTCCAAGTCTGCGCCAAGAGGCTCGAGGAAGGTGATCCTTTGAGCATATGTTTAAAAGACGATGACCGAAATGTATTTGTCCGTAAAAGACGAAGCCTTTCCGCCACTGTCTAAAAGACGAAGTCCGGCCTAAAGGATGCCTAAAGGACGAAGCCGGATAGTTTCGGCTTGTTATCATGCCGGCAGTGTGCCGGCCCCGCGACGCGTTGTATTTGTTTTGATCCTCTCCTCTCCGCTCCTTCACCTCTCCACTTTCCGCTTCTATACCCACGTAGCAACAACATCAGCCAGCCAAGCACTATTACTAGCCCTACCGCCGTCTCTCATCATGTCAGAGTAGGTAGTCTCGCGCATTAAGGACTATTGTGGCCCATTCTGACGCGTCGCAGTAATCAACCAACCTTCGCCCCCGCTACCTCATTTGCCCCTACCACTGTCCTTTACGCCAAGCAGACCTTCGGCTCTTTCGACACTGCCAAAATCGCCATCACCCACCACTCTCTTGCTCAGCGCAAGGCGTCCGTCAAGGCGGAGAAGGCGCCGACGGGATCGCGGATACTTTCGTGCGCGCTCAAGAAGGAGGACGGTTGTAAATATCGTGTCTACCTCAAGTCGCACGGGGCGTCGGGCGGGTGTATCGTTCAAACTCTCATCGACGAACACACTTGCTCTCCTCACGGCGTTCCCGCGCGACTTGGAGCGAGACAAAGGGGCTTCATTCTCGCCGAGGTGAGTCAATAACGCAACTATTGGCTTTGATATAGCTGACACATGCAGGCCACACGACTCAACAAAGGCACCCCTCTCGCCGAAGCCTCCGCCAAAGGTCTCATCGGTCCCCTCCGCGCTTCCACCATCGACGATCTGAGCCGCCAGGCCGTCTCGCGCGCGGTACAGGAGATTAGGGGGGACACCGCGGCCAACCACTGCGCCGACTTCCGTCGTCTCCCCGCCTATATGGACCTGCTAGCCCAGCGGGATCCGCAGGCTCATCTGGATCTCCAGACGGACAAGCCTCTGGATGGGTATCGGGAGCGTAGAGATGGAGCTGGGCAGGGTGGGGACGGCAGGGACTCAGAGGATGGGGACAGTGGCGATGACGATGAAGAGGACGTGGCGATATTGGGCCTCTTTGTCTCCCCATCGCCGGCGCGGACATTCTTCCACCACTCTCGGCCTCTCCTCACCCTGGACGGGACATACTCTCGCGCCCACAATACCTACAACCTCCTCCTCGCCTCCACGTCTGACTGCGAGGGTCATATCGTCATCCTCGCTTGGGCGCTCGTCAAGTCGGAGTCCACCGCCACCTGGAGCTGGTTCTGCCAGAACCTCCTCGTCGCCCTTCCCAGTCTCGCATTCGAGGGCGTCGTCATCGTGTCGGACCGGCAGAAAGGCCTGCTCAACGCCGTCGGTACCGTCCTCCCTGCCGCCCATCACGGTCATTGCGCTCAGCATCTGCGAGCCAATATCAAGGAGGCATACAAGGCCAAAGCGGTCGATTACTTCAACTCCATGCTGTACGCCAAAACCGAGGTGGAGTTCAAGCAACACCTCTCGGCGCTGGAGAGCGAGAACCCGGACGCGGCCTTCTATATCAACTCCATCCCCCACGACCAATGGGCAACCTACGCCTTCCCCCTCCCTCGCTACGGTACAACCACCTCCAATACCTCCGAGCAGTGTAACAACTGGCTCGGTCCCTTACGGACGAGTTACTGGGCATTGCTGCTCTCGATGGAATGGTCTGGAGCGGCGTCTCATCATAATCCACCAACTCTTCTTCTATACGAACAAATTTCTCCTCCTCCTCGCTCCAGACCATTCCATCGGGAGCAGCAATGCCCAGTAACTCGTCATCCTCTCCGGGTATGGCAACCTTCGCAGCGAACTCAGCTTCCAATTGCCCCTTTGTCGACTGGCCCGGCCCGTTCACTGAGGGCACGAATGACTCCTCATACGCCTCATCGTAGTCCACCAGTTCTTCTTCGTCCGGTCGGGACATCGTTGTTGATAGGATCGAGTGTGATCAAAAGAAACAAGACTGATCACGGGTGATCAAGAATGATGTAGACTGATCAAGGGTGATCAAGAACGATGTAGAAAGCAGCAGCTATCTTGGCTGGCTTTTCGCTCCCCCAAACTCTGGGTTTTGCTTCCGCTACCCCAGTTTTCACTTTTCGCTCCTTTTTCGGCCTCCCTCCACTTCCGACGGAAGTCTGGCTACTTGAACAAAGCTGTCAAGTCCTCACCATCCACCACCTCTGCGTCTGCATACATCACTTCGTCTGTTGGCAAGCCCAGCTCTTCGAGCAGAGTGACCTCCATTGCAGCACGAGTGTAGAACCTCCGAATGCGGTTGTGACCAACCTTCTCTCGAAGCAGGGTCCCATCCAGCTCGGCAAGCTTCATCGATCCCCTATCCGATATATCCGATATATCCGCAATCCGGAAAGGTCCCCTCCATCTATCCAAACTTCTGATCGTCTGACCATTGTCCTGCTGATTGTTGCGAACGAGTACCAACTCCCCAATCTTGAAGTCTCGACCTCGATGCCTCAGCTCACGAGCTTGATTGGCATGCTCGATGCTCGCCTGCCTAGACTTCTGAGCTCTGACTCTTGCCAGCTGTAAGTCCTCCTGCTTCCTCTCCAACTGCACCATCCTAGCCTCGATCAAATCTGAGGTGTCCTTGACATTTTCCCAGTTGCTGATAAGCATAGTACTCTCCTCCCAATCGATCGGAAGCACAGGCTCTTGCCCGAACATCATGTAGAACGGAGAGAAGCCGGTCGACCTCCTCACAGTGGACCTGTCTGCCCAAAGTGCGTACGGAAGATGCACTGCCCACTTCGAAGCATCCCCTCGGCATCTCTTGAAGATAGCCTCCTTGATGGACTTGTTCCCATTCTCCACCACTCCGTTCGCCGCCGGGTTGTAAGAGCTAGTATTGACGTACTTGATCTTATACCTCGCTAACATCTGCTTGAATTCACCCTTGAACTCCGGTCCTTGGTCGGCTGTCACCTGACCGACTATACCCCACCGAGCAAGAAACTCGGTCTCGAACCACTCAGCAACCGTAATCGCGTTCTGGCGTTCCACGATCTTCCCTTCGACCCATCCAGTCAAGCTATCTCGAGCCAACAGCAAAACAATCGGATCCCCATTGGAGTTCTTCTTGCCAACTTTGGTACAGTCGATGTGGATAGTCCCCAGCACTGTGGGCACGTCCGGACTAGTAAGTTCCGCCTCGTACTTCCGGTAGTCCCTGTGCTGACAAGGCTCGCAGGTACGGATATGCTCCTCGATATCTCTGGTGATATTTGGCCAGTAGAATCGAGACCACACTTTGTAGTGAGTCGCATGCTTCCCCTTGTGTCCCGAACCCTCGTGCAGACTCATGAGAATCTCTCTCTGCCTCTCTCGGGTAAGAACCAACTCTCTCGGAAGACCCTTGTCATTCCTCCTGTATATCCGCCCTTTGATGAGGGTATAGTTGAAAGCTCTGTGCATGAACTTCTCCCTTTGGGCCGGAGTCCAATCCTTGGGAAGGCGCTGATATTTCAGCAGCGCGTATCCCCTCGCTTCCCTCCCTCAACAACGTGGGCACTCCAAGACATATACCGCGCTGATCCGCTACGAGCAACATAGCTTAAGGATTTCTCCAAAACCCAGCAACTGAGATGAGGACCACGATTGATTACATGCTGGAATTTGTACGATTTCCATTCCCTGCACTACAACATTTTAGCAGCCTGTCCGATCAGCTGCCGCCCGGTAGGCCAAGACATCGACAGACTGACCTTCTCGAGCTCATCGGTATGCTCATCCGCATACTTGAGCATATACTTCATGTCCCTATTCACCTTCCTAGCGTCTGAGAGCGTCTCGGTAAACATCTTGATCACCATTCGAATATCGTCAACCGCCTCCAACGCCTCCTTCCTCGTGACTTCCTCGTGACTTTCGAGCTGGGTTGATCGGTCATCTATGATCAGCTACGGTCACCCAAGGTATCTAGGTGCTCACCTTCTTGAAGATGTTGATATTGTCCTTGAGCACGGACAGACGGGTTCGGATGACGAAGAGGCCGTTTCCCGCCACAGAGAGCAATCTACCCTCCAGCTCCGCCGTTGTGGTGAAAAAGGGTGGAAGCCGGGTGATGGCTAGCGAAAGAGAGGAGATCGAGGTGAACCAGGGAGGACTGGCGCACAGGAGAGGGGTATGAGAGGGATACGAGGAGTGTGCCGAGCCGTATAGATGTCGATGGGAGTAGCACCGAGTGTCGAATGGCCAAGCTGCAGGTGAGACAGAGCAAGAGCTACATGAACATGTATGTGGCTAGTGCTATGTACGGTGATTGACGATCTATCCAACGCTTAGCCATCCATGGCTCTCGTCAGCCTCGCCTGTGTGCTGTGCACGGACCTCCTCATTCCTCGTTGTGTGGCGGAATTGTATCAAGCCTGCGCTTTCCCCACACCGTGAATTCGGTCAGCCATGTGGTGGCAGTGGCGAGAACGATGGGGTCCGCGCTTATCTCCGTCTTGACGTCGTCTTCACCGTCGCTCACCGCATAGGCGCGTGTAATATCGGCAGCAGGTCGAGCGGCCGGCAGTCTTTGGCGAAGTTTGCGAACTTTTGCGAGCGGGGCTTGATTTGCCGGTGTCGGGACCCTCGGGGCTTGACCTTGCCCTCTATGTGGCTCGGAGGCAGACTTCCGCTTCGGGGCAGGCCGATTGTGTGACGGCTCAGCTGGACCTCTGCTATGTTAGAACAGATCTCAAGGTGAGCCTCACACTTGGGACATCCCCCAGCCGCGCTGCAGATTTATATCGCAGCCACGATGGGATCCTTGTAAGCCGGCAAGACAGCCCATGCACCTGGGCTATTCAGCTTTCTGCGCTTGCCTAGAGTCGTATAAGCCTACAGCACCTTGTAATGACAACGTGTGGGATGACTCCAGACCGAGTGGGCTCGAGGCGAACGACACATTCACGGCCTTTGTCGATGCACAGACTACAAGGACCAGCTGGAGCATCAGCTTCAAATTCAAGTGCTTCATCCGAGCAGGATCACATACGTTGATTACCCGGTTGCTCGTGCTCCACAATACCCCACATAACGTACTTATCTAGCAGCTGGTTGAGGGTCGTCTTGTAGCCAGAGACGGTCTTCGGGGCAGCATCTACCTTTGCCATTCGCGTCTCTAGGCTTTTGCATCATTCCTGATAGAATCAGCACCGAGTGAGTGGTGAGATTGACCATTAGTCTGGTACTGGTGGATGAGACACCTGCCAGATTTCAAGGTCCTTGACATCGACTACGCGACACACGGGCTGTCTTTTAGGGTGCAGTTTCTTGTCTGACTTCCTGGGGAGATCGCGAGAGGCGGGCTTCGGAATGGCGTGCCTTACGGGACCTGCGAAGTCGTCCGAGTCGGGGCTGACCTCGCGCCTCTGGGACGACATTTTGATTGCGATACTATTGAGATGATTGGGGAAGCAAAGCGCCAAAGCGGATGATATAGGAAGCAGAAAGCGCTGGGCTGGGTAGCGCTGGGTGACGGCACTTTTGCGTAACTACCGTATCGATCAGGAAGTGATCAGTAGACGAGCGCGTTGCCGTCTGTTGCCGTTCGCTTGGACACTGCTGCTGTTCCACGTCGTTGCATTTGCTGCTGATGAGTACCCTAATATATCACAGCCTTTTCGCAGCCTATTTGATCAGCCGCAGTCCGGACTCTCAACTGAGCGTATGATAACAAGAGACTGACCTTCTCCAGCCTATCCACATCGAGATCCGCATACTCCAGCATCTTCCGCCAATCCCAATCCACCTTGCCAGCATCCGAAAGCGTCTCCGAGAATAGCTTGATGACTCTGCGGATGTCGTCCACCGCCTCTATCGCCTCCTTCCTCGTGACTAGATAGTGTTGACGGGGCTCGGCAATCTGCTGATCAGCTCCTACGACGAGATCAGGTATCATGAACGGCATACTCACCTTTGTGAAGAGGTTGATCTTGTCCTCGAGCACGGCGAAACGCGTAGTAGTCCGTATATGACCGCCTCTGCCAGCGGTTTCAGGATACTCTCCAGCTCCGCCGCAAGTCCGCTGAGCGCTTCGATTGCCGCCGAGACGACAGCGTCTGCCGGAGCAGCTTTGACGTCCTCCTCATCGTCGCTGACCGTGTAGGCCCGCGGGAGATTGGCAGCAGGTCGGGCGACCGGCGCTGCCGCATCCGATCGAACCTTGCGCATCTTTGCGGGCGGGGGCTGGTGCGCCGATGACGGGTCTCTCGGCGGGTCATCCCGCTCTGGGGATAGGTTGCGGGCAGACTTCCGCTTTGGAGCTGTCCCGCTTAGCGACGGGTGGACTGGATCTCTGCATGTCAGGATGAATACGAGCAGGTCGCACATCCAGGAGATCACTCACCCGTGCTTGAGGCTTAGGTCACAGCGTGTAGGGCTTCCCCGTACTGATCCCTTCAAAGCGGCGAGACAACTCATACATCTGGGCATGTCAACTGACCGCACTTACCGATAAGTGTAAGCCTACTGTACCTTGTAAGGACAACATGCGGCGCTACGCCAAACGGAGTAGGCTCGAGGCGAACCAGGCAGGCATGCCCCTAGCCTGCACATCGACCGCACGGACCAGCTGCAACATCAGCCGCGCGTACCGGCACTTTCACACACAGGCTAGCGAAAAAACACACCTTGACTGTTGAATTGCTCTTGCTGCACCCTACCCCATACCACGTCCTTGTTCAACAGCATCTTAAGACTTGCCTTATATTCGTTGATCTTTTTACGGCCGCTTTCTGGGTCTGCCACTAGTGCTTCCAAGGTTTCGCAGCACTCCTGATTGCATCAGCGATAAGTAATTAAGCGCTACGCGGCTGATACGAGTGGGAATGAGTGCGAGCATACCTCCCATTGTTCAAGCTCTAAGGCATTGACAACGCGGCACACCGGCTGTCGCTTAGGGTAGTTCAGCTTGTTCAGCTCGATCCGCCTTCTCTGTCAGAAGCGGCCTTCGGGTTGGCGGATTGGGCGGGGCCTCCTGGTTCATCCGAGTCGGGGGAGCTGTGTTCGCGATACTGCGGTGGCATGTTAATGGCTGAAGAGTTGGGGAGGGCTGCCAATGATAAGCTGGTCGAGCAAGACAAGAGGCGCTGGATAGATGTATGATACGAAGGTGATTGGGAGGCTGAAGGGGGGGGGGGATAAGATTTCGACGCTTGAGAGGCGGATCTGAAACGCGCGGGGTAAAGGCTCGTTACGTAACCTCTCCGATGACGCCTGTCAACGCGCGCGCAGCGCGACGTGGAAGGAGAAAGTTGCTATGCTGCTCATATGCTCGACCATACATCTCTCATCTACTGAAGATCCCCGATCTTGCCTTGCATCTACCACGGGATCGAACCGCAATGGCAGCCAACAGAAAAGTCCCCCTCGCTGCGGTCCGCTACGTCAACTTCCACTCCGACGCGTATACAGTCGCAAGACGAACCGACCCGATCCGTGGGTTCCTCTTCCCTGGACTTCCACCTGGTCGCCTCGGCTGACTCCGGCAGCTCAACAGACATGTGTCGGTGCTCCTTGTGCTCGATATCAGCCTGCCAATATCTTATGCGAGAACATAGGGAGCGACGGGATGGGCGGGTTTCAGTGGAAGGTGAGCTGTCGCCTTTCGGAACGTATATGGAGCTGATGGGAAGTGCGAAGCGGATCTCCCAACTGGACTGAGATTTGGCAAAGTGGACGTTAGCTGCGAAGGCTGGGAACGGCCTGGAGATAGTAACATCCTACACGGTACGCTAGCTGTATGATGCGGTGACCTTCGCAATGAGCTAACGATCAGGGTCCTGCGGGCTGACATATGACCTCGTGCGGATAGATGGCAGTCTAGAGCGGGATGATCCTCCCATGTTACCTCGAAAGCCAAGTACGTATGAGCAGCCAGCTACCTGCTGGATGAGACAAGACGTAGCTGATAACCCAGGCAAGCTATTCGACAACGCCTTCAACCTCCTCTTTCTCGCCATATCCGGCATCATCCTCTACTCCCTTATTCGTAATGTCATGAAGTCGGTCTATCCCCGATGGACCCCTCCTGCATTATTTGGGACTGGTGGTCCAGGTCCAGGGGGGCCGGGTGGGGGAGGTGGAGGTGGGCCTGGCGGAGGATGGGGTCCAGGCGGCGGAGGATGGCCAGGCGACTGCGACGACTCCCCTCATCCACCCCCACCCTACTCCAAAGCCTCTTCCACCCCTCAGCCACTCCCTCAGCCCGGTCAGACCGGCTGGGCACCCGGCTTCTTCACAGGCCTAGCTGCAGGTGGGGTAGGGGCGTACCTCGCCAACCGGGCCCGAGGGACTCCCGCTCCGGCCGCCGCAGCTCCACAGAGAGAGCGCGAAAGAGGTGGATGGGGAACAGGGACGACGCAAGGCGTCGCGGGTCCCGGACCGAGCACGGCCGCCATGGCTCGGAATAGGGGTAGCAGGGATGGAGGGCTGTGGGGCAGTGATATGGGTGGGGGAAGTGGGGACATGCGGCGCGCAACGGGGTTCGGCAGCTCGTCCGTACGGTAGTTTCTCTCGATGTCATGCATCTCTACACAGCTCAAACAATACACTGAGTCCAATCACTTCCCACCCTTCCGCATCCGCCTCTTCCTGCCAATCATCGATCCCAAATTCGCCCCCTGTTTCTCAATCCCCCTCTTCTCCCCGCTTGTCTCTGTCGGTGCCCCTCCCGCTGCCCCTCCCGCTCCACCGCCACCGCCAGCCGCAGCAGCCTTAGCAGCCCGCTCCTTGTCCCGCTTCTCTGTCCTCTCCCGCCCTCTCGCCGTCTTCTCCCCTGGCGCCTTGTTGGACTGCTGAACAGGAGGCTTCCACTGTGGCTTCTTGCCGCTCGCATTTGCCTTTTCCCGCTTCTCGACGCGACGGGCAGCCCCATCTGCCGCTGGTGTGGTAGTTGATGGAGCAGGTCCGTCTGTCCTCTGACGTTTAGACCTATCTCGACCTCCGGGGCCAGCGGCGCGAGTGACTGCGGGTGCAGGTGCAGCTCCCTCATCGTCGCTGTCGACCGCGGCGCGCTTGGCCGGCCGAGGGTCTGATCGAGAATCCGATCGAGCCGTAGTGATCTTCTCCACTCGCCGCTTGACGACCTACTCCATCAGCTCTGTTTCGCACAAAGAGGGCGAGACGTTAGACTCACCTGGACATTCTCAATACTAAACTCAATCATCAACGTCTTCCCACCCCTCATCCCCCCCGAACTCCGATCATCACCCTCCCTCGACCTCTCCTCCAACTTCCTCACTCTCGCCTCCAACTCCTCAATCGACTCCTTCTCCTTCTCTTTACCCTCCACCTTCTTCCCCTCTTCCCCCTCTTCCGCGACCTCGACCGGCTTCCGCCGACTCTCCAACTCCTTCTTTGCCCGCTCCAGAACCTCCTTCATTTCCTCCTTCCACCAACCCCAGACCAACTCCCCTATCTCCGCATTATTATTCGCCCACCGCAGCACCTTGAGCGCCTCGCGATGACTCCGAATCTCGAGAAAACCGTACCCCTTACTCCGCCCCATGTTCGTCAACGGATCCACCTTCTCTGTCTGCCTCACGACTTTACTCTGGATGACCGGCGTCTCGCGCTCGGCCTTCTTCTTGTTCTTGCCCTTGTCGCCGCGCGCGGCAATGGCGGGCGAGAGTGTATCGTCGAATTCTTCGATGCGCGTCAGGGGTTCGCGAGTCTCGGCTTCGACTTCGGCGTCGAATGTCCGGATAGCGTGGATGGCGAGGCGTTTCAAGGTGCGGTCAGTGACGAAGAGGGGGAGTTGGCGGATCGAGAGACGGGTCTTGGAGATGTAGAGGGAGGGGTTGGAGCGGAGGAGGGTGCGACGAGCATTGAAGGCTTCTTGACGCTTTTCGAGCTCGGCAGCGGGCAGTGAAGCGGCCGCAGGGGAATTGGGGAAGACCACTGTCAGGGTCAGCTGTGTCACTCGCTCCCAACAGGCAATGTTCACTCACCTCCTTCGCGCATCAAGTAAGTATTCCGTTTATCGCCCGTAGCCCTCGCTCGCTCGCCATCCTCCTTCATCTGTCCCGCCTGTTCCCTCGTCACCGCCCGAGTAACCTCGAGCGACCGACCATTGATGACCAAGCGGGAAGCGAGACTCGAGGACGGGTCGACGGTCAGAACTGATGGAAGTGCGAATGGGTTGTTTCCGCCTCCGAGCTATTGTGTCAGTTCCAGCTGATTCGCAGTGTTCAGACTCAGGCAACTCACAGGAGTGGAGTTGGTGCCCGTCTCCTGGTTCACCCGCTCAGCCTCCTCGATGGCCGCATCCGCATCTTCCGTCTTCCAGAAACAGACAAAACCGCTTCCGCGAGACCGGCCGGTTGTCTTGTCCATGGTGATTCGAGCGTACCGAAGCGGGCCGAAAGAGCGGAACCTGGATGTCAGCTACGTTCGCACTACGCTTAGCTCAGCGATATGAAGAGACATTAGCTTACAAGGTATTCAGCTCCTGCTCTGTCACCTCGAAGGGCAGATTCCGGATGAAAAGCGTCGACCCCACATCCACCGTCGGCAATGTCGGCTTGACAGGCTTGACGTCCTCATCTTCCTCCTGCTCTTCCGCTCCCTCCTTCATCTCCACATCTTCATCTTCCCCTTCTTCCCCATTCTCCTCTTCGTCGCTTGACCCCTCCTCCTCTGCCTCCTCCTTCTTGACCCCCTCCCCGTCCTTCTTGATCTCCTCCCACTTGTCCTTACTCAACGCCCAGTCCACAGCCACCACCCTCGCCTCCTCCTTCTTTGCATTCGCTCTCGCTGCCTCGCTGGCGTATTTGATCGGCTTGCCATTGACGCCCTCGATGGCCTTTTCGGCGTCCGTCTTGGCGACAAACCAGACAAAGGCGAATCCGCGCGCTCGGGGCTTGGCGTCTTTGCCGTTCCGCTCGGGGAAGTTGGAGGGGGCTTTGGGGAGGTCGATGGAGTTTATAGGACCGTATGGCAGGAAAGTGGCTCGGAGATCTTGCTCGGTAGTCTAGATATCAGCTTAGCTACCCACAGTCAAGAGAATGCTGGACAAAGCTGAGAGAAACTCACATGCCACGCCAAGTTCCTGACGATCAGACGTCCCGCGTGACTAACGCCCTTACCCGCCGCCTGCCCCATCCCCAGCTTCTCCACCCGCTTCTTTAGCATCGCCGACACAATCTTCTCCTTGTATGTGTGCCCATGCAGCTTTCCGATCCCCTTGACCGCCTCCCCGTGGCTCGGGAATACGAGATGCGCCACTCCCTCCTGCCCTTCCACCGGGAAAAGCACCTCAATCCCCTCATTCACCTTGCGCACCTTCTTCCACAGGACCGCCTTGGTCACCTCCGGCAGACCCGACACGACCACCGTCCTTATTGCCTTGGGATCCTTCCCTTCTTCTCCTTCTTCCACCTTCACCCCTGCCGCTCCCGCTGCCGACGTCGACGCCGACGAGGTATCGATAGACTTGACCCTCAGTCCAGGCTGATACACCTTCCCCGGCTCCTCCGCTGCGATTTCCGCCTTCTTGATCCGCTCCAGTGTGCCCGGACGCGCCGTTGCCCATCCTACACGGATCTTCCGTCCATTCCCCCCAAAGTCTTTATTGTCCAGCTCGAGAAGCGCCTGCTCGGCGTCCTCCTTGAGCGAGTAGGTGACATAGCCGACACCCTTGGATTTGCCGGACGCCTTGTCGGTGGCTACGAACCCATGACGCACTGGCCCGAGGTAGGAGAAGTGAGTGACGAGGTCGGTCGAGGTGGCTGTGTAAGGAAGGGAAGAGACAAAGAGGGTGGTGCTGTCCGTCAGTCGCTGCAGGGGGTTGGTCTAGGATGGAGGAGCAGCTCACTTGATGCGTTCTTTGAAGGCTCGGCCGCCTGTCTTTTTAGGCGTTGAGCTGCCTGCCTCTGAGGCTGGCGGGAAGGCTATGAAGTCTGCTTCTGACATGGCTACTAGAGTATGGTATGGTATGTACCAGACCAGTGCCTGCGCAAGACTCAAGTGGACCGGAAATCTTCAGGTGGGATGCCTTGCTTCCGTTGGAAAGACGAGTGGAGGCAAAGCGGGAGAAATCCCACGTCATGCACTGAGATTTCGCTGGTAAACCATCTCACCTCCAACATCTGTTTATCATCTATATCTTGCCCTTGCACTCCAAGCTATACCCCCTACTACAGAGCTGCCCCTGAGCCAGTCAGAGGAGCGCCTACAAGCTCAGTAGAGACTCTGTCGAAAATCTCCCGCTAAAAATGGCTTCCACGCTGTCCAACGCCTTCTCCCGGCTGTCCCTCCGCGCAGCTTCAAGCCCATCCTCGATCGCTTCGTCCTCTCGGACACCTTTCCGCACAGCAATCGCTCAACACCTTCCTGCGCGCTCCTTCTCTTCTTCACCTCGCGCTTCAACTTCCTTGAACCAGGGTATGTGACCCCCTTCCCCAACTTCCCTCTACACCGTAGAAACCGCTGACCTCTAGCTATCCGAGGCGCCCGCCAACCCACACCCACGTACTCTTCCTCTCCCCTTCTGCAAGACTGCTTTCAAAAACGCGGCGTCATCTCCAAGGTCTACACCACCAAGCCCAAAAAGCCCAATTCGGCCGTCCGGAAGGTGTGCCGTGTCAAGCTCTCGACGGGGAAGAGTACGATTGCGTATATACCTGGAGAAGGGCATAATTTGCAGGAACATGGTGTGGTTCTGATACGAGGTGGACGGACGAAGGATCTGCCTGGTGTGAGAGTGAGTCGTGGTGTGAAGAGGGGAAAAGATAGGAAGCTGACGAGATAGTACAAGGTGGTGAGGGGTGCGCTGGATGCTAGTGGGGTTGCGGGACGGACAAAGTCGAGATCGAAATATGGAGGTCAGTTGCGCTTTCTCTCCTGCTTTCAGGTAATTATGGGCTATCGGCTAACAGTCCCAGTCAAGATGCCCAAGACGGCATAGACGCATTGCTGTCGGGGAAGTCTGTTCGGAGAGCTCCAGCGGCAGAGACATCGGGCATGGATCATGGATGCTGCATGACTCCTGACTCCCATTGCCTCTATATGTTTACACAATCTAATCCCCTTGACTCTACTCGCTAAATGCTACATTTTGACGTCCCTCAATCTACTGACTTGCCGGCTCAGGCGCGGGCGCCGTGTCGCCCATAAGATCACCAAGAGTCGGCTTGAAGAACATGGTGGTGATGTACTGCTGATCAGCTATGCCCCTGAATCGCTCACAGACCTGACCTACCTTCTTCCTATACCTCGTCGTCGTCCCCACGCCCAGCGTCCCATTTTTGATCGCACTCGCAGTCAAGTGATTCAGAACCACATGATTCGGGACCGCCAGGATACTATTATCGTCCAATCCCGCCGTGACGTGCCCGGCGCCACTCGACGACTCATCAAACGACCGCCGGCGCGGCTCGGCATTGACGATAACTTTGTCGAGGATACGGGGGAGGGTAGGGGGCTGGGAACGGCCGAGATATGGGGGACGGAATGGACGAATGCGGTGAATGTGGGCTCGTCCAGGTTGAGAGGGATTTCTTCGATGTATTGATACGCGACGAGCGGGGCGGGAATGACGGATGTCCATTGGCCCTCGTCGTCTGTGGCGTCAGCACTGAATCAAGGAGATGGGAGAAGCACGAACCCTCTTCTTTCAAGACAGGCTTGGCATCCATCGCCCACTCCGCCTGGATCTCCTCCTCCGTCTTTGCAGGCTCCACCTCAATGTAGTTGACGAGCGTCCCGTCGTCGTCTGTAGCTGTTGGGATCTGCTTGGAGCACCGCCAGCTATCGTCGACGATGAACTTCATGCGGTACTGCCCGGGCGGAAGTCGGAGCATCGTATTGAAGTCGTGGGTACTATAATGTCAGCTATTGTCCGAAGAGCGGGATAATACGGGTGAGCTCACCTCTTTTTGAGCTTGATTCGGCTGCGCCAATTGTCCGCAAAGTTGCCCGTTACATACACCGCCTTTCCCCCTCCCGTCCACTGTACTGGGACATCCACCAACCCGTCATCTGGCAGGGCAGCCTTCTTCGGCTCGGGCTCCTTTGGCGGCGGCGTGGCAGGTATCGCAACCACGAGAGGCGGTGCTCCCGCCCTCCGACCAGACGGCGAGGCAGGGAAGTATGGGTTATCCGGCGTCGCCCCTTTCGAGGGTGATCCCACACTTTCCATTGCTCCTTTTCCTGTTCCCTGTGCCCCAGATCCAGACCCCGAGACACTAGCCACCTTGCTCATTGCGCCCAGCGAGTTCGCACCCGCCAGCGGGGAAGCTCGACCCCCTAGGACATGCTGCCACTTCCTCCCCGCCGGCGCTGGGACATTTCCGGACGGGGACGGCCCCTTACTCCCCGAGTTGGGCGTAGCGAGATGATGGTGATGATTCGTCGTCGTAGCGGTGGTAGCGACCGGCGCTGCGGGCGTGAAGGACAATTTGTTGAGGTCGGGGAGTTCGAGTGATTTCCGGCGGCGTGGTGAGCCTGATGCGTTACGGGCGTTGCCGGATGGAGAGGTGGGGTTGGAATCTTGTGAGAATTGGGAGGGGCGAGATGGCATAGGAAGGCGGAGGTTGGGGTGTCGGTTGGAGGCAGGGGTGGAGGCAGGCGAGGGGGAGGAGGAGGAAGGGTTGGTAGGTCCTGGACCGGGTGCGGCGTTGGAGGCTGCATGTTGGGACTGTTGGGAAGCGCTGGACGGCCGGGAGGGGGAGCCGTGTGGATGAGATGGCGTGTTACCCATACTGCTCTGATGCTTAGTGAGAGAGGTAGACGTGAGGGTTGAAGCCGAAGGTGAGAGGCGGAGTCGAGGTCATGGCGATCCTATAGTAAAATTACTACTTTCGGCAATTCCTGAGTGGGCCCCTCCATTCCGCGCATCATAGCTAACTCGACCATCCTAATGACCAGCAACCATACTTCTTCTTCACATCCACATAGCAGCCAACCCCACGTCCCGAGCGCATACACATAGACGTCAAGAGATATCCCGAACCTATTCCCTCCCCTTCCACTGAGCCAGCGTCCCCGAGCCGGCTCCTCTCACAATGGCCACACGACCCGCCCCACCCCTGCCTGGCCAGCGGACCAGGACGGCAGGTAGCGCTTCATCCTCCAGAACGGCGGCCAAGCCGCGTATTGGGCAGTATATTATCGAGCGGACGCTGGGGACTGGATCGTTTGGGAAGGTCAAGCGTGAGTTGTCGCTTCCGTCAGGCAGGTACCTCGGTAGCACAGCTTGTGGTCGCTTCGACCAGCTCCCGCATCTGGCCTGCATATGTATCTCGGCTGACCGCTCAGTGGCAACTCACTCGATCACAGGTCACCAGGTCGCTTTGAAGCTCATCAATCGCGCCAAGATCACTACGCCGGATATGAATGCGCGGGTCAAGCGGGAGATCCAGTATTTGAAGGTGCTGAGGCACCCTCACATCATCAAGCTGTGAGCTAGCTCGTGGTCTCTCGGGTCAAGACAATAGCTGATAGTCTAGGTATGAAGTAATCACCACCCCGACGGACGTCATTATGGTGATGGAATACGCTGGGGAAGAGCTATTCAACTATATCGTGCAGAAGGGCAAGGGAGGGGTGAGCTCGAACAACCATGCTAGGCGCATTGGCCTGCTGTGGAGAATGTGAGCTGACGAAAAGATGCCCGAAGGTGAAGCCAGGAGATTCTTCCAGCAAATGATCGGTGCGATAGAGTATTGCCATCGACACCACATCGTCCATCGGGATCTCAAGCCTGAGAAGTAGGTTGGCGTGAACTCCCGTAGTCGAGATGGGCACCAGCTGACTATCTAGCCTGTTCTTGGACAACCACAACAATATCAAGATTGGGGACTTTGGATTGTCGAACCTCATGACGGATGGAGACTTCTTAAAGACCAGCTGTGGCAGTCCCAACTACGCCGCACCTGAGGTTATCTCGGGCAAGTAGGTCCAGTCTCGCACCCAGCGGAGATTTGTGCTGATGGTAGACTCTACTCTGGACCTGAGATCGACGTCTGGTCCGCCGGAGTCATCATGTATGTCCTCCTCTGCGGCAAGCTTCCGTTCGACGACGACCATATCCCGTCCCTCTTCAAGAAGATAGAAAGTAAGTCCACCTATCAGACCATCGCTAATTGTAGGCGGCGCCTTCCACATTCCTTCACACATCACCGACCCCGCCAGGCACCTCCTGAAGAGAATGCTGGTCGTTGACCCCGTCAAGCGAGCGACCATTACCGAGATCCAGCAAATGCCCTTCTTCCAAGAACGCCTCCCGCGGTATCTCCAGCCTTTACCCGAAGTGGATCGTTTCCCGACTTTACCAATGGACGACCTCTCCACTTTGTTGCTCATCAACGAGGGCCAGGCGGATCCGAAGAAGGTCGCCGAGAGTAAAGGGCTGGTGTTTACGGAGGATTTGGGGGTGATTGATCCGGATATCGTGAATGAGGTGTTGGAGAAGATTTCGACGTATAGCCCAGAGATTGTCTGGGGGGCTTTGCAGAAGGAGGGGGATAATCAGGTCAAGGTGGCGTATCAGCTCGTCAGGGACCACCGGAGGATCATCAAGGATTGTAAGTGGTTTACATGACGAGGTGATTGAGGCTGATAGGTTAGCGTTGAATGCGCATCAGCTTGAAGAGGAGGAAGACGAGGCGACGGCCATGGAGGACTTTATGGCCTCTTCGCCGCCTGCGTGGAATTCGGAACTGCCCCGGCCTGCTCCCCAGACCCGCACACCACAGAATGGGCAGGAGGAGCTGGATATTGAGGAATTCGAGGGGGATATTCAGGATATCCCCAACGCTCACTTTGACGTCCTTAACAGTAGTCTACCAGGATACACCAGCCGCGCCCGTAAGTCTTACCAGCAACATCGGGGTCGTAGCTGATCTCCAGCATCGGTCGCTTCTACCGCTACACTTGTCGATGAGCAAGATCCCGCAGAGGCCGCTCGTGGGCCTCAACCGCGGCACACCGGCCCCGACGGCAAACCCCTCCAGAAGCCTCGGTGGCACTTTGGCATTCGGTCCCGCTCGCCACCCATGGAAGTCATGTTGGAGATCTACAAGACGCTGGGCGTTCTCAACATGCAGTGGCGCAGGAAGGACGGGATCAGTATGCCTGATATCGGGACGCCCATCCCTTCGATTGGAGGGTATACGGAGGAGGTGGAGGCTGCGATAGAGCAGTGGACGGGGGAGACGGGGGCCAAGGTCGAGATGGGACGGAAAGCGCCAGCAAAGAAGGAGGCGGCGGCGGTGGAGAAGGCGGCGCAGGGGCTGTATTTGGTGGAGACGCGTGCGAGGTATGGGGATATCATGGTAAGTTCTCACCTTGCTAATTTCCGCAATGCTGACCTGGCAGGTGAGGATGGATCTCCAGCTCTATCGGGTAGACTCGCAGAACTACCTCGTCGACTTCCGGAATATCGGGTACTACCGAGCACCCGACGCCGCGCCGGTAGAAGGCGGGACTGCCCCAGGGGGTCCGAGCGAGATGGGGATTGGGGGTGTGTCGGGCCCATTCCACTTTTTGGAGATGGCATGTCAGCTCATCGCTGAGCTCGCCAGTGGGTAGGCGGACGGGGTTTCGAGCGAGGATCAGGGTTTGTAATGCGTTTCCTGTGAATCTTTGTAGCATATAGACCGACTAAAGACTTCAACCTCAAGCATAGAATAGCATGCATGCCTTCCGAAGGAGAGATGGGCAGAGGTGTTAGGAAATGGCCATTTCATTAGTAAATGCGGGGAATATGAATAGCGGACCCTAATTACCCCACATTTGAGCTTGTGGTTGCTGCGCTCGGCGGCCAGCCAGCCAACAGATGCACAGCATACACTCGCTTGCTACTGCTTGACTATACCTATCTGACCTTATATAACGACCATACACGTACTCGTGCACGACGGCGACACCCAGATCCTACGCTTGGCAAGGGCTGCGATCGGATCACAGCTTCACGCAGTGATCAAGGCAGGAGCACTGCTTCGGCTGGCAGCTACTTGATTCTCATCCCTCCTTTCTCTTGTACATGAACCTTAACGACTCCGACCTTCACCTTGCGCACCACCCTTCCCACCCATCTACATAGTGGAAATAGCCTCCGGCACTTCGTAAACCGTCGGAACAGCTTCATCGGCCAAGATGAAGCGGTTATTCCGGACATCCAAACCTATCGTCGACCCCCTCCCGCCCCCCATCGACTTTGCCTCCCAACAACAACAGCCACAATCTCAGCCTACGTCGAATGGTATCGGACCGGGGAAGAAGTCAGCACCTTCTGCCCGGCTCGAGGGGCATGGGCATCCCCAGACTGAGGCTGTGGGAGGGGGCGGAGGCGGAGGCGGGAAGAGCTGGTTTGGTGGGAACTCGGCGCCGAGCGTCACACCTTTCCCGGTGGATATAGGGCATGGCAGCGCGGGCGGAGGCGGAGGCGGAGGCGGACCGATGAGGCGGCTAAGCAGGAGAGGGAAGAAGGATCGGGAGACGGCGCCGAGCATGCTGGAGATGCAGCGGCAACAGCAGCAAGGGCCTCTCGGTACCATTCAGGCGAAACACGAGTCGCTGCCCTACCCACCTCCACCGCCCCAACCGGTCCAGAGCCGTTTCTACGAACAACCCTCGGAGCTCTCATCGCCCGATAGCGCATGGACCGTCCTCCCCCCAAACGTGCCCCATGCGCAGCAACAGCGGTACGCCCAGTCGATCAGTCCGGAGCCGTATGGCGCTCGGAGTCATACCCCGCCTCTACCTATACCATCCGCTCCCGCGATGCAGAGCGGTACCCCAGGCGGTGATGGCTCCGGCCGCTCCTCTCCCTCCTCGATGCAGCTCTATCTCCCTCCTGGCGCCCGGCCGCCTACACCCCCTGCAGCCCTTCGGCCCGCTACACCCAATTATCATCCCCGGTCACCGATGGGCCATTCCCAGTCCAGCTTGCACTCGCAGCAACATCCGGAAGACCTCATTTCGGGCGGTCGGACGGGACGGGATCGGGGCTACAGCTCCGCTTCGGGCTCGGTACGAGGCAGCGATGTCGAGTCGAGCTTGGGCCACTCCATCGCCGCGCCAAAGTCATCGAACAATCACCAGACACAGCCGATCCGGTCTCCCCTCGCCCACTCATACGCTAGTCCTCCAAACACCTTCCCTATGGCTCATCCACATCCCTTCCAGGGTCCCGGGGGCGCCCCAGACGCATACTCGCCGATGGAAGATGAGCTGCGGCAGCTCTCCCTCCCACCTCCGCCATCCCATCAGGTCATGTATGAGGATCAGCAAGCCACGCCGGTTATTGGGAAGGATAAAGAGAAGAAGAAGTTCTGGGGGATGGATATGGGCTGGGCGGCGGGTAAGAAGGAGAAGGAGAAGGATAAGGATAAGGGGCGGGATAAGGATCATCTGGGGGTGAAGGAGGAGTCTGGAGGAGGGAGGAGAAGCTTCGACTGGTCCCGTGCACAAAATCACACGGTGAACCAGACGGGATACTCTGTGACTGCTCCACCGGGCGTCCAAGGTCCGAATGGGGTCACGCCGAACATGGGCTCGGCGATGGTCATGGAGGACGAGCAGCGGGGGAGGATGGCAGGGAGGATGTTCTTCCGGGATCACGAAAGCAAGGATCCTACTGCTGCAAAGGACGTCTCGGCCGCTATTCGTGGGTTTCTATTTACGCCTCGCGAGCAGAGCTAATTTGGCAGAAATGCTCTGCGCACATCCCGATCCGTCATTCTCGGCAGTCTACGTCGTCTGCGATCGCATGAACCACTCGGACGCGACCGAGACGGTCTGCAAAGACGCGGCAAGGTCGATCCGGAAACAGTTCAAGCACGGTAACGAAGGCGAGCGGCGGGCGGCGGCAGTGGTGTGGTTGTTGATGATGCGGAATGTTCCCGCTGTTCGACGTGAGCTTATACACACACACATATGACTTTGGTCGAAGTACTAGCTGACATCACAGCGCACGCTGCCAGCAAGAAAGTCCTCGCTTGCCTGGAACCCATCCTTCTCGCTTCACCGCAAAAGGCGCTCGTCAATCCAAACACCCACCGGACGATTACGGACATCCTCGCTGATCTGGCGTACAACTTTGGCGGAGAGAAGGGGTGTGAGCCATTAGTGGATTTGTGGAAGAAGGTCAAGCTGCCACAAGAGCCGGATAGCGTAAGCTGCGAGACCTATTTCATCGTCGGTGGCAAGCTGACATTTCCAGGGCCGGCCCCTCCCGGATGACCACGAAATCTTCACGCCCGAGGCTCAGTACCCTACGCAGATACTCGATCGACAGGGCGAGTACGATAATCAACAACGTCAATCTCAGCAAATGTACGGCGGCGGAGGCAATGGCGGATACCCCCCAAATCAGCAGGAAGATCGTCCGCCCGGTCCAGGATACGCCAATCTGCCTAGTCACGGCGAGGACATGCGTCGACTCATCGAGGAGAGCATAGCAGGGAAGGAGGCCGCGCGGGTGCTGAGCGAGGCGTTGGTGTATAGTCGGCCGGAAGAGTTGCTGGAACGACCGATCGTCAGGGTGAGCTGTCGTGTAACGTAAATGTGCAACAAAGCTGACGAGATAGGAGTTCTACAACAAGTGCTTCCACGCCCACGAATCCCTCACGAACCAGATGGACTGGGCGCAGGCGGAAGCGCGTAGCTCACGCGAACGGACCATGATGAACGGTCTGTCGCTCGAGCCGGCCACTCGACCCGTTTCAGAGACCATCACGATCGAGGAGCAAGCGCTGGCTGCGTTGTTTGAAGCGCACGCGGCGTTGTCAGAGGCGATTCGACAGCATGATGAGCTGGATAGGATGGCGATGGAGCAGAGGGAGATGAGTGAGGTGCGCGAGCGGAGCAAGAAGGATGTGAGGATGGGTCGAGATGTGAGTTGACTAGTTCTGAGCACGGGATAGAGAGCTGATAAGACAGGATCCGTCAAGATATGAGCAGCAACAACCGATCAAGGGCTTCCTCAGTGCCGGCCAGACCGCTCAGGCATCATCGTCCCGCTCGCCCTCTCCCGCTGGGCGTATCCCGGCCTCACCACGTGCACACAACCTCCCCCTTCCGCAAAGCTTCTCGACGCATCCATCCCGCTCAAGAACGCCCAGTCCTGATCAGCTCGTCCCGCCGCCAAAGGTGTCGTCCTCTCCCGGCAGGCGTCCTGCTTCACCGCTCGGCGCTCGTCCTCGTCCCCTGCCTAATCCCTTCAAATCCACTGGGAGCAGTGCGAGTCTCAAATCCTCTTCGGCGGGTCATGCTGGCTGGACAACACCGGCGAACCTCGAGCCTGGCAAACAGGCGTCGGCGTCGGCCGATGTAGATGCCGATGAGGAATCGGTACCGAGCGTGCCGCTCAAGCCTAGTCGAAAAGCCTTAGGAAAACGACCCGCTGCGCCCGTTGATCCAGACAGTGAGCTATTATGAGAACATGGAATGCGGACTCAGCTGATGAAATAGACCACTTTGACCCGAACGACATGTTTGCGGGCAAAAAGGAAGACTCGTCCAAATCCTCCTCGGAAGAGAGCGTCACCGCCGACGATGTCTTCTTCCACAAACCCATCACGTACGCTTATGATGCGTATCAAGAGAAGATTGAGCGGGAGCTCAGCGCTGCGGCTGCGGGTGTAGGGGGTAGTGGTAGCGGCGGCGGAGGAGGAGGGAGTGGAGGTGGCGGGTCGAGGTATGCTGCGATACCGAGGCAAGGGGGTGGGAGTGGGGCGGGAAGTGGGGGAGGATATGGGGATGGACCGGCGAGGGTGGATACGAGGGCTTGAGCGTACCGAGGTCAGAGATAGGATGGTCCTTGAGGCAGAGAAGAGATAGGGAGACGGATATCAATTGGGATGAAAATTATTGATGAACATGGTTAATGGTCCCCTGTTCTCCCAAGTTTTTCGTTCGCTCCAGCCTAATACCAGGATCCGGGCATCCTGCGAGCCAGTGTAAGCATAAGAGACACTTCCGAACAGAATGTCGTACCCGTTGATCTGGGCACCTCAGTCAACCCGTTGAGCGTCACCCACATTGCACCGTAACATTCCTCACAACACGTGGCTTCCGACCTTCATCAATAATTGTCGCAGCTTCAGCAGCAGCAAGCCAGCGCTCGCTCTTCTGATCATATCGCACCAGCCAGATGCCATACACGCCCATACACGATAGACCACCATACTTCGGAAACATACCTGCTCGACCAACACACGGCTACCTATCCCCGACCCAGCGATACGCCTCGCCCGATATCGACCCCTCCGTCCCACTCCCTCACGCAATGTCAGCGGACGGTACCTCGCCTCGATATGACAGGTCGGGCGAGACTGCCTCGCATGGCTCGAATGGCGAACCTTCGCACGCGCAAGCTAGCGTTGCTCGTCCAGCCGCATACCAGCCCCAACGTCGAGACAGGGAAGACCCCACCTCGTCAGCCCGTAAAAGGCCGCGGGAGGAGACGGACGAGCCCGCTGCTGCTCCTCCTCGGACACATAGACCTCTCGTCCCAGAACCCATCCGAGGCTCCTTCTTTGGCATGACGGCTCGTAACCCTGTCACGAGGACGATTGGGGAGTTTCTTCTGGAAATGTGTAGAGGAAGGAACGATGTCGAGGTGGAAGTCAAGCTGGGGCAGATCTCCACGCCGGTCGAGTCTGGGCAAAGATGGAAGCGGATTAGTCTGCCCGCTATGACGGAACTTAGTGAGTTGGCTCGCTGGGTGAAACCCCTCTGAATGTATCCTGAGCTGAGATGACAGTACTACCTGCCGACTTCAAAGTTGGACCTTTCCGCTCCGACATGTCCAAGGTAGGTCCATTGCTTGCCGAGTCTCGGCAGTCGCATCTGCTGACATCTACAGGCCCAACACACATCACTCAATCAGCTTCTAAACGAAGCCACCGCTCAATCCCACGCCTCTCGATCCGGCTTCGACCTCGCCGACCCCGCCCGCCCTTACCCTATCAAGTTCTTCCGCGCTCGACAGGCTGATACATTTTACGCTTCGCCCGGCAACTCCAAGACACGGGTATCGAGGGATATGGCCACTGGCGAAGTCGTTGCGTGTATCAAGAAGCGGAAGGTGGCGGATCTGAACGTCGCGAATGGGCTGGAAGCGCTGGATTTTAGGGTCAGCGTGAGCACTGAAGAGAGCTGTAAGTCAGCGGATGGCCACGATTGCGGCTAATCCCGAGCTGATAACTGTAGGTGAGATGCCAGAAGGTCAGCCATTGATGACCCGAGAGAAGGACAGGGCGTGTTATCGACATCAATTGGTCCAGATTGATCTCACCTTCGTGAAGCAACTGGTACGTCTCCCTTCCTACAGCGTGAAGCCGAAGCTGATTTTGACAGAGTAATGGAAATACAACAGAAACCTTCGAGGTGGAAATAGAAGTCGTCAATGTCCCGGCTCTCATTGCAGAGGGTGAAAAAGAGCTCAGAGGCGAGCCAAATCAGTACGACGACATGGTCACATCCATCCTCGACTCTGCCCGAATCCTCATCAGGAATATCGTCAGATGACATCCGAACTGCCCATGTATAGCTTCATGCATATATGTCATGTCGCTTCTAGTACCATCGCATTTTGAGCGTTTTGCGTCGCACGGCCGGTTTGGCGACTGCTATCCCCACTGAGAGTACCGCGAGGGATAGCAAGATCTGCACCTTGTTGAAACTGTCGGATAGGATGTCGAAGGTCCCGCTTGGCGTGAGGCCGCGGGTGAGGAAGAGGTCCAGACCGTAGGCGAAGAGGAGCGAGGTAGACTCGGCCAGGGTAGGGGAGGTGTAGAGGTGTTCAGCGCCAAGGACCTGATGGAGTCAGCCTATGTCTCTGCTTCCGGATGAACCGTCCGATCGGCAAATTACCTGGTTCTTATGCGAAACGACGTGTCTGGGGTCATGCGATATGACAGAGTCGTATGGGATGAGCATCTCCTCCTTGTCTGCTGAAGTCGGCTTTCCCTTGGGTCGGCGCGGGTCGAGCAGACGGCGGGGTATCGATGAAACTTGGTTCCGATCATTGACGACTAAGGAGCGTAAGCCGAAGACCAGGAAGATGTTACTACGATACTCACCAAGTAATTCCTTGGCGGTGATACCGAATTTTGAGGTGGTAAACCCGAGCGACTTGACCCCATAGCCAAGGAAGAATGTTCGCTCCGCGGTCTTGATGGCATGCGCGGATCCAAAGCTGGAAGAGCCGGGTCTTTAGTGTCAGCACACTGCCGTTGATCGGTAACGGGACACTCACGTCTGCCCCTTGCCCTGAGCGTCCTCGTATAGCTCCACACTAGTGATCCGCCACCCATCCTCGCCCTTCCATGCAAATACCAGCCAATTCTCTACCATCGCCGTTTTGACGTCCCCGCGGGCGCCGTCGACTTGAGCAGAGTATACCACTCGTCCAGAAGTAGAGTCGAGCACTTCGACCTTGCCGTACCCCTTCTCTGCGTGAGTCGAGGCGAGATCGACGAGGTGAGGGTTGAGGTACTTGTATAGCACCGCCTTGCCGCCGAGAGGCCGGCCATACGATGCGATATTGTCAAAAACGACGGGCGTAGAGGAGATCAGCACCTCACCGACAACTGGCTGTCGAGACCACAGGGGAGTGGTGGCGAGGGTGAAGTCACCGATAGTCGATGAGGGCGAGTGGCCGGAGAGGACCGGTCCATCCAGGCTAGCCCACATCGTGGTGAAGAAGAGCTCGGACGACATGCCGAAGAGACCGGCGGCGACCTGTTTACATTTCGGGAAGATGTGAATCTGGCATCAGCGACTTCAGAGTGCGTGGCTCACCTTTTTGTCCTCGCTGACAACAGCGAGCACCTTAATCTTAGTGCCGCAGTTCTCGAACGGAACGAGGAACGCAGACTCTGACTCTCCCTCAAAGATCTCCTTCCCGGTCGGCAAGCCGGTCTGAGCATGCTGATCACCCTTCACCATACCGGTCAGAGCTTCGACGTGGAAAGCGACCGTACTGGTAGACTGAAAATCAGCAAAGAATCTACAGGTGCTTACATTCTCGGTCGTGCGCGTTGCGAGAACTGCCAGCAGTGCACCCTCTCCCTCATCCACGCCTCGGACATTCCATAAACCCTTGACGGACAACTCGGCACCGTGATCAGTCGTGACGCCGAGGTTGCGGCACCAAACGATGTTGCCATTCGCAGAGTCGATAGCGAAGAGCTTGCCATTTTTCGTGGCTACAACAAGCAGTTTCTGTAAGCCGAACTGGTCCCGATGAAGCTTGCCGAGTGTAAGAGGTGTGGTGCGCTGGGCCGAAGAGTAGGAAGATGTAGTAAGTCGCTGGACGAATCCGAAGACGTATCCAGGGAGTTTCTGCTGATCAGCTCGGCAAATGTAGACTAGGAGATCCAACACTCACGCGGAGCGCTAGCATATGCCGTGTCGTCCGAGCGAAAAAGCCTTCCTCCGCTAGTAAAGTCCCCGTCTCCTCTACTTCCGGCTCGCCGAGGTCGACAAAGCGGGTGGCAGCGATATCCGCCAAACTTTCCTCTCGTTGCCACGCTATGCCCTGGCCGTGAACCAGCTGCATAGCGCCAGATGACGTTGTGATCATGAGGGTAGGCATGAACTCATTCCGTGCGGAGATTTGTTCGAACGGAAGCATGGGCGATACGGCAGCCTGGTGATGAGCCAAATCCGAGCGTAGGACTTACCGCTAGGACAACGCCATGCTCGGCAGTGTCGAAGGAGTAGGTGTATCCGCTCTGTATGATATCCCCCTCAAAAGACACTGACATGGCTTCGATGACACTCCATGAGTTCTTGAAGGACCAGTACATCCGCGAAAAGACGACGCCGGTCTCGGTGAGAGCGGACGAGTACACGCTGGGAGACTTATCTGCCACATCGCCCTGATAATCAGCTTATATCCTGAATTAGGCGGAGCCAGCTTACCGTGCCCTCCCATACGGTCACTCGTCTGCCGCCCTCCCTTACATCCAGTACAGTGATCTCTCCGCCCTGCGCCATACCCAACAACAGACCCGACGCCCTGGTTCCCGCAGCGACGATCTTGTCGTAGTACCGCCCCGAGGTCGGCAGGAGATCCTTGGTATTCCCCACATATCCTCCCGGTCCGATGTATGTTACCTTGATCCGACCGACCTCGAGCCATACCACCCTTACTGATCCAGGGATATCCGAACCAACCAGCATCGCATTTTCGGGCGCTTCGAGCAGGCAGGGGATTTGCGCAAAGTCGTCCAGGGGCTGCGAAGTGAGGAGGTCGAGAGTGAGGGTGGTAAGGGTGAGGGAAGTAAAGGAGTTGGTGACCGCCAAGATGTGGACCGCTTGATCGGATACGTGAAGCTGTTTAAAGAGGATATTGTCGCCCACGCCTGGAGCCTCCATAGCCCAATCCTCGAAGCCGTCCGAGAGTCGAAGCTTACTCACTCGCCTCCCTCCTGAGAGAACGATTACTGAAGGAACATCTTCGGCTGTAAAGAAGGCGTCGGTACCAAGGTGGACGGGATTGGTGAGGTGAGCAGAAGATGCGGAGAGGAGCGTCCGTTCCCAGATGGCGGTTCCGGTTGTGGAGTTGAATAGACGAGCCGTAGTTGCTGATGGGCCAGATAGCAGTAGTATGGCTAACGTCAGCTTTGCTTTCGGCTTTACTCACTGTCCTTGTTCGCGTGATAGCTGACCACAGGATCATCGTGTTCCAACAGATGTCTCCAAGCTGCTCGTCAGCATTGCACCTGTCCTTCAGTCTAGGCGGACACACCTATTTCTCCGGACTCAGCACTCAGGCATGCCAGCACATTACTTCTGGTGATAGCGACAACACGCTTGCCTTGCGGTGTATCGATGAAGCTCGGTGGACTTGGGTCGAGCAGAGGTGTACCAATTAGCGGTTTGTGCCAGTCTACCACCCCGGCGAGATTCGCTTGAATGGCCAGAACCTGGACGCTAAGGAAGAAAATCAGGCTAAGGAGCGTCCGTACGCCTCTCGAGGGCGACATTGTGCTATATGTATGTTCGACTTTGACCGAAGATGCAGTTCGACAGAGCAAGCTTCAACTTGCTTTTGATGACCGACTGGCGAGGCAACACGCACGGACCCAATTTGATCACGTGCCAACCCAGTGTGGAGACCCCGGGGCAGCATCGACTCAAAGTCAGGTTAAAGTCGCGCCGTTTCTCACAAGACTGGCGCTTTATGGCGCACTCAGGATGGACAGGCCATAATCAGCTCTAGCTCATTGTGATCTATGCATAGCTCGCTATCTGACAGAGACACTCCCAGGAACAGACGCGCATCAGGCACGCCGATCGGGCGAAACGCAAAACCTTATCGGATTTCGGGTATATCCGAAACCGGCCCACACGGGCCGTACATTTTTGAGCGAGCTGCTGGGGCATGTTGATGAGTCGGTTCGATATCGACATCGAGGCGCCGCACCCATTGAGGATTGTGTATATTTGAGACGGCACTCCGAGAGGGCATTGAACGTTGAACGGCTGGAAAACACATTGTCGATATCCATATACTCCTCGGCGCATGGCTGTATCTACCGAGACGGACAAGAAAGATCTTGCGCTCAGCGCGGGGGACGAGAAGAGCTATGAGGCGTTGGAGAAGGGTGTACTGGGGTCGGGTCATGAGGACGAGTCCCCTCCTGCAGGTGTGTGATCATGCTCGTCTTCTCGGTTCTGTTGCTTACGCGCCAGCAGCCCCCTTAAATCGCCTCTGGATCGTGATGCCTTGGTACGCGCCCTCGCCGTCCACATGCAGCCTTCATCTAACCTCTCAGTATCGGGCTGGTCTCCTTCGTCTCCGCGCTGGATCAATCGGTGAGCTGAACCTACTGACCTTGACTGGTTTTACTGACCCTGACTGACTCATAGATCATCTCGACTGCTTTACCAACAATCGCGACCGATCTCAATGCCAGTCCGTCCGAGTACTCCTGGATCGGGACATCCTACCTGCTTGCGCAGACAATCATGACACCAATCAATGGGAGATTGACAGACATCACAGGCCGTAAGGTCGCTCTCGAGGTGGCGATCGTCTTCCTTTTCGTCTTCTCGGCCCTGTGCGGAGCCGCTAAGAATGTCACTTGGTGAGCTTGACCTGTGTAGACAAAGCGCTGACATCAGGTTGATCGTCGCGCGCGCTCTGTCTGGCATTGGCGGAGGATCCATCATGAGTCTATCGTGAGTGGTCTGACCACGTGATTTGAGAATCTCATACTGATTGGTAGAATGATTACCATCTGTGCGTATTGCAAAGTCAGCACCAGCGAACACGGCTGATCCCTACAGCTGATATCGTACCACTGAACAAGCGCGGCGCATTCCAGGGCTACATGGGGGCCGCATACGCGGTATCTGGTGCTCTCGGGCCAGTCTTGGGTGGTATCTTGACAGCAAAGACGACGTGGTGAGTCGGTCTCGGCTAAATGACGATTGTTGCTGACTGTTCAGGCGGTGGTGCTTCTGTGAGCCTTTCTGACGGGATTGACACTGACCGGCAGATATCAACTTGCCAATATGTGGGCTGGCACTCGTCGTGCTACACTTCTCTTTACACCTCCCGCCAGCTGCTGGAAATATAGATGTCCTGAAGAAAACATTCGACTTTCTCGGATTGTAGGTTTGAGACTGCTGAATACGCTGACGAAGCAGAGGTCTTATCGTAGCCGCTATCGCCCTTCTAGTTGTCGGGTTCTCCAGCGCGGCAGATCATGGCTTCGGCGCCGCATCTGCTTATGGGGTCATCATCGCTGGTGTTGTCGTGCTCGTAGCCTCGTTTGCGCATTACCTCACTACCAAGCGGAATGCTATTATCCCGGCAGTGAGTCGGCAAGCGGGATCGAGCTGATGTCAGCGTATGATGAAGATCCGCACGACCACCTTCTTCGTCATCGGATCCTTCTGCAATAGTCTTATGTTTATGCCGATCAACTTCCTGCTGCCGCAGTTCTTCCAAGGTGTGAGTAGCGACAGCCGCGTCAGAAGCTGATGGCCAGGTCCGAGGCTCTTCGGTCATCTCCTCCGGCGTCCAGCTCATACCCTTCACAGTGGTGATAGCTATCTCTAGCATCCTCGCAGGTGAGATCACTACCAGGACACACATCATCCGCCCAGTAATCTGGATCGGCTTTGGCATCACCTCGCTAGGTTTCGGGCTATTTTACGCCTGCTTCACCGCCGACGTCAGTATCGCCACCCAGTCGGGTCTCCTCGCCCTGTGCTCGTTCGGGGTGGGGTTCGCAATATCAACGCCGATGCTCGTGATCCAAGCTGCGATGCCACCGGAGGATATGGCAGCCGCGACCAGTGCCTGGATCTTGGTGCGGTCGTTCGCGGCAACAATAGGTGAGTGCCATTCTTGTCTTAGTACTGACGCTCAGGTGTGGCGGTCTTCACAGCTATCCTCAACGACGGCCTCCGCTCCCGCTTCGAGCGTATCGAGGGGTATGGCACGCTGTTCAAGGTCCCTACGAACACCGCAGGCTATCATGCCATCCATGACCTGCCCGAGGGACCTATTCGGCGAGCTGTCTTGACTGCATTTGCCGACTCATTCCGCGTAAGTCTCCTCAAACAACGTTGCTGACATCTAGACATGCTGGATCATAGGCTGTGCCCTCCTCGCCTTCTCACTCATCGTACGCTCCGATCTGTCCACCACAGTCGCGCGTTGCTGACCTCACAGCTCACTCTATTCACCAAGAGCTACAGTATCGACCATGGGCGCGGAGCTGCTGTGCACGTGAAGGCGACCTCCGTCGAGCGGAGGGGCAGTGATGAGCCGGAACCCGGTCTAGAAGCTGCGGGTCTATCGGCGGGTCCTGTAATACCCTTGTCGGCTGTGTCATCGCGTGTATCGAGAAGATCTGTAACATAGCATATAAATATTATGTACTCTATATAAGTGATGATGTGTGCAAGTCCGCCTCATTTTATAGGCCTAGATTAGGCTTGCAGCCATGGCTGGTCCCGGACCACTAGCCTTTCCCCGTAGGATACGGACGGATACAGGCAAGTACTCGTGCCGGGGACAATCGGTCATTGACGGGACGGGGGATGAGCTCGCGGGTCGATGAGGAGACAGTGATTTTCGACATCAGACCTGTCGACTGGACTCTACGGACCGGTCCACTATGATCGCGGGCCTGCAACTAAGCGGAGGTAGCTCGAAGTATGACTATAAGGTATGCATCGCATGTCGCTCACCACAGTACCCCTTTTCGTACAAACCAGAACCCCTCTCGACGAATCTTATATAGACCAAGCAATCCAATCAGACCGCGTTCTGCTGCTTGTACACGCCCTCATCCTCCTGCTTGTGCTTCGTGATGTCCTCGGGCTTGAAGCTTCCTCCTTGCTCCAGCACCGCGCCGTTGAGGGCATGCTCCCCATCCACATCGTCAAAGGTCTCGAGGTGACCGACGGGCTTGGGGTTGAGTGCGAGAGCGCCCTTGGGAATAAAGGTAGCCGCGCCAATGATGACGCAACCGACAGTGAACTGGATCCCGCCGACCTGGGTGAGGGCATTGTAGATGGTCCGGCGTTGGGTCCAGTCCTGGTCGATGACTGACCCGAGGACCGAGGAGAGGATGGCGTTGAGGATGACGTAGGAGGAGAAGAGGAAGCCCATGACTGCTCCGAGAGGCGAGACGCCCGAGTCGGGGAGGTCCATGTCGGACAGGGTCGACTGGATGTAGGCGGCAAGGGAGACATCTCCGGCGGCCCAGCCGAACGAGATTGGGATGTAGATAGCCGCGATGAACCATGCCCAGCGGACCTCGTACTGCGCTGCGAGCTGAGAGAAGCGGGGCAGAACCCAGACAAGCTGCATGTCAGCCAAGCCCAAAACCGAAACAAAAAGACATACGTTCAGAGCCAGAGCGTCAAGACGGATCCAAGGGATGGGCGTGGGGACCATGTCTGAGAGGAGGAAGACGGTAAGGGCACCGAGGAGTTCACCAAAGTTGGAACCACCGACCATGATCTGGGACCAAGCCGAGGTGTTGAGGATTCGCCGAGCAAAGGCCGGCGCAAGGGAGGCCTCGAGGAACCGATGCAGGTACAGGGCGATAGCGTAGCACGGGAAGAGCCAGACGAACTTGCGCGAGCCAAAGATGATCTTGGCGCCGACCCAGATCGACTTGCCAAAGAGGACGACACCGTAACCGAGCTGGACAAAGTAGTTCCGCTTGGACCGCTTGCTCTCGACGGCGGAAAGGGCGGCGTCGTTCTGGCCTTGCCCTTCGGTGGGGATCTTGCGGGTGGGGACGATGAAGAACCAGATGGCGCCTGCGATGGCGAAGAAGATGGGGGACATGAGGAAAGAGTAGTTGTTTCCGAAGCGGGTGATGGCGGCGGCGGACGCGAAGGCGCCTGAAGTACCGGCAACCTCTGCGTCATCAGCTACGGCCATGGTCACTGGGGCTCAACTGACCATAGAGAATATGAGTCATGGCGTCCATTCTACGCAAGCGGTTGACGTTTCCGCCGCAGATATCGGCTGGAATGACTCGGCGGATGAGTTCCACCATTCCGTAGGCGATTCCGGCCAATCCCCAGATGGGCTGACTGTCAGCAAAGTATACTTGATGAGTGCAGCTGAATGACTTACGAAGATGGCGTTGGGGTTCCAATTACCGTAAGTGACGGGCCCGCCTGGTCGCCTGATTGATCCGCCAGTAGCGGCATCGACAATGAGGAGGATGGTGGTCATGAGCCCAAAGACGATCACGGCGATGGCGAGGACCGAGCGAGTGGGGAAGCGGGCCGCAAGGGGAGCGATCAGGATAGCACCTGGTCATCAGCTCATATCCCTGCGGTGGAGGTGCAGGAAGACTTACCGACACATTGCATAGCCTGGTTGAGACCTTGCGCCGCGCCCAGCTTGGTGAAGGCCTGCTCCGAGTTGAAGCGGTCCGTAGCGAGAGTCGTGATAGATCCTACTGATCAGCACGCTGTAGATACCGGGTCAGATCCCAAAGTCGTTACTCACCGTTGAAGAACTCAAGACCAAGCTTGTAGAACATGATACCCAGAATATCCAAACTGGGTCAGCCGAGGTGTCTTGGCAACGGGCACACAGGGCAAAGAGAAGCTAGGCATCTGGACTCACAGATCGCAATGTTTTTCCGCTGCAAGGCGGTGTAGGAGTGCCATACTATGACGAGGTAGTTGGCCATGTTGGCGGCGGGAGTGGAGGATGAGTCAGTCGAGAGCTATGGCTGAGGGGGATGTCGAGATTTACACCTGGTCCTTATATCCCGAAAGCTGCAAGGCGCAATGAGGGATATCCCGCTCTGGCTCCCAGATCGCCGCCCAATGACCAGTGAGCGCTACTTGAGCGCTTGAGCAGTAAGTACAGCGATCTAGGAACCGGAGAAATAGACGGAGAAGGTGAGAAACTGAGCGTCGATCCCACATGGTCCCCAGCGAGTCAACTCGACGAGGTCACTGGTGGACTCTCGATACGTTCGCCGCCATCATGCTCTAATAGCGAGCACGTTCCTTGACGCTCGCGGATGAGATGAAAGGAGATGGAGTGTATCGGTCACTTGGCAGACTTGGCATGAGAAGAAGCCAAAGCAGATCATCACCAGATCATCATTTTGGCTCGAAGATATTCAGGCACGCATTATGACGGCAGAACCTTATCATCACGATCGCTATCTAGCGCGCTCTCTCCACGTCTCACGCTCCTCGAACAATCAGATACAAATCCCGCATACCCTTGGCACCGGCTTCATAATTCTTTCACTTTACTTCTGATGATACTGCTCCGCTCCTACCCCTCATACTGGTCTGCCGGAACTACATACGCGGCCGGGAAGAGACCCCTCTGACCCTTACACGTTCCTTCCCACCAGTCCGTGTCCACCTGCGCAGATCAGCTCGTGCGTCGCTCGGTCAAGAAGCTCGACATACTTTGTCAATTTGAGTGATCTTATCACCCTCCGCAAAGCCAATCTCATTCTCCTCGGCTGCTTCGTAGCTGCGGAGTCAGTCAAATGGCCCGGAATGCAGAATGTGCACTCACTCATACTGGGCAACCATGAACTCGCCCTCTTCGGCCTCTTCCTCTTCGCGGGCAGCTGCGGCCTCACTGGGACGTGCAGGAGGTGCGGGTGGCGGAGGTGGAGGAGGGGGAACATCATCGTTGACATCGGGCGCACCCATCGCATCGGCTGCACCGGGAGCCATCATCTCGACAAAGTTGGATGGGAACAGTCCGGATTCGCCACGGGCATTGGTACCAGACCACCAGCCTAGGAGTCAGTTTTGCAAACACGATACGTATCAACAAGCTCACCCTCGTCGACCTCCTCGATCTGCGTGAGGATCTCGTCCTCAGCGAAGGAAATCTCGTTCTAGACGTTCAGCTCTAACTTGCAAGTGGAAAGGACTCGGAACTTACCTCCTCATCGGCCGTGTAGTCGTAGAGCGCTTTAGCGGCCTTACCAGCAGCAGGTTGCGGCGGTGCACTGGTGATGCCGCCTCCAGGTCGTGTAGCCATCGGAATAGGGGGAGGAGCGCCAACCTTCGGAGCTGCCTCCGTCGCGAGGTCCGTCTTGAGACGCCCGAGCTCTTGAATTTGCTGCTCGTCAACTTTGGCTCGCGCGAGAAGATGGTCTTCGGGCTCACCGGGTCTCTGGAAGGCATGGGTGGTGGAGGTGGAGGCGGCGGTGGCGGCGGTGGCGCGGACGGCTCATCATCCTCAGTCTCTTGCATAGGAGTCGGCCTGAACGCCGCTGGAGGTGCAGGAGGGGGAGGCGCTCCCCAATCATCCTCCTCTTCCTCCTTCTCGTCGTCAGAGTCGACAGGCCGAGGTGGCACGGCACGAACCGCAGGGGGTGGAGGCATCGACCGAGGTGGGGGTGCCGGTGCCGAGGTCGTCTCCGCGCTTGGCATGGGTGGGGGAGGTGGTGGTGGAGGCGGAGGAGGTGGGGGAGCAGACGTCTCCTCATCAGATTCCTCTTGCTGTCGGGGCGGAGGCGGAGGAGCAGAGACCGCCTTGACAGCCGCGGTGACTCCACCGATGGCGACAGCAGCAACACCACTGGCTGCAGCAACAGCGCCAGCACCGATTCCGGCTAACAGATCAGCGCTGTTCAGAGACTTGTCTCAGCTCAAACATACCAGCAGCACTAGCAGCGGTGCTTCCAGCATCTTCAGCGGCCTGCTGCCTCTTGGTCTCCGCCTGCCTCTCACTCCAAGTGAGCTTCTTCCCCCCTCCAGCGGATCCAGTCGCGGGGGCAGGTGTAGACTGTTTGGCACCTCCGCTGAAGGCAGCCATCCGGTCCTTTAGACTGGGCGCGGCCGGTGCTTCGTCCTCTTCTCCCTTGTCCTGATTGCCGCCTGGGTTCCACCTGCCGCCCAGCTTCCCAGGAGTGAGCTTGATCGGCTGGTATGCTGTGCCAACCGGTGCGATACGATCATCATCCTGAGCCCTAGAGGCAGGTGCAGGAGCTGGAGTTGCCGCAGATACAGGCTTCGGAGTGCTGACTTGAGGCGGAGGACGAGTTGCGACAGGAGGCGGCGGAGGTGGGGAGGGCTCGCGGACGGGCGGCTTGGGGGCCGGCGCTGGAGCCGGAGCGGCTGGGGTGGGTCGGGTGAATGTAGATACCGGCGTGGAGACGTTGGCAGGCTGGACGTCAGCTTGACCTGATAGCGCGACCAAGTGGCTCACCTTGCCCTGCGATCCGCCCAAGCCCTGACTAGGTCGGAAGCTTGGCACAGCTTTCGGTGCAGGCGCCGCGGGCGTAGGGGCAGCAGCGGAAGATGAGTACTTTGACCCGGACGACTCTTGGATACGCTTGTGGATGAGAGCAGGAGTCACATCCATCTGGACAATCAGCTCTGATCCGCCAAATGTCAGCCTGTCAAGCTCACATCAGAGCGGGCCTGGAGGACGAGGTGCGCTCCTTTCAGGAACTTGGATGACACCTGTGAAGACTGGGTGTCTGGTGATCAGCGACCAGTTTAGGTCCGAACAGACGCTGAACATACGGTAAAGACCCTTGCGAGACTCGGGAACACCCTCTCCCAACCAAGAGATGAGGACAAACTTGTCGAGCGCGCTCTACCGGTTATCAGCACCGCTTCTCGCCGATGTACTAGGCAACCCACGCTCTTATCCTTTACACGCGCGAAAGCATATTGGATACTAGTACGTATCAGCGCCTTTCCCCCGGGGGTCCCAGTATAGCTCACCGTCCATCCATGAATTCCTCCTCGAGGTCATCCAACCCATTCCCCGTTCCTTGGAGCTTGATCTCGTTTCCGACTTGGTTGAAGATCGCCCAGTCATAGTCGGCAGTCCCATTGATGAGTGCCTGGTATGTCGGCTGCAAGTCTGGCTCCGTGAATTGGACCGACATGATGGTGTATAGTATAGCAGTCGTGCAGAGATGGTGCACCTTGGCTTGGAGCGGTAGAACTAGTGCCTTGTCCCGGGGGTCCTGCGCGTCATCGTGAGATAAGTGAGAGGCAAACGTGGGAAAGCTGTGACGAAGGCGCGTGTCTTGACCGCATGCCTTCTCGCGCGTTCCATCAGCTGGCTTCCAGGCTTACACTTCGTCCTATCAATACCAGTCTAGATATCCCTAGTACTACTCAAGCAATCGTCTAGAACAATCAAAATGCCTCTCAATTACTCCAAATGGGACATGCTCGAGGTGAGCTTCCCGCGTACCTCAGTCCAACTTAGCTGACAGGCAGCTCTCGGACGATTCTGACATAGAAGAGCACCCTAATGTCGACAAGAAGAGCATGATCAGGTCAGTCTCTGAGGAGGCAGCCTGTAAAAATCTCGGCTGACTGTCAGGTGGAAGCAACGCGACATCCACGAGAAGCGCGAAGCTCGGCGCCTCCAAATCCTCAAGCTCAAGTCTGAGCTCGCTCTCAACTCGGTCCTCCGGCCTCGGATCCAAGCTGTCGCTTCTGGCGTATCCTCAGGAGGGGCTGCGCACTTCCGAGCGGTTCAACGACGGCTGAAGGAGCAGCCCTCGCCCGAGAAGCCCAATACCGGTGCCCCAAACCAACCTACCTACGACATGATGCTGGGCCAGCTCCTGGGCGATACCTGGCGAGAAGCAGCCTGGGTCGTGGAGGGCTCCAAGGTCGAGGCGGGCGTGGTCAAGAAGGATGGGAAGAAGGTGGATGAGTCCACGGGCCAGCCTAAATGGGCAGACGAACATCTTCCGCCGGACGGCAAGGTGGAGAAGATGGGAGCGGTGCTGGCTGAGCGGTTGGACTGGCATCTGAAGGAACTGGCCAAGAGGGATGGGGAGGTGGAGAAGGAGATAGTGAAGGAGGAGGCGGAGCAAAAGAAGAAGATCACGAGTGAGGATATGACGGAGGGGTTCAGCGCGACGAGCCATGTGAAGGGGTCGGCACCGAGTCCTATCGAGAACAAGGGGATCAAGGAGCCAAAGAAGTCAAAGAAGAAAGAGGAGGTCATTGAAGTGTTGAATCCTGGAGCGGTCAGTTGCTACTCCCGCTCGTTCCAGTATCGAGGAAAGCTGACCCAATAGGCCTCATCATCCAAAGCTGAAGACACCGATGAGGAGGATATGCCCGAATTCGGTCCTCTTTCACCCGCACAGCGCACCTTTGCTCAAATACCTATCGGCGAGTTCGACAAGTCGTATGCCTTCATCCAGAAAGACTCGTCGGTCTTGACAGAACGGACACACGACTCGCTTCTCGCCGAGGCATTTGAGGCGGAACGGCGCGGAGACAAGAAGTTCGCCAAGCAATGTGTGCACCAGGCTCTACTGGTCAATTACTGCCGGCAATTAGGGAGAGACGGTGTTGGACTTTTCTTCCAAAGGTGAGTTACCGGATCATCGTATATGTTCTCAAGCTGACAAGACAGAATGATCCAACGCAACCCCAAATCCATCACCATGTTCAACCAGGACCTCGAACAAACCTACACCCGTATCGCCACACGCACCGTCGAGATGGCCGCCGAATCAGCCGGCGAGGGACCCGATGGCGAGCGAGAACAGATCCAGCTCGTCGCCGAAGACCCAAATATGGAGATCACCTTCAACCTCCCGGACGGCCCCCCACCCGAGACGATCCGGATTGAGGGGGAGGGCGCGGAGGAGATGGATATGGAGGAGGTCAAGGCGTTTTTGCAGCGGAAGTGGGAGATCTTTGGGGGGTTCCCGGAGCGGTTGAGGGTGGCGCTGAAGAGTGAAAAGCTGGAGCAGGTCAATAAGGCGTTGGGGGCGATGAAGGTCGCAGAGGCGGAGGAGATCGTGGGGCTGATGCAGGAGGGAGGGATGTTGAGCTTTAGTGAGAGGGGGGTGAGGGATATGACTGCCAAGTCGTAGGCAGTACCAGCATGTATCATGCATAGATTCCTCACCGAGAAATGTACCAAAGCCAGCACATCTAGCGTCCGTAAATCCATTAAATGATGTACATGATAAGGGTAGAATTATGCGGTGAACGTGATCCATCCCCGATCTGGCGGTGGAGGCTGCACCTCTATAATAGGCGTCGGCACCCCTTTCGCCCCCTCACGCACCAGATCCAGCTCCAAGCTCCCCGACATGATCCCATCCGCCACGGGACTTCGCCCACTGACCGACCCATCTTCACTACCCGACCATGTCCCGCTCCCATTCCTCGCCATCTTTCTCAAGGGCGGCACTGGCGGTGGCCTCCTCCGCACCGGCGTGAGCGAGCCGCCACTCGCACTCCGATCCCTTGAACTTGACCGAGGGGTATGTGACTCGGTAGCCGACCGAGGCCGGCGCTGAAGCTCGGGAGCTAGTGTATCCGAGACGTCATTCAGACTTGATTGGCGGATAGGGTCGCGGGAGGTGTAGACCGATGTGGAGATGGAGAGGAGACCGCTGGGTTTGGGTTTGATAGGCGTAGGAAGGGCATTGGCGACGGATTGCAAGGACATAGTGGAGCCGTTCCCGTTTCCATTCCCGTTGGAAGTGACGTGTTCGGCAGAGTGGGAGCGCTCGAGTTTGCGCGGCTCTTCGAGGCATCGCTCGACAAGCCGAGTGGTAGTGGCGTGGACGTCCCGGAGGTGGGCGTTCGAGATGAGGGATCGGAGGACGAGTTTGATCTGGGGGCGTTTGTAGGGGTCGGATTTGAGCTGAGTGTGGTTGAGGAGAGGATAGAGGACGCGGAGATAGGTGTGACGAAGCTGACTATCAGCAGGAACTCCCGGACCACATCTGAAACACTTACAGCTTCGTGCTCCTCTGGCAAGTCGACAAGCTCGCGGATGAACACATCCAGCAACACTCGCAGGTCATTCGTGTAGAAGTACTCGTGCGTTCCCGGGGTTGTGAACAGCAGGTACAGCATCTTAAGGATGAGTAGCTGCATGCACATGTCCTCCGCGGTGTTTTCTGCAATGGTCAGCTGCATCGACTCGCTAGAGATCAATGCAACGTACCAGCCCTGTTCAGCATGAAGATGATGTTCTCCCCGAACGTCTTGCTACTCCCCAGTCTTCGCATGAGCACCATCAACACCCGATTCGACTTTTTCGACTCATCCCCCTGATCATGCCCATTCGCCGCGCCCAGATTCCCGCTATGCAACCGCTGGTGTCTCGTGTGCGTATCCAAACTCATCGCCTTGGTCGCATCTCTCGTCGGGAGGGGTACTGCATTCTCCCCGAGACGTGTCGAGGTGGGTAAAGGTGCGGTCTGACTGCCCAGCATCGTGGTCGACGCGGGCGACTCGACCACGGTCTCACGGGTTTCGCGGGGCTCGCGCGACGCCTTGGTGGGAAGGGTAGCGACCATGAATTGCTCATTGAGAGCAAGGATGAGCTTGATGACTGCGTAGTTGAGCGATTCGTCCTGCTGATTCCGGGTGGTTTCGACCATTTCGAGCAAGTGGTCGATGAAGCGCTCGTCGAAGGGGGAGAGCTCGAGGTTGTCTAGCTTCTGGACCCGGCAGACTTCGTACATCAGGTAGGTCGCTGGTAGGCGTATTCGAGTCTCAATTGGAGGGAGACCGAGGATGAAGGACTGGCATGTCAGCCAAGCTCCCGAGGGAGAAAGAAAGCTCACCTCCTCAGCTTCCACGCTGACGATCTCGCCGAGACTGGGCAGGAGGGTCCGCCATTTCCGATGTGACCTGAATAGGCTGGGATGCCGGAAGCCATAGTACAGGATGATATGGTAGAGGATGTACAGGTCGTGCGGGTTGGTGTTCTACGATATCAGCTTCTGTGACCAGAAATCACTCGGTAGCCCTGTAAGCTGACTTACCTCCTGAGCCTCCACCATCACAATCCCCAGCATCCGTTCCGTATGGTATTTGAACAGCTCCGAGGCCAGTAGCGCCTTGACAGCATGCTGCATATCATCCTGTGTAGGCAGGAATTGATCTATTCGATCAGCAAGCGCCTCTCTCCCCTTTTAGTGGGAAGACAGAGACAGACCGTGATACGCTGAACAGAAGCTGACGAACATCCTCAGCGACCCATCCAGCTGGGTAAGGTCCGCATCGCTCGGTATATTGACGATCTCCTCTATCTCTGCCACCCATCAGCCCATGGTCTCTCTTTGTAACTTTGAGAGCAGACGGACCAAGCCAGAAATCGTCCGCATTGTCCACGCGGATATACGGATCCTCGCTGCCCCCTGCCGCCGTCGACGCCCTGACCGTCTCCACCTCATCATGCACCTCCTTACTCCCTCGTCTCCGGCTCTTGTGCGACCGACGTCGGACTGGATCAAAGGCGGTGGAAGACGAGGAGCCTGACCCGTGAGCATGAGCCGTTCCGGAACCGTGATTGAGCGAATTGGAGTGCCGGGGCGAGTGGGAGTGCGGGTAGTGCCCGTGCGAAGAGCGCCGGTGGTGACCGGGCTTCATCATGAGCTACCAAGGATGAGGGCCGGTGGTGCGGAGCGAAGCATAGGTCGGTGGGGTGGAAAGGAAGGGATGCTTGGCGCTGGTGCTCGAGAGGGCGATTCGGATATGTAGGTCGCGCGACAAGGGCACCGCCTTTAGCTGGAAGATGCAGAGAGTGATTCAAGCCCTCGATATGGGCAGTCGACAGCGGCTCAGGCAGGCTCCACTGGACATACGAGATTATAGATGGATGGGATACACAGACACGAGGAGAAGCGATATGGACAACAGCCTGACCTCTGCTTGCATCATCGCCGTAAAGCATCGGCCTGGCCCGCGCCGTAACGCCGCACCGTATCCGGTCAGTGCGAGAGATGCGAGGAGTACTGCTGTGCGGGCACGAAGCTGGGCACGACGACAGGACAAATGCATGCGGCTACATCTAGCTATCTGGAGATATGCCTATAATGTCCATACACCCGACATGGGAAGTCCCAGCCCCCCGGTGTTGGCTGAGGTACCATCTAGAGCTCCTTCTCTCCCCGCAGCTTGAGACCGCTACTAGGCTTATAGCTGTCCATCGCCCTCAATCGTTCGGGAAGAGTAGGGTGCGAGTGGTGATACGCCGAATAGAGCGGGTCGTTGTGGGGACTGGACAAGTTGTTCTTGTGCAGCTTGATGAGCGCCTCTTTGAGGTCGTCCTTCATGCCCAGCTGTACTCCGAACTCGTCTGTACCATCAGCTCTGACCGGTTGTGGAAGTCAAGTCTGGATACTTACCGGCCTGGTACTCGTACTTGCGGGTGACAGCGTTCATCCCAAACTTGACCACCGTGTCCAAAGGCTCAAGGACCAACTGGAAGAGCATGAAGCCAATCATGATCGGTTGAGGCCCGCCCGCGGGGTTGTGGGTCGCCAGGCGGGGGTCAAAGTGGAAGGACCGGTACAGGGCGGTGTTGTTGATGAAGACGGAGAAGACTGTGAGGATGAAGAAGAGGTGGGATTGAGCGATGAGGAGGAGCTTGGTAGGGTGTGCTATAGTATCAGCTGGGCTCGTCTCGTCGCGAAAGGGGCTAATAGCTTACAGAAGTACCAGTGGCCGAGCTCGTGCCCTTTCATGATCAGCTCCGAACCCCTAGGAAGGAAATGTATGAGTCAACTCAACGTACCGAGAACAGCTTCCACTTCGGCGGGCGAGCTCTTCTCCATCAAGGTGTCGTATACGACGATGTGCTTGCTCCAAGGCAGACCATAGAAGTAGCTGGGGTGTCAGCTTCACCGCAAAGGGCCAAGCTTCAAGTCTCAAGCTCACGCGTTCGAGTGCGAGCTTCGCTTGCTCCCGTCAATCTGGTACAGGTGGGTAAGGGGGAAGCCAAGCTTCTGCGACAGCTTCTCGACGCGCTCTCGGATTTCTCCGGCGGGCAGAGGGGTGAGCTTGTTGAAAAGCGGTTGGACTAGGGATCAGGACTGCACAATGCGAAGCAGGTCGGGAAAACTTACTGAAGATCGGGTAGATGATTTGCAGGACGAGCTGGACGACAACCCTGACCTCGTCAGCATCCTCCAACAATAATTTGCCGTTGTCAGCTTACATGAAAAGCATCAACCACGGCACAAAGTTCTTCCCCGCCGCCTCGATAATCCTCAAGAATCCAGCCATGAACGGCAGCCCGATCACCGCGATCAATGCCCATGTCTTGACCTGGTCCGCGATCCACAGGCCTACCGTCTGCTTGTTGAAGCCGTGCTTCTCCTCGATGACAAAGGTGTAGTAGTATGACCATGGAATGCCGGGGAGGGCAGTGAGCATTGTCAGGAACGATATCCAAAGAAGGGAATGGGTGACCTGCTCGCTTTAGCCCGGTCCTTTGAGCTGCTGAATGAGGCTAGACTTACAGTACGGTCCTGTCCCAGTCCGCAGGCATCCATGAAGCGCCCCGAGGCGTCCCATGTCCGACTATACACGTGCATCCGGATGAGGAGGAACGAGAGTACCGAGTCGAACGCGGCTTTCATGAGCGCATACCGGGTCTTGTCGCGCCCGTATATCTGAGCCTTGTCGAACAGCTCTTGCGGGAGGACACCGCCTAGTTCTTTGGGGGCTGTCTTGAGAGAGTACATCCGGATCTGACGTCCGCTGGTGGATAAGCGGGAGTCATAAGCCTCGTCCAGGATGGTAACGACTTACTAGATCCATATCTCAAAGGCAGCCAGGAGCCAGCTCGAGTAGATGACGATGTTCTCATAGTCGAGATTTGGTCTATCCACCAGGCCCGCGATATGGCTGAGGCCATTATCTATGCTGGCGACGAGAGACGAGGCCATTTGATTATATCCTAGTAAATACACGGTAGATGGGCGAAAGAAGGATGGGAAGTTCCGAAACATCTTGGCTGGTGGATGAAACGTGGCATCAAGCGAACATTCCTTTGGCTTGGCAAATGGGCCGCTTGCGTCGACTGCAGCCTGCATTTCTGAGAAAGGTAGACGCGAGCGGGTGGTACAGAATCTCGCGCGGCATCTGACCAGCCGAAAAGTCTCGAAAGGAATGGCTGCATCCCATATTTTGCTATCTTCTTCTACTCGTCCTTCTTGAGGTGGGTCGGTACCCTCTTGCCGTTCTCGCCTCCATCCGGCAGCTCGGGCGTTGGGAAGCCATCACCCATGTGCTCCTGAATAGTCAGTTCTCTCCCTTGACTGAATGTATGTGCGTCGGATACTCACATCGTAGTATCGGTAGTGAACCGACCTCCCTGCCGTCTCAATCTCCTTCATCTCCTCCTCACTCAGCTCAAAGTCATACACGTCCTTGAACCCCTTGATCCTGTCCTCATTCTTTGACGATGTGACGGCGACAACACCGAACTGGATCGTCCATCGCAGCAAGACTGCAGCCGAGTCGACATTGTGCTTTTTGGCGATCTTCTCCAGGATGGGCTTGAGGGGGCCGCCCTTGTGCCGCAAGACGGGGGTGAGGGGACCGTACGCCTCGGTGATGATGCCGTGCTGCTTGTTGAGGTCGAGAATGGGTTGGAGTTGGGCGAGGAGGTATGGGTGGAATTCGAGCTCTGGGACATCAGCTTTCGTCTCCACGGAGTTCACACGTTAACTGACGGTGCGCGGCAGGCTTGATCTTGGCGACAGACATGACCTCCTCAATGTGTTCGGGCTGGAAGTTGGAGATACCGAGGCTGGTACCCTTCAATGTTCCGTCCTGGACGAGCCCCTCGAGGACCTGCCAGAACTGGCCGATCTTGCCCTTCTCGGGCACGTAGGGAGTGTGGATGAGAAGCAGATCGGGAGGACCGCCGAGTTTGTCGATGGTGGTCTGTACCGAGCGCTTGATGTCCTCTGGTTTTGTCTTGACGTCTGACAATCAGCGCCGCAGTACTTGACTAGTGGTACTATATGTACCTCTCGTTACATCGTACCCAGGCGAGAACTCCGGCTTGCCATCGATGAACGGCGACACTGCGTATCAGCATAGAGGTCAAAGTAGCTGCTCCAAGCGAGACGTACATTTGCTAGTGATGAACACGTCGTCTCGGCTGAGACCGGATCGCTCGACCGCTTGACCAGTCTCGGCCTCTGTTCCGTATCCCTGAGCCGTATCGAGGTGCAGTATACCAGACTCCAGGACAGTCCGTCCAAGATCAGCCGTCTGCTGCCCCATCTTGCTGAGACCTCCTGTTCCATTGCTGAGGGATCAGCTAGTTCCCCTCTTGATCGCGAGATCTCACTCACCCCCATGCAATAGCGGGGATCTTCTTCTTGCTGCCGTCGTTGAGCTGGAAAGCGATGACCATGGTGATGCGAGTGTGATGTAGAAGTCTAGTCGTCAAAGCAGCTCACATAGGTCTTGGGTCAGTTTTGGGTGGACCTCTTTCTTGCTGATGACGTCGCTGCCTCCACTAAAGGAATTCATAGGCGCGCGCAATACTAGGCACAGGGCTCCCCCCACTCTTGCCGCCGCGTGCCTAACTGCCACGCTGGAAGGTGGACGCGACAAGGACAATCTAATCTCCCCTTGAATCTCTCCCTTGTTTTCGTCCCCTCACCCCGCTTGACAAGATATACAAACACAACACAGAGCACCTCGCCGTACATCCCAGACGATATCAGAGAGCAAGTCTGGTAATTGGGCCAAAAACAACGAAATTCGAAGCTACAGCGAAAGCATGAGGACCGGTCGCTCCTTCGCCGCTTTTGCGCTTCTCTCCGCGTCGCTCTGCTCGGGCGTGCTGGGGGAGTCCTCTCGAACAGCACAGCAGGCTACGCAGGATGGGAACAGATTACTAGCGGAGGGCGAGTATAGCGGAGCTGCGAGAGCGTTCGGAGAAGCGATAGGTACGCCCATCTTTACCTCTTCCCATGCTTGACTGATAGCCAGAGCTGGACCCGTCGTCATTTTCGACCTACTACAAGCGGGCGACCGCATACCTTTCTATGGGACGGACCAACGCCGCGCTGGATGACTTTGATACAATACTGCGGCTGAATCCGGCTTTCGTACAGGTGCGTCTGAAGCAATTGAGCGGAGGGCACGGCTGATGTTCAGGCGCACTATCAGAAAGCCAAGATACTAGCAAAGGATGGGGAGTTCAGTCGAGCAGGAGAAGCGCTCCAGCTATATACAAAGCAGGATCAGGAGGCGGCCGATCTGGTATGTCTTGATTCTAGCGTATAGGCTTAGCTGATCTCCAGGCTGAAGCTGTCAAGTCAGCAGCGAATGCGGCTGGATCTGCGCGGAAGGCGAGGAAGAGCAGGGACTGGCCGCTTTGCGTGCAACACGCTACGAAAGCTCTGGAAGTGGGACCCAACTCTGTTGAGATGAGGGAGGTCAGATTAGCGTGCAACGAGGAGATGGGGGATGTGGATGCGGTCTATGGTGATCTTAGGTATGTAAGCTGTGCGCATTCTGAGGGCGACGGGCTGACCCAGTAGCCGACTAGCTATACTTCAACCCGCTTCCACCGACCTTCCCCTCCGCCTAGCCCATATCGGCTACTTCATCCTCGCTTCTCCACAAGCGCTGAACCACGTCAAGCAGTGTCTGCATTACGACCCCGACTCGAAGCCCTGCAAGAAGGTGCACAGGCTACTGAGGTCACTCGAGAAGGACGTGGCGAAGGCGCGGAACTTTGTCGAGGGCGGGACCCCTCGGCCAGCCATCAAAGTTCTAGACGGCGATGACGGGTTGCTGGCGCGGTTCGAGAAGGCGTTCAAGGACGCACAGACTGAGCAGGACGGCCGGATTTGGCTACCACTAACATTACGGCCGAACGAGACGAGCGAGACCAGACTCAACCTCTATGCCCTCGCGTGCAAGGCTGCGGTCGGTGCGAACGACTTTACCAAGTCGCGGGGGATGAAGTGGTGCGACGAGGTGTTTGCGATGGACGCGGAGAACTCGGATGCTCTGATAGCGAGAGGGGAGAAGGCGCTCAAGGAGGAGAAGTACGAAGAAGCGGTACGGATGTTGGAAAAGGCGTTTGAGACGACTGGGCGGAGCAGCCAGGATATTGCGAATAGGCTGGGGAAAGCGCAGAAGTTGTTGAAGGTGTCCAAGCAGAAGGATTACTACAAGGTGCTGGGAGTATCGAGGGATGCGGATGCTCGGACGATCAAGAAGGCATTGTGAGCTGCTGTGTGGGTCTAGCTGACGATGTAGCCGGACAAAAGCAAAGATCGCCCATCCCGATGTTGGAGGATCAGCGGAACAGATGTCGGCTCTCAACGAGGCACATGAAGTCTTGTCAGATCCTCGTAAGTCTAATCAGCCCTTACAGGGACTTGGCTGATACCCAGAACTGCGCCAGCGTTACGATAACGGCGACGACCCAAACGATCCGACATCAGGCCACCAGCAGAACCCCTTTGCCCATCATGGCGGGATGCCATTCCAATTCTTCCAGCAGCAGGGCGGTGGGTTCCCTGGCTCAGGAGGCGGACAGAGGATGCAGTTCCAGTGGGGATAGATGTGCATGCATCGTTCTTGACCATAGCTACAACCTATAGTAGCTGGATAGCTCGCCACGTGGCCAAAGTGCCACAAGCTGAAAGTCCGTGCGATGATCGAAAAGTCCGTGCGGCGTCTCGCGTTGTTGTGACGGTCTGCCTTTGGCCAGCGCTGGAAGGGGTGATTCCCATCTCATCTCATACCTTGTTTGCTTGACCAAGCATACTACCGCACACATCAAGCTAGTAACGGAGACACCAGTCATACGCGACATGGCTCCGCTCACCTCGAAAGCCGCTGTAGCGGGGACCAGTGCCCCACGGAGCGAGCCAAGGCCCACACGGACTTCGGCGCGCGTCGCTATCCAGACTGAAGAGTCTGTGCCGGACAAGGCGGGCGAGATAGGAGGAAAGGGGAAGAAGCGCGCCTCGGCTGCTACTTCTACAGAAGAGGCTGAGCCCAGAGTGACCAGGCGGCGGGTCTCGGCGGCTGCGGAGGAAGGCGCGAAGACGGCTGCACCGCGTCGCAACAAGTCCCGGGCGTCGAAGGGTGGGGAGGCGGAGGAGTCTGCTGCACCCGAGGCGTCAGCGGCAGCTCCTGCTAGCTCTCGCTCGAAGAAAGGAAAGGGCCGGTCATCCGGAGTCACTCGGTTCTGGCGCAACAACTCGTCCATCGCCGGCAAGTCCGAGGCGCCATCCAAGAAGAAAGACTTCATGTCGGCCGGTATCTACTGCCAGGACCCGGACCCCAACTCGCCCCGCAAACTCGTCAACCGTGTCCTGTCCCGGCGTCATGCCGAGCTCACCGCGGCGAGGAAGAAGGGACGCGCGGCAGCGCTCGCTGCCAATGGCGCTGGGAACGACGAGGAACGGCCCGTGTTCCCGCCCATGCCGTATGACTATGGGGAGACACACTTCTTCGAGCAGCAGCATGAGTTTGTGCTGCCGTATGACATACAGTGGGAGGCGGAGAATGGGACGTTGGACGCAAAGAAGCGGCCAGACGCTTACCAGCGAATCAGGCAAAGTGAGCGCCGGTCTCAGTGTCAGGAGAGTCGCGCTGACAGATAGATGCGTTCCCAGAGCGGACTAAAGTCGGTTCCGACGTTACGGCCATCTGCCGCTGCACGCCCGAGTCTGGCTGCAACGAAAACTGCGACAACCGGATCATGCACTACACTTGCGGCAAGAACTGCCCGGCTGGCGAGATGTGCGGCAACAAGTCGCTCTGGAAGCGGAAACAGCCGCCTTTGAAGGTTGCATTTGTGAGTACCGGAGAAGAAGGTGACTGATGATAGACTGGTTCGCGTGGATTCGGTCTGTTTGCGACGCAGGATATCAGCGAGGGAGATTTCGTGATCGACTATCGGGGCGAAGTGAGTCTGTCGAGAAGCTAATTGGACTGAGCTGACTTCAGGTCATCGCCTTGTCGACTTTCTACGAACGGTGTAATGCCGAATATGCGGCTTCGAAGAACTACTATGCGCTCGCGTACGACCAAGACGAGGTCATTGACGCGGCGGCAAAAGGGAACGAGGCACGCTTCATCAATCACGGCTGCCAGTCTAATCTCGAGGTGCGAAAGGTATCGACGCTGGGCGAGGGTGTGGAGGAGTTCGAGGTGGGGATGTGGGCGTCCAGGGATATTGCAGCAGGAGAAGAGGTAAGCCATGCCTAGCAACACTGCTGACTTCAGCTCTGCTACGACTACAACTTTGACTCGTTCGCCGCTGCTACCGCCACCGAATGCCGGTGCGGCGCCCCCAATTGTATCGGCTACCTCGGGCGGAATCCGGGCGAAAAGACCGGTCGGGAGAAGGCTCTCGAAGCCGATCTCAACGCATCGACCAAGAAGGCGATCACGAAGCAGGTGAAGCGGGCAGTCAAGACGGCCGCCAGCAAGGCGTCTGTCAAGAAGGTCGCTTCTCCTGCCAAGGCGCGCAAGTCGGGAAAGGCGGCGGGAAAGGGCAGAGAAAAGGCGGCGGAGCAGGAAAGGGACAAGCGGGCCAAGATGAGGCAATTGAGAGAGATGCGGGCTTTTCGGGCCGCTGAGGTCGCAGCGGATGCCGCCGTACAGGGCGGGCAGACCTCAGCACAGGGAGCAATGATGCCCCCTTCATTCGACGGAACGCCATTCCTCCAGCCGGACGCGACCGAAGCCGCAGCTACCGCGGTCACTCAGCCAAAGAAGAAGAGAGGAAAGGCCATTGAGCAAAAGTTTGACGGCACGGAGATCCCTCCTCCTAGAAAGGTGCGCGGAAAGGCAGGGGCGGGCGGAAGTAAGAAGGCTGGATCGGCCGGTGCTGGGTCGGACGCCGAGGACGAGGCGGCGCGGAAGGAGGAGGCGCGAAAGAGGCGGATATCGGGCTGGGCCGACTGGCTCAAGAAGAAGGCGTCAGAGAAATCCAGGACGAGGGCGGAATGGCAAGAGTTTGCCAACAAGCGGCGGAGAGGAAAGGCGTGGATGGAGGGGATGATGCAGGAGTACGGTGTCGCGGCGTACGAAGGTGGACCAGCGGAACCTTACACTTCTCCCCTCGTCGACATTCCCCCTACCGGTCAGCCAAAGAAACGGGGTCCTCCTCCTGGTACACCGCGCGCGCCTCGTCTGCCCAAGACCGAAGCGCCGGCCGGCCCGCGTGTGTTTGATCCTCTGCTCGACGCAGCCGTAGACGGGACGCTTATCAACGAGACGGACGCGGAACGGGCGCTTCGTAGCATCTACCCAGACTTTGCGCTCCCATCGGAAATCCCAAATCTCGGCGAGTCGTCCGGGACCCAGCACGACGAGCCTGCTCCTATCGACCAGATCTACGCGGCAGCCGCGGCGGTCGACCAGGCGGCAGGTCAAGATGGGTTTGACGGCGGGGTTGACTATGACACTCTGGCGGTCGAAAACCTCTTTGGTCCGTCCAGCGTGGACTACTTTGAAACCACACAGCAGCAATTCGGCATGGCGTCCAGCTCGCGACTGGGCAACTCGAACCAGCTCAGCCAACAATCCAACGCGCGTACCGAGCCCTCGGTACCGGTCATACCCTACTCGCTCGCGCAGGTCCCGCAGGATATCGAGATGGAGGAGATGCAGGCAGAGGCGGACCCCACGCCAGAGCAGGTGCGGCAGAGGGCGATGGCGATTGTTTCGAGTATACAGCCGCAGATGCCCCCGGCGTGAGGTGTGAGAGTAGACAGGGTATTGTAGGTTTGTGGTCTTCGGTTATGCGGTCCAGCTAGTAGTAGTGTATGGTTAGACATGTCACCCTTGGTGGGTGGAGCTTGAAACCAGTGGCTCGCTCGGGAGTAATTTTGTTGACGTCCAACGAGGCATTCACGCTACTATTGTATTCGTCCATATGCTCGTCTAGCCACAGCTATACCTACCGCTATGCTCGCCGCACAGCCGATACCTATCTCAGGGCAGCGCGCACCCTCCCCAATTCCCCGCCCGTCATTCTCGTCCGGTCGGTCACGGCTCAGCAAGGACGACTTTGAGAATGCCCTCTTGAACCCACATCAGACCATCTTCCTCTCTGGCTCGCCTGGCCTGGGAGAGACGAGCGAGACACCTCCTCGGCCCCGCGCGGCGGATGCTGGCGATGCACCCCCTTTGCCGGAGAAACGGAGCTTCGAGGATGATATGCGGGAATCCGCCCTTGGCAACGCCAACAACAAAGCAACGCCGGAAAGGAGTCGGTTTCCCTCTGCACCGGGCGTGGGGGTTGTACCTCCTACACCAGATACGCTCGGTGCGACGTCCATACGGTCAGGGCATTCCAGGCGGCAAAGTCAGGTCACGATGGGTAGTGATGGGACGCCGACGAAGAATCGCGTCAAAGGACCGAGTATTGGGCTGGATGGTGAGTTTGGACCGCTGAGCAGAGCTGATGGAAAGCGGAGATAGCAGCGACTCAGCCAGATAAGGCGGTGGTCAAGCGGAAATCACTCTTCAGGTCGCCCGGGACAGCTTCATCGCCTGACCTGGCAACTCTGGTGAAGAAGGCCAAGGAACGGAAACCTCTTCCACCAACAATGACCCCTTCATCCTCCCAGGCTTCCGCTTCGACCTCGCGGACGGCTGTGCCCCCAGCAAAGTCGACTGTACCGCTGCCGAGACAACCCACGATGTCTCCGGAAAGAGGAGCAAACCCGAGGAGCATAAGCAATGGGACCAAGAGCCCAGAGTCAAAGAGCAGCGATGGGGAGAACTTCAAGGTATGTCCCGTTCGCGATAAGGCTGACGTGCAGAGTATGAGATACAAGGCCAAGGGCATGTTTGGACGTATGTTTGGATCAAACGTCAAGGAGCCTCCAGTATGTCCATGGTTGGACGACGCTGATGATAGTCACCTCGAGCATTTCCCGTTCCTCCGCCAAATCAGTCCCCTGCCGCTCATCCAGTTCCCACCGTCTACTCTCCTCCCCCAGATACTTCTCGACAGATATCCCCTCCCACCCCTCAGCCCCTGCCCGAAGAATTGCTACCCCCTCGACCACTCTCCGCCGTCCCGGAATCCAACGGTGTCGAAGCAGACGAAGTCGGCCAGGTGGACGGGCAAAAGTCATTACCCCAGACCCCGCTCGATGCGCCGACGACCAGAGGTATGGGGACACTTCGGTCTCTACATACTCGCCAGCCAGCGTACAGCATCTCGGACCGTGAAGCGGAAGAAGAGGACAAGCCGCGGGAGCGGGAACGGTCATTCTCGGAGGATGTGGCGGGGATGCTAGCTAGTATAGGTCACGACTCGCCTGCGCGCGAGCTTGGACTGGCTCCAGATAGCGTGAGGACAACCGCTTCAGTTCTACGAACGACGCCGAGGGAGCTTCATGCGGAGCTGGGGCGGACGGGGTCCATCGACCGGTCTGGAGATCGGTTGAAACCACGCGCATCGCCCGTGCCTGGTGTACGAATGTCGTCCCTTCCTTCTCCACAGGCGGAGAGTGAGGCAGGACCGAGCCAACCGCGGATCATGTCGACTCCCAACCCTCCAACGGACAAGACCTTCCCGAACGATGTCTTCGGCTACACCGCCGACAGCCCGATGGCGATGGGCCGCCCACTAGACTTTGGTCCACCTCTAGATGGGCCGGACTCGACCATCCGCGCCAGACAGGCCTCTGCTTTCGACTCTCCTGCACCTCCCTCGGTCCGGCTCGTCGCTTCGCCCCGACTACCGAGCAGTCCGCTCGATGAGATAGCACCGGACGATATGGGCGACTCACGCTCGTTCCTTGGCTCAGCCGAAGCTGAAACGAGCGCGCCAATACCGGAGGATGACGAGGAGAAGGGAAGGAGGCTGGCGTGCGAGTTCCTCGAGAATGACTTTTCGAGCATGTCGCAGGAGAAGGTGGCCATATTCTTAGGTGGACCGTGAGTGCCCCGTATGACCGAGCTGATTTCAGACGCCCGGTCAACGCGATAGCTTTGAGATACTATATGCAGTACTTCGATATGAAGGGGCAGAATCTGGTCGAATCGTTCAGGTGAGTCCCCAGCTGGATAGATCTGATTTTAGGGAACTCTGTGCCAAGCTCGTTCTCAAGGCGGAATCTCAGGAGATCGATCGTATCATTGGCGGGTTCAGCTCGAGATACTATGAGTGCAACCCAAACACCGTCTTTGGCTCGCCAGGTACGTCTCATACAAGACTGAGCTGATCCAGGCGTCGTCCATACCGTCACCGCCGCCATGCTCATGCTCAATACCGACCTCCACATCGCCGAGCTTACCAAGCACATGTCTCGCGCCGAATTTGTCCGGAACGCCATGTCTGCTATCCGGGAGAGCATGCCTACGGACGGAGCGAGTACACCCGACCTCATCCGCGATGACATCTCATCGCGCATCGCATCAGTGTCCACCTTGAACGGACAGCGGATGAAGGTTCCGCCAGCTCAGCGGTCCGCTTCAGCCCCTGTCCCAAGTCACGCCGCGGGCATAGCACGGGTCGTCAGCGAGGCGGGCATGAACGGGAGACAGGACAGCTCGACGACGGTCAACTCGTTCTCGTACAGCAAAGCATGGGAGACGGAGGCGGAGAATGCGCTCAAGGACATCTTTGCGGCGGTACGGTCTGATCGGATCTTGCTGCCTACCTCCAACTCGACCGGGTCGTCCAATCGCCAATCAATGATCTCCCTCGCCAACTCGTTCGATCAATCCAAAAACCGGACCCTGCGTAGCCCGTCTGATCGAGTCAACGTACTCAAGCGAGGCGGATCACGGATGAACAACCCGTACGGCAACAACTTTAACGGCTCGGATGGCAGACTCAGCCCGACCGGAAGTTATGCCAATTCCATTAATGAAGTGAGTGATCGCTTGCGCAGAGCTGATATAGAACATGTCACCCTTCGCCTCGCTCGGCTTTGCCTCCAATCTCTCCCATACGGTCATCCGGGAACAAGAGGACGAGACCCACTCGACCATCTCTCATGCGTCGGTCAGCACACTGGACGAGCTGGACGATGATGAGCTGGCGCTACTTGGCGCACCGTGGGCGAAGGAGGGGCTGCTATGGCACAAGCTGTACTGGGAGGCGCCAGGCAAGCGGGCCAAGAAGAATGAATGGCAGCAGTTCTTTGCGGTGGCGCAGAAGGGGGAGCTACACATGTTTGTTTTTGGGAGTGGCGGGTCGGGGTTCGGTGGTGGGAGCGTGGGTGGGGGAAATTGGCTGGTAAGTCAGGCCTCAAGCTACGGTGGCTCCAGCTGACACGCAGTCAAATGCCAAACCCGTCGGTACGATCAATCTTATGCATGTTCTCGCAGCGCCTGTCTCTAAGGGCGGAAGCGCAGATCGGCCACACTGCTTTTCCGTCACCGTCGCGTCCGGCCAGGTCACCCTCTTCCAAGCCGGAACGGAAGATCTCGTCGCCGAATGGGTATCTGCCTGTAATTACTGGTCAGCCCGTCGATCACGTCAACCCCTCGCCGGCGGAGTCAGCAACATGGAGTACGGCTGGCAGCGCGTCACCGACAACAGCCAGGACGAACCAGAGGACAAGGGCAGTATCCGGTCCGCTCGGAGCAACTTTTCCAAACTCGGCGGAACGTATGGCCGAAAGAGCATGCAGCCACTCGACCGCGTCCACATCAACGACTGGAAACCGCCCATCCCCGCCGCGATGCCGAGCCCGCTGGACGAGGAGCAGCAACTGGAGGCGCTGCAGGTGTATGTCAAGCATGTTGTCGAGGAGCTAGAGCAGCACAAGGCTTTGGAGGATGCTATGATCAGACAGGTGAGTCAAGCTTCATGTTGCGGCTGATCGTTCAGTTCTCGCCCGGATCAAAGAACCTCTCCAAAGCCAAAGAAAACTGGAAGGCCCGGAGCCTGTACCTACACAACGAAGTCATCAAGTACGACACGTACATTGACTCTCTGCGGAGCGCGATCAGCTTGAGGCTGAAGAAGGCGGGCGAAAGGAAGCTGGAGAAGAGCTTGGCGAGGAGCATGACCTCCTTACATCGAAGGGAGTCGGAGGATTTGATGAGCGCGGCGTTGAGCCAGACGGACGAGGAGGACGAGGAGGAGCTTGCCACGCCACCGAAGAGCCGGGTCCGGGGGCGGTAGGATATAGGCACAGGACAGTCACATCACCTGTTGTATGGATCAATCTAGCAGCTGCTCGGGTATGGATTTAGGCGAGAATGGGAGCTGGGTATAGCCGCTGTATATATGCCGTTCGGATCATCGGGTCCGGCACAGCGGAGAACCGAAAGCCTTGGACGTTGCGCCTTGTTCAGGGTTAAATTAGACATTGAGTTCAGGGACAGGATCCGGCCGGTCCTTCGGTTAAGGTCATGTGACCCTGACCCCGGTTTCCCCGCGCCTCTCTTCCCCGCCCCGAGCCGCTCCCCACCGCGCCGGGTCGAATCGAAATTCCGAACCTATAAGAACAAGCGAGTCAGCAGATGAATAGGGCCCCCCTTCAGCTCTGTCAATCCGTTATACTCACACCATAATGTCCGAGAAGGACCTCCAAAACAGCCCTGATGGCAGCATCAACAATAATGGCATCGACGTCAAGTCAGCCTCACATCCGAATCCCACTGGTATTCCCGACCACCGTCAGGAATATGCGCGTGAGCTCGCGGCCATGAGCCCGGAGGAGTACCTCGCGTTTGAGAAAAAGGTCCTGAGGAAGATGGTGAGTTGTAGTCTGGTGTAGGGCTGACGGCAGGATCTCAACATCATTCCATGGATCACACTGCTGTACCTCTTGTCCTTCCTTGATCGTGTCAATGTCGGCGCGGCGAGACTCGTCGGCATGTTGACAGAGCTCCAGCTCAACTCGCTCCAGTACTCTAACATCTCCATGAGTAAGTCGACGGCCTGAACAGTGCTGATATCAGTCTTCTTCGTCTCCTACGTAGCGTTCGAAGTACCGTCCAACTTGGTCCTGAAGGTGAGCTGGCTATGTGAGCGCTGCTGACGACAGAAATTCAAGCCCTCCCGATGGATTCCCTTCACAATGGTGGTATGGGGTATCTTCCAGACCTGCATGGGTACCGTCAACACCTACGGCCAGCTCCTCGCCCTCCGTTTCTGTCTCGGTATCTTCGAGGCCGGCTTGGTAGGTTGACCCAAAGACAAGGCTGACCTCAGTTCCCCGGTCTCAACTTCTTCCTGACCGGCTGGTACCGCCGAGAAGAGCTCAACCGTCGTGTATCCATCTTCTTTGCCGGCGCTGTCCTGGCTGGTGCTTTCGGCGGTATCTTTGGTTACGCCATTGCTCAAATGGGCGGTGTGGGCGGCTACTCTGGCTGGCGATGGATCGTAAGTTCGCCAGGCTGAATATTGCTTACTTTAGTTCATCATTGAGGGTCTGCTTACTATCGTCATCGCCATTGCGTCCATCTGGATGGTGCACGACTGGCCTGACCAGGCCAAGTTCTTGACGCCGCTCGAGCGCGAATGCGTCCTGACTCGTCTTCGTAAGGAACAGGGTCTTGCCGGAGAGGGTACTCTGAACCGCAAGGTGGTCAAGCAGGCTTTGTGAGTCGTTCGAGCCTGTCTGTAAATGTACTTAGCTGATGAACAGCCTCGACCCTAAGATGTGGCTCCTCATGCTCTGCTACATCGGTGCTGCTGAGCCCCTCTACTCGTAAGTCCCCTTTCCTGGAGGTTTCGCATTCGCTCATCATGTAGTGGCGCTCTCTTCTCGCCCTCCATCGTCGCTGCTCTTGGCACATTCTCGGCTACTACGTCCCTCCTCCTCTCGACACCACCCTACGTCCTCACCTTCATCGCTACCCTCGGTACCGCATGGGTTTCCGACAAGTACAAGCGCCGCGGTATCTTCAACATGTTCTGGTCCGTCATCGCCATGATCGGTTACATACTTCTTATCGCTATCCCCACGCAGTACGCTGGCGCGCGGTACTTTGCCGTCTTCCTGACTGTCATGTCGACTGGACCTCTCATTGCCTGCACCATCTCATGGACGGGAAACACCTGGGTAGCGCACTACACAAGTCAGTCAATTCATTTGTTCAAAGTCCAATCCTGACAAGATAGAGGCTATCTGTATGGGTATGGTCTTCTCGGCCGGTAACTCGGGCGGTATTGTCGCTTCGCAAGCCTACCGTGACGCCGATGCGCCCCGCTTCATCCCCGGTCACGCCACCGCCCTGGGTTTCCTCGCCATGCACTTTACCACCTCCGCTATCCTCTGGTGGATGTTTGCGAGGGAGAACAAGCGCAGGGACGAGCAATACGGCCCACCTCCCAGCCAGCACGAGGTCCACGACTTTATGGACGCGGACAACATCCGGCGGTACGGTCTGGAGGGGATGAGCAGGGAGGATCTCATCAATCTTGGTGACAAGCACCCGGCGTATCGCTACGTTTTGTAAATGGGGCGAAAGGGTTAATGGGTGGAAGGGGTCTTTATCTGATGGGGATTTAGTTTGAATAATCGGGGCTTCTCTGTTGGATGCATGACGTGTTGGCTCTCTCGATTTCAAGTCTCGCGACTTCTCCAGTCATGGTCGTACAAAATCGCGGCGATTATACGATACATGTCCTTCAGCCCATACAATACAATCCTAGGTGACCCTAGCCTGCTCCGCGACCGTGGAACTCCGATGACGCGCCAACGCGGTCAATACCTGATCATAGACTACCCGCCACCTGTTACCCATCAGCTCGGCCCGCTGGAACGTGTACCGTAGGGACAGACTTACTCGTCTCAATACACCCAAGTGCATATCCATAGCTTCAAACATGGTCTTTACCAGAAAGTCCAACTCCTTGCCCTTCGACAACATCTCCCTCGCCTGCTTGCTGAAGTCCTGCACATATTGCACTGCTGACTCCGCATCCTCCTTGGTGACTGTAGGGCTACCGGCGGAACGTGTCTTCGAAAGCTACCATCAGTTCTCAGTTCTATTCATCGACTCACTTTCTGAAACACGTCGATCTTCAGACCCATAAATTGAAACATGGTCTGCACCAAGAAGTTCTTCTCCTTCTCTTTCGACAGCATTCCGCGTAGCTGATCGGTAAAATTGCTGATATACTCGACCGCAGAGACCAGCTCGGTGTCGCTGCTCTCCACTGCGACGACCTTCGGCTTGACGACCTTTGGCTTCTCGACCTTGGGTTTGGGCTTGAGCACTTTGGGCGGTGCTGCCGGGATGTCGACGGATAGTCGAGAACGGCTGGTCGGTGCTTTACGCGCAGCAGCTAGCTTCTTAACGGTACGTAGAGACCTGCTAGCTCTCTTCTCAGGGATCGCAGACTCGCTGGCGTATATTAGCGTCGCACAAGCGGGTATGGTCAAAATCGACTGACAGGTTGGCTTTCTTTTTAGGCTTTACAGCTGCGATCCTGGGCTTCGTAATATCACATGGCGTACTGTATGCCATACAGCCCATGCATCTGCCAGTCAGCTGCATGTACGAGGATCAAGACTGAGCAGATACTGACCGAGAGATGACTTGACTCACCCGCTCGTCCCCGTGAGGGTCAATTTGCACATAACACTCAATGCCGGCCTCATTGCACCCTTCGCATGGACCACCTACATGTCTCAGCACACGCCCTACCTCGACCATATCATGCCTCACCTTCTGAGTTTCCTCCGCGCTTCTGGCTGAGCGACTCCTCCTCCACCATACCCCAGTCCGATGCGGGATTAGACAGTTTAGCGCGCAGTGTCTTGATCTGGTAGAGATGCCCTTCGCTCATTGTAGGGCTAATCTTCGACTCGACCTCGGCGCAGCATTTCTAGTGTGATCAGTTGACGACCATCTGCAATGCACATGGGGCTCGTCTTACCTTGTAGAAGTCTGACTGCCGGATGTTAGGAAGGGGCGTAATAGTTGGCTGGCGATAGGAGAACCCGCTCTTCCGCTTTCGCTTCTTGACGGGTTGGGGAGACTCTTGGGCAGATCTCGTACGTCGAGCTGGTCCATCCTCCTCCTCTGCCGGCTCATCCACCTCTGCCGTGTCCTCTGCAACCGGAGGGCTCTCTTCGATATCCGTCAAGTCCGACTCCTCCTCGAGCATCTCAACGTCGTCAACCAGCTCGTCGTTGTCGGATTCTTCCACCTTGACCGGGTCGTGTCGTGTACCGGACTCGCTCTTGACGCGGAAGCGGGCCTCGTTGTAGGGAATGCACGACATGCTGCTTTTGAGGCTACTTGGGTAGTTGGGTAGAAGTGCAACAGGCAACGATTTCAGGTTTGTTCTGCCGGTTCCCGCAAAGATAGCAGCTACCGGAGCACGTGGTCCGCGCGGGCCTAAGATGAAACTTGTGCTGATGATCATCATTCTTCCATCATCATCAGTTATGCTATAGCCTGTCGATGCAACCCCCGCTACATATCGCCCAGGACCAGTCGCCCAGCTCTCGACATGCCTGCGATGCCCTCATATGGCCTGTCCATCCCCCTTCTCGCCCGTCCCCTGCCATTTCCTCGCCTCGATGCGCCGGAGAATGACGGGCCGATCAAGGCGACTTTGCCACCAGCTGCTGATTAGCCAGCCCTCTCCCAACTACTGAGCCTGTCATAGGAGGTTTAGAAATATGCTCACCTGCTCCAACACGCCAAGATGTCTATCCATGTCTTCAAAGAAATCCTCAGCCGCAAAGTCGAGCTCTCCATCCTCTTTAGATACAAACCCTCGCGCGTACTTGGTCGTTTCTCAGATGATGGAGAGCAGTCTGGACCTCCCCCTCGTTGAGCGATGATCCGACAATGCCAATGCTCCGATGACACGCTACCAGCTGACCATCAGTCGCTGTACTGTCTGATTGTGCAAAGTCTACTCACCTGCCCTGACGAACCGCTCTCCGCATCCATCTTGACGAGCATGTTGGCCCTCGCCTCATCCCAATCTCGCGAGTCCGACATCTTCTCCCTAAGCCATTTGTTGAACCTTGGGATGAAGCTGATGGCGGCCTGCACTCGTTGTTCGGAGATTTCGGCCTGAGTAGTCGACGGAATAGGCAATTGAAGCTCTGAGCTTCGCAAAGGTTGAGGGAGTCGCTCCAGGGCGTGATTGGTGGGGCGACGAGAGGCAGCAACAATTTCGACGGTAGGAATAGGGCGAGGTCGCTTGGCCTGAGGAGCCTGAGGTCTGCTGCTACGCATCAGCTTCCGGCATACCCCGCCTCAGCCATCATACCAGGGGCAAGGCTTACCGTCTGGTCCTCTTCTTGGTCTTATGACCGTTGGTGGATCCAATGACTATGTCGCAGGTCCTTCCGAAGGCAATGCAGCCTATACAGCTGCATCTGAGTCAGTCTGGAATCGATTGTCATGCGCAATGAAGGGCAGCTTACCGGGATACGACCTGGGGTCTATCGGCGGCCTCGGACTCCAACACACCTGGACCAGGCAATTCATGTCCTTCGTCCGGCAAGACCTGCAGGCCGCACCTACGCGATGAGCTGGCTCCTCGCTCCTTCAGTGATACACTGGCTCACCGTTCATTCCCTCACCATGACTGTCCTGACCTTGATCCTTGATTACCGAGGCCCATGCTGCCGCCCTGTCCTTCACTTTGGCCAGGTAGCCTGTGTAGTCCCTTATCGGTTTTGAATTTTTGCTGGCGTGAAGTTTGTGCTCCAGCTTCTCGCATGAGGACTGGAGGCGGTAGTATCTGCTCGGATTGGGCACACTCTCAGCTCACCTTCCAGACTGGGTGCTCGCGAACGTCGTCAATGATCTTGCAGGTGGGCTGGCGGTACCGGAAGCCAGTGGACTTCCGCGTTCCCGTTGGCCTACCTACGTGTGCCCTGCGCCGCGCCGCCCTAGTCAGAGCTACCTCCTCCTCTACGTCTGAAATGTCCTCGCTGTCCTCATCGTCGTCTTCCGGCTCAGTCTCATATGACCCATCATTCCCCTCATTTTCCTCTTCCTTTCCCGTCAAGACTGAGCTGGCAGCAGGGCTCTCGGATCGACTGCTCGTCGACAAAGAGTCGGCCTCCTCCTCCTCATCACTGGAGTCGAGCGAGACGGGATCGTCCTTGGTGTCAATGGCCGGCTTGATGTCAATTTCGGCTTTCACCATTCCTGGATTGAGCAGGTAGGGCGTAAGTAGACGAGGTTGTGAGTCAGTAGACGCGGACAGCTGAACGCTGATGCCATCGCTAGAAGATCAAAGCGGTTGACTAGGTTATCGTGGCGTCGAGAAGCCAAAGCTAGTCCCTGAAACACACGGGGAAACGCTATTTTACACACTTCCCGGGTGTGCTTCACAGCCGCCTCCTCCCCGACGCGGGGTTGATAGCACGGGTCGTCCGCCTCTGAGGTACTTGTCCCATGATCGGTCTCTGCTTCGAATTCCGGGGCATCAGTAGCCACTTTCTGACCTATCACTGCTGCAGGGCTGGATCAGACTTGATCATTGATTGAAGAAGCTCAAGGTATTCTTGATCAACTGCCGGCGCCGTAGCCAGCCAGCAGTTCCAGTAAGGTCGACCGCTCTGAGGTGCACTCCTGCGCGGAATGTCCTTGAAGGCATACGTGTACGCTGTCTGCATGATGATGGTATTGATGTCTTGATCTTCTAAACTACCACTTCCGATTTGATGATCCGTCCCCTTGTAGATATGTCTCCCTCACATTCCCGAACATGGCTTCCTAGTTAGCCGCCACCGCCTATGATTCGTCAGTAATATGCGAGAGTCGTGGCAGAGAGCAGAGCATCGACGTACAGCGTTGAGCACCACCAAGTGCTCTTCCATCGCAAGAAACATGGTACCGGTGAGGAAGTCCTCCTGCGCGCCGCCCTCCAAAAGCATCGACCGAGCTTGCGTGCTGAACTTCCGAACATAGCAGAGAGCGGACTCTGCTTCCAGCTTGGTGACGTTGACATGTGGCCGAGTCAAAGAGGCGGTGAGCTGTGGGTCAGCGGCGCTCGCGCTTGCATACTCGTAAACGCAACGGCACAACTCACCTTCTCAAGAATAGACGTCTTGGTATGCATCAAAGCGAACATCGTATCGACCAGGAACTCGAGCTCGCCCTTTCGGATCAAGAGGCCCCGCAGGTGCTGAGCGAAGCTGGTAACGAAACGAACCGCTGCTTGGACTTTGATGACATCGACCTCAGGTGTATCGTCTTGCTCTTTGGGCGGCGCCGGAACGGACGATCGCTGTGCGGGTGGCGGGGTACCGACGGTTGGCTCGCGGCGGTGCTCGGTAACCGCGGACGCGTTGACGAATGGCTGAGCGGGGACCCTCACAGGTGAGGCGGCTCTCGCTCTCTTGGACTGCGGACGCGTGGATGCGATTGCCCTACTGAGCGTCAGCCAGGCCTCCATAGCAGTCAAGTTGTCAGCGGATCAGTACTCACATGCGAGAGGCTTGTGCTTTCGAGTTCGCTCTACCAGCCGTCATGTTGCAAGTCCGACCCAGGGCTATGCATCCCATACATCTGCGTGTCAGCCAGCAATCAGGAATACGTCTCCGTAACCTTTGACGCACATGGAGATCACCGTCGGTGAAGCGGTACTATCGGCTCGGTCAATCTGAACCAGGCAGTCGACTCCTTTGTTCGCACACCCTGGACACGGTCCGCCTTTACCCGTCAGCCGGTCCATATATAGTCAGGCACGGAATGATCCCCTCACCCCCCTTCATTCGCCGTTCGCGAGTCCCCAAGGGTGCCTTTCCGACAATCGCCCACCCTGCCTCCGCATGTGTAATTTTCCTCTTGTAGCCCATCATAGCCCTCTTGACGATGGGAGCCTTGGCGATTAAGATTCTACGCTCAATGATCTCGCAGCACTCCTTGAACATCAGCTTCCACCCAAGCGCGATCGCTCGTAAGATATATTGAACGCACCTGATAAAGAGAGCTTGCTTGCACACCTGTAGCAGGTGCGATCATAGCGGGTTGACGATACGTCCAGATCGCCTTTGTCTTGAACTCGTTGGTACCCGTATTTGTGATCCGCCCTGTTGTAGCTACTGCAGGGGTCTCGCCGTACGTATCGTCCTCCGAGAGTAACGAGTCTTCCTCCAACATCTCGTCATCCGACTCCACAGGTAATGGGTTGCTGCTCGTCCCAGCGTCGGTACGGAGGTAGGCACGTAGATTGGGCTTGGCTTCAGGCATTCTGCTAAAGCTTGTATGAAGAAGGGAAGGAAGAAAAGACTTTGTGATGGCAAAGCTGATGGGGAAGCAAGCGAAGCGGAACTAGGTTTGTGGCGCAAGCTAAGGAATGTTGAAGATGAAACACGGGGTAAAGTGGCGAATCCAACTAGCCCGCGGCTGCTGCGACGATTTCAGACACGTTTCCGCAAACATGCTACAGGCTTGGCGCGTGAGCCTTGGAGGATTGACCTGGCTTGAGCTGACCGGCAGACCAAAATCAATCCCTGGCTATCAATGATATCAGGGTAGCTCATCTTACATTTCGTCGGCAGCGATGAGATACCTCGATCATGTAGCCCGCACGTGTGCATGATCATCCAGTTGCTACATACTCTCCTGATTCCCCCCTAGAAATCCTCCAATCCTGACGTCCACCTGTCTCAAGCTATACACTTGTACGCCCGCGCTATCTCATCAAATGCGGTGTTTTAGAGCTGTCCCAACACCTGCACAATCAGCACTTGTCCAGCATCCAGCTCAGCGCGAGGCAGTCTTCACTCACCCGCGTCAATGTGACAAGATGCATGTCCATCGCATCGAACATGGTGCTGATGAGAAAGTCCTTCTCGATCTGGACCGCAAGCTTGGTGCGGGCATGGTTGGTAAAGTTTTGGACGTATATGATGGCTGCTCCGGCCTGGTCAGTGGTGTCCTCGGGACCTCTAGCAGCTCCCGTGATCTGCTGATCAGCTCGGCATGGATTCGGCCGTCGGAGGAGGGAAGACATACCCGCTCAAGCAATGCCACATTCTGCGACATGACACCAAGCGTGGCCCCGATCATGAACTCATCTGCGTCTTCCTCCTGCAGCAGCATCCGGCGCACCCGATCCGCGAATTCTGCCACATACCGCAGCGTTGACTGTGTCGAGCTGCTTGCTGCTCCGGTGGCTCCGACGCGCGGAGCCGGCGCCTGAGGAGGAGGAGGAGCGGCTCGGATGGGTACAGTGATACATTTACGATTGGTGTTGCTAACGCCAGCACCGACGGTGCCGAGAGGGGGACCGCCGGAGACGACCGAAGCTCGACCCCTCGTGAGTCTTGTCGGTGGCGCCGAATTGCGTCGTATGGCTGTGGGAAGTGCAGGTAAATTGTATCGGCTGTGTGTCAGCTCCATAATCAGCGAGGTCGCAGACTAGGTAGTAACGTACGGAATACGCGGGTGAGACGCCTTTGTCTCCTTCGCCGGCCGAGACGCGATATCGCAGAGACGGCCAGAGGTCATGCAGCAGATACAACTGCTCCGTCAGCTTGTCGATCCGCACTGTGCTCAGGCCGATAGCTGCGCTCGGGCCGTCAGAATCCGACGTACCGGGAGATTACTTCATGAGGGCCATGCCTCCCATTCTGTATGACACGGACCAAGCAGTCTTTGCCACGTTCTCGGCACTCGTTGCACGCGTGACCTGAGGATGAGCTTGACGGCCTGCATTTCCCTTGTAGCATAGGTCTCACCTTCGGCGTCGATCGACCCTCCGACTTCCCGCCTGCTGGAACCCCCTTTCTTCCCTTCAATCTTGCCCCAGTGCTCTTCCGTCACCCATTCAAGACAGCGTTGGTTGGCTTTCCTCTGGCGCTCGCTCGTGGTGTTTAGTATGGCGTGCTTAAGCTCTTCGCACAGAGCCTGAGATGTCAGCTCCGAACATAGGCACTGTCGCCCTGTTCTGCTGACGAGATATATGATCTGACCCGTGACTCACCTGAAACGTATTGTGATCGCTCAAGTTGATTAACTGGACCGCCGGCTGACGATATACCCATCCCCCCTTACGCGCGGTCACTCCAGTCTTTCTCAGAACTTGGTGTCCCGGCGCCACATCCTGTTCGTCCTCCGAGGATCCAGAATAATCGTCCACGTCCATCATCTCATCCTCCGAGTCTATGGGCACCGGATCGCTCATACTACCTCGCTGGCTTCTGGGGGAGCTGCGGGAGGGCGGGGCGTTGAGTGAGGGCATGGCTGGGACTGAGTTCCGGTCACAGGTAAGAGGTCGTGAGATAGAGTGGAAGATAGATGGGTCCAAAATCGATGGACAGCTTTGGGCAGACAAGGCTCGAAAGATGAAACAAGGGGTAAAATTACGTCACCCACCCACCTCTCCTCGGTATTATGTCGACCGGACTCCATTGTATGTGAGACGAGCCAGCTAGATCGAACACACGTCCCTCTATGTATCGTCAGCTAGATGCCCTGTGCTCGCTTCACGAGAAACTTACATGGGAATCGCGCTCACGACCCCCAAAATCCCACTTTTCCCAAAACCCTTTTGTCCCCTTCGCCACCCATCATCATTCCTCTTTGTCCATGAAACGGCTCCCCTTTTCCCCCTGTCCATCCGTCCGCTCGACTGGATTGGCGAGGTGAAGGCACACAACTGATCACCGAGGTGAAGTAGGAATGATTGCGAAAGTGAAGTGGTAGTTGACGAGGAATGCGAAGTGGTAGGATGAGTAGGGGAGTGAAGGGGGTGGTATGATGAGGGGGATATAAGACGAGATGAGGAGAGGAGGGATCTGCCATATCCAACACCAAAGCACAGCATCTCCAGCTCCCTACTACCCCCACAACCACTACCCCACCTCCATCCCCATACAGCCAACATGTTCGCTACCTTCCCCGCCAACCACCCATTCGCCAAGTGCGCCGCCCACCCCATTCCTACGCCAGCCCCATCGTCCCTCATGCCCAGCATGATCGGCCCTGTCCCTCCTCTCCGGCGGTCGCGCCCTTCTCCCACTCCGGTCCAACTCCACACCCGCCCTGGATCCAGCACCTCAATCGCATCATCTTCCTCCTCATCCAGCTCGAGCTCCAGCAGCTCCAGCAGCTCCACTCTCCTCCTCACCCCTACGTCATCCCGCTCATCCTCCCCTACCCCCGACGAAGACTGCGAGACCGAGTCTGACTTCCTCAAACGCCTTTCCTCCACCTCCAAGCGATTCGGAACCACCTCGTCCCGCCGGTCTTCCCACACCACTACACCGGACTCTGAATCCTTCGTAGCCGGTCTCGAGGGCGTCACCAAGAGTCAATTCGGGAGTACGGGCCGGCGAGGCGGTATGGAGCTGAGCGAGAGACATGAGCGGGCGGCAGAGAGAATGGCGGAGGAGATGGAGGATGCGGAGTTGCGGTCGGCTGTCTGGGTTTATATAGGGCGGGCGATCTAGAATTGGGCTAAGAGCTGTTGTAGATCTAGAATCAGTTGTATCTTTCAGTAGGATCATGATATTTCTTCAGCGTTTCCCTCCGCATCCTACGTGGTTCCAAGCGCTTCTTGCTCGGAGGGACTATCCTTGGCGAGGATCGTCTCATAGCAATGCCGGGGTTGGGACGAGCGTAGCTGCATCCGTCAAACGGTTCGACTCTGCAGTCATTTCAGTTGCCCTTGCGCGCCCGAGACCACCACGACCCCTCAATACCAAGTGCATCCCTTCTTCTCCTCCCTCATCTCAGCTTCTTCTCCCCAAAGTACATCTTCAAATACCTCATCTGCCCCCACGCCGCCGCAACAAGTACCGCCATCTGCACCAGACTCCACACGACCGCTCTCGAATTCGTCCGCTCGCTCGCATCCCTAAACGTCGCCTCCACTTCCCGCATATACTTTTGCTCGCGCTGGATATCGGCGACTTTATTGTTGAGCTCGCGGAGCTTGCCAGCGAGGGTAGAGACGTGCGTGGTATCGGCGGTGGTGTCGTGTTTGGCGGACCCGACTTGGATATCGAGATACATCTTGATGTGCTCTGTGGAGATCCAGCCGCCGGTTATGTTGGTGGAGAGGCAGATGTTGTGGTCCCCTGTGGGTCAGTCAGACAGCCGAAGGTGCCGCCAGCAGCGGAGAGGAGCTGTAGTAGCTGGAGGAGGTGTAGTAGCTGGAAGTGAAGGCGAGGGATACTTACCAGGATCATGAGAGGTGAAGGTGAACCGTCCATCAGATGGTCCCTTTGTGTTGACGACAGTATGTCCACTGGCCATTTCCTGCTTCCTCAGCTCCGTACCTGTAATCTCTTTGACGGATCAAAGAGCAAGAGAACAGGAGATGGGAAACGGCAACTCACCACCACATTCACAGTAATCCCCATATCCGAGTTGGACAGCCAAGCTTTTGTCGGCTCATTCCACACCAATGCCCGATAGTGACCTGAACATCAGCTCGGTCCCCAAATACCTGAGCGATAGACCCACCCTCTACGATAGTATCACTTGGCAGCTCTTCTAGGAAACACCTCTTCTCGTTGGACTCGAAATAAAAGTGGAGAGCCTGCGCTGTCAGCTCAGCTCAGGGCTGCAATTCCCCCGGCCCTCCACGTACATGAGCGAGAGAAAGTAATGGTAGCGCAGCGAAGCAGTGTGAGAGCTTCATCTCAGGCCGGATGGTGCGTTTTATGCTAGACGTACTGATAGGAGAGGAGGAGGTGGAAAGGCAGATGGAATCGCGTGGAATTGCCTTTCGCGCGCTGGCAGCATTCCTTGACTAGCTTGAGTCGGCGTGCAGCCGGAGTGAAGCCGGAGTACAGCGGTTTTGCGGTCTTCGATTTCCCTCGCCAATACACGTTCAGTCCCAAGCTCGTAGCCTATGTATGCAATATACGATGCAGCAGATCTACTCTACAATCTACATACTCTATGATCCCAACGCTCACATCGTCAATGTCGTCGCATCCTCCTCCTTGCCCTCGGCCCACAACCTGACCTCAACCTTCCCGCCCTTTTGCACAATGACCTCCATCTGCACGCCCTTCGCCCCCTTCACCTCGGTCTCGACGTACCCCAAGAACTTGCCCTTGTTGAGCACAACCTCCTTGATCTCCTCGTCTTCCTCTTCCTCGTCCTCGTCATCCTCCGCGGGGGGAGCCGGCACCCTGGTGATCTTGACCTCCTCCTTGCCTTCCCACAGCTCCACACCGACCTTCTCTGCTCCGCCTACGACACCGAGAGCGACACGACGACGCGATGGGAGTGCCGAGCCCTGCTCAAACAGCTTGGCAGCGAGGACCTCGCTCTTCTCTCCGGGGATAGCGATACCGATGGGCGCAGAAAGGGTCTCGGCGTCCCGGTCGGCCAGAGCGAGGACATCCGACAACTGCAGGTCCTTGTCGAGCTTGGAGAGGTGGAGTGCCTGGAGCGCGCATCCGATGGCGATGACCTGACTGGGGTCAATGGCGGCGGTGACGGGGGCAGTGGGGGCGAGGAGGAGGGCGAGGTTGGACTGCAGTCCGGGGAAAAGGGTGCTAGCGCCCGCGAGGAGGACCTCGTCGATCTGAGCAAGGTCCAATCCGGCGTCCTTGACGATCTGACGCAAACGCTCGCCGACCTGACGGAAGACGGGCGCGGCGAGACTGTCGAAACGTAATCTGTTGACCGAGGTGGAGAGGTCGAGACCGTCCTTTAGCGATTCGACGGCGCAGGTGGCGGCACCGGAAGAGGCGGAAAGAGACCGCTTGGTATGTTCAACAGCGAGGCGGAGCTTTGCCTCGGCCCGCTTGTCGCCGGCGGGTGCGGATTCTGAGCAGGGTACGTCAAGTGCGGTCTTGGTCTTTTTGGTGAACTCCTTGGCAAAGTGCTTGAGAAGCTGCACTGTCAGCTCAAGAGCTCCGCATGACCAATGCTGGACTTACCAAGTTGTCAAATTCCCTGCCGCCGAGCTTGTCATCCCGCCCCTTTCCGAGCACAGTGTACTCCCCGTTGCTGACCGCCACAACCGACACGCTCAAGCTCGTCTCTCCCATATCCAGCACCACGACCTTCTTGTCCGTCTTCTCGACCTCTCCCGCATCACCCTCCTCGGGCTGACCCAGGAGTCCCCGCTCTTTGCGCTCTTCTGGCATACCCACGCGGTACCCGACCAACACCGCCGCCGCCTCGTCCAACACCTGCAGGACGTGAATGCCCGCCGCCTCGGCCGCTTTACGAAGCTCAGCCTGTTGTTCCGGGCCGAACCAAGTAGGGGCGGAGATGACGCAGTGAGTTGGCTTGACACCGAGGTAGTCGGAAGCCGAGGTGAAGAGGGTAGAGAGGAAAAGGGTGGTCACTTCCGGTGCGGTGAGAGTCTTCTTGCCGGCAGTAGGCTCCTGAACGGCAGGGGTAGCAGCGCCCGAGGCGGCGGCAGAGCGGTTGCCCTTCTCGGGCGCTTTTGGGGGAGGAACGAGGATGTCGACTTCGTACGAGGGGGTTGTGGAGGAAGAGAGGAGGGGAGCGGTAAGGATGGCGGTGTGGTCGACCTCATCGTAGGTGTGACCGAGGAGATTCCGGAAGCCCATGATGGTGTTCTTGCCGTTCTTGACAAGGAAGGGCTTGGCTCCGTTGCCAATGTAGACCTGTTCACCAGAGTACGAGATGGCGCAGGCGATTTGGCGCTCGCCTTCCTCGTTGGCGATACATTCTGGGTGTCCTTCCTAGATATATCAGCTTTGCCATTGTGTGAGAGATGGCGAGCTGCGCACCTTGTCTATGACAGCAATGGAGGCAAAGGACTGCCCGAAGTTGATACCGAGGATGTGAGGGATGGACCTATGGTGTGAGCTCTGGGAGGAGGGCAAAGCCAAGAGAAGAGCTTACATTGTATGTGTGTAAAAGCAGTAGCTGATAAGGAGGTCTATGAGGATGCTCTAGCTGTTGTTATTGCTATTGAGCTTTGGATTGAATTAGATGGTTCAACTTGAACAATCTTGAAGCCAGCCAAAGCTGAAAATCTCGGTGCCACACTGCTCAGACTCCGCTTATTCCCGAGGAATGCTGAGTTCATTTCCCGTGCGTCACGTTTCAGATAGAGCGTTACAGCTCTAGCCCCCTTTTAGCTCTCGGACCTTATTCCTTTAGCTTATACAACATGAAACGCTTGATGGATGGCCATCACCCTCCCACGCGACGCTACAGGACCCGTAAGCATGAGCGATCGGGACAACATGAGGAGCCATGCGGAGTGAGCGCCGAGAGAAAGCAGAAGGCGGGGTAAGGGTAACCGTGTCCGTTGCAACGGACAGAGCGTCCGTGCATCTCCTATCGCGCTTTCCTGCCTTTAACTCTTTAGCCTTCACAGTGGCGCGAATCGATCTTGGCTCTGACTCTTGAAACTTGTGCATTCCTCTACGTGACTCTGTCTCCCTCCATCGATCTCATCTCATCTCGAAACAGACCACCGGCCGCCGTTGCCGACTCATCAGCGGGGCGAGCGCGTACCTGTTTCGCATCCCGTGCCTTTTCTCGATATCGGATTGGCACAGCGAAAGGCACACGACAATAGACCGCAGTCCGCCTATAGCGCCAGCCTCACCGTCGCGTCTTCTTCGACTATCACGCGCCCTGCTACACAACGTCGACCAAGCAGCTCCCGCGGACGCCTGTCGCGCTGCCGAGCGGGCTGATGAATAAGATGGAGACGGACTGGGAAGCAAAGGAGAGGTATGTCGACTCGCCGCACCCGTCTTGTACTCAAGCTGACATCCTTCAGACAAAGGAGAGAAGACAAGCACGTCCCCTTTCAGGCCTATCATACCCCTCCCCTCAACCCTTCCTCGCCTACCCTTCACACCCCTCGTCGACCCGCCATCCCTCGCTCCTCATCCTCTTCGGCGCTCGATACTCCTCTTTCAGCATCCTCCAGCTCCGGCCGAAAGAAGACACTCTGGGGACAGCAATCTACACCGCCTTCGACATCTTCCACGCCGGCGTCCCTCCCTCATCTCATGCCCACCAGAAAACCCGCTTCTGGACCCTCTATGCCTACCTCTTCCATCGGTAGAGAAGCAATGTCCGAGTCTGGCTCGATGCAGGGCAGTCCAGCGCCGGGTCTCACCAAGAAGCGCTCGTCCGGCCAGCTCCTGGCGAGCTTCGGCAAGGGTCTGAGCAGGGTCGGGTCGGTGATGAAGCGGACTCCGAACAAGACGGCGACGGCGGACGTCGCGCTATCTCCAACCTCGACCCCGCTGAGGCCTACTCCGACTAGGCAGGGCTCCAGGCTGGGTCTGAGCAAGCAAGGGAGCATACGGCGGCAGGTACAGCAGGGAAGCTGGAGGGGAAAGAGGGCTGAGACAGGGCCGGAGGCGGTGCAGGAGGAAGATGAAGAGGGAGGTGATGGATATCGGGATATGGGTTGGCAGCCGGATGCAGGACCGGGAGGAGTAGTGGATGTCGGAGATGAGGGAATAGGTCTGCCTTTCAATGTTACCGTGAGCTGCCAATATCGCGACTTCTCGTAGACTTAAGCTGATCAAACAGCATGAGCTACACGTTACACCAGGTCTCCACGGGATGCCGACCGCATGGCACCAAGAGCTCAAAGCTGCAGGCATGACAGATGCGCAGCTCCTCATGATCGCCGCGGCCCGGCAGCGCCAAGCGGCAGTGACGCTCAAGCCTGTCCGCACAGGCTCGACTCGGCGGCCATCCCAGCGGCGAAAGAAGAGCTCGAACGGCGAAATCTCTCCTCAGGTATATGATCCTATCAAGGAGCAAGCAGTCGGGCGGGATGGCGTCACCCGCATCAGGCTGAGCGACAAGCCCGCGACCTCCTCGCCCCGCTCGAAACTCCCAGCTCTGACACATCTTGATGATGTCCGCCCGAGCATGGACGGGTTCCAGACCGCCAGTCCTGGTGCCAACGCAAGCGCGGGTCCTAGTCGGTCCTCTTCCCTTCACCCTTCCCCCATCGGCAGTCGTCCTCCCTCTGCTTTCGCCTCGCCTACGCGAAGAGGCTCGTCCAAGCGGCTCTCGGATCAGCTGCGCGGTTTCGCTTCTATAGAGCTGGATGCGGTCGGTTCTTGGGCGGATGACCTGCTGGGGATGGTGGGCGAGGACAGCGGAAAACAAAGCAGGGGGAAGGAGATGGGCGAAGAGCCTGCTCCTCCTGTTTCCGCTTTCACCGCTGGACAAGCGAAGTCACCCAAACCTCCCTCTCCGCGCTCTCCCCTGAGGTCTGCGGCAATCCGGCGCGTTCCCGTCCCGGAGACCTCTGGAGCTCCTCGATGCAGCACGGAAGCTCCTCATCCACAGTCCCCCACATCCAGCTACTCGCATGCCGCCAAGCACACCCGCCAACCCAGCTCGTCCCGATCGGCCACGAGCAACCGCACCGCCCAAGAACCCGGATCGTGCGAGACGCTCGGAGCGGCACCGGTCGAAACGCCTTTCACACCCGATCAGCCTACTCCTATCCCCCGGACCGGCCACGGAGTAGTATCCGCCGAGTATACGACGCCAATGATGAGCATGACGCACTCGCACTCCCAGTCCCTGTCCACCGCGGAAGATCTGGAGGTCCGCACACCATCCACATCGGAGAATGATGATGGGCGGCCGCCGGTCTCGGCTGCTCTCTTTCCGGCGTCGGACCAGCGCTGTCACGGAACGGAAGGGACGGGGTGGGTGACGCCCAAAAAGCCCGGGTCTGGATCCGGTCGAGACGCCCTCGGTCGGCTCGGCGGACCCATCGAGCTTTCGATCCAGTCATCCCTCACACCTACCAAACCACTTCCCAAAGACGCCGACAACCCCATCTCCCCCCGGAGTCAACGCTTCGAAGACCTCGAGGCGGACTATGATCTCTCCATCCCATCTCCCCTCCGTCCGCCGCCCAACCCACACTTCTCCCTTCCAGCCAGCGCGGCCTCGGACGCGGAGGACGACTACTTTGATCCGAACAGTTTCTCGGGGATGCCGGAGCCAGGCTCGCCGATCCTGAAACCGGCGGATCTCAAGCTGATCGGGGCGGAACGGTATGGCGGTTTAGCATCCCGCGGGACGAGCGACGACGAGCACCATCATAATTCCGATGTACCGAAGGACAGGGACAGGGAGCGGATGGAGGGGATGCGAGGGTCAGGCCTGGACTCGAGGAAGCAGAGCGAGGGATCTATCATTATGATACATCCTTACTCGCCTTCAGAGCTAAAGGGGCGGGGATCGCGGATCGGCAGTGAAGCATCGGCGTACAGCCATCCGGGTTCGCGTCAGGGCAGCGAGTCGTCTGGACACCCCCATAGTCGGAAGGCTTCCGCCGCGGGATCGCGCAAAGATAGCGGAGGGTCCAACTTGGCCCTTGGCGCTGCGATCCCGGAGGTTCACCCGAGGACTCCGGCGCTGGTTATGGCGCCTCACCGACTCTCCTTCCCCTCGGTCATCGCTGGTGGCATACCGGCGAGCCCACAAGCTCCAGCTCTTCCGCTCCCAAAGTCCGATCTCGAGCCGGTCATGCCCCAGATCGACGAACAGGAGCTCAAGCCCGACTCTCCACATAGCGAAGAGGACCACCTCTCTCCCCTCCCCCCACATCCCCCACTGCTGCAGCATCTCTCACACCGTACTTCTGCACGCTCTCTCCGCTCATCGTCCGCGCAAGCACTTCACGGACAGATGGAGGATCCCCGAGGCAGTATGGCCTACTCTACATTCTCGGGCGAGTCTGAAGACTATAGTCGGGATAGCCTACTGGGCGCGAGGGTGTTGACTGCGCAGAAGCAGGTGCTGGGCGGACAAGATGTGGGGCGGATGAGTGTGTGGAGTCTGAGTGGATATATGGGGGATGAGGCGGGAGCCGAGGAGGACGGAGGGGATGCGTCACGAGTAGGCGAGGGCGTCAAGGCGAAGGATCGGCATCTTCGAGTCCGCCAATTGTAGTAGGGTGAGCGTGATTAGCGGACAGGTGGAGGGAGGAGAAGGCGCGAGATCAACAGCGGCATCTCCAAGTCCGGCAGATGCAGGAGATGGGGAAAGGGGGAAAGCGTGTGGAGAAGGGGTAGAAGGGGGAATATGTGTGGAGAAGATTCTGTCGGGGTCGTCTGATGTTCGTGGGAGAGGCAAGGATGAGATGGAGAATTTGACGGGAGGTGTGAAAAATGCGCCGAACCTGCAGGATGTGCAAGTGAGGGCCCGGGAAGAGGAGAGGAGACCCAAGGGAAGAAGTGTTCACTATGTTAGAGTCATTAATCTACTCGATGCTATCTATAATGTTGCCCTTACCCTACTCAGCTCGCCTGTGAGCTCGAGCTGGACACCCGCGGATGAGCGTCACTGAGGCTCGAGGCTGGTAGCTCCGACTATCACGTTTCCCTCGACTTCCTGAGACGTGTCGTCGTGCCACACTGGGCGGGAGTATCGGTATGTACATTGCATGCTGATGATCTGCAGCCAACCCCAATCCCTATTTCGTCATACCAGATTACGCCTTCCCACTCCGCACATGCTCCACAAAGTCATCGATCGTCGATGGCCACGCTCCTACCATATCAGCTCTTTCCTATCACTACCCCCTCTTTCCCCCTCATAAACTCACCGCTCTCATCATACTCCTTGAAGTCGGCATCAATGGTCCGTATGAAATCCACCAACAGCGCCCACGTATCCTTACTGACCGACTTTCCCCGCTTCTTTTGGAACGCCAGCCACTGCTCAAAGTGCTTCTCGGTGAATTTCGGCACGGAGGATACGGCCCCTGGTTTGGCTGGGTTGTCGTATGAGAGAGCAGAGGGACGGGCTTTCATAGCGGGTAGGATGAAGAGGGGCCACATGTCCAGTGCTGGCTTGTCAGCTTGGAGCTCTCCGGACGTGAGGAATGGGGAAGCTCACCAGTGTCGAGATCCATTACTCGCGCTCCGGGGGCTTTGCAGAGGTCGAAAGTATGCAGGTAGACCTTCTTGAAGTATGCAGGGTCGGCATTGAGCTTTCGACGCAGTTCGGGCAGACGTGCCTTCATGCTGGCCAAGGAGTCGATACTGAGCTGTAAGCTATCGGACCCATCGTAGCCGTCTGAGCGGAATTGGAGGAAAAACGAGCTTACCCTCCGGGCATAGCCATCCAGCCTTGAACGAATGGGGCCTTCTCCCATTCTCCAGTAGCTTTCGACCCCAAGTCCGCCGCAAGGCAGAACAGTACCGAATCCTGTTCCAAAGTCAGCTAGGTTTTGCGCAACTTTCGCAGCCCTCAAAGCTCACCGAAGCAGGATCTATCCCGAGCTCCGTACACATTTCCATAGTCCCGTCGATCTTGATCAACTTAGGATCGGTGTTATCTGGACTTGGTGAGCTTTACCCTTTTAACAGCCTGGGAGGGTCGCGAGCTTACCCTTGAATCTCTCCCAGATGTCGCCAAGCTTCTTCTCTTGCCCTTTACCGCCTGCGGTACTAGCCTGGGCGGCGGCGTCATCATAGAACGCATCAAGAGCCTGCAAGACGTCAGCTCTGGCGCTGCGCTCGGTCGAGCGTGCAGGTGGGAGAGAACTTACCGCATCGACCGTCTTGTGTTTCCTTACAAATGCAGTGGCGTCTTTCAGGCTGCAGCGTATCAGCCTGGCTCTTCCAGCTGAATGCTGCGATGACACAGCCATATAGATTATCCGGGAAAACTTGGGAAGGAGGACATCCCTGCGCAGGACGACGAGTGGAGGTGGAGGAAAGTGATGGGCTGAGGCTCAGGACTTACTTAGCTCCGGTGATCTCTCTAAACTCAGTGATGATAGCCGCCTCCCGCCTTGCAGCGGCATTAGACTTGGACTGATCATGTCAGCTCCGATAGATCAGCGGATCAGTGCGGACAGATCCGGGACATTGAAGGGGACTGACCATTTCGGCGAGTCTCTCTTGATCGACGGTAGGGAAGGATGGGGAGGCTGATGGGCTGTTTTTGACTGTTCTGATGCAGCGTGACTAACAGCTGACAGGCTGATCCAAATGAGCGTGACTTGTGAGCGAGAAAGAAGGGGGAATATAGTCAACACCGATGAGGAAGGAGTAGGGAGGTAAAAGTGGTGGAGCTCAGCGCGCTCAGCGCTCAGCGCGACCGCGACTGAGACATTCCGCGAGTCCCCCGGAACCACCAAGACCCAGACCCGCTTGGCGTGTCCGCAAGGCCTCATCGACTGATCTCACGTCTGCCGAGGCTCCACGGGCTGCAACGCGACGACGATCAAGCAATACATCAAGGCCCAACATATACAGCCCAAAAACCGTCCAAACTGCCTCTCAAGTCCCCTAGATCCCCATAGCTCGCCTCTCACCACCCGTCTCCGCCCTCCCCGCACAGCTCATCTCTCGCCTCACTGCTCCCCCGCAGCCCCCAACATCCCCACCCCCGTCCACTCCCAAGTACGCCATATCTCCCCATTGACCTCCCGTTCCCTAGTCGCCACATTCGCGTTCTTCTCGATCAACGCCTCGATCCGGGTCCAGAGACGCGTGCGAGAGCTCACGCTGCCTCGGTGCGGGAGGACGAGGTCCCTTACTTGGGCTGGGGGCAGGTATGGGTGTGGAGTAGTCGCGGGGTCCGTGTAGTGCAGGCGTTCCTTGTATGTCAGCTTACCGTCAATACCAAGATGGGCGGAAGGGTTCCTGGAAGCTCACCTGGTCCTGGAGGCGCTTGAGCACGACAGCGGCGAGATCCTCCGCCTTGTACTTCTCCGCCCGGCGGGTCTTGATAGTTCGCTGAAGAGCAGCGATCGCAGCGAGCACCGCTGCGGTAGCTACACAGTCAGCTCTGGATATGACCGACATCGAGCAACTTTTAGCTGAGACGCACATCCAAGCTGGGCCTTCCACGCATCCAGCGACTTGTAAGCCTCCGTCTTGGCTCGGCAGCTGAGCGTCATGTCCGTCCGGGAAGCAGCATACCACGACTTCCCACTGCGTTGTGAGCTCTTGGCCTTCCCGTGCAGGAAAGCCGACAACTCACTGGACGTCAATCGACTCGATGATATCCTCATGCTCCACCAGATCCCTCAATGCCGCCTCCCAAACCTCGTCAAACTGCTCTTTCGTGAACTTGGGCTGCAAAAATCAGCTTTGTTAACGCCAGGCGGCTCAGTCAATCCAAAACTCACATCTCGCCTCGCATCAAACATCTCCCTCAGCGTCTCCTCCTCCATCCCAAACCTCTCCCCCTCGCCCTTCCGCCCATCCTCCTTCCCCATTCCGGCACAAACGACCTTGCCCCTCCCCTGCGCCAAATACCCCTCAACCTCCTGCGCCACGCCCCCAATAAGCCTCTTGCGCGCCGTATCGGGCTTGCAGCTCGGCGGGAACGTTCTCGGCTCCATACCGGGAAGACCGTCCGTGAGGGCCGAAAAGACCGAAAGGGGGTGATGCGAGAGGATGTACTCTGGCTCGCAAGCGGCCAGGTTGCCCGCTTCGCATACCGCGTGCGGGGGACAGGGACTGCAGGCCGTCGGACGGGGCATGAACGGGAGGAGGGGAAGAGAGGTTGTATCGCACCGCACGAGCTCGGTGGAGGGCTGGCCGACCGCCGAGTCGAGCTGGAGAGCGGCGTTCCGCGCGATGCACGCTTGGGCGTTATCAATCTTGCTCTCGCGAAGCAGGATGACATTGTTGGTCGCGCCGCCGGTATCGCAGAAACCGATCGCCGAGGAGGCGTGTTTCCACTGCGCCACCCAAGAGAGGAGCACGAGGAAGAGTGCCGAAAGGGGGACGGTACGGCTCGCAGCGGGGACGACCTGCAGCTTGTCCTGCGCGCGCTTGACAAGGGCGTTCTGTGATGCAGGAACAGGGGTGGCTTCGTAAACAGTCGTAATTGTGACCTGGGGAGGTGACTCCCGATCCCGGCTGGAGATTTCGTTGAGCTTGGTCGAGACGACTTGATTGTGCTCTTCCGCCTCTTGGAGCTCGCGGTCCTGCATCATCTGCTCCCGCACCTCGTCAGGAGGAGCACGAAGGCTCTCCCTGCTAGGTCCGACGCGTCGGAGGGTCGAGCCGGGCGTGAAGGACATGGGAGCGGGCTCGGATCGACGCGGCTGTCGAGGCGTCTCTTGCTGAGGTGAAGCCGGTGTTTGGGCAGGACCAACGGAGGACTGGAATCAGCTTTATCCTTGTTCCGTACAGTATAGCTCACCTTTCTCCGTCGCAGCTCCTTCCTCGCTGCCTGGTCACTCCCGCTCTGGAACGGGTTGACGTCGCTAAACCCGCTCTCCTCCCCGTCGGACCGCCTGGGAGTTCTCGATGCCTTCCGCTTCACTGGCGTGTGTCGGGGGATCTCGTCCGCCTCCGAGTCAGCCTCAGGCTGGTCCACGAAGTGGATGGCCGTATCCTTCTTCAGGATCGATCGAGGAGCGGGGACAGGCGTCTTGTCGCCGGCGTCCGGGGTAATATGGCGAGTGGCTGCGCTGGAGGGAGTAGCATGCTGCGTGGCTGCGCTGGACTGGCGCGACTTTCGCGAGGAGCTAGCAACGGGAAGTGGGGGGACGACTTCGGGCGTGACAGCCGGAGTACGCTTGCGCGAGGTATTGAGGGTAGATCGCCGACTCGACGTAGACTTTACCGAGGGCTGAGTATCAGCTTTGCATGCATGCGCTTGAGATTAAGCTTACTGGAGCCTCCACAACTTCAGCCTCTGAAGCACTCTCCGCCTCTGACTTGGTCGCAGTCTTCCTAGGCCTCCCGGGCTTCCGCCTGACCGGTATCTCCACGATCGGCCCCGGCTCGGGGGTAGCCACGATACTGCCATACGCACTGTCACCGCCCTCTGTATCGACCGACATCCTGCTCCTCGCCCTCAGCCGCTTTGATGGGGGTGCCGCATCCGGCTCGGGCGAATCGTCCATCACCTCGACGATGGGGGTTTTGCGGGGCCGACCACGAGGCTTCTTGACGGGCGCTTCGACAAGGGACTCTTCGCCGCTCTCAGAGACGGAGATGATGCCCTTGGCGGACGCCTTGACGCCGCTCGACTTGCCGAGGAGCTTCTGCAAAGTCAGCAACAACCAGCGTGGAGCGTGAGACTACGTACGGAAGCTTTCGGCCGGACGTTGTCTTCGAACAGATCGATAAGGTCAGACTTCTTGATGACAGCCCCGAAGGGAATACCATGCTCGACAAGAATTGATCTGAGAGATCGTCAGCTCTTGTGTGCGGACGGTGGGAGTGCGGACCTGAGCTGACCGGAGCTGCGGGACCTGGACTAGATCAGCGAAGGCTCCACGCGGGAGCGGTAGATTAAGCTCACCTTGAGGGTGAACGGGTCAAAGTCTGGCGCGAGATACTCGTCCATGCTTGGAGTCGACATGATGCTGTCCAGGTGTGCAATGTGTGTGGATAGGCCGGTGGTGTAAGGCTGTCGGTTAGCGTTATAGCAGCTGTATCTATCGGCTGCAGTGGGTGGGCGTTGTTGTTGTTGACGAGTTCGCCACAAACAAAGGTCGGTCACTCCACGCGCTTCTTCCGGTAATTCATTTACTGATTTTATCCCAGCGCCCCCTTGACGTACGGTACTCGATTCTGAAACGCGCGGGGGCGCGTGCGCAAGGCATTCGCTCAGAGCCAAAGCTCGAGCCTATGCCATTGCATCCCTCCTGCTCGGCGCCTCCAGCTATACACCTCTGCTTCTCCTACCTCACACCGCCCACCAAACTATAACAAGGCTGACATCATGGCTGCTGTAGCTGTCCCCACCTCGGGAGAGGAAATCTCCGCTCAGTCATACGTTGGATTCGACTGTGAGCCCCGCTTCTTGCGACCCTTCACCGAACCAGTCCAGCTTAACCCGCAGCTATCACTCGACAAATCGAGCACAAGCTCTTGAAGAGAGGCTTCCAATTCAATGTCATGGTAGTCGGTACGTTGGCATCACCATATTGCCCCAAGGCAAGAAGCGCAACTCACACCTCTAGGCCAGACCGGTCTGGGCAAATCAACCCTCATCAACACTCTCTTCGCTTCGCATCTCGTCGAGTCTAAAGGACGCTTCGAGGCCGATATCCAGCCTCGATCTACGACGGAGATCCACGCGCAGTCGCATGTCATCACTGAGAATGGCGTGAGGCTCAAGTTGAACATCATCGACACGCCGGGGTATGGGGATCAAATCAACAATGAGGGGTGCTGGGATAGTATCGTCAAATACGTAGGTGTACCTTTCAGCTGGTAAGGACTCAGCCTGGCAGCTGACACCGGAAGATCAAAGACCAGCACTCGGCATATCTCCGGAAGGAGCTCACGGCGATGCGAGACCGTCATATCCCGGACACCAGGATCCACTGCTGTCTTTTCTTCATCAACCCCACAGGCCACACGTTGAAGCCGGTGAGTTGAGAAATACGCCATGGCTGCTAGGCGGATACTCAAACTCACGCTGCAGATCGATATCGTCGTCCTCAAGAAGCTCGCCGAGGTGGTCAACGTCGTTCCCATCATCGCCAAGTCGGATGCTTTAACACTGGAGGAGAGGCATCTCTTCAAGCAGCGTGTGAGCTTCCGCCTGCGGTCCTGTCTTCGCGCACAAGCTGACTGTCCTAGATCAAGGCTGAGCTCGTACACAGCCAGATCCGCCTCTACCCCTTCGACGCGGAGGAGAACGACGAGGAGGAGTTGAACCTGAACGAGCGGATCCGAGTGAGCTACTTCATCGTAATCTCCCGCAATGATTAAGCTGATCCAGCAGGACATGCTCCCCTTCGCTATTGTCGGCTCGGAAAAGTCTATCGTGGTCGACGGCAAGCCAGTGCGGGCGAGGGTGAACCGGTTCGGCGTGATCAATGTGGAGGATGAGAGGCACTGCGAGTTCATCTATCTCCGGAACTTCTTGACAAGGTGCGTCATGGCCGGATGGGTGATAGCCATTGGGATCGAACTGACGAACAAGGACCCACCTCCAAGATCTGATCGAAACGACTGCGCAGATCCACTACGAGACGTTCCGCTCCAAGCAGCTTATGGCGCTCAAGGAGTCTTCGGCAAAGCAACAACAGGCGTCTACTTCATAGGCTGTTTTGGCGGGTCGTGGTCGATCTGCTTTTGTTTCTCTAGGAGGCGGGATGTCAAGAAAAGAAGAAGAGGCTCCTTTCCGGATATCTAGATAACGGTCTTGACGACTAGCCTTTTGTGCATTATGCGACCTGATGACTATGCTAATCCCCTGGTTGGCCGTGCACTCGAGCTTCTCGGCTGTGTCTTCAATTGTCGAGGCCCAGCGAAGTAGAGAGGAGGGGCACGGCGATAGCGGAGGATTGCCTACGAGGGGAAATATCAGAGCAGGCGGTGAAGCCATTAGTCTACTCGTACCCTCTCATTACTCCACCCTGCCCGGCTCTCCCCTCGCCTCATAGCTCTTCCCCTTCTTTCTGCTATCCCTGCTCTACCCGCCCCTTCCCCCAGATCACTCTTGACAGAAGACAGAAAGACATCACTAGAGAATTACGCTCGAAAAAAGCAGATGCGGGAAGACCATATACGATGACCACACTCAGCTGGACGAAGCAGATTACAGCGGCTCCATGCAAAAGACCGATGCACCTCAAATGCTAGCTAGCTACTGCTACTTCTTTCCTTTCCTTCCTTTCCTCTTCTTCCCCCGTCCGGACTAGTGATGATGGTACTTATCCTGACTCATCCCAAAGCCCCCGAACCCCGGCTGTCCACCACCCTGCTGCGTCTGACCCGGGATCTGCTGCGCCTGACTCTCCTTCCCCGTCTGGCCTACCCCCGCTCCCGCTCCTGGAGGCACTGGTCCCGCCGTGACAGGTGGCGAGAACAGACCTCCTGCGAACGCACCTCCAAACCCGCCACCTAGGCCCCCAAAGCTCGACGCGGTAGGTGCGGACGTCGGACCTGATCCTCCTGCGCCCGCGCCTGAAGGCTGACGTAATCCGCCTGGTCCAGGACCGAGCGAATGGGGGAGTTGATGTGGATGCTGAGGGAGCTGATTGTGGAGGGATGGAAGACCAGGGAGGCCGGGTGGACCCGACATGCTCGATGGAGGAGGAGCGGACCATGGTGATTCCGCCACGCTGGCTCCCCAGATACTGGATCCCGCCGACCATCTCGACGCGCCAGACGGGGCAGGCGGGAGACTTGGGAGCATCGAGGCAGCCTCCCAGCCATTGACGTGGATACTTCGCCGAGTGGGAGGGGAGACAATCTCGTCGTCTGTCGACAAGAGCGCCGCGGATCCGAGAATCCTCTCTGGCCCCTTTGGTGAGCGGGAACCGGAGGCGAGGGGAGCGGAAGTGGGGTTGGTGGATACGGACGCGGATGTGGAGGCGAGGGATGCGGGTTGGGTACGGCCGATAGCGCTTCCAGGTGCGGAGCCGACACCGAGTGCTGCACTGCCGGGTGCGCCGATCGCAGCGGAGGGGCGATAGTCCTCCAGCGTCAATCCCGAGAGATTGAGGTGGTTCACATCGCCGGTAGACACCGACCTGGGTGCGCCGATCGGCGTCTCCGAGTAGTTCTCCTCCATACTGGATAAGCGGTGGCTGGGTCCCGCGAGTCCGGGCGGTTTCATGGGGAAGCCCATACCGATGGCCGCGGAGCGAGGGTGGTCGAAGGGTGGGCTTGGCTCGGGATGAAAACCCCGGACCGGTGGATTTGGGGAGAGGCTCGTACCGCTTAGTGGGACTACAGGTGAGAAGACTGGAGATACCGAGGGGTTGAAGCTGCCTGACGGTGCAGATGGGCGGAAGCCGGGGGTACCGCCAAAGCCGGGACCCATCGGCATGCGAGTGGGGTACGAGCCCGCTGGCATAGGTTGAGGGAAGTACGCCTGAGGTGTCTTTTGCGGTGTACGACCGGTAGACGGTCCGGCTGGAGGTCGCGAGCCGCCGACGCTCTTGATGGGCGAGAGCTGTTCCGCCGGCGGTGTGGTATGAGTAGGTCCGTTCCGAGATGACGCGGCGCGAGGCTTGATGGGGATCGGAGCAGCCGATGTAGAGGCGGCCAGCTTCTCCCTTGCGGCCTTGTCTGCCGCAGCCTTGTCCGCAGCCGCCTTCTCCGCCTTGACACGCGCAGCCTGCTGAGCCGCGAGAGCTTTGGCAAGTTCGGCGGCATCCCTCTCTTTCCGCGCAATCTCGTCCCTCCGAACCTTCTCTTGCCGTTCCGCCTCGACTTTGGCCAGACGCTCCTTCTCGGCAGCTTCTCTCGCCTCCTTGGCCAAGCGCTCCTTTTCTGCCTTTTCCTTGGCTAGACGGTCCCGCTCAGCCTTGTCTGCCTTCTCCTTGGCCGCCCGCTCCTCCTTCTCTTTCCGCTCCTTCTCCTTGAGCTCCTTATCCCGCGCTTCACGCTCCTTGCGCGCCTTATCCTCCTTCTCCTTCTTCTTCCGCGCAGCCTCCTCCTCTCTCTCCTTCTCTTCCTGCTGCCGTCGTTTCCGCTCAGCAGCCTGTCGAGCAGCCTCCTCGGACGCAGCCTTCTTGACGGCCTCACGGCGGATACGTTCCTCCTCGGTCCGCTTGAGTCGCTCCCGCTCAGCCTCTTCGGCTTTGAGACGAGCAGCAGCAATCTCTTCCGCTTGAGCGGCATCCCGATCCGCCTTGTCCTTGTCGGCCTTCTCCTTCTGCATCCTACTTGATCAGCTCTGAACCTCACTGCCATGTCGAAGCAACCCACCTCTTCTTGTCCTTCTTCTTCTGAGCCTCCTTGGCTTTCCGCTCCTCCTTGTTCTTCTTGACATTCTCCTCCTGCTCCAGCTCCAACAACAGCTGCTCCTCACGCTGCTTGGCCACCTTTTCGCGATATGCCTGCAGCACTCTCTGCTCAAACATCCTCGCCGCAAAGATCTGGAACATTCGCCTCCCCTCCTCCATCTTTTGCTCCTCCGTCAACGGTTCCCTGACTAATCAGAACTTTCTCCATCTCCCGCTAGACTCAAACTCACTCTGCCTCATCATAATCCTCATCATCCGTCTCCTCCTGCATATCCCGCACGTTCTGCTCCTCCCTAACCACCCTCGCCACCGCCAATTGCTCCATCATCTCGAGGAATCGTGCGCCGTCATTCTTGAGTAGGTCGTCCGCGACGGTAAGTATACCTCCTTCATTCAGCGTAAGCCCCTTTCAAATACCAGTACCTCGATCCCAAAACTGGGGGATATGGGCTCACCTTTAATCGTCGCTAAACTATTCCCAAACGCCAAAAAGTCCTCGGCGCCCTCCGCTCTGGGCGCAGCCGCACGGGCGGGCGGTTTCCGAATCGCCCGAGCCGGTGGTGGCTCGTCGATATCGTCCCCTGCCTCCGCCTCGTCCGAACCGAGATCCTCATCATCGAGTTCCTCGTCGTCCTCCCCATCGTACTCTTCCTCTAGCTCCGAGCCTTCATCTTCGAGCCCATCGTCCTGGTAGTACGCATGTTCCGGCGCACGATGATCAAACTTGGTCACCGTTCCCGTCGCATCGACTTCCACCGATCCAGGGAATGGTCCGGCGCCTGGAGGTTGGGCCCGATGTCCGACCGAAGCCGCCCGTTGCTCTGCGGCGTAAAGGCGCAACTCGTCATAGTACTGCTCATAAAGCTGATCCAGTTCCATTTCGATATTGACCTTCTTCCGCCCGCATACGGCGCATCCGCACGCGTGCCGATGTTGCTCCTTCATCTTGCGAAGGACCGCGTCCTTCTCGATCTGGAGTAGATCACGCCGTTCCGCCTCATTCAGCTCGAGCCAGAATCGGCGGATGTTTTCGCGATCTTGGGCAGAGGATTGCGTCCAAATCTTGGCGGGTGGGGCGGGAGCGGGTGCTTTGCCTTTTGCGGCGGGCTTGGCGGGTGGGTGGGGATGGTTGTGGCCGTGATGATTGGCCGGTGGAGCAGAGGATGCGGGAGCTTTGCCGGCTGCACGAGCAGATCGAGCAGGAGCTGTTGTGGCAGCTGAGGGAGGGTGGGCGGCGGGGGCACCAGTAGCTGCGGTGGGCATGGGCTGCTTGCCGGCGGCCCGAGAACTGGGAGTGGGATGGGCGGAGTGGGCGGGAGCGAGAGCAGGTGCCGGTGCTGGGGTAGCAGGTGGGGGAGGGGGATTGAGAACGGGTTGTTGCAGCGGCGCGGACGGCGGTCGTGGTGGTTGTTTCGCCGCAGGTGGAGGGACCTGTACAGGTGGGACCTCCTGCACCGCCGCCCGCTTCTTCTTCTTCTTGTTCTTCTTCTTTGGCGGATCCCCATTCGCGCCCGCCGCATACTCCCCATCGTCCAGATCGAACTCATCCTCGTAATCCTCCTCCTCTTGAGCATCAGGATGCCGTCTGAACCCAAGCTGTTCCGCCACCGACGCCGCCGTTGGAGGCTGTGGGGGCGGTGGTGGATGTCCCTGAAAGACCGCCCGACCATTCACCCCTACGCCTACGCCCGCAAGAATATTCGCGCTGAGATTCTTGGGTATCCCCATCCCCTCACTCGCCGCCGACACAATCTTTTGCGCCATCGCCTGCATCATCCTCTGCTCTAGCGATCCCGTCTGCTGATTCCGTGCCGCCGCTGCCGTCTGAGTGTCGTATGGCACCGCTTCGCGAATGAAATGACGGACATGCGGCGACAAGTTGGACCAGTAAGGATCGTCCTGCCCGAAACTGGGTTCCTGCATCCTCCGATATAGCTCGTTTGCGACTTCAACGAGATCCTCGTGGGTGATGTTGAGGTTGGATGCGAGGGTGGAGAGGGAGTTGCCGTTGGGTTGGCCAAAAGCCGAGAGGGAGTTGTAATCGAGGGGGAAGGGGAGTGAGAAGGGTCCGGTCCCGTTGGCGTTGGGAAGTGGTACTTCGACGTCGTCGTAGTACGTCGCCGTCTCGTATTGGACGTCGACGGGGTAGGCGCCCTGTGGGAAAGCGCCGGGAGGAAAGTTGAAGAGGGCGGGATCGAGGGGAGGGAGAGAGGCGTGAAAGCCAGTTGCTGAGGGATGGTAATTGGAATGTGCGGGGTAGAGATGCGGATCGAGCGTCAATGGGACCTCGCCGGTAAGATAGGCAGCGTCTCCGCCTGCTAGTCCTGCAGGTCCAGTCGAGGACGCTGCTGGGTAAGCGGTAGATGATGCCGCTTTGGCTGCCGCCTTCTTTGCCTTCTTTTTGGCGGCGGATTTCGATAGGCCAGGCTGGACGTTCGATGGCGGCTGGCCGGACATGAGGAGACTGGCCATCAGCCATAGGTTCTGCTATGTTGCAAGGTGAGATGGCGACCCACCAATGGGTTCAAAGTCTCGGCAATCCGACCCCGGCAGCTATCGATGAGCTAGCGGAGGAATCGATCGGCTGGCAGTGCCGGTGTAGCGAGAGTCGGCTGATTCGCTCTTGGCCTTACCAATGGCCGTGAGCGAGTCGATAGGGGCGGGTGTATGGAGCTAGTTGGTAGTAGGTCTGTAGTGGTAATAGAGCTCGTTGACAATAGGCTGTAGCTGTAGTGGAATGAGTAGCTCAGGCAGCTAGGTACGGGAGCAAATCGCCACTCACCCAAAAGGTAAACGCCGAGGAACGCCGCGGCTCAGTTGGCAACGCACGGACCTCCACATTCAACGTCCAGCCAGCCCGTATTCAGCGTTGACTATATACAACAGCTCCAATGTGGTCCACTGCCAGACGACTCACAGCGGCAGCCCTCAAGCCAAGGGTATCGACTACAGAGCCCACACCATACTCATGGATCAATCCAGCCGAGGCAGGACCGTCAAATTATGCCGGTCAGTCCGCATCCGTTCGTCGGTCGTCTCAAACTGATGACTAGGTCGATTGTCCGGTAAGGCGATAGCGATCAAGGAGAACATCTCTTACACGCTCGGTCCCACATCATGCTCATCCGACGCTCTCCAAGGTATGTAGATAGTCTTCGGCACGTCGACAAGCGAGTACGAGGGAGCTGACGTCGGTAGGGTACCGACCTCCATTCAACGCGACCTGCGTTCAGTCTCTTCTAGAAAATGGCGCGCACATAGTCGGTCAGACAAAGATGGATGAGTTTGGAATGGGGTGAGCTAAGTCTTTCGTACCGGTGACGGTACTCCAGCTCACTCGATAGCTCCCTGACGTCACATATGCCTGAGCATTACACACCGGTACATAACCCTTCCGGTCCCGCTTCAGATACGGGGCCCAGATCAGCGGGCGGTAGTTCAGGAGGATCTGCAGCAGCCGTGGCTGAAGGAAGTTGCTGGGCGTGAGCTTCTTCTGCGGAACTGTCATCACGCGCAGCTGACTCCCCAGAGCGCTAGGAACCGATACAGGTGGATCTGTCCGTCTACCAGCTAGCTACTGCGGAGTGGTCGGTCTGAAGCCTTCATATGGCATGATCAGCCGGTAAGCTAGATGGGCCACGTCCTCCAGCGGCTAATCAGCTGATTCCTGTAGTCATGGCGTGGTAGCATATGCCGACTCGCTTGACTGCGTTGGGATCCTCGCCCGAGATGTCGATACAGTCTCATCTGTATTTAGTGAGCGTATTATCCTATCCCGAGATACTCAAGCTGAAAGACAGGCACAATCTCGCATCCAGACGAACGGGACATGACCTGCGCAACCGCCACAACCCGTCAATCCGCCGCCGCGCTCCTCGCCTTTCACTTCCCCTCACTCTCCCCATCCAGCCTTAAAGGCCTCAGGATCGGACTACCGATCGAGACACACCTTCCCTCCCCGAACGTCCAGCTCCCACCTTCTCTACTTGAACATCTCCTCTCCCTCGGCGCGACACTACATGCTGTCAGCCTGCCAAACCTACATCTGGCGCTTCCGGCTTATTATGTGTTGGCCAGCGCAGAGGCGAGCAGTAATCTGGCGAGATACGGGGGAGTGTGGTTTGGGTCCGAAAAGGAGAAAGAGGATTCCAGGGAAGGGGAAAGTGGGCTGGAAAGGAGAAGGAGGATGAGGACCGAGGGGTTCGGGGGCGAGGTGAAGAAGCGGATCCTGGCCGGGACGCATGCTTTGTCTGCAGAGTACGTTCCATCTATCTCGACCATCCGCATGCTTCTCACTCCTGATCTCTATCATCGCGCCTCACTCAGTCCCATCTCGGCTATGCCTTCTCATCGCAACCGTATGCACTCCCAACTCTCGCTGCTGCGATGGTATGGGGAGCAGGGAGGCTCAATCCGGCTGGTCGCGAAGGCGACGCAGTCGCAGAAGCTAAACCGGATATTGAAAAAAATGGACGCTAATATCCCAGCGAGTTCAACAACACCTACCTCAAAGCCCTCCATCTTCGGCACCTCCTCCGGACTGACTTCTCCCGCCTATTCCGTGTACCCCACCCACTCGACCCCAACACCTTCGCACCGCCCAGGGGAATTGACCTCCTACTCCACCCTACTGCCACCCGCACGGCGCCAAAGCTGGATGCAAGCCAGCGCGGAGACGAAGAGAGCGAATATGCTCAGGATTTGTTGACTGTACCTGCGTCGCTGGCGGGCTTGCCGGCGATGTCTGTGCCAGCTGGAAAGGGAGAAGATGGGTGGCCTGTTGGCGTGAGCTTGGTGGGGCAGTGGGGAATGGAGCATGTGGTATTGTGGGCTGGACAGGCGGTGGACAGGTGGGATTGGAAGTTATAGCGACTGTACTGAATAGCATGGCATTATTGACGACTCTAAAGATCACTACAAGGACTACGTAACTCAGACAAACTACAAAGACTGACCTCCCCGATACTCCCCAAGCTGACCTATTTGCTTACTCCCGCCTTTCCAATGACTGTAAGAACTGATGAAAGTCTCTTGGATCATAAGTCACTCCCGCTGTCCCGCCGCAATACCATGAAGCGCCTCCGATGTTGTACACGATGGGGATAGCGCCTTTGGTGCTCCAAGGGTCAAGTCCTTTCATGTCGGACCGGGTCATCATATTCGCGCCCAGTTTCTGCCGATCGTCAGCACCTATTCACTCTGGGCCATACGAGATGTACGGCTCACCTGCATTGCCGCCTCGGAGACAACCCCCACGATATAGATTGCGGCCTGTTGTATCCATATCCTCCTGACTTTGGCCCCTTGACGGGAGGGCCTCTCTGGCACGCTGCTGATGACTCTCCCTGTGGCCTCGTCCGGGTGGTGCGTGGCTTCCGGCATATCTGCCAAAGCGAGGTGGTACATGCTGCCGTTGTCGAATCAGTCCGAAGGTAGATCCCTCAGCTGGACGTTGTGCCCTCCTGCTAGCCTGAGGATACGAGATAGAGCGTCCATGTCAAGACTTCTCGCGTTTGGGCCGAAGAACCACGCGTCGACGATAGCTTCCGCTGCATTTGAAGGGAGGCGGTCGAGCTGACGTCGCGAGGGCACCGACACCGACGGAGAAGGCATGTGAGGTGAGGGAATAGAGGGGTAATATTGTTCAGGCCTGAGCAGGTCAGCTTTGTCAATAAGCGGCAGAGCCAGCACCACGACCGCCATCGGCACCGTTGCAACAACCCGTTCTCAATCCCCCTCCCCCACCCGCTACTCCCGCCCCGGCACCTGCTCTCGCTCCCGCCCACCCCGCCCATCCCGCTCCCAGTTCCCGAGCCGCCGGCAAGCAGCCCATGCCCACCGCAGCTACTGGTGGCCCCGCCGCCCACCCTCCAGCAGCTACCGCAACTGCTCTCAATCTGCTCGTGCAGCCGGCAAAGCTCCCGCATCCTCTGCTCCACCAGTCAATCACCGCGGGCTGAACCATCCCCATCCACCCGCGAAGCCTGCCGCAACAGACAAAGCACTCGCTCCCGCCCCACCGGCCAAGGCCTGAGCTCTATTGATCCCCAAGCTACTGAGGCGATTGCTCCTCAGCCTATCGCCGCTGGCAGCACGCGCTGCTCGATCTGGACTCACTCTTCATTGAAACCTAGGCTCCGCCGAACCTTCATCCTGGCCTCCATTTTGGACGCTTCCGTTGCAGCTGATCCAGCTGCGGAAGGTGCCCCTCCGACGCTTCCAGCACTACCGATCATAAACGTCCCATCCCGCTTCTTCTTCCAGATCTCAGTCGCCATTGCCCTCGCTCGCGCTCTCGAGCTGCCCGCAGCAGGCTGAGGCTCTGCCTTCGGCATTTTATGTACGCGCTTGGTAGATGGCAGAGTAGGTGGTGATGAGGGTGTGGTAGGTCCGGTGCGTTGCGGAACGCAGTAGATGCTGCGTTGGGTGATCTGGTGCGTGATGAGAAGAGCGTGAGCGGGTGCTTTGCCTTCTGCGGCAGGCTTGGCGGGTGGATGAGGATGATTGTGGCCGTGGTGGTTGGCAGGTGAAGCAGAGGCTGCGGGAGCTTTGCCGGCTGCGCGAGCAGATCGAGCAGGAGCTGATGCGGCAGGTGCGGGGGGATGGGTAGCAGGGGCGTGAGCGTTCTGAGGACGATAACGGAGGTGTTGCGATAGAGGTGGTAGGTGGTGGGAGTGATAAGAGTATTACTGACGAACGTTCCCAATGCCTCAGCCTCGTTTAACGAGCGCGGAACGCGACTATGTCTCACATTGTGCATCCTGGTAAGCTGGTCGCGAGAGCTAATCGTTGGGCCACGTATCCGGCAGCAAGGCATACCCCGTCCCCATTCCAGCGTAAGGGCGCCAAGGCGGGACCTCGGGCGCCTCGCCATCCTCAGCGCAGCGAGCGGCTGAGATATCGGTAATCAGTTAGGGAATGAGTTGTCTGCTGCTGATGGGGTCTTGCCACAACCTGATATTGCCTCTTCGAGTAATTTTCGATGTTTCACCTTGCGGCGAGCGGAGGCTCTTCGTCCATCTCCTGTTGCTGCTTTCCTACTCGTGCATGGCGTGCAGAACATCGTCGTCGGTTCGATAAGGGCATGTAAGAGTACTTGATTAATGCTGTCGAGGTAATCACATCTTCCGTGTAAAAATCCAAGTCGTCCCACGTACACATTGTTCTCCGCAAAGGCAACGCTTACTCTGCAGCTGGCGATGCACAGCCTCCGCTGGGTCGCTACCATCATGATAGGATATCCGACGAGTCAGTGAAGTGAATGCGTACAGCCCAGCCCCATTGATCTACACTCTCGTGTCAAGGTCGCACAGACTGAGACAACGGTGATGACATTCTGCGCCTCGCTGCTTGCCTTTGTTAGTGACTATACCGCCGTGAGAGGGTAGACGGATGGTTAGCCCGAGCCCGGTCTTGTCTCGCCACTGAGAGGAGATATGATCAGCCCACTCAGACTGCCGCGATTTCGTTAGCCCGAATATCGCTTTGACGCCTTAAGCTCGCATAGTCAACTTACAGACATCAGCTATCGTTGCATAAAATGGCAGCAATAAGGTGGTCAGCGATCTCTCCGATTGGCTGACTCCCCCGGTGAGCTTGTACGAGCCGATCTGTGAGTAAGATTGGATATCGTTCACCCCGGCTGTCATGGCCAAGCAGTCACCGGGCCAGTTGAGCGTCAAAAAATCAGCCCAAAATGCGGCATCCCGCTTAACCTTTAGTACTGACCACGTACTGTTTCAACAGGTGTAGGTACAGCTCGCAAGCTTGGTTCTTGATGAATAACTCACCTGACCATCAACATCCAGGACTATGTAGTAGATGTGTGGAAGACGCGACGGTCGCGGAGAGCATTCTGCCAGCTTTCAGGGAAATGTCTCAGGAGGCGGAAACGCATTAGCTGTTGTCCTCGTAGGGCAACCAAACATGTTTCGCCAATTATACGGAGATTGTAATTGCCGAATTTCGCGAGTATCGATACCTGTCTATGGTGTCCTCGATGTAATGTACCATCCGGATCTGTAGAGTGAACATGGCTACTCGTCAGGGCGTCGAAAGCTTGGATGGCGCTTCGTGTGCCTCGTTGACCTGGGTACCAGACAATGTGACATAAGGACTACCACATCTGTCTGAGGGACCAGCAGCGCCGCCATTCTATCTGAAGAGCGTCATCCTTCCTGTATAGCGAGCAAGTAGAGGATCTTGAAGGATCTGGGCAAAGTTACCTTTTTGCAAGCGGGTTGCCTGGAATCCATCATCGAAGGGCGACTCAATCTTGCCTGCCGTACCGGGGCCACAGCGGAGACAACTGGAGACAAGGACGAGCTCAGAATCAGCGTCGCAAAGCACCGAAGATGGGTCATGAATGCAGAATATGGTAAGCAACCCCTAGATAGGTATACGTCGACAAATATCGACAACTACAACCCCGGGTCAGTATTGATACGCGAGGTATGGCTGTCGAGTCATAGTAGACCCAGACCGCTACGAGTCCATCCGCAAGCAACCCTCATGTGCTCTGCCCGAATTTCCAGCAGTACGCAGTCAAGGTCGGAAGAGGAAGGATGTCGCTAGCATCAGTCAAGTCGCCATGCCGCTGCGAGAGAGGCAGAACTGGGGCAAATTGGGAGATTGACCTCATCCATGCGATCATGCAAGTCTAGCAGATATATGCCGACGGAGCTGCTCTCTGACAGCTCCCAGAATCTCAGAAGCGGACACCCGAGACTGTTCCAGCGCCGTATCAAACTACATCGTCAGCCCTTCCTCTCCCTTCCTCTTCGATATAGCGACGTACCTCGGCTTTGGAGAAAGACCCCTCGCTCACCGCCCAGACCAGTTCTGCTTCCTTTCCTCCTTCTCCCTCCATATCCTCGTCCTGTTCAGCCCCTCTCCCGCTCGTACTGACCCCCTCCCCAAACGCCCACCCAAACACAAATCGGCTCTTTGCTGCCCGTTCTTCCTCTGCACTTGGGTCCACAACAAGTTGCACCTCCCTCGTTGCCCCTCCCTCTTCTATTCCACCCAGCACGTCCACAAAGACATCGGCCGGGATGTACGCCAGGGATACGGCGAGTGGGACGGCGCGCAGAGAGACAGCGCCCGCGTCGAGAATGGCGAGAGATGCTGCATTGAGAGCGCTGGAGCGCTCGGCGAAGGAGAGGGCGTATGGAGAAGAGGGAGAGGCGAGATCTGCTTTTGACAGGATGGTATTGGGAGGCCATAAATGTGACACGGGGCCGTCGGGGATGTCTGCCATGGAGGAGGATGTGTGATAGGAGGTGCAGGGCGAGGACAAAGACTGGATAACTAGCTGAACGAGCGATCGAGGATGTTGTGACAGGGCGAGAAGCGGGGTAAGGGCTGATATTAAGGATGCTTCGAGCGCTCTCGAAGGCGTGGCTGAGCTAGATCAGCTCACGATCGCGTTTGTGTTCGATGAACCTGGCCGGCTGACCTCCTACGCCCTCTAATGGCCGATGTGTGACCTCTAATGTAGCGCGATCCGGCAGCTCTTCTCTCAGCCGTACTTCTATAGGTCCAGCAAAAGATGCCAAGGAGGATGTCGATCCTGTGAAGAGCAATCAGCGACAGACTCCCCTCATCAGGGATCATCACCCAACGCACCGAACGAGAATCGCGCTGAGCCGTCCGCCCGCGACAAGGCGCCAAGCTTTGTTGATATCGCCCGTGTCTCAAGTGGCTGTCTGCCATCTGTGCGTGATGAGGAAGCCATGTTTGCTGTGTCTAGGGTGGTAGATAGGGTAGAAGGCAGATGTATAGCCCGTCTGAGCGACTGCAGCTTGACTTCAGAAATCCTCAACCTCCTCCACGTGGCGCGGCTTTACGCACACGGCTGATCGACGTCATAAGGTGCGCGACCAGCTTGGACGACCCCCATATAAATAGCACACCTACTCGAGTACGGGAGGTCTACGAGCCCAGTTCTAAGCTCTCGATCACGATCAGGACCAGCACAGAAGATCCCACAATGTCAAACGCAGCCGGCGCGAACCAGCCCCTCCCTGCTGAACTCGGCAAGCACCTCGAGGACAGCTTGACGCATCTCGTCGATTCCAGCAAACCGAGTGCTGTGCCCAAAACTGCCGAAGGTGCAGGTAAGCAATTGCGACTGGGTCCAAACCTTCGTGGCGCGACAGGGGAAGAAGCTGACAGGAAGCAGATACGGAGCATCCCAACGATGCGATCCATGTAGCTCCGAAGAAGGGCCGGAGCTGGATTGCTCATTTGTTCCCAAATCAGGAGACCGTCCACAATGTACGCTGAAACTGCTCCAGCCACATCATACAACCCATACGAGGAGACGAGAGCTGACTTCCGCTCAGCTATTCGCAATGGAGCACCTAGGAAACTACGTCATTGACAGGACATCAGGCAAGAAAGTCTTTGAAGCAATGCCACTCTGTAAGTCGCTGCTATACCACTGGCCGAAGCTATAAGCCATTACTAACGCCTCGAGATGTCCGAGTCGGGATGCACCTTCTCTTCATCACCGGTGTGAGCTACATGTTTCCATTGCAACACATGAGCTGATCCAGTAGAGCGGATATCTGACCTACCCCTCTATCGAGAGCTTGCTCGAGAACCAGTCCATCAAGCGTGCGTTTTACTGGCTGCTTTTCTGCGCGACGATAAGCTGACTTATCAGAAGGAGAGCTGTACGATCAGACAGGGGACGACGTCTTACCGCACATCCAAAGCTTTATCAACACGTATCAGCTCCCGCTTGACGAGCTGCTTGTGTCAGACTTGACGAAGTACCCGGTCAGCTACATCGATCCGTCGCTGTGCAGGTATGGAGCTGATACTCAGACCTTTAACGCCTTCTTCTCTCGCCGACTGAAAGCTACCGCTCGGCCTATAACCTCCCCCTCCGACCCACTCATCATCACCTCTCCAGCAGACTGCCGGCTGACCGTCTTCTCATCGGTCGACCAGGCCAAGAAGCTCTGGTGAGCTGTCCGCAGCAGGACGCAGATGCAGTGTGACCGTACGGGAGCTGACCATCCAGGATCAAAGGACAAGAGTTCTCTATCCAGTCTTTGCTCGTCGGGGACGATAAGGCCGACAAGAGCTTTTCGGCGCTCACAGAGGACCCGGGCTGCTCGATCGCAGTCGCGCGGTTGGCGCCGCAGGACTATCACCGGTACCACTCGCCTGTCGAGGGGACTGTCGTATCAATTAAGGATATCCATGGTGAGCTGCCTGTCTCCTGACATAGGGGATGTCTCAGAGCTAACATTATAGGCGAACTCTACAGTGAGCTGGCCCGTCGCCGTTGCGTTGTGAGACAACAGCTGACGATCGGTAGCGGTGAATCCCCAAGCGGTCAATGAGAGTGAGCACGAATCCGTACAGCCGGAGTCTCTTATACACAGTAGCTGATGTTGCCAGATCTTAACGTGTTCACCAGGAACAAGCGCTCCATTATGCTCATCCACGCCAACCTGGGACCTGGTCGGGAAGAGGTCCCAATAGCGCTGGTATCAGTCGGCGGTCAGTGCTTCGGGTTTATGAATGACTGAGTCCATGCTGACGGTCAGCGATGCTGGTCGGTAGTATCGGCTGGTCCAAGAAACCCGGAGATAAGATATTGAAGGGTGAAGAGTTGGGCTGGTTCCAGGTGAGCGCCGTCCCCCAATTGCCATCGCATCAGGACTGAAGACTCAGTACGGTGGCTCCACCAACATCGTCGTTTTCCCCTCTTCCGCAGGCATCCAATTTGACCAAGACCTCTGCGCCAATTCGGAAGCCAGCGTCGAGACTGTAGTCAGGGTCGGTATGGAGATTGGCGCCATCACAAAACAGTAGACTGTATATGAATGCCCGACGATAGGCGGGCGTAGATACTTTACATAGATTTGTACATGGCGGTATTCGTACAAAGGGTGATAATGCAGGGCGGGCGTGCGAAGTAGAAACAGCAAAGCCGATCATCCGCTCCGTGTGTGATGGTTCAAGTTCTTCCGGGCGATCTTTTCTGGCTTGGGGGGTTTTGCACCGCCTGCTTTGCTCTTGCCTTCTCCACTATGATGTCAGCTCTGACCTCCATGGGCAGTGGTATAGACTGGATGGCAGTTGATAGCTGGATGATTGGACATACGGTCTCAGATCCGTCTTGCCCTTCATGATTGTCAACTTCCCGCTCGACGCAGCTTGCACCATCTGCTTCTCAATCGAGTCGTTGATTTTACTCGAGAGTTTCTGGAACATCAGTCCAAGGCCAAGGCCTACAGGTCTGGTTCAGCCATAGCTCACCTTCTCTTGCGCCTTGGCCACAATCTTGCCCACCGTCTTGGGCGGCACCACAAACCTCCCTGGACGCGTCACGCCCGACTTCTTCTTGGCTGCTCCGCCGGATACGGACTTGCCGCCTGATTTCTTGCCTGCGCCTTGTGCCATCGTGTTGGTGATTGATGATAATGGTAACAAGCAAGTGCAACGCAAAGCTCAGCTCGACGTTTGGCTGCAAAAATGCTAGCTCAACGGTTACGGCATCGATCGCAAGCAACCCGTGCGTCCGTGTTTCAGAATCGCAACGTTTGTGCGAGGACATCCGGCGACGTTGGAGAGCCGAGCTGGAGGGGATGGCCGGATGGGGAGGGACGACCATGGTATGAGGAGACTATAGGCCTTGCGGAATAGAAGAATACAAAAGGGGTTAAGGAACGCTCCCCAGCAATGAGTAAGGTGCGGTCATCCCCTCACCGGGGCCGCCTTTGCTACTTCGCCGCCTCTTGCGCCATCGTGTACAGGCCAGCCCCCTCCCGGTACCTATATTCTCCTAACCAGGCCTCCAGCCTCCAGAAGAAAGGGCCAAAAGTCATCCATATCGATCTATACAAACACCCTAAATGATCTCATACTTGTCCACCGTCAACACCCTATCCATCGAGAACTCGGCCTCCGCCCCGCCCTCAATCAAATTCGCCCGCGCCACATCCACACCGACCAGCGAGCCCGCGGCGACAAAGCCGACATTGACAGGGAAGAAGGCGTCTGCGTCACCCTCGCACTTGAACTCGAGGGAGCCCGAGGGGTTTTCGGACGAGATGGAGGGGATCGTCCAGAGGAAGGCGGCGCGGTCGGCCGACCAATCTGCGTCTGGGGTGGAGACGGATGGGAGGGCGTCGGCTCTGGTTTGTCAGTACAGCACCAGAGTCGGAGACGAGAAGAAGAGGAGACTCACGGGATAGGAATAGAAATGACGACATTCTGCAAGTCCAAATGCCCCGCCTCCAGCTCATACTCTACCGCCACGTCGCTACTCCCATCTCCTCTCGGCTGCGGCCAGACGGTGACGTTCAGCGGTACCCTGCTCTCATCCTTGCCTGCCACGCGCCATCTGAGCACACCCAGCCCCTGACCGACCGGGAAGGCGCGCGAGGGGTCTTTGAGCGCAATGACCTTATCGCCGGAGGGGGTAAACTTGGCTACGTTGGGGTGTTGCTTGAATTGGAGGTCGGCGTAGTCATTAGAGGCGAGTGTGAGGCGGATTTTGGACACTGCAGCGTCCGAGACGCGCAGATCCAGGTCGCCCTTGAGCTCGAGGTTTTGGCACCCGCCGTCCCGGAGGAGTGTGACGGATAGTGTTTCTTTGATGGTAACGTGGACACTGTGGGTCAGCAGAATCCCCCAAGAAAGCAAAAGACATACCTCTTCTGCTCGACCTTCTCGATGATATCCGCAGACACTTCCACCGCGGCGGGTTCTGGCTCCGGCACCCGCTGATACGGCACCGGTTGTGGTTCCTCCTCCCTCTCGACCTCTCCACCCAGGACCGAAGTCAACTCGCTCCCCTTCTTCTTGCCCAACTTCATCCCTGTACCCTTGAACGCCGGCTTCTGGACTGACGGCTGCGCCGCGGGACTTGGTGTCCTGTACTCTGGCACGCTCGCCTCGAACCTCGGTGCCGGCGTGTATCCACCCGCCATTCCTCCGCTGCCACCTCCGTTGCCCATACCGCCCCCATACCCCCTTGTCGCCTGGTTGACGCGCTGCTGCTCCCTCCGCTGCATCTCGAGCTGCTTTGCCCGCCGCTTCAACTCCTCCTTTGCTTCCGCCTCCTTGTTGCGCGCAATGATCTCCTGGATCTTCTCCTCGTGCGACTCTCCCTCGAGGACGTTCCGGACCTGCGCGAGCGAGACGTTCTCCTTGTATCCGAGCGAGACGACCTCGTCGAATGCGCATAAGAGGTCGAAGGAGTGGTGTAGGATTGCCGGCTCGGACATGGCGGGTGTAAGAGATGAAATGATCCGGACAATCAAGTTGAGGGTAGCAATGTCCTATACATCAGCTCTGCAACTCGTCTATTGAGGAAGACGCACCTGCAAGATGTTACTGCCCTTGTTGGTGATGAGCAGGACATACAGCTCCTCGAATGGCTGATATACAAAGCGGACATCCGCGGTCTCCACGGTGGTATGCTGCGAGTTGGCCGGGATGAGCTTTGGGAAGGCAGCGAGGAGGCCATCTATCCGGGACCGCGGCAAGGGGCGGAAGTTGCGCGCGAGCAGGGCTGGCGGGTCAGCTTGAGCCTTGATGAAGCAAGTGAAGCTCACGCTTTCCGCTGCGAGTGCAGATAGCGGCTGAGAGGACGACCTGTGGGTCAGCTCTGCCTGTGATGAGCTGCTTACCATCTTGTCTGTACTATGCTATAGGTGTATGCTGTCTATGGTGGTGAGCATTCCTTGACTGAACGTGGAGAGCCGAGGCGCGTCGCTGCACCGAGAAGGGATAATTCCGGCAATCGCCGCAATGTGGCAGCTGAGCTGAGCTTGCCTCGTTCCTCCCCCTTGCCTTCTCTTCTCTTCTGACTATATACATTGCATAGCTGTCATACCTTTCCCTATCTCTCTGTCTCTTTCCTCTCTTTCTCTCTCTCTCTGGTGCTAGGCTCGGCTCGGCTCAATCTCTCGGTCACTCTTCCGGTCTAACTCGCTCGCTCGATCTCTCTTCCGGGTAGTCGCCAATCTCTTTCCACTTCTCCTCATTTCTCTCGATCCCTTTCTTCCCTCTCACCATGGACGCCAACGGCACCTACACAGGCTTCGGCCTTACTCCGGCTCAACAAGCCGACACCCCCAAAAAGCCCCATCTCTACATCGGCAACCTCTCTCCCCGGGTCACAGACTACATGCTCACCGAGATCTTTGCCGTCGCTGGCCCCGTCGTCCAGGCCAAGATCATCCAGGACCGCACCTTTTCGCACGGCGGCTTCAACTACGGCTTCGTCGAGTATGCGGATATGCGCAGTGCCGAGCAGGCACTCACGACGCTGAATGGGCGCAAGATATTCGATGCGGAAGTGAGGGTCAACTGGGCGTATCAGAATCAGACAAAGGAGGACACGCAGCATCACTTTCACGTGTTTGTGGGGGATCTCAGTCCGGAGGTCAACGACGAGGTGCTGAGCAAGGCGTTTGGCGCGTTTGGGACCATGTCGGAGGCGAGGGTCATGTGGGATATGAACACGGGCAAGTCGAGGGGGTATGGGTTCTTGTCGTTCAGGTGAGTTGTCCCGGCCGTAGGATGGCCGCCAAGCTGACTGAGTAGGGAAAAGCCAGACGCAGAGCAGGCTATCCAAACGATGAACGGCGAATGGCTCGGCTCTCGCGCTATCCGCGTTAACTGGGCCAACCAGAAAACCCAGACTGGCCGAGTCGGCGGAACGGGTGGACCTGGCGCACCTCCCGGACCCAGCGGCGGCGCCAGCCCCAGCATGGGCATGCCACCTCCCATGGGCGGCGTATCACCCATGGCCTACGTCCCTCGCAATCCCATCGCCGCAACCCCCATGGCCATGCCGCCTCAACACATGGGCATGTCCCACTCGCCCGCTCCTGGCTCATACCACACCGCCCCTCCCCTCCCATTCGACCAAGTCCTCCTCCAGACCCCCGAATACAATACCACCGTCTATGTCGGAAACCTCATCCCATACACTACCCAGGCAGACCTCATCCCCCTCTTCCAGGGCTACGGCTACATTGTCGAGATCCGCATGCAGGCGGACCGCGGGTTCGCGTTCATCAAGCTCGACACGCATCAGAATGCCGCGCTGGCCATTACACAGCTGTCAAACCAGCTCGTACATGGTCGACCGATCAAGTGTAGCTGGGGGAAGGACAAGGCGCCGGACGGGCACCCAGGTACAGGCGTTGCGGCTCCAGGGATGACTGCGCCGCCTCAGGCCCCACAAGGACAATACGGAATGGTAAGCTGTCCTTTGTGGTCGGACCTGGACCTAGCTGACTGTTATAGCCAGCAATGAACTACCCAAATTACTACAACTACAACCAACAACAGCAATACACGTACGCCCAACAAGGCATTCCCGGCCAGCCGGGATCACAAGCTGGCGGACCTTCTTCTGCCGGCGCAGCACCAACGCCCGACTCGGCGCACCAAGCATCCATGTCTCCACAGTCTCATGCAGTCACGCCGGGCGCGGGGGCGGGATCGGGGGGATGGGATCAGGCGGCGCAGGCGGCTTACTACCAGACGGCAGGATGGGGAGGGTACTATGGTGAGTCTCTATCTCTCTGCCTCAAGGTTGCGGGATAGGTGCTAATCTAGCAGCACCCCAGGAGGGCGGGCAGACTCAATGAGTCGGAGATTTGATCATAGCGCCGTCATGGGCCTGTTCCGAGACAGGAGCGGCCGGGTGGTAGCCGGGTGGAAGTGTACGATAGGGGAGTGTGGAGCCGAGCCGCTAGAGTTGGGTACAGGCCAGCGAGTACATTGCGCTATTCAAGGATGTCCGCCGAGCCATGTATACACATCCTATCCGCTTCTTGGCAGCGACTGACCTCTTTTGCCTACTGATTTGAACTTGATGTGATCATGAGATCGATGAGTTGCTCCGCAGATCGCAAGCGAAGCGCAGGTGAAGTCGCGTGATTGACCAGAAGAGAAACGAGCAGCGAGAGTGTTGCGGTCGGCGGCGTTTGCTGAAAAGGGCGCTTGGCATGCGGAGAGAGCGAGATAGGCCATCACCATATAAAGGATACACGAGTTGCCAGGACTCAGGATCATGCATAGGGTACTGACTCGAAAAGACAGCACAGGAAATGGGAGTACTCAAACTACGAAGTAGTCGCAGCACTCCATAGCAAGGGGACACCGGTATCATCATCGCTGCTCATGTCCATCGAAGGGCCGCCCGACGCTTTCTCCCAAACCGGCGCAAAGGCGGCCTTCTGCTCCGCGGGGGCGTCTTTCAGGAAAGATTTCACCCAGTCCGGTTCGTTCCTCGTCACCCCCTTCTTCCATGCGCGTTTGGGGTCAATGGAAGACTTTGACTCGGCCGTCGCCCACTTCCGCGCCTGATCTCAGAATTTAAGCTGGGTAAGCGGAGTGGAGGGACCATCGAAAAATCCCCAAACCGCCATCACATCCTTCTTGTTCTGCTCGCGGACGACCGCCTCCGTGCCCTTGGTAGTGCCGTCCTTGTCGTTCGAGCGACTCCACTGGTAGGGCTTGGAGAGATCCTCGTAGAGGTCCCAATTCGTCTTAACGTAGTACGAGTTGGACATGATGTTTGGTAGTTGTAAGGTGAGAGTATCTGTGAGTAGATCGCGAAGTGGCGAGATAAGATAAGGTAAGGACGTGGAAATGCTACATCGCTATCCACCCTCTTCTAGTACCAGCGGGGACACGAAGGCACACTCGCCAGGGGTGTCAGATTGTCACTAGACAAAAGATCTTCAGTGTCAAATTGTGCTGTGTTGCAACATGTGACTGAAAGGAAGACTTCCATCTGGAATACTCCACGAGACGATCAGCTCCTACCGGCGTATGCGGTATGCGTTGTCAAAGCAATGACCAAGGTCAGAAAGTGTATAAATCTAGGCAAGTGTAAGTGTGCAAGTGTAAGCGTAAGCGTAAGCGTAAGCGTAAGCGTAAGCTTAAGAGATAGGTCTAATCAGTACGGTAGTATTTGGCATCACCAGCCTAGCTGCCCATACTTCTCAGTTCTCACCCCTCCACTACACAAACGTCACTCTGAGATGGACGTTCCAATCCCCTACTGAATGTATGATTAGCCTCTCTCGGTCCTCGCTCCTCGCGCATCTTTCTACTTTTCTGCTTCAGTGTCCTTCTTTTTCGGTCCCCCAAATCGAATCTTGATACCCCCACCCGCCATAGGTGCCACAGCGGCACTCGGTCCAGCTGAGCTCCACCCCTCCCCCTCCGGAGGCGCGAAAACCGACGGTGGAGCCGCGCCTGCCTCCGGTAGCTGACCCGACACCGACCCCTCAGGCGGCGGCTGCCACCCTACCACGACCTTTGAACTCGGCGGCGGCTGCCAGCCCGTTATCTTGATACTCCGCGCGCTCGATCCGGACGCGGGAGACGGATGCGAATGGTTCGTATCCGGTGTAGAAGCGGGGTGGGTGGGATTGGAATGGGGTGTGTCGGTACGTGGGGGTAGACCGGCGAAGGAGGGAGAGAGGCGGATCCGGGGTGTGGATATAGGAGGAGTTGGGGAGAGACCGTCTGTCCGGCCCATGGTTGGAGGGGTTTGCGAAGGTATACGGAGACTGATAGATCCTGGGCGTTTCTCCACTCCTTCGACTGAAGGAAGGGCATGGGAAGGACCAGCACCTGGGGACTGTTCCCACTCCATCCCTTGTCCGTGTCCTTGCGCCTGCGCCTGGGCGCCCGGCCAAGCCGGAGGAGGGATGAAAGACGGACTTCGATCCAACCTGAGTTTGATCCCCGTCACGCCTCCCTGCTTCTTCTCCGCCTCGCTCCCTCTCGGCACATCCTCCCCTACTGCACTTTTGACCACCTTCTTTCCCGATGGTAGTTTCCCCTTGTACTTTTCCGGCCCCCTCGGTCCCACATCCCACGTATACCGATAATACGCCTCTTGGTCCTTCCCGTCACCCTCCGCCCCGTCCCCGGCTGGCGGTTTCCCCCGAGCCTTATTGAGCATCCCGGCGTCTGGGCCACGCACGGGATCGCCGTAATATATCGGCTTGCCGTCTTCGTCGTTGAGCGCCAGGGGTGGGCGGAGGGATATGAGCCTATCTCGTAGTGTAGGTGGAAGATACGGGGACCGCATCTCTCTTACGAGGCGGGCAAGGATACCGGTCGGGTTGGGGTTGACTTGGACGGTGGGTGGAGGGAGGGTGTCCGAGGCGGAAGCGGAAATGATGAGCCCCGCAGGGGAAGGGATGGGTCCGGAATGGGTGTCGGATACGCCGAATATGTCTGGGGGGGCTATGACCCGCCGGAGCAGATCTGCGGCCTGCATACGCAGGGGCGTTTGAGCGAAGGAGACGGAAGGCTCGGCAGCGATCGCCTTGTAGGTAGCGAGGAGGGCGGGGAAGGAGGACGAGGGAGGTGGGATGGAGGCGGGGGACGGGTGTGGAGGGGGCTCGATAAAGTTGGAGGAGGCGAGACTGGAGGATGTGAAAGGTTGGCGAGTGAGATATTTGTCCATGAGAGACAGCTTATCTTGTGGCACAGCGGCGGCTTCGGCGCCATGTACGTTGCTGGGTAATGTGTCCGCCGGGTCGAGAGTCTGACGGAGGACTCCCGAGGGTGCTGAGTTGCCAGGTAAAGGCGGTAGCCACGAGAAGTCGGGTGACGGTGGACGAACATAGGTATATCGTGGCCCGGATGATGAGTCGAAGTCGATATGGGGTTTGACTTCATCCTCCTCGCCCTGGTCCACCTCCATCGACTCATCTTCTTCCTCCGTGGATTCATCATCTGATTCCTCCATGCCTAGGGGAAGATCCGAATTCCGGACCAGCTTGAGCTCCGCCAGCGCATCCGGCAGCTCCATGCCCTGACTAAGCTGTTCTAGCAGAGTCAGCAGAGGTACACACCTAGTGCATACAGCTGATTAGACATACCGCCCAGATCCTCGAATCCACCAGCAAACGACGCCTCTTCTTTCCTGCTCAACCACCATCCTTCCAATTCTCCAACTCCCTGACCTAGCTCCCCTAGTACCTCGACGACATCCCCAGCACCGACCTTGCTCCTACCCGCCAGAGCGGCCTGCTCAGTGCATGCCTGCGCGACTGTCCGGAGGTACTTGGCCGCGATGGACGAGAGAGTGAGCGAGGCAGCTCGGGAGGTGGACGGGAAGCCGGCGGTCGAGAGGATATGCAGGGTCGCCAAGTGGAGGAGAGCATCTGGGGAGGGCGATGCAGACGCCATCGTCAGGTACACCCCTTGCTAGCTTATGGATGTCTAGTTGAGATACAGTAGGGCTGTTGTTGCTGCCTGCTCTGCCTGCTCGAGCTCGAGGAGCTGGTCGCGAGGTATGGACGCACGGACTGCCCCCCTGCCGGCGATGACCGAAGCTGCTAAAAGTGCCACACTGTCGGAGATTATCGGAGAATGTCCGTTTGGGTGGAGGAAGAAGGGTGAGATGGTCGAGTGAGGTCAACGGAAGCAGATGGGAAAAATGTGTGCGCTGGTTGGTGGGTGCAGGCACAGGAGGCGGGGTGTGGGGTCTACATCCCTTTCTACTTCTTCCTTTGGTATATACAACTCACTCCTACTCTCAAACACCCCGCTTATACATACCCAGTGAGGCCCTCAGCGAGGAAATCGACTCGAAAGACGAGCTGACCCAGGCAGAAAATGTCCGACGACGAGAACCACGAGACCTTCGAGGCTGCCGGGGCTGGTGCGGCCAAGACCTACCCGTGAGTATAGGGTTGTGTACAGCGCTTCTATTGAGTAGGAAGAGTGGAAGCTGATGACCCCCCAGCCTCCAGTGTTCCGCCCTCAGGAAGAGCGGTCACGTCGTCATCCGGGGCCGCCCCTGTAAGATTGTCGACATGTCCACCTCCAAGACCGGCAAGCACGGTCACGCCAAGGTGCACATGATTGCTGTTGACGTGAGTATTGTCCGCCTGGACAGGGAAGATAGCAGTGGAGAGCATGGGGAAAGAGAAAGTCGAAGGTCTTTGGACGGAGATGGGATGCCCGGGATCGGCTTGAGGGGCCTGAAGGGGAAAGGGATGGGTTGAGAGGCTCGAAGATACATATGGGGTTGTGAAGACATATGGGGTTGTGAAGACATATGGGGTTGTGAAGATGGGGCTGGGCGGTGCCGGTGCTCGCGTTGGACCATCGGCGCATGAAAAGAGCTCATAACTGACATTCCAGATTTTCACCGGCAAGAAGCTCGAGGATATCTCTCCCTCCACCCACAACATGGAGGTCCCCAATGTCCGCCGTTCCGAGTACCAGCTTCTTTCCATTGACGACGTGAGTATTTGCGTCTATAGTGTTACGTCGTATTCTAGCTGATATCTGTAGGGCTTCTTGAACCTCATGGACTCTGACGGAAACGCCAAGGACGATGTCAAGGTCCCCGACTCTGACCTCGGCAAGGAGATCACTGCCGCCTTTGATGCCGGCAAGGACCTCATGGTCACTATCATCGCTGCCATGGGTGAGTTGTCTGGCTCCCCGTGCTGGTGAACATAGCTGACATGACAGACGAGGAGCAGGCGATGTCCTGGAAGGAGGCCCCCGAGGGCAAGTAAATGGCTCGACCACTCCCCTATCTCCCGTGACATCACCTATAGAAACCCAACACCCTCCGAACACGACATTCTCCACACCTTCCCCCTCTGCAGTCTAGCATTATCGGCGATTTGATGATTAGCTGGAATCAACCAACCTTTTTTTTACATAGCATGATAGTCTTGTCGCGATGAGAGACAGTGCAATTCAACGAGGGAGCGAGTGGCTTGACGTTGATCAGGGGCTGTGCCTATCTCAAGGTTCTGGTGTCTATACTGATCTGCTCTGATTGTTCCTGACGATTGTTGCTTTGATCCCCGACCAGGGCCTCGGGATGGAACGGCAAAGTCGTTTCGGAAAGGCCGTTCGAGCTGGTTGAGGATCTACCTAAAGCAGACTATCCACTCTCGAGGTCTGAGCTATCGCTGGGGCCACATCAGCGCTCCCCAGCTCGTATGCAGTCCAGATAGACAGACTTAGTTTCCTAGTTCCTGCAGGTACATTCTCTGTGCTTGGGCGGTGCCTTGGCGAACAGAAAAAGTGGAGGTCGGCCGCGGGCGAGATTCGCGTCTTTGCATTGCGACTTTGCCTCAACCACACATCGTCCATTTCATCTGCCGCGCAGCAGGTACGATCACGAGCGATGTCACACGTAGACGCCTCATCTTCGATCTTGATCCTGCATGATGAAGCGCTGGATCCGCTACCGTTCCTCCAGCGTGAGTCTCAGGGCGTACCCCTTCAATTCAACTTCGTGCTGTCAAATCAGCCGCTTAGTGTACCTCTCAAGCAACGATTGGTATCTGGGCTAGTACTGACGTGAGACAGGCTTGACCTCGAATGCGTCACTACAGCTGGAGGAGGAGCCAGTGTGGGACATTGACAACAAGTACTATACCGCCTCTGTCCGCTTCGACACCGAGGCGATCAGCCTGCACTCGGAAGCAACGGGGTTGAAGCCGGGCGTACCGGTCATTCTCTACTTGTTCACTGGCACTGTATGTCTTCGCTATAGAGCTGATGGGCGCCGTGCTGATCGGATCAGCCTCCCAACCCACTACCGCCGTACCTAACCCGGATTATCACTTCCGAACCGAGAGATATCGCTATTGCCGTACGCGTCTTGGCTGGACACGCACCAACCGGGAGCGACAACCTGGGCGGCACAGACAATGAAGGGGATGAAGTAAGGGACCAGGCGGCACACCAGAACGAGGCAGAATGGGACGAGGTGGAGGAGATGTTTTCAGAGCTGGGGATGGAGGTGATAGACGAATGTGCCACGGATGATGAGGCTTGTGAGTCGTTCCATAAGGGGTTTGCATCTATTCTGCGCTGGGGCTTCTCGCTGATTGTACAGCACTAGACCCACTGGAGGAAGTACGGATAACGATACAAACGCACATGTGGCCCAATATGGTCCGGAAACCGCTCGCTACGCGGACAGCCATGGATCTGGACTTTGACGACGACGAGCTGGAAGAAGGGAGCGGAGAAAGCGAATACGCGGATGAGCCTTCTGCGGAATTCGAGACGTCCTTCGCTCGGCCCACAGGGGGACTTTCCCGGGGAGTGTCGGATACCGAGGGTATCGACGCAGCCGGGGGAAGCGACGCGGACGAGCAAGCCCTCTGGTCGAAGGAGTGGGAAGGCATCTCAACGCCAACCCGACTGGCCGCGCAGGCGCAATTCCCGAGCCTCGAGACGCTCAACCAGCAGCTGGCGGAGACGGCGCGAATGTTTGCGCAGCTCAAGGTGGAGCGGGACGCGGCGGAGGTGAGGCGGATGGAGAGGCTTGAGCGGCTCGAGAGGGCTCTGGAGGAGGATTCTGACGAGGAATTGGATGATGGGGAGGACGAAAGGAGTGGTCTACGATTTGAGGAGGAGTCAGGTCCGGGGCAAGGGGAATGGGAGAGGTTGGAGGATTGGTTGGACGGGGATGAGGATGGGCAGGACGATCCATGGGGAGGCGAAGGAGGGGGCTATGAAGCTCTGGACGATGGCGAAGACGGAAATGGGGACGATGAAGGACCGAAGGCGCAAGCATCTGGAGAGACCGACCGGACAGCACAAGCACCACTCGAGGTCGACGGTCCTTCATCACCACGGCATAACCCGGCACTCTCACACGCTTACTCACCATCACATCCTGCCTCTTCTGCCACTACAGATAGCCATCCACCAGACGGCTTCGATGACGACTTCTCCGACTTCCATACCGCGCCTTCCTCGTCCGCTCGCGCGGCCGGCCAACCCAAAGTCCGGCTCAACAAGAATGGTATCCCCGCATCACTACCTATGGACCCTACACCGTTACTACTGCATCTGCAGAGCGTACGGGCGGAGCTGGCGGGTGTGCCGGACGAGGACGAGCGGAGGGTCCGGGCGGCGAGGGAGGTGATGGCTGTCTTGGGGCTGGAGGGGGATGGGCGGGATATGTGGGATGAGGGGGACGAGGATGATGAGCTGGGACGAGATATGATATGACGGCGGTACTGCAACGATTCATACGTACCAGCTGTCTCCGTCCGCTGTAGGCCCTCCTCCCCCGAGCCTCTGTTGCCCGATGCGTCTCTTCCAAGCCGCAGGGATGCCTCTAACGGAATGTGACGTGTCCGCGTGTTTCAGAATTCTCCGAAATAAGCTTAACCACCTTTGGCCTTGGGCGCTTCGCGTCCGCATTCCTCGACTGTACTTCATCTTGCCAATCCGACTGTACAGCGCCAGAGCAGCTAGCTAGACTTCGCAAGAAGTAGAGACGGACCATCACGGTCGTAGAGAATCGCGTAGACTCCGAGATTAGTCTAGGCTCCGCACGATCAAGATGCCTCCCAAACGACCCCCTCCTTTGCCCAAGACGCTGTTCGAGGCGAATGGCCCTCTTGCGCCTGGTACGTCCCTTCGCCCAGTATGAGAGCCACTGAGGCTCTACAACTTCGGTATGATACTGATGAACTAGGCTCCGCCAAGCCGCCTCCGTCTCCCAACAACGTGCACCCGGCGTATCTGATCGATGCCCACTCGCACTCCTTTGTCAGCGGCTCCTCGCAGGAGATGTACGGCCTGCTCTCGCCCGGTATGCCCCGACCGCCCATCAAGACTGCGGTGCATGTCGTTCTTGACTCGGACGACCAGTCTCCTCCAAGCTCGTACGTGCTCCGCGGCCCTAGAGGCCGAAAAATAATGAAGCTGATCTACCTAGTTCCGCCTCGCCAAAGCCGATGTCTATCCACCCGACTATCCTCAACCTGTCGAGCCCCGCTCCGCCGAGCATGACCAATATTGTTCACTCGGCTATCGACCTGGTCGTTCCCTCGACGGTGCCCCTTACGGAGAAGGAATGGGATCTGCTAGATGAGGCGGTGCTTGCGCTCGAAGGGAGCTTGGGGACTGCCGGGCTTGCCACTGGGCTGGAGAAGGCGGAAGTCAGTGATAAGGAGGCCGACACGAAGGCAAAAGAAGGAGATGGGCACGGGAAGATTGTGATCTGTAAGTTCTGCAGGACCCGCCGAGGCTGGAGTTGCACTGACGCCTATAGCCGGTCTGCTCCCCCCTCCTCTGACTACCGACTCTGACACGCTCGCCAAGGACCCAGAGTACGACACGTACATCGGCAGACTGAACCAGCTGTCCCTCCATTCCAGCGTGTACCTCAAGGCGCTCCCGCCGGTGATTCGTGATGGACAGTCAGGCGAGTGGGTGTCGGACCGTAAAGAGCTCGAAAGGGTACTGAGGATGTACTGTGAGTGTGATACCTCAAACCTACAGATCCGAGCTGACCTTCAGTGTCGCCCGCCATCGAATCGTTCGGTACCCATCGTATCATCTTTGGCACCGCGCCCGCTACAGCCCCCACATCGTCTGGCGCCTCCTCGTGCCCGATTAGCGAGACGGAATGGTACGCTGTCCTCCGAAAGGCAGTGACGGAGCTCGGCGAGGGGGCCGAGGCGGTTGATGGGATCTTTGGCGCCACGGCGGCCAAGGTGTATGACTTGGAGACTTAAATTATGCGTCGGCTTGCCGGAGTGGAGAGCGTGGACGTCGGTGAAGAAAGAAATGTATACATTGGTCGCTTCTTGAGGTTTGGGTATGCGCATCCATATTAGCCTTCCGGAGAGGATGTGAAGGTGCAGAGAATCTAGGGCTATATCTGGGACAAGAGCGAGTGGCGAGGTCCTGATAGCTGGACCATGCAGCTAGCTGCCTGACTAGATGTCATGCGCGCTCCGCCGATGGCCGAACTCTGCCCGCGCGAAGCTTATTTGGCTTATCCAACCACCAAGACCTCGCATCCCTCTGCACATCGCTCATCTATCACATCGGCACTAAGCTAGACCACATAACATGCTCTCCGAACTCCCAGAAGAGGTCCTGTCGTTGGTAGCTTTCCACCTGTGTCAGCCGCCCACTCGGCCCCTACCAGGCCCTGTTTTGGGCGACGCATCTCGCTGGATCGCCTCACCCACCAATCTCCTCCGTACTTCCCGACTCATCAACTCCGTCATCTCCCCCACTGCCAATCCGGAGCTATACGCTCGGATCTTCCGCGCCAACTTTGACACCGCCGCCGTCTTCAGGCGATTGGGCGATGGGCCGAGTACCCGCAAGATCCGGGCGAGGGAGATGACGGCCGAGCTGAAGCGGCGGGTGAGGGCTCTCTCACGTTTGAGGGAGATGATGGATAGGAAGGAAGTGCAGCGTATTGGGGAGGAGGAGATGTGGGTGATCTACGTGATGTTGGTGGAGAATGGTATGTCCCTATCCGCGGGCACAGCTAATTGGGTAGATGGGAAGAACCTGGAACACCTCACAGCTCCTGCTGCGCCGTTCCAGCTTTACGAATTCATCGACCTGTACATTACCCAGGTCATGGAACCCATTTGTCTGCTGTCAGTCATGCCGCCCGATGGGGCACCTCAGGCGCTCTTCACCTGGATCCTATGGCTGGTCTTGTCCCATTGTGAGTGCCCCGTCTCCAGTCATGATGCCTCTGGCCGTTCGGCCCGTTTATCAAGTGCCGCTTAACAAGCTAATTGGTGAGGCCCATCGGCGGAACACTTCAGCAGCCGATTAAGCAGGCTGTATGTCCTGCGGCCCTACGTCTTCGCCTCGCACGCCTACACCATTTTCTTGGCACCCTGGACCATCAACGACCTCCCCACCAACTCCGCACCAGACGTCGCGCCCATGGGCAATATCTTCGTCGCGGATCTCAAGCCCAGGCAGACCGGCGTCGAGGTGGAGTGGTACGGACGGCGGATCAAACTCAGCCCACCACAGCTCGCCCAGGGGGCCATCCTGAACTTCTTCGACCGACGGTGCGGGAACCGCAGTTACAGGGCGGATGACGAGGATGAGGACGACGATATGGAGGATGACGAGGATGAGGAGGACAGCGATGCGGGATCGGACCTGGTAGTCAAACGCAACATCCTCAATTCGGCCATACACGATCGGGACTTTATACGGTTGACGAAATGCCACGACCCGATCCATGGCGCCGGGATGTCCCGGAAGAGCTGGCGGGATAGCTTCAATGGAGTCTGGGAAGGCAATTTCAGCTTCTTTGACTTTGACGCCTTCAAGGCGATGCTGGCGGGGCAGAGGAAGGCGTTGTACGAGGGGCAGTATGGCGAGCAAAGACAGGTGTGGCGGTTGGTCGAGACGTATGTCCGGGTGAAACGGGCGAGAGACGTCGAGTTGGAGGTGAAGAAGGAAGTCAAGCCAAAGGTGGAGGAAGAGATGTACACCTTTGAGGAGGACGAGGGGGAGTGGCAGGAGGAGGAGAACGACCAGGCTGTAGAGCAAGAGGAGGAGGCGTCACCTCGGAATCGGACGAAACTGCCTCTGAAGGGACCGTCGACGAATGCCGGATTCCCCGCCGATTCGCCACCTACCACTCGCGCCGGCCTGGCGTCTGCTCAGGCGGAAGAAGAGACACTCAAGGAGACACTTGTCCAGCAGGTCGAGGCGATAGAGGGATACGAGGTGGTGCCCGAGGCGGAGCTGGACGCGATGCTGGACAACCCGGATGAGGAGAGCGGGCTCGAGTTGCTCTTGACGGGTACGGGACACTCGGCATGGGGCAGCTTCATTCTGAGGGGAAGGGTCAGAGCGTGGGACGGTATGGCCAGCATGGTCAAGGAGTACTCTGTGAGTAAGAATGATGATAGCGCTGATGATAGCCCGACTCCCGCGGGAAGTGGATATACAGAGGGTATATCGTCGCTGGCGACACCATGGTGGGCCGATGGCGGGACACGTTCACGCCAGAGGAGTATGTTGGATACGAGGGCGCGTTCATCTTGTCGCGTCGATAGATCTATCGTCTGGCTTCGCGGGCGCGCACGTGCCGGACCTGTCGATCATCTTGTTGTAGCCAAACATCATGCATCATCTGCCACCGTCGATAAAGCCCGCTTGTAATCCCTTTGCACCCTCCACGGCCAGACTCATCCGCTGTACGACCTTCCCTGTCCGTTCCTTGACATACTCCTCCATTTCCGTCTTGAGCACCTTGCACGCCTCCACGCCGAGCACCAGCATCTCCTCGAATCGGTCGACGTGAAGCCGTGTTTCCATCTGAGCCAGGGTGATCTTGCCTGAATTTGGGAGAGAAGCGACGACGAGAACTGGGAGGTCCATTTCTTCCGGAGCAGAGAGGTCGAGGAGGGGTTGGGTGAGGTGGAGACCGATCGAGACGGAGGAGATGTAGTCGAGCATGGCGATACCGGCGTCCACTAGTGCCAGTGTTGTGGCGTTGATGGCGGTGGGCAGAATACCTTCTGTCAGCTACGTCGGAAGCTAGACTCACCTCCATCGGCAGACACGACTTGAACATTGATGAATAACTCGGAACGGGGGTAGAGATGGGTCATTACGACCGGTTCAAAGGTTTGCCGTATTGATGCCCCGACTTCTGCTAATCGCCTGAAATCAGCTCCATTCCTTGCTTGGGCTCACTTATCGCCTCTGGCCCGTCGCTGTGCTCCTGTACCTGCCCAGGGAGCTACGCCGACCTCGACAGCTATGACCGCCCGATCATGGCTCGAGCTGGACCGTTGTCGGGGTTCGCGAGGACCAAAGACTGAGACGCTGACGGTTGTGAGACCTTGAGTGACCGTAGCGGATCCGTCGGCAGTGGGATGTGGGGAGAGGTGGAACGACATGGATCGGAGCTCGTATGGTCTGCGAGCATCATGGCGGAGTCCTGCTCTGTCAGGGCTGTCCTCGGACACTTGATCTGATTGATCTTGGACTTACCGCCATCGTTCAAGATCTCCAGCCGTGATGAAGAAGCCATTTTTGCGGATAGATCAGGTGCAGAGTGTTTCTGACTGAAGGGTGCGCGTGCTATGAGGGTCTACAAAGCCTGATTGAGATGCGATATGAGCGAGAAGTATGGTTGATGCATCGATGGCGAGGACAGGCAGACAAGAAGTCAAAATTATGTCGGTTCCGGGGGCAGTCTGTCAACATCCCTCCAGGCCACCAACACGCGACATACCGCGCAAGGACAACGGTCCACTGAGTCACACCACAGCTGACCATCTAGCTATCGTACCTGTTCCTTTATACACCCGCCTAAGCATATGTAGGCGTCAAAGTCGCCTATCCAAAGTATCATGGCGACCTACAATCCTCTGCAGCTCCTCCCGCTTCCGCCGACACGCGCCGACCCCAAGCCCATCCCCTCGGCTATCACCATCGACCCGTTCTCGGACCTCGTCTGGGTCGGGACGTCCTCCGGCAGCGTCAGCGCCTTCTGCAATCCGCTCCAGCTCGCCCCGAACGTCCGCTTCCCGGCGCACGGTTCCAGCGTACCCGGCCTCGGCTTTGTACCTGGCTTCAATGCCGGAGTGAGGGAGATCCGCGTCACGGACCGGGAGATATGGACGTTGACGGAGGGCGGTGTGGGCGGGCGGAAGAAGGGCGGACAGCCAAGATGGAGTGTTACGGACCCAATGAGGGGGATGAGGAGTATGAGTCCTAATCCGCTCAACTCGCATGAGCTGCTTGTGGGCGGGGTGGGGCAGATGATGCTCGTCAATACATCCAAAGGGGATGTGGTACGCAGAGTGAGTTTATTCCTCCTGCGAAAGTACTGGCGTAGTAGCTGATAGTCAGTTTGACTCTCTTCCAGTGGTCCACCTTGCACCTCTGCAACGTACTGTCTTGTCTGCTCTATCTTCCGGATCTATCAGTATCCTCGATCCTCGGACTGGTTTCAAGGCAGCTTCGACTATGCAGTCACATACCGGCGGAATCAGCGGAGCGGACGCCAATGGCCATCTGATATGTACATGGGGCTGGACACATATGTGAGCCCAAATCAGCGGCTCAGCTGACAAACAGGCAAGGCCGACCTCTGCCCGACCCCCTTGTCCGCCTGTACGACATCCGGAATCTCCGACCCCTCGCACCTATCAGTTTCGGTCCCTCGCCCTCCTTTTGCCTTCTCCACCCTACAAACGCCTCCGAGCTCGTCATCGCTTCGCAAACGGGCACGATGCAGACCGTCGATCTAGGAACAAATCCAGGCGGATACCAGCAGCTCGACGCGTCCTATGTCACATCTATGGCGTTGTCCCCTCTCGGCGACTATCTGGCATTCGGAGATGCCGAGGGTCAGCTTCATCTCTGGACTACACATGATACGGCGGATGTAAACGGCGCAAAGCCGCCGTTCAACGGGTATGAGGGCTTGAAGCCAGAATGGCCAGACCAGGTCGACCCCCCTACGACTGCGCCATTCGACGACTTTACACCCCTCAACATCATCGGCATGCCGCACTACACCGAACCTCTTCTCTCCAACATCCCTCTGTCGGATTACGCGCCCGTCACTTCCCCATTCTTCAACCCGCCAGAACCCGTCCCCGCGCCCATCCTCGCCGCGATGAAGATGACGGATATGATTGGATATGCGACCATGCCCCGGGAGCTCAAGGGGAAACGATACGTCCGGACTGCTCGGCCGGGCGCGGGAAAGTGGGCAACAGGAAAGGGATGGACGACGGCGAGAAAGGAGAGCGGGCCAAAGTTTCGGAGCGAGAAGGAGAGGTTGAAGTTGTCTGGATCGAGAGAAGCGGGCGAAGAGGAGGTGAGTCCCATTGCTCGCCGATGCTGATTGCAGACTGTACCCGGACAGGTCCCAAAGCATTGTCGGAAGGTGGAGATCAAGTATTCCAAGTTTGGCATTGAGGACTTCGACTTCGGGTAGGTCGGCTCTTATGGCTTAGCTGACAATAGCTACTACAACTATACCGAGTACTCTGGGCTGGAGACCGACATACTCAACTCGTACACCAATGCCCTGCTCCAAGCTCTTCATTACAGCGCACCAGTACGGGCTGTGGCGAAAGCGCACATCTGCGTCGAGTGTAAGAAGGAGCATTGTCTTCTGTGCGAAGCGGGATTCCTCTTCCGGATGTTGGAAGATGCGAGGGGAACGAATTGTCAAGCCAACAACTTCTCTCGCGCATTCAGCGCTACGCCACAAGGTACGTCCGCTCTGGTACTAGACTGACCATAGCCTCGGCGTTGGGCCTTCTGGATACCGACGAGACGTCGAATGCGCCTTATGGATCCCTTATACAAAGCTTCAATCGCTGGCTGCTCGCCACATTCAGCTCGGAGGCTATCGTCGACGGCGAAACATTCGCCGTGCGGAAGCCGAGTATGAGCACTCTTTCGCTCGGATCGAAGGAATCAGCAATCGACCAAGTACTGGGAATACGTACTCGGACGACCAACGCCTGTTCCTCTTGCGACAGTGTTGCGTCAAGAGAGGGTACTCTACATGTCATCGATATCCAGTATCTCCGCAAGGTAAGCTATGGATCTGACAACAGCTGACGCTCAGCCCCTCGAAACCAAATTTACCGAACTTCTCCGCACTTCCCTTCTACGGGAATCTAGCACCAAAGCGACCTGCGCCAGCTGCAAGCAATTCGTTCCCCTCGCTAGCCGCCGCATCATCGACGGCGAGTTAGAGGATAGTCTACCGGCAGTCTTGTCGGTAAATGCGATGGTGTCCACACCGGAGATCTTTGGGCTGTGGCAGGATAAGCCGACGAGAGGAGGCGCGCCGGCGCCGAGGTTCTTGCCGAAGCAGTTGGTGATCAGGGCGGATGAGGCAGGAGAGATTGCGTTCGCGGAGGAGGGCGAGGGTTTGGTGTATGATGTTACGGTAAGTCGATTGAGTGACTGAGCTGATCTCTAGTCGATCGTGGTCCAAATTCAGGAGACGCCCGACTCGCAAGCTCACCTGCTGTCATACGTCAAGAGTGAGCAAATCGTAGAGCAGAGCTGATGGGTAGTGCCGAAGAGTGACGAGTCCAAAGGGGGATGGGTCATCTTCAACGATTTTGCTGTTCGGCGTGTTTCGGAGGAAGAAGTTTTCAGCTTCCCGGCACAATGGAAGGTATGTTGATGATGGGAGCAGCGCTGAGTATAGGTACCCACAGTGATCATGATGACCCGACGGGATAGTGCGGATATACTTCAGCTCGAGACGCTTCCGAAGCAGATGGGGACGGGTGTTCTATTCGAAGACGTCTCGCTAGCATGGTGCGCCCGATGCCTCCAGCACTATAAATAACGGAGATAAGACTGATCATCAGGAATCGCCGACCGAACATGATCAAGCATCAACGTCTTCAACCCGACGAGCTTCCCCGCCAGGGCACCCTTATTGCTATCGATGCGGAGTTCGTCGCGCTCCAGCAGGAGGAGATGGAGTTCCGGTCAGATGGGACCAAGAATGTCCTTCGGCCATCGCACATGTCCCTCGCTCGCGTATCGGTCACTAGGGGGCAAGGGGAGAAGGAGGGCGTGCCGTTTATCGATGATTATATCCTTACCAAGGAGGTTGTCGTGGATTTCTTGACGGAATTCTCGGGCATCAAGCGTGAGTCATAGGACTGACTTCAGCTGACGATAGATGGTGATCTGGATCCTAACAATTCGCCACATACGCTTGTCCCACTCAAAGTGGCCTACAAGAAGCTGCGCCTTCGTGAGTACCCAATGTGAACAGGACTGACGTCAGTGGTCGATCTGGGATGCATCTTCATAGGACACGGTCTCGCCAAGGATTTCCGGACGATCAGTGAGTGATTATCTTTTCCTGAGCTGATCCTCAGATATCTTCGTCCCGCCAGACCAAATCATCGATACCGTCAAGATCTACAGCTCTCCATCTCGTCAGCGGCGCCTATCGCTCCGGTTCCTCGTCTGGTTCCTGCTCGAAACGGAAATCCAGACGGCTTCTCACGACTCGATCGAAGATGCCAAGTACGCGCTTATGCTGTATCGAGCCTATCTTCGGTTTGAGGAGGAAGGGCGGTTTGACGAGATCATGGAGCAGATCTTTGACGAGGGGCAGAAAGTGGTCAGTTCACGAGTGCTTTTGCGAGGTCAAGGCTTGAGCTGATTCCTACAGGGATTCAGACCGCCACATGAACATCGCACGTCCCCGCAATTCGTTCCGCAGATGATGGCCCCACCTCCATTTGCCCCGCCGAGACCGCCTCGCTATCACGGCTCGGCACCACCGACGAATGGTCAGATGCTACCACCACCAGGTGGCGATAGTTGGAGGAATGTGCCACCTATGGATGGGATGATACCTAGATCGTCGAGCGTGGCGAGCTCAGCTGGGGGAGGGGCCAGGCCAAGCAGGACCCAGAGGAGGCGGCATTGACGAGGGGAGTCGCAGTAGAGCAACCTGCGCAGTGTGTCATGCAGCTGTGCCTCTAGCGGGACCTTGATCCGTACCGCGACTTCTGAGCCCAGTAAGCTAATCTCGTGTCAGCAGGAGTCAGCACGGTCAGCGCCACGTCAGCGCAACATTCCTCGCGCTGGGATTCCAGCAAATGCTGATGACGTACCTGTCAGCGATTTAGCTCTGTTCCTGGATTTCTGGCAGACGTCATAGCCAAAGGAAGGGTGGAGGTTAGGTGAGCATCGGTACATAAAAGTATAAGGGGACGTCGACCGCAGCTTTTTCTCTTCCATACACCCACCTTCTACCCACTCACTCACTCAAACAACCCACACAACAATCAAAATGGAGGCAATCAAGAACGTCGCAGACAAGCTCACCGGCTCGAGCACCCAGGAGAGCGGCACCGACGCTGGTGCGACTGTAAGTGTTCCTTACTGACGAGGATGGATTATGCTGACAGACTAGGCCCAGGGAGAGTTCCCCAAGCCCGGAGCGTTCTCCAACGAGACCCAGAAGGGTCAGGTCGTCGGTATCCAGGAGGACATGGAGCGCAAGCCCGAGGCCTCGACCGTCCAGGAGGGTCACGACAGCTTTGACCACTACAAGCCTGCCGGCAAGGTAAGCTTTAGCTACCACTGACTTGCTCTGAACCCCGCTGACCCCGTAGATGGTCGGCAAGAAGACCATCGTCACTGGTGGTGACTCGGGTATCGGTCGCGCGGCCGCCGTCATGTTCGCCCTCGAGGGTGCTGACGTCGCCATCGTCTACCTCCCCGAGGAGCAGGTCGACGCCGACAAGGTCAAGGCCATGATCGAGACCGCCGGCCGCCAGTGCCTTCTCTTCCCCCAGGACATCCGGGACGAGGCCGGGTGCAAGCGTGTTATCGAGAGCGTGGTCCAGGCTTGGGGCAGGATCGACGTCTTGGTCAACAACGCCTCGGTCATGGTGAGCTAGTCCGCGACAAGTGGTGTATTGAACCTAGCTGATGTGTCCAGTACTCCATCCCCGACATCGCGGACGTCACCACCGAGCAGTTCGACCGTACCATGAAGACCAACGTGTAAGTGCCTTTGCTTCCCCTCAGGAGGGAACGCTCGCTTATGCCTCAGCTACGGTACCTTCTGGCTCACTAAGGCCGCTGTTCCCCACATCCCCAAGGGCGGTTCCATCATCGTCACCGCTTCTCAGGGTAAGTAGAATCTGCTGTGCACTGCATACGTGGTCTCTTGCTGACTCGTCCAGTCGCTTACGCCGGACCCCCCATGCTCCTCGACTACTCGATGACCAAGGGTGCCCAGGTCGCCATGGTCCGTGTCCTCTCCAACCAGCTCCTCTCCAAGGGTATCCGCGTCAACGCTGTCTGCCCCGGACGTAAGTTGCACGACTCCTTTGCCTCAGGTTATCAGCTGACAGGACAGCCGTCTGGACCCCTCTCCAGCCCGCCGCCATGGACTCCAGCCAGATGAAGGAGTGGCACTCCAGCCCCGCCCCCATTGGCCGTATCGGCCAGCCTTCGGAGCTTGGCCCGGCCTACGTCTTCCTCGCCAGCGCTGACGGCTCGTTCATCTCTGGTCAATCGTGAGTCTTCCGCATTCTTGGTCTGCCATGATCGGCCGCTGATGACTCAGCATCCACGTCAACGGTGGTGCCATTGTCTCCGGATAAATGCTTTAGGGATTGTTGCAGACAAGGTAGATTAGCAGTGTACAAAGATAAAATGACATGTAGCCAAGTGATTTGAGCATTCTCCCTCCTGCCGCGTCCAGCGTACGGTAACTTCCACTCCTAACAAGTCTGCTCGGCCTAACTCAACATGGGAGCAAGCGACACGGATTGGCCCCTTGATCAGGCAGGAGAGGTATCAAAGGGGGGTGAGTCATAAGGAATGGGAATGAGGAGTTCCTAGCTCGCGCCTGGGTATCTTGGGGAGCCGTGTGCGTCACGTACGACTTCCTCGTCCAGCGAGGGATTCGCCGAGTTACTATCGAGCTGCGCTCCCCGCGCTTTTGAGCAACATAGGCGGCAGATCCCGACAAACACCACTAACAACCCCTGACTCAGTTACTCATCATTCTGAAACCTGCACGACTAGATCGACAGCAAACAACCCGCCCCATGACGTCTTCCTCCCTTCCAGATTCCAGCACCTCCACAGGCCTCCACTGCCTCAAACGCATCGGCGTTATCTCTTCCCGCTCGTCCGCGCGTGAGGACCTCACGACATCGTGCTGCTTATCCATGTAGTCGGGGATCCCTCCCCCCCTTAATAATTGGGATCCCCTCATCACCCCCACATTGTAAATGGGTGATCGGTAATAAAAAAGCCCCAACCAACTACTGGGCTATGATTAACAACTACTGGATGTGGCTCTTCTTTCGATTTCGCTGCTTCCTCTTTATCTTGGGTCTTAGGGTTTCCAGCTACAAGACCGGCCGGTCAGGATTCCAAAGTCAAATATTATTTTTGGGTGCTGAGTTAGATGGGTCAGTTCATACGGGGAGCTGTCAGCTTTTGCGGTTGGTGGCTGTCAGAAGAAGCTGAGGACTTGCCTACTCTGTGCAACTAGATGCATGATGTACGAAGGGGCACAGAACAGGAGAAGACTACTAGCGTGACAGACTAATAGCGTGACAAATCCTCCCAGCTGCGGACTCTCTCGCTTGGAGCCGTATCCGTGGGGCTCGACACCCGCGCTCGATCCCGGGTCCGGCTCATACTGGGCTCAATTGCTAAGAGGCCTTGTCGTCGCTATAGGTTGTTGTCGACGAGAGGCAATGATGGCCCCCCCCCGCTCGTGGCTATGCGCGGAAATCTGGCTGATCGCAGTCTCCGAATTGGATGCCTAGCCCCTGAATAGTCAGCCTTGATCACTATGAAGTCCTCGGAGCCTCAACAGATGGACTGACCTGAAAAGCGGCGAGCCGTGATACCCTTGTACCCCTATTTAGGCCGCATAAAGACCCCAGAGCTCCCAAAGGGATACAGCTCGTAGACGTGATCCATACCGAGAGCTGTATTCACTTCGGACGAGGTCGAGCTGGGTACAGCACCCGATTGACCAGATCGATAGGCAGATCAACCGCTTCTGGGATGGCATCCGCTTCGGCGAATCTCCAGTAGTACGGGTCCGAGTTGGCCTTCTTGACCGGGATGCGGGCGAAGGAGTCTGCAGCTCTTCAGCATTGTAGCCTTCAGCACTGTGGCCATCCGAGAGCACCGCAGCCTTACCCGTGATAAGACTCGGCGAGTTGAAAGCTGGCGTGTTGAAGGCGACCATGGCGCTGTAGATCCAGTAGGTGAGGAGGACGAGTACCATCAGATAGCAAGGGACTATGACAGACCACTCCCTGGTAGATGAGCCAGAGTATTCAGGTGCTGCCAAGTCCTGAGCTTACCTATCTGGATACCATGTCCATCCCCACTGGTCCAACCAGCCGATTGGCGCAAATGCCCATACCAGGTAGACGATTCCAGAGATATAGGTGAGAAGGACCGCTAGAGACCCGTACACCTCCTTCGCTGTAGGAAGCGTTGACGAGGCTTCCGGTTGGATGGTCTGACCTGCAGTCGCACGGACAGCAGGGAGCTCGAGTTGGGGTTCCGGCGGCCATGGCGAGATGGGAGAGAGCGGAGAGAGAACGGCAGGTTCTTGCTCTTTCTGCGACGCCCCGGTCGTGTCAGAGGCAGCGGCGACGCTGAGCGGCTCTGCGAGAGTAGCGACCCTTCGCCGCATGATTACAGCCCCGTATCGTCTAGGGATGGCGACCTATAATAGAGAGATCATAGATGACTTTAAGGTTGAAGCTGTGGGACTCACCTTTGGCTGCCTGGAAGTCAGGCACGAACCAAAAGTCGCCACGTGTTTGGTGTCAATAGAATTTTGAAACATCTGCACCTGGATAAACTCCATACTTCCTCCTTCTACACCTCACTCAGCTTCAAATACATCATGTCCGACGTAGCCCACCTCAAATCCCTCCTCGGCGTCCACCCCGACTTCCCCAAGAAGGTGAGGCCAATCAAGTTCCGCGACCCAAGAATCCCGCTAACAACTACAGGGCATCACCTTCCTCGACATCTTCCCGCTCATGCGCGACCCCTACGCATTCGAGTCCCTCATCACCCACCTCGTCCACCACATCACCACCACCCACACTGTCAAACCTGACGTGATCGTCGGTCTCGACGCCCGAGGTTTCCTCTTGGGCCCCATCATCGCTATGCGCCTCGGCGCGGCTTTCGTCCCTGTACGAAAGGGCGGAAAGCTGCCTGGTCAAGTTGACACGGTGGCTTATGAGAAGGAGTATGGAGTGGATGAGTTCCAGATGCAGAAGGGGGCTGTTCAGGCTAGACAGAAGTGTATCGTTGTTGAGTGAGTTATTGCGTTTCTTCTAGGCGGGTGACACGACAGCCAGTCCGAAGGGCACAGCTCTCAGTACCGAGCGGCTTGCTCCCGCTTGCGGCTTGCTCAACCGCTCTAGGCAATCATGTCATTTGTGACTGTGGCTAACTTCTCAGCGACCTCATCGCAACTGGTGGCTCCGCCGCTGCCGCTGGCCAGCTCATCAAGTCCGCCGGCGGAAGCACGCTCGAATACCTCTTCATCATCAGCCTCCCTTTCCTCAATGGAGCAGACCGCCTCGATGCCCCTGTGTACGCCATGATTGAAGCAGAGGACTAGACCGTTGAACTCTTACTCCCCATATAGATGCATAGACTATACCTTGACCTAGCTGCAGGTACCCCCCGCGGGGAGACAAGGTGGACGGGAGTATATTCGGATGAGGTGAAGATAAGGATATGATCGGCTGCCAATCCCGTCAAGCCTTGACGACTTCACCTCTCTTTGCTACTCAGACACACCTTCTTCGCTCATACAGGCGGCACGAGCCCTCGCACCGCTTTCCAGACCAGCTGCAGCTCAGCAAAACTCGCGATCTCTCGGACACTCGAGGCGACACTGCCCCAACATCAATGCCGCAGCCATCGGCATCGCCTTCCGTCCGACCTGGCGAGGAGTCCGAGTCGGACGCGGAGTCGTCTCAACACCGAAGAAAGAGACACAGGAGGATACCGCTGGCGTGTAATGTAAGTAGATGATGGAGCTATCGTGCGGAAATGCGGTGCATGCTGACAACGACAGAGGTGAGAGTGGCTACCTTCTCAACCCGAAGACGGTGAGGAGCCTGACTGACCATCATTAGGTGCAAGTCCCGCAAGCAAAGATGCAACATGGATGGTCGGGAAACGAACGAGCCTTGCAAGTCGTGCGAGAAGGCGGGAACGGACTGCATTATTCAAGAGAAGGCGCCAAAGGTGAGTGTCCTCGATTTGCCCCTGTGGAATATGCTGACACCTCAGACCGAGTACCCTACGGAATATGTCACCTTTCTTGAATCGAGGATAGCCTCGCTCGAAGCTCGCCTCGCAGAGATCAAACCTGGTGATGATCTCGCAGATGATCACCTCGACACCCTGCGACAACACGACCAAAGCGTCAGCGGGAGCGGTACAGGCGAGAGCGGGGAGGTCAAGAATGAAATCGCGGCTGGTGTCGCTCTGCTCTCCCTCAACTCGGCAAGCGAGCCGCACTACCTCGGCGGATCTTCCGGGTACTCGTGGGCCAAGGTCCTGCTCGGCACGCTTCATCGACCGGCCAGCACCCTTTTCAAGCCTGACGAGACGTTCAAGGCGCGGTACAAGGAGACCGAAGCGGGTCTCGCGCTCGTCCGTCCAGCCTTACCCGACAAGGAACTTGCGGGGATGATGGTGGAGGCCTTCTACACGCATATCCAGCCTCGATATCCCTTTGTAAATTGGCGCCAGCTGCGGGACTGGCTGGCGAGGCAGGACGAGATGGTGCTGCCGAAAGGGGCATATAGTGTGATCACACCGGAAGGGAGGGAGAAGGGAACAGCCTCATTCTTCGTATGGTAAGTTCTCCAGAGAGCCGAGCTGACGATCAGGATGACCTACGCGATCGGTTCCAGACTACTTCAGGGCGTCGCTCTGCCGGGGATAGCGGAACCTGAAGCGTACTACGCTTTGGCATTAGATCATATGGAGCTCATAGTGACCCTACACAATATCGAGTAAGCACATCCCTCTGTCCAACAACGTAGCTGATGGTCCAGAAACGTCCAGGCTTTCCTCTTCCTCGCCATGTACTCGCTTCGATGCGCGGAGGGTCCCTCGGTCTGGCACCTCACCGGCGTAGCGATGAAGATGTGCGTCGAGCTCGGGATGCATCGCCGTCGGAAGCTGCCTCGCGGGGTCACGCAGTTCCAAGAAGAGATCAGAAAGAGGACTTTCTGGACGGTATACGGCCTAGACCGGGGGTTTGCGCTCACGCTCGGGCGTCCGCTGGGTATAGACGATCGAGATATCGATCAAGTTGTGAGTGATTTGGCATCCCAGAACTGATGTTAGCTACCACTTAACGTGGAGTGCGATATCGACATACCACCCAACATGTCCACCCCTTCCGCTCAATCCGGAGCGTCCGCCTCCGACTCCCCCTTGGCGACTGACCGCGATCCACCGTCCAATGCGTCATTTACCAGCATGTCATCCGCCATCCACAGCATCAGACTGCGGCAGATCGAGGCGCAAATTCAGCGAACGGCTTACAATCTGCATAGTAACCCGGAGGAGAGCAGAGATCAGATCATGGCGATCCTGGATAAGCTGGATGCGTGGAAGGAGTCTATCCCGAAGCGGCCTCCAGGCCCTCAGTACCAGAACATACCGTGCTGCTCGGATGATTGGTTCTTGATGCGGGCCGAAGGGGTACGTCGTCCGCTACGGTTATAGCTGACAAACAGGCGAGACTCTACCTTCTCAGGCCCATTACCGCTAAGGCGGCACGTGGGGACCCCCTCTTGACTGCGTGTGCACAATCTTGCGTGCAACAATGCGAGGTCAGCTGAGCAATATGTCGCTCTCGGTGCATTAGCTGACGCCCCAGGTATTCCGGAGGATGCACCAAAATTACCCCCTCGCCAACTCCCTCTCCCTTACCGACCTACACAACATCTTCCTCACCGGCCTTACCCTGCTCCACCTCCTTCTCACCCATCCACGCGTCATATCAATGCGCGAGTCCACACGCGCCATTCGGGCCTGCTCTACCGCTCTCTTCGTGTACGCGCAGCACTTCAAGGCGGCCGGGCCGTTCCGAGATGCGTTTGAGGACATGGCGAATGCGTGCTTGGACGCGTGTGAGCGTGCGGCGGAGGATGAGCCGGTACTGATTGAGCGGCAGACGGAAGGGGAGAATGAGTGGGAGAGGCACGTAGGGGAGATGGCGGCGTGGATGATGAATACCAATGCGCAACAGGACTTCTTGGAGTGAGTGATTCCCTTGATTCTGATAGAAGAAATGCTGATGGGTAGACTGGTCACCTCGCTTGGATTCAACCCGAATGTACCCATCGACCTCGCTCAGCCGACGCCACTCCAGCAAGAATTGGTCTTTGCCCCTCAGCTCCCATTCCAAGCGCCACTGTTCGCCGGTCCAGCCGACATATTCTCGAATTTACAGTCCGCGTCGAACCTCCCCGGTCATTCTACCGATAACAACTTTACCCTCCTGTCCACCTCGAGCGGAGGGAGTCATCCGATCCCGCTACCTCAGAATATACAGCAGGACCAGGGGGTCCATCCCTCCCTGTTTACCTTGGGGAACCATGCGGGAGCTGGAGTGCCAAATCAGCAGAACCCGTTTGGTGGGTACGGTATGGGGATGGGCCAGGCGGGACCATCAGTAGCGAGCGTGCAGCGGGAGCAGAGGAACAGTGTCAGTGGAGGTGCGCAGAGGGAGAGGTCGCTCTTAGACGGACCTTTCGCCGGATCGACGGATTGGTATAACCAGTATAATGCTTGAGTTGTAAATTTTTATCAGGATCTATCAGAATGGGATGTATTGTATACTCGCGGAATCGGCGAGGGATGTCATGCCAAGCGCGCGGCCATAAGGGATATCATCCAGAAAGCTTCTATGCGATGTGTATACTACAAAAGTAAGGTATCCCGTTGCTCTGCTCCGGCCGATGTCTCTATGTCTACAAACGAATCACAAATCCAGAAGACTGATATATACTCTCTCCCTTCGCCTCGGCCGGGCGACGGTCGGCCCCGTGCGTGCGCGCATCTCGGTATCGGGACCGTTTCCGAGCGTCGGCGCAGTGGGAGCAGCAGTCTCAGCTTTAGGGCTCTGGAGCGGGGCTGCAGTATAAGCGAGGCCTTGATAGCAGGAATAGGAAACATACAGCTTGAACTGCTCGCTCTCGGCTCAGCGACCGGAGTTACAGCTGCACTCTGATACGGGGGTTGAGGCAACAGCAATTCCCGCCCTGTCTCCTCCAGATCTGTCCTCCCTATCCGCACGACCCGGGCACCAGAGACACCCATTACCGCAGGGTGCAGCTCATACCCCGCCCGGCGCAACGTCTCATCTCTCCGCCTGAAAAACTCTTCGTCCGACTCGGTCGAAGTCCCGACCGACACCTGGATGTGCGAGTAGTCCGCATTCCCCGTCGCTGTGATGGGCGACGAAGGCGTGACTTCCCAGTCGGTATGGTCCTGCTCGAGCGTTTCGTATAGGGATCGACGTGCCTCATTGACATGCTGCGCGTCAAGGAGGAGTTGCTGGATGGATGGATCGGTCCCCGCGTCCGCGCCGGTGTTCACGTTTTCCGCAGCGGCGAGCCGTTGGGCCTCGTGCGTCCTGCGCCTGGCAACGAGGTCTTGACGGATTGCAGCGAGGTTTCGGCGCCTCGCCTCGATACGCTCTGGCGTCCCAGGGCGGGTCTCCTGTAGATGCCGCATCCGCACCAATGTATCGACATCTTCTGGTTCCTCGCCTCGGGGTCTCACCGTCCGCCTTGCAGACCGAGTCGCAGAAGCCCACCCTACTCCACCAGGCAACACACCATCGTCCACCCCTGCCGCACGCTGCGCCAGCTCTCGAACCATCTCGTTTCCCCTCGACCCCGCCGGCCTTGCTCTGCCTGATACCGCATCGGCTCTGTTTGGCTGTTCCCGCTGATCAGAAGCGATCGCCATCGACCCCATCTGATCCTGCAAGAGCCTCTCCGCCGCCGACGTCTCGACTGACGTCATTACGCGGAGCCGATTCTGAGCCGAGAGCAGCCTCTGCTGGACCGCCGCCTCGCGCATCTGGGCCGCAATGAAGGACTGGCGCGCCATGTCTTCGTCCATCTCGGCATCCTCCCGCTCCGTGGGCGAGAGGACAGGTATGACGGTAATGATGGCGTCTGTACCGATGTCCCGTCCGGTTGGCGGGCGAGGCATTGGAACCGCAGGCTGCGCTGGTCCCCGCGTCTCGCGCCTAGCCCTAGACGCCACAAGCTCTTGGTATCGATTAAAGGCACGGATTCGGTGAGCCTGCGCTGCCCGTAGTTCTGCCCGCACCGTCACTTCGTAAGCGGCGTGACGTTCCGATGCTCGCGCCTCTCGACCGGCCGTCCGGTCCTCTCTGATGACCGTGGCGGCGTCGACGAGCTCACGGGCCGATCTGGCCGTGTTCTGCTGTCGGGGCCGAGCCAACTCGATGACGATCTCGCGGGCGCGCAGGACACGCTCCCGGCGATCTGCGCGAAGACGGGCGAGCTGGTCCGCATATTCCAGTGCGGACGTCGCGTCCTGGGCGGCGGCTACCTGGGCAACGAGTGCCGCCTCTACGATCTCCTCGTCGGGTGGAACGTGGTTGTTTGTTGTGCCTGCGGTCCCTGCGTGGTCGGTAGGATTCATGATCGCCCAAAGTCCGTCGCGCGCTTGTTGGAGCGAGGGCATATCGGCCGGTAGCCGACCCGAAGGAAGAGTATAGGTCGATTCCCGGAGACGGTCCCGTACGTCCCGGCCTCGATAGGTGAGACCGGCATCCCGAGCGTCGCCGATGGCTGTGGAGGAGGAAGATGAGGAAGAGGAAAGAGGGGAGGGTGGACCCCAGCCGGGAAGAGTGCTGAGCAGAGCTTCAGCTGCTTCTGAGTCCTCGGCCACGCCCGGAGGTAGCAAGGCTCGACGGATGATCCGGGAGAGCCCGTCCATGTACTCGTCCGGTTCGAGGTTGAGGTCGAGCTGCGCGATCTCTGCGTGGATGGCATCGAGTGACGCAGCGTCAAGGTGAGATACGGCGCTGCGCGTTCCGGCGAGACGAGTGTGGGCGAGGGCAGCAGCGGCGGCGGTGGTGGAGCTTGACGGTGCGTTGTTTGATTGACGAGGGACGGCCGGACGAGCGGGCGGCGGAGTGACTCCGGATGTGCGTACGATAGTAGGAGGTCGACCAGCGTCTTTTGTGTTGGTAGGAGGTAGACCAGAGCTGGTGCCGGATGCCACATATGGGCACGGCTCCCACTCCATCTGCTCCATCCGAGCCCGCCTCGCCTTCGCGGTAGGACTCTTCCTCCTGTCCTCGCTCTCCTTCTTGATCTCTGCTATCCGCCTGACTGATTCACGCTCTTTGGAATCTATTGGCCCTGAGCCGCCGATGTAATCCCCTACACCGCCCTCGCCGATCGGCCGGTTCGTTCCGTCCCATCTCGCCCGCATCCGCTGCCTCAGTCTACTTTGCGTTTCCCCCACCTCCGTCAACTCCCTGATGCCGCCTTGAAGGCTGTTGCGCACTTCCCGCAGTCCATCGAGCGTTCCCTCCATCTCGGCAGCGCGAAGATCAGGCGTTTCCGAGAGCGATTGTGACGCGCGATCAAGCAGACGGTGGATTTCGGCGGATGTGATGGGTCGATCGAGCTGGGCGACTTCGGTAGCTATAGCAGAGGTAGAGATGAGAGGTGTGTCGTTTTGGGAGAATTGGAGGGGCATGTCCTGTGCAGGGTGTAGCAAGTTGGCCTATGTGATGTCAGCCAAAGAGCAGGCGCCCAGAAGATTGCTACGCACAGGTTGCTGAGGCGATAGTAAAGAACCGCTGAACCTCGTCCTTCCTGGCGGAGGAACAACGCCTAGACCCTGTTCCAGCTGTCCCGCCTGTATACGGAGTCGCTCGACCGCACTGGCCAGTTGAGCGACACGGACAGAGAGTGAGTCACGCAGCTCTTCGAGGGACTGCAAGAGCGCCCGAGTAGTATTTTGGGGTGGAGTAGAAGGAGGAGCTGGTTCGGGGTCCTCAATCGGTGTACCTGAGGAAGGCATGAGGAGGACGGTAGAAAGAAGAGCCTAGCTGGATTGCATGTTTGACGGGTAGTGAGGCGGGAGGGCAGGGTTGTTGGCCGAGCCTTTTGGCGTGACGCAGTGAGGCGTTTCAGATGTCGATGATCCTTTATTGTTTGCTAGACAAAACAAAGGTGGATTTGGTGGGCGAGACGCGAAGAGAACCGCGAAGAGGGCTTTGCTATGCCCTGAAGCTGATGGACTTATGCTCTAGCAGGGGAGATAGTCGACCAACTGCGGGACGAGAGAAAGATGAAAGCGCAAGCTTCGCGAAGAACAGCCGGGTGGCAAAAGTCTCTCCGGCTCCTGAGGTCACAAGTTGCGCATATGTGCTTCGCTGCTGACGACTTGGCGAGACCTACAGGACGCATGACATGGCTACCAGCTGGTCGAGTTATAGGCCCCGAGACGGGCCCTCATGCTGAAGCTTCGCATACGCTCAGGACCAACAACTGTAAGACTAAAGAAGCGTGTCACGAATTGATCGACTCGCTTCGCAGAGAGGACACTGCTACAGTACGAGCCGATTTGTTGACTGTCCAGACTGTGCGAAGCACCGAGCCGTGAGGGAACTCCACTCACTCGCCGCACAGGTGTGCGAGAATGAAACCCCCGACGCGACCGCTTCCTCTGCAAACTCGCAGATCTCTTTAGCGCGGACCCGCCCATCCCCAACTCATCATCATCGTCCGCCGGGTCGAGGCCAGCCGGAGAGGCTCGGCTGATGGACAGAGGCAGCTCAGAGTCATACCCGGCGTCGCCTTGCTACCATATAGAGTCAGTGCATTTGGCATGGCAGTACGGCTGTCAGTGCTTGGCTGAAGGACATCGCGACAGCCCAAGCCCTGCGAGGAGCTGGATGACCGCACCTCCTCCCTCGTGTCCATCAGCACTCAGAGTGATGTTCAGCTGGACATGAGCTGCACCTCAGTCAGTCCTCTGTCCTCAGTCCCAGTATAGTATACAGCCACTGCTGCGGATGGGGGAAGGTGTATGACGCGTTGTGGCTTGCGGATAAGAATTCAGGCACGGTTACAGAATGCTCAAGAAGGAGGTATTAAGGTTTTGGGTGGTACAATCTTTGCACCGCATTCACACCTTCTCCGTGTCGCCTCTGGTCCTTTCTTCCTTGTTCCCCTGCTTAAAGGTAGACGCAAACGGCGAGAAGCGCCCTTGCACTTGTACATTTCACGATATAACGAAAATCACCAGCCCAGCACGAAACGCTCCCCAGCTCCGACCGCCCCAAACCCCCCAAAGACACGGTCGACCGTCCGCCGCCGGCTTCCTCTCGGACTGATCATGGGTCCCGCGGGGACTATCACTTCACGCATGGGATTGAACGAGAAGCGGAGAGCAGAGGAGGAGGAAGGGTTGATACAGCCTCATATCGAGGAGAGGCGGTATGAGCGGATACGGCGGAATGGGCTGGCGGTGTTTGAGTGCTTCAAAGCTTGGGCGTTTGCGAATCCGCGTCGACTAGTGGGTGCTCAATTTTAGCTGTGGTCGAGCTCTGAAGCTGATGCGTAGATACTCGGAACTTTGACCTCTGCGACACTGCTCGCATTACTCCTATTCAAACTCATTTACCATCCCCCTGATCCACCCTCACCCTGGCGCGCTCAGTGCCGCGCCGACTTTCCGACCCACTACGCCTTTCAAAGACCACATCCGCGAGAGCTCCACTCCCTTCGGAATTATCGCCGAGATATGAACGACATGGATGAGCTCCAAACGCTCGGCTCGATTCAGCCCCTCACGCCGTCCCATCCCGCTTGGCCGTATACGGGCGATCAAATACCAAGCCTCGCCATAGCGGACACACTCGCGCCCGTCAGCGTGCTAGTCGGCGTTTTCACGATGGATAGGGAGGCGGAGAGGAGGCAGTTGATCCGGGCGACTTATGCGAGTCATCCGGAAAGCAGGAAGGAAGGGACAGAGGGTGTCAAGGTGGTCTTTGTGATGGGGCAGCCAGCACCTCCGTTTGCGGACAAGATAGCTCTGGAGTCTGAACGTAAGTCTCTGCTATTGCTTCAAAGTCTTTGGAGCTGATGAGCAGTATATGGGGACCTACTACTTCTCGACATCCACGAAAATATGAACGACGGCAAGACACACGCATACTTTGCTTGGGCAGCGCAACACGCTCAAGTACCAAATTGTCACTATCCAGCGGTCGCCGCAACCCACATCTCACATCTCGCCGAGCAGGAGGCGGCCGAGGGCATGTTCGAGCGGAGAAGTAGGGAGACAGCCGTCTGTACCGGGACCCGACAGCCCGACTACGTTGTCAAGGCGGATGACGACTCGTTCATTGTGCTGTCGGAGCTAGAGAGGCGGCTGAGGGTGTTGCCTCGGGAGAAGGCTTACTGGGGCCGTGAGTATTGATATCTCTGTGGAAGGAAGCCTGCTGATCGGCAGTGCTCATGTACGGCGAATACCTACAAACACAGGAACGGTCCGAGTATATGGCGGGAGAAGGGTACGCCCTGTCGATGGATCTCGTCAAGTTTGTCGGGACCTCAAAGTACGCTCTCGCGCATACGATGGGGGACGAGGATCAGCGAGTCGGGGACTGGATAAGAGCGCATCCGAAGGCGGAGGAGGTGGTCTGGGTGACAGAACGGTGCTGGATGTACGATCACCCAAAAGCTCGCAAACTGTGAGTAGCCGAGACCTGGCTATACTCTAAGCTGATGCCCTAGCCTATCCCACGGTTTCATGTTCCCCGACGTCGTCCAGTCTATCCGTGATGACACCGACTACTTCCTGCCTCCCCACATACCACCACACATCCTCGACACCTGGTCCACCGTCTCGCCCTACAACAGACCGTACCGGCCGCCCCTCGCTAATCTTACGATCTCACAGCAAATCGAAGCGCTTACCGAGGGCTCTCCTCTGTCAATGTGGCACAAGCACAACCGCCCTTATTTCCGACATGGCAATCACAAGTCTGGGCGGCACCCTCTGACGCTAGCGGAGGAGGTCGAGCGGGCGTGGAAGGATAGACCGACGCGGGCGGAACGGATGAAGGGGGGCGATAAGGGGAGCACGGTATTGGTGCACAAGGTGAGGCGGGACGAGTGGTGGATTGAGACGGCGCTGGCGCTGCTGGGATCGGAGGGGAGGTAGTGAGCAAGTGGAGGGTATTCTGCGTATCAGGGCACTGTATTGATACTATAACGATTGGGACGGGTGAAGCGGGATGGAGGAACGACGCATGTATTCATAGCATTCTATGGAAAGAGGAGAGAGATAGGAATGTCGGTAGAGTTTAGTCCTCGAAGCCTCACGTATAAAAGAATAGAGGTATCAAGGGTGGAACTCATCCGTCGTTGCTTGCGCAAAGGCAGGTTAAGACCCCGTTCCGAAGAACGCGAATGGTATTCCAAGACAGGTAGTAAGAACGCCCGCGTGTGATTTTGGTGGCAGGGCTCTAGGCAAATCCGCTTGGGAGTGTAGGGAGGGAGGGTATGGGGGAGAAGAGGGGGAGGGTCAGTTGAGTGAGAGACGAGAGTGAGAGACGAGAGTGAGAGGTGGAGCGATAGGACCTGGCGAGTGATACTGGTTCCGCAGCTGGAGGGCGGTATCACTCCGCTCCAGCTGCACGCCTCTGGGGAAAGGGGGCGCAATAGAAGGAGAGGATATAGTACATCGCTTGTAGTCGAGGATGATGAAAGGTTGAAGGAAGGCGAGTACAGCCAAATTTCGAATCGTCGGTCATTGAGGTGATGACTCGATCAGGCTCGCCCTGTCGGATTTATGCGGCGTTATAGCATTTCCCCGCTTTCGAGTTTGGTCCCGAAATCTCCTACCGCTTCGCTCCGGGATATCGCCGCAGGATGCCGCCTGGACGATTGGCGCGACTCGGCCGCTGGGAGCGCGCAAGCTGGAGCAACCGACGCCTTGACGAATGACGAGTAGACAATGCTTGACGCCTGCGGCTGGGTCCTCCTCCGCGCCTTCGCGTAGCAAGTGCGAGTCTCAGTTGAGTGTCCAGCAGATCTCAGAAGATGCATAGCCCATGCGACAATCAAGCATCTCGCAATTCGCCGCCAGAGACTTTCATCTCCTGTTCCAGCTGCGCCTTCTTCGCAGGTCCAGGCTGCGACAGATCTGGTACGTCCGGAACAGACTCGATGGACTCGGTCGATCCGTCGTTGTTCCGTACTGTCACGGTGCCATCCTATCCGGATATCAGCTGGAGCTCGCTTCAACAAGCACGGAGCTCACCTCGTTCCCGAAGAAAGCGGCTCGTGCCATGTTGCAGAACAGCCCGACCTCGACAACGCCAGTGATGAGTTTGATGGTCTTCAGCAGCTACTAGTGTCAGCTACGGCGTCTACAGCCACGCGAAGTCTGGCGTTGAGCTCACCTCAGCGGGTTTTCTCATCCAGTCCTCCCCGAACGGCGCATCGATGATGAAGTTACCGTTGTCGCTGACAACCGGCCCGGCCTTTTTGACGCCCATTCGAAGCGCAAGCCCTGGCTTGCCATTTGGTAATTTGGACAGGGAGCCCATGCGTGCGAGACTTGAGAGGACGGTGGCGTAGGCAAAGGGGACGACCTCGATGGGGATGCCTTGGGTCCACTGAAGAGTCAGTCGTACCCCCGTTCATACCCTTCGTACTCTGGTCATAAGTGAGACGCACCGTGGTACCCAGAACCTTTGAGTTCTTCCTGTAGTCTGCAACGATCACCCATGTGGTAGCTGCCTCCGCCAGGACCTTCTCCCGCAGCTGACATGCTCCTCCACCTTTGATAGCGTGAAGGTCATTGTCGACCCTGATACGTCAGCTCACATCTGCTCGTGACGGACACTACGAAACTTACTCGTCAGCACCATCTATCGTGACGTCCAACTGAGGAAACTGGTCCACGTCCCCAAGGGTCAATCCGGCTTTGATGATCAACTCCTTGGACTGAAAGCCTGGCGAGTCAGCTCAGCCGTCGCGTCGTACAGGCCATGGCGTTGGCATAAGCGTACCGGTGGGTAAAAAGATGCGCTCCTTGTTCGCTTCTTTGCCCTGCGCGACTATCCGGTCGACCACGTATGGAACGGTGGATCCAGAGCCAATACCGATAATCTACCCGTCAGCTATGTCATGCGCAGTACTTCAAGCATGCAACAGCTGACCTTGTCCTTCAGTCCGACGTGCTTGTCCACAGCAGCGAAGGCTGCTAGCCGCTTTGCGCCTTCAACCGCTTCGAGCTTCGGCAATTGGACAGATGTAGGGAGTTGGTTGTTACTCGTGGTCGGCTGCGAGGGCGGAACGAACTGAAGTGTCAGACACAGCCAACAGCACAGCCTATCCTGATGAGTCGCTAGTGAGGTCACTGACCGACTGCGCTCCAGCACTAAGCGAGCTTGACATCCTGACGGATATATAAAGCGGATGATGGACCTGGGGAGATTGGACGGTAAATGTCGCAGCTTTTGGCGATGTGATACCCCGTGCTCGATTATTCCTGACGAGCGAAGCTAGTATAAAGCGCGGTATAGTGGCTGGTTGGTGTGTAGACCGTCAAGAAGAGAGGGTGACTGTCAAGTCGAAGCAAGTTTCAGCAGCTGGAGCGCTGAGCTGACGGACAGATCACCACTTTAATCGCGCACGGACCGCGGCATTCCCCGGCCCGGCAAGTGCCGGTGAGAGTTACGGCAGCTCGCCCTGATGCGTTCCAGGTGTCGCGATTTCTTCTTGTTGTTGTTGTTGTTGTTGTTGTTACGCTTGCAGTGCTCAGCCAGCGCTCATCCGGCAGGCAAGTGCTGGAAGTGGTGGACAGTACGAAGAGTCACAGCTCACTCGCATATCTTCTGTGCAGCTTCCACGCCAAGCTCACACACGTGCCGTGTTTCATCCGCAGCTAGGGGTAAAGACGAAACACCAAAACCTTATCACGTCCTTTGCACACCTCCCCATCCATCCGGCTACATCACTCACCCCAAAACCGCATTCCCGCCTCACCTGCCTTCCAACTTCGTCCCTTCCTTCTCCCTTGCCTTTGGAAGGCGGCACCCTCTGCGAGAGAATTTTGCACGGGCGAGATGCGAGCGGAATAGGGGGCTGGATAGGAGCGGCTATGCATGGTTCTGCGCTTCCCTGACCTTGTGATCGATCGCCTGAAACGGTATGATCTGTTGCTTACAGTCGTGTGAGGTTGACTGGCTCTCCTTTGCATTTGTCACTTCCCAATATCTCCTCGTCCGTCCAAACGCTACTCAGCTATACTCGACGTTTGGGCGACGGTCAGCAAAATCCACGGACAATCAGCCGAGACCCAATCTCGAAGCCCTGTCCCGCCCGAAACCCCCAATCGTAATCACTTCCTTCCTCCTCCTCGGACCAGTCGAGCGATTGTACTTCACAAAGCAAAAGATACACCTTATCGCCAGAGATTGTCCCTCCCGCATCCATACACGCATTTACAACGCACGCGCACAGGCAAGGCAGATAGGCGGGAAAGGCGGCGAGGTCGACGGGGTGCGTGCCTGCTGCGTGCGTGACAGGAGCGAGAGGGGTGTGAAGGCTTCTTTCTTTCCCCAGCGCAGCACTATACATATCATCCTCGCTCTCCCCCATCCTCCCTCATCTACCCATATCATCATCGCCACCGACCTACCGTTTCACCGTATCCCATTCGGCACAGCCGGTCTTGGAGACACCAACCATAACGACCGGTGCTAGGCTTGATACCGCCCGCCATCCAGGTGCGACATCCGCAGCGGATCTAGCATTTACTGCGAGAATCCGGAATCGGAGGTGTCAAACATCCGCGAACACGTATCCGGTAGTGCAGGATCTCTTACACCTACCCCCTTGCCATCGTCATCGTCCCTGATCGGCCCAGTATCACTACGATCTATCCTCCTTGTTCATCACAATTCCGCTGCTACCGCCCATCTTCTTACCGACATCATGTCCTCTCCCTCTTCCCCAGCGGAAACTTCCCCATCCCTCCGCGCCATCGCTCTCCACCCCGGCTCTTCACGCCCATTTGCCAAGAAGACCAAATCCAAATCCCTCTCCCTTCCCCCATTTCCCCGCCAACTCGCCCTCGCCGGACCCTCTTCGCCTCCTAACCGGCGCCAGTCAAGCCGGGCGGACTCTACCAGCAGCGCAATGTCGTCTCGGGACCCATACTCGGCGGCCATACTCTCGCCGAGTAACCTACCGCCGACGGAGAGCATGAGCTACTTCCCTCCTTTCGAGGATATGGGGAGTGATGAGCCATCTCCGTCAGCGGAGGAGGAGGAGATGTGTGTCGCTGGACCATCACGGTCGTCCAGTCCGACTATGGACGCTAGGGGGGCACACGGGAAGAACAAAAGCCTGGGGAGTCTGGCGAATTTCATGGCGTGGGCGACATTCTCGCCCACTACCGAGTCGGCCCCTTGTCGCCCGTCACTCGCTGCTTCACAGAGCGCCGGTCTCATCCCTTCGGCGAGCCAACAGACGGACGGGGAGCGGGTCGAGGCGCTGACGAAGCGCTTCACGCCTGCGCAGGGGAAGCGAAGGGTACTGGAGCCAATGGCGGTGGATGAGGGGAACAGGGGGGTGACGTTGTTGGGTCTGACGACCACCGGATCGATGTCCGAGGTGGACAGGGCGGTGCCGAAGCAGAAGAAGAGGATGGGTAGCGAGATTGACGTGGAGAGGATGATCAGGGCGGTCAAAGAGGATGCGACGGGCAGCAGGCTAGGGGAAGATGAGGAAGGAGCAGTGGAGCGTATACTGGGATTCGTGAGTTAGCTGTCCTTGCGAGACGATGTGAACTTCGAGCTGATATTGTAGACACCCCTACGACCTCGCGTGCAGCGCCAACATCTATCTCTCCCTCCTCCTTCACTTCATCTGCCTAATTGGCGCTTCCCAATCCCCTCACCGCCCATCACCTCTCTCTCCCCTCACATTCCCCTCGAGTACTTCCAGATCGAAATATCCAATCCCGCTTCCACATCCACTTCACCCAGCAAACCGTCCTCGGCCTTCTCGGACCTACACGAGCTGGAGCTGGACGAGATCGAGGGATCGCTCATGTCCACCGATTTGACCGACTCCAGCTCCGGCTCGGGCAGTCTCTCTTCGGGCGACTCGGTCCGCTCGCACCCCGTCACCCCAGACCGCTCGCCCCCACGCAAGACGGTCCGTCAGCCAGACCCACGATTCTGGACACCTAGTCCTCAGTCGGCGTACTCGTTCCGCAAGAGCAAGGGCAGGTTCCGGGTTGGCGATGATGAGGACGAGGAGGATATCGAGACTAGAGGGGAGAGACTGGAGATGATGCTTCCTGAAAAGCTGAAGCTGCGGCGGACGAGCTCGTCGGGAAGCAAGGCGAGCTGTGATTCAAATGCTACGATCAAGGCGAAGGAGGCAGGGGACATCACACCGAGAGCAGGTAGAGGGTGGAAGGCTGTTCAGGCGGGATGAGGGGTCGGAGGGCGGGTGTAAGGGATGGTACAGAAGGAGGACTCTCTAGATGTGTTTTTGGATACTCTAGGCCTACTGTGGACAATTATAGCATACTCAGCGTGTAGCACTACAGTTGCATATAGTCATCATCTGCCAGTTGCGCCTAACGAATGGCAGATGGCATGCCCTTGGAAGCTAGCGCTACGACCTCGGCCTCGGGCATGCCACATGCCTCCACGTCCGCGCGTCGAGGAAGGCTGCTTACACCGCTGCAACAGCTAATATCAACTTACAAGTATACCTCTACCCTTTGACATCCCTGTCCCTTCATCGCACTTACAGTATGGCGGTCCCACGCTCACTCGCTTTCCTGAAGCAAGGCACCGGTTCCCAGGTGCTGGAGACGTGCGTACCCCGGCCCGGTCCTCCTTCCTCATCTCTTCTTGCTGACCAAGCTCCTCTGCTGACGCTTCAGCTACCTCGACCCGCTATGCCCATTCTCTGCCAAGATGGCTCGATCGCTTACTGCTAACGTTCTGCCCTTGCTTCGGAAGGGAGGGGAGTACGAGGGCCAGTTGAGCGTCGTCACATGGATCTACCCTCAGCCATTGTGAGCCTGCCTTTGGCGTGGTCGTCGCATCCGTGGGATCGCTCTATAAGGGGAAGGCGCTGACAATCCAGCCACTACGTCTCTCCTGTCGTGACGGAAGCACTGCTCGTGTTCGGGACCCACCATCCGGAGCTGTTCTGGGACTACCTCACTGTAGTAAGCTTTCTTCTGTGCAGAACAGTCCCCCTTCCAGACCTAACATTCCCGGGTGTACGTGCTGATAATGACAGGTATTCGAGAACCAGTCCAAGTACTTCAACGTTCCCGCCGCTTCCCTCACAGCCGACCAAATCCGGGACGGCCTCACCGACCTCGCACTCTCCGTCCTCGAGAAGTCGGGCAAGTTGGGCCAGGGTCCTAAGAGCCAGGCATATGGCGAGTTCAGGAAGCGGATTGGAGTGGTCGAGCAGGATGGAGGGATGAATAAGGGGACGGAAGCGTTTGAGGGCATGAAGCATATCAGTGGGTCCCATCCCGAGGCGCGGAAGATGTGCACGAGCTGATGGGAACAGTCAAGATTGGTCGACAGAATTCCATTCATGTCACGGTTAGTCGCACCTTCCCTCACGTTGGGGCCTAGAGACACGAGGGCAGCAGCTGACTCTTTCAGCCTACGACGCTGTTTGACGGCCTCGTTGATAACTCCATCTCGTCGGGCTGGGGCAAGGAGGACTGGACCAAGTACCTCAAGTGAGCTCGACCGGCTCGCTGGACAGGGCCTCGCTGATGTCGCCCAGGCAGAAGTTCTCCGCTTGACTAGGCATTGCCGTGCCCACGTCCAGGCTGTAGGCAGGAGTGGCGGATCCGAGTGATCAAGCGGAGGCGACACAGTACCAAAGAAGCAGATGCATATCTAGAAGTCATCTATCGTTCGGTCGAGGTCCGCTTTCAGGTGCTCCTTCATTCCTGGCGGAAGTATGGGCTCATTCTTCTCGTCTGCGACGTAGCCTGAGAGATCAGCGTTGGTAAAGCTACACAATTTCGTGGAGAACAGCGGGACTCACGGAATGGCATCTCGATAGATTCATGGGCATTGAAGCTGATGGTCGGGAAGTCCTGATTATGATCAGCTCCGGCCCTGACACTGGGCGTATTGTAGTCTGCTTACTACGTATGGTATCTCGTTCAGTTTCACTGCATAGTCAGCTTGATACTTTGCTCGGTCATCGAGTCCTGCACAGCTGGTCCGCTATCCCGCCCACCACAACGCAACGACCGCTCGATAGCGCCATCCTGCCGCTGCGACCCCTCACGACCCATATCCGCAGGTAGATCGTCGACTCACCTCCATCCTCAACCACGATCTTCGTCACCCCCACAGCCGTATCCGTCGTCATCTGCGTCGCCCCGAGATGTCTCCCCTCGAATCCCAGCTTCCGCAATTCCCCCGTTCTGTCCCGGGGCGGATCATCCCCCAATATTCCACCATAGAGGAACACGTCAAACAGCTCCGCATCTCCCGGACAGAGCTCTTTCGGCGCTCTCGGATCCAAGAGGCATACCCTTGCCTGCGGGATAGGCGGCGAGGCTTTCTCGAGCATCTTGAGGATGGGTTCGGTGTGGAGCTGGGCTTTGGGCGAGTTGAGGTAGTCCGCGAGCGGCTTGACGGAGGTCGAGGAGAGGGAGGTGAAGTGGACGGAAGAGCTCGAGCCGACACGCTTTAGCATGTGAGCGTACCTAGCTGTGTCAGCTGAGCTCGCAGTCTCGTAGGGGAGATGGCTGACTCGAGGCGGACCCATGCGGGAAGAGCGTGAGTCGAAGCGTCATCCTCCTCCATGTGCTCTGAATGTCAGTATTCTCCTTGAAGTCTCGATAACAGCTCGTGGATCTCACCTATGACATAGCGGAACGACTTGGGGGTGGACATGGCTGCGACCTAAGATGGTGATGAGTGTGAAAGAGAGGAGAAGTGAAAATCAGTGACCGGCCGGCGCAGCCAAATTCTGAAACACGACGTCTTTGGCGAGATAAGCGATTAATGAGCCCTCTGGCCTCTGGTCCAGGACGTCCAGGGCGAGCGCTTCTCCTGATAGTGCTCTTCTCGCTTCCTATCGGGACACCTGGAGAGCGCAAAGGTGGTAGCTCATCTTTGGTGCTCATCGACATTGGAGAACGCTAGATGGATCAGACTGATCGAGATCGAAGGAAGCTGACCGGATTAGGCTCAGCTCGGTCCGCCGTGCCCGTCCGCTTCCGAACTCAATCAGATTGAAGGAAAGGAGCTGATGACTTCGCTGACCATGCACCACATCGTCTGTCGGCTCTATACCTGGTCTGTAATCCATCATGCGCTATCCCAAGTACGTTGTACTCTGGATCGCCTACTCTTTGTTGGCTGTAGGATCATAGCGGCGCGTCGCTGGGCGACTGCGCCGACAGATCTCAGAACAGGAGCACGTCGCTGGATGTCCTTGCGACGTCGCAGCGACGTCACGGCGTCGCGGCGCCGCGCCGGCGCCGACTAGATCTGAGATAGCGCTAGGTGAATATCCGGGTTAGTCACTGTACGGGCCGGACAGAATTGTCTGTCCGGGTGTCCGGACACTTTACATTAGTGTCGGACTGACGGCGCTGAGTGGCGGCGAGGCAACGCCGCCACCCAAGTATCCTATAGCACATAGAGACGTGAGACGTCGTCTAGCGACGTCCCAGCGACTCGTCGGCGTCGTGTCGTCGCGTCGGTGTCGCGACGCAGCGACGCCAGCAGGACTATATAAGTAGACCTGATCGTGTCCAATGCATCTTCATTCTGCTTTTGTACTTCTACCTTCCAAACTTCAACACTCTTCGCTTGGATCGCACGCGATTCCTCTGAACTTCCTTCGGCCTGGACCGGGCTGCTATTTACGTATCGATGGACGCCTCCTCGGCTTTGATGTCCTTCAAGAGCTTTCATCACATCGATCAATACCTCCCAAATACATCAAGGGTGAAGCAGGCGGAGCGAGTGCACCTCGACCTCAACAGGTGGGGCACACCCGGGCCGCAGTGAGTGAGCTGCACAGTGGTTCGATTAGCGAGCTCCGGCTGATATACTAGCAAGAGGAATTCTGGACGCTCTTCAGATGGTGCCTGCCCGTCAAGTTTGGGCCGCTTGGTGATCAACTCGGCCAAGTTGGCTATATTCCTAGGTGAGCTGTGCGTCCGATCGACCTGACCCACCTATGCCACACCTTCGTCGTCGAGTCCGCGGCAATGCTGACTAAAAGATAGCTGGAATCATGGCGATTTCCACTGATTATGATAGCACTGTTACTCCTCGCGACTGAGATATACCATACTGGTCATGCTGTCGCCCGGGTTTTGGGTTCTTTGAACGAGCTTTGTGCTCCGTATCAAGAATCTGGAAGACTGTGGCCCCGGTTCCGTTACTGATACCGACGGAGTCTCACACATCTGCTTGCATGACGTATGTACACCCAATGCCACCGGACTACTGACCAGAACCATCACACAATAACAGTCTCCTGCTCATTGTCCATCACTCCGGACCTCGCAGATCGCTGCTCTCAGTCTCCCTTCCTTGTTTGCCTGTCTGTCAGCTCGAATAGGAATGCAGACTTGCTCGGCTTTCCGGCCTGATACAATCAGGTTAATCCGTCGCGATTCCAGTCAAGACTCACATGTGCTCGATCATCCCAGGGCCATGGTATTCTTCGGTCGCGCCGGAATGCACGCCAGCAATGCTGGGAAGTGGCAGTGGAGGAGATCCGTACCAGTCTATCTCGCGCAGGGTCAAATTACCCAGGAAGGTCTCGCCTCGGACGAGCGTACTTGTAGGGAGTGCCGACCGCCATACGTTGATAGTTCTGGTCTCTTCGCCCCGAAGAATCTGCTCGCCCTTGGAGTCGTAGGCCAGCAGCAGAACATGGTTTTCTCGCATGTCCCAAATCAACTCTTTCATGTTCTCCGCGCAAATCGAGTCACGCAAGCGGTATGCTTCCGACCTTTCCTCAGCCTCCAGGTGCTCGTAATATCTGGATGAAAACACGACGGACCGCGGCAGTTTCAAATAAGGGTCTCCCTCCGGTCGGACAGCACAGGCCGTCCACACTTGGCACAGGACCGTATCCGTGTCCTGGACCGCGTGTCCTTGCCTGAGTAATAGGCTACCTGATTTGCCTTGTTGCTCTGCCATGTACTTCATCACCTGCTTCATCGCTTGAGTGTGCCGAGTTCTGTTGTCGTCCCGTTTGGTTGAGACTGTGTCTCCCTCGCCATGAAGAGTTATGGCGTCCCGCTCACCGCGCGTGCGGGACAACATGGCGTCTGGCTTGGTGGAAAGGAGAGCTGGGGAGCGCTGGAAGAGGAGCGAAGATATGGATAGGCCGAGACACTGCTGTGCGAGGTCGACGTCGAAGAGCAGCGGGGCTACCTAGTGATGCGCTACCTCCCCCTCGATTCCAGCTGAGTTGGAATCAAGATAAGCTATGGTATAGCGCGTGCGACAGCGCCACCGGGTCTTCCTTTGCTTTCCAAGCTCCGCCAAATAGGTGTGGACGTCCCCCAGTACTCGCGAGCCTTATAATCACGCCTAAAACACGCACTTGCTCGCCGAGCGAGGTGCCCGACAGATCTCAGAAGATCGCTCCCTTCAACTCGCTTGGACCAAAGGAGTCGTGCCACGCAGGGCGTGCAGCAGACCGAAGGCGTGTTACCTGGCCTGATCACCGCTCTGCCCCGCTGCGACTACAGCGAGACTCTCAAGCCTGCAACTACAAGCCTGGAATGCCCGGGTGGCGAAGCATTCTACGCCTCCACGGAGGTCACGGAAATATCATCCAAGGGGATATGTGCTAGCTACATGGCAGGGAGTAACTGGATGAACTTTCTCAAGCTTTTGGTGATGTCGATATCATAACAGCTATGTACAACATACACAAGCTTGTTCTCGTCTCCCGATCGACACGTATATCGCACCACTGTAATCACCGCCTCGGGTCAACCCACGCTCGACGCACTCGCAAATCAAACAGTCCTGCACGCAGATCATTTGCTAGCGGAGGCTTTGACAGCATGAGTTGGCTCACTCAACCTGTCGAGATCTGCACTGGCAACAGGCACGACCGAGGGGGGTTTGCTCTCGTCAGCTTCGGCCACGCTGGACCAGGGAGCCGAGTGGACGAGCGTCCGTAGGAAACTCTGCATCGTTTCATTGAGGTCGGTCGGCCACTTTTGCTCCTCTTGGCCGCTTCTCTGACGCTCCGAAGCAGTCTGTCGACGATTGGCTTCTTCCTTGTACAGTTCGGCCACGAGCCGGTCGTATTCTTTGACCTTTTCGGGATCATCGACTGATCTCATCTCTGAGCAACTCGCTGGACCGACTCGCCGTAGAGTGATCGAGCCCAATTCACCATAACGAGGTCTGCGCAGGGCAGTGTAGGTGAAGATATCAGACAATCCGGGCCGGGGTGGGCCTGATTCGCATGTTGTGTGGGAGGCCGGGTGCTGCTGGTGAGAAGTCATGCTGTGAGCCGATTGTATCCGTGCAGATGATATCAGATATCTGATGGGAGTTCGACGGAACGGATGGGGGTGTATGGAGGGATGCAGGCTCCGGGGGGAAAGGGTATCAGCTTATAACCCGCCCAGGGATCAGCCCACCCGAGATCGAACGTGGTTGTTATGGACGCTCCTTTCACTTCTCGCTCCTCGCCATGCTCAACGCGCGACGACGTGAAAGGACTCCTCAGGTGCGCGATGATAAGAAAGCCACGTGCAGCCCGTTCCTTTTGAGCTTTGTCCTCACACCGTCGGCAGATCGCTCATAGTGTAGCACCGAAGCCAGCCACCCGATTCGGCGATGATCGATTATCAGCTGCATGATCCCAGGTCATCGCGTCACACTACCGTGTCTGCTCGATTCAGCTTTACAGTAAGCGCCTTCTCGTCCATCTCTTGCCTTACCGATGTGTTCACCTTGATCGACATTGGTACGGCCGTCTAGAGCCCCTTGAACTGGATGGATCAAGAGGACCCGCAGCAGGCAGCTCCGCGAGCAGGATACCTCGAAAGCCCCCATGGTCTCTGGTCCTCAACGCATCGATCCGAGCGATGTTCGACCTTCATGGTGAGCAGTGCGCTCCCTTGCTCATCAAGATCACAAGGTGCACAGTTGCGAACATAGGTTGCACTGCAATGGCTCGATGCACTAAGTCAGGCGCCACTCGTCACTTCCGCCACACTCGCCCGCCGCCGGCGCCACATGCGCGCCACACTCGACTCGACCGGACCCGACGCGTCTATGGTAGCATCGACTCCTGCAGTCGTCCCCTACTCACAAGTCGCATTGCTAGGTAGACTTCAGACCTCAGGCCTGTACCAATCCTCTTCACCACACAAGCGAGCTCGCGAACTTTTGGCGACCTCTGCCCCGCCAAGCGGCCAAATCGCACCACATTCCTCAACCCGCAATGTCCGCTCAAACTTACACCTTCCGCCAGCCTCAGTCCTCGGACGCTCCCGCCCTATCCCACCTATACGGCTCCGTCTGGGCGCACTTCTTCGCATATTCCGTCTCCCCCTCAGACCTTGAAGACTACCTCTCCGGCCCCCTCTCCCCGTCCTCAATCGAGCGCGACATCGCCGACCCCACCGCGCGTTTCCTCCTTGCTACCACCCAAACCCCCGACGGGAAGGACACCATCATCGGCGCGGTCCAGCTCGCCACTGGCATGTCTGAGCCATGTCTGGCTGAATCATCCACCATCCACCTGCGGAGATTATACATCGATATGGCGCATCACGGGAGCGGACTCGCCGGGGATCTCATGGCGCGGACGGAGGAGATGGCGCGGAAAGAGGGGTACCGGAGCCTGTGGCTAGGGGTGTGGGAAGATAATAAGCGGGGGAGGAGGTTCTATGAGAAGATGGGGTTTGTTGAAAGGGGGCAGAAGTACTTTATGGTGGGCGAATCGAGGAGAAGGGACTTGGTACTGGAGAAGACTATATAGTCGGAACTCATGCAGGGTGCAGCTGGTGCTCGGCCTGGAGCGCTTGAGCTATTTGCGCTGGCGCTCCTACTCGCTTCTTGCTCGCTGTCTATCTGCCGAACTGAAAGCCAGCTTCCTGCATCCACCTTCTGCAGCTCGTACCGGCCCGGGATTGGCCGGACTCTGGCGGCTGGTCCGGCATTATTAGGAGAGTTGAGAGATGCTACTACCTTCCTTCATTGCTCATATCACACCTCAACCATCGTCGAGTGCCTCCACCTCGTCGGGTCGACCATACCCGACAATGCCTAGCCACTCGTACACACTTCGCCAGCCGACTTCCGGGGAGGCCGAGGCCTTATCAGCGCTTATCTGCTCGTCCTGGACGCAAGCTTTTGGACACGCCGTCCCCGCCTCCGTTGTCGAAGAAGCCATCGCAGGACCCTTATCCCCTTCTACTATCGAGCAACAGATATCAGACCCCTCCACCCACTTCCTAGTCGCCAGCTTCCAGCCGCAGCAAGGCTCCGAACAAATCATCGGGGTCGCCCAATTACGAGCTGGGCTGTCCGAGGCTTGCCTCCAGCTCCCCAACTCCACATCCCTCCGGAAGCTATACGTGGACGCGGCGCACCACGGGACTGGCGTGGCTAGGGATCTACTGCTAGCGGCGGAGGAGACGGCGCGAAAAGATGGGTGGAGCAGTATATGGCTGACGGTGTGGGAGGGGAATGCACGGGGAAAGAGGTTCTACGAGAAGATGGGATACGAGGTGAAGGGTCAGAAACCGTCTGATCTGAGAGGCGGAAGTAGAGGAATTGTGGACTTTGTCATGGAGAAGGCGCTGTAGACTGTAGGGTAGCGTAGCATGCGCGTTTTGTGCCGCACGGCAAGGCAGCGCAAGGATCCGCTTCGCCTTTGTCGACAACCAAGACAGAAGTGACCCACCTAACCGTCAGATCAGACAGTCCTCGCTATACATCCTGCTGATGAGGAGGAGACCAAGCTACCATGCGTCCCGTGCGTGCTGGCCTGCAACCTGCATGGCTGCGGTCTCCGCATTGCGCAAGATGGGACAGCGGAGCAGAGCTTTTGGCTATGTACGTCACCTCGGCACCCTGAAACACGACGAAACTCCCAAAGGGGTAGAAATTCGCTCATTCAGGGTTGCTGCGTTACATCACGGAGAAGGAGAAAGAACAAGATCAAACTCACAGCCACTGCCGAGTGAGTGGAGCAGCAGCGATACAGATGGGCACAGCGACGTCTTGATCTGATCCATAACCTCGCTCATAACCTATAGACAGACTCCCAGCGATTTCCCGAAGGTTACCCATCGAAGGAAGGCCCGACGCCGTTCTTGCCAAAGCCAGAAAATCAAACGCGTGCAGGCACGCGTCTGAGGGTCTTGTTTGCGCAAAACTCTGATATCAACGGATACTTCGCCACTGAACGACAGTAAGCGGATCACAGGGAAGCCGGAACGCAGGACACTTGTGAGTCGTATATGTCATCTGCCATGGCGATGCAGAGATGTGGAGAAGGCGGAAGGAGGCACGGAGCTGGAACGGAGGTCTGTGCGAGATCTGTGTGTGTCTAAAGGGACGAGCGGGGGACACCTTTAGCAAGGGGAAACTTTGCTTAGCTGCCCTGTTTGGCCGTGCCCGTCGAAGGACATGCCACTCGCCACCCAAGTCACCTCGACTTGCTATCCCTCATCCTCGTCTCTTCGCAACCCTTCTCGCCCTTAGTCCACTTCATTAGTTCTACTCGTATCTGACAACTACAGACAGCTCTTACAGCGAATCACTCTCATTCATCGTCGATCACTCCACTACCCCCGTCCACGCCCCTTGACGACCTCATACACACTATCCTTTCACCAAGTCCACACCTCTCCCTTCTATCTCGGCCCCTCAGCCCCAAGGTCCAACACAGCGAAACGCGTGACATCGCTAAACAAGAGCCATCCTGTAGGTCTGATTCCTACCTTACCGCTCAGCGTGTGTTGTACACACTCCTGGGAAACTGTCGATATGGATCCCAACTCACTCCCTCAGCCCGCACATCCACCCATGATCCTCGTCTAAATCCTATCGAAACGTACGAAATTACATTGGCGGTCCCGCCTCGCCAACACGCGATGCGGCGCAGGAGACAAGGTGGTGCTCTAGCCACAGTAGTGCCGTTCCTGGCACTGTTGGCAACGGCTCAGGGCGTCATTGCTGGGCATAATGGGGAGAAGCCACATCGGCGGTCTAGGACAAGAAGTACGATAGAGGAACGACAGGTCGGGCTTGATGTCGGACGTGAGTAGATCTCGCATGACGCGGATGGAAGGAAAAGCTGATGATGCAGTTCTGTCGTCAGACCTCGTCGTCCTTGAGCTTGCCGCCAGCTCATCCGCCGTCTCGTCAACGCCCACATCCACGTTTACTTCGACTACGACCTCCACCCTCATCTCGACAGTCACCTCAACCGCGTCCTCATCGGCTGTGGCCTCTGCCTCATCGCAGTCCACGGTCAACGCATTGGTCGCTTCCGAATCGCCGTCGTCATCCGGCAGCGCGGTCGCTGAGCCGGTCGCGGTTACCGCGACAAGTACCATCGTCGCGTCAACTTCCACGGCGGTATCGTCATCGGCTACAGTGATCCCCAGCTCAACTGCCGTTGCTGAGTCTGTACCCGAGTCGTCTTCAGGCAACACCGGCGGAGCTGCACGGCCCAATACGCCTGGTGAGTTAGATACCAATACCTCAAAGTTCTTCAAATTTCCTCTTTCCCTTTCCTCGTTAGAATTGTTCAACCTTGTTTCACCCTCCTCCCCCTTACCTTTCTCAACCCGACACCTGGTCGACAGTCTTCGATGGATCGATCGCCAACTATCTTTCCCAGTCGCCGACGCTCGAGCTGTTCCGAGGGATACACCAAAGGAGGCGTTGGGCAGACGCCAAGTACCCGGCGAGAGTTCAGGGGTCCCGGGCCCCGGAGTCGCGGGTCCTAGCTCACTGCCGCCGCCAGCAGCGCCTGCAATACCCACATCACTACCCCCGGCCGCAATTCCCTCATCGCTTCCTCCTCCAGCAGGTGTACCGAGCTCGATCATTCCACCACCTCCGCCACTCCCTGGGGCGGTTACGTCCAGAGTCGATCCGCTCTTCTCGGAACCCGGGTTCACCAAGCCAGATCGACCAACGATCAGTATACCCTCACAGGCACAGGACACTGCCTGGCAATTCGGTCAGCCAAGTGTGACCACGTCATCAGCACCTCCTGGGGCGCTTCCAGTCGCTTCGAGCTCGATATCATCGCCCGAACCAGCGCCGATCCCGGTCTCCTCGACTTTAATCCCATCGGCCTCCAGCTCTGCGGTTCCGGCGCCCGGACTTGTCTCGTCTACCTCGGTCGCAATGCCAGCTGCGGCTACCACGTCTCTGCCGGGTGGAGCAGCCGGTCCAAGCGGGACAAGCAGTGCACCACCAAGCGCGCAGCCCGTATCTGTCACTGTCTCGGTCTCTCTCGCTGGGCCAGCATCAAGCGTCTCCAGCTCGGCCGGGGCCCCTCCTGGCGTTTTCAGCATCAGCGGACCTGTTCCTGGACTTCCTGGAACCTCGTCAGCGCCGCCTTCCGGGATCGCCTCCGCGACGATTTCCATTTTGTCTTCGACCTCGTCCTCAGCTGTCCCGCCCCCGATCGGAACCTCGTCGACTATCTCCCAAATAGCGCCTATCCCGGGTCAGACGAGCCTAGTTCAGACTTCGATAACAGGATTTGCCACTGGAAGTATCATCATCAGTGCGACGTCGTCGAATACCGGTTTGCCTGCGGCAACGTCATCTGGCCCGCCAGGCCTCCCAGCGAGCTCATTATCGATCTCCAACGGCAACATCGGCTCAGTCTCCTCACCGATACCTCTTTCATCTTCGAGCCTTCCCCCATCCCTTTCTCTATCTACAAACGTTCCTCCCCCTTCTTTACCTTCAAATTCTTCATCTTCTGGTTTGCCTGAAAGTCAAAGAAGCAGCACTAACGTGCTCCCTCCAGGTCAAGCGAGCGCAACAACCTCCAACTCGAGCGTACCGGCTGCTCAGGTCAGCTCGAGCGCAGGTTTCAGCACCTCGGCTGGCAGCTTCAGCGCCAGCTCGGCTCCCGGTGTTGTCGCCTCTGTTACCAGCTCAAGCGGTGAGTCGTGTTCTTGAGCTTTGAACCAGAGCTGATCGATAGATGGCGCAGTCACAAGCTCTGCAACTCCGTCAATCTTCGACAACAGACCGACATCCACTCTGCTCCCTGCTGCCGGTGAGTCGCTTGCGTTATAAGCTGTTGCATGAGCTGACACTCCAGCTTCGCAGACCAGCACACCGGCTGCTGGCGTTGGGTCTTCTCAAGTCACCAGCAGCAGTGCGATCCCCTTCGTACCGGGTGTGGCGGTGTCGTCAAGTGAGTCCTGCCAAATGATAGATGGACGGAAGCTGACGTTGATAGGTACCGTCTCGGTAGTGGCAAGCTCCGACGATCAGCCGACTCAGACCTTCTCGTCGACCGATAACCGCCCCACGGCTACTCTGACCCCATCGGGAACCTCCTCGTCGGCAGGAGTAGACCAGGTCTCCTCCCAGGGGGCGCCGATCCTGTCTATCAGTCTCGGGCAGCCTGCCGCCTCCTCGTCGGCAGACGTGGCGCCAGTACCCTCACAGGCGACTCCAACTTCATCCGTCAACATCGGCCAGCCTGCTGCGTCTTCGTCGACCTCCCTCCAGATCGACGCGCAGCCAGCCTCGTCAACAGAGGTCAGCAGCGTATTCGGCGGTCCCACGTCCGTTGCGCCGTTCGTGCCCATCGCGTCAAGCTCCGAGAGCTCGTCCCGCAATGTCCCATCGAGCCTGGCGCCCCAGCCGTCCGACTTTAGCTTCAGCTCCAGCTCCGAGAACGGGGTTCCGTCCAACACTTTCCGGCCGGCTCCATCGGTCTCGTCCACGAGCTCGGCAGACGTACCAGGCGTATTCAGCCGCCCCGTCGACACCCCCAGCCAAACGTCCACCTCGTCGGCCGATGTCGCCGGGCCTACCAGTCGCCCAGCGGACCCGGCCAGCTCGAGTCGTTCGAGCGAGGTCATCCCCCAGCCGAGCGTGTCAGAAGCTGCCTCTGCTTCCAGCACCGTCAGGGCTGGGATCGAGTCCTCCTCCAGCAGGGCAACATCATCCGCTCTGGTGGTCGGGGACGGTCCAAGCGTGACTTTATCGGCCTCGGCCTCGAGCTCGATCGCGGTCGCTTCAGAGTCCGCTACACCCTCGGCCGTCATCTCGTCCAGCTCCGATGCTTGGTCCGCACCGGTCTCGAGCTCATCTGCAAACGCTGCGAGACCATTCTCCTCCTCCAAGGAAGACGTCTATGTCCCCACGCAGACATGGTTGATCGTGGCGTCGGTATCCTCCACCTCGTCGGTGACCACCACGACCACATCTACTCCCGCCCCGTCGCAGACCGGTTCGACCTCCACTCAACCCCTCCCTCCCACCGCCGTTATCCCCAACAGCGTCCCTACCCTCATCGTCCCCGCCAACTCTGCCGCCAACAAGGAGTTTGCCGGTTCGGGCTCGGAGAAGGATCCGCTGAAGGATACTACGTTGATCTCGCTCTTGCTCGCTGCTGATCAGTACCCGTGGACCTTTGTTGTAAGTTCTCGAATTTTGACACTGGAGTGACGCTGATCAATAGGTCAAATCAGCCGATGCTACCTCGCAGCTTTTCAACACCTTCCCCAAGCTCGTCGCTGGCGCACTCGACGTCTCCGAGGAAGAGGTGCAGACATACGGTCTGCAGGTGTACCAGCCAGCCGCATGGAACGGCGATCAAGCCGCCCTGCTCACGCAATGGCTCGCCTACATCCCGGACGCGAAATTCGACACCCTCAACGCGTACCTGAAAGCGAGCAACTCGCCCCTCTTCAATCAGACCGGTATCCAAGGCGAGCTCGCTGCGCAGATCAACACCGCTTTCCCCCTCGCGGCCAACAGCGAGACTGCCCCATCCACAACCACCACAACCGACTCGGACGGCGGTAGCACGCGCACGCGGGATATCATCATTGGTGTCTGCGTCGGCATCGGCGGTCTGCTCTGGATCGGACTGGTCTTCTGGATCTACAAGCGGATCAAGCGGAACAACGACCGCGCGGTGCATCGGCGGCTCTCGGAGCACATGTCGATGTTTGACGACCGGGACAGGGAGCAGCGGCGATACTCTGTTGCCGCTCCCTCTCTCGCTCCGTCAGACGTCGACGACCGGCCGTCCTCATTCTACGCCTCGCCCATCGAGAACGACCCGGCGTTCCGTCGTCAGCAGCGTCGATCACTTGACGGTGCCGATTCGGGCGACTACCACGGTTCTTTCGTCGGGTCCGGCGGAACGGGCGAGCACTCCCCCACCTATCACCCGTCCGTCTTTGGCACGTCCTGGTTTGCCAACCCGCAAGGCCAAGGCGGTCGGGGCGCTGGTGGCGAAATGCGCCAAGTCCCCGCACAAAACCCCTTTGAGGATATCGTGACTCGGTCATACCTCCAAGCCTCCGGATCTTCGAACGGCGGAATCAACAGTATGGCGCAGAGGCGGAGTGGACCCGGCAGGCCGGTCCAGAAAGCGATGATTGGCCAGCCTACGCTGCATGCCAGTTCGCTCGAGTTTAGGGAGCAGTAAGGCAGGGGAAGGGGATGAGGGGGGATCTAGGGACGTATATGGAAATCAAGACAATCTCTGGACATTTATCATTTCGTAGTAGACCATTTGATACCTCGACTCTTTAGACTAGCGTCGGTAGTAGCTCATCGTCTCTCTTGTAGGGTGCGGGGCGAGCGCGGCGGTAGTCTGAAGGGGTGGGAAGGGCGACGTAGAGGGGTCTGGCTGGTTCAGCCCGTCCAGTCGTCTTCGGGCAAGGGATTTTCGGTTTTGTTTTATTCGTAGTCACTGGCAGGTGCGATGCACTCTTGTCGCTGTATGTGCACAGGCTCGGACCTAGCAGCTTGCTGGGCAGACATGACCACAACACCAAGTGCAAACCAGATCGAGGAATGTGGAGTTTTGGTGGAACCAAACAAACCCAAATTCTGATCCAGTCAACTTGACTTCACCGCCCTCCCTCCATCTTCTGGCCGTGTTCTACATACGCCTTGACACCAACTGTCGCTGGCGATAAGAGAGATAGCTCTGTATTCGATCTTACTCAGCGTATCGAAATGGTTCATCCTCTCCACGGTCTCTCGCAAGCGATCCATCAAGACCATCTCTCACCACCTTGCAAATTCTTCCTGTACTCTACAATCGTCCCCCATAGCATCGATACGCTAGGGGAAGTATGGGAGGTTCGGCTCTATGCTACGGTAGGCGGTGAGCTGGAGTTGTGGGTGTCCACCATCGGTATGAACGAGGTAAGTCCTCCTTTTCGACGCCTCCCGTGTTTCAGGATCGATGGGCAGAAGGGTCATCTGTAATAAAGCGTGAAGCTCGAGAGGCGCCTAGGCCGCTGACGAACTTAGTTGCCAGCAGAAGGTAATGTGCTGGCGGAAGCGATCAAGGGCGGTATGCTGCATGTCGTTCTGAAGGGAAAGCAGGGCTTGCAGAAGGAGACCAAGCTTGAGGTCAGCACTTTTTCCCAGTGTTTACCTCGTCATCGTGTTGATACATCTCGCACTGAAGCTGAAATGAGACAGCTTCAATTCTTGCGCGCAGAAGAGCAGCCAATCACTATCAGACTGGAGCCGGAAGAAGACGAGTCTGGCGGGACAGAACTCCTCGAAGCCGCATTCTCTGTATGTCCTACCTGCCTTTCTCGTCGCATCTGCGCTCAATAACGCTTGGCTGATACTTTTCAGTTACTCAACTGGAAGCCGACAGGAGGAGGATCCTCTGACAAAGGTGAGTTTGAGCGGCCCCTCTCTCCCTTACAAGACCTAGCTCAGGCCAAAGCTGACCCTCTCCAGCTGAGCTGAGGAGCCTCCGAAACCAGATCGCTAAGAAGGATGTCAGCTACTACATCCTCCTCCAGAAGGACAAATAGCTGACAGTGTCAGGCGGAAATCTCAGAGCTGCAGACCAAGGTGATCTCGCTCAAGTCTACGGTGCTGAGAGCTGCTACGGAGGAGAACAAGAAGAAAGGTACGAGTCATTTATGTTCTCTATCCCCATGGTGCCTCGACATCCGCCTGAGTACTACCAGTGCTTGTCGCATAGGGGCTGATCCTATAGCGCTGGTAAGCCCCAAGAAGCCAGTCGGCGCCAGTACACTGCAGCCGAACGCTAAGCGGTGAATTTGCCTTTAACTTGGTTATAAGGAGTAGGAAGCTGATATCTTCAGGCGGAAAGCGGTTGCTGACGAGTTCGCCGGTAGCGATAGCGACTGAGGCGACGGCCCTCTTGCTTCTCACGCGCGACATGGCGAGGCCTCCCATGTGTATAATCCCTCTCAGAAGCCACCGAACATCCGGAAGTAGGGGCCACTTCTCCACGCCTACATCGGATGAAACACAACATGCCCCCCCTCGTCGTCCATCCTGGTCTACATCTCCCCTCCGGGTCCGACTATGCCCGTTCCGACGGCGCTCGCACTCAATCCCGCACGCCGCCGCTTGCTCCTATCGCCCGTCTTAAGGAAATGGACGATCCCCAGCTCTGGCGGGATGTTCTCCCCGACGACCGTGGTGGATTTGACAAAGTCCATAGAGCCGGATGTGACTTTCGGTGCTGGTTCGATATCTGGTGGGCGGGGCGTCTCCTGAGAGGTCAGCTCTGGCACAAACGACATATCATACCCGTCAGCCTGACGGGAAGCTACTCACGTTCATATGAGGGGTACCGTACATCCACGTCCCGGGCAATCCAGGCGCCCAGTCAAAGGCATACGATGGGACTTCTCCCTTCCGTACCGCGCCTTTTGACGCTCCTCCACCAGTCGTATAGCTGTGGAGACTCTCCGTGTCTGGTTTCTGGTCCATGTGATCCGAGTCCACTTGGTCGCGGGGCTGATCTAGCGTCTGATCCGCTGCGAAGTCGACGAGCAGGTCCAGGGTCGTACGTTGAGGCCGTGATGATGGTTCAGGTGCTGTCTCCAGACGTATTGCTGAGTGGTCAGTATAGATTATCGCGAGGTAGCTCCGTATAGGGAAGTCATGAAGGGCATGGTACGACCTACCTGTTCGTCTTCGCTTGCTCTCCCTTCTCAGCTTCTTCGTCGCCATGACCTCGTCTTGAGCTACCAGCGCATCCACCGCATTCGGAGCTTGTCTACCAGCGTGCTCCGCATACTCTGACGCCGTCTCGAAGAGGCGCTGAATATCTGGGAGTGGATCAGCAAGCTGTCCGATCCTTCACGCATTTGCTGTCCGGCCGAAGCACGTTCCCCTTTCCCAGTGAGGCATGGGATGATACGTACGGCTCTCTACCAGCCTCTCCATTTCCCCTAGCGCACCCGCTTCTGCGCCGTCGAATCCCTTCCGCCGCAATGTCGTTATGAGGAGGTATCGTAGATATCCGGCCGGGGTGGAGGGAAGGAGGTGCGTCGAGAGGTCGTCCAGCGAGGACAGGGTGATGGGGGCTGTCATTTTGCCAGCTAATTCAGATTGATCTAGCCCACAGTGATGCAGGTCTCGGCTGACTTGTACGGCGCTCGAGATGGTGTAGTAATACGAGGTGATACACAGGCGAAGAAGCAAGCGACGGAGGCGAAACGCGCGAGACGAGCAGGTCAAACGTCAAGTGGAGGCAGATTCTGGCTCAGCCTTTCAAGTCCTCGTCTAAACCGCTGCTTGGAGCGGGGAAAGAACGTCTGAGCAGTGTAGGAAGACAGCGTAGGCAGCGATAAGACCAAGTAGTGATATTATGCATACAGATACCGCGTGCCGCAGTTTTTACCTCTCCAAGTTAGATCCAACACCGGGCCACCTCATCCTCTCAGAAGAGTGCCGGTTGGCCCCTCCTCATCTACTCGCGACCGGGCCGATAACCAAGTTTATATCCGGACAGATCACTCGGCCTTCTCTCCGTTCCGCTTCTCGATGAGAGCCCGTCTTGTCTCGGAAGCCTGATCGTCAGCTATGGCCGCCCGCTCGAAGGAGCCTCCAATCAGCTCACCTTGTTCAGGCCGTCAAGCATATCCACGGTCATCTCCCAGTCGACGCAAGCTGCCTCGTCAGCTTGTCACTCAGATCTCCGACTGGACCCAAAGCTCACCGTCTGTGATCGAGACACCGTACTCGAGGTTCTCTCTCGGCTGATCTGAGCTCTGCTTGCCGCCCATCAAGTTACTCTCGAACCTGGATTGACATCAGCTGCGCGTTCTCCTCCTTCTATTGACCAAGTGCCCCGCTAAGCTCACATGATACCGACAATGCCCTCCTCGCCAGCTGCGATCTGCTTTCCGACGTCCTCTGCGACCTTTGGCTGGTTCAGGTGATTCTTGGACGAGTTGCCGTGGGAGCAGTCGACCATGAGCGAAGCTGGAACATTCGGGTTCTTCTGCTTGATGTCGGTGAGGGCCTTCTGAACGTATTCTGAGCTATCATCGTCAGCTTGTTGCACCTCTGGAAGCTATGATGAGCTCACGCGTAGTTGGGTCCGCCACTTCCACCTCTTAGGATGACATGGCAATCCTTGTTCCCTGCTGTCCGGACGATACTGGCCATCCCCTGGCTGTTGATACCCATGAAGTTGTGCGGGTGGCTCGCGCTCTGCATGGCGTCGATGGCGACACTGACAGAGCCATCTGTGCCGTTCTTGAAGCCGATGGGGAAACCGGAGCCGGATGCGAGTTCTCGGTGAAGCTGAGACTCGGTAGTCCGGGCGCCAATCGCTCCCCAGGTGATGAGATCAGCGATGAACTGGGGGCTGAGGGATCAGCTCAAGCACCCCAAGACGAGGTCAAAGCTGACGTACCTGATGGTATCCAGCAGCTCGCATCCAATCGGCATCCCCATCTCGTTGATATCCCTCAACAGCTCCCTCGCCAACCTCAACCCCTTGTTGATCTGGAACGTTCCGTTGACATCTGGGTCATTGATGAGACCCTTCCACCCGACAGTCGTCCTTGGCTTCTCAAAGTACGCCCTCATAACAATCTCCAATCCTGGCCAACGGCCCTCGGCGACGCCTTTGCGTAAACGGCTGGCGTACTCCTTCGCCTGATCAATATCGTGGATGGAGCACGGACCGACGACTACCAACAGCCGAGGGTCGGTCTGCGCAACGATGGAGGCGCATGTCCGACGCGAGGAGGAGATGGTCTTGATGGCGGCAGGAGTGACTGGGAGGTCGTGGCGGAGGAGCGCGGGAGGGATGAGGGGGTCGTACTGGAGATCAGCATCACGGAATATGGCGTCTGATGGGGAGCAGGGGCCTGTCAGAGAGTGCGTAACCTACGCCTGTGACATTGTTGTCATCCAGAGGGCGGCTCCTATCGGGTGAGTGAGTAGCGACGGGCATAGTGGCAGTAGCTAATGATAGTGATCAAACGTGTATGGTGTCAAGGTCCTTCCAACTTTTTACCAGCAGAGCCCAGGCCTTTGCGATTGCCGACTCAGAGTAGAGGTACACCGTGGGAAAGACAGCGGACTTACCTTTGAAGGAGATGAATCTCCGTCTCCGTGTCTCGGTCGCCGATTAGCGCCAAAACCGCGCTAGGGTTAGTAACCGGTTAACGATTTCACTCCAACCGTACCTTCGTCTCCCCACCTCAAGTCACCATCACCAAAGCTATATTAACAGCTGCCCCACTCCGGCTATGGCTCTTCCAACAATACCGCCACCGTTTCGCCCACCATGCCATCGACTAAATCTTCATTCGACAGCGAAGAGCACCTCGACGTGCTCGTCCTTGGGGCCGGCGTCGCCGGGGTGAATGCCGCCTACCTCGTCCGATCCCAGCTCCCATCAGCCACCTTTGCCGTCCTCGAGGGGCGCGATACCATCGGTGGGACCTGGAAGTTCTGGAAGTACCCGGGCTTCCGCTGCGACTCGGCCATGAGCAGCTACGCCTTCACTTGGTACCCCTGGAAGCACGAGCAACAGGTTGTACCCGGAGGGCGGATCGGCGAGTACGTCGACGAGGCGGTAGATGCTGTGGGGCTGAGGAAGGACATAAGGCTGGGCCACAAGGTGAACGGTCTGGATTGGCGGTCGGATGAGGCGAGGTGGGCGGTCGAGGTGCAGGTCAAGGGGGAGGAGAAGCCAAAGATCATCACGGCGAGATGGGTCATCAGCTGCATGGGGTACTATACGTACGACAAGGCGTTGCCTGCCACCATACCGGGAATCGATAACTTTGGCGGTGAGGTCATCCATCCTCAGTTCTGGCCGGAGGACGCTTCGTGCGAGGGCAAAAAGGTCATCGTCGTCGGATCGGGGTCCACCGCGATGACCATCTTCCCGGCCATCGCGGACACCTGCTCGCAGGTCACCCTCCTCCAGCGGTCCCCCTCCTACGTCGCCAGTATCCCCTCTCAGTCGCGCTTGTCGGTCCTCCACCGCTTCCTCCCCGCCCTCTTGGCCTCGCGCATCATCCGCTTCGTCGGGCTGCTTACCGAGTACCTCTTTGTCGCCTTCCTCCGGGGCTACCCCACTGCCGCCAAGAAGGCGCTCCGCAAGGGCGTCGTGGCCAGGCTCGGTGCGGACTACCCCGTGGACACCCACTTCAAACCCCGCTACAACCCATGGCAGCAGCGTATGATTCTCAGCAAGGACGGCGAGCTGTTTGATGCGCTGAGCAAGCCAAACACGGAGATCGTCACGGACACCATCCAAACCGTGGACAAGACGGGGGTCCTCACGTCCAGCGGTCGTCACCTTGACGCGGACATGATCATCACTGCCACCGGGCTGTTCGTTGACCCCACCGGGAGCTCGCGCATCTCCATGGACGGCGTCCCCAAGTCCCTCAGCAACCGCTTTGCCAGGCGCGGGACGATGCTGGAGGGTATCCCCAACTTTGGCTTCATCACCGGCTTCCTCGTCGGCTCGTACACCCCTGGCTGTAACGCCCTTACCCAGAACTTCCTCAAAATCATGAAGCACGCCGAGGACACGGGAGCTGTCACAGCGACGCCAGAGATGCCGGCGGAGGAGAAGAAGGGGGTAGAGACAAAGAGCTTCATGTCGATGACGAGCACGTACTTTGTCGAGGCGCAGGATAGGTTGCCGGTGGTCACGGGGAAGGGGGTCTGGCATGGGAGGGAGAATCTGTGGAAGGATACCAAGGTCAACTGGTTTGGGAGCATGACGGAAGGGATGCGGTACGACAAGGCGGTAAAGGGTGCGAGCAGGAAGAAGGCCGAGTAGGGTCGTGTTCATGCGATAACATGTAGGTTTCCCCTCTCTGAGTTGGCTTTGGCGCACTGCGGTCAGCAGCTGATCTCCCAGTCACGTTTAACAAATCGGCATATCGATAACTATATATCTAGCTTACTTGTATCAAGTCTATGCACCTAGTTTGTATCCTTCACTCAGCGTGGCGTTTGTATGACGGCCATACTCGAAGCCCAATCACCATAATCGCGCAGATGCACAGTCTGAAATTCGTATCGACTCCACGGCTATAACGCCGCAATTCTCCGTACACTCGGATTGAGCGGGTTGAGCTGGTTGACGCTGACATGACCGGCGCTGAGCGCTGAAGCGCTGACCCTGTTACGTTGTACGTGTGTAACCGACAAGTTACGCTTTCCTGCATCACCTTTTATTCGACCTCTCTGGCTAGCTCTTCACCTTCGTCACGCTGCGCTATGTCCGACACCGCCGCCGCCGAGCCCCAAACGGATGCAGCCAAGCGAGCAGCAGCTCGGAAGGCCAAGATCCTCGCTAGGGGCAATACGGGTCTTCAGAAGCTCGCTCAGACAGCAAGAGGTGATGAAGCGGACAAGCTATACGGCGGGGACTGTGCGTCTTCTCCTGGAGCTCAGGACATGGAGACAATCTGATGAGACAGCTGCATCGTCATCACGACCTCTCACTCCGTCCTCCCCTCCTGCCCGAACCGAGTCTGCGCCTTCTTGGATTCCTCCAAACCCTGCCGGCGGGAACGCAGCCCAAGGCGATATGTCAGCGGACCAGCAACAGCAGTTCCAGGCGATGATGTCGATGCTCGGAGGCGGTGGGGCTGGGATGGAAGGTGGACCACAAGGAATGCCAGACATCTCCAACCTCTTTGCGCAGATGATGGGTCAATCCCCTGGCGGAGCTGGCGGACCCAACCTCCTCGGCGACCTCGACGACCCGGCCGGACTCGGAGGAAACCCCTTCGATCCGAACGGCGCGGGGGGCATGCCAAGCTTTCCGGACCTGTCGCAGCTCGCGAACCTCGGAATGGGCATGGGCGGGATGGGCGGGATGGGCGGCATGGGCATGCCGCAGAAGGGGAAAGGATGGGTTGAGCGGTCGTTCCCCTCATCCACGCCCTGGGGGTTCTGGCGCTCTTGGCGTTCGTGGTGGGGTGGTGGGAGCCGAGTATACGGCTAGCAAGATGGGCGGGGGCGATGGAGAGTGGGGTGGTGCCGAGGTGGGCGAGGCTGGCGGGAAGGAGGGGTGGGTGGGGCGGAGCAAAGTCGGGGCTGTTGGGCGATGTTGAAAGCTTGGTGAGCTTCCTGTTCTACCTCGTGTTGCCTAAACATTGCTGGGATATAGCTTACACACATTAGCCGCTCTTCTGGGGGTTCACGACGCTCGAGCTTATCCTCCAAACGACCCGTTTCCTCATCCTCAGAGTACGCCTCTCTCCCGCTTCTTCGCATCGAATCTAGGCTGACGCTTTGATAGTCCCCACCGCCCCCTCATTCCCTCATCTCAACCTTCCTTCCCATGCTCCCGCCCAAAATCTCTCGACCCCTCCTCACCGGCTCCCGGTACCTTACCATGTTCACCCAGATCTACAAGGACGGGTGTCTCCTGATCTTCGGCGTGGGGCTGTTCCTCATCCTCTCCGAGTACTTTGCGGCATGACCGTGATATCGGAACTCGGGTATCGACATGCATTAGGTGATGCATCGGGGCGGAGCACTGCTGATTATGCTAATTACTGCTATATTCAAGGTCGACCAAGACATTGTCCGATGATTACTCCAGATCTAATTGCCAAGATCCTTAGATTTCCTCTTATCCTTCTCAATTCCTCCCTCCCGTCTCATAGGCGCCGGATCAACAATAGCCACCAACCCCCTTATCCCTTCGAGTTCGGCCGCCTCGCTCTCCGCCCCTCCTCCCCGAGTATATGGCAGCCATACCACCGCTGTTGGCTGAAGCATCTCTGGCGGATACACCAGCCCCCGGTTCGTCTCGCTCGGATCATGAAAGAATCGGTCGCCGTCCTTGTCCCGCCCAACGACTAGGTCTCGGCGGGTGACGGATGCGAGTTCGGTGTATACCATATCGTCGATAGTGTGCGGGCGGAGGGGGAGAGGACAGCTAGTGGGAAGGCGAGAGTATCCGGGAAGGAGGGTGGTGAGCCGCTGGAGCATCGACGAGTCCGAGGCCGATCGCGAGTGGAGGGAGTGTGAACGTTGGGCGGGATGGATGAAGCGCATGCTCTTAGTCACCGCATCGAGGCTGGACCGGGTGGACGAGTCGAGATGCTTACGCCGCTTCTCAGGGAGTCGCCGAGCCGTGAGTGCTTCCGAGAGGATCACCGCCAAGAGCGCAATCGCGCAGCTAACTCCGCCAATCGCCCATTCCCGACGCGAGAGGAGGATCAGCCCATAGAGTAAAGGCTGAATCCCGAGACACCACCCCAAACGGCGAACGAGCCATAGTCCGAGATACCCGTCGCTGAAGCTGAAGTCGACAAAGACTCGGTCGGTCATGTGCCGGAGGACGACGAAGGAGAGGTAGAGGAGGATAAGGAGGGGGATGCAGAGGAGGGGGAAGATGAGGGAGAGGGAGAGGGTGTAGAGGACGGCGAGGAGGGGACCGGCGAGCAAGAGCGCGGACGAGAGATGAGCGGGACGACTGACTGTGAAGGTGGTCAGCTGCGGGATCTGACAACTGAGGGTGATACATACTCACGGCGGAAGCGCCACCGAGGCGTCTTTGCTGTCCGCCTCTTTCGGAAATGCCGCAACAGTCGGCGGGGCTGGAGCAGTATGATGGCAGGCAAGATGATCGCGACATTCAGTAAGAAGACGAACAGCCACCACGCTAGATCGTAAGCCACTACCTTGATCATCCGAGCTGAACGAGACTGACTGGAGTAGATCGATCCATCCGCAACGTCCCGCAATTTCTGCGCATCTCCCGCTAGACCCTGGACCGCAAACTCCAAAGACGAAACGAGCAAGGCCCAGGCGATACAGAGGGACAGCTGACTTGTCAGCTGATATGATTCGCACATCGGTATCTGTAAGCTTACCATCAACCAAAAGGTGGCCTGGGTAGCGAGCACGTCCCGGCGGCTACGAGATATCGTCGGTACGCGATGAGCCAGGACTGTGGATGTCAGCGAACCGGACCTCGCGGGAGTCAAAATGGCTCACATATGCTCCCTCTGATAGCTAGCAGGACGACGAAGCACATCACCAACCCCGGCACGAAGCCCTGCGCTGCCCCCGAGCCGAATCCGTCACTCCGTGCGAGAGGACCTAGGAAGGGCAAGTAGTGCGCAAAGCCGGGTGATGAAGCGTTGGAGAGGCCAATGAAGGGGATCACTATCTTGTCAGCTAAGTCCTGGAGTGTTCCGAGAATGAAGGGAGAGGCATAAGCTCACAGATCAGACCCAAGATGACGCCCAGTATTGCTATCCTCGCCCAAAACCTTGTCCCGCCCGCTCTGGCACCAACATTCCTCCAGTCTATATCCTCGATCGTACACCCCTCTATCCGCGTTCCGCCTGGTATGAAACGCACTCCTCGTCCTACTATCACCCACCCGACGGTATCCGCCCCAGTCGCCGCCGACCTCATCGCGACCAGCTGCAACGCCTCTACTTGATCATCCAAGACCTTCAGTCTCGTCCGCGCCGTCTCTACCCCGGGCGACGGATGCGAGCTTGGCGAAGGAACCGCTGAGGGCTGGACACTGCGATACGGCGGACTGGGCTGAAGGTCCAGCTGTCGAGCCGGACCGTCATGCAGCCTCGCCTCATCCCTCGACCCTTCTGATGCTCTCGAGTCAGCCTCCCCAGAGCCCCCCGACTCCCCCTCTGATTCGGACACAGCCCCGAGAACTCCAGAATGCCCTTCCTCACTTTCCGGGCTGGGGTCGGGAACGAATTTGCCCGACTCGTCCACCTTGATCGGCTGGCCGATCTCAAACTGGACAAAGCTGGCCTGGAGAGAGTTTCGATTAATCTCGCGGAACCGGGACGGCTCGCGTCGTGCTGCGAAAGAGGGGCGGTGTGGAGTACGGGATGATTGGGAGATGTCGGCGCTGGAACGGCCGGCGATGCGGGAGGTGGAGGCGATGGGTGGCTGCGCAGGCGTGAAGGGTGTGTCTGGCTGGCTGCGAGGGAGGTGAGCGGTCGAACCGTGCTGGCCCGAGTGGCCGAGTAGGTAGTCTGCCTCTTCCGCTTCGAGATGCAGCAGCGCGGTCTCCCGCTCTTCAACTTTGGCTCGTAATGCTGTCGTGTCCCTGCTGGTCAGGTGTGAGGTCTCATGCTAGAGTGAGTGCCAACTAGCTCACGGTATAGCAAACACCCCGACCACACTCAGCTCTACCGCCTCCGACCCCTGACCCTCCTCCTTTGGCTTCATCGCATCAAGCAACATCTTCCGCAATCTCTCCTCCGACAAGCCCTTCCACCCCGGTGCGTCCTTGGCCGACACCACAACCATCTCGATACCTCCACATGTCGCCTTCTCGAACTTCCGTCTTCTGGCCGATATCTGCGCATACGTCCTCGTGACGATCCACAGCCCGCCAACGAGACTCAGCAGTCCTCCCAGGACAAGAATCACGATGAGCCGGACACGAGCGGACGAGAGCGCCGGGCCGATAGTCTGCGGAAGAGCACGCCTAATCGGTGATAATTGGAGGAGAAGCTGGATGGACGAGTCACGCGATGCCGACTCCGGTGCTGGATCTAGCGAGTTGAGCAAGCGCAGAAGGCTCAGGTCGGATAAGAAGCCAAGACGACCGCCGAGGAGGTTCGTAGGGGAGGTCTGCGCGATACAGGGGTTAGTGACGAGTAACAAGGGGAGACCAGCGGCGAGCGCGACGAGGGAGGAGATGATGAGGAGTTTGAGGCTGGCGAGGACGACGGGGAGGGAGGAGGTCGCTGCTGAGCCCGAGGCGGCGGATGTGCTGGGTAAAAAGGGGAAGAGGAAGGCGAGTAGGGAGAAGGCTTTGGATGGACGAGAGCTGTGATGTCAGCTTGTACTGTACCAGACTGAGAGGGCGGCTGAAGTCAAAGCTTACTCGGAAGGCACGAAGTAGGTTCTGGGCGAGTAGAGCGCTGGTAATCTCCCCCTCAGTAGTGCCCATAGTAGCCACAACAATCCCCCTATGAGTACTGTGAATCCAGCTCCCGCAATCGTGCCCCACGCCTGAAAGTCCAGGTCGCCCGCGCAATTATTGATCGACGAGGGATCGGTGACTTGCGCCTGAGAAGCGGCGGTAGAGGAAGAGGAGGACGTTGATATGGCCGATATGGACAGCGAGGTCGAGGAGATAGAGGTAGATGCCGAAGCGGTAGCGGTGGGAGTCGGCAGGTCTGACTGACCGCTCGAGGGGACTCCTGTAGCTGACAGAGCGGATGTCTCTAGTGATGCGGTAGAGCCAAGTACGGGTGTGATTGTCGCCTCGAACGTGGACCCGCCCGAGGTCGTTGTGACGCGCACAACCGTCGTTCCTCCCCTCCCGCTCCCCGTTGCGCCCGCTCCCGCCGTCTCTGACCCACTTCTACTCCTTGTCTCGGCCGCACATGCAGTGTTCTCACCCAGCACCGACCCCGGAGGATTGACGGGCCCCTTTGACGCCGCCGCATCATATGAGCTGGACGAGGCCGTATAGAATGGCTGGGTATACCATTCCGGCTCCCAGGCGTAGGTGATCGAGTCGCAGGTGTAGAAGTGCCGTTTCGCCCACTGATACGTTGTGGGTTGGGTCGGAGCGGCCAGCGCTGGTGAAGGTATGGGTAGCATAGCAGAGTAAGCACTAGAAAGGGAGGCTCGAGCGGGAGGAATGTGGTCCGTGTGTCATGGCGAAGTGGTCGCGGGCCGTGGTAGATGTCGTCTGATCTTCGATGGGGAGGGATGTACGAGGATGGCGGTAGAGATGAGAAGCAAAGGTGAAGGGTAACGAAGCGATGAAAGGGTCGAGCTGTAAGCCAAAGGCACGCGGACGAGCAGAGATTGGCTCTGTGCCTGAAATTTGGCTTAGGGACAACCCATAACAGAGCCGTAACACGGGGTAAACGTTTCACCTCGAAACCTTGTTTCAGCTCATGCGCACGCGCATGGTACACCTTCACGTGTCCACAAGACGTCCACAAATAAGTCTCACTTGGGTTTCGCCACTTGTACGGCCTTTCACGTTCGCTCCGTATGGTCGCGAGTGAGGGCGACGCAAAGGCGGTCCAGAAACCAGATAAATGCAACACGCAGGGTTTTAAAGAGTTGCGCTTCGGTGCCCACCCCGTATGAGGAGAGTGATGCGGTTGCCGTCCCTGTTGATCTTGATCCGGGAATCGTGCGGTTGCCTGGCCCGTCCGGAAGTTTACCTTGCAGGGCCCTGCAAGGTAGGCTTTTGCTGAGTTTTGCGATTTCTCACTGTTTTTGTGTTTGGGTTCAAGTACCACACCGCAACCTGCAGAAGGAAGGCGGAAGTCCTCGTAGCTTCGGATAGTCGAGCATGCATAGTATGAAACATACGTAGAGCCCAAGAGTCTATAGATACAATCTGAGCCTGTTAGCGCCGCGTTCTCCAAATGGAATAGGACAACATACGATGGGTTGAACACAACGGTATTTGGCCTCTCGAGCATATCCAGCGATTTCGCAAACAGGTCCTCCAGCTCCGTGTTCCCAATAGCATGCGCCGCAGCTCCCATCTGGCGCAAGAGCTCTTGTAATCGGCGGAAACATCTAATGATGGAGCCCTCGAAGACATCTGTCAACTGAAAGTATCAGCTCTGGCCAGATTGTGCGCGGTCTTGACGGTCGAGGAGCTGTACCCACCTTGCAGATCTCGCTAAACTTGGCGCCCTTGCACCACTGCAGAACAGCATCCATCATCTCCACCTTGAAACTTTGGACATACTCGTCCTCGATGAGCGCGATACCGGACTCGGTCGATACTTTGGCGATCCGGCGAGCGGTCTCTTGTAGAACCCGAAGAGGGGTAGCGAGTTCTTCCTTGAGCCTGACTTTGGCTTCGGACTGCATAGTCAGCTTCCTCTTTCTCCTTCAGTCAGGACAGAGTCAGCAAACTGACCTTCTCCTGGAACACAAAGCAACTGAGCAACGCCGCACAATGTTCCGGCGCCAACCCCCCAAACGTTCCCCCAAACATCATCTCCGTCAATAACAGCTCATCTCCCGTCGAGATCTCACACGCCACCCTTCCCTTCATCTCCACTACGTCGTCCTGCGTTGCAAAGCCCAGCCGGCGAAGGACACGCTTGCGCGACTTGAGCTCTTCGAGCTGAAGGACGTCATGCACCGAGTTGATCTTGCGCTTGAGCGCCTTGACCGTGTCAATGGCGTTCTGCTTCGTGGCGTAGAGGTCGTACAAGCGGGGAAGGTCGGGTGAGGAGGCGATGGGTAGGGACTCGACCTTTTGCTCGAGAAGGGCGATTTGCTTCGCCGTCAGCTTGCCTCCTCTACTGGTACAGGTCGATAGCTCACCTTGACCAGATCCTTGAACGACTTGTCGTTGATCCCCATGTTCTTGATCGGGTCCAGCAAAGGCGGACCCTCCGGTGTCCTCCGCAGCGTCTCCGTGACAGCCTTGAACGTGCTATTCCGCTCCGCCTGACCCCGGAGGTCTTTAGGCAGGTTGATACGGTACTGCGAGATCGACTGCACTGTGGTGAGCAGGACAGCGACGACAGCGATCTGGCCTTGATCTCCGGGTGGTGGGGGCGGTAATTGCGCAGATGAGCGGTCTCGGCCGATAAGCGAGTCCGAGGCGATCCTGAGGAGGACATCGACGATGTAGGATTTCTGAGGAGGATCGTCCTCTGAGATAGCTTGTATGCGACCCTGACGGTGTTAGCTTCTCAAAAGCGTCGCCAGACCTGCCAGCTCACCTTTTGTCCCGTGATGTTGTTGTATGCAACAACCACTCCCCAACCATAGTCCTTATCTCCGTCCTTGATCTCCACAAGACGACCGGTATTGAGGAAGGGCAGTGAGTAGGTCGGGTGCGTGATGACGGCCCTAAAGTCGTCTCCCTTCTCCTGCAACACCTTCCTCAAATCCCAATACTCCTCAATCTCCTCCTCCCTGTCGATCTTGAACCCATCTCGTTCCAACTCGGCCTTCTTCAACTCTGACCTATCAGCACTACCCGACCCCTAGCTTGGGACAGACTCACGCTCTTCCAACACCGGCACGCTCATCGTGTTTTGGAACTGGAAGAAACATCTCTCGAGCATATACTCTGGACTGACGCCCTCGACACGCATAAGGTTGATGATCATGTTGTAGCCGAGGTGGAAGGCCGAGTCGAGCCTGTCCGCTTGACCCTTGACCATCGACTTGGCCGCGTCCGGCTCGATCTTCTCGTCCACCATCATAATGACGATACCTCGGGCATCAAGTCCTCGACGACCGGCACGACCAGACATCTGGATATATTCCTGCCGCGTCAGCTTACCGCTCTGGTCAGGGCGCAGGTAAAAGCTCACTCCTCCAGACAGATTCCTAAAGTCTTTGCCGTCAAACTTCCTCACACTCGTAAATACCACCGTCTTGGCCGGCATATTCAGCCCAATCGAGAACGTCTCGGTCGCAAACAACGCCTTGATCAGTCCCTCCTGGAACAGGATCTCAATGACCTCCTTGAGAATCGGCAACAGTCCACCATGATGGATTCCGATCCCCCGCTTGAGGAGCGGTAGGATGAGTTCGATCTGCGGGAGTTTGCGATCATCCTCCGAGAGACCGCTGATGGCGCTTTCGAACACCTGGGCGACCGAGCCGGCCTCTTCGGGGGTGTTGAAGTCGAGCTTGGACATTTGCATCGCGAGGGCTTCGCATTCGCGCTTGGAGAAGGCAAAGATGATGACGGGGTTGAGACCGCGGGTCATGATCAGCCGGACGATCTTGTAGATGTCGGATGATTCTGGTTGTCAGCTTTGAGACTCGGGAGACTCGGATACAATCGCGTGAGCTCACCCTTCATAGCCCCACCCTTCCTCGTCTTCCCCTTCTTCCCCTTCCCACTACTCGGATCCGCCGGGTCCTCCCCCTGACCTTGCGCCAACGCCGCCATCGCCTTTTGAAAGTTATCTTCTCGGAAGTTGCTCCGCTCATCGACGACAAGGTAGATCCCCTCCGAGCCAGACGGGAACAAGTAGTGCTGTAGCGGCGTCGGTCGGAAGTCGGTGTATACAACGTGACAGGGTTGGTTGTGGCATTGACAGATCCACTCGGCGAATTCCATCGAGTTGGGAATGGTGGCGGAGAGAAAAACGTAGCGGACCGAGTGGGGGAGAAGGATGATCGTCTCTTCCCATACGACACCACGTTCTGATGATAAGCTAGATGACATCGGCAGGAGAGGGAAGAGACGTACCCTTGTCTCGCATATAGTGGACCTCGTCAAAGACTACCCAGGCTACTTCACGCATGACCTCGGAACCTCTGTACAGCATAGATCGCAGAATCTGGCCTTCAGCATAGGTCTCGATCCTCAATGACTGTACACACTTCGGTAGTCATGACCAGGCAAGATGCAGTAGGATTGATGGTGACATCTCCAGTCATCAAACCAACATCTCCGAACAGCTCGCAGAACTCTCGGTATTTCTGGTTTGACAGAGCCTGCCGATCAGTGAATCGCTCATTACCTAGCGCTTCGCAGTGCGACTGACCTTGATTGGAGAGGTATACACCACTCTCCGCCCCTCCTTGAGACACGTAGCAATAGCAAACTCCGCCACTACCGTCTTTCCTGCCGAGGTATGCGCCGAGACCAGCACAGACTCGTTCCGCTCAATACAGCTCGTGGCGACATGCTGGAAAGGATCCAGCTCAAACTTGTATGTCCGAGCGGGCGGGTCATTCCGCTTGTGCTGGGCGATGGGGAGGTAAGGGTAGTCTGGGGGGATAGCGACCTTGGAGGATCAGTTTGGCCACGATTTCGCTTCAAATGGGTCATTCAGCTCACCTGATGTCGGACCTGATGTACCAGCTTCATCTTGCCCTCCGCCTGCTCCCCTCCCAGCCCTTTCGCAGCATCCACCTCCCGCTCCGCCTGCTGCTCAAACTCATCCGCTCGTTTTGGCAATACCACTTGTGTTCCATCCTCCTCCATCCCGTCCTCCCCGTTCGCCTCCATGGCGTCCATCGGATCGACCATTGTCGCATCCTGTTGCTCTAGCGCATCCATGGGATCTACGCCTGTCCCGAGCTGCATCTCGCCCGACTCAAAGTCATCGCCTGTCCCCGTTGGTGATGCGACCCGGGCTGATTTGGACGGCGGGGCGATGGGCTCTTCGGGTGTGACCGCTGATCGCTTCTTGGTCTTCTTGGGCCGTGAGGGGCCTGCTACGGGTGCGTTACCGTTGGCTGACATGATAGCTGAGGTCGTATAGGAACGTATAAGGTGAAACGACCTATCGTCTCGCTGGAAATCTTCGTCGCCGACCTCGCAGTGAACGCACGGACATGACGTAATTTAGTCCCCTCCCCCCATTTAAAGGCAAAATTCGGATCATCGCCGCCACCAGCTTCAGCTTGCTCCGAACAACGTCAAAAAGGCCCTTCATCTCACCTTGTTCATCTAAAGCTAGCTTCAGCCATCGGCCAGCATGTCCTTCTTCTCAGGCCTCTTCTCATCCACCCCCGCTCCCGCTCAGAACGAGCCATCAGTCTCGCAAGAGCTCTTCAACTCGGCCAAATTCGATTCACCCGTCCAGCCTTCACCCGCCGGTCCTTCCTCTGGCTCTTTACCAACTGCCAACACCCCATCGGCACCTACGGCACTCGATACATTCTCATCAGCGTACGATCCGGCCAAGCTCCATCCTCTTGCGGGCCTGGGGGACAAGCTCGATTTCTTACAGCTGGATGAGGACAAATTGTCGGAAGTGCAGGGAGCGGCGAGCGTCTTGCCGAGTAGAGGATGGACGGACGATCTTTGTGTAGGGACAGGGACGACGTATCTGTCGGGTGAGTTCATTGGCGCCCTACGTCGGCAGACTGAGCTGATATCCTCCAGGTCTTGCTGTTGGAGGAGCATGGGGTCTGAAAGAGGGATTAGGACGGCAATTGGGCCCAAGTCCATCGATGAAGCTCCGCATCAACGCCATCTTGAACGGATGCACACGGCGAGGTAGTTTCGTAGGCAACTCGCTTGGTGTTCTCGGTACGTCGAGCTTAACTTACATCAGGATCGCTCGCAGAAAGCTGATATCGTAGCTATCTTTTACAATCTCGTCAACTCGGGTCTCGACTCATACCGCGGGAGACATGACGTCCTGAATGCGATGGGCGCAGGAGCTATCAGTGGTGCACTTTTCAAATCGACATGTGAGTATTCAGTGCTGCCTGTAACCTCCGTAACGATCCATACTGACTGCTTTAGCCGGCATTCGTCCCGCTATGGTCGGTGCTAGCTTAATGACTGCCGCAGCTGGCGGATGGTCATATTTCAAGACCGTTGTATAGTTTCTTCTGGGTAACTTGTCACATGCAACCCCCCTCATCAGATCACAAAGATGGCTACATTGTCCAATTTTACGAGAGTACACGTATGAGCTACAAGAACGAAATACCAACACCGATCGCGATTGTCCATCTACTCAAAGTGTCCCCGTACTCATCGCTTCACCCTCTCCTCCAGCTGCTTCATCAATGCCATCCTCTGCTCGATTCCCTGTAGTTTGTTGATATCCTCGCTGTCCACATTAGGGATGGTCGAGACGTGGGTCTTGCGCGGGCTGAGAGGTCGGGCGGCCGAAGGGGACGCCGTTGTGGCCGGTGGGGGCGAGATGGGCCGAGCCGACATAGGCTTGACCGGAGTTGGCGTAGGTGAAGTAGCTCTCGATCGAGCGTGCGCCAGCTCCACCTCATCCCTGGGCACCGGAACGGCCTTGACGGCCGGTTTCGCCCTTTCCTCCACCTCGACCTCCCTCTCTTCAACCTCCACCTCCACTTCCTCCTCATCGTCGTCATCCTCCACCGGCCCAGCAGGGTTCACGACCGCCCGCTCACTCCAACTATCCCTCAGAATCTCATCCACCTTGCCCCTCGCCTTCAATTCCTTTCTTTGCGCCCTGACCCGCCTGGTCGATTCCGGGGTAGAAGACGGCGTGGGCGCAGGCGCGAGCCGCTTGGAGTGTTTCTTCGGGGTAAGACCGGACGTCTTGCTCAGATCAGGCGTCTCGCCGCCGCGCTTGATTGAGCTACCGCGGGACTCGATCAGCCGGATAGTGGGCGTGGCACGGCCGGTGGTCTTCCCGCCGTCCGTGCCCCGCCTGACGGGTGTCCGAAGAGCCGCAGTCCGACTCCCGCCCGCACTGGGACTATCGGGCGGTACGGACGGATCGTGGCTCTTTGTCCTCGTCGGAGTCCGCGCGACTAGCCGGGAGCTATCGGATGTTTGAGGATTGCGGACGGTGCGTGGAGGTCCGGCAGGAGTCTGCTCCAGCTTGTCGGCTGTACTCGGTACATCGGGCATCCTGGACGGCTCGGTATCCGGCATAGGACTCGGCCGGGCGCTGTACATTGACTCCAGGTCCGTCCCACTGTCGTATGTCGCGAGAGGGACGAGCTGGGTCGTGGAGGGCCCATTGTGAAAGAAGAGGGTGGGATGGTGCGGGGCCGAGAGGATAGGAGGGGGTGAGATGGCTCGGGCGCGCATGTAAGCGGGAACGTCCTCGTGTGCTGAGGACGAGGACTCGGCCGAGGGATTGGCCGAGATCGGTGCGGACGCCGGAGCGGGCTTGCGGGAGCTCCTCTCCCTTCGGATGAGTTTGGCGGTGGATGAAGCCGTGGATGCCTGGTGCTTGTCCGCACTGGCCTGGCTCCGGGGTTCCCGAGCGGGTGGGGCATTCGCTTCGGGCGCAGGCCTCGCCGCCTCCACCGGAGCAGCTCCTGCCGCCTTGTAGGCCGCCGGACCCATCTGCACCGCCAGATGCGTCAACGGCGGCAGCCTGCCCCCTTCACCAGCCGCAGGAGGCGCCAAGCTGAAGTTGTGCTGCTCGGCATACCTCGCGGCGTACTCGTCCTCATACGCGTCCGGCACTTTTCCTTTCCCCTTGGCATCGCCGGTCCCGTGGTCCCGACCGAGTTCGCGCCGCTCCGACATGTGGTGTCGAGTATCGTTGTACTCCTTGCCCGACTTGATCCACTCTTCCGCGCGGTCCTTCTTGTCCTTCTTGCTTACGCCCCTATCGAGAGGGAGGGCCGGTGGCGGCGGAGCTGGAGCGAGGGGCGCTGTCGGAGCAGAGGCAGAGGGTTTGCGATGAGGAGGAGAGGGGTCGGCCTCGTATGTCGGGCGTGCCCGCTCAGGGTGCGGCGAGCGGGTTGCGGGTTCGCGATACCTTTCTACCTCGCGTTCCCGATCTCGGCGGCTCGGGCGGCGCTCGCGGTGATGGTGCTCCCGAGGTCGCCCGTGATCATGGTCGTAGTCCTCGTCACGAACGTCGAGCCGACCGTACCTCCCCCTCTCGTCCCTATGACCCTCCCCATGCCTTGCATCCCGAGACCCGCCTCTCTCCCTCGAGCGGTATTTGCGGCTTCCCTGCCACTCCCCTACTCGGGAATACGGGTCCCGCTCCCTGCCTTCATGCCGGCTATACGGCTTCTCGTCCTCCGACTCGCTCTCCAGCTCCTTCCATCCCTTCTTCTTCCACTTCCCACCCAACCCCGTTGTCGCCCGAGCCGGCGCGGCCCCAGTCTTGGGCAGGACATGACCCGACAGTGCGCCCGGATCGGGACTTTGGGTGTCGGCCTTCTCCTCCGCCTCTTTGAGCTTCCAAATGTACTCTTTGGTCTTGACCACGAGCCAGATGATGAAGATCAGAGCGATGATGGCGAAGGCGGGGAGGATGAAGGACATCCCGCCTGGCGCATAGTTGGGTTTAGGGAGGGGCGATTCGAGCTCTTCCGCGAGAGTGGTGGCGAGGGGCCGAAGGGAGGCTGTGGAGATGGTGGTGGATCCCGAGACAGAAAGAGCGGCGGACCCGGACGACATGCCCGACGCAGATGACGCAGCGACGCTGCCGGATAAAGAGGAGGTTGCGGTGGGCGTGACCGCCGAGGAGGCAGCTGCGATGCTGGGGACCGCGCTGGACGCGGCCGGGGCTGCCGCCACAGACGATACGACAGCCGACGAGGCCACGGCAGGCTCGACCGATACGCTTGCCACCGCCGCGCTACCGGCAGGAGTTGTTGCCGCTGCCGCTGCCGAGACCGCGACCGATGCGTCTTGCCGCATGTGAAGGTCCGGTATCGTCATTGCTCGAGCGGTTGGTATGCGCCCGCTCTTGATGGCGATCGCGATGGTGATGACCATCCCGACCCGGTGAATGAGTGACATATTGTCTGGAGGCTTAGGGGTGGGTGGGGGTTATGCCGGCCGGAGAGGCGGAGGCGGGGAGGAGGTGACCAGTCCAGAAAGGTTTGGGACGATCTGCGGCAGAGTCAGCTACGACCGTCAGCCCAGACGGGCATATCAGTACGGGATGAACGTACAGTGGACTGCCGGGGGCGCTTGTAGGCAGCAATTGGCAGTAGAGGGGGCGAAGCTATGCGAATGTGGATTTGGGGAGCTAGGGGTGAATTGGATAATAGCGAAGTCGTCCGATTCGAACGTGTCGCTAGATGAGAGTGTGGGTGTTGCGATTACAGGGGTAGAAGGAGCGCTCTTGTCTGCGCTGCCCGTAACGAGACGAGGGGTCGTCGTCGGTCCGTTGACCGTGTTGATCGTTTGCGTCGTTCCCAAGCCGATGCCGAGGTCGTGTTTGTCGATAGAGGCAACGGGAGTCGATGTTTGCATTATCCCGAAAAAGGAGGGGCGGGATGCAGGTATGCGTGGGTATGAATAGGATTGCTGGGAGCCGTCTGCGACGGACGGAAGGCGAGATGTCTCAAACCAAACTTTTGGCAGTCCAGGCTGAGACATGGTCTCTGGGTGGAGACAGTGGACGCTATGCGCAGAAAAAGGCGCTTGGTGGGCGCTAGTCGCTGAAATAGCGCAACAGCGTCGAGTAGTCGCGCGGTCGGGCCAGACATAGACTCCGACAGAATCTACACGCATCAGTCAGGTGGCCGCCATACGGCCGAGGACAGACACTGACATACCCTTCTTCCGCAATGAATCACCGCATCAGACCCTCCATCGCTCTGCCCTCCTCAGCTAGACGTGGCAGCCCTTCCGTTATCCCCAGCCCCTCCATCAGCTCCATACCATCCGCGTTTACGTCTCTCCCTACCCAGCTCCTCCCCAGCGCTCGGATCGGGTGTAGCTGACCGATGTCCTCTCCGGGCTGGTACACCTCTGGAGCGCCTTGTCTGCGGAGAAGCGACTCTGCGTGAGGCGGTGGAGCATACTTCCATTCTGTGGTCGTGAGATAGTGGTTGATGTAGTTCTTGAAGTCTGACAGGGGTAGAATTGGCGCTACGACTTTAGCTCTGGTCTGGCTGCCCAATCAATCAGGAGGGCTTGGTAGAGCTCACTCTTCTTTCCCTTGCCTATAGCTGGACCTTGTCTTAGAGCCCTCGCCTCTTCTTCACTAATCTCCAACGTCCCCGCAAGCTCATCCAACCTCTTCGCGAACCCCTCCGGATCTGTCGCTGGATCATACATCGCCGAGCTCGTCTCGGACATCCCATCTCCTTCACCATCCTCCCCTTCCTCCTCTTCGTCGTCTTCGTCGTCGTCATCCTCTCCATCCTCATCGTCATCCTCCGCACTTCCCATCGTATGGTCCTCAGGGACAGACGCGAATGACGCGTCTTGCCCTCGGCTGGGATTCCGGTCTTCCTGACGAGGCTGCGCGTATGGAGAGTGCGAGTGGGTGTGATACGCGTGTGCCGGGTCCGGAAGGGCGGAGGACGGTGGTGCTGGATCTATGCCTAGGCCGATGGGCGGGCGGGAGGAGCTAGACTGTTGGGGTCGTCGCGCGCGACCGGCGTAGAAATCCTCCATGGAGTCGTCCATTTCTTGTCGGATTGATAACGTCTATAGCTTTTGGGCTTCCTTGTCCGATGGCAAGATGTAGACCGCGATAGTAGTCGAGCTGGTATAGATAAAGTACAGCAAAGCATCATTAGAAGGTTGTTGCCCGAGGCCTGCGGTGTCAACAGTGACGTGGCATATTTCAGCGACTCGGTATCAGCTCGAGTCGCGTTCCTCACCCAACTTTCTGGCCAGTCCGCCTCTACATCTTTCACAGCTACCATCACAGCTACCACAGCACTACCCTCCCAACACAGAGCTTACACCCACCAGAAATGATTGACCTCATCCACTGTGAGCGTAGTATGGCAGGACTGTCCTCGTAGTCAAGCTGATATCTCCAGTCCAACCTGACAAGGGAGGCAACCCAGAGATTGTCCGAGAGTCGCAGCGACAGAGAGGAGCCGATGTCGGTCTGGTAGACCAGGTCGTTGAGCTCTCGGCCGAGTACAGACAAGGTGAGCTTTCCTCACTGCTCACTGCAACTTCTCCGCATACACCTTGCTCCAGCCTCGGCGTCTGTGCTGCATACCGAATCAACGCTGATACCGTAGCCAACTACGAGCAAGAGTCGGCTCGACGCGAGGTCAACATCGTACAGAAGGAGATTGGGACCATCAAGAAGGCCAAGGGGGATGCGTCGGAGCTGCTCGAGAAGAAGGGCGTGTGGGATAAGAAGATTGCCGAGCTGTCGCTGAAGGCGGCTGAGCTGGAGAAGAAGAGGGATAAGCTCGCGGCGAGGATTGGGAACATTGTGGATCCCAAGTGTCACGTCTCGCTCACTGAGGTGAGCTTGCATACTCCATCAGAGGGGCTCCCAGCTGACTGATCAGGACGACAACCCTATTCAGAACGTATGGCACCCCGAGCCAAACCACAAGGGGAACTCGGAACCGGGACTGCAGGCCGAGGACAAGACGGCTGGGATCATCTCGCACCACGAAGTCTTGGCGAGGTTAGAGGCTTTCGATACGGAGCGAGGTATGTGATCCTTGAAGTACAGCCAGGCCTGAGCTGATATTCAGGTGTCAAGGTGTCGGGTCACCGGGGTTACTTCCTCACCAACGACGGTGTCGACCTGAACCAAGCGCTCATCAACTACGGTCTCCAGTTCCTGCGGGAGCGTGGATATAAGAAGACCCAGGCACCCTTCATGGTCAAGAAGGACCTCATGGCCGCCACTGCCCAGCTCGAGGAGTTTGACGAGGCGCTCTACAAGGTGTCGGGGAACGAAGACATGTACCTCATCGCTACTTCGGAACAGCCCATCTCGGCCATGTTTGCGGACGAGAACATCGAGCCTGCCAAGCTGCCGATCCAGCTTGCTGGGTACTCGACGTGTTTCAGGAAAGAGGCGGGGAGCCACGGAAAGGATACATGGGGGATCTTCAGGGTGCACCAGTTCGAGAAGGTGGAGCAGGTGAGACTCTCCCTCACGTTGACGTCTGTATCAGCTGATCCACAGTTTATTGTGTGCGAGCCAGAACAGTCGTCGGAAAAGCTCGACCAAATGATCAACGTCTCGCAAGAATTCTACAAATCCCTCGAAATACCATACCGAGTCGTCGGAATCGTCTCGGGCGCGCTCAACAACGCTGCGTCGATCAAGTATGATCTGGAGGCTTGGTTCCCATACCAGGGAGAGTACAAGGAGCTGGTCTCGTGCTCGAACTGTACCGATTATCGTGAGTCCCGCCTGTCCGTTGAGGATACAGCTGATCATGGCAGAGTCGCGATCGCTCAATGTCCGTCTCGGGTACAAGAAGGCCGATGCCAAGGCTGGATTTGTGCACATGCTGAACGGTACTCTCTGCGCGACCGAGCGCGCCCTTTGCTGCATTGTCGAAAACTATCAGACACCCGAGGTAAGCTCCCTGCTTCTTAACCTGTCTGAGTGGGATGAGCTGATAAACTAGGGTCTTCGGATACCAAAGGTGCTCCAGCCGTATATGCAGGGCCGCGACTTCCTTCCGTACACTGCCGAGCTGCCCAAAAACTCGACAACGGCCAAGGCAGCGAAGAAGTAGGGGTGATCATGAGTATAGGCATTTCAGGGATGCAGTCTTCATGCAGGGTCCTGCCTGGTCTGCCAACCTGAGACGGCGTAATCTAGTGTGCACGTGCATAATGTGCGCTTCGCGGGCTTTACTTGACTTCTACGCAAAGAGCGCTACTATCCCTTTCCTCCTCAACAGCCCGAGGCTCGGCCGAGCCAGCCTGGTTTCCAACGGAAGGCGGGAAAGAGTTGACGAGGATCGCGCAAGTCGCTCGTCGTCGACGCGTCTTTGTATCTCATTTCACCTGGACTTAGCTTCATCTTTCATCCTTCACATCTACACCTTATAACAATGCCTAAAGCGTCCACTCGATCAGCCACACAAGTTCAGAGCGACCGACGCTATGTCGAAAGTCTCCCTGTAGGCGAGCTTCGGAGCCTGGCGAGACAGGGTTTCTGGGGTCCAATGAAAGGGGTCAGCAAAGCGAGGAAGGCGGAGCTCGTCGAATTCGTCCTAAAGCACACCGATGTCGTTGGTCCCAGTGTCGATGCTGTGCCTTCTTACGCTCTACCTCCTCCCCCTCCTCCTGTACAGCCCGCCTCTGGCCCGTCCCACACCGGCCTGACTCCCTCCCAAGCAGCGGCGGTTGCAGCGGCCGCGATGGACCCGGACCGTGTCCGCGCCATGTGCATGCCACTCATGCATGGCGTGCCGCCTCCTAAGATACCTGGCAAGACTCCGGCGCAACAGGCGCTGAGGCATCAGAGGGAGTGGGCGCAAATCGAGGCGGCGCTCGATCTGGAGGACGAGGTGTATAGCCATGGGAGCAGCGGGGATTGGGACGATGACGAGGAGGATGAAGGGGAGGGTGCAGTGGAGCGGGCTCGGCAGAAGCAGGACTTTCACGACGAGACCGAACGGCGAGGGCATGCGAGAGTCGATGAGTACTGGAGGCGGACGGACGAGGTGGCCAAGTTTGAGATGGCCCTGCTGGCGAAGGGAGGGATGCCGCCTGCTGTAATCGAGGAGTAGAGGAGGCAGGAGCAGCTGAGGCAGGCGTTCTGGAAGGAGGAGGACTCCAAGCGGGGTTCTTTCTGGCGGATGGAGGATATTAACAGGAAAATGGGATGGGAGGATAGGATGGGAGAGCTTAAGGGTCGGCGCGGCGGAAGATGGTGAGACAATCGACCGGTAAGCTCCTCCTGTACCTCCTGAGATCTCACAGCTGACAGCTCAGGAAGATGACAATACAGAGAGGATCTGAGCATGAAAGTATCTTTGCATCGACCATGGAAGACGAAAGCGCAACTCGAATGTAAAGTAATACGGCAAGACTGGATCTGACGCCTGAGTAGTGGGCTTGTCTCCTCTGGGATCCCTGCTCACTGCTAACGTCCTGCGCGCTAACCATTAGCTGATAGATCCTCACCTGAAGACGCTCTGAGTATTACTCTATGTACAGTCTTGCCCTTCGAGTGCCAGCATCGCGCAGGGGGCGCAAGCTTTTCGTGCATCCCGCACAATGATACTACTATGGACGCCTGTCTAACCCGAATTGGCCCTTCGCCCCTTCTGCTCTTTCTCCCGAATCCTGCAGATCAGCTGTGTGTGCCCTGTAAGCCGCGAACGAGGCTTACCAGTCCGCAATCCGGGTCTGCACATGCCAAGGGTCTGCACCGGCGCACCGAGCGATAACGATAGCAGTTGTCATAAAGACTGTTGTTCAGCGTCTGGTGGTTCTTGTGTGCTCTCGAGACCCACCAGTAGCCCATAGTCCTGCCTGAAACGCTCCGGCTCTCCCCTTCCAGGGCGGACTACCGATTATGGGCTGAGCACGACGCAGGCGCTCGTATCCGCGCAACTTGTTCAGATGCAGACCGGCGATCCCGGCGGATAGGAGCGACCATCTGAGTCGCTCAAGTGTGGAATTTGCCGCTATTTGTCTGAGATGTATCAGCTTGTCCAGCGTACATGCCAGTCATCCCGCTCTGTATATTAAGGAGAGATACACACTGACGAAGCTCGTCGACCGTAAACCCCCCACCACGACTGAAGGGGTAGACCTGTCCCATGATCTCGAGCCCCTCGCTGAACAGAACTGTAGCCGCGGTCAGCGTACATTTGCCTGTCATCGTCAATCTTTGCTACTTACCAAGGGCGACCACGGCTCCTGCATGCAGACGAGGGCGAGGGGCGACCTTGGACCAAGGAAAAGCGCCCTCCCTGCCAGCTTGGACAAGCATCGCAGAGCTGACGCCTACTGCAGCCGCGCCGCAAGCACGAGATTTCCTCGCAAGCTCAGCTTACGCCGACTGCGGACTGTGGAGAGCAGAGGATCAAGGTAGGGATGCAGCTTACCAGTAAGGTACGATATCCTTCGTCCAGATCGAGGGTTTATAGTTGTTCAGGCCGGTAGTACGGAGGATGTCAATTCTCGCGGTTGGTCGTTTCGACATGGACAAGATGAGTATCTGTCAGCAGAAGGACGGAAGAGGCCGTGAGGGAAGTTGAAGAGGTCATCGCTCCAACAGAAGGTCCCGAAGGACAATCAGAGACCACCTCATGGATTGAATCTGAGATGCTACATCTCCTCCTTGCGTATAGAGTACTGGAAGAAGCTGCAAAGGCGAATAGCGGGCGAAGAACAACGATCAAGATCTGAAACATACCCCCTTGTTTCAGATTCCCGCCACGTATGACACGGGCGGCCGGAGGGTGGTGCTTGTGAGGATCGTCAGAGCGAAGTAGGACAGAATGAGAAGGAGGTAACGTGATAGAATATCTGACTGGTGGAGGAAGAGGTGAGGCAGGTTATCCGACGTGGGAGATACGGGGAGGAGGTCCAAGGGACAGGCGAGACATCTGGCGTAGATCAAAGACTTGCGCGCACAAGTGTGCAGCCCGAATGGAGCTGTATCCCCTATCTACGAGCGCCTTGGCTTGCTTCTTGAGGTGGCGCGCAATGATCCTCTTGAACTTATCCCTGGTAAAATCCAGTCACATAGTAGTTATCCGACTTGACCAAGAAACAAGCGGGCAAGGCGTCCAACCGCTGCTACTTATAAGCTGCCAGTAAGCTGCTACATAGTCCGATGGAGTGCAAGTATATCCAGTACGATTCGCATCTCTCATCTATCTCAGCAGCAGTCGCTACAGTTTACAAGAATGGTGTACAAATCCAGCAGAGTCTCGTGTACGATCCGATGTGATTATAACCCATTATCCCAAATTGTCCATGACTGTCCAACGCACCCTTAACGCAGCATCACCAAAGTCACCAGCGCCGATCCCCACAGCAACCAGCTCCGCCCTAGTCTCGACGCGGCGCCCGACTGGGCTCCAAGCTGGCTGACGGAACTTTGCGTGCTGTTCTGCGCGGACACGCTCGCGGAGCCGAGGCCGGACGATTGAGGTGCGGCGCAGATGGAGGGAGCGGCCGCCATGGCGGACATCATGCACAGTCCCATCGCGGATTTCGAGGCGGACTCGATGCAGGCCGCGGTGGAGGAAGCGGCGATTTGGGAGGCGTTCGGGCGAGTGCTGGTGGTCATGGTGGTAGGGGCTGCTGAGGCTGCGGCGGAGCCGGGGCCAGATGCGGAAGCAGTCGCAGATCCTGAAGAGTCAGCGTTGGCCCTCGAGATGGAGTGGCTGACTTACCCATGCACGAGTAGCCGCTGGCGTAGATCGTGACGTATGCTGTCTCGGTGACCGTCTGGGTAAAGCTGAGAGTCAGCACTATCTCCGAGACTGAGGGGAACAACTTACGATCCACCACCGCCAGTACCTTGGCCCTCACCACCGCCTCCGCCTGCACCGGTAGCTGTTGCCGTGCCGGCGCCTGCACCTTGACCGGCACCTTGTCCGGCACCCTGGCCCGCACCTTGCCCTGCTCCCTGTCCAGCGCCCTGTCCAGCACCTTGACCAGCACCCTGACCAGCACCCTGTCCGGCGCCCTGGCCTGCGCCCTGACCGTTACCCTCTCCAGCAGCGATATCGCCACCGGGAGTGGGCCGCGCGGTGACAGTTACGACCATGCCGCTGAGCGTCTGAGTGACGGGAACACCAGTGGTGACGGTGACGCCGCCTTGAACGACCGTACGGATGACGGTAGCTGTGGTGACTTGAGCGCCGGCGTCGGTCCCACCGATGGTCCGAGTGACAGTAGTGGGAACCATAATGGTTGTGAGTGCTGTCAAGTCAGCATGATACCCACTGCCTAGTCTGAATGACTCACATATACCAGCGGAGAGGGTCTGAGTGACGGTCCGTGTGGTCGGGACCGGCCTGTTGACTGTGGTGATGACCGTGGCGCCGGGCTGAACTCGTGTGGTGGTGATGAACCTAGTGGTGGGGACGAGGGAAGTCACAACGGCTGAGAGTCAGCTTGACCTCTGTGATACAGCAAGGCACTTACTAGTACTGCCGCTGACGGTCTGGGTGACGAGCTGTGTCTCTGTCACGACAGTGGACTGAACCTCGGTGATGGTGGAACCGGGTTGCGTGATAGTAGAGGTGGCCGCCTGCTCCGCAGTCTCGGTGATGGTGACGACAGTCGTTCCGCCGGGCTGAGTGAGCGTCGAGACGGTGGGGACCACTGTCGTCTCGGTGACGGTCGTAGGTGCGTTGGTTCCGGGGATGGTCGAAGTGACCAGCTCAGTCTGGGTGACGGTCGTACCCTGCTCCACAACTGTTGAAATTTGGGTGACCACTTGGGTAATGGCGGGGAGGGTGACGACACTGCCGGTCTCAGTGACAACAAGGGTAGTGACGAGAGCAGGGCGGGTGACGAGCTCGGTGACGGTGGTCGCGGGTACGACAGATGTGAAGGTGCTAGGTACGCCGGCGATGGTCGAGATGATGGTCTCGGTCACCGCAGGCCGTGTGCTGGTGACAGTCTCGATGACTACCGGGGCGGTGACGACGACTGTCTGGATGGGGGCAGTGGTGACAACTGTGACGGCCGGGATGGTGGTTACGACTGTTGTGGGCACGCCGCTGATGACGGTGGTGATCTGTGTGACGGTCGAGCCGGTAAGGGTGATGGTTGATGCCGGGACGACCGAGCCAGGGAGGGTGGTGAAGACAGTAGTAGGAGTGCCGTTGATCGTGGTAGGGATTGTGACTGTTGACCCAGAGAGTGTCACGGTGGACGCAGCTGCCGAGTCAGTGTCTATCGAAGTGACGAGATCAACAAACTTACTCTGAGTGATGGTCACGGTGGTTCCACATCCCGAGTCCGTTGGCTCCTGTACCCCGCTCTGATCGAGGTTGATGGCGCTTTGGGCGAGGATACGACCAATGACTTGGGCACCGACCTGAAGGGTGACAGCGGTCTTGTCGAGGATGATACCCTGGAAGCGAGCGCCGGTCTGAATAGTGGTGGCGCCTGCGACCGCCCAGAAGACCTGAGAGGGACGGACACCGCCAACCAGAACGATTTGAGTGTTTACGCTCTGGGTAAGGGTGCCACTGCAGTTATCAGCGATGTCCACATGCGTGGAGGCTAGGACTCACGCGATCTGTAATACAAAGACATCGGTACACGTGCCAGAGAGGGTAAGGGTGCCGCCAATGGTGACGGCTGTGGTCCACCTGTGGACACCGGGTAGGAGGACGAGACCGCCGATGGCGCCGCCTCCTTCTTCATTGAACTCGGATGCCCGCCCATCGGGAGAAGCGGAAGTGTAAGCGGCTTCCATGTCGCTGACCGCGGTGGTCAATACATCTCCATCGGTGTCGGCGGCAGTGACTACGCCTGATACCTGGCGTGTCCGAGCTGGAAGGTGAGCGACGCAAAGAGTCAGACGCTGAAGTTAGACTTACCGAACTTTCCGCTCGCATCCAGCGTGAGATCGGGGAAGCCTGAGACCAAGGACAGAGCAGCGGGGCTCAGACCCACATCACCGACGATGGACGAAGTAGAGGTGGCGACATTGGTGACAGCGGTCTTGGCGAGGAGGGTATAGCCTGCGGCGGTGCCGAGGTTGACGGCCGTCGTGAGGGCATTAGCGGAAGACTAGATTGTCAGCTGCGCTCTTCCGAACAGCCAGGTAGGAAAGACTCACGACAGCCAGCAGGATGGTGATGACCTGTTGTTGATCAGCTACTGCTCGTACCAAGTCTCACATCGAACTGACCTGGGTGAAAAGGGACAATCCGGAGGGGGCCATGGTGGTCAGATGATAAGTGGCGGTTGGCGGTACTGTTCAGTTGACAATTCAAACAGAGGGGGGGAATCCTTGTTTATACAAGGTTAATCCTGCCGGGCAGGACGCCTTGGGTAAGCTCTTGTCAATCTGGCCCGATGCTCGCTTCTCGTGCTCGGAAAAACACAACGCGTCATCGTCGTGTCCAGGCATGTGCGCAATGGAGGCGCAAGAGGCAAGAGGAGGCGGGCCGAGAGAGACAACGATGGACATCGGTCGATCCTTGGGAGTTGCACCAGTCCACATCAGTAGATGTCAGAATACTACCCAATGCCTCCGTGTCAACAACGAACTCTTATATAATCTCCGATGCCGGTTTGGCTCTAGCTCCGGGTTCCTAGAAATGTGATCATCGTTGTTCCCGATTGCAAGTTGTTGACTTTGCTGGAGAAAGAGCTTGTAGAAGAGATATTGCAAGTTGACTGACGAGCGAGATCCAGGGCGGAAGAGGCGATAAGGTTTGGAATATTCTCCGCTTAACGCCACTGAGCTAGACTTCCAAAAGCCACCGGGACCTGACGATCTTCCGATCCGGATGACGCAATATCGGTATGCCTCAATAACGTTAAATTCCTTCATTCGCCACTATTCGCCACCACTTCGCCACCGCTTTCAGCACCTCTCCGCATCGACTGGGCTCCGTCAAACTCCGCGCGCCTTATGAGAGCAGATTCAGAACTTTGGATCAGAGCAACGTCTCCTCATCTCGATTCGATCCCACTTGTAGCGACAGATCCGGCACCATAGTGCGAAGTCCACCCTGATATAGCGTTTCGAGGGCGGAGCATTGCCCACCGCGAGCGTTCTGCCTGGAGCGGGCGAGATGCAATAGTCTTCAGAAGAAGGATGATCGATGCGTACTACGCAAAGCTGTGCTCGATCCTGCTCGATCCCCCTTTGCGATTACGACCCGATGCGCTTGGCTCGTACGAAGGAAGCAGCAGATCAAATCTGCCACACCCAGCAGCAGAATGTGAGACATCCAGTAGCTTGCAGTCGCGGCATATGCAGTACTAGCCTGCTTTATTGACATTTGCCGCTGCTACATGGTATGCATCTTGGGTCTCAGATCTCAGATCGCATGTCTCGCAGTGTCGGTGTCATGCCAGATCCCAGACGCTAGGCGCTAGACCCGTTGTGAATGCTGGGGATGGCACCGCTTCCATGTCCATGGCTCTCCGCGCATCGGGTCTCTCCGTAGCTACAAGGAGGCGCCGGGCCAGTTACAGTCAGTAGTAGCGGTATGACCGAGTCGGGTTATGGACGTGTGTGATTTCTTGCGGCACTTGGCAGCTTCGCTGCGAACGCCTACTTGACGACCAGCGCCCGCCAGCAGGCACCCTATACTTTGGGCCAACAAGAAGAAGCCCCTGGTAGACTGCTTCTCGACTGCCCCCGTGGGGTATCTAGGCGAGATAAACCTGGCTCCGGATCACCTGCGCCCCGTTCATCATCTGGATGTGAGCAGACTCGAGCTCACATGGCGCGGCCAGTGGCGAACGAAGACAAAGATAACGCTTATACCTTGACCAGGATATGTACCTCGCATACCTGCTTTACTTTGTCTCTGATACACCAACAGCTTGATTATCGACGGATCGTATCCTCTGATTCACCCGAGGAATGAAGGTTGAAGCTTGGAGCTTGGAGCTTGACAAGCCAGCCTCTCAGCCGGATAGGCGGTCTGGGCGCTGGACGTGCATGCGCTCGCCAATCCGGCAGCTGCCGAGCGCGAAGAAAGATCTCCAGGCAGCCAGATTGAGGCATGAGCAGGGTTTCAACCAGACGCAGTAGTATACCGCGCACCCTCCAGGAATCAAGCAGCCTCTCCATAGCTGTCCCACTTTGCTGTACCAGCTGCAAGGTGTGGCTCCAATCCGCCACGTTCATAATTACCGCAAGTAGCAATTTCCGGTTGTTATTGTTGACAAGATACCGGATTCGGTCATTCTCGGTCGTCGCGCCCGCGTCATGCTGCATTGACTGCTGCTGCTACTTCGTCTATCATCCATCATACTCACCTATACATAATCGAATCTCAGGCTCAACATGATCACTCGCTGTCCCTGGCGGACTTGCATCTGAGCCACCAATCAGGTGCCCCTTTGCCCAAGACCGATCTCGAATCATCAACGGACTATCCCGCCCGCAGGACCTTCCTACCCACGTTCGCTCCGCGCGTGAACTCGCTACCTCTTCAGCCCAGCTCATTGGGGCGTCCGGTATACTATCCCTGTCACGCGGGCTCCCAGAGCGTCTGCTGCCTCTACGGGGTCCTTCCAGCGGTCACCGAAGCGCCAAGCTTCGTTCGGCCAGAGCTGTCAGCAGCTCCGCATTCCTCGGTCTCCTTCCTTCCTCCGTCAATACCTCATCCCTCTCCCAATCACCATCATGAAGTTCATGCACTACCCCGCGCTCGACAATCTCTCGTCGGCGCTATCTACTTCGCCCGCCCCCGAGACGAAGATCAATGTCCGGTTCGAGGTGTACTCGATCAAGCCTATCAGAGAGGAAAGGAAGATGTTCAAGGAGATGGAAGAGGCGTATATGAGTGGACAGGAGGAGATGGAAGAGTGAGTGGATGGTTGCACGAGTGGACGGAAGTCGAGCTAATCGAAGAATGAGCTTCTCGCCCGAGATGAAGGAAGCTGGACTGAGTAGTTGCTTTGGCAGGCTGGACGAGAAGGAGAGTCGGTACGTCAGAGCCTTCCTTTCCCGGGAGCAAGCTGATATCATAGCAAAGTCCACTTTCAGCTCGTCTCCACCCTCAATGCCGCTTTTCCGGACCACGACTTTAGCTCGCTCCGGCCAGACCAGTTCACGCGCGAGCCGAACGCGGCTGTAGTTCTGGGCCATCTAGGCGGAAGTCTGCTTGGTCAAGGTGCAGCACCGTGAGTCAGCCCATCCTCTCGTCGTATGGCAGCTAATCGTCAGAATGGGTCCACCGTCTTCATCACCACTCCTTCATCCCCTCTCCTCTTCACCTTCCGGCGCCGGCCAATTCCCCTTCAAGGCGGAGCACAATCGCGCCCTGCAAGAAGCCATCGATCTGGACGCGTGCGAAGTCTACTCATGGTTCCCTTCGCCCGAGTACGATCCTCACGCCGAGGCAGATGACGGCGAGCTGTCTGAGGACGGCTTTGAGCAGGAGGAAGAAGCGCTAGACGAGTCGCTCGAGATGGATATCGACGAGAATGAGACGGAGGCCAGCTGGGGTAACGCGGGTATGGAGCTGGACACGGAGCCTATGCTGGGAGGTGGAGTGATGGAGACAAGAAGTCGCAGTAAGGGAAGGAGACTCGGCGGGATGGAGGCGGCTATGTTGCCCCCTGCCTTGCCCAAGCGGTCTTCCGAGGAAGACGGGAGGAGGGGAGGGGGTCTGCTCTGGAGTACAAACTACTTCTTTTACAACAAGTGAGCTATTGTCTTCGGAGCAGGGAGGTACGAGCTGATAATCTAGGCGACAAAAGCGCATCCTCTTCCTCACCTGTTGGTGTCGCAAGCGGACCCCATTCCTCCTCTCGCCACTCCCGGCCGAATCAGACTTCCCAGCGCCAATTTCATCCTCCCTCTCCTACACATCTCCTACGGCGATGTCCACGCTGGCCCACCGCACTCGCGCTCGATCACGGACCAAGCCACTCGGTCGGCCAGCTAAGAAGCCCTCGCATATATCATTCACCCTCGCTCAAACGCCGGTCCGAGACGATGCGGATATCGACATGACCTCTCTCATCCCTATCCGAGGTATGGAGACGCCTCGTAATACCACGACCCGGCTCGCTTCGTCCGCGCCCGCCGTACCTGGCTTCCTCTCCAGTCCGTCTGGTCATGGCGCGCTGGCCAAGATGTCGGCGGGCGGGTACAAACCAAGAACACCCGCCAGGGTACTCATCAACGCTGCCAGGATGAGCGAGATGTCGACCAATAATACCACCGGGCACGGAACCGAAGGAGACAAGACGCGTAAGCAGCGGAGCGAGAGCGCGAGCTCGCCCGGCGCCAATCTTCTCCAAGCAGGCATGACAAACGCTCAGGGAGCGGGAGCTGTCAAGGGGAAGAGGAGCAAGGTGTGAGGGGTGTTAAAGAGGTGAAGGTTGTCATTCTGGGTTCATCATCATCCCTTCAATCCCTATCATTTTCATTCGCATTTGTCTACATTTCAGCTGTATCACCTGTCGAATCCCGTTGTTCTATCATCCCAATTATAGCTAGCGGCCTCGTTCAGGCGTTGTAGGTTGTAGCTAGCACTGTCACTACATTTCGATGTACCAGTATGATCCGACCTGCAACGGACTGATCAACTGATGTCTCCGCGGGTTCCTCGCCGGAACCAAGCAGACCAGTTTCAATTAAGCTTGACTTCCTCCCTCTTTTACTTGCATTTACGCATCGCTCCATCTTACCATCATGTCGTCCTCCAGGTCATTGACCATCCTCACAGCGGCGGACGTGGACCGCGTCCTCGCCTCGCTGGACCTTGACAAGGCCATAGCGTCCCAAGCGGCTGTTTTCGACGCGTTCTCCGCTGTCCCCTCCTCCGCCTCCACGCCTGAAAATGGTGTCCCGCCTATACAAAATCCGCACCGGACTACTATCGAGACGGAACAGTCTACAAGTCTGTTCATGCCTGCCCGAGTGACCGAGCTGGGCGGGGCGACATGCAAGATCGTCTCGGTGCCAAAGGCCTCGGCTGGGCCGAATGAGGGCGGATTGCCGGCTGCAACGGTGGTGCTGGATGATAAGGGGGTCGTGAGAGGTTTGGTGAATGCTAGGAAGCTGACTGCTATGCGGAACGCTTGTGGTGAGTCTCTTACGGCTCTAGCAGGAGCTGGTCGCGGTGCAGACCTCAAGAGAAGCGCATGTGCTGAAGTCCACAGGATCGGCCCTCTTTCTGCGCCGGTGTCCTCCAGCCGGCCCGATCACACAATGCGTCTTCTTCGGCTCAGGAGAGCAGATCTACGCGCACGCCTCGGTCTTCCTGCGTCTCTACGGATCGATAGTGAGGTGCACATTCGTTGTTCGGTCGAAGAACGAACGCGCGGTTGGGCTCGTACGGCGACTGGAAGCGGAACATCCCGCTATCACGCTGTACCTCCGGTCAGCAGACAGTGCAGACACGTCGCCTTCAAGCGCGCTATCAGATCTGCTTTTCACCGCTCAGGTCATCGTGGCTGCCACATCATCGCAGAAGGCGCTCTTTCCGACATCGTCGGTCCGGCCGGGCACGCGGGTCATCCTCATCGGGTCTTACAAGCCACACATGCGCGAGGTGGAGGACAGCCTACTGCGTCGGGCGTCGAGGGTGGTGGTGGACTCCAAGAAGGCCTGTCTACAGGAAGCAGGGGAGCTCATCTCGGCGGGTATAACGGAGGAGGATCTGGAAGAGCTGGGATCGATGAGGGAGGGTGGGAAGCCGGTGAGATCGAGGGAGGATATCGTACTGTTCAAGAGCGTGAGTTTGTCGAGTATCTCATCTAGATGCAAGCTGATATCCAGGTCGGACTGGGAGTACAGGACGTCGCGATCACCAAGCTAATATTGGACGAGGCGATCAATTTGGGTATCGGGACTCAGATAGCTGCCTTCGATTAATGATTCGGCCTGCTCGAGCCTCAAGTCCACTCTGCGCCCTCTCCCTCGTCCAATCTACAGTCTCAAGAGAATGTCTTCTTGCTTCCTGTGCACACCCCTTGCATACTCGATCCTACGCCCTGGGGCCTGGCGGCGCTTATGCCAATATGCACGCACAGACCGCAATGAACATTACGTAAAGCGCTTGCTCCCACTTTTTGGTGCGCGATCGCCGAAGCCGATGCTACTCGCAACCTCTTTGCCTTCGCTGCTATTACATCTATATCTTGCCGCTCTATCATATACACCTACTCAAGAATACGGCACCAGGATGAACCCAATCAGACCGCTTGCAAGGTCACTGCTTAGAGCGAGCCGGCCAGTCGCCGCCAGGCCCATCCCCGTCTGTCGGCATGTTCGCCTCCTCACCACCCCGACCAAGCCTTTATCAGCCAGCGTATCCAGCGTGAACGTCGAGCAGATCAGGGAAGACCCAGGAGAGGTGGATGAGGGAGACATCATCGGCGACAAGAATGCAGAAGGAGACAGTAAGTCGCCTCGCTTGCCAACCGATTATCGCCACTTGCTAAGTGTTAGACATGTTCGGCTTCAAGCTCAATCCGGTATCGACCAAGACGGGCGGGAACGCCAAGATCTCGGGTCGGCCAATCTACCTCGACATGCAGGCGACCACACCGATGGACCCGCGTGTATTGGACAAGATGCTACCGTTCTTGTCGGAACAGTACGGAAACCCGCACTCCCGGACGCATGCGTACGGATGGGAGGCGGAGGCGGGGGTGGATGTGGCGAGGAAGCATGTCGCGGATTTGATTGGTGCTGGGGAGAAGGATGTCGTGTTCACGAGCGGGGCGACTGAGAGCAACAACATGCTTATCAAGGGGATTGCGAGGTTCCACCAGGGGAAGCGGAGGCATCTCATCACCACCCAAACTGTAAGTTCAGGCAGGAGAATAAGTAGTTTGAGGTATGGCTGACGCTTTAGGAACACAAATGCGTGCTCGACTCGTGCCGATACCTCTCCAACCAAGGCTTCGAAGTCACCTACCTCCCTGTCCTCCCCAACGGCCTCGTCTCCCTCACCGACCTCAAAGCTGCCCTCCGCCCCGACACTTCGGTCGTCTCCATCATGATGGTCAACAACGAGATCGGTGTCATCCAGCCCATGAAGGAGATCTCGGACGTCCTGCGCGCGTACGCCAAGGAGCACAAGGTGCCCAAGGCGCACTTCCATACCGATGCCGCCCAGGCCTTGGGCAAGATCAAGATCGATGTCGAGGAGATGGGGATCGACGCCATGAGTCTGTCAGGTCACAAGATCTATGGACCGAAGGGTGTGGGCGCGGCGTACGTCCGGCGGCGGCCGAGGGTCAGGATCGAGCCCCTCATCCATGGGGGTGGACAGGAGCGAGGGTTGCGGTCGGGGACGGTACCCGCTCCGCTGGTAGTGGGTCTGGGCGAGGCGTGCAGGATCGCCAAGAATGAGATGGAGGCGGACCACAAGCGGATCAAGGAGTTGAGCGACAGGCTCGTCAATGGGATCTGCAGCGAGGTCAGCCATATCGTCCGGAATGGTGACCCCAACGGATATCCGGGATGTGTCAATCTGTCGTTCTCTTACGTCGAGGGAGAGTCACTCTTGATGGCATTGAAGGTGAGGCACGCATTTCACTTGACCAGAATCCGAGCTCATTTCGCAGGACATTGCCCTCTCCTCCGGCTCAGCTTGCACCTCCGCTTCCCTTGAACCCTCCTACGTCCTCCGCGCCCTCGGCGCCGCAGAAGATATGGCCCACTCTTCCCTCCGGTTCGGTATTGGACGCTTCACCACCGAGGCCGAGATCGACCTCGTCATTGCCCGGATCGTATCGGTCGTTACCCGGTTGAGGGAGATGAGTCCGCTCTGGGAGATGGTACAGGAGGGTATCGACATCAGCAAGATTGAATGGGCTGCTCATTGATCTGGGTCAATGGAGGACTGGGGAGTTGTAGTAGCTGTATATGATATGACATGAACCAGGGGATATAGATCTAGGTCTGGGTTTCGTGAAGGTTCGTTATGGTCGTGATAGATATGATGTCCCTTCTACGCCGGCTCCACCTCACGCTCGAGAGCGACTCCAATTTCCTGTACCACCGCCGCTCGTAATGATGGGTCCAGCATTTCTGGTGTTCAGCTATGGACGTCTTGGGGAGATAGCGAGAAGGAAAAACTCACCCCTAGCTTTGGGTAACACTTCCGCTAGCAACGCCTCGAGCTTGGGATCCTCCTGTTGCCGAGCTCGCTCTGCCTCATCAGTTGCAATACTCCTGGTTCACCATGCTGGCCAGAATCACCTTTCGCGAAATCCTTCAGATCATCCGCAAACCCAACCTCCTCCAGCTTGTCCCTCAACAACCCCGATATTCTGCGTGCGTCAGCCCAGTCCAGTCCAGCCAAGCCCATAGAGCCTTCCAGATCGGATGGCTCATCGCCGCCGTCCAGCACAGCATCCAAGCGCAGAGAAAGGAGGGCCGACGTGTTACGCGTATCAGTAGATTGCGCACAGGGGGAGAGGGGGAGGCGAGTAGGAACCGACCTTTCCCAGTCGCCCGTCTCGATAAGACGCTTTCTTATCGCGTTCATAGTCTCTTCGTCTACTTGGGGAGCGGCTGGTGCTTTGCTTGCAGGTGCCATGGTGTTGGTGAAGGCGTAGGATGAAGTGTAAAGGCAAGCAGGCTTCAGGTCAAGTTGCGGAGAAGTTGCTGTTGAACTCGGCTAAAACGTCGGGCAGATCTTGGCTAGAAGCTTGATCCTGAGCGCCTGAGCGCTAGCTCTGTAAGCTCTGTACTTGCTTCCCTTTCATGACTTGCTATTGAACACCGACAAGTTTGCAGCATGTTCACTCCGAGAGGCAGTCTTTGTACATATATACTCCGCCTCACGATGCCTACATTCTCCCTTCGCCACTTTACCTTTCGACCCCACAGCAAGCCAAGCGTTCTGCCCAGCGCCAACAATCAGATGTCCGAAAAAGAACCCCCCACAATCCTGCCAATTGAGAGGTCCAAGATGCCGAGTCTCTCCAAGGTCTGGTCATTCTCAGCTCCCACCCGAGTTCCGCTTGCAGTGTTCCCCACTTTCAACGAGGACAATACTCCTACGATCGGGGCGGATGGATATCCAATCTTCGCCAAGTACACCGTCATCGGTGAATCAGTCGGTTCCCAGATGCGCCTTCGTGCCTTGGCTGTGAAGGGCAAGTCAAAGTCTCAGTGGTGGACGGGAAGCCACCCCGCGTGGCAGGTTGCATTCGAGAACACGAAGCCCAGCGATGATGGCTTCACAGCCAAATCCGAGCCCTCATACTCAACGAAGGAGGGGGCGCCCTTCGCTTTGATCGTTGGAACAGAGCCCCGGGCCGAAGTGGAAAGAATCGTGCGCGGACTCTTGAAGGGGAGGATGAAGAGCAAGCATACCCTGGACGAGCGGGACAAAGACGTGATCAGCGGTCAACAGTGGCTGTGTGTCGCGTCAAACCTCGAGACGAGCCGACAGCTGGACCGGCTGGTGAGAGCATGCCAGGAGAAGAAGAGATGTCTGACGGAGCAATCAGACTCCGGGGTCTTGGGCACGAGAGATGTCGATGATGACGATGACGAGGTCGAGGACGAGACGGAGGGAGGTGGCAACGGGGAGGGACCGTCTTCCGAGAGAAGGGTGACCTTTGGGTGAGAAGGAGCGACCCGTCACTCTGATATGCCATATGTGAATATTCCCTGATGCACTACATTGAGCTTTTCGTGTCGCTCACCGGATCGCGTGGCCGTCTTATCCGGGCGGACGTGTATGACTGCATGCACAATATGAGCTTATATCTATAGGGCTCCGGACGATGATCACAATCGCCCGAAAACAAGACCGATGACAACGTAGACAAGAGTGAGGCTGGCATCAATCAGCCCTTTGTCCTGATCACAGCCGAACGAGATATGAGTACTCACGGCGGGGTGAGAACAGCGTACGACCAAGAGATGGTCTTGGAGATTAAGCGCTCGAACGCATCTCCGCTGGCTGCTTGCGTGATCTGCGCAAGAGTCAAAGCTGGAGGCTGGGATGATCAGCTATCTTCCCTCTTCGCGATATAGCAGAATGAATATACCGAAGAGATCAAGAGCACTGCCGCGAGAACGAACACCGGGTCCTCTGCCGCCTCAAACAGGTCATACTTCGCCAACAGCGCCACCCCAGGCAAGAGGATCAACGGAGTGATAATCATCCGGCTGATGACCGCCACAAAGACCGCGCGGTTCTCTCCCGGATAATCGGGGTTGCCGAGCTCGAAGTGGCGGAGCTTGCGCATCTGGCGGGTGAGGTAGCCTTCTTGAACTTCGGGGATGGTGGGGAGGGTGCCAGTGGCAGATGGGTGTGGAGGAGGCGTGTAGAAGAAGGCGCCGAGGACGACTAGTGTAACGGGGACTGCGGATCAGCGAGAACAATGTAGAAACGAGGCAAAACTTACTGGAACAAGAACCGGCTGATCGGATGGCCTGCTCCACGGGCTTGAGCTTCGCCATGGCCGCCTGAAGAGGTGGGATCATGGCGATGAAGATGGACAAGAGCGCCGCGTACATCGGGACTGTCATGAAGGCGTTTACGCTAGCGAGGGCAGATTTCAACCACGTCTTGGTCTTTTTGCCGACCACCTTGATGCGCGAGGTAGTGTCGCTTCCGGACTTGCGGCGGCGTAGCGAAAGTGGAGTGTTGTTTCCCTGTTTATCAGGCTTGGCCCCTTCCGCTGAAGAGTGGACATACCCATTCCGGATCCTCCTCTTCATCCTCCTCATCGATATCCTCATCGCTGCTGTCCTCCTCCAACAAAATCCGATCCCGCTTGGGGAACTGCGGCAACCCCCAGAACTCCCTTCCGCTCTCGCTCCGGGTTAACGGCTTGCGGTGGGTACTGCTCTGCGATTGGCTCCTGGTCCGGCTGTTGTTGGTGGGTCGACGAAGTCTGGCCTCGCTCAATGACGACTCGCGCCGGACGGGGTGCATGCTGTGGGCGGAAGTGGCCGAGACGGGCGCTGGAAGGTCATACGAGTTGCCCTCGGATGCGGATCGTCCAGTCCCGCGAGACATGTGCCGAGTAGGGTTCCGCTGCTCGTCCTCCTCGTCCTGCGAAAGCGCCTTGGTGGTAGTGAAGAACGGGTCCGTCTCGCGTGCACCGGGATGGGGAAGCTCATCTGGCGAGAGGACCTGGTTCGGGGCGGCGATGGTGCTGGCTCCGGGCTGAGGCACGGGGACCTCCTTGATCTCTTCCGCCTCGTCGTCCGCCTGCGAGAGCAGCTTGACGCCCCAAGACCACCGGAACATCATGCCGAGGGTCGAGTAAAGGACGAGGTAGGTAAGGGCGCGACCGAGCATCTGGTCCTTGGTGTCGTCCCTGCCCCACTTGAGTCCGGGGACCTCGACGACCAAAGACTGGATGAGCGCGATGGGGAGCGAGTTGCTGCTGGTCAGCGCGGTCTGACCATATCAAAGGGCGACCTACCTGTTCTGGAACATAGCTGCGCACATGGCAAATGCCCTGGAATGTCAGCTTTGCGCTAGGATCTCTTTCGTAGCGATGTAAGCTGCTCACGTCTGTGACTTCTTCAGACGGAACATTTTGGACAATATCCAAGCAACCAAGGCGGATGTACCAGTAACAATCACAAATCTGAGGTCAGTTACTTCCTGCAGGTTTGGCTTACCCAAGAGGTATGATCCACATCTCCTTCAACTTTGACGGTGTCAAGCTGTATGCCACCTTGGAGAAGAGCAGCGCAGGCGTGAAGAGCGATACGTTGATGATGTTCAACTTGCGCTGGGTCGCCTTGTCGGTCACTCCGGCGCGGGAGAGCACGTAGCCTGCCACACATAGTATGAAGACCTCAACGATAGACTATAGAGCCTCAGCATCTGCGTCGAGCTGCTTTCGCTGCTTTACTCACGTTGAAGACGGTAATGAGAAGAGTCCCGACTGGACTTATCAGCTCGTAGCTAACGAACGTGCGAAACTTGCTCACCTGGGACTTCGGACGACATGGTGGGTCTTGCTGCTGGCAAGCCGGATATTTGAGTTGATCTGCCCTAGCTGTTCCTTCTACCTCAGGCAAAGGAGGAGTTTGGGCGAGGTGTCTGTAAGAAAAAGACGAAAGAGAGAAGCCAATTTCCTCTTTGCTTGGCTCTGGATTCTGGCCATTCCGCATCAAGCGTCATTGAGGTGAGGAATGACGGCATCAACCTTAATATTACGTCAGCTAGTCGCGTCAGGCACGGACCACGCGCTGCAGGAGGCGCGTTTCAGATAGCTGAGTGGACTTTCTTCTTCAACTTCATCCATCAATCATTGATCACACCTCTATCCTCCACCTCTCCCCCTTCTCTCCCAGTTCCAGACCTTCCCCTGCTTCTCATCATCATGTCGGACCCACCAGTTGCAGCTTCTATGGTGGAGGATCAGCCGGGAGAGCTGAAGTCCGAAGAGGTTGCCGAAGGGGTTGTCGAGGAAGGAAAGCCCGAGCTGGAGCATGTGGTGGATGGATATATCAAGGTCACTGAAGTACTCTTCAACTGGACACCTTTCCTGAACCCATGGCAGGTGAGTAAGCTGTCAAGTATAAGCTAGCTCTGAGCTGATGAGCATTTAGGCCAACGCGGTCAAGGCGTTGGTCAACCTTACTTCCCTCACACATCCCGATCATCCTCTACGAGAGGAAGGACAAGATGCTCTCCGGCTGTATAATTGTGAGTATTGGTCTCTCTGGTAGTGCCGCGATGGCATCCGCTTTGTGAGCGGCTTTGTAGCTCAGCCAGACAAGTTGGAGTGAAAGAATGATTGAGGTCATGGTTGGTGATGCCAATCCAACAACAGGCTGGAGGGACTTGCGGGTCCTCGAGAAGGCACTCTGACGCTTCCATCGCCCGCTCGACCAGATCCCGCTCTCGGAATTGCGCTGACACACCAGGTCTCCGCCCAGAAGGGTATGAAATGATTTGCTTCTCTCTGAAGCAAATCGAATACCTACAATTTTACATCCACGAGATGCGTCTCGCCGACCCGGCGTGGACAAACTACCTCGCGAAGCTCAACTCGGGGAACGACGAGGACAAGCCGAAGGAGGGCGAGGTGCTCGAGGAGCCACGGTATGTCGAGGCAGAGAACCCCTGGGTGCCGCTCCCTGCTGGTATCATGCGCGAGAGCGACATGGCCGAGATCGTACGTCCCTTCTTCCTTCTTCCGCGTGAAATATGCTTATGGGGTAGGAAATCATCTCGATCCACGATCCCAAGGAGATCAAGCGCATGACCAACAAGCAGAAGAAACATAACAACCAGGTCGATAAGCAGCAGCTTGGCAAGCTGGACCTCACGCCCGAGCATCGCAATAGGCTCGAGGCGGAGATCGACAATGCCAAGGCGGGGCCGGGTCTTCGGAGGGGTCCACCGAGGATCTACGAGAGGCGGAAGGAGAGGCCGGGGCAGGAGGAGAGACCGGAAGGGACGGGATGGGGCGGCTTCCCAACGAAGGGGGCGGGCGAGACGGAGGAAGGTGAGCTTCAAGCGGAGCTTCTTGGATGCGCGGGAAAGCTGACAGTCCAGTCATCAAAACGGAGAAGCCCGACCACGTCGCGTGGCAGGAGGAGGCGAAGGACGCTGTCGCCAGCGAGAAGAAGGATAGCGCTGAGGAGATTTCACGAGGTAAGCTAACGCCACAACACATACGCCAACGTCACGGTAGCTGATACATCAGACGCGTCTGCGGCCGTGACCAACGGTGCCAACCCTGCTGCGGTGGATCTCAAGAAAGCGCCAACGGCCAGCCCAGCTGCAGCGGAGACGCCATCGGAACTTCAGACCGCCGCGGCGGCGCAACAGCCAATCAGCAAGGCCGAACCCGAGACGAACGGCTCTACGGTCAATGCACCGGCAGCCATCAATGGCGAGGACGATGCAGACGATGTCGATCCCCGGCCGGACGCTCTTGCCGAGCAACTCAATAAGATCGTCGATCTTAAGGCAAAAATCGAGTCGGAGGCACCGGTCGAGTCCGCTCCATCCGCCTCGGACGCAGAGGAACGGGAGACCGACCCCATGAAGGCGTACTACTTCGACGCCCAACAAGCCTTCGTCCTCGCGACAGCTGGCGGGCTCGCGAGCGCACTCGCTCAGAAACTCAAGGAGGACGCGGCGGCGGGTACGGCGGGCGAGGGGAGTGGGGAGGTCCCGGACGTTCCGGCTGAAATTGGGCGGAGCTTGTTCTTCGCGCTCCAGCTTACGACGTGGGAGGAGGACGAGAACATTGTGTTAGAGGTGGGCTGGGCGGCGACGTGGTGGCAAGAGAGGCTCCCCGCGCCAATCGCGGCCAAGGATACCAAGACTGATGGCGGAGTTGATGAGGAGTCGAGGTTCGAGCGGATGTCGGAGAATGGGCATATCATGTAAGTTGTTTGGTGCGATCTTTGATTTCAGCGACGCCAAAAGCTTACCTTTCCAGCGTCCAGGATCATCTCCTCGATAAGCGGAACGGCAAGACGAAGCCGGACCACCGCTCCTCCTATAATTTTGGCACGTCTATCCCCATCGCCGCCAAGGACGTCCACCGGACTCTGAGCCAGAAACTCAAGGAGCTGGTGAAGCGTGCCGGGGGCGGACCAATCTGTTAGTTTCAGGGATCGGAATTGCTTCTGTCGGACCAAAGCTGACACCGTAGACCTCTTGCTTCACTCTACCGACGGCGACGAGTCCGAGTTCCGCAAACTCGGCTGGAACACCAAGGGATGGGAAAAGCAGATCCGCCCTGCCGACTGGGACTACCCATCTTACGCCTCAGCGGACGGTGTGGGGAAAGTCTTCCTGATCGTGCGTTCTCTCCAAGATTTGCGATATGGCCTCAAGCTGACAGCCAGGATACGGCCAAGCTCTTCGGCGCGATCGAGAATGATCAGACCGTGCTACCCGCTATCGGCAAAACGCGGAAGAGCCTCGAAATCGTTGCGGGGACGATGTTCGGAGCGGACGCGGCCCATGCGCCCAAGGCATGTGGCAATGCAGGCAACTACGCTGCTGTGAGTAGCCATCAATGTTCTTTCGCACAAGCACTTGGGCTGATGTGCATCAGTTCTGCCTGCAAGTCTTCTGTGGCAGTGCGTTCTCCTCTGCTTGGCCTTCTGAGAAGCAGAGTACAAGCTGATTGCTTCAGTCGTCGATGGACCCCATCTCGAAGTTCTCCGCGCGGACTACCAGCAATCCCTCGTCCCCATCGTTGTCGACCCTACCCCCGGCGCTGTCGATGGCGACGAGACCGACGACGCTCCGCCAATCACTCCTGCCCCCACATCCCCCCTTTCTATCCCGCCGAATGCCAAGTTCGCGCCTCCAGCTCTGCCGACCCTTCCCGTCGAATACGTCGAGGCGATGTCAATGAAGGCAGCTAGTAAAGTGGACGCCTCGGCATCATCCAAGCCCGCCTCTGCAAACTCCAGCTCAAAGGCGCAAGTCAATGGAAACGGGAATGCCAACGGCCACGCCAATGGACCCGCCGGCGGGGAGGAGGAGGAGGATAGTGAAGATGAGGGGATTGCGGGGGTGTACTGGGAGGATCGAGCAGGGAATATCATCGAGCTGCCGGAGTAGCCGGGCGCCGGCGAGACCGAATAGGCGGAAGGGGAAAGGGTGAAGGGGCAACATCAAAATGGTATCTGCGAGGAAGAAAAAGACCCCACCCGGGGCAGAATGCGCTGTATAGTAACGTTCCGTATCCACCTGTACTTCGATCAAAAGTAAGAGTATCATCACCATCACGCATGTCATAGCTTCTTCCGATCAGCCTCCAGATCCCGCATACTAAGCGGTCTAGCACCCGCCCCCTACCTCTCAAAACTGATCAAACCGCTTCAGAAGATCCTCCGCTGTCGCCGGGCCACTCCCAGAACCGCTCCCATTTGCTTTTGCCCTATCCCCGTCTCCCGCCGCCGGTCCGGGACTGACCATACTCCCCAGCCTCTTCCGCCCTAGTGTCCAAAATCGACTCCCTGCGCTCGTCCCCAGACTCCCGACGTCAGACTGAGGGGGTGTAGAGCCGGGCGCTAGCCCCAGTCCTGCGCGTCCCGCAGCTGGGGTGTCTCTGCTAGAGGGAAAGACAGTCCCGCCGGTATTCGACTTGGATTTCGGCCGGGATGGTCCTGCACTAGGAGGAGGGATGGACGGTTGTCGGCTGACTTTTCGGCTCAGCGGGGACGATACTTCAGGGGACGATCTGTGCTCGAGATCGTCAAATGTGAACAAGGCCGCACTGGACGTCGTCCGATTGACCGATGTCGACGCCGTACCTGCAGGGGGCAGGGTAGGGCTGTACCGCCGTCCCGCGTCCGTGCTGGTCCGCCGACTGCTTGATTCCGCCTGAGCAATACCAGGGGTGCTGCGATTACTATTGCTGCTTCCGGACCGCCTGTACTCCGAGGAGGCGGTGACGGCCATTGCTGGCGCCAGAGCCGATTTGGCTGTCGACATCCCGGTTAGAATGCTAGGCTGGGTGTATGATCCGCCTGAGGAAGCGACGGATGGTGCGCGGCCCAGGGACCCGGGAGTAAAGGAGGGTCCGGCAGAGGCATTGTCGCGCCGTAGGGTGGTGATACCGGATGCGCGGGATGCCGGTCTCGTACTGGATGGGAGAGGGAGAGTGGATACGGGAACACTTGGAGCACTCGGTCGGAATGCGAATGGCGGGGCGGGACGAGTGGGGAGTACGACAGGCGCGGGCTGAGCGGAAGGGGCAGGGGAGGTGGTGGATTCGAAGACTGGGGAAAGCTTGGCCGGATCGACGGGCACGGGGGAAGAGACGAGGTCTGGGGATCCGTCCGCGTGGACTGGAGGGACGATGGGCTTTGCAGCCGCGACTGGAGAAGTCTGGGTGGCGCGCACCACCAGCTCGACTGGCGGCTTGGCCGAGGCCTTGGTAGGAGATACTATCGTGCTCTTGGTCTCCGTCTCTGGGCTGAGCACCTTGGGTGTCTCGCTCAGTACCGCGGGGACCGGCGTGATAGGGAAGTAGCTCTTGGTCTCGGTTGGGCTGATCAGGCCAGTCGCCGCGGAGGGGCGACGCGGCGTCATCTCCGAGATGTTCATGACGCTGTCGAGTGGTCGATCACCGAAAGGAGTGGATACGGATCGACGGGGCGTACGTGCTTGGACGGCCGGGTTGAACTCTTCGACTTGGTGGATGTAGAATCGGAGTCCTTCCGCCAGACCGAACGGATTCGTAGTAGGGGTCTGCCGTATCAGCTCTGCTCCTGGTCCAACCCATGGCTCGCATAACTCACATCTCCCGCGACAGCCTCCTCTGTCCCCGTAATCCTCGCAATGATACTATCCCTCTTCTTCCACGCCTCCACCTTATCCCCCGGCACCTTCAAGAAGTGATGTGGCGCCGACACATTGTACGCCATCCACGGACGCGTCGTCGCGTTCCGCGTAGGCAGAAAGAGCGCCAGATCGCCCTTCGTGAAGGCGGTAAACGAAATCTTGTTTTTGGCGTGATCGCGGTAGTGACGACAGCTCTTGTTGAGCTTTTTGACCAGCGAGATGGTCTTGTTGACGGCGTCGGCAAAGTTGTCGAGGTCAAAGTTGGTCGCCGTGGCGAGAGACCGACCGAGGACCGAGTCGCGCATAGGCTTGTCCTTGTCCCCGTCCGTCTCGGCCGGCGTGAGGGGTACTGCGGCCACCTTCGGCAGGGTGAGATTGGTAGAGGCAGATATGGTGCTCGACGCATGGATAGTAGAAACGATGCGCTGGCAAGTATCGTGATACTTGGCCACAAGCGCCACCGCGTCCCTCGCTACATCCGCCTGATGCGCATCCTTCTGCGTCATTGCCTGCGCCGCATCCTTCGCTATCGCCAGCTCATCCGCCAAGATGGTCTCCTTCCGCTGCACATCCCTCAGCTGCGCCTTGGTAAAGCTCAGCTCCGCCTTCAATCCGTCCGCCGTCCGAGTGGCCATATTCCTCGCCGCCGTGATCTTCTCCTCCATTTCGATCCGGATATCCTCGACTTGCTTACTGAGCGTCAGGTTTTGATGCTCCAGTACAGCCCGATCCCCGTCCGCCTCGGCGATATGGTCCCGCATAAGCCGTTCAGCCTCCGCCGACTGATTCTTCAGCGCGGTATCGCGTTCGGTCCGCGCCTGGCCGAGTTGCGTCGTGGTCGCTTCCAGCTCGGCCTTCAGCCCCGCCAGCTGAGATTCGAGTTGCCGCGACCCGTTCTGCGCATCGCTGACCGTTTGGAGTAGCTTGGACCGCTCGTCCTGCATGGACTGGACCTGCGACTGGAGCGAAGCCTCCGAGCTCCGCAGGCCGTCGATATCGAGCAGAGCCTCCTGTAGCCGAACACCTAGGTCCGTCGTCCGGTCCTTCTCCTGCGACAGATCCGCCTGCAGCGCCGAGATCACCTCGGACTGGTCGATCTGATGCTCTTGCTCCCGTGCCCGCTCGTTCAACTCCGTCGAAAGAGCCTGGCGAGCCATCATCTCCTCCTCCAGATCCGTCCGGAGCCGGACTAGCTCGTCCTGCAACTCCGCCTGCCGAGTTTGCAAACTCCGAGTCCGCTGCTCATGCGTGTCTTCCATATGGCGGACACGGGTCTGGTGGTCGTTCTGTCGATCTGCGAGCTGGCGTCTGAGTACTTCGTTCTCGTTGGAGAGGACGCCGAGCCGATCTCGGACGTCCTGAGTGTTGTGACCATGTCTTGATCGATGCAGCAGGACTTCCATCAGCCCATAACATCATGCAGACATACCTGACCGCTCAATCATCTGGTCCAGTTCGGATGACGCCTCGTCCATCTTGGCGATAAGGTCCGAAACGCCGTGCTCGAGGAATGGGATCGGATCTGACTCTTCATCCAGAATTGCAGCTTGTAGCTCGCCATCATCCTTGAGCGTCTGTATCCATCTCGTCAGACCTGCCTATCAGCATGAGGTGCCTCATCTCAAGGACAGCGGTGACTCACCTTCGATATCCGCCTTTGTGATGGCAATACCGCTCAAAGGTTCCGCTCCGTCCACCACGCTTAGCTCCAACTTGAGTGGTACCTCATCCAGTGCACCAACAACGAAGGGCAACTGTGACGTCACTTCCGTTCGTATCTCCCTCCGCCTCGCTCCTTCTCTCTCCGCAAACGTCGCAAAAGTCGCCGAAAGCCGATCTGTCCATGCCTTGAGAGCAAGGGCGAACTCTTTCCGCCGGACGACCTCGATGACGGTTGCAGCGTATGCAAAGGGGAGGAGATGGAGTCGCTGCAGATGAGGAAAGGCAGCTTGGGATTTGAGATCGACATCGAGGGTTTGGATTGGGGTGACGAGCTCGGCGATCCGTATTTGAAAGTCTGCAACTTGGCGTAGGTGAATGTGAAGTTCTAGCGTGTAGTCGTTCTATTGTCAGCGGGGTCCGGAGCCGAGGCCTACCTTGACATTTGTGAGGATTGTCAGGTCTTCCCGCATCGCAGCGTCCAATTCCATCAGATCTATCGGTTAGCTCGTTACATTTCCATCGATCGAAGGAGACATAACAGCTCACCTTGACTCAACGATGGTGTATCGTTCTGGAACAGCACCTCCAGCTGAGATATGGCCATTTGGAATCGCTGCACCCCTTCCTCCAGCTCATCAGCGACCTGCTGGGCTCGCTCCTCGGACGCTCGCCGTTCCGCCTCGGATTGAAGAGCTAGATCTCCGACCTGGCTTGCGAGCTTGTCGAACTGCTTGATATGCGTTGCTGCGGATCAGCCGATACCTCGCATTGAAGCAGATTTGACTCACCGTGTGATGCTTGACAGCTCTCCCTAACCTGCTGCATCTTGACTGGATTCACATAGCTCGCCATGGTCCTCACCGCCTCCGCAGCTCCGTCCGAGCTATCCCTCCGCTCCTTCTTCTTATTGAAAGCATCATGTACCACGATCCTCGGGAGCATCACCATGTCTGCTTTCGAAGACCGAATGAGCCGATCTTCATTGTCCAGCTGATCTTTGGCGCGCTCTTGGAACTCGTCGAATTCGCGCAGAAGGGGTTGGAGATGCGAGGCTAAGCTGGTGTAGGCGATAGCGAGCGAGCGAGCTTGAGCGTAGAAGAGGGAGATGAGGTGCTGGAGATGCTCTGAGGCGAGGACGAATGGGAGTTGAGCTTGGCCGAGGTCCGAGATGGCGGAGACTGAGGATGTCAGCGGGGTGCAACCGGGGAGGGGGATGTAACGTACGGTTCAGAAGCGGGGGGAGAGCGAGGTCTTCTTGATATTGCACCGCCCAGGTCTCTGGCGATTCCGCGTAGAAGGTGGCGCGGTTGAAGAGGAATAGTTGCTGAGGTGGAGCCTAAACTGTCAGCTCAGGTCGGCGATGATACCCAGTTCCTAGCTCACATCGGATTGCCCACCTTCGCCACCCCGCTCATACACCTCCTGCAACACCTCGTCCTTCAACTCCCTTCCGTCTTCCATGAACAGCAGCACATTCTCGGGGGCTATACTCGTGCTGACCGACGCGTCTGTGATGAGCTGGTCGAGTCTGCTGATCAGCCGCCATTCAGCCAATCGACCACCCTCAACCTGAGGAATGAGGAGCAACGACTCGTACTCGCCTACTCACGTCTCGTAGTCGCTCAGCTGGGTATGTAGCGTCGTTGCTCCTCCATGGGATGCCTCCAGTATCTCGATCATGGTAGCTATGGCCAATTTACCAGCTGATAGCTGTAGTAGAATGAGGTACACACGCAGGTAGGCTGATGCAACCGCTTCCTGGATGTCTCTGGTGGAGGTTGCCGCAATCACGCGTCATATACCGAACACCCATTTTGGCTGCATCTCGATAGCACAGAAGCGTACATATGGCTACCTGTCTAGCATCATGTAGTTCCATCCATACCGCCCTTGATTTGCTCTTGACTACACTGTTGACTAGACCTTGCCACTAGACACCAGATCCTGTACCTTCTTGAGGAGGACCTTCGCTCTCATCGACACCGCCTGCCCGCAGATCAGCTCGATCCCGGAGTTTGGCGCGAGCGGTACTCACGACTGGCTTGCGGTTCAGCCTCTTCGCCAACGGTGCCCAGCTGGCTGATGACCCATTCTCCAGGCGGTAGTTGAGGATCTCCGCGTTCTCGTGAGCGGAGAAGGGTCCTTGAGTGACCGGACCGAAGGAGGACCCGGTGTGGCCGGTCCGGGCCTTCTTAGCGGGTGAGCGGGCGGTCTGGGTGGGGCGCTTTCGCTTGTCGCCAGAGGAGGGAGGGGTAAGAAGAGACGCCGAGCCGTTTGAGGCGGGAGGAGGAGTGCGTGGCTGACGTCGCCGAGCCGACTTGCCGGGCTTCTGAGGGACCTCCTCGGTGTAGTCCGAATCGGCGCTGTCATCGACATCGACCGCCTCGGACAAGCTGCGGGTGTCATCCTCATCCTCCTCATCCTCCGCCTCAAATTCGCTGCCCGAAGCAGCGGAGTCACCCGAGTCGGACGAAGCGCCAGAGTCGATCACGGCGTAGGTGGCCGGACCGGTACCTCGCATGGAGGATCCGCCGGTCCTGAGCTGCGGTACCGTGGGTTTGACGTCCGGCTGGTCGACCGGAAGGTCAAGATCGACGTCGACCTCGATCTTGGCCTCGACGGCGTCGACGTCCTCGACGTTGATGGAGGGGATGAAAGGAGATTCGCCGCGGGCGGACATGTCTGTAACGTCAGCCGTACCCTCATCCCCGCACATAGAAAGGGAGCAGGACATGGCGCAATGAGGACGAGGGAACAGACACGTACTCTGATGATTGGGAAGCAGATAAGCGTATCACTGAGTTGTGGCTGATGAGAGGTGGGGATTGATGGAACTCAGATGGAGGACATCAAAGTTCTCCTCGTCCATTATATACCTTGTCGGCCTATCCTCCGCTCCCTCTGCCTGCCGCCCTTGCCCGCTCTGGCGCACACAAAGCTTGTCCTCTCCGTTCATATCTGCCATGCGGTCAGCTGGCCAATCTGCGCTTAATATCCCAATCGCGGTCAGGCACCATCAGATAGCGGAGCGGGGGCAAAGGAGGGTGCTCACTGCGTGCCGAGTAGCCGATGACGCTTGACCGGAGGAAATTTCGGAGTATCAGCGTCGAGCAGTCTGGTTGGCTATCATCTTGAGGCTGATGGGATTCCCGTGGCTGATGTGATGCCTTGGGCCGCAGATGGACGCAATTTCTGCAGGTCGAAATGCCATACTGATGCATGATCCTATTCCCTCTCGCCAGAGAGCACCGCCTCTAGACCTTGCCTGCAAGGATCATCTCCTGGATGATCTTATCCATCGCCTTGAACCGCTCTAGGCAGTCCTGGACCGATCAGCGCTGTTCTTGTCATTATGGCGATTGTCGTTTTAACCTACCTGAGCTGTCCGATTCAGGCTGATCGCAGTCGGGCCCCAGCGTCCACCCTCCACGACCGGACGGCGGTCCAGGTACAGCTTCAAGCTCTCTTCAGGAGTAAAACCGCCCGTGTTGTACCCGACCGATGTCCCGCTGCTGCTCCCTTCGCCTCGACGCCGCTTGACCGGGATCTCGACGTACGGGGCCAGGCGCCGTTTCCGGTTCGGAGAAGAGGAAGGAGCGACGGGCGAGGTGTCGGGAGGAGTGGGGAGAGGGTTGGTGACCTTCGAGCGTGTCCGTCTGGGCGTATTGAATGAGGGCGTGGTCGATGCTTGCCCGCTGTTTGACGAGCTGTCTGAACCGCCTGCTTCCTCCGCCTCCGCCTCCTCCCCATCTTCCTCCCCCTCCCCATCACTCTCGCTGCTGCTCATCATCCGCCTATTGACCGGCTGACGTGACGGGGACTCGAAGTCCTCATCGTCGCTATCCGAGGATGGCGGCGAGACCGAGCCCTGAGAGCCATCCGCGCTCCCCCGGAGGGAGTACGACGGACGAGGTACCTTGCGAAGGTTGCGAGTCATGTTTCGGATGGGAGGAGGGGAGTCGATCTCGGGAGGGGGGTCGATTTCCATCGCTGGAGGGGAAGGGATGGCCTCGATCATTGCCTCTTCAGGCTCCGAGTCCTCCTGGGAGGGGTCGGGCGGCGGCGATGGAAGGGCTTGGTCAAGGGGTTTGATTTCCGTGAGCTCGGTAGCCGGGACCGATTGGCCTCGTCGACCGATGGGCATGACCTATCTCGTCAGCCATGATCTAGCAGCGAGACGAGTGGGACTGGAGGTGGTATGGAAGTGCTATTGGACAAAACTTCGACTCACGCTGCAGCTGTATAGGAAGGGATACAATGGTAAGAGCTGATGGATAATGATAGTGAGAGATGATGAGTATGTCAGGAGAGATGAGGACATAAGATAGAGAAGGACCGCTCGGATAGTCGAGCTCCGCCCTCAGACATACCAGCGTGGAACCGCGCGGATCATTCTCTGATCGGGAGCGGATGGGCGTCCTGGCTCAGGCACCACATTGTGTGTGGCCAGACGAGGGATCGGATCCCGCTTTGCCTCGCCGTTCAGGCACGATCAACCTCAAGGTTCAGACAAAGTAGTGTCGAGGGATCCGTCGGGTATGCGTTGCCAGCTTTTGACGAGCAGTCAGTCTTTCGGGTGACGGCGAGTAAGCGCAGGATGAGCTGGGTCAGCTTGAACGGGACGTGTCAGGGAGTCGTCTCGAGGTGGACATGAGCGTAAGCAGTCACCTGTGGGGTAGAAAAATAAGGGGTTCAAGGATCTTGTCAATCCAATCCCAGATAAACCCTCTCGAACGGGCCAAGCCCTCTCCCGAAAGCCATGCTCGCCGATATCACCTGGACAGCTGTCGAATCAAGCTGTAAGAAAGGTGAACTAGGTCTCGATTCGCTCGAAGTGCGCATATAAAGGCAGAGGAGAAAGCGAGCTGCTCTATCGACCAACCAAACGCGTCGACGCGATGCTCAGCCACGTGGCTCAGCATTCCTCAAATTTCGACGCGTCCAACAACAAATCCCCCACCGCTTTCAGTATTCCCATACCTGTCCACGCACTTCCATACAGCCCAAGATGGACTCCCCACTTCTTCCCACCCATCGCAATCGGTCTCAACCCGGCTTCTCCCATTCCCACCTCGCTGAAGACCCGTCGCTCCTCGCTGACCTGTCTATCGAGGAAGACGATGACTCCTTCCTCCCCTCGTCTCCCATCCGACCCTCCTCATCCCGGTCTCAGCTCTATCCACAGCCTTCGCGGCCTGCTCCCACATCGAGGTCGGGTAGTGCATCTAGCTCACATACCAATGCCGGCTTCCGGGCTCGTCAGGCGTCTTCATCGAGGTCGGGGTCTATCTCGGGCGGAAGCGCTGCTTCGGACGACGAAGATACGCCGCAGAAACCAGCACCTGGCCGTGCCGGTACGAGAGGCGGAGCGACCTCAAAGCCGAGGTTCTCTCTCTTCGCTCCCCCTCGTCCGCCTTCGGCGGAACCGCCCGTAGAAGATCACAGCGGAGGCTCGGCAGACGGAGGAGAGCAGGATGGCGAAGGGGAACGTGATGACGAGGAGGGGCAAGAAGACGAGGACGAGGAGGTGGGCGAAGAAGGCGAAGATCAAACGATACATGCGGGAGCTGGACCTTCCCGAGCTGCTGCTCGCCCCGTCTCGACAGGGGAAAGGGACGATAAGCTCCGGGAGAGTCTTTATGAGCTGAGGCGGATGAATGAGGTATTTGAGGGGTTCTTGGGCGCTCTGGAGGCTGCGAGGGGACATAACGAAGTGAGCTTGAACTACTTTTCCACCCCTAACTCAGGCATAGGTGATCTAAGCTGACATGAGCAGAGACTAGCCGTTCGGGTAAAGCAGACCTCTGCGCTACTCGATCAGTACACAGCTTTGCTGGGTCAAGCGGAACATACGCAGAAACTACTGTCAAATCCGAATTGGACTGGTGCTGCCGATGTAAGCCATGGTCCGGCTACACCGTGAAAGGATCATCGCTGATCAAATAGGACAATGCAGCGATAGAAGCCGAGAGAATTGCGGCTGAGGAAGCGGAAGAAGCTAGACTCCAGGCGCTGCGCGATGCGGAAGAGGCAGCTCAGCGGGCGGAGGAGGAGAAGGAGCGAAGAGCTGCCGAGGCGGAGCGTGCCAAGGAGGCAGGGCGGGGAACAGGAACGAGAGGTCGCGGTGGGACTCGCGGAGGAATACCGAGGGGAAGAGGTGAGTTATCTCCTTCTCATATTGGACGAGAACAGGTAGAAGGCCATAGCTGACATTTTCAGGATCTGGTATACCTACGGCCGCGTCATCACGGACAGGAGCAAAGACGCCTACGACAGGTATCAGAAGACCAACACCGTCGTATGGAACGGCAGGGACCGGAGGATCTGCAGCCGGGACAGGTACAGGTACTGGGAAGTATGGGCACGTGGCGAGTAGTGGGTATGGCCCTCCTAGTAGAAAATGACAGGATGACACATCGGCATGGCCACCTGGGTACAGGTGATATACCAGCTAATATGCCCACTCAGTCTGATCCTAGATACAACACCGCCAAAACCCCAAAGCATAACCTCTTACTGACTAATGCAAACGTCCCTCACTTCCTGGCCCAGCTTACTCCCTCTAAACCTCTTCAAGCCATCTATCAACTTTCTATCCTCCGCTGTAATCTCCTCGCCTGCATCGCCTGGTATTTGCGCGTCGACGTGCGAGAGGGTCCTGGGTAATCGTTTGCTCGGTCCCGGGGAGTCGACCTCTGGGTCGTCGGGGTCCGAATGGAGCTGTGCGAGTTTACGCTTGAGCAGTGAGGTGAGAGGATGGGAAGGTGATGATGGCCGTGGAGCTGGGGTGTTAGAGGAAGTTTTGAGACAGATACTGATCAACTCACCATTCATAGCCGCAAAAGGGAACATCTCTCCTACTTCCGCGTCCTTGACACCTTCCCGCTTCGCTATACCGCGCACGACGAACCGACCCTGTTCATCTACTACTGGCTCACACTCTGGGAACGTCATCCGCGTGAGCGTGATGAGCTCGAGAGGGTCTAGAAGGCGTTGTACCGGAAGCGGAGGGTAGGTTGGACTGGAACCATGGGCGTCCTCCGTTTCGCCGAGGCCAGAGGCTATGCCATCAAGATTGTGCAGGGCCAGTTCTGTGGGGAGATGCGGTACTTGTGGTAATGGCGAGGGATGGGAAGGGGCAGGAGGGGGTGTGAAGGAGAAGCGGGTGGCGTAGGCCGTGTATAGATCAGTCTGGGTAAGGGGTTGGGCGGTAGATGAAGATTCGGCCTGCTGGAAGTTATTGAGCAGCCTGGGGGTCAGCTAAGACGTTGCTATGGCATCGATAGGAACGTAAGCTCACCATGTACTAGCTCGTACCGGCTCCACTAGCCCATCGATCCCTTTGTCCACTTTTCCACTGTCCTCATCCTCGTCTGCCCGTTCTTCCTCCTTGTCCCGCTTGTCCATCCCCTTCAAGACATACTCTCCCTCGTCTCGCGCCATCTCACAGCCCGGAAAGGTGGCTATAGCGAGTTGGATCAACTCTTGTCCGGTCATGAGTGGGGTGTGAGTATGGTACGGATCGAAGCGGGTCCGATATGCCGAGTAGAGGCCCAATTGCGAGAGCGAGGTGGATGGATCAGCGGATCTATAAGACATTTGCAGCCTGTAAGTGTCAGCTCGTTTCGGCGGCCTGAATGCAGCAAAGAGCTGATGGCTTGACCCACCATCCCGTCGCTCTTGCTGGCTCGGGTACACCGTCCAGATCTTGGATCCCTCTCCCCTTATTTCGCCGCTGCCGAAAGTACTCTCTGACCTTCCTCCACGGCCGTCCTGTCTTCTCCGCCAACATGTCCAGCTCCGCTCTTGACGGTGTTGGATTACGCATGTAGAATTCCCGCATGATCTCCAGCTGACGGCTCGCCGGTATGTGCGATTCCTTGGGCGGATGCGGTGTAGGCGTGTAGAACGATTCGAGGTGCAGTACGCCGGACCGTCTCATGCCCGCTTCAAGCGTCATGGGTCCCGGCTGCTGATTCTGCTCCTCTGATAGCTTCATCTCTCCGCCTTCTCCCTCGTCTCCTTGATCCATGTGATGACCATGATGCAGCTGCTGCTCGAGCTGATGCGCCTCATCGTCGTCGTGCTGCATCGATACCTCGGCAGCCTCCATGGCGTCGGTCGTGGCAGCTACGGCGGCCTGCCTTTCCAGCTCCGCCGCCATGTCCAAGTGCAGCGCGGCACTGGGTGAGGGAAAGTCCTCTGCCAAGCGAGCATGATCCTCTGGTCCTTGAGGTGAGTTGTGAGTGGACATGCTCGGTGGAGGCAGAGAGGGACAAGACAAGGTGGGGAAGGGAGAAGAAGCGAAAACGAACGCGGTGAAAACAACTCCCTCAGCGGGAAATCCGGGTCCGGTCAACCGGTATTCCGGATCAAGCGAATTTCCGGCTTCTTTCAGGCACGGGCACCACGTGGAGTGGTGAGAATTTCAAGTCCACCCGAGAAGCTCTGTTCTTCTCCTTCTGCATTCACCCTATAGTCATCCACACTTACGTCTAGACACCATGTCGACTCTCCTCCCCCCTCCCAAGCGACAGAAGTCTGCATACTCGCAGTCACTCAAGCCGCGCGTGCCGACGCCCGAGCCCACTCCCGTCCCGTCTGTGGTCGTCCAGTTCAGGTCGGCCGAGGATGGGTCGAACCTCGGTCCAGCGATCAACTTGCCTGCGGACACTGGAAGGGATGCGCTGCAGATGCTTGTGAACAAGCTGAGGGGCGAGGTAAGCTGTCTGTCTTGTGTTCTGCACTGTCCACCGTCCGCAATTGGGTGCAAAGAGGGATACTTCTGGGTCTTGCCCTGCTCGAGAAGCAGAGGAGGACCGAGCAGAGAAGCATCGGGAGAATCGAAGCGCGCAGGACTCGCACAGACACTCTGGAGAAATTTATCAGTCTAGCAGTCTAGCTGACTGCCCAGGCCGAAGACCCCCTTCCATATTCCTTCCACCTCATCCCCAAGTCTGCCAACGCCGTTACCTCGGCCACCAGGGTCCAGATCAACAAGTCCATCCTCGCCGACGCCATCAACCCACCTGCGTCCACCTCTTCCGCTACCTTCTCGCCCGAAGATGTATTCGAGCTATGGTGTGAGCCACAGGCGGTATTTAGGGTACGAAGCGTCGGCAGATGCAGTGCCACCCTCAGTGGTCAGTTTCCACACGGTATTGCGCCTGCGCCATGCACCACTTGGACAAGCTGATAACTCAGGTCACGCTTCACCCATCCTCTGCTGTGCGCACTCGCCAACCGGAAAGTACGGCGCGACTGGCTCCGGGGACGCGACGTGCCGGATATGGGACATGGAGATGGAGACACCCAAGTGGACTTTATCAGGACACAAGGGATGGGTACTTTGCGTAGAGTGGGACTCGAGGGAGAAGATCGTGGCTACGGGTGGGCATGATGGACAGGTCAGTTGCAATCCGCCTCTCCTTTGACTCGACCTGAGCTGACTCTTCAGGTCCGTCTCTGGTCCCCGCAAACAGGTCAAGCTCTCGGTCAGCCCCTCCTCGGGCATACCAAATGGATCACCTCGCTCGCTTTCGAACCCCTCCACCTCCTGTCGGCTAAGAACCCCTTCCCTCGGCTCGCTTCGTCCAGTAAGGACGGAACAGTCCGGGTCTGGAATACCGCTACGAGGACACTGGCGTTCGTCTTGACGAGTCATGGAGCTAGTGTGAATGTGGTCAAGTGGGGAGGAGACGGTGTGATCTATACGGGGAGCTCAGATAGGACAGTGAAGGTGTGGAGTGGAGTCGATGTGAGTTAAGCCAGCCTGGAGCAAGGTAGGATCAGCTGACGTTTCAGGGGAAGCTTATACGGACGCTATCAGAACATGCGCACTGGGTCAATACGATGGCGCTGTCGACGGACTTTGTGCTCAGGACCGGGCCATTCGACCACACGGGCAAGGCACCCAAGGACGACGAAGAAGGTAAGTAGTCATGTTCTAGCTCTTCGTGACGGTATTGGCCATGAGGAGTGAAGTGGCGAGCGGAAGAGACGGAGTTCGCATAACATGCTCTAAGCAATGTCGGTGGAAGTAGAGACACGGTTGGTTGAGGGAGTGAAGCTACGCCGGCGGATAGCAGGCAGAAAGGCAGCGAGCGGTGACTTCAATGGAGGTCGTGAGACTCTTGCATGGTCGGAGAGGAGTATTGGGCAGAAGGAGCTCGAGGTGACGGCGGCGGTTGGAGTAGCGTCAGGTCTGGTGGGGGAAAGCAGTTTCGCCAGCTCGCGAGCCGCAGACAGGCAGAGGGAGGGAGTGGCCGTCATTCGAACCTGTCATCCGAGGAAAACCTAACCCAGAGTCAATATGGAGCGCGAAGAAGGGGCCGGGGGGAGCAGAAGGAGCAGTGTAGCATCCGCGTCTCCGAGAAGTTGCTGACTTCCAGCCATCGCATGGGCGCAGAAACGTTACACCGCGCATATCGCCGCTTCTCCCGAAACCCTCATCTCTGGTTCCGATGACCATACCCTTTTCCTCTGGCCCCCACAAGCCGCTTCCTCCTTCACTAGCACCGCCACTCCCAAGAAGCCACTCGCCCGGCTCACAGGCCATCAGAAGCAAGTGAACCACGTCGCCTTCTCTCCCGACGCGCGCATGATCGCTTCGGCTGGCTTTGACAATAGCGTCAAGCTGTGGGATGGGCGTACCGGCAAGTTCATCGCTAGTCTCCGCGGGCACGTCGCTTCGGTGTATAGGGTCGCGTGGAGTGCCGACTCGCGTATCCTGGTTTCGGCAAGCAAAGACTCGACGTTGAAGCTGTGGGATCTCAGGACATTCAAGATCAGGCTGGATCTTCCGGGTCATACCGACGAAGTATACTGCGTAGACTTTATCGCGGACAAGGTGGTCAGTGGCGGGAGGGACAAGACTGTCAAAATGTGAGTAGATGGGTCGATGGTTGTCGGATTTTAACGAGGCTGACGAATTTCAGCTGGCGGAATTGAGGAGATATGTTGATGATTCTGCATAGTCATCCATCTGTTTTGGTCAGCTTGTATGCATTACTGCCTGCTCTGCCCAACAGATCCCGATGACGTGCCTGTGCCTGCCCCGGAAAGGCTATCTGAAACATGGCCTGCGGACGCGTGTCAGCTGACTCAACCGTCGCTGACGCGATGCTGTGGCTCGTCATCGAGTCGTTTCCATCCATACCTTCCATCTATCCATCCACCTACACCACCTATACCCAGTACTTCATCGCGCAAGCATCGCCCGTACAGACAACACCTACCACTCCACCGCTCCAGCCTCCACCACAGAGCTCAAACTTCACCCCTACCGCACCACCTACCTATACCTCCTGCAACCATCATGTCAGTCAACTTCACCACGATCGCGTCCGTCCTCACCGTCGCCATCGGCCTCACCTACCTACTCCTGGACTCGTACGTCCGTAGACACCCTCTGTCCCGCGCCCTCTACCCCGACGAGCCCAACTTGATCTTCCCCGACGAACCTCCCATCCCTGCTGTCCAAGGTGCAGACCCCGACAACCCTCTCGGATATTTCTCCCGCCGGAACCTCGATCGGCTGGCGGAGCTAGCTCCACGGAAGTCCAAAGCCAACTCCAAGCTCTTCGGCGCCCACCTGGCGGTAGCTCTAGGTCTAGGATGGAGGGCGGGCAGGTCGATGAAGGGCAAGGACGTGGTTTTGGTTCTTCCCGCGGTACCTCGGTGTACTTACTTTCGGCTCCAGCACCAGGAGATCCGGGAGCGTACAGACGTAGAAAGGGCGCCAGATGAGGAGGAACGGAGGCATGAGATGGACATCCTGAAAATGGCCCGGGTATGGTACTTCGCCACGGAGTGGCTGTCGGCTTGGATCACTGTGAGCACCGATCTTTTCTATAGGTGGATAAGCGCTTCCTGTTAACCTGTTGCTGACTTGCTAGGAAGCTGGAGGGCACGCCAAAATCATCATACGCTGCTCCGCCCCGCGTGTAGCTTTACGAGAGGCCTTCATTGTGAGTTCTCTTGAAGGCGTCTCGCGCGGTCGTCCGGCGAGGTAGTTTCCCCAGTCAGCTGATCAGCCAGGATCGAAGTCGAATCCCTCATCGGCTCAGAACAGTGGTCACCCTGCCAGGCTCCGAGGCGGACATTGAAGCATTGCGGTTTGATAACGAGGTGTGGAGCTTGGAGTACTTGGTGGAAAGGATGAGAGGGTGAAGTAGCTAGGGGGTCTGAAGGACGAAGAGGAGGGATCAGCACATGCAGTGTGCGCGAGGGGTCAATATGGCCGTCATTGTATATTACCAACGTCGCAGAGCTATGATGTCAAGATGTGCGCAGGTCACATATCCCTGACAGCGACGAAAGTCAGGCGCGCAAACATTGATAGGGACTCACAACGCCGCAGCAGTGGCACCAGGAGTTTGTTGACATCGATGGTGGCGTGTCAATGTTTGACCACTCTGTCAACAAGCCAAGAAATCACCGTATCACCGAAAGTCGCAAGCGAGGGCGACAAGAGATGGTGCCACAAACATAGAATATCAATTGGGAAGAGGCTGTTGAGCGGTTGAGCGCATAGCGCCTTCTGGCCGGCTGGGCGCCCCCGCTATAGGCGGATACTGGCTTGACTTGTCATAGACCTGTCAGACTTGTCATAGACCTGTCATAACCACGATCATTGATCAACCGGCGGTGGATGCCGGGGTTGCTGGGAAACTTTTTGCTGCGCACAGCGACTGATAGGGCATCTACGATCTACGATCCCCTGTCTTCGGGCATACCCTTTTGATCGCCTCCCTTCTTAAGCTTTGCAGCAACTCCACATTCCTTACAGCCACCCAAAATTTAACACCACGTCATGCCGTCCACCTTGAACCGCCAAAAGTTAGGGGCTCTCTTCACGATATACATCCTCTGCAGCATATACATACGGTACTGAGCGGTCCTTACACATCAAGGATATGACAACCAGCATGTCACCCGTCATCCTTTCGAAGCGGAAGCTCCCCGAATCGCCCCCGGCCGGTCCATCAACGATGTCCACCTCGTCCAACCCGGCTCCGTCCCCAGACGATAACCCCGCAGAGGTGGCCAATGGCGGGGCCGACGGCTTCATCAAGGTGCTCACGCGGGACGAGAAGCGCAAGCTGCGGAAGGTGGAGAAGAATCGGCCTTCATTTGCGTTCGATCTTGGGCAATTCAGACAAGGGCGGAAGATTGGGGTAGCGCACGTGAGGGATCTGGTCTTGTACTTGACAGCGGATGGGCCTAAGCCGAACTGGATCGTACCCGAAGTAAGTCTTCCGTCTTACTCGACTCCCCGTTGCGGGCTCAAGCTGACGTCCACAGCATAAAGCCAATATCACACATACAGTCCTTCTCCTCATCCCTGGTCTTCTCCCCTCCCATCTCGGCCTTGATATACCCCTGGCTACCAACTCCCCCTTCTCCACCTCGCCCGTATACCCCAGCGGAACCGAGAAGCCCCGACCTCCGAGCAGGGTTCCGTACCTCGCCAAGATGTTTGCGTATGGCGTGCCGGTCCGTGCCCCTGGGGACAATCGGCGGATGTTTAGCGTGCTGAGCACATTGTTGAACTCGCCATTACCAGATAGCGTCAGGAAGAAGAAGGAAGAGGAAGATCGGAAAGTTGCTGGTGAGCTCCGCTTCTACATGTCACCTCGCATGGGGAAGAAGCTGATGTCTAGAACTGGCAAAGTCGGACGATGCTCCACCGTTCTTGTACCTCCTCACCCCGAATCAGATGATCGATAATGGCTACCGACTACCGTACTACCTCTCGGCCGGGGACGAGGTGATCATACCGGGCCTGAAGGGCGCGGATGTTCCTGAAGCGCTGGCCAAGCTAGGAGGGGCAGGAGCGGTCAAGGAGACGGATGATTTGATCGAGGGGTTGAAGGTGGAGAGCGCGTTGCCTACGGCAGTGGCTGTGTCGAAGGCGGCAAATGGTGCGAGCGGATCAGGTGGCTGTGTCGAAACGCCAGAAGCGGAGGGTCCACCTGCGGATGGAAAGTACCCGGTCCTGGCCATGGACTGCGAGATGGTGCGCAGCTGTCATATCCGTCAGGGCATCAAGGGAATAGCTGACAATCAGGTCGAAACGTCAAAGGGGAACGAGCTCGCCCGCATCTCCATCGTCGACTATCACACCGGTCTATCCGTCTTTGACGAGCTCGTCCGCCCTCCTGATCCAGTAACCGACTACCGTACCAAATGGTCCGGAATGACCAAAGAACGACTCGCCTCCGCCACTCATACCCTCTCGACCATCCAATTTGCCCTCGTCACATCGTCCTCCGCTCTCATTACACCACATACGATCCTCCTCGGACAATCGCTCGAGTGCGATCTCAACGCGCTCAAGATCCGGCATCCTCTCTGTATTGACACGGCGCTACTCTATAAGCATCCGCGGGGTGCGCCGTATAAGCCGGCGCTGAAGTGGCTGGCGAATAAGTATCTGTCGAGGGAGATACAGAATCATGCGGCGGGGCACGACTCGGAGGAGGACGCGAGGACCTGCGTGGACCTGTTGAAGCTCAAGATGGCGAATGGTGAGCTGAACTTCTCCGTGTCTTTTTTTTACTAGCGAGGAACAGAGCTGACAGAACTCAGGCCCAGACTTTGGGGCATTCACTGATACCACCGAGTCGATCTATGACCGCGTCAATCGGTACAACCCGTCTACCCCTGGCTCGACCTCGTCGATACCTAGCCAAACGACGGCAGCCTGCGATTATACCAACCCAAAATCCGGTCAAGGCGGTCGCGCGACCACCGCTGTAAAGTGCAATAACGACGACGAGATCCTGGATGCTGTGCTGGAGAATGCTCAGAAGCACGATCTGGTATTCGGGCGGTTCATGGAGTTGGCGAACGTGCAGGGATGTGAGTTCCTGTCCGCTGTATCACCGGAACCGAAGCTGACAGAGCAGGGAACGGCGAAATCAACCTACCCGCCGCGGCACCTTCGACTGATCTCGAGACCGAGGCTGCTCCGACCCTCGACCACCTCTCCGCTGCGCTCACTGCGCTCAACGCACGACTCACTCGCCTCCACACCTCCCTCCCCCACAATACCGCGCTCGTTATCATGACGGGCCATGCCGACCCAAAACCCATGCTCCAGCTGGCGGCGAAACGGCAGAAGTGGGAACGCCTAGTCAAGGAGCTGGGGGGCGCAGATGAGATCAAGGGGGAGGATAGGTGGCTGGTCGAGGATGATCGGGAGATGGAGCGGAGGGTGGCGGAGGCGAGGGAAGGGATGGGATTCTTCTGCGTCAAGTAAAACCGAGCCGATTTGGCTTGCTTCCGGACATCTGGGCCAGGGGAGGCTTGTACAGACCTTGTAGCATACACAATGTATATATCAGTATAGTCAGTAGCAGTACGGTTTGTACGAGCACTGTCAGCTTGCTGAACACGGAGCAGTAGCCGGGAATGACCGCGTGTCGTGCAACTTGTTCCGCTCACTCCGTTCACGGTAAGCGAGCCTCCTCGTGTGATCCAATCGCGCTACATCTCTCCCGGAATCTCTAGCTATGGATCTTCGTATCCTGAAACGGGTTGTCTTGCGCGATTGGGTACTGTTCAAGTGTCAGCTTTGAATACCATGCGTCAGGAGAAGCTGACATACATGGGAAGGTGGTTGGTACACGCTCAGCTGGCTTCCAGCCCATTGACTTTCGGATAGGAGGGACGGTCATGACCATTAGTGGGCCTGTGAATATCAGCTCCAACACAGGCAAGTGATATACGCTTTGTCGAGGATTGCAAGGAGGAAGTCGAGAGGAAGGCGATGACATACCGGTGAAGCCGATGACGAGGGAGTAGAAGATGACGGGCGATTCGTGAGCTGCGCGTTGCTATCCTGTCAGCTTATCCTTCTTCCGTCCACATCTGACACTAGTTGTCTTAAGCTAAGACGAAGTTGGCCGCCGAAAGAGGATGGAGACGAAGCCGGAGGGGTCTCCGTCCCGGCTGGTCCCCCACCCTCTCGGCTCCGCCTCAAAGACTTTCGCGGTATGATCCCGGAGCTAGGCGAGCCCTCTACTCACCAGATACCTGTAGGTCGACGCCATGATGCCTATATGCTCGGCTTGTACTGCTAAAGATGATTGATGTGTGCGGTGGATAGCCGTTGCACCCAGAAAGATACCACCCAAATCTGCTCCCGCCCCATTGTTACGTAACTCGATCGGCCCAGCCAGATTTTCCCACCAAAAATTGCTCTGCTTCTCTTGCTCCCTTGCATCAATTCCTTCTACCCCTCCCCTTACTCACCCCATACACCCCTCCTACAGCCATGGCCAAGGGAAAGAACCATGACCGCAAGGCCAACCCCGGCTTTGGCAAGACAAAGTCAAAGTCCGGCTCGACCGCCAATAAGCCCGAGTTCAACATGAAGCGGGTCAAGGGTGGGTCTGCTCTCTGCCTTTGGAATGAGGCTAGTAGCTGATAGCATGCAGGAGAGAATTTCTACCGCGACTCCAAGTCGGCCTCGATGGTCAAGATGTTGAATGGCGGGAAGGCTGTGCGGGACAAGGACGGTGTGATCACCAAGGCGGCGGCGTTCCAGGGTGGTGAGAAGGATTTGAAGCCTGGACGGGTCATGCCTGATCGCAAGTGGTTCGGTGGGTCCACCTTTCCTTGCTGCATTGCCGTCATCAATGGAGGAAGCTGACATGACTAGGAAACACCCGGGTCATCTCTCAAACCGCACTGGACCACTTCCGGACAGCTCTGTCCGCGCAAAAGGCTGACCCCTACTCGGTCCTGCTGAAGCGTAACAAGCTTCCCATGGGTTTGCTGGAGGACGAGAGCAAGACGGATGGCAAGGTATGCTTATATATTTGCGACCGTGCTGGAATGCCAAAGCTTACGGATAGCGCCCACACATTGTCGAGACCGAGCCCTATTCCAACACCTTCGGCCCCAAATCCCAGCGGAAGCGACCACGTCTCGACCTCGGCTCACTCGAGGAGCTCGGTCAGTCCGCCGTCATCCCCGATGGCGAGGACTCGTTCGGTCTGGCCGGACACGACGAGGCATCCACCGCCGACGCCTACCACAATGCCGTCCCCCTCGTCCGTGAAGCCATTTACCATAAGGGTACCTCCCGCCGGATTTGGGGAGAGCTGTACAAGGTGCTCGACTCGTCCGATGTCGTCATCCATGTGCTGGACGCTCGTGACCCGCTCGGCACGAGGTGCAAGCCGGTCGTCGAGTATCTGAGGAAAGAGAAGGCGCACAAGCATTTGGTTTATGTCCTGAACAAGGTGGACTTGGTCCCCACCTGGGTCACTGTGAGTTGCTGTCCAATTCTGCTATCAGTCTGGTACCTGTGTCTGTCCTTCCTACTCTGTCCTCTCCTACCCCCTTCCACCCTACAACCCACACTCCAGTCAGGGCTCTCTGCGCGCTTCGGCACATCTACACGCTCAGAGCCCGTTACGAGAGTGGAAGAGCAAGCGCATCACACCTTCACGCCTCTCCGCCCGTCGTCGCCGTCTTGGCTGTACGATACCAGGAGGTATGGCCGGTCGTTCTGGCCGGTCTGGCGCCGTGGTGCGCGTTGGACTTGATTGAGTTGGGATCCGAGCGGTGCCTCTGTGCGGATTTCGGGTCCCTTAGTTTCGGGTCATACAAATCTAGAATCCAAGCTGATTCCCTTAGGCTCGTTGGGTCAAGCATCTTTCCCTCTCAGCCCCCACCATCGCCTTTCACGCATCCATCAACAACTCTTTCGGTAAAGGAGCGCTCATCCAGCTTCTCCGCCAATTCTCGGTCCTCCACTCGGATAAGAAACAGATCTCGGTCGGTTTCATCGGGTACCCCAATGTCGGAAAGTCCTCCATCATCAATACCCTCAAAAAGAAGAAGGTCTGCACCGTCGCTCCCATTCCCGGAGAGACCAAGATCTGGCAGTACATCACCCTTATGCGCCGGATCTACCTCATCGACTGCCCCGGTGTCGTGCCCGTCTCGGCCCGGGACTCGGACACGGACACCGTGCTCAAGGGTGTTGTGCGGGTGGAGAACCTCGCTACTCCCGCTGAACACATCTCGGCGCTGCTCGAGCGTGTCCGCCCGGAATACATGGAGCGGACGTACGGTCTCGAGAAGGTCGAAGGAGGCTGGCATGGGGAGGATGGGGCAGCCTTGCTCCTGACTTCGCTCGCCCGCAAGTCAGGCAAGTTGATGAAGGGTGGAGAGGCGGATCAGGAGGCTGCGGCCAAGATGATCCTGAATGACTGGATCAGGGGGAAGATTCCATACTTTGTTGCGCCGCCAAGTAGGGAAGGCGAGGGTGTCAGTGGGGAAGAGCCCATCTCGGGCGATACCGAGGGCGAGCGGGAGGTGATGGAGCGCCAGGAGAAGCGGCTGGGCGAGTTGTTGGGCGAGAAGAGGGTCAAGGGGGTATCACAAGGCCTCAAGGGGGTCATCACGAGCGCCAAGTTCGCCGGCGACGATGTAAGGCGGATAGAGGAGGAGGAGATCGGTGTAGAGGATGCAGAGGAGGAGGATGAGGATATGGAGGATGACGATGACGAGGAGGACGGAGAGGAAGAGGAGAGCGAGGAAGAGGAGGCGGGAACAGATGACGATCTCGCATGGGAGGATGTCTTCCCAGACGCCGGTCCATCAAAGATTGAGACTATCTTGTCGAAGGCGACGTCAAAATCCGCCAAGCCCGCCGCTGTCGTCGAGGAGGAGAGCGAGGAGGAGGACGTAGACGAGAACGAGTCAGAGGAAGAAGAGGAGGAAGAGTCTGCGCCCGCCAAGTCGGCGCCCGTCCCATCATCTCGGAAACGCTCTGCTGCCGCTGCGGGTCACGACGACGAGCCTGAGGCCGGCAAGAAGGAGAAGCGGATGACGACCAACAAGAAGAAGGCTACCAACTACTATACTACTGCCGTGAGTCCTCTGACCCCTCCTCCCGTTGCTGTTGAACGTCGAGCTGACCTCCCAGAATGTCAAGAACAGAAATCGGGACAAGGTGGCTGCACCCAAGGCGATGGGCAAGGACAAGTCGGGCACGACGCGGCGGCGATGAGGGGGAGTATTGGCGCTAGTCAGCGGGATCTGGTTTGGGATAGATTGTTGTATGCACATCTTGCTGGTCATGCTCAGAGTCTAGCCTTTGAGACTTACCCTAGCTCACGAGCTGGATTGACTGCAGTGCCGACATTGCTGATTGATCTTGCTTCAGCATCTCGCAAGCACCTACATCCCAATGATATGGACTACAGACTCTGCCTGGTGTCTACCTACCTATATATTTATCTTCTTCTCTCTACTATACAGCTACAATACAACAGTATGAAAGTTCGGGAAAACCAGCTCATCCACCACCGTCTTCCTCAGCGCCTCCACAATAAACCTCTCCACCTTGCCCACATTCCGCAACACATGCACGTCCCCATCCCCGATCTCCGACTCTATCTGGACATTGGGTATAATCCTCTGTCCGACCGGAACAGCCGACGAGGGATCTTCATCCGTTATGCAGATGTGCACCTTGCCCTTCTCGCCCCCGCTCCGCTTGCGCCCGGCCGGCCCGTCGTTTCCCCCAGAATTGGCATACGCGAGGACGAGGTCCGCGTCTATGGTGAGGCCCGTGACGCACAGCTTGAGCGGGAGGGACATGAAGAGCGACGAGGGGTAGTTGACCTGGAGGGAAGTGAGGAGGGTAAGGGTGATATCGGATGCGTGAGCGATGTGAACGTGTAGTTGGAGTGATGGGACGCCGGAGGATGCGCTGTCTGCTGAGGTGGGACGTGGTCCGCCGGGCATCCGGGCGGGCGGGGAGGGAGGGAGAGAATCAGGAGGGGTATGGAGGTGTTGCTGGTGCGTTGCGGCCGAGCGGTTGGGGCGGTACTTCTGCTTCGGAAGCGGGCGGGAAGATTGGGGAAGCGGAGGGGAGAAGAGGGATTGTGATATCGACCGACTGGTAGGGAAGGGCCGATGTTGCCGTTGAGGGGTATACGACTGCCGACGTCCTAGCCTGGCTGATGATGGCCCCCCTCCTCCTCCTCCACCGCCGCCGCCTAGCCCAAACCCCATTCCCACGCCAACAGCAGCAACGCCATACCGCGGGCTCATCCCGCTATACACCGACACGTTCTCGTCCATCTCGTCGTCATAGTACTCGTCCTCCCCCTCCTCTCTCGTCGGACTGAGCATCTCATACTCTTCCTCTTCCTCCTCTATCTCCCCATCTAGCCTACTACCCCGCCGAGGCCGCCCGCCAGCTTTGTACAAATCCGACTCGTATGAGTCAAACGATTGTTCTCTCGTTCCCCTCCCGTTCCAGGCGCCTTCCCCATCTGTATATCCGTCCCCCTCTGCATCGCCCTCGTCATCGTCCTCATCTCCCTCGTCAAAGGCCCGCCAGACATCCCTGACATCTCGAATCTCGACCGACGGTCCAGCTGACCCAAAGTCGAACGCCGCGATGGAGATAGGACCGATGAATGACGGTCGAGATGTGGACGCGAGGTGCGCATTGAGCTTGGTGATGAGATTTGAGGAGAGGGAGGACGACGACGCGCAGGGGGAGGTGAGGAGGGACCAGTCTATGTCCAGCGACATGGCGAGGCGGAAGAGAGAGAGAGAGAAGGGCAAAAAGTGAAAGTCAAATTTCGAGAGTTGTTAATTGTTGACGAGCATCTCATCCGTGCGGACGAGGATGGCCAGGCAGCTGTTAGCTGCTGGTCGCCCCTAGCCCTCGGGGGTGGCACGACGTTGTTTGGCTGCAGCAGCAAAAGTACAGCTGCCCGTGGACAGGCAGCCTACTACCTCTACGCGCTACATGCACAAGATATACACAAGATCGGGTCGTGCCCAAACCACCCTCTCCGCTCACGAAGTGGGAGCCACCGCATCCTCAATCCCCCAACCCAGCAGCAGATTATCGATCAACCTCGTCTTCCCTACCCATGCTGCTCCCGCAACAACCACCTCCCTGCCCAGCTCCAGTCTCCCTCGCACAGGCTCAAACGTATGCCGATCAAAGACCTCGATATAGTCCATCCGTAGCTCCACCGGGCTGCCGGAATCGAGGATCCGCTGTTGTTCGTCCAGTATCACTTGAGTAGCGGCTGAGATCATCTCTTCGCCGCTGATCTCCGCGGAGTCGGTAGATATGGATGAGAAGAGGAGTTGGGCGGCGGAAAGTGCGCGATGCAGGATAGGAGCGATGTCGCGTTCGGGTGCGGAGAGGTAGGCGTTTCGGGAGGAGAGGGCGAGGTGGTCGTGCGGGTCGCGTGTGGTGGGGAGAATGTGGAGATTCTCGGGTAGCGGATGGGCGAGGAGGAGGTCAGTCAGCACTGAAGCATCAGGTAGAACATTGTTTGGGGCGAATTAGCCAGCTCAAACTTACTGATCTTGAGGAGGAGCGCCTGCTGAATGTCCTTTTGGCCAAAGTAAGCGTGATCAGGCTGTTCAGTCAGCTTTGATCTGTGGTCTTCACCAGCAGAGCCACGTCAGCTCACTTCGACCGCGTTGAATAGCTTCGTACAGACCGTTGCAACTCCCTTGAAGAACTGGGCTGGCGCATTCAGCCTCGGCCAAGCCATGATTACAAGTCGTCACAGACTGGCGACAGGACTCACGTCTGGAAGCACCCTCCATGACATCCCCCCATCCCTTAACATCCACCTCGACCCCCCTCTTCTTGCTCAAATCCTGCAGATCCCCTTTCAAGGGATACATTGTCTCCGGCCCGGGCGCAAAGACCACCAGATTGCCCAATCCCTTCGGGACCTCTTCTTCTGGCAAGATAGGCGGTAAGAGCGTGCCCTCGTCTCTCGCTTTTGACTTGGCACCCTTGACTGGGCGAGGTATGACTGGCGGTTCCGTTTCTTCTGTGACAGGAGCGGGGCGGAAGGAGTCATTCTCGGACACACCGAGACCGCGGAGCATCCCGCTACCGCTCGAGCCGGAATGGACTGGGAGGAGGGTGCGGAGGAGGTCGAGGTCTCGTTCGAGGGTGCGGGGGTATGCCGCCAGGTCTTCCGTCGGGGCGAACTGACATCGGTCAGCTTCCTGCGCAATGGGATGGGCGTCAGAGGAATAGCTTACTTGCATCGGATTGACAAACAAAGTCATCACTGTGAACGGATGCTTGGATAGCGAGGCCTTCACTGGAGAGTCAGCTTTATACCCTAGCGAGGTCGCAGCGCGAGGACGGCGCAGCTCACCGAGGTCTAGATGTCCTTGATGCAAGGCTCCCATCTGACTCATCAGCTACTTTTCTCGCGATCCGGACGTGTGTGGCGACAGATAGATGGGTGGCTCTCCAGCAGCTCGTGATAGCAGGATGAGGAGACATACAGTCGGCACAACCCCCACTTCCAATCCTTGATCCCTCACCATCCGCCTCCACCTTCTCAGTTGGGCCAGCGACCGGATCACCGGGATATGCGCCGGCTGGGAAGAGGACGTCGCGCCGAAGCTATTGGAAGCATATTTGCAGAAAGCGAAGTGCACCCGAGGGGAGCGGTGGGGAAGGGACGGGCGACGAGAGACAGATTGAAGCGAGGGAACGACAGACCGGGAGCTGCTCGCGATGGCATTGGCGCGAGAGGACACTAAGAGCGCGCGTGGAAGAGCAGTCATGATGTCAGCGTGGTGGATGCTGCAGGGATCGCCAAGGCTGACCAAGACAGGTTGAGAGACAGTCGAGGAATGCGGAGTTTGGATTTTGGCCTGATAAGCGAAGCCGCCCATATTGCCTGTATCACTCCTTGAGTAGGCCTTTGCGACCAAAGAGCCCTTCCTCTACCTCATTCCACACACTCTTAGTCATTGCAAGCCACGGATGATGTCCGATGGGCTCCCAAGGACTGCATGGGCTGATCAACAAGGTGATATAGGGCAAAATAGCTATAATTGTATGGCGCTATACACATTGGAGCACTCCCTGACCTTCTCCTACCCTCATCTCCCCCTCTTGATCTTTCCCAGCCCATTCCACCCCTCCCTCGCGACCAGCCACAATGCCGTCACGCACACCACGTCCTTCACCGCCTCCTCCGACAGGCTGACCTCCTTCTTCGCCTTCTCGACGTGCACTCCGCTCCCCGCCACCTGCGCCAGACAGATCGTCTCGAGCCGACTCGGCAGCTTGAGCTGACCGACGACCTTAGGATGGTGTGGCGCCGGAGTGAGTGTACCGAGGACCTGACGCTGCCCTGTGCGCTTGACGACGAGGGAGCATGTCCATGGTGTCTCCGAGTCCTCGGGGTCTGAATCGTCCTCCTCGGCCGTCTGGTAGATGATGGAGCTATCGTCGGGGATGGTAGGCTCAGCTTTGTGAGGCGATAGGGAGGATGCGGCCGATATACGCCGAGTAGGCTGGGGACGGGCCGAGAGGGTGGGCGTACCGGGAAGAGGAGCAGCGAGGGGTGCATCCCGCATAGACGCCCGGGCAGAGGGTGAGTCCATGCCCGGCGCGGTAGATGGAGGCCGGGAGTGGCCCTTTGACGCGAAGGAGGATCGCCGACTGCGCGGAGTGACGGTGACGGCCGGACCTCGCGCCTTGGTCCACTCAAACATGACCTCATCTTCCGCCTCGACGCCCGTACCGCCCTGCATCGACACCCCGTTCGCTACCGCCTCGACGAGATTGGCCGCCCAGCCGTCCGTATTGCGCTTGCACCACTTCTTGACCGTCCACGAGTACGCGACCGGCCGATTTGAAGCTTGAGCGTTCCGAGGAGTGGAAAAGGCGAGTGGGGCAGAGTCTGGCGGGGCGAGACTGTCGGACGGGAGAGCAGCCGCCGATGCTCGTCGCGCAATGACGCTGGGTGAACACCCGAACGTAGGTGGTCCGACTGCAACGCCGTGGTCTGCCCCTCCGTCCTTAGACCCTCCCCTTGCCATACTTGACGAAGAGGGGAAAGCGCCAGTATTGGGTGTGGGACTTGGGCCGGGAACCAAGCCTTGCCCGCCCTCCTTATCCCCCGCATTCTTCTTCTTAAAAGCTCCCCCGATCTTGCCAAAGAATCGCTTGGCGCTCGCTCCGCCCTCTTGAATGGTTTCTGGCCGAAGAATGTCGATACTGGTCCGGACGCGACCGTCATCCGCGAGTCGTGTCGAGGTGGGGGATATGGGGAAGGTGAGGGAGTGCATGGACATGGGGCGGGAGCGTGATTCCTCCAAGGTAGCGCCGGGAGGGAAAAGGGTGGATGAGTTGGCGGCGACTTGCCAGATCTCAGTAGGCTCGAGAATACCAACATCAACGATGTCGATGTTCCGTTTGCCGAACTATCCGTCAGCTTCAGCCTTTGGTAAAGCCTGGCTAGACTCACCTTGGCTACCTTCGCATCCGTTCCAGCGTCCGTGACCACCGACGCATGCATGACGTTATGAACGTTCAGGTTAAACATGGGCTGGATCCGCTTCTGGCCAGAGGCTGAGTTCATCGACAGCGGGATGCTGCTGCTTGAGCTCTTCCGACTGTTGATCCGCCGCAGAACCGTCCCATTTGTACCGGCTGACAGCGTGGCTGATGGGAGTGGGGAGGGATCGTCTTCTGATGGTGGGGTATCTGAGCGCCGCTCGAGACCTTCGATGGGCTTGGATGACGAGCCATTGATCACTGGCCCGAGCGTGATACGTGATCCGGCAGAGGCTGGAGGTGTAGATGGACCGCCGAGACGAGGAAAGTAGGGCTCGACGGATGCCGATGGGGTACGAGGGCCAGTATGGCTGGTACCGGTCGAGTCAGACCGCCCGCGGCCACCTTTCCCGACGACAAGTTGGATTTGGAGGTTGAGTGCGTTTTTAGAGTTGGTGGGAGGAGGCTTGACGATGATGTATGACTGCGTCTATGAGCCTCCAGTCCCCTCAAGCAGAAAAGGGCCTGACTCACGTCCATGGGAACCTTCTTCTTCTTCTCCCGCTTGGGCCTTTCATCCGCCTGGATACTCACACCTTGCGCATTGCTCTTCCTCCGCCCATCCTCGCCATCAAACGAGTCTGATGATGATGTGTCCGACTTGAGACTCGCCCCCCGGTTGGCAAGAGATGATGGCCCCGGTCCGGCTTCACCCAACCTCTCCTCATCGTTCGGTCCTTTTGGTGGATCCGAGAAGAGGTTGAGGGGGTTGAAAGAGCTTCCGACGCTCTTGAGGTCGTTGAATGTCGGGAGGAATGGCATGGCGAGGTGAAGGAATGAAGGTAGATGAAGGGAGGCGAGATAGATGGGACGCGTCTCGACAAGATTTGGTAGGCTGACTGCCGGTGGCTGGTGGGACGATGAATATTTTGCCGAAAGGGGTCCGTGTGATGCGGAATGTGTATCTTGTGGAGTGTATGTGGATCAAAGTGGAAGAAGGGAGAGCTTATGCAAGGAGGAAGGAGGGGGGAAGGGAGGCTGGACGGGCGAGGAAGTCCTTTGTGCCTGTCAACGGGGAGGACAAGGTGAGCTCGGCCTCCGATGGCCTTGCCGAGGACCGCCGTTGTCGCCGAGTAAGAGCTTTCTTGCTCTTCGCTATGCTATGGACGACGATGCGAAGGGCACATGGCGATGGGGACAGGTGGAGCGAGGTTGATGCTAGCCTGCTTGCGAAACGTGCCCGAGGGCGATGTGACGCTGTGAGAGGAGCGGAATGTTTTCACCGAGTCGGCCGCGTCGCGTTGTTACGAGTAAGGTTTGGATGACGAGGTGGTGGATGGCGGCAGGAACGTAGTGCACAGCTCGCACTCGAGAGGGCAAGGTATAAAGTGGAGGCAAGGCAAGGAATTGAGTATAGTCAATAACTCTGCATGCCTGTCTTTGCTTGCCTGCTCGCCTCCTTCTCTTTCTCGCAGCATGTCTTGCTTGTTCTTACGATCTTACGACACGCTTTAGGTCGCTTTTTCCGTCGGGAGCCGAACGAGCAATTACGACGCGAGGAATGTGGCGTCGCGGGTCCGATGCCCGCTCTGACATGTCTGACACATCGTAAGATCGTCACACGAAATACCGCTTCCGGTAGTTATAGCTCGTTCCATCTGCTGCCCATGCTCGGGGCGACAGAGGCTGACTCAACAAGGACTGTCAAACTGCAACCCATCATAGGAATAACGGGGGCCTCCATTATCAACAACGTGTGATCATATAATAACCAGATGCATCTAGCGACAAACCCTTTCCATCTGACCTCCCTCAGACAGCTTGCTCCTGCTTCATCCTGCTCATGAAATTACTTATCCTGCTCAAGTCGATAGAGTTCCCGTCTGACTCGATAGCCGCTGCGAGCCCATCGAGCATCTAGCAGTGTCAGCTCATCCTCTTTTGTAAAGCAAGGAGTACGCACCCCATCCACTCTGTCGACCGGGACCTTCGTACAAAGACTGACCAGCCGCCTGTACTTGACCGCCTTGTCCGCCCCTTGACCCTGCAGCGCGTCGATCCGGTCTTGCAACACCGCCGCCACCCTGTCCTCCCACAACGCCATTCGTCTCAGCTGCACCAGCGCACCCTCCTCTCCTCTGTTTGGCAGAGCAATCTCCTCCCCCGTGCCCTGCGTCCCACCGACCGGTCCCTCCGCATCCGCCACCGGCCGGAAAGCGGACGGTACACTCGAAGCCCCACCCGCTACTTCGCTCGCGAGAGGCGCTCGCCCCATCCAGTCCAGCTCCGACACGCTTGATAACAGGTTTTGGACGTTTTGACATTGTTGCTGAGTCTGCTCGAGGACGCTGAGGGCGGCTTGGGCACGTTGAACCTGTTGACGCTTGTCCGCGAGGGCGCGAGTGGCGTGTCGGACCGAAGCTTCGATGGCGTTTAGTTTGGTCTGCTTGGCGAGCATCTCGGTCGTGAAGGTCTCGTTGACAGTCTCGAAGATTGCGCCGATGTCTGGACGTTCAGCTTGGACCCTAAATGTTGATGACGAAGGCGAAAGCTTACTTTTTTGGACATCGCGGCTGTGCCGTTCCGGCCGGTTCACCTCAGACTTTAGTGTCGCAACGACAGCTTCACCCGCGGATACCTGCAACATCTGCCAGTCAGCCCAATCCAGCAAAGGTCAAAGACCACTGACATCTGTCTCCACGCCAAAGTCGGCCGGCTTCAACCCCAGCTTGTTTGCCCGCGCCTTGTCCGCCCCAGCTTCGACCAACAGCCCCACCAATCCTCTGTTCCCCACTCTCGCCGCGACGTTCAGCGCCGTATCCCCATGCACGTCCTGCACGTCCACCAGCGTCTTCATGCTCAGTCCGGACTTGGCACCACTGCCGAGACCGCTTTCGGACGCGTTCGACCCTGAGGCCGAAGCTGCCGCGGCCGATTGCTGCTCCTTGGCGACCCAGCCCAGCACACCAATGAGGTATTGTCTCGCACTCCCCGCTCGGCCCTTGATGCCAGCTACGAGCGCGATGTGATGTATGACGGTACGGTACGCGTGGTCGAGTGTGCGGATACTTGGCGCGAGAGATTGTAAGAGCTCGGAGAATGTATTGGCCTCGGCCTGGTTGGTGGTGAGGACCGAGCGCATAAGTGCTGTTTCGCCCGCATAGTTGCCCCGGTGGATATCCGCGCCGAGCTCGACCAGCTGCCGGACGAGATCGGTGAGCGCGAGTGAGGCGGCCCAGTGCAGAGCAGTATGCCCCTGCTCGTCAATGACAGTATCGATGTCAATCCCGATGTCGACCGGTTCCGCCTCGGCATCTGCGTCTTCTCCGTCCGTACCATTCGTCGCCGGTGGTAGGCCGAGGAAAGCCCGCACATTGACGCCCTCGGTAGCTTGGAAAAGCTCGAGCAGCTTTGCCCTTGACCGGCCGGCAGCAGGAGACGGCTTTGGCCGAGTAGGCTTGGTGCACAGCCGCATCGACGACGGCAGTGGAGGCTTGTCTCCCATCTCGTCGTCCGAGTCTTCCTCCTCTGCCTGCGCACCCGCAGCCGACGCGGCTTCTGTAGCCAGAGCGAGCTCCGACTCTTCCTCCCCATCCACCGTCATCCCATCTCCTCCCTTCGCCCGCTTTGTTGGTGGCTCCATCGACCCGCTTGCCCCGTTCCCGTTTGTAAAGTGGATCGAGTGGGGTTGACCAAACTGATCAATGTAGACATCCGACATGCTTGGCGGTAGACCATAACCGTTGACGTCGAGGGGAGGTCCGAGTCCGTCCGGGCCCCGCTGCGGACCGCCAGGCATCATACCCGGCGGAGCAAAGTACATGGGCTGGTACATTTGGTGCTGTTGGTGCTGGCCCGCCATAATCATGTCCGCGTTTTGCATGGGCCCGCCGAATTGCGGTGGTGGAGGAGGGGGAAGTTCCGATTGGTGCAGAGGCGAGTAGACGCGTCCGGGTCCGCCAGTACCGCCTGCGGACTGAGGACCGCCCATCGCAGCTGTACGAGGTGTATGGCTTGACATCATGGCGTTGTAGCCGGCGGCCGCGCCGGGTGTCTTTTGGTTGCCAGTGTCGGGCGTACCGCCGCGAGCGACGGGGAGAGCAGCAATATTGCTGGGGGAGGGGATAAAGTCAAAGATGGGGGCGAGGTATGAGGTGACGCCGTACTGCTGTGCGAGATCTTGGCCGCGTTGGAATGGGATCCTGCAGTGTGAGCTACACTCAATATTCGGTCGTGTTGTTGGCTCACCATGTTCCCTGATACTTTCCGTACCCGCCCTGCACCTTGTCGTGCAGACCGACCATAATCTCCTTCTCCAAGATCTTTGTCCTTTGGGACTTGGGGATACCTGCGACCTTCAGAATCTGCGTGGCATTGACCCAAGAGTCTGACGATCGACGCATGACCGAGATCCCGCGTATCATCGCCTCGAAAACAGGAATCTGCCTATCAGCTCGTGTCCCCTAATCGCCTCAACACCTGACTCACTCCTGAATATACACTAGCATAGACTTGCGCACCAGTCTGTACTCCTCTCGCACCCATAACTCCTCCAAACACCCCCGACTGGCCCGGCGTGAGCTGCACCATGTGCATCTGCCCAGCCTGCGGCCCCTGTTGCTGCTGCTGCTGCTGTTGCTGCTGTTGCGGTTGGGGTGTTTGGCTCTGCATCGGCCCAGCATGACCTTGCTGCATCGCCTGCTGATGCTGATGATACGCCTGTATTTGATGTTGTTGTGCCTGGGAAAGCTGTTGTTGGTGCAGCGCGCCATTAGAGGTGGGCGGGGCCATGTGCCCGGCGTGGGGCGTACGGGGGTTGGCCATACCGAGCGGTTGTGGCGGTTGGTGCGGTGATTGCGAGGGGTTCATAGGGGTCGACATGAAGAGTCGATAGGGTCAAGCGGTACAGCTGAGGATCTGCTGTCTTTGTAGACCTTGCCGACCTGAGGATCGCGCTTGGCAAAGGACGATTGGGCGGAAGAGCAAATCTGGCGGATCAGCTAAAAAGCCCTCCCGGACGCCTGGTTAATCGCCTCGCTCCAGGTACTCACTCGTTCCGGAGCTGTAGGGTGTGAGCTACTGGTTGGGCTACAGGCACTAGTAGTATGGTAGACGAACCACTCGAGCAATACAGCGGAACGCGAACTTATCGGTTTCGCGATCTTGACTCCTGACGCGACGCGCTCTTTCCCTCGCGCGACGCGAACACTGAAATGGAGTTCGGACGAGAACTCCGCTGGCCCGTGCGTCCTCCCACCAGAAAATGGGGTCAAGTTTCGGGAGACAACGCTTCTAATCCTCTCTTTCTTGCATCCAGTCACCACCCGTCCATGTAGCTGTAAGGGGTCACTGTATCAGATTGCTGGTCGGAGGGCTGTGCGGGGCACATCTAACGCCAGATATCGCTTTTGTTCACGGCCCGGGGCGCGAGAGCGTAAGGGGAATCCCCTCGCTTTGTCTGACGCTTCAAGATTTACTTGACCCCTCATCGCTGCGGACCCTCTTTATCCTCAAACTCACTCTCTATCTTAGTAGCTCCAAACTAGCGCATCAAGATGACGACCACTCAAGCGAAGCAGAACCCGATCATGACTGGACTCGGAGCCGGCTTCGACATGTTTGATCGCATGCCTCTCTGGTAAGTCCGCCCTGCACTTTGCTGTACCTCATCCTCTTCTCTAGGGTTACCGCTCATTCTTTGCCAAGTGCTCGACACATAGTATGGTGCTGATATTATAGGCAGAAACGGACCGCTGGCTATGCCTGGCTAGGCCTCACTGCCTTCGTTTTTCGGCGGGCTCACTTGGCCGGCGTATTGCTGCCCCTGGTCAAGCCGGAACCGCTCACCCGCCGGATGAAGGTCTGGAGTACTGCCGCTATTGGAATAGGCAGTAAGTGGGCAGGCTTTCAATATCCGGAACTCCTGACGCTGATGGCCCGCTAGTTTTGACACACATACCCGTTGGTCTGGTCCTGGAGAGTGCACCTCATCCCGGCGAGACTTTGGCGGACTTTCTTGCTTCCAGGTGAGTCGATTAGAACCCTGGAAACCCTTCCGTCAACCTCTCTAGCGCTGACTAGACACAGTCGCGTCAAATTACATGACATCGCGCAAGATGTGACAGCCGGCGGCATGCTCGGCGCCGCCTTCATTCATGCAGATGCGAGGGAGGGCAAATTGTTCAAGCATGGACGTCCCCACATTCGTGCAGTCTTAAGTGCACTTGGTATGTTTCTGTCTGCTAGCGAATCAACGTCAACTTCCCCCCTTCTTACTGCTGACTTGTCGTCAGTCATGGCCGGGGCCACGGTCTACCTCCATGCCTCCTTCAGGGGCGGGCCCCTCTAGAGCTCTTTATCGGGCCGCATCACTCAAGCGCGAGGATGTGGGTCTAACCAGGACGGTGACAATACAGTCACTGAAGTTCTGGCCGGCGTCTCTCGTGCTCCGGGCTCCGGGCTCCGAGGTAGTGAAAGCTCGGACGGTGTAAGACTCGATTTTGTACAAGGGCTAGGCCCTGAACTCGATGCATAGGATCATCCTCGAAGCTTCCTACAATATGCCTCAATCTATGCAGCAGCACTTGTCTTGCGGCTTGCGACGATTCTTCTATCTCAGCGTAGCTAGACGCACTCTTACAGGCTATCAAGCCTCAATGCAGAAAAGAGCAAGCATGCATGATGAGCGAGCCACGCAAAAAGTTGCCGCTTTGGGCAAGGAGCTCGTGTTTCACCTTTGCCCGGCGGCGCCTCATCTGCCTTGTCCGGGAGATGCAGTCAAGGGTTAAGCGTGTCGGACCTGCTCAGCTATACGTTCTCTATACGAGCAGTATAGCATGCTTGAACGATGATGTGACCCATACATTCACTCTCTACTTACCCCTCACGCGCTCATCCACGCAAGATGACCATCGCCCAAGAAATACCCATTACGCCTCTCATTCTCGGCAGGTACCGCCTCGACCTGGAGTTGACCCCTCTCTGGCAAGTCTACAATCACCTCTGGCCATTCCCCCTGCTCTGGTTTGAGCCCTCTGATACCTGATCACATACTGACTGAAGCAGGAAACCCCGCGTCGTCGCCTGCGCCACTTTGGGCCTCGGCACCTTCATCCTGCGCCGCGTCAACCTCATTGGCGGCATCCTCCCGTGGTCTTATCCGCTTCTCAGTCGCATCGGAGATGGTTTCTGGCTTGCTGCGGCTCTAGGCTATGCCGGTCAGTGGCTTGCCCCCCGCCTGGCCCCGGCACCCGCGCTGATCATGATCCATCCAGCCTTCCTGCCGTACCAGCTCCGCCGTGCTCTGCAGGCCGTCCCTCACCCCGGGGAGTCGCTGTATGATTTCCTAGCATCCAAGTCAGTTCCTCCTCCTGCACGCTTCTTTGGGGTGCAAGTGCATGAGCTGACGTCCGCAGACGTATCAAGGCATCCACAATAGCCCGCGATGTGTCCTTCGGGGCCATACTCGCACTCATCTCCGCCAAGCCTCTCGCTCAACTAGGTGTGTTCCGGTATGGCCGCCTTCGCAATGCTGTAGCAGGGCTAGGTATGTCATCCTCGAGCACCGTGCGAAGATTTGCGTCCAGGATATGGCTGACAATCCCCAGCCTTCGCCGGGTTCTGGGCGACGGTACACGCCACGTTCCTCAGGGGCGAGACGACCTGGCAGCACCACTTTGGAGAGATGGAGGACGCGCATAGAGGCTGCGCGCGGTTTGGCGAGTATCAGGAGCCATTGCGGATTGCGGTGCCGATCGAGGCTAATTTTCCGATGTTGGCGTTGAGGGTGTACATTTGATAGCTAGCTTGACATGACCCGATGTACCGTTGCCGATCTGAAGTTTTCTCTGGTGTCGCGTATCAGCACAAGAGCAAAGCAAATGGCAGGTGCATCAGGAAAGTACAAGTGACAACAACATCGATCGGGGACTAGAAACAAGTACTAAGAACTACAATCAAAGATATGCGACGAGAACGAGTCGGGCTGGGAAGCAGGATTGGAAGCCACACTAGAATCTTCCGTTGCCCAAGCCAGCCACTGGTCCTGGGAGATGCCAGATCCCCTCGGTCGTCAGGTCCGATAACGCCGTAGGATGGGCCTCTCCACCTGTCGGGGTACCGAGAATGGTCGAGCTGGGACTTGCCGGACCGCGGAAGAGTGAAGGAGCGGCGCGAGGGGGAGTGCGGAGCTGCGCTGTGGTCTGGCGCTGATCTGTACCGTCAGTATCAGCTAAGTAGAGCGAGGAGGAAGATGAGCGTACGGTAGGTTGTCCCGGACTGAGGCGGGACTGCACCTAGTACCGGGATAGGCATGACGCGAGGGTCGTACGCGTCCTGGTGCGGGACATCCTCGGGACGGAAGGTGGGCAGCTGAGATTCAGTCAGCTGTGGCAGTGAGGATCACAAGTGAGAAGGACTCACGCGAGGTGCGAGCCGGAGGGCCATGATGAGGGGTAGAGAAGCGTCGCGCACTCGACCCCCGCTGAACAGGCGCTACGCGGTCAGCTCTGCGCAACAGTAACGCCTAGCCACCAAGCGGACGTACATTCAGATTCCCCTCCCATAGACCAGACTCGACGACTTCGTGTCCGTCCCCCTCGAGGAACACTTCGACCATGCTATCCGAAGATTCCGGTCTGGCGGCAATGAGGAGCTACGAGTCAGCTGTCACCGCATGGAGTATCGGCAAATGCAACTGACCTTGGCACATCCATTGGGTGGAAGCTTGATCATGCCTGATTTGAGCAGCGGTAAGCCGGCAAGGATTTGCTCCAGCTTGAGAGCCAGACCGGCTGGTTCTTTCTGCTCATATCAGCTGCCAAGCCTGACATCTTCCACCTCTGTGATTTACTCACGTTATTGGGGTGTCTGAGCCCATGCCTCCCCAGGAACTTCTCCACGACCAACCCCGTTTCTCCAGGGGCGAACCAGCCGGTCCACCTCCACATCCGGACCGTAAGGAACGGCCCATGCACCTCTGACCAATCGATCGCGCACGTGATGATTGGCCTGAAGAGCGCGTCGTATCTCACGTCCGGCGAGAAGGCGGCGGGGACGTAGATACGGTTGTGGAGGGCGGTGGCGGCGGTACGGACGGATTCGGAGGCATACCACCTGTCTCGGAGGTATGAGGGGCCGAAGGGGGTCGGGGGCTGAGTGCTTGGAGGTTGGAAGCGAGGATTGGGCTGGTTCTGAGGCTGATGCCGGAGGTCTGGCTGGACCTGGAATTGGGCGGGAGAGATGGAGGGGATGTAGCCGCCATTGGGGTTGAAGGGGAAGAGGCCGCGGGCGGGCTGGGTTTGGCCAGGTTGGACCATGATGCTGGACGTCGGGAGTAAGGATGATCGGGGGGAGGGTGTCAAGATTGGCGGACCAAGAAGAGGGGGATGAGGCTCGAGGAGGTAGGTGGGTAGGAGGGCGGAGAGGAGAAGGATGGCTGGTAGTGAAGTGAAGCGGCGTGACAGAAAGCAGTCACGCTCTGGGCTGGGTGGAGGGTGCCACGTCATGTCAACATGCCCTTATCACTGACCTCCACTAGCACCAGCAAAGATCGACACCAGCTAGAAAGTCACACAGATACTCTACCTTTTGCTTCAAGAGACACGCAAGACCCGCCCGGCACTCCTGCATATTCGTAGCACCACACAGCCCGCTTATTGGCAGCTTCTTAGACTACGACCTCGAAGGAATCACCTCGAAAGGTCTTGATCACGCCACACACCCTCCGAATCCACCGACTCTGCCGCCGACCGCTCGTACCAGCGGACCCGCTTCTATCCAGCCATGCCTACCTCGGTACCCGCTTCTTCAGATCCAGATCGATGGATAGAACATGTAAGCTAGCAGCTGTCGTACCTCCGGACACGCCGAGCTCTAGCTGACGGTCCAGATCCGACAATGCAAGCATCTGCCCGAACGGCAAATGAAAGCGCTCTGCTCTCGGGTCCGCGATTTGCTCCTCGAAGAGTCAAACGTCAGACTAGTAGAATCACCGGTGACTGTTTGTGGAGATATCCATGGTCAATTCTGGGATGTACTGGAGATCTTCAGGCAGGGAGGGGAGGTACCAGGAAGTAGCTATATCTTTATGGTGAGTTTGTCAGCTACAGCTTCTGACTACCCTTCCTGGGGACTATAGACTATGGCATGTAGCTTACAAGATAGGGAGACTTCGTAGATCGAGGCTACTACTCGCTAGAGACATTATCGCTATTACTAGCTCTGAAAGCTCGATACCCCGACCGGATTACCTTGTTAAGAGGGAACCATGAGTCTAGGCAGATCACTCAGGTATATGGGTTCTATGGTGAGTTCAGCTAGCGCTATGAGGTACGAGATACTCGTCTGGGGCGACAGCTGATGGTGTAGACGAGTGCATGCAGAAGTATGGGAACCCATCAGTATGGAAGGCATGTTGCCAGGTATTCGACCACCTGAATCTCGCAGCAGTAAGTTTCTGCAACTGATTCGATGTTGAGCGCCGTCAAAGTCCACAGCTGATCAAGGCAGATAATAGACTCCTCCATTCTCTGCGTACACGGCGGCCTCTCACCCGATATTCGCACACTAGACCAAATCCGCATCATCCCCCGCGCCCAAGAAGTTCCCCACGAAGGCGCCTTCTGCGACCTCATGTGGTCAGATCCGGACGATGTCGAAGGGGGTGCTTGGGCGGTATCGCCAAGAGGAGCGGGTTGGCTCTTTGGCGCCAAAGTCACCGCAGAGGTCAGCTAGTGGTTCCAGAAGCTTGGTCACACGAGCTGATTTTGCAGTTCAACCACATAAACGGCCTCAATCTGATAGCTCGCGCGCATCAACTGGTACAAGAAGGCTTCAAGTACATGTTTGACGAATCCCTCGTGACGGTCTGGTCGGCTCCGAATTACTGTTATCGATGTGGGAACTCGGCGTCGGTCATGCGGGTGGAAGATGGTGGTAAGACGACGTTTAGGGTGTATGAGGCGGCGGTGGAGAATTCAACGGATTCCAAGAATCCGATATTGAGACGAATGGTGAGTTTTTGCGATACCTGAGCTAGGTCGCAAAGCTGACTTTTTAGGGGGCACCCAATTACTTTGTATGATGAGCGCACATAGCTTTGTATCCCTAGACATCATCCGCATGGCATCAGTAACAGCATTCCCAGCATTCCCAATCGCGCAGACGGAGCGCACATGAGAAAACGGTGTCACTCGTCCAGCTCCCTGAGCGAGTCCTCGACCTTACTCCGCGTGGAAGGTCGCTCGGCATACACTGACGAGCCCATACTCGCGAGCAATATATGCATACACACCAGCCAACATCACTCCATCGTCCCCAGCTCAGCCGCCTTGCGCTTCTTCTTCCTCTCCGCGACCTTCTCCCCTACAGCCTCTGGAGGCGCTACAAACGCCTCCTCCCTCTCTGCCCTCTTGGTCGCCGCGCGACTATTCTGCAGATCCTCCCGCTTGCGCTTCTCAATCGCCTCCTTCTCTTGCGGCTTGAGAAAGTACTCTCCTGAAGCCAGTTGGAGGTCGAGCTTCGATGGTTGTTGGGGAGGGGGGAAGGGGGTGTAGACCTTCTTTTTGGGTTTGTTGAGGGTAGGTGCGGCAGGTGCTGGGGCGGAAGTGGTAACAGGAGAAGGGTCGAGCGAGATGGTGATAGCGTTGGGGTTCTCCGAGGGGTCGGATTGCCGATCCAGGGCCGCATTCTTCCGAGCGGTCTTTTCGGACGTTTTGAGGTGTTTCTTCTGGAATTCTGCATGTGTCAACTGTGCTCGAGTTCAAAGTCCATGCTGGCTCGCCAACTCACTAGGCAAGAATCGGTCCCAGTTCTCCCCGGCGAGCTTGGGGTCCTTTGCCAGCTCTCGCCGGATCATCAACTCCTTGATCCGGTAGATGGGGTGGATGTTGTTCATACAGTCAATGACGATCCGGCGGACCTCTTTGAGCCCCTTGAAGGATCCCATTGCGGAAACGGTGTTTCCCTGGACGAGGACGTAGCAGTCGGTGAGGAGCTCTACTGCCTAGAGAATCAGCTTTGCGTCCGATATACGGAGGGACTACAGCTCACCTTCAAGGTACTCCCGTTAGGACCAACGATCCGCTGTCGCCGCTTAACGAAGCGTTCTTTGTTCCGTACCAGCGTTCCGATCTTGATGACGTCGCATGCGATATCATCTTGGAGCACCTTCATCGCCTACTCAGTCAGCTTTGAGAGTGGGCAACCATGTGGCCTCATAGCCCACCTGAGGCGCATTCACTCCTCTCGCCAACAGCTTCAATACGTCCCTCCCCTTGAAGACGATATACGGATCCCAGGTCTTTCTCGTCGTCTTGACGGTCATCCGTCCTTGTACCAGATCCAGCTCGCACGCCAACCCCAGTCCGTCGAGAGCAGAGGTGATCGTACCCCATACGGACCGGAGGTACGGCTCGCGGTATTTCGGGAAGAGGAGGGCGAAGCTGGATTCTTCGGTAAAGGGCCGGTGAGTGTCGGGGTCGGGCGCGCTCATAGACTCGATCTTCCAGTGATCTATATCGTCCGTGTCCCACGCTGCGGAGTCAGCTCGAGCCCCGGCGCACCATGGGTGTTGGAGCAAGACGTACGCTTCTCTTTCCTGTGCCGCTTGTTCTTGGGAACCTCCTCTGCATCTGGGGCGGCTGCGTCATTGACGGTCGACCTGGACTTCTTCCCCTTCTTGGGAGCGGTGGATGAGGAGGCTTCAGCGCTCATGTTGTCGATGCCCTGTATGAAGCTTGCTGAAGTGGACCCAAAGTGGACCTCTTGTCGCGGAAAATCTCCTCGCTGCTGGCAGGCAGATCCAGGCACACCGGTCATCCACCCAATCTCCGCATTCACCGCGGAGATTATCTGGTCCCGTTTTTAGCTTTATTCAGGGATGCAACCTGAAACGAGGGTGGCGTTTTCACGCGTCTGTGCCAACTTGTGTGCGCGTTGGTCGGCCCATCCTCTGTGACAGCAGCAAAGGAGTAACTAGCTTCGATCGTCATAGCTAGGCATCATGCACAACAACCAGACCTTGCTCCTTATCTCTCACCTCGTACTCCACAGCTTTGATAGCTACCTCCTCCGACATCCAACTCCACACGCTCTTTAGCCGGACAAGGCCAGTACAAAACATAAAGACAAAACGACGCGCTCAAGGGGAACGCGTTTCAGCCCCCCTCCTTTGGCTCTCTTTTTCGCCCCCTCGCTCGGACTCAATTTCGTCACTAGTCCCGCACGGCTCCACCATCAAACCCTGTAGAGACAGACAACAGTGTCTCTTGTAGCTCCATCTTCCATCTCTCGGATCATCCATACCACACGCTCTCTTCACTCGACGCTCTCTTGACGCGCCCAAGGCCCAAATACTCGCTGGTCGAGAACGAAACTCTTCACCGCCGGACGGTACGATAAACAATCAACTTCACCTCCACTCCCATCAATAACAAGCAACATGGAGCCCAACGCCCTTGATCAGCTCCGGAGGCACCGCCGCTTCGCTATCCCCCTGCATCTGGATGTAGTCGCGGATGGACTGGCGAAGCGTCTTACGCCGGATCAGCTTGCAAGTATCCAAAGCGAGATGAGTGCTAGTGCGGCTCGCGCAACCTCAGCGGCAGCGGCGGCTCTAGTGAGTTAGAACTTACCTGATGGAGGATCGGATCATGGGCTGACAGCCTAGCGTCCCGCCCAGAGTACCGCCCGCGCAGGTGCCAACGCCGCCACCATCAGCACTACGGTCCGAAGCGTCGTTTCAACCTTCTCCGCGGTGCCAAACTTCACCGTCGGCCAACCCCTCGCAAACACACCCAGTACGACGCCGGTCCCAGTGCCCAGCTCGTCCTCGGTCGTACCCTCATCATCCAGCACAATTCCTAGCTCTGTAAGTCGGCTGCACAACCACGAGGCAAATCGAGCTGACCCGTAGTCCGCCCGAGCTATCCCCTCATCATCATCAACTACCCCCATCCCATCCTCATCCGCCACTCCCACGAGCACCCTCCCCCAGGTCATCACCCGCACCACCCCCATCACCTCCGTCTTGGACGCCCTCCCCTCTGCCAGCGCCGAAGCTGCCAACTCATCCTCGTCATCAAGCTCAATGTCCACCGGTACTGTCGTCGGCGTCGTTCTCGCCGTACTCGTTGGTGTGGTCATCCTCGGCTCCTTCGCCGGATGGCTGTACCGCAAGTTTGCTCAGCGGGGCTATCAGACCGACTCGCACTGGCGCAAGCTGGACGAGGACGTCACGCCGTTCCCGCAGGAGAAGGACGAGTACAATGATGACATCTACGGAGGGGCAGCCGCGCCAGTCATTGGGTCCCGGCGGGCATTGGCGGATCACGCCGGTCGGGACGCGTCGTACCCCTCATCTAGGCCGATGACCGAGTACGGGTCGAACCGGGCAGGTCTCGGGTCGGGACCGGACATGTACGGTGCGCATGCCGCGGGCTACCCCGCGCCGGCGGCTACATGGGGCGTCGACGCGCAGGGCAGGCCGTATAATGGTCAAGCCGGTCGCGTTCCTACCCACCCGTACCAAGACGAGTACGAGTACGGGAGCGACCGCCACTCCCCTCCTCCTCCCCCGTCTACACGTCAACTCGTCGGTCCCGGTCAACTTCCCCAGCCCGAGCTCATGCCTGTTGCTCTCGGCCGCCCTGCCCCTCCTCGGAGCTACAGCGACATTGCCTTCCGCGAAGACTTTGCCGACGAGCCCATGACCGCTGGGATGCCGTACGAACCCATGACGGCGCGGACGAACGAGTGGGCGGGATCCGCCCAGCACCAACCGATGGCAGCACAGCAGTCTCGTCGGATCTCGGGCACCACCCACGCGTCTAAATCACCCTCTCCTCCTCAGCCGGCTTCCCTCCCCCTCCCCACCTTCGCACCCCTCTCGCCCATGGACTCGTCGTTTGCCTTCCAGCGCCAGTCGCAGCAGCCGATGGCAATGTACGAGAATGAGCCTGCAAGGCAGAAGCAGCTGTACGGGGAAGTGGCGGCGTTTGCGGGGTTCGCGGAGCCCAAAACACCCCACTCGGCCGGGCTGGACCACAGCGTCTCGTCTAACGGGACTTTCAATACCGGGACCACCCACTCCTCCTTCTCCGCCACGGAGCACGGGGTCCGGCTTCCCGCTCAACCACCCGTCCCCGCTATCCCGTCCTACCTCTCCATGCCTGCCCCGCCATATGAGCACGGTCGGCCCTTATCGGCCGTCGAGGAAGTCGCCACTCCCTCCACCTTCCGCTCGACCGCGCAGCCCCTCCCGTCCTCGTCTATCGGTCTCGGCGGCCACGCGCGCGAAGTCAATCCCTTTGATAATCTTCCGGTACCTCGGACGCTCGTGGCGCCGCACTCGGCCGCGTCTGGCTCAAGCTTCCCATCGCCCCGATTCCCCCCGCCCAGCCCGGGCGGGATGAGCCTGCCCGGAAGCGTCTCGGAGAGCCCGAAGCGGTGGTCTGGCCAGGGCACAGGGAATGTGGGGATGGCGAGGAGGAGTCGAGGGGAGAGTATGTTTGATGGTGATGATGCGTATGGTGGGATCTAGGGGGGAGCTAGGAGCAGGAGGAAGGAGAAGGAGGGAGAGGAATAGAGGATTACTTGTATATTGACTCTGCTTTATATTTGGTATCATGGCGCTGGTCGCTCATGGACGTTTCAGGCACATCTAGAATGTACATGATCATGACGCACGCGTCCAGCTGTCATAGCTGGTGGGCTTCTTGCCTTCTCCTGCTGACAAGATCGCCCCGACCGAGTATCCGATGTGCTCTACCCGCTAGCAACGGCGCAATGTAGAGACGCGACCCTGTGCTCTTATCGAAACTGTTGAGTATAAGAGGTCCACTTGTCCACGAGACGGCAAGACGCGCAGATAGTGAACAACGTGCCACTCCCCCACTTTTGCCCCACTTTGCGCGTTGGCGCACAGACCTCCACCGGCGAGCTCCACTTCTCTCCCCCTCCTTTCGAATCTTCGGATCCGAGCACTGACGCTGGGGTATATGAAGTCGGCTCGCTCCATCCGCCTCTTCACTTCACCTCTCTACCTCGCCACTTCCGTACTCAAGCTTCCACTCTACCAGTACCATCACCCTGTCCAACCCTTCGTCCCTTCCACAGCTAGCGCACAGACCCATCATGACCCGCATCACTTCCCCCTCGAGCTACACCAACCTCTATGCACCCCAGCCTCACCGCCTCTCCCCTTCTCCTCTCAGCCGCATGTCATACATGCCCCACCAAGACCAAGACCGAGCCCACGACGACGATCTCGACCTCGATCCCTACGTCTCGCCCGATCAACACCGCTTCGAAGCCATCTACGGTCCGAATCTCTGGTCTCAGCTCCAAGACGAGGTCGCCTTCCTCGCTACCGACCTCTCCTTTCCGACCGGCTCGAATGGGAACAAGGTCCAGGTCACGATCAAGCTCCTCCCTCTTCTTTCTGGCGATGAGGGGACGGATGGTGGAGATGACGAGGAGATGGAGAATAGGCAGACTGGTGGCGGAGGTGGCTGGCAGCTCGTCCTGGAGATCTTGTCTGCGCCGGCGGAGGAGGGAGCAAGGTGGACGATGAGGAGCTTCTCGACTTGTCTCACAGGCATGGTGAGTCAGCTTCGTAGTTACGTGGAATGCATACGGACCCTAAGCTGAGCAACTAGGCCCCTCCCTCCGCTGCTCATCAAGACCACATTGCGGGCATCACGTACTCCCTCCGACGTCTTCAGCGCAACCTCGAGAGGGACGGCTTTCACGTGGAGAAGACTCGGGCTTACAAGCACCAGGCGCCGAGTAAGAAGGTGAGTCCCACGGATCTGAACAGCGTCCCTTCCCTTTCCCCTTTCCCCCAGAACTCTCCCGGCCTCTCCCTGCTCTTATGAATCCCCGCTGATACTTAGCTCTTCGTCCACACCAATATGACCGGCAAGGATCAGATGTTCCTCCCGCTCGACTTCGAGGTCAACCCAGATATCGAACAGGAAGTCGCCATCAGTGTCGCCTACCACACGTACCTCTTGGAGACGCAGCGGGCAGACTTGGTCAGCTATACCATGCTTTAGCATGTCTGCGCCTAGCTGACAGTGGTTCAGAAAGCCATCTATGAGCAGGAGAAGGAGAAAGATGAAGGATCATCCACTCGTGCTCGTGACCAGGATGGTAAGCAGCTTCTTCTGCATACTCCCAGCGTGAATTGTACGCGCACCAGGATATGCTGACGCTATGCAGTCTCGACATTGGGCATGTCAATCAAGCAATTCGGCAAGCTCTTGGACGTGAGTCATCTTTTGCAAGCTCACGGTCCGCGATCCAAAGCAGGGAGCTGACTTTGTGCAGAAGAAGGCCGCCGACCATCGAGACAACGCGGCGCGATTCAAGAGCAAGATGGAACAGCAGACGGGAGAGGGCAGCCAGGGTGAGTAGTCACGGTCCCCTCACTTCACGACCAGCTTACCCTCTGGAAGTCTTCGGAGCCCTGTACCCATCGGCTGAAAGGACCTGAGCTGATCATATAGCTGTCAGTACGGACTTCGAGCGGAACGGCGGCTTTGCGATCGCGGCTTGATGGGTTCGTCTATATGAGTTCTCGCCCGGCGGAACGCGTAATAGTACGGGTTAGGCTTTGAATCCTGGCGCTTGTACCAAGTTCTCTTCATCGGTTGGAAGGAGGTCAGCATGTTTGTGTAGCGTCAGCATTGTATATACAGCCATATATGCAGGTCATACCCGATGCTCGGGGATCATTCTCATCGGCCAATCAGCTCCACCTCGTTCTTTACCCTACACCTTGCACCTCAGCTTCAATACTCATACATGTCTATAAATCCCTTTCTACCCCGGCTGCGGTCCGATCCTGACCAGCCCGGCCCATCCCTCATCTATCCACCGCCGCGCACTATCCGACATGCCCTCTTTCAATCCCAAGCTCTCCGCGCTCCTCTGCACATGGATATCCGCTCGTCCAGCAGCACGAAGCGCCCCTTCCTCTTCTGTCGACTGGACAAGCTTGTCCCGTAGTCCCGCGTCCCGGAGGGCGGCCGTACGTGCGAGGGAAGAGAGGCGGAGGGTTTGAGTGGTGTTCTGAAGAGAGGCGAGAAGGGGAGGGAGGGCCGTCTGGACTGTTGTAGCGGGGAGGGGGAGGAAGAGGTAGGTGAGGGGGATGACGAGGAAGAGGATGGTGCGGAGAGTATGGATGATGGAGTCGAGCTAAGGAGTCAGCTTGCTCCTCTGGGGTTAGGTGTCGTCATATCTTCCTGGGGGCGTTTTGACCGACCGAGAGCGTGAGATTGAGGAGGAAAAGGCAAGGCAGGGGTTCAGTTGTTGCAAGGATATCGCAAAAGGGAAGAAAGTAGATTGGACAGATAAGGGGAAGCAGAGGAGAAGGAGGAGTGAAGCAGACGGTCATCGCAACGTGGACAGCACATACCTGGATAGCATCGCCCTCCGATATCCTAATCTCCCAGAGGTACCTCACGCCCAGTTCGCCTACTGCCAGGACAGCCAGTATCCAGCACATACTCCCCCTCCATGCCCTCTTGCGGACCGTAGCGTCCCCTCCGCCTATGGGTCGCAGCCCGAGCATACCGACCAGCCAAGCCATGGTTATGTACGCCTGCAGCACCCCGGGAAGAGCTGCGATGAGATAGTCCGTACTCGAATGGCACCAGGTGCATGATGAAAGCGGCTGATGGCCGTATCGCGAGTACAGGATGCGATTGTCTAGCTGAGCGAGCTTGGCAAGGAGGAGCTCGAGCTGCGAGGAGGGCGCGTCGAAGCGGGAGAGAGTGGACGAGGAGGAAGCGAGGTGAGGGAGGACATGTCGCCGGAGGATGTCGTTACTGACATAGATGGGGAGGTGGTGGGTTGTGAAGATGTTGTAAGGGGGACGAGCGAGGGATTGTAGGCGGTAGAGAGTGTGAAGGGCGAGGAGAAGCTTGGCGGGTAGGGTTATAGGTGAACGAGGAGCTCTGGGGGAAGCGCGGGGTGGACCGCGACCTATGAGCCTGAGGAGAAAGGCTGGCCGGAGGATGGTGGGCCCCAGTATGACCAGCAGTAGTACTACTGGCCCCTGATAGGCTGACAGAGCTGACAGGACTGTCATGATACGACAGAGAGGGAAGCAGAAGAGACTTCACGGGTGAGACATGGGTGGATTCAGATGGACGCAGGAGGAATCTCGAGTTGCTGACGAGGTTGATTTATCTTCTACTTCTTCGCCACCCATACATACTCTACCGCCAACACCTATCCTCACCTTGCAGCTGCATACCCACATCACCTACCTCTATACCACTGCAACAACATGCTCGAATTCAATGCCGGCCTCCTCAGCGTTGGTATCAGCATCGTCGCTCTCGGCTCCCTCTACCTACTCTTCGACCACTTCTACGTTGTACACCACAATCAGACGAGCCCCGCCAATTTGGCGGCAGCGGAAGCGGCGGCGGATTGGCCGGACTTGAGCGCGACAACATGCCTTGACCTGTTCCAACTCCTCGAGGACGAAAATACTCCTGCCTTCCGCTCGGCTGTCATACGGGCCTTATCACTCACCGTCCCTCCTTCCTCGCACCACCTCGTCGGCCTTACTTTCTCCATCATTGCTGCGCGCGTCCCTCGGACCAAATACGCCCGTCTGGTCGGCACGCAGCTCTGCGTACCCCTGGGTCTGGGCGAAAGAGAGAACGAGGTGGCAAAGCAGGAGACTATGAGATTGATCAGGGCGGAAGTGTGGAAGGGCGTCGCGGGTGTGGTCAATGAACTGCTTAATGTAAGTCGCGTATGGTAGATGTCATGTTCTAAGCTGATTAGCGTAGGAGCACGGGGGCACGGTGGCTATCATGACGTCCGACAACCTGCGCCACGCTAGTGGCTGGCTATACATCACTCGTGAGTATCACTCCAACTGTGACGTGCACCGCTGACCGGTCAGTTTGCCCCCTCGGTCGACTACGTTATCCTCCTTAATGGCGTCAAGAACCTCAAGGTGTTCGGGAGGGCGAACAAGGCGTACATCGGGAGGGGAGGTCTTATGGTGTTGTTGAACGATGCGTAGTCTGAGTAGAGGTTCGACATTAGTACTGTGACCGTTGTATCCTGGTGTTATGAGTAGAAGCCGATGAATCACACTGCTCCTTGATGATATGTTTACTTCTGCATTCTTGTCTACGCTGACTACTACCAAAGACTTAAACAAGGTTCTTGTTCTTGTTGTCACCAGTCACTGGTAGCTTGTTAGCTGATGATCTGAATGGTAGACCAACGAACTCACCGGCGTCACCGATCTTCTGGGTGGTCGACTTCTCGTGCTCGGGCTGGGCAACGGAGGCAGCAGCGTCAAGCTTGCCCTTGACGAAGTCGGCTGATCATGTCAGGAGGGCCCTTTACGATTTCGCTCACGCTCGGGACGGCACTTACTGGCTTGCTCTACGTAGCTCTTCTGACTGTCGGGCTTGACAGCAGCTCCGACCTTGTCGGTGAAGTCCTGGCGACCCTAAAGAATCAGCAAAGGCCCTACTTGCGTGTAAACAGAGTTGAGCTAGAGGTGGAAACTCACGGCGGAAGACATTGTTGTTGTTTGGTTTGGGTTGGTGGTGCTGAGGGAGTAGTGGTAGTGGGTGTGGGTGGCAATGGAATGTATGAAGGAGAGGGGGAAGAGGCGAAGGCCATACCTTATATATCGGCCTCGGCGCCAGCGCGGCGGTCCGAGCGCTGCGCTCAGTCCGCTTCCAGCGAATTCCAGGTCCGTCCGGAGGTAATTAATGATGTCATCGGCCCCCGAACGGAGCTAAATACCCATGACGCCATAGCTCGTTTCAGGATACCCAAAGGGGATATTCTGGCGTGGCACCCCAAGTAAGGAATGCCGGTTTGGCCTGAGGAGTCAATGGACAATGGATTTATGGATGCTGGACCCCGGATAACTACGACGTCCAGCCTCATCGGTGACTTGACGATGCATCTGCCGCGCAATGGCACCCATAGAAGCGCACTAGTCTGATATGGGTTGCGGATTCAGCGCTGCATGTCGAGCTCGTACTAGATCAGCATCTCATGGACTCAGGCCGTCAGACTTAGGGACTACAGTGATGTGGCAGTGGTACACCTATAGGCGAGGGTGAATTCGCCAGACATGAGCAGGAGACAGAGCGCTTGGATGCTCCGATCAAGGCGTTCAGAGGGGTACTCACTAGCGCAATACGGCATCATTTCTGCCACCCGGCCATGTCCTGGTTTCATACCGGGTACAGCTTTGACTCACACACCCTGATGTTGACATCTCGCATTCTACCACATATTCGGCGTTAGATATCGCCGAAATACGCAAACCTGGAGTGACCGTGGATGTACATGACATCAAGTCTATCACGGTGACTTGCGTCCTTTTCTACCCAGAGCGTGAGGTTGGATTGCGGTCAATATGAGAAGATCAGCTGGTGTGTGTCCGCCCAGGGCGTGCGGCTCATGCCCCTTCGGGGGTACATCTCGGGGTAGCTACCCGGGATATACCTTTTGTACTTCGATGGCAACTGCGCTTTCGCACAACCGCTTGGAGGCAGGCAGAGAGCGTTAACTTTTGGCGAGGACGGGTAGATGTTACACTGCATTTCAAGCCATATGCAGGGGCCGTACTATCCTAGTGGACCAGTACCGGTATTCAGTGTAGGTAATCATCTGGAGGCATGTACGCAGGCCTACAGGAAGCTCAGCGCACACCTCAGCCAGGCGCAGACCGCAAATTGTACTGTGCACTCCCTTCCACCGATTTTGTTAACTTTTCCAGGGACCAGGATGGGCAAGACACTTTTCCGACTGCAGAGTGAGGATGCATTGGACTCGAAATGACCTCCTTATATATTCCAGCCTGACAACTTCCTACAGAGTGTAGGAAGTTCCTACGAGTTCCTACGAGTTCCTACGAGTTCCTACGAGTTCCTACGAGTTCCTACGAGTTCCTACAGATCTTCCTACTAGTCCCTGAGATCTTCCTACAAGTCCCTACGAGTTCCTACACGCCATAGGAACTCCTACTGTGCTAGGACTTCCTATAGTCCATACACAGCCTACTTGGTCCATGGCTTCGACGCCCTCAGCGCGCCACATTGACCTGCCGCCACTGCCCTAAGCAGTACGGCATGGGATTTCGCCTACTCAGGCGTCGCACTCTCTGGATCTCCTACTCCACATAGGAGTTCCTACTCGCTACCGAGCTCGCCTCCGAACAGGGGTGCCTCCTCGCTACCTATTCGCTTCCCGCTTCAGAGAGCCTAGAATCTCAGATTCCTAACAGATTTGCCACCCACGCCCATTCACGTTGTCTCACCGAGAACCTTCCGCTCGACTTCGCCACCTCACTTATTTACTCTCACGGGATCCACCACATAAGCGGCGTTAGATATCACCGAAAGACGCGTGGAGAGTGCGACCGGGAACGAGCTACCAATACCGACTGTCACGGTGACTTGCGTCCTTTTCTACCCAGAGCGTGAGGCTGGATTGCGGTCATTATGAGAAGATCAGGTGTGTGTCCGCCCAGGGCGTGCGGCTCATGCCCCTTCGAGGGTACATCTCGGGGTAGCTACCCGGGATGTACCTTTTGTAGTCGGCTCGCGTTTCTCATTTTGCTTAGTAATTTGTCCGGAGGGTATGGATCCGGACGGGCGCATCCTCTACAAAAGTGCTGGATCACCCTCTACTTCCATCCATACTCGTCAATCCCCGATCATCTCCGCCGCCCTTCTGAATCAACTACAAGCAACCTGTGCGCCTGTCTGTCCGACTTCATCAAGCTGGACTGGAAGCCAAATTGGCGCATGGAAGATCAACTCCTCATTCCTCATTATTCATAACGAGTTGTCCCCACCGAACAGGTGGAAACTTCTACTATAACTCGCGCTCCCTATAAACTTCCCATCTCCGCTGATATCTGCACTCATCACCTTGCCCGCATCCGTCGGCAAGTTTTTGATCATCGTCCACTCGTCCGCGCTCCATATCCGCACATTACAGTCAAAGCCCGCTGTGACCAGGAATAATCCCGACTTGGCGAGATCGTCCGCTGGGTCTGGCTTGTCACCGTTCATTTCGACGTCGGCGTCGGCCGCCTCATTGTGACCATTGATGGGCTGGTTGCCTAATGGGGAGTCGAGCGAGCTGAGGGGGTTCTCGGCGGTTGCGCGGAAGAATTTGAGATCGGACACGGAGGAGCTGTGTGCGGGGATGGTGTATTGGGTACGAAGGGCGCGGAGGTCCCATATCCGGACGGTATTGTCTCCGGAGCCGGTGGCGACTTGATACCTGGATATCAGCTGTGGTCAAGCGGTAGCGGTAGCTCTGGGTCCACTTACCCATTTGGAGCAAAGTCCATCGCTAAAATCTCCTTCACGTGCCCGTCCAGTACCATGGCTGTCCTGCCTGTGCGCAGATCCCATACCCTGCCTATTGCGTCAAAGCCACTACAACGTCAGCTCGCGCCTACCGGACAAAACAACGCTGTAGCTCACCCTGAAGCAGCCAGAGCGCCATCATCCTGGAATGCCAACGCATAAACCTCCTTGCTGTGCCCCTCCTGTGTCAACAGCTCCTTACTCGTCCCCACATCCCATAATCTCCAGGTCCCATCGAAGCCCGCCGACCCGACGAACGATCCCGAAGGATGGAACGCCACTCGCCCGACACGCCCGCTATGTCCCGACATCGAAGCCAATGGCTTCTCCCCGCTCATCGACCAGAGCTTGACATCCCCCTCGCCACCGCCAGTGGCAAAGTTGACGACACTCTCTGATTGGCTCAGAGTGGCGGATGGGTGCCAAGCCGCTCCGCCTATTCTTTCCGAGTGTCCGCGCTTGGTCGAGACGATGTTGAGATTGGGGAGGTCCCATACTTTTGTAGTACCGGTCCATGAGGTCGTAAGGGCGAGTTTGGAGTTTGGGGAGAATCGGATGGTGGAGAGGGGTCTGTCATCGCCGAATTGCGAGCCTAGGTTGTTGAATGTCTATACTGTCAGCTGAGTTACACATTCACTGTAGCTCCGGCTTACCTTCATTTCCGTGTACAGCGCTTTCCGAGCATTAACAATCTTCACCAGAGGGAGCCCGACTTCTATCCGCTGTTTCGCTATCCGTGCTTTTGCTCTACTTCATCAGCTCACCCCGACTCTCCAGGCCGGGGACGCTGACCTTGACAAGGAGTATCGAGCCAGCTTCTTCCGTGCGCGCAGCAGATCATCTGAGCCTTCCGTGTAGAACTCGCCCTGGGAAGGATCAGCAGATACTCCCCATCCCCCATACTTCACTCACCTCATCCTCAGACTCATCACTCGAACTATCCGCCTCGAGCATAGCGTCTCCTCCTTTCGCGTGCTGTATTTGCTCCTGCACATACTTCAAACGATCTCGTCTATCTCCAGGCTACCAAGTCAGCTCAGTATAACCCAAGAACCCAACAGCAAGACTTACCCCCTCCCCGAACAGCGTGATGGGCTCGCCATACGCCCTGAGCCTTTCCCGGACCTTCTTGTCATCCGTCGGCACAGCAATCTTTCTGAGCCGCTTCTTGCGCTCCAGATCCTCCAGAATAGCGGCATTCTCATTGCGCTCTCGCTCGTCGTCGGACCCGCCGAGGTTGTAGGCGTTATCTATCTCTACGGGGTGATGAGCTGCAGCTCCCGTTCCAAAATGGGGATGGTTCACTCACGAAGATCGTCGAGATCCATTGTGACCGAGCTACTGAGTCTGCTGTAGTGATATAGAAAGAAGAATATAGATGGAGAAGAGGGAGAAGTTGATGTCAATACCTTGGTGGTCGCTCAGAAACTGCTCCCGCCTCCACCTTCCTCCACCAACCCCCTTCATATGTAGGCGCTTTGCCTATATGCTATACGCATCATCATAGTTCACTACAGCGTCCCTCACCAGCGTCGTATAAGCACCCAGAAGAGGTACGAAGCCTGTCTGAAAGCCATCCGGGGTTATCGGCGGCGATGCGACCTCGCGCACCTTCCGACCCGGTCGATGCCGATGGTCTCGACATGGATGACCAGGCATCAGCGGAACTGCTACATGCCATGGCCCACGACGAACCTGTAGCTCACACGAGCAAGCTCACGCGGAGCCGTGTCTTTGCTCTCTTGGCCGTATGCGCTATGTCTGTCGGATCGCACTTGGAAGCCTACATCGCTCGATCGACGAACGAGCTGACAGTCACAGTGCAACCTATCAGCTCGGCCCTCTCAAATCCCGTCTACACCGCGAGCTCAACACCTCCAATGCTCAGTTCTCCCTCCTCATCGCGGCGTACAACCTCAACTCGACGTGGACACCCCTCGTTGCCGGATTCCTGGTCGCTCGATTCGGCACCGGCTGGGCTTCGGTCGGAGCTACTGGCTGTATCCTGCTCGGCCAGCTCATCCTCTTCGTCGGCGTCACTACGGGTCATATCGTGATCATGACCCTCGGCCTATTCATCTTTGGACTTGGCGTGACCCCACTGGCGGTCGTACAGGAAACTCTAGTTGCCCACCTTTCGCCCTCGAAACACCTCGGTATCAGCCTCGCACTAGGTCTCGTCTCTGGCAAGATGGCCAGCTTTGTTTCCTCACTCGTCTCGCTGCCACTGGCGGAAGGATATGGGGACCAGGCGCCGTTCGGATTATCGGTCCTGCTGTGCTTGATGAGCTTCTCAGCGAATGGCTCGAGATTGGCGTTCGGATGGGGCAGGGAAGAGGGCAGTGGTGACCATGTGGGGAAGAGGAGGTTCAGCTGGGGAGGCGTATCTCGCCTGGGAGACGTCTTTTGGCTGTATATCCTATTGTGAGCTCTTTCCAACTAACAATATCACCAAGAACCAGCTGACGTAGCAGGAACGTGTTTTCTGGCATGATCTGGGCACCATTCCTGCACCTGTCGGCCAACATAGTCAAGGAGAGGTACGGATTGACCGACGGGTTTGCAGCGGTACAGGCTGCCATTCTGCTTTCTGGCGCTCTAGTGCTTTACCCAGTGGTATGTCGTCCACTTGGGATGTCGAGCGGAGCTGACAGCACAGACCGGTCTCATTACGGATCGCCTATCCCCTCATACTCCCACGACCACCTTCAAACTTCTCCTCCTCTCGTCCGTGCTCACCCTCTTCGGCTACTCCTACCTCTCCTTGCCGCCCACCCTCTTTGGCACGCCTATGCCAGGCATGATCCTCTTTGCACTCGGACACGGCATGTCGACGCTCCTCATGGTCATCCTTATCCCTCGCTTCCTACCGCCAGAGCTGGTCCCCCTCGGTCTCGGTCTGCACAAAAGCATGGAGATGGCCAGTTCTGCCGTGAGTCAGACCCTCGCTGGCATCTGGCTCGACGCGGCGCGCCAAGAGCCGGAGCAGGGAGGAGCGGCAAAGGGGGTCGAGGGGCTCCTGGGGATGTTTTGGCTGATCAATATCTTCCAGCTGGGCTGTGCGATCTGCCTATGGGCTTTGGAGAGGCGGAGACGACAGGAGAACCGCGCCATCATCAGTGCGGTGGAAGCGGAGCAGTACGAGCCATTACCGATGAACGACCTTCCCGGCCTAGACACCGATTCCGAGTCGGACCCCGGGGACGACGGCGTACCCATCCGGAAGTTGACGCCGGGCAGGGAGAAGGAGATGCCGGAGAAGGGACCAAGCAGTGCGCTGGCGCAGACGGATCGGGAGAGGAGCAGGGGAAAGGTGTATCTTGGGGTTTCATTGGCGTGGATTGGGCTGGTCTGGCTTGTGTTCCTCGTAGACGCCTACATAGATCTACTGTAGATTTCGTTGCTAGCTCAAGATACCGTATAGTCGTTGTATGTATATATACCTTGTCCCAAAATGAGACAAATCGTTAAGATCGTCAGCCCTTCCCGTACCCCTCCGACACGCCGCCTAGACCGGACTGGTGTCTCGCCTCTGCCCCAATGCGATTCGCTTCATCAACGGAGTCTTCTGCGCGAGGCTAAGCGCGATTGCGCTGCTCATCTTGCGAGTAAGACGCCCGATGCTACCAGGGGAGGATTGTTGCCTGGCGTCCCTGGAGCGTACGACCTCGAGGACGGCGGACCGCTCGTCGTCATCCGAGTCGCAAGAGAACTGCGAGCGGAGGGGGCTAAGGGAATCGTAGGTGATGGGGCCAGGGGTAAGGAGTTGTGGATAGTTGGGGGAGGGTGGAGAAGTGACAATGGTAGCTGGTTGTGTCAGTGAGGTTCTATCAGCACTGTAGACCCGCGACTAACGGGAAGTGTGCTGCAGTGGCGAGGCCTGCCCCTCCTCCCTTCCCAAGCCGAACCTCTCTTCCCACTCCCGGAAAGTCTCCTGTAGCTCTGCAGCTACTTCCAGCTCGAGAGGGCTGACCTCCTTGGCATTGATGACCTGGGCCGCACGGCTCTTACTCACGGCCACCAGAGGCTCGTCTGGCGGGAGCCAGGACAAGCTTGTTGACCGCTGCGGGATGTCCACCACGTCGCCAGGACGGTACGGCTGGTATCGCCTAGGGCTGGCCGGCTCCTCCAGGTCAAGAGAGGGACCCGCCCGAGTGGAGACCGTGTCGGCAGTGTAAGAGAGGGATGGGCGGCGAAGCATGTTAAGGAGGTTGGCGAATGAGGAGGTCCGACGGATGGGTTGACCCGGGCGCAGTGGGGCAGAGGTGGACCGGGAGAATGTAGCGGACTTGCTCGTGGGGAGGGGTAGAGCAAGCTGTGAGTCATTGGGGGGGAAGTAGATGAGGTCATCCGAGCTGAGCCTGGTCGCGCGGATAAAGGCACGCAGGTCGGACTTTTGAGAGGAAGACATGGCGGGGGAGAGCATGGTGAGCGGCTTTGAGGGGTAATGGTAGAGCATGCGGTGTAGGCTGTTCGGCTATATATCAGTATTGGTGTGAGTGATCAGCGGCATATGCAACGCGCCTTAGATGAAGAAATGAGCTGTCTCAGTGCAATATGATCGTTACAGAATGAGTGCTTTCCGAGCGGTCTCTGCTCGCGGTCACGTTTGAGAGACACCTCCCGCCGCCTCTGCTCCAGCTTCTGCTCCTCGAGTCCTGCTGTCGCCTCTTTCACAACCTTCGATGCTTCGATCTATCTTGTATCGAGCATATGTATGGACGATCATTTGGGTAGAGTTCGATGCTGCAGTGCATGCTCGAGATCTCGCGAATGTTGAGTATCTGGAAGAGTGGACATGACCCATGGGATGAGGGATGACTTCAGGCACGATAAGGGCCGAATGGCAGAAGCTTAAATCCGCCAGTGTCAACAAACATCCGTATACCGCTCAGATCAAAGCATTCTTTTGACTGCATAGAAGCAAGCAGCAGCTTCAGCTTCACTCCTCATCCTCCTCTAGCCCCCAATCAGAGACCCAGCAGCGATGACTGCTTACCGCGCCTCATATCGCGTCACTGCCCCGATAGACGACTACTTTTCAAACGCACCCGCTACGACCACCCATGATTTCGTCGATGCGGATGACCACTATCAGCACAGCGAGGACACGGGTACGCCTACTGTAGGCATCTACGCGACGGACGGGATATGGGATGAGGAGGACTCGCTGGGGTCGACAGCGAGGTATTCATCCTCCATGTCCGCCGCGCCGTCCAGTATCAAGACGGGGAAGGGGAGCATGAAGTCGAGAAGTCGGAGTGGGACCGCCTCGCCTTTTGTGCAGGATGAGGAGAAGGCGGGGATCTGGGGCTGGGCGAAGCGAGGAAGGGATTCCCCTCTGCCCGAGCGGAGTCCGGAGGCGCCAAAGGGGCTCACCAAGAAGGAGAGCAAGGCGAAGCTGAGGGGGAAAGGGCGGAGAGGGGAGCTGCTGGTCGTTGTATCCCCGGACGAGAATGTGAGTGTGCTAGTGTATTTGTTGGAGCTCCGTCTGATCCTCAGACTTCTTCCCCTCCTCCTGTTCCGCCGACTCCCCAATCCTATATCCAGACACCCGTTACCGCCTCTCCCGCCTTCTTCAGCCCTCCACAGCACGAGTCCCAGCACGACGAGAACGACCCGTCAGCAACCAAGACGAAGGGGTCGTGGAAGCGAGGGATGCAGCGGATGTTCCGGTCAAAGTCGTCGGCGGCGCTCAGGGAGATATCCAATGCTCCCAACGCACCACCTGTACCTGCGCTCCCCTCCAAGCTCCCTCAGTCGAAATACGCGCTCGGGCAGCCCTTCTCCGCGTCCACACCGCCCAGCTCGGTAGCCAAGCGCTCAGGAGCGGCAGGCGTGGACTTTACCTCCCCAACACCCTCGGGACAGCGCGAGTCATACGGTCTCTACCCAAATTTCCCCGCCGACCCCTTCCAGTCCCGCCTGGATGCGACGTCCAAGGGATACCAGTCGTCCGCTCCTCCTCCTCGTGCTCCCCGACACTCGCCAAGTCTAAAGAGCTTGAAGGAATTCATCAACCCTACCAAGCCAAAGATTCCTAAGAGCAAAAGTATCGCCAACCTCAAGGAGCCATCCAGCGCTCCTCCCATGCAGGCGGAGTTTCCGCCCCTCCCTCGGCCACAGCGGCGGATGACGAGTATGACCTCGCTGCGTCAGTCAATTCGCCACTCGCTCGCGCTGAGCAACACTTCGGCGCCAGTAGAGAGCCCCCCTCTCCTTCCGCCTAACCCCCCATACTTCCCCTTCCCTACCAGCGCGCCCTCTGCTCCGTCCAAGGAGTCCACGCCTTCATCCCTCAGCATCGTCACCTCCTTCCCTCTACCTCCCTCGCCTTCTTCAGCGGGACCAATGTCCTCGGCGCCCAACGCTCCCCTTCCGCCCGTCCCAGCACCAATCTCGCAACCGCTCGGCTCAGGCGACATGTCCCGGAGCGCGTCCGGACACAAGCTGCTCCCCCGGTCTCGGTCGACCAGTATGAGCTTGCGGTCACCGCCGACCAGCTCCAGCTTCTTTGACCTGTACGAGCAGCTGGGCATCTGGCCGACGCCAGAGAAGAATGAGGAAGAGGAGCGGGCCGCAAGCGTAAAGGCCGCCAAGCGGAATAGCAGCCCGTCCAAGCTGGGTCGCTCGGCACCGGCTCAGACGATATCCAACTCGTCATCGCTCGCCTTCTCGTCGTCCTCGTGGGAAGCAGCCATCAGCGCGTTCCCCGTCGTCGATGCGGATGAGTCCTTCGGGATCCTGTCAAGATTTAGTCTCGACAGGCTCAGTTCTCAACCGGGCGACCTTACGGCCGATACGGTCCTCAGCAACGTGGCTGTCGCGGCCAGCTCGGCATCGTCCACTCGGACCCACACCGTCGCGTCATCGTCTTGCACGGCCGGGCCCAGTCGGACGCAGGACAGGGCGAGTCAGCCGCTCGAGCCTGTACCAAGAGGCAGAATGAGGCGGTCTGGTGGGGCCAGCGGCTCCTCTTCCCGCGATGACAGCAGGGAGCGGAAACCGTCTCTACGGAGAGAAGGCCAATGGGACAGAGACTCCTCGGACGAGTCATCAGAGGAGGACGATGTTCCGCTTTCAAAGCTGCATCCATCTGCGCTGGCGGCGCAGCAGGAGAAGAAGGCGCGGTCAGTGCAAAAGCGAGTAGAGCGGGTCAAGGCCAAGGCGAATCAGATCAAGCTGGTAGGTCGGAATCCGGGCGGTGGAAGTGGGTGGAACGGGGAAGGAGGTGTACCTGCGGACATCCTGATTGGCAAGCTGGAGAGGCTGCTTCTGCCACGGGCATCACCGATCTCTGCCACTCCCAGCGACTATCCCTGGGCTACTGCCACTCGACCGCCTCGAGTCCGGGATGCAACTCAGCCGGTCCAGCTACAGCAGCCAACGCTGCACTTTGCTCAGCCACATCAACGGTCCAACACCGAGCCGGTCCGTAGCACGACGCAGCGGGCTCCGCCTCGCCCCCTCGTGGGCAATCTTACCACCTCTCCGCAGCTCATGATGGGCGAGGAGCGTCTGCCATCCCCTTTGGTTGGGCCAAGCCGATCATCTTCCACCCGGCATGGCCCACTCGTGCCCCCTCCTACATCTCGCCCTACTGCGGAGATGACCCGCAATCCCTCTTCCAACTCCACCCACACCCAAGCTACCATATCCCGACTTCCTCCGCCGATCCCCGGGGACTTCACCGTCGCCGCCGGCTCATCCTCACTTTCCAGGTCAAATACCACTGCGTCTAGGCGGTCTGTCTCGCGCCAGCGATCCCGTTCCAATTCGACCGCTCGGCATGGCATGCCTTCTGACGAGAATATGATCCGTGCCGCGGCTGCCGAGCCGATGCCTGCTTCGCGTGCTATTCACGTCAAGGCGTTTATCGGTACGCTGGAGGGGAAGAAGGTGACTCTGGAGATTTATCCGGAGACGACGCCTAGGGATGTCTTGTCCGAGGCGATGAGGAATGGCGAGCTGGAGGAGCTGGGAAGAGGGATGAGCTGGGTTGTGGTCGAGATCTTTGCAGAGATTGGTTGTGGTGAGTGTGTCTGTTATCGATCAGGGTCGAGCTGACTCTTCAGAACGGCAAATACGGGAGTATGAACAGCTCCAAACCGTCATTCGCGGATGGGACGCGACTGCAAAGTACAATTGCCTCGTCATCAGGCAGACCATCAGCGGTTCTCCCACGCTCCAGAGGTCTATCCCACATACGGCGCCATATCTGGGTTCATGGGTCCAGTACGAGAGCAAGAAGGGAAAGTGGAGCAAGCGGTGGTTGGAGACCAGAGGCGGGCAGGTATTCTTGGCGAAGAACGAGAAGGTGAGCCTCTTCTCTTCCCAGACGACCGGGCAAAGCTGATCACTCAGAATAAGGAGGAGGTCCAGATCAACACTCTCTTCTTCGACGTGTACCAAATGACTCGGCCATACCCAGGGCCAAAGCCATTCTTCTTCGTGATGAAGCGAAGTGAGTACAGCTTCTCACTTTCGAACTGAGGATGCTGAGCTGACTCGCACAGTTGACCCAGAAGCATCATTCCAGAACCCCGAAGAATACCTGCACACATTCAGCGCCGAGGATGGGGTCGGGTACAAGCTTATGGCGGCGATATACGATGCCAAGGTCAGTTCCCCTTTCCTCGTGCCAGAGATTTGTACTGATGGAGTAGAGCTTCGCGCTCCAGCCTCACCTTCTAGCCAGGCAAGGTCAGGCCCCGGTCACACGCAAGCCGTCACTGCCTGCTGCGGGGCCACTGGTCGCATTAGGAGATCTTAAGAAGAAGCAGGAGGAGAAGACGGGGTTTACAGGCAAGGGCTTGTTGCGGTTGTAGACTAGATCTTTTGGGTTCATTTGAACAGGACACTCTGATAGACTACTGTTGTGTTTGTACTGTAGATGCACCTTGACACCACATCCTGCAATGCCATGCCCCAGACGTGTCGAGGCAACAACAACAACTCTTGACCTCCACTTCGCCTCTTGTCTTTCCAGGTGCCCGCAGGATGAAGAAGGGTGAGTGCTACGCACATCTTCGTCAAACTACCGAGCACTTTCGAGTTGGCTGAGTCTACAGTCCAATGTCCAGTATGCAACGAGGAAGTCGTCGACACCGAGATCAACCTGCACCTTGACCTCCGCTGCAGAGGTCTCGCCGGGCCTTCATCCTCTGCTGCTCGTTCTTCCCAGGCCACACCTTCGGCAGATATCAAGCCCAAGCGCACCACTCCCAGCGCGAGCCAAGCGCCCGCTTCTGCTTCAGGGCACGCTTCCCGGGAGGTCTTCGAGGTGGGGGACGACACCCCTCCTCGCCCAACACAACCGAAGAAGCCGGTCGCGTCCATCTTTGGCGGTGGCGTGAAGAGGAAGAAGCCACTGGACGATGCAGATGAGGAAGTGAAGCCGAAGGATCTCGTCAAGCGCGCTGCTACTCAGAGGGAAGCGGGAGGGGGAGAGGTGGAGAAGAAGTCTAGGATCAACCCGCTAATTGCTGCTCAGCCGTACGTCTGACTCTCGATTCATCCCATGACGCCCACGGCGCGTGTCGTCGCTGGGAGAAGCAAAACTGACCCTACAGACTGGCAGAACGATCTCGACCCTCCTCTCTGGAAGGCTACGTCGGGCAGGCAGATATAGTCGGTCCCGGCAGCCTGCTCAGAGCAAGGATAGAAGCCCGCGAAGGTATCGGCAGCTGCATCCTGTGGGGTCCTCCGGGATGTGGCAAGACGTGAGTCTCCTTCTGAGATTATCGACAACAGACTGTCAGGAGGAGAGGCTGACCCACTAGGACTCTGGCTAGGCTGATAGCGAAGACTGCAGATGCGGACTTCAAGGAGCTTTCAGCTACAAGGTGGGCCCTATCTCCCTGGAGCACGCGGGATCTTTGGCTGACTCGCCAGCTCCGGCGCAGCAGACGTCAGGCAGGTCTTCGAGCAAGCGCGCAACGGCCTCAAGTTGACGGGAAGGTGGGTCGGCAAGATTGTGAGATGGCTCCAAGCTGATCCGACAGGAAGACCATTCTGATGGTTGATGAGATCCACAGGTCAGCTGGCTTGCTCTGATACGCTAGCGACGGCTGATCAGCTAGGTTCAACAAGTCTCAGCAGGATCTCTTCCTCCCATATGTCGAGAACGGCTGGGTGCAGCTCATTGGCGCCACGACCGAGAACCCCTCGTTCAAGGTGAATGGAGCTCTTCTGAGCCGATGTCAGTGAGTCCGCTGTCGGCTATTCCTTGACTTAAGCTCCCAGCTGATTCGACAGAGTCTTCACCTTGCACAAGCATGGTCCCGCCGCTCTCACTCAGATCCTCGAGAATGCGCTCTCGGCCCTGCCCGACCCAGCACCCCGTCTTCCTCCCGACCTTCTCCCTTTCCTGGCGGACGTAGCGGACGGAGATGCCAGACAGGCACTGAACAGCCTCGAGCTCGCCCTAAAGGTCTGCACTTCACCCGCTCAGTCCACTCTGGGTGCTTTAGGGGAGTTGGAGATAGAGGGAGACCAGGCGAAGCGGGACGAGCAGTTGATGGATGCGGTCCGCAAGGGTTTGAGAAAGGGGTATGATCGGAGTGGAGAGGAGCGGTACGACATGATCTCGGCCCTCCACAAGTGCCTGAGGGGAAGCGACGGGAGTGCGTCGATGTACTGGCTGGCCAGGTGAGCTTGCAGCTGATCCATGACCGTGGAGACATGAAGCTGACCGGATTGCTAGGATGATCACTGGCGGCGAGGACGCTCTGTACATCGCCCGAAGATTGGTAGTAGTCGCCAGCGAAGATGTCGGCCTGGCAGATCCCCACGCATTACCTCTGGTACGCCTCGGCTCCGGGTTGACTTCGCTTCGTCGAGCCTGTGAGCTGATCAAGTAGGCTATGGCGACCTATCAGGCCTGTCAAGTGATCGGTCTCCCCGAGTGCCGCTTGAACTTGGCAGTAAGTATCTCCTTCACTTTCGCTGGCCCTAGCTGAAGACCAGCACTGCGTAGCGTATCTCGCCGAAGCGCCGAAATCTACCCGCGCTTACACGGCCTACAAGCGAGTAAGCCCTGTCACCACGTTCCGCGCAAGAGACGGACCAGCTGACAAGGCCAGGCCGAAGCACTTGCCTCGAAACCACCTCTTCCTGGAGTCCCGCTGCAGATCCGGAACGCGCCCACGAAGCTGCTCAAGCAGCTAGGATATGGGAAGGAGTACTCATACAACCCCGCCTTTGCACATCCGGTCCATAACGTCAGTGAAGTGGAAGCGGAAGCTGAGGCAACCAGCTGATGAAGCGCAGGAATACCTCCCGCCCGAGCTGCTCGAACATTCCTCATATGCTGCTGATCCGGACAAGCACATTCTCAAGACGCCGGATGCGGAGCTGAAGGACAAGGAATGGGATGAGAAGCGGTTGGCGGAGTGGGAGAAGGAGGTGAACGGTGGAGCAGCGTGGACTGGGCCGTTTGAGCCTGAGCTATAGGTCAACAGAAATCAGGTACTGAGCATCTCAAGACCTCAATCTTGCAGTAGCATTGCATTGTCCGACACATGATAGCGGATACCTAGCAATGTCCATGATGGGTTCATATACAGAATGTGGTCGTCTATCTATCGTGATCTCATCATTCTGCCAAGTCAGCTTCAACCCTTTCTAGCGCACAGGCGGTACTCACCGTTCAGCACCTTCTCGATGATGCGATTGATCGTCTCCTTCCGCTGATCCAAGCTGACTCCGTGCTCCTGCTCGAGCTGCTTCCTCACTCCCTTCTTTGTCAGGTTATCCAGATCCGCCTCTGCGCATATCCGCCTGATCGACGACTCCAGATGTGCGTCCGAAATACCTGCCTCGCCCATGTCTAATGGCGCCCAGTCCATCTCTGGCAGCACCTGTGTGGCAGGGCGCGAAGAGGGCTGATTCGACATTGGCATATGCTGGCTTCCGGGCCGAGGAGCTTGCGCCTGCGCCTGCTGATTGAGCGAGTAGGACGAGTCCCGATGTTGCAGCATCTGGCCTTGGTTGGGGGTCCCGTAGAATGAGTTGTATGCCGAGCCGGGGCCGGGCGCAGCTTGGTACATTGACCGATTGTCAAACATGACCGGTTGTTGAAGGTTTGGGTTGCTCGCGAATGGGCTCATAGGGTCACCCATCCCCATCCCGCCGTACGGGACTTGCGGGGCCGCGTAGAACGAGGCAGCCCGAGACTGGGCTTGTGCCTGAGCGTGAATGTCCTGGTAGCTCGCCATAGGTGTGAGGCCGCGGGGATTGTAGCCATTTCCGGGTGCGTTGGCTGTCATGACCGAGCCGGGCCGACCGTACTCGCCACCGTACCCCGAAGCCGCCACCGAGTGGGTGTCGTATTCGGCTTTCATTGGCGGCAGGTAAGAGCCAGAGTGGTTCGAATCGTGATCCCATAGCTCATTCCTGCTTGGTGAGCTTGGACCCCTCAACCTGGAGATAATACTCACTCGTACTCGTTCCAGCTCTTGAGCGGGATCGATCTCGGATCAAACTTGCCCTCATCCTGCACATCAGCCCTGCTACCTACTCTCCGAAAAGCGACTTACATGAATAACCATCTTCTTGCCCTTCTCACCGACCACCAATCTGGTCGTTCCCCAACTGAAATCGTCCATCTTCCAGAACGAGTACAGCGGAAGGAAGAAAGAGAAGACGGGGATGGCAAGAATGTAAAAGATCATCCAGGCAATCATGTCCCACCGCATCCGGAAGATGAAGATCAGCGCCTGGAGACCGTAGATGGCGGCGAGCATGACGATGGAAAGAATGGGGATGGTACCGCCCTTGCCGATGACGATGTACAGGAGGTATCCGATCTGTTCATCAGCTTGGTCCTCCAAAGATTAGGTAAACTCACGTAGGCTACGGTGACGGGGGCAATGACGGTGGATAGCAGGTCGATAAAGACGACGAAGCGCATCGAGAAGCAGCAGAACCCACAAAGCTGATCAAGGAAGACCAGCTCCGCGAGATTATGTACCGTCGAATTGATCCACCGCCGTCGCTGCGAGAGCAACACGGACGCCGAGTCTGGCGCAACCGTCTCGGCATGCGCATCCCGTACAAACTTGGTCTTGTACGCCGGGAAGTGCTTGAGCACAAGGGTAGTGAGGTACCGGTCTTCTCCGAGATGAAGCAGGTTCTTCAGGTGAAGCGTGTCGACCCGATTCTCCGAGTAGTCGTGGATGATCTGGTTGGAGATGAAGAGGGGTTTATGGGTGTCGGGCGTACGAAGGCGGTACATGGAGAAACAACCGGGAAGGCAGGTGATGGACCCGAAGAGTGATTCGAATGCCTTGGCGAGATGATGCGAGATAAAGTACTCGTACACCTGCGCCATAGTCACGATAGACTGCTTGGAGTTGGCCAACGAGGTCTCGCCGCAAACACCGATGACCTTTTTGTCGTGCATCATGGCCGAGACGAGCCGGTTTAGCGAAAGCTCCTGGACCGTAGTGTCCGCATCGACCATGAAGAGGTATTCGTAAAAGCTGGGGTTGACACCGATGACGTTCTTGATTTGGTGGTACATCTCGAGCTCAAGGGGGTTCATCGGAGCGTTGAAGTGGATCTGAAATCAGCTTCGTCCACCTCACTTTAGAACAACTCACCTTGTTCAAGAAGTGCATGACGACCATCTGCGAGTCCCGCTTTCCTCTGTTTCCCGGCTTGGGCCGCTCGGTCGGCTTGCCCACCTTGACGATGACAAGGTAGGGCACAACATGACCTGAGCACTCGTACAGCCCCGCGTAGATCTTGCCCATATTGTGCTGCTTGGCACCCTCGCCGAGACTCTGGAAAGAGAGCGGCTCGGGGTCGGCATTGGGGTCAACGCCGAGGATATCAAGCACGATGGCCGGAGTGGCCTTTTCGTTTCCGTACCCCTTGATATTGCCATCGCAAATGATCAAGAGGAGTTTTCGCTTGTCGTCATACTTGGTCTTGACAACCGAGTCGATCGTCCGCCGCAGAGATTCCTCGCCTTCGGTATAGCAAGGAACCTGGCAGATGATGAACTTGTCGTGGTTCTCCGGAGCACGGGACGAGCCAAAGTGAAGGGCGGCGATGAATTTGAATCCGATGATGGAGACCATGACGATGGAGAGCGCGAGGAGGATGTAGGTGGAGAACTGGCATTGTGGCGAGTCGCGAGTATCGAGCTCGCCGATGATGAAGAGGTTCCGGAGGCAGTCCCGCTGCCAATTGACGACGTCCTGACCGATGTTGGAAGCGAGGTTGTCAAAGAGCTGGGTGACGTCCTGGCCAGAATTGTAGGTGAACACCTGCAATACCTGGTCCGACATGAATTGCCGATCCCGGGTATCGTCCGCGCCGAGCTGTACGCCGTCCGGTGCGCGAAGCCCACCGCCGTTTTGCCGAATGTATGTTGTCAACTCGTACACCTTGTCCTGGTAGATCCCCACCGCCCGTCCCGAACTCGCCATGTTCCGCACGTCCTTCTTGGTGTACCCCATGAACCCCTTGCGGAATCGGGAGCGCATGACGATCATTTGCTCCTGGTACCAGTCTGGCCTGGGGTCGGTCGTGTACGCCCGGAAGTCGTGGTATTTGGAGTAAGGGTCGGTAGTGTTGGTCGTATCGAGGGTGACGTAGGGGCTGAGGGAGCCGCGCGTACCGGAGCAGAGGGCACTGACTTGGACGGGGAAGATGTTGGACGCGTCGAGACCGCCGTACTGCATGACCTGGCGGACGGGGACGACCGGGACCGCCGTAAGATGGGTCTTGGCGAGGGAGACCAGGTCGAACACCTCTCCGCGGACAGCGACGAGGGCGTTGTTGGGGTCGTTGGTGTAGGATTTGGCGGCGAGTTCCGAGGAAGAGAAGACGTGTTGGGTAGGGCAGATGACCGGCCCGAGAATGGCGATCACGAAGATGGTGCAAGCGCAGATGAACCAGATGATCATGTTGATGGCCAGCTTTTCCCGCCATGCTTGGCGCACGTCCGGCCGCTTCATTCCTCCCCACCAAGACAGCAGCGGTCCAGGGACCCAGAAGGTCAGGATCCAGCACAAGGCCACCCACCGCCGACGGGCAGAGGACTCCTTGTACGTTTCCGTCACTTCTCCATCTTGCGGCGCCGTGTCCAGCACATCCTTCTCCTTGGTGTCAAAGTCCCGGAACATGTTTCGCGACGGAGCATACGCCTCGGTCCCAACGTTGGACGCGGCATCGCCGAATTTGCCCGAGATCTCGCTAGGAGCGAATTCTCTTCGCTCGTCAAAGTCGTCGACGGAGAAGTTGTCGTGGTGGCGGAGAGGCTGGGCGTGGGAGACGAGAGGGAGGGCAATTTGAGAGTCGTCGCGGTCGTAAGGGTCCTTCTCGAATGCAGGGGAGGCGGGCGAGATGGATCGGTAGGGAGTGAAAGGGTCCGGAAGCCGGCCTTCAAGCATCTCCACCTCCTCTCGCGGTCTCCGCTGCTCGTCGCCTTCTGCTGCCCGCAGACGGTCCTCAAATCGATGGAAAGCCAAATGTGACAGGAAGACCTGAAAGTCAGCTCATCCCCGAAGCATGTACAAAACTCACTCGGTTGGCGCCAATACCCATATCCTTATCCTCATAACTCAAGACCCGCTTCAAATCCTTGAGCCGATCAACATGGCTCGGCCCCTCCAGAATCCCCCTCACGCTCAGCTCCTCGCCATACCGCTCGCACGCCTCGGCATAGGTCATCCGGACTTCATAGCTGGTTTGCAGCTTTTGAGCCATCTCCGACAACCCCATGGCCCTGATTTGCGCCTTCATCGACCGGATCTCGACCTGCGCCGGGAGCTGCGAGTCGTTCGGGCGTAGACAAAAGATGAACCAGGGTTGCGCCTGGTCAAAGCTCGAGAGCAGCAAATTGAGAGCTTGCCAATGCTGTCCTGCGACGCACTGCATTTCGTGCCCGCCCGCCGAGGCATCGTTCCCGCCGCCTACTTCGTCTCCGTCATCGCCAGCGTTGTTCTCCTCGTCCACTGCGGCGAGCTTGGAGTTCTTCTTGCGGCGCATGGACGGGGCACGCATCGGCCGGACCGGCTGCTGGACCGCAACGATCGTCTCGTCGTTCCGGGGGTGAACTTGCGTCGTGATGCTCTTGGACGAGAAGAGGCTTTTGATAAAGGGGTTGTTGGACCCCTGGTCCTCCGAGACGTGGCTGGCCGTGCTGCCCCGAAGGAGACGCAAGATGTCCGAGCTAGTCTCGTTGGCATTTCGCTCCAGGAAATTCTCCGCCGAATAGGACACCGAGCCGCCGTAATGGTTGATGGTGAACGCGCCCGATCCCCTATCCGCCTGGACCGAAAAGGACGCATGTCCCGCGTGCCTCTTGCCCATCGCCTCCAGCATGCTCGACTCGGACCGCTTCCGCCTCGCCTCGTTATCCATGATATGGATGAGCCCGCCCTTGGAGTCGCTCATCATCCGTAGACACTCCGAGTTGTCAAAGTACGGCAACCGCGTGACCGGCAGCTTCTCCTTGGACGCCTCTTCGAGGGACGTCTCGTGGATACGGTGAAGCAGCCAGTTGTGAACCTTTTCGTTGGCAAAGTTGAAGCAGAATTGGTCGACCGAGTTGACGCTCGCGCCCATTTGGACGGACGCGTTCTGGTGTCCGGGGAGGTCGAGGAGGGCAACGTAGGAGGAGAAGGAGTCTTTGCAGAGCTTCTGATTAATGTGCTCGTTGAGCCAGGAAAAGAGGAGCGAGTAGAGTGTCCGAGCGAGCTCATCCCGCACGCCTTCCGCCTGCTCGCCGTCGAGGAAGGTGGTGCAAACCTCCTTCCCCAAGAGCAACGTCTTGAACGAGAACAGCTCCGCGAGCGCTTCGTGCGAGACGCCGAGGAACTCGGCGACCGTGGCTAGAACCTCATAATTGACGACGCTGGCGCCCTCATGCGACCGATCATCCGCCGTAAAGTGGAGATTGCCGATATGGAGGATGGTGGCGAGGAGCTGACAGACCTGCGCTACGAGCCGCTGCGACAGCCCGACGTGCTTGAACGCCTGCTTGAGCTGCTCGAAGCGCTGCTGGTCTTCCGTCCCCTGCCGCCGAACCCGGCATTGGAGGTACCGGTAATCGTCGACCTTGCCGAGTTTCAGGAAGGACCGCTCCTCCCCTTGCACGCCGCTGACGAGGTAGTAGAAGATGTGGAAATTGCGCTCGCCGACCGCCGGGGTTTGGGAAACTCGAGACCGCTCAAAGTAGTACTCGATAGCTTTGAGACCGGCAAGACGACCTCGCTCGTTGAACTGAAGCTCGGTATAGTTGCCGAAGCGGGAGGCATTGTCGTTGGTAAGGGTATGGGCGTTTCCAAAGGATTCCAAGATGTACTGATCGTCAGCTTTGTCAAAGGGTGGGATCTCAAGACTCACTTGGGCATTTGCGATCTGCCCGCCTAGCTTGGAGCCCTTCTTCCCCGGTGCAGCGATGGCCACTTCCGCAATGGCCTTGATGACGAGTCTCCTCATTTCCGTCTTGCCGGAACCCATCGCGCCACTGCAGATCAGCACAACTCTCCTGTAGTCAGACTTCGCACTCACGTCAGGACTAGTATCTGATCCTGCCCTGTCCGCTTCATGTTGTAGTAGCTCGAAAGCGCCAGCCGAAAAATATGCGGTCCCAGCTTCTCCTTGACCACGGGCGTTGCATCTCGCGATGTCGCGTCGTCCACCGCGGACTGGTAGTATTCCGACACGTAGTCTTGTAGTGACGAGTCGCCATTAATCGGGAGGTAGGTGTGGGGATTGACGGAGACGAGGGCGGAGGAGGATATGGAGGTGTAGGGCTGGGAAGCGAGGTAGCGTTCGCGTAGGGTGGCCAGGATGGTATCTTCCGCTATTGACGGTAGAGCTCTGGCGATCAGCGGATGCTAGTGAGATCATATTTGAGGGAAGCTCACGATAGATCGCTCACGCCTTGGAAGCGAGACGAGCTGTTTTTTGGTGGCGCAGACATGTTGATCGAGGGATTGACGGGAGAAGGGAGCGGTGATTTGGAAGGGAGGGGTCGTGATGAGATCGTTCAAATACACGTCGATGCGATTAGATCATACTGGTCGTATTTTTTTCTCGTCTACCCACTTCGTTATGATCACACTAGAAAGGAAAGGGTTGTATCGAAGAAGTGATTACTATGGAAAGGCTGTGCGAAGGAGGTGAGTAGCCTTTTTACGGCGCGTTCGATCACCAACTTGAAACGAGAGATGCCGTAATGCCACTTTCAAGCAGCAGAGAGCTCTTTGCGAGCAGCCTGTGTTGCCTGCTCATTCGAGACAGCACTCTGGGCAGCCCGACCTACCATACATATTCAGAGGCCTCTCGAAAAGGCGTAGTTGCTTGCATGCATGGGTTCCAGCTGCGGGGTTCCTCGTTCTGTCAGCCTGGGCTTGTGCCACAAACGGAACTATAAATGGTCATTCACCCTGTGTTACGTCAGATCTGGCTCATCTGAAAATGAAAATCCGGCCGGACAGCAGCTCGCCTCCTTCTCTCTCTGCAGCAGCATACCTCTGCACCTCCATCTACTATACATCCTTCTTCAACAGCTAGCTATCTCGACGAGCAGCACAAAAGTCAAGCACGATGGTGAGTACAATGGTGATCTCAAGTCATGGACGCAGCGCTAATCTTCTAGGCCAACCGAACGTCAGTATCTGCTTCTTCGCACATCCTCCAGCCCCTCTCCCTCTGCCTTCATCGCTCCACCTCGCTCTTTGCCACCTCACCAGCTGACCTCTCAGCGTACTCTATGTCTCCGGCTTCTCTGGTCAGCTCCGCGCGCGAGACCTCGCCTATGAGTTTGAGCGATACGGCCGCCTCGTCCGGTGCGATATCCCGGCGCTCAAGACCCCGACCTCGTCCCGTAAGTCTTCGTCTTGATGATTCGAACGATCCGAAGCGGGGAAGTACCCGCCGTCCCCTAGCGGTGCGAAGTGCCCTGCACTAGGCGAGTATGACCGATCCGATCAAGGCGAGACGATTGAGCGATCCTTCCCGTTATTCGTCCTCATTCCGTATCTTCCTTCCTCGTCCCCGTCCCTTTGGCTTCCGCGGTCGCTTCTTTTTCTTCTACCTCCTTCGAGACCCTGCGCTTCGTTCTCGGGCGCGGCCCATCGCTCCCTCTCGAACGCCACACGGTAGACGGACCCGAGCTCACCGATCCAAGCGTTCGCCTTTATCGAGTTCCGCAGGGAGGATGACGCCGAGGATGCGTACTATGACATGTGAGCTTCTTTCGCTCTTCAGAGACTTCTGCTGACTCCTAGGCATGGTCGCATGATCGACGGTCGCCGCATCACTGTTCAGTGGGCCAAGCGTCCCCCTTCCGCTGCGTGGAGGCACGACGGGTGAGCTCTTCCCTAACATCCCCTGATCTCGAGCTAATAATCAGATCTGGTGGACCCGAACGCCGCGAGCGCGAGCCCAGGCGTGACGACCGCCGAGGAGACGACCGTCGTGATGGCGGCCGAGACAATGGCGATGCTCGCCGAGACGACCGCGATGCGCCCCGCCGCCGATCCCCCTCGCCCGTGCGAGGTGGAGACCGTGAGCAGGACCGAGGAGGCCGCAGGTCCCTCTCTCCCCGCCGGGACGGCAAGCGGGAGGATGTGGGAGAGGGGAGCAGGTCGCCGCTTCCCAAGGCCGAGCGGGACGACCACGACATGGACAGGGAGGACGACCGGGAGAGGCGGGACGACTAAAGAGGGTTGGACGAGGGGCAGCGGACGTAGTATGCTCTCTCATATCGCTCTCGAGTCAAGTCCTTTCGGTATCCTGTATCCGTCCTCTAGTCTTCAGTCGGGTGACTTTATGCACAACCATGCCTGAGTCTTTCTTTGCCTGCATCAAGTCTGACCAGCGCCTCTCATAGTCGACCAAGGAATGCATATCTTATCACACTGAAGACCCAAACAGGAGCTGAATCTACGAATCGAGCCGGAAGGGAAGAGAAGGAAAACCGGACAAGCCACCAAAGTCAAGGGGTATCCTACTACAAGTACAATCGCCGGGGTATAAAGGAGGAACGATCCAGAACCGAATTATAAAGAAGTGGGAAGGAACAAGGTGGGAGATGAAGAGAAGGATTCCGTTCCGCGACATGATTTACGCCAAGTATAAACACCTCAACCGCCTTGCCCCCCTCTCCCCTCCGCTCTCCGCCCGGCATCTTGTTTGCGCCAGCGCCATTCCATTTGTTGTCTTATTCTTCCACCCGCCTACTCCCTATAGTCCGACGCGCTAGCCTCGGCGTTCTCGGAAGGGACGAACGCTCCCGGCTCGTAGCTCCTCCAGCCCCAGCCCGGCTGAGCCGCCCCCGTCTCGTACTGCGCCGGCATGCCATACTCGGGCATCGCCATCTCCATCGGGACCGGCAGCTGCATCTGCTGCATCTGCTGCTGCATCGACATGCCCACCGGCATGGGTACTTGGTGGTGCTGCCCCGGCATCGGCGTGGGGAGGTTCGACTCGTCCTGCGAGGTCGTCATCTCCATCGGGATGGGCATGGCGTCGAGACCGTACAGGACGCTGCCGTCGTTGGCCGAGATGGGCGTGGGGTAGGCACCCATCAGATCGACGGGAGGAGCAATGACCGGCTGCGCGTACGCAAGGTTGGACGACGTGGCCGGCGCATAAGGGGTAGCCGAGCGGTGGCGGCGCGAGCTGTCGTACGGGGTCCCAAAGGGGACGTTGAGCATGTGCGCAGGGGCACCGTACGAGGGGGTGATGGACCGGTGGAAGGGGGAACCACCCATAGGCGCGCCCGAGGAGAAGTTGGGCGGGAGGGTCGAGTGACGAGCGTACGCCATCGACGGGGGAGGCATGGCGCTGGACGCGCGCGAGTATTGGCTGAGCGTCAGCGATACTCTATCTGAAACAAGGAATGACTCACTCGTACATCATGTCCGGACCGGGACTCTCGGAGTATCCCCTCATGTCCTCATCGCTCATGACCCCGCCCTCGCGATCCATCTTCTCGTGCGTCTTGATGTGCATCGCGAGATTGTCTTGGCGGCTAAAGTTCCGGTCGCACCGCTTGCAGACGTACGGGCGCTCCTGCGTGTGGGTGCGGACGTGTCGTTTGAGATGCTCGAGCCTCTTGAAGGGGCGGTGACAAAAGTCGTACGGGCAGAGAAAGTTGCGACTCTCGCCATCGCGGGGATCGGTCGAACCGCCGCGCGAGCTGAGCCTGGACCGAGCCCTAGACTTGGCGCGGGGTTTCTTGGAGCGAGGAGGAAGCATGTTGCTCTCGTCTAAAGTCAGCTCTGTCTCCGACGTCGACGTACCGGAAGCAAAAGAGCTATCGCCCATGTGGTCCGGGTCGGGGGAGTCAGTGTCCCTGACGTCGACACTGGGGCCCCTGGCGTCCTCGCTCATGGCGGTGCCAGATTCGGAGGACTCTCTGGGCTTCATCCGGCGGCGCTTGTAGGTCGGGCTCCCTTCGAACGCGGTATGGGTGTACGGGAGCATGACGCGCGGCGGAGGCGACCCGTGCATGTGCATGTGCATCTGCTCGTCGTGGTACTGGGGCTGGTGCAGGTACGACTCGGCAAGCGGGTTGAGGGTATACATGGACGAATTTTCGTAGTTGTTCATCGGTGCGTCGGCGTACGAGACCATGTCGCGCATCTGCAATCAGCGAGGGTTAGGTCTGGATGGAGAGGGCTTACAAGGACGTTGAGGCCGGGGTTTTGGCCGGCAAACTGGTCGTACAAGCTGCGGCGAGGGTCATACCTGAAAGTCAGCGAGGTCCAAGGTCAGGGACAGAAATGCTCACCTGAAGCTCCGAGCCGGCTCGCCGACGACGATACTGGTAGGCTCTTGGTTGGCCTTCTCACGCTTGAGGTCTCTCTCGAGCGCGTCGAGGAAGAGACGGTCATGGGGAACAGAGAACCTGAAGATTAGCGTCATCCGATGAGTAAAGGAAAGAACTCACCAGTAGAATACCTGCAGATAAGGGTCAGATTAGTCTTACCTATGGAGAACAGACCGGGCTTACCTTTTGCTGAAAAGTCAGCTCTACTCATTTTGATGTAGTAATTTACTCACCTTCTTCTGGGTCCTGATACAGCCGTTCCGGAACAAAAAGTCCAATAGCGGCGACCTAAGATCAGCGCCCAACCCCCACATTCCGCGCCCGCTCGGACCTACTTTGGCTCTTCCAAACAAGCATCGGTTCCAGGTTTGAGGTTTCTCAGATCAGAGAAAACACCTTCTTCCCACTTCTTGGTAGCGTGGATGGGTCGACCAAAGGCTTCGAACCTAAAGGCCAGAGCACGGACTGGGGGTCAGCGAGGTGTTTCAGGAGAAAAAGAGTGGCGGGAGAATCGAAAAGGAGACGGGAGAAATGGAGGGAGGACTTACCGATGTCGGTACCAGTGACGTGGTAGAGACCGTTCCAGAGCACGCACGAGATGCACTCGCCGTTGGGGAGCTGGAACTTGGAGATACGCGATGTTATCTGAAGGTCAATGTCCGCGCAGAAAGGTGGGATAGGCTTGATATAGCGATCTCACCATCCCAGGATTGTCCTGCCACCTTGTGGGAGCAGTCGCGAGGAACTATGAGTTAGCTTATGATGGCGGATCACTGATGTGGTTCTCACGAATTGCAGGCGAGATAAAGTGTCGATGCGTGCTTCCTCCTCGGTGGTCAGGGGTCGAGGCTTAATGTTATCGGGGAGAGGAAGAGGGTACAAAAGCTCTGTACCGGCCGAAGGTGCGGGAGGCCTGAGCGTAAGCCTTCACATCTAAGCGCAAGTATACCGAAGAACGAACCCTTCGTACTGATATCCCGCGCTTGCCCCAGGATTGCTGCTTGTCGACTCCATCTTGGTGTTCCACGTCTCGTCGGACTGTGAATGCTTGCGAGGTTAGGGGAAGGCGCGGTCGGGATTCCTCAGCTTTAGAAGAGGATTGGAGGATGAAGGCTTTTCCCACCTGATACAAAGAGACTGGCGAGGGGCTTGTTTCAAGCTCTTCCGAAACAAGCTATAGCGGGGGATGAGATTACGTATTGACCTAACTAGGATGACGTGTGTTTTATCACGTTTCATCATGCACATCACAACCGCTATCACGACCGCTTTACGTCTCTGATTTCTCGACGTGTTCTCGACTTCACCCAGCTGCAGTGATCTGTACATCCCTATCAGCTATAGAACAAATCAGCTATAGAACATCATTCGCTATGAGAGGTGAGCGCTCCAGGCTGTGTACTCGTCTGACCCCATCAGTCCAGGTCAAGCACACGGGCAATCTGTACGCCATCAATGTGGACGTTTCTAGGTCGGCGACCGACTTCAAGCAGGCCATATACCAAGCGACTGGTGTACCCATCGGTTCGTTCTTCCGAGGGGAGAGCTGACGCATCAGAGCGAATGAAGATCATGCTCAAAGGCGGCATGCTCAAGGTTGGTCAAAGCCTTTGCGAATCGCTGATCGCTGATCTGGGCAGGATTCCGCCAATCTGAGCTCGTTTGACTGGAAGGAGGTGAGAGACCTGACTGGCACCAGAGCTGATAACTTAGGATCAGATTGTTACAGTCAGTCTCCAGACGTGCCTTACTCATCAACCAGGTGGTAGGATCTGCTGGGCCCATACCTCAGGCGCCGGCAATACCCGCGCAGTTCCGTGAGTTAGACCTGGGAGGTTTGACTGACGGTAGTGGAGGATATGGACTCAATCACCTCCGCGCAAGGAGTGAGTTGGCGCGAGGTTGCTCAACTGACGTAGCTCTCTGATCCCGTCGGTCTCTACAACCTCGGACAGACATGTTACCTCAACTCCACGATGCAGATGCTTCGGTCGATCCCGCAGATACCGGCCGCTCTTGACGGGTGAGCATTCCAGTGTTCGAGCCAAACTTGTGCTGATACTAGTGCCCTCAAAAACCCAACATCTGCTGAGGGCCGACTCACCTCCTCTGTCAAAGGGACCTTGCGCTCCATGTCCAAGGACGCTGTTCCAGTTTTACCGATGGATCTGCTTTCCACCCTGCGCGTGCTCGCACCCCAATTCGCTGAGAGGGATGCCCGGGGCCAGTATGCTCAGCAAGGTACGTCTTCGCACCGACTGAGCTGATCGCAGATGCGGATGAGGCTTGGACTCAGATCATCAATTCTCTGCGCTCGTCTATCCCAGGCGAGAGCGGATCATCATCATTCATCGACGGCCTGATGGGCATCCAATTACGGACCAGGTGAGCTTGTGAACGGAGTTGAAGCTGACGCCCAGTCAAAAGTGCCTCGACAACGTTGAGGAGACGATGACCGAACGTTCGGAGACGGTCCTAAAATTGGAGTGCAACATCTCGGTGACGACCAATTTCCTCTTGTCAGGTATCCAAGAGGTATGTGTTGACTGCTCTTCGAGCAACTTCGAGTAACTAATGTTACCAGTCACTTTCACAGCAAGTGGAGAAGAGCAGTCCCTCCTTGGGGCGGTCGGCATCGTATTTACAGTGAGTAGCTCTCAATGTTGTGCTGAAGTAGTCAATCCCGCATGGCCCAGCTACCGCAGTATCTTTCGGTCCACATGGTAAGCTCAGCATACGGCCTAAACTGACTGGAAAGGTCCGTTTCTACTGGCGACGAGACATTCAGTGAGTTCCCCTAATGCAGCTCGCTTATGCTAGAAAAAAGGCCAAAATCATGCGCAAAGTCAAGTTCCCCTTGCAGCTAGACGTGTCAGACTTGGTGAGCTGAAGGTACGGCTTGTAGCTGATCATGAGATGACCGATGAGCTTCAGAAGATCACCCGAGCGGATAACATTGCGGTGAAAAGGATCTCGGCTGCCCGGGAGGATCGACGCCGGAATGCCAATAAAGGCGTTATCAAAGGCAACCAGCAAGACGAAGAATTGGAGCTGCGTAGGCAGGAGCACGAGCAGATGGCTAGCTCCTCCGCCAAAACTGAGGTGTCGGGGTCGGGGATCTACGAGCTCTGCGGTGAGCAGTTTCTAGCGACCTTCAGCTGATATCAGGTATGGTGACGCACAAAGGCGCTTCTGCAGATTCAGGTGAGCAAAAGACTGAAACAGGAGCATCAGCTGAACTGAAGGGCACTACATGGGGTGGACTCGAAAGGATGAACCGCTAGCCCCGCTCAACACGGAAATGTGGCTCAAGTTTGATGGTAGGTTTCACTCCTTTCGTCGCATTCCTGCCAATTGTAGACTGACGCCGCAGACGACAAAGTCTCCACCGTCTCTGCGTATGCTTTCGATACCCTTCCTGCTTGGAAATTAAGCTAATTGTTATAGAGAGCACATTCTCACCTTGGACGGAGGAGGTGAAGACTCTGTAGCCTACCTTCTTTTGTATAGGTTAGTCACCGTTCGATTGCCGCTGATCGCGCAGGGCCGTGCTCATATAATGTGGGTCCGCAAAGGGCTACTGCGGCCCTTTCCAAGAGCAATAGCCAGAGTGTACTGTAGTATATAGCGTCTCGCCCTACGACCGTAGTGCTCATCGTATGCAACAGAATAGCAATCGTCGCGATCAACAGAGATTTAACAGCTGAGATCGCCACACTCGTGACATGACGTAATGAAGTTCCGGAAGTGGCAGTTTCATATTAGGTTTGGCAGTTTCACATTTCCGCCTTTTGTTCTCCTCGGTAGCCTTTTGTACTGTAAGGTACCATGAGCTGCCAACTCATTGTCTTAGAGCAAGCACAAAAGGGAGTCAGATGCGATCTACAAAGAGCCTTTTGTTCCTCCAACATGCTGTGCAATTGTCGCCCCTGTCGGTCAAAACGTTATTCCTCCCACCTGTTCCGCTTTTGTTCCCGAGGGATCGGCCTTGTTGTCTCCTTTTGTCTGTTGAAGAACAATAGGCATCTTGGTACGACAAGAGGCTACCAATTCGGTCACGACAGAGATATATAAACAGTGTCGAATTCGCGATATTGTCTTCCCTCAACCCAACAATCCTCCACATCCACAACCACAACTCCACCCTTCCAACCACAAACCACTCTCAAGTCTTTACAATGGACGCTTTCACTGCCACCCTTAACATCTCCGAGGCCCCCGTCGACGCCGAAAACCACCGCAGCATGTGGACCTACGGTTGCGTCGTCGCTCAGTCCACCCCTGTCACCGAGGCGCCTAAGGACGCCGAGAACCACCGCAGCATGTGGACTTACGGTTGTGTCGTCGCTTAAGTGCGAGACGTGAGTTCTCTCCATTCTGCCTCGGGGTCAAGCTGACAAATCAGAACATATCGGGCGAGGTTCAGCTGGTGTGAATCGTATATATCTAGTTACAATACATGCATTTTGTACATGTCTTGCCTCAATTGCATTCACTAGGCGCGGGGCTGTTCTGACGATTCCGCGCACTGGTGTCCAAATGCTGGACATAGTTTTGTGCTATGCATGGTGACGCCCTCTGTAGCAAGCAAGGTGCTCAAGTTAATTATGGTGCATTCCTTCGACAGTGGTTCCCACGAGCATAACAAATGAATATCTTGCCGTTACTTCATCGCCGGGAAGTCTTGACGTTCTGATTTTGTCTCTGTCTAGGTCAGCATTGTACCTGTACAACGTCAAAGAGAGAAGCGCACCTTTTGCTGCTGAGCCCTTCGCTTGTGCACCATCGCCGACGACAGCAGTCCATGATTCCCAGCGTCTGGCTGCTTGCCTCGTACCTGTCATCAGCGTAGCCACAGTCTTGACTCACATTGCGCTCGCCCTTGCCCTCCTTGACATCCGGTCCCACATGTCTCGACTTTGCCTTCCACTGCCGGTATTTGCCGCTGTTATACGTAGCAGGCAAAAGCGTACCACTCTCCGTCTTGATCATCTTCCCTTGCTCCGCCTTCCCGTCTCCCTGAGTGAAGTTCTTCTGCTTGCGGTCCCAACGAAGCTGACTGGCTTTCTGGGTACGGTGCCGAAGTTGATCATCATCCGGAAGGGCGCCACCATTTTGCTCTCCGAATCCAGCTGATGCTAGAGAGTACCTGACGATCAGCCAGATCTTGGGGAAAGCGATAAAGCCTACTCTTTCTCTCCGTCGACGATTGGCTGCGCCTCCTGCATGTAAAAGGTAGAGTCTCGATATCGCTAATTGATCAGCTTTGGACAGAGACTGGACTCACCGCACGATCCGTGACGGGAAGAGGGGGTAGGGTCGAGCTGCCAGCGGCAGCCTCGTCGCTGACAGGGGGTGGCGGAGCTGAGCGGATGGGCTTGGGCTGCAGAGTCCGTCTATGCGCGGCAGCGGTGGCGGGTACGGCCGGGGTACCGGGACGGAAGGATGAGAGCGAGGATATGAGGTCCTGCCTCTTTGACTCGACCGAGGATAGCGGCTCCTCGCGAGCGTCAAACTCCACGAGCTCGTGCGGTATGGACCGAGCCGCCTTGTAGCCGGATGCCGAAGCTTTTGACCGAGATCGACGATACATGGCTTCCCCTCGGAGCATGACCGCGCGCAGATCCGTCAAGCCCGATGTGTGATCGAGGGACGAGGCGATGTGCTCCGCCATATCCGCCACTTGCTGTCTCGACATGGCGTGAAGGACAGTTTCCTGGTCGGCCGTGCGCAGGAAAGCGTTGAGATCGCAATAGTAGGGGAGATCCCCCTTCTCGACGAGCGACCAGGACGTCCCCTGCCTACCTCCCCGCGCTGTCCTCCCCGTACGATGTACAAAGACGCGAGAGTTGGCCGGGAAGTCATAGTTGATGACATGGTCAACCATAGGAACGTCGAGACCCCGAGCAGCGACGTCGGTGACGACGAGTATGCTGGATCTGCGATCCCGAAAGTCCCGCAATTGACTCTGCCGAGCTGTCTGGTCGAGATTCCCGTAGACGTAGGCGACCTGGTACTGCGCGGCTTCGAGGAGAGCTGCGACGTACTCGACGTGATGCTTGGTGGCAACAAAGACGATAGCTTGGGGCTGACCCTCGCATGGGATACCGAATGGGACCTTGATGGAGGTTGCAAGGAGGCTGAGGAGCGAGGCGTCCTTCTCCGATTCATTGACCCGTAGCATGTACGTCGTCAGGTCGGGATTGATGCGGTACTCTGCATCCAGCCTGACCATGGCCGGATTGGAGAGACCGGCTCGAGCGAATTCGGCGACGGAGGTTGGGAGAGTTGCGGAGAAGAGCATGCTCTGACGGGATGTGGGTAGGCGAGACAAGATCTCGTGGAGCTGGACCTGGAATCCCATCTCGAATAGTCTAGGATCAGCTGCAGTCTTTGCCATTGTTGAGAAGACTCACCTATCTGCCTCATCATAGACTACAGTTCCCACGTCTCTCAGATCCGCATTCATCTCGACCAGAAGATGGAGTAATCGACCAGGGGTGGTGATGAGACTGCGTGAGCTCAATATGATATAGAACTCACATGTCTGGCTTGCTCTCCATCAACTCGAATTGCTTGTCCAAAGCGTCCCCTCCCATCACAAGACCCCAACGGAGAGGCTTCCCAGCCGCTTCTCCTCTGCGCTTGACGCCTCGACTCAGATCTTTCCCGGCAGTCATCACCTGCAACGCCAGTTCCCGGGTGGGTATGAGGATAAGAGCACGCGAGGTAGCGGCGTCGGGCGAGATTAAACGCTGTAGGAGTGGGATGATGTAGGCAAAGGTCTTTCCGGACCCTGTCCGGGCCATGCCGAGCACATCGCGAGGGGGAGAGCCGATGAGGAGTGGTATGGAGGCGCGCTGGATGGGTGTGGGGATCTTGAAGCCTCGCTGAGTCAAAGCTTTGGCAATGATTGGGTCGACACCTAGAAGTCAGGTGTGCTCTACGCAGCGGTAGAAAGGCTGCTCACCGAGAGCCTGCCATGTGCCCTTGCCTGACTTTGACTTTGAGGATGAAGCTGTAGCTGCTTCAACGGCACCGTCCATTGTGAACTAGGCGTGAGTATGGTATAGTGAGGTGTCTGTTGAGGAAGAATGGAAGAGACCTCCACCCGCATAGGGGTGGTGGAGGTCGTAGCAGCAGCCAAGCAAGGGGGAAATTTTGACTTACGTACACATCCATCATCTCGCTCCTTTAAATGCAGCTGCGATTTTGACTCTTCCTGTCTCATCATACCATATCTTGCTACAGGAGCACACTCTAGCATCACCTCACACCCCCTCCGCTACCCCACTCAACAATCACCATGTTCACCTGCATCTCCTGCAAAGTCGCCTTCGAGGATGCCTCGGAGCAGCGCGGTCATTTTGCCACCGACTGGCATCGCTACAACATGAAGCGGCGAGTCGCAGACCTGCCGCCCCTCCCAGCTCACTCCTTCAACGAGAAGGTGCTCGAGAGAAGGGAGCAGAACGCTATCCGTACCGATCCAAGGGGGATGCAGTGCTCGATCTGCAGGTGAGTAGTGCCGCTTCCACAATGCTTATCAAGCTAACGAGGCAGCAAGTCCTTCTCAACCGAGAATGCGTATCGATCGCACGTCCAGTCAAAACGTCACCGTGATCGGGAATTCGCCCACGCCAATCGCACACCGGCGGAGCAGGCCTCGGCTCTGGCAGCTCCTCAGGAGCAGGGCGGGGCGAATGGCGAGCCCATCAGCGATGGGGAGGATGAGGAGAGCGAGGAGGAAGAGGATATCGACAAGAAGCTTGCCTCATACCGTCGTCGGATTTCCCCATCCGACTGTCTCTTCTGCAATACCCACACCGCGTCCATCGAAGAAGCGGTCGCCCACATGTCTCGGTTCCACAGCTTCTTCCTCCCGCATCGCGAGTCCATCACGGATCTACCCGGTCTCCTCGCTTACCTTGGAGAGAAGGTGGTCATCGGAAATCTCTGCTTATACTGCCCGAACGGCGGGAAGGAGTTTGGGAGTGTCGACGCAGTCCGGAAACACATGATCGACAAGGCGCATTGCAAGATGGCGTATCAGACGGAGGAGGATCAGGCGGAAGTCCAAGAGTTCTACGAGGGAGGACGAGGAGACGAAGAGTGGGAGGATGTAGATATGGGATCGGACGACGAGCAGAATGTGAGTTGAGGAGCCTTGGTCGAGCTGATTTCAGGTCGAGACCGCCCAACACCCCTTCATCTCCGACGACGGACTCTCTCTTACCCTTCCATCTGGGCGGACCCTCGGTCATCGTGCTCTCAAAATCTACTATGCTCAGCGCATCCGTACTCGTCCTCAGGGCGACACATCCCTGTCCAAGATTGAGAGCGTCCGCCAGCAGCTCGCTGATCCCACTCAAGCGCTCATCCCTAGGAAGGGCGGCCATGGCGGGTTTGGTCAGGGGTTGGAGGTGATGAAGGCGAGGAACGCGGGCGAAGCAAAGTGGGCCAAGAAGCAGGGATCGTCGCATTTGGATCAGCGGAAACGAGCGGATTTCAAGGCTAGGATCGGAGCTGTTGGGAACAACCAGAAACGTGAGTGACTTGAGCATTGTCGAGAAGCGAAGCTGACTTGACAGATTTCCGAGACCCTCTTTGTGAGTTACTAGTCGATGTTTCTGCTGATGTACAGTGCAATGAAGGCTGCGTCGAACGCGCACTGGCTTGTTCGCGAAGCTATGCATTCCATGAGCCTCAACTCGCTCTACACCATCTACTATCGTACATTTCTACTGGGATCTAATACAACTCATAGACCGCTACCGTTCGCCCACTCCGCGAATCCAGACGCCTCTGCGACAGCATCCGTAGCGGGCGCAAGTCCGCGCGTGACGGGCTGCTGCTGGTGTTCGAGATCGACGGCGGGGAATATGGTGGCCGGATCGGCCGATGCTTGACCACTCGCTTGAAACAAAGTCGTCGGGATTGTTTGCTGTGATAGCAGGCTGTGTGTCCGCGAGGATCCGCCCGAGTTCTCAGGTAGCAATTGGCTGGTCGGGCCGGCGGTGATCCGATGCGGGATTTGGAAGGAGTCGACCGACGAAGAGCGGTGGGCAGGATAGCCAGGGTGGGAGCCTTCGGTGAGCGGCGGAAGAGCGTACGGGTGGTACCGAGCTCCCAGCATAGGTGGCAGCGCGTTCCTGCTCGGGGCCAAGCTCGGCGTCATTGACCTGTGCCGCTTGAGCAGACCCGGAGTGGCTGAGTCTACCGGCTGGATGCCCAGACCTTCCCTCCCGCCCGTCCAGTTTTGCTCCATGGACCGCAACTCCGCCGGGTCTGCCATCCCGAAGCGGGCTGCGCTAGGGGCTGACTGGTGGGTCCCGCTCAGGTAGCTGAGATGTTGAGGGTCGAAAGGGCGTGAAGCGAGCTGATTGACATCTGAAAGTCAGCGCGATATCTGGCAAGGAACCTACTCATGCCAAACTGCGCTGGATAGGTCTCGCCTCTCCCGCCTAAGTCTCCGCCCATGCTGCCAGCCATGCTGTATCCTCGCATCTCCCTAGCCGCCATGGCATCGACTTCCGCCTCCAGATACCGCACCACCTCATCCTCGGTGGTTTCAGACGCCTCCGTCTTCATTCTCTCGCCACGATCCGCCTTCTCGTGCGTCTTGACATGCTGGGTGAGGTTATCGCTGCGACTGAACCGCTTAGAGCATCGAGTGCATTCGTAAGGCCGCTCCTGCGTGTGCGTGCGGACATGGCGTTTGAGGTGTTCCAAGCGTTTGAACATGCGTCCGCAGGAAAGCAGCGGGCAGCTGAACCCTTTGCCTGCCGATTGGAGGGGCAGAGTACCAGGAACGGCCACCTGCTCCTCGTTGTTGCTCTCCGCGCCGATGCTTAGGGAGCTGGCGGGGAAGGCATTTTCTGCAGGCCGCGCACAGAAGGTACCGGGCTCGTGGCTGAGGGGATTCGACCACGTAGACTGTTCATCTCCCTGTGCGGGCAGCGCCGGGACCGCACGAGGAGGGGTATGGGCGTTGGCAGGGACGAGCAGGTTGCTGGCAAACTCCGCATAGCGGTCGGGGTGTGGGTGGCGTTCGACCGAAGCGAATGGGGCTCCGTAGGACGTAATCCGCGCGATATCGCTGTCGGATCCGCTGTCTTCGTTTGCTGATCCGTACTGGGTACCCGCCGTACTGCCACGCGAGCGCTGACGCTTGCTTCGGCTGGCCTTCCTGCGCCGCCGCTTGTACGAAGGGCTGCCCTTGAGAAGCGATTGGGAGAAGAGCACCGACGTCGCAGTCTCGTTCGGCGCCAGGTCATCTCCAGTGCCCGAGCTCGCTGCATCGTACTCAGCGGAAGGGGTACCTCGATCGGACGAGGTTCCACCCTGTCCCTCGTTGAAAGGGCTGGCTGCTCCGCCGGGCTGCTCTGCGACAATGCCGGAGGGGGGTAGCTCATACCCGGTAGTGACGGGAGCAGGTGAGTCGGGATCGTCCTAAGGTGTAAGCTGCTGGGCATCTTTTTGGGCTGAGATGGCTTACAGGATTTCCCAACCCAGGTTGCTTTCCAGCAAATTGCTCATAGAGTCCCCGCGTATGATCATATCTTCACGTCAGCTGGGTCGTTGCGTACTGCATACCTGAAGCTCCTTGCAGGCTCGCCCAGAACAGCGGTTGTCGGTTCGGCATTCGCTTTCTCCCGCTTCAGATCTCTCTCTAGGGCATCGAGGAAGAGTCTATCATGGGGAACTGAGAACCTGACAGTCAGTATAGCTAAGGTTATTGCCGATACAACTTACCAGTAGAATACCTGCATTATCGGGTGGTTAGCTTCGAACTTCAGGTTGATGTGGTGTGAAGCGTACCTTTTGCTGTGGAATCAGCTCAGTTCTGACGATCCGAATGAATGACTCACCTTCTTCTGCGTCCTGATACAGGCATTCCGGAACAGCAGATCCAGAAAGGGTGACCTGGCTGTCAGACGGATACTACAAGATACTCACTTAGGCTCCTCGAGACACGCATCTGTGCCTGGTTTCAGGTTGCGCAGATCGGAGAACACGCCCTCTTCAAATCTGCGGCCCGTCAGTATACATCGCGCCATGACAGAACACTAAAGCTCACTTCTTCACATTCTGTACCGGGCGCGAGAAGGCCTCGAACCTGAACACCAGCGCTCGAACTGATCTTGTTAGATCGCGCAAACGTTTGACCTACCGATGTCTGTTCCAGTGATGTGGTAGAGGCCATTCCAAAACACACACGACACGTACTCTCCATTGAGGAGAGGAAAGCGGTTGAGGTTGGGGTGCCTGGCAGGAGCTCCCACCTGCTCAAAATCAGCGTTGACCCATGGCCCCAAAGGTCAATCCTGCTACTCACCGCTGTAGACACGGCATTATCGTCTGTCCCTGTCCAACGCGTCGGTGCCGTAGCAAGGAACTCCTTAGATCAGCTGGGACCACACGGATCAAACGATCAGGACGTACGAATTGCAGGCGACTCAAGTGTTTCACTAGCTGCGACTCCCTCTCGGTCAGCGAACGTGGGATCACCTGTTTCGGGGCAGGTAGGGGGGTATTGAGGTTCTGGTTGGCGCCTCGAGGCGTGGGTCTAGGTGTCAGGTTGATTCAGGAAGAGTGTATCTTGAGAGAGGAGCATGACTCACGAAGGACTTGCCCCGCTTCTCCAGCTTGGCGTACCCCCGGCGACGCTGCCTCCCGCCGAGTCGAGACTAGGTGCGAGGCCCACCGGCACGGGCCGAGTCTGGTCCTCCATGTTATCAAGGGCGTACATGATCGTTGTGCGTGGCGGCGGGGGCTTGTCCATGTCAGATGTGAGGAGTAATAAGGCACGTTTCAGCCATGTTTCATCGAGGCGCATCTTGCCTTGATCTTGTTTGAGAAAGGAGCTCCCAAAGAAAGGAGGAATTCCCCTTTTGTTTCAGATACTGCCACACCACCGAGATGTACCTCGCGAGGTACATCTAATCTCCATATCTCTCGTAAATCATGCCGTCAGAAGCAGATTACCTCTTCTGGCAATTCTTGGCAAATTGCAATCGCAGCGCCTGATAGCGAGCGCCTTTTGTTCGCATGAAAGTGCCTTTTGTTCAGTACGAACAAGAGACAACCTCACCAGGGAAGCCGCCCTGGCCCTCATATATATAGCCCATCGCAATGTCGTTCAAATCTGCCTCAGCTGTCTTTCCGCACTTGACAACATGCACGACACCGCCCTCGTCATCTTCACCGCGATCGCTATCGTCCTTTGCTTGCTGCCCATTCCAATGCAATGGCGCGCTCGTAACACGGGAACATTACTCAACATCTTTTGGAACCTCATCGGCAACCTGATCTGGTTCCTAAATGCCACCATATGGTGGGACAGGTTCGATAATCGGGCTCCGGTCTGGTGCGACTTCAGTGAGCTCTTTGGAGATAGTTGATACCGTTCTCAGCTCATGTACAGGCGTCAAGCTGCAAGCTGGTCTAGCGCCTGGCCTCACAGCCGCTAGTCTGTGCATCAACCGCCGTCTCGCATCGATCGCCATGTCACGGGCGGTATCCGCAACCCGGAACAAAAAGCGTATCGATCTCGCAATCGATCTATCGCTCGGTCTCGGTCTGCCCCTCATCCTCATGGGGTTGTCGTACATCGTGCAGATGCACAGGTACGACGTCTTCGAGGGGTTCGGATGCGAGATCCCCGTCTACCCTTCAATCCCGGCCATCTTCATCATCTATATCGTTCCCATTGTGCTAGGAATCATCTCGGCCATCTACGGTGGTGAGTGCGATCTACGGATTCTGGGCATGTTACGCCAGCTGATAGGCTGACAAACCAGCGATCGCTGTGGCATTCTTCCTCTCCCGTCGACTGCAGTTCAGTACCCTCCTCAAATCGTCGCAGAGCGGCCTCGATACCAACCAGTACATCCGACTGGTGTCCCTCGCCTCCCTAGACCTTTTCATCAGTTTACCACTCAACATCTTCTTCCTCGCTGTTGCAGCTCCCCTTGCCGCCGCCCGCCCTTGGCCCGGATTCGAGGACGTCCACTACAACTGGCATCGCGTAGACCTATTCGGCGCCGCAACGCTGGAGCAATACCCCTCCAGCATAATCATCCGAATGCTCACTCGGTGGATCTGCCCGACATTCGCCATCGTATTCTTCCTCTTCTTCGGTGTCTCGCGGGACGCCATCGCCGAATACGGCAGGTACTATCAGTGGGTGATCAGGCGGCTTCCTGGTAGATCGAGTAAACAAGGATCTGAGTGAGTACGATCTTGCTTACTACCGTCGTAATGATCTGACTTCTCCCAGCCCCGCTTTCGTCCCGGCACTAGGTTCCGCCGTCGCCGAGCCTGTAGGCGCAGAATGGGGAGTGAAGCGCTCTCAACGGGATGAACCTGTCAGCGACGCCTTGTCTGCACATGGCCAGTGGCATCCGAATAGCCGTAGCATGACTGTTCTCGTAAATGTGGAGAAGGAGACGGTCTGATTTTCGTAGCGTAAATGGCTATATCTAGTACCATGTAAATTCGCAGTATCCCTTCCCAGACACGTGTGCATGACCTTCGCTAGCTATTCTGTTTGAAGTCTAACAACGGCGAGAGTTGCCGTATCGCACAGGCAAGCGTGAGGAAATCGTGCTAAGTGATCAGCTCCGCATCACCACCTCTGATGGCCACATTGCTCACCTTTAGAAGTTCCGTGGAAGTCGCCCTAAAGCTGACATCCACACACAAGCACACCGACAAAAAGTGCTTCAGATCCTGACTGAGCTTTTCGGGCGTCTTGAGCGTAGGCGTCCCGTTGGTAGCGATGAGGTAGAGCGCCTTGAGCGGCTCCTCGTCGAGGTAGGGTGGTTCATTCTCAATCATCTCGATGGCCATGATGCCGAGGGACCAGATGTCGACCTTGGCGCCGTACTCCTTTTGCTTGACGACCTCGGGAGCCATCCAGTACGGGGTACCGACCATGGTGGCTCGTTTTGACTTTTGGTCGGTGAGCTTGGCGCAGAAGCCAAAGTCGGCTGAAGCGTTAGCTTGGTACTGGGAGGAGAGGAAAGGCTTACTGATCTTGACCTCTCCAGTCGAGTTCATGAGGATATTGTCAGACTTGATATCTCGGTGGATGATCGATCTGGAATGAAGATGTTGTAAACCCCGACATGTCTAGAGTCAGCTAGACCAGCAGGTCAACTCACCTCCAAGCAGATAGCAGCAATCTGATCCTCCTCCAACTTGTTGTTCTCAATCACATCCGTCAACGCCCCTCCCTCCATATACTCCATCACCACCCAGAGCTCCGAGCTGCGGACCAGGAAAGAATCGAGGAAATTGACGACGTTTGGATGTTGGCTTTCGCGCATGACGATGATTTCGTTGACGATGAGCTCTTTGCGGGGCTGTTGCGCCAGGTCCATCTGCTTAATGGCGACCTTTTTGCCGGTAGCGAGGGTCTTGGCGACAAAGACGAGTCCGGATGCACTGGCGTCAGCTCTGCCTTGACCAAAACTCACCCTTGTCCGACTTTCTTGATCTTCGAATACAGCGTGGACGGGTCGACATCTGAAACCACCGAGCGTAGCTTCTCCATGATCTGGGCCTCATTCATGCTGCTGATACGCCGTTCTGGACGGGCAGTGCTGGCTGCTGAGGGTGCCGGAGCTTTGGGTTCTGGTGGAGGGCGTGGGGCGGGTTTGGGTTGAGCCTCGACGGGTTTGGGGGCAGGTGCGCGAGGAGGAGCAGGTGCTTTGCGTTCGGCGACCAGTGGGCGGGTAGGCTGTCATCAGCGTTGCCCTAGCTCATGCTCACCTCTCTTGATTCGCTTGGCCGTTGGACGTGACGACTCGAGCTGCCCTGGGCATGATTCTGCGAGTTGCTCCTCTGCCTTTGCTCCTCCTCTCTTTCTCTTTCGCGATCCATCTCCCGCTGTCTCTCCTTCTCCCTAGCCGCCTGTCGCTCGCGCTCCTTGTCCGCCTCGCGCCGTCGGTCCTCTTCCCTATCCCTGTCCCTCTGCAGCAGCGCAAGTCGTTCCCTCTCGCGCTCCCGCTCCTGCTGCTGTTGTTGCTGATGTTGAGGTTGGCCGGCCAGGCCGACGCCCTCGAACCGCATCGCCGCCGCGCTGGTCGTCCTGCTCGGAGCGGGTAGTGTAGGTATAGATGCTGGCTTTTGTTCCGAGGTGTTGCCGTTCATTTGGTGCGTGTAGAACTTGAGCGCATCGAGGACGCCCTCGGGGTTTCGCGCCGCTTCTTCCTTGGTAATGGCCGAGCTAGTGAGGAGTTTGGACCATTGTGGTGGGAGACCCTGCCATCAGCTTTGCCTTCATACGTACTCACGGTGAATCCTCCTGAGATTGGGTCAAAGCCAACATGTACTTGATGTACAAAGTTGGTAGGCTGACTGACCCCCATCAACGGGGATCGCGAGTACAGGTCCTCCATCCACGCATAGACCTCCTCGTCTGTGCGGAACGCAAAGTAGTAGAGCTTGTCCTTGCCCTCGACTTCCAGGCAGAATGGCTTGAGATCGACGCGTTGAATATCCTTGACCTGCTCGAGGTCGACCAGATGTTGCGGAGAGGATGCTTGCTGATTATCAGCCCTTTCCCCCTGATCCACTCACTTCATTCTTAAACACCTGCAGCTCGTTCCCGCCTAGGACCAACCACTTCTTGGACCACAAGAAACTCCGCAATCCCTCCTCCTTCATGCTCGCCTGTCCAGTCCGGACGACGGTGTTCCGACTGACGGTCCGCGCGGGCGATAGCGCCGACGCCGAGTTCATAATGGGGAATGAAGACGCGTACGCCGAGCTGGAAAAGTTGGATTTACCACCTGTTGAGCCGGGTCCGGGTGGGGTGTTGTTTCTGGTATGCGAGGAGGAGGATGTGGAGCGATTGTAGGACGCGCTGGGAGTGTTATTGCCCGAGCCGGACCGGGACGGGGGAGTTGGGGCCGGACGCGAAGGAGTGAGCGAGGAGAGATTGTACGACATGGCGATGGTGGTGCCTTGATTCAAGTTGGCAGTTGACGCTAGCTATAGCTGTGAGACAGTGTGACGTCTGCCGTGGATAGATCTAGCCTAGATAGATGGAGATGTGACGAGTCAACAGAAGCGGGCGAAAGGAAGGTTGAGGCCGAGGTTCGCGTTCCACCTCGACGCGATCCCTGCGCCCTGCATGCCGTACACAAGCGGGGCAGTCTCTACGGCAAACCGACAAGCCCAACGTCCACTATAGATACAGCTAGATCTCCCCCTACGCGCTACCTTGTGAAGCGACTCGTCAAGCCCCTTGTCTTCTTGGGATTCTCCATCTTGACCACGCTCATGATCTGGATCTGCTGCGCGAGGAACTCTTGCGTCCCAGCTCTAGTTCATCAGCCATGCCCCTCGCTGCCAAGGTAGTACTGACCTCATTCGCAAGATCCGCATGATCATCTCGGTGTTGTTCCCTCCCTGATTCATCGCCTTCTTGGCCGACTTTCTCGCCTTGATAGTCCCCAGATTCCGCTGAGATAGCAAGCTCTTGCTAGGCCGGGTCGCACGGTGCTTGAGCGTAGATTGGAACCCCTTGATACATTCCTGCAGGTCAGCTCTGACCACAAGCCCTGACTCAAGACTCACCTCCATAAGATCGTCCGTCGCCCAGTCGTAATAGATCCTCAAACTCATAATCTCATTATACTTGGTCGTCTGTAGCGTCGCGAGCGGTACCCCGCCTTCCGCCCCTCCCGCATAAAAGAAGTCTCTCAAGAACTTCAACCACTTGAGCGCAATATCCAGCTCCCCATCGCCCAGAGCGCGCAAGTGACTCGGCTTGTCGCTCAGTGGAGGCACGATGAGCGCCTCGATGGTCATCAAGATCTGCTTCCACAGCTTGGCCATCACGCTCTGCATCGCGTCCGCCGAGAGCGTCGATGCGAGGGTATGGTTGTTGGCGTCAAGATAGTCAAAGAGGGGGTGAATGGCCGTTTCGATCTCGGCGTCAGAAGGTGGTTTGCGGATAGGCTTCTCGGAGGAGGGAAGGGGGATAGAGTAGTCGTTGGCGCCCATGGCGGACCGGTACGCCGCCGAGATCTTGTCGAGGGCTTGATTATAGTCGAGAGGGTTGGTCGCGCCGGGAGGTTTCAGGACGGACTTGATGGATGCTCTAGACAGAGTGTGTCGCAGAACAGGAGTCATCTGAGAGTCAGCCAAATCCCAACTGTCGGGACCTGGACTCACCTTGTCGACAAATATCCGCACCATGTCTGACTCGGTCCGCTTCAGCCACCTGAAGGCACGACCGAAATGGAACTGGATATCGTCCCTCTCCCCCTCCATACTGATCCGCAACAACAAGTGCCCCCTCGTGTCCAGCGGCAACAGCACTTCCCTCGAGATGAGGTCAACATGCTGGCTTGGGTCAAGGCGGAGGTATGATCGACCGAGCAGATCATGCTTGCCCGTCAAATTCCGGTGGCGGAGAGTAGCCATGAACCACGCGCTGCCCTTGACGGGGATATCGAACGTCTCGTCCCAGCGCGGATCTGCGTCGTCGTAGATGGTCCGAGTTTTGGCGTAGCGGTTCCCGTGCTCGTCGGAAAGGATGACAAAGGAGTCCGGGAGCTTGGTGGACCCGTCCACAGCGAGGCCCTCCGCAAGAACGACCTTGACGCTGAAGAGGAAGTTGACGCCGTCGGCAGAGGACTCGAGGCGCGGAGTCGTCTCCGTTTCGTACGCCGCAAGATCGTCGACCCGCATGTCCTGGTAGAGCTTGTCGAGTTGTTGCCGGGCAGCCTCGATGTTGTTGAGCTTGACGCAGGACTGATTGTCAGCTAAGATGCATTGGTTTTAGCTTACTGCTGGGGTGAAGTTGAAAAAGGCGGTGATTTTCCGCTCGCCTTGCAGACTGGCAATGGTCGATTTGGCCTTTTCGATCCACGCTCTTTGCTTCGCCTCCGCCTGGGCAGGCTGCTGGACATCGTTCTGTCTCATGTCCGCCGCGAAGAGCTGCTCAATCTTCTGGCAGTAGTCGTTAATGGAGATGCTGAAGATCTGGCTGTCAGCTCCACCCAATGAGGTCGTAGAGGTAGACGCACCTTTGCTAAGCGGGTGGCAAAGTTGGCGAGCTGATGCTCGTCTGGCCAAGCCAAGTCCATCAGGAAGTCGCTGGCGGAGCGGAAAGAGTCGAACAGATCGGTGACGGAGGATGACGGGCCATTCTCTTTGATGGGCTCGAACTAGAAGTCAGCTCAGGCCTCGAGTCATTTGTGCTTCGCGTAGCTCACGGTGTCAATAGCCAATGCCTATGATGTCAGCTCTACGAGCACTTGATGCGCCTGACAGCTGACTCACCGAATCTGCCCATTGCCTAGTCTTGAGCGCCGTCTCGTTCAGCCACATCCCGACCGTACTCTCAAACATTGGTGCCACGCTGAAGTTGAGCGGATCGCTGAAATGTCAGCTAGTTACTTTAACGCTGTCCCAAGTACTATAGCTCACTTTGAAAAGGCATTGCCCATATCCACCAGCTTCCCCGCCAATCTGTACAGCACAAACGCCTCCTCCATGCTATACTCCACCCCTTCTGGCGGTGGCGCCCGCATCGTATCCTCGAGATCCCGAAACCACAGCGTGAGCTGCTGCACCAGGACCAGCGAGACGATATCAACGTTCCTACGAGCGTCAGCTAATCTTCCGGTTCGGAAATGGGCCAACTCACTCAGCCAGAGGCTCCTTGAACTTCTTCATGAGCTTCTTTGCCCCCTTCTCAATCCACTCCCCCATGGCCATAGCGAACGCCCGCGTCTTGCCTCCCTCGTGCTCATACCGCTCACTCGCTTCCCCGATGTACAGCTTGTACGCCTGTATCCTCACGCGCTCAATGATGCTTTTGGCAGCGCGGTCGAGTGAGGGGTGTTTCGCAACGTCCGAATCGGCCAGGCCGAGGTAGTCGGTCACGGCTTCTTGGAAGTCGGGGGAGAGGTAGCCGGTCTCGACGTGGATCAGGGCGGTCTCGATAGCGGTAAGGAGGCAGATATCTCGTCTGAGGAAAGCCGCTATCAGGCCGTCTCGCTATTTGTCAGCTCGGGTATGCCTTCTCCAGAGCATGAGATGCTCACGTCTGATATCGCCCACTGATCAATCGGCATCTCCTCCGACACCTTAGCCACCATTCCCGTCGCCTCATGGACACACGCCGAAGGCACCAGCCCCTGCTCACACCGATCCACTATCGCCTCCAAAAACACCCACGCCCTAAAGCTCGGAGGTATCCTCCAGCGCGTCGCGCAATCTCCTAGCAGAGTGACGTGCTCCGCACTCAACACCCCCAGCGACACATCCTCATCCTCCGGCAACGTCTTCAACACCTCCAGGTCCCAGTCCAGGCACACCCACAATAGCTCTCGGTACGTCTCGCGTGGATCGGGCGGTATAAAGGTGAATGGCGATTCTGTAGAATTTCCATTGACTTTGAGGCCAACCATCCGCGCCGAGAGGTCGCCGTTGGAGTATCGTTCTCGATCTGACGTCTGGACGAGGGCGGGGTTGGACTGCATCATCGTGAGCATCATAGAGGAAAGGGTGGAGACTTCGGCCGCGCGGTATGCTGCCCAGGTGGAGGGTTCGGCAAAGTCGGACGGGCCGTACGGGAAGGGTTGGTCGGTATTCAGCAATTTCAGCACGTTCTGCATCGTCAGCTTCATCCTACGTGTACACTGGACTAGATGCCTACCTTGAGATCGTCCAGCGCTGCAGCTTCGGTACAAGTCCCCTGCATATCCCTCAACTTTCCCGCCAGCGCGTCCTCGTGCATCCCAAACAACTTCCACACCGCGTCCGTGCCCTTCCCCTTCAACCCCGTCGAACTGGTATGGCTCGCCTGAGACGCCCCAAAGCTGCGTACCGACTCCCTATCCCCATTCTCCTTCCCGAGCACCACCTGCGCCGGTACCGGCTGAATGACCGGTGGAGGCGGGGGCGGCGCGTCCTTCAGCCGGTCCTTGTAGCTCTCTAGCCGGCCGAGGAGCTCCGATGGCGCGCCGCCGGTGAGGTGTAGTGAGTCGGCGAGGAGGGAGATGAAGAGTGATATTTGAGTGTTGAGCTCAAACTTCCACTGTCCTTCGGGAAGTTGCGGGTCGTCCTTGAGCGATTTGGTAGCGGTAGTGACGAAGGGCAGGATGATATCTTCGATTTTGCGCGAATCCTTCAGTTGGCGCTGGAAGGTCTCTTGTCCCCATTGTTTCCCCCAGAACAGCGCCGCCGCACGTCGGAATCGAGCATCAGAGTATCTGCAAAGTCAACTTATTACCCAATAGTACGGCCATCATAGCTCACTTGGTCTCCTGCCCCATCGAGATCCGCTTCAACTTTTCATCCAGAATCTTAATCGTCTCCTTTGGGTACTTGGACTTGCTCCCTTCCCGCCCCATCAGGCCCGACAAGTCGAACGCAAAGAAGCCGCCCCCGCCGTCCGCGCTCCGCCTATGCGCGACGGGCGCCGGACTCGAGGTGCTCGCGCTGGCATTCCCGTTGATTGTGGAGGATGAAGGACCGGCGCCATTCGTGCTGGTATGCGAGGCAGCCGAGGGGAGACCAGCAGCGACGGAGGACTCATGAGTGGCCAGGCGGCGCTCGAGAAGGATCTGCAGAGCTGCGACGCGGAGGGTGTACCTAGATCATGTCAGCGGGGTTCGCGTTCGGCGCGGAGAAATCAGGTGGCGAGCTGTGTCGACTTACTCGAGGCATGTAGGAACGGTCGACATATTGGCGATACGATATCCAGAGCACTCTTCGCTGGAACGGAGTCCTCTACGCGCTATGCGGTACCCCAACTGTAGGCTAGATGACCTGCACGATGTTGTTGTTGAGATTTCTGGCTGCTCGCTTCGCCGCTTGTCTTGCCTGGCGCAAAGCTGAGTGTGGCAGTTACGTCACACCTGTGCCACCCAAAACAGATCCCGCCTGTATCTCCTTGCCATGGGTGTGGAGTGGGCGCCATGCAGCCGTGTGCGTACTGCGTGAGAATGCTCAGGCTGAAGGACAGCAGATAGGAGACTGCCATCTACTGGTTGTACTCGTTACATAGTAAATATGAACGAGGAATAGGGAAAATCACCCAAATTGCCTTGATCGCTCATCCGCGATCCCCCTGGTCCTTGCAGCCCCAGCGCTCTCATTGCAGCTCCCACCCACCCACACTGACCCTCCGTGCAGTCCTCGGCCCAACAGCCAGCCCATCATCCTTCTCGAGCCTCAGCATTCCCCTGGCCGCCCTCAGACCATTCTCGTACCCCATCGCGACTCCTTTCTTGCTAAGTACCTGAGCGCGTCTCTTTGTACTCGCCACCCTCTTCCCGCCACCGTCAGCCGCCTTGGGTGCAGCTATCTCGAGTCCGCGGATGACCTTACGGACAGTGCGTGCTGTCCAGCCTTGACCGCTCAGGATGGCATTGGCCGACCGAGAGACACCGAACGACGCGGATGTGGCTGAACAGGGTATCTGTAGCGCGCGGGCGCGGGGATTCATCGGCCTGATCATGAGCGTACACTCTTTCGAGATTAGACAGAAGTCAGAGACGTACATCCCCGTCTTGACTTTGAGTCCAGCCTTCTTCCTCTCTCTCCATCCGCCCTTCGTTGCTCCGCCTGACTGCGGGAAAGCGGGCACGAATGCGCTCAACGTGCCAGTGGCCGGTACATCCTCTCGATTCTGGTTGCTATGGGTAGCAGTGATACCGCCATGCTGAGCCCAGATTGAGAGGGGACCGATAGCTGTAGATGCGCCAAGAGCTTGTGCCAGACCTGATTGTAGAGTGAGCTTGGGGAGGGTGGAGTGCTGCGGAAAGCGGGTGGTCAGCTCGATTGGGATCGGCCTGGACGTCAGCTATTCAGCTTGATCTCGACGGGTGTGGAGACTTACATAGTGTCCAGTGGATGAGGGTCCTCTGCAATGCTAAGGAAGCTACCTTGGACGTATCGCCTGCTCGATCAGCTTGATCTCCTACAGATCCACCATGCAGAATCACTTACTCCATCGCACGATGCCCCTCCCCGCCCACTCCCGCACCCCCACTTTCCAACTTCTCGCCCTCCTCCCATATCCCCCTCAGATGCATCCCCATCACCCGCCTGCGCCGATCCCACCTGATCCCCGCTTCATGCAGCTCCTCCGCCAGCCGGATACTCTCGCTCATCAGCCCCTTGGGGGATGTTCGGACAGGAAAGAGAGACTGGTGGAGGAGCAGAGTGAGCTGCCGGGCTTCTTGGAGGGACAGAGGGCGGTAGATAATTTCTTTGAGGAAGATCGGGGAAGGTGAGGGAGAGGCGGCGCAAAGACAAGGTGAAGGAGGGGAGATGAGGAGGGTGGGGATGTCGTATGGGTAGGTATTGGCCAAGCCGGGGGAGAGGGCGAGCGCGGCAAACAGGTCCGAAGGGGTGTGAGGGGTGATGGGCGCTTGGGCACAGATCTGAGATATGTAAGTCATCTTGAGCGATATCAGTAGAGACAATGAGCTGTGATATACTAGTCGGTAGCAGGAGGATACCGAGGTCGGCCCCACCTCGTCCGGCTTCATATACGATCGGACGAGACCACCCAGCCGAGACGAAGCCAGACATCCCTGGTCGCCATGGCTAAAACAGCCAAAGGATCTCGATGATACGCGTCCCATCTCATCGCCTTCCCCTGGTAGAGAGTAGACAAAGGACATTCATCACGTCAATCATCATTGTCAGCTTCGTGCCGTCAGCTATCAGCGTCAGAACGAGTCGATGCTTCAGTAGCGGTCAGCAACAGCACCATCGCTATATCGCAGCTCCACGGACTGGCCACTGAACTTACCAGCTGTGGGCCGTGAGGCCTGGTCCCGAAGTCTACCATCTACTGCTCTAGCCCTCTATAGTCCCTTTACTTCCTAGCTTCAGAGCTCTATCCCCTGTTTGTAGTATTCCCCGCTCCCTTCTTGTTCAGCTCTCCGTACTGCGCCCAATACTCCTCCTTCAGCAGTCTCTCCTCATCTGCCTCATCTCCACGCATCGTACCGTCATTTTCCGCCTCCAAAGCCAGCAGCTCCGAATTGGTTGGCGCGTCATATGAAGCTTGCCTACGTATGTTAGCTATGTCGTGCACTTACACCAGACTCAGTATAACGGAGGAAAAGCAGCGATCTAACTCACCCTCCACCGGTAATCACATTCCCCCGCCGCTTCTCCTCATCCAGATACTCATCAATTGTCATAGTAGGCAACCTGTGTCCACTCCTAAACACCTCCCCCTTCAACCTCTCCCTATCCGACAACTGGCTCGTACTCGGTAATATCGTAAACGGCCTCAACACCCTCCCGCCGCCCGAGATGAGCTCTCTGGGGCGATACCCCGCCGCTGACCTATCGAGGCGCCAGGTATTGTCGTTTTCTTCTTCTCTGGGTGGGGCGGATGATCCCGAAGACGAAGCAGCTGGATCGCGCGGTGCAGAGGCGAGTAGTTCGAGCTCCATCGTGTTGTGTCCGAGGGAGGCGAGGGTCAGGGTGTGTAGGAGGCGTAAGAGAAGGAGGGTGTTTTCCCGGGTGTGGGCGTCAGGTTCGGGGTTGACAGATGTGGATGTGGAGGAGCGGGCGTTGTGCGTAGGTGAAGAAGGGAGGAGGGCGATGAGCAGTGTAACGGGATGAGAGGAGCTGTCTACCTGGCCGGGAAGAGCCGCCTGGAATATCAGCTCTGTATGGTAATATCATCACACATCCGCAAGCTCACCGAGATCTTCTCACGCAGTTCCTTCTCCCGCTTGTATTGCCGGATCTTGGCTTCCCGTTTCTGCGCCGGGTCGCGAGGAGCAGCCCGGGAGGTGCTATCTGCCATAGCGGAGCTCTCGGCCTGCTCCTCTGGCGAGAGGACCCCGTAAGCGGATATAAGCTGCAAGAAGGAGCTGTACGCCGTCTAGCTTGGTCAGCTTGGGTCCAGCTCTTCCAGTACCGAAGGCCGCGGAGTATCTAGCTCACATCTGATCTTCTTAGACATGCCATCCGCTCGTCCCATCCCCCTAAACCAGTCTTCGCCTCCACCTCTCCCAAAATCCACCCAGTCGCCATGAACACCAACTCCCCATCGCCCAGCTCCTCCACGCCTTCATTCTCCGAGAAGACGCCCAGGGAGGTAATCATCCGCGCCACGAGATAGAGATCGTCCAGACCTTCTGCGAGGATGGCTTGGGCTGCTGGGCTGGAGAGGGGCTGTTCATCGTTGAGGATAGGAAGGAGGGTGTGGAGGGTTTGCGAGAGGAACAGGGGGAGGGGGAGGTTGGTGGGGTCCGGCATTTCGAAGTTAGCTCTAGCTAAGGCTGGAGACTAGTCGCGATGACAAACTCGATTGCGGCAGATGATTCCTACGAACTGATCCACCAATGACAGCGGGATAAGCAAAGTGTGAGATGCTCGAACGCTCCAGCTGCTCCAGCTTCTCTCGCTCTCTGGAACTTGGTCGTGACGTAACGAGGAATGCAGCGCTACTGATCGACTGATCAGCGCTGATGCACTGATGCAGATAGATGATGCCCGCCTGGCCTGGCCTCTGGCAACACCATAGCGCATTCTCTTGCCTGGTCCCCTCCGGCGACGAGAGCTTCTATGATGTGTGAAGAGTACCGATGTAATGCATACAAACAATGTTCGTGCTCTCCTCGCGTAGCCCAGTCCGTCCCGCCTCGTCGACTCAATCCTCCAGGGCAAGCTTTTCGTCAATCTCCTTGAGGAAGGCGTTCAGCTCCTGTCAAAGTCAGCTTTACGCTCAGAGCAAACACACGCTACTAGAGCTGATGCAAGGGAATGGTCAGCTGACCTTGTCCTCTGGCTCGAACTGCAACCCATCGACCAGTGCGTCCCGCGCATCCTCTACCCTGTTCAGTCCAACAAGGGCCCGGGCTTTTCTGTAATGTCAGCTGACGCTCATTCTCTGACAGAGACAGACATGCATCCGACTCAGCTCACCTGAAGTGTCCCTTTGTCCATGGTCGCTTAAGCAGAATCACCGCCTCGGCATCGGCAAGCGCATTCGCCCTGTCCAGTCAGCCTAGGTCCTCACCGCCCAGATCAAACCCAAACCACACTCCCCTCCAAGCTCCAGGCCCAATAGGATGGGAAGATGCTCACCATGCTCCCGCAAATGCAAATGCCGCACTCCGATTACACAGCGCAATCGCCGTTTCCTCCTTGCCCACCGCCGCTGGCTCCCATGGCGGCCGGGAGAGAGCCATATCTGCTGATCGCGAGTACATGTTGATTGCTTGTGGGAACTGTTGTGCTTTGAACGCGGCCTGATCATCAGCTCCTGCTCAACGGCTCATAATGTCGAAGTCTGCCGGCTCATTCCAACGCATCCCCACGCCTCCTTTGTTGGCTGGACCGCATTCTTGCTCACTCCTCCAGACAGCCTGAGACCCGCCAGATCCTCCAGCTACCCCATCATGCAGGCGTTGGACTCACATTCCCCTGCTCCTTTGCATTCTTGATCATCTCCGCCCTCTGCGGTGGAGGCGCCATATTTGGCGGTGGAGGAATCGCATCTGTCGGCGCGGCGCGCATGAACTGCTGCATGAAGTTCAGGGCATTATAGTCCACGCCGCATTCGGGACAAACGACCTTTTGATGCGCCGGACATATCACGATTTGCTGGGTCTGAGGAGGGTTCGAGCCAGGGATGGGGACCTCGGCGACAGCGAAAGGGAGCTGGGTTGAGGGGAGGGAATCAAGGAGGGCTGTCAGCGCGGGGTTGGCTGGGATGGAGGGCGGTGGTCCCGGCTGTTGTGGGTGGGGGTGGGGATGTGAGTGGGGTTCTGCTGTTGACATGGTGACTGGGTGTATGGGGTGGATGGAAAGCTTAGGCAGCTCTGATCTGAGCTCTGAGCTCTGAGCGTTCCTCGCCTCGACACGTCTAATGGAAATGACGCACGGACCATTACTGTAATTTAGATTCCGCTAATAACCCGAGTCCAGTTACGTCATTTGTATTGTTTACACGATATAGCTCGTCCATACGGTAGAGCTCCTTTCGCCACCACTCCGCTGCCTTGTCCTCCCCAGCAGCCATCTCCCCCTCTCCCTCTCCCCCCGCTCCCCTCCTCCTCGTCTCAGCACCATAAAGACCACCTGAAACATCCCCCCACTCTTCACATCGCCCACATACCTTCTCGATATCTTATCTCTCCCATATCAAACTTGAAACATTAACATGTCGTAAGTCCACTCACCCACTCATCTCACCTTCCCAACTCCTAGCTGACAACAACAGCACCAACTTCTCTGGCGGCCTCAGCGGCCGGCGCCGAGCCGACCTCGTTGAGATCGCTGAAGCCCTTGGTCTTGACACTTCCGTCACCGTCGTCGAGCTCAAGGACAGCATCCAGAAACACCTGGATGATAATGAGGCGGACTTGTCGACCCAGCCGAGATTCAAGGGATTGTATGGCCGGCGCCGGTGAGTCTGGACCAGGAGTGTTTAGGGACAATGTTGATGAGACCAGCACGAGCAGGAACGACGAGTCCGACACGGACACCGTATCTGGCGAAGGCAAGGCGGAGGCCAAGTCTGTCGCTCGGACGGCTCGCAAGTCGATGAGCCGAGCAGTGGACCGTGTCCAGGCTACGTTCGACGCCGCGGGTATCCCTCTTCCGGACACTCCGTTGGCGTAAGTCTCCCGCCTTTACAGTGCTACCGTCAAGCTGACTCGCTAGCCACAAGGTTGCTGGAGTCGCCAACAAGGCTGCGGAAAGCGCAACCGAAGTCGCAGCACAGACTGTCGATCTGGCCAACAACGCCGTCGTGGCCGCTACCAACGCCTCCCAGGCCCTCGTCCCCACCAAGCAGACCCAGCGCCAGCTCCGCCAGTACTGGAACAAGACCTCGAACGTGGTCATGAAGTACGCCAACGAGGGGCAGAAGCGGGTCGACGTGGGCGTTACGCCCGTCCGAGAGGTGTGTCCTCCCCCTCTTCTCCTGCTCCGCGCTGACAGGCAGTTCCTCTCGAGCCCCCAGAACCTCATCGTCGCCTTCCTCTCGATCGAGCTCGCGCACCTCCTCCTCACCTCGTCGCAGTCGTACAACCACACCCTCTTCTTCCCGCCCGCGGGCGGATCGACCGGCTCGCTCGACTCACTTGTTGGCGGTCTGTTCTCCTGGGCACCCAAAGTACAGTTCACGATCCGTGTCCCCGAATGGGCCAACTGGAGCTCTACCAGCCAGGTCTGGGGCGCTCTGTCCTGGTGGTATGTGATGCGTCTCCGCCCTCTGCTGGTGAACCTCGCTAATGAGCAGGATCATGGGCACCGTCGTTCCCGCTCTGGCCGGGTCTAGCCTTATCCAAATGACCCACCCTGCCAAGCACAAGGGCGTCACTACTCGCCACCAGGGTAAGCTAGCCCATCCTGTCCTGATCCACAGCACCAGCTGATATCGCAGCCGCCCAGCACAAGCAGACCTTCGACCCCCTCGTCTTTGCGTTGCTCCGCTTCTTTCTCCTTCTGTGGCCCCTCACCACCGCCGCGCCCACCGCCATGGTCGACGCCCTTGAGATGACGGGCAATCTCCAAGGTCGGGCGCTCGCCGCTGGGCTCATGGCCGGCTTGGTCGCTGGCCAGCAGTTCTCCAACTCAAGCTAGAGGGAGGTACACGTCAAGGCAGGAGAGGAGGATGACATGTGTGGTCCCCTCATTTGAGGTGACTACCTGAGGCTCAAGAATATCTTGTGTTTGTTGTGGTACGGAAGGGATCGATGATTTGTGCGAGCTCTGGAGGAGACGCGATGGGGAGGAATTCGATTTCGACGATTTGTGACTGAAATTTGCTTGGATATGTTTGACCGAGATTTGGGGGCCTGAGCAGCTATCATATGGAGAAGTAGCCAATATATACCCAGCTTTGACTTGAGATACATGTATGTCGAATGATCACGAGTCGTTACCTAGACTCCCAGCTGTCCATCGTAACGTCTCGCGACCGCATCAAAGTCGATCGTTGCCCGTTCATACACTTATACAATCCATACTAGTCCAGATAGACCGCTCTTGACAAAATCACCTCGCCGTCCCAAATCCAACCTCTCCCCTCCCTCTCTCCAACACTTCCAACAACCCACCCGCCGCATGCCGAACATCAAACCCCTCACTGTTGTCCATCAATTCCTGTACTCTCGGGCGGAGCTGATAAGGCAGAAACAGCTCCAGCATGGCTTGTCGGGGCCGGCGTGATCGCGTCGAGGCTTCGATGAGGTGCCGAAGGGTTTTGAGGGCGGCATGCTTGACGTCGTCCGAATTTGAGTTCTGCTGATCAGCTTGAGCACGATCCCTCCAGGAAGTCCAGCTCAAGCGGAGTAGAGACATACCAGAGCATCACTCAGCCCCTCGATGAGGTCGACATGCGAGACCAGCGCCTGACGCATCCGCTCGTTCCCCAAAGCGAGATTCGCCACTGTAAAGAGCGCCTAAACCGTCAGCTTCCCGGCAAGAGTACGTGGGCGAGAGAGAGACTTACAGCAGCCTGCATATCTTGATCTTTATCCCTCAACCCGGACTGGAGGACATCCAACAGCCGATCCTCTCCAAACGCTTCTGTAGTCCGACTGAGCTCGGCCGGCGTTTGATCCGCCACCAGGTTCCGCAATATGCAGAATGCCTGGACCCGGAGTGGGGTGGGCGTGGATGGCATCATCAGGCTATATGTCAGCTACGGTCCGATTGCAGGATTGAGGGTTGAAAGTACTTTTTGAGTGGAGCATATCCCATCTCGGCCATGACGGATGCCTTGATCCCTTCTGCCGCCCGGAACGTGAGATTCTTCACTGCCCAGAGCGCATTGAGGGCGAGTGGTTCATGTGGTGACCGAGTGAGCGAAATGAGCAGGCTCAGACCTCCATTCGCTAGGAGTTTCTACGCTCATCAGCTCTAATCATCCCGGCGCACATCAGGCGGAAACGAACTTACGGTCCGTAATGGTGAAAAGTCAGGCACAAGATTGCACAGCGTCCCCATCGCAGCGACCTCTACCGCCCAACCCCTATCTTCCGAACTGACCCCTTCGTCCATCCCGACCCGCTCGCCCGCACCTTCCCATCCCGACCCACTACATTCCCGCCTCAACAGCTCAATCACCTCATCCGCTACGCCCGAGTCGATCAGATTCGTCCGCAGAACCGCTATGCTGCGGCTGAGCGCGCGAGCGAGTTGACAACCTCCCGCTCGGACACCGTAAGATGGGTGTCGGAGTGCTCGGAGCAGGTGAGGGAGGAACGGGGGCTGATATTCTGCGATAAGGGCGCGATTGGATTCGGTCTGGAAAGCCAGGGCGGCGAGTGCGAGGAGGATGGACTAGATGTCAGCTACGCCAATTGTCCCGCCAGGTAAGTAGCGGTAGCTTACTTCTCGAGCTCGGCTAGCGGGGTCGCTACCCAGTTCATCTCGAGACTCTTCATCTTCGAGCTTGACATAGAAGCCCAGTAATGCAGTCGGACATCCGCGATCTGCTGCCGCCCGCTGTAGACTAGACTCATCGCTCACCAATGACGCTGAGGTATCAGCCTGACTCTCCCCGCACCCGCATTTACCCTTGGACGGGCCATCAACGTACCTAGCACAAAGCACAGCTTGATCCGATCTTCCACCCCATCACCCTTCAATAGCTCCACAATGACGTCAAGAGTATGCCGCTTGAGTACACCGCGCCTGACACTGGTGTCTTCGATAGGCGAAAGCCCAGCCGGACACTCTGCTTTGACAAGATTGGTGATGCTACCTGTCAGCTGTATCCAGCGCTCAGTCTCCGCTGCTAGATGTGGTGACAAGACTTACCAGCTCGCAGCGGCGATTCTGACAGGTGTCGATGCCCCACCCATCAACCCCCTCAGCTCACCCACAAATCCCTCCTCACTCTCATCGATCCCTTCCGACCCACCTGCGACCGGCCAGTCACGTACTACCGCCGCCAGATCCGGCTGTCCCTTCAACAAAGCAGCAAGGAGGTCCAGAGTCGCTTCTAACATCTTGGGATTCCGGCGCGCTGTACTTGCGCCGCCCGGTAAGCCCGGTATGCCGCTAGAAGGAGCCGGCGGCGAGATCGTGCTTAGCAAGTGGGCGAGAATGTATGGTGTACCCTTGGGACCGGACCTGGTTGATGCGGGCGAAGTGGTAGAGCCCGTCAGACGTGTATTTGAGGAGCTGAACAAGAGGGAAGAGGAAGTTTCCGACGACGAGGGGTGGTGTTTTGGCGGAGACCAGCTAGCGAGGGCTTCGCGGTGTGAGGGGAGGGCGATGAGCCGGGCTAGGAGTTGGTATAGCGGTAGCATGATTTGAAGATTTGTCGAGTAGTCCAGGAGAGCGAGGAGCGTGTCGAGGTTCTCTTTCTGCCATCGTCAGATGCTTGTCGAATACAGAGGCGAGGGGTCCACTCACCTCAAATACCATCGACAGAACGCCGGCGGCCATTCCTTTCCCTCCGCCCCCACCAGGACCTCTGTCCACCTCCTTCCCCTTCGCCTTCTTCGCCGCAGTGGCGCCACCCCCCGTATCTCCGGCCTCGGACACCCTGCTTTCTCCCGGCCCGGCCAGGCCCGTATCCACCACCCTTCGGCGCAGGCTCACGCCCCGCATGTACCCCCAAACCAGATCCGCTGTGGCCACCAAGACGTTCCTCAGTGCCCTCAGCAGTGCTGACAGTAGACGGACCCGGTCGGAGGCTGAGAGACGCCGAGAGTTGGAGGTGGCTCGAATACAGTTTAACAGACGAGTAGGGGCTTGGGAGAGGAGAAGGGGGCGCAAGGTGAGCGTTCCGACTGGAGGGATCAGCTTGCCTTCCGGGCGCCTGGCGAGCGCGAGCGAGGGATTGTTAGCTCACCATTTGATAGAGCGCCAATGATGACTGCTATTTCGACAATGATATCGATGGAAGCGGGATTGGCTATGGGGTCGACCGGTAGTTCTAGCCATTGCAGCAGACTGCAGTGGTCAGCTTGCACCCCTAAGTCGGGCCGAAACAGGCAGTCCACAGGCTGCTACGGTCTACGACGGTAGCCGAGCGCGACTGCACACAGAGTGCGCCGCGGAGTCAATAGCATAGATCCACTCACAAGGCCAACACCTCATCATCTCCCGCAACCTGCACCTTCTTCCACGTATTCCCAATGACCGAATTCTTCAGGTCCTTCAGGACGACCAGGAGGTCTCCACTTGAGTGAGCAGCTGCCAGTGTGCCGATCGTCGTCGCTGCCATGATGCTGTCGTGACGGGATAAGGTGCAGATCCTGCCATGGAGACCGGCTGTGCTTGGCTCGTGATCATCCCGCACCTCAGGCAGATCCGTGCGTCAATTACGAGATGAGGAATGAGGAGTTGCGAGATTAATTGGGGCCTACTGAAGCTGTCGAGCCTAGGAACGAGACAGGCCGAGTAACACTGTGCAGCCTGCGCAGATCTTTGCACTTGGTCACCCAAAGTCCTTTATATGCATTATAGATCGTCTTCCGCTGCGTTTATGATAACCCCCTACTCCGCCCCAACGACATAAACCACCTCGCTCGGCCTGACAAAAAGCGCCCTCAGCCCCTCTTTGCCAACCCACTCCCCCTGGCCCTGAGCAGGACTAACAAAGGGGCTCGCACTCCGTTTAGATCCTCTCCCTGACCCTCTTTCCCCTCCCATCCCTCCCAGTCCCCCCGATCCCCCTCCACCCACAATACCCCCTCCGAGACCCCCGCCTAGACCCAAACCCAGCCCAACACCCGCGCCTGCAGCGGCGCTGTGAGCCTTCCCACCCGCCTTCCTGATTTCCTCCCTTATACTATCGATTTTCCGCTGCCTCGCCGCCCTGATCTCATACTCCGCCTCCGCCCCTGCGTCCTGCTCAGTCTGCACCGGGTCCGTATGTGTCAGATGAAAATAGTGGACCCCGGCTTGACTGCCCGCGGGGAGAGTATCGACACCGAAACGGTCTAGGTCTTCCGCCTCGATTCCGACCCAAGGTCCTTTTGCCTACCACATCAGCTCATCTCCTCATTGGTACGGCAGGTACTCACATTGCTGAGGTAGCCAATATACTTGACCTGGGCTCGGAAACGCGCCCGCCTGCCCTCCAGAGAAACAATACACGGTATCCCCACCCGCAAGCTCACACCTCGACCCTTGAATGGCCGAGTCCCATCCCTTATCTCCAGCTCCTCCAGTTTCGCCGGCGGGTCCGGCCGACGCGGCGGGTCAAATGCAGACGCCGGATGACCAGATGAAGGGAGCCGAGTCGACATGGTAGATCGGATACTCCCCGAACTGACTTTCCGGGCCGTCCGAGGCATCGCCACTGGAGGCGGGAGTTTTCTGGAGCCCAAAGATGGGGACGCGGAGGAGATTAAGGGGGATAAGGCAGATTCGGACGTGTCGGACGGTAAACGGATAACCGGGTCCGTTTCGCCCGTCTCGCTCGACCGGGGCGTACGTGCTTCGTGATCGTCCGCGGTAGAAGCGGAGGAGGACCGGTTGGTCGGTATTTGGAGATTGGATCTCCCGACGGCGCCGGAAGTTGGAGCGGATGGAAAGGGCGCTTGTGGGGCAGATTTAGGCCCAAGCCGGCTCTTTTGCGGTGAGAGGCCGGACGCCCGTGCACCGGATGTCGTGGCTACGGAGGGGTTCCGTGGTCTGAGCGGAACAGGCGGAGAGGTCGTTGGAAGAGGAGGCGCATTCCGGAGCGTGCTAGCAGTGGAGATGGGTCTGCTTCGACCAGCTACCGAAGCAGTAGTCGCGACTGAAGTCGTGCGCGACCGAGCCGACGCAACGGAAGCGGCCGAGTCCAGCCGACTCCGCGCTGCGCTTGATACGGAAGCCGCCGACCCCGCGGGTTTGAGCGTGGTCTTCGCCTGGGGCGTCCGGACCGTCTTGGCCGCTTCACCAGCCCGGACAGCAGGGACAGCAGGGACAGCAGGAACCGGCGGGACAGGCGGTACCGAGACCTTTGCCGCGGTTGGCTTAGGCGTTCTCGTCGATGAGACAGAAGGCGCCCGATCGGCCGCCGCCGATGGCGTCGTTGAGCGTAGCGATGGAGTAGGCGCCGTTTTGACCCCTATACCCGTCTTGGGCGTGGTTGTTCCGCTCGTCCGGGTCGTTGCAGTCGACTTGGTGGTCCGAGTCGAGCGCACAGAGCTGATCGATGGAGTCGGTTTCGGCGACGCCGCTCTGGTCGAGGAGACAGTCGTAGCGCCCGTGACCTTACTGCCCTCTCCGACCACTCCATCAATAGCCTTCTCTTTGCCCTTCCCATTCACCACCGCCGTCCCCGCTAACGATCCACGGGAGACAAGCGGCCTGATCCCTCCACTCAATGTCTCGCGCTTGATCCCCACTCTACTCCTCACACTCGGCGTGGGACTCCCATCCCTCTCTTCCACAGTCTTCTCCGCTGCAGCTGCCGCTGCGCTGACCCGCCTTCCTCCACTCCCTATGGACACCTTATTCCCCGTTCTCGCCGCTGTCGGACTACGGGCCTGCGGTCCAGTCATCGGCGCCGGTGCCGAAAGCGGAGAAGCCTCCCTGGGCCGTACTGAGCGATTCGAAGCAGCGGAGGCCGTCGAAGCCGCAGATGACAGTCTGAGCCGGCGAAGACCATTTGGTTCGGCCGTCCCTGTGCCATTGGAAGGTTCGCGCCGAGTAGGAGAGAGAGGGACACGCGAGGAAGAAGCGACGGAGGATCGGCCGGAAGAGGTTTCGCCCAGAGAGACGATCTTGGAGATTGTCCGTGGAATACCGGACCGGGTGGTCTGGGGTGTCGTTCGGCGCGGAGTTGGCGAGGTGGACACTGAGTAGATTTCTTTATCGTCCACTTCTATCGCTATTGAGTTAGCTCTCATTTTCGTCATGACTCAACCTATTGAGACGTAGACATACCATCGGCGATCTCCTTCATTGCCCAATTCTCCAAGCCCAAGAAGCCCCCCGTCTCCCGGATCTGCATCCACCGTCTCCGCATGTGAGCCACCACCCCATCTTTGGCGCTCTCGACCAGCTGCCGCCCTCTCGAACGGAGGGGCAGAGCCGTCTGCATCGTTTCGGGATTACTCCTGAGCAGAATGGACGACACAAGAGCCTGAGCGTCAGCTTGACTCCTCCTGGACACATAATAAGCTCACCTGGTACACCCTCGGCGCCTCGACGCACTTCTTGGCCGTCGCCACACAGTCCACTAAATCCTTCATCACCCCCTCTACCAGATCCGCACTGAACCCTTTCCCGTCCAGCAGCTCCCACAATTCCGTCCCCTCCGCCACCGCTCCAAAGCTGTCCACTAGCATCTCCCGCACGAACTCTTCCACATCATCCACCATCTTCTCTAGTCCTTCCACCCACGCAGCCGCCGCGCTCCCTTTTGACCGGATGGCAGCTTCCATCCTTGCTTTGAGCTGGCTGACCGAGCGGAAGGCCGAGATGATGTTCTTGGGATTGATGGATGATTTCACAGCTTGGACAAGGTCCTGCTGTTGGTCTGGGGGAGCAAGTCCGACCTCGCGTCCCCAACTCCCCCCCCACCCTGCAACCAGGTACCGCCTTGCCGCCTGAGCCAGGGCGACATTCCCTACATCCTCTTCTAGACCAAATCGCCAGACCCGGGCCACCCGTACGACGCACCGTTTGCAATGACACCGCGCATAGTCGAGACCGTGACAAAAGTCCCAGACGATCCGAGCTGTGACTTCCTCAATGAGGCTATCGAGCTGGAGGTACGCCGCCGCCCTGTAGATCTGGAACGCGGTGGTAAGGTCGAACGTCCGATTTGAGAAATCGAGGTGGCCGGCGTAGATGTACCCGAGGCAGAAATGGAGGGATGCGGGTGTGAAGGGCGGGGTAGTGAGGTGGATATCGACCGTCCCGTTCGGGAGCGACGGAGAGAGGAATGACGAGGTATTGAGGAGGAGAGCAGCAAAGTACGGGGACCGCGAAACGAGAATGAACCGGTGTGCTGCGAATACCGCGGTGGACGAAAGAGAGTCGGTCGATTCGTCCGAGTCAGAACTACCGCCACCGTCGTCCGAGAGGGCAGTATCGAGGTGTATCCGGACGTCGACATATAGCTTGGATCGCCACATGTACGTCAAGTCCTGGCCGAGCCGATCGCGCCGCTCGTCCTGGTTCCCCCTTCGGCCTAGCGAGTCTCGGATAGACCCGCCAGCTACGACACCCTCATCCTCCGATATCCACTCGACAACGTCCCCGAACCCTTCGCCGGTATATAGCCATTCCAGCTGCGCTTGGAAAAGCTCGGGCGTGTCGCCGTGGGTGAGCCGCATGACCCCGTCAGAGCCGGTACTGGGTCCACCGCGGAGGGTGGCATCTGAGTACGCGGTCTGAACGGACAGAGAGCTCGGGGCGCGAAAGGATGACGGCGGCGAATTGGGCCGGGACGAGAAGAGCGGCGGAAGGAGATGCGAAGAGGAAGGGGAAGGGGAGCGTAGGGTGGGCGAGCGCGAGAAGGGCCGAGTGAGAAAGTATCGGTCCTTGAATGCTTCTACTGAATCAGCTATATCCTCAGTGCCAGAGATCATCTAGACGTACTTGGCGCCCGAGCGTAAATGACCGCTACATCATCAGCTCCATCCCACCACGCCTTCCAACCCCTTACTCACCCTTATGTCCCCATATCCGATCCCCTCCATTCTCCGTCTCCCAGCTGACATCCCCAAACCTCTCCTTTGCATGCCCAAACAACGCCGTCAGGTCCCTCGCCCAAATCTCCGTCGACTGCCCTACGCGAGTTTCGACCGTCGCGAATTGTGAAGGCGACGCGCCTGACCCAGGACGCGTTCGTTGGACCGTCATGCCGGGTTCACGAGCTGCGGACGCGTCGTATTCTCCTGCTGAGGCGCATAGCGATGTCCCGACAGGGAAATGCTGGCCGAAAAGTGTAAAGGGAAGAGGTGTAAGAAGGTTCAAAGTCCTCGTTGTCAAAGCTTCAATTAGGTTTGTTTGAGCGCCAGACACGAGACTTTGAAACACGGCAACGTCATAGGGAGAATCGCTGCTTGGGGCGGATGATGTGGTATTGGGGTTGAAGCTACGGCGCTACTGCACTGTGTGGAGCACGGCCAGCCGTCAAGCCTAGAACTACTGGTAGATACATGTAAATAAACGCTTAGTCGACGCCCTACTACGCCATCCCGATCATTCGCACCCCATTATCCCTTTCCCCTCCCCACCCGCTCATTCTGACCGCCCCGCTCTCCCCACTCGACTCCCCGCTCAGAGCAGGCGCAGCAGCCACCACCCTCGACATCCGCTTCTCCGATACCGCCTCCTCCTTCTCCCTCTCCTCCGCCATCTTCCTCTCATACCTCAACTCTGATCTCCGCTTCTTCGCCTCCACAACCCTCTCCTTATGTTCCACACCAGCCACCGAGCGCTCCAGGATGACATCCAGCTTTGCATCCGACGCGACCAGCGCCTCCAGATCGCGTCTAGGATCAAACGGTTTCGAGACGGGTTTGATGAGGCTATCGACCGGATGTCGCAGGTTCCGTAATTCCGCCATTGCTGCTCTCCTCGCTTCCTTGGCTGAAGCCTCCGCCTCGGGGTCTTTGGGCAATACCAATCCCTCCAGGATCTCCCTCTCCGCCTGTGTCTGCGCTTTCGCTTCCAGCAATAAAGCCTGGAATCGCCTACGCAGAGGCAACGGGACATCCGCCTTCCGAACGAACAGCTCCACTTGCCAGAACCACCCCGTCGCGACTGACACCCGAGGCCCGGGTATGTGGAACCAGTCGGCGTGGGTCGGATCACCGTCCGTGCGTGCGTGCCGTATCTGCAAAGCCTGGAGCCATTCGGCGCGGACTGCCTTGACAGACGCAAGCGCGGATGCGAGGATGTGGTTGAGGAGCGGCATGTCGCCCGCAGTGACGGTATGCCGAATGAGAACAGATATTGTTTCGGCTTGGAGGCGGGTGGTGGGGTATGCGAGGTGTGGAGGGTAAGTGGATGAAGAGGGGTCGGGGGATGTGTGGAGTGATAGAGGGAAGAAATCGCTGAAAGTTGGGGGACCTGGAGCGGGTACGAAGGGAAGTTGTTCAAGATGAGCTGTAGCGTCAATTTCGATGGCTCCGGCATGAGTGGTATTGGGACTTACGAGGGAGATCATGACCGCCTCGAGCTACGGTAGGGTCCGCCCCTACAGCAGCCACAAATGGTGTCATGGTCTCTAACACCTTCTCAGGCTTCCCTCTTAGCCGCCCAAACCACCCCATCCCCTTCGTTACCTCCGCCTCCTTGCTCATCATCCCGCTCAACGTCGGTACCTCCCCCTCATCCTCGCCAGCTTCAGCACGGTTCTGCTCTGCTGCCTCCTCCCACCCATCCTCTGCCAGCACCTCGTACGTGCTGAGCATCTTCCAAACCTTCCCCTTCCTCCCCCAGTAATCCACCAGCGCATGCACGTGCACTCCCTTCAACCTCTCCCCCTTCTCCCCCAGCGTCAGGTACTTCATATCCACCCCATACGCCTTCTTGCATACATCCTCCAGCACCACGTCCAGGTTGGCCAATACCTCCGGCGTCTTGATGCGCCGCTTGGCCGAGTCGATGGCCTGGATGAGAAGGGTTGTGCTGACGTTCCGAGGGGTGAGGTCGAACGTGGTCATATCGCCTAGGATCTGCCAAATGATGCGGGAGATCCGGCTGGCGAGGGCTCCCGAGATGGACGCGGGCTCTTTGGGTTCGAGCCACTCGACGAGCGCGTGCAGCCGAGAGTCTATCATTCGTATGTCCATGGGTAGGCCTTTCAGGCGCATCCCGTCCGCGAACGCCTCGGCGGTAGGCATGTCTCCGACGTCGCCGAGGACATGGAACGCGAACCGGTAATCTGAAGGCCGAGGTCCAGCCTTCACGCCGTCCTCCGCCGGCGTCAGGTTCTCCATGTCCTGCAGCACCTGCTGGAGCCGAACTCCGTACCTCGCCGCCCGCCTCCGTATCGCCGCATTCTGATTGTCATTCTTTGACCCCGAGTGTGAGACGACAGACCCGATGTCAAAGTTCTCCGGCGAGGGTACCACCCCGCGCAATACCCGCTGCATGGTATTGGGATGGAGACTCGCGCGAGCAGCGACCGAGAGCCGGGCGTATTGCCTCCAGATGGTCGTAGCGAGGACAGCATCTCGCCGTGCCCGGGATAGGTAAAGGTAGTGATGTAAAGCACGGAGGCTGCGAGAGTCCGAGTCCGAGAAGGATGAGAGATACTGCTGAAGAGGGGTATCGAGGGGGCGGTGGGAGGTGAAAAAGCTGGACGAGGGGTCGTCGGAGCTTGTGGATCCGGTGGAAGGAGGAGGGGTGCGGGTGGCGTAGTTGGATGGCCCAGCTTGGTTCTGCAGCTCCGCCGGGGTCGGTGTCCGCGACCAGAGTGTTTGCGGCTGAGCTTCGACGGCCGGTGCAGGAGCTGGTGAAGTTGCGGCGGTTGAGGCAAAGCGGAGGGGTATGAATTGCCTGTACCAGATCAGCTGCCCATACTCTTTGCTCATTCTTTTGCCTGCAACTCACCTAGACTTCATACCCTGCTCCAAAGCTATCCTCCTCAATCTCCAAGCCGTCTTCATCCTGTTTATCTGACAGCGAGTGGGACCAGTGTGGACGGCTGGCTTGCTTGCTGGTCTTCAGTCTTTAGTCAAAAAGTCCGGACCACCCGGCAGGTCATTACGTTATTGACGCACGGATCAACGCGCCGGAGCTGCCACAGCGCGATATCGCCGCTGGCTCTGCGGAGTTTCGCCGAAACCCCTTTTGCCCCGCAGCCAAATCGCCACGTGGTGATCCCGCGAAATTCGCCCAACCTCTGCCCTTGCGTGCAGCGTTGATTTGCCTTTCTTCTATCCTTCAAGTACACCCCCCGCCCACACCATACTACAATGGTGAGTAGCCGCAGCAGTCGGAGGGACCGACACGATCCCGGACAGAAAATTAGGGAGAACAGGAGCCAGCGTAGAGGAGGGGAAGTGCTGGAGGAATTGCTGGACCGGGCATGCTGCGTGAGGAAGTGCAAGAGGGCGGAGCAGAAGAGGGCGGACGGATGGGAATAGCACCTGTCAGGCCATAGCTAACATTGCCAGCCTTCCCAAAAGCGTTTCGTCATCAAGCAGAAGCTTGCCAAGAAGGCTCGTCAGAACCGGCCCATTCCCCAATGGTTCCGTTTGAAGACAGACGGTAAGTTAGACCTTGTATGAAGACTGGTTACTTGAGCTGATCTTTTAGGTGCCATCCAATATAACGCCAAGCGTCGCCACTGGCGCCGGACGAAGCTCAACCTCTAAAACCCCTACCTATCACTTCTTTCGTCCCTTCTACTCTTGCGCGCCGACTCTACACTTTTTACCGGATACCCGACGATGGATATGTGGTGGAGGGAGGGAGGAGGTGTGCTGGGATAGGGGGATACTGGGATATGGGGGATCTTTTGGCGGTTGGGGGAGAGAAGGGGGTTTGGAGGAGATTGGGGAGAGAATGATGGGCCGGACTCTTGTCTAGAGCAGACGGGGGGACGGCTTGTACAACTACAGCATGGAGGGTATGGATCACCGTGCTCGACTGCAAAGCTGGGGCTGGGAGGATCTCAGGCGACAACGAGAGCCGAGGGGCGTATGTGGCTTATCGTTACTGACGAGACTGACTTGAACTGCACTCGACCCATCATTATAGCCGCCGCCGTCGCCGATGCTGTCATAGGCTGGAGGAGGCGATAATCTGGACCGCTCGTAGGGAGTGCTCGGTGGTAGAGACGAGGCTTTCGGTACGAGCAGTGCTGCCAAATGCAGACAGGGAGGAATTGGCTTTCGTTTGGATGCCACAACCGAATCTCTACTACATTTTCTGCATCATAATTTCTACTCAAGCCATCTGTACTCGAACAAGCTATCAAACTAAATACTGAATCAAACTGTACGGACACCTATCTATCGCGACCTAACTCGATGTAGCCCCCTTCCAACACCCGTCTGCCCTCTCTCGCCCAACCCGCGACTGTTCCCGACTCTCCGCCGTATCACTCCCGCTTCCAGCGGAGCTTGATCGCTCCCCGGTGTGTCCGCCTCGCGTTTGTTAACCTGACATGGTAGGGCCGCAAGAGGGATGATAGCAAGAGGGGGGTTTGGATGTTTATTGCCTAAGCGGGGATAGGGCCGGTCAAACCGCCAGGTCCGAAGTGAGAGTGGTGGGGACCCTCATGGTGGCCATGGTGACCGCGACGGGCATGGTGATGGTGGGGTCCATGCGGGGGAGGACCGCGAGGGCCGTGGCCATCAAAGCCGCCGTGGTGGTGCCCTTGAAGACCGTGCGGGCCATGGCCGTGTGGTCCACCATATCCTCGACCGCCGCCGTGTTGGGCCGGGCCGTGGTGCTCCGGAGCCTTGAACCCTGCCCAGGCGGGAGGGGAGTGCGCCCTGCCGCCGTAGTGCGGGCCAGGACCGTGGTGCTTGTGGTGCGGGTGCCCGTGATGAGGCTTGCGGTGGTGCGGCGAGGGAGGCGAACCACGGTGGCTGTGGTGGCCATGGCCATGGTGAGTGGGTGGACCGTGGGGGTGATGATGGCCGTGCGGACCGTGGGGCTGCGGGGGAGGAGGAGGAGGAGGAGGGAAGGGGTGCCCGTGTCCCGGAGGAGGGGGAGGGCCATGGTGGCCATGATGGCCAGGAGGTCCGTGGGGTCCTTGAGGGTGGTGCGGGCCATGATTCCCGGGACGACCGTAGTGGTGGGGGTGATGACCGTGAAAGGGATCTCCGAGGGCGCTAGCGCTGTCGACCGAGCCGTTGCTGGAAGACAGGCTAGACTTATCGTCGTCGTCGTGCTCCGGCTCAGAGACGGCGTCAAGGTGGAGATTGGCGGTCTGCTGCTCCACCTCGTGAACCGCGTTCTCGGACGAAGGGGACTTGGGGATGTCAGGTAGCTGCATGATGTAGATTGATTAGTGGTATTGATATGAGTGGCGAGTGGCGAATACAGAAATCTCTGTCAGAATCGGCGGAGACTTTATAGCTCATTGATCAAGATGACGCGCAGCGCTTACGCAGTGTCCACTCGCAATAGCAGCACTGCGACAGTGTAGCGCAGTACTGGGGCCAGACTAGTGCCGCCCCGGCGGAGGTCCCTGCGGAAAGCGCAGTCTGAGAGTCAGAGAAAGCGCGGCTGAGCAACGCTGTTGCCGGCATGCGCAGATCAGGCACAACTGCGGAATGTGGCATCGTCATTTCTTGCTCCGCTGATCTGAGCTGAGTGCAAGCTGAGTGTGGCGCGTTTGCCACTCGCTTCGGTCCAAGGACGCGGTCACTAGTGCGGACATGATGCATGGGAAAGGTGACGTGGGAAGGTGGCTTCAGGCACAGGAGAGGAACGGTCTTGTAGCTACTCCATCGCTGCCTTCATGATGTACGCGGCCTCGTCTTTGCGCAAGGGTATGAAGGCGAGCACGCAAGTCTGGAGCTCGGCTTGCGGAACAGTGGACTCGTACGTCACCCGCATGCTGCCCCAGGTCGTGTGACTGGTCTGCGCATCGGATTGGTGAAAAGGATGCGCTGCAACCCTGTGCACCCGTTAGCTTACAACACCGAAGGGAACAGTAAGCTGATGGGCTATGCTCAATAATAGGTCATGGAAAATACTTGCTTCTTGGTGATCGCCATCCGGTCATCGTTCGAATGGGTAGCGCCCGCACCGGTACGGAACGCGTTTATGTGGCGCTGGGAGATGCAAGTCTCGCTGGGCTCGGGACACTGGCAGTCGTAGTCCCAGAGCGACTTGCCGTACTCGATCGCTCGCTGGGCGTTCATCTTCGTGAAGCCCCTACTTGATTAGCTGCCCGCGTGGCCGGACTGAATTGTATGGCCAACGGTGAAAGACTCACAAGTTCCCCATTGCGCCGAGGATGTCCATACTGGATGTAGTGCTGGACATGCTGGTCAATTGTTTGATAGCAGTATGGTGTCTGTGATTGCAAGTCCAGAAGCTGATCGATTGGAAAAGGAGAGTCAGAGTCAGGTCGAGACTGTAGCATGCAGATGTATATGATCATCATGGTCGTGTGAGTGTGGCCTTCGCCATCTCCTTTCAAGCGGTCCAGATCTTGAGATAAGACATGGGCTCAAGGGAAAGCGGCGAATATGGCTTCGAACCCGATAAGACGTGGACGTAGGAGATAAAGAGCAAGCCGTTCCTTGCGAGTCCAGCAGTACGGGCCGTGTAGGTTTACTTGGCGGAGAGATTACTACTGATCAGCAATCCTGATGACCCGGAGGGCCTGCTCTGCGCAGTCGCCCATGCCTTTATATTGCCGTCGGCACAAGGGAGTGAAACAAAGTACCAGTACTCAGACGTCTGGTATCATGGACTGTCGTCGCCGGCATAGAGATTCATAAACCCAACATTGCTAAGCTGGCTCTCGTCTGGCTCGCCTGCCGGTAATAAGAGATAATGTTTAGTACGCCGTGATAGAAAAATGGTACGTCAGCCTCCATGTCCTCGCACCCGTCGTTCACAATAGCGGTAGGACTTTCTTGAGCCGCGATATCGTCGGGATGAGTAGGATCGAATTAGTGGACCGCCGCCCGAGCGATTATATGGCCGAGAAGCATGTCGCCACCCGTCCTTTCGTGTCAGCATAGGCAGGCCGTTGGATGACCCCTTTCGTTGCAAGGACGCCTTTTTTGGCCTTCTAATCTGGCTGATGATCAGAGTAGGCGTGGCGCCCATGGCAGACTATCCTCAGCTCTGTCTCCGTCCGCTCGCGCTTGGTTCCAGCTCGTGCTCGCCTGGACATTTTCCGCCACACGGAGTGCCACACTGAGCGATGACGCCATTGAGGAATGTGCCGGAAAGTTGGCCTCGCTTGCTCGTGTGAGCTCATCGATGACGCGCTTCTTGTCTCCTTTGTCAAAGTCTGCGAAACTCTTAAAGCCAGCTACAGCCAAGGCTTCCCCCTCAACTACGCATATCTTATCTATTCACTACCCTACTATAACCATCAATACAAAATGAGCGCCGCCCCTCTTGCCAGCACCCACGCCAGCGCCCTCCACCCGTCCGAGGTGCACGCTACCACCGGCGCCGATGGACACCCCATCCTCACCACCGGGCCCATGACGCCTTCCCTCGACTTTGACCCCAAGAAGTTCTCGGCGGGCCAGACGGGCGGTGCCCAGGACTCGGGCGCCCACGCCAACCCCCACCCCGTCGTCGCCAAGTCTGGTATCGACCTCTCTACCGGAGTCACCCGCCCCGCCGAGACCCACGCCAACTCGGGCACTTTCGAGTCCAGCAGCACCGGTACTGGCTCTGCTGAGCCCAGCGTCACTGGTCTTCGTCAACGCGCGGGATCCATCTCCAACACTGTCGGTGCCAAGGTCAACGCGGTTACCAGCAATGTCGGCGAGAAGCTCAACACGGCCGGCTCCAATGTCAGCGCGCAGGTCCAGCATGCGGCCGAGCACCCGGCGGTGCAGAATGCCAAGCAGGCGGCTTTGAAGCAGACCGACAGCTTCCGCGAGACACTCGGCCGGTACCCCATCATCGTCAACGCTGAGAAGCGGACGGGTGTCGACCGTGTCGCCCTCGTCATCGGCGGTGTCTTCCTGTAAGTTCCTACTCATCGCGTTTTTGACAGAGCTGACAGCCTAGCTACCTCCTTCTTATCCCCCTCAACCTCTTCGGCCTTGCTCTCCCTACCACCCAGCTCCTCACCTTCCTCCCTCCCACCTTCCTCGCCCTCCGCACCCTTGACAGCCCCAACGAGGAGCGCACCAAGACCCTCCTGTCCTACTTTGTCGTCTTTGGATTTGTCCAGTTCGCCGAGAGCTTGATGGCAGGTTTCCTTGAGCGCAAGATTCGTAAGTTTCCATCTCATTCCGCCTTGACAGAGGACCCTCGCTGACGTTCAGCCCAATACTACACCGTCAAGCTCATCTTCCTTGCCTACCTCATCCACCCCAAGACCAAGGTAAGCTCAGTCACCACCTGAATCCAGGTCGTGCTCCAGCTGACAATGCAGGGAGCACGCAAGATTCACTCCTCCGTCCTCCGCCCCCTTCTAGCCCGTGCCCAGCAGGTCCAGAAGTCCGCCGACAGCCACGTCTCCACCCCGCCCACTACCAAGCCTTCTTCCGGCGCCACCGTCAACAGCCCCTCCTTCCCTACTTCCGACATCCCCTCCGCCCGTACCTCCGGCTTCACCAACGCGACCTCCAACTCCACCAGCTCGGGCGCGCCCGCCGGTTACGGTGTCCCCCCCTCGTCCGCTCAGGGCTCTACCCTCGGTGGGTCCGGAGCTGGCCAGATCCACCTCCCCAGCGGGAGCGGAACTGGTGTCGGCCAGGAGGTGCCCAAGTACTAGATTGTACGCAGGAGTAGAGATCGAGTCCGACAGACTGTAGCCTATAGAGAAGATCACACACGTTTTGATATGAAATGCAAGAAGATACGAGCTTTCAGGATCTACTCGAGCCAAGGTCTATACTGCAGTGCATGCCAGGACAAACATGGGGAAGTATACGAGCGCCTCCAGGGTCTACTCCAAGGTCTATATTGCAGTGCATGCCAGGACGAACATGGGGAAGTTACAGTATGCTAACAAACGGAACGAGTATGCTAGGCATTGAATGCAAGATGTGTTCGTTAAATGTAGGGTCGTCATAATGTCTATCTCGTCCGTCCCCTCATGCCACAAACGTCGCCAATCTCCGAACAAGCGGTACGCTCAACCACGCCGGTACATCTGTCATATCAGCCACAGTCCACCCCAGAGCTATAGAGGTGGACTTACAAGTCTCCAACCCCGCAATCTCTCTTGGTTGAGGCAATTGATACGGCCCCACCTCGTCCGTTTCTGGCGCCAACAATAGCTGATCCGACTTGTCGTCAGGCTTGACCCGCGCTGCGACAGCTTTGAGGATATCCGAGGTGATAGGCGCTTCGTAATCTGCGTTGTGGTATTGAGCGATGAGTTTTTGGATTTGGGAAGGGGAGAGGATCCAGCAGACGTCAAAGAGGATCTCGATATCGCCCATTGATGCCTGACAGATCAGTACGATGATTACATCATAGGGAGCAGCGGAAGACACACCTTCTTGAGCTGTAACAGCTTGGTTGCCTGCATGAGGTGTTCCAGCTGGAGCAAGCCCTCTGGGATATCGTGGGCTTTGCACCATTCCTCGATCCGAGTGATATTGTACTGGATTTGCATTGCTGCGGGCGTCAGCTTTTTGCCATGCCAGCGCTCCAGGCAGGCCTTGAAACTCACCCCTCTTCCACGAACAAAAGTTCCGCCTCATGATCAAATCATTGAACGCCACTTGCCCAATCAACTTCAACAGCTCCGTCACCACCTGCTGCATGACGCTCTCCTCGACGTAGTAGCTCTTCAAGCACTTCCAGACCGCATTCAGCAGATTGAGGATATCGTCCATCGTCGCCGTAGGCGCCTGGCTCGCGCTCATTCCGATGAATTTGGAGAACATCCGACCGTGCCCGTCGCTCGTGATGAAGCCCGGAAGCGCCTGCGATTCGATAAGAGCGGGGATGATGAGTTTTTGCATGACCCGCTTGATTTCGAGCATGCACGTGTGGTAGATGTTGTACTCGAGCGAGTCGAGGTCGTGCTTGACCACTTCGACGAGGCGCTCGTAGAGCTCCCAGTCGAGCGGCCGGCCAGAATTGTCGTCGTTTCCGGGAGCGATACCTTGCTTGGCGTCCGCCTCGGCGATGCAGATGAACGAGAGGATTTCGTGTACGTTGGTGAGCCAGAAGATACCCGGTTGGATGACATCTTCTCCCTTGAATTGCTATATCTTCAGCAAAAGCCTTCCTCGATTTGCAGTTTACTCACCATAACATATGCCTGGACAGTCTGCATGACATTCGCCAAGAACCGCTCGCTTTCTGGAATCATTCCCAACTTCCACATCTCATTGCTGATCAGGCTGATGAGATGAGCAGGGAAGATGACCTCCTTGGCCAGTGGTGGGTTGTGCGAGCTGGGAGCCGGGATGCGGAGATCGTTGATCAGACCCTGGAGGACATCATCATCCAGCGCCACCTCGTCCGTAAGCAGACGGGAGATCTCGTCTGACGGCGAGTCGACGACGGTGGGGAGTCCGTTCGAGTCACGAGGACGAAGCGGTGCGGCGTCGTGCGGGAACATGACGGATACGGCGCGGGGATTTGCGTTGGCCTTTTTGATCGCCATAATCTCGTCGTGAGAGAGTTTGCGGGCGTGCATGCCAGTAGCCCCGTGACCTGTCGAGTGCCGCCGTTGGCGCCGCCGAGGAGCAGACGGACCCGATCCGGTCGACCCGTCTAGCTGGCGCAGACCATTTGGAAGGGTAGGGCTCGTGGGCGGTTCCCGCTGACCCCTGGTCAGGGCGTTCATCGCATTGGTGCGCGACATCTGCTCCTTCAACGCCGTGAGCTCCGCCCGGAGCGCCGACATGCTCGTCGCCGCCTCGGTCGACTTGGCGACCTCCGACTCGTGTGCCGCCGCCTTGGTATCCAGGTCGGCCGCCATGCGCTGCAGCTGCTCGGCCAACTTGGTCCGTTCCGCCTCCTTCTCTTCCGCCTGCTTGACCGCCAGGCGCAGACGCTCCTCCGCCTCCGTCTTGGCCTTGACGGCCACCTCGAACTGGCTGACAGGGACAGTTGGTACCGCTAGCTTTTCTTCCAGCTCGCGGCTCTTGGTCGTCGCCTCGTCGTGCCGCGTTTGCCACTGCACGATCTGGTGCTCCAGCGTCGACATGCGCGAGGTGAGCTCCTTATTCTCCGCCGCGCGTTTTTGGAGGTTCTGCGTAAGCTCGACCACCTTATTTTCGAGGTGATACGAGATCTCCTTGAACTTGGTGGCAGACTTGGCCTCGGCCTTGAGACCTTTGAGCTCCTTGACGGCGAGTTTGCGACGGTAGACGGATTGCAGGAGGACGACTTTGCAAACCTCGGATTTTGCTTGGCGGCGAGCGAGACTGCAATGTCAGCACTACTTCATGCTGTTATTGAGGCAACACTGGCCTTCCGCGCCAAAGGCTCTGCAGCAGGATGACCGCGTTGTCGATCTTGGCCTGCCGGCTTTCCTTTCGCGCGATGAACCCTCGAACCACTGATCACAATCAGCCACATTCCTCTGCAGCGGCGAAACACGTACCCGCTTGTATCCGAACCACCGCGTCCCTCGTCCGCACATAATCTCTCCTCGCCAACCATCCCCTGACCTGCCTCTGAATCAACGTCGCCGCCGCCTGCCTCCTCAGATCCTGGTATGCCTTCCTGGCCATCACACCGCGCCACCACGCCTGGATCCGGACCGACGCCTTGCGCATCTCCTGATACCGCTTGTATGCGATCCGGCGGCGGACATTCTTTTGCACAAGCGTGACGAGCTGGTTGATCCGGTTGGTACGTTGCGACTCGAGGAGAGCGAGCATACCCGCCCGGAAGAAGATCTTGGTCAGGCCGATCTGGTACCGGTCGTCCTCCGGGAGAGTACGTTGGAGAATGAGGGAACAGAGGGAGCGGACATCGTCGTTTCCTTGCCATTCTTTAGACGGAATGAGCATGTAGTATCTGATGATCAGCCTATAATCGGCAGACGCAGACTTCTCAACTGACCTTTCCGCGAATTCGGCAAATGTCCATCGTGAGGGATACCCCGCACAACTGATCCGGATGGTCTCGAGCACACCACACGCCCTCAACTGGCTCAAGACCTGATTCGACTCAAAGACCCACGCCTTCTTTGCCTCGTTTGGCTTGATGCACCGAATATAATGGACGTTGGTGTGGTTGATGGTGTCCATGAGGGAGATGAGCGAGTGTTTAAAGATACTCCCGAGCGTCGGTTTCCGGGCAGTCGCACCTGCACGCTTGCCCGGCCCTGGAGCTGGCGCCGCTGTCGCCGCCGCTGTAGGCTTGACGTCCCCGTTCGCCTTGGCCGTATTGGCAGCTGAGAGCGCAGCGTCCAATACTTCCCGGAGGAACTCGTTCGAACTCCCCTGGAGAAGCGCGAGGTGTTCGTCCGGGACGGTATCGCGATTCTTGTCGATGAAACCCTCAACGTCATACGTCACGTCCAGGGCGTAATGGGCGATGGTAAAGGCGTTCTGATTGAACCGAGGCTTTTTGAAGACCTTGTTGTTTTCCGGCTTGGCGAGCTGGGAGTGCAGCTTGGTGGCCAGCGATGCGTCTGCACCGGCCGGTAGACGGGATTCTTCGTCGAGCAGCGTGAGGATACCCATCTTGCCCTCAATAATGTCGATGCAGGCTTGATTGTCCGAGAAGTCGATGAATGTCCAGTTGATCTGCTCGCGCACATACTCTTCTTGCTCGAGCTAGTGTGTCAGCTTTTGAGCCAAGACCGTAAGGGCCACGCTAGCTGCGACGCACCTTGAAGACATGCGCATTGAACTCCTGTTGCAGCTTCTCGTTCGCCCAGTTGATACAGAATTGCTCAAACGAGTTCTTCTTGAAGTGCTCAAAGCCGTACTGTCTGATCAGCTGATGGCGTACCGCTCGGATAATGACCAGGAGTCAACCTACGATATCCAGCACTCCAATAAACTTGGTCGACCGCTCGGCTTTGCCCTCCCCGCACAAGCTCTCATTCACCACGCCTACCAGCCACTGTTTCGTCAGCTCTCTTCCGCCTACGATGCGACCATTAGAACTCACATCAAACAGACACGAATACACAAACTTGGCCACCGAGTCCCTCACCACCGAAGCCGCTGCACTCCCCAAGGCCGTTACGATCTTCTCTGACCGCGTCGTAAGCTGCTTCTTGATGGTCCACTTCTTGAACTCTGCCCCCGGCAGCCCCAACAACTGCGTTGCAAGCTCCAAGCTCGCATCGTCATCCGCGAGCACCGCGTCTGTCCTCGACTGGGTGATTTTGATATTTCCCAGGTGTAGCAGCGCGGCGAGAAGCTTGAAGACGTGCCATTGTCGCTCGACGGCTATTCCGACAGTCGATAGGGCGGTCTGAGTGTCCCGGAACTCCTTGGCGTCGTCTACGCCGGGAATGGGGGTGGAGGAGGGTCCGCCGCCTGCGAGGTAGGCAAAGTCTGAGGGATTGGTAGATAGGGAGAGGTCCTTCTTCTCCTTGGACGGAGCGCCGGCGAGGAGCTGGTAGAAGATGTGATAGTTCCGTTCGGATTCGGGTTGGTAGACCAGTCGAGACCGTTCCAGGAGGTATGTCCGTATCCGAGCTCCAACGATCTCGTGTGTGTTGTCAAACAGGACCTGTGCGTCAGCTTGAGCCTCCGCAAGGGTTCACCTGCAACTCACCTCGATGTACTTTCCGAAACGAGACGAGTTGTCATTCCTCGTCGTCTTGGCATTCCCAAACGCCTCCATGATGGGATTACTAGCCAGAATCTGCCTTTCCGTCTCGCTCATCTTCTCTTCCTCTCCCCCACCTTCCGCTCTCCGCCGGGAAGAGCCTGATGCCTTGGCTGGGTCATCCACTGAGGCAAAGTACCGGAGGATGAATTTGGCAGAGACGGTCTTTCCTGCTCCACTGAATACCGTCAGCTCTGATCTTGCAGCTATTCTAGGCTCCCGCGAGTTGCGAAGAAGCTTACCTTTCTCCACTGACGACGATAGTCTGATCTCCTGCTCCCGTCTGATCTGTCCCACCTCCGCCCGTTCCTCTTCGCATACAATCCAACGCCTCCTCCGCAATGGCAAACAGGTGCGGCTCCAGCTCGCCCTTCTTCCTCCCCGAATACGCCTGAATGATCTCGGGGCCATATATCGACAAAGGGGAAAAGGGATTGAGAGCGACGAGGACTATTCCGGAGAATGTGTATGGTAGACGTTGAGAGTATCTGGTGGCTATTGCGTGCAGCACTGAAGTGTCAGCTAAGGACCCCCTTCCATCATCGAGGGTCTTACAACTCACCAGACGGCTCGTTCAAATTACTCAGCGCTGACAGATCCTCCGCCGACTCGAGGATAGGCGGGTTCCTCAACGGCGGAATCACATCCTGCCCGGGCGCAGCAGTGGGCGACTGACCCCCATTCGCAGCTGCCGTCGCCGCCGTCAACGCCTCGAGGCTAAACTTGAGCGTCTTGCTTTCGGGTGAGTCGGACGTCCCTTGGTCATAAGCGACCACGAGAGAGACCTCGCCCTTGGGATCCTCGTCTGCTGGGAGGGCGATGGAGGTGATTGTGCCCGGAATCCAGGAGGTCGGCGAGTCGGCGAGCCATACTTGCGTGCCTTTTTGGTAGGTGGTCGCCATGGTTGCTGCTTAGGATTCAGGGTACGCCGCGAGAGTCTCGAGGGTGGAAGAGTGACGGGGTGACGGAGTCCGAGCTAGCGGGTGGGGGACAGTCAAAACAAAAAGGTTTAGATGATAGACAAGGAACGTCGAAAGGCTCGTGCTCGGCTGCGCACAGGCCCAGCCAAATGCCCGTTCTAGCGGATTCCGACAACGGTTGAGGCGAAGTGCGGTCTAAGATAGGGCTAGGGGTATGGTATGGGTGAAAGGGAGCAAGAGCGAGATGGGTTGCGGCTACTTGACCACCTACTGTACAAGTTAAAGGAGTGTGGACTCTATTCGAGGTTGAGCTTGTCGCGAAATGAGACCAACACGCGACCCGATCGACGCGTTTGGTGCCACGTCATGCTGTACCATTCCTCCCCACTCACTGAGCTCTTGCTGCGGACCACAGGTCAGTCAGACATTCATACATCCTCAAAGCTATGATTATAGCAGCTAGATACAGGCAAGATGTACTACAGATCCCCATACAGCCCAGAGACTGAAAAGGCCCTACAAAACAGCAGTGAAAAATCGAACCCTCCTTGTAATCAGTCGCTGCATCTCCTCCTTCTTCCGCAAGCACGACCCTATCACTTCGCTGACCTAGTGAGTCTCGGCGATCCCTCGAATCCCTTTCAGCTGATTCGAGGCGTGTTCCTTCGCCCGTATAATGACATCGATATGCGATGTGATTTCCCTCTGAATCGATTCTTGCAGGTTCCCCGTCTTGTGCCGGAGCTCATTGAACCTAATCATCAGCTTTATGCCTCCCGGGGAAACAAAGCCTACTCACCCTATTCTCTTGGTCTCAATGTCTCCTTTGAGATCCACCACCCCTTTCTGCGTATCCTTCAATACCTGGGCCACCTCATTCTCCATCCTGGATATCCTCGTATTCGCGCTCGACGTCTCCACTTGCAATTGCTAGTTATGTCAGCTATCCCTCCTAGAACGAAGCGTGGGAGCAAGCTTACAGTCTTGGCATGCTCCGCCTGATCATTGACCACCTTGAGCCTCATATCCAAATTCGCCGCCTCCTCCTTCTGCCTCTCGACCTTCTGCCCCAACCTATCGTTCTCATCATCCAGCGCAATATTCCCATTCTCAATCTCCACCATCTCCCTCCTGAACCCCTCGCCATAACTCTGCAGCGCCGGCCATATCTCACTCCGCAAGCGCCTTCCCGCGGCCATCACCTCGTTCACATCCTCCACGCCCAAGTCGAGGTCGACCGAGTAGTCGATACCGTCCGGCCCGAGCATCGGTCCCTCGGAGATGGGCGGGATAGTCCCGATTTGATGTCCGAGAGCCGTATAGTCCGCGAGGAGCTGCTCGAATCGGTCCATTGAGCGAGTGACCGACATTTCCTGGTCGTAGGATTGTTGGCTAGCCTCGGCTGTCTTGAGGCGCAGGTCTTCGATCTGCCGAGAGAGAGTCTCGCGCTCGTGGTTCATACGCTGGACTTCGTCGGGTGAGAGGTTCTGCGCAGAGACGGCAGATTCGATGGATCCGAGTTCTGAGCGGGCGGCGCCGAGCTGGTGGTCTGGTGGTCAGTACTATCCCTGATATTTAAGAGTAGGACCCACCGTGATCCGAAATGACAGCCTTGGCCTTTGCTGTGCCCTGCTTGATCTTGTCCGCCTTTTGCCTGTGAAGGTCGATAAACGCAATGAACTTGGTCTTGTCGCTCATCAAGCGTACATACTCCTCCTCGAGGGTTTTGAGGGGTGGCTGACGGTCAGCTCTGCCGCGATATGATCGCAAAGAGAGCTCACCTCCTGCGCCTGCAGTTGTTGCAGTTCGACAGTCCGCTTATGTACCAGCGTCTCGAGCTCGTCCGACTCATCTACCGACGCTTGATTTATTCGATCTATCCATCAGCTAGTCTCTCGACGCTCGCAACGAAACAACATACCATATACATCCTGCACCTCGGCCTGGATCTCTGGAAACTCTTCTCCATCTCCTCGGAACCACCGGACGTATGTCTGGCTGATAAAGTCCCATAGGACCCGGTCCTCCAGCAACGGATGATCGAGGGGCAAGTCGGACGCCTTGCAGCGTGATGGGTCGCTGATAACATCTGGGTTCACCCAGTTCTCATGTGCCTGATATCAGCTCGAACCATTCGCCGAGGTTCAAGGACTCACTTTGGCAAGATCCACCAGCCAGTTCAGCATCGCCAATAATGTCCCCCAGTTTGACGCGCTCCCGGGAGCTGCAAGCGCTGTCTTGCTGATGTTACCCACACCGGGATACCGCAGATCTCCAAGGATGTACAGGATCTCCTCCGTGGGCGCCTTGAGACCCCACTGAAACGACGGGTCGAGGAACTCTGAGATGAGCCAGCGGAAGATCTGGAGGAAGTCCTTCTGCGTCGGAGAGTGTAGTGTACGGTCGTTGATGGCGATAGGGCAGCGTTGGGTTCTGCAGAACTGCTCGATATTCTCGCGGCAGGACGCCTGGAAAGCGGCGGTCTTTACGGGTCGGCCGTCTCGAGCAGCGGCGGCTGATGGGGGGAGCATGGAGGGGCGGGATGAGGAAGGGAAGGTGGACTGGCGACGGACACTGCGAGTCAGTATGGCAACACCAAGATTGCGAAGGTAGACACACCTGCTCATCCCGTTCATATTACGGTTGCTTTGAGGGGTTTGCCCAACGTATCCCCCTTCTGGCTTCCCCTGCACCCGACCGCCGCCCATCTGAGACTGTCGATTGATAGTCGACCTCCTCAGAGTATCTTGACTCGCTGAGTGACTCATTCCGCCCATGATGGATCCTCTTGTAGGTTGTGATCCGCCATGACCCGCGGCTGGCGCCATGGACATTCTCGACGCAGGCGCGCGAAGAGCGCTCTTCTTGACCGTTGAAGAGGGGACCGGTATGCCTGATGGCATAGCGTTACCGTATGGTCCGTCCTGCATGAGGGTGGTGCGTCTACGCGCGTCCATGCTGTCGTGAGGTTGAGTAGAAAGAGGTAGTGGACTGTGATGTAACGTTTGTTGACACTCAGGCGCGACAAAGGGCTTTCATTAGACGCGACTGTCTTTTTGCTTAATTGTTCCCCCCCTTTATGCCCCGATTAGCATCCGAAGCCTGGCCTTCCCGCCTCCACTTTTTGCATGACGGCACACGTGTGGATCTCCCGATCACACCCGATGCTGCGAGATCTGTATCTAGGGTCTGTAGGAGTAGTGAGCTTAAATTAGGTTGAATTAGCTAAGGCTCATTTCCGCTTGGAGTAAATTCTCCGCAAGCGTCGTGGTCGCTAGCAAGCTTTTAGGGGGATCCTCGCTTGAGGTACCTCCACTCTGACATGATTATCGCAGCTCAGAGCATTCGGCTGTGTCATTCGAGCTCATATCCGGCCGTACCGTAGCATCGAATCTACAAGCCAAGATCTAAAAGCCAAAACAGACATCAGAGACAACGAGACATTCAGTCAGTCAGTCAGCATCCTCACATCAACACAAGAGACGGAGAATAGAGATCGGCTCCCCCTTCTTCGCTCCACAATCTCTTCTCTTCTCTTTGTTCTTCCTTCGACCCACACCAACCACTATCCAACATGGAGGCATACCAGCAACGCCCACAAGGCTACTATGGCTACGCCCAAGCCCCCATCTTCGCCCAGCCTCAGCATTATCAACTCCCCTACGATATGCAGCAGCAGTTCCAAACAATACAGCCAACACACCCAATGGCATTCCACCCTCCGCCTCCGCTTTACAACATGAACCAGCAGGCGTCGGGCTCCCACCACTCGACACCGCCCGTCGATCTCAATGGGCACTCGCCAGAAGGATTTGACGCGCAGGGGCAGGCGGGACAGATGGGCAAGTGGAAGTCGGAAAAGGAAAAGGAAAAGGAGGGGCCGGTCAAGAATGCTTGTCTGAGTTGTCGGAGCAAGAAGGCCAAGTGTGATGGAGTCCAGCCGATCTGCGGACAGGTGAGCTTTTCTGACTGGCATAGCTGATGTCAGTGCGAGAAGAAATCTCTCGAATGCGTGTTTGTCAAGAGCAGGCGAGGCGGCGCGAGGAAGAAGAAAGATAGTGAGTGATATGCTTGGCAATAGCTGACAGCAGCGCTTCCTCCTTCCGCTCTCCAGGAATTCTTGAAAAAGCTCGATGGGCTTCTCGGGCTGCAGGAACCTCTGCCAGATGTTGAGGCGGTCGAGCCGAGTGAGGATATGACGGATATCGTGCGCGAGTTTACTAGTCGAGAAGAAATGTAAGCTCCAGTGCCAAGCAAATGCTAATGATAAGACTTTCCTGCTATTACAATGAAGTTCACCCATTCCTCCCTGTCATGCCGCAACGTCACCACAGCAAAGACGTCCTCCTTGCCCTTCTCGCCGAATCACCGTTCCTACTCGCCGCCCAGACTATCCTCGTCCTCGTCCCCCACCCCATGGACCAAAATGCCAATTCCGCCAATTCCAAGCGACTCCGGGTCGCAATGTCCAACTACCTCGGCTCGCAGACCATGCAACTGGTCGATCGCCTGATCGCTGCGCCTGAGCCCACCTCGCTTGAGTGTGTTCAAGCACTCACCATGCTATCCCTATGGGAATGGGGAAACGCTGGAAACCTCAGCAAGAACCGCGCTCGCGCAGGTCAGGCCATCCAAGTCGCAATGGACATTGGTCTGCACGAGATGGATCGGTTCTCTGAGGGACGCTCGGTCGAGGGTGATTGGCGGGCAGACATGGCGCGGCGGACATGGTGGACGACCTATGTCGCCCAGCTCACCGCGGCCATCATCTCGGGCAACATTCCGGTTCTCGGTCCGGACGATCCTCGCGTCCGCGTCGACTTCCCCGTCTGCTCCCTTCCCGATAATGCCTGGCCCAATTGGGTCAATGCCAACCGGCAATGCGTGCGGGTTTTCAACCTCGTCAATTCCGTCTACTATGCGCAGGCGTCTTCTCAGACATGGGGAGCCTCGACGGAGGCTGGCTCGCCAGAGGAGCATGAAGATATGACGAGGCGGATGATTGAGGTGGATCGGGAGGTGATGGATATGATGAAGCAGGCCGAGGCGATGGCCGTCATTGAGCTGGTGCCAGGCGGAGAAGAGGAGGTGGTCCGCAACCAACAGCTCTCGGCTCGGCTCGGTCTCGCCGTCGTTCACATTCACATCCACCGACAACAGGCGTTCCCAGAGGTCAGCTTGTTCTCCAAGCGGATCTGCGGTCTCCCTCAAGCGCCAGACTACTCGGAGCAAATCCCCCTATTGGACGACGTCGCCGTGCCCCAGGCACTGGCAAACGGCGACCCATACTCGGAAACCCCTCAATACCAGGCGATGAACCAGACAATTCCCATGCCCCCACAGCCCGGACTCTTCCAGACCGAGGATCGGAACGACATCGTCTCGGAGATGTGGCAGCCAGAGACGTACCCGGAAGACCTGCCTGCTCCGTGGTTTGTCAACGCGGGCGGAGCGGCCAACCTCTATGCCCCGACCCACAATCAGCCACGGCACGTCGAGGCCAGCATCGTCCCTATCGTATCGCCCCGCGCCCGTCGGCTCTCCACGCCATCCGTCAGCGCCTCCCTCAGCCAGAAACCGCACAAGGCCTGGGGTGTGGACGCGAACGACAACATTACGGAGCCGGAACGACCTATCGGCGGACCTCTTCACATCTTCCCTCCCGGCATATCACTAGCGCGATGCGCTACCGCCGCCCACACTATCGTCCGGCTCGAGGTCCTCCATCGCTCGGCGACTATCGCAATGTGGAAGGGTCCGCCCAAGTGGCTTCCCTTCTGCGCGTGCGGTCTGGTCACTGGCGCGTACGCGTTCCTGCTTTTGGCGTTGGCGGTGCAGGCGGAGAATACGTTTGGGCAGAGTAACGAGGGCAAGGCAGAGGAGGTCGAGGCGTTGTTGACGAATGTCAAGGTGATTCTTGCGGGGTTGGAGGCATATGGGACTATGTGGGGCGGGATTGAAGTTATGGCTGGTGAGTATTGCGGTCTTATTCAGGGGGGCAAGAGCTGATAGACATAGGTGAGGTCAGGGCAGCTCTGGAAGCAGCCGCGAGACTACCGTACGAGGTCCGCTCGCAGGTCGAGAGTGCGGGCTCGGCGTCCCCAACGGATATGGCCATGGGCGTGGCGCAGCACAGCTCGTCAGAGAGTATCGAGCAGCAGCGATACCCGCAATAGACTGTGGAAGGAGAGTATATGCGCGTTGGGGATTGTATTTTGGATACTGGGGACCAGTTTGACATTGGGCAGTGGGCGCTACATACAGGAAGCCAAGTAGTTTAGTAAATGTACACCATCATATCACTTTGCAACTGTGCCGTATGAGGCTCAGTGGAGATGGGTATCCAGCGGGCCTAGTGCGGGCCGGTGGCCGGGTGGGGACGGGTGGGGAACGCGCCAAGGTACGAGTCCAATTCCGTCGAAACCGAGCTTCAAGCTTCAAGCTCAAGCTTTTAGCTTCAAGCTCAAGCTTTTAGCCTCAAGCTACATACTTCCTCTTCTCGCTCCTTGTGTGACTGATTGAGAGAACCATCACATCAGAATGGAAGCAGTGGATCCGGCCGGAGAATTCGCCGCGAACCTTCATACGCTCGTTTCACACCTTACCGAGCGACACGATGATCTCCCCACCCTCCCCACCCTCCCCGCGCCCGAGACTGTCCAATCTACCATTGCATCCCTTCCTGCGACACTCCCCGACGCTGGGCTCGGAACGACCGCGACCGCCTCATACCTCCTCAATGACATCCTCCCTGGATGCCTCTCGGCGCAGAACGGGCCGAACTACTTTGGCTTCGTTGTGGGCGGAGTGACACCCGCGGCCCAGCTTGCGGACATCCTCGTTGGAGCTTACGATGAGAATGTGCAAGTGACCTTACCGGGCCAAACGGCAGCTACGGCTATAGAGGCGAGGGTGTTGGAGCTGGTATTGGATCTGATGGGGGTGGAGAGGGCCAAATTTGGGGGCAGGACGATAACAACCGGTGCGACGGCTAGTAATGTGCTTGGTATGGGTCAGTCTACGCGTTGCTCCTCTCTTGCTCCCCATATCAAGCTGAGAGCATGTTAGCATGCGCAAGAGAATACCTCTACGCCCACTCACCACATCTGCCCAAAGACTACTCGTTTGCCCGCTCTGGTCCGCCCTCATCCCCAAACCTCCCTAGCCCGCCCATCATCGTCCTCGCCCTCCACCCACACTTCTCCATCCTCAAAGCCGCCGCGCTCGTCGGGATCGGGTCTGGACCCAACGTCGTCCATCAGATCCCTTGTCAAGAGGAGGACGAGCTCGCCTTTGATCTGGCGGCGCTGGAGAAGCGACTGGCAGAGGAGAAGGAGGTAGGAAGGGGTGTGGTGGTGGTGTATGGCCTAGGGGAGGTGAATACCGGCGAACTCGGGCGGGACCCACCGCGCGTGGCGGAGCTGTGTAGGACGTATGGGGCTTGGCTGCATATCGATGCTGGTGAGTAATAGACTAAGTGGAGCTGACAGTAGCCTTTGGAGGATTTGCGAGCGTCGTTCCGGAGCTCAGGCACCTCGTGGAGGGCATGGATCAGGCTGACTCGCTCACTCTCGACGGTGAGCTATCATATCCACATCCATTCTGTGCGGAAGATCTTAGCTGATCGTGTAGGTCACAAATGGCTCAATGTCCCTTACGATTGCGGTCTCTTCTACACCAAATCCGCTCACGCCCTGCCGGGGGTCTTTGCGCCAGTAGAAGCTCCCGCATACCTCACCGCCAGCTCCACCTCGGCCGGCACAGCTGGTCCGCAGGACGGGCAGGTCATACATGAGCAGGTCCCCAGCCCGCTCTACGTCAACATCGAGAATTCGAGGCGGTTCAGAGCCCTACCACTGCTGGCTAGTCTGATGTCGCTTGGGAAGGATGGGTACAGAGGTGTGTCTCTCCTACCGCTCATTCGCTTGATCCGGCTGAGGGCACAGATCTGATCCGGCGCAACATCAAATTCGCCCAGTCGATAGCGACCTATCTCCACAATTCACCATTCTACGACCTCCTCAATACCTACCCTGGCGCCGACGCGGCCAAGCAGGGCATCATCCCACTCAATATCGTCCTCTTCGCACCCGCCCGGGGTGGTAGCCTGGAAACAGGCGCGGAGTTGGCGAATGCCATCAATGCGACGAGGAGGATGTATGTGACGGCGACGAAGTGGAGGGGAAGGGGCGCGGTTAGATTGGCGGTCAGTAATTGGCGGACGGGGCTTGGGGGCGAGGAGGAAGTTAAGCGGATAGTGGGGATTTTAGAGGAGGTCATGCGGGAATCTGGCAAATCTGGGATGTAATCTTGATAGGAAGTCTGGAAGAACTGGGGGTGGCCGATTCTCCTCATCCGTTGCCCTGTACTCTTGATCGATTGATCTGCGCTCGTTGCACTGCAGTCTGCTGCGCCTGCCACTCCGTAAGGAATGAGGAGCAACTACCCCGCGGAGATCTCCGCGCTGTCGCGTCATGGGGTCTCCGCTCGGGTCAGCCAAAGCTTCTTGTCATCAACCTTGCTCTTATCTCCAATATCCCTTTTCGTTCGCCTCCTAGCTCGTACCAAGCGCCAGCGATGCAAGTGACACAGAGAGACCCCGCCGAACCGCTTTGGACGGCGATAGGGTGAGACCCATCGCTTGCGTGCGTTCGCGAAAGGGCAGGTGCTTACGTCCAGGCAAACCTCCAACCAGCTGATCCTGTACCATCCACCCTCTCACGCACTCTCTGTCCAGTCCCACGCTCCTTTACCCACTCCTACAGCTGGACCCTCTCGACCCCGCCAGCCCCTATTATTGGCATACGACCCGCCCACGCCCACCCCGCTCGTCCAACTCTGCCCGTACTGCTCCCAAGCCCTTCCAAGCGATTCTGTTCCCTTGTCTCGAGATGACTCGACGGCGGACATAGCAGCTTTAAGTCGGACGCCATACTTCCGAGTCCTGGAGCGGGCGCATGAAGGGTCCATGCCGCCTTCGCCTAGACTGAGGAATGTGTCGGTCGCGCCATCAATGGAGTCTGACGAGGATGGTGATCAGGATGGCGGGCAAGAGGGCGGTACGGGACTGGGAGAAGACGATGGGGGGAGTCTACCGAGTAAGGGGTACTACGAGCGCTTCTTCAGGGAAGAAAGGAGGTTGGGGATGGGCGCAGAGGGGACTGTGTTTCTGGCGACGCATGTGATAGGGGGAAACGTACTTGGTGAGCTATGGGTCGATTGCGCGTTATGGAACGAGCCGCTGACTGGTAGGGACATATGCTGTCAAGAAGATAGCAGTGGGAGAGTCTAAGGAGTACCTCATCCGGATGCTGCGAGAGGTCAGGCTTCTGGAGACCTTGCGACATCCGAATATCATCCCGTATCATCACTCGTGGATCGAGCCTACCCATTTCTCAGCGTGAGTCTCAAGCGCAGTCGCGACTAACACGGAGAATGACAGAGGCCCGGACAAATATACGGGTGTTGGGTTGGTGAGACTAAGCTAACTTTGCAGCTTTGGCCCGCCCATCAACGCCCTCCACGTGCTCATGATGTACGCCACCGCCGGCAACCTCGACACCTTCCTGCTCGCCCGTACACATACCCTGGATCCCAGCGGACCCGGCCGGACCGCCGCAGATCTCGGAGATGCCGACTCGCTCGGTCAACTGCCTAGGGAAGAGCGGATCAAGGCCTTCAAGAAGCGCCGGGCGAGCGGGGTGGGACGGAAAGAGGAGAACAGGGGAGTGATGATGCTGGGAGTGGCGGAGGTATTGAGGTTATTTGGGGACGTAGTTGAGGGCCTGGCATTCCTGGTCAGCATTCACCATCACTACCGGTAGAAGAGCGCGGCTGATGAGTGTGTAGCATAGCAACTCGATCGTGCATCTCGATCTGAAGTGCTCGAATGTCCTACTCCATTGGGAGGAGGGAGGGTTGATGTGAGCCATCCTGGTTGATGCTGGTCGCGAATGATAGGCTGACATGTCAGACCCAAAGCCTTGATATCGGACTTTGGTACAAGCGAAGAGCTTCTCCTCGGCCAGCGACAACGAACCGGACATACCGGCACCATGGAGTGAGCTCCTCGAAGCGGATCACTCTCCGTGCAGCACCCGGCTACAGCTGACGTGACAGGTATATGGCTCCAGAGACGCTCGTGGTGGACGCTAAAGGACAATGGCGTCCGACAGACTCACACGGTGACATGTGGTCTCTCGGTACGTTCTATGCCGCAACACGCATTGCGGAAGTCAGCTGATTGACAAGGCATGATCCTGCACAAGCTCCTGTTCCTGGCCTTGCCGTATACCGCCACTGCAGACTTTGACGAGCTACAAGCGGAGATCATTCGGTATACTGGGTAAGCTCTCGAGTGACTCCTTCTTCGAGAAAGCCTGACAGCTAATACTTCAGCTTCCAACCCTCGCAAGACCTCATCAACTCGTGTGAGCGCAGACACGTTCCGCGGAGCCTGCTACTACTGCTGTCTAAGCTGGTCTGCGTCAACCCGGACCAGAGGCCGACAGCGGACAAAGTCAGAGCTGCTCTCAAGAAGATGGTAAGCTGGTCCTTGACAGCTCTTCTTCAAGCGGACGGTCAGCTCATTGAGCCAGTCTCCTGAGTCCAGCCCGAGCGGTACATCTGGCCAGATCGTCCAGCGCGGGTTTGGCAAGCTAGCTGGGGTCTTCTCGGACTCCTTCCGCACAGTCAATGCAGCGGACACGAGGAGCAGAGTACGCGCCCCGTTGCCGGCCCGCCACACAGCTGACATCTCAGTGGGAAGATGACTGGCAGGTCTCACCTGTCCGTTCCTTGCCTCTCCCAGCCGGCACCCGATCCGGGATCGAGCGGATCGCGACGCCGGTACCCACATCGCTCGGATCTCAGTCATGGACCACCGATCTTTTACGCCTGGTCAGACAGTACCAGACCGAAATTCGAGCAGCGGTGTTTATTCTGAAGATCATGTCGCTGCAACCGTTCGTCTCGGGTGGCAAGTCCCCGCTGGCGGTGTTCGTTCTGCTTGTATTGGCGCTTTTTGAATTGAGGGGCGTATCTTGGGCTGTGAGTGGGGCGTTGGGAGCTTTACATATGGCTGTACTGTATGCAGATGTCTAAGATAAGACCGAGCGTCGATCCAAGCAAGTTTCAATGAGGTCGCAGAAATGAGGGGAAAGAAGGGGGGAGTGAACCAGATACAAATGCTTTTGTGATTATATACGTTTGCGAAAAGGCATATTCAGCGACAACGTGCCCGAGCGGTTAAGGGGTTTGACTCGAATTAATGTGTCCGATCTATCAAATGCGGTTTCGCGCGTAGGTTCGAATCCTACCGTTGTCGATTAATCTTTTTGTCTACAAGATGCGTGAGCTGCGACCACCTTTTTTGCCTCTGCATATGCGTGGGCTCAGATGAGCCATGCACAATTGTTATCTTTTTCGCCATCCCATCGCAAAGGGCGCGCAGAAGTCCCGGATGAAGGAAGGAGCGCGCTGAGGATTGGTGCATGGTGACGTGGGATTTACAGCTTGGCTCTGACGTTGACGATCGCGCGTCCATGGCCTCCGCCGAGCTCGACCGTTCAATCATTCCTTGACTTCACTTACCTCTCTTCTCATATTCCGCAACCATCTAAACACACAGAATGGCTATCCCGGTAGCCGAATCATCCATGTCGTCGCAGGTCGCCGAGGCGGGGCGGATGGCGAGTGCGGACCCGACTAAGGCGGAGGAGCTGTACAGGGGGGTACTGAGCCGGACGGCAGGTGAGTTCCGCGACAAGGCCGAGGTCCAGTCACGCCTGTCAAAGAGCGCTCTGGGTTTGCAGGAATACTACAGACGAGAAGATATACCCAATGGGGTCACTTGCAGGATACAGCTATAAGCCCCGGACCCGAAGACCTAGCTGATCAACCAGCTGATGAGGATGATTTGAGGGATCAAGAGGTTGCGCTGGGCAAGCTCGGCGCGTTGTATCGGGATCACGAGTGAGTCTGCGACAAGGAACTATGCTGTGAAAGAGTGGAGAGCTGATTAAGCTAGCAAAACGAAAGAACTCGCTCAACTTGTGACTGACTCGCGGACGTTCATGTCACAAATAGCCAAAGCGAAGACCGCGAAGCTCAGTAAGCTCGCTTTGGCCCGGTCGGGATTGGACGTTGAGCTAACTATGCAGTCCGTACACTTATCGACTACTTCCCTCCCACCGCCCGAGATCTGCAAATGCAGGTTGTGAATGACAATATCGAATGGGCGAAGAAGGAGCGGAGAGTGTTCCTGCGGCAGAGCCTCGAGATCAGGCTGGTTGGACTGTAAGTCCGCTCATTGAGCTTCCCGGGTACACCGCACAGCTCACAATCATAGACAAATAGAGGCCCAGAATTACCGGCAGGCGTTGACGATGACGGAAGGGTTACTGAAGGAGCTGAAGCAGCTGGATGACAAGATCATCCTGACTGAGGTGTTCTTGTTGGAGTCGAGGGCGGCGCATGCTATCCAGAACTTGCCACGAGCAAAGGTGAGCTGGTTTGTTCAGCACATGTTGTGAAATATAGCTTATAGTCCAGTCCGCACTCACATCTGCCCGGACTACCGCCAACTCGGTTTACTGCCCTCCCCTTCTCCAGGCTCAGCTCGACATCCAGGCCGGCGCGGTCAACGCCGACGACAAGGACTACAAGACGGCCTACTCTTACTTCTTTGAGGCGTTTGAAGGGTTTGCACAGGCGGACGAGAAGGACCCGAGGTCGTTGAAGGCGTTAAAGTACATGATGCTGTGCAAGATCATGATGAGCTTGGTTAGTTTAAGCGGCCTTGGAAGGGGCTGTGAATGATCCGCTGACCATTCCAGCCAGAGGATGTGCCGCCACTCTTGCTCTTGAAGAGCGCGGCTCCACATCTCGGTAGAGATCTGGACGCTATGCGGGAAACAGCCGCGGCGCTGAAGGCGAGAAGTCTGGATATGTTCAAAACAACATTGAAGGAGTACAATCAGCGTGAGTCTCGAGCATTCGTAACCCGGCGATGATGTCGCTGATCTTTCAGAACTGCAACAGGACCCTCTGATCCGTTTCCACCTCTCCCTCCTATATGACACTCTTCTCGAGCAGAACCTGGTCCGCGTCATCGAGCCATACTCGTCCGTCGAGCTCAGTTGGATCGCACAGGAAGTCGGGCAGAGTCTGCAGGTCGTAGAGGAAAAGTGAGCTAGCTGAATTTGATTGATCAAAGCACGGAGCATAGCTAATAATTCAGATTGAGCCAGATGATCCTGGACCAAGTGTTCCACGGCGTCCTGAACGAGAGTCAGGGGACACTCGAGGTGTATGATGAGCCGGTCGAGGATGCCATGTACTCGACGGCGCTGGAGACGCTGAAGCAGATGGGAGACGTGGTGAAGGGCTTGTACGAGAAGGCGACCCAGGTAGCATAGACGTAAATGACACCAATCATGCAGCAGCGTAAACGCATCGAATTGACCGGATTAATGCCTACATCCGATACGATATTGCAGGCGATCCTTCTCGTCCTTGTCCCTGCTCCCCACTCTACCTCGCCAGGTCTAATTGACTATTACAATTCTGCTCTCTGCTCCTATGGTCATCAAATTCGTCTATCTACATGAGGTCAAGCGGGGAAAGTGTCCGAGGATGAGAGTGGGCTATCAGGCGGATTCCTGGGTTCTAGTACACCGTCTAGTTCTCTCTGATAGCTGTCAGTTCTCGTTCCTCATCCCGCGTTGGTGAAGAAAACCACCCACGGGATCCTAAACACCGTAATCTCCTGCTGCTTGAAATACCGCCTATTCTCCTCATCAATCAACACCAGGTTCAGATAATACCGCGTCGAGAACTTCTTGTTCACATCGCGGAACGTCGGTGTCAACTCGAAGCCGCCCAGGAAGAGCCGGATAGGTATAGTCTCTCCGCGAACGGGCGCGCCGTCCATGATTTCGAATTTGGTGATGGTTTCCGACTCGTTGTATTGGTTTGGAGCAGCCCCTGTGGTTTCTCGACGGATAATGGAGAGCTCCATGTGTTTGATTTTGATCCGGACGAGGAGGAAGTAGATCTTGCCGACTATGACGTCTTTGAGGTGGTATCTGGGGGTCAGCGCAGGGCAGACAGAGGTGTCGGGAAGGAGCCAGCAAGCAGACATCCCGTAGACAGCAAATCGCCATGCAGCACAATTACTCTTGGTCCGACACGATAGACAGGAGACAGACTCACTTGGCTTTATTGTACTCGAATTCGATATGCAGACAGTCCTCGATCCCCACCTCCATCTTGATGCTCGTATTGCTATCTGGCGGCATCCTGTAGCTGTGCACCCACAACTCCCGCTCCTTGATCACCTCTCCCATCCGCCTCGCCAGCGTCACCCGCAAGTAGTACCGCAGCTTGACATTGATGCCCGCATACGACTCGTACTGCTTTTCGACGTTTTTGAACGTGAAATCAAAGGTCTGGGCTTGGCGCATCTCGGCGGCCGCAGCTAGTTCTTGTGAGAGGGATACGAATTCGTAGTGGTTCCCGCGGTCGTAGAAGAGCTCTACGGATCAGCGGGTGCTCATCTCGGCCGGAGGTGAAGGCAGGCCAAGACCACGAACCTATTGAGCCGATAAGCTCTATTCTTATCCCGTCGTGCTGGAATTTCTTTCCGTCCTTCACACGTATATTGACCTTCGATATGAGCTCTCGCTATCTGAAAGTCAACCTAGCGCTACTCACCTGCCCGACGACACTCTCCCCATCGTAGAATACCGGACACATGACCTTCTGGTCCTTCTCCCCCTTGACCTCGACCTGTTTCCGGTCATCCTCGCCTGCTAATCTGATATCCACCTCTACAGGTGCGGCGCCAAAGTTGAAAAAGGAGGCCATGGTATGTGGGCGTGGTGATTGAGGTGTAGGTGGGGACAAGCAATGTAATGATCCTTGCTGAGCGCTGAGCGCGAGCCATGTGAGTACGGTGACGCTGGACGCGTTACGTAACAGCGTAGCATTCCTCACGGCTGTTTGGGTGGCAAGAATCGTCGGTGCATGCACATCTTGCGTGTGGTCGTGTTGCATCGTGCTGAGGTCCCAACGGGTGTGGACTTCGAGAGCATGACAGCGAGGCGCCCGACACAGCGCCAATAGTGTGGGAGCGATTGGAGACTTGTACTGTTACTGCCACTCTCAGGGTGAATCTGAAACGCGCTATGACATGCCTCGTGTCGGACTCATCCGAGACGCATCCAGCGTTGTCCTCCTGTCTCTTGCCTTCGCTATAGCCCAGTATGGCTCCCTTACAGTTCCAGCCCATCTCATCACAGCCTACAGCGGCTTTCTGGTCAGCCCTGACTGCTCTCAAGCTCGACAAGCTCAAGCTAGACGATAGCCAAGTGGACATCACTGCGTGGTTGGAGCAAGGCAGGGAGATCAGGGACAAGGAAGCCAAAGTTGAGGATGAGACTGGTCTCGTCGGGGTGGATGGGGTACTAGGGGTGGGCAGCGCAGCATTTGGCGAAGAGGGAGAGAGGTGAGTGTTATGCCGGAAGTGCCGATGGCTGAGCTGAACGGTAGACCACCACCAGGGTCAATCCCTATCAAAGGGATCTTCAAGAACTTCAACACCATCGAGGAGTTCAAGTCGACAGAGCACAAGAAGGCTTTGTTCGACTCCGTAGCGGATAAGATACTCGCTTCGTTCGATACCGATGCGCCTGACCTCAATCCGTTTCTACTGGTCACTTTCGCCGACCTGAAGAAGTATGTCTACCATTACTGGTTCGCGTTTCCCGCTTTGGTCGCTAAGCCGGGATGGGAGGTAGAGGGGGAGTGGGTTGAGACCAACGAGGAGGTGAGCTTCGTGCGACTCATCGACATTGATAGTGTTCAGCGTAGCTCACGCGTTAGGCCATGGGCGAGATCTACAACTTGCAAGACACCTTGCTGATAGCCGGATCTAGCAACGGTTTCCTCGTCCGCGGGGTAGCTGGACAGCGTCAAGTGGCGCCAATCAGCGAAGCAAGCTCGTTCTTTGCCTCTGTACCAAAAGAGGAGGTGAGTCTAGCGATCGTCTCTGCTGACAGTAGCGCTGTATAGCCTTCCACGATCCCTCATCCCTCCCCTCCAACCCCGGCTGGCCATTAAGAAATATCCTCTACTACCTCTCCGCACAACACGGCATTCGCCGTATCAAGGTGATATGCCTACGAAGTGGATCGGCAAGCCGTCAGGCTGTAGTCTACCAGCAAGAGGGGGAAACGGAGGCAAAGCCACAGGCGGTCGGATGGGAGCGGAACAAGGCCGGTAAGCTGGGAAGTAGGATGGTGGATCTCGGCTCTGTCCTCGACCCTGCAAGGTGTGTTATTCCCCAGTGACAGTGGATCTATCTGATATTCAGATTAGCAGATCAAGCGGTCGACCTGAATCTCAAGCTTATGCGATGGCGGATCATGCCGAGCCTGGAGCTGGAAAAGGTGGCTGCTACAAAGTGTCTCTTACTTGGAGCTGGGACACTAGGATGCTACGTCGCGCGATGTCTGATGGTGAGTGGTCAGCTAGCCTGCAAATGGGACCGAGTCGGAGCTGAATCGACAGGGTTGGGGAATACGGGATATCACCTTTGTCGATTCGGCCAAAGTGTCATTCTCGAATCCGGTCCGACAACCGCTCTTCGAGTTTGAGGACTGCTTGAACGGCGGGAAGCCGAAAGCGCAGTGTGCCGCCGACAGCTTGAAGCGGATCTTTCCCGGCGTAGTGAGGCCTTCATTCTTGCTTCGGCATGCTGCTGATTCGCAGAACGCCCAAGCCCACTCATTCATGATTCCCATGCCCGGTCATCCGGTCTCCTCGTCAGCCGAGAAGCAAGTTGCCGAGGACGTCCAACACCTCGAGGATCTCATCAGGTCACACGACGTCGTCTTCCTGCTCATGGACTCCCGCGAGTCTAGATGGCTGCCCTCGGTCATAGCAGCAAGCAAGGGGAAGATCGTCATCAACGCCGCTCTCGGCTTCGACACTTATCTCGTCATGCGGCATGGAGGCGCACCGGGATCTGGAGACGGGAAGAGACTGGGCTGTTACTATTGTAACGATGTCGTCGCTCCCATGGATGTGAGTCACTCTCAGGTATAAGCTGATGAGCAGTCTCTGACCGACCGAACGCTGGACCAAATGTGCACAGTCACTCGACCAGGGATCGCACCCATCGCTGCCGCCTCCGCCGTCGAGCTGCTCGTCTCCCTCGCCCAACATCCAGCTGGAGTCGACGCTCCCGCCGACACATCCACCACCGCCCCATCAGCCACATCATCATCCACCTCCCCACTCGGTCTCGTTCCACATCAGATCCGCGGCCAGCTCGCCTCGTGGAAGAACGTCCTCGTGGAAGCGCCGGCCTTTGATCGGTGCACCGGCTGTTCCCAGGCTGTGGTGGACGAGTACAGGGCGAAGGGATTTGAGATGATGCTGAAGGCATTCAATGAGGGAGAGTATCTCGAGAAGCTGACGGGGCTGGATCGGTTGCAAAAGGAGAGCGAGGAGATGATGGCGGGTGAGGAATGGGATGATAGTGATGAGGATTTTTGAGCGCTCGCGGCGATTCATCTGAGGATGCGTATAGTAGGTATATGATGGCGTGCAGATGAGATCCGACCCCTATAGATGTCTCCCTGCTTGTTCCTCCTCTCCTACCCTTTTACTGCATGACCAGAGTCATGATCATAGGAGAGCTTGCCTGCCGTAAACCCGGACGTCACCGGCATTGTCCGACGGATCAGCTGATTTTTTGGCGGACAACCGTCTCTGCGATCCTTGTTTGTCTAGCTATAACATATCAGGCTATATCTACAACAGGCATCGACACAACGCATAGGTTGAAGCGCGTCCGAAGAAGCTAGCTCAGAGACTCGGCCCATTTCAAGAGCTAGAAACGGTCTAGCTGGGGCAAGGCGACTACTCCTTCGGTTCCTGTGGCGACAGGCCATCCACCGTCATCATCATCATGCTGCCTCGTAGGCTCGCAGTGCGAGCATCTTCGCTAGCCAGCTGCTCGTGTCGCTGTCACCTACTGATCGCTCCCGTCGCTCGGTTCCTACCCATCCGCACCCTCACATCCTCCACCTCACGATGGAAGCCGGCCGCCGCTCAGCTGGCCGAGCCGGAACAGGACTTCGAGCCCACATATCACCACACTCCCGCCGCACTATCCTCTATCGACTCATCCCTCCTCTCCACGCTCAATCCTCTGGATCGCAGACCGAGGATTCACGTACCCTCCCCCCTTCCTTCCGATGTCATCACCCCTTCGTCGGATCCTCGATCCACTCTCTACCCCACTACCGGCGTCATCGACTCGGTATCGATGATCTCTATCTGCCTGCGCAGACCGGAACACACACCTCGTGCATATCAGATCTTCATGCAGCTCCTGGAAGATCATCGGTCTGGCAAGTCCCAGCCGCCCAGCGCGGAACTGTGGGGCAGAGTCACGGAGGGGGCCGCGCGGTTGGGAGGCGAGATCAACACCAAGGATGCGGCGAAGAGGGAGACGTGGACTAGGCGGGCGCAGAACCTCGTTGATAAGTGGGAGATGCATCAGCGGACGAGAGGGCTCAGTGTGGTCGCCGGTGGTGGCGAGGGAGGGATCAAGGTGTATCAAGGATGGTTCGCTGGTAGCGTCAGGTAAGCCCCTTCCACCGGGCTTCAGAGTGAGATGCTGACAACCAGTGTGGGATCATCCATAGATGCGCTGGCACCATACTTCAGCAACGATTCTTTGAAGGCAGATCAGCTGTTTGAAGCGATCCGCCCGTCAGATTTGCCGTTGGCGTACGAGGCATTGGCGGATCTTGCACACAGACATCATCTGAAGGATCTGGGGGAACAGGTGCATGACCATCAGGAAGGGGAGAGGAACCGGCGGGAATTTATCGCAAGGGCTGTCGTGGACGAGGTCAAGCCGGTCTCGGAGGTGAGTTCGGATGTCTTCGCGTCGTACTCGAAAGTTGACAACCCAGACTGCGGGTCGCAACATTCTCCGCCATCGTACACAGGAAATTTTACACGCCGATGCCGGGGCTGACGCCGAAGCCGAAGCCGCTTCTCCACGATTCGCTGTGGTCAACTTGCGAAACAACCTTTCCGAGATTAACAACGCAATCTCGCCTCGCCAGCGGCAATTCAATCTTGAAAATGCGTCTTATGCCGCGGCCCAGGCAGAGATGAAACGGGCATACGAGATCACCGACAAGGACAAACGGGCCGGGTCTACAACGTCATCCCATACGGCGGACGATTCAATACTACAGCGCCAGAAGCTGCAGGGCTGGATGTACGAGTGGCTGGGCGCGCTCCAGGAGAAATTGAAGAAGGATATACAGGCGATGAAGGAGCGGAACGGAGGGGATGCGTCGGAAGAGGTACCAAACATGACCACCGGGACAAGGGGGATGAAGGAGGATACCTTGGTGCTCTACCTCAGCCTCCTACCGCTGGACAAGCTCGCACTCATCACCATCATCGAGCTCATGCGGCAGGCAGGGAGCCACGGAGTCGCAGATGGGATGAAGTCGCTGCGAGGGTTCCTGGCGGTTGGCAAGGCGATCGAGACGGAGTACCGAGCGGAAACGATCAAAACGGTTGCTGGAGTTGACTCGCCCCAGTGGCTGAGGACGCTCGACCCGCAGACGCAGAAACCGACCAGACAGCTGGTGGGGTCGGTGTGGCGCAAATTAGGGAAGCAGCTGGATCAGCCGGACGGGGAGAGGCAAGTCATGGACACGGAGACGGAGGAGGACTTGAGGGCGGTCTGGACTCCGGCTTGGTCGCAGATGACACAACTGGGGCTGGGGAGTTATCTGGTTGACGCCTTGCTGCAAGTAGCCAAGGTGGACAGGACAGCCATGGACCCAGCGACTGGAGAGCGAATGTGAGTGCTCCCTTGCATCACCAACCTGACAATGTTGACAATGTAGCGTCGAGCAGCAGCAAGCTTTCACTCATGGCTACGACTACATGAGAGGCAAAAAACTCGGCGTCATCCGGCTCAACCCGGTCGTGGCCAGTCGCCTGCAGAAGGACAGCACCTTGCTCATGGTCCACCCGAAACATCTACCGATGTTGGTTCAGCCGCGAGCATGGGAGGACATTGAGGTCGGGGGCTACCTCACCCACAAGGTGCCGGTCATGCGGTACAAGGAGTCCACCGAACAACGGACCTATCTCCGCGCAGCCTCGGCCAACAAGCACATGGAGGCGGTCTATCACGGTCTCGACGTCCTCTCCTCCACTCCATGGGCAATCAACCGGAAGATCTTCGACGTCGTTCTCTCCGCCTGGAACACCGGGGAGCCGATCGCCGATATCCCCGCCAGTGAGGATAAGGCCACGTACGACCTACCGCCCAGGGACGTGTCGGGCGATCCGCAGCAGAGGGCCATCTACGTGGACAAGGCGAAATCGGCGCTGGCGCAGTCCAGAAAGGACCACAACGAGCGGTGTAAATTCAATTACAATCTCGAGATCGCTCGGGCATACCTCAACGACACATTCTACCTCCCCCACTCTATGGACTTCCGTGGTCGCGCCTATCCCATCCCTCCCCACCTGTCCCCGGTCGGAGATGATCTTTGCCGAGGTCTCCTGACTTTTGGCGAGAGGAGACCGCTTGGCAAAGTCGGTCTCAAATGGCTCCAGATCCAGCTGTCGAACGTATACGGATACGACAAGGCGTCGTTCGACGAGCGGGCGCGCTTCGCACAGGATCACGAGGCAGACATCTTCGATTCGGCGGATCGCCCGCTGGAGGGGAACAGGTGGTGGCTCAAGGCGGAAGATCCATGGCAGTGTCTTGCGACCTGCTTTGATCTCACTGCCGCTCTCCGCTCGCCAAATCCCGAGCTGTACGAATCATCATTGCCGGTACACCAGGACGGGACGTGTAATGGGATGCAGCATTATGCGGCCCTGGGCGGAGATGTGAGGGGTGCCAAGGCTGTCAATCTGGAAAATGGGGATCGACCGGCGGACATCTACACGGGCGTGGCGGATGTGGTGAACAAGGTGATTGAGCAGGATCAGGCGGAGGGGCATCCGGTGGCTCAGCTCATCAAGGAGCCGCTGGGGAGAAAGGTGGTCAAGCAGACGGTCATGACGACCGTGTACGGTGAGTTCAACCACCTTGAGGAGCAGATCCAAGCTGACTATCAGGTGTCACCTTCATCGGGGCCCGAGACCAAATTGCCCGACAGATGGTAGCTCGGGGCGACATCTCGTCTGATCAGATCTTCGTCGTCTCCGGCTATATCGCCAAGACCGTCCTGTCCTGCATCGGCGACATTTTCTCCGGAGCCAAGGACATCATGGACTGGCTCACGACGTCCGCGCGGCTCATCGCTCGCTCCATCCCTGCAGAGCGCGTCGAATCGGCGGTGCAGCGCACCAAGACCAGTCGGAACGGCGTGACCAAATACGAAGCACGGCTCGAGAAGGAACTCATGACTTCGGTCGTGTGGACTTCACCGCTTGGTCTGCCTATTGTCCAGCCTTACCGCAAGGCAGCCAAGAAGCAGGTCATGACGGCGCTTCAGTCGGTATACATCTCGGACCCGAATGCCCTGTCCCAGGTCAGTCCGCAAAAGCAGGCCACGGCATTCCCTCCCAACTTTATCCACTCCCTCGATGCTACCCACATGCTTCTGACCGCCACAAGGTGCAAGGTGAGTTGTCATTCCCTGTATTATTGGTTCCGAGCTAATTGGTGCAGCAAGCAGAAATCACCTTCGCCTCGGTACACGACTCTTACTGGACGCACGCAGCTACCGTTGAGCCTATGTCGGAATTGATCCGCGGGGAATTTATCAGGCTCCACTCACAGGATCTCATCGGGCAACTGAGGGATGAGTTCCTGGAGCGTTACGGCGAGCACTTTGTCCCGGTCAAGAACGCTCGGGCCATCTCCAACTCGGCCGCTACCAAACGGAAGAAGGACTCGGAACGGCGAAAACAGCTCGCATCGCTCCTCGGAGAGGACATTGACTCGCCCATCGTCACGGCGGCCGTAGACGGCGTGGACGCGGACGTCTCCAGTCTCTTGTCCGAGTCTGCCGACGCGGACGCGGATGACTCGGATCTGGATGGATTGTCGGCGGAGTCGGACCTGGAGGTGGACGAGGACGTTTCAGAATCGGCAAAGAGGAGGAGTCCGGTATCCCTCGAGCTGAGCACGGCGGATCTGGCGTCGCTGCAGGCGAAGAGTGGCGGTGGGGAGGTACCGGAGGAAGTGTTGGCCGACCAGCGGTTCGTCAAGTTCAAGGATATCTTGCCTCCTCCTCCAGCGAGGGGTTCTTTCGACGTCTCTCGTATCAAGGACTCGGCGTACTTCTTCTCATAGACGACCACTACACGTAGACCCTGCTTGTACTATCTATCACACCACCCCTCTTACTTTGCTTATATTGTTGTACTCCATAGGTAGACTAGACGATCAATACCCAGCATCATATAGTATCTAAGCACTCAATGACCTTCATGCCCAATCATACAATGCAAATCCAGACTAGCCTCATGATGTCTGCACAGATGCCCTGACTCCCCAACACCCCTCCCCTGCCTAGGTCGCCCAGGCTAACCCTTCGTTGCCATCATCTGCATCCCCCTTTGCGCGCCCGCATGTACGGCCGCCATGCTCGCCTTGGCCTGCGCCTCACTGATGATGACCGTCTTTGGTCGCGCAGTAAGGAAGTCACATTCCAGCAGCTCGGTCGCGGTAGGCCGTTTCGTATGGTCGATCTCAAAGGTGCTGTTGAGAAGGTCAAGCGCCTGGGGAGAGATATCGGATGGGATGGCTGGGATGTTTGCTTGGCCGATCTAGATCCGTCAGCTTCCGCTTTGGCATCAAAAAGGCCAAGGCTAGCTCACTCTGAAGATCGCCTGCATCTGGGTAAGGTCCGACCAAGGATGCGTTCCCGTCAACATCTCCACAACCAAGCACCCGACGGACCAGATATCCGCTTTTGAGGTATAGCTCGTCTGCTTGACGATCTCAGGCGCCATCCAGAAGACCGAACCTTGGAGGGATGGCCGACTCGCTCCTATCCCCTGTAGCAGATCTGAGCTTGTCAGCTTTTGCGCTTCACGGCTCAACACGGCTAGACTTACTGCTCTCGACCTTCTTGCTGATTCCAAAGTCGGATATCTTGATCCCTCCCTTGTTATCAACGAGGATGTTCGCCCCCTTAATATCCCGATGAATGATTTCCCGCTCATGCAGGTAGTTCAGACCCGTCAAGATCTGCCGAACAAAGTTGCGTACCAACGCCTCCTCGAACGCCCCGTAATTGTTGAGCAGCGCGGCGATAGAGCCGCCCGGAACGTACTCGAGGAAAATGTTCAGGTGAGTCCCGTCGATCGAGGAGTCTACATCGTCAGCTTCTTGTTCCACTGAAGCGAGGAACATATCTATCTCACCGAGGTATTGCACGATATTCTCATGCTGCAACTCCTTCAAGAGCTCGATCTCCCTCTCCAGCGCTTCAATCATCCCTCTCTTGCGCTCGACGTTTTTGCCCGACCCCAGCTCGACCTGCTTGACAGCCATAAGCAGACCAGACTGGGCGTCCATCCCGAGGTAGACCGAGCCGAAGGAGCCAGCACCAATGAGCGCGCCTTTGATCCACTTGATGATGCGTCCAGCTATAACGTCAGCTCTAGACCTTTGAACCACAACAAAACGACTCACATCCCGTTGAGGTATACGCCTTCCCATGCTCGTCTTCGCCCGCGTCCTCCTCCTCGTCGCTCTCATCTTCGTCCTCGTCACTATCGCTATCCTCCTCGCTTTCGTCATCGCTCTCATCCGCCTCTTCGCTGCCGTCCCCCTCGTCCACCGGCATGTCCCCCACATTGGCGATATCCTGCGGGGGCGCCAGGATAGCCGTCCCTACCACCGCAGGCTCCATCTCCTCTTCATCGCTCGTCTCGTCAAACGAGATAGTCGACGCCCGACGGTTCTCCACCTCGGCCGTGATCTCATCCACAGTGAGCATGGATGCCGTGTCGGACCTATCGCGCGCCCTGCGCATCTGCGAAAAGGTGGACATGCGAGACCGGGACGAAGACGCCGAGTTCCGCCGACCATGCTGCGAGATGGACTTGGGCCGGGCGAGCGAGGCACGCTTGTTAGGCGGGATGGCCGATGCGACGCTGGGGGCAGATACCGAGCGCGAGTATGCTTGGAGCGAATCTGACAAGCTCTCATTGAATGGTTCGAACGCTGGTAGGAGGGGAGGACGGTCCGAATCGGCCCCGGAACTGGCAGAGGTGTCGCCGTCGATCATGGGCCGGCGGATACTGCCAGCCTCGTCCGAGACGCTCATCCGGGGTACGCCAGGCCGCCCGAGGGCCTCATCCGAGCCGCCCGTCTCCTCTCCCTCTTCAGGGATGGCACTTGAGCTGGGAGGACTCGTCATGGTCATCCGACTGGTCGGACGGCGCCGCGGTGGACTTGGCTTGGCAGACGGCGCAAAGTCGAACGACTCTCGCCCGCTCATCACGCTTGGAGCGATACTGCCTCGCTTGGCCCCGTAGATGGACTGCCGGTAGACGCTCTTCCGCACCGTCTTGTCCAGCTCCTTCTTTTTGGCCGAAGGGAAGTATTCCGCCAGATGGTTCGAGATGAGCTCGGAGGGTGGGCGGTGACCGAAAAAGTTGTACATCTTTTTCCGACTGCCGGGGAGGAAGCTAGCCGTTGATGGTGATCGAACGACGGTAGATGGGGAAGGTGGTAGATCGGTGACAGCGACACCAAGTCCGGACATGACGGATACCATGCTCGCGCGGTTGACATTGGCATTGGTGGCGCGGCGGGTACGGGTAGGTGTGAGGAGGTTGGCTGGGTCGGACGATTGGGTCTGGCTGATTCCGAGTCGAGGACCGCCGCCAAAGTAGGTTGGTGATTTGGGAGAGAGAGGAGCGGGTGGCTGCTCGCCAAAGAACTCGGACATGTTCTTGCGATTGCCGAATTTCCTTGATCGACGAAGGACAAGGCCTCTCTCCCGAAGCGCTGATCCATCCCGATGCGAGAGGCAGATGCCAAGTAGTGCAGCTTCCGAAAGTGGTTTGGCTAAACATATCAGCTTCTTCCCGTTCTAGGAGTTGCGCACTTACAATTGTGATCCGCGTCGTCCGTGTACACTCCCCAGCCATCCACTTCCAGCCTCTCCCCCTCCTCGTCACTTTCGCCTTCCGAGCTCACGTTCCCGGTGTTCCACTTGCCAAATTTCTTGAGCACCCTCTCGAGCACCTCGACACCACTCGTACAGCTGCTGACATTGACCGTCCGCGTCGTCCCATCTTCCGAGTTGATGAATTTGACGACCTGCCTGCGGACCTCTTCTAGGCTGATGACCGAGCCGGAGCCGATAGATGCAGATGAGATGGAGTTTTGGCGTGGAGGATTCGCTGCTACGGGTGGGGGTGCTGGCGGTGCAGTCCGAGAAGAGCTGGACTTGAGCGGTCCAGCACCGACAGAGTACCCGCCAGTCTGATTCCGTAGCGAGCCGGAATGGTGATCCCCGCTTCGTGTCGACAGCTCCCGTTCCCGCTCGCGGTCTTTGGGAGGCACGACTTCCTTTGGATCCCTAGTGGCCGCGAAGGGATGTACCGCTGGTTGAGGGTTCCGGTTGACCAAGGCGGAGAACTTGGCTTTGATAGGACTGGGCTGCTTCTGCTGAGTCGAGCCGAACGACGGGCCTGACGACGCAGGTGGCTTGCGTATCCCGTTCGAGCCGCTAAGGGCCGAGACAGACGGCTGACCGTGCCCTGTTGCCGCCCGCCGTTCCGCACAGGATGGAGATGGTCCCTTTCCGTGATTGCTCTGCCAGCTCGGCGGTGTGGGGGTCCCAGCATGCTGTCGAGCGTACTCTGCCGCAGAGCTCGTCGGACCGCCGGAGGAACCAGGTGCTGGGGGTAGAGGCCGATCGACGAAGCTTGCGGAATCAATGCCATTGATGGGACTGGGCGATCGTCTGGCCGTATCCCGGGCAGGAGGTGCCCGAAGATTGAGGTTGGAAGGGAGGGGATGCGGTCGGCTGATGGTGGAAGAGGAATTGAGCGAGGCAGGAGTGATGGTAGCGCTCGAGCTTGTCTGGCTGGATATTGACGGCCGCTGCAAATTTCCGGGATAGACAGGCCCGTTCTGCGTAGATGGACGCGGAGTCGAGGACGGTCCACGCTGAGTCAAGGCGGAAGCTGGCGCATCGTAGATTGACGCCGCGCTGACCGCCGTGCTCGATCCGTTCCCGTTCGGATGGCTGTACGACAGCGACGGGCCGTGACCCCTGCTCGAGCTGTGCAGATCGAGGGGTGGTGGTCGGGCATTTCCAGGCCGCCTCGTGCTCAGGCTGCGATCGATCTTTTCCCTTCTCTCGCCCATACTCGACTGACTGCCGGTATGGCTCAGGCTGCGCTCATGTCCTGGCCGAGTGGGAACCACAAGTCCGCCAACTCCGCCGCTAATTCCCACTCCGCCTCCCGCTCCGCCTACGCCCGCAGTGGGGTTGAGTCCGGGACCTCCACCAGTTGTCCAGTCCGGACTAGGAGTAGCCGTCCCGTTGAGCCTCAGCTCCACCACCGATCTCCCCACCATAGAGGCCGCATTTGACGTGACCTGCCCCGTCGCGCGCTTCCGGAGATCCTTTATCCCACTGAGGAGCTTGACCCTTTCGCCGACCTTGGTTACTCCCATCTCCTTCAGACTCGCCATGTCGAGATCCAGCAGTACCCTCCCATCGATATCGTTCCGCCGGAATGTGTCCGCATAGTGACCGCACTTGCATTGCGTGAGGAATTGCTGTAATTGCTCGCCTGTCCAGCCAGCGAGGTACGACGAGAATGATACGCCTGGGGGGGCATGGAGGAGCGGCGGCGTAGCGGGGCGGTGGGAGGGGGAACGAGTAGTTGATGCGAGGGTAGAAGTGGAAGCGAGGAGGTCGGCCGAGCGGTTGGCATATGGATGCGGATGGCTTCTGGGCAGGGCAGGGTGGGGATTCGGGTGGGAGGAGAAGTGTGGTGAAGTGGGAGTGGTTGTGTGGTCGGATGAGCCGGTAGGAGAGTGTAGTGGCCGCTGAACCGCATGAGGCCGGAGCGAGGAAGAGGCCATGGCGCCGTGCAATCTTTCAAGGCGGTCGACTTCTGGGTGAGGGTGGGTGTCCCTGATAGAACGTTTCAGATGCGTCCTGTGCTCGAAACGGGGACAAGACTCACAATCTCAAGCGCTCCAAGCAATCCTAGCACGCTCTATCGCCGGCCATAGATGCCCATAGCTTCATGGCAGGGTGTATAGGTGGTATTCTGAGAGCATGAGAACAAAGGCATGGAACAATAGGCCTTTCTCGCGCCCAACCCTTGCCCTCCACTCACGCGATTTGAAACTCCCGAATTGTCCCAATCCGGCAGTTACGTTAAGCCAATTCTAATAGGATCGAGATGGCTCGTGGCTTGGGTTATGGATGAGCAAGATGACAGGAGGGGCCGCGCTTCCTACCATGTAGGCCTCGCCTCACACGTCGATCGGATCAGCACCAGCTCCGGACATGCAAAAAGACGGAAGCGTCAAGCGAAGGATACATAACAACATGGAGGCACAAGTCCGATCGATCCCCTCCTCGACTACTTCTTCGCGTTCTCAACCTGGGTCACCAGCTCCGGTACTGCGTTGAAAAGGTCGGCCACCAGTCCGACGTCGGCAATCTGGAAGATGGGCGCGTCGGCGTCCTTGTTGATAGCGACGATCATCTTGGACTCCTTCATACCTGCCAAATGCTGGATGGCGCCAGAGATACCGATGGCCATGTATAATTCGGGAGCAACGACCTGAACATCAGCTGTGATCGCCCGCGAGGTAGAACAGTAGACAGGAGGAAGAAGGACGATGGATGCTGATGCTCACCTTTCCGGTCTGGCCAACCTGGAGCGAGTTGTCCGCGTAACCAGCATCGACCGCAGCCCGAGATGCACCGACAGCTGGTGGTGTAAGCTGACTCCTCCATCTCTTCGTAGCAAAAGGCGAGGGTAGAGGGAAGCTTACCTGCTCCCAGTGCGTCAGCAAGGGGGTCCAGCACACTGCTGAAGCTCTCCTGACTCTTCAGGGCCCGTCCACCTGAGACTACCCGTGGTGCCGAGGACAGGTCGGGCCGTGATGAGACGGTAAGTTCCTCTGAGATGTATTTAGTGGTGCCTAGACATCAGCGACGATCTCTCAAAGCAACAAAAAAGGCTTACTGTCGCCCGAGACCTCCTTGACCTCCTCCACCTCGGCCGCACCCGATCCGATCGCAGCCTTGTCGAAAGCGGTGGTCCGGACAGTGACGATCTTGATCTTGTCCTTGGGACTGCTCTTGATCTTGAGAATGGCGTTACCAGCGTAGATTGGGCGGGTGAAGGTGTCCTCGCCCTCAAGAGCAACGATGTCGGCAATCTTGGGATCAGCTAGATTCGCGATCATCCCGTTATATGAACGGATATACCATGGAGGAATCGAGAGCACCGGCGAGACGAGGGAAGACATTCTTCCCGACGGCAGTGTGAGCACCAAAGAAGTGGGTAATACCCTTCTCCGGCAGGAAAGAGGCGAGGAGTGGTGCAACATCTGGAAGTTCAGTATCTAGCCACTTTTGGCCACCTTGGCGAGAGCTCAGTCACTCACTCTCAGCAAGGGTGTTGGCGTATGCGTCTGATGATGCAGTGTAGATCTTGGAAAGCCCCTCGATCCTGCCCTATGAGCTCAGTCCCGACAGATCGGGCGTGTCACTCACTTCTTCGCTTCAGACAGTACGCTATCTACGTCCGACTTGGATCCGACTAGTATACCAGCAGCCTGCCATTTGTCAGCTACCAGCTCACGATCTCGAGCAGACACCTCAACGCACATTGCCATCGACCTTCTTTGCAGCTGTGACGGCGCTCAACGAGCTGTCATTGAGTTTACCACCCTTGTGCTCGAGGTAGACCAAAGATGAGGCAAAGCGGGACTGCTGAGCCGAGAAGAGGGATCGGGAGAGCGTAGCTGGGCGGAGAGCGTTTCGGAGCATGTTGACTGCTAGAGCTTGATGCAGATGATGAATGTATGAGAGTGTCGATGTCGATGTACTGGATTGATCAGTGTGAGGTTTCTGTTGTCGGCCGGCTCTTGGTACAACCGGCGCCAACTCCATCAATCCCACCTCGGAAGCATTTCCCGAAGGCCCTATTCTTCGCATTACATCTGAAGTCTGATACCTCTTTCACCCCTCTACCTTCTTGAATGGATGACCCCAGCAGTGAGCTGATCAGACCGCACAGGTAGCGCATACCATTCCAGCGACAACGAAAACGGCGGAAAGCCGATGACCGGGAGTGGGGGAGTTCCGGGTCTGGTCGTGGTAGACCCCCGCCTCGGTACCTCGGTCGACCAGGGAATCGTCAAGGTTGGCCGCTGATGAAAAAGTGGCGGGAACGAGGGGATGCCTGCCTGATATGGTTACGCTCGGGGTGCTGACACTCTCATCCTGCTCACACCGCTTGACCTTCATCTAGGTACAGCCAGCATCACGCGAACCGCCTTGACTGCAAAGGCCTGTCTTGCTGCCCGCTGCTCGCCCCTGCAGCTTAGCGAAGAAAGACCGAAGGAGACTACTTCAGTGATGCGGCAACGGTGAGCTTGACTTCGATGTCGAGATACCGATCCAGCCCGCTTCACCCGGCCGATTGAGCGGGGCATCTTGTCCGGCTAAACCTCCGAGGAGCCTGCGTGCGCTAGAAGCTACTGGGGAGACGCGGTACCGGGATGTTGAGGTTGCAGAGGATCATTTGGTCAGACCGTCGGGAGGCAAGGCGGTAGGGCGCGAGACCCTGTGATAGTTACTGGCGGTACTGGGCCTCAAGGCAATTTCCAGCTGCAGCTGTTATGGCCCATAACCGGCGCTCGTGGCCACGCATCGTCTTCTAGTGCGTGTCCGACTAGCGGTTGCCAGCTGTCGTATGCCGTACCGTAGCAGATCCATAGTCCATCAAGCGATGTCGATGATAGCATGAGATCGACCTCGCACACACAGGGGGTGCAGCCCGGGATTTGACCCCTCCACTCCTTCTCTTCTGCCTTTCTACCTCATCTTCCCGCACACTCTCTTTCTACCAGGAACTCTTGCACGGACGGAGTCTTTCGACAGCTCTCAACTGGATTGTTAAGAGCGAGTCTAGAGGAGACAGCGCCATTCCAGGCAAGCCACAAGCTTGACGAGGTGGTCCTCAGGCTTCAGGCTCTTTCGCCAAATCTCGCCAAAAGCAGTCGATAAATCGTTTTTACCGCCTTCTCACTTCTTCGTTTCTGCCCCTTTGTAAGGGGTAACAACTACTATGGTCCTCCTGGGGTATCCCCAGACGTCTGCCAAGCTCCTCAACGGAGAATTGGTGTTCCGAAATGGTGCTTGACCTCCCAGCTCGAGATAGGGAGCAACTCGCTAATCTGGGCAGACCATATTTACGTCTCACCCTTATGGGCCGACCGCGATGGTGCGTTGTTCCCGAGCATTCCACTAACATGACCATGATCACTCACTGCGATGGACTCTGATCTTTTTAGGTACGCCATATATGATAGCTCGAATCATAGAGTTCCTTCCGCCCAATGCGACCCCAAGGAAGGGTCGTCAAGCGGCCTCGACCGAGACGCAAGTCAGGATATCGCTCTACTACCGCCCCTCAGATGTAGGTCTTCTCCCTGCCTAGAGCGGCACGAGTGGATATTCTCATCCTTGGCGTCCCCCAAAGGCCCAGCGCCTTGAAAAGAGCTCGAATCGCCCACAAGGCGCGCATGCTGACTCCTCAGATTTCCGGTCGAAATGTCTCCGACTTCCGCCTCCTTCTCGCTGCGATCCACACGGACGTCCAACCTCTCTCTCACATCCGCGGCAAGTGCTATGTGCGGCACAAGGACCGGATCGAGGATCTCCTGGCGTGGAAGAAGATGCCGGACCGGTTCTACTTTCAGCGGTTCTTTGATCCGTATATAAAGCGCGAGTTTGAGGTGATCAGAACTGAGGCGGTGAATAACAGTAAGTTTCGACCTCCTCTATGGGACATGGCATGGGCACTCTGGCCGCTCTGGGCGAAGGGGATGGAGCATCTTATGAGCGTGTCCGACGAGCTGTCCGGGGACCCGCGACCTGCGCTGACCGCTCAGTTCCGCAAAAGGTGAAGGAAACCTTGATGACTCGCTACGAGTACGTCGTCACAGAGCGAGAGATGGTATCCGACCTACTCGACAACTATCGCTCCTGCTGCGTGTGCGAGGAATGGGCGTCTTCACAGGACTCGATCAAGTGCGAGTAAGTCCGCGGTCTCTTCCCCTCGCACACAGCATAGCTGACCCCAAGGCAATGCAAGAACATCTACCACATGCACTGCCTCAACCCACCACTGCTCAACAAGCCCGCCAAGGGCTACTCGTGGTTCTGCATCACGTGCTCTCTTCAGCGGCACCAGGACGTCCAGGACAAAAAGTTCCAATTCGGATCGACAGCGGCGAATGGGAAGAGCGGGAAGGGTGCGGGTGCGTCTGGAGATAAGAAGGAGAAGAACAAGCATGTGACGGGGGCGAGACCGGATGTCTGTTATCGAGGTTGGCCATGGCGGTACTTTGGGTGGGTCTTTCGATCTTTATGGCAGTAATAGCTGACCAGGTGCAGTCAATATACGATCGCGCAGGATACGTTGGACGCGGACGATCCGATCTTCCCCAAAGCTGCGACGAGGGTCGGGCAGAAGTTCCAAGCGAATGTGCCGAGCTGGGAGGAGCAGAAGGAGGCTGAAAGTGCGGCGCGGCGGCAGTTCGGGGAGACCAGTGAGGCGGGACCGTCAAGGCATATCGCCGGTGCGTCTTTCCGGACATGCTGGTAGACCCTTACTGATGTCGCAGTGGAAAGAGGACACGATCTTGGCGAGCGGAAACATGAGTCGACGATTGATATCATCTGCACCCCGTCTGAAGCGCGTGAGTCTTCGACACGCTTGGCGGCAGCAGCAGAATCACAGCTAAAGAAGCAGTCAACCAATATATGGCCGATGTTGCCACTCTTCACCTGCCTGTACCGCCGTACGACACTGAGCGGCTCAACATTGCCGCGACTAGCTTTTCAATGCTGGGCCGAGATCGAGCCATCGAGCGCTTAAACTCGCTGAAGTATGAGGAGTTCAAGCCTATCGTTGTAAGCTATGACGCCCCTTTCGTGTTGCGTCACGAGCTTATGCAGCAGTTCTCCGACAAAGAATCCGCCAAATTCGCGTTTGAGCTCGAACAAGCCGGCGGCGGTCTAGACACGCACGCCATCTCCAAGGTTCTCCGCAGGACACCGGGCGAAGTCCTCCGCTTTTCCTACATCTACGAGGGCAAGCAGCTCAAGGCGGAGCACGAGGCCGTTCGGGCGCACACGAAAATTACGGCCCACACGCGCAAGGGTCAGACCCAATCTCAGACTTTGGGCGCGCCGTCCCTAGGCAAAATCAGAGCCAGGGAAGATGGCGATGATTCGGATGGCGAAAAGTCGACATATGGGCCGGATCAGGCGACGGGTGTCAAGCTCAAATGCGCGGCGTGTGGAACGAGAGAAAGTAGGGCGTGGTGGAGGTGTCCGAGGTCCATCACGGGGAACGCGATGTGTGAGAACTGCGGGTGAGTCTGCTTGTCGCCTGGGCACCTGGAACGGCGGCTGATGAAGATAGCACGAATTACAGGAAGTACGGCGTCATATCATTTGCAAAGGCGGATGATAGTAAGAAATCCGACAAGAAGGACATCATCATCCTATCGAGGAAGGGCAAGGTGAGCATCCACCGGCTGGTATCGGGCTTGACTGACCGAGAGCAGGGAGATACAAGTGGGGCATCGACACCAGTACCGCTCCCTCCTCCCAAGCTTCCCCCTTGCGTCTGCTGCCGGAGGATGGAGCCAAAATCGACCATGGCGAGGTGCAAAACTTGCACATTCTCGGCGCATTCTGGTCAGTCCGAGCCTCCTTCAAGCAATTTGGGCGCAATCAGCTGATTCCATACAGCTTGTTACGGGATTGCCCCGCAAGACATGGGTCCGAACTGGGAGTGCGAGCTATGCTTGAACGTCAAGCTCGAAGATAATAACCTCGTTAGTTACAACCGCATCTCGTACGGCTGAGAGGCTAGTGTAGCTCACACATCTCAGGAACCAAGATGTTTGCTCTGCCCTCGCGACACTTCGGCCCTGTCGACCAAGATCAAGCCCAAAAAGGTTCTCTCCGACTTTGACATGCTATCCGCCTTGAAGCCTACCGAGGGTCGACGCTGGGCCCATATCCTCTGCTCCGTATGGATACCCGAGATCATCTTTACCGCTCCACCAGTCCTGAAAGCCGTCGAGGGGATTGCGAACTTACCTCTTGATCGCTGGTCAACAGTACGTCCAACTCCTGCTCGGCCTTTGAACAAAGGGACCGCGCTGATGGTCAGGTATGCTCGCTTTGTAATCAGCTTGACGGCGCGGTCATCTACTGTACGGACTGCGAGATCCCGTTCCACCCTTCTTGCGCGTACCAATCTGGCTACAAGTTTGGCTTTGAGTTCTCCTTGGTAGGCCTCCTTTTCTGAGCTGTGTTGGGTGGAGCTGATCTCGCAGGCCAAGCCAGGGAAGAAGGAGATGCCGACAATAGCCAAGTTCAAGGAAGGCGCGGGGGTGATGAATCCCGGATGTTGGTGTAAGGCGCACGATCTAGAGGGCAGGGTGATTTACGATTCGCACGAGATCGATCCAGAGCAGAACGAAGTGAGTTGTGTCGTTTTCGAACATCGAATATGTAGCTCATATCCCAGACTGCCCTGCAGGTATACGCAGCGGCATACAAGTCCTTGCCGGCCCATGATGATACCTTCGCCCTCCTTCGGAAAGCTCGCAGGCTGGACCACGTCCTCCTCACGCCTGCGACCGTCCCCACCTTGGATCAGCCATGCGCAATGTGCGCAGTGGACGTATCGCCTATGTGGCATCCTGCGGCCGGGCAGCTGGCGGACGATCGGATGGACGTCGATGGGGAAGAACCGGCAGTCCAGGTTGGAAAGGGGAAGGAAGGGCGGATCTGCCATCTATGTTGGTTCAAGTCTAGTAGTACCGCTTAGTGTATCCATGATATTTGAATTGTATTGATTGAAGCTCGAGATCAAATCGGAAGATGCCTTGACATCAACAAAACGAATGGTCCGGATGCATCCGCAATCCTCTAACCCATGATAGTCTCCTCCGTCTCGTCGATCAACTCCTCGACCCACTCCTCCACCTTCTCCTCCTTCTCCTCTGCAGCCGCCTTCTTCTTGATCTCCTTGCCCCGGACCTTGCGCTCCTCCTCGACCTTGGCCACATTCCGTGCGCGCCAGGCGTTCCACTCGGAGATCTCCCGCTGGCGCTGAGCGAGCTTCTCGGCGGAACCTCGGTTCTCCTCGGCCGCGTCCTCCTCGTCGAATTGCCGCGAGTAGTCCTTGAGCTCCTTGCGGACCTTCTTCTGCGTCTCCTTGGGAAGGAGCGCGGGGGGACGGGGTCGCCAAAGGAACTGCTTGAACTTCTCCTGCGATTGCTGGACGAGCTGCTGGCCCTTGAAGTCCCAGATAGAGTATCCAGGTTCAGGCTGTAAAGTCAGCTTACCCATCACGTCGGGGTGCTACCAGAAAACTGACCGATTGTTGCCATGCCGAAGCAGACGTGGCGACATACCGACCACTTGGGTCCCAAGCCAAGTTGGTGATACCGAAGTGCTCCTCTGTCGCCAAGAGCGTCACGTTCGCTCCTGGCTCCGCCTCCTTCCGGTTTGGGTTGTCGTCGGTGGTGAAGTCCAGGTCGTAGAACTCGACGTCGTACTTGGTAGCACTGCCCATGCACGCCAAGGCGATGTGCCGACCCTTGGGCGACCAAGTGAGCATGTTGGCAATCTTGCCGTCAAACTGCCGAATGCAGGCGAAATCGCCCTTTTTGGGGTCCCGGGCGTAGAACGACAAGCTGTACTTGACGACGACACCGGGGGCCTGGACGCCGAGGTTGGGGTCATTGGTGGAGACGATAGCGAACCGCTGTCCGTATGGCTCCCAGGCGAAGGAGGGGACAAAGTCTTTGAGCTCGATGACTTCGACGGGGATGTTGGCTTCGCGCAACCGGTAAATTTCGAGGTTGCACGAAGTGGCCTTCTTGGTCTTGGCCTTCCGCGCGTGACGGTCGACCTTGACACAGAGGTAGTCGCCCTGGTTTTGGTAGTAGAATTTGCACTGAAGATCAGCTTTGTCCTCAGCAAAAACACCTATGACTCACGTCGGTAACGTTGAACAAGTTCTTTGACCTCAAGATCTCTCTACTTGGTACCGCCATCAAGTTGACCCTAGCCGGCTGGTTGACCGCCTCGGGCTGCCAGTACGCCAGCATGCTCGACTTGCCCTTGCCCTGCTTCTTCGCCTCAATGTCCTTGTCACTGATGGGACACCACTCAAAGTCCTGCACGCCCTCAATCTTGATGGTCTTCTTGTCCAAAAGGCCCATCCCGGGGAGCTCGTAGACGGCGATACCGGCGCCGACGTTGCACTTGGCAATGTAGAGGTCGTCGGGGGAGAATTTGAAGGGGATGAAGGAGCCGGCTGCGCGTCCATCCTCGGCCGACGGGCGCTCGTAGGGGAAGGTACGGAGGACACGGGTGGCCTTGACGTCCCAGACGACGATCTGGTTACCCTCGTCATCGGCGGTGAAGGTCTCGCGAAGAGCGGGATTGGGGTGGCCCTCGTAATTCTCGAGCGGGTCCTCTGACCAGGTGACCAGGTAGTTCTCGCATGGAGAGAACTGGACGAGCCGGACTCCGGGGTGGGTGAACCGAAGGACATTGACACCGATAGGCCCGTCCAGCTTGGGGCCGGACCAGAGGGCGACACCGACGCGGTGGAGCGAAGCGAGGTAGGTTCCGAGTGGGGACCACTGGAGGTACAGCTCTCCCCACTTGCTGTTCTTGAGAGGCTTGCCCTCAATGGTGACAGGCTCCGTGTTGCCGTTCCGCCCATTCCAGTGAATGTTGACATCGGCGTCACGGAAAGTGAGGAACTGGTCGCGTCCCTGGGCATCGCCAAGCCAGCTTCGGAGGTGGTCCTAGCAGGTCAGCTTGAACTCCTCCTGAAAGGAAGCATTCTCAGCTAGACTTACCTTCTCGACGTAAGGCTTCTCCTTCCAGCCAGTCGGCAGCTCCGCATCGCCGATAGGCATGGTAGCATATCGCTCAATGTCGCCAAAGCGGTTGACGTAGAGAGTGTGCTTTCCACCGAAAGGAGTGTTGTCGAGTACGCGGAGCGCGTTCTCGGCCTGCTGCGCGTCGGGGTAGGTGACAAAGATGAAGCTGCACCGTTAGCTCTTCTCTTGTAGGAGGGATCTCTGCATTAGCTCACCCCTTGTTCGTCCCTGCTGCATCATCCCATGGCATCGAGATCCTGTCCTCCTCGACCCCAGCACCCGCCTTGTCGAACAGTGCCCTCAGCCTGTCCACCAAACGCTGCTTCTTCCCTTCATCGATGATGGGAATGTTGTCTACTACCACAACGTTCTCGACGCCTTGCTGCGCATCGACGGCGTATCTAAGCAGTAAGCTGTGCTCTTGGCTGGAAAGGAAGCACTCAGCTCACTTTCGCTCAATATCCTCAAACCCCTCATCCAGCTCCGCCTGGAGGTCGAGCTCTTCCTCTTCATCGTATGCAGCGTTTCCGTTAGGCAGCGACATGATAGTAGCTGTTTGTATTGACAATTATAGGAGGGCCTACAAGCTTAGCAGAGAACAAAGCCAGCTTCTGGAAAGCTCGCCGCCAGCCACAGCGCGTAATTCCGCCGGCGTTTCGAGTGTGGCACATGCCCTACTCCTCATTCCTCAATTTGCCAAACCTTGAGGCATGAGGTCTGTGTGTGGTCCAAAGTGCTCTGGCTATGCAGGCAGTGATGCATGATACAGTGGTCTACTACTATGTAAATGGCTACCAAAAGTCCGAATGATGACAAGATTATAGCATATGAAAAAGGTCCAGATTCGACACCAGGTCTTAGAATTGGAAGAGCAGCACTAAAAGAGTCAGCTGTGTTTGATGTTCGGAGGATGCGCAAAGAGGACTTACACCAGGGGTTGAGCACAATAGGATACAGGAAGTGACAGCATGCAGTCACCATACATGGCAGGATACAGGTGAAATTTGTTCTAATCCATCAGCTCTTGCCTTACCTATCGCGGCGGCGTGGGAGGACTCACATTCTGTATCCGGCGGGTACGATGTTGCTGGCCATGATGGCGACGCCGACGATAATGACCCATGACAGGATCCAGACAGTCCAGAATCGCTTCCACATTGCAGGCCATTCCTTGAAGAAGTGGGATAGCTCGACTTCCTTGATGGTGGACGCCCACTGCATGTTGTACCCTGTCAAGTGGGCAAGCCTGGGAGTCAGCTGATGCCTCTGAGTATGCATAGTCCAACTTACAAAGCAGTGGAGAGATGGTATGGCAAGCCACAGAAGAAGAAGAAAAAGAAGATGACCCATTTGAAGTTGTTGATCAGGGCGTTTCCGATCGAATTGGCGTTCAGACGGTATTGAAAGACAGCGGAGGATACGTTAGATAGCCCAGAGAAGACGACGATACCTGCGTTATCAGCTCAGGTCTATGTCGCAGTACATGCAAGGAACTCACATGTCAGGAAGACCTGCCATGACTCGAGATAGAAGAGGTCAAGTACGTCGCTGAAGATACCGACGAGCACCCAGTTCAGGACCGAGAGGATCATGGCACAGGCGATAGCGTAGTAGCTGCAAGATCAGCTGATACTGCGCACACGAGCTGGCCTGTACTTACGAGGAGATATAAGCTAGAACGGAGATCTTCGAGTGCAGAGGGATACCCTGGGCCCAGACGAAACGGTGGAAGAGGGGTGTGATCGGGCCGTGGGTGAGCCATCGGCGCAGAGGCTGGAAGAGTAGTTCCGAGCAGCCGTAAGCGTACTTTTGCCATCGATTGAGCTGGACGTCAGCTACAGATCCCTGCCAGATCTGTCCTGCTCACCTCATCGTCGGCAGTCAAAGATACACCCTCCTGGAATCCTCCGTTCGAGTAACTCGCCCATCTGATACTCCATCCCTTCATCTGCAGCCTCAAAGCCTGGTCGAAGTCCTCCGAAACGTGACTCTCCGACCAGCACTTCTTCTTGCCATCCGCCGGATCGATGAATGCGGCATCCTGGACAGCTTTCCACCGGAGGAAGGCATTGTGTCCGACGAAAGGCGCGACTTCGCCGTTGGCGGTACAGAAGGAGATGGCAGAGTTGATACGGGTGGTGAAGGAGGTGATACCGTTCTCGAAGAAATGGCCGACGACCTGCATGACGGCAGACTCGTGCTGAATGATGGCAATGTTGGGCGAGTTGAAGAATTCACTGCTGGGTCAGCTCTCATCCTCGTAAAGCAGGAGGGCTTGACTCACGAGGCAGCATCCAGGAAGCAATCTTCCGGCACACGGGTATCGGAGTCGATGATGAGGATCAACTCTCCGACCCGAATATTACCAGCTGCCCAGGCGATTCCCTCGGTCTCGTCGATAGCTCGAGCGAGCGCCTCATCGTAGATCTCTTTCTCATCCTCGTCGGTCCATTGCCATTCAGCCATGGCTTCTGGATCATCCTCCGGCGCTTCGGGGCGGATCTCGTCCATGAGCTCCTCGACGCGGAGGGAAAGTGCGTTCCCAAAGTTCATGTTCGAGGCCTGCCTAGTAAGCGATCCTCCGAGTCTCCTAAATTAAGCGGTGGCTCACCTTCTTGAATCGTCCTGGTCGATTGAACCCATTCGCGCCGTGCTTCGGCCTCGCGGTCCATCCGATGTTGTTACGGTCATAGTACGCCTTTCGAATCTCTTGTTCCTCCTCGTCCCAGATCTGCATCCCGTCGTCAAACATGAAGATGTTTACCGAGCCGCCTTGTCGCTCGTAAGTGGTGATGGCCTTCTTGAGACTTTCGACGGTGGGAATGATGACACCCTCCAATCCCTCCTTGTAGACGGGCATCTGGATGGTGATGTGCGGGAGACGACCGAGCATGCGTTCAGGCGCGCGGCCAGAGTAGTAGGACGAGTTTTGGTGACATTGGGCGACGGGTCCGAACATTTGCCAGAGGTTTCCGCAGACACAGATGGAGAAGAAGATGGCGAGAAGGAAGCCGAAAGGAGAGGTAGCGAGGAGAGCGAGACGGGCCCAGTTGGCATCGAGCAGACATTCCCGGATGAGTTGTCCTGTTCATCAGCTTCAAGCGGAGCACACTAGAAAATATCAACTTACGCATACCGGAACCGATGAAGAGACAAGTCAAGATGATAGCCAGCCCAGACACCAGCGGCGCATAGAGCATCACCGGTCTCTTATCCCGCATCTCCCAGCTGCCTGGCTCCGCTCCGACCTGCTCCTCGCCTTCCTCCGCCAATACAAGTTGCCTCTCCTTCTCCGCATCCTGATCGATCCATCCCTCCTCGTCCTCCTTGGTCTCCGCCTCAAGAACCGCAAGCTCATCATGCCGACTCTGCCAGACATAATTCATCATCCGCTGCTCGAGCGCTTCCGCCGAGGGAATGATGGTCTCCACTTCGTCCGCCCACACCACTAGACACCGTTCTTGGCGGATGAAGGCGGCGAACTGGTGTTTTCGAGCTCCGGCGAGGTGAGACAGCTCGTCAAGGATCTGGATCCGAGTGTTGACGTCGAGCATGATTTCTATTGCGTCGTCGGGACTGCGAATCAGCTCCATCTTTAAGCACCACTAGCCAAACTCACCATCTGGACATGATGGACTGAACGACTTTCGAGGTGATCTTCATGGCTACCTCCGGATTCAAGGTACCCAGCGCAGAGTCCCACGCTTTGACTCGCTGCACCATCTCCTTGTAGTTCTTCTTCCCTTGTTTCGCCTCCGGATATGTACGCAGTACTCGCTTTTTGACTCTGGAACATCAGCTCGAACCTCACCAAGTGGTATAACCAGACGTACCGAATGGAGACGAGACCGTCAAAGTGGGCATCTCTGAACCACCCCTGCCTCTCCGCCACGTTCCACAGGTGCCTCGTCATCATGTCAAACCGATCCCTGGGCCGCCCGTCTATTTCCGCCTCGGAATCGGTATCCTCCTCTGATGATTCGGTCTCATAGCTGCGCTTCGACTCGAGGGATGACCGCGATGACCCCGAGGAAGAGGACGATCCAGAGCGGTATGAGCCATCGTCTGACAGCTCCCACGACGCCCTTGACGCTACAGACTCTTCGTATTCTTCATCCTTGATCGAGTCTAGGCGTCCGCCTCGGAAGGTTTCGGTCGCGCGACGGGGGACATGAGGCGCGGGTGTCCCAGATGAAGAGGGTGCGCTGGGGAGGAAAGATTGAGCGGCGTTGGAGATGCGCCGGAGGAAGGACATGATGAGTGGGTAGTCGGGATAGGAGAGGGGTCGGGATGGTTTTCCCCGTCAAGGGGTTGGTGCGATTGGTGTTCGCTATGAAAGAATGTCGGTCAAAACGAGTGTGGGCATTTCCCACTTGGAGATGGATATGCTTCGGCTGGGACGAGACGAGTTGGTCGCGAAAGCTGATCTAAGGTTGTGGTTTGAAGTTGGTCAGTCACCATCTCTGCCGCTTTCCTCATCTCTTCTCGGCCGTGCCTGGCTAGACTACTCCGGCTATACCCAGAGCGTTCGTACTCCTCCGAGATGTCGATCTCTCTCGAGAGACCGTCGATCACGCGGCTTCATGGCGCCGCGGAGATGATGCATGCGGCGGAGTGATATGGCTTGTCAGATAAGGGAAGACGACAAGTTACGGCCAGTTTCAAGGGGAAATTGCCGGTTCCGGCGAGGAATGTGTTTCATCCGACCTGAGCCACGGAATAAATTCACCTTTACTTTGATCATCAAGCAAGCTGCAAGCGGTAAAGAAGTAGGCGGCATATGCTAAGAGTCTGGGCTATCTCCCGATACAGGCTCGAGATAGCGCAGATTACGGGAGTCATCTAATCACAGGCACGCATGAGGAATTGCTCACAGGCAGTCACCAAAGACAGCTTCGCCGAAGTTGGCAGGCATCTCCGTCCAACTGAGTTCTAGATTTCTGACTGTCGCGACCAGCAGCTGTTGACGAGAGACAGAGGGGGACTGCACGCTGAGGCATCTGATGGAGCTATCTCAACAGTCCGCATAATCTTCTCGACCTCGACTTTAGCTACCACAGAAATCGTAAGTCCATGTTCAAGGAGCGTCCGCCGTCGTCCACACTTAGCTGATCGCTAGCCTCGCCCAACTCTGCGACAATCAGGTTCCCCGCGCCATGGGTATCTTCAGTCCCACTCGACCTTCCTTTTCCCACTCCGACCTCCCCTCGCCAATATCTGCCCGACGCCGCTCCTCTTACTTCCCCGGTTCATCGTTCAGCAACCCCGGACGCTCCGGAAGCCAAGATGCTGGTCCGTCAACGCACGTCCCGCCGGGCGTCTCGGTCAACTACCAGACCACCTTCTTCGGTCGTCGACTATCGCAAGCCTTTGCGCCACCATCGGTCCGGAAGAAGTCACTGGCAGTTGCCGCCCAGGACAGGAACCCCAAGCACCTCCGCCTCGGCGAGACGTTCGAGGAGGAGGGAGATACCATGGCGGATGCGTTCTACAAGGGACGGTTGAGCTTGGACGAGGCAGATGAAGATGAACGGCTGGCGCTGCAGGAGAAGATTGCCGAGTTGCGAGCGGCCAAGGGGAAGGGGCGACATGAGAGTCAGGGATCGGGCGGCTGGCAGCTGTCTCTGGGATGGGACTCGGGGCCGCCAAAGGGGAAGAAGGGCGGAAGAAGGCACGGCGAGAAATCACGGCGGCATCGACAAAAACGAGTAATGCGGGAGCTCGACACGGATCTCGACGCCTACAACGCCTACGCCCAGAATGGTCTAGCTGCTCTCACTCGGTCGAAAACAGAAGGCGGTATATCAATACATTCTCACGCGCCATCACTTGTCTCCCTCACTTCTGATCTCGACTCTCGACCTGCGTCCTTCGCTCCTGGCACTCTGGACACTTCGGAGGTGGTCGTCGACACCCGCTCGAAAGCGGTGCCTGTAGGCGACGGCTTCGACGCCCTCGACGTCATGGCGGACCACATCTTCCGGATAGGCGTGCAGAGGAAGAAGTGGTTCAAGGCGCCCAAGATGGGGATCAAGCGGGATGGCGTGGCAACTGGAGTGACAATCAGGGCCAAGGCGGGGTTGTATAGGACGTATCCGGTCAACTATGAGCCATTGGAGGAATTCGAGGATGCCATCTCGCGGCTGAATCCGGAGGTGAGTCGAGGTCTGCTGACAGCTTTGGCTCGCGCTCATGTCCAGGTCGCTATCAAGGTGGACTCGCAGATCGTCCGGAATATCATGCGGACATACATGTGAGTGCCTGCACTCATGCTGCAGATGACGAGTGCTTACAATGTATAGCGATACTACACCAGGCATGTCGGAACTCATCATCGACGCCAATACCCGTATCCAAATCCTCGACACCATTCCCCATCTCGCTCGAGCCCGGAAACACCAGTATGCCGCATTTGTCCGGTCTGAGGGCGTCCTCGTCGTCTGGGCAGATATCGTTGACAATATCATCGGGGCGGCCGAGGCGCTCGAGGAGTCACTGATCCACTTCATCTGGCGGGGAGAGGAGGAGAACCGGAAAGCCAACCAGGCGATCCAGATCGCTGAGGATGAGAAGAAGGAAGCGCTGGAAGATGGAGAGGCGGTTGACACGAAGGAGGAGGATATGGACCCGGAGGATGTGGAGATGAGGAGAGTGAAGCGGCATTGGCGGGAGAGGCCAACTCGGCTGATCGCGCCTATGATCGATGGATTGGGTATCATCGTATGTCTGGCTATTATTGCTCTAGGTATCAGTGAGTTTTCCGTTCTGCTTCACGTCGTCCCGACGCTGACCTGGGCAGGAACACTGGTCATCGAGTACATGCTGGACGGGTCCGCGCTCCGATTTGTCCTCGTCATCTTCGCTCCCGCTCTCTGCTGCGTAGCTGCCTTCGCCGCTAACTGCTTGGTATCATCCATCGTGAGTCTTTGTCTGTGGCCCATGCATACGAATGCGAAGCTGACGGTCCACAGTGGCAGATTCTTGGGCCGATTAGGCAATGTACCCAAAACTCGATCTACTTTTCTGGACTGGCGCCAAAAAGGACGATGGGGGAGCTCTCGCACGTTACGATTCAGATGCCGGTGTACAAGGAGAGTCTGGAAGAGGTCATTCGGCCTACCATCGAGTCGCTCAAGAGGGCCATCACAACGTGAGTCCACTCGACCGAAGACTTCCGTGCATGGCTGAATTGCAGGTACGAGCGCCAAGGCGGTAGCGCCGGCATCGTCATCTGCGACGACGGTCTGCAGCTCCTCTCGGTCGAAGAAGCCAACCAGCGTCGTCGGTTCTACTTTGACAACAACATCGCATATGTCGCTCGGCCAGGACACAACGTGAACGGCTTCATTCGTAAAGGTCGATTCAAGAAGGCCGGTAACATGAACTACGCCAACAACATCTCGCTTCGGATCGAGGAGGTACTGGATGATCTCCGACCTGCCGCTCGCGCCCTGCTTCCCGAAGATCACTTCTGGTCCGATAACGACGAGAACGGGCTATACGATACTGCCCTGGCTCAAGTGCTCGAGGAAAAGGGCGGCGAGGCCTGGGCGTCGGGCAATCTCCGGATCGGTAACATCATCCTCATTATCGACTCGGACACTCGAGTGCCGGATGACTGCTTTGCGGATGCGGTCTCGGAAATGGCAGAGTCGCCCGAAGTCGCCATCATCCAGCATGCTTCCGGCGTCATGCAGGTCGCTCACCACTTCTTCGAGAATGGTGTCGCGCACTTTACGAGGGGTATTCAGACGGCCATCTCCTACTGCTGTGCCAGTGGAGAGGTTGCGCCATTCGTCGGACACAACGCGTGAGTTTTCATGAGAAGGTGCGGATGAAGACTGACAGCGTAGCTTCATTCGCTGGAGCGCTCTACAAGAGTGCATGTTCACCGACCCCGATGATGGAGTTCGTAAGATCTGGTCAGAAGATCACGTATCGGAAGATTTCCAGATCGCTGTGTCTCTCCAGATGAAGGTAGGCCTTGATTTGTGTGCTTGTCTACGGGCGTCAGCTGACATGTGCAGGGCTACGTTGTACGCTGGGCGGCTTACACCAACGGAGAGTTCGAGGAGGGAGTCTCACTTACTTGTGATGATGAGCTGAACCGATGGCAAAAGTACGCGTTTGGCTGCTCGTAAGTTGATCAATCCCCACCATTGCCTCGTGGATCGTGCTGATGTCGCAGTGAGCTGGTCTTTTTCCCCTTGAGGTCCTGGTTCCGCCGCGGCCCCATCACTCCGCTCTTCCACCAGTTCCTCTGGTCCAACATCCCCATCCACTCCAAAGTCACCATCTCGGGCTACATCTTCTCATACTACGCCATAGCATGCGCCTGGTTCTTGACCGTCGCCAACTACTTTATGAAGGGCTGGGATCGTGAGTCTACATTTGAGCGGACGGGAATGCGGTAGCTGATGCTTTAGTCAATGTCGACAACTACTACCTGCCCTCATGGAACATCACCCTTGTCTGTCTCGTGCTCTTCGGCGGTATCTGCAATGTCGCCTTCATTACGCTGCGATATCGGTTAAAAGCACCCGACGCGGCGCAGATGAGTGCTGCGCAGATCAAGTGGATACGTGAGCCCACTCCCCTTGTCTCAGGTAGCCTCTGCTTACATTCAGCTTTCTTCCTGATCTTCTTTTCGGGGATGAGTCTGCCCATGTCCGCGGCCCTAGCCAGCCATTTGGTCGGATACAACATGACGTGAGCTCTTTGACCGTAGACAAAGCTGCAATACTGACACCGCAGATGGTCAACAACAATCAAGACCGTCCAGAAATCCAACTTCTTCCTCCAAGTCCCGCTCATCTGGAAACGGTTCTACCCCCAGCTCTCCTTCTTCGGCGTCATGCTCGTGAGTACCTCCTTCTGCCCCAGAACCAGGCAGAAGCTGACGGTGGACTAGACAGGCATGATAGTAATGGCCACCGGCACCTTCATCCCCGCCGGCTGGAAAATCACCTCCATCGAAGTCATCGTCCCGCTCTCCCTCATTGGCGCCTGCCACATTCTCTACCCATTCGCCCTCAATCCGTGGTTCCTGTCCTTCTCGTTCTAGGGTCATCCGCGGACATTTTCATCTCCACCTGCATGGGCTTTTGGTGTTTGTATCATAGATATTGCTTGTAGCTTCTTGCATAGACCTTATAGTCCTGGCCTACCAGACATTAGACGGCCAATTCGCCCGGCAGAATCAAAAATATTGGTCATCGGGATCTCTTGCCGATAGCCAGATCCTTATCTATCGTTCCTGATCGGCTGAACAAACCGCTGCTCACAATCTTTCCGACATTTTGACCTAACTGCCTGCTATACCGGGGTAGATAAAGGCCAGACATGGACAGGTTGAGCCTCCCTCATCCTCCCAGCGCTCACTGAAAACACTTGATATCCGTCTTACTCGTACTGAAATACCGAAATGCCCGTTCCCGACCTCTCCACCCTCCCGCCCGCAGAGCGCGCCACCCGGTCCGAGCTCTTCAAACCACTCAAGCTGGGCTCTATGGTCGTACAGCACCGTATAGCCCTCGCACCGCTCACGCGAAACAGAGGGAAGCCGAGCGAGAAGGTTGAGGGGACATGGTACCCCTGGGAGATCCAGAGCGAGTATTATTGCCAGAGAGCGACGGAGGGGGGTTTGCTCATTAGTGAGGCGTTGCCTGTGTCACTGCAGGTGAGCTACGATCTTTCTATCGTACTCTGAGACATACATAGGGAAGTAAGCTGACAGACTAGGCTGTAGGAGCATCGATGACCAATGTGCCCGGGATATGGACGGAGGAGCAGATTGTAGGGTGGAAGAAAGTCGTCTCTGAGGTCAAGGCTACTGGGGCTGTCTTTGTCGCTCAGCGTAAGTCTGGGATACTCCTGCGTCTGGATCATACTAAGCTCTTCTATGCACAGACGCGCTGACCGTCCAGTCTTCCACGGCGGCCGCTCATGCAACCACTCGTCCCTCGTACGCGCCTGCTGCCCATCCGCGACCCGGGTCGAGAACACCCTAGGCGGCGGCCCAGGAGACGTTCCCGTCGAAATGACTGAGGCGGACATCCAGCGGACGATAGGGGACTTTGTGCAGGCTGCAAAGAACGCTATGGAGTGCGGATTTGACGGGGTTGAGATACAGTAGGTCCCCCTCTATACTGCTAGTTGGGCACTGGCTGACGCTTTAGTGGCGGGAACGGTTACTGTGAGCTTCGCTTTGGCCTGGCTCTGTGACGCAACCCTCACTAACAAGGTAGTGCCTGACCAGTTCCTCCACACCAACATCAATACCCGGACAGACAGATACGGCGGCTCCGTTGAGAACAGGAACCGGTTCGTCCTGGAGCTGTGCGATGCTGTAGCAGCCGCGATCGGTCCTGATCGCTTCGCCTTGTAAGTCTTGCTGCCCCCTTGATGGCGAGGCGTCCACTAAAAGAGCTGAAGCTGAACCTTCAGGCGACTGGCACCTTACGGGTTCTTCAACGAGACGAGGGGTCAGGAACGAAAAGTCCAATGGACCAAGCTGTGTGAGGAGCTGGCTACTAGAAAGTATGCCTACATCCACGTATGTCCTTATCACTGAAGTACAGCTACCGCTCCCGAGCTGACTTGTGAGTTCATGGAAGCGCGATACGACGAGGTCTTGTCGGAGAGTACCAAGCTCGCTGCCCTCGGTAAAGAAATGACCTCGGACTTTTCATCTGACGGCCTGCCTACCATCGCACCATTCCGGGCTGCCCTCGGTGGCGTATCTGGAACACCTGTGATCGTGGCTGGGGGATACGATACAGAGAACATATGGGATGTGGTCGACTCCCGTGTAAGCCTCTTTGTTCCTCTCGAGATTCCCTCCTACGTCAGGCTGACAAAATTAGAAAGCAGACCTGGTCGCTCTGGGTCGATACTTCACCTCCAACCCAGACTTGGTGTACCGCATCAAGCACGGAAAGCCGCTCGTCAAGTATGTCCGACCCCGATTCTACGCCTTCCCCGGGAAAGAGTATCAAGAGGGGTATACCGACTTTTCGAAGCATGAGGACAACTTGACGAGCGATGTGGAGAGGGCGAGATGGGAGGAGCACGTCAAGCGGGGGATCGTGGTCGCTAAGCCTGGATGGCAGCTCTCGCAGGACGGAGTACAGTGAGTTGAGCCACTGTCGAAGGGATAACGTGCTGACTTTGTAGACTTGGCGAGATCTACGTGTGATATTTGGGTGTTAAGCGGATCAGTGGGGAGTTGCGAAGGGTTGTAAGCCAAGTTATACATAGATCTAGATGCACATTACCAAGAACCAACCCTACTCCTCCACATCCATACCGTCCCCCTCTCCCGCCTCCTCTTCATCTGGCCGACCCGTCCGGTCCACAATCTCCGTGATCGCAGGCGGCGTGAACTCCTCTGACCACTGCCACCATCAGCTCCGCGCTTTCCCCTACCTTCGGACCGGGAATTGCTCACCTTGGGGAACTGCCTCTTGTACAGATTCATACAGACCGTATCCATCCCCTGGATCGGTCCATCAAAGTGCGCCTTGAAGTACCCATGCGTACCCAGCGCCTCGGTGATGTGTCCGGTTTTGCCGAGCTTGGTATGCAGCTCGATAGGCTTGAAGAAATCGACATCGTCCCGGTCGAAAAACATGTATCGGATCGTTGCTGTCTTTTTGTGGATCTTGAAGGGGTGGCCAGTAAGGATAAGGCGTTTGGCAGCTATACGGGTGGGGTCGGGTGGTAGGGGGGTGCCCATAGCTACAAGGCTGGGTACTGGGGATCAGCACGTGCCCATAGTGTGGAAGATGCGAGAACTCACCCTGGTCCTCGCCTTCGTCTTTGAGCAGGACAACACCAGCCTTGCCGAATGTGATGGGGCCGAAGCAGGTAGCGACCGTCGCTTGTCCCGGTCGCAGATACTTTTCAGACTTGTGAACGTTATTGACACCCCGTCCACCACCACGGATGTGCTGAGAATAGACCGGGCGGACAGTGTACCGCCGTGCCCCGACACAGAGGATGAGCGGGTCCTGCCATGTCAGCTCGATCGCGCGGTGTGTACTGGACAACAAGACAACTCGCCTTCGCTTTGACGGGCTCCTCGTATTCCGTATTCCGCTGTACCACAAAGTGGATCACAGATTGCTTGTGCTCATGCTGCAGCAGCCCGTGCAGAATAAACGGCAGGGCGGGGTTGTGGTTCTCCAATACGCGCTTCGGTACATTCTTCAGAACGACCGTCACTCTTGTTCCCGCCTGTCTCATCAGTTCCGTCCTATGGACCGATCAGCAGCTATAGCTCACCTTGATCCCGACCTCCCTACCCTCGCGCTCGACCCGCTTCCGTGTCCCGCCCCAACTCTCAAACTGGAATATCCGCGCATAGTCCTCCGGGAGATTCTCATACGGGTCCCAAGGGCTCGTACGGAATGACTTGAGCCCTCTGAATCGCTGGAATCGCGTTCGGGCGGGGATATGGCGGGGTGTGTCGATCTCATCAGGGAAGGCTTGGTCCTCCTCTGCTGCTCGCGCTCGGGCTTTGAGGTATACCGCATACCTGACAATCAGCTTGCTTCTCTGCTCGCCTAGGGCGAACTCACTCGCGCTCCTCCTGCTCTGGGTCCAGATCACGATGTACCTCGCTCCTCCTCGAGTCCAGCTCAATTTCCTCCGTCTCCTCTCCATCACCCAAGAACCTCGCTGCATTCTCGTCGATCCCATCCAGCCCGTCATCTTCATCCATATCCTCCCCATCTTCATCATCATCCTCATCATCATCGTCACCCGCCCCGCCGTCTTCTCCGATGATCCACGCAGCCTGGTACGCGCTTGTACCTTTCGGCACCCGCTTCGTCCGTACTCCATCTTCCCCGCCCAGCCGAGATGGCCCTGCGCCTTCCATCTCCTCCTCGGTAGGCCAGGTCTGCTCGTTCGCTAGTGGATCAGGAACGTTGGTCGCGGTGAGGTCATCGGCGTTTTCGCCCGGCGAGGAGAGGCTAGGGGTGGATTCGTCGATCGACATGAGAGCGGCCTTTTGGTGTGGTTTCGCCGCCAGGGCGAGGGATGATGGCGGTCCCCGTAGGATCTGAAAGTCAGCTCAAGCAATCTCCATGTGTCTTGAAGCGCCAAAGACTCGCCTCGGCAACCTGGAAATCTCCCTGTCCGGGGATATGTCCCAGCCTGTCCGCACTCAAGCATCCTCCCCGAATTGTACCTGTGACTTCTAGACTCCCAAGCTCCTCTCCTCCCTCCACACCATCCGGCCCTGGGACCCACTTCACGCCCTCACTCCCCTCCGCTACGAGATATGCCCGTCCCTCGTCTCGGCTCGTCTTGGGCGTGGCTTCGCACAAAGCCCGAGCGAGTAGCGCCGACTCGCTGGGCGTATCGGCCGAATGTACCTTTTCGGCTGATGGGAAGAAGTAGCGCGAGAAGGATAACAGGGATTTGTGGATGCCGGTTCGGGTCTGGGGCGTGATGGGCTCGTCTTCTGGTGCCTATGAGATCAGCCTCATGCCCTGAGCGATGCCAACGCCTCAGCTCACCTGGACCACTGGCACGATCTCCACCCCACCACACTGCGCCTGCAGACACCGCAGCACCGCCTCTCCCTCCAGCTGCACCTCCCTCGTCGAGCTCATCAGGAGCACTACATAGTCGCTGACGAGCGCAGCGTCCAGCGCGGCGTAGACTGAAAGGGGCGGGAGGACGTTGATCTGCAGAGTTGTCTTGAAGCGGGGAGCTCGGATGAGGTAAGTTCCTGTAGACCGGACAGTCGAGATCACTTCTGCGAGCTCGGAAGGGGGAAGACCGAGCGAAGGAAGGAGGTCGAGGAGGAAACGCCGAGGCAAGAGGTTGGAGATTAAGGGGATGACCGTGATGATTCGAGGTACACTCCCTGCTTCTTCAGCTCACGCCTCAATTGGGACTGAAGCTGGAGATAGGACGTACCGCCCCCGCTGCTCGTACTGAAGAACTTGACATCCTCTGACACGTTCCTCCGCTTCAGCTCTCGCTTTTGCGCATTGGCATTGAGCCGAGCCTTCTTGGTGGCCGAAGCGAGCTGCTTGCCGCCCTTGGTCGATATCGACGAGCTGACGATCTTGCCTGATTGATGAGCTTATGCAGACTCGCCGAGCGTCATGCAGCTCACCCTTCGCCGCAGCTTTCAAAGAGCCTTTCGACGAGTGCTTTGACTTGAAGTTCTTATTGTTCTGACCATAATCAGCTCCAGCATCCACATCATCCGGTCCGGACTCGCCTGTTTGAGAGTCGGTCGGTGGGAGTGCGAGGTCGACATTTTCAAGCACGCAGTTCAGCCCCTGCTCGCGCTCTCGGGCTAGCTCTGGTTCCGGATGGCTATAGATGATCTATGAATGGGCTGCCAGGGTCTTTGAGGCCGTAGTCGAGCAGTTTGAGATGTGGAGCACGCTATACAGTCGAGGTTGCTGCAGCTTTGCCTTTGCGAAGATTTCTGGATCATTACGGCATGCCTCGAGGGCCTCGCTTAACCCGCCAATCTCAAGATCTCAAGTCCAGCAAGCCAGCCTCAGCTAAACGTTTAACTCCAACTCCTTTCTTCTTCGCCCTCTGCTCATACATGAGCATTAGTCAAAGCAGCTAGCCCTGTGCTCCGAGAGACCTATCGCTCTCCCTGATCACTCAGCTGTCTTTCGGTGTCAACGGGACTCTCAATCGCTTTACAAGCTGTGCCACCCCCGTGGTCTTTCCCCAAGCGTCAGCAACTAAGATGGACGAGGGCTTGTTCATTTTCACTATCTTCTGTGGCTTCCTCTGGTGAGTGATCCTATCCCCTTCGTCTGGATCTCATCTCAGGATAAGCTGATACCCCAGCGTCTTTGCCCTAATATTCTGCTTCCTCTCAACATGCCTTGGCATCCCCCTCCGGCGCGCCGACGTCCTCTCCGCCTTCTCCTTCCCCACCCCTGCGTCCATACGCGCCAAGGACGAAGCGAGGCGGCGGCGGCTTGCTGAGCGTCAGAGACTGGGTATGGTCGATGGGGAAGGGTACGAGATGGACAGTATGGCGCGGGGCGTGGAGCGGGCGGGGGTCGGAGGGGATGATTGGGAGATGATGCGGAGAAGTGGGGGTCGTGGGGCCATGTATTAATGCCACATCCGCTCAGTAAGCCTGGAGACATCCGCGACAAAGCTGCATCATACAAGATCTTCTCGCGTCTCAGCTACTTGCCGACATTCTTCAAGCTAGTCCCCTGGACGACCAGCTTGGTGATACAGTACTCGTCCGTCCCCTCGTGTGCTCCTTCTTTACCATAGCCACTCTCCTTGACACCACCGAAGGGACTGTACGATGTCAGCTGAGTCCGCACCGCCATACATTGAGCCACTCACATGATAGACTGAGAGATGGCACCGGTGTTGGCAGCGACCATACCAACCTCGAGACGCTCGGCGACGCGCCATATCCGGTCGGCGTCCGAGGAGAAGAAGTAACCGGCGAGACCAACCGAGGCATTGTTGGCGAGTTCCTAGGATTATCAGCACAGCGTACTGCACGCAACCAAGCGCTCGCGAAACTCACAACAGCCTCATCTTCAGTCTTGAATCTGATCAGCGCAGCCAAGGGTCCGAATGTCTCCTCGTCGTTCAACAGCTGAGGCGTCAGCTTCGCGTCGAGCTCGTACAGGCAAGCTCAACTCACGCATTCCCGGCTGACCTCAGTCAGAATTGTGGGCTGAACGATCGTCCCCTCGCCCCGCTCACCGCCCACGATCACCTTGGCGCCCTTGGACTTGGCATCCTCAATGTGCTCAATGACCTTGTCGGCTTGTCTCTTGTGTATCAGAGGTCCATGGGTCCTACCATAAGTCAGTTCACTCCCCAAAAGTACGCGGACGATTCAACTCACACGCCCTCATCGAAACCAGGGCCGACCTTGAAGAGCTTGACCTTCTCGGCAAGCGCTTGGGCGAACTTGTCATATATCCCCTCTCTGCATGGATCAGCTCTATCACATAGCGGCTCGTGCCATGCTGACTCACTGCACATATATCCGGTTGGCTACATTATCAGTTTGGTGCATGAGGGCGTCTGAGAGAATGCCAACTTACCGCATACGCAAGTCTGACCTGATCCTCGGAACTTGCTAGCAATCGTCCCAGCGACGGCAGTGTCGATATCCGCATCGTCAAACACAATCAACGGGGCATTACTAAGCCATCAGGTCTGTCCCAAAGTACAACCCAATAGAAATAACTTACCCGCCGAGCTCCAAGCTCATCTTCTTGAGCGTCCCCGAGCAGTTCTTGGCCAGGATCTTACCGACCCGAGTGGATCCGGTGAATGAGACCTTCTTGATCTTGGGGTTGGTGGTAAGTTCCTCGCCGATCTGGTTGATGTTCTTGTCGCAAGTCACGACGTTGAGTACACCGTCAGGTACACCGGCACGCTTGGCGAGCTGCTTTATCAGCCCAGCCAGAGTCGGGCGAATCAGGAAGAAGCTTACCTCCATGATGGCGAGGTTGGTGTAGGGAGTCTCGGCAGGGACCTTGATGACGGCTGTGCAGCCCACGGCGAGGACAGGGCCGATCTTGCGGGCGATCATAGCTGCGGGGAAGTTCCAGCTGTTTTATCAGCTCCAGTGCTCGGTCCGCATAGTCAGCAGCTGATACCACTCACGGCACAAGCAGAGCACACACCCCGACCGGCTGCTTGACGGTGAAGTTCCTGGTCCCCGGCAAGGAGCAAGGAATGGTCTTCCCGTCCGTTCGGACTGCCTCGCCCGCGAACCACAGGATGAAGCTCGCGGCATAGACCGCCTCCGCCTTGGCATCGTTCCATGACTTGCCATTCTCCCACACAATCAGACGAGTGATGTCGTCCAGGCTCTCCTGGAAGAGCGAGTAGAATTTGAGGAGGATGTTCTGGCGCTCATTAGGCGTAGTCTGGCGAAATGTCTTGAAGGTGTCGTAGGCCGTATCGACGGCTTTGCGGATGTCGGCGACGGTCATTTCGGGGCAGGTGCCGATTGTCTTGCCAGTAGCGGGGTCTGGTCTGTCAGCTGCGTCCCAGCAGTCGATGACGGGTTTGGGCCAGCTTACTGTCGACATCGAAGGTCTTGCCGTCCTCCGCATCAACATACTTGCCGTTGATGATACCCTTCTGGATGAAGAGGCTCCCGTCATCAAGACCGAGCTGACCAGTCAGCTTACTCCAGCCAAGGAGAGGCGCGCGTCAGCTTACAGGGTTCTCCTTGGAGATATTCTTGGGCCAGTTCGACATTTTGCGAGACTGTAGCAGAGCAGCGGTGGCAGTAGAGGAGCGGAGACTTGGGGTGGGGCTCGGGCGAAATACGGTGGAGGTTGATACGGCGCGAGCAGTGGTGAGCTGAGCTGCGGAAGTACGGGATATTTTCGTCAAAAGCTGAGTTGACTTTTGATTTGCCAGGCGCATTGGGGTGCTATCTACTGGTGTAGGAGCGGTGAGCTATATGTACTCTCGGTCGTAAGTAGACAGAAGAGGGAGGAAGAAGAGAGAGATAGGCGGCGGTAGCGGCCCGACTGACCGACAGCAGCTATAGGCGGCTTTGGCTGCAAGCGCTTTAAGCGGCGGGGCTCCACGACCTCCACTTTGCTTGCGGTCCCTCTTAAACTGGCCGGGAGATTAGCAGAGACTGCCCCCGGAACTTTGCTCGGGCATCGATTTCCCGCTCGAGACCGAGTTGAAAGCTCAAAGTCGAGCAAAGGTCGAATGGGCAAAAGTCCCATTGAGCAGCTTATACATCGACCGTCAAGCGAGAGCTAAGCTCCCAAGCGACTCGTCCAATATGTCCGGCCCATCCGCTCCGTCTAGCAAATCTGCCCACGCCCCATCCGTATGGGACCGCCTCTCCCCTTTCAGCTCCTCTCGGTCTCGCTCGAAATCGTCCAGAGCGCTGGACGAGGAGGAGCCTCTCCTCTCAGGCCCGAACGACATCGAGGTCCTGGAGGTGGAAGGTAGGCAATCGCGATTCACGCGGACACAGCTTCTGCTGTTCCTGCTGTTTCAGGTCGCTTGCTTTGCACTCGGAGCGTCACTTGGGAAGTTGCTATCCTCGAAAGACGGCAATGGAAAGGCGAAGGGGCCATTGGTACCGCCAGTATGGACGCTGCCTCCTGTGAGCTCTATATATCCCACCAATTCTCAACGGGATGCGAGCTGATACCCCCAGCCAACAGGAGACCGCCGCAACCCCGCCTATCTCATTAAAGCCCACTCCGGAGCCGTCGCATCCGAAGACAAGACCTGCTCAGAAATGGGCGTAGCTATCATGCGGGACCACGACGGGACCGCCGTCGACGCAGCAGTCACCACTACTCTGTGTATCGGCCTGCTCAACGGGTTCGCATCCGGTATAGGTGGCGGAGGGTTCATGATGGTCCGTGTACCGACCGACGATTCGGGACTGGGAACGAAAGGCGGGAACATGACTGCGATTGACTTTAGGGAGACGAGTCCCAAGGAGAGCAGTAAGGAGATGTATGGAATCAAGGGAGCAGGGAGGAACGCGGCGCAGGTCGGGGGTCTGGCTATTGGTGTTCCAGGGGAGCTGAGGGGTCTTGAGGCCGGTGAGTTTCCCAGTTTACATCCAGCTCCTGTACTGCAGCTTCGTTCCACGGACTAGACGCTTATACCATAGCCCACAAGCTGTACGGGAAGCTGCCCTGGAAGGCTCTTGTAATGCCCGTCGCGGATTTGGCCAAAGGCTATCAGGTCAGCCGAGAACTAGCAAGGAGAATACGAATCTTTGGGTAAGCTCGCTCGCGTCCACTACTGACTTTGGAGCTGACCTCTTAGTTACTTTATGCCCGAAGATCAAACATGGATGGACATCTACGCCCCCAGAGGCTATCTCGCCGTCGAAGGCGACTATATCAAGCGAATCAACTATGGCAAAACGCTCGAGCGGATCGCAGATGGCGGTGCGGACGCGTTCTATAATGGAGAAATCGCGGAGAAGATGGTCAAGAGCATCAAGAAGGCTGGTGGAGTCATGACTGTCAAGGATGTGAGCTTCCATGGGACCGATTGGCGGCATGAAGCTTACAAGGGTAGCTCAAACACTTTGAAGCGAATGTGTACCCTGCGATACATCACACCTACAACGGACGTGAAATCTACACAACAGCAGCACCATCATCGTAAGCTATTTCGATTGCGAGCTACTCGATCTCTAGCTGACTCATTCCAGGGGCGGCATCCTGCTTGCCCTCCTCCGCCTGATTGAGCCCTTCCGGATATCTCAAACGGGCGGGCTCGACAACCCGCTCAACGTCCACCGCTTCATCGAATCCCTCAAGTTCGCCTTTGCCGCTCGATCAGAAGTGACGGATCCGGCCTTTGTCAAGGACCCGGAGAGGCTGGATCGGTTTTATCAGAGTGGATGGGCGGATGATGTCCGGGCCAAGATCACGGATGTGAGTGAGACAAGTGAAATGTCTGTCGACGTCCAAGCTGATGTACAGAACTCAACGCATAAAGTCGATTACTATGGTATGGAGTTCGACCACATCGAGGACCACGGAACGACGCATTTGAGCGTGGTGGACCAGTGGGGAGGCGTAGCTGCTGTCACGTCCACTGTAAGCTTCCGCGCTCTCGATCGCACACGAAGGACATCCGAGCTCACATGACAGGTCAACCTCATCTGGGGAAGTCATGTCATGTGTCCCGAGACCGGTGTCATCTTCAATGACGAGCAAGGTGAGCTGGATGCTGTCGATAGCGGAATCTCATATCCCAGATGACTTCGCTGTACCCGGCGCACCTGATGCCTTCGGCCTTCCTCCAAGTCCTTGGAACTACCCTGCCCCGGGCAAGAAGTAAGCTTTCAAACCCCTCCTCTCATCTCTGAGGGACCACAGCTAACGCCCAGACCCATGTCCTCTACCTCTCCTACCATCATCCTTTCTCCATCCGGCAGCCTCTATGCGACCCTGGGTGGATCCGGTGGATCGAGGATATTCGGCTCCCTCGCCCAAGTCCTGCTGCACCTCGATGCAGGACTAGACATCTCCCAAGCGATTGAGAAGCCACGATACCACTCACAGGTCGTTCCGAACGTGACTACCATTGAGGTTGGGCCTGAGGGGGCGCCAGAGAGGGTTCTGAAGGGGCTCAGGGAGAGGGGGCATGTCGTTGGAGAATTCGACATCAATCTGGGGGTATCAGAGAGTAAGTCTATATCAGGGACACGGGTTGTGACGGTTAAGCTGATGTGAGCAGTCCAGGGGATCGTGGTGCAGAACGGGACGATCTGGGCGAGCAGCGATTCGAGGAAGAACGGTATTTCTGCGGGATACTAAAGTGCTTTATCTGGACAATGCTCATCTGCTGTGATTCTTGTCGGATGCACCTGTAGCCAGTATCAGAGTCCGGGCTGAACGGTGGACATACCCTGCTTCGTATTCGGATGACCCAAGATCCATCTGATGTATAACGATCTACCACTTCTCCCTCGTCCATCCTGTCCCCGCCGCCTCCTTTCTATCTCTCCACGGTACATGACCCTCAAACACCTGCATCTGACTCGGATCATCCACCTCCCCCCTTTTGGGCGGACACCATTCCAGCAGCTCCGCCATCTCCGGACAACTGGTATGGTACGGATGATACCGGAAGAACGGATTCCGATTCACCCTTTTGATGGATAATGGCGGATGGCACCCAGACGGACTGGACAAGAATGGCGTATACCCATACTTGAGCTCCCCGGCGTACTGGTATGCCGTATCCCCATCATCGTCTATCCCGATGTACTTCCACCCGCCGAGCGGGAGACCCATGGCCGCGCGGTGAAGGTCGGTGAAGCGCCGCTGCTTCATGCCGTATCCGACGACAGTGACGCGGAGGGGGTACCGGCCTGTGACTTCCTTGAAGCGTGCGAGGGCGAAGAGGAGGTTCTCGTAGCTGTCTAGAGCAAAGTCTTCTGCGACCGCTCGGAGATTGAGGGGGAGAGGGGAGATACCGGACGAGTTGGCAGGGAGGGTGTCTGGTGGTAGGAGGCCGAGGGTCGTAGCGAGTGAGCGATAAGAGTAGGCTTCGGACATGGGGGGTGATGGCGGTGCTCGTGTAGCTCCTCTGTATTGTTAGCTACCAGGCCTGGGGCGACAACTCTGCATTCGTAGCTCACCCAGAGAATACCAAAAGCGCCACTGGATCCTCCTTCATCACCCTCACACCCTCCTGAATATGCTTGATGAACGTCCGCACACTCCCACCCTTCTGTGCAGGCTGCAACACCCACTCATCATCATCCTCTATCCGTTGCTTCTCCCTCCCAATCCAGATCGCATGCCCGGGCACCATAACCAGATGCTCCAGCTCCCCATACCGCCTATCCCTACTGATCGTCGTCTCCATACTCAGCGGTATCCCCGCCGCATGCTGCTCTGGCGTCGCCGCATCGTCCCATCCCCCTTGTGCCCCTTCGCGCGCTTTCCAGATGGTCGCGTATGACCGGTGTGGTTGGACAGATAATATGTTGAGGAGTAATGAGCCGATCAGGGCAGAGACGAGGAGGGAGACGGTGAGGTTGGTGAGACGGGTGCGGGTCCGGAGCGTGCTCAGGATCGTTGGGAAGGAGGTGGAGGAGAAGCTGGCTGAGGTGGGCGTCTGGGGAGGAGGGAAGAAGATTCGAGGCTTCCCGCCGGAAGGCCGAGAGGAACCGGGGAGGGGCAGCATGGGGACCGAGGGTGATGTGAACGTCTCCCAGGTGCGCGTGAGGAAGCCCGAGGGCGGGAGAGAAGTGGGAAGAGCGTGAGACCGGGGCGACGAGGAGGTACGATGCGAAGAGAGAAAGACGGTGCAAAGGATGCCAAAGTTGCCAAGGAATGAGGAGAAGCGAATTTGAGTTTGGCTCGACGCGACTCATCAAACGCGTCTGCAAGGCCATGAAAGAGCAGAGTGTCGCCCAGCAAGGGCTGCGACAGAGGCAGGAAAGCAGGTGGACCGATGACGCCGACTTCTCCTACCTCAAATGTGCAGATAATGTGCATGAGCTGATGATCAAAGATACCCCGCTAGCTATACAAGGCAGCCTCGACCCGCCAGCGGATCCCGCCATTCTACCTGTACGCGGCGATGATCCGTCAGAAGTTCTGCATCGTCATCTTTGCGCTCCCCGACGAGCCGAGTCTGCTAGCTCACCTCTTTGCCAAAGAAGAAGCGACATCCTTTTGGCGTAGTATACTTGTTACTCATCTGATGCAGCGTTTTGCTTAGTACGGGTGGCCCACAGAAGAAGACACCACAGTCCGTATCGGCGTGTTTGTCAGCGATCGATTGGAAAACCTTGTCCCACTACCATAATCAGCTGGTCGGTCTTCGTTGGAGCTGGAAGGACGAAGTAGCTTACGTTGGGCCGGCCGAAATGGGTCGGAGCGCGGAGTTGGGTAATAGCGTCAACTTCGGCACCTACGTCCTGGACGATGATATTGTTCATCTTGTCGTCGCTGAGATATCAGTATGCTCTCCTCCTGAGGTGCCCTCAACGAGCGGATAGATTGTCGAACATACTCAATCTTGGCAGTGAGATAGACGTGAATCTCAATCCTCCCTTCCTTGTCCTCCGCTTCGACAGCCTTGAGGAGTGAGTGGAACCCTGCATGATCAGCTATGAGTCATTCGCGGGTGAAGTGTGGACGGGTTGGCTTACATTCCGCTAACCCAAAGTCTCGGATGACCCAGACAAAGTATACCTTGCTCAGCCGGGTTTGGGTGCTTTTACCAAAGTCGTTCATGCGGTACCAAAGGGTCTTGAGGATAGATGCGAAGGGGGTCACGCCGATGCCACCTAGCGAAATCAGCTCTGATCTGTGGTACACAGGACCGACAGCTGGACTCACCACCAACAAGCAGTATAGTCTCGTAGTTCGCAAAGTCTTCGCTGGCTGATCCGAATGGCCCGTCCAGCATGATCCTCGGCAGCACCTTCTCATCAGCTCAATCCCTTTATGCTGGAAAAAGACTCACCTTGCCAACCGGAGGAGCGACGACCGCCCCTTCGCCTTCACCTTCATCCTTCTCTCCAATGTCCTTTGCGTCCCAATCCACCCCCACACTCTTCGCAAAAGCGTTCGTCCAGTCGCCCACACACCGCATATGCACCGACAAGTACGTCTCCTCCGGCGCACTCGTGAGCGTGAAGGGATGATATTGGAAGTAAGAGACCGAGGGGCAGTTGATGAAGATGTATTGACCGGCTGAGGGGGTGGTGCGTTCTTTCCGGATCTGGATTTCGAGGACTCGGGAGGGGTGCTGTATGACTTTGGAGATGTAGGTGACGTGATGGGCTGGGAGTCAGCGACAGCGTTTCAGCTGAGGGAAGCGGTGAAGGTCTACCTCTAATCTCGCGCAGGATACGCTCGATGATGAAGACAATACCGCCGGGAAGCCAGTACTTCTAGATTCTATTAGCTGTGTGTCTGATTATGTACAGCCGTGCGGACTCACCCAGAAGACACCGATGATACTGGCGGAGCAGAACGGCGGACGGTCGGGCTGGATCATGCCTCCTTGGGTCAGCTAGGGCCGATCAGACATGAAAGCGAGACAACTGACAGAACATGCCGTGCAATTGCCACCCGAGAAAGAAGACGATGAACAGCTAGAAACATCAGTGATGGCCGCGTCGGCTGATGAGACTGGGCTAGCATGGTGGGAGTAGTAAAATCTAGCTGTTCAGCTCATCACCAGGCCATTCGCAGCAGACAAAGATGCGGACATACCGCTCATAATTCGCCCTCTTACGCTTCTCCATAGCGAACCAAACCATGATCCCAAGAGAGATGGTCATAATCCACCCAGTCCAGGCTGGACCGCTGAGGAAGGTGTACGAGAGGAAACCCTTGACACCGCTTTGCCGTCAGCTATGGTTTACAGACCCGTTGGGTACTTGACTTACGTCCCCTTGATCATGGACATGACGATCGTATTCCGGACGTGCGCGATGATATGAACCACCGTGAAGAAGACGATCGCCCGTCCGATCTGCTCTGCGGCTCGTAAGCTCTCAGAGCTGAGCTGAGCCTACGTGGACATGACTCACTATGGAAGTCGATGTTCTTGTCGAATGGAATCATGCTGTTCAAAGGCGTCTTGCGGAGCAGGGAGATGAAAGTCCGGCAGATTGGGAAGAGGACGAAGATCACGTCGACTACGCTCGGTCAGCTTATGTGCCCGTAGATCATGGAGAGTGTCATGAATGACCCTTACTGTGTAGGACCTGAGCAGCTGCTCGAGCGATGACTGATCCGTCAGTAGTCCCCCTGGTGAGGCCTGGCCCGCCAGCTTACCGAATGAAAAGCCGTATGCCTGCCTCGCGTCGTTCAGATTATCTTTCAGACCATACTGCACGCATGATAGAGCGAAGGCGATGATATGGAGGATGATCCAAGCCAGGATAGACAAGCTGCTACGCCCTAACCAGTCCGTCAGCTCCCTTCACGCGCCCCTCCCAGAGTCAGAATAGAACTCACGAACTCACCCTCGTTCACCATCCAAACACTAGCCCTCTCCAATCTCCCCAGCGTCTTTCTCACCCTGCCACCTTCCTCTCCGTCTCCATCCTTCGTCTCTCGCATGGTATGGACCAGTCCCTGCAGCCGGACCCGTTCCGTCTTGTTCCGCCTCAGCCGCGTCGAGTCGCGCGGGACGATAGGCTGGTCGAGCGGGATATCGACCATGTCGCCATTACGAAGCGGAGAGGGTGCATGCTTGATCGTCACGGCGCTGGAGAAGCGAGGGAAGGCGGCGAGGAAGCGGGGCGGGCCGGAGAAGAAGGACATGGTGGATAGACGGGAGGGCTTCGACATTCTTGCTATCCTGATCAGGCCTGACGTGTAATTGGGCTGAATGAGTAGTCTGAGCTGAAGAGGGAGAGGATCAGAAAGAGTATGAGTGCTCTGGACACGGGCACTCCCTGTTAGCATCCTTAGCGGTTGTTGATGAGCGGACAGACACCTGGATGCCGGTCGTTAGCGACAGCCCGGTATCTGCCTGGACTCGGTAACCATGGCTCGACCAGCTGAAATGACTCCTCTTGACAGCCGAGGGCAGCGACCTAAACTACTCCAGGACTACCCACTATTGGCAGCAATGAATCAAGCTGAAATGACAGGAAACAGGACTTCTACATATAGGGGCTTTGCTGCTCCGCTGCTGCTTGATGTTGATCAAGCTTGACGGGACACGCCACGTGGTCTCGCTGATGAGCGTGGCGGGTGCGTGGCAAAGTGGCGGATATCCGCGCCAGGTTCTCGGGCATGTAGGCAGAGTCGCCATGCTGATAGAGGACCCCACCGACTAGGTGAGAATCGCATGCGGTATCCTTTCTATCATTCGGTGTCTCATCCTTCCCCCCTGGACTTTGCGTACTCCGATCAAGGGGAGCGCAGCTCTGAAGCGGCCACCCGTCTGTGATCTGACTCGATATGCCCAAGGTCGCTCCACTCTTTTCTGCTTATCCTGAGTCCAATCCTCGACATACAACTACCGATGAGCTCAGAGGACGAATCCGGCAGAATTGAGGACTATGGGACTGCTGTGCAGGCGTCGCTAGTTGTCTTGTTGGCGGACAGTCACAAATGGTAAGTCCCACATGCGGCTTACTACCCCTCTTCACGAGGCTGATCATTCAGGATGGCACTCAAATTACTGGCAAGACATCATGAGCAGCTGGACGAGCCTACTACCATCTTCCACCCTACAACCACTCCCGCGGCCAAAGCCAAAGCCGAAGCCACTGACGACAGCAACTACCTGCAGTCTCTGCTAACTCTGACTCGAGAAGCGGGTGCTTCCATGCAATCCGATGAGATCCGATTTGCGTTCAACGACCGGTACGTCCATCAAATACCTCCATGTGCCCCTCGCTTGTGAAAGCTATACAGTACGCTGAAGCTGGCAGCATCGCCGAGTTCACTCTGCCGGTCTCGGTCGAAGAGGGTGGTGCCGGAGACAGTGACCGCCCGTGGCCTGCATACACGATGACGGTCGATCTGGACAGCAGAGACGTTAACGTCGCCCTGGAGTCAGATCTGCGTACCGTTCTGAACCTCATACCGTACGAGATGACGCCCAGCGAAAGAGGAAGTATCGAGCTTTACACGAGGGTGGCCACAAAGGGTTTGATGCAGGCGATGGTTGCGGGACCGTTGTCTGTAGAACAGACAGCTGATAGGTCAGCCGACGACCTGATCGACGTGCTCATGATCGAGGCTGCTCTGCTGAACATTGGAGAGGGCAGCCAGAACGATGCGAGAGAGGCTGGGGATCAGTCAGAGACTGAGATGACGGCTAGCGAGTCCTAGACGGGGACCTGGTATGTATAGACCTTCACGCGAGATATCATGAACAGTATCAGAACCGTGACTCGAAAGGCTACTCAAGTCAGTCTGAGTATTAGGCTTCTATGAGATATGCCTCAAAGAGGTCCGCCCGCTTGTCCAGCACACACGATTCCCCCTGGCCGCTTGCCCTCACGACGATCCCGGTCATCAGCTCACTGGGTGCAGCAACCGGTCCTAGCCTACTGCTCGTTACCGCGAGCTCTCACGCCGCACATGCAGTACCCCAGCGGACTCAGTAGGAGACGGCAGCAAAGATGCCGGTGGCGAGTTCCCAGCAGATCCATCATCAGCTTGTTTATCTTCGACCAATGAGACATCCCTGTTTCGCCACTTGACCGGTATTTGCACCCCACTCCGTAAGTCGCGAGTAAGAACACCGCATGATGGCGGCAATAATGTTAAGAGTCACGCGGAGGTTACACAGAGATATATCGGAGCGAAGAGCTGTGAGCGGTTATCTGCCCCCTATGAGCAGAGTGAGCGGCTTCCGCTTCAGAGTGTCAGGTGGGGCGTTGCCCCGGGCATTTCTGGATATTAAAGTGGTTGCCTGGCCCGTCCGGAAGTCTACCTCGCAGGGCCGCTTTTGGATTAAAATCCGACGCGTTGAATCTGGAGGGTGAGAGGGGAACGACACGATAGCCTTTGACCAACGCGGTAGATCTGGATGGTAAGGTAAGAGAGGAACGACATGGTATCTTTGAGCTGCAAGGATATCCTCCTGCCACATCAAGTCGCCACTTCGTCAGCGCTATAGTCGATATAGTCAGCAGTCAGCTTGTCCGGGTCAGTATCACTCGTATCCCTCTGGACCCTTGCCTAGACTTAGCTCGCTGATCAATGCATCAGCGCAGTCTTTACAGGTGTCTACCTCTGCTCCGTATATCCTACTTTACAATCTAAAAGCGCAAGCTTAAAACACAAAGATGATATATAGACGGTCCAAGATCCTATCACTAGGCTCACTCCCAATCCCTCACGAGCTAATTCACTCCCTCCTCCTCTCAGTCTCCTCCTCCATCATCGCCTCCATCGTTTAGCTCGGTCGGGAAAGGGGGGTATCGCGGGATGGATGAGGCGGTCTTTATCTTTGGTTGTTGTATCCGGGTCGTGTGTGATTAAAAAAAGTCGAAATGAAGTGGGGAAGGGGTGGATGGTGGGTGTTTGTTGTACAGGTGATAATGATAAGGGGTAAAGGTGAAATTGTCGAATGGATGGGTGCCGACTATCAAGCCGACGCATACCCCATGTCCATGCCCTTTCGTAGAAAGGGTTCTCCGCCATCTGCTCCTCTCTTCTCCTCCAAAGCCGATTGATGCCACCGATAGTGGCGGCGCGGCATTTTGGAGGTTGGCGGGTCGAGAGGAAGGTGAGATGGGTGGTAGGGAGGGGGACTCGGTATGGTGGCGGTAGGTAGTGGAGTCGGAGAGGTAGTTGTTGTTGGGTAGGGAAGGGAAGGGAAAGGAAAGTATCCCGCCAAGGGATACGAGTTTATTTGGGTACCTCAAAGAGGTTAGAGACTGTGCTCCGACGAACCAGCCTTCACCATCCTCGCCTGAGCGCGGACGGTGGAAGGCGAGACGCCGGAAGTCTTGGCGGACACGAGGGGACCGTCATTGTGGATGCCTTGACGGTGGCGCTCGAGGTCGTGCAAGCGGGAGAAGCCGCGCTTGCAGGTAGAGTGGGGGCACTGGTGGGGTTTGGCCCGAACGGGATTGTGGGTCTGGGCGTGGGACTGTACTGTCAGCTATGTTCATACATCAAGTGGAGAAGGAGCTCACCTTGAGATTGAAAGCCCTTGCAAATGCTCGGCCACAAGTGTTGCACTTGTGCCGCTTCTTCGGGTCGTCCGGGGTCTGACCCGGAACGTACCCCCTTCCTCCTCCGTTCAGGTTGGGGATGACGACATCCGCCGAGCCAGCCGAGCCGACCGACACCTGGTCGTGCTCCGACCCGTCAACCTCCTCCTCTCCTTCCGCCTCAAATGACCGGACGAGCGATGAGGGAGCAGAAAATGCTTTGGGGACCGGGGCGAGGATGGGAGCCGTGGCAGTGATGGGAACCGCCGCGTTCGGAGCAGAAGCGGGAGCCAAAGGGAGGGAAGCTAACGGAGCGGCGGCAGGCTGTACCCAGGCCGGCTGGGTCGGGACCGCGGGATTGATAAAGGCGTTCTGGGTGGCGGCGACCCAGTAGCCCGTCTGCGCCCGTTGCTGCTCGGCGCGAGCCAGAGCGACATCGTGCGCCTGGAGATGCGCCTCGGCCTGAGCGTTCGCCAGGTGCGCCTGTTCCTGAGGGTTGTACGCGTAGATCTGCCCCGCGTCCGAGGAGAAGCCGGACGGGTAGCCGAGCATCGCAGAAGGTGCAAGGTCGGGTTTCATACCGTTGTCCGAGGGGAAGACAGGCATGGAGTATTGAGCGAGGAGAGTGTCAAATTCCTGTTGCGCTTTGACCCGTGCGTCTGCTTCCGCTTGGGCCGCCAGCGCCTTGTAGTGAAGGTAGCGCTGAAGGTGATGGTTTGACAGCGCCTCGGCCGTCTCCGCAGGGGCGATGGACGGAATGGTGGCGAGAGAAAGGGAGGGAGCAGTGGCGAGTACGTCTGCAAAGGATGAGATGGAGGATTGAGGGGAAATCAACGTGGTTGACGCGGGGGTGGATGAGGAAAAGACCGGTGTGACGTCTGATACGTCCGCCGCGCCAAATGGGTCGGACTGCATGGTAAAGTCCCACGCAAAGGTGTCGTCGAGGAGGGAAGATGAGGCGGGGGAGGTATGGGTAAAAGATTCGAGGTCAAAGTCGAGACCCGGCTCAGAGTAATTGGATCCGGGCGGCGAGGGGACGTAGAAGGGGAGTGATGCGGATTTGGCGTTATCCGCGGCGAGTGTAGGCCCGGAGGGAGGGAAGGTGAAGGCCCCATCATAGGTGAAGGACATGGTGGATGCCATGGTGGCGAAGGGGGCAACGTTGGATGATGCGATAAGGGACGAAGGAAGTGCACGTTGGTTATCGGTGTTGAGGAGCGCGTAGAAGGCAATGATCAGCCTCTCTACTTGGTGTCTTGATTCTCTTGCGCGTCGATATCTTTCAAATATCAAACGATGATGGGTAGAAGCATGTATGATGTTTAGATGGATGTGAGACAAAGGAGTATAAGGTGTTGGTTGTGTATGGAAGGGAGGGGAAGGGGAAGGAAAGGGGGGGAGACTGAAAGGGGAGACGAGGCGAGAAGAGCGGTGCACCCTGAAAATTACCACTCTAGGCGATTCAATCCCCCGAATGTGGCGCCGCACCGCTTCATCCTGCTTCAACCGTTTCGACCGGCAACCCTTTTGCCTATCATGCATCTAACTGCTCCACTCCCGACCCAGATCGTCCAGCACATGCCCAACCTCTGCCGCACTACCTCATCCTCGCATGCACAGTGAGGCCGAAAAGATGACGCAAAGCAATGCAGAAAAGCAACTCACCGGCTTTTCTCCGCGACAGGAGGAAAGTGCCACACTGAACGGTCGCAGCATGCAAGGGTTTTGAGAGAGCGAATTATCGGTGCAGACTGATGACTAGCGGGGCAGGGATGCGGTGGGAGCGGGAAGAGGAGCCAGGGCCGCATCCCCGTGTCTCTTAAGGAATACTCTGCATGACTACCGAGTGAGCGTCAGAGCTGCGGACGCACCTTGACCGGTTCTGACGGTCGGCGAAATTCACAAAGGGGAGTGCGCCACCTCCTTCCGCAGTACCTCGGCCGTACAGGATATAGACCGGAAGATTGACATCCCGCAGCGCAGAGTATCAGATATGCACTTTCGGAACCACTGATTACTACCTGAGCGTCGATCGATATCTCATGCCGAAGGAGGAATGTCCCGCTCAGCACAGCACTGCTGCGGAACAGGCTCGGGTCACATTCGAGCGTTACTTCTGAGGTGGTGTCTATCAGTATCTGATAAGCTCTCATCAATAAACGCATCAGCTGCGTCACAGTCTGAGTCTTGAGAAATGAGGTATGCATTCCGCAGCATCAATAGCTCCAACTGAGCTCAGCTCGGCGCCCGTTCTCCGCAGCCACCTGTGCTCAGCGAAACTATGACGGCTTGAAGTCGAGCTGCCCAACGATTAGGGGCCATACTGCGTCATTAGCTTTTGCTCATGTTACCCAAGTTCGGCCGATAGATTTGTACTCACCCTCCTCGAAGCCAACGTGCTTGCCATGTCTGATCTGCTGCCAGATCTGCATCATCGTATCGCTCTTCTTGATCTCCGTCCAGTGCTTGAGGAAGTAGGCGACTTGTACCTGCCTTCATCAGCCCAACCAGTCGCACCATCTTATCTGCCCAAAGTCCGACTCACCTTGCGTACATCCTCGAACGTCGAGCTGAACCGGCTAAACACCTCAGCCGGCACATTCTGACTCGTCAAATCCCCAATAATATGCTGGAACGCCCGCAGCTTCAGTGCTGGCAAGTCCAGCTTGTCCGCGAGTCGGTAGACCGCCTTGGCGGAGACTGGGCGGGGTCCGAGCGGGTCTCCAGAGGTGGACGAGGGCGATGCGGCGATATCATGCGTCTTCATCCAGTGTTGAATCCATTCGGAGCGGGACCGGAAGCGGTGTGCGGGAGGTTGGGGGAGGGAGGAGATGGATCCGGGTCGAGAAGGACCGGCGGCTGTGGCGAGCGGGGAAGGGTGCGTAAAGGTGGATGTGAGGGGTGCAAAGTAGATGCTGTCGGTGTAGAGCTAGAAATCAGCTTTATGTCCAACGACCGGCGGCCAGTTCTGAGAGCCAAGGCAAACTCACCCAGAACAATACCGCCCACCAGGTGCTCCACGCAGCATCCCTCACAACCACCTTTGTCTTCTTCGGCCCCGCGGCTACTCCCTCCTGAGTCAACTTGGGCCTATCCGTCCCTACTTCCCGCTTACTCCCTCCCGCCGTACTAACCGCCGCTGACACGGAGGGACTCGACGCCTCGCTCTCCGGGACAGCCTCGTGCGTCTGCCCCGTACCTGCAGTACGCTCTTCATCCCCGCCTGTCCCTCCAGATCCCTCGGGCGCATCCTCTTCAATGACCATTCTATCCTCTTCGTCCCCTTCCCGCTCGTCATCCTCTTGGTCTGGCCGATCGCCGGATACCGATGTCTTCCGAGTGGAATGAAACGACGTCGGTCTAGGTGGTAAAGGTGAGAGGCTACGTCGGGGTGCTGAGCCGTGATGCTGATCCGCAGCTTCTTCCTCGCCGTCCGAGTCGGATAGCCCATCCATGTCATCCTCATAGTCATCCTGCGACGTCAACTCAACTCATATCGCGGGGGGCATGGGGCGAGCGAGTCAAAACTGACCTCATCGATGCTGCCCTCGTTCTCCCGGAAACCTCCCCGGAACATGGCGCGGAAATAGTCACATCGCTCCAGCAGTTTCTTGTTTGCGTAGATCCGTCGAGAGCCGCTGGCTTTGTCCGGTTCGTTCCCACTCGATGTCTGCCCCCGACACTGAGGATTGGGTATGATGAATTCCACATCCGAGTAGACTGATGGTCAGCAAATGGTAAAGCGACCATCATTGGCAAACTCACGCGGATCATCGAGCAGCGCTCCCACCCCACTGATCAGACTCTTCGGCACGACCCGCTTGGGTCCCCCACCCGCCGCTGTCCCACCCGCAACTCCCCCACTCGACCCTTCTCCCCCACTCCAGGCACTCAAACCTCCTCCACTGCCCACCACCTTCCCATTGACCACCGTCGTAGCCGGCACCCAGCCATTCAGCGGCATGCTCATGCCCAACCAATACCCCGCCGGGGGCTGCGCCTGCGCCTGGACCGTGCAGACGATGACGAACGCGTCGGCGGCGAGCACGGCCGGGTGCCGGAAGAGGGTCTGGCGAGACCCAAAGAGCTGCCATCCCCAGTTGGCAGTCTTGATGGCGAAGGTGTGGTCGGCGGCGTCTTTGGTAGCGAGGACAGCGATCTTGCCGGTACGTTCGTCAGGGACCACAGAGCGGATTTCGAAGCGGAACCACCAGATGCCTTTGCGTTGCCATTTGTCGGGGGTGCCGGCTTCGACTTCCTGCGGTGTGGGCTAGCATGTCAGCGAGGGTCCTATATACTGTCGTAGCCGGGCAGCATAGGCTCTGTTCGCAGTGCTTCACCGCCAGCAGGGTGTAAAGGCACTGAGAGCTGACAACTCACGGTGCATGAAAGGTACAGCGAGGCATTATCCCCTCCAGCAGCTCCAGAGTTCGGGTAGAACAGCACCTCCCATAGGTTGTCCACATCTCCAAATACCGCCGACCTGATGCACTTGCTGCAAAGTCAGCCTTTTCCCTTCTCTGGTTAAGATGACCCAGTCAATGGAGTATCACTGCGAGGACTGTGATCTGTCTGCTCTTGCTCGCCAACAAACGGAATGAGAATGACCACTCACGACTTGGTCTCTCCCTTTGTCCCATCGTACATCGCCTTCAAGCCGCTCACGCGCCATTCGAGCGTCACTGCCGTGGACTCGCTGAATTCGAACTGGTTTGATTGGCCAGGAGTGGGGAACGAGGACGATTGTGCGACTGTGGAGTGTCAGGATTGCTGTCTTATGCTCAATAACCAGGCCCTGACAAAGATAGCTGCTAGTACGGACATGGGACCGCCCAGGTCCCGTGTTGTAGGTGAGAAGGCAACATACCCTGGTTGGAATCCCGAGGGGTGTACTCGTAAGGTGGAGGGACGGCGGCCATCGTGTCTCGTTCAGCGGTTCCTCCTCCTTTGATTCAGCTGTCGGAGCTTGTAAATCTGTATATATCGCCGGTGCTGTGCTAGCGGATTAGAGGCAGAGCCTGAGCTAGAGTCACGAGTGAGAATCAAGAGCTCAAGCTTTCAAGGTTCCTCCTGATCGACGTCGCGTCCGGGATGGAGGCAATGACGTAACCGGGTGTGCCTGGACCGAAGGTGGCAGAGTGGCGGCTTGCTTGGGGGCCGAGTGACTCGAGCTGGGTACTGAACAGTCGGTGACGCCAGACTAACGCAGGTGAGGTGGTATACATGACGCATACGGCTATCCTGATCTCTCGATAAAGTCACTGCCTATCTAGTACCAGCATGATTCTGCAGCACCACCAGATAATACCCTCGAGCCCGGCCGCCGCTCGCTTGCCCCTAGCTTGCGCGCCGACACGGCCTCCCCGCTCACTTGCCGTAGTGTCGCATGGGCACCTTGAGTCAGAAGCTTTTCCCAGGTCCTCCGCTGTTGAGCAGATCGTAGGCTGCAACGAGCCCATGGTACACCTTTGAGTCCCCATCGCCGCGGGTGATATGGTAGCGGAGAGCATCCAGATCTGCGCCGGTCGAGTTGTTCCTCTCCAAGCGGGTACGAGGCACGAGGAGCACTGCATCTCCATGGGACTCTGTCGACTTGCTGGCGATCTCGAAGGTAAACACGGCACGTCGTGCGTTCGTGATGTCCTCCCAGTCAACGCTCTTGAGGATGAGGGTATGAGCTTTGGCGATAGAGCTCTTGAAAGTTTTCGCCGATTTTGTGCACGCTCACCGACCGAGATCACTGCCCTATCATCCTCATGGTAGGTATCCGTCTCTAAGGAGTCTTTGGCTGAAATTATATTGTCTGACTATACATGAGATCTGCGAGCGGAAATGATGAAGGGCAGGCAAGCCGCGAGTTTCTGGCAGACAGTAGGATGAGAGTCGCACCGAGAGGTCCTGCTAGGGATACCACAAGAGTCACCCCTTGCATGCAGTAGCCAGCCCACCCCTCTTGTCAAAGGAAGATCGATCCCATGGACTCCCGTTCGTTTTACGATCAGGCGGCCATCGCCATGTGACAGGTCATCACCCAAACCCCAAGTGAATACTGCCTATCCTTTCCAGCCACGCACAGGTCATGTCTCGTCATATCCCAGATCTCACACCTCACCTGCCATGTATGGACGCGCAGAGAGCGCAGCGACTACACCCCCCGAGTCCCGGCGGACCGACGAGGAATGAGGAGGCACTTGCGCCACGTGGCGCGGAGTGCCGCACATTTGCCTCCGGTGCCTGAAGGAGGGAATGCGAGCTTGTCAGATTTTGGGGTGTGGAGCGGGATTGGAAGGTGACTTGTTCAAGGGTTCGCTCCATATCTAGCGGCTGCGCCACATGAGTGAAGAGCTCCGTTGCACCGTTCTCTCAGCCAAGGCAGCTGACTCCGGTTAGAGATGGGGGAGGTATCACAGATCCAGCAGCAATCAACTTATTCGGGTCCGAGCTCCGATGCGACAAAGAAGCTCCGTCCGTTGCGCCGCCTTTGCGTAATAAGGTTCGCCTAGTCTGAGACACACACACGTTCAACAGGGTCACTCAACCTCGACTCGTGCCATTCCGCAGATTTGCGCACACCCCTTCCTTTCCTTTCTGTACTTCATCATTCTTCCATCTGCTATCGCACTCATAGCTTGCACCATGGCCAACATCGCACTCATCACCACCATCCTCAAGGGCGTTACGGCCTTCTGGTCCTTGCTCGTCTTGGCCGTTAGCGCGGCCATGATTGCCAAATTCAACAGCTATGGTGAGCATCCATGTCACCACTCTGTCTTGGCATGATGCTTTTTGCTGACCACTCATAGTCGGAGGGTATATCGCAGGCTCAGGTTTCAGCCAAGGTAATGCGGTGCTCGCTGCTGCCATCCTATGTTTCTTGTACTTCTCCATCGCGTGAGTGCTGTCTATCCTCGAACTGGACCGTGATGCTGGGCGCGGCTGATGGCAAATAGCGTCGTCTTGCTCTTCGTCAGTCCCGCATCCATCATCCTCAGCGTCATTGCCGATGTCGCCATCATGGGGTTCCTCTTCATCCTCAACCTAGGTATGTGTTCTTTTTGGCTTAGGCGTACGAGAGTAGGTTGGCTGATCTACCAGGCTCCGTAGCTGCCCTCAGTGATGTGGCTGGCGCTTTCAAGGGGTGCCGAGGAGACCGCTTCTGCTCGCTTGGGAACGCAACTCTTGGTCTCGGCTGGGTCTTGGTCTTCTTGGTGAGTACAAAGTCGTCTCCGCATCCGCCGTATTGAATCTCCTTCTTGACTACCCCTGTGCTATCTCTCGCTGACCCTCAGATCCTCGCCATCCTCCTCCTCGAGATCATCGTCACCCTCCGCGGCTACGGTGGCGGCATGTCCACTTGGCGCACCCCGTTCAACGAGCTCATCACCAACGGCACCACCAAGACCGGCCGAGGCGTCGAGCACCACTCTGAGGCGGGGCTGGGTGCGTCCAGTGCGGGCGTGCCGGTGGGCATGACGTCTACTGGACCGCAGGTCGTCCAGAGGGTCTAGGGCTGATGAAGGGAGATGGAAGCGGGTATCATAATGACGGGATTTGGAGAGGAAGCGGGAGATCGGATAATAATGGGAAGGGTGCCTGGAGTCTGGATGTCGCTGAGCGGCTGTTCATGAGGAGAATCAAGTTCAAGCGTCGAAGGGCCTCCAAGTACACCGTACATTGACGAAAGCTTACTCACGACCACTCATGACCTGATGCGGCCAGATACCAGTCTAGTGAGCTGGCCTGACGGGCCTAACGGACGGTGGGATACACGGTAGGCAGCCTTACCATTAGTATATTCGGTCTACCTACAAGGACTGCCAGGTCTGGCTCGCTTCTCCGCAATCCGGCGACGCAGCTGGACACTACACCCGCTCGGCTGAATATTGACGACGGGCAGGAGGTCCAAGGGAGAGTACAAAGTTCGAATGGCCAAGCTACCCTATGCAATTCATCGTGGACGCTACTCGAGTATATACGGTCCAGCCCGCCAACTACCGTATACAGGGCTGTGTAGACCCAGCTCATGCTTGGTCTAGTTTCGAATCTCCAGCCGTTCTATACGGTATCATTACCCAAGGGAAAATCAACCTCCAGAACAGATCCAACGAGCGGCTTGTGATTCAAAACTAGCTTGGTCGGAGCCTGAGGCTCGGCGCTCTGCAAGTCGAGATGACGTGATGGCAGCATTCCTCGCCTCGGCGCGGCGGTGCTCCCAGAGCGCAGGATATCGTCCGGCCGACGACGCTCGAGCTGCTCATACCGAGAACAATGATCCGGCCGATCGCATACCCACTGGGGCATACAAGTACCTACGAGGGTCACACCGGCACTGCCTTCCACTACAAGGAATGGCGCCAAGCCCCCCGGTCGGCTCCGAATACAAATCCAGCGACCCCTGCGCCGCCGCCGAGTGCCGAGCGCGGAGCGCCGCGTCTCTCTTCTTGGCTTGGGTATCTGGTGCGCATCATGAGGGGAACATACGCATGCTCCAGTCGTATCCGGCCGGCTCCTGCGTTCTTGCGCTCGGAAGATATATAAGAGAGCTGATTCGGCGCTGGCTTACCCGACCTACCGGTACCTTCCATCTGGTCTGCTTCATCTAGCTACTAAAAATGACAGCGCTCACCATCTTTACTACTTTCCTCAAGGGGTTTACAGCCCTTTGGGCACTCATCACCGTCGGCATCAGTTCTGCCTTAGTGCACAAGTTCAACGATCTACGTGAGTCCGCACAAGCCTCTCTTCCTCTGGCTCGCGCTCATTTTCACAGTCCGTCCGTATGTTCGCGCGTCAGGCTTCAGCCAGGGTAATGCGGTCATCGCAGCAGGAGCCTTGTCATTCTTGTACTTCGCTATCACGTGAGTACCGTACAAGGTCAAGACGGATGACGGGCGTGACTAAGCGGCACAGCGTCGTCCTGATCTTCGCTGCGCCCCGCTCGGTCCTACTCAGTATGATTGCGGATGTCATCTGCCTGAGTGTCATCCTCCTCCTCAGTCTGGGTAAGCTCCCAGACTTAGTGTCAGGGTATCGACTCGCTGATTGGATAGGATCTATGGCCGCCCTGACGGACGTCAACGCCGCATTTAGGGGCTGCAGAGGGGATATCGTTTTCTGCGCTCTGGGTAACACGACTTTGGCCGTTGGCTGGTGCTTGGTCTGCCTAGTGAGCACAACCTCTCGTGATCTTGTGACATACTGCTGGCAGATCAAGCAGCTGACATAGCAGATCCTCATCATCCTCTCGCTTGAAGTCATCGTTACGCTGCGGAGGTACGGCGGCTCGCTCTCTACATGGCGTACACCGTTCAACGAGCTGGTCAATCATGGACCATCCGACGCAGGGCATTCTAAGGAATCTCGAAGGAACGATGACGCGCAGATGAGCGGATCAGATGCGGGAATGGTAGGAGGAGGTAGGCCGGAGATGGTCCAGCGGGTATAAGCTGAGCCTGGGGGATGTGATCTTCCTTCCGCGCCGAGTGAACTGAGAATGATATGTAGCTATATGATCATTGAGATTTGTCGAGATGGTCAGCCCTTGCAACTTGACCGCTACGAGGAGCTCAGACAAGCCCGACTTCGTCGTCGTCCTTGCCATCGATCGTTACGAGCAGCCACTGCCAGGCCATTACGGCAGGCCACTGGCAAGCGAGATTTCGACTCTCCTCATTCCTCGTTTGCACCTCACGCGTCGACATGACCATACAGCCCCCTCTTATCAGTATGAACGCCGAAGCGGGACCGTCGACACCTCCAGCGGGGAGAGTGCCGGCTTATAAGCTCTCTCAGTCTCTAAATGGGCATCGGAGGAGTGTCACGGCGTTGCAATGGTTGACGGATGGGCAGGCGCTCGTTTCTGGCGGTGCGTACCACCTATTCGATGACAAGAAGTCGTCCCGACGTTGCAGACCGTCGAAGGTTCATTTGAGTGCTTATGATATACAGGCGCAGATGGGATCCTTAACATCTGGACATCCACCCCGCCCTCCACCTCCCTGGGCCACGCGCGGACCATCCGAGCCCACCGGACAGGTATCAACAGCCTCTCCATATCCCCTGACGACCTATACGTCGCTACCGCCTCGGACGATAATGACATTCGTATCTACCCTGTCTCATCTCCCTCTCCTGCCGCCTCCGGCCCCGTCTCAGCCGAACCCGAACCCGAAGTCCAGGCCGAAAGGAAGACACGCTCCTTGACTACGCCTCTCCGGGAGCTGAAGGGCCATACGGCCCCGGTCCTCGCTGTCGCCTTTTCGCCCAAGTCGAACCTGCTCGTCAGTGGCAGCTTCGACGAGAGTGCGATCGTATGGGATGTACGGCGTGGAGTTGCGCTGAGGCAGCTGCCGGCGCATTCGGAGGCGGTGTGGACAGTAGGGTGGGATGGGGAGGGAGTGATGGTCCTCACGGGAAGTGCGGACGGGCTCATGTGAGTCGGTCAGGAGCTGTGGTAGCTGAAGCTGACCTCATAGTCGGTTATGGGACGCTACGACGGGGCAATGTCTCAAGACTCTCGACAATGACTCCAATTCCCCCGTCACCTCCGCCCTCTTCACTCCGAACCCCTTCTACCTCATCTCCGGTACAGCTGGCGTCGTCCGGGTCTACAATATCCATACCGGCAAGGTCGTCAAGACATTGCAGCCAACAACGGCCGTCGTCGTGCCTGCTCCAACCGGGGCGGCGAACGAGAACAAGGAAGGCGGGACTACGGTTGGGGCGGTGGTTGTCGCTTTTACGGCGGTTCCTGAGTGCGCAGAAGGGATGGAGGTAGACGGTCCGGGAGGGAAGAAGGAGGCGTGGGTGCTGGCTACTACCGGCGAGTCAGGAGTAGCGGGTGGTAAGGTGGTCATCTGGGAGCTGGGGACAAGAAGAGTGGGACAGGTGCTGGAAGGTCATAGATCGGCGGTCATTGCTCTGGCGGTACATCCGAGCGGGAGGATGGTAGCTACGGGCAGTCTTGAGCCGGAGAAGGTCATACACGTCTGGCGGGACGATGAATGATATTGCTAGATTGCTCTACAGGTATGGCTATAAGCCTACTCGACCGCCCTTCCCCCTGACGCCCTTCCAGACATTATCAACCCATTCCTTCTCTTCCCTCTCTACCATGACGAACTCATCTGTCGACCCGGTTCTCCCGACTCCGCCTCCTGACGCCGCCCCTCCGCTGTTGCCTCCACTGCTTGATGCAGCCCCCTGACTCCCTCTTCCGACCTTACTAGGCGATGCTCCCGCCTCCTCTGGAAAGAATAGGCCTGTAGACTCTCTTGGTCGGAAGGGCAGATTGAGCGCTTTGGCTGTGGATTGCGATAATGGGGATGCACGGCCTGGCGTATTATTGTTATTTGATGATGTGCGCGCTAGGGCTGAAGAAGGGTAGTTTTGCGATTGTGAGGAAGAGGATGGGCGAGTTGGGGTGGATACAGAAGGGGTGGAAGGGCCTTTGGTGGCGGTTAAGGGGTATGCCCGGGTCTACAGAGTTAGTTTCAGTACTGAGCAAAGTGGAGCTGGGAAACGGACCAGAGGCGATGACACTCGAGAGGGAGTCAACTGAAGCCCTGTTGCCCCTGGTGCCTTCGCAGGCGCAGCAGGCGACCGGACCGAGATGTACGCTTCGACGATATTCCACAGCGTCACCACCGTCAGTATCGTTTCTGCCTGTATGAGCTTGAGCCGCCGTATATCCGCTAGGCTCAACTTACCCAGCCACCAAAATCCTCTTCCTGCCCAGCTCGCATGACCTCTTGCACGCCCTTGCACATACTCATCTGCGAACCAGATCACTCCCCGGCGGAATTGACGGTACGGGGTGAATATTGAGCGAAAGACGGTGAGGAGGGCGAGTGCGAAGGAGTTGATTTTCAGTCTGGAGTGGGCTACTGATGCTGGGAGAGGCTTGAAGGGCGACGGGAGGCTGGAGAGGCTCATCTTGAAAGTGATGGTAGATGTCGAACATCGAAGTCAGAAGCTGAAGCAGCTCCTGCATGGTGCCGAGATCCGGGCCCGGAAAGTCACGTGATTTGTTACGTAAAGCGTTTCACGTCGCGGCTGATGCGCGTCCGGTCAGCTATAAATTCCTTCAACCCATGTTCTCCCTCTTGACTGGTACATCTTGACTGTAGGCAACATGCCGGTCTCTTTCCCGACGACTAGTACTGTCGCTAAGCGAGTCGAGCAGAATGCGTACAAGACAGTAGAGTTGGCAGAGCTCGTGAAGGCGGCATCACGCGGTGAAGGGGAGGGAAGGGGTAAGGGAAAGCAGGCTGAGGCGGGAGGTAAGTTCGCGCTCTGATGCCCCAGCGGTGGTCAATGCTGATAATCAGGATCCAAGGACATCTCCGAACCATCCGGCACTCATGTTCACACGCTCACTATCGAGGTCGAGCTCGGCGCCCCTCCGCCACAGATCACATACCGCCATCGCGAACCGGAAGCCAACCCTGCATACGCCCAGTTCGACGCCCTTCGAAGCTCTCTCAAGGCTGCCGCGAAGGCCTGCGAGCCCTTGGATATCATCCGCCCCGCGGACCAGGTCCTAGGTATAGACCTTCCGCCGAGCAAAGGCGCGTTCGCGCCCAAATCTACCCCGAGCGTTGCGGTCTACCCGAGCTCGAGCGAGGAGAGGACTACTCGGGGAACCGAGAGACCTCTCGTCCGTCTTGAAGAGAAAACACGGTGGAGGGACTACAGCCTGGACATCCCGGGTGCGAAGGAGTGGAACAAGCAGTCCACGGCGTGGGACTCGACGAGCTGGCTTCATGCCGTGTTGGCGCTGGATTCGAGGGAGAGGGCCATGCGCAACCAGGTGTACAGGGATGATGTCAGGCGCTTTGAGCTTCGGACGGGTTTGCAGATGGCCTGGGAGCCAGCTGAGGGGAAGAAGGCGGCAGAGAAGAAGGCCCAGCGGAAGAAGGGCGCCGAGGAGGGGTCTGACGGGGAAGATGAGGATTATGAGGACAACGAGGATAACGACGAGAGCGAGATCGGGGATGAGGAGAAGGAGGGTGAGAAAATTAAATTGATCATCACCGTCAACGTCTATCTCAACTTCGCCGCCCTGGCTACCCCGGCTCCGGAGATCGGTACGGACCTCATCGGCCTCATCCTCCACTCCATCATTCCCTCGGATCTCCCCCTCATGCTCGATGCCTCGGACAAGAGGTACGACGCCCTTCGTTCATTCTTCGCCTGTATGCAGCCGGCGCCTTTCCTACCACGCGGTATGAACGCGTCCGACCTTCAGCCCAAGGCGATGCGGTCGACGCTACTGCCCTTCCAGCTCCGAACACTGCGGCTTTTACTCGAGCGCGAGCACGCGGCGGGATACGAGAACCTCTCTCTCTCGGAAACGGCGGATCCGCGAGGGTTCTGGGCGCAACTTGAAGTAGGCGGAGAGAACGTGGCGTACCGGCGAGCCACGGGCGAGATGTTGTCTCTGCCCGAGTCGGTGGCTAGCGCAATAGCGAACCGCAAGGGCAAGGGGAGAGCGATGGACGCAGATGTCGACATGGAGTCAGAGGGAGCGCTAGGAGGGTTGAGTGCAGCGGACCGAAAGTTGCTGCCCCCGCTGGTGGATCTGTCAAAGGTCCGGGGGACCATGCTCTGCGAGGAAATGGGTCAGTCTCCTTTATCTGAGTATTGTGACGAGAGCTGATCGGTTTCAGGCCTCGGCAAGACAGTCGAAGCTATTGCTCTCATGCTACACCACCGCCACCCTCTCTCTACATCTCGGTCCTCGCTCGAAATGGCTCCCGAAGCACCCGCATCATCGTCAGAAGAGGCCGAAGAATTCGACATTGACATGCTCGATGACGACGCGCCGCTCACTGCCGCCCGAGAGCGTAAACGCGTGGCTGCGGCCCATGTCAATGTGCCCAATATGGACCTTCTGGCGGGTCCGCCGGGATTGGAGGATGAGGAGATCAGCGGATGGCTTCAGGCAGAATTGGACGCGTTTAGCGGGACAAAGGTCTGGAGCGAGGAGTCTCAGCTGGATGTGACGGAGGTTGCGGTGAGTTGGCTTTACCCGGAGGCTTGTAGCCCATGGATCAGCAGCTGACACTGCAGACCACGCTCATTGTCACTCCATCTGTTCTTCTCAAGCAATGGGTCTCCGAGATCCAGACGCACGCCCCTGGACTCCGAGTTTGCGTGTATGAAGGCTGGAAGAAGCTTCAGGACGGCATCAGGAGACAACAAGCATCGCAGAACAAGTCAAACGGCGCGAAGCCCGGCGACAAGAAGCGGAAAGCCACCGAGGCGTTGAGGAAGAAGGTGGTCAAGAAGTACAGTGGTGGAAAGGGGCAGGTCAACGGGGAGGAGGAAGCGGAAGGGGCGGAATACGTCGAGGAGCCGGTCAAGGAGGAAGCGTCGAGCGCGGACCCTTTGAGTCTGCTTGAGGTCACTCAGGTGGAATTCGAGAAGTATGTCCGGGCGCACGATATCGTCATTTGCACGTATCAAGACTGTAAGTCCAGGCTGCTGTCAGCTTGAGTCGAGCTGATGTGGGTCAGTGGCTTCGGATCTCAAGGTCGCGCACCCGGCGCCTTCGCGGTCCAGGCGCAAAAATATCGACTACAAGGAGAACGAGCGCCCGAGAAGCCCTCTGATCATGGTCGAGTGGTGGCGTGTCTGCATGGACGAGGTCCAGCTGTCCAGCGATCAGTCCGCTGCTTCGTAAGTTTCCTTGACGAGACCTGATTGGGGCGGGAGAGCTGATCCGTCAGCGAGATGGTTGCTCTGATTCCCCGCCGAAACTCCCTCGCTGTTTCCGGTACCCCCGCCAAGACGGACATTAAGGATCTCTTGGGTGTCCTCCGCTTCCTCCGTGTCCCTCGGATCCCATACGACGGCCGCCTCTGGTACCGTCTTCAGCAGCCCTCATTCCGGCCCGCCTTCGAAGGCCTCTTCCGCGCCATCTCCGTCCGCACTACCAAGCGCCAAGTCCAGGACGAACTCACTATTCCTCGCCAGACGCGATACGTCGTCCCCATCGAGCTGTCTCAAATTGAACAGCACTACTATCTCGATACCCTCGGTCGGCAGCGGGAGATCATGACCCGCCGAGGTGGGGGCGGGCTGGACCGTGCCGCCCTCAAGGCGTGTCTTCTCAACCTCCGCCAGATCTGTACGCACATGCAGGTTGGGCTCTTACAGGCGGGCGCTGGGGGCCCGCGGGAACGGCTGAATCTGGGGAAGGAGTTGATGACGATGAAGGAGGCGCTGGAGAAGATGAAGAGCGATCATGTCGCTGAGTTCCTTTCTGAGAGTCGCCTCCAGGTCGGTCTTTCCCTGGATTGTTTATGGAGAATATTGCTGATTTCTAGCTTCGCTTGATGGTCCGCCTTGGCCAACTCATCCTGTCTGACAAAGACAACGACCTCCGTCTTCTTCAAGCGGCCGCCAAATTTGAACGGTGCCGCGAGACGATCACCAAGCAGCTCGGACCGGTCCGGGAGGAGCTTCAACGTCTTCTCGCCGCGAACGGCAATATCGAGATTGACGACGATGCCTTGTCGACGGGTACAGCGGAGAAGAAGGGGTTGAGTCAGCAGGAGAAGGAGAAGGCGGGAGCGATCACCAGTGCGAGGACGACAATCAGGGAACTGCTTTTGATTTTGCATCAGGCGAGCTTCTTGATGGGTGATGTGAGGCATCAGCAGGGGGAGGCGGATCTAGAGAGTAAGCTATCCCCTGTGTCTCTCCCGCAGTGATCGAGTAGCTGATATGGCCAGCTGAGGAGTACGCGAAGGCCGATCAGATCAGGAAAGAGATTCTTGGCGGATCGCTCCGACAGTCCATTGTCGCGATTGCCAGACTCGACCGCCAGGTTGAGGCGAGCGACTTCAAGGACGTGGAGATGCTTCAGACGGAGGACGATTGTGGGCGGGGCGGGATCTCGTCGGCGGACGCGATCGAGTCGTCTAATGAGCTTTTGCGGCTCATCAATGAGAAGTGAGCTAGTTCGAGCTGAGCCTTCGGGCCCAAGAGGGGAGAGCTGATGCCGTAGCACCCTGATCATCTGGGACTGGCGACAGAAGATCATCGAGCTTCTCCGTGCGCCCGTCGAGGCTGAGCAGGCCGAGGATGCTGTTCCTGGCGGTGATGCGCCGGCGGAGGCGAACGCAGAGGAAGACTTCTACGGCAAGAGCTTGAAGTCGCAGGGCGAGCTCCAGTGCTACATGACTGCGTACGCCGCTGCGTTGGTGGACCGACGAGGTGAGTCGCCAGGCGCTGTAGGAGGTATATACCCGGACGTGAAGCTGATATTAGCAGAGATGATCAGCGAAGAGCGGAATCTGTTCGCCGAGGGTGACGCTTCTCGTCCTGCCGAGGTGAGCTCTCAGGGCTTCGGAGATGTAGTTCACAGGGCCTCAAGCTGATTGCATTAGCGAACGACCGCCCGAGCCCGACAGGCCAAAGAGGCCGGACTGGAGCTCGGCTTGTACGATGAAGACGACGAAAACAAAAAGTTGCTTGACGAGCTCATGCAGGAGAGGCAGGCGTTTATGGACGCGCGGAAGGGAACGTGCGAGCGGCCTCTGAAGGGCTACCTCATTGATCTCAATGGTAAGCTGGTGGCTATTTGTGTACTGGACGTGCTTGAAGCTGATTGTGATTAGGTGTTGTCCACAATACCACCATGAGGAGAGAGGAGGTTCAGATTGCCAAGCAGGCTGCGGACTTTATCCGGGGGTATCACAAGGAGCAGGGTAGGTATTCCTCTCAAGACTATTTGAGAGGTGCTGACGGGTGCAGCGACTCACTTGGACAACCTCAATAAGGAGCTTGATCTTTTCCGCGCGACTTTCAACTACCGCGTCAAGTTCTTTGCGGCCCTGCAGGAGATCTCGGATAGTGTGAGCTACCCCGACTATATCAGATTGTCAGGATTCAGCTGATTCTCCAGGTCGCCGAGCCCGACGCCGCCCCCGAAGGCAAAAAGAAGCGCGACGTGCACGACGAGATCCGGTCCGTCGACGCGGAAATCACCGCGAAAGAGGTCCGGCTGGCGCAGCTCACCACGCGGGGTCGATACCTCGACTTTTTGGGCGGAGGGCAGGCCGAGAAGGACGATGATGAGCTGCGCGAAGACTGTATCATCTGTATGGGCAGTTCGGACGATACTCATGGGTTGTTGCTGGAGTGTGGTCATTTCTTCTGCGCTGTGAGTCTTAATATTACCTTTCCTTCAGCCTTGTAGGATCGTCTATTGAGGATGGTAAGCTGATTGTGCTAGTCTTGCTACAAGGCGTACCGGTCTTCCCAAAGTCGAGGGTGTCCTTCTTGTCGCCGAGATAGTAAGTGCAGCTTGCCAGAGCCTCTCCGGCGAATGTCAGACAGCTGATCTTTCAGTCGACGACAAGGCCATCACCCGGTTCAAACTCGGCGGTGCACCATCCAAGACCAACCAAAAGGAAATGCGAGCCCTGGCATCTGCCGACGCAGCCGCCATCACTGCCCTGGATGCCTCTGCGCCCGCTGCTGGTCCGTCCGGCGAAGCGGCGGCTGCCGCCGCTGGCACATCCGCCGACGCACTCCTTGCTGCCCAGCTGGCAGAGGAGGATCGAGAAGGTCAAAACCTGCGTGAGATGGAGGAGCAGGAGTTTGGTGCTACGCGTGCAGAGGAGGTCGAGAAGCAGGCGAGGGAGCGGGATATGGCTCGGGTGAATATGCTGGATTTGGAGACGCGGAGGGAGATTGCGCATATGGATATGATGGGGGAGTATGGGTCCAAGGTGAGTCCCGGAGGATACTGCCTCGAGTAATGGAAATTCACGAAATTCAGAGCTGACGCCGCAGATCGACTTCCTCGTCAAGCATCTGTTGCACTACCGAGCTCGCCAGCCCGAGGCGAGGCACGTCATCTTTTCGAACTGGTCCGACAGTCTCAACAGTGAGCTGCCCATATCACTTGCGAGACATGCGTTAGCTGACTTCGGTAGTCGTCACGCGCGCTTTGAGACAGAACGGCATCAAGTTTGCCTCCTTCGATGGTAACAAGACCAAAGATGTCGTCGACAACTTTATCAAGGACAAGTCTATCACCGTCTTCCTGCTTCATGCCGAGCGTGAAAGGTCAGCTACACTCGCATCTCTCTTTATCCCGGATCTAAGCTGACACCTCAGTGCCGGTCTCACCCTGACGACCTGCCAAGTCGTCCACCTGCTCGAGCCCGTCCTGCGCCACTCGTTCGAACTCCAAGCGATCGGCCGAGTCGACCGTCTCGGCCAAAAGAACGAAACCAAGGTCTACTGCTACGCAACGCGCGATACTGTCGAGTCGCGCATCCTCGCCCTGGGTGTTCGGAACGGAACGTCCATCTACCTGAAGAATGATGATGCGGACAGAGGGGAGATGGAACGGCGGGCGGATAATGTGGTTAGTGCTGCTGGTAAAGGAGGAGATTTGGGGGCTGGGGATGGGACTGGGAATGAGGAGGAGTTGCTCAGTTTGTTGCTTTGAAGGAATGGGCATGGTGGTGGAAGGAGCAAGGGAGAGGGGTGCACGGGGATCTTACGGAGGATTGAATACTGAGGGCCTGTACATATTTGCAAACGAGAAGAGGGAGGTTGTATATAGGTACGCATTATGCTGGATATCAAAGCACGAGCGCGGGGTGCTCTATTGGTCGAGCGCACCAGTGACGTGAGCTCAAGCGGCCCAAGACAAGGTAGTTGGGCGATCTGAGGCTCGAGTTCCCGTCACCCCCACTTAACCAGCTCAACTGGTGCTCACCCCCACTTTAGCCAAAACTCGGCCGGTGTACCCGAACGGTCAGAGCACCCCTCGACATCCCCCGAACCACCTACTTCCCAGAGCCTCCTCTTTAACAACCGCATACAAGGACTCCCCGAGCTACGGCGCACATCATGACGGCCAGGACAGAAGCCACATGGACAAAGATCCCAGGACCACATCTCCCTCGCTCATCCCACTCGGTATGCGTGATCGCGGGCAAGGCTTACATCTTTGGAGGGTGAGCCAGTTCGGGGTCTACATGCTCAGCTTGAAGACGGTTTGAGTGGGCTCTGATGATGTAGGGAGATCCAGCCTAGGCAGCCGGTCGACAACGCCATGCACATCGTCGATATCGAAACTGGCGAATGCGAGGAGGTGGCGGCCAAAGGTGATGCCCCTGCGCCGAGGGTGGGCCACACGGGCGCAGCTGTCGGGAATGACATCTACGTATTTGGAGGTGTGAGTCAATACTTTTTCCCTACATATAGCTACAGAATCTCTGGCTGATATGCAAGCGGGGCGGTAAAGATATGACACCCCTCGGAGAATCCGGCGCCGTCTACGTCTTCTCCACTACCGCCCGCACATGGTCTAGGCTGCAGCCAACGTCCGAATCATACCCCATTGCAAGGTCATACCACTCATCGACGGCCACATCAACCCATATTCTCATCCATGGTGGCTGTCCTCCTCCTCCTTCTGGGCGCCTGGCCGACGTCTGGGCGTTCGACATTGCGTCTCATACCTGGACGGTCCTGCCCGAAGCTCCTGGGAAAGGACGAGGCGGGACCGCTATAGCCGTCCTCGATGGGAAGCTTTGGCGGTTCGGCGGGTTCGATGGAGTAGGGGAATTGGGAGGTGGAGTGGACTGCTTGAATCTGGAGAAGGCTCTGCATGGCGCGGACGAGGACGGGAATGCCAACTCAGGCTGGGGCTTCATCCCGTACGGTGACGCCACCGGAGCCGAGGCAGGCAAGTCCGCGGGCCCGGGCGCAAGATCCGTCACTGCCCTGATCCCTTCGACAGCCGGGTCTGGTCCACCCAAACTGCTGGTCATCATGGGCGAAGGTAAGCCCTCACCAACCGGCGGTCACGATGCGGCGGGTGGCTTCTACGACGACGTGTGGAGCTTCGATCCGACGAGTGGGAAGTGGGAACAGGTTGTGATCGCCAGCGGAGGCGGGCCGGGTCCGAGGGGTTGGTTTGGGGCTGATGTGCACGGGGAAGGGGCGGTGGTGTGGGGCGGGCTGAATGGGGCGAACGAGCGAGAGGGAGATGGGTGGGTGCTGAGCTTCCAGTAGATAGCCGAAGGAAGTAGTGTAGATACTGCTAGGGCTAGCTGTTCCTCGACTCGTGTGTATGTACTCGGCTTCAGCTCAGTCAGCTATGTCAGTTCGCACTCAGTGCACAATCAGCGGTTCCCGTTGCGCGGCTCGTCTCGACTCCTAACATGTCCTCTCCGCCGATTGTCAGGGATCCTGGTCCGTCTCTCAGCACATCACACCCTCCCTTCCTCCCGTTGACCACTGCCTGCCTTATCAAGCCCCTCGTTCCTAGCCCATCCGTTGCCTTCCATCAATTCCAGCAGATCCCCTCAGACTCTCTTTGAGTTGATGATGCCGGGTTTCATGGGTAATACAGTCGTACAAACAGTCCTCCATCCCTCGAGTACACCGCGCCGCGTCGATCAATGGTGCTCTTCGTCGCCGTGTCCGTGTCCATGTCCGTGGCCGTCCCATGGATGTCTCAGGCCCTGCAAGGTCAGCTCAGTCCGCTGTAAGCTTCCGGCCAACTGACAATCAGAGCAGCTCCGTCCTGTCTGCAGATATCAGCTCAAGCTCTCTCGAGGAGGTCGGGGAGCTCACCTTGCCCGGTAGAAGATGAAGAACCACATGCCTGCTCCGAGAGCCTTGGCCATGCCGCGGTGGAAGAAGGAGACCGGGTGGGGGTGGAAGCCTGTAGTCGATCAGCTTGCTTTCCTTGCGCTTAGGCATGATAGCCGAGCTAGCTGCTGTGTGTACGTACCTGGACCTGCCATGATGGTGTGCTGTGTATAGGCAGAGAGTAGTAACAACAACCAGTGATAGCAAGCTGTATCTGACCCAGTGCGGCTATAACTCCGAAACGCCGATGATGAGGCATTCTCGTCACCAGCCTTGCCTTGTCTCACTTCGACTCGTCCTTCCAGCCAAAAGTTGTAGAGATACCTTTGTATTCATCACAGCTCATATACAGACAGACAGCACCCATTACACCAGCATAACAGCTACAGCGAAAGCTATATCACCCTCAACAACCCAAAAATCAGCAAACGCGAGCAAAATGTCTATCAATGACCCCGCGGCGGCGGCTTATGCTGCTCAGGAGGTGGACGAGGATGCGGAGGTGCAGGTTGATCTGGGGCAGCTCAACGCCCTCAGTCCGGAGGTCATCTCCAAGCAGGCTACGGTGAGCTTCTGCTGCCCATTACGCCGTAAAGGAGGCCAAGCTGATCATCCAGATAAATATCGGTTAGTTGAGACGAGTCTGGCGGTCGAACGACCAGGAACAGCTGGCGAGGCTCTACCCGACCGTGTAGCTGACATACGCAGGAACTATCGGACACGTCGCTCACGGTAAATCTTCTACTGTCCGCGCCATCTCCGGCGTCCAGACCGTCCGGTTCAAGACTGAGCTGGAACGGAATATCACGATCAAGCTGGGTTATGCCAATGCCAAGGTGAGCTCAGAATCTCAGAGCTTTGTCGACGGTCGGTAGCTGACGTACAGATCTACAAATGTGCCAGCCCATCATGCCCTCCTCCTTCATGTTACCGCTCATATCCTTCATCAAAGGAGAACAACCCAAAGTGTGAACGGCCTGGATGCGACGGGCGGATGGACCTGCTGAGGTGAGCTTATTGGATCAGAGCGATGGCGCTGAGCGAGAGTAAGCTGATCAAGCAGGCATGTGTCCTTCGTCGATTGCCCAGGACACGACATTCTCATGGCTACCATGTTGACCGGTGCCGCCGTCAGTAAGTATCTACGATAAATTGCGGCAAAGGCGGTATGCTGACTCTCAGTGAACGGTGCCCTCCTCCTGATCGCCGGAAACGAATCCTGTCCTCAACCCCAAACCGGTGAACATCTCGCCGCGCTCGAAATTATCGGTGTCGACCCCAAAAACATTGTCATCCTGCAAAACAAGATGGATTTGGTCAGGGAGACGGAGGCTATGGAGCATTGCGAGAGCATCAAGAAATTTGTGGAAGGTATGTCGCAGCTACGCGGTACCCGATATGCGGACGCCATAGCTGATTTCGGCAGGTACCACCGCCAGATTAGCACCCATCATCCCCGTCTCGGCCCAGCTCAAATTTAACATTGACGCCGTCGTCGAAGCCATCACCAAAATCGCTCCCCCAAAATACGACTTTGCGGCTGATCCGCGTATGGTCGTCATTCGGTCCTTTGACGTCAACAAGCCCGGTGCGGGTGTGGACGAGCTGAAGGGCGGTGTTGCCGGTGGAAGTATCCTCCAGGGTGTCTTCAAGGTGAGCTCACACTTTTTTCTTGCAGGTGATAATTCCAAGCTCACTGGTCAGATCGGGATGGAGGTCGAGATCCGACCCGGAATCATCCACCGGGACGCCACTACCGGACACTGTACCTGCCGCCCCCTCCGATCCAAGATCGTCTCCCTCCTTGCCGAGCAGAACCAGCTGCAATTCGCCGTTCCAGGTGGTCTTATCGGTGTGGGAACACTGGTCGACCCGGCGCTGTGCCGTGCCGATAGATTGTTGGGGATGGTCATGAGCGCAGTGGGCAAGGGGCCCAACATCTACACCGAGATCAAGGCTGAAGGTTTGTCACCATCCTTCAGACAGGGGAAGGTAAAGCTGACATTCCCAGTCTTCCTCCTCCGCCGACTTCTCGGTGTCAAGACGGACGACGCCAAGAAGGCCAAAGTTTCGAAGCTCGCTGTCGGCGAGACACTCTTTGTCAACATTGGTGCCAGTCAGACGGGTGGCCGGATCGTGGCGCTCAAGGGAGGAGATGTGACGATTCAGTTGACGACACCGGCGTGTACCGAAAAGGGAGAGAAGATTGCGCTGAGTCGGAGAATCGACAGGCATTGGCGTTTGATCGGATGGGGAAAGGTGAGTTATTGGACATGCGAATGAAGGGCGGATAAAAGCTGACAGTACAGGTCAAGAGCGGAGGAACCCTCGCAGAGGTGGTGGACAAGTAGACCACCGATGTTTACCCATCTTGCGGAGGGGGGAGAGGGAAGGCATGCCTCACCTTAGAGTAGCAATTCGTAAAGCATAGTCCGCCATTGTATGCATTATGTATATAACGCCTAGCTCTAGATCCTACAACCCATTAGATCTCCATCCAGATCCACTGTCCATCACTGCCCTCGCGCGCGCCAAAATCCCAGCCGCACCGTAATGTACCGCCCCGCCACCCTCTCTCTCCCTCTCCGGCGGCGCGGCCGATACCGCCGGTCCGGCCTGCTCTGCCTCTCCATTCCTGGCCGTTCCGGCCTCGCCAAAGCCCAGACCTAACGCGCTATATCCCGAGCTACCAGAAGTCGGAGCGGCCGTCCCGAATGCGCCGAAGGAGGGCCGATGGCCGTGCTGCCCGACTTGTGGCCCGAAGCCCTCCGTCGCCGGGTACTGAGTTACGGGGGACGACGCTGCGCTCTGCACTCCGCTCGACGACGAAGACGGATTTGCCAAAAGACGATCCTGCTCCCGAAGCATATCGAGCATCTTCCAGCTCCGCGTACCGGTGTTGGACGCGGAGGCAGTGGCGCCCCTGGAGAAGGCAGGCGCGGCACTGACAGACGCGGCGGTAGCGTACGAGACGTACGGAGCCGATGCGGCCGGAAGAGCCGTAACGGCGGAAGTAGTGGCGCACGCGATGGTGCCGGAGGTAAGACCGCCTTGCGCGAGACAGCGACATGGGCATGCTGCGCAGGTGGTCCCGCTCGGCGCGCGGCTGCTGAGAACGGATTGTTGTTTCCGCGCGCAGGCGAGATGGGTCTTGTGGTTGCAGATAGCGCATGTCGTCGAGAGACCTTCGCGTCAGCTGGCGCTACATATTGGGAGATGCTCAAGCGGTCGGCTGACCTTTGACCGGTAGGCGGCAGAAGGAGCATAGTGGCTGGACGGCCTTCTCTCCGCAGGCAGTACACAGCTCTCCGAGAGTTGGTCCGCAGGTCACACAAGCTACGACGATCAGCTTGTCCCTGATCAGCCGAGGAGCGAGAAGGAGGACGCACCAATGCCGGTATTTTCAGAGCCGCCGGGCTTTGTAGACATGGCCTGCGCCGAGGCAGACTCATCAGGCAGAAAGCGCACGGCCAGCGATTCTGCACGAAGTCCGTACAATTCCGCCCGAAGCAGAAAGTCCGCATAGGCGAGTTTCCACGCCTCACACTGCCTCAGTCTCTCCGGCGAGAGCAGAGCAGGGGGTTCACTAGACTCGTCAGCCTCTTCCGATCCATACGAAATTTTCGTGACTCACGCATCGTCCATGACCAGCTCGATCCTGACGCCACACGTCCTCCTCCCTCTACCCTCCTTCATCCTCTCCTCCTCCAGTCTCACAGTCCCCCGTCTCGCACTCGTCAGCCTCCTCCCGGCAGGCGCCGGACTCTCCTTCGAATCCGTCCACGCCCTCGCCGATCTCAAGACCCCACCAGCACCGCTCCCGGACCCTCCCGCCCAGCCCGAACTTCCCCCTGACTGTATATGCCCAGCGGAATGATGCCTCCCAAATCCTACACTACCAACACTCCCCAGACTCCGGTCGGTTTCTGCCGATCGGAGCGGAGGTACCGAACCCCGGTGATCGCCAGGTGTCGGGGTAGTATTGCTCGATGCCTGCCCAAGGCCGGGCGTAGCTGTCCCTCCGGAAGAGTAGGTGCCCATCGATAGATGCGTAGGGCGGCGGGATCCGCGGTCTCCCTGTCCAATATCGGAATCATGACGACGTCTGCCTTTATCTTGTCCGCCAGCACTACGAGGCTCGTACTCCGGTACGCGGGGACTCGACTTGACCCGCCCAAGACCCGCATGCGGCCCCACTCCGGGGGTTGGCGACGCGTCGTCCCCCATACTCAGGCCGTATGGTCCCCGATCAAAGCTCGTCCGGTCTTTAGGCGTGACCGCCTCCGAGCTCCGCAGTGAAATCGTGCTCGGATGCAAGATGGAAGACCAGCCCGATACCCCACCGCCGCTACTGCTCCCAGTGACACCGGCCCCGCTGGACCCGTACGCAGAGTAAGACGAGTTCCGGTGAGATTGCGATAATGGCTGGATACCGGATCCAGCGCGGTGGTTCGGGCTGGGGGTGATACCGCTCCGGCCACGAGAGAGGGTGTGGTACGATGTAGACCGGGGGAGACCAAAGTAGTCTTGTTCGGGCGAGTGCGCAACGAGTTGGTGTGGGACCTCAGGGACGATCTCGGACTGGGTGTGCTGGAGAACGAGCACGGACACTAGAGCGAGCATCTGGAAATCACGGAAAGCGATCAGAGTATCGAAGCTAGAGAAGTCAGCTCGAATCACAAACGGTCGACGTAGATGAGAGCTCACATTTGGTCCAGTACCACCAGGCGCGACGCGACTCCCCGCTCCCATCTTTCTCTATCTAGCCTGGCATCCTTCTCGCCAAGGAAGCTCGGATGGAGCGAATAAGGCGGAGGCGGATCCTCCAGCACTCCCCTCAGCGTCTCGAGCAGCAAGACATGATCAAGCCGCTTCGCGTCCATTGCGACGCCGACCATCCGGTCCAAATCCGCCGCTTCGGTGGGGATACCGTACTGCCTCGCCAGGTACTTACTGGGATGCCCGAGCGCTGTTGTATCGTGAATTGTCATTGTCGATCCGGCCTGTACAGCTTGCGGAGCGACCTCGATCCGAGCTCGGCGGATCCGGGGTCTTGTCCGGATCGTACGGGAGTTCGGGTTGGAGAGGCCCGCAAGAGCCGACATGGCTTTCAACAAGGGATTGGATGATCGGCTGACGGATGGGGAGCGCGACATGGCGCGGAGTCGGGGAAGGAGGGTCTGCTTCGGGAAGAAACAGACCAGCTCGCCTGGATAGTCAGCTCAAATCCTGATCAAAAGATGGGGTAACTCACCGTTTGGTCCAAATGTAGCCCCAGAGGTCCGAGTGAGCATGACTACATTGTTCGACACCCCAATATCCACCTCCCTCTCGCTATCTGAATCGCTATCGAGATTCACCCTCGTCCGTCCGAGCCGCTGGTGCTCGCCGACTAGAAAAGAGCTGATTGCTGCGAGACATTGCCTGTTCTCCGCCCGGATGCTTTTGATGGTCATGATGATCTCTTGGCGAACGATGGGGGAGACCGTGGGGTTGCGCTCGAGCTCGAAAGTGGGTATTTCGGGGGCATAGGGGTATTGGGCGGGAAAGTGCCAGTGTATCCGAATAAAGGCCATGCGCTCGCCATTTGCCCAGGGACCGAGCATCGACATGGTGAGTTTGCGGTGGTGTAGGTCGATCTAGAATGTAAGCCTGGTTCATGCATTCATGACTGGAAAGCTCACCTTCTCAAAGTTGATCCGAGGCCGAGGGAAGAGCCGATTGACATGCACGACCTCGTCCTTCAGACTGATCCACCCATCGCGATCGCCAAACCCGACGCTGACGCCACGCTCACTCTGCCTCCTCTCCCTACTCGCACTCCTGCTCGCCCCCCGACTGATACTGCCCATCCGGCTTGGCTGGACACTGCTATCAGGACTAGCCTTGTTCTTGACGACTTTCGTCAACCAGTCCAGCTGGTCCATCCCTACCGCCTTTCCACCGCCCCTCGTCATCCCTACCTCAGCAACCTTGACTGACTTTGCCTTGGCGATCCCCGACGGCACATTGACGATCGGCATAGGCAGCGTCTTCCGCTGCTCCGCATCGTGCGGTATCGTATATGTGATATCCTTTGCGCCTCGACGAGATACCAATACCTGGATAGGCGCCCCATACTGGTATCCGACCTTCTCGGCGACTTCCCGCTGGATCGGCCAGACTCGGAGCGTATGATCCTTGCTCCAGGTGATAAGCTGGAATTCGCGATTCTCAAAGTTGGCGTCTTCTCCCCCGCGTGAGCGCCACACAAAGTCCTTGACGACGTCCGAGTGGCCCTCGAAGGTCTGGACGGGCTCGTCGTTACCTAGCGCGTACATCTCGAGATGGTCCGATCCGCGCTGAGGAAGGGTGAGGACGCCGTGTCCGAAGGGAAGGTTCCGGGCTCGCCAGACGGGGTAGCCGGTGTGGATGGTAGAGGTAGCTTCGGATGGTGCGGCTAGGCCGGGGTAGAAGGCCTCGTCGGTAGCGCCAGCTGAGGTCCGGAGTTCCGGTACCGTCCAGTACTTGACCGTTTTGTCTGCTCGTCAGTACCAGCCAGTTAAATCCCAATTCGAGCAGACCCACCTAGTGAACATGTGACCAGCTTGTGCCTCCACTGTCTATCCCAGTCCAGCCCGTAGATCTTTGCGTCGTGCGCTTTGAAGGCTACGACCGGGACTGACCCCTTCCTGTTGTCCCACACTAATACCTCCTTCCCATGCGCCGTAGCGAGCAGGTGGTCGTGCTGTCGGTTCCACTTGACCTGGGTCCCTGCCTGTCCCCATGCACACAGGCGCATGACCGGTCGAGGGAGACTACGGAGGTCCCATGCCCTGATCCCCGCGTCCATCGCCACGGTCGCCATGAGGTTCGGATCCCGCGCATGCCAGTTGATATCGGTGATAGCGCGGGCGTGGGCGTCTATCGAGCGGTGGAGGTGGGTCTGAGCCGCGAGGTCCCATACGAGCAGCTTCTGGGAGGACGTGGAGAGGATGAGGTTGGAGGTAGCGGGATGAGGGGACCATTGGACACTTTCCGTCAGCTTGATCTCCCTCAGCCGGGTTTGAGGACTCACTCGGCAATCTGCCAGGTCCCGCCCTGGGGTATGAACCTCGGCGCATTGTTCAGGTTCGCCAGATCGATGATGTACAGCCCCTTCCGACTCGCGAGGCAGACGTCGCGATTACTCGGGCTGATACTCAGACTCCCGACCGGCTGATTCACCTCAATAGTTGCGCCTTCATGGAACGGGTCCACCTTCCGGATAGCCGTGAATGACCTGTCGAGCCTTGGACGCAAAGACGACCTCGTCAGGTTCTGGTACGAGTGTGATGGCGTCTGCGAGGCGGATGACCGCCGAGAGGCCGACTCGGAGTAGTGAGTGGCCGAGAGGGAGGGTCGGCGGGGTAGGGAGAGTCCAGGGCTGGATGTCCCGAAAGGGGTCCCAGCCGTGGTAGTGAACGGTGAGGGAGGGGAGAAGGGCGGGGGCGAGAGTGGCAGGGCTACCTGCGCTGGTGAAGTCATGTCATGCTGTGATGTAGGTAGAGATGAGAGGGGAGAGCTTGGCCAGATAATATCCTCGCTGTTGACCGGGTTGGCTTCAACAAGGTGGAGGCACAAAGGCATCTCGTGCTCTCGGTATACTTCATCCTGCTATACACTGCTATACACTGCCCAACAGTGCCAAATCTCAGCGACCGGAGTGACGTCTCATTCGATAGGACAGGCCTTCAGGAAGGGCCGCGCTGCATAGGACGCCCGACCAAACTTCGGAGGTCATATCGCGTAGTTCAGCGGCAGGATGTCAAGAGACCCATATCTAGACGTTAAGGGGTGATTACTCTTTCCTCCCTCTTCGCCAGCCTCGAACTGACAGTCAGCGATGTCGAATCCAACCTCTCCACTCTCCATACCCTTCTCACCTCTCAAGAACGCATCCGCTCCCAATCGTCAAGCCGAGAAACGCCTGCAGCTCGCCAGGCGGCAGACGAAATTAGCCGAGTGCTAGATCTGCTCGAGGGGGATTTGGAGGATCTGGATGAGAGTGTACGGGCCGTAGAGGCTGTTGGGGACAGATGGGGAATAGGAGAAGGTGAAAAGAAGGGAAGAAGGGCCTTTGTGGAGAGGGTGAAGAGGGAGGTACAGGTGAGCTCTTCGACCCATAACAGCTGCGCTACATATCGCTAGCTTCCTGATATGAGTATGGTGATGCTGATACCCATACTAGGGACTCAGACGAAAGATCACATCGAATAGCCGGGGAGGGAAGGGGAAAGCACCAGCAAAGTATACCGACAACCCGGATGCGGATCTTGAGCGGGGCGACGAGGATGTGGAAGAAACCCGGAGATGGGAGATGGAGGAGCAACAGGTACGTCTTAGCTCTTCTGATGAAGCTCGGAGCGTCGCTGATATCGGCAGACGCTCATGCGCCGACAAGATGATACCCTGGGCGTCATTTCTGGTACACTGCATACCTTGGCGAGTCAAGCTGGACTAATTGGGAATGAGGTGAATGAGCAGTCAGAGTAAGTCTGCCTGAATGTGACAGACCGCAATTGCAATCGGCGTAAGCTGACAGTGTTGTGCAGGATGCTGGATGACCTCTCAACTCGGGTCGACACAACAGATAGTCGTCTGCGGAAAGCTACTCGACAGCTGAATGATTTCATACGGCGCAACGAAGGTGATTTGCAACCCTTCTTTCGGATCTGCGAGCCACAGCTGATACGCCAGAAACAAAAAGCGGATGGTGCATCTGCATTTTGATCTTCGTCCTCATCATTCTGCTCGTCGCCGTCATCCTCACATAATCAGTCGGTCTGGGCGCCAGCGGCCTCTTTCGTGCCCCAGCCCTCGGCGGTCCGCGATCCACGGATCTTCTTAGCCATCCCCACACGCTAAGTCTAGGCTGAGCGTTGTGATCGCGGCGGGAAAGGCAGCGAAGCAGCCAGACCAATGGGCATCAGGTATCGAGCTTCATAGCCGCTGCTATGGTCTAAGCTGCTCACCGGTGAGGCGCGGACGGGAGAGAGGCGTTCGAGCATACATAGAGGTGAGGCAATCCAGACCGATGCCATTGCACTGTCGCCTCGCGGCGACTCGTTTCGCGTCAAACTCACAAGGCGGGCCCGACTAATCGCATCGCATACTGACTGCAGTCTAGACCTCCTCCGGTTTTGGCCTTATCCCTCTCCGTCTACGAACCATCAAACACAAATGTTGTTTACAAGGTTACTGTATAATTCAGCATCTAGCTAAACTAGCTACTCACGGGTTTATAACGCTAACAACACGTAATGGACAACTACTGTACTCGACTCGACTAGACTAGCTAACTCGGCGCAGCAATCTGACTACCATTTTCCCCACCAGCCCCTGAAGCCTGACTGCGACCGCTCGGGGACCTTCGCCCATCGGATCATCCACCACACTACACTTTCTTATTCTTCTCGATCGCCACCCTGAAGTCCTTCCTGTTGTCGTTCTCTCGACCTGCTTGGTCCAACATATACACCCTGACCCTCTCGGCAGCGCCCCTTTCCTCGATCCTCCTGGCTAAGTCGGCCCTGTACCTCTCGAGTAGCGCTTTCTTCCCGTTGACATCCGCGGCTTGGTACGCACGCTTCCGCTCCAGCTGATCGGCTGCCGTGAGAGGGGGGCTGTGACCAAGCTTAGCTTGAATGGCCGATGTCAGATCCTCCTCTCCCAGTTGACAGCTTATATGCAGCTGATGCCAGATCATCATGCGGCTGTCGCTCCCCTTCTTGTCCCAAAGAGGCCGGTTCATCGCCGCGTCAAGTACATCGTCCGGGATGGCTGAGCCCGCCCACGGCACCTGAACATGCGCTTCTCTTGGGTCTACAAGATCAGCCGACGATCCCGGCCCGCCACAGACATGACTCACCGACGACCCCTCCGGCGCGCTTCAACTCGTCCAGCTCAGCTGCGGTCTTTGGCTGCAGTAGACCGAAATACTGGGCTCTCAGCGCCGCGAGCGCTAATTCCTCCTCCTCGGTGCCAACATCGGGTCGAGTCCAACGCAACTTCGATGCTGCTGCGGACGGTCAGCAAATCAAGCCTTCCGACGCAGAAACGACCAACTCACGACCGACTTTTCCGGTGGATCCGCCGGGAGTAGAAGAGTGTGGGGTGGGCCCCACATCAGGTGGACCTTTCTGGCTTCCAGCGCTGCGAGGGGCCGCTTGATCATCTGCACAGCCGTCAGAATTGTCGTCCTCATTGAGCGTGAACAAGACCAGTACGTACCATCGCCTTCCGCCTCTGCAAAGCCGACGTTCCTACGAGGCGCAAGCGGCTGGGGAGTCTCGGCTGGCTCGGGCACTACAGGTGGTGCTAGCTGACTCCTGCGCTCGGGTAGCGCATCCCACTTGGCCAATAGCTGGGCAGCGGTTGCTGTATACAAATGAAGATAAACACCCGGGTGACTGTTGCCGGTGGAACATTCCACGATGGTCGTCAACTGAAGCGCCTTGCTGATGATATACAGCATCCGGGTGAGGTCTATCTCGACCCTTCTCCTCGCTCCATCTGAAGTTTGGTACCGGTTGGCTTGCCCTATCGCACCCCCCTCCGTGGCTTCGAGGCCTTTGGCGAAGAGGGAGTCGATGACTTCATAGACGAATACGCCTTCGAGCTGCTGATGCAAGACTCGGCGCCCTTCTTCCAGCGAGTCGACCATGACGACGAACGCCGTCCGCCTCTCCACATCATCCCAGAGAGCCATGGCCGCCCAGATTCCCGTGCTCCGGTCCAATGCCCATCGAGCAGTACACCACTGCACTGACGTCTTCCCTAAGCTTTCCATCCCCTGATACACCAGCTTACTCTCCCCGCGTGATGCGATTGGCGCACCGGCCATCAGAGGTAGATAGTACGTCCTGACTCGGGGCATGTCTTTAAGCCAAACGAAGTCCGCCTTCATCTGACCTGCCGTTGTCATCGCGACATAGGGCAAGATACCGCCAAAGTCGAGATGGACGGAACCAGGTGTCAATTCCGTTTGAATAGAGACGTTACTCTCTGTTATCGCATAAGTCGCCTCGTCTTCCATGGTGAACTCGTCATAGTAGACGCCTTTGCCTAGGGCTCTTCCCATGACGCCCAGCATGAATGCCATTTGTCTGGGGTCGAAGCGATCGGCGGCGGTGGCACCTTCCACTGGTGTATACCAGCTGTGCTGACGTTCATTGGTGAACCTGATAATCGAGAAACGGGACCGATCCACCATCCCCTTCACCGCGTTCACCGCCTCCCTATACTTTGCGGCTCTGGCTACAGCGTCTAGTGGCAGCTGCATGAGCACGGACAGTTTCTGGTCGTGGTACTCCTTCACCGGCCCTTGCGCATTGATCCTGCCCTTGGCCATATCAACATGAGTTTTGGAGTAACCTGGGCGGATGAAGAGTCTTCGAAGGGCGATCCGGTCTTCCTGTTGATTGACCTTCTGGTCCTGACCTTTGAAGTTTGCGTAGATCCAAGACCCTGACAGGTGGATACAGCGGTGTAGGGCATCTCGGAGCCAGTAACTGGACCCCTTCCAGCCCTCACCATGCGCCGAGCCGTCTTTGCCTACCCCTTTGGTGTTGCGCATCCAGTCTGCCGCAGCTTTGGCGCGCGCAAAGTCGGCGAGATTGGTCGCCTCTGGCACGAAGAGCGTCACGTCCAGCTTGAATAGAGAGTCGTCGCCGGCATCCAGCCTTGTGATGGAGATACGAGCGGTACCGTCAAGCAGGTCTGCCCCTCCTAGAGTGAAGAGACGGTTGACAAGGTATCGCTGTCCCGCCCAACTCAGCCACTTCAACATCTCGCCGCCTAGCCCCGGGTCGCCGCTTGGCGTACCAAGCGCCGCAATGACGGAATCGGGGAGCCGGTAGCCAGCTTCCACACGCGCCCGACAGTTCATCCACTGCTCCCTTAGGTATGCCCTGTAAGGTAGGGCGAACCACCCAATCAGGATCTCCCTCGCCGCCTCATCGTTTTTGGGCACCAGCCGTCTGACCTTCTGCAGGCCGTCTCCCTGTTCCATGTCCACCGCCTCAAAACCTCCCTCGATGATGCCTTTGGCCGGGCAGGACCTGCAGTCGCGTATGTGAGGCTCTTCATACATGACTTCCGCCAGAGTGGAGATGTCGATGATTTTGCTTCTCAATAGGGCGAGACAGAGATCGAAGACGATAGTGGGTAACTTCCCCCATCGGCGGGTACTGCCCCAGGAGTCGCTCTCGGCCGTCGCTAGCCTCGTCGCCCAGGCCTCTCGCTCACCGAGGGATGCGTCTGGCCTTTCCGCCGCCATCCAGTTGGTGAATACCAGACTCTCCACCTCTTTCATACGAGCAAGCAGGTCGTGGTGTTTGCCTTCAAGCAGCGCAGCTTCGAAGATGTGCAGGCGAGATTGTTCGTGGGGTACCCTGAAGTCGTCTTTGGGAGGAGGTTTCATACCACCCCCAAAGACGACTGGCTCTTCCCAGATCTCTTTCGGCCGTTCCTCATCGTCGAACCTCCATAACCTGCTCGCAGCCTTGTCATCATCGATGAACGAGATTGACCCTCGCCGACCCCTCTCAGACTGTGGCCGCTTATGCGTAAGAATACCCTTCTTACGACCGCCCCCGCGTCCTCCGCCTTGGCCTCCTGAATTACCCGAAGATACGTCCGACTCGTTGCCGCTATGTGAGGCCTCAGTATCGCTGGTGTCAGGGTAGTCTGTATCGGACTGGACAGGATCTGGGGTCTGAGGGGTACTGTGTCGGCGTGAGCTCTTCCGAGATGAGGAGTTCTTGGAGCTGGAGCCCTCCACTGGGGGCGCAGCTTCGTCGGTCGTCTCAGTCTTTTGGCTTCCCCGCCCAAGAAGGACATAGCCAATGATTACCACTACGACGACAAAGGCGAAGAGAGTGATGGGTGAGATCCCCGCGCTGGGGCGGGCCATATGAACGATGCGCCGTCCCATGCTCGAATGTGATAACCGCGGTGGCGGGACTTGGCGCCGAGGAGTGAATGTGTACGGCTGAGGATTGGGTAGCCGGTACGCGAGAGTACGGGCGTCACTTTGCTAACTTACCGGTGGCGAGCTACAAGAGCTGACTCTCAGTACCCTTACATATATACCGGACCCCTCCCTCAGAATGAACAAGGCTGTGAGTCTTGCATTGTCCCTCTCAGCGCTTGCAAGGAGGATGGACCCAGGGGTAGCGCAATTACCCCTGGAGGGGCTTCGAGACAAAGGATGTACGTATGCATAGATCGACAAAGGCTCGCTGACTTGAGGAGCTTTATACTCTCACTTGATCAGCGGGGCCTGGCAATCTGGGGCGCAACCCGGCACCACCCGGGTCGGCCCCATCCCTAGGCCTCAGAAACAGGGGTGAGCGCACGGAAGTTTCCGCCGGAAGCGAATCTGAAACAAGGGGCAAAGAAGCTTTCGAGGAATGTGGAGCTTATTTGCGAGCCTGCTTCTCAGCTTCTCATCAATCAACTTGTCTCCCCTTCGCCCTCCTCTCCTCCACTTTCACCTCTACGGAAGATATTTACTAAGATGGAGATCGACCGATCCAGCGTCAACGAGGACGTATGGTTACACATCGTCAAATATCTTCACCGAGCCTCGCCCGCGCCGTTGTCCCGCCCGACGGATAGGTCAGTTCTTGGCCAGCCTGATTTGGCTATTATTCGGCGTGTATCGCGGGTAGGTCCCTCATATTTCGTACAACTGGTTCTCGAATTCATCCTCCATTTGCAGCATCAGCTGATTGGGCAGGCGCTGTGAGACGTCGCAACACCCCTTATGTATAAGACGGTCACAACGGACGACTTTCCCTCCCTGATCAGAAACGCCAACCCTTCCTCGGTCCACTCCCCCCTTCAGCATACCAAACACCTCTTTATCGAGTACGGCGAGAAAGACAAAGAGCCAGAATACACGGAACTCTGCAGGTCCGGCTCGACTCTTTGGACGGCGTGTGGGTCGGCGAACACACCCAAGGGGAAGAAGGCGCTTTTGATGGCCAATTGCGCGGCGGAGGTGAAGGGTCTACTGGAGGATTTCTCACAGCTTGATCGCTTGGGAATGGGGAAGGTATTGCCCAATCTGGAGACAGTGGCGGTGGCGTCAATTTTCGGGGCCCAGGACGGGACCTGGGACCAATACCAATCCCATCTGCGGGCCGACGCGCCTCATTCGGCCGAGCTCGCGGACTGCGCTTCACACTTCCAAAACATCCTTGCTGGATCGACAGTCACCCACCTTTGCGTCCGCGACATCTTGGGCCCCCTCTCTCCCCCTTCCTCCGACCTAAATCCAATCGATAGGACCGGCTTCACCACTACAATCCACTTCCCCGCCAATGCTCCACCCCTCCCACTTCCCCTCGGCGGTCCGGTCAAATTCATGAGCGATCTCGGACGTGACGAGGACTTCCCCGCCACGATGGCCAATATGAGGAGTACGGTGGAGCGTGCTTTGCAGGCTCGTAAATCGCGGGCTGGAGGGGAGCTGGGATCGGCGGCCATCGATCTCGAGATCTTTTGCTCCGCTCCTCGCTGGAAGCCATCCGGACTTGACCCAGCGTATGCCATGCCCCTCCTGATCTGCATGCGGGCTGGACTGCAGCCCACGGGGATGCCCTTTGAGTTTGCGGCGCAGGACTATCACCTATCGGCGGAACAGCAACGGATAGTCGCCGAAGGACTCGGCGGTCGCCTCCTCAGGTCGTGCGAACACAATCGTGATCAGATCATGTGGCGACCCATCGATGATGCGCCCATGTGCGAGGCGTGCGGCTTAATTCCGGCCTGTGTTGGGGAGCGGGAACGGGATGACGAAGTACGCGGATGGTGGACATGGGCGCGGAATATAGGGAGGCGATGGGGGAACCGAAGCGGGGTGGGAGGGAGGGACGGCAGATAGGGGCAGGGGCAGAGTAGTTGAAATGGGTATGTAGCCGGAGTCATGGTGAATAGCATGAGGGTGTTGTGTATAGCAAATATATAGAACGTGAATAATCTCGGTCTCTTCATCATGCACATGCGTAGATAGCATCAGAAGTAGCCGTATTTGACCTTACATATCGCTCAGGAATCAGTAACAGACAGACAGACGGTGAATGTGATGCAATGAGGAATGAGGAGTCGTGGCCGGCCCCAAAGACCAGGACAGCTTGACTCGAGCCTCTTTCAACACAGCAACTCTCCTCATGGGCATCGCGCGACTGTCCCCGACTCGGCATCGACTCCGGCTCGACGCACGGGAGCCACGATGGTATGCACCAGCAATTGCCACCTCCACATCGCCACCCGGCGTGTTCCGCTATTCAGCTGCAAGGAAGACCCCCTGCTATAGCCGCCGCCACCAAGCGTGCGGCAGACTGCAAAAAGACAACTCTCGTCGTCCTACTGCTAATTGACCGCGCGCCTTTAGGACAAGGTTGCCCCGGTGCCAAAGACGATACTTTTCAAGTGTAGGTTGAAGTGACTACTGTCATTAAGGTTCGCTACGCGGTCGAAAATGACTGATCTACAAAGTATATGAAGGGCTGTCAGACGCCGTCGACGGTTGGTGCCTTGGCATGTGCATAGATGGATAACAGCATATACAGCAGATCAAGATACATGCATTCATTATCAACATCATTGTACATAGCATCATTCGAGATATCATCAGCTTGAAAGCCATAGATCCGGTCTATAGATCCCCATCATCCGCCCAACACGATACCGCCCACTTGTCGTCACAGATCAAGCCGCAATCTCCTCCCACAGCTTCTCCTTGCCCCTCACTTCGATCCCCTCGAACGGCTTCTTCTGCTCCAACTTGACGCAATCCCTAGTACCCAGCACAAGCAGCTCAAAGAAGAATGTTGCAGCAGCTCGTTTTGACGCCTGATAGATCAGCTGTTGCCCTTGCCCGCCTTCACGTGCTCAGACTCACCTTCTGCGCAATCTGGTCAAACTCGACCTTCTTTGCCGCCTCTCCCTCAATCACCTCCAATTCCCTCCTCAACAGGCCCATCGCCATCCCCGTATTCTTGCTATACCCTCCCTTCGTCATAGCCTCCGAAGCGACACTCTTCGTCGGCGTCACCTGACTCTGGCTCATGGCCTGACTTTGGCTCTGGCTCTCCGATACCCCCGTCCGCGCATCAAACATCGCCAGAGCGTACTCGTCCCCAGTCTCGCCGTACTGGACTTGTCGAGCCAGACTTTCTGCGCGGGATGGAGCGAGGGAGGGAGCGAGGGATGGTTGACGCATCGCCTGGTTGTCCGGGGCGGGCGTCTCTTTCCGGGGTGTCATGTTGTCGCCGAGATCGAACATTGGTTGATCGTCCATCATGTTGTCCGGCTGGAAGTCAAAGGTGTCGTCCGGTCCCATCCGGCCCGCGAGGGGATCAAAGTCGAAATCGGGCGGCAGTGTGGATTGCCGACGCCCGATCTCCACCTCCTCGTCCTCATGCGCGAGCGGCGCCTCCGCCTCCGGCTCCTGCTCGTCCGCCTCTGGCGCCTCTAAGCGGGGCCGCTTGGCCTGTCTCTCCTCCCCATCATCCACGCCCGACGCAGCCCGACCCCTCCGCAGCACTGTCGTGGGGAACATGAAGAACTCCCGAAGCTCCTCCGCCAACCCAGCGGGACCAGCGTAGATCATCGACTCATTCCCGACCTTGACGGTAGGGAGGAAGATATCCGCCGGATCTGTCGAGTCGTTTCCGAGAAGTCCGGCCGACGCGGCGTCGAAAGCGACAAAGTCGTCTTGCCGGAGGATGGCAGAATCGCCCTTTGGAGCGGCAAAGTACGAGTCGTCGAGCTCGAGCTCTTGGTCCGCGCGAATCATGCGAGGCTTCTTGACCCGTTTCTCGCTGAGACGTTCAGGTGCTTTGGCGATGCGGACGGCGGTACGAGGGGTGATGTCGGCGTCGACGGTTTCTTGGGGTGAGGCTGGAGGGGGAGTGGAGAGGGTGGACGAGATGATCGATTCTGAATATTAGCTATGCCCTATTTGGTAACAAGCTGGACACGCACCTGCACGCCCCTCCTTCCTCAGCTCAGGCAACGGCTCATCCGCGCCAAACGCATCCAGATCCAGATGCAGATCCACCTGCTCAAACTCCGCTCCTCCGTCAAATCCACCATCAAACCCGGCGTCGAACCCTCCCGCATCAAAGTTGCCCATCCCCACACTACTATCCCTTCCCCTCGCAATGATCATCTCGCTCATCACGCTGCCCTGGCGACTCGCACTTTCCCTCCGACCCATCTCGACCGAGAATGCATCGTCGGCGGGTCGGCCGGGCGCAAAGTCGTCCAAGTTGAGATCGAGGTCGATACCCGAGAAATCTTGCGAGTCCAGATGAGAAGACGTCTCGCCGTCGTGCGAGCCGTGACGGGAACTGGAGCCGCCGTAGAGGGAAGGAGGGGCGGGTTGACCGAAGTTGTAGGCTCCGAATTCCTTGGTAGTGGGTTTGAGGATTTTGGCTTGGGATGCTGTGAACTTGGAGGTTTGGAATTCTGCGCCGCCAGCAGGAGCGTTCCATGACCTTTGATGTCAGCTAGCTGGTACGCGTCCATGACCACATCAGCTCACCAGTCGAAGAAGTCAAAGTCATTCCGCGCGTCCGAGAAGGTGATGGCATTCTTTGACGCCTTGATCTGGTCCTCCGGCAAGTCGACAACACCGGGACGGAAAGCCTGAATGATCAGCTCATCTCTCCCGCTGCCGAGTCGCGTGATGCTCCATAAACTAACCAAGCTAATCCGGTCTTTGGTCTCCTTGCAATCATCCAGGAGGTACTGCACTTTCCGCGAGTAGATCCTGGTGACACCCAGCATGAGTTGTCCGGAGAGACGGAGAGTTGTGGGTCCTTCATCTTGTGTAAGAATAGCATCTGCACAAGTCAGCTTCCCTCCATGCCACTTTCACATCCGGGGTGATCCTAGCTCCCCCTTCGCTCTGCCTCGTATCCTCACGACCCCTCCGGCGTCCGCCCCGAGCACCTGTATGCCCACCCGAGGCATCTATGCGACACACGAGATCCATAACATAACACTCACCTACACTCTCCTCCACGTCCACTCCCAGCGTCTGCTGCTTGCTCAATTTCCGTTCATGATGCGCCGACAGCCAGACCTTCGCTAGCGGTCCGCGCTTTGAGAGGATGAGCTCGGTGAGAAGCATTCCGCCGATAAACTTGTACTTTGCCGGAAACGAGGAGGCGATAGACCGTCGTGAAGCAGGTCAGGCAAAGAAGGGGCGTGCCGGTTTGCGGGGGCGGAGATGATCAGGCAGGCGAAGGGGAGATGGCGAGATACGGGCCGCGGAAAATAGTTGATGGATTTCGTCTGACCAGCAGACTAGGATATAAATAGTAATTAGGAGGCCCACAGCACGACAAGAGAAGCAAGCAAGGAGAAAGCGCGTGATTATATGTATATAGGTCTACTGGGTGGAGTGTGAACGACAAAAGAGAGCTCGATGTCGCCTCGGAAGGCCTCGAGGACGGCGCGGACGAACTCCTTCGCGTGATCCAGTCAACTCAGGGTCCAAAGTCCGCGTTTCAGGGTCATAACGCGTCCAGATCGGGCAAAAAGAGCACGCGACTGATTTCTTGCTGACGGTCGCTGAGGCTGTGAGATTTCATTGTTCTCTCGTCTATCGTTTCCTTTGAGCATCGACGCCAGATTCGCTGGGACGAGGGGGCGGTTTCAGGGAGACGCTCCAATGTTCACATCGAGCGAGTCATGGCTATAAGACAGCCCAATCTTTCCCCCGCTCTCCGACCAATACACCTCGGACGCGCTTCAACATGTCCGCAACTGATCTCAACCTGGACGCTGTCCTCACATTCGCAAAGCAGCTCGCCCGCGAGGTAAGTCCTCTGGGCTTACATAGACGCTCGCTGCTGACGGTCAGGTCGGAGCCATGATGAAGGATGGTCAAGAACGCCGTATGCGCGCCGAAGCCCAGCCCGAGGAAGAGAAAGCGAGCAGCGTCGACGTAAGTAGCAGCTGATCAGCCGGACGCTCCTTGCCCAATAGCTGACTGAGGTAGCTCGTCACAGAGGTGGATAAGGCGGTGGAGGCGTATATCCGAGAGCAAGTGAGCAAGGCGTATCCCGAGCACGAATTGTGAGCTCGCTACCGCGTTGTATCAGACCACGGCTCTATTTCCTGGCCCAGGTTGACAACCAGTATCGGCGAAGAGACGTACGAAGGAGAGCCCCTCACGGAAGTTCCGACATGGATCAGTAAGTCATGAGCATATGCCTCGAACATGGTCGCTATACATACTAACAATGTGCAGTCGAGTAAGTGCACCGATTGAGTGCTTGCCTTGAGGCATTGCAACTGATTATACAGCCCTATCGACGGTACCGCCAACTTCGTACACGGCCATCCTGACTGTTGCACCTCCATCGGACTGACAGTCGGAGGTCAGCCCGTCATAGGTGTGATCTACAACCCGTTCTTGGACCACATCGCGAGTCCTCCATCTGTGCGCGTGATCCCGGTTCCGCAGCTGACAGTCTGCAGTATTACGCCGCCAAGGGCAAAGGCGCATTCTGGAACGAACTCCCTCTTCCTTTGTATGGCAAGGCACGCCCTTTGCCGTCACTCAGCAAGGCCATGTAAGTCATAAGCATTCCTGCCATGCTCTCCTGGCCAGAGCTCGGCTGACAAGGACAGGATCATGGTTGACTGCGCATCCCGCCGGAACCCATCCGAGCTCCTACCCAAGTTCAAGACCTACCACTCCCTCGCCGCTCGGCCTGAAGAGGGCGGAAAGCTGGTGCATGGCCTCAGGATTTCAGGGTCTGCAGCGATGAGCATCGCGATGGCCGCGAGGGGTGCGGTGGACATGTATGCTGAAATCGGGGTGAGTCAGCTCACGATCCCATACATGGAGCAATGTGACTCCACGGGGATGCAGAGCTGACGGAGCAGTGTCGAAGCTGGGACGTCTGCGTATGATACATCTCCCTCAGAAAGTCAACAAGGTAGCTGACGACCAGGCGGGCATCTGCATCATGCAGGAATCGGGCGGGGTCGTTTTCGGCGCCAAGGGGACCGAGCTGGACGGCGAGGTCGACGCTAAGCTGCTCTGTGAGTACTGACCCTCTGCCCCAGCTCGACTCTCGAAGATCTTTGCTGATGCGTCTAGTTGGCAGAAAGTTCCTCTTCGTGCGCAACATCGATCCCGAGGAGGTATGTCCGGCCTTCACCAGTTCCTCTAAGAGCGCAAGCTGACACGGTAGGGGGAGACTACGCTCGAGGCGCAACAACGGATTGCCACCGAATACTTCTCCGCTGCTGAGGACTTTGACCCTTAGACGTCCTCCATATTGGGGCGCTAGACGGTATGAGTACGCTAGATGAGCAGGAAGCCATGCATATGAGTGATATGGACCTTGTCTCTACCGACCTCGGTCGATCTCGGGAAGAGCTAGAGCTCAGCTCCGACCCAGCCCTCTCAGTCTTGCGCCTTCGCTTCAAAGTGTAACGTCCAGCTACTGAGCAACTTCCGCGCATTGACTTGCTCCCCTGTCAATCTGTCTCGTCAGCTCTGCCACATCCTGCTGTTCATCCGCAGGAAACACTTACGTCAAGCCATAAGTCAGCGGTGCGAGCCACAACCAGCACCCCACCACGATCGCCGTGAGTACACCCACTGCGACCCATCCGCCCATACCCACTTGCGCACGGATGGCTGGCCGAAGCCGTGTCCGCAGGCCGGGGACAGAGATGGGGTAGTTGACCGTCTCGACAAGCACAAAGTTGAGGACGCTACCGGCGACGAGGGCGGACGCGAGGTGGGCGGGGAGGTAGTGGTGTAGGAACTTTTGGCGGGACATGAGGTAGAAGGGGAAGTAGTGGAATGACCAGGTGAAGAGGAAGAAGAGGGTGTTGCGGTAGAGGCGGTTCCGGATGCCCGGGATGTCAGCTCTCGCTCCCGCTTTCCATCTACTCAAAGCGATGTAGACTTACCATCCTCGATAGGCTCCAGCCCTCTCCGCCTAGCGAGCATATCCGCCCCAACCACACCCACAAACACGCTCACGCCCACCGCGCAAATCCACCATCCAAGCAGGTTCCCAATCATGTAGATCTGCTGACTCGTCTCGGAGTCTGTCCAGAAACTGACTCCCGAAAGACAGAACGGCCATTCGACCGGTTCGGACGCATACGGATGGCTCGCCGTCAGACCCGCATTATGCTGAAGCATGAGGATCTGGAGTTCCACAAACTTCTTGATGAAGGACCGGTGTTTAATCGCTTTGGGCTCAACGTGGTTCGTGCGATTCCGGAAATCGTTACCCGTCCCGTCCGCGACAATGTCCTCGACGAACCAAGAGGTCGTGCGGTCCTGCTGGTTCTTATTGCCGTTGACCTCTTGTTGCCCGAACGCCCATTCCGGGAGCGCCTGGGCATGTGTCCAGAGTAGGACCTTGGTGGGGACGTGCCGGAGCTTGAAGTGCCCAGAGAGGGACTTCCATGGCTCGCCGTCATGCGAGTCCACCACGTCCACTTGGAACATGGTGTCGTTCGTCCGTGTCTCGTCGTCTGGATTCACGGTGGTGAACTCCTGGTTGGTCGCCATCATCGGCGACGCGACGTCATGCGTGAGGAGGAGGGTTTGGGTGTTGATGTGTTTGAATTGGACGATATCGTTGTGGCGGACCACTCGGCCACGGCCACTTTCGGGGAGTTCCTTGGTGGGGAGGACCTGCCAGAAGTTATTGGTGTCGTTGTGGGGGTAGCAGGTGACCTGTTGGCCTGGAGGAATCAGCCCAGACTTTTGAAAGATGTCGAGTCGTGGTTGAACGTACCTTGTGACGATATACGGCCATCGTCATATCGAAGAGGATACGGATCGGGGTGGGAGTGCAGGAACTGCTTGGTGTCCTTGTGCTTAATCGTAATCGTGTCGAAATACCGGATTTCTGCTGATGAGCGAGACTCGATTGACACTGAAGCTGAACGTACCTTGCGAGTTGAGAAGCAGCTCATTCCCCTGCAGAGTCTCCTGGAACGCGGGGCTCATAAAGCTATCGCCTGGACCGGAGTACTTGAGGATCTTGAAGTGGATCCAGAAGAACGAGAGGTACAGCATGAACGGCCAGATGATGAGTCCGATCGCTCGGTAAACAAAGTGTTTCCAGACGTATTTCTGAGCGATCAGCTCCACATTCATTCAGATTCATACTAAAACTTACCATGTCGTGTCCCCTCCTGATATCCATGATGCCCCAAAGATCCCATACCACTGCACTTCCCACGCTCATGAACGTGAACAGGCCGACCATCTTGCATCCCAGCGTACACGCCAAGCTCGCACCAGTAGCGAGCAGCCAGAACCACCAGGTATTGGAGAATTCGCGGTATCGTTGTTGGTGGAATTTGACGTAGGTGAGGACGGAGAGGGCCATGAAAAGGACGAGAGCCGCGTCCAGGAGGATCAAGCGGGTCTGGGTGATGTGACCGTTGTCTGAGGGTCAACTACGTTCTCGACAATGAGGGATGGAGCAGCTTACCAAAGAGAATGAGAGCTGCTGTGAAGGCAGAGATGGCAACGGGGTACCCTGATTCCCGCATGATGGCGTAGACGATTGGGATGGTAATACTGCCCATGATGGCGCAGAAGCTCCGCAGACCGATATAGGGGACCTGTATGTCAGCAAACCTACCCAAGTAGCAGTCCATGGCCTCTTCCACTCACATTGGCGACCGTGTAATTATCTCCGATATTCTCAAACCCAAAGTCCCCGTTGAACCCCACCACCCACCCTGCCAGCCCATTCAGCATCTTGGCCAATGGCGGATGCACATCGAAATAGTACTCTCGCCGTATATAGTGGGACGCAAAGGATCCAAAGTGGACCTCGTCAAAGACGACCTGGTCAGGATGTGATATGCGCCAGAAACGGACGATGAAGGCGCCAACGGTGAGGGAGAGGGCGGTCACCCATGAGAAGAGGTACTCAGACCGGAGATCTGTTTCTGCTTGTCGTGGCCTAGGGTGGTGGATCTGTCCGGCATCAGCCTCGAGCTCGGGGCTGTTAAGGGGAGAAAGGGTTGGAACATACCTTGCCATCATCGGATACAGATCTGTGAATCGTCGCCTGAGGCAGCGCTGGGCTACCCTCCCTTTCTGTCCTCCTCTTCCTGGCTAACGACATGGTCTGGGCAGGCGGGAGCTGGTATAGATGTCACTGAAGTACTATAGGGCGCTCAAGATACAGGTCTCCAGCGCAGCAGCACCGGTACGCGCCGCTATGGCGGTGATCGCCGCCATACCTCACCAGAGTCACGTGGCGTATGACGGCATTGATCGGACGCGATCTCCGACGGAATGAGCTGAGCTCGGACATCGACGTACGCCGAGCGATTGTTGACCGCCATCATCTCTCCCCCTATAGCCGCCATCATCTCTCCCCCTATAGCGACGACGACGACAAAGACAGCGTCCACGACACACGCAACAGCGGTGGCACGCTCGTCAAAGACCTCCTTCACAGCATCTTCATCGAAGAAAGTCGTTAATATCGGTCCTACAGTCGCTAAAAGACAGGCCGACGAAGGTTGTCATTCCCCCTTTTCACAAGAGAAACATCCTCTATTCAGCACGGTGACTCCACCACAAGCTAAACACTCAATCACACTTCGCGTCAATCTGTGCACAGACGAACATCTCAGCCATCATCCCTCAGCATCAACACGCCTGCCCACATCTGTAGAGATGTCCTCTACCACCGACCCCCTCACTCCCGCTTCCCTCGTCGGTCACGTCGGGAACCTCACTCTCGACGATGAAGGACCGTCCCTCGCGGCACGGCTACAGGGCCCATCGCGCGGGTCAATTGATCAAGGAAGGTCGTCAAGGGCGTCGACTCGGTTCGAGGGGCTGGGAAGGGAAGAGGACGATGATCTGCGATCCGCTCCTTTGGGGGTCAAAGATCCTGAAGCTCAGCTTCGCACCGTGCGTGTTATACCTATCCTGATGAGGCCCTCACTGACCATCAGTTCATTCAGCACCTCCTATCCTCAGATCATGCCGATTCAGACCCCCATCTCATCGCCATCGGCTACGAGCTCGAAGCGCTCGAAGCCATGTACCCCAGCGCCCTCAAACTGAGCGTCACTTCCCGTCCATCATCCCTCTACTCTGGCTCACCACCTACCGGCCCCGGCTTAGAAGCCGTCTCTGCGGCACTCGACAAGCGGTCTTCGCAGTCGTGGAAAGATGCCGTGTTTGACGCGTCGATCTGGACACCGGGGGAGCGGATACGGTACGAGGTGGTCATTCCTGTCTGGGATGAGGGGGATGTGCTGGACGGCATGAAGCTGGAGGATATGCCGAGCGAGGTACCGCACATGCGGGTATTGGTGTCCTTGCCGCCAACGTACCCCAACTCGGCACCTCAGCTGCAGCTGCTCGGGCGGTACATGGGGAGCTTCGGGATTGATGCGGGTCTATGTAAGTCATTTCTTAGGTCTCTGTTCGAACTTCAATATCCATCGTGAGCTTATGCTGACCCACCAGTCGGCGATATCACTCGGACATTCATCACTTCGTCCGCTGTACCCTTCGCTCCCGGAGACGTCTGCGTCTTCGAAGGCCTCAACTACGTCCGAGACGTCGTTCGAAAATGGTACACCGAGCGCCTCTCCGAAGGTGCTGAAGGTGAACGGACGCGTGAAGTGGATCGTCAGCGTGGTCGAGACGGACGAGCGATGAACGACTTCCCCACCTCCCCTAGTCGCCCTTTCCACCGCAACGGCTCCCCCGACCGCCTCCCCTCAACTTCTCATCCCTCCCACCTCGGCCCATCCCCTCTCGCCTCCTCGTCCGTTCCCTCCCAGTCCCGCCCGACGGCCCGACCCACCTTCTCATACACCCGAGATCCGGCATCTCACGGTTCGGGGCCGGAAACGCCCGCGGCGGTGCACGAGGCGGAAGCGGGCCATTTCCCTCACTTTACGATCCACGTCTCGGCGCCCGTCGTAGATCGTAAATCTACCTTCATTGGGCATGCGATCCGAGTGACGGACGAGAGGGAGGTGCCGCTTGTTATTCATGAGATATTGAGTGACAAGAAGGTGGCTAAGGCGGCGCATCCGGCGATGTTTGCGTATAGGATCACGAAGGATGTAGGGGGAGTGGCGGGCAAGATCATCCAGACAGGTGGGCTTTCCTTCTTAAACCCACGAGGAGACAAGCTGATTGGTGTAGATTGCGATGACGATGGCGAGTCAGCAGCTGGATCCCGAATAGCCCACCTTCTGGAGATACTGGAGGTCGAGAACGTCCTCGTGGTCGTTTCACGGTGGTATGGCGGGATATTGCTCGGGGCGGACCGGTTCAAGCATATCAACCAGGCGGCCAGGGATGCGTTGGAAGTTGGAGGTTTCTTGGCTGAGAAGGAGGTCAAGGAACATAAGGGCAGGAGAAAGTGAGGTTGATCCACGGGAGTGGAATAGACGTTTATGCCATGTAAGCTATGTTTGCCTGGCTCGCCCACCATGTGGCCTGGCATGGGGGTGCGAGGCTAATGAATAGAGACTGATTAGGCCGTGCTGCCTGGACTGACGCACCTCACTCATCTCACACTGACCCACACCTAGACTGGACCGGCGCATGAAGGAACGTTCTAGGGAGCAGTACTCCGGAGAGTATAAGGGATCCCGCCACACTCGCGATTGGAGGGTGAGACGTCATCGTGGAGCTTTGCAGAATCTCATGGACTGTCGAGATACCAAAGGATGGTCAGGGGCTTAGATTGCGGTCATCCCTTCACGAGTGGCGAGGAGTCGACTCGGGACTGGGCATATAAGCCTGGCGACGCAGCTCTGATTTTACCATTCGCCCATCCTCCTCACCACTTTCATTCCAAAGCCTCCAACCTGACTACAGCTCTCACAACCCCACCCTCACACGGACCAATCCTCACTCACAAGCATGACCGACTCCCAGGAACCTGAGTTCATCACCTACGATCGTTCTCCGGGGGCCCCGGAGGAGGACAGCGATGAGGGCACACAGGTCATGACTGACGTCCCGCCCCCAACTGATTTGGCGAGCTGCGTTTCTGCTTCAGACGCTCTGGCAGAGGACAGCGGTTACTCTGTTGCAGATCGGAAGTTCATCAGCTTCTGGTCAGACAGGGCAAAGGATGCCGGGCTTCCAGAGCACGGCCGGTGGCTGGTGCTCACAGGAGTTCGCGCACGAAACGAAGTACGGAAGACTACCGCGTCGAAGACTGATACGCGGTTTTACGATTATCTCTTTTCCAGATACGTGTCCTCTTTCTTTTCGGCGCACGATGCTCCTGCCGGCAGCTCCATCGGCGAGGAGCTCAAGGTAAGCCCGCCGGGGCTTGTGTCGAAGGATGTCGACCGAAGCGACCTCGATGGCTTCCTTGACGCGGTCAACAGCCGGCCGAGACTTCTGTCTGAGGCCGCCGCTGGTCTCTCGGCGTACTATCGCAACTGGAGTCCGGAAAAGCCGCCATTCAAACTTCGGGTCCGTGTGTCGGAAAAGCACGCGAGGGATGGCGCTGCTTCCACCACCCAAGACTCCGCGGAGACTGAGCCAGCCGACAAGGAGTAGCGAGAGGTAGATGACCATCTTGCTGGCGTCCGGATAGGAGAGGAAACAGATGTGCGCGAGTGGCGGTGACATGCATGATGAGTTGTTATCAGCAACTGAGGTCTACTCGCAGGGTGATATCGTGCGATATACATGTACATGGGTCAGAGGCTTCTAGCTTATAGCTGAGACTGCTGCGCGCGACTATGACGAAATATAGGTCATAACTAACGCTTCTTGGCCGTGCCCCTCTTCCTCCCACCCCCTCCCCGCCTTGACCCACCCCATCCCCTGCCCCGTCCCCACCCTCTCCCCCTCGTCGCCTTCGCAGGAGCACTCGGTCCACCCAGATCTCCCTCATAATCGTCCTCATCCTCCTCGACATCATCATGACTGACCAGCGTCCGCCCTCCGCCTCTGCCCCGCCCCCGCGTCCCTCCCGCCGCCCCTCCTCGCGCAGCCTTGGTGACCCTCGCCTTCTTGGCGGGCGAGGCTCGAGGTCCCGCCTCCTCGTCATCCGACTCTGCCGTCCGCTGTTGCTGTTTGGCTTTCGACTTGTCCGCCCCGCGCCGCCAGTGATTCATGTAAAAGTCCTGCCACTTTGGCGGCATTCGACTGACGGGCATATAGCCCATGTCCTCGATAATCTCCGCCGAGCCGTCGCCGTTGTCGTGGGAGCGGTCCTCGAGTGCATCGAGTTGACGGAGCAGGTTGCCCTTGGGAGCGGTGCGCGGGGCGGATTGGAAGTTGGAGGGGATGAGAGGACTGAGGGGTGCCCGGGATGTGGATCTGGCGGGGGCTGGACGTCTGGGTGGAGAGGGGCTGAAGAGATTATCGAGGTTGGGCGAGGGACCGGTCTTGGATCCGTGGGAGGGTTTGCTACTGACCAGCTGGTCGAGGTCGACGCCATCAAAGAAGTCAAGAGGGAGGTCGTCGTACTCATCCATGTCATCGTCCTGCGGGGCAGGCTTTTTGACGGGGGGTTTGGATTTGGGTTTGGGTACGGGCGGAGGTGGCATGGAGAGCCGAGAGGGACCGGCTCGCGCGTTGACGACCGGGGCAGGCTTTGCCCTGACCGATTTGACCGGCATGGGTTGTTGGCTGGCCAGCATGCAGAAGTTTTCGTCCTCGTCCTCCTCGAAGGTTTCTTCCTGGGACTCGTAAGGTTCCAGCCCTCCCCTTTCCCCCTCGTCCTCGTCATCCTCGCTTCCGTCTGTCTCTTCCGGCTCGTCCACCTCCTTCAAGACCTGCCGCTCGTACTCGCGTGTGAACGCCTTGCGGTCCCCGCCGACAGATGGGTCGTACTCGTCATCCTCTCCGTCCGAGAGGACGATGAACGCCCGATTCCGAGCACGAGCAGTGACGGCTGCTGACCGTTTGGAGGAGCGCGATGGACCAGATCGAGAGGCAGATGGACGGGCGACGGTACTTTTGTTGGTGGAGCTGCCAATGAAGGGAGGGGAAGCGGTATCACGAGTGGCTTTGGACTTGTGGGTGGAGGGAGAAGATGTCCGTTTACGACGGGCGGCAGAGCGGGGTGAGGTGGGGGAAGGGGTCCAGGCGATCGCCACCTCGTCCTCGTCGTCCGACTCTTCGATATGATCGGCGGCCTGGGACGTCGAAAGCGGCATCTCCGTATCGCTCGACTTCGCCAATCCCTCTCCATCCGGATCAGAGTCTTCCTCCTCGGATCCTCCACCCTCGGCCCTCCGAGCGCCCTCCCTCTCATCCTCATCTCCATCTTCGTCTTCTCCGCCTTCCTCCCCATCTGCATCTGCCTCCTCGTCCGGCACATTTCTATGCCTGGGGGAGTTGACACGAGATCGTTTGTCCCCCGATGATGCTGGACTACGATCGTCCACCATAGTCACGTCATATGCGTCCAGGTCGGCGCCAGAACCGGTAGCGGATTCTGGGGAGGAGAGGCGGACATGTCGAGCCGGGGTGGATGAGGGACCGGGGGTGGCTGTGCGTCGTCCTCGATCGGTGACCTCTGGCGGATCAGCACTGTACACAGCTATAATTTCAAAGGCGATGTTGACTCACCCTTTCCATCTGACTCTGCTTCCTTCCTCTTCTTCATAAACACCGGTGCCATCCGGGTACTTCGCCTGTATCTCTCCTCCATTTCCAGCGAGTCCACTGATCCCGACCTTTCCTTCTCTTCCCGTCCAGGCGGACAAGCCTCCCACTGGCTCGCCGTGATATCCTCTATGCCCATCATGTCCTCGTCCGATGTGGTCGGCGCAGGGGGCGAGCGAGATTGCGCAAAGTTCCGCCCTGCATCCGCACGAAAGTTACTGAGAGGGTCCTGTGGAGCGATAAACTTGTTGGGGTCGACTTTGTCGGGCGATGAGCCGAAGCGGGTGGAGCTGGGGGAGGGCTGATCGGACTGGCGAGGGGTGCGCGCGGGAGGTGGACGAGGGGAGGTGGCGTGCGATGTCATGTGGGTCGATGATCGACTTCCGGTAGACGTGGGGCGGATCATGGCGGCTAGATCCTCCTTCGTCTGTGGTAGGGCGCGAAGGGAAGTTCATGAACGGGGGACAGCGAGAAACAGCGATGGTGAGAAGGAAGATAGCAGGGCGCGACGCGTCGAATTGACTTTCCAAGCATGCCGTAAGTGATGACTCACCTGAACGTCACGTGATCACTTGAAACACGCTTCAAGGTCGCGCCCTGCATCACTTCTTTCTAGCCTGGCACATTGACGTGAAGCTACCCGGCTGCGAGAGCGATCTCGCGGTGTCAGTAGCCAGCACCGATTGATCCCTCTCCATCATACGACGATAGTACTACATCCGTATCCGATCCTTGCATGAAGGAGGAGCGCTGGATCGGCATCCAAACGATGTGCCGCCACATCTTGCGCGTCTGCTCTACACGTATCACATCAGCCCGAACGTCTAGCTTGCTAGCCGTCCATAGACATGGAGGGTCATCATCAGACCTCGTTAGTATGTAATTGGCCGTCTACGCGCCCCGCTGCATCTGCCGATCGGAGATGGAAGACCGGAGATGGACCGCTCATGGCTTACCTTGCTTGGAGGGGTGTCCGGTCAAAATAGGTGGCAGAAACCCAGTCACGGAGACTGCCGGTACGAGTCTCTTCGGTGCAGACATCACTACCAATATGTCCCACTAAGTTTCCGCTCCTTCGCTGGCGCGCTGCGCCTTGTTGAACGCTACTGCTTACTCCGCTTCAGTTTTGACGTGCAAGACATCGCCGTATGAGCCATAGCCGAAGCTACTAATGGTACTCAGTCTCACTGTCCAGAGCTTCTCAATCCTACGGGTCAGAGTAATCCATCACCACCATCCACGCCATTAACGCCATCAATATCGAGCCCGGCAGCCGCCAGAGTCGGCCTCCGTAGGCCTGACTCGCTTGACTGGTGTGCTGGCGGACAGCGACTTTCTGACCTTATTAGAGGGGATAGAGCTACGAGGATCGGTCAAGTCATTGATCTCCCTACCTCAGACATCATGGGATCGGGTCCTACGGGGAGACTGCTTGGTCATCAACTGACGCGATTGACTTTGCCACCACCTTGACCTGTCTCAGACTGCCATATCTGATATACTTTGCTTGCCGAGATCGTTCTGCCTTGCCGGATATTATGCAAGAGAAGCTATATTGAGGTATCTCTGAGGTTTACAGTCATGAGCATGCTCACACGCTGCATCCGCAGGCCTCCTGTCTCTGGCGAGACATAGGAGACCAAGAACGCACGGACCTCATGACTGTCCAACAAACCTAATATAGTCGAACCAGGTCGCATCACTTTCTGCAGCTCTTCCATCACACAGCAATAACCGTGCTAGGTCTAGCCAAAAGCAGGCCTCCGAACACAAACATCACACCATTAGCACCCGGACGGCCCGCTCAGTGCGTTCACATTCCCCACCACCCCGCAGAATGACCATCGACGGCGTATCGGTCAACGATGGGAGCGTCGAGACGCGTCGATCTCCGTCCCTCGCGATCAGCGCCATCAGCGCTGGCGAGTCAAGCACTAGCGCGATCAGCAAGGCTAAGGCTCCTCGAAAGCCCCGAGCGGCTGGCGCAGCTGCACTAAAGCCTCGAAAAAAGAACGAGCCGCTCCCGATCGAGGTAGGGAAAGCTACTGGGTCCAACCCGCAAAAGAAACCCTCGGGAAGCCGGAAGGGCAAGGAGAAGGCGGATCCGCTGCCCGAGGAGGTCTTCGAGGTGAAGGACGAGGAGGGAGAGGATGATGATACCCCAGTATTCGTCGGGCAGGCGATGGCTAAGAAGCTGGCCGAGCGGTTCTCGTTCCAGCAGGAACCGCTCGGTACTAGTGTCTCATCAGCGGACTCTTCGTCCGCAGAAGCGAAGGAGAAGTCAAAATCCGCAAGGGGCCGTCCGAAAAAGGAGCAGAAGGGGACAGACGGGGGAGATGGCGCGGTGACGGTGAAGACAAGCAAGGGGAAGGGGAAAAAGAAGGAGGCAGATGGGGAAGGAGGGACACTGGTTCTGCATCCGCCCAAGGACGCGGAGCCAGCGCCTGCTTGGCTTGGCGGAACATATCATATGCTCAAGGTCCTCGTAGACTGTCCCCTGTGCGCGACAAGGTGGAAGAAAACCGAGAGCGGGCCTGCACGATGGGTGAGTCCGAAATGCGTATCTAGCTAGACCAAGTGATGATAGTGAGCTGATGGAATTTCAGCGCCATATCTCTTCCTGTCTGCCACCCCTCTTTCGACCTCCAAACCCTGCTCCAGATCTGCAAAGACTGGTCAGCGACGCCCTCGAGGCGATACATGCTCAAGACGCCCCTTCGACCCTGCTTGATATTCACCTAGCTCGGGGTGATGTCCAGGACCAACGGCCGCTGTCGCCCACCGATGCGAAGACCGGGAAGGGGAAGGGACCCTCAACGAGGCAGTGGATGAGAATGACGCGCGTCCGAGCCGCGGCAGAGAGGGACGAAGGATGGGATGCAGAGGTGTCCGAGCGGGTGCGCGCCCTGACGGAAGCAAGCCCCACCAAGCGGCCCAAGCTTGAGCGCGGACCTAAGGGCGTCTCGGCGTCCCCATCCAGCTCCCCTCCGCCATCTTCCTACCCGTTGACACAGCCTCTCGGAGAGTCCTCTCTGGCGGCGCAGTACCTTCGTCGGCCATCCACGCCTCCCGCACCGCCCGTACAACCTGCCCCTCCGACCCTATCTCAGCTATACCGAACGGCTCCCGTGCCTCCAGAATCTACAGCCCAGCCAAACTCTTCTCCTCCTCACTCCCGAGTCAGGCCTGCTTCCCCTCGCCCTCAATTCCAGATAAGATTCACTTCCCCTACTCTCCCTGCCGACCATCTGTCGCCCGCTAGCGCGTCTCCCGCTTCGCGGAGTAACTCGGCGGCCAAATCGCCCACGCCTCCACCACTTCCTCTCGAGTCTTCCCGTTCAGATTCTCCCGAAGAAGCAAGCTTCCCCCTCCCTCCACCGAGTCAAAAGCGGACCGGCCGTTTCTGCCTCGAAGCCCTTTCCCCCTCCAGCCAGCGAGCTCTCGGTCTCGCCGAGCCCTTTCGAGGAAGGGGAAGCCCGCACGTCGACGGGGGCTTCTCCGGCAAACGCGGATCGGCGGGGCTCGGGGATGGCGGAGTGGGCGGATCGCTCTGGGGGAGCAAGCGGAGCAGGGTCGAGGGGATTGCCAGATGAGGACGGGTTGTCAGTGGATGAGAGGATGGATGTAGCGGACGCGAGCGAGTCAGGGGGCGCAGACGTACCGGAGGATGAGGCATACCGCTCTTCGGTATCACTGCGTTCCGACACATCCCCCACAGCTCGACTGGCTCGTCGCGGTAACCCCTCTGCTCTGGGCGCATACCGCTCTCCCGCGGTACCCGATACCCCCTCCACGACTGCCTCCTTCTCCCCTTCCCGGTTCGAGGCCTCACCCACCCTCTCTCCGGGTGTCAGAGGTCTGTCTGTGACGCCTCGTAACATCTTCCGACCCCGGATTTCTGGCTCAGCAACTCCTACGGCCCAAGCCGGTCCGAGCCAAGCTCCTCTCAACGTCGACCGGATGGATGTGATTGACATGACGGACGAGGAAGACGACTGGGGCGGAGGAGCTGTGCTACAGTGGGACGGAGTGGACATGACCGAAGACTCGGCTTCGTCCGTTGCTCCGGGCGATGCGGGCCTGGATACGGATGCGATGGAGGACGAGGAAGAGTGGGGGAGGGAAGCGTATCTCGAGTACGACTGGAGTGGGGATGATCATGGTGACCAGGAGCCTGGAGGAGGGATAAGTGATGATGATGATAGCGAGGATGATGAGATGCTGGGGGAGAGGGTTCTGAACTCTGAGCTCGACGAGGGGGATGACGAAGAGGAAGAGGAAGTAGAAGAGAGTGAAGAGATCGTCGAAAGTGGAGATGCGTCACGCGGAGAAAGGGCAGGATCAGAGACTCTGGAGGAGCTGAGTACGAGGGGGATGCCCGACTATGCTGCCTGGGAGCTGAAGAAGCTGCAGGTGGGTAGAATGTTGTTGTCAGCGTTGTGTATGAAGTAGTCCTGACTGTGCAGCGCATGTGTGAAGGCTACGGCTACCGGCCCAGCAAAAATCACAAGGCCCTCGAGAAGCTCGCGGTCGCATGTTGGAAAGCCCTCAATCCTGCACCGGTCCTCGACCCCGAGCCGGCCGCCACCCCGCCACCCGCGCCTGCCAACAAAGCAACGAAGGGCAAAGCACGCGCCAAGCCGCGCCAGGACTCGGTCTCTTCCGCGGAAGTTCTGCTGTCGACCAAGAAGCCCGCGCCGAAAACTAAGGCTAAGGCCAAGGGGAAAGGGAAAGCGGCCGAAGAGGAGGTCGAAGAGGTCATCCCGATTCAGAAGCGCTTCGCGGCGATGATCAAGGGGGACGGTGTGCTGTATCTCCGGATCTTGCAGTACGAGGTGAGCTTTCTTTTCTGTGTTTGGCACAGCTCAAGCTGATATCGTAGCCCATCGCTTTCGACGAGCTCATCAGCAAGTGCACCCACACCGGGATCAAGGACAAGGGCTGGAAGATCCAGCTGAAAAAGTTTTTGGATTTCGAGGTAAGTTAGGTTTCACCTCATTCCTAACATGTTTCATCGCCCCGATTCCTCTCGCGTTCCGTCTCACCTTGCCAAAACACCTATGACGTCGTGCTCAGCTGACCTCGCCACTAGGGCATCACCTTCTATACCGAAGATCCGACCGGTGTACGCCGGAGTCGACACTAGATCGGGCGATGCCACATGGTCATGGTTGAGCCGGGTATTACCGCACAGCCCATGTCATTCCATGGCTGGGAATGCCAGCCACCCCGAAAGTTCCTCCGCCTATATATAAATCTCCAAACCCTTTCATCTTGATTCTTCATCCATCTTTACACCCATCCACCCGACCGAGTCATCAGACATCGTCCTAGGTCCAGACCCTACACTCCCATCCACTTCTACTTCCACCCAGACCTCGGAGTCACCCAAGGTCGTACCGCCTCCACTTCCATACCCAGCTCCTCATCGTCAGCGGCAAAGAGCCAGTCAACAGAGCAACAAGTACCGACAAGGAAGCAAGTAGACAGTGAGTGTGATAGCCTCCCTCTCGTTCACCACCTTCCCCTCCAGACTCCGCCCATGTTGCCATCCTCATCATCTCGCCCTGCCCCCCGCCTCCCGTCCCCTCAGCCCTTCCTCCATGCCCAGCCTCTTCCCCTCATCCTTTTCTCCCCTCCTTCGCCTGACTCAAACCCTCCGTCATCCCCTCCCTGCCTCTCATTCTCCCCCTCGATCCTCTCCAACCCACTACTCTTACACAAACACCTTCACCGCGATCAAGTCTCACAGAGAACTAGGATCTTCCAAACATCATGTCTACCACGCCCACCCTCCGGCGGGTCCGCGCTCACTACAACCTCGCTCGTAGTGCGGACCACTCGTCCTACAACTACCCCCTCCCCGCGCGGCCTGCTCAGCCGGATGCGGTCAAGCTCACCCGTCTCCTCGAGCGGGTCGCGGCTCCCCAGACGCCCCCCATCGTCCACTCCTACTACTCCGACACCGGCTCGGTCGGCGGCGCGCCCATTCCGCAGCTCAACGAAGGTCCCCAGCTCCTCCACCCGCGTCCTACCCGGCTCATCTCGATCCCCAAGTTCATGCAGCAGATCGCTCTGCACGCAAGCGACCCAACCAAGGAGGCGGACCGGGACATCCCGACGCCGAGAAACACCCCCGTCACTCTTGATGGGATGCGTCAGGTGGCGAGCAAGACCCACCCCGTCGGGTTCTACCTCCCTCTCACCCCCTCTCCTCCTCCCAAGCCGGTGAGGCCCCCAAGGAACCCGGCCAGGTTGGCTCCGTCGCCCGAGGTCATCGCGCCCCCGCCGTCGCTCATCGTGCCGCCGGTCGCAGCCATCACCCCCATCGCGGCTCCGGTCGCGTCCATCACCGGCATCACGTCGCCGGTCGCAGCCATCGCCACGGTCGCTGCCTCCGTGACTGTTGCCGTCGTTACCAACGTCGCTGCCGCCTTCACTGCGGCCGTCAATGGCGCCATCACTGCCACCGTCGATACCCCTGTCGACGTCGTTGGCACCGGCTTGATCTTGTCGGACGCCACCGCTGTGGACCAAGATGGCACGACCGCCACGGACGGTTCCGCGGCGGACAAGGACAACGCGCAGGCGGACCCGGAGCCCATGGGCTGGCTTGACTGGGCCGTGGGGTCTGTGCACGACGCCCTCGGCTTGGGCTCAAGCAGGGAGGTCAGGGAGGCGAGGGAGGCGGCCGAGGTGCAGGGGTACGACATGGTCTAGAGGCGGAAGCGAAGGCCCAGGGATCACTAAGGTATCTCTTCTGTAGTTATATACTTGGGTGCTTCCCTCTGCTTGTAGCTTCTTGTATCTTCCGGGTCGTGTAAAAGGTCTGCAGTAGTCGCAGTAAGAAAGAAATATGTATTCTCCGTAGTCGTCGTCTTCGCACTGCCAGTCATGGCCAATAGTTCACTATATCGATCTGCATCCAGATACTCGACATACTACTTTACTGCTACTATACTTTCTCCGCCATGTAGGCTCTGCTCAGAGTCTCGTCAATCAGGCCGCAAGACCACTAGCATCGTCAGCTTTCGTTTGACGTCATCGACGAGGCGGTAGCTCACATGACACCGCAAGCAGCACGGCCACCGGCGTTACCAGTCTTCAAGCTGTCGGCGTGCCCGCCCCTGCCAAAGTCATCGGTGCCGGCGTGGACGACGACGGAGCGGCCGATGATGCTGTACGGGCCGAAGAGCGAGATGGTCGAGTCTGGTTATGTGAGCTATACCTCGCAGACCTCATCATAGTATAGACAGCTTACCGGTGATCTTGACAGCTGCAGTGCCGGAACCGTCAGTCTTGACGTTACCTGAAGAGTCAGCTCCTGAACGACAACTCTGGACGTATAGCTGAGAGATGACATACCGAGATCGCCGACATGCCTCTCGGAAGCGTCGGGTCCACCGTGGTTCTTGCCGTGAGGGTTGAAGTGGGGGCCGGCGGAGGTGCACCCGTTCGAGTTGTCTCCGAACTCGCTGGAAGGGTCAGCTGTCAGTCTCAGGCGAGGCGCACGGGAACCTTTGCCAGCTGGGGCCAAGCAGGAGAGATGTGGCCTTGGTATGGGGGAGAGTAGTGAGACTTACTGGATGTGGAAGCCACGCTCGGCGTTAGCGTCGAGGCTAGAGATCTGCAACTGTCAGCTACAGACCAGACCTACATTGCCAGAGGTACTCGTAACTCACGTCACCGGAAACAGTGACCGGCGCGCCCTCCTTCTCCTGGGTGAAGGTGATGACACCAGCGACCTGCGAATCGCCCTTGAGTACAGCTACAGCCTACTCATTGACCGCGCAGGACGAAGGAAAGAAAGGAAGACGGAGCGAGAGTAAGAAGGCAGGTTGAATATGGAAGAAAGAAGGCATGAGTCAGCGCTTTGATCCCTTTCTTTTTCCACCCGGACCTGTCTTGGTCCAAGCGCCGAGCAGTCCCCACGTACCTTGACCATTTTGTATGTGATTGGGTGAGTTATGTAGGTGGTATGTAGAGGTTTAGCGGTGGTTGAGGCAATTGTCGGAGAGGGTGAGGCCTCATGATGGAGCGCTAGCGGAGCGTCGGCGCGGTGGAGGCCGATGCCGAGATAGCGGGATTAGGGATGTGGCAGCGTGGCACCTGCGCACAAAGCAGCTGGAGATGGGGCACCAGTGGGGGCATCGGCCTCTTTAGTCCCAGGTAGTATAGCGGAGAGTCGATAGCACGTCCAAGCTCTATATCTATGCATTCTACACGCCCACACGACAATTTTCCAACGCCATAATCAACACATCCTCCGCCCCCGCCGCCTCCAAATCATCCATCACCCTCGCCACCTCCTTCTTCTCCACCATTGCACTGACGGCGACCCACCCGCCCTCGTCCAGGGGACTGACGGTCGGTGCGCGCCGACCGGGCGTGATTTTGAGAGCAGTCTCCAGGGCGTCCCGCTGGATATTGTACGAGGCGTAGACGTAGCGCTTGGCAGCGATCACACCGGCGATTCGGGACTTGATCATGGGGAGGATCGGGGCGAGGGCGGGTGTGAGGGTCGGGTGAGGGGTGCGGGAGGTGATGAGGACGGCTTCGGAGGAGAGGAGGGTGTGGATTGCGTGAAGGCCCGCTGCGCGCATGGTGTCTCCGGATTCTGGACATCAGCTTTATCCCACATGAGCAGTAGTCACAGCGCAGCCGAGGTCAGCGGGGTATAGTAGGACGAGACTTGCCGACGAGATCCACTGGAATAGTCAGCTTCAGATTCTCTGATCTTGTCCTTTATGCTTGAACTCACCAATCCCATCTGCCATTCCCAGAGCACAAGCAGCCTCCACACTCCCACCGACATACTCCACTTGCGTCTTTCCCCCCTTCCCACCGCCGACCTGCGCATCCACCCCTCGGAACAGCTCCCCGGCGAGCACCTCAAAGCTCGTCGCGATCCGCTTGCCGCTGAGCTCCTCGATCGTCTGGTGCGGGCTGTTGACGGGTACCTGGAGTTGCAGCTTGCACTTGCCAAAGCCGAGTGGGTGGAGCTCGGTGATTTCGTCCGCGTGGGTGGATTCGGCAATCATGTCTTGGCCGGTGATGCCCAGGGCGACGGAACCGAGGGCTACGAAACGGGGGATGTCGCCGGCGGGGAGGAAGACGCTGAGTGTCAGCATGGACTCCCACCGAAGCCTTGCTCCAGCATTGCCCTAAAGCCTCTACTGTGCCGACTACTCTACAGAGAGCCCACAAAGCCTGACTCCAGGACGACGAGATCGCTTGACCTACAGTGCTATTGGGTGGTTCTGGACAAGAGCGACGTCTAGCCGGTGCGCCCGGTTATACTTGATATCCGCACCTGCGAGGGTCAGTATCTGTCCAGAGATTCCACAGGACCCTGCTAAGCCGAATGTCTGGCCAAGCCCAAGTATGACCTGCACTTACCAGCTAACAGCTCCAAGCACTTCTCGTGCAATCTCCCCTTCTTGGGGATAGCAAACAACAGCCTATCCTTCAGATTCTCCACCAGCAGGCCCATAGCTGACTCGGCACCGAATCTAGATCTGCTCTCTGAGGAGCTGATAGGCGCTGTGCCCTGCGGTGAGCCTGCCCGGGCCGAGAGGGGGACCGGGGGGAGGGGCGAGGGAGCACGACCGTTCGGCTGGGCCATCTTGCTGAGTATTGCTTGCTTTTGGCGTTGATAATTCGCAGATGAGATTAATACCCCGCTGCTTCGAGGTGACCGTTATATATGAGCTGTAGATGACGATAACAAGATGTATAGCAGAGGTGAGAGAAGCACGTTTGCTTTGGATATTTGACCAAGTTTTGGCGGACTCGAAAACAGGTCATCGCACGGACCGGTATGCCGTCATTTCTCGCGCGCCTAAAGAATTCGCCGGCCTACAGTTCCGGCGAGCCTGGAAACAGCCGGACGGGCCTACCCTTTAGGCGTGCCGGTCGCGTTACGCGCGCCGGTTACAGGCACACGCACCAGTCTGCAGGACAAGGGGGTAGAAGGAGGTCGCATGTTGAGCTTGGATCTTATAACAACCATCATACAGAGTAACATCTCCAGCATCAGCACAAATACGAGCATCTGCCAGCTGTATCTAGCCTTGACGGAGCAGGGAATCTTATTCGGACTTCATTGACGGAGTGTCCACAGACCCAGGGCCGACCTTCGAGGTATCTATACCAGCCTTGTGAGTGCTGGTGGACCTCAATGAGCGAAGCCATGCTGATTGATCAGCTCCTCAGCAAACAGATACACATTCTTAAAACTAGCCGAGAAGCTCTTCCGATTCTGCCGAATAACATGGCGCAAGCAGCGGTTGAAGCGATGCCGGGGGAGAAGCCCGAGGTGGTGGCTCACACTGGCAAGAATGAGCAAGAAGCGCTGCCCCGGAAAGGTCAGTCCCATGATATCCTTTGCGAAGGTCTCTGAACGACCACAGTAGCGGAGATGCTGACGTCTGAAGAATCGTCAATACCAACAGCAACGTCAACCTCGGCGACATCCTCCGAACCAGCCACCCTCCCCCTCACCCAATCCTCCTTGAACCCCCTGGCGAGCTCAACCTCCATTCCTCCCCCCTCCAACTCGGCAGACCTATCCGGTGGCACGCCAAAGCTCGCACGCCGGTCCTCACAGTTCCACTCTTCCCGGCCCGCTCCACCATCACCGGTCCCGTCCCGGCGAGCCTCCCAAATCAACTCTCCAGCCCTATCCCACCGAGACCGCGCATCCTCCACATCGTCTTCTGCGGGGCATGGCAATCTCGGCGCGAGCTCGAGCTCTTCGGGTGGTGCTGGCTCTAGCGGGGGCCTGGGCCGTAAGCTGAGCTTGAGCCAGACGAACCAGAGCGCCGGGCTGAGCAGCCGGAATAGTATTGCCAAGAACCGGCCAAGGAGCAGTCTGGGCACGGCGATGTATACGGGCGGCGGGGATGATGGTGGGATCACTGGTCTAGGCCTCAAGGAAAAGCAAATATCGCATTCTGCTCCCTCGCCTTCCCCTTCGCAACCCTCTGCTCTCGCTCAGTCGTCCGGAACGGAACCGCCAGCGTCGGCCGGCAGCACCTTATCGCCCAAGGCGTCGTCCGCCTTCTCGACGACCATCGCGCACAACGAGAGCAGTACTGCCGACTCAACCTCCATCTCGCCTACTAGCCTTCCCGCCTCCCCGGAGGCTTCACGTAAACCCTCCATCACACCCCTCGTCATCCGCGACTACGCCTTTCCCGCCTCGGACGACCGGTACCACGGTATCCGCCTCCCAATCCCCGCTGCCGAGTCGTCCTCTTCCTCCCGGCTCTCCTCCTTCCTCGCGTCGACTGTCTCTCAATCGGACCGACGCAGCTCCTCGGCCGGCGAGAACAAGCGGGATAAGGAGAAGGGATGGAGTTTCTCCATGCTCAACTGGCGGGGCTTCATGGGCCGGAAATCGCGCTCCAACTCGCGCTCGGACTTTGCCAGCTCTGGCCCAGCGGAGGATGGGAGCGCTATCGCGGATGCAGAGTCCGAGCCGGACATCACGGCGACGGGCGGCGGGGCGGAGGATGATTATGCATTCGAGAGCAGTAGCGAGGATGACGAGGAGCCGTATGGGCTGTACAGGGCCGCATACGCGTTCGAGGCGGAGGGAGAGCACGAGATCTCGCTGGAAGAAGGGGAGGTGGTGGAAGTCAAGGGGAGAGGAGGGGGTGAGGGGTGGGTCATTGCTGTAAAGCTGAAGAAGAAGGATGGGGCGGGGGCGACGGATGAGGGTGGTGGGGAAGGGAAGGATATGGTGGAGGGACTAGTACCCGAGGGGTATTTGGAAAAGGTGGATGAAGAGGAAGTGAGGACGGGGTTGATACATGCCGGATACCACAGTGGGCAGAGGCGGACGGTGGCCCCGGATGGGATTAGTGAGGAGCCAGAGGAGACGAGCGATCTGGAGACTGGTGCGGGGCGATAGCGGTAAATTGGCTGGAGTTGGATGGATGGTGGACACTGTATAGAGCGGTAGGGAGATGTACGATATCGGACCAAGGATGTGAGCCTTGGGCGCCTAGGCTTTGGAGCCTGTATGCGGATTCGGGGTCATAATAATCAACCCAGCCAGTTCGTCGCAGTAGACTCTGCAACCGCGTTATATCCCAAAAGATAAGCAGGCTAGACAGATGGAACAGATAGGCGACGGAGAAAGCGAGATGCCGATAGTGGTCAGCATCTGCCATCTGATCAACGATCAACCGGTACCATGTCTCGCTTACCTCTTCACGATGAGAATCGCTATAGCACAGACATGTCCCGTCTCTGCTCAGCCAGGGGTCTACTCTGGTGCCGAGGCTAACGTCGATGACCTCTTCATCACCCTTCGCCGAAATTTGGAGGACGCCGAGCAGATCGTCAAGGACGCGGTTCAGCGGCATCAGGCCGATGTGGTCTGCTTTCCAGAGTACTTCCTGCAGGGTATCTTGAACGAGGGGCGACAGGTACGCCACTGGTCTGCCAAGATACCCATACACGCTGTGATTTCTCTGCTGACATCTGCAGTACCTCAGCATCACCTCGCAATGGCTCGACACTCATATCGCGGGCATGGCCCGCCGTTACTCTGTCGCCATCACAGGAACGATCGTCCATGGGGCATGCGAGGGCCTCGCCATACCGCCTCAGCGGGATCCGTTCGAGCCCGCTAGCGTAGAAGGTTCTTCCTCAGCGCGACAAGAATGGGTCGACTATCTCGGACAAGCGAGCGAGGCCCTCGCGAACGACTCGAACTTCCGGCTCGTGAATGAGGCATTCTACTTTGATGACAAGGGGGAGAAGCGGGGTCGATATACCAAGAAGAACCTTTGGCATCCTGAGAGGTGAGTGTGGCTCTGGACGGGTAGTACGAGCGAGGCGAGGGAAGCTGATGGACAGGGAATACCTTGAACCGGGGACCATCGATGAGCCTGTCTTCACGACACCTTGGGGCAAGGCTGGTTTCCTCATCTGTAAGTCTATCGCTAGGTATCTATCGGACGTTGATGGATAGCTGATCACTCAGGCTGGGATCTCTCACACCCGGCCGCAGCCCAAAGTTTGGCCGATCAGGGAGCAGACATCATCTTCGCGCCGGCATACTGGCTGGGGATTGATTCTGAGCCGTAGGTCCTCCATATGTCCCCTCTTCCCCTCCGGTATCCCCCCTCGTTCTCTCCTTCTCCATATGTCTAGCCCTCTTGTCGCAATTCTACGTTCGGATGAGTTGAGCTTACATCCTAGGATGGTCTCCCGATATACCTCCAACCCCGACTACGAGCTCAACCTCCTCCAGTCCCTATGCTCCGCCAGAGCATTCGAGACCGAGACCGTACTCATACATACCAACCCCGGAGGATCTCGGTCTGAGGGCTTCATGGGCGGCAGTGGAGTCTGGGCGCCCCTGATAGGCAAGGTGGGCGGGTATGACGAGGGATCTGGCGATGTCGGAGCGGTCGGTGTGAAGATCGTGGAGCTTGATCTGGGGGTTTTGTCGGTCAGTTCTGATCTCATTGTCTATATAGCGGCACCTGGGCTGACCAAACAGGATGCGAGGGAGCTATACAAGATTCGGGAAGATGCTGCTATCCGGAATGCTACGTAGCATGAACTTGCACTACCACACTTTCTCCTGTTCCTGCAGTTCCACCGCCTCCCTCATCGCATCAGGCACGAAAACCATCCCCCTCGGCGCGCCCTTGATCCCAAAGGTGTCCTTCATTTGCGCCAGGTCGACCGGTACCGCCAGCTTTGTGCATGAGAGTATGGGGTACGCGTAGTCATAGCCGGCGTAGTCTGGATGGTATGCGTTGTAGTCCGAGTTCCCGGTGCTTCCATCTTCGGGGAGGAAGTTTCGTCTACCGCGGGAGGGTGCAGATGAAGAGGCTGGCGGGAGATTGTGCTTGGGTGGCCGGACGACAGGGCTGCCGACATCGCATATATACCGGATGGCAGAGATGGGCGCGGTCTCGTAGAACCAGATACGCCGGAGTGTGGGTGGATAGCGGACCTTGCGGAACTCGTGGGACTTGGTACGGGACACGATGAGGGCCATCCAGTCTTCGCCGGCTCTGTGAGGGTCAGCTTTGACCTGAGGCTCGAGCGCAAGTTGAGTGACATGGGCCGGCTTACCTGCGGGACATGGGCAGGATGATGTCTGTCTTCGGTAGCGACGACTTCTCGCTCTCTTGCGCGGGACGGCGGGACATGTCATGCGTAACAGAGCATCGTCAAAACCAGAATGCCGTCTCGAAAAATCTTCGAGGCGCGCTCGGACGTCGACCGCAATTCCGGCACGAGCTGAAACCTTGGCTTACCCAATGCGAGAGAAGTGCACATGTGGCTATGTAGTAAGCATACAGTAGGTTGCATGCTCATATGGTACTGATCACTACCATACCTTCTCCTGCTCCCCCAAGTCCAACGCCTCCCTCATCGCCTCCGGCACGTATATCATCCCCTTCGGCGCCAACTTGATCCCATAGTCCTCCCTCATCCTCGCCAGCGGGATCGCCTCCTTCAACCTAACGCACGACAGAACGGGGTAGGCATAATCGCAATTCGCGAACAAGCCAGTACGGGCATTGTACTCCGCGTTTCCTATCGACCCGTCATCCGGGAGCCAAGAGCCCGGGGAGGTGTCTACTTCGCCAGCTGAGGGGGAGGGGCGGATGACGGGAGGACCGATTTCGCAGACGTAGCGAATGGCGCTAATGGGGGAGGTCTCGTAGAACCAAACGCGGCGGACGGAGGCGGGATAGAGGACTTTGCGGAATTCGTGGGTCTTCTGACGGAGTACGATGGTGGTCATCCAGTCATACATGTCGCTGGGGCGTCAGCGCTGCACTACAGAACGGGGTTCGGGGGGACGAGGGACGGACATACGTGCGAGACATGGGGAGAATGATGTCTGATCGCACTGTGGTGGTGAGGGGAGATTTCTTGCTCTTAACTGACATAGTCATGGCGGTGGTGTGGATGGCAAGTAGAGCATTGAACGAGGAAGCTTCGAAGCATCCTCACTAGAGCGCCACATTCGCTTGTGTGCCTACACACACTATCTCGCTCCCGGCCGGGGGGCGGCGGCCTCGAGCTTAGACAGGAATGATTCTAACTCGCCATCGCTTTTCAACTATCGGCCATCCTCAGGGTAGTTAGACACACTTATGGACCCGGTGCTCACCGACGTTGCAGCCATGTATGCCGCGCCTGGCTGTCGTGCGGCCCTGCAGTGCCGCACTCTCAAAGAGATCCACATTCCTTGCGTTTCATGACCAGCTTCTCAGGGTTCAGAAAGTTTTCGACCGGGACCAGATCTTCTCAACCTCTTCTGCCAGCCAAAGCGCGTCCCTTCCTCGCTCCTTATACTATCCACGGTGAAGTCGGTAACACCTCTGTCCGTCGCCGTGAGCTGCATCCTATGCCAGGTCTCTCCTCGTTTCAGACCACATGCCATTCCGGTTCCAGCGAGCTAGTACTTCACTTGAGCCTCATGTTGGATGACGTTCTACCCGCAAACAATTTCAGAGAAGCTCTTTTGTCCTTTCACCCCATCCTTTGGCTGGATCACCTTCAGCTCACATCAGATTACCTTGCCGCAAAGGGCACACGCAGCTCACTTTAGATCATCGCTTATCTTGCAGCTGGTTCAGCCGGATTCGTACTCCTCTCCTATCCTTGATCGACCACCTTTCAGCGTACGACCGCATCCGAGCGACTTTGACCCCCCTCCACCTCCCTTGGCGACCGGCACCTCTCACCTCACCCTCTGGCTTCTCAGAGATATATCGAACCCAAAATGACGGCTACTCGGCCTCCCTCCGTCCAGTCCCATCCCGTACCCTCCGCCTCTGCCGCCGCTGGCCCATCCACCGTCCATCACGAACACCGGGACATCAAGATCCAGTCGGACGGAAAGATCATCGAGACGGTCACTGTCGAGGATACAAAGGTCGTACCCGCCACCGACGCAGACGCAGCTGTTGCAGCCGCAGCCGCTGATCCAGCGGCACCAGGAGCAGGGGGCGGAAAGAAGAAGAAGAAGAAGAAGGGAAAGGGGAAAGCTGCTGCTGTGGCGGACGCAGACGAGGACGGGGAGGAGATCATCGAGGTCATCACCACTACTACGCCCGCCGCTCCTGGCGCTCCGGCCGGTACCACCACCAACACTACCGTCATCACCCACACCCATCCCCCAGCTGCCGACTCAGCTCCCGTCCCTGACCCTACCCCTAACCCCATCATCGCCCCCGTCGCCAAAGCTCCATCTATAGCGCCGACTATCCAGATGGACAGCCACGATCCGAATGATGGAGAAGAAGTTGTGATTAGGACTGTAACAGAAACGACAACTATCAAGCGGGTTCCAACCCCGCCTGCCGCCCCCAGCATCCGCGCCCCCAGCATTGCCCCTCCGCCATCCATCGTCCCTCCCACCGTTGCCGCTGCACCTACCTTAGCTGCTCCAGCGACCGTCATCTCGGTGGCGCCTCCGCCTACGGTCGTCGCTGCGCCCACTGTCGCTCCACCCGCTACGGTGATAGCAGCTCCCTCGGCGGCCCCTGCTATCGTCACAGTTACCCACTTTGAGGCGGCGCATACTCATCGTGCCCCCTCCGTACGAGCCCCGTCAATCCGGGATCCCTCCATCTACGCGCCCTCCGTCCGCGCTCCGAGCATCTACCAGCCCCATAGGGAACGGACGTACGACAAGGAGGTCGTCACCGAGGTTGTCACCGCGACCGTCACCCGCGCCCCAAAGCCCGCCACCCCAAACACCCAGCCCATTCCTACCGTCACTCTGGCCCCGGCGCCAAGTCTTCCTCCGCTCGCTACTGTCGCGCCCGCCCCTCCCTCACCTGCTCCAAGCCACCGCTCCGACCGCTCTCATCGGTCGCACCGGTCGCACCACCACCCGGAAGTCATCGTCAACATCTCGGTGCCGTCCGCCCCTGCCCCAACTGCTGCTTCTGCGCCCGTGGCGATCCCGGAAGTATCCATCACCCCTCCCTCTGCACCACCTCCGCCCACCTTCATTACCACTACCAACCTCGCTGCTGCGGCCGCCCCCGTCCCTCCCTCTCCAGCCACCTCGGTCCGGTCTCTCAAGTCCAGCTCGGGCGGGATGAAGCTCCCCAAGTTTCTCCGGTCGACTCCAAAGGCCGGTACTATACCGGAAGAAGGCGACGTCGTGGAGAAGATCACGACCACCACATACGTCACCCGCAAGCCGTCTCCGCCGCCCGCGATGGCGCAGCATGTCGTGCAAAAGGCGCCGATGTATGTCAAAACATCACGCCGCCGCCTACCCCAGCACGGGAGCAGGTGATCACTACCACGGACTATGGGCGTCCGGGCCAGATCCGAACGGCCACTCGGACCGTGCCTATAGCTGCGCCTGCTCCTCCGGCGCCACCACCTATCCCGGTAGCTCCTCCCACTCCGGTCTCGCCTCCGCATCAACACAACAAGGTCGTCGAGACTACTACGGTCGAGACGGTCACGTACCCCTTCCATTCGGGCGGTACTCCACCACCTGCGCTAGCTGCGGCGGGACCTGCTGTCCAGACCAACGCGCCAGCCGAGACCACCAGGACAACGACTACCACGACGAGCGTGCCAGCTCCGGCGGCTCCGGCAGTCACGACCGGGTATCCCAGTACGCCATATCGAGGGGACATCAAGCCTATTCCATACTGTAAGCTTCATCCCCCTTTTTGCGTTCCGAGAATTTAAGCTGACATTCCAGTCGACTACTCGTCTATGATTAAGCGCACCCCTCCCAAGCGGAACCGCCTGCTCGACTTCGCCTCGCCTTACCTGCCCCAGGTGGCCCCGCCCGTGAACCCTCAGCAAACTATCACCACCACCACCATCCATCCCGACCACCACATCACCACTTCCACTCGCGCCGTCCCCGCTCCCCTTCCTGCTGCCCCTACTCAAATCTACTCTCAGCAGCCATCCCGCTCTCATACTCCCCTCCAGGCACCTACGTCCATCCTCCAGCGCCAGCCCACCATGCTTCCGCAGACGACTCCCGCTCCTCGTACGGTAGCCAGCATCTCCATGGACATCGATCGTGATGTCAATGGACACGAACACGTCCATGCCAAGATGCACGACTACACCCAGCTCCCTCAGATGCAGCAGAGGCAGGATCAGGGTCTGGGCTTGGGTGTAGGCGGAAACACGCCGGTCGTGCAGACGCAGATTGGGCTAGCCGGGGCAGGACCAATAATGGAGACCAAGTCGGAGCGGAGGGAGCGGAGGAGGCTGGAGAAGGAGGAAGAGAGGGAGCGGAGGGCGGACGAGCGGCAGAGGGAGAGAGAAGCAAGGGAGCCTGCGTATAGGCGGATAGGAGGGTTTGCACCTGGTCCACGTTCGGAACGGTGAGTTTAGTCCTGTGTCCGATAGTGTCAAGCTGATCTCAACAGGTATGCTGCGCCGAGGGATCTGGGTGACATTGAGAGGGCTGCGAGGGAGAGGTATGAGAAGAAGTTTGCGCCCACGGAGGCCAAGCCGTTTGGCGGGATGCCGGGTATGCCTGGATTGGGCATGGGTATGGGTGGGATGCCAGGTATGCCGGGTATGATGGGTATGGGAGGTATGAGAGGGTGAGTTCAACTTCACGACCCTGTAGAACGAGATTCCAAGCTGATATATCAGACCAACGGGACCACCGCTCTTCCCCGCTCCACCACCACTCATGGCTCAGCGTCCGGCAATGTACGGTCCGCCCCTCATGCCGTCTATGGGCATGATGCCGGGCTTGATGGGCATGGGAACGGGTATGGGACTTGGCGGGCCGATGGGTATGGGCCTGGGCATGGGCATGGGGATGATGCCAGGGATGGGGATGGGATTGGGGATGCCGAACGGAATGCCCATGGGCATGGGGATGGGCGGTCCGATGGGCATGAGGGGTCCGCCAGGGATGGGTGGGGGCGGGGGCAGTATGGCGGGGATGCCGCAGGGTATGGGTGGGATGGGAATGCCTGGGATGCCAGGAATGGGAGGCATGGGCCCGATGGGCGGGCAGGGGATGAGCGGACATAGGGGTATGGCTACTGTTGCTGCGAATACCGCAGCTCATTGATCCATATATCGTGGTAGCTACGTCTGCAAGATGTTACTAAGAAGCACATGAAGATCGCTTGGACTTGTCAATGTCGGAGCATCGGCATGCATCGAGATAAATGAACCATTCAACAAGGGATTTTCACCAAAAAGCCCCTTTCCTCCGGAGCTTCGGGGTTGGTGCTGCGATCCGAGCGGTCGTCTGCCAGGACAGACTCCAGGTGAGTCTGTAGGGAAGGTCTCCACTGCGTATTGAAGAGATCCCTCTCTGCAGCACTTCCCCTGACACCGGATATGAACTCGGCCGCGCGGCGGAGCTTGCTGGGCGAAATGCGGCTGAAAGTGGCGGCGCCTTCCGCCACGGTGACAGTGTCAAGTCCGTCACCCGTCCTCTCCTCCACATAGACATCAATGTTGTCCTCGAGCTGAGTGATTCTTGTCATCACGAAGCTGTGTTCCGAGGGCAATTGCGGCCCGAAAGTGTGATGAAGTGCCGAGGCGATGTCGTTGACGTGGTGGACCCGGTCTGAGTTCTTTCTGGCTTCGATCGCTACCCAGTCTGTTCCCCTCCAATCCGCTCTCTGTTTGGCCAGTGTAGCCTGTTCCTGAGTCATAAAGAACTCCTCTGTCCCCCGCAGGGACGCGATTGGAACGGCCACACACAACGACCTTGTCCCCTGAGCCGCATCTTCCCCATCGTCGCATCTCATCAGAGCGTCGATGATTGCATTCAACATCACAGCTGAAGTGTGGTCCGCACGCACACCTTTGGTAGCCGATCTGAAGACAGAGATCAGGCGCACGTGTTGATCAGGACTTTGGAAGACAGTATGCGCGGTACTCATCGTCACAGGCGCTCTTGCGTTCGACGAGAGACTTCGAGGGGTGAGAGTGATGCCGAACAGGAGTGCCTTCAAACCCCCGGAGCTGCCGTATCTCGGATTGATCTCGGTGATGCGCGTTTGAAAATCCTTCGCGAGTTCCGAGCCGTTAACTGCCGCCAAGAAGGCACCCTCAAATACACTGACTGCTGGCTGGCTGATGCCAAGTGCAGGAGGAGGAGGGGCGTAGCTCATGATCGCGTCGATGGGCGAAGACGAGCTGGAATTGATGGAGAGTCTTGGGTATCAAGTATTGCCACCCACCGAAAGGATATGGGCGTGGTGGCGGTAGGATATCTGTGAGGTGAAATAAGACAAGGGGGTGGCACGCTGAATGGGGGAGCCAGAAGAAGGAGAGAATGTCGCAGAGGCTGTAGTACCGCAAGCAGGGTGTTGTAGTTAGTCTCAATGAGAAACAAGTATGATTGCAATCAGTGGCGATATCACGAGGATAACGCTCTAGTCGCGAGCTGGACCACTCCTTGCAGTATCGTCAGCTTCAAAGGATCAAATTCGCCCATGGCGTGATCACTGCAACCATAAGAACTCCGCCCGAGGTATCATGGTCCCTTTTACGGGCCCCTCCGAGAGCCGTCCATCATGATACGATCATTTGAGTTGGGTCAGTCAACCCTAGGCTGTGCCTACTGTTCCGTCAGATGATTTGAGCGCTATTGAGTGATGGCAAGAAAGACGGTCCTGCATTGCGAGCCTCTACTCTCGCGACTGATCCGACCCATTTCTACACGTGAATAGCTTTGTCGTAACTTGCCATAGCGGCCTCCTTGAATGCTATCACGAGTCAGCGCACATCTCCCTCATGAAAGGTCATGATGGTCTCTAGACATACCTTCCGACAATGTGGGGTGAGCGTGGCAAGTCCGTGCAATATCCTCCGCTGATGCCTTATACTCCATCGCCAATACAGCCGAGGCGATCATTTCACCCGCGTTGGGACCTGATATGGTCAAATATGCTATCAAGCAGATAGACGAGCAGACAGGTGGACATACCGATGATGTGGCATCCAAGAACCTGATCTGTGTCCTTCTCTACGAGCTGTACTTGTTAGTCACGCCCACTGCATCCAATCTCGATGCTCGGCTTACGAATTTGACGAAGCCACTGAGGTGGATCAGCTCGATGTTCCACGGGAGAGGAAGGAGGAAGCTCACCCTGCATCCTGGTTCGTCTTCGCTCGCGAGTTGGCGGCAAAGGGGAAGTTTCCGACCTTGTACTTGATCCCAGCAGCCTTGAGCTCCTCCTCGTTCTTGCCGACCCAAGCGACCTCAGGGTGCGTGTACACGACTGACGGGATAGCATCGTAGTTGACGTGTCCGTGACCGTGTTTGATGATCTCGACAGCGGCGATACCTGAAGGTCATCAGCTGGCTGTTCTGAATAAGGAGATGGTCGGTCCAGACTGACCCTCCTCCTCGGCCTTGTGAGCCAACATAGGACCGAAAGTGACGTCCCCGATGCACTTGACGCCCTTGGCGGAAGTGTTGAACTGGTCGTCGATGATGATCCGTCCGCGGTTGTCCATCTCCACGCCGATCTTGTCGAGGCCGAGGCTGGCGGTGACGGGTCGGCGACCGATAGCAACGAGAACGACATCAGCCTCGAGCTGTATGATCAGCTCTACCCTCCACCTGCTCACCAAATTCCGCCACTCACGGTCTCCTCCTTGCCACCCTTAGCGGCGTCCACCTTCAGCGAGACAGTGTCCCCGTTCCGCTCGGCGCTGATGACCTTGGTGTTGAGCTTGAACTTGAAGCCCTGTTTCTGCAGGATCTTCTGGAACTGCTTGCTGCGAACGTCAGCTACAGCAGTACCAAAGACAAGCTCAAAGCTCACCCGACCTCCGCGTCCATACCCGCACCTACTGCGCCGAGGTACTCCACGACCGTGACCTCTGCGCCGAGACGAGACCAGACGGATCCGAGCTCGAGACCGATGATACCACCGCCGATAACGACCATCTGAAACAGTCAGCTCTGCGTCGCGACCTGAAACGGTACGGAGCTCACCTTCTTGGGCACCTCCTTCAAGTCCAGAGCACCGGTACTCGAGACGATCCGCTCCTCATCAATCGTGATCCCCGGGAAAGGAGTCACCTCCGATCCAGTGGCAATGATGACGTTCTTCGCCTCCACCTGGGTCTCGCCACCCTCGGTCAACTTGACGTTGACCTGGGTAGGGCTAGCAAACGACGCCTCGCCTTTGATGTAGTCGACGCCGTTCTTCTTGAACAAGAAGCCCTCGATACCGCCCGTCAACGCCTTGACGGAAGCGTTCTTGGCAGCGAGCATTTTGGGAAGATTGAGCTTGACTTCTCCGACGTCGATACCGCGGGCGGCGAGGTCGTGTGTCGTTTGGTGGTAGATGTGAGAGTTGTTAAGCCTGCGCGTCAGCTAAAATCAGAGCTCGCGTGAAATCTTAGCTTACAGTGATTTGGAGGGGATACAGCCGACGTTCAAGCAAGTTCCACCGAGAGCTCCTCGCTTCTCGATGCAGGCAGTCTGATCCGTGAGCACTCCTCCGTGATCCCTTCAGTATTTCCCCCTCCAGCTCCTACATCTTCGATCTTCGAGATATCCGCCTCTCAAGCCGTCCGACCTGCGGCGAAGGCAACTCTGCTCGTCCCCACTCAGTCGCACCCCAATCTCGTCTCTGCTCCCATTTTCGGCTGAGCCATCGAGGTCGCACAGCCCCTCCGTACCATGCCTTCTCCCTCCTTGCCATTCCCAGTTCCACAAGGGCGTCTGACGCAGATACGTGACCCACCTTGAGACCCAACTGCGCCGCCTTGATAGCCGCCACATATCCTCCCGGTCCACCTCCGATAACAACAACATCATACGGTTCCGTCGCCGATGCCAATCCGCGCCTATTGCTCGGGACATTGACGCATCGCAGAAGACCGCGCGAGGCGACGTATGAGGAGGAAGGGTTGGAGAGGGGGCGAAGGAGGTTAGGGGACTGTTTCAATGATTAGCGAGATTTGATAAATCGGAGGAGAAGGGAAGCTTACGAAGGGAGTCCGGGACAGCATGATTTCTAAGTTGGATTTTTCGGGTGGTCTATGATAGCTGGAGCGTCCGTGGTTCCGTCTCTTTCAGCTGCGAGATGTTCTAGGCAGAGATATAGATGGAAAGGCAAGGTATGAAGACGAGAAATGGTTAGCATCGGCAGAGCCTTGGGGGACGTTCCGCGTCCGATAAATCCGCTTCCGCCACTCGCCCAGTTCCGGCCGGTCAAGCTATAACGCACGGACCACCACCACCTGTAGGATATACAGTAGGACCAAAGACAAGAGATCGCTATGCATATGCAAGAGATGCTGTACTAGCTACTGATGTGGTTGAGGTCTACACAATCGGTCACTTTAGGAATGGAAGTTGCACAACCGAGAAATACGCTTTCTTTGACAAATAGTTTCTTTAGCCGTGATATGATAGGGACATGCGGACCCGCGCTTCTCATGTGTCCCTCTTCTTCTCCTGCGCCGCACCGCTTCCCACCGGCCCGCCGCCTAGCCCCGCCTCGATGTCTTTACCCTTGGCTTTCTCCTTGTCTCCCTTCTTTGACACACCGACTGCCTCAACCCCCTTCCCTGGCGCGTCGACGCCCAGCCCCTCAAACCCTTTCGTCACATCCTCCACCCCCAGCTCCCGATTCTGCGTTGGCGGACTCAGCAAAGTCGACGGACTGATGTAGTTCGCCGGCTCGCCATTGAGCTCGCGAAGGATACTAGGGACTGTGGGTGGCGAGAAGGGTTGGAAGGGAGGAAGAGTACTGGACTCATGCTGTTGGTGGTAATTCTCGAGCGCAAGGGCGTGGGGTCCGCCAGGGATGAGAGAACCGGACCTTGACGGGTTGGTAGACGCAGTGGGGGTCTTGTACGTCCTGCCATGGAGAGGAGCCGGGATGGACGAGGTGGGCGGAGCAAAGTTGCCAGATCCACCGCCGGAGGAGGATGGCCATGGGTGGAGGTGGGACTTGCCCATCTCCAGCTTCGCGTACATCGCGTGTGGGCTGAGTGGCGCCGAGATAGACCCCGATCCGGCATTGTGGCCATCGTCGTACCCTGAGCCCGATCTGCGCGGGGCGCGATGGTATCCTCCGGGCGTTTCGAGTCCGCGCTGAGAAGTGTCCCGACCCCTGCCGCCAGAATTGTCATTCCCGAACGGCGACTCTGAGTATCCCATTCCGCCAAAGTTGAGGTTCCCGAGGTTGGAGCCTTGGCTGGCGAGCCAGAGGTCTTGACCCGTGAAGTCACCTCCGTTGGGCCCGGAGTCGGCATCGCTATGCCTGCCTCGACGTGCGGAAGAGTTGGGTGCGTCGAGCAGGGAGGAGCCACCGCCTGAAGCAGCTATGCGATCAAAGGGAGCCGCCTGAGACTGACTTCGCCATCCGGGAAGACCGCCAGTGGGGAGACCGTTGATGGGCGGTGTGGAGTAGCCGCTGCGCGAGGTGGACATTGCTCGTGGAGCAGGAGATTCAGATCGAGGAGCGCGGTAAAGGTCGTCATCACGCTCGCGACAGAGCTCGGCGAGAGCGAGGACCGCTCGGTCGGGTCGTTGCGTCAAGATCTGGCTGGTCAACATCGCTCGTTCATGCAGGTAATGGTATAGGACTCACTCGTGTAGCTCGCATGAACTCCCCTCGTATCGTATACAGTCCATCCTTCGTAACAGTCCGTGCTACATTGTACCCCGTTTCGAACGGGTCCTAATAGGTCAGCTTCGGCTTGACCAGCTCCACCCCGAGCGACTTACCTCGATACATAACCTGTTCCGGTCCCGCGCCATCTCGTTGATCCCGCCGACATCAATCTTGAAAATCAGCTCGGGATCACGTCTAATGACGGCGAGCACTCACGTCGTTCACCCATCCTTTACTTTCTTTCGTCAATTGACCAGCACGCAAGGACATGACCGAATTGTTGAACTGGAAGTCGTGCGAGAAGAAGCGGAAGAAGTCGATCAGCCTGTCACCAAAGTCAGCGGATATTCCGTTGATCGCACATTTGCCACACTCACAGCTCTCCGACGGTCTCGAAGTTAATGCTGCTCCACTCCTGCCTGAGCGTCTCGGTATCGTCAAAGAAGTAGACATTCTTGCCCTGGATCGTATATTCGTCCTCCTGAAGCGTCCGAATCGGCGCTATCCGCTGCAAGTTGGGTAAGACTGGCGGCTGTTTGACATGCACTAGGAAGTAGAGGACCATCAAGGTGAAGCCGTCTACCCAAGTCAGTCACTTTTCCCGGCTCGGCTGAGGAGCAGCTAATACTGACATGATGATAGCGTCCCTCTGTACGGAGAGTTTATTCTCCTCCGCTTAGCCCAAACTTTCACTGCCGAATCAGCACCAGCTCTCAAGCTCTCAAGTACCTATTCTTGTTAGACTTACAGAACAGGACCAACGTCCGCACCCTCGCCGGATCAATCGTCGCGTACGTCAACAGCAACCGCGTATTTTCAATAGCCAGCCTATTCTCGATTCCGATATCGCAGGAGATACCGAATGGCAGGGCGGGGGAGGGGGAAAGCGTAAGCTTGAGGATAGGGATACGGGCTTTCGGGAGGGGTTTGACGTCAAAGTTCGTTTCCTGCTCGTCAGCCAGGATATTCCGTTTGAGTGACGGCGGAACTTACGCGTTGCAAGAGATCTCCAATCATTTGTACGAGATGACTCGCTTCCAGGTCGGCAGAGGTATCGTCTATCAGGACAACGAGGTCCATGTCTGCTCATCAGCGCCAGCTCAGCTCAAATCCCGCAGGACATGGCAGCGTACCCGAATTTCTCAACCCAAAAGAATTTTGGCTTGACCCAAATGCCAATAACCTAGCTGACGGCTCAATCGTTTTGATGAGCTTCTCGATCAACGTTCGTACTCTGATAGCGTCAGCCATGACTTTGGGGTAGCGCAGTGATTGCTTTCTGATACAGCTCGCTCTCCTCAGCCTTATCACCGCCTTCACCTAGCTGTTCGATGCCCGTGGACCCACAGATCCAAATTCCAGATAGACCGGCTCTGACTCACTCTTCCTTGACCGCACGCTCCTCTGTCGTCGGCAGCAGCGGCAGCACGAACGAGAACAAGCTCGACGACAAGTCCTGCAAGAACCGCCGATGTAATAATCCGGGGTGCATCATTGCAAAGGTGAAATTGGTGTGGCGACGATAGTCGAGGGGGAGATAAGCTGAGATGGACGAGTGTACTCTGACAGCTCTACAGCAGGGAAGTTGACAATCGCGCTACGGTATCAGCCCGTCTCTCCGTGAAGGTGAAAGGATAGCCACATCACGCTGAAACGGTGCTCCTTATCAGCGACGGAGGATCAGACTTACCGGTCAATCAATGCCAAAGTACAGCTGGAGGTGTCAAAACGCCTGACTGACGCTTCTGCGCTAGCTCGCGAGGTGCAATGAGCAGATTATCGTAGGTTGCTGATAGGTCCAAGCGGCGACTTTCCAACTTCGATTCGTGCGGGAGCCGTGGTCGTTGGGCGGTGCCGATCGTTGTCGTGCGTTTTGAGAGGATACAGATGAGGTATCTCGATGTACCAGCGAGCTTGGGGTGTCTATCTATAGGCCTAAGCTGTACCTTGTGGTGGTAGATGCGGTATAGATGGAGATGTCACCTTGCTGGACCAGACTTTCGCGTCGCACAGCGCCACACCCATTCATCACCAAACTCGGCGATCGCCGCTGACTGCAGCCACTACCTTGCTATACGACCGATGGGAGGGCTTCAACCTGGTATGATGCTGCTGGCAAGGTCAGATGAACCCATGGGGTGCCATCAGAGTGGCTGATGCCGGACACTAAACCAGAAAATGCTCTATGCCCATATCCTATGGGATGAAGTATTACAAATGTAGCCAATATGACCTGGCTCCCTCCGAATGCCCGTGTGCCCGCCCGCCCTTCCTCACCTCCACCATTCTACCGGTTGACCGCCCTATCACTCCCCACCAACAGACTCTCAAACAGCCCCATCGCTGAGTTCTCATTCCTCAGCTGGATCATGTAGATGATCCCCGTCCGCTGCCCCTTATCCGACACCTCGACCGCCACTCCCGTCTTGGCCACCCTTTCCACCCCATCTGTCAACACGATCGTACTGATCAGAATCGTCCCCTTCTTTCCACTATCACTCTCCACCACCAGCTGCTTCACGTTCCCTTCTTTTTGCTTGTACAACTTGAGCTTGCCCGCGCCGAGTGATTTCCACTGCGAGTGCGCCTGCTGCAGGAACACCTTGCACTTCATTTGCGCCGAGATGAGCGCGGGACCGGTGAGTGTCGCGACGTCCTCTTCGACGGGCGAGGAGGGCGGGGAGGGGTCGTCGTTATTCTTCTGCTCGAGCGTGGGGAAGGAGGAGAAGCGGGCGGAGGGGGATTGGATCGTCAGACCGTTGGTTCCGTCCGCGTTGGGTCGGCGGGGAGGGGCGAGCGGGTCCAGGTTGTTAATCTGGATATTGAGGTTGGGGCGGAGAGGTTCTGCCGAACGGGATCGAGGAGGACCGTTCTGCCCCAGCATCCCGTGCGAATCCGCGGAGAGATGGGATCCGGGCGCGCGGATAGTCGGGATTGGCGGGACGTCATGGTCCATCCCCATCCGAGGCGCTGAGGCGACAGACCGACCGGATGGCGATCTGGGCATCTGCACCGAACCAGCGTGTGGATACTGCTGGACGGCAGGATCCGAGCGGGGATGATGTTGCAAGAACGGCAGTGAGGGTAGTTGAGGGGGACCCATGATCTGCTGCGGCGGCGGTGGAGGCGCCGGGAGGTTGGCCGAAGACTGCCGTGTCCGTAGTGAAGCGCCACGAGGAGGCAGGACAGATCCGACCGATGAGGAAGACACTGCCATAGGAGGAGGACTTGGCCGCCGTTGCCACTGCACCGTCTCACCAGGCTCGAGGTTGATTTTGCTCATCTGGCTTACCAGGGCGTTCCCTCCTAGCGTACTCGGCGGAGTCATGTCCGCGTCAGGTGGCCGTGGGGAGGTGGACGGCGAGGAGGAAGCTGAGAACGGAGATGGATAACGAAGTGGGGGGAAGGTCGATTCGTGGGAACGCGAGTCGGACAATGATGAGGGTGAGCGGCTATCTTGTGCGACAGGAGGGATGGGGGCATTGGTAGTCCGGCGTGTCACTACCAGTCAGCTATATCCTCCTCATCGTTCGCGAGAACAGCTTACCAGTCGTTGCAAAGTCAATGCAATCCAGCAGATCCTTAACAAGCCCATCCCGAGCAATCTCGCTTTCCGCATGGAGCACAAATGTCTCCTTTCGCATTATCATCACGGACAACTCGTTCGCTAGGTCACATCAGCAAGATGACTCTTGCCCAGGCCACAAGCTCATAGCTCACCCTGCTGTCCCTCTGCAACCATCAGATGCTTCCCCGCCAGCGGTGGATAACACAGCCACATCTCCGGCATCGGCCCGCCCTGCCCTACTCGCTCAGGCTGTTCCCGCGCTACCTGCTGTGCTTTCGCTGCCTTGTCCGCCGCTTCCATCCACTCCGCTACGATGAAGAGGTCCGTAAGGATAAAGACGTGCGCGCGACGATGTACGACGGGCTGGCCGGTCGATGTTGGGTGGAAGTGGATAGTCACGTCATGCGAGGAACGGAGAGATCGGGTGTAGGTAAGTGATGAGGGGTTCATCTGAAGTTTGCATCGCTAGATGTCAGCTCGGAATCGGTTGGTCGGACGAAGAGTCTCACCTTCGGTGACATGGTGAACAGGTCTATGGCCCTTTCTGGATCTATCCGTAATTCCAGATCTGAAAGAGGCATGGTCGCAGTAGTGGGAGGTGATTTCGCTGGTGGTACAGGCGCGTTCAGTGGAGGTCGCCGCTGCGGACTTTGAGTCATGCTCGTGGCGACCGACCCTGCCGAGCTTCGATCCTCGACGCGCGAGCTGAAGGGTGAGAAGCTGGTCCAATCAGACTGAATCCTGCAGTTCGTACAAATCAAGAAAGCTTACTTGGTTTGACTCCCTCTCGAACTCCCCATCCCCGAGCTCGCCCGTGACTGGCGCTCGATCCCCTGCTCCCTCTCTGCCCATGATGCTTCCCGGGACCGCTCGCCCGTACTTCCAGGCGCCGACTGGGACTTTGCTGGCCCATCCTCCTCATCCGCCACGTCCATTTCTAGCCGTCCTTCTATCTGCATGACAAGAGCCTCCAGTCGCTGATTTGCAACCAAGAGCAACTTGTGATCTGATCGCCCCTCTTTGGTCGACCGAAGTAGACGAGCGTAGAGCTTTCGATAGTACCGGAGCCGAGAGTAAGGGAGGAGGAAGAGGGCGTCGAGCGTCCATTGTTCGAGAGGTGGATTAGGTGGGGTGCTTTCTGAAATATCGGATAGTATGCCGGGGAGAAGGGCGTTGTTGAGGATTGGTGGAAAAGCGTCAAAGCCGGTGAGGTAGGAAGTGGCGTATTTTGTGTATGCGGGCTCAAGGTCGTCAATCTGTCGATCAGCATGATAGCCTGTGCAAGGTGAGGAGTATACTTACCCATCGCATCAGCAGGTCGCCTAAGGCTTTTGGGCTAGACGGGCTAGGTCCGATGTCCTGCAGCTTCTACACATCGTCAGCTTCCTACGAGACGATACGACAGTGAGCAGAGACCTCACGGTGCCAAACCCCCTGTTCGCCCTGAAGACCGCCTCGACGCATCTGAACATGGAATCCAGCTTCGGTGGTGGGAAGTCTTTCCGGGACCACGCAGCTGCGACTCGCTGGACAGATTAGCTTGACCTTTAAAGCGGTGCCAGAGTATAGTGCTCACCCGGATGACCAGGGCTAATTGGTCGACATAGGCCTTCTCGCTGTCTATCAGATCCACAAGAGGATTCCGCTTCGAGCCTGCATCTCCATTTCTGCCTCCCTCTCCACCGTCTCCATGCCCGTTGGCGCTCGGCGCGGCCCCTCCGTACCCATTGCCATTTGCTGCCCAAGATGGGTGTCCCTCGGGGATAGGCGAGAACGAGGGCGACGCCGAGCCGGTCTCCGATGTGGTCGCCAGTGCGGGATATCGCGATGGCCCGGCAGTCGAGTAGCTCATCATAACGTTGAGGGTCTCGGTGAGCGAGCAGGTACTTCTGCGTTTCTCAGAGTTCCTGCTGTCTCGCCGGGAGCGCGTGCGGACTATCAGATGTTTATTTTGCCTGTTTCGCGGATCAGGCGGGTCGAATAAACATCGAGAGCCGAGAGTATGTGTGAGGGTCGAGAGGCGAGGGGGAGATGGGTCGAGGGTTTGGACAAGGTGAGACCGGAGATAGATGCCTGTAAAGGCTTGCAAGTCCCAAGCGGTTCAGGCCGAAAACTCGGAGATTCGGCCTGTTTCTCGCGTGAGATGCAGGGGACAGGGGTGGTCGTCCGAGAGATCGGTGAGATATAGAAGATGGACTCAAAGAGATCCCGAGCCGCTACGAAGACAGGGCCAAGGATGGCACCGAAGCGGTCTTAGCAAAGGATGTTGACAGGTGAGCAAAGGCAAGGACAAGGAGCTCGATATTTGCGCTTGGATCGCCGTCGCGACGCGCGCGATGCTCTACCCGTAGCGATATTAAAGCTGCCAAGCTGCAATCTGCGCCTTCAAGCTATACGCTTCTCAGCCGGCCCAGCGCTGCTCCTTGATTCCTCTCAGAAGCAAATTCACAGCCATGCATGCATACATGCTCAAGCGCATCGACACACACACCACACAACTGGATGGACCTTGTGACTGGCTATGACGTGGCATTCCACGGCACCAAGTATCAACACCCGGCCTCGCTCTCGGCGATCTCCGCCCATCTCGGCAACATGATGGTGACCGTACAAGGTGTATGATGCATGGTGATCAAAAGCCCAGCGCTCAGTTGGACCACCCATAAAGTATAAAGGGGCCAAAGCTGACAAGGCACAGCAGACAGCCAAATCGCGAGGGTGGCCGCTCAGAAAGCAGCTCGAGCCAAAAAGAGCTCCCCAGGTTCCGCCACTCGTTCCGAAACACTGGCCAAAAGTACAGCTTGCCCCGGATGGCTAGCCACCCTTTGGGCACAGCCGTGGCCGGCCAACACCGGGATCATCCATCATCTCTTCTTCCTTCCCCGCCAATCGCCGTCCTTCCTCCATCGTCGCCATCTATACCTCAAGCATCATCCTCGCGCGCAGGTCCATCGGCACCTCGATCGCTCTCTGGGTCAAGGGACAAGCAGCGGTCTGGGTCACTGACAAAGCCCCTGACCCCTCGGAGCAGCAACGGTCAAGCCGGCTCATCTACTTCGGAGGCACGCAAGATGCCTGCCTCCGAGATGAAGCGGGCCAAACCCACGTTCACGACTTGCCGGACGTATCCCGAGAATGCGCCCGCTCCGGTTGAGCTGGAACCTGGAGCGGAGCTACAGCGCAATCAGCGCCGCTCCAAGGTGCAAGCCATCTCCAAGTTGGATCGAGCGGGCACTCCGCTCTCCTCTTCGGCTGCAGGGCCATCTGGTACCTCGTTCCTCCCCAGCAAGGGCTCTGCTGGGCCTAGCGATTCCGCCCCCGGACCATCGCGTAATCCTCTGCACCGCCCACCCATCATCAATCCCCCTTTCAAACTCGCCGACGTCAGGACTCAAGCTCCGCGGCATCCCGAGCCTCGGTCTGGCTCTCGCCCGTTCAACCTCCCCGAATGCCCCGTCTTCTACCCCACCCCCGCGGAATTCAGCGATCCACTAGCGTACATCGCCGCTTTGCCTCTATCAGCCAAAGAGGCGGGCATTTGCAAGGTCGTTCCTCCCATAGGCTGGCGGATGCCTTTCTCGATCGACCAAGAGACCTTCCGCTTCAAGACTCGGCTACAGCGGCTCAACTCGCTCGAAGCTACCAGTCGGGCGAAACTCAACTTTCTCGAACAGTTGACCATGTTCCACCTCCAACAGGGGGACTCGAAAGTCACCATCCCGCTCATAGATCGGAAACCGCTCGATCTGTGGCGGCTCAGGAAGGAGGTGACCAAGATGGGCGGATATGAGGATGTGCAAGCGAGCGATTCGTGGCGCAAGGTGGCGGAGGTCATGGGGCACGATGCGGGATGGGGACCGCAACTCGGGCTCGCGTACAAGCGCATCGTCTATCCCTTCGACACCTTGTCAATCCGCGCAAAGACCGCTTCCCTCTCTCCCCTCACCCCTCTGCCAGCCAGCAAAGCCCAAAAGCCACCAGGCTGGACGGAAGCGACCCCAGGCTCGCCTACTCGGTCAGGTCGGATGGGCGTGTCGGCGGGTAGGATGGGCGCCGTCAAAAAGCGGAAATCCAACTCGCCTCAACCAGCAGCCGCTCCTACCCTCCCAATCCCTACTGGCCTGGACCTCAGCGGATCGCTAGCAATACATCCTACCTCATCCCCTCAGCCAGGTTCCGGGCCAGACTCGGCCGGCCTAAACGGGAAGATGAGGATACCGGGCTTCTCCTCAAACAAGGAGGATTCCGAGAGCGAGTTGAGTGATGACGATAGTCTCACTCCGCCTCCGCCTGATATGCCGGAGCAGTATCAGAAGGGCGAGGTGTGCGAGGTATGCCGGAAGGGGAACTTTGCGGAGAAAATCCTGCTCTGCGATGGTTGCGACCGAGGTAAGTTCTTTCCTTAAGCTTTTCCGAGCTGTTCTGACGAACAGGTTTCCACATTTTCTGTCTAGATCCCCCTCTTGCCTCCGTCCCCGCCAACGAAGAATGGTTCTGCACCCCATGTCTACTCTCTCAGGGAGACGACTACGGCTTCGAAGAAGGAGAGGAGCATTCGATGGCGTCTTTTTCTGCTCGCGATGCCGCCTTCTCCGGCGCGTGGTGGAGCAAGCATCGTCCATCCTCTTCGACCAACGGTCCAGCTACACCTCGTTCCGGATCGGGGACCGGTAGCGGAAACGGCAGCGCCTCGCCCACAGGCAAGCGGCACACCATGCCAGATCCGCTGGCGAGGACATTCGGGCGGACAGTGGTGTCAGAGGACGATGTGGAGCGGGAGTTCTGGCGGTTGACGGAGAGCAATTCGGATACGGTCGAGGTGGAGTACGGGGCGGATGTCCACTCGACAACACATGGAAGGTGCGTCCAGCTTCCCGTCCACTAGTAGCCCTAGCTGACAAGCAGCGCCGCTCCAACGCTGGAAACACATCCACTCGACCCATATGCCAAGGACGGCTGGAACCTGAACAACATGCCTATACTACAGGAGTCGCTGCTCCGGTATATCAAGTCGGACATCTCGGGAATGACCGTCCCGTGGATCTACATCGGCATGATGTTCTCTACATTCTGCTGGCATAACGAGGATCACTACACGTATTCCATCAACTACAGTATGTCCTCGCTCACTTGTTTTGTTCCCCTCACAGTCTCATCCCGATCATGCTGCAGCAGGCACCGAGCTGACTTTCAGTGTACTGGGGCGAGACCAAGACATGGTACGGTATCCCCGGAGCGGATGCCGAGAAGTTCGAAACCGCCATCAAGGCTGAGGCACCCGAGCTGTTTGAGCAGCAGCCAAGTCTGCTGTACCAGCTCGTGACGATGATGAACCCCGGCAAGCTGGTGGAGCAGGACGTGCGGGTCTTGGCGTGTGACCAGCGGCCGAACGAGTTTGTCATTACGTTCCCGAAGGCGTATCACTGCGGATTCAATCACGGCGTAAGTGCCAGCCAAGGCGTTTAAGTGCAAGCATAGGAATCGGCTGACCGAGGAGATCAACTTCAATGAAGCGGTCAACTTTGCGCTTCCGGACTGGCTACCCGAGGGGAAGGAATCGGTCGTCACGTATCGGAAGCACGCCAAGCCGCCCGTCTTCTCACACCACGAGCTCTTGATCAGCATCACACTGTACTCTGATACTATCAAGACCGCATTATGGTAAGCTTCAAATTCCAGTTTCCAGGTGGAAGATAGCTGACAATACAGGGTCCGAAACAGCCTCGCTAAAATGGTGGCCGAAGAGACAGCCCAACGAGAATCCATCCGCAAGGACGTTCCCCTGCTTCAGGAGATCCTCGTTGAGGAAGACTGCCCAGAAGAGCAATACCAATGCTGCATCTGCAAAGGCTTCTGCTACCTCTCGCAAATCACCTGCACCTGTACCAAGCTCGTCGCCTGCATCGACCACGCCGACTCGCTCTGTCGCTGCGCCAAGACCAAGCGGGTCCTCCGGAAACGATACTCGGAGGCGCAGCTCGAGGAGATCTTGGCAGATGTGCAGGCCCGAGCCGCTATCCCCGGTCTCTGGCGGGAACGGTTCATGCAGGTCGTATCGGTTCCTCGACCGCCGCTGAAGAGTCTGCGAGGACTCTTGGCGGACGGAGAGAGGATAGCGTACCCCATCCCCGAGGTGGATCACCTGCGGGCGGTAGTCATACGGGCGAATGCATGGGTCGAGAAGGTCACTACCCTCGCTACACGCAAGGCGGGAGGGAGGAGGCGGAAGGGACAGCACGCATCGGACGAGGAGGAGGTCGATCGGTCGCCCGAGCATCTCGCCGCTCTCCTCTCCGAGGCGGACCGACTCGCATTCGATGCGCCGGAAGTGCTTCATCTCCGTCACATGCTGCACTCGATCAACTCCTTCCAGTCCGAAGCCAACTTCATCCTCTCTCGGCCCGCAGCGGAGCTCGACTATGAGCGGTGCCAGAGTACTCTCATCCTGGGCCAGGGACTACAAATCGACCTGCCGGAGATCGCCGAGGTAGAGCAGGTGGTCAAGCGGCTGGACTGGTACAGGAAGGTGGAGAATGAGGTGGACGATCGGACGATCCAGTACGACGACGTCGTCGCGCTGTTGAGCCAGGCAAGGGCGTGTGCTATCCCCGAGACGGAGCAGCTGGTCCAGGAGTTGGTGGAGAGGGAAAGGCGAGGGCGGATCTGGAAGTCTACCTCGGAGCAGCTCTTGGCGTCTCGGTCGATCCACCTCGCCGATGTCGAAGCCCTTATCGAAGGCCAGGAGTTGACGCCGACCAAGCTGGATACTATGCTTCAGCTGGAAACCATTCGGAAAACGGCGGTCAATTGGCAGACGTCGGCGCAAGCCTTTTTGGCGGGCAACGGGACTGCCACGGCGGCACTGCGTCTCTGCAAGAACGTCAAGGCCGCACAGGGTCCGATCGGGCGGGTGGTCATACCGGAAATGACCGACCTGCAGGCGGAGCTCGACTTCCACGCGGACTGGCTCAAGGCGCTCGCCGCTCTGGTCTCGGAACAGCCCAACAAGGTCACCCAGCAGCTCAACTGGATCCTCGGGGAGATCAAGGGCCACTTGGACCCATCCGACGACCTGCCCAATGACGCGCACGCCTGCTTCTGCCGGAATCCCGCGACGGCGGTCATGGTTACGTGTGAGACGTGCTTGGGGATCTACCACCCCAAGTGCCTCGACATCGCGCCCAAGAACGCCGCTATACCCGTCAAGTGTCCGATGTGCTTGCGGGGTACGTACGACGATCGGCCGTCCCTCAATAGCTTGGCCATGCTGAGCGACCCGTCCAAGTGGAACTTTATCCTCGTCCCCGCCGAGATGGCTACACTTCGGGCGATCCTCGAGAAGGGAGTCGAGTTCAGCAGACTGATTATCCCCCTCGTCTCACCCTACACCAACGGCTCGCCCGGTCCGGACCCAGCGCTCATCACCCATTGCGCACGCAAGCTCTTCACGCTCCCCATCGCCCTCGATGCCGTCAATACAAAGACGAACGAGAGAGTCGTCTTTGAGGACTGGCTCTTCAAGGGGATGCGGGAAGCTCGGCAGCCTCCGCCGGCGGCAGCGGCGAAGCGGTCAAATCGTCCTCGTCGTGCCAAGCTGGTATTGGCGGAAAGCAAGGAGAAGGAGTTTTCGTGCATCTGCGACTCTCCGCCGGTGGACCAGCTCCTTCAGGTCAGGTGTGGGCGGTGCGAGCAGGGATACCACCTGTCTTGTGTTCTCGCGCCGATTGAGTGCGCGAGCGTACAGCCGGTAGTGCAGGGAGCGGAGAAGGACAAGTCGAGCAGGGAGGATGGCAAGAAGACCTGGCGGTGCCCATGCTGTGCGGTCAAGGAGGGGAAGCTGTATCTGAAGAATGTCGAGTTGCGCGTGCAGGACGCAGGTGAGCTTTCTCAGATCTTGACAATGACCCCGATCTTGACTGACTAAGCAGCGCATGACGGTACCAATGTCTTCATCGACTATCGCCAGACCGTTGCCAGCTTTGTCGATCAACCCATCTACATCAAGCTTCCGCCCAACCGCTGCATCCTCCTCCACTGCACCGAATTCATACCCGCCATCAAACCCGATGTCAAGCCGGACGAGGCGAATGGGCAGGGCAAGCCGAATGGGGCGATCGAGGAGCTGGACGAGGAAGGTCGTCCGCGCAAGAAGACGCGAGTAGATGGCATGAATGGCGATGGGTCTCATGCGGGTTGGCGGGGAGACGGGGAGGACGGAAGAGTCGCTGCCAACGGGTATCACCCCATGACGCTCCCCAGCCACAGCCGACCAACTATCCCCCTCGAAGCCGCCCTGCAGGCCGTGCAGGCTCATCGACCGGTCGACGTGTACCGTCCAGCCCGTCGGAGTCCGTCGTCCGGCCCATTCTCTGCCCGCTCGCCATTGGTCCACAACAATCAGCCCCACACAGCCAGCCAATCCTGGGCTCCCTCGCCCCCTCCACCACAACATCAACCCTCGCCCATGGACTCGCCGAGGGGTTCCTCCAGACTCCAACCCTCTTCTTCCTTCACGTCCAACTTCCCGAGGTCCACCCCGACGGTCAGCTCCAGCTGGCGTCCTCCCTCGGCGGCGGCCTCGCAGTCGATGCCAAATGGCGGCTCAGCCGCACGGCTTGCGGTCTCTTCTTCCTCGGGCAGGCCAAGGTCCCCTATCGACCTCACTGCTAGTTCGCCCGCGGGCACGCCGGTCCTCCCAGTCCGGTCGGGCGATCTGTCCAGCGTTCGTCGGTAGGGGGGCCGGATTGAGAGCCCCTGATGGTGTCGGCGTTGTCACATGGAGGAGGAAGAGACAGTGGGATTGGGTCATAGGGGCTATGAAGCGTCAATTGTTGTACCTTTACTTTACAGTCATGCTAGGTGCTTCCAGCGCGGTGCTATGTTCATGTGTTTTACGCTGACCTTGCCTGACCTGACTGATTACATTGATACAGCACCACTTCATTCACATATGCACACTACTTCTCTCCCTCTTCACGCTTCAGGACAATGCCCAAAACGACCCTGCGGCTGACCCGATTGCGCTCATCCTCACCACCCAAATTCTTCGTCCACCAGGCTAGCGAATGCATCCGCATCCATCTCGTCGGCACCATAGTCTTCTTGCAAAACTAACGGTGCATCCGCCATCTCGCCGTCGCTCGGCGGGACATCTGGCTCCTCCATCTCATCAGCGCTCCCGACTTCAGAGAGCGAGGTGGGGCCCTCGTCTCCGAGAACGATAGGGTTGATACCAGAAATGTTTCCCGGCATCTGGTTCTCAGCGAGCCATTGCGTTGAACGGATAAGATTTGGCATGTCACTCAGCGTCCTGATGGTTGGCACCGCCATCGAGATCGTCTTTGAAGTGATCGCATCCGGCGGACACCCTTTGATCGCTCTGGTGTAACCCTGACTCAGCCATCTACCGTCGAGATCCATCTTGCAAATGAGAAGTCCCAGCTGATCCAGCGTAGAGCTCATGACTCGAAGATCCGAAGGGGAGCTCCTGTTCTGAGGACGTGCCGTGAGGTTGAGCTGGAGTCTCCCTTCCTGCGTTCCTTTTTTATATTCGACACTACTGAGAGTGACATTGAGATTGGTTTTCGTCTTTGAGCCCTGGATAACCTCCTCGGTCAGCTCTTGAAACGGTATCAGGATGATCGCTGCGTCTTCTTCGGAAAAGACTCTCGGAGTGAGAGTCACGTCCGGCATCGTCGCCATTTTGGACTTCCTCTCTAGCTGTCGGCAGCCTGAAAAGCAATACGCGTGCTGTATGGACTACTGCGGCCTGTGTGGGATTATTTGGAAGCTGCTTGGCCTGGAACTCTCCGATGACAGCTTCCGATGCGGTGTTCACTGTGGAGGGCATGTGATTCATCACCCATCGCACACGACGCAGGTCCGAACACTCGGTCCCCTCGAAAGACGAGCAGCGGAGTGCGCAATTGTCGGGCTCGCCGGGGAAGATTCTCCTTGGTTGCACTTTGAAGCCGAAGATCAGACTTTGGGGGGTGCATGAGATTGAGATTGGCTTGAGCTCGTGGGTCAGCGCGAGGGGAGAAGTGCGGATGAGGTCCTCAAAGACAGCGCGGACAGTCCACATTAGGGCAGCGTTCTCTTCATCGCTGTATTCGTCCACTGACTCTTCCACTGATGGCGGAGGAAATAGCGAGAGAGTTTCAGCCCTATCAGCGGATTCGAGCTGCAGTGTGAATTGTCGAGCGGGTCTGACGGGCCGATCGGTTGGGATAAGTGTCGTGCAGCTGCGCCTGAAATCTTCAGATAGCTTCGAGAAGTGACCGGTGTTCTTGACCAGCCGAGTGAAATGGGCGAACTCTGTTGGGGAGATTTCCTCGTCTTCACCGACCGCGTCCGGCTCGCTGGCCGCATTCGTGTGATAGAAGAAGCGGACCTCTGTTGGAGTCCGGTAGATGCGGCGCAGGACGAAATCTGTTGTCCCTGAACTCTGGGCTCGTTGTGCCAGTGCACTGAAGAGACTCAGGCATTGATCCTTGAGATCAGGGTCGATGTCGAGCGTTGGAGAAAATGCTGTGGTAGCGGTGTCCAACATGCCGAAGATACTGCTGCTCGCGTCTGGCGGAAGAAGGGCATAAGTAGCACAGGGACTGCCGCCTCTCAATATATCAAAGCGAAGAGGGGAAAGGCATCGTCTCGCCACTCCTATCGATGGATAGGCCATGTAGATCTACCTTTGACATGGATGATATCGAAAGGATGGCCGTATAGACGGAGTTTGATGATCAAGCGGGAAAGGCCGAGCGTGTCGCACGGTGGCAGCCTGGGCCTCAGGATGGCACATCGGCGGAGATTGTCAGGTGACTTGGAGCGAGAAGATCCCCATCCGCGATCCTTCGCTCTCGGCTGACGCATACTCACCGTTGATTACAAACACACCAGTCAAAATTGTTGTGGCATATTTGGCACCGCCACGCTGACAAGCTGAAACATGACGCACGGATTCTGGCTCTGCTTAGGGTTTGTTACGTAAACCTCCTGGTGAGCCCGGGGATGATCGCGCCGGCCGCGGGTCGCGATACGCGACTTGTAAACGACTTGCTTGTACCACTAATACTCACATAACGCTAGGCACATACGGTGCCTTCATAATCACTGGATCAAGCTCTGTCTTCACCATGGGTATCAAAGGCGAGCTACTCGTGGTCTCTCGGATCGCTGCTGTCAATGCTGACTCTGACAGGGCTGACGGCGCTTCTCTCGGAGCATGCTCCCCGGGCTATGAAGGAACACGAGATGAAGACGGTGGGTTACCGCTCAAAGCTGTGGAGTAAGAAGGCTATGCTGATGGTCATAGCTCTTTGGGCGGAAAGTCGCCATCGATGCTTCGATGTCGATATACCAGTTCTTGATCGCTGTCCGGCAGCAGGACGGACAGATGTTGATGAACGAAAGCGGAGACGTGACCAGGTGAGACTGCCCGTAGGCCTGCATCACATATCGAGCGCAGCTGATAGGCTACAGTCATCTCATGGGATTCTTCTACCGTACAATTCGGATGGTCGATCACGGAATAAAGCCATGCTATATCTTTGATGGGAAGCCACCAGAACTGAAAGGCGGAGTGGTCAGTCTCGCTCTGCTGCTGGTCATGAGGTGCTCGTGCTGATCTTGGTAGCTTGCGAAACGATTTGCTGGAAGGGAGAAGGCGAAAGAAGGCGAGGAGGAAGCGAGGGAAACGGGTGAGTGCTTCCCTCCCCCTACCGCTTCAGGTACTATTGGGCTGACGGTATCCAGGAACGGCCGAAGACATCGACAAGCTCGCAAGGCGGCAAGTCCGAGTGACGAAGGAACACAACGAGGAGTGCAAGAAGCTCTTGACGCTCATGGGGATCCCGGTGGTCACTGTAAGTGCTGGTTTCAGATCAGGGAGGAAGAGTCGCTGACGACCTAGGCTCCTGGAGAAGCAGAAGCGCAATGTGCCGAGCTCGCCAAGGGAGGAAGGGTGTACGCCGCCGGGTCCGAGGATATGGACACTCTCACGTTCAACTCGCCCATTCTCCTCCGACACCTCACTTTCAGCGAAGCGAAGAAGATGCCAATCAGTGAGATAAACCTGAGTGTGGCTCTCGAAGATCTGAAGATGAGCATGAGTCAGGTACGTTGGTCTCGTCGAAGCTTTTGGTATGTTACAGAAGCTGATCAGGCAGTTCATTGAGCTTTGCATTCTCCTCGGCTGCGACTACCTCGAACCCTGCAAGGGTATCGGACCCAAAACCGCGCTTAAGCTCATCCGGGAGCACGGCTCATTAGGCGAAGTCGTCAAATTCATTCGGGGCAAGATGGAGGAGAAGGCGAGCGAAAATGCGGCAGCTATTGCCCAGCAGTCGGATCACGAGACGGACGAGCACGAGTCAGAAGAAGGCGAGGGACCGGATCCGGTCGAAGGAGAAGGAAGCGCCAGCCAGAGTACACCTAAAAAGAAGAAGAAGGCGCCAGCAAAGAAGAAGGTGACGAGTGCGGGGATGCAAATACCGGAGTTCTGGCCATGGGAGGAGGCCAAGCAGCTGTTTATCACCCCGGATGTGCAAAAGTCGGAAGATCTTGAGGTGAGTTGTTGGAACGTGATCATGAGGGAGGGACTAGCTGATTTGGATAGTTGGAATGGAAAGCACCGGATGTGGATGGCTTGGTGCAGTTCTTGTGCAGAGATAAGGGCTTCAAGTGAGTGCACGCTTCCCCTCGATCGCGACTTTTGGCTGATGTCATCAGCGAGGACCGGGTCAGGGCAGGAGCGGCGAAACTGGCGAAGATGCTGGCGGCAAAGCAGCAGGGACGGCTGGACGGCTTCTTCTCAGTCAAGCCGAAAGACCCAGCTGCTGCTAGCTCGTCAGCGGCGAAGGGGAAAGGAGGGGCTAAGGCGGGGGACAAGCGGAAAGCGGATGATAAGAAGGGTGCACCAGCAAAGAAGGGAAAGAAGTAGAAGTATCACCGAGAGGTAGCCTGGGAGATCGGTCAAAATGGGCGAAGTAGCCAAACGGAGGTCAGCTCGACATACAGTATCATTTTAACCGTGGCGATGAGCTGCATCCGCTGCCGAGTCGACATTGACCATGCATTATGCGTATATACTTCTCCGTCCTTCTAGTACCGCCCCGCAGCCGCCTTCGCAGCCGTCATCCGCTCTCTTGTCCGCCTCGTCCGTTCATCCATGTCGGCAGCGTTTGCTCGAAGAAGATACGCCGATGCGAACCGCTCTACCTACCACAGGGTCAGCTCAATTTCTGTACTCAGAGCGAGAGCGCTTACCTCGGCCGCCGGGATCTGCTCCTTTGAAGTGGTCCACCTCTCCGCCAACACAGCTGCTTCCTCCGTGAAGAACATCTGATCGTCGCTCTGAGACATGTCAACATGATCCTTAATAGACACGACGCGTGCGCCCAACTTACCTCTTCGTAGAGGCTCATGACTGCTTCCCATAGATCCCGCAATGGTACACCACCATCCAACAGCGCCTCGCTCGCCCAGCCCGCAGAGCCCCTAATACCCGCAGCTTCGGCATAGACGACGGGCAACACCAGGTCTACGGCGGTCAGCTGGGCGAATCAACGAACCTTCAAGTACAGCTCACCTAATGGCGCAGCCTCAGATGGGAAGTATCGCCTCATCAACTCCCTGACCGCCTCTCCGACTTTCGCGTCCCTCCCTGGACCCCGCGCATCCGCCATCGCCGCGTGTTGGAGGAGCTGACGCCATACCGCCTCGCAGACATCGTCGATACGCGTATCGGCTGTTTTGAGGATAAGGAGGATTGGCTCGTATAGCCGATATGGCCGAGCGAAGCCTTGATACAACTGGCGCGTATCAGCCCTGTCCGGTGAGGGCAGCAACCAAACTCACCTCGTCGAGCCCGATCAACTCGCTATTGAGCCGGTCCAGGGCGTTCGACTTCTCCTCGTCGGTCATCTCTCCATGCACCTCGATCGCTCGCGCCACCTCCATCTGGACCTGCGCGACATCGATACGCTCCTGCAGACTCGAGGCGAACTCGACATCGTCAGACCCGACGGACGCCGCAGACTTGGCCGAGGTGAGGGATTGGGCGAGGTAGTAAGCGCGATCATTGAGGGGTAGAGAACTGAAAATGTTAGCCGAGCCGAACCGCCTTCAAGGGAAGGGCAAGACAGCTTACTTGTTCCGTGTGGCGAGCTCGAACAGCGCTTTTGCAGCAGCCAGATACTCCTCTCTGCGAGCGTAGTATTTCCACAGCAGATCGCGCCGCTCTTCGACTCCACTGCTGGTAATCTGGAGGTATTTCTCGATATACGGGGTGTCAAACTGCCTGATCAGCTACGCTCATTCTCCGTACCAGGGCAAATGTACCTCCAGGAGCTGCTCTGACAGATGGCGGGCAACATGCCAGTCGTACAAGTAAAAGTGGAACAGCTCATCATCGCTAGCGATGGCCAGTGCGTATGCTTCATCTCGCCTCTGGATGGTGGCCCCAGCTACTACTGTCAGCAGGGAATCCCGGGCCTGCAATTCTGAGCACCACTTACGATTACCGCCTGCAGTCGCCCGGTCAAGCGCCTCGTCGAAGAGCCCCAGAGCTTCAATGACACAGGCGTAGCACTCCATCCGTGCGGTATAGAGCGCTTTCCGAGGGTCTGAGGGGTGCTCGCCGTCTCGGACAAAGTCGGTCGCTCGGTCCTGCGGGTCCATCTCTGCTGCACATCGAAGGGGCAACTCGATTGAACCTGTATTATCAGCTCACGCCACTTCACTATATGCAATCAGCCAGGACGTACCGACGGTGAAGTCCAAGGAGCGATATCTCTTCGCCACATCCTGCAGCCTAGGGATCGAGACATTGCCGGCAGCCTTTGAGAATAGCCGGAGCGATTCATTCAGGTAATCTGTCCGCTCCGAGGGGTCTCGTGCGGATTCGGCTCGGCGAATGCTTTCTTCTGCTTTGTAGAGGACGACATCTCCGGGTTGGCAGAAGGAGCCGCATCGCTGCTGTAGGAGTTCGCTCAGTGTGTCGATCTGTATGTTGATCAGCTCGGTCCCTAGCCAGATCACAGGCGTGAACTCACACCTAGCTCTTGCCCGATCTGCTGCTCGATCAAAGCAGTGACCAGCTTCTTCGCGATATCGCGTCCGTCCGTAGAGGTAAGCAAGCCCTGGAAGGTCAGGCTACTGAGCGTGTTTTGGAGGTTCGGATCGCATCTACAGTTGGTCAGCTCTGCGTCACAGTCCTAGGACTACTGAACTGACTTTGCAACAATGTCTCCCAGCTTGTAGTCCGCCAAAAGTAGCACAAAGCTGATCGCCTCAATCGTTTGCGTGATGAGCACGCCCATCCCGTGCAGACTTAGCTCCTCCTGGTCCCACGCAATCCGGACGTCCCCTTCGGCCTGATGCCGCGGGAAAGGGTACTCGTCGATGTTCCCCCGCAGACCCTCGAGACGGGCCTGCACGTCCAGGAGGGTCTTTTGCGGGACGCCGAGTGTCTGGCGGCCAGGACCAGCAGGTGCGGTTACTCGGGAAGTCCAGATTGGGCGGAGGAAGCGGGAGAGGATGAGGGCGAGACCGTCGTGTCGAGCTGAGTAAATGATGGTACGCCCCGCGGAGGTGTCGCGTATTTCGGGTGCGCCGGAAGAGAGGAGGATGGTAGATATGGCTGAAGATAGGTCGGCACCCTTAAAGTCGGGAGAAGCACCGAGGAGGATACCCATCGCGGCGGTTTGGATATTACCAAAGCTGGACAGTCAGCTCAGCACTTCGGTCGCGATCAGTAGACAACTCAACCCACTTGTTCCGAGCAATAGTGATAGCCGTGTCCTTCTCTGTCTCGACCTCCGCACTCAGCATATCCACCGGCCTGGGCATAGTGGCCGAGAACAGCCCGCTCGTCGCCAAAATCAAGAACTGCCGCCCTTCGCTCGCCGCCTGCCGGGATAGTGGGTTGAGAGCAATCCCATCCCCCTTTCGCTGGGTATATGAGCAGAACGCCGGGCTGGTAGATGGAAGCTCCACAACTGTCCAGACTTGGCTCGGGATTGTGTCCTGGATAGACCACTCCTGGTAGCTTGGCGCGTCGAAGACTTGGTAGTTCTCGCGAGCGACAGATTGACGCCCGAAGTTGGGTACGATTGTCGTAAGATGCGTAGACGGAGTGGGACCGGAGTTGTCGTGTTGTATACCGAGGAGGGTGCCCGAGGAGTAGAAGGACTGAGAGGATAGGTTGAGAGATGCGAGGGGGGCAGGTCGGAATGCGAGAGGTTGGAAGGAGAAGGAGTAGGAGAAGTAGACGCGAGTACCTGGATCATCAGCTCATCATCTCGCACGAGCTACTACGGGAAGCACTCACCGTTTGCGCACACTGCAACAAGACAAGCCCTCCGACTTTCCTGCCCACCTATCGCCGCAATGAGAACCACCTCCGCCCCCTTGTGCGCCGGCGCCTGTCCCGCCAGGCCCCTCGCAATCACGTCGCTCTTCAGGCGCGTATATCTTCCCCTGCTAACCCAGCCGCTCCCGCTCACATCAAACATCTCAATCTCCCCCTTTGTATGCAGTGTGAACAGCCTATTCTGCTGCGCGTCCACCGTGAAGCTCTCAACGCCTTCCTTGGTGCTGGACGACAGTATCGACGGGACCCAGTTGGACAAAGCCCCGCTCGTCCGATTGTGCAGGTACACGCGGGTCGAAGAGCCGAAGAACCAGCCGCTCTCGGACGAGTATTCCAGCTCGTACACGTCCTTGTTCTGGCCGAGCATGAAGATCCGGCCGGAAGTGGTGCCAGAGATGGACAGCATGGGGGTGGGGGTGTCGACCGAGAGTTGGGTGGCATAGAGGTTGATTTCGCGGGGAGAGGTACGGTTGAGGCCGAGGAGGGTGGCCTTGGAGGAGGTGCAGATGATTAGGACATGGGTGATGTCGTCAACGAAGACATCTAAGTGTCAGCTCCTTGCAATGCAAACCGATCACCTTTTCGGGCCTTGACCAAGCCAACAGACTGTATAGTCTCCGCCTGCTCATCATACCTGCTAAAGTCGCGTCTGTTCAAGTCAGCGCTGCCTGATTAGCAAGGTAGAGACTTACCCGTCGGTGTAGTCCCATAGAAACAGTTTATTATCGACTGTGAACCAGGCCCGCTCAATCTCCTCGAAGAGACCCATTTTGGCCGTCAGGTGCTTGACTGACCAGGTCAGCTGGGTCCTCCACTTCATCCGGAGCTGATAAACTGACAATTGAGCTCCTGATGTAGCGCATCAGGCAGAGGAGTGGTCTTGCTCATTCTGAGCGGACGGAATGCGTTACTCGGGCTCGGTTGGGTATACGGCTCGCCCCCTGCTATCTCAGCATTTCTCCTTACAGGTCCCACTAAGAGACAAGCACCCACCTTGCACGCTGAGCATGTCCGACAGATCCGGGCTGATCTCCTCGTCCGCCCTCATCGCCCTCTCGACCTTCCCCCTCGCGCGTCCCAGTGGCCCGTATATCGGATCCTCACTCTTGTCCACACTCTCAAGCGGCTGAGGCATCAGAGACGTCGACGCGCTCGGCGCCGAGTATGGTGGTCTATACGCCGCCTGCACCTGATTCCCTCCTTGTCCCGACTGCTGAAGCTGCATCCCCTGCTGCGACGGGCCCTGTTGCGCCTGCTGCAGCTGGCCCCCCGCCATCTGCCCCGCCGGCTGATAGACCGATGGCACACCCGCGGGATTGGCGTACAATGCCCCGGCCTGACCCCCGCCGGCCCCGTATAGCTGATTCGCAGGTGGCTGGAATTGCTGGACTTGTTGATACTGCGGTTGCGCTGGCGGCTGATATAGCTGTATAGGCTGCGAGGGACCAGCAGGGGCGTAAGGCTGCATCGCTCCCGGTTGAGCTGGGTAGTATCCTAGCTGCTGTGGTTGTTGGCTTTGGGGGAGTTGAGGGTAGAGGTTCGGCTGAGGTTGGGAGCGAGAGAAGGACAGCATGTTGGGCAGCGTTCCGGTAGAGTGAGAAGCGCACCGCTGTGTTGCAGTAGGATTTAGCGGGACCTACAGTCCTCCTGCGCCCTCTTCAGAGCTGTACTGAGGTATAACAAGCGAGGCGGTGGACTGAAGGGCGATGTAAGGATGGCAAGAGACGTTTTGGCTCTGGATGCTTCATTTGGCTGGTGGAAATTTGATCCCGCCGAAGGTGTTGCTCTGGTGAAGGTGCTTGGAGATATGGAGATCGGGCCTGCTTAGCTTCTCGACCACATGACAGGGTCGGCTGGATGATCGCTACACAGTGCATGATGCGATGGCCCTGCTCATCGCATTACAAACATGAATTCCCGGTCAATACCGTTTCCTCCACCCGGCTCAAGCCTCAAAAGCCCTCGTCTCGCCCAGAACCGGCACCCCAAACTGCGCCTCCGTCACCCCAAGCGCCTCCCTCGCGGCCTTGAGCAGCTTGGGCGGCTCATCGACTGCCTCCCAGGCCATATGCCATGTCCCCCAGTGGATGCCAAGCGCAGTCTTTGCTTTCTGCCACCGTCAGCCTAGGTCCCGCAATGGATACCAAGAGAGAGAACTCACGACTTCCTGGAATATCCTGACTGATTCGATCGGACTACAGTGCACGCTGCTGAGGAACCAGCGGGGCTCGTATGCGCCAATAGGTATCAGGCCGAGCGAGAATGGGCCGAGACGCTCGCCGATCTGCTTGAATGCGGGGCAGTGGGGCAGGTCGGCGTTAGCTGAGGGGTCGTGCGATTCGGACTCAGTGTGACGATAGCCTGTATCTCCGCCGAACCAGAGCTAAGATGTCAGACACATGTACGCTGGTGCAGCCAAAGGAAGACATACGTTGTAAGCTGGCTTGGCAGGATCCGAGGGGACCGATTTGATGGCGTAGCTTGTCCATAATGCTTTGGCCGTGTCGAATGCACCTCTCTTCGACATGTGCTGAGCCGGAGCTACATTTCAGCACAGGATCCCCATCCTCTTCTTCAGCTGACACTTACTGCACGTGACCTTGACCTTGCCCTTACCCTCCACCGTGATCTCCCGCTCTTCCCACCAGTCCATCTCGACGACCCTGTTCCTTGGGATGATGCTCGGCAGGCTGTCCGTACCGTTCAGCCCCACACAAAGGACAGGTGGACGATGTGAGAACCGCTTGTAGATCGCAGTAAGGGTGTTGGTATCTTGGTGGTCGTAGTGATTGTGCGAAAGACACAAAATATCGATTTCGGGGATCTCGTCGACCGTAGCTGGCGCATCTATTTGTCAGCTCTAATTGTTGCTCCTTCGCTCCGGCAGCGGCTTACCTTGATACCTTATAGACCCGGCAAATTGGACAGGACTACACCGCTTGCTCCACGCAGGATCAAACAGGATCGTCACTCCCCTTCCCTCGTCCTTTGTTGACTTCTCCGATGTCGGGGCGGGTCCGTCCCGTGGCATCTCGACCAGATAAGATGCGTGACCCATCCACGTCGCCTTCATCTTGTCTGCGTTTTCTGGCTTGCCCCAGTCTGGCTTCGTACGCGGAACGAGCTCGTCCACCCTTGGCATATCACGAGCATCATTGACGGCGGTCCGCTTGTTCATCTGATCATCAGTGGAACTGCGCGGTGCGTCCGAAATGGTAAGCAGGACAACATACCCCGCGACCGAACTGAGTAGGTCAGCCATCTTTCTTCAACCCCGATAAATGAGATGACACGTACTGGGAACAGCTGGAACAAGTTCTAGCCTCGTCAGCTGATAGCTCCCTCTGCTTCACAGTCGCGACACACTCACCATATCCCTCCACGAGTCCCAGGGGTTCTTGAACGATCGAGGCTGATCATCTGCCCAGTGGTCGCCTTTGACGCGCTGAGCAGGCGCAGGGGACACATTGATTGACCGTCCAGCTGCAGGCGCCGACATTGCGCTGAAAGCTGACGATGTGGGGTGGTATGAGCGAGAAGCAGTGAAGTGAGTGGGATGAGCGCTTCTGAGTGATCTCAGAGCGAGACGGGGTACGGAGGATGAAGGGGAGGGGTGCATGGATCACCTGATGAGAGATGGAAGAACGTCTGAAGGAGTCTGACATTTGCGTGCCTCAAGAAGACCGAGATCGCCGATGGCCGAGGGACCAGCCGAACAAGGATGCCCGCGCTGACGTCCGCGGAGCATGACGGCGACCATTGCGGATGGCATGGCGAGGAGACCGGTGAGTATGGATTGGCTCGCTCAACAAGGGAAGATCTTAACGCTAGAGGCGACTGTGCAAGTGACATCGTTGATGGGAGACGCTCGGCTCCGTCGAGGCGGAGGCGCCAAGCGAAGCGCGAAGAAGAGAGTCTTCCGAAACCCACCCGATTTGTAATGCATATGCATGTAACGACGAGATGATAGCCAGCACGAGCCAGCCCGGCTTGTCTTTACAGCTACAGCGCTCAAGCGATATGCGTACCATAAGATGAAGGACCCAAGAGGAAAGCAGAGCCATGACCCGTGGTTTGACACGTCGTAATTTCAAACTTACTTTTTGTTCGGCCGACTTCGCGTTCCTCATCGTACCATCCATCTATCTCCCATCTGCTTCTATCGCTTCTCATCCCCTTCACGCTATCAGGGCCCTCGTCAGCTCACGCCAGAGCCTTGCCCGTCTCGCACTCCATCAGAGCAAGCTGAAGTGCTGCTCACCCTCGATCTCCTTTACCTTCCCCCCCTTTACCACGCTCAGATCGCCCATCATGCCAGCCCCGATCGACCTCTTCATCCTCGCCCTCACCATCCTTCTCCCCCTCGCATGGTACTTCCGTGACTCGCTGCCTATCATTGGCGGGCGGTCAAAAGCGGGTGGAGCTGGATCGGGCGGTGCGGCCGGTATAGGGAAGAAGGGGGCGGTGGAAGAGGGTGATCCAAGAGATTTCGTAGGCAAGATGGAGCGAGGTGTGAGTGCTGTCACATTCTTCCATCAGGGATATGGAATATGTGCGGAGGGACTGAGCTGATGCTCTGCTTATCATCCCATCCCTCTATACGCCACTATCTTTTCGCTTGTTTGCCCATCGCTCGATCTCGCCGCCCATTCTCACACCTCGCGCTCTTACCTTACTCTCGCTCCCTCACATCTCCCCAACAGAAGAAGCGCTGTGCCATGTTCTACGGCTCTCAAACCGGTACTGCCGAGGAATATGCCCTGCGTCTCGCCAAAGAAGCCAAGACTCGCTTCGGTCTCTCCTCCCTCGTCTGCGACCCGGAGGAATACGACTTTGCCAACCTCGACACCGTACCCTCTGACTGCGCCATCTTCTTTTCGGTCGCCACATACGGCGAGGGAGAGCCAACGGACAATGCTCAGCCATTCATGGACTTCCTCATGGACCCCTCGGTCGAGTTCTCTATGGGCGGGAGCACGCTCGAGAACCTCCACTACGTCGTCTTCGGGCTCGGAAACAAGACATACGCGTACTACAACGAGGTCGCGCGGAAGATTGACAATCGTCTTGCCGAGCTCGGCGCGAAGCGGATCGGAGAGCGTGGAGAGGGGGACGACGACAAGTCGATGGAGGAGGATTATCTGGGATGGAAGGATTCGATGTGGGAGAAGTTCTCGGAGGTGTTGGGTGTGGAAGAGGGCGGAGCGGGCGATGTCGCAGACTTTGCAGTCACGGAGGTGACGACTCTGCCGGCGGAGAAGGTGTATCATGGGGAGTTGTCGCCAAGGGCGTTGCTCGCCACTGCTAGCGGCGCAAGCACCCCTATCGGGAGCTACGACGCCAAGAACCCTTACCCTGCACCGGTCCTCGCTTCCAAGGAGCTCTTCACGGTCGGCGGGGAGCGCAACTGTGTCCACATCGAATTCGACGTCACCGGGTCGGGCATGACATATCAGCACGGCGACCACGTCGGGGTCTGGCCGTCCAACCCGGATACGGAGGTCGATAGGATGCTCCATATCCTCGGACTGGCCAGCGACGAGCGGCGGCACGCTGTTGTGACTATCGAGTCACTGGACCCGGCGCTCGCAAAAGTCCCCTTCCCCACGCCTGCCACATACGACGCCATCTTTCGGCACTACCTTGACATCTCGGCGGTCGCTTCGCGGCAGACTCTGGCCTTCCTTGCGCGGTACGCCCCAACCGAGGAGGCACGGGAGAAGCTCACTCGGTGGGGTACCAACCGGGACGCGTACGTCGCAGAGGTGGACGGGCCATGTCTCAAGCTCGCGGAAGTACTGCAGGCGGCAGTGGGCGACTCGCTCGAACCTCCCTTCTCCAGCACCCCCTGGCCTATCCCCTTCGACCGAATGATCTCGGTCGTTCCTCGCTTACAACCCCGGTACTACTCCATCTCGTCCTCGTCCAAACTCCACCCCTCCACTATCCACGTAACGGCCGTCGTGCTCAAGTATCAAACCCCACCTTCCTCTGTGCTCAAGCACGAGCCCCGTTGGGTCTTTGGGCTATCGACCAACTTCATCCTCAATGTCTCGCGCGCGTCCTCGGGCGCCAATACTCCCGTGGAGGGCCAGGCGCAGTCCACATTGGGCGTACCGCAGAATGTCACCATGCACAAGACGCCACAGTACCGTCTGGCCGGGCCAAGGGGGCACTATGTGCGGGAGAACGTCTACCGGGTGCCTATCCATGTACGCCGGTCGACCTTCAGATTACCGACCAGCCCGAAGGTTCCAGTCATCATGATTGGCCCAGGAACTGTAAGCTGCTCCTCGTTCACTCGGAAAGGCACAAGCTGACTTTACAGGGTGTTGCCCCATTCCGCGGTTTCGTCCAAGAACGCGTCGCCCTCGCTCGTAAAGCCATCGAAAAAAATGGACCGGACGCACTTGCCGAGTGGGCGCCTATGTACCTCTTCTACGGATGCCGCAAGTCCAACGAGGATTTCCTGTACAAGGATGAATGGCCGACATATGAGCAGGAGCTCAAGGGGAAATTGAGGATGAAGGTGGCGTTCTCAAGGGAGGATCGGAATGCCGATGGAAGTGAGTCCTTACACATCCGCAAAGAGTATATGTAGGGTGAAAGCTGATCTTTCAAGGCAAAGTATATGTCCAAGATCTGTTGTGGAACGAGAGGGACGACCTTGCGCCTCTTATCCTCGAGAAACGGGCGTATGTGTACATCTGCGGAGACGCCAAGTCGATGGCCAAGTCGGTGGAGGAGAAGCTGGCGCGGATGTTGGGGGCGGCCAAGGGCGGGAGCGCAGAAGTGGAGGGTGCGAAGGAAGTCAAGCTGTTGAAGGACCGGAATGTGAGTTGACCGTTAGACTTCGGTAGGAATGACGAGCTGATCAGACAGCGCTTGCTTTCGGATGTGTGGAGCTAGATCTGACAGATGGGCCAGATAGCGGTGCATCTTCCCGCTGGGGGTTCACAATGCATAGAACGTGTGTCAGTTTTCAGACGCGCACAGGAGGCATGCCGACAAGCTGAAACAGGTCGCGCTCGATAAAGGATGTTCGACCTGATGCAAGGGGCGATCGAATGCTGATACCAATCGATCAATCCTGTATCTCGCTCGTCCTCCCTCGTTGCAGCAAGAACTACCGACACACACTCGTTTTGTACTAAGTACTGACCAGCCAAGCTGACAGCTCATCATGGATATCTCCCCATTGCCCACCGAGAGCTCGTAAGCTTTTCTGTCTCCTACCTTCCCTGCATCTTGGATATGTCTGCTGATGCGACAGCATGCTCACGCCCTTCCATCTGATCGTGCTCGCCTTCGCCTCGCTCTCGCTGCTTGTCTCGCAGCTGAACCTCCCTCCGGATCTGGAGGAGCTGGCAAGTATCTGGCGGCGCGTCACATCCCTTCTCGTAGTGTGAGTTCATCTTCTCTCGCACTCCTGCGCTATTGAGAGCGACGGGCCCAGGCGACGCTGACGCGTCCAGGGTCCTCCTCATGTACCATGTGGTGGTCAGCACGATCGCATCTCATCGGGACAAGATAGCCCGGCTGTCCAAGATCAAGAAGGGCAGGGGCGAGACTGAGCTGATCGCTGCTGGCAAAACACCGAAGCAGCCAAATGCATGGGCAAGTTCACTTTCAATTCGGGCGCTTAACAGGGCTCAAGCACACCCCTTCGTCTAGTGGCGGCGCTGACTGCCGTAGGAGAACGAGTCCTCCCATCCCTCCGCGTTTCTCACTACCAAAGATGCCAAACCGCGCCTCTGGGCGTTTCCGCTAGGGAAAGCAGGGGGCGAAGGGACAAAGGAGATGTGGTGGGAGGCGGGCAATGCCGCTCATGTGTACGTCTCTGGTACTTGGCGTGGTTGGGGCAAGTGACAGAGCTGATGCAGAGCTGATGCGCATCAGGGGCCACTTCAAACAGAGCGAGACGCCCGAGGCGAGGGAGGAGCTGCGACTGAAGATGGAGGCGAAGGAGGAGGCTAGGGCCAAGGCGGCCAAAAAGGCTTTGGAGGAGTTTGAGGAGAATCGCAAGAAGTGAGGTGACTAAGCTAGTCCGCCGAGCATACAACGCATTTGAGGGATTGCGCAAGACGTAAGCTGACATCTAAGGTGGTATAATCGTCTCGCCAAAGTCAAGGTTATCGGCGCTATTGTGGCTATCGGCCTAGGTCCGTCGCTCATAGTGGCTCCGGCACTCAAGCTGATGCAGTCAGTCCACAAGACTCTAGCGGCCATCTGCCTCGCTGGACTCATATACTGGCTGATTGCCACCCGCTTGGCTGACATGATGAAACCGCCAGATGAGCCCGAGCCCGAGATCTCGGCTGCGCGGAGGCGGAAAGTGCCCACTGTAAGTGCCTCTCGATATCCAGTTGGTATGCTGTCCGGTCGGACCTGAAGTGGATTGCTGATCAAGCAGGGACCCGGGATGGCCATGACATACCTCTTCGAGCCGACGGCGAATGGAGGCGTGGTCGAAGCTGGGACGATACCGGTCCAAGCCCCGAGTCATCGTTTGATGACGAGCATGGATAATCGCTACGCATCTTGAGATCCTCAGTAGATTATTCGATGCATGGTGATACTGACCGAACAAAGAAGGCTGCTAGCGCAGGCTGATCACTGGACCACCCCATGATACCCACCACATCACCGCCACACCTGCAGCGTGACAATGGTGACGTCATCAGGTCCTACTCCTCATTCCGCGGCCGCTCTGAAGGACAGTAATCAGTAATGACCCAAGTCTCAGTCTACCTTCCTTTCGAGCAAGTCAGTCAATAGGGTTTAGTCCTTGATCTTGCCTCGGCTGCCTCAATGACTCGTTTCAACCATAGACGCTCTTCTGGTCGCCGGAACCGGAAAGAACCTATCGCGATTTGGGTTTGGACGCGTCCCTACGCGTCCCCCACACAGAAGCTCATCCTTTCGGTCAGCAGCCCATGCCCGTGGCCACAGGAGCTACGACGAGCTCCTTGTGTCTTGAGGGCTCGTCCTACGTAGATGTTCTGACAGCGTGACGTGGAAAGCTGAAACAAGGTGGAGTGTATTTTAGGTTGAGTGACATTCTCCTTTTCGGCGCTGATGGGATGTCCGCTCTGACCGGACTTGCTCGGCTCATCAGAATTTCGCGCAGACCGCCATCACGTCGCGCGACGACTGACCTTCTCATTATATACTACAGTCACGTTATACCCAGCTCGATAACATAGAGACGCTGATCGTTACACTAGCCCGGAGCACGAGATCTCTCACCACGCCCTCACCGCCAACGACACGCTCATCACCATCCTTAGCTCCTCCCCACTTCACAGTCTTCAGCAATTTCCACCACAGCTGCGCACCGACCACTCAGCTGTATCACGACGCGTGTCGGCCCCTGAAACAACACCGCGGAGACGGAGATGGAGCGCTAGTTGTTCGGGTGCGCGAGAAAGGGTGAGTCCGGAAAGGGTCTGTGCGCAGCTATCGTCATCCTCTTCCTCCACTTTCCTTCTTCCTCACTCCACCCTCCCTACATTCTCTTATCCACACGTGAATTTCAGCTAATTCTTAGACATTACATACCCCTCGCTACACTTCCCTTCCCCCATCACAGACTGTCCTCGCACCCCTCCCTCTAACCCAGCACACAACGACTACCTCCCGTCAGATCCACCACCGCTGTCCAAAACCTAGCACCCACCTCTCCATCCGGCGCCATGTCGTTCATGGACTTCGACCTCCCCATTCCGCTCGAGATGCAGGCCGACTCGTTGGACATGTGGGGATGGCCCATGAAGACCGTCAAGATAGAAGTGAGGGAAGCTATTCAGCTGGGATACAAGTTCATGCCAAGGCGTGCTCCCATGATCTCTGGATTGAACGAAGTGAGTCGAGGCCTTTCCTCATCTCCTTCCTACAGCTCATTCCGCTTCCCCGTGGACGCTATGCATCTGAGACTTGTACGGCTGGGAATATGAGTATCGCGGCTGACGCGATGCAGACCGGTCCGACCCCTCCTTCCTCTCTGCCTCCTCATCCGCTCATGACCGTCTCGTCCACCTTCCAGACCGACCCTTCCCCACTCGAACACTACAACGGCGGCCTCCCAATCCTCGACCTCTCGTACAACCCGCTTCCTCCGGTCCAAGAGGACGTCGAGCTCGAAGGCGAGGTACCGGATATCTGGGTCAACTCTCAGACGTCCGTCGCTGAGCAGGCTTCTTCGACTACTCCTGACTTTATCCCACTCGTTCATCCCAAAGCCACCGTATTCACTCCCCCAGCACCCAAGCCCTTCTGCCTAGCCCGCCTGGACAAAGGCCTGGTTGAGCCGGAAGAGCAGTCTCCGCCCGCTCTCGAGCCCGACTCGGCCGATACTTCCTTCTCCACCCTCGGACCTCAGACTCCTTCTTCTTCCCAAAGCTATACAATGGGCGATCTCGACGGAGCCGCATGCGAGATCCCCCGTCCGACACCTCCCTCTAACTCACCCTCTCCAACCCCAGTCCTGGCCGACCCTTTCCTTCCGTCGACCAGCACGCCCGCAGTCGCTTCCCCTGCGCCGCATGTTGAGGCCGAGGATCAGACGAGCACCCTCGCCGTCGACGTGGAGGCGCAGTCGCCCCCGCTCGCCAAACGGATGAGTCCCAAGCCGGCATACATCGACTACAATCCCTCTCGCTCGGTCCGGCGGACAAAGAGTGGCACACACGACGCGTCGCCTGCACGAGCGCGTACTTTCCTGACGCAACGGATGGGCACGCCGTTCCCAGATCGAGATGCTCACCAATCTTCCTCCCCATCGCCCGCCATACGCGCTAATATCCCTCGGCGACGCGGCGCACCCAAATCGTCTTTGGACATTTTCGCTGAAATCGCTTCCTCGCGACAGCCTTCGGCCACGTCCGGCATGCCTAGTGAGAATGAAGAATCGGACTCGGAGGACGTCGAGAACGTCTTGAGGGTGGCCGAGGAGAAGGAGCCGGATGACGAGGTGGTCATGGGTGTGGATGATAAGCGGGGCATCATGGAGCAGTAAGCCAGTCTCCACTGATGAGCCTAGACCGCAGAGCTGATCCTGCAGACGCGCGCTGTCCCCTCGCTCGCCATTCCTCGAGCAGCTGTCAGTGATTATGAACCGAAGCGACGTCCGACCACCGGCTACTCCTGTCCCTATCTCCAAGCGCAGCCTGCGCTCATCGGGGCCACTCGCGCCAATCGACACCATCCCGCCGAGCGAGATACCTGGATCGGAACACATTAGTCCGGCCAAGACAGCCACTTCGGACGACACGACCGAGAGCGAGACTACGCCAGCGGAGGATAGCCGCCAGAAGAGGTACGATGAAAGGCAGGCAAAGCGGTCGAGGGACGCCGAGGAGGTCGAGCTCGAAGCAAAGCACACTGAATGTGATGAGGAGGGATTCACTCCGGTACGTCTGGTTCTCTTGGATTGTCCATGGATGAAGCTGATCAAGCAGGGTTCGGGTGGACCGCGGAAGGCGGCTAGCGCAAAGTTGAAGCAGCGCCTCATGGACGGCACCTCCACGTTTGACAGACTTTCCAGCGTTACCAGCTCCATCCGCGGCAGGCTTCCTTCCGTGGCGCGCCCCCTGCCGGCGGATACTATCTCATCGTTGTCGATCGTGCTGGACGAGGGAATGTCGGTTGGCGGGTCCAGCGCGACTTCGACGAGACTGGAGTCTATACCCGTAAGTTTATGATTTGACAATCTTGAAGAAGGGAGGGTGTCAGCTGACGTCTTCAGTCCGGCTCCCTTGTCTGCATCATGCAAGACACCCCAGCTCCCCCGGGCAAGGGCAAAACCAAGCCCAGCAATGCGCCCCCGCCGCGGCCGCTCAAGCTCCTCAAGAGCACTTCCAGCTTCATCGCTCCAAAGCCGATCAAGAAGGCTACGAACGAGCAGCCGCCATTGCCCTCTAAGCCAGACTACAGCGACCGATCCATGAGGAGCAACAAGAGGAAGCAGGGTGCGGATGCTGCTCATCCTATCGATGTCGAGGCAGAAGTGGCGCCGAAGCAGAAGAAGGTGAGTGTGTGTCGAGATGACGTTATATTCTCCAGCTGACTCCTCTAGCCTAAGCCGATGATCAAAACACCACTCGTGATCCGTACTCCGATCGAAGCTCTCAGCCAGCCCATCGACCAATACACCTCGATCGGAGAAGCCGCCAAGCTCCGGAGGGCCAGCAAAGAAGCCACTACATCTCGGTCGTCCACCGGCGGGTCATCCTCCGGCGTAGCTTCCGCTCCTGCCCTCGTCTCCAACTCGACAAGGAGCCACTCTTCCAAGGTCAATCCTAATCTTACCGCTCCCAAGAAGGTCGCTTCCAAGACCCGTCCAACGGTCCCCGCTTCCCCCATAACCCTGCCACCCGTTCCCACCGACTATGATGACGAACTGGATGCGGAAGGGGAGCCGGACGATGAGCTTGCCGGACCTATTCAAGAAGATGAGGCAGAGGAGGTACAGGAACAGGAGAGCGAGGGCAAAGAAAAGGCAGGGAGGGGTTACACTGCCGCAGAGGTAAGTTCTGTCCTCGTCTTGACTTGACTTCCAATTGATGGCTCGGAAGGGTATAGCTGACCCCATCAGAAACAAATTCTGCTGGCTAGCTGGGATGGATTCTCGGCGCTAAACAAGTCGGTCCAAGAGGCAGCTGCGCGGGCCCTTGTCGATGCCGGTTTTGCCAAACGAAGCCCGAAGGCCCTCAGATGGTAGTGAGTTGCTCCAGCTCTACTGAATGATACGAGGCTTATGGTACGCAGCATGGCAAATACCATGAAGGAAGATTTCAAGAAGAAACACCAGGCTTCGCTTGCTCGGAAAGCGAAATCAGGACGAACGCGGAACTGAGGAAGCATCGTCTCCTCTCCGCGGTCACCTCACCAATACTCCGATGCGCAATCCAGCAGCGCCCAGTCCTTTCACGTTGTATACATCACCTGCGCCCCAACCCATCGATCCTGCTGTATTGTGCATTGCCCGGCTGCGCTCTGATCCCCTTTTACTGGTTTCTCAAAATATAGATGAGCTGTAGGCAGAGTCCGCTTTCGGCTCCTGTATGATATTATGCGGTTCATATGTATGCCTTTCGTGATTCAAACCAGATTATTCAGTCCAGCATCCACCATCATCGTTGCTCAGCTGAAGGTAGCCTGTTGAAGTCATTTTCTCCTCCTCAGCTGCAGGGAGACGGTGATCTCTGCTGGATCTGCGTTTCCGAGCGAGCAGGCGACCAGACCTTGGAGTGCGCATACAAGCTCGAGACCGAAAGCCCCTGCCGACGCGAGCTAAGCGAAGGGCCAGAGTCTGTGTCAGTCTAGCAAGCGAGGTGAACCAAAGGAGCGCTCATCACGCCATTCGATGGCACGTTGGGTTGGGCCGTCCGGGAGGCTTGATGATCCCCTTTTATCTGCAGCTCCGATGGCTGAGCATCGCACCCCTACCTCCTCAGCTAGCCAATCCTCCTCTTCCCCCCTTTTCCCACTCGTTTATTCTGTAGTCCAGTCGTCTGCTGAACATACAATCCCTCATAATCATTGCACGCAGTACTGATCATCCGATGGAGGACTCCACGTCAACCCTGCCCATCCACACCAAGTCTGCAGTGTCGGTGGCCAAAGCAAGCGATTTCGTTCAGCCTACGGACGAACCTTGGGACCTCGTCTCTCCCTCCAGCCACCAGAACACCACATTCGCCACTCTCCTGGCCTCCGCCGAGCTCGCACACGAGACCAGACTCCGAACTGACTCGGACGAGGTGAAAGCACTGCAGTCGAGCATCGAGAGTCAGATTGTCGAGCTGACAAGGTGGAAAGAGGCCCTTCGGGGTTGGGTGGCGACGTTGCAGAACCGACTGAGCACAGAGAAGGGTTCTCGGTGGAATACGATCGTCTGGGCCCATACGGCGAATCGGTTCGCGCAAAATGTCAATGCGCTCGCTGATATGGTTCATCTCAACTGGCCAACACAGTTGAGCGAGGAGCAGGCAAAGGTGACGCCGCGTAGAGACCACGATGAGGCGGAGTGCAAGATCGCAAACGATATGGTATCGGCTCTGGCGACTCTTGAGGCGCTGGAGGTTGTGTGGAAGGTGTTCGCTACACCGTCAGCGTAGGTCAGGCAGTCGGATTCTGCAGAACTCTTCCCCATGCACTTTACTTGTCTTACTCATATGTATGGTCGAGGTCCCTTGCGCATGAGAAAGGTCGTTCACGATGTCAGATGCATCATTAGGAAAATACGTCGTCAATCTACATGAGGGACCTTGTAATCTCCATCCCTCTCATCCTTCTTATCTTTATATTCAGCTCATCATGTATATCCATCCTCTCTTATCCTTCTTATCCATCTTCTCTTCTATGACTCCATACCCTTTCTCCCCCCTTACAACTCCTTCTTGGCGCTCTTGCTAGCCGCGGCAGACACGCTGCTGAGGCTGGCAGACTTGACGCTGGCAGCGGAAGACACGCTCGAGGCCGACTTGGAAGCGACGACCGAGAGGCTGGAGGCCGACTTGGACGCGACCGAGTAGGCGGACGAGAGCGACTTGCTTACGCTCGAAGCGGAGGCCGAGGCGACCGAGGCGGCAGAGACGGCCGAGGCGGACCACGACTTGCTAGCGGACGAAGCCGAAAGCGAGGCGGAGTGGGCGAAGACCGAGGCGGCCGACGAAGCCGAGGAGGCAAGCGACGAGGCGGAAGAGGAAGCGTACGAGGCGGCGGAGGTGGCCGACTTGGAAGCCGACGACGCAGCGCTGCTCAAGGAGGGGTTGGCGGACTTGGAGGCGGAGGAAGCAGCGACCGAGGCAGCGGACGAGAGCGAGCTCGAGATGGAGCTGGCAGCGACCGAAGCGACGGAAGAGGCAGAGGAGGCGGAAGACCTGATTGATCAGTTTTATCTAAAATTTGTAGTAAGCAAGACTTACTGAGCGCTAACGGAAGCGACCGACGCAGCAGAGGTAGCGCTGGCACCGGCGTACTGAGCGTACGATGAAGCGGAGCTGACAGCGGCGATGAGGGCAGACGAGGCGGAAGCCTTGGCCTTCTCGAAAGTCTCCTCGGGCGAAAGCTTGGCGGAGGTGAGAATCTGAATATCAGCGATTGCGATAGGCTCGTGTGGTAGGGTCACTTACGTCAAGGACGGAGCTCAGCTTCTCCTCGGCAAACTCTACACCGCTGGAGATGGTGTTGCGGATAGCAGCGAGGATCTGCTCAATCTTGTTGCCGGCCTGGACGTAGTGGACTGTCTGTCAGCTTGACTTTAAGAGTTCACGTAGGCAGTACTCACTTCGGACCTCGTGGAGAAGAGAAGGGCGGGTGGAGTACTTGGTGTCGTCGATGCCGTAGCTGCGGAGCTGGGCACGGAGCCTCGCATCGGGCCAGGCAAGGTAGGGGGCGGCAGTGGACTCCTTGTACTTCTTGGAGACCAGGTTGACAAGCTGGACGTCAGCTCGATACGGATTCTTCTGAACTCAAATAGCTCACCTCCTCGCGCTTGGCCTGGGCGTCAGACTTGAGGAAACCGTGCTGGACAAGGTAGTCGCGGATCTCAGAATCGTACCACGAGCTCCAGTAGGTGGACTTGGCGCGGGTGTAGTGCTCGTCCATCAGGGTGGCGTACTTCTCCTTCTTAAGGGCAGCAGCGTCAGTAGAACTGGCTATTAGCGCCGTGATTCAAGAAATGACTTACAGGATACCCTCAGAGATCAACCAGTCACGCATCTGGCTCTCGTTCCACTTGGAGTAGGCGGTGTCCTTAACGTCGAAGTAGTTGTGCTCCATCAGGCCGAGAAGCTTGTCGCGAGCGGTAGGCTCGGGGTGTACGATACCGTGCTCGACGAGCCACTCGTGGATGTTGGAGGTAGACCAGGCGTGGTAGATGGGGTCGGTGGCCTTGGAGTAAGCGACCCGGACGTTGTTGAGGAGCGCAGCGCGGCCGGTGGGAGCGGGGGTGGAAATGACATTGTTCTGCTCGAGCCAGGTGCGGAGCTGGTTGTCGTCCCATGAGGAGAAGACGTAGTCCTTGGTGTCGTCCAGGACCTTGGAGGCCTTGGCCGAGGCGTAGGCGGCCTGAGTGGAGATGGCGTTGTAGCCTGACGAGCCGGCAGATGAGATCGAGCTGGCAGCTGATCGGGCGGAGGCGGCGGCCTGGTCGGTGGGCTTGCCGTAAACGGCGGTGGAAGCGGCAGAAGCCCTATCTTGTCAGCTGAAACGAGGTGCTCACGTTCCGGATCTGACTTACTTCTGCTTGGCGAGAACAAGGAGCTGCTCCTTGGTGGAGTGAGGAGAAACGACGCCCTGCTCGAGCAAGTATTGCCTCAACTTGGACTCCTCCCAGCTATGACGTCAACTCCATCCGATCTTCACGAAAACTCGCTCAACTCACGTGTCCATGCCGACCTCGTAGTAGGCCTGAGCCCGGCCAGCGCCAGCAGCACCCCACTATGCTATCAGCCACAGGTCTCAGAGGTGAAGGAAAGGACTACTCACGGTAGCAGCGGCATCAGCGTAGTTGGCGACTTGAGCCTGAACTTCGGCAAGGGTTTCCGAGTTCTTGACCTTGACACCCTGCTCCTTGAGGAAGGCAACAGATTGGTCGAGCGACCAGTCCTCGTAGACGGCTGTTGGTGGCGAACAAGGTTAGCGAAGGGGATGAGAGGGAGGCGGAATTTGGGCAAGAAATAAGATGATGGAAACGCGATGAGCGCAGTAAGAAAGAGTAGCGTCAGCTTCTGCACCATATTTGATGAAGACTAAGGTAGATGTCGGCGAAGATACACTACTCACGCTTGTCTTTGCCGAACAACTTGGCTTCGCTCAATCCAACCACGATGGTTGCCCAAACGAGGGCGTTGCTGAACTTCATTTTTGCGATATGTCTCGCTGTGTAGGAATGGATGTAGTGTAGAGTGTTCTTTTATCTCTCTTGTATGGTATGAGAGAAGGAGAGATGAATGAAAAGTATGAAAGAGACAATGAAGATAGTTGACGGGGGAGGGAGGGCCTTTGACCTTTTTGGCTGATGATGCGCTCGTCCGCCCCCCTTCTCTCTAGCTCTGGCTCCGTTCCTGAGAATGAAAGACGTGGAGGAATTCCGATGACGTCAGTCACACAGGTGATGACACGGCGCGGACGACACGGATTAAAATCGATTAATCAATATTTGATTAAATGGGCCACCACAGGCCATCTTACCCTCAGCCGTTCTTTAACTTGATCCTACATCGGCTTATGCTCCTGACATCTTCCTGGGATACTGCTGAGGCGCTGAGGGGCCTGGAGACGGACCTCACGGGTGTCAAGCAACAGGCGTACGAATCAGATCTGCGGGGGGCCCGAGGCTAGCTTCAAACGCGCCGCTTTGCGCACGTGTTCGCAAAACATGAGGTGTCTAGAGCGATGAGATGATTCTCCACGGTAGCCAGCACCAAGGTCTGTATGGCATGCAGCAATGATCGATCGATGATGAACAGAAGACTCATCATACGCGTTACCAGACGTGACGTACACGAGATATCTTATCTCGGCGGTGCGTGACGGCAGCCTTTGCGCGTAGATGAAACGTGCTCATGGACGTTTGACATTTGATCTTGCACCTTACACCTTGTCCCCACACGAGCAAGCTGCGCATGAGCAGCCAGTAGTACTGCGTCCCCCACCAGTTCCACTGACCAGTCGTCAGCAGGCGTGACTACGGATACGACAACCAAAGATGAGGCTGCAACTAGAGCTGGCTGCCTTGGCGCACAACGCGACCGACAAGTGTGAGCCTTGTCCCCTTGCTTTCGCTTATCTGTGTCTCCTGGTCGGAGCTGCGCTGATCGATAAGATGGCAATCATGTCCACTCCGGAAAGCACGTGCACGTCTCACCCGACTCGCCGCTGTTCGGATGGTACATCGCCGTGGTCATTCTGCTAGTCCTGTCTGGAGGAGTCTTCTCGGGACTGACTCTCGGCCTCATGGGTCTGGACACGGTCAGTACACCTCGCAGCCGACTATAGCAATAGATATGAGGTAGCGTGGAGGCTGACAGACTCACAGGTCAATCTGCAAGTCCTCGGTCAAGCGGGGACGCCGGATGAACAGAGACAGGCACCTAAAGTTCTGCGCCTGATCCGGTCGGGCAGACATACGATGCTCGTGGTGCTACTTCTGGGTCAGTCTCCTTCATTATAGATCATGATTGCCTTCCTGTCGCACAGCTGAACCGTACAGGAAACACCCTAATCAATACCTCTCTCCCTATCTTCCTGGATGGCATGGTGAGGTTCCCCCTGGGTCGGATGTGGACGCGTACTGAGTCCAGATTGGGGGAGGCTGGATAGCTATCCTGGGCAGTACGGCTCTAGAAGTAAGCGCTCTCTTCGGGCTGCGAGTATGTGATGACGACCAAGCTGATGCATTCAGCTGATATTTGGAGGTATGTTTTCTATCAATCATAGCACGCAGGACCTTCAGCTGACTTGGCAGAGTGAGTCACTTCTCTCAGTACAGGCACAATATCAGCAGCTGACATGACAGGATAATACCGCAGTGTAAGCCTCGCATCTTGGATCGGCCCTCTTGGTCTCTTGTCCTCTGCTGATCGCATCAAGCGGTATGCAGCAAGTACGGACTAGCAATAGGAGCAACCTTCGCCCCGGTCGTCCAGGTCTTGGTGTACCTCATGTACCCCATAGCCAAGCCTATAGCCATGGTGATTGACTTCCGCTGTTCTCAGAATAGCCTCGGCTCAGAAGCTAACTCCCTAGATCCTCGACTACATGCTCGGCGCGCACGACGAGCCGACAACATATCGGAAAGCCGAGCTGAAGACCTTCGTCAGCCTCGGCGTGGAGGATATGCTCGGGGCGGACGAGGTGTCGCTCTTGGGTAGTGTATTGGAGTTCTCGGGCAAGACGGTGTCGGATATCATGGTATGCCATAGTGATGATTGCTGCAAAGGTCCTGCTGACCCGCAGACGCCCAGGGAGGATCTGTACTGTCTCAGTGCCGAGAAGATTGTCGTACGTCTCAAGCGACCTCGTCCATGAGATGGTAGGCTGACAATCAGGACGAGGAGCTTGTAGCAGAAGTGCATCATCACGAGACCTGCTTAGGGCGCTCGCTAATCCTGCAGATCCTACGGAAGGGGTATTCCCGGATACCGATCTTCGAGCCATCTTCCCCAAACGCCTTCATGTGAGCACTTCCTCATTTGCTGTTCCCTACGCTATATGGGCTGATATCGCTCAGAGGCTGCCTCACGATCCGCGCATTGGTCGAGTATGACCCTACCGACCTACAGCCGATCTCGACACTGGTCACTCAGGCATTACCGCAGTGTACCCCAGATCTGCCACTGCTGGAGGGTAAGCCTATCCCATCTCGAACATGGTGTAGTTGCTGACGCGTCTTAGCACTCACATAGTAAGCTGTCGTTCAACTTACGGCAGAGAGATACTTATGGACAGCTTCCAGACGGGGCGGAGTCATATACTGCTCATCAGCAACCAGCCTGGGCTGGACGAGGGTGCGATAGGGGTGGTCACGCTCGAGGATGTAGTCGAGGTCAGCTGTCTCATCTCGGCCGATGGTATACGAATGTATAAGAACTGACGCGGACAGGAACTGATAGGGAAGGAGATCATCGTGAGCTGAATCGAGACATTGATCAGTAAATCACGTGAAGCTGACCTGGCAGGACGAGAGCGATCAGTACATCGATGCACACAGGTGAGCTCCAAGACCGGACCTCAGTGATATTGTCAGCTGACAAGAGTAGTCGCGTACCTGTCGTCAGGCCAAAGCATCGTTCTACAAGGCAAGCTATCCGTCCCTCTGCATGTGCCACACTGACCGCACGGATGCAATTGCTGACGGTCCAGCGCGAGCGGTTTGAAGCGGATCTTTGAGGGCAGACTTGCGCGGAGAAGGGTCATTCTGGACAACAGGGAGGGAGGGTCGGGTGTAGGCAAGCTCATAGATCATCCCTCTGAGGTATAGTATAAGATGCAGCCCCTGATACGCGCTGCTACCCTCTGCGTGCGCGTAAGGGACGGAAGCAAAGCTGTCTGAGTCAGGTTCGGGTGGATAAATCCGGACGCCGACCCCGGATTTCCGGGGTGCCGTAATATGACCGGTCACTTGTCGGGGTTCGCTGGCCAGAGACAACTTTTTCGACTCCACTTGTCCCCGGACTCTTCCCTACTCGAGTATATATCCAACGTCTGCACCTACAGTACACCCTACAATCTATACTCCTACACCACATACATCCACAATGTGCCCCACACCCGACGAGACCAACGCCAACGGCAAGGAAGAGATGGTCGCTATCGACACTCAGCAACCCTCATTGCCCCCACCCCAGCAGACGCAGCCGAACGGGAAGGCTGAGAATGGACACTCGCACCCTCCCGCTGTCAAGTCCCACAAGGGCGTGTATGGGCGTGCGAGCGACTTTTTGAGCAACACCAGCAACTGGAAGGTGGGTCATTTGCATCGCGAAGAGGAGGGAAGAGGGGAGAAGCGGAAATTCGCAGATCAAGGGCTGATAGGCTAGATTATCGAGTCGACATTGAGAGAAGGAGAGCAATTCGCCAATGCCTTCTTCACCCTCGAGACCAAGATGAAGATTGCTAGGGCGTGAGTAGACCTTTTCTTCACTGTATCAACGGCTTGTGCTTGCGCGACCCTCCTCTCATCGTCCGCCAAGCCAGACAGCTGATAAGCCAGCCTTGACGACTTCGGAGTCGAATACATCGAGCTCACCTCCCCTGCCGCCTCGCCCGAATCGCGTGCCCACTGCGAGGCCATCTGCAAGATGGGTCTCAAGCGGACCAAGATCCTCACACACATCCGGTGTCACATGGACGACGCTAGGATTGCCGTTGAGACTGGTAAGTCTGGTTCCGGCGATACATAGAGGTCTGCTGGGGACGAGTGGAGTACAGGCAGGGAGCTCTGCTGGACGGGACGAGAGAATGCGGGGCTGAACGCGACATTGCACAGTGTGACGCATCAGCTCACCCACAGGTGTCGACGGTGTCGACGTCGTCATCGGCACATCCTCTTTCCTGAGGGAGCACTCCCACGGCAAGGACATGACCTGGATCACCAAGACGTGAGTCTGTCGTCATTCTGCCTTGGTCAAAGCTCATACATCAGCGCCATTGAGGTTATCGAATTCGTCAAGTCCAAGGGCATCGAGATCCGATTCTCCTCGGAAGACTCCTTCCGGTCCGAACTCGTCGACCTGCTCTCCATTTACCGTACCGTCGACAAGATCGGCGTCAACCGTGTCGGTGTTGCCGACACTGTCGGGTGCGCCGACCCGCGTCAGGTATACGACCTCGTCAGGACGCTGAGGGGTGTTGTCTCTTGCGATATTGAGACGCATTTCCACAATGACACTGGGTGTGGTGCGTATCTCATATCGCTGAGAACAGGAGGGATAAAGAGGATCCGAGCTGACTGATCAGCTATTGCCAACGCTTACGCTGCGCTCGAGGCCGGTGCCACACATATCGACACCTCAGTCGTGAGTTTAGCGTTCGAACTTGGCTTGGCGGGACATCGAGCTGACAGTACAGCTTGGTATCGGAGAGCGTAACGGTATCACCCCCCTTGGTGGCCTTATCGCCCGGATGATGGTCGCCGACCCGGAATACGTCAAGTCTAAGTACAACCTCCACATGCTCCGTGAGATCGAAAACATCGTTGCGGAGGCCGTCGAAATCTCGGTGCCTTTGTAAGTTGACCTGATCGTGCGAGAGTGGGAACGGAAAGCTGACCTTCTAGCAACAACTACATCACCGGTTTCTGCGCCTTCACCCACAAGGCCGGTATCCACGCCAAGGCCATCCTTGCCAACCCCAGCACCTACGAGATTCTCAACCCCGCCGACTTCGGTATGACCCGATACGTCTCTATTGGGTGAGTACAGCCAGCGCATTTTGTGGTAGACTGGAGCTGATGGCAAGTCATCGATTGACCGGATGGAATGCCGTCAAGTCTCGTGTTGAGCAGCTCAACCTCCAGATGACCGATGAGCAGGTGAGCCACCTCCTCGCCCAGTCAAGGCTGAAACACTGCTGATACCTCCAGGTCAAGGACGCTACCGCCAAGATCAAGGAGCTTGCCGATGTCCGGACCCAATCGATGGACTCGGTCGACATGATTCTCCGGATCTACCACAATGCCGTCCAGTCCGGTGATCTCCAGGTCGGACAGTCGGCCAAGCTCGACTCGCTCTTGGAGAAGGTGAGCTTCCCACCTCGCCGTACTGACAATCGAATGGCACAAGCTGACAAGGTAGCACATGCCATCAAGGGATGTCTCGCCCACCCGGGATGGCGCGAACGGGACCCCGGCTAAGAAGCAGAAAACCGCCGCTTGAGCAGCTGGTTGGCACCATTGTGTACCCCAGTAGTTCATGTTGCATTATCAAAAGGAAGGGAGGAGCGGATTTGGCGGAGGGGGATCGGAGGGGATCTATCGGACTGGGGCGGGAAAGGGGAAGAGGCCCGCTTGTACAAATTGCATGATAGATATCCGTCTTGACCTTGCGAGAAAGAGAAGCGCTTTTCAACGCTGTCCCCACGCATATCCCACGCAGCCCATCACGCATCCGCACACGAAGTTGACCGCTGTATTGCTGAGCAGGTCCATACCAGGCCCAATCTGGATGATGGACCCCTCGACGTCCTTGCCTTTGGCGAGCCGCTTAGTCGAGTGATCGGTGAGGATGCGTTTCTCGGTTGTGGAGTACAGGGTCCGTTGAAAGAGCGCGCCGAGGAGCGAGTCAAGCTGGGCGATGTGAGCTCATGACCAGACCTGGGGTACAGCTTCATGTTTCAAGAAGCTCACCAGACTACCCGCAAGACCAGCCAGCGTCCCAAAAAGCAACATCTCGCCTGCCCATCCGAGATTCTCCGGAGATCCCGGGTCCTCAATCAATAGATCCGCAATCATGGTAAGCGCCATGATTGCTCCGCCTGCCACCGATGCTCCTAGGCCTAGCAGAGAGACACCGCCGTTCGTCCCTGGTGGTACTGTCTTGCCGGATAGGATGAAGAAGGGAGGAGAGGAGGAAAGGATGCCGAGTTCGGATGCGAGGGTGTCGGCGAGGCAGGTGGAGAAGTGGCTTTCATGGTCAGCTAGGATGAACAGCCTTGATAGGGAAGGAGGAAGGACGCGTACCCTAAGGCCATGTATATCAATGGACGAGCTGATACGTTGAGTGGCAGTAAATCAAAGAAGGACGATTCCTAGCTCCAGTCAGCTCGACCACCTCGAAGATAGCGAAGAGTGAGCGGTTCACCTACCGGGCTTGCCACGTAGCCTCGGTAGAGCAAAGCAGCTAGTAACGATGGGAGGGATGATGACAGGACCTGGAACATCAGCGATACTTCTAATGTGACTTGATGAAGTCGACGCGAGCTGACCTGTAAAGCATCTCGGTTGCCGCCGGGTTTGGCTGGGTCGGGGCCATCCTCCAACCTTGCCTTCACGTCTGCCTTCACCTGTATCGGATCAGCTTCGGGCGCCTCTCACGAATGATGACAAGGACATGGCTGAAGGAGGGTCTCACCTTCGTCGCTCTCGACCCCACCAGGTAGAATACAATCATCGTCACCCCAAACACCTTCAGAGGATTTGCGAGGTGCCCATATCCCACTACCCACGCCGCGATAGCGCCCGAGCCAGACAGGGAACCTTTCCGATACCCGTGCAAGCTCAGTCCCGTAGCTATCAGGGCTGCTCCTGGATATAGCGACGGTACGAAGGCCATGTCTGTAATGAAAGGGAATGTATAGAGGTGATAGAAGCTGTTGAAGGAGTTGCTTACAGCTGTGTGGGCTCGGTGGGCGGACCTCCTCCACATTCCGCAGGGTTCGGCGATCGCCGTAAGCGGGACTATTTCAACCTCTGGCTGCTTCGACAGCTCAGAAGGTGCTTCAAAATACTGATCTGTTGTTCTATATCTCACACTCCCTATACAGCTCCAGCACCGCCTTACTAAAGACTGCAGAGCACGCTTAGACGTCCGCTCAGGAGATACGGGTAAAATAATCGCCGAAAACAGCCGCAGAATAAGCGGACAACCTCGCCTTTATCACTTCTTTCACCATGTCCTCCCACCCCGAACTCGAGAAGGACCCGTTCTATCTGAGATACTAGTATGTCTGGATACCACATACTGGCATTAGGGCGGATCCGGGCGTCTGCCTGGTTCTGGTCGTGTGAGGGACAATAAGCTGACTGGAGGTAGTACAGGACACCAGGGACAGCACGGGCACGAATTCCTTGAATTCGAATACCAACATGGTGGGTTCGCCAGCTATCCTACAGGCATCAGCATATGATCATCAAGGCGTGCTGTACTGATGTGCGTAGGTCTAATCAGATATGCCAACAACTCAAACTACCGGAATGACAACTTGATCAGAAAAGAGAGTGAGCTACCTCCCTCCTAGTGACCGTGGAGGGCGAGGATGACGGAGCTGACTAGACAGTGCATGTCTCACCAGCAGTGGTGGATGAACTGAAGCGGATCATCCAAGAGAGCGAGATTGTCAAGTCAGTGCATACGCTAGCAGTCATTGTGGCGTGGGATTTGGGCTGACGAGAATAGGGAGGATGACAAGGCGTGGCCAAAGAAGAACGTCGGGGGACGGCAAGAGCTGGAAGTGCGGATAGAGCGAGATCATATCTCTTTCGAGGTGAGCTTACAGTGCTCCCTTATCTATAATACTAGGAGGAAAGCTCACACCTGTAGACCGCAAAGATTGGAAGTCTGGCAGACGTGAATGAGAGTCAAGATGCGGATGGGCTGAGAGTGTTCTACTATCTGGTGCAGGATCTCAAGGTAAGCTGTTGGAGCTCCCGCGATGGCGAGGACTCGACAGCTGACGATTCAGTGCTTCATCTTCTCCCTGATTACGCTTCACTTCAAGATCAAGCCGAGTAAGCTTCAGCCGCGATTGGGTAGGTCTCGCATCGAGCTGACCACTATCAGTCCAAATATAAGAACTTCTTACCGCTGCGTGTATAGTATAGAACCCAAAAAGGCAGATCATGCAATGTACAGCTGGCCATGCGCGTAGACCACAGCCAGGAAGAAGCACAATTTTCCTACCGATAACGTGGAGAGCAAATCGTGCATGAACCGCTACACCCTCTCAGACACCTTGATAGCTACTCGGCACCCTGCTCCAATGATCGCACTGAGCAGGCTATGTCCCGGTGCCTTCTGCGCTCCCTCTTCCACTGCGGTATCCAGGTGCTCCAGCTCATCATCCCGGAACTCCTCCAGAACCCCCTTCAAAAGGGGTAATGATGGATGAGGTGCTACGCCTGATTTGGTCTCGAGAAGGGGCTTCAGCGATCTGATTTGGCTGTACAAGTCAGCTCCCAGCTCAGCGTGTGCCGATGGCCACCAAGGACAAAGGACAACTGACTCGTCATAATGCTCCCCAATGACAGTCTCAACCGCTTCCGTACACGCCATAGCCGCCTCCCTTCCCATAAGCGCCGTCACCGCCCCCAGACCAAATGCCATCCCCTGCCAGACTGGGTAGAGTATCGTCGGCCGCACACTATGCTGCGTCTGCACAAGCCGCATGGTCGCAAGATGATGCTTTTCGCTCTCCCACATTTCCTGCTTGGTCAGCTATCAGGCCGCCGTCATCAGGTGGGCAAAAGCTGACCTCGACCTGCTTGACCGTCTTACTATCCCCCCGCATCGCACTCCCCCACTTCTGTCCCCTATATATCCAATTCGCACCCAGTTCGCCCGCCTGATCGACCCTCACGATCCGCGCAATGAGCTCCTTCTCCTCCGGAGAGAGGTTGGTGGGTGAGGTCGCGGTCGCTCGGGTATCTTCTGCTGGCTTGACTTGAGTATCTGCGGCGGAGGGGATGGGAGGGATGTAGGCGTGTGATGGACGCGGGGCGGAGGCGGAGGCGGATGAGTGGGAGCGGTAGGCCGGGAGAAGGAGGGAGGGGCGCGCGAGAAGGCGGGACGGGCCAGCGAGGGTGTTGCGGGAGATAAGTTGCATCTGATGGTATTGTGACCCAGTGGGGTGCGGTATTGGGGGTGGGGTAGCTGTGTAGAGAGGTAAGGTACAACAGGCGAGAGAGCGATCTTGCTTCGACATCGATCGCAAGATCCGCATTCCTTAACGCACGGACTGCTCTGACAAGCGCTGCAGCTGGTGTGGCGCGTGAATGTGGCGAAATAAGGTTGGCTCCATGGGCTACAGGGCCATGTGGGTCGTTCCGGACTGGGATGCTGCGCCACTGACTTGATGTAGTGGGCGAGACGAGCTTAGCACGCTGCGTTCTAGGCTTTTGGGAACGCACTCCCTAAGCTCCCCCGCCACCGGGTGGCAAACTCGACGCAGTCGCCCCCGGCCCCGCCCGCAGGCCGCAGCTATCGCGACTTGTCAGCAGCACCTGCTTTGTGCCTTCCATAGTCCACAGATCTGATCGTCTCATTTAGCGCAACCTTTGTCATCCAGGCGCCACATCTCACGAGGACCTCCAGCTTATCGATATCAGTGAGCACGTGCTTGAAGCCTTCCATCCTAGTCCAGATTCCAGATCTCAGATCTAAAGACAAGTTGGTACTGGTGCCATCTACATCATCCTTTGCCGGCTCAGCCCCCATATGGTAAGGCAATGGGGATCTGGCGCGGCCGTTTGGGTCTCCGCGATGGCGCCCGTTTTGGTCTTAAGTTCAACCTCGGCGTCTTTCAAGTCCTCATCGCCTCTTTTCCCTGCACAACACAGCTGTCAAGGGTTCAGCTTCGAAACGAGAAAACTACCCAACTCTGACCAAAGCACACATCGTACCCAAAGTATGTCCACGTACCAGTTCAATTTCACCGCAAAGCAGGTGGGAGGCCTTGAAGCCATCGAGAGAACCAAGCCCTTTCATCCCACGACCTACAGATGCGCTACCAGTATCGACCGCGATCGACGTGGCAAAGGCGTTGGCCTCTCGATCGATGCGATACTTTCCAATGACGAGATCGCTGCGAGAGAGCAAGAAGCTTCTGAAAGACGCGAAGTGCACCTCAAGGCTTTCTCCCAAATGCTGCTCTCCCTGACCGAAATGCGAGAGAGACGGCTTGCAACCGTCAGTCACGCTGAGTAAATCCTTTGCGTCCCTCCACAGCAAGGCCAGTTCCCAGCGCTGATGTCTGAGTTACCATGAGATGATGACGGGACTCACCCTGGATCTGCTTGACATGGTGTCCATTCTCGCCGATCAGGCCAGGAGCGGCGATGCCCATACCGACGACTTCGACTGCGCTGAGGATACGATGAAGCTTCTCCATAACATCGCCGATACCAAAGTCACACACCGATCGGTCGATGGCAACAGGGCTGTGTCCTCGGTGAGACCGAAGAATGAAAACTTCTACGGCCTGGCGGAAGCTCACCGCGACGACCCACAAGTGGCCTTCGAACAGCTGGTCACGCAGTGGGAGAGGGTGGATGAGCTAGCGTCGCATCTGAGCGCCGCTTCTTCGAAGAGAAGCAGTGGACACACCCAGTGGCTGATCAAGGATACGATGGATGGTCTTCAGAGCTATGCCGCGCGGACTTCAGCCGAGGTCGAGAGCTGCCGCTCCAAGGCCCGGAGTCCCCGGCGCAGACTCATCACGAAGGTCGCGGGGGGTCTCAAGGGTCTCACTCGACGCAAAGATCCCAGCGAGGCTGACAGATCTGGCCCGAGTGGGGATTGCAAGGGCAAGGGCAGGGCCGCCATTCCGTGATTGTTGTATGGCTATCCTCCTTCCAGATATGCAAGCATGCTAGATACAAATCTCCCGCGGCGCAGAGTGTAGAGTAAGGCTGTGAGTCTTGGATCTCCGACAGCTTGCCCCCCCCTATTGGCGACACTGCAGTGTAAGATAGCTCGGTGAGACCCAAGAACGAAGGGTTCCACAACCTGATGGAAGCTCACCGCGGGGACTCTCAAGCTGGCTTTGAGCGGCTGATCACATCACCCTTCTACTTCTCTCCGTCCCCCTTCTCGCCCGCGCCACCTCCCCCTACACCCTCTCGCCCTCCATCTCCCGCCCCGCCGGCCCGTCCATTTTTTCGTCCCTGATCATCGGTATGGCCTTCGGACTTGCCATGCCCCAACCTAGCGCCACCGCCGGCTTCTCGCTTGATAGGCTCTGCCCCATCCTGGCTCATACCTGCCTCGCCGTTCTCCGAAAGGATGCGCATGACGGTCTGCAAGTCCTCGTTCATGTTGTCCGCATCAAAGTCGAAGGCGAGGCTTGGCTCCGGAACCGGCAGACGAGGGGAATTAAGGGATGGGTCGGAGGCGGCGATGGATAGTACCGTGCTCGCCCGGACGTGGCCGAGAACAGCCGAGGAGAGCGCGTCATGGGTGGACGAGGCTGCATTGGGGAGCGTCGCCGTACTGGCGTGCTTGGCGGTCTTCTTGCCGGGGGCCGAGGCGGAGGGGTTGGACGCAGTGGTCGGTCGAGAAGATCCGGGAGCGGAGGAAAGTGTCAGGCCCTGACGGGGGATCTGTTGCTCTCGCCATTCGTTGGTGCTCTGGGGATGCAAGTTCTGCTTGTTTGCCTCCGTCCATGACTTCATCCATTCCTACGATCAGCTGTCTGCTCATGAGAATAGGTGGCGCAACTAACGTGTCGACGGTACTGCCATCCGGATTGACGGCGATCAGCCCTTGCCCCTCGTTGGACGTTTGCTTGATATCGTCGCCGCAGCAGATGAGTGGGTGGCTAGAGTCAGAACTGCACTGGCGGTGGGACTCACCAGACCACCACCGAGTGGACAATTTGTTTAGCACACCAGGCATCCATCGCAGCCACCGTCTTCTCCTTTATGTTCCGCCGGAGGCTGTAGGGGGGAGCGAGTTCTGGTGTATGGAACAGGTGCTTGAGCAAGGGTCCATTCGGGTCCGCATCCTTGCCTTTCCCCAGGTAAGCCGATCCCTTTGCCTTGGCAAACATGGCCGCCTCCTCGTCCAAAACGACCTCGTTGGCGAAGAGCTGGAGGTTGTCGAAGCTGAGGGATGGAGGGGGAGTATCGGTTTGTTGGAGTGATGGGCGAAGTGTAAAAGGCGGAAGGGTCATCTCTCCACGGCTGCGGACATAGTGCTGATGGGAGCTTGCTACGTGAGGTTATGGTTAGATGAAGCTGACGTATATGGGAGATGTCTTGATGGACGGAGAGGTTGAGGGAAGGAAGTGAAGGAGGTTTTGAGTGATGCGTACATGCAGTTTTCGCACCTCTGACTCGCGTCTTCCCTACCGTTCTTCGACAGAGCTGCGCGCCGGGGGAAACTGTGCCGGAGGCCAGACCATAGAGTCTCTGCCGTCAGTATGTCATTTTTAGATGAGCATCAGAGCTATATGTCGGTGGTCTGTGGTGGATATAGAGCCAGAATCCATACAAGAGACCTCTGCGAACTCGATTTCGCTCGACGCTTATTAGCCATGCATGGGGTTATGGGTATGGGCCTGACAAGTTCGTCTGGGGCAAGGCTGTGTGTGAGACTGAGAGAAATCCATACTCGTATCTGGGGACGAAGGAGAATCAAAGAAAAGCCAAAAGTGGACAGTCCTTGTGATATAGAGGGAGATCACATATCGGCGCACCGACATCGCAAAGCAATCACGAGTCGTTACGCACTGCTAGTTGTGCCCATTCTCACAGCCATTAGCTACCCATCTCGGATAGAGCAGTCTCTTCGTTGCACACCGTACACAGATTATATTTCACTGCTGATCCCTCTCTCTATATGGCGACCACCAAGCAGGCCGCACACGAGCTGAAGTTCACCGCTGACAAGCACAACCGTTTACTGTCTTATGCTTCTACAGTGGTCTCAGACAAGGCGAAGGCCAGAATCGACTTCACTTCCATCGCAGCGGGCCTCGGGTCAGCCGACTCGTCGCAAAGCCTGCCACATTCGACGCCGCACGCCAAACCCCCGTGTGTTTCAGAGTGCATGTCGTGGCATTTATGACTGTCCTGATACCGTCACCGCTACCCACAACCACCAGCCAAAGCGAAATTGGCTCTCCTTCATCCTTCCAATGTGCGTCCAAGTCATGCCTACAAGTAGAGAGCGCAGCAGCTGACTCATTCAGTCTATGAGAATGATGACACCTCCTTGGTCGCAGTGCGTTGACGCGAGCCATCCTAAGCTTCTACGGAGGCGCGGGAAAGTTGCACGCTATTGAATGACATCTGCTGTCCGGCGACCACCCTCCTTGTTATAAAGGGACGGCTTACCGTATGGTCTGATCACCGAGTTGGAAGGGCGCCTCTTCTGTGATGTAGCTCTAGTTCATGATTAGCATGCATGGGATACAATCGATATGAAGCTCTTCTGGACCATGCTGCACTGGGCGGAACCAAATTAAGCTCATCCCGACCACCGCCGGTTGCAGGACCCGTTTTGCTCCTCCAACAGCACCTTGAATTCAGCTTTATTACCATCTATAGCTCACATATCATGTCGTCCATCCTCCGCTTCACCGTGCGTTGGCAGCAGAGAACGTTGAGAGAATTGCTGACTGGATTGCAGGCCCAGCGCGCAGCTCCTTCATTCTCCCGCTCGATCTCTCTTTCGGCCGTCGCGAGAAAAGGTTAGCTGCCCGCAACTCAGCCTCAACGCCTCATCACCGCCTAGAGGACTCCAGCTGATGATGACAGATCTCATTCAGGACCTGTATGTCTCCCAATTGAAGGCCTACAAGCCATCGCCGCAGGTACGTCGAATCTCAATCAGCCCTGCCACTCACCGCGGAATCACCTCCCTATTATTCAGGCAGGAGCATAAGCTGATACTCAAGGCTAAGGACGCCGCCGCATCTTCCGTCCGCTCGTACACCGCCCCTACCCCACCCAAGGCTCCCGCACTCCCGACCGACCTCGCCTCTGAGCTTGCCAAGTTTGACGCCGAGGAGCCCGTGATTGGCCAAAAGGCAGAGTCCAAGCCGGCCGCTGGCGCCGAGACTGGCGGTGATGGTGTGCAGGAGTACTTGAGCTTCTTGGAGCAGGACTTGCCCAAGGCGGACAAGCACCACTAGATGGATAGATGGGATAGAGCGGAAGGGAGATGAAGGGGGAAGGAGGAAAGGAGGAAAAAGATGTGACCATGCATCTGGTTCAGGGAGAGACATTGCGGTTTTGGGACCGACAAGAGGGTGCGCTCGAGGTTCGGTCCAGCGCCTTGACAATCGCTTGTTCTACTCATCATTGGGCTGGTGTAGGAGCCGCTTTACTGACGCGTAAGGCAAATACACGCTGAGGCAGTTTACATATTCCCGGGGCAGTGGACGTGTAGATGTTTTCGAGATAGAGCAAAAGCCAGGGCCGACAAATACCATCCTACACATGGGTTCACAAATAGATGCTGTATGATGTCTGGCCGTACGCCTGTCCCGCAGAGGACCTAGCTGCGAGATCTACTCCTCCTCGCCCTTTGCTTTGGCCTTTTCTCTTCTCTCCCTACCCTTTGCCCGGGCGTCCTCAACGGTCTTGTCTGTAGGATCAGTCTCGGTCCTCATTGACTAGCTGAGCGCAGAGTCATGCTCACCCATAGTCCCACTCTGACCCATCTCTTTGAACAGCTGGAATACCACAGGAAGCAGATTATTCTGCCTGAGGGTATTTTCGAGCTTGCCCCGCGCAGCTTTGGACTTTTCGTGCTCGAGCTGATCTGAGAGCTGGTACTTCTCCGCTGCAGGGGTCGCATCGTCATTAATTTGCCGAGTCAGCCGTGGGACGGCGGCTGATCTGATGGCGAGGAGATTGAACATGAGCTATTGTGTCAGCTCGTCTACAACCAAAGTCGTTGTTGGACTATCGCAGGAGTGGCACGGAGAGACAAACTAGGCTGGTAAGAAGTGTGAGCACTCACAGATCCAGCAGGGTAGGCCGCTATTCTCGCCTCAATCGTCTCCCGAGCCGTATCCACCCAATCATCCTCCACCGCCGCGTGCATGACAGGCGTCTTTCTCAGCCCATCCAGCTCATACAGCACGCCATGGATAGGGAGGTATGTGACGAAGTGGTAGGCGTCCTCCTTCTCGCGCTCGGGGAAGGCGGAGGGGTCCATGCTGAAGGGAGAGGATTTGGAGAAGGAGTTGTGGACCTCTCGGATTCGGTCCGAGGAGGAGAGGATGTGGCCGAGGCTAGTCGTCAGCTATCGTGCACAGCTGAAGAACGGAACGATCGTGGGGTGTGTGGCGGCGGTTCTAGACGCCTCCAAAGGCCAAGGGGTGGGAGGTAGAAGGAGAGCAGACAGAGACTCACTCCATGGACTCCATGCCCGCTCCGAAGTCGCGCAGGTTATCTAATTCGGCCTATGACTTCAGCGAGCTGCAAATCTGTAGGACGCGGGAGACATCCCCTCCAGCGGGACGAGAGACTTACGCCGAGCTCGATGGTCTCGCCCTCATACTCGGACTTCTGAGCGGGGATGTTCATTACCTGGCAATGTCAGCTTCGACCCCCATTGTCCCGGTCAAAGTAGCTATCCCCGACGTACAGCATTCATAGCAGCCAATGTACCGCAGCTGTTGTTAATGACCTGTACAACTGCATCAGCTCGCTCCACTGTCTAGTTTCCAGACGCTGGCGACCTACCTGGTTCGCGAACCAAACTCCACTTTCTAAAGGATCGACCTCGACCCCACTAGATCCTGATCCATCCCCATAGCCAACGTGCTTGAACAGGAAGATGAGTGCGTGGATAGGCTTTAATGTCTCCAGCGTTGACGCGTCGAGCGAGTATAGGTCATCCTGGCAGATCAGCTTGCCGGAGCAGAAGGTAACAACTTGGAAGGAGGTTGAGGCTGGATCATAACGTACCACCTGGAGACCCTTGACGCCGAGATCGCGCAGAAGCTGGGTGAACACCTGAGGATCGGACTCGGTCAGTGACCAGCCTGAGGGGTCGTCGGACATGTCTGCTGTGGTCGGTGGGGAGCTGTGGAGAGAAGAGCAAGTTGAAGGAAGATGGACGATGACGTGAGTGATTTTGGCTTTTGGCTTTTGGTCTGCAGTCATGCGAGCTGCAGATCTGACCTCTTGCAGGCCCAGTAGTCACTCTCCTCGTTGTTACATATATTATAGAGCAGGAAAGCTATGCCGACAGCAGGGTACAACAATTAGATTATATGGCCGATCCCTCCAGAGCCTCCTCGTGATCACAGCACCGCCACGTCTACCCCTACCTGGCAGCTGTCTGCTCCGCCGCCGCATTGTCTGCCTTCTCCTCCCTCTTTTCCCTCGTCTTTGTCCCCTTCCCTGGTAACAAGCCCGCCAGCGTCTCCTTTGGCTTCTCCATCGCCGCAATGCCCTTATCCGCCTTGCCTTGGAACGTTCCCACATTCTCAGCCCTATCCTCCAACTCCGACACATCCGAGCTGGATATACTGGACGCATCGCTCCCCTGCCCAATGACCATATGCTCCCCTTCCTTCTTCTTCACCTCCACCTGTTCCTCCTTGATCTTCTCCAGCTTTTTGTCGTCACACGCCATCGTGACGATCTGGAGCCCGACCAGATTCTTCTCGAGAAACTGTTGAAGGACGGGGAGGAGGGATTTCTCGGGCCGATACGTCCCGCTGTCATTGTCGATGATGAGCCCGTAGAACCGTGGCTCGGTCGGCGGCTTGTCCTTGTCCTCTTTGTCGCTCTTGACAGCATCCGGAGGATGAGTCTTTTGATCGGGATCACGAGCGGACTCGTTGGGATGTTCTAGCCGCCGCACAAGGAACTCGCCGCTCCAAGAGATGTACGCCTGGTCATCAGCCACATCCCGCACTGAAGGGGTAGACTTACGTGTACGTTCGAGTGCATGGTGTGCTTGCTCAACAGGTCGATCCCAAACTCCTTGCCCGTCTCCGTGAACCGGAACAGCCCGTCCAGCGTGATGACATAGGTAAATATCCGCCCGCCCAGATCATAATGTACCATGTCGAGGAACTGACTTGTCATTTCCTCGCAGGGCCCGTCGAACCGACCGTGTTTGGACGTAGGGGCAAAGTTGTAGATCCGCTCGTGCTGGTGATGTAACGCCTTGTGGAGCGCCCATCCGCTGATGCCTTTCCGCTTGAACATCCAACCGATGAATGGCTTGAACTCGACGAAGCGGTGGTAGAGCTCATTTGGAACCGGACCGCGGAGTTGGAACTCGTTCGATTGGAAACTGGGTATCAGCTCGAATCACTTCTTGACATCAGGCCAGACCCACTTTGTCTTCTCCACGCCAGCATCATCGTCATGTGCCTTTGTCCCCGCCAACTTCCCAATCATCGGCGAGAAATGCTTCCACCAGAAGCAGTTCATGGTGTACGCCTTCCCGACCTCCTCCTCCGTCTTCCCCAGCACCTCGATCGACACCGTCAACTTGACGTGCATGTTATCCCGCTTCGCCATACTCGTGCACCACCTCAAGCCATACGCCCGGACGCTCGCCCCCTTCGAGGTCATCTTGTACACCTGCTGGTCGAGCTTGAACCCGTCGTTCAGCTTGCCCGTCTGGATATACACCTTGCCGAGCTTATCATCGTGGTCCTCCGGGTCCTCGTCGTACAGGCGGGCCTTGAGCACGAAGCCCGAGGCTGGTACGCCCGCGACGGTCCAGGACGATTCCCATTTGGGCTCGGTGCTCTCGTAGACCGTGTGAGAGCGGTACCGTAATGGAGGGTCGGCGGAATGACGGCTAGGTAGACCGGTATCCATCTGCGCGAGGATGTAGGGGTCCGAGGAGCGTTTGCCAAAGTCCGAGACGGGGATGTTGTTGGCGCGGTGGAAGGTGACTTTGACAGTGTAGGTCGTACCAGGTGTCCGCTGGACGGGGGTCTTGTCCAGGCCTCCCGGAGGTTGCTTCTCGTTGTCGCTGCCCATGTTGAAGGAGGGTGTGGAGGAGAAGGGGTGGCGCGACTGAGATTTGTATGATGTGACAAAGGAGCGCAGCTAGTACTCAAGCTAAGAAGTTTCACCGCCTTTATGACAAGTCCGCCGCCGACTCGCCGTCGTTGACGATCCAGAAGATCCAAAGGACCAAAACTGACTGCAGAGATCAACAAATAGACTCGTGCCTGACGGACTCGGTTCGTCATCGATCTCACGTCACGTAAAGGCAGCTGATCCGGATGCATAAACCGGGTCAGAGTCATAAGCGAGACACTTCTTGCTTGACACCAGCTGAGCCCTGCTGAGCCGTAGATGTCCCAAGCGAGATGTCCACCGAATTCGTCAGGACTCCGCGCCTCCTCTATCCCGGCCGAGGTTTCGCTCATGCTACAACGCATACATAGCACGCGAGGCCATGGAAGCGAGCGGAAGGAATCGATATCGAGCCTTATCTCGCCCGCGTGTCGGCAAGTGATCCCGAAATCCGTACGAGATGCAACTGCAGGACTACGGGTATGCTCACCTTGTACTCCTCATCTTCTCATATACCTGAGCAGCTTCTGCCGCCCATCACCAGGTCTCATTCGCAGACGCCACTGACATGCCAGATCTGACCGGTCAAGTCTGCGTGATTACCGGTGCCGCGGGCCGTACGTTCCCCCCAGGACTCGAATCACTGACCCTCCGCTGATCAGCAGGTATCGGTCGAGCATGTGTCGCGCGCTTCCTCGAGGCAGGAGCAAGAGTCATTGCTGTCGATATCGTTCAGGCAGATATCGAAGGTGTACCAGCCGGAGACTATGTCAAGATGGACCAAGGGAACCCATCGCATCTCTCCATCCTGACCCAGTGCCTTCAAGCATCCAAGTGAGTTGCTGTGTCACATTACCACAGCCTGCGCTGACTCTGGAAAGTACCAAACACATAGACGTGCTGGTCAATAATGGAGCAAGCGGGGGCAACCGTGCGCCATTCCACGAGAAGACCCTAGCGGAATACGACGAGGTGATGGAAACGAAGTAAGCCCCGCCCAGCTCGTGCAGCCTTATTGGTCAGCGGCTGACTGTCCAGTGTGAAAGGCCCTTTATTCCTATCTCAACTAGCCATCAGGATGCACCTGGCCCAGCCCGAAGCGGACCGACACGAGTTATCTATCGTCAACATCGCTTCGACCGCGGGACATCGCGCGACGGATCAGGCGTCTATATACTCAATGTCGAAACATGCGCTGATAGGGATGACGAAGAATGTGGCTGTGGAATATGCCGCTCTGGGCGTACGGTGTAACAGCGTCTCACCGGTATGTCCTCAGCGGAGACTCCAAGGATATGCTCGGCTGACAAACAGGGGATCATGAATGTCCCGAATGTCCAAGGATTCTCTTCAGATGTCAGTACTCCTCAAATCTTACACAGCACCTAGCTGTGCTGACTCTATCTAGCAACTGAAGGCAATGACGTCCAAAGTCCCGATGCAACGCGGGGGCAAGCCTTCGGAAGTGGCAAATGTGGTCTGCTTCCTAGCATCTGCTGAAGCCAGCTATATCACCGGTACAGACGTCCTCGGTAGGTGCCAATCTGCATTTTTTTCTCTTATTCATGGCCTCGTGAAGCTGATCAGGCAGTCACCGGAGGCTCTACGGCTTGAGATCGTCATCGGCGGAGCGTGCCAGTGTGGCCATGGGAGCGCTCGCCAACTCGCCTTCAAACAGCTTGTCCATCAAGTTGCTAATGGACCTTGCGCAGCTTCATAGCATCATTTTCATGACCGTGATATACTCCTTAGGAGCGGCATATGCAGCATCCTCAACGTCCCCCGCTGCAGAGCCGCCACACTGCCACTACTAGCCGCTGTAACTAATATTTACTGGCAGCCTTTACCTATATTTCTCCCGTTGCATTCCTGCTTGACCCAGCGGCGATGACCGCTTCTTCTTGCTTGCTTGGCTGGCTGAACGCTGAACGATGACCGCGTCAAAGGCGTTGAAGATTCCTTGTCCACAACAGGTCATACATAGCTCAGCCACCCACTCCCTCACCGACCTATACCAGTCTTTACTCGGACATATCAGCGACACCGCGCCCCTAACCCATCGAAACAGCCAAGCGGAACAGTAAAGATGGACGCGGCGCAATTACTCGCCAACACCCTCTCGGGCAGTGAGTTGGGATCCTTCCTTATGTGACCTCGTCCGGCGTACTGATAGCCAGACACGACGTTGATGCAAGAGGCGGCGAAGCAGCTTGAACAGGCGAGCAATGACAACTTTGTACGTCTTTTGGCCGAATTGAGGAATGGAGCTCGAGCTGACCCCAGTAGCACGGATACATGCATACCCTCGCTCATGAGATGGCGAATGAGCAACAGCAGCCTCAAGTTCGATTCGCAGCTGCCCTGCAGTTCAAGAATGCCCTTGCCGCACGAGTAAGCTTGATTCGTCCCGCTCGTCGTACAGAAAGCTAATCCTCCAGGATGTCGTCAACCAACAAGGCCTTTCAGACCGCTGGCTCTCTCTCCCTGAAGAAGCCACCATGCCCCTCAAACAGTCCATCCTTGCCACCCTCAGCTCGACCGCTCCGCAAGTCGGACCCGGTGCGGCTCAGTGTGTCTCGGCGGTCGCAGCGGTGGAATTGCCAAAGGGGAGATGGCAGGATTTGATCCCTCAGTTGATCCAGTTTGCGCAAAATCAGGAGAATACGGCGTTGAGGGTGCACACGCTTCAGACTATTGGATATATCTGCGAAGTCATCGTGAGTCATATGGAGAAGGAGGTGGGGCTTGGCTGACTGGCAGGACCCCGAAATCGTTGCGGCCCGATCAAACGAGATCCTTACTGCTGTGGTTCAGGGCGCGCGGAAGGAGGAGACCAACCGGGATGTCCAGATGGCAGCGATGAGCGCGCTGTACAACTCGCTAGAGTTCATCAGGGATAACTTCGAGCGCGAGGTGAGCTATTCGGGAGGAATTAAAGGCAGAGCTGACAATCAGGGCGAGCGGAATTACATCATGCAGGTGGTCTGCGAAGCCACCCAGAGTCCGTCCGATAAGATCCAGGTCCACGCTTTCGAGTGTCTCGTCAAGATTATGAGTCTGTACTATGAGAAGATGGAGTTCTACATGGAGCGGGCGTTGTTCGGGGTGAGTATTGTCGGCTGCATGCAGTACGAGAGCGTAGCTGACGACCAGCTTACTCTCAACGGGATGAGGTCTAACGACGAGATTGTCGCGCTGCAGGCCATTGAGTTCTGGAGCACGGTATGCGAAGAGGAGATCGAGCTCAGCATCGAGGCGCAGGAGGTGAGTATGGCTTGTGCGCCATGGTGATTGTAGCTAATGGCCAGGCGGCAGAATATGGAGACGCACCCTCGGCGGTATCCAAAAACTTCGCCAAGATGGCACTTGCCGAAATCCTCCCACAGCTCCTGCAGCTCCTTCTCCAGCAGGACGAGGACGCGGACGACGACGACTGGAACAAGGCGATGGCGGCGGGCGCGTGTTTGGAGCTGCTGGCAAGGGATGTTGGGGACGAGATCGTTGCGCAGGTTGTGCCATTCGTGGAGCAGGGGATCACGAGCACGGAGTGGAACAGGCGGGAAGCAGCGGTCATGGCGTTCGGCTCTATTCTGGACGGACCGGAACCAAGCGTCCTCGCACCACTCGTCACCCAGGCTCTCGGCGCGCTTATCAACATGCTCCAGAACGACTCGAGCGTCCAGGTCCGGGACACGGTCGCGTGGACACTGAGCAAAATCACCGAGGTGATGCTGGACGTCATCGACCCGGACGCGCACCTCGACGGGCTGATCACGGCTCTCGTGCTCGGTCTCAACGGCGCCCCGCGGATCGTCAACAGCTGTTGCTCGGCCCTCAGCAATATCATCGCTCAGCTCTCCCAGCCTCCAGACCTCCTCGGCGAGGACATCCCCACTTCCGCCATGTCGCGCTACTTTGCCGGCATTATCCAGGCCCTCGTCCCTATCTCTGCCAAATCTACCAACGAGTCCAACTCCCGGTCGGCGGCATACCAGACTATCGCCACTTTCGTCGCTTCGTCAGCAAACGACACGCTTAACGTCGTGCAGGGCATCACCACCGAGATGCTCGCGCGTCAAGAGCAGCTCCTGGCTCTGCACAACCAGCTGGTCGGTATCGACGACCGCAACAACTGGAACGACATGCAGGTCAACATCTGCGTCGTTCTTCAGAGCTGCATCCATAAATCCCCCGCCATGATAGCCCCCTTCGCCGACCGGATCATGACCAACCTCCTCTCCCTCATTTCCGCGGCAGGCAAGCACGCCGGTGTCCTCGAGGACGCCTTCGCGACCATCGGTGCGCTCGCCTCGGCCATGGAAATCGGGTTCAACAAGTACATGGAGGCGTTCAGCCCGTACATCTTCACCGCGCTTGCGTCGTTTGACGACTGGCAAGTCGCCCAGGCGGCCGTCTACGTCGCGAGCGATGTCGCGCGCGCGATCGGAGATCAGATCACACCGCATGCGGAACGTCTCATGGTCTCCCTCGTCGATATCCTTCGGAGTCCCGTCGTCCACCGCCAGGTCAAGCCAAACGCCATCACTACTATCGGCGAAATCGCGCTGGCCGTCGGGTCAGCATTCGGACCATACCTGGAGACCGTCATGGGTATTCTGAGCCAGGCTGGCGCAACTGCCGCGTCGAGCAATGACCCAGCGATGATGGAGTTTGTATGGACGATGCGGGAGGCGATCGTCGAGGCGTTCATTGGGATTCTGAACGGGTTGAAGTCTGCCGATCGTGAGTATCTCCTTGGATGAAAGTGGGCCTGGCTGACGATCCAGCTACACCATTCCAGCAATACGTACCAGGGATCATGGGCTTCCTGTCGACATGCATGGTCGACGAGGACCGCACGGACGCGTTCGTCACCTCGACACTGGGTCTCGTCGGCGACTTTGGGGATACATACAAGCGGGCGGTGAGGGACGATCTGATGCAGGAGTGGGTGCAGCAGGCGATTGCGTATGGACGGCAGAGGGGGTCGTCGAGAGCGGCCAAGAACAATGCTGCTTATGCGCAAAAGGTGAGCTACTCCCTTACCGACCCACTATATCCAGGACAGGAGCTGACGAAACAGGCTATCAAGGAGATCTCGAAGTGATAATACGACTACCTCTACCTTTCCCCATCCGCCCTCAGACCCTTCCCCGCGTCTTCCGCCCCCTCCTTCGACCCGGATAATAAACCGTGTACCACCACCCCTCACCTGTATAACGACCCCGCCAATGAATCCACATATCATCTCTAGGCCGCGCCCTGCCGTCCAAGGACCGCACCCGTCGCCTACGACCCCAACGACCCATAACCAAAAATCGCATAGACCGGTCCACCCACTCACCGGATCATCTCATCTCAGACCTTTTGATGCCTTTTCCTTTCTTTTCCACCTTCTTTTCACTTAGTTTTAGAGCCAGTGTCGGATACGTACCGAAGTCAGATGAGAGGATGAGGGGGAAATTTAGAAGTAGACGGACTTTGTATATCTGGCCAGGGCTGGATTGCGGGGTTCCCATTTTTTCTCTCAGTGCAGTGTAGTGTACTCGTAGCTTGGGGTAGATAAGTAGGTAGGTAGCGATGAGGAGGGGAGCATCAGTATGCAACCAGGATAGCAGAATTATCTGGAGCAAGTAAGCTGGTCAGTGGGGTGTCAGAGGAACGCAAGCAGCTTACTGATCCGTTGATGTCCATGCATATGCGACTCCCCCTCTACTGCCAGGCCCGTAGAGATGTGCCTCGCCTGGCCAGCTTGATGCGGCCATGCCCGTTCATTCGTCGTCCTCTTCGTCCTCCTCCTCCTCGTCCCCTTTACTGGCAGCTGCGGCGATAGCGCCCGCGCCCGAGTTCTTTTGATCGCGTCTCCTGGCTGATCAGCTCATGCACATCGACCGGTCAGATGCAGGAAGCTGGGCTGTTGGCAGACATACCGTTTGACATCCCACTGTAGATGGGTCAGCGCTCCTCCATTGCTGCAAGGTGCTCAGAGAAAGGGACGTACATTGTGCACCCGGGCAAAGTTGACTTCCATGACCGTCACTTGCTCCCTCAGCCACTCGAGATCCTCTATCGTCTCGCCTAATGATTTCTTGGCTGCGCCGAGCTTGCTCGATAAAAGGTCGGCGGCTTCTTGTAATGGGTAGAGCAGCATTGTACTTGCCTTAAAAAGTGGTCAGCTTACTCTGCTCTCTGTCAATGAGATCGAGTTGGAAGTTAGCTGGAAGGGGGATGAGACGGGTCAGAGGATCTCGGGATTTTGGAGCAGGCAACTCACGCCGAGCCATATCCCCACTTCTCCCGTCTCTATCACCTCCGCCTCGGCATACAGGGTATCATTCAGCTCAAACAGCGTCTTGAGCGGTTCCTCCTTCCCCTCCTTGTCCCCTGCGTCGTCATCCTCCAAATCATCCAGATCATCTCCGTCCTCATCACCCCCTTCCTCCTCAGTGATCGGCTGACCGAGCGCCTTTTGTCGTCTGCGCTGAAGAAACAGCACGACGCTGAGTGTCTGCTCGATATCGGGTATTTTAGTAGAGAGGGCCTTTTTACGCTGTTGTAGCGAGACTTCCATATACCGGTATTTACTACTTTGTCAGCTTGATTCTTGCCTACGGTACTAGATTGCCAGCTCACGCAGAAGTCTCCTGGAAGGACTTGATGATACCCTCCGCAGACCCGTTCTGGCCACTGACGAAATCATCGACGTTCGCCTAGAAGGATCAGCTATTCTCCCAAATCTGCCCAGGGTGGCTAGGTGACGCACGACGAATGGAGCTCTGGGGATGCCCCGCGGGTTCACCTCCATCTGCATCTTGTTGCCGCTGGATGAGGACGCGACGGTGGTCGACATGGTGGATGATGAAGCAAAGGTGGAATGAGGTGTGAAAGGGAAATTCTGAAACCTTCGAGCTTCGAGACGCGAAGCCGCCGAGTCCGAGCTCAAGCTCAATGTTCAGCCTGTACAGCCAGCTCTCCCCTGGTGTCCCTCACAGAGCTGATAACCCGCGACAGCGTGCCGCTCGACCAAGAGTTATAGCATGTTCTATCTACACAAGATCCCTAAAGACAGCCCACAACTAAAAGGTCCATACTATAGAAAAAGAAAAGGTAGTATCACGTCGATCGCCATCTGTACTGCTGACCACCGCTCCCTACTCTAGACGTTCGTAATCTTCAGCCCCTTCCTATCCTCCGTTGGCCGCGCCACGCTCCCCTCGCTACCAGAGCGGGGTCGGGTGGGCTGCTGCGGGTGCTCGTCGTACCCCGCATACGGGTCCTCCTGGTCCGCCGTGTAGTTGTACGCCTGGTTGGGGTCGAAATAGTACGGGCCGGGCTGTGGCTGCTGGTGTTGCATGGAAGTATGGTCGGTGGGGCTGGGGAGGGTATGGAATTGCTCGGGCTGGGCGCCGTAAGCATTGGGGTCATAGTGGTCGTACTGGTTGGCCGCGGCCGTCGCTCCGAATCCAGCGAGACCCGGACCAGCGGTGGACATCCGGTCGGCACCCGGCATGTTGGACGCGTAGTGATCGTATCCGCCTGTGGGGTCCACATAGTCATGGTACTGGCCCGCTGGCTGTGGCTCGCCGTGCAGGTCCGTCCCCGGTGTGGTCGCCGCATAGTAGCCGCCGTACTGCGTCATGGCGGGCGAGACGTCGTCGTCGTCAAATGCCGACCGGTGCAACGAGTTGGCAGCCGCTGCAGCTGCCGCAGCAGCGACGTCCCGGTCCAGACGCTGCCTCCTCCGCCGCCTGAGCATGAAGAGGACGAACGCCAAAACACCGGCAGTGACGAGAAGACCGACCGTGACGAATACACCCGCGACTGCGCCCGTGTTGTTGATGAAGCTGGGTTGCGAGCCGTTCCCGCTGCTGTTGTCGGTGACTCCGGGGTTCCGGACGATCTGAGTGACCGTCAAGACCTGTCCGTTTTGATCAGTTGTGACGCGGGCGGTGGTAATGAGGGCGGGGCGGGTAGTGATAACCGATCCCGAGGCATCTGTGCTAGTGATGACCACAGCCGAGGAGAGGGTGATGTCTGACGCGATGGACTGGGAGGCGGCATTGGAAGATGCCGCCGCGGATGATGCGGCTTGGGATGAGGAGGGAGGGGTAGTAGCGGCGGCACTGGAAATCAGCTCTACTCGTTTATGGACAAAGGATGAACATACGAGGAGGAAGCAGGGGTTGATGCCGAGGAGGCAGGGGCGCTACTCGACTGCTGTTGCTGCGAGCTTTGCTCCTGTTGGGAGGAGGATGCAGGCTGGCTGGAAGATTCCGGTGCGGCCGAGGACGATGTTGGCGCGGCCGAAGAAGAAGCAGGCGGGCGCTCAGTAGTCGGAGCCGCAGATGATGAAAGGGGAGGAGCAGCGCTCGAGGTAGGGGCCGCCGAGGGGGATGGCGACGGTTCCGGCCGGGTCGTTGCCGCAGCGGAGGTCGGTGCTTGGGTAGCGGCCGCCGAAGTGGGACTAGCAGCGGCGGCTGTATCGTCAAAGGGATTGAAATTGATAGTATCCATCGTGGAGAGAAGAGCTCAGTCAGCGTTGTTTCTCTGCGATAAGGATGGCTGCGTCCTCCTCCCCGATCATGACGAAATGACCCTTTCACAACTCCCATTCATCCCTCAATTCCACCTTGACAACAGGATGAGACGTTGACGAAATTCTGACCGAGACAACGACTCACAGCTCATGGTGAGATGTCTGCTACCGAGGTGGTGTCAAGCGATGAGACGCGGGATATTTCTTCTTGCTCTCGCAGGGTAATGCGCGCAGAGGTTTGCGCTTTGATGCGTTTGTCGAGGTGTTTTTGTTCGCGTCAAGCGAATGATGTACGGTTGGTGAGTCGAAGGAGAGCTATGTTTCGAGCTCAGTCTGTAGGGTGGTTGAGTATGAAAGGAGTGTGAAGCTGTATGTATGTAGATAGCTGGACAAGGATTGTAATCAAAGCTGCACCGCAAAGGCTGACACTCAAGGGGAAATGGCAAAAGGACAGCCAGAGTGTTGTCAACAGCTGCTTCAGGGAAAGGGAAGGCTCAGGGAAAGATAACCTGCAGCTCAGGGAAGGCAACATTACGAGACGAGAGGATCTTTCTTGCTCTGCCCTGAATGACAAGAAGCTTATTCGGAGCCCCGGAGATAACGCCAGTGTGGCACTTGGCATTCACTCGGGTGACCCCGGAACTAAACGCGCGGGGCTGACTTGGACTGCCGCAGCGATGACGTTTGCAAACAGCCGACTGCCGAGGACTGGACCAAATAAATCCCACAGACCACCTTCACATCTCTACATACTCGCTCCTGAAACAATGTCCACCCAAGCTCCCCTCAGCCCACCTCCGCGCTCCGTCCCTCAGGTCGCTTCCAACGAGGCCCGCAAAGTCGAGAATGCCTCAAGCAATACTCTCGAGGAACTCGTCGATGAGAATGGTGAGGAAGAGCGGCTGGCCGCACATGCTGAAAGCTGGGATGGCTGCTGATGAGGCGTAGCCGACTCGACAGACTCCAACTTGCGATATAGTGAGCCACTCTCTCTGCTCTTGGACGAGCTTGAGCTGATAGACTCCAGCTGCATATCTGAGGCGGATAACGTAGGTCGTGCGAGTAGACACGCAAGGATTCGGTACTAATCAAAAGGGATATCGCCCGTTCAGCACAGAGATATACAGCCTACAGTACGCTTCGCATCTTCTGCTCTGACGTGGAAAAGCACTGACCGCTCAGCTAGCGACATTGGCGAGGCCTTCCGGCCAGTCGTACCTCCCTCTCTTGGTATGCAGCCTTTACCGCTCGTTCCATCCGCCTTGACTCCAGCTGACCCGCAGTCACCGCCGCATACGGTATCTCCTGGGCGTACCTCATCGGAGATGTCAGCTTCACGACCTACAAGGCCCGCGAGCTCGGCCCGTCCCCGCTCGAAGCAGCCAACATGTCCGAGCCGACCCGTCTCGGTCTCGTCGCCGTCAAGCGGTCCATCTTCCAGGGTGTCGCCTCGATGGCTCTGCCCGCATTCACCATCCACACGGCTGTCAAGCAAGCGTCGAAAGCTTTGATCAACAGCAAGAATATCACGCTGAAGCGGTGGGGACCGACCGCTGTCGGTATTGGGATTGTCCCGGCTCTGCCATACCTCTTTGATCACCCTGTGAGTTCAGCTAGTAGGAACGCCATGGTGGTCACTAGCTGACAGACTAGGTCGAGACTGCCGTAGACTGGGGATTCGAAAAGGTCGAGCAAAAGTGGTTTAGCGCAAATCACCCGAACCTCCCTGTGCCCAGTAACGACCCAAACGTCCTTCCCAATGTCAAACGGGACCTATGAACACCTAATAAAACTAGAGCAATACATGCAGCCTATCACACCTTCTCTATCGCACAGATTCGCCAATCCTTCATCTCCCTGACGCTCGCATAGACGCCATCCCGGATATACCCCCACGCCAACGGCAGGAGCCGGCCCTCGCCTATCTGCGTCCCGTCCTGCAGGTCTAGGGTATACGCCTCCCCGTTCGCCCTGGCGCGCTGGGTGCATATCTCGCCTTCCTTGCTCGTGGTAATGAGCAGCAAGTCGTTGCCGTCCGGTACGATCAGGCTCGATAGGGGCGTCCGCGGCCACGTCGTGTGGATGATGGGCGGGACAGCGATGGGCAAGCGCAGCGGAGCGGGGTAGACGATCGTTTCTCCCCCGCGGTGGAACGCATACACCTCCCGCCCGTTCGTCCAGACATTCTGCATCTCCGTCCACGCTGACCCTGCTGCCGCTGTACTCCCGCCCCTCCCCGCGCCTTGACCCGAGGGCGGACTAAAATCCAGCACAGCAGAGTCGCTGTTCCGGATAACGCTGGCCATGCTCATGCCGCCCGTACTGAAGCTGATCCAGATCCCGAGGCTAGGCTCCCCGTTTGGCGTGAGGACCTCCAGCAGCCCGATAGCTGCGGGTGCGAACGGAAGGTAGAACTTTCGGGTAGACCGAAACGAGACGCCAGAGGGAACGACGACGCCGACGTGGAGGAGGATATGGGTCGTGGTGGCGATGGCGATATACACCGTCTCGCCCTGTTGTCGGAGCGAGAAGGCTAGGACATCGGCCGGTTTGCCCGTCGTGCGCGCATCGAGCCGGATCCAGTCCGCCGACCAGGCTTTGGCAAGTGGTATTGTCGGGTCGTCTAGTACGTTTCCGGCTGGGACCGCAGCTGATGAGCTAGCCTTGCGAAACGGCGAGAAGAATGACCGTTCTTTCCCCTTCGCTTTGCCCTTGTCTTTGGCCCCTTCCGCCATATCTAGCCCTTTCCACCCCATCTCACGCCCCGCCGTCCACTTGGCCAGACTCGCCAGACTCCCTAGACGCCAGACTCTCACCTCCACCTCCCCACTCTTCCCTTTGGGTCTTCCAGGACGCGCCGGATCCTCCTGTCCACCACAGAGGACCGCCACAGATCCCCGAGGGGTCTTGTCGCCATCTTCGACGCAACGGAGGACACGGATGTCCCATACGGCCAGTCCGGTCCACACGACGCGGACCGGCACTTCTTCCGACACATTGGCTACGCGCAGTCCGTCCGCCGTTCCGAAGAGGACGAGCGCGCCGCCGTAGAGCGACAAGGCGCACGTGATGGTCGTCCTTGATTGTTGCGCGTAGGCTGAGCCAAAGTCGTCCGGGCGAGTCCGGTCCGCGTGAGCTCGGTCTTTTGGGTCTGGCGCGAGTTGCCGTATTTGCGGGAAAGAGAACGGGTGAGGGCGGAGCCGCTCCCGTGTGGGCGGGAAGGGTGGGCGAGAGGGGGCTGATAGGCCGGTAGAGCAGTATCGTGTGAGAAGATCTGCAATTAGCGGGACTCTGTCGCAGCTGGACTAGATGAACTCACAGATGATGGCGAGGATCTGATGGATGGCTCCTGTCCTGTAGAAGCATCTCGGCTCGCGTATGACCGCCTGATCTGTTCTTTCTCGCTGAGCCGCCTTCGCGCTGCATCTTGGACTAGATCATAAGCTACCCATCCTCAGCCGTACAGCTAGAGAGAAATAGAGCATACCTTGCGAAGAGTACTTGTTGCTCCGAGGACTTGCATCTCCCTCCCTATCTTCCGCGCCAAACGATGATAAGCCCGAGCTTACACTCTCCTCGTACGCCGGTAGACCTTCACCCTCGTCATCTAGCTCAAGCGGGCAGAGGGATTGTATATCCTCGACTGCAGCGATATCCATCGTGACGGAGCCCGGTAATCTGAGAGGTAGACAGTAGTAGGTCAGTTGAGAGAGAGATGAATAGCCCGTTGCAGTTCATGCTGACGAGTTTGGTGAAGGTTGTGTGTGTCAAAGGATGCACCGCTTCAGTCAGAAAATCTGAAACCCTCTCTTCTCGGCATGACGTTTCAGCTTGTCCATCCCCAGCTACGGACAGGACGCAGCATGAATATGATAGATGTATAAGTTGCAAGTCTGACCTATCTACAGCCTCACCCGCGCGCCCATCGCCCCGATCCATCGCCTACTGCGCATACCCCAGCGCTCTGAGGGAATGCAGCGGATGCTCCTCCCCCTCATCCGTCCCAAACGCAATCTCGACCCGATCCCCATCCTGATGATTATCATTATGATGATAATACAACACCTCCTCCCTCTCCTTTTCTTCCATATAGACACTGGCGTCCCCGGGTCCGGCTGTAGTGGCCTGCGCCAGGGCATTGAGGAAATGAGGCAGTGTAGTGAGATGCGGGCAGTTGAGGGCGGGGGTGCGGGTCCGGGAGGGGGTGCTAGCGCTAGGCGAGGCGGGAGGGGGGATGGTCAGGCAAATTGTGACGGGTAAGAGGGGCTCGCGAAGGTGAGATGCGAGTGGGAGGATGGTCAGCACGAACAAAGCGGATAGGCCTGGTGGTCAGCAAAAGTCACCGGTAAGAAGGATGGACGTACCGCCAAACCCGCTCCAATCTTTCACTTCGACCAGCTTGCCCACTCCACCCTCATGCTCCCCTAGCACACGCCACCCCTTCTCCTTCTTTGACTTGCTCGAAAAGATCCCCGCCTTCTCGCTCGGCGCAGCGAGTATGACCAGATCATCAAAGATGAATAAAGCCAGCTCATCCTTGGACCGTCGTCGCCCCATACTGGGCGTATTGGGGCGAGACGAGTCGGTTCCCGCCGTGGACGACGCGGACGAGGGGGAGCGATACACGCCTGGCCGCTTGGGCGAGGTCGAGAATGCCGATGGGGACATACGCAGGGAGCCGGACCGCGAGGGCACCGAGGACGTAACAGACGATACGGAGAATGAGGATGATCGGCACGTCGAGGCCGAGTAGGCGGTATCCCAGGGTGAAGACGCCGAGGAGATGGAGGAAGAGACGGAAGAGCGGGAGGAAGTCATCATGCTCGCAAAGCTGTTGGGATAGACGCGTAGGACCGAGCCGTAGCCTGTGAGTTTGCGGCCGCGCTGGACGAGCCCAAAGTCTGGCGGAAGGCCCGAGAGGCGACTTTCGAGCGAGACGAGCTGATCAAAGTCTTCTTCCTTTGCTTTGGCAGCTTGGAGCGTGAGGATGATGGATTCCGTGCTGGCGAGAAGGGAGAGGAGTTCGGGATGGCAGGGCGTGACATCGAGTAGGCGCTAAGATCAGCTCTATCCGCGCCCTGACTCACCTTCAAGAATAGCGGGTACTTCATCAACCTCTGCACAGGCTTCAAGAGCATACTCCCCAAACTCATCGACCCCAGGATCTCCTCCTTGAGCTGCATCCGCACAAACTCGCCAAATACACTCCCCGGATCCCGTATATGATCCTCCACCAGCGCGACTACCGGCTCAAAGCGAAGGAGGTACGACTCGTACACTTCCAGCTTTGGGACCCATGACTTCAACGCGCGGACAAACGCATTAATATCGACCACTTCCGATTTGCGTCGCATATCCCGCTGGACGGCCGCAATGACGCTATGCGCATGTGCGACGCTTTCGAGCGAGTCAAAGAGCTGCGATATCCGCTCCGGGATCCCGTCGATCCATCTCCCCTGCGGCGTCTTGAGCGGCGTGGCAAACAGCCGCAAGACGTTCCGCATCGACTTGAGAAACGCTTGCTCCGTCTCGCACATCTCCCACATGACTTCTTGGCGCTTGATCTCGTCCGCCCCGCGCGTCTCGAGTACGCGGTAGAAGAGCGCGTCCGACGATAAAGAGGAGCGCCAGGTTGTTTCGGGGGTGGGAGGCGCGATCGTCGAGGCCGGCTCACCAGCGAGGGATTTGGTATAGCCTGACGAAGCGACGTTGAAGAGTTCTTTGCGGACGCGCGTGGGGGTGTGGAGGTTGGATTCCGACCGAGAGGAGCGGGGACGAGGGGAAGGTTTGGCTTCCCAGCCGTGATCCTGGAGGGGGATTTGGTCGGCGATAGGGAAGGGGCGGGAGATGTGTAGAGATGATTGGGAGGGTGAGGCGTAGAGCGACCGAGGGTTAGGTGCTGGAGCCGGAGCCGGCGAGCACAGCGTCTCTTGTACATCTGGTGATGCCCAGAACGCCCTGTTATCCCGATTATCCGCCGCTCCGTCATCCGTCATACTCCACGGCTGATTGAAGTCTAGGTTCGCCACCAATCCCCGCAGTGCATCCAGCCGCCGCTGCGTCGAGTCCCGCTTAGACCCCTTGACCTCCTCCGGTACCGCTCTTGGGGTCGCCCGAGGTGTCGGCGCATCCGAGATGGTCGACACCGACCCGGAATCGTCGAAAGGGGAGGATGCGCGCGAAAAGTCCGCTTGGGGAGGAAAGAGCTCTACTTGTCTCGGCGAGACGGCCGAGTCTCTTCTTCGTCGAGCAGGTCGGGGCGGGGTGGGCGTGACGCATGCTCGGCGTAGGGAGGTGGATGACCGCTTTTCCCGTAATGCCGGTGAAGGGGGTACTTCAGGGGATTGCCTTCCGCTGTTGATGACGATCTGGACGGACTTGTCTTGGGGGTATCCGTTGACCTGGACGGATCGGCGCGATCGTGGAGTAGAGTAGGATGGAGGGTCGATCTCGAGGGGGATGGCAGGGAGGAGTTTTGGGCGACGGGAGATCGAGGGCGAGACCGGCGCGATGACGGGTGGAGTCATTAGCGCTGGTCTGGGAGAATTGCGCGGTCGAGGACTCGTCACATCGTACAGTGGCCGAGGGGAAGGACGGGGACTGCCAAAATTGGCGGCGGGAGAGTCGAAGCTGGGCTGAGGTGTGTAGAGGTGTTTGTCGCGCTACTAGTCAGCGTATACCACAGCCCTCATGCAGTACACTCACCTTGTCCCGCGCAGGTACAGGCGGTGTAGACACCCCCGCCATATCCCAAAGAGGTACCGGCGGTGTCCCCATATTCTGTATAGACCGCCTTTTCCCTATAGACCGCCCCGGTCGGCCCAGCGTCGGAGGTGGTGAAGTGCGCGGAGTAAGCATGTCGAATGTCTCCGCGAGTGAAGGGGGATGGAGCTGAAGTGTCGAAATCGAAGGGTAAGGCAATCTGATGATTGTCCGAAGGAGAGCGAGTTGGGAGTAAGGAAGATCTGAAACCTGTTGATGAGCTATTCGTCACTGCACGGTATGCAGAGCGCAAGATTGGGTACTCACCAGCAGGCCTCTCTCTCGTCCAGCCGACAACTCGCAGTGTTGATGCCTGTACGCCTGAGCCTGCTCAGGTGTAATTAGGCGAAGAAGGAATGTTCCAGACCGGGCTGGCGCGTGTCGGAGCCAAAGTGATTGATGAAATGGTCGGGCGTCAAGCCACTTGGGAAAAAGGGTCTCGGTGATCGTGTTGATCAAACGCGTGGAGTGAGCATGATGAGTGCCATCATCAGTAGATATACCACCACAGACCCTCGCTTTCTCGACGCGTCCGGCGCTGCAGTGCTGTGTTTAATCAAGGACGTCCTTTTCCCCGCGAGATGTGCGGTTGCGGGACGTGAACAAAACGGTCAAAGGAGGGGGATGTTTGACCCTGTTTCATCTTCAGTCTACCGGTCAAACTTCGGCCGCAAGTGAGGTAGAGCGTTTCCTCGTCGCTCTCGCGGCCTCCACCTCGCCTCGCTCGCACTGGAGAGCATGATCAGGGCGTACAGGACAGCATAAGATGTATAGAAGGTGGTAGAATACAAGTTAGAGTTACAGCTTGGTGGAAGTCCATGTCCCCCTTTGAAGGAACATTCTACGGTAGATGACGTCACCCTGCTGACTGATCGCTCCGCCGCCGCTGGCTCGATCCGGCCGTACTCGTCCCGGCCTATGTTTCTCGCTCCACCACCACCAAGCAGCTGCAGGCTTATAAAGCACATGCATCTCTTCTCAAACCACCTCTCTATGATCCGTACATTAACAACACTCCCTCTCCGATCCATCAGCCTCAGCACAGCCAAGCCCCGCACCCTCCTCCTCAACAACTTCAAAATAGGCTCCTCACTTTCCACCACCTCCGCCGTCAATATGGCCAGCGCAAAGCAGTTTGTCGATGAGGGGATCAAGAAGAACCATGTGATGGTTTACGGAAAGTCGTACTGCCCTGTATGTCTCTTGCCTCCTATCCTTGAGTCTTTACTTATACTACAGTACTGCCAGCGCGCCAAGAAGCTGCTCGAGGGTGAGACGAGCGAGATGGAGTACATTGACCTTGATAAGCGCGATGACGGATGTGAGTTACCATTCTTCGGTCTTTTTGTACCGCAGACCACAGCTGACAATCGTAGCCGACATCCAGGCCTACCTCAAGCAGCTCAACGGCCAGGGTACCGTCCCCCACGTTTACATCGGACAGGAGTTCATCGGCGGGTGCTCCGAGCTCCAGGCTGTCCCCAAGGACGAGCTCAAGAAGAAGCTGTCCAAGAAGTAGAGGTTGTTTTACAGAATAATGCATACAACGTTCAGGAAGAAATATACACAAGTATGGGCGACGAGGTGACTTGATGATATGCGTTACACATGCAGGACATCATTGATGTGAACCGGCCTGCTCCCCAAGTCTTCCCCACTACGTCCACTCCCTAACACTCCTCCGGTAATCTTCCACCTCTCAGCTCATTTCATCGCTGATCCTTCTGAACCCCACTGAACCCCAACCCCTTTTGTTCCTCTTCCACCTCTCAGCTCGTTTCATCAGTGAGGCTTCTGACTCTCTTCCGCCCCAGCACACTCCTTCACTGAGCTAAGCCGCCCCGAACCACCGCCGAATCCCCGCCAACTCCTTGTGCCACCTCTCCCACTTCTTCACCAACTTCTCCATCTCTTCCTTGGTCGGCAACATCTCAATATCCGCCTCGCCCAGCTCCACGCCCTCCGCCGCCCGGTGCAGCCCAATCAACTTGGTAGTGAGGATCTGATACGCAGGGTACAGCTCCTCGTACCGATCGCGCAGATCTTCCGGGTCGTCTGGCCGTTCCAGCTCCGAGGCGGTCGTGCTCGGCGTCCGGGACTTGGTCTGCTGGGTAGGAGAGTGGAGGTCGAGGGGTTGAGGGGGAGATTTGCGCTTGGTGAAATTTGCGATGGGCCGAGAGGGGGGTAAGGCGTCCATCGCAGCGAGCGTGGCCGCATCAGGAGGGGGAAGCTTGGGTAACGTCGATTTCGGGGCAGGTCGGTTCCGCTGCTTGGCCCGACCCCGCCTGCTGTCCTCCTCGTCTTCGTCCTCGCTCGACGTAAAGCTCGGCGACGGGTGTCGTCCCCGCTTCCGCTTCTTCCCGCTCCCCTTCTCGTCCGAACGGCTCGACGTATCCGATCGCTCTGCCTTCTCCGCCTTGCGCGACGTCTCCGCCGTATTTCCCTTGTCCGCCTTGGCCCCGGCCGCCCGCTTCTTGGTCTTGACCGCATCCGCAGCGGACAGTGCAGCCGCAGCCTCCCGAGGACTGGCATTTCCATTCGTCCCCTTCAGACCTGGTGCCGAGGTAGCCCGTGCCTGCTCCGCTCGGAACTTGGCCATCTCGCGCGCGACCGGACCCTTGTTTTTGCTCGACGAGGATGCGGCCGAAGTCGAAGTTGACGCCGAGGGCCGAGATTTGGACGAAGAGGGAGTGACGACGGGGGTCCGATCTGGTTGACTGGCCGTGGAAGGGGCTGGGGCTGGGACGGGCACACTTGGCGCAGCTTGCACCGGAGCCACAGCAGGCGCAGCCACCACTTCCTCCACCGGTGGCATATTTGCCGCCTCTTCCAGCTTCCTCTCCAGCTCCACCCTTTCCTCTGAGCCTTCAGGGTACTCCAGCTCGTCGAATGCCTCCCGAGCCATTTGCCCCACCTGCTCCTGCTCCTCCGGCGTGTAGCGCCAGGCCCCAATTTTGATCTTGGCGTATTGGGATGGTTGAAGGGAGTATCGAGGGGGATTCTCCGCGACTTGCCTTCCGACCTAGATGTCAGCTACGTCCTATTGAGTATGGAGAGAAGATGGTTGAGGTTCCGGAACGTACAACTTTGACCACACGCATCACGTCAGCCTCCGCCCCGCCCAGCTTGCTCAGAATCTCCTCGACACTCGCCGGGCCAAGAGCGAGGTACTGCACGACCCTCGTCTTGAGCGGGATAACCGGTGTCGTCGGAGCTACTGGAGCCGCTGGTCCCGCGGGGCTCGAAAGACTCCTAGCGAGCGGTGTGGCCGCTTCTCGGCGTAACTTTGCCGCTGCGCCGTGGGCGTTGCCGTTGCCGTTGCCATTGACGGGCCGTCTTTCCGGAATGGCTTCTGCGATAGCTTTGGAGGACGAGGCGGTGGTGAAGGGGATAGAGAGGCGTGTGGAGGCTGTGCCGAGAGGTAAGAGGGTATCGGAGAGCTCGTATAGCTCGGTAGGGACTAGGGGGTTTGCGTCCAGCCCTATCGTCCGGTCAGGCAGGATGAGGCTCTATCCCGTCAGCCACATCATTGCGAGTAAAGGGGCAGACTTACGAGCTTGGCATCATTCTTCACAATCTGCACACTCCCAGTGCCTCCAGAGACGATGCGCTCCCATACGTCCTGCGGGAACTTGACGAGGAAGGCGGGCTTGCCTGCTTGCGTGCTTGTCCCCAGCGGAAGGGGCTTGTCTGGCAGTGCCATCTTGGTGACTAGGTAAGGGCTATATGCTCATGAAGCTGTCTCTAGAGCTGACTAAGAGGGGGATAGAAGGTAGATGAGAGAAAGGAAAAGTCAAAGACAAGAAGAACAAGGCTGGATCCTCGAGAGGCAGAGGCTGGGCGGCGTAATGATTTCCGTCGGATCCGAGATTAGCGCGAGGAGGCCGGTCGAGGTGTGTTTCACCGACCTGTGGCGAGCGTCAACAACCTATATCACCGCGAGTGTGGCGCGGAGGAGGGGCTGGACGCTCGAGAGGCTGCTGGCGCTGCTGCTCATGGAGAAGCAGGCTGATGTGAGCTCAGGACAAAAGGAGGAAGGTTCGGTCACCCACACAGCGTGTGTGTATCGGAGAAGATTGTCGATATCACTCAACCCTCCCTCAATTCCGACCGAAGCTAGTGCTAATATCACTCATACTCATATCTACCAGTCCTGACTGCTATGCTGATCGCTTCCTCGTCTCTGGGAATACTGTTACTGTCTGCGGCAGCCGCAACCAGCGTGGCCCGCCAAGCGTCGCAGGGATACTTTCAGTGGGGCTCAGCGCCTATCCGAGGCGTCAATCTGGGCGGATGGCTCGTCCTCGAGGTGAGCCCACCTTGTCAGACCTAGCTGATGACCAGCCATGGATCACACCATCGATATTCGAAGACAAGCCCGATTGGGTTGTGGACGAGTGGACGTACGGGGCGTACTGGCGCGACAGGCGGGACACGTACAGCGAGATACGAACGCACTGGGGCAGCTGGTTCAAGCAGTCTGATCTTCAAGAGATGAAGCGTGTTGGCCTCGTGAGTACTGGTTATGAACGCGCTGAGGCAGAATACCGTCCGCATACCCATAGGCTGTACGTCCTCCTCCTCCGCACGCACTCACGCCAGACTGGTCCCTAATCCCCTTATCGACGTCTGAGCCATACCTCCCTGGCGCGTTCGACTATCTCAAACTCGGCGTCAACTGGGCGCAGCAAGCCGGCTTATCGGTCATGATCGACCTGCACGGCGCTCCGGGCTCGCAAAACGGTTTCGACAATAGCGGTTTCCGCGGACCGCGCGAGTGGTTCTGGAACCAGACGAATGCGGACCGGTCCATCTCTGCTCTCAAGGTCCTGGTGGCGGAGTTCTCGCAGGCTGGGTATGCCAATACGGTGACGGCAATAGGACTGCTGAATGAGCCGTTTCCGGTCAGTCCGGATCAGGTGGGATTTCTGCGCAAGTTCCTGCAGGACTCGTATGCGTCTTTGAGGGCTATACAGACGCAGAAGCATCTGGTGATCGTAATTGACTCTGGTGAGTGTCGGAAGAGGCTGGGCTGATGTTTAGCATACCAGGGTCTACCGGCATGGCAGGACTTCATGGTACAGGGGTACTATGATGTTGGGGTTGATTCAGTGAGTTCGGACCAGAAGGTTGAAGCTGATGTTCAGCATTCTTACTCGATGTACGCCCGGCAAGGATAACTCAAGGGGGTCGAGACTGATTGCAGGTTCAACAACTACACCCTCGTCTATGGGTACAATCAAGTCCTCCAGTGGTTCTGCAATCAGACGGACTACTTTCGCGCGTCAGACAAGACCCACTGGACCATTATTGGGGAGTTTACACGTAAGTCTTTCCCCCGCGGGCGCTTTCAGCGGATTTGAAGCTGAGACGTCAGCGGCGCATACGGACTGTGCGAGATGGCTGAATGGAAGATGTAGAGGTGCAAGGTGGGATAACAGCTTGAACGGGTCGTATCCGTAAGTCTCGATGGGCAGAGCCACCAAATGCAGCTGACAGGCACAGATTGACCTTCCCTGGTGACTGCAAAAAGAAGACTGGGTCGGATATCAGTCGATGGGATGGTGACTATGTGGAGCATCTCGCCCGGTCCTTCGAGACTCAGACTTATGTGTACGAACAGGCTGTAAGCTTTCCATGTGCCTCTCATGTCCGTCGCAGAAAAGCGAGGTGACGAGCTGACTTGATAGAGCGGATGGATCATGTGGACGTGGAAGACGGAAGAAGCGGCAGACTGGAGCATGTCGGCTGGGATCACGTATGGGTGGATCCCAACGCCTGTCTGGAACAAAACGAGGGGGTAAGTCTATCCTCTACGCTGAGTGTGATACAAGTCAGAAATGATTAGCTGACAGGATAGAAAAGCATGCGCGACGCTCGCCATGTCCACAGCATCATCAGCTATACCCGCACTTTACATCCCGGCGATCTCAGCACTGCTAGTCGGCGTCGTTGTAGCATCGTTAATCTTGATCGTATAATGTATCTGCCGGTGCGCCCTCGGCTCGTCCAGCCTCCAACTTCTCCACCTCATTCACGACCTCAATCTCCCGCACTCTGCGTCGTATGCGTTCTCGCCGTTCTTTGCCATATCGTGCTGCGTCTCTGCGTGCTTCCGCCAATGCTGAAGAGGCGCTACTGATCAGCAACATGTCCTCCCAGACATGAACATGAGCTCACCTTTGATGTTGCGCTTGTAATAACTCGCGATGAGTCTCTGATGCTATTCCTATCCGATGATACTGTATCCAAGCAATCAGGACGCTCTGCACATCAGCTCTATCCAGCACTGACACCCTTTAGGTCGACTCACCACACCCGCAAATATCGAAATGAACCGCTTGTTCGACATGTAAATCACCTCCCCAGTCCCCTTTGGCGGTGCTCTAAACTCATCCCCATACTGCCACTGCTCCTCCTGCTGTGCCCAGCCCGCTTCTGCACTTCTGTACCCCCTCGACCCCGTTTCCCACGCTGCCGCCCCGCCCCTTCTGCGCGCATGTACTTCGGAGCGCATCTGCGCATCTGACCACGAGTCTCTGACGGCCTGGCCGGTAGGGGACCATCCGAAGCCGGATTGAAGGTAGGACGAGCGGGACTGTGAGGAGGAGAGGAGGCTGTAAGCGCGGTGTAGCATCGCAAAATGTTCGGGGGAGGAGGAGGGGTGGCTCGAATCTGGGTGGAGAATCATCGCTAGGCGATAGTCTACAGGTCAGCGCTTTATCAGGCGCCCTTCTCGAAGAGAAAACTTGCATTGCTGCTTGATTTCGCTCTCGCTGGCGGACCGTTCCAAAGCTAGCACCTCGTAAGGATCCGGATGTCCCCCTCGGCGGCCTCGCTCGGGGAAACGATAACCACCGTCCGTTGCCTTCTCTTTGCCCTTGGCGGAGACTCTCCCCCTCGTGCCTCCCTGAAGGCGGGACGGTCCAGCTTGCGGCTCCTGCGCTGGGTCGGCGGCTTCCTCGTTTTCCGAGGGAGCTCGCGCTGCGTGTCCATAGCGTATCTGAGACCCACGGGCGACAATGCGAAGCGCCGAGGCGGACGAAGAGGCTATTGCCCTTGCTGAGCGCCCTATCATGGTAGACCTAGCTGCAGGTACAGCTCGAGCTAGCTAGCTATAGGTAGTGTGAGCGCGGCTATGTCTGAACGGCGAGTGACAACAGCGAACGCAGGAGCCGATCGATCGAGAGATCGTCGGACGGAGTTAGCCGCTCAGTGTGGGGCTCCACAGCGTCGACGTCCAGCTGAGACCACCGTGAGCTGGTAGTCAATGCATCTATCTTCCTTCTAGCAGCACACCATCCTCATATCCCATACCCACACAGCACAGCACCGGTAAGCTATTGGCGACCGGAGGGCCGGTGGCGTAGGCAGCCGCACGAGCTGAAGGCTGACGAGCAGCGGCTCCTTCCCCTCTCCTCCTCACCGAAGCAAGTCATCCATCAGTCAACCCCCACAAGCTTTTCCGCTATGAGCACCAACTCAATCCCAAAGGCCGGCCGCCACTCCATCGCTGGATGTGATCCAAGCAGCACGCGTTCCGTTGGCCAGCAGCACGCGCCCTGGTTGAACGAGACTTCGCTTCATGGTACCGGTACGTCCCCTTCTCCCCGTCCGTATCCCTCAACCTTACTGACACCCCTTAGATCTCGCCAACCTCTCGCCTATCGTCAAGCACGGCTCCCTTCGTCGACAGCACGGTCACGTCCGACTCGCCGCGCTGCAGCGGCTGGCACGGAGCGGTGCTATCCGGATCCCACCTCCCGACGCGCCGCCTCCCAAGCGACAGTCCCTCCTTCCCCGCGAGATGCTGGACAGGTCGCTACCGCCGGTTCCGCCCTCTCCGGCGGCTCCGAAAGTTTCTCCTCCACGCTCCATCAAGCGCAAAGCCGTTCCGGAGGTGAAGCGGAGTCTCCCACCTACCCCCACTCCGCCAAAGCCCGCCGCCGAACCCGTCCGTCCCCACGAGCCAATCCCGAGTCCGTTGGCTACGACCACGATCAAAAGTCCGATCCGGTGGCCTGGTCTATCGCCTAGGCGGAATATAGCCATCCAGAGCCCAGCGAAGCCGGCAATGAGCGAGGAGGTGATGAGCGAGTCTGGCAGGCCGAGGGTGATCGTCGGACCAAGGGTGAAGGAGGCTGTCGAGCGGATTGAGAATACTACGGTGAGCTATACAAGCCTTACTGTGGGCAGAACCTGATGTTCTAGTTCGCCTCCAAGAGCCCACTGTCCACGCCCGTAAAAGGTACTCTTCTGCCCTCGCTGTGGCTGACAAGCAGCCATCGGAGACATTGTCGAGCGACCTAGTGCCGTCTCGTCAGCCGGCCTCAGCACCGAAGCGCGCAAGATCAGTATGTTCAACTCAGGGATCTGCTGATGATCAGTGGCCGATGCCCGTTTCAAGCGCTCCAACCTCAAGTACCAGTAGACCAAAGCTATCCCCGCCGCTTTTTCCCGACCTTCGATTTCGCTCATTGCGCTTTTGCATGTTATTTGTTACCTGTCCTACCGCCGGCATGGCTAGTGTTTTCTACCTCTCCGAAATCTAGGCCGAAGCCTTGGTCTCTGCCTCGCCCTCGGCCGCCTTTGCCTTCTTCTTCTTGGCCACTCGGAGGGGCTGAGTGAGGAGTGACTTGAGCGTCTCGTCCTGCAGTGACTTTTCAGACTTGACCTTGTCACTAATATGTCAGCTTAGCCATGGCCATCCGACGTCGAGACTTACGCAGAGTACCAGATGGGAGGGGGCGACAGGAGGAGGGGTCCAGCGGGGAGGAGGGCGACTGATGATCAGCTCTGATCCAAAGTCTCGCAATTGTATACTCACTTGTGAAGAAGAATTCAGCAACAAGGGTTCCTGAGTTGGTATGCACAATGTCGTACGCCTTCAACAGACCTGTGAGTCAGCGTGATCTCGAGATAGACATACCATGTGCGACGGCCTCGCTGACACCCATACGTGCCCGCTTCTCATCGTCCAACGATCGCAATGTGAAGGGGAACGCGCCGGCCTTCTTTTGGATTTCCGAGAAGACCGTCCTGGAGGTCTTCATCTTCAATTGATAATTGACGTCTCCACGCTTGTAGACGGATGTCCGGGACGAATCGGGCTTGGCCTATCGTCAGCTGAGGCCAAACTCAGACTCACCTTGCCGTCCGAACCGGTAACAATCAAGACGTCCACACCGTACACCTCGCCCTCGGCAAACGTGACCGTGTCGTGCTCCCGCCTGTGCTCCGGGCTGGGGTTGATGACGATCCGCTTCTTGCCGTCCGTCACGTTCTTTTCGTGTTGGCAACTCAACATGCCCTCGACACCTGCGCACCCATACTCCTTGGCGACCTTCTCCACCGCCTCGGTCACGTCCCAGTTCTTGCCTCCAATCTTGAGCGTCCGCATGGCGATCTGAGCAGCCTCATACGCCGCCTTGGTGACGTCCGCGGCGAGCCCATCCGCCTTGTCGCCGAGAATGACGGTTTCCGCGTGGGTGACGGCGTACCCGTCCAGCTGGATACCCATCATGACCTTGACGACGTCCCCGTCCTTTAGCTCGACCTCGGGGTCGGACGGAAGGGGGGTAAAGTGGGCAACGACATTGTTGACCGAGACGGTAGTGGGGAAGGCGATACCCTTGCCGATCTTGGCGCCGTTCTTGGCCTTGTTCCACAGGGGTGCGACGGCGTCGGTGATGGTCTTGTCGCCCCTGCTATCAGCGACGCCTGGTTGACACTTACTCTATGCAGAGGTCCAGAACCTTCTTGCCGGCCACGACGGACGGGAGGAACTTTTTGAGCACTTCTGCAAGGACCTGTCCGGCTGAGGTGTACTTGTTCACACTGGATCATCAGCTTGTCCGCTTCGGTTGCGGGTTGGCGTACGCATCCTCGCTGAGACCCTTTTCTTCGGGCATCTCGGCCTTCTCCACGGCGGGCGCGGTCTTCTTGAGTTCGACTTCGGGTACAGCTGCCATTGTATATTGATGTAGGTGAAGGTATGGTAGAAGAAAGGAATTCTGGTCTAGCGAGCACATCGACAGCCAAATTCTACTACATCGGGAGATTCCCCCCGCAATGACGCAAGTCCGTGCGTTACTGTCCTATATACTTGTCCATCTCCCTCCAGACTACCTCGTCCCCACTAGCCTTGAGCTCCCCAACCAGCGCAATATACGCCACCCACCACCACATATGCACCGCTTCGTAATCTGTCATGGACTCCTGTGGTGCGCTGTTGGCGACCAGCTTGATGAGATCAGGTGGTAATACCTTGTCGGACGATACGGAAGTCGGGGCGACGTTGATGAGTGCTGGTACGGAGGCCGGCCGCTTGTCCCATGGTTTGTCAAGACTGACATCAGCTCCAGCGTGTAACGCGCTCACATGTAATGTATGTTCCGGACGTCTGTATCACCCCATACACCGGGATGAGCCGCACGCAGCGGTTTCAACGCGTTGGTCCACCACGGAAGTGGCTTCCAGCGGCCGTGGAACGCCTCGGCAATGACGTCCTGATCGGCAAAGCGGGAGGCGGCGATGGTAGGGGAGGTGTGAAGAAAGTGAATGAGCTCTTTGAGGGTGGACGCCATGGGCTGGAGGACAACGAGACCCGAGTTGAGAAGGTGGCTGGTGCGCGGGCCGTCTTTTTTGGGGATGGCTGGCTGGTCGAGCGTTTCAGTGCGAGATTGTAATGAGATGGCGCAGTTGGCGGGGATCCTGATATCAGCCGAGCTCAAACATAGACTTACCAGTCGGCAGGGTAATGAGCGATTTTGAATGGATTGCAAACGCACGCCGGCGCAGCAGCTATCCAGTCTGGCCCCGGCAGCTCCATATCGAAAAGCTCATCCATGGGGCGCAGGAACAGCATGTCCGAATCGATCAGGATGACCCGCTCAAACTCGGTCAGGCCAAACACGGCGAGCTTGGTCCAGGCGTCGTTGAAGCGGTTGAAGGAGGTGTCGAAGCCCGAGTGCTGTCCCTCGGCGGGGGAGATGTGGTCCACGTCGATAATCCGCATACCGGACCGCTGGATGACGTCTCGACTGGACGCGGGGAGGGTGTCGGTCGCCATGATCACCAAGGGGTACTTGGAGACCGCTTGCAACGTGCGCTGCAGCACGAGGGCGCCTGGGGTCAGCTGAGAGGCATGGGGAGCGTACCTGCCAGGTAGGTTGGCTGGGTCAACAGCGTAGCCCATGCTTTGGGAGCGGTCGGAGCTATTGTCATGGTGAGTGGGCAGAAGCAAGGTAAGAGGAGACCTATCACGTTTACAGGAGACTTTTTGAATGATCGGCGATCTGGATGTTGTGATGAGTCACATTTACGTACACCCCAGATCTTCAGCGATAGTTGCGGCTGTGGCTGTACCTCCATCGGTAACCTCGCATCCTCACCCTGCTTCAGCTTTGTGCTTAGGGAGGGAAAGCGCCGGAGGAATCCTGCAGCGGCTCTCTGGCTTTCCCGGAGCTGAAGAGGTCCGAGACGAGACGAGTATACCTGACAAGAGATCGCTACATGGTGTTGAAAGCCCGAGATCTACGCCTAGTAATACTGACCAGTGAAGCCTGGAACAATCTCCTTGCCATGCGAGTTATCCCATGACTGTCCCTTGGTCTGCTGCCACTTTTGCTTGAGCGTGGTGAATTCTGTACATCAGCGCTCGATACACAGGACAGACTCACCGCCCATGGTTGGCACCTTGTGACCGCCCTTCTCAAACTCATTCTGGGTATATCCCTCCCGCTGAAGGACTGGCGACGCGACCGTGGCCAGCGGGAGATCGTTCTGCGGCCGGGCAAAGTAGAGGAGGCCGAGCCGGTCGACATGGCGCTGGTCCGCCGGGGGAAGACTGACGCGGTGGACGGTGGATTTGATGTAGCCTCCGGTGAGGAAGGAGAGGGCGTCACACGTGTTGACGGTGAGACTCCCGTCCAGAGGTCTGGCCCACTTCCAGTCGCCCGTCACGTGGTCGCGGATCTGCAGCGCGGCGACGGGTTGACGGAAGAGGAGAGTGATGGTCCCGAGGTCGGTGTGGCCTCGCGACCAGAGCCCGTCCGCGAGCTGCTCAATTTCGGGCGGGGTGAACTTGGTGTACTTCATGTACCGGAGGTGACTCTCGTCGTGGGTGTTCCACTGGTGGGTGCGGGTGAAGAAGTCTGGGGGGAGCTCGAGCGCGAGCGCGATGAGGTGGAGGAGGGGGTCGAGCACTTTGTCGTGCAGGTTCTGATATCAGCTAGGTAGTAAGTAGACTCACCTGTGCAAATCCCTCAATCTCATCCTTGTTCTCCTTGAGCAAGTCCGGCAACGGCTGAGTGATCCGCCCATCATTCGTCGCCATGTTCCACACCTCCGTCTTGTCCTTTAGGCCCCCGCTGAGCAGTCTCCGTCCCGCCGGGCGATACCCGTTATAGTCCCCCGAGTCGAGGTCCGGCTCGTACTTGAGCTTCTCCTCCAGCGGGAGCTGGTAGAATTGCTTGCCGAGCGAGAACTGCCGATCGACCGCGGATTGGGAGATCCCGTAGTTGATGACGTAGAAGAAGCCTTTGGTCCGGATGACTTCGATGAGGGTTTGGGCCAGCGCCGCGTTGGCTTCGGGGGAGGTGTTGTACTCCGCCAGGTCGATGGTGGGGAGTTCGGCCCAGTCGAGATTCTCCTTGGTCTCGGGAACGTGAGAGAATTGGTAGGATTGGGGGACGGCGACGGGCATGATAGGTGAGCTGGGTTAAGATGGGGTGGAGAGACAGAAGTGTGGATGAGGGGGGAGTTCTTGACTGGACAGTCTCTTGTATCACTGCGCGCTCTATATCGGCTGAGACGGCCGAGGTGGACATATCTTCGTTCGGGCTAGCGGCGGCATGGCAGCGATAACCCAGCTGCTGAGTAACGAGCGGAAGTACCATTCCGGCAGAGCGGAAGGCAGCATGGCGTCAGTATGGCGTCAATCCCTCGGTGAGCTCAACATCTGACACCATTGCAATTGCTCGGCGCTGGGTGCTGCTGATCGCTGACAGCGCTGGCTGGCGCAAGCCTGCGGCCATATCCAATCCGCTTCCGACGGAGCGCGGAGATGAGCGGCTGTACGTAAAGGCCATCACCCTCGCTGATGCCATCGACGACCATATTGACGCCAGCGCTCTCCTGCGATTTGATTATGCGCCTTATCTCTACAGTCTACACCGCATCCACGTCTGGCCGCTCAATCACGCCATGCGTCCTATCATTGATGCTGACTTCCTCCGCGCTGCTGAGCCGGATAAATCTCGCTTGCAGCCTATCTACCGGGTTCTACGTTCCCTTCCAGCCGAAGCGCCGGTCGCGCTCTCACACTCCGAGCTCTCTGTTCGACGCCAAGCATCTCCGAGAGTCGGCTGACTGATCCACTGACTGGCGACGCTGGATATGGCGTGCCTCGTCATCATAAGCAGAACTTATGGCGCGTCAAGCTGTCAAGCTTGTCCTGGTTCGGACTCACCTATCGAGGGTGGTCAGGATCTATAAGGCTATGGGGAACTTGGGAGACGTCTTCCGCTTCTTCGAGTCCTGCCGCTGTGTACATCCTCTGCCCTTGCATTTTAATCATCGTGATGGTCGCTGCCGGCAAGAAGAACCCATGGACCGTGGTCAAGTCCGTCTTTGACTGGTACCGTACGTGCGCCCTATACCGCCGTCCGACCTTGCTCTGCGCGCATCAAAGACAGACATTGACAGTATCAGCCTCACACTATCCCCTGGAGGAAAGGAGACTGCTGCGCAAGCTTGATCTGACCATTCTCATCTTTGGATCTCTCAGCTGTAAGTTGCAATCTAGTACTCGATGATTGCCGCGCTGATCCTCAGTCTTCTGTCGTTTCTTGGGGCAGCAAAACATCACGAATGCCTATGTGTCTGGCATGAAGTGAGTGTCCTCTGTATCGTTATCGTAGCCGCAGAGCTGACCTATTAGGGAGGATCTCAACGCGTACGGGAATGAGCTCAACTACTACAAAATGGCCTACAACACGGCTTGTGAGTTTGTCATCCCTTCAGCGCGGACTCGGCTGATTGATCAGATGTCCTTGGTCAGATCCCCTTGATGACCTTGCAAACCAAGTCGAGGATGTGAGTGCGGCTGTCACTAAGCGGTGTTTGTGCTGACGGACAGTGCCCCTTTCTTACTTCCCACTCTGCAAATCTTCTGGGCTATCATCGCATTTGCTCAATCCACCGTCACGCAGAATTGGCACCTATACCTCCTCCGGGCAATTACAGGTTTCCTTGAGGCCTCGTCTTTCGGCGGTACCCACTTGATCCGTACGTATCTACCTCGGCTGATTTTGCCAGCCGCTGATCTATGCAGTTGGAAGCTGGTTCAAGAACGAAGAACTCTTCAAGCGAGCCGGTGTCTGGTTCATGGGCAACTCTCTCGGGTCGATGTTCTCGGTGAGCCCGATCTTGGGAGCATCGTTCTGGACAGCGCTGACCTGCAGGGCTATCTTCAAGCTGCGATCTTCAGCGGTCTCAACGGAGTAGCAGGTCGTGCTGGGTGGCAATGGCAATTCATCGTCCGTAAGTCCGTCCTCGTTATAGCAAAGTCAAGCTCACAAGTCAGAGGGCATCATCACCCTACCCATCTGTATCATCGGCTACATCTTCTGGCCAGGTCTGCCCAGCTCTCCACGTCGATGGTACTTTTCCAAGGAAGAGCACGACCTCGCCGTCCGGCGAATCCCTCACGTCGAGAACGAAGGTATCACCTGGAAGACATTCAAGCTTACTCTTGGCCGACCGATGTTCTGGATTGCGGTACCCTGCTATGTGTAAGTCGATCCCGAGTCAGAGCTGACATCAGCTTTCTCTGCCAGGCCGCATACTGGACCACCTACATGTCCCTCTGGCTCAGCGCTGAAGGGTACTCGGTCCAGCTCCGAACCGTCCTTCCCACCTTTGTCGACCTCCTCAAAGCGATATCGAGCTGGCTCGGGACCACTCTGGCCGGTTCCCTCAGTCTCCGCGGCCTGTTCTCTTTCCAATGCGTAAGTTAACATGCGGTGCATCGCTGATGCTGTAGACAATGTTGACCTTTGCCCTGATCTGCCTCTCCATCTGGAATATCCCCTTGGGCCTCAAATTCGTCGCCTACTACCTCGGCGGGTTCAGCGGTATGGCCTCCCCGATCCTCTACTCCTTCGTCAACACCTCCCTCGCCGAATCATACGGCGAGCGTGGCCTGGTCATCAGCTCCATGATGACTCTCGGCTTCTCCTGCACGATCTGGGTCCCGCTCCTCATCTTCCCCACGGTCGAGGCGCCACGCTGGAAAAAGGGCTTCCCAGCAGCCCTGGTGTTTGAAGTCGCCATGTGGGCCATCTTTATCTTCGGAGTTTGGTACATGGCGCGATACAAGCTGCGGCAGAACAGGTCGGACGAGGAGGGGCGCTTGGACGCTGCGAGTGGGACCGAGACGCCGCTGGATGAGAAGAGGGAACTGGAGAGTGAGTCGGGCAGCGGGAGCCTCACACCGGTGGAAGTGGTGGCAGCGCATCTAGAGAGTACGGGTAGTAGAGTGGGCAAGTGATTGCGATCTAGATGCACTGCTTGACATCTGCTTGCGCACGAGAGCAAGAAATGGATGCCACGATGCGACCGCCACGACTTGACCAGCGGGGTTACGGCATTCAGGGCCTCCCGAGGAGGATCGGACCATGGTCACCATCGAATTTTCAGCGAACGTGCCCCAATTCCTTGCCTTCATCCTTCTCCTTCATCCATACCTTCTCTTACCCCTACAACTACCAAACAGATACATAATGGTCAGTCTCTCCCTACATATCACGTGCTACGGATGCTGCGATCAAGTGGCATGGAACAGGGTCAAGGGGGATCAAGTTCAAAGGTGGACAGCGCGCTTGGACCCCTTGCTCATTCGGCTCCTATCTGACAGCTGCGCTCCTTGAACACCTGCTGACTCCTCAGTCTCAATACAAGGTCGCTGATATCTCCCTTGCTGCTTTCGGCCGCAAGGAGATCGAGATTGGTGCGCTCTCCATATCTCATCAGATAGTGCAAGGGCTAACGTTTCAGCCGAGCACGAGATGCCGGGTCTCCTCTACCTGAGGAACAAGTACGGCAAGGAGCAGCCTCTCAAGGGTGCCCGCATTGCTGGCTGTCTCCACATGTGAGTTTACTCATGCTCGAGGCGTACTCTGCTGACTGGCAGGACTATCCAGACCGCCGTCCTCATCGAGACCCTCACCGCTCTCGGTGCCCAGGTCACCTGGTCGTCGTGCAACATCTTCTCCACCCAGGACCACGCCGCCGCTGCCATCGCTGCCACTGGTGTCCCAGTCTACGCTTGGAAGGGCGAGACCGAGGAGGAGTACGTCTGGTGCATTGAGCAGTCGCTCGCTTCGTTCCCCGACGGAAAGCAGCTCAACATGATCCTCGACGACGGAGGAGACTTGACCACCTTGGTCCACGAGAAGTACCCCCAGTACCTCGCCGGTAAGTCTTCATCTCTATCCGTGGGCTAGGCTGACCTTCAGACATCAAGGGTGTCTCTGAGGAGACCACCACCGGTGTCCACCACCTCTACAAGGCCTTCCGCGACGGCAAGTTGAAGATCCCCGCCATCAACGTCAACGACTCAGTCACCAAGTCCAAGTTCGACAACTACGTAAGTCCGCCGGATTGAATAGTGTACCATGACAAAGCTGACGTCTAGTACGGGTGCCGCGAGTCCCTCGTCGACGGTATCAAGCGTGCCACCGACATCATGCTTGCCGGCAAGGTCGCCGTTGTCGCCGGTTTCGGTGATGTCGGAAAGGGTTGCGCCGAGTCTCTCCGCTCGTACGGTGCCCGGGTCCTCGTCACCGAGATCGACCCCATCAACGCCCTCCAGGCCGCCATGGCTGGTTACGAAGTCTGCACGATGGAGGACGCCGCTCACCGGTCCAACGTCTTTGTTACCACCACCGGTAACCGTGACATCATCACCGCCGAGCACTTCAACGTGATGCCCGAGGACGCCATCGTCTGCAAGTGAGTGATCTCTGCCTATGCAAAGTCCCCGCTGACAAGCAGCATCGGCCACTTCGATGTCGAGATTGACGTTGCGTGGCTCAAGTCCAACGCCGTCAAGGCCGTCAACATCAAGCCCCAGGTTGACCGATTCACCATGGCTTCCGGCCGCCACATCATCCTCCTCGCCGAGGGTCGTCTCGTCAACTTGGGCTGTGGTACCGGCCACCCCTCGTTCGGTAAGCCGCTTCATCCGATCTGAAGCTATTGCTGACCGTCAGTCATGTCCTGCTCGTTCGCCAACCAGGTCATGGCCCAGATCGCTCTCTGGACCGACAACGCCAGCTACCCCCTCGGTGTCCAGTAAGTCTGCCCTGTTCGCCATTGGCATCGCTAATCCGTTAGCATGCTCCCCAAGTCCATGGACGAGGAGGTCGCCCGTGCCCACTGCCCCCAGCTCAACATCAAGCTCACCACCATGTCCGCCAAGCAGGCCGACTACCTTGGTCTCCCAGCCAACGGCCCGTACAAGCCCGACCACTACCGATACTAAGCGCATCATCTCAAGCCTCAACGGCTTTACGCGCTCGGTATTCGACTCGGTCTCGCCTCGGTCCCCCCTGCTCCTCGCTCTTATGGAGCTCCTGTCTCACGAAACTATAAAATATACCCTCCTCGACCCCACACAGCAATTGTACTACTAGTCTAGATTTCTCACTCATCAACAAAAAGGGCTTCAACTGCCCACGTTACGTCCTTCTCTTTCCGGTATCTAGCATTGCATAGGCTTTGTTTGGTTTGGGCTTCGGATCTCGTGTAGAGCTAGAACATAGATCTGGCTATGCATGAGATTGGCGGTACTTTAATGTCTACTCTTGCTGTACTACAAACCAGACAATAGCGCCTTTGCTGATCACGCTGTACGCCAGCCAATTCTTGGATGGGTGCCACGTCAAGGCGTTGACATTGAAGGGGACAGCGAATTTTGAGATGGTCTGACCGGAATGGACCGAGACCTGGCATCAGCTGTATAGAGTATTTGAACTGACAATGTAGATGAACGCCTCATCCCCTGCAAAGGCGATCATCTCCCCGTCAGGCGAGAAGGCTATATTCCGGATTCCGCCACTGCGCAGTCAGTCTTACTTCCCTGGTCAACGGTAGAGTCTGACTCACGTCGACACATCGTATGTCCTGGTACATATCCACTCTTTTGTGCTGAACAAGCTCAACAGCGCATCCTGACCGCCGACAGCGAGATACCGCCCCGTCGGATCCAGCCCCAAAGCCAAAAGGGACGCGCTGTGGACGATCGAGTGTTTTATCCGTTTGAGCTGCTGGGGGATTTTCCGAGCTGGAGCGGAAGATGTCGACGAGTTGAGCGTCGTTGTAGACTGTCCGAGGGGGTCATTGCGTTTGCGAGATGAGGGTGAGGATGGGCGGGAAAGGGTGGGTGGCGGAACGGTGGCCGAGGACCGAGTCACTGCAGTGTCCAGGGTGAGACCAAGTCCGCTTCTGTTTGGGTCGATCTCGGTATCACCAGTAGTATTGGCAGCATCCCCCATTTCGACGTCTTCTCCGTTGTTATCGCCTTGTGGCAGGGCGCTAGGCGTACCCTCCCGTGTACCGTTCCAACTTTTTGGGCTCGGTATCCGCGATGGTCCCGCTTCGATGTCCCGGGCAGGTGGAGAAGAGGGTGGAGTGGGCGGAGCCGAGGTGAGCGGGTAGTACCACGCATTGAGGGAGCCTTCATTGCCCACGGCACAGAGGTATTGGCCCGAGTTGGCGAATCGAAGGGAGTTGATCTGAATGTCAGCTCATGGCCTGACTGCCTCAGCATGGACGAAAGCTCGCTTCTTCGGCGCCGAGACCCTCGCCTGCCCCGCCTATCAACAGATCATCCCGCCTGACCCACTTCTCCACGCCATCTACCATCGTCTGATGGAAGAAGTAGACCTCATCCCGGATAGGCCGAGGGCAGACGACGGCAAAGTGGGTGCCATTGGGATGGAAGGAGAGGTGCAAGATATCGGAGGGGAGTTTTAGGGTCACTACAGCAAGCTTAGGAGCTGAAGGTCAGCTAGTTCTGGGACAGCACTCACTTCTTATGTCCCACACCGCGACGCAGCTTCCCGTGGCCGACGCTTTGCAGCCGGAGATGAGTATATTAGGATCTATAGGTGACCACGCAAGGCAAGCTGGCTGTCAGTCGAGCTCGTTTTCAACGAATCGCCTGCATTGTCCACTCACAGACATGGCCTCCGTGTGGGCTAGCTTTCTCGCCAGACAGTGGTAATGAGAAGGATGTTGCAGAGTCCATCTGCACAGTCAGCTCATACTTGAGCTCACGAGCCTGCTGGCTCACCTTCTCCCGTACATCCCATACTCTCAGTCCCCGCTGATCACATCCTGTCGCTACTTTCTTGCCATCACACGAGTATGCAATACTCCTTATAGGCCTGGTGTTTCCACCCCGTACATCCTGCGGCCTTCCGAAGCGAGGTACCTAGAGTATCAGCAAGGGGAATTTGCCACGACAAGATACCGGCGCTCGCCCTTGGGCCAGTGCATCGAGCCAGTGCAACTCACAGAGAGCTCGCGAGCATCATACTGTACATTATATATGTGGTCAGGCTTGCTGAGCTGATCTACTTCGGTCATGATAGGGATGGAGGAGATTTGGGAATGATGGATGAAGGCAAGCTCCTCGAAGCAAGCTCGAGCAGTTTCCGTGCGTGAGGAATGCAACAATGGGATCTATGATCTGTGACAGCTACAAGTGTGCTACCTATACAGCACCTTACATGCTCAGCATGACAGTACGGCCCTGCCTGGACAGACGCGCGGCTTTGTCACAACCCCCATATGGCCTGTACTGAGAATCTCAGTCGTGTCCAGCCCGCACCGTCGTTGTCAGATCCGAGTCTGACAAGCCAAACTGTCCCTTGGCCATTCCCCAGCTCGACTTGACCGCCTCGCTCGCGTACACCCTCATCTCCTTCTCATACGCCGCGGTGATGCCCTCCTTGTACCCTCCCGCCTCCTTCAGCAATCGCCCCAGCAGCGCCGAGTCCCGCACCGCCGTGTTCGCCCCGATGCCCCCAGCCGGTGTCATGGAGTGGGCAGCGTCCCCGATGACCGTCACCCTAGGGCTATTTGGCCATTCCGGCACCCCTGTCGGCGTAGAGATGGTAATCTTCCAGAACGCCGCCTCCAATTCATCCATCTCGTTAAAGAGTGGCTTGAACTTTGGGTGCCAGTCCTTGGTCAGCCGCTTCGCGAGATCCGCCGCGTCCTTCCCGATGATGGAGTAGTCGTCGTTGGGTGCGCGGACGACGCCTGGGGCACCGACCATGGTCCAGCCAAACTTGATGTTGGGGTCGTCCATCTCCCCCGGCCGGACATTGGTGATGATCATGAGTTCCGCGTTCTTATCCGTGTTGTCCCGTAGACGGAAGACGCCTTCCCCGAGTCCCTTGAATGCTGTAGTGGACGCCTGGCCGTGTATGCCCCTTGCACCGGTGTCGTAGACCTTGAGCATGCCGCCCGAAAGCTGCTTGGCCACCTCCGACTTCAGCCCTTCCCCGGCGACCAACATCGCGCCTTCCTCCGAGTAGGTCCCGTCCGAGAAGATCGCCTTGACGCCGTCCGCGGTCTCCTCGTACCCCTTGACCTGCTTTCCCCATTGGACGCACCCCTCGCTGCCCTGAAGGAACGCCTCCCGCATGTCTCCTCGGCTGATCCCGACGACTTTGCCTTCTCTAGATGACAAGCCTGCTGTAAGCGCAAGTCCATTTCCAGCAACATCCAGTTTCTGACACGGCCGACAGACCAGGCACATGGAGAGCCATCTAGGGGGTGAACTCAGCTGAGCCTCGACATACCTTCAGGGATTTTATGTTCTGTCTGCTCCCCGCTCACTGCATCAAACTCTGAAAATCCCATCCCGCCCGTCTTGCCGCACCGCCCGTAAAAGTCGGCAAAGCCATCCGGGCCGAGGACTTCCTCGATGGCGTCAAGTCCCTCAGCGCTCAGACGCAGCCGGTAGCCCTGCCCGCGAAAGTCGATAGCTTGGTCGCGCTCGAACACTACACAGGGGATCTTGGACCGGACGAGGGATCGGGCGAGAAGCAGGGAGGCTAGACCGCCTCCTGAGATGAGGATCGGCTTGGACATGATGTTGACCGGGGCGCGGTGGATGGGCTGATTCGAGGAGAGGGCGATGGACGTAGGGAGAACCTTTATAGGAGACCAAGTAGGAGATTTGCAGAGCTGGCGTGGACCTCGGCCTACCTCGGCGATCGGTCATGCTGATCAATGCCTTTCCGTCGGAACCGGTAGCGTATAGCGACCGCGAGCAAAAGTGGTTGATCATCCTATCCATGTACGCCGGCTGAACCTTCGCAGCGCTTTACCAGCTGCGCATACATCGCTCCGGGGCAGCATGAACATACTGCCGGTATAGGACGAGGGAGAGATAGCTTCCTCACAGCTTGGAACAATCGAGATATTCCGGTCCCAGCTGGTCTAGTCTTGTCACGCCCAGCAGCTTCATCCCGATGTCCATCTCCTCCTGCAGTACTGACTGATCAGCTCGTTCTGCCTTCGGTGAAAGATATGAAGACTGACTCATTACCGCCTTTTCGACACCCTCGGACCCCCAGCCTGTCGCGGCGTAGATGAAGGGCCTGCCCAGACCTACAGCTCTCGCGCCCAGACAGAGTGCCTTGAGTACGTCGGTCCCTCTTGTGATACCTCCATCAATGTAAACCTCGAGTCCGGCCTTGTGAAGGAGGTCTGGGCGGTTCTGATGAAGATCATATAATGTCTTTAGGGGACTAGCAGCTCTACTATGTCAGCTGATCCTCGCCGATTGAAGTGGAACTCACGTGTCCAGTTGCCTACCTCCGTGATTCGACAATACCACCGCGTCCGCTCCATACTGCTTAGCCAGCACGACGTCCTGGGATCAGAATCATTCCCCTGCGTGAGTATGAGAGACCACCCACCTCCCACGCCCCAATGCCCTTGACGATGATGGGCAGCCCAGGCGCTAACGATTTGACCCAAGCTATGTCATCCCACGTTATCGAGGGGTCATGGGTTCTGCACCGTCAACTTTCCTCCCGGTCAGAATTTACGCATAGGTCTTCTTGACTCTCGACATGGGCGTTCCGTGCGGGATCTACCTGTTAGCATTCACCTTACAATCTACTCACCTCTTCGCGCTTGGTGTGCATGTGCCGCTCGCGCTCCCTCTTTCCTAATATCGCGGTATCGGCGGTGATCCAGATAGACGCCGCTCCTAGCTCGACCGCGTGCTTAATCGCCTTGGCAGAGTTCTCTCTGAATGTCAGCTGTAGCCCGCGTAATCGCTCAGTAACATACCTGTCTGGATGGAGGTAGACCTGCCACCCAATCTTCTGGCCCTCTTTCGCCGCGGCGGCAATCTCATCGAAAGATTTTGACGCATAGTGCGAGACCACCTGCATGATCCCAGCATCGGCCGCCCCGCGCGTGACTGCTACTTCTCCCTGCATGTCAGCCAGAGCCCGCCGCACAGGAACATGCTTACATCGGGCTGACCCAATCCATTTCTAGCAGTTGGCGAGACGTATATCGGTATAGCACTCGGAACGCCCAGGATGGTAGTCGAGGTATCAGGCTCAGCTACGTTTCGGAAGACTCTTGGTCGGAACCGCACCCGCTGAAACGCTGCCATGTTGTCATGCATAGCTGACCTATCAGCCAGAATCCGCATCGGAGGACTTACAGTGCTCCGCATCTGCGCCGGTCGAGTAGTAGTACCAGGCATCATCGGTCAACAGGTCGCGGGCATATCTCTGCCCAGTCAGTCCGCGCGCGTCAGGTTAGCTGCTCACTGACCTCAAAGTCCGGGACGCTGACTACCGAATCCACGCCACATAGCGTCGCGCGCTTCGCCGCTATCCGCTCTTGCTCCTCATCTCGCTCCTGGCCCGGCTTTTTTACCACTACCATCAGCGAGTTCTCCCTTCTCACTCACGGCTTGGATCTAGCGGGCCGACTAATCGGACATGATCGACTTGCTGCTTGAGCGTATCTGGAGGATGAATTCCGTTGAAGAGTCTGCTCGTCAGCCCGAGCTGTATGCGCGGCCTCACTTGCTAGCGTCCTTGCCGCTATTATCTATCAATACTTGGGCTCCACCAGGCTGCCAAGTTCAGCGCGTCCTCAGGCGAGACAGGAGATAGACGTACATGTATAGCTGCAAATGCAGTCACGCTGCAGACGTGAGAATGAGTCCAGTCAGCATGTTAGTGTTGACTCACTCCCAGACCTGACCATTCACTGCTACCCAGAGACTGTCTTCAGTGCTGTGCTTCTTCAACAGCTCGGCAGTAACAAAGGCCGGCGCACTGTCAACCGCGGGACTCGCGCGACGGGCATCGACCTCACATTGGATCGTTTTATCGCGAGAATTGATTACTACTCCCATGACGACCTGCGTGTCAGCTTTCGCACAGACGGAGAGAGGCACTCTGCCCACTATTGCTGCTGCCGCCATCGATCCGACAGTGGCCATATTGACAAGAGAGGCGTGTTTAGGGGGGCTGCGATACTGGGACGCCATCCTCCGCGAGAGTCTTTGGGCTAGCTGTGCCCGCTGCGCTCCGGCTGTACGCCAGAGATGAGCAGCTGTAGGGGCGAATGACATTGTCCGGTCAACGTCCTTGCCGCTGTGGCTACGCGAGCTCAACAGAAAGTGAGAACGCAAGAATGGATCACCCAGAATCTTGACAATCTCGTACGCCTTCGCCTCGCGCTTCGGGCCGAAGTCGCCGAGCCATGCTTCTCCAGCAGCTGCTTCAAGTTTGAGCCTACAGGACTTGTAGTGCATTCTACCACCTATGAGATACTACAAGATGCTATGAGATGCGACTGACAGAGATTGAAGCTACGGAAAGAATTATCTAGCTAATACCTAAGGCCATGACCAAATCTATGGACCGGCTCCTTGGTATCAAACGGCACATCCGCCCTGCTCTCCGCCACCGCCGCGTTGCTCCTCGGCAAGTCGAAGGGCAGCTTCCCCATCGGCGACGACTCTCCGAACAACACGCTCAATACCGCCTCGTCCGACGCCCCATAGTCAAGAATGACCGCCGCCGCGTCCGTTGCCAACGAGCCGAGCACGAGAGGACGATCGGTAAAGATGTTGAGGACGACCTTGGTTTGCTTGGACATCTCGGCAATGCGGTCCAGCTCGGCCTGAGGGTACTCGAGCGATCCGTGGTGGTGGTTCCGGGCAAACGCTCCCTTGCCAAAGGTCTCGTAGGGTGCGCGGATACGGAGGATGGCAAAGTCGGCGTCCGAGTGGGAGGTGACGGGAGAGCCGAACTGGGAGGGGATGGGGTCCTTGAAGCCCTCAACGTAGAGCTTGACGCCTGTGGAAAGGGGAAGGACCGAGTTGTTGGAGAGCAGGGTGAGGGAGTCCTTTTGCGCCTTGAGTCCTGCCGCCTTAAAGTCCGCCCTCCCCACAATCTTCTCCGCCGCCTCAACGTCGACGTAAGGGTTGTCAAAGAGGCCGAGCTCGAACTTGTCCTTGAGCAGCTTGCGCGCCGACCGATTGATCCGCTCCTCCGAGACCCGCCCATCCTTGATCACCTTGATGAGGACGTCCTCGCAGTACTCTCCGCCAAATTGGTCCACGCCCGCCTCCAACGCGCTGATGACCCGCTCCTCCCTGTCGAGATGCTCCACCCCCCACGCCTTGGCCTCCGCCAAATCCCCCACGACATCCGGGTTTGGCAGGTCGCTAATGACACACCAGTCCGCCAGTACCACCCCCTTGAATCCTAGCTCCTCCTGCAAGAGGTCCCCGATGACGCCCTTGTTGTACGCCATAGCCACCTCCTCGTACTTCGTCCCCATCGGCTTGCCATACGAGGGCATCATGACACGCGTACCGGCCGAGATCGCCGAGCGGAAGGGTTTGAGGTGGTAGTCAAAGTTGTCACCCGGGTAGATCTGCTTGGCGCCCCAGGCAAAGTGAGGGTCGAGGCCGTCCAATGCAGGCGCGCCGCCGGGGAAGTGCTTGACGCAGGCAGAGACCGAGGTGGGGCCGAGCGATCCCGAATCGTCGCCCTGGAGACCCCTGACATGGGCAGCGACTAGCTTGCTCGCCAGATCCGCATCCTCCCCTAGACCGCCAATGATCCTGCTCCACCTGTACTCGGTCGCCAGATCCGCCTGCGGGTGGAGCGCCGCCCTAAACCCCACAGCAACGTACTCTTGCCTGACAATATCGGCAAACTCCTCCATCCGCTTCTCATCCCGCAGCGCCACCATCCCCATACTCTCCGGCCAGGCTGAAAAGACACCAGCTGACATGGAGTGCCCCGCCAGCTCCCGGAAAGCGTGCCGCGGGTCCGAGCTAAGCGTAAGGGGGACGCCGAATTCCAGGTCCATTGCGATCTTTTGCGCAGCATTGTAAAATTCGGCGTGCTCGCGGATGGTGGAGAATTTGCCCATGAGATTGAGGTGGTTGAGACCGCGCTGGAGTAGCTGTCGACCAGAGGGAGAGTCCCAGATGGCTACCGAGGGCGCGTCGAGGGACGGGGCGGCCGCCAAGATAGTTTGGAACATCATGGCGGCCTTGCGCTCGACGGGCAGGCGCGCGAGGAGGTCCTCGACACGCTCATCGACGGAGAGATATGCGTTTTGGTAGGGATAGGACATGATGCGTTGACTGGGTGGACGGCGAGGGGCCTACCCGGGCTGGGAAGAGCGACATTGCTTATATGCGGGAGAGCCAGAGGAAGCCAAGGAGGGACGAGAGCGGGGGAGACTTCGTAAGTTTAACCGAGAATTCTCCGCAGTTTTTCCGGAAGTGGCTGTCGGCCGAGCAGGCCTCCCGCTCACCGGCCGTAAGTTGTCCAGCTGGCCGATGTGGATCAGAGCTGCTCAGCTCAGCGCCGACCACTGATCAAGCACAGTTGCGGAAACTATATACCCGGATCTGCATTGACTACATAATTTCATGATATTACACTTCCAACTTGTCGTCCCCACTCTCTCTGCGCTCCTTGAACTCGTGAGACTCCTTCTCCTGCATCCGCTCCGCCATTGTGCTCCTTCCGACCTTCTTGCCCTCAAACGCAGCCTCAATCTCCTCGAGTGTACGGCCCTTGGTCTCAGGCATGAAGAAATACTCGAGAACGGATCCAACAGTTGTCTGTCTGTCAGCGGGGTCCTTGCACGAGAATATTGGGGACTCACGCAAGCAGCAAAGATAAAGAACAATCCACCGGGTACGAGGTTGGTAATCATGTAAGGGACAGACTTGGCGATCATGAGGTTGAAGAGCCAGTGGACGGCGGTGCAGATGGCCATGCAGAAGACACGAATGTCGAGGGGGAAGATCTCGGCGCAGTAGATCCATGGGATACCAGCGTACTGGCAATCAGCTTGAACCTGACCAGTCGAGCTACAGACTCACGGAGAAACAGAAAGAGACAGCCCAGAGGAAGATCATGACGATAGCGGCGAGCTGAGCAGACGAGATGGCAGCGCCGGCAGCTTGGGGAGGGAAGGTGTGGGTGAGCGCGCCGATAATCCACATGAAGACCGCCATCGCTCCACCACCCCAAACGAGCATCTGGACACGGCCGAACCGGTCGGTGAAGAAGACCATGGCGATGAGGGTAGCGACGAAACGAACGACACCGTAAACACCGGTAGCAAAGAGCTGTGGGTCAGTCAGGCCTGATATCGCAAGACAATGTGCTCACCTTGGCGGATGAAGAAGAAAGACCGAACGATTGGAAGATCAACGGCGAGTAGTAGTTGACAGCATTGGTACCAGCCATCTGGAAGAAGACCATGACGAGGACACCAGTGATGAGTCGGCGAGCATTGGCCTTGCCGAAAGTGCGGCGGAGAGCGGTAAACTTTTCGAGGGAAGCAGTTTGGGCGTGCTCAAAGGCTACCTGCTCCATGATGGAGTTGAGCTCGGCGCGGACGTAAGGGTGGTCCTCGGGAAGACCGCGGATGTAGGCGAGATCGTGTGAAGCTACAAGTTAGCCTTGGAACCGGTGAAGAGGTTGGACTAGACATACCCTTCTCCTGACCAAACTTCTTGGCGGTGAAACGCGGTGACTCCTTCAGGAACCACATGGCGACGATGCAAGCGACGGCGGGAATGAGCTGGAGTGCAAAAGGCAGACGCCACTGGACCGTTCCTTTTTGAGTCTGGAGGACCGCATATGGGATCCAGAAACCGACCTGGCAATCAGCCAAGCCCAGTCTGACACAAGGAAAAAACTTACCATCGTACCAAACTGCACACCGACTTCGTAAAGACCGACTAGTCTTCCACGGATGTGCGCGGGACTGCACTCGGCGACGTAGACGGGGGTGATCATGGACGATGCGCCGACGGCCCAGCCGGTGAGCAGACGACCGGTGTAGATGAGACCCACGCCAGCTTGGCCCGAGGCACCGGTCATGAGTGCCGCGCCCAGAGTATAGATGACCAAGTTGATGATGATGGACCAGCGCCGACCGAGACCGTTGGCCATGGGAGACGAGATGAGGGCTCCGCCGACGGCTCCGGCTTGGAAGACAGAGACGACGTTGGATGAGAAGTTGGTGACATAGTCCGCTGGCGCTTTGGTGAGGTCGAAGTCGGCAAGGAAAGCGGGGAGGGTAATGACTCCGCCGATGAATCCTGGCTATCAGCTAGGTCCAGAGCTCGCAGAACGAGCAGCTTACCCAGGTCGTATCCATACATTATAGCAGCGCAGGCCCCGAACTGGTATTTACACGTCAGCGACGAGCAGAGAGGGCAGACAATCAAGGGGGCTCATATGGTGACGAGCAGACATGGGAAATGATCGCTCACCATTCCGAGCGCAATAACTCGGTTGTTGGTGACCTCCTTGGGAGGGACGTGCCCCATGGCATCAGGGTGGACTCGGAAGGCATCGCGAAGGTTGACCATGGCGTCAGATGTGTGTCGTGTAGAGCGAAAAGCTTTGAAGGGTAAGTGGGGTAAGTGGTGGCCCCGCTAGGGGGTCAGTATATAAGTATTTTCGCTGCGGTTTCTCATGGCCCGTGGATGATCAAGACACAGTTGCGCGATGGGCTCTGCTGGGTCCTGACTGTCCGCTGATAAGCCGAGAGGCGAAGCCGATAGAAGCCGGTCCGAAAAAGAGGAGACGAAGGCAATTCAGGAATGAGGGTCTCGGAAGCGGAGAGGTGCGGGGACGGATCTAAAAATACGACTTGTTTCTAAAAGGACCCTTTTGACTCTGTATAAAGCTCTTCTTCCCCAGTGTGGCAGTGATGGGCCCCGCCAAACGGAGATTCTAATGCCAACAGGAGAATGATCAACCGGAAACTTCAACCGGGTGACTTTGAGCAGGTGAAGACGGAGTGATACCGCCGGTGCGGCAGGTGCTCTCGCACCCCACTCACGCCCCGGAAGTCCTTGCGCACGGCTGCTCCGAGACTTGGTACCCCGAATGTCATCGGACAAGTCACAACGGTCACCAATAGTGGACCCGAAGCATTCCTCTATAGCGTCTTCTGTCTATCTATCCACGGGCAAACATAATCTCTTTGACGGCCGACTCCACCTGGGCGTCCACTCCCAGCGCCTCCAAACGACTGAGTCGCACATGCGGCTTGCCCTCCGCCTTGACAGCGTTCCAGATGTCCAGCTTGGGGTTGTGCCCAATCTGCATACTGTTGAGCAGGCGCTGGATCCGAGGGAGGACATCGTTGGTCTCGTCCAGCTGCGGGTTGGCCGGGAGGGAGATGATGATATCGCTGGACGTGGGGAGGGAAGGGAGTTCGATAACGGTGTGGTATTGCTTTCTGTTGGCGGTGATGTCAATGTCTGACCCCGCTTTGGCCGTGATGTTGAACGAGTTGGTGTAGGCCGGAAGGCGGATAGACCATTTCCGCTGCTTTACGATGTGGTTGGCCGACGAGTGGATGGTGATCGTACCGGCGGACTGGTTGAGGGTGATTTTGGTAGTGCTAAATTTGACCTCCTCCACCTGCGCACCGCTCCCGTCGTCCTCGAGCAGCTCATACTCCCCGTCCGCGCCCACCACCACGACTGCCTCCATCTCTTCGGGTATCAGACACCCATTCCCGACTTCCTTGGTCGATTCGAGCGGGATGATCGCCCCTGGCTTGGCCAGCACCGGCAACGACTCCAGCGTCCGGTGCAGCGCCGTCACCCTGTCCCCATCGTACACCACGTACGTGAACAGATCCACCCAAAGCCCTGGCGGCAACCAGGTGTCCGCCCGACCCATCATGGTTCCCTTGTCCCGCGGACTAGTAATGGGGTTGATGATGAGCTGAGTACCGAACGTCGATTGATTCTTGTTCTTGTACGCCTCGGACCGGTGCGAGTAGTCGTAGTAGATGGGCTCGACGAGCGATCGCCCTTCTGTGGCGCACCGGATGGCCTCGGTGTACGTGTAAGGGACGAGGCGGTGGCGGAGGCGGAGGAAGTTGGACTGGACTTTCTCGGCCTCGGCGCCGTGGTGCCATGGCTCGCGGCAGTTGAAGGGGTTGTTGGAAGAGTGGAGACGGAGGATGGGGGAGAAGCAGCCGAGCTGGACCCAGCGAGTTGCAAGCTCGTCATCCTGGAGGTCAGCATGGCTTCAGGAATACAGCCAGATACACACCTTGATTCCAGCCCAGTGTCCCCCGATATCATGCGACCACCAGCCAAATCCGATGTTCGCTGCTGTAGCAGTGAATTCTGGCTGGAAGTTGAGCGTGTCCCAGGTGACCAGCGCGTCCTGATCGTCAGCTCTATCCAGACTTTTGCCAGATAAACTTACGCCTGAGAAACCGATAGGATAGCGCCCGCTCCCTGGTCCCGCATACCGAGAAAAGGTCATAGGCCTTCCCATCCGCCTAGTCGAGTCGATAAAGTGATAGTGATTGAGCATCCAGAGCGGATCGATACCGGGTATGCGCGAGTGCGTTCCCTGCTGCCAGTCGATCCACCAAAAGTCGGCGCCTTCGTCCTCCATCGGGTGATGCAGCGTGGTCATGTACGCCGATAAGAATTCACGGGATGTACAGTCAAAGTTGACGGGCTGGTATTAGCTTTGACTCTTGCGTTGACTCACATGTTTGTCAGATGGGTCCCTGTTGAGCACCTTGCACATCTCGGGATACGCGTCCTCGAAGCCGCGGACACCGTCGGCGGGATGCGTGTTGAGTGTGATTTTAAGGTCGCGATCGTGGAGCTCCTGCATGAACTTGACGTGATCTGGGAAGAGCTTCTTCTCCCATCTGCCATCAGCTCAGTCACACTGACCACTCACGTATAGCCAGTCCAGGGCGTTCCGTATTCTTCCGGGATGTCGACCTTGTGCCAGTCCATATCTATCACTGCAACAGCAAGTGGCACCTTCTCCTCCTTGAAACGGTCCATTAATTCGAGATAGCCTTCTCCCGAGTATGGATCTAACATCAGCTATAGCTCGCGACTTCACTCACAGTATCGCGACCACCAATTTCCCAACGCCCATCTGGGCAGCATTGGCGGCTTTCCGCTGATCTCGTAGTAGATGCGCAAGGCTTCCCGGAAGTCTGACTGATGAGCTCGGCACCTCAAAAGCTGGATGACCTCACCTCCTCCGTAGCCAAAGAGATAGCCGTCAATCCGGCCCTTGACGCGGGTATCAACCCATCCGTCCGGGGAGAAGATCATCGAACCTGAATCGTCAAGAACCGTGATTGAGCTCTGATGGATCAGTGTCCCGTACTCCATGAACCCATGCAGGACTGGGCTTACAGGGGACAAGATACCCTCCTCGAGCTTGGTCCGCCCATCAACACCATCCAGGGTACGACATGTCCCGCCCAGCGTTCCTGGAGTAAAGCCATATCGCCAGGTCTGCATCCACTCCTGGCCGACTACTCTGTCAGCTATGCCGCAACAGATTGATTAGATGAATCATGCTCACTCTTGGCTCTACAGTCACAATACAATCCACTCGCAGTGAACGCCTTGCCATCATACTGCAAGTGCAGCCTATCCGTCTTGATCTCCAATCCCCCCTCATTGTCCCTGAGGACATTGTACTTGGGCTTGGGAAGATTTCGGTGTACCGCAAAGGTAGACGCGCGGTCTTCAAACTTGCCGTCCGGAGAGTACTCGTATCGGATACATCCCTCAGAGATGACGGTGAACCGGTAGTTTTCACCTTGGACGGTTGATTCGGGGTTGGGGGTCGGGTCGTACGCTGAGAAAAGCGGGGAGGGGGTTGTGACGCTGTTTTTGAACTCTAACGGAGACGACATGCTGCGCGGGCTGTGCTTCCACCACGAACAGAGATGAGGAAGTAGAGGGAATGATGCAATCAAGGTAAGCAAAAGGGAACAAAAAGTCGAGAAGGGCCAAGCGAAGCTAAGGGGAAGGTGACGTCAGAGATCCACATTCCTCAGCGAAAATCTCCGACGCGCCGACAGAAGATGACCTTGTTCGCGATGCGATACATAGCCTCAGCACTGTCTTAGCAACCTATGTTGTTCTATTTGGAGTGATCATGGCTTCCGGAGTGCTCTCAGGTATGTTCAACAGTCAACTTGGCTGACTTCCAGTCTGGTCTCTCTGGCTTGAGCCCGACGAGAAGACCAACCTCAAATTCCGCAATGCCATCACCTCCCTGTCCTCCCTCTCGCCCGCTTCACCCAACTTCCTGCCCCACGTAACCCTTTACGGCTCCATCGATCTCTCTACCGAACCATCCGTCATCCGCAAGCACCTCGAGGCGATTATAGCCCAATCGCGCCAGTCCGAGCCTCTGCGCCTTCCGGTCCTGTCCCCATCGACAGGCGAGGCATTCTTCCAGTGCATCCTAGCTCCCGTAGAGCCAGTAGAGCCGCTGCTGAAGCTACAATCGCGCTGCGAGGAGGTCTGGGGTCGGAAGTCGCCATACTTCCCCCATGTCAGTCTGAAGTACGGGGATATTGGCGCGGAACGAAGGGAGGAGATTGCCGAGCGGGCGAGGGAGGAGTCCTTGCCGGAGATGGTGGCAGTGAGGGGAATCAGTATTGTGCGTTGTGTAGGGATGGCAGATCAGTGGGAGGTGGTAGATGTTGTACCATTTGATTGAGAGACCGTGCAAGCCAGCTTGCATGAAGACTACCCTATGCTCACATCGTGATTGCTAATCCTTCCCAACAGCCCACGTCCCCAACAGCCCACGTCAGGATCTCCTGGCCCGGCGTGTCACATCCATCGTGATACAGAGCACAGCGATGAGCGCGATATCCACACCTGGAGCAATATTGACGGCATACTAAGCAAAATCAGCGCCCACATGGGGATGAGCGGGAGAGGTCAAGTGTGCTGACTTACAGTCTGGGCATTGGTGAAGATGTGACGTGCACTCGCAAAGTCGCTCACAAGTTGAGCGATTGGCGGCCCAGCTTTGCCCAGGCTGAGGATTGCCGATCCGCCTAAGATTTCGCCATGTAGATAGATGCTGGTAGGCTGGCTGGTAGTTGTGTTCATGAAGGTGGCTTTCATACTGGTACCAACTAAGATGTCATCAGCTCAGCTGTCTGTAATAGTAAGGGCAGGCTCACATCCCACGCGTTTGACGATTTGGACGATCTCGCGTCCTGCTGGATCCTCTACGATGAACGTCCTCAGGAGCGAGAACGCCGGCGAGCGGATGTGGCAAAGCTCCTTCCCCTGGCTGTCCGTGACGACTAATGCTGTCAGCTCTAGTGGTAACCGTGAAAGATAAGCGACCGTGCGTCGGTGCCAAACTCACCCTTTCTGCCTCGTATAGACATAGCCTGCCCTTGGCAGATCACCACAGCAACCCCGTTCTGGTCGCAGACTTGGAAGTCACCCTCGAAGGTAAGCTCGACGTCCCCTCACATCGCTCGGGGAGGCGGGACTCACACCGGTGAGGGAGAATGCCTGCCTTTGGACGGTAAGCGTAAGAGGTCCACCTACGCAGAATTGGGGCCAGACGGCGATATTGGGGTCTTGCGGGCTGAGTCGTTGCATGTAGATCAATGAGTGAGATGTTGTCAGAAGAAGACAGAATGGATGCTGTGCAGCTCGGTCCTTGCGACTTGTGTGTGTTAGCACAAACTTAAAGTAACGTCCATGCGGACAGCTGTGTGTGTGTTGTGTGAGATCGGATCGCGCGGTACTTGCGGGTGTGTAAATGTCAGTACAGCAAGAAATTAAAAGCCATAGACGTATGGCTTGTATATGGTCCACAGATATCGAGCGCAGTAGATGAGGGAAGGTGACAATTGCCCATGGCATGTCCTGCAGCTATATGAGCTGTACAATTGTACGGAACACATCTGCACAATCACGTGCTCCCCCGGCTTCCATGACCCCGCCCGCCTCATCTCCGCCCTGCCTCGCGTGTCTCATCCATAGCGATGCACAGCACAGCGATGAGAGCGAGGTCGACCCCGGGAGCAACATTCACAGCGTACTTGACCGTATCAGCTCCGTCCTTTGCAAAGCTTCGAAATGGAGAGCCGTCTTACGGCTCGACTCACAGTCTGAGCGTTGATGAAGATGTCTCGAGCACTCGCAAAGTCCCTCGTGATCTGAGCGATCGGTGGGCCACCTTCGCCCAAGCTGAGAACCGCAAATCCGCCAAACATATCGCCATGCAGGTATATGTTGGTGGGTTGGCCGGTTACAGCGTTCGTGAAGGTTGCTTCCATCTTGGTACTGACTACCAGAATTAGCTCAATCTGGATGCTAGCTGCATACGATATGCGGAGACGACTCTCATCCCATGTGCTTGACGACTTGAAAGATCTCTTGTCCTGCCGGATCCTCCACCACGAACGACATGTGCAGAGAAAGCGATTTCGAGCGGAGATGGCAGAGCTCCTTCCCTTGGCTATCGGTGATTACTGTGTCGTCAGCACACACTCACATCATCATGACTGTGAAGGATCATGCGCATCAGGCATGCCTAAGCTCACCCTTTCTGCCTCGTAGCGACATGCCCTGTCCCTGGCAAACGACAACTGCGACCCCGTTCTGGTCGCATATCCGAAAGTCATCCTAGGTCGTCAGTCCCTGCAGCAAGCTCTTGGTATATTGACTCACGCCAGTGAACGAGAAGGCCTTCTCCTGCAGAATGAGGGTAGTAGGTCCGTTCACGCAAAACTGTGGCCACACGGCGATGTTGGGGTTCTGTGGGGCGAGCTGTTGCATGATGCCTAGGCGGTGAGAGTAGGTGCAGTACAAGTGGAGAAAGCTTGCGTCAGTCGATGCGGTTGAAGCGTACTTGTCAGTCGGAAGCGCGGAGGCATGTGGTGCTATGTGGCGTGCGGACCATGTGGACGGAGCACATGTGCCAAGCGGAGCCGGTATCTGCTTAGTCCGGTTGACGTACTTACAATTGTAGCACTGCATGACGTACAAGCGCAGAGGCGCATGCACCCGCCCAGCTGATGTACTCGGGTATGTGATGGATCGAACGCCCAACGCTGTGAGCCATAGCACTTTAGTGACTGCGGAGCGAAGAGAGGACGTTGCGAACAGGCGGTTATACCAGGCTTTGAGCACATTATGGGGCAACATCCGCTACCGCTGCCTAAAATGTGCTCCTTGGCGCTGGACGGCGGCGGCGGGGAGACTCGATCAGCCGAAAGACCGGATGACTGTCCGTATGTGCTGTAGACTGTGAAGGCGCTATCAGCGTCGCTACATGCTGATATGTAGTTCGATCAAGAGATCCGAGAAATCAAGGTGTTCCATATGTATAGCGCTACATTTATACTTCTTTCCGGCTCCGTCTCAGCTAGTTCTTCTCATTCTTCGCCTCATCTAGACATATACACAACGCCGATATAAGCGCAAGATCCACCCCAGGCGCGACCGTCACCGCATACTAAGCAGGGTCAGCTTGTCCTCATTCTAGCGGGAAGATCCGGAACATGAGGGGTGGAACGTACAGTCTGGTTGTTTGTAAATATCTCGCGCATATTCCCCAACTGCCTCGTGATCTGCGCAATAGTCGGCCCTCCTTCGCCCAGGGTGATATCGCAGGACCCACCCCAGAAGTCTCCGCGCATGGCGATCGTGATGGGTTGGCCGGTGATGACGTTTGTAAATTGTGCTTCCATCTTGGTACCGACTGAAGAGGTAAGCGACAGACAGGTCAAGTACCCATTGGAGCGACTTACAGCTGAGCTTCTTGGTGACTACCAGCAACTCCTTGCCTTGGGGATCCTCAGCTACAAACGTCTTGCGGAGGGACATCATCCTCGAGCGCAAGTGGCAGAGCTCCCGCCCTTGGACGTCAGTGATGACTGCACTATCAGCACCTTCCTCCAAACACCCACTGACCATAGTGGATCATGCTCACCTTTCCTATCCCTGAAGGAGAACGCTTTGCCTGAGCAGACAACGACCGGGATCCCATTCTGGTCCTTCACCTGGAAATCGTCCTATCCATCAGCTCCTGATTCTCCCCGTAGCAAGGAAGCTCAACCTACTCCGCTGAATGTGAACGCCTTCTCTTTGAGTATGAGCGTAGTGGGCCCGTTCACGCAGTAGGCTGGGAAGACAGCGACGTGCGGGTTCTGAGGGACGAGCTGTTGGGTCGGTCCACCGAAGATTAGGTTCTGCATCTTGTGACGGTAGATGTTGGAAATTTGGTGTAGAGATTGATGAGCTTGATATCTGATTGAGTATGGAGAAGGCTGGTAGGTGCGGAATGTTCTATATGTACAGTCTCTACAGTAGGATGCTGTGTCCCGGCTCTTGGGTAGACCATGCCAAGCGGACGGAGCTGGAGCGGTGCTCAGCGACTCCGGGTCCGCTGGCCGATATGACGTCATCAGGTGGCGAGCGAGGAATGAGGGCTCTCCAACAAGCTGCTATGAGCTGAGCTGAGTGCGAAGACTAGGCGAGGATGAAGCGGAGGCAGCAGAGAAAGCTATGCATCTATGTGAATACTAGTCTACCACTGCCAAATTCCGGACCCCGCACCTTTCCGCCCCCACATCGCCCTGGCCCTTCTCGCCTAGTCACCAGCCCTCAACCTCCCTCTATCGCTCCCACCACCCCTTCCACATCCCAGCCCAAAGTAAACACCTCAAGATCCAATACCCACTCACGAGACCGAAGAACCCCCACACACGGCTCAAAACCCGAAGGTGAGCGGGTGGCGGGGGGACGGAGGCGGAGAGGTAAAGAATCAGAGGGGTGGTTCCGATAGTCGAGATGAGGATAGGGTAGATGAGGGCGGAGAGGAGATTTTGGGTAGATGATTTCGTCGAGATAGGTTGGATGTGATGTGTGGAACGTAGGGTATCGTTGACCGAGATGTGTGGTATGTCGAGACGGGTATACGATACCGATGACGACCAGCGCCGAGATGACCTGCCCTCTCATACTCCCTCAAAGCTTACGCCACTACTTCTCTCCTCTCCGCCACTCCCACCGGCGTCCCCCGCTCCACCGTCTCCCCCTGTACTCCCCCTGCCTCGCCCTCCAGATCCGCCAACAATCTGATCATCCCCTCATCCCACTCCAATTCGGCGCGGCTCCACTCATTCTCCGCCGGTCGCACCTCGCCCGACCCTTCTTGGTTGGTCCACTCCGCCATGCCCTGGTTGGGCCCGGCAAAGGAGAAGAAGGTATCCATCCCCTGATCTTGGCCAACGCCACCAAGACCCGCGCCACCCCATCCAGCCTTTCCGCCGTTACCCTGAATCCACCCCGGTGCACCGCCGCCGACATGCCCAAAATCAAGCCCGAGTCCGTTCTCGCCCGCTGCAGGGACCCCTCTGTTTGCACAGGGGGGGTCGCCACCGCTGCTGGGTGGCAAGCGAGAAGGTCGGGGGATGATTGTTGGGTGGTGTCGATGGTGGTTTGAGGTGTGGAGAGGGTGTAGAGGGTGGGTGAGATGAGTGAGGAGGGTTGCGAGAAGGTGGAAGAGTTGACGGGTGCGATGGAGTCGGTAGGTTGGGGAATGAAGATGGAGTCCCAGTCAAGGGGAGGGATGTCCATCGCGGAGGGTAGTGGTGGCGGAGCGACAGAGACTGGCTCCGCGATCCCAGCGCCGAGGTTGGACAAAGCCATCATGTGCTTGACGAGCCCCTCGAGGTGACTGTTCCGAGCGCGCAGAGAGGCTACCTCGATCTGCAGCGCGTCGGCCGAAGTGACGGGACACTCTTCAAGCTTGACGCCCGGCGGTGGAGGAGCGACCGCGGCGAGGTTGATACCGCCGAGTGATGGTCCGCTGGATCCGAGGTCGAGCGAGAATAATGATGGAGAACCCTCTGCGAGCGGGGATGGTGCGCTCACAGCGACCTGACCGACGGCTGACTTCGGTGTGTTTGACGCGAGGGTCGTCGACCCGCTCGGGCCACTCCGTAATCGCCGATTCTCCTCCTCGAGCTCGACGACGCGGACCTCAAGCCATGCGAGATGGGCTTTGCGCTGGTTCCGAGACCTTTGGGCAGATTCGCGATTCCGGATGGTCTGATGATCAGCTTGGCTCGAGTATAACTTTACGCCAAGACGTACCCTGGCATCCTTTCTCGCCAGCTTCTCCTTCAGCGTCTCGTCGATAGGTCCAACGTCATCCTCGTCCATTTCCTCATCGTGATGTGATGATTCGGCGCTGGACGTAGAAGGGCGTGGACGCTTGGCTGATGGGGTAGAAGATGAGGAAGGGAGGGCGCGCTTGGAGCTGGTGGCGATGTTTGACATGGTGGCGGGATTATAGATGGTTGTCGAGTGGGAAGGGCTGGACAGCGAGAGGAAGTGTGGGGCTAAGGTGTACAAGAGAGAAGCTAATGTTACAAGGGACGGGTCACGGTCTATGGGCTGGTGTGGAGTGTATCGTGCTGGAAGGTACAAAGAGAACAGAGAGATGCCACGTCGACAGCTGGGCCCACAGCACAGCCAAGGGAAACAAAGGAATGTGCTGGAGCAAAGATGGAGTTCCCGTCTAGACTCCGTGTGCCACACCGGAACTTCCCGCTTTCGGATTTGGTTCCGTCCTGTGAGGCTCAGCTTGACCTTTGCTTTGCTCGCACTTGAGCTATAAGACCATCCTCACGCTCTCCCAAACGCCTCAACCACTCACAAACATTGCCACCATGTCCGCAGCTACCTGGAGAGAATTCATGACGTGAGTATACCACTCCAATTCGAAAGAGCCAGAATGGTCAGCTAGCAAGAGAGTTATGCTGATCTCAATCTTCTCTCCCTATTCGTGCGCATCTCCCTATACTCTCTCCTACACGATCTATACCTGCTCGCCGTCGCCCCATATTCGACCTCGACGCATCCTCATATGATCAATCCGAACTTGCCGAAACAGCTGGAACAAGTACACCCAGATCGCGTCCAGGGCGGTCCGCCAGGCGCTCACCGAGACGGAGCGGGTTGGGGCTGAGCGTCGGGCTCAGATTGGTGTCAGATACCAGCTGTGGGAGAATGGACAGGGTGGAGAGTCGGTACGTTGCGTTTCCCTGTAGGGTCTGAAGGTGCAAGGAGGCGGGGCGTAATGCCGAATGCTGGAGGCAGAGAGGGCATAAGGGGGGAACTACGGGGGAGGCTATGCTCGGATCCGGCATGGAAAAGGCGGGAAAATGGAACAGAAGCTGACCCTGCGCAGAAATTCGTCATTCCCCAGGTGGAGAAGAGCGGCAAGCCAAAGGACACGTAAGGCGCGCGGAAGGAGGACTAGGTTCCAGCGGGGAGTCGAGGGGGCTTGTGAGGCAAGGCTGAGCCGGGAGACCTAGATCCGGGCGAAGCTATGCAGAAAAGGGCAAGACCTTGTCCATCACCGACCTGCTGGGCTGGACGCAGCCCCGGCATACCGGCATACTGTCCTCGCCTCACTTCTTCTCACGACAGCGCACTGTGACGCTGGACTGAGAGCTTGTCACCCCGTTTTCTAGATACTGACCGGCGATCTTGTCGAGCACCTCACGGACCGCTAGGTAAGATCCTTTGTCAGCTCGGTCTCCTTACCCCTAACTTGCAAGGTCGTGCGGGATGGTCAATCAAAGGATCCCCTCCGAACTCGTGCAGGACAATCAAGCCATAATCGACGTCATGATTTCTCCCTTCTCGCGCCTGCGATCCTTTCGTGTACCGCTCCCTCGACAAGGTCTTGCGCGCGAACAAAGACACAGTTTACACTGCTTGAGTCCAGCTTATGACCCTGACACAAGACCACTCCATCTTTCACCCAGATCAAATAACATTACTAAATCGACGAGTACACACGCATAGCGAACGGACAGACTGTTACCAGCTCACCCTATCGTCGCCTGGCGCCAACCAGCATGTTCTACCCCAACTACCAGCCCCTCCCCTTACACGAAGCCCAACACCTCTTCCACCTGCAACAATTTCACCCGACCTTCCACCAGCCACACGGGTATCTGCACGCCTATATGCACGCTGGCGGATGGAGACGGCACCCTCAGGTGAGAGTTTCGACTTCTCGAGTATTCGCTCGTAGCTGACAGGCTAGTTTAGGAGCATGGTGACGCACCATTATCCGGCGCAGGGGCCGGCAAGGATGACAATGCGGACGACGATGCCGGGAAGGTCCGGCAGGCGATGAGGGTGGATAAAAGGGAGAATGAGATGTAGGTGTACCCTGTCGATTGTCATGCATATCATCTTGTATCGATAGACTAGCCGGTCGTGCAGATGTGCTTGCTCTCACGGGCGAATTCGAGATCACCTGGGCAGCTGGGGACCGAACCAGAACAGCCGTGCCCAAGGGGTCACGGTTGATAATTTGCTACATGCTGCTTTCCTCTAGTATATACAATCCTTAGATCTCTACCTGCCGTTCTGCTTACCGCCTAGCGGCGCCCGACGGGTCGATCCCTCGAGTATGTACCGGGCGTCACTGCGACAACTGTAACGTCAGCGTCTGCCCCGTGCTACTGGATCGAGGCTTGACAGCCTGTCTCGAATACTCATCACAGTCGCCAGTCCTCGATGTAGCAGATAGACTTACTGTATATGGCGTGGATCAACCCGGGGATTCCGCCGAGAAGCGTGAGCAGTATGTTGAGCCAGAATTGTCCGCCACAACCTGTATTGATCAGCATAAATAGGGTAGATTCTGGGCGATCTCTCGATGGCCCGCCATGTGCAGGGTCTGCGAGGTGGAGAAGGGCAACATACCTCGCTTCACAACACTGTTCGTCAGCTTGACCCCTAGCTGTAGATGAGGGGCGAAGAGCAAAGCCAAGGACTTACACACTCGCGGGCGGGACGAAGAACGCAATGATGTACAGCACGATATCCAGGCCCACTACGCCCAGTCAGCTGTACGATCTCCTCCTCCTCAGTTTGAGAAAGCTTACAGTCATTGTTCCCCTGCCTCCGGCCATCATCTACAACATAGATGGGCTGACCCCCCGCCCCGGTCGGTTGACCATGATGTCCGTGCTGCGGTGCCCCCATATTCCCGACCGCGCCATAAGCTTGGGGCTGGCCCTGTCCGTATCCTCGTGTACTGTCATTGTAGCCTTGCCCAGCGAGCGGCTGTTGTTGTTGTGGGTGGACTTGGTCCTGGCCGTACTGGTTCTGAACGAAGGTGTTGTCGCCTTTCATCTTGGGTTCGTAGTGGTTTCGGTGGGAAGTGGTAGGTGTGGTTGATTTGGTGTGAGATGAACTTGGAGTGCTGGTAAGTGGCGATACTGAGCTGGAGTCTAGAGGGTCTGATATAAGTAGAAAGGTGAAATGCTGTGTCGAGTAAGCGTGTCAAGGTGGGGAAGGTGGACAAAGGTCGGCCGGTACCGGCAGGCGGTGGGAGCGGTGCGCCAGAGCATGACGTCATGCGCTGGGACCGGGCCTCGCTTGGCGCTGTGGGTACGGAAATTCGTGGTGAAGCTGTGAAGTTCAATTCAGCTCTGGAGCTTCGAGCTCAGTCGCATGCAAAGTCGCGCATCAGAAGTGTGCGGCTGTTGCACTGCGCGGCATGAAGACAGGCGACCCGGCAGAGGTGCTCAATCGAGCGGGCGTGTTGGCGAAGTCCGCAGTGGCAGCACATGATAAGCTTGATCCATGGCAGCGATGCATAGATTTCCCTCCGAGCCTGGCTCGCATCATACTACCAGGGGCCGTTCCGTCTTGCAGGAAGTCCACCTCCGCCTCGTCCATATTACCAGCGCAATGAAGATGATGGTCAAGCTTGACTCAATGCGAGAGGCTCGAGCACAGATCCGCCACTCGTACTCACCTCCCTTGACTCTATTCGCTCCTCCCTTTCCTTTCCTGCCGTGATCCGTGCGTCCGAGCTTGAATCGCTCGAACTCAAAGCTGCGCTCAGCCAATTCGAGCAAGACCTTGTGTATCTCCACCTTTCCTTCCCTCATTCATCCTTCCACTACAGACATACGACCCATCGCGTGTACCCATCAGTCGCTTGACAGCTCGGAATCACGATGGACCTTTCGGCGCTGGGATCGACATTACCGGCCGGTCTGGCGGACGCGGAGCGGGAGATGGGCGATAAGTTTAGAGGTTAGTCGTGTGTTTGCGGTCGGGCCGCTCGTGCGAGGTCTCGGAAGCGGATGTCGAATGTCGCCACCCTCTCTTTGGCCATATTCGGTTGAGGAGTAGAGATCCGCTTTGAGGGACAGGTCTGGAACGGTATAGCTGATGCTGTCAGCCTCGGCATTGAGCATAACGAACTTGTACAAGTCATCTTTGGGATACACGAAGGTATGTCTCAGCTCCCCCTTTGTGGGATATATCGACTACATGTTCACATACACGGGGGCGCGAGCTGACTTATCAGCAAGCATATCAAGTGGGCTACTCGGCATGCATGTAAGTCAAAGAAGTCACGTTCAGCGGGATCGCGTGTAATCAGCGATCCCGGATTGAGAGTGCCGAGGCAGGAAGGGGCACAGTAGCTAACGAAGCAGTGCCGACGTCCTTTCTACGGTGCAGAGCTCGATAGGGGCCGGCCAGGATGCCACGCAGACATTGTCGAGACTGATGGACTGGGCGGAAGCACGAGAGGTTAGCTGTCTCCTTGTTTCCCAACATAGGAATCGAGCTAACGCTACAGACCGCTATGGCCGCCTTTGCAGCTGAAGACGGCGACGACGCACCCCTCAATACTCCTGGTCAGACCCCTGCCCAACCTCACCCCCACCGTCGAGCCGCTCATACGCGCAATCAAATACACCTACAAGCGGCCACCCGGCCGTCCTCTGCGCCAATACCCGACTCATACTACCAGCACCGTACTCCTCACGTACATCCTTCCTCCGATAATACGCCGGGACCATCAAGACAGCCTATGCGAGGTGTGCAGCAGGGCGCTAGGGAAGGAGGGGACAATATACGGATGGAAACGGGCCAGAGTGGCGGAGATCCGGATCGGACATTCGTGCAAGGTTCGACGCCCTCGGCTGAGGCTACACCTGCCAGTGGCTCGAGATCTATGCAGAGCGAGACGGGCGCCGGGCCCGGCGGGATGCCCTCGTCCAGTCCCACGGTATCTATCCGGCCTGTTGGCGGGAATGGGCGGATCAGCCGCAGCCCACTCCGATATCGTCACGATGCTTCGTCAGCTCCTACATCCTTCACGCTACCGTCGGTTCCCTTCGCGCCTTCCCTCCCCCCAAATCTTACCCACCCATCCTCCGCATCGACCCTCCTCCCCGTACCTCCCATGACGACGACCTCGATCCCCATTGGCGTCGGGTCGAAACGGCCCATTACGGCCGTCCACCTCGATGCGGACTTGGACGTACCCATGACGGATGATGGGATGCCAAGCGGGGCCTCGAGCGGAGTAAGCAGGGGAGGGAGGTCGTCAAAGAGGCGGAACGTGGATAGGAGGGAAGGAAGGGATGTTGACGGAAGCGGAACGTCAGAGAATGCAGGTCGGGAGAAGGAGAGGGAGGAGAGGAAGAGGGGACGGAAGGGGAAAGATACAGGTGGAGGGTGAAGGCAAGCTCTACAATGGCGGCTACAATGGCGGGCATGTCGTTGGGCGGAAATGGCGAGATAGGGTCGAGGGGTGAGATTTTGGCGTTCGGGCGGTCCACGGATGATCCTCATGATCAGAGGCAGACAAGTGAGGCTTTCAGTATGTTGTACTAGTGATCACCTCGCGCCCACATTAGTATGAAGCACGCGCCTAAGAGATGCAGGTGTCGGTCATTGCTTCAGATGGTCTTTTCTCATGGATCATCAATCTCCACATATCGGTACAAAGGGTGATCCTCATTTCACATGACGGCACAGAAGTACGTCTTCGCCTCTACTAGTCTACCCTTCCCGTCCCTCGAGGGATAACGCGACCCCGCTCTCCTTCCTGTCCGCCCCTGCGAAGGCCTGTATCGGGTCGTACGTTGCGTGTGTCCCGGCGAGGGAACAGTAAACAGGGAACGCGTTCCAGTTTGCCTCTTATATTTTCCGCCACCTACATCCCTCCTCTGCGATGGAGGCACTCGGCTGTATACTCCACCGCGAAAGCATGTTTCGCGCTTGCGCCGCGTACTGCGGTCCTCTCCCTTGCGGCCAGACGACTGGTCGAACGACCGATCATCGAAGCGCCATTCGCCATCGTCTGATGCAGTTCTGTACTGGCTCTGGCTGCCGTCAGATCTCGCTGCTGGGCGGGGAACTCTGGGCGCTCGAGGGGGACGGGCTTTGCTGAAGGCGTTGTCGAGCTCGAAGTCATACACAGGGATGTGATCGTCGTCGCTAGCCTCAGACTCCCAGTAGCGCGGATCCCTACCGGGAGCGTAGTAGCTGTCCGTATCTGAGTCCTCACCAGGATCGGAGTGGAAAGGATCTGGCGATCCCGGTCTGGTTCGCTGATGATCACTTGCGGGTCCATGTTGCTCGTGAGTACGCGACGAAGTCCGAGAGGAACGATACTGGTCGTGATGTGGACGACGAGGTGCCATAGTGTCCAACTTCGATATGGTCGCGTGATTGACTGGCTGCGATACTGGCAATTGCAAGGTGTGACGAGTCCTGAAAGATCGTCAGTGGGGATGCGGGATGGTCATCCCAGCTGATATGTGTGGGTACCGAGAGAGTGAGCAGGCACGCATCCTTTCGCGCGGTACGCGCAGCATGTCAGAGATCGATGAGTACAGGGAAAGTCAGACAAAGGAGACGCAGCCGGTCAGGTGCGCTCACAGACACCAGCTGGTCTGAGCTGATGAGCGCCTGGTTCCAGCACATCCCCTCGATGGTAAGTGAGCCTCGTCACAGCCTTTGCCGTGGTTTGCTACAGCGTTGTTACATGCAGCTTTATCCTGACGGCGATAAGATATCGGCGCAAGGATATCAAGGAAAGGCCTCTACGCCGCACGCCCTGCTGTCGGATCCTGACAGATCAGCTCTCTGTCCGAACCTGAATACAACACTGCAAAAGCAGACTCACCTTGTACACCCTTAGAGCCTGCAACTCCCCCACCACCTTCTCGATCCCATCACCAGCCGGCCCATTCCCCTTCCGCTTCTTCTGCTGAGGCGGTCCCTCATTCTCCAGACTTGCCATATCCAGCTCCACCACTCCTTGACATCCCACGTCCTCTCCCTCCAGCCCGTCAAACCTCGCCGCCTCCAGCGTGAGCCCTTCTTCGTTCGCCAGATGCAAAAGACAGATAAAGCAGAAGCTTGTCGAGATCTCCGACATCTTGTCCTTGGGGTATGTCCGCCGGAGGTCTGTGATAATGTTGTTGAACGTTTTGGCCTCGCCCACCGGCGTGAGCATCTCCGTCTCTGGATCTGACGGATCGTCCAGCTCCATCTCGCCGTCCGCGTCAACAGGCTTGGGCACGAGCGATTTGAGACCGACCCAAATATCGTCCTTGAGCCGCTTAACATCGACCCGCTTGGCCCGCTTGGCAAATGTGACGTTTTCCGGTCGAGCCCGCTTGATCTGAGTCTGGCTGCCCTGCCATAGGTTATCGTCTTCCCCGTCCATATCCCCTGGACCGGATGGTAGTGGGGTTGATGGCTCGTCCAGGGCGTCATCGACGAATGCAAAGTCGCCAATATCGGTGATATCGTCATCACCGTCGTTATCTCCATCGGCGAAGAATTGAGACTCGAAGGGCATGGGTGACGCCGGTTCTGCCAATGGTCAGCCAGAGTGCACGACCGCTTGCTGTAGACTCACCACCCAATCCATCCGCTCTTTCCGCCGCTGCTTCCGCCCAGAAAGTGGTGTCGATCTCTCCTTCGGCATTCTCGATCCGCGCACTTTGGTTCTTCTTCCGCATCCGAAGCTAGAGCGTTAGCAATGTTTGGCATGATGTTCACGATAAAACTCACTGCAAATTTGGGCTTCATGAAAAGCCTAACCAGTTGCCGACTGCTAAAGTGCATGTCGTCAGGCAAGAGGTTGGCGCTCTCCTCCTTTTGCCGCTCCTTCTCCCTCCGCTTCCGCTTGTACTTGTCCGCGAGATCGTTCGTCTCTTTGCTGGAGCGTTTCCGATTGGTGGCGGACTGGGCGTGCGCAGGCAGGGCTATAGACGTTCGAGAAGCGGGTGCGAAGAGGATCTTGGAGCTTGACGCGGTCGTTGCAGCCGACATGAAGTCAAGAACGAAGGGGGTCTTGGCGGGTCCACTGGCTCGATCGGCCTTCTTTGTCGCCGCTGAAGCAGGATCTGAGCTGTTAGCGGGGAGACCTGTCGTTGATATTGACCGACTCACCCTTCTTTGCCACCTTCCTCAGCTTCCAGTGCTCTACACCCGCCCATCCCCTTTTCCCGAAGCCCTTGTCGAAGTAGTCAAACATCCCATCATCATCCCCGTCCCCCTCTCTCCCCGCTAACGCCATGACCAGGTCCCCGCCACCTCGCTTCGGGTCGAACGGCATAAGGTGCTCGCCCGGCTGACCCAACGCGACCGCCCCAGAGCCTGACGCTACCATCCCGCCCATATTCCCACCATCGTAATCACCACCGCCGGCTGACTCGTTGTCATCATACCCTCCACCCATCCCACCGCCACCAAAGTCATCGTCCCCGAAAAAGTCCACGGGTCCGCCGCCACCGACAGACTCGCCAAAATCCGACATCCCGCCGTCGTCATTGTCGTTCCAGTTGTCCTTGAGGCTCAGCAGTGAGGTGAGATCGGGGACGGCGCTGGGGTCCGAGGAGAACCGGAAGCTGGAGAGGGTATCGGAAATCATCAGATTCTGAAGTGCATCCGGTGCAGGCATGAAAGCTGTGTTGTCAGCGAGATACCGCATGTGTGGCACTTACGTCTCAATCGCTCCAGGTCAACCTCAGCATTCATCCCCGGTCCCAACTCCTCCTCCAGTTCCTCCTCCTCGACAACAGCATCTCCAGCGTCAAATACCACTCGCATTCTCCCGTCCACTGCCAAATGGTTCATCAGAAGACCCATTGCTCCACCTTCGTCAAAGTCCGCCGAGGTCTTCTTGAAGAGCGGGTCGACCGAGAATTCCAGGTCCAGCTTTTTGACTTGGAGAGTGGTGAAAGACTTGGCCAAGGTGGATTCCGAGCGGTGAGAGGTATTCTAGCGAGTCAGCTTGGTACCCCACGGCGGCAACAGCTAGATGCCATACCTTTCGTGTCTTCGGCCGGTCTCCATCTTCACCTCCCTCTTCGCCCTCGTCCTGGGGTTCCTCTCCAGTGCCTGTAAGGCGTCAGCTCGCTAGCTACTGCGAGCTCTATCATAGCTCACCTCCCGCCAGACCGCTGAGAAGCTTTCCAGTCTCCGTTGCGACCGAGTCCACTCGGGATGTCCAGATCTTGACACACCCATCCAACGTCGACGAAGCCTTCTGGAAGTTGATACCTGTATATCAGCTCGATCTCGCTGATCTGGTCCAGCTTTCAAGGCTTACTTTGGTCATCAGGCCCGTTCCTGAGCAGGGTCATATCGTGAAAGTAGTCAATCAAGGCAAAGTTCCAGGTATTGGTGACCGTGATTTTCTACATGTCAGCTGCTGCTGCTCCAGTGCCAGCAGTTACTCACATTGTCAATCGCAGCCTTCATCCACTCCTCGTACTTGCTCTCCCTGACCTCCCAGCTGACACCGACCATCTCCGGATTCACCGCCGATAAGCGTTTTCCCAGCCGTCTTCCTTCCTTCCCAGCTGCACCCAATGCTACCGCAGACACAATCCGCTTTCCTTGGCCAGCCCTCCCCGCACTAACCTCTGCAGGCTCGTCTCCCGGGGCTACGCCTATATTGCCAAAGTGGGCAGACTTGCGTCGGTTGGCCTTTTCGGCCTTGTCGTTGTTGATCGGCGGTTCGGGCTGATTGCTCGTCGAGGCGTCTTGAAGCGCAGCTTCGCTCGTGGTAGACGGGCGGGGCTTTCGGCCCTTTGTGACGTCTACACGAGGCATCGTGTATGCTGTATAGTGCGAGGGAATGTAAGGACGATGGGTGAAGGAGGAGTGACTAGTCAGTTCGGCTTTGTTGATGCTGCGAAGACGCGTCAGATTTCGCGTTTCCGTTGGAAGCGGCTGCGGTGTAACGTAAAGCCGCCGCTGCTGGTGCTCGCAGAGGGGGGTTCAAAGGAGTGAATCTTTCTTTGTCGACGTATCGAGCTACTCATGGTATAGCAAGGCAGTCAGCCCAGGGTATCCGGCTGCCTAGATGAGCGCTGTATCGAGCGTAACGCGAATACGGCAAAGATGGCGCCTTACCATGAGATCAACGGCGAGAGGGCAGCCGAACTCGGCTCCCGATCGACTTTGTCGAGGATATTGACAAGGCTACCCTTACTCTGTGCGTACTGACCCCACCTGAGCGAGGCTCACGTCACGACTGAGGCCCTCGCTGATTGAATCAGTCAGTTTTGCGCTTCTCAGCTGTACCTGGCTGGCGTTCACATTCACGATCACCATCCCGGAGGTGCTGCTTCGACGTCATGATACGTGGCACTTCATCGAACAGTGAGTCGCGACCACAGTATCGGGGAATGGAGCAAGCTGATGTATGAAGGCTGCTCATCTTCAACATCCTCATGGGGTTGACTATGCTGTCCCTGTTTACCGCCGCCACTCGGTCACCTGGTCACCCTGACCCGAGCGCCGCTCCTTTCGCTTACGTTCCTGAGGAAATACGCCAAGGCCCAGTCACGCTTGCTGCCCTCCCTCATGCGCAAGAGGCACCTTGTCGATCAAGTCCATCACCGCTGCAGCTTGATCAGCTCGAAGCTGAAAGATCCGGAGCCAGTTCCGCGCATCCCGCCGCCCGGACCGCCGATCCCGACGATATCCCTCTGCGCTACTTGAGAAACTCTCAGTGGGTGGAGGGTCGGATAGCGAAGGATCATCCGTCCCCACTGCCTCTCCCTTCGCGCCGACCGATGCCTCCAGCACCTCTTCAGCGCAATATGCGAGCATCGTCGGACGGCGGAGACGGTCACACTCCTACCATATCGCCCTTCCCGCTCGGACTGAGCCCCTTCGTTCCAAGCACTGCTGTGGAAGCCGGTGGGGAATCAGACTGGACGGACGAGGAGGATGTAGAAGAGGGAGGGGAAGATGCGGATGCAACGGCGGACCGGATGCAAGTCATCAGGACAGGCGAGACCAGGGCGAGACCCAAAGGATACTGGATGGGAGATGCGGTCGAGGGGGACCGAGAAGTAATGCTCGACGAGCTAGAAGCCGAAGTTGCTACTCTCCTGCAGAATCAGAACCGACAACTGCTCGATTCCGCGGCGGACTCAAAAGTTCTGATGGCGAAGAGCAACACTGGCGGACCACGATTTTGCCGCAAGTGCGAAAGCTGGAAACCGGATCGCACCCATCATTGCCGGTTCTGCAAGAGATGTGTTCTGAAGAGTAAGCTATCCCGATCGGCTCCAACAGAGACGAACGCTCATGTTCCCAGTGGACCACCATTGCGTATGGCTGGCGACTTGTGTCGGGCATCGGAACTGTGTGTTCTTATTTGTGCCCAGACTGCTACTGCAAGAGCTGACGCAGCAGACAAGCCCTTCCTGCTCTTCATTTCATATGGCACCTTACTGGCTATATATGTCTGCCTCGAGAGCGCCTATCAAGTCTACATGTTTATGACTGATGATGGAGCGTACGATATGCCCAGCCCGGATCTATCATCAGACGGTAGCCCTACGACACATACTGTGGTGAGTACTCATCGTCTAACAGATGGCCAGGCTGATCACCAGCAGGAGGTTGAATTCTCCCCTCTTGTCTACATGCTTCTCGCCATGATCGGCGCGTTCTTCACCCTCGCGATTGGTGGTCTAGCAACCTATCACTGGTATCTGGTCTGGTGAGTCTTGTTACCAGCTCGATAGATAAGAGCTGTAAGTCGCAGCAACAACATGACGACGCTCGAACAGATCTCGCACACCTACCCTTCAGCCCTGCTCCCCGTTCGCCCGGCCGCATCCGATACTGGTACTACCCCTCTCTCGACCTGGAAACCAGATCACCTACTTACTCGAGCCGAGCGACACCGGCTTTTCGATGAAGCGCGAAATATCAACGTGTACGATATCGGGTGGCGAAAGAACATACTTCAAGTCCTCGTTGGCGATGTCAGCCGGTCTCGGCGAGCCAGTAAGCGCAGTTGGGCCGTCGCTCTCTGGCCACTCGCGCCTTCATCCAACGGGGATGGTCATGAGTTTGAATATGACGAAACGAAGCTGGAGAGGCTAAGACGGCTGACGGAGGATCTGAGGCTGGGGGCTCGATCTCAGGGGATCGATAGACAGGAAGAGGCGTCATCATCCGCTGGCGAAGAAGAGTAGCAGGTTGTCAGCAGACGTGCACCTTTTATCAAGGAAACCTTACATGTGAGTCGAGCTCCCCCGCTCTCGGTGCAAAGCAGCTGATGCCCAGATCTGCTTCTGCATGTGCATGCATCACACGCGTTTGAGTCCTCGCTTCGCCAGATCTGACGGCCTATACTCAGATTCATGCGTTTCGCCGTTTTGCCCTTGGGCGCCGAGGACGACGCCACCTTCCTGATGGTAGACCTGGCCTTCTTGCAACCCTGCCGAACCAGAGTGAATATGAGGGATGAAACGCCAACCCGCGCGAATGCGGCTTCACGCCTTCGATCATTTCTCAAAATCGAGGCTGGTATCGCCCAGCCGAGGGCACGACCTACGATATGTATTCGCTTTCGCCATGCTATCCGCCGTGATGCTGAAAGGAGCTTCACCCCTTGTCGTGGTGGACATGGGGAAGATGGACTGGTCGCGACGCGTCATAGCTGCCATTTGGCGCAAATGTCAAAGGATAAGCTGATATCAGAGGAGCGTCTTGCAGAGTGTGGAGGCTGCCGTCGGCCAGGAGGAGGTCTGAAAGGACAGTATAAAGCTTGGTACACTCTTCACTGATGAAGGCCTCTCCCCTCTTTCCGCTCCGTCTTTCATTGCTCGCGCTATCCATGCCGTCTGAAAGCTGACTTGCTGCTGATTGACCATCCTGACGAGGCCCTTCTGACCTCACCCGCCCGACATCAGATCGCCATCCCACTCGCCACCATGTTTCAAGTATACGAACACTCGCCACCCCTGCAGCTGTACGTCAATGACGGGCAGGGTTCGCCTTATCGAGGAGACGCAAAGGACGAGATCTGCGGGGTAGATGGCGGGCTCCTACCTGGCGGTACTGGTCGGCAGCCCAACTTTCTGCAGAAGCTGTTCGAGTGAGTTCATATTTGCCACCCGCTCGAGATTTCACTTATCGTCCAGCTTCCTTGCCCTTGATCCACACCCATGCCCCGATGTCATCTACTGGGCCGCAGACTCGAAGCAGCTTGTGATTGCCCGTCCCGACGAGGTGAGTTCTCCCCTCAAACGGGACGGTGGATGAAAAGCTGAGCTACACAGCTCGCAAAGACCGTACTGCCGAAGCTATTCAAGCATGACAAGATATCGTCGTTCGGACGTCAGCTCAATGTGAGTATCAGCTATGAGACAGGTCGCGGGGGCGATGATTAGCTGATAAATTAGATCTACGGCTTCGCGAGAGTCTATCCCGGCAGGCAGTTCAAAGATGGCATGGGAAACATTCTGGATGCATCGGTCTGGGCTCGTGAGTCTATGTGATCGCCACTTACCGCCTATACTGAGCCCTGCCGAGCCGGTCGACTGTGCTAATGGCCAGACCCCACCCTTCACCGCCTCTCCACCACAACCGACATCGCTGCTGTCAAACGCCGCGCCGCTCCCAAGCTCTTCCGTACTCGTCGTCTTGCCAATGGCCAGGTTGTCCGAACGAGAGCGGGGCCTGAGGTCGAGCGCAAGTTCCGAGAGATCAAAGAAGACATGGCTATGGAGAGGCGGTCCAAGCATGGCTGGGGAGGAGAAGCTCGGCCGAGTCAGATCGCGTCCTACGCCTCCAGCACGCCGATGGTGATCGACTATGATGGACAGCGGGCGAACGAAATGAGCCAAAGCCCGGCGGACGTCTTCGAGTGGAGCTCGAGCAGCGGTACGAGCTGGGGGAACGTGCCGATGTTGCCGGTCGAGCAGGGGTTCGAGGGGGATGGCCAGGTCTATGGAGATTTTTCGCCATCATACGAGTCGCAACGAGCAGATCCCTATCGTCAACAACTATCAAGCATCACCGAAGGCGTTCCGATGGCGCCACAGTATCAGACGACTCACAATCACAGTGCTCTCCCTCAAGAGCCTCACCTCCACTCAGACCAGACCGGTGAAGCGTACCAACAGCAATCTTTCTCTACTGACAGCTTTCCGCCCCTATCTGGTAGGTTCTACCGCAGCTGTCCAGCCAGCATCCATACGTCCCCCGTGCCTGCCCAGCGTGCCTTGCAGTCTGCCCGTCAGTTCCCGCCCAGCTTCAATGCTCACCTCGCTTCTACCGAAGTCACGATGAACGTCCAGCACCTGCACGCAGGTACACACATCGTCCAGCGCATCGCCGCCCCCGCCGCCCAGAACCCCTTCGCCGTCCCGCATTCCCTCGACCACAATCATCACTCGTCCCCTATCGACATCCGCGCCCCGACTCCCAACCACCAGCCGATCGGGTCTTCTCCGCTCTCATTCACCGGCCCCTCCTCGCATGCCGACCCCTACGCCGTATCTCCCGACACTACTCCGCCCAGTGGGTTCGCATCGCGCGAGCTCTCTGTGTATCCCGATATTCAGAGCTGGGAGCGGACCGGTGTTATAGATCCTCGATGGGTCAGTCCGAAGGGCACATACGTCTTCAATACCCCGGCGCAGACTCCGCGGGCGGGCAGCCCCATGATGGTCTCGAGCTATCTGGTGGGAGAGGGGGAATCGCAGAGTTGGGGTGCGCCCTCCAGCTTGTCGCTGACGAGCGGGGTGAGGGACAGTGGTGGTGCGTGGGGTCCGGCGGGTGCGATGCCACCTACGTACCTTCCTGCGCAACACTTTGATATGAGCATGTGACCAGATGTACCAATATGAAGAAAGACTGGCGCAACTTACGATACTTATACTGATCATAGCGCTGATGATTGGCTTGGAGCCCATCTGAAGCTGTGGTATCAGCAGAAGGTGGTGAGAGGCTCAAAAGTGGGCAGGTAGCTGGCCCCCCGGGTACCGTAAGTACCGCATAGCAAATTCGCGCGATGGTAGAGGAGAGTAGAGCTACTGACTATAGAGGACACGCTGTAATAATCACAGAGCGGGTCTGGCATATCTGGCTCGAGGCTTCCGAGCAGCACTCTACCAAGAAGGCTCGGGCCTAGCCATACATGATGCTCATCCTACTGGTCGTCTTCGAACTCGCCGTATTGTTCGTCCTCTTCCTCGTCTACATCCTCGATACCCTCATCCGCGGCGATATTCACAACTTCCTTCCTCGATCTCTTCTTCTTCTCCCCACCCTTCTTTCCCTCTCCCTTCTTCTTCCCCTCTCCGACCTTCCTCGCCTTCTTCTCCACGCGCAGGAATGAACGCTGTATCCTGGTCCCCATCCCTTCCTCTATTCGCTCGGCAGTCAGGCGGGACAGTCGAAGGGCGTTCGGACCGGGCGCAACGTAGGTGTTGGTGGTATAGGCTGTTGAGGAGTATGCTGAGGACTGTAAGTCTACTCTTCTGTCCGAAAGGGGAAGTAACTCACTTTCCATGAAGTGATCACTTAGTAAAAGCTCGATTATCAACCGCTCGGTGTCCTGCTCGATCAGCTTATACCCGGCCCCAGAACCATTCCCACCCGACTCACATCCTCATTCAACGTGACTTTCCCCCCGACAAGCTCCTCGAGATCCACATTCCCCTCTCCCGTCGCCTTCTTCTTCTTTCCCTTTCCCTCGGCAACCGAAAAAGATCCCCCTCCACCTCCCCTTGCCAGCTTCGCCAAGGCGGACACCGTCAATCTTCCCCCTTGATTCAGCACCTCCCCGCTCACCCTCAAAAGCTTCCACGCCTCGAGCGTGACGTCTCGCGTCTCCACATTCGCCTCGTCTCGTGTGCAATTATCGCAGCTACCGCAAGTGGTCAGGGAGCCGGCGGAGGTGGAGGAGTCGAGAGCCGCAGCATTGTCCCAAGCATTGGCGGAAAGGTTGGCGGAGGCGGAAAAGTACTTTGCGAATGCAACCTGTAATCTTAGTTCATGTATTGTTTGCCTGTATACTTGGGACCCACCTTGCGACAGGTCTGAAGATCTTGTGCGAAGCGCAGCATTTCTCGCACTACACTGTCAACCCCGAAAATGGCGTCCCTGACGCCCACTCACGCTTTCCGGTCCCGTCTGGGTCATTACAAACATGGCCCGCCAGCTTGGTCGCATCTTGACCGCGATAGAACAGCACGCAGTCGCTATCTTGACCGTCTCGTCCCGCTCGTCCGGTCTCCTGGTAGTAGCCATCGAGCGACTTAGCCATCTGTGACGTCAGCCTCCGTCCAGGATAGCCTCTGAAGGCAGACTGACTGAGTGGTCTATAGTCCGTCAGCTGTTTGCTTAGATTATTCTCGGTTGGGGGACTTACGGATGACGTAGCGTACGTTGCCCTTATCTATACCCAGTCCAAAAGCGGTCGTTGCGCAAATACAGCTAGATCATCAGGATAGGCACTAACTACTGTATCCCAGAGGGCCGTACTCACTCGATCTTCCCGGCCCGCCAATCCAAGTGGATTTGCTCCTTCTCCTCCTCCGATATTCCGGCATGGTACACTCCGGTCTGTATGTCAGCTGGGCTTTGCTGTAGACAGCCAGAGCTGCCAGTTCACCTTGATGTCGCTATTTGACCACTCGCGCAAAGCGTCCGCCACAGTCTCGGTATCCTGCATATTCAGCCAGGGACAACGGAGTGAGCTCGAGCAAGTACCGACCTTCTTACTCAGGCAGTATATGATACCGCTTTCCGCACTGACAGTATCAGCATACAGTCGCCAGCAATTTCCTTACTTTGACTTACGCGTGATGGTTAAGAATCCACTCGCCCATGACTTCGATTGTAGCCTTGGCGCTGCTTGGCTTCTGCATTACTCGGTAGTGCAGGTTGGGCCGGTATAGCGGAGCGGTAAAGTAGACCGTGCCCGTCGGCTTTGCAGAACGGCCGTCGGTGAGTGGGCCCAGACGCAGGATTTTGAGCAGATCCGGCAGGGTCTTGGAGGAGAGCGTGGCGGTCTATAAGTGAGCTAGAGTTTCTCGGCGGGACTAGATATAGCTACTCACTACAGCTTGGATCGGTACATTAGGGAAGTGCGCCTTGAGTGCTGACAGCTGCTTGTAATCTGGCCGGAAGTCTGGATGGTCAGCAAGCCGCGCAGCCAATTGATCGGTGGACCTCACCGTGCCCTAGCTGACTGCAGCAATGTGCCTCGTCTGCAGCATCAGTAAGCGCAGGAAGGTGCGGTGTAGACAGCTGGGCTGAACATACCGATCACGAAACGTCCTGGGAGATCAGTCAGAGGCACATCGGAATCCCAAGGCCAACGGACTCACGTAGACGTTTACCAGAGTTGGCCTTCTCCAAGACCGACATCAGTCGCTTTGACTTTGAGACTTTCTCGGGCTGAAGGATGAGCTTTGCCTTATGAAGAGAACATGCGCAGATAATGATCTTACTGTGAGGTAAACGAGCTATATCAACTATCAGCGGATTCTCCACCGACGAGTCCACAGGAAGAGCACAGCTTACTCGAAGCTCCTTCTCTCCGCTCCCGCCTCCCCTCTCCATTTTCTGAAAGATACGATTCTGCTCGTCCTTCGACGTGCTGCCCGTCAACATCTGCATAATTAGCTGGATGCCTTCTGCATAGACGGAAACCTTACAGCTGCCTCGACACCAATCTCCTTCAGCGCCCTCACTTGATCCCATATCAACGCCAGCAACGGGCTGACCACCACCGTCATGCCCTTCTCACCCATCACAGCCGGGAGCTGATACGTCAAGCTCTTCCCTCCTCCGGTAGGCATGACGCAGACGATGTCTCGACCGTCCATGGCGGCATTGATCACTCCTGCTTGACATAGTCGGAAGGCAGGGATGTCGAATATGAATTTGGCGCGAGGGATGACGGCGTCGGACCATGGGAACGAGTTGGTCTGGTAGTCGATAGCGCTTCTAGAGGGACCAGTCTGGATCTGGGGCTTCTTTGCTACGACCGGCTGACGATGGAGTACTGCAAGTCTGGACTCGAGCTGATCCCGCTCGGACTGCAGCGTGTGGAGGAGCGTTTGAAGCGGTTCAATCTCGGCTCGGACGTCGTTCATCTGGAACATTAGCTTGTCTTCTCTGTCATATCCCAGCCCGTCGTCATCCGGATACGGCAGAGAAGGAGGAAGGTAGACGATGAGGCAGGGACCAACCTCAGAGTCAAGCTTCGCCAGCTTCCCTTGTACCACATCCCTCTCTTCCAGCTGATCCGTTTCTCCCGCAACCACCTTGATCGGTCTGCTCTCCCGCATTTCCATCTTCTTTATCATCCCATACTGCGCTTCATAGTATGCCGCCTCCTCATCATAGTCCTCCTCCTCGTCCCCATCATCATCATCGTCGATGACTATCGGCTCCTCAATTGTCCGGCGGCTGGAGCTACCGGAGGTGTGAGGACGCTTCAGCGGGCTGCTAATGGCGAAGAAATCGATCACTTCGTCCTCTGCTGGTCGTTTTGCGGACTTGCTGGACTGCCCGAGCTTGCTAGACTCGGCCTTCATGGCGAGAGTTTAAGGGGGACAGAAGGTTGACAGGGTAGATCGCGGTTCGTCACGCGTCGAAGAGCTCCTTATAAGGCATGAATCGGCGTCATTGGAGACGCAGGGAGTTTTGACCGTCCGGTCTAGTGCTATGAGCCTACTGGCCTCCTAGGAAGCTTGACGGACGAAAGAAGGAGCTCAATAGCACCCCTTGAGGGACTTTGAATGTTTACAACGGACATGACGTTGAATCTCCATTTTCTCTCGGCATCTCAACAACCTGCTGCTGTCTTGCGCCTCAACTTTTCCAAGACCTTCAACTCTTCCATATCTTGCACTAGTACAGCTCTTCGACAAGAAGAGCCCCCTTCGTCTTCTACACAGTCAGCCGAGAACCATGGGCAAAAGAGGAGGCAAGCGAGGCGGAAAGGGCGGGCGAGGAGGTAGGGGCGGAGGCGGAGGAGGAGGAGGGGGTCGACACAGGGATGGTGGAGAGGATGGCAAGACCTGGACCCAGTATGACCCTGTCGATATGGTCAACGAGAAGTTCGAGCAGTACTACAAGGTGTGTGTCTGCAGAAGACTGGTTTGATTGGGCTGAGGCTGATCTGTTAGGCTCAAAACATCCTTACGGAGGCCGAATGGCCGGACTTTATGGAGCAGTTGAAGCACGAGCTGCCTACTACGTTCCGAGTGACTGGGTCAAGGGAGTGAGTTGTCATCGCCTCTAGCCAATCCTAAGGTAAGACGGAAAGCTGACTCCGTAGGCACGCTGAGACCATCGCCGATCTGATCAGAAAAGAGCACGTCCCAAACATGCAAAATGTCGAGCACGAGGGCGTGACATACGGCCCTCCCGAGCAGATCTCATGGTGAGCTTTTCTTCAGGGAATTGATCCTTATGGTAAGACCATAGCTCACTGCATCAGGTACCCGTCCCAACTGGCTTGGCAGGTCTCTGCGCCTAAGCGGATCATCCGGAAATCGCCCCCGTTCAAGAAGTTCCAGAGGTTCCTTGTCAGCGAGACTGAGGTAGTGAGTAGGGTCGTCCGGCGTTGCTGGACTCTTATCTGACTGGTCTAGGGCAACTTGAGCCGGCAAGAAGCTGTCTCCATGATTCCTCCTTTGCTCCTGGACATCGAGCCTCATCACATCGTGAGTCTCCGTAGACCTGTGTTTGGCTCTCAAGCTGACTTGCAGTGTCTGGACATGTGTGCTGCGCCCGGGTCCAAGGTGTGCTGCTTTTATGACTTTTGCGTCCAGACTTCCAGCTGACATGTAGACCGCCCAAATGATCGAAGCCCTCAACCCCCACCACACCTCATCAAGCGGTCTCCTGATCGCCAATGACTCTGACTACAAGCGATGTCACATGCTTGTCCACCAGACTGGTCGCATGCCGAGCAAGGGTCTGATGGTGACGAACTACGATGCTTGTGAGAATTGACGCTTCTCTGATGATACGACAAGTGCATGGCTGATCTGGTAGCTATCTTCCCCAAGATCAAATTGGGCAAGACCGAGGCTTTGCAGTTTGACCGGATCCTCGCGGATGTCCCGTAGGTCCATTGGCTATATGAGGAGAACAGGGGCTGATGGACTCAGATGTAGCGGGGATGGAACGATGAGGAAGAATGTCGAGATCTGGAAGAAGTGGTCGACGAGTGATGGAAATGGGCTGCATTCGTAAGCTTGACAACCCAGGTCTCTGAGGGAAGCTGACACAGTAGATTACAACTGCGTATCCTGAACAGGGCGATGGACATCCTCAAGCCTGGCGGAAGGATGGTATACTCTACCTGCTCGTTCAACCCTATCGAGAATGAGGCAGTCGTAGCTGCCGCTCTGAACGGGCGCAAGGGTAAGTCCACCTTGGGTCCTCGCGAATGGATTTCAGCTGACTAGCAGGCTTCAGAATAGTCGATGCCTCCTCTTCGGTCCCCGACCTGAAACATCGCCCCGGACTGTCCAGCTGGAAAGTCGCCAGTCAGCCGTACGGTCAATCATCGACTGGTGAAATCGCGTTCTTTGAGTCTCACGAGGCCGCCGAGAAGATGAGGGCGGAAGGCGGCGGTGATAAGGAAACATGGAGGGAGTTGGCGCCTTCTTTCTGGCCGCCAGCGAACGCTGCCGAGTTAGGCCTTGAGAAATGGTCAGCTGGCTCGTTCGGGTCCTACGTGAGACAGAATATGAAGCTGATCTCGTAGTATGCGACTTCTGCCTCACGACCAAAATACCGGCGGCTTCTTCGTCTGTGTGCTCGAAAAAGTCATTTACGGTACCGATGCGGAGAAGTCGAACGCCGGCAAACGGGCTGCATCGCCCTCTACGCCCGAAGGCGGCCGAGAGGTGAAGAAGGTGAAGGCGGAGGAGACCGAGGCTGTTCCGGAAGCGGATGAGGAGGCGGACGAGCCAGCAGATGCGGAGGGTGAGAAGGCTGCGGAAGGAGCGGGGAAGAAAGAGAAGAAGGACTGGTCTTACCGAGAAGACCCATTTTCTTACGTCGACCCGTCCAGCCCTGAGCTACAGAGCATCTTGTGAGTCGGTCGTCTTATAGTGGTGTGGATGGCGCTGACTCTGTAGCGACTGGTTCAAGATGGAGGACAGCTTCCCTCGGGATCAGATGCTTGTGCGGAATGACCGAGGGGAGGCTTTGCGGGTCATATATCTTACCAACGCTTTGCTCAAGGTGAGGACTAGTGTACAATCACAAGGAGACCCTGAGCTGATATGATATAGCAAGTCATCGAGAACAACAGCCCCCAGCGCCTCCGGATAATCTCTGCCGGCGTCAAAGCCTTTGTCCGCCAAGACTCTCAGAACCGCCAGGACATTGGCTGCAAATGGCGCATCCCGGCCGACGGTCTTGCCGAGGTCCTGCCACATGTCGGCGAAGGGGTCGTCAGGGACATGGGCGAGTCGGGTATGCCGGCACTGCGGATACTGGTCGAGCACCCGTACCCTGTAGTGAGCCACTTTGCGCGGGAGGTACAGGAGTGGGCGGACCCGGCGCCGTTGGGGAACCTCTTGCTTCGGTTCCCGGCTGCGAATGGCGCGGGCGGATAGTGAGTTGACCGTCAGACTGGATATGAGAGAGTTCCAGCTGATCGGTCTAGTCTTCCTCTGCCTTTGGTTCTTCCTCTCTGGAAAGCCAAGACGAGCTTGAGCTTGCTGATTGACAAGCGTGAGAAGAGGTGAGCTGGCTATCTGCTACTCGCGGACCTTAGCTGACACCATAGTTCGCTCTCCCTCCGTACGTTCGGTGAAGATATCGTCCGGGCTCCTCTCAATGAGGACCAGAAGCTTGCCAAGAAGACAGCAAATGCGCCTGAGGCTCTGGATGAGGAGGAGACCGCCGGTATGGAAGATGAGAGGCCGGTGGTAGAGGCACTCGGGGATGAGGAGGAGATGGCGAACGCGCCCGCGCTGGGTGCGGCGGAGGAGGCTGCTATGGCACAGGACTAGATAGCCGCAGCATACGATATGACTTGACCATCTGGAGATACAGACGCCTCCTGTCCACGTCGGCAATGCCGGTCGTGCTGTTAGCTACACCGCTGCAGAGCTCGCTGGCCGAGACTCAATCTACGAAGATCAAGAGCTGCCCAACTCCAAACCAACTCCGGAGGGTTCTGTTGCTACATTATCCCCTCTCGTTCTTGATTTCCCATGCCAATTAAGCTATCGCCCATCCTCCGCATTCTATATCCCATCGTGACGCCACTGCCCAGTGCGGTGCCCCCCGATTCGAAATCTAATCAGCTCCGTCCGGACAGCGCCGATCTCGGCCGATTCGCTTCGGATATGCCGGTAAGGCATGCAAATTTTCAGACGAGCTTCATCTTGCGCGCTTCGCCCGTGGCTTGCTTGATCATACATGCCGACTGCAGCAGCAGTGCAGCTGTAGCATGCAGCCTTCCATGCACACAACTCAAGCACTCGAGAGGAGTGCATTGGAAGCGACGGCTCTTGAAAAACTTCTCTTCGGGGTGACGTAAAAAGACCGCATGATCCGGATCCTGTCCCTCTCGGCGCCAGTGGGGACCCCAAGTGAGGAACGTTTACGTCACTGCAGCGACGTGAGAGCGCGACCATTTCGAACACTCCAGTAGAGATTCGAAATCACTTTGCATCGTCGAACCACGTATAAATCGCGCACAGATCACTACTCTCTCGTCCATCTCCCTCATCCCCATCGTGTATAAAGAGAAAAGACGACAGGGCAGACCGTCTCTCCCTCCGTCCACACCACTCCGCCCTTTCCGCGTTTCAGCATTCCTCGTTCAGATCAGCAGCTTGTGAGCCCATGTTCTGCTGCCCGCAACCTGCCATCCATGCTCTTATCTCCCCATTTCCTGCCCTATCTCCTCTACCTATCATCCGGAAAGGATGCACACGACCCCGTGTACCACACATCCCAAGCTTATCTCCCCCCCGCTATCGCGCCTCCACTTTCAATTCACTCCTTTCACCTTGTTTCAGCGGCCTGAGCGGCAACGTTGACGACGTGTCTATCTACTCCCCGCTCTATCAGTGAAAGCCGCTTCGCGAACGTCCCGCGCCTTCGACTGTCATCTTCCCATACATGCTGTTATCGCGATCTGGCGAGATATAAAAGGCGCGCACTGACGCTACAGAAAAACGTCATTCAAGCTCGCGCCCTCATTCACCTGGTACGTGCCTCACCCCTACCCCTTACTCGACATGCCTTTGAGACCGGGATAGCCGCTGCTGAGCGATGCTCGAGCGTCAGCTGCTCGGCTCAAAGGGCGTCAGGGCGTCACATGTACAAGTTGATGAAAGCAGCTAATCCTGCAGCATCATACCTCTTTGTTCTGCACTTAATCAGTTCTCACCATGTCTACTCCCACTGGCATCACTCCCCAGGCAAGTGAGGACCTACTACGTGATGAGCCAAAGCTGACACTCCAGAACCCTCCCCTCCCCCAACAGCTCACCAACCTCATGAACGGTGCTCTCAACGCCGCCGGGCTGGGCGGCAAGAACGGCTCAAGCGATCAGGTCAACCGCATCCGGAAAGACACGATGTGAGTATCTGCTTGAGGCGCACAATGAGCTTTATCGAGAGCATAGGGGCATGTCTGATGATGCAGCGGCTACAAGTCATCTCCTTTCCCGCTCAAGGCAAACCAGCAGGCCGACGTCGCCGGGATCCTGAGCGGAACGGGATTCCTCCCGGTCGAGCTCGTCGCTGGAGAGGTCGACTGGTTCTACAACCACCTCGGCATTGACAACGCGTAAGTGCGCCCTGGTGTAGTGCGTCGGACCCTGCTAACTCTCAGCTACTTCCTGGCCGAGACTCCCGAGGCCATCGCCGACCACGTCCTCGCCCTCTACTCTGCCAAGCTCCTCGCGTACACCAAGCACGACCCCGAGATGCTCGTGATCGACCTCGAGAAGATCACGCCCGAGGGCGACAAGGCTGGCGCCAAGGAGGGCGCTGTGTGGATCCACTCCAGCAAGCCCGGTGTGACTGTCGACAAGGGACCCGGTGCGAGCACGGAGAAGCGGTAAGTCCCTTGACTTGAGTTCATGACCAGTTTCTAATGTGCAGAATTGACGCTCTCTATATCGACAAGTCCTCCCCCGCCAAGGCCTACCGCCTCGAGACCTACCGTTCCACTGGCGCGATCTCCTCCACCATCTCCCAGCAGCTTCGATGCTACTTTGTCCAGCGCTGCGTCTTCCCCACCGAGGGCCCCAAGAAGAACGAGAAGGGCAATACCGACATCCGGTCCGTCTCCGACGCGTCCTTCTTGGAGAAGGCGACCGAGAACACCCTGGACATCTACCAGGAGGTCATGGATGAGGTGGAGAGGCGCGAGGGTCCCGTCATTGAGATGTACGAGGTCGAGGACAGCCGGGAGAGGCGGGTAGTCATTGGTTACAAGTGAGTTCAGCGGATTATTGTGAAGGACTTGTGCTGATCGGCAGGATGGGTGGCACCAAGAAGTTCTTCTCGGCCCTTTCTGACCTGTACCACTTCTACGGCTTGTACTCGGCCAGGAAATATGTCGAGCAATTCGCCAACGGTGTCACCATCATCTGTGGGCTTTTCAGGTGCTAGAGACAGAAAATAGCTGACCGATAGCGATGTACCTCAACCCCGTCCCCAACACCCGCGCCCCGCCCATCGAGCACTCGATCCACCAGGTCGTCCGCGAAGCCTCCCTCCTCTTTGTTCTCCCCGACAACCCCTTCTTCAACGTCATCGATGACAGCGACTCCACGCATGCCGTCCAGGAGGCCACATACGCTTACGTCGGATGGATCTTTGCGCAGCACTTCTGCAACCGGCTCGGATCGGCCTACATTGCTCTCAAGGATGGTGAGTTGCCGTGGCAGTGACCACGAAGTAATAGCTGACGGTCTAGCGCTTGACGAGAGCAACTCGAGCCACATGGAGGTGCTCAACAAGATCAAGACGCGATTCAGGGAGGAGACCTTCACCCGGGAGAGCATCAAGGATGTCATCCTGAACCACCCCGAACTGGTCAGGATGCTCTACATCAACTTCGCCATGGTACACTGTGAGTTTGGCCTCTCCGTGTGACGTATGGCGCCTGAGCTGACCTTATAGACCCCGCGGCGGACGAAGCGTCCCATCTCACCCCCACCCTCTCTTTCCAGCGCCTCAAGACCGAGCAGCCCCTCTCAGATCAAGAGCTGTACCAGAAGATCCGCAAGGAAGCATCGAACCAGCACGCCTTCCAGATCCTCGAGGCGCTCTTGGTCTTCAACAAGCACGTCATCAAGTGCAACTTCTACCAGCCTACCAGTATGTCGTTTCAGTTCAGGTGTGGATGGCCGTAGCTGATGCCATTGCAGAGGTCGCGCTGTCGTTCCGCCTCAACCCGGCTTTCCTACCTGAGGTCGAATACCCCAAGCAGCCTTTCGGGATGTTCTTCGTCGTCGGCTCCGACTTCCGAGGGTTCCACGTCCGGTTCAGGGATGTTGCTCGTGGAGGTATCCGCATCATCCGGTCGAGAGGTAATGAGTAAGCTTTCCATGCTGCTTTCGTGGTGTCAGAGCTGACGTCAACAGGAACTACAACTCCAACGTCCGAACTCTGTTCGACGAGAACTACGGCCTGGCGGCTACTCAGAACCTGAAGAACAAGGATATCCCAGAAGGTGGAGCCAAGGGGACGATCCTGCCCATTGTCGGCGCAGATATCAAGCAGGCCTTCCACAAATACGTCGATGTAAGTTCTCTTCAGCCAAGTTGATCAAGCCCAGCTGACATTCAGGCCATCATCGACCTCCTTATTCCCGGCCAGTCACCTGGTATCAAGGGTCCCATCGTGGATGTTTCGAACCGCCAAGATCCGGAGATCCTCTTCTTTGGCCCGGACGAGAACACGGCCGACCTCATGGACTGGGCCGCGCTGCACGCCAAGAAGCGCGGCGCACCGTGGTGGAAGTCGTTCACTACCGGCAAGTCGGCCGAGTCGCTCGGTGGTATCCCGCACGACATCTGTGAGTTTGGTCTTAGCTGCCAGGGATTCAGCTGACATGTCAGACGGTATGACCAGTCTTTCGGTCAGGCAGTACATCTACGGTGTTCTCAAGGCGCACGGCCTGAATGAGAAGGAGGTCACCAAGTTCCAGACGGGTGGGCCAGATGGTGATCTTGGATCAAGTGAGCCTTATTTTCCCCTAGGTGTAGATGACCAAGCTGACAATATAGACGAGATCCTGCTCAGCAAGGACAAGACGATCGCCATCATTGACGGATCCGGTGTCCTCTACGATCCCGCAGGACTCGACCGACCCGAGCTCATCCGCCTCGCCAAGGCCCGTTCTCCCATCTCCGGCTTTGATCCCAAGAAGCTCGGTCCCGAGGGCTACCGCGTCCTGGTCGACGAGAAGGATGTCCGCCTCCCATCCGGCGAGATCATCCCAGACGGCACGGATCTCCGCAACAACTTCCACTTCCGGGTCAAGGCGGATCTCTTCGTCCCGTGCGGTGGTCGGCCCGAAGCGGTCAACGTGTCCAACGTCGCAAACCTCATCGACGGCGATGGCAAGCCCCACTTCAAGTACGTCATTGAGGGCGCCAACCTGTTCTTCACCCAGCAGGCGCGTCTCTGGCTGGAGAAGAAGGGCGTGGTGCTGTTCAAGGACGCGTCGACCAACAAGGGTGGTGTGACGTCGAGTTCGCTCGAGGTGCTGGCGGGTCTGAGCTTGAAGGATGGGGAGTACGGGGATCTCATGATCTTCAAGGATGGCAAGCCGTCACCGTTCTGTAAGTATCCCTTGTTCTTGCGAAGGCTTTGGCTGACTGGCAGACCAATCCTACGTCAAGGACATACAGCAGAAGGTCTGCGAGAACGCCGCGGCGGAATACTCGTGCATCGCCAAGGAGTGGCAACGGCAAAAGGGCACCATGCCCCGCACGCGCATCACCGACCAGCTCTCGTCAACCCTCAACGACCTTCAGAATGAGCTCGAGGTATCGGACCTGTACGACAATCTCCAATCGCGCAAGAACGTCTTGGCGCACGCGATCCCCAAGACGCTCGTCGACAAGCTCGGCCTGGACGAGCTCATGCAGCGTCTGCCGGAGCAGTATCAGCGGGCGGTATGGAGTGCGTGGGTCAGCAGCAACTACATTTACGAGTGCGGGATGGGGGCGAGCAACGTGGACTTCTTCCACTTCTTCTCGAGGTTGGCTCAATAGTTCTTGAAGGATGGTGCGCTTGCAGGAAGAGGGCAGAGACAAGAGGGAAGAAGCTGTACATATGGACTCTCTAGGTTGGATGCATTTGGATCGTGATTGCACATCGCTACAGCTTGGCACTGAGCTCCACAACTTGGTCGACTCCTCCATACTCGGGCAGATTGAGCTCAAGCTTTTTGGCTAAGGCACTGCGGAGTCAGCAGACACCATGTAAAGCTGATTTGGCACCTACTCTGGCACAAAGCGTCCGCCGAGCCAATGCCTTCCCTTGAACTCTCTCACACCCTTCTTCGGCACCGTCAAGCTGATCAACGCATCCGGTACAAATGTCTCCACGACATCCACCTTCCCGTTCTCGTCCGGCTCAGTCTCGAGCTTCTGCCGACCGCGCTCAACGTCCCATCCCGAGGGGATATCTATGGATAGGATGGGCGCAGAGGATGAGCCCAGCAGTGCAAGGATTCGGTCGAATGGACGCCGAAGGGGAGGGTGGAAGGAGAACCCTTTCTGGTTAGCCAGACCCTGATGATCAAGTGGCTATACCCACCGAAGATAGCGTCCAGAATGACATCTGTCTCCTTCACGCCCTTCTCCAGCTCCTCTATACTCTTGAGAACCGGTATCTCGAGGTTCTCGCACTGCTTCAGGAGGCGCTGGTAGATATCCTTCGAGCCTGGCTTCGGGAGATAGATCGTTGGCTTGTAGCGGAAATGATGCAGATGACGCGCAGCTACGAGACCATCGCCACCCTGTTGTCCCTTTAGCGTTGATCAAGGCTGCAGGCTGTGCGCGTACTTGATTACCTGGCCCGCAGCAGACGAGGACGCGAGGATGGGTATTGACGGGGTACGTCTTGGCCACTGCTTGAGCACAGGCAAGACCCGCCAGCTCCATCAGCTGAGAAACATCAGTGCATGGCTCTCTAATTTTGGGCCGAGGTTCATACTTGATCAAGCGAGAAGGCGCCGCTGGATGACATGAGCTCCTCATCGATCTGACCAGTCAGCTGAGTGGACGTCCTCTCGCGACCGGGAGATGACCGGTACCCACCTGCTGAGCGATCTTTTGGCTTATAAACCGGATGGACATCTTTCTGTAAGATCTTTGTCTTAAATCGTTTCTCGAGGGGTAGATGAGTGTGAGAGCACGCTATGAAGAGATTGAAGGTACTCGTAGAGTGCAAGGCTCTCCTTCCTCGGCTACAGCTTGTATTTGCTGACGTCATTACGTTGCTTGCGCACTCGACCAAGTTTCAACCCGTTTCATCTCTCTCTTGTCACTCTTTCCTGCTAGCTATAATGTCCACCTTGCCCAGCTACATCCAGGTACCATCAGCAGCCAGACCTATACAGCCGCCTGATCGTACGCGCTCTTCACTCGAAGACAGAGAACGCAAAGTGGATCCACCATTGCCGGCGAAACCCTCGTTCCCACCGACCGCGTCCACCTCGACCCAGCCCGCTGCAGCCGCAGGCAGAAAGTATGCTATCCCAACAGCATCACTACCTAGCAATGTGTCAGATCTATTGCTCTCGTCACTGCTTCCCACGAATCTGCCTAAGTTGCCTACAGCCAAGGTGCAGGGCGGACCAGGCCGGCCGAGGGAACTCAATACTCAAAGAGAAGGGCTGAGGCTGGATATCATGAGCCATAACTTCCGCAGGTTCATCACGAAGGTAAGCTAGCTCACGACGGTATGATGTAGCTTTAACGGACCTGACCTCGACAGGTTGGGCCAGTCTTCTGGATGCAGGATAGAATAGAAGAGGTCCTCTTCTGGCGGAAACCCCTGTGGACTTGGGCGTGGATGATGACCTGGACGTTCATCGGTAAGTGCGAAAGCTTCTTCCATCGTCTGCATGACGATGGGATACTAATACGGTAGCCTTTCAACCCAGATTACTCCTCCTCTTGCCATCGCTGGTCCTCATCATCCTCCTTCTGCACCTCTCCGAGCTGCGCACTCCCCTTCCCTCACTGCTCGGCACGCCTATCTCGACGCCCTCAGCGTCTACACTGCGTTCGACTGGCACGAAGATCGACCCTGATGGCGGTCCCGTCTCAGTCTCGACCGGGATTGACGGAGAGGCGATCCCGGTGGCCCCGCCCAAGGAGGCGGAGAGCGGCGTGGACTACTATATGAATGTCCAGGCTATTCAGAATACAATGGGCTGGATGTGAGTAAATTCTCTCGGACCCGGCACTAGTCAGAATGGGCAATTTGGCTGATATCTCAAGATCTGACGCGTACGAGGACGTTCAAGGGATAATCACTGCCACCCTCACACCTTCGAAATCACCCACCTCGCTACCCCTCACACCGACCCACCTAATCCTCGCACTCCTCCCGCCAAGCCTCCTTCTCCCTCTCATCCCGGTATATCTTATACCCTATCTCCTCCTTCCGATCGGATGGGCTCCGCCACTCGCATTCCACCCGAACCTCGCCCCCTTTTTGTCCTCCCTCCCCGCTCTCCCGGTCGTCCGTCGAGCACAAGCAATGATAACCCGCCTCATGCTCACCGATTCACTTCCCGACGATCTCGGCCGAGCGTTCATAGCCGAAGTGGAGGTATGGGAGAATGAGCGCCTAGATCCCGCTGTCAGCACAGCCAAAGCTGTGTCGGGGAATGTGCTCCCGACAGGAAGCTGGAGTCAGCGCTTCTTGAGAGCTGGGGAGAGGATGCCATGGGTCAAGATCAGGGGAGAAGGGAGTGTATGGGGCTTCGAGGATAACGAAGCGGAGAGTGGAGGAGCGGAGAAGGCTGGACCTGAGCTAAAGCAGGGATGGAGCTGGATACCGGGCGAAGAGTGGAGGGTGGACGTCTCGGGATTGTGGAGTGATGTTGGAGTCGACGCCGGTAAGTTCAATCTTTACCGATGTCAACACAACGCTGATGGTGTAGATGGCTGGGTGTACTCAGATGATTCTTGGCAGAACCTAGCAGTCACGTCCTTGCCGGGCGCAGAGCTAGACTCGCCAGTACCGGCCATGCGACGAGTAACGAGACGACGGAAATGGTGGAAACGGGTCTACATTGCTCAAGAGGGATGAACGATTGACCTACTGGCCTCTGATGATGCACTTTTATCCACGGATCTCTGTGCGTATGAGTTGTTCCAGGGACCTATTGCGGTTTGGGCTGGCCAGCGCGTCAGTTGATGAGTCTCAGGTTGGTTAAAAAGGCGAAGGCCCGCTTGGGCAAAAACAAATGTGAACGAAGGGGGGATCGAACCCTCGACCTTGCGCGAACACACAAATGTGAAGCGCATACTCTAACCAACTGAGCTACCCGTCCGGAGGAGAACTAAAAGCCGTTTCTCACGCGGTATCTGTACAGCACGTCACAGATTGGCGCAGGTTATTTGGAATTCCACCCTTTCCGGAATTCCCCCCACCCTGCTACGAATACCTCTCCAACTCTTCCTAACTTTGATCGTCTATTCGGCTGATGGAGAACAGGCTTCGTATGAAAGGCTGTGCCCCCGATTAGGAGTAGGGCCACCTCCAGAAGTGTATATAGGGACCCTCATGCGCCTCCGCCCGCTGACACTTACTCTTTACGACTTTCACTCATCCTGAACATTGCGCTCCCATCAGTCTGACAACATCAATGGCCAACATCGCTCCCCGCATGGTTGACTCTTCTACCGAGAAGCTAGCTATGACCATCACAGGTTCCACACTCCGACCCCCGTCCGTGCAGCTGGACACGGATGCCCACGGAGATGATGCACCATCTTCGGTTCGGCGCGGCTGGTCAGGCTGGCTAGCGGAGGACATCAGCACCAGCTCCATGGTTCCTACCTTGATCCTGCAGGCATTCGCCACTGGGTGAGCGAGTCATTACGTCTCGTCAAGGTCTCAGCTGATTAATTAGCATTCTGGACGCGACGACATATGCCGACTTCTTGACGTTCGCATCAAACCAAACGGGAAACACCATCCTGCTGTGCGTGGCGGCGATAGGGACAACCACGACGGGTATGGCCAGTGCGGGCGGAGGCGGAATTAGGCTGGTCTTGACTGCGATCTCCCTTGGATGCTTCCTGGGCTTTGCAGGGATCTTTGGGCACTTGGGTCACCTGATGGGTACGCCTACTCCTCTTCCTCGTCTGGGTCCGGCTGACACCTGTTAGGCACGCGCCGCCGGTCCTGGCTCCTCCTCACCAACATCGCTCAATTCCTCATCCTCTTTATCGCTCTCCTACTCCTCGTCCTCCCCTCTACACCCCTCTTCCACGTCGGCGCGACACACGAATGGCTCCCCCTCGCCCTCTTTGCGGGTATGTCGGGCGCCCAGGTCGCGCAGGCTCGGCAATCAGGTAGCGCAGAGCTTCCCACTGCACCCATGACGTCGTCGTACGTCGACCTCGTCTCGGACCAACATCTCTTCCGGGGTCTTCGGGACCCGCGGGCGGGACCAAGGAACAAGAGGCTGGCGTATATTGCGGTGATGGTGGGTGGTGGGATGCTGGGCGCTGTGATTCACAGATGGGCGGGAACCGGTGCAGTAGTGGGTGTCACGCTGGCGTTGAAGGGGATTGTGACTGTATGGATCGCCCTGCTGAAGGGTGACCAGGTGTCAGGGATGAAGAATGTCGCTGCGGGAGCTGGTAAAGCGTAGATTGACTTTGGAAAGCTAGATAGTCTGAGTTGTATGTTCTGTGATACGTATCGTCGATGTACTTGGTTTCCCATCAAGGCTGTAAGGCCAGCTACCAGGCGATATCAACAGGGTGCATGGTCTAAGCGACTCTATCAAATCCGGAGGTTGTTTTGAGGTGCTTTTATGGCGTTGCCAGATTCCAGAGTAGCCTCTGAACCGCCTCTACTCTTGCTCCTCTCTGGGTGATGGTAGTACATGGACTGGAAGTATCAGCTATCGCTCGGACAATGAATTCGGCGCAGTCGTGACTTACCGGTGATGCCCCTTCTGCGTTATCCTCATCACCCTCCTCGCTATCCGGATCGTCCCATACATTTTCCTCATCTGGGAGCGCAATCACGCCCGATCCAGGATCGAACGAGAGCTGACGCCTGATCTGACCAGCGAGAGAAGGTGTTGGGTCGCCCCAGGGGTTGATGTTGGACGAGGAAGAAGCCGAAGACCCCATGCCCCTCGCTGGGGCTTGCGAGCTAGACTCGCCCGCTCCGTCCGCAGCTAGCGTATCGCCCCATTGTCCCTCGTTCCTCCAGTCTTCCGGCAATGCGATCGGCCCTGTCCGACCCGAAGCCGCTCCAGGCCCAACAGGACCATCATCCTTGCCCCGGCTGAGCTTCTGGCCCATCTTGCGACGCAAGCTTAGGACCACTCCGCGGCGCTCTTTTGCCCCGTCCCCGAACGCTGGTGCCTTCTTGACGGCAGGCAGCCAAGGGAAGGGCAACTTTCCGGATAGGGCGGGGTGTGCATAACGTCTTCGGCCGGTATTGAGGACCCCATAGTAGAAATTGTTGAGTGGTGGCTGAGAGTAGTCGGTGTGCTTGGATGAGGGTGCGACGTAGAGGGTGTCATCGTTCATCCCATACCGGCGATGATTGAGGTTGCTGGATGATCAGCCTATACCGGTCGGTCGCCAGGAGCCAATACTAGCTCACCTTTGCGAGATCGGGATGCTCTCGTCCGCCAATCCGGCAGCCTGATCCGCACCCTCGCCACGCTGCACCTCGCATACGCTACTGAGCGCGAGATACGTGCTGAGTGGCTTAAAGTCCTCGGTCATCGAGTAGCTCCACCACAAGGTGTAAACGATGAGCGGGACCATAGCCAGCGGAAGGTATGGCGAAGTGTAGTGACCGAGGGAGAAGAGACCGGTCATAAAGATCTGGAAGAGGATGAGGGCCCAGACGAGTCGGCGGAACGTGATGAGCCAGGCTTCGCCGTTGGATTCGTATGGCTTGAAATAGACTAGATGATCAGCTTGCAACCATGAAGCGGACTTGAGTGTGGAGGAGACGCGCTGAAGAGGAGCTTATACTTGTACGCCACATCTGCAGGGTCAGTCTGACCACTTCGTACAGTGAAGACATTGACTCACAAGCTGTACCGAAGTAGATAGCGCCAAAGACCAGGATCAACGGGGAGACCACACTGTACACCAAGGTAATGGTGAAGACGAGTAATGCAGGCGGATAGACCCATCCAAAGTTGAGCATGGGTGGCGCGTTCGCCTCTGCGTAATCTGGAGCGGTATTAGCTTTGGTCTCGGCTGCGAGAATAAGACTTGGAAGTGCTCACCTCGCGGGGTCTTGGTGTAGAAACCTCGAGCAAAGCCGAGCGAGAAAAGTGGCCCCAGGTTTAGGAGCTGGAGAGGCATCAGACCCAACGCTGTCAGATCAGCTACAGCTCCCAGAATCTCCAATAAGGAAGCCTGTTGAGCAGCTCACACTGCAGCATGACGTAGGAAACCATGAAGTTCCGTGCGTTGGGTGCCTGCAACGCCGCCGCAAGCTTCTCAGGGATCTTCATTGGCGAATCGGCCAGATCTCGGATTAGGGCAAAGTAGGTGGTGGTGAGGAGGAAGACAAAGAGGACCGAGATAAGGAGGAAGAGGTGGTATCTGTGGGTCAGCTCCGAACTTTTACCGTACCTGGAAGACAGGAGGGCTGTCCAGCTCACTTTCGCATCAAGGAGTACTCGGTCGCACTGCGCGAAACGAATCCTTGTTGGTAAGACAACCCTATCATGTAAGCTTGGTCGCTCCAGCCTGTTTGAAGCTCTGTTTAGCTTACAAGAGAGTAAGAAAGGGAGAAGCGCGTTGAAGGTGATCAACGCAAGCGAAGGCAGCGAGTTCTGCACCAATGGAGCCAGCCTTGGACTGCTTTTGATGAGTCTTGCGAGTCCCGGAAAGACCTTCTTGATTTCGGCGTAAGACAGCAGCGAAGCCAGGGCGGAAACGGGTGCTATCCAGAATCAGCTTGATTGCTTTCTGGTCACCACCACCGCGGGAAATGTCGATATACGCACGAATCCAGAACAGAAGCAGAATCACCATCGCCAGCATGACCACAGCTACGCGGATGTAACCCTCTCGATTCGAGATCCCGATCTGGCTCCATACAAGATCGCGCGGCTCCGGTGCGGGCTGGGTTATGAGTTGCGAGTGGTACGGATAGTGGAGGACCTGGCATGCCATTTGCTAAGAGGGTGTCAGCTCGTGCTAGTTTACACACCTGTAGCGGGGCCGAGAGCAGACTTACAGCACTATTGATATTGTCAAACGTGACGAAAGCCGCATGGGTAGCTTCAAAGCTACCTGTCTTCCTCAAAGTTCGCACTTCTCCATCCGCCTCGAGGAATTGCTTCTCCCAATACTCGATGGCATCGACGGCGGTCCCGAACCAGTTCGGGCGGTATGTCGGTCGAGGGCGTGCACTGGTGGTCTCCTTAGTCGGAGCTGCAGCCTCGGGGTCGCGCGTCGCCGGCGTGATGGTCGAAGTGGAAGTCGACAGCCAAGGGTTGGTGCTTCCCGAAGCTTCCTGCTGAGGGCGTACGGTGGCGCCGGACGACTCCCTTGAAGGCGTCGACTCCTGCTCGTCCTCCAGATCCGGAATGAGCGGTTCTGACACCTGCTCGGGACTCGCCGTTCCTTCCGCCGCGGCCAGAAGCGCCCTCTTTCTCGGCACAGTGTACAGTCGCGGATTGTATCCCTTCGCAGCTGGGCTCGCGGGATTGCCCATCCATTCCGTCCAGGCACTCTCCAGGCTCAGGAGCGCATGTGTCCGCCTCTCCAGCGCCTGCCGGACCTTCTCGACTTGCCGACACACGCTGACGCTTTCGACCCGCCATCCACACCCTTCAAAGTATGTCGCCAGTGCCCGATCGCCCCGAAGGTGGGTCGGGACATTCGTGACGAGTACAGTGCGGGCCGAGATGGAGTGGGTGAGGTGGAGAGCGAAAGCTTGGCGGGACTGGACGAAGCGACGGAAATTACGGTGGAGGAATGAAAGGGTGAGCGCGGTGAAGAGGTAGGTGAAGAGGAGGTTGATGGTGGCGGATGTCTGAGGATCGAGGATGAGCTCTGAGAGCGTCGGGGGGATCGGGTGCGTAGTGTTGCTGGGGATGTAGGAGATGAAGAGCGAGGTCGAGTTGTCGGGAGGGGTATCTGGCTCAGAGTCTGTCGTTCCATGTTTCTAGACCGTCAGCTCCACCTCTCCGCCAAATGAAGGGTCAGGGCAGCTCACAAAGTAGTTGAGCGGCATCAGAACCACTGTAGCCAGTATCGCCGCCAGCGAGAACAGCATGAAGCTCATCCGAAAGAAGTCCAGGAGCTGCCGAGTCAGCTTTACTGGATATATGCGCACGGCGGCATTTATACTCACGACAGCAGCATCCAGACCGACCGTCTGGAGTACGGTGAACTCGCTCGTGCGGACTGTCGGTATGATCCATCCGAGCCATTTGCCTCCTGACGCCTTCTGACTTTCAGATGAGTGAGCGGGAGAGGGCGAGTAGTCTAGGACGAGTCAGCTTTCAGTCTGCACTCGGAGAGCAAGCCCAGCTCACGCTTCAGCTTCGTTCGCCCCATATAGACCATATCCCATTTTGTGCGCAGGATGCAGAAGGCACAGAAGCTGGACATCCCGATTGTGAGGGAAAGTATGAGCTGGGTCGAGAACCAGGTCCCTAAGGCATCAGCTACGCTGACTCATCCATCCACAGTCACCGTCGGCCCAGAGAGGGTCCGAGAGAGCTCCAGCGATCGAGGACGGCAGTATCCCGAGGGGAAGGCCGAAGGACAACATACCGTTAAACTCTTCTATAGTTGATGTCAGCTGACTTCCCTTGCCTCGTTCACATGCCCCACCAGTCCTCCCTACCATCATTGCCCCTCTGCCGGGTACGCCTGCAAACATCAAAGCAGCGCGAAAGAAACGGGCGCACGAGATGCCTTGTCCTCAAAGAGGGAGAGGTGAACATACGAGTCGGTCCGGTCCCAGGAGGAAGCCACGGCTTGGCCAGCATGCCCATCATTCCGTCTCCAGCCTCCGCATCGCCCAGCGCCCCGAGCGATGCACCATGAGTCCACATTGCGCAAGCAACGTCCGCGTCCAGGTCCGTTGGTGATTTACCGATATCTGAGATCGATTTCCGATCTCGCTGGCCTCCGTTTTCGCCGCTAGCGTCGCTAGCACGAATAAAATGTCGGGCGTAGCGCCGGTATAACGACTGGGCTCGAGGTAGCTGCTACCAGCGTGGAGCCGACTAGAGTGTACAGAAAGAGGTAAAGTAGAGGAAAGAGGAGGTTGTGTGCGCTATGACGTCTGCGTTCCTCCTTTCTTGTTGATCCGGCCATCCCCGCCTGGTATGGCACCTCGTCTTGAGCTTGAAGACCGCGATGAAGCTAGCTGCAGGATCGTTACATGTATCATATCGTTGGAGTGTCCCCCATCTAAGCTACTCAAAGCATGCTGTTGCTGGACATATCACCAAGGCAAGGGGATGCCCTAGCTTTCTCAGTCCCGGCAATCCAAGAACACTCTGCATCCCACGCAGACTCGTTATCCCGCTCAACGCTCTTCCTGCTACTCGCCGCGCATCCAGCCTAGCACGTATCCACCAGCCTGTTCTTAGGCCATACCAGCCCCGTCTGCGAGAACTGGGAGATGTTGGCGTTGTTGTAGATGTCGAGATGGCGGTTGATAAAGTCCTTGGTGGGGCGGTCTGGCAGGATCAGCAGACATTATATTACCAACAAGAAACGGCTCACCTGAGGGGTCGCATCCTATTGTACCGTCACCACGCTGGTACACCCTGATATAGTCGACACGGTACTCGTTTGGCCAAGTCAATTGAGCAAAGTTGACGGCTTGGAAATTGTTTGACTAGTCATTAGCGACATGCTCATCCCGCAAAAGTCCAGTACTCACCATGTGGTAGTTGAAGATCATGTACATGGGCTCCTCGGCAATGATCCGATCCCCAATCTCCGTCAACGGATTCGCCGCGATCGCTCCTGGATACATGGTCCACGCGCGCTTCCCGTCGACCGCCCAAGTTATATGCCCATTCTTCCGATTCTTGAAATCGGCATACCACTCGAGCTCAAACGAGGCAAATTCGCCCCGCCGCCCGCCGACCACCTGATCCCGATAAATCCGGGACGGGACCTGGGTGAGGACCGAGACGGCCTCTTGGTATATTCCGCCCTTGTAGGAGTTGAACTTGGAGATTCCGAGGTCGGCGATGTCGCAGTAGATGGAGGCGTTGTTGTATTGGTAGAAGGCATCGTACGGGGCAATCTGGTTGGATTGCGACACCTCCCCGACCGCGAGGTCAATGATGATCTGCGCCTCGATCAGGTCGATTTCCGGTGCGGCACGACCGACATTGTTGCTTGGTCCGGGGTGGTCTTCGCCGGGACACGTGCAGGCAGAGTACCGCTGACCGGGAAGGAAAGAGAGTGGTCCTTGGTTGTCACCGGTAGTGAGCGTAGCGACGGGACCGGTCATGTTGGGGTAGGTTTGGTTGGGGAGGGTTCCGATATCGCACGTGTCATACGAGTATCTGAAAGTAAGCGCAATCCTCGCGGATAGCAGGCAGGACCCACGGCCAAAGACCATCGGTTGTTCCACCGTATCCAGCCCGTCCCAAATTCCCCATCGTCCAGAACGCCGGCCAGAAACCACCAATACCCGACGTTCCAGGTAAGGAGACCGACACCTCCCAGTGCGCGTTCCGGTTGAAGCACAGCTTGTTCCAGGATTGAATCATGCCGGATTTGAAGTTGAGGTCGTTGATGGGCTCTTGGGTCATGGTGATGACGAGGTGGCCGTCTTTGGTGGTTACTGCCGAAGGGTCCAGCCATTCGAAATCACTGCAAGTCAGCAATGACCTAGTGACAATAAAAATATGCTCACCCCGTAGGCCAGTAGTGGATATCCATCGCCTCCCAGAATGGGTCGTCACCAGGATAGAATGTCCGGCCGGGCGTGTTGAACTCGTCCGAGTACACGAGGTTCCAGTTCTCATTGTCATATCCGACCTTGGTGTACGCGCTCTGCGGTGTTTCGGGGTCTAGTAGACGTGGTACGCCTATTTCGGGGTATTGACCTGACTGTCAGCCTGTGATCATCTCGAAGCCTGCCGCTAGCCGCAAATGCCCAAAAGAGACTCACCAGTCGAGTTGATTCCTCCCAAATTGTACCCAGGGGTATTGCTCCCAAACCCTAGCTGCCCATTTTGGAAAGCTGAAATGATGGGATACGCGCCGAAAAGCGTGATAATGGCCGCCGCCAATGTCGCCAGCATGAGCGCGTTCGCCCATCCTCTCGCGCTAGTGATATCAAATGGCGAGCTGAGATCCTTCTTGTCCTTTGCGGTGAAGGTATGCAGGGCGTCGTCAAGGTCATCATCATCCATCATGGCCGCGGCTCCGCCGCCGCCCGCGCCCGCGGCCAGTCCCCCAGGGATGGCGCGTCCCTCTTTTCCGGGCGTCGAAGGGTGCATGGTCGCGGTAGGCCCGAAGCGCTGGTTGCCTGGTCCGAGGGGAGTTGCAGAGGAAAAGGAGTGAGTGGAGGAGGAGTTGGCCATTCGGCCGTTGGGGTTGGACATGGTGTGGTGTGTGTCGTAAGACGCGAGGGATGATTCTGATAGGCGCTGGGACATGCCAGGGCCTTGGGCGTTTCCGAGTAACGGCTCGTTTTGGACGGGAGATGAGCCGAACTGGGGCATGACCCGGAGTGGAGGGGAGGGAGGTGGAGAGGAGTGGCGAGAGCGAAAGGAGGGGCGAGGAGGAGGTCGAGGCGGAGTCGCGCAGATAGGTTGAGAAGTAGCAGGTATGGAGGGAAAAGGTTGTGATCAGCTTGTGTTCACGCCATGTATGCCTTGACCGAGCGGGTGGGGGTGATGAGAAAGGGTGGACGTATGACGGTCGAGATGGAGATGTAGAAAGGTGATGAAAAGAGCTAAGGACGAGTTTGCACCGCGAATTGCTCGTGCCAAGCCACCCTGATCGTTCTTCTTTTTGGACCTTGTACTCACGATATTTGGGCCTGTTCGTTGCTTGTCGTGACCTCGGACCATCATGCCAGCATGATCGCTGTGAAAGGGGGATAGGCTGTGCTGTGTAAGGTGTAGGATTGAAGGATAGTCGAACTGGGTGTGACTTTGAATAGGGACAAGGAGAAGGAGTCTAAGGTGAATTGGCGGCTGGAATATGAAGCTTGGACGCGGGGTTTGATAGAAAGGCGTTTCTAATCCTCCCCTCGTATCGCAACGGTTGTGGCACATCGATGCATCTGATCCGTCATGCGCATCACGCGCAGACATCCTCGCACTCGAATTCTCTGTGCAATCATACTATGCATTGCCCTCGCTCCTCGACAGACCGCATCTCAAAGGCATGAGAGGGATTTCGACTGCACGGAAAAGATGACGGCATGGTCCCCCTGAGTCCAGACGCGCTCGGAGGCTTTTCCCTGAACCCGCAGCGGGCCCGCAATCCGTGAAAGCATGACACAGCATGCATGCAAGGATGTCTGCGCGTCCAGTACTGCAGGTCTGGTCTGCTACCATACATGTGTGCAGTCTGACGAGTACGGGCGCGGAATAGCAGATTTCGGAGATTGAAAGCTGAACGACGCGTCGCGATGGCGAGGGAGCACCTCATTCCGGCGCTGCAATGCAGATTTAGCTGCCATCATATGGGGCAGGCAAAGCAGCTCACTGCAACAGATCCCGCCGATCTCCATGGGCGATCTGAGAGTCGCAATCGAGCGATCTGCTGCATACATACCAAGCCAGAGCCGCTCTGCGGCGTCAGCCTTGAGATGAAACGAAACGTGCTCGCTTCGGTTTCATCTTTCCGCCACTGCCGTCATGACGCGGCCACCCTGAAACATCTTCTCCGCGTCCCGCGCTTCTCATCCTTGTTCTCACCTCTTCTCTTACCCAGTCTCTATCATCATCCCGCGATCTGACAAAGGGGTATGAGAGGCCGCTTCCGATCTCTCGTACGGATGCTCCTTGGCGGGGCGGGCTGCCATACCTCCGACAAAGGGTGCTGCCGCTGGTTAAGGAGCGGAGATGGGCAATGGGAACCCTTTCGGAGGCTGTTCAAGGGGGGTTGAGCTTGGACGTTTTAGCGTTGTCCCAGCGCTTGGTCCGTTTCAACTCTTGTCAAGTCAACAAGAACAAGGTCTAAGGGTGAGTAGAGTGTTCAAGATGATACAGTGGCGTCATGCTACTCCTTCCTGGACAACTACTTGATGACAACTAACCTTTGACTATCTCTGCATCTCCGTCGATTGTTTGTATATCTGACTTGTCCTTCTGTTTGCCGTTCCTGTCCTTGTCCCCACCTGTTGCTGCCCCACTAACTATCGTCACTCTTTACACGCTCTTCGCCATCGGCACGGTCTCCAGCTCCACATCCTCGTTATCGCTCCCCCTTTCGCCATGTCCGCCCAGCCCAACAACTACACCTACCACCCTCGTCCCTACCACCCACACGCGCCTTCCTTCCCAGCCAACGAAGATCGCTTCTCCAGCGCTTCAAATGCCATCTCCTCCATCGGCAATATCCTTTCCTCGCCGTACGACACCGACGACTCGGACACGGAGGATGTCATCCGCACGCCCTCGGACCGCGCCCCGCACGGCGCATCTCCTATCGGCAACAATACTGGTCGAGGGGACCGGCGCCTCACGCAGACGCGGCAGGTACCTGTAAATTATATGCGGAGCGTCGCGGGGGAGGTGGAGGTCATAGCGTTTGACCAGAACCGGTCATCCCCTTCGCCGACCGCCCGACCCGCGGGTCGCGTCGACGCGCAAGGTAACAAGCGCGTCACCATCGTCGACTTTCCCTCACCTTCCATCTCCCCCAGCTCCGAGAAGAAGTCATACTTTCCTCAACAGCAGCAGCCGACCACACCTCCTCGAATCTACAACCCTACCTCCTCGCCCATCCGTAAACCGTCCCCAGGCGGACTAGCGTACCCCTCCCCCGCCCGATCAGGCCCCATGGCTTCCCCTTCCCCGCGCACCGCATCCGCCTCCCCAGCTCGCGGCTACCCTCAGCCTCAAGCTCGGCCACAGCTCCACCTCCTCACTCAGACAGCCGCGACGCATGGTCTCCTCCCTCCCCGCCAGATCCCTGACCTCCCGCCGCCCGCATCGCCCATCATTCCCATCCTCGCCCAGCCTCCTCCATCCCATGCGTCTCCCCTCCCTCGCTTCCTCGGCCCCGCAGCGGGCAACCGCGACTCTACCGCCTCGGGCGTATCGACTAACGAGTCCATCGCGGGGTATGACAGTATGAAGGAGAAGAATGCGCTGTTCCGCGGAGGGGAAGAAGAGCTCCTCGCGTTCAGCCCGAGGATAAAGAAGATGGGTCAGGGTCCGGGTGCGGCGAATCGGGGGACATGGATGGGGAGGAGACGGACGATCGTTGGCGGCGCAGGCGGGGACTTTTGGAAGCGGTTTAGCGTCATGGGCGCGGAGGGGCTCAAGGCGGGCAAGGAGAGGTGAGATACATGCCGGCTGCGGCTGATGAGCACCAGCTGACGCTTAGTGAATGGCTGTCCTCGCACAATAATGGCTGGCGATCAATCAAGAAATGGATCATCATCGGTCTCATCCTCGTACGTCTGACCCTCTACCCCGCGCAGATCCAAGCTGATCTCTCAGTTGATCCTCGCCATCGGCGGAGGCGTCACCGCCGGTATCCTTCTCACTCAGAAGAAACCGGACCAGCTCATCGCTACGCCAGTCACCAAGGTCTAATCTGGGTCGGATGCGGATGTGCAGGGGAACAAGGGCGGGGCGCCTTTTGTCGGGGGTTTGCGATTGACATTTTCTAGGACATTACAATCTAAGATACCTGTCTATCTTGCTGGTCAAGTAGAGCGTCAGGGTAGACATTATCATGTCGCACTTCATATGTAGGGCAATCGTGAGATTAGAGAGCTCTGAGCAGGGCCAAAGGATAGGTTCATACTGATATACACATGTACACGCTGACGGCGTAACCCGGCTGAGGGTATAGAAGGTGGTACAGTATCCTAGTGTCCGCGATCGGAAGTTGAGAGAAGGGGAGACTCCGGATCGAAGGGGTATCTGGTGATTGATCGTAAGGGACGTGAGAGCGAGGTGGGGGTAGAGGATATTTAGAAGAGATCTTCAAGGGTCATTTGCCTGGGGAAGTCAGCTTTGTCCAGGACGTACGGATCATGCGGCACACCCCGGGCGTCTTAGGTCAAACCATATGGCCATAGGGAACGAGGAGATAGATTTCAGACTTACTTGACGATATCTGTACTGGCGACCATCGCTGAGAATTCATCAAAGCTGAGCTTGCCATCCCTGAAAGATCAGCTCTTACCCCGAGGCCAATGTACCAGTCAGCTGAGAGATTCACCCGTCCTTGTCCGCCTCCATAATAGTCTTATCGACAATCTGCTGTAATTGTTGGTCCTGCCGATGTCAGCTGTGGCCACGAAGATAGGCGGGTGCCAAACAGCTCACTTTCAGATTGTTCCCCACCATCTGCTTCAGTACCAGATACAGCTCTCCGTTCGAGATGAACCCATCCCGGTCCATATCGTATACTTTGAACGCGACTGCTTGGCCAAGCGTAGAAACAGCAACGGCGGTGTATGAAGGAGGTACGAGTAGATATGGAGGGGAAACCTAGATCAGCGGAGTTCCCCCTGGGCTTGAGCAGAAGAGCACGACTCACACCGCAGCTTCTCTTCCCGCCCGCCTTTACTGCTGAAAGCGCTAAGACCACCGACGAACTCTTGAAAGTCGACCGTTCCGCTCCCACTGCACATCATCAGCCACTGTACCACATGAACAAGTATATTCGCCTCTACGTCTCCTTGACTCTCCAGTCGAGCATCCTTCCAAATCCCATTCGTGCTTCCCGCCAGACACCCAAGTCAACCTTCTCCACCGTCTCCGCGTCCGTCACCAACACCATTCACACCACACGCCCGTCGTCCAGACTCACTCTTCATCAAAGATCGCAATCATACGATGTGCCAAAGGATTATTGGCGATCTGCGGGATCTGTAAAAACTCGTCCCTGTCTATCGTCCCCGACCCGTCCTTATCGAGCTTCATAAATCGCTTCTTGAGCCGCAGAAGTTCGGGCGCCGAGACTGTTATATCAGACGACGACCTCTCTTCCGTACCATCTTGTCCATGGCGTAACGAGGCGTTGAGGCTAGTGCCAAAGGACGAGATAGGCCCAAGTAGCCGAGGAGAGGTGCGACAGGGGCGCCAGTGAATGGGACATACAGTTCGAGCTCTTCTCGAGCGAGTTGAAGACTGTTGATTCTGCTTGACCCATCTTGAGCTGAGAAGTGACGAAAGAGAAGTGCGCGAAGAGGGGAAGTGAAGAGGTAGAAGCTTGAGACGAAGTACAGTGCAACGCTTGGGTGAGCTTCGCATTTAGGTGAAGGTGCTTTGCTTTGCCCGTGCCTGAAACCGGTCATTACCGCCCAACAGCTCCTCATTCCACCGCTACCCTAGCTCGTCGATCTTACTTGCACTGTCCTGCTATGGCAGCAGGCTGCTGACAGTCACAAGCAATGCAAGCATGGTTCAATATCAAAGTACGAGTCTACTTTGTTTGAATTCCAACTCTTTCGTCTTACTATGTACAGCAGATCAACCTCCTCTTTTCGAATCTCTTTGCCCGCCTTTCCTCTTCTCTGCCCCCTCTACCGCCATCAGTCAATTATCACCCAAGAACAGACCCCGCTTCATTCTACTTTCGGCGTAACGTACACTCAAGCAATCTCTCCCATCTTATCCCCCATCCCCAAACCCTCCCTCCCAGCCTAGGCCGTCTTCTCCACCTCGGTCCCCCCGAGCTTCTCCTCAAGCTTCTTGATCCGCTCCTTGAGCTCATCCACCTCCTTCTTGTTTGCTTCACCGCTTCCACCCGCACCCGCCGCGCCCGCAGTTCCGCCCGCCGCAATACTCCGCCCAACCTCGTATCTCACCATCTCCTTGAGGCTCTCTGCGCTTTGCTGCAAGTTACCCAAGAGGGTGTTGCTGCTCGCAGCGGTGCCCTTGAACTCCTGCATCGCCGATACCTGGTTGGCGTAGAGTCCTTCATACCGGTGCATGAGTTCTTGGAGGTTGTACCTCAGCCCGTCGGCCTGGTGGAGGAGGTCGTAAAGTTGGTTGTAGGGCGCCAGAAAGGCTTCCCGCCGCGCCGACATTTGCGGCGCGGCAGTAGGAGCGGGTCGTTGCTGGGGAGGAGGCGAAGGGGAGGGGGACGAGCCGCCGCCGCCACCACCACCGCCGTGGTCTTGGTTGGTGTAGGTCGCGCTGGGACCAGGGTGGCCGTGTCCGCTACCGCTGTGGTGTTGGCCGGAACCGCTGTATCCGTTACGCCCGCCGGCAGTAGGGGGAGGCATCCGGTCGTCGTACCCGCCCCTGGACGAGGAGGTGACTATGCGCGCGGAGCTGCGGGGACCGCCATCGGTGACGGAGCGATTGTGCGAGTGTCCGGGCTCGTACCGACGGTAGTACTGGCTCGAGACAGGGGCTTGCTGGCGGGAAAAGTCGCCTTCGTCGCCTCGGCTGCCGCGGACGTTGCTGACGGGCGCGTTGCGCGGGTCGACCAGACCGTTGGGGTGGTGGCCGGATGGGACGCTAGTTTGGGACCCGGATGGCGGTTCGCCGCGCTCAGACTGCTGAGCAGACAGGTTCTGGTTGAGGGGGGCGGACTATATCGTCAGCTCATGCGAGTATAACGGCATTCAAGACTCGCCTTGGAACCGTTCATATCCTTATCACCACCTGCAGTGTTGATGCTCATCCTTTCGACTTTGTCCCTCGTCTTGTCCCTCCGCCTGCCGACTCCGCCGCTTCCCGAGCCAGACGCAGACGCCGGCACGCCGGATCCAGGAAGAACATTCGGGTCTTTCGGCTGCCAGCCCTTGAATGTCAACTCTTTGGGCGTACTGGGGTGGCTCGCCACGACGTCTCGGCGACGCTGGGCGATCAAAGCTTCCTGCTGCGCCTTGATGCTGATGGTGTCTCGGACCTGACTATCAGCTGCGTTGGGGAATATCTTGCGGAATGTATTCACAGTCTTGAGTTGATCTTCGTCCACCTTTTGAAAGTCAAAGCCCATGACGACCGGGCTGGGAAGGGCCGCTTCGCCTGCAATCCCGCCGCTCTCCCTCCTGTTCTCTCGCGCAGCGGCGAAACCAATCGGCTTGATAGGGGCCAATCCGCTCGCCCTGCGCTGCTGTGGCTCACCCTCGCCTTCCTCGGCCGCGCCGCCGGCTGCACTGCCTGTCGAGGGGGAGTCAGCCCTGTCTGGGTTGCCGACAGACGCGTTCTTGCGCGTCTTGCGACGCTTGTCCGCTCGCGGGTTGGGCGAGGCCGGTACCGGAGATTCGTCCACTTCGTCTCTGTTGGTTTTGAGCGATGGCCGAGGCGGGAGTGGATGTGTGAGGGTCGGAACAGGCGGTGGTCGAGAGATGGGTCGTGACATGGGATACGGGAAGGCATAATTGTGTGGAGTAGGCGGAGCGGGGTACGAGGGAATATGGTGACCGGGTCCGGCGGAATACCAAGTGGGGTGAGGATAATAGGGAGTCGCCGGAAGGTAGTGATAGGGGACAGGCGGTCGATGAGGTGGCATGAGCGGTGCCAGAGTAGTTGAGCCGGGATAAGGCGCGAGGCGATTGGGTAAGGCGGGTGATGCGGCCATGATGGATGTGGTGATTGTGGGTGGGAGGGGACGAGCGACGGAGTGATGTCGAGTGACGGGTACAGTAGGCGGAGGAGTCAGGTAGGGAGAAGGAGACATGATCAGCGAATGTTTCTTTGGCGTTGGCGCAGAAGGCTAGGTCCCGATCAAGATAGGTGGGAAAGTCAAAAGTGGGGAAGATGAGAAGCTAGTTATAAGGGAGAGTAAAGCAAGGGACGATCATGGTCAAAGGCAAGCAGTGAGAACGGATGATCGGTCCGGACTGCAAAGCTGACGCGCGTAAGAGAAAATGGTGGAAGGCGTGGGCTGCGACATGGAGTAGCCGAGCGAAAGGGTGGCAGATAAAAGGAATGTAAATGAGTGAAAGAGGAGTTGCGACGTTATATATGAACGGGTGAAGTGGTATGATCGATGCTGGAGGCAGTAAAGTGTTTGGAGGATGAAGGTGAAGGGGGAGTGAAAGATGTAAATGTCCGAGCGGGGGAGGTGGAGTGATTGTAATAAAGTCCACCGCGCTAACGCCTCTGCGCTTATTTTATTCCAGACGACCCTCAAACACACACACATCCACACACTCGACCGCCCGCCCAAAGGACCCCCTGAAATGAAAATATACGCCCGAAATCCGAATCAAATAGCCGCCGGACTGAACACGATAACTCACCGGTCCTCTCTTACAGACTTTCCCTTCTTCTTCTTGCCTGATGCGCCTCCTCCGCTGGCTCCTCCAGACCCCTTGGTCTGGTGCACCATGAACTCATCTTCGCCTTCGACTTCAGACATGCTGCTTCGTGATCCGGTGGCGAGTTGCGAGTGAGGGTGGTAGTAGGGGTAGTGAGATGTCGGGTGGGGTTGCGTGTAAGGGTAGTGGTCTGCTCGGGATTCTGGGGGGTACGAGACGCTTGGTCTGTGGTTGTGAGATGGGTATGGGAGAGGCGATCGCGAGGGGTGGTAGGTGGGTTGGTGAGGGGATGGGGGATGGCCGAACAGTGGGGAGGTCGAGGTCGAGGGGAGTTTAGCCAGTGGAGGCGGGCCGAGTGGCGCAGGCGTAGGCGCAGCGAATACGGATGGCATGGGCGACATGGGTGGGTAGGAGTGTCGAAGGCGAGAGGCGGGTGGCGGACCAAAGGTGGACAAGGGCGGAGAGATGGGCGCGTGAGGTGGTACGGGCCAGTGCATCGAATGCCGATGTGGGTGGGGGTGGTATTGGATTGGCGGCAAGGTCGATGACTCCGCATATCCAGCATGGGGATAGAGGGCGGGGTTGGGCGAGGGGTAAAGAGCGCGCTCCATGGTATGGCGAGGAGAGTATTGCAGGATCGTGGCCATGTTGACAGTGTATCAGGCGAGCGAGAATGATGACAAGTTGAGCAGGAGCGAGAGGCGGATGCGAAAAGCACCGAGCAAGTCCAAGCGAGACAGGGAGATGGAGTATGATGGGATGATGATCGAGAGGCGCAGAGAGGCGTGACAGGCACGTTGGGATGGCGCAGGAGATATCGCAGATTCCAGTCAGGCAAACAAGTCGTAAGCGGGAAGGCGTATGAGGTGGAGGTGTGGAGGAAAAAGACACGGTCAGCTGCTAGATTCGCCGGAGATTCTCACTATGAGGGGCAGGGGCGCGGTGGAAGGAATGTTGAGGCTAAAAGACCCAATAGGCATCGCCAGGCTGGGTTGGGGATAGGAGGAGAGGAGGGGTTTGAATTGCGGGAAGAGGAACGTACGGTGAAGTGAGGGTCTACTTGAGGTAGACTTGCTGCGACGGCGCGGCAGCGGGAGCGCCGAGGGTTGGGTCTGCGAGCTGGATTGATCGTGCCAGTGACTTTCGGCGAGTAGACGCTACTTCTCCGAGCCTGTTCTAGCGATTCTCCAGTGATTCCAGCGTTTCACCCTGATGACGCGGGAGTGCGACAGCGACGAGGTCGAGGTATCCTGCTTTTGCGAGGGAGCACCTGCCCGAAAGCGTAAAAGCTGATTGATGGACGGGTTGCGAGCCGGCAGAATAGGAATCTGGGGAATGCTTCCCGCTGATCCCGTGTTTTGGTTTTGTTTAAACAGGCTGCTTCGGCGGGAGTGAAGAGGTGCGGTAGATAGTCGTCCGAGCGGCGACTATTGGCTGATGTGAGCAGCAAGGGGGAGTAGCGGGTAACGACAAGATTGATGCGGGCAGCTAGACAAGGTGGAATGAGATGAGATGGGGGGAAAGTGGAAGAGAGTGAGAGAGGGAGGGTCAAGGGGTGAAAAGGTGAAACGTTCAAGTTATTTACCGCTTTGGGTAATATGACCATTCAGGGTAACGACTCGCAGCGGGATTAGCCGTTTGAGGAAATCTTATATCGCCGCAGCCGCGAACCACATGCTTCGCCACTCTCAAGCTCTGCTGCCTCCACCACAGCTGTCCACCAGATACCAGCATCCAAAACAACCGGAGCGGAGAGCCAATCCAAAGCCATATCCGTCAGTGACGCTATGTTTGAAGCCATACATGACTCGACGAGATGATGACAGTTCCACAAGAGCGCTTCCCCCAAGATCCCGAGACCGTATGACCCCCTGCTAAACCGAATGAGTTACAGACGTTTGTCGTCGGTGACCGAGACACCATCCTTGCAGACTGATGATGAGCCTGACGCCCGTATCAAGAGGCCAGTGGTGATCGGAACAGATGGGACTAAGGAGACTTACACTTATGCTGTGGAAGGCAGGATAGAATTTCGCGCTACGATACATCATATCGAATTAACCATACGACCCGGCCTAAGGCATCAGCAGCCGCATGAGCGCAGGAAGGCATCGAGGAGGTAAGAGCTCACCCGATGCTGTGGAAGGTCCTGAGCGTGGGAGTACCCGCTAGCCTCACTCTCTGCAACATCAGCCTTTCGGTCCTCTGGCAAACGCAGGTCTCTCATCACGACTTCTGTCCACACGGAACGAGCATCGGACGACTCACAAGGACTTGAGAGACATAATACCATCCTCCCGTTCTTCCGTCTCCCACTCCTCCACCCCCACCTCCACCCCTTCTGCCCATTGCCCCTCCGCCCTTACCCCTTCCGCCCTTGCTGCATCCACGGCATCCTTTTCACCCCCCACTCAAATATCTGATCAGACAACATCGTCAACGTCATCGGCATCACGTCATTGTCGTACTCCTCCATGATAACGTCCTTCTCCAGCGTTTGATGTATGCTCGTCCGACCCTTCTTGTCCATCGCCATCCTCTCCACCTCTTGTCGCTTCTCCGCATTCCACCATCCCGGCACAATCTTCCGCTGCTCTGCGCGATCGAGGTAGTTCTTGAAGTCGTCTACGGGGCCGTCGGGGTTGTATGGCCCGTACTTGACCCCGGTATAGAGGTGGTCTTCCTCGCATCTCCACCGGAAGGCGTCAATGAGGCGGCGCATAGCTTCCGGCTGGGGCAGGTTGGCGAGAGCCGCGGCGGCGCCCATCTCTTGGTTGCCGAACATGGACATGACGTCTTGGAGCTGTTGAGCGAAGCCGCTGGGCATGCCGGAGGTGTCGAAGGGAGGAGAGGAAGAGGACGAGAATGAGGATGGTGCGGGGGCGGGTTTGGCCTGAGCTTTGCCCTTGCCCTTGCCTGTGGGGCCGGTGCTGGTCGATCCGCTAATCCCAGCAGACTTGCCGCCAGGAGCCTCGCTGATCCTCTTGCAAGCCGCCTTGTGCCCCGGCCAAGCGGAGATCTGGCATTTCCGTGAGCAGTACAGGCTCGTCTTGCACACGGAGCATCATTTGAGCTGCTCGGGCACGTCCGCCTGAGTTTTGCCGCAGGCGGTGCAGGAGGGCGGGAGAGGAGAGGCCGATGTCGACATGGTGCAGGGGGGGCTGGGAGATGGGAGTGAGGGGAAAGTGAAGGGCTTGATGGGAGTAAATTGACGGAGGCGCGGGGAGTACAATGGCCTCTATCCACTACATATCAGCTGCGTCCACCTTTGCCGAGTGTTCTGACTCACATGATGTCCGGTAGGAAGGATCAGCTCTTGTCCTGTCTCAGATCAACTTCAGGTCAACTTGGAAGTCGACCATTCGAGGTCGAAACCCACGGCGCGTCACTTCGCGTCCGGGTTATCTCCTTTTCTCCAGCCGGATATCGGAGGTGTTTACGGCACCATTCCTTGTCCGAAAGTTGCCAACCAAGGCGACGAGCCACGACAGGTCAGTATCTAACATATCATACAGGGTGGATCATCGAGACGCGCGAGCAGGAAATGAAGTGGTGAGACGCAGCATCTATAAGCGCAAAACAATTAATAACTAAGATCATACCGCAGCCCGCTTCTCATCTTGACCTGTGATCCCCTCCCGCTGCTCCACCACCGCCGCCGGCTCCGCATTTACAGCCGCCGTCGCCATCGCGATATCCTCCTCCCTCTCCGCCCTTCCCTCCTGCCCGACCGCCTTCTCCGCATCCGCAATTACCCCCAACACTCCCGCCTCCTTCTCCCTCGCGAGCCTGTTCGCCTCCTCTTCTTGCGCCTTGGTCTGCATCCGCGTGTTCTTGATGAACAGCCCACCCATGAGTCCGATCGCAGCGAGTGGGACACCGATGATATAGACATTGCGAAGCGCTTCGGTATAGGCGATGAGGGATTGTTCGCGGTATTGCTCGGGGATGAGGGTGTAGACGGCCGAGGCGTCATTGATGAGCGCGTTGGCGAAAACAGCGGGGAGGTCGGGCGCGTACTTGACAATGTTGGATTGAATGGTGTTGCCGAATACCGAGCCGGCCATGGAGATACCGACGATACGACCAGCAAAGCCCACTGACACATTAGCAATGATCTCACCAATAGCTCGGTAGACTTACTGAAGATGGCAGCACCGGTACCGGCAGGGATCAACCACGGCTCCGCCTTGAGCTCAAACTGCACCGCCAGCATGGTGTTCTGCAGGGCTAATCCGATACCCACACCGAGCAGTGCCTGGAAGCCGTACAGGTGGTTCTCGGGCGTACCGTACTTGACCGAGTAGAGGGCGCCAGCACCGCAGATGATAAAGACCGGACCCGCGACGATGATCCACTTGAAGCGGCCGATCTTGGCAATGACGCGGGAGGAGCCGATGAGGACGACGATCTGGACGAGAATGAAGGGGAGGAGCTTGACGCCGGCGATGGTGGCGGAGCTGTTGTAGACCGCTTGGTACGCGAGGGAGAGGTAGTAGACTTCAAGCATGAAGGCGGCAAAGAGGGTGAAGAGGACAACTGACGCGCCACTGCCATCAGCTCCAGCCATGCTTCAGTACTCACGCAATGGTACGACGCGCAAAGATGGCCAGGCGGAACATGGCCTTCTCGCCCATCCAGTACTCCCAGGCGATGAACACTGGTGGGAGCACCCCGATAAGAACCAGGCAAGTCACCACGCCGCCATCGTTCCATGGTCGAGTGATACCTCCCCACTGGAGTGCCAGGCTGACGACGCAACCCCAAGCCATGGCGAGCGCAGCCGCCATCCAGTCGCACTTGAGGACGGACCAGAACATGTCCTTCGAGTACCCCTTGTAGGTTGCGGCGCGGCCGAGAGGGGGCCGAGTGGGCTGGAAGAAGATGATCATGGCGAGTGCGACCCCGCCGAATGGGAGGTTGATGTAGAAGCACCATCGCCAGGTGATGTGGTCGGCGAAAGCACCGCCGACGAGGGGACCGAGCACCGAGGCGAGGGCGAAGCTGGAAGTCAGTAGAGCTCAAGGGCGCTAGGCAAAGCGAGACTTACCAGACGCCAAAGAGAGCAAAGTACTGCGCCCTGTTGTGCAGTGCAGTGATCTCAGCAATAATGATCATGGCCGCCGTAAAGATGCCCGCTGCTCCTACACCGGCGATAGCTCGACCGAGAATGAGGACCACCATAGATGGAGCGATACCGCAGATGAGGGATCCGAGCTCAAAGACGAAGATGGCAAAGATGATGACGTGCTTGGAGGGGAAGAGCTGACTCCACTGCGAGTAGAGGAGGTTGAAGCCGAAGAGGGTGAGCTAGGAGTCAGCGTTGCCATGTATAATAAGACAGCTCAGTCGGTCGACATACGAAGAAGCCATTGGCAAGCCATGGGAGTTCAGTCAGGGAGTTGAACTCGACAGTGATCTTGGGTATAGCGGTCGCCACGATCAGCTGATCTACAGACATCAGCTTTCGTCGGGTCCGAGAGGCGAAGTCACGTACCGAGAGCGAACAAGAACACCGAGACCATCAAAGCGGCCATGATGGCCCAGAACCTGCCCTTGCCCAGCTCAATGGGCGCCTGCTGCGATACTCCCGCTGGGGGAGCGAATGACTTGACGGGCTTGACGGCCTTGCCAGCCTTGCCCGAATGGATTGAGGAGGCCGCAGAGGAGTGTTCGGACGGTGGTGTGCCCTTGGCGGAGTAGGGGGCGGCTTGGGCGCCGTCAGAGACGGGCAGGGTGGTAGTGGATGTCATTGCGGACATGGGCGATGTGTGATGAGTATCGATCAGCTAGGCGAAGTGGCCTCGCGGGTCAAAGATGGTGGGGACAGGGGTCGAGTTCTGGTTGTTGATCTTTATATCTTGCTGGCGTTCAAGCCGAGGCTCGGGCGCGTCGCCGAGGTCCTTCGGCTTGCTTTGATTGAGTCGAAAGTCCACGCTGTGTCAGCGTGCGGCAGAGCTGTCCAGGTTGGACAAAGGTAGAGCTTACCAAGCCATAGCTGGCCCGGCAGATAGATGACGCCCAAAATAAACAGGGCTGCACCTCGGCTGTGATGTCCCCCGCGGCTGGTCCGCCTCGGACATGGGAAGAAGGTTTCGAACAAATGGCCGAGGTACCGCCGAGGCTCGGCCGACCCCTCTCCCGAGCATATGGGGCCCCAAGACTCATTCCTACGCTGTTGGCTGCGGGCTACTCTAGTTGCAGGCTGCTCCAGCTGCTCGAGCCACCGCTCCATGGACCTGCCGATGCGCATCGAGTCTTGACGCTCCTCAAATCGGTGTCATTGAGTCTGGCCGAGCGAGCGAGTGGCAAGTCAAGTTGCGTCATCTGTCCGTGAGGAAGCTGATCAACCTTCGAAAACTGCCATCGATTCCTGGTTGGCCCTCTAGCTATCAGCCCGATACAGCTCCGCCCTGCGAGCGACTTCGACTGTAAGCTCCCACTGGATCGAGGCGGCCACCCCCTTTGGTGGGGAGGAACCAGGACGAAACGACCTCACCGTGCCTAGCTTGCACAACCTCAATACAGCTTAAGCTTGCGGAAACCAACGCAATGCCATGTACCCATGTATCGCCTATGAGAATCTATCTGATCTATGTACGTCCTCCTATGCCCACTTGCCCAGAAGCGCCATCAACCCCGACCCAAGCATCATACAGATGAAGATGTACGCCAACTTGCCCACGCCAGCATTCATCAGACGTGGGTTGAAGAGGATCTCATGTGCGATGAGCTCGACCAGACCTGTGGCGTCAGCACTGACCACACTTCTTGTATCCAAGAGACTCACCAGTGTAGAGCAATATACCGGCCGAGAAGGCATCGAGGACACCGGTGGTGAGGTTGCTCCGGGCGGCGTTCCCGTTAAAGGTGGTGATCGCGCCGAGACCGGCGGCCATACCGATGGGCGTGCAGATGCAGTAGGCGATAGCGGCGGCGTAGCGGACCCATGCGTACCCCTTGGGCAAGCGCATGATGGCGAGACGCGATCCGAGACCGAGACCTTCAAACATTTCTGAGAGTCAGCGTGTGCCTATCGATGGTAGGTGCGAACTTACGGTGGAAGATGATGACGATGAATAGAATGACAAAGTTCTCGTCAACGGCAAGGGTGAGACCGATGATTACGCTGTGGTATTAGCTCGTCCTGCGACTCAGTACAAGCGACTTACGAGTGGAGGATCACACCAAACTCGAGCACGGCAACACCGACAATCTGCTTGGCGACGTCCGACTCGCTGACTACGTGAACATCCGTAGCCGACTTGTCGTCCAGCTGCAGTGCCTTCTCATCGCCAAAGCTACCCGAGCCGGAAGCCGAGTTGGGGCTGTGTGCGTGGTCATGGTCGTGGTGATGCTCGACTGCTGCTTCTGCGTCCGCGTGGGTGTGGGTGTGAGTAGGGTGGTCGTTGTTGTCGCCGTGGTGAGCTGTCTTATCAGCTCTGCGGTCAAGCTTCTTGTGGGGGCGGAACTGACCGGTACTGATACCCAGCTTGGCCAGACGAGCCGTGCCTGCGCGATACGCGGCAGTCTCGGCAAAGAAGATAAAGTACACTGCCATGAGGGCAATAGCAGCCGCCCATGGGTACTCGCCGAATGTGGGGTAGGTCTGCACGAGGCAGGCTGAGGTGAGCGAGTCCCAGGCGGGAGCGAGGAGGTGGATGAAGGCGGTCGCGATGATGACGCCTGATCCGAAGAATTTTGTGAATCTGACCGTCAGCCATGCAACAGTATCAACAATCGAGATACTCACTCCCAGACGCCTCGTGGAATGACCTTGACTGAGCGCAACACGATAGGTGTAAGAGTTCCGATCAGCGAAGTCACCTAATCATCAGCGCCGCTTCTCTGTCTGGCACATCAACTCACCAGGATCACAAAGATAGCCCCGATCCTGAGTCCCCACTTGTCTGAAAAGTTGCTGGCCGCGCAGACGTCCTCAGCAGCCGCTTCTGCGCCTGCTGCGTCCGCCCCACCAGCGACCTCTCCTGGATCCCCAGCGCCGCCAGCATCCTGTCGGGCAATCATGTGCACGAGGTGTAAGAGTTGCGCAGACATGTTGGCTGAAATGTTCGAGCAAGAGTGAGCAAAGGTGGGGGAGTCGAGGAGAATTTCTCTTCTTTATGGGTGTTGCGTGAGGTGGACCTGGGCGGTACTAGCAGCAGGTGCGATAAATAGTTGAGAGGTGATGAAGAGGTGTAGATAGTTGAAGTGTTCTCAGAATAGATGTATGGTCGATGGACACGCACTGTTGTGGAGAAGGACCACTGCGGTGACCTCGCAATCTCTCGAAAAAGAGAGGACCCGAGAGGTCGCCGATTTCCACCAATCAAAGGAGCCACGTGGTCACTGATCTAATCATCGAGCCCGCTGAAACGCTTGAAACACGCATATAGAAGGGATGGTCTGGTATGACGGTGCCGCACGCCACTCATGAGCTCCGATAAGGGGTGGCAGCTCGCGTATATCCCGATGTCGAATAACACTTCACACCTAGAGCTGATCTACAGCCTAGATTTGCCCGACTCCTCCTCGTCCTGTTGTCGTTTCAAAGCTTTCTGCAGCGCCGGCCTGGACAGTCAGCCCGATGTTACGTTCCCTCCAGTTGGACATTAGGACAGAGACGACGTACCTAGCCTCAACACGCTTCCACCAGTTCCGCAGGTTATCACCGATCCTCAGCTTGCCCCTCGCTGTCTCGGTCACCGCATCGCCCTGCTCGATAGCTTGAGGAATGATGGTGAAGAGCGGGAAGAGGAACATGAAGTCACCGAGACCTGGCTGGTCGGTGCCGGAGAAGTAGCTGTGTTTCGCGAGGTACCCGTCCATCTGCCTCATCAGCGATAGAGACCAAGGTCGTCGAGCGGAGGACACTCACGTAGTCCAGGTGTGTTTGAGATGCGGGGCTGATCATGGCGCTCTGATCCTGTCAGCATGATGCAGTCTCCTCAAATAATGTGGACTCACCTGCACCCATCCAGCGTACGTCGCCAGCGCTTCCCGACTCTTCGCATCTTCCTCTCCCGCCAACGCGGCGCCCGAGAAGCCCCTCGTAGACCCCCGAATGATCGTCCCAGCCTGCATCCACACCATCAACGTGCCCTCGGCGAACTCGGCCCAGTATCGCGAGTCATTGCTCGGCTTGGTCTCAACCTCTGAGGAGCTCTGGAGCTCAAGGAGCCGGCTGATAATGTAGGCGGACTCGTGCAGTACTTCTCCGTCCAGCTCGACCACTGGAGCCTGTGACATCAGCCCAGATCCGCGAGCTTTATGGATAGGGCATACGCTGCCCAGCGAGATGATCTTCTTTAGAGCATCTGGAGCGCGACCAGCAGCGGTCCGGTAGTGGACCTTGACCGTGTAATCGAGGCCGAGTTCCTCCAAGACCCAGACTACCGGATGAGCTTCGCCGAAGTCATCCGAATTGAGAGCTTACATATCCGCGTCGAGCGCGAGAGGTTTAAGTGGTGGAAGATGATCTCAGGTGCCATTGTGGGATGCAAGTGTCCAGGACAAAGAGTAAAGTCAGAAGGAGTTGCTCGGCAAGAATGACCGCATAGCCGGACCATTACGGCATGCATCTTTGGGCTCTGCGTACAGCGACCGGTAGTAGCTCCGGTACTATCTGCAGAAGTACTGCTGGGCAGCGACACCGGGACATGGCGATGTATACCATCCGACCCGTCACGTCATGGCTACTGATACATCGGCTCTATCAGTACAGAGGGAATGTCGGGTCGATATGCTTGCTCCAGGCTCTCAGTCCCCCTCGGACATCTCGGACGCTCGTCAAATCCTGGTGTGCCTGTGTATGCCCTGTCCCCATCTCGTGCACGCCCTCCCCTTGTAACGCTTTCCGTAAAGCCGCAGCCGCCACTCGTGAGTCATTGCCTTGCTTGCAAATAAAGACAATCCGAGAGGAACTGCTTGCTGAGAGGTGCTCGAGAGGTCTAGCGAGGAGGTGCGCGAGAGGGATATCTGAATATCAGCTCAATCGTGCTTCGAGCAGCGCCCACTCCTTGACACTCACTTTGAGTCGAAGGGATGGAGCAGATTTCATACTCGATCTCTGGCCGGGTGTCCACTACCAAGACTCCTTGGTCAGACCTCATCAGGTCCCGTAACTCCTGCAGGAGTCAGCTCGGCCAGGATGCACAAGATCAGGCATGACAGCTCACCTGCACACTGATCCTGCCCTCGCCATCTCCTACCTCCATCCCTGTCTCCTCATCCACCTCTACACCGCCACAGAACGCCTCATAACCAACAGCATCGAGGTCGTCCGTGATCGTTGCGTTCGGTCCGCAGGCGATGCACTTCGGACTAGGCGGTTTGAGCCGGATCGTCCGTATCAGGGGGTTCTGACCCAGGTGCAGAAGATGCAGGAGTGGCTGTTGGTCTGTACTGTCAGCTAGTGCTTTCGCTATGTGGGTGGAGACACACCTTCGTTCCCCAGTATGAGCTTGATGACCTCCCCGGCCATCCCCGTTCCGGCCATCCCAGTTACTACTCCCCAAACCCCCACGTCCTCGCATCGCCCACTCGATCCCGGTATGATCTGCGGCCAGATACACCTGTAGCATGCCCTCCGTTTGCCCTTATCGTCTGTCGGAGGTGAGGCATCTTCCGTAATTGTGCGCTCAGACGAGCTTGGAACCCCGGCGCCACCGTAGACTGCCCATTGTCCGGCGCTGGAGATCGCCGCACCGGAGACTAGCGGAACGCCTAAGCGTACAGAAGCGTCTGAGAGCAGGTATCGGGTAAGAGGCCGATCGGTGCAGTCGACGATAATCTCGGCAGCCCGGAGAAGAGCGAGAGCATTGTTCGGTGTGATTGGCTCAGAATGGGGATGAGGGGTGATAAAGGGGTTCAGCCTGTCTTGTCAGCTTGAGCCGGATTTGATACCGATCACGGGAGACCGACGCAGTCATAGCAGCCGCTGCTGATTCTGCCTTGTTCATCCCGACTCTCTCGGTAGTATGCAGTACCTGCCGATGCAGGTTTGAGGCCGAGACGGTATCATGATCGAAGATATCGATAGTCCCTAGGCCAGTCAGTGTGATTCTCCCTTTTGAAAAATCTGCAGGATTACCGACACCCGCCCCTGCAAGATACTGTAGCACAGGGCACCCTAGTCCCCCCGCGCCGACCACGGCGATTCTCGCAGCTTTCAGCTTGAGTTGACCTGGGAATCAGTGACCGGCCCGCAAATGCGAGAGGGGAACGGACCTGGAAGACCCCATCCGGGTAGGATCATCTGGCGGCCATATCGCTCATACTCCTCCAGCTTGAGAGGTCTGTGAGGGGAAGAAGGTCCCGCTTCGGCGTTATCGTTTTGGGCAGACATGATGTGAACGACAGAAGTCGGTAGGCCGAAATATTTTAGCTCCTCATTCCTCGTTTTGCATCTCTAGGTGGTGTGATGGTAGTCCCTCTACCGCTCCCCGCCAACTCGACAAAGCACCTCCCACTCCTCCATCATCCTCTGCCTCGAGATGAAAGTATAGTGCTGCCACTGCGTCAGGTCTCGTCAGAGGGAGGTTCTAGCGTGAGGCATCTCGCCCGTCCGTCATTTCGCTCGGGCGGGAGCTGACGCTTTCAGACCGGGACTACAGGGACGACACTCTGGCTAGGCGCCCAAATCCTCGCTACCTATCTCTCGGACACGCTCCCTCCTTCTTCCTCGGTCGAGCGCAAGCGGAGATGCCTAGACCTAGGTTCAGGGGTGGGATACCTCCCGCTCTGTCTCGCCGCGTGGGGATGGGACGTGATAGCGACCGATATTGAGCCAGTGGTATCCACCGTGCTTACGCCCAACGCGGCAGAAGGGCTCGATGTTATCAGGCGGGAGATGGCACGTCGAGGCGTCCTCGCAAGCGTCGGAACTATCACACCGCTCGAGCTCGACTGGATCAACTACGTCGCGGCAGACACGACTCCACCTTCAGACCTCCCGGACCCCCTGCGCGGAGACTATCTCGACCTCATCATCACCACCGATACCCTTTACGCCCCCTCCCTCACCCAACCCCTCTGGTCGACCCTCACCCACTTCTCCAACCTATCCCGCTCCCGCCATCCTAAGGGCAAGGCCCCAGAACTGCTTCTCGCGCTGGAGAACAGGGATCCGGGCATGATTGCTCAGGCGCTGGATGTGGGGAGAGCCATGGGTTGGATATTGAAGCGCGTGCCGGATACTAGGGTGCAGAAAGGGGTGGAGAAGGCTGGGTGGGGATGGGGTAGAGCAGAGTGGGAGGGCGTCGAGGTGTGGAAGGGACGACTTGAGAAGCTGGATGTAAAGGCGAGAGCGTGAGGCAGAGTAGCAAAGGGTTTCAGACACTCAGTATAGATGTTAAGATGATGTAGGTCCTAGCACCAGGAAGGTCGACAGCAAGGTGTAACATCAAGGTATTTACTCCTCCTCCTCGTCATCATCGTCGTCATCCTCAAATCCACTCAGCTCGCTATCCAGATCTGGGATCTCATGATCGCTCCCATCATCATCGACGTCCATCTTGTTGTCGATTTTGATGACCCGACTGGGCCCCGCCTCGACGGGGATGGTATCAAACGAGATGAATTCCTCACTCCCCATTCCTGTCTCCTCGACCTTCGCAGGGATCGCTTCCTGAACCTGAGCAGCTGGCACAGCCTGTGGAGTCAAGACCGGTGCGGGCGCGGATGTGGGGGCGGGCGCCGGGGCCGGAGGGTAGTGACCTGGCTGAGGCGCTGATGGTGTCTGAAGGACCGTATGTCCAGGATTGAGCGATGGGAGGTTGACGTCCGCCACGTCCTTCTTGCCCGCCCGGACATCGTTTGGCGCAACAGGCACAACGACGGTATCCACCGCGCCTTCCGCCTCCATCCCTTCATCCTCGTCTGCAGCTTCACAAATAGAAGCTGCGGTACCCAGACCGAGCTCTTCCCGGATGATGGCTTCTTCTTCCGACTCGACGGTGAAAAAGTGGAGAGAGCTGAGAGGAGGCGCGGGGCGGGAGATGGCGGGAAGTTGGGGGTGAAGGAGGGGAGCTAGCCGGCCCTGATTTGGTTCCTGCCAGATCAGCTTCCCTGTCCTTGTTCAGACGTGGCAGACGCGGCAGCTCACCAAGACGCTCAGCACTACACTCTTCCATCCTTGACTGTGCCCGCTTTCCTCCACCATAAGACACGCCTCCTGCAGGACCATCCGGACCGATCTGATCAATCGGACCTGGATTGCAGGGTCTGCAAATCGTCGAGCGCCGAAAGTCGGGAGGGACAGGTAAAGTGCAAGATGAAGGCGGATCGACAACATGAGCAGTGATGGTGGCAACAGCGGTGTTGGGTGTACTTTGGAGATCACTGTCTCGTCAGCTACTGCACACAAAGGGCAAGTAGACGCTCTCACGCTGCAACGCCTCCAAAGCGACCGCTCCCTCCACACCTATCCGCCGTCCCTCACGTCCTTCCAGTGAAGCTAGTAGCCCGTCCTCCTCTCCCCTTGCTCGCTTCTTTCCCTTCTTTCCACCCGCACCATTAGCCGTAGCCAGCGAGGTGTTGACAGGAGCAGTCGAATCAAGAAGAGGCGATAGCTTGGAGATACATAGCTTCAGTAGCCGAGCCGGATGCTCGGGATACCAAGTCGCCGAGGGGAAGATGTCCAGGAAGATGTTATGCAGGCGAAGAAGCTGGGTGTGGCTTTGAGTAGATGTGTCGGGGGTGATTTCAGCGAGATGCAGAGTGGTGTCGAGGATGTCGGTAAGGTGGGGCAGGAGATGATCACCGCAGCTGTAGAGTCAGCTATGTCCCGCTCAAATGGGCAAGCCAGCTACCACTCACGCTGTGGCCACATTCCCCAGGAGCATCATTCCACTCGTCCAGATCCTGGGCAGACAAGCAACGAGGTTGGCGTGATGCTGGGGTGAGATGTACGGGACCGTCTGTACGTGTCAGCCGTAGATCCTGATGGTGTTCATGGGCAGACTTACGGGAGTGTCCAACGTCAAGTCGAGACATCTGATCGCTAGGCGAACGATGTGAGCAATAGGCACCGGGACTGGTCGCGATGTAGTTTGACTAGGAGGTTTAATACTGTACGGTGTCTTCGCAGCTTGGAGGGATGAGGACATACCCAAGTAGCGTCAATATTATCTCTGTATACCCTTCCAGAGCGTACAGGGCGACAGGCAACCGAGAAGGGGTATCCGCCGGGAATGGAGCAAGACCAGGGGGTAAAGCGGTCTGCGCAGCTCGAGCATCTATCGATGAGCTCTGTACAAGCGTTGTCCTTATGGAGACTCACCACCCTGCCAGCCATCCGCTACAATGGCGTCCAGACACGCTCCGACTCCCAGCAGCCCATCGCCCATCTCAGCTCGCCAGCCCTGCGCAACCTGGGCTTTCCCCTGGGTATGGTATAGGATCGTCAAGAGGCTGATGGCGCTGTCTCTGATGTCGCTGTGGACCGACGACGATTGATAGACGATAAGAGGAAGGAGGAGGGCGCGAAGGGTGTTGACGGCGGGTCGGAAAGCGGCTGGTGCGTGCACCAGGATCAGCCGGGTGGTCTGAAGCAGATCATGCTGCCCCTTCAGCTCTTGGTCACCCCAGTTGAGGGCTACACTCACGAGAACATCCTGGTTGCCTTCCGCCTGACTTGCTGCCCTGTCGAGCAGCTTGAGCAGAGTAGTCGATAGCTTGCCCATGATAGGGTGAATGGACTCCCGTTCGAATGACGGGGATTGTGGTGAAGCCAAGACGAGCGTTTGGAGCAGGCTCAAGTACGCTGAGACAGAACTGAGAGTCATTGATGCTGACTGGCATGATCAGCTATCTGCGTATATTCTTATGGATTCAGTCTGACGTACGCTCAACGCCCCGAGCGTGCTCCCGACCCATTCCTTGCCCCAGCCTGCCAGCACCCAACCTTCCGTGTCCTGGAGCACGAGCTCCTTGGCGATATGCAGCGCCGCGTGCTTCTCTTCCGCTAGCGTATCTCTCGCCAGGATGGATGAGGTGATCCGAGCGAGGAATCTGGTAGCTGACGAGGGCAACAGTGAGGGCCGAGAGAAGGGCCGGTGCCGGGAGAGAAGGGCGAGAAGCGAGGGGGAGGTGAGCGGGAGTGAGGTGATCAAGGGGAAGATGCTGGACGCCGAAGCGTTCCCAGATGAGCCCTCCATCACTTGGGACGGCAGTAGCTGGCTATGGGCAGGCAGATTGAGTGTCAATAGTCTAGATAATATACGAAGTAATAGATGTCAACAAGTCATAGCCATGCGAGCTCTTCTGCTTTGAACTTTTCGGAGGTGGACCTCTCTTTACGTAACGAGTATGACGTTTGCGAATTCGAACGAAGGCGCGCGCGCGCGCCGCGAGAGCAGCTAAGAGCAAGCTAAGCGGTCGTGTATCCATGCATTCATGCTTCATCCCTTGTCATCTACAAATGCCGGCTACCGCACCTTCCACAAGACTGGCGACGCTACTCGTCCTGATGTGCCTACTGCCCTTCACCTTGGCGCAATTCGGCAACTTCTTCCAGGGCGGATTTCCTTTCGGAGGTGGAGGCGGAGGGGAGCAGCAGCCGCAACAGCAGAGACCCAGACGAGAGCACAAGGGATGGAGCGAGATGGAGAGTGGTGAGCCGGCTCTGGAAGTCTATGCCGAGCCTCAGCTGATGGTCAGTCCACTGTCGAGCAGGATACGTTTGCCCCGGCTCGATGACCTGCGTGCCTACCCCGGCTGATTGCCCTTGCCCATACCCGTCAGTGCTTACAGATACTTGCTCTTGAGCTTCGGGATCCATGCTGACATTATCAGGGAAGATATCAAATGCGTGCTGCCCGACGATAGGGCGAGGGATGAGGGCGAAGGACCGCCATTCGTTTGCGTAAGGGGGAGACAGGCTTGCGAAGCTGCTATAGCGTTCTCCGCTCCAATATAGCATGAATCGCTCTGGTACGACATATGATCAGATGGCCTTCATGTGAGACATCACAGGTACAGCTTCCAATTGTTGTCCATTTCGCTACAGATCGTCCGAATCTACAGGTCCCACAAGACGCATGACCACCTTCCCCCGTTGCGTGTTCTTGTCCTTCTCAATCGTCACCCCAACCATCACCTTGTCGAACACCGACACGTCCACGTTTCCGCCCTCAGGTTTCGGGAGCGAAAGCGAGTAGTTCTCCTCGTCGAACGTATGCGTCGATTTGGTAAAGGTAATCAGACCTTCAAGACCAAGCCTATTGCGTCAGCCCAAGCCAAACACTAATTCCGCTGAAGCATGACGTACTTGGATATGAAGACCGCCATACCGTTCTTGAACACCCTGATGACAAATGCCTCCTCCATGATCCCACGTTTCTTGCCGCTCGCCACGACCTTTGCGCCTCGCGCCTTGAGCGCAAGACCGACATAAAACTCGACACTGGCGCGTCCGGCCATCTGGGCAAGCCTGTGCCGCTTATTGACCACGCTCAGAGTCTTGTCGACGTGCTGCTTGGACTGGAGGGTGGGATGAAGAGGAGAGTAGCCGATCGCCGCGGAGAGTTGCCGGTGAGCGAGAACGTCGGCGTACCGTCTGATTGGCGACTGAAAGGTCAGCCCAGTACCCCATGAAACACCCTCCAGAGCTGATCAAGCTGAACTCACTGTAAAATGGGTATAGATTGGACTAGCCAGACCATAGTGCCCATAACCATCTTTGCTGACACTTCCAGAGCAGAAGTACTCGGCTGAAAGCATGCACCGAGTCGCCATGATCCTGACCAAAGTGTTGAAGTCGGGGTTCGCGGGGTCGACGCATTCATCCAGCGACTTGGCCAGAGCGCCATTGGACGAGACGTCCAGCTGCACGCCCTTGCGCTTCAGGAGCAGGTCGTTCAAGCCGTCAAAATTGGTCTTGGGCGGTGGAGCGTGGCGTCTACACAGTCAGCTTTTGCTCATCAAGTCACGGAATTAGCGAGCTGACCTGAGTACAGCAGTACCAGGGAAGCTGTCCTGGATCTTCCGGGCCACACTAATGTTCGCAAGCAGCATGAACTCCTCAACTAGACTGTTGGTCTCGCGCGGCTGTTTCTGCTCGACGTCGATTGGCTCGGCGGATTCCGAGCTGTCGAGGTGGATCTTTAACTCAGGCGACGAGAGCGAGAGGGCTCCAGCCTTGATCCGGTTCTTCTTGAGCGCGATAGCAAGTGTGTTAAGGAGACGGATACCCATTGTCAGGGGATCGTTGAGGGATCTGCCAAGTCAGCTCGGTCTTCTCTAGGTAGCAAAGTAGCTCACTTGTCATCTTTGCGGACCTGGGCAGCCTCGTACGTGAAGGCCTCCTTTGAAGCGATGACAGACTTAACGAATCGCTCATTGACAATCTCCCCGGTAGGCGTCAATTCCTGAAGGTCAGCTTGGTGGGGCGAGAAGGTCACGGCACGCCTAAGCTCACCCAAATGACGGAGAATGCTAGCCGCTCAACAAAGGGTCGAAGACTGCAGAGGTTGGTGCCCAGCAGAGCGGGCAACATATCGATACGCTTATCCACGAGGTACACAGTGGTACCTCGAGATGCAGCTTCCGAGTCCATCGGGTTCGCAGAGTGGACAAAGTGGGAGACATCGGCGATGTCTACATATCAGTGCGAGCTCTGGAAGCCAGGAAGCGGAACACTCACGGACACCCGCTTCGATATTGCCGTTGGGCAGCGGTCGAGCGTGCAGCGCATCATCGATATCTTGACACCCTGCCCAGTCAGTCGCGTTCCCCAAACAGTATCCGGGCAAACTCACCTGGCGGATCAATACTGCAAATCACCAGATCCCTCAGATCCTCCCGATCTCTCCATACCACATCACCCTCCTTCTTGGGCGGCACGACCCAGCTGTCTCCCTCCTTCGGCAGACAGTCCAGAATAGCCTTCCCAAACGGCCTATATGGCACCTCGTACTCCAACAACAGACTCTCCTGTTCCGCCTCTTTGCTCTCTACCTTGCCAAGCGCGCGGACAAAGTGTCCGTCGGGGTATCGAGATGACGGGAGCCACTGGTCGATAGTAACGAGGATCTTTTGGTCGATGAGTGATGGGGCTTGACGAGTACGAAGCCGGATACGGGGGAGCGAGCGAGAGAGGGGAGTGGCGAAGATGGTTTGCTGGGAAAGGGAGGTGAGGGCCGCAGCGGAGAGGGAAGACCGGTCGACGTGGCAGACATATCTGAGGGGTCAGCTATGCTTCGTCGCTCGGGAGGAGAGCAACGCACGCGCGCCAGTTTCGCTTGATAACGCCGACGACCTTCCCAGTCGGCAAAACATCCCGAGGCTTCCGCTTCGCCGCCTCCTCCGCTTCCACCTTCTCTCTAGCTGCTGCCCGCTTCTCCTCTTCCGTGACCCCTGCATCTTCGTCGTCATCTGCATCGTCGTCCTTGAGCGCGACTGCATAGTTAGCGGTATCCCAGATTTGAACAAGTTCTGGACATACGGTCTTGATCAAGAACTTCCGAGCCTGGGGCTTTCCATTCCGACTTGGGGAAGATCTCCACCACCACGACGTCTCCGTCGACAGATCGGTTCATGGCTTCTCGGCCAACGAGGAGGACGGGCTTGTCCAGTGACATGACACGCACGGTACCCTGCCGAGTCAGTTGGCTTCGACTTGCGTACGGCCGAGACTCACCTCGAGGTAGTTGTACTGGGAGGCGTTGAAGTGGCCTTGGTGGAGACGGCCAGATTTGACACCGGCGTTCAGGTCATCCTGTGAGAGATACTGCCGGTCAGCCAAAAGCGTCAAGCAATACAGCGGGTCAACTAGCTCACCTCGTCGTAGATTCTCCGGCCCCTTCGCTCTCCGTCCCCAAGTGCATCCACACCACCGACGACCAGGTCCACGAGCTTCTCCCTCTCGGTCGGGACCAGACCATCCACATATTCCCTAGCTGACACCGCCAACAAGCCTTCCGCCTCCGCCAGCGCCCTGTTTCCCTTGTCGTCCGAAAGCATGATCAGCTGGGGCGGCTTGCTGGCTGAGATCGTGAGGTGGGCGGCGTAAAAGATGAGGGTGTTTCGGATGGCTATATCGTCAGCTGCAACCACCCGAACAGGGGACTCTGACTGACCTCGATCATTTCTATCGTTGATGCTCTCCCCCTGTTCCTCGACCGTAGCCGTCTCCCTCCGTTCCTCATTCCACCATACCCAGACTATCCGATCTTCATCCTTGACCAGCTCCTGCAGTCTGTTGTAAAGCGGCAGGGACCGATGTCTCGTCTCCCGGATGGTCGTCGAAGGTACGATCAAAGGCAAGGTCTTTGGCAAAGCAGCCAGCAGATCCATCTTCTTTGTCAGCTTCAGTCAAGGCATCTCCAGAACAGCAAACTCGCTTGATGGAGCACGATGTTGGTATCGATCACCAAGTAGTGACCCTCCTTGCCAGTGTATTTCATGTGCGCCCTGTACCCTACATCAGGCAATACAGGCCGATGACCGGGGAAGGCATCGCAGTGGCGACATGACTCGAATCCGCATGGGATGTCGTCTCTGACATATCGCTCTCGAAGGACTATCACATCAGCCAAGATCCTACAACCCGCGCTCACTTCCGCCAGACTGATCAACGTACACGTGAGTACCTTGCCCCTAGCGGTCTTCTTGAGGAATTTGGTCTGCGAAAGCGGTAAATCCTCCCGCGTCCGCTTGAGAATGGTGATTGGCGGATGGGTCCGGGAGGAGCTTGCAGACTGGACTGCTACGGCTGCCATCTTGATGTCTCTGGCTCAGTCAGAAGAACGTAGAAAGGCAAAGAGGTTGTGGAAGATCGGAGGATGGATCAGCAGCGCAGAATTCGCAAGGAATCCGCCGGCACGTGATCAAATCTTTGTGACCTGGTCATCGCAGCATAGACCTTGCCTTGTCTTCGCGATGCATATACAGCGCCTGGTGCGATCTCACTAGCAGGTGAGCTGCCGCGAACGCAATAGATCTTAGAAGCTGGACTTTCGTGAGCCACGCCGATAGGCGGCGGGAGTTAAGTGACCATCAACCTGCCCGGGAGCGTAGTCTTGACCGCCATGGAGCTGATTCATCCATCAGATCACTGCAGACGCTATCTCCAGCTGGATTCATCAAGCCCTCCCTGTGAGTGCTCATCGACAGCCGCTGCTCACATCGCTCACAAGGGCTTGCCGGGACTCGCGGATGATTACGAGACTTGCCGGATGGAACTCTGTCCCGAACCTCGCAGCTGCGAAGAGGGCGCTAACGCTCATTCGCGGCTTCAGTCGATACTGCCTCGTTCCGCAATCTCAGTCATACTCACGGGAATCTCCTACCGATGAGCGTATTGCAGGCAGGCCGACGGCGTTCTCAGGGCTCGGCAGGCTGAGTGTGCCACGACTGAGTTCTGTTCCGATATCTACTCTGTGACTCGCTGAAAAGCCCCCTAGCGCCGACACTGATGATGGCTCTGAGCGGCCTGGTCGTGTACGCAAATGCAACTGGGCGGCATGATCCCACATCAAGTGGCATGAGTCTCACAGCAGCTAATGAGTAACAACCAGGCGCGCCTGGAGATCGGTTTACGAAGAGCCCCTTCCCATATGTCGTTCCAGGTCATGTGAGGCACGAGGAACATAACAACAACATCTATTCAAGCCGTTCGCCCTACGATACATGGGGAGACTCACATGCCCGCTGCAATCATTGCGCTTTTTGTACTGATACTCATCCACTGACATGTCTTCCTGGACGGCGTAATTCTCGTTCGCCGACGAGACTCGTCGAGTTATACGGCATGGCCTTATCGGGCGGATGAATCACTAGCACAAGTCTCCCAAGTCCGATGGCAGCCGCCGCAGCCAAACTTACTACAGCCGACATCTCTACTGCGTCGCCATTCTCGCTGAAACGTTCCATCGACCCTCCGGAGTGCCATGCAGCCTTGCACAGCTGAGATTTGTAACTTGCGAGCATCGAGGCAGCGGTGCTACAAGATTGATCAAGTGAGGGGCACAGGAGAGGCAAGCGCTAGGGCCACACTGACATGAAAAGCAGCTATAGCTGATTGGAGACTACAAGAAATCGCCTTGTTCGAGCAATAAAAGGCAGTGAGCAGACGGTCGCCAGCGAGTTCATCCACCGGCCGGCTGTGGGGGAGGCTGTACCATTCCACCGGCTCACTAAACTTGATGGGCAATAGCGCCTTCTGAGCAAAGCTGCCATTTCGGCTTGCTCGCGATAGCCATCATATCTCACTGAACGCTGAACCCTATCATTTGTGGCGGAAGAGTCTGTAAGCTGGCTACCCTCGCCAGGGAGTCAGCACATAGACGACCCTGAGGCTATATAATGATCCCTTCCAGATGCGATCTCCACGCCTCATGTGCAGATCCATGACGCTTCACATGGGCGAGCTGACATTCGAGACGCACGGCGCATACGCTTCAATCAGTCCGGGTCGCTATTCTGTCGACGACGAGAACGGTAGCATTTCAGCCCCACTGCACGGTAGCCAAGCGACATCGACATAATAGGCATGGGTAGGTAGATTACGTCTAGCTTGAGGCTTGTGTCGTAGGTAGCTAACAATGACAAACGCTAAAGTCAGTCAGACAGGCTTGCGAAGCGACGTGGTAGAGTAGACTACAAGCATCTAGCCACTCCCATATGGTGGAGGGTGCGGATCATCGGGATGAGACGATGAGCCGGCCAGCCTAGCCTGGGAACATCGTACTGCCACTTAGCCACTTCGTCACTTTGCCACTTTGCCACTTTGCCACTTTGCCACTCTCTAACCGCCAACTCCTCATTCCTCATCCCGCTCAAGTCCTATTCATGCTCCCCACTTTAGAGTCGCGATGACGTTTCAGTGCCGTTTCAGAACTTTCCTACGCGTTGTACATCTTCCGCAGGCATCAGCGAGAGCAACATGTCGACCGCAGGCAAGCTGAGGATCGGCTTTGTCCACCCTGACCTTGGAATAGGTAGGGCAATCCCTGAGGAATGGGCAGAGCTATCCCTGAGGAATGGGCAGAGCTGATTGACTAGGAGGGGCAGAACGGCTGGTCGTCGACGCCGCAGTCGCTGTGCAGAAGCTAGGCCATGAGGTGCTGGTCTTTACTTCCCGACATGATCCATCGCGGTGCTTCGAGGAGACCAGAGATGGCGGGTCATTCTTCCATATATACAGCAGCTGCAGCTGACCCGCAGGCACGCTCAAAGTCCACGTCCTCGGCTCGTCCCTCCCCCAACGCCTTCCCTCCCCTCTTCCGGCTATGACCATCCTCTTCTCCCTCTTACGCTCCCTCCTCCTCTCTTTCCTCATCGTCACTTCGACATACCTACCCGCTCCTGCCGGCTTTGCAAACCCTCTCTCTCGACTTGCCCCCTTCGACGTCTTCTTCGTAGACCAACAATCGGTCTGCGTGCCGTTTCTCCGGTTCTTCCTTGGCACAAGAGTGGTGTTCTACTGTCATTTCCCAGACAAGCTGTTGAGCGGAGGATGGGAAGTAGATATGGATACCAAAGGGGAAGGGAGGGTGCAGGTGGGCGTGAAAGGACGAGGATTGGCCCGCCGGATATATAGGTGGCCGGTGGATAAGCTGGAAGAGTGGACGACCGGTGAGTAACGGAATCATGTCGCCGAAGGGTGTCAATCGAAGGCACATGCTGACCCTATAGGTCAATCAGATGTCATCCTGTCCAACTCGCAGTTCACTTCCCGCGTGTACGCCCGCTCATTCCCCTCCCTCGCCAAGCGGAAACCAAGGGTCGTGTACCCCTGCATCGACGTATCCGCCTACAAAGCCATTGACCGGAAAGGCAAGGGCAAGGAGAAGGCCACCGAAGAGGATGGCGTCTCCCTCACCGCATCGTACGTCATCGAGCAGCATATACGCGAGCTCCAGGCTGACTTGGCAGTGATCGCCCCACTTTGATCTCTCTAAACCGCTACGAGGCCAAGAAGAACATCCACCTCGCTATCCGTTCCTTCGCCCAAGTCCTCGATGCCTCCCCTCATCTCAGACTCGTCCTCGCGGGAGGATACGACAACTCGCTCGAGGACAACCTGCATACCCTCTGGTCACTCCGGACTCTCGCCGAATCGCTCAATCTCACACATCACACCCTTTCCTCTGCCAAAGCCGCCCCGCCCGACCCAGACGTTCAAGTCCTCTTCGTTCTCAACTTCAGCACCGCGCAGCGGACCCACCTTCTCACGCAGCCATCTACGGTCGCGCTCCTCTACACGCCAGCGAATGAGCACTTTGGCATCGTACCCGTCGAGGCGATGGCGTGCGGTCTACCCGTCCTCGCGGCCAACAGCGGGGGTCCCACAGAGAGCATTGTCGACCTCGAAACTACCTCTTCCTCCTCCGAGCAAGTGACGGTCGGCAATGACGCTGGCACAGGTTTGCTCCGCTCGCCCAAACCAGCCGAATGGGCGCCAGCTATCCGTCAGCTCTTGTCACTGTCGTCGGCGCAGCGTCAGGCCATCAAGCAAGCGGGGATGGACAGGGTCGCCGAGAACTTCTCTTCGGAGAAGTTGGGGAAGGAGGTAGAGGAGGCTTGCCGGCAAGCGTTGACAATGGGAGACGTGCATGGCCAGATGGGGGATAAGTTGATATGGGCGGGAACGGGGTTGATGGCGTTTGCGGCGCTCAACCTGAGTATATTGCTCTGGTTCTACGGGGGAGCACCAGCAGGGTGATGACCTAGGTCTCCCGTGGCATGCAGATCTTCTGGGTCGGAGCTTTGGTGTGCGGTCCCGGCCGTCCGTCGAACCCATGCCCCGTGCGACATGCACGCTTCAGCGTCTGCTCCGAAGCGCAAATGCCCGTAGAGACATCGAGTGTGGTCTTTGTCGACGGGTCCTATGCCCACATTGACCACAACATCGTAGAATCCGGATAGCAGATCACGTTGGACCTGCACAAGCGACTGCGCTCATCGCTGCAGAGAATACACATATCGGTACAGGTGTAGGATCTTGTAGCAGCACGGTCTTCCTTATTACTCTTAGGTGCCTGGCAGCGTGGAGGACGAGAGCGCGGACGAGACTGTCTGAGGATCTTGTCGTGACCAGCCTTGTCTACTGCTGATATCGGTGTACTCCCCCAAAGCTAACAACAGTCCCGACTGGAGGATCATTGCAAGCGATCTACTGCCTACCGGTCTGGAAGAGATGCGCATGAGTACATGACCGCTATAAACGAGTCGCTTTAAGCTTCCTGTTGTCTATACAGATTGACCAAAGTCCAAAATCCCCAGTCCCGCCCTCATTCCTCCCGCTTTAACATGATCGTCCGCACCTGTCCGCCCATTGATCGACTGCTCCCTACGCCCGCTTGACCCGGCCAGATATGGATCCCCACTCTCGCTACTATCCTCGTAGCTGCTATCATCCGAATCTGAGTCAGAGTCGGCGATACGCAAGTCGACATGCCTTGATCCAGACGACACAAGGAGTGATGGCTTGAGAGGATGGAATTGGACCGAGCTGATGGCATCTTAAGAGTCAGCGTGCCTCCCTCTAGATCAAGCAGTATTGACGCATAGTGCTGGACGTACCTCCGATATTCGCGACTTGAGCTTCCCACAGCTTCTCGCCCCATTGACCACCGCCTCCAACGTCCCATATCCCAACTTTTCCAGTCTCGTCCCCAATAGCCAGCCAGCGACCCCATGGGTCAAGGTCAAAAGACATCCGCTGATTGGAGCTCGCTTGTCGAGGAAAAGAGTGGAAGGGCTGAGTAGGATTGCGGAGGTCGAAGACTTGCAAAAGGGATGAGCGGCGAGAGGCGACAAAGAGGTGGTTGGGCGATAAGGGGTGGAAGGCGAGCTGTGCGCGTCAGCCTAAAGCACTGTATTGAATGTTGAAGAACTTACCTGAGTAACCCCGCCACCCTCGACTCCCTCGAGATGCCCGACCGCACCAGCCTCATCCTCTGAGTAGAGCGAGACCGAGCCTCCGAACGACCCAGCAGCATATGAACCGGAGTAGTCGGTAGAGAACGCGAGCGCCGATATGATGCCTGTGAGATCAGCTACCGAAGCTGCAGATCGCTGAGACCAAGCGCACCTTTCTGTCCGCCCTTGTCTCCTCTGGTCAAGGTCGTCTTGATCCGCTCAGAAGTGTCGTACCCTGGAGCGGAGATATCGAGCACCTCTATTGCGTTCTCATGCCCGCAGTATAACCTGAGCGTAAGCTTCGCTCAACCCGCGTCACTTCGTCCACTCACTTTGTTGCGCTTGGGTTCCAAGCCAAGCAGAAAGGCGCAATGAAGCGTTCTCTGTGGTCCACGATGGGATATGTTGCGCGAGTCTAGTTGTCAGCGGGCACAGCATTTGAAGATGGACCAGCTACCTACTAGTCCTGTCAGGCCATCTATGAGCCTAACTGGCGAGTCTCGGATCGTAGCAGCAAAGCAAAAGCCCCCAGGCGCCGATGGAGTCCCTGTAGGGTACCAGAGCACTGAAAGCACCGGTGCGGCTTGTGGCAGGTCGAGGTAAGGCTTGAGCTCGGCTGCAGGGTCGGAGGTCGCGCTATCAGGTCTGGGTGAGTCAGTCTAGGATCAAGCAAGAAGATGACGAGACTCACGTGAAGTACACTCGGACGGTGCGGTCCTCGGAGGTCGTCAGAATCGCTGAGCCGTCCACACACCTGACTTGTCAGTGTCGCCCTACGGAGATCAAGGTAGGTTTACCATCGAGCTGTCCTGAGGATTCCACGATCACTCTGGCTACTACGTGCTGACCATCTCGGTGGTGGCGGTAGGCTTTGTGAACCAAAGTCATAGGCTGGAGCCTCCCATACCGGCTGGGCGGTGGACGTCTCAGCCGGCTCGGTTGACGGTGCCAGGGATCTACCTTCGGACAGTTGGACTGCAGCGAAAGTATCGTGTTCGGCTTCTTCGTATTCTGTCATCTCGCTGTGTGGCCGTTGCCTGGCTCGCTCATAGTGACTTCGCCGAAGTATGAGATGAACGAGGGAATAGTTGCTTGCTGCTCTTTGGCCTTGGTCCAAGCGAGGAATGTGGAGGACAACAAACGGACTATTAGCAAATATACTAATGAAATCAGGTAATTATCATTAGGACCATTTCCTATTCCGCACGGTTCCGGGGCCACATCGCGGCGCGTCTTCGCGGTTGAATCACCTCTCGCTAAAATGTGTGCGAGCTCCTTCTCTCATCTCTTTCTCGCTCCTCTAGACATCTACAATAACGCTCACTCAGCCGCACACATCCTCGGCTGCAGCATAAGGCGAGCGCCGTCCATCGTCGCAGCGCGCAAGGGGTCGCCAGACCGAGGTCCGCTCAATAGTGCCTCGACACGGGCAAGGAGTTCCGCCGTTCTTCGTCGCAGGCAATAAGCTCCGAGCGAGCTTGGTGGACAAGGCCGAGCGCCCACCCCCTCATGCTCGGCAGTATAGTATCTCGCGCATCTGGCATCGCATCTGACATCTTATCATCTGGGTAAGTACACCGTTCAGCACAAAGCCCTTCAGCTAACGATGAGTCAGTCTCTACAGCAATAAATCGGCCGAGGCGGCATCTTCTATCCAGAACGGCCGCACGGTGAAGCCTGCGAATAACCAGAGACAGACGAGGAATTCTCTTGCGGCGGCTGGAATGGAAGACGACTGGCAGGCGGCACAATATGAGCGAGAGCAGGCGAGGTGAGCACTGCACTACTTACTGAAGAGAAGAATCAGACTGACCAGCATCGTAGTCCAGGACCTTCTCGCCCGAGACGCGGCGAAAATCAAGCATCGGATGGCGACGATATCGTGGCAGTTGGCGGGCGCAAAACCAGAGGGACAGGTAGTGGGTCGAAAGCGCGTGCGCCTTTAGTTGCCGCTGCCGGGAAAGTGAGTCTGATCACACAATGACTTGTTATCGCTGCCTTGGTACAATGCTGACGAATTACCAGCCACAAAAGAACGGTGGCAATAACGGCTACAGCCCGTATACTGCGGGTTCAACAAAGACGGCCACCTCGGGCCAAGCAAAGACACAGCGGCGAGCCGACCAGGAGTACGATCTGGTGGTTTCGCAACAGCACACATTCAAGCCCGTTCCGGCAGATCGAATGTACGGTACCAGTGACGCTCGTCACATGTATCCCAGAGATACGTCGCGCCAGGTCCTGCATGAGGACCGCCGTCGGGTCTCGCGTGACGCCCAGAACGATCGGCGAAGCTCAGTCGAGGCCGACGATGCCTGGTTCGCCGAACAACGCCAAATGAAGGCGTCAGGTTCAAACCAGCAGCGGGCTGGCAGAGCTCCGGCCCATCGTGAGCTCAACGATCACCGACCTAAGGCCAATAACAACCAGGACCGGAAGGCAGCCAGGAAATCAACACCTTCGGGCCGACACGCTGCGTCAGAGCAGGCGGACTCTCCGACCATGTCCGGCGAGAGCCGGTCGGCTAGCCCCGTCAAGCGCAAGCTGCAGAATGGCGACCACATTACTGTCATCAGTGATGGAGAAGACGAGGCGCATCCGGTGGCGCGGTCAGTCACGACGAAGAGGCCCAGGAACTTGGGAGCCGACGAGTCTGTCGCTCCGATAGGGCAGACCAAGGGGGAGAAGGGCAAAGCACGCGCCGGACGGGATGCTGTCGGCCTCGCCCAACAGACTCTCGACAAGGCAGCAAAGCAGAAGCCTACACCGGTACGTTCGCAGTACCGCCTTGGGTATTCAGGTAGACCCAGGTGGCTGATGAATATAGCGGGGTAAAGCCGTCAAACCGGCAATTCCCTCATCCGGGATCTCAGCTGCGTCCTCGGTCAATGTCCGACAATCCTTTCTGTCCATGCAACCGGTGGTCGACCTCCGCATGACCAGCTTATGCTGGAATCCGAAGACCCTGGACTGCTTCATACGATGTACAGACCCGGAGCAAAAGTTGGACCTTCCCATGCGGCATCTTGTTGGCAAAGTTTCATGTGTAAGGAGTCGCCAAACAGATTTGCCGATCTCCGAGCTAACTCTGGTAGTACTGCGAAGAGTCTGAAGCGCCATACCTGCATCTCTGCTTTGACACTGGCGACGTTTCCGACTTTCGGAGGCAATTGGAATTACTATACGATGGTACGCCAGGATGTCGGTATCATCATCAGACGCGGCGTGAGCTGATCAAGCAGTCAGTCTCAATCAACCTACTATCGATATCAGACTGTTCCTGTTCAAGGGCCAACCGACTGGGATCTTCGTCGGCGAAATTGCCAGAAGTCTCACTGGCGAAAGGAAGATGCCCGTCACAAAGTAAGTCTGATCGAAGCTGGAGAAGTGGGCTCTCGACAGAGTCAGCCTGACACGGCAGATCCGTAAGCGTGAGGGTAATCCTGGCCCAGCTCCAGTCAGAGGTATCGGCAGGATGGGCTGCTGGGAATGAAGCGAAGAAGCGCGCGGACGCGGCGGACAGACGACGCAATCAACCACGCCAATCGGAACCAGCTGCCCCGCTGGAAAGATCCGCCGATACGAACGGTACAAAAGGCAACAAGAAGGGCAAGCCGCTGAAGAAGATCAACCTGGATGACAATCAGAGTACGCTGCAATTGTGAGTTATGCAGCTATGGCTATAGGGCGAGAGCCTCTTCTTGAATTGCAGCTGACCCTGACCTTAGTGGCAAAGAGACTCGGGCGAACACTCGCAAGACGGACGCCGAGCCAATCGACGTGCCAGGCTCCCCGGAGAAGACCAAGCCCGCTGCAGTAGGCTCGCGGAAGTCTTTGCGTCAGCGCGACAAGGCACAAACGGCCGCTGCTGCTTACGAGGTCTCAGATGATGAGATGTTCGAACCCGCCCCAGTTGTCGTCCCCGCGCCCGCTCTGCCTCGGCCAGAAAACTGGAACGGAGTGTATGTATCGTGGCATTTCTCAGCTAATCCGATCTAGTCTGTTCCCATACCCTCTTCAAGGTCGTGCCGATATCAACATCACCGAGGGCGACAAGTGGCGAGTCGCGGCAGGGGACTTCTTGAATGACACGCTCATCGAGTTTGGCTTGAAGTAAGTCATGGTTATTCACTAGCAGCCGCCAGAAGCTTTGGCTGACCCCGTAGGTATGTGCTGTCGGAATTGAGAGCGCAGCCAGGCGGCGTCGATATCGACAAAGATGTGTACCTCTTCAACTCGTTCTTTTACGAGAAGTTATCTCTGCCAGCCAAGTGAGTTGTGATTGCGGGATGCCCCGCAAACCGAGCTGATGATCAGGCCGGGAACGAAGAATGATGTGTCTTGGGCGGCGTACACCTCTGTCAGAAAGTGGACCAAATCGGCGAACGTGTTTGACAAGAAGTATCTGATAATCCCGATCAATGAGAAGTGAGTCTTACTGTATCTGCCTGCGACGGCCAAGTGAGAGCTGGAGCTGATCCATTAGCGCTCATTGGTATCTCGCTGTCATCTTCAACCCAGGCGGTATTCTCCGGCCCCATGAGCCGCCTGCCAAAACTCCCGCAACCGACGCCCTCGTTGATGTTCCAGACGCCGCGCAACTTCCTTTTGTGACAGCCGAAGAGGTCGAGACCGTGAAAGCGGACATCGCCAAAGCCAGCGAGGACGCCAGGGCGGATACGAGATCGTCGTCGACCAGAGGGGTGGAGGACAGGGAGCAGGTCGAGATGATCATCCCTGCGGTCGACACGTCGACCGAGATCACCGAAATCACGGATTCGCCTGGTCCTTCCGCCAGAACCAGGAGATCCGGCAGGCTGTCCGAGTCGGCCGCGAGCGTGACTTCTACGTCACCGGTATTAGGAGCGATCGCTCGCCTTGCCGGACTCACGCATTCGAACGATGTCAGCGCGGATCCCCTCGATTCAATCCCTCGCCTAAGCGGAATGGCAGCTAGCCCGTCAGCCCAATCGTCTCAAGCACCATCTCAGGGGCCGGGACGAAAGAGGATCAATCGGGCACGGTGCAAGCCAGATGATAGCGCTACCTCCTCGGCCTCTGTCCATGCCCCGTCTCGGTCCCAACGGCCCATGGACATCTCGGCTAGCCCGGACCCAAAACCTATCGTGTCGCTTACTTTGCAAAATTATGCGCTTCAGAACGGCTTTGTCGATTCTGTCGCGCCGGCAAAGGAGCAGGAGGAGGAGGTGGCGGCGGCGGTGGAGGAGGTGGAGAAGGAAGCGGACCCAGCACGGCCGGCAGCACCCGCCAAAACTGCTGCGAAGCCAAAAGAAAGGACCAACATCTGGGATGGGGAAGAGTAGGTCACCGTGTCCATACGCTGGCCGAACCATCACGCTGACCTCTAGTGCCTGGATTTTCACCTTTGACTCGCTAGGAGGGAAACATCCGCCGGTGTACACTTGCCTGAAGAGGTGGTTGGAGCACGAGGCGAAGGATAAGAAGCAGATAGACTATGTGCCCACGCCTGCCAGGTACAAGGAAGCCAGAGTACGCCTTTCCCCTTCCGATATCCTCGAGTATGAGCTGATTCGTCCAGGTTCCCCAGCAGCCCAACTTCAGCGACTGCGGGCTATATCTCATCCACTACGTCGAGCACTTGTTGAAGGAACCGGAAGGCAAAGTCCGCCTCATAGAGGTATGTCTGCAATTCTTTAAGCGTCGACATGGACCGAGAAGCTGATCTATCAGGAGCCTATACCGGGGGGTCACGGCGCCGAAAAGACCAAATGGCTCAGCAGGATCGACCAGGTCTGGAACGAGGCGGACACCCGGACTCTCCGAGAGCAGTGGACCAAGAAGATCGACGTCCTCAAGGAGCAAAGAGACAAAGACCGGGCGGCTCTCCTCCCTGCGACACCGGCCGCGCCCGGTGCGAGCGGTGCGGCCGATGCAGAGGAGGAGGACCATATGGAGATCATGCCGGCTAGCCAGTCCGTCAAGGCGCTGAGTCAAGCGCCGGCTGTCGACAAGGCAAAGGCGGAGGCAGTTGCGGAGCTGGAGCCGGAGCCGGAGCAGGTGGCGGAGGAGGAGGCGGTCGCCCCCGCGGACCCAGCCGAGGATGTCGAGATGGGGGAAGAGGAGACCTGCGGGCCTGACGATGACTTCAACGACGCGGAGATTCAACACCCCAGCGCCCTCTTCGCTCCCAACTCTTTTGACAACCTCCATCTCGGCGAAGACGATCCAATGGAGGGTCCCATGTCCGCCCATTCCCCGGGATCTCCCTTCGGAGATGACGATGACGGATATCATTCGCAATCGGAATCGGAGCTGGCCAAGCATCTCAAGCTCGCGAAGGAGGAAACCGTCGGCCTTGTTGACTATGTTAGTCGCGAGAACTCCGCAGCAGCCGGCAACCCGGGGCCGTCGGTCCAACCCGGTATGGATCCGAGGTTGCAGCAACCTAGCCACGGGCCCTTCACCGACCCTTCCCTGGCGGCGGACGTCCTTCAACTATCCGCGGTCCCCGAGAATCACGCTCCCGAACAAGAGGACGAGGATGAGGACGGGATGGGCGGCCTCAATACACCGGAAGCCCCCAACCCCCAATTACTGCCCTCGCTTTCTCGCCCCAGGGAGACTTCACCGGTCCCTGGCGGTCTGCCGACCCGAACGGACAGTATCTTGAAGCAGAGGCGAAGCGAAGAGCGCCATCAGGCGGCTCTAAGATCGTCACCGCGGCCATCGGATCAGCGCAACATCTCGAATGGACACAGAGCCATTTCAGTCTCGAGCGGGTCGGCAGTCTCGAGCGGGTCGTATGAAGTCCAGGAGGAGGTGGAATATCGAACGGAGGGGAATCCGACGGGGAGAGAAAAGTCGAGGGACCCAGAGCGGCACGAGGGAGACTCGAGGCGAAGCGTAAAGGGGAAAGGGCGGGAAGCGAAGGAGAGTTCGCCGGGGAGTCGAGGGACGGCAGAGATGGACGCACCCTTCGGGACGAGCTTGGCGGATTCGCCTCAGCTCAACACACCGTCCGGTCACCGCTCCGGGCGGGAAAAGCCAGGGCGCACAACTACGGCCCGAACAGATCCCTCGGAAGCCTTCGACCCCCCGGCACCTCGTTTCACACCGTACGCGCCCAGAAGCGCTCCTCTCTTCTCTGCGGGCTGGAGAGCCAGGTCACCCTCGCCTATCGGTCTCAACAAGCCGGAACCCCCTCGTCCGACACTCAGCCAGACGCTCGCGTCTGGTTCAAGCGGCCTCCGGAGATCGCCCTCACCCGGTCCTTCCAACCCAGACCAATCCACCCGACCCCGATCCTTATCCCCAGCGCTGACCGTGGATGTTCCTCTGTATCAACCCCGCCCGCCTCCATCAGCTAAAAGAGCTTCACGTCCCTCCTCCATGAAGGCGGAACCTGACCGGGCTGCCAGTCGGACCTCTCCGCGCAAATCTACCGGGCGGGCTAATCACCAAATACCCATCCTTCCCGCTGTCAACTTCATGCAATCCCTCCCTCTATCTCCTCGCGGATCAGGATCGGCACTCCCACATCGCTCCTCCCCTCTCAGCGACCTCCTCGCGCTATCGCCGAATGGATCCCGCTCGTCCCCTGCAGCCGCGGCTACCCAAACGGCCGGCGCAAGTCATCCTCCCCTTTCTCCGGAGCTGGAGGAACCGGAGGAGGAGCGCGAGCTTGACAAATCCCCTTCAAACCTCCGGCCGATGAAAGTTGTGACGACATACCGCGGTCACGGCCCCAGGAAATCCGCTCGACCCTCGCTGGCTTCAGCTACAGCCCGGGAAGATGCGGTGGATGTCCTTGGTTCGTCGGAGGAATCGTCCGATGAGGTCAGCGCAGCACCTCGCTCGGCTGCCTTGTCGGCCTCACCCCCACCCCCACGAAAACCTACTTCTGCCAAGGCTTCTTCGTCTAAACTGGTGTCGCTCAGGGTTTCACCTCCTCCTTCATTGCAGCAGCTATCGGTGCTGCAGAAGCGGAAGGCCGACAAGGAGGCAAAATCCTCATCGGCCTCGGCGGAGGCATCCTCTTCGTCCGCATCGAAAGTCAAACCACGAGCGTCGAGAGTAGCAGTGGTACTTCCTGCTAAGCGGCGGAAACCGGATGACGATGCCGCCTTTACACCAGCCGGCCGGGATGATGAATCATCCGCAGGAGAAACGGGAAGCGGAAGTGAGAGGAAGAAGAAGCAGAAGACTTCTGCCAAGCAGGAGAGGTCACATGCGAAGGGAGGCGGGAAGGGTAACAAGGGGAAAGGAGTTGATCGTGAAGCAGCGGGAGAGAAGGAGGAGGAAATGGACGAGCTGGCGACGGATGACTCCACTCGTTCCCCGGCGGAGAAGGTGACATCCAAACACTTCGACCAAGCCTCTCGAGGACAGGCGGCCAACGGCAGCGCGCCGCGGTCGAGTAGATCGTCGGCACGACCGAGCGGGACGCAGGACAAGCCGATCAGTGTATTGGAGGATGATTAGGCAAATGCAGGGAGTCCGAGCGGGAGGGTTTTGTATGTTGTACGTATTAGACCATGTAGAACTAGGGTATCGTGACTAGTTTTGGGAGCCGAATAGACGCATGTAGATAGGACTAGATGAATAGGATATAGCTACAACCTACAACGATATGGCTACCCTTTATACTTCTCAGCCCCTCCGAGAATAGCCGATCAAGGCATATCGGGACCTCGCCCCTTTCTTCCGCTGTTTGCGAGATCCCACCATGCTCGGCCTGCCGAGTCGGTCGGTGATGGTGTGAAGAAGGGACAGCGCGACTTGAAGGCTGGGAGGTCAGTCAATCCAGTCTGAGATAGGAGGCGAAGGCGACAGGGTGAACATGGATGCGTTGAAGTCCACACCTCATGCGCCAAGTAGATTTGAATGGCAAGAGGGAGAACATACCATCTAGAGACCGCTTCCGGATGATAGCTTCGATACTTTCTTCGTTATCTAGTTGATTTGCCTGCCGGATCAGCAAACATACAAGAGCAGGAAAAGAGGGGCGAGCGTGGCGAGACTTACAAATACTTCTTCCTCCTTGAGCCCCCTCACCCTACGTCCTGCATCTGCGCCGTTCCTTGCTGGCGCTGCGAGCTTCTCGTCCTGTCCCGACATCTCCGCCTTCTTGGCTTCAAGCGACTGATGTACGGTCGTGAGGCAGTAAGTGAGGAGGGTTTGGCGATGTGTCCAGCCGGCTGCTGGCGTCAGCTCTGTGCAGCATGCATGGCCGGCCCAACTATTTAGTAACATCCCTGGTCTCCCAGACTACCTCTACTTACAAGGTATTCCCTCGAGGGGTATAACAAGGAGAGATCGAAGACTCACACATCATCTCGCTCCACATCCTCGTGCACATCCCCTCGATCCCATCTCGTCCCGCCGGATCTGATATTGGCGATGAAGGTGTGAACGACCTGCTTGACCCGCTTGCACCGATCCTGTTCTGATCTCGTAGCTGCGCATTTGCGCGGTTGAGCCTAGTGATGATCTGATCATCGAGCTTGCGGTATTGGCGGACCATATCTGGGCGATCAGCTTGACTCGGTGGCGCGTTCCGGAGCTGGTCGTCAAGAGCAAGTGTGGACAAGATGCGGATCGACACTTGGTGATATTTGTTCCAGTATGACTGGCAGACTCACCCTTGAAGACGCTCAGATTGAAGCAGGTCTCGGCGGCGATGGTCACCCGAGCGGGTGGAGGAGCGGGGAACGAGTCGGTGTACGCGGAAGCTGTGCCGAAGGGTGGAGCGGGCATCTTGGGTGACTGGCTGACTGGCTGACTGGGTCACGGGAACGGCCGGTAGGTCTGAAAGAGGAGTGGGCTTGACCGTGGGGGTGACGGATTTAGTAGTAAGGTGTATAACTAGTCCAACAGCTTGCGATGGATCGGTCTGTCGCTTGGTGGACCTCCGATCTCGGCATACCGTGACTCGGCCACGGACTATCGCGCTGATCTCCATGTCCACGATCTGAAACGCCACATTCCTTGCGGGATTACGGAGATATCCCCTTTGGCTGGGGAGAGGCTATCTCGGCGATCACCGCCGCTCGCTCCTGGCGGCACGCGACTCGCTATATTTTCAAACTGATAAGGTCCACTTGCTAGCCCACATCTCTTCCCTCTTTCTCCCATCATTCTGCTTATACTTGGTACGTTCATCCCTCCCTCCTCCAAGTCCAAGCCTCCCTTTCCAACCCTCTACCGAAAAGATGACCTTCTATTCTCTCCCCGTCTAACCGACCATGTCGAATGAGCAGGGCATGCCTTCGCGGGTGTGCCCGGAACCTCAACCCCTTTGATTCCCCCGGGAACCGAAGGGGAGGGCTTTTGCGCTTGCCAGCGCTTTTGTCTGATCCCTACTTACCCTCTGCTTTGGAATATATAAGCGAGGAGGGCCCGGGCTGATATTTCCAGTCTATTCAACTTCAACCTCATCTTCCCCCTCCTCTACCTACGTGAGTGACCCCTACTACTGCTCTCCCACTACCCATCTCCTCCCTCTCTTCTATGATGAAACCCATTACAAAACCATACGCAGTTTCCACTGAAGCGTCCTCCTTTCGCCGGGAGTTTGTCCCTGTCTTTTCCAGATCCCAGACCCCCTCCGAGTCGAGTCACGCCAGTTCCGAATGAACCTTCGTTGAGCTGGCGTCGATTCCTCGGGGGCCTCTTCGGAGGAGCAGGTCTGTGGGGATGGGGAGACGGGGCGATGCATACTTGAAGTTTTTCTTCCTTGGATGTCTGACTCTATCCACCCTCCTCTTCGTTTTTGCGGACCAGAGGAGAGCATGAGCTGATCAAACCAGATACACTTATAGTTAGACACAATGGTCGCCGAAGGAAAGAAGGGAAAGGTCATTCTCGCTTACTCGGGCGGTCTCGGTGCGCCTTCCTTGTTGTACACTCTGTTGCTTAAAATCTTCAGCTTATGCCGTAGACACTTCATGCATTCTCTTGTGGTTGATTGAGCAAGGCTACGAGGTTGTCGCTTTCATGGCCGATGTTGGACAGGAGGAGGTCAGCCCTGCCTTTGCGTTGACACCCAGATCAAAGCTGATGATAAGGACTTTGAGGCCGCCAAGACCAAGGCCATGAAGTGCGGTGCCGCCGGCTTCTTCCTTGAGGACCTCAAGCGGGAGTTTGTCGAGCAGCTGATCTACCGTAAGCCATCCTGTCCTCTAGAGCCCGACACCAGCTGATTGGCTAGCCGCTGTTCAGTGCAACGCCATCTACGAGAACGTCTACCTCCTTGGTACCTCGCTCGCCCGCCCCGTCATTGCCCGCGGCATGATGGAAGTTGCCCTCCGTGAGGGCTGCGAGTGAGTCAAAACGACACCGTGGCAAAGAACTCTAGCTGACATTCAGCTTCGTCTCGCACGGCTGCACCGGCAAGGGAAACGACCAGGTCCGTTTCGAGCTTGCCTTCTACGGTCTTTCCCCCAGCATCAAGGTCATTGCGCCTTGGCGTCTGCCTGGTGAGCTTCACTGCAGGCTATCTGCCAGGAGACAAGCTGACAGCGGTAGAGTTCTACGAGCGTTTCGCTGGCCGGTCCGCCCTCCTCGACTATGCCGCCAAGAACGGTATCCCCGTCACCCAGACCGCTGCCAAGCCTTGGTCGACCGGTAAGTTCCGGCCTCGAGCCCAGGAGAATCCTCGCTGACATGCCAGACGAGAACTTGTTCCACATCTCCTACGAGGCCGGTATCCTCGAGGACCCCAACACCACCCCTCCCGACGACATGTGGAAGCTCACCACCTCCCCCCTCAAGGCTCCCGAGCAGCCCGAAACCCTCACCATCGAATGGAGCCGTGGTCTTCCCACCAAGGTGACCAAGCAGGACGGCACCACCGTGACCGATGCCGTCGAGGTCTTCCTCACCCTCAACGCCCTTGCCCGCAAGCACGGTGTCGGCCGTATCGACATTGTCGAGAACCGGTTCATCGGTGTCAAGTCTCGCGGATGCTACGAATCCCCCGCCGCCACCATCCTCCGTGTCGCCCACATGGACCTCGAGGGTATGACGCTGGACCGGAACGTCCGCGCTCTCCGGGACCAGTTCATCACCACCGCCTTCTCCCAGATCCTCTACAACGGGTTCTTCTTCTCCCCCGAGCGCGAGTTCGTCACCGCCGCCATCCCCCAATCTCAAAAGACCGTCAACGGCTTCACCCGGCTCAAGCTGTACAAGGGGAACGTCATTGTCGAGGGACGTGACTCGGACGAGGGTCTGTACGACGCCAAGTTCAGCTCGATGGATGAGCAGGGAGGCTTTGAGCCCACTGCCACTTCGGGCTTTATCGATATCTCTAGCATCCGCATCAAGGCGTGGGCGGTCGCGAACGGCAAGCGGGGCCAGTCGGGCGTTGCTGTCGGCGACGTGTACAACCGGGAGTAGGGCAGCTAGGGAGTACGGTGGGTTCAGGTAGAGGTCTAGATGGGTAGGTGGTAATAGCAATTGTATATAGTTTTGGGGTTATGCAGGTATAGTCTATAGATCTGGCCTTAGCGTGTCCTCACATTGCGTCAGTCTATCCACGCCCAGTGGACACGAGGATCACCAGATTGACGTTTGAACCCAGCAAGATGCGCAAGATGCCCGGCCCGTGCGCGCACATTGACGCGTTTCAAGTTGCGGCTCGACCATGCAGTTGAACTTCTTCTTTCGCTCCTATACACTCTCATACACCTCCATATAGACTACTGCTCCTATCTCCCGCGCGTGCAGCTACTCAAGCTCTATAGCTCGCGCCAAATCGATTCAATTCGCAACCTCGCCATTCGTTGGCTTCACGCGACTACCAGTAGAGGACATTTCCGTGCCATAGAGCTATCGCTTTCCATCCTCTAGACCTTGATACTGCGTCATCGTCAGCAAGATGATCCACGCCGTATGGGTCATCAACAAGGCCGGCGGTCTAGTCTTCAATCGATCATATAGCGGTATGTCCTCTCCCCCACCTCTCTAGGCAGCGCTACCTATCTATCCGCTGACTCCCACTTCTCCGGGCACTTCAACCTATTGAGAGCCGAGACTGACCCCATAGACGTCCTCCCTCCACTCCCACTCAATGCCGTCCTCATCCTCGCTGGGACATTACACGGTATCCACGCAATAACGGGCCGGCTGGACCCGACGACTAATTCCAAGTCGAGGTCGGGGCCGTCGAGCGGGCAGGGGATGGAGGCTTTTGAGGCGGAGGGATGGGGTGGCAGAGTATGGCTCAGCGGGACCGGTGGGTAACTTCTCTTACTTGATCTGGCGCTCTTCACCGCCTCCTTATCAGTCGATCCTCGAACGACTGGATAGGTTTCAAATACTTGGTAGCATGTGAGCTGATGCGGGGTGCAGGCACCAAATTCATTGTGCTTCACTCAATACCGCACTCCGGACTGGACGAGCTACTTCGACGGATATACGAGATATGTGAGTAGCTTGCTGACTGGCGAAATACCCTTGTCGATATCCCTGCTGACCATGCAGATGCGGACGCGGTCATGAAGAACCCCTTCCATACGCCAGAAATGCCAATCAACTCGTCGCTCTTCGAAACCAGATTACAGACTTTAATAGCTGGAGTCAATACATGATGTAACCTCGTACTAGGCAGAAATCTTGCCATCGCGGCTCAGTCGGGTGCGGGGCTAGCCCGTCCAGGAGTCCAGTCCCTGCTCTACCACCTTGTCCAACTCAGCCTCAAGCGAGCCCTTCCCGTCCACCACGTCAATCGACATGCCCTCGGTCTCTGGACGACCGGCCAGGGCGAGGATGGTCTTTGCCACGAGCTCACGACTAAGTATTCAGCACAGCGTACGAGTTTAGTGCTTTGGGAAGAAGGAGCCAGGGCTCACCTTGTTTTGCCCAAGGCAGTCTTCCCCATGGTCACTCCGCCCGCTGGCTCGGTGGTCAGACCACCGGGACGGATGACGGTGAATGCGATCTGTTTTCGGCGGTGCAGCTCTACCTCGGCGTCGTACTTCGCCTCCATATCTACCAGGTCAGCCGTGTTCTAGCGAGGTGCAAGGCATGCCCTCGTGAACGCATGATCCTCAGCAGACGAGATCAAAGACTCACACTTCGGGATAGCTCCCCACATCTTGTCACTCATCTCCTCTGCGCACGTCAGCTTTGGTACTCTCGCACTTTGGATCTTGATACTTACTGTCCTCCTTGGTGTACCACTCCGGCATATCCTTTGATCTATTCCTCACGTCCATCGCTCCCACCACGATCAGCCTCTTGCAGTTCGCCGCCTCCATCGCATCATACACCTTGACAGCTCCGTCAAAGTCGACCTTCCGGGTCCGACTAGGATCGCCCTTTCCTCCTGCGCCAGCCGCAAAGACGACGACGTCGGGTGACTTGTCGGTCAGGAGGGTGGTGAGGTCGGTGACTGGGGCGGATTCAAGGTCGAGTACGGTGGGGCTTGCACCGAGTGATTTAAGGTCTACAACGCTGATACATCTCAGCTCTGGATGACGAGCTCAGCGAGAACGCTGGACCTTATGTGGTCGAAAAGACGAAGACGCACTGATCTTCGTTGCGCACGACCGGGACGACTTCGTGGCCCTCCTTGAGGGCCAGACGGGCTAGATGACGAGCGACTTGACCGCCTCCGCCGACGACGAGGAACTTCATTTTGGATAGCAGGTTGAGTATGATCGACTTGAAGGGGCTGATTCCACTACTGTATAGCTTAAGGTCTTTGTCGGCTGATGAAGGGGCGGTGGAAGGTCATCGATTCCCAGTGACGTAGCCAGCGATTGCGGGAACTCCTCATTCCTCCACCCGGCGAGCGCCGTTCCGTTGTGCGGCTCTCGTCGGGGCTGAGCAGCTGCGTGAACAGCATGCACAGCGCTGTGTAATGAGTGTGATACATAGTATGGTCGCTATGCTAGCAATGAAATGTCCAAAGTCGACCAAAAATTATTGTCCGAAGTGTCCGTGCCGACTACGCTGCCGCCTCCTCATGCGCTGTCCTCCCCAGACTTCCCGCTCTTGCCCGCCTGCTCCCATCATATCCAGACGCAAGTACCGTCCGAGAGCAGTCTGTGGCCCTTCTGGCATGCCCAGGCGAAGCATGAACCCTGGACGCATTCGGCAGAGTCTCGGGCAGCGCCAGTCATGGTGGAGCAGCTGCGGGAATCAGTCGTCGCCCCAATGATGCCCGTCACGCGACAAGCACGAGAGAAGGTAGACGTACTCGGTTGATGTAGGGACGGATGACACACCGTACTCTCCAAAGCGGCACCCGCCACATGAGAGCGCATCCGACGCTACGTCGAGGCACTGCTCAATCAGCCGACACTCGCGACCGACACTCGGTGACCAGTCTGACTCACAGCGTATCCGCTCCCGCCTTCCAGGTTGCACGCGGTGAGACCAGACGAGCACAGGGAGCCACTAGCCTCCCTATTCGGCTTGGCGGATGAGTTGCGCCTAGAGCCTGAGTTCTTGGTGGTAGCATGAACCAAAGAAGAGATGAGGGAGGGGCGGATCACGCTGACCTAGAGATCCGATCAGCTGCCGGGCTCGATTGGACAGTGATCGAGTGAGTGCAGGGAGAAGAAGACTCACGGTGTGTCCTGCGCCATTGCATCCGTGTGAACCACGGACCATCCCAGCTGGAATCGATGGGCTGCACAGGCATGTTGAGGACGAGGCGTCGAAAGCGGAAAACCAGGCGTTGTCATCGAGGCAGGCAGTCTAATGCATCAGCACAGATCAGAGGTATCTGTCATGATGCTACCCGAAAGCAAAAATGAACAAGCGAGTGGAGGAAGGCTTACCGCACACTCATCGGCTGTCTTGGCCGGTGCTGACGTGAGACCCGATCCGGATGTTGTGGCGTCTGCTGAGAGGCAGCCCAGAACGGTGGAGTCGGCAGCTACCAAGCTGGTGAGCGAGACGATGATGGCGAGTCGGGAGAACATGCTGATTGTATGTATGGAGAGGCTGTGTTGAAGATGCACAGGTAGCAATTGGAGTTGGGGAGCGGTGGGCTTGGACTTGGACTTGGGCGCCGATGCGATGGTAAATGAGTGACTGTAGTTGGATTCGTGGAGGGGTGAGTGCGAGTAGGGATCGAGGACGATAGATGATGGGATGAGTGAGATTTGTATGGAGGTGGTAGTTGGGATCAGATCAGTCCTTGGGCCTCGTGTCCACGGAGCTGACCATGCTGACTTTCGCTGATTTGTTTATCAAGGTTCGTTATCTCCCGTAATCGTTCGTAAGCCGGCTGCTCGATGACATGTGCGTCGCACGCCCACTGCTGTCGCCGAACCGGTACTGCACGTCAGAGGGGACGCGGCTCGGTCGGGGTAAGGGATCTATGACGGCAGCAGGGTCGACTGACGTGAGCGAGACATGAGGATTGTGAGATAGCTTTTGGGTTGGGAGGAATGAGGTGTGGGGAAATAGGGTTTGGGTGACAAACACCACGTGGACAGTGTAGGTGTCGGTTGGTGTCGCGCCAGCTTCAGCCGCCGGCCCGCCGCAGCGTTATTGCATGAGCGCGATGGCATTGCGATGGCTCGTGTTGCTGTGGACATCGATGATCCTTGGAACGATCTCTAGGACGCCCATGGGCACTTGAGCTAGTGAATGTTGACGAAGAGCGCGTCAAAGTAGCAGTCGGGTAGCCTCTCCCGTTCCTGAAATGCTATCATCACTGTCGTCTATCAACCGAAAGATACAACCTTGGAACTCATGCTCAACTCCGCTGACTCGCCAACCACTCCGCGTGCCTCTGCCGCCCTACTTCCTCGAGTGTGAGCTGGGCAAGCTCCGCCCCTCCCTCTCCACTAGGCCCGGACAGGCCACCCTGCGCAGCCACACTCGCTCGAGCCTGCCACGCCCACGCCTGCACCACTCCCTGATTCGTATGCGCCCCAGTCGTCGCTCTGTTTCCCCTTGTTGACAACAAGTCATATCCAACCGTATCCCCTGCCTCGTCGCCCAGCTGCCGTCCTGCTGTATCCAGCACATGACCCGGTGATGGAGATATCAGATCGGGCATGGCGTAGACATCATCCATTGCGACGTGTGAAGAACCGCTGATGGGAGACCGTATAGTGGTAGGGGGACCGAACGCGTCGCCGAGTGACGAAGGACCACCGCCGGCAGGCGATAACACCCCCTGTCCAACTGGTATAGCGTAGGGATCGAAATCGGCAGGTAGGACCAGGACCAGATCGGTCGACCGAGGGAGAGAATCGCCCCATATCGCCTCCTCCAGATCGTTCAGTAGCCGCGCCATATTGCCACCCGCTCCTGCGTCTTCCGTCCCTAGCACGTTCCCATCTTCGACCTGCCCGTACTGCCCCGCCTCGAGACTCGACGCGAAGATTCGTCCCCTCTTCTTCCATACCCCTACCACCTCCTCCACGTCTCTCAAGGCGTATCCGACCTCCGCCCGCCAGAAAGCCAATGTGATTGGAGAGGGAGTGGCGAGCTCGGCCCCTGCCGCTCGATGTTCCGCGACCGCGGTGATGGTGTAGGATCGCCAGCCTCGAAGGAGTGGGGGCTGGGTATTGTCGCTCGCCGTCATGATCCACGGGCAGGGTCGTTCCGGATAGGTCATAGACCATAGGATGTAGATGTAATGTCCAAGAGCATGTACGAGCTCCAGCACGATCGGCCTGATCCGCCGTGATACCAACCGGTCTACAATGTCCATGAAGGCATTGTCGACGACGGATACGCGGGGATGAGTTGATAGGAGCCGACTATGTTGCCGAGATTGAGCTGTTGTACGCGCCATGATGTCCTCGTCGACCGCCAGCTCCACATCTTGCAGAGCTCGTACCGAGTCTGTGAGGTAGATCTCGCCGCTGTTGAAGACGCGGGGTCCCTGCCGTCCGGAGCCTGATGCCGAGGCAGAGGCAGACGCCGACCGCGTCGAGGATGCTTCGACGTAAGATGGGGCATCCGATGGATGGCGTGAGGAGAAGCCTGGGATGTGGAGAGGGGATGTAGCCGTAGATAGCGGGAGTGGGGAATGGGAAGCGGAGGGGATAGTTGTAGGGGAAACAGCATAAGACAAGCTGCTGGAGGACGCCTTGCGCGAGCGGATGGGCGTTGTCTGGGTGTGTGGTGATGCTACGGGAGGTTGATCTACGGCCCATTTCTGGGTGGTCAGCAGGATACAGCTGTACAGACGGCTAACGTACCCGCCATTTAGCCATAGCTAGATCCTCCTTGCTCGATCCCGTAGTCACTGCAGTGAAGATGGTCCCGCCAGTTCCTCCCCCTACTTTCCCCAGCGAGTTCATCTCTACGCCCTCTCGCGACATGTCCAGCCGAGATTTACTCCCTCGGGACCCAGCTACGCCTCCCCCGCCGGGTCGAGACGTGGGCGTGCTGAGCACGGAGGAGCGTCTTGCCTGCGTCTGCAGCTTGGTGGCGTGATATGGCCCGTCCTCCGGAATGGAGGCGACGGGGGAGGAAGCGTTGCTGCGTAAGGATTGCGCAGAGATGCGCGAGACGAGGGGTGGAGGTTGAGGGCGGCTGCCGAGTTCGGGCGTTGACTTGAGCTGCTGTGGGCTCGATGCGCGCGCGACGATGGAGCCCAGATTCGGTAAGCTTGGCGATGGCGATGAGGGTAGTGCAGAGTACACGCCCTGTGTTGGTCAGACATGCACATAGGAGGATGAAACGCGACTTGAAATTGGGCGAAGATCTCGTCGTTCCTGGCGGAGATTTACTCGATCACGCCGAACCTTGTCCTTTGATGGCAACTCACTTGCTCTTCATCCTTCATTCTCGCTGGCGCAAGTATGGCGGACATCCTAGCAGGACGTCTGAGCTTCAGAATAGCAAGCTACTCGAAGAATTATGTTCGCCGACTGCTTGACCGGTGACCGGCCTGTCTGCAGCCGTGGACGTTGTCGTGTTAAGCTGACGCGTGCCAGATCCGAGTCCAGACAGGATGTAAAAGCCGAAGGGGTGGTATGAGGGAACGAAGCTGTCTATGCTGATGCACTGATGAGCAGCTGGTCAGCGGGGTTGTATCAAATTGCTCAGCACCCTCACGCATCGGCCGACGCGCCATTCATACCGGATCTGATATCACGAGGGCACGAGGGCCGCTTCCTGCCGTAACCTCACAATGAAGCATATATCTGCTCGATCCTGCCGCCGACTCGCCTGATGCGTCAACATGTCATTTGTCAGACTGACCGTCGCCCTGATAGGTCCTGGAAATGATCTATTTACTAATCGTATGACGTTAAGGCATCCTTCGGGCATCCCCAAGTGGACATGGCAGATCGAGGAGAAAGGAAGAGCTCGGAGCGTGACTAACCTCTGTTCCGCGGTCCGGTAATGCCAGACCGGGGCCGACACCCTCGGCGCGGCGTACCTGCCGCGCTGACGACACCCCACAGACCTCCTGACCTGACAACTCACTCCTCATGCCTCAGCGGGCACAAAGCAAGGGAGGCAACCAAGTACCTATTGTGGAGCTGACCGTTGTCCTATTCTCGCAACCTTTCACCCCTACGTGAGGGGGATTCATTGGCGTTCCTTTGTAAGACCGCCCTCCCTTCTGGTATCTCAGGACAAGGCAACAATCATGCATTGTTTGTCTGACGCCCAACAGCTGATTAGTATATGTCAAGGACAGCTACTCGGATTACCCGCGACCAAGAGAGATACTGGTGGCGACAAGTCAAGGATTCTCCCGACAGCAAGATCTCAACCGGGAACACCCAATCCCCGACCCCGACCCCCTATCTACTGTTCCCATCATGGGACGCCGCTTAGTCCACCTCACCAGCGCTGGCTCCAGCGCCTCCCCTATCACCGTCTGCATCATCTTCCTCATCGTAGCTGTCATCGGGTATTTTGTCCTCGAGAGGGGTAACAACCGCAGCGACAAAGTCAAGACGTCGAGCTCCCAGACCGAACCAAGCAGCTCCACCAGAACATCCGCTCGCTCCACTGATCTCGCTGATCCCGCCGACACCGACGCTGCCACTGATACCGACAATCCTCCCGATACCCCTGCCTCTCGGGCCAGCGACTTTCCCAGCGACTACTCTGCCAACGATGAGACGGACTACGATACCGAGGCGGAAGAGTCAGCGAGACGGAGGATAGCGCAGCGAGCAGAGAATGCTGCAAGGCTCGGAGTCAAGGCAGCTCTCAAGCCTGCACGGAGCTTTGAGTTATCGAAACCGGAGAAAAGAAAATCTGTCGGATTCCCCGATACTTTCGCGGCGACCGATATGATTGCTTCCTTTGAGCACTATCCCCCCTCACGGTGGCACAGTGCAAAGGGGGAGCTCGAGGGCCATACAGACCCCGAGCGACCAGACAGCGACGCGCCAGTGCCCCATGTGGCCTCGAGGCTGCCCCTATTCCGAGAGGGGTTGCAGACGCATCCCACTCTGCTGGCGAAGATGGAAGAGGTGGAGAAGTTGTTGTGGGTGAACTGTATGGACGTGGAGGAGTACGATGGGCCTAACACCTCGGAACTGGAGTCGAAGGCATTATCGGACCGATGGCACAACAGATGGGGGAAACTCCCCGAAGTGATGTTTGAGCTGTGTCGAGAACTCATCACATCGGGGATCATCCCCATGGTTCCTTTGGCCTGGGCTATGGCCAACGAGCCCACGATAGCGAACAGCCCGGCCTATCCGGCCATCAATATCATACAGCAGGGATTTGAGACGGCGGAGCAGACGAAGGCTGACGGTACGACGGGCAAGGTGTTCGTACATAAGGAGGATGCTGATGGGCGGGCCGCAGCACTAGACTTGCTGCTGGGTTGGTTTGTTCTCTCTTATCGAGGATATGTACAGGAGGAGTGGGCGGACACGTCTAATAAGAGTAGCACAGCGAGGAGTTGGGCGGGCGGTGCGATCCACGCCGAGGTCGCCGATGCACTTGGGGGAAAAGGATCAGTAGGGGAGGAAATACTGAAATGGTTGGGCTGGGTCGGAAAGCGCTACCTCCTCAGTCGAGCCGTCACCGGTCAAGGCGCCGACCTCCTCGATGGCTCAGCACGCCTCTCGATAAGCAGGCTCGATGCGAACAGTGACGCCTTGTTCAGGCTGGACGTGACGATATTCGTACCCGAAAGTCAAATCATCCAGAAGATCACCACTCCCCTCTCGGCCCGAGAGACCGCCCACTGGTCGAGACAGTCTCCTAAGTCGAAAGCTACTGGATGGGGCTCGTGCTGGCTGTCGGACGCCGTATGCCGCTACATCCACCTGGCCCGCCCATGGATCTCCCACCATTTCCCCATGAAGGGTACACGCGTCGACCTTGACGAGGACCGTATCGACCTCAGGCGGCTCATCATTCGACCTGGTTTCGGAAACGGCAGAGTCAACATGAGGAGCGGCTCTATGGACGAGCCCATCAAGCCGGGCACCAGCTATCGGGATCCAAAGACTCCGGTGCTTATGCAGCTCGACACCGAGGCCATAGACACTGCGGCCGATTACGCGGAGGCGGTAAAGCAGCAGGGACAGACTAAGGATACGCTACAGGTCCTGCTCCGTCGATCACGAATCACCAGCATCAGATTCATGAACAAGCGCCAAAACCACTGGCATCATCCTGCAGGAGACGCGGCCGATGAGGATCAATTTGATCCAACGCAGATGGCGTTTATATGTGGGCTTCTGATCCCTCCCCTGCAAAATCATGGTACTGATCTCGGGGATCTCAACCTCGTGACGGGCCCCTTATCAAGGTCTGGTTTTATCAGCCTTGACTTTGGCGGGATCGTGCCTTACATTCCTGCGGAGGAAGGGGACCTTCGCGTGGAATTCGTATGGGCACGCCTGTATGACCGGGTCAAGAGGTACTATATCCCCTTCATGGACGGCGGGGCGGTGACCAGGATCATCAGTGCGGGGGCAGAGGCGTCTGGGGATGCAAGGAAGCAGTGGAACACCGCGAGGTGGCTCACTGATTCCGAGGGCTGGCTTTTGCGCGACCTACCCCCGAAGACCCTTTCCAAAGAGATGCGCAAGCTATCTGACGCTCCACCTCACGTCAAGAGAACGTTCGTGGTCGTCCTGCGGGACTTTGACAGTGATTATCAGAATTTCTACCGCCAGATCGGCAAAGCGATCTACACCGACATGATCAGCATAACGTCTACATCTGATGAACTCGGCAGATCCAAGGTGCTCAAGAAGCTCAAGTGGTTCATCAAGAGGCTGAACGAGTCCGTCAAGCTCACCACGGTGACCGAGTGCCAGACCTCCATATCTGATCCGACCCTGTGGGACTTGGGGTATGCACTCACTGCCGCGGAAGTACTGGCCGAGCAGGAGGCCATGGCGCAGGGGGGAGGCAGGGAACCGGAAAATCATATACCGCCGCCACCGAGCGGAAATGCCGGAGAAGTGCATCGTAAGTGTGCTCCGACGAGTGCGTAGCCTAAAAGCATGCTCACGGTCGTACAGCACAGCTCCCAAATACAGAGGATGACTCAGACTTGAAAGCTATTGAGGAAGATTTGGCAAGGGCGGAACGGGAACAGAAGAGGGTCGCCGCCGAGAGTGCAGCCCTGCACATCACCGCCAAGGAACTGCTGGAGCAGGAGAGAGCCAAAAATCGGTTGCCTGGAGGTCCAGCCCCACAGGTGCCTGGTGGTGGCATCGAGGAAGAGGCGGATCAGGGTCAGTCACACTCAGTTCCATCTTCGTTGTGAGGTCCGCTGACCCTCCCGCAGAGGGACCTCCCGGCCAATCTGCCTTGGACAGTCTCCTGTTATCCGCAATGGAAGAGTGTATCGAGGTCGATCACGACACCGCAATGAGTAGTCGGCAGAAGCTTCTTAAGATGGTCTATACCGACAAGACGTCAGATGGTCACCTATGGAATGCCCTTGAGCGTCTGCGAGGCTTGCACAAGAGAACCACCGAAGAGCGGGCCGTCACCAATAGCGAATATGCGGCGGCCGACACGGATCTGAGGAAGAAGGCCGTAATGGACAGGGTCTTCGAGGAGGCCGGGCGACGGGAGGTTGAGGCAAACAAGGCCCGTAAAGACGTTAAAGACATGCTTGCTCGGGCGGGTGACGAGGAGCAGGCGAGACTGAAGGTGATGGTGAAGCGGCATACCGAAGAGGAGAGACAGGCGCGACGTGAGAGGCGGCGGAGTGAGCAATTTCAAACTTCAGTCAGAAGTCGTCACGACAGTACCCGCTGATTACGCCGCAGACAAAGAGCCCGACCCGGCAGTGAACGAACTGGATGATGGATCCGAGGCCTTCCTGAACCTCTATTACCAATATCAGGACTTGCGTGCCAAGAATGGTGACGAACGAAAGGCATTGCGAGCTGCGGGAGGTGTCGTGGGTAAGTCTTGATGCGGATCAGGAGGGAGCGCCACGCAGGAGCACGCCGGATAGACATGTCCCGGGGGCCGTATGCTGATACTCCCAGATCCATGTGAAGAACACATCAGCATGTCCGAGTCTTTCGCAGGAAGCAAAATCCCTCGAGACGTGTTGATTGCGGCATGCACGCTACCGCTCTGGGATAAGAGGGGCAGTGACTGTCGCATGATGCTCCGTCATCGACAGTGGAAAGTCCAAGATATCAGCGAACACGATATACTCCGCGACATCCAAGATACGGTGAAGAACATGAAGGAGTACTCGGACCATGCAGACCCCACAGACCCAATCTGGCACCGCACCATCGCCCTCGAGCTACGGGATCAGCTCGACAGAAAACTCGGCAAAGAACACCGGAATAGAGTCGAGATCATGGAGGCGTTCCGAGCCGAGGCCACGGCGGCGTTCCGAAACGCCAAGGCGGGGAGGGAAGAGCAACAGCGGGCGTCAGTGCAGAGCGTGTCAGATGAAGAGTCCGAGGAGAACGCTGAGGAAAAGGAGCGCCGTTTGGCGTGTCCTGTTTCGCCGCTGTAGAAGTGAGCCTGAGCAGCAGGATTAGATGGAGTGAGATGTTGAGTATCTCGCGCTTAGAGTATGGTATTCAGTCTTCGAAGTATGTAACGCCGAATAGGTAGATGGCTTCAGTCGTGATAGGTAGTGTGATAGTATAGTAGTCGGACCGGATATCTAGATTACTGTACCTGTAGGTCTGTATCAGTCCACATGGGCATTGGACGTGGGAAGAGCAGTCGATTGGCGCCGAGGGACCGCCCAATGCTGCTCGGAGGGCGTACGATCTGTTAGAGGTGAGAGAGAGGATCATCTTTCACCCTGGTAGAAGGACCAGTCATTGTCAGCATGTACCAAGCCATCGAGTGGAGCAAGGACCGTGTGAGTAGAGGATCATGGCACGTAGGCCCGTTGAACTGGACGCCGCTATGCCATAAGGCTTGCAGGTGCCCTGTGTAGAATTAAGCCATGTTCATCCCGTACCTCGCGAGTTGGGCGCAAGCCAAGCACTGCTCAGTCAGTGCTAGCGCAGAATCATGTTAGGCAGACACACCATTACTGCGTATCGTCAGCATGAGGGCATATACTATTGTCGATAGTGTAGCTACACAGCACTCACTCAGTCCAGCAGGCCTGAACTTCTGGCTGTTAAAGAAGCGGTATGCCATCAGGAGGAACAGCAGCGAGTTGACAACTGCAAGTTCAGCAGATCCGTTTTGCCAGAGGGGAGTACGACGCACGCATAACGGGGAAGACGTCAGAGCTTTGGGCACCGAGCGCCTGTACCACGTCAGCCTACATCCCTCCCAGAATGCAGGCAGTGCAGACGTCATCAACTGAACTCACTCGGGAACCGTACACTTGTCCAGCGGCGAAGAGACCTCCAGAACTCATTGTTCAGTACAGTCCCCCGGATATGAAGGTGATCGAGGGGATGACCTACATAGCGGATGCCTTCGACCCCTTGCGTCCGCCCATGAAAGCTCCGAAGGCGAGCATGGCCGCCCAGACATAGCCTGCGGGGTCAGCTTGGTCGCCCTTCCGGCGAGCAATGCCCAGGACGGACCCAGTACGTCTGGGGAGCTGGCGAAGAGTGATGAGGCCATGATTGTGATGCTGAATTGTGTAGTAGATGATAGTGAAGAGAAGCAAGGCTATAATGAAACGGTGAACGGTAGGACCTGCAGCGCTGCGAACCGGCTGGCCGGCTGTGATGGGACCGGTGCTGAGTGCGGGGTAAGGTGTGGGGTATCATTAGGAAATCTGTCCTAATTACAATAGCGGAACCTGATTTCTAATAGCAAATGCTGATGACGCGCGCTAATCACGGCCGCTCTCGATTGACTCGCTCCAACGTGCTCTCTAGCTCTGCTCTGCTCTTGCCTATATCGTTCCTCTAGGGGGACGACTCTCGTACTAGCAGCTACAGCATCATCCCACCTGGTAGACCAGACCCTTCCGGACCTGGGAGGCCCCGGAATAGCAGGAACAGGACTGGACTTCTGGTCAGCTCGAACCATCCTCCATCCCGCCGACCCGATCTTGGTGACTCAGCGGCAATCCACGATCCCGCCCATCTCTACGCGCTATGCCAGCTCTCCCTCAATCCACACCTGCTGGCCGCCCCACCCAGCCAAAACCCGCCATGGATCGCGTCCCGAACCCGTCACAATGGCTCAACTTCTCCTTGCCACCTCGACAGCGGAACCATGTCCCAGGTTCGGGCATCCCGGGCGGTATACCCAGGCGGAGTAGGAAGGGCGAGTCATGGCGCGGCGGAGCGATGTCAAGGGAGCGCTTTGTCCATGCCAACTTCCGGTTTGTGCTCAAGCCGACCGAGGTGTTGAGCTATGGCGCCCATTTTGCGGATCCGGACATGTAAGCTGGCCGTCAAGACATGTATAGGACGGAGCTGACAGCTCAGATCGCTGCACTGGCCGCATATCCTGCAGGTGCTCGTTCCGACCTTCTCGGCGTTCTCTGTCGCTCAGGGATATGTGTCGAGCGATCCGGCGCATCCCAGCCGGGAGGATGAGCTGGGCGTGTCCCTCGAAGAGACGGAATTGGAAGGACTCGGGGAAGATGCCGTGCGGGTACGGCAGCGGATGGAGGAAGAGCGTAGGGGACGTATGTGCCCTATCTGCCTGGGCAAGCCGGTGGCCGGGAGAATGACCAAGTGTGGCCATGTGAGCTCTTCCCACACCGCGCACGTTGAGGCCGATCTGACTCTTAGATCTTCTGCTTCCCGTGCATCATGCACTATATCCGCCTATCCGACATCCCTGGCTCGGCCAAGTGTCCCATTTGCGGTGATACGGTGCATGAAGGCATGCTCAAATCGGTCAAATACCTCGATGCGGCGGCGATGATACGTTCCGCTCGAGGTGATGATGAGGAGGACGAGCACGGGATTGAGAACTCGCCTGTGCTCTCTGCTCATTCGGGATCTGGGCAGACTCCGTACGGCACGCAGGCGCACGAGCACGTCATTCCCGGCAATATGGACGGGTTTGACGACCACCAGGCCGAGTCCAGTACCAAGCCCAAAAGCAACCTCGAGGACGGCGACGATCATCCCCGAAAAGGTCATCAGATCCACATGCGCCTCCTGCAACGCCCTCAAATGACCACACTCGCCCTCCCCTCCTCTCCCACATTCCCATCCGACGTCATTCCCCCGCATACAGCTCCGTGGCATTTCCTGCCGGACGTACTTGCCTACTCTCGTTTCATGCTCGCAACCCCGGAATACATGAACCAAGAGCTCCAGCGCGAGCTGGACGAATTACAGGCGGAGTGGAACTTGCTCCGTGGGGACGAGCTCGGTCGTGACTTTGTCAAGGCGGCGAATGAGAAGGTGGAGCGGCAGGTTGGCAAGGTGCGGGCGGAGCTCATGACGGATGGAGTAAGGCGCGGCGAGCGGGAAGCGAGGGAGGCATGGGCGGACGCTGTGGGCGGGGAGAAGAAGGAGAGGGAGAAGCGGAAAGAGCGGGAAAGGGTTGCTAGAGAAAGGGAGGAGAGGGCGAAGCTGGAGCCAAGTCTCCCGGCTGAGCAGATACCAACGCAGTTCCTCTCTTCTCAGCAGAGCTTCTCGAACCCGTACGCCAATATCCCGCCAAACCTTACTATCGAGCCGAATCCCATGCCCTCCCCTTCGGCAAAAAGAAATCGCCGCCGTCCGCAGGCCCATTCTGCGCCCACCCAATCCCCTCCTATCCCCTCATACCACTTCTACCAATCATCACTCGGCGCCAACGTCTTCCTCCACCCGCTCGACATTCGTATCCTTCTCCTCCACTTCCAGTCCTACTCGCTCTTCCCGCCTACACTATCATTCACCTCATCCGGCTTCGATCCGGGAACGATCAACGATGATCTCCGCAAGCGGTGCAAGTACCTCTCGCACCTGCCTTCGGGCACTGAGGTCGTCTTCGTCGAGGCAAACCTGGAGGATATCGTCGGTCCCGAAGCTTTGGCGGCGTTTGAGCAGCCTCTCAAAGCTCGCAGACTGAAGAGGCGGACGCGAGTGCAGAAGGAAGACCGAGCCAAGACTCGCTGGGAAAAGACGGAACGGGACAAGCTGCCCGCTAGTGCCGGCGGGGCCACTCGGGAGGATCGGGACTTTATGACTGCCCTAGCGCGGTCGGCGGTCGTACAGGATACACTACATTGGGGAAGTACGGACGGGATGGCACCGGGTACGTCGGCGGGAAGCGGGTCGACCGGACTCGAGGGGTACGGCACCGCTTCTCCCTCGACGTCCCCCGGAACCCGGACGGGCGGGACGGCGACGTGGGGAAGGCCGACGTTTGCCACGGCGTTACATTCGACCAGTACGGGTTCGGCCGTCCGGCGCGTAGCTGCTGCGCCGAGAGAAAAGCGGGAAGGGACCGGAGAAGAGGAAGATGAGTGGGATGTGCAGGCTGCGTGGGATGCGGCATTTGAAGATCTCAGCTTGGAGGAGGCACGAAGTGGGGCGAGGGTTACTTCGAGAGGTGGAGCAGGGGGACGGAGGGGCGGGAGGGACGAGGAGGAGGACGCTCCTATGGTGCTCCCGCCGGGAGGCGGCGGTAAGAAGGGGGGGAAGAAGCCAAAGAAGGTGTTGGTGCTTGGCGGTGGTGGACCGGGAACGAGACGATGAGGCGGGTTGATCAGCAAGGATCGGATTGGAAGAACCAAAAATTGTAATGATCAAGCGGACACATCGCGGCAGAACATGTATCCCTTATATCAATCGGCTTGAACTCAGAACAAGGAATACACAGCAAAGTATGAAGCATAGATCTATGATGTTGAAGTCCGAAAACACACAGACAGTCGAGATGACCACTGTCCCCATCTCCCGGTACGCTCGCTCGGCCCCTCGAGACCGCCCACGCCCCCTTTCCCCCATCACAAACCACCTAAAGACTACAAGTTGGCTCGAGCCGATTACACAACACCCTTCGTGGTGTTCTTGCTGATCAGACGCGCCTTCTCGATCTGTGCTTGACCTATAGCTGTCAGCACGGAAACCTATAAATCAGCAACCAAATAACTCACTCCGCTTGGCGAGCGATCGCTTGTAGTCAACAATGGTAATATCCTGCTTGGTGAGGTTCATGACCTTCTTGTCCTTGACCTCCCACAGCTCCTCGGCGACTTGTGAGATGAGACCTGGCGAGGATCAGCAAGATGCCCAGTCCGAAAGATATAGTCAGGCGGTACTCACGGAAGTCGTGCGAGACGATAACGACACCTCCTTCGAACTCCTTGATGGCGGAAGCAAGGGCATCGATAGAGCTCTGCTGATGTCAGCTGATGCAAATCGCCATGACGGGCTCGTTGAACTCACCATGTCCAAGTGGTTAGTAGGCTCATCGAGAAGGATGACACTCGGGTGCTCCATGGCCAAGATAGCGAATACGACACTGTTTCATCAGCCTTATCTCCTTGCCTCGCAGAGCTACAGGACATACCGGTTCCTCAACCCATCCGACAGCTGAGAGATAGGGTTGGTCTGGTGCGCGCCGGTAATACCGAACCGCCCGACCTGTCCTCGCCAGAACTGCAAGTCCTTTTCGGGGAATTTATCGTGGTAGAGACTCTGGATATGTTCGACGGGCGACTTGTCGTATGGGAGCTGGTCGGCCGAGTGCTGCGAGTATTTGGCGAGCTTGAGCTGGGTGTGGCGCGAGACGGTGCCTTCGGTGGGGTTAAGGGCGCCGGTGATGAGGTTGAGAAGGGTAGACTTTCCGGTACCGTTGTCTCCGACAATGGCGATTCTGATTGTGAGCCATCGTATTCTCAAGGTGTGAAGAAAGACATACCTGGAGTCCATGTCGATACCGACACTGAGGTCCTTGTAGAGGTAGTCCTTCTTCTCGCCCGAGTATGCAAACGCGACGTCGCTGAACGCGATAATGGGAGGAGGGAGCTTCTTGACGTCCTCAAAGTTGAATCGGAGCTGCTTGGGACCCTCGACCTTCTGGACGAGACCGGCCGCCTCCATCTTGTCAATGATCTTTTGCTTAGACTTGGCCTGCTTGACCAAGTTGGCATATGTACCGGCGGACGAAATGAACTCTGCTCATAAGCACATGTCCAGCCGAGCGACAGAGATACTCACTCTTGATGTGGGCAATTTCCTCCTGCTGCTTGGCGTACGCCTTCATCTGGTTGGTCTCGTTTTCGCCCTTGGTACGGACGTAGGTTGTGTAGTTACCACCATAGTACACGAGCTTCTTGTGCACGGTCAAGTCGATAATGTTGGTACAGACTTCGTCCATAAAGTCGGCGGAGTGGCTGCAGGTCAGCAAACCATCGATGTTTGAGCTAAACTAGACGTACGAGGTGAAGATGAGAATGTGGTTGTAGGTAGCTAGGTACGCCTCCAGCCACACTACCGCCCCCAAGTCCAAATGACTGGTCGGCTCGTCCAGAAGCAGCAAATGCGGCTTGACGAACAGAGCACGCGCAAGCGCGACACGCATACGCCATCCACCCGACATGTCCTTGGTCGGCTTGGCCATCATGGCGGTGGTGAAACCGAGACCGGAGAGCAGGGCGCCAGCCTTGGCCTCGAATGTAGAAGGGTCCATCTCCTCGAGCTCCTCGTAGATCATCTCCATGGCGAGCTCGTCGACGTCGTCCGCGGTCGCCATATCCTCGGCCATCTTTTCGAGGCGGGCCACCTTTTCTTTGGCCGAGGCCACAATGTAGTCGACGGCGTTGACGTCTGAGGGCTCGACGGCACCGGATACGAGGTAGATCTAACCGTTAGCATGGAGTCTTCCGATCATGCTTGCCCCGACAACTTACATCGATGTGCTCGGGAATGTCAATGTCACGGTCGGCGAGCGACTGCAGGAATGTCGACTTTCCGGACCCGTTCTCACCCAAAAGACCGTACCTGCAAGTCAGCTCGCTTTCCGCCTTGACCAAGCTCGTCGAATGATAGCTCACCGTTGCCCGTAGTTGAGCGAGATTTCGGCACCCTCAATCAATAGACGACCGTGGAAGGAGAGAGTGTACTGGTCGATTTTGACGTCACGTCCCTTGGCGTCGGAGACCAAGTTTCCAGCCTAAAGTTCAGCTCAAGCCCTAAAGGATAGTCCGTATCCCTCTTGAGCTCTCATCTTTCTCTTCCGACTCATCCACTATGCACCCTTTCGCTCGTCGCGTCCCGCTCTCTTCCTCGCCCATTCTCGAAACCCCTAAAACTCACCGCCGACCTATCAGTCGCCATGTTCAACTTCTTCATCGCCTCGTGCGCCTCAATGACACTCTGCAAGTTCTCCTGACTCCCATTCGCGCTCAAGCTGGTCATGGGTGTAGACCCGCCGTTGATGCTGTCGCCAGCAGGGGTGTTGGTGCCGGTCCCGCCCTTGGAGCTGGCCTTGGCGGCCTTTTCAGCGAGACGTTTCGCCTTGGATGCGGAGGGCGCCATTTTGGTTGGGTAGGATGTGAGAGGTAAAGGGGTATGAGAGGTAACCTGGGCTAATGTACTAGCTAGGTGTTAATATAGATGGGTTGTTGGACAATGGAAAGCCTCCTCTCTCCTTGGTTGACCCTCCGCCACCACCGAGCTGGTTAAGGAAAAAAAGTTGAAACACTTACGTCAGCAATTAGAGACGTCATCCTACATATGAGCAGCGGACTGATTCAGCCATCTATCATACATCTACCTCGTATACAGCTAGAGCTGTCGCAGTATCGGCGCCATGGACGACGACGTAGAAGAGCTCAATCAGCAATACCTAATGCACCAAGAGGACATCACCCAGATCTTGGCGTACCTCTCGCTTCCTCCCGCCTCCTCCCTCCCACAAACCCCCCTCGCCTTCCTCTCGGCTCATATCAACGCTCTACCTCCACCCCTCCTACGCCCCTTCTCATCCGTCACTACCCCTCGCCAACGATCTTCGATCCGTCAGATCAAGGCCCGGAGGCTCGTATACGCCTCATCCATCCCGCCACCGCCCGAATTGCAGGCATCGGCCGGCCGCCTCCGATGGCCGCTTCTCTGGGAACGAATGGGCGGGGCACATACCCTCCCTCTGCCCTCGTCAAACATCAAGGGCGAAGAGGCGTGGGTGAAGGATCATTTCCTCCCTGGTGCTGAGGGCAGGCAGCACGTCAAGAAGCTCGGCGGGTTCTTGAGGGGTTTGGAGGAGGAGAGGGAGATGGAAGAGATGCGGGCTGCGAAGCGCGCAGAGAGGCGATTGGATGATGTGGGCGAGGAGTTTGACGAGGAAAGTGATGAAGAGGAAGATGGCGGAGAGGGGAGGCAGGAGAAGGAGAGGGCGGCGGCGGCCAAGCCGATCCAGGGCGAAGTGGGGGAGAATCAGAATGAGGTGGTCCAGGCATTCGAGCGAAAGCTGCTCGAGATGTTTGTCGATGGTATTGACGTGAGTCATTTGCACTGTCAATGAGGAGCTGTAGCTGATCGATAGACCGTCTCATACGACGACGTCGACTTTACCGAGCCGGACACGGTCGACCCAATAGCTGTTCGGGACGCCGAAGATCATTACTTTGACGAGGAGGAGCCAAGCGAGGATGGGGCGCTCGGAGCTACAAGGACCGACGAACAGCGGCGGCGCGGCATACTGGCCGCAGATGGAGATGAGACGCCACCTCAGAACGGTACGGGCGAGTACGATTATTGATCGTCGCCTCCCTCCATCCCGACCGGCCGTCAATATCGCGGAACTATCGTGCAGCCAGCTGCAGCTGGCCTCTATCCGCCGGGGACAGGTTTGTGGCCTTCTCCACCTGGCCAGTCGCCTACAGCACCTCTTGGCCACTGCAACATCAGCGACGGCAGTCTTCCAAGCAGGTGCTTGATTCGCTCGAGGCTGGTTCGAGCAGGCGAGACGGGTGGAGTGCAGAGCGGACTTTCTTTGGCTGATTAGTGCTATAGTAACTGTTACCAAAGGACATCTGATGCAGGATCAACCCTGATCCATGCACTGGGCACTGCTTGCCTGATGGGTACAGTATTCACTCTGCATACCATCTAAATCCACGGACAATCTACTGGAAGACCACAATACCCAGCGCTAGACAAAGGCTAATATAACTACGGCAGCGTATCTATGGATCTACGGAAGACACTGAGCCCTATCGTTCACCCGCTCTGGCTAGTAATTGTACTGTCGCGCTTTACTCCCCGTACCTCCGCGGACCCGCGCGGTCATCCCCTTGAAGAAATCAAGGCCCTTGGCCTGATAATCACGGTCGAGCTGGTCAACAACAGCACATGTCGCCGCCATTTCCTCCCCTCTCCATCTCATATCCCCCAATATCGCCTCGATCCCCTCCCCCAACGACTCTGGCACCAGAATCGGCAGGTTCACCTGCCGACACATATCCTCATTCGCCAAAAGCAATTCCCCAAACTCCGCCATGATGTTGATCACCGTCACCCTCGCTAGGGGGTCGTCCGTGCTGGCGGCCATGTTGACCAAGAAGCGCGTGGCGTAGTTTAGATGGATTTTGACGTCGAGCTTGATATCCTCGACTGCATCTTCCATCAAGCCACAGGTGGCGGAGATATCGGTCCGGAGCAAGCCGCGGACCATATCGAGGGCGGCGTGTGGAGAGGGCGCCGCGGAGTCGTCACCCTCAGACGAGACGGTACTGTAATCGTCGTCGTGTCGTCCTCAGTGTCTTCGATCAGGGTAGTACCAAAAGATGCGCTGGGTGGGCGGATGGGGTTCTCGGGGGAGGAGAGATTGGCAGAAGTGATAGATGTGGGATCAACGGGGTGTTGAGCACTGCCGGACCGGTGGGGAGGGGAGGAGCTCATGGTAACTGATCAGGTGGGTGATCCGGATCTGGTGGAAGTGAGTACTAGGTGGAAGATATCGATAAGGTGGCAAAAAGCTGCCACATACTCACACTGCTGCCACGAGTCCACGACGCCGAGATTTGCAACCTGCAACTCGAAGCTTTCGAGCCTACTCTAACTAGTCCCCCTGATTGTGGCCGAATCTGAAACAAGCTGAAACATACCTGGTGAACAGCTAACTTACTGTAGATATCTGTGGTGAGCGGGCGACGTCACGGTCCTGCGGTGTCCGGGCGGGCGATTTAGCTACAATATGCATCTAAATAACCTACAAGCAGATCCCGTTCCCTCTGATCGCGCTCTAGTGCATCATATAAGCCGCATGAGGCGGGACATACCTCAACGACCCACCCGCCGACCGCTGTCCCCCCACCTTCCGCTCATGCCTCCTCAGCGCCTCCTCCTCTTCCGGACTCAACAGTCCCGCCTCAAACTCCTTCAGTAACCCCTTGAGCTTCCCCATCCCCGCGCCCGCCACGCCCGAAACGACCGTCGACATCCTATTGAGCCTCTTTTCCTCTTCCTTCGTAATGAGCATGGTACCCGGTGCGTCCTCGAGATTGAGCGATTTCGCAAAGGTGGAATAGTCGACGCGTTGTTGGAGGTATGGACGGAGGAGTTTGAGTTCGATCCGACCGAGGTGGGATTCGGTCATGTAGGATTTGAGGACGTTGGGTTGGACGATGAAGGAGTTGCCGAGCTGGCGGAGCATATCGAATCGGTCGTTCACTGCGGGTATACCGAAAGCCGCTGTGGATTCTTGGTACGCCGCCAGATCCCTTCTCGTGTCAGCTTTAGCGCCTCTTCTTCAGGCTATGTAAACTCACTTGGTCAACATCAGCCCCCCAGTGGGGTTTACCGGGAACTTCTTGTAGTGATCCAATAGCAGACTATGCACCGCAACAGCCACCTCCATAAAGAAGCTCTCGAGGTTCTTGCCGCTCAGAGCCTCCTTTGCCTTGGCCCGCACATCATCCAGAAGCTCGCAGCAGAGCTGACACGGCTCGGTCTGGTTGCGCGCGAACGAGATTTCATCGTTGAGCGGTTTATAGTCATTCTTCTTTTGCCGGGTGAGGAGCTGGCGGAAGCACGTAATGATGGCTGCTTGTCAGTCGCGGTCATGAGCCGAGACGGGCGGACTCACCATCGATAGTCTTCTGAATCACGACATTCACCTTCCCCTCGAGCCGAAGGAGGCCGTGCTGATTGAATGTGCCCATCTCCTTGCGCGTCCCAGGAGAGGCGTTCGCGAGTGGAAGAAGGGCAGTCAGGGTATACCGCTGCCAGAGATGGCAGATCTGGTCCACGGGGCGGAGGGTGAGGAATGGCTGCAGGTCGACATCGACTTTCGAGTCGTGCTGATCTAGCGAAGCAGCGACTCTATGGGATTAGCTCCGTACAAAGACATATAAAAACACATGGAGAGTCAGGGACGTACGAGTCCAGAGCAGTCTCAATGTACCCTCGACCAATAGCCTCAGCCAGTACCTTGCTCAGCGCAAACGCATTCTTGCCACTGCGTCGTCAGCCAATACCTAACGTCATCAAGAATTCCCCAACTCACACATCGCTCTGACTGAGCTGTACCACCCGTCCCACTGCTTCCGCATGCCACCTCAACATCCTTTCCGCCGCCGCCAGAGTCAGTCCCCCATCCACTTTCGAAACCATATCCTCCGCTGCGCCGCCTCCGTCCCTCGGTCCCCCGCGCATACTATCTGTCCGTTTCATGCCTGACCCACTCCCCAAATTCGGACTCGCACTCGCCATAACTGGACTACTCGCCGCGCCTGGCGAACTAGCTCCATTCGGATTCGTCATGATCGTCAAATGCGGCGGAAGGGGGGTCTTGCGGTCAACCGGCGAAGTGACGATTCCAGCGGTTCCGACGCCCATAGGCGAGTTGTTGGCATTGGCAGCAGCGGCCTTGACTGCCTGTGCGGCGGACGCGGTAAAATAGTTGGCGTATTTGGAGATAGCGGCAGCGGCGGATTGGGCGGTTGAGCCGGCGGTGGTACCCGCGGTGTTCGAGGGGGCGGAGGAGGAGAGCTGGTTGACTACTTTGTCAAGAAGCGAGTTGGGTTTGGCTTTGAGAACGGTTTCCTAGATCGTCAGCTACTGCTTCCTCACTCGTTACCAATGTGAAAGCCGGGAAAATTCACATGGTATCGCGTGAACCGGCTCAATAATCCCCCATAAAGCTCCACCAAATTCTTACTCTCGCTCTCCAAATACCGGCTCCCCTCCAACCACGGCACGAACATCTCCTCCAGCGCATGCTCCAGCATACTCGCCAAAGGTCCAGCGCCTCCACCTGACCCCTTCCCACCACCCGTTCCGACCGATATCGGCGTATTGGCCGACGAGGCCGACGGGCCAGACGACAGAGCCAGATCATACGACCGCAAGTCCTCGACGAGGGTCGCGCAGTGTGCGTGGCAGAGATTTAGGATGCGTAGGACGGCAAGGGTGGATATTGCCTGCGCGCGGGTGACGAGGGTTTCGATGTGTTGTTGCAGCTGCCCAGTCAGTACCATGGTCCGGGCAGGTCAAGGGTGACTTACGACTTGAGCAAATACACGCTGGAGGAAGACCGTCGCGACTGCGACGGGGTTGGGAAAGACCGCTTTGACAATCTGAGCTTCTTGACTCGTCGTGACCTTGATTTCCCGGATGAGTGCCTCGAGCCCCGGCTCGGTTGTCGGTGGTGGCGCATCGGGATCTCCAATACTCTTCCAGCTAAACGATCAGCTGGATCCCATCAGTCCAGCAATATAGCTCACATATCCACACGCTTGCTTCCGTCCTCCCCTTCTTCGCCCAGACTCCGCTCCGCATCCTCCACGACCTTGCCGTGCGAGATGAAGAAGTCATGCTGGTTGACGTATATCTGGACGCAGCTCGCTCCGCCGTTGAAGTCCTGCAACGTCTTGGCACAGTGCTACCTGTCAGCTCGCGTCTCCAGTACAAAAGCCAGACTCACAGCCATCATCCTAGGATCTCCCTTCCTATAGCTCCGATCAAATAACCTCAACACCTCCTTCTCAAACCGCTCGCAGTACCTCTCCACCTCGTCCCTCACCCTCTCCGCCTTCTCCTTCTCCCTCCTCCGCCTGCCGACCGTCCGCTGATCCATCGTGCCCTTGTCTGCGGACGCGGACGGATCAGGCGAGTCCTGCCTAGGCGTAGCGAGCATCTCTGCCTCGGCCGCTGCAGACTGTGCATTGTCCGCCACGTCCTTGGCGACCGCCATGAGCCGCCTGAGGATGACTGCTAGTCTTGCCCGCCCATCCCGAGACGTCCGAGTTGCAAAGAGCGTTTCGAGCGGCGTAGCGACTTTGCCGTCTTCCCCTTCGGCCCCTCCATTCTCGGCCGACTGATGCGCCAAGCCGAGGTAGTACGAGACTAGCAGCGACGTGCTCTGCGCGGTGGATCGAGTTTGATGTAGTCCCTCAAGCTGTTCTCCGATCCGCACCGCCGTCCGCCCGACATCGCTGATCCGTGACTCCAGACTCTCAAAGGACGATCCGATCGCCTCGAACCCCCCGTCCAGCTCCCTCAGCCTTCGCCCGTACTCGCGCTCTGCGCGCCGAACATCCGTCTCCATCTTTTTGGTCCGTTCGGCCACTTGCGCCCGGAGTGATAGGAGCGAGTCGAGCGCAGGCGAGAAGGTGTCGAGGAAGGGAGTAGGGTCAAACGGGCCCGAAGCGGCCTTGGAGGCGGAGATGAGCGAGTCAGAGAGGGTGGTGATGAAGCCCTCGGTGGAGTATGAGGATTCAAAGTTTGATAATTGGAGTGCGCGGTCGATAGCTGGGTCCATGGGCTTCGAGGCGACAGCGGAGGTGGACGCGGAGGTGGAAGGAATCGGGTCCGTCGAAGCGGTGGATGGGCGGGTGATGGTCGGCTGACGCTTCGCCGGCCGCTGAGGCGGCATAGCGGGGCCTGAGGCCGACATGGCGGATACGAAGTAAGCGCGTGGCTGCGCCTGGAGCGTTGCGTGGTTGTGGGACCGCACTGAGAGGGCAAATGAGGACGTCAACTTCCCGGTGAGTGCGGCCGACCGCTCGAGCGAGATCCGGCTGTTGACGCGGAGAGTTATGGCACCTCCGTGGGAGCTGTAACTGGGCGTGGGAGCTGCAAGAAGCGGCCAGATAGCCCGGGCTACTCTACAGCAGGATGAAGAGGAGGCTCGGCTGGACTACTATGACCATACAAGGTGGCCAAGGCAGCATACACCAAGATTCAAGTACATTCCAGGCGGAACTGAAAGCTACAACTGGAACCCTATCGCCGTTCCTTCTGTACAATTCGAATGACAAGCTCAGCGCAATCTTCAATAGTCAATCACAGCATCGATATACAGGATCCGACCATTAGATGCCTATGTGCTTATCAGTATATGCGCTTGGAAGCAAAGCAAGGAGACCAGTGGTAGAAGATGTGTGATGAATGTGACTTACCTCTTTGACGCCAACAACGGCGATATCACCGGGAATTACCTTCCAGCCTTCTCCGTCGCGCTCAACTTGCAGGCTCAGGCCGTCTAGAAGTGTCTGGGCTGGCGATGTCGTGGGCATGTCGATAGTATCCTGTTTTGATAAGCTCGTTTCCGCTGCGCAGGCTTCAACAAGCTGAACTGCCGAACATACAGGTACGATATGGGCTGAGATGAAGCGCTCGACATTCGTGCGGGCCTGCTCGTCCGTTGCGGGTGAGCCATCTGCGTTCTGGTGTCTTTGCTGATCAGCTACACTCGGACTGTATAGCCGAGACTTGTCTTACGGCTTCCTCGCCATCTTGTAGATAGCCGTGTCGACCGGTACGAACAGCGTCGACCTCGTACTTCCACTAGCCAGCAGCCGTGTCGTCTGGACCTGTCAGCTGTTGCGTCGAGCGGCGAAACCGTCCGAGCGACCCAAGCAACCTACCACAGCCGAAATATCCCTCGCGTAGTCCCACCAAAGCCCCGCCCGCCTTTCCAGCGTCAACGTATCCGCCAGATTCGCCCCTGGTCCACTCCCCACTCCAACGTCGCCTGGAGCCTTATCGAAGGGGGAGGCCAGACCACCCGGCCCCATCGTTCCCGGTTGAGGGAAAGAGGGATCCGCCTTGCCCCGCTGTCCTTCTTGAGCGTACAAGGGGAGTTGGGCTGATTTTGCTGTGATTGCGAAAGCTGTGAGAGCAGTTGCGAGAGTGATGAATGAGCCGCGCATAGTGTTAGATGTGGTCAGCGGTGTTATGGGCAGATGAAGAGGTGTATCATGCATGCACGGTTCTTTGCGGCAAGGATGTCAATATTGAGTTGTGAGTTTCCGGATATTATCCGAGCCGCGGCTTGACTCGGAAGATGAATCCCGGCACGGTATGGGAACTCTAATCTCGGCTGGTTGGTTGACTGAAAAATCTCTTATCAGTACTATCACTCCAGTCAATACATCAGAGCCATACTCAGCTCTACTAGCCATCTCTCTACACCCTCACACCCCCGCTCGACCAGCCATCGAGTAAATGCTTTGGACCGAACGCGTATCTGACGAGTGAGCCAAGAACCAGCCGTCCCTTCGCAAAGGCAATCAGCTAATCCTACCTTAGCTATCTTTCTGATCTCGTCTTCACACTTTCGAACGCCTAAATCCCGCTCGCTTCCAGCTTATACCTCTTATTCACCTCTTACCAAGGTCCCATCCCCCTCTTCAACCCAAGAGCAAAATATCAGCCATGTCCGCTTTCAGCAGCTTCCGACGCGCCGTACCCGCGCTGAAGCGCGGCTATGCCCACGCCGCCGCTCCCGTCAACCCCAACCTTAATCGGAGTGCCATCCAGCACGTTCTCCCTGAGAAGTTACCGGCGGCGCTGTATCTCAAGTCTGGGCAGGCGTTCTACGGGAACAGCTTTGGGAGCCAGCAGAGTCGGTTTGGCGAGACGGTCTTTTCGACCAGTATCACCAGCTGTAAGTCTTGATCTAGGCCGAGCGCGAAGAGTGCTGATGAGCAGACACCGACTCCATGACTGATCCCTCCTACCTCGGCCAAATCCTCGTCTTCACCACCCCCATGATTGGAAACTACGGTGTCCCCTCCAACCGCGCCCTCTCCGACACACCCGGTATCCCCTTTCTTGAGTCGGACAAGATCCAATGCGCCGGCGTAGTCGTCTCGGACGTTGCGCTCAAGCACTCGCACTACCAATCCGTCGAATCTCTGCACCAATGGTGTGAGCGGAATGGCGTACCGGGTATCTCAGGCGTCGACACCCGGGCCATCACCACCCTACTCCGTGATCAGGGAACAACACTCGGTCGGCTGGCGGTCGGCAAGGACGTCGCGGATGGGCACCCCTCGGCGGCCGACTACTGGGACCCGAGCAAGGAGAACCTTGTTGCCCAGGCGTCCACGGCCACTCCGTACGAGCTCAATCAGCAGGGTTCCGGGCCCCGGATCGCCGTATTGGATTTCGGATCTAAAGCCAATATCCTCCGCAGCCTCGTCAAGCGTGATGCGCGGGTCACGGTCTTCCCTTGGAACTTTGACTTCAACACTGTCAAGGACGCGTACGATGGTCTCTTCCTCACCAACGGCCCCGGTGACCCCAAGATGATCATGGACACGGCCATGCGGGTGCGGGAGACGATCGATACATGGGACAAGCCAATCTTCGGAATTTGCATGGGTCATCAGATTTTGGGTCTGGCGGCGGGCATGGAGGCGTACCGGATGACATTCGGGAATCGGGGCCACAACCAGCCGGTGCTGGCGCTGGCGAGCTCGGGCAGTATTTCGGCGGGCCGAGTATACGTCACTGTCAGTTACATATCTCTTTCATCTCCCGTATAGCACAAGCTGACATTACAGTCGCAAAACCACCAATACGCTCTCCGCCTGACGGAAGACTTCCCAGAAGGCTGGGCGCCCTTCTTCATCAACTGCAACGACTCCTCCGTCGAGGGCATCATCTCCACCCCGGAATCAGGCAAGCGGATCTGGGGTGTCCAGTTCCACCCCGAGTCCGCTGGCGGACCGCTCGACACGATCGAGGTGAGCTAGCTCCTCCAGGAGGGCGATGAGACCAAGCTGACTGGCTGCAGATGTTCACGGACTTTGTGGACGAGTGCGGAGCGAGCAAGGGAGCAGCGTCGAGCATGATTGCGGATGAGGTGAAGGTGGATGGGCATGTGGGCAAGGCGGAGGCGGCGGTCTCTGCTTGAGCTGAGGCGGTTCGAGGGGGGCAGAACGTACATATAACATCCAAAGCAATGCTGCTGTTCATAACTATCCTACTGAGGTCTTGTGCAGGACGCAATGTCGTCGAGCCCGGGGTGCCGTCAGGCACGCTTTCGAGCTCGGACCACATGCCTCCACCGGCGCGCCGGCGTCGGACCATCGACCAGCCGCGGCGGGCCAGATCTTTAACTCTGTTTCATCTTTGAGCTTAAGCATCCAACCACCCTCTTCAGCCCTCTTCCCGCTCGTTGCTCATCGCGCTCGAGCCTTCCGCCTCTTCTCCGGTGCACATGTACGACACACATGCACACGCACGCCACGATGGGGAGTCCAGGCGTCCAGGGAGGGGACAGGGCCGGAGGATTTTGCTCGATCGGGATGATCGGGGTAGATTGCGAGATATGAAACGTGAAAGGACGGCTGACGATGAGATGGGTGAAGGCGTGAAGGGGGGCTTTTGAAGGCTTTGAAGCTTTGGCTGGGCATGAGGAGGGTTCGGGGACAGTTGATATTGGATCTGAGAGCTTAGGAGATCGGATTGCACTTGCATATCAACATCAACAGCATCATCACGACTATTTCTGACACCCGTGATAGCTACCGCCATTACTGACCAACGAATCTCAAGCCCTCTGTCAAGCGAGCCAGAACACAAGCTGAGATGTCCTCCTCCTCCTTAGACTACCCAGAGATGGTAAGCCCCCCTCGCGCATCTGATGGTGTAGCAAGCTGGATCAAGCTGACGGAGCAGAAAGAGATGTTCACGAGGAATGCGGCGTGGTCCAAGGGGATATGGAAGCGGGATCCAGGCGTGAGTGAATGTTGCGCTCGACTCCATCAGCTGGTCTGCTGTCTGGAGCTCTAGCTGATCATCAGTTCTTCCCGAAGCATTATCCTGGACAACGTCCCGAGATTCTCTGGATAGGGTGTAAGTCGCCCTCCCAGCTCGTCCTCTGCTCCCGACTCCCTCCCGTCCTCTTGCCTGACCACCGAGTCCCTCCCCGACCTGCTTTCGGCGTCCTCTTGGTCTTTGATCGAGCACACCTCTCCGATCATGGTCCGATCAGCTGCGTGCTGGACAGTATGGACTAGCGCTGACAGCAGCAGGCTCGGACGCCCGAGTGCCAGAAACAACCCTCCTGGGCTGTCAACCAGGAGACATCTTCGTACACCGGAATGTCGCCAAGTGAGGTCCACCACCCTGCCTCATCGGACGTTGTAAGAGGAACACTAGCTGACTCGCTAGCACCTATCATCCGCAAGACGTACCATCAACGCCGTCATGATGATCGCTCTGCAGAATTTCAAAGTCAAGCATATTGTCGTAACCGTACGTCCCAACACTCTACCTATTCTTATCCTCGTTCACCTCATCCACTTCTCCCCATCTACCTCTTTCTATAAAGGTCTGAGCTGACCGGTAGGGCCACTCCAACTGCGTCGGCTGCAACTCCGCACTCAACATGTCCCGCCTCCCCCCCGTTCCCGCCACAACACCCCTCCAGCGCTTCCTCGGCCATACAGCGACGCTCGCGCGCACGCTGGCGACAGAGAGTGGACCGCCGTCGCTGGATCTGCTTATTGAGGAGAATGTGGCGCAGCAGGTCCGGAATCTGCTCGAGTCGGATATCATCAAGCAGGTGAGTCTCGTGAAAGGAAATGCTTCTAGTCGGGGATTGGAAAATGAAGGGAAGTTCCGGAATCTTGAGCTGGATCAGTTACAGGAGATAAGAGAGAGAGTAGTCGGACAGTCGGAGTTTCGCCGAGAGATATGAGGGCAAGGCAGGGCAACATGGTCTTCGAGGACTTGGTGAATCAGTGGAGGGCTGTCATGTTGTGGAGCCACTTCGGACAGGAGGGAGATGAGAGAGGTCGGCCGAAGTGTCGGGGTCCAAGACATTCCGAGATATGGCATGGGCAAGGCGATTTTAGGTTGGCAGGGTTTTGTGAATTGGTCGAGGGATGCTCAGCGGTCGCGTGCAGGGCTTTGCTGACTATCTACAGGACTGGAAGCGACGCGGTCCGGACGGAGTGACGATTCACGGCTGGGTATATCAGCTCGAAGACGGAACGATCCGGGATGTCAACGTATCGCAAGGTCCACCAGGGCAGGTGATTGGCAAGAAGGCGGATGTGTGGTAGTCCTGGGCGCCTGCACTGGAACAGGGTGGAGGACATGGAGCGAGCAAGCAATGGGGATGTCGAGTTAGACCTGCGGAAGCTGGGCGGTATGCCGTCGGCATGTGTGGGAGTGTCTGAAGTGTCAGCGGGTTGGAGGTTGAATGATGGACAATGTTGAATCTGTAAAGAGTACTGTGAGATATGTCGATGTGGAACATGCGTTACCCAGCGAGTGGTGTGTCCCTCCTGTGTATCCTCTTGGACATGATCAAATCAGCCGCCCTAATCATCACCAGTAGAGGAACATGCACGAGCCAATGATGTGAGTATCGGTCCTGATATCAATATCGAAGCAGAAGGTATGATGCATCAGACTGCTATAAAGACATTCTAAGCTATCCAGAGTGAAGCTTGGGGAAGAAGAGTGACTAGACAAAGTGAAAGATAGAAGTCCCTCAGGGTCATGTTCTCGCTCCGTGTCCATGATGATAAACGGTCGTTTGTCGAACAACCTGGCACCATGGGCTAGCGCTGAAGAAATTCAAGCATCATCGGGGTGGGGGTGAGAAGGGAGCAGTGTGTAGTAGATTCGTGTGAAGGAAGAGGGGAATGGAAAGGAAAAGGGAAGGCTCATGCACCTCCTGCCTTCGGCTCGCGGCAGAGGACCTAGGGGAGGAGGGAGAGGAGAAAGGAAAAAGAAGATTGACCGCCCAAACCACAGAATAAGCCCCATCGAGTTACCCTCCGCCTCCCCAAGGGAGAGAGACGTACGAGCGGGCAATCGCATAACTATAGCTATGAGCGTAACGATGTCCTCCATTACCCTCTCCCTCTCGCCTTCCCATTCCCGCGAGACCGACACAGGAGGGGATGAAGAGGATATCTCGAGGCCTTGGAAAGATATCGCGCGCAGAGGGTTGGAGAGACGCCGTGTCGCCGCCCACGGGGTCCAGCGAAAAGTCAGAAAAAGGGGGACGACATCGAGAAGGCTCATATCTTCGCCTTGACCCTGATCCCCCTCTCCCATCCTCCCCACCAGTCACACCGCAAACGTGTCTTCGCCCCTCCCCGCACATAAGGGCGACATCCAGCCATCGGAACACACCTCCCCACCCGCACAACGGCCAATCCAGCAAGAACAGAGAAAGAGAACGGACGACTCACACGGCATCAGAACAAGAGAGCGGACCCCGGCGTGGATACCGTAGAGTCACAAGCAGCCCTTATAGCGTCCGATGGAGATCCACCCTCAATGTCCCTCGATCCGACCTCGACACTCTATGCGTCCTCCTCTCGCCTGATCCCCTACCGGCCCAGAAATACCCCGAAAGCGCGAACGCACCGCCTCGAAATCGGTCCAGGTCGTTCGCCGAGCTATCCGCGCCAGCCGTCTCCCTCCGCCTCATCTGATAGGCATAGTAGAGACGCCGGTAGCCTTCCCCGCATGCTTAGGTACGGGTGCTTTCCCGGCCGACCAGCGTCTCCGCCCATCAAAATCGGCATCGGTATTCAACCGAGGTCGGACAGCTTGAACCGGCTAGTAGGGTCCTGGTGATTCGAGGGGTATATGCAGGGTATGCGGGCAAGTAGAGGGGCAAAAGAAGGGGAACAAGCGAAGAGTTTGGGATATCGGAACGAGCGATGGAAAGGGTTGGGTTGGATTTCAAGTGTGAGAAAGAGGGAAAAAGGAGGAAGCTCCGGGGACTTTCCCCACAGCGCGAGTATGGGTGGGCTACCCTAGAGTAGCCACCCTGTTTGTAAGCTGCGAAAGCGATTTTTGTGATGCTTGGGACGGTAGAGGGAGGTTGAAAGGTCGGCGGTGGAAATTTGAACGCGCTGCGAAGGAGGTGCTTACGTCAGGCAAAGGCGAGTGTGGCGGTTTCCGACATGACGAGTGTGGCGCGGAGTGTGGCGGACAAGGAATGCGGAGCAGGACGACCGCGAGGCATGCGGTTTGACGGATTAACGATGGGTATTGGGCTGTATAGGGGCGCATGACGAGACTACGCGGTCTCAGTATGTGATGACGTCCTAGCTAGCGTCACTCGCAACGGACTGATCTACGGTCTTGACCGTCGCACGGGCGACCTGCGGATGCCTTGTTGACGCGATCACAACTAGTCTCACTCTGGGTCGCAGGACGTCGATCGAGAAGAGCAATAAATCCGAGACGATCTATATCGGCGTGTCGAATGGGGTGCTTCCCCCTGGCTGATCTCTCTGATGTGCTGATGCAAGAAGTACCCCAGCCATAGTGGCAAAATGCACAATTGAGTGGAATTTGCGGTCAATCAAGCTCGCTCTAGTTCAGCAATCTGGCTGATTATTGCACGCTGGTGACATGACAACAGTGGTATGCGTCTGACTGTGAATGATCCTGACTACAGACCCAGTTCGTATATGCTCGTTAGCAGACTCACGCAGCCCAAGCTCGGGAGTAAATCAAGCTCGCTCTCGTTCAGCAATCTGGCTGATTGCACGTACGCTGGTGAACATGACGACTGTGGTATGCGTCTGACCGGGGATGATCCAAACTACAGACCCAGCTCATATATGCTCACAAGCAGACTCACGCTACCCAAGCTCGGGAGTGTTGACTTCAGCGGTGAAACCCGCTGTCAAGAGCGTCAATACCCCGCGTTTCATGTCTCACCCCGCTGAATCGACCGACTCGCCACCTCTTTTGCTGGCGAGCAGTGGAGGCTGGCTTGTGGAGAAGATGGCATGCTTCTGACGTCAGCAGTCGGCGTTTCGCGGCCTTAGCAAGACGGCTCTTACACGAGGGTGGCTGGGTCCCATGTCTTACTAGACCGCGTCTCCCCGCAGACCCCCACATCTCATGACATCACATGCGATTCAAGGCCTGATGAAGACTTTCCTTGACAGTCCTCCTACTGCTCTTTGCCACTTAACATAATCCCAATCCCCTTACAAAAGCCCATACGCAAGAGCAAAGCAGTTGATCGTCAACACGTCAACGTCAAGTGCCTACACTCCTCGCAAGATGGCGCAAGCTAAGACTCAACGTCCTTCTGCCGCCGGCGACTGGCACCTTGGTCATTCCCATTTCAACCCACTCCAGACCTCATCCGGCAGTGAGAATCCGGTAGCGATTGAGTGAGTGCTGCAGCGGACGACCCAAGCGAAACCTGCTAATGCGGACAGCATCAAACGCGATCTTCCGCTCAAGGTTCAAGTGGAGGTGCCAGACTTCTCCAGATTGAGGGTAGCTATCAGACGCGTCCACTCAGCTTTAATACTGCGAGAGGTCACAGCTAACGTCTCCCTTAGGCTACGGAGGGCCGTCTGAAGTACGAAGTCTCTGGACCCGTGCTCGAGTACGGTCTCTTGCTAGAAACTGCTCGGTGTCATTTCGCTCCACTCCCTCGTCCGCTTGCTCGAGTATTCCGGGGGAATATACCTCCCGCGGCTACAACGAACTCCGGCTTCGACGGCTGTTCAAGTAGTCCCGGATCCACAGCCTCAGATCGTCCGGGAAGCGACAGTACCACCCCGCCAGGCACACCCTGTTCAAAGTGTCTAGTGAGTACATAACTCAGTCTATGGCTGCGATACCGTGCTCTTTGCTGATATCTCCAGCCCGGGCGCTGCAAGCACGATCAAGAGGAGCCCGCGTGCGACTTTTACCGATGGACAACGGGGGGAGACTTCGTCAAGGTAGCTCTCTAGCAGCTCTTTGTCTCCAGGCGAGGGGTTGGGGACAGGGATGAAGGTGGGAGAAAAGTGGCGTGTATAGAAGGTGTTTGCGAGCAGCTTGACACGTAAATTGGTATAGGTCGACTGGGCGGGATACGATACGATTTGTCCTGTGCTTCCCTCCTATACCAATGTATGCAGTCCTCAATTTGTAGAAGCCCTTGAAGTATATGGAACGTGACGATTGCATGTGTCTATGCCTTGATCCCCTGACCCTCTAGGAACCGCCTCATATCCGCCAGTAGTTCCAGCTGCTCCGACGTGGATAGTGACGTAACGATGGTCTGCATGAGCGTTCCAACGTCGACGTATTGGATCTGCCTCAGTCAGCCAAGCCTCAAAGTACATCTATGATGGTCATACCCTGATGAGCGACGCGTAGTAGACATAGGAGAACATGCCCATCATGAACCTGATGATCAGCTCAAACCCAAACTTTTCCGGAGATAGACGTACTGGCAGTCCATCCGGTCCGTCATACCACCGTGACCGGGAATAGAGTGTCCGAAGTCCTTGATGTTGAATGCCCGCTTGAAGCCGGAGGCGAAGAAACCTCCGAATGGAGCGACAAGGGAGGCAAAGGTGGCCATGACGAGTGCGTGGATTTGGAACGGTGCCCAAGAGATGGAGGGTGCTGAGCGGCCAAGCTGGAGTGTCAGCTTTGGTCCCGATCAGAGAAATCTAGCGGGAACTTACCACAGTCTGGAGGATCTGCCTGACGGGACCGGTGATCTGATATTCACGCCAGACGAAGACCGGGTTGGGACGGCAGACTACGTTCGAGAGGACGTTGGTACCGAGATCGCGAGCAGGGCAGATCATGTACGGGAAGCGCATGAAGAAGGTGGACCACTGGTAGAGTCAGCTTCGGATACGTCGAGAGTCATGAGGCACCGGGAGCTTACCGCCCAACCAAAGATCAGGGTGCAAAGGAACGCCCCGACAAAGCCTTCCATCGTCTTCTTGGGACTGAGCTTGATGAGGGGTGTCTTGCCGAACATTTTACCTGATATCAGCTGCTGCGGAAAAGAAGGACTCACCGCACACGTATGCCATGACATCGTTACATATCACCAGCGACGCCGGGATAAAGAACCAGATCAACCCCTCGAGGATGTTGTTGACGATAAAGTGCGACGACACCACAATGAGCAGCAAGCTGATGTGGACCCAGCAGAACAGGGCAAACTGGCGCCGGAGGTATTGCCGTTGGAGGTTGGCGACAAAGCTGACAAAGCCGACGACATACAGCATAAAGCTGATGAAGCGGTGGTTCATCGCAAAGGGGATAAAGTAGGCGTCGACAAAGACAATGTGCTTGAAGTAGTAGATGATCGATTCGCCGTAGAGGAAATAGTTGGTGACGACGAAAAAGTACCAGTTGAGGGTTTTGCTCCATGGGTCTTCCGAGTCGGCGATTTTCTTGGATCCTTCTGACTTGTCAGCTGGGACGGGGTGAGGACGTACCATCTCTGAGATCGAAAAGGGCGGTGACCTCCTTGTAGACCAGAGCTTGGCAGACAAGGACGAGCAGGATGACGTAGGGGTGTCCAAGGCACAAGAGGGCTAATGATCAGCTGAGTCCCCACCCATGGGTCCAACAACTCACAGACGAAGCCCCCAATCATGATAAACGTCCATACAGTCCGCTCCACCATGTTCTGGTTCTTTCTCGGTACCACCGCCTGCACCGCCGCCTTTGTCACCGGGATTGTCTTCTCCCCATCCGCGCCTTCTCCCGGACTGACGCCATCCTCAAACTTGACGCTGATCTTGCTCGGGCTTGATGCCGAGGGAGTATCACGAGGCCCGGCAGGCGTAAAGTCCTGCGGGGTCTTGCGTTTCCGATTCGCTGAGAGCGCGGTAGAGCTGGGCTCGGGGAGGTTGTCCGGGAGCTGGGGCTTGAAGGAGGATTGTGGAGGAGAGTGAGGGACGGGAAGCTTCTCCTCGACCTTGGCGGGGGTGGGAGCTGCGGGTTTTGAGGATGAAGCGACACCGTTGGAAGAGGGCACGGATGCCTTCTTCGCGCTCGGACCGGAAGAGGAGGACGGCAACGCTGATGCAACAGCCTCGACGACTGGAGCAGCGGCCTGAACGACCGGAGCAGCTGCCTTGGCTATTGGGCTAGCTTCCGAAGTTCCGTTGGCCCCGCCATTGCTGACGACCTTCTCCACCTCCTTGGCTGCTCCCTGTGCCTCGGTCGTCACCGTCTTGACGGCGGATTCTGCCAATTTGGCAGCTTGCCGTGCTCGCTTTTTGGCTGCTTTCGAAAGTGTAGCCGGTTCGAGAGTCGACTGAGACGGCCTATGCAGTCAGCTAGACCTTAATAGCATCAAAGGAGAAGAGCAAAGCTCACGCTTCTTCTACGACCTGCTCTTCTTCCTCCTCATAGTCATCCCCCTCGACGGCGAGGATATCGAACTTTCCAGCGCTAGCGAAAGCGGTGGTTGGAGCTTTGCGGGACATGTCTGCTGTGTGTGAAGCTGCTTGTATAAGCGAGCTCTTTTAGGTAGGTGTAGGAAGTCAAGACGGAAGTTCAACTGCCGCATGCGTCACAGCGTCGTCGTTCCTCGAAATATCCAGTGACGTGGCATTCCTCATATCCTCATCAGCGTGATAAGGCTCCTAGCCAAACAGTTCTCGCTGCCAGCCAAATTTCGCTCAACCTCCTCATATGTATCTTGCAACAAAGAGGAGTGAGGCCAAAGCACATGCGCTCTCATAGCTAGGTAAGCATCGTTCTCCTCTCATCTCACAACATCCCGCTCGACTGGATGAAAATTGAAAGAGTTCTACCTAAAGGTTGAAGCTGCTCCTCAAGAAGCTCTAGCAAGTTCCGACAGGGACCAGCTCGACCGCAGCGTAACAGCTTGAGGTTTATCTACACATGACCTGATCTCCGCCATCCTTCAGACTTCAGAGAAGTGGACGGGCAGCTGATCCTGCAGATGATCATGTTACCAAAATTGAAGTGATGGTGATCTCGTACTGACGCTACTGACCCTCCTTTCGTTTACCCTTCTCAAACAGTAAGTCATGCTCCTCTTGCCTGTCCATCATTCCCCCCCTCCCTTCCTACCTTCCTAGCGATGAAGAAACAAACAAAACACCATACGCTTTATCTCATTCGACGACGGGTCAAACCGCGATTGTCGAGACATTTTCAGCCTTGACTGAGCTATTCCATCCTTCCTCATACCGCCTTGTTCTATCCGTGGGAGATCGCAAGCTGATCGACAGGTACTCTCTGCATGTTCTGCGTTGTCCTTTACACCTACTGAGTAAGCCACAGCTCAGTCCCCTACCCGCCCCGCTTGAAATGACGAAACTCTTCGATGGGCGGACTTACGTCCCTCCTCTGTCCCCGTTTCGGCGCGGACAGAACGCCTCGTGTACAAAAGTAGGCGGGGAGGGGCATCTGGTGATATCCATCGCTTCTGATCAAGCTTGACCACGTCGTTGTGCCACTCGTTTGATCGCGAGCTGACGCGACAGGTGAACTATGACTAGTGAGCATTTGTTGTTGTGTAATCTGTGCTTCGTACAACTTTGTAGCTATGGTATTTGATAAAGTGCAACTGCGCCTGCTCTCGCGCTCCATGGCTCTGTGCAGAGTCCTGCGTTCTCATCCCACCACTTGGTCGTTGGTGCAGCATTCCTCGCGGCACTTGCCGAAAGTCAATCTGCTCGACTCGAGGCCGAGATTCCGCTCTCCTCTGACTCTCTATCTGCATCCAACAAAAGCTTGCGCATCATGGCCAGAACACTCGATCCATCAGGCGTCAGCGGCAAGCGCCCAATAATAGAAGAGCAGGACTTTATGGCGGTAGTCCTCGTCGGCTATGGCGAGCAGTACGTCCTTTGCCCCTAGGGAGCTGCTCAAAGCTGATGATCCAGTCTCTACCCCTTCAATGAGGGTACCAACGTGCTCTCCAAGGCTCTACTACCTATCGGGAACAAGCCAATCATCAACATCGTGCTGGATTGGATACTCAAATCTGGTCTGCTCGGTAAGTACACCTCTTCTTCACAAGAAGACAGCCCTGACGTTCAGAAATCCTCCTCATTGTCCCCCCGTCCAACTACTCGGCCCTGTCGAATCACCTCGCCGAAAACTACTCGTCCGCCTCCTACCCGCGGCTAAACATAATACTCAAGAAGTTCACGGACGGAGAGCGGGATGAGGATGATGCGAATACGAGCGGTTTGGGGATGGGCGCGAAGCCAGCAGAGACGGAGGGGACCGCGAGGGTTCTGAAGAGGTTCAGATCGTACATTAAGGTAGGCTCACTCATGCTGCGGCCAGGACAGGAGCTGACTATAAAGACCGACTTTGTGCTCCTCCCTTGCGACCTGTATCCACCGGCATACCTTTCTCTGTCGTCCATACTGGATAAGCATCGCTCGTCCCCCTCTGCGGTCCTCACTTCGGTACTGTATGATCCACCAGAGGTCATTCGTGAACGTAAGTTCAGGCAAACGACGGATCTGACGATAGATGAGGAAGCTCTGCTGAGCGCGTACGACCGCCGGTCTTCCGAGTTGCTCATGCTGCAAAATATGGACAACTTGGACGAGGACTTTGAGATCCGCTCTGCTCTGCTCGAAGCGTAAGTACAACCCTGCCTGGTAGCGACGCGATCAGGCTGATCTATAGCCACCCTACTCTATCGCTCAGCACTCGTCTCCTTGACGCCCATATCTACGTGTGCCGCCGTTCCATCCTCGACCTGCTCGCAAGCCGGAGACCAAGGGATCTGGACAGTATGAAGGTCCAGGTCATCCCGTGGCTCGTCAAAGGAAGCTGGCAGAAGGGCCTTGCGAGGCAATGGAGCCAACGTGAGTCTTGACGTCGAGCAAGTAACGTCCGATGCAGCTAACGCACCAGTCCTGTGTCCGCCCGACGAAGATCCGCTTCTCAGCGCCCTGTCCTATTCCACTACGTCTCGGGTGACTCGCGCCCCTCAACCGGAATCTGACAGCAAATCCGGCGCCGAGTCTCCCGACGCATTCGAGAACGGCATGGAGAACTCCCAGACCCTCAAGCCCAAACCCGTCCCGCACGTCCCGTGGCACTGCCAAGTCATCATCTCCCGCCCGCCCGTTCCCGAACCGCCCGCACCAAAGGGCAAGGAGAAAGGCAAGCCCATACCGGTCGCTGAACCGGAATACCTCATCCGCTCGAATACGATCGCGGGGTACTGGGAGCTGAACCGGCGGTTCCTCCGTACTCTCTCCAGCTCAGTGGGCGCAACGCCAGCCCGACCGGCTTTTGATGATCCAACGGGGAAGGCGGCAATCCATGCTTCGGCGCAGATATCGGCGGATAGTCTCATCGGGGAGGGGACCAAGATCGGGGAACGGAGCAGTATCAAGAAGAGCATCATTGGAAGGCATTGTGTGATTGGGAAGGGCGCGAAATTGTCGGGGTGTATCTTGTGGGACTTTGTGACTGTCGATGAGAAGTGAGTTATGGTGACCGCCATGCAGAGCGGGCGGTAGCTGACGGATCAGTGCAAAGATCGAGAACGCGATACTGTGTACGAATCTGAGAGTAGGAGCTGGGGCGCAGATCAAGGACTGCGAGTTTGGGCCGGGGTACGAGGTGCCATCTGCAGGTGAGCTTCCTGGACCAGTACGATGGCGATGTGTAGAAGCTGACAGCGGTAGCGGTACTCAAGGGAGAACGACTGGTTCTTGGGCAGGAGGCATAGATAACGATGCGAGCTGCGAGTCTGTTGGTCCATCTGCTCATGCATGACGATCATACGGCTGTGCAGAGCCTATGCAGATCCTGCTGGACTATGTAGAGGAAGCTTGGGATCAGGCCTGAGCCTGAGAAGGCCTCATGGATAGGAAGCCTTCAGCTTACCGCTTGGTGCGTACATGCTGCAGCTTGCACTATCGGCTTCGGCCGGGACGAAGGGAGCAGGAAGTCCAAGCTTCAAAGCGCGACTTGAGCGCGACTGTAGCGTCACCCGTTCACACCACTCTCTAGCGACCTTTTAATCGCCTTTCGGAGCGCAGGCCGCAGAGATGTCTGCTCCAGAAGCAGACGCAGCGCGCGACAATGCGCCCTCAGCGGCTCAGCTAGCCCTCCCCCCAACGCTCAGCCGAGCAACCTCCACCTCTGCCCTTTCCGTCGTTTCCGTCGAATCAAGCCTTCAGAGCTCGCCTCGGCGCTTGCTTAGCTCTCGGACTCTAGCAGCGCTCCCTCAGCTGGTAGCACACGACGGAGGGCTAGTCAAGGCTGCCGAGGGGAGCGCAACGGGCACGCCGTCGTCTAGTCGTCCGAGCTCTCTGTTCGGGCTGGCGGTTGGAGGGAGTCCTCGTTCGACCCCTTCGAGGAAGGGCAAGGAGAGGGCGTTGCCGACTGACTTGGAAGGAGGGGAAGGGGCGGCTAACGTGGAGGTAGGAGCTGCTGAAGCACTCAGGCGGATGAAGAGGGGGAAAGGCGGCATATCAGGTCCGAAAGATGGCGGGCCTGGTGAGCTATTCTGACCTCGCTTCGTCTTAAGGTGGTCAAGGAGGCGCGCTGATGGTTTAGAGGCCGATATAGTCGCTTACGATCACGGTGCGTCCCTATGACTGGTGCGACTGGAGCAGGAAGAGCTGATACTTCAGACCGGATACGAAACACCCGCCAGTACTTTGTCCTCACTGACGCTGGAAAGCCTGTCTTTCAATCGTGCGTCTTTCCCGTACGGGTAGGAGAGGACTGACCCCGGATAGACATCCAGAGCTAAACGAGAACTCAGCTACTGACCTCTCGGGCGTGGCTCAGACCCTGATCTCCATCTTTGCAGGCGAGAACGACAAGATCCGGTCCGTCCCTGCCCCGAAAGTCCACCTCAAGAGGAAGAGAAAGGCTGACTTCTACAGGTGCATCAATAGAGGCCGGCATAGGATAGCGTTCGTGCTCCGCTCTCCGCTGTACTTCTTCTGCGTGAGCGACTGGGGCGAACCGGAACATATAGTACGTTGCCTGTGCCAGCACTGACCAGGGGGCTAAGCTTACTAAGCAGTTACGAATCCATCTCGATTATGTACACCTCCAGATCTTGTCTGTGGTGACCTCGACCCAGCTGTCCAAGGCTTTTCAAAGACGGAGCAACTTTGACTTGAGCCGACTACTCGAGGGTAAGTCCGGGAACGACCGGATATGGAGTGGTCACTGATCAACAGGGACTGAGAACTTTCTACATCACCTGATAGAGGGCGCGCAGTACGACTTCAACTTCATCACCTCTACTCTGCAGCCGCTGCGGATGAACCCCGTCCTTCGTGAGGCGGCCGCAGCTTCGCTGATACCGCCTGCCAAGTTTAGAGTGAGCTACGTTGAGCGTGTTGCAGTGACCGCGGTAGCTGACACGTAAAGGACCTGCTATATGTCCTCCTCATAGCAGATGGACATATCGTCACTCTTCTCCGCCCGAAGAAGCACTCCATACACCCCTCAGGTCAGCTTTGCAGCGCTTTAATCCCTCTTAGGGGCTGCCTGAGCTGACCTGTAGATCTGCACCTCTTGCTGAACATGCTGGCCTCATCCCAATCCCTCCGATCGACCGAGACCTGGATCCCCATCTGTCTTCCCAAGTTCAACCCCGCCGGCTTCGTACACGCCTACATCAGCTACGTGTCCGCCAGCCTGGGACTGGTCTTCGTCAGCGCCGACCGGGAGGCCTTCGAGGAGCTTCGCGCATGGCGAGCTAGCGTCGTCCAAGTAGGTCCTGCCTTGAATCAGAGAGATCAAGCTGACAGCGCAGACTCTGGAGAAGGAAAAGACGCTGCTCAAGATTGAGCAGTCTATCCCTCAACACTCGTATGATGTCTCGACCCTAGCCTGTCCAGGCTTGCTGCACTTTATCTACAAGTCCCGACAGCTTGTGCAGATTACGATGCCGGAGTGGGCGGAGCCGTATCATACAGACGGGCAGGACAGGCGAAGGTGAGCTAAGAGTTGTGCTCGGCGCGCGTCAAGCTGACATGGCAGAGTGATCACGATGTATCATCGCCTACATGACGCGGTACATGCTCGTTCGGGCCAGTCTGCGCCCTTGAAGCTTATGTATATGCGCACGGAGCATGAAGCGTATCTAGCATGGGTGAGTTCCGCCTCTGCCTTCCACTTGGGGGTAAGTGTAGCTGATGAATGTAGGTGACCAGACCATTTGAGCTCTACATGACTCTTTCTCCGACCTTGTCCAAGTCGGCGGCTGTAGCGGCTGCCAATACGATAGCGAAGTGGGTCGCGGCTGAGGAGGGGCGGATCTTTCTAAAGGATGCACCTGTGTTCTGAGTGGGGCATCCGCGTGGGGAATATCAAAAGCTGGAAGGCACATTCCATATTTTTCTTTTCAACAGTACATCCGCATGCTTCCGGTCGATCTTAGGCCTGGTTAGGCTGTAGACCGGGCAGGATCACATAAATCCATGTCTGTTGCAAAGCATAGCATGTCATGATCTATAGGGCGGACGCGCAGAGATAAACAACGTCACGTGCTCCCTGCTTTCAATATACCGCCGACGGTCCCCTCCCCCCTTCAGGCGCGGGTTTCTTTCTTTCTCTCTTGTCACATCATCATCAGCCATATCTGTACACAGGCTCCTATCTACGACGACGGCGCTGACAGGCCGTGCTCCGACGCACCGCGCAATTACAAACCTCTCGACCGAAATAAGAAAGGAAAGCACCACATGCCAATATGAATGCGCGCCTCGGTCTTCCCTCTCCCCTCATATCCCCTGCGATCCCCTCCCCCCTCTCCACAGGTAGTCGGCAGCCACTACCCAATGCGCGCGCAGGACCGTCCAATCCGCCGGCGCCGCCGAAAGAGAGACCACCCAATTTTGAGATTGTGATTCCTCTCGGTGGGAGAAGGAAAGAATACCCTTTCCATTGGCCCGCGCAGGAGGATATCGTGAGTATACGCCGAGCCCGAGGGGATTATAGGATGGACTACGCTGATAGGAGAAGGAGCCAAAGAGGCTGCCGAAGAAGGACGAGTACGATGTGCTGCAAGAGCCGTTGTTCTGCCTCTGGCAAAAGTGCAAAGCTCAGCTTGCGAATGTCACTATTGCCAAGAAGGTGAGTCTTGCTCTCCCTGGCGCGAAGAAGATGCTGACAATCGTAGCACTACGCGCAACATCAAGCCTCGGTCAACGGAAGGGTATGCGGTATTCGGCGGTGCGTAAAACCCGTCGATAACACCATACCTGGCGCGTGTGAGCGGCACTACACCGAGTGCCATCTCCAGCGCTTTCAGCCCAATCTTCGCTATCTTGCCCTTGCGGATCCCGGCGCTCGTCCCATTGCTCCTCTCCCCAGACATCTCGCCCGGCCTCCTCCACTTCCTTCCTCGGATATATCCCCGCAATACCTCATATCCTCTCCCGTTGCGCCATCCCCTCTCCCCGTCGAGCCTCCTTCCCAATCAGGCCTCGTTCCGCCAGTCCTCGCGCGCAAGGCACGCAAGAACAGCCCGGTCGAAAGCTCCCTGGGGTCCTCCTCGTCGACGAGCACCAAATACTCTATCCTTCCGGACCATGGCGACCACCCATTCTGGCCCACAGAGGGGGATGCCATATCCACCTCGTCCCGGAAATACTCGAGCTACATCTTTCCACATCCAGAGGAGGGCGGGAACGACGATTCGGACAAGGCCGTCGTGGAAATGGGCAACTCCATGTCGGATCGCAATGCCGTCTCGTCCATGCCCACATTCACATTCCCCTCTATCCCCGAAACGGAAGCCGTAAATACTCCTTCCCCATCTAGCTCCATCACCCTTCGGGCCGCGGTCCCGCCAAAATCAGCCACACGGCTCGAGCTTAGGGTTGTACCGCGCACCCAAGCGGGCCCTTTGCACGTTACCGTCCCCCTCGCGGATATCCACGCCGAGATTGCCAAAGTCAAGGCGAGGCTCCCGGCGCACGTCCCGCCGAGGGATGCTTCGCCAGATCCTCACGTCAGGGATGGGAAACGAAGGAGGATGGAGCGCGAGGCGCTCAAGTCAAAGATTAGGCGGGCGGCGGAGAGGGTGGCGACGCAGCAGGCGGGAAGGACGCTGGGTGTGGAGTGGTGGGAGACCATGTTTGAGGTGAAGGGGTCTTTGGAAGAAGCGGCGAAGGGGGGGCGTGTTGGTGATCTACGGTGATGGGGTGGAGCGATGGGAGCGGACGAGTGGTAGGTGTGGACATTATTTCATGTGAGACGGATCTGTAATGCTGTATGTAGCTGTATAAGCCATATGCTGCTCTGTACTATGCATTAGGTTGTAGTGTAGCTGCAAGCGCATGATTGTTTCCTGGTCCGGTACCGTCGCCAGATGCGCGAGCGGTACATTTGAAAAGGAATGCGTATACCCGCACACTTCCGCATTTGAGGTGCCGATCGTCTGGAAGACCCCTTGGGACCCGAGGAGCGAGGCGGGAATACACCTGAGGCCAAGATGGGAGTACGTGTTTGCTCTCTGGGGGACGCTGTCCGCATCAGCCCGGACATCAGGCACGTCGGGTGGTCTGCTTAATTCACAATGATGATGGCCTTACCGCTGCTTCGTCTTCTTCTTCCTTGGCTCGGGCTCTGCACCAGGCGAAGTGGTGTCCGCTACCGAGCCGAGCGCTGCGCCAACTTCTGATCACATCAGCACTCTAAGGTAATAGGTGTGACTGTGGATATACCGCTTGCTTCAGCGTGCTCTGTCTGGATCTTCCGCTTCTTCGTGGCCGGCTTCGGACCAGCTTCTGGGCCCGCAGCTGTCTCCGCCGGAGATCCTGTATGATCAGCTCGTTTCCCACTAGTAAGCTGACGTAGATATAGACTGACCCGATGATGTTGCTGCCTTCTTCTTGCTCCTATCGCGCTTTTTCTTCGGCTTGTACAGCTTGTACGGCTGCAGATAATCCACCTCCGCGTCCAGCTCCATCGCCTTTCGATGAGCAGCGCGGACAAGCTGGATTCGATGGGTGAAGACTGGAACGTCAGAAGATCCACCAAAGGGGTCGGGACGTACTATCGGGTGCAGGCCGGACAGGCGGCTGGGCCGGGCACAGAGCATCGCGTAGTCCAGTCATCGCTTTAGCAGCTCTAGGTTGACTGCTAGGCTCAGCTGTATTCAATGCAGAGGCTCTCTCCATCGCCTTGCTATGGCAAGCTTGGCACGCGCCCCTGCCGTGAAAGTAGTCGTGCAACTCACCCTGGGTATGGCAGGTTCTGCTTTGAAGCAGCTTTGACAGCCTTCCAATCCACCTTTCCCACCTTTTTCCGCTGCTTCCGCTCCACCTCGTCGAGACTCATCACAGCTCTGAGCGCCACGTCCGCCTCCTCCGGCCCTCTGACAAGCGTGCTCGACTCCTCTGCCTCAACTTCCTCGTGCCCTTCTCCCTCCGCCGGCGTAGCGGCCGCATGGAGCGGATACGCCTCCCTCAACTCCCTCACGGCCTTCTTCAGCTCCTTCGCTGCCGCAACAGTCCCGGACGTGGGTTCATCATCCTCATCCTCGTCGGAAGAAAGCTGGATGAGCCGCCTGTAACTCGCATATTCGCCCCTGGAGGTTCCTTGGTCCGAAGGGGGAATTCGGCCGGTCGGGGACTCGGAATCGCGCTCGGAGTTTCGATGAACGGGTGCTGGGCTACCGTCGGATGATGTGTCGGATAGTTCCATACTCGTTGAGCACTGAAGGGCGATGTAAGGCCGAAGATATGACCTCCAACTCGTGCAGGAGTGCGGGCCTGAAACACCTTACGGCATTCAGATTTTGGCTGGTGCCTGGCCGTGCCTGGCGCTTGAAGGTCTTGCTGCAAAAGTCCGCCAAGCGTCCGTCTGCCATCTGTATCAGCCTATCGTCCATCTCTCTTCCCTGCCATGTCCATCGAGAATAAGCAGGGACAAAGGCAGAGGACTGCTTGATCTTGTTGGCGCGGCCAAAAAATCAGGCGTTCCTGTTCTCCTCAGCCCGCTGGCGAGCACGTTTACCGCTCCTCCTGCCGCCGGCTTCCTGTACCGAGGAGTGTACTCCTCTGCCCGGACGATGGCAGTCCGGCGCCGATGGGCCGAGTGGGTGACGACTCCGAGGAGTCCCCAGGGCCTCAGAGGGCCCATGTGACGCGCAATCGAGCGAGATGTTTCAGAAACTTCCCTTCCGCCGGTATTACCAGCTCTCCCAGACCGCCAAATCCCCCTCAATCGCCCACACATCTGCCTCTCCACTCGACACTTTCCCTGCGCTATGCTTCACAACCTCTCTTGACGCGACGGACGCTCAACTCCACGGCGATATCGCCCCTCAAGGACCTCGTAGCCAGGCGGTGACTGCCCAGACTCCACGGCAGATCTCGGAATGACATCAGATCACGTCCAAGATCCCGTCGGAAAGTGATCATCCCCGCAACTCGACCTGATAACTCGGGTCTTCTTCTCCACATTGACAGCACGTTGGCCCTTGGTCGACGACTTTTTCTTGCTATGCACAGCTCGTACAATTCGGTCCGATGGAAGCGCAAAAGATACATAAGGAAGCAGGGGGACCAGACCCCCATCTCCAACGCTCCTGTCGCCCTACTTCCTACTCACCGCCGTAACCCTCCTTCAGCATGTCTGACGAGCACAAAGAACAGGTCTCAACCTTCATCGTCGAGGGGGTCATCTTTGACATGGTGAGTCTTTCTCTCCTGCGACGAGGCTAAAGCTGACGGTAAGGATGGCACCCTGGTAGACTCCATCTCTGCGGTCGAGGCGGCATGGACCAAGAAGGCCAAGGAGCTCGATATCGACGCCCAGAAGCTCATCAAGGACTCGCACGGCCGTCGGGTCGCCGACATGCTGAAGGAGGTCGACCCGGACCTCAACGATGACAACGTGGATGAAAAGGCACAGCGTGAGTCCCTCTCCGTTTACCGGGGCTAGAGATGAAAGAGGTCGCAAGCTGACGTCAAGCAGAGTTCGAGCAGTCCACTCTGGACTTTGCGGACGACTCGAGCGCAGACGACGACAAGACCGTCAAGATCCTTCCGGGCGTCAAGGCCTTGATCGACTCGCTCCCGAAGGACAAGTATGCCATTGCTACCTCGGGCGGGAAGATCTACTGCCACGGCTGTCTGAAGCGGGTGGAGTGAGTCTTTCTTTCTCTCTCCGCCCCGGCCGAGGCTAATAATGTAGTCTCGACGTCCCCCAAGTCTGCGTGACGGCCGACGACAAGCGCCTTGAAGAAGGCAAGCCCCACCCCGCCCCCTTCCTCCTCGCTGCCAAAGACCTCGGCCTCGACCCGAAAAAGTGCGTCGTCTTTGAGGACTCGCCCTCGGGCATCAAGGCCGCCCTCGCTGCGGGATGCACGGCCATTGCCGTCTGCACCTCGCGAAAGAGGGAGAAGATCAACCAGCACGGCGCGCACTATGTGGTGGATACGATGGAGAAGATCAAGGTGGAGCAGTTGGAGGACGGGCAGATGAAGTTTACTGTTACTCATTAGTCGTCGAAGATCAAGACATGTATCGATAGTACCTCTGCTATAGCGTCTCCTACAGCTCCGAGCAGTGCGTAGCGGTTGCATGCGGGGTTCCTCTACCCCGAATCATAGGGCCTGTGGAGATTCGAGGATGTCCGTGTCAGGTTGCCAGCCACTCGAGGTTGATTTTCTCGCTCAACCTCTTCTTGCTTCTTCCATTCTTCTGTTGTCTTGCGCATACCATATCTCCGACCAGACACCTTCCCACAGCGCAGACACGCTCTTCACGCTTGAACTTCCACCGAGAAACCAATCATAATGGCACGCGGAGGCGCAGCATCATCTCGCGGAAGGGGGTACGTCCTCCTCCCTTGTCCCTGTCCGCCACCACTAACTCCTGTAGCAAGTTCAAGATCTCCCGCGGCGGCGGCCGTCATTTCTCGCGAGACCTCGACACCCGCGCAGCCCTCAAGGGCGAGATCAACGGGGACGAATCTTCCGAGGAAGAAGAGTCTGAAGAGGAGGACGAATCATCCGAGGATGATGCCCCGACTGCCGCTGAGGAGAATGCGCAGCTCGCGCCTGAAATGGCGGCGATGAATCTCAAGCTGGGGAATACGGTGGATGTGGGCGGAGGGGCGGATGGGGATGATGGGATGAGCAGGGCGGAGCGCAAGGCCGCCAAGAAGGCGCAGTCGGGCAAGAAGGTGCAGATTCAGGAACCGGAGAGTGGATCCGAGGAGGAGGATCAGGGGGTAGCGAAGCGGCAGCAGGAGAGTAAGGAGGTGGCGGCCAAGGGGAAAGCGAAGGTCGCGGCGGCGGATATGAGCAGGAGGGAGAGGTGAGTTCAGGTCTCCGCGGTGAGGGATCTGGCTGATGGGACAGGGAAGCAGCAGACAAGAAGGCCGCAGCGGAGCGATACAAGCAGATGCACGCCCAGGGTCAGTTGTCCCACCAATGTCGCTTTCCTGGATATAGCTGATCATCTCAGGCAAGACCGTAGAGGCAAAGACCGACCTCGCTCGCCTGCAGGAAGTCCGCCAACGTCGCGAAGCAGCAGCCAAGCAACGAGAGGCCGAAGCAGCAGGTGAGCTCGCTTCTCTGTACCCAGCTGCAAGACTCAGGCTGACCCCTCGCAGAAGCCGCAGCGATCGCACAAGAGAAGAAGGACAAGGCGGCGGCCCGCAAATTCTGAGCTCGTCGTATCTGTACTCGTCCCTTCACTTTGTGTCTACTCTATAGATCTCATGGCATCTGTCTAGCTTGCAATCTTGATATCCTTGATCATCTTCTGATGTGGTGCTGCCTATCAGCTCTACCCCTTTTGCAGACCAAAAGACTCACCTCCCTCCTCGTCAAACTCTGGTCCCTCCTTCCTGAACCCCAACTTGGCATAGAAAGGCACCACTGGCATCTGCGAGTGCAGCTTCAGCCTATACACCTTCCCCTCTCCCTCTTCCGCGTCCCTCGTTGCTCCCGCTAGATCCTCAGCCTTGTGCTCCCTCGCGTGCTGCTCTACAGCGAGCATAAGCTCCTTGCCGAATCCGTATTGCCTGTAGTCTTTGAGGATGGCCAGGCGGGAGATCTTCCCGATGGATGGTGTGAACCGGACGGTGCCTATTGGTTTCTTGGACGGTGGGGCTTCTGGGTCGAGCGACGTGGGGCTGAGGGATGAAGTGGACTCGGGCGGTGGGGAGGGCTGCGTGACGGACAGGAGGAGGGAGGAGGAGATTGGTTCATATCTGCAGGCTCAGCTGTGCTACCGAGAAGATGGGGTGGACGCACTCGTCTAGCTCGCTATCGACATCAAAGCCCTTAGATTGAGCACACAATTATGCGGTACAGGAGAGGCTTACCTGTTCAACCACAAAGACTGCCTGATGTCAGCTCAGTCTGGGCTGTTCACGGGTCGGACTCACTCTCTACGCGGACATCAAAGCACGCCTGCACCTTCTCCTCTGTCGAGGCTACCTCGATGATGAAGGGCGGTCGCTGTGGCTTTTCTGCTGATCCGCTCATTGCAGCCGATTTTAGGATGATTGGTAGAAGCAACGCAACAAGTTTCAAAATCATCCTGCCTTGCGACAGAGATTTCCGGAACACGCTCGAACACGCGGGCCTAGGACCCCGTCGTTGAGAGATGCAGCTCCGGGTCTACGTAGGGTCCGAGTATCTACAGATCGCGCGATGAACGCCGAGCATCTACAGCACGCAGCTCAACTACAGATGCATCAACAACCTATGGGACAACGTGGTACTGCTTTGGTGGCTTGAGGGTGCCCATCTCCAGCGGCATGTCAAAGTTGGATCTGTCTTGTCAGCTCGGCTCTGGTGATCCTTCCTGGGGCACAACTCACGCAGCACGGTATCGCCTCAAGAACTTGATGGCGTGCTCCTCGACGTGGTCCGGCTCCATATCCAGGTCGGCCCACGACTTGATAGCCTCGCCGTCGATCCCCACCATCTTGGCATTCCCATCCCCGACAGACCACCCACTCGGCTTCTCCTCTGCCGCCGCGGCCTCCATGAGCTCGACGCCAAAGTCGTCAATGTATTTCCGCTCAATCTCGTCTGCGTTGACTGTGGGCCACCAGAGCGCGCGGTTGCTGACGGTCGCAAACGCCTTGGCGACCGCTTTGGGGACGGTCGGGGCGGTACTGGGTGGGTTCATCGTCATTGCAGCGACGAGGTTGAGGAGGGAGTTGTAGGTGTGGACGGCGGGGCCAGCGAGGGCAAAAGTGGAGGCGGTAGAGGTGAGAGGGGCGGTAAGCATGATGCCGAGAGCCTGGGCGACGTCGAGGACGTGTACCGGGAGGATCTTGGTTCGGCCGTTGTTCAGCTTGTACAGGATGGGGTATTCTGTCATCAGCTCTGGGTCACAGAGGTTGACTCACGAGCCATGGCATTCAGGAGCCAGTCCTCGTGACCGTACATCCCCGCAGGCCGGGCAATGGTAGCTTCCGGGAAGGCATCCCGTACTGCCCGCTCGCCAGCGTATTTACTCCGGTAGAAGGCTGATGCAGAGTCGGGTGAGGCGTTGAGGTGAGAGACGTGGAAGAAGCGGGACACGCCTGCCTGAGCGGCGACCGAGGCGATGAGACCAGCGGCTCTGTGGAATCAGCGCTGTCCATGATTCCGGCCAGCTACCTCACTTGACGTTGACATCCTCAAACTTGAAGTTCCTGCTTGTCAGCTCGAGCTCCATCCTGGCCATAATAGCTCACCTGGTCTCGTGGTCCCTTCCAGTCAAGTTGTACACCGCATCCGAGTGCTTCAAGCACTCATATATCTGATCCGGGTTCCTCGCGTCCCATTCCTACCATCAGCTCCGCTGTTGCGCCCGACATACCATCGGCACAATCTGTCCCAAATCACCCATCACCCTCAAATGCCTCTTCTCGTCCTCATCTCTGTAGGGCACAATGACCTGCGTCCCGAGCTTGGCGATCTTGTGCACGAGGTATCGGCCCAAAAAGCCCGTACAGCCGAAAACAGTCACGGTATGGCCTGATACCGATGATCGGCCGCCGGTAGCGGGACCATGCTTGATGATGGGTGTGGGCGTACCGCCTCGGGGGTTGTTTTGGATGATGAGGTCGTGTGCGAACTGGCATATTCAGCTACCGACTTGAAGAGGGCTGGGAGGAACATACCCGTTTTGAGCCGAACTGAGGAGTGGCTTTAGCTATCCGAGCCCGGGCAACGGGTGCTATCTATCAGCCTGCGTCCAGGTCTACCCATGGGCCGCTTACCTAGTCTTGCGGACACCATAGCCGGCTGTCTAAGTAGTGTATGAGATGTATGCACGCAGATAGGTCCACCAACAGCAAAGGGCGGGAGCAGAAAGTAGCTCTACCTGCTAAAACGGGGGCATGAATAATGACGTGGCCCGTGCGTGAGTTGTCGCCCAAGCGCGCAACAGGGGGTATCTCGCCTGCATTCCTCTCTCATACATCTATATAACAGCTCATCATCATCCCGGAGACCACAGCGGACACAGCGAGCAGGTTGATCGCCTACTATTGAGGAATCAAGCAGGAAAAACCCCAGCGAAAATAGTCCAGTATGATGTCGGGCGGGTCAACGCGGCCGTGGGCGAGCCTCAGCCCTATACAGGCGCTTATCGGTGAGCTTACCGCTCTATACGGTCTTTGGCCCATCAAGAGGATGAGCTGACAGCGAATAGAGCAGGCATGTGATCCTACGCTTCCCGAGCCAAATCACACGGTCAATATCGAGCTCGCTGAGCTAGTCAACAAGAAGAAAGCGAATAGGTGCGCTATGTCTCCGGCCTCTATATACGATGCCTAGCTGACCCTGCAGCGCTCGCGAAAGCATCTTTGGTCTGCTCCCACATATCAACTCGCGGAATCCGAATCAAGCGCTCCTCGCTTTGAATGTCCTGGACCATCTCGTCCGGAACTGCGGATATCCGATACACCTTCAGATTGCGACAAAGGACTTTCTCAACGAGCTCGTGCGGAGGTTCCCAGAACGGCCACCTATGGTCACAGGGCGTGTGATGAGCCGGATTCTTGAGGCAAGCTGAGGCTCATACTCTGAGGCGAGCAAGAGGATAAGCTGACAATGCAGATGATACATGAGTGGAAGAACACGTTGTGTGTCCAGTCCAAGTACAAGGAGGACTTGGTGCATATACGGGATATGCACCGTCTCCTCAGCTACAAGGGTGTGTAGATGCTCCTGGGCTTTGGACTTGGCTTACAAGCAGGATATCGGTTCAAATCGTTTGACGCGACACGGGCCATGTCCGCTGCAAACCCGAACGAGGTCAGTTGGACAGCGATGGATACAGGCTGTAGCTGATAATTTAGACATTGAAATCACCTGAAGAGCTGGAAGAGGAGGATCGAGCCGCCAAGAGTGCTGTAAGCTATTGCACTGTGATCTCTTCGTGTACAAATAGCTGACAGCCAGAAACTCCAGGAGCTCATCCGGAGAGCAACCCCACGGGATCTTGCCGCGGCTCAGGAACTCATGAAGCAATTGTCCGGCGCAGTAAGCCACTGAAGCCCGTTTCTGGAGCTTCGCTGACAAGCAGGAACCCGAAAAGGCTCCGGACTACGCTGCGCAGACATTCCACGAACTCGACAAGGTCCAATCAAAAGCTATCCTCCTCAACGATATGCTCAACAACGCGAGGGAGGGCGAGCGGATAGGGATTGTCGGTGACGCATATGAGCAAGTGGCAACTGCGTGTAAGGGGGCACGACCAAAGATTCAGAAGTGGATCGAAGAGGATACCGGAGAGCGGGAGGGCATGATGGGTCAGTCGAGCTTGGGCCATGTTTGAGCGATGACTGATATAGCAGATCGCCTCTTATTGTGTAATGACCTTATCAATAATGCGCTGGAACGGTTCCAGGCTTGTAAAGCTGGAGATTGGGCTCTGGCTCAAGCTTTGGTGGAGTCGTGAGTTGTTTCTCCATTGTTCATGCAGGCCGACACTGACAAACAGCTCCAACCCCAATCAAAAAGCTGCAGACCTCATCTCTTTCGATGCTTTTGCGGACGAAGAGCAGGGCATGTCGGGACATGGCGGTCTCGCACTCCCCAACGCCGGCGGATCCAACCCCGCAGCAGCCAACAACGCCAACATGTCATCCAGCGGTCTCCCGCTCGACCTGTTCTCCTCCCCTTCCCCCTCGCCCACCCCAAACCCCATGTCGACCATGTTCTCTTCTTCCTCCTCCTCCACTCCAGCCCGACAAGACCCCATGGCCTTCTTCAATACCTCTGCACACATTCAACAATCTATCCCACAGTACCAGGCCCAGGGCGCTCAGCGGTCTCAATCGCCATACGGCATGCCGGCTACACAGCAGGGGATGGGCGGCGGGTTCGGATTCGGTTCGGGCATCGCGGGTCAGCAGCAACATCAGCTGGAGACGGCACCATTACAACCCCAACAGCAGCAGCAGGGGTATTCGCTGTCACCACAGCCACCGCAGAATGGGCAGCAGAAGCCGGGACAGAAGAAGGACGCTTTTGCGGATTTAGTAGATCTCATGAACTAGATAGATATGTATGTTTTGGGATGCCAGACTATGCCTTCTTCATCCCTCCTCGATGCAGACTGAATGCTCCTCCCTTGACAGTCTTCTCCGCCGTCCGGAAGGTCAAACTCGTCCGTACGCCTCGTTCCGCCGTCCAGGACCCTTCTCTCAGCGCGTCTCCGATCTCCGCCTGGCCCAGCAATTCCGCATTGACGATCCTGTCCCCCTTTCCCTCTTCCCCGGCATGCACCTCGTCCTTCTCCTTGCCGCGTATTCCATGCAGATGTGACGTGTACAGGCTACTGGACAGTACGAGCAGTGATCGAGGCATGACCAGTAGATGCGCCAGTGGAGACGCAGCGATCACGCGAGGTGTAGCATCGTCCGATATCGTAGCTGTCATAGGGGGTGAAGGGGAGACGGTGGAGGCGTAATGATGGATATCGAGGACGATGTGGGAGCCGAGTGAGAGGGTAGCCACAAGTGGCTTGAACGCTGGACCGTCCTCGTGTGGCTGATATCAGCTCGATCTAGACGGGGACGCACAGAGATGCCTTGGCCGGGCTGGTACTCGTTGATCAGGACTTGGTTGAACGACGGAGCGGTGGCTGACGAATCGGCCAAGAAGTGTTCGATCCGCTCGACAATGTTCGGACTGTGTATCAGCTAGATCTAGTGATAGAAGGTGGAGCTTACAAGCCTATGAGCCAGTCCGGAAAGGGCTCAGGAAGAAGGACGCCGTTCTTGCTCATGTTTCCGCCCCAATACTGGAGTCTCCCTGGTCAGCCTCTTTGTCCATCACAGTTGTCGGTTGACGAGGAGCTGACCTCCGCCCCGTCCCGACAGTCTTCCATTTTGGCTGTGGCGATTCTTCGATCTATATCAGCTCATGTCATTGGTCAGCCCACCTTTCGAAGCAGAAACTCCTCTTCATCTTCAGTGATGAACTCCGGCACGCTAACCCTTCAGCTCAACCCGGTGGACTAGAAGGAGGACGCACTAGTATGCAGCGGGCGGGATGCCCTGAACACGGAAGTGCTCCAGATCTGGAAAGCTGGAGCTGGAGCCTTGAGCTTCTGGCTCGACGGTAGAAGGGAGGTCGTCGTGAATAGCGATGGGCATGGTGGGTGGTCCATAACAAAGAGAGATCTCGAAATCGATTTGATGATCAACATCTTCTTGATAATCAGTCTTACACCTTATCAGATCACCTTGTCTTCTGACGCGTATACTGCATCTTCCTCATCAAGCTATGTACAGGGGTTGCGGCTCGGGACCGGTGTAGGCGAGCAGTAGGCAAGCTCGCCATCAATTGACAGCTCCTGTATCAACATTCCTCAGGTCTCAGATACAAACTCCCTCACTTCGCCTATCGCCCGGCCCGCTTCGACGTCCTTACATCCCGACATCGATTCGCCCGAGGTTCGATAGCACAGCGGCGGCATAACTTGGCGGAAATCCTTCACATGTCACACGTGCAAACTCCTGCACCTATACCGGCAGCGGACCCCCTTCGTCGCCTTTCCGCACAGACCGCGCCCCTTCTACCTCGCGTCCTCTGTGCAGGTCGGCCGGAGGGCGATATGGCGTTGCGGCTGGCGTGTGGGTGGCGTGATGAGGAGGAAGGCACTGGAAGGCGATAGAAGGCCAGGGAAGGATACGCGGAGGGATTGCTTGATTGGATGGACGCGGAAAGGACAGTGGGAAGGACGAGGAAGAGGAAACGCACCGGCTCAGGCACGGTGGCGTCGGGTCCCGAAGAAAGCCGCTGACCTTCCACCCTTCATCCTGAGCTTCAGAGCGTGCGTGGCTAGCTATACTTACATTGGCACGCTCACAGCGCGTCCTTCCTGCAAAACACGGCGTCCTCTGGCTTTGGCCTAGCCACGAACCCAATCTCACTCCAAAGCCCCGTCGAGGGCCCTCAAGCGTCAAATCGGTAATTATGCTGACTTCACCCGAAAGGTGGTCCGAGCGCGTCCCGATGGCAGGCTACAGGGCACTGGCGGGCGACTCAGCCACCGCTGCGCCATATCCCTCCTCAAGGAGACCCCTTGGGATGGGGAAAAGGTAGCCCGAGTTTATCCAGCATAGGCTCTTGGACGCCTCTTGCTCGCCGATGTCCTTCGGGCATGTCGACCTTTATAAGGTGGGCTGAATGGATGAGATGAATGGTCTCGCCCAGGAGATCCCGAGCCCGCTATAGAAGCAATACCGTCGACTGACCTGCTAGCAACAATAGGCTCAAAATGGACATTGAAGGGTGAGTATCTGGGCTGACAATGGATATTGCTGACATTGCAGATTTCGCAGAGCAGGTCCGTCAGAGGTCCCTCATCTGGTGGACGGCACGCTGACTGGGCAGGCTACGCCGCTGTCGACGCTGTATGCGACTACTATACCAATCTCTCCAAGAAGACCGTCAGGGCTCAAGTCTTGCCAGGGTACCTAATCGACCAGCTCCCCCGTAAGCTCCCCCTCTTTGCGCTTGCTCAACCTCTGACACTGCAGGCGAGGCGCCAAAGACTGATGAAGACTTTGCCCTCGTCCAATCCGACTTCGAATCCCTCATCCTCCCCGGCATCACCAACTGGCAGCACGGCAAGTTCATGGCGTATTTTCCAGGTATCAGCACCTTCGAATCGATGATTGCCGATCTCTACGCCACGAGCGTCTCCAACCCCGGCTTCAACTGGGTCTGCTCGCCCGCATGTACAGAGCTCGAGCAGGTCATGATGGACTGGATGGCCAAGCTGTTTGGACTGGGCAAGATGTTCCATATCGAGTCGGGTAAGGGAGGAGGGGTTATTTTGGTAAGTCCCCCTCTGGCGGAGCTAACCACAGAACTCGGCATCCGAGGCGGTCTTGACGGCGGCGGTAGCAGCTCGCGAGACGGCGCTACGATACCTGGCGACTACCGAACCGGGGTCCACACTGTCGGGCGACGGCTTTGATATCCCGGACGATATCCGCGCAAAGTACAGCTCCAAGCTCGTCATGTATGGCAGTACCCATACCCACTCACTAGGTCAAAAGGTGAGTCAGATGAAGGGCATAGCTCATCCTAGGCCGCTCTTATCTTTGGCTTGACTTTCCGGGCTGTACCAGTTTCCACGGCGGACAAGTACGCGTTAAGGGGAGATGCTTTGCAAGAGGTCATCGATCAGGATATCAAGGATGGGCTGATCCCGTTTTTCGTCAGTATGTCACGCTCACCTATCTTCTGCTTCAGTGCTGACTATCAGTCGCGACAGTAGGGACTACCTCCACTGGAACTGTAGACCGCATCGACGAGATTGGCGCAGTCTGTGAGTAAGACTCATCGCAGTTCGAGAGTTGCGCTGATCGACAGTGGCCGAGTACAATACCATTTCGCTTCATATCGACGCTGCGGTACGTACCGTCTAGACAATACCTCGGAAACAGAAGCTGATGGCTAGTGGGCTGGGGTCGCCCTAGCTCTGGAGGATCAACGCGGCTATCTCAGACTGGCCGATATCAACCGCTACGCCACCTCGTTCTGCACCAACATGCACAAGTGGGGATTGGTCGCGCTTGACTGCAGTGAGTCTTCCTTCTCCTGCGTGATGATCGTGCTCATGTTCAGCCCTCTTCTTTGTTCGGAATCGCAAGGTCCTCAATCTCGCCCTCGATGCTACGCCTGCGTATCTTCGGTACAAGGAAGCGGAGACAGGTGCGGTCATTGACTATCGAAACTGGCAGCTCGCGCTCGGGCGGCGCTTCAGAAGTATCAAGGTGTGGTTCGTCATGCGCAGCTATGGGGTCAAGGGCTTCCAGGATCACCTTCGAGTGGTAAGTCGACTTGCACTGCCCCGGCTGACGTCTAGGGAATCGATCACTGCCAACAACTCTCAAAGCTCATCATCGCCTCCCCCTCTTTCGAGCTCGTCACGGCCCCCTCCCTTGCCCTACTCACTTTCCGCCTCGGAGGTGCCGCCATACCGGCCGACACTCTCCCGGCCGAGCGCAACCTACTCAACACACTTCTCAACGTCCGTCTCAACGCACGGTACGATGTCTTTCTCACGCAGACATTGCTGCCGAGCACAGATGAGGAGGATGTGTTCTGCATACGGGTAGCGCTAGGCGGAAGGCGGACGACGATGCGGGATGTGGAGGAGGTGTGGGCGGTGGTTGTGGAGGAAGGAGAGGAGGTTCTACGGGAGTGGACGAAGACAAGTGGCGCTGCGTGGGCTTGAGAGCGTCACGGTGAGACTTGCTGTTTCGTCTTTTGGGATTCTAGATCTTGGGCATCATGAATATGTTCCAATTTCATGTACTGATGTGCTATGGCTAATCTCCGCTGTTGACAACACGGCGAGAAGCTAACATCCCTCGCTCACTCCCTGATTGTTGTACTACCCGGTCTTCCCCTTCCTCGGCTGCTCCGACATGTCGGCGAACATATGTACGCCCCAAATCCAAGGCCAGATCGCTTCCAGGTCGTACACCTCGTCGATGCCATAGGGGTTCCACAGCGAAACCCTATAAACGTCAGTGACCATTGAAGATGTCGGCAATCTCGATATCTCACCAGCGCTTCCCATCAACATGCCCTGCCTGAATCCAGAATGCGTGGCTCTCGGTAAAGATCACGGCGCCAGCCCTGCTCTGCAGGATCATGGGTGTCTTTCGGGCATTATTGGAGACCAGATCCCAGAACTGATCCTTGCTCAGCGCTCCTGGACGGCCGCTATTCGAACCGTTGCCGGCGATCTTGAAGGTGGCTTTGCGGCCCGTGATCACCTCCAGGGCTCTGTCGGGGAAGATTCCCTCAACTTTCCCCTCTTGAGAGGTTATAGCCTGCTCGAGCGCCCCAACCCACCTATCACTGTCAGCCCGGGAGCTCTGGGATGCAGATGGCACTTACCAGCCCTCGTGTGCGTCTGATCGAGCGTTCGTGAGACTTGATTTCTGCACGGTCTTCGGATTGGCCTGGAAGGTTATACCGCGCACGAGCTTGACCGTGGCAGCGGTGGTGGTACCAGCGTCGCCCTTGAACTCGAACAAGTTGGTGATCCATTCTGAGTGCTGCCCCACCAATGCGCCGACCGCAGCAATGAGACCACAATCCGGGATGGTTGCTGGACATCAGCCGCGTTGACAAAGGAGTCGGGCAGGCAGGGAGGCTTACTCTGATCCAGATCGGCAATGTCAGGGACGCCATTTGCTCCAAACAGGCCCCCAGGGGTCTCGGTTCGGCCAGCAAGGACTCCTCGCTGAGGAGGGGGAAGGTGGGTGAGAAGTCCTGAGCCGAGCGAGTGATCGAAGGGTGCCAGCTCAGTGCCTGATAGGGCTGTCGTGATGAGGGCGTTGACGGGAATCGCAATGGCGGGAAGGATGCAAAGACTCGAGAGCAAGCATGATGCCAGGGCTTTTGGGAATGAGGGAAACATGTCGCGATAAGAGTAACTCAGCGTCAGGTGACGACTGTAGAACCGAGAAGAACCACACTCAGTGGGCACAGCTGAACAAAAGGCAAGTGACACGATAGCTTGGGACGATCAATGCGATATATGTAACGGGGAGTCAGAGCCTTGAAATGATCCTTCCAGTCAAGGGGATGTAATGTTCGAAAGGGTACACGTCTGAAGGGGCAGCAAAGGGGCCAGGACATCCACCAAATGCCATCCTTTGCTGGTTGTACCCCTACGCATGCTGGGGCAAAGGAGACATCTACGTGCTAGCTGCACTGCCTGTGACAGCCTGAGAGGCACGCAGCTACCGAAACGTACATCCTGAAGTAAGGTATCATGCGCATGTTGCCACCCGCCCACGTATACTGTCAATCTACTGCCTACTGCAGGACTAAGGGTGCATTGACAGATCGGCAAACATGTGCACGCCACGAATTGCAGGCCAGACCACGTCAAAGTCGTGCACCTCGTTTTCGCCATGAGGATTCCAAAGTGAGATCCTGTACGTATCAGTGGATTTTTCACGAGCCTTCGGGGTATCTCACCAGCGCTTTCCATCGATGTGGCCTGCCATGATCCAGAAGGCGTGCATCCCGGTGAGAAGCGTCGCGCCCGTAAGACTGTGTAATATCAAGGGTGTTTTCGGAGCGTTTTGAACTATCAGATTCCAGTACTCGTCCTTTGTCAGTGTGCCCGCCACACCGCTCATATTCCCGTCACTAGCGAACTTGAAGGCGGCTGGACGTCCTCCGATCATTTCCAAGACTCTGTCAGGAAATATACCTTCGATACCGCCCTCGTTGACCACGAAGGCCTTCTCGAGCGCTCCGACCCACCTTCGACGTCAGAGTGGCAAACTGGAAGAGGGCCACGCAGCTCACCAGCCTTCGTGTGCGTCTGAGCGGACGTTGTCAAGTGCAGACTTTTGCACCGTCTGGGTAATGGGCTCCAAAGTCATCCCTCGCTTGAACTTCACTGTGACAGCAGTGGTGGTCGCAGCATCGCCAATAAATTCGAACAGATTGGTGATCCATCGTGGATCTTGCGATACCAGTGCGCCCAGGGTAGCGATCAGTCCACAATCCGGGATGGACGCTGAACATCAGCTACGCCGGCCACAGGTCCAAGGAGAGGATACCAATGAGCTCACTCTGATCAAGATCTGCCCTGTCAGGAACGCCATTGGCGCCCCATAAACCTCCGGGGGTATCTGTGCGTTCCGAGAGGATACCTCGATGTAAGAGGTGCTTGGCCGGGACGGGGTCTGGCGGGGATGTAGCGTAGTGAATGTCGAGTGGAACGGCAAGGATTGGGCGTACGAGGAATATGATGGTGAGCAGGCATGTGGGCAGTACTTCTTGGAATGCAAGCATTTTGCGATGACTCTTTGCGCAGGTCCTGCTGCTTATTCTTCAAGACTCAGGGACGTAGGTCGAGGTGCAAAGAGATGCAGAGGTCGCCGAGGTGAAAAGACGAGGGAGCACGCTGTAAGGGTGTAAGTACAGGGCAGCCTGCCGGGGTTGCAGGAGACTGTGAAAGGATCTGCACGGAGTCGACAGACAAGGGGGTGCATATGCCACGGGCGGAGTACTATCCTTTGATCCTAGATGATGAGACATGATGCAAGTAACAGTCAGAGCGATAGAGGCAAGAGTACACACAAGTCGAAAACACGGGCGCGCGGGGTCCAAGCTCACGTGCGTGTTGAACGGCGTCAAGGGATCTTGTCTGTGTGAGCCCCTCACTCAATTACAGGAAAGCTATGATCATACAAAAAGGGATAACCCGGGTTGAATCGGAAACCCAGTCGGTTGTATGGAGTCCCGGGACCCTCTCAGAGGGCAACCTAACACAGGACCCCGCCCTCACGGACCAGGTGAGGTTAAGGCGCCGTTGATTAACGTCGGACCGCTTGGCGCAAAGACGGGTCAGTTGATTGGGGCCGTGCACAGCCCCCAATGCTCACCAGACCAGGTGAGTAAGCCTCATCAATCGGTTGATGACACATGGCCCAATGGTTTGTCGGAGTCATCGTCGATCGAGTGAAAGGGTCGGGTCGTCGGGCGGGCCGGAACCGCTGATAACTGACGGTGGCGGCGAAAGGTCGTGTACTGCTCCCATGCGTATATCGGCGAGAGATATCGCCGCGAAAGTGGTGAGACTTGTTGGGTTCACTCGAAAGGGCCGGGGACCAGGGCAAGCTGCCGAAGCCTGCCGGGAGCGTTTCACATTTGCCACCCGCAAACTTGAAACGAAGCAGCAGCGCCACGTGTCGCCGGCCTTCTCTCGTGATGATGACGCGTTGGAACGCTGCAGCCAAACTCCGGCTCTAAAGCAGTAGCTGCAGCAGCTCGAGCTCTTGCCTTTGTCCATCTGCCCTTGCATCGCTTGGACCACCCGACCATCCGCAGCTACCATGGAGTAAGTCCTCACACCGGCCGTGCTGACCCGCAGCAACATCATCCGCCCCCTCCTTCCCTATCTCCCGCCAGACCTCTCGGCGCTCCTCGTAAACCCACCTTCCCTCTCCTCTCCCCAATCCTTCTATCCCCTCGTCCGCCTCGCATGGCCATTCGCCAAGTACGCCGTCGTCGTTCTGGCGTTCTGGATCGTCTTTGCGACTCTTTCAGGAATATTCGGGTACTTCACCCGATTCCTGCGTCTGGCATTCAAGATCGGGCCAATCATCGGCATTATCAGCTATTTCATGGGGGGATCGGGACAAGGAGGATTGGGACAGGTGTTTGATATTGCGAGGAATTGGGCCGGGATGGGTGGACAGCCAGGGCAGACGACACCGGGTCTGGCCTCGCTCGCGGGCATGTTTGGGGGCGATCAGGCGGGTGCGAACACTCGAGGCAGAAAGTCGACAAGGTGAGTTCGCTTCCGATCGCGTATGGTGCGCTTGGGGTAAAGCTGATCTTCCAGAAATACCGGCGCGCAGAACGGCGGTCCCGACATGATGTCATCGATCTTCAACACCGCTGCCAACTTTATGGGCGGAGGCGGAGCAGGAGGTGGTGGATGGTCGGACGTCGTCCAGGACTTTGTCAAGCAGGCTATGAACTCGGCGGCCCAGCCACCGCCCGAGACGGCGGAGGAGAAGCGCAGGAAGCGGAAGGCCGGGCTGTAGGAAGCAGTTGGAGAAGTACACAAATGAGCAGTAGAGGATATATGGAGTCTACCCGTCGACACCACACGCTGCCAGGCTCACACTATGACTGATCCTCGCGCGTGCTCATCTAGCGTATTCAGAAGCTCACACTGACAGATCTACCCTGGGACCCCAGTCAAGCCTTCTGATCTCTCCACTCTTTCAAGACGGCCTCGCCCTCCTCCTCAACAACCGCCCAAACCTCCTCCACATCCTGCATCGTCGTTGTCCGCCCGCCCAGCGCAATCCTGATACAGAACACATCCTCCTGATCTGCGCTATGCAGCATAGTCTGCGTGAGAAACACATCGTACCGCGCATTCAAGCGATTATTGAGCAGCGTGTTGAGCAGGTTCCGTTCCGCTGGGAGGGTGTCGGCAGGAAGCGCAGCACCGCCTAGCCGGAAGACGATGAGGGATAGCGAAGGGGGGGTGACAATTTCGAAAGAGGAGGAAGCGGTGATGAGCTTGGAAAGCTGCTGGCACTGGTCGATTCCCTGCCATCAGCTGAGCAAGTAATGAAAACTCACGACTCGGAGATGGTCTTGGAAGCCCTTGACACCGTAGCTCCTCATCACAAACCAGATCTTGATACTTCTGAATCGACGTCCGAGTGCCAGCTGCCAATTCCTGTAGTCGATGACGGTCCCGGTATCTGCCTCTTTTGAGCGGAGGAAGGCGGGGGTCGCGTCCAGGGCGAGGTTCAGAGCTTTCCGATTACGGACGAAGAACAGCGCTGTCTGTCAGCGGAGGAGTCGGAGGAGGAGAGGAGAAGACGCACAGCAGTCGAAAGCGACTAGGCCCCATTTGTGCATGTTGGTGCAGAACGATGTGGCGTATCGGTTGATATCGTCTAGTCGGAGGAAAGCGCGCTGGTCCTCTAGCGCGAGAGCGACTCCAGCCCACTAGTACATCAGCTACCGCTCCGCTTCCCGAGACATGCTTAGCTCACCGCAGAGTCAATATGCAGCGATATAGTCTTGTACTCGGACACTATTCGTCAGGGCGGCTCTAGTCAAGCATGACTCACCGACTTGGCCGATCTCATCGATGCGGTCAACGGCTCCGGTTGATGTGGTTCCGACCGTTGCGACTAGACAGTATCAGCTTGATTCTCGTCCCTGTAATGAAGAAAACTCACTGACGTAGAAGGGGATCAGCCCCTTCTTGACATCCTCCTCAATGGCTTTTCTTAGTGCATCCCCTCTGAGAGCGTACCCGTCAGCCGCAGCGACCGGTACAGCTCGGAAGGATAAGCCAAGGATCAAAGCGGCCTAATCGTCAGCTATAGGAAGCCCTGGACTTACCTTCTCGCCAAGGGAATGAGTCTGCGTGCTTCCGTACATCACCAGCTTCGGGCTGTACTTTGCGCGTAGATCATCGGGTACATCGAAGGTGCCACCCGATACTGTCGATCCCGGCTCGGAAGACGTGAGCTCTCGCAGAGCAGTCTCGCGAGCCGCGATCGCCGCTGTCAACGCTGCTTCTGACGCTGAGTTCTATCATCAGCCCAATCATTAGCGGGACTTACCAAGATGACGCCTCCGCCGCTACCCTGCTCCAGGTGGAACTCCTTGCCCAGCCCCAAGATCTTTGCCATCCAGTCCATCGTCACCTGCTCGAGCTCCGTACATGCCGGAGAGCACACCCAGTTGAAACCTGGATTGGACACGCTCGTGGCGTACAGATCGGCAATCATGGACTCGAAAGTACTGATTGCCGGGAAGTACGCCATGAACTTGCCATGCTGCCAATGGGTGATACCGGGGAGGATAAGCGATTGAAAGTCGGCAGCGACGGTCGCAAAGTCTTCGCCTGTTGAAGGGGCCTCGCCTGGGTATCAGTCTTTTGTTACTAAGCAGAAGGAGGACGCACGGGGCAGCTGCTCGATGAGGTATCCAGGCTGTACTTCAGCTTTGACTGTCCTCTTGCTGAGGTTGGTGTAGTAATCGCAGATTGCATCGACTGCTGCGTAGCCTGGTGATCGTCAGTGATGAAGCTGAAGCAGGGCAGCAGGAAGAGAGTAGCGGACCTGCTTTCCTGAATCTACAGGCGTGTCAGTACAAGTGCCGGTCCCTTAATATCAATCCAGCTGATCCCATGTCCAAGACTGACCCTTCGATGTCCATTGTATCTCTACTGCTGCCTTGCGCCCGCTCGTATCGCTTTCTGAAGGTGGTGGAAGGTGGTGGAGATCTCAAAGGATGGTCGGGCTGATCGGGCCGAGGTATACCGGCGGTAGAATTCCGGCAGAATGCCCAATCTGATTCCGGGGCTGAATTGTCCCTGAATCAGCTACTGACGCAGCTCGCTCCCCCACCAGCCTTATTTTTCTCTTTCTCCAACACTTCTCATCTCCCTATACACCTCTTATACCACAGGAAAAGAGCTAAATATCATGTCCAACGTAGACCAAAAAGCAGTCAAGTGAGTGGCTAGCCTGGCGAGACAGGATGGGAAGCGCTGGACATCGAGAGGAATGTGCTGGATCTCTTGCTGACGGGCAGCACCATCCGTGTCCTTGCGGCCGATGTCGTGGCAAAGGTATGCTAGATATAGGCCGAGGGGAATGACGACTGACAAGATAGGCCAACTCTGGTCACCCGGGTGCGCCCATGGTGCGTCGACTCCAGCATGACTCGGCCCGAAGCTATAGCTAATCCCGCAGGGTATGGCTCCCGCTGCCCACGTTCTCTGGTCCAGGTTCATGAAGTTCAGCTCGGCCAACCCCAAGTGGATCAACCGAGACCGATTCGTCCTCTCGAACGGTCACGCGTAAGCTGCGCCGTCCCTACTTGGGGACAAGGCTGATGACCCAGTTGCGTGCTCCAATACATCATGCTCCACCTCTGCGGGTACAAGGTGTCGATGGACGATCTCAAGGCGTTCCGTCAGATCGACTCGATCACCCCCGGTCACCCAGAGTTGGGCGTCACGGACGGTATTGAGGTCACCACCGGTCCTCTTGGACAGGGTATCGCCAACGCTGTTGGTCTTGCCATTGCCCAGGCCCACATGGGTGCTGTCTTCAACAAGGACGGCTTCAACCTCATTGACAACTACACCTACTGTGAGTAGCTTGTTAGATCACTAGACTATGCTGATCATCAGGCTTCCTCGGTGACGGTTGTCTCCAGGAGGGTGTCGCTTCCGAGGCGTCTTCTCTTGCTGGGTACGTCCGCACGGATCGCTTTGGAGCCCCCGCTGACGATCAGCCACTTGAAGCTCGCCAACCTCGTCGCCATTTACGACGACAACAGTGAGCCTATTGGTACCGCTAGAGGACACAGCTGACCTGCAGAAATCACCATTGACGGTGACACCGCTGTCTCCTTCACCGAGGATGTCGAGATGCGCTACAAGTCTTACGGCTGGAACGTGCTTCACATCGAGAAGGGTGACGAGTGAGTTGACATTCAAGGGCGAAGCTGACTTCAGCGACTTTGAGGCCATCGCCAACGCCATCACTGAGGCCAAGAAGTCCACCGACAAGCCCACCATCATCAACATGAAGACCACCATTGGTTTCGGTTCGCTCAAGCAGGGTGGCCACGATGTTCACGGTGCTCGTAAGTCTGCAACTTGTCCAGGCTGACCTTAGCCCTCAAGAAGGACGACATTGAACAGCTCAAGAAGAAGTTTGGCTTCAACCCTTCCGAGTCTTTCGTCGTTCCCCAGGAGACCACCGACCACTACAAGGAGCTCGCCGCCAAGGGTGATAAGCTCGAGCAGGAGTGGAACACCCTCTTCAAGTCTTACCAGGAGAAGTACCCCAAGGAGGCCTCCGAACTCACTCGTCGTATCGAGGGCCGTCTTCCGGAAGGCTGGGAAAAGGCTCTGCCCACCTACACCACCTCGGACGCCGCCGTCGGATCCCGAAAGCTCTCCGAGTCGACCCTCAACGCGCTGGCCGAGGTTCTCCCCGAGCTCATCGGTGGTTCTGCCGACTTGACTGGCTCCAACTTGACCCGGTACAAGGGCGCTACCGACTTCCAGCACCCCTCGACCGGTCTCGGAAACTACTCTGGCCGATACTTCCGCTTCGGTGTCCGTGAGCACGGCATGACTGCCATCTGCAACGGTCTCGCCGCATACGGTGGTCTCATCCCCTTCGGCGCCACCTTCCTCAACTTTGTGTCGTACGCTGCCGGTGCCGTCCGTCTGTCGGCCCTGTCCCACCTTCGCGTCCTTCAGGTCGCCACCCACGACTCTATCGGTCTTGGTGAGGACGGACCTACCCACCAGCCGGTCGAGACTGCCGCTTGGTTGCGCGCCCTCCCCAACTTGGCCTTCTGGAGGTGAGTCTGTTTTTGCTGTGTAGGGATCGAGCTGATCATCAGACCCGCCGACGGTAACGAGGTACGCTACTAGCGTTAGGCCCAGGATCAAGCTGATATCTAGACCTCCGCCTCATACCTCGTCTCCATCATGTCCCAGCACACTCCCTCCGTTCTTGCCTTCTCCCGTCAGAACGTGAGTTGAGCCGCTTACGCATGAGCTGCTGTAGCTGACAAGTTAGCTTCCCCAGCTCGCCGGCTCGTCCATCGAGAAGGCCGCCCGTGGTGGTTACGTTCTTGAGGATGCCCAGGATGGTGAGCTCTCTGCATTGTCACGCCGAAATATGAGCTGACTCTTTAGCCGACGTCACCCTCGTGTCGACCGGTTCCGAGGTGCCCCTTTGTGTCGAGGCTGTCGCCAAGCTCAAGGAGCAGGGTGTCAAAGCCCGTGTCGTCTCGCTCCCCTGTTTCGAGGTCTTCGTACGTTGACTTAAGATCATAACCGGGCACAGCTGACGTATTAGAACGCCCAAGACAAGGACTACCGCATGAGCGTTCTTCCCTCCGGTCACCCTATCCTCTCGGTCGAGGCATACTCGACATTCGGTTGGGGCCAGTACTCGCACGACCACTTTGGTCTCCAGTCATGGGGTTCTTCCGGACCTTACGACCAGGTCTACGCCAAGGTGAGCTGATAGTATCCCAGCAAAGAGAGTGGTCTAGAGCTGATCTCGACAGTTCGACCTCACCCCCGAAGGCATCGCCAAGCGCGCATCCAAGGTTGTGTCGTTCTACAAGAAGCGTGGCCACCCCGTCTACTCTCCCCTCATCTCGGCTCTTGACGACATTTCCGACGAGTAGAAGTGTGCGGGTAGTATGATATGCATTGTTTAGAAGGATCCTGTCATCTCCTGCGTCCGGATCGATCTCGATCCTTGCGAGATCTGCTAGATCGGGAAGAGCTGGGTGCTGCTCGTCGATACCTCTTATCGCGATCCCGCTCGTGATCATGATCTCGCCGCCTCTTGTCCTCTGATCTGCTCGATTCTTTCTTCTTCTTTTTCTTCCTGCCCAGCCAGCCTCTCTTAGGTGGCTCCGCTATCACCTCCTCCTGCACCGTCTTCTCCTCAGGCAAATCATGATCCAGCTCTCCTGCTTCGATGTCCCCTCGACCATGTCCCACGAGGTACGAATTGGCGTACTGCCGCTGTTGTTGGAAGTGCGATCGGATGCCTCGAATGAGGGCGGGTCCGCCCCAAACGAGCACCAGGAGCCAGGCGACCGCCGCTGCTATTCCAGTCAGGCGGAGTCCTGATCTGCGCTATCAGTGGTGTACAAGATGAGAAGGGGAGTGGATTTACGCAGATGCGGCTGGAGAAGAGGGGATGTGGTCGTTTATGCTGTGAACGAGATACAAGTCTGCGGCCCACTGGTCAGTCAGCGAGTGGCACTGACAGTACGAGGGAAAGAGACTTACAGAGATCGTGGAAAGTATGGCGGTCGCTAAGGCTGGGCCGTACTGCAGCCAACCGGGCCGAACCTGTATCGCGTCAGCTGCATGGGATCCCTACAAGCGAGTATGGGCTTACAGATCCATCGGTACACGAGCGGAAGCGCCACAAATACAAGCCGATCATGATCAGCGCTCCAAGACTGCCGATGGAAGCTGTAGATCAGCATGTATGCGCATGCGCTTAATGGAGACGATCAGCTTACCTAGGATATGAGTGAAGAGCATGCGGAGGAGGAATGGGGGAAAGTTGGCGGGACTAAGGATGACACTGGGTGTCAGTGTGGCCAGTGGGATGAGAGCGCTACACCGGCTTACTCGTTTGACCCAGAAAAAGCATCTTGGAAAGTGAACAACAGTTTTGGTGGAGAACAAGATACGCTGCTCGTTTAGCTCCCCGCTGCGTCAAGGACTCACGCTGTACTGGCGCTAGCGGCGATGCACCAGTCCCAAGGGTCAATAGTGAGCGACGTCCCAGTTGCTCGTTTCCGCAGAGCCTCTTCGTCGGACTGCTCGGCAGGGAGCGCTGCCTGTGCTAGCTTGTACGAGCTCGGCGGTAACTCCACGACGACCAGACCGAATCTTGACCGCGCCGAGTCTATCGAGCTCGAGGCGAGGTAGAGTAGTATAGCTATCATTATCGATGTGACCAGGAGGAGGGAGGCCCGGGTAGCGAATGATCGGTACCAGGGTATTGATGCCACAGGCGTCGACTTAGCAGCGCCAGGAGGGTCGGTGCCAGTAGGGCCGCGGGGCATAGGGAGGAGATCGGCCTGGCTTCCTCCGGAATCTCTAGACATGGTGAGTGAGAGACGAATGAGCGATCAGCCGATCAGTAAGTGCAGTCATTAGCTCAGAAACGCGCGAGCCGCTTGAAACGTGGAGCGGACTACCAAAGGATCTTCATACCTGATACAAAACACCCCCTATCTCCTTCGCGCCCTCACTCCTATATCGGCTGCCCCCCTCCGCCTGCCGCAGCTTCTGCCCCCGCCCCTCCTCCACCCGTTATCGGCGTCGCATGCTCAACCACCAACTTTGGCCCCTCATACAGCCTATTCACCTCCGCCGAGCGCTTCAACACCTCCAGCTCTTGTCCCCTTTCCTCCAAGAACCGCGTCACCGCCTCGGGCGTCATAGATTTGGGATCTGATTCGAGGGATTGGATGACGGGCCGGAAGGTCTCGTCTGTCCGCCGAACAAAGTAGTTGTGGAAGTTGTAGGAGGCGAATCGGGAGGCGGAGGCGTGGGTGGCTTTGTACAGCGCCTGGACGCGCTGGAGGGATTGCGAGGTGGACACTTTTCGTCAGCAATTTGCCCCGGAAGTTACCGGCACGACACGGGACTCACTGGTAGGGATGTGTGGGTGAACAGCTATGTGTTCAACGAAGGAGATGCTGGATGCACCTTCAAGATCAAGTTGCTTGAAATCTCGCACGCAGATCGGAGGCCGGGTCATTATGTAATCTACACGGAGATTACCGCTATAAGGAATGTGGTGCCTTCGCAGGTGACTGACGTCATTCAAAGGCCACCCTAACTAGCTGAGCGCGTCATGCTGCCTTGCTGGACATTTCGCATTCACCTCCAGAGTATATAATAGCTCACCCTAACCCCCCACGTCCATCCACCAGCTACTCATCATGTCCGCCTCCTCACCCGTCGACGCCTCAGCCACCCGCAAGCGCAGCAGCAACAATGTCATCCCCTCCAAAGATGACTTCACCTCCTCGGCCAAGCGCCAGCTCGGGACCGCTAGCCACGTTGCCCAGCAAGCAGCTCTGAGCGGGGCATGGCGATACCCGGTCGTTGGTATCTTCCATCTCGCGACCAACCCGAAGCTCATCGGACCCATCATGCCGACGCTGTTGAAGGGTACGGCGGCCTCGGTAGCTATCGTCGTGGCCTTCTTTGTCTTCACGTACTTGCCCCAGGTGGCTGTGCTGGCTTTCGTGTCCGGCCCCCTTGGTAAGCCTGAAAGATACTATATCGATATACCGAGCTGACAGACAGCCTTCATCGCTGCTGTTCCCCTCGTCCTCGGTGAAGCATACGTCGTGATCAACTTCGTTACGCGTGCATTCTTCTTTGACCAGATTGGCGTAGACCTCTTCGACGCCGTAAGCTACGTGGCGCCCGACTCCCGCTCGAACATAGCTAACATTACAGGTGCTCGTCCAGAAGCGCTGCAAATCTCTCGTCGAGAAGGGACGCACCGTCACCACCAAGGCCGGCACTGGTAGCAAGCTCGGCAAGGTCCTGAAGAAGCCCTTGAACCGGTTCAGCGTCGTAAGCTACTGTCAACAGATGGAACTATGGAAAAGCTAATACCATCAGGACAGTGCAGTCCGATACGTCCTCACCCTTCCCCTCAACTTTATCCCCGTGGTCGGTACCGCCTTCTTCCTTGGTCTCAACGGGTACAAGGGTGGCCCGTCGCACCACGCCAGGTACTTTGAGCTCAAGGGGTACGACAAGAACAAGAAGCAGGCGGAGATCTCCAAGAGGAGGGGAGAGTACACCGCGTAAGTACCGCTTCCAAAGTGGTGCGGGTAAAGGCTGACGGGCAGATTCGGTGTTGCTGCCCTTCTGCTTAACCTCATCCCGGTTGTTTCGATGTTCTTCACCTGTAAGTCTTGCTCTAGTAATTCGGATGTGGACAATGGCTCACGATCAGGTTCTACTGCTGTCGGCGCTGCGCTTTGGGCTGCGGACATCGAGAAGTCTACCGGGCAGGTGACTGGCGGCCAGGACAACGAGGTGTCTTTCTGAGCGGTGGGCGTGCCGCTGAAGGATGAAGCGACTTAAATATATGTCATATAAGATGAAATGATGTTACCTTATAATCACGCAGCTTTGTGGACCCTGGAAGGGGTCATGATGACAAAGGATGGGAGTTCACCGAGTCAAAGCAGCTCTTCATTTCGACCGCCAACTCCACATTCCTCAACGACCAGTCGACCTTGGTACCTTACCTCGGCCTTGCTCAAACCAATCAGCATTCTTTCATTTAGCTCCTACGCCGACTTGACAGTATGTCAGACACCTTCCGAAAAGCTATGCTCAATCGTCTGCCGCCTGTGGCCCCCACGCGTGCTCCCTGGGCAGCCGGCAACGCTGAAGGCATGGACGAGGATCAGGAGGAGTTGGAGGAAGGGGACTCTATGGCTGAGCTTGGGCAGAGGTGCGCTGAGTTACAATTATCTTCACACGAGCTGTGATCTGTGAGAAGTGACTGATCAACACAGTCTGCCATCGTCTTCAAGATCTCGTTCCAACGACCAAGATCTCTCACCCATCTCCGCCGCCGCTTATTTTGGTCAAGCGCTTGAAGTTCAGCCGACTTCTCGCCCAGGCATCGCTTTCAGAGCATACTATACCCCGCCGGCTCTTGCAGCTGCATCATCCGCGACAGCTTCAGGTAGCTCAGCGCCCGCGGCCAAGCCAAAAGGAAGTGTATTGTTGTGCCATCATGGGGCAGGCTCGAGCGGGCTTAGCTTTGCCGTTCTGGCGAAGGAGGTGAAAGAGCGGGATGCAGAGTTGGGGGTACTGGCTTTCGATGCGAGAGGGCATGGTGAGGTCTGGTGTCTGCTAAGTCTAGCAGAGGCCGAGGTAGCTGATCAGGCAGGCAAAACCAAGACCCAACCTGTCGAAGCCGAGCACGATCTATCGCTGATCACGCTGACAGCGGACTTGATGGCTCTTATACAGCACATGTTCCCTGATCCCGCCGAGGCACCTGCACTGCTCGTGAGTATGGTCCGAGAGCGTGCGTACAGGTTTACAAGCTAATATATGTAGCTGATGGGCCACTCGATGGGTGCTGCGCCAATACTGGAGGCGAGTCCAGCGCTGCAGAAGCTGGGCTATAACGTTCCTGGTGTGGTCGTACTGGACGTTGTGGAGGGTGCGCCCGTTTTATCACAGGGCCAACGGGCTAGAGCTAATAAGCAGGAACGGCGGTCGAGTCACTACCACTCATGAAGGGGATCCTGTCGCATCGACCCAGGACTTTCAAGTCCGTCATCGATGGTATCCATTGGCAGTAAGCTCCTTCCTGCCTCCGACATGATGAGAGACCTGACGTGGAAGTATCACCTCCAACGCCATACGCAATCCAACGTCAGCGAGGATATCCGTACCGTCCTACCTAACTCCCTCACCATCCTCAGGAACGGACACGGATGTGGGCGAGAGACAGACCTGGCGGGCGGACTTGATGCCTACGGAGCCGTTCTGGCAGGGTGAGTCCATCATCGATGGATAAGGATATAGCTGAATGGGCAGAATGGTGGTCTGGGCTGAGCCAGAAATTCCTGCAGGCGAAATGTGCGCGGCTGCTTGTGCTGGCGGGGCAGGAGAGACTAGATAAAGACTTGATGGTGGGACAGATGTAAGTCAGGTTCCTTCAGGGTGGAAGAAGGGCTCAACCGCTGATTGTCACAGGCAAGGCAAGTTCCAGCTGGATGTCATGCAGGATGTGGGACACTATCTGCACGAGGTACGCCTTTTCCTATCCCGAATCCGCCTGAGCTCGCTACTCTCCGGACCTCGTTGACCCGCAGGACGACCCCGCACATCTCGCCTCCACCGTCATCGCCTTCTGGCGCCGCAATACGCGCGTGCTGGTATTACCGCCGAAGGTCGGTCAGGCGGTATCGGGTGGGAAGGCTCTGGAGGTAAAGAGGGTAGGCGAGGTGTAGGGTGGCCGAGCATGATGCAGATATCGAGATATGTGCGATGAGGCTGTATCGAACCGAGTGTGTCGCCGGTTCATGCCGCTGCGCTTCGATCATCCTACGCTGCCGCGATAGTAAGCGCCCTGTGGTGGTTCTTTGGCAGGCGAAACGTGAATGAGATCCAGTACGACGCCCGGTAGAGGGGGTTCGTATCCAGCTCGTACAGCCTGTGAGACTCAGCAAGAACACCTGAGGTAAGCTCTGGGTCCAGCTCACCTCGGGCAATCCCCCCGATGGGGTCATTTCTAGCCATCCCACTACACACATCCATTCTCCCCTCTCGAACTTCAGCCTTGGTCTCCCCAGGTCTCCTTCTCTGTGGGTCTCGTACATGTCCTTCAGGGCCGGCGAGGCGCCCATCAAGGGCACCGAGACGTTCGCGTAGAGCGTAGCGACGGAGTCGGTGGGGTAGGCATGGGGGGCGCTGAGGAGGAGCAAGGAGGTAGAGGGGTTGTAAGACAAAATCCTGTACATCAGCACCGCAAATGGAATAGGTCGAAGGAAGCGACGCACTGCCCGATAGTTCGGATCTTTTTGCCTCGATGCTCGTCCAGTGAGATGAGCGAGAGGGGGAGCAACAGCGCCGACTGGATCAAGTCGGGAGCAGGTGCAGGTGGGGCGACAGTCACGAGGTGTGATTGGGCACTCATCTTGCCTCTGAGATCCCAAATGGCTAGATCTGAGCGCTGAGCAGACCGATCTCTTAGGTGATCTTGGACCTTGGTTGCGCAGTCGCTGTGCCTACACCTATACTCGGAGGTAGATAAGATAGCGGAGAGATGACGGTGCAAATAGAGATCGGAGTTATGCGGGAACGCTCGGAAGGGAACGCAACCAAGAGAGATCGAGATCTAACTCGCCGGCGCCAAGGCCTGTGAGGGATTTTATCATACCTCTTCTCCTCCAACTCTCATCCCCATCTGGCGGACCCACCACCGCCTGGGCAGAGCATATACGCCCTGGAAGCATACTCAATGCCCGCGGGACCCAGCTGGTTTGACGCTAATGTCTCTGACCCCTGTCGAGGGACTCCTTGCCTTCGCGAGGGGAATTCAGCCTCCCGCACCCCCTGTTTCCCCGGGAAATGATCGTCAGGGGCTCAGCAAAAGACAAGCCCGTGCCTGCCTTGGCATCTCGTATCTGCTCCCCATTCCTGAAGGTCCGGGCCCGATCCCGCCCGGTCAGTCCTGCTTTTGCTCCTTCCATCCACCCTCCTCGCTAGCTAGCTCATGTCGCACCACAGCCACGAGATCTCTTGGCGATAGGACCGGAAGCTGGGGCCGGGGATCCATATGGCTAGCCGCCGGGATGGGGGAGGGTGAGCTGTGGGGTATAAGAAGGGGGAGGTCTCTCCCTCATATCCCCATCCCAAGTCACCCATATCGCCACTCACCCAGCCAGCCTCACATCCTCACAGTGAGTCCAGTCCTGACAACCTGTGGACTGTACTGATCTACAGACATGCTTCTCACCACCCTTGCCGCCTCCCTCCTCTCGGCCTCGGCCCTCGCTTGCGCCGATCACAACTACCATCGTCAGATGAAGCGGGCGGAGAACTCTACCGGCATGGCATGGTCCTACGAAGCGTCCTACGACTGGGGACGTCTCTCTGAGGATTACGTCCTCTGCCAGGACGGCACGCAGCAGGCGCCCATCCCTCTCCGGCTCGACCAAGGTCTCTCCCTATCCCACATCCTCCACTTTGACCGGTACAACTTCAACCAGTCCGGTGTCTTCCGCAACTGGGGCTACGGGCCAGCCATGACCTTCTCCCATCCCGAAGGCAACTACACCTCCCTCCCCTCCTTCACGTTCGAGGACTCTGGCGTCAACGAGACGGTCTACATGACCGGCTGGCACATCCACGCGCCCGGAGATCATACCGTCCAGGGGGCTCGGTCCAAGGCGGAGATGCACTTTGTCCACGTCAACACCAAGGGCGCACCCCGCGCCGTCCTGGCCTTCCGGATCGACCCAGGAAACGCCGACTCTACCTTCTTCACCAACCTCCCCCCTATGATCTCTTACCGGGATATCAACAAGACTATGGACTCGCAGATCAACCCTCAGGTTGCTATCAACGAGGTGGCTAGGTTTAACGAGTTCTGGACTTACCGAGGTGAGTATTATCGCGAGAGGTTTGGGGCAGTGCTGACTTTTCAGGTAGTCTCACCTCTCCTCCCTGCACGGAAGGCATCCGCTTCTTCATGGCTCGTCAAATCCTCTTCACCGGCGTCCAGCAGATGCGCAATCTCCTTCGGGTCAGCCACTACTCGGCGCGGGCAGAGCAGCAGGTGTGGCAACATCAGATCAACGTGTAGGGGACGGGTGAGGGGCACGGACGGGCGGCGCAGTAAAAGCATAGACAAAAGAGTTCCAGATTATACCCTGTACATCTTAGAGTTGGCATCTATAGTAGGCATATGCAGCATTCTCAAACATCTGCTCTCGATGCGAGAGCGTGCGTATTACCGCCACAGCTCGCCACAGCTACCGCCACAAGCTGCTGCTGGAGCGGCGGCGCCAAGCGGGACTCGCCGGGTATCACAAAGCCCGGGTCCGCTAACGCACATCCGGGCGGGCGATGTCAGCTCAAAGCTCCTCCATCCGTATCTCTTCCGTCTATACCATTCACTGACTACAATGTCTGCGTACGAGTCTGAGCCAACGATGCAGAGCGAGATTGAGCTGCTCGAGAGTATTCTGCAGGAGCGGCGAGCCGTCCAGGCCGCGGCCATGAGGCGGGCCAGGGAGAAGGCGCCTGTGTGAGTGCTCCTTGGCGTACCTATCCTGCACCTACTGATACTCTGATGAATCTCGACTAATGCTCAGTCCCCAGCCTAAACGAGGCAACGAAGGTGGAGACATCCTTGGACCCCAAAATCCCGATCGGGCCCGCCAGGAGCCGGACATCATCTGCCCGCCCATCACAGACTCGGGCAAGATGCCCAACATGAAGTGGTGAGTCATGACTGCTGAGAACAAGGTGCACTGCTGACTCACAGGTCATACACCGACTCGCACATGCGGCTCGAGGAGGGAGGATGGGCGCGCGAAACCACAGTGCGCGAGTTGCCCACCTCAACTGAGCTCGCCGGGGTCAACATGCGTCTCGGGCCTGGGGTATATCGAGAGCTTCACTGGCACAATGAGTCGGAGTGGGCGTATATCATCAAGGTGAGCAGAGGTAAGTCGCAGCTGACAGTAGGGGTCTTGCCGTATTACCGTGCTCGATGTTGAAGGCGGGTGTGCGATCGAGGATCTTGAGGAAGGGGACTTGTGGTACTTTCCAACTGGCTATCCGCATGGTATCCAAGGTGGGTCACTTCGACTAGACATGGCTGATGATAGGTACCGGCAAGGAGGGCGTAGAGTTCCTGCTCGTCTTTGACGACGGCAACTTTTCGGAAGACTCGACCTTCCTCCTCACCGACTACATGGCGCGTACGCCCAAATCCGTCCTCGCCAAGAACTTCCGGGTCTCGCCCAAGCTCTTCGACTCGCTGTCCCAGAAGGAAAAGTACATTTTCCAAGGCACCACGCCCGGAAGTCTCGAGGACGACCGCAAGTCTGTCAGGCCGTCGCGCCACCGTTTCGTCCACCGGATGCTCAATCAACCTCCGCAGCTCTTCTCGGGCGGGTCGGTCCGAATCACCGACTCGTCCAACTTCCCCATCAGCAAGACGACCGCAGCCGCTCACGTCACCATCAAGGAAGGCGGGCTGCGCGAGATGCACTGGCACCCCAACGCGGACGAGTGGTCCTTCTTCCTCAAGGGCCATGCTCGCGTCACCATCTTTGCGTCCAGCGGCAAAGCGCGGACCTTCAACTATATGGCCGGAGACGTCGGGATCGTGCCCAAGAATCACGCCCACTATGTCGAAAACATTGGTGAGGGCGAGGTGGAGATGCTGGAGATGTTTAGGGCGAGCAAGTTCGAGGACTTTTCGACCGAGCAGTGGTTGGCGCAGACGCCGGGGCAGATTGTGGCGGAGCATCTGAACTTGGAGGGGAACAAGAGGGAGGAGTTCTTGAAGGGGCTCAGCAAGGACAAGGAACCGGTCAAGAAGGGGCCGAGGCGGAACTCGTTCTAAGCGTTATATGTGTATCTAGCCTCATCTTGTAGTGGTTCAGTATCAGGTGTACATGTACGAGTATAGGCCGTGGGAGATAGGACTCGAGGACGAGCGGAGTCAAGGCACAAATCAGTCACGTGCGTGACGTCACCGTCATCTGCTGCGCTCAGATCGAGAGCGACATTACCTTCGCGTTTGCCTCTGACACCATACATCACAAAGCACAATGTCCGCCCCTACCAACTCCACCCCCACAGAGACCCCCTCCCTCCTTGGCGCTCACGTCCAGTACGTGAAGGGCGCGGCAGAGGTGAGTCATTAACTGTGGTATCGTGACGATCGCTGATCTCTAGGAAACCATCGGCAACATCACCGGCTCACCCGCGTGGACCGAGTCTGGCGTAGCCGACAAGAAGGCCGGTGTCGATGGCATGAAGGCTGCGAGCGCCAACAGGGACCCTGCGACCGATGGCTACGGCAAAGCCGAGGAGATCGCGGGCAAGTTGACGGGCTGCGAGGGCATGGAGCAGGAGGGTGCGCAGAGCAGGCAGGTCTAGCGGCTGGTGGTGAGTGACCAGACACCCCGACAAGTGTAGAAGCTGACGGGACAAGACAAGATGTAGCATATGAATCACATTATGACGATCGTACTCTAGGCCGTCCGCTTTGCGTCCGCCATCAAGAACTCGTTCAAGGTGCTCCGCTGGATGCAATTGGCTGAATATCAGCTGTGCTTTGACGATAAACTCACATAAAGAGAAGCTCCTCGCCAGCTCATCCAGCTCATCCATAGTCTTACCCTCAAAATACGATCCATATTCGTGCACCAGCTCCTCGGACAGCAAGATCTCCCTAACCAATCGCGCCAATGGGCGCTTCGGCGGTCGCTGCAATTTTGGATATCGTTCCGATACGCCAGGCACTTCGTGCAGGAGCCACTCTTCGATTGGCTCGAACAGGTGACGGACTTGCCGATCGTCGTTACCCCATGAGTCGGCGGCGAGGCGCTGTCATCAGCCAAGCTGTGAGGGGACGTACCTTTTTCTTTTCGATGAACGGTTTGAGAAGGCGCATGTATGGCGTATCATCGCTGACGTATACCATACCCTGGAACCCAACGTCTACTGTCAGCAAGTACGTCCATCTGACTCACCCTTCCAGAGCCAGATTGACCAGGAGACGTTAACCGCCGAATACATCTCGAGCTGGTGCTTTAAAGCGGCCAGGCGGGAATCGTTGATCTCTTCCCAGTCGGGCTTGCCATCGCCGGCGTTCTGGTAAACCGGCCCAAACTCCCCGTTCCAGATGGGTGCCTGCCATCAGCCAAGCTGTGGAATCACTTACATTGATGGACCGCATGAATTCGACTTTGCGGCTGAACTGCTTCTCGTGATTCGCCACTTGCTCAGCGGTCCTCTGGCGTGAGCTGACACTAAGTAATACTCACTGTGAAGCGGCCAGTGAAGGATGGAAAGCCGTACCTGCTGGTCAGCTATATTCTTGCAAGCTGAGAGTCACCTACGACGAGTAGTCATGGCAAGCGTAAACCACATTCGGCAATAGAGGTCGCTCTGCGAAGCGCGAAAAGTCTGCTCCAAAGTTGTTGCCGCTGGCAGTCAGCTTGACCCTCTCATCGACTCACTCAAGGAAGAGGATGTGATGCGGATCTATCGCGCGGATGGCCTTCTCGACTCGAGCGTAAAAGTCAAGGAGGCGGGTATGTTCCTCGTCCGTTGGCTCGTTGAGGGAGTTGTACCCCGCGACCCATGTGTTGTCTTTGTATCGCTAAAGTCAGCCAAATCTTATGACGGTCTCACCTTTGCGATATGCTCCCAAAGATTCACAGCTCGGTCCTGAAAGTCACGATGGACCCAAACTGAAATCAGCACGCCCAAGGCCGCACTAACAGTTGGCTTGGTGATTGCCCGCGTCTGAATGCCAGTCGTTGTTCTGACCTAGAGTAAGCCTGACTCAAGCGGCCACACACCTCCTGGAGCAGCGTGCAGGTCGATGACGGTGTAGATCTTGTGCTTGGCGCACAGATCAATCACGCGGTCGAGGTGCTTGAAGCCAGACTCCTTGATAACTCTTGGGTTCAAGTCGTCCTCAAAGTGCCGATAGTTGATCTTGCGTCAGTAGTCTCATCTCTTAGACTTACTGGGATGCGAATACAATTCAAACCCAAACTTGAGAAGAGCTTTGCGTCTTCCTCAGTGAAGAAGTATTCGAGAAACTGGACTTAGCTCGGCCCCGTCCCCGCTGACCTACCTTGTCAAAGAAGAACGTGTACTTTTCGTCTCCCAGGCGCTTCCTCAGCTCGGCCCGCACCTGGAACTCGTGCCCGGCGTAGCCAGTAATGAAGTTCTCCATATTCACTGCCATATCAGCATCGAGGAATGAGGAATGCGGGGCTCCAAACGCACTCCATCCCGCCAAAGCCGCGCCTGCAGGTCAGCTTGACTCTACACCTCACTCACCCTTCAACAAGATCGGCTCCCCACCCAGCGTGATGCTACTGCCCTTTACAGTGAGATATTCTGCCATACTGATGCATATGCGCGACACTCGCTGATCGGACAGGCGATTATAGGCATGGGATAGCTCGGGATATCATCATCCCGCGCCCACATGCGGCGCGGGGGTTTCTCGGTGGCCTAGCGTTGACCGGCCCCGACAGCGCCGGTCGTTTGGGAGACTCTACTCAGCCAGTGACGCTGGACCTTGCTCTTCCTCACCACAATGTCGGTCCAAATCGCGCAAGTCACGGCGGAACACCACGAATCGGGCTTTGCGCTGGACACCCCTTCGCCAAGGCTGTCATGGCGATTCAAGGAGACGGAAGCGGAGGACTGGGTGCAGATGGGGTACGAGATCCAGGTCAAGCGGGAGCAAGGGGAGGAGGTGTACAAGGTGGACTCGGCGCAGTCGGTGCTGGTCCCGTGGCCGTCTAGCCCATTGTCGCCCCGGGAAATCGTTGAGGTCCGCGTCCGCGCAATAGGGGCCACCACCACGGACTGGTCGTCAATCACCCTTGAGGCGTCCCTACTCGACTCTAAATGGTCTGCGTCGATGATCACCGGTCCGACCGAGGACGCAAGCCAGCCGAAACACCCTTTCCGCTTACAGAAGCGCTTCACCCTCTCCACCGTCGGTCGGGCTCGGCTTTACGCAACCGCACTTGGCGTTTACGAGGTCGAGATCAACGGTGGGCGGGTCGGCGATCAGCTCCTCACTCCGGGCTGGACATCTTACAATTATCACCTCAACTACCAGACGTACGACGTTGGGGGATACCTACAGGAAGGGGAGAATGTCATCACGGCGCACGTCGCGGAGGGGTGGTATGCGGGGAGGCTAGGCAAGGCGTACCGTAATATCTGGGGAGATAGGCTGGGATTCGTGGGCCAGCTGGAGGTGGATAAAGAGGTCATCGTCAGTGATGACACCTGGTCCGTCCTCGCCAGCTACATCCTCGAGGCCGAAATCTACAATGGCGAAGTTGTCGATACCAACCCCGCGGATGCCCATGTCCTCAACGCCACTATCCTCCCCTTTCCTACCGCCAAACTCATCTCGTCCCACGCTCCACCGGTCCGTCGCGTCATGGAGGTTGCTCCAGTGGCGATGATCACTACGCCAGAGGGCAAAAAGGTGCTGGACTTTGGGCAGAATCTGGTGGGGTGGCTGCGGATCAATCGGGATCTCGAGGGCGATGGGGATATGCTGCTGCGTCATGCCGAGGTGATGGAGGATGGAGAGCTGGGGGTGCGACCCCTGCGTACGGCGATGGCGCGGGACATCATCAAGCTCGGAGGGCCGACCAAGGGCTGGGAGCCAAAGTTTACCTTTCACGGGTTTAGGTGAGTTATTGCTCAGAGCAGTGCTGATAGATATGCCGAGATCACCTACAACGGCGACTTTACCCCTGACGACTTTACCGCCATCGTCATCTCCTCGGACATGCGGCGCACCGGCCACTTCACTTGCTCGCACGAGATGATCAGCAAGCTGCACGAGAACGTCGTCTGGGGGATGCGTGGCAACTTTGTCTCGGTACCGATGGACTGTCCGCAGCGGGACGAGCGGCTCGGCTGGACGGGCGATATACAGGTCTTTGCACCTACGGCCAGCTTCCTCTTTGACACGCACTCCTTTCTCGCCGGCTGGCTCAAGGATGTCGCCGCGGAGCAAAAGCAGTACGACGGCGTCCCACCCATCTTTGTCCCCTGGACTCCACCTCCCAAAGACCTCGTCAACCCCCTCGGCGGACACAAGCCCAAGCCCCATGGCGTATGGGCGGACGTCGTCGCGCATACCCCCTGGGATCTGTACATGGCGTATGGAGACGTCCAGGTGCTGGAGGAGCAGTTCGAGAGCATGGTCCTATGGCTGGAGAAGGGAGTCCCGAGGGCGGAGAGTGGGCTGTGGAGCGGAGAGCAGGCGCAGTACGGGGACTGGCTCGATCCCAAGGCGCCACCGCAGTTCCCCGCGCACGGTCGTACCGACTATCTCCTCCCCGCCAACGCCTACCTCGTCTACACCACCGGTCTCGTCGCTCGGATCGCCCGCCTGATCGGTCGACAAGAAGCGGACAAGTACCAAGCGGATCACGTCCGTCTGCGCGCACTCTTCCGGGACGAGTACATCACCAAGAACGGGCGCGTCACTTCGGATACCCAGACCGCCCTCACGCTCGCCTTGTGGTTTGATCTCGTCGATGAGGATCAGCGCAAGCATACCCTCGGTCGTCTAGAATGGCTGGTCCAATGGGACTACTTCAAGGTGTCGACGGGGTTTGCGGGGACGCCGCTGGTATTGCCTAATCTGGCGAGGCATGGGGCGCTGCATCTGGCGTATAGGATGTTGCAGGAGGCGGACAACCCGAGCTGGCTATATTCTATTGGAATGGGCGCTACAACAATTGTGAGTCGGCGTCAAGCGTGGCTGACGACAGTGGGAACGATGGGACAGTATGCTGCCTGATGGGACGGTCAATCCCGGTCAGATGACTTCATTCAACCATTACGCTCTCGGGTCCGTCGCGGCCTTTATGCATCGGACCATCGGCGGACTCGCCCCTCGCGACCCAGGCTGGAAGTCTGCCCTCATCCAACCTCAGCCAGGCGGGACCGTTACGTCTGCTCAAACGTCGTTTGACTCCCCTTACGGACCCTATGCCGTTTCGTGGGCATTGAACGGCGAGGACATGACGGTCAACATCAGCGTACCGCCCAATACGACAGCTCAGGTCATGCTTCCAGGAGTGAACGAGATGATGGGCTCAGGCAAGAAGGTGTACTCGGTCAAGTGGGAGAAGGATGCGAGATGGCCGCCAAAGGGAAGGCCGGGACCGCAGAGTGTGCTCATGCCTGATAGATTTGTATCTTGAGTAGATCTCGTATATGCAAGTATGATGCTGAAGCTGTCCTCGCTACTGTCAGTCCCTAGGAGAGAGCTCTCAGCTCGATCTGAAGGCTGAAGGTGACATCCAGGCGCAATTTGCCACACCGGTGTGTTCGGCGCCGGTCACGGAGCTCCCCCACTCCGAAATCTAAAGTGGGGGATTACAGTGCACGCTAGCGGCGGACAGCGGTGTTGCCGGTATTAGAACTGACCTCCCGGAGCATGTTTATACCGAGTGTCGCCGAGGTCCCGTGGTGCCAATTCCAGCTAATGCAAGGCACAATGTCTCCACGGGTCATTCTCGGTGCTCCACAACGGAGCATCAGCTGATCCGTTCATACCGCTGATCCGCACAGTCCACCGGCGCCTGTCAGGCCGGAGTGGACTTGGTCAGAGGATACAAGTACTGAGCAGCACGTCCATTTCATGTCCCAGACTCATCATACCACTCACCATGAGCAATCTAGTCAAGAACCACCCCGACAGCAAAACCACCTCGATGGGGATCGAGAACGCCGAGACCACCTACCTCGAGACGATCGACAAGCATGCGGTGGATGACGATATCCCCGTCTCTGCCTTCAAGGACATGTCCCGCCGAGACGCCATCTGGACCTTCCGAAAGGCCATCCTCTTTGCCGTCTTGGTCGCCTGGGCTGCCATTATGGATGGATACTTGATCAGCAGTAGGTTCTTTCGCATGGCTTAGCTGATGCTAGTCCCCGGATCTATTGTGGCCAACAAGTACTTCATAGGTATGTCTTGCTTTCCCCACGCATGCTAACTTCAGCCCAATTCTGCACCGTGATCGAGGGCGATGGCAAGTGCGCGTTAGACTCGGTCTACGTCGGAGCCTGGACAGCGGTCCAGTCAGTTGGCCAGATCATCGGTAAGTCTTGCTGAGGCTCCAGCTGATCGTCAGGCATGCTCAGCGGCCCTATCACGGCTGACTGGCTGGGGCGCAAGTTCAACCTAGCCCTTTTGACAGTCATCCTCACCCTCGGCGTCATCCTCGAGATCGTCGCCACCAACAACGCGGTCTGGCTTTGCGCTCGCCTCTTTGCTGGGTGGGGAACTGGTATGGTACAGACCGGTATCCCAGTTTACATCAGTGAGATCGCGTAAGTCATCAGTCATGGTCCAGCTCATGTAGTCCACCCATGATCCGCGGCGCCCTCATCGCCATGTACAACTTTTGGTTCGGCGTCGGCGGCTTCGCTGCGTCCATCGCTCTTCAGATCGCAGTCGGCCAAGAGGGGTACAAGAACCCCATCTATTCGCAATTCGTCTTTATCGGTCTCATGGTCATCGCCTTTGTCATCATCCCAGAGTCGCCTTGTAAGTCTAGTCAATGCGTGAGCTGACATCAGGGTACTACCTGAACAAGGATCAGCCAGAAAAGGCAAAGGCCATGCTGAAGCGCTTGTATGGCGGTATCGACGGCTACGACGTCGAGCACGAGTATCGCGTCCTCAACTATGAACGGGAGATGCAGAACCGCTTCGCTGCGGATGCGAAGAATGCCAGCTACGCAGAAATCTTCAGGGGGACCAATCGGTAAGTACAGTGAAAAGTTAGCTAATGACTCCAGACGGCGCACCTGGGTCTCCTGGCTTCCCCTCCAGTTCCAGGGCCTCGGCGGCCTCTCCTTCGTCCTCTCCTACACTACCTATTTTTTCCAGCTTGCTGGGGTGGCTGATCCGTTTCTGTAAGGAACGGAATAATCCTGCTCGACCCAGCTGACTCGTCAGTGGAAACGTCATCGTTAAATGCATTCAGCTCTCCGCGCAGGTCATTTCCTGGTACAATATCGAGCGCTTCGGTCGGCGGATTCTCCTCCTTGTTGGCGGCGGCGGCATGGTCGTCTTCTGTCTTGCTATCGCTGCAGTCGGTACCTCACCCAACTGGGTCCCGCCAGGGGGACTCACCATTGCCCTGTTTTGCCTTTGGACATGGTGCTACGCCAGCAGCTGCGCGCCAATCGGATACGTCTACCTCGCCGAGATCGCCACGCCTAGACTGCGAGCCAAGACGGCTGGGTTTGCTGCTGCCTGCACAGCTGTGTTTGGGTGAGTAGTCAGCAGGGTCAGCTGATCAGCAGTATCTTCACCAACTTTGTCACCCCAATCCTCATCTCGGTTCAGAAGGCCGGTTGGAGCTTCAAGACTGGTAAGTACTGGCTGAGGCAACGCTGATGTAGGCTATCTCTTTTTCGGCTTTGGCTTGGTCGGCTGGATCGCCATCTTCTTCACCATCCCCGAGGTCGCTGGGCGGTCTTACGCCGAGATCGACGAGCTGTTTGAGGAATGCGTTCCGACGCGTCAGTTTGCCAAGTACCGGACGCGCGCCCAGATTGCAAAGGAAGAGGTGGACGCGCGTGCAGCTGGGCTGAGCGGTCGGGCAGAGGTCGGGGATGTCAAGGCTTAAGGTAGTCTGTGAGATGCTAGTCAGAAGTCGTGGTCGATCATGTACAGAGGTTTCCAAAGGAGGTCAAAATTTCGGCCGAGCCCTTGTTTCAGATGTCCACATGTCTCAATTCCAACCTCAAGCACTAGTCTTGAATATGATCGCCATACATTCGCACCTTATCATCACGTTTAGACACCTTGACTACGCGTAGGAGTTCGTGTTTGACCTAGCTCGGACGAGCACGGGCAGCTCGCGTCGCGCTCTTCGCCATTGCTCAACGCAGCCCCTTTCAGCCGCCCCAGGCTCTCCCTCTCAGCCCCTTCCAATGGCTCTCCCGCCAGACCACATCACGGCGAACGGTACAGCACTCACCGTCGAACTTGCTGGCCTCGTCCTCTCTCGCTACCTCCAGTCCTTCGGCGCAAATCCGTCCACCTGCCGACACACCGTCACCTACACCGTCATCCCTGCTGCAGACCTACCCGTACAAGTCCCCGCCCCCTCCGGCCCACACTTTGACGCAACCCTTGCCCTACCTCCCGCAGCGGGCTCAGGCACCTTCTCCACCCACGGTCCTTACCCGTCCAAGCTCATGGCGAAGCGGGTCGCGTGCTGGGACGCGTGCAAGGCGTTACTGGACAAGGGGGAGTTGGATGATAGTCTCGGGCCGACTCCAAAAGGCGTGGAACCGAGGGAGAAGAAGCCAAGAGTCAGAGAATGGAGAGATCCAGCGAGTCTGTCGCGCTGGGTCGAGGAGGGAGATAGGGTACTCAAGCCAGAGGATGAGGATCTGCAAAGGGGTCTGAGCTTGTCGGCGCGGTGGGAGGTGTTCAAGGGGACCATCCGGAATCGCCTCCCTGAGGCGTCTCCCGCGATCAATGGGGGAGTGCCGGGAGTGGGCGTGTACGAGGCGCTGGTTCCGGAGGGGGTAGATGAGGTGGTTGAGCGGAGAGCATGGATGACGGCGCTGCAGATGGAGGATGGGCGGGCGCTGGCACTCTTGACATCAAAGCGGTTAGCGGACGGGGTGGAAGAGCTGGAGCTCAAGCCCGGTGTAGGGATGCGGCTGGTGGACATGGGGGAGCTCAAAAAGCTGTCGGAGGAGCAGCACCAGCAAGCTATACGGTACACCGAACAAGTCATACGGTCACAGCTCAACAAAGACCTCCATCCCCCTCCCGCTGGACCTACCTGGCTCGTCCTCCCTCTCATCCGAAACTTCGCTCCTGGCAAGGCAAAGCGGACAGATATCGACTGGGCCGAAATCGCATCCACCCTCGCCATCGCTCCCACCTCCGTCCCATTCTCCGTCGCCTCTCAAGCTCTCCTGGAACAAGAGCTGGTCGACGCGGTAGCGACCAGTCCCGCCGAGTTCGGTCGCCGCTTCTACGTGGAGGAATGGACCAACCTCATCCCCTCCTTCCCTCACCCGGCAGAAATCACCAAATCGATCCTCAACTACTCATTCCAAAAGTTTGGCCCGCCCGTCCTGGAATACCCAGACCAGCGTGTCTTCACCGCCAGTATCGCCACGTCCGGTCGGTCAGGCGGTATCCTCAACTCGTCCCCCTCCACTCCCATCTACCTCATGCCGGAACTCACACAGCGGTACTGCTTTCCCGCCTCAACATACCGTTCCCTCTCCACCATCCCCACTTTCTTCGTCATGCTCACGGACCACCTTGCGGCCAAGCAATTTAACCGTCGCTTATTCGACAACTCCCTCACTCCTGCCCTCGCTCTCCAGGCGCTGACCCCAGCCATGTCCGCTTCCAATCAGCCTAATCGCAGCTACGAGCGGCTCGAGATCCTGGGAGACACGCTCATCAAGCTGTTGACCACGCTGGATACGTGCCTGCGCGGACCCTTGTCGGACAATAGCAGGGTGGATCGTCATATTCTGCTCAGCAACAGGAGCCTACGGGCGAATGGGGTAGAAGCGGGTATCGCGAGCTATATCCGGCCAAAAGAGGGCAGAGCAAAGGCATGGGTGCCAGAAGGGTGGACATTAGGTGGAGTAGAAGTCAAGGCGGAGGAGGGCAAGCGGACAGTCAAGATTGGAGACAAGGTGAGCTTTGCATTAGCGCTTGCTAATTCCAGGTGGTCGCAGATGTTGTCGAGTCCCTCGTCGGTGCCGCCTATCTCTCATCTCCTACCCGCTCCCTGGACGCCGCTATATCCTGCATGAAACGCCTCAAGATCCCCATCGACCGCCTCGAAGCTTGGTCGGACGTTTCGAGGATGTTTGCCCGGCAGAGCAGCCTGGAAATCGAGGTGGACGCTCAGCCCGCGCCAGTGGTACCGGAGCCGACCAAGGCAAAGGTCAAGGCAGACCCGATGGGCTGGATGAAGGCATTCACCAAGCCCGTGGCGGTCTCCGTTATGGGCTATACCTTCCGGGACGCAGAGAAGGGGAACATCATCTTTGTAAGTCATATGGCGGGCGGGGCTGACGGCAGAACGCATCCTCGCAGACTCGCGGAAGGCAAGACTTCCAGCAATACAAGCTGATCGGGGACTCGCTTTTGGACTATTGTAAGTTCGTCACCGGTATTGGCTGACCCCTAGTCGTTGTGGAGAGGCTGTATGACGTCCCGGAGAACTACACACCCGCCGAAATCACCCACATGAAGCACTCTAGGGCCGCCGACCAGGCTCTCGCCGCCATGGCGGTATGTCTGGGCCTGGCAGACCGCGTGGTCGAGATTGACCGCCCAGTCAAGACCGAGATCGACCGGTACATGGTACAGATATCGACGCGGTTCAAGGAGGCGCAGAATGTACTCAAGAGGAGGTCCAAGCAGGGTGTGGTGGGCGAGGCGGTGGAAGAAGCGGGCGGCAACAAGGTGACAGAGTTTTGGTTCGGCGCGAGCCATGCCCCAGTACGTCTGACCCTTCGTTCCAGATCCTGGCTGACGGCAGACTCTCGGCGCTATACCCGAAGTCCTGCTAGGCGCCGTCGTCGCGGACCAAAATGGCGACCTCGCAGCCGCTCGAAAGCTTTTCAACGACAATTACTGGCCATTCATGGAGCAATACGGCGTCGGCCCTATCAACCACAGTCTACACCCCAAAAGCGTCATGCAGGAACGGCTCGGCAAGTTGGGCTGTACATCTTGGAAGATCGTGCGATTGGACGAGAAGGTCAAGGGTGTGGTCTGCGCTGGTAAGTCTCGATTCCTTGAGCGTGAGCCAGCACTAATCCCACAGTCCAGCTTCATGGGCAAGAGATCGGAAGGGGATTTGCAGAGTCGCAGAACCTGGCGACTCGAGTGGCGTGCGAGAATGTGCTTGCGACCTTGAAGGAGGAGACTGTACGGGACATTTGCAGTTGCAGGTGGGAGGAGGCCAAGGAGGGGCAGGCGGTAGCTTAATTATACAGAGGACATAACATATCATCACTAGCATCTAGAACACAACATGCAATATCATTGGACTTTACAACGAGAAGCGCTCGGCGTGGAGCTCGACGCCTCCAACCCGCTTCCGATCTGCGCATGGGATAGCCCTGACTATCCGCTCGACGCTATCCCCTAGAGCAGTCGGCCCGCATACGCCAACTCCCACACCTCCATCCCCCTCCGGCTGAGCAGCAATGAGCTGTGTCAATATGCCTGCGAGATCCGGTCGGCCCTGGAAAACCACCGTCTTCAGATCTCCCTTTGTCTTCTCCAGCCCGATCTTGTCCTCCTTGTCCGCCGAGAACGCGTCCTTGGCGGTAAAGTGTAGCCGAAGGTCAAAGATAAAGTGCTCGTTTGAGGCTTTTATCGTTTCCGCGGTGTGGATCATCTCGAGGAGGATAGGGGACAGATCATCAAGTGTGGCTATGATATCAGCTCGTCTCAGGTCGCACGGCTGACGGCTTACCTCTATCTTTCACAGTCCAAACTAGTAGAACGTGCTGGCACTTTGACCGGGCCGCCGCCACATCCGCCAAAAGTCCTCTTACGACGCCAAGACCAAATGAGACTGATCATCAGCTTGACCGATACGGTCAAAGGCGCTACTCACTGCCTGATCCACCAACAGCGATCATGACCGACCGGAAAGCGGGGAACAAGAAGTTCAATGGCCCGCCGTATGGTCCCTCTACAGAGCAACGCATGGTCTTTCGCTCGAGGGCGAGATTGTACAGTGACTCTGTCCAATCCCCCGCCACCTTGATGACCAGCGTGACCTCCTGTCCCTCCGTAGCGGCAATGGTAAAGGGGTGAGACTCGAACGAGCTGGTCCATAGTGACGGGACGAGCAGGCGAACGCGGACATGCTGGCCGGGTGTAAAGCCCTTGGTCAGGGCGGGGAAAGTGACCAGGGTGGAGGCGGCTCCAGGGAGGGGTGTGATTGTGGCGGTGGTGATACGAGTGGTGATGCTGCGGACAACGGTATTGATGACGAGAAGTGCCCAGATAGCGAGGAGGTAGGGGACGACATCTTGCGAGTGGTAGTTGAGACCAGCCATGAGGAGTAGGATTCCGATCTAAAGTCAGCTGCGTTGTCTCGAGTACTCACGTGATGCCCAAATTTGAACAGCAGCCACCATCTCCGCCGCACGTAGCCTATAGAAAGGACCCCAGTGAGGCATAGACCGGCATAGCCCAAAGCAGCGAGGTAGTTCTCCGGCTTGGCCATCTCCTGCTTTGCGACTGCTGGTCAGCTGTGGCCAAATGTCAAGACTGAAGACTCACTGCCTGCCTGGTAAAAGACCACAAGGTACGCGATGACATGCAGGGTTGACAGCAGCAAGACCAGCCGCCCTGTCCATCGGTGCAAAAAGTTGACAGCGGTGTAGCCGTGAACGACCCATGTCCCGACTCCGCCCGACTTGATGCCAAGTCCCGCCGTCAGAGCGAGCAGACTCATGACAACCAGCGTGCTCCTACTGGCGTCCGTGAGGAATGTCGCCTGACACCATCCCGCAATGCCCACACCCACCGCCCACATGAGAGCGACGAGCAGAAACTCGGAGAGGGGGAGGTCAAAGAAAGGGATCCGCCGGACCGGTATAGGCCATTGACGATGGCGAAGCCGCTTGGGCATATTCCGTTCCATCGCGACCCCGTTACTGAGGCGAAAGCCGTGCCAGATCCCGTTGGCTCGGATCCGAATGTAGGTGTATGGCATCTGCGCGAAGATGTAGGCGAGCATGATCACCATCATGGCGATGAACATGTAGCGGTTGGCGAGGTATGCTGCTTCTTCGAGGTCTGAAGCGTGGTGAAACGCCTCGGTCGAGTTGATAGCGGTACCGGGCGCGTACCAGACATTTGTACCGTTGTACCCGGGTAGATCTAGGGAGCCTCGACGTTGCATCTTCTTGGAGATGAGTAGAGATGTCAGTCCGAGGTCGAGGTAGAAGAACAGAAACTTCGCTGCGTCAGTAACACATGCGCCCCCTTTCACGCCTCCCGTCGCCTCGAAAGACGAGGAGGACCAGGTGGGACGAGCTTCCAGAGACAGCGGCTCGGACTGATGCAGATGAAGGAATTAATGAGCAACTGAATTGATCGGCATTAAAAATTAACCGCTTTGGGTAGTTTTGATACAAAGCTTCCGAGATCTGACGTCGATCGCTCGTGTGTGGGGCCGAGGGCCCTGGGCCTAGGCCCTGATATCGGATCCGAGATCTCCGAGATCTGGGACGTCTATCATCGTCTATCCGCAGCGAGCGTGCTTAGTTTTACTGTACTGTACGAGTGTGGTGCGGCAGGCTACCCTCGTCTTCCCTTTGGCAGGCGACGGACTCGGAAATCGAGGGCAGCTTGATCCGAGCTTAGAAAAGCCAGCCTGTCCGGACCCCCTTTACCGGCTCTCCCAAAGTGTACTTTATGGGCATCGATCAGACAGGCCTTTCCTATCCTAAACATCAAGCAGAGTGTGACCAGATCGACTCAGCTTGGCATCCCTCTCATGGGTCGGTCTCCATTGTGTCCTACTACCTGACACTCATGTAACAAACATGACATCGAACACGTTACCAGCTGTATATCAACCCAGGTCCTCCCCATGGCCAGGGCAGTCTGGTCCGGCGCGATGTAGCTCCGGCCCCATCACAGACACTCCCCTCATTTACGTTTCCCGACTCCCCCTCAGAGGGACCCCACAGGTCCATCGCCTCCCATGGATAATCACCGGGTGTTGTGTACTCGTACAGGTCGCATTCGAAGATACAGGTAGTCGTTTCCATTCCGTTCTCATCAATCGTCTTTATCTCGTCTCCCACGCGGTACATGTCCATCAAAATGATGCTCCTTAGCTTCATAGAGTCCTCGTGGGTTGGAGAAGGATCGCCAGTGCTGGCAGGGTCGTCTGGCAGAAGGCGGAACCTGGCCCGGCCGAGCGGACCCCCCTGAGATACCTCGATCGTGGCGTTGCCGTAGTCCAAGGGGAGGTGTAGCTCTTTTCCCGGCTGCGCCGGTACGAAGTCCTTGGTGAGCAACCACGACTTCCAGGTAAAAGGTTCTGAGTCAGCCGACGCTTGGGACGGTCCATCGCCGAAGTCCGGGCTGTCTTGCCTTCTGGTCCACACAGCTCTGCATCTGCCTTGACCCACGTATGGTGTGCAGGGCTTACGACTCTTGGGTGAAGACGAGTCGTAGGTGTACTCGGGAAGCCTCTTCTCGGCGGGTGACACAGTCCCCTGCGACGTCATGATGTAAGAAGTGGTACGAGGATTCATAATGAGCTGTGATCGTTCGTCGAGTCTTGGATCGAAGAGGGCGGTGGGTGTATACTTATAGTATATTGTTGGGGTGAGACTGTGAGTAGGAAGCAGTCTAAGGGCGACAGGGTGGCGCAAATCTCTATAAGAGGCGATGAGCTTAAGACTCAGCTGCTCTCCCTCAAAGGGAAACTCACATGCCCATGACCTCAGCACGTCATCCCCCGTATCGTACCGCACTCCTTTCTCGTGGTGGAACATGTGGGCAGTGTCACGTTTCAGGGGGTACACAGCACCGCAGCCACTCGCTCATCCTTTGTTGTCCATATCCCGAAGAGGAGACGAGGGACGTACGAGGATCTCAGACTTGAGTCAGCTGCACCGCCTTACAACCATCCGAGACTCCCACTGGGCTTCCTGATACTCAGCAGAGTCTGCCAAGACATGTCTGTACTGTTGACGGCATGATTCGTGAACGGGGTAGGATGTCAGTATGTGACTGAGCGTCCTTAGCACCATCGATCTCAGCTTGCACAACACGCTTGCGAAAGTGTAAGGTAGTGGCGTCAGTAGTGTCAATCATAAAACAGCTAGATGGCCTTGCTTGAGCGAAATCTGACGGTACGTACTACTTAGCTCTGACTCATGATTTAATTTGATGATGCTCGCCGCTCCAAGATATCCGCCTGCAGACCCCTCATCAGCGCCTCCACAATCTCCACTCTCGGCACATCCACCCCCACCTCCTTTGCCAGCCGCACCACCTCGCCGACAATGACCTCGACCTCTATTGGCCGATTCTGCTCGACGTCGATCCAGAGGGACATCTTGTGCGGTGTTTGGCCATTCGCAATCTTGGTCAAAGCCATCTTTGTTATCTGACTCGTCAGCCAAGCCATACCCCACACCTTGGCGGGATACTTACGATTTCCCAGCACTGATCCGCGAGCTCTTGCCTACTACCCATCCCCTTCCCGCCCAGGTTGTACTGCGGATCGCCCTCTCTCAGCAGGCCAGCTTCGAAACCCACATCGACGATCTCTCGGATCATCTTCTTGATGGGTGCGACGGTTGCTGCGGGCAGAGCGGCATACGTTGAGGGGTATGTGCGTGATAGAGCTTGGATAGATGACCAAGTTGCATTCCAGATGTTCTGATAATCAGTTTGGCCGTACCAAGAGGAGGATGCTGATACCATACTCACCTTGGCGTACCGTACAGCATCAACGTGATCTGTGGTCTTGATGTTGGCTCCTCCTTCCTCTAGCAGACTGCGCCATGCTTCCAGCGCCGCGGTCTCTCTTTCGGTGAACACGCGTGTGGGTTGAGATGTCTGAGGTGAGGCAGACGAAGGTCTGAGACGAGGTATTGGCGGGTAGATACCCGATACCAGCGTGTCCTAGACAGTCAGCAGCTTCCCTAGAATACTAATCAGCGGACAGCTCACCGCTCCTCTCCACTCCACTACAGCCCCATTCTCCTTCGCCATCACCCCAATCCACGCCAAGCTCGAGATCATTGGCGTTCCACTTGCTTCCACAGCCTCCTGCAGCTCCCGCTCCACCCCGAGACCGTTCTGGATCAAACACCATGCTCCGATCTGACCACTGGCGATAGCAGGCGCGAGGAGGGATGTATTTGGCAGAACGTCGGGGAGGCATTTGGTAGTCAAGAGGCAAAAGTCGTAGTGCTTTCCAGGGGTCAGAGCTTCTGCTTGAGACTTGACGACTGCGCCGATAAGCTTGACCCAGTGGAAGGACGCAAGAGACCTACCTCGATGTGGTCTCCAGCCCGGGATGTCGCCGACTTTGTCGGTCTTGAGCGTCACACCTTCGTTGGCGTACAGCTCATAATTCGATCGAGCGACCGCTGTGACTCTGGCTCTTCCTGACTGTACGTCAGCTTCAGACTGCGGGAGCCACTGTTGGAGCTGAGCTGACCTTCTCCAAAAGATAAGCATAGACTGAGCCGATTGAGCCGAGACCGACGAGCAAGATCTCGACTGGGGGAGGTGCAGATGTGGACATGGCTCGGTAGGGGGATGTCCAGCAGATGGGAGATCTGAGCGGAAACGAGCGGCGAGATGATATGGATGCCTTCAGTATTAGGTGCGGGCGGCGCAGGACCATGTACACTGCTTGTACGAGTATGACGATGCAGTAACGTTGCGCTGCTGAGTAGGGTGGGTGAGTAGGGTGGGGAAGATTGGCTGATAGTGTTTTGACTGGTGCCACGTCATGCGCGCCCTCGTTATTGCCACTTTCGGCGAGAATTCCTCTTCTATGCCACTCGTTGTTGCTGCTGCTGTTGACATCGATCTCGCCACCTTTGCATCCTATATCAGTCAAAGTAGCAGCCACCCCAGCAAAGCAACAGACGCACTCAGCAAGCACGGGCAACTTCTCCGCTCAACAACACCTGTAAGTCGCAGAGTGGGGGACCCCACCCTCCCACCGCCAGCCATATCTCCGGGAACCACCGCTGATGCACCCTCTCAGACGGCACCCGCCGCCCAAGCCATCACCTCGGCGTCCACCGCTATCGTCCATACCTCCCCCACTCTTCACAAGATGGATCACCCTCACACCCTCTCCGATGCCTCCCTCCACCCCATCGCCCCTGATCTCCTGCACGACGGCAATGACATGGATGGCATGGACCCGGAACTTGCGCGCGCCACCGCTACCGTCCTAGCCAACCAAGTCATCCTCCAAGGCGGTGACGGCGGTCATGACGACAATGTCAACCCTGAGGACTCGCTCCTGGACCCCGGTCTCGCAGACAAGTGGGATCACTTTGACGCCACGGCGTTCTACCCCCAAGGCATACCTTCGGACGCGTTCTCCCAGGGCCACGGCGGAGGGAGTCACATCGATCCTAGCCTGGATATCAACCAGCAGAACGCGCCCGTGGATGAGGATCATAAGCTGCACGAGGCGGCTGACGGCGCTGTACCTGGAGATAACGCCGACTCCAATGCCTCTCTCGGTGCGGACCTCGGGCAAGTCACCTCTCCCACGGCCGGAGACGCTGCCGACCCAAATGCCGTCCCGACGGGCGGCAAGCGCAAGCGGGCACGCCGGGACCCATCTCAACCCTCTACCTCCACCCAACGTAAACGCCCATCCATGATCCAAGATCCCAACGATCCCAACGCACACCTCTTCCTTCCCTCCAACCTCCAAGGTCGTACTGTCGAGTACGCCACCTCTCCGCTCGAAGACACACGGGCCGGGCCGGTCTACGTCCACCCACCCCAGGGAACCGTGCAGGCGTGCGTGCGATGCCATGGCATCAAGCGCAAGTGTGAGGCACTGGAATGGCGGTTGAGGAGCGAGGTTGGCACCAGCAACACAGGAGAGGGGACGATTGTCAACCCGAGTGGGTTCCAGGCTGGGATGGGAGCTGTTCCAGTCGTCTCGAGCAGTATGGGCGGGGTGATATGGGATAGGCCAAGATGCTCGGGTTGCGACAAGGCAGACGTGCCTTGTGTCTTCGAGCTGGGTGCAGCGAGCTCAGGGTAGGTTCTCCCGTACGGATCCTCGTGATTGCGCTGATAGCCAGTTTCGTCCACCACCTTCGCTCAGAAGCTCTAGCTCTCGCCGAGGAGCTTCTCACGGCTCGTCAGCGGATACAAGAGCTGGAGATCTCGCTCGCGGTCAGCCAGACCGAGTGATCCTGGAGCCCGACTGGAACACAACGACTCCGGAACATCATCAAGCGGCTTCTGGGCGGCGGCGGAGATCCTGAGCAGGGTGGGCAAGGTCGGAACCTGCCAGGCTCAGGGGGTGATCTTGTATTGGTGTACCATCTCCAGTCTTGTATGAGTACGGGTGTATATCACTTGGTCCATAGTCCCATATGTCATGTACGATCTCAGCTCTGCATCTCAGGTACCGCAAGGACCGTGGTCGGTGACTATCCTGAAACTTCAGCTCAACCCGGAGAGGGCAAGTAGATGAGGTCTGAGTCCTGTAAGGGTTCTTGGGCTTGTGGCAACACGCATCACCTACTTCAAGACTCCCAAGAAACTTCAGCTTGAGCGCACGGATTGCCTGGAACTCGGGCCAAATATAACGCGTAGCCGAGAACTACACTTGCATAGTGACCGTCACCCACTTCACTCACTACAAAAGGAGACCGCAGCGCGGTCGGCACACGGCTAGTACAGCAGAATCGACCAGAAGGGATGTCTCGAGTCCCCTATGAGGTTCACCGGGCGAGAAAGAGAGCGTCAAGCCATATGAGAGCTGGGTGAGTCTCCGCATTCCTCACTCGTCCCCTCGCAGCATCTCTGCTGCCTTGCTAACGCTCAACTGGGTCTGAAGACTCTGCTGATCCTACCAGGAGCGAGACGCCCACAGAGACCGAGTTCGACTTTGACGGCGCCTCCTCCCTCGCCTCGTACTCGACACACGTCACGTCGTCGTCCTATCGCCAGTCTGGCCCCTCCTTGAGCTACCCACCGAGCTCAGGCGCTGACCTCCGTCGACGCGCCCTCTCACCCTCCGGCTCAGCCTCACCGCAATTCTCACTCCACTCTCCACCATTATCCCAAAATGGCCCCATGTCGGCCGGAGCGCATTCGCTCTTTCCACACCGCCAATCCTCCTCTCGTCCCGGAAGTAGCTCGCGCGAGTACCAGCCAGCCTTCGCTGACTCATTGGCCCCGGCGCCGGACGCTCGAAGGCGGAGCAGCCGGACTGGCGAGACGGACGAAGAGCGGCGAGTGAGACGCGAGAAGCGCCGGGCGGAACGGAGCGCAAGAGGGCCGGAGGGAGAGGACCGGAGGGCTGTTGCGCGGAGTAGCAAGCTCGCACACAAGAAGGAGAGGGAGGAGGAAGAGGAGAGGCGATATGGATCGACGTTGAGGAATTGGGTCAAGTGGAGTATGTGGGGAGGGGCGGAGGGGGACCGGTGGAAAGGTCTGGGATGGGGTCTGGGGGGTGTCCTGGTCTTGCGTCTAGCGGTCGTATTGGTGATCGGTGAGTGCTGTTGTTAGAGCTCGGAGAGAGAGCAACAGCTGATCTTGCAGGTCTTCGGGAGTATGGCCCTAGTTCTCATGGCGGGCAAGCAGAACTCAGCGGTAGGTCCACGTGCTGGAACGAAGCAGATGCTCAATACTCATGTACGAAGGGTCGATACCGCCGTTACATCGCCTCGCAGCATTGATGTCAGTACTTCTGCCGTCTGATATGAGCTCAAAGGATGACCAGCTGATTGCATAGGTACCAATCCTCGCCCACCAAAACACATGATAGTATGCAGCACAGCAGAGCCGACTTGGCGCAAAATCAGGCTCTGAGTCTGCACTTGCCAGCACTACTTCTGGAGATGGCCATCTTGTGGACGGGCGTCATCATGTGGGTCAAACTAGAGGGAAGGTGGAAAGGCCGTAGTTGGCGAACCCAGGTGTGTCGACTCCATGCTTTTGCTATGCGCGACCCATTGAGCTGACTCGTACAGTTGACTGGAATTCTGACTTTCCTCCTCCAGCCCGCTCTAATCTACACGGCCGCACAGACACCGTGAGCTTGCCGATATGAGGTACTGCTAGCGAGACAGCTGACGAGAAGGTTGACGCCCTTATTCCTTGGTCTGGCCATCTGGGCTCTGATCTTCTTGACGAGATCTCAAGACATCTTGGGGGTCACGGCTGTCGCACTTGCTCTCGGCCCGGCAAACTCTCCGGGGCCAGCAAGGTGGACTTTATTGCCTGGCGTGGGTTCGTTTTTGCTTGGGAAGGGAGTCTGGCTTGGAGGATCTAGAGGGTGAGCTCCGTCGTATTCTGCGCCCGATCTGGGACTGACTCGCCAGTATGCGCCATGTTGTTTCTGCTTTGCTCGTTTTCGCCACCTCTAGCATGATCGCTGGTCCAGCCACTTCATCCGCTGCTCTCTTATGGACCGGGAGGCCACTCGGACGGGACGTAATCCGAGCCTTCCTCCAGTCCGGCCTACCTTGGCTGCCAGCTCACCTGGCAACGTCTGCAGAGCATGTTCGCTCTCATTGGGTAAGTAGCTGAAGAGAATCTATCTTCCCGCGAGCGCTAGCTGAATGTGCAGGTGCGTTGTCTCTTGACCGCCGCCTGCCAGCTCCCTACGATCATCATTGCCCTGTACACAGCCTTCTCCACGCGCATACCGACTTCCGCGGCTCCGGCAGGCGAGCCACCTCTCACCAACCTCCTCCCGCTCATTCTCGCCACATCCGCCTTGCCCATCTACCTGCTTTCCTCCCCTGCAACCTCGACCGCCGAATCCGGCGATGCACTGTTCCCGCTTTCACCTTTGACGCTGATGATGGGACTACGAGGGGAAGACGAGTCGTGGGACGTCGGGGTCTTGATCAGTAACGTGGCGATGTTCAGGTCAGTCTCAAATGGCATGATCCAGCGCGGGCTGAGCTGACCCATGAAGGATGCGTCCTGGATACGCTTCAGGGCTTGCTTCGGCCTCAACGACACTTGTGCTGCTTGGTACTCACAGGTGGAATCGCTTCATCGGGCATTCGCCTGCTCGATGGAGAGATAGCAGCTGGGTGCGAAGAGCAGGCTATGTAAGTTGGGCACAATCAGCCGTCTTCGCCCGCTTGTCGGATCAAGCGATAGCAAGGGAGCAAGCTGATATTCTGAGGCCGTATACGTCATTTTCTTAACCGTCGTCGTACTCGAATTGGCCCAACACACCACACTTCCTGCGCAATATCACATCTTCTCGGTCCCCTCGGCCTGGTGGGCGATACCCACCAAGGCAGGCGCATACCTCTCGACTGGGATCCTATGGGTCACTTGGGTTTGGGCAGTGCGGAAGCTAGTGGAGAGCGCATGGGCAATGGGTGGTTTCTCCGGCTCAGAAACCGGGGGTAAGAGGAGCCCAGGAGGAGTAGAAATACAGGTTATAGATGCTACATGATGCCAGACCTTGGTATGAGGCTCAACAAATGCGCTGATCAGATCCATATCTACAACCTCATAGGCTTGAGAAGCGGGGATGGCGGCGGTGAGGGCGGTAATGGGATGCCACTAGCGACACCCAGCACTCGCCTTTCTCTCGCGGAATCCATTTGTGGCCTACGTCCAGCCGAGCGGGAAGGCGATGGCGGAGGTGAAGGATAGGGATATGGAGCTGCTTCGAGAGAAGGAGGAGCGGCGGCGAAGTTGTTTGTGGACTTCCGATCGGCTTCTGCGCGTCGAAGCGCGTCAATCCAGAGTGGTCTGATTTGCGGATGTGTCGAGATCGCACGGTCAATGAGCACTGAAGTTTATGAGCTGATATACCCAGCCGCAACACTGTATAATGTAGCTCACCTTCTTCCATTCCCTGCTTGATTCGAGTCTGAGTGTGCGTCGGATCGCCCTGAGAAAGCAACGGGCCGACGATATCGTGAAATCCAGTGATAGCTGCACCGTCAGCTTCCGCTTGTATGCTTTGAACCGATGTCGCTCACCCTCCACTTCCAGACCTCGCACAGCCACCAGGACCTCCTCCAGTCCTGGCTGTGTCCCCTGTCTATCGGCGGACCACACACCCGCTAGCTGATTGATCCCGACTGATAGCGACGCAAAGATCCGGTGTAGAAGACGGATCTGTAGGAATGGGGGTCGGTCACCCAGTGTCAGGCTGAGGGAGCGGCTGAGGAGGGTCGGGCTGGTAGATGCGGATGAAGAAGGGGCGAGAAGGAGGTGCAGCTCCGTCGCTAGGAGGAGGACGAAGACTAGGTTTCTCCACTGCTGGATCAGCTTTGTGCCGTGGTGAAGCAAGCACGGAAAGTGTGAAGCTTACGAAGGCGCCGTCTTTGGCACGACCCAGCACTGAGGAGTCAGCTCCGGTCCGAGATAGATCGTATGCCATTGAGCTTACAGCTCAGGAGTAGCATGATCGCGCCTGAGATGACGTAGAACCCGCTCGACTGGTTGATCCCGAATCGCATATACTCGCGAGTCGTCACGGCTTTCCACTGCAGGATGTCCGCTCCAAACCTCTTCGAGTCAGCCATAACCCACCAAGCGGATATTGACGAGGATATATAGAAGACAGAGAGGACCTACCGGTCATATGCCCACCGCTTTATCGGGTCTGATAGGCCCTCGTATGCTTGTCTGATCCGGATGAAGTGGTCACCCGAGCCTTCTGCTCCTTGTCTGATACGATCTGGATGATACGTCCGCGACCTATCCGTGAGCCGAGATCCTATCGGCAGAGGAGGGACTAACAGAGTTCTGAATGCCCGCTTGAGCTCATCCTCCCCAGCACCCCTTCCAACCCCTAAGAGGGCATACCAATCCCCCGCCTCCCCACTTTCCGCCTCGCCCGACCCAGCTGCGCCCCACCCAAAGCTCCACACGAGGTATGCGCCAATAACGAGCGTAAAGACGTGTCTGAAGTTCCGCTGGTATCCTGGCGAGCCTGGCGGGGAGGGCGGGAAGATCTGCGGGAGGTAGGTCGAGAGATGGGGGATGAGCTGGTGTGTGAGGGGAGAGGGGACGACCGAGAGCAGAAGCGGAGTGAGGAATGACATGGCGACGCGCGATGTGGTGGCACTCGTCCACTGGTCGAGGCCGCCTACTCGCGCGGGTCGGCTTGTTAGCAGGTCCCGAGGGTATAAGTATGGTGGAAGGACGAACGGAGCATCGTCGTCGCGCGTCGCGAGAGATCTCGTGTCAAGCAGGTCCGTGCGTCAGAAAACATATGTATGGGCCTAGCTAGGGTGCGGGAGCTTGTAAGGGCCCAGGTGTAAGAGTGCGGTGGACGCAAATTGCAGCTTGTAGGCTGAGGCTTCATGGTATCGTTGGCTCCTCCTACAGCTTGAATGAGCGTCGTCCAGAAAGTAGGGCAGAGCGACACCGGAAACGCAGGCAGTAGCTGGTCACTTCAACTTTACTCGCGTTCCCTCCCACGTCCCATACGTTCAGGCCGCTCACGATGAAGCTCTACAACCAGCGCAGTGGTCTACGTATGCTCAGCTGTTGAAGTGCGCCCTCAAATAAGGCCGGAGGGCTCTACACCTTGCCGAGACTACCAGGACTTGCTGCGGGCTGTGGCTGGTCGTACCGGGTGTTTTGATACGGTTCTCGTTACGCTAGGTGCGTCCCTACAACTTCACGACAAGGACATGAGCGGGTGACTGGGGCTTGCCGAGCTCAGGACGATCGCTCGCCTGACGCAGGGGGGCTCGTCGCTGTTCAACCATCAAGATGCCTCGCCCAATCGCACGGTACTCACGATAATTCGCCCTCCCCCTGTGTGGTATGTGCGAGAGGTGCTCGGTATGGCTCAACACAGCATCTCATGACATGGACTTTGGCCTGTACAGCGGATTTGACTGTCCAATGGCCGGTGCTACACTCCAGAGCATAGTGCCCGAGCCGGAGCGGAGAGGCCGGGCTCTGTACACGAGTGTTGACTCGTGCGCTTGTTACTGTCGTCCTATCCGTCTTGGGTATCCGCTTATACTGTTCACTCGGTCGCAGACGAGTGGCGCCACAGTTCTGGACGGCCCTCCCCTTCTCTGTTCGACGTGAGGTCGCGCACGCTGGAGAAGAGCGATATCCAGTAAGTCTGGTCCGCGGTGTTAGGGTAGAGTCACGGCCCTGTCAGGCAATAGTTATGGCAGCATCTATTATAGCAAGCGAAAGCTGACCAGCGATCTCAAGCCCCCGTAACACCTGGACTATGCACTTACACATCCAGCTGGCTCTCTCGCTGCCACTTTGCATCCGAAACAACCTGAAACACCACGAAACACCGCTTTCGCCACGTGTTTGATTGCCGTGAAGCGGGAATCGCCGGCTGTCGCGCTTGGACGCCGGAACGAAGCGCGACTTTGAAAGGCTTGGCGGTCCACCCAACTGACGCGTCTCGTTACTATATTAGCCAGAGTCAAGTAGCTTGGCAGGGCAGTAGGAGAGTGCGAGTAAGGAGGAAGAGGAGAGCCACTCGCTTTGCTGTGTAACAGGGTTCCCCACTTGACGTCAACAAAGCCCTGCAGTGGCCCGCCCGGGCGAGTACGCTGATTGGTGTGCTTGAGTTTCACCCTGTACGCGATCTCTTGGCAGTCATCCCTTGTCAAACTCACTCCCATCAAACATCCTTTACAACCCTCTTCTCCATCGTCCATCATCTCCTTTCTTCTTTATATTCACCTTATTACTGACCTCTCCCTCCTCTCTCGCCACTACACCTGTACCTCTAACTCGGCAAAAACAGTTCCTCATCCCCTACCATGCTGTCTATTCTCGCCGCCGCCGCCGTCATGGCCGTCTCGGCCAACGCTCAGGTCACCGCCACCCAGCCCAACGGCCGCACCAACCCTTCCGCCCCCGCCTTCATGCCCGTTGGCTCCTACGTCAACCAGACATCCGTCTCGAGGTTGATCTCGCTTAACGGTGTCGATGACTTCTGCCTCTGGGGTCCCCCTGAGCCCGGACCGGACAGCTTGATCGGAAACGTGAGTTGATCGACGACGCGTCGATCTTGTGGCGAAGCATATGCTGACTGCGTAGGTCGAGCCCATCGTCGTCGCCTACTGCACCAAGCCCAGGAACAACGCCCGTCTCATCCCCGACGGTACCATCCAGGCTGCCCACGTAAGTTTGCCACCTCAAAGGAGTTGACCGTGCGTAAACTTTATGCTGACTGCGCAGTACATCAAGACCCCCCTCTACGTCCAGATCTCCGGCTTCTGGGACGGCACAAAGGCCAACATCGTAAGCTTGTTCACTTTCCACGCTTGGCTTGGCTGATATACAGCCCTACGGTGACTCCGGAGGAGAGCTCGACCCATGGGGAGCTGAGAACCTTGGTAACCCCGTCGGCGGTAACGCCACCTCGAACGTCGAGGGCCGGGATGTTTGGTACATGCAGTGGATGAGCTTTGTGAGTGCTTCCCTGCTCACCTTGAGCCAGTGCTGACCCTCAGATCTCGTTCGACCAGTACTGTCTCCGTATCTGTACCGCTGAGAACGCCACCAACACCGCCGAGCTGCAGTGCGAGCACGAGCTTGACATCATGGGATGCCAGTTCGTCATGGCCATCGGGTATGTCTGTCCACTACTTGTTGACTTCCCGGCTGACCCTCAGCGACTACTACTCGTCGAACAACACCTTCACCTCGTGTGACGGTGCCGCTGCCGCTCCCCCAGGTCTCTACCCCCTCGCCAACGGCTCCACCTCCACCTTCCGTCAGCGATACACCGGTTCGTACACCCAGGGCGGCTCCGTCGGCTACTTCACCGTCGGCCAGACCGTTACCCCCTCCGCCCCCGCGTGGATCCCCGCAACCTCCAACTGCTTCACCTACAGCACCATCTCCAACGGTGTCAACACTGCCAACTGGCTCGTCGCCTCGGCTCCCTCGACCCTCTCTGGCGGCTCAACCCTTGCTGTGGGTAACGTCGCCTCGACCTCGATGTCGCGTCCCTCCATGGCTTCCGCCTCGGCCACCTCGTCGTCGGGCTCAGGCTCCGCCTCGCGCTCCGGCTCGTCATCCTCGGGTGTCGGCGCATCGGCTTCCGGTGCGTCCAACTCGGCCGCTTCCGGCGCTGCTGCCGCCTCGTCGTCCCGCGCTGCCGGGTCCGCAGTCATCCTTGGTCTCCCCAGCATGGGCTCCATGGTCGCCATTGCTGGCGCCATGGTCTTTGGTGCGGCTGCCGTTGCTCTCTAAGCGGAGTTTGGTATTTGTGGTTTGATGGACATTCGAGATTAGAAATTACGTTTAGCATAGCATTAACGTCATTACGTACACACTCATTATTCGTTCTCCAACCCCTGTTACAACCTTGTCCTTCTCTTGCTACGAGTACACGACCAGCTCAAGCAGTATGTTTATGATCTTGTTCACGTCCCCCGCCATCTTGCGATACAGACTTGAATTCCCTGAGTACTGACTTGCTCACATACTCGGAACGACTGAACGTACTTGTACATTACGAGCGTAGGCTGAGCCCTATTATATCACTCAGCGCCATGAGCTGGTCGGAACGGGCTGTTCAAAAGGCCAAGATGATTTCATACACAAACGGTACTGACAAAACAATCGACAGGACCAAGAGACTCAATCTTTACAGATTCATATGCCTTCACCAAAGTGAACCAAGCTGTCCCCATCGCCGACCAGCTGGGTGTCATCTTGCTGCTCATCGTCCGCCTGCTTGCTGGATGCGCTCGCTGCGCCAACCAGTGCGCTCGTCGACTCTGCAATTGACTCTCAATCGGATCCGCGCGAAGGAGCATCAGCTTCTTGGGCCTTAGCGGACCAGAATTCTACAATTAGCATTCGAAAGCGACAAGGCACTCACCCCCTTCCGTCGGACGTTGGGATGTAGACTGGACAGGAGTAGACCAAGGGAGGCAGCCCTGTCGTAGAGGGATTGGATCTGCTGTATGGAAGTAAATCTGATGTCTTGATTGGATGGGAGGAGCGGGGGCCGGTAGTCGTATTGATCAGTAGGAGGGTCGCGCCGTCCACGCCTTTCTGGGTCGATCTGCCATCGCAGAAAGACAGCATGCGCCGTGATCCCACTCTCGTCTTTGTTGTTTGTAAAGGGGAGGTACACCGATCCGATGAACTCGTCATCGTATACTCGAGCTGCAACCCTGCCAACGCCTTTGACAAGCTTTCTCTCCAGGTATGAGCTCTTCGATTCCTTGCGAACAGTCTTTTCCCAAGCGTCGATAGACTTCCGGAGGCACTCTGGTCGAAGACAGGAAGTCACGCTGTAGGTCGCTTGCGTCCCACGCTTGATCCCATTTGCGTGCATCAGCCCAAGCGACGGCTTGACGAGCAGCGTAGTCCAAGTGCCCGTGAGCGTCGCCCCCACCTTGACACCGCCGCAGGTACAGGCATCCTTGGGAAAGACACCCAAATACGAGGGATAGCCTTGCGAGCGCGTCACTTCGGGACAGCCTGGCGCGTTGCCGCGCTCGCCGGAGGTACACGTCTCGTCAGGATCGAGCCGCGCGTACATGTGAGCCTCGAGTAGCCCTCCGCGCGGTCCGGAGAATTGCTTGATGAGCTCGAGCACCTCGGTCGAGGACGCTTGTCTGGTTGTCGACCGGGCGAAGCTCGCAGCAAGCTCGCCAAAGTACCTGCCGGGGTAGTCATCCGACATGATCGTGGCGTAGGACAGAGTGGGCTAGTGAGAAGGAACGGTATTGATTTGAAGTTGGATGAGTGGCAAATGGTGGAGTATCCAACGAGAAGCAAACGCAGAGACATCGTTCTCGTTGTTGCTGGCTTCGCAGCTGAAAGGAGTTCTTCGGTCGTACGGGGCGTGCTCAGGCGATCAGTCTGCCTCTCGGACTCCACCTTTGATTATGTGTCGGGAATTCGAGGACGAAGGTGTTTGAGCCTGCTGATCAGTGAGGCCGGTAGGGTTTGTGGGGTAGTCTCGAGGCGGAGTCGGCATTCTTGCTCTGCGCAGTTGCTATGAGTCTATCCAATACGAGCTCCGCGACACACTATGCTACCGTAGTGATACAAAATGAAAGCAGGCGCTCAGGCGCTCAGTGACACTGTCCGCGCTTTCTGACACAGTCCTGCGAGCACCATCATTTGGCACCTGCCGTCGATATATTGTTCTCTTCAATTCCTGATCTTCATGAGGCTCTGCCACCTTCACATTCATAGTCAACAGTCCTACATCAGACTCACTGGCAAGGGGTTCATTATAGTCTCAACAATATTCGCCCTATGAAGCGCGGGTGCCACATTTGCCACCCGCAAACTGGAGTGTGACTGGACTCAGTACATCGCCGAGACAGATGAGGCAAGTACGACAGCGCACCCCGTCCAGTAAAGCCAGAACAAGCGCCTTTGCATGATACAGAAGCACAAGACGCGTATATATACTATATACTCAAGATACGCAAAAAGTTCCTGCTACAATGATACCACAACCCCCCTTTTCAGATAACCCGTCTCCCCGTCATGCTCTCCTCGCCCGCTGCAACAGCTCAGCCGCCTTCTTCCTCTCCCCCTCCCCTACCTCCAGACCATCCAGCACCCGCAATCTAGGGCACCGCTGCATGATCCCGCCCCGATAGGCCAGTCTCTTGCCATACCACATATCCGGCAGATTCCGTCGGAATTCCGTATCCATCTCGGCCCAGTCCGCGCCTGTCTCTTGTTGCTGGAAGAACATGGACGTGGTGGAGCCGCGAGTGGAGGCCGAGAGGGTCGCATTGGGTCCGGTACGGCCGAGGAGGATGGCGGTCTTGTTGGGTCGAGCAAGGTGGGGACGGGAGGCGGGAGCGGTGTGCGCGGGTATGAAGAGGGAGATGTAGTAGCCGAGGGTACTGGGGTTCATCCTGGTCTGTCAGCGGTCGCACTTTAGGAAGGGGTGAAAGAAGTGCTCACCTCAGATCGACCTCTTCCAGCGACTCCAACCCCTTCAACCCCCTATCTCCACCTTCCAGCCTATTCCCTACCACCGACACCTTTCTCAGATTCCGCATACCCTTCAGTCCCGCCAGATCCTCGAGGAAGTTGTAGTTGACATTCAGCACCTCAAGCGAGGACATCTGAGCGGCGATACTCTTCGGCCAAGCGGATAGGCGACACGCAGCCATCTCGAGGTACGTGAGCTGATTGAGCTGCCCGGAAGAGAAGAAGTCGGGCGACAAGTCGTTGCCTGTTTGTCAGCTTGGTGGATCCGCGACGGGAATCAAGAAGCTTACCGGAGATGTACAGCCGCTTAAGACCTTCCATCTCCCCCTTGGCCAGCCTCAAACCCCTCGCTCGCTGACTCCGCAAGCTGAGCGAGTCTAGCCGGCTCCTGGATCGATCGGAGCGCTTGAGCCCCAGCAGGCGATTCTCATCTGCGTACAGGGTCCGGACTTTGGGGAAGTGTTCCATATCGAGCAGAGCCAGGTCGTTCCGGCACACCTTGAGCGTTCGGAGGCGGACAAGCGGGGAGGCGGAGGAGAGAGTGATAAGGTCATTGTCGTCTGCGAGAGTCAGCTAGGCGTCCGTCTTTGGCAGCTAGCTAGCTGGACTTACCCAGGTTGAGCGTGACCAGACCCTCAAGCTCTTCTAGACCAACCACCTCGCCGAGCCCGTTTTCTGGAAGCTCGAGATGCTCCAGCTTCTTCCACCTCGATACCGAAAGATCGAGCTTGTCGATCCGGTTCCCGCGCGCACTGAGCTTGACGAGGCTGTCCATGTTCATAATGCTCGATAGGTCGGTGATGCGATTATGATCCACCCGGAGGTCGCGCAGGTGTTTCAGACAGCGAAGTTCTGAGCACCGTCAGCCAGCCTCGGCATCAGGCGGAGGAGACAATAACTTACGGGACACGCTATCCAGCTGATTCCGGGACAGATCAAGCACTTGGAGATTCCGCAGGTGATCCACCGAGGTCAAAGAGCTCAATCGATTCCCTGCAACCTGGAGCGCTCGGACGCCGGAAGGTATTCCCGTGAGGTATGAGATGGCATTGTCGTTCCTGCCCATCAGCGACTCATCTCCTCCCTATATCGATGTAAACTTACAGGTTGACCTCATCCAGAGCCGGCAAGAACTCCTTGAGCCTACCCACCCCCTCCAATCCCTTCCCATTCAGATCCACCTCCTTCAACGTCTCCCAATATGGCTCGAACGGCTGTACGTCTGTGATGACCTTGACGAGCTGGTCTGACGCTACCGCGAAGGAGCACTCGGTAAGGAATGTGGCTTGACCCGTGGCGACGGCGTTCTCGCGGTGGGACCGGGATCGGCGGAATGAGCGCGCGGGGAGCGTGGAGAGGTCATGTGTCGTGTCCGCCCGGGATGCGTCTGCTGCACCAGACGGGACAGGTTGAAAGGCTGATCTAGCCGCGTGAGGGTTGGGCGTAGGCGCGAGCGCTGGTGGTCGGACCGGTTCAGGCCATCGACTAGGCTTGGAGGGAGTGATATTATCAAGACCTGCAAAGTCAGCTTCAACCCAGTACTCTCGGGGAATACTCAACTTACTGAGCTCTTCCATATCGCCCAATACTTCCTGGATCCGCCTCGTTCGCGCGCTAGCCAACAAGCTCATCCCATTCCGATCAAACAGATTCCCATCGCCCCCATCCTTCCCGCTCATCTCCTCGTCCACCACCGGTCCAGAGACATCATCCAGAGCCGGCATCGCCTTCTTGCCAGCCTTGTCCTTTGCCGCACGCACCTCCTCCCCTAGCCCCCGGAGCTGCTCAGAGAGACTCATCACTCCAGGACCAGTACTCGCTCGTTTCAGCCCACCCCGGGGTAGCACACCGCCCGTCTCCAGCCCCTCAATCTTGCCATGCTTCTTGCCGTCCGAGAAGGAAACAGAGCGGGTGATGGATCGGGACCCCTCGGCGAAGGGAGTAAGGGGGAGATCTTCGAGCCATGAGGCCTTCTTTTTGAGACCAGGGGTGCCGTCGCTGAGCTGGCCGTTGCTGTTGGGGTTCCGGAGGGCCGAGCGGATAGGTAGAGGATTGGCCGACGACGGACGGGGAGTGAGGATGGCGGGAGCAGAGTTGGTGTGCGAGACTGCCGGCCGCGCGGGAGTTGGCGCGGGGAGGGGTGTGGGTAGGGATAGAGGGGAAGAGGTGAGAGCTGTAGTCGGGACCGCCAGCCCAGCAGCTCGTGGCTCTTCCTCTTCGCCCTCTGATTCGGACGTATCGAGTAGCGCGGCAGCGTCAATCGTAGTCATGTTTGCGAGTTCCGCCCCAGCATTCGAGTCGGTATCCGTGTCGGACTGCTCTTCCTCGGCACCAGCATGCTCTGGCGCTGGGTCCTGCTGAGCCGAGCCCCGCCTGGACCCCTCCTCACTCATCCCAGCAAAGACATCCACGCTCTCCTCGCTCCCCACCCTTCTGCTCTCCTCCGCGCTCCCCTCACTGACCCGCTCCAGCCCACTCCCACCGCGCTCGCGCACCCAGCGCATCAGAGTCGCATCATACCGCATCTTGCCGACCTGCTGCCCGACAAGCCCGTTAACCTCGTCGGGCCGAATAACGCGCATGGGACCTTTGCCTTTTGGTCCAGCATGCTTGACGAATGAGGTGGAGATGGTAGATGTGTGGGTAGTGGGTACGGTAGTGGACGAAACGTAGCGGTTGAGGTCGTCCGTATTGACGCCTTGGCCGGGTGGGCTGGATGGCGCTTCAAGAGCAGGACGAGGGACAGCCTGTCGAGACCGGACCGAACCATAGCGGAGCTGGGCGGGCGGACGCTCTTCTTCCTCTTCCTCCGCGCTGTCTTCTCCTGCTCGCTTCATCTCCTCCGCCGCACTCAGGCGCCTCAGAAGTCTCCTTGGACTTGCACCGCGTCCCTTGCCTCTGCTTCCCCTCATACTCCCACCTCGATGCGACTTGCCCCCATACTCCCACTCCGACCTCCACGCATCCGTCTCGCTGCTCCCCACATTCTCGTCCGTCTCGCTCAGCGGTTTCCGCGCATCGCCGGCACTCGAGTCGGCAGTTTGTGCACCGCCAGAGATAGCAGAGGCGCTGTCCGAGACTGCGCGTTGTCGAAGATTGGCCATCATAGCCTCGGCGGTACGGAGGTAGCCAGAGGATGCGGTAGAGGGGTTGGACCGGTGATTACCGTTGGGTCCGGGCTTGTGTGAGGTCTGACGAGGCAATGCGGATGCTGCGAGATGAGATGATGGCTGTTGGGAAGGAGCGCGCCGGTCGAGGGGAGGCGTAGGCGGTATGACGGGGTACTCGATGCTTGGACCGTCTGTCCCGTCAGCTTCGCCTTCCTTAAACAGCAGTAGACTCACCCTCTTCATCTACCAAGCTGCCTCCCGACTGATACGGACTCGCGCTCGTCGTGCTTTCCTCCACCTGCCTCCCCTTGATCCGGCCCATAATCTCCAGTCCGACATTGCCCCAATCCCTCGGCTGCCGCTTTGGACTAGGCGGAGACAGGCGCAGCCGCTTGCTACTCCTCGAGTCTGTCGACTCCTCGGACGAGTGTGTCCCAGTCCCCGTTCCCCAGCTATCCGCATCCCCTTCTCCACTCCGACCACTCCCTTCATGTCCACCCGGAGAAGCAGAGTCGGCGGGAGACCATTCGCGATATTGCGCCGAAGCTGGAGGAGGAGGGGACGGGGACGCCTCGATCCCGATAGAGTCGACGATGGCGGAGAGGTGTTCCCGGGTGCACGTGTCGTATGTTGACCGGAAGAGGCGAAGATTGGGGTTTGGTGGGAGTTTGGGGGATTTAGGAGGGAGAGCACCACGCTTGCCGCGGGCGTCGGGAGGAAGGGCAATGTCATGGATGGTCGAGTGAGATGGTCCGTCGCCGTTGTCTGGCTGATTGAAGAGTGCTTCAAAGTCGTCATCCGCCGGAAGTTGCCTTATAGAGCCCCCCCGGACGGTAGCTGAACCGCTTGCCGTGCCCGAGCCGGTCTGCCCGGATGAGTAGCGGATAGGTGCGTTGAATGTGAAGGGGAAGCGGGTAGCACCTCTCGCTAGAGGACTGCCATCCACCTCGTCCCCTTCAATGGAGAGATGCTGCATTGAATGCTCGACATCATGCGGACCCCCGTCCGGCCCCAGCAGGGACATGCTGTTCTCGTCCTCCTCCGCAGCGGGCAACGTGTCGTCCAGGGCAGACTCGTCCGCCGGGAGCTGAGAGGTTTCCGATGGCGCCAGAGAGGAAGAGTGAGAGGATGGCGTCATGGATTTGCTGAGGCGGCTGGGGTTGCGCGGGGCAAAGGGGTGGGAGGCGCGGCGGACCTCTTCGACCGAGGAAGCGCCCGAGCTGGGCGTGGAGGTGGGAGGTGGGCGACTGGGGGTTTTGATCTCGAGGGGAGCAGATGCGGGGGGTGGGTCCGAAGATGCAGTGGGCGGCGATGGCGGCTCGAACATCCGTTCTAGCGCGTTCTTTCCGAAGATGTCTTTTGACTTGACGCCTAGTCTCGCCAGCGCTCCTCCACGGTTATCCTCCACCCCGTCCTTGACCACGCATGTCCCTGCTACCGCCACCGTCCCATTCTCCGCCGCGATGTCTGGTCCGCCCTCCGAGCTTGACCGCGAAGAAGGCGGGGACAGTATTCCCGTTCCTTGCGGGACGAGAAAGTCGCCTGATGGCTGCAATCGCGTTCCGCTCCCATGGCCTGAGACCACCCTCTCCGGGCTACCGTTCGTAGCGTTCCGCGACGGTAGACCTCTTGGCGCAGAATATCCGAGAGACCGTAGCGAGCCGCGCTTGTTGGCTATGGACCCCTTGGCTGTGGACGCTGAAAGAGTAGGGGGTTTTGAGGTTGATCGACGTTTTTCTGACGGAGATTCGGGAGGAGGGGAGCCCGATTCGACCCATTCTTCGCCTAGCTCGTCGGTATGCCAGCCTGGGTTGGACATGATACCGATTGGGGAAAGGCTGAGCTGTAGCTGGTAGGTGTGGGTGCTTTGGAGGAGAAGAAAAAGCAGCCACGAGAGAGCTCTGTGCGCGATGTAAACAACCGAGCCAAAGGCACGCGGAAGTAAATTTCAGGCGAGCTTACGGCAAAGCGGAGATCGCCGACGAGTGAGGTAGAATTTTGAGCGCCAAAGAGGTCCACCACCATAGCCTATTCAACACTCACCTATACCTAATACATCTAGTACAGCTATCGACATGCCCCGTATCAGAAAGAGTAAGCTCAGCGCGCTGGGGAAGAGAGGCAGGATAGAGTTGACTCCTCGCAGAGACATCCAACAGGGCGACCACCCGGGACCGGGCAAAGGTCAAGCACAAGGTCGCAGAGCACCACCGCAAGCTCAAGAAGGGAGCCAAGAAGGACCCCACTTGGAAGTCGAGTATGTGTACTTGCGAGGTCTAGCGAAATAGGCCTGAGCTGACATGCTTGCAGAGAAGAAGGCAGACCCGGGAATCCCCAACTCATACCCTTACAAGGACAAGGTTCTTGCTGAGCTTGCTGAGGAGAAGCGCCTCGTAGGTCTTCATCGATCTTATAACGCTATAGGCCCCATGCTGACCTCTCCAGGCCGACGAAGCGAAGCTTGCTCGCCGTGAAGCCAATCGCAACCCGAACCAGCACGAGCCGGAAGACGAGACGCCCGGAATCCAGTCTCTCCACAAGTCTTCGGTCCTGTCCTCGTCCATCGCTCTTCCCATCGCCAAGGCTTCTGCATCCTCTTCTACGGACGAAATCGACGCCGACGTCCCCGCTTTGGTCGACACCGAGTTGACCAATCTTCAGGATGTACTGGATAAGGCGGACGTGCTGATCGAGGTGGTTGATGCGAGGGACATTGCTGGTGGGCGGTGTGGATGGGTCGAGGCGTTGGTCAAGGATGCTGGAGGAAAGGTCCTGCTGGTCGTCACCAAGATCGGTAAGTCCTGTCCTAGCCAGGGTTGAGCAACGCTCATGGTCAGATCTTGTACCCCGCGAAGCTCTCGAGCAATGGCTTCCTCACCTTTCCCTCCCCACCTACCTCTTCTCCGCCTCTCCTACCGGCAAGACCCCAGTCCGCGGCCGCGCAGAGCTTCTCTCTGCTCTTCGCTCCCTCACTTCCACCTCATCGGACGGATCCGAGCCCGTCATCGCCCTCATGGGTCTTCCCAACTCCGGCAAGACATCCCTCATGAACGCCCTCCTCCCCGCCATGGCCAAGAAGTACGAAGTCGCTCCCGTCACTGGCGGAAATGGCGCCACAGCCAAGCACCCCGAGCCGACAACCAAGGTACCGGTAGAGGTGAGGGTGGATGTGGGCGAGGGGAAGGGCGTCAAGATTGTGGATACCCCAGGATGGGAGTTTGTGGAGGAAGAACCAGAGGAGGATGCCGACGAGGAGGAGGAGGAGGAGGCAGATGAGGCGCAGATGGACAAGTGGGACTTGCTGGAAGAGCGCGTGGCGGGGGACTTGCTGCGGAGAAATTTGGGCAGAGTGGACCGTGTCAAGGATATCCTCCCGCTAGGTGAGTCTGATGCGTCAAGCTATCGACTGAGCTGACCGCCAGCCTCGTATATCATCTCTCGGTCAAATGGCCAAGACCTCATGCTCGCGTACAACATCCCCTTCTTCAACACCGGCGACGTCGAGGCATGCTTGACCGCAGTAGCTAGGGTGAACAACCGGATCAAGAAGGTCAGTCGGATCTTGGCTTCAATGGAATCTCACTGACTCTGTAGCACGGTGTAGTGGATCTCGACGGCGCCGCCCGCATCATTGTCCGAGACTGGGCACAGGGCAACTTCCCATACTACTCGCTCCCTCCCAAATCGACCGGCACCACCTCCACCCCTACTGTCGACATGTCGGCTGTCCTGGCAACATGCCGGGGACGAAAGGAGATGCGCGCGAGTGGCGGAAAGGGATTGATTCGGTTCCTGGGTGGTGAAGTGGATCAGCGTCAAGTGAGTGCTGGCAACCATGAGCAACTTCCAAGAGGGGAGACGGCCAATAAGTGCATACGAGACTACAGGCTGACTTGACAGATCGTTATGGACGATGACTACACGGCGATGCTCGGTCTCGACGATGACGAGGATGACGAGGAGGAAGAGGGAGACGAGGAGCTCGACGATGAGGACGATGAGGAGGACGAGGAGATCGAGGGTGAGGAGCTGGAGCTCGAAGACGGCCCCGAACCCGACTCCGGCTCCGACCTCGCCGAGGACGACGCCGAGTCTGAGGAGTCCGAGGAGGAAGTCGAGGAGGTACCGGTCGAGACGGTATCGAGGAAGAACAAGCGGAAAGCCCAGCCGGGACCCAGTCCAGTGGCCGAGGAGAAGCGGAAGAAGGCCAAGCGGGTCAGCTTTGGGCGCGACGTGGTGGGGTACGGCAAGGTGCAAGGGGAGGGTAAGGCGGGTGCGGGCGGAAAGGAGTTCAAGGGGCTTGGGAAGCGGAGGAGGTGATGCGGTGCATAGGGACGGAGCGGATGCGGGGAGATTTCGGACGTTTCGGTCGATGCAGCATGGTCTTTGTTTGTACTCTACATAGCGGACGTCCGCGGCCGGAGGGGCTGTCCGTGCAATGAACCGTGATCAATACTGACGCGTACTGACGAGAGTCGACGGACCGAGACTGCGACGCGTGATGCGGCAGAAACGCTCCCCATAGCTTCATCACGTGCTTCCAGCTTCCCCTCGACTCACGTGACTTGTGTCGGCCAGTAGGCCGTGGAACCCGAAGGAAGCTTCGCAATCACACACCGCACAGAATAATCACGCACTGACGGAATGGAAAAGCTCCAGACAAGCCCGGCTCGCCGGCGGCCGCACCAGCCACATCGTCAGATGCCTTATCGATAAACAACGCGTCAACACCTCCACACGGTTTTAGGTTCAGGCACGAACCGCGGATCGCGCAATATCAGATCCGGTGACTCAATTGGCGGATCCGGACTGCTATCCGGACCGATCTCGGAAGTTTGTCACTGACGTTAGATTTGTTTACAATGTGACGTATACCGACTGACAGGACTCACAAACACTGTTCGAGACAATTAGCGATCGGCAAAGGCACTCTGGGGAGTGTCTGTGGTTGTTGTGGACCGATGGACCGAGCGAGATCGAGCGTCGACGGCGGGCTATATAGTCTGGGCCCCCTCGCTCCAATTCTCTTCTTCATCTTCCACATCCACCACTTCCACAGTCCACCACTACCACACTACCACACTTCCAACTACCCCACACTCTTTTATACACAATGAAGTTCGCTGCTGTCGCCTCTCTCCTCGCTGCCGGTGTCGCCGTCGCCTCCCCGGTCGTCTCCAACCCCCTCAAGCGCGCTGCCGCCGTCACCGACCTCCAGGTCCTCCAGTACGCCCTCACCCTCGAGCACCTCGAGGCCGCCTACTACGCCCAGGGTCTCGCCAAGTTCAACTACGACGACTTTGCCAAGGCTGGCTTCCCCGACTGGGTCCGCGGCCGTGTCCTTGAGATCTCTCAGCACGAGTCGTCCCACGTCAAGCTCCTCACCGCCGCCCTCGGTAACAACTCGGTCCCCGCGTGCCAGTACGCCTTCCCCCTCACCGACCCGCGCACCTTCATCTCGTTCGCGTCCTTCCTCGAGAACATCGGTGTCTCGGCCTACATTGGCGCCAACCAGTACATCTCGGACCCCCTCTACGCCACCGTCGCTGGCTCCATCCTCGCCGTTGAGGCCCGCCACCAGGGCTTCTTCTCCGGCCCGGTCTTGACCCAGGCTGACTGGACGTGAGTACCTTCTCTTTCTGCTTGGGATCGAGGCTGACTCTCCAGTGGACCCTACGACACCCCCCTCGGCCTCGACATGGTCTACACCCTTGCCGCCCAGCTCATCACCTCGTGCCCCGCTGGCCCGTCCCTCCCGGTCACCGCCTCCAGCCCCCTCGCCCTCGCCGCCGGTCTCCCCGTCGGTCTCGCCACCGGTGGCTCCGCCGTCGCTCTGACTTACGCCAAGTCTTCGTCCTCGGTCCCGGGCCCCGTCAACGCCGTCCTCTACAACGGTCTTGGCTCTGTCTTCCTTCCCTACACTGACGGCAAGGTCACCATCCCCAAGGGTAAGTCTTCTGTTTCTGTCCTTGATTGAGCTTTGCTGACTATCATCAGAGATCCAGGGCTTCAGCTACGTGATCCTCACCAACGCCGCCGACGCCGCTTCCGTCACCAGTAAGTCTTCCCTCCTTCAGTCACACGAGCCCAGCTGACATCTCAGCCGCCAACACCGTCGCCGGCCCCGCCGTCATCAACACCCCCTTCGACGCCTTCCAGTCCAACGCTGGCTTCAAGAACCCCTTCGGCGCGTAAACCTATCCAGCAGCAGCAGAGTAGGGCGAGAGCAGCTTATCTAACCGGACATTACATACTGTGGTAGTTTGTGGACACTTTGTTAGGGCATTCCGTATCTTCGATATTCCGGGATGTACCTTTCTGCTTCTTCGTCTTCTCTCCTGTGTTGCACTCAAGGACGTCCTCGACCTACGCTCGTCTCGGCGTTCTGCCTTCCCCTGCCAGCTTAACTTCGCTGCCCCATCCTTCGCTGCCTCATCCTCCTTTTGCCCCGCATTCCTCGTCGTCGGCCCGGAACCTGTCTTTACGGCATCTTCCAAGCCAAATTTTGATCTTGCTTCGATCACGCTCAGAGTCGCCAGCGCACGACTTGCGCCGCGCTACTTCTGCCGTGCTAGACTTCCAAGCAGCACTACCGCATGGTAGCAGTGTAGATGATACCATCAGCTAGCGTTATGACGACTGTACGAGTACTGCGCCAATGCAAGACTCGCTTAACATGGGCTTTATGTCGGCGAAACTTCCCCCACTTTGGGCCCCACTCGACCGAAGCGAGCGATGGCGCCATACTTCGCTTGCAACCTGAATATTTCCAAGGTCTACCAAGCATGTCGCACGAGTAGATGCTATAAGTTTGAGCTTCTCGACATCCTTCTTCCTCCCATACTGTGTATAGCTCTCTCAGCGAAGCTCCAAGCAACCCGCCGATTCAGCGATCTTTTCAGCGAAATGTCGGAATTATCGCACCCCACACAGGTGGAGAATGACGAGACTCTTGTCCAGCCCAAGTCGCGCTCATGTGAGTGCTGCTCCTCTGTGCGGAACTCGCAGTAGATGCCCACTCTGCGAATGTACATGTACGGGTAGCTGACTGGGCAGTATATCGCTCAGTACCGTTCCAAATCGCCGTAGCATGCGGGGTGTCCTTTACTGCTCCGGGGATGTAAGTCGATTCGCTCTGACTGGAAATGAGGCAGAGCAGAGCTGACTTGGCAGGTGGGACGCTCTGTACGTCGCTTGACCTCACCTGACTATGCTCACATGCTATGAGAGGGGTAGAGCGCTGACCTGGGTTTAGTGGTGGACTCGGCGCTGGTGGTGCTGCTGAACCCTATGCGGTCTCGGCTGCAAATGCCATCCTCTACGCTGTGAGTAGGCATCTCAGCTTTTCCCTGTATGCAGGCTAGATGAGGAGCTGGCGAGGGTCCCATCGTGCGCCGGATCGGGCGTCTGAGATGGAGCTCTCACACGGCCTGACAGCATATCATTTTGGACCAGCGCTGACTCGCAGCTCTTTGCCGTTGTCTGTGTCGCTGCTGGTGCAATCAACAACAGAATAGGGCTGAAGTGGGGACTGGCTATCGGGTACGTTCCACCTCTACGCACACCGAGGCTTTATTGACGATCGCAGAGCTATTGGATACCCGCTGTACGGTGCTGGTCTTTACACCAATAATATCAACGCTACGACCTGGTTCCTCATCTTCGGGTCTGCTCTCTGTGGCGTCTCGGCTGGTTTCTTCTGGTCTGCGTAAGTCCATCTCCTCACCGCACACTCCTCTCTCCAAAAAGTAGAAGCTGACCTCGCAGCGAAGCAGCAATCATCATTGGCTACCCCTCGCCCAAGGACCGGGGATTCTACCTCGCCGTCTGGCAGACCGCCAAGGCGTCTGGACCGATTGTTGGCGGTGCTATCAACCTCGGTCTGAATGCCAATAGGGATCAAGCCGGATCAGTCGGGTGAGTGAAGCGAGTTTCTGCCCTGGATTTCACCTCTTCCCCCTTCATCCCATTTCCCACTCTCCCTCCATCCTTCTCCCTCCCTCCTGATCGTTCATACCTCTGAGCAGTCAAATGCACGGGAGCTCCGAGTCCCCGTGAAGCCGTTGTAGAAGTACGAAGTAGAACCCCGATCCCGAGCAAAGCTAACATCTTTCAGATCCGCCACCTACATCGTCTTCATCGTCATCATGTGCCTCGGTCTCCCCATCGCTCTCTGCCTCAGCCCAGCTGAGAAGGTGTGGCGTAAGGATGGGACGCGTGTCATTATGCAGAAGGAAGCCTCGTGGGGTGCTGAGTTTGCCGCGGTCGCTCAGCTCTTGACCACCAAGCGGTACCTCCTCCTCCTTCCCGCCTTCTTCATTTCCTACTTCTACAACGGCTTCATGAGCACCTGGCTTACCTCATATTTCGTACGTTTACCTCTGTGAGAGTGAGGAGAAAGAGTGGCTTGCATGCTGACCTCTGCAGACTGTCCGGTCCCGAGCATTTTCGTCCTTTTTTACCAACTTTGCCGGGATCATCAGTTCGTTCATCATCGGGTGAGCTCTCCTTACCTGTTAGACATTAGATGATTATTGCTGACTAGCAGATACCTACTAGACCGTCAATCCATCAATATCAAGACCCGTGCTCGATCCGCTTTCGTATGTCATTTCGGGCCAAATCCTACGTTCTCTTACTGATGGTCCAGTTGGTGATCGTCGCCGTCCTCACCGGTACCTGGATCGCCGCCCTCGTTCTGCAGAGCAACTTCTACGGCCAGAACCCCAAGCCCGTCTATGACTGGTTCACAGTTGGTTTCAACGGCCCCTACGCTATCGTCTTCTTCTGGCAATTTGCTGGTCAAGCGTTCCAGCAGTTCCTGTACTGGATCGTTGGGCAATACGCCACCAACATGGGCAACCTCAGCCGCGGTGTTGGTATCTTGAGGGGTGTCGAGGCGCTTGGTCAGACCGTCGCTTGGGCGTGAGTTCCCCTTCTCCTGAGTTGCCATTTGGACTGTAGCTGATAATGACTAGTATGCAGTCCCAGGGCAATGCCAACCACTTCATCTCCATCGGACTCAACTTCGGTATCCTCATCCTTAGCATCTGGCCGACGTGGATCGTGCTCAACGGTCTGGACCGGAATCACGAGGGTGATGATGCCGATGGAAAGGCGGCAGTCAAGGCTGTGGGGACCGAGAGGCGCTTCAGCGGGGAGGAGGACAGCACGAAGGGTAGAGGATACTAGGCTAGCAAGTTATATAGGTTTGGGTAGAGATAGACATTTCGAATAGATTCATAGAGTGAGATACAATAATCGATCGTTGAACGGCATAGGGGGAATACTGACTGGCATTCCATTTGCTTCGAGCTCCGCTCCGACCTCACCAGGAAGGCGACTCAGCCTCACACTTCCAGCCTGGAGTTGGTCAGTCACTTCATACATAGCACTGATGTTCGCTACACATGTATGGAACGTATATGCCCTAGAGATCCTGAGGTAAATCCGGCTCGGGGAACTCCTTGGTCATGTGTTCCTGACCATCAGCTACGCCAAAGACATGACGGATCATGGTACACACCTTGTAGCCTCTGAAGTGTACCTTCCGTCCCGCTTCTTCGATCTCATCCATCTCCGCCTTGGTCAGGTCCCCCTCCTTCCCAAACGTCTCCCCCTGGGCCATCTTGCGGACGTTGCCGGGGTTTCCAGAAGTGGTGACCGCCACAACGCCCATCTGGATCGTCCACTGCAAGAGTACAACCGCCGAGTCAACCTCCTTGCCGGTATCTTTGCTGATGCGCTTTGCAATCTTCTCCAGGACAGGCTTCAAGGGGCCACCGGTCGGGTGACGGATGACGGGAGTAAGAGGGCCATAAGCCTGAGTGACGATATTGTGCTCTTTCTGCAGGGCGAGGAGGGGGTCAAGGTGGTTCAAAACATATGGGTGGTACTCCATTTCTACAGAGTCAGCTCTTCCCTTCCAGCAGACCTGCGGACTACTAACGATTGACAGCTGGAGTGAGCTTGGCGACCTTCATGAGCTCCTCAATATCCTGTGGACGGTAGTTGCTGACTCCTATAGAGCATCCTTTCAGTGTGCCGTCCTCTACGAGGGCTTCCAATCCCTGCCAGAACTCGACCAGCTTCCCATTCTCGGGAACAAAAGGAGTATGAATCAGGCTACAGTATCAGCTGCATCCGAGATCCACTTGCATGGTTCTTAGGCCGACTCACATCATGTCCGGGACGAAGCCTATCTTGTCAATTGACTCCTGGACGGACCGCTTGATGTCGGCGTGATTGGTCTTGACATCTGTGAAGCATCAGGCTGGTCGAAAGCGTAACAGCAGGAAAGAACCTCACGGGAGGCCTCGGAGACTAGTATCGGTCAGCCACGATCCACTCCTGGCCTGGTCGAGCCGCATCACTCACGCTTTGTAGTCACCCAGATGTCTTTCCTGTCCAACCCAGCAGCGGGGATGGCTTGACCGGCCTCCTTTTCCGTGCCGTAGATCTGTCTTGTCAGCTCGACTCAGCTGCGACTACCTCTACAGCTTGAGGCGTACCTGAGCAGTGTCGATGTGCAGTATACCAGCCTTCAAGGCGACCACTCCGGTGTCGATGGCCTTCTGACCGGAATGCTCGATCCCGCCAGTCCCGTTCCCCCATGCGAGGGCTGGGATGGACTTGCCGTCGTTGAGCTTGATTGTGCGGACCATTCTATCTATTTAGTCTGTGGGAATGTGTATGTACGGACCATGAGACGCAGACGGCCGACGGTTGTGACTGTCAGGGGCTCGGGGGAAAGGGGGATATAGGGGGCCAAACAGGTGCTGGGGCCGGATTAGCACGAGGTGCGGAGGAATGCTGACGATGACGACGTCGGGGGAGGCCGACTCCGCAGGGTGGGGCCGAGTGGGGAGTAATGCCTTGTATGTATGAGGGTGCTCTCGGGTGATAGGGATCAGGCTATCAAGCTTCAAGGCAGACACATAACAATTTTTGCAGAGCTGCAGAGCACCTCTCTATAAGGGATTCAATACATCTGTCACTGGTTAGCCCACAGATCACACGGGCGGCCCGCCGCATTAAGTGCCGGACTTCAAGCTACTCTCACGCCCGCCGGCGGAAGCTGGATAAGAGAAGGGCTGGTCTAGATCCTTGCCGTGCCTACTACAGAAGAGCCTATACAGCGCAAGGCATGACTGCGCTGGAGCTGAGAGGTCATGTGCGTGCGGCAGATCAATCACAGGACGAGACGTTAACTCAAACCGATGGCTGGATCCGGATCAGGACGAGCTATAGCTGGGAACAAAATTGTAACAGACCGTTACATTGATCTGCCTCAGACTAGACCCAGATGTCTCATAAGATCTCATGAGATGCAGCTGCGTGATTTGAGGCGATCAAGACACCGACAATGACACCAGAGAGAGGGCTGAGCTTGATCATGACCTACGCGCCTGCGTGCAGGCGTACCTGCTCGCGTCGAGCCAATCCACGTCTCGACAGGGTCTTGGGACTCTACAGACTTCTCTCTGTGTCATGCTAACTACATATCCTCGTCAAGACCCTTCTCCAGTACCTTTTGTCAGGAGTGAGTGTTTATGATCTCCGATCTCGTCACGATCCCCCTCGGATTGAATGCCGTATAAGAGCAGACATAGCTAGCTACCACAGTAGCTAGTGTCCATGGTGATAGATATTTCGCCAGAGGAAGATGCCCTCGAGGCGATGTGCTCTCACGCCCGAGGCATACAAAAGCACGGGGACTTGCAGCCACCATTTGCAGTAAGTGGCGTGCAAAAGCTCAGGGTGGGTTCGTCGCAAAAGCGGCAGTCCTGGACATGCCAGCATCGAAACATCGAGCATGAGGGCATTCTGTGGTATCAGCATCTTCCGTAGTTCCAGTGGAAGCGATTTCCCAAGCCGTGGAGGGGGTCCCTCTCAAGATAGACGAGTGGCAGAGGCGAATCATAGTCTTAGTGAACTGAGGGTATCAAAAGGATCGGGTGGGCGTGGCAGTCCACCCGGGTGCGATCTGTATTTCCTGACATCTCCATTGGTCCAATCACCGTGGATCAGCTCTTGGGATGTCAACGTGCACGTCCTGAGCCAGGTCGGGCGCTCTCAGGCAGCACCAGCATGCCATCACCCGCCACAACTCCTCATTCCTCATGCCGTCAGGGGAGTCTGGTTCCGCGCTAGCATTGACGCGCTTGCGACGGCAGCGAGTCTTCGCAATCACGGTCAGTCTCACTGACTTTCTACTTTGCTATCCGCTGGCGTCCAGGTCTCTTCGCACCGATCCTGACGTTCTCTGCGACTAAGGCTTTCCTGCAGGCACCGCATCGCTTCTCATGCGCACGCTTGTGGTCATCGCGACATCGGCACAACAGGGATCACCAGAGACAGCCTGTACTCCTCCTGCAATCTGCACCCGAACCTCGCGTCTTGCGTATCGGGACGAGGGCTTCTTTCAGGGTCGGCGCATTACTGACTAGACTCATGGACCGCCATGAGGCTAGGGCTCCCCTTCAAACCGAAGGGGCTCGAGCGGGCATTGGGTAAGCTAGCGCGTCCAGGCGCAGCTCAGACCCTAATGGCGGCCCGTGCGGTATTCGACAGTCACTCACAGAGATATATAAGGCCGCTCCCCCCTCCAAATCATCCTCTTCTTTACTTCATCCTTCTCCTGTTCTTATTCACCTTCACCTCTGACTATACTTTGCCTTCCTGTCCTGTACCACCAGCTGTAACTACTGTATAGCCTGCTTATACCTGCATACTCGTGTACTACTCTGTAATACGTGTGAGTCATTCCCCTCCTCCTCCTTCTTCTCCCTCTGCTGGACATAGCTGGACGAGAGGAGAAGCAGCGGGGTCCGTCCCCTGACTCTACCCTTAAGCCCAAGGGTCATGCTCCCGCCCACACTCCCCTCTTGAAAGTCCATACTCCTCCTCCCCAGCCAGCCTCTTCTGGTTCATCCCCTCTCCCACCGAGCAGGGCCCCGCCCCCCTTCCCCTCCCCTCTAGCCGTTCCGCTCATTAGACTGCTCTTCATCCCAGCTGACCAGCCAGACTTCCAACAACCATGTCGCAATACAACCGATGCGACGAGCCTTCTAGGCGCAACGACCAAGACCGCGCTCCTCAGCGAAGCCGCTACGCGGATGTAAGCCCCATTCTCCTGAGACCACCTCACGGGTACACACCCAGACCTTGCTGACAATAGCAGGACGACGAGGACGAAACCCGTCGCCGCGGCCCGCCGCCCCCTCGGTCCTACGGTGGCGACTTTGACCGAGCGCCGCCCTTCGTCACGCCGCAAGTCTCGACCCGCACAATGTCGCCCCCGCCTACTCCTCGGGTCCAGAGGAGCAGGTATGATGAAGCCAGCCTGCCTTCTCGCTCCGCCACGCCTCCGCGTCGCTCGGACTCAGGGTACCCTTCGCGGATCGATGACGCCGTCACGCCCCGCGCCAACTATGGGGCTGGGGCGCCTTCTCCGCCGCCCAGCTCAAGGGGCCGGGTCGACGACAACCGTAGTGTCGTCTCTACTATCAGGCGCGGTCCAGCCGCCTCGGAAGCCGGTACTCTGACCGACAACCTCCAGAAGCTGAAGCTTACCAGCTTCTACGTCCGACCAGGATTCGGTAAAGACGGCAAGGCCATCGACGTACTGTCCAACTTCTTCGCTGTCAGGCCGATTGACGGCAGGGGCAAGATCATCCAGTAAGTCCAGCTTGTACTTCCAGACTTCAGTGCTGACAAATTTAGCCACTACGACATCGAAATCAACCCGGTCGTCCACGTTCAGAACCAGAAGAAGCCCAAGGCCATGCTCCGCGCTGTCTTTGAGCAGACCTGCCTCGATGCCGTCGGTGCCTGGGTGGACGGCTTTGCCGCCTGCGCCTATGATGGCAGGAAGAATTGCTTCACTCCGGTGAAGTTCCCAATCCCCCATGGTCAGTCTTCTCCTTCCTCCTCCTTCCTCGCTCCATTCCCCTACGACTCCAGTCTTTGTCAGTCTGCTGATAATACAGGCGAAGTCCGCACCTTCACCACCACTATCGCACAAGACAACGTCGTCCAGCGACCCGCTACCGAAGGCTCCGGATCCGACTCAGAGAACAGGCGCTTCAAGGTCGAGATCAAGCATGTCGCCGAGATTGACCTCGAGCGAGTCATGGAGCACTGCCGGCCGGACAGGGGCACTCCCAAAGAAGAAGAGGATATGTTGACGGGTGAGCCTCATTCTTAGTGCTCGAAATGGACAGAGCTGACATGCAGGTATCATGGCGACCAACGTCCTCATGCGCGACCTTCCCAGCAAGACGTACGCCCAAGTCGGAGCGACTGGAAATCGTTTCTTCACCCTTACCGGTGCTGTCCCCATCCCCCAAGGTGCTGTGGTGTGCAAGGGATTCATGCAGTGAGTTGGTTGATTCGCGGCGATTGCAGGGTCCTAGAGCTCACTCATGCAGATCATTCCGAGCTTCCGGCTCTGGCCTTCCCCTTCTCAACTTGGATGTCGGTTTCTCTGCCTTCCTCGCGTCCGGTCCGGCCATCGAGGTGATCAGCAAGATGATTGCCCAGCGAGGCGGCATGCGCGGTGCTCCTCGGGGCCGCGGCGGCTTCGGTGCTGGCGGAGGACGAGATATCCCCCTCTCCGAGTTGGAGCCGAGGGATATCAATATGGTCAAGAACAAGCTACGAGGTGCAAAGGTACGCTAATGCGCTGTTTCCTCTGAGGAACATCAAGCTGACAATCCCAGTTCTCGGTGACTCATCGCCAATCTACCCGCCTCCACACCATCCAGAGTGTCACCCTCCAGCCCGCCGAGGAGATCTTCTTCGTCATGGACAGCAAGGACGGCTCGGGCGACCAGCGCGTCTCGGTCGTTCAGTACTTCAAGAACATGTACGCGGTGGAGGTTACCAAGCCTCGTCTTCCGTGCATCCAGGTCAGTGAAGCTTCAAGTGGCACACCTTTGTCAAGCTTACACTATGCAGTACGGCAAGAAGTCCTTCATCCCGCTCGAGTTTGTCCACTTGGCGGATTGGAACCCTCTCCCGCCGACGAAGCTTTCGGCGGATCAGACTGCCGAGTAAGCTGCGACTCCTTTCAGGAAGGAGAATTGGACGATCAGCTGACTAACAGAATGATCAAAGTCGCAGCTATGCCTCCGAAGGATCGATCTATGGCCATCCTGGGCTGGAGGAAGGAGCTGGCGCATGAGACGCAGACTAAGATAGCTGACTGGGGACTACAAGTAAGTCATCTGGTCGCTGGACATCAGCGTGAAGAAGCTGACATTCTAGGTCAATCGCTCCATGGTCCAAGTCAAGGCCCGTATCCTCGCACCTCCTCGTATTCTTTACGGCCGCAACATGGATGCCAGAGCAGCGGAAGGAAGCTGGAACCTCCGAGGCAAGACTGTGCGTACTCAGCTTCCTTTTCCACCCCTGACTAGAAGCTGATGGCATCCAGTTCTACCGGAACGGCAACAAACCTCTCAAGGCCTGGTCCATCATCTCCTTTGACCGCTACACCGACGACGACGAGATGAAGCGCTATGTCACCTACATGATCCAAGTCCTCCGCGCCCACGGTGTCGAGGTCGAGAACGCCAAGCCAAAGTGTATCGGCCCTATCGACCCTCGTGATCCTGCGGATATCAAGGGAGCTCTCCAGCTCGCTGCGAGGGAAGCGTACATGTCGGGCAAGTGCTCTCCGCAGCTCATTTGCGCGGTGCTTCCGGGAAGGTCAGCTTCGGTTAAGTGGGGTATCCTAAGTTGTAGCTGACTTCTTAGGGATGCTTGGCTGTATGAGGAGATCAAGCGCTGCTCCTTCTTGGAGCTCAAAGGTCAGTTACAAGGCTGCCTTCTGCGGACAACAAGCTGATCTCAATCAGGTCCGGTCCCCACGCAGTGTATGCAAGCAGCCAAGATCCGGAACCCTAGGGGTATCGACGCATATACCGGCAACTTGGTAATGAAGATTCAGGTCAGTTTCGAGGATCACTCGCTCTTGCTCGCCTGTCAGAACTGACGCTCCTCAGAGCAAGCTCGGCGGTCTCACCCACCAGATCCCCATCTCTGAGCTTCCAGGTATGGAGCGGGGCAAGACTATGCTTCTCGGCGCAGATCTCGGTCATGTACGTCTGCTAGCGTGGATCTGGCCGGACGAGATCTCGAGCTGACATTTCAGCCCCCCATCAAGGCCGGCTACTCTGACGCTCCCACTGTCGCCTGCTCCATCGCCACCTACACTGCCGACTGCGACGCCTACTCTGCGCAGATCCGCCTCCAAGAGGGCCGCGAGGAAATCATCAAAGAGCTCTCCGGTATGGTTCTCGCTCACCTCAAGATCTTTGCCGCCAAGAACAACGACGAGCTTCCCGACCGTATCATCGTCTTCCGGGACGGTATCTCTGAAGGCCAATACGCCGCCTGCCTGCAGTACGAGCACAATGCCATTCTTCGGGCCTGCTCCACCCTTCGAGTCGGCTACCGACCCCGCATCCTCATTTGCGTCTGCGCCAAGCGCCACAACACCCGGTTCTTCGGGAAGGACATGGCGGTCGACCGGAGCGGCAATCTCCCGCCAGGTCTCGTCGTCGATCAGGCCGTCACCCACCCTTACGCCTTCGACTTTTACATGCAAGCCCACGCCGGACGGGTCGGGACCGCCAGGCCGACTCACTATATCTGCCTCGTCGATGAGCTGGGTCTTACTCCGGACATGCTGCAGAAGATGGTGCACAGCATGTGCTATGCGTTTGCGAGGTGCACCAAGAGCGTCAGTCTTGTGCCGGTCTGCTATATCGCGGGTGAGTGGAGCTCTCTTTCTTTCACTATATATTCCCCGTCCATCTTCCTCTTCAAGCGGGACTGCCAGCCCCTTCTTCTCCCACATCTCTCCCGATTCATCTTACCCACACAATCGTAAAACAGCTTTACCCCCTACTTCCCACGCCTTTCATCCTCCCTACCCCTCCCGAGGTGCCGTGACTGCTGTTCGGACCCCTCCTCCCCCAATCTTGACTGGTCTACTTTGGTCACACATAGGCTCCTCTCCTCCTCTTTGTTGAATCCGCACCCTGCACTCCCTCTCCTCAGCATATGAACCCTTCTTCAACATACTCCACGCCCAATTCTCCATCTTTACCATTCCGTCAGCCGACAGATCACGCCTTCCCCTGCGTCCAGCTCAGCTACTTGGACCAGTGATCCCGTACTTCAAGCTGACACTTTAGATCTCGTCTGCCAAAAGGCCCGTATCGTCGTCCACGAGCCCGGAACGGCCAACGCCCCCTCCGAATCCTCCTTCGGTCGCGGACAGCCGTATCAGCGCGGCGGCGGCAGTCGTGGTGGCGGTCGAGGCGGATACGCAGCCAGCCGAGCCGGAAGCGCCGGTGGGATGAGCGACCGGACGGGCACGACTGCGCTCCGAGCGCGGAACGCGGGGGTGGATGTCATGCAGATCCAGAAGGTGCTGGAGAAGAATCCGGAGTTGGCGGATGTCGTAAGTCTTTCATTCTCTTGCTGGGGTAGTCTTGAAGAGGAGAGAGGGAGTGGAAGAAGGAAGGCTTCTTGTCTGCTGTAGAATTCGGTCTACTGTATGACAGCTGACGCAAACAGGCTTGGTGGATGTAGATCATCATCAAACCTTGCCTCGCGAATACCTTTCCCATCGGCCTTCGACTCCTCCTTCTCCTTTGCCACATCTTCTACCGTGCCTGTCCGACTTGTCGAGCCAAGCCACAAACTCAGTCCGATCATCCAGAACCACAACATCTTCTCGCTCTTTACGACCTCTCACAGCCTCAGCTCCACCGTCTCAACAAGCAATAATCAGCGGCACCCACAAGCAACACCAACAATGTACGAGTATCTGTATCATCAGCTGTCTCACCATCAACCCCGACCCATTTCCGCGCATATCGACAGGTTCCGTCTCACGCCTTCGCCAGTAGCTCTATGACCGCCTTCGACTGCCGCTTCTACCACTTTCGTTTCGATATCGCCTGGTCTCGCTCTGTAATACTAGTGTATACTTAGGACTGTGCTTAGCATGTACTTTATCAGCCTGTACTGGCTCCCGACTGACGAGACCTGCGAGACGGGACGTTCAATTCAGACATGATCTAGGACAGTCGTACGGGGATCGTCCTCATCCCTGGTCCACTAGGAGTCTGCGCATCACGTCGCAGCCCGCTCCGAAGCGAACCCAGACTCTATGTTCATCACCAGCATGATATCTACCCAGAAGCCGTCCCCACCGATATCGCCTCCGATCCCTCCAGAACTTCACATCAAAAGAAACCCAAATCGCTAATCCGACCCGTTCGACACGTCCCCCGATCCAATACTCCCATCCGCTCCGACCTCACGCTCTACGCGCCCCTCGAGTTCCTGTACTCTGCCTCACCAGCAGTCGCGGCCTCCTCAAGCTCGCTCTGGATAGCCTATCCCGTTAGCTCTCATTTTGTACACTTTTCCATCCACCGCCCCTTCCCGGTAAAGGGAAGCTATAACTCACGCTGAGGGTCTCGGCGGCAGTAGAGTGATAGATGAGTTGAGCCTTGACGAGGTTGGACAAGTTCTGCAGGGGTTCAGGCTGAAGTTAGGTCAGCTCTTGTGCTTTTCATGCAGAATTCAACGGACTAGAACTCACGTTCTCCAAAACAGCCTTCATCAGCCCGATGGCGGTCTCGGTGTTCTGGACGAGCTTGTCCTCGGCCTCTTCGACGTGGAGACTGAGGGAGTCAGCGATACTCTTCTTCGTAAAAGCGAGGCATTCAGTAACTCACCGAGCCTGTTCTTGCTTTGCGGGCGCGGCAGCTTTGAGACTGTAAATATCAGCATCAGCTCAGCAGGTACCCTTTTCCCCAGCCCCGTCGAAGCCGTATTCGGCCGATGCGCACAATGGCTAACGCGCGTCCTTAGTGCTTGTCCTCCCTACCCAAGTCGTCCGGCAACGCCACCACTTGATACGTCCTTGCCCCACACGCAAACATGAAATGGAGGTAGACTCACGCGCCCCTTGCCGAGTCCAACTCCAATCGCGCAGTCTTGACGTTTCCCCGAGCCTTCATCGCCAGGCCGATCGAGGTGCTGAGAGTCGCTTGCCAGGGTGTGACGAAGCGCTCGGCGATGGTCGAGTCTTGTTGAAGGCGGGCGTCTCCAACCTATCCGATTGCAGCAGGGTGAAGGGAGTGGGATTGAGGCAGTAGTCGGTATATGAGGGAAGATACGGAAGAGGAGAGCAGGAGTGAACGTGATCAGCGATATCCTTGCAGCAGTTACAACTCTTCACCCCCGCTTGATCCCCGCCATATCCTCCTCCCGCACGTGTCGGACTACTGCCACTTCCCTCTTCCTTCACCCTACCCAGTCCATCCTGGTTTCCCCACATGTAAGTGAATCTTGACTCACCTTCTCCATAGCATTTCCATACACGCCCAAGGCAGTACCCAATCGGTCACCAGCGCCGAGCTCGGTCGCTCCGCTCTTGGCGGCGCGGGAGATGGCGTGAGGGAGGGTCTTGGGCTGAGGGGGACCCTGGCTGGGTTGAGCGGGGACGGGGATGGGAAGAGAGGTGTTCTGTATCATCAGCTTCAGTCCAGATGGGATTATCAGTTAGGTCAGGCAGCACACGAGCAGCAGGTCGGAGGGAAAGATGTCGACGCCCAAACCCTCATCCGCTTCTCATCCCTTCCAGCGGCTCCCCGTGGCATCCCTCCCTCACGTCCACTGCGTCGGTGTGCAAGGCAGCACCGCTAGATCTCTCAGGACGCCCGACTCACCTTGAGGTTCTTGTTGGCGAAAGTAGCCCAGGCGCTGGCTGCCTGGTGGCTCAGGTCGTTCACGCTCTCGGCGACATCGTTGGGATAGTCGTACTGAGTTGTCAGCGGCGCTCCGACTGATAAGATGCTGCTCCGAGACATAACGTTGAGGATCAGATTTCAAACTTACCGACTCGGTCTCGTGCACCTTGGTGACCTTGAGCAAGCGCTGGTGGACATCCTTCAAGGCGTCCACCCGAGACTCGAGCTGGCGGTATTCGACCGGGAGCCTAGATGGTTAGCTTTGGACCACGCAGCTCCTTCAAGCTGATTCCTAGACCAATAAGCTTACTCGGTGATCCCATCGGGTCCAACATTGCCCAGCTTCTCCCTATCTAATCAGCTCCAGCCCAGCCCTCGCAAAGAAGCGAAAGGTGTCCTACCTTGTCGCCTGATAGGTGTTTCCAAGCCCCTTCCTGACTGAGGACATGTCAACAGCGGGGAGCTGAGCGGTGAAGTTCTTCCAGGACTGCATGTTGGCTGTATGTATCGTGTGGACAGGTGTATAAGAGCTGTAGAGATAGCTATGCAAGAGTCAAGAGAAGGGACCGTGCCGCTCACAAGAAGTCGCGTCAAACCTTGATACCGTCACCCACTAGCTGAGTCAGAAAATACCACGTCATACCCCTCACCCAGCACTGACGCGGTGTGCGATCCACCTTCAACTCGTCCATTCCTCGTAGCAACTCATACCATACATACATCCTAGACAGCTCAAGATCGTCCCCTGCCCGAAGCTAGACACATTTTGCACACAGCTGCCTAATCTGCTAAGCCTACATATCGATCATCATGGCCTCCGTCAAGATGCCCGTCGAAGGACCATCAATAGGCTTCGACTTCTCCAACTATGCCCGTAACCAGTTCCTCGGCGAGCGGATGAACGGCTTGCCAAGGGGTAAGCTGCCCTAGGCCTACCCGCGTCAGGCGCTAAGCTGACATGTCCTAGCTACATCCACCGGTACCACTATCGTTGGGCTGAAGTTCGGCGGTGGTGATACTGGAGAGGAGGAAGGTATCTGCCTCGGTGCCGACACACGAGCGACTGGCGGACCGATCGTAGCAGACAAGAACTGCGAGAAGGTCAGCTACGACATCACCATCACTTTCCTTCAGTACTTTGGAAGTGAGAGGAGAGTAGCTGATGCCTGAGTAGATCCACTACCTCGCCCCTCACATGAGATGTTGCGGTGCCGGAACAGCTGCTGATACCGAGTAAGCTCATCTACCAAGCACGACTCTGTACAATGCTGCTGGACTTGAGCTGACACTTTAGATTCGTGACCAACCTTATCTCCTCCAACCTCGAAGTGAGCGCACCTTCCTTTGGCGCCGAGCGAAGATGGAGCTGACTCTCCCAGTTACATGCCTACTCGCAAGGCCGACCAGCAAGAGTTGTCACCGCCATGACCATGCTCAAGCAATATCTCTTCCGGTCAGTCTGCTGGTCCTCCCCCTGTCTAGCTATATTGGAGCACCAGCTGATCCCTCAGCTACCAGGGCCAAGTCGGCGCATACCTCGTCCTTGGCGGTGTCGACTCGACCGGCGCACACCTCTTCACTATCCACGCTCACGGTTCCACTGACAAGCTGCCATATGTCACCATGGGCTCAGGAAGTATGGCCGCCATGGCGGTCTTTGAGAGCAGCTTCAAGCAGCACATGACGGTAAGTTAGCACGTACAGATGTGTCCCTGCGTTGGCCATACTCCAATCAACCGAGCTTACACAGCAGCGCAAAGATGCGATCGACCTTGTCGCCCGAGCTATCCGATCCGGTATCTTCAACGATCTCGGATCAGGTAGTAACGTCGATGTCTCGGTGATCACCAAGAACGGCACGGAGATGATGCGGAACTACGAGACACCTGTAGGTTGACTTGCCTCGCTTTTGTACTCAGCTTTGGACGCCACGTGCTTCCAATAACGGACTGGACCTGAGGAGCAAGCTGATGGATCAGAACGAGCGAGGCATCAAGTCCCGCAACTACAAGTTCCGCCGGGGGACTACCGCTTGGACAAAGGAATCGATCCGGAGTTTGATTGTTAGCGAGGAGGTCAAGATGACGACGGGGGCAGGCAAGACACAGGATGGTGTGCTGGATGTGCCGGTGCCGATTGGGAAGGGACCGGGCGGGGAGGAGGGGATGGACGTGGACGCTTAGAGAGATGAGTGGATGGAAGGAGAAGATGGCAGTATGAATTGTATATAACATGATGCGGGGATGATGCCCGGTTGTTGCGCCGCTCAAGCGGGCGTACGACCGCCCTGGACCCACCTATACGTCGGCCTCTTTGCCCAGCTCTGGCCACTCTAGCATAGGATCACAATCGATCACACCACGGACCTGACCGCCACACCTCCGGGATTACGTTTATTCCCGGCCCGGTGAGACCTCCACTTGCGCACAGCAGATTTCGCTGAACCTGCTCACTTGCCCTTCATACATCCTCCTCATACAAGTAAGTTGACGCTCTGACCGTTTCTACACCTCTTCTACCTTCCCCACCCTCTCAATGATGATCACATGTTGGCACCAGCCTTACTGTTAATATGGTGATTCTTCAGGCGACCCCACAATACGCGTGGGGCGTCTCTGATCTTCCCTCCTCTTCCTGTTGATTCGAGACTTGGCTTTGACGCTGGGCGATATATGGCAGTGGAAGGAGCTTGTGCTGATATTCTCAGTGGCTCCCTATACTTGCGATACTCAGACGTATGCGTCGGAAGTTGTCTTCTCGCCGGAAGTATCGAACGACGCCTCACTATCACTTTTCGAATGCATCATTTGTTTTCTCCGCCCTTCCATCCTGAACTTGTCATAAGCCCGAAAGAGCAGCGTCTCGCACGAAAAAGAGTCGTGCATTGTCCTATTCACATCTGATCTAGATTACACCGACAACCACCGTCGCCCGCAAGCTCCCCCTGCTACCTCCTTCACCAGTCGGTATCTCCCCAACCCATCCCAACGCGCCCTCACTGTCGACCGCAGGGGCAGGCGCTACAGCCAAGTACTCTTCACTGCGCAGCGCACTGCTTTTCCATCCCCATGATTGCGAGAGGGTGAAGCTATCGGGCGAGGAGGAGAAGCGGATGAGGGCAGTACCGAGTGCAGACGCGCAGGTGATGGAGAAGTACGCCTGATTGTCAGCGCAGGACCGGACTGAGAGGAGTTTGAACATACCCTGGTCACCCTTCTCGCGTCCTTGTACGTTTCCTCTCCCACCATATCCGCCTCGGTATCCTCCTGTGAAGCGGGATTTAATGACGATCCTGAACCGCTTCCCGCGGCGCTACCACTTGGCCCGCTTCTCCGCATGCCCGAAGATAACCCTGGCGGAGTTATCCCCAAAGCAGCAGACGACGATGACCCCGTCGAAGCCCTGAGCGCCAGCTCCCCCTCAGACCTCCTCTCCCGCCTAGCCTCCACCCTCGTCCCCGTCGCTTCCACCGCTTCTGGCTGCTCCGCACTCACCCTCGCCTTCCGTCCCCCAACAGCCGGTCTGCTCGCCCTCGGGACCCCCTCCTTCAGACTCTGTCTATGCAGATATACACCCAGCTGTGTCCCCTTATCCTTCTTCCGAATAGTCTGGACATAGACGTTCCACCAGCTGCCCGCGTGAAAATGGGTGGACGAGTACAACCGTTCTTTTTCGGGCAGGGTATCGACATCCCAGAATTCCACCGAGAAGCGGAATGGCTGCGTCGGAGTCCAGCGCGAGTCTGCACCGGCGGGCGCGGTAGTGGGTTGGTACGATGGGTAGAAGAAGGACGGTGATGAGATGGGCGGGGAGAGGGACGAGGTGATTTCAGAAGAAGAGCGGGAGCCGTTCTTGAGGCCAAACCAGGACTTTTCGCCAGCGGGAGGTACCTTCTTCTTGCCGCCCGCAAGACCGGCGCCGGTTCCTTCATCGTCGCTACCGCCGAGCCCGCTCGCGCTAAAGAGGGAAGGACCGAGATCGGGCAAACCGCTCATTCCGGGAATGGCGGACGAGGCTGATTCCGGCGAGGCGAGGAAGAGCAGGCCGCCCGCTCCAGCGCGATGTGTGTCGTCGATGGGGATGGGATGGTATATAGTTTCCGGGGATATGGTGTTTGCGCCGCCGATAGTACCAAGTGGACGAGAGGAGGAAGTCCCGGAACTCCCTGCATGAGCCGAGAGAGGCGCCTTCCCTTTGCCGCCGGACGAGCTTGATGCGCTCAAGGACGGAGAGATCATCCGTCCCCTTGGTGTCACTTTCCGCATCGACCGCTCCATGCCCTCCGCCAACTCAGACGCCGTTATCGTCAGGCCCAGCTCCGCCTCGTCCCGCTGCTCCAAGACAGAGGGGATAGGTGCGGTCGAGGGGTCGTGCGCGATGACCCGGGATTTGAGATCCGCGGCTGCCCAGTGCGCTGCTTGCAGTACTGAAAGCGGAGCATAGGGGAGGTTCGTGGTAGGGTCAATGTCGTTGGAGATGATGGAGAGGTCTTCGAAGGACTAACATATGAGCTTGGATCCGGGTTCTCCGTTCAGAGTCGAGCGAGAAAGCGGGACGTGTACTGACCATATGAGAATAGTATATCCCCTCCGCAAACACCCTCGCCAACTGTTCTTCATCCTCATCCCACTCTTCCCATCCCTCTTCCTCCTCATCCCCTTCCGGATCAGCATGCGAAGCCTCCCATTCCGCCTCCCACCCTTTGCGGCGAATAGCCAGAATCTCCCTAGTCGCCTCATACCGCTCCATCTCACCCATCACCCAGAGGCTATCGCTAGCCAATAAGCCCCGCAGGAACGACGCGGGGATCCCACGGTGCCGAAAGATCCGATATTCTTCGCTCGACTTGCGGGCCGGATGAGCGTCGAGCTCGATCTCAGCGGCGAGTATGTCCATTCCCCAGCGGCTGAGCCAGCACGCGCACGCTTCCCCGATCTTATCGGACGCGAAGCCGTAGAAGTGGGGCATGTGCGCAAGGGTGTCGAGCGAGACGGAGGATGTGTCCGCTCCTGCTCGAGTGGGAGAGGTGCGGGGACTGAGCGGCTCGGCCGCTTTGGAGCTGGACATGCCCATCTTGTTGGACGGGGCGCGAATAGTTGACGCATTCGAGATAGTCCGGTGGACGCTACCACCGCCAACCACCGCGCTGGCCGAGCTCGAAGCCGGCATAGACGATACCGGCGGTAATGAGCCAACTTTGACGTCCTCCTCCGGCTTCGAGTCGGTCGAGGTCGTGGAATCCCGATGCGTCGCCGCTTGATTGTACGAGGACGATTGGTCCCCGGTCCCAAGCGCCAGATCGACATCCTCCTCTTCATCCTCATCCTGCGGTGCCGCCCGCATGTATTCCGGGAGAACCCTGGCCACGCCTTGTGAGGCTCTTCTGGGTAGATCCTCTGCCGACCCGCACCCGTCGCCGAGCGCGAAGCCGAGATATTGGCCGACCGTGGCGGGACCGACCGTACGCAGTATGACAGCGAGTACTTCGCGCATAAGCGGTGTATGGCCGAGGTAGATGGTGGCAGCGAGGAGGGACAGGAGGAGATGAGGGCTTGCGTGAATGCTGAAGGGGTCGGACGGAGTGGTTGGTGGGGGAGGTGGTCGCAGATGGGGAAAGGTGGGAGTCAGTGGGTGTTGAGGAGTAGGCAAGAGGGCGAGGGGAAAGAGTAGACGGGGATGAGGGGAGTATAAACGAGCGAGACAGATTCTGGATATCAGCGAGAAGCTCCACAATCGATACTGGGCGACGAGCCTGGACGGGTACAAGCAGAAGGGACAGGGACTCACTCGAACGCTTCTTGTGTGATATTGGGATCGTCGAACCGTAGCTCCATAGCCTCGCCCTTCCACTCATCCTCCCCAACAGCTCGCTCTTTGCCTTTTAGCGAGGGCCGCTTTGCGACCATGCCAGCCTCAGAGAAGCCACCAAGAAAGAGCGAGTGGAAGAAGCCTAACTCGTCAGCTGAAGCACGGATGTTCTTCACTAAGACTCACCAGCTTGGACCAGCACCATCTTGTGCACATGCCATCCGACGCCCCATTCCCTCACGTACAACCTAATATCTGCGCAGCTCCCGGAGAGGAAGGAGCGGTACAGGTGATCCTGCAAGGGCTGGACGTCCTGCACAGAGGTCATGGGTACGTGGCCGGTAGGGGGATGGATGGTAGTTGTGCTGCCAGTCGACAGCTTCTTTGTGGGCTTGACGACGGGGGATGGCCTATCCTTCTCGGGCGTTGGCGGACCAAGCTGGGAAGTGGCATTACTGCCAGATGAGGGCGCAGTCAGACGGGAGGCAGCACCGGGCGCGGAGCCTGATCTTGATCCCAGACCCGAGCCGGCCTGAGGAGGAGAGACGGATGAGAAGGTCGGAGGGGAGGTGGGGGAGGTGTAGCTCGAAGTGGAGGTGGATCCGGACGGTAGAGGCAAGGTCGAGGCAGACGCCGCTGCGTAAGTTGAGCGGGGTATGTCCACTGGCGCCGGAGATGTCGAAGCTCTTGGACGGAAGTTGGTAGTTTGGAGACCGAGATGAGGTGTGCTGGAGCTAGCGAGTGGTGAGGCAAAGGTAGGACTGGTAGATTGCGAGTGTAGGTTGGATCTCGCTGGGGTTCCCCTCCCGTCCCCGCTCGAGCTCCTGCTACCGTCCATGCTCCCTCCACTTCTCATCGCCACCCCACCCATCCCAATTCCCTCTCCCGATCCGCTTCCACCGCCTTGCCTGGGCGGACTAAGCATCCCACTCTGCCTGGCCGTCTCGAGCAGATTCGTACTGCTCCCTCTGGGCGTCCAGCCTGGACTCGACATGGGCGTGCGCGAGCCCGTTGGACTGCCAGCTCGGGAACCGTCTCTCGATATAGGACGTACTGGGAGGTCCGGGAATGGAAGGACTATTGGTTTCCCGCTGTGGCTGTGCGAGCCGGGAGGGGAAGTGGAGGACGGGTTGGTCGATTGGGACCGAGAGTGGTATCTCGGTCGATAGGCTTTACTGAGGCCTCGATGTTGTGGAGGTCGAGTAGGTGTTGGGGAGCGAGAGGAAGGACCGGCGCCTATGGATGAAGACGCAGAGAGGGAGATGGAGGATGCGCTGGACCCCGAGCGGAGGCGATCAGTAAGCGAAGGTGGAGAGGTCATGTCGCGTGACGATGAGCTGCCGGACAGCGCTATTTCGGTCTAGTCGGAACGAGTGAGCTGTCGTAAGGTGTGTCAAAGCTGTATGGCTGGACATCACAGCTGTCGCTATGGCGAGCCCGACAAAGAACAATAGGTCGCCCGACAGTACTCCGGCACCGGGTAGAGTGAGCTTCGGACCGCCATATCCATGCCGGCATCCATCCAGACCACTTCCGGCGTCGACGCCACTGGGCGCTCGGGCAGAGGTCGACGAATACGTGCTAGTTATCGACAGCTTAGAGGGGGGCAGCGGCACCAGTGGCTTCCGAGGTCTGCGTTCTCATACTCGCAGTTAACCTCTGCTGCAAGCCAAGCTGTGGTCTCCGTGCTGTCCGCAGCAATGTCGGATCCTTTCGCCGCGCTCCCCGCTCTGAGTGACATCATACCCAAAATCAAGAATGCGGTGAGATTGTCCGCCTGCTGGGTCAGCACAGGCATGGAGTGAGCTGAGTCTGAGCTGAGCATCATCAGATACTTCATGATGAATCACAGCCAGACGGTGGCCACCGGCAAAACAAAGCTGAGAGTCTAGTGCCTGGCTATGAAGCGTGGAAGCAGAAGCGCTGGAATCGATACGATGCCTTTTTAAAGGCTGGTCGAGACGTAAGTACGGATCATGACTTTGCTCGATCTCTCGCTCTCCACTGCACAAGCTGATCGGCCGCAACAGCTAGGCCTACTGCCGACTCCAAGCTCGCACATCTCAGGCTTCCCGTCTGAGCTCGACGACGGTATGCTGTCCCCTTGTCCGATAGCATTAATACAGGGTATGTCAACACAAGTCTGAAAACACTACCTCTTGGGTTGTCGCAGACCGCTCGGCCAGTACTGACCGGAGCAGCGCTTGATATCTGCGGGTATTCTACAACTATTCTACAACTCGATGTACTATGGACGATCTCCGCTTCCTAATCGAGGGGATCCTGCGTACACAGCGCGCCCTGCTCATAGCAATCTTCATGTCGCCTAGAGATGCGCTGGATCACATAGAGAGCATATCGTTCAAGAACCCGTGAGCTCCGAACCACTGAGTACATATGGAGCTAAACCTAGTAGGTCACGCACCCGGACGCCGGAAACTGCGGGATTGGTCGCCGCAGCCGAGCTTACCAAAATGATCGCGGGTCATCTCCTAGCCATATCGATATGGTCTAACGTCCTCGACCGGCTAGATCACCTGGACTGGGACGATGAGCGAACGCTTTTGAATCTTGCGATCGATCCGAGCTTCGCGACGCGGGAACCAGACATTCCGCTGTGCGGGCTGATGGCGGAGCTCGGCACACTGGCTACCAAGAGTGAGACTTACTTGGATAGTATCTATGATGAATGGTGGTATCAGCCGCCGGAGGTGAAGATGCATGTAAGTCCAGATCTCGCATGTCGTTTCGTCTCGACGTGACGCTCACGCTATAAGAGGCCATCGAAGGAACACCGCGAAATGAAGGCTGCGTGGCCAGACATGTACGACCGCGAAATTCAGGGGAGGACCCTGGACCGTACCTCGCGTTTTGAGAGAGCGGTCACGCGGGTCTTGTTGCCGACCGTCCACTACATTGTTCCCTATCACTTCAGCGGTGAGGGGTGGAGGTGTTCATGACCTGATGATCAAGCTGATATCCTTTAGTGCTCGACTTTGAGCAGCTCATACATGAGAAACCAAGTCGACTGGACAATCACAACGTCACAAAGGTGATGATGAAAGCAGTCGGTTAGTGAAAGAGCAATGGCTAGCCCTGAGAAGCGAATGATGGCATGGGTTGAAGGCTGACACTGGCGTAGGGCATCACGCGATGATAGAACTCGTCAACTTTACACTCCGCGATAATATCCTAGAGAAGGCCTCTGCGTACCCCAGCTGGACGACATTCCGGCAGAACCCAAAACATTTACAGCCTACGTCCATCACAAAATCACTCGAGCATCAACAACGACTCGATGACCTAAAGGAACGGTGCTGGCGTCGCAGACACCTGGGCGAAGGGTGGTTCCAGCGCAAGATCGGCGGTCTCCATTGGGCGCATTACATCCGCGTCGACCCTCGGAACATGAAATTGGAGCTCGATGGCGAACGACTACGTGTATGTCTCGAGTACATTGCCTGCCGCTGTTTCGGGAAGAGCATCACACAGCTGGACGATCCGCGCGATAAGCAGTGCATGCTTATCTCGGGTTTCGAGGCCGATGTGGAGCTCGCGGAGGACTGCGCCACAGTCTGGGCCGCCATGCACTCGGAGGCTACCAATTCTGCCGCCAGGCCGCTGTTCAAGCCTAGCCCGAGCTGGTATGTCGCGAGCGGGAAGACGGGGGATACGCCAAGCGCTTCCACAGCGGAGCCTTTACAGTCGACACGTCTGGCGCAGAGTGCCCGCGCATACCTTCGCGACAATCCGGCGCTCTTCAGACAGCCTGCACGGACGCCTGTAGTCGCCGAGCCCGGCCCCTCGCAGGATAGCGAGACGGTCGTCCTAGAAAATTCCGCGTTTCCTAGTCGACAACAAGCAGCAGAAGGTCATCGAACGGCTATTCGGCCAACGGGAAGGTTCCGTCAGATGGTCAGAATTGACAAATGTGAGTCGTATACCAGATCGGTAGAATGTGTAGCTGACAATTCAGCTCTTCAAGCGTATCGGTTTCAGGTGAACTCTATCTTGTCTACAGTCCGCTGGCAGAATACTGTGCTGACGGACAGCATCGAGGTTATGGGCGGATCTGCCCATCACATCACTCAGATCGCACCAGGCGGAAAGCCGATCCTTCTCTACAGGTGAACATCCCCCTCAGGCTGGCCTGACAACGAATGCAAAGCTGATTAATTAGGCCGCGAGTCGGAGACGCCTACAGCATGGAGCAGGCGCGGGCTGTTGGCGATCAGTTGGAATCTACGTGTAGGTGGCTCGTAGTCTGCGCTTGGGACCACGCTGACGACGCAGTCGGTTGGACTGCCGAGTGCTTCGTTAGGGATACCGCAGGTCCTGCCTGAGATAGTCAAGCACTATATGTATCGATAGTATCACTCGGCAGAACGACAACCTGAAACACACGGAGAAGGCGCGAGGTTGACGTCATCTGTTGTCAGGCACGCCCTCGCCCTCGCAATGACCTCCTCTGTTTAACTTTTCGCCTTCACTTCCCTCCTCGCTACTTCTTCTTATCCTCATTCGGTCATTTATCGGCCAGTATGCCAGCTCCAGTATATCTTGCAGAACTGCCTCAGCTCAGCGAGCTGATCTGGGAGATCGAGAAGCACGTGAGTCGCTTTCACCGCTCAGATCCTTCCGCCCCGGTTCCCATCAAATCACTGCCGGCGTTGAGCTGACTCCTCTCAGGTCATCTATGATCCGAAGAAGCGATACGGCAACTGGTCTGGTCACCCCATCTTCCCAGACGAAGACTTCGATCCCTGGACACAGGCGCAGTGGGATAGATACGACAACTTCATCAAAGCTGGCAGCGATGTGAGTTACGCTGCTGACCATCTTTGCACCTTCTCCTCCTCATGTGCATCAGCGGGCGAGGACAAGAACATTCTCTGTAGCAGAAGCTGATAGATAGAACGGCTTCCTACCTATCCCAAAGCAGACGAATGCCGATCCACCGTCGGCGGTCGATCATGAGTCACCGCCCTTCTCCCCTTTGGCTATGTCTGCAGGTGAGCTCGTTCCCTTCAAGAGGCAAATATAGGAACGTACTGAATGGAAATAGCTCTCGATATCTGCGGATACAAAAGACCACCAACTCAGCCGCAAGACTTCGTTGTCCTCGCCCAAGCCCTCGCCGACTCTGCCAAATCCGATCTCGACGCGTTCTTCGCTTCGCCAGGTGGTACACTGGAGCACGTGGAGCGCCATGCTTTGGGCAGCCGGTGAGTTGCGAATAGTATCGGAGTGGTTGACGGGAGCCAGCTGACATGCTGCAGGGGCAAAGTGGGAACGCTGAAAGAAGCCGGCGTGACGGCGGCTCACGCTGTGAAACAAGCCATACAGACCCACCTTATGGCGATGATGACCTGGTTCAACGTACTCGATCAGCTCAAGCTCGTCGACTGGAACGATCAACGGGTCATCATGAACCTAGCCAGCGACCCCAACTTTGCTCAGCACGAAAACACGATTCCGCTTTGCCTCATCATGCTTCAGGTAGAAGGCCACGAGGCGACGTCAGCGATGTTCCTACGTTACCTCTTCCAGCAGTGGTGGGACAAGGGCGATAGCTCCCCCATAACGGTACGTCACATCTAATACGTGTTTTTGGAAGCTTCGCTAATGGACTAGTCTCCTTCACACTTTCACAAGTGCCTGAAGGCAAACTTGAAGCGGCCTGAGCGGGAGCTTCAAGCAAGGAGTTTGGACCGCACGTCGAAGTTCGAGCGGGCGGTCGTACGAGTCTGCCGCCCAAGTCTGCACGCTGCCGTCCCGTTCCATATCAGCCGTAAGTACCGTTTCATTGACATCTGTACGTTTGCTGAATTGTAGTCCTCGATATGGAGCAGCTACTGCTTGAGAAGCCCACGCGTTCTCATCAGCTATCGGAGGCGCTCATGAAAGGCATCGGTCAGTCTCCCCCTACCTCCAGATACGGTCCATAGCTGACTGCTGCAGGGTATCAGGCAATGGTCGTCCAGCTACACCACCTTCTTCGGACGTACATCTGCGAACGAGCCGCTGCTTGCCCGGGCTGGGACACCTACAGTCTCGACAAGCAGTGGGGCAAGGGCGAAGCGGATTCCCGGACCAACAAGCCGGATACGCCCGAAAAGATAGTCGAACACCTCCAATGGGCTAACGCACGAGCTCAACGGAGCTTCCGCGACGAGCGGATGTTATGGTTCATGTCGTCCGGAACCGGGGCGATCAATTGGGCGCACTACATCAGCTTCGACTCCACGCTGCGGATCCCGACGCTGTTCGGCCTCAAACTACGGACGCTTCTCGACGCCATCACCTCCATCACTTTCGACTGCTCATTCATCGACATGATGGAGAAGGATGAGGAGACGTCCTGGAGCGACTCTGCGTTTGACGCGCTACTCGACCAGGACGACTGGGACATGGAGGAGGATCTCTGGGCTGTGCTGGACGTCGCCGAGAGGGAGGGCGGATTCCGGCTCAGCGACCTTGATTGTATATTCAAGCCGGAGAAACCGACGGCGGCAGCTAGGCGTCCTGCTGCATCCGCTGCCAGCCTTGCGGACCGGCTGTCTTCTATCTCACTGGCTCAGAGCGGCCACGCCTACCGCCGGGACAATCCAGCTCGGCAGTCTACGGACCGCAAGGTCAGCAACGCCTCGTCCAGCGTCACGCTCGTCGGCGAGGGTGAGGCCGAGAAGCCCATTCTCTTCAAGGTCAACAACAAGCAGCTCAAGCTCGCGGAGAGGATTTTCGGGAAACGGGCGGGAAAGATCAGCTGGACGGGCCTAGTCAATGTGAGTCGGTCTGACTCATTACAGGCGGGCAGTAGCTGATCAGATAGCTGTTTAAACGTCTTGGTTTCTGGTGAGTCCTTGCCGTTCGGCGGAGTTTTGGACTGGTGCTGATTAACAGGATCAAGGGGATGGGAGGCTCGGCGCACCATCTGACGCCCGTCAATGCGACCGGGAAGTCGATAATCCTCTACAGGTCAGTTATTCCTCGCCGCAATGTCTAGGCAGCACTGACTTTCAGGCCGCATCCAGTCTCAGAATTCACTTCCGAGCAGGCCGCTGCTCTCGGTCATCGTCTCGCCATTACTTGTGAGTATACCTCCTCTTCTGACAGGAGCAACTAGCTTATGATATCAGTCGGCTGGACCATCGACAATTTCGGGCGCCAGGCTGAAGGTGCGGAACAAGACGTCCACCTCGACTAAGCGGCCCCTCTTCGCCTCCTACCGACTCGATACACACACCACACCATGTATACCGCAGAAATCATCCCGGACAGGGTCCGAGACCGTAACGCCAAAGCAAACGCCATGCCATCATCGTTCACGTTCGACAGGCTCGAGGGGTTCATCGGGGAGTGGTTGGAAGGTCAATTGCTAAATTTGGAAGGCTCAACATGCATCAGATTGTATATCTACGCTCTTGCTTTCAAGGTACGCGCTCCAGCGTTGCTCTGCGACATATATACAAGCACGCACAAGCAGCTCGGCGCTCACCTCGACAGTCTCAGCACATCGCCGAGGCCGAAGTCCGCCTTTACGGCATGGCGCGTCACACGTCAGCTCGCTTACTAATCACAGCTGCTGCTGTACAGCGCTGAACTTAATCAATCGCATTTCAGCTGGCCCTCTCACACCCCTCGACAAGTCCTCTGTGGCCACGGAGTTGATCGCCGTGGTCTCGACCAGACGTCTACAATCATCCGCAAGCATCTCCGGACTTTAATCTGGTATCAATCATCCGCAGTAATGTCGAAATCAGAATATCTAAGCGGCCTGCCCGCGCTCAGCGACATCATCACAGAGGTTGAGCGAAAGGTGAGCATAGCTCATCGCACAGTGCCGACTCTGAGCTGACATGGCAGATCGCCAGAAATACGGATGGCGAATACCCAGTATGGGACCATACTACCCAGTACTCTGCCCGTTATGAACCCGGCGGAGCTACTCAGGGCTACTACGCCAATTTCAACAACTTCATCAGTGCCGGGCGCAAAGTGAGCTCCCACGTTGCTACCTGAAGCTACAGCCTGGCTGATAGTGCAGTATGGATTCCTACCATGTCGATGCTGCGCCATCAAGGTCCAGGACTCGTCCCCGAATGCCACGGGAAAGCTTGCTGGTTATTCGCCCTTAGCGATGAGAGCCGGTATGTCGCGTTGTATCCAGTTTGATGGGTCTTGGCTGACGCTGTAGCGCTCGATATATGTGGCTACGAAGGGGAGATAGAAACGCTGGACGACTTCCGCCTGCTGGCTCAGGCGAGCGTCGAAGCGGCAAAAGCCGACCTTACCGCGCTGTTTGAGGACGCAGCCTCTTCGAGCTCCATGTTGAAACTTGTGGGACATGACATTGGCCTCCGCAGGTAAGCGCTCGTTGACAGGTCAATGTCAGCGATTGAAGCTCATGAAATAGGTCGAAGGCAAAGGTGGAAATCGTTACATCTCGCGGCGAAGCAGCCGCCCAGATCGTTCGCCAAGCCATCGAATCTCGACTGCTCGCCATCTCCGTATGGTCCACGATACTCGAACGACTCGATCAGGTCGACTGGACCAACCGTGACGTGCTACATATGGCAGTCTCACATCCTGAACACTGCCACCAGCACACGGATGACCCGCTCTGCGCCATCCTGACCGAGCTGGACGAGCATGAAGGTTAATCAGAGAGACAAATGTCCGACTTGTACTCTGAATGGTGGTTCAAGAACGAGCAGCCACCCGTCATTGTGAGCTTCTGTCTAGAAGTTCATCCGGGATTGGGCTGACATCCTGCAGAAACCGACTATGTTGCATCGAGCTCTGAGGGCATCCACACCGGGGGCATCGGACCGTCAGCTTCAAATGAAAAGTCTCGACGCAACATCCCGCTTTGAACGGGCAGTCACCTGTGTCTGTCTTCCAAGTCTTCACCCAATCGTCCCTTTCCAGTTCAGCAGTGAGTCTATCAGATTTCAGCTACGGGTCTCGCACTGACTGCTCAGTTCTCGACCTGGAGCAGCTACTCATCGAGAAGCCGACTCGGTCTCAGCAGCTGGCTGAACCGCTGGTCAAAGCTATCGGTCAGTCCGAGCGCCCCATATCCGCAGAATGTACAGGGCCTGACAAGCGCAGGATACCACGCCTTGCTCGTTCAGGCGCACCATATGCTGCGGACGCTTGTGTGGCGGAAGGGCAAAGAGTTCCATGACCTCGACGACGGGTACGAGGCGAACTGCTGCGTCCACGATGACGAGTGTGCGCCCGCCCTGGACTCCGACTCTGACGACAGCGAAACCGAGGACCCTTCGGACGCGCGCGCGCGGAGATACGCGTCACAATACACCAAGCCGCATCGCGTATTCCGGGATGAGCGGCGGCTCAATTGCTCTTTATATTTCGGCACCATCAATTGGGCCGACTACATCGACATTCATCCGGACTCCTTATCCATCACACTCAGAGGTCACGCCCTTCGAGGGTACCTCGACGGCCTCGCTAAGCGGCATTATTACTGCGCTTTCGCAGACATACTGGACCGGGACGCGTCAGCGAAGTCGACGGAGCGGAGGCTGAGGTCTGCGTCGGGTGCTCGTGCCATCCAGACCAAGCGGATAGAGACGATGCGGAAGCTGGCTTATCGGCTGGCGTACGATGATTTCAAATGTCGCTACCAACCCCCTCTCGGTCCGCTGCTGCAGATATCGCCTCCTCTCATCTCGCCCAGCGCCTTGGCCACCCAGCTCTCGTCAACCTCCCTTTCCCAGAGCGGCCATGCCTATCTCCGAGACAACCCAGCCAATGTCAGGTCGACTCGAGAAGGCGAGAACAGTTTGCCCGTATCTGCCGCTCTTCGGCTCGAACCTCCGCTTCCAAGGTCGCCGATCTTCATCGTCAATAGCAAGCAATTGAAGCTGGCGGAGAGGTTGTTTGGAAAGAGGGAGGGGAAAGTCGGATGGGATTCTCTTGTGAATGTGCGCACGGCTGGCAGCGATATCGGGGCTAGCTAACCAGAACAGCTGTTCGAGAGGATTGGTTTCCGGTGAGTTGGCTAGTGATTAAATCGAAGAGAATATCCAGCTGACCACCTCAGTGTGAAGGGTATGGGCGGTTCCGCTTTCTACCTTACCCCTCTTGCCGAGGACGGAAAATCTATCATATTGTACAGGTGAGTCTCTGAGATTCTACGAGCGAGACTCGCCGCTGACTTGTAGGCCACACCCCATCCCCGATTTGACTACGGAGCAGGCGCGCACAGTCGGTCTTCGGCTGGAAACTACATGTAAGCGACTCTCCGCTTCAGACCATATCTTCACCGGTACACTGTCGCTAAATTTCCAGTCTCTTGGTCCATGGACATGTTTGGCAGAAAGCCAGAGTCGGGATCTCTGGAGGAGCAGATTGCTTGATCTCTGTGGCTAGCCAGCTGGGGCTGTATCATCGTCCATATTTTGTGGGAATGGGAGCGGAAGTGTGTATATTTGTGTGAATGTTTGTATGTGTATGTGTAGATCAGGCTTCTGAATATCCGTGTCGCGCACTGTATACTGCACAAGGGCAACCCCAGATACTGTCCCTAGCAAGACCTATGGTACTAGAGACAGAGACTGATCGGTCTAGACTAGCGAGTGAAAACTCGTAGACTGGTCACGGCTATGGATGGACTTGGACTGTGGATGTGATAGTGGACTGTGGATGTGGAGGTGGGCTGTGAAGGGGAAGGTCGCTTGTAAGGAGCAAGTGTGCAAGCGGAGAGCTGATGGCTCTCTAGGTCTTTGGCTGTGAAGACGTATAATGTTAAGATCCTTGGGGAAAAGGACCTCGGATACAAAGTCTGCACTCCTCACATATCTCAGAGCTCCCTCCTCAGCTCTGTGCTCCGCCTATGATTCCGCCTCTCCTATATCGGTCCGCCTCCGCCTGTCCGATATAGAACCCACCTCCGCTGTCCGCCTGTCCGATATAGGAGCACTCCGCCTGTCCGCTATAGGAGTGAGCACTGCCTCCGACGGTCTGCCAGTCCGATATCGGAGGGTAGGCGCCAATCCGGTATAGGATGTCGCAGGGTCTGTCGGAGGTCCGAGTGTGAGGGCGGAGCCCTATCGGAGCAGGTGTCGGAATGGGCGGACGGTCCGACTGGTTGCTATCGGAGGGGTTGTCGGAATAGGGCGGAGCCCTATCGGATGCTTATCGGAGTATTGGGGAATGAAGTGGGGTGTGATTTGGGTGTAGTGGCATAGTCACAACAGACACCCCCGATCTCGCATCTCACAAGCCTCTGCGCGACGGCCAGCGGAGGGTTCCCGCCATTACGGTATCTCACGGCAGCGGCGGAGCGCGAAGGCGAGAGCCACCCCGCGCGTAAATCTCCGTCCAGCCACCTGACTTCCGCTACTGGCCTTCTTCTGGCGGGCCCGCATGCCATCATGTCCGCCCGATACACACGTTGACGTTCATCTAGAACTGTGAGCAACTAGTGGTGCGATAACAGTGATCTTACTCAAGCACATCTCATTGTCGCCACTGATCTTCCTTACTCCTGCCTCCAGCCTTGGTGTTGCCACTATGTCAAAGACCGAGCATCTGTCCGGCCTTCCCATGCTGAGCGACCTCATCCCTCAGATAGAACGGAAGGTGGGTCTTCTGATACGAATACATCAGCTGTATTGCTAAACCAGTAGATCGTCAAGAACCCAGAGAAATATGCGGATTGGCGTGACACAGTGCACTCCGTCGACTTCACCCCGGGAAAGTACACGCAAATGGAGTGGGGCCGGTACGACACGTTCATCTTTGCAGGCCGAAATGTGAGTCCAGATCAAGCCATGAGGTAAGGCTGAGGTGGCTAAAAGGACAGAATTGCCTGCTGCCCTGTCATTGTTGCCCCATCAAAGTCAAGGACGCTTCCCCGGATGCAGCGCCGGATCTTCCCCCATTCTCACCGCTGGCAATGCAGGCGGGTGAGTCCAAATAGAAGTACAGCCCGCAAATCTCGCTGATCTCTCGGCTCTCGACATCTGTGGTTACCGAGTCCCACAGGAAGGCAACGTGTTGGCCAACTTGAAACTCCTGGCGCGAGGGATGGTGGAATCAGCTGAAGCGGAGCTGGGTGCTCTATTTGTGGAGTCAGGGGCGATGCTGCGGATTACGGGGCGATCTTCGCGCGCAAGGTGAGATCGCATACGCCGGGAGCAGAAGAAGCAGAGCTGAACAGCTAGGTCCAAGACCCTCGACCCTTGCACGGGGGCGAAGAAGTCGCGCGCGACGTTCAACAAGCTATCGAAATGCAGCTCACCGCCATATCTACCTGGTCTTTCTTACTGGAGCACATTCCTGGGGTCAACTGGAACGATAGCGATCTGCTCCATGTAGCAGATGCTCATCCTCAACATTCTCAGCATCACACCGCGACGCCGCTATGCGCGATTTTGGCCGAGTTAGTCACACACGAAGCTCAGTCAGAGGTTCGAATGTCCAAATTGTTCCAGAAGTGGTGGCACGAAGGCACGGCAGCAGTCACGGTGAGTTGGGGCTCAGCTCGACCATGGAGACAGACGCTGAATTCTCGTAGAAGCCATCCCTGCTCCATATCGGCGCACGGATCGCAGCACCGCCCAATACCTCCGAGCGGCATATCCAAGCGAAGAGCCTCGATAATACCACACGCTTCGAGCGGGCATTGATTCGCGTCTGTATGCCGAGCCTCCATCCCATCGTCCCGTTCCAGTTTAGTCGTAAGTCTGGCTCTGTGGTTTACAACACGGCAAACATCGTTGACATGACAGTCCTCGACTTGGAGCAGCTGCTCATCGAGAAGCCGACTCGGTCCAAGGCACTATCCGAAGCTCTCGTCAAGGCGATTGGTGGGTCAAGCTGCTTTACTTCCTCGGCGTAATCAGCTAAAGTTGACCCGATCAGGATATCACGCGATGGTCGTCCAAGCACATTACATGCTGCGGTTGGCGGTCTTCCTCAAAGGTCAAGCGCTCCGCGAAGCCACTCCGAGCCGCATCATAAACTGTTGCTTCGAGTCTGGCTCGTGCGCTTCCGGCCCCCTCCTCGTGGACGATCATAATCCCGACCCTCTGGTCAGACAGGCTCGAGATTACACATCGCAATTCGTCAAACGGCATTACACTTTCCGCGACACGAAGCGATTCTGGTTCCTCCTCTACACGTGCAGAGGCATAAACTGGGCCGACCATATCGACTTCGATCCGGCCACACTAGCGCCCACACTCAAGACGCGGCTGCTCGGAGATGTTCTGGACTCGGCCGTCAACAGGACCTTCGGCTGCAGTTTGGTCCAATTGATGCTGACCGATAAACCAGCTCAACCGGGAGGAACCATGGTGCCGCCCTCCGACCGAGAAAGTCTGCTCAAGCAATTTGCCGCCATGCGGGAGTTGCTTCGCCAGCTGGTCCGAGAGGATTTCAGATGTCGGTTCCAGCCTAGCATCGAGATTGATCCGGTGCGGCAACTCTTGCCTCCCCCAGTCTCTCCCACTCCATCCACCGCCCTCATCGCCCAATTGTCCTCTATGTCGATGACGCAGAGCGCCCACGCCTACCTCCGGGACAATCCTACCCCCGCCAAGGTGACTCGAGACCCCAAGCCCAGCGCTTCAGCTCCAGCTGCCCCCAAGGAGCCCGAAGTCATCCCGTCGGACTCGGTCATCTTCGTTAATAACAAGCAGTTGAAGCTAGTGGAGAAGCTTTACGGTCAGCGAGAGGGTAAACTCCCTTGGGTCCCTCTGCTCAACGTAAGTCCCTAGTTCTCGAGGTCTGCATGCGTACTTGGCTGATGAGCCCAGTTGTTTGAACGGGCAGGACTGCGGTATGTGCCCAGGTCTGCTCAGGAAAATTGGACATAGCGCTTATGATCACAGCGTCAAAGCTATGGGCGGTACCGCCTTCCACATCACCCACATCTCGGACGGAGGTTCCATGATCTTATACAGGTGAGTTAGTACTGTGGACCAAAGGAGCTTGATCCGTCGCTGACAAACAGGCCGCACCCCGATCCCGACTTGAGCTCCGAGCGAGCATGTGCCCTGGGTATTCGCCTGGCAACGACTTGTGAGCCCTCCACATCCGCCCTCCATCTCCTCTGGTCATGCTGATCCTTTAGTCTCGTGGAGCGTCGAGATGTTCCGCAGGAGACCGGGAGGTGGCGCTCTTGCCGAGCAGGATTAGTAGGCGGTCGGATTCTCAGTCCTTCTGCTTGGCGTAGAGGGACTTTGTCGAGCGGGTATCAGCGAGTTGTGCACCAGTGCGGATATAAGCGAGTTGTATATCAGTCAGCGTAGCTGCGTTTGTACCCTTTTCACGAGTCTGTTGCGAGATTGCCCGGACTCCTGACATCACCCCAAACACAGCTCCCCACGTCGGACAGGTCGCACGGACCAGACACCTTCCAGGCCTGCAGCTCAGCTTGCAGCAACAGCACTTTGAACGGTCTCCTCCATCTATCTGTCCATCTATATCGAGCTATATCACCGTTATCAGTCCCAGCCTGTGTGTCGGTAGCCAGGCAGCTGGGCTGTCGAACAGCACTGTATGAGTCCGATGGAGAGCCATGTAAGCCAAGCAAGGCGGAAGACATACAGCATCTCTTGGATGTGAGCTTACTTGTGACAGCTTTCATCCCTTGCTCAATCGACACAAGGACAGGAGAGCTCTCATGATCATCAAGATCTTGCGATATGGGCCTTGGCCGCATCGCTATCGCCAGTCTGACATCGCTGGGGCTCGCCGAAAGGAAGATGTAGTCCACAAAGTAAGATGAAGCTCTCCATATTCTCCTCCCCCGCTCTACTGCCTGCCAACTGTCCAATGCTACACGACCGTATGCTGACGATGTCAGTCTCACCCATATATGCTCGTCAAGCGACGTCGACGAGGCCGGATCCGTATCCCTACCAGACGTCGATCAAGGTGGGCATTCCGGCCAGCCTCGCCCGGTCTTGGCTGACACCGATAGCGCTAGTTGTCTACGATCAAGAGCAGGCGATGTACGGTCGGAGCAGCAACAGCTCTTGGTATGGCCCAATCCATCCAGAGCCGACGCGACATATAGCGCAGGTGCGAGCCCAGACCTATCTGCGAGAAGCACGCTCTGCCTATCCTGCTGACCTTGGTGAGTCGACTTTACCTTGCTACTGCGTATGCTGATAGCCAGACCCAAGTACACTGCTTCACTACCCCTGCACTCTCATGCCGCCTTGGTCCACAATCGTGCAAAGGCGGGAGGGGGCAGACCGGAATGACGATCTACTTCTGAGCTATCCCTTGAGCGACCGGAAGAACGCCCTGCCCTGTCGATCGATCGCATTGATCCGCAGCCAGCCGAGAGTCCCCCAGCAAGGGAGTAGACCGCATTATTAGGGGTGGTATAGGAATCATGAGAGCCAGTGAGTCTATAGAACACCTCAGAAGCAGAATCTGAACTGATCTTCAGGGTGAAGCGGGAAGGGGGTATGCGAAGCCTTTTCTTCGCGGAATCTACAGGCAACTTGAACACCCTCGACTGGTGAGCCTGACTTGTACTGCATCACAGATTGCACATGAACAAGCAGCTTGACACTTTCAGGCCGCGTCCTGTGCTTAGCCGGATCCACCTCTGATAGGCTGGCATGCTTGGGACTCATGAAAGAGCTTCTGTGAGCTTTGCTGGACCCTCAGCCGGGTCAGGATCGAGGCGCGGTAGCTGATCTGAACAGCTCGATCGATCGTTCCTCCCTTGTTCAGCCGAGTCATCTGATCTACCCCCCTAAGTCGCTCACAACCTCGGCTACGTCTGCCTTGCCCTCATACTACCCCGCTCAGACTGATCTTGGCGGCCCCAGCTCGATCGACCGATTCGTTCTCAGGAGATTTGAGTGCGATACTCAGCGGCTCGGAGCCTCATCGTTCGCGCCCAGCCGTATTGCCGAGCAGAACGTCTAAAGTAAGCGCGAATCTTGTTGATGTATGTCCAGTATGGCCCGCTCACGCTGACTCTTCCCCTCACTGATCAGTGTGTGTACTGTGCTGACTCAGACGAGCTGCTCACGACAGCTACTCGGATCCCAGGCCATTTCGCCTCCTCCGCCGCCTTCCACATCGCACAGCGAGCGGTGGCGAATCGCCTGTTCTGAGGTTAGTCGCCCGTATTCCTCCAATGGAGACGAGGAGCATGATTGGGCGCTCTGGCGATACTGCACAACATGCAAGGCAGTAGGGCTGGCCTGGCAGGCCCAAGTGCCACACTCATCATAGGTCGCAGGATGTTTACGTCAACGTGTGTGTATCCACTCATGTCGTCTCTTTCAACCTTTTTACGCTTTCCCCATCAAGCTTCCCTCTTCCTTACTTCTCACAGAGCACCAACACCCCTCTTCTCTATCATCACAGCCACCATGAAGGAGCCGGAACTCCTAGACAGTCTGCCTAAGATGAGCGACATCATACCGATTATTGAGAAGCATGTGAGTCGCCCTAGTCCAACAATGGGGATCACAAGCGCGACCGCAGGAGCTGACCTTCACAGATCATTTCGGAGCACAAAGTCTCGCATGGACTGAAGGGTGACTTTGAGGTTTTACACGACGGATCTGCTTCAACTCCAGGGTTGTGTGATCGGGGCAGACCATACGCCTGCTATGTGAAGTTCCTACATGCGGGGTCAAATGTGCGTATTGATGTTCCTTCTTTCTCTGACCGGGTCATCGTCGTTTCTTGCGCATTATGCAGCTGATCCAGTAGGCTGGTCTACTCCCGTACTGTGCACACTGCACCGGCGCAAACGGTCGCGTCCTTACGGACGACGAGTTGCCGACGTCATATTCGCCCCTGGCCATGCAAGCGGGTGAGATCACAAGCGCACAGCAGATGGAGAGTGTCTAATAATATAGCTCGCGACATATGCCTCTACAAGCGTAAGCCCAGTACGCCCGACGACCTCAGGCAGCTTTCGCAGGCCATGATCGATTCAGCAAAAGCAGAAATGGAGGCGTTGCTGCGAGAACCAGAGGGACTTCTTGATCATATCAACCGCAACACCTTGGGCAACAAGTCAGTTCTGCTGCTTGCCTCGGTCAATCGCCTGGCAGCTGATTCTAAGCAGTTCCTTATCTCGATCGATCGCGGAAGCCGGCCAGGCAGCTGCCGAGGATGTTCTGGCCGCTCTCCACTTTCGGCTTCATGCGATTGCCGTCTGGTCGGACGTTCTCGCACAGCTCGATCGAGTCGACTGGGATGACGGAGAACTCATGATGGCTCTGATACGAAACACTACAATCGCCAAGGAGAACTGTCACATCCCCCTCTGTCGTATCGTTGCTCGAATCAACCAGCATCAGTCAGAATCCGCAGCTCTTTTGAGCACGATCTTTCTGGATCATTGGGACAAAGGACAGCAGGCACCAGGGGAGGTGAGCTCTTGCCACCAGTCCTTCCCACAGAACGGAGTTGAGCTGATCCTGTCTCCAGCATTCCGCAGCTCACAAGGCGCTTCATGCTCGGATGAAGCAGGAGAACCCGATGTACACAGAGCGCTACGTTCAGGCCAGGAGCCTCGACCGAACAACGCGCTTCGAACGGGCGCTCATCCGTCTGTGCCTTCCCGATCTGCATCCGGTCGTGCCATTCGAGGTCAGCAGTGAGTGAAACCTTGCTCACTGTGCGGGCCTTTTCTGACCATTTCACAGTGCTAGACTTCGAACAACAATTGCGCGAGCGGCCTACCCGTTCAGACATGCTGTCTGATACGTTGCTGAAAGCAATTGGTAAGCCATTCAATCAAGACTCATTGCCAAGAACGCAAGAGCTGACATATCTTTGCAGGATACCACGCCATGGTGATGCAAGCAAGCCAGATACTCCACTTCAGGATGGTGACCATCTTCGCCGGCGCTGAGCTCTTCGATGACGCCGCTCTCTTTGGACGAATTCATCGGCACTACGACAAAAGGGACAATGCTGCCACCGACAAATACGCCAGTCTTCTTCCTGAACCACCTAATCTTCTCGCTTCCCGCAACACGATAGCCAGTGCTCTCAAAATCATCGCCAGGCGGTACCCCACGTCTCGGGATGAGCGCGTACTATGGTTCGGCACTCGCCTCCGCCCGGTCAATTGGGCCGAATACGTCACGATCAACTCGATCGGCACCGGGGCAGCGCTGGACGGGCGCAAGCTCAAGCAAGACCTCGACGCTCTTGCTTCGAGGGACTTCGGCTGTGACCTGCTCGGTCTGATGGATCACGATGACACTTCTCCCGAGAGGTAGAATTGGCTCCTTCAATCGAAGGATTATGACCGGGACGCGCCTAGGTTGCTCTTAAAGGTGGTCGGCGAGGCGGGGGAGGCGTCCCAGATCCCTCACCGCTGCGTATACGAGCCAGCGGTGAGACGGCCGGCACATCAGTCGAATCACAGCGCGTCAACGTCGCTGCGTAATCTACCCGCTCCCGCCCCCGCCCCACTTACTCAGAGCGGGCACGCCTATCTTCGAGACAACCCGGCGAAAGAAAGAACAGGGCGGGCCGACCGGAGCAATTTCACGACCGACTCACCCGCTCGTACGCTCGCCAGGCGCCCTCGCACCCTTTTCACTATCAACAACAAGCAATTGAAGGTGGCGGAGAGGCTGTTTGGCTACCGAGGAGGAGCAGTCAAGTGGGCTGAGCTGGTAAATGTAAGTCGCTATCACCAGGTCTTACGAGACTCTCAGAATGCCAAGCTGACCATCGTAGCTTTTCAAACGACTGGGATTCTCGTACGTATGGATTCTTGCTGATCTGGAGAAGACATTGCTGATGTCACAGAAGCAGGGGCATGGGGGGTTCCGCTCATCACTTGACGCCGATCTCAAATATAGGAAGATCCATGATCGTCTACCGGTGAGCACATGTCTTTTTCTCGACCGCGCGAAACAGCTGACCGGCAGACCTCACCCGGATCCTACCTTTACTTCGGCTCAAGCGGGCGCCATAGGCCGTCAACTGGTATCTATCTGTCAGTTCCGATATCATCTTCCTCTCGAACAGGGGATGTAGCTGATTGTACAGTCGGCTGGTCCATCGATAACTTCGCCCGGAGCGCTACTACCGAGGAGCATGATCAGGCGGTCTAGGGTGTAGGGGATCTGTGGGCGGGTTTAGGAGGAGGTCTCGGAAGGTGGAAATGGGAAGGTGGAGGAGGGGACTGCTGACTGAGATCATATACGAGAGTTGCTGAACAAAATGTGCCATATCTATCATGCATGTAGTATCACCTATATGACCACCCAGATGGGCTGCCCCTCCAGCCGCTAGTGCACGTAGCTCTCTCTCCACCTCATAGCGGTGAGTATCTGACCAAGCGGTGAGCGCCACCTTCCGCCGGTTTCAGTTGCAAGTACGTTCCGGGGGCGATATGCGATCCCGTTGTCAACTTGGCCAGCACTCGTCAACAACCCTTCTCCACCGCATCTCATCCTACCCTTCACCTCCTCCTCACCTCCCGCACCGCGACCCGCTCTCACATATCAACCATCATGACATCACCCTGGGAGATCCGTTTCTCCAACTCGCGCCAGCTCCCCTACTTCTTCAATAACGAGGACAAGCGGTCGGAATGGTCGGTCCCGCGCGGGTTCTCGGACGTCACGGTCCGCCAGCTGCGCGGTGCTGAGCAGTACCTCACCCCCCTTGATCCCCGTATCCACAAAGATGAGGGTCCGGCCGGTCAGGCAGGCGAGCTGTTCAAGACAAAGCCGCATGCCAAGCCCGTCAAGTCTGAGGAGGCCGCCGAGGTCGCGCGGTCGAGGGGCCAACAGGTGCAGCGCGCTCGGGCGATGCACATCCTTGCGAAGCACAGGAACTCGCGCCGGCCCAGTAGCTGGAGAGAGGTGAGTCTGGAACTATAGGGGTGGTGGAGGAGGCAGGGTCTGGGCTGATGAGTACAGGACGTGATCACCCGTTCCCTAGAGGAAGCGCACGATATCATCCAAGGCCATATCGACCGGCTCTCCGCTGTCCCCGAAAGTCAGCTTCAGACTGCGTTCGCCAGTATCGCAAAGACAGAGAGCGACTGCTCGTCCGCAAAGAAGGGCGGCGACTTGGGGGATTTCGTCAGGGGTCAGATGCAGGCTAGCTTCGAGGTGAGCACCGTGTCCCTCTGTCTGCTGTTGGGCGAGCGGGTGATGCTGCTGGATTCGGGAGAGCCTTTGTAAAGGACACTGGCTGATACTCATCTTCTCCTTCTTGGTCACTGCTTCTCACTCTCCATCTACATTCGAATCCGCTCCTTCAATCCGCATCCCTCCCAACTTGGATCTCCACTCGGACTCGTCCATCCTTCGTCTCCCAATTTGTACTCTCCCCACGGCCCGATCCTCGTCCCTGCACGCCGCGATTCACCTCTACATACTGCTTTATACTGCGCCGCCTGTAACATGCCCCCGACCATACCTCATACGCTTTCCCTCACAGGAAGCATGCTTCTCGCTGAGACCCGGTCAAATGAGCGGTATCGTCGACACCGACTCGGGAACTCATGTCATCTTGCGGCTCGCCTAAGGCGGACGTCATATCGGTCCGGAGTGGACGGGAACGGCGGAGAACAGATGGAGAAGGGGTGTGAGGGAGACTTGGCGTGGACGGCAGTAGGAGGAGGGAAGGAGTGTGGAGGAAGTATGACAGTACGGGCGGCCGGGCAGATGTAGACACGCTCAGGAGGCTGTATGGAAAACGAGGGCTGGGCGGCGAGAGCTAATGAGGGAGGGAGGATGTGTTGGCTATACCATTGTACGTCGTGTCTTGCATGGCTACCATCGGGTGTGACACCCTCGTCTTGACTTCACCGCTCTACTGCTTGGCCTGCTTTCGCGCTTCCCATGGCGCCCAGATACATGCTACAGTCAATCTGAGAATGTCAGCTCCTGCATCGCTCAAGGTTGGATTTGCTTTGCTCTCCTCACTGTGGATCTGGACCTACGGGGTATGTCTGCCCAGTACAACGCGGGTACTGCTCAGCCTTGGGTCTTCCCCTCGGCGCCCCGACCACTCACTCTGTCGACAGCATGCTAAAGCTTCGACTTTCCGACCCCCCCTCCACTCCCTCCTCCGCCAGTGGCACCACCCGTCCCCGCATTTGCACCGGGAGCCATTCCCCTCCCGAATCCCTCCCACGCTGGATGTACTATTCGAACGTCTCCCCACCTCCCCGCATTTGGCCCGCCCTGCTGCGGTCCTCCTGATCCAGTAGACGTCCCTCTTGTCCCAAGAGCGCTCCCTGCAGATGCTGTCGACGCCGCAGAGCCCGACATGTATTGCCGAGTCTGGATGAAAGGCGGTTGGAAGGTGGATGAGCTGGAGGCTGGGTGAACAGCGGTGGAGGTGGGCCTATGGCTGCTGGGAATGGAGGGATGTGCCGACGAAGCTTTCGGCCGTTTGTCGCGGGAGAGCATGGCAGCAATGGAGGCTTGAAAGCTGAACAAGCTGCTGCAAGTACTGGTACGCTTGATGAGATCGGGATGTACAAAGTTGAGGTGATTTTCCAAGTCCGGCGGACCACCATAGCCGGTTTGTGCGATAAGCAGCGGCAAGTTTGAGCTCAGCGAGACAGGAAAGTTGACGGAAATCAAGACGACATGACCAGGCCTGGACGATCCCGAAAGTCATGCATCTGTCTACGTCTACTAAGGAACCCTGATAATAAGGGTGTTTTACAACTTCTGCATGGCTGAGAAGTCAGCACAAATCCCACAAAGCTTTCATTGGAGGAGTGAGCTCACCAGCGACGTCGGTCGACTGGACGTAGTCCTCGATCTCCTGAATCTCCTCCTGCAACTCGTCGAGCGAGATCTTGTCCTCCATGACCAAGTTGATCTGCAGCATGCGGATACCTGATAGTAAGCTATATTCGCCAGACATATGCAGCGCCGCATATGACTAACCGTAACCAACGGGAACCAGCTTGCTCTTTCCCCACAAGAGACCGTCCTTCTCGATCGCCCGGACAGCCGCCTCCAAGGCCTCCATATCTGTCTCGTCGTCCCACGGCTTCACCTGGAGGGTAACGACCGACTTGGCAACCTCGAGCGTCTTGCCCGCCGCGAGCTTCTCCTGCTTCTTGGCCTCTTTCATCTCGTTGTACTTCTCGACACGCTCCTTCTTGATCCGCTCGGCCTCCTCCTCGTCCTCCTCGTCCGAGCCGAAGAGGTCGATGTCCTCATCCTCCTCTTCTGCTGCTGGTGCGGCCTTGTCGGCTGAGGCGGCAGGGGCGGAAAGGGCGGAGAAGAAGTTGGTGCCGGCGGGAAGGGTGGAGTGCTCCGAGGCGTACGAAAGGATGTGGCGGTACCACCGGGCAGCGTGGGGGTACTGCTTGGCATCGGGGGCGACTATACATTAGCGCGGGCTCCCGTGACTCGGCAAGAGCTACTCACCACCGTTAAGGGAGTCATACAGCTTGACGTCGGCCGAAGAGGGCGCGTAGCTATTTCCATCAGCTCGGACCTTCTGATGGTCAAAACGAGTCGCGGAGAAGAAGTAGGATCAGTGTGTTTGGAAAAGTAGTTATCTTCAATGTAAAAGGCGCGGGGTCTTAAGCCGCTGACCTCAGAAACACGGACCAAAACAAGGTTCATCACAGAAGGGAAAGGCAAGTTGAAGGAGGGGGTCTCTCGTTGAAATTGAGGACTCACCCGTCGACGTAAGACCTGGTGGTCAAGTGCTGCTCAATCTTTGCGAGGTCTGCCATTGTGCTGTGTGTGTGCGAGGTGTATAAGTAAGGTAGTATAGGTAGATGGTTGTATAACTGACTGAGTGAAGCGAGTGAAGGAACGTGGACTCCAACTTTTGCGGTGGAGAAGATATCGCCGAAACGTAATTCCGCCAGTGTGGCAAGTGGCAGTACTGCCGGCATTCCTGCAGCGGGTGGCAAATCAGTCTGGGGCAGAGATCAGGTGTGATGTGTCCTCTCCGCTCGTTCCAAGACGCCTTAGCATCTGCTGCCAAGACGGCCTACAATTAGGAGAGGAGTGCGTCATTGATGAATCGGGCAGAACGCAAAAGGTGAGGTCCAACAGGTAACAGAGGAGGCGGGAATGAGAGGTCAAAGTTGGAGTGTGGATGCCCGATCTCGCCTCCTTCCCGCTGCCCTTACTTCGACGACAAGCATGATCTCTCGCAGCCTTCTACGCCACTCGGGTATCCTTTTCGTTATTAATCTTCCCCCATCTGGATGCTCGCAGAGACGGTCGGGTGCCGCTGCATACCCCAGGAGGGCGGTATGAGGTTTACCCGTTCGGGCAGTTCCAAATTGTTTCAGATTCAGATAGACCCTAGACGATGTGGCGGGCCTCTGGCTATGTACAGAATCGTACTGCTGCTATCGCAGAGGGTGGAGCCCCGACGTCGGCCATGAGATCTCACTCTGTCGCTGTCATCCCTCTACTCTACCGCCTAGAATTGGCTCATGTAGTGGTTCTCACAGGAGCTAGGCACCGATCAGGAACGCGAACCATACACACACAATCCTTTACTCCCCCCATTTACGCCCTGACCTTCGAGCGCTTTGATCGCTCGTGCCATCTCTCTTTCTCATCTTCTCATATCGCCATCAAATCCATACCCTTCCCTACTGCATCCATACTACCCAAGGGTCCCAAATGAACGAGAAAGACCCGATTGATATTGCCGTGGCTCCCGCCCCTTCCACTTCGAACCCGGCGATCATCGCAGTCGAGCTGGCTCCGTCAGATACGCCTATCGATGACGACGAGGCACGCCGGCGGGCGATCGAGCAGATCTGGTGGAAAGATAACTTCGAGGCCTTCGCCACCCCCTTGAGAAGTGGGGACTTCAGCCAAGCTGAGGGTCAGCTCGCGGAGATTGGCTATGTCCGAAAGGCCAACAGCAATGTCGGCTTGGAGCCGATTTTCGACATCCAGATGACGTCGGCGCTGGGTCGCCAGTTGGGTCTGCTCAATCTCAGTGGGTCTCACCAAAAGCTATTACCAATGCCAGGAATTAAAGCTGACATTGCTAGTGTCGCTCATCGCTCTTCCCATCCTCGCGCGGTCGGCCGGCTTTACGAATTCCGCCATCGAATCCGTCCAACTCGGTCTCTATTTTTTCATTGGCCTTCGAATTGCCTTCACATACAGACTCAAGCTCATGCGAGCTGTCTCCTACCCCCACAACCTGCTCACTCCAACCTCACGAGGAATGGGCGAAACCTCGACCGCTACCTTCTGCTGGCCGCGCACGTGGACGTCCATCACACGGTGTCTCTATACGCCGAGACTCCAAACTCTTCGCGAGAGATTTCTTCCTCGCTGGAAGCGGCACCTCATCAACATTCTTGCCCTCTTCAGTGAGTGTGCTCCTCGTAACCAATGTGGCACGTGTAGCTGATCCACCAGCATTCTGCGCGCCGGGCATCATCTTCGCCTTCTACCACATCGCCGTCGTGACTGTTGTCGTCTGGTATCCGAACCACACATCCGTCTCCAACAAGCCAGCCCACTACCACCCCATCTTCGAACTCTTGAGTCCACTCTCATTCCTCCTCCCCGCCCTCATGCTCGATTTCAGTTTCACCTACCTACCTCACATCGCTGAGCGTCGAGGCTTCCGCCGCGAGGAACACGCCATTATCGCTGGCTGGACAGACAAGATGAGGCGGCTTCTGCTCATTGCGAATCCGATTCGCGAGAGGCAGGTGGTCAGAGAGCGTAAGGAGGAGATGGATGCGTGGAAGAAGGAGGGCGAGACGAAGAGTGACGCGCTGAAGAGGGACGAGCTGGCCGAAAAGACAGGTAGGTGGATCTCTTGTTCTCCGCCCCATAGTTCCGTCCCAGCCTCTCTTTTGGCCCAAGCTGATCCAGGTGCAGATTGAAGACCTTTGACCCAAGGGGCCATGTTCCCCACATCGCTGTACATACGAAACACGAACATGCTCGAGATCCGTCCGGACAGCACATGAGACACAGTCAGACGATATATACATATGCCCAATCCAGCCAGGGTGGCGAAGAAGGTGGCTATAGTCGGAGATGGAGCAAGAGACAGAGGGAGGCGGGATGGAGCGGGGTCGACCGAGTGTGCCTTATGAACCGTAGTGATATCATGCTGTACATAGTTAAGACATATGCCAGTCGATCCGAGTTCTCTCCTTGCGTAGACCCGCCGTCTTTCGTTAGACCAGTGCGGCGTATGTATGTAGTTGCTGAGGCTCGCCGATCGCAGAGCCCAGGGTCAGGCGATGCCGGCAGCTCCGAGCTGAGGAATGCGGTGTGAGATCTGCCGCTCCAGCTGCGCCGGATACGATGATGTCGATAAAGACATGGACAGCAAATTCGCGTCATGACATCTGCTTGTGAGCTGTTATAGACCTTACAGTTTCCCCGTGAGACCTGGTGGGTAACCATCCTGGGCCTTTTTCTGGATCAGACAAGGGGCAATCGCGGGTCCAGGACCCTCATTCCAGTGGTGCCTGATCCGCGAACTCAGCCGTCTGGTCTCAGTCTTTGGGCGATCTTTGGTCATCCTCTTCTCCTGCAGGTCGGGACGTACGGTGGCCGTGATGAGAAGTTACTTGGCTGCGCGTGTGTTTCACTGTGTCACGGAGCGAAACCATGACCACCAACAGATAGGTGGTGACGTCAAGTCGGTTAATCTCATAGCCGGAACATCCGATTCACCTTACCCGGTCATCGATCGATCTTGCACGAATGTCAAACAAGAAGCTGTTCTCAGCTCCTACTGTCCTCTCCTGACCTCACGACCGATCACACAACACAACACATCAGCACCTGTCCCGGCCGTCCCATTTCCCCTAGCACCCATCCTCACCGTCAAAACCACGTATAATGGCGATCAAGCCAAACGACCTCCAAAACGCCGTCAAGACCCCGAAGGTCACGTCCGGGCGATCCGGCGGAGTCACCCCAGACAAGTCGGGGAGCAAGGACCAGGGCAAAGAGAACGAGTACGAGCCGGGTCTCAAGCAGGGTCAGACGGAGAGGGAGGCGCAAGGCGGCGAGGCGTCAGAGAGCGGGAAGAAGATGAAGGGCGCGATCAACATCAATGGTGGACAGCAGGTCGACCCGGCGTATCGCGAGGTGGGAGCCGGTGGGGATGCTGGCAATGAGGGTAACCTGGGCATGGAGAAGGGGAAGGGCACGGGCAAGGCGCCGAGCAAGGGCAGGGACGCCAAGCTCTAAAAGGAGGACGGTATCGTTGTAAACGTGTTTGTCTCGTTACGAAGGTGAGTGATATCTCACCTACTGCATGTCTACGCACAGACCCTTCCTCATCATCAACTATCACCTCAATACCGCCTGTGCCAAGAGCTGATATCGCAGGCGGTGTAGCTCCAATTCTATACTCATGCATGTACATCGTCAGCTCTATTGGTCTAAGTGCACGAACAGACACCAGACTCGCGCACTACTGCTTCGGCTCAGCATTTGCGGTAAAAGGAATCAATAACTTACAGGGCTCAGGCGCTATGCGCCATGGCGTGCATCATCGCCTGCTTAGACGTGGTACCACACCAGATCCACCCCACCATCCCGCTAATGAGAGAGCTTACTTGGCTGTCGGACTGCCTGCCCTTAGGGCTAGCCTTTTCGGCCATATCCCGCGATTTTGTTAGTCACCCCTTTCTGCGCTGGACCTTCGACTGATGATAGGCTGACGGTGCATGAGACAGGAGGCACACAAGCGATCCGAAATGGGCAAAGGCGCTTAGATCGACCGGACGCATCATGGGCGAGAGAGGTAATCGTATACCCGCGACATGGAAGGGCACATCGGGGATGTAAGCAAGGAGAGCCAGATGAAGTGAGACGAATGCGCCCAAGCTGCCCACAGTCCGCCGAGACTCGCTTGACTGTTGACACGAATGAACCTGATACAGCCGTCCGGTCATCACTTAATTAGGGACTGTGTTTTGGACTGCGCAGGAGAATGACAGGGCCAAGAGGGTCTACGTGTGGCTCAAGGCGAGAAGGACCGATACCTCCCGACTGCGACATGGAGGCAGACATCCCCTGGTCTGAAGCGGCATAGGGCGGAGTGCAGGAAACTACCTGAGACGGATTAATGGTGGTGCTTTCCGATCTCTAATGTCTAAAATCGAGACTACACCTCAATATCACTCAGGCGCACAGCTCGGCGTCGCTTACATGAGCCAGTGAGGCACCTCGTCGGTGCCCAGATCGCCGTTGCCGCCTTGCCGCTCGACCGGTCACGTTATCCGCGAAAGTGGCACGTTGTTCACCGCTGTTGCAGATCCGCCACACTCAGGCATGTGCCACGGTACCGAGGTCCGATCCTGATCAGAAGTCATGGGCAAGTCATCATATAGCTCCAAAGATCGGCGTAGCAGGGTCTTACAAGCTGTGTGTTCCCAGTGGTCAGCCAAAGGACCCCCTCGAAGCTTAGCCATCCCCTCGTTTACGTATTTTTGGCTGCTGTCCGAACTTTCTTCTTGACCCTTCGAACACCTCATCACTTCACCACACTGCTCTCCGCATCCCTACCAATCAGCATGGACGATCCCCCGCCCCCATATACAGCAAGGCCTATACGTCCCGTCCCTAGACGGACGCGTGTACCTCCCCCAGTCCCTATTCCGGCGCGTGCACCTGCCCCTGCCCCTGCCCCTGCCCCTGCCCCCCCACTCGCCCATACCGGTGCGGGCGTCGGCAGGTACAGTAATGCCGAAATGTTGTGGATCCTCTCCACAAACCATGCGACCAGGATTGCGGACTTACGCGGCGAGAGGGGAGAAGTCTATCGCCAGTACGGTAGTAACCCCTGGAAGCCTCAAAAGGAGCTCACCCGTCGGATCGGGTCACCGTGGGGCGCTGCGCTCGCGACATGCTACGTGATCGGTGAGCGACCTTGCCTGATCACTCAAACGCTGAGCTCGGCTGATGCTAGTGCAGGTATGGTGCGGTTCATTGCCCTAGCTACCTATGCCAACGAGCGACAAGTGCCCGAAATTCGCATTGTCGCAGGACTCGGCCTCATCCTCGCTATTCGACGTGTTCACGCCTACTGGGATCGCATTTATGAGTTCCTCGGTATAGAACTGCCAATCGAACTCCAATTTCCCCTCCTCTACGATTTCGGCGAAGCAGCTCGTGCATTTCTCTTTGTCGAAAACCTCGGACCGTACCTCGCTCGGCCCGGTCAGGCATATATGCGGCAGACGAAGAGGGAGTTGGCTGAGCCAATGTGGCAACGAATGGTGGCGCTTGCTATGGTCTTTGGCAGTACGTTGCTCTCGTTGTTGATGCATGAATTGGAACACCAGGTCACCGACTTACGATAGCGTACAACGTCATACCCATGCTTGTCAACCACCTCCTTTTCGACATCCTCAAACTCCCACCCTACCTCTGGCTCAGATATCCTCAGCTACGATTCGTCAGTCAACATCACATTGCTCTACGGCTCCTCTTCCTCATCGGCCTTCGGACGTTACGGTTCTTCGCTACTGAGGCTCAGCGGTACTGCCTCGAGCAAGGACGACAATGGGCACGCGTCCCTGGGATCCTCCGGAGCTATGCGGAGGAGTGTATGGCGATATACGGCGAATCAAACCTGGTCAGGGACAAGGAGATCGCAGAGGAGCTACCGGATATTCTTCTTCAGCGCAGGGCGCTCAACGAGAGGGAGGCGCACATGATGCGAGAATCGCTCCGGACGGCGGATGAAGAAAGCCCCTTATAGCATAGTATGGTGAGAAGTGCGGTCGAATTCGAATAGTGGATCAGGCAAAATAGGCACATATAGTAGTGCCCCTGGTCAGAGTAGTACATTGTATATATCAAGTATGAGTAGGTAATGAGCGTCTAGATAGCATTATATGAGCGTCCATCCCCCTCCCGATCCGCTACGGAACCGGTGCAGCCCCTTGACTGCCTGATCACCCCGTCGCACTCTTCTTCTCCTCCTCCACTGGCACTGACTCATCTTGCTCCCCCTCCTCGCCCCTCGCATCCGCCTCTAGACCAGCCGCCGTTTTTGTCGATGACTGAGCCGCGTCAACATCATCCCGCTTGACATCTGCGGATACGCTTGGCGTCGCCTCGCCGGAAGTGGTGTCGGAAGTAGAATTGACTAACCTGGTGTCAACGTTGCTCTACTGCGTGCTCACAGCCCGAATCCCTCCCTTCTACTTCCTCCCCTTCCCCTTGCCGCTGCCAAAGAACGACTCGGCCCAGCCCAGCGCACCACCGACTGCCGAAGCGATGTTCTCCAACACGCTCGGCTCGGCCGCGCGCGAGGAAGGGGAGGAGCGGGTCTCGGTCTCGACGAATGGAGCCGATGATGAGGATGAGGAGGAGGAGGATTTACCTTGGTCTTCCTTGAACGAGGACGCTGAAGAACCGGTAGAGCGGGAAGGTGGTGTTGACTGGGACGGAGAAGGTGATGACGAGTCGATAGGTGATGAGGGGGATGAGGGGAGCGATCCGAAGTGGATCTCGGGGTTGCGGCCCTCAACGTCGTCTGCGTAGGCTTGCATGATCTTCTTTTGGAGTCCAGAGAGGGATCTGGGAAGTCAGCTACAGTCGTAAAGCTATAGTACACTGGGCAGCTGACCTTGGGATCTGTATCCTCCAGCCAACAATCAGATCACCCCTCGCATCCCTCCCTCGTTGGGGATACACACTCTTCACTCCCCTGCCCTTCAATACCGCCTCCTCTCCGTTCTGCGTACCTTCCCGTACTCGCACTTCGACATCTCCCTCCAGCGTGGGGATCCGCACCCGCCCACCCAGCAGTGCAGTGTGCAGCGGCACCTTGGCGTCATGGTACAGGTTAGTCCCTTGTCGCCTGAACACCGCCGACGGCTTGACATTGACTCGGATGAAGAGATCGCCTGGTGGTCCAGTCGATCCGAGCGGCATATCCCCCATACCCGGCATCTTGACCTTCATCCCATCCTCCACTCCTGCGGGTATATCCACCTCGACCTCCTTCCGCTCCTTGACCCGCCCGACACCCTCACACTCCCCACACCTCGCTCCCCGGGGTATACTGCTCCCTGCTCCACCACATGTTTGGCACGTCGACGCCATGAACATCCCTTGGACCTGGAACGCCTGCTGTCCCGTTCCCCGACATGTCGCACAGGTTGTCTTCTTCTCCCCGGGCTTGAGACCGGAGCCGGTACATGGCTTGCAGTCGACGACGGGAGTGATGTTGATCTTGCGCGAGATACCGTTACACGCTTCGAGGAAAGAGAGGGAGATGACCGTTTCGAGATCGTCGCCCTTTGACGGGCGTTGCCGCTGTCCGCCGCCTGGACCGAAGGGACTACCTCCGCCTCCGCCGCCGAAAGCACCGCCGAACAGCTGTTCGAAGAGGTCTCCAGCGTTCCCTGCCTGCCCGCCGAATCCACCGCCGAAGCCCTGGAACCCGCCAAACCCGCCTGCGCCGCGAGCGAAGTTGGGATCGAAGCCTTCTTGCTGGGATGCCGAGCCGTACTGGTCGTATGCTTGCCTCTTCTTATCGTCCGATAGTATCTACACTGTCAGCTGTGGCACGTGATCGTCAACCGGCTAGCTTACATCGTAAGCAGCTTGAATCTCCATGAACCGCTCATTTGCCCCCTTCTCCTTGTTGGAGTCGGGATGCCACTTCTTGGCCAGCTGGTAGTACTCCTTCTTGATGTCACTGGCAGTTGCATCCTTCTTGACGCCTAGTACCTGGTATGGGTCTTTGGCAGAAGCTCTCGATGGCGCCGAGGCGTGAAATGAGCGCTGCATGATCAGCTGACTTCTGCACGAGGTGTTGTGAGCTTACCGATCGCTGCGATCTAGGATCTGATAGTCTGCGAGGACATCTTTCTAGTGGGTAGGTTGGTGGACCGGGTCTACCGCTGGTATGTATCGATCGTTTAGAGATTTCGGGGGAAGACGGACGGGGAGGTGGAGGAAGGGTGGACGAGCTGGCCACTGAGTTTGGGCCGAAGGGTAGGGATGTGAACACCCTGGTTGGGATACGAGGAGGCATTCTGTGCGTATTGCAGCGGTATGATACTGAGCTGCTGTTGTATGGTGATGTATAGATGGATAATAGATTGGCAAGGTGGAAGGTGCGAGAGCTTGCGAGAGCTCGAGAAATATCTTCGGATCGGATCCTTCTTTTGCCGCCGGACGAACACGTGGACAGACCAGATCCGGGAACGGAGATTGGCTCTGACTCCATTCTTTCCGACGGAACTGGCTCGGGTCGATGCAACTCAACTCGGCTGATACACCACGTCCACTGCAGCCCATACATCAGCCAGCGATGGTCCTCAGACGCGATGCACCTCCCCCTATGCTCCAGTCAGTACCACAATGAGCACCGGAAAGAGAAAGCCATCGATACTGAATCGCAAAAGGAAGGCGGGAATGATCGCTTGGGATATCTTTCCCATCGCAGTGACATGGCTCCATGTCTGGCTGTCGCCTTATACCAAGGTGGAGGAGAGCTTTACGCTGCATGCGGTACATGACATGTTGGCGCATGGGTTATGGCCTAGCTCTATCGCAAGGGTGAGCTCATGGCTGGACTGGGGGAATCGGCAAGCGTCAGAAGGGCGAGCGTTAACTGACAGATCAGTGGGACCATGTTACCTTCCCCGGAGCCGTTCCCCGATCCTTCCTCCCTTCCATCATTCTTGCTAGTCTATCGTATCCAGTGGTACAGGCAGGATCTCTCCTAGGTCTGTTCCACACCAAGCTGGACATTCAGATCATCAGTAGGTTAACGGCTTCCAGATGCTGCTTGAGTCCAGCTGACCAGTTCAGTCCGCATCGTACTAGCTTCAGGCTTTGCTGTGTCTTTCGCTCAGCTCACCAAAGCCCTCCGGTACCGCTATGGTCCAGGCGTACGGATATGGTTCATCCTCCTGAGCTTGACCCAATTCCATGTGCCGTACTATGCGGGGCGGACTCTGCCCAACTTTATGGCTCTTCCCGGAGGTGAGCTGCCTGTTCCATGTCCGTCAGCACACACAAACCAGCTGACTAGCGCAGTCTACCTCGCAGTAGGATGGATCATCCGATCAGGAGCATCATCCATCCCGGCTCCTATACGACGCAAGCGGGTCCGCATGACAATCGCGCTTCTGACTTTCCTTGCTACGAATACGAGGCTGGAGCTCGCTCTGTTCTTGCTTCCAATGACGCTCGGGCTGGTCATCAACGGTATGACGACCATCCCAGACGCTATCTTGGCGGGTGCGGCGGGCGGGTTCAGCGCTCTCGGTAAGCCTTCAGTCGTCGATACCGTCCCAGATGCTGATAGTACAGCCGTCTCAGGACCTATCGACTACTTCCTCTGGTCACAAGCCCTCCCCCATCCCTCCTTACCGACCTTCAACTCCGCCTGGCAAATCATCTGGCCTGAGCTCTCCTCAATGCACTACAATCTTGTCCAGGGCCAATCGGCCAATTGGGGCATCATGAGCAAACATTACTACTTCAGCAACTCGCTCCCCAAGCTCCTCATGGGTGCTCTACCGCTCGCTGCCCTTGGTGCCGTCTTGGTTCCCGCCAGCCGCCTGGGTATCGCCCGAAAGTCGATCGGACTGGGACAGGTCAAGGCTATCCAGGAGGTGACGGGACGGCTGGGGATGGGTCTGGGCGTGGTGGGGCTGTTGGGCGGTCTGAGTGCGGTGGGGCACAAGGAGTGGCGGTTTGTGGTGTATGCAGTACCGGTGGTGAATGTCGTGGCGGCCATGACTGCTTCTGCGCTGTGAGTGGACGTCCCTCTGGACGCCTGCCGGAACTGTGCTGTAATGGTCGAGCTGATATTTTTGCTAGATGGTCAACGACCCCTCCTCGTATCCGGCCTTTGTTCAGACTAGGTCTCATCGGATTACTTGCCCTCCAGGTCGTCGCGACCGGCTTTCTGACGTTCATATCTGCTAACAACTATCCCGGTGGGGATGTCTGGCGCGCTCTGGAGGAGCTGCGCGTACCGACGGCATCTGGTGAACCTGGTTTGTTGTAACGTTCCCACGAGTCAGCGTAGGCCAAAGCTGATTGGCAACAGTCACCGTCCACTTCTCTTCCTACCCACTCCAAACAGGCGCATCCCTCTTCACCTTCCTCCACGACACCACCTTCCCTACCACCCAATATACCTCCGCCCTATCGTCCGCCACGAATCAGCCCGAATGGATCTATTCCAAATCGGAAGACCCAGCTCTGCTCACTCCGTCAGGAGCTAGAAAAGCGGGCATAGACTACGTCGTCCTTGAGAGCGGGACAGAGAGGCCCTGGGTGGAAGGCATTGGAGCGAGGTGGGAGACGGTCAAGGAGATACAGGGTCTGAAGGGGGTTAAGAGGGGTGGGAAGTACGGGGTGAGGGTGGAATGGGATAGGAGGGTTGTTATTCTGGGTCGGAGGGATATTGTCTAGCTATGCAGCAAATTCGCTTGAGCTTGTGGACGCATCTACTAGTATAGGCTATGCGGCTCGGTCGTGATTGCGCCGGGACTTAGCCCCAGCCCCCAATCGGCCGTGCGACCTCGCTTGCCGCTTACCGCCCGCAGAGTATCACATGAAACGCGCCCCCGGAACCGCCAGCAATCCAATCCTGTCGGCCCACCTAAAGCTCAGAAGACCTCGAGCTATCACTTTGCTATTTGCAAGTACTACTGTGTATTCCCTAACATACTTGACTGGTAATCTACGTGACGGCCGACCTTCGCTATGAGCATATAGCACAGCACGACCCATCATTATCTGGCGAAATCCTGATCTCGCTAGCGACAATGGCCCAGCCCGGCGGAGCTTTGCTCCAACAATTCATGCAACACCTATCTACCGTCTTCGTCTCTGGCCAATCGGCCATCCTCGTCGCCTCGATACCGCTGGGTCCAGATCATCCATACTGGACACCCATCCAACAGTCTGTCACGAAGGTGCGCAAATTTCTCATGCTACCGGCGTACCCGAGCCCACCCAAAGCTGGATGCTGATATAGCAGGTCCCTCCTTCTGCTCTCGCGCCCGAAGCGATATTTCACCTCACGTCCGCCATCCCCGCCTCAGCAAGAGACACCTACGCAGCCTTCGTTGCGGCTGTACTGGATAATCTTAACCCGCTTCACCAGGCGACACCGATTGGCGAAGATGCGATCCGGACAAAGGCGTATGGGGACTTTACGAGGTTGTTGGCTGTTTATACGTGAGCCACATCTCTCTTGCGTAGTCAAATCGCCAGATGATACCTAAGTCTGGATAGAGGGGCACGGTGGTCGATGCTGATCAGGCAGCGAGCTGAATCGGCTGTATGGCATGTCTGCGAACGGGCCGTACCTGCATCCTTTCCTCAACAAGCTGGTCCTTGAGATGGCGAAGCGGATACTGCCTGTCTCAAGAAGAGTGAGTCGCATCATGACTATCTCGTAGTAAGATTGGCGCTCTAGCAGAGGGTGGGACCAGCGGACGGCAGGCGAACATGTGGGGAGTCGAAGAGGACACCGCATGAGAGCTCAGGGATTCCGGATTGGACGCCAACGTTACCTCAGCAGTGGACACCTTGCTGACCTATCAGGCAGCCGCACTAGCCACCTCTCCCTCTCGCGACCACGACTCCTCCCGCTCCATCAAAGACACGACCCGTCAAGCCATCGAGCGGTCCTTCCAAGTCGCCTCCTCACCCGTCGCCTCCTCGGAATGGGAATCCGAGATAGGCAGGGGCGATTTCGTAGGGGACGTAGTGTGGAGCCTCGCCAATATCCTCTGGCGGATATATGCCGAGGTGAGCTATCTTCAGCCCCATTCTCGCACGATGGTCATTGAGCAGCGAATAGCTGACGATGCAGCGTAAACTCCACACTCAAGCTGTCGAGCTCCGCCGATCCGTTCAGTCCCTCACACCACCCGAGGACAGGCGGCTGGCCATGCGCGGCCAACATGTCCGTCAGGCCGACGTGTGCGAGAGCTGGTATTGGCGCGGAAGGCTAGAAGTGATTTTGCTAGATATGAGAGGGGCGAAGGCCAGTTTAGATCGGGCTTGGGAGCTCTGCCCCGAGAGTGGATGGAAGCAAAGAAGGTGAGTCAGGGCCGTGTTGAGGGAGTGATCCTTGCGGGTGAGAATAAAGCTCACGGGCAGATCCATCCTCATGCGCCTCATCCCCATCAACCTCCTCCTCGGCCACCTCCCCCGTCCGGACATACTCACGACATACAATCTGCCCGAATATGTCGACCTCATCCGCGCGTTCCGGACAGGCGATATAGCGGCCTGGCGGCGAGAGCTCGAGAAGCGGAGAGAATGGCTGAGGAGCCGGAGTGTCTGGTTGGTTTTGTTTGAGAGGGGGGAGATATTGGTTTGGCGGAATCTGTTTAGAGAGGCGTAGGTTTTGCCGTCAACCTTTGGAGTAAGGTGTATCTTGGCTGATGCGCAGACTACGCCTGTACTATACCCTCGATCCCGGTACGACCCGGAGTAGGTGTCCGACGTGGATCTTTGTCTCGGCCGCTTCGCGCGCGTTTGAGGGGTCGTCCGAGGTTGAAGATGGGACGATCGTGTTGGAAGATGTCATCTGTGTGATTTCGAGCTTGATAGATCAGGTACGTGCCCATCTCGACCGCTTTTCCAGTCTTCGTGATTAATGAGTGAATACTGGCTGACACTGCGCAGGGCCTCATACTAGGATACATATCCTACTCGCAGCAGACGCTCGTAATGAAGCCATCACCGGATGGGATGGGCGGATTCCCTCGAATATCGATGGTCGTCCCAAGGACAGTCACTGCTATCGCATGAAAACTGGTTAATACCAGCCTTGAGTATTGCGGACGGGAAAGATTGGATCGCTGGTATTGCATGCTCATCTACTTACTCTATGGCCAGTACGGCAAATAGGGATCGTCACGGTGTGTCGAATCTGAATCACCAAAATCATGCTCTTTTGCCCCCTATCCGCTCGCGATTTCCAGCCCCTCACACTACTTCTATCGTGCATGGCAGGTTGTTGAGATCTGACACACATCAGCTCAAGCCCGGGAGCACGTGCAATGATGATGCAAAAAGACTCTGCACCCCCGCCAAACCTCGTCCGCGCACTATCACACGTCTCGCCTTTGATGTACGCAGTGTTGCTAGCGATCCTCTGTACGAACGCTTGGGCGTCATTGTAACGATGACGGCAGATACTTGCCGAAGTGTCCCATGATGCTGCGTAGCACGCTGAACCAGTTCAGTATCACTCTTGCAGCATGGAGTGTTGTAGCCATGGAGGGTTGTGATGTCGAATGTAGATTAGAAATTTACTCACTTGGATCTTGAGTGCATTTCATGGCGCAGTCCACCGCACCCGCCGCCGCTGGGGAAGGTCCAGTCTGTAAAGCCTGTCAGCCGCAGTCATATCTCATGACTTCGCAACGAGCGCGCTATCGACATTGCATGGCCAGTTGTAACGACAGGAGACCCGTTCACTCACGCCGTAGATCCCAGCGCCGACGAAACGTGCATAACTCCTCGGAGCGATCTGAGACGTCTGTCTCTTGGCTGGACCGGTCCGTGTCGCTTTCACACGGGCGATGAGGCGGTCCCGAGTCAGTTGGCGGCTCTGGACTTCGGAGGGGTCGAAGACGAGAGCGAACACGACACCGAGGCAAATCGTGAGGAGGACGAGGAAGCGGGAGAACATGCTGGGAGCTGGGAGCTGTGAGCTGGGAGCTGGGAAGCTGATGACGGAGTGCGGATGTGGCGATGGCGTTCCGTGCTGAGAGGTGAGGTGAGAGCGGTCTTGCAAGGGGTAGCGAAGGGGCGTTTTTCGTGTATCAAAAGATCTGGAGCTGGACGGCGTGATCGTCGGCCTGTCAGCCTTCTTATATGTCCCGTGGCAGCCCGTGGCGCCTTGTGACGCCACAGATTGGAGCGGTGCCTGACCATCGTGGTACCAATTCTGTCTCTTATCACTACCCATCGAGTATAGCTCGAAGCGGCCAATCCTGCTCGAAGCTAAATGTACCATATCTCCGGGCGGGACGCGGGCCAGAGGCTGCCGGCTGCTAGAGGCGGGCCAACACCACATTCCTCTGATTTTATATGCTTCGCCGAGCGCGCCGATAACGCGCCGAATCGGGACGTCGATCGCCCCTGGCCGCAAACGTCCTGGTGTGCGGACAGCTGTATGGACGCTGGGCCAGGCTGGGCCGGCTTCTCGTCAGAATTGAATCCCACGGTGTCCTAACTTGGCTACTCTCCCTTGAGTTCCTCCTCGACTTCTCTGCATCGAACCGGAAGCGATCTCGTCTCGGATGTGTTTCAGAGTCAGATCTGTATCTCACCAGAGCATGCCCAGGAAGGGCTCAGTAGATGACAAAACAAGACCTAAAGTATATGCAAGCTATGTATATACCAACACGCACTTTTCCGATCGTCTACCAAGGTAGACCAATCGTCCTGCCGCTCTCCCTGGCCCGTCATCGTCCCCTTGACCTTCAAGCTACTCCACGAGCAAAACGTCTTCCCCTCTCTCTTCCCCGCAAATTAGCCCCTTTGCCACATTATACCACCCCACCTCGCCTCCTCGATGCCAAAGGCACAACCCCTTCCCTCTTCAGCCTCTCCACCCCTTCTTCACCCAATGTCTCCTTCACCATCCGCATAACGTCCGCGACGCTCTTACTGACTTTTCGCGTGGTCCCGCTTGGTCCGCCACGAGTATCTGGGCGATCTTGGAAGTTGAGGAGGTCGTAGAGTGATGAAATCTGGTCCGCCTATGGGTCCATCAGCCGTGCACCCTTCACTGACAGGATTTCGAGATCAGACGCACCTTTTGTTCGAGCGTATCAATCACCTCTTTAAGATGATCCGCCAAGACATGCCGCTTCGCAGCCGCACTCGCCGCATCCAGGAGCTTGTACTGGTCTGCGAGCTCACAGTATATCCTACATCATCAGCTTCTTTCCTTGGTCCTCGAGACAGGAAGCTGCACTCACGCCTTGTAATGCGCAAAATCATCCTCCAGCTCCCTAATCACCCGACTGAGCACAGTCTGGGGAGGTACCTCGCCCCTACCAAACCTCAGGATCTCTTCCGGCAGCTCCACGTGCCGCTTTTCGCCCGATGATGTTCTCGACCGCGGAGCAGTAGCAGTTTGAGCCGCATGTTCCTCCATCTGCGCAAAGAACTCGGCCTCGTCCTCGGCCCGAATGGAGGGGAAGGGGCTCTCAGGCCCTTCTTGCCTGGGTTCGGCACCGCGACGGCTCTTGCTCCGGTCCCCATGATGCCTCATTGGGCGAGACGAGGATGAGGCGGAGCGACGAGGGGCGGGGTGTGCCTCGTCTTCTGATGGAGGGGTAGGAGGGGCGCGGGGGATCGTAGGTGGTTGAGTACGCGTAGGGGGTCCGGTCGAAGGGGGCATAAGCGTCGGATTGGACGACGCGGACGCATGCAGCCCTTGTCGGAGTTTAGAGGGGAGTCGGGGCTCGTGGTTTCCTTTCGGAAGCTGTGTGGCCTGAGACCGTGCCGGAACCGAGTGGAATTTCGTCCGATCTCCCTCATCCTCGGCGTCCTCTACTCGCGCCTCCCTGCCTGTCCCCTCCCCTCTTGCCGCTCGACGCGTCTCCAGTCCGCGCTCGACGACCCCGCCCAGCCTGCTGACCTCCCGTGTCAATCGCTCGATCTCTCGACGGAGCGCAGCCAGCTCAGAGGCTGTTCCGGGCCGGGGTGGCGAGGGCGGGGAAGTTAGTGCCGGCTGAGAAGTCTGGAACTGGTGTACGAGGTGTTTGCTCTCCTCGAGGTCGGAAGTCAGCCGGGTGAGGTGGGTTCGAAGGGATTTGACGAGATCTTCCAGCGCTATTTGATCAGCTGTGGGTCGATAACAGTGTATCCTAACGGAGTTACAGCTCAGGAAGACACTCACCTGACTTCTGCCCCATAGCCTCCCTCAGTCGATCCCCTCCTGACCGCTTCGCATCCTCCACCTCCCCCTTGGCGCGCTCCAGCTCCCCCTCCAGCTCCCTGACCCGCCGCCTCGCAATCGAATTCTCAGTCTCCAGCCCTCGCAGGCGTGCATGCAGCGTAGCCAAAGTCTGAGGTATCGAAGCTGGTCATGTCAGCTTGTCATCATCCTCGCAAACCGAGAAACGGAAGGTTAAACTAACCACCTGCATCCCCACCCACCTCCCCATTCTTCCCCAAGACCTCATAAGCTCCTCCTTTGGCAGGAGTAGCCATCAACCCCGTCATACCCGTAACATCCGCCGAAGTATCTCCTCTTCTTCCCGCCGGAGCTGAGCTGGTCCGCCTGGGCTCTTGCTGTCCCTGCAGAGTCGACACTCGCCTTGCCTTCCCCTTGCCCTGAGCTGCCGGAACCGCCCCCTGCTGTATATTATGCGCCGTACTATCGCTCAGCGCCCTCCGAGCTGGCTGTCCAGGCCTGACCAGCCCTCTTGTGCCCGACGCCTTCCGCCCCTCGATATCTTCTTGCAGCTCCAGCGCAGCCTTGGTGAATGTCGAAGCGGCATACGGGTTTGTGATGGTCGTTTGGTCTCCGGAGCCGGAGCGCGATCCGCCCGAATCAGGCGGGGAGGGGAGGGGGTTGGCGCGGGAGAGAGTATAAGAGAGATTGAGATCTTGGGAGTGGGGACGGCGCTGCCGACCTTGCGCGGTAGGTTGGGATTTGGAGGTGAATGTAGGTAGAGGAGATGGGGAGCGGGGAGGGGAGAGCGAGTGGTGGTGTGCCGAGAAGGGCGATGTAGGGCGTGGCGATATCCTCTGGGTAGCGTCAGCTCTCGTCCTCTTCGACACGCGGTAGAGATGCGGGAAGCTTACTCCTCCAGATCCAGAACCCATCACCTTCCCCAGCTCACCCACCAGTCTGCCCAAACTCCTCTCTGGGTCAAACTCGCTTCCGTCATCCGACCACGCCCCGCCTTTCCGCCTAAACACGCCATCCGCCAAGCTCACAGCCGACACGTGGTGTCCCGCTGTACTTGCCGGGCTCTCGCCTATGCTGGGCACTGATAAACCCGAGGCATTCCGCTCGAGACGCCGATTATGCGCTGCGGCGCGGGGCGTTCCGGTTGGTCCTTGTGCAAACGCGTGAGCGTGGACGTCGGCATCGGGCTCGGGCGAACGCGCCGGGGGATGGTTAAACCAATCATCATGCTGCCTTTTGTCATGTACAAGGGATTGGCCAAATCCGCGCGGGTACTCGAGGGTATTGTCCATGTTTGTCCCAGAGCCAGAGAGGAAAGTACGGTCCCCCTCGTCTTCACCGATATCGACGAGCTGTCCGTCTATCGGACCGTGTCCGCTGGCGCCGGACCCAGAGGCGCTACCTATGGAGGAGAGGGATATGGTGCTGAGGTCCTGGTCGATGGTAGATTCGAGCCGGCGACGCTCGAGGTCAAAGGCGGAGGAGGTGATGGGAGGGAGACGGGACATGGTAAGCGAGGAAAGGATTGGTCGAGTATCGCCGGGTGGGCGGATCGATTTTCGCGCTTTTTCGTGATGAATGCGCGGTGACCTTCGGGTTGAATGTATGGGTAAGAGCGTCAAGAGTGTCAAGGTATGATATTATAGGTATATAGAGAGGGAGATGGAGAGAGGGTTGAGTGAAAGGTCGCTGTGTTTACGCCAGCAAGCTAGAGTTCCGCCGGAACCAAAAGAAAGAAATCAATCACATAAATCCGGCTTTGGTTCCGTTCATCTTGACCTGTGATCTTGCATCTTGTATCATGCTGTATGCGCGGACCATTCAGCTGCAGAGCGCTGGGCGCTGAGACTGGCAAGGGCGACAACCCCTGCTAAGTGGTTTACTCGTATCGCAGAGAGGCGGTATCTGCACTCCAGGTCAAAATGTTCTGCCCATCGATACGAATACAGTCACAAAGGCCCCAACGGACTATCCACCCCCTCCTCCTCTCTCTTGACATGAACCGGCTGCTGCTGGTGCTCAGGCCTCTTCCCAGCCCTCACAGAGCCCATCATCTCCTCACTATCCGGCAACGGCAGTGGCTTACTCGCCGCCTCGATCGCATCCAGCTCCCGCCGCATCGTCTCGCCCATCCCGAACTGCTCGTCTTTCGGTAGTGTGGGGGGAGGGGCGGGTTGGGCGGACTGAGGGACTTGATTTGGATGGGGAGGGATCTCGCGGATTGACTTGGCGGCTTGTTCCCATGCTTCCAAGTTCTACGCGGTCAGCTTGGATTCCCTGGACGGAGGGCACCTCGAAGCTGAAACTCACCTGGCGGCACCATTCCTTGTGAACAGTAGCGAGCTGGATGGCCATCTGCCTCATATCGGCCACTTTTTGCCTCTGGAACCGGTCCAAATCCGCCTGAAGCGTGTTCGAGGCGTACTTGAGATCCTGTTCAGAAGCCAGCAACGAGTCTTCGAGCTAAGTGGCGTCAGCTTTGTCCGATCGGCGTCGGGCTTTGCCCAGCTCACCTGCGCGATATTATCCCTCGTCTTGGCTATGTTCGCCCGCCTCGTAGCTTCCGGATCCACATCCATCATCCCGCTCAAACTATGCTTGACCGCCGACAAAAGCCCGAACCCCGCTCCTCTCGCCCTCGAGACGGACCGTTCTGCCCTCTCCCGATCTTCCCGCTCCTTCGCCCTGGCTCGCTCCCTCTCTTCCTGATCATCCGCTTGACTTCCCGTCCCAGAGGTGCTGCCGCCAATGATGGAGCCCCCTCGCTCGAGCGCCTCCTCTAGGCGCCGCGCCTCTCGCTCGGCATTCTCGAGGAGGTCGAGCTTGTCCTTCTGCGATTCGAGCGTGTCCTGGACAAGCTCATATTGGACGTGCTTTTGGTGGCGGAAGGAGAGGCGTTGTTTGATCAGAGCCGAGAATTGCGAGTAGATGTGAAGAGGCTCAGTGGCAGATCGTTCCCACGCTTGTAGCTGTAGTCGTCAGCTGCTGCCTCACATGAGCTCGAGCGCCTGCCAGCTCACCAAAGCAGCCGTAGCGAGGTACTCCTGATCCACCGCCTGCCCAACCTTCTCCACAGCCAATCCCAGCTCTCCCTTCTCCACCAGACTGAACCCATTCCAGACCGCTCCCAGCTCGCTCAGATCCTGCGCCCGCTCGCCCCACCGCTTGACCACCCTCCTGTTGACCTTTTCCATGCTCCCCGAGAAGTGCTGGTGGAACTTATCGGTGAATACCTCGGAGTCGTTGAACCGCTGGTCTGGGCGCCTGAGGGGGTGCGTGGGTGATGGTGTGGGAAGAAGGTGGTGCGCGATGTAAGAAGTGCTCGGTGAGTGAGGAGTGTCGGGAAGGGGTATGTCGGTTGGGGAGTCGGGCTGGAAGGTAGGGTTGTGGGAGGGTGCATGGAGAGGGTTTTTGGGAAGAAGGGAGACAGGAGGAGAATGCAGGACTTCGGTCTGAGAGGTCAGCTTCTGTACCCTGGACACCAAGAGGGGTAGAAAGCTTACCCAGCTGACGCCATCTTCCAGGAATCTGTGAAGAACATGTTCTCCGCCGAGGATAGGGTGGCGCACGAGCCGGCGCAGGAAGTCCTCCAGTAACCGCTTCCTGCGCGAGATGGTCGCCGCGTCCTCCTTGGCTTTGGACTGGCCTTTGACCGCATATTCGGCCAAAGACTGCTTTGACGGGATAGGCGGGATGATGAGAACCGGGTACAGCCCAGATAGCGCCTGATGCAGCGAGAGGAATGACGAGTATCTCCTGCGGGTCTCGTGTGTCTATCTCGTTAGCTCATCCTTGTGCGCATATACAGTTAGGCAAAAGCTTACTCCTATTCTGATCACATAGGTGATATACGTCGCCTTTCCTCCATCGGTCGTCTTGAACGCATCCACAATATGGATCTCTTCGCCTTTACTGATCTCCTTGTCCCGCTCACAGCAGAACCCCTGTTTCGCTGACGGGCCCGAGAGGCGGGAAGACCCCTTCTTCGGTTCCTTTGACGGATCGGGGAATGAGGCGCGGTGCGTCGGGGGCGGTGAGCCCGATGCGGCTGAGATGAGCGATGAAGGGCCGCGCGAGGGGGTAGGGGATGAGAAGGCCGAAGCGGGGTTGGCGTGATCCTTCGGCCTTGGGCTGGGGCTGAGGGGTCGGGACGGCGCTGGGGATGATGAGGGGGAAGTAGCGAATGGATTCACTGGGTCTGTAGCTTCGTTTGACATGGTGAGCTATGTGTATAGGAGAGGTACAGAGGGGTAGAGATATGGCTTTGAGGTACGCGCTGTGCACTGGCTTGGGTGAGCGGGTGACCGGTGAGATCGATGACGTGTCGCCAATGACGTAACTTCGGCTAAACCCGTTAAATCCGGATGCAGTTCCCGACTCACATCAAGTCTGTTTTTGTCGGACCCCCACCCAAAGTCACTCGTTTGACCATCTCTACCCCCATCTATCCCTTGTCTGATCATCTGTGCATCCCCGCCTCCTCGCCCCAGTAGCATCACATACACGCAAGATGCTGCAGGGTACTCTCACGCCAGATCAGATGAGCTCCATCGTCAGTATCCACCGAAAAACGCCTGATCAAACCGGGACGTCCAGCTGATGGATGGACAGTTCGGATCCATGTCCGTCGCGTGCTGGCTCGTCGTATATACCCCGCAAATATGGGAGAACTACCAGCTCAAATCAGGAGATGGGCTGAGTGTGGCGTTTGTGGTATTGTGGTTATTAGGGGATTTGACGGGGTTGCTGTGAGTCCAGCTCGGCTCCCCCGGAGATATCTGCTGATGGGCCAGAGGAGCAGTGATGGCTAAGCTGGTACCCACAGTGATTGTCCTAGCTATATATGTGAGATTACTCGGCTCCCTCTGATCTCACGGAGCTAACAGCCAGTACACATTATGTGACGTAGTCCTCCTCGCCCAGGTATACTACTACCGCCAAATCCGCCTTCGCGCTCGCCGGGACTCCATCTCCCCTGCCGCCCGCGCAGCAGCCACAGAGTCCTCTCCCCTCATCCTCCCTGCCGACCCGAACCCTCCTCCCGCCCAACCAAAACCCCTGCTCCCACCACATCTCCTTTGGCTCGAGTACCCACTCCTCATCGCGTTTGTCCTCCTCGCGGGCGCTGGCGCGTGGTACCTCGAGATCCAGGCGACACCGGATGTATCTATCCCCGAGAACCCTGGACCGGGGCAGGGCGGACATGGCTCAGATGGCGTCGAGTTTGAGTGGAAGTCGCAGTTGCTAGGATGGAGTAGCGCGGTGTTGTACTTTGGGAGTCGGATACCTCAGATCATCCACAATTTGTGAGCTTAGTCGCTTGGCTTGAGGGTCTTTGAGCTTATGTTCCAGCCGGACACGGTGTGCTGGACTATCACTAGCTCTGTTCTTCTTCACCATCACAGGCAGTAAGTACTGCCAATCCCATAAACTGCGACTTGTAGCTAATCTTCAGACCTAACCTACTCCGCCTCCATCCTCGCACCCTCCCTCGACCCAAAATATATCCTCGCCAACGCCTCATGGCTCGCCGGCGCACTCCTCACTGTCTTCCTCGACATCTTCGTCATGGCCCAATTCGCAGTATACGGTTGGCAAGATAAGAAGCGGGCGCAAGAGGGCAAAGGATTGCAGCATGACGAAGAGGAAGACTCGGCGCTTGCGACATAGCCAAGCCAGTGGTGGCGCCGGGTCGTTGGGCTGGGAAGACCCCGACAAGGAGCGACTGCATTCATCTAGACTACCCATAACTAACTAATCATCGGCAATAATCTGCTTGAAATCGCATTTCTAGGCTGGTCCTGTATGTATGCATGTAAGCTTTCTCACACTCATGATGGTGCTAACGCGCGCTAACGGGCTGCTAAGTCATTGCCGACTGAAAGCTGGGAGCGATAAGAATTCGCACGCATTCACCTTGCGAATGGGCAAATCTGAAACCGGACGATGTTTCAAATTTCGATTTCTGCGCCGAGACTCCCTGGTCATCAATAGCACACGCCTTGACCTCCCTAGGCACGCTCCGTGCACATCATCGTTCGCAGTCAGACACAGCTTTGACTTCTGACTTTGTGCTTGTCTCGCAAAGCAATGCCACTCTTGCTAGGCACTACCTGATTCGACCCGTGTATGTGTGATCCTGAAATCTGATTGACTTTATGCTGCCCTCTGCCGACCCGAGACATCTCATTTGTTCATATCCGGCACGGCCCGGGTACTGAATGTGAGGTACCCAAACTGTCTCGTCTTCATACACGACTCCAATCACATCCTCATTCTTCCCAGCCACACGTCAATTCCGTTTCATCTTCCGACCATTTTCCCCCATGATTGACTGTGATGGGCTGTTATTCGATACTCATAGGAAAGCTACTCATGTCTCTGCTGCATTCCAAACATCAAGGCACCAGGTCCGAGCTGCTGACTACTAAAGAAGGCAGCATGTCCGCTTCTTCGTCCTCTATCCTCCTCAGAGTTCCATCTCACAACTCGTCTCGTATCTCCTCATCTCCCGTCCCCCATCTCTTAACATCTATACGCTCCGGCGGTATCTCAACTCATCTATCTCTCATCTCCGACATCTCCTCCAAAACACTCATCTCTCGCCTACACCCCATCCTTGACACCCATCTACCCCCTACATCCCACTCACCAAGATGAAGTACTCGACCGCCTCCGCCGCTGCCGTCCTCTCCTTCCTCATCCCCTCCGTCCTCGGCTCGTCTGCGGCCGCGCCCGCACTTCGCCGCACACCCACCCCCGTCACCCGTGACATCGACGTCGACGTCAACGTGGGTGTCTGTGTCCGCCTCAACGCCGCATTCGACTTCTCCGCCTCCATCGGGGGTCTCGGGGCCGGCGCTACCGCCGCTGCCCAGGCGTGTCTCTGTGTCGACACAAACGTCGGCGTCGGAATCGGATCAGGCGGTATCGGCGCCAATGCAGATGTAGATGTGTACGTCCAGCTCGGAGCGGGCGCCGCAGTAGTCGTGGGCGATGATGCCAAGAAGATCAAGAGAGCTGTGAGTCATCTGTTGATACCTTTCACCGTTTCGGGCTGACCACCAGATCAACGGGAACGCCGGCAACAACAACCCCTTCCGCAACCTGAACTTTGGCGGCGCCTGCAACATCCCCTCCTCCCTCTTCCCCAACTCGGTCCACGACTTCACCTCCGGCTGCTGCGGCCGCCGATGCAACCCTGGCTTCATCTACAACCCCGGCAACTTCATCCACGGTCCATCGTGCGACGCCTGCCCCGCCAACAAGCCCCAAACACACACCCTCCCTTCCGGCTCCACCATCTGCGTCGCCGCGTGCCCCGCGCCCAAGGTTCGCCAGCCTGACGGATCGTGCGCCCTCCCCGCGTGCCCGCCTACTCAGACCCGCCCGACCCCGGATGGCGACTGCGGCTGCACCGACGCCGAGATCCTCTGCGGCGGGATCTGCAAGCCCAAGGCGACCTTCACGTGCCAGAGCGGCGTCCCCGTCCCCAAGACCCGCAAGCGCAGCAGGTACGAGTGCCAGGCTGGCAAGACGTATTGCCCCAGCGTCACGGGTCTCGGCTGGGAGTGTGTCGACACCATGAACGACATTGAGTCTTGTGAGTATTCTTGTCCTTGCCTTCTTGATGTAGCTGTGGCTGACGACCCAGGCGGTGGTTGCGCAGACCTCAGCATCCCATTCGGCCCCGGCGTAGGACAAGACTGCACCGCCATCGTCGGTACCGACTCGGTCACGTGCAACCGGGGCGAGTGCAAGATCCAGTCGTGCCAGGCCGGCTGGGCCTTCGCGCAGGACGGCAAGGCGTGTGCTCCTCTTCCACCATCCCCCGCATCGAAAAAGAACAAGACCAACCAGCAGCTCGTCATCATGCGGTCGTCATAGAGGGGGCGTGTGGGATTTGGGGTTCGGGATCTTGTAGTGTAGCGTACCTTTCTCTCATCTTCGGACAATTGGGGTCATTTTGGTTCTTATATTAGCTTTATGCACTAGTCTTTCTAAGGGACACGATCAGTATGTGAGGATCGAGGCATCAGAGCCTAATGGGAAGCAAGCCATCTTACCTGTCTATCCTTCTCACCTGTACATCGAGATCTACTTCTTCTTCTAATCATCGTCCCAGTGACCCGACTGTTTGGGCGGCGCAATCCCCGCCTGCTTAGCCACAATGATGCTATCCACCCTCAACACCGAGATAGCCGCCTCCGTCGCCAGCTTGATAGCCCAGTCCTTGGCCGCATAGCTATCCAGCACCCCGATCGCCTTGGCCGAAACCACCCCGTCCTGCCCCGCCTCATCGATATCCACGCCCACATCGACCTTCCCTTCCAGCGAGTGCGCCTTGTACATGTTGCTGACAACATCCTCGGCGTTCAGACCGGCATTCTCGGCGAGCGTACGTGGTACGACCTCCATGGCTTCCGCCCATCGCTTGATCGAGTGTTGGGCGAGACCAGGGGTCTTGGCGCCGTACGCGGCTATCCGGGAAGCGAGCTCCACCTCGGACGCGCCCGCACCGGGCACAAGACGACCATCGCGGAGGAGGATCCGGATAGTGTTGATCCCGTCGTCGAGGGACCGCTCGAGGTCGTCCAGGTAGTTGGCAGTCGCACCACGGAGGACGATAGTGGCCGTCCGGGTCTTTTCGCCCGATTCTTGCCGGAGGACAGTGACGCGGTCACCGCCAATCTCGACCGTCTCGAAAACGTCCACCATACCCGCCTCCTCCGGTGTAGGGGCGCCGAGCCGAGCGAGAGGAGTAGCACCGACCACGCGGCACAGCCGGCGGAGATCGAATTTGGATAGAACCTTGATGACGGCAATGTCCATCCGGTTGAGGTAGTGCAGTGCGAGGTCCCCGATGCCCGAGCCGGCGATGATGAGTTTGACTCCAGAGTCGGCAATCTCCTTGAAGTACTAGAAACGTCAGCTTTGCTCAAGTCTCTTGAAAGCTTAATCTCACGCCCTCGAGTTGCTTCTCCTCTCCCCTTGTAAAGTTCAACAACTCATCCGCCTTCTTAAGCAACACCGTCCCCTTTGTTTCCGTCTGCGAGATGTCCAGTCCACACGTATACACCGCCACCTTTGCCTTGGTCGCCTTCTTGACAATCCCTGCTATATCAGCTTCATCCCCCTTCGCCCTAGCAGAACGACCCACCTTCAGGCTCCCGACCAAACACCATTCCCCTGACTACCTTACTCGCGCTCAAACCACCACCCAACACCTTGACAACCCGTACTGAGTCCACGTTGAAGTCGCGCGCATTCTTGGGCATAACGGCAAGCGCTGCCTCGGCGCAGAGAGCGGAGAGGAACGCCTCGGATCCGGGTTGCTTGGAGGCAAGGGCGGGGGCGATGGCGGTTGCGATCTGGGCGGCGGAGGGAATGGGTTTTGATTCAAGGGTGGAAGATATCAGGGCTGTATGTCAGCTTGTGTGTCGCGTAGGAGGGAGGCGAAGGTGTAAGCTCACTCTCGAGCTCTTCCCGACCTTTCTTCATAGCCATCTCATACCCCAAAATCACGTCGCTCGGATGCAGACCCATAGTCAACAGATGTTCCGACCGCTTCAACAGCTCTCCAGCCAGGATGAGAACCAGATTTGTCCCGTCTCCCATCTACCTGTCAGCTGCTTTCCTGTCCTCACAACCCAAGAGACATACCTCTGACTCCTGTGCTGTTGAAGCCATTACCAGAAGCTTTGCAGCCGGGTGCGCGACCTCAATCTCCCGGATGATGGTCGCTGCGTCGGAAGTGACAAATAGGCGGCCCAAGTGATTGATGATGAGCTTGTTCCGGCCTAGATATCAGCTCATGCTCTTCCGGCCGCGGGGGGGTCCACGTTAGCTCACCGTTGGGTCCGAATGACGTCCGCACTATCTCGCTCAGCTCTCCAACGGCAGATATGTTCCTCAGTACCGCCTCCTCCAGACCGGACATGTGCTAAAGCTGTCAGCTCTCCTCCGACAGGTACTCATAGCGCGAAGTGGAGAAAGCAACATACCTTGTATCCAGCCTTGAACAAGTCCGGCCCTCCCGCCTTGGGTACTTTAAGCGCCATTTTGCCTAATCACTGAGTCTCTAACAGTCTGATAGCTAGCTCTCAGAGGTGTGTGCGGTGCTAGATGGCGCTATAGAGACAGTTGATAAGAGGTATGTATGGAGCGAACCGAGCGTGCAGTTGGGTGAGCCAACTTTTGGATGGAAGACGCGCGCGTTTCGGCGGTCATCGCCGTTGAGAGTGGCGCCAAGGGGCGGAGTAACGTAAGGGGGTGGCGAACTCCTTTGATCTCTGCGCTCTGCCTCGGCCAGGAGAGACAAAGCAGAGGTGCAGTACCAAGGGGGAGAGGTCAGCCAGGAGGAGTATAGTGGGGCATAGACTGCTATTGATGTTGAGAAATTAACCTTACGATGTCGAACAAAATCCCTAATCCGCCCGGTGTGGGAGCGGGAAAGCCTGCTCATCCGTTCGCCGTGACGGTAGAAGAGCCAGTAGCGGTGAGTGAGCTGGGAGAAGTCATGGTTGCTGGGGAATTGCCAGGCAGAGCTGTGATTGCTGATCCATTCAGAACGCAATCGTCCCAGACGGATATGGTATCAAGTATCACGCATACCACACCATGTAAGCGACCTCTCTCTAAGCTATAAGCCAGACGCAGATCTCACTCCGAGAGTGGCTGAGCTGACCTAGGGCAGAACAGAAGGAGTGTTGTAAGTCATCCGTCGCCGATCAAACGCCATGCGAAAAAGCCCGCTGACCATGCCCCAGCTTGCCTACAGGGACCCAGCTGCCAGGTGGCGCGGTCCTGCCCATGTCATCTGTGGCTGACTTTCCGATGGTCTTGCCACCGGGAACGAAGCTGCCAGGCGGAGTGATGGTGCCTGTGAGTCCTACATCTCGATGTCAGCTGAGGTATAAGATCGTCATGGAGCGGATTGCGAAGGCAGACAAGGCGAGACTGCAGCCCGAACCGATCTGTTCCATCCAGTGATCAGACTGTGAAGGAAAATATTGCTTCTCGCCATAGGCAGACGACAGGCGAGACTGTCTGTCGGCACATGGGAACATCGAAGTTGATGAGAGTATTTGGATGTATGAGTGAGCTGGATGAGTGATCTACTTGACAAGCAGTGCTGCAGCAGTGCACGGGACCTAGGGGCAACGGTCAACCAAAGATCGTATACAGCATTCTCGCCAACCGAAGCAAAAGCCACGCGAGGGGGGCCGCCTCCTGCAATGGCTGACTCGTGCTCTCCTGAGGCTCTTGCCGCTGCCTCATGTGGACCCCCTTCCGGGTAGCAGCCCTCCATACCCAATTGATCCCGAAAGAGAGCAACTCAGACTATCGGGCGTCAGAACTTGACACGCAAAGCGCTCTGGTCTTTATGATGGTCCCCTTTGGTGTGATAAGGGAGCCGCCCAGTCTGTCGGTCGATAGAAAATGACACACCAAGAGCACGTGAGACCCAAATATCCTTTCACCTTACTGCGTGCACATGCTCCGCCAGGAGGTTGCCCACCTCCCCCCGACCCTCTTTCCCGTGTACTCTGGCCTCCCCCCTTCCGCCATTTCCATTTCTACATATCACCAACAACTGTGGAGAATACGCACCAAGTCGTCAGTACGTACCATGTTCACGTCATTCAGTGCCGAACCCGACTCTGTGGCCACTTCTTCGATACCGACCAAGAAGACTCTATTCGGCAGATACCTCGGCCCGCAGTGGGATTCACGCGCCAATCTGACCTACAAAGTCGCTGTCAGCGAAGACTGTAAGCCTGGAACGCAAACTCCAGCCACCGCTGAGGAGCAATGTGCCTACCAAACAATCCCTGACATCTTCACCCAGACCTACTTTGGAGTCCGCTGGCTCTCCAAGGAGCACGAAGAGGCGGCCTGGATTGACGCTGCGGATCGAGCACTCAAGGCGGCCTGCATGGAAGCATCTCACGAGATACGTACAATGACGAGGGCGTTTCCATCGCAATTCAAGGATATCAAGGTCAGTGCGACAGGGCAGGGAGGAGGTACTGTCGTTGCTGTCTGTGATTGTGCGGTGCAACCTCCCCCTCGGATCAGGCACTTCCAAGCGTACTGGACAGCTCCTGACCCCACCAACGACCACACGGACCGCTTTTCGATCTTTGCGGAGTGCAGTCGGGCGGGGGTGGATCCTCAGACGAAGAAGAGGATTACCGATCACTATGGGGGCGTCATCAGATCCGCATACAGCCATTACCATGCTGGGGAGACCTCCGATGTGGCCGCCGGTTGCTGGTCGGTAAGCCTCCCCGGAACGCGGGACCCTCATCTCTACATCTTCTCACCGGCGAAAAAGATCAGTTGGCGGACCATGAGCAACCTCAAAGCTCGTGCCGAAACTTTGGGCCCCGATCATCCTCCTACCATATTCATCGAGTGCACAGAGATCTCATGAGAAGCGGCGGCGTGAACATCTGTGCGGATCGGCGGACGGTGAAGGAGACTGTGAGGGTCAAGATTGTACGAAGCGGTTTTACGGATTCGGGCATGCAACAAGATATGTCCTGTGCAAGTGTCCAGATCACCGGGAGCCGCGTGAGACGAGGCAGGTTGTGATACCAGGAGCCTTCAGTGTCACGCGCGTGCATACTGTGTATGTCCTTTCCTCAGCCCGGGACTCTCCTGGAGGCGTCTAGACTCGACAGCTTCTACATGTGTGTTGCCGATTTCAAACTCTGCGGCACCCGACGCCATGATGGACTGAGCTGCACGTGCACTCTGGTTCCGACCTCAAACAATCGCTGGCACCTCATGGACCCCTGGCTCCTCCTCAAATGTCAGGCAACAAAGGAGATGCTCAGATCGTTGGGTGACCTGGTTCGTGTTGCAACAATTATATAACGTTCGATCACCCACTACCTACATCTCTATCCTTTCTTCTCCCGACCTTTAGAGTCCCTTGGGGCTGCCAAGGCGGCCCCACGATTCGCTTGCCGCTGTCTCTATCGTCCGCACCTCGGTACGCTTTGTACACATACAAGCAGGACCCTCGGGAACATGGAACGATCCAAGCTTTCCAACTCACAGTCCTCCGCTTCCCCGTCTTCCATTGTAAGCATTGCGGATGTGACTGAGGCAGCCCGTCCCTACTTGTACTCCAACCAGTATGCTGGCTAACGGACAGGATACAAGGACCGGCCTATGGGGCAGATTCAACAAATCGAGCAAGGGCTACACCTTCATCGTCAGCAAGGAGCTAGCGGGTGCGCTGCCAGCTACAGGCGACGAGAGTGACGCATTTCAGGAGACCATGGAGATTGTCAGCTTGGATCCTGGAAAGTCGACGTTTGGGTCGGATGCTGCTTGACAGGCCTGGATGAGGGCGGGTACTGCAGCACTCAAGAAGGCCGGCTTGGACCGCTCTTATGTCTTCCGTGATATGTTCTACTATTCTCGGTCGCGGCTGGATAACATCCCAGTGGGGCTATCTCTGCGGTTGAGCAATAGCAGCACGGTGGTGTGCATTGGGAAGTACAAGCCCAGAGGGCCTGATGCGGGACCTGCGTCACAGGTCACATCTTCGCGTCCTCGGGCCACCACGAATCGGCGGCGTGCCTCGCGTCATCTCGACAAGTCCAAAGTCCAACGCAAACACATCCAGGTGTATTGGACTGCACCGGACGCCACAAGGGACGACAAGACCCCCTACTGGGTGGCAGTGGTCTGGAGCCAGGCGGAGGAGAATCCCGATACGATCGCGAGCATCAAGAGCGCCGTCGCAGACATTATCCAGTCTGTTCACCGCCGCCAGATCAAGGTCGGGTCTGGACCGTGCGATGTGTGCTCGAGTTTCTGGTCCGTCAAGCTCCCCCCTGACTACATCCGGGACGAGGTGGAATACATCGATGGGCTGACCATGAGCCACGTCAAGGCTGAGGCCGAGCGCTTGGGCACAGCGCATCCAGGATCCGTCTTCGTGGTGTGCACAGACCGGGAGGAAGCAACGACGGGTGTTGCAGAGTGAGCCGGTGATCAGTGAAGGAGTGTCGTCTCTTGTGATAAGATCATACGTACACGAGGCTGGTCTGGATGTTCTGGGATGCATATTGATTTGTCCTACGCGTTGAGAAGCCGAGACAATGAAGAAATGGATCAGTAATCCATCAACCCGTTAACGATGGTCAGTGCACCAATTATCCAGATATGCCATGATCTCCCGAAACTCCATCTATGTTATCTATGCACAACCCTTCCAAGATCCGCATCCCTCATCAAGATCAGTCCAGATCGCTACCCTTCACCCTGTAGCTCGCGGCTTCTCTATCGCTCGCCATCAGCCTCGACAGCTCCAAGAACAGCCTAGGCAAATCAGCCCTTGTCCCTTTTCGTCCCTCATCCGCAGGGAATCGACTCACCTGAACTGATAACTGATCATATCCTCCTTCCGCCAGAACGTCTTGCTCCACTTCTTCCCCTCCATCGCTATCTTCTTGGCGAGATTGTCGTGGCCTGCTCTGAAGAACGTGAGGACGTCGTACAAGTCCGACAGGTCCGATTTTATCGGTACGTAGTGTACCCCTGTCTATCAGCTTATACACCACCTCGTAATTCAGAGTGACTTACATGGCTGGACTCGGTCGGTATACCATTCCGGAAAGATGGTCGACTTCAGAATGACAGAGTTGGTCGTCATGAGCCGCTTGAACCTCGCCGACCACCCATTCCCATCTAGCCGATCAGCTCCAGCCCTCACCCTCGAGAAGCGATAGACGTACCGATATCAAGCATATACTTGTACTGATTTCCCTGTGCCCAATTGACTCTCGCCCCGAATCTATACTCCTCCTTGACCCGCGCGCACTCGGCCGGCTCGCACTGGATGGGCTGATCCACAAATGCGACATCCATCAACTCCTTGTTCAGATCCGAGATAGGGGTGTTTTTGGGCGCGCCGACGGGCTTGTGGAGGGGTGTGAGGGGGAGGACCGGGAGTGTGCCTTTTTGCAGATCTGTCCGGGAGACTAGATTGATTCGTTGTGATATTTCTGAGGATCAGCACAGTGTCTGAAGACACAGATAGCAGGGGGACTCACCCCATGGAACACCCTTCTTGTAGAAGATCCCGGTATTCTTGCCTCGCCAAAGTAGCCTGTCGTCCTTCTTCTCCTCCCATGGTGGATCAACCCCGACATCTTCCGTCCAATTCTCCATCGATACCTGACACGTCAGTTTCGACCTCTCACCATGAGCTCTATGGAACTGACCGCTAGGACATCCGAATGTAAGGTAGTCTTGCACATAGCCATGACGGGATACAGCTCCTTGCTCGGCCCAGGCCCCTTTCCATGTCCAGACAAGAACCCTTGCAGGTGTGTCATGGTGGGGTGGGTACATGGGTCCATGGCGCTGCGGTTATCAGCTATCACCTCTACGCTCGCGGATGTAATGTTGGCAGCTCACGCTTTATGGTCCCAGATGAACGTCTTGGCCCGTTCGTCCCATATATTCTGGAGCGAGGGTAAAACTTTCACGTCGTATGATTTTCGGAGCGGTTTATGTGGTGCGCATGCGGATGCCCAGCCGAGATGTGCCCAGTCAAGCTGGTGGTCAGCCTAGATCCCCATGAGGTCGGCGTGGAGGACGCTCGGCTTACATCGTGTTCCTCTACATTGAGATCTGAGCGATCAGCTTTACATCCTCACCAAACCCGGAGGAAACGATTCAGCTCACATTCGTTAACAGACGCTGCATCTTCCAGCGCACTTTTCTGCCCGAATCAGCTCCCCCTTCTTCATCCGAGCCACACCTCTAACGCGGGTACCTCCGCAGGTCCGACTCACGTATTCGTGCCCCACAAACTGCCACGGCACATCATGACTATAAAACACCGCCTGTACCTCCTCCAATTCCGCCGCGACATCACGCAAGAGCCCCATCTGCGCCTCGACCCGCATGTTGGCTACCTTCTTCCCCTCCGCGTTCAGGCCTTCGGTGTTGACTTTGAAGGTGCACTCGCGCTTCTCTGATGGGAGCCTCGATTCGGCGCCGGGGCAGGAGATGGTGTACATGCCTGATTTGGAGGAGGCGGTGCGGACGAGTGTCTGGATCTGGGAGGGGGTGAGGGCGTGGAAGGGGGTCAGGTCTTTGTTCTGCAATGTCAGCACAATATCATCGTGACCTGGATGCGGGGAAAGGTCGAGACGTACTATCTGGTCGTACTCGTCTGGTAGCTGCACGTTGTGTTTCTGCGCATACGCCCACCTAAGCCAGTCAGCTCACTCTCTTTGGCTTGTAAGAACTGCTAAGCTCACCATCGATCAAAGCCCTTAGGCGGCGCTCGGTCATACCTCCTCCTATACTCGTCCACCGCCTGCCCTAGCGTCTTGCTCGCTCTCTCCAACTTGCCGTCCCACACCTCCTTTCCCTTCTCCAGCAGATCATAGATCGGATGCTGTCCCTTGGGATTCACTACCAGCAACCCATTATCGAGATACTTGTGCGCGGGCAGAGCATCCTTCTTTCCCTTCTTCCCTGCGGCAGCTTTGGGCGGAGCGACCGCCGCGACAGGCGCAGTGACCTTCTTCTTTTGCTTCTCGCCCAAAGCTAATGCTGGATCAAAGCCGTTCGCCTTGGTCTTTGCCGCAGGTGCCGCCGCCGTCCGCTTCGCTCCCCGTAAGAGCGCGCGCTGAAGCTGGGCCTGACCCGCCTCGTCCAGCTCCACCACGGCGGTGAAGCGCTTGAGGAGCGAGTAGCCGAGCCAGAGGAGGACGCCGATGATGAGGGCCGTTCGGACACCTCTTCGTGGGAGAGGAATTGGCGCCATGGCTAGTATAGATTGTCGAGCACTATGTCAGGCACGCTATGGACGCCATCTCTTGTTGACACGCGTATGTACGACGCTCGCTTTGATGTAAAAGGTAAAGATAGATCCATCGTGACAGACGGACGGTTTACTTTTGACTTTGAGTTTAGCGCCCTTACGTTAGCCCCGAACGCGTCTCAGGTACCGCGATAAGTCACTTACGCGACACCATGGCAGCCAGCACACGCTATAAGCGGCAAAGAGCAGGTCTGGGCCATCTCGAGGCTTGTAGTGAGGGCATCCAGCCTCGGTATAGAAGTCGTCTCGTACAGCTGGGGCCAGCTTGGTTGCTCGTCCCCTCAGAGAGGCTGGGTGGCAATCAAAAAACCCGCTCGCAATTACGAGCTTCTTTGCTGCAGCTCGCGACTTCATTATTCGATTTCATCGTAACTACCCCGTCCCGGCTTGTTCTCCACCTGACGACGCTGACGGTGCTAGATACTCGGTGCTCCTATCCATGGTTGTGTGGCATTTGTGAAGCAGATCTGATCGCCATGACGCCACCCGCTGCCACTTTCGGACCGGCCGGGATGGATGCCGTCATCGCCTCACCACCAATTGCAAGCGCAAGTCCATGCCAGTCAACTCTGCTTCTCTTCCTACTTCATCTTTGCACTCCTGTATACCATTCCCTGTGCGAGCAGCATATTTCGCACAGCTACCAGCATCACCGCCCGGAACAGAGCTATCGGTCGCTACCGGTCGGGTCAGGGCAAAGCGACTAGCGGCGTTTCACTCGCCAATCCAGTCATCCCTGTCGGTCGACCAGCCTTTTCGCTCAACAACCCTTTCGTCTCTACCACTCAAAGGATAGACTGCGCCGCAATTACCCATCCTACCGTTTCGACAGAACGCTTTCGTCTACTTTCCAGCACTGCTCCCTTTAACCCAAGGAGGGTCTCAGATCGGGCACTATGACCGATTTCAGCATCACCTCCATGCCCTTACCTCCATCATTCACTTCCATCCGGGACATGGACAGCGATAGCGACGCCGAAGAGATCGAAGACATGGTCGCTCCTCCTCGCAAGGACAAGGGAAAGGGGAAGATGAGGTATTTGCCGGAGCTGCCGGAGGAAGTGTGGCGGCGAATCTGGGCATTCTACTATGGTCGATGTGCCGAGGGTGAGCTCGAGCTTTTCCACACATGACTGTACCAGCAGCTGACGGTCAGAATGGCATGATCAAGGCTACATGAGCAACGCGCTCGCCCCAATCATGCTCTCTGCCGAGCACACCCAGATGGCCCTTCCCATTCTCTACGCCCACCCCGTAGTCAGCCACAAAGCGATCCCAGCCTTCCTTCGCGCTCTGGCAACTCCTTCTCCCTTCATCGAAAACGGCGAGACACCCTCCAAGCTCGTCCGTCACCTCACCGTCCAAGCTTCGGCCCCATCCGCGGGCAGGGTTCTACCAAACAACCTTTTCGGTGCCCGCCAGCCTACCGTCCATCCCCTCCTTCCGCGACTATTCTCTTACCTTCCCCGCCTCGTGACTTTTCACCTCAAAGATACCCTCGTGCTCCAGACCAACGACGCCAACACCCTCTTCTCGGCCCTGCAACTCATACACCCGAAGAAGGCTCGGCTCGAGATTCGGATGTGGGACCTCACCGACTCTCCCTTTGGCGAAGACCTCATGGCCGCTACCCGTCCCTCCATCTACTCTTCGATGTCTCGATCCACCGGGTCTCCCCCTGGCGCTCAGGGAGCCAGGCTAGGACAGCGGTCCATGCAGATGACTGATGCTGGGCGGTGTGCCATCCAGGAACAATGGCGTGATGCCCTCTGGAAGGGTATGGAGCTGGATCTCCCATCTTGGTGGATAGAAATCCCCAAGGTGCCGTCCACAACCATACCAGGTGCAAACCAAGGTGCCGCACAGGGTGTTGTGCCAGGCGGTGGCGCAGGGGGACTCGCAGCCCTGGCTACGATTTATGCTCAGCAGCTCGTAGCCGGCGCTGGCGGCTTCGGCTTTCAGCATCTTCCACAGCAAGCCCACCCCCACCCCACGTCTGGCGGTACGGCGCCCGCGCTACCGCCCGCAATGAACAATGCGCCCCCGCCCGGTCCTCAGCATGGGACTTGGCCTAAAAGCCTTGATATCTGGGCCCACTCTGGCGACTCGTCGGCTGACCTCGACAACAACCACCCGACTCCTGGATCTACCTCCAGCGGTCCCAGCTCGGCTCCTCCTGGCGCGTGGTGGAGTCAAGACGACCATCACTCGGTCGACAGCGAGAGCGACATGGAGGACGAAGTCCTCATGCAGCGGCTGGGCAGATGGCGCGGGGAACCTCTGGCCGGTGGAGGCTCGGGACTCTCCGGATCGAGCACACAGACTGCCCCGGTGCCACCTCCGCCGTCTGTTGACCCGGTCGCCACCGATGCGGCTCCTACTCCAGGCTGGGCGCGGCTGCCGCGACGCAAAATCGTCGTCCGAGAGGTCGACGTTCCGGCCAACCATGTACCCACCGGGGACGCGTCAAGCTCTGAGATGGTGTCGATCAAGACCGGCGGCACCATCGACTGGCGGGAAGCCCGGAGTGCCCTCATCGCTGCCCACATGGCAACTCTTATCCAGGCGAACTCGGCCATCGCTAGCGGCGCAACTCCTGCCCCGCAGCCTCAGGCTACATCCGGCTCCCATGTACCCATTGGAGCTGACCCCGACGACTTCGAATTCATCTCAAGCGCGCCGGGGGGTGGGTACTACGAAGCAATGGTCGAAATGTCTCGCATTGTCGGTCAGTCCACTCAACCTGCCGCGCCCTCAAAGGTCCAGCAAATCGCCGCTCCTCCGCAGATCCCCCCTCCGGCCGTGCAACCCATTCCCAATCCTACCGACTATATCTCTCTTCTTACCCATCCTCCTCAGCCGACCGCGATCGGTATGACGTCCTACCACCTGGCACATGCCATGCGCGGCCAGCTCCTCGAGCTCATCACTGCGCACTGGAGCCCGACTCTCCAGGCGCTCTCGGTTGTGGCGTTTGACCCGCTCGCCACTCTTATCGTCCGCTCCCCTACCCTCGATCTATGGGCGAACGCTCCCATCCCGCATATCCGTATCCACCTTCCTCGCGGTACCAACTCGCTCGCCGTCTTCAAGGGTGCGGCCGAGAATCGGCGGGACCGACACCGGAACCAGCGGGCCACCAATCAACCCCCCATGCCGGGCGCGGACGACGATGCGGATGATAGCGAGGAGGGACGCCGGATCGTCGGTGGGGATGGCCACGGTGGCGGACTTGTCAATGACGAGACGAGGCTTTTTGAGATTGAAGTCAATACCCTTCGGGAGATGGAGGACGATATGTGGGATCAGGCGGGTGGACAGCTTCCCCCGCAGGTCTGCCGCATGCTCGTCGGGGAGGCGGGACAGGGATGGGAGAGTGTCCGGTGGCGAGCGGGAAGTACTCCGTGGAGCGCAAGGAGCAGGGTCGACGAGAGTATGGACGTCGACCTGGAGGATGCGCAGTCGGTGGGGCAGAGCAGCGAGGGGGATTACCCCATGTCGGACTTTGAGGACCTGGACCTGGAGGAGGATGGGGAGATGGAGGATGAGGATGAGGACGAGGAGGATGGGAGGACGTATGATCGGGCTGCGGCGGAGGCGCAGGGCAGGCGGATGAGCGAGCGGAACGCCGCGAAGCAGCAGCAGCAGCAGCAGGAGTAGGGTGGCCGGAACGTTCATAGTGTAGGGAATCGTCTCTTTCTGTACTTTCGATGCTTAAAATTCCGTATAAGTCCTACTTAGCCTTCCGTAGTGATACCCTGTTGACCTGTATACCCTCTACCAGGTTCTTGTCCCGTTCTGGCCGATGTTGGCTGGCTGAGACAAGCTGAAACTTGCCCTGAAGGTGGTCGAGTGAACCTTAAATTTCATTCAACTCGTCATGATTAATCCACCTATGAACGTCCTTCATCCTCACTGTGTCTTTGTTCTTTCTATCTTAGTCTCTTGTACTGCTCAATGCCAGCAGGATAGGCGGAAACCCTTTTGCCCCGTCATTTAGGATCGCTATAGATTTACGGAACACCCGCAGCTCTTGGCGACTGCGATACAACGCCCCCCAGTATCGCCCCTGTCAACAAATCCGTTACATCTGCTCTGCTGAGCTGGCGTCAGCCTGAGGGCTCCGGATCGGTGACTCATCGAGAGAATGATGGCTCCTATACCTCGCACGACGGGCATGCAGGTCCAGGCGCCGAGCTGGGAAGATCAGATCGTGCCAACGTTGAAGAAACGTACGTTCCCTTCACTCTCCTGGCCTCCACTCAGCTTGCTCACCACACTTCCTCTGGCCTCAAGGAGCTTGATTGAACAGATGTTCCACTTGTCACTCGCAACACTGTTGCGCCAAGCTGACCCATTAGGCTTGGAGACGGAATCGCAGTACCTCACCAACCGGCTCTCCTCGTCGGGCTACACAGACCAGTACGAGCAGAATGAGATCCCCCCTACTCCTCTCTCCGCCTCCTTTGGTCCCGACCCCACTTCCACAGCCTCAGGTGCTTCCAATATCCCCATTCGGACACGTACCAAATCCACGCCGTTCTTTGACGCCCCTCACGATGCCTCAAGCTCGTCCACTTCCCCTACCCCTTACGACCCTCGCAACCGGCCCGACTATGCTGCTGGTCCTTCACGTATCCCTATCCCCTCACGAGCGGCTCGAAGACCTTCCTATAATGACTATGACACAACGTCCGACTCTTCCTCCCCTTCCTCCCGAATCCCGCGGCTACAGCCCTCGGCGCAACCTCGGCGTCCGAGCGGATCGTCCTCCATCTCTAGCACTTCGGTGACTCGTCCAAGCTCCCCAGGAATGACCGCCAACCGGACTATATCTCGCCCGAGGTCAAAGTCGCAACTCGCGCCCAGACCTGCGGTGATCCGACGGCCGTCAGGCGGGTCGCAAGGCGGAGGGAGCGAGGGGAATAGGGAGGTATTGTCGCACAGGGACAGCTTTGATCTCAGCAAGCAAACCTTTCCGGATACTTACCTCCGGGACGAGCTGCCTCCGTTTCGTCTACCCCCAGAAGAGGCGATGCGGATAGCCCAACACGGGCACAAGATGGATGCGGAGTCTGGGTGGGGCGGCGAAGATGGGAGGGAGGAGGGATTGGATGAGGACGGATCGAGCAAGCGGAAACGTATCGAGAGCATGTTTCCCGCCAAAGATCCTCGGCGGGGATCGCAAGGAAAGGGCGGAACCGGTCAGGGGAGTGCAGGGGGCATGTCCCGGTCAGCGACAGGAACGGGGTCGGCTCTGGGCCTAGGACAAGCTCCATCCCGTATAGCAACGGGGAGCAAGCTCAACTCTTCCCAGCGCTCAGCTACCGGTTCGGGCTTCGCAAATCGATCCGGTCTATCCTCTAGCCAGACTTCGACGGGCGGTCGATCCATGTCCCTCGGCCACTCCCTTAACGTCCGCGAGACATCCCCCATGCCCACTCCGCCCCGGATGGGCGTCGCGGCACACTTTGTCCCGCCCGAGTCGGCCTATACCCCGCCAAAAGGAGCCAACTGGGACGATGTCGTTCTTCCGGCTCTGGCGCGCAAGATGGGTCTAGGGCAGGAAGGGGAACGCCGGATTGGAGTGGACGAGATGGAGGAGGGGGATCTGGCGGTGGAGTGGGATAAGACCGGGACGCCCGTGAAATGGGTGAAGAGGCCCGATAGGGCGTCTCCTCATCCGTCATCCGCACCAAGCTCCAAACTTGGCAGCGGCGGCAGAATAGGCAGGGGGTTGTTGACGGAGGATGAGAGCAATCTCAACATCCCTCGGTCCGCCTCGGCTTTTTCACCAACATTCGAACCAAGCCCGGATAATCCCCTTCAACCACCTTCGTCCCGACGAGACTTTTCCACTTCTTCCGACTCGCAGACCAGTCTACCTACGCCCACACCCTCTCCGTCACGGTACCAGCAACAGCCAAAACCTATACGCACGACGAACGCCCATGATGCCGCATACGATACCGGCCCGCCCTCGCCCGCCCCATTTCCCTCCCTCCAACGCCGACCATCTACGGGTCCATATGCGCTCAGACCCCCCGGCTCGGGCTCGGGCATAGAGCTAGGGGAACCAGTATCGGGCAGCGAGGGAGAAGGGAGGACGCGTAAATTGTCAATACTTAGGCGGAAACCGTCGACGGCGTCGCGTCAACCGTCAAATGCCGACTTGCGGATCCGGGCGAGCAATAATAGCTTGCGACAGGGCGGACCTTTAAGGCCCGGGGGAGGCGGGGTACAGGCGCAGGGTCTGAGCAGGCCGTCGGATGTGGCGTGGGAGAGAGAACGGCAGGCGGCAGCGGGGAATCAGAGGGTACAGGCGGCGGGTGACGGCGTGGCAGGAGGGGGTTCCGTAGGGACTGGGCAGGGACTACGGAAGGAAGAGGGGTCGCACGGAAAGGGTTGCGGATGTGTGATTATGTAGGACGGCCACTCGGGCTGCAGATAATAGTAGCAGCTGTAATCTCTCACGTAGTTTTCAATTATGCTCATCATATGCCTGTCACGCCTTGGGTGATTGTAGGTCTAAAACTGGAGTCAGAGTCCCGTAAGGGTTTTCGGGCTTGCAGCAACACGCATCACCTACTTGCAGTCACCAAAGAACCAAGTGGGTAGCGGGATGAGAGTGGCAGGCTGTATCGGAAAGGCAAGCGCAACGACATCGATCGCCCTCGCATGGGATACATCGCCCGCCCTGACTAGTACTTGCCCGTCTCCTCAGGTGCCGGCAGCCCCTTGCCCATACTCTCTGTCCTCTTCCGCCTAATCTTCTCATCCAACGCCCCCACGCCCGGCCCCACCTGATTCTGCGCCTGCCCCTGACCCTGACCCAAATGCCCCACACTCGCCGCTTGCCCAATCACACCCGCCAGCCCGCCCAGCCCCGCCTGGCTTGCCATCTCGGGAAAGGCAGCCTTGGTTGGCTCCATCGCTGCCGCGCCAATATCATTCTCGGTGAGACTGGTGTGCGGTTTGCCTGGTACGGTGGCTGGATGAGCGGGAGCCGATGGGACTGACGCGGAAGACGGCGGTGGGAAGGGAGGGGCAAGGGGGAGCTGTGAGGGGTGGGCAGTCTGAAGGTGTCCCGGCGTCGCACTGGGAGATTGCGTTCCCCGGCGAATGAGCGTACTACTTGTCAGCTGTTTCCTCAATGTTTGTTTTGTCCCAGAGGTAAACTTACAGCTCCTCCAGAAGTGTCTGGTGCCGATAAGTCAATCGGCTGGTGGGAACGTTCGTCTTGTGTATATCGTTCCCGCTCGCTCCGGGGAGATACCACCGATTCCCAATCCAATGCTTCTTGACCGCCATCTCCCATCCGCTCTGCAGGACCGAGTTGCGCGCGAGCTCGCACATGTCCGCAGGGGTGAGTTTGTAGATTTGAGCGGCGCACGAGTACTCTTCGAGGAGATGGGACTGGGTGAAGTGGAATTGAAGCGGGTCGTCTGTGTTATCAGCAAAGCGTGACGCCCGCGATGTGAGCGATGGACACACCGGTAGACAAGCTGACATTCAGGCCGGTCCGGAAGAAGTCCTTGAATGGGTTCCGCTCATACGTCAAGAAGAGCGCATTGTTGCTCAGAGGACTCATCGCCAGCCCGATCTGCTTCAGGTAAAAGAGGTACTGCAGAGCTGGGACTTTGCGGAGGAGGATGCCGTGCGAGATCGAGTGAGAGGTGAGGAATGCGGAGGAGAGATGGTCAGGATCACCGGCTTCACCACAGTGCGGACGCAGAACAAAGGTGTCTCGAGGGTCAGCCACGCTCAAAAAGAACCAAATGGCTGGGCAGCTGAGGACTCACTGAAGCGTCGCTCGCGTCGCCAAGCGTTAAGACTCGCCATGTTCGCGTACATGTAGTAGATCCTGATAAGGTCAGCTTGAGCACCAGAGCCGAATATCACGCTGCAAGCAAACATACCAGTACGAGTACGGCGGACTCTGCTTCGTATCCCACATCTTGGCCGTCGGGAACTTGCGATACAGCCTTCGCTCAGGCTTCGACTCATCGTCCACCGAATCGAACCCCACTACGCGCTGGAGGAAGATATGCAGCTCGGGGTGGGATGCGGGGTCTGCGGTGACTTCGAAGAGAGGCTGGAAAACATCTGCGGTGTGAGCGTGTGCCTCATTCTTTCGGGCCAACCCAGCTTACTCTTGACGATATCCTCAAAGTTCGAGATCAATCCACCGCCCTTGAAGATCTCGTACAGCCTTGGAACTTGGATAAGCCAGCGGACATTGTGCGAGATGAGCTTGTTGTTGACGACCCATTTCGCGAGGGTGTCCCACTCCGCCATGTTGCTGCGAGGTCAGCTGGCAACCTGAAAAGCTGTAATGGGCGGAGCTTACCGGCCATAAATCGACAGACGCCACTCGCAATGCTGGTACTTGCTCTGTTCGAGGTCGGTGATCAGCTCTGAGGTAGGCATCAGCTCGATTATCTCTTGGCGGCCGAAGAAATGAGCGTAGCCTACCCTTTGTCAACTCCGCGAGATATTTCCCCTTCAACAGATTGTCCGTCTTGAGGAAGATCTCTCTCAATCTGGACGATCCAGTCGGGTTGTATCGATCATTGAAGCGGTCGAATCGGTGGAACTCCTGCATCGCGTCAGCTGATGCCCTCACGCAGATGGAGCTCTTCGGCTTACCTGGTGAGCGTGCATGTCGAGCGTGTCTATCGAAAGGTCGTACGCCGTCAGATTGAGCGACTCGAACACCTCGGCGAGGGTGAGATCCTTGCCATCACGATGAATGACGATTTCCTGCAAATCAGCCGAGGTCTGATTAGCGACAATTGTACTAGACGATCAACTGACATTGGGCGCCTTCTTCAGCTTGGACTTGATGAATCGCAACAAGTGCTTCTGGTTCATGCTCGCAGAGTGGTGGATATGGGTATCGACTTTCCGGACATTGTAGAAGTCACTGAGGAGTAAGCTCTGATCGCTATTATCTTCGCTGCATCCAACTTACCGATGAGGAACCGCCTTCATATCCGCCAGCTCCTGATACTCGTTCAAGAGGCAGTACAAGCTCCACTTGCTCGCGAGGTACTTGAGCCGACGGAAAGCGAAAGACTTGGCGGGCCCGTCCGAGCACACGCTGAGGAGGAAGTCGAGGTCGGTAAAGTATTCCTTGAGACTAGGAACTCGGGCGAGGCGCTGGACCGGTGCAGACGGGGACGTGGTTTGAGCAGCGGGAGCAGCTGGTGTAGCCGGTGTCGATGGAGCAGCCTGAGCCGAGAAGACCTCAAAGACGCCCTCCTCGTTTAGTCCGAACGTCCAGCTCTGGTCCTTCGCTGGAATCTCAAAGTCCGCCACATCAAAGACGTCCATGTCAGACTTGCCGGTTGGCTTTTTGTAGTCCGAAGAGCTCGACCCGGCGGCCGTACCGTCATTGCCGGATGGAAGGTCCGGCCCGCCAGAGTCCCGGTGCTCGAGGTGCGGCATTTGACCCTGCGCCACCGGAGGTCGCCAGTGCCAATGCGGCGGTGGAGGAGGGGGGTTGATCCGCCAAGTCGGAAGATCGTTCTCGGCGCTCGAAGCTGAGGTGCGCGCCTCGCATTGCTCCACGTCAGCTTCGGGCTTGACGCCGAGGACGTCGCCCATCGCGCGGGGATAGAAGCCGGAAAAGGTCCCGTCGTGGTCGCGGGGATTGTCGCCAAGGCGCTGGTTGGAGAGGGCGATATACTTGTCGCGAAGGTCGAGGCATTTGGCGAAGGATGCGCTGATGCGTCAGCTGTATTCCCGCTTGGAATAGCGTGGGGTCGCTGGAGCTTACTATAGGGAATCAAGTGCAGAGCCGATTCCGTTTTCTGCAAAGGCAACAATTTGAAGCTCCATCAGCAGGTCACTCGCAAGTTTCTCTTCGGTTGGGGGCACATCGCCGCGGGGTCCAAGTAAAGGCGCAGTGGGAGAAAGGGGGCAGTCGGGCGAGAAATCATCGTCGCCGAGATCGACGCCGAGACTGCAGATAGGGGTGGAAGGGGTATTGGGTTGAGAAGGGGAGGGAGGACGGGTAGGGGGAGGGGTGAAGAAGGTCGAGCGGGTGACGAGGGCGGGATCATACTTGCGGTGTATATGTCCACACATCTTGGCAGAAGTAAGGGAAGACCAGAAGAGTCCAAATCAGAAAGAGTGCGTGGAGAATCGTAAGGACGGGGAAAGCGGACGAGGCAAGAGTCCCCGCTTCTCAACCCTTATAACCCCCACAATCACCAGACGCAACCGAACTCTTCTCAAGCACCTGACCACGTCTGACCTCCATTGTCCCGCGCTCGTGTGACACAGCCACTTCTACACCAAGAAGATAAGAACGAACGTGGTTGAAAAGTATGAAAGGATGGATGGGAGTGAAGAAGATGATGTGATCACGATCGGCAGAGCGCCCAACCGTTTCAGGTAAAGGCGGCTGACGAGCACACGTGAGAAGGATAGAACAAGAAAAGAAAAAGGAAGACCCCGCGGCAGAGGAACGTGCAGATAAGAGCAGAACGAGGTACTCACCTTCAAGTACACTGCCTCCCATTCCGCCGGTCTGTGCGCCAGCGCCCATTGCGGCAGGACCCTCTGCTAACAGTCTTTCCCGCTTCTCCTCCTCCAGATCTAGCCGCTCCTGAGCATCCTGCTCCTTTCTGTCAAGCAATTGCGTCCTTGCGTCGGCGTCGCTCTTTGGGAAGGTGGGGTTCACGGGCGAGTGAGGCGCCGTGGCCTGCCTAGACCTAGACGACGGGCCTGTCCGTGTATTCCCCGGTAGTCCCTCATACCCGTCATCGTGCTCCCCATCCATCGACAGATTGTCCGCTCCATCATCCCCGTCCTGCTCGTCCAGCGTGAGGTGCCGCATCTGAGCGAACGGGGCCGCAGGATGGAAAGCGCTTGGGCTGGCATCTGCGCTGGACTCGTATGACCGAGGGTGAGGAGAGTTTCCTGGTGCGAGGGATCTTTCGGGTGCGTTTCCACCCGGCGATGCCAGGGCAGGAGGCGGCAGCCGTGGAAGCCGATGCGAGAAGTATATCTCATCCTGGAGATGGAGCCTCCGTTCCTCGTGGTAGTCAAAGGAGGGGGACGAGTGGACCGCTGGCGTAGGGGGAGTGTTTGGGCGGCTGATCTCCAGCGCGGGAGTCCGCGCTTCTTGAGTGGGCTGCTGAGACGTCATCGTCAGTAGAGCTGGAGTGAAGTAAATGGTAACTATGGGAATGAGGAGTTGGAGTCGAATTCGTGCGGCAAGATCTGATTTTGGCGAGGTTCGGGGGCCCCGCAACAGGAAGCTTCCGACGGAAGCCCTCAAATCAGTTGCCTGAATCTACTTCTCATCTCCCAATCTACTTCTCATCTCCCAATCTACTTCTCATCTCCCAATCTACTTCTCATCTCCCAATCTACTTCTCATCTCCCAATCTACTTCTCATCTCCCAATCTACTTCTCATCTCCCAATCTACTTCTCATCTCCCAATCTACTTCTCATCTCCCAATCTACTTCTCATCTCCCAATCTACTTCTCATCTCCCAATCTACTTCTCATCTCCCAATCTACTTACCGTCAACCGAGCTTCGACGCATCCGAGGATGCACCGCCCAGCTACCGCCCTGTAACCTGCCCCTTTATATAACATCCAGCCCAATCTGTACCCCCGCGGCGCCCTGTTATGCGCCATGTTCATGCATTATCTATCTCCAAAAACGCCTTTGACCGAGCGGGCCTACCCCTGAAAGGACCCCGTCAGCCAGACCCTATACACAGCTGCTCGCAAAGCGGACCCCCCACAGTACCACTCCCACGTGCCTCTCAGCACATCTTCAGCCCACTCTCTGCATCGCCACCACGCTGGGCTCTTTCGCCACTGCGACTACCACGCCCCAGCCGCGACCCTCAGTCCTCGGCTCTGTCTACAGCATGAACAAAGGGCCCCTCCAGCCACTTGAAACACCCCCTTGCCACAGGCAAGTTTAGACCAAAGGATGCCGGAGGAATATGCTTGACGTCATCGTCCAATCTCGGCCGGCCCGTCCTCCGGAACTCATTATCTAGCCCTGAGCGCTCTGAGCACCCCGCGAGCCAGCAACCCCCTTCTAACTTGCCCCTCATAAGCCAACATATACATAACCGACCATGCTCACTTACACTCTCAGCGACATCATAACATCCCCCCATCATCGCTGCCGACCTCGTTGGCCTCCATACCCTACTGGACTCACGCTGCAACCCGACAAACAGCCGCAGCGTCCGACCGGCTTGGCACCGGATATCCCGATATCCTGAAACCGCGACCCCCTTTCCCGAAGAATGCCAGCAGCTTCAACTTTGCGCAGGCGAGGTACCCAGAGCTCGAGCCAGACGACAGCAAGTGACTAGGGTCCCACCTGGCGTATGCCAGGACTGGGGAGTTAGGGAGGGCGCCTCAGCCACTCCCACGATCTGCTAACTAACCTTAGCGTCTCTGGTTGCTTTACGTAACCAGCCCACTATCGAGCTTTAATTTTTCAAATTAGAGTAGGCTTAGGTGTCATATTGATAGTTTCCATGCATACAACACCCAGAGACGACTGCAGCATCGTTGATCAGCGCCAGCTCTGGTTTACGCAGTGAGGCAGCGGTCTGGTGAAGACCTCTGGGAGCTCCAGCAGTGACTACCATCGATAAGGCGAAGCAGTGAGGATCTGACGCGCAGAACCGGGCCATTGCGATTGGATAAGCAGGCGCCTTGAGTTGCTGCTGGGCGCGTAGGTTGCAAGGAGCCTGAGTATTTTAGACACGTCAACCTCTCCTGCGCGAGATGCTGTTCCGTCCTGTCGGCTTACCATCCCTGTTATGCAGTGCCAGTGGATAGCTGTGCTCTACACCTGCCTCTGCAGCTCTGTAGGCCGCCACTGCCACTTTGTGCTCTTTACGTACGACGCGTCTTACCGGGGAAAGGTTAAATTGAGATTTGTGAGACCCCTGAGTAAAGTGCGCACAGCCTCAGGAGGGAGAACAGACGTGTTGTTGAGCTGACTTTTCATCTATACATCTCTTGGTTCTATACATCACAGCTGGAGAGGTGACTATACCTCCTCTGACCATCGACAACAGACAGAGCTTGACGCTCTCTCTGTACACTCACGACCTTTCGACAGCGTAGATTTTTTCGCTTACACCTTGGAGTTGAGCGACGCGTTTCGCCACTCTCGATCATCCTCTTTTCCTCTCTTCTCCTCTTGACGACTACACACATCAGCCATCATGTCGAGGTATCAACAAGCACCGTACTCGGACCAGTCGGGCTACGGAAACTCTTACGCCAACAACGGCGCGGGCGGAGGATTTGGCGGCAACAGCGGGGGGTACGGCGGTAACGGAGGTGGACAGGGCGGCTATAACCAAGGTGGAGGCTACGCCGAGACTCCATCAGGGGACTACGGGGACGGAGGCTATGGCAAGTATGGAAACGGTGGTGGAGCAGCAGACGGATGTGAGTTACTTTCCATGTTCATACCGGTCTAGAGGATTGTAAGCGAGATGGCGCGGCGTCGAGATTCGGGGGTCGTCTTGATCGCTATTGTTGGATCTCAAAATGAACAAAGCTGATCATCGCTCTCTTCTCTACTATCTGACTCCCTACGACCCCTACTCTACTGCCATCTTGGCCACCCCTCGCCCCGACCCCGTGTTCTTCTCTCCTTTTTCCATGTTACCTCCTTTCACCGGAACTTTTACTCGCCTAATCGACACATATCCCTCGTCGCCTCACATCATGGCCTCTCATCTCCCTCATCCCCGCACAACTCATCATGCCGCGCCGTATCGACCCCGAATCTATCCCTCTCGCGCCTCTCCCAACAGACCCCATGGCTGCCTCGAACCCATACGCGTCGGCCGGATCGCCCGTCACGCGGTCGAAGAGCAAGAAGAAGTGGTGGATCATCGGCGGGGTGCTGGCGCTTTTAATCATTATCGGAGCGGTGCTCGGTGGTGTCCTTGGGACAGTCCTCAACAAGAATAAGGGCACGTCTGGCGGGAGCTCCAGCAATGCCGGGAATGGACAGGCGGCAGGCGGGAATGTCGTCCCTTCAGGAGCGAGCTCGGTCAACACTGGTGCTCTGACCGCAACGGCCGCGAACAGAGTGTTGGCGGTCGCGACGGATACATACATGCTTCCCGTTTACGCTACCGGAGTAAGTCTACCTGGAATTCATAAACCTGTACTCGAGCTGATCATCAGACCAACACTGCCAACTACGCCGCACCCACCGTCGCCGCCTCCGTTGCCGGCACCTCGTGGCCCTCGGACCCCAGCGCACCGAGCAACAACTCCATCCGCGCTCACCCTCGTCTTATCGCTCCCGGATACAAGTGGAACGCCCTCACTTCCGGCCTCATCGCCAACAACCCCTACTTCAACCAGTGGAACCGCACGATTGTCGCCAACGCTACCGACGTTCTCAACAAGCCACCTGTCGCGTATACCCCCGACGGCGGTCTCAGTGGCTCGGGTGTGCTCGACGTGGCGCGAGAGATGAAGCTGCGGGTCAAGAACTTGGCGTATGCTTACCGCGTGACCAACGACACGCGATTTGCCGAGCGTGCCTGGTTGGAGCTTTCCGTAAGTCTCTGTTTATTCGAGTGAGACCCAAGCTAAAATCCAGACTGCCGCTGGAAACAACACCGACGTCCCATTCGGCGCCAACGACGGTACCCGCTGGAACCCTGCTCACTTCCTGGATGTTGCAGAGTTCTGTAATGTCTTCGCCATCGGCTATGACTGGCTCTATGAGCGATGGACGGACACCCAGCGTGACCAGCTCATGTGGACCATGCTCAACCTCGGTCTCTCCCTCGGCGAGGCGGCGCTCACCCAGGCCTCCTCCGCGTCCACCTACTCGTGGTGGACCGGGGTTCCGACCAACGCCATCGTCAACGGAAATTGGAACTGCGTCATCAACGGTGGTCTGACCATGGCCGCTCTTGCCATTGTCGACCGCGACCCCACTGGCCGTGCCCAGCGTATCATCAACCTTACCGTCCCCAACGCTCGGCTCAACTGTGTCCAGGGCGCCTCGGCCGACGGGACATGGACTGAAGGACCTAACTACTGGTACTTTGGTGTCAACGCCGCCGGGGAGATGTCATCCGCTCTCCGATCGGCGTACGGTGACGATCGCGGACTGGCCACTGCCGATGCCGGGTTCGCCCAGACGTCGGCGTACCACATGTACGTCCAGGGCATGACCTCGCTCTTCAACTACGGCGACCACGGACCCAACAAGTTTGCCACTACGGCCAACTCGCTCATGTACTGGTCGACTGTCTTTGGGCAGCCTCAGTACTCGCTGTACCAGCGGGACCGGTCTGACGCGCCCGAGCCATTCTCCATGTTCTGGTACGACCCTGCGACTACCGGAACATGGTGGGACGGTCTGGCGATCGACAAGCACTTTGACTCGGCCACTACCGAATGGGCGACCGGTCGGTCCTCGTGGGCCAGCAACGACGGGACCTATTGGGCCATGAAGGCCGGCCAGATCCCGAGCCACCAGAACCACGGTAACATGGACATTGGTGACTTTGTCATTGATGCCATGGGACAGCGGTTCTTTGGTGATCTCGGATCCGGGCAGTATCTCGCGCCCGGCTACTTTAACGGGGATGATAAGCAGGACGGGACGAGGTGGTTGTACTACAACACCAGGACGGAGGGGCAGAACACTATCCTCATCAACAATGCCAACCAGCAGATCTCGGCTACGCCCAGCGCGCAGTTTGGGTCGTCGGGGACCAAGCAGGGCGCGGCGCCAAGCTTCAACTTGTCGTCCACCGACACGGCGTTCTTCACGATGGATATGAGTGGAGCCTACGGATCCGGAGCGTAAGTTATCGCGCACATTCGTTCAATGAATTGGGGCCGAGCTGACGATGCAGCTCCGTTCGCCGAGGTATCCGATTCCTGAACGGCCGTCGTCAATTCCTCATCCAGGATGACATCTCCGGTATCCCCTCTGGCCAGCCTATCCAATGGCGCGCCCACACCAACGCTTCCGTCACCACCAACGGCGCCACCGCCACCCTCGTCCTCAGCGGCCAGACCATGATTGCCTCCATCCTCAACGCCCCATCCGGCGTTTCCTTTGCGACCGCTTCCCCCACTCGCGCATCGTCTGACCCCGCGCTCCCCACGGGTGACTACTCGGAGGACTTCCCTCTTCCCTCGGACACCAAGGTCCTGACCATCAACGGACCGACGGATGGGTCGGCATGGAGCAACCAGGTCTTGCTGAGCCCGCAGTGGCCCGCTGGAGTCGCGGCGGCGGCGGTCACGCCAAAGTCGGTGCCGGTCCAGTCGTGGAGTCTGACCAGTCACAACTAGGTGTGAAGTGGAGTTGGGGAGAGAGGGTGGGAGCTATGATTGAGGAGTGGTGGAGTGACAGGGCGGGGGAAAGCGATGCGTTCCCCGCGAGGCGAGGGTTGATCGAGAACCACGACCATCATACTTTGATATCTTTTATGTCTGCACGAATTCCTTCGTACTTTTACCCTCATTTTGTTTGAATATGAAACGACGACAAGTATGCATGGACACTATAGCTAGGCCCATACTCTATTGGTCAAGATGTTCATGCCCTTCTCGCCCACATTCTGTAACCCCAGCTTGCCGCCACACCTGCCACACCCACCGTTCCAACTCCCAATCCCCACGCTACGCGCTCCACCACTCTCCCCTGCCATTTCTCTCGCTCCAGCGCCGCCGCGTACCCAATATCAGGCCGGAAAGTCACCATCTCGTACAACGAGTTCCAGCCGCGTACGGGCTGACCAGGGAAGGGGTCGGTCAGGGAGATACCGAAACCGCTTGCTGGGGAGGCAGAGGCGGGCCGGGGGATGAGGTTGGAGAGGAGGGTATCGAGATGCCGCCGGAGGATGTGCAGGGGCGAGAGGACTTTGGAGCGCATTTCAACGCTGGTCGTCAGTTCTCGGGTACAGGTAGGAAGGATAAGAGAGGACATACTAGTTCTGCATGGCGAGCTCGGTAATGGCGCGCAGGTCCTTATCGCGCTCGTCCGAGTATGCTGCGAGAGCTTGTTCCAGGACAGGCTCAGTCTCGCCAAGGGGTAAAGTGGTCGTTGGCGGGACATTGAAGCGCTCGAGGTAAGAGTTGAAGACACGGACGTCCTCGAGTCCACAATTCAGCCCTTGGCCGTAGAAGCTATGTTATCAGCTCGTCTCCGACCGATTATGACGGCCAAGCTTACGGGACCATGCTATGTGACGCATCGCCGAGGAGGACTGCATGACTCGAATAGCTGGTTGGCAGGACCTGGGGTGTCAGTATATCGCCAGCGATAGTGATGTTACAGCTATTCACATGAGTGGTGACGAGATTACCTCGAGGGTTGTTCTCGAAGTCGTCGACTAGGGGCTTGATACCGACAATGTCGACCGCTGAGGGGAAGTTGTCCCTGAAGAACGCTTCGGCGGCGGGGCGGGTCTCGAGTGTTGCGAGAGACGAGAAGGGAAGGAAGAGGGTGAGGGTGAAAGAGCCGTCCTACCGAATCAGCGATAAACGACCAGGAGGGAAGAGGGGAAGCGCACCTTATTTGGCAGGCCGATGAGCATGAAGGAGTGCCTTGGCCAGATGTGCAGGTGGTTTGCGTCCATCGCGTATCCGCCAGGCTTTGACGCATCAGGCGGCATATGCAGCTCGATATATGCGTGCTGGATGAACGACTGGGAAAAGTCTACCCTGGTATCGTCAGCGAAAGGACATCCCTTGTACGCCTAGACAACATACCGCTCTACACGCATCATTTCTGACCGAGTCTTACTCCAGCTCCCATCCGCCCCGATAATCAGATCGAATCCCGTTCCTTCATGATCTTCCTCCGCCTCCTCCGTCTTCCCATCGCTCTTATCCCCATTCGCACCCCCAGCCTCATCTCCGAGTTTGTACGCCTTCCCACCCTCCGCCCCGATCCCCCAGGCGCGGCGCTTGCGGAAGTCCACCCTGCTAAGCTTGGTCTTGAACCGGATCTTGACGTCGGAGGGGAGAGCCTCCACGAGGCGCTGGTTCAGGATAGGGCGGGAGAGGGAGTAGCCGACTTGATGGGTGCGGGGATCGTATATCTGTGAGGAGGGGGGCATGGTAGGGGAGACGTGGTGGATCATTCGACCTTTCATTGGGATGGACTCGTTCTGCAGCATCTCGGCTGGAGGTGTCAGCTTATCTTCTGAAGAGATGTCCTCGACTGGTATCATCGTCTGGGCTGGACGGCCTACCTAGTGAAGGATCCACAGATCGTAAAGCCTCAAGACCACGAGCCGACATGTTGAGGTTGATCGATCGCAGATTCGCCATTTCCGTCGACTGACCTCTGGGGTCTAGGCAAGTCAGCCCGACACTGTTGATAGATCGCCTTTCTTGGCTGCTAAGACTCACCCTCTCTAGACTCCCACACTTCCACCTCCCATACTCGTCGATGAAGGCAGATCGCAGTGAGCGATCCGACCGGTCCTGCGCCAATCACGAGCGCTTTTCGCGGTCTTGGGGTTGACATTGGGCAGCTTTTTACTGATATTTCGGATTCTGATAGGTGTCCGAGTACACTATCGGCGTAGATGTAGCTGTTACAGCTCAGTGTATGAGGTGTAAGTCGAGTCGAGAGATGGATGTCGATCGTAGAAATCTTGATCTTATCAATCTCGTCAGATCCCAATTCAACATTCCTTAACTCCTGGTGCATTACGTCACCGCAACTCGGCTGCAGCAAAGATTTCAAGCGACCACCCGCAGCATCAGTACTACCTATATCTCTCTCTAGGGCTATCGCTCGACCCACACAAGATGGCAGGCCCGCCCGTACGAGAACGCTTCAATGCAAAAGCGCGCGGATCGACAGCCGGGAGTGGAGGCCACAAGAAGCGCAAGAGACCTTCAGCAAAGGCCAGGGCGGAGGCGCTGGGAAGCGATGGGGATGTCGAGATGAAGGAGCCGGTCAAGGCGGCGGAACCGCCCGCTGGGTCGGGAATGAGCAGTAAGAAGCGGAAGAGGATGGAGAGCTATATTGTGAGCTATTTTCGCCGCCGCGTATCCCGAGCGGGGAGCGACCAGCTGACGATTGTAGGACAAAAAGCTCAAGTCAGAATCCAGATTGGAGACTATCAAGCTCCTGGCCTCCCTGGCCCCTTCCACGTCCTCGTCAGCCAATATGCTGTCTTCCTCCTCGCTCGGCCAAAATCCTTTCAACCCGACCAGCGCACAGGAGCGTAAAGATCTGCGGGAAGACCGGATGGTCAGGCGGGGGATTGACGTGCTCAAGAAACGGCATGGTGCCGCTGGGGAAGAGGGCGAGTCAGAGGAGGAGGACGCGATCAAGCCGAAAGGAAGAGGAAAGGAGACGGTGGTGGACGTCGATATGGAGGACGTGGCTGAGGATTATGGAGAGGCAGAAGCAGGAGTCAAGGGGAAGAACAGGCAACGAAAGTCTAAGGCAGCTAAGAAGGTCAGTCAAGGTGGACATGAGCAGGCGCAGACTTTGGAACTGATGGACAGGCGAGTTGGAATCCAAATCTCCTCCAGACGCAGCCGGACTCTTCCTCTGACTTCGACTCCTCAGATTCGGGGGACGATACCCCATCGGAGGCTGAGCCCACGCCTGCCCCCGCTATCAAACCTCTCGCTTTCGCCCCAGCACCGCCTGTAGAGAGAACCCCCGATGTTGCCAATACGACGTCAGAGGCTGCCGCCGGCGCATTGCGAGCACCCGCTGCGGCTGGCTCTGCTCTCAAGCGACCGGCCGTCATGGGTGGCGCCCTTAAGAAATCGGCGGACGGAGCACCGGTCGCGCCTCGCGTCATTGTCAGGCGTAAGCAGCCCGTCACTGAAGCAGAAGAAGACGAGGAGAGCGAAGACGAGGGTATGGACGAAGACAGTGAAATGGACAGTGAGGACGAAGGGGACAGCGAGGAGATGGACAGCGGGGAAGAAGGGAGCGAGGAGGATTCGGATGAGCGATCCGACGAGGACGAGGAAGACGACGAGGACGAGCACCTCCCCCGCGCACCAAATAAGGAACGCTCTTTGGGCTTCAAGTCTTGGGCTCTGAAACAGATGGGCCAGGCCGAAACAGCCCCTCCTGACCTGCTCGATCAGCGTACGAGCGCCGCAGCCCCTCCCAAACCTCGTAATGAGGCCCCTCCTGGTCCCAAGGTCGGTCCCCTCGGAGAAGAGTTCCTCATTCCCACCACATCCCTCCTCGACCAATCCTCATCTGCACCCGCAGAATCGTCGAAGCGCGCTCGGCCGACCATCACCCGCCGACCATCCGTTTCGGAGTCTCGCCTCGACTTGCCCATTTTGGCGGAAGAGCAGAACATCATCGAGGCGATCCGGATGAATTCGGTGGTAGTGATATGCGGAGAGACGGGTTCGGGAAAGACGACGCAGGTGCCGCAGATGCTGTACGAGGCTGGCTTTGGATATGCTGGATCGGGTGAGCTGCCCTGTCCGCGATATCTGGCAGACCTGAGCTGACTTGTAGATAACCCGGGAATGATAGCCGTCACGCAGCCCCGTCGAGTCGCAGCCGTCTCGCTCGCTGCTCGTGTTAAGTCGGAGCTCAACCTCTCTTCGACATCGGGTATCGTGGCGCATCAGATCCGATACTCGTCCACCACCTCCCCAGACACAGCCATCAAGTTTATGACGGATGGTGTTCTCCTCCGAGAACTGTCCGCCGACTTCCTGCTGAGTCGGTACAGCGTCGTTGTCGTTGATGAAGCACACGAGCGAGGTGTCAATACCGACGTCCTCATCGGTGTTCTCTCGCGAGTCGCCAAGCTTCGCGAGAAGAAATGGCGCGAAACAAAAGATCTTCCTACATCCTCCACCACCTCGCCTATCAGGCCACTCCGGATAATCATCATGTCGGCGACACTGCGCCTGACGGACTTTACAAATAATAAAACTCTCTTCCCCGTCACTCCGCCCATCATCCATATCTCGGCGCGTCAACACCCCGTCACGGTCCATTTCTCTCGGAGGACGACGGCGGACTATGTGGACGAGGCATATCGCAAGGTATGCAAGATACATGCGAGGCTGCCGGTGGGCGGGATACTGGTGTTCATGACGGGCCAGGCGGAGATTATGGGGCTGTGCAGGAAGTTGGAGCAGAAGTATGGGAAGGATAGGCCGGTGGGTGGTGGTCGGGGAAGAGGGAGCGGGAGGGGAAGGGGAGGTGGGAGAGGGAATCAGAGTGGACGAGGGGTCAAGGAGGAGGTCGTAGTTGCGGTCAATCAGGAGGTACCGCCAGAAGGTGCGTCTATCGGGTCATACAGTCGGGGGCTGTTGCTGACAAAGGCAGATCGGGAAGCAGAGGATGTCGAATTTGGGCAGGACAACGATCTTGCCGCAGATGTTGATGACGGGGATGCGGATGCCGTCAGCGATCCAGAAGCCCTCGATACGGACGACGATGACGACGATGAGCTAGGACTCAACGAGCTCTCAGATAGTAAGCTCCGAAGTGCCGCGTACCGAGGCATCGAAGCTGACAAGCAGCGCCTATGCATATCCTTCCCCTATACTCCCTCCTCTCAAATGATCAACAACTCAAGGTCTTCCAACCCCCTCCTACAAATCACCGGCTCGTCATCATCTCCACGAACGTCGCCGAAACCTCCCTTACCATCCCCGGCATCCGCTACGTTGTCGACAGCGGACGCGCCAAAGAACGAACCTTCGATACTCGCTCCGGCGTCCAGTCGTTCCAGGTGCAATGGATCTCCAAAGCGTCCGCCAACCAACGGACGGGTCGAGCGGGTCGTACCGGTCCTGGACACTGTTACCGCCTCTACTCGAGTGCATTATATGAGGACCAACTTCCCGCTTTCGGTACGCCCGAGATCTTGCGGATGCCCGTCGAAGGCGTTGTGCTTCAGATGAAATCGATGGGGATCGACCAGGTCGTCAACTTCCCTCTCCCAACTCCACCGGATCGACTCTCACTTCGAAAGGCTGAGGTCCTCCTGCAGACCCTTGGCGCTCTCTCTGTACCGTCAAATACGACCCTCGTCGCTGGTACACAAGTGGACGGAGCGGTCGGCGGGCAGATAACGAGTCTCGGAAAGCAGATGGCGGACTATCCGGTCTCTCCGAGATTCGCCAAGATGCTCGCGATAGGCAACCAGCACGGCGCGATGCCGTACGTTATTGCCATCGTGGCGGGGATGAGTGTGGGAGACCCATTTGTGCACGAGTCGGCTATTGAGGCGGATGATGAGGATGCAGAGGGGTTGACGCATTTGACAGGCGAGGAGGCTAGGAAGAGGGAAGAGCGGAAAGAGGCGAGAAAGCGGTACTTCAAGGCTCAATCTGTACGTTCTGACCCAAAGTGGCTCTACGGTTGCTGATTTGCTAGGCTTTCCTGTCCCTCGGTAATGCCGCATCGGACGCGTTCAAGCTGCTCGCTGCGATCGGCGCCTATGAGTACGAGCCAACAGCTGCTTTCTGCCAGAACAACTTCTTGCGCTTGAAGGCGATGCAAGAGATACAACAACTACGGGGCCAGATCGGAGGTATCTCCGGGATCAAGAAGGGGAGTGGAGAGCGATTGAAGCCTCCAACAGAGACACAGGTAAGTCTTGTCTACCAGGAATCATACCTCCGCTGACGCCTCAGCTCAAAGTCATCCGCCAAATCCTTACATCTGCATTCATCGACCAAATCGCGGTCCGTGCCGACCTCGCCGAGAAGAAACCCCAAACCTACCTCTCCTGCCGAAACGTCGCCTATCGCCTCTCCACCACTACAACGGATATCGCCTACATCCATCCCTCCTCTGCCCTCTTCCACCGTGCCCCACCCGACTTCATCGTCTATTCGGAGCTACACCGCACGGCCAAAGACTGGATGCGGGGCGTGACCAAGATCAACGCTGGGTGGATCTGGAGCCTCGGACGCAGCCTTTGCGCGGTAACCCGCCCGACTGAGATTGAGGCGAAGGTCGGTCTTAAGGTGGATGAGCGGCTGAGAGGGGTCGAGAGGGAGGTGGGGGTGGTGCCTAATCTGAGGGCGCTGGGGGTGGATCTGCCGGCTGTAAAGATCAAGCAGAGAAGAGAGGGGAGTCGGTGGGTTTACGTGGAGTGAGAGCGAGGTTTTGGATGTTGCTTGGAACTAGCTTGGATCTTGGTCATCATGGGTGTGCCCACCATGTTACTGCAATGCTCATCATACTGTAGCGATCTTTCGGCCGAAAGAAGATTCGGTATCAAAAGAAAGTGAAACAAAGTTTGAAACAGACCTGAAACACGTCCTCATGGTGGCGTGGCTGAGACTGTGGCGCGCCGGTACCTGATCTGCTGTCCGGATCTTCCGGTATCAGATGTCCACGCGCCTGACCGCTGTCGTGGGAATCGGCGCTCCCTGCGCTGGACCAAACCGTGATCCCTGTGGTCCAGCGGGGATCAGGCAGCATTGGGGCCTGATGACTGGGGCCTGATGACTGGCGCCTGTCGGTCAGGAAGAGCTAGACAATCGATGATGCCGGGCATAAGGTCGCTTGCTGGAAGTTGCGACCGTATACATAATAACAGCAAGACTTACGAAGCGAAACAACAATGTCAAGGCAGATACTACTACAAGCCCAAGATACGGAAGGTGATGAGAATAGTCCGTCATATCCGCGGAGACGCCTTCTCCCCTTATACCAGTATTGGGATAGCCACCGCTCCTACCACCGCTGTCCCGCTCTCCATTCCCTCGGCCTTCCGGTCTTCCCGCTTCTCGTCCCACTTTTCCAGCTTCAGATCCTGTCCCTGATTCACCATGCCCACACCTAGACCGACGAGCCCCACGCCGATCTCGGGCGAGCCCTTGCCCTCGCTTCCTTCCTCGTCCAGCCCAAACAGCGCGGCCCTGAAGCTGACTGGTCCCTCTGCCTCCGCAAACCCATTCTCGCGCGGGTGCATCATGACGCCCAGCTCGCCAACGCCAGGTCCGCGATAGCCGAGTCTCGGCGTTCCGAAGCTCGCTCGGCCTTTGCTGCCATATTGCCCAACACTGCAACCTCCGCACGAGACGCACCGCGTCGATGTCTGGGATGGGATGTCGCCACTCAGGCCTGTTCGGATGCCGGCTGAATTCGAGTTGCTGCGGTGGGGCCGGATGGCTGCTGTCGTGGGGTACATGGCTTCTTCGGCGTCGGCCTGTTTTTGGCGAAGTTTGCTCTGAGCAGTGCGGGGGAGGGTAAGGGTGGAGAGGACAGTGATGGCGTAGATGCGAGAGAGGAAGGAGTGGGGGAATAGCACCCATGATGAGGCGCTGCAGAGTCAGTGATTGCTCCGGGGCGAAAGGGAGATTGACACACCTAAGATGGAACAGGATTAATTGAGCGAGCTGGCATGTAAGGATCAAGGCTCCGCTGCGCAGGGTCAAATTGACAATGACGTTGAGAATGGTATTGGATTCAGCAAATCCGGTCTGGTCGTGAGCTAAGATCTGTGCATGACGGCACTACAACTCACTCGTGCAGCACGATGCTGTATGGTAGTAGACAATACAATGACAACGTCCATCACCTAGCAAATCAGCTTTGTCACCGACAGACGCACCGGAAGAGGGCAAATAACTCACAACGAAGATGCTGAAGACGTAGTAAAACCAGAACGTCAGTTTGCCTGTTGACGACGACGCAGCCAGGGCCTCGAGCCTGACTGGGGTCAGCGTCAGAACAATAGTCGTAAAGACTCGATGCTTACAGTGATGAGGCTTGCTGAGATACATCAGCCGAGTTTCGATGATCTGCTATAGCTCGGAGGCGAACTCACGGATAGCCGAAGCGGTAGCATCACGGATCCAATGGTCGATCCGATTGTCAAAAGTCCCATCAATCCCGCCAGCGCAAAAGTGGTCGGTCGTACCCAGCGCCCGTATGCACTCTGCATGGCCCGAGCGAAACGGAGACACCGCCAGCACAGGAAGGTCTGACAGATGACGATGTTGATGTTGGCGAGGAGGACATGGATCCATTCGTCTGGATGAGCGGCGATGTCGAGAACCTGGCTGTCAGCTCAAACTTGAATCTGGGCCACAAGAAGCTGGAGCTCACATAGAAGACGTCGAGAGGGTGTATCACCGTTTGCTTGATGCTTTTGGTCATGACAAGGCCGGTCTCGGCGGTTGTGAGAAGGAGGAGCAGCTGTTTATACTTGAGCGTGATACACATCGCGGTGCGGAGGTCGGACTGACGACAATCTGGAAGGGTCAGCAATCTGTATATCGTACTCGAGGTGCAGACTCACGGTACAACGAAGAATCCAGTGGTCCTTGTTTGCATATTGATGGAAGTAGCCCACGCTCATTGCCTACCGTATGAGCGCAGTGCGAACACATTATGGATGAGGGCAACTCACCAAGACATAGCCCTGAAGTAGACAGGCAAACATTGCTCCCAAAGCTACAGGCCCCCACTGTCCGATCAGCTCGACGTCCCAACTGAGCTACCAGCCGACAATACTCACAACATCCATGACGTTCAGCCCCGGTATGTTATCGAGGTCTCGATCGACCCGCGCGACAAGCTGGTGGATCCCATACTGAGCGGCAGACATTTTCGACCGTTCCTCTTGGATTGACTGCCGAACGGAAAGACTGTGTGGGTACCGAGGCGAGCCGTTACTCTCAATAAGGACAGTGAAGACGAGATCAGTCTTCTAGCTCGAGAGACTATTGATCGTGCATCAAGTAGCCACGAGTCCTGCGATATGATCATCAGCGGTTTCCGTCATCATTCTGACAGCTGCCGCAACACCGGCGGCGCCGTTCGCCTCGCATAGACTGCATTCAGCTGAAGAAGGATAGATGGCGTTGTGGACGCCTTGCGATCGACGTGATGCATGTATAGTGACGAAAGACGAAGGGGCCGGAAGTTGTCAATCCAACTGGACAGGCATTCGGGTGGGCCGCATGCGGCAAGAGATCAAGATCACCGAAGGTCACCGAAAGTTCCGTGAGACAAATCCGATAGATCCCTGTGGCGAAGTGTCTCAGAGCGGCATGCTGTATGGACGCTTTTCTTGATGCGCAGCCGGACTCACTTCGATGGCTGAGTCCACATGCACAGATGGAAGCGCTGCTGCATGCTTGAGGCGCCTCTGACAGCGAACGCTTGAAGCCTGCGCCCGCCGCGGAGCACCGCGGGGATGAGCAAACATCGCATGGCGTAACTGCCTTTGCTGATTAGATCGATTAGATCTTGCGCCGAAGACCTGCAGTATAGCCGTTTTGAAAGACGCCTGCAGCCGGAGCATCTCTCACATGTGAGCTTGTCATAGGGAGATTGTATCCAAGCTGACTGGCAGATGCTGTGTCACAATAATTGCACTTTTATCTATAACAACTGAGTGAAATCGCCCGCATCCAGACACCATCTGCCCGTTGGGACGCGTACAGTCTACGCGCCAACGAGACTGCTCAACATCTTCAGACGTCATCATGTGATTACAGCGACGGGGAGGAGTCGATGCGGGAGACAAATTATGGGTGCTGATGCATGATGAGGCAGCCGGACCTCGAAGGCCGAGCTGCGGAGTGACAACGATGATAATCTTCTCAATTCGTCGTTCTGACCATACGCAGGCTGTCAGGCATCGCTCAAGGGTTTTGCCAGTCGGGAGATGGAGCGAGAGCCAGTGAGATATCAGAATAAGAGGACACTGGTATTTGAATGCCATGCAGTGCGGCCGCCGAGACCCTTTCCAAATCGGAGGGGAACATCCACGAAGCAATGACAACCAGCCATCCCGCTTTCTTGTTACTTCCCGTCTTCGCTGCTAGTATCATGCAGCCTTCCAAGAGTGATCTACGTACCTCTACACCTCTCTGCAACGATCTGTGTCTATGGCCCTACCAAGCCCCGGCAAGGTCTTCGGGATATCCCTTCCTTGAGATGAGGCCTGACCGTCTATAGACAAGCAGAGCGGACCCGTTTTAAATCATGCATAGTTGGCATATATGGGATGGGAGCTGTTGGTCCGAAGGACCGAACCCGTCCCCCGAGCGACGCGCAAACTGGAGAGCTGGCTAGCTGCTGCTAGGTCACCCATCGACGCGATCACTATACGTACTGCCACGCCGCCACTGACCCCTACGTCATCGCTATTCCAGCGTTGTGATTGGCTCATTCCGATTTGGGTGCGCTGTGGAGGTGATCCACATTCCTCAAGTCATCCCTAGGCCTCAGCCTCAGATTCAGATCGATCTGCTGCTCATCATCTGCAATCGCTCCTATCCCAAGACCACAGACTAGCATATGCTCAGTCGTCTCCTTCCAGCTCGTCAAGTTACACGCTCGATCGCCCGCACAGTTCCTTTCACCCGTACCTCACTCTACCGCAACTTCGTTCGCACAATGGCGTCTCAGTCCGACATCAAGACGCTCGCGGTGATGGATGCCAGCGAGCTGCAGGAAGGCCAGCAGTACGTCTAGTACCTTCTGCATATACTCAGACACGTATTCCAACATGAGTCACAGAAGGCAGGGCGTCCAGCGCTGACGCGTTCAGCAAAAACGTCGACTTCGACGGATCGAAGATCCTGGTGTCCAAGTTGCAGGGCCAGGTGGTAAGTGCAAGACGCAGCATAGGAGGTCCTTGCTGATAACATGTAGTACGCTACCTCTGCTTACTGTACTCATGTAAGCTTTCACCGTGTCCGCTAATTGGAACAATTTGCTAACATCGCAGTATGGCGCCCCGCTTGAGAGTGCGTACCCTCTGGAGCAGCTTGCGTCTGGGACAATTGCTGACAATATAGAGGGTGTGCTCTCGCACGACGGTCGTGTCGTTTGTCCATGGCACGGAGGTGAGCTTCCTGATTCACACTCCTTTGTCTAGATGTAGCTGACATACTAGCGTGCTTCAACCTCAAGACGGGCGATATCGAGGACTCGCCCGGTCTCGACTCGCTCTGGAAGTTCAAGGCCGAGGAGAAGGACGGCAAGATCATGGTCTCGGCTAGCGAGAAGGAGGTCAAGTCCAAGGTTGGCAAGGTTGTCGCTGCGACCAAGTTCGCCCAGAAGAAGGCGGCGCAGAGCGGAAAGGAGGAGACCGTCGTCATTGTTGGTGGTGGAAGCGGTGGTCTCCACGCCATCGAGAGTTTGCGCATGGTGAGCTTTGCATAGGGGGGGATACTTGATCGACGTCGAAGATGGCTGCTGACTGTTAAGAACGAGTTCATGGGGAAGATTGTTGTTCTGTCGGAGGAGAAGTACGCCCCTATCGACCGGTAAGTACTGGCTCTCACAAATCATGGACCATGCTGATATCATAGCACTAAGCTGTCGAAGGCTCTGGTGGACGACGCCGAGAAGCTCCAGTTCCGCACACCTGAAGTTCTCAAGAACGATTTTGGCGTAGACTTCCACTCCGGCACGGTAGGTCCCGATCGGCTACCCGTCCCTCGCTATGTACTGATGACTCAGGCCGTTACCGGCGTCAACACCAAGGAACAGAAGGTAACCACCTCCTCCGGCGAGTTCTCCTACGATCACCTCATCCTCGCGCCCGGTGCCAAGCCCAAGAAGATCCCCATCGAAGGCAAGGACCTGGAGAATGTCGTCACACTCCGCCACATCAGCGATGCGGCCAGCATTAACAAGATGATCACCAAGGACAGCGAGGTGGTGATCATCGGGACCAGCTTTATCGGCATGGAAGTGGCCATGGCGGTACTCAAGAAGGAGCCCAAGAGCGTCAACATGGTTGGCGTGGATGAGATCCCCTTCGAGGCTATCCTCGGCAAGGAGATCGGTACAGCGATCATGGAGGTAAGCTTTCACGCATCCTGCCTGTTATGAATATCAGCTGACATCGTCAGACGATGAAGAAGGCGGGCGTCAAGTTCCACATGCAGGCGGAGATCAAGAAGCTCAACCCTACTTCGGAGGGCGGCTCCGCAGTTGGTTCGTTGTCGATGAAGGACAAGGAGGATCTCCCCGCCAACTTGGTCATCATGGGCACCGGTGTCGCCCCGGCTACCGAATTCCTTAAGGAGAGCTTCAGCCTCGAGAAGGACGGCGGTATCAAGGTGGACGAGTACCTCCGGGTCGAAGGCCAGAAGAACGTCTACGCGATCGGAGACATTGCGCACTACCCGCAGGCGCCCGAGGGGCAGCAGCGGAGGGTGGAGCACTGGAATGTTGCTGGTCAGCACGTAAGCAGCTTTTCTTCGGACTTGCCTAACAAAACGCTGATATCTGAAGGGACGTGAAGCTGCTCACAACATCGCCAAGCCCAACGACCTCGTCAAGTACGACAAAATCCCCGTCTTCTGGTCCTCGGTCGGTAAGGGTTTGCGATACGTCGGTACCGGCGGTGGCTTCGATGACAGCTATACCGATGGCAGCATCGACGAGCTCAAGGCGAGTTGTATAGCCTGGGCACTTCGACGGGATCCAAGCTGACAGACCAGTTCGCCACCTACCAAGCCAAGAACGGAAAGATCACCGCTGTCGCCTCGATGCAGAAGGACCCGTATGTTGCCAAGGCTAGCGAATTGATTCGCTTGGGTCTGATGCCGACCTTGGACGAGATCAGGGGTGGCAAGGTGAGCATCTCTCGGCCAGTTCTGTTAGAAGGGATGAGGCTGACAGGGCAGAACATCCTCGAGATCAACACCATCACGGCTTAAGAATTGTCAGATCGTTCTCTACTGTGTATGTAGCTATTATGCAAGTCTCCTCAACGGCATCGCTATGATGCCCCCTCGTACGAGTACAGCTATGTCCGTTGTTCACTGCCGCTACAAGGCAGGCATCTTTGTCTTTAAAGGCTTATCGAGCGGTGTTCGCCGCTAGCGCCTTGTGAACGTGCCTCCACTTCTCTCCACTTGCGCACTCGTCGATCAAAGTCAGATTAGATCGCAGCTTTCTACCTTCGCCTTGCATCGAATTTAACTGCTAGAGTGTTCTCAGTACCAGCAGTATGCCTCCCAAACCCTTCAACGAGTTCATGAATGGTACCTCCCCTGGCGGACCCTCCACGCCGCGTGGTCGAGGAGGGTATGGGGGTCGAGGTGGAGGCCGCGGGGGCGGTGGTGGGTACCGAGGTGGTGGAGCTGGCGGCGGGACTCCAGGGAGCGTCAAGTCCTTCAAAACGGACTATTCGAACGTTCCGTTCGATTATGCCGCGGTCAATCGGCAGCAGTATACCAAGATGGACGGTGAGCTGCGCTGCTGACCCCCCCGAAGAAAGGGTGGAGGCTGACGAAATGCAGGCTTCGCAGTCGCTCCGTACGGAGGCAACACCGCTACTCCGGGTACGCCATACACCCCAGGCGGAAGGGGAAGGGGCCGGGGAGGTCGAGGAGGTGGCGGTGAGACCTATACCCCTCGTGGACGAGGAAGAGGCGGTCTGGGTTCTTCGACCTCGTCATCCGCTCCGAGCGGTCAGGGCGCACAGCAAGACTCGCCCGGACCTTCGGGCTACGGTACACCCATCACCGGGCTGGGCTTCGGGAAGGGCAAGGGGAGGGACGTGCCCGGCGCAGGAGCTAGGACGCCCGTGCGCGAGTCCACGGTTGGACGGGGCATCGGGACGGGAGAAGTCATTTGGGGAGGGAGAAAGGGCGCGCCGATGTTTGTAAAAGCTGGAGAGCTGTTCAAGGATGGGGAAGTGGACGTTATCACGATGGACGAGGGTGAGTTACTCATCCTCTACGTACGGATACAGGAAACGAGCTGATGGGGGCAGACAAAGCGATCCACGTAGAAACCGTGCCTCTTTCCGACCCATCCGCCCCGCAGATGCTCGATCTGAATAATAACACGGAGATTGAGATACTCGAGACCCTCGAACAAAAGGTTCGCTCCAAGCCCAGCAAGGCCAAGAAGGCGAAGGGGCCCCCCGCACCCGCTGCGCCTATCGCCGAACAGGCGATAGATGGCGGTACGGAGGAGGTGGATATGGAGGATCAGGCGGCGAGGGATGAGATTGACATGCTGCTGGAAGCGGAGCCGGAAGCTCCGTCACCTACGCCCGCGCCTATCCCCGCTTCTGAGCTAGAAACGGCTCCTGCGCCCATTTCCGAGGTTCCATCCGCTCCTGAGCCAATAGAAGTGGACGACATGCCCATCCCCGGTCTTTTCCTCGATACCGCCCCTCAGCAGCCGGTCTTCGAATCAGCTGCAACATTATACACCACACACCTTTTCGCTCCGGTCGGCGCGCCAAGTCAGCCATCCAAGCAGGACAAGGGCAAGGGCAAGCACAGCTCAGACGAAGAGGAGATCGTCTTCCGTCCGCGGAAATACCAACAGCCACGTCCCATCCACGTCGAGGTTCCACCCGTCCCCTCTGCTGCGCTACCTCATGTCGCCCCACCGGCCATCGCTAAAGCGGCCTATCCTCAGAAAGCAGAAAAGCAGTCCGCCCTTCCTCCTTCTCAGGCCCCTATACACGCCTTCGTCGATCCCCGCGCTCAAAAGCCCGTTCTCCCCCGGAAGGATAAGAAGGCGGCTAAGAAGGAGAAAAAGAAGAACAGGGGCAAGGGTGGGAAGAGCAACAAACTGGCCAGGGACGACTTTGGGGTCGAGGATGATATTGAGTGGGGAAGCGACGGGCCGCCGAAGCGGATCTTGCGGATTGAGGGGGTGGAGGAGGAGCTTCAGGTCATCCACCGGGGATGGTCAAAGAAGGATGTGGATATGGATATCCTGAGGGATTATCTTGAGGGAACCATGCTAGGCGCGCAGCACGAGAACGACACCGATAGCGAGGAGGAGGAGCGGATGCTAGGTACGGAGGACAAGGGGAAGGCCAAGACTGTGGACAAGGCTGTGGAGCCGGAGGTGAAGAAGGGAAAAGGCAAGGCTGTGGGGCCCGAGAAGAAGAAGGGGAAGAGCAAGGAGGAGGAAGATCTGCGGAAAGGCAGGGAGAGGGAGAAGAACAGGCTGGCGGGCGACTGGACACAGCCCGCTCCGGTGTCCGCCGCGGAGTCGGAAGGCGACGGAGATGAGGGGGACTGGGAGGATGAGGAAGGGGGAGGCGATGATGAAGATGCCGGACAGGACGGACGTGAGGTCATTGGCGATAGCGACATCAATGATGATGGCAGCGATGAGTCGTCTATCGTTGGAGATCTCCAGGCGATCATGGACGCTCTGGACAGCGAGGGTGAGGCGGAGGATGATGATGATATGTTTGGGGGGAAGAATACGTGGACGAGCGAGGATGAGGGAGAGTGGTTTATCAGGAACATGGAGGTGAGTTGAGCTGAGCCACCGGTATTTCATCCATCAACGCACGCAGCTGACGTGTGACAGGAAGCTCTTGGCGGTGGAGGATCTGGTATGTCGTTCGGCACGAGCGGGAAAGGCAAGGGGAAGGGCAAGGCGGCAATCTTCAAGTCTATCGAGGATGGGGACTTTGAGATGGACTTGCCAACAGGTATGCCTTGCGGTCCCGACTTTGGCAGACTGCGCGCTGACGAGCCAGAACCAGTGAAGAAGGGCAAGAAGAAGGCCCAGGGCATCCCCGAAGCTCTTCAGGCGCAATGGGAGGCCGACCGCCAGAAGAAGGCGTCCAAGAAGGAACAGCGCGAGCTCGAACGCCTTATCGCCGAGATCGAAGGCACGAAATCCAGCAAGAAAAAGGCCAAGGGCTCGTCCAAGGCCCAGCAGGCGGCACTGGCGCATCTCATCCCGGCATCCGCTTCGGAAGTGGCCGACATGTTTGACATTGACTCGGACGATGAGCGGGCGCAGCATATCCGCGGCGTCGGCAAGATGCGCAAGATGATGAACTTGCCATCGGGGCCTGGGCAAGGTGGGGTCGGGGAGATTGAGATCATGGTGGAGCGTGTACGGGAGTTTATCAGGGATCCGGGGCAGACGACCATGTCGCTGCATCCGATGGAGAAGGAGGGGCGGCAGAAGATGCACATCTTGGCGGAGTGCTTTGGGATGAAGAGTAGCTCGAAGGGGAAGGGCAAGGCAAGGTTTACGTGAGTTGATTACTCCTGGACAAGTGATGTCTCAGCTGACCCAGCAGCATCTTCATCAAGACCTCTCGGACAGGCTTACACGTCGACGAGTCAACGCTCGAACGCCTCATTTCCGCCTCTTCTCACTCTGGCGGACACTTCTACAAGGCGTTGTACAGCAAGTACGGTAAGATCGGCGGCGGCGGAGGTGGCGGCGGCGGCAAAGACAAATTCAAGAAGGGTCCAGGCGACCGGGGCACCTCGGGGCGAGCCAAGGAGGGAGATTTGGTTGGAGAGGGAGCGGACAGGATCGGCGTGGAAAATATGGGCCACAAGTTGCTCAGTATGATGGGGTGAGTTCCTCCTGCTGTGCCGTTACATGAACGCAAGCTCATCGTACAGCTGGGCGGAAGGTGGCCGGATCGGTCGATCAGATGGTGGATTGTCCAACCCGTGAGTTTGGTCAGACTGGCTGTGATTGAGGCAAGCTGATCACGATAGTATCGTTGCCGTCGTTAAGAATACGAAGAGCGGATTGGGCGCTTGATCAGACCATTTTGACAGAGCGCAGATCAGGAGCAGCACATGTCTTGGAGAGACAACATGTAGCATTATGGATCTTCAATCTGGCATATCGTATCATCACAGATAGAAGCCTCGCGCTTTTGAGATACATGCAATGATTGTGTCTAGGTCTCTGGTTTCTCCTCGTCTCTATCTCTAACTAATCTATGGAAACCTTGACTTGTCTTTTGGATGTTCGCCTCTTCTCCACAGATATGTGCACTACACCCTCTCATACTCCCCTTCCTTCTCTGCTAATCCCTGACTCACTCTCGCCACCACCATTCCATGCAGCTCTGCCATTGGCATCCAGCGCGCAAAGTCCCCAGCCAGCGTCTCACGCAAGAGCTCAGCCTCCTCTGCAGCCATACGAGAAGCATCGAATTGACCTATAGACTGCAGTCTGTCCGATTCTTTGTGCAGTAATCGAGCCACTAGCGAGATGTTGATGGCTACCAGCATATCTGATCTTGTCAGCTGAGGCCCCAAAGGGAGACTGAGTAAACTTACCAACGTGAACCCAAGTCTCTGGCTGCATGTACTGAACAAGCTTGACCAAGCCCCTCGCGCTTGCTATCGCCCGATGATATGTCGACCCGTCGTAGTTTGCCATTTCGCGCCAAGTGAGCATTTCCGCTGTGAGCAGATTTGCATGAAGGAGGATATACCATGGGTCGGCGAGGGCGTAGTACGCGCCGTCGTCTCCGCTTGAGGATGAGCCTGTCCGGGGTCGAGGGGGCGGTAATTGTAGGTCCAAGGGAAGGCGTGCACGGAAGCGTTCTAGGGCGGCCTGGGCGCGATGGATCTCGTGGAGTGGGGGAATGTGGTCTGGGAGCATGCGACCGTCCTGAAGTAGACGAGGGATAGAAGCTTCGGGATGATCGTTCAGCCTGGACAGTCAGCGCTACTCTGGTACGTGGAAGACTTGTGGCTACTTACCGGTTCGCGCGGTTGAGCAGACACATGCTCTTCATGCTCCAAACGTAAGGCGAATCTGCGAACGGGCTGGAGTGCAGCTGACTACTCTCATCGAATAGGTCTCGGTTACCGTAGCGACGATTGATCTGAGCCAGTGGTTTCATCTATCTCATCAGCGCAATTGTTCTGGTACCACTTCCGACTTACCTCGACCCCTCCTCCACCCCATGGCCACTCCGTCGTACACTCCTCGTCCTCCAGTCCTACAGACCATCCCCATCCTATCCCCGCTGACCAGTCCTGCGCCTTGGCCGCCCAGAATGTCATCACCCGCTCTGCCAAGTCGATCTCGTCCCTCGGCGGCGGAACAATGAGCGGCCGCATCCTCAGCGGAGGCACCGGCTGCCGAAGCGCCGTCTGCGCGTGGTGATGCAGGTAGAATTTGGTACTGCCATATGGCCGGGGCGCATACTCGGTCGGCGGATACTCGCCGGTCGCCGAGGGATAGTCCGGCAGCGTGATGTTGCCTGTAAGCCGATGGAGACCGCATGAGATGACGAGGCGAGCGACGGGGACGTTCCAACCCTCGATGAAGCGGCCGAGTGCGTAGAGGTACCGAGTGATGCCGACAGCGGCGCGGACAAGGTCGAAAGGCCGGTCGACGCGCCGGATCCCATTGTCTAGCTCAACGCGCGCCCGCTCCATGTACGCGAGGCTGTTTCCCCTGACTTGAGAAAGGAGCCACGCCTTGTCCACATCGGGCGATAGCAGGGACATGCCTGGATTGAAGCCGGGTATGCCAGCGGATGCTGTGGGGTACCTCGGCAGCGGTATGTCGTTTTCGAGGATGCGCACCGCCTGTGCAAAGAGGATGTAGAGGAGCGCGGGATGAGGCCGCAAGGGATTGTTGGTGCTCTGATCGAGAAGCGTGAGGAAGCGCTGAGGATGAAGAGGTATGGCGAGAAAGGATGTGTAGGGCAGGACGAGCCGGATGAGGTGAGTCTCCAGGATGGAGTGAGGCTGGACGTCGGTGATGACGGTAGGGAGTAGCAGGGGTATCCCCGGAGACGATACGTTTCTTTGGGAGGGGAAGAATGGAGCGAATTGCTGCTGCTGGTATGGATTGCTGGTGAATGAGGAAGACGTGGACCGGGTAGTGGAAATGGCAGAGACGGGCGGTGTCTGGCTGTGACTGGCGGATCGGCCTATACTGCCAAACGGCGGTGGAGCATTGATTGAGGTGGACGGGGAGGACGGATTGGCAGCGGCGGAGGGATTAGTAGGCGGGTCGAGCTGGGAAGGGGGCAGGTGTTGTCCGCGGGACGTGATGAGCGCTTCCAGCTCGACTAGGGCGGTCAGTTGAAGGTCATCACAGCGGAATGAGACAGTCTCACCAACGCGCTCCTCCATGAGCACATGCCGAGGCTTGCGTCGCGTCGGTTCCTCATAGCGGCAGTCTATAACGGCCTTCTTGCATGTTGCGCATGGTCGGTCGCCAGAGCATTTCCTAATCTATCAGTCATCGGCATTCCTTGTCTCGGCATCTTCATGGCCATGATCCATAGATCAGGTTCGGAAGCTCACAGCTTGCGGTTCCTGCCAGGTCAGCTAATGAACCACAATGATACTCTAGTGGGACTTGCCTACATGCCACACATGCTCTGCCCCTCGGAAGAGTCACCCTGCCTTTCTTTCTCGTTCCAGTCTCCCCGTCCCCAGCGCCCGCGGCGGATGAGCGCTTGGTCTCGACGCCTTCCATCTCGTCCATCTCCTCGTCCCCATCGTCCTCTCCGTCGCCTTCCAATAGCCCAGCATCGTGGCCGGACGACGAACCGGGAACGGAGGAATGGATCGAAAGCTGCAGAGCTCCCGTAGCCGATTGAGAAGTGGAATGAGACCAAGCGAAGGGCGAATCATTGATCGGCGGTCTCTGAGCGATGGAAGAAGGGTCGCTTTGGGGAGGTGTGGAGCCAGAAGCGCCGAACGAGGCGGGGCCGTCGCTCAGGGCGGGGCGAGAAGAGAAGCTGGGCGACGCCTGTTGTCCGGTCGATACCGAGGGATACCGAGGGGTGGATTGCGGGTCCATCATTGGCAGACGTGACCGACGAGAGCGAAGAGGACAAAAGCGAGGTGATGGTCATGAACGTCCAGACCCCTCTTATACCCTCTGAACTTGTGGCCGAGAGGTGAGCAGACTTTCTGGATACCGTTTAGCCGCTAGAGGCGGTGGTGCCTTTGGGTTGGGTAATCGTCCTTTCCCTTTACCCGCCTCGCGCTGCTCCTTGCGGCTTCTTCAGCCACACAGACGACACACTCGTCAGAGCTCGGACTCGCCGCTTCTCGAGCTCAGGGCGATCATCAACCGGGGACCTCCTTTGACTGAAAAAAATATCAGCTGTTGCTATCCAACTGTCGCTGAGATGATGCAGCGAGAATACAGCGGACTTACTCCTGCGCACCTGGCAGCTACTGACTGGCTGCTCCTCTGACCCTCCAAAATGTGCGATGCAGGACCAGATTTTGCCGATGGCCCTAGGCCCCAACGACTGCGAGAGCAGCAGCAGTAGCGCGAGTGGAGGCTGTTGACTTCCAGGGGTGAGAACAGGGCGTAGACAGGCACGGCGTGTGTGTGTGTGCGTGTCTGTCGGACTTTTGTACCAGGCACCGGCTTGAGGGCGATTGCGGAGTGATCGAGGGGTAGGTTTGACCGGGGGCGGTTTGAGCGGAAATCTGAAACGGGGTCTCGGTTGTATAGTGATGCGATGGAAAAGAACGGTGGGTCGATGGGAATGTATGGAGATGAGGCTGCACGAGAGCGTTCTCTATGATCTCGGGTTATTGATCAGGGTAGTGTGCTTCCTCGCCGGGAAGCGAAGAAGCTGAGGGAGCAGATGATGGATTGGATTTGTCAAGGCTGACTCTCCAAATCCAGCGTAGATCTTTCGACAGAAGCAAGCTTTCTGAGCCAAGTCCACTCGACGTCACTGATCCAGATCCAGTGGCAGCGGCGTCCTTGAGGCGGTCACTCGGCAGGTCGTCCGACATTCGCGGACCAGGCACCCGTCGCGGTGTTAGACTGTACTGTTTCTTCGGTGCTTTTGGGTGACATGCTAGGTGACATGCTCGTCTCTGACGCTCATTCGGGTTCTATTCGCTTCATCTTCGCTGTGTGAACTTAGCAGCTGAGAGGGGCCGGAAGGAGCTGCGGACCGCTGAGACAGGCTGACCTGAGCGAACACGGGAGGGTGAAGAGGTGGAGGGCGTCGCAACTTATTCGGCCTTATTCGGCGATCGAGATCTACTCGGCCTCGTGGGTGACGTACAGGGCAGCAGATCTGCTTGTACGTCCGATCGACTCTGACTTTGCCGCCGGTCTCTCCACGCACATAGCCAAGCCTGTGTGCGTCCCTGCTGACTGTATGTGGTGAGCAGCGCACTTGCGGGCGTATATGGAGTCAGCGGGCTGTCAGCGGTCGATTAAGACCCGCAGTACAAAATCTTCCTCCTGTAGCCATATCGTGGTGGAGTTTAAAGGCTCCTGAAGCTGCTCCTGAGACATGCCGGGAGCAAGCCGGAAGTGTAAATGCTACCGCGGTAGCCGATTGCTGCCGATCGGTCTGACCGGGCCGGTGGCACTGGACACGATATTCTGACTCCAGCCAGAGTTAGCATGCTCCTGCTCATCTTGGTGGTGCAATAACGGTGCGTGATCGATGGTTATCAGAATTCCTGAGTATCTTAGACGCTGATGGATGGATCCGCCCTCCACTGCGAAGCTCGAGGTGGCCGGAAGGTTGTACCAGTTGGCGCCATTCGTTTGGTTCCCTGCTCAAACGACCACATGTCCCGTCATATTCGATGAGAACGCCAAGGGACTGCACGGGAATAAGCCGAGCTAGCATGCTATTTCATTCTTTGGGCTACAAGGGGGACTCCTTTCTCGCTTCCTCCTCGCTTACCCCACACTCGTCCCCTTCCTACCCTCATCGACCAGACCAATCAAAATCGTTCAGAAAAGCAAAGAGAGAAAAGAGAAGGGCGCAGCTATCTGTACAGGTAGAAATAGAAGGATATTTGATCTCGGAAGCATGAAATTCGTTGCGAATAAGGATGAGGAAGGAGGGGGAAGGGTAGCACGCTACCGGCTGAAGATCGACTGCGTCTCGCTCGGCGCGCTGGTACCCTGCTTGTTGGGGTTCATCATCTTGGCGATGGACGCGAGGAGGTCGCCCCGACGGAGAGGCTTGGTGACGTAGTCGTCCATACTGCGATATCAGCCTTGCTCAATGCGCGCATCGCGAATGGAAGACTTACCCTGCTTCCAAGCATCTCTCCTTGTCGCCAATCATAGCATGAGCCGTGAGAGCGATGATAGGCGTCCGCGCAAGCGACTCCGCGGCCTCGTAATCTCGTATCCGGCCAGTAGCCTCCATCCCGCCCATGACCGGCATAGACACGTCCATCTAGCTCGTCAGTATAATGACTTGAATCAAACAAAGGTCAAACTCACCAGGATGAGGTCGAATGGTGTTGAGGCAGTTTGTCGGCGTCTAGGGATATCAGCTCTTTCTCCCTCATGTCCCATATTCTCAGCTCACCTGTACATCTCGAGCGCGATCTCTCCGTTATCCGCCACCTCGATATTGTGTCCTGCCACCTCCAAAAGCTTGACCGCCAACTTCTGGTTCACCAGATTGTCCTCCGCGAGCAGGATACTCAGTATCGTGTCTTTGATTGAATCGCCCGGAGACATCTGATGCGATTCAAGCGCCGGTACGATCGCGTTTGACAGCTCGACAAGGGAGAGAGGGGTAGTGTAGTAGGTGTTGATGCCCATTTCGAGACACTCTTTGACCGGGATGGGGGAGAGCATCTGCTCGTCGGCAGCGGGAAGGTTGAGGCGTTTCCGAAGTGAGCGGGGGAGGTCGACGAAGGATGGATTGAGCGGTCCGACCGGCCGGTTGCTCTGTCCTAGTCAGCTCTGCCCAATGATATGTCCAGGGAAGTGAACTCACGGGGGCAAGCAGGACAATCGGAATCGCCCTCAGATGTTCCACCGCTCTGAGCTTCTCCGCCGCACTCAGACTGTCCACAATCATTGTATCCACCGCCGGCGCCGTCTGTTGGTTCATAATCACCTCCTCGACCGAGCCCACCACCACCGGCTTCAGCCCCAGCTTGATCAACATGTCCACCACGCCCGTCTCATCCTTCAGTGTATCGATATACAGGATGTAATGGCCCAGCCATGGCGCCAGGCGCTCAATCGTCTGCTCGTCGGTAGGTGTCCGCTTTTCGGCCGTGGTCGTGAAGTAGAACCGAGATCCTTGGCCGTATTCCGATTCGACCCAAAGGTTGCCCGTCATGAGGTTGACGAGCCGTTTTGAGATGGTCAGGCCGAGACCCGTTCCGCCGTACTTGCGTGTGGTCGACCCGTCTGCCTGCGCAAATGTATCAAAGATGACATCGAGCTTGTCTGGCTCGATTCCGATTCCAGTGTCCGCGACGCAGAATTCGATGTCGACCGACTTGTCGTCGTTGTTCTTGACACGACAAGAGAGCGCGACCTGGCCCCGAGATGTGAATTTGACAGCGTTCCCGATGAGATTGGTAATGACCTGACGAAGTCGAAGGGGGTCACCGATGAGCTGATCCGGGGTGGAGGGGTCGATATCGAAGATGAGGTCGAGCTTGTTCTGGGACGCCTTGACGCAGAGCGTCTTGAGTACCGAGAAGACGGCTAGACGGAGAGAGAAGGGGATCTGCTCCATTGTCATGCGACCGGCCTCGACTGCGGAGTCAGCTTAGGCCTGGTGTTTCGTTAAGAGGAATTGATAAACTTACTCTTGGAGATATCCAGAATATCGTCGATGATGGTCAACAAGGAGGAAGCCAAGCTCGACACGATCATCAAGTTCTCCCGTTGTTGACGAGTCAATTGCGACTCAAGCGTCAAGACCGTCATGCCGATGATCCCATTCATGGGGGTTCTGATCATCAGCCCGATGCCATCTCCCTGATCTGCAAACTCACCTGATCTCGTGACTCATATTGGCCAAGAATTCACTCTTACTCTTGTTGGCGATCTCAGCCTCCGTCCGCGCCTTGGTGTTCTTCTCGATCGACTCGCGAAGATTGTACACCATCCGGTTGATGGTCGTCTTGAGCGAATCCATCTCGCCGGACGCTTCGACCGTGATGAAGCGAGTAAAGTCACCGTCGGTGGCGGCCGCCGAGATCTGGGCGAAAGCGCGTACTTGGGACGTGAGGTTGGAGGCCATGATGTTGACATTGGACCTGAGGTGTCAGCTCTGCTGCGTCTCGCGTGGCAAGAGAAACTGACGTGATCTCTCGCCAACTACCCTCGACGTTCCCGACCTCGGCCTGCACACCGAGCTTTCCCTCTGTCCCTACTTCCCTCGCCACTCGAGTCACTTCGGCATCAAAGATAGCAAGCTGGTCAATCATCCTGTTGATGGTGTTGACCAAGTCGAGCACCTCTCCTGACGATTTGACACCGACGACTTTCTGGGTGAGATCTCCTCGAGCAACGGCAGTCTACATTATCAGCGATGACGAAGAGCTAGCAGCTCATCTGACTCACCGTGGCATGAGCAATAGTCCTGACTTGCTCAGTCAAATTACTGGCCATGATGTTGACGCTCTCGGTCAGGTCCTTCCATGTGCCCGCTACTCCAGGTACGGAGGCCTGTCCACCGAGCTTTCCGTCCGTTCCGACTTCCCGGGCGACACTGCCCTGGTCAGCTCCTGTTCCAGGCGAGTTTCTAGGCGTAGCTCACCGAGTAACCTCAGACGAGAAGCTCCTCAGACTATCCACCATCCCGTTGACAGTCTGCTTCATATCCAGAATCTCTCCGAACGCCTCGACGTGGATCTTCTTGGACAGATCTCCTTCTGCGACGGCCGTTGTGACTTCTGCGAGGGACCGGACCTGGGTGGTGAGGTTGGATGCCTAAGAAGATCAGATGACTTGCTCCGATTCTCGGTGCGACACAACTCACCATCAAGTTCACGGAAGACGTAAGCGTCAACCATGTCCCCTCGACATTCGGGACTGCTGCTTGTCCACCCAGCTTCCCTTCGGTTCCGACCTCAAGGGACACTCGGGTGACCTCGGCAGCGAAGACAGTGAGTTGGGCAACCTTGCGATCAGCCAAAATATACGGCATGTCTCCAGACCTATACTGACCATGTCGTTGACTGTGATCTTCAGATCGAGGATCTCGCCCTGAGCATCCGCGTCGACAGTCCTAGTCAGGTCTCCGCGAGCAACAGACTTGGTCTGCAATGTCAGCGTCTTGTCCTCAACATCGTACCGGCGGACATACCACTTCAGCGATCTCTCGCACTTGGTCCGTGAGATTCCTAGCCATTTTCTAACGATCAGCTCATCCTTGCGCCCAAAACTCACGTTGACATTGGTCGTCAGGTCGTCCCAGACACCTTCGACCCCTTCGACTCTAGCCTGTCCTCCCAAAATACCCTGTGTCCCTACTTCCAGCGCGACTCGGGTGACTTCGTTCGCGAAGACCGTCAGTTGCCGGACCATCGAGTTGACAGTCTGCACACGTCAGCTCTTGCTCTTCCGACCTACAAAGCAAATCCGGCTGGCAGCTCACATTCTTCAACACGGCCATCTCGCCCTCTGCTTCAATCTCGATCATCTTGGACAGATCTCCTCGAGCGACAGCGGTAGTGACCGAACCGATAGACCTGACTTGGGTGGTAAGAGATTCACACATCCTGTTGACCTTAATCTGTCAGTCTTATCGCTTAGGGTCTGGATGGAAGAAACCTACGTTGACGGTCATCTGCTTCCAGACACCCTCCACGTCGGGCACGTTCGCCTGACCACCCAGCTTGCCTTGAGATCCGACTTCGAGCGAGACTCGGGATACTTCATCCGCCAAAGTTCTCAGTGACATCACCTAATTTATCAGCTCAACTCCTGCAAGTCTGACTATAATGAGGAGGAGGGACAGCTCACCATCTCGTTGACCGTAGTCTTGAGCTCAGCGATCTCTCCTGACGCCTCGACATCGATAGTCTCGGACAAATCTCCCCTAGCAACAGCCTAGCAATTAGCTCAATGTGCCAAGTACTGGGTGAGTGCAGAACTCACCTTGGTGACCTTGGCGATACTCCGGACTTGCGTGGTAAGATTCGCAGCGAGCGTGTTCACCACCGTCGTGAGACCCCTCCATGTTCCCTCGACTCCCTCAACCACCGCCTGTCCGCCCAGCTTCCCTTGCGTTCCGACCTCCAGACTGACCCGCTCCACCTCGACCGCAAAGGTCGCTAGGCGGTCCACCATTGAGTTGATGATGTCTTTGAGCTCCGTCATCGCTTGTCCTTCGACGGGCACGACGATCTTTTGGGTCAAGTCTCCGCTGGCGACAGCCTGGTCATGTCAGCTACGCGTCACAATCGACCGTTCAAATCACGTTAGCTCACCTTGCAGACCCTCGCAATATCCGCAATCTGAGCCTTCAACAACTCCAATTCCCTCTCGGCGCTCATGCCCGCACCGCCCATGTTGTATGACGACGCGCTCGACAGCGCACTGGGCGGTGATCGTGCCGCCCCGACATCGGCCCCGATAGTCAGATCCGCCATGCGCCGCTCCTTTGAGCCCATCTCCGGCCTGGGAGTGACATCGCGTCGGGGATCATGACTGCACGTTGGGCATACGAGCGGGTCCGCCTGACCCGCAGGGGGTACCCATTCTGGCGTGAGCAGGCTCGTAGACGCAGGCGAGGGAGAAGGTTGACGGAGCAGCCCGGGCGTATCAGACGATGGTGGCGGTGCCGCATGTGGCGTCTCCGCCTGGGCTAGCCGTTCTGCCAAAGCGAGAACGCCGCGCTCGATCGCTTCTTCCGCTGTGGTCTTGGTGCCGGTATATGGTTGGAGGGGGAAAGATTGAGGTGTGGGACTTGTGGGGAAGGGGTACGAAGGGGAGGGGGCTTCGGAGATGATGGACATCAGACCGAGAAGATGGGCTTGGAAACCCGAGGGAGCCCCGCCAGGGGGCAGAGGCGGTTGACCGAGAACGGCCATTTTGGGCGCAGTGGTTCTGGGCGAGGTCGGTTGAGAAATAAACCCGTGGAGGTGTCCAGTGGGGAGGATAATGTTAAGAGGTCGAATTTGCGGGCGCGCTACGGTGTCAGTCGTAGCTCGCTTAGGGGCGCCATGACGATCGGACATGTCGAAAGGAAGAGGCAAAGTGGTCAAGAAAGATAATAGGGAAAGAGTCACTCGATGCCCATCTCAAGCATTATGAGCACTTTGACGCATCCCGTCAACGCCTTCCAAGCCGAACAGCCCTCGCCCGTGTGCGCATCCCTAAACAATAGCCATAGTGATGAATAGATCGCAGCGTCAATGTCCAGATCATTGGGGCCGCGTGACCCGGATCAAATGACGCATTTGTCTCACTCCTGCAAGTTTCCTCACGCTGTTCCGCTCTCCAGCAACCCGCCCCGCTGGATATGGTCTGAATCTCAGACGGAATAGCAGATAGAGGAGACTCAGGAACGGAACAGCGCTATATCGACTCACCCGTCAAGCTGTGTCCAGCGTCGCGCCGAAGGGGTCCCGCCGTGTTGACCGTGTCTGGCTGGGCTGTTGGAAGATTGCAAGCTGTAGATACGTGTCGAGCGCGCGGCGATCGTGTATGAACGCGTTTGACGGTCGAATGAGCGAGGCAGATATGCTACCGATGATGTCGAGGCCGACGGAGGTTTTGATACAGGGAAAGGACCCTAGCGTCGGTCGGCGCTTGGAGTTCGCCCGCTTGTCCTTGTGCTTTCGAGCCTTTTGCTGCGCAGGTATGGTTTCGCGCAAAGTCAAGCGTGGAATCAGCCAGCAGTACTTTACGGGCGAGGATGTACGCCGAGCTGTGCAGTGTCTCTAGTCTTAGTGAAAGCTCTGACAGGGCCTACCCCCTCGATAAGCTCCGAGGCTAAAGGACGCGTTCGTGCGGTCATCGCCGCTCATCCACATTCCTCACGATCGAGGGCGTTCATGCTTTTTATCCTCGACGTTTGTAGTGGGCCTTCCTCCGCCCTCCATGCATACCGCATCCAGCGGCCCGGATCAGCAAGACATCGTCAAGATGTGCTCCCGAGGATGGACGGATGCCAATACGCAAGCTGATTTACGATGGGCTGCAGTTGAATCGATGATTGCTAGGGCCGTCAGCCTAAAAAGTGCCGTAAAGGTGGCATGCTTCGTGTTGTTTCGCCACGTTTCAGATAAAGCCGGTGACTGGCGAGGTCCGGCTTATCAGATTAGCGACTGTATTAGGATGACAGTGTGTAGCGCGCGGCAGAGGCTGGTCAACCCAGGTACAGAGGCTCTTATGGCGTGCTCATACATGTACGAAGTAACGAAGAGCAGGCATGACGCTACACTGCGACTTGGCCGGGGCCCTCGAGGGGATGAAAGGAAGTGGCGCATGGCCATGTTGCCACACTGGATGATGAGATGGACTTGACGCTCGCACAAAAGAGCTGAGCGGCGAGCCTCCCGCTCGGCTCTACCGGAAGGCAGATGACGTGCTCGGTAGGCACCTGCTGGAGGAGGGCGAGATGGACGTCCTCGAGATGTAAAAGCTCCGGTTAGATCTCTCGACCGTCACCGAGCAGAGATTCAGCTGACGTCTTTCACTTCTACAATAAACTGTCAGCGTTCGGACTTCCTCATACAGTCTAGATCCTTGCCCCAAACAGTCCCTCGCCCGTCTCATATCCTGCAAGATGCCTCACATGCCAGACCTCCCGCCTCCGGATCAAGAAGCCCTGCAGCCAGATTCCTCCTCTACCAGTGCGGCCTCGACCATCAACGATGAGTCTCAAACCCAGACCGACAGACTTGGCAGCCGTACTGAAGGGATCACCAGTCTCACAACGGCGCCACAAGGTAGGGTCATTGTCCGGTGCTTAAAGTCATCTGCCAGAGACTAACATGGCAGATCGCGAAGCCGGCAGCGCGTCGGGCAACGAGACGCCCTCGTCGACTGCCAGAACTGTTTCTGTGACGGAAGCCCAAGAGACGAATCCCACATCTGTGGAAGGGTACGAGCTTCGTACCGCTCAGATTCCCAGAATGAAGATGCTTCCCGAACAGGAAGATCAGGAAGACGCTGAACTCCCGTGGACGGTTGACTTTCGGCACGACTCGCGCTCGAATAATGCTGACGAGGATTGAAGGATGAGGATCGTGGGTCTCCGCACGCATGCATAGACGTGACTTCGCAGCGCCTCGGCCGGAGCGGTCTGACTACCCCTGCTTATTTATACTGCCTGTGACCGATCACGGTCCATCACCTCCAATCACATCCCGCTGCTCGTCCCCATTCTCCGACCCGCCAGCCTCACCCTCCCGCTCCGCCTTGATCGCCTGCTCGAAGATCTCTACCGCCCGTCCCACATCCTCAAACGTATTGTAGAGCACCACCGGACTCAGCCTGATCACGTTCGGCCTCCGCTCATCCCCTACCAGCCCCTTCTTCAGACACCTCCCAAATACCCTCGGCATCACCTCTTCTCCGCCCGTAATAAACACGCTGAGCTGGGTACCGCGCCATGGCTGCTCAGGAGTGAGAATGGTGAAGCCGACATCTTTCGTAGTCCTTGAGCTTTCGGAGAGGGGAACATAGTACTCGGACGAGCGGAGGAGTGTCTCGAGCGTCGAGGTGAGGCGTATGGCTTTCTCGCGCATGGCAGAGAAGCCGACTTTGCCGATGAGCTCCAAAGTGGCGAGAAGGGGGATGGAGGAGAGAACGGGGGTGCAGGAGTGTTGATAGCCTTTGGCGCCCGGTGTAGGGCGGAACTCGGGTTCCATCTTGAACCGAGTTGCGGCATCGTTGCCCCACCAACCAGCCAGTCTGCGCATTCAGCTTTGTCGCAAGTACGCATGCGGATGAGGTGTCTCCGAATGGAGGTGTTTAGTCTCGCATCCATACCCTACTTCATGGAGAGATAGGGAGGCAAAAGAAAGGGGCAGCACCAAAGAGATCTCTCCATTCCATTACCCTCTCGGAGATGCAGTGGTCTGCGGTCGAGACTAGAGGTGTTGACTCACCGCTTTCCTTTATCATCCAGACCTGACCTGACAAACATTCCTCCGATAGCTGACGGGCCAGCATTCAGGTACCTGGGTCCATCAGCTCCGACCCTAGAGAGCCACTGAGACTCACTTGTAGGTACACCAAACCGCAAAGTCAACGTTCCATTCGTCGAGCTTGCAGTCCACATTTCCGATACCGTGCGCAAGATCCAGTCCGATCAGGGCACCGATCTCGTGCGACTTTTTGGCGAGCGGAGCGATATCAAAGAGCTGGCCTGTATAATACTGAACAAGAGGCAGCCAGACGATGGCAATCTGTGAAGATCAGCTTGGACGACTCCCAATGTATATGACAGACGTACAGTATCCTTATTCTCCTCGATGACCTTTAGGATATCCTCGGTGCATAGTGTCTCCTCCCCTTCTCTTGGCTTGAGGGGGATGATAGCTTCCTCGATCTGCTCGGGGGAGAGAACTGCATCATGTAGTCGAGGATGAGAGTGAACCGCGTACTGCCTTGTTAGCTTGTATAGTCAATGAGACTGTAATAGCCTACCCAGTCGCTGGGGAAACTGCCCTGCTCGATGACGATCTTCCACCTCTTCGTTGTCGGGCGGTAGAAGCTCGTAAACAAGTTGTGCATGTTGCTCGTGAGCGTCGAGGTGTGTGCTACCTCCTCTTCAGTTGCGCCGACGAGCTTGGCGAGATGAGGGGTGAGTGGGCGGTCCACATGCTTCCAAGGGCGAGAGTACGGGTGAGAGAAATGACCAGTGACAGAGCTTTGATCAGCGGGAACGAGATGGCAGCCTACCTAGTCGACCACACTTCCAGCTCCTCCATGATATGCTGCCGAGCCTTCTTGTTCAGCAAGCCGAGCGAGTTGCCACAAAAGTAGATCGCCTCGCCATCTGCTCGTCTCAGCTATCAATTCTATATTATCCAGGTCGAACTCACCGCCGTCTCCTCCGCACGCCTTGACTGATGGGATCTCGAATTCTCCTCGGGTCCAGTTCAATCTGTCCTCCTCATCCATCTTCTTGAGCGCCTCCATGGTGGGGCGAGAGTCGGACTCCATGGTGGGGCGAGAGTCGGACATGCAGGCAGTAGGATATAGTATGAAGGCGAAAGAGAGCGGATCGCTATCGATGCCGCCTCCACCTTTTGGTCGTGCCTGACGCACGGAAGAATGCCGTCATCCGGAATCAAACAGCCTCCTTACCCCGCACTCTTACCCCACACAACAAAGAGACCCCTCGAGGCGCCTTTTGTTCTCGTCCGCTTGCATCTTGCAGCACAAAAGGGGTATAGAGTATGAACAGATGCAGCAAGAACCGGCCGGTATATATAGGCTGAGGGGCTTGCTGAGCATTCATACCTTCTCACTTCTTTCTGACCGGAAATTTACCCCACTCGACTGTCAAGAACGATCTACCGGTGACAGCTCAACATGCTCGCTCGCATCGTCTTCTTCGCCCTGGCCGTCACCGCGCCACTCGTCTCAGCATCAGCGGCATCTCAATTCAACCTGAATGTAGACTACAACCCATCATGTGAGCTCATGTTCCGTATGACTGGACTTGCGGACCAGCTGACACCTCCTCAGTGTGCTGGTTGAAATGCCATGCCGCCACCATCGCGACCGTGCACAATCTCGATGACGATCCTCTGGGAAACAATGAAGCCTTAGGAGCCAACTGCGCAGATGTTGTGAGTCGTGTATCTGTTGGCGGCCCAGTGGATCGACGAGCATTTACTGATGCTTCAGCCATACATCACGACCATGCCCATCTGCCTCATCACCGCTTGCGAGTCGGCGCCGGACGTGGCGTATGCCGTGGAGTTTGGACAGAGATGGTGTGCTAAGGCGGGAGTGGACGTCAGCAATACCCTGGTCCTACCTGCGGACTATACGGAGGGTGTTGCGAAGGAGTACTTTCAGTGAGTCCTATGGCTGCGTTGAACCAGCTTGCCTGTCATACCGGGCCTCCCATGGACTGATACTAACTTCAACAGATCACAAGCTTATCTGAGCTCCGCTGCCGCCTCCTTCTGCCCCGCTACCATGGTCGTCGCAGCTGTAGCTCTGTCTTTCGGACCGCTCTTCGCCTGTGCCCTTTGAGCAAGCCACTCTTCGCTGTCGCTGTCACTTTCGCTTCGCTGTATATTCTCGTCATATTTGGTATATGTATAGTAGTACATGCTCTTGTCCTCCTTACTGGATACAGCATACCGGGTTCTCCTCCGGATGGACCGTAGGCGGCGGGTCTTCCTTCTTGACCACTGACACCTATCAAGTCAGCTCATTGTCAACAGCAATCAGCAGTCCAAGCTCACTGGCAAGAGAAAGCCGCCAGGTACCTTGGTGCCCGTCTGCGATGTGTCAGCTGTGGTACTGGTGACTGACGAGCTGCATAAGACTCACCGGGAAGTGCAGGCCAAAGTCAACGGTCGCTTGCATTGCAAAGCTGCAGCCCTGCGGGAGGAGTGTGCCGGCGGGCAGACTGCTTGATCAGTATGCTAGGCTGCTGGCGTCGAGGTGTTGAGGTTTTCGGAAGGCGGTGTAGAGGGAAGAGAGCGCAGGGCAATGAGGACTTACAAGACTCCCTCTGTTCTGGGATATCGTCAGTGTCAGTTCCAGGCGGTATACAACGCTTTAGGGAAAGATGGTATAATGACATACAATGTGTGCTGTACAGGTCAGCAGATACCCAATGGGCGGGCTAACAGGTTGAGCAGGCACCCTAGACTCACATAGGCTCCGAATCTCTTGACCTGACCAACAAGTCAGCTCAATCCGCATATCAAGAGAGCAGGTTGAGAGCTCACGTAGCCAGGAATCTCATCCTCTTTTTGCTGAGGCTGGTCAGCTTCTCTCCTCGCACCTTGGGCCAACCCAATGATGTCTTACATCGGCAGGCGGAGGTGTGATGACAAAGGGGTTCAGCGGACCGTCTACGCCGTTCCCACCACCACCTCCTTTTGGGGCATACATCCTGCAGAGCTGGGAGCCGGCAATTCGGTAGCTAGTGTAAATACTCGATGCAGATACAGCGATGTAGTCAGCAAGGTCAGTGGTCACATATCAGTAGCTCCAACTCGCCAGTCATGACGGAGGACAATGCAAGCCGGCGGGTATAAGAAAGGGGACAGTACAAAGGATGGTGACAGGCGGCACCGGCGATGACGCCCTACGGAGTCGATGATGTTGCGGGCTGTCGTGGTAGTATGTATGTACAAATGTGCAAATTAGACAAAGCAAGCATGGGTGCGTGACAAGTCATCCTGCAGATCAGTCCAGCCCTCGATGCCATTGAGCAGAGACCACTCACTTATACTGAAGCCCCTACCAACTCGTAGAGACTCTCTTCTCCCCCCCTACTCTTCCTGCAGCCCGCTCAACCGTCCCCTTCTGCCCGCCTGACCCCCGGTGTCCACTGCCTTCCGCTTCCCCTTCCTCGCCTGACTCGCGGAGAGCTGCGAGCGCGCAATCTGGCTCGTGTGCTCCCATCCCTGCTCCTCGGGGACGAAAGCCTGGGCACAGACGTGGTGCACTCGATACGTGCCGTTACCTGCGCTTGTCAGCTCTCCTCGTTGTAGCTAAATCTGAACCATAGCAGATTCGGTCACTCACCAGTAGCCCTTACCTCACACTTCTCCACCCCATCACCCCCCTCAGCCCTCCTCATGCGACATTCCACGCTCAAATCCAACTCCCAGTCCCACTTGCCCTTCCCCCTGATCCTCTCCTCGTCCGGCGCGCCCATCCAGTGGCTCACAAAGCCCAGCCGCTCCCGCAGCGCCGGGAAGAGGAGCGCGTCGACCGATTCGCATTGGTCGATATTAAGCCAACGGAGTCGGGCGGGAGGAGGAGCTCCCGGCATTGGCGTAGATTGAGGAGCGGGAGGGACATTCCCTTCAGATTGGGAGGAGGACTTGGAGGAGGAAGGCGCAAACATGCTTCGCTTTGCGGGGACGGCTTTTGCTGCTGGAAGGGGGATGCATTCGCACCAGGGCAAGCGGGAGTTGACAAAGTCTCGAAGAACGGGAGCGCGCAGCTCAAGGTTGCCCGCGAGGGAGATGGCGATGAGGTTGGGAAGGAGGCGGGGTTCCTTGGTCGCGCCGCTAGCGAGAGCTTCGAAGAAGGGCGCCGACACGCTGCCGTGAGCAAGGTTGAGGAATTCCAGCGAGGTCATCTCCTGCAAGACGTCGATGAAGTCTCCAGGGATGGCCGTCTTGCCCAAGCTGAGGCTGCGCAGCTTGGGAAGCGCCTCCCTGATTGCCGGCGAGCGGAGCATCTCGGTCGCTGACATCCCCGCCCCAGCTACCTCGTACTCGAGGCTGAGCAGGTTTGGCGCGAGGATGGAGGTGGGAAGGAGATCCCTCGAGACATTCCTCCCGTGCTTTGAGTGGGCGACCCACGTCTCGAGAGATTTCAGGCGGAGCTCCTCGCCCTCCTCCACCGGAGCAGGCGCGATGCCGGAAGCCGAAGGCACGGTGGACGAGTACGAGACGACGTTGGTGAGGTGGACCTCCTTGATGGCGGGTGTGTCCTGAAGAAGGGTAAGGAGGTTGCCGGTGGAGGAGTGGATACGCGAGTCGGTGAGGCGCATGAGAGCGAGGTGGGCGAGCTGCTTGGCCGGATTTCGCACCCATAGTGTAGGATTCCCGCGGGGCGGAATCTCAGGGTGACTATAATCTGGACCGTTGAACTCGATGCCAGTGAGATCGACCTCCTCCAGAGACGTGGCTGTCCGGGTGAGGAGGTCGAGATCCAGGCGATCGATTAGAAGGATGTTCCCGGTCTCGACACCGGTCACACGGATGGTGAGGGTCCGGAGGCTCCGCATGGACCGTACGAAGTGTCGGAGTATGATCTTGATCGCCCCCGGAGACGACTCGATCCGCAGATGCTGGATGAACTCCGCATGTGGCTCGACCAGCCTGCCGACCTCGTCCGCCAGGTTGATGTCGAACCGCTCCGTAATCCGGAGCTCCTTCAGCCCCGTAATCTCCTCCCCCTCCCCACTCTCGCACCGATTCAGGTACGTCTTGACCTTGAGCGGAACGTACGACCCCTTGCCCAAGATGAGGCGCTGCCAGACCCCTCGCTGGGGTACCAGCACGTCCCTCCACCGCCTACACACCCCACTCATCCGCGTCGCCAGCCGCGGATCCGTATCCCTCGCCACCTCCACGATCCTGAGGAAGACATCCGGAGCAAGCAGGTGGTCAAAGCGCATGCCCCGCTTGACACGCGTCTCCAACTCGATATCCCGCTCAACCGCGCTCGCCTCCTCCCGGCCTTTGTTGCGCTGGCGTAGGAAGTGCATGTCGTTGCTGACGAGCTCGGAAAGCTTCTTGACCGCAGCACGCTGCTCAGGTGTGGCCTTTTGGAATTTGGGATGACGAGGGATGGTGGCGAGATAGGACATGGCTTGCGAGTATTTTTGTCGTCTGTACAGGATGTCGGCGAGGATATAGTATGGCTGAGCTCATCAGCTCGACTTTTCCGTCCAGCACCTGCGACATGACAGCTCACCTGCCATCGATCCGTCTTCCCAAACCTCTTGACTGCCGACTCTGCCGTCTTGTACGCCGACGCGTACGATGCCTCGCCATCCGGACCCGTCTGGGTCTTAGCGAAATGGGCAGCCTCAGCATTGGAGAGATTGAGATTGGATTTTGCCTTGTATTCCCAGGCTCCAGGTAGCTTGTAGCCGAGTGTGATCGCCTACAAATATCAGCGACTGGACGTGGGGCGTGTGGCCGGTACGTATGGCTCGCCAAAGCACAATCCGGAACGTACCCTATCAAACGAACGGACCGCTTCGCCCCATTGACCGGCCTTGTACTGCGTCACGCCGGTATCATAGTGTTGAGTAGGCATGTCCGTCGCTCGAGAGGAGGACATCTTGCACGGAATTGCTGTACAAAATAGAAGCAAGGATGGCAGCCAGAAAGAAGGCGGAAATATGAGCGCGTCGGGATGTCTCAGGTGGATGTCAATATCCAGCTCCATGGAGCCCCACATTCATCGCTTCCACCCGATACATCGCTTGTCATATGGCAGAGTAAAGGATCTTCTCTCCCTGTCTATGCATAGGCGGTCCCAAATCGCCTCAACGTCCCTTTGCGCCCCCCCCCCTCGAAGCACCTGCGGTATCGAGCGATGTCTACTGGATCAGTCACTGAGCGGTTATTCCTGGGGCGTTCCAGTAGAAAGCTTACCGAGACGACGCCCTGACCCAGTCCCTCCTGCCTACAGAGCTCCTCAGATCGCCATCTCAAGCGCCTGCGGCCAGTTCCAAGCGACCGACTCATCATACCGAACCGGCTCCTCCTTTTTGATGTTACTGTAAGCCTGGAGCCTCAGCTCGAGATAAGGATGGAGTAAGGGATCGAGCGGAGGGGTATTGGAGCAGTTGATCAGACTGAGCCAGCGAAGAGGATGAGTGTCGGACGGCACGATTTGCGGGACCTCCGTTGGCGCTGCGATGCCGTGGGCGGCGTACTGAGGTGTCAGACCGGGTCTGGGCATCTGCGCGTCGTTCCCGGCCCGAGTAGGCTCAGCAGGTGCGCGCGCGACCTCGCGCCGTTTAGCCTGAAGTGAGAGTAAGTCCGTGATGGACGTGGCGGACCGTTCCGTGTCCGACAAACGGACGTCAACGATGCGGCGTAGCACCGAGGACTGCAATTCCGACCCGCTGGTAACGGCCAGGCCGATGAGTGCCGGTAATAAGAGGGGGTTTCCGGGTTGACCGCGACCGAGAGCATCGTAGAAGGCGGGGTCTACGTAGCACGAGTGTAATTCCAAGAATTGAAGCGATGACGCTGGGCGCAGCGAAGCAGAAACAGCCGCGGGCACAGACATGTATTGGAGGGAAAGCGATTGGAGATGAGGGAGGATGGGTAATACCGCTTCGGAGCACAGTATCCCTGCCAACGTGCCAGTGTCATTGGGGATCCGCAGGCAGAGGTGTGTCAATGCGGGGACCGAGATTGAGCGGAACAAAGTTGGCCAATCGTCGTATAAATCATCGTCGTCGACGCACTGCAGCTTCTCCAGACAGTGTAAAAGGACGGGTTCCCGGTCTGGACCGTGCTCGTGGGGTGGAACGTCCGGCTGTTCATCCCGGTACAGATTGACGAACCGGCAAGTGGTGAGTCGCGGCATACACCTGAGTAGATCGTAAAGACCAAGTACCGGGTGCTCGATGGTACTGCCTTCGAAATTGACCGAGACGAGGTTTGCAAGTTGGACCGAGGGATTATGAGTCAGGATTCCCATACGGCTTCGTCCTCCTCCGTACCGTCCTCCCCTTGTCTTGGCCGCTTTCCAGCAGCGAAGGTCACCCTTCGTAGCGTCAACTCTTCGAGTTGGCCCGAGTTGGAGGGGAGCAGGTCGAAGTCTAGGCTGGACGTCGTCGGCTCCGCGTTTGACCAGTCTGTCTCCACCGTGAGCGACCGAAGGGAAGACATGGACCGATATAGCCAACGTGTGATTGGTGCTGGGGTATGCTCCTTCGACTGGAGATGTAATCGCTCGATAAAGCCGGCGTGCGGTGGGAGTAGGCGTCCGACTGCATCCGCCACCTCCCAGTCCTCCCAGTCGAAGTCTTCAGTGACGTGTAGCTCCCTGAGCCCCGTTTCCCCGGCCTCATTTCCGCCTCGACACCGCTCCAGATAGGTCTTGGTCTTTAGAACCGGATGTTTTCCTCCGCCTAAAACCAGCTTCTGCCACAGCCCCGGCTGGCCGACCAGAATCTGTCGGATCCGCCGACAAACCCCGCTCAGCCGTTCCGGCAGACCTGGGTCGCTGATCCTTCCCACCTCGACGATGCGGAGGATGACGTCCGGTGGGAGCACAGACTGGAGCCGGTTCTGTCGGTGACCCGGCGATTGAATGGCTACAGCCTGTACGGGCCGTTCCTGAGCGCCGCCGACTTGCAGCGGTGGGCGAGGCCAACCGGAAAGGAGATGATGGGCGACGTCCTCGGACTGGGTCAGAATGAGAGACCGTTCTTGTAGAGTTGCAGAGAGGAAGGAGGGGTGGGCAAGGGTGTGGGAATAGTAGGATCTGGCGAGGGTGTATTGCTGTCGCAGAGAGAAAAGGTCGGCCAGGATGAAGTATGGCTGAGCCTGTCAGCTAGAGCTCACAGGTATTCCTTGTTACTTAAATGGCATCTTCGGAGACACACCTGCCATCGAGTCTGTCCGAAGCTCGCTTCAGCTTTCATAGCCGTCTGTACCGCCAATTCGTACATCATCAACCCATCCGCGCCGCTTCCTGTCCTTGTCTGCTCAAAGGCTTCTTGGCGATATCGGCGTAGGTAACATGTCGCTAAGCACTCGTACGCTTCGGGCTCCTCGCAGCCTGACAGTATGGCCTAGTGGCTCAGCTTTTGTGGGCGCGATTTACCCGCACAACTTGACTTACATCGTTGAGCGAGTTTGTGGCCATGTCCCAGTCCCCACGCAGGAAGTGGTCTCTCCCGACACTGTAAAGGTCCACATCGTAGGCGTGCTGCGGACGAGGCAGTAGGTACACCCTGTCTGAGTGAGAAAGGCTGAGAGCAAAGGATATGTAGGGTGTGATGCAAGGTCTCCTCAGATCAACGCAAGATAAACGCGTACAGGCAGGCTCGCGAAGAAGACCGGGCGAAGGAATGAGTCGCGGAGAAATTGAAGGGAGGTGGCAAGGCCTCGCCTGCTCTCGTTCCGCTATACCGCTCAGCAGGCTGAAGCTATGTACCCGAAATGCTCTGATGAGATTGGTCTATGGATCATGCATCCTCCGCCTGTCTTCGCATGTGTGTCCTCATCGCCATGCCAGCGAGACCCAGCGAGACCCTGGATTCGATCCGACCGAAGATAGCCCTTCACGAAGCGAAACGGCCCCCCTGGCCCCGGTCTGCCTCCCAAAAACAGGTTGTTCCGCCTCATATCGGGCTTGAGACACCTAGTGTATCAGCTCAAACACTTCCAGGATGTAATAAGCTAGATCTTGGTGCTGTAGATAGTGGGACTCACTATTGCTCCCCCAGTTCCGCCTCCTCATTACGCCATGTCTTGCATCCACCTATCCCACATCCCGCGACCAGCGCCTGGGGGCTTATCACTGCTGCATTTGTAGTAATCCAGCGATAGCTCTAGGTATGGATAGATGAGGGAGTCCATGGGGTCGACCCCTTTGCAGTCGGAGATGCTGAGCCATCTGAGTCGAGGGGGAGGTATCGCGGCCATGGCGGAGGTATCCGAGGACGACGGTGGCTGCTGCGAAGCCGCGAACGGCAGTGGATCCGGATTGGCTAGCCGACGCGACCGGATTGCGAGTAGTCCCGCTACCGATTGGACCGACCGATCGGCGTGCGGTACGCGGGATTCCACTAGACTGCGAAGCGTAGCTGCCTGCACGTGGGGGTCCTCCGAGATTGCGAGAGCGACGAGATTGGGGAGGAGAGGTGGGGTAGTATTGGCGGTGAATGGACGGTAGAAGTTTTCGCCAGTATTTTCACAGTCGTGTAGGTGTAGATAGCGGAGAGCGCTCAGAGGCTGGAGAGCTTCGGCGAAGGGGATGCCGCTGTCCGCCTGGAGGTCCGCATGGCGGATAGTGAGTTCGAGCAAATGAGGTAAGGCATCGCGCAGCCCCTCAGCTTGCAGAACACCTGCAGAATCTCGGTCCGGTATTAAGAGATCGAGGTGCGTGAGCGACGGCGCCGATATTGCTCGGAAGAGGCCGATGTGATCAAATTGATCTTCCATCTCGTCGGGTTGACAAGACCACTTCTTGAGGTGTTCCAGCCGTATGAGCGTCCGAGGCTTTCCCGTCTCTGCTGAACCCTCCGTGTCCGGATGCCAGTAAAACGCCCCGATATAGACTTCCCGAAGTATCAGCGCCGAGCGTAGCAGGACCAGTAGGTCGTCGTACGCGCCGAATGTCCAGCATTCTTGGAGGCGCAGGACCTTTAGATTGGCCAACTGGATGCGGGGGTTCTCGACCCAGGATATGTTTTCGCCGCCTGGGGCGTCTTCGCCCTGGTACCGAACGGCCTCGATGTCGACTTCCTCCAGTTGACCCGACCCTGCAGGCAGCAGCCCGAAATGAAGACTTTTCATCGAGAGATACTTTTCTTGGCTGGAGCACCTGATGGTGAGGTACCGCAAGTGGGCCATCGAAGCGCGGAGCCAAAACAGGAGTCCGACCGGGTCTTTGGCGACGACTTCGAGCCGCTCGATGTACCCAGCATGAGGAGCAAGTATTCGCCCGATCGCCGCTGGGTCCTCCCATTTATAGCTCTCTCGGATCCGCAGCTCCTTGAGTCCGGTCGCACTCAGTCCCTTGTCCCCATCGCAGCGCTCCAGGTACGTCTTGACCCTGAGCTCTAGGTGCGGCTTTCCTCCTATATCCAGCTTCTGCCAGACCCCCGGCTGGCCGACCAGGATCTGCCGGATCCGCCGACAGACCCCGCTCAGCCGTTCCGGGAGGCCTGGATCATCCACCCGCCCCACCTCGACGACGCGGAGGAGGATGTCCGGCGAGAGCTTCGAGATGACGCTGGCGGAGCGGTCCAGCTCTGGACCCGCTCGTTCGCTCGACCGCCGTTTCGACCGATGTACGTCCGTCGTGCCCTGCTCCTGCTCGGCGAACGATTGGCGCAGCTGCTGGGTGTGTAGAGCTATCCGGTCCGAGAAGGATGACAGGAGAGACCGTTCTTGTGGAGTCGCAGTGATGAAGGAGGGAAGGGCCATAGCGTGTCTGAGATGGAGACCAGCGAGAATGTATTGCTGTCTAGAAAAGAGGATGTCGGCGAGAATGAAGGATGGCTGGCGTATGAGCTTGGTCCATGTAGATACGACCTCTATGTAGGCAGACATTTGGCTCACCTGCCATCGCTCCCCTGCAGACTTCGCCTCAGCCCTCAACGCAGCCTCCACCGCCGCCTCGTACATCCCCAGCCCATCTCCGCCTTTCCCAGTCCCCTCGTGTTCCTTGACTTCCCGTTGAGCTTGCCGGAGATAGCAAGTCGACATGCTCTCATACGCCTCGGGCTCCTCACTTCCTGCGTCAATCGCCTACGAGTCAGCTTTAGCGCTTTGCTGAGCATTTATCAAGTAGGGCCTATATGACCGGAGATGTACCTCCTTGAAAGCTTTGGCAGCTTGAGACCATTGATCCTTCCGGAACAGCTGCTGAGCGCGGAGGAAGTGTGCACTTCCCGGCCTCGGAGCAGCGCCGCTCATCTTGTGATTTTGGGCAGTGACGCTTTTAGACGCCGATTTGACTGCCTTGTATGGGCGGGGGCTCGAGGCTGATGTAGAGTGAAGCAGGAAAGCGGAGAGGGAAAGAGCGAAATGCTCAGATAAGTCGCCCTTGTACAGTCGCAGCTTAGCTTGAGCCAATCGCTCAGCAGGGTACTTATCCGCCCCCCCCTGATTACAGCAGAGATGTTGCCCACATGAGATGGATGGCTACATGGGTACAAGTGGCTGATGCCGGATGATAATGTCTATGTCAGATAGATAACGGTCGAGAGTCCCGAATGACCCAGCCGAGCCAAAGAAGGATGAAGAAGAAAATCGAAAGTGGGAAGAAGGGTCAAAGAAACGCCATCATGCTTCCCCATCCCGCTCAGCCACGTCCTCCGGCTTCTCCAGAAGCAGCCGCTCCACAATGAGATCGGCGACAGCCTTTCCATCTACATCATCAGCACAGTCCCCTCAGTTGAAGCGGTGGAAGTGGACTCACTTAATGGAATCTCGTTCCCCTGGAACCCCTCGGGATAGGCGAGCTGCGGTAAATCGGGATAGGTGAAGGACGTGTCGTCCCATATCCCATAATGTCTGATGCCGAGAGCGCGAGCGGTGAATTCGTAGTCCTCTGCAAATCCACCAGGGAAGAAGAACTCGATGACTGTTGATTTGGGGTTAAGGGAGTTCATCCAGAGGAGATGAGTGAGACCGTTCCCGTGGATACCGCACATAATCTGGGCGTCAGCGATAGATAAGCCACCGCGCGGAGAGAGCAGCTCACCGTTGACCTTGCCGCCAGCCTGATCTGCTCATCCCTAGACAGCTTGTCCATCGCCACCACATGCACCTCCCACCCGTACTTCTCCTCCAGCTTGTTCAGCTCCTCCACAAAACTGGCGTGCGCCTCGGGCAGCAGCATCCGCCGACCCCAATCCTGCCTCGAGACGTAGGTGATGACGGGCTTCCCATTCTTGGCCTGCTTCGCGTCGATCTTCTCCATCGCGTCCAGCTCCTGCTCGACCGCCACCGCCTCCTCTTTCTCTGCCGACTCGACATCATCCTCATCTATATCCTCCTCAAACCCAACGCCGTGGATGTCTGACGCATGCGCCTCGGGATCGCCACTGCCGACGAAATCGAGCAGGTTCTTGCGGACCGGGTACCACCAATACTTGCTCGCGGCGAGCGTGACGGCTTCGGAGGTGGTACGGTATGTCCGCTGGAACTCCTTTCCGCGCCAAGCGGCCGCTCGATCCGCAAAGACCACCCGCTCGAAAAGGAACGCCCGGGCTGTGTCTGTCCGATCGTGAAAGTCCGAGGCGTATTCGTACGACATCGAGGGGAAGATGGCGCGGGAGAGGAATGAGTTCATCTTGGCGTAGTCGTTCCATTTACCAGCTTCTGTATGTGGGAACATCATTCGGGCGGGTGATGGGAGGTGGGTCGTTCCGGTAGCGGATATGGTAGTGTCGAGCGAGGAGTAGGTCCGCCAAAGGCCGACCAGCAGTTCAGCCGCGAAGCTGGAGGTGAGCACGAGCCTGACCGCGAGAATGAGAACGTACTGGTAGTAATGGTCCAGGAATTGAGGGGGATCATTGATCAAGAATGAGGTCTCCGATACTCTTGATGCAGAGTGGCCCCACAGCTTCTTTGCTTCTGATGGAAAGATGATTTTCATATCCTTGTCTGTTGGTTCTCTGAAGAGTCAGCTAGTGCAAGCCAATCTTGCGAGGAGGTGCGAACGTGAAAGCTTACCGTCCAGCGATAGATTCCTCATCATTCCATATCTCATTCCCAGTACTTGTCATCATCCGCAGTAATGGTATTTTATGTGGCCGGTCCGAGACGATGTACCAAGTTCCGTTGAAGAGATATAATTGGTCAAAGATGGTCCATCCTACTACGTCAACTTTTACCCGCGCATGCTAGGGGGGGGTTCAGCTTACCAGGAGCATGCGCCAATACCTCCGTCTCCATCGCTCCTCCCTCTCCCCACTTCACCTTATTCTGCCCCATCCCCGCAATCTTCTCCATTGCCGCATACCTCGCACCTGTCTCTACGCTCTCCAGCCATCCGTCCCCATCACCCGCGCGGAAGTTCCCGCCACTCCCCAGTAATGTAGATCCGCCGGCGCCATCGGCAAAGCGGAAAGTGTCAAATTGCAGTAATAACCCGAGGACAGTCGTGACCGCTAGGACGATGAGGAGGTCGCGTTTTGTGGGATTGAAGGAGGTCATGAATGGCGGATGGCGGAATGTGCGCGTGGGATGGGTCTACGTCGAGCAGATCCAGGCGCGGTTTGCTAAGCTTCTAGCTTTTCGAGTATGATCTGCGAGTGTGGAGAGGGGATGTGGACCGCCGTGTAGGTCTACTGCACACTTTATTGTATAGTATCGAGGTCAAAAGGCAATGAGAACAAGTGTAGAGTTCAGATCTGTTTCAGGGACAAAAGTCACAACACACAGATAGACGCGGGGAGAAGGCTTTACGGCAGACGTTTCACGTGGCTGATTTGGGTGGCAAATTCCTCGCTGGTAGCTCGCGCCGCCCGCCTGCAGCAGCAGCTCTAGTACTAGCTTCAGCAGCCTGTAGAAGCGCTGGATTGGCCCCACAGCTCTTTACATCCATGCAGCCAGACACAGCGCCGCCTGAACAGATCCCTGTCCTCACAATGGTGGACGAAGATATGACGGACGTCACGCAGTCGAATGACGCGCAGAGAGAACTTTTAGGATCGGGAGACTCGATATCGAGACGCTGAGTACGATTTTAGTAACCCTTACGAGGAGGTTGGGGATGACTAAGAGGGGACAAGTCACGCGGAGAGATTTGAGGGGAATTGGGGAGTCTGGCCGATGTGCGAGCGGCGATGTTCAAAGGCGTGTAGGATGGAGGACATCGAAGGAGAGCGCTAGCCTGGATAATGAAAGAATAGCTGCGGGAGGGACGCGATTCATGGCAGGCGGAATACGAATGGTGGAGTCACACGGACATAGTCCAGTTCTGGTGGGTCATCTTCACATGGGAGGCGAGGTGGAGGGTCAAGCTGATTTCGTAGACTCTGACATCTACGCCCTGACCATGGCTAATGGCTCTATCTGCAGAAGTGTACCCTGCCAGTCTGCTCGAGGTATATCGAGAGCACAGCAGTATGTATCTACGTCTGTGCGGCTCACCTAATGATTTGCTGACTCAGTGAAATTCTGACTGAACACCCGGTCATCTATGCGCTGATTGGTCACGTGAGCTCCAGCCTCAACCTGTGGGGTCAAGCCAGCTGCAGGGCCAGCCTGACGATTGATGACCTCAGGACCATGACCAGACAAAGCGGTGGCTGTCATGACAAAGGACGTGCCCGAACTCCTCGCTGTGCTATATTACCTGAAAGGAGTCCGTCCCGACCCCTTACTGGTCCTCATCAACTCCTTGTCCATCAAGGCGCTTCACCGACCTCCTGATTCCTGAATTAAGGGATCGTCGAGGAGTTACTGGAATGGCCGAGCACGTCGAGGTGGTGAGGTTTGACAAAGTAGCGAACGTCGAACAACGGTGTGGTCGTGGAGAAAAGAGCGTTCTGACCAGCTTATATGACAGCTCATCCATCCGCCCAGACGCCCATCTTTCTTTCATTATACATATCAAGCCCGCTCAGTACTAAAGCCAACTGATCCAAGCTGATCTTACTCATTTACTCTGACCAGCACACATCAAGCTGTTCTCCGTCAACCTAGTCGCCAACCGCTTCGGTCTCCATCCTCCCATCCCTGATATTAACGAAGTACCTCCCACACCGCGCCGTATCTCCTCAATTACCACACCCCGCTCACCCAAATCACCAGCTGAAATGGGAACCTTCACTCGGATGGCGCATTCCGGCGTCCTCGCCAACCCGGCCGTCGCGCTCGGTTTCTCCGCATTGTCGCTGTTGCTGCTGGTAATTGTGCTCTTGTCTGTTCCTGGCCCCATCAAGGGGCTTTACTGGTTCTCAGTTGAAGGAGAGCAGTCGGGGCAGGGTAAGATGACCGTGGGTGTGCTCGGGTGGTGTTGTGAGTCTTCTCACCTAGGAAAGGAGGATGAAGCTGACAGCGGCGATAGTGACCGAGACTGCAAACTGTACCTACGCTCCTCTGTCCGACAACAAATACCTCACCACCATGATTGATGCCGGTCAGGCCTTGACAGTCCGGATCATGCTCCCTCTCGGTCAGTCTGACTCCACCACCACTCGACCCCGTGCTGACCCACAGCGTGCTACTGGGCAATCATCACCCTCATTGCATGGGGCGCCCTCGCCGGAACCGCCAACATCGGGTACGTCATCAAAGACCTCGACTCTATCCGCCACCACTTGTACTATGCCGTCCTCGAGGCGTGTGTCCTGTGCGTCACGCTGTTCGGGAATGTGCTGTGCTGGCTCGCCTTTGGGCTGGGTCGGGACGCCTACATGAGTGTCAAGCGGGGCGGGGGGTTGCCCAAGTCCGGTCAGGCCATGGAGACGTAAGCTCTGCTAAAGCCAGTCCGGAGTCAGGCAACGCTGACAAGTCAGTACCGCCGTGGCAGCGATGATCTCCCTCTTTGCCCTCTTCACCGCCTTCTGGGGTCTGCATCTCCGGCTCACCGCCGCGCAGGCAGAGTGGAAGAAAGAGGCCATCATGGTCCGACGCCGATCTATGGCCCTCTCCGCCAGCGGAATCCCGCACGACGGGATGGGCAACCGCTTGTCCGTCACTATGCCCGCTGGGGAGAGCAGCACCGCGGTGGGATCCGATGTCAATGCGTATGGAGAGGAGAGGTGGTCCAACCAGAGTGGCGCGGCGGGGTATTATGGTGCGGAGCCGGTCGGGAGGCGGTCGAGCGTCATGAAGGACGGAGTGGGGATGGAGGACGAGGAAGAGCGGCTCGAGGCGGATTTGGCGACGGCGAGGCGGAACTCGAGGGAGCATGCCATCTTGCAGAGGGCTTCGTGAGTATGAGTCACTCCAAAGTGATGTCGGAGCTGACGAACAGCATGCTCTCGCCCAATGACTCGCCTTACGCTGCCGCCACTCAGGTCCCGCCTCCTGCTGCGCAGCGTCAGTAGCGTCAGTCCGTCAGCACCATCGCAGAGATACCGACGACCTCAACCAGACTATACCCTGTATATAAGCATTCTGTAGACTTGAGACATGTAACATGCCCATTAGCTATCCTCGCGCTCGGACCGCTGTGTGACCAACGTTAGCCAGCCCCGCCAGACCGCAGCATAAGTATGCACAAACTGGAAAATGGCATAGTCTCCCCTCTTTCCTCACACCTCTATCGCCCAAACCCCTGACCGCCGTTCCCCACCTGCACGCCATTCGCCTGACCTCTTTCTTCTTCTCCTTCCCTCTCCCCATCCGCTCCCCTTGCTGCCGCCCGCGCCGCCCTCGATTCTCCGATAACCACCGCGGCCTGCCGCGTCGCCTCGATCAGGTTCAGGTTGATCATGAACTCGTCTGGCATCCGGTCGCGCGCCAGTGTGCGAGGGTCAAAGTAGACGAATGGTCCGCGGGCCCATTCGGGGCTGGACTGGTTGGCGAGCGCGGGGTCGGTACCGTCAATGTTGGCTAACGAGGGGCCGTTCAGCCAGAGTTGGAGCTCGGTGTGGTATCGCCAACCCCGATTGTACCTGTTCATCAGCTCATTCCTCAAAATACAAAGGGGGATCAACGCACAGCTCAGCCGCCGAGTCTAGCTGGACGGTATCCTGCGGACTTGCGTAAAAGGCGATGAACAGCGTATCTTCCGAGAGGTTGACCATTTTGGGCGCCATATTGGGTGGAGGAAATTGATAGTGCGTGGGTATGTTGAACATGTCTTGTAAACGTGTCGAGTGTATTTGGTTGGACTCTTGCCATGGTGTGACAAAGGTGCGATATAATGGTCTGATTGTCAGCGATGCCCGACCTGCGCATCTTTTCCCTCAACATCTTGTCCTTATCCTCCTGATGCCTGAGAGGCCCTTCGAACCTCCATCATCCCTCCCATTCCCGATCCCACGGTCCATCCTCCGATTATGACTCCCACCGCGCAGCACATCCCTAACACTCACTCATCGCTCGTCACATCCACCCCCAAATCCGACAAATCCTCCCCAAACATCAACACCCCCCTATCCGTCTTGCCCATCTGCGTCTTGATCTCATACAACAACGCCTTCAATCCCCACTTATCCACCGGACTGCTCAGGATCTGCTGCACGGGCCGGACGACCGGTTCTGAGTGCAAATGCCGCATCGCCGCTGTATTTGGGGAATGTTGCGGTTGTTGTTGCTGCTGCTGCTGCTGTTGTTGTTGGCGCCATAATTCAGGCATAGGATTGTGGGTTTGCGCAGAGGGTGAGGCGGAGTGTGTGGACGCTCCGTTCCCGTTGCCATTTCCGTTGCCGTTGACGTTGTTGCCGTTGGCTAGCAGTGGTGGAGAGGATGCGCCGGTCCGAAGGTAGTTTGCCATCTGCAGATCAGCACGGATCTCTAAAGGAAACGAGACAGCTGGGACTAGACAGCTCCACAGGCGTGGATGAATCCGACAGAACCGGGGTCATTCCCCTCCTTGAAGTCGTCGGATTCCCAATGTCCCCTGACTTACCCGATCCTTTTCCGATCCCAAAGCAGGAAACTCCTCTCCCCTCAACTGCTCCAACATCCCATTCGTCCCTGATCCCCCTTGTGACGCCGGCCCCGGTATCCCCGGCGGCGGTGCCAACCCCGGATGGTACATCTGTTGTTGGCTTTGAGGCAGATGTTGGCCCTGATTCAATGGCGACGATTGCGGTTGTTGAGTCTGCGTCGCGTACGAGGACGAGTGGGATGGATGCAGGGAGGTCCCGAGGGCTGGGAAGTCGTTGGGGTCTATAGGTGTTAGCAGTGTCGGTCGGCGGGTTTTCCTGGATGTCTCCGCCCCTCCTGTCTCCTCTCTTGGTCAGACGATATTCTTCCTCCTTCCTCCTTTGATTTGCGTCTCCCCATACCTCTTATAAGTTGATATCCCCCTTTGCTCCAAGATCCTCATAGCCTGGCCTCCGTCGTACTTCCATCCGTACAGTTCACCCGCCCACACCCCAATCACTCTCCCAAAGGAAGGAATCGCTCACCCGTTGTTCTCGATGCGAACCCCGGCGGCGCCCCTCTTGCCAACCCCCCTCCCCCTCCTCCTGATATAGGAGGAAACCCTGCTGGTCCCATCGACATCCCTCTTGTCGCCCCTTGATTCGTTGGCTGAGTAGCCTGTTGTCCTGCCGTAGCGTAGTACATCCTCCTTGTTCGGCGAGGCGGCTCTGATGATGCCTGATCTGTAGGCTCCCTATCTTGGCGAAGCGGAGTAGTACGAAGGCAGTGTACGGATACCGGTATACGCGGGAAAAGGTCCGATGAGGTATAGCCGAGTAGTAGAAGGTAATGATAGGTGATGAGTGAGGTAGTGGAGGCGTGCGTAGAAAGGGGAGAAGTCCGTCAGCGACGCGTCAATTTCGGCGCTTCCAACGCTGGGAGGATGGTCTCACCTCTGCGCTGAACACTACTGTGTATGAGGAGTATGCAGCTATAGCGCTAGGGATAGCTGTGTATAGGGAGAGTAAGGAAAAGAAGAGGTTGAGCGGACTGCCTGCTGAGGGCAGCCAAGCTGTGGGTGGCGGAGTTTCGGCGATACCCGCTCAGTGGCCACCAAGCTCTTGCAGCTCCTTTTGGCTCTTTGTTGTCGCCTTCTATCTTCCCCTCTCAGCATACAGTAGAACATCAAGACCTAACAAAATGGTGAGCTGGGCTACAAGGATGTTCTGTCTACGAGCATAGCTGACGAAATCAGGCGGAATTGCGATACACCCTCAACACTCAGCTCGAACAGCGTGAGTCTCTCATCGAGCTGTCTTCATCGCCTAGACTTCTGATGCGGTCGAAGGATATAACCGCTTCAACGTGATACATGCGAATCCTTGGAGCTGAGCTAATCGTGCAGTGCATATGCGGTATACCGGTACCGGACACCCCGATACCACCAAATAGTGCGTCACAAAGCTCTGTCCTTAGATTGGCATATCCAGTCTCGTCCATATGGCATCGCTACGTATCTGGACTAACGTGCTAGTGAATGGCTGACTCACCAACATCGGGACACTGCGGCAGCTATCGTCGGTCATCCACCATTGATGGCTTATGTCGCATTGGCGGATGGGGAATGTCAAGCCCGGGCTCGCTTTGAAGTGATGGAGGTCAGCTTCCATCCGCTCATAATATTCACGGCTTCATCATGGCTTTGACTGTGCGAGTAGAGCCCAGCTGACAGTCCAGCGCATGGTGCAGCCTTGTGGCAAACCGCCAGGAAAGACGGACGAGTAGAGGGCCTAGGACATGGAGCTGTAGAGACCGGTCCCTTCCATCATGTTGTACTACGAAATGTATCACAATTACAGCCATCTGTCTTCTGTACGACCGCCAGGCCCGCTATAGGCTCTGAGAAGGCTCCATCGGCTGCCATCTGATACACCTCCTACTGGACGGGATCAAATTTGGCTGTGTTTCAGAATGCGGGGCAAACGCGCTCACTGAACCTTGTCGCGAGCGAGCTCGAACCTCTCACTTCGCATTCACATTTCTGCTCTCTACACTCCTTCTTGACCTTATCTGAATAGCTTTCTCATAGAACTTATAGACAAGATGACGAACGAGATTGGTATCGCAAAGTAAGTTGACCCCTCGTTGATCAGAAGGAGCGCTTGCTGATCCTGCAGTCTGCCCAACCAGGTACGCAGACCTCCTTTCCCTCACGGAAGCCATTCAGGATTCTGAAGCTGATCATCCAGCGGCACAAGATAGTGAACCAGCAGGGTGCTCACTTCACCATCATGGTCGTTGGTCAGTTGGTCCGCCGGCATGGATCACCTGTCGAGCTCAAGCTGATATCGTAGGCGAGTCTGGGTTGGGCAAGACAACGTTCATCAACACCTTGTTCGCGACCGAGATTTGCGCGCCTAGGAACTACAGACAAAGGTGAGGATTTACTGAATGACCTGTCCCGATCATACAGCTGATACTTTCAGATGGGCGAAGCAACTGGACAAAACGACCGAGATTGAGGTGTTGAAGGCGGATCTGGAGGAAAGGGGGTTCAACATCAAGGTCAGCTCGGCGATGAGCGCTGAGTTGGGACTGCTCAAGAGCTGAAGCTGACGTGATAGTTGACTGTTATTGACACACCTGGCTTCGGAGACTACGTCAACAACCGGGACAGGTAAGCTAAAGTGATCCCGCCCTCGCGGACCGGGCGCGGGAAGCTTACAGTACAGCTGGTCTCCCATCATTGACTTCATCGATGACCAGCACGAGTCCTATATGCGTCAAGAGCAGCAGCCACACCGGAAGGAGAAGCAGGACATGCGTATCCACGCGTGCTTGTACTTTGTCAAGCCAGGAGGACATGCGTGAGTTAAGACACATGGTAGACAGTCTACTCTGCCTGAACATCAAGCTCACCAATCAGCCTCAAGCCACTCGACGTTGAGATCATGAAGCGCCTCGGATCGCGCGTCAACCTCATCCCCGTTGTGGCCAAGGCGGACACCATCACCCCTGAAGATCTCCAGAATTTCAAGATCAAGGTCAGTTCATGATGATACAGAGATTTTCGTCAGGATCTGACGATCGCAGATCCGTGAAGTGATCAACGCGCAAGGGATCAAGATCTACACCCCGCCTATGGATGCCGACGACGAGAGCGCGTCAGAGCACGCTAGGCAGACGCAGGCGATCATGCCGTTCTCGATCATCGGGTCTACGCAGGACGTGACGACCCCGGATGGGCGGGTCGTCAAGGGCCGAGAGTACCTCTGGGGTGTCGCGGAGGGTGAGCTGCCATCTACAGAGATTCCCCTTCGTTCGGTAGCTGACTCGACAGTGGAAAACGACGAGCACTGCGACTTCAAGAAACTCCGCTCCCTCTTGATCCGGACATACATGCTCGACCTCATCGCCTCGACCGAGGAGAACCACTACGAAGCGTACCGTCTGGCTCAGATGGAGACAAGGAAGTTTGGGGAGCCCAAAGTCCGCAAGATCGACAATCCCAAGTACAGGGAGGAGGAGGAGATGCTCCGGAAGAGGTTCACGGAGCAGGTCAAGCTCGAGGAGGCGAGGTTTAGGCAGTGGGAGCAGCATGTGAGCTATAGGAGCTTGATGTAAGGCTGGCTGAGCTGACTTGATAGCTTATCACTGAGCGGGACCGGCTCAATAAGGATCTGGAACAGGCTCATTCGTCCATCAAATCTCTTGAGGTCAGTTGGGAATTCGTTGTCGAAGGACAGTGGCATAGCTGACTTTGTAGAACGAGCTGGAGCAGATGTCGGCGTATCACCGTCAGGGAAGCACGAGTGGGCGGCGTTAAGGGTCTGTTTGTCCATCTGCAGCGCGGATATTGGAATAGGGGTGTTGGGTTTGCTGTTCATACGACTTGACCTTGGGATGCAAAGTAATGATATGGAAACTTATGACGGGGATATCTTCTCCGTGTCCTCTTTCGTAAGAATGGGGCAGCACGGGTGGCAGACTGAGGATTTGGGTGTCAATACAAGCTCCTCATTCCTCGTTTTTAGCCTTGATTAGCGGCGATCCCCGCTTACAACATCGTCATCGCCCTCACAAGCGCACAGTACAGAGCCAAACGCTCTCCTTTGCTCTAACACTCTCCTCGCTCCTCACAGTAATTTTCCTTGCCCAGTAGCAAAGCCTATTGTCGACTCCATCGACCATAGGGAAGGGCCTTGCGCGCCTTTAGCGTCGTTCGAGCCGAAACAATCGGGCCGGAGCCCAAGGCGGCATCATGCAGACGCTCAAGGCGGCCGCCCTGAGCCTGCTCAATATTTACGTCTCGCCCTATGTCGAGAATCTGAACGCACAGGATCTATCACTATCAGTCTTTGGCGGTAAGCTGTCTGTCCTCAGATCCTGTCTGCGGATTCTGCATGAAACACGAGGCCTGAGCTGACAACACGATAGGTAATCTCCAATTCCACGGTCTGCACCTAAAGAAATCTCTCCTCGAGCGGTTCGGACTCCCCGTCGAAATCGTCGCGGGCGATATCGGGACATTATCTGTCACTATCCCATGGAGCAAGATCGGCCGAGAGCCCGTCAAAATCTCGATTGATGATGTCTATATTTTGGCGCGAGCACGGCCGCAGGGCAAGGTAGATCCGGAGGAGGACGAACGGGTGGAGCAGGCGACCAAGCAGGAGAGGCTGAAGAGTGCCGAGGCGGTGGATAATGCGACGAGTCAGGTAGCAGGGGATGATGGATGTGAGTTCTGTCTTTTGAGCTGGGTTGCGCCTGAGGGGGAGGTGGTGGAAGTCTGCGAACTGTGCAAAGGGATTTGGGATTCAGAAGCTGACGTCTCAGCGAAACAGACATATGTCGGAGCTATCGTCAGCAAGATTGTTGATAATGTCCAAATACATGTCAAGGGCATACATGTCCGATATGAAGACGGAACAAATACGCCAGATGTAAGCTTGCTCGTCGGACATTCTGGAGCCTAGCTGACGTCCACAGCACCCATTCGCAGCGGGTATCACCCTCGACGAGTTCAAGGCGGTATCGACCGATGAGAACTGGGTCGAGGCGTTCATCCAGAACAGCATGAAGGGGGTTCACAAGCTCGTCAAGCTTGCGGCGCTCGGGGTGTATTTTGATACCGACACTGGAAGCCTGGACAAGGGAGACAGGGAAGGGACGATTGGCGCGCTGAAGCAAATGTTGAGTGGGCCGGGGAAGCACCAGTATATCCTGAAGCCAGTCACGGGAGAAGCGAGGGTACGTTTCTGCTCAGGTCGAAGTATACCTGATATGGCCAAGATGAGCTGATATTCGATAGCTCATCGTCAATAAGACGATGTCGAACGAGATACCCAAAGTCGACGGTCAAATCATCTTCGACGAAATTGGCCTCGTTCTCGACCAAGACCAGTACCGAGATGTCCTTTCCGTCGTCGACGTCTTCCACTTCTACCGCCGTACCCACCAATACCACAAATTCCGGCCGCCAGAGATCGAGATGGAGCAGAATCCGGCCAAGGCGCGGCTCAAATTCGCGCTCAATGCGATTGCGGCCGAGGTGCACGATCGGAATCGGAGGTGGACGTGGGAGTATCTCAGCGAGCGGAGGGATATGCGGAAGAAGTATGTGGATGTGTATGTGAAGCGGCTGGCGCTGCCAGAGGGGAAGCCCTTACCACCTGATGTAAGCCATCCCTTGGCCGCTCCATCGTTTGCGCTCGTGTAGTAGCTGACTGTCAGGACGCGAAAGAGCTGGCGGACATGGAGAGTCAGCTGGCATATGAAGATATTCGGTTCTTCCGGTCGGTCGCGCGTGTTCAGGCGAAGAAGGACGCTGCCACTCGACGGAAGATGGAGGCTGAGCGGAAGAAGGAGCAGGCTGGCCGCCAGACCTGGAACGAGTGGCTCTGGGGCCAAGGGCCAAAGCAGGACACAGAGGAAGGGATGACGCAAGAGGAGAAGAAGGAGCTGGACGACATCATCGACTATACCCCCGCCTCGGCCGACGAGATCATGGGCAACCAGCCCAAGGACTTTATGCGGGCTCGGATATCGGCTCGACTTAATAAAGGCTCATTCTCCCTCCGCGCGGATCCGCACGGTCGGAACTCGGACATTATCGCTCTCGTCTTCGACTCGTTCACTGCCGATGCTACGCAGTATACCGAAAGTGTCGCCGCCAAGGTCGCGCTCGGCGGATTCAGGGTGTATGACGGTACCATGCCCGGCTCGCTGTACCCCCAGATCGTCCGCGTCAAGGATATCGAGTCGGATCCGAGCGGGCCGCAGCGCCAGACGTCGCTCGACGTGGGCGGGACAGACGTCGCGCTCGCGGAGATCAGCGACGGGATGGTAGCCGACGACAAGGCGGATCCGTTCTTCGTCATGGAGGTGGAACATAATCCGTTGGATGGAAGAGCGGACAATGCGGTCACAGTCAAGATGCGGCACTTGGAGATTATATATCACAAGGGGTATGTTGAGGCCGTGGTGGCGTTCTTCAAGCCGCCAGAGAGTCAGCTGGAGAGTATCGGTGCGTTGCTGGATGCCGCCGGACAGACTCTGGACGGGCTGCGGAAGGAGACGAGAGCGGGGTTGGAGTATGCTTTGGAACAGCACAAGGTCTGTCGACTCTTTCTCATTCTGTTCAGGGCAAAGAACTGATCACCCAGACTGTGGATATCAAGGTCGACATGAACGCTCCTATTATCATCATTCCCATGAAGTAAGTTGGGATCCTTTTGGGTGCGCAATGCTTAACCTTACAATCCTAGCGTCACCGAGGCAGACTGCCAAGCGCTCGTGCTGGACGCTGGTCATATTGCCATCGAAAGCAAGCTTGTCGACAAGGACCAAGTCAAGGAGGTCCAGAGCAAGCGCGGGAAGCAGTACAGCAACGACGATTACCGCCAACTCGAGGATCTCATGTATGATCGCTTGTCGCTCCGGCTGGAATCCACTCAAGTACGTATACTCGTCTTTCTCTCGCAGAGCATAAGCTGAAGACCATAGCTGCTCATGGGTGGTAATGTCGAATCATGTCTCCAGGCTCTCGACAAGGTACACGAACCAGGAGCGGCCGAGCTGCACATCCTGGAGCGGATCAACATGAACTTCTCGGTCCATAACGCCATCATCAACACCTCGACGTTGACACGCTTCAAGATTGCTGGAGAATTACCGGAGCTGCAGGTCAATTTCTCGGATCGCAAGTACAGTGAGTTGGCGATACCGGCATGTGCGTATCAGGACGCAGTTGACATCCAGAAACCCTGATGCGCTTCATCGACGTTGCTATTCCCAAGTTTGGCGATGATACTGCGCCTGCACCAGCGGTCCAGCCGGCAGCTGCGCCACGGAGAAAAACAACTTTCCGGGCTGCGCCGATCGAAGAGTACAACCTGGACGACAATCGGTCGGTACATTCTTTGCGGACGGTTGATTCGAGGGATGACGCATCGTCGATAGATGAGAAGGGCGAAAAATTCTACGAGGCTCAGGATGATACCACTGAGGTAAGCCTGGGTGCTTGTGGCAGAAAGGCAGAAGCTCATCAGCAGACACAACGGAACGCGATGTCGCAGATCAGTTTCGAGTTCTCCTTCCAGGTCGGCAAGCTCCAAGCTTCGCTCTACAAGGCCAACGGGGCTGGAGAGGAGAAAGCCCTCGCCGATGCCGTCCTCGAAGGATTCGGTCTCACTTTCGCCCTGCGCCAATACGACATGTCGGTCGACCTATATCTCCGGAACGTCACGCTGGCGATGATTGAGCAAGGCAAGGTCCGAAAGCCCTTACTCTCATCGGCCAGCACCGGGTCCTCAGCATCGGAAGACCACAAACTCGTCAAAGTGCGGTATATGAAGGTGCAAAAGGACTCGCCGGAGTTCATGACCAAGCATGACGGAATTGACCAGAGCGTCATTGCCGAGCTGTCTACCTTTAAAATTACGGTGGCGCCCGAGCCTATCTTGGCGCTTAACGACTTCATCATGACTACCTTTGTGCCGCAGGATGAGCAGCCAGCCGCTCAGGTGCAAAAGGCGGATGAGGGTGAGGCGGTGGTGGTGGTTCCGCCACCGTCTTCGGATAAGATCCGAGTACGGGTTCATCTGACCAGCGCCCAGAGTAAGCTATCGAGCCGAAAGTGCATACTGAGCAGTAGCTGACAACCAGTCTCACTGGAGAACAATGGTCTCGCCTTCGCTCTGCTCGAGTTGACGCTCGCCAATGTCAACATCATGCTTCGGAACGGGACCATGCGGGTCAGCGCTCGGCTGGGCAACCTCTCGCTCGAGGACCTCACGGATGACGAGGTAGCCAATCCTGCCTTCAAGAAGCTACTCGCTATCGAAGGGGACGAACTCGCCGAGTTCAGCTACGAGACTTTCGACCCCACGGACAAGGAGACTTTCCCCGGCTTCAACTCGTCGGTGCATCTCAAAGCGGGCTCGCTCAAGTTTACCTTCATGGAGGGACCCGTACACAGCTTATTTGGCTGGGCGATGCGTTTCGCCCAGCTAAAGGCGGTGTACGATGCGGCCTCACAGGCGGCGGTCCAGCGCGCCTCGGAGGTCACGCGGATGCACTTTGACCTGCTCATCAATACGCCTATCGTCGTCCTTCCCCGTGACGGACTGGTCAGCGCGGACATGCTGGTTCTCAGGCTTGGAGAGATCTTTGCCAAGAATCGGTATCTCGGCGACCCGAACGATACGTCTACCATCGACGCCGGACTACGGGGCATAAGTGTCTCATCCGAGATGGTGCATGACGGGAAGAGGGAAACGCTCAAGATGGTCGATGATGTCACGATCTCGGCGACCGTCAAGCAGGCAGGAGGGGAGACGCATCGGTCCGATCCGAAAGCAGCGGATATGGAGGTGAGTCAAAGCTTGCTCGGCGAGAATAAGCGCTGATTTCAGGTTTCGACCGAGATGTCCGACGTCAAAATGTCGTTGACTCAGCTCCAATACACCCTCTTGATGTCCATTATCCAGGCGCTTCCTCGGGCCCTGTCCAGCCTTTCGGAACCGGTAGCTACCGGCGACACCCCCCTTCCCTCGACAGCGGTATCTACCGCTCCTGCCACCCCCATGTCCGAGACCGACACCCAGGTTGACCTCCAACCGGAACTCGCCATCACCGAGAGCAAGGCTGGCTCGCTATGGACCACCATGCTGGTCGACTTTACGGTCAACTCCATCTCGCTGGAAGTCTACACCGTCCAGGCGATCAACGCCGGCGATCTGGAAACGTACAGCATCGCTCGCTTTGGGCTTATGAAGACCCACGTTGGGCTCAAGCAGCTCAGCGACGGCGCAATGGAGGCGGAGTTTTCGCTCAAGACTATTGCCTTTACCAGCACTCGGGCTGGAAAGAGCGTCTTCCGCGATATCATCCCGCCTGCTTCGCACGATGGCAATCAGGTCATGGTTCAATACACCAAGTCTGGCGGTCCGACCGGCTCGGCTACGGCGATCGTCACGATCGATAGCCCAAAAATCATCCTCGCTGTCGATCCGCTTGCTGCTCTCCTTGAATTTGCCGTCAGCCCCTTCACCGACTCTGCACCGGCAGAGGAGGCGGAAGTGGCGGAGGTTCCGGAGCAGCAAGGGAAGACTGAGGCGCCGGCGCAACCTGGGTCGCTGTCTTACCGGGTCGAGATCATCCAGTCAACCATCATGGTCATTGCCAATGACTCGGACCCCAAATCCCAGGCGATCCAGCTGCAGGTCAAGGAGGTCTTGCTCTCCCAGCAGTCCATCATGGCGCTCAAGATCGGCCAGCTCGGCATGTCTTTCGGCCGGATGGACAAGTTGTCCGACCGGATCACCTTCCTCGACCGACTCAATGTAGCGCTATCGCTCGATACCAAGCGCCGAGGATCGCAGACCACCACCAGCTTCGATGTCGACATCCCTGATCCCATCATCTTCAGGGCGTCATACTCTGACATCATGCTCATTCTCGATATCGTCAATAAGGCCACCGCGGCTACGACCAAGGCGATGTCTGGCAACTCGGAGCCAGGCGCGGAACGACAGGGCTCGACGGACCGCAGGACCAGCATGAGTGCTCCTACCAGAGATGGTATCACTGAGTCCACCTCGGCTGCCATCGTTCCTACAGCGACTGCGCGCAGGTCTTCGGTGCATACGCAGAAGAAGACGATCGACAAGGCAAAGGTGTTGATTTCCAAGGAACAGGTAGGTCTTTCTTCTTGGTAGCGGGAGCTCAAGCTGACACAACAGCTCACGGCTCGCATCAACGGCTTCCAGCTTGTCCTGGTCGGAGATCTGCAGGAAATGCCTTTCGTCCACCTGGCAACCAACGAGTTCCAGGTTGCGGTGAACGATTGGACGGGAGATGTACGTCTGGCCAGTGGGCGAGCTGACATTCAGATGAAGATGGCAACCTCGATCACCACCTCCATTCGATACTATAATCCCAGCAACTCGTACTTTGAGCCCCTCATGGACCCATGGAAGTTCGATCTGCGGGTGACGAGGATCGCAGCTGGTCCCAACAGCAGCCCGCTCGACGTCAAGCTCATCGCGAGGGAGCGCCTCGAGCTGAACGTCTCGGCTGCCTTCATTGAGCTGGCTATGACTGGCGCGATGATTGGGGAGGGACAGGGAAAGCAGGCTCGCGGAACCGATGCTCCCTTCCGAGTGCGGAACAAGACCGGCCTGAAGATCGCCGTCTGGCCAGAATCGCGAGATACATCCAAGACGCCCACTGGGGTCAAGGAGCTGGACGATGGGGCGGACGTGCCATGGCGCTTTGAGGATCGTCATCGGGCTCGAGACGTGAGTACAGGAACGTACCGAGCTTACGCCAGAACGTATCTGCGGCCCGACACAACTCGCTTGGTATACATATTCAGAACACCGACTGGGACCCTCTCCGGAGTATTTCGGTCGACCGTGAAGGACCGCAGATCCTCTCTCTCCGACCCAAGGTCGACAAGGTGGCCCACCAGCTCATGTGTGACATCAAGGTGGAGAACAATATCAAAATTATCACCTTCCGATCTACATTCAACGTCGAGAACAACACGGCGCTGCCAATCGAGATGATCATTGTGGACGCGCATGGCAAGGCGTCGACTGCGCAGATCAAGATCAACCCGGGAGAGTCGCATCCTCTACCTCTGACTGCGGCGTATGAGAAGCGGTTCCGCCTCAGGCCTCTCAGTAAGCTGATTGCGGTCCGAGGCCCACCCACATGTAGCTGACAAAGTGCAGAAGGCTTCAACTTCGACTACAGCTGGTCCATGCCGCTCCACTGGCGGCAGCTCGTCGCTAGGCCCATCCGCCCCATCAGTTGCAAGCATCAGACTGCGCAGAAGCCAGCATTCTACTTCCAGGGCAAAGCCAACTTTGACGAGAACGACCCTGCCGCCAAGTGAGTTGTCGCGCTCTCGAGTATGGGACAGCATAGCTGATGGCATGAGGGTGTACCCACGCATGACTCTCAGCCTGCGCGCGCCGGTCGAGCTGGAGAACTTGCTGCCGTATGACATCAAGTGGCGCGTACATGATAAGAATACCACCCTCAGCTCGGGCGAGTACCTCATCAGCGGGGGAGCTTGCCCTCTGCATACGGTCGAACTCGGTCACTTGCTGCTCATCAGCATCGGACCGCAAGATTGCCGTAAGTCATGCTGTCTTTGTGATGCGCGACAAAGCTAATGTCGCCAGACTTCCAGCAGAGCGATTATGCCATCATCAACACCGACGATCAAGAGCTACCCATCGAGGACCACATCCAGGTTACTGATAGGGAGAACATCCCTCTTACTCTTCGACTCCACTACTTGTGAGCTCCGTCATCCTCTCCTGCTAGGGACATGCTGACGACCAGTACCTACCCCAACTCTGGTGGGGCGGTCAGAGTCCAGATCTACGCGCCATACGTCTTCCTCAACAAGACCGGTTTGCCGTTCGATCTTGCGGCAAAGGCCTGGTCAGGCGGACAGAGGGAGGTTGCTGGTCGGGCAGACTTTGCCGGTGAGTCAATATGTGGGCCACTAGAGGACAAGCTAATAAGACAGAGGACCACAAGAATGAGAAGCCGACACCATTCAGTGAGTGATCCCATATGCAGCGTATGGCAGTGACTAATTCTTAGTGTTCAATTTCCCTCATTCCGACCGCAGAGATCGTCTGCTTCTCAAGGTGGCCGATTCGAAGTTCTCCAAGCCCATGTCATTCGACTCGCCAGCTGCGGATATGGCTGTAGTCATGCAGACAGGTAGAGGTGACAAGGAGTATCATGTCGGCTTGTCATATACCGAAGGTCTTGGCAAGGTCAGTATCCGCTTCACCGGTTCCGGCCGAGCTGACTCTTGCAGTACAAGTTGACCAAGGTCGTCACTCTCACTCCTCGATACTTGGTCGTCAATAACTTCGAATACCCAGTCCGCATCCGCCAGGAGGGCTCGGATCAGACGTATGATGTTGGAAAGGGCGCCCAGGTCTCCGTCCAGGAACTGCTGGCTCGAGCGGATCATCAGTTTACCCTGACAGCGGACTTCTCGACTCAAAGATGGTAAGCCAGCAAGAGGAGTCCGAGCTGACCACAGGTCGGCTCCGTTCAATGCCAATGACATCGGCCGCACCCACCTTGTTGTCCAGCGGCAGTCATCCTCGGGTGTTCGGACCTACCTCCTGCGGATCGAGACGCACATCCAAGGCTCCAGCTTCTTCATCTTCATCTCGAGAGAAAAGGAGCCTTGGCCGCTCAAGATCAGGAACGACACGCCCTACAAGTTCAGCTTCCAGCAGATCGTGAGTACTACCATACTGCTGAGCTGACGTCAGGACTCGGACAAGCAATCGACCAATCTCCCGGTCCGGGATGTACCACCTCATGAGGCCGTCGACTACTCGTGGGATTACCCTACCGCCTCAAAGAAGCTGGTCAGGTTGATCGCCGAGGGTGTACCGCTTTCGCAGGCAGTGGACATGATGGCTATCGGTGTTCAGCCACCCATCAAGCTGGTGAGCTCTGCCTGCCGACAACAAAATCACCTAGCTGACGTCACAGCCTCGCCAACCCAGCAAGCGCTCGGCCACGGTCTCGATTGACATCCAAGCCGACGGCGCATCCCAGCTGCTGGTGATCTCACCATACGACGAGGAGACAAGCGTGTACAAGCCGATGAGGGGCGCCGGACCAAGGCGGTCGGAGTCTACCGACAGCATCACGACCATGAGCACGCAATTCGAAACGGTCCATGTGGCCGAGAAGCCAAACATGAACATCCAGGTCGACCTCGAAGGCATCGGGATCTCGCTCATCACCAAAAAGCCGGACGAGCTTATCTACGTCTCGCTTCGCGGTCTCAGCGTGGGCTATGCCGACTACTCGAATTACTATGAGGGATTCATCGACTGCAAGTGGATCCAGATCGACAATCAGCTCTTCGGCGGTCTATTCCCTATTATCCTGTATCCTCAGGTCATACCGAAGGACGGAAAGGACCTGGAGTCGCACCCGACTCTGCAATTCTCGGTGGCGATTTTGAAGGACCAATGTGAGCTCAGTTCCATCATGCTAAGGGACAGGAGCTGACAAGACAGCACACGGTGTCGTCTTCATCAAGTACGCAACGATCCTGCTTCAGTCTTTGACTGTCGAAATCGACGAGGACTTCCTGTTTGCCTTGCTGGAGTTCACCAAGTTCAAGGGCGCCGGATGGGATATCGAGCCGGATGAGTGAGTTTTTTGGCAGCGCGAGTCGATACGATGAGCTGACGAGCAGCATCCTGATACAGTACCCGAAGGGCATACCGGAGCCAGCGATGACGTCCGGCAAGGCCGACTTCTTCTTCGAATACCTGCACCTCCAGCCCCTTGCTCTGAATCTGTCGTTCATGCGCACGGATCGGGTCAATGTGGACGAAAAGTGAGTCTACCGGAAGGAGGCAGCTGACGAGCAGAGTATCATCGAATAAGAACCCCTTCTACTATGCCTTCAACGCCCTGACCATGGCCGTCGGCAACGTCAATGATGCGCCTCTCAAGTTCACTGAGCTCGAGCTTAAGAATACCCGACTTTCCATCCCGTCACTCCAGGAACGAGTCCAGCTACATTACCAGGCACAGGTCGTTCCGCAGATCTACCGAGTGCTTGGATCGGCCGATTTCCTCGGAAACCCCATGGGTCTTTTCAACCAGGTCAGCTCGGGAGTCAGCGACATCTTCTACGAGCCATACCAAGGCGTGGTCATGCACGGGAACAAGGATATCGGGCTTGGGATCGCAAGGGTAGGTCCATACCTTTACGTCGGAGTAAGGTGAGCTGATCAGAGCAGGGCGCGTCCAGCTTTGCCAAGAAGACGGTCTTTGGTGTTACCGACAGTCTGACCAAGGTCACTGGCAGTATCGGCAAGGGGTTGTCTGCAGCTACGATGGATACCGAGTATCAGACGAAGCGACGCATGACGCAAAGGCGAAACAAGCCAAGACATGCGCTGTATGGTGTCGCGGCGGGTGCTTCTGCGTTTGCGGATAGTGTGACGAGCGCGTTTGAGGGTGTAGCCGTAAGTCGAGCTTGACCCGCAGCGGAGAAGGGCGAAGCTGATATCTGTAGTCCAAGCCTATGGAAGGAGCCGAGAAGGACGGCGCATCCGGCTTCGTCAAGGGTGTCGGGAAGGGCTTTGTCGGCTTGTTCACGAAGCCTTTGGTGGGCGTCTTCGACTTGGTCTCGACGTCGACGGAGGGAATCAGGAACACGACGACAGTCTTTGACCAGGACGCGCTGGACAAGGCGAGATTACCGAGGTATATTGCGTCTGATGGAGTCATACGGGTAAGTTCCTCATCGACGTTATTTGAGTAGGCGCTGACGACCAGCCATACTCCGAGCGGGAAGCTCTGGGCCAGTCATGGCTCAAAGACCTCAAATCAGGCGAATACCGACACGAGACCTACATCGCCCATCTCGATATCCCTGGAGACGACGCCGTCGCTCTCCTCTCGGACCAACGACTCGCGCTCATGCAGCTCCGAAAGATGAAGTTGATCTGGGATGTGCCATTAAGCGAGATGCAGAGTCTGTCGCTGGAAGATGGGGGGATTGGGCTGGTATTGCGAGGAGGGCAGTCGGGGCCATTCTTGCCAATTTCGGATAGGACGGGGAGGGATTGGTTGTTTAAGAATATTGGAAAGTGAGTCGCTTCCGAGATGGTTTGAGAGGGGACAGTGGCTGATGGGACAGGGTTGTCAATCAATACAATAGACGGCATGCTGCGAGAGATGATTATTAGGTAGAGTGAAGGTGGCGGGAACGATCTAGAGGCGTAGCGGGAGTCGGTGCACTTTTCATCTACCATAGGCAGACTAAGGGGTATCTTTCATGTATCATTGGATATAGTTTCTTGTCCCTTGAGGGAGTTCGGAGGAAGAGGTAGATCCCACTTCCCCTCATTTGATTGCTTTCCAACGATTCCTCTATACTGCCGGTTGTTCATCCTCCGCATCTCTCCGTGGCGTAGGATATGGGTGCGGCGCCGTTGCTGAACATGATAATCACATTCTGACCGGAAATGGCATGACTGAATGCTACAACAGGATGAACACACTTCACTCTCCCCAACGCCCCAACGCCCCTCCTCGCCCACTCCCCTACTCCCCTTAAAGCAGCCGACACATACCCCCTCCCGACCTCGATACAAGGCGCACATCTTCTACCTCCTCCCTCCAGACTTCTTCTTCTTTTTGGACTTCCCATCGTCCGAATCGGACCCGCCATTATCTCTGTGCTTGTCGTCGGCTATAATGATCAGTCCCATTCTGGGCTGAAGATCAAGGGAGGCTGAAACTTACCTCGAGCAGCTTTGCGCTCCAACTCGTCCCAATCCTCTCCACTCTCATCTTCCGCAAACGAGCCGCCTGACCCTTCCGATCCATCATCATCGTCGACTAGACAATCAGCTTTGAAGCCCTTCGGAAAGTCGGGAAATTCAAAACTTACAGTCACTCTCGCTTCCACTCTCTGACGAGCTCGCATCGCTGATCTCATCCCCGCTTTCGTTGAACTCGGATCCGTCCGAGCTTTCACTCTCGCTGTCCTCCGCTCCTCCAGTGAGGAATGTCCACCCGCCCTCAGCGTAGAAGCCGTAGGGATCCTCATTGAGCGTCTTCATGATGGCCGGCCAAGACAGGTTGACGGGGCCTTCCGAGATAGCGACGTCACACGAACTAGCGATGTCAGCTATTGTCGCTCCGCAGAGTCAAAATCAACTCACTCGAGCCACTCCTTGACATTATCGAGATGAACCACCGGGATATTGTTGATGTGCACTGGCGTCTTCTTGAAGTCGCTGTGCACAAAGACCATATCAAAGTTTTTGAGCCCGAACTGAACACGTTCCAGATGGACGAGCTCGACCTCGTTGAGGGCAATGACCGTAAAGGGGTATTCCGAGAGATGGATGAGGCAGTTGGTAGTCGGCAAGAGCATGACGTTGGAGCGGAACGGTACCCCCGAGAAGCCGAGTTCTCGGAACGGCACGTCCACCTCGAGATCGTGTTGTTGCGTCTCGGCGGCCGACTGGATGCGGCGCGCAAACTCGTGGAAAGTCTTGTCGAGCTCTTGCCGCCTCCGCCGATCCTCTTGCTCCTGCTCAATCTCATCCTCGTCCCCATACCTCGCCCGCCGCTTCTTACCGCCCGTCTCGTCAAACGACATGTCCGTGACCTCGCGGTAGAATTGGACATCGTACGTCTTCTTTTTGCCGAGCATGATGGGTGATTTGAGGTGGAAGTGGATGAGGACGATGAGTTCCTTGTCGGACGGCTGGAAGAAGAGGTTTTGGACGTTACTGAACAGGACGTCGATCCGGGCGCCGGCATTGTCCGGTCGGAACCGAACACCGTTCTGGTGAATTTCCAGATTCCCGTCCGTCTTCTTGCCCTCTGCCTGCGGCCGCGGGAAGACGTTCTTGAGAACATAGGGATGCCGCCCCTTAATCTCCAGCAGCTTCTCCTGCTCGATGACATCCGCCATCTCCTTGCGCTCCGCCTCCCGCTTCGTCGCCTGCTTCTTCAGGTCCGAGATGCCCTGGAACACCTTGAGCATATGCCGCTGGTCTTTTGAGCGGAATGACGCCGACCGAATAAAGGTCGCGTCCGGGTTCTCGAATGGCATGTCCTCCTTTTTGCCCGCGATCTGGCCGGGAGACTGGAAGTTGATCCGAAGGACGAAGTATTCCGCCTCTTCGGTTTTGGTGACGTTTTTGATGGTGGAAATGTGGAAGGGGACAGCGTAGCCGTAGATGGGGAGGACGACCGTTGACCGTTGTTCGTCGACGTGGACTCGACGATCTTCGACCGCCCGCGGTAATTGCTCCTCCCGCCGATAACTCTCGTACTTCTTGACCACCTTGTCCTTTCCGTCTCCCTTTCCATCTCCGCCCTTCTTGAACTTCTTGACACCGGCCTCTTGCCGTTCCGCATGAAGACGAGCCTGATTTGCTTTGATCTTCTCCGCTGTCGTCTGCTCCACCTGTTCCCGCTTTCCACCTCGGGTTTTGGTCGAGATGGCCCGCGTGCTGGTGGAAGCTGAAGCGCGAGCTGGCTTGGCGGGTTTCGCACTCGCCTTGCCGTTGGCTTTTGACGAACTGGGCTTGACGGCGGGTTTGACATCCTCGACCTCGTCCTCGCCATCCAGCTGCATGACGACGTCCTTGATCTTGAAGCAGCCTTCCGTGAGGTTGATGACGCCTTCTTGGCCGATTTTGACCGTGTCGGTGAGGAGGAGAGAGTATCTGGCATCATCAGCCAGGTCCAGTCCATACAAGTGAATGCTCACTTTTGACCGTTTTTCTTCGGATTTGGCAGATCTGCACACCCAAAGCTGACAATAAACACCATATTCTCCTTGAGCTCCCGACCGTTCTTTGGGCTCAGCACAAAGTTGCTATCTCTGTACTCGATACCAGTCTACATGTCAGCTGCGCAATCTCTGAGATCGGTTCAACTCACGGCGAATCCGATAGATTTGACAAACGACTCGGCCAGTGTCCCGCTCTTCGCCTTGATATACTCGAGTGCAAATTCGTAAATCTCCTTGGCGGTAGCTCCTGGCTTCATCGCCTTGAAGGTCTCGTTCCGCGCCTCGACCAGGATGGTGTAGTACTTCTCTTGTGTCTGACGATCAGCTATAACCCAGGCTAGGCATGAGTCAGCTTACCGGATGAGGATCAATCATAAATGTCCGCCCCATACTAGAACAGTAGTTCTTGTACCGCATGCCGAGGGTACAGAGGATGACGCCAGGCTTGAGGTTGTCCTGATTTGACTGGGCCGAGAGCTTGAGGTCGTATTTCCCGCCAGACTGGATGATCGGTGGGAGTGTCCATTCAGTGGACGAGAAGTCAATCTATCTGTCAGCTCGAGCCCAGATCCGATGTCAGAAAGCTCACCTCGCCAAGCTGAGCATTCCTATTCCACAGCTTCATGTCCGCCGCCTTCTCGTCATTCCCAATCTTCTCCTCAATCATACTCGCAAACTCCTCGTGCGTGACTTTTGTCCCTCGGTCGATGATGGATTCCATCTTGGACTTGAAGTAGTGAATCATGCAAGTGGAAGTCAGGCGAGAACTGGTGATGACGGTTTTCTGACTATCAGCTGTGCCAGAAGCGCAAAGGGAGTTCTCCCAACTGACCAATTCCTCCCCATCCTTTTCCCCGAGCACCTCTGAGATCGCCGCTGCCATATCAACCAGCTCCAGCCCGATCACACCGTCTTGTCTGCTGATCAGTATGATTCCACCTCTTCCTGGGCCAGACTTACGCTTTGCTCCACTCGTCTGCAAACTTGCCGGTCTGCTTGTCCTTCTGCAGATAACCGATCTGCTCGGCGCCTATTGACTTGGCCAGGTCGGGAAGCACCTCTGCACCACGTCAGCTACGTTCCGCTAAGGACCTAGTGGACTTCCGACTCACTAGCACTGGCCTCGTCCTTGCCTCGTACGCGAACATCAATCTCGATATCTCCATCGCTCTGCAGCTGATTGAGGATCTTTGCTGTCAGGGTCAGCTACTGATCGCTCTTCGCAGCGCGGATTAGCTCACCCTTGCTGGCACTGCAAACGAAGGTGACCTTCCTTGGTGATTTTGTGAAGAGCATGAGTGTCGAGGGAAACTCATAGCCCAATAACCAGGTCTGCCAATCAGTAAAGTCTCCTCAAGCTTCCAGCCGCCATCCACGCCCTTTTCTTCCCTCGCTCCCTTCCTTCCCCTTCACTGCAAAGCCCTCTTCCAGCTGTTCATCCTTGGGGCTCCTCATACTGCCCGTGCCTGTCCTCGCCTCGGCGGAACCCATCACGCCACTTCCTTCCTTCCTCCTTCCCCACCAGCTAAACGCTCTCATCCAGCGGTCCAGCTCTCAAGCTCCTCTCATCGCCATACGCGCCTCTCCTGATGATCTGCATTTCAACCCACCTGCAAAGCCGAGCTCTTCGAGTACGACAGCCCCTCATCGTTCGGCTCCCCCATGATGACCTGCAGCGCCCTCAGATCCGCCAGTTCCTCGGCCACATCGTTCGGCTGCTCCCACAGCGCGAAGATCTTGGCTGCGCGCTTGAAGAACGCCTTGCTGTCGAGAGTGACGTCGCTCATCGCGGTGAGTGGCGGGCAGAGCTAAGGGAGGAAGGAAGAAGTACGGTTGATGGATCTTGAATTATTGCTTTGGTGGTGGTGGTGGATCTGGCGGTAAGAGGCAAATCGCGTCCGCGTGACGCGTCGGCGTTTTCGGCGTTTCAGAGAAACAAGCCAGAGTGGCGGTTGGGATCCTTATCTTATCCGGGATGAGATGAGATCGATGATCAGTTGATGCTCTGATCTGCAGCGTGGGTCCCAAGCATACATGCACCAGCGTGTGAACCTGCCTGTCCCATGGTCCGGCAAGATCTGCATCCGCCCAATAAGTACTCCAGAGACTGTCCTAAGCACTCATCTGCACCTCCGCCCCGTTCCCGTGTCCATGTCCATTTCCGTTCCCATTCCCATTGACGCCGTTCGCCTCTTTTGCCCTCCGGAGATCCTCCTCCTCCCTCTCCCGCCTCATCCTGTTGATATCCTCCAACACCTCTCCCGCTCCAAGATCAATCAACCGCCTCGCGCACTCCTCTCCCCACCTCTCCGCCCCCCTCCAGCTAGCCACCACAGCCTCCGGCGCCTCATGCAACACATGCACCGACCCATCCAGAGACGTGACTGACGCGAGGAGCTTGATCCGTGCTCGGCGTGGTTGGAGGGTGGAGCGGACAGTGTCGGCCGTATCGGACGGCGAGGGGAGTGGTGTTTCGATAGGTAGAACGCCTGAAAAGTGGATAAGGGGAGACGAGCCGTCCAAGCTCTTGAGGATTTCTTCGCCGTACCCCGCGCTCTCCCATCCCGGCTCCCCCTTCTGGATCTCCTCCACCGTTGTTTCTATCCCGACGGGGACAGAGCAGCCTCCTTCGAGAACACGGAGGAGACCTCGCTCTGCACCGCACGCCCACTCAGTCTGCCAGTGTCCCGCCCGGCGGAGCAGCTCGCGGGCCGTTTGGTCCCCCGATCGGATCTCGAGGCCGAGTGCGCCTTGCCCAACCGCATGGAGGAGGACGGGGGAGGAGAGGGGACAGGTGATTCGGTGGGTCTGGCCGATACGCGTCAGACCGGAGGTAGCGAGGATAAGGGCAGAGAATGGGGAAGTAGGGGAGTCGAGCTTGGATAGTCGGGTGTTGAGGTTGCCGCGCTACAGAATCAGCTTGTGTCGACCGGTTCGAGAGCATGCCAGCTTGCCATATCCTCAAACTTCAGGCCCGGGAAGGCTCGTTTGAGCTGAGCCACCCGCCTGACACTCCCTGTCCCAATCACACTCCCCTCCGGCAGGTCCTCTATCCGCTTATAGCCCAATCCCTCCCTGACCACAAACGCATCCCTCGGGTCCTCTCTCTTCATACACGCCGCGATCTCAAATCCCTCTTTGAGCGTAGTAGGCACATCCTTCAGACTGTGCACTAGCAGATCAAAGTCCCCCTTGGCCAGAAGGGCCTCGAGCTCGTCCGTCCATAGTGATTTCGCCGGCTGGGAGGACGAATAGGGCGAGAGCAAGTGGAGCGGAGTAGATTGGTTCCGATCGCCAATGGTCGTGCTGTGGACGACGGGGAAGGAGGTTCCGGGGTGAAGATGCGCCAGGGCGTCGGCGACCAGGTGGGTCTGTACGAGGGCGAGGGCGGATTTACGGGTGCCGACGGTGTAGCTTTTAGCGGAAAAGTTGTAGCTTTGGGTCGATCGAAACAGGGGTGCAGTCGCGGGTGTTTCGGGGGCGAGTGCGAACGACATTTTGTGATTAGAAGGGTCCAATCCCGTCTAGATGGTGGTGTATGTACACACTATATATAGTACTGGTAGGTCGGATGATGGAGATGAGACCAAACATAGCAGCGCAGACTTTTTGGGAGCGGCCGACCCGGTAACTCCACCACATCTCATATCCGTGCGTTCTTCCCGCAACGCTTGGGGGTCGGGTGGGGGGCGAGATCAAGCTAGCTTGCTCCTCTTAGCCTTGCCTGTACTGGATCGCGTCGCTCTCAATAAACGCTGCCGAGCGGAACGAAGGTACATGCATGTAATGAACGTGGTGTTGGTATCTTCAGTATAGAACCTCACTCCTGACACTCATCACCGCCTCCCCCTCATCTATCTCTCTAGTCTAGCTCCAGCCCTATTCGAGCTTCCCCCGTGGCACACCCTCCATCCCGCCCTGTCCTCCGCCCATCTCGGCGATCCGTTCTGCCCGGAGACCCTCCTTCTCCACCTCGGCAATCTCCTTCTTCTGCACGGCCTTGCGGTCTTTGTCGGAGGCGGCGGCAACGCGGGCCTTGTACGCGTGGTACTGCGCCGTCAGCCATGTCCATCCACATCCTACGTCGGGAAGACAAAAGCTCACCTTGTTGTCTGTTCCGAGCATGTAGTCCCACCACCTGAAAGAGGTCGAGTAGCAGTTGACAAACGCCTGGTGGTGGAAATCGTGGTGGTCCGCGCCGGCCCAGAAAGGGAGCCAGTGGCGCAATGACCAGGGGAAGTCGTACCCCGAGTGCGCGTCGACCGCTTGGAACAGGCGGAGCGTGATCCAGATGTAGACTGTCGAGATGTGGAGGTCTTGACGGAAGAGGCAGTACAGGAAGGGGCCCATGATGGTTCCCTGGGCGAGGATGAGGACTTCGAGGGGGTGGGCGTATTCGGCAGCCTGAAAGTTAGCTTGAGCACACGTAGCTGAATCGAGTGAAAAGTAGCTCACAAGTCCAATAGGAGCCGAGAACTCGTGATGCAGTTTGTGGATGTTCTTGTACAATGGACCCCAGTGCAGCGCCCGGTGCGCCCAGTAGTGGAACATGTCCTCAAAGACAAAGAAGCATGCAATCTGAGCCGCCATGAGTCCGATGGGCGAGAACGGCACCTGGTAGGTCGCCATGCCGAAGTAGCAGCAGATGGGGTGGAAGAGGTAGATGAGGGGGAATTCGCAGGTGAAGTGGGTAAGGAGGACGACTTTGGTGCACTTCCAGATTTGTGCGCTGGTGACGGTTTTGTTCTGCATGTCAGCTACTACTCAACCTACTAATAGCACTGGATGTATCATAGGAGCTCACCTCCTGCAGCTTCCATTGACGGAAGTATGGCATGCGGTCGATGACGAGCCATGGAATCGCTCGGCCGAAGTAGACGATCTGAAATGTCAGTCCGAGCTTTTGCCACCTGTCATTGCTCGGGCGTAAGCGAAGAACGCCCGTCTTTGTCCTCGGCCCTCCCGCCGTTGCGCGGATGGCGACTACTCCGCCGCTGACTACTCTCGGAGAGCAGGACTCACCTCATGTATCACAAAACTCAGCAGGCCCGTAGCTAAAACAGGGTTCCCCATCCAGATATAGTAGCTCGCCCATGTCCGCTCGAGCCAATTCAGACCCAACAGGTCCACCCCTGGATACAGCTGGTTCTGTGCCGTTGTCGCATTGACAGTGACGAGGTGCTCGGCGAGTACTGGTGCGTACTTTTCGAGAAGGTTGTAGGCGACGTTGGTGGCCATCGTGCCAGGGGGATCGTAGTGTGGGGTGCGGGGGTCGAGGTAGAGAGCTTCAAAATAGGGTAAGGTGTACGATGGGTGGCGAGTGCACAGCTGTAGTGTGAGGGAAAGAGTGTGATGGCTGTACTAGCCTGTAGGACTGCGGTCTATATAATAAATGAATGTATGGAGTGACTTTTTGCAGGCGATCGTCGTTCCACTCATCGTCCACAACACTCGGAACCAAAAGCCGATCCCCACCCAAAATCAACAGAATGACGGCAGAGACGCGTCCAAGCTCAACCCACGCGACTGGGCGAGGAATGCTGCAGCAGCCACTAACTTCCACCTTCTATCCACCTCTCAACGAGCGTCAAAGATGGAGAACCCACACGAGGCAGAGCAGGCAGTCTTGCTCGAGAGGATTATCAAGAACGTAGTAAGTCCCAGTCTCATCGACCCAAAGACGACGGAGCGCTGACTAGCAGGACAAGTGCAATGAGGCAGTCACAGAGATGAACCACTGCATCCGGGTCCGTCTCAATTTGTGCTGGTCCTCGGTCGAATACACCAGCTGATAGGATGCAGGAGATACTCGAGTCCTCCAAAGAAATCCCAGTCACCGCTAAGCTCTTCACCAACTACTCCAGAAACGTCAACTACAACCTCGACGCGATCGGAAAGATGCCAAAGCCGCAATGATGGAGACGCTGAAGGTCCCCGACACAAGGACATTCGCCATCCCTCCCTGCCTATACACCCTTCGCGGCGCATAATCTGGTCGGGAAGAAGCTAGTGACAGCAAGGACAGATCAGCCGTGGATGCATTCCGCATGATGATATACATCCAGATCCTAGAGTCAATGGGCTGAGTCAGGCCGCCCAGCTCGCCCAGTCTATCCGCCGTCGTCCTGTTTCTGGCTTTGCCTCAATCTTGGTCAGATGGCGCATCGTCGGACGGCCATGCGGACAGTTCTGCTCATCAGCTGGATCTTAGCCCATACCCGATATACTCACCCATGGCTGATCGATAGTACCCATATTCCGCACCAGCTACCCACATCAGCCTCTGCTCTCCTCGCCGTCGACTAACACTCACCTGCGTCATTTGCCCCTTGGTCAGACTCTTCCCAATCATCACGCTCTTCCTACACGCCCGCATCGCAAACATGCTCCTCGCTTTTGTACACCGCACCATCTGTCCTGTTGCGTGAGACGAGTCCGAGAGGAGGTGAAGTAGCTGTTCCAGATCTATCCCATCAGCTTTTGGTAATGCATCACCGAGCAGCTAGACACTCACCCTTGAAGTCAAACACCGTATCCTTGCTCACTGGCATAGCTACCAGCTTGATCCTTTCCCCTCTCCCCGGCGGCTTCTCTTCATCCACATCCACCTCGAACCCGTTCGCGCGCAAGACCGGCAGATTCTCAATGGCTGTCAACTCATCCGCGGCTGTCAAATCTAACGGTTTCGGCCTACTCCATCAGCTCACTCCTCGTCATATACACCGAAGACACATAGACCCACTTGATCAGCGACTGCCCCTTGATCTGCGTTGTCCGCTGCAATGTCTCAAAGTTGAACTTCTCGTCCGACGCGTGTTGGTCGACGATAAGCAGATCGTCCGGTCCCCCCTCCTTGGCCAGACGGGCAATGATGAACCCCTTGTTGAACTGGCCTATAACCTCCATGAGCCCGAAATCAGGCTTGGAGATGACCCGCGACAGGGCCGCTTCGGCAGTTTGGGCATCCCGGTTCGAAATGCCCGCGTCGGCCGTGACGCCTGATCGTTCGAGTTTGGGGTATGCGGAAGGGGTTGCGGACGCATCGCTGGACCGGATGCGGGCTCGGCGGGCGTAGCGGGCTTGCAGTCGTAGGAGGGAAAAGGATAGGGTGATTTCGCCAGAGGTGGTGGACGAGGGGATCTCGGAGCGGTATTCCTGAAGATCTCGGGCGGAGGCGGTACCATTGGCAGCACCGCTGGACGGCGTACGGGTCTTTATGGGTGATGGAGCTGGTGATGAGGACGCCACTCGACGGCGATTCGATCTGCCGACTGCAGCTGGAGGCGGTGGGGCTGCCATCTTCTCATCGATTTCGAAATCGCCAGAATCCTCAGGCGTGTCCGTTGGCGATCCCTCCCCCTCATCACCTCCCTGGTCGAGATCCATCTCTTCTTCTCCCTCTTCCGCGTCCTCTCCGTCCTCGGCCCCTTCATTGTCCGCCTCCCCGACGCCGTCCATCGATTCAGTGTCCGTATCCGCCAGCTCCGCCAGCTCCGCCACGGCCAGTACCGCTTCTACCCCACTCCCGTCTTCATCCCCGTTTCCTGACCCTTCGTCCATCCCCTCTTCCTCCTCCATTTCCTCCTCTTCATCATCCACAACAACCACCTCCGCCTGACTATACACCTTCAGCCTCTCCCTCAGACTCTTCCTCGCCTCCTGTCCACTTCCCTTCGTCTTCGCCTTCTTGGCCGCCGCCGCTGCCTTCCGTTCCGGACTCCAGCTGGCTGTGGTAGTATCGATAACACCCTGAGTGCGCTTCCGGGCGGGTGAGGCGGGCGAGATGGCTGGCGTGGCGACGATAGGTCTTCGAGGCGGCTGCCAACCTGCGGTCGGAACAGATCGTGACGAGGATGATCGGGAGCGCTGAGAAGGGGGATCGTTGATGTCGTCCTCGTCTAGGATGGTGATGACTTGTTGTCCTCGCTCGCGAGTCCGGGACGGTCCCGCTTCCGCGTTGGAATGTGTAGCAATACGGCGTGATGCCCTAGGTGGCGGGCTGGGCGACTCGCGGGAGATAGTGGCGGGCGGCTCGAGAGGGACTTCCGCTTCGGGCTCAGGTTCCTCCTCCGAGAGCTCCTCCTCCTCTGGCGCTTCCGGAGCGACAAGCGTCGCCGTGCTCGCCGACGGCAACACCAGCCTGCCTTGCGTTGGTTTGGCCGCTTTGCCCGACTGTGTTGCGCCCTCAATGGCAAACGTCGACCGCGATGGTGCAAAGTACGACTCAAGACCGATCCGGAGCGCCGAAAGAAGGTTGGATTCCGAGTGCAGCATGATTGTGCGCTTATCGGGCGAGACATTGATATCGACCGATTCTGCCAGTCAGCTGCATCCAATCTTGGAACGACAATCCCGCAGTGCGTACCTCTCGGGATGATGAAGTCGAGAATAGCCAGTGGAACCTGGTTGGTGTTGAATGACTTGTACACCTCATTGACCACCTTCTGGATCGACTTGAGGTCCGCCGGTCTCCCATTGACATAGAAGAACTGCCTGTCCGCCGCGTTCCGGCCCTGTCCCCATGCAGCGGACGAGAGCAACCCTTTGACCTGTACAGTCTGACTGGCCGCCTCGTCCCCCTCCCGCCTCGCCATCCGGTCTATCGTCACGTCCAGCGCGATATCCACTTCGGTGACCCCGTCGAGAGCTTTACTGCCCCACACAGCCTGGACGTTGGTACGTAGATCGCCTCGGCCGTCGTTCGATAGCAGATTGGCGCGCTTGGTGGTGATCCCGTCGACTTTGAGTCTGACGCCCGGAGTATCGGGGGTAGAGGAGGCGGGGATGAGGGCGTACGCCGTGAGCAGGCTCAGAGCCTTTGTGAGCTCTTTCTTGGCGTTTCGCTCGAACTCTTTGCGCCGGACCGGGAGGGGTACGAAGAGACCGGACAGTGTGACAGTCGTTCCTCTCTATCTTGTCAGCGTCTCCTCAGACTTCGATAGGGGTGCTCGAGCGTACAGGCTTAGCCACTCTCGCCGTGTGATCCATCACCCGTCCATCCCTCCCTAGCTGGATGACCGCCCCCATAGGCTCCGTCTCCTTGGTGCTAGTCACAACAGTCACGCTCTCGCATAGCGCACACAGCGCCGAGAGTGCCTCGCCCCGGAATCCGAAGGTGTCAACCGATGGCAAGAGCGCCAGCTCCGGTAGCTTCGAGGTATGGTGCTTGAGGCCGATATATGGCCAGTCGGACTCAGCAATCCCACTGCCATTATCCACCACTTCAATAGAGGTCGTCCCGTAGTCTTTGATCCGGACATCTTCATCATCAGCTCTAGCGCAAAAGACGGATGATCGCTGTACCTATGCTGGTAGCGCCCGCATCAAGGGCATTCTCTACCAGCTCCTTCAAACAGCTCTGGAGGTCGAGGACGACCTGACCAGAATGGATCCGGTGGACCGAGGTGGTATCGATCGCTACCTATCAGCCTCATTCTTCTATCCTGGACTCACCCTTGATACTGGCCGACATCCGGCCTAGCTGCTATGTGCTAGCACAAGAGACGCTTGAGCGCGTCGAGATGGTCGTCCTCGTCGCGACTTTCGTTGCCTTACGGCATGATTTCGGATACACCCGATCGCTTGGTCCAGCTTCTTCTTTTTCGTCGCTCTGCTTTGGCTATTGGACGCTCTTGGACCTCTCTCCACGCTCTGCACAACATCGGAGCAGGACAGACGACCAGGCCGTCCGTGACAACGCGGCAAACATGAGCTCGGAACTTACAGAACGATGTGTCGAGTTGCAAAATGACGAGATCGAGGTGCTGGAAGTGAGTCCTTGCCACCCGCCCACTCTCTGCACAGATAGCTTACCAAGGCCCCAGTCAATCTATCCCGGACAGACCACCCTATCGGATGATGTCGGCGGGAAACTCCTCTCCATGTCGATACCCATCGCATTGGGTGGGAACACTCAAGTCAAGCTCGTGCCCTCTTTGTCTCGCGGATCGAGGAACGGCGAATCCTCCACGTCTGGACAACCGATCGCCCATCCCGAGCTGGTGCTCTCGCACCTCCCTCCGCTCACGATGCAGCTCCTACTTGCCAAAACATACCCTCTTGAGGCGCCGGCGCGGGTCGTAGCTCTCAAAGCTGGGCTGGAGGGGGACGAGCGGTCTAGCTGGCTGCCTCGCGCTGCGCTGCAGGCTGTGCAGAACAAGCTCGGGGTCATGTGGACGGAAGAGAAGGAAGCGATGAGCGAGGGATCGGGGGTGCTTTGGAAATGGTGGGACTGGATAGGGACCGGGGAGTTTTTGGCAGAACTGGGAATGATGGATTCCGAGCTAAGGTAAGCTATCCATCTGGCGCTGGGGCTATCCAGGCTGACAAGCAGGCTGTCTGTCCCTCCTGCCCTACCCTTATCGATCTTCCACACCCTTCTGAAGACGTACAACGCTGCCCAGCTCAACTCCTCCTTCGAGCAGACGGCGTTCTCGTGCACGATCTGCTTTGAGAATCGAAAAGGGAAGAGCTGCGTACAAATGCCTTGTGGCTGTGTCTTGTAAGATTCAATTTCCGCCTACCGGAGGAACAACGCTGACAGGCAGTTGTAACCCATGTTTGAATGCCTGCTGGACGCTAGCTATCTCCGAGGGCACGCTGGAGTCGGTAGCTTGCCCAAGTCCCGGATGCGTCAAGAAACGCGCGACCAGGGATGCCGGCCAAGCAGCGGATGCGGAACAGGATCTCGATCCTGCTCTAGTTGAGAGTGTGGTAGGAGAAGAATTGCGCCTACGATGGGAAGAACTACGAGACCGGAGAAAGGCAGAGATAGGTACGTCTCCTATCCTGGCATTGCTGATTCCAGATCCTACCTACTGTGTCTGCCCACAACCCAATTGTCAAGCCGCCGTACCCCCACCCCCGACCCCATCCGCCGCCGACCTCTCCGCTCAAGAAACAATCTCCAAGCGCGCCTTCCGGATCACTACAGCCCCCTCTTCCTCTCCCTCGCAACACCAGCCATCAACGATTCCTCGCGAGGATCGCTGGGCGCGCTATCGGCAATGTCCCAAGTGCACCTTCTCATTCTGCCTATATTGCTCCGCGACATGGCACGGACCGCACACGCCCTGCTCCTTCCCCCAGACGTCACTCATCGTGCTCGAATACCTCTCGTACCCCGAAGGCAGCGCCGAGCGGGCACAGATGGAACAGAGAAGAGGGAAGAGTAATCTGGAAAGAATGGTGGCGAGGTATGTCGAGGATGAAGAGAACAAGAAATGGCTCGAACAGCGCACGAGAGCTTGTGCGGGCTGCGGAGTCAGGGTGGAGAAGAGTCATGGGTGTAACCATATGACTTGCGGGCGGTGTGGGTCGCACTTTTGTTATCGGTGTGGGACGTCGGTGAGTTTATTTTGTCGCTTTGATTAGTACCTGGGACGGCTAAAGCTGACACGTACATATAGTTGCGCTCAACGGATCCATACATGCACTACAGGACACCAGGATCTTGCTTCGAGAAGCTATTCGATCAGGAGGAGATCGCGCGATTCGAGAGGGAGACGGCGATGCAGCAGGCGGGGATCGTGGATTTCGACGGGGGAGATGCGTGGGGTGCTAGAAACGTGTGGGAATGGTAGTAGCGTCTTCTACAGATGCTAGGCATGTAGCTCTCATGACGACCACTGCCACCATGACATGGGGAAGGGGAGCATATAGTAGTAGTTATCCCTCCGGGCCCACTTTATAGGGTGTAAAGGGAGTGCAGCTTGTCAGGGAGTGAAATTGACAGCAGTGCAGTAAATACGATCAGCGGTGATGGAGGCGGTAACACAAGGTGCCGTGAGACTGACTTCACCCCTTCATTCGATACAAAATCCAATCTGCCACCTCGCAGCGACTCTACTGCTTCTGCTTGATCAGCCAGATCTCTGGCATGCGCAGGGGACAGTAGACTCACATCAGCGATTGGGACGTCCTTGCCTGTCATCTTCTTAAAGCCAGAGCGGATACCGTCGCTGATCTTCTCGGTGGTAGAGGCGGACTGGCCGTGGCCGGCCTTGCCGAGGATGCTGTTCACACCTTTGTCTGCAAAAAGTCAGCTCGGTTCCTTGGTGGATGGTGCTGAGCAAGAGGATGTGGATAGGGCGCCCTTGCTGATGTAGCTAGGGAGGCAGGAGCAGATAGGCGGGGCGCGGATAGGATAGGAAAGGAAGAGGAATGGAAGAAGCAGACTCACCAAGAGCGTCCTGCTGGCCGGTAGAGGCGGTGTTTCCGGTCATGCCGCCAGTGTTGCTTCCGATGTTGTTGTTCATGGTGATGGGTGGTGAGTTTGGGAAGTTGTGGGGGATAAATATGGTATGGTGCAGGAGATTGAAGAGGTGTTTGGGGTCTTATCTATTCCTGTGCATCTCTGCCACAGCTGGGCCTGGGCCAGATCGTCATGACGTCACCAATCGACAAGCTTAATTTCGTCGTCAAGTGGCGCCCGTGGCCACAGCGCTATCATACAGGCCCTAGTTGCAGCAGCGCTGATCATGCTCACTTTGATCGCACTATAAGCCGGACTCGTAGGTCAACCCATAGCCTGGGTGACTCCTGCCGCTCTCTAAGCTCTACTTGTCATCTACATGGCTATCTATGATGCCTACTCGGCTAGCTGTGATCTATTGACATTTGCGCTACGCAGCTATGTTCTAGTCTACCATTCCCCATCCTCATCACCCGAGCCATCCTCGCCCGCCGAGTTCACCGCAGTCGTACTCAGATATGGTATGTCCTCCTGCATCTGACGCCTCAAGACCAAAAAGTCCCTCACCCCGAACACCTTTGCACGCTTGTGCAGCTTTTTGAGCTCCCTGTACCAATCGTCCACCTCGTCCTCCCAGACCTTCTTCATCTCCAGCGTCTGCTTCATCGTATCCACCACGTGTGCTATCACCTCCTTCCGCCCCATAAGCGCCTGAGCATAATCCTCGCTGGCCCCTCCCTCCATGAGTGTCTCTACGAGATCAATCAACGTCGACATGGCAGCTGTGCGCATGTCCAGGTCGCACCCGCGCTGAGTGACGCAATTGTGGATGTCCACCACGACGATGATGAGCGCCGGGATGATGGCGGTGACCTGCTCCTGCAAGAGGGCTTCCGGAGTGACGTGGGAGGTCGCCGCGAGCTTGACAGCTGTATTGACATTGTAAAGTCCGACGCGGAATTGGTGCTCGGGGTCGGCCGTGGGCCGCGGCGCGCGAGGTCTGTTTTCGTCTGCGATGAAGGAGGTCATAAAGATTTCGCTGCTAGGGTACGCTTGGAGCAGCTTGGTGAGGAGCTTGTGGGATTGAGGAGCAGTGAGGGTGGCGATCTGGTCAAGGATGGGGGAGTCGGACGAATCCTCGCCTGAGGTACGCTGGCGCTTGGATGACATGAGGGAGGGATAGAGGAGTGGTTGGAGGTCACAGTGAGTAAGACAGGAGGCAACACAGTCTTAACGTATCTGTACGAGCACCCTGCTGTCACCTTGCAGCTCTGCGGGAGGAAAAGACATTAATAGACAAAATCAACCTTATTCGGACGATACTAGACAAAATCTTTTCTAATCGGACACCAATAGACAACCCATTTTCATGAGGAATCTCGCTCGGGCAGGAGACGGTGCTCCTTCTGCGGCATCGCAGATGTTCGGCCCAGCTCCGGATACGCAGGCAGGAAGGGCGGCGGCGGCGCAGGCGGTCAGAGGTGGTGGGAGGAAGTTGATCAAGTGCTCGAAGTGCAAACAGATGGGGAATCACAACAGCGCTACGTGTACTGGGGTGGTGGCGGGGACGAGTGCGAGTACGAGTTGGCTCAGACGACCAGTGAGTACGGCTGCCGAGTCAAGCTGACTTCTCAGATGCCTGCCTAGCCGCTCCTCCAGCTCCTGACGCACCTCTTGCCGACTGGCCCGCCATCCTCTCCCTCTCTTTCCCATGGACAATACTTCTCGCATGGACGATCTCTCTCTTAAATACGAAGCTTGCTATCTCTCTTGTCATGTATGTTGATCGATATCAAGTAGAGAGGGAGCGGCGGTGTCTTTGTGATTGTTCTTGTAAACCCCCAAAAAGCTAATAACAGAGGCCGCGCGGATCCGATTACAAAAGCTAATGAAATCGGTACGAGATTCCTGATGAAAATGACTTGTCTATTAGTGTCCGATTAGAAAAGATTTTGTCTAGTATCGTCCGAATAAGGCTGATTTTGTCTATTAATGTCTTTTCCTCAGCTCTGCGGCGCCACGAGGAATGTGGGCAATTTCGTGCTGCCGATGCCGGCATGTCTCGGAATGTTCGATGCTGTTCTATCGGGCATGCTGCATACGGTGAGGAGCACCGTGGCTCTTCCTAATGATACAGTACTTGTATACTTGAGTCCCTCTCGACGAATGCTGGCTTGCTTCCAATTGCTGGTACTGCGCGAAATACTTGCCCTTGCTAATGCACGGATGTTGAGGAATGAGTCCCTGAGAGGTCCGAGCGGGGTGTGGCAGTGTGGCAGCGAATGTGGCTCCCGCGCTCGGACCTCCCTCGAAAACCGCCTCACTGTCGCCCCTCAATCTTCTGTCATATCCCTCCGAGTTCGGACCTTCCGGCCGCCTTTTTCGGCGTCTTACTATGCATAGAAGACAGTAGAACAACCCAGAACCCTCAGGAAAGAGCTGGAAGGCGCCAGGAGCGTCGATTTGACCTTAAATGATCAGCCTGCTTAAGCTAATCAGCCCGTTTCTAGATCCTTCCCTCACGTCATCCATGGAAAAAAGTGTCGGGGTCGATATAAGCAAGCCAACGTCCCTCTTCCTTTCCTTTCATAACTTTCAGACAACTACAAGTCGCTGAACAACTACACACCACTACAACAACCTAACAACAACCACATCTATTCACAATGGTCAAAGCTATCGGTATCGATTTGGGAACCACCTACTCGTAAGTTGAAGCTGACTTCATTCCTCCCCTCGAGCTTGCCGCTGACAGGACAGGTGTGTCGGTGTCTGGCAGTCCGACCGTGTCGAGATCATCGCCAACGACCAGGGTAACCGTACCACCCCGTCGTACGTTGCCTTCAACGACTCGGAGCGTCTCATCGGAGATGCCGCCAAGAACCAGGTCGCCATGAATCCCTACCACACCGTCTTCGACGCCAAGCGTCTGATCGGGCGCAAGTTCGCCGACGCCGAGGTCCAGGCCGACATGAAGCACTGGCCCTTCAAGATCATCGACAAGGGAGGCAAGCCTATCATTCAGGTTGAGTACAAGGGCGAGGAGAAGCAGTTCGTGAGTGACTCTCAGCTTGGAATGTGGACTTTGCTGATTTCAGTCCCCCGAGGAAATTTCGTCCATGGTCCTCATCAAGATGAAGGAGACCGCCGAGGCCTACCTTGGTGGAACCGTCACCAAGGCTGTCGTCACCGTCCCCGCCTACTTCAACGACTCTCAGCGTCAGGCCACCAAGGACGCTGGGTTGATCGCGGGTCTCGACGTGCTCCGTATCATCAACGAGCCCACCGCCGCCGCCATTGCCTACGGTCTCGACAAGAAGGGCGCGGGTGAGAAGAACGTTCTCATCTTCGACCTCGGAGGTGGAACGTTCGATGTCTCGCTCCTGACCATCGAGGAGGGTATCTTTGAGGTCAAGGCGACCGCCGGAGACACCCATCTCGGTGGTGAGGACTTTGACAACCGTCTCGTCAACCACTTCGTCCAGGAGTTCAAGCGCAAGAACAAGAAGGACTTGTCCTCCAACGCTCGTGCCCTCCGTCGTCTCCGCACCGCGTGCGAGCGTGCCAAGCGTACCCTCTCCTCGGCCGCCCAGACCTCCATTGAGATCGACTCTCTCTTTGACGGTGTCGACTTCTACACCTCCATCACCCGTGCCCGTTTCGAGGAGCTCTGCCAGGACCTCTTCCGGTCCACCATGGACCCCGTCGAGAAGGTCCTGCGCGACTCCAAGATCGACAAGGCGTCCGTCCACGAGATCGTCCTCGTCGGTGGTTCCACCCGTATCCCCAAGATCCAGAAGCTCGTCTCGGACACCTTCTCGGGTCGTGAGCCCAACAGGTCCATCAACCCCGATGAGGCCGTCGCCTACGGTGCCGCCGTCCAGGCCGCTATCCTTACCGGTGACACGTCCGAGGCCACCCAGGACTTGCTCCTCCTCGACGTTGCCCCCCTCTCCATGGGTATCGAGACCGCCGGCGGTATCATGACCCCCCTCATCAAGCGCAACACCACCGTCCCCACCAAGAAGTCCGAGATCTTCTCGACCTACTCGGACAACCAGCCCGGTGTGCTTATCCAGGTCTACGAGGGAGAGCGTGCCAAGACGAAGGACTGCAACTTGCTCGGCAAGTTCGAGCTTTCTGGTATCCCACCAGCACCTCGTGGTAAGTTCTTTGCTAGAGTTTTGTGAGTCTTGCTGACATGCAGGTGTTCCTCAGGTCGAGGTCTCGTTCGACGTCGACGCCAACGGAATTTTGAACGTCTCTGTAAGTTTCCTGCTCTGGTGCGCACAGTACAGTGACTGACCCATAGGCCGCCGACAAGACCACCGGAAAGTCCAGCAAGATCACCATCACCAACGAGAAGGGTCGTCTTTCCAAGGAGGAGATTGAGCGCATGCTCGCTGAGGCCGAGAAATACAAGGCCGAGGACGAGGAGGCTGCGTCCAGGGTCACCGCCAAGAACGGTGTTGAGGTGAGCAATCTTTCCTATTTTTGTCTGCAGCTTCATCTTGTCACTCCATAGCCTTTCAGTAGCTCTCATCGTAGCTCAGCTGTCATCACCCCAACTTGGAATTCCTCCCTTGAACCTAAGCTGACTTGTAGTCCTACGCCTTCTCCCTCAAGAACACCCTCTCCGAGAACGGCGACAAGTTCTCCGCCGAGGACAAGGAGGCTCTCGACAAGGCCGTCAACGACACTGTCCAGAAGCTCGAGACAATGGAGACCGCCAGCAAAGAGGAGTTCGAGGAATTGCAGAAGGAGCTCGAGGCTGTCGCCAACCCCGTCATGCAGCGGTAAGTCTCTTCTACTTGTGCGAGGTTGACTAGGACTGAGCTGATGATCAGGTTCTACGCTTCCAGCGGTGGTGCTCCCGGCGGTATGCCCGGTGGCGGTGCGGCCCCGGGTGGCTTCCCAGGTGCCGGTGCCGGTGGCAACGATGGTCCTTCGGGTAAGTCATTCACTTTCGCATACACGTATAGAGCTTGCGCTAACGTAGGCAGTCGAAGAGGTGGACTGAGTACGCGTGTAGATCGCTGCGCGTCGATTTCAGGAGGTAGAGAGAAAATATGGGACTTAGAGAGATGAAGACTCTGTAATTATGCACAAAATCCGACTTTTCCGCCGAAATTGTCCCAAATCCTCATTTTTACTTGCACCTGTATGCAATGTGAGTGATCTTCCCTTGTCCTGCTTGTACATCGAGTCTACCTGAAGGCCAAAGTATGAGCCCAGGGACCGGTATAAAGCTAGAAGTCAAGGAGAGAGAGCAAGGAGTAAAGGAATGTGCCAGTTCCCCACTTTCCCCACTCTACGGTATTTGCCACCCGGACCGAAAATTGAGTCCGAGACTCTCCTGCCTCGTTTCAAAGCAGCGGGGAGGTAAAATGCCCCCTTCTGTTACAGAAATAGGACTCCTCGCATCCGAGTCTGTCTCCCCTGCGTCTCTTCCCGAGCTATCTTCTGCATGCATCCACCACCCACAGTTCAACCGTCGCAGCGGGATTGGGTGAATTTTTCCGGAATTACCAGAAGCGGTACTTGCGATAAGATCTCGCTGATCAAGCAAGAAGGAGCGCAGGGGCATAAGGCGCGTGTAACTATACATCCCCTCGTCTACCCTCGGCCCCCGAAAGCGATGCGCTGTACCTTTGAGTGGTACCTCCAGCGCTGAGCCACGCGTCCAGCTGATGCATATAAGTATAGCATGTCTCAAGCTCCCCCCAACAATATCAAGATCAAGTAAACATTCACAGAGACTCTTTCGCCCTCAACAAACAGACAGATAGAGTATAGCAGCCATGGTACACGCTTAAATCCTGATCAATGCCCCGCCTGCGGTCGTGCGCGAGGTGGTGAGTCTCCCCTGTACCAGAGCTTGACAGTAGCTGATCTTGGTGCAGCTTCTCGACTTTGAGAAACTGTCGACCTACCACGATGGAGCCTTCTTCAAGTCCATCAAGATCCTCACGCCGGGACGCGCATCTGGGATGGATCTGGTGGCTGGGGACAAGATCGAGGTTATTATACCAGGCAGCACGTTCACGCCCATCATGCAGGTGAGTCAAAGCCATTGGAAAGCAGACTCGCAATAGCTGATATACACAGGAGAACTCCCCGGCCCGGTTCAGCTGGCTCGGCTCAATACCCTACATCTTCACCGGCCAACATGACTTCAGCTTCACTCCACAAGCAGGCGAATCGGCACAGACCCTCTTCTCGCAACATGAGGAGTTTACGGGTCTGCTCAGTCCTCTCGGGACGTTCTTCGACGCAAAGCTGAAGTTGGGCTGGGCGGCTTTCAACAATGATCTCAAGAAGGAGGCAGAGCGGGTCTGGGCGGAAAAGCAAGGTGCCGGACAGTGAGCCAGCTATACTAGGAGGCCTCTTGGGCTGTAATTTGGGGCGCGTATAATTGATCATTTCGCCAAGCTGAGGACACGCTGACATGCTGACCGGATGAGGTCCCCAGTGTGAGCATCAATGATGCTATACCATACTGACCCGCATCTAGGGTTACCATACAGCCACTCCATAGCCCATAGAAGCGGCCGCCCGTGCTGACACCTCACTCAATCCCATCCTTCCAGAGTCCGACGTGCCTCAAGCGCAAGATGTGCCCCATGGCATGTTACAAACGCTGTCCACACAGAGTCCATTCGCGCCACCCACATACCCGCCCCAATCGCTGTCATCGCCACCCCGCCCGCAAACAGCTTCGCGAGAGCCTCTTTGTCCGAGGACGGGTCGAGCTCCACCCCTGCGCGCATCACGCTGAAGGAAATGAAGGCGGAGATAAAAGAGGCCGAATCGTGGTTGAGAGTACCGTTTCCAGAGGAGGCGTTTCCTGAGCAGATCTGGGTCAGAACCACTACGCCGGTAGTCGAAATGGCCATGACGTACTGAGTAGGTGTGGGTCCGGAGAGATGCGTTAGAAGACTGCTCACCCGTGAGCAGACCTTAGAAGTCATCGAAGGGTCGTCAGTGTTCATGCTCGTGGAGGTATGGAGGGAAAGAGGAGAGCTCGACCCGTCCCTGACACCACGGGAACCTGTCAAGCTGTCCCTCTAAGTGTGCTGAAAGGATGAGTCACTGATACACTAAGTTGTCGTGGTATACCAAGGGGTCTATGGGGTCAAGGGATCACTCGGAATGCCGGACTAGCTGCTGGCACGCTGAGCCGCTTCGCATCGTGGGTGAAGGCTGCAGGCAACTGGCGAATGTTCACCAGAACAGACATGGGAAGTGGGGCCGATATGTAAATGACCCGATACATGCTTGTAACACCTTCTCACAGCTACAAACAGTATGCACTGGGGAGGGCGACAAGAAGACTCAACCGGAAGTGATCGTCGCATCGGCCGTGAATGTTGCTTTGAGGACCTTGAGGCCGGCGAGCTGCAGACCGTGTGCGGTCAGGAAAGCAGCGATGGAGGCGCCGTCGACTGGAGATGAGTGCTCATCCAACACTGTTACCGTAGCGCCGAGGAGCGCGAATCCGGCAGCGACGGGTCCCATGAATGTGCTCGCTGTGGGGTTTGCGGCTGCCCACGTCATGAGGCGGGCAGAAACGCCTGAGCCGGCGACTGCGAGGATGGTTTCCCCGAGGGAAGCATCGGTCCACACGGAAAAGACGAAGACTGCGGTAGGCGTGATGGCGGTGCTGATGGCTTCCTCTCGCGTCAAGGTGGCAAGAGTGGCGTCGAAGAGTTGCTTCAAGCTCTCTGCGCTGACGTTCATGAAGTCATCGAGCTGGCATTTGAGATTCGTGTTACTGTCGAATGCCGGAGGGGACATGATGATGGATGTATAGAGGGTGGAGAGAGTGCGTGGCGCGGATATATATACCCCTGATATCGATCAGACGACCCATCTCCGGGCTGAAGGCGTGCTTCGAAGCCTCGAGGCGTTCAGAAGCAGGTCGCGTGATCAGCTGAACCCCTCATGGCCCTGACGTACAAAGGGGGCGACCAGCCAGATCGAGGGGACGATAAGCTATCGTCGGCCCATCTGATCTGTGCTCTTGGGAGACTTGAAACTCGTGCACATGCTGTATGTGCGGCCATCGATTGTCAAGTGGATCCGATTGTACATCGTCGGCCGGTTCTGTAGACGGCATCGTGAGTTCTCGGTCAGGCAGTCTGGCAGCCAGCAGCTGACTGGACAGATAAAAGCTTGCCGCTCAACAAGACCCTGAGGGCAACTGAAACCCCAGCGCCGTATTTGCAAGGGGCAGAAGGGTGAAAGGGAGACAGACAGGCCCCAGGGTGGCTACCAGTTAGCGACCCCCAGCATCAAGAGGAGGGTAGAGGGACTCTAAATGTCTATGAGGATCGCGTACCTGAACTGTATTCGCCGTTCTGCGCCAGTATCTGATTGTGCATGCTGGTCTGAGTCGCTATTCTCCGATTGTTTTTTGCCTTATTAGCTCCCTCTCCTAATCATCGCGCAATTCCCCTCTGTCCGCACCGGCGATAATAGGGGCAATGATGTGATAAGGAGCTGCCTCAGGCCTGCCCAGATCACGACGTCAGATTTAGTCAGATTGCTCAGTGATAGCTGCTTCTTGGCCTTTATTAGCCACACCCAACATCAGTCGGACAGACCCGGGTGAAGGGCGACGTGGGACCCGCGCTCCACGTTCCTCCCCTTGAAGCTGTACAGTAAAGAAATTACATACACTGTTTACAAGAAACCTTCTTCCCCTTCCCCCTTAATGTGTTTCCCACTAGGTTGCCACCGGTCCTACTCTCGGCTGCTCCCTCTCCTTCGGCATCTTGACCTTGCTCGCCGATCCCATCATCGCCTCGATCTCGCTCTTCTTGAAGACGTGTGGAGCAACTGTTGAATCAGCATCATCCTTGAGGCCAGTTAAGAGCAAAGAAAAGGAAGACTCACGTTCCGCCAACCAACTCCCCTCAATGGGCATACACTGCCGCATATACTCCTTACTCGTCAAAACCAGCTCGTAGTACAGGATGAACCTGGGTGGTGGCTGCATGCCGATGATACAGGACGATGGGTGGACGTAGACTGAATGGTTGTTCTTGGTTGTCTTGTACCCGCCTCCACGATCTATCCGAGCCTAGTCGTCAGCGTAGTCCCGGCGACAGTAAAGAAAAGACTTACGGTATTATAAAAGTAACCCGACGTAAGCGCCTTTTGCACCGGCACCACCTCATTCGGCGTACTCTCCACAACCACCTCGACCCGCTCGCACAGCTGCGCCAGCTGATCCCTGATATCCCGTACGCGCGTGAGAGACTTGTACTGCACAAAGTTCTCCAGCGCCCACTGCTGGCTGTAGTTGGACTCGGCCCACTGCTCAAAGATATTGAGAAGGGTAAAGTGGTCCCCGCCGGGCTTGATGAAGTTCCGATGGGCCTTGTCCGCATGGACCCGCTTGTCCTTTGGCCGATAGAGTAGTGATCCCGATTCCTGGAGCATGGAAATGATGGTAAGAACCTTAGGGGTTAGCGAGATTTCTCGGCAAATTTGGGAAATTTCACTCACTTCGTGCGTGCACTTGTAATTCTCAGAATTGATGATCGCCTTGCTCAACATTGGGTCCACGGGGAACTCAGACATCCGTCGACCCATCTTGGTCAATTCAGTCTTATGATTGAGAGCCCCGAGCGCATATAGCAGCTCAAAGGACTGGATGATGGTATCCGCCGGTGGTTTGTCAAGGAAATCGAAATTGAGAATATCGTTGATTCCGAGGGATTTGAGCATGAGGACGACCGTTCCGAGGTTGGTACGCTGGATTTCCGGTACCGTGTCCTCCAGAAGTTCATTCTTGAAGGCCCATTTGGTGTATAGTCGGAATGCCTTACCGGGCCCGACCCGGCCGGCTCGACCCGCTCGTTGTTGTGCCGACGCGCGCGAGATGGGTTCCACGACGAGGGAGGACATGCCGGTCTTGGGGTTGTAGTTGTTCTGTTTGACAAACCCGGGGTCGATGACGTAGACGACACCGTCGATGGTGATGGAGGTTTCGGCGATATTTGTAGCGAGGACGACCTAGATGTCAGCATTGTCTTTAAATATAAAGGCGGAGTCTTACCTTTCTTGCACCCGCTGGTGTCGGCTCAAAGATCTTGGACTGCATCTCGCTCGGCAGGTTGGCGTAGATCGGGGCGATGATCAACTCCGGCACCTTGTCGCCCAGGGCGTACATCGTCTCCTTTAGATTCTCCTCGCACGCCTCGATCTCGTCTTGACCCGTCAAGAAGAGGAGGATGTCGCCTTTGGGTTGGGTCGTATGGATTTGGAGGATGGATGTAATGGCTGCGTGGATATAGTTGGCCTCGGGTTGTTGGGTGTAGTACACGTCGACTGGGAAACGACGGCCGGGGACTGTCATAAGCTTGACCCTGAGGGTGGGAGATGGAGACTTACCATTGAACGTAGGCGCGTCGTCAAAGAACTCGGCAAACTTTTGGGCGTTGAGGGTAGCAGATGAGATAAGGAGTCGAAGTTCAGGTCGGAACCGAGCGATATCCTGGCCGTCAGCACAGACTTTTCGCAACAGCAGCTAAACTCACTTTGATCAGACCAAACAAGATATCCGTACTGAGCGTCCGCTCGTGCGCCTCATCAATCACCAGCGCCGCGTACTGCTCCAACGAAGGGTCCGTGAGGAACTCCCGCAAGAGCATCCCGTCCGTCATGTACTTGAGTACCGTCTTGTCGCTCGTCATATCCTCGAACCGGATCGAGTACCCCACCTCCTGCCCTAGCCTACATCCCATCTCCTCCGCCACACGCGCCGCCACCGACATGGCCGCCACTCGGCGAGGCTGGGTACAGCCAATCTTCTGACCGTTCTTGGTGTACCCCGCCTCGTGGAGATACTGAGGTAATTGAGTGGTCTTGCCGGACCCGGTCTCGGCGACGACGATGAGGACCTGGTGCTCGGCGATGGCGGCGAGGAGGCCGTCGGGACCGTCTCGATAGTCGTAGATGGGGAGGGATTTCCGGGTTTGCTCGATCGACATAGCTGCCTGTAAGCTAGTTCCCCCAGCAGTAACGATAGACTTACCCTTGTGCTCCAGTGAGGCTATATTATCCAATATCGCCTGGTCCTCCTTCGTCAAGTTCCCATCCAGCTTGCCCTCCTGCAAGAACTGGATCCCCTGACTCTCGTCAAAGACATAGTCATACGACTCCTCCGTAAACTCCACGTCCAGCGCCCCGGTCTTCATATTCGTCTTGTCCGTCTGAGCAAGCTCCCAGTGATCGACATCCGAGACGAATTGCCCGTCGACCGGTTTGCTCTCCTCGTACCGTTGATACAGGGCATTCTTGCGCTTTTTGGCGTCGATCCTGCCCTGCTCGGTGATGTAGTCGTCCGGCATCATGTACCCGTCCTTCCCATCGTCTATCCGCTCTCGCGCCTCCATGATCCGGATGAGCTCCTTCTTCCGCTCATAATCCTCCAGCTCCCGCTTCGACATCTTCTGGTTCCTGAACAGCGCCTTCTCATCCTCAATCTCCATCCGCAAGAGGTCCAGCCGCTGCTTTTCCCGCTTGGTGAGATACTCTTGCCGAGAGTGGAGTCGGAGATCCTCGATAACCGCCCGCCGGGCTTCTGGATCGTCCGCTAGTAGTGCCCGCCGTTCCGCCTCGAGACCGGAGCCGCTCTTGGTTGTCCGATCCGTGACAAGCTTTTTGGTCTTGTCCTGGTCCTTCTCCCGCATCCGAGCGGCAAAAGCATCCCTTTCCTCGGCGTCCTCTCTCGCTTCGCGCTCCAGGCGCTCTTCCTCCGTCTCCTGAGGTCCGTCTTCCGGCGGCACTGACTCAAAGCGTGCCCGCTTGGAGCCAACGTCTACCGGCTCGGGCGGTTCTGGTTCATCGTCCCAGTTGCCGTCTGTCTCCCGCTTCCGGCTCGACCGCCCCATCTTTACCGTCTCCTTGTCCGCCACATTCTCCTTGCCCTTGTCCCGCTTCTTCTCCTTCTTCCGCTTACTCGTGCTCGACTCTGCTTCGTCGTCCAGAAGCAAGCTGAACTTCTGGGTGTTGACGGCGGATACCGGCTTTGCGACCTTGGCCTTGACCTTTCGCGGCACGAGCGAATGGACCTGGGATGCGAAGGACTGCGAGTCCGGAGAATCGGTCAGACCGACACCGAGGAGGGCATGGTAGAGGTCGCCCGGGGTCTTGGAAGACAAGGCGAGACTGTGAACAAAGTCGACCGTAGCGCTGTCGGACGAGCCCAAGATCTGCCTAATTAGCTGGTTTCTTTCGCCCAGATTTGAAATACTCACCCTCACGACATTATCGCTGATGAAGGTCTTGAGGTCTGACATGGCAAGTCGACAGGGGTATAGGAGACAGGTAAGCAGAGGCAAAGCTGTAGAGATGGCTGGGCGGCGAATTCGCACAGTGAGCCTAGCTTCTTTACGTAACGTGCCTGCCCAGCACGGCTCGCGCGCGTCCGAGCCAACTCTTACTTGTTGTTCATTCCTTGATTATACCTCTACCTTCTCTACCTATCGCTTCTATCCTCAGCTCCTTGGACCTGGAAAGTCAGGCTCTGGAGTACACAAGGAGGACCTCCCGTTTTCTCCCGACCAAAAAGCCTCTCCCATAGCTCCCACGGTGCTCGAACAGTTCAAGTCGTCGTCATGCCCGGCCTACCCTTGCTCAGCAAACCCTCCCCTTCCTCCGGCTCGTCCTCCATCCCCGCCTCATCATCAGCATCCTCCATCACCTCTCAACCGTTCGGCTCGAAATCACTACAGAGAAAACGGCCCGTCGGGCTCTCCATCGCCCCCTCTATAGAGGCCTCGCGTGCACCGCCCGCCCTTCCCTTGAGCGGCAGCACAAAGGATGGGCCCTCTGGCCTGTCCGAGGCTGAGAAGCTGCGTCAGGATATCGCACGCCTGCAGCTCTCGTCGTCTCAGTCTGGTGGGGATAGGTCTCCCGATTCGGGCCCTAATTCGCCTTCAACGTCGTCGCCTACTGGTCAACCGTTGACACCGACAACGCTGAGCCATAGCGACTCGTCCAGCAGCGCAAAGGTGGTGGACAAGGCGAGGAAGAAGAAGGATGGGACAAAGAAGAAGGGAAAGACGGATAAGGATGGGCTTGATCTGGTCAAGGATGAGGATCTGGAGATTCTGGCGGATCTCGGAGCGGGGAATGGAGGATCAGTGACGAAGGTGTGGAACAAGAAGAGGGGGTGTATCATGGCGAGAAAGGTGAGCTAAGATTCTCTGCCAGATGTGCGAGCTTAAAGCTCACCATGCAGCTGATTCTGGTGGACGCCAAACCGTCCGTGCGAAAGCAAATCCTCCGAGAGCTGCAGATCATGAATGACTGCAACTCGCCATACATTGTCGGATACTATGGCTGTTTCCTGGTGGAAGTGCATGTTGGAGTGGTGATGGAAGCCATGGATGCTGGGTGAGCTTTCTCCGCCGCTCGTACGCAGCACGAGCTCACACATCAGCTCCTTGGACGATATCTGCCGCAAAAACGGCGCGATACCCATCAACGTTGTCGGCAAGGTAGCAGAGGCGGTCCTAAGGGGACTGATGTACCTGTATGATGTGCATCGGATCATCCATCGAGGTGAGCTCCCGTTATTGCACAATATGGAGGGTACGCTGACTGGGCAGATATCAAACCCTCAAATATTCTCGCAAATACCAAAGGCGAAATCAAAATCTGCGACTTTGGCGTCTCTGGCGAATTGATCAACTCGATCGCAAACACCTTTGTCGGAACCAGTACATACATGAGTGTGAGTTACTCCAGCTGCATTGGATCTCGGCTATAGCTTACATCCAGCCCGAGCGAATCCAAGGTGCCCCATATACCATCAAATCCGATGTCTGGTCTCTCGGCATCTCCCTCATCGAGCTGGCTACCGGCCGCTTCCCCTTCCAGGACTCCAACGAGGCTACCGACTCGGAAGGCGAGGACTCGGACGAGGAGGAACAGACACACGATCCCGATCCTACCCTTCCGGTCTCATTCCGTCGACCTCAGCTACCCGAGAAGAGCAATACCACGCCCAAGGCGAAAAAGTCAAAGAAGGCCGGCGTATCACTCGGCGGTGGCGGACATACCATGAGCATCCTGGATCTCCTGCAGCACATCGTCAATGAGCCAGCGCCGAGGCTGGTCAGTCGGAAGAGAAAGTTCCCGGAGGAGGCTCAGCTTTTCGTTGAGGGATGTCTGGATAAGGACCCAGCGAAGCGGAGTTCGCCACAGGAGTTGCTGGTATGTTGTCCAGTCAAGTTGTGCAATAAGGATTCAGGCTAATGAGCAGGCGTCAGAGTGGATCACCGGATCAACAATGACACCGGCGGACTTGCAGGAGTGGGCCAAAAGCCTAGCGGGATCGACGGAGACATGAGCTGGTTCCACGTACGCTTTCTGTCCTCATTGTCAGGCCCAAGTCCATACCGGCTGGCGGCATTTGTACATAGCGAACCCCCTTGAGTGTTCCGCATCATGACACGGGGAAGACTATACACGATCTCGGCATGAAATGACATGATCAATGCTCCCCCTTCTGACAACTTGATTCGACTGACAAAGTCAAAATACTGATTGGAAAGTCCTTGCCCTGCGGAGCTACTAATACATCATCGACCCTAACAGATGCACGATACCGTCACTATTCACATTCCACAAGTCTCTCTACGACTCGAGGCGTAGCGGTCTGCGCCGCAACCTCTTGATTGGCAACCTTTCCCCCTCTGATTCGTTCTGCGCTGTATCCTCCTCCTCCAGCTCCCGCTTCACCCCACTTACGACTCCTCGTGGCAGCTTGAGCCGGATCTTCAGATCCGAGCTTGGCGAAGGCACCATCAACTCCGGCTCCGCCGTGTCTCTGGCTGACTCTACCTTCACCTTCAACCTCTGATCCGACAGGTCGCCTGTTTCGTACTCCTGTGGATCCTTGTCTGGGACACCACTGGAACCCGAGGATGAATAGTTCGACGCCGGACTTGGACTTGACTGCTGAGCAGAAGCCAGGGACTTGGGTGACGACCTGCTCGCTGGACCTGGCACTGGCGGAGTGGCCAATCTCGCCGACGGGCGAATCTCGCAGGTACCCGTCGAGATGGACTGTACGACCGCATCCGCCATAGCTGCGATATCGATGGGGGAGTCTATTTTGCCATCGCTGGAGGCAATGATGGAGTGACCAAGTGTGCCGCGGGTGGATCCAGCACGAGTCGGGCTGGTCGGTGGCGAGAAGGGAGTGCTACTAGATCCTCGGAGTTGTGCTGCCGATTCCAGCTTGATTGCCGCTCGCATCTGCTTGGCGATTGCCTTGACGTCCATTGTGGCGTTGCACTCGGCACCACTGGTCGGTGACGGACGACCGCCGAGGGGTTCCGCTGTGTCTGACTTAATCGCTGCAGCGCCTGCTACCGCCCGCCTGACGACTTCACTGATGACCCTTCCCGCCACTCGCTTTCCCAGAGCGTCCTTGGCCCGCCGTGACCTCTCGCTCCGCGTCATTGTCCCCACTGATCCTTCACTCGAAAGAGACGATACTCGCCCCACCCGCACTTTGAGCGAAGTCTGAGAAGCTCCGCTCTTGCTTCGCGATGGCTCACCATAATAGGGCAATACCACCGGTGTGTGGGAGCCAGGAAGGAGGTACGGTGGAATGGGGCGGATGACAGTGTCATCTTCTGGTAACGGTGGAGGCGTGTGGGAAGGGGGTTCGAAGTGGATCAAGCCGGGAACGAAATCGTCTGGGGTGACCAGGGGATGACGGCGGGAGATATGCGCCATCAGTGAGGGGAACGTAGGGCCTTCGAACAGGCAATCTGGCTGTCAGCGACGGTAGATAAGAGCGAGAGGAGCGATCGTACCGAAAGGACACCGAGCGCAGAACTCGCCCATGTGCTCTACAAGCGCGTGGCGGTACATCCTTTCTTTGTCCAGGTAGCCTTTGTTGCAGTCGCCCCAGTGACATCCGTACTCCGCCTTCTTCGACTTCCCGCCATCGGCTAGTCCTATGCTAGGGGCCCGCAAAGGGGCAGCGAGGGGCTTGATGTGCGCTTGGAGAATGTGCTTCTCTAGCAAACCCCACGAGTTGAGCACAGCACGACATGGACCCCAGCGGCAGTAAGTGGGGCTGAGGGGTCAGTGTCTGCCTGATCGGCTTGTCATACAGTCATGTGACCTACCGAGCATGCACAAAGACCTGCAACTGAATCCGCCTCCGCCTCGCCGGGTCTTCCTTCGCGTGCTCCCTCTCCACTCTCAGCCGCGCAGCCTCTGTATCTGCCTCCCTCGTGACCGTCTCTGCGCGCCGATTTCGGTTCGCCACTTGCTCATTCCTCCGAGTCGCAGCATCGGCCAACCCCTTCCTCGCAGCGTTGATGGCTGCCTCTTGTTCCCTCAAGAGCGCCAGGCGCCGTCGCTCGTCCAAGTGAGGCGGCGACAGGCCCACTCCAGGTGCTACACCCAGTTTGTGGACAGAGACGGCCGTGCTCCTGCGTGCTGAACAGGCGTCAAACCCGAACGTCGGATCCGCCCTCATCGAATGTGAAGAGGGACGATGTTCATGTGGAAGAGGTGCAAGATGGCGAGGGAAGATATGATCAGGGAGAGCTGGCGCGTAAGAATGCTCGCGCAAATGAGGGTCCTGGTGAGCATATTCCCGGCGTTCCTGATAGTGCTGGTCTTGACATTGTTGCTCCCTGTACGCCAGCTCGGCGCGGTTTCTCTCATTCATCCTCTCGTACTGCGCCTCCATGGCAAGCTCGCGATCGCGCTGCTGCTGCTTGGAGCGCCACTTGGCATCTCGCTGAGCGCCCTTGCTCAGCCCGTACCCCTCGAAGAATATGTCGGGCGACGCATCGCGATACTCGCTGGGTGGTCGGCGGGGATCACGCTGCTGTACGTACTCGGCTCGTGCCGCCGCTGGAGACTGAGATCTTGGCGGTGGACCCCTCGATATGGGTCGAGGGGGATAAGAGCGGGGTTGATAGAGATCTTCCTGGCGGATCTGAAATCGGCCGTGTTGTGCGATCGCGTTTGAGGTGGGACGTCCTTTGATCGGCGGCTGAGAACGGACAGCGGGGATGGGAAGGTACCGGTCGGACGGCGGTCGATCATATGGCCCAGGGCGTGAATGAGCGCGGGAGGAGTACTGCGCTGGTCGCGGCGCAGGGGCGTGGGTCTGGTACCGATGTAAGAGGGAATGAGGGGAAGGGGAGCGGTGGTCAGTCCAGGGTGGCGGGATGTGCGATGGGGTCAGGCGGGGCTGATGATTCGGTGACTTGGGAGGTGCGGTAGACATTGGACGGGGCTGAAGGAGTCGAGAAGGGTAGACATTCGACCCCAGAGGAGAGGGACCACGATGTACTGCACGGAAGGCGGGACAGGGATCATGAAGGAGAGTACCGGCACTCATGATCAGTGTGTTGAGCAGTGCTCGGGGGTACACGGTGTGTTTGTGGGACTGGATCTAGATCTGATACTGTGTTCTGCGATTGAGGTTGAGATCGAGATCGGGATTCAGGAATGAACAAAGAAATCGTAAATCCGAGGGGGATCGCCTTCTTATATACCCGTTTCTTCCCGTCTCCCCTTGAGCGATACCCCTGAAAGACCAGCACAAGCGTTGACAAAAGATCGTCGATGGCGGTGAACAAAGGAAAGGGATAGCTGTGATATTAGTTTCGGCATGGTGTGCTTTTACAAAAGCGGGGGTGAGAAGGTCAGGGAGGCGGGACGACAAAGGAGATGCGCGGCGTTATTGGCTGAGGCGTTTGAGTGCGTTGGAGGCGATCGCCTTGAGACTGTACGCTCGTTTCAAGCTCCCTCTGAGCGCGAGGGGCTTGGAACGAGCGTATTGAGACTGCCAGTATCGCTTTAAATGCTGCGAACCGTAGCGTCACATTCGTCTACTTTACACTGTTTTCAGCGCTGTATTGCCAGGATCATCCAGAAGTTAGGGTCAGTATATACGAGCAGTTGTTGATCAGTAGCGGCGTAGTACCACCCGCGTACGTATACATGTCCTAGTTGACACCGAGATCGCCGCTACTCATAATCGACCCCTCATCTGGCCCCGCTAATCAGCCTTCTGCTTCTTGGCCCCACCCCTCCTCTGCCCTCCCTGCTCCTCCGCAAACTTCCTCTTCTGCCCTTCCTTCCTCAACGTATTCCTCCTCTCCTCCTTGACTTTCCTCTCCCTCCCCTCATCCCTATTCTTACTCTCCTTCCTATGCCCCTCTTTCCGCTCCTCCTGCTTCTCTTTCCGCCTCGCCACCTTATCCTTCCGCAGCGACTGCATCTGCTGCAGGAGCGCCACCGCCTTCTTTTCATTATCGTCCATAATGACCGCGCGGGATTGGAGGTACGTCGGTTTGGTCTGTTTCGCGACGGATTTGGTTTTGGACGCAAAGGGGAGTGAGGCCTCGAGTTTTCGGGGTACTTTGAGAGTGTTGAAGCGACGGGTCGTCCGTTCTACTTTCTACCATAGATCAGCTCTGTCCTTGCGAGATCGATGTAAATCATACCTTGTATGCCGAGTTGGGGTCCAAGGGCGTCGCGACACCCTCGTCTCGCCTGATCTGACCCGTCAAGCGCATCCCCTTCCATTCGCCCTTGTCCGCAAGGAGGAGCGACGTGACTGGGTTGTACAGCTTCTTCGGTTCGATAGAGTACCAAGCTCGCAGGAAGACAATATCTGCACGTCAACGACAGCCCAGCCTTACAAGCAGACAACTCACCAGACATCAAGATCTTATCCTCAAACGTAGCTCTGTACGACCCTTCCGGCTTGCTCAGCGCCCGCTTCACCTGACCCCTAATACCCGAGACCGTCTTGATATTCGCCCCCTCAAACTTGGCCACCTCCAACTGCGACCCAAACATATCCTTGACAAAGGCCGTATTCTTGAAGATCTTATACGGTACACCGGTCAATTTGAGCTTCTTGACAATCTTGGTGGTCCGGTCGATATCGAGTACGACGCCGGTGGCTGAAATGCGGAATCCGGGTGTGCCGGCCGAGAGGGAGTTGAAAGCGCAAAAGGCGGTATTGGGGGCCGAGACGGGTCCGAAGAAGGTAGCGTAGCAGTGCATGTGCTCCGGCGTGTATTTGAGGAATCGGTTCCGGATAGAGTGGTCGTCGAGGTGGTAGATAGGCATAGACTGGAATCGACGCCAGCCGAGGGAGAAGATGATGGGATCGTTGGTTTTGAGGGTTCGGGTGAACCAACGATGTCGCTTGATACGGACCGTCACGTACCCGAACCGCTCTTCGGCCGCGAGGAGACCGCCGACGATGATGGGGTATGCGGGGTTGAAGTGCTCCACCATCTCGCAGGGCACATTCTCGATCTCGAGCCGGACATACGAGCCGGCTCGGTATCCCTCAATCTGGGCCCGCGCCTCGTTCTCCAACCCCTCAAACTCCGCCTCGTTCAGCTGGCGCTGCTTGGCAAATTCGGCCTTTTGGGCGTCGTAAAAGTCCATCTTGCCCTCGTCGTCCGAGTCCGAGTAGGTTTCGTCGAATTTGGCCGCTAGTGCCGCCTTTTTTCGCTCCATCGCCGAATCTCGCGTCTTGGCGAGGTCCTCGGTCGGCTTGACACCGACGTACGGGACGTCCTCGCCGTCCTCTCCTCCCTCGACATCCTCAAAGTCGGCATCTCCCGCATCATCCTCATACGCCTGTCCCTCCTGGTCTACCTCGCCGACCGGACCACTGATAAACAGACCCCGAAGCGACTCCAGCATAGTCTCATCCGACCATTTCGCCTTCAGCGCTTCGGCATCCACGCTCTCCTTCAACTGATCCCCATCGTCACCCTCGGCACCGCTCCGGGACACCTTGTAGAACCCATCCCGCGCCATCAGAGACGACTCGGCGCCCGCTGACGAAGCCTCCGTCTTACCCGCGGCAATCTCCTCGGGGCTCAAATCCGAGTTGTAGATGAGCGACATGAGGTCCCACCGGCGCGTCATGCGTTCGGTAAAGCCCGTGGCGGCCCGAGCCGAGAGACTAGTCTTCCACTTGGGTACTTCCTCCTCCTCGTCCTCCTCGTCCCCGGAGTAGTCGTCGTCCAGGTCGAGCCGCTTCCCGTCCTGCTCAAACCCGGTGGCAAGATCGAGATCGTTCTCCGACCCCGAATCCGCAAAGTCGACCTCCCCATCTTGCTCATCCTCCTCATCGCCGATAGCCATCCCCTCCCCATCAGACGTAAAGTCATCCTCATCGATATCCTCCCCGTCCTCCTCGTCATCGTACTCCTCGTCTGTGGCGACACCGAGCATTGGTCCGCCATTCCGAGGTTCCGCCCGTCTCCGCTGGCGACCAGCAGGAGCCTCGAGAGGTGCCGATGACGAGCCGAAGAGACGAATCTGGGATGAGTCGATGCCGTCCGCAAATGTCCGCGTGGCGTCCTGCAGGTCGAGCACCATCTGTTCGCCTTCGCCTTGTGGTTCTGTCAGGTGAGCTTGAGTATTCGTCATCACGCATATGATAACTCACGATCGCCACCCCTCGAGAAGCTCCCCGGGACATTCACATACACCGCATCCTTGTCATACATGACACCTCCCACATCCGACATTGGCGCATGTATGAGTTTTGCCTTTTCGCCCATCTTCCGCCTCCGCTCGCTTTCGAGCGTTGGTAGAGGACACGGATCCGCCAGCCTCTCCACTGTCCGCACCTCCAGATCCCCCGCTCCTGGTATATGCACCTTTGCATTCCGCGCGGGCAGGTTCGGACCCCTGAGATACCCGTAGAGCGTAATGGTCCGGTCCATCTTTGGGTTGGCTCGAAGCCCTTCTCGGCTGGTGAGATCCTGGAGACGGTCGGCGATGAGATAAGGGTGTTGATTCCGGAAGATGAGGGGACGGAACTTCATGACTGAGATGAAGCGTGAGAGGAGATTGATTTCGGTATCGGGATACCGGCCATTGATGACGCCCGAGAGGGAGAAGAGCTTGGCGCCCTGGTAGATTTCCGTCCAGAAACGGTGCTTGAGCCGCTTCTTGGTATCTTTGAGGGTGGACTGCTTTTTGATGAGGTCGAGATGGGTGAGGAGACCGAGGACTTTGGGGAAACCGTGCGATTGAAGGATATTGAGGAATTCAAAGGTTTCCTAAATCTCAGCTCGATCCTTCGCTTGGACGTACCATCTCAAACCCGAAACTTCCGTCAATCATCAAAAGCACCAGATCCACGACCTTGCCCAGATCAATCATGCTGTTCAAGTCGTTTCCGCACTCCACAAAGGTGATACGCCGGGTCTTGCCAGAGACGACGGTGATCGGTCCAAGAGGCTGATTGAGCGAATGCTTGGTGAACCGCTTGACGAGGGAGCGGAGGAGTGTCGACTTGCCGACTCCTGGAGGACCAACGAGACCGACAATGATGGGTGGAGGCGGGACACGTCCCTCATTCATCCCCTTGCCCTTCTCGCCCGTGACCTTGCGCTCATCCGGATTCCGATTGACGAGCGGGACGTGGAGCCGCTTTTGGTCCTTCTCGGCGGTCCGACGAGCAGCGCGATCTGCGGAGCGGAAAGAGGCACCAATGAAAGCCTAGTTGTCAGTATGGCTTCTTTGACCTATGCTCGCTTGGTTCGCCTTGCCTGTCGCCTCCTTCATCTTAGATGCCACTCACCTTTGGGTTGTAGCTCTGCCCTCCTGATCGATCCACGCCCTTTGCCGCATCTTTCTTCTCGAGCTTCTTACCCGCTGAAGCCTTGTGGTGTGGCTTATGAGGCTTCTCCATGGTGTGTATAGATCTATGATGGTCAAAGGCAAGCTCAGTGCAAGCATAGCCATGAGGTGGACCTCTTTTGGCTTGAAATCTTCCACCAGCCAAGCCGCTTACGTACAGACACGTCGGACAACGCCGAGCCAGTCAAGTGTAATTCATCCCCCCCCCCCCTTTTAGAGCCACTCTCAGCCAGAGATCAACTTGCCGTTGGACCTTCCTCCGCACGCTCTCCTGCTCGACTCCTGCCTCCACTTGGCACGTCCACCTCGGCCTCACCTGCCCGACGCTCAGCGAGAGTAGCAGAGCCTGGTAAGTATAGCCTCGCACCCTCTTTATCAGGCTGCGATAGGCTGACGAGTGAGGGAAGGCACCATGTCGGGCATCAAAATAAAACTTTCCCTCTCGGGTGCGTCCCTCGCTGGGCTCCAGGCGAGCGCATCCGCCCCGACTGCGACAAGCAAGGGGAAGGGCAAGGTGAGCGTCGGCTTCGACGCTACTGCTGGAACTTCGACGCCAAGTAGTGCATACTCAAATGGTCACGTCGCCACCCACAATGGCTCTGAATGGGGTAATGGCTTCCCCGCATCAGCCGGTCCTTCTCGGCAGTCCAACTCCCTCGGTCCTGCCTTCTCCCCTCACACCCCCGTATCCACCGCCTCCAAAGCGCCCAAAGGATCCGGTACTCCTAAATCTTCCCCCAAACCTAAAGCCCGCTCAAAAGCAAAGAGCAAGCTCGGCCGCCTCCCGAAATCCCATACTCATGCTCGACAGTCCCAATCCGCCCCAAACCGTCCGACCGCTATACCCTCGCATGTATATTCTGGACCATCGACACCACTCGCGTCTCCGGGTCAGATGGCGCCCCCTCCTTTGCCGTTCATGACTGGAGGCGCGGGGACACCTTCACCAGCGCCGGAATCACGGTTTCCTTCCGGCACGGTCTCGCCTGGCGGGTGGGACGATGTGGATGTCAAGGAGGAGATGGATATAGATGGGGAGGGGTACGAGGGGTCTCCGGATCCGCTGTCCCTGCCGGCTACTCCGGCGGATGAGGAGGGCAGGACGCCTCATGGAAGAGGCAGGGCTGCCACGAAGTGGGTCAGGCTAAGGAAACCGCTCAAGGAGTTGTTGGGGAAGATTATGGTCGAGCTGAGGCGAAGGGATGAGGTGAGCTAGCCAGATGACGGAGGGGTTATAGGAATAAAGCTCACTAGAACAGTACGCCCTCTTCTCGGAGCCGGTCAACATTGAGGACTTTCCCACTTACCTCGCCATTATCGGCGGCGCCGACAAGATGATGGACCTGTCCACCATGCAGAACAAAATCGACAATGGCGAGTACCGCACCATCGACGCTATGGAGGCCGACCTCCGTCTCCTCGTATCCGCCGCCCAGACCTTCAATCCCGCCGGAACCGTCCCGTACCGCTCTGCCAACACCGTCCTGACCTACGGACTGAAGCATATCGAGCGGTACCGCCCACTCGTCATCACTCCCTCCCCTTCCCCTGTTCGCGAGACCACCAGCACGCCCGGCCGGTTCCAAAGCGTCGACGCGGACGGCGAGCCCATCGATCCCACGCCGGTCGAGGTGGAGATCCCCCCTACCTCGCGCATTCCTGTTGAGATGCTCGAGTACCCCTCCAACTCTCTCGTTGGTCTTGCGGTCGGATGGAACCTCAACGGCGGAAAGAAGGTGTATATCAAGCGGGAGCTGCGTACGCGAGAGCGTTTCTCGGGCAAATGGCGGCACTTCGACTATGACGGTACGCGGAACCTGGCGGAGATGGACGATGTGCATACCGTGCTCGCTCCTACGGCGCCAAAAACGGCGCGGACCGTCCTTGATTGGAAAGGTCTGAGGAGGGAGGGTGGATGGTGGGACTGGCCAGGCGTCGGAGGGGTGTACGGTCAGCCGCCTGTTCCTTTCACGAGAAATCCCGTACGGCCCCCACTCCCGACGCGCGAGCTGGACGCGATGGAATGGGGCGTGTACCCCGATATCCAGCAGGAGCGGCTCGAGCACTCGCGCCGGCGGACGCACGAGGCAGCGGGGTCGGGAGAGGTGCTTTCGAGTCAGAGGGTAGTCGAGCTGGGGGAGGAGGTGCTGGACGAACAGCTTCGGCCGACTATTGTCCGGGACAAGGGGCTGAAGCGGAAGCGGGAACCAGGAGGGGTGGCCAAGGCGGGAGATAATGGGTATATTAACACGTATGACGCCAGGCGGCCGGGCGAGTATTTGAGGGATATGGAGGATGGGGATCTGAGGGGAGAGGCGTATCGGACCTCAGTACGGAAATTCCTAGAAGGGGCACTGGCGAGCGCCAAATCTACCGGGGAGGCGAAACTGGGCGAGGCGGAGGGCCTTGAGGAGCTCCAGCGGTATATCCAACAAGACTATAATGGGGGCGTCCTCACTCCGACTATCGAACCCATCACCCGCCGGACAGTCTTATCTCTGCAAAACCTCGCCGACCCCACCTCACCTTCCGCTCAAGATCAAGATCAAGATCACGACCTCATCCCCTCCTCCCAGATGCGTCGGATCGCCGCCTCCTCCCACGCTCGCATGAACCTCCGATACCTCCTTCGCGCGGCGAACCCGCTTGACATCGCGCCGTTCATTCGGGCACCGCAGGAGTTCGGCCTGCCAAGCACGCACGCGGGGATGGACGGCGGTCTGAAGTGGGTGTCGACGGAGCTTGAGGCGATGGACAGGGAGCAGAGGAGGGCGGCCCCGAGTCAAAAGTCGGAGCGGGAGGAGGTCAAGGAAGAAGAGGAAGAGCGGGTTTCACCAGCCAAGAAGGCTCGGACAGGCACGGAAGCGGACACGGACACGGACGGACCAGGTGCCCGCGAGGCATCATCTCCCCTCTCGACTGCACCTTCTACACCAATTCCCGCCACCGCCACCGCCACATCCACAGCCATTCCGCTCGACCGTGCAGAACGGCTCAAGGCGATCCGGCTGGAGATACTTGCCCTGTGCAAATTCTTCCCGCTGACGGGTCTCAAGCCGCTCTCCAAGGCGCTGGCGGACAAGATGTTGCCTGTCAATGTGAGGGGGTTGTTGTCGGCTCCAGAGTAGAGATGGGGGGAGGACATTTTCCGGGCTTAGTCATAGTGTGATCATTAGGAGGTAGCGTATGGTAATTAGCCGACTCCGGATAGCCATGTACCTATGTAGAATCTATCATATGTTGCTTTAGCTGGCAGTCCGGCGGAGAGGAACCCAGGCACATGGGGCCTGCTCTGCGGCACCGTAAGCTTGAAAGTGAGGCAAGCTCCGCGCTGGCACTTGGTTCCGGGGGCTAGCCGATCGAACTTTGGGGCACCTGCCACCTCACCTCAGCATTCCTCATTCCTCACCTATTTTATACGCCACAAGGTCAGGTCAGCCTCTTCTCAGCTTGTGTATCGACTCTCTTCCAGCTATAACTTAAAGACAGGATATCGCAACTAGGCAGATACTCGGAAAATCACAGCAAGAAGTTCCAGCCAAGATGGCAGCTGGATTACTCTGTGAGTTCCCCTCCTTTGGCCCCACTTGATTCCCACGCTCCTTCCATGCGAGCCCGAGCTGATATCTGATAAGGGGACACGGTCCTTATCTTCTGGCGCATGATCATCAACATCTTCTTTAGAGAGATCAGGTGAGCTATCCCCTCCGAACAGCAAGCAGTGTGGACAGAAGAGCTGAGTACGCCAGACCTAGAGGAGCATTCAATATCCCTCGAGATGGGCCCGTGCTCTTCATCTGCGGTCCGCATGCGAACCAGTTCCTGGACCCGCTACTGCTCTTTTCAGAAGTGCGGAAGGAGGCTCAGAGGAGGGTAGCGGTGCTCATTGCTGCCAAGGTGATTTCAAATCGTAGAGCTATGGGGGAGGCTGGCTGATATAGCAGAGTATGCAAAGGAAGTTTGTCGGTATAGCCGCTGGCATGATGGACAGTAGTGAGTCCCCTGGACATGGAGAATCGACATGATGGCTGACTTGCAGTCCCCGTGGCTCGAGCTGCAGACGAGGCCAAAGCAGGCGCCGGCCGGATTCTCCTCTCTTCTACCGACCCCCTCATTGTTACTGGTCTCTCCACGCAATTCACCTCCCAAGTCAAGCCTCGGTCCCAGCTCGTCCTTCCCAAATCTGGCGGATACGCCACAGCGACGGTACACGAGGTCATCTCCGATACGGAGCTCAAGCTCAAGGGGGAATTCGTGGTGGCTGGTAAAGACGCGAGTACGAACGTCAAGGCGTCGTCCAAGCTCAGGGATCAGGGAGGCGAGGGGTGGCAGTACAAGGTGCTTCCATATGTGGATCAGGAGGATACATACGGCGCGGTCTTTCAGCGCTTGAATGAGGGAGGGTGTATCGGGATCTTCCCGGAAGGTTAGTACTGCTTCTTTAGGCGGGGATTCCGCTAATATTCTAGGCGGCTCGCACGATCGGACAGACTTCCTCCCCCTCAAGGCCGGCTTCTCTATCATGGCTCTCGGCGCCATGGCCGCTAATCCCTCCCTGGACGTCAAGCTCGTACCCGTCGGTCTCTCCTATTTCCACCCGCACAAGTTTCGTTCGCGCGCAGTCATCGAGTTCGGCCCGCCAATAAGCGTCCCGCCCGAGATGGTCGAAATGTACAAAGCGGGCGGCGCGCGGAAGCGAGATGCATGTGGTAAGCTGCTTGAGCAGGTACATGATGGGTTGAGGGCGGTGACTCTGCGCGGACCAGATTGGGAGACTATGCAGGTTAGTACAGCTCACCTTAGGTTGGGCATCAAAAGCGGACTTTGTAGGTCATTCAGGCTGCACGAAGGCTGTACCGTACCCCCGGCCAACACCTCACTCTCGGCCAAGTCGTCGAGCTTTCGAAACGCTTCATGGAGGGTTACCTGCACTACCAGCACGAGCCCCGCATCATCGAGCTCCGAAAACGCGTCATTGCATACAACAGACTTCTCCGGGATATGGGAATCGCCGACCACCAAGTCGAGCGCGCGAGTAATCGGAGCATCAAGAGTCTGCTGCTGCTCGTATACCGCACTGGCTTGTTGCTCTGGTGGGGACTGCTCAGTCTTCCGGGGGTGATACTGCACGCGCCGGTCTTTATCCTGGCGAAGCTCATCAGTCGAAAGAAGGCAAAGGGTTGGTTCAAGCCAAGTCCACAGATCAACAAACACAAGCTGATGGATATCAGAGGCGCTGGCGGCATCGACGGTCAAGATCCAGGGGAGGGACGTGCTCGCCACCTGGAAAGTCCTCGTCTCGATGGCGGTCGTCCCCCTGCTCTACGTCTCGTATGGCGCCATCGCTACCTATCTCACCTATCACTACGACCTCTTCCTCGGGTATCAGCGCTACGTACCGCCCGCGCTGGTATTTCTCATTCTGCCTAGTCTGGGATATGCCGCATTGAAGTTTGGCGAGGCTGGAATGGATGTGATGAAGTGAGTTCGATACATCGCTGTCAAGGATGGAGGATGAGCTGACTTGTCCAGGTCTTTACGACCACTTTTCCTTTCGATTGTACCCAACCAACATGAAGTCAATAAACTCCGGCGGATGCGCGAGGGGTTGACGAATGATATCTCGGAGATCATCGATGAGTTTGGACCTCAGCTATACGAGAACTTTAACAAGGTCAGTTGCGTCTATGTCTCACTGCTCAAACAACAAAGCTGATATATCAGGATCGTATGCTCCCCTCCTCCTCGGTGCCCCAGACAGGCCGACACCAGGGCCTCATGTCGCGCAAGGCCCAGGCGTCCGATTCGGTCCTCTCCCACCCCATGCTGTGGCTCGACGAGCGGATATTCGGATGGAACCGATCGGCCGGGCTCGGCCAGTCCGTCTGGGGTGCCCCTTCAGCCGGTCTCGGTCGAGATCGATCTCGCTCCAATCCACCTACCGCCCCCTCCTCCCCGGCCGAAAGTGACGACGAGCAAGAAGAGGCCGATGTCGACTATGACGACGTGCTCGCTGTCATCGACAATGGCCGGCGGTATTCCGGGAGCAGTGCGGACGGGTGGCCGGAGAGTCCGCGGGGCGGGAGGAAGAGGGGCGGGAAGAGCTACGTGGATATGCAGAATCTGCGGGAAGGCAGAGGGGAGGGGAGCCCGATTGGGATCAAGATGTCGTTGGGGGAGGAGGATGAGGGGAATCGGCTGTTATTGAGGAAGAAAGCGGATGAGGCAAAGGGGTCGCCATGAGGTTGGCTGCCGGCGGGGCTAAGCGAGATTGGCAGGATATACATGCATTTGACTGTATCATAGGATGTAGTCAGTCAGGGCTTTTGGTAATTTGAGATTGGCGAATGCAAATGGTAGAACAAGCTCCAGCCGCTGCAAGGTACAGTCAACTCCCTCTTAACTCATATGCTTTCATAGTAACGCATACCCAATCCCGGGGCCCGATACCCTGCCCGGCACCCTTTCCCCGCCCTCATGACTCATACTTCCTGCCCTACCTATACTCCCCGCGCTCAGGGGCAATATGGGCATGATAAGAGGGAGTTCACTGTAAATCAACCTCTTCGGATCTTTGCCTTCTCGCCGAAAGATCCAACGAGCGGCTCCTAGTTCAAAACTAATGTCAAGCTCATCGAGAAGGAAAGACAGACTCGGGAGCGTCACGGTCACCATCCAGACGTGTACGGAAGTACAGGTACCAGCTTTGACATCAAGCTAAGCATGCCTAGCCAATCATGAACTGTCCGTACCTCCCGTCCGCTCATCCCTCCATAATCAAGACCCCATGTCCAAAACCCCACACCTCAGCGCTCAACACCCCTGCCCGCCTCGCTTCCGTCGCTCAATCTCCGCCTGCAGCCTAAATATCTCCTGCTGCACCCTATCCACCTGCTTCTGCAGAGCCTGCTCTTGACTGGGATAGTCCGACATCATTTGCGTCCACCGGTCGATAGTCTCGAAGTTTGCGAAGAGCTTGGCCTCGAGCTCGGGCAGGCTGAGCTCGGAGTTCCGAGGAGGAATGACTGATTGTGAGGATGATCCGGGGATGTTCGGTTTTTCCTCGGCCGGGGTGTGGGACCGAGGAGTAGGTTGGGAGACTGCAAATGCAGAGGGAGTAGGTGCCGGGGTGGGGGTTTTGCCGGCGGAGACGGGTTTGGCGGCGGGGACGGGAGGTATGGGAGGGACGGTTGTTTTTTGCGCCGAAGATGCATCCGGAGCTGTCCTTGACGAGCTTGGCTCGCCAGGTTGTGCAGCCGGACGTGGTATGGGCGTTCCGGCAGAGGCTGCCGCTCTCGGCTGAGAGCTTGATCCGGACGCAGAGGAAGAGCGCGAGGCCAGCTCCGAAGCCTTTGCCGCCTTCCTCCTCGCCCTTTCCTCCTTGTTTTTCACTCGCTTTGGCCGCCAATCATACTCGTCCGCACCTTCGTCCTGAGGGGCCTCTTCATTCGCCTTTCTCTTCCTCGACGACGCGCCCGCTGGGTTCTCGTGCCGGGGCTTGATGACTCCCGGTTCAAGATCTCGCCGCTCTTCCGCTCCCATATCGTCCATACTGACGTACTTCTCGGGCTGCGTCACCCAAGCCGGCGGGTGCCAGACCTCGCCGGGTTCGAGCTTGGTCATGCAGATAGCATATACGCTACTGCTGGGAGAGGCTACCGCTTCAAGCCGAACGCCAGCCCCATCGATGCGGCGCTGGCTATATTCCAGCCATGTTTTCCGCACCCAATTGATATAGCCCGAGGGTGTGCCGAGACCGCCCTGCTGGTATTTCTTTGGCACACTCTGGGTGTGAATTGCTCGGCCGTTCATTTGCTTCCCTCGGCGGAACGACGCTGGCGTTGTAGGCACTGAAGATGAAGGTCGATCTGCCGAGCCGGAGGAGGATGTTGCAGGCACCGAATTTAAGGGAGAAGGGGGCGGGATGTCGAGATTCCGGACAATCGGAAGAGCGTTCTCGGCAGAGTGGGAGGCGGAAGGGGTAGATGTGCCGCTTGCGGACGGAACCTCTCTTTCCCAATCGACCGCGTAGCCGTCGTCTCTCCAGAAACCTTGGATAGGTCGCTTGCCTGTGGCATGGAGACGGTCGTACGTGGCGAGCCTGAAGTCGGCTCGAGCGATCAGGCGATCCTTGCTAGGGCCTGTATAGCATGCGGCAGGGACGTCGTTCCTCCTGCGACGATCAGCATCCCATCGAGCTCTGCAAGAAATGGTGGACATCAGGCGTAGCCCACTCACATAAATGCCGTAGTCCCCGTCAGCTGCGCCTCTTGGTTCACGGGTACATAGTCCAGCTCCTCTTGAGAGGGCTTTTGGTCCACCTCATCCTCCTGAAGCCCCTCGTCCGCGTCGTGACCCTCCTCTTTGGAAACTTCCTCCCGCTCGGCCTCGGAAGGAATGAGCTGAGCTACAGGAGGCGATGATGGCGGAGGAGAGATGCGACGTCGTGTTATTGGTTTAAAAACGAGCCTGGACGGTTCGGTTGCGGGTGGTGCATGGGGCGCTGGCGGAAGCGAAGGAGGGGGAGGAGGCATAAGGACACGAGCTGGACTCGGCGGTCGAGCGGGAATATGATCAGGTACTCGTGATGCGGTGGGTTGCGAAGGGGTGTACGAGCTGAATGTCATCAACAGGCAGCCCTGCTAGCATGAGGGGAAGAACGCACCGATGCATTCGCCAATTACTCGGCCCTGCCTCTCCTTCTCGGTGGTCCTGCTCGAGAGGAGAGTAGCCAAAAGCGGGTCGCATAGGTAGAGGGACTGGAGCTGTCCCTCCTCTGTCCACAGAGGACCCTCGTCCCCCATCCCCACTACCACCCCAATCCCTACTGCCGCTTCGATCCCCACTACCGCCTCTATTCCCACTACCGCTTCCATCCCGACTACCGCCTCTATCCCCACCGCCGACCCTGTCCCCGCCACCGCCTCTAGGACGACCACCGCCCCTGTCCACACTACCGTCCCGGTCACCGCCATCGCCCCTGCCCCTGCCCCTGCCCCTCCCACGTCCTCGTCCCCGTCCCCGGCCCCGGCCCGCATCCGACGTAGACTGCACTTGGCGGTCCTGTTGAGCCTGTATGCGCTGTAGGCGAAGCTCCTCGCGTCCCTCCTTTGTGTGCGCGAAAGGGATGAGAGCCGGCGGGCCGTTGGTCGCTACGCGCTTGTTTCCGTACCCAAGAGCGTCGCGATCTTCCTTGCGCTGAGGAGGCCCTTGCCCCGAGCCTGGAAGGGGCATTGTTAGTCAAGAAGACTAATGTGTATGTGAAGAGAGAGATGGAGAGATGACGGTCAGCCCGCTGTGTGTGGAAATTTGGGTGGCGCTGGTCGCGTGTTTCAGATTTGGTTCCGGGGCCAATCTGACGTTTTGACATGCACGATCAGCTCCTTCGACAGTTGCTGGGCGGGTACTAGTAGCGCATCCACGCCCTACTCCGTGGAGAGGTCGAGAGAGGGCAGAAGCAGGGACAGGCATCAAATATATCTCCCTCTTGAAAGGGCACGACGGCTCGCTTGCTCTCAACTCCGACACATGATCCCCGGGACTGGAAACATGGCCAAGGACGGAGTACCCTGGCACTTAGCCCCCAACCAAAACGCATATGGAGGACGGGCCCCCGATGCGTCCCAAGGTATAGCATTGTGTGACAACAATGAGCTGGCTGCAGGCAATAGCGTTCCACAATGTGCAGAATGGGTGTGCCAGGAGATATCCATCCCGGCCTAGATCTACTCATCTCTATGTCTAGCATGCTCCAACACCTCCTTTACGATCCGCACAAACTTCTTTTCTTCCTCATCACCCTCTTCCGGCTCCTTGCCCTTCACCTTCCCAGAACTCGTCCCGTCAATCTGGTCATCCACCGCCTTTTCCAGCAAATCCCACTGTTCCTTCTCATCCGCGTGCTTTTGAACCCAAAGAAAGTACTCTTGCTCTGTCCATCCATGAAGCTCATGAGGCAGTCGGAGAGGCGAGAGGACGATGATGTGGTGTAATGTGATAAGCGGAGGAAGGTGGACTGTCTCGACCGCATTGGTGAGGGACGATACCGGGGAGAAGAGGATTTGCCTGAAGATTGTCAGAGCCAGCGCTTGACTTGAAAGGCAGCCAGCTCACCTGAATGCTCTCAGTGCGAGGTAATCATCGCCTATTCTTTCCAGCTTCATACCGCCTCTTTGACCCTGCACCTGGCCCGTCGTCAACAGACTCGACAGCCCCACCTCCAGTTCCGTCATATCCGTCGTGAGCTTCAGCTTACCGCTTTCGCCTAGTGGCCGAGCGATAGACGCATGAAGCAGAAACGTCCGGATAATGTATCCCGCGAGCGCAAGGACCCTACCCTCGGTCAGCTCGGCATCGTCGCCTTTGGGCCAGTGATGTATGGAGAACTGACCACGCGCGCATCGCCTCTCCCATCGACATCTTGCCCAACAACTCCATCTTGACAAAGCTGAGCTTGTCGATAAGGTCCTGCATGTACGGGCTGCCCCCGCCGCTTCCCATCGACATGGGGTCCATTGGCTTGCCAAAGTCGACCTTGTGTATTCGACTGGAGATACTGGCGAATTCGCGCTTGAGGGCTGTGTCTAGCGCGTCGGTGATTTTGGTGTATGTCGCTTTGATCGACTATTAGGTCAGCTTGGCTTTGCTGGAAACACTGGAAGCTAGCTGACAGATATCGTTGGTGACATAATCTCCCATACTTTGGCTGGAAATTCCGTCTCGATGAATAGCAGATTGTACCAGCAGTGATACAGGAAGCCGACGAGTTGGCAGTTGATGACCTGCGCGGGAGTAGCATTGGGACCGATCAGCGATACAGCCGTATAATCGTTCACCAGCTACAGCTGTCAGCTTTTCCGACGCGGGGGCGGGGCACCCTGAGGCAGATGCGGCAGCTCACCATGCCGTCCACCTTCGCAATCATCCCTTCCAACACCTTGACCGCATTCCGCGCTACTGTTCTAACCAATAGCGGGTCAAATCTTGCCGAGTCTAACTCGTTCGTAATCGTCCGAGCGACCGTCACACCAGCTCCGGGTCCAGGAGGACTACCCCTTGCGGAGAGGTAAGAGGCCAGAGCGCCCGAGACAGTCTCGTTCATCCGCGTGGTCGATTTCGAGAGGTAGAGTGTTTCGAAGGTGGAAATCGACCGCAGGACGAGGACCGCTTCCGGTGACTGTTGATCTCGCGTATAGACGGTCTCGGTGTGCATGGCTATCTTGGAGAAGAAGTCGTGGAATATACGGAGCAGGCGGGGGTAGCCTGTTGACAAAGCTTGTTGAAGCCATGCAGAAGCTAGATTGTCAGCTTCGAGGGGTTCCAAATACGGAATCATCACATCAGCTGACCCACTTTTCGCGACATCCTTCGTCTGGGTCTCCAGCGCCTTGGCTAGTGTCGTCCAGAATGTAAAGCTCGGCCTCTCATCCAAGGTCTTCATCACCACCTCCAAGAACTCAACATGCGTCTCGGCATCCTTTTTGAGCTTGAGCACCTTCTCGAGAGTATACACCTACGTCTCATCAGCTATGCGCCATGTTTCTCATTTTCCGGCCGATAAAAGCTCACCTTGATACAGCAATTGGCGACGTCCTCGATGACCCGCTCTAGCCGACTCCATAGCACAGTAATCCACTGCTGCGTGTTACTGCTTGACGGCTCGGTCGCTATTCTTCCCCTCGACGCAAATTTGGCCGCGGTGCTCTGTGCATCTGTAGTGTCAGCTACCAACGGCAGTCCTGTACCATGCATTAGCCTACCCTTTCCAGCTACCTCTTTCCCTATTGCTGCCGAATCAAACGCCCTCGTTATCCGCAGCGTCACCGCGTCGTTCAGGTCCGCCAACAAATTTGATACCAGGTCCGGTAGAAGCCGAAGATTATGCGCAGTTTGCAACGACGACGAAAGAAGAGGTTGATTCAGGTCCGATAGACCATTGATGACCATCCCCTCCATCTCCTGGATGATTGTATCCCTCGCAGCGTCCACTTTGGGGGCGAACGCCTTGACAAAGTCGAGCTGTCCGAGCGGGATCGGCTCGAGACCGTGCGCCATCCCTCCCGCTTCTTCCGCTGGAGGCGGATGCAGCAGGCTGTCCAGCTCCGCAACCGACAGTGCCGCCTTGGCTAACGCCCGCTCCTTCTCCCCTTCCCCAATCTTATCCGCCGTGGCCGCATTCATACGCTCCATCTGCCCCTCCATCCGCTTTGCGACGAGCACAAAGCGGGCTGCGCGACGAGTGAGGTCCGACGCTTGCGCAACGAGCTTTTGGCGCTGAACGAGGAGTGAAAGCGTTTCGTACGGAGTATGGATCTTTGTGTTTAGGCGGTCGAGGGAGGAGGAAAGGGATGTGAGAGATGTTCGGATAGGCTGGATATGTGATGAGAGCGCTAGTGATGCGGTGAGATGCGCTAGAAGGAGAGGGTAAGAGGTAGAAATCTCTTGTCTGAGGTGCTTCGTGACGTCCTCCTACTCGAATCAGCTTCCAGTCGACGTCATACGGACACGATAGCTGCTCACAATGCCATGATTGAGCTTGGCCAGCTCCATGCCTATATCTCCCTTACCGCTTCCAGTACTCGCCGTACCGGCCTTGACTGTGGATGCCTCCCCATTCTGCACGGGCTCATCATCCGGCCGGTAGGCTTGACCCGCGAGTACCGCGTTCGCGTACGCGTGCACGTCGAATCTGTCCGACAGAAACGGGGCCTGGTCGATGTAGTTTTCGGACATCGTCTCGAGCTATCTTCTGGGCATGCTGACCCTCTCCTGGGATAGTGGAATAGAGGTACAACAGGCAAGGACCCATCCCACCCCTCTTCGGCGGAATGTCAAAGGTGCATGCGCACGGATCAAGTCGTTCCGTCGGAAGCGCGGCTGGTTCAAAGCAAAAAGTTGGCCGCCGGCTCTACACCTTCTCTATCACTCGTCTGTCACTCACTCCGATCTATAGCTCAGCATTATGGCCACCCCTATCCCCCTTCTCGCGCCGTTATATCTGCCAGGGCAGGAACCTGTACCAGCAGGAACAACGCCAGAGGAGCGTGCAGAGATGCAGCAGGCGATAAAATATCAGAAGATCCTGGCGGGGGCGCTGGAGAGTTGTCCCTTGAAGGTCGTCATGTCGGGCGGTGCAGGTAAGTCGAATGGGCGGGCTATGATGTGGATGGGGGATTAGGCATAGCTGCTGGTCGAGACAGCAGGGCAGGTCATAAGGGCGGCGATGGTCTGGGAGGGCTATGAGGGGTGCGGAGGATGAGCTGTTCGCAGGACTGATGCCACACACCTGCTGGGCTATAGGCTGCCTATGAACCTGGGAAGCGCTTCATCGGCTCGGGCATCACTTGCTCCCGTGATCGTTCCTACAGTCTCGGAGCTGACGCTTTCAGGACTCGGTCTCGGAGCCTTCTTCAGCCTAATGTCCGCTTCCTTCGCATACGAAGATCCCCTCTCCCGGGCCTCGACAAAGCTCGTCGGTACCCGCGCCCAAACCGCATTCATGTTCAAAGAGATGGGCCGGAATATGTGGACCACAGGAAAAGGGTTCGGAAAAGTCGGAGCACTATACTCAGGTGTCGAGTGCTGTATCGAGGGTGTAAGCTATCCCGGCCTTACAGCTGGATGAAAGGGACCCAGGAGCTGACAGTGATCAGTATAGAGCCAAGAACGATATTACGAATGCGGTATCCGCGGGGTTCTTTGCGGGTGCGCTGCTCGCGAGGCAGTCGGGAGTCAAGGCGATGGTGGGCGGAGGAGCGGCATTTGCGGCGTTCTCGGGGGTGATTGACTGGTGGTTGAGGAGTCCACCATCAGAGTGAGCTCTGCACCGCGTAACGATGTTTAGATGAGCGCTCAGCTGACTGATTAGGGAAATATGAAGCTGCTCTGATCTTCTGTCTGTTCATCCGAGCGACTCCATCTATCTAGCTCCGCCTCTTTACTTGTACCCGCCACATTTAGGCCACCGCCCCTCTCCTACCGGACTACCAGAATACGTCATGTTTGACCCATGCATGATGATCTACGCTGTACTGCTACCTATCTACTTGTACAATACCTCCGCTTTCAATGACCTAATGCTATATCAATCACTGTCCCAATCTACGTGTCTACCTACTTCTCACCTGCTATATCTGCTATCTACTACCTCTAAAGCTACTTTCCCCTCCTCCATCCGCTCTTCCACGTCCCCGATCCACTCCCACTCCCCCTCTCTGCCTGCCTTATACTAGTCTCCGACTCCCTCCTCTTCGCAGCCGCCGCCAACACCTTGACCGCCTCATCCCCCTCGCCCTCTTCCGGCTCCTCACTCCCCATCCTCCCCTTAAAGCTAAATCGACTGACCGGCGACCCCAAGTCCAAATCGCGTCCACTCCGATCATCCCCAAAACTCCCACTCCGGTCAGACCGGAGCGACTTGACCCGCGAAATAGATGCAGAAGGGGGCGAGAGGTCCCCGACGGTGATTTGCGAGATGGCGGTGGTTGTCCTTCGGATGGGAGAGGGGAAGAAGGCCGAAGTGGACGGGGTGGAGGTCGTGGTTGTAGCTGTGGCCTGGGTGAGGGGAGAGAAGCCGGACGAGCCGCGGACGGTATGTGTAGAAGTCGACGATGCCTTTTTTCGGAGCATGTTGCGGAACCGTTCGGGGGACTTTGGCGGTGGTGCGGCGGCTGGTCCAGGGGAAAGATTAGGATGAAATTGCTCCTCCCGCTCCCTCCGTCGATGTGGAGAAGAGAGGTCCCGCTCCTCCGAGTAGCCCCGGTCGAGGGGGGACGGCTCGTATTCCCGAGGCGGAGACTGGTCTATGGGCGGTAGAGGCATCGTCTCCCCCTTTCCCGGCGACCGCCTGAAGCGTGACACAAAGCTCGCCATGCTGCTAGACGAGCGTATGACGTCCAGGCTTCGCCGCTCCCGCGCCCCACTCAGGCCCGAAACGGGGGATCCCCCGCTTGTGTTCTGCCACCGGCGTGAGGAGTAGTCATCCGGCGATCGGGTGGAATCGAGTGACGACCGGGACAGGATAGACTCGGACCGCCTGACCGTGGGTGACGAATGTTGCGCTGAACGGCTGGTATTGGGCGTAGTACTGCCAAGCTTGGTTCCCTCCCTCAACAGCTTCGGAAGGTCCAGTATCACCCTCGTCAATTCCCGGATGGACTGGTCCGACGCGCGCCCAGCCTCCCGGAGGAGCGGCAGCAAAATATCAAAGTCCCGCCTGAGCTCGTCGATATTTGGGTTGTCCAGGTCGATCGCGACGTTTGTCCGATTTGCCGTGGCCAGCGAGTCCCGGACCGACGTATTGATCGTCTCCTGCGCCGATATAGTGGATTGCAGGGCTTTGACAAGGTCCGGTACCGCGTCCAGAAGGTCAGGCGGGAGCTTGAGCTCCAGCGCACGGAACGCCTCGAGGAGGAGTCGCCCGTGCTCCGTCTTGGTAGCGTATGCGTCGAGCGGAGATGCGCCAGCCCGGCCGTTCACAGAGGTACTGCTCCGCTTGTGCCGAAGCTCCGTGACCGGCGGACCGTGTGAAAGACGTGATGTCGCCCGACGCGAGGATGAAGATGGACTCTCCGCCTGTGACTCCTCAAACGTCCGACGATGGAGCCGATTGATCGGTGCGGAGCGGTCCGACCCCTCCCGCATGCTCGACATGGACGTGGCGGGCCGAATGCGCGCGTGAGAGGTGATCCGGCTCCTCCCTTCGCCTGATGAAGGCCGCTCATACCGCCTCGCAGGGGAGTCAAAGTCTCCTACGACCGAGACCGCCCGGTCCTCTTCCCACTGCCTATTATGCAGCTCCCTCGATTCCTCGATCCTCCGCAAGACCTCCAGCGGATCCTTCTTTGACTCATAGTGGTTTGAACGGGTATCGACGACCGAAATTGAGTCCCCTGGAGTGAGGGCGAGTCGAGACGACGAAGACAAAGTGGAGCTCCGGGACTGGTATCGCCTCCGCTCGCTTCCCGGCGCCTGCTCCGAGTGGCTGTCCATCACGCTAGCCGACCGGCTCATCGAGCGCGAGTCGCGCAGCTTGGGCAGGCCGCGATCGACCGTGTCTGTTCGGAGGTTGGGCAGACCAGAGAGCGACTCTGACCACTGCCGACGCGAGTATGGCTCTCGATTCCTGCTGGCACTACTAGCTGACCGATCAAGGCCCTCAATCCCTTCGTGCCGTAGAAACCGGGAAGAGGGGGAGTCGATCGAGTCTGTCCGCCGGGACGGGGACGTGAAGTGTGATGAGGGGGAAGGGAGGTCCGATAGGCGCTCTTCCGGAGACTCAGCCAGCTGGTGGACCCTGGAGCGAGACGAACTGCTCGGCAGACCAATATGCGTGGTGTGCTTTGGGGATGGTGTGTACTGCACATCAGCGGGGGAGCCTTCTCAAGATTCTGGCTGGACATACTGGCTGAGATGACCTGAACTCCGTAGGGAGGGGCTTCCGCTTCCCGCTTCCTGCACTACCTCCACTCCTATCCCTCTCAGTGTCCTCCCATGTGCCTCTATCTCTCGTCGTGCTCGCATCCGCTCGTTCCGGGCTGACAAGCTCCTCAGCAGTTGCATGGTTCCGCGCCGAAGCTGACGAGAGGGTGGCGCTTCGCCTGAGCGTGTTGTTTGCAAACGGAACGACGGGGGATGGTCGAGATGGGGCCGGCGAGGATGAGTCGGCGCCTCGGATTGTGGACTTTTGAGGCGACCGTCCATCCCGGGTGGAGGTGGATGTCGAGGGACGGGACGAGCGCTGGTTGACCCGCTTGACCTTCTCCTCCGCTTCCCGGATCCGATCGTCCAGCTCCGCGCCGCCAGATATACGCCTGAGGAGCTTGACAGCCGTCTCGCCCTTGGTGGCCGGCTCCGCGGCTTCCTGTCCTCGCCGTCTTCTCTCCCCCTCCCTCTCACTCCTCTCCCCTGTATCGACCGTAGACCTCCGTACTATCTCCCTGCTCGTTTCCACCTCAACCCGCCTGTCCTGCTCCGCAGAAGAATACGACTCGACGGACAAGCGGGATGAGCGCCGAACGAGCCCTTCCCCGGCCCCACCATTGACGCGTCTCGTATCCTCCGACCCGCCGGACCTACTTGATGCCCTGCTGCCGGTCGCGACGCCCTCCGCCATGTCCTCCAGGCTTGTACTCGAGGGAAACCCGACGGAGCGCCTGGACGAGTGCCGGCTGAGCCGCTCGACAGGTGAAGCGGCCGCTGGGGATCTGCGGCTACCCTCAGCTGAAGCCGATGGCGCAGGAGACCACTTCTTGACTGGAGATGGCGTGTGGGTCCTGTCGCTCATGCTCGGAGATCCGGCGGACGAGCCGGGCAGGCTGACGTCCCGAAGAGATAGGTTGTAGATGCTGGACGAGGACGAGGTGGAGCGAGTCATACCCGAGGATACCTTTGGCTGAAGACGGCGGCGAGAGGACTGTGTGTGTGAAGTGACGGAGGATGTCCGCTGATGCGCGGCCGTGGTGCCCGAAGACGAGGCCACCGAGGGCGTACGAGGCTGTAATCGAGGCCGGCTTGATGAAGGTATTCTCACGTTGGACACCTGCTCCGCCCTGGGCATATCGTCCAGCGATGGGGAGGCAGCTATACCCAGCCCATACCCCACCTCGCTCTCCGTCCCGGGCGGACTGGGCAGCCCGATATCCCGATCAATATAGCTACCCCGCCGACCTCCTTCTTTCCCTTCTTCCGACCCTTGACTATCCCCTCCTCCCCCTTCCCTCCGCTGGAAGAACTCGAGACGCGGACTTCCCAGACCGACACGCCCCGTAAATCCTAGTCCGATCGTACCGACCTTGGAGGCCTCGTCTCCGTGGAAGAGGGATGATGTGGGTCGACGCGCAACAGGAGGTCGGTCGGAAGTCTCGTCAGCCGGCGGAGCGGTAGATGATGGCGTTCGGAGGGAAGGCCGCGAGGGATGTCGACGAGGGATAGGCGGCGGACGGTCCACCGGACCCGCAGTGGAGCTAGACATGGCCGGTGAGGTGTATTTGAAGAAGAGCGGGAAGGAGGATCGCTGGACGCGACAGCCGTGTGCGAGCCGGATTTCCTATTGACACGAGGCTGTTTACGTAAGGTGAAACACCTGAAACAAGCGTGAAAATGTGAAACGCGCCACTCTGCTCTCTCGGTGCGGTGGCAGACCAGCTGTTCTAGGGCGTCACGTCGTGCGCGAGGGTCGTGGAGAGGACGCACGTATCCCCGGATCGTGTAGGCCATAATCTCGGAGATTCTGTCTCGATAGCCTTCCATCTACGAGTACTCAACACAGCCTCAAGCTGGGCATTCCGCCACCCTGCAAGTGGTAAACCGCGGAGAGCGCGCGACAGACCTTTTCGCCCTCTCGCTGCGCAGAAGCTTCCAATCTCCGTCTCAGTCATCTCACCATCATACATGGTAGCTGCAAGCAGCTGGGTCATTTGACTGCTGCGTCTCGAAAGTCTGTCTCTTAAGATGATGGCCATTACCCGCCATCCTAAAGCTGTAGCGGGCATATAAGGCCGATTTTCCGATAATATTCAGCTGATCATGCTCACAGTAGCTGATATCAGCGAGAAGATGAGCCCATTCACCAGGACGACTGCACATGCATGGGCGGTATCAGAAGCTTTGAGCCTCGAAGTAAAGCTTCTCCTCCAGGGCTTTCCGTCGGAAAGTGCTGTCAGATGACGTGGCATTTCAGGGGATCAAAAGCTTCCGTCACCTGGCTGGCTGGCTGGGTTGCTTTCGCGCACACCTCACTCAGGCTCACTTGCTATTGTGTTGCTCCTCATACCTTACCCTCATAGACCCATAGACAGCATGTTCTTCTGTGCTAGTGAGTGGCTCAGACAGCCGTGTAGGGAATACGCTGACTCCACAGTCTCCGGGTCTCCCCCTACCGTCCCGGTCGTCTCAAAGACGTTGGGAACAGTATACGAAAAAGCTCTGATTGAGCGATACATCGGTACGCTTCTGCGCTCAGGTATACTGGAGGACGAAGCTAAAAAGAGTAGAGGAGAATGGAACGGACCCAATCTCCGGCGAACCTTTGACCAAGGAGGACTTAATAGAGGTAAAAGCCAGTGAGTGGAATTCGCAACCGAGATGGAATGATTGTATTGACGAACTAGAACCATCCACTCTTCCCCCTCGGCCCGCCAACCAAACATCCATCCCCGCTCTCCTCACCTCCCTCCAGGCCGAATACGACTCGATGATGCTCGGCTCCCTCGAAATGAAGAAGGCGTTCCAGTCGTCGAGGCAAGAACTGGCGAATGCGCTGTATAGGGAAGATGCGGCGACGAGGGTGATTGCGCGCTTGATGAAGGAGCGGGATGAGGCGCGGGATGCGCTGGCGAGCATACAGCAGACGGTTGGGGTCGCGCCTGCGTCAGCAGAAGAGGAGGTGGAGGAGGCTGGAGATGTGGAGATGCGGCCGGAGGGGAGTTTGCCGGTGGAAGTGGAGGAGAAGGTCACAGAGACCAACACCGCGTGAGCTTCTAACACCTCACATATCTGGCGGTACTCAGCTCATTCTTCAGTCTCTCGGCTACTCGGAGAAAACGCAAGCCTGCCCCAGGTTACGTCAAGTCTGACGGTATCGCCTCATACACCCAAACATCCCACGTTCCCTCTCTTCACGCTACCAAGCCCGCCGGCATCACCGCTCTCGATCTCGCCGCTGACGGCAACGTCATCGTCACAGGAGGCGCGGACAAGGTTGTCCAGATCTTCGACATCGAGGCGTCCAAGGTGCTGGGCACGCTCAAGGGGCATACCAAGGCAGTCAAGCACGTTGTGTTCCGGGAGCAGGAGGGTATGCCGCGGGTGGTCATCTCGGGCGGAGACGACAAGACGGTACGGATCTGGGGAGAGGATGACGGCAAGTGGAAGGCTAAGGGGAGCATCACGGGGCACAAGGGGGAAATCACGGGTCTCGGTCTTCACCCGTCCGGCGCGTACGTCGCTGCCGGATCGACCGACTCCACATGGAGCCTGTACGATATCGCCGAGGCGAAGAGCGTGGCCACCTACAGCGCTCTTCCCGGGATGGACGGTTCCTTCTCCTACACCTCCTTCTCGGCCCACCCGGACGGTGTCCTCCATGGCGGAGGAACCAAGGACGGTCTCATCCGCGTTTGGGATGTCCGCCAGGCATCCTCCCTCGCAGCTACCATCGCCTCCCACTCGTCCGACGTCACTTCCATCTCCTTCTCCGAGAACGGCTATTATCTCGCTGCCGCCTCCAACTCGGACCCCACCGTCAACGTTATCGATCTCCGGAAACTTACCGTCCTCTCGTCCTGGAAATTGCCGGCCGAAAATACCGTATCAGAAGTCCGCTTCGATACCTCGGCGCAGTTCCTTACTGTCGTGGGTACGGATCTGCGGGTGTATGCCAACAAGACCTGGGAGGAGTTGCTCAAGTTTGAGGAGAATGCGGGGGTCTTGACGGGCGCGAGGATGGGCAAGCTGGGCAAGGAGATTGTGCTCAGTGGGATGGATAGGAGTATAAGGGTTTTGGGGGATAAGGCAGAGTAGAGTGGAACGATATGGCCAGCAAAATGTAACTGAATCGATGATCGCGGCGTGGACTGATATCTTGACGAAGGCGATACTCATCTGATCGCGATCGACCGAAGATGCGAGTCCGCCAGTCTGATGGGTGGAGTAATTTGGCGGAACAGGCCCAGACTGCTTTGACTGCGCCGCGCTTAGTCTACCCCAGTTCCGGTTCGAGTTGCCTGAGTCGTTCAAGCGTTACTCTGAAACTCGGCGATTCACCGCTGCCTCTTGATTGGGAAATGTTAGGGTTGGCTTCCGCGAAGGACACCGAGTAGACCTGCTCCACTTTCAGTACTCATGTCTGCTGATCCCTGATCCGCCACCTTCCTTCCTTTTCTCGACATGCATGTTTCTTTTCTCTACGCGAGTCGAGATTTGGCAGGCTTTCCTGTTGACATTTACTCCCATGACGTGGGCTGATTGCCTGATGAAGTGAGACTCATACCATGCCCTCGACCAGCTGGTAATTGACGTTTCAAGCTATGCTTCCGTACAAGTATACTCGAATACATCATTGGCCTATGCAGACAGTACTGCACTCGCCTACCGCGGATATACAGCGAAGACTACGTGTTCTGATGGTCAGGATGGGCACGATTGTCCTGGCTGAATGAGTGATACAGTGAGTGGCTCCCACGAGCGCACAGTCCGGCAAAGTGGCAAACAGGTGGAAATCGCTCGGACAGAGGGAAAAGCGGGCAGGGCGCCGGAGAGCCTCTAGACCCCCAAACCCGATCGAGGTGCACGTAGGGAAACAAAGGGACTAGAAGGACGTCAGCACGGTGAAGACGGATGACTTGCAGATCTTAGTCGAAATGTTGGAACGCGTGTCACTGATTCCGACCTTTCATGCTGATCTCCGTTCGAAGACGGGCGAGATTGTGCTTGTTCGGTTCCCCGTCGTAGATTGCGCTCGCAAGCGAGACGTTTGGGCAGATTGCGATCGCAATCTAGCAGGTAGGACAGCACAGCATGACCTTGGTGAAAGGAAATCCTGGCAAATTGCGCTCGTAAGCGAGGTGTTTGAGTAGATTGCGAGCGCAATTTAGCACGAGAGACAGCACAGCATGACGTTGGAGAAAGGAATCCAATGTGAGTCACGGAAGGCCAGCTCGCTGGGGCTTGGGGGATCCCTCAGCGGACTACGTATATAAGGCCTGCCTGCGAACGCGATCCCCTCGTTTTCACAACACTCATCGGTCAAGGTCAACTTACCGTACTACAACGAGCAGCCTCGCGTCACAAGCCAGAACAGAACCACCTCATCACCATGCAACGCCAAGCCGATACCAGTGGCTCCGCCGACGATACGTTCGTTGCGTGGTTCACTGACAGGCGCTCTGGCGCGGCTCTCAAGCTGAGATCGAGCGGTCAGACTCTCGGCAAGGTTTCCAACGCTTTGCGAAACATGAGCGAGAAGGGGAGTTACGAGATGGACGGCGTCGAATCGTGGGCCAGGACTCCCGGTACCCATCAACTCAACGTGCGGCGCCGTGCGCGTGGCGCGATCCCAGGGTTTGACGATGCAGACTTCACAGAGATGGAAGGCGCTTCTTCCCTGAAGGCAGACTCAAACTCCGTACACCACGAAAACTGGGATACGTCTCCCCTGCTCGAGGTTCTGCGCATCTCCGACAGCGGCTCGCGCGAGCTTGAGGTCCACAGCTTCGCGAGCGGGTCTGCATTGCGCGTCCCTTTCACCAGGCCGTTCGCGATTGCGACGAGGGAGTCCGAGGTCAAACACTACCGGCTCACCTTCCCGGGCAGCAAGGACGATTGCCTCAGCTACCTTGAGAAAGCTCATCCCGACATTCGATCAGAATTGCAAACTCTCTTCGGTCAGGGCCAAGCCAGCTTCAGCCAGGGCGAGCCCGTCGACATCGATGCGCTGGAGGCAGAAGTGAGCATGCGCGAGCGACTCACTCAGCAACTCGCTTTCGAGGCGAAGCAGGCGATGAAAGTCTTCATGGATGACGATGGTGAGGGGCCCTGAGAGGACGCCCGGAGGGCCGCAGCCACGATCCATTCCCTATACTCCACCTTTCAAGCACGCATCATGTACTCCAATAGATCTACCGTCGGATGACCATATGTATATATGACCGTTGACCGAGAGATGCAGATATAACTCGATGGTAATACTAGGCAAAATGCTGCCTCCCCAGATGGTACGTTAGTGACGCGCGCCACGGGAGCTCTGGGAGTCAATTTAATCGAGAGTTGACGTTATAGTTGGGCGCAGAATGCAGTTAGGCTCACGGACAGAGTTTCGAGTCGCTCAGATGTCAGGCCATGAGTTCTCACTACTCTTGTTGGCTGGAGTCAGCCCCGAAATAGCTTATAAATCTATAGTCAGGCGGCGCATGGGTGGCTTGACCGCCAATGGCTCCAACAGTCTGAAATGCTCACGCAATATATCGAATTTACTAGGCAAGCTTGGATCGACAAGCTACAATTCCTTAAGATATGCGGAAGGCACCAGGCCTTTCCTTCCGTTCGCATCCTCGCATGTCCACCCTAGCTGATCAGCGCTCTCATCGCGTCAACCCCTTTTCAGGTAGAGTACTCACAATCTGCCGATGTCTTCTGCGACACATATATCACCTGCCCCTCCTTGACTCCCAAATCACCACCATCCGACGCATCATAATCGTACAGCGCCCTCGCCTGTCCCATCTCGGCCGCTGCGACCGGCGCCGCCGCGCGTCTCGGTGGGGCTCCTCCCCTCGCCGGCGGCGGACCCGACATGTTCATCCCCGCCATCCCCGCGGATGGCGATGTCGGACTCGCTTCCTGTCCCTGCCCCTGCTGCTGCTGTGGTCCTCCGGCGCGGTTCAAGCTCCCATGGGCCGAGTTGACGATAGCCGCCGCCCCGACCTTGCCCAACGCATCCATCGCCGCCTGATTCTTGCTCAACATCCCTAATCCTGTCCGGGCGCCCGACGTCCCCATCTTGAGTCCGCCCATGATCATACGAGTAGCCATATCTGGCTTCTCGCCAGACTGCTGTTGTTGGCCGAAGCCAAAACCGCCACCGCCGGCGGAGGGTGCGCGAGGGGGAGGGGAAGTAGGGGATTGCATGGGCGGGAGGGTACGGCCGGCGGCGATGGGCGGGGCCATGGGTGGGAGAGTGCGGCTGTTGCTGGAGGCGGAGGCTACGGGAGAGGTGACGTGTCCTCCACCCCCGCCACCGCCACCGAGAAGGTGAGGTCGGGACTCAAAGTACTCGTCCAGAAGGTCGAAGAATGCGACTTTATCTACACCGTTTGTCAATTTCTTTCCACGCCCGGAGTCTCAAAAGTAGACTGAGCCTCACCATCGTATGTGAGATTACTGAACATCTCTTATTACTCCCTTTCCGAAGCTAGACACTAAGTGTACTATAAGAGTCTAGTAGGTACAGATCACAGAACAGCTTGCTTGGCATGGTCCCATCGCGCGAAGATAGCCGGGTAAGTTAGTTACGTCATAGCTGCAATTGCCTAGAATTGCCTCTAGAGGGAATATTAATTCCAAACTCCTCATTCCTTCCTGGCCTCCCTCCTTCTCCTCGGCGCTGTAGCTTCATCCACGAGTGGGCCGACCTCCCCCTCCCGCCACAACATCTGACTCCCTAATCAAGTTGCAGATACGGTTTCCCATCCAAAAAATCATTATATTCGTCACTCCTCAAAAGCAAAAGCACCCGCACCCGCCAGTCCCTCCTCCCTCCCCAACATCCCATACCCCTTGACCACCTCCATCTTCCGACTATGCCACCCGACCCCGCTGCTCACTCTCCCATTCGCCGTACTCAGACTCATCAACCACCTGCGCCACGGATGGGCCTGGGGCAGGTGTCTCGCAAACGTCCACTTCTTGCCATCCTCCAAGACCTCCTCGATCCACCCGGCCGATACGTCGACATACCACCCTCTTCCTCCTTTCGAGCGGATGACTTTCCACTCGTTGCTCCCTCCTTCCGGCCCGATCGAGTTCCGGATGGAGGAAGACAGCTCAATGACACGGAGCCGGGACGGACCGGGGTTCTTGAGCTTGCCGGGAGGCGCGAGCGCCTCGGCCATGGAGAAGGGAACGGTAGTGAGGGGATTGATGAGCCGTGCGTGGAGCTCCAGAGTGAGCTGAAGGGCAGTATTGGCGGGCCGAAGGGCAGTGTCCGCTGCTGTGCCCGTGAGAGTGAGAATCTCGACGTTGGGCGCGAGCTGGAGGAGGAAGGTAGCGATTGGAGGGAGGGGAAGTAGGGGTATGTGGGATAGACCGAGAGAAACGAGTGACGGCTGAGGGGGGAATGTACCCGGCAGAAGATGCTCCGCCTTGAGCATGGCAGACGAGATGTCGAGATACCGCAGCTTGCCACTTTTGATGCAAGGAGCTTTGGTGATGAGCTGTAGGAGGTCGTCGGACCGGAGAGCGTTGCCCTGGGTACGGTTGGTGTAAAGATTGAGCTCGCGCAGGTCGTTGACGGCCGGGGAGAAGCAGAGGAATTGCACGACAACGAAGGGGTCGAGGCGGGGACACCGAGCGAGGGAAAGGCTCGTCAGGCGTAAAGAGCGGGGACAGCGGTCGATGAGGGAAGTGAGGTAGGACGAGGAGACCTTGGTGCCCGACAGGTCCAGGTGTGTGAGGGCGGAGAAGGAGGGGAGGATAGCATCGAGGATCTTCTCGTCGACACCGAGGCATCCGCGGAGGGACAGTCGGTGCAGATGGGGGAACATAGGAGGCCGCCGCTGAGTTTGAGATGCCGATCGTTCCCCTCGCCGAGAATGACCCTCATCTTCCGTCTCCGTCTCCGTTGACGAGGTATTCCCAGCGGCCCGCTTCCTAGATCTCCCTCGTCCCCTATCTCCCCCACTCTCCTCCTCACTGACCGCCTCGTCTGGAGCGTAGTGATGCTCGTAGAACTCCCTCATCCCATCCTGGAACGTCCGGCTGACACACCCCGTGAGATCCAACGCCTCGAGCGGAGTAAACATCGCCCGACGACGCCATTGCTGATCCTCTGTCTCGTGCTCGTACGGAACATAGGTAGGACGAGGGGGATCAAGCTGATCATGGGTTTGTGAGGTGTCCGAGGGTCCGAGGGAGACCGAGCGGATGCGCGAGAGGGAGGAGCCGCGTTGAGACGATAGCCGCCGTTTGATCCGTGGACGCTTCGTCCCGCGGAAGAAGAGCTCTTCGATGACTTGCGAGCTCAGAGCAGAGTCGACGTATTCGGTCATACACAGGGAGACTAGGTTTGGCGCATTCTGATTGTCAGCGCAGTTCGACATATGTACACACTCGATCAAGGGAGAATCTCCACCTACCTTGATAAACCCCTCCAATCTCCCACCGGTAACGAATCTCCCTCGCACCGCCTCCTCCTGAGATCTCCTGCTTCCTATCGTCCTGAAGTTGACAAAGCTCAAGTGGCGGATGTACGGGCCCGGTGGCGGTAACAACTCCGGGTTGCAATTGAGCCAGTGTTCCTCTTCGGCCGGCGGCAGTCCCGGTGGCTCCGGCCTTGGAGGAGTGAGGATCCGTGAGTCGTTTGATCCGTCCCTCCTCGTCCCGACATCCATACCCTCGATCCCTGAAGATATCCCCTCCTCATACATCTCCATATCTCCGCAATCCTCTTCCCTGTTGTTGACGTTGTTGAGCGAGGTACGCCTTCCTGCCGAGAACGACGGACGGCGCGGCCATGCCAGACCCGGAGGTCGCTGTAGGGATATAGACGTCGGCAGACTGCGATCCATGACGGCTTGTATGCCCTCATCGGCGAATCCGATGCTGCGCCGAGGGGAGCGGGACCGACCGCGAAGCTTGGAGGGGAGGATGATGGGTGAAGGGGAAGTTAGGATGGACTTTGTTGCAGGCATCGGCAGCCCCTCGATCTTGAGCGGAGCGAGGGGACTTGTCCATGTCGGGGATAGGATAGGGGTAGACGCCAGAGTTGCATCTGGCGCAAAGGAGGGGTGAATGGGGTGTTCGCCGATCACGGGCGCAAACATGGAGGGCGGCGTCCTGCTAGGAAGTGTAGGGGTCTTAGGCACCAGAGTCGCCGCCGGAGGTAGTCCAGCTGCTTCCTCATCTTCGTTGTTCTCCTCCAGCACCTCCTCCGTCAGGGCATTGACGATGGCCAACCACCCTCTTCCGCCCTGCACATCCACGCTCTCCCACAACCACGGCCGCGACGCCTCGAGGAGCACATGGCATGCTTTCGAGACTTGCGAGATCTGTCCAGTGACAGCTGCGCCAGAGAAGGGAGGAGGGTCGAGGTAGCGATGGTATTGCGCGGGAGGGGCGTTCTCGTCCCGATTATCGGCGTAGAACGGGGGCGCGAGGAGGGAGATTGCGTGTGAAAGTGTTTCGAGGGGGAGGTCTTGGAACCGTGCCATCGAACGCGGCTGCGCTCTGGATTAGGTGAGGCAAGGTGGTGATATGTAGAGAAGAGCTATGGTCCTACAAGGTGGTTGATGAAGGCAAGACCAAGATCCGAGAAGAAGCTTCAGATGGGCGCCCGGGTGGCGTCGAATGAAGGATTTTCGCTCGGTTTCGTAGGGCTTTCTACGAGATTCTATTTGTCTAGCCTCCCTCTTTTTTCGCACCTGAGTTCCCAGTCTGCATGATCTCAGCCGCCTCTCCCTTGCAGTCTGCTCACTGCTCTGCATGCATACTACAGCCAACCTGTGTCGCCCAAACTTTCCCCACCTTGTGACGCCGTATCGGCTATATCCGACCACCTGAAACGGGAAATTACGAGAGCGCTTGGATTCCTTTCAAACCTTCCTCACTTGTGCATTCGCCCATCACACATCACCTCCAGCCGACCATGCCCCGCCCCAAAGCCCCCACGTTCGACTTTACACCCACCTCCCTCCCCGCAGACCATCTCCTCGTCCACCTGGGCCCACCTCAAGGCTCCAACAACTTCTCATCGGTCGATACGACGGGCACGCCCCGTCTCGTCGAACTCAGCAGCAAGCTGCGCGGGCGGGGCGCGGTGTTGGTTGCGAGGGGAGACTTTGCTTTTGTGAAGCTCTTTCCGGCTGATCCAAAGGGCGGGGAAGAGAGGCTGGTGGGTGAGATCGTGCAGGTATTGAGTGGGAAGGAGGTTAGGGATTTCAAGCGGAGTGGAGAATGGTTAGTCTGACTTGGGTCGACCATTATAGTGATAGACACTCATGGGACAGGCCCGAAGGATTCGGTGATCCCGAGCCCGTGGCGGAGGAAGTACGTCCGGAAGACAGTGCAGACTCCGAGTCTGACGAGGGGGACTATTACGAGGAGGACGGGGCAGCGGACAGCGATCAACAAGAGTTGGACTCGGCCACGGCCAAGGAATCGGCGTAGCTTTCTTGTCGCCGAACCTCAACAGAAGACGCACAAGAAATCGGCCCGCACACCGACCATCACTCCCTAGCCCACTGGGCGCTCCCCTTTTTCCAGCGCCCTGCTAGGCGTAGTTTCGGCGCAGGGCGGTCGGCGAGAGCGAGGTGAGGGCGTTAACGAGGAGCATTCGGCGAGAGAGGAGGGCACGTAGAAGCCGGGACAGTCAAGATGCTACAGCTACATAATAAAGCAAAGCTAGGACAACAGATTATAGACATGAGATGAGCTGGATTCCCCTCAGATCCCTCTTTCAATCTCCCCATTCCAACCCTAGCACTGCCCCGGACAGAACATCCCCTTGACCCCCTCATCCGCACTATCCTTGCCAACCACAACACCCATCTCCCCGTCCGGTATCTTCCACCTCTGCGCCGCCACATCCCATATACTCAAATCATACCGGCTCAAAGTCCACTCGACCCGCTTCGCATCCCATGGCCAGAGCTTGACCTTGCTAAAGTCCCTAAGCACCTTGGGCGGCTCGCCCGTACTCGCCGGGAAAGACAGGTAGAGCTGTGGCACCTCGCAGCCTGTAATATTGCCCACGTTCTGGACGTCGATGGAGACATGGTAGAATGGGTCTTGGAGGTATGGGGTAAGAGATGAGCCGACTTGAGTCGTGTTGCCGCCGGATGCACCGGCATGATGGACGTTCCGCGAGTGGTGTTCCTGGATGTTGGACGTTTGGGTCAGGGGAGTAATGAGGAGGTTGGTATAGTTGAACTTGGTGTATGACAATCCGAATCCGAAAGGGTACCGAGGCGTGATTTTCCTTTCCTGGAAATGGCGATAATCGATGAAGAGTCCCTCCGTGTAGTTGACCTGGGGCTGATACGGTGGGCCTCGGACGGGGACATAGTCGATATCGGCCGGATAGTCCTCTCGCCGCTTGGCGATCGTATACGGTAATCGCCCCGACGGGCTGTACGCGCCATACAGCACATCCACCAAAGAGTTGCCGCTCTCCTGTCCTGGCAAACCCGCCCACAATACCGCCGTGACATTCGGATGCTCAATCCACTTCTCCATATCCATCGGCCCGACCGAGTGGACGATGACCACGACATTGGATGAGACGTTCGCCGCTGCCAGCACGACATTGTCGCCGTTATTCCACGCAGAGAGGTTGTTCCGATCCCCGACATTCCCGTCGTACGTGATGTACTCTTCGCCCGAGTCCGAGTGAACGCCGACGAGCACCAGGTCCGCCTGAGCGGTCTGCGCGCGTGCCTGAAGGGTCTTGAGGTCCCAGTCGTCAAAGTGCCAGTCGAGGAGGGACCGGTCATGCCGTGCTTGGTAGGAGATGGCGGTGAGTGGGTCCACGAGGTAGGGGAATTCCGCGGTACCTGATCCCCAACCCATAGCGAGGGTGCCATTAAGACCGCCGCGATCTTCAAAGCCGTTCGGACCGCGAGGGGAGGGGGCGAGATCTGAGCCGGCGAGGAAGATGGATCGGGGGCGCTTGAGGGGGAGGGTAGAGTTGACATTCTTAAGCAGGACGGTTGAAGCTGCTCCGATCTCCCGAATGACCCTGTATGATCAGCTTTCCTCCTGGCTGTGGATGCTATCACTCACACGTCGTGATCCGCTCTCACATCGACGTGCGAATTGTTCAGAGTCGACAACCGTCTGAACGAATCGAAGTTCACAGCCGGATACCCCTCATCTTGTCCAACCAAGAACCACCCCGCCAGTATCCGCTCCGCCATATCCTCAAGCCGAGCCGTACTGACGCTCCCGTTGCGTACCGCCGCCGTGAGATTGTACCCGAAATAGCTGTCACCGGAATTGAAGACGATATCGCCCGGCATGGTCATATCCAGCCCGTTGATGGCGGCCAGGACGCCCGAGTGCGTCCCTTGCCAATCGGACATGACGTAGCCTTGAAAGCCGAGGTCCGTCTTGAGGATCTGGTTGAGCGTTTGCGCGTTTTGGCTGGCCCAACTGCCGTTGATGAGGTTGTAGGATGCCATGACGGAGACGACGTCGCTCTGGACCGCTCGGAGGAATGGGTGGACGTAGATCTCACGTAGGGTCCGGTCGTCGATGTTGGAGGAGGACATCTCGCGCTTCCGCTCGACTTCGTTTCCGACATAGTGCTTGACTCTGCGGAATCAGCTTCTGCTCCATCCCACCAGATTGATCTCACTCACACAGCCTGGACACCCGCATCCTGCATGCCCTTGACCGTCATCTCGGTCGCCCATCCCGACAGATATGGATCACCCCCGAAGCTTTCCCAGTTCCTGCCGCCAGCCGCCACTCGACCCATGTTCGTCGCTGGCCCCAGCGCAACGTTCGCTCCCTTGCCCTTGAACTCCTCCCCCATCGCATATCCTCTGGCATACATCAGATCCTTGTCAAACGTGGACGCCACATTGATCCCCGCCGGAAACGCCGATACGTAGTCTGCGAGCCGGACGCCGAGGGGTGAGTCCTGCAGGCACAGACCGGGGAATTTTTGGGAGGGGATAGCGGGGATGTTTCCGAGGCACCGACCGATCTGCCAGCCTGCGCCGGTGGCGAGCTGGACTTTCTCCTCGAGAGTCCAGTTGGAGAGGTAGGCTCGCGCTTTGGTGTAGGCGGCGTCCCATCGCGGAGAGGGGTTGAGAGAGGTACGGTTGAGAGGGGCGGGGGCTTGAGGGGAAGTATAGCCCGGAGGGACCGAGTCGAAGTAGTTGGGCGTTGGGGCAGCGGCGGGATTGTAGAGTGTCGCCGACGCGTAGGCGGCCGTTCCGGTCGAATTGAAGTAGACGCCTGTTTGGGTGTACCGTGGTGACGAAGCGGTAGGGGATCCGCTTCCTCCCTCGGGTGTCGAGCCGGATCCGTCTTGCAAAGCATATATTGGGAAGGCGATGTTCTGGGCGAGAGTCGACCGGTCAATGAGGAAGAAGACCGAGAAGTAGAGGACGAGGAGGAGCATGATGGTTATGGGGATAGGGCAAGATGCCGCTACGCAGCGAAGGGACAGAGGGGGTGGGTATCTGGAAGGCGGCATGTTAGCTGTAGTCTTCACTTGGTATATAAAAGTAATGTCGCATGAGACAAGGCAGAAGGGGAAGCTCACAGTATAGCTCGATATCACGAGTAACGAGTAAGAGGGGTGAGTTTCAGACTCAGCAGAAAGGATCGGCGGTAAGGGCGTCCTTTGATACGACGCCTTGCGACTTTGCTCGACTGATATCGATCAAAAGTGTATAGGACCACTGACTTGCGACCGCGAAGATTGAATGAGATAAAGAGGCGAAGTCGTCCTGACAGGATGGGAATGTACGCCGTCTGACCTTCAAAGCGATGCGAGCGGATGCGAGGTCCAATCGAGAAATACGCCGAAGAAGCGCCGTCCTACTGTACGGCCCACAGACTGGCCCGGGGAAAATGCTTCTGCCGAGCAGCAGCAGCAGTCGGGGAGCTATGTAGCTTCGATTGCTAAGCTTGAATTGGGCTAGCAAGACATGTCTACATGGGCTAGCTGAGGCAAAAGAGGGAGAGAAGCCAAGCGGCCTCCACACCGTGCGGCGGATCTGTGCGGACAGATCAGCCGATCCCCCCACTTTGCCCCACTGCAAGTGCGTATGCCTACATACACTCTGATGGTCAAGATGCTGATCCGTCCATCAAGGCTTTCACGGACATAGCTGATAGAGATGTCTCACCATTATCCTTCTCGGCCCTGCGAAGTCTCATGCACAGTGCAATATGCAGCTCACAATCGACCTTGACCTACAGGTGCCATGACCGGGGCCGGTTAGAGCGGCTATCATGACGTCACTAACTGTCTCTCCCGCCATGGGTACGCCATGCCCAGTGAACTAACTGGTCATTGAATGAAACAGACCCGAACCTCACATCTAACAATCACCCAGCATCTCTCACTGTATACACACCTCAACCCATATCAATAACAACCAATCAACATGGATGCGGAAGCCAATCAACACGGAACAGAGACCCCAGATGCCCTGCCGTCGCACAGTATCAAAGAGGACCCGACCTTCCTGGACCAGGCCAAATCGTCCCTTAGTGAGTTCTAGTCCCGCCGTCGTGGGATTCATGCAGTACACGCTGAGACCTTTGCAGCTTCGAGCGCACTGGGAGCAGCCAAGAAGGCGACGGACGTGCTAGACCGGAGTGGGATCACTGCTGTAGCGGACGACAGTGGGATTGAGGATGGCACGAGGGCTGCGACCAGCTCGTACAATACGGAGGAGATGGCTGTGAGTGCTCCTCCTCAGCATCGCGGTATACTGTCCGGTGGGATTTCAGAGTATCGCTGATTGCGTAGATTGGCGGCGAGGAGCGACCAAGCTAGATCATTCGTTTCGAAGTCACCGCTGTTGTACCAATCACCATTATACTCGAGTACCAAGATGTAGCGCCTGATCTACTTGACAGAGGGTTGTCGTAGAATATTAGGACGCTCAAATGAAGCGTCCCGCCTGGACCATAGCTTGTCGATCCACACCTCCAGGTCGGGCTCCATCCTCAACTGCTTTGGTCTGCATATCAAACGCTACATCTCATCTATCCCGTCTAACGGTCTATGGTTTATGGAAGGCTACACTGACGATCTAAAAGCTAATCTACTCCTCCAGGTCAAGCTCCCTCCTCGGCTTCATGGCATTCCCAGCAAACGCCTTCTTGAACGCATCCAGCGTCACCCCCTGGCTCTGCTGCGGCAGCCCCTGCGTCGCCCTGTTGTTGACTTCCGCCAAATCCCGGTCCTCCGCACCTGGCGATCCCGGCCTGGACGGCACTGGCGACCCCACGACCGAATCATTCCCTGTCAACTCATCCGATCCCTTCCATCCGCTAGTGGCCGCCGCCCTGTCTCCGCCCGAAAACGAGTTCATACGCGAGCCAGCGGGTGTCATGACGGGGGTGGCGTCAGGTGTGGCGCGGGGGTCCACCCGGTCGATAGGCTGCTCAATGACCATGGCGAAGGTTTTGGTTTCCGGGTCCCACTTGGCTGAGACGTGCGAGAGGTCCTCGACGAGGAAGTCGGGACGCTCCTTCTCCAGCGAGGCGCGGTCGTGGGATGTGCAAGTAGCGAGGACGCGGCAGCCGGCTGCCTTACCGGCGCGGATACCGGTGGGTGCATCCTCGACGACGAGGGACTCGAAGGGGGAGGCGTTGCATCCCTCGGCACCGAGGAGGTAAGGGTCAGGGAAGGGCTTGCCACGGGTGACAGAGTCGGCGGTGACGAAGATTTTGGGGGTGGTGAGGCCGGCAATGGGGATGGCTTTTCCAGCGTAGAAGAAGGTGGCTGAGGGTCAGCTTAGGTCACGCATCCAAAGATATAGACGTACATGATGTGCAAATAGCCCACTTCTCCTCGCCTCCCCTAGTCTCCTTCTCCTCGCTCAGGCTATCCAAGAGGTGCTTGACACCTGGCAGGACCTCAATCCCGCTCTTGCCCGTCTCCTTTGCCATATCCTCAGCCGCCTGGAGGATCTTGGACTCGAACCGGATGACCTCCTTCTCGAGCGTGGCAGGGTCGGAGATACCGCACCACTTCTTGAGGACGTCAATGGTGCGCATACCGTGCGCCGAGTGGAGGATGTCGTCAAGGTCAAGAGGGTACGTCTCGGCGAACATTTCCCAAGCCTTGACGACGGCGGGAGAGGAGTTGATGAGGGTTCCGTCCATGTCAAAGAGCACCGACTCGATGTTGATGTGGACGATGTGGGGGTCGGTAGCGGGGGTCATGGCGCCGCTGCCAGAGCCGGAGCTCTGAGCGTGGGCAAAGGAGCTGCGACGGGTAGGAGCAACCGAGGCGGGGACGGAGTTGGCAGGGGTTGGCATGGCCGACATGGTGAAGGCTTGCTTGGTGAAAACGGACATGGTGAGTGAGGGTGTATGTGGTGTGTGTAGTGTGAGTGAGTGGTGCTGTGAGGCTGTACTTGAGAGATGTTGGAGGAGAACCAAGACAAGTCGGAGGTTTTATCAACAGCTGCAGGCGGACTCAGAATTTTCACCTCTGATGTCAGTCTGACTTGGCTCAGTCTCGGGTTCCCGACATTTGGGGATATGCCTTCGGGGCGACGGGCTGTCCTTGGTCACTCCACCTCTGTCACGCATGGAGAGACCACCTCCACCCTAGGCCCGACGGAGACTGCGGAGGTCGGAGAGCGAAAAAAACTTCGCCTTAAGGGAAAGAGGCGTTCATTACCGCCGGCTTAGCATGATGTCATGACGTCATCACCCTGTATCTGCCTTATCTTGGAAAAATTTGAAACACCCTCCTTCTCCCACCTTGCGCCCCCTTCTGCGCAAACCACGTCGGCAGCATACTGACGCTTTCTCGGCGGCTTTACCGAGATCTAGAGGCGGACACGGTCGGGAACAACGCGGCGCGGGATGATGTATACCTTGTCAGAGCCGGTCTGGACCCTTGGACGGGTCGGACCCTTCGGAACTGGGGATGTCTCTTGGCTCGGTGATGTGTGACGAGCGGCCCCGAGGTGTCTGACGGGCAGGGGAAAACTTGCACCACGTTGCAAGAGGTGACAGCTCATTATAACACTGATCATATTGCACTTCATCTCTGTCTAAAGTCCATCTACAATAATCAGTAACGAAAAGCACACCATACACGCAATGTCTTCATCCAGTGCCTCTCCCCTCGCTCAGCCCATGTCCGACATGTCTATCGACCCTCCTTCCAACCTCACCACTCCCGCCTTCACGCGCCCCTCGTCCCCTGCGCCTCAACTACCGCCATCCCCACTCAAGAGCGGCAAGCACAAGATCGCCGTCATTGGGTCGGGATCATGGGGGTCTGCTCTGGCAAAGATTGCTGCAGAGAATGCATGGAAGCGGCACGACGAGTTCCACTCGGAAGTGCGCATGTGGGTGCGAGAGAAGCAGGTGAGTCTGACTTGATGTCGAAGGACGTACAAAATGCTGACTTTTAGGTCAACGGCAAGAAACTGACTGAGGTCATCAACCGGACACACCTCAATTCTCGGTACCTCCCCGATATCCCCCTTCCCCGCAACCTCGTCGCCACCCCTCACCTCAAAGACGTCGTCAAGGATGCCACCCTGATTGTCTTTGTCACACCCCATCAATTCCTTCACACTGTCATCCGCGAAATCTCGGCACCTGGCATCCTCACTCCCGGCGCACGCGCCATCACCGCCATCAAGGGTGTCGAGGTGAACGGCACCGACATCTCCACATTTGCCAGCCTCATCGAGGCCCAGCTCAGCATCCCCACCTCGGCACTTTCCGGCGCCAACATCGCTCTCGAAGTTGCCAAGGGGCAGTTCTGCGAGACTACCATCGGTGTACCGGGACGGGCGGACGCGCTGCTCTGGGAGGCGGTCTTCGACAGTCCGGACTTCCGCGTTGCGACAGTAGATGATGTGGCGGGCGTCAGTCTGTCGGGCGCGTTGAAGAATATCGTCGCGCTGGCCGCGGGAATGGTGGACGGGATGGGCATGGGCGGGAACACCAAGGCGGCGATTCTGAGAATCGGTCTGCAGGAGATGAGGGGGTTCTGTCTCGAGTTCTTCGCTGGCTCCAAGGCTGAGACGTGAGTAGCTTCTTCTGTGACTCATGGCATCAAGCTGACAAGCAGCTTTTCGAACGAGTCAGCAGGTATCGCCGACCTCATCACCACATGCTACGGCGGCCGTAACCGTAAATGCGCCGAAGAGTTCGCCAAGACCGGCCAGCCTTTCGACGTGATCGAGAAGAAGCTCCTCAATGGCCAAAAGCTCCAGGGGACGCTCACGTCCGAGGAGGTCAACCGGTTCTTGCTCGCCAGGCGGAGGACGAAGGGGTACCCGCTCTTTGAGAAGGTGTACAAGATTGCGTTTGAGGGGATGCCCGTCAACGAGCTGGTCAAGGGCTTGTAAGCGAGGATGAGTAGTTACCTGTAGCCTTAGCTAAGAATCCGCGATGCCTTGCGAGGATGCGACATAGAAAATAGATGAATAGATGATCAAAGTAGAGCGACTGGCTGATCGATCCGGTTGGAGCTTCGCTGTGGTCAGCCTCTTCTGCTTCCAGCTGCATCATTACTCGGCCTAGGAGACGCGTGAGCGAGCGTGGGCGACCGTCGCCGTCGCGGCCTGGCTTCTCACAACCCTACTCGTTCAACCCCAATATGGTCATCGTCGGGAAGGTATAGACGCCTTGCCACCCATCCCTGCTCTGACCACCCCTTCGGCGATGACCGCCTCGGTCAAGACGTCAAGTACTGACGTACGCGGTGTCAAGCCAAGCTCGTGCAGCTCAACTTGTATACACCTTCCACCGTACCTCATCCTATAGTCAGGCATACCATACTATGGTGAGCACGTCCACAGTAGATAATATGGGAATTCAGCTGACAGACCTAGCTTCTTCGAATCCGCTCACCGAGCGGCACAGCCCGCCTCAACGTCACGCCCGACACGACCGGCGAGGACTTTGCACAAATGATGATGGACCAGCTTCCTCAAGCTGATGCGGCGACGATCGACCGGTCTAGCTTGAAGCTTAGTAATCAGCCTGGTGACAAAGGCGAGTCCGTCCCGTTTGACGCGCTCAAGGGACGTAAAGTCGGGGATATGGGATTCACGTGAGCCGCTTCGTCAGCCGTCTTCTGGTCCAGCTGTTGATGGTTAGACATGGCGACCTGCTCTTCCTATCGTATAAGCAGTCTCAAGCGAATCCAAACTCTCACCCCACTACGTCCGCTTCGAGCTCCACCGCCCCTCATCCCAGTCAGCCGGACCCATCACATCCTCACACCCATACCGATCCGCCTTTGCCCAATACTATCCCCCTGCCGGACCTGTCGCACGTGATCGAGCCCGAGGTGGACCTGTATTGGCAGAAGCAGGATGGAAAGATACATCGGAAGCGGGATACCAACTTCTGTCGACATGGCGAGAAGGGCATGTGCGATTACTGCATGCCTCTTGAGGTGAGTTCATAAGCTCTTATCATCGGTGGGAGAGAGTGCCTTAGCTGACACTTCAGCCATATGACGCCAAGTATCAAGCTGAGAATCAAATTAAACATCTGTCATTCAACGCCTACCTCCGCAAACTCATGGTCAACCGCCCAGCCGCCACCTCCTCCTCGTCAGCCAACACTCACCTTCCCCCACTGAACCAAATCTCCCTCTCCGTTCAAACCCCATGTCCGACCGGCGGACACGCCCCCTTCCCCGCTGGAATCTGTTCCACATGTCAACCCTCCGCGCTTACTCTCAACTCCCAATCATACCGTATGGTCGACCATGTCGAATTCGCATCACCGCAAATCATCGATAATATCATTTCGGCATGGCGGCGGACGGGGACCCAGCGGTTCGCATTCTTGATGGGACGCTATGACAAGTATGAGATTGTGCCGATGGGGACCAAGGTGGTCGTTGAGGCGGTATGGGAGCCGAGACAGGAGGGAGAGCTGGATGGGCTGACGGTGGAGACGCCGTGGGAGGATCAGGATCGGGTAGGGGAGATTGCGGCGTGGTGCGAGAAGGGACTTGGGGTGGTAGGGATGATATACACCGATCTGACACCGTGAGCTCCGCGATCTGCTCTAGCTGTGCGTGCTCAAGCTGATCTTGTCAGATCACCGGACGACATCACCAAACTACTCTACAAGCGCCACGCCCAGTCGTATACCGCCTCCTCACTCGAAATGCTCATGTCGGCGGCATATCAAAGATCGCACCCTCTGCCCACAAAAGCCTCGCCAACAGGCCACTTCAGCTCAAGATTTGTCACTTGCTGCTTGACCGGCACGGAGGAAGGAGGGATCGATGTCATCGCATGGCAAGCAACGGAGCAAGCGGAAGAGATGGTCCGAGCTGGGATAGTGGAGGCGACGGTAGATCCGGGTGTGGTACGTGTCAGAAATGCGGAAGACGGAGAGTATATCCCTGAAGTGTTCTACAGGTACGTCAGCTAAGGGAATCTCTGGCACACCTTCCGCCCGGAGCAAATAGCTGACCCGCAGCTTCAAGAACGAATACAACCTCCAAGTCAAGATGCCGGCCAAGCCCACCTTCCCTGTAGAATACCTCTTTGTCAACGTGACCAACGGTTTTCCTGTCGACCCCAAACCCCTCTTCCTCGCCAACGACTTTGCGCCCGAGAACCGCCCAGGACTGCAAGATCAGTCGCTCGAGCTGGTCATTTCGCAATTGTCCAAGATTGTACGGGACTCGGACGCGGATGTCGGGGACGTGCAGACATGGCCGGAGAGAATCAAGAAGGAGGTGGGCAAGTGGTTGAGCGATTGGCATCTCGTGGCGTTTCTGTGTATGCAGGGGCTGTTCAGTCTGGTGAGTCTTTGCCCAACGATGTATGCACAATCGGACTGATGTTTTTAGGAAGAACAAAAATTGCTTTGTCGGGCAGCAACCCAACATGCCCACAGGTCAGACTCGGCCGCTCTCGCTCACCTGCTGGCTAGTGGAGGCTGGGGCACGCTCTGCGCTCTCGCCGAAAGCTCAGGTCCATCCCGTGCCAACGGTCAAGCCAATGGCGGAGGACGTTCGGCGCAGACGCCTACACCTCAATTCGGCGAGATGGGCATCGACTCGCCACCCCGAGGGAGCGGGTCAGGGGGCGGAGGTGATGCTATAGCCGGCGGGGGAGGTGGAGCCAAGGTGTGCCCACATTGCACGTATGAAAATGAGGCGGGGGCGCAGGACTGTGATATCTGTGGACTTCCACTATAGCGGCTATATAGAGGATAGAGCGAGCAGCGCAGCCACTGTATTAGGCAAGCAGTCATGCAGTAAATCTCGTATGCGGGGCTCCATTTGCCTCACCGCCGCCGAGAAGATTTCGGAAATTTGCATGTCAATACTTCGCTCTACTTCACCTTTTCTATACATCCCTCATCATGCCCAAAGAACAGGTCAGAAAGCGCGGAAAGAGAAAGACAAAGCAGGCGGACGAAGGAGAGTCTCGCCATGCTGCACCTATCGAGGTGAAAATCGACGTCAGGCCTTTCCACCCAGACACTGCTCCGCACCAGCAACAACAATACTCTGCGCCATCCCAGCCGGTGGCTGGTCCGTCGGCTATACATCCTGCTCGAGCGGCACTGCTCTCTGGGCAACGTTACGTGCCTCCTCTAGCGGCAGCGTCGACGTCGGCGTCGGCTTCGACTTCGGCGGACTTTATCCCTCTCGGTGATGGTCAGCCCGCCGCTGATCCGGAAAATGGAGAGGCGCAGTGGAATCGCGGACCAAGGGCGGACCAGGAGTTTCCCTTTGGGATAGTGGATCCTGATTTGAAGGCGTACTTCCGGGGCGTGGAGGAGCAGATCAAGGATTGGGAAGGGACAAGCTCTGTTGGCGAGGAACGAGAGGGTAAGTTGGGCTTGTCACTTTTATCGACTACTAGCCGCTGACTGCTTAGACCGCAAGCAGTTCCTCACGTCCATCCTGGGCGAGCTGAGAACACACGAGCTCCAGCTCGCCACGGACCCCGAATGCTCAGTCGTCATCGAGCGCCTCCTGGCGTCGATGGGTGACCGCGGTCGGCGCATCCTCGGCGATTCGCTAGCGGGCAACTGGGAGACTCTCATCCGACACCGGTTCGGCAGTCACGTAGTCCAGAGCTGGATCCGGCTTGGTGCGGATACATTGGACCGGGAAGAGGCGCTGCCCAATATGGACGGATACATCAAGAGCGAGGAGGACCAGGTCCTACCTTCGACCCAAGCGCTCTTTTCGGGCCTGATTGAATCCCTTCGTCCCACGCTCGCTACTCTGCTTACACATCCCCACGCCTCTCCGCCCGTCCGACTACTCTTCCTCGTCCTCTCGCCGGATATGGCGCTACCGGATCTAGCGGGCGGTGATCCGGGAGGCACGGCTGTCCGCTCCAAGCGCAGTGGGAAGTACAGGAAGAACCATGCGGTCGAGGGGAAGACGTTCCTCGCTGATGGAGATGACGACATTGTGGGTGTCAAGGGGAAAGAGAAGGCGGGAGGAGTCAAGAGGAAGGTACCCAAGGAGTTGACGGAGCTTGGTAGGGAAGTCAGGGTTGAGCTGGCTGGGAAGATCAATGAAGGGGAGTGGAGGCTGGTGGGCGTGGATGTGGTGGGAAGTCCGGCTGTACAGGTAAGTCACAGGTGCCTTAGCACGTGCATGAGACCGGTGCGCCGAGAGAAAGCTGACGCAGTAGACCCTCTTGGAGTTGGAAGCAGGAGATGGCGAAGCAGAAAAGGCAGCTTCACTGCTAGACAACCTGACTGAAGGTTTGGTCTCGGAGATATGTGCGTGGTCCCGCCTGCTTGATCGATCCACGTCAGCCAACTGATCTCGATAGTGAACGACCAGACTCTCGTAGCGAAACTCTACATTCCCTCCCTATTCACTACCCAACCCGGTACCCACTTGCTCGAAACCATCCTCATCACCTCTTCCGCCCGGATCTTTGCCGCGATATGGCAAACATACTTCGTCGGCAAGATCGGAAGACTCGCCGGACACCCTACTGCCAACTACGTCGTGGCCCGTGCAATTGGACGACTGGAACTGGAGGGATTACAAGGCGTCGTGAGGGAATGTAAGGCCGTAGCGGGTGGAAAGGGGATGATCAGTCAGTCGCCATACACCGGTCATTAGGTCCAAGCTGACAGTGTAGAAACTGGGCGGATAAGTGTACTGCAGGCGTTAGTTGAGCGAGGGGCGAAGATAACGGACGCTCAGCCTTTGATTTTGGATGTGAGTGGACTAGCGGAGAGAACTAGGATCTAGCGCTGATCTGTCTAGCTGCTCAGATCTGCGTTGGACTTGCCAGAACAGGAAACGGCCGCGATGGTGCCTTGTATAATGGCTCTCAAGACATTCCCAGTGAGGATTTTGATCGGCCTCGGCCCACTAATCTTGCCGAACTTACCATGTCAGACATTTATGGCGCTGTCGAGCGGTGAAGCCGAGCCCGAAGATAAGGACGAGCTCCCCGAGGATGCAGTCGACAAGGCCGCCGAGGAAGCGGCTGCTGCAGCAGCCAAATACGCGGCATGGCAGAACCGGAGGTCGGCTCGTACGGAGGCTTCGCAGCTGGAGCCCAATATCAAGGGCAGTCTGTTGTTGCAAGGCCTGCTGGGTCTTGCTGAAATCAATGCGGCGATTCTGGACAGGTGAGTTGTGTCCTCGGACAAAGAAAGCAAAAACACCACGCGCCTACACTCGCCGCCTGGCTGGCCACTCCCCGCTATCCGCTTCACGGCTGTGTTCGCTGATCTACATCGCTCTTCTGCGACTCTTCGGTGTCCTCGGACGAAGAAAGGGGATTTCGCTGATCAGCCCAGTCTCTTCGCGCAAGACTCCAACACGCTCATGGGCTACGCTACCAGCCCCATCTCGTCCCGTTTCCTCGACGCGGTGCTCACCCAGTCGGCCGTACCGAGCAAGTACAAGCGAATGCTCATGAATGGCTTCATGGGCCGATACAAGTTCTTGGTGGAGGACCGGATGGGCAGTCGAGTAGGGGACACGATCTGGGATCATGCCGATGGGTTCATGAAGGTCAGTCCATTCCTCCCCACATCACTTTGCACGGACACTAGCTAATATTATGTAGGAAAAGATCGCCCGATCTCTCACGCCCCACGCGACGGCCCTTTCCAACTCGACGTATGGCCGCTTCTTCGCTAAAAAGCTTAACCTTCAGCTCCTCGTTCGGCGGCCGGACGAATGGAAGGAAGAGGTCATCGGTGTCAAGCACCACTTTGCGCATCAGAAGAAGGAGGATGCTGCGAAAGGGAAGGGGTCGAGATTGGCCGCTGCTGCAGGCGAGTATATGGCCAAGAAAGGGGATGAGGCTGGGCCGGGAGGCGAGGACGCGAAGCCGAAGCGAAAGGCAGAGGAGGAGGATGAGATAGATACATTGTTTGCGGGGGTGGAGAAGAAGAAGAAGAGCAAGAAGAGTCGAGAATAGGCTGCTGGGAGAGCTATGTATCTGCTTGAGTCTAATGTGGATCTCTCTTAGGCTGCAACTCAAGCTGAGAGGGTTGAGGATATCCTCCAGCGTGTCCTCGCTTAGCTCGCCAATCTGAGTCGCCACCCAATCTCGCAACTTCAGCAGCAGCGGCGGCCGCAGCGTTCATCCTTCCTCCTCTGCTATCATTTACCTCCCTGCCCCCTTGTGCCCCTCGACTATCAGCAATGCCTCGACTTCAGATCTTACAGTAAGCTCACAGAATCCCATTATATTCAAGCCGAACCCGGCAGCTGACAATCCCAGCCATAAATCCTACCACCCCTACAATGAGAAGAACAAGCAACGAGTCCGGGAGGACGAAGCCAAAGCCGCCGCTGCCGAGCTCGCCATCGAGCAAGCGCGCATAGAGGCTGCCTCTTCATCACGTCTAAACGAGCTGCGGAAACGCGCTGGTTCGCCCTCGTTCCGGTCCCCCTCTCCCCCCCTCGACCCCGCGGACGAGAATCTTCCCTCGACATCCTCGGCTCCAGATCTCGCAGCAGCCAGCAGCCGGCTGGTCGAGAAACACAGGAAGGAGAAGGCTCGGCAGGAAAAGAGGGAGAAGAAGCAGAAGGAACGGCTGGACTTTGATTTCCCGAGCGAGAGTGCGAAGCGGGATGAGAGGCGGCGGGCAAGGAAAGAGGGGGAGGCGTCAGGATCTGGGTCGGCGTCGGTGACGGCGGCAGTGCCGAAGAGGACAGGTGGGGTGGATAGGGATGATATGTGGGTGGATGATGGGGCGCAGGGGGAGGATGCGAGTGGAGTGTGGGAGAGTGCGGGACATATCAACCTCTTTGCGGATGTGGAGAAGAATGTGAGTTGCCAAGGCCTGATCGTGTGAGAATCCGAAGCGTAGAGCTCAGCTGACAACATAGGAGCGTCCTCAGCCTACCTTGGCAGAGCTAGCCAAGAAGAAGAAGGATCAAGAAGCCGATTTCTTGACGATGTACCTCGGCCGCCCGGAGAAGGAGACCAAGCCCTGGTATACCGACCCCAATCTCAAGCGGTACGAGGAGAAGGAGACTGGCGAGGACGCAGACTTTCGACGAGCGCGAGATAAGCGGAAAGACGTGCGCTCGAAAGCACGACATGACCCCCTTACCCAAATATCCTCCCTCCTCGCTTCATCCTCTGCCAAATCCGTACCACGACCACGGCAATCCCTCCCGGATGCCGGCCGCGCAGATGCGAGTGCCGCCCGTGTATCGAGGGAAACGTCGGAACGGCAAAGGGCGCTGGATCTTATTGCGCGGACCAAAGCGCAGGCGGCGCGCTCTGGCGGGAATAGATGGGACGACACGCCGTCGACGATCGCGGAGAGCAGGACGTGGTCTGAGGACTTTGAGCGGCAGAAGGATAAGGCGGGGATGAGGTTCTTTGATGAAGGTCGCGGGCTGAGGTCTGGGATGGCGTCGGGTGGGAGAGGGTGGGACGGGTCAGCTAGGACAGGAAGGAGCTGGGAGGTATGATAGACAGTAGTATGATCAGGAGGATGTCAGAGTTGTATCAGTGGGTCTCTGTTCTGCTCGAGCAGCTGATATTCTGACAGCTCATCTACTGACCCACCCAAGCTCCCGGACTGCCAAGATATGCGACAGAGCTGACTCGCCACCGATGTGTGGATCACCCTGAGGTAGGCTGGCTAGGCTCCTGTCCAGACCTTTACAGGACCCTCGTTGAGTGTGAACTGACTTGTCTGATTTCACACAAGGTCACGCCATAGTGTGCATAAAACAGAGCTACATAGGGAAGTCTTTACTACGATTACGAGTCGCGGCCTTAATCGATTATATGGTACTGAATTATACGAGCTTAGCTTATGGAAGGGGGGAGCTGATCGATCACCTGTAAACTGGAGTCTGGCCGTTGGCGTCAACGACAGTAGCAGCGCTGTACCGAGGGTCATCAAGTGGGACGGTGTGCGCAACGACGGGGGTTGCCACCAAGTGTGACTGAGATGGGGGCTCGACGGGCGCTACAGTGGAAAGGCTGCGCGCCTCGGTCTGAGGCTTGTCGACGGGGGCGACAGCATGGAGAGTATCCTGCGAGGGGGAGGTGGGCTGGCTCAGGCGGAGCAGCATAGCTTCGATCCGGTTGAGCTGGTCCTCGAAGCCCGGCGGGCCCTGCTCGATGTCGAACACCTGGTCGTGTCAGCCAGAGCTCATAGCTTCAAGAAAGAATAGACACTTACACCACCGGTGATAGCGGGCTCAGTGTGCAGATCCCCAAGACCCGGTCCAGAGACAGCAAGCATACCGCCAGCGGTGTTGTTGTCACCGCCGGATCCAATCGCCTTCTCCTCGTCCATCATGCCACCTGGTGCAGCGAGAGCGAGCACAGCGGGGCGCGGTGCCTCGCCATCCTCGGGGCCGAGGACAGTCTCGTACTGCAGCCACTTGAGCATCTTGTAAAACCCGGCGGCAATGATGGCTCCGAGAGCGGGGCCGAGCCAGTAGATCCAGTCTGATGGTCAGCTTGGGCGCTGGGCTATGTAGAGAGGATATGACTCACGGTAGTTGGTGAACGTCCTCAAGACAACCGCCGGCCCAAAGCTCCTGGCCGGGTTCAGCGATCCACCAGTATAGTAGACACCGAGGAGCTCAGCGACAAAGAGCGCGAGTCCGATACCGATAGGGGCGATGAAGGTGGCCTTGTTCTTCTCGGCGGCGAGTAAGAGGATGGCGAGCATGAGGAGCGCCGTGAGGAACATTTCGATGAAGAGACCTTGAGCGACGGACGTCCCGCCACCGAGCTGGGTACGGACGTTCCTGCAAATCAGCAACTGTTGCCAAACGAGCACGTCGGATCTAGACTTACAAAGTGCCGGGAGTGATGGCGTCAATAATGGCAGCTCCGGTGATACCGCCGAGGACCTGGACAAAGGCGAGCAGTGCAGCGCGGACCGGTGTCAAGGCGCCGACAAGCATCATACCGAGTGACACGGCGGGGTTGAAGAGCCCACCGGAGACTCGGAAGAAGATCCAGGCGTTCACGGCGAGGGAGAAACCGAAGGACAGTGCGATGTACAGGAGGTTGGAGGTGTTGACGGTAGACACAGCCGAGTTGTCTTGTCCGGCGGCGGTCTCGCCAGTGATGGAGGTGCTGGGGATGAGGGCGACGTTGGTTCCGCCCAAAGCGAAGATCATGAAGAGCACAGTCCCGACGTATTCTCCGATCATAGCGATGAAGTCTGAACGTCAGCGACACGCCACTTCGTGATCGGGAGAGGGACATTAAAAGAGGGACGTACGGTTCTTCAGCGCGAGCTGCTTCGGACCTCGCTGAGCGGGGTTGTTGTCCCAGTTGAGACGTCCTCTTGCGCGGAGCATAGACTTGCGGTGAGCCGCAGCCGTCCCATCGGCGGGAAGGTCGGCATTCCGTCGCTGACCGAGCATAGTTGCAGTGATAAGTAGGGGGAAGGTCAGGTAGAAGAAGAAAGGATCGGATGGGCGGAAAGGAGAGGACTGCGATGGGTTTATATAGTCGGGATGCCGCACCTCTGGTACTCGTGATCCTCATCCTCCTTTTCTTGGCCTCTGTCAGCTCCTGTCCCTCCTACCCCTTTCCCTGAGATTCCCATCGTCTAGCCGCCGCGCTGACGATCCATGACGAGGGTGACATACCCGTTCCTGACCATCATCCCCGCGGCTTTGGTACTCGCAGATCCCATCACACTCCCATCACCCGACTTTTTTGCATTCATCGAGGCCTTTCATCGCGGATCGGCGGACTCCACAAAGCTTCACGACGTCATTGTTTCGTAATAACCCCAGAAACCTTCTCAGGCACCGTCAGGCACCGTGCCTTGTCTCAGATCTCGTTGCTAGATTTAGCAGGATTTAGCGCGAGCGAGCGCGAGCGCGTGCACAGAGGCGCAGTCCAGAATGCTAGAGAATGCTGAGCCGCTGCGACGCTGCCGCGGCTTCTGGCGGCTAGCAGGCCACATTGAGGCCCATTCCGCTGCTCGCCGGGGCCGACGCAGTGCAGGCCGCGGGTCCCTGTGGAGACTGTCTCTGAGCTCTGGCCTGTGCGTCATCGGCGAGGAGGAGGAGGAGGTCGTGTCTTCAGAGCTTTGTCACTTGCAAGCCGCCAGTATATGACTGTCGTCACGTGCCATATACCGTGTGCATGGGCTAAGCTACAAATTCCGGTCGTCATCGTGTATATGTATTACAACCCGAACCAGTTATCGTGTATACTACGCGCTATTATAAGGTGAAAGAATATGAGATTTTGCGAGCCAAAGTACCGTTTACTTCTTGTAGACCGGCTTCGAGTTACCCTTGGCGTCGATGATGGTAGCGGCGCTGTACCGAGGGTCATCGAGGGGGATGGTGTGGGCCACGAGAGGGTTGGCGACCGTACGGCGCTGGGAAGGCGGGTCGATGGGCGCAGCCGCTGGAGTAGCCTGAGACCGGTCCCTATCCTGGCGATGCTCCCTCTCTCCGCTCTGCCGATGCTCCCTGTCTCTATCCTGACGATACTCTCTTTCCCTGTCCTGACGATACTCCTTCTCTGGGTAGTCCTTGTAGTTGTTGTGGCGCGGGAGGTCGCCGTGCGAATCGACGCCGTGAAGAGTCTCCTGCGACAGCATCGGCAAGATGCGCTGGAGCATCGATTCGATACGGTTGAGCTGGTCCTCCGAATCATGGCCTCCATGGTTGGCGTCGAAGATCTACCGGTGTATCAGCTGAGCTCGATGGGGAGTAGACTTAACCAAAAACTCACTCCTCCATCCTGAGCCGCCTCGGTGTGCAGATCCCCCAGACCCGGACCAGATACAGCCATAGTGCCTGAATTGTCGATGGCCTTCTCCTCGTCCACCATGCGACCGGGCTCACCGTCCCCGCCGGCAGTACCGAGAGCTGCGACGTCCTTCTTGCCCTTCTTGTCGGCGGGCTTGGGCGCCTCGCCATCCTCGGGACCGAGGACAGTCTCGTACTGCAGCCACTTGAGGAGCTTGTAGAAGCCGGCAGCGATGATCGCACCGAGAGCGGGTCCGACCCAGTAGATCCAGTCTGTACTGTCAGCCGGGATTCTGCTTGGGAGGCCATCGGACAACGGCTAGAGACACTCACGGTAGTTCTCGAATTGGCGGAGAACGACACAGGGTCCGAAACTTCGGGCAGGGTTGAGCGAACCTCCGGTGTAGTACACGCCGAGCAATTCCGCCACGAAGAGTGCGAGCCCGATACCGATGGGAGCGATAAAGGTTGCCTTGTTCTTCTCGGCGGCAAGGAGGAGAATGGCCAGCATGAGGAGAGCGGTGAGGAACATCTCGATAAAGAGACCTTGGACGACCGAGGTACCGCCTCCTAGCTGGGTCCGTACGTTTCTGAGAATCAGCGGAGTCACGGAGCAACCAAACAAGCAAGACTTACAACGCGCCCGGAGTGATAGCATCAATGATGGCCGCGCCGGTCATACCGCCGAGGATCTGGACGAATGCCAAGAGGACAGCCCGGGTCGGGGTCAGCGCGCCGACGAGGGCCATACCCAGAGATACCGCCGGGTTGAAGAGACCGCCCGAGACACGGAAGAAGATCCATGCGTTGACAGCGAGGGAGAAACCGAACGAGAGCGCAATGTAGAGGAGGTTGGAGGTGTTGACGGTCGAGACGGTGGAGTCCTGCTCGCCGGCGGCTGTCTGGCCGGTGATGGATGTGTTGGGAATAAGAGCGACATTGGTTCCTCCGAGAGCGAAGATCATGAACAGGACGGTTCCGACGTATTCACCAATCATAGCGATGAAGTCTGCCAGTCAACTACGTCCTGGGGCACGTCCAACGAGTGACAGAGAACTGACGGTTCTTGATCGCCAGCTGTTTCGGACCACGCTCGGGCGAGCTTCTGTCCCAGTTGAGACGGCCCTTGGCGCGGAGCTGGTCCCTCCGCCGCTGCGCAGCAGCTCCTTTTTGGTGGTGGTGGTGATGGCCGAGCATGTTGATTTTGTAACTGCACGTCAGAAGAGTAGTGGTGAGAAAGGGGCGAAGAGGAGGCGCTCTCCTTATAAGAGACTCGACTCCTCTCGCTGTGTGCAGGGGAAGCGAAGAAGAGAGCGAGTGACCGCTATGACGTGCACTGGGTGCCGCTAGTCGTAAATAACACTGCAACGCAAGCCACTGGATGTGACGTCCGACGTCATCATTACGGCAACAGATCTTGAAACAGCGCAGATCATTCGGAAGCTTCCGAAGTGAGGAATTCTGCGAGACTGGGTGACTACCCCCGGATGCAATTGAGCTATCTGGTATCTCGAGTACTCTGATCAAGCTGCTCGAGACGCTTCCACGGTGGGCGCCGCCGCAGCCACGTTCCCCCTCTCCGCCTCACTCTCCGCGATCAGAATCTGCTTCAACACCTTCAGGACCGCAATGCACGCCTTTGTCCAATGCTCATCCGGGCTCAACTCGGCACCTCGGACTTTCGCCTCTCTACCACCTCCATCATCCCCTGATGAGCCCGACCCGCCCAGACCCATCATACTGAGCCCCATACTCATTCCCAGCCCAGGCAGACGGATAGAGTAGCCAGATATCCGGTCTTTCCGGATCTCGAGATTTCCGACCGGCCAGCCTCGTGTGCTCTTTTGTCCGAATTCGACGAGTTGGCGGATACAGTCGAGCAGGCAGATGAGGCCGGTAGAGAAGCGACGATTATGTAAAAAGGCGGAGAGGTCGGGCGAAGCGTAGAGCTCGTATGTTTGTCGGGAGGGTGGTAGTTCCGAGATGAGCGAGTTGGAGCCAAGCGCTTGGATCTTGTACCTACTCAATCAGCTTATGTTACTTCCCTTAGGACGGGTTATACTCGGGAAGCTCACTTGGCAAATGTGAAACCGACTCTAGCGGCCACACGATCCACGCAAAGCGCGACCAGTCCCCAAGCTGCATTGATCTCGTCCCAATCGACAACGGGCCTCCCGCCCAACCGAAGCCCATTGATCGTCCCGACGTAGCCTGACCCGCTAGACGAGCCGCCAACGTGAGACAGAGACGGAGAGTCGGTGCGTGATGGCAGAGGAACATAGCCGATTTGGAAGGCGTCGTTGTAGACATTGGTGGATTCGAGGTGTTGCAGTAGGGATTTGGAGAGAAGGAGATGGGTTTCGGCGGATGACAGGGCTTGTTGGAGGTGTCGGAGCTGGGTGGATAGTGCATGGTGGTTGAGTAGGAAGCTACCGATTAGCTTAATCCGTCACTGACTGTAGAAGGGACGTACTCCTGCTCTTCCCTATCAACCTCTTCTTCGTCCCGCCTAACCCCCTCTTCTTCCTCTCTGACCGCCTCCAGATCTCCCTCCCGCTTCTTCAGCTCCGCAATCAACCTCTCCTCCTCCTCCGCGAGCTCCTTCTTCCTCCGAATGAGCATATCCCATTCCTCCTGCGTGCCCTCCATATCGAATTCCCCTAAGCCCTCATCCACCCCTTGGACTTCCTCCATCGCACGTCCCTTCCCTTTCCCCTTCGTATGCTTCTCCCTCTCCTTCTGGGCCGTCTTGCTCCGGCCTCCTTGTACAACCTCCCTATTCCGTAGTATTCCCTGTTCGAAGGCGATATACGCGTCGCGCTCCTTCTGAAGCTCGTCCAGCTCCGTCTGCAGTTCGGACTGGAGGAGCGTGATGCACTCGACGCAGATGGGATGAGATATGGGCGTCTTGGACGAGATGAGCCGATGGAGTGTCTCCGCGAGCTCCGTAGAAGATAGTCCTTGTCGTGGAGCAGAGGGTCCCGCGTCCGCTGAGGATGTGTATGTCGAAGTTGGCTGATAAGATGCCCGCGAAGTCGCGTGCGACTGAGACTGGGACTGGTCCAGCATGATGAAGGATTCCGCGACGCCCGAGCCCGAGGGGTTGCCCCGCTTTTTGGACCATATCTCAGCGGCGGGCCTGGCGGTCGGTGGGAGCTGAGCGAGCTTGGAGCTGGATGGAAGGCCGGAAGAGGGGCCGGCAGAGGGAAGGGAAGAGGCGATTAGGGTGTACTGCGCCGGAGTGAGATTTTGGAAGGATGGGTCAAGCAGGAGCGGCTGATGACATTGCTGGCATGTCAGCGAGGGGGACTGAGTATCCGAGGATATGCTAGACATAGCGAGTGCTGATGTGAAGGTAGATAAAGGATGGTTGATTGTGAGCTTGAGTTGCGCGCAAGGTGGAGGCAACTCGGCTATTCCCACCAGACAGCCCGACGTTGCCTATCTCTTTCTTCCATCATCCATATCACCTCTATAATCGTCTGACTCGCCCGCGTACACCGTCCTCCCTTGAGAGAAGTAGACTGAAAATCGTCTCGCAAGGGAATCACCAGAAAATATGTCCTCAGCTCCGGCAAAACCAAAGTGGGCAGACCCGGCAGTGACCAACGCCACCGCGTCCTCCTCCAAACTTCCCAATCCATCGAGCCCGACCGCAGTCGAGGTCGGTGGTAGTGCTCTGGCTACAGCTTCAGGCGCGGCTCCTAGAATACCGGACAGACCGACAGATTTCGGGAGTAGCGCTCTGACGAGCTCGCGTGAGTACAGTTGCCCAGAAATCCTCCCAAACTTGCGGATGTTATGGGAGTAAGCTGATAGTCTAGCCTACTCTAGTATGCAGACCAATCCCTATCAGTCACGGATGGGCATGGGATCGACAGGCTACGGAGGGTATGGTAGTGGAGTGGGAAGCTACGGAGGGTATGGGAGTGGGTATGGCGGGTATGGAGGTCTTAGCGGGGGATATGGGGGAATGAGCAGGATGGGGGGCGGGTATGGAGGGTATGGGATGGGTGGATATGGAGTGGGAAACATGGGCGGGCCTGGAGAGGTAAGTCCGGCACCTCTCACTCCTGTGATCAGAGCTGTGGAGTACTCGGGCTATGGAGGGTCCTCGGCAGATCAATCAGACGCTGCAGGGGGCATCGCCGTGTCTGAAAGACACAAGTAGGAATGGGGGAAGACATGGCGATGAAAGACCTGGGCGAAAGACTGAGATGTATGCTGACCTTTCAGGGTATGCCTAACCTCACCTCCTCCCTACAACAATCCACGGCACCGGCCTTCGCCATAATCGAGTCCCTCGTCACCGCCTTCACCTCTCTCGCCCAGCTCGTCGAGTCCACCTACATGGCGACTCACTCCTCCTTTTTCGCAATGGTGGGCGTAGCGGACCAGCTCGGGTCCGTCAAATCATACCTCGGCCAGGTCCTCGGCGTCTTCAGCGTCCTCAGACTAGGCAAGCGAATCGTCGCGTGGCTCCGAGGCCAAAAGACCGGCGCTGGACCCCAAGTAGGATGGGCAAACGAATGGTCCTCCGGCCTGCAAGGCATCGGGGGCGTATCCGGACCCCAAGGATCAGGCGGAAAAGGCGAAAAGAGACCATCGTCAAAACCGCTCCTCCTCTTCCTGCTGTCGGCAGTGGGACTGCCGTACCTGATGTCCCGCCTCGTCCGGCTCCTTATCCGGCATCAACAAGAACAGCAGGCGGCACTCGCTGCAAGTCAGGGACAGGCGCAGATGGTCGATGGAGTCCCCCTCGATCCGGCCAAATTGACATTTGCGCGCGCAAAGTGGGAGTTCAAGGCGGCAGAGGAGTGGGAGTTGGGATTGGCGAGGGATGAGATCGTGGCGGTGCTGGAAGCGAGGAATGGCGGGCCGGGTGAGGATGAGAGAGGTTGGTGGAGAGGTAGAACGAGGGATGGGAGGGCAGGGTGGTTCCCCGGGAATTATGTCGAGGTGATCAGGCGGAAAGAGGGCGCGGGGGAGGGCAAGTGAGGAAGGAGAGAGGAGAGTTACTTGCGATCATGGGCCCGCGGGGTATAGTTGTAGAGCTATAGGGCGAATCTGTCACGCGCTACGAGGACCTCTACTGCCTATGTCCAAGGCTGTACCACCCCACCTGCCCTAGGCCACCACGGTCAGACTCATGGCTGTGCAGCCAGATGCAACGATGAAACCGATGACGTAACGACGCTGGACGCGTTTCAAGCTCAAGGCCAAGTTCCGCGTTCACCAACACCTTTCGTCCTACTGTATCACCTAACACATAAGTTCGTGGCCAAAGTCCACTCCCAGCAGAGATGCAGGCACCAGGCTTGTGAGTTATGCACATTGTACCGCTCGGCACATCATCGCAGCTGACACTGTAGCCGGATGAACGAGCGGGAGCCGAATCCAAACCCGTCAGTCCAGTCATCAGCGTAGCTTCCTGACGCCTTCTCCACTGGGTGTGGACCCCAGCTGAGCCTCAGGTACATCGCTTTCATCAGGTCATTGAAGACTCGGAAGGACAAGGCGGACGCCGAAGCGATCTTGAAAGCGGTAGGTAGGTGATTGAACACTGAGGCGGCTGAGAGGACGAGATAGCTGATGGTATAGCTGCGCAGGTATGTCGGCCTCGTCCAGACCAGCTACCGCAGCTTTCCGTACCTCGTCTGACGCTTACTGATTATGGCAGATGAAGAAGATCATGGAGCAGCGCTTTATGTTTGTCGGGACTCTGGAAGAAGCGGAGTTCAACACGGTCGTGAGCTCACCATCCCGCTTCTTCCTGTACTTAAACGGGACTCGAGCTGAATGATTAGTTTGCAGGTAGGAATTGGAACCATGGGCAGGTAAGCTGATGTATGTTTGCGCTGGCGCTCAGCTGATATCAAAGAGTATTGAGCTGGTTCTTCGTGGCCCGACCGGGCGTTTCTTGCCGTACGCCATGTTCTAGATATTGATCGGTGTTCAAAGCTGATGGGGCAGCTTACCATACATTACCTCGGTGATGTGCCACGAGGTGAGCTATCTAAGACCTGATTCTAGGTGACCGTGGGCTCATACTCTAGATGGCTCATATCGAGGTGCGTCAGCTACTCAGCCCTCCAACGGTATCGATTGATCGCTGACTCCGCCAGCAAATGAACCATGGCCCGAAGTTTCAGGCTGTAAGCTGAGTATCTCCCTGTTATCTCGGGTTTACAGCTGACGAGGTAGTTGATGCGCGACATCAAGGCCGATGTCGCTCGTATGCAAGCGAGGGGCAACTATGGTGATGGTAAGCCACACAGTCCAGTCCTCTGGGCCGGCACGCTAAGACCCAGGCTTCTGGTCAGACGGGCAACGCCTACAAGATAGCGTCAAGATGGGCGGAGAGGGGCTGCGTGAGCGATCCAGCCCTCTCCAGACATAGGGCTGCATGCTGAAGATACAGATTCAAGCGATTTCCCAGAATACGTCTGTGGCGTTACAGCCGGGTGAGCTGGTTTCTTTAGACCCCTCAGAGGAGGTAGATACGTGGGATGAAAGCTGACGGGTAGTGACGCTCGGAAAGCTCGAGCTCCACGAAGACGAGCGAGCGCAGCTGGCGGTCTCGTCCAGGGCAAAGCGTCCCATCTTTCAGGGCGACAGACCGACTATAATCGCAAAGCCGGGCGGAAGAACAATGTGGATATGGGCCAGGCTAACGGTCGACTGGATGGTGGGAGGGGTGAGTCAGCTAGCTTGTACCCGTATGACGGGGATCACGAGCTGAAACGGACAGAAATCACCAAGGAGGATAGAGAGACCCGGAAAGCGGCGATTGATGCGGAAACGGCGAGATTGATTGGAAGAGGGATGGCCAAGACGAGGGCGAAGACGGTGGCCACAGAAAGATGGGATGAGAAGAACCCTTGGTTCAAGGCTGGCAATACAAGAGGGAAGGTGTGAGTTTCGCTTTCGCGGGAAATCTCCACTTGCAAATGGTTCGTGACCCGCTGACGAGTGCAGCGCGAAATCAAAGTCGTCCGTTTTTCCATCGTGACTCGTCCTCGACGTATTAGCTGACCCCCTAGTGCTGCTGAAATCCGGGCAGCAGCGATCGAAGCGAGACTCCGCAACCTCGATTCAGGTCAAGCCGGACCATCATCGGTCAAGCTCGAAACACTGCCAGGTTCGCCCGAGGATCGCAAGATCAAGCTGGACGACTCGGACTCGGAGTACGGTGCCGAAGAAGACGTCAAGGAGGAGGAAGATGTGGATGACCCGCACTTCTCTGCTCAAGAGAGGAAGAAGGAGATGGAGGATGAGATGGACGAGGGGGAGATGGACGATCTGCGAGGTGGATGGGAGGAGTATGTCAGTGGTGGGTCAGGGTCACGGTCGGGGAGGAAACGGGAAAGGCCAGCCAGTCCGGCCGTGTCCACGAAACCGCCGGAGAAGAAGAGCAAGGCGGCGACGCTGGGCGGCGGACGGGGAGTGGGGTATGGGTTCGGAGGGGCGATGTTGCAGGAGGAGAAGGCGAAGGGGCTGGGGATGGCGGGAAGTACGCTGGGAGGGACAGACAGAAAGCTAGGGGCGGGTCCGTCGGCGACAGTATCGACAGGATCGACCGTCAAGCCGACACCAGCGCCGTCCGACCAACCTCGCTCTCTCGGCTCAAAGTCCACCTCGCGTGCCTCGGTGCCTGCACCGATCCCAATCCCCGTGGGACGATCCGGCTGGGCTTGCCCGCTGTGTACCTTTCACAATCTCGCTGATCACGGTCGATGTGGTGAGCTGCCTCGGACAGAGATGAGTACTGTAAGCTGACTACTGCAGAAATTTGTCAGGCACGTCCAGACGGCACGGTCCCGGACGATGTCCAGGTCGTCGAGTAAGGTCCACCAAGAATGGCCACCGCTTTGGTCCTACTCTTCCGACGCATTCCCATTGTATAGGCTCGCCGAACATCGTAGCTCTCGCGTATCATCATGCATGACCCCAGGGCCCATTGTATATGTCCGAAAGCTATGCTCGTTACCGCCACCGCCTTGCAGGCCGCTCAGCTGCCACACTGCTTGACGACGGTTTACGTGATGAGCTGTGCTGCGGAAACCCCGGCCGGGAGCAATTCTGGCTGGGTGGGGGAAGGGGTTGAGAAGCACCTTGTGAAGGGGTACGTGAGGTGCTCGTTCATACACAGCTATACACTAGGCTTATATACTGTAGGCGAGAGGTGCAGCTCTTGACTCCCTCCTGACATTCCCACGGGGGGCAAGCAATTCCAACCGACTCGCCAGCTTCCACAACCGCCGACCTATAATCCGAGGTTCGATCCGAAGTCGACGCGTCCCAGTAATTCGACATCATCTGTAGCACATCATCTGGTCTCTAGATCTACCTCACGGTACCCTTCCGAGCGTGTGGCCCGTCGAATAAAGCTGAGATTACCAAAATGGTGAGTATGAGCTTCCCGCGCCGACCGACGCGGATACCCGAGGCCATTATGCTGATTCACCCAGCCGCCCCCACCTCTCTCCTCCTCCTCCGACCCCAAGATCTCCACCCTCCTCTCGACCATCCAGTCGGAGCGCCGGAACCTCGAAGGCGCCAAGGCTGTGATGCGCGCCGTCGAGGCGTCGTCGAAAAACGAAGCGGTCATTCAGCAAGCGCAGAATGAGGTCCGGGCCGCGCAGGCCAGTATCAAGTTCCTGGAGGATGAGCTTTCCAAGTTGCAGATGGGTGGCGGAAGCGTTGGAAGTCCGAGAGGCGGCCCTCCTGCGCAAGGACAGGGATACGGGCCCGGTCCAGGACAAGGCGCCGGGAGAGGGCATGTGCCGTCTGCGTCGGGCGGAGGAGGACAGGGGTATATGCCCATCACGCCGACAAAGGGACAGGGCTATGGACAGGGAGGGCTAATGAGCCCGAGTCCGAGTCGGAATAATGGAGGCCAAGGGGGACAGCAGGTGATGATGGGCGGTAGAGATCGGGAACGGCCTTTACCGCCTCCGCCAGGAGGGGAGGAGATGCCCAAGAAGGCTGAACAGAAGAATTACTCGCAACTCGGTGAGCCAGAGCTTGGACGGATTTCGATCAGGAAGCTAACGGTGTAGACATGCAGCGGTACGATGCTCCCCTGACCGGCGCCAAAATCACCCGGATGCTCAACCAGCTGCAATTCAAGCTGCAGGTGGAAGAGCAGTACAAGCTCGGTATCGAAAAGATGGCGCAGGCGTACCGCGCAGAAGGGGACAAGCGGCTGCGATCGGAAACAGAGGCGAAGCGCATCGAGTCGGATGGCAAGATCCAGCTGCTGCGCAAGGCGAAGAAGCGGTATGAGACATTGGCCAAGTTTGGGGGTGCTGTCGAGGAGGATGAAGGTGAGCTGGCAAGCCCCTTTTGACCGTGAAGCAGAGCTGATTCCAAGAAGAGCTCATGCCCGATGGCAAGCGGAAAGATGCGCTGCGGAAACCGATTTCTGGTCAACTCGTTGTCTCCCTCCGGTCCGCTCGGGACCTCAACCACCGCCCTCTGCCCCGAAAGTCCTCAAAGGTGTACAACGAGACCACCGTGATTGTCAAGATCGAAGGAAACCAAGCCGCTATCTCTCATCCATCTCGGAACGACAAATGGCATGAGGACTTTCACATCCCCGTTGAAAAAGCAAACGAAGTCGAGATCACCATCTACGACACAGTCGCGCCGGGCGATTCGGCGCCCATCGGGATGATGTGGGTCCGTGTGAGCGACTTGATGGAGGCGCTTCGTAGGCAGAAGGCGGGAATAGAGGCGAGTGAGGCAGGATGGGTAACGGCTGAGAAGGCGGCCAAGATGGGGCCGAAGGGATCGGCGCCGGATAGCGTGACGCTGCATAGCTCGGGTACGATCCGACAGCCTGGTGGAGGCGGTGGGATGGGAGCGTATGGAGAGGGTAAGGGGCCGGACGGGATTGATGGGTGGTTCTCTATCGAGCCCGCGGGTGCTATCTCGCTGAGATTGGACTTTGGTGAGCTGGCAGGCGCTTTTTCAATGCGACCGCAAGCTGACTAGCATAGTCAAGGATACCACTGCGGGCGCTCGGCGACCATACGAAGCTCTCGGCCGTCAAGGCGCCGTCCGGAAACGGAAGGGCGACGTGTACGAGATGAACGGCCACAAGTTCGTCTCGCAGCAATTCTACCAGCCCATCATGTGCGCTCTGTGCCAGGAGTTTCTTCTTACCGGCGAGGGCTACCAGTGCGAGGACTGTCGATATGCCTGCCATAAGAAGTGTTACCCCAAGGTGGTCACCAAGTGTATCAGCAAGAGCAATGCCGACGGGGTGAGTCGATATCTCACTCGAGAAGGAGCTCGAGCTGACAATGTAGGAGGGCGACGAGGAGAAGATCAACCATCGAATCCCGCATCGCTTTGGCGCGTACACCAACATGTCGGCCAATTGGTGTTGCCACTGTGGTTATATGCTGCCATTCGGCCGCAAAAACTCGGTCAAGTGTTCTGGTGAGCCTTTCCTGCTATACTGTCCGGGACCTAGCTTACATGATCCAGAATGTAGCTTGACATGCCACCAGACATGCTCGCACTTCGTTCCCGACTTCTGCGGAATGACGATGGAGATGGCCAACATCCTCCTCAAAAACCTCCGCGATATCAAAACTACCCAGACCCACAAGAAGCCCCTCCCCTCCACGTCGTCTTCATCCTCTACCGTCTCGACCCTCCCGCTCTATCAGCAGCAAGCGCCTGATCGACCTGCTCCGCCCCAGCAGCGCCCGTCATCCCAGTATCAAACGCAGATGCCGGTCGTCACCACCTATCCTCCCGAACCCCCTCGACCCCAACCACCTCAGCAGCAGCAACAGCAGCAGTACGACCCACGGTATCCCTCGCAGGGGCCCCCACAGTCTCAGCCCCCACCGCAGGCTCAGCAGGCGTACGACAATCTCCGGCCGGCTGTGGCTGGTGCGCGACCCATGCCCCAGATCCCGCCCGCGGGACCCGCCTCCCGTCAATCGTTCGAACATTCGCGGCCTCCCCGTCCGGACCACCCCTCACAGCAGCCTCAGCAAATGCAGCAGGGTCCGCCGCCACCCCGACCGGAACCGCCACGTATGCAGAGCGGCTATGTCCCGCCCCCGCCTCCACCGGGCATGCAGGTACAGCAGATGCCGGTGCAGCAGCAACAGCAGCAACAGCCGGTACGGACGATGCGGAAGAAGAAGGTGGGGCTGGACGACTTCAACTTCCTCGCTGTGCTGGGTAAGGGGAACTTCGGGAAGGTCATGCTGGCTGAGGAGAAGGTCACGAGCAGTCTGTACGCGGTCAAGGTGCTGAAGAAGGAGTTCATTATCGAGAACGATGAGGTCGAGAGGTGAGCTTGGTCGTATGCACTCTTCCAGAGCGAGAAATAGCTGACTTGACCAGCACGCAAACCGAGAAACGAGTCCTCGTCGCCGCCGCCCAGGAACGACACCCCTTCCTACTCGGCCTCCACTCGTGCTTCCAGACCGAAACCCGAGTCTACTTTGTGATGGAGTACGTCTCGGGTGGAGATCTCATGTTGCATATCCAAAAGAAGCAATTCACCCTCCGCCAAGCCAAATTCTACGCGTGCGAAGTCCTCCTCGCACTCCAATACTTCCACGCCAAGGGGATCATCTACCGGGATCTTAAGCTCGACAATATCCTCTTGACGCTGGATGGGCACGTCAAGGTGGCGGACTATGGGTTGTGTAAGGAGAATATGTGGTTTGGGAAGACGACGAGCACGTTCTGTGGAACGCCGGAGTTCATGGCGCCTGAGGTGAGCTTCATGATGTCCGTCTGCGGTCAATGGTTGTAGCTGACTTGCAGATCCTGCTTGAGCAGCGTTACGGCCGCGCGGTGGACTGGTGGGCGTTCGGCGTGCTGACTTACGAAATGCTCCTCGGTCAATCTCCGTTCCGAGGAGACGACGAGGACGAAATCTTTGACGCTATCTTGGAGGATGAGCCTTTGTACCCTATCACGATGCCCCGGGATGCTGTCTCCCTCCTGCAACGAGTGAGTTGAGGATTTGAGGAGTTCTGCACATCCGGCCTTAGCTCACCCACCAGCTCCTCACTCGAGACCCTACTCGCCGACTCGGCTCCTCCGAGGCCGACGCGGAGGATATCAAGCGCCACCTCTTCTTCAAAGACGTCAACTTTGACGATGTCTACAACAAACGCATCCCGCCGCCGTACTTCCCCACTATTGGCAACCCGACGGATACGAGCAACTTCGACCAGGAGTTTACGCGCGAGCAGCCGACGTTGACGCCTGTGCACACTCAGTTGAGCGCGCAGGATCAGCAGGAGTTTGTCGGGTTCTCATGGGTGAGTACAGGCCGTTCTGATGTATGAGAGCTGATGGGGCAGATTGCACCTTGGGCAAACGCGTAAATGGACGGGTGTCGCGAATAGGTGTTGTGATCTGGATTCTGACAAGTCAGTCAATGTTGGATGTGGCAGGAGAGCATAGGGAGTAGACGTTGTAGATAGGCTAAACACGAACTAGAAGATGTCCTTAGACGAGCTACGGAAATGCATAGTAATGGCTAATGTTACACGTCCCGCTTCCACCGACTTTCCCGGTACATCTCGTCTGACTGACACCGCTCCTCTTCTCGAAAGTCTTTTGACCCCTCATTCTCCTCGCCATCTTCTTGTCTATCCCGTTCTGCCCAGTCAGTGCGGAGCTTCCTGGACAACCACCTGCCGTCGTCAGGCCAGCTCGCTTGCCATTGTAACACTGTGACTCACTCGACTTGGATCGGTAGGCTCCCACGCTCTCCATACCGCCCCATACCATTCCTTCCCCTTCAGCTCCGCCTCGCCGATACACCGCACTCGCGTCAAGCGTCAAGCGGTCCTCTATCCAGCTGGCCTCTATGACAGCTTGCCGCTCCTCGCCATCTTGATTGCCAAGGCAGCGCGACTTAGAATATGCATGCGATCCGTGTTGAAGGTGAGTCGAAAGGATGAGGGGGATATTCGCCGGTTTGTTGAAATCGCTGTCGGGGACGATGTTGCATAAATTGGCTATTGGATCGGCCCCTAAGGTCAACGGACGAAATTTGCCCTCGAAGGCGTTGGCCCCTGTCAATTCGCAGTGGATGTAGATGTTCCCGGGATGCTCGAGCAACAAAAAGGCTATCTCCTCGAAAAGCTCAGCGGTGATGGTTGTGGAGCGCCCCGCTACTATGTAGACATCGATATGCGAGGTGGAGAGAGTACGGAATGCGCTGTACAGCGGAAGGTCCTGTGATACCGTAAACCATGAGGACTGGAGTATTCGGAAGATGACCTCTTTGATACCGAAGGGGGTTTTGGTGAACCGTCCGAGCTCGCGAGAGATGACCAGCCGATTGGGGTAGGATCCCTCGGAGGGCAGGTGTATGATGACAGTTCGAGGACGTAATAGCTGCAGATACGTCTCCGCCAAAGGCATGCCGAATGGCTCGCCCGGCCGATGGGCATGTTGGCTGATCTCGAGTATCGCCAGATTTGGTAACGGGGGAATGGGGATTCGATGATGGAGAACCCCGCTGTACTGTCAGTCATTATTCTGGATCTCAAGCACACCCTACGACTCACCGGACCGATCCTACACATAAAACACGGACTCTCCTCCAGATCGTCTGCCTGACCGCACCTTGCACAGGACTCAGCTCGCCCGCGAAAGTCTCGGGTACGGGAAGATGGTAATGCGGACCTGGCCGTGCGCTGCGTTGACCTGGCAATCGCATGCCTTCCGCACATGACTTATCGTCGTGGTTCATGATATTGCGGTAGAGCCGGGCGGAAGCGACCTCGAAGGTGAGCCGGTTGACGCGGCAGAGAGCAACGAGCTGCGACGGCTCGCTGACCGGGCAAAAGCTGACGATGTTCTCGAGGAGTTCGGTGTTGCTGAAGATTGTCTGCGCCGCGGTGTACGATGCGGGGAGGTTTGGGTTGACGCTGGGGGAGGGAAGGGTGGACATCGCTGATGATATGTCAAACGCGAAAATTCACAGAGAAGGAATGAGGAGTTGATGCGACCGACTAGACAGGGGTTGCAACATCCTGCTTGTCGCGCGAATACCGTGACTGCTTGTAAGGCGCACGCTATGCTACGATATTATGCTGCCAAGACCGTCAAATGAGTCCATACCACATGGCAGAGACGAGCCTGAAGCGTACCCAGTCGGTTAAAGATCTAATTGACATGATGAATGGTACCGTGTCTGACCCTTATGCCCACGCCCCCAAGACCGAGCTAATTGCAACGCGAAGCGCGCACGTTCTATCTTGTCAGCAGATGGACCCGCCCAAGCAGACAGAGAGAGACTAGATGAGGCTCACTGTTATCAAGTCTCATCGAAGTCCTCCTCAAATGACTTGAACCACTCCTTCCGCTTCAATTCCGCCACACTGATCGCCTTCACCCTCGACATGCGCTCCGCAATCCACTTGGGGCTTAGATCCGACCGACCGAAAGTTGTGACAGGCTCTGCCTCTTCAGGACCGAGCCTTCCGCAGTAGCAACCGAGCGCTTCGCGGTCGACGGGGAGTGGATACCGAAGGCGATGTGACAGGAGGAGGGGGATGTCGGCTTGGGTGTCGAACTCTCGCGCAGGGACGGCTGGACGTAGTGCATCCAGAATCGTGCCCCAACCGCGCCATTCGAACGCTTCCGGATTAGGTGGATCGAAGACGTTGCGCCATGTCAGATCGATGGCGCTATACACGCCACCCGCATGTGCGAGAACGAGGTAGGCGACCTCGTCAAGCGAGAGTCCCTCAAATATGGTTCCCGGGTCGGCGACGAGGTAAATGTCGACGTGATCGATCGCCAGAGTGGACGTACCGCCTAATGCCCCGTGTATGTGGCTGTGCTCACTGATGCGGACGACGAGGTTCGCGAGCCGGTCCGATAACCCAGCCAAGCGAGCAACCAGGCAGGTCAGACTCTGCCTAACCTCGTGATCATACTGTAAGTCGAGGATGATTGTCATGGGTTGGATGTTGGCTGTGAGAAATACCAAGTCTTCCTCTTGCCAACTGACACCTCGGGAGAGCGTTAGCGTCTGAAGCTCCGGGAGGGGTGGAATGGGGTGAGTGAGGGGTGAAGACGAATGGTCGTAATTCTTAGGTCTACATCGTCAGCGGACGGTCCTCGCTATCGCACATCTCAAGACTTACGCGAACGTCCCTACGGACAAGTTCTTCACCCGCCGAAGCAAGCTCTCCCTGACTGCCGCTCTCACCGCCGAGACCGCCCGACCGCGAAGGGGGCGGAAGATTGGTAGATCCGCCAGAAGAAAAGATGAAGCGGGGGTCTGTTCTTCCCACTCTGAGAGGTGAGGATCGTAATTGGTACCTATGTCCAAGTATAGCTTTGTGGACGCGATGTCGAAACAGGTAGTGTTCACCCTGCAAAGAGCTGGGAGGTCCGAAGAGTATTGGACGATACTGTCGACGATCTCCGCGTTAGAGAAGGCCACCTGGCCGGGCGACGGCGACGGGTGTGATGAAGACATTGCGCGTGAAGTGGATAAGGGGCCGAGGGGAAGGGTGATGCTTCGATAGAGATAGAGAGATTGTTGGTGAACGGGTGAAGTGGGAAGCAAAAGAGCAAGAAGGAAGCATGTGCGTGAGTCGTGAGTCTCACCTCGTGGATCCGAAACAAAGTTTTTGGCCCGAAGCGGTAAAAATGGACACCAGCGCATTGGGGTGGCAGCAAGGTGGCAGGGGTTTAAGCTAAGCTTCAAGCAGGGATTGCACTTGCAGCCTCCAATATGACCCCCTCCCACACTGCTTGCGATGTGCATGCTGATCCGGGGGGGGGGGGGTAGCAAGGCTGTCTCTATCCAGTACCAGCGAAAACCCTGCATCATGTTCAGCGAGTCATTTGTCTGTACGCCACGGTAGATGATACGCCTGTAAGTACTGTCCATCGATCTGATACCATATGCTCGCGCCGCCCCCGAGCTGCTAAAGTCACTTGTGCCACCGGAGGCGTGAGTCTTATATGTATGACTGATCAGATCCCGCAGTCTCCTTTCTCCCGCACGGCGCACACAGCTGATCAACTTCTGGCAGTGCTGACCAACACGCCAACTCACCCTGGTTCCGACGCTCTCACTCTTGACACCCATCCGATGCTTTTCCCCGTATCGAGGATAACAAAGGGCGAGGCGATGTGCGTTTCAGTCGCTCAGGCCGTTTCGGGGAGGTGCTGTCAAAGGACTGATACGACAGATTTCATCTCCCCGTGTTTCCGCACCGTTCCAACAACCAATCACCTCGAGTCCAGCCCAATTCCAGTTGAAGACATCACCCATACCTTTACGACGCTTTCAAACTCATCTCCCACCGTACCTAGCAGACCTACACTCATTCAGACTTACACTCATTACCAAGACTCACTGTTTCCGGCCGAGCATGTTGATCGTAAGTCGATCAGTACCTGCGCTCCCCAATCTTGCACCTGGATCTCGTTTCGCGCAGCTGAAGAGACAGACGTTCGCTTCGATCCTTGCTTTCCTCGCTGCTGCCACGATAGTCTCGGCACACGGCTACATCGTTTCCTGGACCGTCAACGGCCAGACGAAGGCCGGTTTCGAACCCTCCACCCTCCGGCCTGCTCCTGGGCCCCACCGCCGAGCGCCCGACTGACAATAAAGACCAAGGTATGTCTATACTCCCTCGCTTTACTAAACTGCGCAGGTCATGCCGATTACACAACCGGTATCGTGGCTTGCGGGGGAAAATCGGCAGGAACGGGCCTGCAGACGTGGGATCTGGATGCGGGGAGTACCGTCATTGCGCATTGGAATCAGTGGCCTGCTGATCATTTGGGTGAGTGCCTGAAGTGGGGCGTCAACGATCAAGGATGAGGCTGACCTTGCAGGGTCCATCGATGAGTATATGGCAAAATGCCCAGGTAGTACGTCACTTTCCAGCGCCAATCGTGTGTCCGGCTGAAACCCCAGCGAGTTGCGACGGCGTCGCTGCTGATTCGCTCGACTGGTTCAAGATTGGCGAAGCGACCTATGCTGCCGGCAAATGGCCTACCGAGCTTCTGTCCGCTTCGAAAGAGTGGCCATACAAAATCCCTACGGATCTGGCTCCTGGGTGAGTGTTAATATGGCTTAGCTGATTAGCAGTCCGTATCTGGTCAGACACGCACTTCTGGCAATGCACGCTGCGACCAAACCCCAAATGTATCCCGTCTGTTCCCAGGCCAACCTCAAAGGCTCTAGGTCTGCCGCGCCGCCATCCACCGTCAAGTTTCCGGCCGCGTACGATATCAATCCCGACTTCAAGATTCATAGTCTGTGGGACGGGAAGGTAGCACCGGCGGATTTTAAGCCGCCCGGACCGCCAGTGTACGGCGGTGGGGGTGGTAATGGACCGGTCTCGAAGCCACCCGTCGCTGCCGGACCGAGTACCTCCACTGGAGGTGGAGCTGCTTCCGCTGTCGGGCAGATCACATCGTCGGTCGCAGGCATTCTGACCTCTAGTACTGGCGCGGCTGTGTGAGTGCCCTAGTGATACCAAGCGTGAAGAGACTGATAGTCGTCGCAGGGTTTCAAGTACTGCTACTACCAGCGCCGGCGCTGCGTGAGTTCCTCAATTTTAACCAAGCGCGAAGCTAGCTGACCATCGTCGCAGCGCGACAAGCACTGTTCTTCCTCCCGCGTCGTCTTCGTTGCCGGCTCCTGTCGCGTCCAAGAAGTCCTGCAAGAGGCGCAGAAAGAGGGAGAACGAGCGATTCCCCAAACTATGAGCAGCTGGAGTCAATCGGTCGGACTCGGCATGTGAGAGATGAATCCGGTAAGGGGGTATTGGTCCGTATCCTCTCTGTATAACTAATATGAGTATATCTGTCGTGTGCTGTCATGAGCTGTTTGGCTCTGTCAGAAGACCGTCAGAGCGGGCAGGGATGACATGCATGGCCTGCAGGGGTCGTATATACAGTTTTGATTGCATGAAGTATTGAGGTATGCATAATGTTAATGACCTGATCGACGTCTGATCCCATGAATGTGCGAGCCATCTAAACCGAGGCGTGAGGTAGCTGCACCGTCAGCTTGTAGTCTATGACCATGATTGAGCGATGATAAGTAGCGCGTGGACTCACTGGGATTGATCACCACTGGGATTGATGCCAGTCCCGCTTGAACGGCTGATACCACTCCTTCGCCTCCAACTCCCCCATAGTGATCATCTGCACTCGCGACATGCGGTCCTTGATCCACTCGAGAGTAAGGTCTGACCGCGGCTGACTGAGGGCAACGTCACTGCCAGGTCCGACGAAGGGTTTCCCGGCGCAGAAGTCGCAATCGAGGAGGTGGCAATCGCGCGGCAGCCGATACCGAAGGCGATGAGATAGCAAGAGGTGGATGTCGGCGGGATGGTCGGAATTGTGAACGGGTTGGGCGGTGGAAATACTGGCCAGGGTAGCATCCCACCCGAGCCAGCTACGATCCTGCGGACTTGTCAAATGGAACACGCTTCCCCGCGTGAGTCCGCAGTGAATGTGGAGCCGACCGGGATGGGCAAGGAGCAGATAGGCGACTTGGTCAAGGACCGGTCCGTCCACCATGGTGTCTGGGCTGATGACGAGGTAGATGTCGATGTGAGACGTGGGAAGGGATGTGACACCGCCGAAAGACTGGTGGACGCTGTATCGCTGGTCAAGGCGAATGACGAGGTTGACAAGTTGGCCGGACAGCCCGACGGCCCCGGCGAACTCTTCGGAGAGGTTGAGTGGGTCCATAAGATGGCCCTTCCGGTCGATAATGATTGTCCGGGGCTTGAGATTCCGTAATAAGGAAGGCCGCTCATCGATACCCCACCTTAATGAAGGTGAAAGTCCGAGGATCTGAAGCGAGGGCAGAATGGGTATGGGCTTTACGCAGCTCAGTAGGGGCTCGTGCCTGCTGCATCAGATGGATGTCTTCGGGTACATAGCAGCCGAGTAAGGAGTGTATGCTTACGGTATCACACGAATGTAGAGCTTGCGAACTTTCGCACGGAGTCCATCCCGGAGTGCGGCCAGGGCCGGCACGCACCCGTCGGTTTGTTGGTCCCTGAGTAGAGGTATGCTGACGACCTGATACGAGGATCACTGGCCTGGCCCGTTCCCGTACCAGGCGAATGTATCGATGACAAACTCTCGATACAGTGCCGAGGTTGCGATATCGAAGTTAGTGCGTTGACGCGACAAAGCGCAGCGAGACTGACTTGGTCGCTGAAGCGAGCGATATTTGCGACGATGTGAGGGATGGAAAAAGCCGTCTGGCTGGGCGACGGAGGGGAAGGCGGCATAGCCATACTGGAGGAGCCTCGGAGAGTATACTGCGCCCGTTCTCTGAATGGAGGATGAAGGGCAAAGGGGAAGAGAAGGATGAACGCGATGCGAAGTTGATTGAGTTTCGAAACGGATAAACTTTCCCGAAGCGGCAATTCCATGCCACATTCCTCAACTCGCTGATCGCTCGCTTCACACTCCGCCTTTCAAACGGCGTAAAGCTCTTGCATTAGCATCACCACCACTGATGCGGACACTAGCAGCTCTGGGCAGAGATATAGGTGGAGTCACACGCGAGATCCCTACCAAGAGTAGGCCTCGATAGGAGGGATCATGTACAGGCACCCGAAAGAAGTGAGACGGAAGGGTCTCGGCCGAGTCTCAGCTGTCCAGTCCAGTCCCGGTCCTACCGGTCTCGCGACTTTGACCTGCGCACTGGGTAGGATTATGACTATGACCAAGACTGATACTGATGCTTGAGGGTGCAAATCGCGGAAGAGACTGGCCTGTTGCCCAAGTGGGACCTACTAATATGAGCTTCCGACTGGTCAGCTGATGCGTCCCGCCCCGTATCTCAAACTTCTACTCGTCTTCCCGCCCTGCCCATCATGCTCAGCGATGACCCCCGAGACCACATCGACGGCACCGCCGCTGCCCAGCGCCGCAATCTAGCCCGCGCGCGGGGTCGACTCAATTGGGATACCTCCGACCCCGTCCGTGGACCCAAGCGGCTAGCATGGAAGAACCGTACGTCCCTCTCCTACACTCCCATACACTCCAGCTGACCTCCAGACTTGATAGCCATGATTGGAGAATACGTCGGTACCGTCCTCTTCATGATCTTCGCCCTTGGCGGCTCAAACGTCGCCCTTATCCCCAACACCTCCCTCACCGGCGAGACCGTCAATGGTCAAAACGACTCCATCATCTCCACCGCCAACACCTCCAACCTCCTCTACATTTCCCTCTGCTTCGGCTTCTCGCTCGCTGTCAACGCGTGGATCTTCTTCCGAGTCTCGGGCGGCCTGTTCAACCCGGCGGTGTCCCTCGGCATGGTGCTCGTCGGAGCGTTGACGCCGGTCCGAGGGGCGCTCTTGACGTTTGTTCAGGTGCTAGGCGGGATCACTGGAGCTGCGATCATCGATGCTATCACTCCCGGTACACTGTGAGCTGTCTCTGACTCGATGATGGATACAGCTGACTCTTAGAAACATCCGGACCCAGCTCAGCCCCGGTACATCAATCGCCCAAGGCCTGTTCATCGAAATGTTCCTCACTGCCTTCCTCATGCTCGCCATCCTCCTCCTCGCAGCCGAAAAGAACAAAGCCACATTCATCGCGCCAATCGGTATCGGACTCGCTCTGTTCGTGGCGGAGCTACTCGGGGTGTACTACACCGGCGGATCGCTCAATCCAGCTCGGAGCTTTGGACCCAGTGTCGTTCTGCACGAGTTCACCAACTACCGTATGCCTCTTTCTTACCTTGGGCCTTAGGGGTCAATGTGAGTGATCAGAAGCTGACAGTCTAGACTGGATCTACTGGGTCGGTCCCGCCCTCGGCGCTATCCTCGCGGCGGCTTTCTACAAGCTCCTCAAGTGGCTGCAATACGAGACCTGCCTCGGACCCGAGGATGCCGCGGCTCAGGCGATCGCAAGTGGACATGTTAGCGGCGCAGGCGGAGCAAGGGCGATGGATGAGGAGAAGGCTGTGCAGGGGGATGGAGGCGCGGGGATGATGGATGTGTCCGGACCGGGGCTGGGGGATCTGCTCACCGAAATTCCTCCTACTCAAGGCGCAAGTCCCTCTTCTGGTCTTATTACTGCGATGTTGGCTGATCATATCAGGTGTTCGACCTCGACTCCGCCAAAGGCTTCGAGGACCAGCTCAACCGTATTGAGGCTATGTTGCTCCGTATCGCTCCTCACGCCTCGGTCGCAACCTCCGACTCGACTCACGGCCTCGCCCTCGGTATCCAGGAAGACCACCGTATCCTCGCCTCACCCCTCATCGGTCATACTGCCTCCGCTGCGCACGCGAGCGTCGTTACGGTCGTTGGCGAGAATGTGGGAGGTGCCAAGTGAAAGTCACGGAGAAGGATGAGGAGTCTATCAAGTACAACTATTCGAGGCATATCTAGCTATACTGGGTCGTAAACGGACAATGTATCTACTCTTGTTTGTCATCCTTATCGTACACTGGCCAGATGGGTCTCTCCGCGCTTTCAACCCGCTAGACGTGTGGAGTGGGACTGCCGGCGCTAACCTGCCATGTCAGTCGGGTGGCATGCTCTGAGCTTGACTTTCGTGGATGAGCAAGCTGAACTCACGCGGGATGGATCCAGGGATACCCATGGCCTTGCTGCCCCCTCATACCACTCCTTCTCTCGAAATTCCTCCACGCTGACGGTCCACACCCGCTTCATCCGATCTTCGATGCCGTCCGACGTGAGACGGGACGACTGCTGCGGGACATCGGGGCTGTGGGTATGTATCTTATGATACGGGCAAGGTCTAGCCGGCTGGCAGAGAGGTGTATCGTAGCGAAGGCGAGCGAGTATAAGGTGATGGAGATTGGCCGGCGAGTGGATATCGACCCGTCCAGATGCTTGTTGGACCGAACGGATGGCTGCCAGCCAGACACACCACCCCATATGTGCCCCGGACGCCAATATATCGCGCCAAATCGCCTCGCAGTGGATGAAGATATTCCCCGGGTACAGCTGTACGAGATAGGCTATATCGTCCAGCATCGTACCGACAGTCTGCGTCCCCGGCTGGGCGATCAGGTAGATGTCGACGTGCTTCAAAGGGAAGGGGTGGGTGATGGGGACGCGGCGTGGGCGCAGTTTGGTGAGGCAGGTCTTGGTACAGCGTATGACGAGGGTGGTTAGACCTTTTAAGCCGAGTGACAGCCCCGCCAAGACTTCTTCGGCCAAGTCTGATTGCACACGGCGGTCAAAATCTAGATTGAGGATGACGGCTTTGGGAGTGAGGCGGAGGAGTGATTGTTGGAGCTGGAAGCTGCTGAGCCCGGACCGAATTGTATCGCTGAGGTCGAGCACATGTAGGTTCGGGAAGGGGGGAGTGAGGGTGGGTCTGAACCTGAACCATCAGCTCATCTGGACATCTTCCAAGCAGCCGTAGCTAAGTCACCACGAATCACAATCACTCACGCGAATCCATCCATCGTCAAATACCTTGTACTCTCTATTGCCGCCTCCCATACCTTCGCCTGCACGCCAAAGAGCAGCCCACCATCTCGAATACGCGTTAGCGGTCGGATGCCCGCGGCGGTCCTGATGCCTCGGAATACCCGTTCGGGCGCGCCAGACGGGTTGGAGTGGGAGTAGAACGGATCATCTGCGACCGAGGCAGCAAGGACGATCATCCGGCGATACAACTCTGGCATAGCAAGGCCGAAAGTGACGGGAGTAACGCGACAGAGCGAGAGGAGGGTAGGGCGATCGGAGGAGTTGGGGGCGATGATGAGCTGTGCGATTTCGGGAATTCTGAAGACCCTATCTCCGGGATTAGAGGCTAGAGGGATCGATCTATGGGGAGCTATCATGGTGTAGATTACTTCTTCGACCTGATTGAAGTAGTGAGCTGGGATGAGAGGGGGTGTTTGGTAAAGCCGAAACGCATATTCTGAAACGCCCAATATTGCCCAAAGTGGAAATAATGACTCCAAGCCGTTGATGCGCTCTTATAGCGCGAGTACTATACCTCTTCACTCATCACTCATCCACTGACCAGAACAGCATGACAATGCAGCCTTCGGCGCTAGCATCGACCTCCAAGATGGCGCTGCAACAGCCGGACAAGCTAAGAGCGCCGCGAAATCCAGCTCTCCGGATTAGACAGGCCGTTCGCGGTATGTCCTGCTTCCGCTGGCGACGCTGGACCTCGCTTGGACTTCTCTTGAGCCAAAGCGCACGTAAAGAGAAGCTGACATGCCCGTGTAGATAACAATGTATCTCTCCTACAGAGGCTGGCCACCAAGATGGACTTGCGGAATACGGACCGGAACCGCCTGACCTCGTTGAGCTGGGCAGCGGCAGAAGGGAGCTTGGAGGTTTTTGAGTGGTTGTTGCTGGATTATGGGCATGACGATCTCGAGCTGTCGCGAGTGAGTCAAATAACGCTAATGTATATGAAGTACCGGAGAGGGTCGGCAGCGAGCAGGATAGCTGATTCTGGAGGACACCGACAATAACACGCTTCTGCACCTGCTCGCGTCGGTCCCATCATCTCAGCCGACGTCTTTGCCCTACTCCTCTGCCTTCCCGCCATTACCTCCCTCGCACGTCCCAACACCTACCGAGCAGTCTCGGCGCAGCGTGCAAATGACGGGCCTATACCACACCCTCTTCCCCTTCCTTCTCGATTGGTCCAACTCAGGCGGAAAGACCGCTCTCCATATCGCCGCGCAATCCGGGAACACCCCCTTCATCTCCCTCTTACTCTCCTACGGCGCCGACCCGGATCTCACTGATCTACAAGGGAATTCTCCGCTGCATTATGCGGCAGCATGGGGACACCTCGATGTCGCGCGGGTGCTGCTAGAAGAGGGCGGGGCGTCATGGGGGATTAGGAACTTTGAGGGGTTCAGCGCGGGGGACTATGCGTACTCTGACGAGGTCAGACAGGGGCTGGAGGGGATGTGGGATGGGTTCAGGGGCATGCGGAGGGATATGAGGAGGGCGGAGGTGTTGGCTGAATTGGCCGATGGGGAGATGTATGAGGGATCTGGGTCGGGTCGGCCGGGACCAGGCCAAGGGTCAGCGGGAGGGCCGATCCGTGGTGGGTGCGCAGGACCGGGAAGTAGATGGCGCTCTGGAAGCGAATCGACGGCTGTCAGTGGCGTGGGGAGTAATGGGACTGGCGCGAGTGGGGTCTCTTACACCTCAGGACCCAATCGAGGGGACTCGCCCTCGAGTGCAAGTGGGGGTCCGCCCAGAATAAGAGGAAACAGCCGGAACCTCCCAGGCCCGCCTGTCACCCAACATCCTCGCAGACCATCCCCGAAGAAGGGGCAGAGCAGCCCTCCAGCGCCAGACAGCGGGTACGCCACGCCCCGGTACGATCCATCGGCGCCTAACGGACAGGGCTTGTCTCGCTCATCCTCCCAGTCCCAGCTCCAGACCATGCTGCGAACGCGGTCACCGTACCAATCTCAGGGCCCGACACCCGCCATGTCCCGCCGCGGTTCTAATCAGGCCGGGTCTGGTCCTAACGGTAATACATCACAACGGTCCAGTCCGGTAATACCCCCTCCTCCTGCACTCCGCGCCCCCCTCCTTGCCCCTCAAATATCCATCACCTCCCAATCCCCTACCTCCTACTTCAACCAGCCCATCTCCCACGAGAACTACCGGTACGGCTACGAGACGCCCTCTGAACAGATCTATCCGCCGCAATCTCCCGCCCGTCCAACGCCTGGTAGGTCCCCCTGGGATGGAGGTGGTGCTGGTGGACCGCGCACACCGGCTAGGCCGACAGCGGCGGGCCCGCCGATCGCCTCGGCGCAGATGATGGTGCAGACGTCGAGTCCGGCGCTGGGGTCGCCGGTGGTGGCGCAGGAGGGAATGAAGAGGAGTGCGTCAGCGCATCAAGGAGGAGGATTCGGGGTGGGGAGGGGATTACTGGGAGGGCGGATATAGAGTGGACTATGTTGTAGATTATTCTATCGCAGAATGGCCTCCGGGACGACGTTGATCCGCTTATAGATACGGACCAGCCAGTAGGTGGAAAGAATGGCGAACATCCCGATGGCGATGTACACTGCCGTGTCAGCCCGATACCTCTCAAACAGACAGACGAGACTCACACAATACTCGGGTCCTTGTCTCCTTCTGCCTAGACGCCAGACCCCTCTTCATACTCCGCACCACATCCCCTCCTATGATGTGCTGCTGTTGAGGCAGAGCGCGAGCCCCGACGCGCCGAGATGAGGTCTGACGGGTACCTCGCTGTCGAACTCCAGTTTGGATGGGGAGGGAGAGGTCTTCTAATTCTCCATTTCCGTCCGATCCGTCGTGCCTCTCGTAAGGTTCCGAGGTCTGTCGCATCTCTTGAAGATGCTGTATGTCACTGGCTCAGCCTGAGTTACTGACGCGAGACCTGGACGGGAGAGGTGGAAAGCAAGAAGAGGCTGAGCTCTGAAGATCTGAGCTGGCTCAGTTGCTTTGGTGGACGCACGGATCAGCCACATTCCTCTGATCTGAGCTCGTGATGACCGTCGCCCCTCGGAGTTGCCAGCCTATAGCTGACAAGCTCATGCATTGTCCATCTCTCACACACTAGAAGATAGCTCAGAGCGGCTCGCTCAGTCCCTGAGAACCTGAGCTGTCCAGGCGGCGGTCCGCACACACTTCAGAACGATCAGCGTCCCGGCAGAGCTGCCAAGCCTCGCCTGACCCGAACCGACAACAAGATGTCCTCCCTCAACCTCACACGCGAATGGCTGCAAACCGTGCTGCGCCCATACGCCGCAAAAGAGCGTATCATTTCAGAGGTGCTGGAGATTCTCGCCTCCCGAAAGACCCTATCTGTAAAGACCGATGCCTTCAGTACGTCCGCTCACCGGCTCAGAGTTCCAAGCTGATACGAGTAGCGTACGATAATGGTCAGACCGCACTCCTGCTGCTTCTGCACGGGACGCTTCCGATCAATTACAGAGGTGCGACATATCAGATCCCGCTTCATGTCTGGGTTCCGCATGATTATCCCCGGAATCCACCGCTGGCGTTTGTGGTGCCCACAAAAGAGATGGGCGTGAGGAAGGGGAGGGAGGTAGAGCCTGGAGGGAGGGTCAAGGAGGATGTCGTGCAGGGATGGTGGGCCGGATGGGAGGTAAGTCTCCACTACTTCCTCGTGACAACCGCATCGCGCTGACATATGTAGCCAAAATCGATAGAAGTCTTGCTCCGACATCTTGCTGGCGTATTCTCGGCAACACCGCCCGTCTTTGCCCGTCCATTAGAGGCTGCTGGCGCGCCAGCACGAGGCGCAGGACAGACCGGAACTCCCGCCTCTCCTGTACAGAACGGCTATGCTGCTCCTGGACCCTCCGTACGTCCCCTTCAATGTAGACTACGTAGAACGAGCTGATACCGCAGCATCAGCCCCCTCCACCGCCTCAACGGCCGACCTTTCAACCTCCACAGCCACAATACCAACCACCCCAAGCTGGACCTCCTACCGAGTACCTACCCCAATATCACTCCGCCCAGACCCCTCCGCCCCATCCGTACCCACACCAAGGAGGCCGCGCCCGCCAGACCTCCGCATCATACCCGCAGTCTTCCGGTCCCCCGGCCTCACCACATAGCGTTCCGCCTGTGCCTTACCGGCCGCAAGTGGGACCGCGCCAGGGATCGCTTCCGCCAACATCTCCAGGCGGGGGCAGAAGTGGGCCGATGCCGCCCCAGAGACCAAATATGCCGCCGCAGATGCAGCCGCAAGGTACGGGCACGGGGTATGGAGCGCCGCCTGGTCAAGCTGGGCATGTGAAGCGGTATGCATCCCCACAGCCGGTCCCGGGGCCGTATCATCCACAACGAGGAGCGTCTTCGTCGTCCCCTCTCGCTGGGCAGGGTCCGCCGGTCCCTGTCGGTCCGCCTAACGGGTATCACCCAGGACAAGCTCAGCCTGCCCAGCCTGGTCCGTCCTACCAAGGTCAGCAGTATCCCGGCCAACAGGCGGCTTCGCAGTCACAGCCGCAATATCAGCCCCCTACTCAGCCTGCTGGACCCTCGTCAACATCCGCTGCAGCCCATCCTAGACAATATCACCCACCCACCGACCTCCTCTCTTCCTCCGACGCCTCTCCGACCCTCTCCCCTACCGGACCCAGTACGAACCCGCCCCCTGTCCCTCCCTCAAAGCCTCCACCGCCATCGACGATGCACCTCCATTCCATCCTCCTGCCTCACCTTTCCGCCTCGCTCCCCCCACTCCTCTCGTCTCTGCACGCCAGCCGACAACACCTGCTTGAGCGGAAAGAAGACCTCGAATCTGGCGAGCCGGCGATCAAGGACGAGATGGCCCGGCTTCAGGCGGTGTTGAAGGTGTGCGAGGCGACGGCGGGGAAGCTGGGGGAGATTGTAGCGAGGGGCGAGGCGAGAGTGGGAGAGTTGGAGAGCAGGGGGGAGGTCGGAGTGGATGAGGTGGTTTGTGGGATTAGCATTGTGCATAATCAGTAAGTCTGACGTGACGCACCACTGTGTATGAGAAGTGCTGATATAACAGGCTCATTGATCTCGTGGCGGAAGACAATGCCATAGACGATACGATATATCATATCACCAAGGCATTTGAAGCGGAGCGTTTGGATCTGGATCGATTCCTCAAGGTGAGCTAGAGAGTTTTGGAGGGGTATACCCCGGTGGATCATCATAGCTGATACTGGCAGTCGATACGATCGTTGGCGAGAGAGCAGTATATGAAGCGAGCGCTTATTGAGCGGATTCTGCAGGGGATGGGGCAGACGCAGGGATGGTGAGCGTGAGCAAATCTAATTGGAGGATGCATTGTATGGGGGGTGGTTCGTCCTCGTATATCAAGGAATGGTCCTGACAATGTGGCTATATACTGATCACAGCCTGCGGATGATGCTGACCTGGACCGGTACCATGCATCCTGCCTCGGGGCTCACTTTGCCTTCAAGTCGGAGTAAGCGATCATTCCCGCTGTTTCTGCTCAGCTCTGGGTTCCTCACCAGTCTCCCGTCGAGTAATCATGACATGTGTGCTGGCTCACGGTAGACATATCGCTGTTCCGCCACTGTCGTCACCAACACCGCCTCCTGTTTCATCGCCTGCAGATTATTCGCCGCGTCCCACTTGTTTACCTCATTGCTTTTCGGCTTGACTACAGCTGGTCGACCATACTTTCGGAAGAAATAGTACATCAGTATCTGAGCATCAGCAAACATTCGCCTCAAGGACGAGGGAGGAGAAGCGACTGACCAGTGCTGCGAGAACACCGATGATGATTCCGACCACGGCTCCTGCACTGGGTGCGCCACCACCTGTTGCGCCAGTAAGGGTGCCGCCGGGATTGGTACCGCCATTTCCGCCACCGCTGCCGCCACCGCCTGTGGAAGGTGGGACGATCGGTGATACTGGTGGAATGACAATATTCCCGTCATCCCCGCTGCGTCTGTCAGCCTGGGCCCGCCTAGACCGCTTTCATAGCTACGCCGGTGAGGGACTCACAGGAAGCCGACAGCGCCTTCAGCACCCCATACTTCCACTCTGTCAATCACAGCTCCCGTACTTCCATCACCTCCAGGTAGAGTTGTGAGCGCCAGCTGATGCACTGCTGTCCCATCCAGGGCAGAAGCGAAGAACAGGGCGACATCGTGTGTCGTCACCTCGTCTCGCGCGGTATATGCCTGTGGGGTCGCAGAGTCCAGCGCGATGGTGAACATGCCTAGGGGCGGTGCGGTGACACCTCGCAAAAGGACGGCAGTACCTACCGATATCAGCCAATTTGCCCTTGTCGCAAGCGCAGGCACAACATCTTACCTCTGAACTTGACGATAGCAGAAGCATTGGCCGTGGCAGTCATACTCAGTGTCCCACCATAATCACCGCTGCCCGGAGCAATGACATTATTGTCCTTTCCCGCCGGACTCCAGCCTGTATACTTGACAAGCCCGGATGCGTCGTCCGCTACGGCGTTCTTTACGGCTGATCCTGCTGCTCCGGAAGCGGCTGGCGGAGCCACTTCTGTCCCGATGTGAGCGCCATGGAAAATGAAGGGGGCGGAAGGGCAGGCGGCAGGATCGGCGCATGTTACAGCGAATAGAAGGGAAGAGGGACCGAAAGGTTGTGGGAAGGTCTGGTTGGTTGTCCATGCTGCCGCTGGGCCATTCGTCGAGGACAAGAGGGAAGTAGAATAGCCTTGTGGGGCGTCAAAGATTGGAGTGAAGGAGGTCACTGATCATTCAGCTTCGAACTCTTGTAATCCCAATAAGTGCTAGGACCGTGTAGGGGAACTCTGCGGATGACACTGACGATGTACACCGTTCAACACAAATGCGGCGTTTCCGCCCGTTTGCTTGACGTTTCCTGCGCCCGCTTCGCTACCCTTGGGGGTAGTATCTCCCCATCCTCCGCTCTGAGCTGGTGCTGCGCCAGTGGAAGCGCCAATGCCCTTCCATGCGCTCGTAAAGTTCGCATCGGCAGATGCTCCTGCGGGCGGAGGCGGTATGTTTGGCGAATACACGAAGAGGGGGGATGAAGGCGGTAAGTATATGTCCAACCCTGAGGTGCTTGGCGGTGCCGCTGGAGCTGCAGTCGCCGCTGCCATCGTTGGACAGCGATACCACTAGACTGAGGTAAATTATTGATCAGGTATCAGAACAGTGAGCGCATTGATGTCCGGATGATGGAGATCGAGACTGAGGTCATCCATGTATCAGGCTGTGGCAAGACATCCCAGATGATGTGTGCGTAGGGAGCTTGGACGAGAAAGGAAACTGGTATCCACAGATACAAAGGAGACAGACAGCTGGCTTTGGCCTCGGGAGACCACTCGCCTGGCACGTCCGATCATGGCCTGGCGTATCGGGTCGTCACTGGGACACCGACTCCGTAATCGAGCACTTTGTTCAGTATGACGATGGCGATGATACCGGTCACTTAAACTGATGACTGGGCGGTAGCGTATGAGTGTACGGTGGACTAGTTGACTCGTCCAACGCCTGCCTCGACACCTTGCCTTGTCCCCTTCGGAGCCCCGCATCGCATATCGCATCGTCATTCCTCTTAACGGCGATCTCCGCTCCGCCACCCACCGCTGCTGCTGCTCGCTCGCCCACCACCGCCTTGTTCACCCTATCTCTGCCTCATATCACCTTCTACGTACCCCCATCGCCCCTCAGTCAGGATGGACGACCCCAAAGTCCTCACCGACATCCTCTCCCAAGTCAAAGTCCACTCCATCCAGCTCAAACGATGCCTCGACTCGGACCAAATCATGGAGGCCCTCAAGGCCGCCTCGTCCATGCTCGCCGAACTCCGTACTTCGAGCTTGGGGCCAAAGCAGTACTATGAGCTGTACATGTCTGTGTTTGACAGTCTGCGGTACCTCAGTAATTATCTGTATGAGGCGCATACGGAGGGGAAGCATCATTTGGCGGACTTGTACGAGTTGGTACAGTGAGTCCAAGGCTTGGCGGGGAGTAGGGGCCCGGGGATGGGGAAGGAATCGCGACTGACAGGATAGATATGCGGGAAATATCGTGCCAAGGCTGTACCTCATGATCACTGTTGGCTCGGTATACATGTCGATTCCGGACGCGCCGGTCAGGGAGATCATGAAGGATATGCTGGAAATGAGTCGGGGTGTGCAGCATCCCACAAGGGGTTTGTTTCTCCGACACTACCTTAGCGGGCAGACGAGGGACTGCTTGCCTCTCAACATGGAGGATGGGTAAGTTCCGCCTACACTCACTTGGATAGTCAACTCTGGCAGGGACTGTAGCTGACGCACAGACCCCTCGGCACCCTCTCCGACTCGATCGGTTTCGTCCTCACCAACTTTATCGAGATGAACAAGCTCTGGGTCCGACTCCAGCACAGCGGTCACTCGCGGGACCGGGAGAAGCGCGAAATCGAACGCAAAGATCTCCGGATCCTCGTCGGGACGAACCTGGTCCGGCTATCCCAGATGGAAGGGATCGACCTCCACACATACAGTACCGTCATCCTCCCCGCGGTCCTCGAGCAGGTCGTCAACTGCAAAGACGTCATTGCTCAGGAATACCTCATGGAGGCCGTCATCCAGGTGTTTACAGACGATTTCCACCTCCACACGCTCACGCCGTTCCTGGGGGCGTGCGCGAACTTGCATCCCCGGGTTAATATCAAGGGGATCGTCATTGCCCTGATTGATCGTCTGGCGGCATTCGCAGCGAGGGAGGCGGAGGCGGAGGATCCGGAGACGCGGAAGAAGGGGGAAGAGGAGGCAGCGAGGAGGTTGGCAGAGAGGGTCAAGCAGGGGAGAAGGGGGAAGGGGAAGGGCGTGCAGGAAGGGGAGAAGAGTCCGAAGCAGGCAGTAGCGAGGCCGGCGGAGGCTGCTGCGTGGGGCGGAGAGGACGTGCCGGAGACACCAAAGGAGAATGGGGATTCGGAGAAGGGTGGCGCAGACGGTGCAGCGTCCAGCTCGGCGACCCAGGAGAAGCCGGACGAGAAGAAGGAGTCGCCGGCGCACGGGACCGAGGTCAAGAAGTTCCGAGGGATCCCTGAGGACGTCAGGCTGTTTGAGATGTTCTGGAAGCAGGTCGTTGAGCTTATCAAGGTGAGTTGAATAGTCCAGGTAGTGGAATCAGCTGATATTTTTAGGCCCGCCCAGACCTGTCCATCCAGGATATCACTGCGCTTTGCGTCTCGCTCATCAACCTATCCCTGTCGTGCTACCCCGACCGACTGGAGTACGTCGACCAGATCCTCGGCTTTGCGCACAGCAAGGTTGTCGAATTTGCGCAAAAGTGAGTTTTCGCTCGGGAATCAACTCCCTGCTCTCGCAAGATCCAGGAACTGACGCTGTAGCCCCGACCTCCACTCTCAACAAACCACCTCATCCCTCCTCGCCCTTCTTCTCGCACCCATTACATCCTACATCTCCCCCCTCACCCTCCTCGCCATCCCGTCTTACGCTCCCCTTCTCTCCGCCCAGCCCTACTCTACCCGGCTCGCCATCGGCCAAGCCATCGTCTCGTCCGTACTCAAGAACAATACGCTCATTGAGACGCCTGAGGATGTCTCGGGCCTGCTAAGTCTGTGCTTGGTGCTCGTGAAGGATGTGAAGGAGGGGAATCTGGGTGGGGGCCCGCCGGTCCGTCAGAGGGTGAGAGAGGGGGCGGAGATGCGCGAGTTGGCAGAGGAGCAGGGATGGGTGGCGAGGATGGTGCATTTGTTCAGAAATGAGGATCTGGGAGTGCAATTCGAGGTGAGCTCAGGATGGTACAAGCAGGTATGATGCCATATAGCTGACACAACCGCAGCTGCTACAGACTGCACGGAAACATTTTTCGGAAGGCGGAGATCGGATCAGGTTCACGTTCCCGCCTTTGATCGCTTCCGGGATCCAGCTGGCTCGAAGGTTCAAGTCCAGAGAGGGCGAAGTCAGTCAACCAGTCGGTTCATTGCAGAAAGCTTAGCTGATGGACAGGAGAACGACTATGAACCCCGCCTGTCTCATTTATTCAAAACGATCCACCAACTCACAACGACCCTCTACCATAAATGCGAGTGCCCCGAGATATGCCTTCGCCTCTTCCTCCTCGCGGCACAAGTGGCCGACACGTGCAATCTCGAGGAATTGACATACGAATTCTTCGTCCAGGCATTCGTCATCTACGAAGAATCGATATCCGAGTCGCGCGCCCAATTGCAGGCTATCGTCGGTATCATTGGCGCTCTGCAGACGACGCGGGTCTTTGGCGGTGGCGACAACTACGACACGCTCATCACAAAGGCGGCGCTGCATGGGAGCAAGCTGCTGAAGAAGGGGCATCAGGCGACGGCGGTGTTGGCGGCGAGTCATATGTGGTGGCAGGGCGATGTCGTCGGGAGGGGGAAGGATGAGAAGGTGAGCTGCTAGTGCGAGAGCTACCTCGGTATGGAAGCTTACATACAGACGCCATATAGAGACGGCAAGCGCGTCCTGGAATGTCTTCAGAAGTCCCTCCGCATCGCCTCGTCCTCGATCGACGAACTCACCTCGGTCCAGCTCTACGTCGACGCACTCGACCGGTACATTTACTACTTTGAGCAAGGGGTCGAAGCGGTCACGCCGAAATACGTCAATAGTCTCGTGGAGCTCATTGTGGGGAATATCGATAATATCTCGGTGGGGGCAACGGGTGGTGGATATGAGGGTGCGATGGGTGGAGGGAGACGGGGAGGGGGTGAGGGTCTGGTAGAAGGCGTGCAGTCGCCCGAGATGGTTGTCAAGGTCAGCTGCCGCGCGTTGATGATTGGTCCTGTTTGCGCGATAGCTGACCAAGGCAGCACTTCAGAAATACCCTCGGTTATATCGCTACTCGGCAAAGACAACATGCGGAGCGGGAAGCGAATGGTGGAGGTGACACACCGGGAGAAGAAACGGATGCTGCTGTAGATGGGGATGAGGTAGTAGGGAAGGGCAAGAAGGTGGAGCTGGGATGGGACAAGGTGGATGTGGTGGGCGCGTGTTTGAAGATGGGGATAACGAGGTAGCTGGGTTGAGGTCAGGGTTATGATCGAGGATCTTTTGGTTGTTTCGAGTATTGATGTGATGCGAGATGCTCGTGGTAGATGCATTGCGAAGTGGACGATTGCACACGAGGCGCACAGGGTGACAGGCTCTGGAGAGCGTACGAAAGCGCTTCTGGAGAGGGTCGAGGAATGCCGCACCTCGACGCGTCTCGGTCTGTACGGAATCAAAATTGGACGCGACTGAGTGGAAGCCCGTGCGTCAATTCTGAGCCAAAGTCGCCAAACACGCCTCGCCCTGAGCCAAAGGGGTGGTCAATGTCAAACATTCCTCAACCTTCACCTTCACACTCACTCCTTAGCTTTGTCTCTCCTCCTCATTCACCCTTCTACTATCCTCCATCCCTACTACATCCTACACCCCGACACTCCCATAGTCCATCAAGAGTGAGTAGGCAGTCCATCCGCCATGAGGCAGGACGAGCGAAATGGGACGAAAGCTGATCTATCTTTTTCTCCCTCCTCGACGCTTTGACCTCCCTGTCACTCCACCACGCCCTTGCTTCCTTGTGCCTGCCTCGCCTCTCGCCACCTGCCACAACGTGTCTGCGTTCCGCCACATTGCTATCTCCGAAACACATCCCTCATCACTCGTCCACCCTTCTTTTTGTCCCATTCCAACCCATTCCTCGTCGTCAACTTCACATTTCCCCTTGTCTCCCCTCCCCTTCGCACCCCTCTACATACCTTCTACCTCTCCGACACGATGGCTCCCGGATCAGTGCGCGAAATTGTCCACCTCCAGACCGGTCAGTGTGGTAACCAGATTGGTGCCAAGTTCTGGTGAGTTCATTCCGACCAATCTACTATGTAATGTCAGGACCGCGCTGAAAGTGCAGGGAAGTCGTTTCGGAAGAGCACGGTATCCAGGCCGACGGTTCGTACAAGGGTACCTCGGACCTCCAGCTCGAGCGCATCAATGTCTACTACAACGAGGCCGCTGCTGGCAAGTATGTGCCCCGTGCTGTCCTCATTGATCTCGAGCCCGGAACCATGGACTCGATCCGTGGTGGTCCTTTGGGAAGCCTGTTCAGGCCGGACAACTTGTGAGCTCCTTGGCCCTCATTCTACACACATACGGCAGTAGCTGACTCTCCAGCGTTTTCGGCCAGAGCGGTGCCGGAAACAACTGGGCGAAGGGACACTACACTGAGGGTGAGCTGGGCAGCACTCGGAAAAGGGCTTCAGTTGATGTATCAGGTGCCGAGCTTGTCGACTCTGTCCTTGATGTCGTTCGTCGCGAAGCCGAGGGCTGCGACTGCCTCCAGGGTTTCCAGATTACCCACTCGCTCGGTGGTGGTACCGGTGCCGGTATGGGTACGCTCTTGATCTCCAAGATCCGTGAAGAGTTCCCGGACCGGATGATGTGCACCTTCTCTGTTGTCCCGTCGCCAAAGGTCAGCTCAAATTGCCTGTCCATTGTGAGACGCAATAGCTGACGCTCAGGTCTCCGACACTGTTGTTGAGCCCTACAACGCCACTCTCTCGGTGCACCAGCTCGTTGAGAACTCGGACGAGACCTTCTGTATCGACAACGAGGCCCTCTACGACATCTGCTTCCGTACCCTCAAGCTCTCCACCCCGACCTACGGTGACCTCAACCACCTCGTCTCGGTCGTCATGTCGGGTGTCACCACCTGTCTCCGATTCCCCGGTCAGCTCAACTCGGATCTCCGAAAGCTCGCCGTCAACATGGTCCCCTTCCCCCGTCTCCACTTCTTCATGGTCGGCTTTGCGCCTCTCACGGCCCGCGGGTCGGCATCGTACCGCGCCATCACGGTTCCGGAGCTCACCCAGCAAATGTTTGACGCCAAGAACATGATGGCTGCTTCAGACCCCCGTCACGGCGTAAGCTAAATCTTGCTCCTCTTTGGGGGTGAAATAGCTGACCAAACAGCGATACCTCACTGTCAACTGTATCTACCGTGGAAAGGTGTCGATGAAGGAGGTCGAGGAGCAGATCCAGAATGTCCAGACCAAGAACTCGAGCTACTTTGTCGAGTGGATTCCCGGAAACATCTCCGCCGCCCAGTGGTAAGTTGCTCTAGCCGGACTTTTGTCGCACTCAAGCTCACAACCGTAGCGACGTCCCTCCTCGCGGTCTCAAGATGTCCGCCACCTTCATCTGCAACTCCACCTCGTAAGCTAAACGTTGCACCTCGTGGTGCAAACCTTAGCTGACCCATCTAGCATCCAGACCCTCTTCAAGCGTATCGGCGACCAGTTCTCGGCCATGTACCGCCGCAAAGCCTTTGTGCACTGGTACACTGGCGAGGGAATGGACGAGCTCGAATTCGTAAGCTTTATTTTTCTGGGTTTTTTGGGTCAAAGCCAAGGAACACAAGCTGACTCCACCAGTCCGAAGCCGAGTCCAACTTGCAGGACCTGGTGTCCGAGTACATGCAGTACCAAGAAGCCGGGACCGACGAGGAGGCGTACGAGGACGAGATGCCCGTCGGCGAGGAGGAGGAGCAATAGGCGGTAGTGGTGATCTGCCCCAACACTGTTCAGATGGGCTAGCCTCTTTTCGGGGGGATGCCTCAACCTCACTCTCCCTGGATCGATAGACAGACCCCAGCCACCCTCTTTCCTCTTTCCTCTTTCCTCTTCGTCTTTGCCCTCCCTCTTCTCCTTTTTCGCCCCACCCCGAAATGCCTTGGATGGCCTTACTCGGTGTCTCTAGTAGACGGTGGGCTGCGCTTGACTCTCCTTTTACACACACTACATAAACCGGTATATAGGTACTAGCTGTCATGGACATGCACAAAATAGATAATCTCAGTACGTCGACCTCGTCAGGCTTGGCAATAGCAATAGCCTACACTAGTCCAGATCAAGTTGAACTACACAGCTATCCATGCACAAAGTAATCCTAGCTAAAATCGAACGAAAGTATGCTATGCTAGTAATGTCCCCATGCTATATACAAATACGCACCCCAACCCCATGATTATAACCAGCAGCAATAATATTCAATTACACAAGCAATCACCTAGTCACCACCCCACCACCTTCCCCTTCGTACTAACCACCTTCTTCTTTTGACTCGCCGAGGCATACCGCCCCTTCAACCCCTTATTATCACCTTTACCCCCTCCGGCCTCCTCTTCCTCGGCACTACTCTCGCTCTCTGACCCAGACCCACTATCGCTCTCGCTATCCGGACCGCCGAGCATTTCCGATAATCCTTTGCTAGCGAGCGGACTGTCCTTGTGCCCGTTGGAGAGGCTATTTTGGCTAGCCTTAAGTTGGGACTGGCTCTGAGGGCTGCCACCGAATCCCGTCAATGTCGCGATGGCCGACGCACCCGACCGGAGCAGTTCCATCGGTAGATCCATAAGAGAAGGGGCGAACGATGCGGGCGGGTCGACGCGTGCCGAACGGGTCGATACGGGTTGAGAGGACGCGGGACGCGGAGGAACGGGGTACGACCGCTTGGGTGGGGCCTGGGACGAGGCGGAGCGTTCGATCGCCGAGATTGGAGGTGGGGAGTTGGTTGACCGGCTCGACCCGACCTTTTTCTTTTCCGCCCCAGACCTTGACTGATCTTCTTCTTCGTCTCCGTCCTCCTCCTCATCCTTGTCAACCTCGTCATCATCCCCCTCGTCTCCTTCATCCGGCGCAGCAGTGGAAGCTTCAGACTCCCGGCGAGACAGAGGGGCAGTGGACCGGTCCATTGACCTTCCAGTTGGCGTGGCCATCGGCTCGTCCTCCTCGTCTTCTTCCTCCAGGATCGGACTCGCGAGGATCTTCCGGCCCCTCGGGCGCTGGGCAGCCGGCGGTGGTGAGGGACAGTCGCGAGGTGGGGAGCTGGACACGGTCTGCGCGTGAAGGGTATACGCCTGTGTCTCGAGCGGTTGAGATTGAGGCATGAAGAGCGGGCTCTCTAGGGCTTCTTCCTGGAAAGAGACTTGCGAGCTCCCACCCCGCCTGAGGGCAGGACGGGTCGACGAAGATGGCGGGATCGACGCGGTGGCCTTCCGTGTCCCGCGACGCGCGGTGGGCGATGTGGGGGCAGAAGGGGCAGGGCTGGCAGAGACCCGACTGCTAGCGCGAGTACTGCGTCGCGTCGTCGCGGCAGGCACCGAAACTTCCGGCTCCGTCTGACTGTTGAGTGGGGAAGTCGCGAGCTGGTCGATCTGGCTGGAACGGACCGGCGCAGACTCCAGTGACTCCTCGACAAGAACGTCCATCCCGCTCGGAACCGGCGCCGATTGCCTGGCCTGCGAGACTTGCGAGAGCTGAGACGCCCTGCGAACTTTGGGCGTGGGTTGCTGCGAAGCGGGAATAATGACTTCCTCCGCGTCGACCGATTGCAAGCGGCTGGACCGGCGACCAGCGCGACTCTCGCTAGCGGTCTCGACAGGCTGGCTAGCCGAGATGTTAAGCGGCCGGCCCCGTCCGCGAGGTTTAGGGGTAGCCGTGTCCTCCTCCATCTCGACGTCCGGGCTGGCTGGAATCGGCACCTTGGCTGACACCTCAAGCTGCGATGCCGGCTCTGGAGTCGCCTCTTCCGCCCGCGCCTGCTCGAGCGCGATCGATCCTTCTAAATCGCCCACTCGCTGGCTTGGACCGGCCTCCTCGTCGAGCTGTTTGAACCGAAGAGATCGGCGAGATTCGAGCGAGGACGAGCTGGACTGGGTAGATGGCTGCCGACCCATCTTGTGGGTATCCAGCTGGGATGACGAGGATCGCTGTGACGGCTGGGTGGCGATGATGAGGTCTTCGAGAGGCGCAGCTTCCGCAGATCTATCCTATCAGCTATGTCGGATACTGTGATGGGCTTCATAAGACTTACGCGGTATCTATAGACTCGGGCACTCCCGGGGTAGCCGTAGCCGCCTGCGATGCACCCTGCGATGCGGGCGCATCCTCGATCTGCGTCACCAGATCCGCCTGTGAGCTAAGTACAGGTGGTTGACCATTGATCAGGCCCGCACCGCCCTCCTCCCCATCTTCCGCCACGATGACATCCTGCTCCTGCTCCACCACACTCCCGAAATCGCCGATCGAACTCGCATCGTCCCGAATTGCCCCACCTGCCTCTGCCTGCTCCTCCGAAACGCTCTCGACCGACTCGTCATCCCCATCCCCGTCCGCGTCTGGTCGAAGCGAAACGTCACCCATCGCTTCTGCTGACTTTTTGACCTCCGCGCGCTCCGCTTGTGAAAGCGGTCGATTGAAGAAATCGTTGAAAAGAGCCTGGGGGTCCGGTAAGGCGTCGTATGCAAGACGATTGGCCGCTGAGCCGGTAACAGGACGGCGGATAGTTGTAGAAAGGGTAGATGCGGAAGTTGCAGAAGAGGCGTCCGAGCCGGAGTTGGAGGTGGAATCGGACGTTTCTGAACCGGAGCGGGCTTCGGGAATCCGGCGAGCACGACTGGTCGTGTTGACGGCTGGCGAAGCCGTCCTTCGGCCGACCATATTGGGCAGGTCGAGGCGAGCGATAGCCGCGGTTGTCGTCTCGGACACGTCGTCCGCCTCGTCATCTCCGTCCATGTCCACATCCTCGTCTTCGCCCGCCCCGCCGTTCGTCTTGGCCTGGGACGGCGGTTTCTGCTGCGATCCAGCGTTGAATGCTTGCTCTTCCCTGCTCATCGATCTGTTCTCCTGGTCCTCCGCTTCTTCTTCCGCCTCCTCTGCCTCCGCACCGGTCTCCGCGCCGAGATCAGAATCATCATCCTCATCCCCCGACCCCGAGTCGGAGCCGGACCCAGAGCCAGACTCGGAATCCGAGGCGGAGTCAGAGTCAGACTCGGTCTCTATGAGCGCAGTACTGGCGCTGACAGCGCTGACCGAGCCGGCTGTCTTGCGGCCCTTCAGTCCACGGAGGAAAATTGGCGGTAAAGTTTCCGGGTCGGCGCTGGCCTCAGCGCCGGCAGGAGGGGCTGATGGCGTGACACCATTTGCCTTGCCCGCTGACTTGAGCGATTTGACAGCAGCAGGCTTGGACACCTCGTCCTCCTCTGAAGAGCTCGACGAGCTGCTCGCGGACGAGATGGATGGCGGCCCAATTGGCGTCCGCCGACTGTATGTGATGGGAGTTTTCCGTACCGCGGGTGTGCTTGCAATCTTGGCGGGAGTGGTGTCGACTGCTGGCTCCGCAGCTGGCGCGTCGTGCGCGGTAGTGTCGACAGTCAGAGTCTCCTCCTCGACGTCCGACGGCCGCGCTGCCTCCTGCGCCGCCGGCTCCGCATCCACTTCCACCTCGGGCGCGACTTCCGCCTCGACCTCAGCCTGGTTTTCCGCCTCGTCGTCCTCCTCGACTTCAGGCTCCACTTCAGGCTCGATCTCTGGCTGGACCACAGGATCGGCAGCGGCGACAGGAGGCAAGCTTGGAGCACGCTCCGGAGCGGGCGAAGCTGAAGAAGTGACCGATGAGCGATCGGCATGGTCGACCGGGTCCGGGGTAGGCGCCGAAGTTAGCTGCGCAGGGACGGCAGCTTCCGCCGGTACAGATGTCGCCGTGGTTTTCGGTGCCTTCGAAGGCTGACCAGCCGTCACCGGCGCCTCCTCTGGCTCAGCCGCCACCGCCTCCTCGGCGTGCTTCTCCTTCTCCGCTTCCTTTAGCTTCTTGATCCACGATTCGATAATCTCCACGCTCGCCTGCCAATACCGCCCGCCCGTCATTTCCCGCAAGACCACCTCCAGCCTTTCTTCGAGCGCGTCCAGTCCAGACTTGATGATCGGACATCTAGATTGGATATGAAATGGCACGCCGCCGCACACAGGGCATGACAGGACAGTCCGAGGAGCGAGAGGCGCGGCTGCTTTGGATGTACTAGCTTTGCTGGGGGTGGCTCTGGCGGTAGATTTGGTAGATTTCTTGGTTGTGGATGTGGAATCAGATGGGATGGAGCTGGAGTCGGAAGATGGCTCGTCGGTGATAGATCGAGATGACCCAGTTGCCGGGGTAGGCGCCTCAACATGCGACTCGATGATTGCTGCTGTAGTGGTATCAGCTTTTGCCCCTTTCCTTGTGGTTGGTCTAAGAGAAAAGCTGACCAGCTTGCTCCTGAACTTCAGATTTCTGCGCCTTCTTGGCGGGCTTTTGCTTCACCTTTGACGTCTCCTCCTGAGATATTTCCGTTTGGGCGATCGGTTCTGAATATGAGCTTAGTACAAGTGCTCTGATGAGACGGCATCAGCTCACCTGGAGCTTCCGGGCTTTCAGACTCGGCCGCGGCGGCCTGAGCAGCCGCCTTCGGCTTCTTCTTTTCCTTCTTCGTCGCGTCCTTCTTCTCGCTGGTTGTAGCTACCACTGTAGCCTCCGATGCGGGAGCTCGGGATGCGCTGGAGTGCCCCACTTCACTCGCCCCACCACCTTCCGCTGCAGCCTTCTCGGCGGCTTTCCTCGCCTGTTCCTCCCGAAATCGCGCCATGAGACCAGAGATCACCTTGACTCCGCCTTCGCCCGCATCGCTTTTCCTCCGATTGTTCTGGGACGTGGCCTGGATATCTGAGCCTGCCGCGAATGCGGATGATGATCCTGCAGTGGAGGTGGAGGTCGTGGGCGTTGCGTCTCCATTCGAAGGGAAAGAGGCTGCGGCTGCCAATGATCCGTTTCGCTTTCCCTTCGCCTTCTTTGACTTCGCTGCCGCCGGGCCGCCCACCTGGTTGACAGGAACCGGAGCGACTGGGGCGTCCTCCCGTCGATCGGCCGGAGACGACGATGATGCCGCAGCATCGGCCTGGGCTGAAGTGGACGAAAGACCCAGCGGACTGGGTCGGGCAGGTTTATGTGCCTGCTTCCGAAGAGCAGCGGCAGCGCCTTTCGTCTCCGCCGGGGAGCTGGGGCTGGGTGTCGACGTGGAAATTGGAGGGAGTCCGGTTGATTCCCTCTGCTTCTTTGCCTCTCTCCTCTGCTTCTTCCTCGCCGCTGGATCAGACGACGAGGGCGACGCCGGTGGGGTCCCGCTGGATGTGACCGGAGCTTGAGGCTGAGGAGGAGAGATTGACCGTTTCCGCTTGCCCGTCGACGCTGGTGCGGATGACTCGGCAGGAAGAGGGGATTGGGGAGGGAGAGAGGACGGCTTGGCCTTCTTTTTCGACTTTGTCTTTTTGGGGGACACCGGAGATGGGGCAGAGGCTTGCGGAAGGGAGCGAGGGTCCGTGGTGGGAGAAGCGAGATTGGCCGATGAAGGGGTATGCGCTGACGGTGACTGGAGAGACGATGGATGTAGGCTTCCAGCTGCCTGCAAGTCGCCAACCTCTTGCAGCTTCTTCAGCCGAATCTTCTCCTCCCTCCTTGCTTTCTTGCGCTGGGATTCGGACATAGATGTGCCCGAAGACGAAGTAGCAACAGGTGCTATTGTAGCAGATGCGTCGTCTCGGTCCGCCTTCCGCTTCTTCTTGGTCGACGTCTGCGTTTGTCGATTGGGTGTAGGAGACGCATCGCCGTTGGCTAGCAATGGTGCCGAGCCGTGAGGCATGGGAGTCCGAAAAGCCGCATCGCCCGGAGAGGTGAACGACGAAGGACCAGCGACGGCGTAGACGTTCACGATGAGCTGAGCCGAGGGGTCATCGATAGCCCGTTTGCGTAGCGTTTCGAGATCATATCCTGGTCACGTCAGCCAAATGTCCCAGTAGCCCTCGGCGTCCAGAAGGCCATCACCATGGGCAGCAGAGCAGACACTTACGATCCCAGATGTCTACCTCTCTACCTCTGTCCCGTACATGCGCCAAGCGGACATCAGTTCCAGGCGGGAAGGCGAGCTTTTTGGCGACCTTGATGGACACCTCGGCCAGTGACTTGCTTCCGCCTACATTGTCAGCAACGCTCAACGAGATAGTGATCGGTATCCCCTAGCCATCCCATCCCAGAGCCTGTACTTTTCCGACCGCCCATCATCAACCCCTCCGCACCGTCATCTCCCCCTTCAGCGGTTAGGGAACTCACTTATACGACCAGAATACTGCGCAGTCCCGTCACTCTTTCGGAACAGCACGACAGCGCCTTCTGAATTCGCCTTGCCAGCCTTGACACCAGAGGCAGTAGCGGACGCGTCTCCATCCTGCCATGTTGACCCGCTCGGACCAGCAGCAGATGATGGCCCAGCTGATGCCGACCCTAGTCCGGCGGCATGCGAGGCGCCGTCTAGTGGTTCGTCCCGCTTTCTTTTGGTTTCTTTGGCCATCTTGGTGGCTCTCGAGGCCGCTATAGCCTGCCTGAAAGCCGCAGACAGGAGAGATAGCGTCGAAGCAGGAAGTTGGTGACGCGGATGAGATGCGGCCCAAAATCTAATATAGGGGGATGATTTAGGTTCACCGCGCGCGGCAAGCCAAACAGTCATCCGTGCGTCGTGTTTCAGAATTGGCGTGGTGTTTCAAGTCCTCGAGGCATAGCCGTTGAGCGGCGACTGATGCATCGGACGTGAGACAGATTGGTGCTAAGCAACTACTAGAAGGTTTTGTTCACGGGAACCGACTTCCACTCTCCGTCCTCCATCACCTCAGTACCCTTATGCACCCAGCGATCGTCCTCCATGGCTTTGTTCGACCGAGCGAACACCTGAGTGATAGGCCCCGGCGCCTGGATGGGCTTGACATCGCGGGCTGGACACATTATATCAGCTCGTCTCCCTTTCATGCTTAAGCTCCTATATGATTGAGAAGATACTCACCGTTCGACCACGGGTTGCTCTCGTCGTCCGCATCAGAGATCATGCCGATGATGACGTCGATGGTGTGCCATTCGGTGAGCTTGTCCTTCTTGGCGCGCTCCTTGTCGTTGTAGTTGTCAAAGATACACTGCGATCAGTTCAGCTACGTGCATGGACACGAGGCGCGAACATCTCGCACCTTTTGCCACTTGGCGTAGTCCTTGCTCTTCTCATGCCCAAAGTCCCGGACGGTCAGACCCGCCGGATTGAACTGGAAGCGCATGACCGCCGCAGAGGCCTCGCCATGCTGCTTGATCGCCCAGTCGCGCGCAAAGTCCCTGTCGGTCGTAGTGTAGAAGCCCCTGCCTTCGGCAAAGGAGGTGAAGTCGCTGGCCTTGCCGCTGTCGACATCGAGGATCCCGGCCTTGATGGGGCCGATGCTGGCTGTGCTGCAGCCGTGGTAAACGGTCATGAGGTTGTTGGCTTCCATGGTGTGGGATGATGTGGGGTGAGACGTATGGAAAGTCAGGAGTGGGTCGTGTCGGGGGATGCGGCAGACCATCCGTCGGCGACACACATTAATAGTATATAGATGCTCGCGGACCCGAGATCGCGAATATCGCGCGGGGCCTTTGGCGCAACATCATCGTTAACGTTTAATTTCATGCCAAAGTCATTAATTTGAAGTGTATAGGATAGGTCAGACCTCTCCAAGGATGCAAGGGAGTTTGAATTCCGGCATCATCGACCGCTCGGACCGCCACTTCCGCCCAAGCCCCAAAGGCATCCCATCCGAACCCGTCAGAGAAGCAAAAGCCTAATTTGAGCCTCTGAGCGGCACTTGAAGGTCCCTAACCAGGCGTCTTGACCACACTTCACCACCGTCAAAGTGCATCATCGTCAAAGTGTGATTGTCCGCTCGATCGAATCCACGGCGATAAGACCCTAGTCCCGCTCGGATGCTTCTCGCCTCGAACCTACGACCAGTCAGGCTCAAGGACTATCGCCTGCGCCCATGCCCAGGGCGAGATCGGTCTGTCCTGTGATGCGTTAATCATGCGACAGAGCCGATTCGGCCGTTCGGTATCGGTGGGCTCAGACTGATTACAAGGTCCGGCACAAGATCTACACTGGAGTAGCGGGCCTAAAGCGCTGGGGAACCCAGACGGGGCCGTGAGGTTTGTGGTGCGGTGATCATGCACAGCAGGCGCAGTAGAGTGGTTCGACCGGCGTCGGCAAGTAACGGTCTGCCTTCGAGCGATGCTGTTCATACTGTGAGGCGATCGAAAGCTACGACCAAAGGTGTGTGGAGAGGTAGTGCTGATCAGCGGAATGAAGGCAGCTTTAAGTGGGTCAAAGTGCTTCTCTCCTTTTCGGCTAGAAGTACGTCTGGCTCCCAATCTCAATTAGGCTCCCGAGGAGAAGCACGAAGGTGGTGTAGGCCAATCCCGAATAGTCAACGGAGGGGTCCCTAAGCGATATATCGATGCCGCTTGGGCATCCGACAGTGGATACTTAAGCCAGGATCGGTCCCGTCGTTTCTTGCCATCCCCTCCATCCCCACACACCGGCCCGACACCACTCCCTCCATTTCCACACCAGACTTTCAGCAACCCACTCTCACCCATCACATCATGGGTGTCGCCATTTCCGCTTTGCGTGCCCAAATTGGCGCCGCCGACGACGAAGTCAAGAAGAAGGCTGAGCAGAATCTCGAAGTCCTCCAGAAGGCTGTCGACTCTCAGCTGAACGAATTCGAGTCGCAGTTGGACGCGTGAGTGACATTCCCTTTCAGTCGGCGACCAGTATGCTGACGCTCACATAGGAAGTTCATGAACCCCGCCGGTACCGAGAAGATCGAGGTGCCCGGTATCCGTGCCCTCCGCAAGGTCAGATTCTCGAACGTGACTACTTCCAAGGTCGTGAGTGTGTATTGCCTTAGGCTGGGATGGGAAGCTGACTCTTGCGCCAGCCCAGCGAAGAGATCTCGGGCGCCATCGACACATTGTTCAGCATCGGCGGCGAGGGCGTCGATACTAAGACCGCAGTCACGGGTGGCTTCAAGGTGAGAACATTTCCGATTCTTTCATATGAGTGTGTCTAATTCCCTCTGTAGAAGGTGGTCACCGGCGCTCTCAATGCCTTCATCGGCAACGGTGAAGCCGGTCAGCACACCGAGAACAAGTATTTCATCTACATGCAGCACAACGCGATCGTGCGTTTGGATCTTCGCGTGAGTACTACTGTCACCATACCTCGCTAGATAGGACTGACGACGGGAGATGTGGCGATGGAATTTCAGCGGCAAGGGCTTCAACGACGAGCACGAGACCGCCCTCGGCTGTGAGCTGTTATCAGACTTGGTTGTTATTGGTGCTGACTGTCTAGACGTCGTCTGCACTTCCATCGTCGACGTCGGGGTCTTGAGGACAAGCGAATTCGTCTTCCTGATCAGCGAGTATGCCGGTGAGTCATGTCCCTTCTGTGCCTGATTACGTGCTCATCAGGTAGGCGACTCGGAGGAAGAGGGTGTCAAGTACATCACCAAGATGGAGAAGCTCTATGAGCGCGCTCGTCTCATGAAGCTCAATGAGGTTCGACAGGAGAGGCGCGCTCTTCTCGACATCAACGACCCCCTTGATTAGGTACGGGCTGGGTCGTGGGTTGCATATATAGTCTCAATTCTTGTCGATAGCTTGATCCGCGATGCATGTCTTTATCCCAGTACAGGAGGACCACCGAACGATAAGCTTGCCAGCAGATCAGAGATGATATTAGAGTCATGATTAGTGATACAACTCCGGACCTGATGAGCCAGACAGTCAGCTAGCGACAAGGACCAGAAATTTCCACCTACCCAGGCCGGTAGTCCTTTCTGCAGCAGGCCGAGAGAGAAGTCTTGGGAATAGAGCATGGACCCACTCACGCGTAGCGACCAGCCCGGATCTTGGGGCACGCCCTGATCTTACTTGGATCCTACCCGTAGCTCGAATGTCTTTGTCGGTCCCCTGCATGAGAGCGATTGATGAGGGGGCGGAGCAAGCCCAGGTATGCACGGAAGAGCAGAGACCCGAGAGCCACTTGATCAAGGCAAACAGCGGTGATATGACGCTCATATAGCCGGGAAGCAGGAATGTGGCCCAGATATGCCGTACCGCTCAGCGCAAACCGACAGCTGACCCTCCTCGGGACATTTAGAGTCGTTACCGTAGCGGGAATATCACGACCACAACCGATGAGCATCATAAGTGACAGCCTGAATATCGAGAAAGGCCACCGATGTATCACATCTATAGAGGAGGCATAACGCCCGTCCCGGCAAATGTCAAAGCCCTCGCCAGACTCTGCTTCTTCAGCGCCTTCCCGTGTCCCGCCTCCTCATTCCAATTGATATTGGCTCCAAGGCTTGCCCCGTAACTCTCGAGATACTCCCTGACCCTCGGCGCATCCACGATGACGTCTTTCTTTCCCAAGAAAAACTGCGCCACCGATGGGTCGAGCAGCTCCGGGTGATCGTCGATGTAGAGGCAGTTGTCGGACCAGTGGAAGTGACGCTGGATGTAATTGGAGATTCCGAGTTCGGAAGAGATCAGGCATTGTAAGAGGAGATGGAAAGGCTGAAGATGTTAGTATTGTGTCGTAACGAACAAAGAAACAGCGCACTGTGGTTGGCTTGCGATAGCAGAAGGCGTGACAGGTGAACCCCTCGTCTAGGCAGAAGATGATCGGATCGGCGAACAAGTGACGACGTATGAGCTGAGGGCAGTCCTTGATGACTAACATATCAGCGATGATGCTTTTGGGTAAAGGAAGACTCACGCCACCCGTGATGCACACTCCCGTTGCTATGGCTGATGACGCTCAGCCCACCATATACTCTACCTGTCTTCTCCTCATCTGGTTCCGCCACTGACTCCGGACAGAACCCCCATTTCTCGCAGATCGTCCTGATGTCCCTCACGAACTGAGACCTCGTCCATGGCTTGAGATAGTTCCGGTGGCAAACAGCCTGGGCTGTATGGTGCGCAATCGGAAAGATGACAGGGTGCGTCTTGAGCGTCTCCAGGATCGGTCTCAGAACCTGGAGATTCTGGATCAGCCCAAAGCCGAGTCCATGGAGGTACATGACCGGCGTCGCATTTGGGTCAGTACGGCCTCTCTCAGATGTCCAGCCTCGAGGTATGCGGATCATATACTCGACGTCACCCTCGATATGATGCGTCATGCCCAATGAAGGAAGTACACAAGTGCGTATGAGGTAGTTGAGTGAGTTGCCGATGACGTAGAACATGAGTGGGCGCGGTGCCGCATTGAGAGGGTCAAGGGAGAGGCAAGAAATCTTGACTGATGGATTGCGGCCAGGTGGGAAGGTCGTTGCTGATCGGCTCTGGAATATCCGGTAAGCTTTCTGTAGGAGTGTCGCCGAGGTGGTGTCGTGCTTGGCCGTTTCTTGTGGGAGTGAGAATAGAAGCCAAGACAGCAAGGTGAGGACGTCCTCCTGGTGTATGTCTTCCCAAGGGGCGTTGTGGAACCTGAACGCTGATTAGCTCTTTCCTTCAGTCGGAAGTATGAGTAAAAGCTGACCAGATACTATATCTCTGCCTGAAAGCCATGGCACGGGTCTGCTCTGCTGAGCTCAGACAAGAGTCAATCGTCTCAGAGCAGCACCTCGACAGACAGCTCGCCGTACTCCCTTTCCTACTGATCGGCGGCCTCCCCAGGCTTGCCTCAAATCCCTCGGTCTCGTCGTCGACTGTGAGCTCCAAAGTTCCGCTCCCTACCGGCTCTGCTTCGATCGTTCGTAGATCAGAGTGAAAGAGATCGTAGCAGATCGCCTCTCTGTCCGCTGGGGCAATCACCGATACCGACACGTACCGCTTGACTCGCCAGATCCGATATCGCTGATATATGGCAAACGTGGCCTCGGCGACCGCAAAGCCAGTGAGGACAGCCAGCGGAATACTGACCGCTTGATCCCGTTCTGAGAGGTAGACGAAAGCTCCGATCCAAACGCTGACCATCAGCTGACCTCCGTCAGTGTGGCCGAGTCTACTCACAAGCTGAACGGTGTGATGAGCCAGATCAAGTGTAAGATTAGAAACACCGCGTGATAGCCCCAAGTCCTACCGAACAGGCCGTCGCGCAGTTTCATCCTATTCGTTCCCGCGATCGAGTTGGTTTCGGTAGGCATCGCTGAGCCTTTGCTTTCCTCATCGGCCGCCTTGGAGTTGGAGGTACCGTAGTGTGGTTGGTGCATGACCAAGCGGAGAGAGGTGAGTTCTCCCTCAAGCATGTTGACGGTGCATTCGGTATTTGCCTGAACGCGTAGATGGGCCGGCTCGACCGTTGTCGTCATTGTTTGAGTGTGAGTTGCCATATTGGGCGCGCTCCGATAGAGACTGAATAGGCAAACGGTATCGCCAAAAGCCTTACAGCTGCTGGGTTCAGCTTGCGTCGAACCATGCTGGACGCATCAGCGCCATATATAATGGGATGCGGCCGGGCGGGCAGGGGTGTAAGGGTGAGAGCCATAAAGGAGTCATCCTTTGGCGTTGACGGGGATAGGAAGGGGTCAGTGCAGACTGGATGTGAGTTGACTGTACTGGACCTCCAAGGGGACAGGGGAGACAGCCCACATCCTCTCATCCGACAAGGGATCCCGTCAGTAAAGTCAGCCGCCACGAACTGGGAGGGGTAATGAATGGTGTTATTATCATGCCGCCTTTCCCTAGTACCCGACAGGCGTATACGTTCTCTCCACGCCTATCCTCCCCTCTCACGCCTGCCTGTACACAGGACGTGGGTTCTCCTGTACATCCCGACTTCCTCCCCTGTCCACTCCCCCGTGCGGCGAGCTCCGCTCCCTCCTCTTCTCCCGCGTATACAGCCGCTCAATCACCTCAATCGTCCCGCTCTCACACACCGCCAGCGCATCCCTCTCCCCCAGCCCCTCCAAAGCACGCACCATCTCCTTGCTCAACTCCTTTGTCCACTCCCATCGGTTCCCATCTTTGCCTCTGACCTCCTCCCATGCCCGCACAGCGTTCGTCTCCCCTTCAAACTCCCTGAGAATGTACCCCAGCCCCGCCCGATCGAGCACGCCCACGGCCTCCATCACTTGCGCCTTGGTTCGCCCGAGAGCCGTCTTGAGGATGATGGCCATAGCTTTGGCGTCGAGCCTGACCGGCTTGATGATATCTGGCCGATGAGCCGCTGGCTTTCTCTTCCACTCGTCCGCCACGGGTGCTTGAGCCTTGGGGACGACACCCATCCACCCCAGAACAGCTTTGATACCCTCCCAGTCCCCCTTCAGACCGCCTGCCCCGTCTACACGCGCCCATCTGGCAGCGGTGAGGCAGTCATGCCAAAAGCCTATCTTCCATCCGGCCTGTGGGGGGCGGTGAGCGTGCTTCTGGAGCAGGTCGAGGATGGCGATGATGTCCCCGGTTTCCGCGAAAGCGGTAGCGCAGGCGTAGAGGAGGGGTGGGTCTGCCTCTTTGCGTATCCGAGGGCGGGAGAGGAGAAGAGTCGCGTAGTGAGAGGCCAGGGTGGGGCGAGAGGCAGTGATGAGGGAGTGGAGGAGGGTGGTAGCCGATCTGACATCGATTTTGAGGTTGGGTAAGCGGATGGCGGGGGTTTCGGACACCGGTATGGTGCTTGGGGTCTCGGACGGAAGTCCCGCGAGACCCCATAATTCGGGAATGAGGCTGAGTGCGAATCTCTGATCCTCGGGCCGGCCCATCAGGAGCGCGCTCACCCCCATGCCCGCCAGATGGCTGTCAAGTCCCCCTTCATCAACATTCTTGCCCGCCAGTGACTTGATCGCGTCATCCCACAGCTCCCTGGCCAGCGGGCCGACCATGATCTGTCCCCTCTTATCCGCCCCATTCCTAGCATCCGCGACCTGCTTCCTCGCGAGACTTGGCAGCGCCTGGAACATGGTCGTATATCCCACTCGATCCCACTTTTCCTCCTTGGCTACAGCATCCGTATAGACACTCCACATCTCCTCCCACATCCGGTACTTGGCCAAGAATTTGAGGTATGCGTTGATCGGACCGAAGAGGTTGCCGTCAGTCGTTTCGGCGGGTGCCTCGGGAACGCTCAGGCCCGACGGAGCCGAGGAGAGAGTGGACAGATGGGTTTGAGCCTGTTTCCAGATGATGGAGACGCGGGAGAGGTGGTTGGGAGGAGGGACGGCGTGTGATTGGGAGGTGGTGTGAAATGGGACGGCCGAGTGCGCGAGACCGGCGTAGCTGTTGAGGAGGGAGGTGTAGGTGTGTGCAGTCGGCTTGATGCCTGACTTCTTCATCTAAAAGTCAGCTTGATAGATATGTCCAGGTACGCACATCATTGTATACTTTCCACATCTTCTCCATCCTCCCCTCCCTTCCCAGCATCGCCAACAATTGATTCCAGACCACCGCATTCACCGATGCTCTCGGCGCGGTCTCGACGATCCGCATAGCCGCGTCGACTTGTTGGTTAGACATGGGCGTTTGGCATGCCTTGATGTGGTCTCGCAACAGGGCCGAGGTGGTGAATGGGTCATCTTTGCTCCGAGTCCCAGAGGATGACCCGGCTGTCGCGCCGCGCTCCGGATATGGGGGACGAGATGCGGGTGATGACCGCCGGCTGAAAGGAGAGTCTGACCGATCCCCTCGTATGCCAGGAGTGAACGCAGAGGAGGAGCTTGTATCGCGCGGAACGTAGTCCCGTCCACCGTGACCCCTTGATCCCCTGTCAAAGGCCTCGGAGCTGTGCTGTCCAGCCTGCGCCCCCAATCTTCCGCCTCCTTCACCTCCCAAGAACTTCCACTTGTTCGTCTCCGCATCCCATGCCCTCGCCGGCCGATCCCGCCGCATCCCTCCATCTCGACCAGGGATCACCGGTTCCCTCGGCCGCCTCTCCCTGGGTTGATACTCTCGTTTGGGACGCCTTTCCTCCACGAGAGGCGGTTCCGCCGATAGTATTGCGCGGAAGGTGTCACCATCAATCTCGCTGCGCCGTCTGGCAGACCCGCTTTGCCCTATCGCGACATCACGAAGCCGGCTCCGCTGGGACTTGCGATGAGCAGAAGTCTGCGGTCCGGGATCGCCGTGGTTTCTCCTGACAGCGAGGTACTGTACCGGACTTCCGAGCGCCGCTGAGAGGCGCTGAGATACGGTGTGTCGAAGGGATAGCATAGCGATGATAGATGCAGATGGAGGAGATGCAGAAGGGACGCGCAAAAACTGTTTACGTGACGTAATATTCGACGGAACATTCTGCGCGTCACTCCAGTCTCTTGGTGCATATCAGACAGCTGAGCTTTTGGATATGGTGTATGGAAGGGGGCAGGCCTAGTCTTTGACAGAGACGTCAAGTGGAGGTCTTGTGGGCTGGATGAGAGGTCAAGGGGTGATTGTTTACATCTCGTCAGTGAAGGCGGCAGAGTGCCGGGGTAGTATAGTCTTCAAAGATACTGCTGCCTTCCCCGGTTGCCTGACTCATTGACTACTTGGATCTAGCGGTTATGTTTGGCTATGTCTGGCGCTTCGTCGAGTGCATGGACTTTCATGCATACAGGAGGTGGCGTTCCATGCCTAGAGAAGCGAGAGGACTTGGGTCGCGCCTGATTTTGGGTGGCAAAAATGACGACATGTAAACACTTTTCCCCTACCCTCCAGCCTACCAACTCTCTCAAAGACTATACTCTCCCCGGTTGCTGGAGGACGACCATTTCTATGCATGACTATGTTGTGACTATCAATGGCTCGGGCTGTTGTGGTCTTTGTTCGAGCCCAAGGCGAACAGATGGACAGCGACTCGCACGGAAGTCAGCGCACGGACAAATGACGTAGTGTAACCACCCCCCAGCAGCCTTGTCAAAGACTGTATACATCCCCGGCTACTGACTCGTATGCACGACTTTGATCGCGACAGATCCCTGCGCTATGCATACAAACGCGAGAGACAAGTAGCGCATTCGACATGCGCGAAGTGCTTCAAAGTGGACGGACTGAGAGGTATCCAAAAGCGCACGGATGACGTCATGTAAACAACTATCCCCCACCCCCCGGCTCTCTCAAAGATATAGGCTCGCCCCGGATATAGGCTCGACATGGGCGCAATCCTTCTTGTCAATAGCTTGCCGTAATCATCGCCAATCCTTCCCCGACGCGCCTGTTTCAGAATTCACCCACCAGGACGCCTCAGGACGCGCTCAATCATCAATCAACATGCAGCTATCTACTCGATATCATACCCTTCAGACACAGCAGAAGTGATCACTGTATCTATCATGAGCTCTGTAGCTTCCCCAGCAGGGCCATCGCGCCATCGGCGGAAACATACAGCGGAGAATTGGGATGATGACTTTGAATTCGCCCTTCCTTCACGCCCGACCCGGCCGACTCCATCCCCCTCGACATCTACCGTCATCGCCTCATCATCCTCACGACATCTGAGCGAGGAGTCTGGCGAGTCCAAGGCGAACCGTCCCGCCGAGAATACACGCGGAGCGAGCCGGTTAATGGGGACGACGAGCAAGGCGAAGGAGCCGGAGGAAGAAGAGGATTGGGATACTGGCGGAGCCTGGGACGAGGGAGGGCTAGCTCCCTCACCCCGAGCCTCTATACAGGTTAGAAGGGGGTCAAGAGGTCCCGCCCCCCTCTCGATACCTACGAGCTCGAGCTCCAAGGGGATCAAAACGCTAGGTCCACCTCGATCCTCCTCGTCGTCAACATCCCCTCTGGCGTCACCGACACCATTCCTCTCCCCTCCACAGTCCAGCTTGCTCTCGTCTGGCCACCCTTACGTCGAGGCTACACGGAGCGCCTCTCACAATAGACGGTCCATGATAGCGGAGTCAAGCCGAGATGCCCGTACAAAGCCCATGAAGCGCCATCCTTCAACATCATTCATACCTGCCCAAACAACTGCTACCGTCGCTGTCTCGCACGAGTCCTCATCCTCCCTTTGGCAGCGCTTCAATCGCTCTTCACCAAACCTCCCTCCCACTCACATGCCGGACTCGCCCAAACCGACCTCGTCGCGCTTTACGAATCGGGAGCTGCGGCACATGAAGTCTGGAGAGATCATGCCCCCTCCTCCGATCCCATTGCCGTCTTTGATCCGACGGAAGAGCAAGAAGGAGAAGGACGAGGCAAGAAAGTCACAGATCAGAGAAAGTCAGGTCCCATTCTCGCCGAGTATGGAGCAGTTGAAGGAGATGGAGGGGAAGCGGGGGTTTTGGAAGCGGTTAAGCGGGAATGCAGCTGGGATAGGAAAGGGTGAGTACCACTGACTTCATACTTATGCTGGCTGACATACAGGCTCTCCTACATCTAGCATCCAGGAACGCCGTCGTCGATCATCATCGGTTGGTTCTCGTTCGCCGACCAAGCCACACCTATCCCCCTCACCTTATCCTCCACTTCCACCACCCCCGGGCAACGTCCGTTCCCCCAGCGCCGCCTCGACTACATCAGCTACATCTACCACTTCCGCGTCCTCCCAGCTGAAAACGACCGGACTCGCCGGTATCCTCCGTCGGTCAACGAGTAGCCTCATCCGGAATTCCCCCAAGAACGACCGGCGCGATGGCGGTACCCCTCCCAGCTCCTACACACCACCTGCACCTCTTCCTAACCCGCCTATGCCCATACCGGTCCGTACCAGCAGTCGTACCAGCCAAATGAGCAGCAACAACAGCGCCACATTCGGCTCCGAGCTCGAAAGGCGAGGAAAACGGAACGCTTCCATCTCTAGGGGATACCATCTCCCCTCACCGTCGTCCGGGTCGCCATACCAGACGTCCGGCTCTGGCTACTTCAGTCCAGGGCAGGGTGACATCCCTCCACTACCACACTCCACGTCATACAAGTCGGTCCTATCGGATCGATCTGGCGAGAGGCCTAGGCGTACACCAGGGGGATCCATCGCCAGTACGGACGAGTCGGACCTCGAGGGAGGGGACATGGCGCAGGTGACTCCGAAGCGACAACGGAGAGTACGGCCTGCCGCAGCCCAGGAGGCTCTTGCCAAAGGAACGGGCTGGGGCGGGAATGTATGGACAGGGTTTCCAGCTTCATCCGCTCTTGACTCTGCATCCCCCACGAAACTCGCCCACCGACCTTTGCCTCCCTCTCGCTCGTCATCCACCACAAATGCTCGGATCCCCTCATCCCAATCCGCTCAGCTCAGTCCGGACCCAGTTCCCACGCTCAACGTCATGGAGGAGGACCTCGAGTCATCTCGGACTTTCTCGACACTCCGCCGCCTGTCCAGCTTGTCAAAAAAGCATGGTCGGCGGATATCCGGTGGATGGAAGTTTGGGACGGGGAGCTCCGCGTCGACCAACTCGTCGAGTGAGGGAAGGGTCAAGCTCGAGACGGTAGTGGGGAGTCCTGTCAAGCAGGCTAGGGTTGTGGCGGACGAGCTCAGCCCGGATGGAGCTGCGGGTCCAGAGGAAGATGGGGAGAGCCGAGGAATCGAGACGGGCGGATTGGGGCTGGAGGCACCTGGCGGCCCCGAAAAGCCAGATCGCTATGTCCGAGGCGGATCTGTCTCTGCGCCAAACTCGATCTTGAAGCCGCCTACCCAAAGCGCGCGCGACCTCAATGCGGAATGGGACAAGCTGGCCACTGGGGCAGCTCCGGCGGGTCTACCACTCAACTCGGCCTCGACGCAAGCGATACGGCTCGGAGGAAGCAGCAAGGCGGACAAGGAGCGGCGCAGGCAGAGCTGGAACGACTTTGTGATTCCCAAGAATGTGTTGGAGAAGCAAAAGGAGGTGCGGAGGGGGATTGAGGGTGTGAAGCGATTTGCAGGCGGTGTAGAGAGTGAGCTACCAAGTCCAAGATGCTGTGATGGAGCTGACAGTGCAGGTCTCAAGACCCTCCTCGCCACCCATGCGGCTTTATTCGACCGCCTATCAGCTTCTTCTGATGATGATATTATCGCCTTTTCCGAGCTCGACCGAGAGTTTGGTCAATGGTGGGAGATGGCCACCGTCCTCATCGAGGTCGGCTCGACCGGTCAGACCTCCATGTCGCCCGAGGCCGAGTCGCCCAAGCGGTCCCGCCGAGTCACGCTCGCGTCGGACGAAGCCAAGATTGCCGCGGATAGGATGCGTCGATCCCAGTCGACACCTCATCATCCCCCCTACATCTCTCCGCCCCCTATCCTACCCCTAGGCACCTCTCCAGGTGTAAAGAAGGAGGCTCGCAAGATCAGCTTGCCAGACCCGCAGGATGCCAATCCGGCCCTCCTCGGCGGACCCCCTCGCGCCAGTCCGGACCTATGGCGGGCGAGCACCGGCCGGCAGGAGCTCAGTAAGCGCCAGCTCGAGGTGCTTCGGACGATGCTCCGGACTCCGGTCAGCGATTCGTCGGTCCCCTCGTCGCGGAGCGACGGGCTGAGGGGAATGAGCACTATCTCCGCCTCGTCCACCACGGCGTCCGTTGTCGGGAAGGCGAAAGAAGAGGGCAGAGATGTACGACAGGTCTTTCGCCCCTCCATCTCCCGGGCATCCACCACGGATAGTCGAGCCTCGGACTCTAGTGTCCACTTTGACTCGCCCGGTCCCCTCCAGCGAGTCAAGTCAAGCGCAAGTCGGACCTCATCGACCGGTACACCTGCACCTCGAGGCGCAGAGATGTTCCCCAGTCCAAACGACTCAGCGTATATCGTCCCCTCCCAATCGTTCCCTTCACCCATCACCGCGTCGACGCTGGCGTACGGCTATCCCTCTCGGCCAGGTGCGGGCGATCCGAGCAAGATGCGTCGAGGGAGCAAAGTGGGCTTGGCGGGTCTGAAGGACTTCCTCAAAGGTCTGAAAAGCAAGGAGTCGAAGAAGGATCTGAGGGGACCACCGGTCACTCAGGCTCCACCCGGTCGGCCACTTCGATCCATACCGCCTCCCATCCATCCGGGTCTTCCTCGTCCTGCCAACGCCGGTAACGGTCTGCCACTCTCTCCCACCTCCCCTTCCGCGACACCCAAATACCCATTTGCATGGCGACACGGTCCCACACCGAGTATTCCAGACCTCCAGCAGGCGTCTCTCTACCCCGCTACCCCTCCGCCATCGGACAGCAGGCGCGCCAGTGGCAGTCAGAGCATCAATGCGTCTCTGCCATCACCGACGCGCACGCCCACTCGGCCGACCGCAGCTGGACCGCCTGTATCAGGGAAAGAGCGCAAGCGACCCGGACTGCGGGGCATCTTCCGCGCTGGATCGGGGAGCTGGAGCGATCTCGTACGAGAGGGGGATAAGCGGGGAGGAGGAAGCAGGGAGAGCGTCGTTGTCGCCCCGACTGCCGGATACCCTCGGGTCGGGTCGGGCGGGTCGACAGAATCTGCGCCTGCCCCACTTCGTCATTCGCCATCCCTCGAGCAATGTGGCGCGGGGATGCGGTCAACGTCCGGACCTAGTCGGCTCACTGTCACTTCCTCCAAGGCGCCAGCAGAGATGGGTGGTCAGGTCGAGGACGAGACAATGATGACTGTCCGCCCGCAGCGCAAGTCTCGAATCATGGGTCTAGGATGGCCAGAGGAGGCGGCAGCGGCGAGGGAGATGGGTCGGCTAGGGTCAGATGCTTCGTTTGCCTCAGGGGCGAGCGGGGATCCGGTCTTTGTAGCAAGGGGTGTGGAAGGGAGAGTGGCGAGTCAGGGAAGCGAGCTGGAGGGGGAGGAAGAATCTATCGCGTTGACGCCGGAGAGTCTGCCGGTACTGCTGGAGTATCTGAGGCAGTGTGAGGGGAAGTTAGGAGAGTGGCGGGAGAGGGTGAGGGTCTTGGAGGGGAGGTAGGGGGAATTATCTATGTGGGATACGTATCTATCGCGAGTTGCGTGACCTCTGCTCTTGCTTCGAGTAGCGTACCACCGATGATGGGATACATACGAGACGGATTTTGCGAGGGAGGGTGTTCTTCCCTCAAGTCACGTCAGTCCCGCGGCTACTATAATGCCGTATATGGGACTACGGAGTACAGCGTATGTAGGTTCCTCGGAGGAGCGGCGCCCTTTCCGGCTATTTCCTGTCACACCTCCTTGGGCCCTCCATGCCCTCTTCGTCCTCTTCATTCTCCTCCTACACCTTCATCATATCCCATCTTCACAGCTGGACCGGCCTGGTGGGCTGCTACACAGTCCCACCTCTCACCCTTCCTCGCCTCCGGGCTCGCCCGAGATTTTCAACCCACCCCCGTCCCGCGCTGGGTCGATTGGGCGATCATTGTGTGCTTATGCATGCTTTGACCTGGGCCGGAGGTAGCGGGTGGGCAATATTGAGACGAGGAAGCGAAACACCAACTCATCCACTGCGCCCGCCACTCCGCCACGCCCCACCCCCCCACTCCAGTATTCAAGACCCTCGGAGAAGCCCGATGAAAGGCTATTTCCGGTTTACGGCATGGAAGATCCCCAGCAAAAATAGCACATGCAGCCACGACTCAGATGTCTATTCCGCGATGTGCTCGTGTGATTGTACATCTGCGTTGATAGTCGCAGCTGCCGCTCCCAAAAAGTGCTCCTCCCATCGACGGATCCGTCAGTGGAACGCCTGGGCGAAGGGACCCAGCCAGTATCGCGCATGGCCACGCCAAATACCAGCTCAACCTCGTCTGACCATGGGGTTAAAGATGCCGGCGCCGAGGGACCGGACGAGAGCAAAGATGTCGAGGCGCAGACTGTCGTGGAGCAGGGGAAGAGGAAGAAGCTGGAGCTGCAAGATCAAACGAACCTGCTACCTCATCGACAGGTGTTGATCGTGTTCGCAGGTTTATCGATGGCATTGTTCTGCAGTTCCCTCAATCAGACCATGTAAGCTATACCATCAGCCTGTCACGTCTAGACTCAAGCTGACTCCTGTAGCATTGTCACAGCCCTACCTACCATCGGCCAGGCTTTCGGACGGGCAGATATCGTCTCTTGGGTCGGGACGGCGTATCTCTTGACTTCGACCGTGAGCTTCCCTCCGGATTCGGCTAGTCACCCGAGACGATGTGCTGATAAGAGCAGGCCATGCAACCTTTGTACGGGCGCCTATCTGATATCTTCGGCCGGAAAGTCTGCCTCATCGCCTCCCTGGTCATCTTCTTCCTCGGCTCTCTAGGATGCTCGGTCTCAGCGAGCATGATTCAGCTCATCGTCTTTCGAGCTATACAAGGCATCGGAGGGGGCGGCATCCTGACCTTGAGTATGATCATCGGTAAGTATATCATCCTCTGTACAGACCGTGGCTTACCGCCTTCCAGTGTCAGATATCGTCACGTTGAAGGACCGAGGGAAATACCAGGGCATTATCGGGATGGTCATTGCCCTTAGCAACAGCGCGGGCCCTCTCATCGGGGGATTGTTGACCGAGAAAGCTGTGAGCAGGCTTGATGCACGGCGATCTACCTTACTCTGGAGCCCATAATGCTGACTTGGCAGACCTGGCGGTGGTCATTCTGGATGTCGCTTTGCCTCACTTCCGTCGCCACTTTCGTCGTCTTCTTCCTCCTCCCGCTCAAATCCGTTCGAGGCGATATCATTACCAAGCTTCGAGCGGTCGATTGGTTCGGCAGTATCCTCACCCTCGTATGGGCCGTCACATTCCTCATCGGTCTTTCCTGGGCTGGAACGCAGTACGCCTGGACGTCCGCCGCGGTCCTCGTCCCTCTCATCCTCGGTTTGGCTCTTCTCGGCCTCTTCCTCTTCGTCGAAACGCGGGTCCACCTTCCGATCGTCCCACTCTACATTTTCAAATCGCCCACCGTATCCGCCACCGCCGTATCTACCTTCTTCAGCGGAGCTGCCTTCTTCTCGGTGCTCTACTACCTTCCCACCTATCTTCAGGTCGTCCACGGCGACTCGCCCATCCAATCCGGTATCAACACCCTCCCACTCGCGACAACCCAAACTGTCATCGCGTTCGTCGCGGGCTATATTGCAAGCAAGACCGGTGATTACTACTACAATCTCTGCTTCGGCTTTGCGATATGGACGATCGGTCTCGGTCTGATGTCAACCATATCTACCACCACGCCGCAGGCTAATTTCATCGGCTACCAGATCGTTGTCGCCATCGGTGCGGGTCAAACCTTCCAAACCAGTCTTCTGGCAATCCAGGCGGCGGTCGAGCGCAAGGATATGGCGGCCGCGGTAGGGATGCGGAACTTCATGCGGCTGCTAGGCGGAACAGTCGGTCTGGCAGCGTGCAGCGCGGTGTCCAATAATATCGTCCGGGCTCATCTGAGCGCCGTGGGAGTAGGAGAGGCTGTGGTTCAGCGGGTCCTGAAGGATCCTACGGTAGCAGGGGACTGGTCGGGGGACATAGATCTGGACACGGTCCGCGAAGCTTACGGTAAGTACATCAGTCTTGCAACTCTGCGCAGACACTGAGCTGATGTGCCAGCCGCGGGGATCAGAGGCATATTCTACCTCCTCACTCCCCTCATTGCCATATCCTGCGTCGTTGTTGTCTTGTTCGTGAAGAAGATCTCGCTCAAAAGGGACGATGACGCGGCGAAGAAGCAGGAAGCAAAGGAGTGGCTGGAGAATAGGAAGAACAAGCGAGCTCGAAAGGGCCCAGCCGGGGCAGCGGTCGAAGGGGCAGCTGAGAGCACGACGAAGGGTCAAGACGTCAGCCAGTACCCCTCGGGAGAAAAGGTCGCAACGACAGGCGAGTCTCTGGGATCTCGAGTCGGGGAGAGGGTGAAGAAGGAGGAAGGGGTGCTAGAGGGAGTGGCCAAAACTTTTGATGAGGCTGCGGGAGCTATACCGCGAGACGCTGAGATACCGACGCGGAGGGAGGGAATCTGACCTGGGGAAGCCTGTTTATGAAATCGATCTAGATTGTAATCTTGTAGGAAAATAATATATTGAATGTGGAGCTGCTCAGGGTCGATGTCCTTTTAACGTGTGTCGATGTGGCATGAAGCATAGTGCATGATTGTAATGGACTAGATACAGTGCTTGGTGCTCAAAGCCTTCCGAGCACTCAGAGTCAGCCCCCGCTCCGCTGATAATACGTGCTGATCCAGTGCACCAGTGCGCACTCCTCATTCCTCATCGGCTGAGTTTCGGCCGTGTTTCAGCCGTCACCCGAACAGAACCACGTGTTTCGGCGTACCCATCGGCTATATCCGAAACGATGCCGTAATTTTCCGGAATCCACCTGCGATAATGGCGCTCTTGCCCTGGCGTTGCCCACTTCTCTCGACTCACACGACTTCCCGCTGTCACTCCCACAGCCTGTGTATAGATCTAGCAAGCGCCTGCCTTTTCTTGTAGTCGACTCGGAAGTCGCTAAATATAGTATACTCTAGTCTCATCAAGTCAGGCGCTCCAAAGTGGGCACCCTGTGTTCCCGGACTTTAACGCCGAACTCGACTCGGCGCGCTCGATCGCAGGTGCTCACACGAGTCACGACCTATCGCGATTGAGTTTCTACGCCAGCCCCGTCCCCTCTTGCTCCATCTCCTGCATTGGACGCGACCCACTCCAGAGCCGCACATACGCGCATCTCCGCTACACACCCAGAGGGTGCGGCCACCATGTCAACAAATCCGGGCCCCAGCTCCCGACCCGGTCTCCTGCGGACGGCCTCGCGCGCTTCTTCGATCCACGCACAGACATCCCTTCGGCGGATGCTAACGCATGAGACCGGTACCGGCGCAGAGCGGATGAAGGACACCGGGCGGGTAGCGCATGATCCCCATCATGAGCACGAGGATGAGGATGCCTCTGATCGCTCGGACGAGCATCATGCGCAATTACACGTCTTGCCGCCAAATACAGAACGGCCGGTGTCGGACGGCGGATCCGCATCGAAGGAGGATATAGGGGAGGGCGAAGGGAGTGTAGAGAAGACGGCAGACGCGGAGGCTCAAGAAGAGGGACAACCGGGACGGCGGAAGAAGCTGGAATTGCAAGACCAGACGAATCTGCTGCCTGCGCGGCAGGTGATTGTTGTTTTTGCGGGTCTGAGTATGGCTCTGTTCTGCTCGCTACTGGATCAGACCATGTACGTGCGGCTCGTCTTGACTGAGATGCCTCAAGCTGATTGTGCAGCGTTGTTACTGCTCTGCCCACCTTGGGACAGGCTTTCGGTCGCGCAGACATAGTGTCTTGGGTCGGGACTTCCTACCTCTTAACATCGACTGTGAGTCCTATTATTCACGCTACGTACATAGCTGACGGGTCTTAGGCGATGCAACCACTGTACGGGCGTCTATCGGACATATTCGGCCGGAAAGGATCGCTCTTGTCGGCCTGCGTGATCTTCTTCCTTGGGTCGCTGGGCTGCTCGGTATCGGCCAACATGATCCAGCTCATTTGCTTTCGGGCGATTCAGGGAGTAGGAGGAGGCGGAATCTTGACCCTCAGCATGATTATAGGTGAGTCTGCCCCAATGCGTACCATGTCCAAGCTGATCAATCAGTATCGGACATAGTGACGCTGAAAGAGAGGGGGAAGTATCAAGGGATCATAGGAATGGTGATAGCCACGGCGAACAGCATTGGGCCATTGATAGGAGGACTTCTCACTGAGAAAGCGGTCAGTCGACCCCATACGTCCCCGAAACCAGCTGATGGTCAGACCTGGCGCTGGTCCTTCTGGATCTCCCTCCCTCTGACAGCCGCCGCTTTCCTCGTCATCCTCTTCCTCCTTCCCCTCAAGTCCGTCCGAGGGGATACAATGACCAAGCTGCGCGCCATCGACTGGGCAGGCAGTATCCTCACACTCGCCTGGGCCGTCCTCTTCCTCATCGGCCTCTCCTGGGCCGGGACCCAATACTCCTGGTCCTCTCCCGCTGTTCTCGTCCCCATCATCCTCGGACTCGCCCTCCTCGGTCTCTTCCTCTGGGTCGAAACCCACGTCGCTCTCCCCGTGATCCCCTTGTACATCTTCAAGTCACCTACCGTCTCCGCCTCAATGGCATCGACCTTCTTCTCCGGTCTCGCCTTCTTCTGCACCCTGTACTACCTCCCGACGTACCTCCAGATCGTACATGGCGCCTCGCCGATCCGGTCCGGTATCCTCACACTCCCGCTCGCCGCCACACAGACCATCACTGCATTCATCGCCGGGTACGTCACCAGCCGGACCGGAGATTACTACTATAGTCTGGTGTCGGGCTTTGCCATCTGGACGGTCGGTATCGGACTTTTGACGACCCTGTCGACTACCACATCCGAGGCGATGTTTGTGGGGTATCAGATCGTAGTGGCGATCGGCGCGGGACAGACATTTCAGACCAGTCTACTTGCTATTCAAGCGGCCGTCGAGCGGAAAGACATGGCCGCTGCCACGGGAACGAGAAATTTCATGCGGATGTTGGGTGGAACGGTTGGTCTTGCTGCGTGCGGATCGATCGTGAACAATCTGGTCCGATCAGATCTGAGTCGCGCCGGGGTGAGCGAGTCACTGGTGCAGCGTATCTTGAAGGATCCCACTCCCAAGGGCGGCTGGACTGGCGAGCTGGACATCAACATCGTCAAGCAGTCATACGGTCGGTCCCTTTCATATGCGTAGTAGGAGGAGCTGATCAGACAGCACACGGCATAAGAGGAGTCTTTTACCTCCTACTCCCCCTCACAGCTATCTCGTGCTTCATCGTCCTCATCTTTGTCAAAAAGATCTCGCTCAAGCGGGACGATGATGCAAAGCGGAAAGAGGAGGGCAAGGAATGGTTGGAGAGTAGACGGAACAAGAAAGGCAAGAAGGGTCCGGTGGATGCGGGCGTGGTAGAGCAGGGACGACATGGGGATGGTGAGACAGAGGCGGCGTCAGCCGGGCTCGGTGAGAAGATAAAGGAGGAAGTCAAGAAAGAGGAGAGAGCGCTAGGAGCGGCTGCGGAGGTGATGGACGAAGCAGCAGGAGTGACGCCAATCAGCCATGGAGGGGAAGTAGACCGTAGAATGTAGCTGCGGCGGCCGGAAAGGGATCATTGTAGTACTATCTGGTAGTTCCGGATCATCAGTGTAGCGAGAGGGGTTATTGTATGCATTTGAATTATCTGTTGGTCAGCGAATGCGCATTTACAGGTTGCAGCCCACTCACTATAGTGTTCCCGATTATACTGCCTGGGCTTGCGGATCTCCAGCAGCAACCTCCGTCAAGTCGTCCCCCACAGCCCATCTCCTGAAGCCCACTACATCCACCTTCAGACCCTTCCCCGCTCCCCATTCCTCCAAGACTTGCGCGACCGGCTCCTGCTTCCCAAACATCATTGCCTGCTGGCTCAATAACGCCTCTTCTTCTCCTTCTCCGCCCTCGCCAGCTGATATCCGCATGGTAGGGAACCCCACTACCTGCCTCGCCACTGTCCGCGCCAAATCCAGCAGATCCTTTTCCAGCTGATCCCCTCCAACGCCATGTATGCGCGCCGCCATTGGCTTCTCACTATCCCTGCTCTGGGCACTGATAACCGCTATTCCGCCCACCTTGCCCTCGGACGAGCTCGAGCCACCGTGTGCATATGCGCCGGGCACGTACCGGATGAGGGGAGAGGAAGGGAAGGGTGCAGCAAAGGAGACTGCGCGGAGTAGACGAAGGTTCTCGCCGGTTTGGGAAAGGGTAGAAAGCAGGCTTTGGGAGATGGTAGTGGGGTCGGTGGTAGGGGTAGGATTTGTATTGGCGGCGGGCGCGCCATCCGAGGAGGGGAGAGAGATGATGGGAGCTTCCATCAAGGCCGAGACCGGGAAGTCCCGGATAGGATCCGCCGTACTAGGCGGTGCGTCTGTAGAAGCAGGTGACGGCTCCCTCTCCCCCGGTACATCCAGGAACGCCGTTGTCCCCGCTATACTCCTTGACGTCTTCAAGAAGATATCATTCCTCGCGACAAAGTCCGTCTCGCACCCCACATGCACCATCCCCACCCGCTTCCCGCCCAAGAGCGAGATCGCGATGACCCCCTCTGACGTCGATCGCCCCGAGACTTTTTCGGCCTTTTTGGTTGTAGATGCGGACGAGGATGAGTCGAGGTAGGAGAGGGCAGAGTCAATGTTGTTGTTTGACTTTTGAAGTGCTTCTCGAGCGAGGGAGAGGGGGACAGGGCGGAGCTTGCGCAACGAGGCGATCAGGCTAACGGGGACCTGGACCGGTGAGGGCGTCGCCGCGAGAAGCGGTACCGAGGTGGAAATTTGGCGCTGATGCTGCCGGAAAAGGGCCAGCGGCCTGAGTGCTGGGCGAGCCATCGTATCTATGCTGATCTAGTCGGGGCACCGGATACTGGGTAGATGTGGAGATGAGCTGCAAGAGGACGACGATCAAAGGTCGGCGAGCCTGCGAAGACCCCACCCAAGCAAGGTGATTACGTAATGAGCTAGGTGTGACTGCCTTCTCCGATCTCGCCGCTCCAGCTTGTGTGCTTCTTTTGTACCTGACACTTCCTCATACAAGCCGTGTAGCCAAGGGCATCGGGGGGCCGCAGAGATGTCGAGATACTCCGAGACGGTTCCGTCCTCGCACACGCCGGCGTACCCGCATCACCACAACTCGAGCTACCAGCACCCTCAGCAATCGCGTCAACAACAACAAGATTGGCCGGCGGCACAGCCATGGAGCTACTATGGACCGCCGCCGGCAGTCCCTGCCTCTCTATATCAGACGTCTTCGAGCGCCAGCACACCATACGGCCCCTTCATCCCACCTAGGCCGCCATGGGAAGAAGATGCAGAGGAGAAGAAGCGGGCGAGCAAGGGGCGTGATTATCTGCGGAATCTGGGGAGTGATCTGGCGTCTATGACGCTGTATGACGGAGTGAAGAAGGAGGGGGAGGTGAGCCGACCGAGACCATCTTCGCAAGTGGACAAGCCATTGCCCAGGGTCCCAAAGGCACCGGAGCTTCAGCACCGCCCTCACACCGAGCCTGTACCGCCCCATCTTCCGGTCACCATCCATGTGAACGCCCAGGCCGGACCCTCGTCCCCACCCAAGACATTCAAGCCTTCCCCATACCTCATCCTGCCTTCGTATCACAATCGTCGGCCTATCTCGGACCCTTTGTCTGCTGGTCCGTCCAAGTTGTCCCCATTGTCCCACAAGCCAACAATCACATTCCCCTCGACCCCTCCCCGCCGCACACTCGGCAAAGCCTCCCCACATGTCATCGATTTGACATATTCCCCAGCTTCGTCGAGCTCCACATCCGCCACCCCTCCATCCAACGTCACTCCTCGGTCTCCCGCTCGCCTGCGCAAGCGCGCCACGTCTGAACAGCCTCCAACACCTACTTCGGCGTCCAAAGCGGCTGGCTCGGCTCGATCACCAGCATCGAAGGACACGGGGACAGCTGTCCGGTGCGCCGGCTTCACTCGTGCTGGGCAGCCTTGCAAGCGTATCGTCCGTTCAGCGGCGCCATTGCTGGCATCTCTCGACTTAAACGTCTCGTCCGGTGGGAACAGCTACGTGGCGGATCCAGGCCGGACAGGCGCCAGCGGGGACGAGGTAGCTGGGCGGTATTGCAAGGATCATGCGGGGATGATCTGTTCGGCTAGCGGATTCTATCCGAGGGAGAAGCCGAGCGTCTGGGTGGCCTTTGACGGTGAGCTATCCCGCTAGCGGTCAGTTCATATGGACCAAGCTGACATGGCGTAGATTGGATACCGCCTGAACTCGGACAACAGACACAAACATTGATCAGGATGACTATGGAAAGTCAGTTGACGGCCAAGGTGAGGCAATAGCGGACCCGACAGAGGTTGCATTGAACTGACTTTCTTCAGGAATCACCTGGCTTCATATACGCGTACGAGCTCCGCGACCTACAGACTAGCCGGACAAGCTACTTCAAGGTCGGTCGGACCGACAATGTCCCTAGGCGGATAGGTCAATGGACAAATCGTGAGCTGCCTATGTCCGACACTTGTGCTCTGACCCATAACTGACGTTGGAGAATGCACCTCAAAATCACCGACACTGCGCGATATCTTCCCCCTCCCTTCCGCTCCTCTCGCTTCGCATCATCAAACACCCCGGTCCGGATCCCTCCTCCCCGGCGCTCTCGGCTCCGGCACCTTGTCTTCCACTCCAGACCGTTCCCCGTCAATAGCAATGAAGCGGTGGGAACGGCTGATTCACCTCGAGCTGGCCGACCTGGCGGCGCGAGAACGGCCGATGGAGTGGGAGAGCGACGATCTGAAGGGAAAGTGCACAGACTGCGGGGTGGTGCATAAGGAGGTATTCCCAGTGGCAAGGACGCCGGCGGGTGGGGGTGGAGGGGAAGGAGAGGGGTGTTATCAGGTGGTGCTGGAGGTGATTTGCCGATGGGAGAGGTACATCGCATTTGCTCACGGCAACAAAGTCGATAGTACACATTAGGGGATATGGATGGCTGACCATTGGCATATGCTTCCAGGCATTGTTGGTACACCTGACCTTACCTGGAAATACTTGCGCACGAAAATGACGTGAGTGCTTGGGAAATCATGCCGAGCTCGTGACAACAGCACATCTGCACTTGAAGTTTCGGAGTCAGAATCATGTGCATGAAAATGTAATGGAACTCAGAGCTGTATACACATGGTGTAACTGGAGGCGTGCATCGTAGCAGATGCTAGGTGAACGCACTGACTACTCGGGGTGTCTCGTCGATTGGAGCCTGAGCCTCACCTGCATCCCCGCCGACAGTGTCTTCCTCCTGGCGGGTCTGAGCAGGATTGTTGTCGGCTGACTGAGAGCCGAGTTGAGAGTCAAGCTCTGCTCCGTAAGGCGGAAACCTTTCTCGAAGCCTGTCCAGCGCAGCCTGCGCATCGGGCTCTTTCCACGCGTAGAGCATCCGGCAGCGAAATTCCTTGCCATCCGAGGAAAATACAGCCCTTTCGTTGACTGAGCGTTCGATCCGACGCCACAATCCCTGCACAGTCGACCGAGACACGGATACTGAGGTTGTATCCCCGTCTGTGAGGTACATCTCCACCAAAAGGGGGGATTTGACTTCCTGTCCCGGCCTGAGGTTGATGTTGCAGGAATCAGCGGTATTCCAGTCATCCGTGTCGATGTCAAAGCCAGTCTGCCTCAGTGCGAGTTCGAACTGCTGAGCCGTCCCAGGGAACTCGATACCGCGGCAGTCGAATCTGTTTCCCGTTCGAAGGAGATCCCCCCTGTGGACCTCTCCCGCAGTCAACCAGAACTTCGTCGTTTGCTCGACCGCCGTGCCATTCAGCTCTGATCCCAGCTCCATCAATTTGAGTGGCGCGGCCTGCGAGGTGTCTCCGGATTCGTCGGGGGTCTGTTCGTCGTGCAGGGCGGTCGACGGTCTGCTCGGGTTGGCGAAAACAGCCATGTCCCAAGTCGGAGCGCTCATCCTTGAAGATGTCGTGTATGTGAAGTCGATCGAGTGGGGGTATCTGCAGACCAAACTCAGTATGAGGGGTTTGAGAGGATGAAGGTAAACGATCCAGGATAGTAGAGTGGTGGATGATAGTGGGGATTTCGAGCTCTCATAGGCGATACATGGTGTAGTCCAGGAGGTAGGAGTACAATAGCACAAGTATGAAAGGATCCGCAATCTAGTTCGCGCTGCGGTGCTGAAAGGATTTCGTTGACGGACGGAGAGCGGTCAGTAGATCTGGCCAGAATGAGACATGATCAAACGAATTTACCTAGGGGGTTACAAGATCAAGGGATCGGCCGACTGAGTCGCGTCAAGCGCCAAAGGCACATCGAGGCCCGCATTGCAGTGGACCTAAGCTTTCAGCACTCAGTGACCGCCACAGCTGGCCAACCCGTGTCGAGGGCTGCTGCGGCACGAACGATGCCGGGGCGAGGCTGAATTCTGGAACACCGGTCTCGGGGATGTTTTGACGAGTCTGGCGCTTTCGATCCGCTCAATGGGGCGAGTTGGCGGTGTCTGTGATCGAGACTCACCGCAAACCCGGGCTTAACTGATCATCGTGTTCGTGAGGAAGCCGGGACGGGGCAACAGGCACATGCGAAGTGATGCGTGTTCGTTTGCTCGACTTCGACTTCATCGACTTCATCAGTAAGCCACAGTCGGCAATTTTTAGTCAGCATGGCACTGCCACCACCGTACCACTGCATATTGGCACCGAGCATTCCGGGTTCGGGTACGTACCCGATACGGCCTGATCGGACCGAGGGCAGTATCCGTATCCTACCCATACCCCATTTCTAGGGGAGTCTCGTACCCGTACCCGAAATTTGGCCAATACCCGGTATATACCGGGTAAAACCCAATACCCATGGGCCAAGATAGTGTACCTCAGGTATGCCTTCCGACACGCTCCTGCGGATCTATACGGCTGTTATATCTCCCTCGTGAGCTAGCAGAGCCACATCAGCACTCTCCATGCGCAACAAGCGCATCGGCGGCACTTTGCCACTGGGTGGCAAATTCAATGGTCCCCATTCCTCATCTCGTACGCGCCAGCGTCCAATCTTGATGATGTTCAGACGTTGCACCGGCCCGTTCCAGGGCCTTGTCGCCCGTGCTACATGACTAGCAGCAGTGGTTCACAAGTCTCCGGGGCCAGCTATCCGAGCGCTGGCTTGACAGGTTTGCAGTGTGAGAGCCTCGGGTACGCCGGGTATACCTGGTATATACCCGCCCATACCCAGTTGCCCCTAGCTGAGACCCGTAAGCGCACCTACCCCGAAGTCGCCCCGGATCTCGGACCCGCAACCGTACTCTTGAGCGGGTACGGGTATCTTTGGGGTATTATCCGGTGTATCCGTACCCATGCTTGGTGCTACTGCATATCAGGCGGCGATCGACCATCGGTTAAGTCGGCCATTTGCCCGATGGACAACGTTCACGAGCTCGCCAATCCCCTAGAGATAAAATGTCCGGTCGATCTCCTGCTTCCAGAACAGGTTCTCCATGACTAGTAGATCCATCGTCCGTTTCTCACCTGTCGCGACATCATGATCTGCCTGGAGCGTGAAAAGCAAATACATGGAACATAACGAGAGGTATCACAATACGAGGACCCAGGCGCCGTGACTCATCGGCGTCGCCTGTCCGAACAGTCGGGCCGCCAGAGATCCGAAGCAAGCCGAGAGTGAGAAGAGTCGGTATCGTGACGGCCTGAGGACTCTGTCAGTCCCTACAGGTGGAATGTGGGTGGGGCTCTCGAGTCGGCAGGCGTCCGATCGGTTTCCTCTTGGATGTGTGGAATCAGCGAGTCGAACCGGTGTTTCAGCCCGATGCAGGCTGAAGTGGTATCGGGATCTTTCCACGCGTAGATCTTGTGAATGTCACGAGGTTTTTCCTCCAACGATGTTTTGAAGGCGTTGCGGGCCCAGGCCCACAAGCCCACAGCATTCGTACGAACGATGCTCACTGACTTTGCGTCTCCATCAGTTTGGCGAAAGAGAGTCTCGACAATGATTGGGTAGTACTTTTCCTTCCCAGGCTTGAGATCGAGCCTGAAGGACTCCATTTCGTTCCAATCCGTCTCATTTGGATTTTCCCCGATGTCAACCTCAACTCCACCCAACGGTCGCGACCAGGAAACTCTGCGAGTTCGGGGTCGATGTCGTCGTCATCGAGGTCAGCTGTTGGGTCTGGGTTCGCAGTCAGCCAGAGCATGAGGTTCTTGCGAGCTTCCACCGGGACGAGATTCTGACCGAAGTCAACGCGTTCGTATGTCGGGGCTGTTCCAGTTGGTTCGTCACTCTCATTGGCCGCATCGCTGGATTGAGCGTCGACTGATTTCACCAAGGCCAGTATATCCCAGGTGCCGTGGGACGGCACGGAAGCAGACATGATGGTGTGCTTGGCACTGACTGGTGGATCGGTGATGAGCTGGACTGGTGTTTGGGGGTAGATGTTATGGAACTGAGGTTGATCACTCAGCTCGAAAGGTAGGGATGAATTGAAGTATGGTACAAAGTCGAGTGGCGAGGGGGCCGTCCTGCGCTGTGCGACAGCCTGGGCCTTTCTGAGCGGGGTGTGGAAGGCTCAAAGGATCATCTAAATGACAGGCTAGATTGCGCTCACGGGCGAGATTGCGAAACGCCACGGCCACGAGGGTCAGAATGTAAGGATGTCCGACACGTGGTACGTGAAAAGGTGCAGTCAATTGAAAGCTCTCGAGGACATGCTACAGTCAGTAGTCGGTGAGTGAGACCGACATTTCAATTTCCACGGCCCTGGACGGAACGGGTTCGGAAGGAACTGATTAGCAGCAAATCAATCAAAATACAACAGGCAGTTCCGATGTGACGGCGCCAGTCCGCTTGGGGCTTCGGCTCCATTTATCCGGGCAGGCCTATAAAGTCAGTCTGGACCCGAGCGCCGACCGCTGAGGCAGTAAAATTTAGAATCGACGCACAGTGAAGTAAGATCTCAAGGCAGTTTCGAACCGCTCTCTGTACTGGTCAGGCGGGATCTAATCCAGTCAGCTTAATTCCCTCCCGAATTCCGCTGTTGCAAACTCACAATAGTCACCTCCCCCTCCCTTCCCCTATTCAGCGCCACCTTCCCAATACTCTCCAGATTCTTGAACAGCCCATAGCTCCCAACGGCATCCACAAGACCAACGACGAGCTCGGAGCGCGACCGATCAAGACCGAGGAGGAGCGAGTAGTCGATGATGGATTGACAAGAGAGGAAGCGGGTGTCGGTAGTGAGCGAGTCGAGTAGAATTCGCTTAGCGTCTGAAATATCAGCTTGAACCGCATTGCGACCATCTACGGCGTCAGACAGCTGAACTTACGCGGATGAACGAATAGTGGGGATGTAGCTTGTGCCTCCAGCCATTCCGCGTCAAACATGGTCGACCCGTTCTCTTTGCCTTTGGGCACTCGGCGAGCTTCTGGTAAGGTCAGCTCTGTCTGATGAACGAAAAGGGTGCATTAGCTCACCGATCCCCTTGAGATCGAACGTCCGGTCGATCTCCTGTTTCCAGAACAGGTTCTCCATGACGAGCAGATCCATTGTCCGTTTCTCACCTGTCGCGACGTCGTGCATCTTGACTGCCACTATCAGCTCTTCCCATAAATTCCTGGAGAGGTCCCAGCTTACCGGTATAGAAACCGACAATTTTGGCCAGGGCTGTGGCCTTGTTGTGCGTCGTGGCCATATGCTCAAAGTACGCCGGCGCGATCTCGAGCAGAGCCTGACTGCGCGAGATTAGCTTCATGCCTCCAGCCGTCGTTAGCTGGGTACTCACAGATCAGAGACATTCCACTTGGTCACCAAACTCTTGATCACCAACCTCCCATCTTCCGTCTTCCAGAAATTCGCCTTGCTCTTCCCTCCCTCCGCCATCCACCCCACACTCTTCTCCAGCGACCTCACAAAGCTCCTATCGAAGGCACATCTTCGGCGGAGGGTATCAAACGCCGACGCAAAGTAGACGGTACAGCTGAGCTTGTACGTGGGATGCGAAAAGTCGAGCTGGATATGTGGGCGGGTATCGTCGGCTGACGGCACAGAATCCGCCGTACTGGCCGAAGCAAAGTGCAGGGGATTCATGATGGACGCAAGGGACCGACTGGGCTGATCGGAGGGACCGGACCGGACGCGCGAGGCGAGCGAGTCCGTCACGTCTGTACCGAGCTTGAGGAGGGTGTTGAAGGAGGAGGTGAATGAGGAAGTGACGGAACCGCCCCAGCCTTCCTTGTCTTTATCGCCGTACGCGGACGTGAGGGACGAGGTGGCCGTCATGGCTGGGGAAGGGTGGATCGAGAGGTTCTCCTTGTCTCGGGAAGACCGGGGAGGGGTGCTCGTCCCGATGGCCGGTGTGGGAGTGGACCGAGGCGAGTTGTTGGCGCTGGAGCTAACGCTGACTGAGACTGTGCGCCGGAATGAGCTGGGGGGCGCATCGCCAGCTGGTCGTCTGCGTGCACGAGGGGTGTAAGTCTTCTCTTGGTCCGCCGAGACCTCCGATTCGGATAAGGACAAGCTGGACGCCGAGGGCGGTATCGCAAGAGTCGTAGGCTCCGTGGACGCCGGTCGGGAGATAACAGAAGGCGCGAGATTGCCATTGCTGGAGGTGGTGAGAATTGGTGCCTGTGCTGTGGCTTTGCTGATGCTCTTGACGAGATCATCCATTGCGCCTCCGTCCCGTGTGCCAGAGTGACCAATGACGGGCTGGAGGTTGAGCTCCAGCGAAGGCTGATTCGATGTGATGGTGAGCGGGAGTCGAGCCGAGGCGGGGAGGGAGATTTCCGAGCGTTTCTTGGTCAAAGCGCGGAGAGGGAGGATATCGCGGGGCGTATCGCGCCTGGTGACCTCGATCTTCCAAGCTTCTTTGGCTTGAGAAGCTGGAAGATCCACAGAACTGGCGTCCGACTTCTCAGCGGGCGGCATAGGACTAGCTGCGGGCTTCGCTGATCCTCCACAGAGCTCGGTGAAGTATGCAAGAGATCTGACAAGTCAGCTAAAGCCCCCGTCAGGGCCCAATCCAGCTACTCACGATAAGGCGAAAGAGATAACACTTGCAGGCTCATCCTCCTTGACGAGCACCGCACTTCCCGGTAGCTTCATCCCCTTCTTCTCCTCGGGTACAGCGCCGACTGCCTCTGCCTCATCTGGCTGTGCCGACTTGGCCGAGCTGGCGATGAAAGCGTCGGAAGCGGTCTTGGCGGCCTCACTACCCGTCTTTCGCTTGGCAACGAGCGGACCGACCTGGAGCTTGGGCAAACGGGTATCGAGCACGGGATGAGGTTCAGAAGTGAGGCGAAGCGTAAAGGAGGGGGTCGAGAGAATGTACGTGAATGTGTGAGCGGGAAGGGCGGCGGATCCGGGTGCGGCCTGTGCGGCGTGGGGACAGAGAGAAGGTGCAATGAGGATAGACGAGTACATGATACTGCTTCATCAGCGAAGCCCAATGGATCAAGCCCGAGAAGCTAGACTCACAGCTCGAGAAACTTATTCCAAGATCCCGCTCCAACAATGCCCATCGCCCTCCACCCACTCTGCGCCTTACAAGTATCGCATTCCACCTGCGCCCGCAACCCGTCTAGCGGTCCCTCGGCCTCCCGTATGACCTTGCCAATCCGACCCGTGACCCTCCCTCCGCCCGTTGCCCATATACGTAGGTGGTCCCGCTCAGCTACGCCGCATTCCGGCCGGCCACATACTGGCTCCCACGAGCCCGACTCGTCACTGGCGTGGCCATCTTCGGGTAGACTTTGGTCTTGGCCGCTGACGGAGACTCCGCTGGAGGCATCTGGGGCGGACGAATTGTTCGCGTCGGTGCCATCTTCGTCGGAGGGAGCAGTCGGACTATCGACAGAAATACCGAGCTCGTCCGCTAGGCCTGATAGGTAATCTTCGATGGTAACGTCCGACTCCGGATCGTAGAATCGATGAACCGATCCGACGGGTTTTGAGCAGGCAATGACACCCTTCTGTCCCTTTACTGCCTTGCCCTCCGACTCGCCATCCCTCACCTCCTCTATCCCCATCCAATAAACATACTCGATCCTTTGCAGCCTACACCATCCCTCCCATCCTTCCAGATTCCCCGCCAGACTCGTCAAACCAGATCGTATATCCCCTCCGAGCCTATACCCGAGCGCTCGTCCATGCACATTGTCTATCCGAGGCGGTAATGCGAGGGGTATACCGAGCGGAAGACCGTCGATGCCCGTTCCCGAGCTGACCGCCGTTCCTGCCGTCGAGGTCGAGACGGTCGATAGACCCCGTGCTCGTCCAGCGCCAGTTTGGGCTGGTCTGGCTTGGATCTGGAACGGCTGGGCCGGGATTGGCGGAGACCAACGCTGAGGTACTGGAGTCGCCGCGCCAGAGCCTCCGCTCTCCGCCTTGATCTCCTCGCCGGCCTTCTCGCGCCGGATCCGGTCCTCCTCTTCGACCCGCAACAAAATCGCCGGTAAGGGAAAGACCAGGCCCGGTGTCGTAGAGTGCACCATCCCCCGGAGATGAGCGAGGAGGTAGAGGTGCCGCTCGATCCCGCTCATATGGTGATAATGCCCTTGGGTAGGCGGAGGGGGCGTGAACAATGATGTTGCCGGCTGGGATGTCGAAACACTAGCGGCACGCTGATCCCGGATTGTCCGTAAACTTGTCCGCCGAATGAGCCCGCTTAGAGCGTCACCGTCTTCGCTGGTCGCGCCCATCTCCTCCTCAGCCGGCAGATGTTGAGCCTGCGACGCCCGTCGCTTGCCCATGAGACCGTCCCACATCCCTCGTCCCACGCCTTTGCCACCATCGGGGTTGGGTCCCAAGCCGAGCTTTGCAAAGAAGCCTTTCCGTCCGCCTTGACCCTGACTATTGGCTCGGCCGAGCGCGGGGCTGGTAGATCGGGGGAGCTCTACAGTGGTTCGTGTCCGCTGATAGTCCGGTTTGGCGATCAGCGGGGGTGGCGGGTCCGGCTCGCGCGGGATGGAGAAAGCATCGAGAAGTGATAGCTCGAGCGCATGACATTGAATGGTGTAGACCTTGGGTCAGTCCGTTCCCTCGACCGTACTCACAATTGCCTTGAACACCCTTTCTATACCTCGCCGCTCTGGCTCCCGCTTCACCCCGCGAATGACTAGCGTCCCGCCTACTACCCCAACTTCTCCCCTGCTCGCTGCCGCTACTGGTATATCCATAGCCATACCAGCAACCACCACATTCTCCGATCGATCCTTCTTGGCCGCCCCTGAATGCCCCCGCTCCGTCCCCGACCACGTCGAATCGTGACTATCGTCCGTCCGGCTCGTTTCGTCCTCACTTCCATTATCGTTCGGGTCGTCCGTATCCGTGTTATCGTCTCCTGTAGATTCCCGTAATCGTTTACGAATCGTGCTAGATCTCCTCCGAGCCGGCCGTCCTTGTGCGATAGTCAGCGCAAACCTTCCCGGCACAAAATCAATTTCCACCTTCCCCTCTTCTGTTCCCGCAGTCATCTCGCTCCATTTGTTACCAAACCATCCGCCGAGACTCCCGAGGCCGCCGCTACCGGTCCCGCCGGACGCGGTCCCGGACATGGAGCCATGTCTGCTCCGCGATGAGCCAGCATCAGGACCAGCTGAGCTTTCCCGGCCGAATCGGAGCGTAGACTGACTGCGGGCAGATCCGGAGTTGTAGGCCGGCGCGGATGAGATGAACGATAGGCAGATGATGGGTTTCAAGATAGATGGGAGGGGCTCGGCAGGAGGAGGGCGGCGGGGTGAGGCCGCGAGGGAGACGAGGGAGTTGCCAAAGTAGGCTGAGGACGAGTGAGAGGAGTAAGCTTGAGGGAAGGCGCCGGGAAATTCGCGGATGGGTGTGCGGAGGGGCATCTGGTCTATATAGTTAGAAGAGGTCCTGTGATGGTATCAAGAAGTCCAATAAAGGGGGCATGTCTCACCTTCCAGTTCCTCCCATCCTTCTTTCTGCGATTCGCCGAGCGGCAAGAAGCCTTTTAGCCCTCGAATCGCGTAGCACCATGCAGCCAGCTGATCCTCTTCCGATTGAGGGTGAGGATGGTCATGTGACTGGGCCACCTCTACCTGAGGAGTAGCTGCTCGACCAGGCTCCCTAGACCGAGTGGACGAAGCGATTGACGGTGCCCGACCAGGCTTTGTCGGCGTAGACATGGCTGAGCTGAGTGCCGAAGGTAGAAGGCCAGCTACGGGAAGCTTGAGTGCACGATCCCTGAGTGTTGGCTCTGACGTATCTGTCGCGGGGTCAGAGCCCGCTTTGGGTAGGATTTGGGTTTCCTTCTTCCATGCCGCCTTCCTGAGCCTTGACCCCGCCGCCCATGCTTCCCAATCACATCCCAGCAGACCCTCTTTTCCGCCTCCGGGATTCTCCAGGACCGCACCCCATATCGCCTGTTCGATCTCTTCGAGGCGGCCCGGTGGCCATAACGGGCGGTCCGGCGCATGGTTACGGTTCGACGGCCCGGGCAGTCCTTCGTCCGGCGGAGCGAGCTGCTGCGAGAGGAACTGACGAAGGAGGGCACGGAGATGGAGGAGGTACGTCGGAGGAAGTCCGTGAATGTTCTTGCGGGGAGTCGATGGGGGTGAAGCAGTGTGGGGCATCGTAAAGGTCGTAAAGGGCGTCACAGCTTAGCTAGCGGATGGCCATGGTCAAGTCCGTTTGTCCCTCGCTCAGCGGTAACGGGCGAACCAGGAGGACTTTCGAGTATAAAAGATGGTTGTGAGACTTGAGAAGTCGATATGAGGGGGCTTGCCACCGGGTAGCGTGTCTACCACTTGCTCATATAAAGGCAATCAATCCATCCGTCAATGGGCTCGAGGCTCCGGCACCTAGGGTAGCTTGGGTTTCATCTCGTCTCATGACGCACGGTCTAGCATCATCACGTGGTTTAAGCTTTTAAGGTTCCCTTAGCGGGAGTAAACGGACCCGAGCCTTTGCAGCACCCAATCCGCTCTCTTTCTATACACCTTGCTCGTATACACCTCACAGCGCAGCTTGCTCACATACCGCCCAGCTAAATACCAGCAGCCGCGATGAGAGGAGCAAGCGTACTCAGAAATGCCGCGGCATCGGCCGGAAAGCCAAAGCCCATGTCGGCAGATTCGACCTTGTATCACGTAGCTCCCACCGTGAGTCCCGCCTGTTCATCCATGGAAGCTTGATTACAGAATATGTTGACATCTCTAGGGTTTCTGGAAGAAGTTTCGTATGTATTCTGCAAACTCTTTGTATTGGAACCTAGCTAACGACTATCAGGTGATGCGGTAGTTAGTAAGTCGACATCTCCGCACGTCGGGCCAGAATCCAGCTGATCCCAATAGTCAACCCCGAAATCTCCTCCGGTCTGCCCATCCCAACGCTGCACCGCTACCCTCAGCCTGGATCACGGACGGAGCTTTACGCTACGCCCGCAACAGCAGCGAGCGATCCCGCTTTCAACCCCTACTACAAGCGCGACGTGCGTCCTTTCCTGCCTACCCCTCAACTCAGCTGACACGCTAGACCCGCCGAGCCTACCCTCAGACCTCCACTATCACCCAGTCTCACCTCACCTCCCTCCTCCTCGCTTCGCCTACCCTCGCCGCCCTTCCATCCCCTAGCACCGCCAACGTCACCCCGTCCAACTCATCCGCCATCTCACCTCCGTCCGACTCTGACGCGGCATCGGTCACTGTGACCACCTCGGCTGTCCCCGCTCTCTCATCGATTCTCGAGAAGATGTCTCCCGGACAAGCGCTCGCCGGAAGTGGCGTGTCGACTGGCACTACGAGCGGAGGCCTGCCGCCAGCGCCGCCAGGGAAGAAGTGGGTGCCGCAGACCGGGGATGAGATTCCGCATGGGGAGCACGCGTACTTCCCGATGATAGGGTACAAGTAGGAGATGTCGAGGAAGGGAGAGGGGTATATAGGGGAGGGTGCAGATGGTGAGCTGCTAGAGGAATGCAGTTGGGTTGCAATGGATCTAGGATACTTGTCCATTTTTGGGCAGTGGCTTTTGGCCTAGGCACTGCCCACAAGAATGATTCACATACAGCACAGACCGACAAATCAAACAGATCTATTCGTATCGTATCTACTGCTCGCGCGCAGCATCGATCATGTACCGGAAATACGTGCACCCAAACGCCTCCCTCAGGATCAACTCCTTCTCGAGCAGCCACTTCACCTCGGGCAAATTCCGCCCCTCTCCCTCTCTGTCTTCTTGCCCGACTCCGCAGGCTCCGGTCCCGGTCGGAACATCAATGATGCCAGGTAAGAAGCACTGCAGCATGTTGACAATGTCGAGGAGGGGCGGGATGCCGATCGCCTCGGGGCCGATGTGCACGGGCTGGTCTGCGCGGATGACGGTGTCGGAGTGGGTAGGGGGAAAGGGCTGGCGCGTGAGGAACGAGTGGATAGAGGCGGGGAGCTCAAGATGGATGGAGCTGGAGGTAGAGCTGGAGTTGGTCGTGTGACTGGAAAGAACGAGGTGTAGGTATGTGTCTCCCTATTGATTAGCATTTCGCACAGCCCAGCATAGAAGTAGCGCTCACTGCTGAAGCGTCCGGAATCCGCTCAAATCCCCAGCTATTAACCAATTGTTTCCCCATCGCCTTGATGAACGGCAACACCTCCTCCCACGCACTCTGATAAAAGTCGGCCTCGCGCTTGAGCTTGGCAATGTGGTCGACTGTGGCCTTGCTGAAGCTGGGCGCCGTGATAGGGACGGCGGGGGCGAGATCGATGGTCATAACTGCCAATGGTGGTCGTGTGAGCAATATGGAGGGAGGGGGGAAAAACTGATGCCGCTGGGCGCTGACTTATATAGCATCCGCTGAAATTCCTTATCAGAAGCGGACTATAGGCCAAACCCTCGACGCGATCCTTATCAGTGTGATGGGGACGAATCGTCGCAAGACAGTGTACGCCTCTGGGGCCCTGGCTGGCCCTGGGGAAGGAAGCGGCATCGTCGGCCGACTAATACAGTTCATCTGATGCGAGATTGCGGCTGTGGCGTCTCTGGCCGATCTGAGCGGAGCTGCTAAATTTCGGGGTCGGCGTGGACACGGCTGTGTGTGCGAGCGGACGAGGAGGCGGTGGAGGCTTGGAGCGCCACATTCCGCAGATTCAGGGGTACTGATGAAACGAGGGGGGTGGGTGGCGCAGTCGTTTCACTTTGCAGTCACCAGCCTCATCCAGCTGAACTCCTCTCCTCTCGATCATATTGCCGCGCGAGCTCGAGATGCCGGAAAGGACCTTCTCATCCTGACTGTCGAATGATGACCTGGATCTGACCCGTGCTTACTGCTGACTCATCCCGCAGATTCACTACAGCCCCTCCTTTGTCCGCTGACGTCGCGCCCATACCCCTACCCTCTCCAAGGTGCCCCTACCCTGCGATCAGGCGCTTCCTTTGTCCCCCTCCCCGTGCATGACACATAACCGAGCTATGGCTGTGATCGCTCCACTCACCCCAGCACCTTCTTCAAATTACAGCAACTCAACGGATCCCTTGTTGCCACCACACTCACGCCATCCTCCTGCTTAAGACCGCTCGACGCCACCCAGTCACTTCACACGAGTCTTTGACGTAGTCTTGATACCCTGCAGAACACTCAGACCCCTTCTCACGATCTCCATAGCTCTGAGCCTTCGTTTCCACTCTGCCTTAAGCTCAAACGCTCCCCTTGACACCCTCCCATCCGACACACTCTCCCATCCTCCCCCAAACTATATACGCCGGCCTTCCCTTGATGCCCTCGGTACATCAGACGGCGAGGTGCCCGAGGTCTGAAGTCTATCCCCCAGGCCGAGTCGCTTATAGGTCTTCCACCTAGACTTGGCTCCGTTTCTTTTCCCCCCTCATCGACTCAATTCGCAAGATTATTGTTTCAATATGCCTATCGAGAGTGAGTTCCTCTGTGTCCATCGTCAAAGCTGTTGGGCTTGCTAACTTCCTAGCCTCCCCAATCCCCTTCAAACAGCTTCAACTCCCTTACACACCCCTCTTTGACCCTACCGCCAACCCTGAAATTGCTCCCAATGGTAGCATGCTCGGTGCCGGGTCAGGTATGGGCATGGACATGGGTATGGGCAACGGCATGAACCCGCTGAGTCACGGCCCTGCCAGTGTCGCCGCTAGCGCCATCATCGGTCCCTCTCCCGGTGGGGTCGCAGGTAAGTTCCCCCTCCTCCCCTTCTCTGAGCCAAGCTGATATACGGTTACAGGGCCTCATCACGCGATCCCCGCTCTTCCCGACGCGGGCTATACCGCTCCCACCATGCGCGCCGCCTCGCTTGCTGCGTACGCACAGGGCCGTGCGCACCCCGGCTCCCTCGTCGGAGGAATGGGTGGCGAGGGGTCGGTATACGCCGGAGGATCGCTGTACGGCGGGGCGGAGCAGTACCCCGGCGGCGGCGGTGGCGGGGGACACCACCATCAAGGCCCGAGTCAGCTTGGTACAGTGTACTCTGACGGGTGGTCGGCGTCGCTTCCTGCTCCGAGACGAGCGCCTATCGTTCCCCCTCCTTTACAGCCCCGGCAGCATCACCACGTGCAGCCTCATCACCAGCATCACCAAGATGGGGAGCGCGGACGAGAGCCCGACAGATCCCCCTATTCTGCAGGTCATCATCACTACCACCACCACCATCACTCTCCGCATCGGGACGATCAAGGCGACTTTGACGACGGAACCTCCGACGCCTCATACTACGCCATGCCACGTCGCCATGCACATGCTCAGCACCACCGCTCGTCCTCTCAGGGGTCCAGTGCCTCAGACTTGTCCAGTCCTGAAGGCCGTCGAGGCGACGGAAAGGATAAGGGAAACCTTCACCGGCGTACTCTTCCCTCCAACCACCAAGCCGGTGCTCACGGACACGTCGGACACGGAGACCGGCACAGATCGCCAAGCACCTCTGCCCCTGGTTCACCGGGGGACCACCACCATCACTCCCCCATCTCCCCCTCGCCATTGCGCGACAGAGAGGAGGATGGTCGCCGCGGGCCAAGGACAGGTCGGCGATCGAGTCTCGGACTAGACGATGAGGGGGCGCTGGGGCTGGACGGCCTTGATCTTGATCGGCATCATCGAGAGAGACGGACTTCTCACGCTTCCGAAGGGAGATCGCCTTCTCAGGGACATGTACGGCCGGGTATGATTCGGCAGAGGTCTAATCTGCGGCAGATACAGGGGAGCGTATCTGACTCGGAAGAGACGCGCTCGAGGCGCGAGTCGGTGCGCAAGAGGTCGACGAGCAGGGTCCGGCGGAGAAGCAAGGACGATGGGGATGGGTCTGAGGGCGATGAGGACGGGAGGCACTCGCCTGAAAGAGGTAGACGGGGTGACGGAGACGGGCGTGATGGACGCGAGGGTCAAGGGCGCTCGAGAAGGGTCGCGTCGATCAGGCGACCGCATCGGGACAGCGGAAATGCGGATCGAGAGGAGGGAGAGTCGCCTTACCACCGCCCTCATCTACCTGTCGATCACTCCCCTCTTCTCTCGCCTCATGCCGCACTTGACTACGGGGAGCACGGTCATCAGTCCAGTCGGACCCGGCGCGAATCACAGAACGAGCATCAGCACAGGTCATCCGAGCACCACCAGCACCAGCACCGTCATCACAGTCAGGCTGCGCATAGTCAGGCTGGGTATGATGACCGCGCGGACCTGCACGAGCACCACCATCATCAGCGACACGGGCACGGACACCGCCGTGCGAACTCGGAGCAAGGCCTCATGCCTCATCACCAGCATCGTGAGTACACGCCACCTCCGCACGCGGGTACGTTGTACCCCGCCCACTCTGCGTCGTTGGCGGGCGGGTACGACGACTATCCCCAGTCCCAACATCCTTACCACCATCAACATCCCGAGTATGAGCACCAGCAACAGCAACAGCATCAACACCAGCATCAACATCCCATTTCGGCGGGCTCGAGGCGCAACCCCGATGGGTACGGCGGTAAACAGCCCTTCCCTGTCCAGGCGGACGGAGCGCAGAGCGTACAGCCGCTCATGCACCAGCAGCACATGGGTATGGGCATGGGCAGTATGGGTATGGGGATGGCGGCGCCTGGACCGGGACCGGGCCCGGGCTTTGACGATGGAGCGAGCGCAGCGGGGACGGCTATGACGTTTATGGATGGGCAGATGGGCGGGCGGGTGAGTCAGTATGGGTTGCCCAAGTATGCGCATAACCCCAAAGTTGACTATAGGCGGTGAGTACTTGCCGCCAATTGATAATTGACCGACAAATAGGCTGACGGTACAGCTTCTGTGTGCAAAGGGGTAATGCAGATGTGTTTATCGATTGAGGCGGAAGATATCAGTGTATAAGTCAGCAAGGCTTGAGCTGTGAAATAGAAGCTGAGGAGAAGTCCACGTCGGTGTCACTAGCGAGTGGGGATTGTCAGATGATCAGTGATCAGGGTGTCAATGAAAGAGCAGCAAGATGTAACATCTACGTAGTGTATAAACACCCAAGACAATCTGCAGACCCATGTACAATTACCCAACATCCCCTAGGTGGATCCGTTCCGACAGCACAAACCAGCGACATTCTATCCCCTAGATGCTCTCAGTCTCCTGCCTAGCGCGCAGCGACGCTCTTTACACTGGATCCCTCATCTACGCCCGGAACGTCGAGTCCACCGTTATGCGCGGCGGTCCCGTTGTGTCCCTCCGAGTCCTTGCCGAGCGTAGCCAGGTTGACGCCCGCACTGCGCTCTTCCCGCCAGGCAGCAGCATCGCCCTGCCCCTCGCCATGGGACGCCTGTAGCGCGTCGAGGCTCTCGACCTTGGTCTCGGGTGTGAGGTATTTGCCGGGCCAGAAATAGCAGTAGGCCATGATCCCGATAAGCAGCGGGAGGGTGTCGAGGCAGAGGACGTAGATTTCATTGGTAGCGAGGTGGCCGCGGAATCTGCCTAGTCAGTGGAGTCCAATGGAGCAGAGTGATGGACATACCCCTGCGAGAGCTCGATGGTACGGAAGATACTCCGGATGATGAACCAGATACAGGTGAATCCAAGGGCCCAGTGGAGCGGCTTCCATCCCGGTCGAGACCAGAGGGTTTGGTCTCCACGTTGGCTGGGGATGTCAGTGTCAAACTATATTATGGGAGTCAAGGGGGCTCACATTCTAAAGGCAAAGACTGCCCACATGGCAGTGAAGATGACGAAAGATGCAGCTTGGATGGCGATCCCAGCGAGGAAAAGCTTGTTGCCCGCATCAGAGATCTTGACGTCCTTGATGATGACCATGCTGCCGCCGGCGGCTTGCAAGAGGAAGGTAAACACTGGGATGTCAGCTTGTTGAGGGCGAAGGCGAAGGTGATGCGGCTTACCATCAGAAAGGACGAAAGTCCAAGAGATCCAGTTGGCCTTCAAGGGTCGAACAAATCTGTTCGCATCAAGATGGCCGACCTGAGGCAATTAGCTCTTATCTCAAGCAAGTAGTAGGCGCGTTGCGCATGACTTACGATGCGCCCAAGGAGGATGTAGTTGGCCGCGAGGAAGGCACAAGGCTAAAAAATCAACAGACTGCTCAAGATTGCTCAGGACCGCGATGGATACCTTCCGTAAGGCGTAGTACTCACAGAGAGGACCTGAAAGAGGTAGGCTAGGATATACTTCCCCGTCGAGTGCACGTCGCTCCGTACAAGCAACCTGAAAGCCAGGCCTAACCCCTCGCACCATGCGCCGATTACCAGGCAGAGGAACCAATTACAACGGCGACGGTAGTGCTCTGGTGATCAGCGGCTGTTCTTCCACCACGTATGACCCTCGGAGTTCTGAAGGTTGAGGACACTCACGGTAGGTGAGGATAGCAGCCACAATGAAATACAGCGCCGCAAAAACCGCATTCGCTGGTAGACTGGGTATGTAGCGGAAGGGGTTACAACTGGATTATCAGGGCTCTGGCACTTCTGCGGCTGGGAGTTGGGCTTACGGGTCGTCTTGAGGTGCTACCGACTGCACATGTCAGCTATCTCCATCCCATCGGTCAAAGCCAGCCACCGGACTTTGTCGCTCCGGCGATCTCATCACAAACGGAGAGGATGAGCAACGACCGATCCCTCTGCCGCTCGGGCAGGGCATCTCGCGATAATCCTCTTCTGACCTCCATCTCGCACACTCGGGCGTTCCCTCACGTGGATCTCCTCAAGCTGGTACGCGAACTCACCCACTGGTCAGGACAGACAACGGTCCTCGTTTGAGCTTGGGCACTCCCTACTGCCAACGCGAAGACCGCGAGAAGACTCCTGCTTGCCGTCATTGCAGCTGGAAAGGCTGCCGAAGAAACGAAGGGCGAGGTCCAGGCGCGAGATAGAGAGACAGAGGCAGAGATGAGGCCGATGAGGCGAAGCAGTACCGTGAACAGCAGCCTGTCAGAGCAGCTTTCACCTTACGATGTTTGATGTGAGACCCTGATGTCTCGGTCACCGATTAGCGGATCCGGCAAATCACGGCAGGGTCCAGGCACGGGACGGGGCAGACGGAGGAATGCAGATCCCCCGCGGTCGCACGCGGTCACATGGGGGGCCGGATCGCCGAGTGCTGGCACTCGCTAGTCAGGCCGAGCAACAGGCTAGTCACAAGCCAAAGTGGCAGGGTAGAGAAAGAAATGTAGATGAAGGTGGAGTGGGAAGAAGGGACGAAGTATCAATGGGCCGGGAGCCCGATCTGAACGCGTCTGCTTAGCGCACGCCATTGACTTCGCCACCTCTGCCACAGAGTCCAGCTCATCCATCATGTCGTCAAGGCATACTGTCATCTATAAGTAATACCGTCGCCTCCTGTCAACCAAAGCCTTGAAGTTGCGGGCCCTGCTGCATTAGCCAGTACTCGAGCCACATGAGAGCTGTGACTCACAGTACGCCATTCCTCCCGCGCCGTATGTCCTGCAGGACCCTTATACCCAGGATCGCCAAGCACTCTATCCACTCGAGGATGATCACAGACCATACCAAGAGGTCGTAGACGAGCCTGCCTGTGATGGTGTTGTGCTCCCGTACGTGTCCAGCCTGCTCAATGTCAGCAACTCATTTCAGATCTTGAGCGCAAGACTGACCGTTACGTTCTGACCAATCTGACGCGGCTCCACCCGGCTCTTCTGCTCACCACCACGCGGCACGGTCCCAGCCCGTCTATGCGCCAGCGCAATACTGGACTGGCTGCTCCCCGCCCTGTCCACCCGAGGCCGTTGCAGAATCAGGCCATTCCCGCCCTGAGCAATCTGCGGCGCCTTGCCCCTGCCAAGCGAGGCTCTTACTCCGCTGACGCCTCCAGTAGGGCCTGACACCGACCGGATGGACTCGCTCCGGTGTGCCTCATCCTCAGAGCTCTCCGCCCCGTCCAGAGGACCATCCTGCCACGCCAACGCCATTCCATCTGTCCGCCGACCGGACGGCGCAGGTGACGGCGACACCTCTCGCGTTCGGTCTGGTCGACCCGCTTGGCCGTCCGATCCGAAGGCGGGAGTAACCTCTTCCCGAGGAAGCCGGCGAGTACTGGTTCTAAAGTCCACCCTTCGGACTCGTAGACTATCCTTCGGCCTCCTCCTAGCAACGGAAGCCGAAGGGGACGAATCGTAGTCCCATGTGTGGGCTTTGGCCGGGGCAAGGGCGAGCGCGAGGGAGGCCAAGGCCGAAGACGCCAGCGGGGGCAACGTCGCCGGCGAGTTGAAGAGCATGGTCTGGTCGCCGTCGTCCTCTGCAAGAGGGGCTTGCGGCTCATCTTCCCACTCCCCCTCGTCCGCGTCGTCCCCCTCATCCGCTTCTCCCCGCGTCAAACCCTCGAGCTGTGCCTGGTGGTCCTGGACAGGCCGGCCCGGGGTCGTCGATACGACAAATGATGACCCAGCCCAGGCTCGACTCTCCCAGTCATCCCCAAAGTCGCTCCCGAGCTCTGAGCCGAGAGTGCGAGGACCGACCGGTGTGGGCGCGAGGAACAGGCTGTCCGCGACAAAGTCCCGCATACTCGCCATGCGGGCCGAGATGGATGTAAAGCCGGGCGACTGCAAGCGGGAGCTGCTGACCGAGCCGAGGGAGCGCGCAGGGGAGGATGAGGGGCGAATGGAAGATGGCCGCGCATCCGGAGAACGGGAGTGAGATGACGCTGGAGAGTGTGGTCGAGGGTGCGTCCGGGCTCGAAGGGTAGACTGGGGAGCAGAAGGGGTAGGAGACTCCGTCTCGAGTGATTCAGGAGAGTGGACGTGTAGCGTCGGCGTCAGAGGTCGTCGCACCTCGTATGGTGCTGATGCTTGCTTGGGAGGGGAGAGAAAGCTGGATCGGGAGACAGCCTTGCGGATCCGCTTGTTCTCCCCAAGATGCCGTAGTGCTGACGAATGGGAGCCGCTGTCTCCGCGCCGGTCTGACGATGACTGCTGGTGCCGAGGCCGAGCGTTCGACGACATGGAGGAGTCCAGCTCCCGCTCATCGCGTACTTCTCGTACCGGCCCATCGAGCCTGCCGTCTCGCTCATCCGCCTCCTCCCGTTGAGCGCGATAGGGATCGTAGCTCATCCTGTGCGGCTCAAACGCACTGCTGGTCTCCTGCTCCATCTTCTTCTGCCTGACCCCACGGGAACCCGCCGTTCGGGTCAGCCCCGAGATCGTCTGACTTTCGGAGAGCATTCCCTCCGCCCTCTCCAGGTCCCGCTTCATCTTGTCGTGCTCCCGCCTCATCCGCGCCATTGCCTTCCGCTGATTCTCTTCCCCCTCTTGCGCCTCCATCAGAGCAGCCTCCAGTGCCAAGATCCGCTCGTCCGCCTCTTCAGCCTGCACCACCTGGTATCGCTGAGACGTCGACGAATTGCTCGACTGAAATGCCCGTGGTCGCGAGGCTTTACGATGGTATTCGGTCTGGCCGTTAACGAGCTTGAAGTTCCTTAGACGATCGGGCGATAGCTCTTCCGTGGCTGAGGGAGGGGAGAGCATCGATGATATGGAGGCGGCCGAGCGGGAAGTAGAGTGTCTGAAGCCTGAGCTGGGCGGGCTGATCCTGTTGGACAGTCTGGAGCCAGACCGGCTGGAGGGACGAGAGGAAGGTCGAGACCGATTGGCAGGAGCGACAGACAGCAGACTGAGCAGCTGGGGAAGGTGTGATTTGGCCGTAGGAGATAATTGGGAGAGGACCTGCTCATGCTGACGCAGAGCCTGGTCGGCGACTTGTGCAGCCATGAGGAGCTCTGCCAGATCAGTACGTGAGCGTCTCTTTCCAGGCCATGCTATAAGACTCACCTTTATCTCTCTGCCTAAGCCTCTTCCTCACGCTTCGCAATCTCCGCCGCAGCTCTTCCTCATCTTCCTCCAGTTCGCTATCCTCCTCCCCGCCAGAATTAGACGCCCCGAAATCCATGTCCAGCCCTATCGCCCGCGCAGCTTCTGTCGCTCGGCGCGCCCGCATGTTCTCCTCCGCGTCCTGTCTCTCCTCGCCTCGCATAGCGCCATCTGAGATCTCATGTGGCCGCCGCGCGTCGCTTGCATTCTGCTGCGGTTTGTGAGGAACGGGGGATGGATTCGGAAGCTCGTGACCGTATGGCGGTGGAGGGGATGGCTCGGCAGTATCGGCGGTGTGTATCTTGTGCGACGTGGGGTCATTGGGGACCCCGAGAGTCCCCGATGACGAAGGATGGGTGGATGCAGGGCCCTCTGGAGAGCGTACGTCTAGCCCCAGGCTGACATCGCCGACGCTTCCCGGACTGGCGGTATCTTTTGCCGGAGTGGAGCGACCAGCTTCGGGCCGCTGACCTGACGGCTTCTGACCATCGCCACCGGGACTGACGGCCCGCCTGCCCATTGACAAGGCAAGGGAAGGTCGGGAGCTCGACGAGGACGACGTGCTCGCCGATAAGCGAGACTTGGCCAATGATGCCGGTGGTCGAGGCCGCCGAGCAGCCGGACTCGGGGTGTACATCATCTGCTTAGGAGGAGCAGGACGAACGACTCGTCGACGAGGGGAGCTATCGGGAGTACTAGCAGCCGAGGCCAGAGCAGAGCCGAAGGAAGGGTATGGTGGTGACTGCATCTTGCCTGTTGGTCAGCATCATGTTTTGTCTGGAGAGATGGATGTTTGGCGGACCAGAACCTTCAGCCTCTCAGGGATTTGTCGCTAAGCTCGTTTGAGACGAGTAAGAGTAGAACGTTACAGGACGAAAGATAGTGCTACAACATCGAGGCGTTTCACAGTGATACAAGGCAGAAGAACCCAGCTATGAATGAGGCTTGTTGACAGCCTGCAAATAAGGTTGTGCAATCTGCGGCGCGTCGATCGATAACGATGTTCTCGAACGCGTCGCGAGCCAGGACCCCGGAGTTTTCTTTGCGCATACATCCTCGTCAGGCTGCGATAGCTAGTCAGACTGCTAGGTCGCGAGCAGAGACTTCATCTCATGGTGCATCCTACCAGATGCATGCAAGACAGTGACAAGTGTCTGAAAAAATCGGCCCGATTATCGGCTGCCGCCTGATGAGATCTGAAACACTTACGGCATCAGGTCGCCAAGGGGTACGATGTGAGCTGCTGCTTGGCTGCTGCTACAAGCATCTCAGCTTCATGCGTTGCTGCCCGCCTTACCGCACGGTATAGTCCGCGCCTCACCCATATCAGTCTGTCAGAAGCACGTTCACCCTCGCGATTCTGATAGCCTAGTCCTGAAGCTGGCCATTCTGACCTTTCTAGCGCTTTCTCTGGACGATCTGAGAGGGCGAACCTTTCTTCTCTGCGCTCCACATCGACCTTTCACCGTGATCTTCTCACGGTTGCCCCGCCTCGAGGCCACCATCGAGTGGCGTGCACCTTGCTTTCCACCTCCAATCGACCTCACATACCCCATCACCTAATCTCCAAACCCTTCCAAGTCAACTTTCGATTCGCCATGTCCACCGCTGCGAAACCATCCGCAGCGAACACCCTTAAGTGGACTGACAACGCACGGCCGACCGGACCTTTCGCCCAGCCTCTTCCGACTGGCTGCTTTGCCCAGCCACATCCGCTGGTGAATGTGGCTATAGGAGTGACGAGACCTGAGCCTCCTACCACGGTGGCCACCACCAGATCGATTCTGACTGTGAGAATCGGGCCTTACGATGAGGCAGGCCGTCCGACTTATCAGTCCACGCTGGAAAGGCCTGCAAGCGAGGGAGACTCTGGGCATATGGAAGCACATCGTGAAGCGTTCGATACCGAAGGCAGAAGACTGTGTTTGGCATATCTCGAAAGCATGGCGGGGGCTGACAGCAAGTCGGTTGATGATGCCCAAAGGGCAATACGGGACTTGAGCCCGTGGGGAGAGCTCAGAAAATTGCTGTATGTGCAAGCCCCCCCGGATGGACAAGGTCGAGCAGCACAGCCAAGGTCAGATCTCGTTGCTTCTGCAAAGTGGTCCCTGCAGTACGAGAATATGGCTGCCGGAGAGGGGGCAATGCCGCTGCCCAGCTGGGCCAATGTGGGGTGGAGTTGCAAGAATGGGAAATGGGAGCTGGAGCGAATGATTCTTAATTTTCCGAACGAGCCAGCAAACCCTTTCGACAGCTATACTCTTACTGTGTGGGATGTCGCCGAGGACGGGGTCGAGCAGAGGACCGAGCGGGATACGGAAGATGGTGAGCAGACCAGAGAGGTTGTCGTCCGTGGCGTCCCTCGCTCTTGGACGTCCACCATGGATAAAGGGACAGGAGAAGAGGTCTTGAAGCTGGAGCTAGGCACATCAAGGGGCGACCTGGAGTCATCAGACCCGCGCTTCATCGTTGCCCGCCCCGAGGCCCCCGGCGACACGTCTTGTACCATTCAGCTGCCGAACCCATGGTTCAATAGATGGACGCCCACAGCTATGGCAGCCCGAGAGACCGAGGAGACTTCGCGCAGCTTCTGCAGATCAGCTCGCGAGTGTTTGCAAAGCCTATTACCATGCATTTAGTGTGTTGATGAGAGCAGCCACGAGTTCGCTGGATTGCGCAAGACACCACACAACGGAGTTAGTACAGGGGTCGGAGATCTCATTTCTGCGAGACAGACGTCGGACAAGATATAAACGTGTGGCTGCGTACTAGACCTTCCCTCCCAGCCATCCGGGCCGGTCAATCCCCGAGTTGATCTTCTCCGTCCCCTTGCGTGGTTCCAGCATGACTGGAATGTAAGCACTCTGCTTGAACAGCTACTATCGAGACGAAGACTTACGCGATTTGCGGTACAGCGCGTCAAGGCTTCCGCTACCGCGCTCTGCGAGAGCTCGGCGGAGGTACGCCTGCACAGCTTCGATCTCGTGAAAGTTGAAGGGCTAGCCCAGTCAGCGGCTGTCCCAGATACCGAGCATAAGGTACTTACCTCCTGATATCGACGAAAGTCGGAGGCGATCTTGCCGAGCTTGACATATTTGTCCACGTTGATCAACATCAGGCCTTCTTGCAGGAGAGATGGGCGGAGATTTGGGTTCCCGTCACACGTGAAGGTGATGCTGCAGAGTCAGCTTAGGTCTGTTTTGAAACCTGCACCTAGAAAAGGGACCTGGGCGGGGACTCACTCGGTCAGAATCAATCCGAGGAAAGGCAGAACAGGCCCCTTTGCCTCGCGAAGCTTGCCTCGGTACGCGAGGTGATTTCTCGTGTGCTCAATAACGCCATTAAGGCGGTCCAAGAGTACCTTGTACTTCTGGTTGAGAACATCCCAGGTCTTTTTGAGGCGAAGGATAGTCGAGCTGTTAAGGCCCGCAAGGACAGAAAAGAGGGATGAGAAGTTCTGGAGCATGAAACAGCGCTATCAGGTCAGCCTGGTCTATCACGCATCAATATCTAGGACTCACATCTGCCACCTTGATCCAAAACTTCAGCAGCCCAGCCCGTTTCTTGGTATCCGCCTCGCCCAGTACCCCGTCCGCCACGAAACCGGTGATCTGGTTGCTGAGGGTACTGAGCTGCTTGAGCTCATCCACCTGGATCCTGCCAGGCCCGGAGCCCTTCTTGCCGCTGAGTAGCAAGTCGACCGGGTCCAGCTGCCTAAACAGAGCGGACTCCATAATAGTGAGCTGGCGTGCGAGCTCGAGCGGGTCAAAGTCGGATAAGGGGACCGAGGGGGTGGGTGGGATAGGTGAGGGTCCGGTCGGCGAAAAGGGGTTCCCGAGCGAGTCGGTAGAATAGTGCCCGATGCCACCGGTCTTGATAGGAGGAGGAACGTGTTTGCCCAGACCGATTGTCTTTTGAAGCTGCGAGTGGAGTGATTTGGAAATGATGGGGGTGGGAGGGAGGCCCACTGGGCTGGAAGGGGAGATAGGGCTATACGGCACCGCAGGATGAGCAAAGCCATTCGATGACACCAAGCTACTGGTGGAGTTGGTAGCTTGGCGTAGCCGATCGAAGGAGACCGAGCGACGCAGACCACGAAGTGACGATATAGACTTGTTGGTCGCCCTCCCGCTGTCCCGCTTGCTCCTGCCATGTCCGTCAAAGTCCGCGACCTGCGCCGAGTACGGCCCGTTACTGAGAATGGACGACCGAGAGCTTGCCCGACTGGACGAACGCACGTACTCCTCCGAAGTGGCCGTCTCGGACATACGCTGTCGAATGAGCCGGGCGAGTCGAAGACCCATCGCAGGCATATCCTCGGACGCCATCCTGCCCTCATTCCAGCTCATCAAGCGACTGAGCACCTCCTCGTCCTCCCCATCGCGCCTGCGCCATTCCGCCTCCAGCCAGACTTTGAGGAAATTGCAGCAACGCAGCCGGGTGGGGACGACTTTGCGCTCCATCCACATTGCCCGCTCCCGGTCATCCATCTGCCCCATCTGCGCGGGCGGGGAGCACTGATACCGCCATAACACCTCGTCCACCATCGCAGCGGGAGAGGTGAAGAGGCGGAATGTATCCCAGAACATTGCCGCAAAGGCATGATCGACCGGTCCGTCATGAGGGGTCATCTTTTCGATCAACACCTTGAGACTGGCAGCGATCATGCCGCCCTCGGTGTTGAAACCGATCTCGCGCGGATCATAGTCGTGCGCGACGACCCAGAAGCGGATGTCGGCGGCAGCGGTAGGGATGGGTATGGGCGAGGTGGGGAAGCGGTGGGGAACAGGTCGCAGCGGCTTCATTGGCGTCTTGTCCAAGTCCAAGACTTGACCGTGTCCGGAGTCGTCGTTTCTGAGCTCGCCAAGTCGAGGGAAATTTGATCCGTTGAGAGACGCCTCGGCTCGCAGATAGCCAAGCAGAGGCGAATCATCTTGGCCGGTGACGGGTGTCTGCGGTGCTGCTTGTTCCAGCGCAGAAACACCGGACGAGCGAGCGGCGTCCGACCCCATGTAGCTGCTTCGGGCAGAGTTGGTCGTGAAGGACGCCATAGTGTAGGCCGAATTGCGGGACGCCAGATCGGCGGTAGACCGCGTTGTGCCCGAGATGGACGACTGATAGGTATCGCCATCCCTGGTACTGGCGGCGGAGGTGGACCGAGAGGGAAACTGTGATTGACCCAGGGAGCCCGCCAGGTCCGAAGTGAACTTGTCCAGATCGGCAGAGCGGGAGGGAGACCGATGTGCAAACCGCGGCGGAGCGGGAGACGAGAGGGATGTGGCCCGTGAGCGACTCCAGGACGAGGAGCGGGGGATGGGTGTGAGCTCTTGCGAGCCAGCATCCGAGTGTGGGCTGCCGGTTGGACGAGACTTGAACGGGGTGGAAAGAAGCGGTGACGAGTGGACCTGAGAAAGTCCGGGACGTTTCTGCTGATCAGCCAAAGTAGCAGATGGTCAAAGGCAGGACTCACCGGTACTTGCAGACCATACCCCAGTCCAAAATGACGGGTCGTTAAATCTTCCTCCTTGGCGTCGCCCATCTCTTCCACACCCTCCTCCTCTGCGTCCTGAACAGCGAGCTGTACGCCAGTCGACTCCCCGTCCTCATCTGCGTCGTCCTTACTCCCGTCTTCGTTGCCATCCCAACCGCCTCCCCCGCCCATACCTCCAGCATCACCCGGAAAGCCAAACGGCACCCCTAACATGCCCTGCTCCCCAACGACCCATCCCTTGCGCGCATGTCCCAGGCTCTCGACCCGTCGATGGAGCCCGGACAGTGTATGCACACCCCTCGTCCCCACCTTCTCTTTCCGCCTCGTCCCTCCTTCCTCCTGCGCCTCATCGTCGCTATTCAGGTGGACTTCCACACTCGGCGTCTCCTTCCCCTGCTTCGGCGTCGAGGCAGCTCGGATCCTGCCCGGCGTCTGGGAACCAGGCATGAGGCAGTACCTGACCACCCCTGCGCACTGGCTCCCATGTTTCAGCCCCTCTGAAGCCACGCGAATCAGGTCCTCCCGGTCCGCCTCGTAATTGGCCAGCACTTCCGCCACTCGTCTTTCCCTCTCCTTCCCGTCAAATCCCCCCACCTGCTCGGCGAGCCGGAAAGGGGCATCCGCCAGATTCTCAGCAGCATCGACCAGCCGTGAGGCCAGGTCGTACATGCCATCTTTGGCCTCTTTGAGACGCTCCACCTCATTCTCCTTTTCGTTCCGCTCGTCCTCATTTTCCCACGCCTCATCCGCAGGAGAAGCCAGAGTCCGACCCAGTGTCTCCGTGACGGTCAGGATGTCCCTGATAGTGTCGATAGTCCGCTTTGTCATCTGCACCAGGCCCGCGTGCGCTGACGGATGAGCCGTAGGCGAATGGCTGTGTATTTGACCAATAAAGGCAGCGATGATGGAGTATAGCGCATCCTCCGCCTTGTTGATCGCCGCCAGCATATCCTCGACCGTCTCGAGTGATTGGGCGCGCACATGCTGCGGTAGCTGACCGTTCGCAGAAGACGAAAGATTATTGGCGGAACCGTCAGACGAGGCTGTTGCCTGTGAGAACGTCGAGTCTATCGATCCGTGAATGCGGGTCAAGTGCGCCTGCGCGAGCTGCTTGGGGAAGACCATGCCTTTGGACGATACGGGCGAGCTCGGTCCCGAGCCGGATGACGAACGCTGCGTGGGCGTAGCAGAGAGGGGACCGTTCCGATCCGCGTCGCTACTGCGAGACGAATTGGAGTGTATGCTGCGCATCCCCGCGGATGGTGGCATGGGAGGTGGCGGACTACTTGCGCGCTTCGAATACCGCAGTTCTGTCGAAGAGGATTTCTGGCGGAAAGTTTCCTGCATCCGAGGGTTTGGCGGAGGTGGAGACCGTACCCGCGCAGACCACCGAGCGGTCCGCTCCTCGTCTGGAGCCACGGTAGGGAACCGGTCCGCAGAATCGCTGTGCTGCCTCCCGTGCTGCTGGACGGACGAGGAAGACCTCTCTGGCGCACTGTTACCGACCAGCATCCGGACCGTCTCGTCCGCCTCGCCTACTCCAGGCTTGGCCTCCACTCCCAGATCTACCGCCATCCCCATCACCCTGAGCACCGCCGTCATCACGCTGTCCGCCGTCTGCTCCAGCAGCTCCAGCTCCATCCCCGGCTCTACCGGCAGGTCCGGCATCTCCACCCCACTCGCCAGCCTCGCGCATGCTACCAGCTTGCTCAGCTCCACCAGAACGATTTTGCGTTCCTTCGCCAGCTGCGGATACCGCTCCAATGTTGGCGATGTCTTCGAGAGGCAGTCGGTCTGCTCCAACGCCGTGCGGATCGCGGAGATGACGACAGCTGTAGAGGGTTGGAAGTGTGTCGTATGATTGTTTTCGATAGACTCTGTCAACAGTCGTAGCGATTGAACGACAGGATGAAGGATGGATTGAAAGGTGGACGGAAGAGATGATAGCGTAGGGACAGGCTGCTGGCGATACTGTGATATGGATGTAGCTGTCGAAGCTGACCGCGAGAGATGGGATGGCCGCGAGTGATGGGAGGCGTGCGATTCGTGGGTGGTGAAGGAGTGTACAGATGCTGCGGATGCCTGCCGCGACATCGGTCTTTCAGCAGGTGGTGCGACCTTCTCTGATGGCCCAGTATTTGCCTGGTGATCAGCAAGTCCCCCAAGCGAACGTCACAAATTGCTGCACTCACGTCTACCTGCACAGGTCGGACATAGTTACTAGGGAACCAGCCCCTTCTTGGCCCCTTGCCCGCATCCTCCTCTCCACGGGTCACTTCCCCATCCCACCATCCCTTTTCATCCCTGCTCCACACTTTGATGATTTCGCCCGCCTTGAAACATAGGTACATGTTTGACGCCGCCGCCGCGGACGTGGATGGCAAAGCGGCGGGATCGAACGCGTGTATGGCCTGCACATGCGTAGCCGGGCCGACGCTGACATCGTGACCAGCTTGTACGGACTGGGGACGAGGTTGTGAGGAGGGTTGATATTGTGAGATTGACGAGCGAGGTTGGCGGTGTGCCTGACTTGCTGATGTGGCCATTCTGAGTGATATCGATCCTCGAGATTACCGACCGCAGTGAGAACCACCAGATGTGTGGGATCTGATATGAATGAGAGATATGTATGGTACCTAAAGGATCAGCTCTGTGCAAGACGCGTGATGTTGGCAAGCTCAGTTTCGACGCGCTCCATAGAGAAATGCCAAACGCCATGCACACAGACACACAGCACGCATCACTCAACCCGTCCTCATTTCCCCGGGAGTTTCAGCTCCTCTCACCCATCCCCATCGTCATCGAAGCGACCGTATACGCGGCTCGAGCTCGATGACGGGGATCACTCTGCCTCTCATATACACCTCCACCGTGTGATGCAATGCACGGCCACTAGACACATGCGCGACCAAAAGACAGTTAAATGGATACTCACTTTGATGAGTGCGCTCAGTCCATCCTTTCCGCAGTGCAGCTCGGGGTACAGGGCAGCAGACCACAGGCCATGCTCGATCCGATCGTAGGTGTCCAAGTCCTCGCCGAGCTGTACACAACAAGGTGAGTCGCAGAGCCTGATGGTAGGTCGAAGTCGTTGGTGCCAAACTCGATCTTGTTCGCAGCAGCTCGTAGCTCACAGCAGCAGTCGCGTCGGGGACAGATGTCCGGAAACGAAGCTAGCGCCGGAGATTTTCGATCATTTTCAGCAACCGGGTTTCCCGGATCCCGTAAGGATTTAGCGCGTCCCGAATCCCAATGTCCGTGCACGATATCCGATGCGTTTCAGACCATGTTTCAGAAGCTGCGAACCAAGACACAACGGTATGGCATACAGATAGCTACGAGTACTCATCAAAGTCTACTCCTGCCTCTCTATACGTGTCTACGTCTGCACTATTGTCCTCCAAGGGTCTGGACCAAGCAATGACTTTGTGGTGTGCCATCACCCTGAAAGAAGATCAGCCACTTGTCGTTGAGGAGAGGAGTAATCTTACTTGTCTGGGGTGAAATTCTTTACTTCGAGCGTGTCCAGATTCGTCGCCCGACTAAGCGCGACATACGTCTGACCTCGCTCGAATATCCTCGACAAGTCCACTCGAAGGCGATCGATACTTTGACCCTACCGAATCAGCTCAACTTCAGACCTCGTCATGAAGAGACCCACCTGAGATTTATGTACCGTCATTCCCCAAGCCAGCATGATCGGTACCTGTAGCCTTGTAGCCTCGGCAGACCCATGCGCGTTGTTGACCGTCACCATCATCTTTGGAATCAGAGCTCTGATTATGCTTCGCCCCTGATTGATCTGGACGCGTCCGCTACCGCTCTTGGTCGTGTCCGTGGCGGCGGCGGCAAGATGAGCAGGAGGTACAAAGTCGATGACCGGCCATTCAACGTCGTACTCGGGGTTGGCGGCAGTTAGTGCTCGATCGGCAATATAGACGCCTTGGGCTTGGGCGTCGGGGATCTTCATGAATCCTGCAACAGTCCCGGTGGAGCCGTTGACCAGCTTGTTGTCCTTCGATATCAGCTGGGTTCATGAATGGTATGCTAGGGGACAAAATGTGCTCACCTGCATGTTCGCCAAAAGCATCACCAGTGCCCCAACCTTGATGACAATCTCCTTATCCCAATTCGTATGCCTGTCCAGAAGAACAATCGCCTCCGCCTTGGTCACCTGGAAGCCCCTAGAGTTCGTTCCCGCCGAATCCCACGCGTCAAAACCCCTGACGTCCCCAGGCAAAGCCGCCAACCGCTTCTCGTTCAGAACCGCTACCTCCTTCTTACTCGCCATGAGCGAGACTGGTTCTACGCCGTCCGTATATGTGACGGGTCGCGCACAGGACTGGAGGAGCTCGGTATCGGATGGTAATACTTGGCCTTGCCGGAGACGAGTGAGGAGGGAGACGAAGGAGGATTGAGATTGTCGGAAAACCTTCTTGAGCGAGATGGTCTGGGATGGTGGGAAGGTGCCAGGCCAACAGGCCGCTTCGAACGCGAACATAGTCTGAGGCTGAACGAATTGACGGGTGGTGCCGTCGACGGTCTGAGCGGTGGTGTCCAGTCCGGCCCGCTCGGGGACAGGAGGGAGCTGGTAGAAATCGCCTGACGCGATGACTTGGATACCGCCAAATGGCATTTCGCTCTTCCTGAGTATGCGTGCGATCTGAGCGAGAGTGTCAAGGAGGGATGCAGGTATCATGGATACTACTGGCTTCAGCTCGACAGTCGCCAGATCACAACGGCAGGAGGATTATCACACTTACATTCATCGATGATGAGGGCGTCCACTTGTAGCCATCGATTATGCGTTTCGGTGTTCCGCTGAATGGACTCGACCATCTTCTTGATGGGCTGCTGGCCTAGTCCTATTCCGGCCCAAGAATGCAAGGTGCACCCTCCGATGTTTCTTTAGCGTCAGCTCAAGTGTCTCGGTGGAGAGCTGTACCTGCAGCGACTCACACAGCAGCCATCCCTGTACTAGCCGTCACCGCCAGATTCCATCCCTTTCTCCGCTGACTGCTCCCGTCCCCACCGCTCAAGATACTGGCCGCCCACTCATCTTTCAGTCTATCCGCGTCTGCCCGACCCTCCTGCTGCTTGGCCTTGAAAGCGCTGATGATCGCTCGGAGGAGCACCGACTTGCCCGTACCGGCTGGACCGGTAAAGAAGATGTTTTCGCCTGAGATGATGCGGCCGAGGATCTGAGATTGCTCCGCCGTGAGCTGAGGAGGTCCAGCCGGCTTTGCGTCCGACTGTGAAGTTGGTCGGGGAGGTGGGGAACGGCGCTCCAGGGGAGCCAGGATGTTCGATGCTCTTGCTGGAGGACCGAAATCGAAGGAGGAAGAGCGTTGCCGCTTGCTGGGACTGATGGCAGAGACGCGTAGTGGGTGGATACAAGCGAATGCCTCGCCCGTCAGCGCTCAGCTTTCGCCATATGGTCGAAGACCAGCGGAGGACGCAGACTCACTTCAGCTTCTGCCCTAGTAGCGAATGACTTGTGAACGGCTTTTGGGAAGCTCTTGACCTGCGGATCAGTGTCTATGAGGGCTCTCTGTAGGCAGAGCTCACCTGAGCCTCAGTCTCGGCCCACGTATCGTACACCCCTGGCACCCGTCCCACCCTCACCGCGTAGAATTTCATCCCCTTCTTCGCCATTACGGCGGATTGTAGAGGTATGGACTGGCGTAGCCTTATCGAATGGCATCCAGCAGTCTGGAGCTAAGTCGCCTAGATGGGCACATCATCACAGAGCTTCCGCTAAAGACGATGTAGTTGTGTGAAGTGTTCTTTTGCACTTTGAGCTTGATGTAGATGACTGTCATCCGGTCAACCGGCCGAGGGCGAAGATTACACGCGTGATTCAACTGTATACACCTGGACTTCAATAGCGGCTTGGCCTGTCCTCAACGACATCGCGAGACGAGCCTCAACGTCGACGATGCGAGACGCGATATTGCGAAGATGCATCGGGTCTTGAGGCTAGAGATCCGAGCCACGGGCCTGTCCAGCTTCCCTACAACAATTAATGGTGGATCTCCTCCGATTTTCCCCCTATCTCCAGCCGGGCCGAGCGAAGCTACCGCCTGCATTTCCCTCACGCCTGGAGACCGACTGGCTCCATTCGTATGTAGTTTGTTGGACCGCGTATGTAGTCTGGTGGACCGCGTATCTAGTATGGTGGATCAGTCGTTGAGGAAACGCAAAGTCCTAATGGTCTCAACTATATAACTGGGGATACCAGTCTTGACACATGACGGTCCGTGTACTAACCTCAGCTTCTTCCCTCGTGGAGAACGATTGGGTGAGCAGCGTAGGGGAAGCCCTTGACCTGACTGTGTGAGCTTGTGCAACTCTCTTCTGATCGCGAGAGGGACTGACCTGAGCTTCGCACTCCGGCCAAGTCAAGTAGACTCCCGGCACCCTCCCAACTCTGACCCCATAGAACTTCGTCTTTGCCATCTTCACTGAACGTTTGCGCGGAGGAAACTGAGCTTGTAATAGCCCTCAAGATGTGGTAGGGCTACAGCAGATGTATGGATTCCAAGTGAAGATTCGCTGACTTTGACGAGGTAACTGAGTTGGTAGACCCTACACATCGGCTGACGTGTTTTGGGGTCTTCCCTCCGCTTCTCGTTTCCCAAGAGCTGATGGTGAGCGCCTTGAAGCGCACCGCGAGCACGACAGCAGCAGAGATGTCAGGTAGTCCGCGGGGTGTACTGGTAGCTGACAGTTCTAAGGACAAGGTCGAAAGTCTGATGTCGGCTATCAATCTCCCGGAATCCGGAACCTTACCGGATTTTCTGATTCCAGCGAAAGCGATTCCGGATTCAGGTACCGGATCTGCGAGAGCTTCTTTGAACCCGATCCATTATTGTCAACATGTCTTTCTCTGGTGTCTCTCTTCGTTCTTAGCCCCAGCTCGATTCATCGACGACTCCACTTAACAGCATCGGGACGAATAGCTACATCTGCTACTTCTTGTGTGTCCAACAGATCACGGAATATAGCTAGCGGAACCCTCGACGATCGTCAGGCAACACCTCGACGAGCTCGAGCACGGACACTCGTCCACTGATCGCCCCAGCTCTACGAATATAGTGGCCTATGGCCGACTTATCACAGCACGCAAATTATACAGGCGCCTACTCTGGTCTCCTCAACAATTTATGGTTGACATTGGGTATTGCGGGGGCATGCCTACTGGGATATGAGATCGAGGTCCGGATACCGCGGCGGCGAGGGTGGCAGGGCGGGAAGAAGAGGGCAGTAGTGCGGATATGGTGGGCTGGGAAGAAGGCCTGGGTGCGATATCGTCGGCGAGGCGAGGACGGGATAGACAAGGAGAAAGGAGGGGAAAAGCGGTCATTAGAGGAGCCAGAGAGCAATTTGGCCAAGGAGCGGCGGAGGGTTGGAGACAGGGAACATTGGGAGTTCGGGTAGTGAGTACCAGAGGATCTGATGCTGGTTGAGCTATAGCTGATGACTATTCAGCATATATCAGCCGAAGACTTGGGGATTGTGAGTTCATCGGATCAGAAAAACGAACTTAATGAGCTGACATGCCAGAAATGCCTCAGCTCCCGTACCGTGAGCTTCCCGTCCGCTCACCTCAACGAGACTGATCAACAGAAAATGGCCCCTTGCCTGGACGGTGGACGTCCTCAAGATTCGGGAGGCGGATATGCCCCCAATATGGGGATTGGACATCACGCTCCACATCCGCTTCCTACGGGCATGCTGTGAGTCTGGCCCCCTGGCGGGTCTCGCTCTTTACTCACAAGCAGTCTTCTACACGCTCCTCCAGCTCCTTATTGTCGCTCCAATCCTCCTCCCTCTTCATATCCTGTATTCTCCCTCAAACGTCGACATCACCTCAATGATCCGCGCTGGTATATCAAGTCTCGTCGAGAGCTCCGGTTCAAAATGGCTTTGGGTACACTCGCTTCTGATCTGGTGGGTGACAGCGTGCTGGGTGTTGACGGTCATATGGATCATATGGGGCGGAGCGGGATATAGGCGTCGGGAGGTGGCGAGATTGAGGATCAAAGTGGAGGCGGAACGGGCAGCGGCAAAATCTGGGGGATCAGTGTCAAGCGGCACTGTAGGCGAGATGGGTCAGCTGGGCGATGGTAACCAGGAGGATCGGCCTCTCGAGGGTCGGATAGTGGGCGATGAGGTGGGAGAGGAGGAGCCGGTGGGAGTCAAGCAATATCGGACGTTGATGATTCTCAATATCCCGCCAGATAGTAAGTAGTATAGTCTCATGATCGGCCTCGACGAGACCTAGCTGACGATCTAGTGCGAGACGAAGAAACCATGGAAGACTACTTCAATCACTATGTCCACGAACATCGCCGTCGCGTCCTCTCCCGCACCCGCCCGAATCAACCCATCACCATTACCGCACCCAGCAGAGCCGCATCTCCCGCCCCGACACCCATTGGGCCCATGTCCCTCTTCAAGAAGGCGCCGCGGCCCGTCACCAGTGAGAAAGCTTCGCCTGACTCTAGTACCGGACTCGCAATGATGAGCGGGAAGGAGCGGATGTCGTCCTCGGATGGCAGCGACCCCGACGCGGAAGGAGATAGGGACATTGAGTTGGTGGATATCGATGATGAGATGGAGGGAGAAGTGGAGGATGTGATTTTGGTGCGGAAGTTGGGATCGATCATCAGTCTACGCGAGCGAAGATTGAAGGTGTTAAGGGAATTGGAGATGGTGGGTCAACACTTCCGGGCCCAGCAACTTTGGCCCAGTAGCTTTGAGCTGATCATGCAGGCCCACGTCAAGCTCGCTCGTCGCGTCCTGTCCGCTGTATCCGCCCACAAGAAACACCATCGACCCTCCCCAGATCCTTTCGTTGCCGATGCTGGGGCTCGTGATGGCTTGCCGGTGTCAGGAGAAGCAGCTGGACCGGGGAAACTGAGCAAAAAGGAACGGATGGACAAGCTTGTAGCGGCTTTGGGCGGATTTGTCGATGATGAGGACGAGCAGAAGGGCGAGGGTAGCGTGACGGTCTGGGAGGTTAGTCACCTTTGTACCTCGATGGCGGCTCAGCTGACAACCAGGCGATGCACAATCTACCTCGCCAGCTCCTCGACCCCTACCAGGCTCTCACCCATCTCAGCTTCACCTTCCGGTTCCGCAAGACCAACGCCCCACTCATCGACTACCTCACCACCAAACTTGCCTACCTCACTATCCTCCTTGACGACGCGCGCGCTAAGCCCATGTCGTCCTACCCCGCCTCGAGCGCCGCATTCGTCACATTCCGGGATGCTCGGACTGCGCGTTTGGCACTCAAGGTACTAGAGAACCATCCGAAGCGGAGACTTGCGTGCCATACTCAGCCTGCTCCAGATTGGGCGGAGCTGCTTTGGCCGCGTTTGGGTTTGAGCGTATACAGGAGCGAGTTTGTCAGGGGTTGGGTGGTTTTTATCGGAGTATGGGCCTTCACCCTAGCATGGGTAAGTCAAGATCAAGAGCCTTTGCCATCGCGTGTATCGCTGACCTTTACAGATCTTCCCAGTATCCCTCTTCTGCGCCTTGACGTCCCTTACCAACATCGCTGGTTTCCTCCCGCAGCTCAAATCCTGGTTAGACGCAAATCCAGACTCTGCATCGGCCATCACCTCCCTCGCTCCTGTTATCCTCGTCGCTCTGTTGACAATCGCTATCTGCCCCATTCTGCTGGTCATCGCCAACAAGGCGGAGACTATCGTTACCAGGCTAGGAATCCACAATAGTGTTCTGGAGAGATTCTGGAAGTTCCGTAAGCTGCCCAACCCAACGTGATCCGTCGAAAAGGGCTGAGCTGATCATTGTAGTGATGGTCAATGGTGTCGTCTTCTTCGCTGTAAGTCGTCATGTTACGAGAAGCCTTCTCGGAAGCCAGCTGACGGTATTCACAGATCGGCCAATCCGCCATCGAAGCATACCTCACCGCTTTTCAGACAAACGACTTTGACCCCCTGCCTATCGTCGCATCGGCATTCCCTACCGCTGCTCCGTACTTCGCCAGCTACATTTTGCTTCAGGTCGCCATCCAGCCATGCTTTGAGATCTTCCGCTTCGGGGTGAGCCCAGACGCCTCTTGCTGGTGAAGGACCAAGCTGACGAGATAGCTTCCGGCGATAGTCTACTGGTTCGGTAATAGGTGGAGCAATATTCCAAGACAGCGATCTTCGCGGACCGAGTAGTATGTACCGTTACTTGATGGGTATTGCGGGCACACTGCTGATCAGGCAGTCCTACTTTCAGTCACTTCTCCCAATTGCCCTATCAATGTACGTTTCTAAACCACACGGGGTCCAAGAAAGTCAGCTCATCACTGCAGTACTTGCTGGTGCAATTATGCATCTGTTCATGTTGTTGAAGTGAGTCAATCTGGCTTCGTGGCGGTGGCCGACTCGCGCTGACATTCCAGTCCCCTTGTCATACCTTTCAGTGAGCTGTCGCACATTCTCGTTCGGCCGCGCAGTAGCTGACCATGCACAGCCCTGATCTATTATGCTACTTGTTACAGTGAGTTGCGATATCCCCTTCAAGCCGGGCAGGGAAAGGCCGCTGACTCGCCAAGTCGTATGGAAACGCCAATTCGCCTACGTATACGGTCGCTTGTATGAGAACAACGGACGAAGATCTTGTATCCGGATCCTGCGGTATAGTCTCGATGCTCTGGCTTTGGGTCAAGTGAGTTGGATTACCACATATCCCCACTGGTATGGCAGCTGACAATCATCAGTTCGTCTTGTTCGCGTTCTTCATCCTGAACAGGGCGAAAGGAGAGGCGATCTCGACGGGAATCTTGTTCTTCCTTACCTTGGGTCTGAAACTCGTGTACGTCAGCGTCTGCTTTGTAAAGGGGATGTGTGCTGATTCTCAGTCTTACTCGTGCCATCAAACAACGATTCGACAAGTGAGTCGCTGGCAGAGGTCAAGCCAGACCAAGCTGATCATCCAGCCTCGAGATCGAGCAAGCGGACATTCTCTGCCCTCCAGTCCCGCGCGAAGACACCCACGACGGCTCGGTCGAGGATACTTTCGAGGTGCTAGACGAGCACGGAAAGCCTCACCCCCACACATCCCTCCGGATGCAGAGCAGGTTCCAGCTCTTCCGTGAGCGTTTGCACGACTACGTCCACAAGTACGCGTACGACTCGGCGGTCCTCCCTCTCGGATATATGAAGCCCATCCCGTTCGACTGGGTCTTCTTCGGCTGGCTCGATCGCTACTTCACTTATCCCCTCGAGCCGCAAACACTGTCACAACAAACGTCTGCATCTACTGTGACTTCGGCTCCTGTACTTGCCGCGGAAGCCATCGACGCCAAATCCAAGGCACTGGTCGCACCACATCACAAGCTCGTCCCTTGGGAGGATATTCCTCCGTATTGGCGGTCTCGCGGATATGACGATCAGCCAGCCTACACCGAGGGATACGACGACTTCCTCTGGCTTCCGCGGGATCCGCTGTCCACGCTGGATCTGGACGATACGGTCGAGATGCGGGCCAGTCTCACCACTTCCGCTGGTGGAGATGGGCGCTTTGCCGGCTTTGGCGAGGAGGATGAAGGGGAAGAGACGATGCACGAGGAGATTGGAGAGGGTTGGAAGGAGATCGTCGCCAACTCGTCGGTATCCGGTGCGGCAGCCACTTCGACCGCCTCTGAACGGGAAGACCTTGAGATGTCGCCTGTCGCGGACTCGGAGCGGCGTCTGCTGTCGGTCATGGACACCATCCTCCCTCCTTCGCCTGATACGGATACGGCCGAGGTCGAACTTCCACCTGACATCGGTACCGAGGTCGAGACTACCCCATTGCAGTCCATGCGGAAGGGAACTATCAAATTCGCGGACGGCGTCCAGTCAATCTTTCGCCGGCCAAGGGCGGATACGGCTCAGACGAGCCATTCCGAGGCTCTGACGATGCGGACCATCTCGCAGACCTCGACGCCGAGCGTCATTATCCCGCCACCGGTATCGGACTCGCCGGAACTCATACTACCGGAAGCTGGTCGACGGGAGATGGACGAGAGCTATCTCACGCCGCATCGGTCAGCGTCGCGTCCTCCTCCCGGCCGTATGCCATCCACTCCCGAGATGGAGGCAACGCCCACCACGCCAACCATCCTCCCAAATTCACCGATCGATCTCTTTTCGCCACCCAAATCTGCACCAGCAGCGGGCGGCTCCGGCTCCGGCTCGCGTATCACCTTTTCCTCTCAACACCAAGCGGAACTTGGCCGGTCCCCATCTGGTCGTCGACCCATCATGTCCCACCGCAACTCCCAATCTTCCGCCAACACCCCTATTGCCGGTACCTCTCGCTTCATCTCCCCTGTCCCTGCCTCAGCCACCGCGCCGTCCATCCGGTCGGCCTCGGCGTTCTCTCACCAGCTCAGAGATCGGTCTTCGTCGAGTCTGTCGGCGGCACAACAAGCGCTACTACGGGAGGTGATGGAGGAAGAACGGATAGCGAGTCAGTCTGCACGGGAGGCGGAGAAGGCCGGTCAGAAAACGGAGCGGGAAGAAGTTCGGAAAGAGCGAGAACGGTCAGGCGGTCAGCCGCTGCCCCCTGCTACGCCTACTATGGCAAGTGGGGAAGCTAGACGACGGCCAAGTATATCAAGCTCTACCGCCGCAGGAATGGGCAGTGGGAATGTCAGACGGGCGGCTTCTTCGGCGCGAGCAGGCGGGATGGGCGGAGCGGGTATGGTCGCGCTAGCTGCGAATCGGTTTGCAGCGGGCAGAAGGCGCGGTCAGACATTGAGCGGGCACCAGACGGTCATTGGACTAGGGGAGAGGGAGAGGAGTGGGAGTGGAGCTATGGCGGGTAGAGAAGGGGGAGAGGGGGATAGGATACCGACGTCGGCGACTGCGCCGAGGACGGTCATTCAGGCTCAGCTGGAGCAGCCAAGAGTTGCCGTTGGAGTTAGCGGAGATACGTCAGGTTCGTCTCGGACGGGCGCGGCGGGTGGGGTAGGTGGTCTGGCGGGAATGGGTACTTGAGATGGAATGTCAGGAAGATGGCTAGGAAAATAGTCTCGGAGACTCATTCGATGTTTTTAGATGTTATCCCGAACGGGGAGGATGTAGCATAGGCAAGGTGTTTACTCAAGTCATACTGACTAATTTGACGTACTCAGTTGCTACTGGTGGCTTCACAGCGATAAGCTGCTGCGCTGGCGAAGTCGCTGACCCAGTAAACGGGTTCAGCCAACAGTCGACGCTGACTAGCACCGGATCACAAGGCTAATCGCCACTTCGACAGGTGAGTTGCTGTCTATTCGATTGGGTTTCCTTCGCTTCCGTTGACTTTGCGTCAAGGTCCGGCCGAGTACAGCTGGGTTCTAAAGCGGCCATGCCTCTTACACCAACAGTCGTAAGTGATGCAAGATCCTTACAAGCGATACCCCTTTGTGTCGCCATGCTGTAGCGCATTCAGGGCAACGGTGATCAGCTCCGGGATCCCTCGCAGGTCTGAGTGACATCAAGACCTCTTTCATCCCCTTATTACCTTACCCCTGTTTTGTCACCTCACATCGCATATCAAGCAGCAGTCTTACAACAGAACAATACGATGGAGGATACTTACAGTATTGATCGCGAGAAGATGTACGTGCGGATCGGAGATACTGGCGAATGGCAGGAGTGGGACGCCAAAGACGCGCTGGATCAGTATCACCGCAAGAGAATGGATCTTGCCGGCCAACATGAAGTCGCCCAGGCAAGTTTCTCCATCATGGTGAAGCACCGACTCTGGAACAAGGCTTTGGAGACGAGGAAACGTCTTGATACCGTCACTCAAGCTCGGCAGAAGTGGGACGCGGACGCCATCAATCTCGAGACGCTTTACGACAGGGCCGAGGGGGGGCAGATACGGCGCACGGCCAGCAGCAATCAGTGGAGAAGCCGTGAACAAGGAGAGCAGCTGAGGTGGGGCCAGCCAACGCTGCTTGCCGGTCACTCCATGCTGCCGATTGCCCTCCGTGCGTCTCGACACCCCAGTCCCCACCCATCAAGCATTACGGCGAGGGTGAGTGAGCCATACGTGATCGAAGCGGAAACGCAAAGCTGAGTGAGCACAGACTCTCCTGAATCGGGTCCCAACGGAAGTGTCCCACAACAATGGCTGGCACAGCGCAGAGGCACCTCTCATCATGCACTGGGCTGACCTCGATTGCACAGAGCAGATCTGCGAGCCCATCAGCAACACCCAGACGGTCCAAGACATACTTCGAGCTCTCAGCAGCACCGTTTTGGGTGAAGACCATCCCGTCATCCTCCGCAAAGGTTCACTTTCTGACTCCGAGGCGGACGCACTTGAGCGGCTGATCAACTCTGGCGGCAGACAGTATGACAAGCCTCCCAGGCTTGAAGATGTGCTGAAGACGACAGGGTATCCCTTCTTCGGGGTGGAAGTCTACCAAGCGCCCTTCAACGACTCGAGCAAAGTGACTTCGACTTTCCATCCCGGCGGAGTCGACTGGATTATTGGCTGGGCGGAAAGTGAGCTGAATTGCACTCAGCAAGAATGGTCACAGAGGCAGTCCCATGGCACTCGCAACCGACCGAGGTTGACTCTGGCCGTCAAGATCTCGAGCCTGTCGCCGCCTTCCGTTGACGTGACTCCTGCGGGTCCCGTCTGAGTCGTTCCACGCATCCCGAAGCCCGTCGACAATATATATGGGAACAAACTGTGTGCTTTGTACCTGATCACATACCTGTGTATGCATCGCTCCGTCCACATCGAATTGACAGGGCTCCTGGACCTCCCAGATGTGAAGCCGAGGCCCAGGTGCGCATGCCACTTTATCGCTTCTCAGCTTCGATAACCTCCTGACTGCTATCTTCCGGTGACGCTGCCATAATGTAGACCTCAGTTCTTCCATCGTACGAAGGTCTGATGCCCTGCGATCCTGCGAGACACAGACGTCAACGTACGAACGCGGGTGCCGCCACCCGCCACAAACGATTCGCCACCCACATATCACGCACGGATCTCGCTGCAACCTTGTTTGATGCCGTTTTTCGATCTCAGAATCGCGCCTCCTTTCTCCATCTCCTCTCTATTCCTCTCTCTCTTTCTACTAGTACTATACACAGTCAGAGCCATCATACATACCGCCCGCAGCTCAGACACAAGCCCATATAATTGCTAGACACGAATTTCCCCTGCTCGAATACCCCCAACAACCCCCTTACACGCCTACATCGGACCACCGGTCCCTAGCCGCCCAAGATCCCGTCGAACGCCCCCGACTTGTTGCTTCTCGCACATTCTCCTAGAGCCTTTACCGGTTCACATACGCTCGACAGATCAGATCCTCCTGGTAAGTGGGAGCCGATCTCGGTTCAGAAAGAGTTCAGATTGGGTGGATGACCTGGGTGGTACCGGAGCTGAGTGGACGCCACCAAGGGTGATAGAGGCGTGTTGGCCTCACGTCATGAGGATCCCAACGACCGCTGCCCGATAGTACCAGAGCTTTTGCTGATCTTGACAGAAAGAGTTCATGCTTTCAAACCCCCATACTCAACAGACACCGGATACTCAGTCCAAGAAAATCATACACCGTTTTCGGTCCTGAACACCGTGAGTTCTGTGACGGATCGTATGGGATCGTACCTGATAATATAGTCGTAACATCTGCCCAATATGGCCACCGTCAATATCCGTCGTAACGTTGACGACAAGTTTTACGTATGTCGAGTCTTGCCTTGAAGCGAATGTGGCTGACTTCTGCAGCGATACAAGATGCCCTCGCTGCTCACCAAGGTCGAGGGTCGCGGAAACGGTATCAAGACCGTGATCCCCAACATGGAGGATGTCGCACATGCGCTCGCTAGGCCACCGACCTGTAAGTATTGATCATGCAGCATGCGTGGCAGAGCTGATTCTGCAGACCCGACCAAGTTCTTCGGCTGCGAGCTCGGTGCTCAGACCACCTTCGCCAACGACCGCTACATTGTCAACGGGTCGCACACTGCCGAGCGCCTTCGCGAGCTCCTCGACACCTTTATCGAGAAGTTTGTTCTCTGCCCCTCGTGCAAGAACCCCGAAACCGAGTTGATCATCACCGGCAAGGGCAACAGCGAGGCGATCCACCGGGACTGCAAGGCCTGCGGCAGGCAGAACGACATCGACATGCGCCACAAGCTCACCACCTTCATCCTCCGCAACCCGCCCAAGAAGGACAAGGGAAAGAAGGGCGGCAAGCAGATGACCGCCACGGCGAACGTTGGCGGTCCCATGGTGTTTGAGAAGGGGACGAACGGGAACGTGAATGCCGAGGATGGGTCGGACGACGGTGCTCAGTCGCCTGATATCGGTCTCGCTGCCGCCGTCCCGACCAGCGGGACCGACATTGACGACGCGCTCGGCCGGTCCGACCCGATCCTCGGCAACCCCGATGCCGCGGAGGAGGTGTCCAAGAAGCTCGAAGCCCTCAACGTGGACGAGGATGACGAGGAGGATGCCAACTCGCCGTACACGGCTCTCGGATCTTGGCTCAAGGAGAACAAGACGGCCGATGACGCGGCTGTCATTTCCAAGATCAAGGAGTTGGAGATTGTCGGCAAGCACAAGGTCCTCCTTGAGATTGGCCAGCATCTCTTCACCGATGAGATCGCCAAAGAGATCGGGAAGCGTGTCTCTCTCCTCCAAGTCGTGAGTGATCTCCTCGATAGCATTGAGATTGGGCTGACGGTATAGCTGGTCCAGGCCAACTCTGAGAAGCACCAGAAGTCCCTTCTTGGCGGTATCGAGCGTCTCCTCGCCCTTTCGCCTCAATCCGAGCAGCTTCTCGCCGCTGGCACCACCTCCAAGGTGCTCATGGCGCTCTACCAGGCCGATATCCTCGAGGAGGAGGTCGTCCGACAGTGGGGCACCCATGTCAGCAAGAAGTATGTCGACAAGGACAAGAGCAAGAAGGTCAGGAAGAGTGCGGATGCTTTCCTCAAAGTGAGTACCTTTCGGATCTGTCCAGTTTTTCTCGCAGAGCTGACATCTACAGTGGCTCGACGAGGCCGAGGAGTCTTCGGAGGAGGAGGACGATGAGTAGTTTTTCGGAGTCAGGTCCGGTCCAAGCTGTATCTCGAGTTCCCTTTGCTAGCCGTCCGATGTGATGTCGAATAGTCTACGCTATGTATAAGTGTGTCTTCATTCCACCTATATGCGATGCGTGAGGTCCTAGGATCGGCTGCGACTCGCAATTAGGCCTCGCAGTCCTGCTCAAGACCAGTAGGCGGTGGCGATGCGCACGGGCATGATTTGGGTGGTGTCGCGTCGGTTGGTCGCGTTGATTTTGGGTCGCATTCCTCAACAATCTTTTGACTTCTCTTCGTTCTCTCCACTGTCCTAGTCAGCCCAACAGCAGACTATAATTATCGCCAGGACCCCTATAGCTATCAGTACCTCCATTAGACTACTTCCTCTCGGCATCAAGAAGCCAGACACGATGGCGAACCCTCTCCAAACCCTCTCGACCACCTTCTCGGCCTCGATTTCTCCTGACACCAACATCAGGCGACAAGCCGAGGCTCAGCTAAAGCAAGGCGAGGCGTCTCCGGGCTTCCTGCTCTTGCTGCTGCAGCTTGTGAACTCTGGAGAGGCAGACATCACCGTTCGACAGACAGCGGGAGTGTATTTCAAAAATGCTGTCAAGCGTCTTTGGGCTGGAGAAGAGGTGAGCTCAGACTTTGATCGTTGATCCTTGTGCTCCTTCCAAGACATCTGGAGTATGGGCTGACATGAACCAGGATGTCCAGATCGCTGCGCAGGACAAGGCGCAAATCAAGAGCCAGCTTGTACCAGTCATGATTGCGCTTGGTACACCTGCGACTGCTCGGTTGCAGAGCCAGATCAGCGAGGCGTTGAGCACGATTGCGACTCTGGACTTCCCGGACGACTGGGAGGGGCTGATCGATGTGAGCTAGCAGAGGAGGAAGTCCTATCTTCGGGAGCAGCAGCTGACTCGCTAGGAACTGGTCAACAGCTTGACCCCGGATAACTTTGTGGTCAACAACGGTGTCCTCGCCACCGCCCACTCCATTTTCCGCAGGTAAGCTGAGAGCGTTCCAGACAGAGCCACGCAAGCTGACACGCCCAGATGGCGATCTCAGTTCCGTACCGACAAGCTCTATTCCGAAATCAACCTCGTCCTCTCGAAGTTCTGCGAACCCTACTACCAGCTGTTCATGCACGTCGACCGCCTCCTCTCATCCACCGAACCCCTTCCCGCCAACGCCTCACTGCCTCTCCTTGCGCAATCGCTGCAGCTCCTTGTCCAGCTCTTCCAGGACCTCAGCAGCCAGGATCTGCCGCCTTACTTCGAGGACAACTTGACGGTGTTTATGGGAACGGCGGATGGGAGCCAGGAGGGATGGTTGAGGAAGTATCTGAGCTGGGAGCGGGCGGAGCTGAAGGGCGATGTGAGTTATCGAGCTCGCGTCCCGCTACACGGACCAGGAAGCTCACGTCTTAGGACGATGACGAGGCACCTGGACCACTCCAGAAGATCCGCGCGTCTATATGCGAGATCGCCGAGTTGTACGCCCAAAAATACCTCGACGCGTTCCCGCAGTTGGGTCAATTCGTCCAGTCGGTATGGAGCATGTTGACCACTATTGGGTCAGGGACAAGGGAGGATATCGTGAGATCATGTCCACCGAAACTTCCGCGTGCTGAACTGACATGATAGCTGGTATCTCATGCCCTCCGGTTCTTGGCGGCGGTCGTCAAGATGGGGAGTCACAGGGACATGTTCTCGTCGCCTGAGACACTGAAGGCGTTCTGCGAGAAGATCATCCTGCCAAACATGAGCCTGAGACGTGAGTTGACGCGCCCAGGTCGTCGCGTGCAAAGCTGACGCATCAGAACACGAGGAGGAGATGTTCGAGGATGACCCGAACGAGTACATCCGGCGAGATCTGGAGCCTGCGACAGGTACATCCGCTCCGGGGCCTCTCCAGAAGTCAAAGCTGACGTCGATAGATAGCGAGACCAGACGACAGGCAGCGACTGACTTCACACGGGCATTGATGGAGAACTTTGAGTCTGAAGTGACTGGAATCATCCAGGGCTACATCACCCAGTACCTCCAGGTCAGCTTGCTCTTGCTCACGCGTCTGAGGAAGCAGGAAGCAGCCAAGCTGACTTTCGCAGGACTACGCTTCCAACCCGGCAGACAAGTGGAAGTCTAAAGATACCGCCATCTACCTTCTCACCTCTATCGCTTCAAGAGGATCAACACAACAGGTGAGCTGGAACTTAACATCCAGTCCATGTAACAAGCTGACTCTTTCAGCTCGGTGTGACATCGACTAATGTCCTTGTCGATGTCGTGCAATTCTTCGGCCAGAACGTCTTCGCCGACTTGCAAGCTGCCGAGGGGTCTGTACACCCTATTCTCACAGTTGACGCCATCAAATTCCTTTATACATTCAAAAATCAAGTGAGTTGACACAAGCCTTCCATGTTGTGATCAGGAACTATCAGCTGATCTCTGTAGCTCACAAAAGACCAACTCCTCTCGGTCCTTCCTATCCTTGTTCAGCACCTCGGATCCAGCAACTACGTTGTGTACTCTTACGCTGCTATCACGATCGAACGGATCCTGTTTATCAAGGTCAACAGACAAGCACAGTGAGCTAGCCAAGACTCTACCTTCCGACGCGCTTTAGCTGATGCACCAGATTTACCCAGACCGACATTAGGCCGTTTGCACAAGACATCCTGATGGCCTTATTTGCGAATATCGAACGAGGGGGTACGCCGGAGAAGATTGCGGAGAATGATTACTTGATGAAATGTAAGCTCGTCCGCACCCATAGACGAGAGTACAGTCCAGCTGACATTCAGGTGTCATGCGGGTTATCATTATCGCCCGTCAGACCTTGACTCCGGTCTACGAAGGCATCTTGACTCGTCTCGTCAACATCCTAGGCGAGATCAGCAAGAACCCAAGTAATCCCAAGTTCAACCAGTTCTGCTTCGAGGCCGTATCTGCATTGATACGGTAAGCTGATCCAATCTCTTGATGCAACTGGACCCAGCTGACAAGTCTACAGATTCGTCTGCGAGGGTACTCCTTCTGCTCTGCCCACTTTCGAGGCCGCCCTCTTCGGCCCTGCCCAGGTCATTCTCGCCCAGGACGTTGCGGGTAAGCTGTTGTTCCCTGATCGTCGTCCATGAATCATAGCTGATTTAGACAGAATTTATCCCATACATCTTCCAGATCCTCTCCCAGCTTCTCGAGCTCCACCCGGCTTCCGAGGGTCTTCCCGAGGCATACCAAGCGCTCCTCACACCACTCCTCTCGGCTGCTCTCTGGGAGCAGCGCGGCAATATCCCCGCTCTCACCCGCATATGGCGTGCGCTCCTCGTGCGCGGGGGCAAACTCATTTCCGAAGGTGGTCAAGTGCAGGGTCTGCTGGGTATCTTCCAGCGGCTCATAGGGAGCAAGATCAATGATCTGTACGGGTTCGAGCTGGTTCAGGGGTTGTACGAGTTCTTGCCACTGTGAGCTGCCTGCTAATTATCCTGCGGGAAAGAGGCTGAAGCTGACGATGCAGTGAGGTCATGCGGCCATACAGCCAGACCATCTTCATGCTCCTTCTCAACCGACTCCAGAGCAAGCCATCGACCCAGTACACGCTGAGCTTTGTGTACTTTGTCTGCTTTGTCAGCGCGCTGGATCACGTCGGACCGGACTTGGTCATTGGCGTGCTGGACGCGATCCAGCCTGGGTGAGTCAGAAGAACGCACTGAGTTGGAAGCATCGCTAACTCTTGCTTAGGCTCTTCGGGAACTTGCACACTGGTGTCGTACTCGCCAATACCCAGAAGATGCCCATCAAATGGCGCCGAGTGGCCGAGATTGGCTTGACGCGGATGCTTTCCGCCAGTGATCTGATGTTGACCGAGGCGAACCAGCGACTCTGGTAAGCTGCTTTATGCCCGTAATGGTAAATATCAGCTTACACGATCCAGGGCACCCACCCTTATCGCCCTCATGGACCTCTTCAACCTTCCCCAGGACCTGACCTACAACGCCGCAACCAACGGTACCTCAGGCGACCTGACCGAGCTCGACCCCGAAGAATCAGGGTTCCAGTCCTCCTTTTCCAAGCTCGGCGCATCAGAATCGGTCGTCCATGATCCGTTCATGAGGATCCCGGAAGCGAAGCGGTTCGCGTCGGCCGAGATCGCGCGGGCGAGCAGGGAGCGTGGGTCAGGCTTGATTAAGCGGTTGTTGGATTCGGCGAGGGGCGCGGAGGGGGGAGCGGTGGAGAGTATCGAGCAGTACATGCTCAGCGTTGGGTGAGTTTAATCTTCGCCATGATGTCAAACGGAAAGACAGCTGACATGTATAGGGATGTTGTCTCCGCCTAGGTTCTCAACTCAACTAGACTTTAAGCTTCAAGGACCATTCTTGCCCATACTTCATAGAATGCAAATCTTAGACGACTACACATCCGTGATGGCCAGTAGTGAGATAAACAAATCAGATCATGTTGCTACAGGATTTCGCATCTCGCATCAATGTTCATGGGCATCGCATCTATCTATGTGATTTTGATGTGGCGCAAATCGTCACCAGAGAACAGCAGACCCGCTGCTGCCTCTTTTCCGTCACCTCGTTCACTCCATCTCGTAGCTTTTCATCCCCTCCCCAGCACTACTGCCGCCGAGCTACCGGGCCCGACGTCATCTCGATCGAGTCGCCCGGCTGACCATGCGCGATCCTCGTCCGGGGCGGGCCGACTGTGGGACCGTTGTCGAACGGCTGATGAGACGAGGTAGAAACCGCAGGGGTCATTGTGCCTGGCGTACCGGGTCGAGTGGGCCCGCCGAACTGCGAGGCTTCTTCGTCGTCTCCCCAGATGTCTACTTTATCAGCTCGTGCCCGCGCGCTGAGCAAAGTCTGGACGGATAAACGTACCTGCTGAACTGTCATTGACAACCTGTCGGCGATCCATCAGGCCCACACCGGCAGTAGTGGCCGCGTGGAAGGTCGGAGGCGGGGATTCAGGCTTTGACGATGATGCAGGGCCAGCAGCAGCAGTGGTCGCAGCGGCGTTGACTTGGTCCCATGGGACCACTGTTGAGTCAGCCTGGGTACGTTTCGGTAGTGACTCTTGAGCTGGCGTGATTTGACGTACTGGTGTACCGCACTGGGTCTGCAGGAGCAGGTGCCGGATCACCCGCCCCAGCCGGGCCCCAAATTTTCAGATCCGACAGACTAAGCGTCAGCTCTTCTCGGAGTGTTTGATACTGGAACTCAAGCCAACACTCACGTCATCTTCAAAGCGCAAATCCACTTGTTTCGTCGCTGCACCTTCAAAGCTCCCTGCTGCCAATTACTCTTGTACTTGATATCCGCCTTGAGCACCATCTTGCCCTGTCCGGGAATATCGTCAACAATGACATCAAATATAGGGAGATAATCGCGCCCGTTCTCCTTGACGAAGATGAGCATCCGGCCGCGTAGAGATTGGAGAGCTTCAAACGTCGTGTCGAAGGCGACCTCGAAGGAGAAGGACTCTGAAGTGGGACCGGAACGGCGGACTGAAGTTTCAGCCAGGAGCTGAATTGTAAATAGACATGTGCTTACCGTTCTCGATGATCTTGGTGGCTAGAACATTGTGCCCAATCCAGACAAATTTGCCGTCTACCCGCTTGAAGTTGGTTGAGAGCAGCTGCATCTTGGCCACGGTGTACGATTGGCCCTATCTGATCAACACGCGAACAAGCAAGGAGAAGAAAGGGCTACTCACATCGATGTCCACTCGGTCTCCGACGTCGAAGGGATGCTTGACGAAGAGGAAGATGCAAGCGAGGAGGATCTCCTGCATAGTCGTACCAATCAGCCACGACAGTCCAAGCACAAAAGTTCCGGCGGAAGTGACGAAGGAGGTGAGCCGTGTAGTGACCATGGCGGCGAGGATGAGAATGACAATGACGGCGACGATGACCATGAAGATATCGTCGAGCCTGGACGCCGTCAGCTGGTTTCTCCGTCATGATTCGCCAAGGAGATTCTAAGCTGACCGTCGAACTGCACCATCCAGATCCCGCATGCTAGCTTCCAAGCTCAAGCGCTCGCGATGGAGAGCAAGAACAGCGCTCTCAAGCTCATCTCTGGTGGCATCGCCGTTTCCATCGACGTCAAACACGCTGAAAGCGCCTTGGGCGGTCTCAAGATCCGGGAAACTAGGCAGTCAGCGTGAGCCCGCATCGCACAAGGGGCCGATACGTACAATCGGGCGATGTCTTGGATATCGAGCGCAGCAGCACCAGGCGCACGGAAAGAGTAGAAAAGTCGGCGAGCGAGCTATCCTGTAAGCTTATTACCCGATAACGGAGGAGTTGAGCGTACCGCTTTCGACTTGTTCGCAGAGCTCAGTGCGGCGGTGACCTTGTTTGCCGGTGAATTTGTCTGCAGTACACTCTGCCCAGCCATCTCAGACGCGACGTTACCGAGCGCCCTATGCAAGTCAGCTAAGCTCCCAAAGGTAGGTTGCAACACAGCTTACGTAGTAGTTGTCTGAGCTACCTCTCGAAGACCCCTCAGCGCCTTCCGAATGACCACCTTGGGCACCTGGGATCCCTTGGTCCTGCGCGAATCGGCGTCGGTAAGGGTATCAGATCGACCTGGAATCTGTCCGATAATCAGCTACATTCTAGGTCTATGCTTCCTTTGAGGTAACACTCACGTCGTGCGAATTCATGTATAGTGTAGTCAGTGCCTTAATCTGGAACTTCTGGTCGGCCAAGCGGTCGGCGTAGGAGTCCTGGTGGAATTGAAGGCTACAATGTGAGCTGACGGCCTACTCGGGGTACAAGGAGCTTTGGAACTCACGCGATGAGCTGCACGATGAGCTTCTCGATGCCGAGGACGATCGAACACAGGAAGAAACCGAATAGGAGGTTGACCATGGTCGTCAAATTGGTACGCGAATTACTGTCCGCACTCCCGCCATAATGGTTGATGATCAAAGGCGTGAAAGATATCCAGATGGCGGCCGCCCAAGGGACGAGCTTGGCGTATCTACCCATCAGCATCATCCTAGCGCCCGCGAAAGTGCCCAAACACTCACCTTCCGAGCGCCCTGATGACATCCGTGTACTTCCTCGCACTCGGTACGATGCTTCCTACTGTACTCCTCCAGACACCTGGAAGAATCAAGAACGCCGCCGTACTGGCCCAGAAACCGCCCCAGAGCACACTGAGCCAGATGGACCACCAAAGAAGTCCGACCTCCCAGACCACGGCGCCCGGGACGGATGCAAGGGCAACGATACCCGGGATCCAAAGGATGGCGAGGATGGGAACGATGTAGAAGATCCAGCGGACGATGATGGAGGAGTTGAGCGCCCAGTAGTAGAAGCGCGAAAACTTAGTATAAGCGACTGCAGACTGAGGGCAAAGAAGGGACTCACCTTGTTGGTACCGACATCGCCCTCAGCAAAGCGCAGATTCGCATCCTTCGCCTGACTGGGGTTGTATTCCTCCCATTCCGGCCGTTCCCCGAGCAAATCCCAAGATTGAGACCTGCCCGTCTTGGGCCGCTTCTTCTTCTCCGCCGACCCTGGGCCGCCCGAGTCGACGGACTGCGAGCTATAGTTGTTGCTCTGCATTGGGAGGAAGCTGAATGGACGTCGGCGAGGAGTGGTGGAGCCGGTACCAGTCTGCGGGGTGGTAGAGCGAGATTCGGACGCGTTTGCGTTCTGTTGAGGAGTAGAGGTGTCGTTTAGTGGGACTGACATGTAGTTGCGGTCGTTGCGCTCGACGTGGGGAAGCTGTGGTGAAGGAGGGTAGTGAACGCTTCGGACAGGGTTACCAAGAGGGGTGTTGGCTGCTGACGAAGGCTGAGTCGCGCCAGGAGGAAGGAAATAGCCTGAATAATCAGATCCAGCGCGTTCAAGGTGGGTAGCTTTACTTACCTCCTGATTGCGAGATAGCTGCAGGTGGAGGAGGTGTCAATGGAGTTCTGGAATCGTGTCGTGACAGCGGTACAACGTCTAGCGTTTCCGGATCGTTTCCGTCAAATGATGGGTCTCTGCAATTGATCAGCTTTAAGCTCAACCCCCAAAGGGCCCTGCATATACTTACCGCACTTGTATAGTTGGTGCGGCGCCGAGATAGTTTCTGCCTTCCATCTGTCCAGCAGGAGATGAGGACGAGCCTTGATTGTCGTACCTGTGCTGATCTGCACGCCCGCGTGTGTGAGGAGCTGGGGAGGAACGTGTATTTTGCTATACAAAGAGTGATCAGCTACAATATGATGCAGAGCCAGAGATATGATAAGGAGGGATGGGCAGTGTGTGGAGTAGAGTATTAGTGGAGCTTTTTATAGGGAGCCAAAGGAGGGGGCGACGGATCTGAAACGGTGCTAGGGGTAAAAATGGGGTTGTTGTGCTCCCACTCCTTGTCACGGCGCAAGCTACGACGATACTGCATCACTTACATAGTAATCCGTTCTTCTCACCCGCTCATCATTCGGGCTTCCACGTCCAGACATGTTGGGCCTTATACACAAAGGTGATTACGAGGTGGATGCAAGCGAAAGCGAGGAGCTAGGTCACCAAGTGCCGCCGGGAGAAAGATTTCACTCGGAGGAGACCGATGGGTGCGTGAAATGGTGTCTTCGTCGAATGTAAAGCTTCGAGTCCTTGATGTCGTGTTACAACTCGGGACAATGGGTAGCGGAAGGCAAGATGTCGTGTCAGGAGTGCACCCTAGCTGCTTGAGCAAGAAAAGTCGTGGTCGGAGGACCGTTACTCGACCATCATGAGGTCATCATCTCCCCGCGTTGCTGTGAACGAGGGTCCGCGTTACGTTCGACTCAGGGACTACGCAGGCTAATGGTCCGGGGCCACTTGAGGCTGCACTGCCTCTGACTCTCTTTCGCGACTTCGCGCATGATGATCCGGATAGGGGTCGATCTTTTGGAGCACTGACAGCAGCGCTCCACCTGGACTCCACACCAAAATAGCTCCATCGCTGGAGACAACCCGCCTGCTGATTTCCCCGTGTGTTTCAGACATCGGGGACAAGTCAACCAAGCGAATGGATGACATCGTTCCAGATCTACAGCTTACAGATCACGCTATGTCCCGTCATCTCCCCCGACCAGACTGCCTACCTTCTCCTTGCCCCAGTCCAGGCCCTCCTGTAAGCCCTGCCCCCCTTGCTTTGCCTTCTCCAGCAGATCCGCGCTGTGAAGGTGCCACGGCGAGGGCAGGAATTGTCGTGATCGGAGAGCCTGCTCGGCGGTCGTCGAACGGACCAAGTAGAGCGCCGCAAGGATGGTGATGATGATAGCAAGGACTTGGAGTGCGAGTGATGTGTAAGCGAGAGCTAGTCCTGATCAGCCTTATACCTTCACGAAAAGCTATGGAGCGACTCACTTTTAGTCTTCGACTCCAGCTTCCATTGATACTCGCCGACCTCCTCGTCCCAGCCTACCTGTGAGGGCTCGACAGTAGGATTGAAGGTTACGAGCAAGCTGGCGTAGTTGTGGGCATCGCTTCCGGACATGTGTCGGTGCTTCACCCCATCGTCGTATATGTCTTGAACCGCGTAGACGGCGGAGAAGAGACCGATGAACATGATGACGAAGCGCAGGCCAACAGAGTCGGCGATGAGCCATCCAGGAAGGATACATCCGATTGATATGAAAAGGGCAATAGAGATGATCCTATCTCTGTTAGCGCATGCTTCACGATACAATTGCACGAGGATTAAGGGTACTGACAATTCCAATGACACCATTTTGTCTTCGTACACCTGATCCAGCTCGTCCTCCATCCGCTTCAGCCGCAGGCGATCTGCTACAATGTCATCACCCCCTGTCGCCTCCTTGTGCTGCGCTGCAATCTTCTCGTACAGTGCGATAGCCTCTTCGTGCCGTTTAAACTGTTCCGCGCGGTACTTGTCCAGTTTTTCCCTGCGCTTGGTGATGAATTTGAGGCGATCTTGAAGACTGCTACCGGAACCGCAAAAACTGCTGATCCAATAGGTGATGAGATCCTTGTTGTATCCGATGGTAGATTTGGCGCGAACGGAGCAGCAGATTACCAACGCGATGAAGAGGTATCCGACCAATGCTAGTGCAGCCCATTTCGAGCTGAATGATCAGCCGAGCTGTCGCTTCAAGGTCCTTGGTTGGACAAAAGGAGGATGACGCTACGGTCGACTCACGCGAGGGCATCAAAGCCAGCTCCGAGCAAGGCGCAGCCGATCAAGCAGCTCCCTCTGTAAAGTCAGAGACCCGCTGCAAATGCATGGCACCAATGACTCACAGATACCCCGCTGCCAGTGTCGGACGATACGCGGGCTGACGAGCCGGGGGCGGCTTGAAGTGGGTCTCCCCTCCTTCTCCCTCTGACGATGTTAGTTATTGCCGTGCCGAAATTTGATATTAGGCACAACTCACTGTTCACGCTGATGTAAGCGACAGTCCCACACCTGACATTCAGCTGTCATATCGCTCAGGGTGCAGTCGGCACTGGTGTAGTGACTTACGTGGCCATCCCGACGATCGCATGAGACATCTTTTACAGTCAGCTTCGCCGCCCTCGGTTGGTGCTCAAACAGAATATTACCTCGTGGAATAACACGGTAAGAATCTTGAGTGGCAGCAGGACGTTGAGCCTGCGCTTCACCGATACCGTCGTCTCCACGGTCTGTCTTCTGCCCTTGACCACCGTGTCCTCGTACGTAACCGTATTCTTGGAACAGCATGGTAGAGAGCGCCTGAAGTTCAGCGGCGGACTCAGACCATTGATCAGACACTCACCACAAGGCAAGGATAATGACTAGCGATATGCCGATCCAGACTAAGGAGTATCTGGCTGCATCGGTGAGGTCGGAATACGCGGGGAATCCCGACTGTGCATCGGAATCGGATCCGGTAGTTGTATCGCTCATCGCGAAGGTCGTGCACAGGTGTGCCTTGAATCAGTCAGGCGATGTACAGCGTCCTGATTGATGCACTGATGGTTAAGGCTTGGAGCAAGCCATCCGGGGCGCTGATTTCAAAGGATCTCGGGGCGGTGAGGCCTGGAGTACGGGTCAGCCTGGATGAAACCAACAAAGGACGCCTCGAGTGAAGCTGTACCTACCTATGCACAGTATACAAACTCTCTAAGTGCCAGGTCACGGTGCAGGCTTAGCGAATAGCGCACTGATGACCTCGTCCAGGATCTTCAGGATGAGATGTTGATTGAGCCGCTTATCTTGGAGCACCCCAAACACCCTTCGAGCCGCGCGTCGGGCGTTGCTCCGGCCTATCATGTTCGCTGCAATGTCTATATGCATCAGCTATAACATCCGGAGCTCGACTGCGGATGAGCTCACCTGGTATGAGCAGAGCAAGCTTTTTGGACGCTCGATGGCGCGTTGCGAGCTTCTCGGTCTCGTTGCGCTCCTCGCTGGGCGGCCGGCGCTCTCCATCAGGAAAGAGCATATCCTGAAAAGAGACCAGAAGCTTCTCCAAGCTGTCTGGATGGGCGACTCCGCGTAGCGTGTCTCGGACTTTTCTGCTTTGATCAGCTTAGCTTGTTGTTTGATCGAAGGAAACGCACCTCTCGATCGTACTGCCCAGGAATTGCTGGAGGATAACGACGATAGCTTGCCGACGCAGCCAGCTGCTCTCGTCCAGGTCGAACATCTCGATGAAGAGATCACAGATCGGCGCAGTGAAGACCGTACTCCCAGACTCTGCCTCTCCGCCCGCCTTCAAGGCTCCTCCGGCAGTCCCGCCGATCTCTGGACTACCAGTCAGACCACCCATCCCGCCCTTCAAGAGAGGCGGGATGAAGGATGACCCATAACCGAACAGTTCTCCGCCCAGCTCCACTACTTCCCCTAGCCCGCCAGCGACGTCGCTGAATTGCCGGTTCAGCGTCGAGTGGATCATATCCAGCATGGATGGACCGAGAGGCGTCTCGTCCAACGTTGTGGCGACGGACTTGTAGAGAGATCGGACGATGTTGTGGGGTGCGAGCGACGCAACACTGGCTGTTTGGCCAGGGAGCGGGGCGGAGGGGAAGGAAGCGGATGAGCGGGAGAGGAAGTTGCGGAGGATGTCCGAATTGCAAAGGCTTGCTGAAGTCACGAGAGACTGAGCATCAGCTTCTGAGCGCGAGCTCCAGTGGGAGAGCTGACCTTTAGGTACCGTTCCAGTCCTTGCCTTCTTGACTCCATCAGTCCCGCCGATGTGCTCGGACCCAGCTTCTTTCCGGGCAACTCCACCAGCCCCCTGATCTCCCTCATCAACTCCCTATCCGCCGATCCCGCCGCCCAGTCTTTGACCGCCTTGTCGAGCTCAAAGAACTGGTTATACCGCCTATACACCACCCACGACCCCTCCACCGACCGTCCATCCTCTCCCATCTGGCTGACCCTGACCGCATACCGCGCGACCTGCTTCCCCTCTGTTGCATCGACAGTGACGTGTGCACTCGGTACCGAGACCACCGTACGACCAGGGACGAGCCGGTTCTCCTCCTCCTGTTGTTCGTATTGCGCCTTTTGAAAGACCGAGCCCCGAAGGTCCCGCCGAACAGTCGAGATGGACTTTTGGAGCAGCTTGAGCTCCGCCTCATTGCCCGTGAGTTCAGCGCGCCGGATAAGTCCCTCGAGGAGGTTCTCTTGCTTGATCAATTCTTGGACTCGAAGTTCCAGCCGGGATATCTCGGGGCCGAGGTGGAGGTTCCCTGGCGCAGCGAGCTGGACGTACTCCGGATCGACCGATTCCGTAGGCTGATCGTCCGCCTCCGCCTCGGTGATATCGTCAAAAAGCCGATCTCGATCCACGGAGGAGCTCAGCTTGGACATGCTCTGCCTCCGCTGCAGAGTGGGACCGCCCTCTTTGGAGCTCCCGGTCGGCGGTACGGATACCGCCGGTCCAGCCAAGCCCGCCGAACGTAGATCCTCCGCGCTGCGAGAGGCTAGCTTGGACGACCGTTCATCCCGCTCGCTCAGAGGCGACAGAACAAGCGAGGTAGTCATTGACGGCGCGACCGAGCCGGGTGTTGGCGAAGCATGGGCTTCAACCCGAGAGCTGATCATGTCGTCCGACGCAATGATCTCGCTCAGTGCAGCCTGGATCGCCTCCATCCGCTGAACCTGCACGAAATCATCATCATCGACATCCACCTCGTCGTCATCGTCAAAGATCCTCCGCTCAGACTCCGTAGCGGTGGGAGAGTTGGCGCCGCCCGTGAAGAGGACGTCGAGATGATTGAACCGTTTGGGAGGGGTAGATGGCTGGGTGCCGGTCGGCGTGTGCGCCTGGCTAGACGAGGGTATGGCTCTGACCTGAGTCAAACTCCGAGAGAAGGTAGGAGGGGCGGTAGATATGGAAGCGAAGGGTGCGACCGAGGTAGTAGGCGTGAAATTGCCGTTCACCAGCGTTGGACCGATTTTGGGAGGCGGTCGTCGGACCTTGGTCTCGAGCAACGGGGAGCTGACGTGTCGGACTGGCTTGCCGGGTTGAACGGCAGCAACCAAAGGGGAAGTGACGGACCGAGGAGAGAAGGCATTTTGATCGAGCGGCCTCTGCCGAGAGAGGTCTTGCATCGCCTTGCGGTACAGCTCTCCCCGCTTGAACTCGCTCCAATCCTCTTCTTCCATCTGCTCATACACCGCCTGTTGAGCTGAGAAGATGGAGCCTTTGACAACTCGGACAGCTTGCGCTGATACTGGAGCAACAGGGCTCTTGACAAAGTCCCGAATGACGCCGATGTCTCGCGTCGAGACGCCCATATCGGAACCGGCGGCAAAGTACATCTCGTACAGGAAGGTCGTATCGTCGAGGATCGTTCCATCCGCCTCGGAGCCGCTCTGGGGATCGAAGGTACCGAAAGAGGATGGCTCCGCCAATTCGAGTGGGTCTTTGAATCCCTCGACGGTGAGCCAAAACTGGACAAGTTTGGACCGATTTCGACGTTCCATGAATTCGAGCCAATAAGCCAAGGACGAGGGATCCAATAGGACAGTCCGAAGCGCGATATCTGGCTGCGCAGCCGAAGAACGCGAGACAGATAGTGGAGACCGAAGCACTTCGGGGTTTGCGCTCTAAGCGTGAGCGCTACCCCAACTTGAGAGATATTGAAGCTCACCAATCCCGACAGCACCCCGATCCGCGCATCCACCTGAGCACTCGCTCTTCCCAGCCTCTGCACATATTTCTTTGCACGCTTCAGGACCCGCTCACCCTCCTTGCCGCCACTCTCCTTCAGCTCCTCATCGTTCAATGCCGCCTGAGCTACCCTTGTCTCCCTATCGAGATCCGCCCGGAACCGCCTCGCCTCCCCGAGCGTTTTCAGACGGGAGATAGACCGTATGAATGCGTCAAAGTGCTGTGTTGAGGACTCGGCCGAGATGAAAGCCGTAGCAGGAGGGTAAGATGTACGGGGCTTGACCGGTGTGACAGTGGCGGAGGGGGAGTCTGGTATGGTCGATAAGGCGGAGAGGAACCGGCTGACTTGGCGCCTGGAGATCAGTACAGCTACAATTCCTGCGTAAGGTAGGCGTACTGCTCGTGTAGATATCTCCCGCCCCTGTCGTCGATCTGCCGGTTCCAGAAGTCTGGATCGCACAGCATCTCGTACACCGGTAGCAAGACCGCTCCCAGCACAATCTCCCTCACGAGTAGCTTGACCACCTCGGACCGGTCCGCTTCGGGCAGCAGGCGGCCCAGCAGCAGCTCTAGCTGAGCGCGAAGATGTGACTCGACCAAAGGAGGCGTTCCGGACGCCGAGGAGTGATCTTGTGTCGAGAGGGCGGGATGAGCCTTGATTGGAAGGGGAAGGGGAAGGGCCGTGCGCGAGTCCGAAGCGAGATTCTCGACTGAGCGATAGTGCTGTAGATGGTCCCTGACGATTGGCACTATGCGGGAGACAAGCAGGGAGGACCAGTCGACGTGCTCGCCCTGCGTGACGAAGTTGGCGATGACATGCCGAATGAGAGTGTCCGTGCCCTTGGGGAATGCGGGCGAGGGGGAAATACGGGAGTACCAAGGTAGAATGAAATGCCGCTGAATGAGGTCGAGAAGACGATCCAGCGCATCCTTGACTGCTGCTGGAGCAGTCGAGAAGAGCGCTGGTCCGCGAGACGAGGTCGTCTGCTCCTCCCATGACTGCCGGGTGAGAACCGCTGACCAGGCCGACGGGGTGGTGAAGACCAAAGGACGTAGCGTTGGCCTGCGTCCCGGCCCATCGCCCGCAGGATCGGCTCTGAGCAGAGACCGGATGAGTAGCACCGCCCCCACGCAGGTAGCAAGCGCGATGAACGCCGGCGCGACAATGACCGACTGAAAGAAGGTGAACCGGGGGACGAAGATGGCGCCGATAAGCACGGCCGACGAGGTAATGACCAGTCTTGGCGACCAGGTCATTGCGCTCTTCGACTGCGAGGCTGTCATAGGCGCGGCGAGTCGCCTACGGGTGCATCTTATAGACGTCTGCGGGCGATAGCCCAAGGGAAAAGGCTGAACAAAGGACGAAGCAAAGAGAAGGTCGAAGTCAAAACAAAGTCAAGTTTCACAATTTGGCCTTGCTCTTTCACCCATCATCCATCCATATCATACATCTATATAGCGAGGCTTCACTTACTGAGGCACGCCCCACAGGCTAGAGCCGCTCTGCCTATATTGTCAAGGAAGAAGATGGCAACGAAAACAGCCCCTCGAGCGGCCGCACCGCTTCTGAATTGGTTCAATTTACCGACGCTCCCCCACCCGCAACATATCAGTGAGGAGGGGTATGAGCGGACGGAGCCATCAGCTGGCGATGTGGAGCCGACAAAGCAGCTGGATGATGCAATGGACGGAGTAGGAGATGAGCTTGAGGCGGAGCCAAAGCTGGAAGAGGCCGTCGAAGCCATTGAGGTGGAAGAGGAAGGAGAGCCTCTGTTGGACATTGCGGAAAGGTACGCCTTGTGTACTGATCTGCTCTGATCTGCTCTGCTCTAGCTGACATTTGATAGCCTAATCTTCGCCCAGTCCCTCAGGCAGAGCCGCCAGCGACATATGCAGCGCCTGCTGCCCCACATTTTCACCCACCCTCCCTTATCTTCCCACAGCAAACCGCGCGCAAGGGGTCCACCGAGATCCACCTTTCTCTACCCCACTCCTCCAGGTCCTACCGCTCCCTTACCGTACCGAGAATACCACGGTCCACGTGGAGGCAAGACGGGAGGGGACCCTGCCAGTCCCGGTGCATCCAGCCCCAAGCCGACCGAAGACGCCAAATCATCCTCCACAATCCGGTCCCAAATTCGCGCTAAACGCGCTGCGGACCTGGACGAGATCGCGCCCGCACACGAGACGGAGTGTATCGCGCGGGTGACTTTGACGGTCGGCGCATTCTCGTACCCCGAGACGGAAGTCTGGATTGGGCGGTTTGTTGAGCCGAGACCGGATGCGGCGAAGGTGAACAAGGCGGATAAGAGAGCGCGGGTCTTGGCGGGTGAAGTGGAGCCGCCAAAGAAGAGGGTTGTTCCTCCGGTTCCAAAGCCCAGCGCTGCTCCCGCGGGCCTAGGAGGAGCTGCTCGGCCCGTCAACCAGGTCCCGCGGCCAATGCCACAGGTCCGCCCGGGTGCTATTGCTCCGACCTCAGGAGCGACAGCGGGCTCGAGCACCGGACCGGGTACTGCTGCTCCAAGGCCAGCACTCACTCCCGAAGCCGCCATAGTGAATCTCCCTGCCTTGATGCACATGAGCTGTGCTGATATTTGCAGAATCCTGACCTAATCAAGAAAGTCAATTCGGCTGCCGCGACTCGACCGTGGCTGTCTGACATCATCCACAAGGCGGCTCGAAAGCAAGCGAGCAAGGAGGAGCTTGCACGCCTGGGCCGAGCTGTTGGGCGGCTGAACAGAGGGGAGGATGTGGATGATGGGGAGAGCGCGGTGGCCGGACCATCGGGGACGGTTCCGGTAGCCGCTTCTGCGGTCCCCGCTCGTCTCACCGCCAATGCCGATACCACACGGAGCGAGTCTCCTCTGACTGACGAGGACGAGGATGATAGTGACTTGTCAGATCTGGGAGGGGAGATGAACGGGAAGGGGCCGCCTCAGGTCGGCGGCGGTGGGCCACCATATGGTCAGCCAGGCTCGGGCGACTCGGCCGGCTCTCTGGGCGGTATCCGCCCGGGGGCTGTGTTTGATGCTGGTCAGACCAGCGCTGGTCCACCCACGTCACCTCGAGTACCTATGACATATCCGCAATTACCGCCTTCTACCGCCACGCCCTACCCGAGACAGGCTCGACCACCTCCGCCTCCCCCAATCTCAGGCTTCAATCCCATCCCACACAATCCCTTTCCCAGACCACCACCCCTCACCTCGTATGTCACTCCAACTTCATCGTCGATCCCTCCATCTTTCGCTCCACAGCCCGCCACGGCGATGCCACCGCCACCCCCGCCGCGTCCAATCTATCCCCGGATCCCTCCCTTCCTCTTCATCGCTTTCAAGGACGCGCCGACCGAGAAGTTTCTCATCCCCCTTGGCGCAAACTCGTTCATCTCCCGCGCAGGCGGGGACCATGTAACGCATCCTGCCCCCGTGGCGAAGGCGCCGCCACACCCTCCTCCAACTCCTCCTCTCCCCTCTCCTCAGCCAGTCGCGGCACCGGTACCGCCCACGCCAGCAGCGATCCCTACCCCTGTACCGATAGAAGTACCTGCCATTGCCGCTGGGAAGGGTCGGACTAGGCAAAGTCTCGGTCGAGGTGCGAAAGAGGCCCCAACACCTCCTTTGACGAAGGAGGATCCTGCGGCTCCTCCGCCGGACCCACCGGTTCCGGCACCCGCCGAGGAGCCCGCCCCCGTTGTTCCTCCTCCACCCGCCCGGATCGTCGAACCCCCCAAGCCAGGGACGGTCATACTATCTACCCTGATGCCGACTTTGGAGTGGGAGGAGCCGGACTGGCGAGAGCTGGAGAAGGCTCTGCCTTGGAACACTCCTGTCCCGCCCCGACCTCCACCTGTGTCGGCATATCCTGGTGGTCCTGGCTCGTCCGCCCCGGTTACAAGTGTTCCCGGTGGCATGTACCCTCATGACCCTACCCCGGGGCGTCCACCCGCAGGATTGCCGAGTCACCCGGCACCATCCTTGGTCCAATCCCTCCCCAGGCCGGTTCTGAATCTGGGTGCGGTCGATCTCACCCCAGCTGAGGGAGACCTCCAGCCGATGACAATTCGTCTGAGCGGGATGGATGACCACGCTTGGTCCAGGATGAAGCAGATCGTGGACATTGTCGAGATGGCAGAGCTGGAGGTTCTGGGTCGCAAGGAGCCCGAGCTTCTGGTGGTCCCGGAAGTCACGGGGTTACCGGCCGCGAACTCGGCACCACCACACACCTCGCAACTCCCACCCTCATCTCAGCCTCCCCACCCACTTGCCCTCCAGCAGGTCCGCGAGACATACCTCACGCGCAAGAAGGCTCGATTTGCCCGTCTTCTCGGTCGCGTTCCATCCCGGTCCTTCCTGCGACTACGGACCGAGAGGGCCGACCCCGCGCTCGCCGAAGCTTTGTCGGATAAGTGGGCGCCTCGTCCCTACACTATCACCACCAAATCCCTGTATACTCGTTCTCCGCCGCCCGACGATGGGCCAGAACTGGCATATGCCAATCCGTACTCGCCCGAGAAGCCCGCAAAGAAGCGGAAGAGCAATGCCAACGAGCCGGCGGTAGCGTTCGAAATGCCAGTCTCGCTGGATGCGCTGGACGAGAGGGTGGAGGAGGGCGCTAAGTTTGCGGTGGGACGTCGTAGAGGACGTCCGAGTGGGGATAAGGCGCCAAGGAAGAGCGGAGCAGGCAGACCGCCCAAGTCGAGGGCTAGTGTCGGTGGCGAGAATGGTGAAGAGGGATCAAAGAAGCTGGGGTCTAGGTCCAAAGCGGGGGCTATTTGTGAGGGGTGCGCGTCGACGAGCGTCAAGGTATGGCGGAAAGGTCCGGGTGGGAAGGGAACATGTGAGTTGTACTTATGGTTACGGGCTGCGCGGGAAGATTAGCTGATGATGGCAGTGTGCAAGGACTGCGGGGACGCCTACAATGCGGGGACTTTGGGCCCGCTGGCCGCGCCGGGGGCGATGACGGGGGTGAAAGCCGAACCCAGCGCAGAACCACCTACAGCGGATTCGCCCTTCCCGGCTGAGCCGACCTCAATGTCGCATTCGATGTCGCATCCCCACCCTCGGCCAAGCTCGATGACTGGATCGGATGCTCCTGCGCCGCCGCATTTCGACTCCAGCTCGCACATCATTGCAACTCCGGCTACCGCTTCCGGCCAAGTGGCCGCCCAACTATCGGCTGCTAGAGAAGATCAGATGTATACGTCCTAGGTAGGCATGCAGTAGAGGGGCGTGAAGACAGACGGAAATCTTGCATGCAGGGCTGTTGAGGCTAGTCTCGATCCAGTACCACTGCAACGCTCGGAAGGGATGGCAGTCGGTCTCATTGATGCTGCCTTACGCTGCCCTCCTGGCGGTCTATACGAGTCGGATGGAGGGGGGGGGGGGAACCTAGTCGCGATGTCAGCTGGCCCAAGCCAAGCTGCGGTGATTGTGAAGGTGACGCACGGATCTCAATGTGAAACGTGGCTGAACTTCCGCTTTGGGCAAGTGGAGGACGCGCCGACGCGACTGACTGACTGGACTGGTTTGCAGCTGTGTCTTCGTTCCCACCACATTCTATACCTTACCTTACCCTGTGTCATACACCTCCATTCGTACTTTCATAGCAGACTTCATAGGCATGGCTGCATACGTAGCTTCACCTTCCCGCGGTTTCATGACGGCCAGCCAGTACGAGGTGGGCAAGAGGGTGGTTGAGGAAAGTGTGAAAGCCGAGTCGTCAACGAAGAAGGTAGGTCTAACTTCAGTATCGTCTAAGACTCCCCTGGATTCTCGTCTTCGGGACGCCGGGCCGAAGTTCTGCACTCCAATATATATCCGTGAAGGCGATAAGCTGATCCTGCACAGCGCAAGGTGGAGGGGAAAAGGTCATTCCCGCCAAAGAAACCGCAGCTTGTCTGCAACAGCGACTCGGAGGATGAAGACGACGATATCATCTTTCGGCCGTCTTCGTCGACTCGCAAGAAGCCCGTCGGCGCCGAAGATAGCGGAGATTATTTCGAAATATACTCTTCCCCTCCGAAAGGCAAAGCGAAGGCAACTTCTCGGCCATCCCTCCCCTCTTCGTCATCATCGTCCTCCTCCTCCCGCAATAATTCCAACTGGGACCGCGGCATGCCTGAAGAGGTCAAAATGCGAGACAAAAAGGCTATGGCCCGGTACGGCACCCTCAACCCTTCTCTGCAAGGTACCGCCAAGATCGCCGGGCCCGCAAACGTCGACCGGCACGCTCTTCCGGAGGCATCCAAAGAACCCGAGCTCAGTCCGCAGCAGGCCGACATTCTCGCCAAGATCATGCGAGGCGAAAACTTCTTCTTTACCGGCTCGGCGGGGACGGGAAAGTCTGTTCTCCTCAGGGCGATCATTCTGGCGTTCAAGAAGAAGAGGGCGGAATTGAAGAACAAGCCGAACACGGGCGTGATACCCTGGGAGTTGGCTATTACTGCGAGTACTGGGATGGCCGGATTGTGAGCATTCTTCACAGATTTCGCAGAGATAGACACTGATCCTCAGGAATATTGGAGGTGGCACGCTGCATGCCTGGGCTGGAGTCGGTATAGCTGTCGAGCCCAAGGAGGTATTGGCCCAGAAAGTACAGAACTGGGTCGTTGCTCGACAGCGGTGGGAGCGGACAAGTGCTCTCATTGTCGATGAAAGTGAGTCCTTAGATTCAGCGGGGACTGACCGTAGTCTCCATGGTCGATGGGAAGCTGTTTGAGAAGCTGGACTACATCGGTCGGACTGTCAGGCGAAACCAGAAGCCATTTGGCGGGATTCAGGTGAGTATCTCAACATGGAGGCCTCGCTTTTGTAAGTTGACCGACCAGCTCATTCTTTCGGGAGACTTCCATCAGCTTCCTCCAGTCTCCAAACGAGGCGAACCGACTGCCCTGTACGCATTCGAGAGTGCCGCCTGGCGCAAGGCGTTCGATGCAAACAGCACCGCCTGCCTCAAGCAGGTCTTCCGTCAGAAGGATGTCCGCTTTGTGCGGATGTTGGAGGAGATGAGAAAAGGGAGGATGTCGTACGAAGACGAGGCGTTGATACTTTCCCTGAGCCGGAAGTTGGTCTTTCCGGACGGTGTGCCTGCGACTGAGCTGTGAGTGTTCTGTACCGCTTTGAAGGTTGCACCACTGATCTCCCAGTTACCCTCTCAAGGCCGAGGTGGACAGACTCAATAACAGAAAGATGGCGGCCATTCGAGGGGAGACGCATCACTTCACCTCCATCGATATCCCAGGCGTATACAATAACAAGCCTACCCCTCGAGATACAGTCACGAAGGTCCTCGACGACAGTACGAGATTCGCTTCTCAGCTCGATCTAAAGGTCGGGGCTATCGTGATGCTTCTTCAAGTGAGTCGCTCGTAGCATCGAATCTTGAGGTGCCAGCTGATCAGTGCAGAACTATACAGAGATGGGGCTCTGCAATGGCTCAACCGGTGAGTCTTTCGACTTGTACAGTCACGGTGTAACTGACTTGTCAGGCAAGATCGTCGACATGATGACAATCGAACAAGCGTCAGAGAACGGCATTCTCTGTCTGACCCGAGCACACAGCAACTACAACATCTTCCCCGTCGTCGAGTTTGTCCCGGGCAAGTACGCCTCGGTGTGCACGCCAAAGCGGGTTCTCGTACCGTCGGGGGAACAGGATGTATCCAACTCTGACGGTACGATGCGGGCTAAACGAGTCCAGCTTCCTCTTCTTCTGGCTTGGTGAGTCCTCCCGATCGCTTTTCGGCCAGAAAACGAGTACTCGCTGATTCTCAGGGGCATGACTGTCCATAAAGCGCAAGGCTCGAGTTTGGAGCGGGTCAAGGTTGATCTCCAATCAACCTTTGCGGATGGTGAGTCGTCTCTCCCATCATCGCTTATAGGGGACAGAGCTGATCTTCTAGGTCAAGCCTATGTGGCTTTGTCGAGGGCTACTTGTCTCGAAGGACTAGAAGTAGCCAACTATAACTCGAGCTGGTGAGCAGAAGGAATCTTGCTTGGGTGTGGACGCACAAAGCTAATCTGGCAGCTTGAGGGTCAGCAATACTGTTCTCGAATGGTCCTCCTCGGTCGAAGGGGATACGTAAATCTCGGCTTTAGATGTGCAGAAGCTTCCCGATGTGTACGATAGGATGCGGTGTCAATTATGCATGTCCGGAACATTCAGCCTCTTCGAAACTTAGGATCATAGCGATTGGTATACGCGCGTATGTTAACCCAGCTGTACAACGGCGTCGTGGGTGCCACCTCTGGCAGATATTCTTAGGACGTTTCTTGATCTCCCCTAGAGCGTGATCGGCTTAGAGCTTAGGGCGCCTAGAGGCGACATACATCTCGGCCAAGGAATGTGGAGCTGGAGCTGGAGATGACGCGACCGTACCTTCTGAAACGCGGTCGTGATGTCATGTTCAACTTGCCAGCTTCGCTTCCTCTCCATACCTTTTACACCGCACCGACGTACTGCACATCATCATCGCACATACCAACCATCTCCTTACCCTCAGTCAGCATGACCGCCTCGAACGGGCCCAAAGCCAGTCTTTTTCGCACGGCGAAGCAGATCATGGACGAGGAGAACCAGGCACCGCACTCGGTCGCGGCGTCCTCTGGCCCAAGTCAGTCGAAGGCGAGTCTTCCGCCTCTCGATATGTTCTGCATACTACGTGTAGAGCTCAAGCTTCGGGCTGATCGTGCAGCGGAAAGCTGATGCGCTCGGCGACGATGATCAGCTTTCCGTCAAAAAGGTCATCATTGACCTCTCTCGGTCGGATGGGCTGGACAGCGGCGATACAGACGACTTCGAAGTCACCTCAGCTATCATACGCAGCTCAAGCCGGTCTCCTCTCGCTGTACTCTCCGGGCGCAACACCCTGCCCGGCGGTCCCAGACATACGCCAAACGCGGAGATGGCTGATCCGCTTACTATCTCTCTCGCAAATGCCGAACCCGGGCCACCTCTCTCCCCTCAGCAGGCCGAGATCCTCGCTCGGGTGATGAGAGGCGACAACATCTTCTTCACCGGGCCGGCGGGGACGGGAAAATCTGTTCTGCTGCGCGCTATCATCAAGGCGTTCAAGGAGAAGGAAGAAGCGCATGCCGCTGGCGGAGGGTCCTCCCGTGCGGAATCGGGGCTCGCAGCTACTGCGAGTACTGGCATCGCCGCCATGTAAGTCCTCTTCTGTTGTCAGGCGGGAAGTCAAGAGCTCGTCACTGACATTGATGCAGGAATATCGGCGGAACAACCCTGCACTCCTGGGCCGGGATAGGCATCGCCCTCGAGCCTGCGGTAGAGCTAGCCGCCATTGTGATGAGGTACGAAGGGGCAAGGGTGAGATGGGAGACCTCTCGGGCGCTCCTTGTCGATGAAAGTAAGCCTTTCATGCTGATAGAACTGACACGCAGTTTCGATGATCGACGGGAAACTCTTCGACAAGCTCGACTTTGTCGGACGGACCGTCAGGAAGACTGACAAGCCCTTTGGAGGGCTTCAGGTGAGTGCCTCTGTTCTCAAACTGAGGCCTCAGCTGATGCACAATCCAGCTTATCCTTTGTGGGGACTTCCACCAGCTCCCACCTGTGGCTAAACGAGGAGACCCGCCCGCCGTATACGCTTTCGACTCCACGGCTTGGAGAAAGATGTTCAGCAAGAGCAACATGGTCTGCTTGCGCCACGTCTTTCGCCAAAAGGACGCTACTTTCAGCCAAATCCTCAACGAGATGAGGAAGGGCAGACTCTCTGGACCAGACGAAGCTCGGATCAAACGCCTGGCGAGAGACGTGGCGTACCCAGAGAGAGTCTACGCGGTCGAGCTGTAAGTCTCGATACCTTCTGCTAATGCACGAGCGAGCGGCCCAGCTGATCACATAGCTTCCCCACGAAAGTTGAAGCCGAGAGGCTCAATGCATCCAGACTGGGGACCCTGCCAAGCCCCGTCCACCACTTCGAATCAGTCGATCGGCCCGGAATATCACCTGGCGGTACCATGATCTCACCCGATCAGGCTCGCAGGATTTTGGACGATCAGACCAATTTCGTACCGTATCTGGAGCTGAAGGTCGGCGCCTTCGTCATGCTTGTACAAGTGAGATGCTTCTTGCTCATCATGGACGGATCGAAACGTGTGGCTAAAGCGTGTAGAATTATAACCACTCAGGACTCTGCAATGGGTCTACGGGTGCGATTGCCACCTTTGACATACCCAGATTGTCTACAAGCTGATTGCGTAGGAACGATCACCGCCTTCATGACAGAAGAGGAAGCATCTGCTCAGGGGATCAGAAGGCTGGGATGGGCGCCGAGTCCATATACTGTCTTTCCCGTCGTCGAATTCATCCCGAGTCGCTACGTGACGGAGCCAACTCCAAAGCGGGTCCTGGTGCCAACGAACGATATCACCGTCAAGAACCCAGGCGGATCGATAAAGGCGACCCGTGTACAGGTGCCGCTGATCCTCGCGTGGTAAGTACCAGTCTCGGGTGGCCGCCCAATATCGCTTCTGCGCGAGAGCTTGGGTACTGATCATACAGGGCTGTGACCGTTCACAAGTCCCAAGGTTTGAGTCTCGATCGGGTGAAGGTGGACCTAGAAAGGACGTTTGCGGACGGTAAGTATCATCTCAGGCTCAGCCGATTGACACGTAGCGGACTGCCATCTGAGCCCCCAGGACAAGCCTATGTGGCACTCTCCAGAGCGACTTTGATGGAGGGCTTACAGGTGACCAACTTTTCGCGCGATAAGTGAGTAGCTCGTTCGACACTCAAGCCTGGGAGCTTGCTGAGACCGCAGGTTGAAAGTCAGCTATCGTGTCTTGGAGTGGTCGGCGCAAGTCGAGGGGGATATGTAGGATTCCGGGTTTATGGAACACTTTCGGGCGCTTTGTATGGTAGATCAGTAGATAAGCATTTGAAAAAGTGGATAGGCCATGCAGCAGTAGTCAATGCAGCGCAAGTCGCAAGCGGATCAGCACAGCGGACAGGCTGCAATGGAGTTGTACATTCCGACGAGGAGATACACGCGAGGCAATACCGGCCACCCGCAGCTGAAGGTGCAGCGCTTCCCGGAGGCGTCTTACTTTTTGTAGATACAGATAATGCTGTTGAAGTCAGCTTCCAGCTCCCAAAGTAGTGACAAGATATCAAGTGAAACGCACTCCTCATCTTCAAGAACATGCCTGTAAAGTCAGCGAGATAGCACCGCCAGGAAATGGAGCTGAACTCACTCGAGTCCGACCTTCTGGCCTCGCGAATGCTTTGCTGATACACCCCATACCATAGCTGAACAATCAGCTGATCATCCCCAAGTTTCGAGATTCGATGGTAGAGCTCACCATTCTTGAACTGCTTAAGAATGTCCTTGTGGATAGCATTACAGAAGTTCTCGACCGTACATCTCCCTCGGCGCAAGACGACCGGTGACGAGTAGTCAGGTGCCTGACCTCGAGGCTTGGTGTAGCTGCGGCCGTCAACGCCGCCCAGCATTGAGAGATGGTCTATACTCACATTCTGACCAGGTTCAACTTTTCCCACATAAATTCGAGGAGTTCGTCGATGTTGAGCCAGAGCTGAGATGAGATGGGTACAGAGTTGGGGATCTGGACGGATCAGCTACGAGCACTGAGGTACAGCAGGTCTAGCTCACCTTGTACAGAAGATCCAGCTCCTCGATGCTGATTGCGTCGATCTTGTTGAGGACGAAGATAGCGGGAACGTAGACTCTGCCCAGAGTTAGCACTACCTCCACCCCCGGAAGTGGTCCAGGCTTACCTGTTCCCCTCAATGACATCAATCAAATCCTCAATAGTAGCATCCGGCTGATGTATCGAGATCGCGCAGCTGTTCATCCTGTACTCGGACAACACCGCCCGGATCTCGTCCGGGTCGATCTTGGTCAGAGGCACTGTGTTACTGATGGCAATCTACCATCAGCTCTCTCCACCTTTCCAAATTTCGTCACTCACCCCTCCGGTCTCCTTCCGCTTCACAGTAATCGCCGGCGCCTTCTTGTTGAGCCGAATGCCGAAACCCTCCAATTCGTTGGTGAGAATAGCGAGATCGTTCAGGGGTTTGAGCACATCGAGGACAATGAAGATCAGGTTGCACGTTCGAGCGACGGCGATGACTTGACGACCACGACCTTTGCCGTCTTTGGCTCCTTCGATAATACCTGCCAATCAGCTGCCATCCGCAGAAGAGGAGGAAAAGGCGTACCTGGCAAATCCAGGACCTGTATTCTGGCGCCGTTGTGCTGAAGAGTACCAGGAACAGTAGTGAGGGTGGTGAATTCGTAGCTGGCGACTTCGGAATGTGTGCCCCTGATCATCAGCTGATAATACGACTCGCAGAGGAAAGGTTAGACATACGTCAATTTGGACATCAGCGTGGATTTCCCCTACACCATCAGCTATGCTCCGACGCTTGCGTGACTGTGAACTTACCACCGACGGGAAACCGACGAAGCCGACACTCGCTATCCCTGTTCTGGCGACATCGAAACCGAGACCAGGTCCACCACCTCCACCGCCTCCGGGAGGAGCAATCAATTCACGCCGTAATTTGGCGAGCTTGGCTGCTAGATCAGCCCTTGTACTTCTCGCTTTGCAATCTCCGAGAGAGCATACCTTTCAGTTGCCCCAAATGGTAGTTGGTGGCCTTGTTTTTCTGGATGCATCAGTATTGTGGGCACACAGTTAAGCGGGAGGTTGCCGCACTTGAGTCTTGGCCATCTCCTCCTCGACCTCCTTGATCTGCAGATTGTCAGTTTATGCCTCTATATTCGGGGCCAGAGAGCTCACCCTCTGTGCTGTCGTCATGATGAGCTGAGTGTTTCTGTAGCTAGTGCGGTAGATGGGCGATAGGTAGGACTTAGAGCTGCTGCAGCTGGAGATGTCTTTTGGGTGAGGATTTGAGATCTGACGTAATTCAGCAGCCTCCCATACAAAACGCGCGCAATTCGCGGCCTACCCTTTCCCTTTCCGTCTATCTACTTCTCTCTCTTGCTATTATACATTTGTGAAGCCCCTCTCTCACTTTTATACACACTCAGACGCTGCCTGGCTAGCTGGTATCCGCTCCAGCGCTTTGCCAGCAATCTTTTAATACCCATATCACCCTCCACGCCTCATTCGCCACTTGGCGCACCCTCCCGCTAAGATGGCTCGCCCAGTCACTCAACACCCTCCTTCCGCCCTCCAATTCCCCTCTGCGTCCCGCACCTCCACCCTCGGCTTTGGCTTTGCCTCTCCTCTCCATACTCGCTCCCCGTTCGCCGATGTTGCCAATAACAGCATATACTCGTCCCCGCAGGCATCAGCTTCAACTTCGTTCAACCCTTTCGCCTCGCCAGTAGGGTTCGGGTCGGTGCCTCCTTCACAGGCCAAGCCTTTCAAGGCTCGTCACCCTCCTCCAATATCGTCGACCATCACGCCACGGCTGTTGAAGAGAGGGAGACACTCGACGTCCCCTTCTCCCCCTAGCTCGCCCACTTCGTCCATTGCCGGCTCGCCTAACCTCGGGCACAAGCGGCTGTCGCTTTCCAGAGCAAAGAAGCAGCGGCAGGAGCAGGCGCCGGCGATCAGCGATGATCTCGACTTGGGGCTCATGCTCGGTGAGCTGCGCTTAATGCCACCATTTGTATCGAAAGCTAATATCTCAGCTACCCTGCCCCCTTCAACGCACCTGCAAATCCTCACCTCGTTGATGGAAAAGGATCCGTCTATACGGTCTGCGGTACTTGCTGCTACACCTGCACCAGACCTCGCCGTCTGTAATGATGAGCTCCAGAAGATCATGGACCGGATCTCGAGGCAGTACGGCGAGCCAGGACCAGGTCGATACCTCCTCAGCTGGGGTCGCGCGATCAACGATATTACTATCTTTTCGCGAACTGTACGTCTATTGTCTATTATCTTGGTACAATCTTGGTACAATAGCTGATATCCAGGCTTCTACCTACCTCGCCTTCTTCTACACCCCGCATAACGGCCTCCCCTCCAGCCTCCCAACATTACACAACCTCCTTTACACCATCACAAAATACACTCTCACCCTCGTCCGCCTTCTTCCTCCTCATGTGGGACAATCATCCGCCACCTCGTCCCTCTCCCAACTAGTCAACGCCCTCGTCATGCGCTGGCGCGAGTGGGTTACCAATATCTCGAAAGACGTCAACGAGAAGGGGGAGATGTACCCCTATTCGTCCGTTGTGGCGTGGGGCCAGAACTTCCAGGAGTTGGTAGATCCGGAGAGAAACGCAATTGAGGGGTGTCCTGATCCGGCGCCGATAAGGGAGTTGGTGGCTACCATATCGGCGATCAGGGACACGTTCGCGGCGCAGCTTGGCTGGTTGGCGGGACCGGGCGGGGCAATGAGGTAGCAGATGCTGGAATCGAGGGAAGACGGTTGGGACGGCGGCGCTTGAGAAGTTACTTGTGGGTATCAACGTTGTACATTATGTATATATCTCGTTTCTGCGCCAGTCAGTCCACCTTACAACCGTCCCACTTCTGCGTGATATGGATCGCTGACCCGCCTTAGAGCACAACGAGGTCCGTGCGCATCTTTTGGCCGGGCAGCCGACGGGCCGCTCCGGCCCGGTATTGCCCCGCCTTTCTCCCTCGACAGCGACCGTATAAAGTCGGTCACCCAGCTTCGCAGTTCTTCCCAGCTATCCCATCAGCTTCATTGTCGCCATGGTACTCTTAAAGCCCAACGCTTTCCTCAACAACCCCTTCAAGACCCGGGACGACGTCGAAAAGGGCTGCCGAGCTCGTGAGTCCCGACTCTTCCCCCTGTCCCTCCTTAATCTTTGGCTGACCCCCAGTCCTCGACCCTCTCGAGCAGCACACCTCGCCCGGTGGCGCCCTCCTCTACTTCGCCAGTACAGCCACCCACTATGACCTCAAAGCTGTGGCGCTCGAAGCGTTCGCCCGGCCCCTCTGGGGTCTCGCGTCCCTCATAGCTGGCGGAGGGGAGTATGCGGGGGCAGACAGGTGGATCCGGGGTTTCGCGGCGGGAACGGACCCCAAGAGCCCCGAATACTGGGGCGGGGCCAAGGCGAAGGATCAGAGAATGGTCGAGATGAGTCCATTGAGCTTTGCGATCTGTATGGCTCCTCAGGTGTTCTACGAGGTGAGCTCCCTTGGCCAAAGGCTGGGACTCTGGACTCTGGAATGTGGCTAATTGGCAGAACCAAACGGACGAAGTCAAGCAGAACATGGCCGCCTTCCTCACTACCTGCATCGGCAAGCCTATGCCAGACACAAATTGGCTCTGGTTTCGCGTATTCGCCAATCTCGCTCTCCGCTCCATCGGTTCCTCCTCTTTCAACCCAGACCAGATGGCTCGCGATCTCGCCCGGCTCGAAGAGTTCCAATTGCCAGGTCATGAGGCCACGGGTACGGCGGACAAGTCGGCGGGATGGTCCAGAGATGGTCCGGAGGGAGTGGAGCAGCTGGACTATTACTCTGGGAGCTTCGCGATCCAGTTTGCGCAATTGGTATATGCCAAATTGTGTAAGGAGAGCGATCCGGAACGGGCGGGGAGGTATAGGCAACGGGCGGTGGACTTTTGCCAGGACTTTGTGTACTACTTTGACGAGGATGGTGAGTCGCACAGAAGCTACCCAATGATCAGGACAAATCGCTAATCGGTAGGCTCCGGTATCCCATTCGGTCGATCCATGGTCTATCGCTTCGCCATCATCGGTGCCTTCTCCGCTCTCGCTCTGGCCGACATCGAGCCCCTCCCTCTCTCGTGGGGCCACATCAAAGGCCTCGTCCTCCGCCACCTCCGCTCCTGGAACGCCGACTCGGACATCTTCCGGTCCGACGGCACCTTGACCATCGGGTACAAATACGACAATATGAATATGACGGAAAATTACAATGCCCCCGGCTCGCCCTACTGGTGCATGAAGGCATTCGCGTGTCTGGCCGCACCCGCCTCTCACCCCTTCTGGACATCCGACGAACTCCCCTTCCCATCCATCGCACCCCTCAAGGCCCTCCCCGATCCCGGACACATCATGTGCCGCTTCGCAGGCCACACGTTCCTCCTCTCCTCTGGGCAGTTCGCGCACTACTACCTCCGATCCGCTTCTGCCAAGTATGGCAAGTTTGCCTATTCATCGACTTTTGGCTTTTCGTGCCCGACCGGCGATCTCGGCGTGGAGCAACTCGCGGGGGATAGTATGCTCGCTTTGAGGGACATATCGGCGGGCACAGAGGGGGCAGATGGGGAGACATGGAGGGTCAGGCGGGTACCGCTCGATGCGAGGATAGTGGGGCGGGGAACGGACACGGTGCATCTCCGCTCAAAATGGCGTCCGTGGAGCGACGTCGAGGTGGAGACTTGGTTGGTACCTCCCCAACCGGACTCGCCGGCATGGTACCTCCGTGTTCACAAGGTCACGTCGGGAAGGAAGCTCGCTACTTCCGAAGGTGGCTGGTCGACTTATGGGCAAGGGGAAGACGGGCGGGCGCTCATCCAAGCCTTCTCGGGCGAGTCGAGTGCGGGCGGCGATGAAGCTGAAGGTTGGGCGAGGGCGGCAACGAAGGGTGGCTGTGCGGGTGTGTATGACTTGTCGGAGACGGTGCGGACTGGAAAGCTGGTACAGACGGATCCAAACTCCAATGTCATCTTCTCGAGGAGTATCTTGCCGTCTTTGGAGGGAGAGGCGGAGGGGACAGTATGGATCGCAACGGCGGTGTTTGGGTGTCCGCCCGGCGTGCCATGGGAGGCAGAGTGGGAGAAACGGCCCACAGTACCCTCGTACATCAAGTAGATAAGTATCAGATGCATCCTCCTAATCTAGCTAGACACTGTCCTTCAGCCTATAGCACACCGATATGCCCGCGGCTCCCACTGCGCAGAACACCGCAAACACGTAAAAGATGTTCCCTTCCCCATTGTGCGTCAGACCCGCCAACCAATGCTGGACGGGTAAGAAGGAAGCCCCAAGTGAGAAATTCAGGGACCAGTTGAGCGCGAGCCCGACTGAGCCAGCAGCAGTGACGGCTCGCTTGGGCATGACTTCGGGGAGGACGACCCATGTGACGGGTCCGAGGCCGAGCGAGAAGGCAGCGACGAAGGTCAGGATGGAAAATATGGAGAGGGGTTGAGAGGGGGCGTTGAGGCCTATCGCGAGCAGGAGGGAGGAGAGGGACATGGCGAGAGCGGAGAAGAGGAGGATGGGGCGAGACCCCAGGCGCTATGGGGTCAGCAACACTTACGAGGGCTTCAAGAAGGGATGGACCGCTTACCTCGATAAGGAAGGCTGGAACGACAGTGATCGGTAGTTTGAGCATGACGATGCCGAGGGCAATGTACTTCGAGTTGCTCTGGAAGACGGGGGTGAGGATCCGGGTGGAGAAGTACATGACGGGTGAAATACCGCAGAGCTGCTGGACAAGCTGAGTGACGATCACCAGCAGGACTGTCTCGTCAGATTGCCTTCTCCGGGACTAAATATGGTATAGAGAAGCGACTCACATCCCCTTCGCACGACCGAGTCTTTTGACATCACTAACTCCCTGATACTCATCGCCCCCTCCCCCTCATTGTCTCTCGGCAACAACGGCCTGCCCTCCTCTGTCTCTTCCTCCTCTTCCCTCTCGTCCATCCCCGACTTTGCAGGCACAAAGAAGCTCCCGACGAGCTGAACCGCCGCAATCCCCACCGCGACCGTAAAGACCCATCTCCACTTCATCGGCTGGCCCAATGGCAGCGACAGAGACTGGCCAATGAGGATGCCGACGACGATGAAGAACTGGTTGGCGATGCCTAGAGACTTCTTCATGGATGTAGGAGCGATCTCGGAGAGGTAGAGAGGGACGAGGACCGTGGAGAGGCCACAGCCGAATCCTATCACGATCCTGGGTAGTCAGCTAATGTTTGATCATGCGGTATGATTGGTCATACGTACCGACCAACGAGAAGAAGGAGGTATGAGCTAGCAAGACCCGTCACGACCGATCCAGCGAGTACGAGCGCTGCGGACAATCGCAGCGTCCCGACCCGCCCTAACCGCTTGGACCAAATGTCCGTTGTGAGGGCACCGACCAGGCCGCCAAGCGTAAAGATCGCGACAATCAATCCGAACTGTGTCGACTATACTATCAGCCATCCTTCATGCCCGCTTGACCAAGGGGGAACGTACAGTCAGAGGGACACAGCTAGATAACCAGCCAGTCTCGCCATGCGGCCGACCATGTCGCCGGCAGGTCACGACATCTTGGATCCCGTTGAATGCGGAGATACCGAATCCGTACTGCAGCGTATGGAGCGCTGCCCAGGCGGTATTGAGGGCTATGGAGACGCTGGATGGCATGTTGTGCTGAGACCAAGGTCATGTAGAAAAGCAAGAGCAACAAGAAAGATGGAATGGGTCAACGTTGAGAGCTGCGACCGGGCCGGTCCGACCGGAGGTGTTCCCTCAATACGAGTAGGGCGCATCGTGACAAGGCTGGCTAGGTAGCAACGGCCTGTGTCAGGTCCGAGCAGTACAGCAGCAGCGCGGTTTCGCAGTGTACCAAAAGATATGTTATAAATGATTATATGCATGTGGTTTTATATGGCTACACTGCCTATAGACAGAGATTATAGAATAGTATGGAAACCTCTAGCGACAAGCACCGCAGTCAGAGCCGATCTAGCTACGAAATGGGGGGAAGGGGGGAGGGGTTTAGGCGGCGGTGTAGGTGGCCTGGGATGTGCGGGGCTCGTTGTCGTAGGTGGTGACAACGGCGGGGGTGGCATCACGGGCGCCCTTGCGGGAGAACATGCCCTTCTTGGCAGGGGCAGCGGTACCGGCGGTGGCCATGTCGTTGGCGCGGGCGTGCTTCTCACGGTCGTGGTGGGTGACGTCGGCCGAGTCGGTGAACTTGCCGGACTGGAGACGGAGGGCAGTGAGGTCGAGCTTGGAGAGGGAGAAGAGGTGGTAGATGATGAAGACGGGCTTGGCGAGGACGTCAAGGACACCGTAGAAAATCATCTCCGAGTCGGGGTGGATGACCGAGGCACCGTCCGCAATTCCCCAGGCGATGGGGTAGAGGAACCAGAGGAAGGAGAGGACCGCGGCGGAGCTGGTGAAGGACCGCTTGTATGCGGGGCCGATGGCGCCGGCAGAGGTGCGGGCGGGACCGAAGAGAACCCAGAGGATATAGAAGAGGGCAAGGTTACCTGGATGGTCAGCCAAAGTAAAGTGGCAAATGAGCCCAGATCGAACATACCGAAGACGTAGTAGCCCCACTTGTAGCTGGAAGCGACGAGGGCACCGACGAGACCGGTGATGATCATGACCAAGTCGAAGAAGACGAGGGTGATGATATCCGAGAGGGGAAGACCGGAAGCGAGGGTGAGCTCGAGGAGGAGAGCGGGGGTGGTGATGACCCAGTCGATGTAACGGACGTACTCAAAAAATCAGCAACGTTCCTCGAGAGTAAGCAGATGTCAAAACTCACCCAGATCTGCCTCAGGGTGCCGATGGGGTAACCGAGGTAAGCAAACTCAGTGGCGATGGGGGTGGACCCGAGGTTGGAGGCCATGGAGAAGTAGGCGATGGTGGCGGTGGTGAGGATGATGGCACCGAGCTGGTGGAAGAGCCGCTGACCACGGGGGATGGTGAAGTGCCAGCCGATGACAACCAAGTCAGTCAGAAGCATGACCGCGAAGACTGCCCATAGCTAATAGATCAGCCTTTGTCCATGCTGGGAGTAGGAAAGATGGACTTACCCAGTCAGAACCGTGGGTGGTGATACCCAGCTGGGACTGGTTGTCGGGGTTGACAAGGAGAGCGTCGTTTGCCATTGTAGCTAGAGTGGCGAGTTTTGAGACTTGAAATGGGTGCTTGTGCTGAGAGGTAAGATCGGATAAGTTGAGGAAGAGGGAGAAGGTGCTGGCCTGCTGACCTTTATATGCCTCTGTTGGATCTTGATCTGAGTAAGCAAAGTGGTCAGCCGACGTCGCTGTTGTCGTCGTAGTTGTCGCTGACTGGCAGGTGGTCGCTGCAAAGAATGTAATTTTGGATCAGTCATCTGTCTCTGACGTCATGGTTTCAGTCTATTTTAGTCGGTAAATTACGGCATTCAAGATACCTCAGTGCCGCTCTCGGCCGGACCACGGGATGCATGATGCAAGTGGCGCCGATAGCACCTCCTCTCGAGAGAGCTCTCGAGAGCCAACGCAGTTTCCACAGGTTCCTACAGGTTCCCACACAAAAGCGGCGATGTCTGTACAGGCGGCGATACGGGACAGCCGGCCGCGGATACATAAGACGACAAGGGGAGACGTCTACGCAGACTCCACCCAATGTTCACCGCACTGCAAATTTTCTCGCTAGCGGAGTTCGGCGCGGGACGGACTTTGCGGCTGGCGATTGGATCCGGGTGGCGGATGATGCAAGCGGCTGCAGATCGCGTGCAATCTTGCGATGGATCGGTGCCTCGGTCATTCCTCGGTCCCAGGAACAGGCACTAGCTTCGATGACAGCTGAGCGCTGAAGCGTGACTACCGACAGGCACGGACACGCCTGCTCTTCACACTGCTTCACACACCCAAGGCCGAAGGGGCAACCGAGTCCGGCCAACATGCGAAAGCCAGCGCTGGAAGGGTACATCGGCCCTGCAGTCCGCTACTCTGTTGTCTGCTGCTCCGTGAGAGTCAGCGTCGCAGCGTACGTGCTGACAGCTGTAATACCCCTTTTGCATACCTATCGCTGCTGACAGGATGCATATCCACCTACCTGCTCAAGCGCTAACTACCCTTCCTTCGGCTTGTTCCGCTCAAAGAACTGTCTGAGCGTCTCAACCTGCGGGAAATCTTTCCGGCACTGAGGAATGTCGACGTTGTACCCAATCTTGTCAAAGAACTGCCCACGTCAGCTTCGGCATGTGGCGTTCCCTCTCGCGTAAACCTCGTGCTCACATCGGCTACTCCGCGTGGGGTCCCGATAAACCGCCTCCCCATTCCCGTGACCAGCCTCAACCCCAACGGCGTATCCACCTCCTCGCCCATGACCTCACGATAGGTCTGCTGTAGCTCAACCATGTCAATCTCGTCCCCTGCCAGATCGAGCACCTTCCACCGTCCCGGCTCCTCGAACGCCCGCGCACCGGCGATCCCGATATCCCGCGTGCTGACCATCTGATGCTTGCGCTCCGGGTGCGTCTTGAAGGCGTGGTGGATGAGGAGGGTCCGGCCCATACGGAGGAATGTGGGGGCGGAGGGGAGAAGGTTGTCCATGAATTGGGCGGGGTGGAGGAGGGTGACGTGAGGAATGGAAAGAGTTGAGAGGTGGGTTTCGACCCGACGCTTGCATTCGAAGATCTCGGTACCGGTGTCGGGCGCAGAACCAAAGTTGGTAGACAGGTAGACGAGGTGCTGGACGCCGAGGTCGGCACACATGTCTGCAATGGCGATACCTAGCGATCAGCATATACCCTTCGGACTTCGATCCGCTACTCACCTTGCGCAGTGTCCTCTTTGGGCGTGACATACCCCTGGCAGCTGAACACGCCATAGACTGACCCCTTCTCGTACCCCAGCGCTGCGACGGCCTTCCCAGGCTTGTCCATCCCGTCCGCCGGAATCTGCTTGGTGATCACTTGGGGGAGGGCGGCAAGCCGGCGCGTTGAGGCCGAGTTGGCATCCCGAGTGAGAGCGACGAGGGTGAAGTCCTGGGCGAGTGGATGAGCAGACCTGGACAACTCCTGAAGGAGTGAGCATACGCGCCGAATCAGGGTCGTGATGTACAGCTCATCTCGACTCACTTCAATGACAACCTTGCCAATGTTGCCGGTAGCGCCATATATGAGGATGACCTTGCTCGCTGTGGATTCTGAAGTAGACATGATAGATAGTTGATCAGTAAGATGAGGAAGAGGATAGGCGTTGATGTCCTAAATTTGGCTGTCGAGCAAGCTTGGTAGGTTGGAGATGCATCCCTTTCTCGTGTCCAAGCGCCTTATATATCTGGCACTGTGTGATACTCGGACATGCCTGTTGCCCGTCCCCGGCGCCGAGGTCCGAGGTCCGAGGTCCGAGACCCTCATGGCCGTACTTCGGGGCGGTCAGCTTGTTGCAGACATCCTTCGAGCTATATAAAAAGGACGGTTGATCAGAGCGCGGTCAGGCGGGCATGAGTGACCGCACCAAACTTTCTCGCCGAGGTGAAAACTTTATACGCCGCGTTGCCCGATTGCGCCACCTGCCTGAAGGTATGATGATCTTGCTCCAGCGGAGCTTCCAGCGATGGGGTGGCGATGGGTTGGGCGATGCGCTAGAGCCAGATCGGCGTGAAGAGCCAGCAGTATCCTATATATGCGGTGATACAACATATCGTTATGGATCGTGATACTCAGCCTGGCCGTGCAGCTGTGGCTGGAACTAGCAGGCACAACCGCCCCCGCTCGCTGGCACCTCCTCCTCTTGATCCGGTAAGGTGACTGTATCGTCTCGGCGCGAGCCCGATCGCTCGTCCGTTGTCGTGCTGAGGATCTATAGCCTATCAGCTGTATTCCTTGCAGGTCGGCTAGGATAGAGGACCAGGAAACTCCTAGCAATCGCACGTATCACTCACATTACGCGCTAATTGCTCGAACAAGTCGTCTACGCCTGTATTGCTCATAGCGGAGCATTCTGAAGAGTCAGCTAAGGGTTCCAGGCTTCGAAGAACAGCAAGCGAGGCATTAGCATTAGCAGCTGTGACTCACCGATGAAGCCCATTCCCATCCGCTGGGCAAACTCGCGACCTTCCGTCGTGCTGACCTGACGAGAGAGTTCCTGCATGATCAGCTAGGCTTTCGGCAGAACATGTCCAGAGACCCATCTAGTATACCGCCAAGATCGAAGTTCAGAGACTCACTCGGTCCACTTTGTTCCCTACTAGCAATTTACATACACCTGTGGAGCAGTAGGTGTCGATTTCAGTCAACCACTTGACGAGCTCGTCGAAGGAGGTCCGGGATGATATGTCGTATACTGAAGGATCAGCGCGGACCTTAGCTCAGATGCCTGTGACGAGGAGAGAAGGAGACAACGAAGACTCACCCAGAACGACCCCCATGGCGCCTCGATAGTAACTCCCCGTCAATACCCTAAACCGCTCCTGGCCCGCCGTATCCCATATACTCAACTTGACTCTCCTCCCTTCTTCTTCTCCTGATCTCTGCACTACACTCTCTCTCATACCATCTGCCCCATCTGCCTCCTCGTCCGTTTCCATAGCGTCATCCCCATCCTGCCCTAATCGGTCCGTCCGGGAAGACTGGGAAGGTCCTTCAGGCCGTACGGTGATTGTCTTGACCTTGAAGTCTACTCCAATAGTCGCTGTGGCTTCGTCTGGCGGGAGGAAGGTCGCTGATGAGAAGCGAAGGAGGAGGGAGGATTTGCCTAGGCCGTCAGCATCAAATGCAGCTGGGCGCGCGGGGCTGAGAAGGGAAAGGATACGGACCGACAGAGGAGTTTCCGATCAACAAGATCTTCAAGTTGGGGAGTGTTTCCCGGGACATCTTGATCGAAGGTGTCTGCTATGTATATCTGCGGGGCAGCGGAGACCGAGGAGATCGAGATGGAACAGACGTGCAAGGTAAGAGGGAAGGAAGCATGCAGTTTTGGTGCTGCATAGCGCTGCATCTTGAAACGCGTGTCATACGTCATCGCGTTTGAAGTCGCCTTATCTTCGCGCGAAGATCTATCTGTGGCAGCTACGCGCTGAAGAAGTGCTGAGACGATGGCTCGCTTGGCTGCCCCGTCGTTCATGTAAGAGGACCATGGGAGGAGTGCTCTCTCCATCTGCATGTTATCGCGTAGATCTATTGACGCCCGCTCCCTGCCACTCCCCCCGCGGCCAGGCCATCTCCCCTTATCGCTGGGGCGGATGTCTGGCGCAGGGGTATTCCGCGAGGCGAGAGAAGCTCATCTCAAGGCTCTAGTCCCGGTCTACCAAATCAGCTACAGCCCGAGGCACTCCTAAAGACACTCGCTCACCTGAGGACACTCGCTCACTAAAGACACTCGCTCACTAAAGACACTCGCTCACTAAAGACACTCGCTCACTAAAGACACTCGCTCACTAAAGACACTCGCTCACTAAAGACACTCGCTCGGTATGCACAATAGAGCTTCCTCCGTTCGGTCCGAAAGTCTCGCTCCGGCGGTGCCTTCCGTTATCGCGAACTTTGTCATCGCTCACACGCCGGTCGTCCTCAGCGCCCTATCCCGCTTCTCCAGCAGCTCCTTCCACGGATCTTCCGCAAAGCTAGGCTTGTAAAACCCACTCTCGGGTGGTGCGTGTCCAACCCCTCTCCCACCGCCTCCTCCTCCTCCTCCGCGACCTCCGCGACCTCCGCCACCATCATGCCCCCCACCCCGCCCCCCTCTGCCTCCTCTTCCGTTCCCAAAGCCGCCCCGACCTTGTCCGGCAGCATGAGACTGGCCGCCCTGATCGACAAATCCGCCTCGAGGATAGCCTCCACCCCTTGGACCGAGCTCCATCCCGTTCGGATTTGATCGGCTTGATGTAGGATAACCGAACGAGGGCGCTTGCGGAAGATAAGCCGATGGTGGAGCAGGAGGGAGTGATGAGTGCGCTGATGACGAAGGATGTGGCCGCTTGGTCCATCAGCCTCGATCAAAGGGCAGATTAGGGTTACACGGCGTCAGTGAACACACCTTGACTCCGCCGTTCAAGACCACTCCTTCGCCCTCTCCTGCGCCCCTTCCACCTCCTTCTCCAGCATCTCCTCCGCCCCTTCCACCTCCTCTACCTCGACTACGTTTACCCCCACCCACGACCCCTCTTGATCCCCTGCCTCCACCCCCACCGCCTCGCTCGCTGCTCCCTGATCCCCCTGCCGTCTGAGACGGTGTCTGAACCGGAGCAGCCGCCTGCTTCCCGAATGCCATAGGGAGGCCTGTCGCGGGATCCATGTTGTCTGTATAGTCGGCAGTTTGTATGGTATGACGAAGACAAGCTCAGCAGCTTTAGCTGAGGTGGGCAGCAAAAGCTAATAGAAATAGATTGATCCCGCTATTCCAATTGGTATTCCTGACACGCGACTAACTTTGTCAATTCCTAATCCGATTCCTGCCTTCTTCTCTCTCGTTTGCTCTTACTCTGTTCTGTACCCGTCTATCGCATACCTCCAGTCAGCCAGTCCTTACTCGAGCCGTCCAGCAGATCATGAGTCGACGTACTGGATCGTCAGCGGTATAACGCTTAAACGACGGGGAATCAATATCGCCGAATCTTGGGGAAAAGTCCTCGCCAGGACTGGACCTCCCACACATCCGCGATGGACGAATCCGACACCAGCCGCGCAGAAAGGTCAGTATCATCAGCTGTCTGCGCCACGTTGGTGGTGGTCCCCTCAAGAATCAGCTGATCCCTTAGTCCTAGGGAGCAGAGGTGGTCGCTCCGAGACTTCGATATCGGTAAACCCCTTGGCAAAGGTTGGTCTAATCCTCTCTGCCGGTCCGAGCTCACTCGTGATCTGATTTGCCAGCTTCCCAAAATACGTTCCATCCTGGAAGATATCATCCATGTGGACTGGCACTGACACATATAGGCCACTTTGGCAAAGTATACCTCGCCCGCCTCAAATCACCTACAAACCCCTTCGTCCTCGTACTCAAATGTTTACCGAAAGATGCGGTCCTGAAGGAGGGCGTGACGATACAGGTGAGGAGGGAGATAGAGGTAAGCTATATGGTACAACAGGACCGTGCATCTTGCCAAGCAGCTGACGCGCACAGATAATGCAGAGCTTGCGGTACGTGTACAGCGGAAGCGGGACAATAGCGAGACACCGCTGAGCCCCCAGGCACCCGAACATCATACAGCTGTATGGTTGGTTCCACGATGATACTCGTATCTTCCTCATGCTCGAGCTCGCAGGTCAGCTTCCCGGTCCCACTGTATTGTACGGCCATCAAGCTGATAGTGCCAGGTCAAGGCGAGGTCTACAAGCACCTGCGGAAAGCGGGCAAGTTCTCGGAACGGAGAAGCAGTTCAGTGAGCTGGACCTCTGGATCACATTCTGTCAGCCAAGTTGACTCAGCAGTATATACGTCAAGTAGCAGATGGGCTAGCATACCTGCACGCGAAGGACATCATTCATAGGGATATCAAGCCCGAGAATCTACTTCTAGGTGAGCCCTCGCTATATGCGCGAGATGGAGATCCTCAGCTGATAGGCAGGGAGCGAGGGGCAGATAAAGATCGCCGATTTCGGCTGGTCGGTCCGCATGGAAGCAGACAGGTGAGCTCCATGCTTTCCGCCCGCTCGGCGAAGGATAGAGAGCTGATCAGACAGTCAGAGGACTTTAGCTGGGACATTGAGCTACGTAGCTCCAGAGATGATCATGGGCCAGCCGTACGGGAAGGGTATCGATATCTGGGTATGTTCTTTCCCTCAGCCAACATTGACAGGTGGGAGATGGGCTGATCAATCAGGCTCTAGGTGTTCTCACTTATGAATTTATCACTGGAGAAGAGCCATTCGGGACCGATACTTCCAGCGGGACAAGATGTCAGTCATATCGCCACTGTGTCGTTCATCTGGAGCACGCTGACGATCAGTCACCCAAGCGAGAATATGCCGTGTGGATCTGCGCATACCCGAGTATGTCTCTGCGGAAGCGAGAGACCTCATTCACAAAGTGAGCTGTGCTGTGCTTTGGACGTGGGCGAGGGGCGGGCCAGAGCTGACTTGCTTAGCTACTCCAGCTCGTCCCCTCGGAACGGCTTCCTCTGGCGATGATACCGGACCAGCCATGGATCGCTCAACACCACCAATGAGCCCGCCTCCGACCAGTATCACCTACTTACCGGCCCCTTACACTCCGCTTTTTGCCCGCCTTCTCCCCTTCGATTTCGCTCTTGACATTCTTCGCATGCATTATCCCTCTGGAAGCGGTCGTTTTCCAGACATGCGGATGCTCTCATGATGTCGGCACGCGTGTCAGCGGGAGGTCGAAGCGGATACAGCTCACCCAGACACGGTGCAGATCACTAGCTAATACGCTTGGAGTCATAGACTGTATGCATATAGGAGAAGCCGCTCTAAACCTGACGAGGTAGACAACCCTGTGGGACTCTCGCAGGAAGCGCACAAATTCCGTCTACCGCTCATTAACTTAATCCGCCTCCGCCTTCCGCCTTGCCCTGTAACACACCTATGAATCCCATCTTACTGCCTCACTACACTATGACAACACTACAAGAGATCATAAGCACGTATCACTGTCTACCATGGAGTCATATTCGAGTATGTTTGTGGATCAGCTCACACGCCAACGTTAAGCTCCAAGATCGAATGTGAGAAAACCTATACCATAAACCCCTCCTCCTACCTTTCTCCCCAGTACCGCCGGCCGCTCTGCCTTCGCTGCGCCTACCTCGTCAGGCCCCAGTAGCCTCCGCCTCTCCTCGCTCCAGCCCTGCGGAACTCGGAAAGTATCGCACGCCGCTCGGTGAGCCCAGGCCGACCGCCGCGAAGCATTTACCGACTGCTCGCAATGACAGGGAGCTGTATGGTCAGCAGCAGCCCAAGGAGAACTGTCTGCCACTCGACGAGATCCTGAGCAGCGTCCACTTAGCTTTGGTATTGGTCAGAGATGAAGAGGAATGAGTGGATATATATGCTGTCGAGAAGCAAATTTGATGTGCCTTGCCAGCTCAGGGCGCGAAGGATTTCTGGGGGGTCCTTTGGAGACCAACTTAGCGTGTCTACGATCGTCAAGGGGCGCGTGTGGAAAGACTCATAGATTTCGTCTACTCACATACACCATATCGTAATGTCTAACCTCTTCAGCGCAGACAACTCTCTCGATGCCAAAAGACAGGCAGCGAAGGCGAGTCTAATCGCCCGCAGACAAGCTCGAGCACCCTCCGTATTCCCTCAGCCAACACTCATCCCCTTCCCATCATCCATCACGCCTTGGCGATCCAAGCCTGCGAGCATCGGTGCGTCAAGCGACGCGGGATGGGGCGGTGGATGGACAGGCATCGTGGCGCAGAGAGATCCAGCAGTGGAGTTGAGGGATGGCGAGGAGTGGGCGGTGGAGAAGGGCGGCGAGATTGTGAAGATCGCCCATATCGATGCCGACAGCGGAGACCGCTTGGCAGGGTGGGTCGAGGACCATCTTCCGGACGGCCATTCCGATGCTCCGAGTCGGTACCTGGGTGTCAGCAACACGTCCATATCTGTCCGGTGCCGCTCATCTCTCCCGGCCGAGCTCAAACCGCAAGACTATGACCTGGCGGTAGCACGCCATTTCCTATCATGCGGCATAGTTGTGAGTCGTCCCCATCGATTCCATCAGTATGCAGGATTCAGTTGAGCGAGTAGCGCATCTATGAAGGCTTCCCGAGGAGGCGGAATATATTTGACAACGATGCTTCAGGGAGATGGACATCTTCGGAGCCGTCCGCCACAGAGCCCAGTCGGGTCGTCTACCTCACATTTTACGATGAGGGTGGTGCTCAGAGAGCAATGGGCAATGGTGAGTCATACGTCATCAAGGTCAGTGCTGATCAAAGGCGAAAGACCAGCTGGTTCTCAACTTTGCGGGATGCAAGCTCCAACTCTCGTTAGCATGGAGGCTGCACGAGCCTCGAGGCAAACGTATCGTGGGTGAGCTGCTAAGTGCCGCCCCTCGCACAGAGCTTATGTTCCAGGTCACGCACGATGTGGATGCGCTGTGGAGGGTACGAAGAAAAGCCGGAGATCTATTCAGCTGCCGCGACCCGACCATACCCCCCAAGACGTCGGTATGCCCCTGGCCCCGCTCCCAGCGGCTCTACCTTTTCGCTTCCTCCCCCCGCATGTCGCGATCCGCCGCTACGGGCCGAGACAAACGCCGGCCGACTACCTATCCGAGCAGACGCTGCTCACCAACGAGGAGGGGTTACCATCACCCCGCAGCACGGTCCACCCCGACACTCAGATCCGGCTCGGAGCAGACGGTCGTCCCTCATCAGCCTAAGACTTTTTCCAGTCCGAGCCTGCCGCCTATCAGTACCCGGGCTCGAGCGGCTGGAAGGGCGGTCAGTGGAACGGTTCGGATCGACGGGGAGCGTGAGAGGTTAGTGAAAGAAGGAGCTTCGTTAGGGCTGAGTTGTCAGATGGGGGAATACTTGGATGGCGCGGAGATCGATCAGGTTGGGAGGAGGGACTTGTCCGTCAGGACGTATATATGCGATTATGGGTTTGAACTTGGGGTATATAGCTGGACCCGTCATCGCGGTACTTGCCTACTTACTGACTGGCTATATTCTCCTCAATCCTCTTTCATCCTGAAAGCCACCTTTCCCACCTCATTCCGCTCGAACCGCTCATAGTATTCTTGCGCCTTCTCCACGCTTACTGTCTCTTCGACAAACGTACTGAAGAGATCGATGTTGTTCCTTAAGAGGTTGGTAGCTTCAGGAAGGAACGTCCGTACGGAGCATCGACCAAACACCATCCGGATACTGACGATCAGCCATCTGATCTTTCCCTGACCCATATGGGGAGGACTTACTTCTTCCCGTACATGACCTTCCCCGGCAGCTCCAGAGTCTGATTATGAACCCCTCCAGAACTGATGACCCCGTATGGTCGGACCAGCTCCGTAGCAGTCAATAGAGCGTCGGCATGCCCTACGAGCTCTAGGACCGCATCTGCTCCTCGTCCATCGGTAGCCTTGAGAAGCTCGGTCCGGAGCTGGTCGAGAGGAAGTGCTGCCGCTCCATGCTTCGTAGCCAGCTCGAGGCGTTTCGGGTGAAGATCGGTAGCGAAGACTGTGCGGAAGCGTTCTCTTGCTGCAGTGATGGCGCACAAGCCGACCTTGACTGTCAGTATGACTTTAGCATAGAGGAGTAGCGACTGGAGCAGAAAGACGTACGGGTCCACAGCCAATCACCACGCAAACCCCAGCTACCTCCTTCTCCGGCTTGTCCACGTTCAGGATCTGCAGCGCCAGGTGTGCCATGCTGAGACCCGTCGGCACCACATCCGCGAGCAAGAGCGTCAGGTGTGGCGGTATATCCTCTGGCTGGCGGAAGAGGCAAGCGTCGGCCATGGAGATCCGGACGTACTCTGCCTGAGCGCCGTCGTGTGAGGGCGTACCAAGCAAAGTCTGCTTCTCGCACCGTGATGTATGGCCTCTGTCGCAGTAAAAGCAGGCACCTGACAGTCAGCGATACAGCCTTCTGTAGGAGATGCTTGGGACGCACCGCACGAGAGGGAGAAGGGGCTGATGACCTTGTCGCCCTGCTTCCAAAGCTTGACGTCCGGCCCTATCTCGACAATCTCCCCTACCAGCTCGTGGCCCATGACGATAGGTCCAGTCTGAGGACCTGCATGGCCGCGATACGTATGCAGCTCAGAGCCTACAGTTAATTAGCTCAGAGCCCCAGGGAGCCAGCGAGACATACCGCATAGACCGGCAAGGTGGACCCGGACAATCACATCTCCCCCATTCTGTACCGTCGGGATTGGCTTGTCCTGCACCGAGATTTCTCTGGCGGCGGAGAGGACCACAGCACGCATGGTCTTACTGGTCATTCTGTATGATGATGAGAGGTAGAGTCAAGATAGATAGGTGTCGGCGTCAAGTGGACCAGCCGGACCTATCGGTAGCCGGATCCGATATTGCCGGCGCTGGATCTCGGGGAAGATATTGGTGTTGCCCATACATGTCGTCGCTTCTGTCAGTCAAGGGATTGACACTGAGAAGGGGTGATGGGTCAGGCTCGGCCATCATCAATGTGCGCTCGACCTGACGAGCTTCGAGGACAAGCTGATCGACCCAGGATCTATCGCTCGACGTGAAGGAAGGGGAAGTCATCGTTGTCCGGGGTGCCAGTGGTTCTGGGTATGCCTGCCCATCTGACCAAGACCGATGACCGGCTGATGGCCAGCAAGACGACGCTACTGAAGTGTATCGCTGAGCTGAATGTATATGATCAGGGGGAGATCTTGCTGCGCGGCAAGTGAGTCGAGATTTGCTGCCTTCTCTGGTTGGACGGCGCTAACGCTGACGACCTGCATCGGAGTATGGTGCGCCTTTACCTCTGTGAATGCCTTGTATAAGCTGATGAAGCAGGTATACCATCCTACCGCACGCGAGTGCAGTACGTCCCCCAGCGCCCCTCGCTACTGCCCGGCACACCACTCGAGCTCGTCTCCCTCCTGCAATCCTTCTCAGCCCGGAGGTCCACCTCGAAGGGCACGTTGGAAGATGCTATGCGGATAGCAGGGGACTGGGGCGTGGAAAAGACGTTATGGATGCGGCCGTGGGCTACATTGAGTGGGGGAGAGGGACAGAGAGTTGCGCTGGCTATCGCATTAGCAGCCGGCGGGGCGGAGGTGCTTCTCTTAGATGGTATGTCTTGCTCTCTGCGACCATTGCTCATAGCTAATGAGCAGAACCTACATCTGCGCTGGATGAGCCTACTACCATCAAGGTGGAAAAGACGCTGCTGGCTATGCTGAGAGTGAGTCTGAGCTCACAACGTAGCTAACGACAGGATACTTCCAGTCTGAAAGCCTTGATCTGGATCACGCACGACGATGCTCAAGCCGACCGAGTTGGGACCCGTACCATAGACATATCTAGATGAATGCTACCTACTTCCACTGAGTAGCGCTTGGGTTTCGCCTCCGCTATCCCGGTGCTTCCACCTGATCGCGCTCCACGCTTTGCTAGCTGTAGCGTCTCGCAAGCGATAGAAGCCCGGTTTCCGCATGTCGATCCTGTCAACGCGGATGCGGTGCTTGTCGTCAATCAGAGTGCGGCAGGCGAAGAAGAGGGACATGACGACCGCGAGGGTCGAAGTGGCTGCTATCACTGCTGTGAGCTGGGCACGGACGGTGGACCTACTGAACATGATGATCACTACCCTGTCAGCGTCTTCGTCATGGCAGAGGAGAGGACGCACTTTGCAAGCGAGCAGCTTGATCGACAGGCTTCCCGCCTATGATCGCTCCGGTCATCATCCCTGGCATTCAGCAGATCAGCAAACTGGGCCAAGGAGAGGCGTACCAGGTATCGAGATCAAACCAATGACACTGCTCTTCAGCTCTTGTTTCCATTTACAGCAGAGCAGACCTTACCTTAGCTGATTGACAATCGGCAAGAGCGACACCTTCAGCGCTCCAGTTGCGACCGGCTTACATGCCTCGAACCTGCTCGCACCTAGAGCGAGATATGTCTCTATCTTGTCCTTGTTGTCGGTGAACTCCTTTTGGACCGTGTTCCATCCAACGCCGATGGATGAGATGGCGTTTCCTAGGGTCATGCCCACAATAGGGACTGGGATCAGCGATGTCAGCCGCAGGCTTACTGAACTGATCAGGCTGCCAGAAGCGCGTCTGGGACATGGCGAACCGAGTGCCGAGGATGGAGATGGGGACGGTGGAGCAAAGCATGGATATCAGGACGAGCGGGAACTACGAGCAGGTCAGCACGTGCCATCCAACCAGAGGGAGGGGAAACGTACCATGTAGGAGAATCGTCCTTTGGCTTTGTTGTATGTCACCTCGACAGCTCCCAGCACGTTCAGTACCAACACTATCCCTACCACACCCAGCACGCTATCGCTCGCGAATACCTTCTCGAGGAACAGACCCATGATCGTAAGCTGGACGACGCATCTCACCGACGCGACGAGGAGCGAAGAAGCGATGCCGAGCTTGAAGACGCTCGACACGAGAACGTCGAGCAGGATGAAGCAGAACCCGATCGAGACGTTGGTCCAGCCCAGGACAGGCGATGTACCGGCTACAGAGTTCATTGCTGAGAGACATAAATGAAGTACAAAGCCAAAAGATAAGATAAAGGGTGTACGTCATGACAACCGCGGCAGATCAAGGTAGCTATTAAGAAGACTCTCTACTCTGGATATGCCTATGCACCATCCACGCCACAGCCTCCATTCCCTTCTTATTCGGATGCCACCCCACCTCCCCTCCCCACAGCATCGACCAAGTATGCCCGCTGACCCATGGCTCCGCGCTGCCCACGCCATGTTCCTTACTCTCCTCCGCAACGTCCACAAATTCGCATCCCTCTTCCTCCGCTGCTCTTTTGTACGCCCTCCTCAGGATCTCCGCCTTCATCCGCCCCGTAGCCACCTGCTCCGCCGTGAGCGGGACATTGACGCCGGGTTGGATATCCTCCCCGACCAGGGTCAGATATCCAACCAGTATGACCTCTGCCTTGGGTATCTTGGTCCGCACCGCCCTGACCACCTCCTTGAACCGATTCACCAGCTCTTCCTCGCCTATCACCTCCGACTTGATCCGCCTCGAAGCGAGGTACGCGAGTGGCCAGCCGAGCCAGCTGCCCCACAGGCTATCCAGCATCAATCCGCCGACATACCCCAGATCGTTCCCGCCCGCCGTGATGGTGACTATACAGCGCCCATCGTTCTTAGCTGCTGTTATGGCCTCTATCTGAGGTGGCGCAGCATCCTGAGGGGTATTGAGGATATTGAGGAGGGTGGCGCCGGAGTAAGAGAGGTCGATATGTTCATCTGCGGAGAGGAGGGAGGAGAGGAGGGAAGGGTAGTTGACCGAAGAGCGGTTCGCGGGCTTATTTACGATGGGCTGGAGGCCGGGGCCGGCGGCGAAGGAGGAGCCGAGGGAGATGAGGCGCAGCATTGGTCGTAGAGCTTACTAGCGCTAATGGAATGGCTGATGTCAAACACGTGGAAGCTTGAGCTTGAGGAATGAGAAGTTGGGTTGGCTCGGCAACTCGTCATAGCCGAGAGCGAGAGGTCCAGCTTTTGGTCGTCGGGCCTTACGCCACCTCCTTCTCCATCTTTACAGATTGAGCAGACAGGATCTGATGCTCCCTACTCCGACTATCCATATAGTCTCTCGTCCAAGATCTGTGGCGAAATACCATCGTCGAACATGCCAGCGAGTCGCCACGCCCGGAGCCGCAATGTGAGACCCCTCTTTCGGATCCGCCTACTGAAACATGGCGGATCCGCCCCTCACCATAGCGCAGAGAACGACTCGAGCGACCGTCAGCCTGTATAGTATAGATACCAACTCCTACATGAAAAGTCAGCTACTCACCTCAACTTACACCAGCCTTCCTTGCCCCTGGCCTCCCCTTGATTCCCCAAAAGCAGTCTAATATGACTTCATCACCAGCCACAAGGGGTTCTCCGGTCTCCTCCCCCACCCTCACCCAGACTACACCCCCTCGTGACCTATCCAACTGGTACCTTGGCCTCCATTCCGGTACTCGGTGCATCGCCACCTCCCAAGCCGACGTCCGCGTATCCAAGGACGGCCACCCTGTCCCAGTCTACCTTTGCCCCCCTTCCGGCACCCATCCTATCTGCAAAGTATGGGAGACGATCGTCACATCCTCCATCATCCCTATCGCGGATCGACTGGGCGTTCCTTTTACCTGTATTGTTCTCATCTGTATCGCTCGTCCCTCGGGCGAAGTAGGCGAGACGGAGAAGGAAGACGCAGAGGAGCGTTGGCCGCCCATCATCTGGGTGGCTGTCAAGCCCGGGTGGTCTGATAGATCTCCGTCCGGGAGGTTCGTAGAGGAGGTGATGGAAGTCCTGTGGAAGTCCTGAGACCTCTGGACCTGGGGGAGTTTCATGTTGAGGTGCATACGGGATAGTACCAAGCCTGCATGTCTCGTGGTAAGTCTTCATTAACGCGCTCCCGGTGACGGCTGACGTTTATAGTAGCCGGCTGTTTCGAATATTAGAGGTGACAGTAGGGTGTCGTTAGTAGGGGGAGGAGTGGGAGGGTGTTATGTATACCGTTACATGCTATATCTTCCAGATCTCCGCCCTTGCCCGTTCAAATACCCCATGTTCCAGCTGCTCTTCGCCATCCTCCGCCGGTGCCTCGAGCATGTCCCGATCCATGGCGTGTACTGAGATTTTGGCAAATGTGCCGGCTGTGCGAGCCCGACTGAGAAATGCGGGATTGACGACCAGAGTGGAGTCGACCACCTGTCCATCAGCTCCACTTCCTCTTGATGACTATGCGGAAAAGAAGGGGCCTACTTTGGAGAAGTGCTTAAGCTTGCTAGGAAGGATAAGCAGATCGGGAGCCGTATCATCCAGCCTCAACAGCTTCTGATGCGTCACGTCCAGATTCACCTCTCCCGCCATATTCTCAGGAACAGGGAAGAGGGGGTAGAAGCTCCGCTGGCCCAGTACGTGACGGACGAGACTCGCCATAGCGTCCTTGGTCACCGGTGACGCCGAGGGCGGCTGCGGGTCCGCTTCTTCCACGCGCTGTGTGACCTCTTGGGAACGGAGGTGGAAGAGGATATCGGCAGTGGTGATGGCGATGGATATTTCGTTAATTTCCAGGGTGCAGGGATTGGGTAGGCAAGAGACTCTCTGGCTGTGTCAACCTCTGCGACAGGGTAAGGGCGTAGATGAGCTCACAGGGGGTAGCCCGAAGGCCTCTTTGTCTAGTGCGGCCTGGGGAAGGGCGACGTGCTGGCTGATGATGTCCCTAATGCTGGGGACGAGAATGATCCGGGTGGCGGGCGAAGCCAATGACAAACGCTCGAGGCGGGTGCTAATCTCGGACCGGAAGATATCGGTGACACTGCGAGTGATGGATCCAGAGACAATCATGGGGTGATGAGCATCAACGAATGGCCCGAGCTGGACGAAATTAGCTTGCTTCAAATAGACCTCAGACCTCGGCTCACCAGTATCAGAACATCCGGGCGTTCCCTCTCTGCTACATCCAACAGAGCCTGTAATGGCTCATAAGACAGATCATCGTCCAGGCTGAAAGGTCCCGCAGCGACTGTGAGATTGACAGGCTCTCCCCTCGTCTTATCGCCATGCTGGAATTTGAGCAGATCCTTCTTATCCGTCCGGTTCATGTAGCTGGGTTGTGCCTGTGCATCAGCACCCCCCTCCACCACTTGACGAGACGACGCACCACAACGACCTCTTCCACGGCAAAGAAGCCGCCTCCCCCATTCTTCCCTTTGACGCAGACCAGGCAGCCAGGGAAGACTCCAAACGTCTTGACGCCTGGTGGCCCGCCCTTCATGATCACCTCGCCAGGCGGAAATCTCAGCGCGATCCGCTTTCCCGAGCCGAGTAATCGGGATGATTCCAAAAACAAGCTCGACGCGGACGCCTTGGTCGTGTCCGTGGGCGGAGCGAGAATGCGCCCGACCGTATAGATTGCTTCGTCCGATACGAAATGGGGATCTCCGAGTTCCTCCAGGCCGTAATCTGCACGAATGTTGTCGCCAAAGGTGTCGATCTGCTCGTCGAGCGCTTCGGACCGCTGGGAGACCTTCTCGAACATGTAACGATAGTTCCAGTCTTGAGGGTCTTCTAACGTGCGAAGTATGGTCCGAGGTCTGCCGCTTGGGCGGTTGGGAACTGAGGCGGGTAGGTGAGGATTGAGGGTTTCGACGAGCGAGTGAGGCTGATGCCGGTTGCGAAAGGATTGAGGGCCATCGCCGCTGTGACTGATTGTCAGCTCGTCGCTCCGCATGTGAGGTCGTAAGGTTACCCTGGGGATGCCTCGTCGGCGGAAACTGGACTGGACAGGGGACTGGCGATGTTCGACCGCGCCAGAGGTGTCTGGAGGGAGGAAGCTGAGGTGTTCAGGCTAGGGCGATACTGGCTCGCGCTTGGACCGCTCGGACCCCCATTTGTCGGTCTCGACGGCGTCGCAAAGGAGGTGTCGAACTGAGCCGACTTGGGCAGCATGGGCGAGCCGTTCCGAGCTGCACTAGGAGAAGGCGATGCTACTCCAGACAATGAGCTCAGCCTACCTCGTCAGCTCTCCCACCCTTATCCCAGGTGAATGAACTCACAGGCCGCCCAAATCACCATGCCCATTCCGTCCCCTCTTGACGCCCACCGATCCCTTCACTTCGCCTCCCCTCGGCACCGCCACCCCCGACATCGCCGATGTACTGCTCGATACCGCCTGCGCTTGCTGTTCCCGCGCAACCTCGGTCCGGAGCTGTCGCGCCACCGGGAGCGTGAGGACGGACATCTTAGCCCGAAGTCCCGATGGACGAGACATCAGGAATGCCTCATATTTGAAGAAGAGGTCGGCGGGAGTCAGGTTGTATAGCCGCAGCATGGCCAGGCCTGCTAATCAGCGTCGAGACAGGGGTTAAGGGTATAGAGGCTCACATTCGGCCATGACGTCCTCGTGGTCCTCTACTGCGCTGTGGAAATGGTCCACGAGCTCTGCGCGGAGCTTCTTGTCGTCGGCTGACATGGCTGCTGTACGTGTATGATGTAGTAGGTGGTGATAGAGGTGGATGAGAAACGCAAGAAAGAACGCGACCCAAAATCTCGCTACCGTAACGGACGGACGCGACGCGACGAGGTCCGTGTGCAACAACAAAAGTATAGCTTGCCGGGGCCTATGAACCAGGACGCATCTCCCCATTTCGCTTCAGACCAGGCGGGTACACCTGCCGGGCATTGACATTGATCCTCCCCGTAGCTATCCACCGCTTCGCCGCTTTCATGCTCGAATTGTCCGTCTCATCCGGGTCAAAATGGCTCGGCAGCGTTCCTTCCAGTACTCTCGGGACGCCTGCCTCGTCAGCCACTTCTCTCTGCTATCGGCTTACCATGATACCGCTGCCGCCCCGACCCGCTCATCAGTATCACATCTCCCGAGCGGAGTATTATCGGCCTTGGGGCGACATCGCGCGAGTCCGAGCCGAGGAGGAAGACGGCGGCGTGGCCGAGACTGATCGAGGGTCAGCTTTATCCAGCCAGATGTGTGAGGCTAGCAGCTCACGAGATGGAGCTGAGTGGGCGATATGGGTCCAGTCTGGATCATCAGCTCGTGGACCGGCGGAGGGGCAATGTCAGCTCACTCGGCGCGATCGACATGCCCCATCATCGTATCTTTCATCTGGTAAAAGTTGACGATACCTGTGTCGGGCACTATCTCATCAGCTCAGGCGCATTTGATCTGCGTCAGACCTACCATAGTCTTCTGCCCATCTCGCAGCGCCTGTTCTCTCCATCTCGACATCACTGCAGACCTCCCGCCAGTCCACCTCCCGTATCATGTCGCGACACTGAGTAGCCAGCTCGGAAGGGAAGGGGATAGCAGCGGCCGGATCGAGGTCATACATCTTGGTTGTCCACTATCTTCATCAGCACAACCCTTCCCTCGGGACGGGACACTCACCTTGTATACCAGACCCAGATTCGTCCATCTCAGATCCCCCATCAAGCCCTCAGCGGTCTTAGGCACCAGCCCCTCGGCCGGTAAGTCCCCCTTCCAAGCTTTCTGCCTGTTCAGAATCTCTTCCACGCCTAGATCCTGCCCTGCCTGTCCTTCGAGTGCTTGTTGGCCATCACGACTAGCCGCTGCAGCTCGGACTTCGTCCTGTTCGGACGAGGTGAGACCGTCAAAGATTGGATAGATGAGCTCTGATGAGCCGGATTCGTACCGCTCGAACAGGTCCGGAGGGAGATTGTAGTGTGTCGACAGAGATAGCGGGTTCGGTGGGCGGGTATACTTCGATAGAGAGGCTTCGAGGAGGTCGAGCTGCTGCTGCTGGTTCAGATAGCCGGGTATGAGGATACATCCTGGCTATCAGCCATGCTGTTCATCGCCTTTAGTCAACAACTCACCGTCCGCAACGACATATCCCTTCTTTCCACTCGACAGCCGGATGGACCTCACACTCCCTTGCATGATATCACCAGGCCTCTCCCCCAGAGCCCTGGCCTTGCCTTTGGCGCGCCGCCTCGCGGATGGGTCCATCTCAGCTGCATCGTTCTCAGGGGACCACCATCCCGCTAACCAAAGCAGGTCATCTTCCACCTTTTCCGGCCTGGAGTGGTCGACGACCGGGTACTTGCGAAGCGAGGGTAGTCGGCCTTTGATAGCGCGGTTCTTGAAGTGCTTCTCGACCTGACGAAATGGTGTCAGAGTGATGTTTGGCGTCCATGAAGAAGATTGGGAAGACATGGGTGGAGGTGAAGGAAAGGGGCGAATTTTGACAGCGTTTCACGGTGGTCACCTGATCAATTGGTACGACGCTTCAAGCTGAGCTGTTTGGATCCTTGGATGAACGGTACAAATGCATCTATGAATAACCCGGGTAGTAAGATGCATGCTAAACAGAGAGGACCAGGAAATGAGGCGACATCTAGATCTTCATCTAAAAAGGATCAGCTGCTGCCAAGACAATAGAGCTGGCAGTAGCAGACTCACCTCCTTGAGCCCGTCCTTCCAGAAGGTGAAGTATGGGGTTGTGCCGTCCTCACGGTAGTTCTGCCGAGTCAGCTCTAGGGTCAAACCCCACGGAAGCTGTAGCTCACCAGCAGCGCGACCATCCCATCGGGGTTCATGCTCTCTCCGACGTAGAACTCGTAGTCCTTGAAGTTTGCGACGACCTTCTTGGCAAAGGTCTGCGCTCCCTTCTCGAACGCGGCGACTCGGTCGGGGTTGTTCTCCTGGAGGTGGGTCTTGACGGCCTTCATGTAGCCCTTCAAGTAGGTGAGGTATGACTAGTGGCTCAGCTGCGGCTCCCGGGCAAATGGCGCAGCACTGCAGCTGATACACACCTTCTTGTCAAACTGAGTAGATTGCAAACGCATAGAGTGGACAACGTTGTTGACCTGGGTCGCACCGTTCTCGAGGGCCTCCTCCATCTCCTCAGCTGAGGGGTTTCCTCCTGAACAGCGTCAGCTGTACATCAGATGTCCATGATACCCTCGACGCACCGATATCGACATCTCCCTCCTTGACGACAATCATGGTGCAATCCACCTCGTACGCAATGTCATCGACCTCCTTCCTGAGACCGCATCAGCAACGTGCACGGCTTCCCCCTTTCCTGGGGCTACTCGAGCCCCTGGCGGACATACAGGTCGTACGCGTCCGAGAGCATCTCATCCTGGGTGACAATGTCGATGTAGAGAAGCATTTTGGCGGGTGATTAGTGGGGTCTTAGGTGTGTATGAGCTGTATAGGTGTTTGGAGAGAGATACAATAGAGGCGGGGAAAAAAGTCTATCAACCGTGCCTGAGCAGGGGGTATTAGAGTGTAATGGGGTTTATTGGATTTATCCCAAGCCACCCTCCACCCAGAGGTCCGCCGTCTTCGCGATTGATCTTTTGAGGCGCTACATCTCTATCTATACGACCTATATACACCGACTAATCGTCATGTCGCCATCACCCATCTCTATCGTCCGGAGTCTACCTCATCATCTATGGCAGAAATTACCACCAACAGCGACCAGGCGACGGTCTGCAGCCAGAGTCGCGAGCGATCGGCCGACGTCTGTACGACCTTCGTCAACAAACACGAAACATCCTGGAGACCGCTCGCACATGCCGCTTGCACTCCCGATCTCCAAGTCTATGAAGCAGCCTACCTTGCAGCGCGCACGGAGGAGGCAGATGGCTACCCTGTCTGGGGAAGATAAAGAGTTTACATCATTCACCCATACGGTTGAAGGTGTGTCATGGCCCGCTGCTATCGGAGGCGAAGCTGAAGCAGTAGATGGGATAGCAGTCGACGGTCTCGGAGAGGTTGAACCAGTAGAGATTGAAGGGATCCCCGAAGAAGAATACGTACCTCCTGTTGAGCATTCATCCGGGAGGCTCACTCCGAGTCAATGTCGGATTCAGCGTACGTCCGATCGGCTTTTTATCTACCCATCAAGTCGTGCCTGATTAGACAGGTGTACAGCCCGAACGACGGGCGAAGATCGCCACTCTGCGCAAATCACTCCAGAAAGTACTGTTCAAGTGAGTGGACTGGTTCTTCTTGTTCGCAGATTGCTGACACCTAGTCCTGGTGTGCACTTCATTCGGGATCCTCGAACGGGACATCGTAACTTTGAATTCAGCTTGGAAGACGTACCGTCCAAGGACGACTTTGCGTACCATCGCTGCCCATCTTACATCTCGCCATCCAAAGACGCTGTGAGTGTTCGGCTTCAGATCGGATGCTTTCGATGAAGCCAAACTGATCGCTAGAGCCTCGCCCGTTTAGCTGAGCAAAACGGAGCTCACTTTATCGGCTCGACATCCTCTTTGACTCAATCTCTCAGCAACTTTTACTTTGCACTTAGCGGTGAGCTCTTCCGCTGCGCATGGTGTTGTTCTCGCTGATCTTGCAGGCGGGAAAGGCATCAACCTATCTACAATCAGCATGGACTTCCAGGACAACGTAAGCCTGACCTTTTGTTCTGAAGCTGACTTCAGCGATCCGACTTTACAGCCGGCGCCTCACTCGCCGCTTCCATCATCCTTCGACCTATATCTGACCATCCCGGTGTCTACGCGATTGACAGCGACAAGTCGCACGACGTCGAGAATGTCCTTTCTGATATTGGACGAGTCCTAGAGAAGGTGCTTACGAGCGAGGATCAGGACTTTCAGCGGTTTCTGAAATCCGCACCCGAGTCGGCTGTCCCGGAGAAGGAGAGGACAGCGCCAGAGGCATACAGCTACTGCAAAGTGAGCCAATTGCGCTGGATGAGATCCGATTGCAAGAACTGATGATCAGTCCGGCTCGATGCTCATGCGCTCCCAACTCGATTGTTGGGATCGTCGTCTTCCCGGATCAGGCGTATTTGATATCAAAACCCGAGCTTGTCACCCCATCCGCCACGATCGAGCGAATTACGAGGCGAATAGCGTGTATGATATATCTACAGATCGAGGGAAAGGGGCCACTTTTGAGCGGGAATTATATGACCTGGCAAGATCGGGAATGTTGAAGTATACGTAAGTCATCATCCGATAAGTGGAGCTGCGGCTGACGGCACCAGTATGCAAGCGAGGATCGGAGGCATGGATGGCATACTTTGCGCCTTCCACAATACCAAGCGCCTGATGGGGTTCCAATATCTCCCTCTGTAGGTGGCGTCCGATGGCTTGGACCGGACATGGCTGATGTTGACAGTGCTGAGATGGACGAGATACTTTTTGGCTCGTCCGATATTGGCGATATGGCCTTTCGGTACTCTGTTTCCCTTTTCGAAGCTACCCTCAAACACATCACCAGCAAGATATCGGACGAGGTACGGCTTGCGGCGCATTGCAGACGACAAGGTGCATGAGCTGATATTCCAGCCTGTAGCAGTCATTATTCGGCACACCTACGGTACAGCCAATAGCGTCGATGTCGCCTTTCATCCGCTCGGAAAGCCCGAAGAGACCCATGGTCTACGGGTAGCTATCCTCAATGTTGTCAACCAGGAAAGCGTAGTCGGGGAATTAGTGATTGACCCAGAGCTGAACCCTAAACGGGATTGTGAGTCCCCCTATCTCCCTCTTCACCCCAATGGTTCCCTCTTGAACACGATCGACAAGTGTGCAGAGCTAACAGCTCAGGGGTCGTCAAGTATCGCCTCAACTCGCTAAGCGCCAAATCAACAATCAAACTTCTCTCGTCCACCCAAAAGATATTCGACTCGATGGCGGTCCTTAGCGTACCCGAGGGAAAGACGGTGGAAGAGATGACTGCTGCATCTGCCGCGTCGGGTGGGGCGGAGATGACGGATACGGGAGATGCGAGGGGGCAGGTACAGTGGAAGAAGGCGGATGGGTATATTCTTGGGATACGAAGGGAGGCGAAGAAGATTGGCGCCGAGTATGAGGCGAGGAAGAAGGGGTGGAGGAGGATTTGGGCGGCGGCTAGGGTGATCAAGGAGGAGGAAGGTACGGCTTAGGGCATGTATCTGGTGCGAATGATATCAATTATGTCTTGGCGAGTCTCTAGGTTGGAAGACGCCGAGGGCTGTGCACCGAAGGCGATACCCGCAGCAAGCAACAGCTACTAGAGAGCTTGTTGACATTCGGAGATACTGGTCAAACTCCGCAAAAATCGCCGGAGAATAAGGCCGAACAAGGTTCAGAGCCAAAGCTTGGTAAGATCCATACTCAAGGGACCGCATCGGGAGTCATCACCTCTCATTCATACATCTCATTGCTATCTCCCTGCTGCATCTTGTTCAGAACTACTTGCCGACGCTGGAAACCATGGCCGCAGTAGACGATGTCCCGCGCGTTTTGGCGAGAAATAACGCCTGTCATCAGTGCAGGTACGTTCTTTGCCGGCCCTTCCGCCGTATTTGTCACGATGACGAAGTGCCTCGCGCGGCCCTTCACAGCCATATGCTGAATCTCTCAGAAAAAGAAAGCTTCGGTGCGATGCCAACAGACCGCGCTGTGGACACTGCAGCAAACCGCGAGTCCGGGGCGCAGCGGCCCATGCGCCGCCTGAAGAATGCACGTGGGATCCTGCAAAGCTCGAGGGGGAGCCTTCGTCCTCTACGTCCGCGGGGACGGGGGTGAGGCGGAACAGGTCCGAGTCGGACGACCAGGATGGGGAGGGGAGTATGAGCGGTGCAGGGAGAGGGAAGAAGAATAAGCTGGACGTGCTGGAGTCTAGGCTTTGTGAGTCCTTTCTCGACGACGTCTCAAGGGACATTAGCTGATAGACTTAGCTGCGTTCGAGAGTGTTGTGCGGCCTGGGAACCCAGACAGCGGGATACGGAGCACGCGGCCTATGGTGGCGCCCAGCGCGAGCTCGAGTGTCACTGACGTCAACCGGTGGACGACTTTGGCTTCCAGACCATTACTGCCCGCTCGACCGCTCGGCGCGCCTGCGCCTGCTACCTCGGCCGGTCCGACCCCTTTCCTCGCTCCCGAACTTCCCTATGATGACCTAGAGTGGGGAGCGAATGACCCGTATGCGGGTCTCGGCGAGCCGTCCGACGCGACAGCACTGGTCTGGCCGGACTGGCCCAGAGATTTGCCGAGCTTCCAGGTGGTCCAGCACGCTGCGGGGGTCTTCTTCGACAAGATCCCCACGCTACCCAAGATGCTTCACCGAGCTACATTCTTGGCTCAGTTACAACTCCCGCCTTCTCACTATGCCTTCCCCGTAAGTCCGCTTCTCTAGCAGGAACTCCCCAGGCTGACCGGCAACTAGTGTCCTGCGCTCCTCCATGCCATCCTCGCCATTACCGCCAACCACATGTCCGAGGCCGCTCTCGCCTCCTCAGCCTACTTCCCCGTCGGCACCCCACACGGCGCATTCGAGCACCCCACGCGCGACCTCGACCCCGAGCAAGAACCGGCCCGCATCCTCGGCTTTGGCGCCGGATGGCGGTACTACGCCTCGGAATCCCCGGTGGCCAAGTTCCAACTCTGGCACCGGCGAAAAGCGTACGAGAGCTGTCCGGTCTTTTTCGATCGGGGCGAGAAGTTGCTGCAGTGCGTACAGGCTCATATCATCGCCACGGCGGTAGATCAGTATAATGCTTGGTGGGTCGATCTGTGGATGGAGGCGGGGGCGTGTCTGAGGATGACGGTGCCGCTGGGGTTGAACGAGAGCAAGAGTGAGTGTAACTAGCATCGTGTGGGTTGAAGCTGATGGTATAGATGTACATCCGGACTCGCTAGGTCTGACGATGAGCAAGGAGCTGCTCCGGCCTGCAGTGACGCCGCAGGAGCATGATGAGCGGGTGAGGACGTGGTGGATGGCGTACATGCTCGAGAGGAGTACATCTTTTGCAACAACCTGGCCAGCTGTGAGCACCACCTGATCCTGAGGACAGACATCGGGCTGAAGACGCAGTCACTGGATGACGACGATATCACTATCGAGCTGCCCATTCTCCAACAGGCCTTTGATGCGGTCATCGGTGGCGGTGTCAAAGGGATTCAGTCCTTACAGTAAGCGTTCTCCAAGAGGCAAGGCTGACCCGCAGTGCGCCTGACTTTTACTCGGTCTACCCTCCGGAGCATGCCGACGTGAGTTGTCTTGAACGCACGAGGCGACAACAGCTGACATGCCAGAGCTTGAACGTCTTGATCAAAGCGCACAAGCTGCAAGGCGAGGTGGGGCGATTCTTTAGGCGGTACTCGAAAGGCCCGCACAGCACCAAGTGGATCCCTCGGACTATACCGCAAGACAAGGCTGATTCAGCAGGGCGTACGCTGCGGATCCAGCCCTCCACACCCTCCTATCCAAATTCTCGACTCTCCGCATGTCATGCCCCTCTCACCTCAGGCGGCCGACGCAGCTCTTGAACGGCTCGGTCGACGTCGATCTCGTCGCGGCGACGATGATCACTCATGCGGGCTCCGTCACGCTCGCGGAACCGCTTATTACGGTTGATAGCTGGACGCATGATATTTCCAGGATGTGTCTGACCGCCATCCGGTCCGTGTTGTCGATTCTGTACGATAGTAAGTTGTCCCATGAACGACAGACGTCGAGGGGTCAGCTGACGATATAGTCACTGCCACCAGCTTTGACCGTGAGCTATAATATCCAGACTGGTGATCAGAGGAGAGGCTTGAGCTAACCCAACAGTGACGCTGCTACCTCCAACAGTGCCTTGGGCATGGACAATGTCTGCTCGTTGCTTGTTGCGCTTCATCACTGCTGCGGGCGAAGCGGGAGATGTAGTGTCAGTTCAAGTCTTCAGCTCTGAGGTTGAGGTGTTCCGGTAAGTACTTAGCTTCACTTGATTTTTCAAGCAGCGCTGACAAGCAGTCTTGCACTCCGGCGATACGGCGAGCGCTACCCTATCGGCCACAAACACCTCGTCCTCATCGACAGCCTCATTGACCGGAGCCGCCCCCTCAACGGACCCATGTGCCACGAGGACGACGCGTTCCAGGCAGTCACCATCTCGGCCATCGGAACCAACAGCGGCGGATCCACGCGGACTACGCCGAGCTTCACCGTCCTCCATACCCCACCTGGCCACTCCTGCGTCGCCGCCGACATGTCCATGTCTACTTCAGCGTCGACAAGCGGGGTCGGGGCCGGTAGCAACGGCCTCAGTTCTGGTCTGGCCGCGGCTATGCCCAACACGATCGACAACATCGCCATGGCCTTTTCGGCGGACAACCCATCCGGAACAACAGGGTACTCTGGGTTTGACGTTTCATCCTTTTCTTTCGATTTTGATGCGCTTTCGGACATGTTTGCGAGCACAGAGACGGTATTCAATGGGTCAGACTTTATACTCAAGTAGGGAAGGATGCATACCGTCCCGTAGTACCGACGTCACGTAGCTGTGAGCGTCGGACATTGTCGGGCCGGTTCGGTGAATGTTCGGTAAAGAAAAGGATGTGCCGTAAAAGTAGGTCAGGGCGGTGTTTGAGTTGAGATCTCTTCCCGCCTTGTCTCGAAAGACTGATCAGCGCTCCACTCACGTCAAGCGGCAGCTGGCGGGCAGTCACCCTGCAGGTGCTGCGAGTCAGCACAAAGAGGCACAGAAGAGGGCAGAAGAGGGGCATGGCATGGCATCAGAGGCGGCTATTGTTATCGTATCGTTCCAGCGTTTCGACATTACTCCGCCACCACTAGCTGTTCCTCGCAGATCATTCTAGCGTTGAACTCTAGTCTGTACTATATCCCGAGGACGAAGAGAGTCCGACGCATAATCGCAGATACCGCAGAAGCTTGGCGATCGAGCCGCTTCATTACAACCCATCTCATCTCATCTCCGTATTCGCAGTGGGGCCGCTGTTGCACGTGCAGCTCTCCATCTTTCGTCTGCTCGACTGTTCTTCGCCATCGTATTGCTCGCCATCTTTCCCCCCCAATCCACCCACTCCTTTCGGCCAGCCGTCCAGGATGAGATTCCCTATCCACGCATTACGGCGGAAATCCGTCGTCCCCGCCTCCATCACTCCCCCCCACCCCGCCCCCGCTTCCCCACCACTCAACCCCGCCCGCGATACCTCGGCGCCTGCATACGATGGCGAATTACCCATCTCGACCGCGCGGCCAGCGCAGAACGTGTCACTCAAGATGAAGGATATGGTGCGGGAGGACTGGGCGTCGACCAAGATCTTTCTGAGGACGATGGACTGGAAAGTGGTGCTCAGGGCGATGGTACGGCGGTATCTCTGGAGTGAGTCTAAAATCCCACTTGTTCATGATAGACGGGGCTGATAGGGTGCAGAGTGGTACGCTATAGCCGCGGTGGCCATCACGCTCACGGTCCTCATCACGACGCAACATGATGCGGTGGTCAAGTTCTGTGCGCCAGTGGCACATACTATCCGAGGTTGGCCTGGAGGTTGGCTTATCCCCCTCGCTTTGCTTATCATCGTCTCTTATCCCCCGCTTGTCGGGCACGAAAGTGAGTCTGCTTGTCCCGGCGGGATGACGGTCCGAGCTGACCGCTTAGTCATCGGGATCTTGATCGGTCTGGTCTGGGGCATGGGCCAGGGCTTTGCCATCCTCGCCGCTGGAACCTTTATTGGCGAGATCCTCCTCTGGTTCAGCTTCAAATGGTGCTGCACCAACGCGGCGGCTAAGTTTGAGAAGAAGAACAGACTTTACTGGTCCCTCACCCAACTCATTCGGGAGAAGGTACGTCCCCCGTCCTCGACATAGCTGACGTCCAGACTTTCATGTTTGTCCTCATCCTTCGATTCTCAGCCATCCCCGGACACATCGTGACGGCCGTCTCTGCCTCCGCGGGCGCCAACTACTGGTCTTACCTCGCTGCGGCGTTCCTTACCCTCCCCAAGCAATTCACCATCGTCTACCTCGGCGAGGCGTTCGGGCACAAGGAGCAAAAGCACCAAATCATCTCCACCGCGACCCTGCTTTTGACGATCGTCGTCACGGGTATCGCGGCCGTTTACGTCTACTACCAAATGCGGCTGGTATGGAAGCGGCGCGAGCTGGAGTTGCCGACAACACTGGGCGTGCCGATGGTGGAGAATCCGACATGGGCGGATGTCGTCGAGGCGGAGAAGCGGGAAGAGGAGATGAAGGAGAACAAGGATGGCGTGGAGGGGATATACCTCCCTTCTCTGGATGCCAAGAAGCCATGGCTCGCCGCCAACGCAGCGAGGGCATGGTCGGTCCCCCACCATATGACCGAGGCGGAAATGCGGGAGTTCAGGGAGGAGATGGACGGCTCGCAGCCTATCCCTTCGGTCAAAGTGGACGAGGTACCCCGCTTCACATCCTCCTTCGACATTTCGCGTACGGGCACACCACTACCCCGGCCCCGGTCGAGCCTCCACCTGGAGATCGCGCCTGATACCCCTGGCGCGTCCGGGCCTACATCGCCTATCAGGGGAGATCGGAACTCGACACGTCGTCGCTCGGCTGATCTCGGACGACCAGACTCGGGGGCGGGCGGCAGAGCACAAGCGGACGAGGCGGACGCGTATGCGTACAATCGCGGAGGAAGGCGGCCGGACTTTGGGAGGATGCGAGGCGAGTCAAGAGCGGCATTGTTGGGTCCGCCCAAGGATGAGACGTCCAAGTAGTGCGAGACAGTGGGTCCCGTAGAGGGTCTGGCGAGGGGTCGTTGTCGGGATATCTAGTTTGAGGGGTATTTGTAGGTCAGTCTGTTGTGCGATTCATACTAGGGGTATCGTCGGGAGAGGAGATGTCGGAGTATTGTCATAGTTCGTTGATATGCGTGCGGGTATATGCAGATTGTAACAGGCCATGCTATCTAATCATCTAGTCTACGTGTCTACTCGGGGGCGACCTTGAACAGCCTCTCTCCTCGCCCGACTTGAGGCTCGCCTAGCGCTCTCCACCGTCTCAGCTGATCTTCCCGCCGTTCCTTACATGCGTCTATCATAGTGGACCAGTAAGACTGGTGGTCATATGGCGACTGCCCGTCAGTCCCTCGTCGGATATCCACATGTCCCCTTGATTCCCCTTGATTCCCCTTGATGGATACACGTAGCTCACCTCAAGATCCCCTCCGCACTCCTTCAACAACTCTCCCGGATCTACCTCTCCCGACGCTACTATATCCTCCCCGAACCGCACCTTCTTCTTTGTATTCGCATCGACGAACGGCCACATGAGGTTCACGAATGCCTTGACGACCCAGGGCATAGCGAGGAAGTGCGACGTGTGGAGCTTTTCGGGATAGTATTCGGAGAGGATGTGTAGGGTTTCGCGGGCGACCTGGAGTATCAGCGGGATTCGGGCAGAGTGCCATTCCGGGATTTAGCAAGAGAGCTCACTGATATGCTTGTGGGTTGACCGGACCGCTTGCCTATGAAGCTGAAGACGACCATTGTGTCGCTGTATCATCAGTCACACCTCCCGACGGGCGGCAGTCTGTGAGGCAGTAACGCGTACCCGACTCCGCCAGTCATCAGATCTGCAGCCCGCTCGAGCATGAAGATCTATTTTATCAGCTATGCCTCTTCCCGAGAGAGTCAGATAGGGAGGCTGAAGGCTCACAGCATGTATAGCTCGCCGTCTTTCAACCGGCGTAGTATTCCTATTCGGGAAGAAGTATATTATAGGCCGACTGTGTTTCGTGTAGCCAAGGACGATATTCTTGCCTGTCGTGGCCTATTGTGTCAATTACGAGGCTCTAAGGTAGCGAGCTGATCAGTGCCCCCTTGTCCACAAAGACTAGGTAGCTCGGGCGGAGGCAGCTCACCTCTGGTTCACAGCTATCGGACATCGCTTGGAGATCCTCAACATTCTCCGTGCGGCGCCATATGAGCGTCTTCTCCAGTCGGGCAATCGCGGCCGTCACGTCTCCCTTCACAGCTATCCTATCAGCGGGTACTCGTCTCGGTGTTGTACAAGACGGACCAAGCAGGAAACGGAGGATCCCTTCTCTCGACTGGAACCATCAGCGCACGTTTACCTCGACACCTGGGTCAAACCACAGCGAAGTGAAAAGACTTACCAAGAATATCATCTCCCTCTCCGACAAAGGCGCCCTCGCTTCCGCGTCCCCCTCTGGGCCAGAAGTAACAGGCAGGTCATACCCCTCCTCGCTAAAGTGCGCGATGATCTCAAGGACCTTTTGCTCCGTCTCTTCCGACTGCACCTGCGGTGATGCCGAGCTTGAAACGGCGCGAGGTGCCAGTAGCCTCTTGACTATATCCGCAGACGACGACATCCCGCCTGTCACGTCGCGATGCAGCTGTGGTGCAGATTGTCTAGGTCAAGTAGGTGGATAAGGTGGATGACCTTTTGATCCGGTCAAGCCGAAAGATGCTCGCAGCCCCGTTACGGCATGCGTTTCAGCCGTACCCCGGCCAGGTTCAACGTTCACATGTTCACAGCTGATAGAGTGGGCTGCGCGGCTGGAGCGTGTCATTCGGAACAAGGAGCGTGAATATAAATCATAGCTCATAAGCCACATCTAGCAATCTAGTCGTCTACTCCGGTGCTACTTTGAACAAGCGCTCCTCCCTCCCGACCTGGGGCTCCCCTAGCGCCCGCCACCGCCGCATTTGGTCCTCTCTGCGCTCTTTACCCACCTCCAGCATCGTCGACCAGTATGTCTCGTGATCGTAGGGCAGCTCAATGATCAGCTCTTACCTTCTGACTCAGGCTACGCTCGTCCGATGTCACTCACGTCCAGCTCTCCCCCGCACTCCCTGAGAAGCTCCCCTGGCTCCACATCTCCCGCCCCAACAATGTCCGTCTCGAAGTTGACTTTCTGCTTAGTCTTGGCGTCGACGAAGGGCCACACGAGATTAACGAAGGCCCGGACAATCCAGTGCATACCGAGAAAGTGGGACGTGTGGAGCGTTTCGGGGTAGTACTCGGAGAGGATGTGCATTGTCTCGCGAGCGTTCTAGTGGGCGGCCAGTCACCTGCGGAGCGAACAAATGGGAAGAGCGCTTACGGTTAGACTCTCGGATGGACCCTTTCGCTTCCTCTGAAGCTAAAGATGACCATGGTGTCGCTTGTGCGTCAGCTCCATGCGTTGTCGCTACTGCCCTGGCCCGCAGCGCTGACCCAATTCCGCCGGTCATAAGGTCAGATGCTCGCTCGATCATGAAGATCTGAATGGTCAGGTATCACTCGCATCCTCGTGTGGAGCTCAGAAGACGTCCATCAAGCGGACCCACATTATGTATGCTCTTTCGTTCCTCGACCGGCGTCGTATTTCTATTCGGAAAGAAGTAAATGATGGGTCTGTTCTGCTTCGTGAAACCCATGATGATGTTCTGGCCTGTCGCCGCCTGAGGTATCAGTATCAGCTCAGCTAATCCTCAGGCGCAGTCCTGCAGGTTGCAGTAAACGATAACTCACTTGCGCTTTGCAATCATTAGCCATCGCCTGGATATCCTCGACATTCTCGGTTCTGCGCCAAAGAAGTGTCTTTTCCATGCGGGCAATCGCGAGCGAGACGTCTCCTTTAGCAGCTACACAATCGGCTTCCAGTAGCTCCCAGCCAGTAATGAGAGATGATTCGGACCAAATAGGAATCTGATGATCCCATCACGTGACTAGGCACGTCAGCTTAGTCATGTCGCTTGCAAGTTGCGCGCCCCAGCTGCAATCGCGAGCCGAAGAGCTCACGAGGTAGATCAGTTCGCGCTCTGACAGCGGCGTGCCTGCCTCCTCCGCCCTCGCTCTTATGGAAGTAGGCAGGCCATGCCCCTCTCTGCTGAAATGGGCAATGATCTCGAGAACCTTGCGTTCGATGTCGTCCGCAAGCGTCTGGGGCGGAGAGGGCGAAGCGGCGGCTCGTGGAGTGAGTAAACGCTTATACGTGTGTGCAGCTGACATTCTCATTTCGGGCTGCTTGTAGTACTCTCAGATGGCTGCCAGAGCTGTGAGTGCGGCAAGAAGGTATATACGAAGAGAACTTTGTGATCGCCCACGATGCGTCGATGCATCGCGGAGCTTTCGTGACCTGATACTCATTACGTCATCGCCGTGTTTCAAAGTTTAACGCGCCGAAAAGAGAAGCGGTGCCGAACTCCGCGCCTCACCTGTGCTTCTGTACATCATCCTCATCGAGCCATCATATAAGCCATGTCTCTGCGCGACCAGAGCTGCTACACTCTCATCTTACAGCCATCAGCGACGGATCAGGCCGTCGTGGAGCTAGTAGAAGTTGAAGGTGTCAAGCGGGAGACGAGGTATGCGCGGGTCAAGGAGAAAGGGTTGGATGACGCAGAGATATACACTGCGGGGATATACGGTATGCTTGCCACCTTATTCGGAGACTATGACGGTGGAAGCTGAAGCGGTAGACTATCTGACAGGCGCGAAGCTCGCTTCCACAGGATATAGGGCTGAGAAGGGCGCCAAGCAACGGCGGCTACAGCTGCACGGGCCAGACGAGGAGGTATCGTTCGAGCATACAGGCAAGCTGAGCTTTGTGAGTCTACAATCGCATCAGCTACCCACTTCATGTAGACTCCATGTGCATACTGAATGATAGCTGATCCTGTCAGGAGTGGACCTTTACTTTCGGTGGTAACAAGTTCCGGTGGAACAAGGAGATTTACGGGAAAGACTATATCTGCTCCCTGGACCGTAAACCTGATCCCAAGGTGGAAATATGCTTGTGAGGTTTTCTCCTCTCTACCAGTTCTTAAAGTGCTACATGAGAGCAAGCTGACTGTTCAGAGCTCGAAGTCCGGACAAGAATGAACCGGGCCGGGTCCAGATTCTGCACTACAATATCGAACGGTTCCCAAATGAAATTACGGATCTGCGCGGATTGGAGACGCTTCTGGTGACCACGTACGTATCCGCGGCCTAAGCTGTCGTCTCTGAGGATAGTGGAGCTCGGTTGACGATAGACAGATTCATGTCTTTCGTTGATGCATTGGACGAACGGACTCCCCGTCCTCCTCCCTCTGCCCTCAACAAAACAGTCTCGCCGAGCGCATCGGCCTCGAGCGTTCCACTATCTGCGCTGGGTCAGGGAAAGGCTGTGGCTTCGACAACAGTAGTCACCGAGGATGATTTTGAAGTAGTACGTCGGTCGAAGTGGCCGTCATGGGGAGTTGGACTGATCATCAGGAGGACAGCAATGAGATCCGTGTAGGGCGGTCTAGCGATGTGGATGATAGGATAGCCAGGGCTGTGGGGTTATTACTGGTGAGCTATAAAGCTCCGTATGAGGTTTCAGTCTTCACAGCTGATTCGCACAGGATCCGGCAATACTGTTCGTCATCATCCGTACTAAGGAGCCGTCTGCTGCTCAGCGGGCTTTAGAGGTTGCGCTGGGCGTGACGAGGTGAGAATTTCCACCCTTACTAAGTCGGGACCATGGCTCATGATGCAGATTCCGGCATCGAGAGGGGTTGAGCGATCTACACCAGTATGTCGTGGAACAGGCCGAGCCAGAACCTACCGCCGGCCCATCTTCAGTGGCTCCACTCGTCAAAGGGCCGAAGGTGATCAAGCTGGATGATCCCCAGCCGCAAGCCCCACAACCAAAGTAAGTCTGTCTTGATATCCACGGTGAAGCCCAGCTGATCAGGAGGAGACCGTTGCAACCCGCCACGGCACTCAACATCGCCATTTACCTCTCGACAATACAGCTGCCGGATCTTGTTCCGAAGAGTAAACCATCCGCGACTGGGTCAGCCCCTCGACCGGCCAAAGATACCACAAAGCCGACCGCCGGACCATCAGGTAGTGCCGCTAAGCCGGCGGCTTCTCTCTCGAAGCCGGCCAAGCAGAGTATGCCCTCTTCGACGAGCGCAGCGCCCCTGCCAGCACGTATACCCTCCAACCCTGTCAGGCCTAGCGCCCCACCTGCTCAGCCTGCCAAGCCAATACTTGCCAGACCAGCAGCGGCCTCGATCCGTCCACCGCCACCACCGGCAAACAGGCCCATTTCTCCCCAGCCGCCCCCTCGACCCGCCCCGCCAGCGCCTGCCGTTACCGGGGATGGGAAGGGAAAGGACGAGTCGGTGATGAAGAAGCTGATAGCGATGAGTAGGCGTTGAGGATCATCTAGGAGGATGTCATGTTGAGAAATGTCCCGCTTCGGTCGCAAGACCACATCCATGCAAAAGCGCCGATGAGACATATCTGCTATTGCTACACAGTATCCCTCTTGGACTTCTTCTTTCTCCCTTCTTCTCGTCCGAAAAGTCGTCACCACCCGAATAACCCTTACTCGTCATCCTCCTCGTCCTCCTCGTACAGTCCCTGCAGATACGCCTTGCCCAGCCGATATTCCTTGATACAGATCAAGAACTGGTCCGAAATCCGCTTGAGCGCTTCGGGTTCCGTCAAGTCCTCGCCAGCCTCCTCGTCCCGCTTGTTTCCGTAGTGCTGTATCTTTTCGCACGCGTCTTGGACCTTGATGATGCCCAGTGCGGCGGACGAGCCTTTGAGGAAATGTCCGAGCGAAGAGAGTTTGACAAGTTCCTTCTTTGCCCTGTGGGTCAGCTGGATCTTGAGCCTTGAACGAGAGGGATGATACGCACAAGGCATCCTCAAGCTGCTTGAATGTCTGCTCTGCCTGCTCAAAGAATCCCCAGACAATCCCCCTACTGAACGCATTTGGCTCCTCGTCGCCTGATCCATCATCGTCCTCCTCGTCCATATCCCGGATCTGCTGAAAGACCTCGAGATCAATCACGCCTTCGGCCGATGTGGGCGACTGTTTGTCAGCCTGAGTTTGTCGTCAAGTGATGTGTGTAGTCAGCTCACCGGTACCTTCTCTGCGAGGAGCGCATCAACGTCGACAGGTGTGGCAGCCGAGCTGGAGGCTTCGGGCTTTGTTTCGGACATTATGTGTCAGGTGAAGGTATGAAGGGGATGGAGGAGCGAGGCTTGGGTCGGGACTCGAGGAGGTCCGAGCGGTGCAGCTGATCAAAGGAGGGTCGATGTGTTGATTCCTCGGTGTTGCCAGGGCGCGCGGAGAGGATGTGCGCGGAAGGTATGAGAGGGCTAAGCCTGAGTGGCTTGCTGGTAGAGGATGATGGGAGAAGATAGAAGCTTTGTTGAGGACGGACTTTGTGGCGTCGACGTCGTTACGATCGTCCACTGGAACGGATGACGTAAGCCTCTAGACCAGCCACACCTATAGCTATAGCTGCCCACAGCAAGTAGCTGTGCGTTCACCAATAGAACCTACCCACCGAGATGTCTACTGTCCAGGCTACCAGCCCGTTGGCTGCTCTGCCAGCTCAGAACGAGTTACCCGACGTCCGCACTCTTACCACTCCCGAGGAAATCTCGGCCCGACTGGCCCTTATCGCGCGACGCGAGTCCGACCTCACTCTCGCGCTCAATGCGCTCATCTCTGATCGGAGCCGCATCGATTCCGCCCTCTCGCGACTGAGAATCATCGGGTCACATGTCAGCCGACTCGCTGTTGAGGTGGACGGCGGTGGGGGTCCGTCAAGCGGGATCATGCCGCCATTTGGGGCGTCGACGCGGGGGCTGGGTCTGCAAGATGGGGAAGGGGAGCAAGGGGCAGAGGGGCTCGTGGAGAGGATACGAAGGGTGTGGGAGACAAGTGAGAGGGTCGGAGGGAAGGTGCGGAGGCTGGATACGGAGATTGGAAGGGTCAAGGAGGCGGTGGATATCGTAACGGAGGTGATGGAGCTCAAGGTGAGCTGAAGAGTTCTGTTCGGGCAGAGGGTACAGCTGACCTGTCAGAATGCGCTCCAGACTTGCTCAGCGGCCATCGAGAAGGAAGACTGGGAGTCTGCTGCTCGAGCTTGCAAGCGAGCCATGTCGATCCGCGCAGACGTGATAGAAGGCGGGTATGCTGGGACCGTCGTGGTCAGTCACAGGGCCGCATTGCTTTGAGGCAAGAGCTGATCTTGCAGCCAACACCACAGCAATCTCTACCACCGCCTCAAATCCTGGACCAGCTTCGAGATACCCTCCTTCACACGTTCCGAACCGAATTCGACGCCGCAGCAGCGCGGAGAGACCAGCAGGCTGTCTCGCGCTTCTTCCGCCTTTGGCCGGGAGTGGATGCAGAGGAGGAAGGGCTGGAGGCGTATGGCGACTTTGTGGTCGGGCTGGTCAAGGCGAGAAACGCGGCAGCGGGGAAGCGTAAGCATTTCACGGCGCATGCGGTGGACAAGCTGACTGGCAGCTTCTTCGCCGATGTACTACCTCACACAGCTCACTTCCCTGCTGGAAGCTATCGCGCATATCATTGACCAACATCAGCCAGTTGTAGAAAAGTACTATGGCGTAGGGCGGATGCGCAAGGTTGTCAGGCGGTTAGTGGAGGAGAGCGATCGCGTGCTGCGAGGTCTCGTCGAAGGATGGGAAGAGGAACGGCGAGTCGGCAGACTGGTAAGTACCCCTCATTTCGCCTCTTCGTTGCTAACCACTAGATATCGGAAACGAAGCAAACCAAATTCCCACTCCTCACTACCCCTTCCCTGCTCCCACCACTATATCCATCTCTCGCTATATCCACCACGACAGGGCCCCAACTCTCTGTATCCGCTATAGCCAATAGCGCCAGCTCACATCTTGGCAATATCTCCTCCGCCACTTCGCTGCTACAGCAGTATGCTCAGGGCGGGGCCAGCGGATCGAAGCGGCTCCCGGCGGAACGCGCCAGCACGCCTCAGCAGGTGGCCGAGGAGGAGCCGAATGGGCCGGACCCCAAGGATGTGGATAAGGTCCTGGGGGAGCTCGTGGCGCTTGGAGGGCGATGGGCGCTGTTTAGGCGATTTGTCAATGGGCGACTTGCCGTGAGTGACTGCGAAGATCTAGGCGATTATAGCAAGCTGACAGGGCTAGGAAGATGCGCAGGAGGGACTCGCAGTATCTCCCGGAGCGCAACTTCTTGACGAATCATCACAACCTATCCCAAGCCCGTCGCCTAAGCTGGCAGCCGGTGAGGTCCTAGAACAATCTGGCAGCCACAAGGCCATCCAAAATCTGCTTCGGGTCTACTATGAGCCCCTCGAGCTCTGGTTCTTGCGGATCAGCATCGAAAAGGTGAGCGCTTCCTTGATCCTGGCGGAGCAGAGCTGATCCCAGGCGCACTGCCTCGACTCTCCCGATACTTCCGCCGAACCCATCGTCTCGTCCCTCGTGGACGATACATTCTACCTAATCAAGCTCGTCCTCAATCGTATCCTCTCGTGTGGCTCGGTCGGGACATTACGGTCGATGCGGCAAAAGCTGGGCGAGGTGATTGAGCGCGACTTTAATGGGATCATCAAGAGGCGGATGGAGGCTGTGTATGCGGGTCAGGCGGTCTCGGAGCGGGAGAAGGACAAGGCGCGGGATCAGCGGTCGGCTTTTGTTGTGAGTCGACTCTGAGGCGACGGGGTGCAGCGGCTGATGTTCAGATCTACTTGAACAATTTGGACGTGTCTGCCGACTATATGGACCGCCTCATCCTCAATGCGCAGGATACAATCACGAATGTGTTTCTCGAGGAGGAGATGGAGGATGTCAAGGCGGAGCTGAAGAGTTTGGGCAACACATCGAGCGACTTCAGAAGTACAGCCAGAGTGAGTGTCACGATGTCCTTTTGCGTGGATCGTGCTGACAGCTCAGAATGGACTTGAACAGCTCTTTAATCAGCTCACGAGACCAAAACTTCGGGCCCTGCTGGACGAGTGCTACAGAGATACGTCATACCTCCTGGACGATGACGACTATGCCGAGGCGGAAGAGCTCGATATAGTGCGGAAGCGGTTCCAGCGGGCATGGGAGGGTCTCGTCGATGGGTACAAGGTGGGTCTGGCTATCCTGCAGAACACAATGCCGGCTGGAGCTGACATCTCAGGGCGTCCTGACGGACCACAATTATCAGATACTCTTCAATCTCACGGTGGAGACGCTAGTGAGACCATGGGAGAAGATGGTGATCGGTATGGAATTCACCGAGGTATGTCCGCTAGATGTTCACTGGTCTCGTGCGAAGCCACAGCTGACACTACAGCTCGGTGCGATCAGGTACGATCGCGATATTCGCGGGATTGCGAACTATCTTTCGACGCAGACGAACTTTGGAGGCGTCCGGGAGAAGTTTACGCGATTGCAGCAGATCGGGACGGTATTGAACATGGACCAGGTGAGTTGTTCGATATCTAGGGCACGGGAGACAACGAGCTGACTTTGTAGGAGGAAGATCCGGAGGAGTTCTACTCGAATTCGGGAATACCATGGCGCATCAGCAAAGCCGAGTACAACGCCGTACTGCAACAGCGGCAGTAGAATTGGGATCCATAGGATCTACTCCGCGATGCAATGTCTTGTACGGCCAAACACATATAAGATATTCGACCGCTACTCGGCTTGACTGTCATCTGTGCTCGCGCTCCCCGGTCCATCCGCTGCGCTCGCCGCTCTTGTCCGCCGGGATACCCCCTTCTATCTTGACGATGATATCTCTCTTGCCATCTCCGGCTTCTTGAGGTCCCAGCAGGGCACCGACAGACCCTCTTCCGTCATTCTCGGCAGCCAGTACACCGGCACTGGACCGGCTTTGAGTACACTACCACCGCCTCTTACGTCCCCCCAGCCTCCACAGCCTATCCTTACGCCGTTTCCCCGTCTACCCTCCTCAACACGGTAGATTTCACCGAGGCGTCTACTGGCCCGCCGGGGTCCTCCGTGTCGCAGGTCAAGGTCACCCTCAAAGCGCCACCCGCTGCCCCGACGTCCATCGCTTCCACCGAGGCGGCGTACTCGATCGAGTCTGCCATCTGCGGCTTGATCAAGCGCTTGATTGAGCCGTTCCAGCTACAAACGCCCACTCCCTGGCTAGATCTTGCCAGAATCTCGCCTCGTCCGCGCTGACATACAACTTAGTTCCCGCCAGCTCCTTGACCTCCTTGTCTCCCAATTTTCCTCCCTTGCCCCTTCTCCCCTGAGTCCCATTTCTGACCTGTACCAGCCTTGCGTGGAGGTGGAAAGTTGAATGATACAATTGCCGCAGGATCAGTCGCCCCCGCCGTACCGCCCCATCCTCTTCCTGATCCTGCCCAAACATCCCAGACTCGTCATCCCCCTCAATATCCTCCAGGTCCCGCGGGATGAGCAATGTTCTAGCATCCTCATCCCCTTCTTCCTCTTGAAGGTAGATCTCGCCCGCTGGCCGGCCACGCCCGACGGCGTACTCGCACACCCCGACACAAAGAGCCCAGAAGGAGCTCATTATGTCGAAAGCGAGGAGCCACCATCCGCCTTGTCCGGTATAGAGGCTGCGGCTGGATGAGCCGGGGGGCGGAGGCGAGTGGAGGGATGGGCCGTGTGTGAGTGAAATCGAGGGCGGGGACGCGTCAAGAAGGAGCAGGGAGCGGTATAGTGGGAGATCGGATAGGTGGTATGTTGCTGGTGCTTTGGGTGAGGGTGATGAAGAGGAGGGAGGCGGGGAGGAGAGAGTAGGAGGGGTAGTGGAGAGGTCCAGGAAGAGGTCGTATACGGCGTGCGAGCGGAAGATGGCATCTGAGGTCGCTAAATCATCAGTCCAGATCTCGAGGGACAGCGCCTGACTCACTTGCGACCCATCCGCCACTCCGCTCCTTCAGCTCCGTGAGATCCATCAGGCCCACATTACCGAGCCACACGCCCGTCCCGCCAATAGACGCGGGCGCCAACGCCATCGCGGCTATACACCAGGCAAATGCGCCAACAGGTAGAAGAGGGGGCTGAGAGTAGAGCAGCTAAAGTTGTCAGCATGAAAGTATGTCATACATTGATATGTCGGCTTACTATTCTCTGGCCAGTCAATGCGGCTTTATACACCGGCATGATGAGCGGTCCGAGGATCGACAAGAGGGACGGCAGGTAGGCAATGGGATGATCAAACTATGTTCTTCAGCGTGAGGTGTCTCCATGATCACTTGCGGGCTTACCGAGACTGTCCCCCTTCCCTCGACGAGCGTCCGTACGCTCTCCACCCTGTCTCCTTTGCCCTTCTCTGCTGCAGCTCTGTTCGTGTCCCCTTTCCCGCTGATTCCTGCCACATCACTTCCACCGCCTGACTGCTCCTCCCAAATACGATCCAGCACTACCCTAGCCACACCGTCCTCGAATGGGTTCCCCTTTGCTTCAAGCTCGTCATAGATGGCTTCGAGAGCAGGTTGGAGGCCGAACAGGTCCTCAGGCAGATCCGACGCTGTTATAATCAGCTTATCCTCTTGGATCTCTAGCTGACAAGTGTATCAACTGTACAGTCGACTTACATATAATTACTGCCAGCGTTCCCATCCGCCTCCCTCGACCATGTTCCACCGTCCGATTTCTAAACAACCCAGCGCCCGGCCATCTTTGATGCGTAAATGTGATGAGGTCAGACTCTAGGAGATGCAAGCCAGAAGGCAGCGTCGCGTGCTCGATGTCGTCGGAGGAGATACCCGAGTCATCTGATGTTCAGCGGAAAGCTTTGAGGGATGGGTTGAGCGAGGAGGACCCACCGGTCGATCGGAAATAGGTCGTAGTTTGCCCCTTTATGTCATCGAAATGGGTCAGGAACAGCGCAGATATGGCCGGTAGGACGGCCATTATGAGAAAGAGCGGGGCGCTGATAGCTCAGTAGGAAATGTAGAAGATAAAGGTAATGCAGAGAGTATGTAGTAAACGATGCGCCACCTCGTGAGACCCTGTGAGACCCGAAGCTTGACCTAAAGTTTTTGAGGAATGTGGAGTGGAGGAAAGTCTCAGATCTCACATCCACCTCCCCTTCATTCTCCTTCATCCCCTTCCCTTCTCGTTGATACATATTGCCAAGCTCTAGCTCAGCGCTGCCTAGCCCATCAGACTCCACATAAGGACGACAAACACTTATTGGAGGGGGAGTCGCTAATTGACTCGGTGAAAGAGTGATAAGTCGTCTTGTAGTCATTTGCTCGCCGCATGATGTGTCTATTCTACAATTTCGATCTACCTGAATTGATCTGACTGGTGCACGCCCTACGCGAAGTACTGATTATGATCAGCTGATATTCGGGACAGATGAGAGGAAAAGTGGGCTTGAAGAACTTACGTGGTGCTCCTTGGCCTTCTTTGCCTGAACCTCGAGGATACCGCCATAGAAGTCTTCATGCCGGAGCTTCGTGGCGTTGTTCCGGAGTGCCAGCTTTCATTTCAGCTTCTGAGGCAGCCATGCAGGTTCAGGACTCACCATTCCAGCCTCGACACAGACAGCCTTCAACTGCGCGCCATTCATATCTTCCGTCGACCTTGCCAATTCCTCAAAACTGTAAAGTCAGCTTGAGATCCACGATGCGAAGTATCCACTCACTTCACACCCTCGTGATTGAGCTTCCGGGCGTGTATTTGCAAGATATTTTGTCGAGCGGACTCGTTCGGTAAGGGGAATTCAATCTTTCTGTCCAGCCGACCTGAACGGAGAAGGGCCGGGTCGAGGATGTCGATTCGGTTGGTAGCGGCGATGACCTGAGCGTCAGAAGGAGTCTAGGAGGGCTCAGGACCCTAGCAAGGTGCCTCCTGTCCCTAGCAGATCTCAAGACACAAGCGGAACTCGCCTTAATCTGTTCGGAGCTCCCGAAGCCGTCCATTTGGTTGAGCAGCTCCATCATCGTTCGCTGGACCTCCCGGTCGCCAGACTTGTCGGAATCGAAGCGCTTCGTGCCCACAGCGTCCAATTCATCGATGAATATGATCGCCGGAGCCTTCTGTTTAGCCAGCTCGAAGGCGTCCCGGACCAGCTTGGCCCCGTCACCGATGTACATCTGAACCAGAGCTGGTCCGGCGAGTTTGAGGTAGCAGGCCTTGGTCTGGGCGGCGCAGGCTCGAGCGAGGAGAGTCTTGCCAGTTCCTGTATGTCAGCTATAGGTCAGGTCGACTGAGATACATACCTGGGGGACCGTACATGAGACATCCCTTGGGTGGGGTAATTCCGAGGGTTTTGAACTTGTCTGCCTGTTGCATGGGCAACACGATCGCCTCCACGAGCTCCTCAATCTGCTTGTCCAGCCCGCCGATCTGGTCGTACGTCTCTGTTGGACGTTCATCGACCTCCATGGCCTTCACGCGGGCATCGTATTCTAAAGAAGTCAGCTTGTGTACAGTTACGTAACATGACGTAATCCACTCACCCGAGGGCAGTTTGTCAAGGATGAGGTAGGAGTCCTTGTTGACACCGATGAGATCGCCAGGGATGAGCTTGTCGTGAGGCACCAGTCCGATCATAGGGAGGAAGACAGTTTGGCGTGTAGAGGTTTTGATGGTAGCACACTTGGTCTTCTTTGTGCTGTGCTCGTTGGTGGCGCCGCCGTCTTGCTCTTCTGAGTCCACATCGAGGATCTGCGTGTCAGCTGTGGTCTTGTGTTTGAGACCCGCCAGAACGATATCATAGCTCCTGATCACCACCTGGGCCACCCGTTCATTCTCCAATCAACCCACACCGACCGATCACGAGACACTTACCTCGACGACAGACGATACAAGGTAAGGAAGCACTTTGTTCTGCTTGATCTTGGTGGTATTGTCGGAGATTTTCTGATACGTCAGTACGACCCCTGCGATACTTTGATGCGGAAAGCCTGACCTCAACCATCTCGGCCCTCTCATGATCCAGCCTCAACTTCTCCTGCCTCATCATTCGAATTTCGTTATCAATCATGCGAGCTTGCATGCTGATTTCCTGCGCAGTCCCCTGATAGGTCAGCCTCCGGCATCTCCTTGTATGAGCCCAGGCATTTCTACTGTGGCCGAGGGACTGGTACTATGATTCAGGCATCACAAGTCTTGATTTGACCGATGAAAGAAAGATCCCCCAAGAAGTCGACCCGTCATGACGCATGCCCCTGCCCACTCACACTTATCACACCCTCCGGTATATCATCCAGCGGATCCTCCTTTGGCTGATTCTCCTCCATCCTGACATCCTCGCCTCCTGATTGAGCGTCCGTAGTAGTTGGAGCGGCGCCATCGGCGGCGGCACCTTCAACAGCGGGCGCAGCAGCACCGTCCTTGGCTGTATCTGACGCTGATCCGGAAGGATTGGGCGGGGGTGGCGGGTCTGAAGCTGGAGCGGACATTGTATCTAGCTTGACGATGATGTATAAGGTGTGAGTGCAACTTGTAGCTCTGAGGAGTGCGACAGCCAACGCGGTCGTAAGCCTCAAGCGGAACTATTCAACTTTAATTTTCTAATCAAAACGAAAATCATTAGGATCAATTTCATTAGCGGTAGCAATCTGAAACCCGCAACACCACCCTCCTCCCACTCCGCAAGCATACTCGTCTTGAGCAGAAGCTCAGCCGATCCCCGCTCACTCAAGCGTCCTGCTCGCTCCCCGGCCCATCAAGAGATCCAATGAGAGATACATGCCCGCCATCTAAGCTATACAACAATTTTAGTACAATGTTCTACTCCTTCCCATTTTGACCGCCTGTGATGTGTACATATGCAGCTGCTATGATCTCCTGCAGTCGAGGGAGATCTAGAGGCTTTGTAAGATGGTCGAACGCACCCCCAGCCATACAGTGCGACCGCACCTCCTGAATAATCAGCTGGGCGCTAAGAATCACTCACAGGCTGAGCATCAGCGGTCAATATGACCACACACGGATCCCCAGCAAGCGGAGAGGCTTGTATACGGCGCATGGACTCGAATCCCCCGAGTACCGGCATTTGCAGATCCATCAGGATTAGATCCACAGGGTTCTTCTCGGCCGCTTCGATCGCTTGTTGACCGTCTGACGCAGTTGCCACGTCGGCGTACCCCAGCAGGCCGAGAATCCGACGTCCGACCAGGATATTGACCGCGTTGTCGTCGACCAGTAGTATTCGGAGAGGGCATTCCTGTCATTAGCTCTGCCGCTGAATAGACTTACTTTGGCAAGATTCCGATTTGGCTTCTTCTTCTTCTTGACCGCAGTGGTGATGGGTAATGCTACCTCGCCATTTTCGGACGAGCTCATCATGGCAGAGTAGAGGGATTTGAATTTGATGGGCCGAGCTATGATTGCCTCACGCTAAAGAGGTCAGCTTGTGGAGTCGAAAGGGAACTGGGACTACTCACCGTTATCCCAAAGGTAGTCATTGCATCCGCCAAGTCGATGCCGCGCACAAGGTACACGAACTGAAATCAGCGACACCTGGCTATAGACTCACCTTGGCGTTCGGCTGTAGCTTCTGCATCTTCCCCAGGGTATCCTTGTCCACCATGGTCGTATCCACCAACACAAAGGCAAAGTTGACATCCGAGTTGAGCCCGCCGTCCTCGCCCCGCTTAAGACAGAGTTCCGGCGATGGGGCGAATCGGACCGGTGCGCAGTTTAATTCGGAGAGACTGACGTCAGCGACGTACATAGGCTACTACAAAGGTGACTCACTTTTGCTCCAGCATACTCCACCAACTACCCGGTCGACAAAGCGTAAAGCATGCCCTGAGGTCAGTTAAGCCAGCCAAAAGACTTACTGTGACTCCTTGTGCTTGGCAAATTGTACCGGCTGGCTTTGGCTGACTGTATCCGCGATAAAGGTGAAGGTGAAGTTGCTCCCCTTGCCATACTCGCTGGTCGCGGTGCACGTCCCACCCATCAGCTCTGCAAGATTGCGAGAGATCATCAGGCCCAGCCCGCTGCCGCCGTACGAGCGAGTGGTCGAGTCTTCGACCTGGGAGAAGCTCCGGAAGAGCCTGTCCATGCGATTGGCGGGGATGCCGATCCCGGTATCGCGGACCTCAATGGTGACTTTGCACTTGTTATCCGGCAGACGCTCGTGGTTCCAGTGGACCGTGACCTCCCCTTTCGCGACGAATTTGACTCCGTTGGAGAGTAGATTGTTGAGGACCTGCTTGACACGGAACCCGTCCCCGATCAGCTCCGGGGGGTCGGAGGTGATGGGGCTAATGAGGCAGAGCTCAACGTCCTTCTTGTGAGCGACCGGAGCTAGGACGTCAAGCGCCGACTCGACGAGGTCTCGTAGGTTGAAGGGTATGTGCTCGAGGGTGACGGATTGGGATTCGAGACGAGACACGTCCAGTAGGTCGTTGACGAGAGAGAGGAGGTCCTCGCCGGATAGGATGATGGTGCGCAGATGTTCCCGTTGGACTTGCGAAAGACCAGGACTGGCTTCCAAGACTGCCGACAAACCCTAAAGTCAGTCAAGCCTTTACGATGACTCACGAGAATAGCCGACAACGGGGTACGGAGATCGTGACTAGCAGTAGACAGAAACGTAGTCTTGGCCTGAAGAGCTGACTTCAAATCCTGCGTCCGCTGCGCTACCTCCTCCTGCAGCCTTTGTGTGAAGGAGTAGTTTAGCGTGGTGGAAATGGCGAGCGTTGCCAGAGCCGCAATGACCTCCTTGGCTTGCGTCGCCTCGAGCTGCACGGAGCTCGTGGCCGAGGAAGAGAGCAAGAGCACTCCGACTTGGATCCCCCGGTTGAAGATGGGCGTGCAGAGTAGGCTTTTTGGCGTCTTGCCCTCAAAGAACGGATCGAGACGGATCCGGCTACTACTGTCGGCCTTGTCTAGCGCCTGTCATCAGCCAAGATCCCACACGAGACTCACTCTTCCAGTCCTTGCGACGTGTAGCATGTACACCGCTGGACATGCTTTCCCGCCCTGCGTCTCGATGTCCAAGTCATGCGAGAGGATCCGCCCAGACCGCCCCGCCGCCCGCAGAGTGAGACCCGTCTTCTTTCCGACGTCACACAGGGCGATGGCGGCGTAATCTGCCCGGGCGAATTGGGAAGATATGCGGAGTAGAGAGCACAATAGTACCTCCGGATCTTGCTCCGATGCCAAAACCAGCGAGGAACGCATCAACCTGTCGTCAGCTCGATCGGACTATAACTCACGTCAGGGCATCGAGAGGGTCGCTCTTGCCTTCCTTCCCCTTCGCCTCTCGAGTGGTAGATTCGGACGTGTCGGTGCTAGCAGGAGCGCGACTCAGCGGAGGCGGTACCGGGGCGGAATGAGGGCCAAAGTCGGGAAAAACGATAGTGTTGGGGGGTGTGGGTAGGGAGGGATATGCTATCTTCATGTGGTGACAGACAGCGGGCATTTCGGCTGCCTTGAAGAGGTCGAAGGCGGCAGCGATGTAGCCGAAGCGGACCTTTCGATGATACGGTTGATCTTGTCCAATAGAGTGCGTGACGCCGAGGTTGAGCAGAGCGGCGAGGGTGAGCTCCCCTTCGGCTTCGAGCTCTGAAATGAAGTACTCGACCGCCGCTAGGGTACCGAAGGAGAATGGATGGAGAGCTTCAACTTGGCGGACAAGCTTCAATCTTAGGTCGAAGGAGTGTGCTGGGGTCAGCTTGCCCATCTTTTCAACTCACTGCTCAGAGCCAAGAGCTCCAAATCTCGGTAGCACACCTTCAAACGGGGATCTGCAGGATCTGACCGAGCCAAGATCATCCCGGCAACAAATGCCAGCTCTGCTCCATATAGCGTCCCAGCTCCGACGGGATAGAGTGACCAGTAAGTGGACAGCAGATCGAGCTGTACCTCCAGCGGAGCATCGAACAAGATTGCGAGGCGCAGGGTGTATGTCGCACAGATCGCTTGATGCCAGAGCAGCCCGCTGAGCGGCTCCAAGTCGGAAGGAAGGAGTATACGACCGGGTAGGTGCCATGGTGGTTCGCTGGAGCTCTCGAGTAGTCTGAGACTGTACTGCAAGGCTATCGTCAGCGATAGCAACGTTTCGACTCACGAGCATGGACGAGGATTCTAGAAGCCGGAGACATGTGGTCTCGCAGACTTTGGTACCGCGCCAAAACTAGAGGCACCTCGTGCTTCCGTTTCGAGAAGCGTCTTGCGGCGACATCCAGCGTGAAGACATAGGCGGCCAGCTCAAAGTTGCCCAGAGCGGAAGTGAGCTCGAAGGCGGGAGTATGCTCGTCTGGGATGTCCTCGAGTAGTCGCCAGCGCTGCCGTCAGCAAGCTTCAAAAGCAAACTCACGTATTCGCAGGCTGCTGTGACGACCCATGTGGATGAGGTCAACCAGGACGTGGGCCGCATGAGGGAGAGCTTTTTGGCTATTTCGGCGCAAGGTGCCCTTATGTCTTCCTCTGGGGCGGTCAGAGCGTAAACGGAGAAGAGATATGCCGTGGCGGGATGCCGCAGGCCCGAGGCGATTCCCAAAGAGACACCCATTGCGAAGGCTTGAACTCGCCGATCCAGCTCAGTGACATAGATGCTGGGTCCGGCATGCACTGACATGAGCTAGATCAATTGCGCACTCACCCAGCATAGTTAGAACAACGCTTTGGATGTCTAGATCTGGAGGGTCGTCCGCTTCAATGTCGGTCGGGATGACGAGTTGGCGGACCTCTGCGAGTGTTCGAGGAGTCCAGAAAACGTGAGCTGTGGGTCCATGTGGGTCATAGCCAACGGCCTCGAGTGTCGACCAGCACAGCGCCATGGCCTCGGGCAGACGCGCAGCGGCAATGTATTGCCTCATGCGTAAGAGTGCGATTTTGATGCGTTCGAGATCCGACTCGCACAGCTTGGTCAGAGCATCCAGCTGTATATCAGCTTGCAGCCCGCATTGGTCTTACCTTTGCAAACGCTTCTTCAAATAGTCCCAACACGCCCGAAACCTGCGCCATGATTTCGGCATACGACAACACGATACCGCGGTACTGGTTGAACCAGCAGGACAATCCTCCACTCTCGTCCATCATATCTGGATTTAGCTTGGCTAAACAATAACTCACCCTCGACCTCGTCAATGTATACTTTCGTTGCCCCGAAACTGGCAGCTAGGGCCGAGCGCGTTGCGGCGCTGAGAAGAAGCTGTGCTGTAGCCGGCTGGTCAGGCGTAGGTGTGCCATTTGCGCGAGCAGTGACCGTGTGATCGGCCGCCTCGAATATGTGGTCTTCGATGTATGCGGGCTGGCATAGGAATTGGGCAACAGCGAGATGAAGGGGTCCGAGCTGGTCGGGTGGGATCGAGTTGTAGGCGGTGGACTATTGTCAGCTTGGTTATATGCGATACATACTCGTTGACGGTCATGACTGAAACGGATATGCGTCCCAACCAGTATCAACGCCCCAATACTCTGAGCCCTTGACACCATACCCTCGACCCGGGCTCGAGGTATTTTGAGGTACTCTGCCAGCAGGTCGGCAGAACAGCCAGCGACCGGGAGGCAAGCCAAAACTTGCAGAAGCTCGATGCCGTCAGGCGGGAGTGTTGCCTGAATACGATGAAGGTAGGCGTCGACGCCGGCGTCGGATAAATGGGACTGGAGTGCGTCCGAGTCGTATCGCCAGATCAGGGCGTCGAAATCAAAGTAAATGACCTTTTCTTTCACCTGAGGTCAGCTCATCGACTTGATCAGACTCACGAGTGTCTCGATCATGGACCTGAGAAACAGTGGACTGCCAACAGTTTCTGCAAACAGGCACTGAGCCAAGGTAGACAGTCCATCCACTCCGCCTGGAAACGACGCCTGAATGTACTCTCTGACACCCTCCTCTGGCAGCGGCTTAACATTCAACGATTCGCCCGATACGCTCAGCAAAGCTGACAGAGGAGGTGGCGCGTCGGCTTGTACCCGATAGATTGTCACGAGCATGATGTGGTTGACCGGCTGCGCACCGTCAGTGAGAGATCGCCAGATCTCAACTTCGTCCGCCGAGAGCCATTGGATATCGTCGACGATGATGACGAGGGGCCGACTGAGGTTGGCAAAGACTTGGATGAGACGGGCGCTCCAGCCTTTGAAGGCCGAGAGGAAAGTCGCCCAATCGACCGGCTCGATCGCAGGCGGTTGCGAGCCCATGAGGAGTAGGCGCCGAGCTTGTTGAGGCAGGATGGACACGAAGATGTTGAATTGTTGTCCGAGCACCTCCCTGATCTTTTTGGCCCATGCCTTGGCATCCTCTTCGGGATCCGCCAGGACCCGTTCCAACAGATCCTGGAAGATCTGAAGGAACGACGACAGCGGCCGGTTGGAGTATTCGTCCATCTTGGCAGCTGCGACCAGACATCCCTTCCGATTCTCCTCCAGCGTTCTCGCCCACGACTGCACGAAGCGGGTCTTTCCGCTCCCACTCGCTCCCCAGACCGAGACCACCCTGACCGAGTTGGCCTCATAATGCTGCGGAACAGACTTGGATGCCTGAGTGGACTGCCATGTCTGCTGCAGAATCCGTACCTCAGCCTCGCGGTGGATTGGCTGAGTTGGGAGGTGTAACCGAGAGGCATGATCCGCGTACCCGACGATGAACCTGTCCATGTTGCCGTTCGACTGGCAGATTTGCCCGACTCTTTTGAGGTCGTATCGCAGCGCCTCCATGGAATTGTACCGATCGTCTGGGTCTTTTGCGAGACACTTCATGACGATGTCGGATAAGGCCTTGGGTGGAAGCTGAGCCGGAAAAGCAGCGAGGTCTGCTTGGCGCTGAAAGTAGTCGGTGGGAGGGATGATATCCGTAGTGATGTGTCGATGGACGTCGACGAGAATGTCGACGTCGGACGGAGAGTCAATGTCCTTCCGACCGTCCGGGGGTATGCCAGTGACGAGCTCGTATGCGCATACGCCAAAGGTAAAGACGTCACTCTGCCTCGATACCTGCCGCGAGCTGGCAGTATCTGGAGAGAGGTACCGAAGATTCCGCCGGACGTAGTGATCGCTGAGGAGGGAATCGTCGCTGAGGTCGTGATTGAAGAGGGAGGATTGGGCGAGAGGGCTGGAGCCGAGGAGGGATGTGAGGCCGAATGTGGGGAGGCAGGTGATGTCGTCAACGATGGACAGGAATGCCGAGTCTTGACAGAGGTTGAAGGTCCGCAGCTTGCAGGCGAGGAGAGAAAAGTGTTTGGAATGTAGAGCCTACAATCAGCACGGTCTGGACAAGAGACTTACCGCTAGAGCGTCTGCAATAGCAGTCAATGCAAAGCAAGCGTTCGCCCACTTGCTCTCCCCTTCTATTCGATCCCACCTGTCCTGTACCGACTCCGCCTCCGACTCTCCTCGTGTCACCAGCCAGTGCCCCTTTTCGTCCTCCCACCATGCCACCACTTCCTGCACCGAGGTGTATTTGGCATTTCTCGCCGAAGGCCCTGCGACAGGCACGGTATCGAGTGCGATGATCTGAGCTCTGCGGCGGAAGAGCTCAAAGTCGCCATTAGGCTTGCACCAGTCGAAGCGCACCCTGTCTCCGGTGTTTTTAAAAACGGGCAGATTCGAGGGATTGAGGATGGCGGAACCCGAAACCCATCTTTGGTCGAGCGGATTTGTGGCGTCGAGCTGCACGTCAATGAGACCGTGTGCCTCGTACACCTCCTCGTCGCCCATAACAGTGATGTGATGAGTGTGAGTGACAATGTCGTATGCCTCACAGATCGCTTTGCAGGCCGGATCAAGGATCTGCACTGACCATTACGGCAGCCAGCGAGGTCGTACTCCCTGACGTCAAAGTGATGGTCCATGACGATGTCTTGTGCAAATACACCTATCAAGCATACAAGTGCACTCAGAAGTCGCCAATAGCTGTTCGCAAGGGCGCGAGAGACTTCTCAAACACCACCCACGATGTCCTTCTCGAGTAGGAATGCCTACTACCTGAGGGTGTCGAACTACCGGACGATTCCTCTGTTCCTGTATCTCGACGAACGACATGTTGACTGGATGTCAGACGTCGTGCTTCAGCGGGTCATGGCGGCGCTCCAGCCGCGTATGAAGGACCTGCTACAGGAGGCCTGGGCGCGGCAGTCCAAGAGCGGGGCGGGGGAAAAGGCGGGAAAGCACAAGGTACACGTCGACCGGGGCGAGGGATACCAGTACTGTTACTGGCTGAGAGGGACGACCCGAACGGAGGTCATTCTGCTCAAGGTATGTATCTTCGGCTACTACGCTGCTAGTCCACTCTGCTGATTTTCCAGCAAAAGACGTTCTCGCTCCGTCCGCCTACGCCTCCTCCAGCCAGCAAGTCGGCTGAGTCGCCTGCGCGAGCGCGGACTTCGACAGCACGGTCTCGGACCCGCTCAAGGTCCGTCTCGCAACGACCAGCAGATGAGGAGAGCAATTTCGGGGATCCAGAGGAGCGGGACGACGATGACGAGGACGTCAAGCCAGTCCTGCCCGAGGAGGCGGAGGTCAACATCAAGGACTACAAACCAGACGTCTCAGTGACGTATAAAGGTATGTCCCAGTTCCTGGCTGAGCTGACAGTAGGCTTTGGCACCTCCTCCTTACAGCTTGTTCTGATCATCGAACCATGGCCTCCTCTCCCCTCCTCCTCTTACGCTCCCCCCTCATCCCGTCTCTCCACCCGCTCCGCCTCGGTTGCTTCCACGTCCGCTCGGTCTCGTACGGCGGCATCGCGGAGCTCCCGCTCGGGGATGAGCGGGTCCCGGTTTACGGATACCGCCCCCCTCGAGCCGACGTCAGTAGAGCCGGTCAACGTTGCCAACATGCGGAACGCCTCTCGGTCGATCTCGACCACACCTCAGCCAAATTCTCGGCGAGGCGGAACGGCGTCAGCTACTCCGTTCAGCACTTCGGGTACACCAGGGCCTTATGCGCCCGGAGCTTCCTCTCGGAGATCGGGTACACCACTCTTCTTGCCGGGACCGCGAGATACCCCGTTCGACATGGACGAGGAGGACGAGGAAGCGCACGAGAAGTACACGGCGGCGCTGCGAGAGGGCCGGGTCAGGCTGCCGTCGGTGTCCAGACCAGCGGGGAGTGGGGACGATTTGGGCAAGTCGGCAAGAAGGAGCCTGAAGAGGCAGATCGAGGAGGAAGAGGATGAGGGATATGATGATGAGCCGGATGGGATGGACAAGATGGGAGAGAGGCTTGTGCGCGCGAGTGAAATGGAAGAAGGGGTGGTCAGGGTGACGGGTGGATGGGAAGAGAGGGCAGTGGGTGAGGGGAGCGAAGTTCTTGGAAGAGAAGAGGCGGGAGAATGAAAGTGTAGCCTGTACTGTATAGATCGATCTTGAATGTACTAATAGCCTCACCCGTTTGCGACAGCTGAAACGTGAAGGAAGCAGTCAATACCGCTCGTACTGCTTCACTCATGATGTTGAACGATAAATATGCCATGACATTCTATACCGAATATACACTACTTCTAGCACCTGCGTTCACTCATTATCCCCTGCTCAGATCCCCTCATGCTTTATTTCTGTCTCATCAGCTCAACCCGCACAACTCATAAGTAGTCAAAACTCACAATCTACTTCCTCCATGCTCCCGCCAGCCGCGTCCTCGAGAGGGGGCACGTCGCCTCCGTCCTCCGCTGCCGCCGCGGGTGCCTCGGCGTCGATGCTAAGACCAAGAGCGATCATCCGGTTGATCCGGCTAGCAAAGTCCTGGGGACTGGTGAGGGTGAAGCCCGAAGTGAGGAGAGCGGTCTCGAAGAGGAGGTAGGTGAGATCCTTGACGGTCTTGTCGCTAGCGTCCTCCGACACGCGCGACTTGAGCTCCTTGATGATGGGGTGGGAAGGGTTGAGCTCCATGGTCTTCTTGGAAGCCATGTAGGACGACATGGACGAGTCACGAAGGGCCTGAGCCTTCATGATACGCTCCATGTTGGACGACCAGCCGAATTGACCAGTGACGAGGACGCATGGGGAGTCGGTGATACGGTTGGAGACGATGACCTTCTCGACCTTGTCGCCGAGGTTCTCCTTGATGGCCTTGCAGAGGTCCTCATAGGCGGCAACATCCCTGACAGTCAGCGCAGCGCCAAGGTCAACGCAGAAAGCACTCACTTCTCACGCTCGGCCTTCTCGGCGTCGGTCTCCTCGAGCTCCAGTCCCTCCTTGGACACACAGACGAGCTTCTTGCCGTCGAACTCCTTGAGCTGGGTAACGGCGTACTCGTCAATGGGGTCGACGAGAAGAAGGACCTCGAAGCCCTTCTTCTTGAGGACCTCAAGGAACGGTGAGTCCTTGACGGCCTCGAGCGACTCGCCGGTAAGGTAGTAGATGGACTTTTGGACCTCGGGCATGCGGGTGATGTAGTCCTTGAACGAGGTCTGCTCGTCCACCGACTTGGTAGAGTGGAACCGGAGGAACTCGGCGATCTTGGACCGGTTGGCGGCGTCCTCGTGGATACCGAGCTTAAGGTTCTTGGAGAAGGCCTGGTAGAACTTGTCGTAGTTCTCCTTGTCCTCTGAGACCTCCGAGATCAGGTCAAGAGCCTTCTTGACAAGGTTCTTCCGGATGACCTTCAGAATCTTGTTCTGCTGGAGGGTCTCTCGGGAGATGTTGAGGGGGAGGTCCTCCGAGTCGACGACGCCGACCATGAAGTTCAGGTATTCGGGGATCACTGCGGGTCAGCTAGAAATCATGGAAATGGAAGGCTCACTTACACTCATCGTTGTCCTCGGTGATGAAGACTCGGCGCACATACAACTTGATGTTGTGCCTCTTCTTCTTCTGCTCAAAGAGGTCGAACGGCGCACGCTTGGGGGCGAAGAGCATGGCCTTGAACTCGAGCTGACCCTCGACCGAGAAGTGCTTGACGGCAAGGTGGTCCTCCCAGTCGTTGGAGATGGACTTGTAGAAGCTGGCGTACTCCTCCTGGGTAACCTCGGAGGGGTTCCTGATCATCAGCGCCAGTCTCACATCTGCAAATAAGACTCACCTGGTCCAGATGGGCTTCTGCTTGTTGAGCTCCTCGTTCTCAGTGGTGGTCTCCTTGACCTTCTTGGTCTTCTTGGTCTTCTTGCCAGAGTCCTCGTCGTCCACCTCCTCGATCTTGCTCTCGCCCTCTGTGACCTCCTCGTCCTCCTCGACTTCCTTCTCGGTCTCCTTGGTGACGACGAGCTGGATGGGGTAGGAGATGAACTCGGACTAACTCGTCAGCCAGGCTCAAGCTACTTTGCGAGATCTACTCACGTGCTTCTTGACAATCTCCTTGATGCGCTTCTCCTCGAGGTACTCCTTGAGGTCATCCTTCATGAAGAGCTTCATGGAGGTACCACGGCCGAGACGGGGTCCCTCGGTGTCCTCGGTGATGGTGAAGGTACCGCCGGCAGCCGACTCCCAGATGTACTGCTCGTCGTCGTTGTGCTTGGTGGTCACCTGGACCTTCTCGGCGACAAGGTAAGAAGAGTAGAAACCGACACCGAATTGACCTAGACGTCAGCAGAGCTCCCATTCCGACTTGATCAACGTACCAATCATGGAAATGTCAGCACCGGACGAAAGAGCCTCCATGAACGCCTTGGTACCCGACTTGGCGATCGTACCCAGGTTGTTGACGAGGTCGGCCTTGGTCATACCAACACCGGTGTCACGGATGGTAAGGGTGCCCTCCTCCTTGTTGGGAGTGATGCGGATAAAGAGCTCCTTCTCGGTGTCGAGCTGGGTGGGGTCGGTGAGAGCCGCATAGCGGATCTTGTCGAGCGCGTCCGACGAGTTGGAGATGAGCTCTCGGAGGAAGATCTCCTTGTTGGAGTAGAAGGTGTTGATGATGAGGTCGAGAAGCTGAGAAATTTCGGCTTGGAAACCGAAGGTCTCGGTAGCACCTGCAGCAGCGGACACTGATGGTCAGCGATTGCTCAAGCCTTGGAGCTGCAAACTCACTGTTTGATAGCTGTTAGGGATGAATGGATGTAGTGGTGTCTGTGTAGACTTTTGTAGTAGTGTGTGTAGCGATGAATGGATAGCCTGTATATATAGAGAGGAGAGAGAAGGAAGGAGGTGCGCGAAGGGGTTGGATCAAATACCTCCAACTTTTCGGCGACGCTCTGGAAGGTTCCAGAGCTCACAGCATTGATACCGGAAATTAATCACACGTCACTCGCACCACCCACCAACAGCTGAGTGGCGCCCCGCCTATGGTTGCCCATCCCTCCTCCCTTGCCTTCTACAACGCAGAAACGTACGCTCGCTCATCCGCACAGTGCTTGCGCGAGGCACGTCGAGAGCGCGCAGTAATTCGAAACCAAATATTACATGCAAGCGACTATATACCCTAATCCCACAAATCTAACCCTCCCGTTCGCTCATCTGAATCCCCTGACCGCCTAGTATGAGTACCGGAACTCCTGGTTCTGCATATCGGTCAAGTCGTCAAAGGCGTTCTGGTGCTTGTTCTCGCCTCCCTGGAGTGCGCGGTCCCGGGCCTTGTTGCGGGAAGAGAGCAGCCAGCGCATGGTGAGGACATTGATGATGAAGGCACCGTAGAGGGCGAGGTGGATGTAGAGCGAGTTGAAGTACCGGGGCTCCCAGATCTTCTGGAAGACTGAAATGTCAGCTTGGCTCCCATCACATTGACAGCCTACTCACTCTGGGGACCAATAGCGTTACCACCCGCCCAGCCGACAAAGAAGAGGGCATAGACGATCGACTTCTTGGTCTGACCGGCAACGTTCCTGGAGAGCATGGCGTACATGGACGGGTTGACCGACTGGAAGGACTGCATGAGGTAGAAGGCGACGAGGAGACCGCCTCGAGTCTGACCGTTGGGCGCGACGGTGATGAGGACGACCGTGCCGAGGATGTTGACGCAGGTGAAACCGACCATGACGTAGATGGTCTGCTTGAGCTTGGTGCCGAGGTAGCCGATGAGGAAGTAGAGGCAGACCTGGAAGAGGGAGAGGGGGATGGAGACGAGCAGAGCAGTGAGGACCTAAGATCAGCCCGGAAGTAATCATCCACTCACATCAAAGCCGAAAGCGGTGTTGATGAGGATCGAGTTGAAGGTGTTGAGACCGCCGACGACCAAGGTTTGGAAGAACATCATGGTGAAGAGGAGCCAAGTGAAGGGGTCTGTCCAGGCCTCGCGCGCCTGATCCTTCTTCCACACCTTCTGCTTGATGCCCTGGTCGTTCTTGCGGACTCGCTCGACGAGGAGGACCTTGTCGGCCTCGGTAGCCCACTTGACTTGGAGAGGGGTGTCGGGAAGCTTCCACACCACGATGCCTGACTATCAGCTATGTCTTACTTTCAACTCACCCGAAGCAATGGTCGAGATGACGGCGATGGTGATGTTCATGTACTGCCAGCTGTAGAGGGGGTTCCTGCCGGGAATGTGGTAGAAGGCGTAGGCGAGGAGGTTGGAGACTACCCCGGCGACACCGAACATAGCTTGCCAGACCTGATGCTTGATCAGCCTCATTCTGAAACAGGGTGGCAAATGGTGCCCATGACTTACCGTAGTGATGAGCGTCTGCTCCTCGGCAGTGACTATGAGATTAGTACAGTCCTTACCGGGAAGAGCGGCCAGACTTACACCATTGCACCGTGATGGCAACGAGGCAGGGACTACGAGAATCAGCGTAGTCCTGTGGCAACAGAATGGCCAGACTTACCCAAACGAACTCTCCGCAAAGCCCAAGAGCGCCCGGATGGCGAAGACGGGAGGGATGCTCAAGGAGAACGCGAGGCCGAATACCAAAGCAGACCACACGACCATCTGAAGGGGTGTTAGAAATCATCAGTGTCGGGTAGATAGAGGAGAGAATGGCTTACCGAGTAGCCGAGAACTTTGGCAACGGGCAGACGACGGACGAACTGGTTGACGATGGGCTCGCCAATGATGATACCAATCCACAGCCTGGGGGTCAGTGTGGTCGATAGGCAAGGATGGCAAAGACTCACATGGTACTGGTCAGAGCATAGTCCTGGCCAACCGCACCGACGTGTGTCTGCCAACCCATGATCGCAGAAGTACCGAGAGTGCCTTTGTCAAGAGATTGGGTCTGAGGATGATCAGCTTGGCAGATTCATATCGAGAAGGGGGCGCAGGATCCGTGGCTCACAATGTACGCCACACACATCACAGGAAGGAGGCTAAGGGGGTCAGCGGAGAGCGGAGACGCAGCAAAAAAATCCCAAAATGTGCATACTTCTTGTAGATGAGACGACGCAGCCGCTTGTCTGACGATCAGCAGGAGGCTACAATACAGCACGAATTCACTCACTCTCCTCCGGACTGATCGTAACGGTGGGGTCGACATAGTGACCCGCGGCATCAGCGACGAGGTGCTCCTCGCGCTTCTCCATGTCGTCCGAGTTCTGACGCTCGAGGTGCTCCGTCGCGAGTTTGTCGTCCATCTTGTGGTCTTGTTGAGCGGCCATTGTTGCAGCGTAAGTAGAGTAAAGCTGTGATTGAAGGGGGAGTGCTAGTGAGCCGGGGTTCGAGCTCTTAAGTATTCCCTCGGGCTCGCGCTTCGCGTCCAGCTGATCTCCGGAGTCCGGCGGGGCTCGGGTATGCAAAAACAAGTCACGGGACTGCCTCTATTGTGGTGGATGTACGACAGCGCTCATCCGGACCCGGGCCGCCAGCGGAGGCCAGCGGTGTGCAGCGTGCAAGGAGACGGCCCGGGACTGCTGGGACGCGGTGGCCGCTCGTGCGGGGGACATGGGGAAGTGGCGGTATTCAGGGTAAAGACGGGGCTATAAATGGTGCTACGCGACTTGGCGTGGATATACGTTTCGGAAGTACAGATGTGCTCACAGCGAACGGCTATATATGTAGCCCTGCTTAGCCCTGTTGTCAATCGCTGTCAATGGGCAGTCGCTTCGCTGGCAGTCTGGGAGCGCGCGAGACAGCCGGACCGGCTGTAAATGAGCGCTCGGCTCAGGGTGTAGCCAAAGGGCCAAAGAAGAACAATTCTGAAACGAAGATGAAACAGACCGTGCTGCCATCGATCGTCGGGATCTCGTGCCTTGATACACAAGCTGATACAGCTGCTGATATACACACGGGTCTGACGCGAATGCTATTTCTACACCAGCCTTCGCTTAGCCTGGGAAAGGTACAGGCCAGTCCAAGCCGTAGTTTCCTGCGCGCACACATCCTGCCGTGCGAGCATTCCGATAGTTGGGGGTCATTCAAGCATCTGGACTCCACCAAGCTCAGTGGGTCCACAGATGCGTACGACACCTTGCAATAACTGAAAGTTGGCCTCTCAACTTGGTAGAGTATTGATATCCACTGGTAGATTCATTTGAGCGCGACATTCGGCCTTACAGAGCTGTCACAAACGGACAAGAGAGCGCTGTGCGATATGACCAGTGCGACTTACACCTCCACGCTGATATCTATGCAGCAGGCAAGGTGTAGGTCGCGATAGGCGAAGTGGTGATCTAGATCCTATCTGAATCCGAGCTTTCGGAAGCGTATCTCACGGCTAGATGTCTCAGCTGTACCTCTACCCATCACTGCGATTAACAATACAGTACCCAGATGATCGCGATCACATCGGTGCTACAATTCAGCCTTCCAGCATGAAGGCCCGGAAGATCCGCGCTGCCAGGGCTCGGTCTTTTGCTCACTTCATTGTCCCTCACAGACACATACCTTTCTGATCCACGTCGCTCGAAGCTCACTACACCTCTCAGATCGGGCGATTGATGGACACCAAGGCAGGGCATGTCACAGAGGGTGGATCCCGGCTGTCACCACAGTACGGGATTCGTATGATGGCGCGCACTTCCATACGACGGTCTCACGAAAGCCGCCAGATCGATACGCACAATCCCTCGATGCAGCACTGGTCCTCGACTCTTTACGCACTTGCGAGATCGCAAGCGAGACGAGGCTGGCCGAAGAGAGAGTGAACGAAAGCGGGCTAACTGCCACATTTCTCGTCTATTACCACTCACTCGCGTTTGTATTAGCTTTTCTCGCAATTGTAATAGCGGGATCTGATTAGCTTGTAATGTAAATGTGTATTGACCCGGAATCGGGCCGAGCGCAGCAGCATCAACCGGCGCAACAGTAAAAGATCCAAAAGACAACTATATACCTACACTTCCACAGCGCTGTAGCAGCTCATCATGGCGGACTCGGACGCGCCAGGCATCTTCTCGCGAGTGGCTTCGACCTTCACCTCCCTCGCCTCCACGGTCAAACCCGCAGAGAACGAGCTCGCGAGGTGGAGGAGGACTTTCGACCGCTTTGCAGAAGATGCGAGCGATGGCAAGAAGTAGGTTGAGTCTCGTAGCTCTGGAGAGGATACGATGGCCATTTTGTATGGAGATGAGACCTCCACTATCGGTGGGGACAAAGGTATACCTGGAGGATTGGAGGCCCATGCAGGTGGGCAGAATCTACTCGCTGACATTGCAGGTATCTATCGCCCTCTGGCTTCATAGATGCGATTGCGCCCACAGAGGAGGGCTTCTCTCGGATACATAAGGAGCAGTACAACCTTCGTGAGCTTCAATCGATGGTAGAGGATGCGAACAGCGCTGACTGTACAGTCTTTCGAGTTGCAGATATCTCTAGACGGGGATTGGTGTCTTGGGAGGACTTTGTCGTATTTGAGACTTGTACGCCTGTCGCACCTACGAGAGATGACTACGCAGGCTGATCATACAGTGCTGAAGCGGGTACGCTTATCATACCTGTCTCGAGGAGCCCGGACTGACGATATAGCCTGACGCCGATTATCAACTCGCTTTCCAGGTATTTGACAAGTACGTGCTCGCTCAGATCATTCTGGCCCGTGCCGCACGAGCTGATGGCCAGTGATGCGTCTGGATCGATAGACTTTGACGAGTTCAAAGCGGTCTTGTCATCCAACATTGCTGCGTCCCACATTCGTGCGTTACATACCGGTTTTGCGGGGATGCGCGACTGAACAATCAGCTTTCGACTTTGAGGTGCCATGGATGAAGCTATACGTCGGACAAAAAGGAGGACAACATGTACTGGGATGTGAGTCTTGAACCTCTCGTGATCTATTCTACAGCAGAACTGACTGTCAGACCATGAATTCACTCAACTTATCAAAGGCTACCAGGGCGAGAGGCTTCGCCAGGCTTTCCATTACTTCGACTCGGACTCAGATGGGTACATTAGTCCTGGGGAGTTCCAACAGATCATCATCGTAAGTCTTTGATAAGTATGTCGAGCTGACCTGTAGGAAATCGCTGGCCACAAGCTCTCGAACCCCATCTTGGAACGCCTGCCCACGCTCTGCACCATGAACCCGGGACGCAAGATCTCATACTCCGAAGTCATCGCCTTCCACAACATCATTCGCGAAATGGATGCGGTGGAGCGGATCATCCTGCACGCTGTTCGGAAAAGCAGAGATGGTAAGATCGATCTGAGCGACTTCTTGAACGAGGCGGCGGGTAGTATGCGGTACGGGATGTTCACGCCGATGGAGGTAAGCTTTGCAGATAAGCCCCGTGCCCCGCGCTGACACCCAGGCCAACATCATCTGGCATTTCGCCAGTCGCGGCGGTATGGGCTCCAATCAGCGGCTCGGCATGGCGGACTTCCAGGCATTGCTTGACGCAAAGGTGAGCCCGATCTCTTACCCAGCTGACGTCTAGTGGCAACCTCCGGACCTGGCATCTGCTCCCTCCGCATCATCATCATCATCAACATTCTTTTCAGACTTCCTTCAATCTACCTACAACTTTGTCCAAGGTGGTATCGCTGGCGGTATCGGCGCTTTCGCCGTCTACCCCATCGATCTCGTCAAAACGCGACTTCAGAACCAGCGATCTACGGTTGTTGGCGAGGTTATGTACCGAAACGCTGCCGACTGCGTGCGCAAGGTGTACGCGAACGAAGGAGGAGTGCGGGGTTTCTACCGGGGTGTCTGGCCGCAGTTGTTGGGTGTTGCGCCCGAAAAGGCAATCAAATTGACGGTCAACGACCTGGTCAGGAAGAAGAGGACAGATCCGGAGACGGGTCGAATCACATTAGGCAGTGAATTGTTGGCTGGAGGAACCGCTGGAGCTTGTCAAGTCGTGAGTTGGTCGACCAGTACTAGGCTGATTTCAGGTGGTCACGAATCCCCTTGAGATTGTCAAAATCCGGCTGCAAATGGCCGGAGAGATCGCTCGTTCATCGGCTGGTACCGCACCACCCAGGGGCGCATGGCATATCATCAAGTCACTGGGTCTGATCGGATTGTACAAAGTGAATAGCGCTGCCTTGATAAACGAACATGGCTGACTTGCAGGGCGCTACCGCTTGTCTCTCACGAGACGCACCATTCTCCATGATCTACTTCACCTCATACGCCAGGCTCAAGAAGGACGTCTTCCACGAGGGTCGACGAGGCAAGGTGCTCAGCACAGGGGAGCTGCTTCTCGCCGCTGGTGCTGCTGGTATGCCTTCAGCATACCTGACTACGCCTTTCGGTGCGTCTTTCTCCACTCCAGCTGAAATCTGGCTGATTTCCAGATGTCGTCAAGACTCGCTTGCAAAGTCAAGCTCGAAAAGGCGAGACTGTCTACAAGGGGGTTGTAGATGGTATTCGCAAGATTGCTCAAGAGGAGGGACCAAAAGGTACGTCTACGTCCTTCTCCTGCAGCGGGCCACTGCTGATCCCCAGCACTCTTCAAGGGCGGTATAGCCCGAGTCATCCGATCTTCGCCGCAATTTGCCGTTACTCTGACAAGTAGGTCATCGAATGATTGGCTTTGCAAGATCCAGCTGACCCGGCAGTGTATGAGCTTCTCCACAAGGTGGCACCCTACCCGTGGGCAGTAGACAAGCAGGAGCAAGCACGACCGACCCGCCGCACCGAAGATATCGTGAGTGTTGGAGCTTGTACAGGGTCACATGAGTTGATCAGGCAGTCCCGCATTCGCGCCCGTAACGGTCTGCGAATCTTGCTCGACTGCTCCTCCTCCTTCGGCATGGCCGCGTCCAATACCAGCCAGGGTCTCAAGGCACTGCCGCCAATCTTGAAACCGTCGAAGGAGTTCCACTGAGCGGGACAACGTACCAGGGACGATAGATGTTAGGAGGTAGATATACATGCAAGATTACATCTTGGTGGCATGCGGACGGTTGCTGTATGGCACAGACTGTCCGGACCAGCAAGGAAGGAGAACGCAGAATGGACATTTTACATCTCGATTCCGGGGACCTGTGGCGTGGGATCCACTCTACTCAAGTAGGCTCCAGCTCCATGTGCGCTGCCAGCCCCAGGCGCTGCCGCGCTTGACATGGGTATCGAGGCCATTCGGCCCAGACGGACCGCTTGACCGATCACCGGCGCCGATCGACCGGCGGCAAGGCAAATTTACCGCCGGCCGGGAAAACTCGCGCCATTGCTTGGCAGCATTCCGAGTCGACGTCGTCATCTCTTCGTCGGAGGACGATGATTCCGAAGCACAGCGGCCGCCTCCACATGGACGTAGAGCGGTCTCGTTCGGTTGTTTCGGACTTTCGGGCTGACCACCCTGTAAAACATGGGGCAACATCTCACCCCGGGCAAGATGTCGGAGTCGCGGACCGGGGCGACGAAGGGGGCGACGAGTATAAGGCTACGCCCCATCTGCCCCGCACCTCTGACTTTTCCATCTTTACTCATCTCTCACTATGGTCCAAATGAAATCACACAAGCCCGATAGCGTGCATGTCGAGCAGCACCCCGAGTCGGACACCGCCTCTGGCCGTACCCAGCTCGGACCTGACGGCGTGGCGGAGAAGGCGCTCGACCCGACCACCGCCTCTTCTGGCGGAGATATCGGTGGAGCCTGGCTTGCCCAGTATGATGGCCACAGACCGGAATTGACAGAGGAGAGCAACCGGATCATGTCTCGCCGTATCGACATGTCCCTCCTTCCCATCATCTTTGCCATCTACTTTTGCCAGCAGCTTGACAAGTCGTCAATGTGAGTACAAATGAGGCGCAGAGGCTCCAGTGCTAACAAGTCAGATCATTTGCCGCTGTCTTTGGTTTCCAGGCCGACGCAGGACTACAGTGAGTCCTGACGAGATAATTAGGGCGTTGTCTGATGAACAGGGGCTCGGAGTACTCGTGGCTATCCTCCATCATCTACTTTGCCCAGCTCGTCTTCCAGCCCTTATCTGTATACGCCCTCGTCAAGTTCCCGGTCAACTACTGGATCTGCTTTTGCTTCTTTGGATGGGGCATCAGCTGCATGATCCTGGCTGCCTTCAAGAGCTTCCCCGGATTGTTGGTGTTCAGGTTCATCCTCGGCGCTTTCGAGGCTTCAATCGTGAGTCAAGGCTGTGTCGTAAGGTAATAACATAGCTGACAGACCAGAGCCCCTCGATGTTGATTATCGTCAGTATGTGGTGGACCCGGCGAGAGGTGAGTTTCTTTTGATGATTTTAGAGGACAGGCTGATGGAGTAGCAACCTCTGAGAAACAACATCTGGTACTCGGCCAACGTACGTCTCGTCAGTTTTACACATGCGGATCCATGGCTAATAAGTCTCAGGGTATCGCTCTTATCCTTGGTTCGCTCTTGGCCTACGGCCTCGCCAACTGGTCGACCAGCCTCTATACCTACCAACTCATCTTCATCTTCTCGGGCGCGATGTAAGTTCCGACTTGTGGTCAGGCTATGACTGACCGTCAGCGCTGTACTGATAGCCATTCCGACCGTCTTTTTCCTTCCTGCGCACCCCACTACCGCCCGATTCCTCTCACCCGAGCAGAAGTATCTCGCCCTGGAGCGAGTCAGGCTCAACAACACAGGCACGCAAAACACCCACTTTGACTGGTCCCAAGTTAGAGAGTGCTTTACCGATCTCAAGACATGGGGCTTCGTCGTCATGAGTGGGTACAGGACACTGGCTTCGTGATCTGAGCTGACTGTCAGTCTTCTGCGTCTCATTCGTCTCTGGCGGGATCAGCGCCTTCGGACCTCTCATTCTCCAAGGCTTCGGTCTCGGTCCCTTCCAGACCATCCTCTACAACATGATCCCGGGTGCCATCGCCATCGTTGCCAACATTCTCGCCGCCTTTGCCGTCCAGACATCCAAGCGGAAATCACCCATCATCCTCATCATCCTGATATTCCCCGTCGCTGCCGCTGCCGCGCTCTACGCCCTTCCCCGAGGCCCCGAGTGGACCCAGCGTCTCCTGGCCGTTTATTTCATTCTCCAAATCTTCCAGCCCATTACTCCCATCATCTTCTCATGGGCATTCGCCAACACGGCGGGTCACACGGCAAGTCTCGCCTCCAAAGTCTCAAGATCATAGTTGACCATACAGAAAAAGACAGCCACTACGGGCGCTTTATATATCGGTCTGTGTGTCGGTAACATTGTCGGGCCACAGCTGTACATGCAGACTGAACGTCCGTACTACCGCACCGTGAGTGGTAGTACTTAAACCGTGTGCCTTCCTCGCTTACATAACAGGGTTTGACAGCAAACCTCGTCGTCCTGTGCGTGCTCTTTGGCGTTGTCATCCTCCAAGCCCTCTACCTCGCATATCTCAACAAGCGCAACAACAAGCGCCGTCTCGCCTCGGGCAAGACCGGCAGAAACATCGACTACTCGCTCGAGAACTCCAGTAACTGGGCGAGTATGCGGGCCGCCGAGGCGGAAAGGAACCTTGCGGACGGTGGCGCAGCGGGTGAAGTGTATAACGCGAATGCCTTTGCGGATCTGACGGTACGTCGTCACTGTCGGGTGAGATTGGACTGCAAAGCTGACAGGGCAGGATCTCAAGAACGAGGACTTCGTCTATTCGTTGTAGATCAAGTGACTTTATAGAACAGACATAGATCGGTAGAAGTGTACATGTGATGCATGATGATAGATACCATGCGATACATCATGCTACGACCACGCTCTCGATACCGGAGTACCGACCGGAGTCATCATAACTTAGCGTGCCGGCTAGGCAACTGGGGCCCAAGGTGCAGGTTTGGTGCAGGCTGGTGCAGGGCCGGCAGGGACAACTCCTCATTCCTCCCGCCGGCCATCGCCGCCATACACGCTCGGTGACGTCTGCGGACAGTCGGCGGACACGTATAACTGCGATAGGCTTGAGCATGTCACCTTCACCTCGAGCGATATCTGCATATTCAAACAGCACGAGATGAGTGAGTACCTCCCAACTGACATAGACGCCTACTGACCCTGAAGTCGATCCGACTCAGACCTTCTTCACGCCAGTCCAGACCTTCCTCGGCGGGTACCTCTTGCACCTGTCCACTTCCGCACTACTCGAGGACACCGGGACCGTCCTCGGCGTCTCCGGTATTGTCGATGGTCAGATATGGGGCACTGGGAATCCTCGCGCGCCCAAGTCGCAAGAGCACGAATCTACGAGGGAAAAGCAGGATGCGCAGTGGGTCGAGCGGTATTGGCGTATGGCGGTTGTGGGTGGCATGATCGCGGCGCCTATTACTGCTAGTATGCTGGGTGTGGGCGGTCAAGGCGCCATAGATGCCGTCCGAAGCTGGGATATTCTGTCGGGCCAGCTAGGATGGGACAGGCTGGCACTGGCTGGGGTTCTTGTTGGGCTGGGAAGCAGGGTAAGTCGCGTTAATAGCCTTCGTGCGGTCTGCTGATGCCGCAGCTTGGATCTGGCTGTACAAGGTACTGTCCTCATTTTGTCATGTGATGTGACCGTGCTGACGGTAAAGTGGCCACTTTCTCTGCGGAGCGTCACGCCTCTCGCCTCGATCTATTGTCGCCACCGCCGTCTTCTTCCCGATCGCCATGGTCACCTCACAGCTCTTCCCCATGACATCCTCCCCGGCTCTTGGGAATACGGCGGCGTCATATGTACCTACATACCCTGCGCTCTCAGACGTTCCCCTCTTCGTTCTGCCAATCATCATTCACCAGGTCCTCCGTCTCACACTCCGGAGGATCTTGGCATTGTCGCCGGTAGTCTTCCTCCGTCTTGCCCCCTATATCCTCTCGGGGTGGACCTTCGGTATGGGACTGGTCATGAGTGGGATGGCCGACCCACTCAAGGTCGTCTCCTTCCTCCGCATCTCACCTCTCCGTCAATGGGACCCAAGCCTCGCGATGGTCTTCCTCGGAGGCGTCATACCCAACGCTATATCCTATAGGCGCCTTATCTCACGCCGCACTACGGCGAGCTCGGAGCCAAAGCCTGCGTACAGCTGGGCAAATTGGCGCGTACCCAGACGGAGAGATATCGACTGGAAGCTCGTCAGTGGGGCTGCTGTCTTTGGAGCAGGTTGGGGACTGGGCGGTGTCTGTCCCGGACCGGCTCTAGTAGGAGTCGGTAGCGTGGTGTGGGACCAGTTGACCGGTCACGGTAAGAGCGCTGCCGGGATGGCGCTGGGTGCCTTTGCTGTAAGCGTGGCAGCGGGAATGAGGATAGGACGCGTAATTTAGGCGCTCGGATCGGTCTTCTTGCGCAAAGGTGGAGTATCAAGTATGAAGCTTGGAAACCAGCTCGTCTGCCGTGCTCCTGATTAGGCTACCTCATCCATGTATGACTGCTCTTCTGCTTCTGGCGGGATTATAGGGCGATTTCGGACATGACGAATACCGGCCTTTCGGAAGCCGGTCCGCTGACGCTTCGCGCTTGGTTTCGCCTTCTTGATCTGTCTGTTCAGCCTCATTCCCAACATCTACCGAACCGTACACCAATCTCTGCTCATCTTTGAGTTCCCAGTGTAGTCCCTACGCATCATAGATAAGAGAAATATGCCGGGCGGAAAGTTGTCCTCGCCGGAGGACGAGTCTGGAGGGGAAGAGGGCGATGAGGGTGTCAAGGCCGGTGCCCACAAACGTCAGTACTCCAATCTTCGCTATAGCAGCAGCACTCAGCTGACCATTCAGGCGCCTGTGTAGGTCCTCGCGAAGATCCAATCCTGGCCTGGACTGACAAACAGGACTACTGCCATCGGATGAAGATGCGGTGTATAAACAAGGAGTCTCCCCCGTGCAATCGGTGTCGCCAAGGCGGTCATGCTTGTACTTTTGATGGTCCGAGGAAGAGCAAGGCTACCAGAGTAGAGGAGTGAGTGACGTATGCTTCAGATATTGACGACAGCCGCCTCAAGATGGTAGAGACGCAGATGTCGAGCTTCCAATCCTCCCTGACCGAACTGCTTCAGCTTCAGCGGGCGAGCGCACAGCCACAATACTCTCAGGGGCCGCATAACCGACTTCCGAGCCAGCCCTCGGCGTATCCGGCTCCCTCTCCGTACGCCCCTCCCCCATCAATGTTCAGCATGTCGACCATAGAAGGTAATCCCGGACCGTATCAGGCTGGGGAGGGGCACTTTGGGATGCCGGGACAGCCCTATACCCCCGGAGGAAGCTATGCTCAGCCTATGCTATCAAACCACCTCTCAAGTCGCTCATCTACTGGACCTTCCCAGCCGCCCCGCCCGTCTGCTACTCCGGGCTTCTCGGTCCCGCCAGCGGACTCGCCTCGAGGGAAGCGCCCTCGACCCGCCGAGCCACCCCGCCCGCAATCGCCCTCCTCGTCCGAAGAGGAAGACCCAGATCCCGCTATAGGCTCCGCTGTCTTTCCAGGACCCTGGCGATCCATGCTCTCGCTGGCTGAGGCGGCGCGTCTCAAGGCGGATAACCAGTTTAGTAGGGACGAGTATGGGGCCGATGGAGCGTATGGTGCGGACCCTCCCGAGTCCCAAGGGGGAGGCATCGCGGGCTTCAACCTTGCCGACCGAAACCACCCCTTCGATTATGGCTCACGGTCCGAGACCAAGCGCCGTCGGTCGATCGCTGAGGATAACGCCGGTCTCAAAGGCGCTCTGCCCGTTCAGCGTGGAAGTCATATGCACGCGCACAAGGATCCTGTCGACCTGGGCCTGATCAGCGAAGCCAAAGGAAGAGCTCTATTTGATTCGTAAGGCTTTACTCGTTCGTGATGCATCGCTGATTGGCAGATTCATGCAGAATTGCCACTTCTACATCCCTGCTTTCGACCCCGAACAGGACACATGGGACAGGTGAGCATATGCTGTGACAGAGCTGACAAGCAGTATGCGGCAGCGCTCCCCCTTTGTCATCGCCACCATCATCTACATTGGCCAGAAGTGCGAGGATGCGGGCGGAGGTGTCACACCACTGCAAACACAGCTACGGGAACACGCGGAAAAGATTGGTGAGTCCGATAAACGACAGTGGCTGATCTTTAGGCATGAGTACCCTATTCACACCCGTTGCTCGGATCGAGGTCGTCCAAGCTTTAAGTAAGTGTCCAACCGGGACTGAACTGATGTCAGTCATGATGGCTCAATGGGGAGATACCAGCTACCGACCTGGAGGACACGCTCTGCGCATTGCTACCGAGATGGGTCTGTGGAGGTGTCTACCATATCTCGTTCAGACCGGTATGGGCGCTGGAAAGACTGCAGCCGAAGTCGCAGAGGAGAGACCGCTTGTGGTGGGTGCGAGGGTTTGGATGACGATCTTCAAGACCGAGTGCCAGTGCGTAGATACCGAGCTCAACAAAGGTCTAGCTGACTTTCAGGATGGCTTTTAATTCTGGTCGGCCATTCGGGATCAGCATTGAGTCTGTCCGGGATGCGAGAAGGCTGGTCGATCACCCACTCGCCATCACTACTGATAGCCGACTCGCGGCGTTCTGCGAGCTCCAGACTTATCGATGTGAGCTTACCGTGAAGCAGGGAGCTCAAGCTGACTAGCCAGTGCCCCTTCATACTCCATATACTCTTTGGCCATCCACGACCCACATGCCTGATCTCGACCAGAGATTGAGGGATGCCAATCAGGCATTCGCAGGGTGGTTTGCGCATTGGGATAGATACTACGGTGGGCTTCTCGAATGCCCTTACTTCGGAGCTGATGATCAGAGCGAAAAGGCTATGCTCCAGATGCTCTGCTGCGCGTTACTCGTGAGTATCTCCCTTTTTTGCTTGAGCCAGGCTGAGCAGTAGTGACGACGATGTTGTGTGGCACCAGGTACGCCTTCGCCTTTATAGCAAGTCCCTGCTGACCCGCAGTGTATACTGTAACTCACTTATCCTGAACGGCGTCAAAAACAAGGGCGACGTCGCATTGCTCTCGGAGGAACGACACGCATTTCTGCTCAAAGCCGTCAACTCTGCTGAGACCTTGATGGCTGTTGCCTTCAGAGGGGAACAAGGCAAACAGGTGAGCTATCTTATCGAACAAGGCTGACCCAAGTACCTCGACCGGTTCCGCTATGCCAACTTGAACACGCACGTTAACTTTGCCTTCCTTGCAAGGTTCTTGATTCGCATGTCAAGCTTAGTTCCCGAAGGGGTTAATCTCAGGCAGGTCGGACGGGACGTCGAGCAATGCGCCAAAGTGCTGTCGAATGGTACGTCTCCGTCCCGGGCAAGCTGACCGCAGTCCCCGGCTTCCAATTCGCTCAGCTACTCCGCGACATTCTCCTCAAAGCTCGCAAAAAGCATGTGCTCCCGCCCCCTTCTCGAGCTCCCTCGCCAAGCCGGATGAACCCTGGCTTCACCACATCCCGCTTTACGCCTGTGCCTACCGCATCAGATCATCCGTACGCCTCGCCTGCCGGCGGCGTAGGAGCTCACCCGGGTGTCTCGCCAAACTACGGTTCCGAGAGCGCGCTGTCTTCCGGTTTTGGTCTCCCTGAACTTGACTTTGGACTGGCGGAGCAGCTCTTCAACGAAGGAGGCGGAGTCTGGGGGAGCGGTGGCGGGGGATTGGGCTTTGTGAGTCAGAATTTGGCGTTCTGAGTGTGATAGCTGAAGTCCTCAGAATGCGGATGGCGGGTTGTCTGGGAACTCTGGTCCTCTAGATCAGAGTCTAGGGTACGATCCCTGGTACCCATATCCTCCGATCGGTAAGTGCACATCGAAGATCAAGGAACTTGCTGACACCCGCAGATCCTGAGTTGACGCACACTGCCGGTGCCAACTATCAGAACGGGGCGTCATCGAGCATGGGGAACGGCTTTCAGGGTTAAGGGGGACAACGACGAAATCTTTGTGATCGCGATATGCATCTGTTTTTTTTTTGGCTCATGGCTCTGTGTTCCTAAGCTACCTACCTTATGCGTGCATGGAACGAGGGAGGCTGCTGCTCGCGTCCATCAGGAGTAATAGTGCTGCTGGTGGCATAGCGAGACGGCGATGACCGCGCTGAGGAATGAGGAGTTGCAGCGCTTTTGGAATATCGATGTGGCGAAGGTCGACTCGTCACGTAGGCGCTTGGGTGCTTCTGGTAGGACACTCTCCACATGTAATCAGAGCTCAGAACAGGCATAATCATATGACAGTATGCAAGCATCCGACTGATTGTTCGCTTCGCTATGTTCTCGCTTTCTTCTCCTAAATCTTAACTTCTGCCAAGAGCGCCTCGCCCTTCGCTCCGTTGATGGCATTACGGACACCTGGTGGTCAGCGTTGACTTTGATTGAGAGTGCTGCACCAACAAGGATAAGAAATAGTGGTCATAAGAGATCATGACACTCACACAGCTCAGCCATCTTCTTACGGGTGTCGATATCGGCCGAGCCCATATGGGGAATGACGACGCCTGACGGGTCAGCTGTCTGTCTGGACTCTTCACGAGGGACTGACAGTTCTTGGCCTTGACGAGCGGGTGGTCGGGTCCGATGTTCGGCTCGCCAGTGATCACGTCTAACCCTGCACCAAAGATCTGTCCAGCATTGAGTGCCACCGCCAAGTCCTCGGAATTGACGATCGGTCCCTAATGATCAGCTGACTCCTCCTCCAGCTGAAAAGGCCTACCCTGGCACCGTTGACCAAGACCGCCGTCTTCTTCATCTTACCCAAAAACGCCTTATCCACCAGATTCACCGTCTCCGGCGTCTGGTTACACAGCACCACCAATATATCACTCTCCGTCGCGATTTCATCCTTCTCCTTGCGCTCTACCGAGACGCCGAACTCCTTGGTCCAGTCCGCGTCTATTTCGGCTTGGTTAGGGCGGCCGCGGGATGAGAGGTAGACGACCTTAGGCGGGTGGGATTTGGACGTGAACACGAGCAAGCGCTTGAGCGTCTGCTGAGAGATACGGCCGAACCCGAGGAAGCCAAGCGTAAGGTTTGGGGAGGAGATGGAGGGACCACACATTACGAACGGGGCCCAGGGAAGGGTCGGCCACTATGGGATCAGCAGAGGCACAAAGTTTGAGTAGAGCCATACATACCCCGCCGGACTTGATCAGCTGGATACCCTCCTCAACCCTCCTCATGGTCATGAGAGTGAGCATAACGCAGATATCGGCAACTTAGAAGTCAGCGGGATCGAGCAGCTGGTGACGTTGGCGAGCTTACCGGAATCGCTGAGAACGCCAGGCGTGTGCCCGATCTTGATCCCCTTGGCATTGGCCGCCTTGACATTGATATGGTCTAACTATTAGCATGATACTACACCGCTCATTCTAGCCCGTTACTCACCATACCCCACCGAGAATGTGCTGACGACCTTTACGCCTTCCCCACACCGCTCCAAGAACTCCTCGTCTACCTTATCCCCCGGTTGACCATGCATGACGCAGACACCAGCCACTTCTGGGTCCGAGATATTATCGAGAATCCACTCTCGGGATGCAGGGGCATCATCGGGATTAACGATGATCTCGAAGGGCGAGGACGAGAGGATCGCCATGGCGTCTTCGCCTACGTTGCGCGTTCTGACACTGTCAGCTCGTTGCTAGCTTCGGGCATCTCGGACTGTACTAGGGCTCACACGACGATCTTGGGCATCTTGAGCGTCTATATACATGCAAGTTGCAAGATGTATGAAAGCAAGTCGATTGCGCAGGGACGGAGCAGGCTGGAGCAGCCGCAGCTGGAGCCAAGATCATGCCGTCATCATGAACGGCTATAGCGGCCGGCTCGGCCGATCCGGCCCGGGTGGGAGTGCACTCCGGTGGCCAGTGGCCAGCGTGTTGAAGGGCTGTTGAAGGATGCTACAACTGTAAGGGCGGTCTACCAGGTCAGTCCCAAGGTCAGTAGGCGGTGTGCTGCGCATGTATTCATGAAGATCCGATACGTTTTGTTCGTGTCACGGCCGATATGACCTACGACGGCGGCAAAAGCCCGTTCGTCAACTCAAACAGCCACACCTCCATATCCGACGGCTCCCCTTGCTCAAATATCGGATCCAGCTGCGCACCCCCCGTCTCTATCATCGACGTCGCCTGACACTCCTCTCATATCCCCTCGCCGCTTCTTCCGCTCCATCGACCATCGACAGAACAAGCTGGCTCGCCATACTCCCAACAAAAGTCCCCTCTGCTCCCGCCCCGCCCTCCAGCCTTTTCACCGCCACAGCCACCTGCCGGACAAGCCCGAGCGCGCCCTGATGCGGCTATACGCTTTGAAGTAGGGTATATGGCCAGCTGTGCGCAGAGATCCTTACGGAGATTTGATAAGACACACTAGAGCGGCCGTGGACCCGCAAAGCGGTCATTCCTCCTCATAAAGTTTGCGGATGAAACATGCCGTAACTTACCCTTTGCGGCTGAATACACTCTAAATACCAACTTATGGTTATAAAGCTCCGGCCCGCCTTGTGCAACCAGCTGTAATAGCCAGCTGTGCGAACCTTCTTTCCGCCTCTTGCTCTACATGCGGAGCTCATCGTATACTATGCCCATCGAACGTCTCCTGAATGTCTCAGTGCTGACAACAACTTCCGACCGCTACTCGGCTCCCGGTGCCCAGCTGCAGCCTTTGCTTCTGTCGTGACCGGATATAAGGCTGAAGCAGCTTCACAAACATGATATTCTCACCGCTCAACCCGAACCCCCTCGTCCTCCTCACTGGACTTTGGCAGGATGTTCTTCAGCTTGCTCACGCTCGCCGCGGCTACTCATACCCTCGTCAGCGGCGCACCTGTCCTCAACGCGACCATTCCCTCCATAACCGACAATGTGGTGACTAGCGAAGCGGCATCTTCGGTCATTGTCCTAAACCCGTCCAGCTCACTCTCGGTCGCGGTATTGGTAAGCTCATCGGAGACTAGCACGTCCCTGGCCCCTACCATCACTGGTGCGAGCTCGGTCGAATCCACTCCTCTTCCTCCATCTCAGCAGAGTGAGATCTCGGTGCCTTCGGGAACAGTCGTCAACTCGGCCAGTCTCCCCATTTCCACCTCGGCCAACTCCACCGGGCTATCCACTTCCACGTTCGCCAACTCTACCGGTCTTCCTGTCTCTGTCGCTACCAACTCCACCGGTCTCCCTGCTCCTACCTCCACGGGTCTCGACGCAAACTCAACTGTCAACGGAACGTCCACTACCCTCTCTTGCTGGATCACGACAACGGTCTCGTCAGGGATATCGGCCAACTCGACCGGTCTCGCCGGTGTCGGTACGTCCATCGTGAACGGTACGGCTGTCAACGCGACCGCTCCGGCAATCGCAAGCTCTACCAGCTTCTACGGGGCATGCCCGGTCTCGACTGGCGCAAGCACCAATATCACCGCGTCTAGCCACGCCTCCATCACCCTAGGCCACGTCATTACCGGGAAGAGTTCGGCCTCTGTCATCGCTTCTACTGGCGCAGTGACTCCTCCCTCGTCAACCGGCGCGGTGGTTGCCCCGTCCCTCCCTCCCCCTTCCCTCGGCGCGGTGGTTCCACCTTCGTCCCTCGGCGCCGCGCCCCCTCTATCATCCACAGGCGATCTGCCTCCTCCTCCATCTCCCACGAGTGCAGCAGTGGCCTCGTCAGCTTCGGGCGGTGTACCCCTTTCACAGTCCCTCGGCGCGGCCACCTCTGCCCCATCGTACGCTACGGCACCCCCTCCCGCAGCTGTAAGCCAAGCGTCCGCTTCCAGATCGTTCGCGACGGTTCCTGCACCCTCCCATAGCTCGCATTCGCGCACGTGTCCCCGGCCCAACCCACAGGTCCCGTTCCGCTTCTGGACCATCGATGACGTTGACGCGTGCGAGTTCCCTCCCCTCGACAAGTACCCCGTCGTCGCCTGGCCGCTCGACTCGAGTGGCCAGACCAGGGAAGATCCCAGTCTCGCACTATGGTTCGCCCTCAGCATGGACCAATGGTTGGACGACCTCTTCACTGGGTGTCCAGCCGCTCTGGACGCAAGGACGGACGAATCGGATGGGACGAAGCACGAGGTGTTTTCAAGGGTGCTGGGACGGTTGATGTTTGGCCAGAATGATGGAGCGTTCTCCGATATTGTGAGTTGACATTATGAAACATGACTGATCGCCAGCATTGCGACCAGAACAGATGCGCCTGGAACGCCAACTCGGGCTGGTGCCGCGGGGATATGTTCCCTTATGAGACAAGTCCTTGCATTGAGAAGTCGACATGCCCACCAGGTCATACCAAAACGGATCTGCTGTTCGTCGAGGTGAGCTAGAGATTCGCTAGACGTGCGAGAATCATTCCCTGATCAGCTCAGAAAGTCAGACGCTGGTATACTATGCAGGCTCTCGGCAACGTCTGGACCGTAAGTCAAGTCATGCCTGTTCTTGGTTTCTGTTATGTGCTTACTGGGCAGCACAAGAAGTCTGTCGCGGCGGCCATGCAGCTTGCCACGCCAGCCGTCTCTGGACGGATGCAGCAGTTTCTGAACGATTGGGGTGAGCCTAGGATACAGACGTCACTTGGACTGTGCTGATCCTCCAGCTGCTACCTATGTTCCAGGCTACGAGAAACCAACCATATCCCCTTTCAGCGCCATCTTCGGTATCTTCAAGAGCATCGCTTCATTCATTCCTGTCGCTGGCCCAGCCATCAGCTCGGCACTGAACGCCGCCGATCTTATCTCAGGCTTCATTGATCCATCCGGAATCCCTGCCAAAGCGGACGAGAAGACATTGCTCATCGCCGAGAATCGCCAGGCGGTCAAAGACGCCATCGTAGCTTCCGCTAAAGGCATAGTTGGGGCTGTCACCACGGTAAGCCGATCTGAGTCTCATGGTCGAACGACGCTGACGCGGCATAGGTGCTCGAGGTCAGTGGCGAGATTAAGGAAGCTCTGAAAGATGGAGAATGGGTACCCGAGAAGTGGGATCCCGTCTTTCCCGTCAGTGAAATGCCTTGGCTACGTTGTCCCGTGGTAGGACCTTCGTCTGACTAGTACAGATTGCAGGTGCGGACATGCAGGCCAAGCTTGCCAGTGTTTTCACCAACATGGCGAAGGCTATGAGCCAGGTGTTTGACGATTCGATTAACGGCCCTCCCTTGGGACCTAACGGGTTTTTGACCCTAGTCAAGGGCGGTCTCTACAGTACAGTAAGTATTTCCTGGTCTACTCAGATTCATGGCTGATCCGTTTAGTCGTCGTCAAATCCCGACGTCATGCGGAAAGACAGCCTCGATGCGTTGATCCCGACGTATGTTGCCTTTACCGAAGACAAGTTGCTTCAGGCCGTCATGCGTAAGTTGCTTTCTTCACTCAGACCTTTCTCGGACTGACCCTCCAGGTTCATACGGAATCTTCTTCATGACAGACACCTTCTCCAACCAAGCGGATTGCGAGGTCAAGCGGCAGCAGGACCATGGTGATTGGGCTGGTTCCTTGTGCTTCCCCTCGACGTGAGTCGTCGGCGCGCGCGCACAGAGATTCTAGTAGAGCGTACAGCTAAACCTATAGCGACGGTGTCACCTGGAGGTCGCTCACACCATACCCATCCAGATTTGGCTACGAAGAAAGACCACACAAGGACACAGGTCACGAACGTTGGGGTGCCCGGCAGATCCTCCACCAAGTACGTCCGAGCCGTGAGCCTGCCAGAAGCCCAGCTGAGACAAGCAGATCTGGCCATTCATGACTGCCGTCAATGTGCGGGACAAGCTCCGGGGCGACCTGTCAAGTAGAGATCACCCGGCCGACATTGTCGACATCTACCAAAAGCTCTCTGCCTGCTCGTGACGCGACCAACAACGGAGTCCATCACCGTCCGTCCAAAGGGGGCAGCTCGACGGGTTTCAAACTCTTTCCCGACGAGATGCCCACCCCTACCTCACTGCCTCTGGACGCGCTCTGTCACTGGAACCTACCGGTCGTCGCGCCCTACCCGGTCGGCGTTCAGGACGACGAGCGCGCCTGCATGGACGACTACGTCCAGGATGATCTCAAGTGGACTTTCCGGACTGGTCAATACGGCTCTGCGTGGGCTGGTAAGAGCTGGGATGTCAATAGCTTCCCAGGCTACCCCACATTCGAGTCGTCAGGGATGTGCAAGGTGAAGGAAAACGGCTGGATTCAAAGGCAGAAATGCAGTAAGTCTAACTCGCATCGAGGGTGCAAGCTGCCAGAATACTCCCCCGCAAACATCCTCCACGGTCGATGCTGATCTTCAGATGACGGCATGACTATTAAGGAATGCGAGCCGCATGATGGCTGGTGGAATTACAAGTACGAAAGTTACAGTCCCCGTCCCGGACCGGCGCTGTACTACGCTCGAGCTCTCGCCTACCCCGCTCACCCGGAGTGCGTGCTCGGCTCGGAGCACTTGGATTGTCCCGCGTTCTAGGGCTTGGGGAATATTGCTTTGGAAGGGTTGGGATCAAGGACAATTCTGGGGCGAGACTACGGGACTTTGGGACTTGGGACTTGGTTTGAACTTCGGGACTTTGGTACTTTAGGATAGATGTAGGGCAAGTCAGGTTTCAGTCAATCTACAAATCGGTTCTTTAGGTGCTACGCGTCCCTATCGTCAGGTTTGCATCAGCGTCATGCTCGGACCGGCTCCGCCTGGCAGCAGCGGTCCTCCTGCAGATCCTCTCCAATCTAGTAACTGGCCTCTCCCTGACCTTGTCGGACGTCTTTGCATCCCTTTTCAAGCGGCAGATTTCCTACTCTCATCGATGTCCTACTGCTGCCTCCTTGCCTGAGCCTGCGCGGCCGCCCCACCCGCTCCACCCGCCTGACCGGGCGCAGCAGCCCCCTGTCCCGGCTGCTGAGGAACCAGCCGTCCCCCACCCCAGCTGCCAACGACCCGCTTGATGGTGCCCCATACGTTGGCGACAACACCGCCCTGATTTCCGGCGAGACCATCAATACGACCCGTGAGTGCGTTGACGGCGTGCCGGGTGAAGGGGGAGGCGTGGTATCGGAGGCGGATAAAGTGGGCGAGGAAGATGGGGGCGATGAAGGATGAGGTGAAGCTGGGGATTAGTTACGCTCATGTGTGATGCCAGACTAGAGAAAGAAAGCTGAGGGGAGCAGTGAGAGGTATAGGGAGTCCCGCTGAGTCACTCGGCCCAGTACGCGAGGCTACACCCCTGTCGCGACAGCGCAGCAAGTGTCCACCCATCCCAGCTGACTGCCCCTTCCTCCTTGACCCCTCCGAGCAACATCCTAACTGTCCGCTCTTAACCTCACTTCCCCCAAAGCCAAGGTTCTGCACCCTCCGCAAGCCCTCGCCAGGCAAAAGGCGAAACAACTCACGTCAAGGCCCCGACCGTCACCCTAGCCAGAATCGCCAACTCCGTATACGCCACAAACCTCATCGCGCCATCATAGTTGTTCTTGACCCATACCTGAATCCTCCTCGACACCGCCTCCAGTCCTTGTGGCGCGGGACGCTGCTGGCCCGCCTGGGGCGCCTGCGAAGGGGGAACGAATTTGGGGATGACGTTTGTACGGAGGAAGGTGAGGCAGTGGAATAGTGAGAATGTGGCGAAGGGGAGTATGGACACTGCTTGATCAGCTCGAGATCCAGGTCCAGAGATAAAGAGGGGGAAGGTGGCGCACAGTTGATAGGCTTGGAGATCCACCAGTAGAGCGCCAAAACGGCATACTGGACATTTTCATCCACGAATGCCCGCCTCACCCATGCTGCGTTCGGCTGCGGCCGGCCCAGCGACTTGAACACCACGATACAGTAGGACAGCAAGGCGCCGGTGAAGCCTAGTCGATAGATGATTTGAGGAGTCCCACGGAAGAGTACCGTCTGGAGGAGGACGTAGCCTTCGAAAGTCAGCTTTTGCATTGTGAAACGAAAAGGAAATGGGGCGGAACGTACTGGCGCTGGCGAGCATAACGCCGTGGCCGACAGCCCATACTGTATGTGGGTGTACGAGGTTGGACATTGTGAGTGCGGGTGAGTAGGTCGATGGAGAAGCAAAAGCAGTAGAGGGCAATCAAAAAGCCTTCGCTGTGCTGCTCCTTCGCAGCCACGACGCACGACGTCATGCTGATCACCGCCTGAGAATCATGGCCACGTGGCGTTCTGTGTGGCACTTCTGCTGCAGCCGAGCATTGCATTCCTCCGCTGATGTCCCTCTTGGATCATGCCTTCACATCTCCGCTCATCCCGGGGCAAGTGATGCTCAGCTCAAGCCCAAGGCTTCCTCTGGGCTCATGCGCCTCGTCCAGCCGCTGCCTCGACATCAGTCTCCCCTGAGTGGAGCAGAGAGCTCACACAAGCAAGTCCGTGTGACCTGAAACGAGCATCTCACATCAGCCCCTTATCGCTAACCTTGTTCTCACTATACTGACGTCACAAAAATGCTCGTCCGCGTCTCAAAGGAATGCGGAGATGAGAGTGCCTGATACACACTGACCCCTCGAGGCACGCTACACAGTTGGTGACGTCAAGGGCCAAGCAATTTTACGCTGTGTCTGAGCGTACCGGTCGACCGAGTACAAAAGGAACGCCTGATCCCCACCTCCCCTCTCAACCCAACGTCTACAATCCTACAATCACACCCCGTACCCCGAAATGGCTCTCCGCTACCCTACCGCCCTCGGCATCGCGGCCTTCATGGTCATGGTACGTCCCCTCCCCAGTCCCCATCACTCTGGCATGTCACTCAATCCACTTGTACTCAGCTGATGTACAGGTCGCCACCCTCTTCTTCTGGCTCGCGGCCATGTCCACCCCGATCACCAAGTCGCTCTGGTATCTCCGCGCCCGGGCCAACGTCGCTGGCACAGGCAACGTTTACTATGGCAACTTTGGCTGGTCAGCCGGGGATGGCGATACTCTTGACTATCGGAACGTTGGGTGAGCTGTCCTGCTCCTACCAATTATAGGGATAGAAGCTGACGAGATAGGTACGAGTGGGCGCCATACATCAGCAGCAAGGGGTTGACGGGATCGCTCATCCTCGTTGCGCTCACCGCAGCGTTTGGGACGATTGCCTTCTTCGCCCTGATGGGTAGTATCAGGGCGTTGCGGCTGGGCATGTGTGCAATCTTCACCACCGTAAGTCCAGCCTCTCTCTTCTTTGATCGTCACTCATCATTCCCACTTCCAAGCTCAATGCCCTCGCCCTTCAAATCTCCCCTCACCTCACCGTACCCTGCTCAGACCCCAGCTGACATTCCAGATCTTCACCATCCTCCTCTCCACCCTCTCCTTCATCCTCATTGTCTCCACCTTCGTCACCGCGCACCGCCGCTTCTCCTCGGACGGCATCAACGTCGCAAACGGCCCCGCGTTTGTCCTGTCCATTATCGGCTGGCTGCTGTACCTCTTCGCGCTGCCGTTCCTCGTGCTCGCTCTCCGTGCGCTCAGGCGGGACAGGCGAGACGGCGTCGTGGTCAGAGATGGAACGGTCCATGAGACTAAGACGACCACCACCACCACTACCGGGAGGAAGAAGCGGTTCTTCTAGGTCGGATCGGAGTGGCGAGTTTGGGGGGTGGGATGTCTCGGGATACACGATAGACACGACTATAATGATAAGGCAGACACGAAGACTGGTTGATAAATAACAAATGTATACATGGTGCTTGATCTGGTCTGTAAACTGCTATCGTCATGCTCGGCTTTGACATCTGCCTACTTCTCCATCGAATCCTGCAAGCGGCCCGACCACACGCCTAGTCCTCATCGCTCCCGCTCTCCTTCTCGCGCTTGCTCCAATCCAGCCAACTCCCCTGGTAGTTCCGGACGTTATTGTACCCCTTCTCATGTGCCCATTCCGAGGCGGTCGCGGAACGCTTGCCGGAGCGGCAGAAGAAGATGAGGTTTTGGGAAGTGAGGGGTTTGGAGAAGGCGAATTGCTGCAGGGTCAGCGTTGAGCATAAGAGGAGGTGGGAGTCTCCGCGTAGCTGGCATTTAATAAGAAGAAGCCATAGCAGCGGTACCCTGTCCTGCGAGGACGTCCCACGTCCCAAAGAGGATAACCACTCTAGTTTCAGAGCTCACCTTTTGGAACTCCCCCGGTCCAAAGTTCTTATCCAGCGCATCGCGCAATTGACTCAGAGGCAATGATACCGCCGATGGGATCGACCCGAGCGCGACCTCGTCCGGTTCACGTACATCCACAATGAGGACGTCCTGCCTATCAGCCCTTGCCCTTGCCCCTAGCCCTCGCCGCCCTTCCTGCCTCTATGCCAAAGGGTAAGACGCACATCAGTAGGCTGCTGAGTATAAGGCTTGAGCTCTTCATAAGTGATCACGGGGTTCTTGGCCCATGATGAGGTCGTGGTGGATTTGAAGCGGAAGAGCGAGAGGGAAGAGGTTGGGGAGGAGGTAGGCGGGAGAACGGCGCGGAAAGCGGGGAGCGAAGCGGGTCGGACTGAGCGGGCGGTGAGGGCGCCGGTGCTGAGGAGGGTGCGGGCTGCTACGCGGGACATGGTTGTTGTAGGTGCGATGAGTAAGGTCAAGCGAGGTATGAGGAGTTGTCAGCAGCTGGATGGACACCCCGGCCCGGATGTTACATAGGCGAGCCTATCGTAGCTTCGTTTCTATGTAGGCGCTGGAGCTGGTCTGGTGACATGCCTCGAGCCTAATTTTGCAGCAGAGTGACGTGTCAATCTTGCGTGGTATCATTCTCGATTCTGAGATTTCGAAGTGCAGCGACCCCTTTTACCTCGCCTATGCACCTCACACCTTACTCCTATAGCGTATACATCATGCCCTTCTTCAACCCATCATCGCTCCCACTACCGCTCCTGCGCCAGATCGCGCGGTCACGCTCATCCCCTCGATTTCGGCGAGCATTGAGCACATCTCCGGTCCCGCTCGAAGCAAGACGGCCCCTCCCCCTCTCCCCCCTCGCTCCCTCCATACCGCCTACGCCCACCCTCTCCGCCCTTGCATCTCGCCTATCTCTCCCCCAATCATCAACTCTCCATCCCGGACTGGTAGCTTGCCTGACCCACCCGTCGTTCTCCCGCACGTCCGCCGCGTCCGGATCGACATCCACCGCTTCTACCGAGACGGACACCAATGAGCTGCTCTCCACACTAGGCAACTCCCTCCTCGGCTTGTTCGCCTCGGAACACCTCGCGCAGAGGTATCCCTTCCTGCCGACCGAAGCGCTCAAAGCGGGCGTCACGGCGTATGTCGGTCCCGCCGCCTGTTTTGCGATAGCCCGGGAGCTCGGTGTAGGCGTGCATGGGCCAGGCGATGGACTGGAGAAGGAGCTGCCAGAGGGTCAGAGGCGGAGAGGGCACGGAGCGGGTGGAAGACCAGCGAGTGAAGGTGTGGGCGTTAGGTGGATTAGGGAAGTTGGCTTCGAGAAGGTGCCTGTTGCGAGGCGGTTTAGGGGGAGGATGGAGCGTGAGGGCGGAGGCGGCGCAGGGCCGGGGGATGCGATACAGCGGAGAGAAGGGTGGGAGGAGGTCGTGGCGGGGGTGGTGAAGGCGTTTGTGGGGTTGATATATCAGGAGCAGGTGAGCTGAGCGGTCCTTAACCTCAGAGGGAGATTAAGCTTACACCTGCAGGGAATGACGGCCGCACGACAATTCACACACGCACACTTCCTCTCACGATACCTCGACATGACCTCCCTCTTCAACTTTACGAACCCAAAGCACGTCTTGTCTCGGGCAGTCGCCAAGCATCTGTCAGATGCGGGCGTAGAGCCAACCGCAGGAGAAGGCAACATCGAGTCTAGGTGAGCCCAACACCGTCGAGTCGAAAGCCAGTGTAGGCACAGCTGACTCCTAGACTTCTCGCTCAAACAGGAACAAACTCCCAATCCCCCTTGTTCAACATCGGCCTCTTCCTCCCATCCGGACTAAAGCTCTCAGAGGGGTACGGCTCTTCCCTCAAGATGGCCGAACATCGAGCGGCCGTCAATGCCCTGCACGCCCTTTTCCTCGTTCGCGGCGATACGGAAGAAGGGGGTGGAGGATTGGGCGGGATGTGGAGGAGGAGTCAGGGCGAGAAGAGGGCGGGTGGGTTGAGATTACCAACGGAGAGTCATGGGGTTTGGGCGGTGGAGGGTGGGAAAGTGGGCAAGGGGCTCGAGTTCCAGGGAAGCGGATGGGGAGGGGGCGAGGTGACTGTCGAGAGTCGGAAGCGGGTGACGGTATAGCCAGGGTGAGACATATGGGATTGCCCCATGCACCTTGATCATCTCCCGGCTGGCCGCTGGCCTCGATTGACGAGGAATCGTTGTGTTGTCTAACAGATACAAGGCCGCAGATCTATGCTGATCTATTGTAATTCCTCTACCTGCTATGCCTTCCCGACCATCCCAGTAGCCACATTGGCTATTTTACTTCCCGCGCCACCCGCCGTCGCAACAGCCGGCTCCCCTCCAACCTCTATCAGCTTCGCCGCCGCCGCAGCCACCTCTGCCCTCCTCGCCTCCCTCTTCAGACTGACCCACCCTGCCCCTCTGACCCACATCCATCTTACTCCCCTACCCAATCCCCTCCCTATCCTCCTCACACCCCGACTAAGCCCCCTGACGACCCCCCAGAAGCTCCACGTGCCCATCCGCCACCCCAGTTCAGGCGCACCGACCCATTCCCGCCTGAACGGGATATACCGCCTCCACCCCAGTCCCGCTTCTGCCTTTGCTTCGGCCTCGTCGGCGTTATTCCGGATGACGTACCGTCCCCAGTCTTCTCTGCCTTCGCGCAGCTGATTCCGAGATAGGCGCGATTCGAGCCAGCGCAGGAACCTGACGTCTGAGGGCTGGGGTAGGAGGGTGGTATGTATCGAGACGACGTTTTCGGGGCCAAGAGTCGCGCGGAGGCGGTTGGCGAGGAGCGTGTCGGTGAACAACCGATCACCGATGACGAGGATACGCAGCGGATCGACCATAGGGATTGAATTCGACGACGGCGTAGGTTGTGTCGCAGGAGAGGATGAGTCTGAGTTTGCCTTCGTCGCCGACGCAGGCGTCTCCACCACCCCCGCCTCAATCTTCGCCGAGTCCCTCGCCGCATCCACCTGTCCCTCCTTCCTCCCCTCTGTCTTGCTCGGACCCCCTTCATCCCCTGGTATTCTGAACGGATCGTCCAACTCCAACCCGCCCACCCCACCCCCCTCTTTCCTCGTATTCGCCCCTAAAAGCTTCCCCTCCGCCAACGGCGTAAACATCCTCACGAACGCATCCTTGTCGTCCCACTCTTCCTGCTTGATCCGCGCATTCCGCTCTGTGATCTCCTTGACGAGTGTGGTGGGTTCCGGGCGGAGCTCGCCTCGAAAGTATTGGAGGATGAGGGCGGAACAGGCGGGTTTGGGGGTGGGATGCATGAGGACGGGGGCGCGGAGGTGTCGGGTGACGGATTCGGCCTGGGGGTGAGTAATAGCTCCAGGTAGATAGTGTGGGATAGGGTAGCTTGAGGATGTGGGAGAGGAGAGATCCGAAGAGAGACATACGGCTAGTCCACCTGGATCTTTCTTGGTCCCAGCTGAATTGGAGACAATGAGCACCTTGCCCGGGTCGAAGGCAGCTAATAGCTCCGTCCAGGCGTTCTGCTCATCAGCTCCTTGCCTTTGATTCCTCTCATCGATGATGCAAAGTACTTGTAATGGCGGATACAACTCATCCCGCTCCGGTATTGTCTGCACATCAGCCTTCGCCTTTAGAGACTGATCAGCCAAAAACGCACCAAGCAATTATCTTTATCTATAACGACAGCGTTGAAGCCTGCTCGTCTGAATGCTGGGTAGTCGACATGGCCAATGTCTGAGCGATGAGTATATGTGAGTATGCATACAATATAACAGGGAAAAGGGAAGGGGGGGACTGACGAGGGACCCGGATGTCGGGACGGAGCAGGCGGGGGCGGAAGAGGGTGACGAGGAAGATGAGGGAGTTAGGGGGCTGGAAGCGGGACATGGGTCCTCGAACGGAAGCTCAGAGCAGACGCCTGAGCCGGGCACTAGGCGGATGCCGGGGGAACGTACAGGACTGAACAAGGTGGACAGGAGAAGAGCAGATCTGAGATCCAAAAGTTCGAATTCGCGGAATGTTCTTGTTGACGTTTTACCTTCAACTTGACTCGACCCTCTCCTTCTCTTTCGCTCTCTCGCCAACTCAGCAGCAACATGTCAATGGCAGGACCCTCAACAGCCGCGCTCCAAACGAGTCACACAACGAAGCGTCTCTCGACGCACGCCAGAGCTCCGGTAGCGAGCGGGAAACCTGGTCCCGGCCCTTCAGGGGGGTTGACGGGTTCGGGCGGCGCTGGGACGGGCGGTGCAGGTGTAGGCCTGGGGAAGGAGGTACTGAATCCCGGAGAGCTGTGTGGATTTGTGCGTCCTGTCGGTCATGTGCTATGAGGGAGCAAAGTGGCTGATAGATCTAGGTGGATACGCTTCTGAGCCAGTTGGAGACGCGCTTTGACGAGATGAGTGAGCAAGTCACGTAGGTCCTCAGCTGACTCTCATCTTGCGATGCTGGAGCTACAGCTGACTCATAGTGGCCGTAGTAAGCTCTTCACATGACCCGGACCAACCCAAGGTCTCGCATCAGACCCACAAGCTGATATAGCAGTGAATGAGATGTCGGCCCGGATAGACAATCTCGAAAACACCATACAGGATCTCATGACGTCCGATATCGATGTGCCGCCCCCGCAGCAGGATGGCTCGACACCCCTAGGAGTTGCACGGTAGCCTTCCACCGTGGAGCAGGGACGGATCCAGGCGGCAGGGCCGCGCTTGTTGTATTTCTTGATGTTTACGATTTCCGAGGGGGAACGCGGGTCTTTTAGAGGCGCATGGGAGGGGAACGTACCCAAAATGGCCCGAAGTCACTGCGGAACGTTACTTACCAGCACTAACACTGCCTACCCGTAACTGCCACGCGCCAGCCAGCCTGAAGGAATCACAGGTGTAAGATGTAACACTTACAAGTGGCGGACATCAAGGGGAAGCAGTTCTGGGTCAGCGGGTCCCGTTCCTCCCTCACATCCCGTCTCCAGCTGCCTAGGTACGATGACAGTACCGGACCCATGTGCATGAGAGATCATTGCATGCGTATACCTAATACCCAAAATCCGAACCCTAATTAGATTATAGCCCAATATCCCAAGATCTCCAACATCGCCCTTTCGTCACCATCGTTTCTGCCTGACCTCACGCCTCACGTCTCGTCACTCCTGCACGACCAGCGGACCCCATCCCGGCGTACACGCATTATCCACCAGGAGGTAGCCCTCCATACACTGTGAGACTAGGGCAGTCAGCGAATACTCCTTCTCGATTCTCTGCAATTCAGCTCAGAACTTACCGATACATTGAGCCTGGACGCAGGCGACATGAGAAGCATGAAGAATCTCGGTACAGTCTGGTCCATCGCATGCTCCGCACCGCTCAATGTTGTTCTGGATGTCGTCCACGCACTACTTGATCAGCTTTACGTCTACCTTTGGACGGATTGAAAAGACTCACCTCGAACCCGATTCTACCGCTGGACTTGAACGGGCAGATTGTCTGAGCCGAGGTACACCTTTCTCTCTTCCGCATCCCACCCTGCAATATCAGCTCTGCCCGCATCTCGACCCGAAAAGGAGAAGACATACAGTAGGCGTAGCAGCATTGTTCGCCACCGTAATAGGAACCGGCGCCGTCTGAACCCCATTGTTATCACCGGTAACCACCGCATAGATATTGTGAGGTCCTGGCGGAAGACTGGCTGTCGGGACGTTAAAGTCGAAGGTGACGAGCTCTCGTTTCCGCCGGGGTCCAGCGGCCGTACTCGTCGCCGTGGAATAGATGAGGTTCCCGTCCATATAGACTTCGATCTTGCCGCATTCCGGCCGATTGTCGAGGGTGCCCGAAAAGTAGATCTGGGTGGTGGATGTCTCGCCGGCTTTAGGGGAGATGAGAACGGGTGCGGGACAGGGCTCGGCGTAGATCCGTACAGCGGCCGAAACGACTGGCGAGTTGAGCGAGTCCGACTGACTGGACTGTGTGAAGGCAGTGACCGAGTGAGCCCCCTCGGAAGTCACTTGCCAGGTGGTACTGAAGGTGTTGTCGGGCTGAATGACGACGGCCCGCGGGTATCCACCGTCCACTGCAACGTGGATATCGGGGCAGACCCGGCTGCCGGTAGCTGTACCGGTAATCGTGATGGATTGACCATTCTGCGCCGAGTTGTCGACCGGGGAAGTGAGGACAGGGGCGGGGCAGACGGTAGGCGGAGCCGGAGAGATGGTGACGGTATGACGGTCCGCGGCGGTGAGGTCCGAATCGTAGATCTGGGCGACATTCGACTTGGATTGGGCGTAGACCTCGTGCGGTCCATCCTCCTCGACGAGGATGTTGGAGTAAAAGTTGGACCCGTCCATGGTGGCGCTTGCGACGTTGACACCATTGATGTAGAGAGCAACGTAGGGGCAATCGGCGGGACGCGCGATGGTCCCTCGGATCTCTATGAACCGGTCCGACTGTGTTTGCCCGGCAACAGGAAGAGTGAGGACAGGCTGAGGACAGACACCCTGGTTGACGGTAACGTCCCGAGTGGTAGGTGCCGAGTCGAGCTCAGCCGCCTCGCTCGACTTGCCTACGACCGAGATAGTGTACACCCCATCTGCATCTACCAGAGGGTAGAACTCCCAGTTGGTCCCAGACGTCCCCACCAGACCCTGGTACACCCCGTTGATAGACAAGGCCACCTTGGGGCACGCCTCGGTTCCGGCAAAAGTACCGGTGATGAAGAGCTGCCGGCCGGCCTGGGCGGTATCGACACGGGGAGTGAGGATGACCGGCGCAGCGCACGGCACGGCGGTGTTGACGGTAAAGGTGATGGGGGAGGTTTGAGCGGTAGGGTACTGCTTGCCGTCGGCATCGGCTCCCGCAGCAATGATGTACATGGTGTGCGTCCCGTCCTTGAGGAGATCAGACCGGGAGAAGCCGTTGGCCGCGCCTGCACCGATGAGGTCATCATAGCCAATCACCTGGCCATCAAGGTTGACCAGCGTGCGCTTGCAGAGTGGGTCGGTCGTGTAGCCCGAAGTGGTCACCCGCGAGTCGGTATAGACCGCTCCGTCCGCCGGTGAGGTGAGGATGGGGACGCCGCATTTGTGAGTGGTGTCGATAATGAACGTGATGGGAGCGGATTGTGCAGTGTAGTACTGCTTGCCGTCCGCATCGGCTCCCGCAGCAATGATAAACATGGTGTGCGACCCGTCCTTGAGCAGATCAGAGCGAGAGAAGCCGTTGGCCGCGCCCGCGCCGACGAGATCATCGTAGCCGATCACCTGGCCATCAAGGTTGACCAGAGTGCGCTTGCAAAGCGGATCGGTGGTGTATCCCGAGGTGTACACTCGCGAATCGGTAAAGGCCGCTCCGTCCGCTGGGGAAGTGAGGACCGGAATGTTGCATTTGTGGGTAGTGTCAATGGTGAAGGTGATGGGAGCAGAAGCGACCTGCGGGAGGTCGTTCCCGTTTGCATCCGGACCGGTGACCGAGACATACATGGTATGCGTGCCGTCCTGGAGGAGATCCGAGCCAGTCATGGGGAAGGAGGGACCGGCACCGCCGAGGGTCTGATAGCTGATGATCTTGCCGTCGTACCATAAGAAGATCTTTGGGCATGCAGCGTCGGTAGTGTACGCAGAGTGCGAGACCCGGCTGTCGGTAAGGGCGGCGCCGTCTGTGGGAGCGGTGAGGACTGGGACGCCGCACTTGTGACGCGTGTCGATCGTAAAGGTGATCGGGGCAGAGGCGACCTGGACGTTAACACAAGCTCATCTTTCGCTCCATAGCGCTGATTATGAGCTTACCTGGGGCAGATCCTGGCCGCTCGCATCTGGACCGGTCACCGAGACGTACATGGTGTGCGTCCCATCCGTCAAGAGGTCCGAGCCGGTCATCGGGAACGACGGACCTGCACCGGCGAGGGTCTGGTAGCTGATGATCTTCCCATCCAGCCACAGGAACAGCTTGGCGCAGGAAGCGTCGGTAGTGTAGGCGGAGTGCGAAACCCGACTATCGGTGAGAGCCGCACCATTTGTCGGGGCGGTCAGGACGGGTACTCCGCATTTGTGACGGGTGTCGATTGTAAATGTAATGGGAGCGGAAGCGACCTGTTGCTCAGCTCAATCAGGGTACTCGTCCAGGAGCGAGATGGGTCTGGGCTTACCTGGGGGAGATCCTGGCCGTTCGCGTCTGGTCCCGTAACCGAGACGTACATCGTATGCGTCCCGTCCTGGAGGAGATCCGAACCGGTCATGGGGAAAGAGGGACCGGCGCCGCCAAGCGTCTGGTAGCTGATGATCTTGCCGTCGTACCACAAGAAGAGCTTGGGGCAGGCTGCATCGGTGGTATAGGCAGAATGGGAGACTCGGCTGTTGGTGAGGGAAGCGCCATTGGTGGGAGCGGTAAGAACGGGAACGCCGCATCTGTGACGGGTATCGATGGTGAACGTGATGGGAGCTGAAGCGACCTGGACATCAGCTCAATCCCAAGTCATGCCTCCGTACGGTTGACAGAGGCTTACCTGAGGCAGATCCTGGCCGTTCGCGTCTGGTCCCGTAACCGAGACGTACATGGTATGGGTCCCGTCCTGAAGGAGATCCGAACCGGTCATGGGGAAAGAGGGACCGGCACCGCCAAGCGTCTGGTAGCTGATGATTTTGCCGTCGTACCACAAGAAGAGCTTGGGGCAGGCTGCATCGGTGGTGTAGGCAGAGTGGGAGACCCGGCTGTTGGTGAGAGAAGCGCCATTGGTGGGAGCCGTAAGAACGGGAACGCCGCACTTGTGGCGGGTATCGATTGTAAAGGTGATGGGAGCGGAAGCGACCTGTTGCTCAGCTCAATGAGGGTACTCGTGCAGGAGCGAGACGGGTCTGGGCTTACCTGGGGAAGATCCTGACCATTGGCATCTGGTCCAGTGACCGAGACGTACATGGTATGCGTACCATCTCGGAGCAGATCAGAGCCGGTCATGCTGAAGGATGGCCCGACACCGTCGAGCTGTTGGTAGCTGATAATCGACCCATCATACCAAAGGAAAATTTTTCTGCAAGCTGGATCTGTCGAGTAGGCCGAGTGCGAGACCCGGCTGTTGGTGAGGGCGGCGCCGTTGGTCGGGGCGACCAGGACGGGGACACCACATGCCGCTCGGACGCTAGCGACGAGAGAGGCGGCGGAGAGGAGGTATCTGATGAGCATGATGAGTGCCGGACTACGGTCGGAAAGTGAAGAGCCCAGACAGGCGGAGGAGGAACTGAAGGGTGAGGAGGTGGGGAGTGGGAAGCAGGGGAAGCGGAAGGGGGGTCGGGGTGGGACCTAGTGTCACTAAATAATACCTTGCTCTGGGCCCGCCTCCTCCCCCGATCTTCCTTCCGCGGGGGCCGAGAACTGCCGAGCGCCGAACCTGAGCATGGTTCTGTCCTTTACCGGCACCCCCATCAATCTTTCAGAGTCATGTCAAGTCCAAGGAGTCGCACTTTCAAGGAGCCGAGATTTGACTTTCAGTAACCACAGACAATTACGTTGATTACGACGGAGGTATTCTCCTCTTTGGGTAAGTTTAGGTGATCGCCCAAATGGCGCATTTACGTACATAGGGCCGTGCCTGTTCGTGCCTGTCTGTGCCTGTGTGATAACCGGTCTGATCATCGCCGAAGCGAATAGCGATTCAAAGGACTCCAATGCATGTCTTGCCGGTGCATTGCCGGGATTCGCTCTCGATGTCTGGTGGATGTCTTGAAGGTCTGCACACAGATTGCGCCCGCGTCCGGCCGTGACAGAGAGATGCGGCCCGGTATACTGAGTAATGAGTGAATCAGGAGAGCAGGATGCTTTGGGCAAGGGCGAGGCGAGATGGCGGAGTAGACGCTAGGTGCTGGGTGCTAGGTGAGTCATTACTAAGTACAGCACGACAGAGAAATGCCATCCTGAGGAGATTGTAAGGAGCTCGCCGCTGATGCACGATCCTATCTTCTGGGATCTAAAGCACTGATGAGATTGATCTGCTGATACGAATAATCGCCATGGACAAGCCGACTCCCGCTCTGGAGCTGCCTACTCCCCGCCCAGCGCCGCAAGGGTGTGGACGTAGTCATCTGGCCCGAGTTCTTTGGCACAAGCACTGGGTATACATGAATTGCGTATGTACAATATTAAGCTCACGCCGCCGTACTGCTTGCCGCCGACGACTTCGACTTCGACGGTGGCACTCCAGTGGTCTGGCCCGTTCTTTCTCTCTTCTCGCTCCGCTTCTTGCGCCTACTCTTTTCATCCCGCTCTGTATCGGTTCGTCCGCCTCCGTTTCCGGATCTTGAAGTCCCTGAGGCCCTCGAGCTCTTTCCGCCACCAGTACGGGCGGTCCCCGTCACCGCCGTCTCCGCCAGCCGCTTACCCTGCTCGTTGAAATACCTCACCATGACATTATTCACGCGCTTAGCAACCTCCGAGTCAAGAGTCTGCACCGCCGACGTATTGATGGTAGTCATATCTTCTGGGAGGACCGACGGAGCGTCAGTCGGTCCGACCGGAGGTGAAGTATCCCACGGAGACGTGGCTGTGCCGCCAGCGGTCCACAACGAGGCTATTGACTTGAAACTCTGCTTGACGCGGTCCCCTTGAGTGGTGAAGGGATGATCACCTGGAACCTTTCTGGCGTTCCAAGTCGTGCCGAGTGTTTCGTATGCGGTTTTCGCATTGATCAGCTTGATGATGTCGCTGTCGCGCTTGGTAGTATCCCGGACCATTGTGCCCAGCGTCATGCCGTTCGTCAAAAGCATGGTAGAAAAATCGCTCGCCACGGCCTTGTTGCAGGGCTTCCAGTCGGTTACCACTGACTTTTCATCTAGCTAGTCAGCAAAAGACGTCAAACAGCTTGTGAGCTTTAGTCGAGCGCACTCACCTTCGGCACCGAACCACTTGAGTTTCCAATCGATCAGAGTATCTGCGGCCTTCCCCAGCCACTGCGTATCGGCCTGCGTATCGGCAGTCGTCTTGCCGGACATTGCGGTATCAGTGGGGCGACCGGGGCGACTCTTGCCGGTTTTTGTTGCGCCCGTTGTCGGCCTCCGGCTTTTCTTCGCAGCTGTAGTCGTATCGCCCGCAGCAGTGCTCGTTTGGGTGGAACCTGAGCGGGCGCCAGACATCAAGTCCGTTCCAGGCCCAGCTGTGGTGGTGGCCGGATTGCGAGTCACCTCAGTGGCCGAAGCACTGGGCCCACCTTGAGCTGTGCTGTTTTCTGATGCTGCCGCTGCAGCAGCTGATCTTGCCTCAGCGTTGGCCCCCCGTTTTTTGCGCATAGCCAGCACTTTCTCCTCTGCAAGTCTCCTTTCTTGCTCATCTTTACTCTGCCTCGTCTCCCCAGAAGTTGCAGCAGTCGAGCTGGCGTCCCCTGTTATATCGATGGCCGAGTCGCGCCTACTGGTCGTCGCGGTCGCTTCAGGCCCGCTTGCCGAAGTCCCTCCATCATCAGGCTTGACCTTCTTCCTCCTCTCCCACTCTTCCGTCCGCGCGTCCCTCTGCTCCTTTCTCGCATCACCCGTTTTCTTCTGAAGAGCAGCTCGTTTGGCCTTGTCAGCCTTCCGCCTCTGCTTCTCCGCAGCTCCTTCGTCATCGCGCTGCGTCTGCTCTTCGGTCGTGATCCCATTGGCTGCGGCTTTCCTCTCCAGCCTCTTTCGTACATCTCTTGCTCTCTTCTCACTAGCCTCCGCCGTCTCGGCTTCCGTCCTTGATGAGTCGGCCGTGCTACTAGTTGCGGCTGCCGTCTGACTCGCTGGCGCCTCCGTCCCACTGGCCCCTGTCTGACTCGCTGTCGCCCCTGACGCAGTCGCCCCCGTCTGGCTCGCGCCGCTGCTTCCCCCGGTCGTCAGCCCCTTCCGCTTCCGCCGCTCCTCCTCCGTCTCGTCCGCCCTCTTGCTCTTCCTCTGCTTACTCTGCTGACTCTTCTTGCTCTTCTTGCTCTTGCTGGTGTCTGCTTCGCTGCCTGCTGTATCTGGATCCTTGGTACTGGCTGGCGCCTCCGAGCCAGTGCTAGCCGCGGTGGCATCAGTCTTCTGAGTTTTAGGATCCAGCGCAGCAGCCTGCGCCTCGAGCTTTTCCGCCTTCTCCAGTTCCTTCGCCGCGCGCAGCCTAATATCTGCTGCGACTCGCTTCGAGTCTGTCACTTGCCTTTTTCGTATCGCTTCATCGAGCTGCTCCTCCTTGGTCAGCTCCTTTTGGCTCGCTGCATCCGACGAGGTTGCTTGGGTCCTGGACGAGCCAGAAGTGGTGGGAGGGGATGACACGTCCGTAGACATGGTGAGATGAGTATTCGGAAGATGCTGGATGCGGTGTGGATGGGCCTGGCCGTGGGAGAAGGGTGGTAAGGATGGGGACAGGTAATGGGAGGGGCGGGAGGTGACGTGGGTTGGAGGGATGTTTGCAGTGGTATGAGAATAACAGCGAGGAGCTAAAGTGGGCGGCTAGATGAGCAGTGGTAAGCGCCTGTCAGGACATCCCTTCAGGCCCCTTCAAGCCCCTTTAAACTCCTCAGCTCTCAAAGGATGAGCGGTAAGTATGTTTCGTCAGACTTTCGAGCATGTTCGAGGGTAAGGGGCGGGGACGGGGCGAACGAAGGCGAGAGCTATCGTTTGAGCGTGTTTGAGGCAGATGTAACATCATGGCCGGTATGTACACGTGAAAAAAGGCCGCTCGATCAACTTGACTACAACACCTGGATGTCAGCGCTCCTCGAAGCAAGACGCGCTGAACAACAGAGTAGACATACTATCAATTACAGCACACCGTTACACACTCATCCCTCTTCACATCACTGTCCCCGTCCAGCGCCAACCAGTCGCAGAAGAACTTCCCCACTCCCGCGCCCAGCACGATACTGATGATCATGTACCCATTCGCCGCCATTACGATCAACATGAGAATGTACGCCAGCCCAAAGAGCACCGCGTGCAGTACCGCCCGGACCGCCTGCTGAGGAGCGGTCGCTCGCCGAGGGATAGGTTTGAAGTCGTTGGCAGTGTTTAGTGCCGCGAGTTGGCGGAGGACGTAGCTGTCATATGCCCGATTGACGCGCCGGAGGGCTTCGAGCATGACGGAGAGGAGAGCGGCGCCGATGCAGGAGGCGGCAAACATGCCGTTGTTGGTGATGTGCCATGAGGAGGTGAGGTAGCAGGTGTCCATAGGGTCCCAATTCCACAGCATCTGATATGTCAGCGAGAACCGTCGTCGAGGAGAAAATCGAACGAACGGTCATTTGGCAGCTCGAATTGGACATGCTAGACATGGAGTGGTCCATTTTGGCTGATGTCTTGCTGATTTATAGGGGAGGTGAGAAGAAGTCGAGCTGTGTGTAGGTCTGGGAGCAGGAGTTGGAGTAGAGAGTGTAACCAAGACCAGCTTGATTAATGGCTTGTCCATCTCTTACCCTTCCTTTGAAACTGGTGCGTGCCTGATATTACGGCGGTTTCAGAAAGGGCTCAACCAGTTGAGCAGCTTTATCTGATTGGCTGATCAACATTCCTCGCACAGAACAGAGCCATTACTCCAAACCCCTTCCTAGGGTAATTGCATTGGCCAATGCACCTTGGCGACAGAGACTAGAAGGGCCGCCGAGAAGATGGCATTACTTCTTATACCCCCATCACTCGGCTGATTCTTCTTTCACCTTTTCCCCGGCTCGAGCAAATCCCCCTACCATGTCGTCCATCTCCCCTCGACATATCCAGGATTTCAACGATGCGGCCGGTCTCGAGCCTCACTGGGGCTATGCGGACCGTGTCATCCCCTGCACCAGTGATGCAGGGAGCTGCGAGTACCTCGACATCGTCTACTGGGCGCATGATGTGGGGATGCTGTACATGGGAGCGATGTGGGCGGTGATCATCGGCGGGTTGATGGTATGGGGCTTTCTCTACCGCACAAGGGTGTCCCAATCTCGGCTCGGCGCGACCATCTCTTCCTTCACTACTCGCCACTTCCTCCCTGAGCTTCGGCCCCTTCGCTTCCTGTTTGGCCGCACCACCCGCCTGCAAATCGCAGCCCTCGCCCTCATCATCACCTACCTCTCGGTCTTTTCCTTCGCTGGCATCGTCTACAAGAGCTGGATCACCCCCGTCAAGAATATGCCGGGGGTGTACAACACCCGCTCTTCCCTCGGACCATGGTCGGACCGCATCGGCGTCATTGCCTACGCCCTCACTCCAGTCTCTATCCTCCTCGTCATGCGCGAATCCCTCCTCTCCGTCATCACCGGCGTCCCCTACCAGCACTTCAACTTCCTCCACCGCTGGACCGGTCACATCATCCTCCTCCAGTCCGTCCTCCACACTATCGGCTGGTGTCTCGTCGAGATCCGGTTCTACCAACCCCAGCCATCGGTCGCTGTCACCTGGATCAAGCAGACCTACATGATCTGGGGCGTCGTTGCTCTCATCTTCCTTCTGCTGCTCTGGGGTCTGGCCACTCGTACAGCCCAAAGAGCATTTGGGTACGAATTCTTCCGCAAGGCGCACTATGTCCTCGCCATGCTCTATATTGGCGCCATCTACGCCCACTGGTCCGCTCTCGGGTGTTTCCTCATCCCCTCCATCCTGCTGTGGGGTATCGACCGGGCCATCCGCCTAGGTCGTACCGCACTCATCCACTACCACCTCTTACCTGACGGACGCGGCGTCTTCTCCTCCCTTCCCTCCAAAATCACCCACTACGGCGAGGACATTCTCCGGATCGACCTCATCAACCCCAACCCCACCTCCTGGGCCATCGGTCAACACTTCTACCTCACCTTCCCCCAATCCTCCATCTGGCAATCCCACCCCTTCACCCCTCTCTCCCTCCCCGGTCCACGCCACTCGTACCTCATCCGAGCGAAACGGGGCGAAACCCAGAAGGTCACGGCGTTCCAGGGCGACTCGACCCCGGTCATCCTCACCGGTCCATACGGCGCCGACATCATGCGCGGCGTCTCGGGCACTTCAAACATCCTCTGCGTGGCGGGCGGGACGGGGATCACATTCGTACTGCCCGTCTTGATGCAGCTGGCGCAGCGGGGAGAAGGCGAAGGGATACTGCACCTGGTCTGGGCGGTCAGGCGGAAAGAGGATGAAGAGTGGATCGCGCCGGAGCTCGAATTCCTCCGTCGGTCTCCTCGTGTTCGCGTCACAGTCTACTCTACCCGCTCACCTCCCTCCACTCCCGCATCCGCCGAAACTCCCGGCCCGTCCGAGAAGAACGCGTGCTTTGACCGTTCGGACTCCTCTTCGTCATCGGCCGAGAAGGGGTCCAACATGCCCACCCTGGACCACTCTGCTCGGCCGGATATCCACCAGATCACCCGTGACTTTGCGGCGCAGGCGGCGGGCGGGGAGATCAAGGTGTACGTCAGCGGACCGAGCGGGATGATCACGGCGGCAAGGGAAGTGGTGGCGGATCTGAATGACCCGAGGGGAGTCTGGAGAGGGGAGCGGAAGCCAGTAGAGATGATTTATGATGATCGGTTGGAGTAAAAGCGTGAGTTCCTCGCTGGAATGCCAGGAATGATGACTGATTGATGCAGAGTCTTCTCGGGTTTACGTGTAGATAAGAAGTAGATGTACCGCAGTATGAAGCGCTTTGACAGCACATAATCACAGTCCCCACAGGTGGGACCTCCCATACTGACAAGACGCCTTGTTTCAAGTTTCTACCCGGATACATACTTATCTATCACCGTACGCGCTATTATTCCCTCCGTGCTATCCGACTCCAGAGCTTCTTCTTTGACTTCTTCGCCTCGGCCTTGTACCTCAGCTCATCCTCGATCTCCCTCTCATCCAGCTCGCCGGACGCATAGAAGATGATGCTCGCTGCTCCAATAAGGAAGGTGATGATGCAAGCTGCGAGTGCTCCGATAGCTTTCGGTGTCCAGCCCTGCTCATGAGCCTGATGTCTGCCAAAGACAAAAGGGAAGACTCACCATGACGAGCGGGAATGGACCCCATGGCTGACCAGCAAAGTCTGTCGTCGAATTCTTCCCGACAATGTTGCCCGACGTGGCCATGTTCCAGTGCTTGCAGTGGTCATATACCGATTGAGGGATCGTGCTATCTTGCTGCTGGAACTTTTCTGGGGCTTCGATGAAGACAGCGGCGAGACCTGATGACATGTGCCAGTCGACTATGGGATTAGCTTAGCGCTTGGGGTCAAGTACTGCTTTCAGCGAGGGAGGCGTACCGTGACAGTGGAAGAGCCAGGCTAGAGGGGATCAGCTCTGCTTATTGCAAAAGTAGCGCCGTGAAGGCTCACCTCCTGGATTGTCTGCGATCCACCTGATAGTCACACTCCCCGAAGGCGGGATGACGACCGTGTCCCTCCTCGCGGGATTGGACTGAGTCTCGTTGAAGAGCGGGTTGATAGCGGGGTCATCAGACGTCACGTCGAACGACTTGTGAACCACCTGGAACTCGTGTCTGACGGGTGAGCTCCTCCTCTAGCGCGGTACTCTGCGGTCGAGAGGGACCTACCCGTGAAGATGGAACGGGTGGAATCCAGCGTCCCAGTTGAAAATGGTGACCTCGACCTGACTCATGTGCGGGAATGTAAACGCGTTGGTCTGCGCGCCGTATACCTCGGGGAGGAATGAGTTGTTGCCCATGGTGAGGGCGGTAAACATGGAAGGGGTCATGGGCATCTGGTAGGTGACGTTGTTGACTATCGTGTCAGCTGCTTTGCGTTCCTGCTCCGAAGTTGGGCGATACTTACACGATGCGCGATTTGTACCGTCATCGTATGTCTGCACAGTCAGCCCTCAGATACCGCTACAGGCAAAGAGCTACTCACGTCAAAGTAAGCATCCAGCCTGAACTCGACCGTCTTGCCAATCATCTCCCGCTTCAACACAGGAACAAACTTGGTATCGTCGAGGACTGGCGCCGCATCGATCTGTACCGAAGCGGCCGGGGATGCCGACGCGTTGTAGACGAGCTGGATGGTATTGTTGAGGACGAGCTCATCTGGGATAACATCGTACCTGAAGGTCAGCCTGACTCCAGAGAAAAGATTAGAAGAGCTAGAGCTCACATATCCGGAGACTGGTTGATGCTCAGGGCGTAGTTGGTATCCGTGCTGTTTTTGGCGGTGACGAGCACCGAGTATCGCTGACCGATGGAGATAGTGAGCGTATCGATGGGGTATGGCTCCATCTCCACTCCGTCCGTCTCGATGATCTGGACGTCATGCTGGTCAAAGTTGATGTAGAACACTGCTCGATCAGCCCAGGTCCGAACAGTGCAGGTAAAACGGCAGACTCACTAGCCAGAGCAGCCATGTTGATGATTCGGACCCGGTAGCTCTTGCCCGCCTCGAAGGTTAAGGCCGCATCGTCATTAACACCCTTGCCAGCCATCAAGTCTGTGTTGGAGCTGAGGTACTTGTCATCCTGCGCGACGTAGATGAGGGCAGATTCTAAGTGATCAGCTGGGCTCGGCGCTGTACTGAATAGAAAGACTGACTAGGGACAGGCTCGGCACCGGTAGGATTCTTCCAAGTGAGGAATTCGTTGGTGATGAGCTTGCCGTACTCCTCATGGTACCTGAAGATCAGTGATCTACCTTGGCACTTTGAGAGTATAGGGGAAGGGAGGCGTACCAGTCAGAAACGATAAGCGTGTATTCGGCATCCCATTTGAGATTGTCCGATCTGCCGGATGCATTGTTCGGCTGGATGATGAAAGCTGAAGTCGTCAGTACCGATCATGCTACAGGGTCGTTGGGACTGACGAGCTCGGAGACCATCCGTGTACTGGCCCTCGTGGTGTCCGTGGATCCAGTATGTCCCGGTCTATCTGGTCAGCTTCGGGCCTCATTTCAAACCTTGATTGAAAGACTGACCTGAAGACTCGTATCAATCACGTAGCTCATCGTCTGGTTAAGCGGAATAGGGCACTGCGTGGTCGAGACCGCCCCATCGGCCCAATTCGACCCGTTGAAGAACATTCCATGTGTGTGGAGTGCGGTACCGAGACTGAAATCCCCGAGAGAGTTGGTAGTGTGCATGATGAGCTTGTCGCCTTGTGTGGCGATAAGAGGAGGGGGACTGGCTGTCAGCAAGAGGCATCACCTAGGGACCAGAGGAATGGGGTCAGGAAGCTTACGGCCATGTTCCGTTCACTCCGATCACTCGTCTGGGGTAGAGCTGAGAATTTAGCCAGAGCGAGACCCAGGGAGCGCCGGTGGCGCGCTCCCAGCAGAGCGTAGCGCTTGGAAGCCAGGCACGGACGGGCCCGCATAGGAGGAGAGACTTACCCCGTTCGGATTCGCGTCTACATAGGTGATGTTCCACCAATGCTCGATCGTGGCTGCCTGTACCGCCGCCAAGGTACTTGCCAGCACCGTGAACGCTGTGATCTTCATCATGATGTCGATAAGTATCCTGATCGAAGGTAGAGGTATGAAGCTGGAGCTCGAGCTGGAGGGCGACTCGAAAATGCCTCGCTGTGCTTCTAACTGTATAACGCCTGTCGAGGCGTTTTGCGATGCTAGAGTCCGGCCGAAGATTGGGTCAAAGGGCGATCTGTCAACCTTCCCAGAGACAGAAGCGAGTGTATGGTCGCTGCAGCGGGTATAGCGAGGGCCGCTAAGGCAGCGCAGACAGACAGAGGAGCGAGCCAAAAGATCATTTCGGCCGGTCCAGATCGCCAAATTGCCTCCGACGTTCAGGCACGGTTCAAATCTGTCCGGCGTTATCAGATAAACGAGCGCGCTAGGGCCTTTGGCGCTGACACCGTCGATGATGGTGTCTTAATCAGATACGGAGATGCCGCGGCTACTTGACGATGAGAATCTATTCTGGGATGCGGATAGAATCTTGCTACCTTCCTAGCGACGCGGGAGATGGAAGGAAGAGTCGAGATGGAGCAGCAAGAGAGGTGGAATGTCGGCCGAAAGGGGTATTTTTAGCTGGAGAGGGGAAGCGAGTAAGTCACGGTATGACAGTAAGCTAATCTGATTAGGGCGCCTTTGACAGGATGCGGCCGAAGAGGTCCAGAGCTAGAGGGACCGAAACTTGACTGAGGCAGTTGACGCTTCGGAGCGGTATCTCTTCCTCTTCCCACTTCTTTCTTTTCAGTCCCACCCCCTACCACTAGAGAGCAGCAGCTATCATGCCCGACTACTTCTCCGTCCCCATCTTCTTCATCGTCTTCCGCGAGACAGTCGAGGCAGCCATCATCGTCTCGGTCCTCCTCTCGTTCGTCGAGCAATTGATGACCACCGGTGCTGTGCGCCAGATCGATAAGGGCCCGCCCTACTCCCCCGCCAGGCTCCAGGATGATCCCCACTCCGACACCCTCTCCACCGAAGACGCAGCTGCGGACAAGCAGATCTCCCATCTGGTCAGGCGTATGCGGATCCAGATCTGGGCGGGGACGATAGGAGGGTTCATCATTGCCCTAGCTATCGGTGCGGCGTTCATAGCAGTCGTAAGTCCCACTCATTCCTGGATGCAGTCTATGCTGACCTCAAGTTCTACACCAAACTCACCAATCTCTGGGCGGATACCGAACAGATCTGGGAAGGCGTCTTCTCCCTCGTCGCCGCCCTCATCATCTACGTCATGGGTATCGCCTTCCTCAAGATGGACCGGTCCCGCGTCAAATGGCGGCTCAAGCTCTTTGCGGCCTTCCAAAAGACCCGCCAGACCGACACCACTACCGAGGTCGACCAGCACCACAAATCCGGCTCGGGCGGTAAATGGGCCCTCTTTTTACTCCCCTTCATCACCGTCCTCCGGGAAGGTCTCGAGGCCGTCGTCTTCGTTGGCGGTGTCTCGCTGTCCGAGCCGGCCGTCTCTATCCCCATCCCCGTCATCGTCGGCATCATCGCCGGCGGGCTCGTCGGTTTCGCCATCTACAAGACCGGCTCATCTACCACCCTCCACTGGTTCCTCGTCGGCTCGACCACCCTCCTCTTCCTCATCGGCGCCGGGCTATTCTCCAAAGCGGTCGGATTCTTCCAGTACTACATCTTCGCCAAGGGGGTTGGCGGGGACGTGGCCGAGACAGGTGATGGGCCGGGGAGCTTCCAGGTGGCCGGCAATGTCTGGCACTTGACATACGGGAATCCGGAGGTGGGGTCAGCGACGACCAACGGGGGATGGCAAATATTCAACTCGATCCTTGGCTGGAGTGAGTACTCTTCTAAGAGTCAGTGACCCCAGCTGATGAGCAGACAACACTGCTTCTATCGGCACCATACTCGCATACATCTTCTACTGGCTCCTCATCGTCATCACTCTCGTCTATCTCAAGTGGTCCGAGGGGCGCATGACCTTCCTCGGCAAGTCCTCGACCGCGAGGGCTAGGCGCGACGCCAGGCGTGCAGAGCTCGAGGCTGGTGGAGGAGAGGGGAAAGTGAAGGCTAGGGCGGGATCCGAGTCTTCGAGTCGCGAGGGTCGGGCGGATGAGGTGTCAGGCGTAGGTGCTTTGCCGAGGGAAGGTGGACTAGAATCGCCGTTATCGGAGAAGGGCGCTGAGATGAAGGTGTAGATCGGCGCGGTTGATCAGTCCACTTGATCTACTCGAAGTATAGAGGATATAGGAAGTGGTTGAACAACTATCGCCTCTGTTACTGCTGTAGTACAGCAACTTTATGGAGGCCGACGAAGTGATGCTGCGTGCCCGTAGAAAGGCGAAGTCGAGACGACAACAAAGAGTTTCGAAAATCTGCTCCACATTCCTCAACCGTACATCATCGTCATGTTTGCAGCAACCCCTCGAGCCCACCTCGCGTCCCTCTCAAGAAAAACGGAAGCACTCGTGAGACGGCGGCTCTATCATCGCCTGCGGGATGTTGCACATCTTGCCACTTGCGACCAGGCGTAAGGCACCGTTTTCTGGCGGTGGATCTTGAGCTGACTTGGCAGGACTAAGCCTCGTTTGGTCCAGTGCGAGGAGGGACAACACGCGGAATCATCGGCCATGGCTATGAAGAGGGCCTCTCCTCCGTCAGTCTCTCAGCTTGAGCCGAACAGCCTGATTGATCAGCTGATACTTCAGGCAGAAGCTATCTCGGTGGACGTCCCCGCCCCGAACGGTCCTCCTCGTCCAGAAACCGGACGACGAGCGTACCACGCAGGCTATGGGTCTTGTCCTATCGTATGTGTTCACCTCTTAGATCCTGTCGCACATATGGCTGATGTGTACAGCCACCTAGCCAAGACGGCACCGCACCTGAACCTGCTCGTCGAGCCACATACGGCGCGCGATCATCCCTCACACGCCGATAAGTTGACGGTGGTGGAGCAAGGGGATGAGCCTTTGCTGGAGCGGTGTACGGACTTGGTGGTCACAATAGGAGGAGATGGGACGATATTGCATGTGTCACATCTGTTCGCTGGAGGGGAATGTCCGGCGGTATTGAGCTTCTCAATGGGGACGCTGGGGTTCCTGCTGCCCTTCCGTTAGTCTGCTTCTGCTCGATGCTATCTGGCGAGATGTGTCATCACGTATGAAGGCCGGAGCTGATCATCTAGATATCGATACCTTAGCTCCCGCGTTGGAGATGACCCTCAACGGGCCAGTATCTATCCTGCAAAGGATGCGATTGGCTTGTACGCCGTTGTCGGCAGACGGCGAGGTACTCCCTTGTACTGGAATCGGTGAGCCGTGCTCTTCCGGACGAGGCTTGTTCTATTGCCTGGCTCACACAAAAGTCGGCCAAGCTGGTATCCAGGTCATGAACGAGGTCACGCTCCATCGGGGACAGCATCCTCACCTCACCGTAATAGATGCATACTTTGACGAGCAGCACCTCACAGAAGCAGTCGTAGGTCCTCATGTCTCTCTGATGGATCATATACTGACTGTCGCAGGCTGACGGGCTCCTCCTCTCCACTCCGACCGGCTCGACTGCCTACTCTCTTTCTGCGGGCGGACCTATATCGCATCCCGAAACAGACGCATTCCTGCTCACTCCGATAGCACCCAGAAGTCTGAGCTTCCGGACCGTCGTATTGCCAGGTCGGGGATCAGTGCGGCTCGAGGTATGTCATGCTTCGGTAGAAGGCAAGTGGTTCACGCTGATAGGCCAGATCTCGACCTCTTCCCGCTCTCCAGCTGAACTGTCAATAGACGGACGGCAGATTTGCCACCTCAGGCCGAAAGAATCAGTTGTCATCTCCAAATCTCCATACCCCATCCCTTGCGTAGAGAGGAGCGAAGGCGGAACGGGATGGGTCAGGGACATCAAGTGAGTTCAGAAGCAGAATGCATAGGCGAGACTGGATTATGAGCTAATGAGCGCAGCTCGCTGTTACAGTTCAATACGGGGTTCAGGAACAAATCCCTCATGGGTCACAGCATTGCTTAGTCTGCTCGACCGAACCCGAGTTTGGTACATATCGCACCCTGCCAGCACGTCGGGTGGCGCTGGTTAATAAATCAGTATGCCCATGCATCTACTAATTGCCTATACTTGCGCGGGCTATGTTCATCTCATTGTCCTTTCTTTACGACTCCACCTTACTCTCGCCTCCATCCTTCTCTTCCCGCTACGAGTGCGACAGTATTGTCGGTGAAGAACGATACTGATAGCCTCTGAACCAGCATCACCTATGATGTGAAGTACTCGCAGCAAGACAGATCGGAAACTGAACCTCAGCTTGCAAATTCTCAGCTGCTTACCTCCTGTACTAGATGCGACTTGAGAGCACGACCTATAGCGGTAGAGACTTGTGATGGAAGTGCTCCGCGAAAAGGCGGTGACGGACTCATAGTACACGCAAGTCCCGGCGACACGATCATAATTGGTTCCTCTGCCTGGAAAGTCAGTACATATTGTGGTCAACGAGCATGGATCGGCAGCACAATGAGCTGTATAACGGAGGCTTACATCCTGACGTGGCAAAGCACTTCCGAGCGCAGTCCAAAGCGCTGGTGGCTGTCAAAGTCCCTTTGGGAGTATCATTCTACATCATCAGTGCCGAGTCCTCGATGGTGGCAAGAAAGACTATCACTCACTGGGTCGACTTTGATACCATCCGAGACAGCGTTCTGCTGTCCCGTTCCGCGAGCATTTGAGCCCTGGCAAAGAGGATAGATGCCCGCAGAAGCTTGCGCTTGCCGCCTCTGAGGTCGAGAAGCCACACGGTCTACGATCTGGGAACGTGTCGCTTGCTTGAGGGGCGGAAGCGCCCAGGCGAGCGAGAAGAGAGCGATGAAAAGGAGATAGACCAATCTCATGTTCGCGGTTTCCGGAGTCGGTAGGAGGGGATGTTGAGGACCCGGAGGGATTGGCTGGTCCCATCTTATACGTTTCACCAGTCCCACGTTGGCGGTGGAATCGAATCAACAGGAGGCGACTTCTCGAGAGAAGAAAAAGGGGTTTCCCCAAGGATATACGATAGGCTCACGCAATACCGTATGTATAGCTCAGGCACGATCTGTTCAGTACGGAGTTGACGTTATCAGTGTAACTTTACTGGCAAGATCGTCCCTGGAGATACGGTATGGTTACGGCACAAGACTGGAGCACGCAGCTCGGACTTTGCGCAATCCGGGCCGACCGGCCAATACGCTGTGGTTGACCGTGTGTACAGAGATCTCAGCAATATGCGTCCTTATGCGTCCCGACGGATATTACGAGACACGAGTAGCGTTACTGGAGTACGACTACAGCATGCCGAGACCGTCCCTTGTGCGCGATGGAGCGGCAGCGTGTTCGACGTGCTAATCGCTCCACCGGCACGATACTCTGACAGAGGAAGACATCGGGTCCCGGGTTAATTAAAGCAAATGGGCTTCTGTCTTCCGGTCGCGCCCTGAGGCCTGATTGTCTCTCGGCAACTAGTGGCAGACTGGAATCGCCTCCGATGATGCTAGAACTTGGCATTACAATGCTGACAGGAGCTGAGGCCAGGCCGGAGAATCAATAGGTGACCGGTGACCTCATCCCTAAGCCCCGCTCCAGCCCCAAGGCCCTCTCGCCAGGTAATTGCGAAGATCGACGACGGAGTCGGAACAGCGAGGATAGGAGTAGTGACGCGGACTAGCGGTCACGCGAGGCAGCCGACTCGTAGCCAAGGATCTGGACGTTTCTCTCATAAGCTGACATTCTGCTATCCCTGTCGTGCGGGAATTGCCTTGTACTGCGGCGTGGGATGGTACTGATTGATGAACTTTTAGGAGCTGAGCGGGGGTGCCGACATCCTGAGCGTGCCAGGTGAGGGGAAGAGGCGCACAACCAGACCGATCTAGTCTGTAGCATCCAAGTAGAGTCATACTAGCGCCTAGCCACCGCTCCTCCCATGTATACAATCATCATGATGACTGGAGAGGGCAGGCGAGAGGCCAGGACTGCCAGACCAGTCAAAGTTTTGATGCCGGCATGCAGATCCACAATCTGAAACAATTTTGAAACCCTAGCGAATTCCGTCAGGCTGGACCAGCTGGATGTGGTCATCATGCCAGTCGTCGCACGGAGACGAGCTGGACCCATCTGAGACTGTTGGTATGCACGAGCATCGACCCTCATATCTCAGGTCCATAACTGTAGGATGTAGTTTCGGATTGCCCGCTGTAGGGTGGCGGCGCTCAGTGTTCAGCTACCGAGCTTTACTCGTCCAGCAGCATCTCGAGCCTGCGGCCAAGATGTGTCGGTATCTAATGTGGAATTAAGCAGAGTGTACCGGGGATGCACACGCTGCTTCGATGGGTCTGGGCAAGACCGCTCACCGCGGCCGCACAAACATGATCGCGGACCAGAAGTTGGCGAGTTAAGCGAAGTCACGTGACCATCAGGACCGACAGAAGTTCTGATCGGTTGCGAGCCAGGCGGCAGCATGTGCGAAAGCCACTGAGGCTGAGGACCTCACACTGCGTAATTATCCTACACGACATGCGATGACCATGATCTGCCTGTGCGCCGTTTGGGATTAGACTCTGCAGTTCGCGGACCTAGTCCGGTCTCGGCCGGAACCTTATCGCGTCAGAGCCAGAAATTGGCCATTACCTCCACTCGAATTGGCCATCTTGTTCGCACTTTTGGCCATAACACTACAACCGTCGGGTAAGCCGATAGAGACAGCTTGTGAACTGTGTATAAGTAGAGACCCATCCTCATCCCCTCCCCCTTTCGTATCCGCTCTGTATATAGGTCCGTACCGCATGTCCCGGAGACCGACCACCGCTTTCAGAGCCATCTTATCGCCCCTCATCCCCACCTCCACCGCGTCCACTTCGCGCGTCGCACTGGTATCAGCTCGCACGTGCTCCCATCCTCGGAGATATCTCGCCACCATGACCGACTCACTACCTACTCCCCCAGCCTCAGCTTTGCCGAGCCCATCGCTTCGTGTAGCACCAGCATCACAGGGCTGGGAGGATAGCGAGGTGACCGCCCAGATCAGCGGCGAGGCGAATGTAAAGCAGTTCCAGAAGATCCAGAGGGACTTTCGCAGTGAGTTGAACCATTGAAAGGCCAGAGGAGATGGTGCTGATGAGCAGGTGATACCCTTACAATACAGTCTGACCAGATGATGCTCGCTGCGCTACGAGCTACACGAGGTGACGACGTATATGGCGAGGATGCGAGTACTGGGGAACTCGAGGCGCGGATCGTCAAGATGACGGGGAAGGAGGCGGCATTGTTTGCTGCGAGTGGCACCATGACCAATCGTGAGTATAACCGACTGGGACGAATGGAATGGTCACTGATGAGCAGAGCTTGCTATCCGAGCCCATCTGAAGCAACCCCCTCACAGTGTCATCCTGGACTACCGAGCTCATGTGCACAAGATGGAGGGTTCGTTCTCTTCCGAGATCTGTGGACACCCGCTGATGACCCAGCTGGTGGGATAGCCATGTTCAGCCAAGCTACCACTCACCAGCTTTTCCCTGCCAACCACCTATACCTTACTGCAAAGGAGATCGAGAAGGCGCTTGAACTCGGTAGCAACATCCACCACGCTCCAACACGGCTCATTTGCCTCGAGAACACGATGTCGGGGATGGTGTTCCCCCAGGAGGAGATTGTCAAGATTGGCGAGGTGGCCAAGAAGCACGATATCACCCTCCATTGCGATGGGGCGCGGATGTGGAACACGGCGGCCAGGGTGATCGAGGAGCGGGGGCTAGATGCTACGAGCGAGACAGACCGACAGACAGTGTGAGTGGCAGCTGCGGCGGTGGATACGCAATGACTATGCTGATTCTGCAGAATGACTGAGCTGCTCGCACCCTTCGACTCGGCCTCGCTTTGCCTATCCAAGGGCATCGGAGCACCCATCGGATCCGTACTGGTCGGCAGTAAGGAGATGATCGATCGGGCACGATGGTTCCGCAAGATGTTTGGCGGAGGTGTTCGCCAAGTCGGTATGTGCACCGCCGCTGCCGACTTTGCACTTGACAACATCTTTCCTCGGCTAGCGGGGACACACGCTTTGGCAACTCGCCTAGCGGACGGACTGAGGAAGGCGGGATGTGATATTCTCGCGCCGGTGGATACCAACATGGTCTGTTCTGCCTTCTGTGTACCAACAAAGCTGACCTCTAGGTGTTCTTCGACCCGTCTCGACTCGGCTTCACCGCTGCGGATGTCCACGCCCGGCTTTTGCAGCTCCCGGACCCGCTCATTGGAGGTATGGCCGAGCGCGTCGTTGTACACCATCAGATCAACCCTCAGGCGGTAGAAGACTTCATTACAACAGTACAGGAGATGAAGAACGAGAAGGGGCTGGTCAGTCACGGGACAGAAGGCGATGCATGGGCGGAGGAAGGGCAGCTGCGGAAAGAGATGGCCCTTGGGTACTAGATGGCGGACCGGCTGCGGGGGAGAATGTTGTATATTGATGGGGATCTCATTACGTGCATGTCAGTCCAGGGGGTCCCCTTGGTCTCTGTAGGCCGCCTCGCACAGCTCGTATCGTGCCCATGGGAGATTGGGCAGTGTGAAGTGGCACGCAGCAGGCACGAAGGTGCCACTGTGGCGTCAAAACTGGGGTCCCCGGTAAGGCACCTCCGCCCGACCCGAGCCCGTGAGAAGCCCTGATGTCGAGATTTTCCTATGCCTTGTCCTCCTCTCGCGGGCGTTCCTCGTCGCTAGCTACCATATCATCGCGTCTCATCATCTCTGCTCGTCAGCTGCTGGTCAGCTCTACGGCGCTGCTCCCCCAGCGAAAAGAAAGGACGAAAAAGGGGGCGGGCAGCCCTGCGGTCACGGCGTTCTCGCCGGACGCGAATTTGTGAGACATCGCCATGCCGATGAGCAACAAGTTCGTCTTGCCTCCTTTTGCTGCCCTTGAGCTCTACACAAGACTTGAACTGACTGTCAGCTACGCGATGGAGCCTGCGCCGGAGATGCAGCGCCTTCGGCCGCGCCAGACACCCTCAGTCTCCTCGGTCTCCACGATACGCGGCGACCCCTTTTCGAACCAGGGTCAGGTCGGGTCCCACGCAGGATTGTTTCATGGGCAAGCCTCCAGCTCTCAGATGCCTCCTGTACCTCCTGCGCGGACATCATCCCTCCTCCCCATGCTGCCAGGCAGTCCACTCAACCATCTCCCCCTCAATCCCGGCTCACCATCCTCCCGGCGCGTGCCCGCCCTCCAGGTGATCCACCCCACACCGACGAAAAAGAAGGGTCGACCTCGGTCGACCGCCTCGGGCGACACAGCTATAGCTGCTAGCCCAACGAGACGTCCGATGTCTGCAGCGAGCAGTCAGGATGCAATGGCGGCAGATGAGCCAATGGATGACGACAGGGAGGAGGCGAAGAAGGCGCGGGCGAGGGAAAAGGGGCGGGAACGACAGCGGCGAAAACGCGAGCGAGATAAGGCTGTGAAGCAAGTGAGTGATGGTCCCGGTCTGCAGATATGGGGATGAGCTTATGGTAGGCTACCAAGCATCTCACTGCTTCGACCACGAGCCTCACGTCCATGTCGGTCCCGTCGTCCGTTTCGTCGACTTACTCCTCTCTTCCCCACACCCAATCCCTGTACTCCCTCTCAGCCTCCCCCAATCAATCCTTCGCATTCTCCACATCCTCCACCTCGCTCTCTGGCCAGTCTTCAACAAACGTCCTCCTCACACCCGCTGTCGCTCCTGACGCCATCTACACTGGCAAAATCAAATCCCGTCGAAATTCCCCTGCTCCCCCTATACCCCATACAGTAACGGACGATCACGTGTCGAAGCGTCGAAAGTCCGAGCCTGAACCAGACGACTTCCGACTGGGACTGGGCGTCTCTCTTCCTTTCACTCAGGACGGCAACAGCACCATCCGGGGCCGCCCGAGGCCACACCGAACGGCTTCGTTTGCGCCTACCGAGGTGTCGACCTGTACCTCGGCCGCGGAGCCGGACTCATCCGACTGGGGAGCGAGATCGCCCACTCCGCCTCCCGTGCCTCGGCCGGCCCGTGCGGAAGTCGTCACAAGACAGGGCCAATTCTTCGCGTCTACCTTGATCCTGGCATGCGAGATGTCGGGGTTGGCGGCCTCGCTAGAGGCATCGTTGAAGCTGGGCAAGAAGGAGCTGGATGGAATGAAGGAGGAGCTCGGGGCGGTGTATGACAGATGGGCAAAGAAGGTGATGGAGCAGGATATGGGGAAGGTCTCACTGGATGAGCCCGTGAGTAGTGCTTTGCCAGGCGATGGATCCCTGCTGATCTCGCAGATCGAAACAGATCAGGCTACCTCAACGCCTCAACGACCTAGAGCAGATACGCTCTCGGGTCCGCCTGGTCCCCCTCCGCAGGCTGCTCACGGCCGTACCCGCTCCGTCTCGTCCGCATCCATGCTTGCTCGCGGGCTCGTACTCAACCCCATCCCCGGTCCTCCATCCCATCCTCAGCCCAAAAACACCTGGGAAAGCAAGGTCCAGGGTCAGGGACCTGGGTCGGACTCGCCAACCAACTCAAATCTACAAACCCCGAGCACCGGTCAAGGCACGTCTTTCATTATTCCGAACCACGACCCGGTGCCAACTGTAAATATGCCGCAGGGGCAGGGTCACTGGCGGAATCACACAGAGCCTATAACGGGGTACGACTACCAGATGGAGTGGAAGGCTGGAACAGGGGGCCTGGAGAGTCCTCTGACGGTCGTCAAGCCGAGCAGGCCGTCGACTGCGGGTCCGGCAGTCACCGCGGGTGCTGCCAAGCCGACCGTCTCGCCAACAGACTCGAGTACCACGCCTCCCCTTTTACAACCCCTCGGTCCCCCGGCCGTACCGCAGTCCCAGCCAGCTGCTGCCACGCCTACAGCCATGGCGTCGCACCCGGTTCAATACCAATACCGGAACTTCGTGCCCGCCCCAAACGATGCCCGGATGTACCATACTATGCCTCAGCAGCCCATGTACTATCCACCTCCCCACGCCTATCCTCCGCAAAATTACACCCCGGGCCCTTCCCCATACCCTACCGGTCCATGGACACCCACCCCCACTTCCCGGCCCGCTGCCTTCCGCCATGGCATGGTGCTCACCCATCCCTTCACACCCGGGACTCCCATGACGCTGATGGGCGGAAACGATACTCCCATGTACTACAATCCTGCAATCTTGGCACAGCAGACTGCCACTCTTGCTACGCCAGACGGAACGCCGCAGGGCACGCCCCATCACAATATGGTGGGGCTGCCGCCTTTGCCAATGCCACAGAACGCGGTCATTGAGCAGGTCGGGGAGGGGACTGGGTCTGGCGGAGTGATGGGACACAACGGAGGACGGGAAGGCATGGTTGTTGGTGGGGACATGGGAGGTGGGGCTTCCGGCCCGCCCATGGCCAACGGACCTATGCGGACGGGGGATGACGGCTTGGCTATAGGCGCCAAGATGTTTGGGTTTGGGTACAACTACTCGGCCTGAGACCGTTGGCGTTGCTGAGGACCACGCATACAAGCAAAAGGAAGAAGACGAGAAGCAGTTCAGACTTTATTCTTCTATCATAGCATATTTTGGGATTATGGATGAAATGTGTATAAAGCTTGACGTATGGTGCTTGTGTATATGACTGGACTGCATGCTTCACACCGCTACAAAATGAGATGCTAAGCCTTATCAGTGCCCTCTGCCAGCTGCTCTGGGCCGAAACTCATCGGCAACAGCTCCTCCAGCGACAGGACTGTGACCTCCTTGCTCCAGGTGAAGCCCGCCACTTCCTTCGTCGACCCGCCTAGTCCCTCTCCCTCGGCAGTCCGGCTGTCGATGTGCTGGCCCAAGTCTGCGACGTAGCTTGGCACGCTATCGTCTGACAAGGGGTAGGAAGCCGCGACCATCAAGATGGGCGTGGAGAGGGGGAGGAACTCTCGCATAAATTGCCGACAGATACCGCACGGCGATATCGTCGGGGTAGGCATGTGCGAGGTGACTGCTACGGCAATGACTGACTTGTTGCCATCGGACTGCTCGTCAGCTTTGGGTCTCCACATTTGGGCTTTCTGTCACGTGTCCCGGTGCTTCGAGTCTGCACAGAGGTTTCCAGTATGACTCACGATGGTCTTCACCATGGCTGTCCGCTCTGCACAGATTCCAGCTGGCGTGGCGGCATTCTCGACATTGCACCCGATTACCATCGATCCGTCCGCTAGCAGCAGCCCAGCGCCGACGCTGCTGAATCAGTGTCCTGGTCAGAAGACGTCAACCCTAAGGTACCCACTTGAACTTCGAGTACGGGGCATAAGCTCTATCTCTGCCTGATCGGTATGTCAGCATGGGCCTTCGTCAGAGTGGTCAATTGAGGGATGCCGAGGGAGAAACGTCGGAGATGTACCTTTGAAAGAGGCCTGGATGAGCTTGTGCAGCGCTTCAGGCGTCAATTTATCGGTTGATCCGCTCGACATGGTGAAGCTCCGAGCTGCTCTGCTGTCCTGGCCGTGGTGTTTGAGTAGCTGATCAGCAAGAGGACATCTCTGGACATGCAAGGCGACCGATAAAGAAGGCGCGCGTGGTGCCGTCAAGACCAGCACGTGACCAGATGCCAAGGAGAAAAGCGGGAAACGATCATGGCTGGATATTCTTTGGCTGTAGGAATTTGGTCTCGCCTTCCTGTCTGCTCTCCCTCCAACTTCCTATACCTTGAATCTACTCGAAAAGAACCCGTTGTATGAACACTGCCCCAGCACACAGGGCTATACAGCGAATATCATCAATCCATAACCAAAGAACAGCGCTCTTCGTCCTCGCGAGAGCCCCTTTCCCCGCTCGGACAGCTTTCACTTCGAACCCCTTTCGACCCCTTTTCACCTCCCCTCCGTCTTTCAGCACTAAACGCAAAATGCCCCCTAAGAAGAAGGTAGAAGAATCCAAGGAGATCCTCCTCGGCCGGCCAGGGAACAACCTGAAGGTGGGTCAATTTGCATGTCAGGTGGAAATCTTTGGCTGACAGGGTAGATTGGTATCGTTGGTCTGCCCAACGTCGGAAAATCCTCCTTCTTCAATACTCTCTCCAAATCCGACCTTGGCAAAGCTGCCAACTTCCCATATGCCACCATGTAGGGCCAATTGATCACGCAATGCTGGCAACAGCTGACAAGTAGTGATCCCGAAGAGGCCCGTATCCCCGTTCCCGACGAGCGCTTCGACTGGCTCTGCGAGCTCTACAAGCCCAAATCTCAGGTCCCCGCCTTCCTCACCTGTATCGATATCGCCGGTCTGACCGCTGGTGCTTCCACCGGTGCCGGTCTCGGTAACGCCTTCTTGTCACACGTCCGCGCCGTCGACGGTATCTTCCAGGTCGTCCGTGCGTTCGATGACGCCGAGGTCATCCACGTCGAGGGTGATGTTGACCCGTTGCGGGACATGCAGATCATCAGTACCGAGTTGAGGCTGAAGGATATCGAGTGGGTGGAGAAGGCGCTTGAGGGACACAAGAAGGAGGCGAAGCGATTGGGGAACAACAGTTTGGCGGACAAGGCCAAGAAGGAGGAGGCCGTGAGTGCAGCCAAGCTCTAGTCTGACTTTCGCTGACATAAAGGCTACCGTAGAAAAGCTGTACAACTGGCTCACCGTCGAGGACAAGGATATCAGGAAGGGAACATGGACCAACAAGGAGGCAAGTCTGTTTCCCTCCTACCACACTACTTCCCTCCCCATATGTGATGACATAGTGCCTAGCACTTTAAACCCAGCTCTCCGAGTCTACGGACCATGAGCAGACCACTGTATCGTTTCTGACTCTACCCAATCTCTATCTCTGTTTTGACCAGTCAGAGGTTCAAGCGCTGACCTTCAGGTTGAAGTCATCAACTCCCTTACCCTCCTTACCGCCAAACCCATCACCTACCTCGTCAACCTCTCCACCGACAACTTTGTCAAGCGGAAGAGCAAGTGGTTGAAGAAGATCCACGACTGGGTCCAGACCAACAACCCCGGAGACCCCATCATCCCCTTCTCGGTCTCTTTGGAGGAGACGCTGGTCGCTATGAGCGAGGAGGAGAAGGCTGCAGAGGGAGAGAAGCTCGGCCTGCCAAAGGGCAACCCCAGTGCTCTTGGTAAGATCACCAAGGCCGGGTACTCCAGTCTTCACTTGATCCGATACTTCACCTGCGGACCAGATGAGGTTCGGGCGTGGACGTTGAGGGATGGGTTGAAGGCGCCTCAGGCTGCCGGTGTCATCCAGTAAGTACTCGTCAGCCTTTCTGAAGGTACGTAGCTAACTTCTTAGCTCCGACTTCGAGCAGAAATTCGTGTGTGGAGAAATCATGTCGTTTGAGGATCTCAAGGAGCACGGGACAGAAGCAGCAGTGAAGGCTGCCGGTGCACAAAGACAACAGGGAAAGACGTGTAAGTTCATCTTATCCCCTACAGCGCCTTATCAGTAAGGCGGCCGCTGATCCAAACAGATCTCATGAAGGATGGGGATATTGCATACTGGAAGTGCGGACAATAGGTCTGATGGTAGCATGCATCAGCTATTGGCAGCCTACAGTACTATGGCTAACATACTTTCCGCTGGTCGTTGTTCCTCCTTGCGTGTGGAACGACATCAATGCCAGGGATGCTAGACTTGCTGATGGACATTGATCGATATAGCTACATCATAAGGTACAGATTGGGTCGGGAGCATTACAGATGGTATAATGATACGGTCAGGCGCAGATGTTGTAGGTGTTGGTGCTACCAGACGAGGTGCTGTACTGTCCACCGCCTGCTGAGGTCTCCTGAAGGGTGTTCTGGTCGGGATCACAACCGTAGAGAGGCTGGATATTTAGCGCTATACTCGCTCGACGTGAAAAGGTGGACTGACAGGAAGGATAGGCAGCAAGTTCTTCCTCAACAGCTCGGTGGCTCGAGACGCATAGTCATTGGTCGATCCAAGGAGAGAGGCGGGAATACCACCAGTGAGACCCTGGTAGACGGCACAACCGATCTGAGATGCCTGAGCGGGGTTCTGGAGGACGCCGAGGGGGTTGGGCAGTGTAAGGGAAGGTCCGGTGAGGTAGGTAGGAGCGAGACCGGCGATCAGCTCGGCGACACCGTAGGGGGTCGCTCGGCGGTACCAGTTCTCGGGGAACCGTTCAGGGACATAGCAGATGGTACCGTCTGCAGCGGTACTCATGCCGAGGAGGCTAGAGATAGACTCGTAGTTGGCCACGCCGCCCGCGCCGTAGGTACCGTTGGAGAAGAAGTTGGGGATGAAGGGGTACTCGCCGAGCTACGACGTCAGCATGATTCGTGGAGAAGGCCGACGGTGACTTACAATGACGACGATGGTGTACGAGTTGAAGAAGAGCTTGGGGTTGTTGGCGATAGAATCGGCGGCGTTCTGGGCGTAAAACTTGTTGAGAGCCTCGACGGTGAACTCTCCGCCATTCTCCTTGGCGAGCTGGATGAGGCGCTTGAATCGGTCCGGGTGGGCATTGTGGTTGTCACCGTTGTTGGTGAAGAAATCGCGCCGAAGAGCCGAGATATCACCCTCGCACCGCGAGTGACCGTCCAGACCGAATTGGCGACCCGCGGCCTTGGAACCGATCCCACTAGCACTGTAGGTACGGTCGTCCTCGCCTCCAAGAGAGAAGGTGAGGGTCTCGAGGTTACCGCCGAAAGCGACAGCGATGAAGATGAGGAGGGTGGCGAGGTCGGCGCCCATGTTGAAACCGGTCCCGACAGCGCTGATCACCTCGCCGGATGTTACGATCCCGTTGCGAGGGAGGTCTGATTGTCAGTACAGGAGGCGATGCGACGTAAGAGATACGCACATCCATGGTTCGCCAAGGCGTTCAGACCAGGGCAAGGACCGCGCTGGTCGGTCGGACCAGGCGCTTGGAAGCTGGTGGATCAGCCAGGCTCCAGATAATAGACATTTGGCTGTGACTCACGGATGCGCAGCATCGGGTACTCGGGTGCTACCTTGGATGTTCTTGGCTACACCGCCGACGAGACCGTCCAGGAGCCCGCCCGTAGCCGTGAGAGCGGCAGGAACGTCGAGCAGACCCAAGAGCCGCTTCTCCTCGGTCACGTTGCGCTTACCGACTGAAGGGTCGGTCAGCTTGTCATGTTAGACATGGCACAACTACTTACAGTCGTTGGGTTTCTCGCCGCGGTACTCGGGGTGCATCCACGGGAAAGCATGAGCGATATTGAGCAGCGATACTGCTGTGAGGATGAGGTGAGGGAGCATCGTGCGTAAGTGACGCTGAAGATGAGTTTGATGGATGAGGATGGAAGATCTCCTCCTCTGCCCTACATATACCTGCAGCAACCAGGCTCTCGTCACTCCATGATACGCTGACGCGCTGGACCAGAACGGGGAGACGGCTTCTTTCTCATGGTTGATCGGGTCTAAGACATACTTGACGGCATACCAACGTCAGCGAGAGTCAGTGAGTGAAGTGGTAGCTTTTATCACCGCCAACTTGGCGCTGTAGTGCAAAGGGCTTTGCAGCAGTTCTCAGCGAACAGCGACGTCGGCAAGGTCAGGTCACGTCGATGACGGATGATTTACCGCTGTCAGCGCGTCAGCTAGACCGGCGGAGATTGGGTAAGTGAAGGACGATGTATTCGCTGAAGGCTTGGCTTGGTTCCCGTGAATTTGGCGGGATCTTGGACTGTCTCGAGAGGTCAAAGAGCGGACGCTAGTGCGGTGGAGGTTGCAATCGGCGGGGCATGACGAGGATCGACGTCATCCCAGCTGCTCACGGTTACATTCCTCGCAAAAAAGAATCTCGCTGGCTTTGATGCTGCGGCTTCGCACTGCTTATCGTCTTCGACCACCAGCAGTACAGTCGCCCATCTCTGCTCTTGAGCTATCAGTCTGTCCTCGCACACACGCACACACACTGCGCTTTGCGGGATTGTACGTCGGTGCCGAGTTTTGCGCAAAAAGCCGAGATCTTGCCAAATTTTCATGAGTAGAACCCCGGGCGAAGCGCGCCAGGCTGGGCGTGTAATTCGGCGCTCGGCGCAGTACACAGACACGTCTCAAGGCAGATGATGACTGCTCGACCGCTATTTTGAATGACCTCTGACTTGCCGCCAGGTCTGCGCCATCATGATCAGTAATCCGGTGAGAGTCAGTCGGCAGCTTACGCCGCATGTCGCCATCAGCCGTCATATTGGCTACCATCCAGACTGAAAATGTCGCAATTACTCAACACTCATATAGTCAACCTTCCTCGACCGACTCTAGCTTAAGAGTGGTACTTTATACTGATGCCTTCCCTCATCTATCAAACTCCAAACTCCCTCAGGAAGCATGTCCACCTCTTCCAGCCAATATCACCACTTTCCGCCCATCCAGCGTGTAGCTGTGATAGGTGCGGGATCCTCCGGACTCGTAGCGGGGAGACATCTTCTGGATGCCGGACTCGACGTCGCTGTCTTCGACCGGCACGGTGCCGTGGGGGAAGCATGGGCGCGTTCGGCAGGCCAAGACATGGACTTCCTCAATCCCCCTTCGCCTTCGGAAGCGGCGTTCTTCCCGGTGGCGAGAGGAAGGCAGGGGTCGAGAACGTTCTTTGAAGATCAAGGAGAAGGAGAGTCATCCGACAGGGTGAATATGGACAGGGAGGACATACCCGCTTCTTCCATCTCGGTAAGTCTAGCACCGTGGATAATCGCCCTCATCTAGCTGACACTCAGCTCTCCAATTTTCCCCTGCCACCCAATACAAGATCATTCATATCCCGATCCACAGTCCGAACCTACCTCCGCGCATACGCCTCTCACTTCGGGCTGCATCCCTTCATCCACCTCGACACCCGAGTCGAGCTGGTCGAGAAGGTCCGCGGGCTAAAGGACCGCGAAGCCTGGCGCGTCCGACTGCGGCATCTTGAGCGAGAAGGAGCAAAGTCAACAGAGACTTTATGGGACGAGGTAAGCCCACCTACTGTGACTGTACTGATATCAGTTCTTTGACGCCGTCATAGTCGCTACGGGTAATCAAGCTGCGCCCTTTGTCCCGCCGATACCAGGTCTCGCGCTCCTACCGACCATCAATCACCAATCGGGCTACTCACCGCCTACATCGTACTCTGATATCGCGGTCCTCGTCGTCGGCTCGGGCCAATCTGCGCTCGAGGCAGCGCATAGACTTTCCCCGCACGTCCGCAAGATTTGGATCTCGGGAAGGAAGATCGAGGGGCCCGAATCTCGTCAAGCATGGAGACGGCTGCAGCGCTTCGTGCTACCAAGCAATGCTGAGGTAGTGCAACTAGTCGAGGCGTTTGAAGGCGAGGGGACTGTCAGACTGAGGGATGGACGGTTACTGTGTGGAATAGCCGAAATTGTCTTTGCCACAGGGTGTGTGAACTTCATACGTAGGCCTGTGTGTAACCATGCTGATGCCCCAGACATCGACAGTCCTACCCCTTCCTACCGCAATACCACTCGGACCCATCTCCATCACATCCATCAGCCACTACTATACCGATCGCGCGACTCGTCACAGATGGCCAAGTAGTCCACCATCTACATCACAACACCTTTTACATCCCGGACCCCACACTCGCCATCATTTCCGCCTCGCCCACGTCCACGACTGCCACCACCGAGGTCCAATCGATGGCCGCAGCAAGAGTCTGGGCGAGACAAGCTGCGCTCCCGCCTCGACCAATCATGTGGGAGAAGTACGGCGCTCTCGTTGAAAAGGCGATGCCAAGATGGCTGAATTGGGTGGAAGAGGGCGAGTTTATCAGTCGGACAACAGATTGGCTGAATGCCCATGCCGTGATTGCCGAGGTGGAGGGTGTTGAGGTCATTCGCCCGATCTCGGAACGGGACAAGGCTGAGGAGCTGTTTGTCGGGCAATTTGCGCTGGGGAAGGGGCAATTTCAGGAGGTGTGGAACGCAGGTGAGAGGCAGGAGGGGTCGGCTAGGGAAGAGCTTCAGAGCAAAGTCCGGACCGCTATGATGCGGAGGAATGGAGCATAGTAAGAGTGGCTTTCTTTATATGACCATGATGAGACGGGTATCAGTGCGAGCAATTATCAGCCGGGATAGGACAAGATTCATGGCTTCTTTGGCTTGGGTACAAAGAAGGCCGCTATCCCTTTGTCCTTCTCCTTCTTTCTCTTCTTCGGTGGCGCAACCTGAACCGCCTCATCCCCGCCTTGCTGCAGCGCCAGAGCAAAGTGATAGTCCTCATGCTCCTGCCTGATCCCCGCCAGCTCCTTTTCCAGCTCATCTTCCGCCAACCCGTCTGGTAGAGGCAAAACTTTCCGGCACTTCGGACAGGTCCAGCCGGACGCATCATCGTCGGGTACTGAGATGACCTCTGATAAACTCCGCTTGGGACGGGATGATTCTCCATTCTTTTCCAGCAGGATTGTGGAGTTTTCCCCCTTGACGCCGAGGAAGCCCTCAATATTGCGTTGTCCCTCCTCCATCCTGCCAACACCGGTGAATTGCAGACCGAGCTGCGATATCAGCAACGTCCCCGCAATCCAACCTGAAGACTCACATTGCAGACGTCCAACACCCCGCCCCGCACAGTAAGACCAGCGACGACTTGCGTCCACATCCTCTTTCCCAGCTTGGCCACGTACTCCCCCGTCAAGGCTTTGGTGTATGGGAACGGTGCCTGCCTCGATCTGCCGGCGTTTTCGTACCCTCGCCCACTCCGATGAGTGAGCACGATAGTCTTGGGCCAAAGACCTGGCTCGATCTCTCTCGCCTCGCGCAGTCGGACGCATAATTCCCCGGCGAGAAGGTCGATCCAGTGTTCGCCGTCTTTGGGAGCGCGGACGGGCGGGATGAGGTTTTTGCTGGCGAGCATGGTCTTGTTGACATGGCGAGGGACAAGATCTGTGTGGTCGATACCCTGAAGTATCAATGTCCGCCGAAGTACTCAAACAACATTACTCACCCGGATGAGGTTGTAAACCCATATGGACTCCTCGCCAAAGCGGCGTTGCATCTCTTCGAGCGGCACTTTCCTGCCCTATCAGCTGAATCCTCGCCCGGTCAGATTCAAAATATTCAGAACAAACTCACACCAGCTCTCCCACCGTAGCGGCTTCAAAGACAGCTGCTATGGAGTGTCCGAGCTTGCCTCCGAGATTTCGGATCTGGCCATCAGCACTGAATTCGGTACTGGTCAGAGTCTGCTTACATCGGTGAACGCCTTGTCGTGCAAGAACGAAGATACAGCGGCGTGCCGAAGCACGGTCTGATTCATGGGCTTCCGCCATGACGAACAAATCTTAATCATCAGCTCTAACCTTCGGCTGTCGGGTCTGGGCGACAGACTCACCTTGGCCATCGCCTTGTTGTGTGCGATCCCGGCAGAGCAGGTGTAGTGTAGTTGCTTCCATACCTCTTGCCTCACACCAGCCATGATCTCCGCTCCGAGACATAGCGCCCAGTCTTCCCATGTAGGCTTCTCCACCTCGCCCTCCGTCTCGCCATCGACACCGTTCTCGCCTCCTCCGACTGGGATGACATTGCCAGCTTTGGTCCAGTCGATGGGTGGAGCGGGTGGGAGAGGGGTGTCCAGGCCCTCTGGAGCATCGTCAGGAATAGTGGCGAGGTGCGGGTGGAGCTCAAGCAATTTGTCGAGGACCATAGGCGTAAAGTCCATGTAGGCCTCGTCGATACTTGCTTTCTCTGCCGATATCAGCTTCCCAACCATCTTTCTCACATATGAGCCCCGACTCACCGACTTCGCCCTTAGGTACCATCTCCTTGAAGATCGCAATGATCTTTGCGCTCTCCCTGCGATACGGATCCAAGCTGACCTGATCGTCAGTCGCTCGCTCCCATCGGTGATCAACCCTAGGGCTAAGAAGGCTCACCTTGTGAGTCAGGACGTTCGCGTCCTCCCAGTATCCCGACTCCTCCTCGCCCATCCTATACGTCGCTGTGTGCGCGATCACGACATGTGGACAGAGCTCCCTCGCTTCCTTCGCCCCTTGATTGCTGGTCCGCTTGATCCCGTACTTCCTGGCTGGGTAATTGACCGCTATGATCGTGTCCCATTGGATAGTGATGAGTGGCTGATCATCTGGTATTCCCAACCTGACCGCTTCGAATTGGGCGTAGGCAGCGTCGATGTCGCAGTGTGCGATGACGCGAAGGGGGTTGTACGGCGTCAATGAGGTCGCAGCGAGGAGGTGGCGGTAAGTTGGGGGCGGGGTCGGCGGGTATGGTCTGGTAGTGAAGCCCTGCATGACGTATGAGGTGTAAGAAGCTCTCCTCTCACCTCACTAACCAAGGTCGTGGAGGGTCTACTTTGTCCTTGACGATCTATCGACGATGATGGAAGAGAGCCAAAAGCAAAAGGTGAGTCAATTTTGGTGCACGCCGTGTTTGGTTCGGCCAGGTTCGGTCCTCCTCTCTCCACCACCCTTATCGATTCATGCTTCGTCGTATCTCTCCTCCGTCCGCAACATATCGTAAGTCGTAGCTTTACTAAGTACTGGAGAGCTTGATCGAGCTGTCTCGACAGTCCGCATCGAAGAGTTGAGCTGGACCTGAGACAGTTCGCTGACCAGGGTATGACCGCAAAGGTCCTCTCATTGGCTAGGACATCGCCAACGACTTTTCGCACACCTCGGACGAGCGTGTAGGGTCAACAATATCATTGCACGATGTTTGAGCGAAGAGCAGCAGTCGCCCTCTGCGCTTTCATTGCCTCGGCAGCGGTTCTATACTCGCATTACAGCCACCTAACAAAAGCTACGCCAGTTCCAGCTCCGAGCGGCTCCCACGATCCCTGGAGTCCGCAGACCATCGCTGCAACGTACAAGCAGTATGACCAGCTCGCCGACGGTGAGACTCGTCGCATGTCGGATGCCTTCGACCGCTTGGACAGCGAATCTAGAGCGCTCGGGATCTCGGTCGGCTACCACCTCAAACTCGACGCCCTTGCACAAGCAGAGGAGGCCAATGCCAAGGTCACCAACGCGATCGCAGATCTTGCCATCCGCGAGCATGGTCTGAACCGATCAGAGGTCGCCACTGGTCGGACGGGTACGCTGTTTCGGGCGCGAGAAGCACTTCAACATTTTGTGCGGGATTGGAGTGAGGAGGGAAGCGCGGAGCGGAAGGTGATTGCGACGCCCATCCTTGATGTTTTGAGGGATGAGCGGCGGGCTGGGCAGGTGCAGCGGGTACTCGTGCCGGGCTCCGGGCTGGGAAGACTGGCATGGGAGATCTCGGAGCTCGGTAAGTTGAGGCTTGTACCCGCCGCGCGTAGCTGATGACCAGGTTTCGACACGACCGCAAATGAATTATCTCATTACATGAACTTTGGACTGCGGTATCTCGTCGATCCTTTCATCACCCCTTCCCCTCACTCCCACACCGTACATCCATGGGCGCACCGATTCTCCCACCAACGCCTTTCCGCCCCGCTCTTCCGAGGCATATCCTTCCCCGACGCCCTTCCCCGCCTATCTCCCACCTTCCACACATGCGAGGGTGACTTTCTCCAGCTCACAACCGGTGGATTCCACTATATCGTCACCCTCTTCTTCATTGATACATCCGCCAACATCGCGGCCACACTCAATCAGATCTACACCCTCCTCGCGCCGGGCGGAACGTGGATCAATCTGGGACCACTCCTATGGGCGGGGGGCGGGACGGTGGGTCTTGAGCTTAGTCTGGAGGAAGTCTTGCAATTGGCGAAGCAGGTCGGATTTGCGGTCGAGACGAGCGGAGAAGGACCAAGAAGGGCGAGGACAATACCGTGCGAGTATACGCAAGACCCGGAGGCGATGTTCCAGCGAGTGTACAAGGCGGAGTTCTGGGTCGCTACGAAACCACAATGAGGCCGACTATCAGATAGCTCAGTAGCGGATGAGATTGACTGACCTCGTTGAAGAGGATATCATACATCCCCCAAACACTATAGTCCCATTCAGTAAGCCTTAGGGCATATGAGGCCCAAAGTATGTGCATGTGCCGATCTGTACAGTTGTTACGGAAAGGATTAGGAGTCGTACAGACATGAGACGAATCTAGTTGAGCACCCATTAAACACAGCTTCGACACCCTTCACATCAATATGCAGTTTCCCGACTTCTTGGCCTTGCCGGCACGGCGGTTCGGGTTGACTATACGGGTCAGCCCGTACCGTGAAAAGGTCTGACTGAATATGGACTACTCACGGACTGTCCTGATCGCCTCATCAAACACCGTCTTCAATCCCTTCTGCGTCAAGGCCGAGCACTCCAAGAACTGTACACATCAGCGCAACCCCACATCGTCCGTGTCCATACGGATCAAGTCACCTTGGCCGCCTTGATCTCCGTCGCCATAGCGGAGCCTTGCGAGTACGCGATGGGGGACTGCCGCCTCTCCCTCAGCTTGTCCACCTGGAGCGGGTCATCCCGAAGGTCAAGCTTGGTCCCGACCAAAAGGATAGGGGTACCGGGCGCTAATGGTATCAGCAAAGAGGAGGGCGGCCTCTGCGAGCAATACTCACAGTGATGTTGGATTTCTGGCCACCACTGATAGCGTCAGCCACGCCCGATGCTCATGAACCATGAACCAAGTCGCTCACCTTTGTACGGATATTCTCGAAGGATGGTGGGGAGACAACGGAGAAGCAGAGCAGGAATACGTCGGTCTGGGGATAGGAGAGCGGACGAAGACGGCTTGTAGTATAAGCCTCGTTATCGCCAGCCTGAGGTCACAGGCAGACTCACTCGTAGTCTTCCTGCCCTGCTGTATCCCATAGTCCCAGACTGACAGTCAGGCCATCCACCACAACTTGGCTCGAGTAGTTGTCAAAGACCGTAGGTACGTATTCCCCTGGAAAGGCGTTGGTGGTGTATGAGATGAGGAGGCATGTCTGCGTAATCAGCATAAGCTCGAGAGCCCTTCAGAAGACATAGCGTACTTTTCCGACAGCTCCGTCTCCTACTACCACACCTGCAGGGTCAGATCCACTTCAAAGTAGGGTGGAATGCCGCTCAACGTACACTTGATATTCCGTGTCGCTGCCATCTCGATAATTATACGACGATCAATCCTGGTGTGCTACTTTGAATGTCAATAGATGACTATCGCTTCGACTGTATCCGAGCGGTAGGTGTTATCTTCGATCGAATTGCCTTATCCAGCGTGGAGATGGATGTTCGCCAAAGGACGGCCGGGAGCGCGCGGAGAGACCTTATCGGGCGGGAAGAGAAGTTCTCGGAGTATGAGCTGCAGCTCCTGGGTACAACAGAGGGTCGCTCGTAATAGCGTGTGATATGAGATAGATGTATGAAGTGGACAAGAGGTCTGAGCGTGAGGATGTAGGTGAAGCTTGATTCTGAAACCAGTTCAAACGCGCCTCCGCGACGCGCCTGAATGGGTGGCAAATTTTGGTCCCGCAAATGGGTGTGGCGGGTACGATCTGCGGCTATGGACAGCTGACAGCAGCTCAATGCAGGGGCGATACAGCCTAGGGCAGTGACGCGATAGCTGATGAGATCAATGAAAGCACCCCTTGAGGATCAGTGCATCCAAAACGAGACTTTGCCCTGCTCAACAATTCTACTTCGCCACCCGCGCCACCGGTCCTGGTATCTTTCGCTTCGGCATGATCTCTTCGTACCCGGCACTGGAGGGGTCAGCCACCGCTGACATAGGCATCCTATAAGACTTACAGGATACCCAACAGCTTCTTCTCCTCGCCTGGTTTGGTAATGAAAAGGATGCCGAATGGTGCGCCATTTTCGCAATACCCCATTGGTGCCGTACCCTGCCTGATCAGCACAACACCCTCAACTTTAAGGCATGCTACCGCCAGACCAATCAGACTCACCTCTACATATCCCAGCGCAGCTGTCATAGCCGTCACAAACCCGAGATCTGGGCTGAAGACCAAAGCGTCCAAATTGTGCCGGTCGAATAAGTGTCCCAGCCCCCTGTCTCGGCCAAGTCGCTGCACCGTCTCCCAGGCTTCGGCATATCTAGTCGAGTCCCGTCCAGGAGACAGAAGTGAGTCGAGCAAACGTTGCTGGCAGCAGGTGCCGGGAGGCAGCTCAAGCTCCTGGAGGGTCAGCTCGTGTAATGAAGCATCGGTGTGGACCTACTGCATGTGCCTCGTTCCACTCGATTAGTTCCCTCAAGGTCCGTACAGGGCTTTTCTCGAGACGCCCCATGTACTCCTCCATATCCTCTCTGGCCGAAGTCTCCATGATGGTCATAATTGCCGTGTCAATGTCGTCCAGATCGCCCGTGCTCAGGTCCATGTTGACGTCGATGACCTCGGCGCCCGCTTTCTCCGCTAGGGTCTCCGCAGTAGCCTTGAGCGTCTTCTCGACTTCCTTGATGCAAGTGCGAGGTAGGACTCGCCGACCGTCCGCTTCGTCGAGAAAGTGGTCTCGGACAAGGCCGAGGCGGAGTGGCGCGGACCGGGCTCGCAGCGAGAAGGGGGAGTCTGCCTTTGTAGCACCGAGGTATCCGGCATGTCAGCGATGCCATTGCATGCGGTATCAGACCTACCTGCCGTCCGAGAATGTCAGCGCGTCTAGCAGTATCGCAATACCTCGTGTGGTGAAGCCCATCGGACCAACGGTGTCGAGGTCCTTACTGTCATATCAGAGGGAGCCCCCAAACAGAGCAAGCGCGTGACTGACCTTATCGGGACTACCCCTGTGACGGAAACGAGACCTGTTGTTGGTCTCATAGCGTAAAGAGCTGCTCGGCTAGCCGGCGAGATCTACAGCTTTAGCTTATCATCGTGTGGGATAGATGACAGACGCACCACTGAGCCTCCGGTATCGGTCCCCAGCGCGGCGGCCCCGAAGCCAGCGCTGACCCCCACCGCACTGCCCGACGAGCTCCCAAGCGGGTCCCCACCCGCTGCAAATCCGCCTTCGACGTATGCTGACGAGGTCTGCCCACCGACAGCGGACCAGCCATTTGGGATCCCCTCATCCCAGAACTCGAGGATGCCCTTCCAGCCGGCGAACTCGTTCAGATTGGTTTTGGCGATGACTGCAGGTCAGCTGGGAGCTACCTCAGGAGTAGGTTTGGAGCGTACTGATGGCTCCGGCATCGCGAAGCTTCCTGATCACCTCAGCATCTTCCTTGACCACAGACTCCTCTGAACCGTCAGCTGAAAGGCTCAGGTGAAGGCTAGGGACACAGACGTACTGAATGCAAAATTCCCCGCAGAAGTGTTCATGCCCAACTCCGGCTCGGTAGCTATATTGTCCTTGACCAAAATGGGAATACCGTGGAGTGGACTCCTTACTGTCCCCGCCTGGCGCTCTTCATCCAAGCGAGCGGCGATGTTGATGACATCTCCCCTTAATGGAGCAGCCTGAATAACGGCGCGAAGGTTCAGGCCTTGGTGGTTGTTCTTCTCGATATTGACTGAAGATCGTCAGCGTTATCCAGACAGATCACTAACGCCCCAGTAAGCGATCCATCTGAAGACGAGACATGACTTACACAGATAAGCTTTGACCAGATCGACCGAGGAGAGACTGCCATTTTTCAAGAATGTGCCTATCTCCTCGGTGGACGTCTGCAGGAGGTCCAGTCCAGTGGGCAGGGTCGGAAAGGCTGCAAGCGTTGTTTGGACGGGTGAAAGGATAGCCTGCCGATCCGCAAGTGTGATCAGATAGGAGAACGTGGGCTGTATGAGCAAGGTGAGGAGGAAGTGCAGCATCTAGACGGGTTGTATTTGCTAGTATGGTCAGAATACAAGTCAAAGGCGGAACGAACGTTAACATGGTAGTGCAGGTTGTTGTGCTTTCGGCCAGCAGGAAGGAAGCGGACAGGCCAAGGAAGCCGGAACTCTATTCAGCTTTTGCCAGATGAACTGTGTGGGAGGACAGCGATGCCTTTGACCTGCGGATCGAGATCCCTTGCCAAAGTGAGGACGAGGTACGAGGGCTTTATGCGCGTGAAGCTGAATGATGTACACTACATGGACATGTATGTGCAGTATGAAGTAGATGTACACTGGACTGTAAGCTTTTGGACCAGAATGGGAATCGGCCTACGCACCACCCAGATATTCCATAGTCTTGGTCTCATCAAGTGCTCGTCTTTTCCATCGGCGCCGGAGTCCTCCTTCTGGGCATTATCGCCTCATATCCAGCCCTACACTGTCAGCTGGACCAACATCTCGAGCAAGGAAGACTCACATGATCCCAAGCAACTTCTCCTCCTGCCCCGGTCTGACCACAAACAGGATCCCAAACGGCGCCCCATTCTTGCAATATCCCATTGGAGCCGTTCCCTGCTGTGTCAATACTTTTTCTCAGATCAATCTAGCGGTATGTACGACTCACCTCGGCGTATCCTTGAGGAGATACAATGCCCGATGGCAAACCCAGCTCTGGGCTGAACACCAGCGCGTCCATCCCGTACTCGTCAAAGAGGTATCCGAGACCCCTATCTCGGCCAAGCTCGTGTATGGTCTGCCATGCTTGCTTGTATTCGGACGACTTGCGGCCGGGCGAGACAAGCGAGTCGAGCAGGCGTTGTTGGCAGCATTGTCCAGGTGGAAACTCCTCTTTCTATCGTGATCAGCTTGACGCTCCTCATAATCCAGTGCTTGGACCTACCGCATGTGCCTCATTCCACTCAACGACATCCCTTAGCGTCCTCACCGGACTCTCCGCCAGTCCCGCCATGTACCCCTCCAGATCCTCCTTGAATCCCGTAGTCATGACCACACCCGTCGCCGCGTTGAGGCGCACGAGATCCGCGAAGTTGAGCTGCATGTTGACGTGGATCACAGCCGCTCCCGCCACCTTGGACAGCATAGCCATCGTAGACCTCAAAGCCTGCTCGACCTCCGAGACGCAGGCGTTGAGACTGGTCATACGGCCGTCTGCCTCGTCTAGGAAGTTTCTCCGGACTAGGCCGAGCCGGATCGATTTGAGCGAGGGATTCTGGGTGGCTTTGAGGTATCTGCTCTATTAGCTTGCGTAGACTCCCACTGCTGATGTGACGTACCTGCCATCATTGTAGGTCAGGACATCCAACAGGATTGCGGTATCCCGGGCCGTAAAACCCATCGGACCGACGGCATCTAGTACAGACCTGATGATCAGCATAGCACAGCCACCATCCCAGAAGAGAAAGACTGACGAAACCGGTACTACTCCCTCGGTCGATATCAGATCAGTAGTCGGGCGTACACCGAATAGTGCAGCGCGACTGGCGGGATAGACTTGGCTGATCAGCTGCTGGACTAGGGTCATGACGGATTAAGTCGACTGGCCACAGAGCCAGTCGTATCCGTTCCCAGAGCGGCCGCTGCGAACCCAGCGCTGACGCCGACTGCGCTGCCCGAGGAGCTCCCTAGCGGATTGCCACCTGCCTCACATCCTCCCTCGACGTATGCTGACGAGGTCTGTCCGCCAACGGCTGACCAGCCCCAGGTTCCGCCCTTCCCCATGGCGTCCGAGGCAGATCGAGGATACGCTTTCCACCCAGAGAACTCATTGAGGTTGGCCTTGCCACTGACTGGCTGTATCAGCAATCTCCATAGCTGAATGGGCCGACTTACTGATCGCCCCAGCGGATCGCAGCTTTCTGACCACTTCTGCATCTCGCTTGACCTTGGATTCCTCTGACCTTATCAGCTAACGTTTTATAGCGCCTTTCCTCGGAGCAAGAGGACACCCACTCAGAGCAGTATTCCCCGCCGAAGTATCCATGCCCAACTCAATCTCCGTTGCCATATTGTCCTTGACCAAAATGGGAATGCCATGGAGTGGTCCCCTGATCTGTCCGGCATGGCGCTCAGCGTCCAGCGCTGTCGCAATCGCAAGAATGTTGTCGGTCGGAGCGCTCTGTATCACAGCACGTAGATTCAGGCCTTGGTGGTTGTCACGTTCGGCGTTGTCTAGACTTGTCAGCACAACAGCTCCCTGCGCAGAGGATGGGACAACAAACGGAGGTACGCCTTCACGAGGTCGACGGAGGTCAAGCTACCATTACCGAGATAGATGCCGAGCTCTTCGATCGACGTCTGGAGGAGATTGAGACCGAGGGGCAAAGGGGGCGATGGAAGCGAGCCGGTAGTATGCTCGAGGCGCAGGATGGCCTGGTCCGTATTGGCCAAGGCAACATGGCAGCAGACGAGGATCAGTAGCGTTGGAATGAGACGCATCATACAGGTGCTGTGAGTGTGAGTGATGCAAGCGTGCTAATGCCAGCGATCACATTATGGAGTTAGGGCATCAAGCCAAGCTTCCAAAGGAGGCAGGGACGCAATCAAAGGAGGGGCATACCTTTGGTGCTCTGCCTCAGGAAGTTGAGCGATGAGCAGCAGGGCAGCGACGCACTCTCTGAAGCCGGAAGTGAGAGTGAGGTATAACACCAGATGAGTATTATACATGCGGGATATGATATTCTACCTCGTGATATCAGCTATTTTCGCATCAGAGCCAGCATATACCTACAACAAAAGTCACCAGTCCTTGAGCTCCGCCGTGCCTTCGTCATGTCTGGGACGCCCCATACCCATCTCGCTCCTCCTTCCTCGGTTCCAGAGTCTGCAGCACCCCCATCGCCTTGACAAGGAATGGTTTCAGCTCCATCAGCTCTAGCGGCGTCAAGCCATTCATCTGCTCATGTCAGCTGAATGTCTCCCACATATAGACCGACTAGCCGACCTGGAGATAGCTCCCCTGCATGACGCCCTCGCTTTGCAGACCGAGCCTGATCTTGGCTTGGCGGACTTCGCGCAGGTCTTTCAGAAGAGAGCGGAGTTGGGCGGGTAGATGCAGGTCATCTGGGGCTCTGCGGGCGGTCAGCTCTTTTCCAACTACACCAGAGCATGCGCAAGCTCCTGCAGCAGGATGCAAACCCTTGAGATAGGCTCCCAATAGACGCAGAGAAGGCCTACTCACACGTCAAGCAGCACCTTGCCAGTTTCGATAAACCGCCTCGGCAGCTTATTGAACCCATCCTGATTCTCCTTTTCCTCCTTCAATAACGCCTGCAGTCGTTCTGCGCGTCATCAGCTCTTCTCCCTGCCCATTCTTGCAGCGCGACTGACCGACTTGTAGCCATTCTGGAGCTACGATCCGGCATTTTCGTTTCCGCTTTAGCGAGAGGGCCATCCAGAGTGGAACTGAGGTAGATGAGGGCGGGACGAAGGGACCGTATACTCCCTGGATGGGTCAGCTTCTCTTCTATCCACCCTGAGAGCAGTGGGACTAAGAGAGCTCACACTCAGTACTCGAATCTTCGTCATGGAGAACGAAGGAACGATCGAGATGACCTCTTCCTCTGCGAGAAAGGTGAGCTCGTCCGGTGTGAGCCCATGTTGCAGGTGTTTCGGGAGGGCCATAGTGGTCGCTCAGCGCACCATCTAGCTTCCTGACGCCGCGTCGAGGTCTGTATGGTGCGGCCCGTCGTCGCTGTCGATGACAGATATCAGAGTATTGACGGATTCATGCCCCTTGCAGATCCTGGACGCGTCCCGCTCAGGCGCCAGCTGCTGCAGGCACGGTACGCGTACGGCGCGTGCTGACAGCCACGTGGCTTTGGATGTTTCTGATGATCTCCCGCCAAAGAGAGCAGCAGCAGCGAAAGATAGGAGTATCATGCCCCTCTATAACTATCACTTGATTGCTGTCTATATCATACTTTGACGCCCCTTCACGACCGACAGTAGGAACGCAACGAGCGGCCAAGTCAATCAAAAAACATCAAGGGAGATCTTCTCGCGTCCGCCGCAACAAGCCCACTCGTCGCTTTCTGGTCGTGCAGATCCGCACGAAATGCTTCGCGAGGTGAAGTTGAAGGAGGATGAGCCTCAATGGCTGCAAAACATGAAGTATGGGCAGACATATGGTGAGTACCAATCCTGGTAGATAGCTCGAGCATGAGCTGATGGAACAGGTATCTCGAATAAGATATGGACGATAGTGTCTGGGTGTCTTGTCCTCTTTACCTTCTCCCGCCTTGTCCTCTGTACGTGTCACATTTGACCTTGGCCTGATATGAAGCTGATAATATAGCCTCCACCGACCCTGTATCCCTCTACGCCTCGCCCGACTCGCTCATCACCGCCGCGGACTACCTGAACGCCTCGGCATCAGATCCGCCCCCCTTTGCCTTCTGCCCCGTCTTTGGCCCAGGGGACGCTATCGGCGAGAAGCGCGGACAATGGGGGCTGCTGCGGTCGAGACTGCACATGGGGAGCGGGGCGAGGGTGCAGAAGGTGATTCAGAAGGGGTTGGCGGGGGAGGCCGTGACAATATCGGTTCTTGGAGGGTCAAGTGAGTTCCTCTGGCTCGCAGTATAGAGCAATGCTAATAGCGTAGTCTCAGCATGTCACGGAGCAGGCGATGATGTTGTCTCGCCGACATGCTACCCATCTCGAATATTCGACTGGTGGAACAATATCTTCCCACATCCCGCATCGCAGCTCACCAACGGTGCGGTCAGAAAAGCCGACTCGAGCTACTTTGGGTACTGCTCGATGCACCACCTCCCGGACCAGACGGATCTGATCATCCTGGAGTTTGACGCGAGTGATCCCAAGTAAGTCGTACCGCTAAGGTCACTGGGACTCATGCTAATATGCAGCGACCCCGCTTGGATGAACCACTTTGAGCTCCTTGTCCGGTCTCTTCTGGTCCGCCCCGACGCGCCCGCCGTGATCATCCTCGGCCACTTTTCTCCTCAAATCCACTCGCAGAACGGGTTCGCCGGCCCCGAACTACTCCACACCGTCGTCGCCCAATTCTACGACGTCCCCCACATCTCCGTCAAGGGCCTCATCTACAACCCATACATGTCGGATCCGGAAGGCCAGCGAAAGCTGTACTATGCCGACCCGGTCCTCGCCAATCGGGACGGCCACCAGCTCATCGCGGACGTGGTCACCTCGTACCTCCAGTCCCAGATCTGCGCGGGCTGGGCCGCGATGATGGGCCATGGCTTTGACGTGCCATATATGGGCAACGAGGGTGTCGCGACGAACGAAGAAGAGGAGAAGGAGCTCGAGCACAAGTCGAGCCACACCCGCGTCCCCCAGGCTATGCTCAGCGACCGGCCCTCGGACATTCTCAAGTTTAGGGAAGTCGAGCCGTTCTGCGTCACCGCGAATGATATCCTCAACCCCTTGCCGCCAAGCGAGTTTTCGGACGGGTCGTGGCTGGCCTTCCACCCCAAAACGGGCAAGGGGGCGAACGAGGAGGACAAGCATTATTGGTATGCCGAGGAAGGAGGCGCCAAGATCAGGGTACCAATTCTACTCAGCGCGGGCGATGTCACAATACACTATATTCAGTGAGTTGCGAGCTCTGCAGTGTGGGAAGAAGCTGATAGTCCAGGACGCCATCGGATGAGCCATTAGGGAATGTGGAGTGCTGGGTAGATGACAATGTTGCCAATGCGATGACATTGCGAGGGAATGCGGACGTGCATGGTCTGACCGCAACGTGAGTTATCCTCTGGCAGAAGTCGTTCCAGCTGACATGATGCAGCTTGACAAAGATCGATACTGGTGTATCGGCAGGACCGCACTACGTCAGTGGACCTTCTTTTCGTCTCTTGGGAGGTGAGCTGACTCAACAGGTCGAGTGTGTTCTGCAGGGTGAAGAAGGCAAGACGACAGCGCCATTTAAGATTCTTGGGATGTGAGTTCCACGTTCAGCCAGCGTAGTAATGTGCTGACCCGCAGCTTTGGGACGTAGAGGGTGTGTTCGATCTGTGGCAGCATATAGAGATTTGGGCTTGGTTATACAATGCATATTTGGAAACCACGCTTTCCATCTTCTTGCCCTCTAAGCTGTGATACCGACATCCAGGGGTGGGTTTGGGTTGATGACTTCTGCCGCCTTGCCTGCTTGCTCCATCTCGGCTATTGGGTCGGACGAGTCGAGGTTGATGTGGTGGATCCCGCTCGCGTCGATGAGGATACAGTTGAATTTGAACTTCAAGGTTGATCCTGCCTTAGGTCAGCTGCTGCCCAGTCTGTCTATAGGCCTGCGAGAGCTTACGCTTTCCAACTTCATCCACACACTTCTTGAGGATCTCTATGCCCTCCCGCTTGTCCACGCCCTCAGTCCACCACTTGTCCATCGTACTAAGCGCGAGATATTGTCCGAGGCCGTGAGCCGCGTATGGGACAATGGCTTTCGTTCCTATAAAGTCAGATCTTTGCCCTTGTGGAAACATCAGGGAAGAAGCGAACTCACCGAGATAATCTATCCAGTAAAGGTGCGAGGTGGAGTCGGTGATGTCAAATCCAGCGAGCATGAGGTTGACGGAGTAGGGGTGACGGGAACGAAGGGACTCGGCGAGACTGCGGCGGATCCACGCGGAGGCTGCGGCGGGGAGGAGGGGTGTGTGGTTGCTGACTGTCAGCGAGTGCGTCTGGGCGACAGACAATGGCACAGCAACCGAGCAGAGGCGGCAAGTGGAGGTCTCCTTCCGGCCCGCGACCTGTCCGCCTTGCCTCACGATCGTCTACTTCCAGCCTGGGCCTCCTTTGGCCTATCCTTGTCCAGCCCGCCTCTTGACTCCCATCGCACAGCGTGACATAAGCAGCAGATGCTCCGACTCAGACTCACCGGATCTGATATAACCTCAAGTTCCGGTCCACAAAGTCGGCAAAGTTGTTGGTATCTCCCGCTTCCCCTCCATACGCCATGGCGATATGCGGTCCCAGCGCCTTGATCTTGTTCTCATCATCCTTCATCTGGATGATGGACCGTCCAGCCGAGGTGTCGGCAGCGAGAAGGACAAAGTCCTTGCCTGGTCAATCAGCTATAGCTCCAGGTGAAGGCCGAGGAGGGTTGACCTACCTGTGAGGCCGAAGGAGCACTCCATTCTCGGTTGATGAGCTGTTTGAGGTGAATTGAAGGGTTGCTGCTATTATTGAGACGCGGTAGCCGGGCGTTCGGGGTGTGGTTTGAAGGCGATTGTGCTGCTAAGGTGGGTGATGAATCGAAGAGGTGATGAATGATACAGCAAGGAATGCGAAGCTGGCGGTGGTCAATTACGCGGTGTCAGCTGGCGAGCCTAAAGGAGAGGATTAGATAGGCGGCGCTATCATCAGGGTAGGCGCGTCAAGATAGGCGCCTGGACGCGTCCCGCTGGCAATAGCTGCCAGCTGGAGCTCCACCTCAGCCGTTGCTCTTGTCAACTACAAACACCTAGCCAGCATCATGACAAGCCCGACAGACCTCCCAGCGCTTACGCTACTGCTGCAGGAGATCCAATCCCTGACCTCCTCTATGCGAAGGAATCAGCGATGGGCAACAGGGTCCGCTCAGCACTTTACGACCTCGCAGCCCCCGCTTCCGCCTTACCTGCGCGCGGGGGGCAAGAAGCGCGGATCTCCACCTCGGAAGGGGCGGGCAAGTCTGGACGGAGGTAATGTGGATGAGGGGGATTTGATGCTCGGGTTCGTGGAGCTTCGGCGTAGCTTGATAGAGACCAAGAGTGAGTTGTGGTCAAGTCAACAATCCGCCAGGGCTCATAAAGTAGACATCTCCACGCTGCAGCCTTTGGACATCTCGGCGCCGTTCCTCGCTCTCATACGATCGCCTTTGACGTCTGGACCTATCACCTCGCTGGCTCTGACCTCGCTCAACGCGGTCATCCTTAACGTTCTCCCATTGTTCCTCGCTCCTCCCCCAAAGGTCACAACTCCTTCGACCCCGCTCCAGGTCTGCCTCGCACACATCACCTCGACTCTGTCGTCATGTCGCTTCCCGTCATCATCGCCGCAGCAGGACGAGCTGGTCCTGCTCCGCCTACTCCGGGTGATCGAGTCGCTAGCCATGCCTGTTCCGATGCCGAGCAGCAGTGGGAGCGGAAGCATGCTGGATCAGATGGCGGATGAGTCGGTGTGTGAGCTATTAGAGGTGGGACTGGGGATGTTGGCGCGCGCAAGGCTGAGTGAGGGGCTGCGCGGGACCGCACAGAGCTGCGTCCAGATCATCGTCCGGGCGGTCTTTGGGCGGCTAAAGGGGTTGACGCAGGAGGATGTCGACAAGCTACTCGAGTCGGCCAAGGAAAAGGAGAAGGAGGCGGAGGTACAAGAGAATGGCAAGGACGAGGAGGACCTCACGCCGCCGCCATTCACGCCGTACGGTCTACCCACCATCCTCGAGCTTCTGCGCGTCCTCATTGCGCTACTCGACCCGGCGGACCAGGCGCACACCGACTCGATGCGCCTCGCTGCGTTATCAGTGCTCAACACGGCGCTGGAAGTCGGTGGGAGTAGTCTGGGAGAGTGGTCAGAGCTTCGAGAAGGGGTCAGGGACGAAGGGTGTCGATACCTCTTCCAATTGACCCGGTCGGACGCGTCGATCCTCCTCGGCCAGTCCCTCCGAACTACCTCCACCCTCTTCTCCACTATGCTCCCTCATCTCAAACTCCAGCTTGAACTCTTCCTTTCGTACCTCATCGACCGTCTCACACCCCAAACACCTCCCCCTCAAATTAACTATGGCAACTCTTCGCGCCCCAGTACCCCCTCCACCGCTACTTTCGATCACACCGATACTACACCGTCTACACCGCGGCCCATCTCCCTCCTCCCGCCTGTACCCAACGAGACGCGCGAGCTCATGCTCGAGACGTTGACGCAAATAGCGCTCAGGCCGAGCTTTATGGCGGATTGCTGGGTCAACTATGACTGTTCGGCGGATAGCGAGGATATCTTTGAGCGATTAATTGGTTTCTTGACGAGGGGAGTGTACCCGTCTGGTCCGCCAAAGCAGGATGGGACGACCAACCTCTTTGATGGACTCGACGCGGCCCAGCTGTTGAGTTTGGAGATATTGCTGGGGCTTGTCAGCTCCATGTCGGAAAGGATGGACGATGGGGGAGAGTCATGGCCATCAGTGAGTTTACGATGTCTCTAGAAAGTTCTCTCGGCTGACATGGCAGTCTGCGCCGCCAGCGTCCGACTTTAGCGACCAAAAAGAGCGCAAGGGTGTTCTCCTTGCCGGTGCAGCGGCCTTCAACGCCAAACCCAAGAACGGTATTGCGTTCCTCGAAAAAGAAGGTGTCATCACCGTTGACCCCTCTGCGCCTGGGACGGACGAGGAAAAGCGGAATAAGGCCATTGCCAAGTTCCTCCGGTCATCGTCTCGGCTCGACAAGAAGCTTATCGGAGAGTACATCTCTGGGCACGATAAGGTCGACCTGCTCAAGGCTTTCCTGGCGTCTTTCGACTTCAAGGGGGTGAGTAAGCTCATGAATGGCTGAGACGGGGCTGACTAGCAGAAATCCATCGCGGATGCTATGCGGGAACTACTCGAGACTTTCCGGCTACCGGGCGAGTCGCAGCCAATCTCGCGTATCACCGAGGTGTTTGCAGAACAACTCTTTTCCACTTCTCCCCGTAAGCTAGGTGTCCCTCCGTTACGACTAAAGCTGACTTTGCAGCGGAGATCGCCAGCCAAGATGCCGCCTACGTCCTAGCCTACTCGGTCATCATGCTCAATACGGACCAGCACAACCCTCAAAACCGGAAACGCATGACCATCGACGACTACAAGCGGAACCTGCGCGGAGTCAATGATGGGAAGGACTTTGATCCTGAGTACTTGGCGGCGATCCACGAGAGTATCAAGAAGAAGGAGATCATCCTGCCAGAGGAGCATGTGGGGCAGCCGGGGTTCGATTATGCCTGGAAAGGATTGATGCAGCGGGCGAGGACTGCAGGTGAGTTCTCACGTGAAGTGATGGGGCGAGCTGATAATTAGGCCCGATGATCTCGTGCAATACCGCCCAATTCGACGAGGCGATGTTCAAGCTCTCTTGGCGTCCGCTCATCTCGTCCATCGCCTACGCGTTCACCATGTCGGCCCAGGACGAGCATGTCATACAAAAAGCCATCACTGGGTTCCGGCAATGCGCCTCGCTCGCTGGCCACTTCAAACTGCCCGAGGTATTCGACACGATCGTACAGTCCCTTGCGGCAGCGACTGGTCTTCTCGACGAGGGTGACTATCAAATGTCCAACTTCCCCATCGTCGAGAAGGATAACCAAAGTCTTATTGTCTCTCCCTTGGCGATCCGCTTTGGCCAGAGCTACCGGAGCCAACTCGCCACTGTCGTCCTCTTCACTATCGCGAACGGGAATGGCGCGGCGATCCGGTCCGGCTGGACGCAGATCTTCGAGATGTTCCAAACGCTCTTTTTGCACTCGCTCCTCCCGGCCCCAATGCTTCAGATGGAGGACTTCCTGGCCGGACAGACCACCATCCCGATGAAGGCAGCGGCGGCGCCGCAGGTGGATCGAAGGCCGGAGGGAGGTCTGCTTTCGGCGTTGTCAAGCTATTTGCTCAGCCCATACGGAGGCGAGGCGGAGGTCGTTGCGGTAGAGACAAGCGAGGAGGACGTTGAGAACACGCTGGTAGCGGTTGATTGTCTGAATTCGTGCAAGCTGGAAGAGCTGTATGCGGAGATCCTGTAAGTCATTACTGTAGACATTGGATGTGGCTGACATGGAAGGAGCCTGGACGTGGACGCCCTCATTCCTGCGCTACAAGCGATTCGACAACTCGCAGAAGACCGGACGACCGGTAAACTCACCGCTCGGCGAAACAGCACCGAGCTGAGCGAGACTGGCTCTCCGCGGCGATTCCAGAACCTCGACGGGCCGCTCCCGTACGATCCGGCCTGCGTCTTTCACCTGGAGATGATGGTCTCTTTGGCGAGCAGGGGGAAGAAGCATATCGCCGAGACTTGGTATGTCCCACCACAAGCCAAGCTGACGATAGGCCGATCATCTTCGAATACATCTCGACCCTTCTCAGCTCGGCCCAGAGCTTCAGTGTCCTGCTGATTGAGCGTGCTGTTGTCGGTCTCTTGCGACTATGCCTGGTGGTTTCGGAGACCGTACGTCTGCCTCTTTTTTCCGCTGATCTCCAGCCTACTCTGCGGGATCAACTCTACATCGCCCTCGACGTGCTCCGCTCTCTACCTTCTTCGGTCCTCTCGGCGGTCTCGGAGCAGCTCATGGCTGGAATCGCCAAGATCCTCGAGAAGGACACGGAAGTCGTCAAGTCCCAGACAGAATGGGGGCTCATTATTGCTCTTTTCCGGGCTACCGTCAACCACCCCGAGGCGAGCAAGGTGACATTGGGGATTGTAAGGCGGATGGTGAATGAGCAGATCCCGCCAGTGACGCTTGACAATTGGGGAGGGGTCGTGGCGCTCTTGGACGAGTTTGCGACCGGTGCGGGGGCAGCTACGGCGGGCAGGGCGCAGCGCAAGACTCCTCAGCAGGCTTCACTGTAAGTCCTCCTCCAATTTGCTGGGCCTGGCTCACTGGCAGCGGTCCTGCGGTCGAACGAGGCCTCTCCGCCCTCGACTCGGTATACGACCTCCGCCTCGTCATTCCCGCCCTTACCGCCTCTTACCCATCCACAAACGCCTGGGACACCTTCCACTTACCCCCACTCCTCATCCTCTCCAAACACTGCATCAACCACTCGCGCGAGATCCGCCAACGCGCCATATCGTACCTCCAGCGTATCCTGCTCTCGCCCAACCTTCTCGATATCCATGGCAACCCCGAGACGCTGCCGGTCATCTTTGACCGAGTGCTCTTCCCCATCATGGATGAGCTGGCGAAACCGCAGCTCGAGTCGGGGATGGGCGAGACGAGGTTGAGAGCGGCAACGCTGCTGTGCAAGGTGTTTTTGCAGTATGTCGTACGGTTATCGGAGGGGGATGTGGTGGGGGAGTTGTTTGTCAAGGTGCTGGAGAAGCTCGAGAGGTTTATGAGGAATGAGAGAGATATGGTGAGCTATTTCTTCTTTCCAGGCTGCGCGGAGCTGACTATTTGCAGAATGAAGCAGGCGAGTCGCTGAAGAACGTCATCCTCGTCATGCACTCGTCAGGGATTCTCTTACCGCCACCGTCGACACCAGCAGCAGCCACCACTGAAACACCATCCGAGGCGGTCGTAGACACAAGGACGGATGCGCAGAAGAAGCTGTGGACAGCGAGTAGGGACAGGATCGAGAGGGTCTTGCCGGGGTTCTTGGAGGAGGTGATGGCGAATCAGCCGGAGGAGAAGAAGATGGAAAAGGTAAAAACGCAGCAGGAGGGGGTGGTAGCTTAGGTAGAATATCTGAAGAGAATAGATGCATCTTTGGGATCTTGGAAAGATTCTGTAGGCGCTGGTATCAAGGGTAGGGTGACCAATCAAGACGATCCGAGATATCGATAGATGAGGATATGAAGGGTGGTTGCAGGGCTAGTTTGTGGGTGATGATGATGCCGCTCTGGGGGCGAGGGTGTCGAGAGCAGCGCTCAACCTCGTCGATAAGACATGTCTCCCGATCATATATCGGCGGCGCAGTGGCTAGTGCCCAATCGGCTCCTGGTACTGGGAGTCAATCGCTGTTCTTCGGATGCGCCGATCAGACCTGTTCGGCCTCATCGACAACGCCATCGTTTGATGACAACACACCAGTACGCTCACACCGTCTGCCTTTACAGTTCACACCGTACTCTACACCAGCCGCTTGGGATACTCCGCCCCCTCGGAGCCAGCGTCTTGATGCAAATAGTCCGGAGTGCTTGTGGCGGTCGACTCCAGCATCTTGGAGCATGTAGGCTGGAACAAAGACTCGACCCAGGTTTGTAAAATGCCGACCGTTCTTTAGCGTGGTACCCTTGGCCCCAAGGATCCAAAATCATAGGTCTGGGGTAGCCATTCAGACCCAGGAACTGATCAAGCGCTCCCCAGCTCCACTCCTCGGCACTTGATCTCATAGCTTGCACACTAGTCCAGTGGACCAGTACTAGATCTTCTTCTAGCGGCCGGCCCCTCCCCCTTTCACCTCGCCACGCCACTCACCCACTTTCCTTGGCGTCTACCAGTGAACATTACGAGTAGCCTCGCTGGCGACCGGACACCAGTGTCAGAGATCGCTGACCTGATTCGATCAGTCACTGTCTCGACTGACGAGTCTTCTCGGACAACATCCTGGTTCGTCGCCGTCTCGACGATCACAGGCGCGTGGGAAACCTTTGAAAAGCATGATCTCCTCGACCGAGGCGCTGATTCGTTTTCGCCACTCACTCTATCTGCCACCCGCGCTCAGCTGTAGTAACTACGGCTTGTGGCACCTGGATTTTGTGAGTCGCTTTCGACATTGAATCTGAGGTTGAGCTTAGCTTCTCACTGATAAGGTGAAGGAGGATCAGGATGTCTATAACACAGACTCAGACCCGTGTCTTTCCGCATTTTAGCTTCCAGCAAGCACTACGGTCATATACAGACGAACCCTCGGCCCATCTCCGTACCTGCTCTGTTAGGGCTCCGAGTCACGGGCTGATTTGTCCACTGCTCGACTCCCTCACACCATTCCCACAACGGCCGGAAACAAGGACCTGAACCATTCTACTGCTCAGGCAGATCAGAAAGTACGCATATACGGATAGAAGCCAGATGGGATCAGGCCGGGGCGGGAGAGAGGACTTGGACGCCATGACCCACCAGCTATGACGACCGCAGCCGCGCGTCAACGAGGTATCACTGACCTAGTCGGTGATTTGAGCTCAGTCTCCTGACCATCATGTCTCTAGATCTCACTCTGACTCGTCCAGCGGCTGCTTGTGACCGATAGCTCCACCAATGACAATGCCAGATATATACTACTAACGCGCATCAGTATTATGGCTGCCTTTTTAGCATAGTGGTAGTGCACCACACTTGTAATCTTGCCTACTGTCAGGATGGGGATGTGGAGGTCCTCGGTTCAATCCCGAGAGGAGGCACGCTTTTTGCTCCGTACGAGGCAGAGGACCTTTTAGTAGGCTTCCGAGAGTCTTTTTGGACGTTTTCCATCGACGAGGGAGCACTCGTACGCCGTTTTGACGGTTTCCCCCACTCCCGGTGGGATTATGTCACCCCCACTTTTGTGTTACGGCATACAAATTGCCGCTTCAGGCAGTATGACGGCATGGCAGATTACTCTTTCCGGTAATTATCAGGTCACCATAATTTTCAAGATACGAAGTTTTCCTACCTAATCTTCTTGGAAGTGGGGTGTGGTCCTTGCTTGAGCTTCAACGCTGTCCTGCGAGCTCACGAGCCTCTGTGCTGTTAGATAGGCAGGCGCTGTTGTACAGAGAGAGGGCAGTAGGCTCATTATCACTTGGAAGGGATCACGCGAGTTTCGTGCTTTGCCTCTGGAGGATTCATTTCCGGCGGTCTCTCAAGAGTCACTATAATTCACGTCTCCTTTGTCCATCTACCTCCTTGGGCAGTGCTCCGTTCACCAATGTACGACGTTCCCTGGATCATCATATTGCCCCACTCTCCAGCTAAGCCCGAGCCAGACGCAGAGCCGCCTGATACCGCTCAGTACACCCGCACTCGGCGACCTCGGTCCGACTTCGGAGGCTAGCAGTCGTAAGGCGGGGTACTCGCATATGCCCATCTGCCTCCAGCTCTGGCCTGCGCCTCGCTCAGTCACATCCTCACATCTCTCTCACTCAGGCTGTCCAGCAGCATAGCCACATCTGGCCAGCATGTTTGACTCCCAAGGTTTCAAGTCCGCGCCCGTCGCTCCCACATCTTCCCAAATCGCAACCTCGACTCAGCGAATCACCATCCTCACTGATGGCTTGATCCGCTTCGAGTCCGCCCCTGATGGCAAGTTCGAAGACCGTGCCTCTACCTTTGCAATCAACCGGGATCTCCCCACGCCCAAGTTTGAGGTCCTGAAGCGAGGCAAGGGGATCGAGGTCTTGACGGATCGGTTCCTGCTCAGGTGGACAGGCGAGGAGTTCTCCCCTTCCAGCGTTATAGTGTCGCTGCGGCAGGCTGGTGAGTCAGTGTATGGGCGGTGCTGATGGTAGATTCGCGCAATAGGGGCTGGACGCATATATGGCAGTATGGCGAGCGGCACGAGAAGATGACCAACCTCGGTGGGACTTACCGAACGCTCGACGGGGTCGACGGGAGGTGTGATCTGGGAGATGGGATCTTATCTCAGGTGAGTTTTAATCTATGTGCTGAGCTGACTGGCAGTATGGCTTTGCAGAGGTAGATGACTCTGGATCGATGATCTTTACCGATGACGGGTGGGTCGCTGGGCGGGATTCCGAGAGGAAGGATATCTACCTCTTTGCGTACGGTCTAGGTAAGCCATGTCCAATACGGCCGTGTGTCAAGCTGACATGCAGACTATCGTGCGGCATTGAAGGCGTTCTATATGGTCTCCGGCAAGACCCCTCTGGTGCCTCGCTGGGCTCTGGGGAACTGGTGGTCCCGATACTGTAAGCCTTACCTGTAATACTAGCTGACAGCAGATGCCTACTCGGACAAGGAGTATCTGGGTCTGATGGATCGCTTCAAGGCTGAGAAGATTCCTCTCTCCGTGGCTGTGCTTGACATCGACTGGTGAGCCCATTCTCGGACGACGCTGATGTCAGGCACAAGATCGACGTTCCGAAAGGCTTTGGGACTGGCTGGACTGGGTACACGTGAGTCTATCCTCGACAAGGCTGACAGATAGCTGGGACACAGACCTCTTCCCGGACCACGTCAACTTCCTCGAGCAGCTGCACGATCGCGAGCTCAAGATCACGCTCAACACCCACCCGGCAGACGGGGTCCGCTCGTTCGAGAAGCCGTATGAGGAGATGTGCAAGGCGGTCCAGCGGGATGCGAACGGGACTGTAAGTACAAATCCCTGGCCAAGCTAATATTCAGCCCGTCCCATTCGAACCCACCAACAAGGCCTTCTTCGAGGCGTACTTCAAGACTCTACACCACCCGCTCGAAGACGAAGGGGTCGACTTTTGGTGGTTGGACTGGCAGCAAGGCCCATTCTCCGAGACCACCGGTATCGACCCGCTGTGGATGCTCAACCACTATCATTACCTCGACTCGGGCCGAAAGGGAGACAGGCAGTTCACCTTCTCGCGCTATGCCGGGCCGGGGAGTCACCGATACCCCATCGGCTTCTCAGGGGTGAGCAGTCCAGCCGAGCACGGCTGACAAGCAGGACACCATCATCAGCTGGGAATCTCTCAAGTTCCAGCCTGAATTCACGGCTACCGCCTCCAATATCGGATACGGTCTCTGGTCGCACGATATCGGCGGACACTTTCACGGCACGCACGACAATGACCTCATGGCGCGCTGGACGCAGCTCGGCGTCTTCTCCCCCATCCTCCGCCTCCACTCGTCCGCGTCAGCCTTCAACACACGCGAGCCCTGGGTGTACTCGACCGAGGCCCAACGAGTCATCACCTCTGCGCTGCAGTTCCGGCACCGTCTCATTCCCTACCTCTACTCGTGCGCCGTCATGGCTGCGACCGAGTATCGCAGCATCGTCGAGCCGGTGTACTATGACTACCCCGAGACATCCGAGGCGTACGCGTACAAGACGCAGTTCACCTTCGGTCCGAGCCTGCTGGTTCTGCCGATCGTCTCGCCGACGTCCGAGGAGGTGCAGCTGGGCAAGGCGGAGGGGTGGTTGCCGCCAGGGCGGTGGGTCGACATCTTCACCCAGACGGTGTATGATGGGGACAGGGTGGTCTCGCTCTTCCGGCCCTTGGAGCAGTATCCCGCTCTGGCGAAAGAGGGCGCGATCATTCCTCTGGACGCCAGGGATGGGAAGGACATCCAGAACGGGACGGCCGCGCCCGAGGCGGTCGAGGTTGTACTGGTCGTAGGGAAAGATGGCGAGTTTGATCTGGTGGAGGATGACGGGAAGGAGACGGAGGCGGACGATGTCAAGTTCTCGCGGACGCCGCTTCGATACGACCAGGCGTCCGGGCATCTCACTATCGGTCCATGCGAGAACCCCTTGGCCAGCCATCGTACCTGGTCCCTGCGCCTACTCTCGTGCAGCCCGGCTTCGGTGTCCATCTCGGTCGACGGTCAGTCCACCCCGGGCAAGGTGGCCGACGGTATCATCAGTATCGGCCGACACGGCGTCAGCTCTAGCATCATCGTCAGCCTCGGCTCCAACCCCTCGCTCCAGATCATCGACCACAAACCGGAAATCTTTCGGGTCCTCCAAAAGGCGCAGGTCGGGATCGATGTCAAGGGCTCGGCCTGGGCGGCGGTCCAAAAACTCGGAGAGGAAAGCATTAGCAAGGTTCTGGGGCGGCTCAAGCTCGTCGGGCTGCATGCGGACGTGAGGGAAGCAGTCGAGGAGCTGCTGCTTGCGGATCAGAGGTGAATTGCGGGGAAATGTATGCAGTGGGCCCCCAAGAAAAGTGCCACATTTGGCCGCAAGCGGCTATGCGCCACGTGGCTTTTCTTATACCCTGAGCTAGAGCCCCACGTTCATGATGCGTTTCGCTTGGACCTCTCCACCCCAACGCGCTCCACTTTACCTTTCCGCGTCTTTACATTCCTCTTACCATCTATCCTATACAGCAACCATGTCCCTCGCAGCTCCCGCCAGCGCTGAAAATGCCCGCCAGAGGGGTCACTCTGCAGTCGTACGTTTCCAGCTCAAAGTCGCGGCTGACATCAGGACTTCAAGTCTGCCACCACCGGCGTCGCAGCCAAGGCTATGCGCAATGAGCTCAACAACATGATGGCAGGCGTGACTGACCCGGCCAAGAAGAAGGTGAGTCTGCCGGGAGCGCTGAAGCTGACGTCAGGTCTTTGACGCCGAGATGCAGTCATTCTTCTTGCTGTTCAACCGGTTCCTCACTGAGCGGGCCAAGGGCGAGAAGCTGTACGTCGCGTCTCGTGATCATGGCTGATGGCAGTGACTGGGAGAAGATCCACCCGCCAAACCCCAAGCAGCTCCTTCCCTACAAGACCATTGAGGGCGTCGACCCCTCCATTCTCAACAAGCTTGCCGTGCTCAAGCTCAACGGTGGTCTCGGTACGACCATGGGGTGTGTTGGACCCAAGAGTATTATCGAGGTCAGGGAGGGCATGACCTTCTTGGATCTTTCCGTCAGGCAGATCGAGGTGAGTATGCTGGCGAGCTTGGCTGACGATAGCACCTCAACTCGCAATACAACGTCAATGTCCCATTCATCCTGATGAACTCGTTCAACACCGACGACGACACTGCACGGATCATCCAAAAGTACCAAAACCACAACATCAACATCCTCACCTTCAACCAGTCCCGGTACCCCCGTGTCGACAAGGAGTCGCTCCTCCCCTGCCCCACCAGCGCCGAGTCTGACAAGGCCGACTGGTACCCACCAGGGCACGGTGACATTTTCGACGCTTTGCAGTGCGTCAAATCTTATCAGAATTAGGGTTTAGCTTACAGCAGGAACTCGGGCCTACTCGACAAGCTCATCGCCGCCGGCAAGGAGTACATCTTCATCTCGAACGTCGACAACTTGGGCGCCGTCGTCGACCTCAACATCATGCAGACCATGATTGACAACCAGGCCGAGTACGTCATGGAGGTCACCGACAAAACCAAGGCGGATGTCAAGGGTGGAACCATCATCGACTATGACGGTACCGTCAGGCTCTTGGAGGTGGCTCAGGTCCCCAAGGACCACCTCGACGAGTTCTGCTCGACCAGGAAGTTCAAGATCTTCAACACCAACAACATTTGGTGCAACCTCAAGGCCATCAAGCGGGTGATGGACGAGGACGCGATGAACCTGGAGATCATCATCAACAACAAGGTGAGTTTGGCGAAAGAGGGTGGGATGTTGCTGACGTCTAGGTCACCGAAAAGGGACAGGCCATCATCCAGCTCGAGACTGCTATCGGTGCCGCCATCAAGCACTTTAACGCTTTCGGTATCAACGTGCCCCGTAGCCGTTTCCTGCCCGTCAGTCGCATCTCGTACGTTTGAGGAGCAGAGCTGACGGTCCAGGTCAAGCAGTCATCAGACTTGATGCTCATCAAATCCAAGCTCTACACACTGGAGCACGGTGTCTTGACGATGGACCCGGCGAGAGAATTCGGTTCAACGCCCGTCATCAAGCTCGGAAACGAGTTCAAGAAGGTTGCGGTGAGTCTATTTTGTTTGACTTTCCGGACCTGGCTGATTTGGCAGAACTTCGAGGCCCGATTCAAGTCCATCCCAAACATCACAGAATTGGACCATTTGACTGTGAGCTGCCTTCTTCACGATGTCTGAGGAATTTAGCTGATCCTCTCAGGTCTCAGGCGACGTGCACTTCGGAAAGGGTATCAAGCTGAGCGGTACGGTCATCATTGGTGGGTCTCATCTATACTCTGCAGAGCTTGTGCTGATCAACAGTCTGCGCCGAGGGATCAAAGATCCAGATCCCAGATTACTCCGTGCTTGAGAACAAGCTGATCAGCGGAAACCTCAGCATCATCGACCACTAGACGGAGGAGGGCGTGCCGTGTGCGGATAGTGTTAGAATGCATCATTGAACAGTATCGAGTGTCAATGCTGTCAGCAGGCATTGGTCCTTCTACAAGTGCAGCTCCCGTGATCCTCATGTAGAGACATAGTATACAACACGTCAAGGATTTGGCTATCCTCTCAAGGCGACCCAGATATCCGCTTTCTCAGCTCGAGAATTTTCAAGTCGACAGCTTCTCCTTCCTTGAGCAGCTCGCTCTTCTCTTGTTGTAATCTTTTCGTCAGCTCATCGTCCCTACTGCAGACTCACGCAGCTATCCTTGTCCTAGTTCTGAGCTGTCTCTCTGGGACTCCCTCATTTGCGATTTTCCGCTCGATGAAATAGTCCTTGAGCCAGGTACCGCCAAAGAACGAAACTAATGTCAGCCTACATTTCGTGCGAAAGGCTTACCAGGTGCAATGACTGCGCAGGTGACCACGAACACCTTCTTGGAGCGCAAAGCGTTCATATTGACTGCATGAAGTAACAGCGAAAGTGTATGAGGGGCAAGAAATCCAGGTGGTAGCTGCTGTGGGGTCTCCAACTTCCCGGCGCGTCGCCCGGCGCGGGGCAAACGCCTTGTTGAATGTTCGTGGCACAACTTGGTAACAACTAGCTAGCCTCTTGTACCCTGTATAACTAGCCTGCGGGTCTGTCGTCTGTCTCCTCAGGCCCCATGTCCAAGGTCAAGCAGGCCCCTCTGGGGAAGGACGAGCCGCCGCTGCCTCATCCCGCCGAGGATCTGTCCGCCGACGATGATCTGCTGTCTTGGATCCTGGTGGATCAGCTCGGGTGTATGCCCAATAGTCGCCTGGGTGTACATCCCCAGGAGAACAAGTTTGTGGGGCCTGTCTTCAAAACGGATGAGGTGCTGCAAATTATGCGAGAGGTGAGTCTATGCCCGGGGTGGAGCTGATGGAAAGACGGTAGTCCAGGGGAACGTCCAGCAGGGCATGGCGAGAATGCTAGAGTATGTCCATGACCTGGCCGGTGCTGATCAGATTCCCACTCATTAAGGCTCACATGGAGACCAAGCGTACCGAATCGCAAAGAGAAAGATTCACAGCGTACGTCGTGTAATTAACATCGCTGATGTTAGCCATCTAAGGCGATACCTTCTCTGCTATGTCCCGACTTCTCGGGTCGATATCCACTCGACCGACCGGTACACGCACATCACCAAACACCCCGAGCTGGCTGTATATGCCACGCGACCTCTACCCGTCGGTGCGGTCCTGCAAGAACTGCAGGGCTCGGTCGTGCCGCTTCCTGAGGAGTGGCGGGCTGAGATGGATCTAGGGGATGAGTTTGCGCGCGAGGCAGCCGGCGAAGAGACCGATGAGAGTGATGATGGGAGCGAGGACGATGAGGAGGCGGAAGAACAGTCGGTGAGGCGCAAAGGCAAGGAGGTAGAGAAGGGGCAGAGGCGGAGTGATCGGACGCGACGACGGGATTTCAGTATTGTCTGGAGCGGGCTCAAACGGTGTTACCAGCTCTTCCTGGGTCCTGCTAGGTTTCTGAATGTGAGTGATTGGGTGGGCGGAGCTGATTTAGCATGACTGCTCTCCGACGGTCGAGCTGCTCAGGCAAGGCAAATACGTCACTTTCCGAGTGATTAGGGCGGTCAAGATTGGCGAGGAATTGACAGCGTACTAGTGGGTCTACATGATGAGCGTGACTGACGGCAGTGGGGACAGCTACTTCGGCAAAGACAACATCGAATGGTAGGTCAGCCTTTTTTAATACCGCTAATCCCAGTCTCTGCCTTACCTGCGAGCAAAACAACAAGGGACACTTCTCACTCAAACCCGAGACCTCTCGCTCCGCCAGTGAGACTCGGTCGGACGTCTCGGGTACACCGCAGAAAAAGGCGAATCGGCCGAGCAACCTTCGGCGGGAATATCTCGATAGCAACGCTAGCGAGGCGGGGGAGAGCGAGACGCCCGAGGCCGGGCCAAGCGGTACCGCAGAGATCGACGAGCTCGAAACGGATGACGGCTCAGACTCGGACTCGCCCGAGCCTATCGTCCGCGAAAAGCTCATTCGGACGGCCAAAACCAACGCTCGGCCGTTCAGCTTCCTCAAGCGGCCCAAAAGCGCACCTTCGGTCGCCGACTCATCCGTTGTCGAGATCGAGGACGATCTGCCGGAGGACTTTCCTCGGTGCGGATCGTGCGCCAAGCCGCTGCATGATCGCATGTGGTATGCAGGTCGGTACTTTGACCACTGTGCTCGCTGCACTCGGCACGCCTTCATATACGGTCTTCCCTGGCCGGCACATCGACAATCGGAAGTACAAGAATACCCCCCTTCCCACCTCATTCCGTCCGGCTACATTCCTCGCAAAATCTCCAGTATCCCCCTTCCCAGTCTTCAAAAGAAAAAGTTCAAGGAGGTTACCGTCGAGGTCACGCCGGGCGACCCCCTCCCGATCTCCCGCGACTATCGGCGGCAGCTCCGGCTTCGGCAAGAAATCGCCATGGAGGACTTTATCGTGCAGTCCTTGCGCGACTCGGCATGGGCGCTGCAGGAAGCGCATGCGGAGGCCAAGATCGCCGCTGCCGAAGCGGCTGAAGCCAAGATTGAGGCCAAGAAGCGGGCGAGGGAGGAGAAGAAGCGAAAGGACGCCAGCAAGTTCAAGGGATCTGGGCTATGGAACAGATACGAGTACGTCACCGAGGCGGAGCTCAGGCGGCGGGATGAGGAGAGGTCAAGGCCAACATCGGGTACAAGGAGGGGAAGGGCTTTCAAGGTGGAGGATAGGTCCGAGGAGGTTGCGCCGCGATCGCGAAGCCGGAGCAAGAAGGGGAAGCGGGCGCCTACAGAGGAGGATGAGGTCGATGAGGCGATCGAGGCGGTGGAGGAGATAGAGGAGGTCGAGGAAGTGACGGAGAGCAGTCCGGCGCCTGAGCCTCGGGCGCCGGTCAACGGGAGTGACTCACGCTCGGCAGCTCGGCCCAAGGCAGCCCGAAAATCCGGTCACAAGTCCCCCAGCGATAGTCCCATGCGCTCGCCGACTAGCATCCGCTTCTACGGTAACGGGATCGCCCCTCGGCCGAACGGTGTCCATTCCTCTCCATCGGGATCCGGCTCGAAAGCAGCTGGCCCCAGCGGAACGCATCACCCAGCAACGGTCGATGCACAGCCTACCTCCGAAAAGCCTCGAAAACGCGTTGGAGCGTCCCGTCCCAGTGCCAGCCCGGTCAAAGCGTCCAAGAAGGCCCGTCACGACGCCCCTGCCCCTGCTAGATCACCGACCAAGCTTCAACAGCGCACTAGCCGTGCGGCCGAAATACCCCTACCACAGACTCCCTCCTTCTCCGCACTCCCCGCTCATCGTATGTACGCGCCGTCCGCAACGCCCGGTACTACCCCCGACTCTTCCGCACCAATCGCAAAGAAGCGGGGGCGCCCTAAGGGGTCTGGTAAAAACCAGATCGCAGCTGCTATGGCGGACGAGCAGCGTCGCTTGTCGGCATCTTCATCTGCCGGTCCATCTGCCAGCGGGCCCAGCACGGTTTCGCCCGCTAACGCCTCTGGGATGGTGTCACGCTCGACATCCTTTACGGGTAGGGGCCGGAGGGTGTCATATGTCGGCATGGACGTGGATGATGATGCGGATCTGCAGGAAGGGATCGAGGCGGAGTTGGTCAGGGTCAAACCGGCAGTTGTCAACGGAGTGAGTCTTACTTTTGCGCTGATGAGCTATGCATCGAGCTGATGAAGCAGAAGTCAAACGGAGATAAGGGCAAGGAGAAGAGCGGGGGATCAGGCTCGGGAGACAAGAAGAAAGTCCGGTCATTCTTCCCTAGCGCGCTACCGATTCTGAAATTTGGGCGATGATAGGGGCGGAGGGGTTCCACAAGGGAGGATATCATGTTTCTTTAGGTGTATTTGCTCGGCTTTGAGGGGCAGGACTACACTACCATGTCATGTGACGAGCCAACATTTGTATGAAGCCCGGGAGCAAGAGGCGCCTATATCGGGAAATGCGATAGATCTGCATGGTATTGTACAGCTGACGGTACAGAAGAGGTTATCCGCATCTAATCTATCAGCCTTGAACATTGCAGAGATCCAGAGCACGCCCAACTCACGTAGTACTTGAAGTCGGAAAGATCAAACCCTCAATCCCCTCATCTTGTTACGCTCGATCCACCTCCCCATGCTCGTCCTGCCACCTCCAGACCCAGTCCCTCCGCCCTACTCCGCCCCCTTTCTACCGCCGCCCTGCCCTCTTCTTCCGATACATTCCGGACGCCAACCAGCTCCTTGACTCGCAATATTTTCCCCGCCAGTGGGCCTGAATATGGGTAGAGCACCGACTGGTGCATCCGATATAGTCCGATGGACTCTAGAGTTCGTAGTGATGTTTTTGGGAGGCCGATGGGGGAGCGGATGAGGGTGATGAGGTGGTGGGTGGGTGGGGAATTGCGGAGGAGACGAGTGGGGAACATGGTGTGCGAGAGGGTTCGAGGGAGTTCTGGTTTCCGGGATTGGACTTTTTCTCGACTTGGACGATCTAGGAATGCGCAGAGATAGCAGCTTTGTGTTTCTGGTTGCTATATGATGGAGCTGGGGCTGATATGGGCAATATGAGAGATGGGTAGATGGCACAGTAGAGATCTTGAGGGTCAAAGATGGGTATCAATTCTGAAACGCGTCTTTGTGAATGACGTGGCACCATCTCACTTCACCGCGCCGCTTCTGACTCAGAGATAAGATGTCAGGTCCATCACTTATCTATAGCCTCTATACATCTTCTACCGGTCACAAGATGCTCGCTAGACACACCCAGTCAGCCCTGGCTACCCCCCTTCGCTCACTTGCGAGGGGTATGGCCTCATACGAGCAGTCATCGCGCCCTCCTCGGTTCGGAAATGGTGATGCTGCGGGAGAACCGCGACGGCGCTACACCAACGACCGGAACTCTACTCCCTCGAGCGACCGCCCACATCGGCCGCGCACGCAAGGCCATGACAGCAAAGGCCCTGCCACGCCACGACCCCATAATGGCCGGCCCCCTCCCCACCTCCTGACCCTCGCCGACCTCTCGCCGGAGCAAATCTCCGAACTCCTCCTCTCGTCCCTTACCTACAAGCACCTTTGCAAAGCCTTCTCGGCTCAGGTTGTCAGGACAAGTCTGAAGGGCAAGACGGTCGCTATGCTATTCAACAAGCGGTCTACCCGGACGCGGGTGGCCAGCGAGACGGCCACGTCGGTGCTGGGTGGGAACGCCATGTTCCTCGGCGGAGCGGACATCCAGCTGGGCGTAAATGAGTCGCTGCGGGACACAGCGCAGGTCATTGGCAGTATGGCAGATGGGTTCATGGCTCGCGTAGGAGACCACCGGGAAATCGAAGTTAGTCTATCATTCTTCACAGCTTGTTCTCTGCTGATTACAGGAACTCGCGCAATACTCGTCCGTCCCCGTCGTCAACGCTCTCTCGTACCTCTGGCACCCCACTCAGATCCTCGCAGACCTCTTGACGCTGTACGAAGCCTACGCTCCACCCCTCGACCTCAAGGAGGGCGCATACCACCGAGGTCAGGTCCAGACCGACCTGGCCAAGTTCATCCGGACTCGCGTCGACCCGCTCTCGGTTCTCAAGGGCAAGAAGATTGCCTGGGTCGGAGATATGAACAACATTGTCTGGGAGTTGATGGCGACTGTTCCGAGATTAGGAATGGAGATGAGCGTGGCGACGCCGGCGGGGTACGATAAGGTCGATGATGCTGTCATGGCCCGATTGTGAGTCTCGCTTGCCGCTTTTATCTTTGGCAGAGCTGACGACAACAGAAAGGGGCACGGTATCGATCGATCCATCACCTTCACCAACTCCCCCAAGGAGGCACTCCACAATGCCGACGTGGTCGTCACCGACACCTGGATCTCGATGGGGATGGAGGCCGAGAAGGAGGAGCGGATGAAGGCGTTCCAGGGGTATCAAGTGACGAATGAGATGGTCGAGTCGGCGGGCGCCAAGGCGGACTGGAAGTTCCTGCATTGTCTCCCGAGGAAGCCGGAGGAGGTGGATGATGAGGTGTTCTACGGGCCGAGGTCGTTGGTGTTCCCCGAGGCGGAGAACCGGAAGTGGACCACTATTGGGGTGTTTGAGTGAGTGGTGTCCATTTGACTTGGTGTATATGGACATTACTGATTGTGCAGTGCTTACTTTGGAAATGGACGGGTGCCTGGTAGAAAAGCTGAGCGAGCAGAATAGCAATGAGCGGCGCCAAGGAAGCATCCGAACGATATCAATATGTAACATGGTACAGAGTTAATCATACCTCTCAACCTGTGTTGCTGACCTCCGGCCGTCGATCTCATCGTATATTGGGGTTTGCGCCCCCGGAACTATACTCACCTTACTCGATACCTGACTGCCCGCATGCAGGCCGCAAGAGCTTTTCTGCTTCACTTGCGCTAACATGTTGCCGCCTCAAACTGACATTCGACCCGTCGGGCTGGGGTCTGTTTTCCAATATGTGACTCTGTCCGAGCATACACATGGCTGTCTATGGAGATCTGACTGCAGAGGAGAGCTGACAGGTGCATGTACGGTAAGTTCAAGGACTGTACAAGACCGGACCGATATATACACACGGCGTCCTGAGAAGCGGACAGACAATGGAGAAAGTGGCGTCACGGAAAGGTCTCAGTCGATAATTAGAGTGGTGGGGTCGACGTAGGGTGCTGCGATCTTGGGGATCATCCACAGCGTGTCTTTGCTACTACTACGACCTCCAGTAGTCAAGGGGAAATTCAGGGCACACAACGTCAGCGCTTCATGCGCGATCAGTCTCCCTAAAAGTAGTCCGCCACTCGTCCCAGCCAGATTCCAGATCCGTATGCCCGTCTCCTCTGCTTGCCTCCATTGGCCCCTCACCGGACATCAACCCAGCGAGACGCTTGATCTGACGTTGAGCACACTCACTTCGCTCCTTCATCAACAGATCCAGTAACTTTCCCGCCTCCAGTATGTGCAAAGCGGCGATGTCGACGCCGCTGACCTCTTGACGCCCGTGGTTGACCGTGCCTCTTCGACTGAGCCAGCTAGGCCTCTTCTGACTCAGAGATCGAGCGGTCTTGATCGTCGTTGAGACCCTCACGCAGATGTGCGCTTTCGAATCCGTCAGCGTGCGCTCGGACATGCCAAGCTCTCTCAGGTGATCCAGCAGCTTGGCGTGAGGCTTGTCGGGTAATAAAGAACGTAAGCCGAAGAAGATGTGCTGATCTTGCTTTGTGTGAGGTGTCGACTTGTCAGAGGCGACTTGCCTGGCAAAGAACGGAATGGCGTGGTACATGTCGCTCATGTCGACATCAGGGTTCGCAACGAGCCATGTGTGGACGAGGGTACCGCTCAGGCCCTCGAGCTGCTCGAGAATTGATGTCAGCCTGTTGTTATTGAATGAGCGCAGTCCCTTTCTGAGGTGGTCATGCAGGCTTTGCCACGATGTCAAGGCAGTGACTTCCCCATACCGTGCTGTGAGGCGCTCTTTGAAGACCTTTCGCATAAGGACCTCCTTCAGTCTCCAGTACTCGTCGATTCCCTCACTTGCACGGGCGTACAGCCGAGAACTGTCGGATCTATGAGGGTCAGCCATGTAGCCGCTCCGCAGCACGAAGTCACCACTCGCAGTGAGCGAAATATGGGCCTACTCACCTTGGGTCAGACAAGTCAGGTGCTTCTCCATGGGGGACGAGACTCTCCATGGCGTCCACTCCAGAGATACACTTCATCATGGTTGTACCCTGATTCGACTCTGTCATGCTCGACTGACGAGTGAGCTCCCTAGAGTCATATACTGAACTTACAATCTGAGCCTCGATCCAGTCGACGGAACACTTAAGACAGGCGAGATGAGTGTCCGCGCCAGGTGTCTCGGCGCATCTGCAGTTGTTTCCCTTGAAGGTCGGGCTGCGAGCCAATCAGCTCAAGAGCCGGAAAGAGGCGGAAGACAGACGAGCTCAGGAGACCTACTGTTCTGAAGCTGGCTCATAGCACGATGAGCACTTTACGCCGGCGTATGCGGGATCGCTCATTGTACTCGAGGTAGATGAGAAGCGGGGTGATGTCTGAAGATATCAGATCAGGATGAGAGGTAAGAGTAAGAGAGCTCGATATGGAAGGAGCTACGAGGCGAGAAGACGGGAGAGCCGTTGACCTTGGCGTGGGTCTGCTGAAACGCCAAATGACCGGGAAGAAAGGCATTCCTTTTACCATGCCCACGAGTAAGTAGTGGCATTTGCATCAAGCCATCTCGCTCGCCGGAGCACGCCATATCACCACTTCGAGCGGCGGGACAAAGTACAGCATCAGTCAGACTTGCCTGAACAGCCATGGTCAGCACCCTCATCAGTTAGTAACAGCGTCAGTGCGTCAGAGGGTCGATCTATAAGTCCAAATGCATACATGTTGTGTTAGAAGGGGGTTTGATTCTATCCTACTCTTTGCCTACAGATATTTCCTTCCCGCTTCTCCTCCCCTCTCCACTTCCACCACTCCCAAATTTCCTATTCTACACCGCAAGTAGCGCACCAGATCCAAGAATAAGGGCAAGGGGTTTTTTAAGACAACAGCGAGTCTATGACACAGGTGTGTTGGGAAGGAGAGAAGAGAAGAGGCTATTCTAAAGGTGAAGATTGACAAGAAGGTGAGTTGAGAAGACCGAGAAACGTCCGCGGCCCAGGCCTACATCATCTGATGCTGGCCCATCCCGCCCTGACCGAGTCCGTGCGGGTCAAAGCCGTACTGTCCCGGCCAGCCCCCTTCGATCTCCCCACCACCGCCGCCATTGATGTTCATGTCCGCCCATGGCGCCGCTGCTGCTCCGCCATTCCCTCCGCCGCCAGCTGCCGATCCGCCTGCACGAAGGTGGAGCCACTGCGCCCCATCCGGTCCGGGAGCGTGGTAGCTGAGCCCAGTGTGGTCCGCCTGCATCGGCGCTGGTGATTGACCTGGACGGAAACCGCCCTGGTGCGGCGGGACGTGGTGCGACTGCATCTGGTTGTGCTGCATGTAGCCGCCACCGCCACTACCGCCGTAGCCTTGACCTTGGCCGGGCCCGGCGCCGAACGGACCGCCCTGCGAGCCGTAGACGTCGGTAAGGGCGTTGATGTGTTGGAGCTGGGGTCGGCCGAGGTGGCGCTGGTAGCCCTGCTGGAAGTTGCCTCGGCCGCCACCACCACCGCCGCGTCCGCCACCACCGGTAGGACCGTAGCCGAGAGATGGGTGACCGAAGGAAGAGTCTTCGCGAGCGAGCTTTGACTGAATGCGCTTGCCGTAAGGGGTGTTGCGGATAGAGGGGAGGAGGGGTCGAATCATCTCGATAAGCTATTGAGTCAGCTGAGTCCACATCAAGCCGGGAAGGAACGTAAGCGCACCATGATGCGCTGTCCGGGATCACAGTAGTCGAGGATGGTCTGTACGACGTAGTTCCCGTAGCTGTCCCTGAGGAGCTTCTCCAGCCTGGACCGGTTGAGCACCTCGACGACGAGCAGTTTCCGGATCTCGACATCGGCGACCCGGATGCACTTTTCGACAACGTTCGACGAGAACCTATATTATCAGCTACATCCCTGCAGGTATACTCAGTGTTGTACTCACTTCTGAACTGAGAGGGAGCAGACGTTGCCGATGAAGGTGCGGATGAGCGGTTCCGAGAACCTTGCATCGTTGAGGTCGAGGATGTACTGGATGACATAGTTGCCGAACGGATCTTGGACGAGGTAGAGCGAGTTGAAGATGATCTCTGTGACAAGCTGGACGCGCTGAGCTGGGGAGGCGTGGTCGATGGAGCGCTGGAGGACACAGCAGCCGTGACGGTGGGTAGCGACTTCGATGAGGTTGGCAGCGATGGCATTGTAGATGAACTGGTTGTCTTCAGGGATGAGCTTGTTGAGGCATTTCTGAATGACCTGGGGGGTTAGCTTATTCCCTGCGAGTACACGGAAAAGAAAGCTTACGTGGTTCCCGTTGAGATCCTTGATGAGCGCGACAACGTTCATGCTCAGCGCATAGATCAACGTCCTGATCTGCTTGGGCTGCCTCGGGCTCGCCAAGAAGTCCACCATCTTCTGTACCGCCCGCGTCCCGTGCATGTTGAGACTGATCCCGACCAGCTCATTCGACACGCTCTCGACGATACCCGAGATCTGCTCGTCATTGGCAACCTCGAGGATCTTTTGGCAGAGGTAGTTGCCGAAGGGATCCGTCATGAGCTCGGGGTAGTGGCCGTAGACTTCGCGGAAGATCATGTCCCGGTGGGCTGGATCACCATCCTCGAGCACCTTTTGGAGGTATCGGCACCCGTGCTGATCCTTGGTGAGGGGGAGAATCTCGCCTTGGAGATCTTCGATCCGGACGCCCGAGAAACGGTTGAACTCCCGGTCGGCGTCAGACCGCTTGTTCTTGATGCCCATAGCGCCGGACGAGTAGAGTGCGCCCGAGCCGTAGCCGGAAGGGTCTTCCTCGAAGCCGTACGGCGCGCCAAAGTTGCCGCCGGAAGAGAAGGCGTTGCCGCCGGTGAGGGGAGGCATGGGTCCGCCGTTGCCGTTGAACATGTTCGAGTAGATGGGGTCGGCAGCGTAGGGCTAGCGATCAGCATAGACTCTCGCTTGGTCTGGAGCAACTCACCCTTGGCTGCTGCTCGCCGAGGTTGAAAGAGACATTCCCCTGCTTGCCGAACGCCCTCGCCAAATCCGGGTTACTGAACCCCCGTCCGCCCATCCCGTCCGCAATGTTCGGGCTGGTCCCGCTCCTCTTCACGCCGTTGATTCCACTACCGCCGAGTCCAAACGGCGTGCCCGGCACGCTCTTGCTCGGCATGGCAGGCAGAGAGGCGATAGAGTCAGCCATACCGGCACCGTTGAGGAGGTGGTCGACGGCCGTGTGGGGGTGCTCGAGAAGGGCTGCGTGCGAGCTGGCGAGCGGCGAAGTCCCCGCTGTGCGGTGCTGGGGGAAGGTCGACCAGTCCGAGGTCTTGACCGAAGTGTCGAAGGGACGGGCACCGTAGCCCCTTGGAGGGGTCTGACCGAGGGCGGCGAGGTCGAGAGCGGCCGAGTTGGTCGAGACGTGCTATATGATCAGCCACATCCCCGCTCATCGACTAAGACACACCTTGCGCTCTGACGGGTCGAAATCATCATCACCCATACCCAAGTAATTGACAGTCCCCTCCGCCCCCTGCTCATCCACCTCATCGTCCCACTTCCCCGCCTGCCCCGGCTCCATCACGCTCAAGCTCATCTTCTCAAACCCAAACGTGTTCCCGCCGTACCCGCTCGTCCGCCTGCTCGCGGGCATCGACTTGGCGCCGATACCCGTACCGCCTGGAGGACCGATAGGTGCGGGCTCAGTGGCGGGGACATCCGCCTTGGAAGCGGCCGCGTGCTGGCCTGGCGGAGTCGTCGGCGCCGAGGAAGCCTCGACGGGTGAAGAAGAGATGATCTGTTTCTCCTCAGCGAGCTGCTCAGCTTCGAGCTGGCGCATCTGCTCTTCGAACTTCTCGCGGGTGACCTGACGGGCGCGCTCGTGCTCGGTCCGCTTGGCAAGGAGACGCTATCAAGTCAGCTGAACTGCACCAATTCGGGTCAATATGAGCTCACCTCAGCAGACTGCTTGGCAGCACCTTCAGTCTACAAGATGTCAGCTTTGTCTCTACACCACCAATCGGTCTGGTACAGGCAACTCACCGTCTCGGCCAGATCCAACGCATCATGCCCATTCGCAATCTTGGCGTGCCCGTTCACTTCCTCCCCATGCTGATCATCGCCGCCGTCCGACCTGGGTCCCTGCTTGGACGGAGAGTTCTCATTCGCCATGATGATTCGTCAAGGGTTCGAGTATAGTCCTACAATTGATGTAGGAGGTATAGTCGAGGGTGTCTGAAGAAGATCAGCAGAGGTCCAAAGGGATTCGCTCGAGCGGTGGTCGAAATTGGCTGAGCACGTGCTCGACGACCTGACGCGCTGCCGCACTGTCCGGTGCCCTCGTCTCAGAATGGGAGACTGACTTTGTATACTTTCGTAGGCGGTCGTCGGAAGCTCGACTCGGCAAGGAGTTGAGATGGAAGGGTATAGAAGCGGAAACTAGTGATACAAGGGTAAAAGTTCCCCAAGAAGTACAAGCTTTTGTTCCAGAGCTTTCCGCCTTGATAGTTGGTAGCACGTAGTCGGAGCTGTAAGGAAGAGTGTATGTATGATGTAGATGGTGTGACAAAGGTAGGCAGTGTGCAGCTGCTGGTGCTCGCTGGCCGAGGAAGTTCTGAAATTTGGTGTGGCTGTCACACGGACTTGACTTGACTTCGGAGACGGAGGTATTTTCTCACCGCAGGGCAGTTTGGCTCACGCTGCCGGCATGGCGTAGGTAGCGGCGATAAAATCTCTTATCAGATCAAGACAAGAGACGCCGAAGAGACCAACAGGCAGCTGCCGAAGAAGGTGCGCTCGCGGCTGCAGCGTACGATGCAAGACTGAGTCGAGGTGCTTGGACTGGAATCCCCGCGCCGCATAGGATGATGCGAATCTGTGGCATAGCGATGCTACAAGCCCAACTACCTGCCCAACTCCCTACACCTCCATCCGCCAAACTCTCTATTCCACCTGTAAGAGTAGCTTAGTTGTTCTGCGATGTCAGTATGGGCTCTCGGTGTGCCGACATTGGCGATGGCGCTGCGAGAAGCCGTCGAAAGAGGAGGTTCAGCTGACCTTGACGAAACCCATAGCCTTCGACTGGAATGATCAGCTCGGATCCGACCTATATTCGGAGGACATAGAGCTTACCTTCTCCCGGAAGCACTGACGGCACATGTCAAGTCCCCTGCAATGTCAGTCGATATAGTCCTGTATCCGATATTTCGCATGAGGGTCCCTCAATTTGAGATGAGACGTACCACTTGCTGATATCGTCAGCATATGCTCATTAGTCTGTGCATCCCGACGATCAAGACTCACCGGATAAGACCAGCCTGGTGGGCGCACACACGGCACTGGCGGGAGCCCTTACCGAATTCCCTGGGGCTAGAGGGGTCAGCATTTCTTCTCGAGAGATTTCGACAGCATCTCCCCATCGTGATCTACACGAGGGCCATGCCGCCCGGCATAACGCGTATGACGGTTCTCCATCTCCTCGCCTTGTCCCAGCGTTGTCCAGCGGTAACGCCCGTATCCGCCGCAATGTCCGTCGCTCATGACCTTCTCCTCCCCCAATTTGTCGGTCGCTCCCACTCTGCACATTCTTCCAACAACCTCCAATCCCCCTGCAACCATGGCGTCCACGCAGCATATCCCCGCCGCAAGGCCCTCGTCTCTCCCCCTCATCCTTCGTCGTCCAGCACCTCACATCATCCTGCAATCCTTTGTCCAGATCTCCGCCCTCCTCCTTCGCGCTCATTGGTACCGATTCGATGGAGTAGTAACTAACCGGGAGAACCAAACGTTAGAGTGAGCCCTGTCATATCAGATTTCCACATTCTCCATATATCCAGCAGACCGTATTCCAGCTTACATATTGAAGATTAGGGGTGAAAGGGTCGGATAGCCGTGTTACTACACCCAAATCAGCCTCTGCTTCCTCTCTTTTTCCCAAAAGTCGAGTGCTGCGCCGTATGCAGTGTCGTTTCGGACTGTAAAACTTACCCTGTAAGCGTAGTAGGGCACGACTAGTGAGTATGGATTGGCTATCAGCTTGGAGTACGGGCAAGGTCGCGCGTGCACCCAAATCGAGGTAACGCAACCGGCTTGAAAATGCTGGAGGGGGACGAAACTCCGCTTAACTCCGGTGAATGTGGCGGTGAGACCCGTGCGTTGGTGTTTCATCTTCGCGTTTCAAGTTCAGCGCTCAGCTTCCTCGTGCATGCACCAAATCAGCAAGCACCACGGTCATCATGCGCCGGTAACAGCATTGACGTCCAGAGCGTCTCAGGCGATGCCAGGCACTCCATGATCTCATAGGGTATTTCGATCATAATGTTATATTCCCCCTATCTACAATACCGCCCTCTCCATATCCGCCACCGCTATCACGACTTCAATGCGAATGACCCGCGTGATCGTGCTCTTCCCCCTCGTCGACATTGACCAGCTGGCCATTCTTGCTACCAGGAACGGGAGGGCAGCAGGTATCTGTCCCGCATTGTTCTGGTGGGCAGCGGATGAGGCAGGCGGTCTCTTCGGCTATGGAGGCGGCGTCGTCGTAGAATCTGGGCATGATCAGCTAGTCATCCTGATCGATAGGTGCAAGGATTGGACGAAGCTCCGTAGAGCCGACCATTATGAGGGTAAGGCGAGGCTTGACTTACTCTGGCTGAATCGTGACACTATGTATCCCGTGCTGGTGCATGATCGCCCTGATCCCATTCGCAGCGTCCATATACTCCGCCCCGGGCATGATCATGACATGTACCGAGGCCACCACGGTCGATTCCGAGAGCTGCCAGATATGCAGCTCATGTACTGAGACCACACCGGGGACGGATTTGATGCCTGATCGGACAGCCTCGAGGGAGACGTGTGATGGGACGCCCTGCATGAGGATATAGGATGCGGATTTGACTGGGAGTCAGCGTAACCCAAACAAGAGGAGATGAGGAGCTTGCCGAGAGGAAGAGCAGAGCTGAAGATGATACAGGTGATGAAGAGCGATACTCCGGGGTCAAAGTATAGCGTCCATGCGCCTTCGAAGAACCAGATGACGAGACCGGCCGAGATGACGCCTACATTGCCGAGGCTGTGATGGTGAGCTTGACTCCTTCCATGGTATAATCGATCATGCACTCACGCATCTCCCAGCACGTGCAGGAATACACCGCGCATGTTCATGCTCCCATGGTCGTGACCATGTCCACCCGCGCCGCCATGTCCATGTCCATGATCATGTCCCTTCCCGTGCCCCTCGTGACTGTGGTCATGACCGTGTCCATGACCACCACCATGCCCAGCCTCCGCCTCGCTCGCATCCACCGCCATGTGGTTGTGCTTGTGCTTGTGCGCATGATCATGCCCGTGCCCATCCTCCACCGCCGTCCCGCTACTCCCGCTCTCCGTCGGCGTAGGTACCTCTCCAACAGGCGAGCGAATATCGTCCGTGCCGACCGCGGGCGCCGTGGCGGCCTGATCTGACCTAGACCGGCCAGACTTAGACTTGGAGCTCCCGCCCTGGCTCCCCTTCTTCCGGTTGTTGCGCGAGAGGGAATTACCGCGGTGATGGCCTGATGGAGGGGACATGGCCCCCATGAACCCGGCATTCTCGTCTGCGGAGGGTCGACCGTAACCGTACTCCTGAGCAGTCTCGATGACCTGTGCCCGAGTCTGAGCGGGGTGCTGGAAAAGAGAAGACATCGAGTCGGCGCGCTGACGCCCGCCTGGAGCCGCCATGTCGGCTGCCTCGGCCTCCGAGTCCGCAGGGAGGGCGATGGGGCCATGAGAGTGGCCGCCGTGGCTGTGTCCATGCTCTACGAATTCAGCTCAGCGCCGAGTCAAAGGGCCCATCACAGCTCACCGTGAAAGAGGAACAGCCCGACGATATTACTCGCCAACCCCAGACTTCCCACAATGACGATTAACTTCGGCGCCGAGATTTCAGGTGGCGAGACGATCCGCCCAATAGCCTCCAGCGCGATAGTCATGCAGAGCGCAACGAGGAAGACACCATTGATGAGCGCGCCGAGAATCTCGGCTCTTTGCCACCCGTACGAGTTGGCAGCGGATGAGGGTGAGGTGGCGAGTTTGATGGTGTATAAAGCGACGAGGAGTGAGAGAACGTCACTGAGGATCAGCTTGACCCAGATTCCGATAGGTAATAATATACTTGAGCATATGGAACGAATCCGCTATGAGCGCCAGAGAACCGACCGAGTAGCCGACAATCAATTCCTAGCTGTATCAGCAGAAACCCGTATCACCTGAGGGTGCCAGAACGTACCAGAAAGAAGAAGGCCGTATCGATCACCAAGAGCGTGATGATACGGGCCGAGCGAGAGAACCCCATGGTGAAGGCAGGGTGTCAGGCGTGACCAACGATGGAAAGGCGAGGTTATCGGCCGATGCGATTATTCAGGCCAATTTGCGAGCGGAGCAGCGTGATTTCCGCTGGTTCTGCTCGGTGATTTCGAGCTGATATCTTTCTATGCACACTGCCGAGCGCGATGCTCTGTTCTGGTGATGATGAGGGTTCCTAGTGGACGAGAGATGGGATGTGAGAGTTGGTGGAGCACTTGGAATTGCGAACGGATTCCCGCCAGCCAAAACCAGTCCTCAGGCCTATCTATCGGCTTTGCCCGAGCAGAGATAGGCTGGCCCAAATTAGGCGAGCACTGGCAAGGGACAGCGAGCCTAACTACTAACGTAACAGTCGCGTCAAGCTCCCTCTGCAAGGTGATGAACGCGCACAAGAGAGACCAAGTCCAAATTTCATCCATCAGCCTCAACAGCGACATCATCAGCGTCAGTACAGACTTACCCGCCCAGGATGCCCCGCCTGCCCGTAGCTATCGCTCTCCAACCCCCACTCCCACCACTCCCGACCGCCCCATACCCAGCTCCTTCCCCCCTCGACACCCACATCTCCACCACCCTCTCCTCGACAGACTATGACACCGCCTGTGTCCCGCTCACCAACCCGCGCTGGCAAGAGCGGTGGGAACGCCTCTGTCTCCGTCCAGTCGAAGAAGAGCTCGACCCGACGTCGCAGGCGGCCATGACGCGGGATCTGGAGCGAGAGGTCGTGGACCGAGAGGCGGACGTCTGGCGCAAAGAGGGAGGACTGAGGCGGAACGAGCTGAATGTGTCGAGGTTGGAAGAGACGAGGGGACTCATTGCTGTTGCTGCGGAGTGGTTGGAGATGGACTCGAGCGACGAGGGGATCAGGTTTGATTCTGAGCTGGTACGTCCTGTTTGACCGCCCCCGCCCGGGCTCTTGAGTTGATCTTTAGGCACTCCGAGCGGAACTCTCACAAGCAATCTATCTTGGCGTCCCTACCCTCATCTTACCTGCTCCTCAGCTCGCCAACAGGGCCTACCTCGCTTCGTACGCTCGAGCCATCTCCAACCTTCTCCATCTCGGCGGCGCATCTGCATTCACCGAGCTGTCCGTCCGTATCCCCATCTCGGACCCCACGGAACTCATCAACCAAGGTCCCGGATCTCCCTTCGGTCCTCCCACATCCGGCCCATCTACCTCCGCGACCCTTCCAAACGGCATGTCCGTCCCGCAGTCCACCTCGGCTGGAGCTTCGTCCAAGCATCACAAGCGGATATCGTCCCTCTCGACTCGGCCGGCCAGCATGCACCAGAACTCGACTACACTCGCCCCGAACGGAATGCGAAACGCTAGCGGTGCGAGCGCAGTATCGGCAGCTAGCAGCACGATGAGTGCGCGGAGTGGAGCGGCGCCGGCGCCGGCAAGTGGAGATCCATGCTCGACTTGGGAGATGTGGGACACTATTCGGTCAATGTGCGGATACCACTCTCGGTTGACAGTCAGTAAGTGGGACTTTATGGCAGTCTCAAGACGAATGTGCTGACGGAGTAGCTCTCGATCTTACGAATCCCCTCCCTCCATCTGTTGGCGCGCTATCAAGATGGACCGCCGAGCCCGTCAAGCACATCTGGCTCCCCGCATCCTCTTTCATCTCCAACGGCAAGGGCTATCCCGTCCTCAGTAAGGCCTGTCAAGCTTTCCTGAAGGGTATGACCAAAGTGAGCCATGCCGCTTCTGCCCTCGTAGCTTTGAGCTGACTAGTAGCAATCCCCCACCTACATCCTCGCCGGTACCCAAACCAACCGCCACTCGGCCGGCGGCCCCTCCGCCTATCTCCAATACGTCCGCCACATCACCTCCCAGGCCCAATCAGGGATGATCAACCCCGTCAACGGCCAAAAGTCGGACGAGCCAGCATATACCGCCGGCTATGCGGACTTCTTGCAAGCGCCGCTACAGCCCTTGTTTGATGACCTGGGGAGCGCGACGTATGATGTGTTCGAGAGGGATCCGGTCAAGTACCGGCAGTATGAAGAGGCGACATATCTGGCATTGCTGGACCTGCCTGCTGGAGGAAGATAGTAAGTCTGGTGTCGAATAGCGATTGAGCGCAGGCTGATGGCAGTGTCATCACCGTCGTTGGAGCTGGAAGGGGACCGCTTGTCGCTTGTGCTCTGCGGGCGCTGAAGCGCGCAAATCGACAAGCGATGGTATATGCGGTAGAAAAGAATGCTGCGGCTTATACGACGTCAGTCCATCTTTGCCCTATGGGATGGTCATCAGCTGACAGGCCAGATTACAGGAACGGAAAGAGCTGGAATGGTTCGATACGGTCCAAATCCTCTATGGCGATATGCGAACGGTCGACGTGCCTGAGGAGGCGGACATCCTCGTCTCTGAGCTGTTGGGCAGTTTCGGAGACAACGAGCTGAGTCCGGAATGCCTCGACGGGGCTATGCGGTTCATGAAGCGTAGGTCTGGGCTCTTCGCACATTGTAAGCCAAGCTGACAGGGCAGCATCCGGTATCTCGATACCTATATCATATACCGCACACCTCGCACCTATCTCTTCTGCCAAGCTGCACGCCGAAGCAACCTCGAAAGCTCGGCCAGCGTCAGCGCCCGAGACGCCATACGTGGTCATGATGAGCCAGGTCAACGTCCTTTCTGCAGATGGAGGTGGAGCTAGTGGGCGATGTGGGGAGAGAGTACAGCAATGCTGGCAGTTTGAGCATCCACGGCGGGATCTTATCTTGGATTCGAGCGGTACGTCTGCACTTTCCCGCTGAACGTTGAGGCAGAGCTGACCATCCAGGCGCACCACTCACCAACTCGCACAACACTCGTTCCGCCACTTTGACCTTCTCCATCCCCCACGCTGGGCCCTGCCACGGTTTTGCAGGCTACTTTGAAGCACACCTGTACGGCAATATCGGGCTGTCCACGCATCCCGATAACGCCCACCGCGTCTCGCCCGACATGTACTCGTGGTTCCCTCTCTTCTTCCCCCTCCGCGCACCACTCTACCTCCCCTCTGGCTCGGAGGTCGAGGTGCACGTATGGCGACTGAGCGAGGGGCGGGGCAGGAGGGTATGGTATGAGTGGGCAGCGGAGGCTTATCTGCCTGGCGCTGGCGGGTCCGTGGGCGTGGGTATGGGCGGAGGGAGTGGGGTGGGACCAGGAGGCGGATTGAGTCCGGGATTGGGATTAGGGGGTCCGCTCGGCACGCCGACGGGGAGTCTGAATGGCCGACCACCGCTTAGCCCGATGATGGACGCGACGTTCTCGCCCGTTAGGAATACGTTCCTCGGTGCGGGTGGGGCAGGGTTCGGGGAGCAGGGTACCGGGCAGGGGAGGGTCAAGATTGGGCAGACGGGGCTGCATAATGCCGCAGGGGTGCATAGCTGGGTTGGAATGTAGAGGCGGGCTAGACGGAATGGGGAAAAGGAGGAGACGATCTTTCCGGGCCATCTTCGCGTGAGTATATCTTAGCATAGGGGTGTCAGCTGTCGCAAACTAATATCCCGGATGTCACCACGTCTTGCGCGTCTGATCTAACATACTGATATATTGCGACTGATGCTGTTAAATGCGAGTGATCGTCAACTCGTCATGGCTTGGATTGACTGATCTGTACAAGTTCGCGACCGTGAGTGCTCACTAGCGCGGCTTCTCCTGCATGACCAGAAGACAGGCACACCGAGCTACTCGTAGGTCCTAGTTTGCCTTGCTGACCTGGAGGTTACTCGCATTTAGATCTGGCCTTCCTTTGGCAAGACCGTACAGTACTGACATGCAGATCTGACACTGACCTTGATGAGATTTCGAGATCTCGAGACCACCGAAGTAAGATTTGATAGCAATCTAGTGAAACCGAATTGCATTGCACACCTTTGATCCGCTGCGCCTTTATCTCTTACACATCACAGAGCAGGCGAACGACCCAGAGACAGAGATTTTGAAATCTCGAAGATCTGAGAAGCAGTGCGCCTCGGTGGCGTCACACGCAAGATTCGGCCACCAAAAGGATGTCTACGCCTGGACTCACGTCTGCGCCTATAAAGGTCCATCATTCGCGGCACGCTTCTGATCCCTACCATCGTCCTACTTACCACCCCTTCACACTACTCAAGGTCACCCAACATGTCCACTGCACAGGACCCCAGCGCCCCCGACGCGTCCAGCACGATTCCAGGCTACTCGTTCCAGATCACCGGGAACTCGTACCTGGGGAATTTGACGACCGTCGCTACCTTCAACATCAAGGATTCGGATTGTCGGCTCGAAGTGAGAACCGTCGTCCCTCGCCGGACCTCCCACAATGCCATCAAGGGGTACTGTCATCGAACCTGGCAGGAAGCCGTCCCCCGGGTCAAGAAGTGGCTTGACGGGCAGATTTCGTCCTCAGACGGTGACATCGCCGGTTTGAAGATCGCTGCCGAGCATCTCCCAACGGACGGCCTCTCCCGTCTCGAGTTCGAGCTCGACAACCACCCTCCGACTCATCAGGGGACTTCGAACGGGCACGCGCCTACAGGAGCCGAGATTGCGCTTCGCGCGATGCCGGGAAGGTGGCGCAACTACAAGCTCTTCGCCCACGACGACAGCCCCTCTACTACGACTGTCCAACAGCTCCGGGCTTGCCAGTTCGCCAGAGACTTTGCGGCCATCAATACGCCCAACTCGCAGATTGTGATGAAAATCACGGCGGGTCGCCAAGCTTCGGGAGAGGCGGCGACCGCGTTCCTCGACCTGATGCCGATGACGGGCGAGGCAATGACAGAAGACAGACAGAAAGGCACGATGAGTTGCGTCTTGAAGAACGAGGACGAAGCTTGCTTCGTCCTGTGGGAAGAATCCAAAGGCTGGAGTGAGATCACCCTGAAGACCGCCCCATCTCTGAAGCTTTTCGTTCGAGGGGACTGTCAGGATGCCAAAGCCGCTCTCGGGAAAGGCGAGGATGCTACGGTGGATGTGTCTCGTCTCCACATCGAAGTCCCGTTCAGCGCCGAGGATTGGGAGAATCTCCGCAAGCATCCACGTTCCCCCCATACCATCGACGTGCCCGAGGACACACTCGCATGGCTCAGGGAGCTCGGTCTGCCCCGGGGGGTGGGTCTGAGTGAGGAGCTCGAGGAGCTCACAGTCTTCCCGGCCAAGCCAGAAGGGTTCGTTGATCTCAACGGGTCGAACTCGAGTTCAGCGCAGCTCGAGGTGAATTTCAAGAGTCTCGTCCTTTAGTAATTACTTTGCCATTCCTTATCAGTCTTCCCCTTTTTGTTTATAGCAGGTGGACAGCTATGCATACGAGTACATGCGAGTGGCTCTGTTCGATGAGCCGGTGAGGGCATGCCATTTTGAAGTGCAAGACACTCGACACTCCCTAGAGTGAGTATCAGTGTATCGACAGTAGATTACTTTGTCTCATAGCTTCTAACCGCCAGAAATGCATCATCAGAGTCTACACCAGATACCGCAAGACCCACATTAATCTCAACAGTACGCTTCACCTCCGGAGCTACTGAGCTGCTCGATCGCACCTGGCTAGCAGAAGTTAGGCTGGATTGGGGATTCCCACACCGGAGGCTCGATAGTCTGGAAAATGCTCACACCTAGGTGGTCGGGACAGATTCTTCTTTCACAGAACCGTCGACTGCCTAGATCTGACGATGCCGTCGATGAGATCGATCTTAGATCTGTGAAGAGCCCTTGGGGTACGGCCTGATTGCACTCTAGTGAAACGCCAATCGCGTTCTCCCCCTTTATCCTGCCACCCCTGGGTATTTGCCATATTCGCTATCCAGGCGTTCGAAGCAGGATGATCTTGCATCTTGTCCAGTTTCAAATCCAGAGCTAACTGCTCCATTGACATCTTCATATCAAACATGTGGCTTGATAAGCTCCACGGCTTGACCACGATCCAGAACGCCATTTTCATTCTCTACCTTTGTCTTGCCACCCCTTCGCGCGCGCGATTCGATTCTCCCTCGCAATGACCATGCCCGGCGCCCGGGGCCAGAAGCAGAATCGTGGATCTCAAGATCTGAGAAGCACGGTTTCGGCGGCGTAAAGTACAGAAGCAAAGAAGTTGAAGTGTAGCCAGTGGAAGCCAGGCGAGGCGTTGCTGACCGATCTTGTTCTTCGCCACCCAAAGGATTATGTCTCCCCTTGGCCACGAAACCCTTTGGGTTGCTATATAAGTCCTGCATCCTCGCTGAAGTACCTCTCTCCACCCTCATTCAACCCGTTACCCGCAATCTCAACTGTTCCCACATGTCATCTCCAGCCCAAATCACCGCTTCCGGGACCAACCCTACCAGCCCCCCTACCGAGACGCCCGCGATCAGCTCCATCCCAGGCTACCGATTCGACCTCACTCGACCTGAAGGGAGCCGGAACGTGCGTACGGAGTCCGATTTCGACTCTCTGCACGGCGCACAAGGCAAGCTCCAGGTCATCTCCTACTTCCCACTGGGATACCGTGGCGAGCCGTCGACTCACTTTGAGAAGAGCTGGGAGGCTGCTGTCCCCGTGGTCAAGAGTTGGCTCGAACACCTGTCGACGAGCTCTATCGGGGCGGAAGACCACAATGCAGGCCTGAACAAGGCTGCAGACACCCTGACAGCGGACGGCCTCTCGGCTCTCACTCCGTTTCTGGAGGCTCAGGCTCCAGCTGGAGATTCAGAGGGGGGAGCCAGAGCTCCAGGTGGTGTCATCGTGATCACCATGGGTGATGAGAGCCGACGTTTTGACCTGAAGATGCACCACACCGATACCGCCACCGGTCTCGCGTCGTACTCGTATAGGTACACCGGAGACACTGCGGCCGAGACACAGACGTCGAAGGCAGACATCCTGATGGTGGCCAGAACTCACGACGGCGAGTCCGAGGGCGCAGCTGGGGCCCTGGCGACAGGCAGCGTGTCCGTCCAGGTGAGGCCGATCTCTGTGGACAGCTCTTCCGGCCTCAGGACCAGGCGTCCCATCACTTTCACCCTGAAGCCCTCAGACCGCCCAGTCTTCAAGCCGTACACGAACAACCAGTTCTCGGGAGGCGGATCCATGTGCGAGGTGACTCTGGCGACTGTCCCAGATGTGAAGCTGTTCGTTGAGGGCGACTGCAAGACCGTTCAGGAAGCTCTCGATCGCGGCGAGGAGGCGACCGTGAGCGCCACAAAGGTCGGCTTTTACCCCGCTCTGACCGCCGAGTCCATGACGAAATTCTTCACGAATCTGCACTCGAAGCACACCGTCCCCATCTCCAAGAAGACACTCCGGTGGGTCAAAGAGAGCGGTCTTGCCGAGCGAGCCGGCTTGAGTGACGGGCTTCCCGAGCTCACAGTGTTTACGGGCAAGCCGAGGAACTTCGTCGATCCTCACAACCCCAAGGAGTGGGCAAACATGTGAGGGATGTTTCTTCAAGAGTTTCGTCGTTTCGTGTCGATTGTTCTACCGTTCCGTACCAGGTCTTCTCATGCTGTGTATAGTCAGGAGTCAGTCGAGTAATGCATACAAGTACATGCGCGCAGGTCAATGCGACCGGGGGACCTCCAGACGACGTATGGGACCGCCGACGAATGTTGCAGATTAGTTTTGCGGAGGTAGTGAGTATGACTGTATCAGTGCATCGACAAGCTCTATAGCAGATCACTTTATGCTCCTCTGACCTCCAGCGCTCTCTCCTCCTCCAGTTGGGCCGCACGCCAGCATTACGTTCCCCCTCCACTCCGCTCGACTGAGATCTTGCGCCTGTTATCCCTCTCCACACTCTCTTCTCCTCCTCTGGGCCCAATAGCCTTATCGCCCTTGGCGATATCCCTCGTGGTGTGCATCTGCGCAAGGTGAGTGAAGGCCGAGTCGAGCTGAAGCTCCTTCATCCCTGCCGCGATCTGTGTGGTCAGCTCTGCCATCACTCAATGTCCCGAGCTCAACACAAGGAATATTGCAAAACTTACGTCGAGATAGTCCTGGAAATCAATCTCGCCCTTCCGCCCAAAGTCCACCTCTCGGAGGATGCCATCGGCGCGATCGGAGGAGGCTTCGTACCCCATGTTCTTCATCGCTTCGAGCAGATCCGCGCGGGTGATCTTCTGGTCGTGGTCCTGCGCTATCAGCCCATATCCTCTAGTATAGAGCGAGACTGAACTCACAAAGTCAAACTGCTCAAACTGCTTGCGGAGGTTCGCGACCTCATCCGGGGTGAACTGGGCGCGGCCGAACAGCTGCGCGTCGGTCTGGCTGAGACCCAGCGGCTGAGTCGACCCGTGGTTCCTGATCACATCTGCAAGCTTGATACCTGCTTGCGCCTACGTTGTCAGTTCTGTCCGGTCTCATGGAAGGGAATGCGAAAGTAAACTCACCTCAGGCAGCCCCATACTTCGCAGGAAGTAAACAGCCTGATCAAACTCCTGCTCCTTGCGCTTCAAGTCCCATCCGAGCTCTTCGCCCATGATGTCCAGAACGCGCGGCAAGGCCTCAAGCGACATCTGGACATTGAGGAACGAAAGTCGAGTTCGGCGTGCGATAAAGTCCACGGCGTTCAGGGCGTACTCGCATCGGACGGCATAGCGGGCTTCGGCCTCGATGTAAGGGTAGGACGGGGAGAGGCGGATCCCGTGGAGTGGCCATGATTGACCTGGGGCTTCAGCTTGGTCCTCATTGTTGCTGGGTGAGATAAGAGCTTGGGTGGACCTTGACGTACCGGTCGGCTTGGCCATACTAGCCACTGTCCACGCCCTGTCTCCATACGACTCGGCCAGGTGCTTTGCGACCTCCATCTCGAGCCCGAATTGCTGGATGAGCTTGATGTACATGGTCTTTGTCCACGCATGGGCGCCGATAAGCTTGATGTGGTCGGTCTGGGACGGGCCATTGACGTATCGGCCGAGGTTGAACTCCTTGATCGCAGCGTCGATCGTCTCCTCTGCCATCGCCCGGCTGGTTCATCAGCACATACCCCTTCCTCTTTCTCGTCCCTTCGGTCACTCACTAGGTAGTCCACTTTCCACCGGCGATAGTCAACAAACCCCCCTCACTCGTATTGATCATGTGGTTCCTGACCAAACTCTCCGTGTTCTTCGCATCCGGATCACGGACCAGCGGCCTGATCCCGCTCCACGCGGAGAGCACATCTCCACGACGGACCTTGACGTCCGGCGAGAGGTAGTTCCGGACTTCGTCGAGAATCCACTGGATCTCCTTCTCTGGCGGGATGGGGTTCTGGGAGACGGTCGTTGGTGAGTCGGTCGTCCCGGCGATGACGTTGCCTTGCCAGGGGAGGAAGAAGATGACTCGGCCGTCAGAGGTCGCGGGGTCGAGGAGACCGAGGTTCTTGGGTCCGTAGTAGTTCTGCCAGTCAGCCTGTCCATGCAGATTTGTAATAGGACTTACGGGAAGGGTAATGTGAACACCGGCGGAAGGAGCAACAATCTCCTGTACGCTCGGCTCATCAAGCTTTCTCAACCCGTCACAGAACGGGCCGGTAGCGTTGATCACACCCTAAATTTATCAGCACAAATCCCCCAAATCGCTAAAGCCGACTCACGCGACACTTGACATCCCACTCTTCACCCGTCATCATATCCTTCAGCCTCGCGCCCACTATCCGCTCCTTACCACCCTTGCTCGGGTCCGCCTTCTTGTGCAACTTGGTCACCTCCGTATGGTTCGCGACAATAGCGCCGTGCTGCACCGCCGTCATCGCCAGTGCGATGTTCATTCGGGAGTCGTTGTGCTGGCCTAGGTTATCAGCTGACTTTTCACCCATTCGGAGGGTCTGAGACAACTGACCGTCATAGTAGACGACACCACCGACAAGGCCGTCCGTCTTCAACATGGGGAAAGCCTCGGCCGCGCCCTTCTTGGACATGATGTAGGATCCCTCCATGTTTTGGCTTCCGGCGAGGATATCGTACAGCTTGGTCCCGGCGAAGAAGTAAGGGAGCTGCCACCATTTGTACACGGGCAAGAGGATACTGCTGGTCAGCGCCCATTCCCACTCGTTGAATCCTATTATAGCTCGTTGATTGTGGGGAGGACATACGGAAGGGGGAAACTGAGATGAGGGGCAGTCTCGAGGAAGATCTTTCGCTCCCTCAATGCCTCCCTGACGAGCTTGTACTGTTCTGCCACGGTCAGCTTTTCAGCCCTCACTGTAGTTGGAGGATGCCGTGACCCACCATAGTCCAGCTCGAAGATCGCCTTTTGCAGATACCGCACACCCCCATGAACCAACTTGGTACTCTTACTACTCGTTCCCGCCGCGAAGTCATCCCTCTCCACGCAAGCCACCTTCAACCCGCGACTCGCAGCGTCCAATGCGGTTCCCGCACCGGTCGCGCCTCCACCGACAATTAACAAGTCAAAGACATCCTCATCGTCCCCGACCTCGTCGATATTCCTGCTCTTCCCACTCTGGGCGGACGGGACGGGTCCCGATTCCGGCCCACCCTCCTCCGTCCGTGTCAGGTAAATACCGGACGTTCGGAGGTGGTCGAGCATCTGTGACCGGGAGGGAGGGGACCATAATGGACCTGGACGGCGGCGAGTGACGGGCGTAGATGACGATTCGGTGAGGAGTGGGGAGGGGCGGAGGGTGTAGTATGCGCCGACGGAGAGCAGGGCGGCGGACGTGCCGAGCGCGATACGCGGCGCGGTCAGGAGGCGGCGGCGATACATGTTGGAATGGGAGGGGGTATGTACAGGAGAGAGGGGGTTTGCGTTGGGTAAGGACGCAAACTCGAACGTGCGTCAAGCGGTCAGAATTGAGGAGAACGGATGGGGGAAATCGATGTGCTCCTTCTGCTTGCGAGGGACTCGATCGGGGCCTCAAAGTGGGTGAGCGAGGATTTGGGCGAGCGAGTCAAGCTGCACCAATCGATGTGCTTGTTGCTATAGGTCTAGCGTGAAAAGTCGAGCCCTCCACCTTGACAATGCGGGGCCACGGATTGAGATGACGCAGTCCAAAGCGGAGCGGCGCTGATTTCGGCGAGGTCGGCGGCGGTGCGGATTTTGTACGGCCAAGTACAGAGTAGTGTCGATTGGAGCTGCGAGAGAGGGAGAGACAAGCGATGTACGAAGATGGATGGGTCAGCAGAGGATCAACAGATCAGATCGACCTCTGAGCGTGAAAGTTGCCTTGGGCCGGAAACGGTCCGCACCGGCCCGGTCCAACCGTCACTCCGGCGCAAAAGTTGGGAATTTCTGTGTCGAAGACTCGAGCCATCCCCAATCGCAGGCGCAGAGTTGGGAATCTTGAACGGACTTCGGATGCTCGGACGGGAGCTCCCTGATCTGACTCAGACTTGACCTCTCGAGCTGGTGACTGGTGGAGTCCCTTCTCCTTCCAATGCCCTTCCAATGCCCATCGGCGGGAGGGGATGGCCTCCTCGGGATCTTCACCTTGAGTTCTGGATGGGCCATCTCGGGACGTTTGGCACTATCCTGTACAAGTACATATGGTCATCTCGACCCATATACGCCGCCATCGCCCCGCCCCTCACAGATCCGCTCTCAGCCTCTGATCTGCCGGCAAAAGAGGTAGTACTAAAAATGAAAAAAAATGGTCGTCCAGGGGGAATCGTATACACCGCCCTTCCCTGCCCCACTCCGATCCTCCCCACTCCACTCCGCTCGTGGCTCGTCATCCCACTACCCCTCCCCCACACCAAACGTCTAGCTGCAGCACCCAGTCTGCTGGTCCTGCGCCTTCTTGTTGAGATCTGCGCTGCGCTTGTCGGCGCCGAGAGTTGTTGGGGCGGCTGCTTCCGGTTGAGAGTCAATCAGACGAGTCTTAATGTCCCTATTGATCAGTCAAAGTACGTGGTAGAGAGCAGATAGAATCTCAGTTCGAGATGATACCGAAGCCAGTCTCCCATATCCTCAATGAGAGGTATCCGCAGGGATCTAGATTGCCCTGCAGATCCTTCATCCGCCAACAGGCTTGATCGCCTGCTCTGCCGCTAGAAGGGTCCTCTTACCCACACCAATCGCCACCCGCACCAAGCTTCACCGAATCACTCAACTCACCTAGCAAGCACAAAGAACGCCTCCTCGACCCCCTCATTCGCCTTCGCACTGGTCTCCAAGAATCGCAGCCCAAACTCATCCGCGAGCTGCTTGCCCTGTTCGAGGGTGACTGAGCGCTTGTCGTTCCAGTCGCACTTGTTGCCAATGAGGATCTTGTTGACGCCTGCTGAGGCGTGTTGCTCAATGTTGGCGTGCCACGTGCGGATGTCTGTGGATTAGCGGGAGGTATTATTGAACGATAGAAGATCCGAGCGGGGAGGGTGATCGAGCTCCCGCTTCCCATCTGGGGAGACGAGATGAATCACACCGCTTCCCCCAACGGAGAAGAATACTCACTCTGGAATGACTTCTCGTCTGTGACGTCGTACACCAAGAGGATACCCATCGCGCCTCGGTAATATGCGGTGGTGATGGTCCGGAAACGTTCTTGGCCGGCGGTATCCCACTAATCAGGTTAGCTTGGGCGCTGTATCATGAATAGGTGTGAACCCACAATCTGCAGCTTGATCCGCTTTCCGTCCATCTCAATTGTCCTGATCTTGCTATCATATATCAGCTTGGCAACCCCTCCTCCCCGACGCGATAGCTCACAAATCAATACCTGCAGCCATCAGCTACCTGGACTGCGACCTATGCTACAAACAGCTGACATACCGATGGTGGTGATGAAGGAAGGTGTCCACGAATCATCGCAGAAACGCAGGAGCAGACATGATTTGCCGACGCCTGAGTAAAGTTAGCACGTCAGTGCTCAGTGCGGCGCTCAGGCATATCGCTGTCGCGCAGACTAACCTGAGTCTCCGATCAGGAGCAGCTTAATGAGGCTACAGAGTCAGTACCCATATCTTGCCCGCTCGAGATGAACGCGTCAGGCTCCACAGTTGCCGCCGAGCCCCGACGCGTCCGTCTTTTGCTCTGACGGGAGCCCTTCGGGACTCACAAGTCGTAGTGAGACGCGGACATTGTGAGGTGCGCGTGAAGCGGGTGGCTGGCTGCGCTATAGGGGCGTGAGGGTGTAGGTAGCTTGCGATGTATATAGATTGTACAGACTGTTGCCACTGTCGCTGCTGTCGTTGTCGGTGTCACTGTCAGGGTCGTTCTCGTCAGATCCGGACAGAGTGGCGCTGCCGCACTAGTGAGAGACAAAGGCGGCGATATCCGGCGATGTATCCGAGTGTGGCACATCCACCAACAGCCAGCTTGCATACAACATGCATACAACAAAGCTTTCATATACTTCACCTCTTATACATCCTCCTAGACTTAGGTATATCAACTGCCAAGGCATCACAGGGCAAGATGTACTCGTCAACATCCACAAGCAGCCCTTTCGCTGCATCGACATCGGCGCAGCCACGCCCGCCACCTTCCTCCACACTCTCCAACCTCCTCGCGCAGGCCAACTCGCTCAACCATGCCGGCGCAAGCGGGGGCGGTTCCTCGGCTGGCGGGATGGGGTCGGATCTCCCGCAGATCCGATTGGGGATTGATGAGATTGAGCGAATGAGTGAGGGGGTTGCAGGGAGAGGCAAGGGCAGGAAGGGACGAAATGGCGAGGGGTATGTCCATCAGCTATCGTCAGGAACACCAATGGGTATGAGCTAATTCTCGTAGGCATACTCTGCTCTCGTCGCTAGGTGTCAACACATCGCAGCTGAACCATTCTATCGCTCAGCTCCCGTCGTCCGAATCTCAAGCTGGCGACTTTCAGCGTCCCAAACGCCGGCGTCGGCCCGCTGCTGGCGCTGCCCAAGGTCCCGGAGGTTCCCGCATAGACCCTCTGGGCCACTCGACCACCGGCTATGGTGCGAGCGAGAGCGACATGCACGCGTGGGGGCGAAACTGGCACGAGATGGTCATTCTGAGCGGGATTGAAGCGCAGAGGCAGAAGGTGAGCTATGCGCTGTGATAGTAGGTATCGCACGAGCTGAAACTTCAGACTATCAAGTCTTTCCAGACTCAGTTCCAACAGCGGATGCTCCAGAATTGGGAGGATGAGAAGGCGCGGGTACTGCAGGATGAGCTGGGCGTGACGGATGATGAGATTTCGACATTGGCCAGCTCTTCTTCAGGAGCTCTGGGACAGTCGGGACTGGGCAGGAGCACTCTGGGATCAAGTACCAGACGGGTAAGCTTCGTCCAATGCTCTGACGGATGGAGATCGAGCTGACCTTGTAGTTCCCCATGGCACAATCAACCAGCAAAGCCGGCGGAAGCGCCGAGAACAAGGAAGGCGGACTCGTCATGCACACCAAGATGCTGCGGTATGAGCGCGTCATCCAGGACCTCAACCAGAAGAGGATCGCCAAGCAGCCTATGGAGCTGTGTCAGGCTTTGGAAGACACAGTCAAGGGAGATGCTGTACGTGATGGGTTCCGAACTCCGGTGGGAGTATGGCTGACGATCAGAAACACCCAACCCTCCCTGTCGCCTACCACATCCTCGCTCATCTCGTTCAAGAGCCGTCCCTCCGCGATGCTTCCAATGGACAGCAGCCTGAGCCGGTGCAGGAGAGGCAGTATGCCCAGGCGTATTTGGGAGATCAAAGGGGAAACCAGGCAAAGATGCTCAGGGAGAGATTGACCCTTGGCGGAAGGCGATTCCTGGAGCGAGAGTAAGCTATATCTCCAATAGTATGGAACTCGCAGCTCACTCAGCAGTTTCGAGAACCATATCGACGAAACGATCGCCAAGCATCCCAAAGAAGCTTCCCTCGGCGGTGTCCCCGGGATCCGAAACAAGGTCCGCGCGTACACCGACGTCACCCTCCGCTCCAAGGACGCGCAGGATCTCTTCAAGCCTGAGAGCGTCGACGGGATCTACCTCTGGGCGCAATTATACCATCTCCTCCGGTGTGGCTACGCTACAGAAGCGACGGCTCTGCTGTCAGACCACCAGAACGCTTTGAAGCGAGACGACTATTCTTTCCCCGGCGCACTTCGGACGTGCCTTACTTCGCCGGACCGCCGACTGCCCCGCGTGCAGCGAGACCAGCTGTCCAACGACTTCAACTCGACCATCCGGAACAACGCTACGGTCGATCAGTACAAGTATGCCCTGTACAAGCTTGTCGGCCGGTTTGAGCTGTCGCGCAAGACGATGAAGGTGGCGAGTACGACGGAGGACTGGATGTGGGTCCAGCTGAGCCTTGTGAGGGAGGGCGGAGCGGGCGAGGGGCCGCAGGAGCAGTACGATCTGGCGGATCTGGGCAGGATGGTGCTCAAGTATGGAGCGGACAAGTTTGATGAGGGCGGCAAGAGGCCTTTTGTCTGGTTTGACCTGTTGCTGTACACGGGGCAGTTTGAGCGGGTAAGTCAAGGTCAAGTGGTTCCCGCAAGGCATCATGCTGATTCCAAGGCTGTCGCGTACCTTTGGTCCAAGCAGGCCCTGCGATCCGATGCCGTCCACTTTGGTATCGCCCTAGCATATTACGGCCTCCTCCGCGTTCCCTCCAAGACCGACGCCACTGAACTTCGTAAGCTAGCGAAACCCCTCTCCACTCAGTGGGCATCCAGCTGATTCGATAGTCATTACCGAAGAAACACCCTTTGGTGAGACGACCTACCTCAACTTTTACCGGATGATCAAGACCTACATTGCGCCCTTCTTCAAGGTCGAGCCGCAGTCGGCTCTGCAGTATGCGTACCTCGTTGCGCTCGGCGCGGATGCTCCTGGAGAGACCGGGCAGAGGCAGAAGGTGTTGGCGTTGGAGCTGGTCAGGGATGTTGTGTTGGCCAGTAGGGCATGGGGAAGGTTGTTGGGGAGTGTCAAGGCGGATGGGAGCAAGACTGTGCGTACAGCTTACCGCTTCATCTTGGACGTATGAGCTGATGTATCCAGGTCGGCCTGATTGAGCGCGACCTGAAGCTGCTCAAGCTTACCGATGAGCGCGAGTATGTCCAAGCCGTCATCCTCTCGGCGGCGGACCAGTCCTCGCTCGATGCCTCCCTCGTCGACTCCATCGAGCTCTATCACCTCGCCGGATCCTACGACCGCGTCGTCGATTCCGTCAACCGCGCTCTGGGTCACTCGCTCGCCCAGCCCAACGCCAACCTTTCGAGCATCGCCGGCGGCCAATCCCTCGGTCTCAGCGGTGCCTTTGGCGGTGCTGATGACGTATATGAGCTGGCGCAGCGGGTGCAGCAGGTATATGACCGGGATGTCGCACGGCGGAACAAGGTCCGTCGGGACGCGTGGGAGACGTTGGAGGTGTTGTTGAAGTTGAAGCGGGGGATGAAGGAGTTTGCGGCGGATCGGCCGGACTTGGCTCTCGAAGTGAGTACTTTGAGCCCTTGTTGGAAACCCGCTGATGGTAGACCTTCCGATCGACCAACCTCCTCCCCCTCTCCCCAACCCCCGATCCCTCCTCCATCCCACGGCACGCCCAACGCTTCACCCAACTCCTCGACCAGCCCGTCATTTCAAACCTCGACGACGTGATCGTGACGACCATGAAGTGTCTCCATCGGCTCTCGCAGGCCCTCAAGCAGAGCCCGTATGGCGACCAGGGGCGTATGGGGGAATTGGCGGCGTACAAGCAGCAAGCGCAGGGGTTGATCCAGTTTGCGGGGGGGCTAAGATTGAGGTTGGGCGGGGATGTGTATAGGCAGTTGAGCAGCATGAGTGAGTGTTTCTCCAGTACCAAGGGGGAGGGAAAGAGGATGAGGATAATGCTGATGGAACAGGTGCTTTCTTTTGAGCAAAAATCATAAGCGTAGACGAGCACGAGGAGTATCTACAATTCGATTTATGACATGAATGTCGGTGGTGCTGAATCTTTCATCAGAGCTGTATATGCTCACAAGACCCTAAAGTGGTCGCGCTCATACTCATCATACTTCATGCCGAATTAGCCAAGCCAAATGTACGCGTACTGACCACTGTCTCGGATCCTACAAAAATTATTGTCCCCTCTTCCCCTACCACCTTCCAATGTTCGCCGTTGCGTTTCAGCTCGATTCTCACCCTCCCTCTCCCTCTCCGGCACCTCCACTGTGTCCGCCTACTGCTCCAACGGCAGCGTGGACGTTGTGGGAGCATCGTGTCGTTGCTAATGTGGCGGTAGGAGGAAAGACACGGGGGGTGTGAAGCGAGACGAAAGAACAATAGATCAGGGAACCGAGACGAAGGTGAGGAGGGCATGGTGGGCACGGACAAGGCTTGAGGAGCACGCACCGAGAACATGAAGTCAGCCAGGCGTTTCGCATTGATCGCGCGCCGACGAAGCTAAAAGAGTCTATCGCCGTATTGGGCAGGTCAGCATGAGCGCGACGTGTACTGGGCGATGAGATATTCAAGTAGCCAGCATTCGTCCCTGTCCAGGTGTGTCATTTCCCCCTTCCCTAGAGTATCTCGTACCAGTCGGCCGCATCCCGGTCACTTTACCCTCGATCTTGATTGTAGCTTCGTCCTTGGTATTTGTGATTCTATATACAAATTTGCATAGTGGTTATGTACAATACATGAGAGACTTGATCGTTACTGTCGTATCTTCGAAAACTATAAACGCTTCCTAGCCAATCATACACATAATCTGCGCATCTTACTACTCAACCTTTCCTTTCCCTTGCTCAGCCCCCATCTCGGCCCATTCCCGCCGCCTTCCGGCCAAATCAATAACCCCTCCAAGACCTCCGCCCCCTACTCGACCGGAAGCCATCCGCACGCCGGGCATGCTGGACAATCGGCGATGTAGTGAATACCGAGCCGGTCGTCCGGGTGGAGCACTTTGGTCTCGACGTCCGTCTTGAACAACTCTGTCCCCAACGCGTCCTCTAGCTTCTGCGCCGCCGCCCGCCGCTTGTTCGCCGTCTTCTCCTTGGCGCTCGCCCCCCGAGGATTGGTCACCTTGTCGCCCTGTAAGAGTATTATAGCGGTAGCGTCGTTGACGGGGATGTAGGCGTCGATGGTAAAGGGCAGAAGGGGGAAGTCTGCCGGCTGGGGATGAGCGTCACGCTTGTCATGACGAGCGCCGAGACCGCCGACGACAGCGAGGAAGATGGACTTGGCGAATAACGGCCGATCGTCGAAATCGAGGAAGGGGATCTTGTTACCGTCCGAGCGAGTCCGACGCGGGTTGTCCAGACACCACCGAACGTCGACGCCAGGAAGGCAAGACGAGGACGAGCACAGGCTCTCGTAGACAGCAGCGTTCTTGTACGCCTTGAGATTGACGTGAATAGTGATTGTGCGGATGGTTGGCGTAACGGTGGGGCTCGAGGCGGGACCCGATGGAGGTGCTGGGGGTCGGAAGCTTTCCAGCTCGCGGGGATGGATGCTGAGTGGGGAGAGATTGCCAGATTGGCAAAAGTGGGTCACTTTGCCGCTGAGTAGCATCTGGGAGTAGACCTTTTGGATGTCGCCAACGTGGGACATGTAGCTGAGGATACCCCCGAAATTGGTGGTCCAGCCCTCCTCGAACGTTCCGAAGAAGGTACCGGTCGAGAGGCTCCGGAGCTCTGGCATGGAATGCTGAAGTTGTGTGGTGGGGTCGGCGGCGAAGATCATCTCCGAGTCGATGAGACTAGCGAGTGCTGGATGGGTGCAAAAGTAGCCCAGCTGATGGTCGAACATGTCTTGGATAGAGTTGCCGCTGCGAGGAGGGGCGGGCCACCGATAGGTCATCATGTGTGAATGGTGCGCTTCCAAGAGCTCACGTTCCGGGTATTCGAGGTAGAGACACCGTATAAGAAGGAGGAGCTCTCGCTTGGAGGGGATACCGGGTGCGACGGGGTTTGGTGACTTGTAATTGACGTATAGACCGGCGATATCGTCGGTGATGATGGTATGATACAGGGCGGACGCCACGGCGTTATTGAGCAGCTGAAGATCAGCTCAATCTCAAAGTGTAGTACGCACACCGCCATTCTAGACAGAAGAGACTGTACCCACTTTGGAGACCGTCATCAAATTGACAAGATCAACTTGCCGGACCTCCCTCCTCTCCTTGACGCGCCTCGGCTGCGGGACCGGCTGACGAACATAGCACCCAACGAGCGTCCAGACCTCCTTGGGAAGCTGCGGGAGTGGCATGTTGGTGGAGTATGTTTGGTGGTCGGGGAGCTGGTCGTGTGGGTTCAAATAAGGCGGAAGAGAGGAGAGGACGCGAACGAGAAAGCTGAGTCAACCGACGCGCCGGATGATCACGTGATCTCGAGGAATGAGTCGCGGTTCGGCTGAGACATGACGTTCGGATTCGCCTCTGGCTGCAGCAGGGGCGAGATCATCGCGCTGGCCTCAGCAAGCACACCCAGATAGCCGGCTCCAGATGTGCCATTGTGAGCGTAGACAGTCGAGACGCTTGCACGGTGTACGATGGTGCGGGGTCGGTCATGGCGCCGCCCAAACTGAGCGTTCAGGTTCCATCCGCACTGCCGCAGATACAATGCCCGCTCTGACAGCGGTGCCGGAGGTGGTGAGTGCGACCCATAGCTTCGGCTCGAGCGTAGTGGACTGATCCACGGCCACGTAAAACATACGGGCTATCTGAGGCTCCACCTTGGCTCGGCCACGCCAGTCGACTCGGTATACGACGGTTGCTCCGGAACGTTTATAGCTATGTACAGTGCATGAAGTGCTCTGATAAATATCTACGGAAACATTTGCTATCCGCTCCATTCCCTGCGCCAGGCCAGCCCAACGTAGTCGAGAAGCGCTCAGGATCCATCCCGCCTTCCCCTTTCAATCTTGCCTACAGTGCTCCACCTCCTTTCCAGCTTGCCTATGCCCGCCCCCCTTTATCCGCCCTCGAGCCGCCTACTCCCTCGGAAGCCATCCGCACGACGGACAGGCCGGACAATCTCCGATATAGTGGATGCCGAGCCGGTCGTCCGGGTGCAACACCTTCTTCTCCAACCCCCTTTGGAAGATGTCCTTGTTGAGCACGTCCCCAACCGCTGCGCCACCGCCCGCTTCTTTGATTTTGCCTTCTCCTCCGGCACCAGAACCCAGGGACTGGGGACCTTGGCTCCTCGCAAGATGATCGCCGCCGCCGGGGGTTCGATGGGGATGTATGCGTCGGCGGTGATGGGGATGCGGGTAAAGGTGGCCGGGGAAGGGCTGGCGTCACGCTGATCGTGCCGATTAGCCATGCCGCCGAGCATGGAGCGGTAGACAGCGTATGCGAAGGCGGGTCGCTCTGGGTAGCCGAGGAAGGGAGTGACCTCGCCCGCTGGTTTCGGCCGCCGGGGGTTGTTGAAGCACCACCTGATGCGCACACCTGATGGACAGAGGCATGTGTTGAAAAGATCGTCGTAGTCCGAGCCCTCCCAGTCTCTGAGATCTGCGTGTAAGGTGACGGTGCGCCCGTTGACGACTGATGTGCTGGCCGAGGCGGATTGGGATCTAGGCTTGTACAGATACAGCTCGACGGGATGGAGATTGATGGGAGCCATGGTGCTGGTCTGGCAGAAATGCCTGACCTTCCCCTCCAGGAACATCCGGGTGTAGATGCGCTGAACCTCCGCCATCCGCCGTAACACGCGCTCGATGCAATCGCCCGAGCCGGCGAAATTACTGCTACGCCAGCCCTCCTCGTCTGTCCCGAAGAAGGCGCCGGCGCCGAGCGTGTGCAGCTCGGGCATCGAATGCTGGAGCTGAGTCGACGGGTCCGACGCGAAAAGCGCCTCCGAGTCAACGAGACTAGCAATAGCCGGGTGGATGGCGGGGTAACCGATATCACCTCCGACCGCCGCGCGGGAGCCGCTCTCCTTGGTTTGCGGGGGTTGGTATTGGAGATGATGTTGGACCTGTGCTTCCGTAGGGGCTCGCACGGGATATTCAAGGTAGAGGGATCGGGTAAGCCGGAGGAGCTCTCGCTTGGAATGGATTCCAGGCGCGGCGAGGCGGGGGGACTTGAAGTTGCGGAACAACCCGGCGAGATCGTCCGTGATGACGCAGTTGTACAGCGCCGGGGCGACCGCGTTGTTGAAAAGCTGGGAGTCAACTATGATCCTCAGGTGCAGAGTAAGAGCGATCTCTCATGCGGGTAGCAATCACAACATACCTTGGAGACTACCATCATGTTGACCAGATCAACCTGCCTGACCGCCTTCCGATTCCGCACGTTCCTAGGCTGGGGGAAGGGTTGACGGACGTGCTCCGCAACCACCGTCCAGATCTCCTTGTATAACTCGGGAAGCGGCATCTTGGTCGTGATTGGGGTGTAGTAGGTGAGAAGAGGAAGAGCAGAGATGCATCGGTGAGCGGTATTAAAAATGGATTGGCGAGCTGGGACCCTCCTTTGGACGCGCGATGTTGTGTGACCGCGTGGAAAAGAGGGTGGCGAAAGGACAAGGAATGAGGCGCGTGCTTCAGAGACATGACGTCAAATGGATGTTTCGGATTCGTACACGAATGCGGGGAGCGAGCACAATGAGTCCAGATCCACTCCTGGTAACATGAGGTGATAGTCCGATAATCAGGAGTCGCAGATACATCCGCGAAGCACCCACTACTTTAAGCGTTCACCTCCCTCGGCTTGTCCTCCCCCACAATCTCAAATTCCTTCCTCTCCGGCTCATTATCACCCATCACCAGACCATCATCCACCTCCGGTGCCTGTCCAGCCTCTGCATCCGCCACCTCCGCCGCGCCTTCATCTCCGCCAGCCTGAACCCGGTCTACTTCCATCCCGGTCCCTTCCGCGCCCACATCGGCACTTGCCGCCGCCTCGCCATGTACCATCTCCACGCCTCCGACCCCTGCGAGATCGCCCGCGCCCATCTCGGTCGTGTGCCGTGCGGTGTTGTGGATTTCGATGGCGTTGGCAGGGATGGGATGGCTGATGGGGAGTGTCGCTTCGTGAGGTGTAGTTTCCGTAGCGACAGCGGTGGGATCTTCGAGCATAGGAGGTTGGGAGGGGGAGATAGTGTCAATAGCCGGGAGTGCCTCACTTTGCGCCGCTGCCGGTATGGAAGGCGCCGCGAACGTGTCGACCGGAGAGTCGAGCGAGATCACCGCTCCCGCCCCGCCGACTGAGCTTGGAACCGCTGCGACATCCGCCGGGGCTGGGACCGTCGCAGGCTCGCTCGGTGCCGGGGCGTCCGCCGGAACGGGTACAGCTGCCGTGGATGGAGTGACCACACCCTCGGCGCTGATCGTTGCTCCTCCTCCCGGAGCTTCCGCGTCGACGACGACGTCCTCCCCGTCTGCTTCCCCTTCTGCCTCCCCCTCCGCCTCGGCCTCGGCCTCGCCTTCATCCCCATCTTCGCCTTCCTCCATGTCTTCATCCTCATCAGGTGCAGGCGAGCCGTCCTCGGCGGTAGTGTCGACGCGGACCCACTTGCAGATCTACAAGTATCAGCCATTTCCCGAGATTACACACCGGGGCAACGCAAGGGGCCTCACTTTGTAGCTTGACTCGGGCTGCAATCCCGTTGGCGAGATCCACGCTTTCTTCCACTTGTGTACACTGGTCCGAGTCAGCTATCACCCTTTCTCGCGGAAGTTTGAAGAGCTCATGTAAGCTTACGGTGCACTGAGCTGCCTCTGATACGCTTCAGAGCTATTCCCTCCAAATCGACCTCCGGCACGTCGAGCTGTATGTTCAGCCTCTCTCCGGCCGGGAACTTGGATTCGACTTACACATCACGCACTATGGTCTAAACAATGTGACTCTCGCTGTGACTGAGCGTGTACTGAGCACTGGGTGCTGATCTACTGTGATGAGGGCGAGGATGAAGTACAATGTATACTCCGAGCAGGCCGTCGCGGGCGTGCTTTCCAGGTGTTCAAACAATTTACATAATGTCGCGTCGCGCCTTTGTTTTGACTTTCTCCAGCAGCAGCTGTGATGCAGAAGGGGCTACACCGAGCAGGGTGTCACAGTACTGTATCTACATCGAGTGGACGCGGGGATGCCGCTCTGAAGAATCAGAGGTCGCTGAGCCATACCCCACCGGTACCGCCATGAAGCGGTCCTGATCCCTACGTCGGACATCCCAAGCACCACAGCTTCAAGTCCTACCCTTCGCACGCCAGCTGGCTACCCCATGGAAGGCCGACCTGGTGCCGGGCGCTACTAGAGCCCAGCAGCAGGACGAGCGAATAAGGGAGGAAAGGAGACGAAGATCGTCCCCCTGGTCGTCGGTCGAGCGGTATGCATCAGTACCGACTTGCTTATGCTGAGACGATAAGTAGCTTATCCCTCCAACGAAAAACCCCGCAGCTTTTCGGTGATTCATTCGGTGCATGGAATCCTATCTCAAGATCTGTCGTCTTCAAATGACTCGCCGCCTAGAATGCTGCATCGTCAGTTTGACTCCCTCATCATGTGCAAATATAAGCTCACCTTCCTCAGCCATCCATCCGCCATCAATCAAGATCTCCGATCCCGTCATATACGCATTCTACCTTGTCAGCTTCATTGCTTCCGACACGCCTTGGTCACAAAAGCAGCAACGAACCGAGACGACCATCAACATCAACTGAGCATAGTCTCTCGCTGTTCCGACTTTGCCGAATGGGATCCCGTAGCCCTCGTGCGAGCGGTAGAATTTGGCTTCTTCCTCGGGCGACTTGGTGCCGATCTCCTTGACTGACATGCCCTTGTTCCGTTAGCCCACATCAGACAGGTCGACCGATAGATGGCAGGACGTACAGATGGGAAGTACCCTGGGCAGATAGCGTTCACTCGGATGTTCAAGTTTCGCCTGGCGAATTCCGTAGAGAGCATCTTTGATAATTGCATGGTTGCGGCCCTTGGTAGATCAGCTTCTTCCCTCTTTTCAGACGAATGTATGAGAGGAGAGCTCACTTTGCAGAGTTATAGTTGAATTGTCCACGCTGCGAGGTCTTGCACATCCCGCTGAGACTGGCAATGTTGACGACGTTACCGTTCTCGGGGAACTTGCCAACTGTCGTAGCTGCCGCGAGGAGGGGGAGAAAGGCGAACGTAAGGAAGTGGTAGGATGTGACGTTGATCCGGTGAGTCTCGTGCCTGATACACATCAGTGTCTGTGGCCGTCTTCAATCATCCTAGCCCTAGTCCAGCATGCACATCACGATGAGACGGTGACTTACCAGACGTCAAAGTCCTCGTTGTCGAACATCTGCTTCGAGAGCCCCTCAGCCGTCTGCTCGCACGCGTTGATATCAGGCTTGGGCAGCGAGACACCGTGGTCTATGTTGTCAGCTTGAGCGATTCTGCGCATAATACGCGCTATCCAGCTGGACATACTGTTCACGAGGATATTGACCCATTTCTCCTTCTTCATCACTTCTTCCCTCAGCTCTGGACTCGTCAGCTACGGCCCATCATCAAGTGCCGCCCCGCCAGTAGTAGATACACACTCTTGATGCCCTCCTTGTTCGATACATCCGCTTGAACAGGGATGATCTCGCCTACGCCAACATCCCGCGCTGCGACCTGCAAGGGCTCCAGTCGCCGACCAGAGATGTACACCTTGGCCCCGTTCGCAGCGAGGGCGGTGGCTGTAACAAGACCAAGTCCGGTTCCTCCTCCAGTGACTATTCAGATTAGCTATATCTCTCGTGAGTATATAGTCGGTGTCTGGAGGGTCGAAGCACAGAGCTGGTACGGAGACGTACCGATAGCGACCTGGCCTTTCAGATCGTACAGCTTCGAGGCGTTCAGAGCCTCGGGGCCGCCAATGGCGTCAAACATGGCAGTAGCGGACATGTCGAATGAGTGGCTCTTTTTGATTGATTAGGTGAGGCGCAAGGGGGTGGGTGATGAGGACGTAGAGAGGTAGAGGAGCTGTGAGAGAGCTTCCAAAAAGTCGTTGCGGCAGTTGGCCGCTAAAACGTCCGATAATCGCCCGCCTCCGTCGGAACCCGGAGAGATAGCGAAATGGCCGGAACAATACATCGGACGAGGAATGCGGAGCAGGCCATGGGCAGAGGCGAGGTCAGCCCAGGTCACAGAGCTGGCCTGTGCGCTTGAGCGCTTCAAAATCCAGGTGAGGCTTTGAGGCAGATGCGAGGTATGACATGATCTGACAAGACCTGACAAAAAGGGTTATAAGGACTACAGCAAGAGCTTGCGACAAGCGACGACGACTACCGAATGTGCCAGGACCGATCTCCTCGAGCCCTCCCACTTCACAACGCCAGGTCCTCCGGTATCTCCAGCTCCTCCTTCCACGCCGCAACCTCCCCCTCCTTGCCCACATACCGCCACGCATCAAAACGATGATTCAGATCCTTCCTCCCATGCACTCCGAAAGCGCTCTCAAACCCGCCCGCCCTCTTTCTGGGGAAGATATAAAAAACCTCCCGCACCCGACTATGCAATAACGCCATGCAGCACATGACACACGGTTCGTGCGTGATGAACAGCGTCAAGCTCGTCAAGAGGTAATCTGCCCCGTTCCGGGTAGGTTGCATCTCGGAGAATGGCGGTTGGGTCCGGAGGGTCGCGATCTGGCGTATACAGTTGAGGGCCGCGTGTTTGAGGGGATGGGAGGCGGTATTACGGGTATCGGTGGCGCTCGCGCGGAGGAAGGGGGTGGGAGGGATGAAGGCGTCGGTTTGTGGCCAGATGCTTTCCGGTGGGGAGATGACGAATGTTCCGACGGGAACCTCGCCGGCCGCCTTGGCATCGCGCGCGATGGAGATGATGCGCTGGATCCCGGCGTGGACCCATGCCTTGCGCGCGATGGGCCAAGAGGACGAATCCGAGATCTTGAGGGTACCGGCCGCATATGAGACGGGCCAGATGGGGGATTTGACCAGGAGTTGTTCGGCGGACCGGGCGGCCGAGGCGGGGACGGACCGGCGGAAGGGCTGGATATCAAGTAGGGAGGGATGGTATCCAGACAGTGCGGTCTGAAGGGCGGGAAGGGTGGAGTCGTACGTCGCGCAGAGAGCGATGAGGGTGGTAGGTTCCCCTGTATCCGGATGTTCACGCCGAGCGACGCGCTTGAGGTGACGCATCCGATGGTCGATAGGACACCGCTCCTTGGCAAAGTCAAGCACGAGGCGGGTGAGCTTGGAGTCGTCCACGCTGACGACCCAAACATCCAGCATCCCCTCGTCCTCGGCATCCTCCTCCAGCTCCGCAGGTCCCTTGACCCGCAACACCTCCGACCAGCCTGGTATCTCCGGCTCTGTCCCGCCTTTCCTGACGACCCAGTCTTCTTCCCGCCAGTCCAGCTCGGGACACAGTACGGCCGGTACAGTACTGACGGGCCGACTAGGGCCGGAATGAAGCGGGGCGGGCATGTCCAGCGGCCGCCGATCTGGTAGGGTCGGGTAGACAGCATAGCTGGAGGATGAAGCCGAGGAGAGGCTACCGGTGTCTGACCGAGAGGGTGACCGGGACCCTTCCTGCCCCAGAGACTCCGTCTCATCCGACAACGTCTTGCGACCACTTCGCCCATCCCCCTCCTTCTCCTTGCCTAACGCCTTCCCGAGCCCAGACAGCCTGATCTCCTCCTTCCGCGCCAGGCGCCGCTTGGCCTTCTCCTCCCTTGCGGCTATCTCTGCCGAGTCGAGCAGATCGTCCGACTCGACGCTGGGGAAGTTGTTGACCGGCGGTGGAGACGGTGGGACCTCTGAGGCCCCAGCACCTGCTTGTCCGCTAGGAGTAAACCAGAGCTTGGACTCGTCCGCCGAGTAGCAGATGCAAAGCTCCTCGTTCGGCTGGATTGTACGAGCTGCGACGAAGCGGATCGTGGAAGTTGCTGGTTGGCGGATGAAGTTGACGTTGGGCCGAGGGGAGTGGTTGAACAGCGAGGCTGCAAGTGTCAGCTTCACTCAGAAAAGTATGATATTTCAACCTACCCAGTCCTAGTCCTATAGCTTGTCCTCCACCACTCCAGCAGAACCCATACTCCCCAAAGATAGTCTTCTGCATATCGCCTCGCTCCCACTGCTCCGCCGAGATGAGCAAGACGGGCGACTCCTCGATGAGCGTCCCAGCAGAAATAAGGGTGGACGTGAAAACACCGTTCCCTCGTCCAGGCTGCGAGCGAAGATGTAGTCCGAGAGGATTGATAGCGTGCCGTTCGACGCTTGAGTCGACATCGGTCGAATCCTCGCGAGAGGATGAGCTCGTCGCCTGGCCGTTCATCTCATTGGCGATCCCTCCTTCCGCGCCAGTCTTCTCTCCCAGTCTCCCGTCCTGAGCCTCCTGAGAGCCTCCCTCCGTCCCATCGCCGACGCCACCTCCGAGCTGCTCGATATCCCTCGTTCCCTTCGTAGTAGTACCGCCCCAGGTAGATGTGCTAGTACCGCTACCATCTCGCTCGAGCATTAACTTTTTTTGGCTTGGGCGAAGGTGACGATATGGGAGGCAGATGCGGGGAAAAGCACCTGTCTTATAGGTAGTATACGGACTGTGTACAAGAATAAGGATATGAGAGTATTGAGTCGGTCAAATTTGGTTCTTGCACCAGCTGTAGCGACTGAGGAATGAGGATGCTGGCGGGACTGGTACCTGATGATAAAGCCACGTCATCCCTCTTGACCCCACCCAAACCTAAACTTAACCTGTTCCGGCGCCATGGTCAATGTCGTCACCGACAGCAGCGACAAGTTCATCTCTTCCAGCTATCACTATATCACCCACAGCGACAGCACCACGCCCCTCCCACAGTCCCCTATCATCTACCAGCCATGTCTGAATTCCCACTAGGCATCGCTATCCCTCAGCGCGGCCCCTCCCCTTCCAACCCCTCCATCGCTGCCAGTCCCGCATCCTTCTCTCGGCCCCCTGCTCTGACCCCCTCCTCCCAGTCCTCCAATCCCTTCGACAACTTCAGTGTCCCCTCTATCCCACCCCGACTCTCCCGCGTCGGCCGGCGGATATCCGAGATGGGCATGAGCGTCCTCGTCGGCCCAGACTACGAGGACGAGCCACCCCCTCCGCGTCGAGAAGCGCCTGTGCGCGCAGCCGAAGTGCCGGGCATGGGCGACGAGCCGATCATGTGTCCATTCTGCAACAAGCCATTACCGCCTGCCTTTATCCTTACGCAGATGGCGCATACACACGCCAGCTCGCAAGAGAAGAAGCGGACGCAGGATACACTCTCCCGCAAGTCATCGGTGTCGAGTCGGCGGCCGTCGGAGATGGGGCGGTCAGCTTCGGGATCAGGCGCGGCGCCGATGGGTATGACGAGGGTACCGGAGGGGTCTAGGGCGGAGTCGGTCGCGATGTCTGCGACGGCGAGTGCGCCAAGCTCGGTCGTTCAGGCACGGCGAGCGGCGAGTAGCGGGACTACCACCCCGCCCAGCGGTATAGCGCTCTCGGCGGCCAAGTCCACTCCGGACCTCAGCAAGACGGATGCGCTACTGGAATCTACTCGGCCTAAGCCCGGGGAGGTCCTACCAAAAGCCACCGCCGAGTCGTTACTCCCTACCGTCAAGTCTGCCGAGACCGCCGATATCGCCGGGGCATCGTCCCTGATCTCGCCGGAAGACGTGCGCAAGTGGTCAACACTCGCAGGTATCGACATATCCACATCTAGTGGAACTTCCACCCCCAAGAAAGCCGAGAAGGCTATTCCGGCTCTGCCTCCACCACCTCCCCCTTCGTCCACGGTCGCAGAGAGGATGAAGCAGTCAGAACGGCCTACGTCTGGGAGCAAATTCGGCGGGATCTTCGGGCGGGGAACGAGTAAGGCGAAAGATGAGGATAGTGATGATGAAGAGGACGGAAGCTATGGGGCGGCCGGATATGCCAAGCTCAACGGGCCACCGAGCCCAGACAGGGACGAGGCACCTTCTTGGAGGGATAAGGCGCGAAGGGATGTACCAGGTCGGATGACCCAGTCCCCCGCAGGCCTGTCGAGAGATCCCTCTGTCGAACCGGCAAGGGTGGCGGCGAAGGACAAGGTCGCGTCAGATGAGGAGTTGAGGAAGTTACTGGTAGAGGTGCTCGGAAAGGTCGACTCTATGGTATGTTACTCAGCTCGCAGGCTCTCACTTTTGGCTTTGGCTGACGTTTCAGTCCAAGAGCCATGAGGATTTACTGCACTCGCATACCACCCTCCTCACCTCGCTCAAGATCGCCCGGTCCAACCTGGCAATGGCGGAGGCCAACTCGGAAATGCTCGAAGAGCAGCTGAAGCGCGCTCCTCCCCCACCGTCCACACGACCTCCAAATCAGCCACAAGCCAGTACACGGCCTTCCACGCCGTCCAATGCCCCCGCCACTGCCCCCGTCCCCTCCCGCTCCTCTTCTTCCATTCCCACCATCAACATTCCGGCAAGAAAGTCTCTGGACGAACCTCGTCCTCTCCAGCCCATGGCGCCTCGCCGATCCGAGGAGACTCGTCGTGCTCGGCCCACATCCATGATGATGCCCCCTCCCAACGCGTACAACTCGGGCCCGTCCACCGGTCCCGCATCCAGCACGTCGCAGAAGGAGTCCAAGGGAATGTTTGGCTTCCTCGGGGGCGGAAAGACCAAGGTGCCCGGCCTGGGAACGATCGTCATCCCCTCTGCCAAGGAGCTTCAAGCCTCGGCGGTACGGTTCGGTGACTCCATCGCTGGACCGAACAGTCGACCGGGAACACCTTCGCGCGAAGCTGGGCAGTTCTTCGACTACCACGTGCCCTCCCAGTATGCCCCGGTACAGAATGAGAACCGGTCAACTCGGTCCGTCTCGGGCGACTCAATCTCGCGGGTCCCGAGTCCCATCTCGTCGGCGAATACAGCTGCTCCACCCGCTTCGTCCCCGCTCTCGGGCTCGTCCCTCCAATCTCCGCCTACGGTCCGACCCCAGCCGCTTCCTCCTGCTCTGACGGCGGAGCTCGCCAAATTGCGTACGGCATACACTACCTCGCAGACCCGGATGGAGGCGATGAACAAGGAGCTCACCGAGCTCAAGAAGGGCAAGTTGGAGATGGAGGCGGAGCTGGAGTCACTCAGTCAGGCGTTGTTTGAGGAGGCCAACAAGATGGTCTCGGAGGAGCGGAAACGTCGGGCAGAGGTGGAAGAGTCGCTCAAGGAAGTCAAGGAGGAACGAGAAGCTCTTAGAGAGACCATCAAGGTCTTGGGTGGGCAGGCTGAGAGTGTAGTAGATGAGGATGAGAGCAAGGAGGCGGGCGAAACCGTCGAGCACGAGGACGAGGAGGAAGAGAAGAAGGGCGATGATTGGCGCCCGAGGGATCTGGACAAGCATTACGAGGCGCTCAGGAAGACGATCCATCATGTCGCGGATGGAACGGCGCCTACTACCGCGTTTGAGGACGCGGTGGCTGGTCCGAGTGGTACGAGTGCACGGGGGAGTACCGATACGGAGGCGTCGGATGCGCCGACGGGCAGGAAGGTCAGCTCGGGGATGGGGGCGGAAGCGAATCCTTGGGCGGAGATGAACTTTGGAGCGGTCATTCCTCCCGGAGCGGGGATGAGTGCGCGGGAGAGGGATGATGTGGATCCGTTGGCGAAGATGACGGCCGACGGGTCGGGCATTAGGGCTGGCGCGGCGGACGAGCTGGCCAGGGGTGGGTAGAGTGTGGAGCTGGAGGGGACATTTCTTTGTGGATCCCGAGGATGGTACTTGTAGCCCTGTAGCTTTATCTCTAGGTCATCATACTTTGCTCGTACATACACCTTATAATATGCATGTCTGGAAATCTAGCTAAGAGGACAGCCCAAAGTAGACACCTCATCCTTGTTCAAACCAGCCTTCCGGTAATACAATCCTGTCACCCCAAGCCTAGTGACCGTTGGGCTCCCCCGCACCTTGCAGCCGCTCCCATTCTACCAGAGCGAGCATCGCCAGTGCCTGTCCATACGGCATGGATGTGATGGGGATCTGGACGTAGAACTCGAGGTTGTGGCCCATCCCGGTCCCGAAGGAGACTTGGGAGACTTCGCCCGAGGGGTCGATGTGGTCCATTACGCCGTACAGCGCTTTCATGGCGGACGGCAGGTAGGTCTTGCGGTCGAGGAGCCCCTATCTGTCAGTCGTGGACCAGGGATTTGGGGCAGAGGTGTGTGTCGATACTGACCAGTCTGATGCCCGCGAGCATACCAGCTGCGAACCCCGCCGTCGCGCTCGTCTCCAGATAACTGCTCGGATCCACCAATAGCGTATGCCACAATCCCGACTTTTGGTCTTGGCACTCGACCAGCTTGTCAACCTGCCGCCTGAACGCCGATTCGAGCTGTCTGCGAATAGGATCAGAGGGAGGGAGCCGGTCGCCCATAAACTCGATAAAGAGGGGGATGGCGACTGTGATCCAGCAGTTGCCGCGTGCCCAGAGGGCTTTGGCAAAGTTGTTGCCGCCCGATCCGGGTGCGTCGGGCGTGAACTCCCAGCCGTGGAACCAGAGACCGGAGGGCGCGTCCATGAGGTAGTTGATGTGCAGGAGGAATTGGTATTTTGCTTCTTCGATGTAGTGCGGGCGGTTCAGGAGGATACCGATCTGCGCGAGGGGGAGAACGGTCATCATGAGGGTGTCGTCCCAGAGTTGATTGTGGTTGACGTCAAGGTAGGTGACTGTGGGTCAGCGAGCTGCTATCTTCGCTTCAGCTGTGCAGGAGACCGTCGAGTTCGCGCTTGCCACGCGTGACGTCCGCACCATCCGAGCAGTCTGACTTACTGTGCTGGAATCCACCCTCCCGAGTCTTGGGCAGATCGTTCATGATCCACTCGGCCCACTCATCACACCACGCGACCCACCGCTCATCCTGCACCTGCCCGTTGACGAGGAAGGACGAGAGCGAATAGAAGGGCGACATGGTGTTGATGTTCTTGGGCGCGCCCTTGCCCTTGGTGATCTTGTACTGGGACTCGAACCAGTCCAGTGCGGTCTTGAGGGAGTACTGAGCGGATGGTGAGGAGGGGTTGATAGCTGAGTGCTGAGAGGTCAGCCGTAAGACCTCTACGGGGAAGGAGGGGAGAGCTCACGTGGTATAGTGCGGTAAGGGCGATACCGTGTGTCCATTCCCAGCCGCCCCAGCCTTTTGTGTCGACAATAGTCCCATCCGCGACTGCTCTGTCAGCTGATTCTTTTCCGCATGGAAAAAGAAGGGAGCTCACTGGGCATCAAGAACTCCCCCGTCGTGTCCACAATGTTGACCAGACCATCCGTCATGAGGCGTACGAGCTCTTCAGCTCGCTCCTGCGTGAGTTCCTTCTGGGTGCTGCTCATTTTGCTTCTAGTATTGCTTGAAGTTATGCTAGCTGTGCTGATGGCAAGACTGAAAGATGGGTGGACAGTACTATCTGCAGGATGGCGGCTCAGATATTCGCGCAGAAGAAGAAGAACAAGACCTCGGTGGGTTCTTACACCGGCCCGGATCTGACCTGTGCCGGTATCACCGGAGCGGACCCGGCGGTCTTACGGCAGGGTGCGAGATGGCTCGAGATCTCTCGCGACGAGCTTTGAAAGTGGCTCTGAACAATTGCAGTGGAAAGGGATTGTAAGTGGGCGGATACTGAGGCGTCTCGAGGAGAGAACGATAGTGCTCATCGGGAGTCATGGGAGTGTGCCCTGGTGGCCTGTTGGGTGGCTCATCGGCAGACATCGATAGTCTAGAGCGATCAAACGGAGGTCCTGCAGATCCGGAGAACTTCGGTCCACCGAGACGGATCATCAAGCCTATAACTTCACCATTGTGAGCCTGATGGTCCCCTACCTCGATCGCGATCAGGGATAGAGCAGGCATAGAGTCGGATCAGAGGTTGGCTATCCACGAGGAATGCGGGGTAATCTGAAACGCCAACGGCGATCGCCGCCCAGCGCCCAGCCATCTCCAAACCTCCACTTCCCGCACTGTGCTCAGACCATAACAATCGTCTTCCTTCCTTCTTCCTTCTTTCGATACCATACGCTTCTCGCCAGCTTATTGCCCTCACAGCTCTGTCGCCGCTGATTGGAGGCTGCGTCCCAGTGAGAAGCGCGGGAGATCATGGTGAGTACCGGCAGCGAGGTGGAGGGGGCCGTTGGTTGTGGCGTTGATTCATGATAGCGAGGTGTAAGGGCTGGGGCAGCTGGGAGACGACTATACATCTTGTCCCGGAGGGAGTCTGGTGGAAATATGCAGCAGGGATGGAGAAGGAAATCAGGGCAGGAGAGGATCTGAACCTTCGTCTGAGCCCGCACGAGAGGTCGATAATGTCCACTCGTCCGGCTGACTATCCATAGAGCAGACCTCCTATCGTCTCCTCTCGAGGCATCATTCGGCCTTCGAAAGATCTACCTTCCAAGTCGAGCCAGAGCGACCCCTCTCGGACCTCCGCAAGCGAAGCGAGCCGGGCGATCGAAAGTCGGCAGTCGGCCGGAGATGCGGCTTTCCGGCCGCCTCAGAGTATCATCATGGACAGGAAGGGCGAGTATACCAGATCGGCGGGCTCCAAGAGCGCAGCGGCACTCTCGGTCCCTCCTCCTCCCTATGCATCCTCAAAGTCCGATCGACGAGCCCCGGTCGTTCCTCCTCCTCACTCCCTCACTTCCCATAACCGCTCTCACTCCAGCAAGCAACTTGGGCGACTCACACTTCCTCTCCGGTCTCGACAGCCCACGCTCCAGCATGATGGCAATCAGATAATCCCCGAGACTCAACCAAAGCTCCCTTCACCCGATACCGAACTTCAAGAAGCTTCCACGTCCACGACGGCATCTCGCTCGGCTAAAGCTCCTCCTCCTGCGACCGTTACGACCAAGCCATACGTCCCGAGAGCCAAAATCAAGCCGCTCTTCCCCGATCCGACAGCGAATAAGGCACTCGGCAAGAAGAAGAAGAGCCTCGTGGTTCCGCCGCTGCAGATTGTGCCGCTGAAGCGCCTGGAACAGCCAGAGGAGGGGGACTGGGAGGGAGCGGGGCATGCATGGATCGAGAAGGAGAAGACGGCCGAGGAGGTCGCTTCAGAGTTGGAAGCTGAAAGGGCGAGGAAGCAAGCGGCGATGAATGAAGGTGAGCTATGGTTTCTTCTGACCTGGAGAGGAGCTTGAAGCTGACGATGATAGCGCTAGGGGGAGCAGCAGCTTTGGTCCAGCTCTCAGAAGTCCCGGCGCCAAGGAGTGTACCAGCCTTCCAGGTGAGTCGCGAAACATTAGACTATTAGCTCGGACGCTAATGGCCAGCCGAGCCCGGATCATCGCTCGACTACAAGAGCGCCTGTCATCCCGCCTCAGCTCCCCTCGACTTCCGCACGATCGAGACCTCGAGTCCGTGCAGCCAGCGCATCCTCCAGCTCCGCCCTTCAGCTTGCTGCATCATCTTCCCTCCTCGAATCCATCCAGCTTCCACCCGCCCGCCAAGAGCGTCTCTTCCTTCCTGGACCGGACGACAGCTCGGACGCAGAGTCCGACGCTACCGCTGCCGCCATCGCCGAGCAGCCGACCGCCGACCTAGAGCCTGATGCTGAGCCCGAGGAACTTATCCACGACCCTATACCATCCCGCTCTTCTACACGACGAGAGAGGCATTACAGCCTATCTCCGGATACCCCGCCCAACGGGGCTGAGCACGTCGAGACTGGCGGCACGGCCGACCCCAACAGAACCCTCGTCGCAACTCGCCGCTTTATCGGGCCAGCAAAGCCCCATTCTTCGCCAACTCCCTCGCCCTTCGATAACACGTACGATCCCACCTTCACCAATGTCCCCTTCGGCGGTATCCCCATCGCCAAGGCGAAACCCATCGAAGCAGTCAACGACAAGTCTCGATCCGGCCGGCTCTTGCCCGCTTTACCGAAGACATATGGCTCGAAAATCAAGCAGACGGTGCCTGCAGCGCCACCACCCCAGATCGAGCCCAGCACGAAGCAGCGCAGCACCAAGAAGAGCAAGGAGGAGGAACGGCGGCAGAAGGAGCTCAAGCGTCAGCGGTCCCGCACGCTCATGGAGGAAGTGGAGCAGGTGGAGGCGAGCTGGCTGGATGGGGGACGGAGGCGGCCCAGGGGATATACCGAGCCTCGGAAACAGGCGCCTATCAGTGACGCCCGCGATTCGAGCTATGCGGATCAGTACCGGTGCCGAGACGGTTCCCCGGTCCCCACACGCAAACTCCGCAAGATCTCGTCGACCCCTCGGGCTGAGCTAGCCGAGTACCCTCTCAACCGCGACGACCCGCTCGCAGACCAGCCGGAGAAGGTACGGCGGATCGGCAGTGAGATCATCAGCGACCGACAGAGTATCGAGCAGGAGGGGAAGTACGAGGTGGATCCGGAGGTGGAAGAGCAGATGGACCGAATCGACCGGGACTTTGCGCTCGACCAGGGCGTTCTCGTGCCCGAGCCAGACGAGGAGGATCAGCCTCACGCGGAGCCTAAACCTGCTGCTAGCGGTTGGTCTCGGACTCAGCCCGCGCCACCAGCTCCGGAAGCGGATCGTCCCGCCTACCGGTCCGACCGCCCGAGGACAAAGGGGAGGCTTCGACGCCGAAGTCCGCATCGATATCACTATGAAGAGCAACCCCATCCTAACAGCCCGTACCCGAGCGAATACCTCGACCCGGACTCGGATGACGAATCGGCTTTCCAGCGTCAGAAGCGGCGGCGTGGACTGGCGCCCGACGGGGGTACTTACTACCGCGACAATCGGGGCGACTGGTTCCTCAAGCGACCCATGGAAGGGCACATCCCCGACCGCGCCTTCGCTCGGAACCGCCGGAGGGACAAGTGTCGGTATCAGGACGAGATCAATGATCCGCGGTATCAGCCTCTCTCAAAGTATCCGGATCCGGCGGAGAAGGAGAAGGAGCGGATGCTGGATGCGGATGGGCTGTATGTGGTGGGAGACAAGAGGAAGCGGGCGACTACAACGGGTGTGAGGCGGTACACGAGTCATCGAACCCCGAGGGATTTGGGGCCGCCTCCGCCGAGATTGAAGATGTCGCGTACAGAGTCGGCGAATGTTCAGGCGGAAAAGTGAGCTCATGTCCCTATTGCCCTTGGCTTGAGTGAACTCAGCTGATATATAGGTATATTAGCGTCGTCACCGAGCACAGCAAACCCTCTCGGACCGTCCGCTCCCTTCCTAGCCGGTCCGTCACGCACCGAGCCCTCGAGCTTCCTGGCTACGTCATCAAGCCCATCAAGACCATCTCTTGGGCCGAGTACAATGCGGCTTACAACGAAGAGCGCCCCTTCCCCGTCGACAAAGCCCTCCTTCAGCGTACCATGGCGGACATGCGGGAGCAGTACCTCCGCGCTCGGCACGGCGGGACGCGGGTGCGTAACTCCCGTACGGGGATCAGGCGGGATATGGAGATGGATAGGATGGAGAGGCGGATAGAGAGGATCAACGAAGAGGACGAACGAATTGATACGGTCACTCCGTCGGTTCGGCCTACCCCTGCGCCGGACGACCGGCGGGATCGGATCTATGCGCAAAACCGTCAAGCTCCCAGACTCAAGTTTACGACCAAAGATCCCTCGCCGGACCTTACGGGACCTCGGTCGGTCAAGCGGAAGCTCAGCAGCGTACTCGCCTCAGATCAGGCGACCGAGGAGAGGGAGGTGGTAGAGGATGAAGCGGGCTGGGAGGCGGAGGGAAGGCCAGATCCGCTCATCACCGACTTTTTCGATGAAGTGGATCCGCCGGTAGATCGTCCAGGGAGGTTGTCGACCAGCTCGGTTACTCCTCGCGCGGACTCGGGGCGAACGGCGAAGCGAAGCAGCGGTGCGGCGACGGCGGGGAGGTTGGCATTTAGCAAGACCCCGACAACGGAGGAGGATCCAGGGGAGATTGGGGCGTTCTTGCAAGAGAAGCTGGGGTCTGGTGAGCTGAGGCGGATAGAGGGGCAGAAGAGTGCGCAGGCAGCGAGTAATGCGACTGCGGCTCCTGCGAAGACGAGCGACCCTCGGGATGAGGAGATCGGGGAGTTCCCATCCGCCTCCACGTCCACTCGTCGCCCTCATCCGGCTCCTCCACCCCCTACACGTCAGTCTGTCAATCCGACATCGACAACAACGACGACCAGCGGATCATCGGACCCCACCAGCAAGATGTTATCGGGTACGGGCATGACGGCGCACCTCCTCGAAGCGATCATCAAGACAAAGGACATGTTCGCTGCCAAGCCCGCTTCTCCGGCACCGCCGACGGGTGGTATCATAGCCCCTAAAGCGGGCAGGGGACGACCCCGGACAAGAGTGCCGAAGGGATCACAGGCGGGTCCGGGCAATGCCTCGACGGCAGCAGGTGGGAAGAAGTCCAAAGGCAAAGCACGGGATCCGCGGGAACGGCCCAACGAGCTCCGGCGGGCAGATACCGAGGTGACACTCCCGCCTACATATCGGCCTCGCGCGACGCAGCTGCCTAGTAGGACGGATATCCGCCCAGAGGACGATGTGGAGGTGAGGGACAGGCCAGCATCGCCGATGGTGGTGGTCGACCCCGCTCGGGCGCCGGCGTCCTTCAGCGTCAAGGCGATGAAGGGGCCTACGCCGAGGATCGGGCTGCAGCGGTCAGTGACGCAGAATCAAGCCAGTGGGAAGAGGCCGAGTATGAGCAGGCCCATGACAGGCGGGAAGAGTATGAGTGCGCTGAACAGTCGTGAGTCCGGTTGAGTGGCTAATTGGTCGAGAGAGAGCGACAGTTGACAGACCAGAATTCAAGCCTCCGACGTTTGCCCCAACGCAAGCTACATCTCGTCCCGGATTCACCCAGCCTCCTTCACACTACCCCTCCGACAGCGAAGACGATCAGCTCGAAGACGATTCCAACCCGTCTTATCAGGCTGGCCAACCCGTCCCCTCTCCTACTCAAGTGACTACCGGCCGTACCTCCCGCAGCCGGACTCGGAGCCGCCTAGTCTCCGGCGCGCGCACATCGACCACCGAGAAAGACTCAAGTCCGGCCCAATCGCTGGATACGGACAGTACGTCTCGTCCGGGGGAAGTCGACGCGGGTCGCTCCCACGCCGATGCGTTCTTTGACGATTCTCAAACGGAGCTCGGTAATGTGGTGCAGAGGCAGGCGACATCGACATCCCGGACTCCAGGTCGTACTTCTGGCGGATCCAGTACCGGCACCGGTACCGGCACCGGCACTGGAGCAGGCAAATTCCCGGTCGTCCCACAAGGCTTGCTCCGGCGACAGAGCTTCTCGAGGGTCCTCCCGCCCAAAGCGGGCGTACTGAAGCGGAGCACGAAAGGAGGGTATCTGATGGGGAATGATGCGTTCCCGCTTCCTCCAGCGGCAGCGGCAGAGGGGTCGAGGGAGCAGGGGAAGGGGGGAAGGGAACGCCGAGAAGAACGACACGACTTTGTGACAGGCGGAGGCATGCAGATGAGCAGGGTGGCGAGTCAGAAGGCGAGGCAGCCGTTTAGGGCGCCGACGGTTGTCCAGGGGAGATCAGGGGGGTTGAGCAGGTGAGTTGCTTGTCTGCATTGAGTGGGGTGAAGTGAGAATAGGTGGAAACTGTGCTGATGTGGTAGGGCGCGCGAGAGGCGATGAGTTTGGGCAGGTGCCCGGTCCTCCAGCTCAGGATACTGCAGCGTGAGTTAGGATGGCTGGTCTAACGTATCAATCTAATACTAGCTGATGAGTCAGAGCTATTGACTTCAACGGATCAATCATCAACAAGAAGACACGCCCCCCCTCCGATCCTGGCGATACCCCTCCGTCAAGAGCTCGATTCGAGTTTTCTCAATCCGACGCGACCGACAGCAGAAAAGAAGATGGACCTACCACCATGTCGATCCCTGTATCATATTAAGCCATCTCATTGTATATATCCTCACGCTCAAGCTGAAAAGTGTAATATACTCGCACATCATTCATGTCAATATGCATCACTGTATATACCCTATCGATCACATCCAGATGCCCCTCAGCCTAGGCAGTGCTTGCTGGAGGTCGCGTTTGACCATACTCGACACATTGTCACTGCTTCAGCCCGCTTCTTGTCGCTGATTGGAGCATAGCTGCAGCTGAGCCACGCATGTAGCTACAGTCTGCAAGTTGAACGCTCGCATTGATGGCCAGGTTGCGCTTCATCGGCTGTTGGCGGGATGTGTATGCAAAACCGAGACGCGGGTGTGATGATGTGCTGCCCGCATGAAGGATGCGATGGCTGGACTGGAGGATAGAGTAGCTTATTTCACAAAACGCACCCACAGTCCGCCCTACAGATGATCAGCTCGGCTCAATCAATCCGATACGGATCAAGCGCTCTTGAGCTCACCTTGACAGCCAACACCACATCCGAGACGATCCAGACCTGATCCCTCCCGCTTCTTGCCCGCCCATCACCCCCTTTCCCGTCTTCACCAGTCCACGCCGGCGGTATACGCGTCCCCTTTGGCTGAGCATCCGGTGCGAGCTCTATCCGACTTCCTTTTCCGCCTTTAGTGGCGTCGGATTGAGAGGTGAGATGGCGAACCAGGAGGATGAGGAAGGTATGTGTGGCGCTCAGAGCGAATGGCTGGCCCAAGCACTATTTGATCAGCTTGGACGGCGTAAACACTCCTCCTACCACAAACGTCAGCCGTATGACGCGAGAAGACTCACCATCCTCGGCCCCAAATTCCAAGCAGCAAATCCCTCCCTCCCCTTCATACCCTCATCTACTTCTCCGCCGTCCCATCGTTCTGGCCTGAAGTCTTCGGCATCTTCCCCCCAGACAGCCTTGTCCCGCTGCATGAGTACGGTACACATCACCAATGCCGTATTGGCCGGCATGTACATCCTCTCGCCTGTCGATGTGGGGAGGAGGGTGGGCCGGAGTGTGCGCCTGATGTTGAGCGGGACGGGTGGGAAGAGGCGGAGGGTCTCGTTGATGAATCGTCGAGCTGATGTGTCAGCTCCTGGTGCTATCGGCCTCACAGGTTCTGATACTTCGCTGAGCGGCAGTAAGGGTGAATGCTCACTATATGGGCAGTCTCGGATGATCTCCTTGTTGATCTCTCCTTCCATCCCAGCGGTAGATAGGATCTCTTCTCGGACCTTGTCAAACACCTCAGGATGTAGCGCCAGCCCGTAGACGCAGAACGTGAGCAAAGAGGCAGTCTGCAGCAATTAGCTGGATTGCGGTCAATTGGGCGCAGGGAGCACTGACGGTGTCGCGAGCAGCGAGCAGGATGTTGATCAACTGGTCCTCTATCTTTCTGAGGTCTGATCATCTTAGCTAAGATCCCTGGTCATTCCGGAAGGCAAAAGACGCCGGCAGAAGTAGCTCACCGTCCGTTGCAGCGACCAGCCGATCAATGAGCCTCATCTTGCCTTGATCGACCTCCGGCGCCGCCTTCCGATCAATAGCTTCCTGTATGAGGGGACGGAAGAACGCGTGGATGGTCCGCATCGGCTTAGCGAGCGGATCCGCTTTCAGCTCGAACAGAGGCTATCCTGTCAGCTGATTCTCGGCACTACATTTCCGCAATCATATCAGCTCACCCATAGATTACCGATCTTCATTCGTCTCCCGACCGCCGACTGGGCCAAACGCATCGCCTCTCCAACACCTCTTCTTGCCTCCTCCCACTCCTCTCCACGTGAATGTGGCTCGTCCAGCTTGACTCCGCATAGCCAGTCTACGGCCATGTGCAGCGAAAGCTCGCCCATTGCTTTCTGCATATCGAAAGCCTCGGACGGTCCTGCGTGTTCTGCTGAGCCGATTTCTGGCATGGAAGCGAGGGAGGATAAAATGTGGGGTGTGAAAAGGGATGGGCGGATATGAGTGGGATGGAAGAAGGGTCGAGTCAAGCTACGGTGCTGTCCGTCAGCTTTAGCTCCGCGGGCATTCACGATAGAGAAAGCTCACAAATTTCCATTTCTCCCCGTCCGAGTTGAAGATCCCGTCCCCTAGGAATTCTTGAGCTCTACTTCGTGTCTTCTGACCCTTGACGAAGTTGTCAAAGTCGTCCACGAGCGCATGTCGAATCACCCTCGGGTCAGTGGTAATGACCTGTCTGTATCAGCTTCACCTTTCGTCGGATCGGCGATTTTTTGAGTCGAAGCTCACCTGATCCTCTCCTAGTACCCTGGTATTGTATGTCCCCCCATACTGCCTGCCTAGGAGCACCATCATCCGCCCAACCTCCTCTTCCGACCCGGACTTTGCCCAGTCGAGGAGAACATCGATATTGAGGGGGTATCGCCCCTTGACGTTCGGAGGAGGACAGGCACCAGCCCGACGAGCTGGGCTCTGAGTGCGATAGAGTGATAGCTCGGTACGGAGGATGTACAGCACAGGAAGCGACAGCCAGTAGCATATGAGCTGGACGAGGAGAGGAGGTCGGAGTTGGCGGAGGAGGATGTGGGCGAGGAGAGGCGGGAAGATGAGCGTCTTGAGCACCGAAGGTAGCAAGTAGGAGGCGCCTTTCATGCCTCGTCAATCTGCCTACCGCGTCATACCAGAGGAGGAATGAGTGCTATGAGCTGAAGGCCTTGCAAGGTTCTTTGGTTCTTCGCGTCGGTGAGGAATGACGCACGGTTCTCAATGATGAAACACGCGGAGAAGCCCAAAGCGGGAAACGTTTAGTTGACCCCCCCTTTTAACGGCTACTGTCGGTGTCACGTTGTCACGTTGTCACGCTGCTTTCGGAAGCATCTGATCTCCCCTTGCACCTTGCGTCATCATCATCATCACCGCGCATACCACCAGATACCACCAACTATCCCAACCCCACCACAGCGACGGCCCATAGCTGCTCTACTGTCCAGCGACTATCTTTGCATCGACACCCCGCTCGCAGCCTCAATCCGCTAGTCAGCGATTCGACGAGTACTCGCCTTTGTCGACCCCGCAGACGACGAGATCTGTCACTTGAGCTTACCCCCGTGGGGCAACGAGCTTCGAGGCACGGAAACTTCTCGCAGGGCACCTCGTGGTCCTCAAGGCTTCATCCTCGCCTTCCCACCCTCGTCCCTATCAGCTATTCCTGACTTGAACCTGCTATTGGACTCCCCGCAGCAGTACCCGCCAGGACCTTTCAGCGCTCTCCATCATCCTTTGAGTCCTCGCCTGATCATGACGCAGTCCCCAATAGGCGCACATCTCGGTGAGCTGTCATACCTCTAGATGGGGAACCAGGGAGACCCAGCTCACACTTCAGCGCCGCGAGACCTCCCCCCTCCTGCACCCGCACAAGACCCGCGCGAGCCCCCCTCGTCCACACCCCGCAAAGGCAGCCGGACACCCCAACCCATCTCACCCGTCCCCTCCCGCGGTGCCTCTCCTCAGCGGTCCACCAGCGGCGCAGCGGGCGGCTCCAACATCTTTGGCTCGGGCATAGACCGCGCGCCGTCACACGAAGGCATGCCTATGGGTTCCGCTATGCCCCTCCCCCTCCACGCGCCTACCCCCAAGTATGCCTCTCCCAACCAAGGCATTGCGCATCCCCACCCTATCCCGCACCACCACCACCTCTCCCGCCCTTCCTCTGCGTCCTCGATGCACTCGTCCACCTCAGCCATTTTTGAGCGGGATATCGAGCACCCGTCCACCGCTTCGTCCCTCACTCTCAACCCCGCGGTATCGCCCGTCAACCCGGTGCTATCGCACAAACCCTCCCGCCTTGGCTTTGTCCACGGCTCAGCCCTGGACTTTAGTGTCCCCGCTGTACTCGACGATGCGGTCGAGGCGCTCACAGCCACCTCGCGCGGCATTGAGGGGCTGGAGATTGAGGCTCCGGCGCCTATGGCGATGGGCGGAACAGGAATGGCGCGCGTTGCGTCCGGTATGTCAGGGCGGAAGGCTTCTTCTACTTCACCTATGGCTTTGAGCCAGACGCAGCCCCGCTCGGGATCGTCCAGCCCTATCTCGACTACGTCGGGGGTATCATCCCTCCCGCAGTCCCCGCCTATCCTCGCTCAACTGGGTACGGGCGCTGCCGTCATCGGCACGGGCAAGTCCTCGCCTGCGCTCAGCCCCACGTCGTCAGACACCAAGTCGCCGCTTTCGCTGGACGGGCCAAAGTCCGGAGTGGCGGACATCAAGTCGGAGCCGCTCAAGGATGAGCCGACAGCTCGGCCGGTTCGGCCTGCTGCGCCCACGCGAATGAGCACGGGCAAGCAGGTTCCGGGTGGCTGGCTGTCTTCCTGGACGCGGGAGGAGGAGGATGCCCCGACCGAGGCGGTGCAAATGGGTGAGGGACATGCGCATCCCGGTCCCGGCGAAGTTGGTGTGGGGCTGGAGCGTACCGCCGGTCTTCTTGGCGAGCAGGAGCGAGTAGTTCCAGTCGAAGAGGTGAGCTACCTCGTACCGAACCGCCTGCATATCACTTCAGCTGACATAGCAGCTGCCCTCTCCTCCATTGACCACCAACGTTCCCCTGTCTCACCCGCCCTCATCCCCCCCTCCGGCCTCTGCGATCCCGCACCACCTCACCCCCTCGCACCCTTCCTCTTCCGTACACAACGCGGACCCCAAGCGCCGCATCTCCTTCATCTCACCGACCGACCTCCTCCTTTCCGTCCCGACGTCCGTCACGTCGCTCGGCGAGATTGCGTCTGGTAATCTCAGCCCAGAGCACGTGCATATCAACGGAGCAGGCAGTCCGGCGATGGGCCGCAGTCCGCGCATGAGCACGAGCGGGGAGGAGGAGGGCAAGACGAGTGGGATGTGGGCGAAGGAGGGGGATGCGGCGGGCGCGAAGGGAGAGTGGGGGAGAGAGGGGCTGGGCAGGGGGTTGGAGCAGAGGTTGGAGGAGCTGGAGATGGCGGGTCAGGGGGCTTGAGCGTTTGAGCTGGTGAGGAGAGGTAGTTCTTGGGGTCTTGGAGTCCGTTTGGGTGTTGGTTTGGTGTGGTCAGCCTAGGTGAACTGCTGTGGATGCTCGGTGTGTGAATTGAGGAGGATCTCCTGAGCTGTGGGACTGGTGAGCCGGACTATGTATATGTAGGAGAAGAGGGAGAAGAAGCAGGAAGTGATAAGAAGATGCAACCACCAGAATTATACATATCCATCTTGTGCTGCGGAGGCTCTCTTGGGCCTCGCTGCCGGTCGGCATGCCCTGCGCACGGGATAGGGCCAGGCCGCAGTCAACGAATATGACATGGAGGTGATACATGACATGGAGGGAAACCGACGCGATACTCTACAATCTAGCGCTCGCGCTGTCTACAAGTCTCAAAGTACCCATCCCCTAGTCCGTTTCAACATTTACTCATCCTCATAGCGCACCGTCCGCCTTCGCGTACCGACCACCTGGCCCTCCCTTGCTGACGTCGCCGACGCCGCCGTCCTTTCCTTCCCTTTCCCCCTGTCCCTAGCCTCTCCGCCCCGCCTCGAGACGCTATCCTGCGGATAAAGCGTCGGCGCCATCATGAGGTATTCTCTGTTTCTCGTGGGTGTCCGTGGGAGCCCAGGCGGGACCGACTCATTTGAGCTCGCCGAGGATTGTCGGCGCGCCTTGCTATTGCTGCTGCCGGTGGACGACATGCGCTGTGAGCGATACTGGAGATCCGAGTGCCGGGAAGTACGGTATCCGCTCTCATCGATGAAGTCTTTCGCCTTTGACGCCGCCTTTGATCCAGACGACACGCCGTAGCCGCGGCTCTCTTTGCTGTCGTCTCCAGCCGATCGTCCCCCTACTGCCCAATCCAAACACTTCCTCCCCGCCCATCCCGCTCCCAGTCCCATGACGCACCCCACACCCACCATTCCCCCTACAAAGACATACACCGGGTACACTGCGGCCCCGACCGCCCTCGCCCACGTATACGGCGTCACCACGAATATCCGCAGCAGGATCTGGCCGGTCGACGTCAGGGGAAATAGGAGGATCGCGAGTATGTAGAGGACGAGCGAGACGATGTTCATAATGGGAAGCAGGAGGAGGTAGAATGGGTAGAAGAGGTAGCCGAGGATCCAGCGGGTCGTGCTGGGTGATTTGGACGAATCGGGGTTGCCGTTGGAAGAGGATTGGGCGGGGAGGGGAGACGGGAGGTGCGGGAAACCGTATGGTATGTGGTAAGGTGTCTGGCTCTGACCGGATTCGGGAAGGTGCGAGGAGGCGTGGTAGTGATGTGGCGAGGAAGGGGCGAGGTGGGATAGGATTTCGGTATCGGTTGATCGGGTCAGGATTTGCCAGATGATGTAAAAGACGACGACGTAGACTGAGGGTCAGCCTGGGTTCGGCGCCGTAGCTTAGGGGACCTGATGGAGAGACGGATAAGCGTGATGAAGGACTCACGTATCACAGTCGTAGGCTTCATAGGCTCATCCCGCTTCTTCCTCCCTTTACTCCTCCGCGGCGTCCCCTTCGCCTGAGGGGCATTGAGGAAGCCCGAATATCGAGAGTCCCACTCGTCCTCTAGCTCTTCATCCATATGACCTACTCCCGCTGACCTAAGTGGAGCGCGAGAAGATGATCCCGAAGCTGCTGATCGCGGGATGGAACTCGACGAGGAGGATGCGCGTGGGCGGGGTGGGGGAGGGAAGTAGGTCGAGGATGGCATGACTGAGGACTGTGCGTCAGATGAGATATAATCTGGAAGAGCTGAGAAAAAGGGCTTGGAAAAAGGGCTTGGACTTACAGGCTGTAAAGGAACGATACGATGATAGGCAGCTCCGCCTGTGCTGTCCGGCCTCGGCAGCCTTGAAGGAGATCCGAGCTCGCGGGAGGGACGACCAAGGGATCGCTACAAATTCGCTGAGCGCGCAGGCTTTCTCTGTGTCGGTGCCCTATCGCACTACCGTACAGTGTCCAGGAAGGCGTCGATGTGCACAAGCTGTCGATGTATACAGTAGTCACACTTGTAGGAGATGCAAGTAAGCGCAAAGGTCTCTCTCCCCCGCACGAATTCCCCCAAACGCGAGGAGATCGACGTCACTTCCCCCGTGCCTGTTTCAGCCTCAGTTCGAGATTGTTGGGGATTAGTATTAGCGGAAGTATTCTGTCTTGTAATCGCCCCCGGAACCTCCGAATTCCTGATCAGCCCGCTCCGTGCCTGGCTGTTTTTCAAAGGTCCGACTCCGCCTTTGGAACTCAACCTCATCTCCACCTCTGACCATACCATACATCTTCCATATCATACAGCAATGTCAGAACAGAAAGGAGAAGACTTTACAAAGCGGAAGCTATGGGGGTGAGCTCCGCGTTTCTCTCCTACCCTGAGAAGCATCATACTGACATCCTAGAGGCCGGTTCACCGGGTCCACGGACCCCCTGTATGTCCTTCCAGCCTGGGCGCAAGGCCCGCCAGCTGATGTGCAGGATGCACGAATTCAACCAGTCGCTCAAGTACGATAAGCGCATGTATGCTGCGGACGTCAAGGGGTCTATAGCGTTCTCCAAGGCGTTGTTGAAGGCGGGGATTGTGGATGAGAAGGAGCAGAAGGAATTGGAGAGGGGTCTGAAGCAAGTCGAGCTGGAGTGGAAGGATGGCAAGGTGAGTGCAATCGTACGGATGAGCGGGACGGATGGTCTCTCAGGCAGGAGGCACCATATAGAGGGATCGTCGTGGCCTCGCTCGTGCAAAGAGCCTATAGCGATGCTGTGGCTTTACAGCTGGGCTTTAGCTTACCCCCAGTTCGTGGTCCAGCCGGACGACGAAGATATCCACACTGCAAACGAGCGCCGGCTCTCCGAGATCATCGGTAAAGATATCGGCGGGAAGCTGCACACTGGGCGGAGCAGGAACGACCAGGTCGCTACCGACATGCGGATTTGGCTGGTAAGTTATCGACGTCCTTTGGGTTGTCATGACCAATAAGCGGACAGCTGACTGTTGTAGATGGAGCAAACCACCGAGGTGGAGGGCTTCCTCAAGGACTTGTTGAATGTCATGGTGACTCGAGCGGAGAAGGAGGTTGATGCCATCCTCCCTGGATACACCCATCTTCAGGTACGTCTGAGCCTGCTATGGTTCGCGAGCGCCGCTGATAGGTAGCGCGCCCAACCCGTCCGGTGGTCCCACCACCTCCTCTCCCACGCGCAAGCCTTCCTCACCGACCTCTCCCGACTCCGGGAACTCTACCCCCGTATCTCCGTCCTCCCCCTCGGTTCCGCCGCACTCGCCGGCAACCCCTACTCGCTCGACCGCGAGCTCCTCCGCTCCGAACTGGGCTTCCAGTCCATCGGCGAGAACTCGATGCACGCCGTCGCGGACCGAGACTTTGTCGTCGAGTGGCTCCAGTGGGCGAGTCTGCTCATGGTGCACATGTCAAGATTGGCAGAGGACTTGATTATCTACAGTACGGCCGAGTTTGGGTTTGTCACCCTGAGCGATGCCTACAGGTCAGTCTACATGATTCTTCAAGCAGGAATGTCGCTGATGACCAGTACCGGATCCTCCATCATGCCGCAGAAGAAGAACCCAGACTCGCTCGAGCTCCTCCGCGGCAAGTCTGGACGCGTGTTTGGCCAAATGGCAGGCTTCATGATGTCCCTCAAGGGGATCCCGTCGACCTATAACAAGGATCTGCAGGAAGATAAGGAGCCCCTCTTTGACTGTGTCGACACCGTTTCGGCTGCGCTCCGGATTGCCGAGGGCGTCATCGCGACCTTGAACGTGAGCTAGTACGGCCTCTCCCGACCGAGAGCCAAGAGCTGATCCTGCCAGATTCACCCCGAGAAGATGAAGGCAGCATTGACAATGGATATGCTCGCGACGGATATCGCAGACTATCTCGTCCGAAAAGGGGTAAGCTCCACTCCACCCCAGCTACTGCTTGTCAGAAGCTAATCCCCAGGTGCCATTCCGGGAGACACACCACATCTCTGGCCGCGCCGTGGCACTCGCCGAGAAGACCAACGTGCAAATCTCCGACCTCTCCTTGGAACAGTACAAGGAGCTCTCGGAGCACTTTACAGAGGACGTCATGCAGGTATTTGATTTCGAGACGAGTGTGGAGAAGCGGAATGCGATCGGAGGGCCGGCGAGGGCGATGATTCAAAGGCAGGTCGAGGGGGCGCGTAAGCGGATCGAGGGGAAGGCGTAGGCTTGGAGGGATAATTGAAAGGGTCGGAATTGTGGGTATAGAGCGCTAGACGCTGGAAGACGTAGAACATGCATCTGCTTGTCGATTTGCTCCTGATCATTCGAATGAGACTGACTGCTGTCCTCGCAGATCTTGCACCTTAATTGTGTATCCTTCAGGTCTACCTAATCGCTACAATGACTTCACGTCCCATCTCCCCTTTGAACAAGACTACAGCCGCGTCCATCCCGCTTATATCGCCGGACCCAACCCAAGATCCAGTGCTCTTCCACCCGCCGCCGCTGGCGCCGACGCACCCTCCTGCTCAGGACCAGTCACGCTCCCCGCCCGACTCCTTCCCTCCTGACTCACAACACTCCAGCTCCCATCGCTCCCCGGCTCCCTATCCGCCGAGGTATCCCTGCTCTGACTCTGAGTGTGCGCCGGCTGCTCCGCCGCAACCTTCTGCGGCGTCCCCAAATGCCTCTGCGGACCGGGTACAGCCCCCGCCCCGATGCCCGAACTGTTGACCGGGTCGGTATCGAAATCGCTGGCATGCAAGTGCCGATGCCCGTGCGCATGACCACGGCCGTGCTTGTGCTCATACACGCGCCCATCCTTGCCTACTGCAAAGCTCGACTTGTCTTCCTTTTCGTCGTCCTTGTGGCCGCCGTTCTTGATGGAGCCGGACATGGTGAGGCTGAGGCCCGAGAGCGAGATACTGTCTTTCGAGAGGAGGGAGGACATTTTGGTGAGAGGGATCGAGCCGTCCTGAGGTGTCGGAAGAGGCTTGATCTGGGACTTTGCGTATTCCTACTTGATCAGCCTCTCTTCCGCCTCCACTCATCTGAGGAGTCTATACTTACCAAGTCGCGGTAGATCGCCTCGATAGCACGCACAACCCCGTTCTCCCGCCTAATCATCTCACCCACAACCTTGGCCTTCGCAATCTGCTTCTCATCCGTGGTCGCCTTCTTGAGCGCCTCCGAGAGCGACTCGACAGTGAGTTTCCGGACCGCCGAACCGACATTGAGGGATTCGACTCGCTCGGACCAGAAGGCCTGATCACCAAAGAAGGGCTTGATGATGGTTGGCTACTGTATCAGCTCCAATCCCAGTTATATTCAGCGGAAACGGTCAACTCACAATTCCAGCTCGCAGACTCGCTCCTGTCGTCCCGGCTCCACCATGATGACAAGCCGCGTCGATCCTGGTGAACAACCACGAGTGGTCGATCGAGTCGATACTGAAGATGTTCTTGGGGTACTTGACCCCATCCGCCCCGTCCGCTCCGTTCTCATCATCATCTCCGTCTTTCGTCTCGTCCTTCTTCTCTTCTTTGTCCTCGTCCTTCTTTTCGTCTTTACCGTCCTTCCCGTCCTTGCCATCCTTGTCCCCATCGCCGTCCTTCTTGGATCCACGGTCCGACCATCCCTTGGACAGGATAGCGTACACGTCGGCATCGACAACAGCATCGCAGACGCAGCGCGTCATCTCTTCCGGGTCGGAAACGACGATAGAGCCAAAGCCACTGAAGACGTCAGCTATATATCCCTCTACTGACGGTTCGACCGGCGGAACTTACATGTAGACAATCTTCTTGCCCTTGCTCTTGGCCTCCTCCATGAACTCCAACAGTCCATCCGGGGGAGACCACTGCTTCTTGTCCTTTGCAGCGCTCTCATCCGCATTCTCAAGGAACCAGTATCCTTGATCATCAGCTTGCTGCCGCCTTCCCAAAGATGTACGTTATAGCTCACCGGTGACGTGGATCCACTCGGTCCAGTCCAGAGGGGGCGGAACGACGCTCGGCGAGAAGTTGTACAAAAACGGAACTGCCTCATTAGCTCATACTCTACCGATACTTCAGCAGTCGCGGCGGGGTATGTATCTCACTCTTGTGCTGCTCGAGCTTATCAAAGTTGGTCGCCTCAATACCCATCGTCTTTCTCCGCCATCGGTTGACCTGTCCCGAGATAGCCCGCCAGAAGACCTGATCAAACATCGTATATGTCATGTAGTTGTAGGCTCCACCCTTCTTGTGCTCAGGTACAGCAAAGGCGTGCTGAAATGTCAGCTTGACGTATCTGACCGAGATCCAGTCGGGTAAGCTTACCGGGTATGCTCGTGTTCGTGTCCATGGCATTGTGAACGCCCGGTAGTACGGAATTTGCAATGCCTCGGCAATGTGGACACCACCCATCGCGGATGGCGACTCGATGAGGAGGTCCGAGCCTTGGCAGGCTTCCCATGAGGAGCAGAGCAGATCGTCCAGCCATCCTCGGAACTGATACGATCAGCTTAGCCCTTGCCGACGAATACAAGAAAAGGAAAGCTCACCTTGCCGAGCCCTTCTTTGAGGAACGAAACAGTGAACATGCCATTGTCGACGCACATCTGCATGAGCTCGGCGGGGTCTCCTCCGACCGAGGCGAACTCGATACCATGCTAGTAAGTCAGCTGCGTCCCGCTCTCGAACATCGAGTCAGGCCTCATAACTCACCCCCTCGACCCAGTCCTTGTACTCCCCATGCGTAGCAATCTTGGTATGATGCCCCTCCGCCTGCAACCCCTTACACAACGCAATGTATGGCTGCACATCCCCCCTACTCCCAATCGTCAAGCACGTTACGCGCATCGGATCCGGCTTGAACTCGAGGAACGTGCTCGTCGTACTCTCAAACATCCCGCTCGGGGATACCGGCGGCGGCGTGCGTGTCTCGAGCGGCGCCGACTCGTCAAGATCCTCCATGATTCGCATTTCGAGGTTCCCCGTGTCGGGCTGGTGAGAGCTCGTGGCGCCGAATTTGGAGGGCGAGTTGAGGCGGATCTCTTCCATGCGCTGTTCGAGGACCCGGACGCAGGCTTCGCGTCGCTCCGAAGAGGAGAACTCGAGGAAGATCTCCTCGTGGCCCTTGATGACGATGATGAGGCCTGAGTGGTTGAAGCGGAAGGCTTTTTGCGCTTTGAGGCCGTACAGGTCACGAATGGGGATCATCATCTAAGGATATCAGCTACTGTACACGGAGGAAGCGGCACTCTACACACCTTGGTCTTGTACAAGAGTTGAGACGAGCGGAAACAGAAGTAGTTGGTCGAGACAAAGAACCGCCCAGAGACAGGCAAGACTCGGTACAGGTATCCCGGGAAGTCTGATTATCAGCTTCGCCCCCTATCCCAGCCTGACCAACTCACGATCAATCAACTCCTCCCTGTCCGGCAGACTAAAGACGCTCCTGAACTTCCGAGCCGTCTCGCCTTCCTCGTGCCGCCCCTCCTCACTTCCATCCACCATGGCATAATCGCTCCGCTCCAGCCCGCTCCTGGCCGACATATCGGAATTGAACGATCCTCGCGATTTCCGAGCCCCGCGACGTGAGTGAGGGTGCTGTGGACCCGCATCGTCGTCTGACGAGTAATCAGAGTCCGAGTTGGGGATGACGGGCTCGACGACCTCGGTGACGTGCTCGGCCTCCCCAGGTCCGGGTCGAGAGCTCCGACGGGACGAGTTGGATTTGACGGGGTGTAGAGTCGATGATCGAGCCGAGGTGCTGCTTCGCATGCTAGCACCGGAGGACGAAGGCTTCGAGTGCATCATCTTGACGACCGGCTTCTTGAGCCATCCGGTCCAGCCCTTCTCGCCCTTGACGGGCGGGGCTGTCCCGGTCTGCCGGGGCGGATAGCCATCATACCCATCCTCCACGGCCGATCCGCCGCCGCCCCCGACTCCCCCGAGACCCGGGTGAAGTGTCTCCTCAGAGCCCCGACTGCCCTCGGCGATCGAGACGCTCTTCTTGGGCTGATCGGAATGCGATCCACCGACGAGCGGCTTCAGCGCCTTCTTCAGCCCGCCCAGCACACCCTTATGCTTCTTTTGCTCGGCCTCTTCGTGCTCTGCCTCTGCGTCGGCAGCCGCTAGGGTGAGGTCAGGCTCGCTGTTGAGGCGAGGCAGCATCTCCGCCGGTCGAGCTTCAATGAGCCGCTTGATGGTCCGGATAGTCCGGTCTGTGTTGGCAAACGAGGCGAAAAAGTACGAGTCGACAGACATTTGGTCGTCTGGGTCGACACAGCGGATTTCGACCGTCTCGGCGAACTCGAGCGTTGGGGAGTGTTCTACTTCGAGAATGGCTTCGAGCGGAATGACGAGCTGAATTATCAGCTTGTACCGGAACATGAGATCCGTATAGCTCTCACCTTGACGTTCTCCCCCTCGTGCTGCGTCTTGAACATGACCTTCTGGATCGCCTTGACCCACTCGTCCCGTGCACTCTCAGTCTCGGCGATGAAGGAGTAGTTGCGCTCGGGCGTGCGGATCTTGAGGCGGAGGTCTTCCATCGCTTCGCATGAGGAGACATACTGGAGCGAGATGTTGCCTTTGGGGAAGTATGGGTCCTGTCGGAATCAGCTTTCTCCACGGCAGAATTCAAAATCAGCTGACCGCTGTGCTCTCAAACCAGCTCAGGACGTCATTCTTGAGTACCATCCAGTATTTGGTTTTGGTCTTCATGCGACCGGCTTTCTTCGACAGCGGACCGCTCTTGACCACCACGTTCTACGGGCATCAGCTTGGGCCTGCGCCTTATACGAAGGGAGAATATGCACCTCTCGGTCCGGCATGTGCGCAAAGAAGCAAATATGACGGGCCGTCAAGTACATGTAACCCTTGAGCACTGGACGATCAGCTTGAGCATATCGTCAGAAATCGTGTACCTGGGCCAGCTCACTAATGCTTCGCAACAACCAGCACCGCATCTCCTCAATGACTGCCTCCCTCTCCGATAATCCAAAGACCTCCATCAACCTCTGGCCCAGCTTCTCCTTCCTTACTCGCTGACGCTCGCCATCGCCCATACCCATCCTGTTCTCGATCTCTTCACCCTCGCCTTCCGCCTCATGAAGGGCAGCGTCGACATTACCGTCACTGGGCGACTCCCCGCCGCTCCTGTTACTGCCAGTTCGGTCCATCTCCTTGCTCTCTTCTTTCGAGGCCTGATGCTCTTCCTTTGCGATCCGGTCGTTGAGAACACCGCGCGCGCCGGGCGGCATAGATCCGGAGCTGGCGGTAGACGATCGCCGACGATCGCCTGAGATGACCTCGGCGATGATGGCTGGCTTGCCCTCTTCCGAAAGCTCGCGCGCTTCGTCCTCGTTGGGACGGCGGAATGCGATATCTTCGGAGTCGGACCCGCTCTTCTCCTGTGGGCGGATGGTGTGCAGAGACGAGTGCATGCGGGATGCTAGATGATCAGCGGCCTCCTTTGTGCTCCATGCTTGGTGAACGGTGAACCTACCCTTTGGCCGACTGGGTCTGGCCGAGTGCCGCTCGTCTTGCGGATGATGTTCCTCCTCGTCTTCAGAGTCTGAGGAGTTATCGCCTGCGTCCTCTTCCCAAGGAAGGGCGTTGAGAGCAGACATCAGAGCTGACGCGCCCATGCGGACCTGAACAGCGGTCAGCCGAATTCACTACGCACCGAGATGTCTGGACGTACCGAGCCGATCTCCTTCCCCGCTCCGAATCCAGGCCGGACCGCCTTGACGCTATACTCCTCATCCCCGGCGGTCGGACCAGTGATCGCCTCACCTTCCGGGATCGCCGTCTCGGCCAGACTTCCCTTGGGTGGCTTGCTGAAGGGAAAGCCTGCTCCGCCTGACCCAGTGTTGCCCATCGGCGTCTCCATAGGTGTCATCTCATCGAGTGGAGTACCGCCGATGATGGGCTCCTCCTCCCTATCTTTGCGTTGCCGCTTATCCTCCTCCTGTTTCCCGTCCTGGCCCTCACGAGTGACCTCTGCGTCCTCGTGCTCATTCTCTTGCCGGATCGGAGGGATCGTCGTCCGTTGGCTCTCGGGGAAGACGTGCTTTGCTGCCGCGTTGAGGAGAGCTTCGGCATTGGGGTGTTTAGAGCCGGGGGACTGCATGGGTTGCTCGACCGCCGGTTTGGGGAATGGTGGTTGTTCCTCGGCAGGCATGGTGAAGAAGTGATGTCTGAGTGCGGATGGGGAGGACTGAGTTGTGAGCTCTGCTTTCCAAGACTGACAGATAGTAGAGCAGTGTTCGACAGACTTACCGTAATGTTCAGCCTCTCAGACTGCTGAAACGCCTGTGAGGGCGGCAATGCCTTTGTCCTTTCCTTTCTGGCCGTGAGTCCAGCTGTTCCTAATTGATGTAGCAGCTGATAAGTGCGCTTGGGTATGGTAGAAGATGATGAGGCTCGTGGGGACGAATGTGTCTGTCAGCGATGTTATTGCTGTCAGCCCTCGTGTGTCTCTCTCTGGCTGATGCGCTGATGATGAATTGAATTGCGCTTATGAAGGCAAGGCACAGAAGCGGGGTCAAGCGCGTCATCAGCAATCGGCGGACGCATCAGGCACTCGCGCCTATCTTCGTGCCGGTGCCTGCCGCTTCAGCGCCCAGGAAACAGGCACCAAGCCTGATAGGCGCGCGCACCACGAGACTGTTTTGTTGCCACTCAACACCGTCAACCGACCGCTTGACTTCAGCTTCAGCCTCACCACCCTGCATACCCTAATCATGCTCACCTTCTTGATGGGGCACCACGACAGATCGCTCGATAATTCTGATCTGTTTCGCTAGGGAAGGCCATCTTGACAATTGACTCGGCGCAATGGCAGCTGCAGCGCTGGCGATCCCGCCTCCACCCAAACGACAGACTTTTGCGTTCCCATCGAGCACTCCAGTCTGTACTGGCTATCCCAATATCTCAGAGAAGGCTAGGGTCAGCTTTGGTTCCTCCTCAACTCTTGGAAGCAGTGGCTGATGAAAGCAGAGATTCAGCGCTCGCGGGCCTTTCAAGCGCGTGACATCCGCCGAGGAGAACGATCTAGGTTTGCTATGGAACCTGAAAAAGTGTAAGTTTCCCCAGCTTATGATGGGCCTGCTTGGAGAATGAGGCAGACGCTCATCTGATAGACTGGGGCTATGACAAGTTTCGCGGTCCTCAACTTGATATCTGCCGATCCGTCATCAAGGACCGCGATGTCCTCGTTGTGGCTCCGACTGGTATCGGAAAGTCGTGAGTGCTGCTCTAAGCCATAAATCGTATCCCCTGTGTAGTCGGCGACTAACGATGTAGACTCTGCTTCCAGGTGCCCGCGGTCACCCTCGACTACGGGATAACTCTCGTCGTCTCCCCGCTCAAGGGTGAGTCTATCTTTCGGACCTTTCGGCTCAGAAAGACAGCGAGCTAATGAGACAGCTCTGATGCACGACCAAGTCAACGCGCTCGTCGAAAGAAAAGTACCCGCGATGATGGCATGTGCCGAAACGTCAGACGTGCAAGTGGCAGAGGTAAGCTCCCAGCAACTTCCCCCGGCAACCAAGCTGAGCGCCAGATCCTCTCGGAACTTCGGCTCGGCCATCCCAATATCCGCCTTCTTTACATTACGCCTGAATCTCTTTTCTTCCGGAACTCGAAGTACAAGGACGCTATACAGGCCTGCTACGATAATGGGCAGATGAGGAGACTGGTCATCGATGAGGCGCACTGTATCGATGTGAGTTGGAGATCAGGAGACAGTAGACCCCTGTATCTGACAGCTGACACCCCAGGAATGGGGAAGATCTTTCCGACCCTCATACAGGATGCTCGGTGACTTCAGGCGCTTGTATCCCCGGGTAGCAATCACTGTCTGTTCGTCCGACCGTATACTAGCCATTCAGCTGACAATCAATCAGGCTCTCACTGCCTCTGCCACGAAAGAGACCCGGCAAGACATTCTTGATTCGCTTCGGATCACTCGAGACAACCTAGACTACTGGGTAGAGCCATGCAATAGGAAGAATCTAATCTACGAGGTGAGCTCGGTTACTATTCTGCGAAACCGAGAGTCCAGCTCATTCTGTAGATTACCTACCGCGGACCAGAAAGCGAGCAAGCGTTTTCGACCGCAGACCAAGTCCTCGTCTGGATCAAGAAACACAAACCAGAGTTTGCAGGCTGGAACGCAAAGCACGGCGTATCGCCGGAATGCGTGACTGGTATCGTGTACTGCAAGATGAGATCGCAAGTACGTGCTTATGCCATAAAACATACGTGAGTGTCGCTGATTGACGTAGTGCGAGATGATGGCGGCGCACATGCGAAAGGCGGGCATGAAGGCGCAAGCGTATCATGCAGACCTGAAGCAGCCGGTAAAGGATGCGGTGCAGGCGGACTGGCTCGCGTGCCGGCTGGAGGCAGTGTGCGCAACGGTAGCTTTCGGGATGGTGAGTTGGACCAGGCCCCCCAGAGATTCGCGAAGCTGATCTTTGTAGGGCATTGATCAGGCTCATGTTCGATATGTTATCCACTATAATCTTCCTTCAACTCTTGAAGGTGAGCTTTCACTGAGGCAAGTCATGCACAGATGGCTGATGGTTCAGGCTATTATCAGGAAACAGGGCGAGCAGGGCGTGATGGCCACGTAAGTAATCATGTGCTCGGACAGGGAGCCTCGCTGATATATTCAGATGTCGCGCTGCATGCTGATATACTGCAAGTCGCCTTCACAGCAAGTACGAGCGATCACTGACAGAGTAGCCCGCGAAGATGCCAACGAAGTCCGAAACAGGATGGGTCCGATAGTCTCCAATCAGAAAGGGGACGATGACGCCGAAAGGGCGGACAAGGAGAAGGGCAAGCGGAGGATGCTGGAAAGCTTCACATGGGTCAGTTAGATATGGTGACCCGTCTGTCTGTCCTTGGGGGCAGCTGAGCTGACCTCGCAGCTCACATCGAATTATATCGAGAACGTCTCGGTGTGCCGCCATGTTTCGATCTGCCGGTACTTTGGCGAAAAGATCGATGGGAATGATGTGGATATCCGGAAGGCATACTGTAACGGGATGTGCGATGTGAGCTGGATTGGTTCCGCGCATCGGCGGACTTTAGCTGATCCTCAGGTATGTATCGAGCCAGCTGTTGTCGCACGGCGAGCCGCTCTGCTCAACGGGGATATCGAGATTGCATCTCAGGTTGTTCGACCTGAAGGAGAGGACGACCATGACTTGTCCAACGTCACCGGCCACATCTCTTCCGACAGCCCTCGGCCCGCCGGAAGCATGGCCATGCTCTTCGCTACTGGCCGAACAGGCTCATCCGGCCGGAATTCCTCGTCCGACAATGCCGAAGCTGGTCCAGCCAGGCGCTTCGTCCCTCCCGATCGCAACACCTTCAGCTCAAACGGTAGTATGCAGCCGCCCGCATCTATCCCAGCAGGTCGCGCACGGCGGGATGCGCTCAGCACCCCTACGACGGCATCTACAAGCTCTGGGGAAGCTCCAGAGGCAGCTCCGATCGTACCGCCCTCGATGACATCGCAGGGGAAGCGGCGAATCGGCCTGGTCGCTTATTCGTCTACGGTTCCCTCGGCAGAAAGCTCGTCTCTCGAGCACCGGCCGGCTCTGGCAGAGATCGACGTGAGCGCCAAAGAGAACGAGGGGAGGAAGCGGCGTAGAGCAGCTCTTGAAGCCACCGAAGCGGGCAAAGAGAGCAGCTCTTCGGGACCGTCCCGTCCGGCGTCGGCTGCGAAGGCGACACCCGTCGGTAGGCGCCGAGTCCCGCCAGTCAATGCGACAGCTGGACCTTCTCGGCCGCCAGCCGGCGGCCGGCCGAGGCGGAGTCAGACGTTCACGATTGACTCGCTCGTCGAAGGACCTGGAGAAGGATCGTATGCGCTCGCTGCACCTCCGCCGGCAAATGAGGGGAAGCAGAAGCGCCAGCGAAAGGCGTTTGAGGACGTGGACGCCATCGAGGGGGATGGTCCGTATGCGTATTACAATTGTGAGCGGTTTCACATTTTGGTGCAATCGCCTCAAGCTGATTCGATAGCGCCTGCGATGGCTGCACCTGCGGCATCCAGGGACGTACGACGCGTCCAAGCTGGCTTCAGAACGCCTTTCCGGTCGCCCATCGTCCAGGCTGCACCTAGATCGCGCGTCGGGCCTATCCTCGTGAGCATCTTACCGCGCCACGACTCGTTTGTGCGATCTTGTCAGCTGACCGTATGAAGGCGGAGACGCGTCGAGAGGCACTCAAGACCCTCCAGGCGGCTCTTCTGGGCCAGCTCGGGGCCGACGGTCCAGCCAACACAGTCTGGGCGTACTGGGGTTGTCCTGTTGATCCGGCGGAGGAGCAAACCAAAGGCATCAAAAGGGTGGCAAGGGAGCTGGAAGCCGAGGTCGTCAAGCAGAGCCATACAACTGCAGACTTTCGTGAGCTTCCCCTCGCTGATGGCTCGTCGAGCGAGCTGACCTTGACAGGTGAAAGTATCGCAAGTCTGTGCAAAGCGCTCAAGCTGCTTCGGCACCCATCGGTGATTGAGGCGATATGCGGTGGGGAGCTTGCGGGCGACTTTGGGGACGGCGAAGCAGGAGGCTGGATGAGACTCGTAGAGCGATTTGCGAGAGCCGAGGCGGACAGAGCGATCGGATATTGACAGGTCTTGTATATACATGATTATTGATTATTGTAGCATATGATACGCATTTTGATTGTGAAGTCAACCTATCTGCGTCGTGAACTACTTACAACGAGTACCTGAATTCTGAGATCTCCCTGTCTGTCCGATCCCTATAATCCTCCATTCCCGACAGCACGGGCGGCATCACTCCGCCGCGCGATACCCCCGGTAGATCCTTCTCGTCCCTCTCTTCTGGAGCCTCCACTGAGTTTCTGCTCGCGTTGGGCGGCAGGGCGTCTCGCCTCTTATTCTCCCGCTTGAAGGCCCAACGAAGGACCAGCGACATGAGACTCGCAGCTACCATCGAAACAATAACGGCGATCCAGGTCGAGCGGTACTTGATGGTGACCTCCTGGGTGAAGACGAGGTACGCAGCGACGATGTTGCCAACGTTGTAGCCGATAAAGATGAAGCCGGACTAGAGAGTCAGCTGGCTATCGTACAACAATCAGGCTCGTTGCATAGCTCACCACTGTAGCTTTCTTGGTGGACCCGGCAGTATTCGCCTGAGCGATCGAGAGGAGGAGGACATAGGGTGCACCGAAAGTCTGAATAGTCAGCTTAGTTAGGGCGAGGGTGAGCTCAGTCAACGTTTCTCACAGCAACGAGATAGTAGCCGATCAACGGCCCGGCGGTAGGTGACCACGGAGCTTTCCAGATGGTGATAGCTCCGACAATGACGGGTACGCACGAGATCGGGAGCATCTGTTGAAATCAGCTCCATTCGGGCCCGGACAAAGTCAATTGTGCTTACATAGGTCCTGCTATTCTTGAATCGTTGCGAGAGATAGGTGAACAAGTAGATCGTGATGCAGGTGAAGAACCCGCCTGGGATGCCCAGTGCGATCGTCTGCAGTGAAGAGTATCCAAAGCTTTGAATGATGCGCGCCCCGAAGGCTGTGACAGCGCCATTGCAGATCTACCAGTCAGCTCGCAGTCCCAGTATCGGGTCATCCGACTCGAACGCAGACTCACATAGATAGCAGTCGCCATAAGGAGGTACATCCAAGTCTTCCAGTCCGATACAGCCTCCACAAACTGCGGGAGACTGAAAGGCTGACGATCTTTTCCAAACGGGTTCTGGCGGGACCGGTATGCCAAGACCTCCTTCTCTCGCTCGGAGAAGAAGCGGCCTGGGTGGAGAGGCGAGGCCGGGAGGAGGAAGTAAATGGGGACTGCCCAGGCGATGGTGACTGCCCCTGCAAAGTAGTAGCTAAGCGGTCAGCTCGGGCGCTGGAAACGAGACCGCAGGAGCAAGACTTACAGCGCTTTCCACTGCTGCTGTAGATCGTTATGGCCGATCCCAAAGTTGATCACACCAGATATCATAGAGAAGAGCTATCCGATCAGCTGATTGCTCTGCTTACCAGAGGACAGAACAAATCAGCTTACCCCGGTAGCAGAATACCACACCCCGATCCGCACTGCCTGCTCTTCTGGCTTATACCACAGACAAGTGACAGTCACAAACGCCGGACTGACCGCACTTTCAATCAGACCCAGGAAGAAGCGCTGAGCGACAAAGCCGGCGTAGTTGGAACATGCGACGGTACAGATGCAGACGACGCCCCAGATGGCGACGACGGCGGCACAGGCGGGCGGGAGGGGCAGGCGGGCGAAGAGCAGGGCCATGGGGAGCACGGCAACGATGTAGCCATAATAGAACTGTTGATCAGTAGTCTGGCTATAGTCTGAGATGAGAGGAACATACAGCAGCAGTAGCGGTCGAGTACTTGGTGGTCGATGATACGCCGTTGACAGTCTCGATCAGCCCGAGATCAGGCAGGATCCCGAACACCGCAGCGCTGCCCAGCACTGCCTTGTCGTAGTACTTCATTGCATCAGCATATTCCCCATCACTACGCCTGTGTCCTAATCATCTTGGGACATACCTGCAAACCCAGCGTGATCGTCAGGATTGGCATCAAGATCAGATCCAGCTTTCGCACCACCCGCTTCTCCTCCTTCTCCATATCGAGCTGATTGTCCACCCGCGGAGCTTCCATCTTCGCTGTGCTATCTGCTTAAAGTCTCCTCGCGCTAGGAAGTGTGATGTGCAGAGCACCTTCAATGCCTCTGACCCCGACAACCTTCTACTCGACTTTGAAATTCAGCTGATGGGCGGACCAGCGAGAAGCGGAGCTCCGCTTACCCAAAAATAGATCCGAGATCTCATCCCGCTTCCGAAACTTTCTGAAACGCCTTACGTATAAGTCTTGGTCAAGCCACGGCCGCTGTGAGAGAGTGCTTAGACGAACATCTCGTCCACATTGCACAGGAGAAGCTAAGCATGACATCTACATGAGGCTAAGTACAGGGTCAGAGCGATCGAGTATGTGATTATGCTACAGCGGAATATGTGTCCCGAATGATTGTCTATACCCTCCCCGACCCCGCTTCTCAATCATCCTCCTTCGCCAGCTTCCCCACCTCCACACTCCCCTCCCTGCTCGTGATCAACTTGCTCGAGCTGACCTTCTCGAACGCAAACATGACCCTCCCCGTCCCGCCCTGCTTTGCGATCTTGGCCAACGAGTACTGCTTGGCGTCTTGACTGACAAGACCCCTCGAACTCGCCGGGATCACCTTCTTCCCCTTCGCCTTGCCCTTGCCCTTCTTCTGCACCTTCGCCTCTTCCTCAGACAACTCAGCCTCGTCCTCCTCACCAGCGCTATCCATCACCCGGTCGGCGCGTGTGTCATCGTCATCGTCGCTGTCGACCGTGGCCGGCCTGACGGGCGCCTTCTTCTTGGTCGCACCGAGGTCGAATTCCGAGTCGGAAACGTCCTCGATGGCCGCCGGGGAGCTAGCAACGTCTTTTGGCGCAGAGTGGCTGTAGATAGTATTGTAGAGGAGGGGGTCGGCTAGCGTCTTGTACGAATTGAATGACAAGCCATCGTAGTGCGTCCATGCCTTGAGCGCGGCGAGCTTTTGTTGCTGTTCCACGGCTTGCTGGATCTGTCAGCTCGTCCTCCTAGTAGACCCCAGTAAGATAGCTGACCTTTTTGACCATCTTGGCGGTCTAAGAAATCAGCCTATTGCCTGTGCTGTACAGGAAACGTTGAACTTACGGGGGTCGGGTCATACTGAGAAGCGTTGACGAACCCCTTAGGTACGTCATCCTCATCGTCCGACGCACTCGCCTTGTCCGGACTGGGCAGGTTCTCCTCCCGCTCAGACAAAGGATCCGACTCGGGTCTGGTCTGACAATCGCATTGGAGCAAGTCGTCTGATTCGTCAGCTGTGTTTGCCGCTATCGTGAAGGGACCAGCTAAACATACGGGTTTGACAGCCATCTGTAGTCAATTTGAGGGTGAAGATATCCTTCAATTCCGCCGGCGAGAAGGCTGTAATGTCAGCTTTGCTCCCGCCGTCCTTGGTTCCAGGCGTGGACTCACAGTCTTTGCTATCCTTGCCCTGCTTCTGGTCCAGCATCTGGTCCGAGAGGCCAGTCTTGGTAATTTGGCGCTGGACGTCAGCGGCGAGCGGCATAGCCACGGCGAGGAGAAGTCCGCTCACCTGATAGATCTTCTCGTCGATCGTGTTGGTCGTGAGAAGTCGATAGATGAAGACGGGCTTCCTCTGGCCGTCACTGCGACATAAGCTACGCGTGGAACCAACTAATGAAACATCAGACTCACCGATGTATACGAGCCATCGCCTGGAGATCGGTGGACGGGTTCCTGCTTGGTCAATCTACGCTCTCGGATTACAGCGCAGAGGTACTCACCAGTCACTGTCGAAAAGTATCAATCGCGACGCGCTGCAGGGTTAGCCACGCCCCCAGCGAAATACAAAGACTGTCAGCTTACCCGATGAGGTTCAGCCCCACTCCTCCAGCCTTAGCACTAAGCAGAAAGATAAAGCTTTGATCCCTGGTCTCCCTGTTGAAGGAGTCCACAAGACCTTGTCTCTCCTTGGCAGCGGTAGAGCCGTCGAGGCGCATGTAGGGCCAATGGCGTTTCTTGGCGATCTCCTGGATGATGTTGAGTGTAGCAGTCCAGTTTGAGACGACGACAACCTTCTCTTTGGTGGTGCTGTGAAGCTCGAACAGCATACGGTCGAGGAGAGAGAGCTTGCCTGTATTGGTCAGTTTTTGATATGGCAAGAGACATGGAGCGGAACGCACCGGAGACGGTCACGTCCCGCATGTGTAGGTCTCGAGGTATGACTTCGAGTGCAGCTTCGGTGGCGTCTCCGATATCACCGCTCTTGAAACCTTCATCGTCTTTCTTGCGCAGCAGCTGAGGAGTCAGATCTGACAAAGGAAATCGCCGAATGTCTCACCAAAGGGGTATTCGACACCTTCCGCAGCAGGTCAACTGCATTATCAGCTTAGCCTCCGCGTGGTTAGCGCAACGACTCACTCATCGCGAGTCCCTGCTGACCCGCTCCACTTCCTCGGGCGAGCGACTGAGCAAGACTTGGCGAGAGGATACTGTTGTACACCTTGATTTGAAGCTCCGAAGGTGCGACAAACAGCACATATTCGTCTGCTGTCAGCTCTAGCCAAGATGTAGGACTCACGCTTGGGCGGAAGATAGTTGTTCAAAACATCGGCCGTTCGGCGCAGTACGAACTCTTTCGAGAGCTTACCCAACTATACTGATCAGCTACTCCGCCACTTTGAAAGCCGTGAGGAAGCTGACCTCGTCTGCTTTCATCCTCCCGTTCTCGACGGTCTCGGTCGAAGCGCCGACCTCTCGACTCCGGGTGATAGGCTTCTCATAGTGCTTGAAGAACTGCTTGTATGTACCGAGCAGGCCAGGACAGCAGAAATCAACCTGGCGGGTCAGCTGCTTGACCCACTTATCATGCCGATAAGAATTTACCATCGCCCAATATTCGCCTAGATCGTTCTGCACCGGGGTTCCGGACAGGACTGATGGCATCAGTGACGAAACATATCCAGGGCAGGTACGACTCACTGATCCTCCGAGTCGTGCGCAGCGCGTCAAACATTTTGGTCGTCTTGTTCTCCTTGGTCTTGAGCCTGTGGCCTTCATCGCATACGATGAGATCGATTGGGGGCTGACACGAAGCTAAAGCTTTGCTGCCCAGTCAGCACGGTGCAACGAGTGCTACGTCTGCTAGGTCTCACATATATTTGCGTAACTGGTTGTTAGCCTGCTATCAGGATCGCCGCTGACTGAAGGGGCTGCTTACTCTTTCGTATCCTATGATCAAAACGTGCTGGCTCTTGTAGTTCAGCTGGAGAGTCAGCGCGATCCTCACATTCTAGTCGGCGTAGACTGACGAAAGTCTTGATCTGCTGGTCTGATCCATCTGCCACGATCACACCGATGTCTTGCGAACGAACCCTATCCCGTCAGCGAGTCACCGCGCGGTAAGGGAATGAGCTTAGCGGAAGGCGTACCATTTAGTGAATTCCCTCCGCCAGTTGTCACACAAGCTTACTGGGCAGACAATTAGCGCCTTGCCGATGCTGAATATCAGCTGAAAGTCTTTCGGCGTCTGTTACGGGCATCGTACTCACATCGATGCTTGATTTCTGAATGGGGATTGGCCTACACATCAGCAGAAGTCTGACTCTCGGGAGGTACGACTTACGCAGAAGCATGTGTATCAACGCGATAGTCTGCAAGGTCTTACCGAGACCCATCTCGTCCGCGAGGATACAACCATTCGCTTCGGCACCGGTCAAGCCCATAACACAAGAGTACATGAACTGCACGGTCAGCTCATAGCTAATCTACGATACCTCAGATAGCTACTTTGACGCCTTCTCTTTGATGATCCCTCATTTTTGCTGCCAAGAGAGGGTCCATAACAACGTCGTTGAGCTCGGTGCCTCTGGGAATGTAAGCGTGTCTCTTCATAGCCATTCGTAATCCTCAAACTGACCGCTTCTTCGCCTCCGCCTCCGACGGTCTCTGCATCACCAGGGCCCCCTCCGCCTTCGGGTCGAAGACAGCTCCTCCCCACTGATCCCGGTCCTTGGCGCTCCCACCCCCGATGACTACCTTAGAGGCGATCTTCTTGGGCGGCGCGGCGTAGAAGCTCTGAGCAGGCACGGGCTGGTATGTCTTGACGGGCGGAACTACGACCCGGGAAGGTCCAGCGGGCTCGGTGACCATGTCATTCTCGTCCGTCGAAGTAGCAGGGAGGTAGCCTGGCATCTTTCGCGCGGGCTTGATCATGGTGGGGGTTTTGAAAGTCTTAGGGAAGGCGGCTGGGGAGTAGGCGTTTGGTATGGCCTTGACGGCTGTGTTCTTGTTGAGAATGCAAGTGGATTTGCAGAATCTGAGCAGGTTCAGTCGAGACCCCCTTCTGGCATGTTGATCAATTCGCTGCACTTACTCATCGTATGAGACTTTCCGGTCGACTTCGATCTCATAGCATCCGATGCGCATTGGTGTCCCGTTCATGGGTTCACCTCCACCGACCGTTGCAGAAGCCATACTGTACAGTCAGAACCAGCAAGCTTGATCATGGCTGGGAGCCTACTGGTCTCCTCCATCTTCATTCAGAAGCGCGACCTTATTGCCCGACATACGAATGAAGGCGTCACCGTCCCATGTTTCTGTCCCGGTCAGCTACATCGCGAGGTGACTTATGAAATGTCGTCATCTAAACAGAAGACGTACTATGCTGCTAATGTCAGCTTGATATAGCACCGATCTATGACTGGAGCTTACCTTCTTCGTTTGGGGCTTCCTCCTGAAGTTGTCAGCTACAAGCTCCAACGTCGAGCACTGCCGAGATGGTAGCTCACCATTGCACACAGTAGTATGTTGCGTCCTGCGGGCTGCTCGCTACCTCATACTGTAGCTTACCTCCCCTTCCGACTGAAGCAACCACGCTAGGCGTTGTCGCCGCTTTGGGATGCAAGATACTCTGAGGTCTGGCGAACCCTGATGTACGCCCTCCGGCTGCTGTAGGTGTGTTGAACGAGTCCGGACGGGAGGGGCGGGAGGGTCCAGCAGTCGCAGGGGCGATCTCCTTGGGCTCGTCGATATCTGATGTCTCGGAGGCGGAGTCGGGGATGGCTGCCTGTCGCTTTGGTGGAAGCGTAGGGGGAAGTTCGTCGTGGTAGTCATCCAGTCTGCGTTTGCCTAGGGTCATTGTGGTGGTCTAATACCTGATACAAAAGGGCTGTAGAAGGGTGGAGGAAGGGCAGAAGGAAGAGAGGCAAATTCAAGATCGCCTCCACCGGCGCGCTCGAGCGAAAGCAAGTCGCGTCAACCAGAGCCACGTGACAGTGCCTCTTCCGTCGGAAGCTAACCTCTAGCTACACATTCCTCAGTCGGCGGACCCCTTAATGCGGCCGATCCGAGCTTCCTTACACTTCACTGCTCGGCCATCACGTGTGATACGGTAAGTAGATCTTGTCCTGGCCCCTAGCACAGAGTCAACCATGAGCTGAATCCGGGCGGAGTGATCGATCGCGTAGACGCAAGTCGAAGGGGAACACCAGTGCCACAGAAGCGTTTGTGCCAGATGACCTGCCAGCTGCTCGCGCACCAGATCACTATCTGACCTAGTCGTCGGCAAGCTTGCTGCTCCCTCTTAAGGCTTGTATTGCCAAGCCAAGTGCGTCACGAGGATCCCAACGATCTGAATCTGACGCCTCGCCTGCCGGAGCTATGAGTCGGATAGCTGGTCTTATCGATACGGTGATACGTGGCTGCTTGAAGCGTTCACGACTGACGAAGTCTCTTTGGCCTGATCACACCCGTCTGCAATTGGTCTGGAGAAATCACGATGACATGCCTCCACTCGACCCTCTGATAGCTGAACGATCCTTGGCCTGACTGTCATCCCCACCGTGTTTTCCTGTGACAGTTCCCCGCCCGCTGATTGTACACCAGAGAGTAAGATAGGCCCCCTGGCTCTCCATGGCAGCGTGTCGACGCACGTCGCGTACTCGAATTCAAACTCTTTCCACACGGCTTCTCCAGACAGGCTCAGAGTCATTACTGACTTCAGCGACTACCATGGTCAGCCTGAATACAGCGGGTCTGCGGCGTTCGAAGCAGGTAGGTGAGTTGTTCGTCACTGATAGCGATGTCGTGTGTATGAGACGACTCCCCCGCAGTACCTCATGCGCATTGTCAAACCAGGAATATGGACACGAACCGAACGTGGAGCAGGCATAACACGGAGTCGGTGCGGCTGACATCTTCTCAGTGACAGGAACGGCGTGCATTCTTCCAGTCAGCACGCGAAGGAGGGTGCCCGGTAGTAAATGCAACTGCGACTCATTCACGACGGTATGGATACTCTAGCTCCTTCTTCAACCGACATATTTGGGCGTGGCGGGGATGATATTATAACCGTAGTTTCGTCTAGAGACGACTGCAAGCTCGGCAGCATGTCAAAGATGTTGTAGGGGATGTCATACGTCGATGTGATACATATAGGTCCAGCTCGACGCCCGCGACGCGGCAGTCATGTTTTGCTGTAATGGGATACCCGATACATACAAGACGGTAGACTTTTTACAACTTGTCGATACAGCTCACTAAACGCCGTCTCATCGCCTAAACAACGACTTTCTGGGTCTAAGGACCGCACTATCCCGGCTCGTCGAAGATTCGAGCATTCCTCGCTCCTCTAGGACCTGTCGGGCAAGCTTGAGATGATATGGTTTGAGCGGACCGGTCGGGTGATCTGAGCGCGGCTGAAGGTCTTTCGCTGTATCGTCAGCTGGATTCTACAGATTGGTGGATCATCTTGAGCATGGCGGAAGGCGATTTGGACCTGGCCGGGAAAAGGAAGTCCACATACCAATCTCGACCACTTCGGCGACAAAGATCTTGGCTAGACCACCCATGTACCGCAGTGTAGGATCTGCCGTCTGATCATACATCTCCCTGTTGAGCTAAGGGCATCAGCTGCTGATGTATGATCGACCGATAGATCGTAGAGCTGCGCACCTTCTTGATAGCTTTGACGGGGATGACGACCGAGGTGAACGCGTCGAAACGCTTTGCAGCTTCTGGATCCAGGACGTCTCTCAGAGCCCTATGCAAGTCAGCTCATGTCAGGCCACATGTACCATCGGCTATTGCTCGGTATAGGAGAGCACGACGAGAGTAGACAGACTGCTGTCCAGCCGACTGACATTTGATCTCCCTTCATCGCCTTCCCCCTAGCCTTCACAGCCTCCAGATCAACATCCACCAATGCCCCCTTCTTACCTCCTCTCCCTGCCCTTCCCGCAGCTCCAGCCCTACCCGCTCCTGCTGCTGCCACCCCGCTATCGACCGCTCCCGCAATGACTCCCGCTCCGTCATCAACCTGCAAAACCTCCTCGTCCCCCTCGTCCTCTTCCACCTCATCATAATTCTCGTCCATCTCCCTCATACCCCGGCCCCCTTCCGCCGTTTCTGCTGCTCCTACCAGATCCGCCTCATCCACGTCGTCCCGCTCATCCAGCTCCCTACTGTCATTTACGCCCGACTTTTTCCGCTTGCCCTGCGGTCCGGATTTAGCGTTAGGATAGGGCTTCCGTTTCCGCGGGGCTGCGGCACCGCTGGGTAGGTGCAGGCCCTTAGATGAGGATGAGCTCGCGGCGGTGCCACCAGCGATAGATGGAGCCTGGGCGAAGGTTGGAAGGGCGAGAAAGGAGGGCTGAGGGAATGGTTGCGACATCGTTCTCGGGGGAAGACCTCGAAGAAGGGACGAAGGGAAGCCCAGCCAGGTATATATGAGAGCAGCTTTATCGAGTCTCGACTTCGCGAGCAGTCAAACTCGTAGGAATGTGTGGGGATAGGGAGAATGATGTGTGAAGCGAGAGGCTGAATCAAAGGCTGCATCTCCATCTTGCTGGCCCGCGGGGTCGGCAAGGCAACAAGAGGTACTGGTTCCGGGGGATTACTTGGGACTAAGCGTTCGACATCGAGCTGATGCTGCGACCTTGGCTCTGACACTCAGCATCTTGGCGATCACACAGCGCATTCCTGTACCCTCGGGAGCCCACACAAGCTTGCATTACAAGAAGACAGCAAAATAACCAACAGATGATCCAACACAGCTTTGACAAGCCCTTCTCACACCACCGGCCCCTCCGCTCCGCCCCCACCTCCCGTATTCTCCTCAAAACTATACAAAGCCTCAATCTCGCTCAAGATCCGCAAGAAATCCCCTACCTCCGTCAGCTCTACTGCCCTTCTACTACCGCTGGTCCCTACTTCCAGTCACTCACAGAGATACCCCTGAGCCTTTTGTGTCCTTGTCTCCGCCCTTGCCTGCTCACCCGTCGGATTCGGCAAACTCGGCGAAGGCGCCGTGAGAGCGTCAAGCAGCGTCGAAGCGACAAATCGGACCTTGACAACAAGCGGGGCCGAGTTGACCGCTAACCTGTTAGCACAATCGCTTACCCACCCCTGCATGATGGCTGATGGGACTCACCAATAACCTGAATCGGGATCTTCTGCAATATCCCCAACAAATCAGTCGCCACCTGATCCTTTTGCTGCTCGCTGAACATCGCACGGCTCCAATCCCGCCTGGCGCTGTTGTTACTCTGCCGACGCGGGCCGAGACTGGGTTCCCTTGTGTTGTTGGCGGCAACAAGCTCGGTCTGGCGGAGCGCTAGGAGGTCGTCCCGGTACTGGAGGGTGATATAACGGACCATTTGCTGGAAGGTCAGCCTGAGGCCCCAGGGCAATAGCCGGGAGGCATACCTGAGTCACATAGATATTCGCCTGCTGGACCAAGAACGCATCCTTCGCGACCGCCCTGCTCGCTTTCGGGTCAAAGAATAAGCTCCGAATGTCGGCCGAAGCGTGAGCGTCCCAATCTTCCGAGAAGTTCCTGTACGGTCAGCCTATCGTTGACTCTCCAGCTGCGTACTGGCGATACTCACGCTACGGATCGAGTATCGCTATCCCAGTCGAGACGCAGCGCTTCGGGACAATCATCCATCATCGACATGATCTGATCGTAGAGGTCCGAAACCTCGGTAAGGCGCATCTGGAGCATGATGCCCGATGGCGGGGATCTTCTATCTTGTCGACGACGGACCATGACTTGACCAGATACTGGTGGTCAGCCTTCACTCACGCACACAAGACCAAACGCTTACGGCGGAAGATCTTGGATATGTAGTTGAACCCAGTGATGAGGGGGACGGTATCAGGCGGTTGCTCAAGGTATCCATCTTCCGTGATGTACTCGTCATCCCTGCTTGTATCAGCATCCCCCTCCAAAGATAACGCGTCATGACTCAGACTCACAGCTCGCTGGGCAACTCGACATCGCACTCGTCCTCCGCAAAGAGCGTGGTAAGCCCATCGACCGCACAAGTCGAGCGGTCGCTCCCAAATGCCAGCCAGAAAAGCCTGCGGCGGAACTCTCGCTCGATGGGCGGCATATTCGCGTAGGTCTGCCCAGTCAGCAACCGGTCCATTCACCGAGGATATGCCCAGGACAATAGCTTCAGAGGGGTAGACTGACGGATTCCTGGTGCAATTTCAAGCGGATCAGAGTCGCAGTGTTTGCGCCGCAGAGGGACCACCCGACATAATGGTAGCCCAGGAAATTAGCTGTAATACTGCATCTTCAGCTGGCTACATTTGGTGGGACCGCCGGATCGCTCTGGGGACTTACAATACCCTGATGATCAGCTGACATCCCGCGCAATCAAAGCTCGTCACAGCGGAACTCACAAGTAACCCGTCGTTACTGCTACATCAGCCCCTCTCCCGGTGGCGTATGGCATGCGGAAGACTCACATCGCTCCAAGCTGACCGACTGCCAGTCCTTACTCTGGAACTCCCTTGTAAGCTGATAACAATGCTCCGCGAGCGCCTTGACTTCGCTTCTCGGGAGCGGCACAAACGCTCTTGGCACCTGTACCAGCGTCGCCGCCACCAGGATCAACACCATATGCGTCCATTCTTCTTCGCCTTCGCGGTCCTCCCGATGGTTCGCCAGATCGCGCATGAACGTCGGACGATGGATGGCGGGGATAAGCGCGTAGATATAGTCGAAATACAGGTCGACGACGTGCAGGAGCAGACCGCGCGGGAGTACCTGATCGAGTATGTTGGTGGGATTGGACGGGTGGTGTGGATACTGCGGAGAAGAGAAGGAAGGGGAGAGCTGATATCGCTGATTCGGTGGACCGCGGGGTGTGAGGGTAGACGTTGGGAGGCTGGGCGATAGACCGGCAGAATACCGCGGCGCCTCCCGCTCAGAGTAGCCGCCGCCGAACCGGTCTTCGGGGCTGTACGGGCGATGTGAGGAGGATGAGCTGGTCGCCGCCACCGCACGGTGCAGTGTCTCGTCCCATACTGACGTGATATTCTTGCCCATGTAGTTCGGGTGGCCTTGGCCGGGCGGAGCGAGTGCCGAGCCGCCATATGAGTTTTGGCTGCTCAGTGTCCCGCCTGGTCCGCTGGGCGGGTGGTACCCCTCTGGAGGAGGGTACGCATACGAGCTTGACATCGCAGGGTGAAGGCCTGGATTGTGCAGCAGCTCGCGATGTGCGAGCGGGGGCGAGCGGTCCCGATCGACGGGGAAGTGTGTATTTGACATGATTGGAGTGGGGTAGTTGTCAAAAGGGCCGCTTTCATCGTTTGAGTCAGTCCGCTCCGCTTGTAAGCGCTTGACGTATCTGCATGTCAGCCTCTGGGCAGCCAGGAGCAAGGAGAGCTTACAGATTCGGCGGTCCTCGCTTCTTGGGTCGGTATTCATACGTGCCTGCCATCCGTTAGTGCTGTGCCCATCACAAGACTTGGCCCGGAGAGCTTACAGTCGAGGTGCAGCTGTACGCAGTGCGAGCATGGGACTCTGCCCCTCGAGTCCTTCTCTGCATCAGGGGGCGGTTGATCGCACTTGACCCTGCGGCAGTCAGCTGGCCGTAGGAGGCAGGCATGAGGGGAAGTAGGCTTACTTGCGAGCTCGACAAGCTGGAAGAGTCATTAGCTTGACATCTCTTGGCCTTCAGATCGCGCGCGGAACGTACGATCGCAGCTCTCTGTACACGATCAGCCAAGAATCCCACCGATGTCAATCAGGAACTCACGACTCTGCCTCGTCCGCTTGACTTTCTCCGCCCCCTCTTTCGCCTGGCCTTTCTTCTTTGACCCCTTCTCCTTCCCCTCCTTCTTGGTCTCGCTCGCTCCGGCCCCGCTACCGCTCACCGGCGTCGGCGGTATCTTGAAATCATACCCTTCCCGCTCGTCTCCTGCTCTCCGATACTCTCCTGGGCCTAAAGCTCTGCCTTCTTCTCCGCCTCCGTATCCATGCAGTGTCTCCCCGCCACCGCCGCCACCGCCACCTCCCAATGCGGTCTCACGCGCGCTCGGCGGAGGCGAGAGACCATGGAAGATCTGGCCGCCGTAGTCGGGATAAGCCGTCCGAGGTTCCGCGCGTATACCGACCTTGGAGTCGTGTTCGCCTTGGCGGGAATCGTCTGCAATAAGCAAGTCCGGGTCTATGCTGCTTTGCATGTCTGCGCGTGGCGCTGTGTCTGTCCTTCACGGACAGATTCTCGTCGGGCGTGGTGTATGTGTTCCCGGCAGATGACTATAGATAGCGGAGTAATATCGGGATAGAGATAAGGTGAGAAGGAGTGGGATGTCGCGGATCTGACGAGTTGTTTTGATTAAGGAAGGGGATGGCTTGGCATTAGGACAAATTGCCTCATTCGGACTTTTTCATTAGATCTCATAAAAGAGCATGGTGGTCACTGAACAATCAATGTGGCATCTGCTCAACCCGTTCAGGTGATATCGAGTGGTCAAGTGATATCGAGTGGTATATACAGGTCCAGGCACTCCATCTACCGCCGACCGCGCATCAACAAGTAAAAGTCCTCGACTTTGCTCCTGCTTTAGGCTGCGACATATCCCTCGGCATCTTCCCAAAGTCCGGAGTCTGGATCATCACTGCCCCATCAGCTTCTTTCCACTTGCCATCGATCAATTTTGAAAGAGACGCACCTGGAGGAGGCGCATCAAGAGGCCTTGGCTTATCCTTCTTCTTCTTCTTCTTTTTCGGCCCGTCCTCGTCACCCGCCCGTGGAGGCGCGTTCGGCTGATCCAGCAGATTCCCTTCTGTCGCATAGTCAAAGACGGGGATATCCCCATGTGCGGCCGGCTTCGATTTTGGCTTCTTGACCTTTTTGGGCGCGGTAGTGTCCACGTCGACGGTACCAGACTGGGATGTCGACGGGGCCGAAGGTGTACCGGTGGCCGAGGTGGAAGCAGCTGCAGCTTTGGCGGCCGGCTTCTTCCTCTGCCGCTTGACCTGGACGATCTCGTCCCTGGACTTGTGCGCCGGCTTGATCGGAGCCGCCGAAGATGACCCCTCCGCCTCCGCCAACATTGCTCCGCCAGCAACTGGGCTCGGCGCCCGCTGCGCTGCCTTCTCCGCCGCTACCTTGGCCCGGGATGCCGCCGCAATCTCCTTGAGCGCCGTGAACCCCGTCCGCTTCGCAGCAGGCACAAACGGTACAGTCTCGGGCTGCAGTGTCTGGCTCGATATAGCAGGTATCGCAACTTGTACCGCCTCGCCCATATCCTCGTCCCCTGTTGCCGCCGCCGAACCGGGATGGATCTCCTCCGCGATACGCCGACTGACGAGATCGAACGAAGGCGACATTTCCCGCTTCTTCAGCCCGAAAGCCTGTTTGGTCGGACGCTGTGCGGGCATTGTCGAGCCGAAGAGGGAAGACTTGGGTCGGGCGGGAGGAGATGGGGATCGGCGAGCGGGGACGGTGTTTCCAAAGAGGGCCGATTGGGACTTTGGCTTGGAGGCTGGCTGGACAGCTTCCAGCGAGGCCCAGAGCGAATCCACGGGGGAGGGTCTCGAGAAGGTAGACGGTGGGGCTTGTCTTTCGGCCGGAGGTCTCACAGCTGGGGGTGGAGACGGAGCGCGGGGTCGTGGAGACGGACTGCGGGCGCTTGGGGATGAAGCATGGGGGCGGGGAGATGAGGGACGAAGGCGCGGGGCGTACGGATTCCGCCGACCTTGATCCGTTGTGGCAGTCTTCTCCTTCGGTGCCGGCGGGTTGGCGGTCCACTCATTCCGAGCCGCAACGACCACCTGGAGTACATCATCCGCCATATCCTTCGCGAGCATCTTCTTGGCGTGAAGTATTCGCGCAATCAAGTCGCGTTTCGGAACCCGAAGAATACCGATTTGGCGGATGATATCGGTCGGCATGACCCAGCTGTCTTCGTTAGCTTACGTTTAACTTGTCCCGTGATCTGGAACTCACAATGGCGACTCGTCCAGCCTCCTCGCAACATCATCCCGCCACTTGTGCAACGCAATCATCACCGCCGCCTCGATCGTATCCTCACTATCAGGCGGCAGACTCTTCTTGAGGAGACTTTTCCATCCGCCCGATCCCCGCCCATCCGTCTGGTATTCGTCCCGCTCATACATTTTCATCGCCGTTTCCGCCGATAATTCCAATACCTGCCTGAGCGCCGCTTGGGGGTTCTGTCGGAGGCTCTTCCGTAGAGCGTCCTGCGCTGGTGTGGAAGCGTCTGCGGACGGTCCAGGCTGGGGAGTGGAGGGTCTGGAAGACATCTCGAGCAGGGCATTGCGAAGGTGGTCGTAGATGTAGAGAAGGTAGTGGGTGTCAGATCGCGCATAGTCGATCATCGCTTGCGGGAGGGGTCGGATACGCCAATCGGCCATTTGATAGCGCTTGTCGGCGGTGACAGAGCAGTACCGGGCGAGGAGGGAGGCAAGCGAGTGCGAGGGGAAGTCTGCATGTCAGCTCAGCCTAGAGATTAATCGTGCAGGGCTAGCTCACTCAAGACCATTGTAGCATGATATGTATCAAACAGATTGACGATGTAGATATCAAAGTCCCGCTCCAGCCAGAGGATGTCCGAATCTGAACCGTGAAAGACCTGTTATGTCAGCTTGATCATCAGCTTATAGAAGTCGAAGCTGACCTTGACGATACTGGGGTCCACCATGACATCCCCAAACTTTCCTTCCCGAATCTCCCCTCTCAGCTTCAACGTATCCACGACCCAATCCCTCTCCCTCGTTGAGATCTGCATCAAGCACGTAAAGCCAAAATACGACCTTGTCGAGTGATGTTCCAGATCCACCGCAATCTCCTTGGCTTCCCTCAAGTACCCAACCATCTCCTCCAGCGTCTCTGGCGTATTCACAAATACCAACGGGCAATCCTCCATCTCGACCGGCGGGATAGGAGCGGCCACCTCGAACATCCGGGTAGGGTACGGCAGGTGCTGCGTTTCATACCAGTACGGGTGTTCCCTCTCCCGGATTTTTCGTTTCCGGAGTTCAGCCTCTTTGATATCTGCGGCGGAAGTGGGGGAGAGGAGGCCGGCGGTAGATATGGGGTGGTCGAGCGGGACCATGGAGTGGGGTTTGGTAGCGAGGGTAGGGGTCCAGGGTTGGTTGTGAGCGGTATTGGGCGCGTCGGGGAAGAGGAGCTGCGGCTTGTCGACGTCGGCAAACATGAGGTCGTATGCGAGTCGACCTTGGCCATTTTTGCCAGCGGGATAGGGAGCAAAGGGGCCGGGAAGCTTCCGTGAGGCAGCGGCGGCCATGCGGGGGTCTATCTGGATCGCGGCCTTCTTCTTCTGACCAGAGACATCGTCCAGCCGCGAGTCCTACAGAATTAGCTCGGATATCGCATACAGACATGCAGCTTGAAGCTCACAGCATCCTCCAGCAGCCCGTCAATCACATTCCCAACGCTCCGCCTGAACCCCTCCACCGCATCCTGCTCATCCGCCAGCTTGCTCCTCCCCTTGCCCTTGACACCAGCCTTCGGCCGGCTCGTATCCCCCTCTACGAGCGTCAACAGCTGCTCCGTAAGCCCGAGCAATCGATTGCTGGTCCCATCGACAGACTTGGCGAACTTCCGATCGAGAGTCCGGTGGAAGCTGAGGTCCGACTTGGGCGGGAGGGCAGCCGCGTGTGTTGTCAGCCGATCGAGAGCAGCGGTGATGCCGCCGAGGTGTGAGGACGGGCCAGCCGCCTGACTGAGTCCGTGAGATGCAGCATCCATCCTGCGTGCACGCCAAGAGATAGGTGTAACGCCGGAGCGAGGTCTAGAGGGGCGAGGGGATGTGAGTTTTGGGAGTACTCTTTGGCCGACCTTCTGCACTTTCTTTGACGGTAGCCGCTTTGCGACGGGGATTCTATTGGGTTGTCGGCGAGAGGGTACTGGGCGATAGGTCCTAGTGGAAGATGTCTGATGCGAGGAAAGAAGGAGTGTGGGTTGGAGGACTGCCCGGGCGAGAGATAGTCGATAAAGTATCGTGCTGATCGCTCCGATCTACGGAGGTAAGCCAGAGATCTAGCTCGGCTGCTCAAAACAAGAGTGGTGCTATGCCGGGGTGTATGATGTATGGGCAATCGAGATATACAGGCAAAGGCGGTCGCTCGAGCTGAGAATCTTCCAAGATGCAAGATGTCGGCCGCGGGGATGGTGATTAGTAAATTCGCCACGTGCTTCCAAGCAATTCAATAGCGGGAGTATACAAAGCTAATCAGAATACCTGATCCACTGAAATTTCCTCTGCGGACCTTGATTATATACTTTCACCTTCTCTCACTTCTCCCACAGACCGAAGCCACCCACACTCAGCTCCCCCTACATCGCCTGCAGACTGCCGGGATCGATCTTGCAAGCTGACCCTCCCATCACCTGGAAAAGCGCTAGGACTCACCTCGGTTCGCCAGTAAGACTTCGGACCGTCCATACTCACAATGTCCGGTCCTTCTCGATCTCTCCCTAGGGTGCTCTCTGGCTCGTCTCGTACAGGTATGTCCGACACCACTGAGGACCGCTCTATCTCACTCAGAGTACCGATAGCCTTACAGACACAAGTGCTGACCGTCAGCCTTCCAGAGCCAATCCCGCTCCTCCTCATCGACCTCCACTCCACCCCTCCGGGCCGCCCTCCTCCTCTCCCGCCCGCCTCTCCTCACACCCACCCCCACGCCCCTCGAATCGACATATCACGCCTACAACGCTCGTCTCCGCTCCGCACTCTCCAACCCGGTCCCCACCTCCTTCTACTTCAAACCCGGCTCCCTCCCTCTCCGGCGGTTCCAGCGGTCCCAGCACGCCTCCGATGTCGAGGCGTTTGGACCCCGTCTAGCGGGCAAAGAACCGGACGTGGGCGATCTCCCAGCGGAATTGGAGGTGGAAGTGATGGAGCGGGATCATTGGGTCAAGGCGGATTCGGAACGGGGTGAGCGGAGTTTGGAGCGGATGCCGGAGGACGAGGTGTATTGTTTGGTGCAGCGGGAAGGGAGGTGGGAGTTTCCAAGGACAGAAGTGAAGAAGGGGGAGGCGCTGGATGAGGCTGTGAAGAGGGGATTGGTGGGCGTTGACGGAGAGATGGGGGGCAGGGGGATGAATAGCTGGGTGGTCACAAAGAAGCCGGTCGGGGTCGTGAGGCAAGGAGAAGACAGAGTGAGTTGTTCAGCCACGTAAGACGTCAGTTGCCAGCTCATCCACAAGATATTCTTCCTCCGGGGACACATACTATCAGGCGAACCATCACCATCATCATCGGCGTCTTGGAAATCATGGGCCTGGCTCACTTCAGCCGAAATACAAGACCGCTTGACGTCGCAGGGCGGAGCATCAAGCTGGGACGCTGTCAAGGGCATGTTTGGTGTAGAGGCAGAAACCAAGCAAGAAGAAGCATGATTTGGGACATCTACTTCATGTATGATGATCTCATCCCACACAGGCGCACAAGGGAAACTGTCCGCCCGATCTGGTATTCGGTGTCCGATGTGAAGTACTCATGCCCCTTCCACCGGCCGAACGTCCAGCAGGCACGCAAGCAGATATACATGGCTAATATATGACAACAATATGACTCCTACAGATTCACCCGTTCAGATGCCGGCGATCTGACAAACCCACTCTACTGATCTAGACACACCCTTCACTCTCCCGAAGCCTCCCCCCGTCCCGGCGAAGGTACAGCCAGCAACCCCTCCCGCTCCGACCTCCTTGTATCCACCTCATCCCACCCTTCTTCCGATACCGACTGATAATTCCGCTCCCCTGATCTATCCCTCGCGGCTCTAGAAGGACTTGCCTCGAACGTCGCCGCAAAGCTTCCAGTAGATCCCCACGGAAACGACCCTACGCCACCTTCACTGCCCATCCTGCTCAAACGGCCCCTGTGCTCATCCTCGTCGTCATGCTCATCTCCATCCAGCTCGTTGCCCTGCGCATCATCCTGGTCCGCCTCGGTATCTGTCAGAGTCAACGCCATACTCCCTGACCTGTCCGCCCGAGTACCTCGCGATCGATCTCGACGACCAGAGCGGATAGATCGACCCGCTAGATCTTTTCCATCGTGCGCGTTCTGGGCGCGACCGAGGTGGATATCCTTCGTGAGCAGGAGGCAGACGATAGGCGGGAGGACCGCGACGACCGCAGCGAACAGGACGAGGGTGTACCTATCTTGTCAGCTTACCTCTTCGCACTCGGACCAGGCACCAACTCACATGACGCTATGATAAGCCTCGATCGCACCCATCCTGACCGGATCCCCCATCGGGTACTCCACGATCCTCTCCATACTCCCAAACAACTCTTTCACCAACGTCGTATTCCCCTCTGCGCCAGGGACGAGCCGTTCCAGCTCCAAAGGCATATACGTCGTCCATATCCCAGTAGCTACGGCCGAACCGACCGAATTGCCTACTTCCGACAAGAGGAGGACGAGGGCAGTGACGGTCGCGACGTCGACGTGGGCGACGGACGCCTGGGCAGAGACTTGGATAGCGATAGCTGCGAAACCGCCGCCGATGCCTTGGAGGACCTGGCAGGCTATCAGGTCGGGGACGGTGCCGGTGGGTGAGCGTGCGCGGATCATGGCGAGGCAGCCGGAGAGGCGGATGATCAGGCCGAGGACGAGCATGTACTGTGGGTCAGCCAGCTCGGCCATCGCGTATTGATATTCTGGAGTACATACCTTGAAACGGTGAGTCGCCCACATGACTGCGCCGCCGACGATACCGAAGCACTGTACAGTGAGAAAGCCGTTATGGCTATCATGAGGAAGACCAAATACTTACAGTCATGACCAAGCTTTGTATAGCCACGAAGTACGTGAGCTCCCGATAACTCCACTCGCGAGTAACATAGACGTATCTGACTAGTCAGCTCGTCCTTCTTCCAACAGGTAGTGGGTCCAAAACTGACGAGTAGAGGTATGTATACTGCAAGTAAAAACTCATAAAGTCCAGAAACCCAATCAGGCATGCCCCCAGAATGGGCCCCCTCCCTAGCCACCGCATAGGTACGACAGGCTTGGAGGGGTATTTGGCTTCATACACCAGGAATACCGGAAGCAGTACAACGCCCACAGCGATCATGACGAACTGATACATCAGCTGCGACGCGTCTTCCTGAGCACTACGATCTAGCTCACGAGGCCGGGATTGTGCCATTTCTGCTCCGACTCGCGCTTGAGCAGACCCATAGGGAGGAGGATCAGCGCGAGCGAGGCCGCGATGAGAAGAAGACCGACGAAGTCCATTTCGGACGCGGCGTCGTATGCTGCCGTCGACCAAGCACTGATTATCAGCTGACTGTCCAGGGTCAGGAGCTGGGAGGGACTTTGCAGCTCACCGTTTCAACGTAGGACGGGCACGGCGTAATCGCCTCGCTTTACGGATCTTCCACTGTGCCCAGAGGAGGGCGGCGATCATGGGCGATAGTGATACAGGTATGAGAATGGCAAACTGACAGTCAGCATTGCGGCCCAAGGCCTGCTGGAGCAGACACATACCATCGCATATCCCCAACGCCTAATTGTCAGCTAAGCTCGCACACTCCGAAGGCGTCACCACTCCAGTTAGAACCTGAGCTCACCAATTTGGCAGGACTCGCTGTGCGATTTCAGCCGAGACGAAGTTATTAATGATGAACGGTGCTGAGATCAGGCCAGTGACCAGCCCACTGGGAGATCAGCTACTATGGCCCCTGGGGCTAGACATCGCCCAGCTTACCGCCAGCGCAAGTTGGTCATATCCGCGATTACGATCAGCTGCAGCATTTGTAGACCGGTATATCCAAACGCCTGCAATATATCAGCTCGTCCATCGACGAATCGATCAGCTCAACTGACGTAGAAGATCTCCCCCGCTGCGATCTGCCTGATGTCGTTCGCTGTAGCGATGATGAGCTATACCGTCAGCTACGGTCCTTCATCGTCTGTGTGAAAGAGTCAGCTCACATATCCTAGCACGTAGAGTATCGTGACGATGATAAACGTCTCCGCTCGCCCCACACTGCCTGATCAGCTTCTGTTCGCCTGTCTCGATTCGATGAAGCGAGCGGGGCAGCTCACACATCAGCCAGCTTGGCCATGAGTGGCTTCCCAACGGCGATGATGATAGCTTGAACGGTACCTATTGTCCCAGATAATGAATGTTCCAGGACTGCAGATGTTCTACTCCGTCAGCTGCAGTCGTTGCCTCAAAGACGTGGCTCAGCTGAGCTTACGCATATTGCAGATATTGCCAAGTGGTAAGTCCGTCTAGTGAGTAGATGTAAGCAGATAGGCCGATACTTATCATCAGCCTCGACGCAGGGACGTGCAAGCTGGCAGAACCTACCCGATGAACAACAGCCATTGGCTCTTTGGTCCCCTTGATCCCGTCAGCTCGCTCGCTCTGGCTCGCAACAGTGACAGCGTCGGACAGCTCACCATACTTCCTGTACCTCCTCCGCCGTCCTTGCACCCCTTCCGCTCATCCCACTGCCCGAGCGCTCCCTCCTTGCTCTGTGCTCCCTGTCGCCAATGGGCGACTCCAAACCCTCTTCCAGCTCAATCCCACCCCCACCCCCGACGCCCAACTCCAGCTCATCCTCGCTTGAACCAGCTACAGCTCGAGGCTGGCGTAGTGGGGACGATCTGGTACTATATGATGGAACATCATATCCTGACTCCTTGGCTCCCGGGTCCGAGAGGAGCGGGGTGGACGGCCGGGCTTCGTCTGGACGTAATCGTGGAGGAGAGCGTGAGGTCGAGCTCGAGGAGAAGGAGGAGGGGAGCGGGGGCATGATTCTGGCGGGGTGAATGCTATATCGGCGTCATTAGGGTAAGATACAGGGATCTCGGAGGGGAGCGCTATGTACAGTATGGCTAACGGGTTATCGGCCGACAAGAGAGAAGCAGTGAATAAAGTAGGGTTTGAGCGTCGAGCCTGTGCTTATTTGGGCGATCTCATTGATGCGGGGCTCCAAACAGGCGAATCGCCCCCGGAACCTAGAGAAAATGATAAGCAAGGTATGAGGAGCAGAACTTCGGCGACTTCAAGCGACTTCCTTGTTACACTATACCTCAAGATGAGCATAAGACCGGCCTCAAGAGGGCTTGCAGAAGCCCTAGGGTCCTCTTCCGCCCGAAGAGTGAGGCCTGTGCCCCAGCGCTCCAGTTTGCCGGTCGCTGGCCCGTCCATTCCCCGACGACACGCCTCGAAAGACGCAAAGCCGAACAATGTGGTTACAAAGGAACGATTCAACTTCAATACTTCCTTAAACTTTACAGATGAGCTGGATCCTGATGTGAGCTTCCACCCTCCCTCATCAGCTGAAAGGAGATTGAGCTCATGATGTAGCATGTCAACTATCGCAGAGTCTCAGCGTCGGAGATTGCGAACCGGCGAGAACCACCGACGAGGGTCAAGATGCTCGTCCGGGACTTTATCGATGACAGTCTGTACAATGTCAGCTTACACCAGCACGAGATGTCGCTCGAGACATTAAGCTGATTCGGGCAGGAACACTATGGCTATTTCTCACGGAACGCTACAATCTTCACGCCGCCTTCGGAGGGGTACGACTTTGGCTCCTTCCGTGACGCCGCGCATTTCCAGGAGACAGTGGCGGAGCGGTATGAAGCAGAGTACGGAAACATGGAGCTGGAGTCTGCGGAAGAGGGGGCAGAGGGAAAGGCGAAAGTACAAGCAAAAGGCGGATTGGGGCGGCAGGTCTGGCATACCCCCACCGAGCTGTTCAAGGTCAGTTCCGAGCTGAGTCATGATTGGGTGTGCCCGACAGAACCTCAACTGACTTCGTACAGCCATACTACGCCCGAACACTAATCAAGCCCATCCTTCAAACCTACAAGCTCAATCACTTCCCATACCAAGATTTGATCATCTACGAGGTCGGCGCCGGGAACGGATCTTTCATGATCGACTCGCTCAAGTATATTCGGGATGAACATCCGGACGTCTTTGCGCGGACAAAGTATAGGATCATTGAGATCAGTCCGGCGTTGGCCAAGATACAAAGGGCACGGGCGGAGGCGGAGGGCTTTGGGGAACGGGTGGAGGTGATTAATGAGGATGTTATGCGGTGGAGAGGGGGAGGGGTGGAGCCTTGTTTTGTCGTTGCTCTGGAGGTCTTTGTGAGCGTCCATCCAGCTATGTACTGAGAACCGGTGATATCCACAGCGAAACATAGCTGATACTCCAGGACAACTTCGCACACGACATGATACGATACGATATCCGCACCCTTGAGCCTTTACAAGGCATTGTCTCCATCGACCGCTCCGGCGACTTTTCCCTCCTCTACGAACCCCTCACCGACCCCCTCCTGCGCCGTGTACTGGCATACCGCCGTCTTCTCCCCCCATCCCCACTCACAGCCCCTACTCTGCCCTCGCCGCTCCTCCGCTCTCCACTCCTCCGGTCCCTATACACCTCGATGCCATTCGCCCCGAACCTCTCAGCCCCAGATTGGATACCTACCAAAGCAACACATTTCCTCGAGCGCCTCCGGGATAGACTACCGAACCACCGGCTCATGGTGGCTGATTTTGACTCGTTGCCAGAGGCAGTGGAAGGACGGAGTGGACCGGTCGTTCAGACGCGGTATGGAGGGAGTATGGTACCCTGTGAGACATTCCTCGTTAAGCAGGGATACTTTGATATCTTCTTTCCTACCGGTATGTCTTCCCTTCATCCACATGAGCACCGCTGACGACCAGACTTTGAGCTTCTCAGAGATACCTACTCTCTGATAATGAACTCCCCCTCTATACCCTCCCCGAACTCGCCGTCAGCCTCCACATCACCACTCCCGACCCGCAAAATCTCTCCATCTCGCCAGTCAGCGCCAGCAACGACCCGAGACGCTCAACCCCACCCACTGACCGCCGCTCTATCCTCAACACCACCTCAGCTCTCATCCGACTTCTTCTCCCCTCATCCCGGGACTGGCGTGCGCGGCTTCCGGCGGAGGCAGGTATCGATACATACCCATGCGGAGTTTATGATGAAGTATGGGCCGGAGGAGGTGGGAATGACGAGAACGGGCGATGGAGAGGGGGTGATGCTGGGTATGTACAAGAATGCCAAGATGATGTTTTAGGCGACGAGGGCGGATTGTGACTGTAGATAGCATAGACGACTACATTTTATCAGTATCTACATGAACACCATCTACTCTAGCGCACTTCGTTCCTGACGCGAGCTGGGTTTCTCGCGATCGCCAAAGTGCATACTCTTTGTGTTTAGCTGTCGCACAGATGCAACTGGTTGATCTATGCCCTATGTTCTACTTCTGAATGCAGTCTATATACAACTCCTCCTCCCCCGCCTCACTCGAGCTCACTTGGCCCACACACTCCCAATCGCCCCAATAACCGGTTCCCACCTAGCCAACCTCCCTTCCTCCTCCATCTCCACCATCCTACTCAACCACCCCCCTCCAAACTCCCTCCCCCCTTGCCTCGCCCGCTCCCTCAATCTCTCCTCGGCATCACACCAGAACATCTTCCACTTGCCATCCGGCGTCGTAATAAAGCCATTACTTCTCTCGGCATACCACTTGTTCACCGGATTATCCGCCCTGCTCCGCCATACGAGATCCCGCCCTCTCCCCTGTCCACTCAACGACCCTTCGGACGGATTGGCCGCATCGAGCAGGCCAAGACCGTACGTCTCGTCTCGGAGCGCGACCCATAGGAAGTCCACCGTACCGTCCCCTTGATGCGAGGGGAGTACGGCGAACTTGTCCAGGTAGCAGATACCCTCGGGCGTGGAGTCCGGCTCGGTGGTGACAATGGCGGCACCGGCATAGTCGCCGATGACGATGAGGAAGTCCATGTCTGTTTCCAAGCGGGTGTAGAAGGCGTCTTGGTCCAGTGTCCGCCGGAACGATTTCTCCAGTAACCGATTGAGAGCTGGCCGATCCACCTCGTCCAGGGATCGCAGAACGCGCACGGGTAGTCCCTTCCGGATCAGCGTGGGTGTATCCCGCGTGAGACGTCCCTCCGACTCCACGAGCAGCGCGTGCGGCAAACTCGCAGAGTGAGCAGGCTTATTGGTGATGAGATTGGCAATCATAGCCGCGGGACTCCGGTGCGAGACCAGCAGCGCCGATGCGTCTCGCGGCATATGGGCGAGGCACGCGTCCGAGAGGCGCAAATTGGACAGGGCGGTAGGGTGCGACTCGGACCAGTGGGGGAGGTACGTGTCCTGGATGAAGGAGAGTTCGGACGCGAGGTTGATGGATAGATGAGGAAGACCTTGGCGGGCATAAGAGGGGATCCCGCCTTCCCGATTGATGATGAGCAGTCGGAGCGGTGTGAGGTCGACAACGCTGCTTCCCGTCCCCGATCCCTTGCCGACCGGCGCAGCGGCCATCGACTCCGCCAACGCCTTCAGAACAGCATCCGCCCCTACCCGCCTCGTCCGGCATCCCGAGTCCAGCGCCACTGGCAGCAATACCGGGATCTCTCCCTCCGTGACTGCCCGCCGAACATGATCCAGACCCTCTTCCTCCACAAACACCTCCCCTTCCACCCTCTCGCCCCCAGAGTCCCCCTCGCCGGACTTGCCCGCTATTCTCGCTACCGTCGAAAGGACCGGTCGTGCCCCCGCCCCCAGTCTCCCCAGACTAGCCACCACCTTCTCCAGATCCCGCAAGACCATCTTCTTTTGCCGTTGCGCTGCGGCAGTATCCGCCGGCTCGGTCGCAGGGAGGTCGTCCCGATCCAGAACAATCACCGAGACCAAGCCGAGCTTTTGGAGGTGTGCCATACCTTGGCAGATGGAATTGAGCTGGAGGTCCGTGAAGGGTCCTTGGATCTTGACGAGGGCTGGATGACGGACGATAGGGTCCAAGAGGGATGCGACGAGCGGGTTCTCGGGTTGCGGGTTGGAAGCGTCGGTAGCGGGAGTGGGGTCGGTACCCGGCTGAGGAGGGAGGGAGAGGGCCGGTGTAGCTCCGGACAGCTGTTCTGATGGATTGGGAAAGGGAGGGGCGGTAGGTCGACCGAACGAAGAGAGATAGTTGCGCGAGTCGCGCATCGATGGACTGGACCGAAGGATAGACAGGATAAATTCCTTCACATCAGCTTTGCAGCAACAATGTGACCTGTCGTAGACGCACATTATCGCTCTCAACTCGCTCTTCGTGAGAGGCAGAGTCATACAGCTGTCTCTGAGGCTACTAAATCAGCTACTCTCTTCCATCTGGTGAACCCAGCCTTGGCTAGCTCACTACTCGCTGAGAACACATCACCCCTACGCGGGACTTCGCAGCTACCCCTGATCCTCCCCCTCGAACCGCCCGCCCAAGCCCTTGAAGGCTCATAGACCGCATATTGATCGATGCTATGAGCTCGCAGCTGCGCAGGATAACATGAGCACAGAAGGTGGATAGTGAGATGAGGTGTAAAGGGGGCTACAGAAGTACAATTTATAGCTTCTTCTTCTCGTCCCCGAGTCGGAGCAGGGTTGCCGAGGTCCGTGCGTTCATTATCGCTCGTCAGGCCGTGAGAGCTTGTGAACCCCGCAAGCCTCGTCTTAGACAGTGCTTCCAAGTTAGGCCGGCAGGGCAGACGAAAGTACAGCGCTCAGCTGAAGGTGGCGTGAACATTGAAGGGCGGCGTTGCAGAAACAGGGGCAGGAAGTGACCAGAATGACAGGCTAGGTTCGTTAGGAGGAAGCTAAGGGAAGGAACGGCGATTCTGGAGGGGTGGGGATGAGAATGATGATGGTATACATGACCCCGGTGAAGCAGAAGCAGCTATCCACCCTTCTTCTCCTCTTCTTGAATTCCCGCCGACCCCATCTCCGCCGACCTGTCACCCCTTCGTTTTCCCATTCTATCGCACACCGCATGCCTCATCTCGCTCTATGCTCCGCCTCGCAGCGCCAACACCAAGTGGATGACCTTGCCCGCATCGAGTTTGTAGTCCTGGACCGTCTTGTCGTCCGACCTGCATATCAGCGACAGGTCATACCTCGTAGCATGCCCCTGATCCGACCGATTCCCGCTCCCCTCCATGGAGCTTCGACCCAATCTATGAGTGATCAAGGAAACACTTACATTGCCTTTCCACTGTAGATCAAACGTTGCTGTACTGGCGGAATCCCAGCCTTCTCTTCGACCCGGTCCTTGACTTTTGAGATCTAGAAAGAAGCCATCAGCTCACTCATCCGACATAGTCAACGAGCATCATGGCCCGTCTCGTTGGGATGAAGACGTACTGTCCACTCGGCCTGAACATCAATCTCGACCTGAGAGTATCATTATCGGCCAGCATCAGGTGCAAGGCTTGGAGATAGGCCGCCAGTCCATCAGTAGGTAGGGTTGAGGATCGGACATACCTCCTTCCCTGTCAGTGTCTGATTCGTTAGCTCAGCGTTCTCAATACGGCGTGAATGAAGCTATCAGCTGACCTTGACTTTGATGAGCATCTCGACGGGCTGTTGGTAGGTGAAGTGGAATGGATGGGTGAGGAAGGTAGAGAGGTGACCGGTGAACGATGGAGGTCTTTGAACGCGAAAGCTCCGCGAGCTTCGCGACGGTTTCAAGTCTAGTCCGTGCGTCGCTTCAGGAGGGCCTTGTTCTTTGTTCTCTGGCCAAAGATCGAGGGATCTTCGTGAAGTATGGGCCTCAAGTCGACATAGCAATGATTGGCCTGGAGGAGGGAGAAGCACATGCTCGACTATCTGGCGAATCCATGACCTACAACATAAGATCAAAGCGCACTTCCTATCAAAGTCCTGCTCCCCCTCGTCTCCGCAAGACTTCGGGTGCGACGCCGTTCCCTCGGCTCCCAGTGCTCTTGGTCCTGTACCACCGCGGCAGTGTAGGTGTGACCCCAAAAACAGCGTCTGTGTATGTCGGGAGCTATGTGTCCCGTACTTGGCCGAGTGGCTCTGCAAGCCCGTATGATCGTCGCCGTTCCTCTTGTCCTCCCGCCTAGTCCTCGAGAGCATTCAACATCTCCTCCTCTTTGTCCCACCCCTCCCTCAGCCTCTTCTCCTCCTCCGCCCTCCTGCCTCCCCTGCTCAGCCCTTCATCCTGCACGCCCGCCAATGCCGCCGAGAGCATCTGGGCCGTGACGAGTCGATGGTACGCTATCGCCCGATTCTGTAGCTTCTTGATCGTGCCGCTGATAGCTACGACACGGGGGATGATGGGTTGGCCGTTCATCTCCCGGAGGAGAGTGAGGGAGGCCCAGAGTGTGCGGTAGTGCGGTCGAGCGACGCGGAGGATGGTGAGGGTGGTATGCGGGGAGTGGTAGATGACTGCGGGGTGTCAGCCCTACTCTACGTCTGGGTTCTCGGACAGACTCAGCATTCAGACATGCTGCTGTAGACGAGACTCACCCTTGAATGAACTTGCTAGCCGTCCCCACCCTTCATCTCCGAAACAGTCCAACACATTCGCCCTCAACGCCCTGAAAACCGCCGAGCTCCCATCATCCCCCAGCTTCAGCTGACCAGACAGGTCCGTATGTGGGACCACGAAGGGCACGAGCGGCAGTACAGGCAGTACATCGTCCCCATCATCGTCGGCCCCGTTGAAACCAGCGTCGAAAGTGGGGGAAAGGGACTCGTTTGGGCCGCCCACACCGACGTCTGAGGTGAATGAAGCGGGGGAGATAAACTCCACGAGGAGATGGCGGTTCTTGAAGCGGACCATTGTGGGAGTCCCGGGATCCTGCTGGGCGATGTGGGTGGGTAGATGAGAGGTAGAGATGTAGGGCACGGTACAGCGAGATTTTGGCATGGAGAGGAGGATTTGGTCACGTGCCGACGAGCTGGGTTACGGCATCGGTCTACGCGTCAAAACAATCCACGCTGTGATTTCTTTCACGTCCACGCACATCACACTTTACCTCTCTTCCTTCTCTCTGCACTACCGGCTCGGCCCCATCTAGAGCGCGATCAGAGACTCTGAAATGAAGGAAGGACCAACAACAAATCTCCAGGAGGTGCTCGCGAAGCTGAACGCGAATGGTGGAGCAGGCGGACGTGGAAGTGGCGGAGGGAGTTCACACGCTGGGCCGAGCGCAGTCAAGGTGAGTCGGCTCCTCCAGCTTTCGAGCTTGCAGACATTATATGTAATATGAAGCTGACCTCCCAGCCGACTTTCAATCTGGCCAAAACAGCATCGGCGGGTCCATCTCGTCCTCCCAGCTCCACGTCGCGTATGTCAAGCTTTCTTAGGGTACCTATGATCGGCTCAAGGGGCGAAGCTCATACTTGCAGAAGCCAGTGCTGCCGCTCTCCGTCGCTCGACACCAAGCGTTGCTGGTAGCTCGCGCAGCGTCCCACTCAACCGCTCAACGCCAAAAGAGACGCTCGGTTCGGCCGCATCGGGCTCGGCAGTCCTCACCCCAAAGTCACTCAATGGCTCCCCAGTATATCGACCTGCCTTCGGCGGGAAAGAGATCGGATCGACCTCAAGACTCTCTGTCGCACCACCGAAGACTGCGAACAAGCTGGACTCTGTGAGCTGGAAAAGGGGATTGATACGTATTCGGAGGGTATAGCTGATCAAGCAGATACCGATTGAGCGGCTCATGTCGATGATCATAAAAAATCAGGCGGAACAATTGGATCTGTCAAAGCAAAAGCAGAGCCTGGGTGATGGGGATGACTGGATGGGCGAAGATCCCGAGATGATTGACGCGAAAATGTGGGTCACCTAGTGCTTGGCGTAACTCCCGAATAACGCGCTGATATGTGCAGAGCGATGCTTGATCAACGGCTCAAGGATCTTACCGCGGCCATGATGGCACGATCATCTGCTCCGAAGCCTGCAGAGCCGGCATCATCCGGAAGCACGGCCCGCTCCGTGTACTTTGCTCGGCAACAGCAGACTACTGGCCAAGATCGTGCTCAAGCCTATCCCACCCCATCCACCTCGAACGGCTCAGACCGCACGCTCCCCACCAACCAACAGCGAGTGCCGCACCGGAGCGATACCAGCGCGGGAGGAGGCGATGTCAAGCCGATATACAGCCTTTTGTCGGATGACGAGGAGGAAGTGCCGTTAGCGCAAATACGTCGTCCAGGTCCGTCACGGCAGGGGGACGAGCCGCCTCAAATGGATGACTACGATATTGCGATGGCGGAGCAAGAGGAGATGGACATGGCGAGGGAAATGGAGGTGCCCGAAACGCCCCCAGCCCATCGCGCAGCTATAGCCGAGCTGGAGGATATCCCACCAGAACTCCTCTTCTCCTCGCCCCCTCCTGTACCTACCTCTCGGCCACACCAGCAGCAACAGCCTGTACGCGTCTCGGCATCGGCGGCGCGATCTACGCAAGCGGGACCTTCACGGCTCGGTGTCGTCGCTTCTCCAGCCTTCCAAGGTCCGGGCCCGTCCCAGCCCCGGCAGAGAGCGCCGCCGCGCGGAGAAGAGGTGGTAGCGGTCCAGCCGGAGAAGGTGTATCCTTGGAGTAAGGAGATCAAGCAGAGACTGGTGCAGACTTTCAGGCTCCCGGGTTTCAGGAAGCATCAGAAGGAGGCGATTGATGCGATCATGAGCGGGAAGGATGGTGAGTTCAAGCGTCGAATAAATTTAGGGCTTAGCTGACTCGACAGTCTTTGTCCTCATGCCTACAGGTGGCGGCAAGTCACTGACATGTGAGCTTTCAATATGGGCGTCCGGTCGACCATGAGCTGACAATAAGACCAACTTCCCGCTGTCTGCTCCCTCGGTGCCACGCGCGGGGTCACCTTCGTCATCTCCCCTCTGATCTCCCTGATCAACGACCAGACCCGTCATCTCCTCAAGCTCGATATCGCCGCCCTCGCATACACTGGCGACATGACCCAGACGGACAAGAACGAGGCGCATCAGTCCCTGTCGAAGCCGGAACCATGGACCAAGGTGGTATACGTCACGCCGGAGATGATGTCTGCCGGGACGAACATCAAGGGGATCATTCGGGATTTGGCGCGCCGGAAACGGCTGGCCCGGTTCGTGATTGACGAGGCGCATTGTGTGTCTCAGTGGGGTCATGATTTCCGGGCGGACTGTATGTGTCTTCGGGCCACAGTAGTGGGCATGAGCTGACATACTAGACCTGAAACTCGGGAATCTGAGGAAAGAATACCCCGATATCCCGATTATGGCTCTGACCGCTACCGCCCAAGTCAAAGTGCAGGAGGACATCATCCGCTCGCTCGGTATTCAAGGCTGCAAAGTCTTCCAACAATCGTTCAACCGGCCGAATCTGTCGTACGAGGTCCGACCGAAAAAGAAGGACGTCTTGCAGGATATCGTCCGCGTCATTCACGCGCAGCAGGTCGATCGGAAACACGTCCCGGGAATCATCTATTGCGGCAGTAGGGACAAGTGCGAGGTGCTGGCGATGGAATTGAGGGATAAGCATGGGTTGAGAGTGAACCATTATCATGCGGGCATGTCGAAGGGGGACAGGAGAAGAATACAGGAGGGATGGCAGGAGCATGAGTTTGAGATCATCGTGGCCACGGTGGCGTTTGGGATGGGGTGAGTCTGTCTGACGTGCGGAAAGGAAACTGAGCTTATTATGCAGGATTGACAAGGCGGATGTACGATGTAAGTTTGCATGGCGTCCAGCGGCTGGCGATGCGAGGGGCAAAGCTGACGTTCCAGTCGTCATCCATCACTCATTACCTCGCTCGCTCGAGGGCTACTATCAAGAGACTGGTCGAGCCGGGCGAGATGGCAAATCGTCTACTTGTATCCTGTACTACCACTTCAACGGTAAGCATCATTCGCCCGTTCGAGATTACGAAGCTGATTGATAGATGGAAAGAGCATGATGAGCCTCATCGACAAGGACCAGGTCTTGACTCCTGACCAAAAGGCCCGGCAAAAGGACAGCATCAACGAGGTCCTCCGTTACTGCAATAATCGGACCGACTGCCGTCGTTCACAGGTCCTCGCGTTCTTCAACGAGTCGTTCGACCCCGCCGACTGCCACGAAGGGTGCGATGTCTGCCTTTGCCGTGATACCGCGGTGTATGAGACCGAGGACGTCTCGGCCGATGCCATCACCGTACTCAAGATGTTCCAAAATCTTCAGCGGGAGGACCGGGTCACGATCGTTACAGCGACGGAAGTTTGGCGGGGATCCACCACCAAGACCACGCAGAATTACCGGGACAACCCACACTTTGGTTCTGGGGCGGAATGGGAGCGGCAGGACGCGGAGCGATTGCTGCAGAGTATGACGATCGACAAGGTATTGCAGGAATTCACGGTGGTCAATGGCGGCGGATGGAGCAACTCTTACCTCTCGGTACGTTCTTTACCTTCGAAGGAGGACTTGGCAGCTGACAGATGTAGATGGGCGAGAATGCGCGAGATGTTCTTAAGGGCAAACGCAAGATCTCGATGGATTTCCGCGTCAAGTCCCCAGTCAAAGGCAAAGCCGCGCCGCTCCGCCGAACAAAATCCGCCTCTGCTGCCGCTGCTCCCAAGCGCCAGCCGGGCCAGACCAACATGGACGACTATGCCAAGCCCACGCAACGCATCATCTCGAATCCCCTCGCTCGAAAGCGGTCCCTCCAGCAGATAGCGGCCGAGGAGGAGGCGTTCGATAAGTCGGGTTGGGGGGACACGGACAATGAGGAGGATGAGGATCGGCCGGATTACCAGAAGGACACGGTGGATCCGATAGTGCTCAGTGGGGATGAGGAGGAGCCGGTGCCGAAGAAGCGGAAGAGTGTGGGGGCGGCGATGACAGCAGGAGAGGGGACTAGTGCGAAAGGGAAGGGGAAGGCGAAGGAGGTTCCGGATAGGTCGGAGAATAGGACGCCTGTGGAGAAGTGCTTGAACGCTTTGAACGATGTGGTGCAGAAGGTGAGTTGAGCTAGTGTATGCCCTTGTCTGGACGGATCAGAGCTGATGTGTCAGGAGTATGCGAAAAACACCCATGCGCCCGTGCTTCCAGAGTATGCTCTTGAAATGCTGGCGACTACGATGCCGACCAGTGAGCTTCAGGTCTCCCGATCGGCTGGGTGGGCCAATAGCTGACCAATCAGACATGAACGACCTAGAAAAGACCGAAGGCGTCACCTCAGCCCACATCAGACACTATGGCCAAAAGATTCTCGGAGCAACCATCAAACACCTGAAGCTCGCGGAGAAGGCCAACGGGATCACGCCTGGCGGTCAAGGGTCTCGACTGCCGCCCAGTATGGCTCCTCGTCCACGCGCATCGGCGGCAGCCAAGGCCAAAGACGACTCTGCTTCGCCCGCTAAGCCTGCCGCAGCCGCAGCCAAATCTACGAAAGCGTCCGCCTCGTCCAGCTCGACCGCGGTGTCCAAAAAGACCGCCTCGCGACCCGCGCCCAAGCAGGTCGTCGCCAACATCCAGTCGTTCGCGTACCAGCCCAATGTCCAGGCGACGAGACCCCTCACGTCGTACCTCACCAAGGCGGGCGATCAGAGCGGGGAGAAGCGGATCACTCTCAACAATGCGAATAAGGGTGGCGCTGCCAGGCCGAAGTTCTGAGCTGGACCACCTGTACACATGTAGACCACACCTAGGGAAAAGGGTGTACTGTACACATCATGCATGTCTATTTGTAGCTGTTGATATGTACTATTCGCTACACTTGGGCGGCCCGCTCTTTGGCCCGCTCCTCAACACCCTCCTGCTTCTTCTCCTTCCAGCCATTCTCCTTCCACTCGTCCAGCTTCTCCGGCCACCTCGGGAGAACATTGAGAGCGGGCGCTTCGTGCGCCAGCAGGACCATTATATCTTCCTCTGCGCTCATGCGCGTCAGAGTGCCAATATCGTGCACGCCTCGAACGGGGTCTTCAAGGAAGGGGACCTTGCCATTGAGAACGGGCTCGGTGCCACGTGGGTCAGAGGAGGAGGCGGAAGATGGGACGGGGAGGTATGTCTCCTGGCTGTGGGCGACGTCAGCTCCGAGAAGAATGTCTGGAAAGTCAGCTGAGTCCTGCAAAGACAGTAAAGAGACTCAACGCACAGGTAGGTGGTGATGTAGTCACTCGTGCAAGACCCATCATCTGTCCTACGATGTGCTGCTCAGTCAGCTTCAACGCTCTTTGCCACGCTCATTTGGACCACTCACGCCAGGCGCATGAATTAACCAGAAGCTGCCATCCCCGAACCAATCGACCCCTTCCTCAAAGCACGCCATCTTCTCCCACTGTTTCTCTCCTTCCCTACCCTCCACCGTCCACTTGTCCCCCTTCTTCTCCGTAGGCTGCGGCAGCTCCGCGAACCTCCTATCCTTCAGCCACCCGGACGGCCAGATTGATTTCTCATCCTCCGGGTACCCCTTGCCAATGCCCGCCAGCGAGCCCGGGCCAACAACGACCAGCGGGTCAAAGGCAGCGACTGTCTCGAGGTTTCCGAAGTGGTCAAAGTGCTTGTGGGAGAGTATGACCGTCTTGATGCGCGAGAGGTCATATCCGCCATCTCTGAGCCGAAAGACCGGGTGAGGTTGAGGTTCGACCTTGAACTTCTCAAGTGCGGGCTTGGTCACACTGCGTTCTGTCAGCTTCTCGTTCTCTTTCGAGTCTATTGAAGAGGGTAAGCGTACGGTGTGAAGTTCTCAGGATCCTCCCTGCATCCTAAATCGAAGAGAATCGCCTCATCCCCATGCTCCACCAAGAAGCTGAACGCGGGTAACGTCCACTCTTCCCCTTCTTTGGCGAATGAAGACAGCGCGACGCCCGGTCCGCGGATCCGAGAGGACTCCATAAGTCCGATAGAGACCTTGGCGCCATCACTGGCTGGGGTGGGGATGGGTGTCCATGGGTACTCGGATGGAAAGGGAGGGCGGAGGCGGGGATCGTTCGGCTTGAATTCATCTGCGGCCATTTTGGGTACTTGGTACAAGGGTCTGGGGTGTGAGGAAGCCTTGAGTGATTGAAAGCTTGTGGAGGTGTGAGAGTGTGAGTGAGTGGGGGGAGATGCAGAGCTGTGTAAGGAGGCCACGGAGGTGAGGGTGGTGAGGGTGGTGATGTCACCGGTACGAATCGTTCCCCGGGCGTAAGTTAGCGCGCAGCTGCTGACACAGCAGCTCTTGCCAGTCGTGCATCCGCAGGCAATGTCTCCATAGAATATGTAGGGAGACAGCCGTGATAGAGCGTATCGATGTAGAGCGATTTGCTGAAGGACAGGTACAAAGGCAACGTGTAATTCCCACGAGTCGGACCTGTTTCGATGCCAAGCATCTCTTCACTCATCATCGATCATTCACCTCGACACTGTATCTGCCTCCGATGATCGCTCACTCTGGACCTCTCGCGCTTCAATCGCGCTGCATATCAGGGGAGGATCAGGCCTCAGGGCTGTGTTAAGGTCGTTTGGTCAGTGGACCACCCGCTGAAATGATCGCCGGTGGGGGTCCAGAACAGTGATCGAGTCGACAAAGGTATGACAGGGATCACCCCAGATTCGCATTCAACGATCCTAGATCCTGCAGCGAGCAATGTCCTGACCAGCGAGGTCATCCTGCTCACCAAAGATGGCCCTCACCTAGTGATCTTTGGCAAATATGTATCCAAGTCAAATTTCCCAACTCACCCGAATGTTGACAGCCCCCCTCTTGACGCGTCCACAACGACTTTCTTGCTCATTCAAAATGCCAGAGAGCGAGACATGGTCTCACCAGTAAGCGTACCCGACACAACTCGTCCCTGCCACCGCAGCTGCCCGTCACTCCCCCGCATCATCGTGTCCTCGTACAAACATCTACATCATCTAAGACGCGTCCATCCTTCACCCGCACCTCATCCGACACTCCAGCCCTGATGTCCGCCATCGCCGAGGTTCACGGGACGGAGTCCGTTGCCGCCGAGCAGAATCACGTCGAGACGTACGAGACGGCGCCGGAGCCGTTGATGCTCTGGCCATCTACCGTCTTATACAGCGATAAACCCCTCCCTGCCCTCCCACTATACCGTACCAACTCCTTCGCATCTACTTCCACGTCGTTGTCGCTGTCGATGAGCTCGACTGCTCCCACTTCTTCCCCAGACGCTGCGTCGTGCCCTCCCTCCCCAGGAGGTAAGTCATCATTTACACTACCCAAAAGTCGCGGCTGATGATCAGGTATAGAGCCACTCCAGTCACAAATGGACCCTATCCCGGACCCTCGCATGTCCATCATCAGCCAGATGCCTCGGATCAGCACTCCCATCTACGCGTATCATTCGCGTCACGCCAGCGTCCAGTCCGAGATGACCCACCGATCGTCGCACGACTCGGTCCGGGACGACGACGAGACGGAGACGGTCAGTCGACCTTCCTCCCCAGTGTCCATGGCCACGACCTTTGGCGGTGCACCCCGTAACAACCATCGGAGTCGGACCACTACCGCCGAGCGCCCCTCCTCCCCATCCGTCGACCCCCAGGCCTCCCGCTCGATCAGGTCAGGCTCTTTCGCTTCGGAATCGGACGTATCGCACCAGTCCACCTTGGCTAGCTTTAGCCTGCCCTCCTACAATCGCCACACCTTCCGGATGAGCCTTCCTCCCAATACCCAACAGTACTCGGCCGTCACTCCCGACTTTGAAAGCGACGATCCCCTAGCGGGTCCCGGCTGGCCGGGGCTAGTGCCTCCCAGGACATCGAGCCGGGATGTGGATCATGAGATCAGATCCACGCCGGGCGTGGTGGGTGTAGGAGAGGGCTGGGCGGGCGGTCCGTCGGGGAAGAGGCGGAAGAAGAACAGCTGGTTCCGAAGGCGAGGGCGGAAGCAGGAGAATGATGGACAGGCAGAAGACCCTCTGGCGCTCTGGACGGTTCCGGAGGAGGCGCGCTCGAGTCCGCTCAAGTCCGCCTGGAACAGGTCCAGAGCGAGATTTGGGGCGTCGGTACCTGCGCTGGCGGTCACTGGTTCTCCGCAGCCAGGGGAGCAAGGGCCGTCGGATATGATGGCCAGGAGAGGGAGCATGCCAATACCTATGCCGCTCCACCTCGCCAGACAATCTGCCGCAATGTCCGACCCCATTGTCACCGCCGCAAGCTCGCCATACCCCACCAGTCTCCCGGTCCCTCCTCAACCTCGGGCATCGAAGCGTCATGTCCAATCCCAGCCACATCTCCCCTTCCCTCGCTCGGCCTCCCTCTTACCTGGTACCGCCCAGGTGTACTCGGGCTCAGATCAGGCACCGCTCCGCCGCATGGACACCTTTGGGGGCGGCGGGCAAGTGGCGCTTGAGTCGGCGTCACTCGCTGAAGCGGGGGCCAGTCGTGCGCCCGCTGTCCCCTTCCGTACACCGGACGAAATTTCGTCAGACCAAAAACCACCAAAACCTCGCCGGTCATTGCTGAGCAAGCTCAAGGCTCGTTTGTCCATGATATCGGGCGCGAAAAGATCTACTCCCACCGGAACACTTCCAAACTCCACATCTGTCCCCCTTCAGCCAGACATCCCAAATCTCACTCCCAATTATCATACTCGGCCTCTCAGCCGAGTACGCGAGCAGCCTACACGCGCACGACCTCGGCCTGTATCGATGATCCCCCTCGCTGGTGGAGACACTATGGATCTGTCCAGCCATCCTCGCGAAATCCGGCCGCCCGCTCTCCCTCGGTCTCGGTCCGCCGACATCCGGTCTTTCCTCAGTAAGCTCGGTCGATCAGCTCAACCCGTCTCACAAACCGAGAAGGACGCGGCCGGCAAGTCCGGGTCGCACTGGAAGCGCAGATCGTTCTCGGGCATCCCTGGCCTGACCCGCTGGTCCCTATCGGAGAGCAACCTGCTGCGGCCTCGAAAGTCCGGCGGAAGGGACACTCGAGACGACCTGCTCGCTCAATCTGAGGAAGGACGGAGTCGGCGAGAGGAGGACCCTGCTGCTGGGCGAGAAAGCGGGTCTCAGAGTGACGCCCGGAGGGACGCCCTCTTGGCGACCCAGGCGGCGCTATCAGGTGGTCAGACCAAGGCCGAGCGGAAAACGGAGTCAGCGAGGCCCTCGCCGCTGGAAGATCCTCCCCTTACATGGGGCCTGTCATCCACTACCACTCGGTCGAGTACCGCCTCTCCTCCCTCGCCATCCCTCGTTACCCCGACCAAGGGCGATGCGTCTCAGATCCCCGACCCTGAGCCGATCGGAGAAGAGGGTCTCGAAATCCCACGATCATCTTCCCCACGCCCTTCTTCGGAGTTTGCATGGGCTGCACAGTCCGGTACGACGACCAAGGCGAGGCGGATGAGTGCGGGAGATGAGTTGCGCGTTTGACGGCGTAAGGGGTATCCTGGCGCCGAGTCGTGACGCCTGTCTAGTATCCTTCTTGCTTCTCTCATTGTTATCCATCTGTAAAACACCATAGGCAATGCAATCGCTAGTACTCGTTGCTCGTGTACGGGAGTTCAATCCAATCCGCCACACCAGCAGTGACCAGGCTCGACCTGCGACTTCCGCCGGAAGGCAAGGTTAATTTGCTTCCGCCGACTCCGCTGTGACTGCTCCGCCAAAAGCCATAGAGAGACTCCAATCCATCCGACTGTACTCAAAGCAAGCAATAACACTATGGCGTCCTCAATGACTGCATCACAGACCGAGATGGAGGCGGCGAGATTACCGCTCGGATGGAGAGATCAATGCTCAGCGTGAGTTCTGGGTCGAGATAGCCGGAGAGCGGGGTCGAGGGGAGATGGATCTCTCACGCGCGCTTCGGCTGGCCTGGGACGTGTCGGGGTGCATGCAGCGAGCGGGCATGTGAAAGCGAAGGAGTGGAGTGGAGGCAGTGCCACACTGGAGCGGAAGAAGCGGCGCAGAACATAAGTGGGGAGAGCTCAAGGGATCATACCGCTCTGACCGAACATAGGAGCTAATACATGTAGCCTCCTCATCCCACTCAACAAATGCCGCCACAAGGAGTTGTACGCACCATGGAAGTGCGAGGATGAGAGACATGGGTACGAGAAGTGCCAATACGATGAGTGAGTCCTTAGCATTTTGCAGACAGAACACCGATTTTGATATTCGTACGGGGGCCCTCGCTGACCCGCAGCTACATGCGTCGAATGAAGCTCCTTAGCAAGCAGAAGAAGGCAGCAGCGGAATCAGCAGCGGATGAGGAATAGGCGGAGGAGGTGTAGGGAGCTAGAGGGCGGTGACGGCGGGACGGGAAGAGGAGAGGCAGCGTTGCTGTTGTACAGCAGGCTTTCTCCAATGTATTGGCTATCTCTTTCCCTTGACGCTATACTGCCAATGTAGCCGGGCGCACTTACGCAGATCATGGTCGACGACGGACGGACGACGCGCTAAGTTACATACATGACTGATTGATTACAACACTACTTCTGCCCGCCCATTCCCAGCCTGATTTTCAGACTCGGCGTCGCCCCTCCATCCGTCGGCGTCGACCCCTGTCCGCCCGCCCCAAAGTAGTCCATCGGCACCTGTGTTCCATATCCACCGCCAGGCGTCATCCCAGCACCCGGCGTCCCGCCAATTGGACTCTGGCCAACACCTTGCGACTTGTCAAACATAGGACAGTTCCGATTGGCCTTGGTGTGACCCATCTGCCCGCACGCGCCGCACTTGCGCTTCCCGACGTCGAGGTCCGGATCGTAATCTTCTGGATTGATACCGTGTGCCGCTTGCTTCGAGTACTTCTTTCGAGCAAGACGACGAGCTTGGTTCTTTTTGATATTTTCGAGCTCCTGCATCAGGCTAAAGTGGGTCAGCCAGTAATCCACCTCAAGCTCGAGTGACTCACGCGGCCCTCCTCAGTTCGTCCTCCTCCTGGTTCCCAGTAGGTGCCAGATGATCCGCCTGATTCCTGAACTCCTCGATCTTCCTATCCTCGACTCTCCGCCTGTAGCTCGCGATGACCTGCGGGTCCCGAACGATCTCCACCTGCAACTTGCCCTTCACCATCCGCTTGATGCGCATGACCTTCGGAGCGTGGTTCCCGGTGAACGATGTCTCACCAGCACTGGGAGCGGGCGAGTAGCCTCGTGGCGAGTCCTCGTGGAATGGTGTAGCGGCCATAGAGTTGTCACGGGAAAAGGCGCGCCGAGAGTCGGATCGACCGGTGTAGCGGGGCCCGAAACCGACAGGGGTGGCGCCGGTAGCATTACCGCTATGGTCGTCCTCTGTGACGTCGATTTCAGGGGGTTGCGGGTCTGATAGTGCTCTCGCTTGCTTGTCCCAGATCCGACGCTTCTCATCCTCATAAATCCGGTTTTGCTCAGCGTTGGAGATTTTCGCGGTGGCGCCGTTGGCCTTGTGCTCTGCCTCGACTGTGGTTGTCAGCTGATTCACTCCCCTCGAGTTGATAGATACAACTCACGTCTTCGCCCAACTTCCGTCTCGCCCGCCCGCAGAAAGTAGCCCTTCATGTTCGCCTTCAGGAAGCTCCATCCCTCTCCCCGCCCAGTCGGATCCCCTTCCCCATGAACGACCAGCCAAGCCTTCTGCTGCTCCGCCTTCTTGTAGTTCAGAGTCGTGCTCCACACCGCCAGCTTCTGCTCGATATCCAGTCCCGCCTCATCGTTCGGATCCTCCTCGTCCTTCCCTTCCGCCGTTTTGCTGTATCCAGCGTCGTGCAAGTGACGGGCGCCCACCTGCATCGCCTCGTACATCATAGCGAACTCGGGAGTGGTCGTCTGAAGGACCTCGGCGCGTTCTGATGGCCAAGGATTAGGATAGTCAGGGTTGAGGACCCAATAGCCCTGATTCGGACCATTGGAACGGTTGTACAGCAGGAACTCCTGCTTCGTCAGTCCACCTCTCATACATTCAGAGTTGTTGATTTCGACTGACCTGACCCTTGATCTTCAATCTTTGGCGCATCTGCAACTCCGACTGGTCCGGAAAGTACTTCAACAGCTTGCCCATCTTGATCCGCTTCTGCTTGCTCTTGTGGATCAACAGCCACGCCACGATCTGCAAGCGGATCTTGGCATAGTTGGTGTTCTTCCGAGCGTGCGGGCCGGGCACTTCCGACTCATTCGGGAACGTCTGTCCCACCGTGTAGAGATTGGTGATGACACGGATATGGTAGGATGGCACTCCGTTCACCGTGTGGCGGATGACGAGGAAGTCGGTTGTTTCGGGGGTATGGCGGTAGATGGGGGCGCGGATGAGATTGTTGTGGATGATCTGGGTGACTTTGCCCTTGTCGACGTAGCCGAGGAGGAAGGGCTCGGCGTCGCCTACGTTGAGGATAGAAGGTTGGCCAAGGTCGAGCTGGGGTACGTGCTCGTCCTTGTCATCCTTCTTGCGATAGTAGTTGACGATGGTAGTACCCATACCATACCCGCTCATCAAAGGAGGATATTCTTCCTGACGATGTCAGCTGAGGTCCACCATAGGCAGTGGGGGACTTACTGAGAACTCAAGCAGGACGTATGGACCCTTCTCCGCCATCGTCAAATCCCTGGTACTCTTGAAGCGCTCGCTTGGGTCCGTCATCATCGCCTTCTTCCGTGAGGTATTGGAAGAGATGGGGTTCGCCCGCAATTTTTGGAATTTGAGCTCCATGCCGACGGGGAACTGTATCGAAGGGCGCTTCCATGACCGCTGGTCGGCTTTGGTCAGAGTAGTTTTGTACTGCTCGTCAGCTTGGCTCTTGTTTCGCTGAAAGCCAAGGCTCACATAGGGCAGTTGCAATGCCTTTGCAGGGGCTGAGTGGAAGACCTCGATCGCGCCAAATGTCTGACGGATCTTGAACCTGGCCTCACGGCTGTGCTCGTACAGGTGATCGTTGGAGATGTTGAATCTGTCCAACTTGGTTGTGACTGGTGGGAGAACGGGGCGAGGTATGACGACGACCTCATCTTCGTCAATCGCCACGAGGTCGGGCGAGATTCGGCGAGAGTCCCAAATGATCTCGCTGAGCCAGTCGGCTGAATCGAGGAGTTCGTTTCGCGGCTTTAGGGCTTCCAGCGGTTTGGCCGCGGGTGCGGATCTGATATGTCAGCACGACGCCTCCACATCCATAGCCACGCCATACTTACTCGGTGTTGAAGACAATCTGGCTCTCCCAGTCAATCAGGTCGAGCGGCCGAGGGGGTTGACCGAGAATATTGGCAGCTTCCGAGAGATCCGGCCGATTTGGCGCATCCAGCATGTCTTTCCGCCGTACTGCCCTAGCCGCCTTGACCCACACCTTGTCAAAGTAAGCGCCTAGCGGAGTCTCGTACGGTGCCTTGTCCGAGTCGGGGACCTCGAGCTCTGGGAGATTGGGGAGAGTGTGAGCGTCGGATGGTGGGAGAGAGGTGTTCGGGGTGACGGTAACGCGGACTGCGTCGTCAAACTTGCTCAAGTAGTCAAGAGAATGTACTCACATCCTGGTCGAGTGGGATGCTCGAGCTTCCGCCTCTTCGCCTGACCCAGCTCCGCCTCTCGCTTCGACACCATCGAGGGCGTATCATAGAATACCTCGGTCATCCTCAACCTCTGCCCCTTCTCCCACTCTGGCCACACCTTCTGCACCTTCCCCTGCCTAACTTCCTTCTGTGTCACCGCCTTCGGCCTGATCTCCTGCTGCATCTGCACAGCCCGCTTCATCCACCTCGCCTCATCTGCCGCCGTCTTCCTTTGCCTCGCCTCCTTCTCCCCGACCGACTCTACGTCCGACACATCATCCATGAAGCGGTCCTCGCCATCCGAGACATCTTCATCGATCAGAGCCTGGGCACCAGAAGCTGACGCGCCGCCCTGCCCGCCCGAGGTGTCGAGGATGGAGCTGATGGTGGAGGCATCCACCCCGGCTTGCTGGAGGATGCGCTGTAGACCTAGCGAAGCGGTATCGCCGAGGCGCGCCTCATCGTCGTCGCTGTCCATGTCGGACCTCCTCTGGGCAGTGGGCTGCTGGGGACTGATCTCGGCGCTCGCTTGTACTGTCTGGAACTCCAAGGTGGAGGGGTGTCCGAGAGAGCAAGACGGCGGCGGCTTATATAGGCCGCTGGATATTTTGCTTCCGTCGAGTGTGGCGGATAAGGCCTTAAGGTGGCAAGCCGTGGCCCGTAGCAAGACTATATACTGCAAGGATGCATATGTATTCGACTACGCTTCGTGCCGAACCGGAGCAGGCTTATAATCCCGTACTTCGTGAGGCGGAGGCACGATTTCCAGCCCATGCTTCGATGCAAAGACGTTGTGGGCCGAGAAGCGCAGCAGGAATTTAGTGTGGGCTTACAGTGTACGCGTGCCGTGTCGTAGCCACCCACGGCCAGCGTGCTACGTCGGCGCGTAGCGTGCGTGCCGGATAGTCGGGACGCGTGGGAGAAGGCGCAGGGGCTGTGACTGGAGGGCAAGGGAGTAGCATCAAGGGTCGCGGAGCCGCCACAGCGGCACTGCCAAGCAGGAATAAACGAAGGGAAAGGAACGGGCGATGGAACAGGAAGAGGAGGGGGGTATGGATTGGGAGCACGGAGGGCGTGTACTTAGTTGAGGTCGTATCTGTGTTACTGTCCATAGCACTTAGCTAGCACCATGTACCTAGACTACGAAAGAGATTAAAGTCACCATCACAGCTGCCCAGAACAGCCCCAGCCTCGGGTTAACACGCCGAAAAGCTGCTGAGGGCCATGAAAGCCTCAGTGATCGGTCGATTGGCAACACATTTCTAATACACCAACCAAACTCGTGAGCGATTAGCTTGGGAACCCCGCTCGACAAGCAGCAAGCGTGCTGCCGGACCGGGAAGACCTTTCTCGCTGCATCGTACTGCCGCTAAGCGCTGATGCGCCAGACTCCATGGCGAGTTCACCGCGAGCATCCATTCCACGATCAGCAGAGTACCAGCTAACGGACGAGCTGGCCGGTCCCTTGAAACTTCCCTACCGACTGCCGCCCAGTCGGCGACCGACGTCACGGGGAAGTTGAGAGTTTCGGCGCGTTTCAGCGTGTTTCGGAAAGGCGTCGACGATCCGTCGCTAGTCCAAGTGACGGGGTTTGACGGCGTTAGCGCAGCGTTCTTCCAATTCCATGTTCCGTGCCTGACCGCGAGGAATGTGGAGTTGCACGTTCGCAGCTTGCTGGCTGGGTGCGGCGTGTCTTCTCTTTGCTGCAATACTTCCAACTAAAATGAGCAAGATAGAATTGATAGCCAGCTCTCTGGAGCTACCCAATGGCGCTGTGATTCCCAACCGACTCGTGAAGGTATGCTACATTCTGTCTCGGCAGGGGGCGTACTGGATGTCTTCCAAGAGGTCTGAGCTAGCGCTGATTTAGCCAGGTGGCCATGGAAGAGGGCATCGGTCATGGCGGAGGGCTGCCTGGCCGGAGGCATTGCGAGCTATATCGAAGATGGGGTGAAGGCGGCTGGGGAATGCTCATCAGCGGTACATACGACAAGCGCAGATGAGTTCCAAGCTGATGAGAAAGGCAACGTTCAGGTTGATCCTCGGCACCTCGCCACACCACACGACCGAACTATACCCTCTACGTCGCAACATACGATCTCCGCCTATTCTGCTCTTCGCTTCGCCACACTATCATCTCTTCCTCCTGACACCAAGGCGCCCCTCTTGATCATGCAGATCTCACACGCCGGGTTGCAGTCATCCTCGACCATCGGGGCATCTCGCTTGCCATGGGTTCCGGCCATTGGTCCGTCTTCTATGCGTCCCAACACTGGAAACTCGTGGGCCGGCAAAGTGGTCGGACGGACGCTATGGCCGACCAAGAGTCGTCAGATCGTTGACTTTGCGGAATGGGAGGGTATTGTGCAGAAGTTCGTGGATGCGGCGGTCGTAGCCGAGAAGGCGGGCTGGGAGGGTGTGCAAGTGCACTCCGCGCATGGCTATCTGCTGGCTGAGTATCTTTCGCCATTGGTAGGTCCACTGACCCCCTCCCGCGGTATGCTAAGCTGATCAGTAGACCAATCCCAATCCATTACCACTGCCAGGGGTACACTGGAAGATCCCTGTACGACTACACCTTCTCTTTCTCATCCTTCGAGGCGTCCATGCTGCGACCCGGAGAGAGTTCATCAAGGCGATTAAGATCAATTGCTCTGACTTCGTGCAAGGAGGTAGGTTACTTCAGGTATCCTATGACGGGTTGCAGCTGATTGGGAGGTCTGGATGAAGCGCAGTCGGCAGAGATCATCAAGGAGATCGTATCGTGGAGGATGGTAGATGTACTGGAAGTCTCAGGTGGGAATTACAGCAACCCAGGTATGTCCTGCTTGACCGACGGCTTACCAGTGCATCTACGGTAGGCGGTAGCTTATAAAGTGTAGCTTTTACGGACTCCCAACGCCCAACTTCATCCCGCCAAGCACTCTTCTCCCACTTCACCAGCGCCCTACTGCCCAGCCTTCCATCTCCGCCAGAAGGTCCAGCTATCATCCTCACCGGCTCAATACACTCCCGCGAGCTGATCCACTCCTCTCTCGAGACCCGAACGTGCGATCTCGTCGGGATCGGTCGGCCGTCCTGTATCTACCCCGCTCTGCCGAGAGACGTCATCCTCAACATCGATGTCCCGGATGAGGAAGCAGTCTTTGGTGGGTATCATATCAGGGGCGGTGACTGGGTCAAGCAAGCTTTGGGCGGAGGTTCTGCTGCTCCAGCCGGACCGTTCGTTGCTTCTTATGCGGAAACGGAAACGGAGAGCTCGCCTCTGCTCTCGAAAGCTGCAGAGAAGTCGTCTGGCAAGAAGGCGTCCAAGGGGATACCGCTGGTGGGCGCTGGGGTATCGACGTTCTGGCACGAGTGGCAGATGTGTCGCCTGGGCAGGGGTGTGGAGCCGGATATCAACATGAGCTGGCTGGGAGCGGCGCTCTGGGAGGGAGTGGTTTTCGCTGTGATTGGGGCAGTACTGGGTGTCTTTAGGAGGAAATAAGTCCTCAATAAGGCGTTGTACATGGTATATACCGGTCCTCAGCCTTGTTGTATAGCGCATACAGACCGGTGCGACAATACTGCAGGATGTCCGGACCAAGGCTTCTCCAGTATCCCGTGATCCAGGCCTCAGGCCGGCCTCAGGAACGGCGGAGTTGCGAACGATTAGATGATCAGAATCCGCGCTGCTCGCCTTCGCTCTTGACTTTCGTCTGTTCTCGCCTTGTACTTTGCGTCCTTATTTAATGGCCACGTACATTCAATCGCTGCTATGCCTCTTGAATCAGCGCTCGACTCTCATGCGGCCAGACTGACACTGCTTGGTACGGCTAGGGGTCTCGAAATGACGTTCCGAGACAAGGTTTCCTGAGGGATTCAACACATGCGAGGATGCGCACCGTTCGGCATTGTTGTGGCTTCTGAATGAAGTGCGAGCGCTGATTATTCCGAGCGATACGGCGCGAGGAGTGCTGCATCGAGGTGAGTACCCGTGCTGGGCACGCGAGTGTGCCTGTAACGAACTCTAAACTTAACCCCCTTGACACTCGCATACCGGCTGATCTCCCCGCTAGATTCTCGGACGTATAGCGACCCCCTCAAACAGTCCTTCCCCTCGCTACAGGGACATCGCTCGGCATCCCCTTCAGTGTTCGGACACTACAGCGCTTCACCTCCGCTTATCGCGCCGTCTCGAGACACGGGATCGACGTCGTACCGCGGCTGTGTGCACGGACCGGTTGTGTGCCTGCCGTCTGACCCCGAGGGCGTCCCCTCTTTCGCGTCATCGGACATCCCTTCGCAGCGACAAGAGGGCATACCGCAGCTATACTTCGGTCTCGCAACAAGATCGCCGCGTCAGATCGTCTGCTGCTCGGTCCCCTTCTGTATATAGTCGAGCTGGGAAGGCATCTGTGGCCCATGTGTCTTGAGATTGGGGTGTTATAAAAAGTGAGTTCAAGATGTCTGTCGTGCGTCTCGCTATTCGGCTTGCCGGCGGTATGAGGAGGCTCGAGCTGATTTCGTTGAGCCGGAGCGGTGCAGCTGATCATGCAGATCCATAAAGGCACAAAAGGCATCCCGGGTATAAGCCACTATTGTTCATCACGCGTCCCTATTGGCGGTCGTCAAGGCTGAGACCTAAGAGAAGCTACGTCCTTTGGCGTCATCAAGCTTCAAAGCTTGATATCTACTCGAGGCGAACAAGGGAGCAAGCAAGGAGTAGCGGAAGCGAGGTGGTAAAATACCAAGTAAGTGGTGCCTCATCACCTGTCGTCATCACGCACTATTGCCATCACGATCGCAACTTGGGCAGGCCCCTTTGGGCGAACAACTTGCATCTGGACCGCCTCACTACCCCGTCTCCTCGTCAGAGAGCAACTCGCTTATCCGTCACAGATCATCCGGTAGACATAATCAGGAAGCCTTCATCCTCTCCAAGGTATGTCTTTCGACGATCTAGCGAGGCGCCCATAGCTCACAAGACAGGTCACAGCTCCGAGCCCCTCCTTTAGCCTCACTCCCACTCGGATGGCCATCTCCAAAAGCGCATCGCCACCAACCCCATGCTCGCGTCTCCGCCTCGACCTCCTCACCTTCTCTCCTCGTCTCACAAACCCATCATGCCGTCCTCTTCTTTTGCCTCCTCATCCCGCGCCCCAACGCCCACCATGGGCAAAACCATCAAAGGGCTCTTCACCCGAGCCAAGTCGCCCGAGGGAGGCGACCAGACGGCTCGCTCAAGGTTACGCTCAGTAATCGGTGAGAAGCGGTCTCGACCGACCACGACAGGCGGAGGTGGTGGCGGCGCAGCAGATGGAGCTCCCAGGCGAAGCTTGACCCGGGAGCCGGACGAGAAGCGCCTTCGACCGCCCACGCCCGACTTTGGAGCCGGGCAGACAAAACGGAATATCCGATTCGCGCCTAGCGCTCTTCCGGCGATGCAGAAGGGAGAGGATGGAAAATGGCAGACTCCGTCTCTCTCAAGAGGGTCGGTGTCCACCTCCGCTCTAGCGCTGTACGCACAAGGCGAGGATGTGGATATGGAGGACAGCTCGAGGGCGGAAGCGAAGGAGTCAAAGGGGCGGCAAGTGGGTGGCAGATCGGGCATCTTTGGTTCGAAGGGGTTTATGGGATGGGTGAGGGACGAGGAGAGGACGGTGAAGGGACACCAGAGAGATCGGACGGCAAGACCAGGAGAGGACACCGTCCGTCCAGAAAGGACATCGCCCAAGCTTGAGTCGGTCATTGCGAAACCTCCCGCTCGGCCACCATTGAGGTCAAGCAATAGCGGACTCAGCGAGTCCGGTCAACGGCGACTAGACTCAGCTGCGACAGCTTCGACTCCTCCGGTCAGACAGGCGCCGCCCTCCTTCCCATTAGCAAAGTCGCCTGCGCCCCTTGTATCTAGTCCCGCGCTTCCACCAAAACCTACCGACACTGCTCGTCGAGCTCGGGCACCCACAGCACCGTCGGTCCGTCAACCATTATCCCCGCCGACAGCGTTTCATCCCTCCCACTCCCGCGCAAATTCCGAGCCACTCCTTTCGAAAGAGCACTACGTCATCCGCTTATCCACATCGTATCTCCTAAAATGCCTCACTCCAATCATCCGCGGATCCAGCTTTGTGCAGAACGACAGGAACACCGAGATGCGCAAGATGGCGGATGAGCGGCTGGCGCAGCTCGAGCGGATGGAGCGGGGGTGGGGCGGCGAATGGGGCAAGATCGCTGCTGGGGCGCTGGAAGAGGCTGGAGATGGCCTGGAGGGGAAGGTGCGGGCTGTCCAAATTGGGGAAAGGACGAAGGAGAGAGAGCGGAGAGTATGGAAGGAGGCAGTCAGAGATGGGGTTCTACTCTGCTTGTGAGAACCTTCTTCCGACAAAGTAGAGGTTAAAGCTCACAACCCAGCCTGTTCAACCACTTATTTCCCGCCTCACCAGCCCACATTCCCCGCGTCAACATCTCAGAGGACGGCATCCTCCGTGCTACCAATCTCACGCGGGTCATTACTGCCTGTCAAGCTATACAGTTGCCCTCGGAGAACATCTTCGATCTGGTCGACCTGCAGGATGGCAGCGAGGCGGGACTCGGGCGGGTTGCTGGAACGATACTGGCTCTAGCGCGGAAGTCAGGCCGGACCAATGTCGGCGCAGGAGCTAGATCGCCCACGCGACCGGCGAGTCGGAGCATCAGCCGTGCCGCAAGCAGAGCGCCGTCGAGAGCTGCCTCTCCAACGCCTGTCAATGGCCCATCCCCTTCTCCGCGGAAGCCTGCGTCCTTGGCTCCAGCCCCAAGCCGTCGCGGATCACATGATGCCCCATCGCCCCAAAGAAGGGGAAGTGATGCTGCGAACGACCTGCACTCCAAGCTCCAGGCCGTTCTGTCTCCGCCGGCCAGACCGGATCCGGCGTTCATCACTCCGGAAGAGACCCCACCCAGCTCGGGCTTCGTCCAGCCAAAGATCACGCCTACTCGGATCCAGCCGCTGGTGCGTTCTGCTACCCAGCCACAGCTGTCCCCTCTCGGGCCAAGATCGCCCTCCAATTCTCAGCCACAATCATCGTCACCTCTCGGACCTAGATCTCCTCCAGGGACGCCGACTCGCTCTGGTACGCCCACCCACAATAGGACATCCCAGATCTCCAATCGGCCCGTACTTCGTCCCCGCAATACTACCGGTTCTCGTGCGCAGGTTTCCTTCGCGAACAGGCCTCAGACACCTACATCCCCCGGCGCGAACTTCAGTATCGCGTCCATGCCCGCGCCGGGACCCGCAGCGGGTGGTCATGGACGAGAACGGACGCCAAGTCTCATCTCGTCCGGGTCACGCGTCACCTCGGGCCACACCCGCTCGAGTGCCGCGTACTCGATCAACACCGTTATCGGTGATGAGCACGTGCATGCCATTGACCTGGCTGAGGAGGAGGAGGACGGATCATTGCGGCGGAGAGGACACTGGGAGCGGCGTGCTAGCGAGAAGACGCTACACTACGCTCGGCAGAAGATTCTCGGGACTTTGCTATCGAGTGAAGACTTACCTGCGGATCTACGGGTCGCCATCGCTTCTGGACACGTCCAACCCTATCCCCAACCTGGTCTACCCTCGGAACCGAGCCAGGAGAACCTCCGGGATGAAGCGCTTTCGCGGTCGCTCGAGGCTCTCGAGGGCGGCCGTAGCGCCTCGTCCTCCATCCCAAGCAGTCCATCACGTCGCGTCCAGATGAGGCGGTCACATACGATAGAACCTGAACGGTCGCACATTGCGAGGTTGTCCGAAGCCGACGAGCCTCTCAACACGCCACCATACTCGTCGGAGCTGCCTCGGCCATCAGTGATCCGGCGTATCAGCGCGAGCGGCAAGACGTACGTCCCCAAACGCTCCGCATCTCCCGTCACTCGGTCCATGTCCACTTCGGCCTCCGCTTCGGCTTCGATGGTAACCAGTCCTGTCCAGACACCCACGTCCGCAGCCTTCCCTTTTCCTACCAGCAACCCTGGACAGCCTCAGCTCGGCTCAGCGATACGTGATCTTCGACCCACGGGGACTCGGATGGAGAGGCGCCAATCTGATATATTGCCCACGAGGGGTGTTTACAGTGGCGCTGGCCACACCGAGCGTGGCAACAGCATGGTCGATCTGGCGTCGGCGGCCGGGACGTCTACGTCGAGCGCGTATATCGCAGGCAGCAGCCAGGGGAGCGGGATCCGCTCGGGTCCGCTGCAGGTATTGGAGTTCGAAGAGGCCGGGATGCCCGCTATCAAATATGTGAGCTCTTGAGGGCCGTCTTTTCTGCTTGATGATGAAGCTGACAAAGTCAGCAACTCGGCAACTGCATCGGACGAGGGCAATTTGGCTCGGTCTATCGCTCGCTCAACATCGGTACCGGCCAGATGGCGGCTATCAAGCGGATCAGGCTGCATGGGATGAAGGAGGACGAGGTGCGGGACGTCATGCACGAGGTGGAGCTCTTGAAGCGCTTGTCCCATCCCAGCATCGTCAAGTACGAGGGAATGAGCAGGGATGAGGAGTATCTTAATATTGTTCTGGAGTGAGTGGACCTTCTTAGCGGGACATACGGGTATTGAGCTGATGGTCAGATTCGTGGAGAATGGCTCCCTCGGCCAAACCCTCAAAGCATTTGGCAACTTCAATGAACGTCTTGTCTCCTCCTACGTCGCCAAGATCCTCGAAGGGCTCGACTATCTTCACTCTCAGGGCGTAGTACATTGCGACCTCAAAGCGGCCAACATTCTTAGCACCAAGAATGGCAACGTCAAGCTGTCGGACTTTGGAGTCAGTCTCAATATGAAGGCGGTGGAGAACATCAAGCAGGATGCGGCGACGCGGAGCAAGGCTGGACTTGGGCCCAAGCCAAAGGCGGATGTTGCGGGTACACCAAATTGGAGTGAGTCTCACGGTGGTGCGGAGACGAGTCAAGCTGATAGAGCAGTGGCGCCCGAGGTGATCTCGCTCAATGGTGCTGGTCCAGCTAGCGATATCTGGAGTCTTGGGTGCACGATCATTGAGCTCTTGACTGGTCGGCCACCATACTCGGAGATCACCAACAGTATGACTGGTATGTCGCCATTACTCCCTCTCATCTGCACGTAGCTAATTAAGTAGTCCTTTTCCGCATCGTCGAGGACGAGATGCCACCCCTCCCTCCCGTTTCGGCCGGACTGGAAGACTTCCTCAAGCTATGCTTCATCAAAGACCCCTCCTTCCGCCCATCTGCCGCCATCCTCTTCGAACACCCCTGGGTCTGCTCGCTCGACCCCCAACTCCAGCTCCTGCGGCCACAGGACAGCGTCCCCTTCCTTCGGCGTGTCAGCATGAATTACAGGCATACCGATTCGACTCAGCTCTTCGCGAATGACACTCCAGGCAATCACATTGTTGGATCAGCTGCGTGGGTCCGGGGTGGGCAGAGGGATTCTCTGGCGCTATCTGTAGTGGATCCCTATGCAGATGGAGGGAGGAAGCGGTTCAGCATGGCTAGCTCGAGCCACGGGAAGGAATCGTCGGACGAGTGGAAACCGCATACCTTCATCAAGACTTCTTTTGGCCAAGGTGAATTGAACGCAAGATTTTGACTTGGAATAGCAGAGCTGACAAGATAGCCATCGCCTGTCGGATCTGCCACACCAATGTCAAAAAGGTCGGCGTCCTCTGCCAGACTTGCGGCCTCATCAGTCACTCTGCCTGTGCAGCCGGAACCACAACTCGATGTGACGCGCACGAGCAGTACGCCCTCTACGTCCGGCAGCAGGAGTACCTCCAATCCGCCGCGTCATCTCGCTACGTCTCGCCCCAGCCGAGCCTGGACAATCTCGAAAGTGGTAAAGCGCACAATTTCCCCGGCAAGCTCTTGCAAAACATCAAGCGGTCTTCCAAGGCTGCACTCCGCTCGAGCTCGTCTGTCGACCTCAGTGGAGAAATACGGCGGCGCAAGTCGTCCAACCATACCCAGTCCGGACAGGCGAGGCCAATTTTAGAAGCGCGTAATCTGTCGAGCCCGACGCCAGGTTCGAGTCACAACTCCCGCCAATCCCGGGCATCGATGGTCAGCAACTCTAGCGCGATGACGGATGATGTGATGGAGGACGGAAGGAGGAGGAGTGCCATTCGCTTTGAGCTGAAAGAGGAGGAGGAAACTGGAGTCGGCGGGAAGGGGATGAGCTTTGGGGTGGAGCGGGCGATGTCGCCCGTGGGAAGGGGATACGCGCAGCCGAGCGGATCAGGGAGGAAGGACAAGTCGGACTGTGTTCTGCAGTGATTATCGGTAAGACGGACAATGTAGCAGCGGCACCATACACGTAGCCTAGGCGGGGAGATGGTCGGGCACATCGGATCTTGTATCTCTAGGAATCTCATGCGTATCTTCTTGTCTTATAATAGTCATTTGCTAGGGAGGTTGGCTCAAGCGTCTTGACATGCAAATACATGCAGCTGCACGAGTCGCTGGATCCCCCTTCGGCCCTATCGGATAGATCTGCTCAGATCTGAAAATTTTCCTCGACAACACCGCTTGTCGACTTGTCAACCATAGTTGACATCTGTTCGCGCTCGTCCGTATTTCTTTGACCGGAGGGTATGGCCCGTCGATGATCGGCACATGCTACCCTACCGGACTGGGCTAGCACCAGCCATGTCGTGCGGTCCCTACCGGAAGTTTCTGAAATTGCATCCGGTGAGCCAAAGTCTCAGACGAGCTCTCCCGGATGTCTCACATGGGTCATCGACATCAACATGATCTGGTCACTTGGCGACTGTCTCTGACTGATGATCCCTGCCTTTGGCTGTGATGTAATCTCGACAACAGGCTTGGCTCACTTGCCGACTGATGAGGTGGGCTGACACAGGGTCGATCGGACACCGTAGAGACAGCCGTCCAGGCCAGAGTGGAACGATAGATCTCGGTTGACTAGACAGGCCAGCGAGTACTGATCTATATAAACCTGACGATAGCCGGGTCTAGACAAAGTATCCCTCTCCCCACAACTCTCACACAGCTACAAAACAGCCTAGGCAATCACCCTCCCCTCCACCACTACCACCACTCCCCTTACCACACCCAAAAACATCGCCTAAGATGAAGTTCGCCGCTGCCTTCGCTATCCTCGCCACCATGGCTGCTGCCGCCCCTATGGCTGAGCGCGATACTGCTGTCACCGACGTGTAAGTCTTCCCGTCTGTGTTCCGGTGAGCCTCAGCTGACCCCATCAGCCAGGTACTCCAGTACGCCCTCACGCTCGAACACCTCGAGAACAACTTCTACTCCACCTACCTCGCTCAGTTCTCGCAAGAGGACTTCGCCAAGGCCGGGCACCCCGACTGGGTCCGCAACCGGTTCCAGCAGATCGCCGAGCACGAGCAGCAGCACGTCTCACTCCTCTCGGGCGCTCTCGGTGCGCAGGCCGTCAAGCCCTGCACGTACAAGTTCCCGGTCACGGACGTCAACTCGTTCGTCGCCCTCGCCAGCGTGGTCGAGAATGTCGGTGTGTCGGCCTACCTCGGCGCGGCGGCATCCATCGTCGACAAGACCTACCTCACCGTCGCCGGGTCGATTCTCACCACCGAGGCGCGTCATCAGGGCTGGATGAACTCGGCGGTCCTCAAGGATGCGGCATGGTCGGGCGGCTACGACACTCCCCTTGACTTCAACGAGGTCTTCTCCATCGCTTCGGCCTTCATCACCTCCTGCCCAGCCGAGAATCCCGCTCTCCCCTTCAAGGCCTTCCCTGCACTTGCCATCGGTATGGACGGCGCGGTCACTACTCCCGCCAGCACCGAGGGCGCGTTCGTCCAGCTCGTCACAGGTCTCGGGTCCAAGACCTACCCAGTCGAGAATGGCAAGGTTATGCTTCCCCACGTAAGTCAATCCTTGCTCTCCATACGACGACCTGTGCTGACTCTTCAGGTCCAAGGTATCTACTATGGTGTACTCACCAGCTCGTCCGATACCACCAAGGTCAACGATGGGTAAGCCTTAATTCCCTCCCCAGCTTGTGCCTCGCTGACCAGCAGAAACATCCTCGCGGGCCCTATGATCTTCAACAACCCGTTCGACTCCAAGGCGTCTAACCCCGTTCCTACTTTGTAGACGGCGCAATGGGAGCAGCGCTGGCGACGGACAATGGGGGGGCGGAGTACTGGGATGAGGTCGGGCGGGGTAGCTACCTAGTCTGGCTTTACTCAGTATCTTCGTCTTGTCACGCATCATCTTGTATTATCTTCCATGTAACAGTTAGACCTCTTGTGATCAGTCAACACAACCCCACGCGCTGCAAGTCTCTTCATTAGTGGGCGACCTGTACAGCCGTTCATATTGCCTCTCGTGCCTGTCCTCTGCTGCCCTTTCTTTCCCCTTCATCGTCTGACTCCGATCGTGCTTCTCAAGTCATCTTGTCTGCGATCCGCTCCATCACCTTCCGCAACGACTTCATCTCCTCCAGCATCTCTTGGAACACCTCCGGACCGCGGATAGCCGCGTCCGCGACCTGTTGCTTTTTTAGGTTATTGGCGCGGTCGTTCGGTACAGCGACGAAGACTATGAGGTAGATGAAGCCGACAATGAGGAGAGCAATGGATGTGAAGAAGATACGGGCTCCTCGCGGAGATGGGCCTGCCGGTTGTGGTGCGGTGTGCGGAGGAGGGGAGGCGATGAGCCCGCTGGAGCTGCAAGGTGTTAGTCATCGATTCCAGCGATGGACTAGAGTGAGCGCTCACTGCTTCTGATCCATCTTGGTCGAGGATGATGTACAGCGGTGACACAGCTGCACCTGGAATGCATTGGGCGGAGTGGACTGGTGATCAAGCGGTCCCCTGCCAAGCAGGCCCGTTCGAAGCGGTGCCGCGTGCCGCTGTGCCGCTCCACCTCGGCGGTAGGTATGCCGTCATCGAATGTCCAGATTGTGCCTGTAGTGCGATGTATGTCATAGAGCTCTATGGACCTGCGTACTGAAGTGACCTTGGCTACCTCTACCGGCTCGCTGCGGTCATCGCGCGATTGATTGGGTCTTTGAATTTCTCAAAGCCGAGGCAGATGGAACCAGCTCCCCTTGCAGGCTGACGAGGCGTCCATCGTCCGGGCCCTATTAGTCTCGTCCCGCCCAAAGCTAGGCCTAGCCAGCGTGCTTGTTGTTCTTCTCTATCGCCACTCGTATCAGCCTGATCTCCTCCAGTATGTCATGCAGGACCTCCGGTCCCCTAGCTATCTCCCGCTCCCGCTGCTCCCGTTTCCGGTCCATCGCGCGCACGTGAGGGATGGCGTGGTACACAAGATAGGCCACAACTAGTACGAGTGGGATTGCGAATGTGAAGAAGTTGCGGGCGGCATTGGGGAAGCGCTCGTCGTGGGTGAGAGGAGTCGATGAGGGCGTAGGAGAGGAATAAGAGGCATGGGAGCTAAGGTATCGGTCAGGATCACGTACACCGTGTGTCAAGCGGGAATTTGGCTCACTGTTTCTGGTCCATGTCTTTCTCGGTACCTGGAACATGCACCGAAGCTACTAGGAGATCCTGTCTACTCGAGTAATGTGCAGGTTGCTGAAGTACAAAGCTGGCAAAACGGCCCAACGGCTCGCGCTCCAGCTACCTTCGGACATGCCGTAAACCTCCGGTGTTACGCACGGACCAGCCGAACAAGCAACCACTTTTTGATCGCTTCTTCTCTCCACCTTACTTCACACATCACTATCTTTCACTATGCCTAATATCCTCAATGGAACAGTCACAAAGGCGGGCGCGATGGCCAAGACTATCACTGTCACTGTGAGCTCTTGCGAAGTCTTTTGGTCGAGGAGAAGGCTGACAAGTAGATCACAAGACGATTCGAACATCCTAAATACATAAAGCGGTTAGAGCGGACGACAAAGCTCCTCGTTCATGATGAGCTTAATGGTGCGTGAACAGCTATAGCCCTAGCAGAGATGACGTTTGTGACCTGGGCTGACTCCGGCAGAAGCGAAAATAGGCGATCGAGTCTCAATCACCCATACGCGCCCATTATCCCGCACCAAAAACTTCTATCTTTCAGCCATCAACGCCCGACCAGCGGAAAGCCTGCAAAATATACCATTAGCGGCGGGACCACCGGAGCTTCCGGCAGCGAGGACAATGCAGCAGGTCAGGAGACGCGCGGAGGCGGAGGCGGCAAAGGGGACTAGAGGGGCGGCAGCGGTGGTGGGCAGTGTCGGGTCGGCGGAGAAGGAGGCGGAAGGGGGTGTAGCAGGACTGCTCCCGGATCTGGGTCTGGCATCTGGGGAGAGCAAGGGAGAGGAGATGGTTGCAAGATGATGAGGGTGGATTCGGGCTGTTCCGGTATGCAGGACACACCTGAGATCTGTTTCAACAGCTTCGAGCTAGCTGACTGCTTCTCAAGCGTTCGACACAGGTGGCTGAGCTATGATCTGAGCCTGAATGCGGGACTAATGTAACAGCTACATCCACTCGGTAAAACAGCATCGTGATGAGTCGCTAGGAATCTACTACGCACCCACAGCCGGAAGAGGAACTATTGTATCCGTATGTGCATGCTGATTATCTCGCCAGACTAATCACCCTGACCGCCTGCTCCCCTATGCTACATCTCACGGAAGAACTTGACCAGCTTGTCCCTGGAGTTTCCCTTCCTCCCAGCCGACATGGCGTTGACGAAGGCCTTTTTGTCAATATTGAACTGCGAAACTCACGTCAGCCATCATCACCAACGCGCGCGAGCTCCGGAAACCGGTCAGACTCACTTCCGTCGCGATCGATGACATGGTCCAAGCCGACCCAGGCGTGAGGATGCGGATCATGATCGCCTCCCGTTTCTCGGAAGTCCATCCGGGCACGGTGGACCAATCCGTACCAGCAGCGTCTCCGTCGCCTGCACCTTGTGCGGTGGTTGGACTCGTCGTGGCCTTTTTGGCCTTTTTGACCGGAGTCGAAGGGGAGGTGGTGGGCTTGCGCTTGGGTGACGCCGTGGTGGGGGAGCTGTTGGGAGCGGACGACGTGCCGGCAGGGGACGGGATGCCCTGATCATCGGTGCTGGACTCCGCATAGTCCGCGTTGTTGACATTGGTTTTCTTGGAAGGCTGAGATACCGTCAGCCACAGCTTTCACCACAGTAGATATCGTGTCCCATCTCTGATGTCCGCTTCGGGCGACAAGCTGAGACTACTCACCATCTTGTTGTGTCGATATCTGTAGGACGTGTGGATAGGCGTTGTAGTGGATGAGGGGAGGTGCTGTAGACTGGATGAAGAAGGAGAAAGATAGGCAAGTCCAGTCCTTATACCTCCCGGTCGCCCGCTCAAGTCGGGACCCGCCCCACCTCACTCCGTCCGCATACACACACTCCGTCATCCGGTCAGAAGAGATCTGCACAGTGCCGAGCATAGCGGCGAGGAGTCAAAGGAGGGTGGGGAGCCCTTGAGCGTGCCTTGCCCTGGAGCTTGATCTTGACGTTTGGCGCGAAGATTAAACGGTGGTCAGGATCGGAAGGGGACGGCCACGGGGACAGGTCAACATCGTAGGCCTTGAGAACAGAGCCGTCTGATGTGCTCTATGGGTCGGCTGCGAGGTGACTCGCGTCGATTAGAGGATGCGACATGCTCAGGCGTAAGTGCCGACTCGAGAGGGATATCTGCGGCCACATGAACGATGACTGCGCAAATGACTTGACAAGAATGCCATTCGCGAAAGATTGCATTCTCGAGCGCTACTCAAGCAAAATCTTCTACCGACTTCCGCAACACTCATCACTCCTACTTCATCGCGGCCGCCGCTTTCCCCATCTTATCCCGGAAATTCCCCCCTCTCGTGGCACTGAAGGCATCCCTCATCGCGATTTTGCCCACATTGAACTGGCATCTCGTCAGCCTGACCCGCTCATGACTACGGGCTACTCACTTCCTGGGCGAGCGACGCCACTGTCCAGGAAGCACCAGAGGTGAACAGCCGATCAATGATCGCAGCCTTCTTGTCCGCGGTCAACCCGTCCACCTTTGACCAATCCTGCCCGATTGGCGAGCCGGATGCAGTTCGAGCAGACGCATTGCCGCTTCGAACCTTCTTGGTGGGGGTGGAAGGGGATTTGGGGGCCTTGCGCTTGGTGCCAGACTTTGCAGGAGAGGTGGTGTTGTTGAGGGCGGGAGCGGCGCTGATAGGAGGCGAGGGGCTGAGGGGAGGAGTGCCGACTTCGCTGGTGTCATCCTCTGCATAGTCGACATTGACGGACTTGGTCCTTTTGGTCGGCTAAAGTGTCGTCAGCCGTATACCTCAACCTTGCTTATATGTATGGGATGGTGGACCTCGGGATGGGGGACAGGGAGTCTACTCACCATTGTGAAGAGGGACTTGATGAAGAGCTTGGATACACGCGTTATAGTCGAGCAATATGGCGGATGTGGGTGAGATGGAGAGGGAGAGCAAGGGGCGAGTCCAGTCCTTATACCTTGGACCACACCCGCGCCGGCTGGAGCTTGCCCCTGCCCAGATTCTCCGCACACACACGCCCCATCAGTAAGCGAGCAGAGATCTGGTCAAGGCCGATGATAACGCGCTGGGAGCCAAAGGAGGGTGGGAGAGTCTGATCGTGCCTTGCCCTGAACTCTGATTTTAATGGAGGATGTGACGGACAGTCCCGTGTGGAAAGCGGACGGAAGTCAGTATGAGATGGCTGACATCCAGAGCTAGACCTGGCAGATCTCTCGGATCAAGGTCAATGGACAGACCGCGTTGATGTAAGAGCTGGGTCACGACCTGGTCAGTAGTGAGGTGTGTTGAACCACGCAGCCAAGAGGCGGATCGGTGCGCATAGGATAAGGATACGATACATTATGACGCAACGAGATCCGCTCTCTTGACCCTTCGATACCCTAATCCGCCGCCTCCGTCCGGACCTGCGAGATATATATCCAGCTCATCCCCTGACCGCCTTGATCGCTTTCTCCCGCAGATTCCCCTTCTTGCCCGCCGAGATGGCATTATTAATGGCGATCTTGGTCATGCCAAACTGCATCGCGTCAGCCATAGTCCCCCTCCGGCCTGTATGACCACGTTCTCCCTGATCTGATCAGAGATGTGAGAGACATCTGACTCACCTCCTCAGCCAGCTTCGCAGTCCCTATCACGCTCGCCCCAGCTCCGATGATCCTCGCCATCATCGCCTCCCTCTTGTCCGGCGTCCACCCCTCGACCTGAGCCCAGTCAAAACCGCCTGCGCCGCGGGCAGAGCCAGGTGCAGAGGTCGGAGAGGTAGTGGTAGTCTTCCGAGCCTTCTTGTTGGGGGTGGAGGGGCTGCCGGATGGAGTGGATCGCTTTTTGGCGGTAGGGGTGGAGGGAGTGACCGGCGAGGAAGATGCTGCATCTTCGGTCAGGGGAGGAGGGGTGGACATGGGAGATATATCGCCATTGTCGACGGTATCAGCGTCGGCGTCGAGCTGGGAGACGAGGTTGTTTTTGCGCGGCTGGACCTGTCGTCAGCCGTTGTCATCTGCGTCTGCGGGTGGGGCGTGGGTATGAAGGATGCCAATGGCGCGCGGGATGACCGGGAGACCACCTACCATCTTGTATATAACCTTGTAATGGATGACTGAATTGCCTGATGGATGGATGCGTGAGTAGAAGTGAAGCGACTGGTAAGATGAGATAAAGATAGACCAGTCGAGCAGATCAGCGAAAACGCCGCTGTGTCCACGCGAGGCTCAGCTCTTCCCAGGCACGCGGGCTAATCAGAAGCGCGGCCGTCAGTAGTCATGGATATAAGTGTGTGTGGAGCAGATCTAAAGGAACGGAGGTCCGTTCCGATGGTGCCTCGGTGCCTGAGATCTAAGTGCGCAAAGACAGAGCTTACAACCGTACATGCGAGATGATCGCTCAGAGCATGATCTTACGCTGAGATGCTTGCTCTCCTCCGGATACAGTGAGTCAGGGGGAATCTGAGTCATCAGCTTCTACACAGAGAATCGTGCTTGAGCTCACTCACGCATTCTTCTTGTTTCACACAAGTCATTGTCCAGGTCCGCCATCCTTCCATCCCCTCTCTACTCCTTCTGCCTGCTTCTTCTTTAACCACTCTAGTACCACACTGGCCCATCAGCACCATGATAAGCGGGCCAGCGAAGTGTACTAACCTGAAATCCTTGGTAGCCATCTCGCCGTCCCCTTCAGCGCAGACCGACTCGTATACGCTCTTCGCAGCCCAGCCTAACGGTGATGGGAGGTCGTACTGATGTGCTGCGTGAAGGGCGAGACCCACGTCCTATTATGTCAGCTTCTGTTCTACACACGACGAAGCGGATCAGTAAGCTAACTTTCAACATCAGGCGAGATTGAAAGCCACCGGTGAAGCCCCTTGATCCCGGACTGCCCTCGATCTCGGCCAGCGGGGTATTGACTCGGGATGACCAAGATTGACCTAGAGAGCATGAGATCGAGAGCCCCATCTTTCGAGAAATGTGTATAGACAAGCTTACCAGACGAGCTGTTGACGACATTATGTAGGAGCTTTGGGTCGATACCCAGCGATCGGCCCAAGGAAAGACCTTCCGCTAGTCCGATCTGGTTGATGGCGAGTATAAGGCTACCATCAGCTACTGATCATAGAGTCAAAGTCTGGAGGAGCTCAAGACTCACTTGTTACATACTTTGACCCCCACTCCAGTCCCGTTGGCCCCGCATGGAATGACCCCGCCATCTCTGGCCATCCTCTGTAATAGTGGGACCGCATGAGCTGTCGCAGCTTCTGAGGGGGAGCCGAACATGATAGTGAGTGAGCCTGCGGAGGCAGCGACGATACCTAGCTACGTCAGCCACCCCCGACCAGATGCGAGCGACATAGTTGGGAAAGCTTACCTCCAGATACCGGGGCATCGAGCATGAATGCTTTCCCTTCCGTCTCGGAGTGTACCCGAGCAGCTATAGCCATAGCCGCTGTCGGGTCGAGGGTCGTCTGGTCAATGAGGACAGTATGTACTACAGAGTCCGAGCTCGAGCTTCCAGGATCAGGTAGCGCAGCTGTGTCTCTAGGTAATGACTGAATACCAGATAAGATACCGCCCGATTCGTCCAGGTAGACAGCCTCGACCTGGGGCGTCGAGGGAAGCATCGTCACTATCCGGGAAGCTGCTTGAGCCATCCTGAATGATCAATGCGAGGTCTCGCAGCCTGATCCTAGAACTCACTCCTTGCCTGACCCGACCCTTCTGACCCTTCTCGCCAGCTCCTCCCCTCCCGTCTTCCTGATATCCGCCAGGAACGCCTCAGCATTCTTCTCGCTCTGTTCACAGAAGTAGAAGTCGGGCTGCTCCGTCTGTCCCTGCTCCGCCATGTGCGTCTTCTTGAAGAGGTTCATAGCCATGGGATGGCCTGTCCGCTTCAGCTACAGTCTCGCGAGGGATGCGAGGACATACCCATAGCACCGAGACCAATCCATCCCACAGAGGTCGCTCGAGAGAGACGGGCAAGCGAAGTCTTCATGACGTCTGTTCCGTGCACTTGATGCGTCTTATGATCTTCTATGTCCAGACCACAGACAAGTGCACTCGCACAATCTCTCTCGATGCCACTGCCGGCTGCAAGGTTATAGCCGGAGCTCGGCTCGGCTCCGGCGCGGAGCTTGACTAAGGTGACGTGGACTTTATCGGGCGTGACCGTATCAATACTCTATACAATACCGCCTGGTTCATGCATGCAGCAACCTCGGATTTCATCGATTTCATCCTCAAATTTCTCTCCGCACGATACATCAACATGGCTCGGTCCCCTTCTCCACCTCCTCGAGCGTACGACCGCCCCAGCGGTTCTCGGCCACAGTACAGAGATCGCCCAAATCGCTCGTATAACGCGAACGCTGGGCCATCGCGGTACGCCGAAGACGACCGTGACCGACGGCGAGTCGACCCTCGCGACACTGGCGGATACGACCGGAACGCTGGACGAACGTGGGGAAACTACAGGTCGAGGCGGGAAGAGCAGGGAGGCGGATTTAGGGCGAGAAGTAGGAGTCGGTCGAGGTCGGTGACGCCTGACAGGGAGAGAGGAGAACGGTCGAGACGAGATTCAGGACACGGCCGCTCTCGCCCCGCTGTGTCCAACGAGGGGTCCGCCAGGGTCGCAGAGAGCCCAGCCAGGTCCAGGGCAACGGGATCCGTCACTCCGGAAGAAGGCCAAATATCCTCTCCACTGAAGACATCTGGGTCGTTGCCTAATCGACCGGTCAGCCCCGCTCGGTCTAGGCGCCGGTCGCCGTCACCTGTTCGACGGGATCAGGGGGACCGTTGGGGCGAGAGGGGCGAGAGGGAGAACGACAATTATGAAGCCAGGCGAGGCGGGTATGAGGGAAGAGATAGGCGGTACGATGACCGAGGGAGGGGACGCGGTCGGGGTCGAGGAAGGGGAAGGGGTGGCGGAGGATACGGGGGAGGTGTGTATCGAGCGGATCTAGATCGCGGTGGATACGATAGGCTAGGGAGAGGCAGCGGGTATGGCGCTCGTGGCAATTCTCGCCACTCGCGCTCGCGGTCTCCTCTACCTCACAGGGCGCCGTCGAATCGTTCTTCCCGCTCGCCTGCTCCCGCAGCTAGGACAGCAGCCCGTCGATCTCGCTCTCGGTCCTCCATATCGTCCTTCCGCTCTTCCAAGTCGAGACTTGCGTCGCCGGACACCAGGCGTAGCCCGTCGAAGCGGGACATTTCTTCTCAAGGAGATCGTCGCTCAGTAGACGAGCGGCCTGCGGCAAGAGACTCGGCGCCGGTGAACCACTACAGGGTATCCCAGCAGCCCATCACACCTGCAGCGCCGCCCCCGCTCGCCCGGCCCACTCCTGTCGCGGTGCCACTACACGGGATGGTCCGCATGCCGCCCGCCGGTCCCCGCAGCGAGCGGATCCCCCTCGGACCTCGCTCATTCCTTCCTCCTCCACCTCCCCCTCCACCTACCGCACCTCCTCGTTCTCAGATCCCTGCATCTCCCGCACGGCCCGTCCAGTCACCCTCCCCTATCCCTCCGCCACCACCTCCTCTTCCTTCGGATCCGCCCGTGTCACCCGTTGCCCAGCCCCGCCTGTCCTGGTCGGAACGCATCAAAGTGTCGCCCGTGACCTCCACATTCCCGGCGAATAGGTCTCAGGCGGAGACAGGAAGTCCATACAACTCATCACAAGGCCGTGCTCCTATAGAGGCAGGACCTCGGCCAAACCCATATACCGCTCCTTCTTCCCAGGAGGACTACCGTCCTGATACACCCCCTCCACCTCGTGCTCAGACACCGCCTCCTCCGCCTAGGCAGCGCACGCCGCAACCTGTTGGACCGACGGCAGAGGAGCTCGCGGAGAGACAGCGGAAGGCGGACGAGGCGAGGGTTTTGTCGGAAATACCGGCGTTGGCTGCAGGGTATATGGGCGGAAGTTGGGAACACGAGGTGAGTAGCGGTTATGCTACGCTTGGAACATCTGGCAGTAGCTGATCAGACAGGTCAACCGGCATCATGCTCTGCTACATCCGATCGAGATCAAAACGTTACGTGCGCAAGCGGCGTTGCGAATCGCGCAGGCTATCCTGGCGGATGCAGAGCTGGAGAGGGCGGCGGCTTTGGAGAGGCGGCACGGAGCGGACGCGTTGGAGCAGAAGAGCAGTATGAGCATGGGTGTGTTTAGCGGGGTGTAGCAGGAGCGGACGCAGATGCGGGTCAGCTCGTATGACCATGACATGATGACATGCCGCCCGAAGAACGATTCTACATGCTCTATGATTGACCGTCCGCGTTTCCCTTAGTCAAATAGCTTTCAAAGGCTCAGATCTCCCTTACCCCAGATGACTCCCCGTCCAACCAGTTCCACCCGTCCCCCTTTCTCCAAGCGACACTCCAGCCGCCCCTGCCTCTCGCTCATCTGGTACGCGTCGAGCACTACGGTCTCTGGAGTGGACCCTTCCGTGACAGAGGACGGTAGCTGGGCGAAGATGGTTGGCGAGGTGTAGTATGATGTCAAGAAGGCATGGGCGGCGCCGGTCTGTCTGGTCAGCGCTGGTCGGGTTGGGCACAAGAGGATGTGAGAGGACGTACCACTGGGTCCTCATCTATGCCAACACCTGGCGCGAAGACTCTCGAGCGGATCACTAGCCTGCCTGAGCTGCTCTCGCCGGGTACGACCTGAGTGAGGATGACCAGTCCTTTGCTGATCTCAAGCTGGAGCTGTCAGCCGGGACACCGTGTAGGAAGTTGAGCCGATGACTCACGACTGTTTTGAGGTCAACCTTCAGAGCCGCAATATCCACGCTGCTTTCCAGTTGAACGATGACTGAATCCTCCCCTCCCCACTGGAATCCAAAGACGTCCTTGACCGCATCCGGCCCGCCCAGCTTGGGCGCAGCAGCGAGCACTAGCTGTGTGACATCCTGGAACAGCTGGCTCGTCTGCGACCCATCTACGTTCTTGAGAGCCTCTGCGTCCAGGGCGGGCAGGGAGATGGACACGTCCAGCGAAGGCTTGGTCTCGCTTCCCGAAGACGGTGGTGTCGTTCGCCGAGTCGCGACCAGATCGCCGGCCCAGCGGGTCGTGAAAGTCACAGATGACTCGGCGGGGTGGAGCGTGAAGAGCGCGGTAGCAGCAGCGAGAGTCGCGTGACCGCACAGTGTGACTTCCTGGAGGCGTCAGCGAGACTCATGCGACTACTGCGCGATGGCCGAGCTACTTACGACGGCAGGAGTCCACCATCTCAAACCCCACTTCCCATCTTCCCGCTTCGTCACGAACGCAGTCTCGGCAAAGTTGAAATCACGCGCAGTTAGCTGCTTCCACTCGTCGTCTGCCTCCTTGGGATGGGATGCGGGCAGGACGACCACGGCGGCCTGATTCCCAGAGTGGGGGGAAGTGGGGAGGGTGAACGCGTTTACGAGGTAGAAGGGGAGCGACATTTTGACAGAGCGAGTTGTTGGGTCAATTGTGTATGGAAGACAGGTAAGAGTTCGCTTGCAGATCACACGGCTATATATGTAGCTGAGTCTTATAGGTAAATTGCACGACTCCACAGGATGCGCGCAAGGTAATTTCGACTCGAAAGCGGACCTCCACCCGTCGCCGCCATGACTCTGTAGCTGAGTCGAACGCTCAGCAAAGCTCCGCTGAAAAGCCTTATTACTGGCCCTATGAGCGTACCAGCCAGTGGTCAGGTGTGCCAGCCGCCAGCCTGGACCGCTCATCATCCAAACTCTGCATACTCACATGCACACCTCGGGGGGCTTGCAACCTCTAAGCGGCGGTGACTTCCGCCGGAAGCTCTGAAACATAGCCTGGATGTTGCGCTGGTAGAGTCGTAGTACTGGGTCCTACGGCCTACCTGACTTGGCTTCGCATCCGCGCGACCTCGCATTCTCAGATCATCACCGGTGGACCTACCTCGTGATGTGAATCAGCATGTTTGATCAGCGCTTCAGCCGGATCAGTCAGCGCCGTCCATTGCATACGGCGCACCTTCCATCGGAACACGCCTTTCCGACGGAACTCAGAGGGATTTGTTGACGAACCAGCTGAGTTGAGGAGCTAGTTGAGGCCGACTTTGTAAGCGTTTCCTGCAAGCTTCATCTATATAAGCTCACCATTCGCCCTCTCACACGCTCTCATCGATAGAACTCATACCTTTCGACCTCATCACTCACATATCCAAGTCACCCTTCAGCATACAGCGCCGCCAACATGTCCGAGACCAAGAACATCATTATTATCGGAGGTCCGTGAACTCCCTTTGTATCAGTGGCCGCGGCTGTTCCGTATGGCGCAAGCTGATCTCATTTAGCATCTGCGGCCGGCCACACGCTTGCCAACTCCCTTCTCCCCCATCTTCCGACCACCCACAGGATCCTCGTAATCGACGCGAGCGACTATGCGTACTGGGCGCCAGCTGGTATCCGTGCAGCCGTCAAGCCAGGTCAGTTCAGGGCCTCTCGCTCAGAGGTGGCTGGGTATAGCTGATCTATGTAGGATGGGAGAAGCGCGTCACGGTCCCCGTCTCGACTGAAACTTTCTTCCCTGCCGGCTCGGCGCACCAGGTCATCGCGCCCAACAAGGTTGTTGAGCTCAAGAAGAACTCGATCGTGCTGGAGAAGCCATTCGAGGGGTCTAAGGAGGTGCAATTTGCGGTAAGTCCTTTACTCTACGCTGTCTACCAGTGGAGGTTGATGAGGATGCTGATAGATCAGAAATGTGTTCTCGCCACGGGTGCTCTCCAGCCTGCCCCTATGCGCGCCGAGCTCGGATCGAGCATGGCCGACATGCAGACTGTTCTGAGGAAGATGCAGACCGAGATTGCCCAGGCCAAGAAGGTGGTTGTGATCGGTGGTGGACCGGTCGGCGTTGAGTTTGCAGGAGTGAGTTTATTCGCTGATTTGATCTATGCTTGAAGTTTGATCATCTGGACACGCAGGCTAATTCCGTCAGGAAGTACGCGAGCTGCTCCCTAGCACCAGCATCACCATTGTGCACAACCAATCCCGTATCCTCAACCCCTCGTCCAACCCCAATCCCGCGCAAAAGGCTGAAGCATGGTCCGCTCCTTCCTCTTACCCGAAGCTGTCTACCGCTCTCGAAGCCGAACTCAAGGCGCTCAACATCGACGTGATCCTGAACGACCGCGTCGACATTCCATCAGGCGAAGCAAGCGAAGGCGCATGGAATGGCACCTCGGGCTCACTAGGCGGGGTCAAGACCCTCAAGCTCCAGTCGGGCAAGACGGTTGAGGCGGACTATGTGTTCGTTTCCGTGGGTAACAAGTCCGGCGCGGGACTGGTAGAGCAGGCAGACAAGGGCGCGATCGATGGCAGCATGGTCAAGGTGGACGAGTTCTTGCGGGTGAGTCCAAGTCCATCTTCGGTACGGTTTAAGTGTGATTAGTGCTGATTATCAGGTGACTTCCTCATCTCCTGACTCTATCCTCTCGGCCGACTACTACGCCATCGGAGATGTCTGCAACACACCCGGTTGGAAGACCAGTCAGACCGCAGTCGCTGATGCCCAATACGCTGCCACAAGGTATGTCCCGCTTCTTTTTCCCTTATCGCAGAATTGAGCTGACATTGAAGCATCCTTGCCGAGGTCAAAGGCACCAAGCCGAAGAAATACGCCCGCTCTCCCATGCACGCCCTCCTCGTCCCACTAGGCACCTCCCGCGGAGCTGGGTCCATCACCGTTCCATACCTCGGAACATTCATGGCGCCCAAGATGGTCGTCGGCTTCAAAGCGAAGGACCTCTTCATCGGTCAGGCCTTCGTTGGGATTTTCAAGGGGGCGGAGAAGGTATCTGTGCCGGATGTGGCGGCGGCTTAAGCGGGGTCGGTGGATGTAGATGCGAGATGTCTCCCGGAGTTGAGCTATATCATTAGATACTCTATAATATGTATGACAGATCTTGTTGGGTATTCGCTGCTGTCCGTCATTGCCGCGACTGGCGGGTCCGTCCCTGACACAGATCCGGAGAGATGCCTGGGCTTGCGTATGCCTGAGTCGCCATCTAAGCTCATGTCATCTATGGCCTCACGTACGTAACGCCAACTCCTCATTCCTCGCGATCGGAAGCTGTTTTCACTCGGAAGCTGTCTCCACGTGGATCGACGCAGACCTAAAAAGGCACGTCCCGCTCAACGTCTTGCTTCTTGCTTGCATCTCTTCCACAACCGTGATTGCAGTGTGGCCTGAACTCGCAAGGCTCAGGTATCACAGCTGTCCATTCGCTCGACAGATGCTACGCGAATATCGGCCGTGACTCTGGACCGGTCCATGCCGCCGACAGTCTTTCTCAAACATCGGTCTGAATCAATAACGCTCGATATGCCATTACCTTTATTACGCGCGTCATACCTCTTCCATCTATCACATATAGTGAGGGCATCTATCCGACTGAGACGCGATCTCTATCGGAATCCCTGTGCCTCGGTCCGGAAGAGATGGATCCGCTGGCTCATCTCCGGAACGGGCGGTAGATGTCGTTGATCGAAGGTGTGGCCCAGGTCTATCGATATAGGAACGCCGAAACATCCGTGTCTCGGCCTGTCTGACGACGATTATCGCCGAGCAAGGCATGACGCTAGATAGGCGGTAAGAGACGTCGAGTATAAGGTATACGTGCTCATACAGGATCCGCCTCTCTTTCTTACCGAATCGCCTCCGTCTACTAAACCCATCACCAGCACTCACACCTCCGCGACTACCATACAAACGGATCTCTTCATCCACCTCACCCATCGAAAGACATCCACCACCCCATCGGCCCCCCCATTCCTGCCCGGGTCCGCCAGCCCGCATGTGGCTCCACGCCCGCCAAATAACGGGCCTCGTGCTACTTCAGCACATCTTCGTCCTCTCCGCCCATGGCTTCCCCACCTTCTCGCGGCGACGGCCATTCAGCTCCAATTCTCGCCGGTCGTCCACCGCCGCAGGTGAGGATAGAGCGCGTACCGACCCTCCTCGACCCAAAAGCAGTCAACCTGCTGGAGTCGGAAAGCGTTCCGTGGGTGGACCGGGTAACGCCGATACCTTTGTGGTGACCCTGGCGGATGGGTATGATATTGGAGGGCATCTAAGCTGGCTATCAGGTAAGTCTAGGATTCTCACGGTGTATAGACCGAGCTGATAATACAGGCCTACTCGCCTCCAACGGTGGCTCGGAAATCCCCGGCTACAAGCCTCCACTCCCGGACGGTACCCTCCCACTCAAAGACGGAACCTTCCCCGGCTATCCTTACGGCCCCGATAAACCCAAATTCCCAAGGTACAAAGGCGGTCCGGTCTATGGCAACCCCGATAGTCCCGGCGGCGGCTCATACGGTTGGTATCCTGGGTTTCCCGGAGCACCATCCGGTTCCCCAGGCGTCGACTATCCCTTCCCTCCCAGCAAGGGCTTCCCCTTCGACTACCCAGGCAAGCCAGGCGGCAATATTCCCCTGCCCGGTACGCCGCCGGCAGATGGCGCGCCGCCGCCCGACAGCCCTCCCCCAGACTCCCCACCTCCCGATTCCCCTCCACCTGGCGGCGCACCTCCACCGGCTCCTCCCGATCTCCCCGATCCACCTAAACCACCCGCAGACGGCTACTACCCCGGCGCGGGAAAGCCCGTCTTCCCAGACTTCCCAACCTACATCCCCGAGACCGGTCCAGGCTTCGGTGTCGGTCCTCCTGGTTACGGTCTCGGTCCGGAATACGTCGATGACGGAGGCGCCGAGCCCGGTGCACCTGGCTACCCCGGCTACGTACCTCCTGGCGTTCCTCCCAGTATGGACTACCCCAGTCCCGGGGCTCCTGCAGCAGGCGGCGAATACCCGGCCAACGGTATGCCAGGCTATATTGATCCCGCGACACCCAATTACGGTACCCCCGGATCGCCAGGCTACTACGGTCCTGGATCCGGTACGGGCGGGCCTGGTGAGCCGCCCTACTACGGTCCCGGCGCTCCAGGCTATATGCCCGGTGAGCCAGGCTACGGAGGTCCAGGCGCTCCCAGCTACTACGCACCCGGTGGACCCGGTTACGGCACCCCTGCTCCACCTGGCTATGGCGTCCCCGGTACTCCAGGCTATGGCGGTCCCGCGCCGCCTCCTCCTCCTACGCCCGATGCGCCACCACCTTCATACCCCGGCTCGGATCTCGGAGCACCCTTTGTCGCCGCGCCGTGCCCCGTACCTCTGTCGCCGCCTGAGAAGGGTGGGGAGGGGTATGGCGGGGACGATGCGGACCCACCATCGGCCGGAGCGCCCGGAGCGGGGGCACCGGGGGCACCAGGGGGAGGAGCAGGAGCGAAGGATGGATCGGGCGCACCGGGTGCTCCTGGCTCAGGTGCGAGTGCGCCAGATCCGGACGATGATGACGGCTATGGCGCGCCAGATGGAGGTGCGGGTGCTCCCGGTGCTCCTGGTGCTCCTGGTACTCCCGGTGGTTCCGGCGCCTCCGCGGGCCCGCCAGACGCAGATGATCCATACGGACCCGGAGCGTGAGTCTCATCGTCGCAAATATGTATGAGATCCAGCTGACATCTAGACCTTATGCTGGCCCACCTGGGGAGATGGGTCCCGACCCTGTGGGCACCTCGGACGGCGCAGCCAGCTCTGTAAGCTCCATCTACCCCGGTGCCGGTGTGTATGTCGCTACTCTTGTCGGCTCCATTCTCGCAGCCGTCGAAGGTCGGATGGGCGTACTGGCGGTCTCGGCAGATGACGACTTCTGGGTCGCCGCTCCCGCCTTACTCGGCCGAGCGGATCCGCCTCCTCCTCCACCACCGGAAGAGCCCACATCCACCGCTACCACTACCACTACCGAAGCGCCCAAGCCTACGATCGCTATGCCTCGGGGCTGGAACACGACCATCCACCAAGCTAAAGCGCCCTGGCATCTACCGGTCGTATCGAGTCGGAAGGAGTCAAAGGGAGCTGGGATCTTCCACTACAATACAACGGCCGGGTCTGGTGGTGAGTTGATCTACCGCTTCTGATGCATGGCCTAGGCTGACCTGTCAGTCGATATCTACATCGTCGACTCGGGTGTCAATGTCGATCACAAGGAATTTCAGGGAAGAGCTCGGTGGGGCTTTGTCGCGCCTGGTTATGGCCGGCAGGATAAGCTCGGACATGGCACACATGGTGAGTGATTTGTATAATGAGAGATACCGAGCTGATCCTCAGTCGCTGGTCTCGCTGCTGGCAAGACTTATGGTGTCGCAAAAGGAGCCAACATCATCGCCGTCAAGGTCATGGGAGATGGTGGTGCTGGTGCTGCGTCAGACATGTTAGTGCTCTATCTTGTTGCTGTCGAGCTACGCTGATCCTGTAGTATCGCCGGTATAGATTGGGCTATTACCCAAGCTGTCAAAGCGCGAAAGGCGAGCAAACGCCGCTCCGTCATCAACCTCTCCCTCTCTGGACCCGCCCATCCCGGTCTCGACAAGATGGTTCTCGCCGCCCTCAAGAAGAACATCCCCGTCGCCATCGCCGCCGGTAACACTGGAGACAACGCCCGCGCCTACTCGCCAGGTCGAGTCGGTCCCGCTCTCACCGCAGGCGCCATCGACAAGAAGTACACGTACTGGCACATGTCGGCTCGGGGCGGCGGTGTCGATCTTCTCGCGCCCGGTGTGGACGTCCTTTCCACCTGGATTACATCCAACGTCGCTACCACCACCCTCTCCGGCTCGTCCATGTCCTCCCCTCAGGTCGCCGGACTCATCGCGTATCATCTCTCCCTCTACCCCCTCCTCTCGGTCAAGCGTATCAACAAGCGATTGAAGCGGAAGGCAACCAAGGGTCTGATCAAGAACTATCCGCCGGGGATGAAGAAGATCGGGATCTTGTTCAACTGCTGGAACGAGGGATGTTATCCGCCGAAGAACATCACGGTCCCGGCCAATATCACCACGACGGTAAACGCAACCTCTACCGTTCCGCCGGAGCCAGAGACTACTACGGTCGAGGTCGTCACCACGGAACCGCCGGCTCCGGAGCCTACGCCTGAGCCTAAGCCCGCTCCCCCACCTCCGGCCGAGCCCGCTCCCGAGCCAGCGCCCGAGCCAGCTCCTGCGGCCGCCGCTGCTGCAGCGCTCGCTCGCCCACTTGGCGGCGGAAAGGTCAACGCAAAGTCACCCAAGGCGCAACCGGCCGTCGCTCCTGTAGGACCCGCCCAGACGTCTTCTCCAGTCTCCCCTGCCGCAGCACCTGCAGCGGTCGGTCCGAAGGAGACGCTGAAGGCTCCACCCTCCCCCTCCCCTTCTCCCCCTGCCGACGTACCGAACCCCTTCTTCCCGCAGCGAGCGGCCCCGGCTGGCGCCAAGGTCAACGCGCTCGCCTCGCCCCCGGCAGCGGACTCTTCGGACAAGGCGGCCGAACCAGTCGCACCCCCGGTCGTTCCCGTTCAAGGCTCCGAGCGAGGCGTGCGGATCCCGGCGGACTCTGACGGCGCAGCGTCCGAATCTTCTGCCATCCAACTTCCCTCCGCATCGTCTTCGCCGCCTTCGGATCCCGTCGTCCCCTCGGCTGGCGGGTCCAACACACTACCCTCTCTACCCGCTGCTGACTCGATATCTCCCGTACCCAGCCCAATACCGCGGTTGACGGGTCGCGATCACCCAACATAGCTATAGCTGAAGCTTACAATTCTCCGCTTCATTCTGGATAGGAAGGACAATTCATATAGCTCATACAGATCATTATAATGTGACGAGTTCCTGGTAAAAAGTCACTGCATGTAGCTTTGATGTACTTCTCGATCCACCTTCCAGCGCCCAGCAACGAGCCCAGTCTATTGCGCTGGCCGAGTCCCTCGGCCTGTGACCCTCCGCAACAGAGTCGTATGATAATGTATGATCATATGGTGGGCTTGGTCTTGTGGTGTTTGGGAGATTGTAGTTGAGCTATAGAGTCAGCATACATCGCAGCCTTTGACAAAGGAGGGGAGAACTTACATTCCTCGCCCCATCCTCCCATAGCGTCGATTACGTTCCTCATGGGCTGAACCGAATCTTGTCATGGATTCTCAGGCATGGTAGGGGCCGGTAGCTCCGCATCTCCAGTGTCCACGGGAGGCGGAGCGAGGGTGACGTGATGCTCCGCAACAGACCAAGCGGTGGGCGATTTCTGTTCCTATTCAATCAGCTTATTTCCGACCAGCGTACGCGCGGGGTCAGAAAGGGAGACTTACGCTAAGAGGGACAACAGCTGCTTGTGTCGGAGGCGAGCGCAGAGATGATCCTCTGCAGCCCATATTGTTGAGATGCGGTCGAATGTCAATATAGCGAGGACGAAGGAACCCGTTGTTCCCAGACAAGGTTGAGTGATGACAATGGTGTGTGAATCAGGCACGGTGGGTATCGGACCGTCCTTTGCCGAATGGTGACCGAGGGTCAGATGCAGGTCGACCTGGTAACGTGGTAAGGTCACTTGCCTGCGCTCGTGGCGGCAGAGCATGGCGGCGGTGGACAGAGCTCCTCATTTCCGCCCCTTCTTCTTCCTCCCGCTACTAACCACCTTCTCCTCTTCCTCTTCCGAGCTATCCTCACCGCCGGCAGACAGCTCCAAGTCTACCAGCTCCTCCCATTCTCGTACGCCCTGGTGTCTCGTACCAGCCATAGACAGGTCGCGCCAGCGCTCGAGGGCAAGTTTGGCATCGTCAAAGGTCGTATCTGGGTTGAGGATGATGCGGGAGAGGGACGTGAGGGATGCGAGGTGGTCGTTGTGGAGGGATATGAGGGGTGGAATGGAGTTCACTTATAAATCAGCTCGAGACCAGGATGAAGAAGACCAGGCAGAATATCAGAGGAGAGGAGCCTACCGAAATGATCCAGTGTCCAGCTTAACCATAATGGCTCTTCGACCACCCAAGCTGCTCCTTGCAGTCTGCATGCCTCAAAGAAGATCTTCTCCGCCTGGTCCACGAGCAGAGATAGCTTAGCGAGGAGCCTTCCCTGAGGACATCAAAGTCCGAAGCACCCTGAGAGAGGAAGTAACGCTCACCAGCTTTGCCAGAACCGCTTCCATCGCTGCGCGCTGATCGTGCAGTCTCACGAGATGAGTCGACATGGACGTTCTCTCGGTCTCGGCGACTTGGAGTAGGTTGCTACCAGAATCAGCTCATCCGTATTTACGTGCAGCAACTCTTCTCGACCGTAATAACGGCGAAAGACTCGCGCAGACTCACTCCATCGTCGTACTCTCATCAATAACCCCCTTGCTCGCCTTGATCCCGTCGACTCCGACCAGATCATCCCACGTCCTGAGCAGGTTCTTGATCTCGCTGATCACGATCCTGAGCATACGATGATGTGTCGTCTCTATTGGCGGGAGAGCCACGACAGGCACAGTCGCTGGCCCAGGCGAAGGGGATAGCGAGGACCGAGACCGAGAGGGGGTAGAGAGGGAGGCTAGTCGCGACATCGCTCCCTCCTTGGTACTCGTATGGGATATCCAGGCCGAGATACAGCTCGAGATCACCTATGAGACTCGTACGCGAGACCGGTCTCCTCTATCTTCGCTATAAAGGTGACGCTCAAAGCATCGTTGTCGCTGCCCAAACGAGCGAGCTCACGGTCTGCCTGTCAACATTTTACTTTCCGTCGGAACTGCTTTATTACGGCATCCGAATCTGTGCCGGTGAGGATCGTCATCGTCAAACCGCGCACAGAATACCTCTTTGTCTACCTTATATCTACCTCAGACTTGCCTATCGGGAGTAGCGCATAAGTGACGAGACCTCGAAGGGTACGCTAGGGGCACCAGATCACTTGGCAAACAAATCGCTGCGGAAGCCGCTCAACACACTGTGTTGGATTCGCCAATCCCCCTCGCCATACCACTTCAACCGCTCACTCTGCCCGCCACATAGCGGGCCTAGCCATGCTGGTCCGGATACTACGGCCTCTAACCATGCGGCATGTCGTGGCTACCTCCCGTCTGGCGCCGCGCGTTATATCACGAGCGATTCCGGCAAGAGCTATGTTCGCCACCTCACGACCCATGCTGCAGCAGCGTCTGGCCGTCAGTACTCCATCCCGAAACATGCATCAGCGTGCCATCTCCTTCGCCACCATACCAAGGATGATGGCTAGAGCCTTCAAGCTGCCGATGTACGGTGCAGCTATAGGAGCTGGAGGCGCCGGTTACGCGCATTACAAGCTGGAAGGTGCGTTCCGAAATGCGACAGGTAGACGGTTCAGCTGACTCTCGCAGGTGTAAGAACCGCAACTGGAGAAATGATAGACGGAGTGACCGATACTCTATCATCAGCTTACAACACAACATCCCAAACACTAGCTTCCACCTTGGCAACGGCGACCCAGCTCTCGAACGCCCTTGGACAGCGGGTCTCGGATGGAATCAGCGGTACCGCGGCGGATGTCAAGGACGGAGTCGATGCCTTCGGATCCGGGGCGAAGCAGTGGTGGACACTGGTAAAACAGCAACTGCCGGAATGGTCTGCTAAGGCCGAGGAGCCGACCGCCAGCAATAATGGAGGAGGTGGAAGCAGGGATGAGAAGTGGCGGCCAGGAGAGGGACCAGGAGAGCCCACGCCACCGCCACCTGGAGGTGAGGTGCTCGTTGGGCTCGTGGGCGCGGGCGCTATGATGGAGAAGGATGACAGGGGAGAGCTCCCGAAGGAGGAGCACCAGCTGCTCCAATTGACTCGGAAGCTGATCGAGATCCGCTCGGTCCTGCTCAGCGTGGACCAGAGCGATGCGCTCAAGCTGCCAAGTATCGTTGTCATTGGGAGTCAGAGTTCGGGAAAGAGTTCGGTGTTAGAGGCGATCGTGGGACATGAGTTCTTGCCAAAGTGAGCGCCCATGTCGAACTTTATGAGTCAATGCTGACTTTACAGGGGAGACAACATGGTCACACGCCGACCTATCGAACTCACCCTAATCCACACTCCCTCAAATGCTGCTTCCTCTTCGACAACGCCGGCGGAGTATGGCGTGTTCCCGAACCTTCCCGGATTAGGCAAAATCTCATCCTTCTCCACCATTCAGAAAACCCTTACCGACCTCAACCTCGCTGTCCCTCCCGAGATGGCCGTATCCGACGACCCCATCCACCTTCAGATCCACTCCCCTCACGTTCCCGACCTCACCCTCATCGACCTCCCCGGATACATCCAAATATCCAGTATGGACCAACCCGAGCAGCTCAAAGACAAGATCAACAGCTTGTGCGACAAGTATATCCGGGAGCCTAACATCATCCTCGCTGTCTGCGCGGCGGACGTCGATCTCGCCAACTCCCCCGCTTTGCGCGCGAGCAGACGCGTGGATCCGCTAGGCACGAGGACGATCGGAGTGATCACGAAGATGGACCTGGTCAAGCCGGAGAATGGGGTACAGATCCTGCGGGGCGAGCGGTATCCGCTCCATCTGGGATACGTCGGGGTCGTGTGCAAGGCACCAGCAGCGGGAGTGAGTGGGCTTCTGCGGAACATACGGGGAGGAGAGGCAAATAATGTCACCAACGCGGTGATCAGGCGGGAGGAGGAGTTCTTTGGTGGGGAAAACGCTAGGCTGTTCTCGAACAAGGGCAGGGCTGTGGGTGAGAAGAGGCTGTTGGTCGGGACAGACACTCTGCGGCGAAGGTTGATGGATGTTTTGGAGACGAGCATGTCGGGGAGTCTGAACGGGATCACCAATGCGGTGCAGCTGGAGCTGGAAGAAGCGAGCTATCAATTCAAGGTGAGCCCCGAGTCCAGCGTTCTCCCCACGTACCAAGCTCACTTCGTAGGTACAATACAATGACCGCCGGATCACCGCCGAGTCGTACGTTGCCGAAGCGGTCGATGCTTTGAAGTCCAAATTCAAAGAGTACACAACCCACTTCTCGAAACCCGCCGTCCGGTCCAAGCTCAAGGACATGCTCGACAACCGCCTCATGGACATCCTCGAGCAGCTATACTGGAACGACCCGCGCACCGCGGAACTCAGCAAGCTCGCCGAGGACCGGAAGCTGGCACCGGAAGAGCTTGACTCGTACTGGAAGTACAAGCTTGAGACTGCTTCGTCAATGTTGACAAAGAGCGGTGTCGGGCGGGACAGCACCAACCTCGTCGCGGACGGTCTTCGGGGTCTTATCGACAATATCGCTCAGGCCGAGCCGTTCACATTCCACCCGGACGCAACGACCCGGATCGTTGACTTTTCGCATGCTATCCTTCGGGAACGGATGGGCATGACGGCCGACCAGGTGGAGAACTGTATCAAGCCGTACAAGTACGAAGTGGAGGTGGATGACCGAGAATGGGCGCTAGGGCGGGAACGGGCAGAAGAGAAGTTTGGCGAGGAGATGGGCAGAGCAGAGTTGAAGTTGGGCGAGATCCGGAAGCGGGTCGGAGGAGGACGGAAACTGGGGTCGTTGATACGGCATGTGGAGGAGCTGGAGAGGTGGGAGGATGAGACGAGGCGGAGAAGAGTGTCGAATCTGGGCAGGGTCGTACCGGAGGGAGACGAGGCGGATGAGACGCATGTGGATACACCGCTGGATGCGTACAAGTATAGTCCGGCTCAGGTCATTGATGGTGAGTCTTCTGCTTGGCCTGCTGCGACTAGGGCTGATGACGTAGGTCGACACGCCCTTCTCCTCTCAAATCGCCTCACCCTCCTCCGTCTCCGTCAGAACGCTCTCAAATCTAAGCGGTGTCGGATGGGTCCGGACCAGTCTGCTTTCTGCCCCGAGGCATTCTTGGCGGTCGTAGCGGACAAGCTCGCATATACGTCGACGATGTTTATCAATATCGAGCTGCTCGAGCAGTTCTTCTATCAGGTGAGCTAGCCCTTCCGAAGTGGTTGATAGTCAGGATCGAGCTGATGGCACCATCAGTTCCCTCGCGAGATTGATTCGAGAATACTGTACGATCTAGACGTATGTCCCTTGTTCTGGCAGCTCGGGGAGGACATGCTGATTATATCTAGCGGTCTGAGATTGCCAAATTCGCCCGTGAGAACCCAAAAATTAGAAAACACCTCGATTTGCAGGACCGGAAGGACAAGCTGGAGCAGGTAAGTACTCGACACTCGGGAGATCTATAGACGAGCTGACGCCCTACAGGTGATGCGGTCGCTCCAGGGCCTGGTCAACTTGCAGAAAGAAGCTCAACCTGCACAGTCGAGACGAGAAGCTGGGCTCTTCACAAAATTCTTCTAGAAGGGTCGAGCGGTAGCAGGCTCATAGACGGTGACTGGCGGTCCGGTAGCGGTAGTAATTGAGCTAGATTCACGAGCAATGTCATGTTGTATCTAAAATGCCACTCTTCGTAATATGCCACATTGCTCCCAGTGTTGTGGTCGAGCTGGCACCGCTCAGAGGGCGACCAATCGGGTAGCACCTTATCTTTTGCCCGGGTTCTCAAACAACCGTGACGATGAGCGCATCGCTTGGTCATCTCTGATAAGCTACGGCGATGCGGCGATGTCGTCCTGGAGCTCAAACATTGCGGACCTTGGCCTGATATGCGGCCGGATCCAAGGTGCAATCATGGCTGCAACAGTGCAACCGGTGTAGAAATCGCGCTTCAGCCGCAAGTTAATATCAGCTCAATGACAGTATAACTCCTGCCTTACTCAAGTACCACCCACAATACCCACACCCACTCAGAAATGAACCCACCCGCCGAATCTCTTCCCATACAGGCGGTACAGCTGCAGATGATGGCCGTGCCAAATGGGTATCCAGTCGATGAGGAACGGTCAGTCGTCACGCGCCTCTGTCCGCACCTCCGGTCGGGAGCTGATGCCTTGTAGAAGTATCGCGAGCGGTCTCACTCTCGTCGGAGCTCCTGCGTCAGTCGCATCCACCACATCCACCACGTCCACGCGCCGCACCCTCAAACCTCGCATCGCGGTCCCCACTTCGAAACAGTTGACCGACCTCTGGTGGAAGTGCGTCCTCGGCGTCTGCATGGTTGGCATACTAGGCGGTCTTGGTTACTTGGTCTTCCTCTTCTTCAAGTGGATGAAGACCAAATCAGAGCAGGGGTGATCGGGCGGGTCATACCGTAAGATCGCCGGAGCGACATGGTCCGCGGGTGGCGAGGAATGAGGAGGCGGGCGAGGCGGCGGGAAGCAGTCTTTCCGCATCGAGTGAACTGGCAGTATCGCAGCCTGTGTAGGCCTTGGATGTACAGTGATATTGTCTCAACCAGCAGACAGAGAGGGAAGGGGTGATCTGATCATGAATCTGTCAATAGAACAAAGTTTAAGGCGCATGGCAGAATCCGGTATTGGCCAGGCCTCCTGCCGAACAGCGGAGTCTGCGGATGGCTGCAGCATCGTAACTTGCCCATATCATGCCGGGACGAAGACTGAGGCTACTGCATAGTCCTGTGATATCATGCGCTTCTGCGGTTGACCGATGATCATAGCCGTGGTTGACGCGTCACGTCAGCGTTATCGGTGCCGGAGGTGAGACAAATGGTGACGCCTTGCATGTTTATTTCACGCGTCCTCATGACGTCGAGTCGCTTATCGCGCTGGCACCGCCTCCTGACCTTCGGATAGCGGAGTAGCCGAGGATGTGTACACAGACCTTTGCTTCTATATATGGGGCGCCGGTAGAACACCTCTTCTTTGCTCTCCGCACGCGCGCAACACCAGCACATCCCCACAGCTCCCCCCCCCCCCCCCCCCCCCCCCCCCCCTCAAGTCATATCATGCACGACTCGGCTCCTTCCACACCATCCACCACCACCCAGACCACCTCGCACACACCCACAATGTCCAATACTTCATCGCCCGCCAACAATTTGGAGGAGCTCCCATACTACTCCGAGAAGGTGGATGATGAGGAGAGGTATGTCCGCTCAAAACGACGTGGCTTCCATCAAGGAAACTTGAGCTGACCCATTCGTAGCAAGATCGGTCATCCACACGCTCTCGCGGAGGAGTATGGTGATCTCCCTCCTAGGACACCTCTCGCCCCTCCACCCCGCAGCCGCAGGATGATCGCTTTACCCTCCCTTTCGAGCATTAAGACACGCTGTACGATCGCCCTACCACCGGACTTCTGGGACAAATTCGCCATGATCTTCGGCTCCATGCTCGGCGTTGGCATTGTGGTCGGCCTCTGCGGCTTGTTCATACACTCCGCCGATCAGTCCAAGCTCGCGAGGGACGCAGAGGAAGCGGTACGAAAGGCGGCTACGGAGGCAGCGCAGGCGGCCAAGGACGCGGTGGATCAGGCAGTCATCAATGCCTCGGTGAAGGGGCCCGAGGTGTTCTGGGAGATTTTGAAGGAATTCAAAGCGTTCAGGGAGACGATGGTGGAAGAGCTGCAGGCGCTGAGGGCCGCGACGGTCGCTGTGACTGCTAGAGCCTGAGCTAGCTGTTCTAACCTATAGAGCAAGTCATCGAGACCACCGGGGTCGGCATCGTAGATGTATATACCAGTACTCGTGGGGATATATCAATGTATACACGATTGAAGAGGTTGCAGGTCTGCCGGAGGGTGACCTCACAGTGTCTACGTAGACTAGACTGGGCCACTCAGCGACCGTCGAATATGTTCAGCTGAAGGTAGGCTCCAGGTGGACTACTCCATCCACACGGACAGACTACAGTATATACGACAGTACTAGGCTTGATGGCGGTGCGCTTTGGCTGTCACAGATTGCCACTCCTCTCCCGCTGTAGTAGACAAAAGAAGACTGGTAGCTGGACCGTAGCATCCGGTCCGCATCTGGCAAGATAAGCACAAATATTTGATGTTGTGCCCGAAAAGGGGCTGGTCATGGCGGTGCAGCCAGGCACCGGCTCGAATACGACGGTGTGATAGCGCTATTGGCGCATCATAAGTCCCTCGCTCATGCTTCTACCTCGACCCACATACACGAACCCCTATACCACCACGTCCACTACCCAAAGGCAACACATCTGCCTCTCCCACTCTTAATGAGCCACAGCGGGTGAGCTGGAGATCCAGCTTTGTCCGTCACTCTACCTCAAAATGGGACGCTGACAGGTGTCAGTCCCACTCCACTTCCTACCACTAGCACCCCTCAGATGCTCGGCGGCCATGTAGAGTCTGAGCGCTCCATGTCTTCTAGCATGACCGAGAAGCAGAGGTAAGCCATCAGCTAGTGCGAGCGGACTGGGAACGGACACAGCGTGGTGTGTTGTCTGAGCTCATCATTTCCAGGCCTATAGTTCCCAAATACGTTCCCAAATACGCCTCTGGCACGAAAGGTTCCAGCGGAGATGATATCGTTGACGGGATTGCCGCCTGCATATTTCTGGGGGGCTTCGGATACTTCCTGTACTGGCTTGTCGATAACATCTGGTTTTCGGGAGTAGCTGTCCGAGCCGCCATGGCGCACGCTAGGGAAGTCGCACGTGCAGCCAAAGTAGCCGCCGCGCTGGCGGAGAAGTCTGCGGAAGAGGCCGCAATCCTTGCAGAGCGAGCTGCGGCCGATGCCGCCCGGATGGCGCAGATCAAGGGGGTTCAGGTGCTGGCGGATCTGCTGGAAGAGATCAAGCACCTCAGGGCGGCGATGGACATCATTGCGGGCGGGGAGTAGGGTTTGTAGGCAGACAAGCGGCACCCATATTAGCTAGTAGGCTAATCCTGCCATGTATAGTGTCAGTGCAGATGATATGAGCATGGCGAAGCGAGCCCCGCTGATCATCTTGGCTCTGACCGGTCGATCTGACCTCTTGCGAAGTAAGTTCGAGGAATGTGGTGCGTGGTATGCCGGCATGACACTGAGATCACCGCAGCCAAATTTATATTTTGTCCTGTTCTACCCTCACCTTGCTGATACGACCCACTTGCCTGCTACTCCTGGTCAGGATGACAGCTATAAGACCAGCTATCGCAGTGATTAATGCGTTGGCGGGACCATCACGGTTACGCGGACGACCGGGATTGATAGCGAGCGAAAGCTTCCGACATTCGAGGTCGCTTTCAAATGGCGCGGCCAGCTTCGCTCGACCTCAGTACAGCCAGGCGGAGCCTCTGAGGCGGATTAGCAATACCGCGAAGGGCCTCTATAGCTATGGTGTGCAGCGTGATGCCTCTATTCGGCGCCCTGCATCGCAACAGCTGCGATCATATACCTCCTTCCCCCCTTCCGCCCCACGACCTGCTATCTCCCCTCGTCAATATCCCCTCCTGGCGCTCGCATCCCTGACCAGCTCCTTACCCACAGATCCAGTCGACCCATCAACTACATCCTCATTCCTCGATCCCCTAGTCGCCCTCCTCCTATCCTCTCCACTACCAGCAGGCCTCACCATCCTCCTCCTCACCTTCTCGTTCCGGTCAGCCATCACCCTTCCGGCGACAATATGGCAGCGACGTCGGATGCAGCGGACGAAGGAGATAGTGCGACCTGCCATGAAGGCGATCAATGAGCAGCTGGCGGGGAAGGTGGCTCGGGAATGTAGGGCCAAGGGACTGGGATATGAGGAGTACAAGAAGGAGCTAAAGAGCCAGGTGAGCTGAATTTCCATATCCCGATGGTCTCTCGTGAGGTAGCACAAGCTGATTATCCAGCTGGCTGTACATCAATCCGCCCTTCACAAGAAATACGGTACCCACCCTCTTGCAACCATGATCCTCCCCCTCTTCGTCCACATTCCCCTCATCATCACCCTCTCGCTCTCCATCCGGCGCGCAATCGAAGCGCCACTCTCGCCCTGGGCATCCGAAAGCTGGTGGTGGCTACAGCACCTAGGCGAGGTGGATCCGACGTTTATCTTGCCCATCATGGGCGGCGTGGTGGGGATGATGAATGCGGAGGTTATTGGGAGGCGGAATAAGGATCTGGGGGAGGCGCTGGAGGTCGGGTCAGAGGGAGGGGTGGTCAAGGATACTGGGAGGGTTGTCTCTTCAGTGGCGGACACTGGTCGGGGGCCTGTCGCGTCCTCGGTTCCGCCTCAACCTTTGCCGGCTGCGCCCCAGCCGACGGCCACAGCGAAGAGTGGCTCAACGACACGGACGCCAACACTGCCGGCGCATCTTTCCAAATCACCAGGATCAACGCAAATACCATCTCGCCCCCTATCGACATCATCCATCATCCGCTCATCCCCTCCCACCCCTACAGCACGCCCAGCGCGTAAATCACCGATCCCAACCCCTACACCTCGCCCTGCTACCCCGTCCAAACGGCCAATCCGTCCTCTTCCTCCATCAGCATCATCCTCCTCTCCCTCCGGACCTCGCCTCCAGCCCATCACAGCGATCGTGGAGCAGACCAAGGAGGTCGACAAGGCCCGCCTGACGTCCAAGCTGTTCGCTATGGCCATGCGGGCCGGTGCGGTCCTGTTCATCCCGATCGCGATGCAGGTGCCGGCTGCGCTGGCGCTGTACTGGACAGCCAGTATGGTTTTCACATTGGGACAGAACTTGACGTTGGACTGGCTGGATGCGAGGGCGAAGGCAAGGAAGGCTGTTTGAACTATAGATTAGGCGTAGGCGAGAGATGGCGCGGCGAGGATTATGGTATCACCACAAATCCAATCTGGCCGAGAGCCAGAGAATATCATGTTGTAGTGAGGTTATAGGGGAGTTGGAAGTGAGTTGATCTCATGCATAACGTGGTAGTTAACTGCATATTGTTGTACTTGACTCCTCCGTTCTTTTGGGTCTGACTTGACTGCTTTTCTCTTCTGACTAAACTGCTCCGGTCACTCATCCTGACCGTTTCTGCACGTTGATACAGCTGCCCTATCGCTGGTTGTCCTCCATCTTTTCGGTATCCTTGTGTCCCCTCCACTTGACCAGCCCATCCGCCACATCCACCACCCGCCTCTCATAGAAGATATGGCACTGTGGCTTGAACACATCGGGCAAGCCCGGCCTCTCCCACTTGCCATTGCGCTTGTGTCCCTCTCCGCCCGCGGCATGCGAGTCCTCCTTCTTCTCCTGCTCGCCAGCATCCTTGTCACCGGCTTTCGAGTTGCCCTCTTCGACCTCTTTGTTCGTACGTGGCCATTCGAAGGTGGGGGGGAAGGCCATGATCATGTTGTTGCCTTGGTCCATGAGGGGCGAGCCGCAGGCGCGGCATGAGATCTTGTGGGGGATGGGAGTGGGGGTTTTGGACAGGGGATGAACTTCGCCATGTGCACTGATGGTCAGCAGAAGTCCGCCGCAGAGGTAATAGGACGTACCTGAGGAAGCCAAGCCATTCCGGGTCCGAATCAAGCCTGACCATCTCCTTCTTGAACACCGCGGCGTGCTGGAAGGGAGCTCCTTGAGGGTCAGTCCAATATTCGTCAATGACGGGGCAAAGACTCACCGTGCAGTCTTTGGCAGTCTTCGCAATGGCAGATCTTGGCCTGAAGAGGATCGGCATTGTAAACGAACGCGACTATCGCGTCAGCCCAAGTCACGCGACCCTCGAGGCCAGAGGATGCTCACCCTTTCCACACCAGCAGCTCTGCCTCCAAACGGTCGTCCAACTCTCCCAGCTCTCATTCGCCCTGAACGGTTGCTCGTTCAACCAGTCCACATCCTTGTTCTCCTCCTTCTCTTCATCGTCCTTGCTCTCGGACTTTTGACGCTTGTCCTCGTTATCCTTGGTAGACTTCTTGGAGTGGTCCTGGTCGGAACGGACGCGCTTGACATCAGGGCGGGCGGTGGACATTGTGATAGATGTTCGGGATTGATTAGAAAGGGGAAAGTCGAGGTGTTGAGTATGTGTGGTTGGGGAGGGGGAGAGGATGGTCTAGCCTTATACCGGTGCTTGACGATGAACTCTTTGCAGCGCGATCGTTGAGTGATGAGGTCATTCCGTCATGATGAGTTTCCCGGAATTTTGGAATTCTGACCCGCCGATCTCGATCTCAGGCACCGGACGCACACACGTTTCAGAGCCACGTGGATGTGTTTCAGATATCGAGGGGGCCATGGCCATGATACATAGCTGGCACGCGCCAGGCAGCCACCACGTAGCTACCTAAGCGGTCCACTTGTGGCAGCATATACACGGCGGTGAGACTATAATGAGCTGTGAGGTGAGTCATGACTGTCTGCTAAAGTCCAACAGGGACTTGGGAGTAACCAATGCCCCGGCCTGGTCCTGGGCTCTATGTACCGGAGATGGCTGTAAGTGGCTCGAGTTGAGCTGCTGATCATCCATGGCCCGACCGCATATCTCATTCGAAAAAAGCTCTTTCCTGTCGCATTTGACAGATGACGCCCAGCATACTGTATGCGTCATACGGCTTCAAGCTTCATGATCTAAGCTGGGACCCTCTCGCGTTACGTAAGGACCCGGCGCGTGACCCGTGCGTGCAGAATTCCGCCAGCCACGAGAAGCTGCACCTTTCTTTTGGTGTTTGACATCTCCTCTGCACATCATATAGCTATGGCCGCCCACTCTGCCATCGGCATATAGTACATCGGTGCAGCAAGATGTCGGCGCACCTATCGCAGGAACAGATAAAGCGGCTCTGCGAGGACCTGGTCTATCAGGTCGGCTACGCGTTTTACGATGTACCGTATATTATCCTGCTCAACTTGATGGTCCAGATAGAGGTGTAAGTCTCACAATGGCCCAGCAATTGTCGCTGAGATGATCTGGTATGATCTGGATTGATCGACGGCTGCTGACTCTCCGAAGTGCTCGAGAAACGGACATCCAGGAGGCGACGTTCGTACAAGTCAGCGAGATCCGAAAGTATATGGGGATGCTCCTTACGCACCGGCTCATCAAGCGGTATGACGTCTCAATTTACCACGACGGGCGAATCAGCATCGTCGAGACATCGATCCCAGCTGACTGTGCTAGTCATGCAAATAAGGAGCGGGTCCCAATACCCGAATACCTACTGAAGCGGAATGATACCGAGCGGACTCGCCTCAAAGAGGTTATCTACTATTACCTCGACTATCGAGAGTTCGCAAACGTTGTCAAGTACAGGATCGCGATGATGCGGAAGGGTATCGACGAGAAAATAATGCAGGTGAGCTGTCCGAGTTGCGAGCATGACGAGGCCAAACGCCCAGCTGACACCCAGGATGTCGGACATAAAGGCTACGTCTGCCCCACTTGCTCCCGGATGTACACGCCCCTCCAGATCCCCACCCTTTTCTCTCCGGCACACAACGCCTTCTTATGCGAAGACGACAAGGCCGAACTTATCGAACACGTTCCCGACGAGACCGACTCGTCCGACAAGATGCAGCGCTTCAACCGTGCGACTCAGCCGATCCGGGATGCGCTCCGTGCGGTCGAGGGGATCACGCTTCCGACGGTAAACATACATTCCTGGATCGCGGAGAATGTGAAGAGCACGGTGGTGCTTGATGAAGAGGCAGAAGGGAGCAAGGCGAAGGTGCAGGTGGTATTGGGCGGAGAAGGGGAAAGAGAGCGGATAGAAAAGGACAGGCTGGCGGAGCAGCAGCGGTATGCCTTTCCCTTTCACTTACTGTTCTTCACGGAGGATAGTGACCCTGCAGTGTACAGAATGCACTGCCGATATGGCACACCCACTCCACCGTCACTGGATCCGCTACCACCCTCGGCATCGCCGACCAAACAAAATCAGCCAGACTCGCCGCCGAGCGCAAAGCCGGCGTATCGACCGGACAAGGCGAAAGCGAGGATGCCATGCTCATGCAGCATTACGAGGGGATGGATGATGTCAGTGAGGATGGGGATGAGCCGATCCCGGCCAAAGTGGCTGTGAAGGTGGAGGTCAAGGCGGAGCCTAGTGATGTGGATCATGAGGACGAGGAAGACGAGGAGGCGGACACACCTCCGGCTGTTCCTGTAGGACCAGGGGCAGATGGGATGGCTACCGCTGTGGCTTCGAACGGGACGGCAGTAATGGTCAAGGGTATGTTCTTTCCGCCTCAAATCTCCTGTCCGCATGGCAGCTGACAGCCTCCAGTTAATGGTGTGCCGAAACCCCTCGATGAGATCACGGAGGAGGATCAGGAAGATATGACGCCTGACGAATATCAAGTGAGCAACCCTGCAGTCTTCCTATGGTACACCGCTGGTCGTGCTAACGCACCAGGCGTACTACGAGGCGGCATTAGCTTGAATGGCAGCGTTGAGGATCGGACAAGACGTCGTCGTCGTTACAATGTTGTACACTAGTTATCTTAGATGTACGCAGTCCGCCTGTTATCAGAGTGCGGTCGTGGTCAAGGGAGACAGATGCCGGCAAAGCGACCCGCCACACCGCATTCCTCGGCAGTGGCGATGCAGTAAGCCAGTATGCTCGAGCGGCTTCGCACCACTTCGACGTAGCTGGGCAGCCAGTGTACAGGCCGGAACCCCGCTCGACTTCTCGCACGTAGATTTTGTTGCTAAGGCTCTTCCTGACTGATCTACAAACTATTCACATACAGTACACGAGCGAACCTAACGAAGCCACTTGAAAGCTGTCCCAAGCACCGTCGATTCCCTCCTCGACTTCCCTAGACCTCCGCCCCTGCAATGATTTCCATCGCCGCCCTGAGGTGCTTGAGCTCCTCCAGTAGCTCCCCAAGTGCCCGCGCTCCGTTGATTTGTGCCATCCGGACAGCTTCGACCATAGCTTTCTCAGCCTGTTCGGCGGCTCGCTCGGCTGGCTGCGTATAGACGATGTCGCTGTAGACGAAATAGATGAACCATCGCACGAGGGAAGCCAGGAGTGTAAGGAGTAATGCCAAGCAGAGCGAGTCCGCATCGGGCCAGGCATTGGCCCTGACGACATTTGTTGGGCTGATGTAGTCAGCGCTCGTCCGACTGATCCAGCGAGCAGAGCTGGATATAAGGCGCGGACTTGCCTACGTATGTCCTTGGTATTGCTGGAGATCCGAGGCTTATCATCACCATAGATTGAACGCATATGCGCCCCGCCGCCGGGATAGAGAAGATTGGGGTTCAAGTTGCTAGCAGACATCAGACGCGGGTACTTATGGGGTGAGGTGATTCTGTCTCTGAGCTCACTTTCGGGGGTTGTAGCTCATCGTGTCGTCATGCGAATGGACCCCGTGAGGTGTGGGGTGGTGAGCAGGTTGGTTTGAGCGTTGTGTGAACTTGTGAAAGCTGAATGATGACAAGATCAAGAGGCACACTAACTCGTCAGCCTCGAGTATAGCCGTGCCGGCGAGCCGCGCCCAGACCCGAAACACACCGGTCATGTGCCTGAGATCCCGCCCCCTCGTCAGATTGCGGGCGCACTGATTCCCCTGTGTATTCCGTCGTACCTGGGAGATGTATATACATGCGCTATGCAGCCTCATCGACGCTAAACGAACAACAAAGAGAGTAGACGAAGCTGAAGGGAGTACAATATACAAAATGGGTTGGGTTGGGGTTGAAAATACACACAGAAATACAAGCAGTAATGATCGCGTCTTACTAGAAAAGCGGGAGAACAGCGGTGGAGTCCATGAGATGTGACGAGTAGGATGGAGCAGGTCAAGCAGCGTTCGCGAGTACGACCTGAATCGCGCCCTAAGATGGATCAGCTATGACTCTCGCGATGACATCGGCCAAGACTCAAAGTCAACGTACATGGTGAGCTGCATCGAGAAGCCTTCTCCACCTCGTCCAACCCTGATCACTTGTCGGGCCACTTGAACCCGAGGCCGCTCCGTCCGCTCCGTGCCGCGCTACCCCATTGTCTGTCTGGGCATCTCCGCTGCCGTCTCTATCCCGCTGCCGCCTCGCTGCCCGCTGCTCTCTCATCCGGCGTCCGTTCCTGTTGAACCGCTGCCGGAATCCTCTCCGCCTCCTTTCGGCTACGGCCTTGTCGGCAGAAACCGCCACCGCGACCACGTCCCCACCCTCCACAGCGGTGACCTCATCGACCACTCTGGGCTTAATCAACCGATCCAACCCCTTCTTCGCCTTCCTGACCTTCTTCTCCCCCTCGATCTTCACTTCCTCCACCTTCTCCCCAATCTTCTCGTACCCCTCCTGCACACCATGCACTATCACACGTGTGAACTCCTCCTTGACCTCTCTCCGCCTGTTCTTCACCTCTGCCAGACTCGCCCAGACCTTCCTGGCCACCTGCGTCACATACTCCAGCTGAGCGGTATGTACCCCTCGGTGCCGCTCGCTGACTTGGGCAAGTCGGCGACGGAGCTCCTTTGCGCCGATTCGAGCCGAGTCGAGCCGCCGGAGGGTGGACTGGGTGATATTGCGCTCGGCGAGATATGCGACGAAGCGAGAGATCTCGCGTAGCTCGTGGTCGAGATGCAGCATCATGGGGTGGTAGAGCTGCGCAAAGGCCGATGTGGTAGACAGAGCGTAGTCTCGCGTACGCTGGAGGAGGTAGTCGTACCGGTTGTGTAAGTCCGACGAGGGGGTGGAGGTGCAATTGCAAGGCGGCTTGGTTGCGGGCTCTGAGGGGGCAGGAGGGACGATGGGATCCGATGGCCGAACGACCTTGTTTGCCATCGCCCGCATCCAGACCTTGTAGCCTGTGTCGTCGAACACTGACAGAGCGCCCTTGGTAGCAACAGGAGCGGTGAGGGCCACGTTCGACGAATCCGCCGATCCGGAGCAGAAGCTCTGCTTGTTGGCCGCGAGCTCGCCGACGACCGAGTCTGTGTCACCGGAAGCTGGCCGTTCGTCCCGGCTCGGTCCCGACGTGAAGGTCGAGATGGCATCCCGGATGCTCTGAAAGTCCGGAATGAGCTGGGTAGCGAGTGACCGAGCCGCGTGCGTGCTTGATGTGGTTGCCGGGACCGGCTCCGGGGTAGCAAACACCTCGTCCAGAGCGATGCAGCTTTGGGACGACGGAGGGTGGGTCGCGCCGGTCGAGGAGGTATTGTACGCCGAGTATGGCTTGGTGCTCTTGTTTAGGTACGTGGCGCCGGGGCCAAAGGCGCTCAAGATCGCCAAGGCGCAAGATGCGAACGCAAGCAAGCCCCTGGCAAGTGTCAGCCCAATCTTCGAAAGTGACAGAGAAAAACAACGTACCATCTATTTCCCGCATGACCTGCTCCAGCAGCAACGACCGCCCTCAGAGCGCGCTTGAGCTGCAGCTGCCGCTCGTCGACCGGAAAGGACAGCTGCTTCTCCTCAGCACCGCCTTGCGCGCTCATTTCCGCCTGGGGCAGAGCGGACCCCACGGCCTGGACGCTCGGGACCGGCATGTTCAGAGCAATATCCGTCGAGAGATCATACTGCCCCTTCTCCCAAGACGGCATCATGATCTCGACCGGACCGGGGGTGGTAGGCGCCCATGTCCGCGCGTCCTTGAGCCACCCCTCATCCACGCCCCTGACAGGAGTCTTGTCGCTCGTCCGCCGAGCCGCCTCGCTGAGCCGAGCAAAGGGCGCGTCATTCCCTGTGCCGCTTATGATAGGATTGGCCGTCTCGACTGTGGGAGAGAACACCGGTGAGGGCGGGAGGTCAGCGACGCTAGCGCTGGGCGTGCGGTGGTCCGTGTAGGTGCCAGCGGAGGAGAAGGACGCTCCGGGCTCCGGGAAGATGAAGCGGAAGGTGGATCCCGTCTCCCTCGATGGCATCTCCGGACGCTGGGGCAGAGGCGTGTTCTCCGCAGCGCCCAGAGTGGCCCTTGAGTCTGTGAGCAGAGATGCCGTCGCCTCAGCATCGGCATAGCTCCCGTTCAGACCCATGTCATCCTCGTCTTCACTTACGCCGCCAGCGATGAGGGTATTGTCGACATCACGCAGATCGCCGAGCGACCCTTCGAGGCTGTCCGGATGGCGCGGCTCGGACGAGGTGTCGGACAGGAGCTCGAGAAGGGCAGTGCTGACTGTCGAGTTGGACTCAACATCGGTCTCGTCGTCGCGAATAATGACAAAGGACTCGGAGAGGTCGAGCTCGTCGAGATCTGGCTCGGATGCGGAGCTGGAGGATGAGGAGTAGGAGGAGGGCGAGAGGGGAGAGCGAGGACCGGGATGGGGGGATGAGTAAGGCATTGCGCTGGGTGCGTTAGCGGTTGATCGCTCAGAAATGGAGAGCATAGTACTGACCCTTTCGATGTGAGGGGGCGGAGAGTATGCGCCCAGCGCGAGAGGGGTGATGGTCGATATCAGACGTGATAGGCAGGCGTGGACTGAGATGTCAGCGCTCTTCTCGGTGTACTACAACGAGGCGAAGGTGAAGGAGAAAGGAGGAACGTGCGAAGGCCGGGTCAAGTATTGGACACAGAAGAAGCTGGAGACTGAACGACAGCTCACCAGCGAGTCAATGATGGGTGGCAACACAGTGCTATCGCCGCTGATCAGGCCACCGCTGGTGATGCTAGCTGAAGGAGGAGGAGGAGGAGGGGTATGTGAAGGTAGTGATGTGAAGATTAATGGCAAGAATTGAGACTAGGATCGATGACTGACCCTGAGGGTGGTAGCTGCAGCTAGACCCAACAAGTGGCCACCGAGAGGGGACCGGTCTCTTCCGCCCGAAGTGAACCCCAACGGAGGGTAGGTGGCGGAAACGACAAAGGTGTCGAGTGTTGGGTCTCGTCGTCGACTTCCGCTGAGAACTGTCCACCCGGGTGAAGGGCAGCGACTGGGCTGTACACAAGGCTACAGAGCTACCTGTGAGAGGCAGAAGATTGAGAAACGCTGAATAGAAGCTTCTCATCTAGCGCGCTAAGGTTGAGTGGACCTCTTCCGGCTATATCCGAAGATAACCGTAACTGATAAGGCATGGTACCCTGAGGCCATGCTGTCAAGAGCTGGTCGTTCTGGACACATGAGGAGAATGGACATTGACAGTAGAGTAGCATACACGAGGAGGCTGGCCAACGGACGAGCGTGCCTATGTACAACCTTGATCTGCAACTTCCTCGCGATCACGTCGCAAGTGTTTCGCTTAGAAAGCCATACGCTGGCCTCGCCTCCCCCACCTGCCGCCCCGCGGTCATCAGGATCGTCCGCTCGTCGTCCATCGGGGCCGGTATGACATCCAGGAGTGTCTTGCCGTCCTACAGTCCCATCAGCTCTCGATCAAGGTTCCGGCCTGAGAGCAGAACTTACCGTTTCGAAGACAGCCCAAGTACCCGTTGGCTGTATTGTGAGCTCAGTATCAACACCGCTAGCCATCTAGCTCACCGATACTCGACTCTTCATGACTTCCACCACGCCCCTCAGTCCCGGCTTACTGAACGCCCTATCCCGCTCGCCCTCGTCAATCTCCCCAAACAGCTTCCCGGTAGACTGCACCATCAGAGTGATGTCTGCAAAGTAGGAGAAGCCGACACCAAGTGCGGGCTTGACATCGGTGGCTGTGAAGGTGGAGGCGGAGTTGGTAGGGCGCGAAGATGCCGTGGCATTGGTAGCCTATCAAGTCAGCTGCATCCGAGTGTACCATGAGAATGAGTGATATAGCTCACGATGACTGTCAAGCCTTTGCTCTGGGCGAGCTCAGCTATCTCTTCCATCATGGTCACCATGGCAGCATGTCCTGAGATACATCAGAACTATACCGATAATTCGAGATAGCATCAACGTACCTTGTGAGCCGCTGCCCATGAGAAGATCCTTCAGCAAGGGTGTCACCGAGTCCAGAACAAGTATGGTTGTTCGCGCGCCTTCTTGCCCCTGATACCATATCAGCATAGCTCCAAGCCAGATGATACCAGACGCACGCTGTCCTCTCCTCTGATTGTATCCAGTGCGCCCCAGAGATCCGGATCTAGGTTGTAGCATGGAGCGACGCTGAGTCGAGCGAGAACTTCCGCATGATCCTACTCGTCAGCTCTGGTTTACTTGCACTGGTAGCATATCAGCGAGCTCACTATGAAGCCCATATGGTCGAGCACAGCTCGGGCTCTCGCTGGAGAGAAGGATCCATCCGTGTCGAGCCATTTACACCTGCTTGCCGGATCCGCTAGTAGCCGTTTGAGTACTATATGCAGGGCGAGAAGCTGGGTGATCAGCTTCCTCCTACTTCTCGCATCCTATCGTTCTGATGTGCAGAGTGAGCTCACCGACTTGCCCACCCTTTGCGGTCCGCATATCTCCACAACCCCTCTTCCTTCCCAAGCACCCACGAGCCCATCAAGTCCCGCCGTCCCGAATCCCGTCCATCTTCCCTTTCCCAGACTTCCTTCCTCTTCCAATTCCTCCACTCCTGAACGTGATACCGGCGCCGTCAGCCGCAGACACCGCTCGATGAGCTGCTCCACCTCATATTGCGCGTCCGGGTCATCAATGAGGGATAGGACAGTCGGTAGGGGCGTGAAGAGGAGGTTCTCGGTTGTCTTGATACCTGCTGCTTCTGCCTCGTTTTAGCGGGTCGTGAGCAGTCAGTCAGGGGAAAACGGACCGAGCTGAGATATCAAGGGATGTAGATCTGGCGGGACTGATGCTGTCAGGCGCTTGAGCAACATGCTATATGTGGTCACTGGTATGAGAAGGAAGTATGATGCGAAGCCAGTTGGCGGAGATTCAGAAGCTTTGGCCGAAAGAAGCTTAATAACCTCGACGCGTACGCACGGACTAGTTTCGAATCTCCAGCCGCGCCCAAGGGAAAATTAAATGGAATATATGTGGGTGCTATCTTGAACCAGACGATGTAAAGGGCAGAGGGAGGCGGCCAAGAGCTGGTGAGCTGCTGCAGAGCCTCTAGAGCCTGAGTTTGCATTGTACAGCGTTCCCAACGCGTCACGCGGCGCTGAGAGTTTCAAGATTGCGGGTGGCAAATGTGAAACATGCATCCCGGCAGACTTCGGCAGCTTGCCCCCTGCCTGGACCCAACAAGTCTCACCACTTTCGCGGCGTTATCTCTCGCCGATATACGCATGGAAGCAGTACTCGACCTTCCGCCGCCACCGCTAGTAATCCGGCCCACTCGACGACTTCGACCGACGAACCATTGGGCCTTGTGTCATCAACCGGTTGATGAGGCTTACTCACCTGGTCATAGTGAGCATTGGGGGCTGTGCACGGCTCCAATCAACTGACTCCCTGTGGATGCTGGGGGTGATCTCTTCCCGTCTTTGCACCAATCGGTCCGACGCTAAAGAACGGTGCCTTAACCTCACCTTGGTCTGTGAGAGCGGGGTCCCGTCCCGTCGCCCTCTGGGCCCCGGGACCCCAACCAACCGACTGGGTTTCCGGTTCAACCCGGCTCATCCCTTTTTGTAGTATTGTAGCTTTGTTATATTGTTCAGATGTGTGCCACCACTGAACAGTGGGTAGAAATGAACCGATAGAGTCCCCCAAAAGCGTCGTTAGGCTCTGCAAGTATCGCTGGCCGCTGCAGCTCCCAAGCTCGCCCGAGCTATTGCCGCACTCGCACTGTGGCTTACACCTACCCACTAAGCGTCCACTGACTGCCTTCAACAATCATGCATCTGGGCCAGCTGGTACGGCGAGATGGCGAATAAGGGTCGATTGCGCGGCGCAATACCAAAGGGAGGACGCGCCTTAACGAGGTTCAATAGCCCGAAGCGGCAAAACATCGGATATCAAGATCGGCTGTACTGCCGCACACTTTGTGTATCTCCGCAATCATCTGCCGCTGATCACTGGCGCGCGCAAGCCAGAGTATACTGCTGCCTCATCAAATCATCAGCATCGCCGGCGATTGGCGCTTTCCACCTTGATTCCAGCCTCCAGGATATCCAGGGCGCGTTGGAACACCTCATTCCTCAGCCTCTCGAAACAAGGCGAATTACCTGGTCCAGTAATTGTCGAAGCGGGACCAAACAGCATCAACCTCGACCGGCCAACTTCAAGCTCTTTCTTCTCTTCAGGTCATACACCAGCCTGTCAAACTCGCAAAGCCCTCCTCCGAATCCACCGCCATGTCAGCTTTTCAGACCGACTCCCTCAACCCCTCAGCTCTCCCCTCCTCCACCCTGGGCCGACGCCGACCCCCTGCTGCCTCTACCTCAGCCTTCGACCCAGATCCGTCCGGGACAGCTGGGCCGTCTTCCGGTTCAGACGCGGCGGCACGAGCGCGTTTTCATGAAGAGTGGAATGTCAGGATAGACAAAGAAGTGAAGGCGCTCGCAGGGGGTATGAGAGAGATAGTGGACCTGGCAGATGTAAGTCCAGCTGCCTCAGCCATTCTTGAAGATAAGTTGAGCTGATCTCTTCCAGATAGGCTCGAATCCCTCCGCCCACTCCTCAGCTCCCACATCACTACATCTTCGAATACGTACAGCCCAGCTCATCCGCTCGGCCCAATCACTGCGCGACATGTCGCACGAACTGCGGCTGATGTTGCTCTTGTCGGACGAGGTGGATATGGCGAGGCGAAGAGACAACGAGGTGGAGCTAGTGAAGGAGGAGCTGGGGATGAGGCGAGGGAGGGTGGAGAAAGAGATGAGGGAACTCATGGGAGGGCGGGCCGGAGTGAATGTAGACGTTGGGCGGGAAGGAAGGCGAGAGGGGGGAGTGGGGGAGAGGGTCATATCAGCGAATGCTCCAGATCCCGACCTGGCGGGGGAGGAGGCAGGCGAGGACACAGCGGATGGTGGAGGTACTGTCACAGGAGAGACGAAGGTGGATGGGCCAATAGAGGATGACGAAGATGATGACGATTTCGAGGAAGTATAGCATTTGACCTGTCACATCTACACATGGACTGGGCAAATTTTGTAGCATAGCGTGAGCAGACATACGATACATACGTTATAGAGGGTCATACAGAGACTACTTAGACTACGAGAACAGAGAGATATATCAAAACCCAAAAGATCATGATTCACAGATACTAGCCATTCCTTCCCCCTCCTCTCGCCGTGCACTCAGTCATCTCCATCATGGAACGGCCACGCTACCGTCAACCTCGGTGGAGCGCCATCCATCCTGCCTACGCCATTCTCGGACCACCATTCATCATACTGTCATCATCAGCCTCGTCCTCACAGCACCCTTGAATGAGATTACTCACCTCTTTCTGCGCATCCTCCAGCTCTGCCAACATCCTGATCGCATACGCATGCTTCTTCTCCGGGTATCCCACATCCACCACCGCCTTGGACCCCTTCCCGCTTCGTCCGCGGTCCTGTTGCGTCTGATTCGGACCAAAGAGCGAGTCAAGCGCCGAGGCCGTCGGAGGCGGAAGCAAGCTCGAGCGCTTACTGAATGATCGGGACATGTGGGGACTGGAGGGGCCTCTTGGGCTGGGCGGCTGGGACTGGCGCCGCGGGGAAGAGATGGGTGGAGCGGGGTCAAAGGCGTCGGAACGAGGTGAGGCAGTGGGCAGCTCAAACTCGAATGCTACGCCTGCAGGGGAGGAACTGCCAAGGTGGGTCTCGGGCGAGTGGTGGGTGGTGAGGATGGTAGGTGGGGGTGCTTTCCGACCGCCTGTGCTGGAGCTGGACATGGCCGGCGTTGAAGGGGGGAGCGTAGCCGGGGCCGAGGACTCCCTGGGCGAGTCGGCGCTGGAGTCGCTTGACGAGCTAGCGAACATCGGGCTCCCCAGCCCGCTCTTCTGCGGTATCTTCGGCGTGGTCGTTGCAGGCCGGAGCAGCGGCGATCCCGCTCCCAATTTCGGCGAGGACGAGGAAGCCAAGAACGGGCTCCCCTCCATCGACGGCGAGGGGCTAGGCGAGCGCGATCCCGGCCCTTTACTGCCCTTCTTTCCGCCCACGCGCTTCTTGAACCAGTTGGTAGCCTTCCCAATTCTGCCCTCTTCCTCTTTCGCCTCCATCCCGAAGCCTAGACCAAGGAGGCGTTCCGCCTTGTTGGAGCTTCCGCCCATGGACGGCGAATCCTGGATCATGGTGATCGTGGAGCGAGAGTGGGAGAGTCCGCCCTCTCCGAGGGGTGTGAGCGGGGCGTGGGAGTCGGCTTCCAGATCGGCAGTAGCAGGCTTGGGCTCCAGCTCGTCGTGCCGCTTCTTGATCCGGTCCAGACTAGTCTGAAGAAGCTTGACCGACTCAATCTCGACCTGGTGCGCCTCACCATCTTCGGCCTTGGTGTGCAAGTGGCCAAGACGGAACACCTGTGTATCAGCTCATATCACTCCGAGAGTGCCGAGAGACATACCACGAGACGCAAGACATAACTCCGCACCGACTGACTCCAGAACAGGGTCAACCGCTCAAACAACTCCTTGGTCAACAGCAGACCCAAGCACAACTCCTTCCGATCCTCCGCACGAGCAGTCAACACCTCCCAGTGCGTAAAGACAAACGCAATAACCTTGACCAAGGTCAAAGCGTGTTCGCCCTCGGTAAGGATCATGCGGATAACGTAAATGAGATGAGGGACGTCGAGAAGCGACTCCGCCAGGAAAGGGTTTGGGAGTGCCGCAGGGACGAGGGTGGGTACCAACGGCGGCGCAGCGAGGGTTTGGGGGAGTGTATCAAACGGGGGATCGACGATCCCGTCCAAGAGGTCAAAGAGGGAAAAGACGCCTTTGGGGGCGTACAACGACGTCTTGGAGATGATCGACTTGGTCCAGACATCAATCATGTCCCCCCAGAGCTGGCTGCCGTCGCACTCGATCACGTGCCCCGAGGACGGCATGACCATGCGCAAGTTGGCAAACGTCGACAGCGTCTCGACGATCCGGCGGTTGGCCGTCTCGAGCACTGCGGGCTTTTGGCTCCCGCGGAACCCGGCCGTCTCTTGCGCTTCGAAGTTATTGGCGGACGAAGAGGTAGTGACCGCATTGACCGAGCCGAGGATGTACGAGTGACATTTCGTCGCAAAGACAGTGGCGAGGTGTGCGTATCCGGGTGCGCGCAGGAGGATCGAGGCGGGAACGGGTCGATCCAGCTTCTCGTAGTGCTCCAGAACGGGAGAGAGGTAGTTGGCGAGTTGACGATGATACGCCCGGTAGAACGCAGGGAAGAGCTCCGAGTCGTCAGACTGCCACCGGCGGAGCCAGTTTCCAGGTTGGAAGAGGAACGCAGAGCGCTCGGCGTGGGTGGCAAAGTCGGCAGAGAGGTTGGAGAGACGGGCAGTGTAGGAGCGAGAGTCGTCAAAGCAGAGAGCGGACAGGTGCTCCGGGTATTTTGGCTTGGCGGAAGTGGGGAGGACCGGTGAGTCGACAAGGACCGTACGCGTGAAGCGCATAAGGGCGCCCCGAGGGGGAGGAAGAACCGTAACGAGCTGCTCGGCGATGTGGGGAACGCGGAAGAATGCGAAAGCCTAGTCATGAGCTGTAATTCGGACAAAAGAATCATGAATACTCACCAAGAATCGCCCAGAAAACAACAGGGTATTGTGGAATACCCCCTTGGCCCCAAGTTTCCCCATGACGAAAGTCATCGCCTTGATCATAAGCTGCGTGAAGCGGCTCTGGTTGGCTCTCGACTTTTGCAGCGCCTTCTCGGACAAGCAAGAACTGCTATATTAGCTCTGACTTCTACTTTGTCGGGCGAGATTTGGCTCACCTCTCCAGCATCGCGGCAAGACCCTCAAGGCACGCCCCTCGCTCATTCGCAGCCCGATCCACCCGCAGCTCAAACAAGAGCGCCTCGCACCACTGGAACGCCGCGTCCGTCATCGAAACATTCAGATGGTCTTCCCTACTTTCCACCGGCCGCTTGTCCAGCTCCACGATCAACGTCAAGAGCTCCGTGCGGACCATGCTGGCCCGTTCGGCCCCAGTGGTGGTATGCGACGGGTACTTGAAGGTCTGGAGGAGCGTCTCCATCTCACGCGCGAGCTGCTTGGTGCTCGTCAGAGCATCCGGGACGACGCGCTGCGACTTGGTGTGCAGCTTGCGAGCCCGAGGGAGGGGAGGGGGTGCGCGGGTGATCTCGGCGGACTTGTCGGATGGAGTAGGAGTCGGAGTGACAGAGGTACTGGTGCAGAAGATGTCCGCCGGAGAGGCGAGTTGCTGTTCCGGGATGGTAGCGGGGATGGAGAGAGCCGGCTTGACTGGCGCAGCAGATGGAGCGGGGACCGAAACGGGCGTGACAGTCATGCTTGGTATGACCGCCGGACCGAGCTCAGGCAGAGCAGGCAGAGGCATGCTCGGCGCCTTGCCCAACGTGCTCCATGTCTTCTCGCCAGTCTCCTCCGAGGACGACCGAGCATCGTGGCTATCGCTCGACGCCGACCGGGTGGGATAGACGGGTTTGGGGCCAAACGCCTGTCTCACATCTGGGGGTGTACGAGGTGGGGACGGCGAGGGCGATGCGGTGCTCTCATTCATACTGCTTGCGTTGGATGGAGTCCGGTCGTGGCTCATGGCCGAGCTCTCCGCCGAGCTTGGGGCGAGAGTTGGACTGGCCGCCTTTGGTGGATTGGCCTGCACCGAGGCCTGCTCCAGGCTGAGATCAGGCGAGGACGAAAAGTCGACGAGCTGCTTTGAGAGCAGAGGAGCCGAGCTAGAGGAGGGGTTGCCGAACAGCTTGGCCACATTTGGAGGAATAAATCCGCCTTCTCCCTGGCCCCGCCACATATCTCCTATAGCCGTAGACCCGCCGATCCCATCGAAGCTTCTGGAGCGGCGACGGTCGGCGCGGTGCCTTTGACCCGTTGGGCTGGACTGGTTGGACTCGCGGAATGTCCGAGATCGCTGCGGTGAGGGGATCGGCGAACCTGCCGCGCCGGCTTTCCGTGATTTCCGCGGAGTAGTGGGGGAACTGCCGATTCCGTCAAACGAGACGTCAAAGTTGAGGTCCATGTCGGGGAGCGCGAGCAGGTGGAGAGACTTGACGGTGGGCAGGCCAAGTGGGTGGAAGCCTTCTCCCTCGCTCTGCCCTCGGACAGGCTTGCGCTCAAAGTCCATAGACTCGCTCGAAGGGAGTGTGGACAGCTGAGGTGGCTCGTCCCGATACATGGACAGCGGCCTAGTATCGCCCAGTACGACCGAGTTCCGAGCCATATACGCCAGGCTCGTGTCCGAGTCGGCCGTGCTGAGCGTCTCGGGCGGGGGCAGCCGTGCGATAGCGGGAGGTTCGCGAGCGGGAGCGCGCAAGCGAGGTGCTTGCGCGGGCGCAGAGGACGATGCGCCAGAAAGGACGGTAGCGGCCGAGTCGCTAACGGTCCGGTTCATTGGCGGTGCTGGATACAGCGAGCGCTCGACGCTAAAGCTGGCCCGTCCGGCACTGTTTTCCCTCTCCCTCGGACTCTCGATGACGGGAGAGTTGGAGCTGGGGGTCCGAGGACGTGCGAATGAAGGACGGCTGTCCGCGGTCGAGGTAGACGGACGAGATTTGGCCATACCGACGCTCCGTTCTTCCGTCGACGGCATCGGGGGCGTCACCTCCTTCTCCTTCCCCTTTCCGCTCGCACCTCGGTTGAAAAGAGCCTTGAGCGCACCCGAGGACTTTTTCAGGCTAAGGCCGGACGACTTGCGTTCCTCTCCGCTCGCTCCTGGTGCGGTTCCGTTGCCCAACGCTTGCTGCTGCGCCCCACGGGCATCCTTGTCGCCCGAGCCAGACCGCAGCACATCCTCCGACCGCCGCGAGACGAACGGAGGAGGGGTCTCTCCCCGCTTCACCGCTGCACTTCGGAACATGCCCATACTCCCTCCCTTGCTCTCCTTGGCCGCATCGAGGACGAGGGCCGGGGGCGTGCTCATGGAATTGAGCCGTTGACGCATAGGCTGGGGCTGAGACTGGGGTTGTGGAGTCGGACTGGCGGACCGAAGCTGATCGAGCGATACTCGACCTTGCGGTCCAGCACCCTCTCGGGCTGGAGTAGGGGAAATCGGCGCGGCCAAGGGCGCGGTGCTGGCTCGATCGAAAGCGGGCCGCACTGGAGAAGGAGTGTTGCCCTTCATCGGCACCGATCCGACCGCTGGTAGCCTGCCAATTTGCGTGGCTGAGCGCGCCCGATTGGCAGTAGGACGAGGAGGACTGGGACCCGCCACTTCCGCCGCTGACTCGGGTACCGCGATCTGCACCCAATTCTGGCTCAGCCGGTGCTCCTTCTTCGCCCCACCCGCCTGTCCCATCTGTTCCCGTCTCGTCGCCACCACCGGTGATGCCGCGTCGACCGGCCGAGCGATCTTGCGCTGAGGTTGGAGCTGAGCAGCCGTGAGTGGCGGTAAAGGAGGTAGCGGCTGTTGCGATACAGTCGGTAATGCCTTGTTGTTGCCTCCACTTCCCAGACTGCTCTTCCTCGGCTGCGCGGGGGTTGGAGATATGGGTGCCTCCTTGATCCTGAGGACGTGCATCCCGGCGGGCGAGGGTGACGCGTGACCCTCCAGCGAGCCAGATGAGCTGGCTATCTGCACCTCGGGACGGGTCTGGTCTGCCTTTGCATGTGGAGTCTTGAGCGTCCGACTGCTCGTGCTTGCCGTGGTGGAGAGGGACGAGTTGGAGGTGCCAGATTTGGTATTGCCCGATGTCGATCTAGGTTGGGGACTGGGAGCGCGAGCGTGCGAGCTGCTCTGGGGAGGTTGAGATATGTTGGGGGGAAAGGAGGGAGATGAGGGCGAGTGGAATTGGACAGGGAAGTGCGGCGACCGGGGAGAAGTCGTAGAACCGAGGAAGGGGGAAGCGCGCTGCTTGCTATTAGCCCACTTGAACATTGTGATGACGCGGTGGATAGATCGTCGTGTTTGTGTCTCTTGTACAGATAGCACAGGTCCGTCATACGCCTCTGTACCGCTTCCAACTCCCTCCTTTGTCCGCACCCTTTCACCCTTTCATCTAACCTATCCTTCCGTTCCCGTGGAGCAAGACCGACGAAACCAGCTAGACTCACTCCTAATTCTTCGCTCTTTCTTCCACTACTGCCATAACTCGATCTTTCCCCGCCTTGACTCCCCAGTATTCCCGCTCCGCCTCCGAGTACCACCTTGGGCGCGGAGCTCCCCGCGCCACGCCTCGAGCTGCGCGAAGACTGCATGGCGCGAGCAGACCCGGATGGCATTTTGACCTGCGGCGGTGGGGCCGCCGACGCGTATTCCGCGGATGGCATGTTTGCGAGATGGTCTGAGTGGAAACGACGAGTCCAGAGCGAGCGGGACCGAGCTCAAAAGTAGGAGGTGGAGGATGTCCGACGACGAGCGTGATTTCGATGATCACGCGCTCAAAGGATGAGGTGTGCTGTTGACAGCGGCCAAGTGGCAATGGTCGAGGGTGAAACGAAGGCAAGTGTCTCGCAAAGACAGGGCCAGCCCCGCTGTGTCGTGAATGAGAGGTGGTGGGTCAAAGTTGAAGGTAAGGTTGAACGAGGGGAAATAAGGTCGACGCGTCGAGGGGGATATCAAATCCGGCTAATCGATCGATATTTTGGTGAAGTGAGAACGCTACCGACGCACAGACCAGCGATACGTGTCGATGCGCAGACCCAGCGGGGAAGACAATGCTGGGGAGTAGGAGATGGACAGATGTCAGAGGATGTCTCAGGAGGGGAGCCTGTGCCACGAACGGAGAAAAGAGAGACGCGTAGATTTGGGTGGCGCACTCGGTTTTGGCAGAAAGAGGCAATTTTAGATTACGTACAGACGCGTTTCAGGTTCGGAAACCCTTTTGTTCGCCCCTTACCACCCCTTCAGCCATGGCACGCGACCAAGGTCATTCATCATCCAAAATACGTACGTCCGACAATTGGTCATAGCACATCCTAGCAAAGCACTACCTACCTATACCCTAGAGATATCCCTTGAGAGCTGCGACCCCCGCTCCTCCATCATCGGCTCCGTCAAATCCAATCTCTTCTCCCTCCTCGTCTTTCCCACCTGTCGTGGATGGCTGGTAGGACGGGGTCCGGATACTGGTCAGGGTGGTACTGGTCGTACTCAGCGCACTACTGAGCCGGTCGTCTGGAGGTCGAGGAGCAGCGCTGAAGGTTGCGGTTGATGGATTCGACTCGGACCCGTTGTCGATCTTGCCGATGAACCATGCGGGTACCCATCCCCTGTCACCGGTCTCTGACCTGATCCTGCTCACATCAGCGACCGTTCGCGATCACACTGCAGGACTTACGCGTATGACCAATGACTGTACTTCTTGTACACTCGAACCAGTTGACCCTCCTTAACGTCGATCTCATCGCTCGACTTCTTGGTGTAATCCATGAGTACTACACCGGGGTATGAGGACGACATGATGGCGATGGGTGGTAGTGGTGCGAGACCAGGATAGGTGGGTAATGGCTCGCCAGGTATGATGGCCGGGGAGACGCGAGATATAGGGGTAGACAGTTCAAGTAGACAACCTCAGCTGTCAGCTCAGACTCCAGATCCTTCTGCCCCTGGTAGCTTACCTGCTGGAACCCATCCTGATCTTGTATTATCCGGAACGATCTGGCCTAGCCCATCTGGATCTTTCTGGACAATGTACCATCCCTTTGCCTTGCTCAGGATAACAAACACGGCTCCCCTGATATGTCAGCTTCAACCCTTCTCCGGAGATTTGGTCAGATCAACCCACACTCCAACATCAAACTCATCCTGCCTATCCGCGATGTACGGATATATCGCCACCGCATACGTCACATTCTGCACATTCCCATCCTTATCGACTAGACTCCCCGCCTGCTGCTGTTGTTGCTGCAGTCGCTGCGCGTTCTCTCCGGGCGCAGGCGATGGTAATTCCGGGAACGCATCGTCCGGTCGACGAACCGGCTGTAGTGTGCCGGCAGTGATGGAGGGGGCGGAAGAAGCGGGTTTGGTGGGTGAGGTGGTCGTATCGGTACTGGGCCGGACTTTGGGGAGGACGTCGACTTTGGAATCTGCGGGAAGTCCGAGCTTCACTGCTTGTTTCTTCTGTGCGACGCTGATAGGGGACTGAATATCTCTCTGTCGGGAGTGAGCTTGCTCGTCCACACAATATAATCGAGGTATGGCAGCTCACGATATGCCGAAGCATGAAGACTGGTTTTTGTCCCCCTTCCTTCAGTTTCTGGAACAATAACAGCGGTTTCTCATCATAGCTTAAACAACGCTCTGCACAGTCAGCTTCCACCGAACCGAATGGGATGGCGCAAAGCTGAGAACGTACCTGTATTCCCAAAACAGATGAACAAGGCGTACATCTTCCAATCATCATTGATCTTGTACTTTTTCAGCGCCGCTGGCAGTACCTTGAAACACGGATCGTCCAGGGTGACGCGGAATGAGCTAGCCGCACGACTAGCCGATTCCTTCGCTGCCAATGCGTTCTTCCGCTCCCTTTCTTCCTGATTCAGAGCGGGTGTACTCCCGGGTGGCGGATTGCTCGTCCCCGGTAGATTTGCTGGCGAGGGAAGGAGCGTGCCGGATGGTGCGGATTGCGAGGGCACCAAATTCGATTTTGAGCCTGATGGATGCGCCAGAGTGGGTAGACTCGCGGTGCCCCCGCCAGGCGGTGGGGATGGCGCAGCATTTGTATTGGCTAATGAACCTCCGCTGATCATACGTGTGAAGGGCGGAGGAGCCGCCGCTGGTATCCGGCTCGATTTGGCCGTATTTGAGCGATCCTGTTCGTGCGCCTGGATCTGAGATGGGGAGTCGGAAATGGCAGGGAAGGGCGCGCTAGAGGTTGTCGGCGTGAATGTATCACCGAAGGTCGTCGAGTCGGATGAGTTCAGAGGTGGAGGGACGGTTGTGGAAGAAGAAGCGAGGGAGGATGGGAATATTTGGGATGCGCGGCGCGGCTTGCTGGGGCCCTGTACTGTCAGCTGATATCACCTACCTGAAGAAGCGAGCAGGCGTACCGCTTCGTCCCCATCATCGAATTCTCGCCATCGCCCGGCTATAGGTGCGGCGCCTGACGCTCCGTCCCGCCGCGGCGATATCCCATGCATCAGATCTCCGTCCGCACTGGACGCCATCGGTATTGCGATCCCCTGCTCCTCCAGCGAGTTGAGCATACGGACATGGTCCCGCTCGAGGTTCAATAGACGCTCCTCTGGTCATATAAGCTATTGCTCAAAATGAGCTGATGGTAACTACTCACGCAGCTCCTGTATAGCATCATTCAGTCTTTCCACCTCTCGCTTAGGTCCTTCCTCCGGCATATCTAAGCTGTCAGCAGCCGCTTCTCAGCCTTCCTCTCTGCGGCACCTGCGTACAGTTGGGACCTCCATGATCGAGACTCACCTGCAGGCTTCCAGTCCTCCTCCCCAATCTCTATCCCCTGCTCCCGCTTCACCTCCCATACCGCCCTCAGCAATTTCAACCGATGTCCAAGACTAGACATGCCCATCTCCGAGAGCGCGTCGTGGTCCATCGCTATCAATACGTCGCCTGTGATACCATGCTCTGTCGATCAGCTATATTCTGCGTAACGAGAACCATAGGTCAGTGGCGAGAGGAAGGGGAAGGAGACATACCGTAGATCTGCTCCTCATACTGCTCCATCTTGAGCACGTTGACCACGAACCCATTCACCACCCCCTCGTCCCACTCCATGACCGACATGGTAGGACTAGAGGCATCCGTAGGGGAGGTAGCCATCATTCCTGGAATGACTTCAAAGGGTGATATGCCAAAGAAGGAAGGAAGGTGGAGCTGATATCTGAGCAACCGATAGCACGAGGGCGCTGACCGCGATCGAGGACGACAAGGGAGATAGACTGGATCGCCTTTCGGGGGTCGGGTCGGGCTCAAGCTGCTTAAGCGATGCCGGCCAGAAGGAGGAATGCGGTAGCTCGGGCGGTGTCGTATGCTATGTTGCTACGGTAGAAGGAGTGTCGTTGAAAGGAGTATAGGGTATGGCGGATGGTGTCACGCGGTGTGCCCACCGACTGTCGGTGTCCTATATCGCCTCTCCAAAGCTCCAAAGGCAGGACGCTTTACGTTCCTTCCGTTCCTGATTCCACCCTTTCGCTCAAGCTCAATGAACTTCCCGCCCTGTACAACCTTGTTGACACAGATCCCTCGCCCTTCCTAAGGCTGGGCTTATCCTCCCTCCTCCCTTGTTCGTCCAGGCCGCACGCGCCAATAATCTCGCTGTTCTGGCTCAGGAACGCGAGATCCGACTGTCGATAGACTCAGGCGCCAGGCACCGAATACCGCCGTATGGATTGTTCCAGTTTCGCTGATGTTGTTATTGCAGCGGATGTGATACACGGCCCCGCTTTAGCAATAGCGCTGAGGTCAATAATGCGATGGTCGCTTGGTCGAGCTACTGATCAAGTGCAGGACTGCACTCGATGCTACTAGCGCGGTTCCAGAAGTATGTAATGGCGGAGACAAGGCGTAAGGGTGAAGTGAAACAGAAGGGCAATCGCGCATTGGGCGCTATTGTTTTGGTTTGGCTGCCGCTGAGGAATGCGGCGCTTTCTCGGCATTGCTGGAGTACATAAGTATTGCTACTGCCTTGCTGGGCTTTGACTTTTGCCAGCTGCTGAGGTGGAGCCGTATGCTCATCAAATGAAGCCTGTAATGATAGCAGCTGCTGACTACTGAGAATAGGATCTGTGATGGCCAGCAAGGTAAGTGAACTCATACCTCGGTAATGAGATAAATACATCGGCCCAACCCCTACTTCCCTGAGCTGTACAATCTCCTAGTCTCGGACCCATGCGCAAGCCGTCGTTCCCCCTCGAGATATGTCATAGCCTCGTTATATGTCCTGGGAACAACCGTCCGCCCAATAGGCTCCGAATCGTCCTTGGCCATGGTAAAGTAAAAGGTGTTGGTTTCTCTTCTCAGCTGCCAAGTCAGCGCCAATCCCTCTTCCCGAAGGCAGCTGAAAGACACTCACTCCAGTCTCGACCTCCTCGACTTCCGCCTTGACCTGGATATGGGCCTTGGCTTCACCGTCTCGACCCTGATTCGGCCGAGTGGTCTTGACGACTTTGCTAGTCAGATGGAGTACAGCGCCGATAGGAACGGGAAGGAGGAAGGTGATTTGGTCGAGGGACTGGAAGCGCATTGGCTTGGAAGCGAAGAGGGCGGCGTTGGTAAAGCACAGCTCGCTGGGGATTTAGCAGGAGATCGCTATGGATCCCGTATCTAGCAGCTTACAAGGCCTGTGATTGTCAGATTTGCTCGGACGACATAGCGCGACTGGAAACTCACAAGACGCATCAAGATACCGCCAAACACCTTCCCGTGCAGGTTCCGATCTTGTGGGAACATGAGCTGCACCGATGATATCTGTTGCTCAGCATTTGCCACTTATATCTGTTCGACACCCATACTCACCTCGGTGTCCTTCATCTCCACAATATGTTCTCCTTCAATCTTGTCTATCGAGTGATCATTGACTTGCAGCATGAGATCGTGCAATTGTGCAGCTTCGAGGAAAGATGGCTGGAACAGTCAGCGGTGCTCAATAGGACTCATGCTGGACTCACCGGGACCTTGTCCAGCGAGATCTTGCTAGTCGCCTTCCGTCTCCTCTGATAGTCTACCCAAATCAGCTTGGCGCCGCAGGACTGCAGCAGGGTCAATACAACTCACCTTCGCCAAGATCCCACAACATTTTCTCTTCCTCGCTCTCGACCAATAATGGCGGCACTTTGCGCGCCTTGAGCGTCTTGGCATTCCGGCACACCATCGCGAATCTCCCGAGCATCAAGGTCTCCCAGTCCTCCTCGCTACTGCTCCCTGTTGGCGCTGCGCCAGCGCGGGCGCCTTGCATCTTGACGACTACTTCCATGGATGAGTTGCCGGTCCAAGTGACGAAGCCGGAGAATTTCAGGTCCCTAGCTATCAGCTCTGCGCGGATCTGCTGCACAACACATGGAGGCGAAGGGGAGCACTTACCGAACATTATCCCGATTCATCCGCCCTAGCATGTCCAGCCTGTCTGCGCTTGCGGTAGCGAGGAAGAGACCCGCTCGTGCTGAAGCAGAATGAAAGGCTTTGGAAGCATCGGAAGGCGCCGCTTCGAGGGGCGGTAGGACGTGCCGATAGCTCACTGCTCCGGCCAAGCTGTCCATATCTGGCTCGTCAGCTTGATCCTATCAACCATCGGAGGCGACACCGCTCACGTTCAAGCAGCTTGCCCATACCTTCATCTATCAGCCGGTACCCTCACCACAGCCAAGACGGCATGTAGACTACTCACGGAAACCCCCCATCGCATTCACATACCGCTCCAACAGCTCGGGATCACTCTTCAATGGCAGATCAAAACTCGTATAGCTCTCGCTCATATGTCTTGGCCTAAACATCTCCGCGACCTCCGCTTGTGTCAGCGGTGGGTCCGCTTCTTTCGGTGAGCTGGCTGTGGGAGAGCCTTGGGATTCGAGGTTGGGGTTTTTGGAGGAGAGCCAGGGGACGTTCAGGGAGCGCATGGCTAGTGGGGAGGGGTGGAAAGAGGTCTTGTCGGCTTGGTCTGGAGTGTCAGCGAGTTGACTTAGAATGGTCCGTCCAATGAAAGTCGAGTGTTGAGCACGCATCAAGAAAGCTGGGGTAAGGAGCTGGGGTGAGGAGCACTCACTCGCTACGGAGGTGAGCAGGCGGTCAATCTCGCGCAAGGTGTATGATTGCTGCGCGGGACTTCCCGCCTGTCTTGACGGCGAGGAGCTATTATATCTGCTACAGCCCACTACTGGCCGTCCTGACGCAGCTCGAGAGGCTCCTCGCAGCAGCTGCAGACCCTGTCGCGCGGAAGTGGACATGCCGGGTGGAGGTGCGCGGCCGAGGTCGGATGAGGGAGACTTTCGTTCTTCTGAAAATTTCGTGGTATGACTGGGAGAAGATACGCTTCGCTTCTGGCCACCAGTACGCCCACTTCTATATAGCTCGGCGCGGGATACGGATGGATGCGCGAGGAAGAGGTGGACGTCCGCTTTGTCGCTTTGTCGGTGTTGTTCGGCCAGGCCCGACGGCCCGACTGAGAGCTGAGGAATGCGGATCTGGACTTTCCGCCGTGACTGCCGATCAAAGCTCCATTCACCTTACTCCTTTCTCTTGCTGTCGGCCTGACATGACAGCTCAGTCAGAGCAGAGCTGAGGCGTTCAGTGATATGCCACACATCGACCATCTGAGAACGAGCTCGATCTGATGAGACTCCCGGTGACAATCGGGCGGTCGAAGCAGCGCACGATCGAGGTCGTCCGATATGCTTTCCCCGGCGATGGCGAAGCCGGTCCTTCCAGGTGGATAGCGGAGCTCGGCGCAGATGGAACAAATTTTCGCCATCATCGTCTCAAGATCTCGGTCGGTACTTTCCGGTCCCGGAGGCCGTCGGCCGATAGCGAGCTCGACACGCAAGCGGTATCCAAACCGACGACAGGCAGCGATGCTGTCGTGCTTGTCCCGCATAACGTGTCCCGCCGTACCAGGTCGAGAGGGTGGGAGCGGCTACAAGTCTCTTCCGAGAGTCGTCTATTGGCTGGAGACGGTAGGCAGGTGGAAGCTTGGCTGATTGTGGTGGGTCATCTCATCGCTGCTAGAGCTACGCTGACGGTGAAGCCTATAGATGGCCCGTATAAGATTTTGATCTTCCCCGGATCACACAGGGAGTCATTCATGGCAGACCTGCCGGATCAGATGCCATGGCAGGATCTTGCGTTGGTGGGAACGCACGACTCCTCTGCGTTCCACGGGTGTAAGCTATGCTAGCTGCACTGCCGGAATGCTGATGAAGCTTACGCAGCGCAGATCCATTCGCCCAGTGCCAGCAGCCATCAACGAGCATCACACAGCAGCTACATGACGGCGCCCGCTTTCTCGATCTTCGCATGAGAGTGGTGGATGGGGAGCTTATCAGTGAGTCTCCTCTTCTCCCTGGCTCGTCTGACGCGTCAGTGTACCATGGCATCCAGAATCAACGCGCACTCTTCACCTCCATCCTATCCGAAATCCATACATTCCTCTCTCAGCATCCCTCCGAATCCCTCCTCGTCTCCCTCAAAGAAGAGGTCCCGCCCATCCATCCCGACTTTGCGGAACTGGTATGGGACGCCCTCGCACCTCACGTGGATCAATACTGGTTTCTCGAGACGCGTCTACCCACGCTCGGAGAAATCAGAGGAAGGGGGATGATCATGCCCCGGTTTCTGATCCCGGATCCGCAGCCAGGATTGTGGGACAAGGGAGTGGGACTGAAGTTGGAGTCATGGCCGGACAACAATCCTGCTGGGTTTGAGCTGGGATGTGGGGGAGATAGCATCAGGGTGCAGGATTGGTATGGCGTCTCCAGCATCCTGAGGATACCTGACAAATTGAAAGTGGTGAGTCGTCTTTGTAGGGTCCAGTGTCACCTTTGAGGTCACAGCTGATCTGTACAGGTGACGGACCATCTCCAGCCAACTATCACGAAATCGTTCCCTCGATCAGGCTGCGCGTTTGAGGAGACACGACCCCTTACCATCTCCTACCTCTCCGCCGCTGCAATTCCCCTCGCGCCCCCTCAGCTCCTCGCCAAAGGCCTCGGTTGGCCATCTATCGGACTCGGCATCGAAGGTCTTAATTCTCGCTTGACAAGATGGCTATTGGAGCTCATGTACGAGGGGAAGAGGATAAGGGGAATAGTACCTATAGACTTCTACAGGCAGGAAGGGGATCTCGGGGCGTTGTTGGTGGCGATGAATTACACTCCTTGACGGTGCTCGATGCTGGTTCTGGGAAGCAGAACATTGTCTGCAGCGAGAACGACGTGAGGCACAATATGGTCAGTCGCATCGGCTAGCTGCACATGATCAACGTGCTAGGTGAACAACGATTATGCTCAAATGCGAAACACATGCATGCGCGGGGAATCCAAACATTCGCACAAGGTACCGTACTCAAATTTGGATCCACCACGCTTTCGTGGGCGATGCCCTGCTTCGAGTGCGGGTGTCCTTCGTTCCCTGTGGGTAGATCAGAAACATCGAGCGCTCCGAAGCGGCCGGGTCGACGGCGTGCTGGAGCCAAAGCTCCTCGATTCCCGGCATAGAGCCGATCTTCCCCTGCAGGTAGTGATCCACTGACTCAATGAGAGATTCCGTATCCCCGATGGCCTTCTTCCCGATGTATGCTTCGAGAACACCTCGGACAGTGGACGTCAAGTAATTCTCATCGATGTCGGGGAGGGAGGACCCTTCGGTTGCGGAGATCGAGAGTTCGGCGGAGGCGCCTGACTCCAGCACAGTCTTGCCACCGCGAGACTTCAGGATACGGGCACCCTCATTGTGCGGAAGAATGACCGGAGCGATGCCGAAGTCGCGGTCCGAACTGGGGGATGCAAGAGTGTATCGCACAAACAAGCAGCTCGGGAGCGAGATGCTGAGCGGTGTGGTGTGTGTGGGCGCTGGGACATCGGTGGCGGTCATCGCGTCTCCTGCAGACCTGTCGTCCGCCGATGCGGCCTTATTGACTTCCTTGTTAGCAGGCATGGTAAGAATGAGGAAAAGACGGTTCTATAACGAAGCCCGCGTGCTTTGTAATGTAGGTGAAGAGAAGTGAGGATGAGGGGGACACTCTTCCGTACAATAGGCTACCGGGCGCTGATGTCTTTGAGAGAAGCAGAGTGGTCAGATCTGCAATCTTGTTCATCCCTTCAGACTGTCAGACTTCGCTTCGCAAAGGATATCCGTGTGATAGATTCTCGTGCCTTGTACCCAGAGCCACCTCGGGGCAACGTCTCAGAGAAGACGTCTCTCACGGATGACGTGCTTACCATCGTAGTCACCTGGAACATTCGATGCTCGACTTGTCGAGGACCAAGAGCGTGTTAGAGTATGCCTTATCGCCCTCATCAGCTTGATCGACCATGTCACCAGTCAATACGACGACGCCAAATGCAGGTAGATCGATGATCAGGACATACATACAGCGCCACTAAAGCTTCACTCCCCTCTCTCCACCCAACCAGCTCCCCACCCACTGCTGCACGCCCCTCCAACACCCCTCCCTCTCCTTCTTCTCCGCCCTTCCCCACCCCTCCATCGAAACAACAACCACCCCGAACTCTCCCTCCTGCTTCCCAAACGCGCTCCGGCACATCAAACTCAGCTCAAAGATCTTGGTCGGATCAAAAGGCTTATACCGGGGATCCGAGGTCGGGACGTCCCTTCCCCGATAAACCGCCTTGAAGTCGTCGAAAGACAAGTGGAGCGTTTCGGGCGTATGCGAAGATCGAAGAGGGGAGGAGAGAGAGAAGTCGTGTTCGTAAGAGAGGGAAGCGGGTTCTGGGTTAGGAGGGAGTTTGGGCTTGGAGGGTGTGTGTTGCGGGGGAGAGGTTTTGAGGACGAGGGTGAAGGTGTGGGGATCCTCGGGATGGGACTTCCCGTTTATTGGTGCAGGGGATGTGGAGGAGGAGGCGGTCTTCTGCTCGTCTGGAAGAAGACGGAGTGTGATGCCTTGGTAAGACAGCCGAGGGAGGTCCAGCGGTTCCGGCCCAAAGATGTATCGCTGCGAAGCGAAACCTGCCCCGCCCAGAGTCTTGGTGTCTATCCTGTAAGCTTTCACCCATCGGCAGAGGATAAGAACGTGCTAGCTCACCCAGAGTACCCCAAAACCTAGCTCCAGTAGGCTTATCGTACCCTACCGCCGAACCAACATCGATGGGAACCGGGTCCAAGTGAGACTGGCTAGACCCGCCCCGAACGCGGTCGTCCACGGCATGCCAGCGGCTGAAGTGCCAGCTGGGGAAGATTGTTGCGGGCTTAGTGAGGGCGGACATGGTGACAAGCGTATGAAGTACAGTGATGGGATGATTGACTGCGACTCGCAATCTTTCAAGAAGTTGTCGCGACCCCGAGTAGTGAGCGAGCTGACCAATTCAGGTGACGTCATCATATCTCTCTTCAGCTTGAGGCGGATGTGGCGGCGCTTGCTGCTGTCCTATGGCTGGCAAGCCGATACTGCTCTTGCGCCCTGCTCCTTATGAGGAAGATCTGTACTATCGATTCGCCGGCAGAGAACACGATGATCTCTCATGCAGCAGCGATCTCTTCTCCTGTGAAAATCGAAAGGATCTCGCGGTCATTCGGGGCTGTAAACGTTATCTGGACCAAGCTGCGTTATCACCATGAGCGGCTATCGATATGCCCTTCGGATAACCCTGGAGAATCTATCTGCATGAGTATACTGCTTGCATCGCGCTTATCGTATCACCAAAGCGGATCATTGATAGGGAACAAATAGTATATATCCAGTCATCACCTCATGAGCCCGATACGGGCCCTGCCAACTGCTTATCAGCTCCTCGAGACCGCCACCATGACCATCCAGAACCCTACTTCCAACGCGCACTGCTCGTCCGACTCACTCATCACCCGACTGACCGCCCTCGGAGCCCGAGCATACTTCCGCGAGCTCGCCAACACAGGCCTCGATGGGTGCATGCAGATATACAGCGCGCTGACCCATGCAGACACGATCTCGAAAGATCAGCGGGACAAGGGGTTTGCGGCGCTGTATCGGGCAAAGTTGTTGATTGAGGCTGATGAGGTGGAGATGCTTTCGGCCTTGGCGGATTCGGGGAGAGAGATGGCGTTTGAGATGATCATGGCCGGGTACGAGGGGTGAGTCGTCAAAAAGCGTCTTCAAGGATCAGATCTCTAGAGCAGAGCGTGGTGTCTTTTGTGGTGAGCTGATGCAGAGCAGGTCAATTTGCGATGCTCCAAGTCAGGAGGTCAGGGAGGAATGGGAGGAAGATGCGAGAAGCATTGGTGAACTCTGCTACCCTTATTCGAATCCAGATGATTAGCAAAGTTACGTATCCTAAGTTGCGCATGTCAGTTGTGTAAGAGCTATAGAGTATCCCAATTTATAGAGCAAGCACAGCATTTCAGCATAATGCTTGGCCTCTAGGCCCATCCAGTACCACTCCTGCATGGGAATTTACTTGACAAGTTCGACCTCCAACATCATCCCTAATAGGACCGCCAACAATGCGCCCGCTATTGCGGCGGGAACGGCCTCGGGTCCAGATCCGTCCGCTTGCTGTAGATCGCCATACTCGCCTTCTTGCCCTCCGAGGCCATCTTGGCCGCGACTGCCTCAGCGCCGTTCAGCACCCGCAGGACGTTTCCGCCCGCGAGGAGGGAGAGGTCGTTGTGTGTCCAACCCCGCCGGATGAGCTCGGCGAACTACAGGATCAGCTCTAATTTCGCCGTACATAGCTATGTGTCTGCCAGGCGGGCATCGCTCAGTGGAGCTGAACTTACGAGGTTGGGGTACTTGGACACATCCTCCAGTCCATCCGGGGTCTTTTCGATCCCGTCATAGTCTGAGCCGATACCCACGCTATTTCATCAGCTCGCCCTTCTTGTACGACACAGACTTGACCACGTACTACTTCCGTCCAACGCGCTGAGCGATGTACTCCACCTGATCCGCGATAGTCGAGACATTCGCCTTCTTGTCCGGCGACGCAAAGGTCGGGTAGAAGCTAAGGTATCAGCTATGCTCATCCGCGGTAGCAGACGAGAGAATCAGCTCACTTGACCATGACTACACCGTCCGTCTTGCCTTTCCCATGCCCGATCTTATCGAGGATCTGGTCCGGTACATTCCGGCTAAGGTTGTTGAAGTGGCGCGAGTCGGAGTGGGAGAGGATGACTGGTGCTCTCGTGATTTCCCTGTCGGGTCAGTTTACCGCTTCCCTCCCCATGCGATGTTATTCAATGGCATGACTAACAAGGCCTGGAGCGCGGTATCGTCGCTGACATGGCTGAGATCCACCAAGACCCCGAGCCTATTCATCTCCTTGACCAGCTCCTTCCCGAGCGGACTCAGACCGCCCCACTTGGGCTTGACGGCCGCAAAGACCCCGCCGGAATCGGCGAATGCGTTGTTGCAGCCGTGTGTGAGGGTCAGGTACCGCACGCCGAGGAGGTGGTACATACGCAACGCGGCGAGCGAGTTGCCCAGCATGTGCGCTCTGAGATGTCAGCATGAAATGCGATCTTTAAAGAAGGAGGACGCACCCCTCCATACCGAGCAGACTGGCAATCTTGCCCTCCTTGATAGCCCACATGACGTCCGCGGCGGTCCGGCAAAGCGTGAAGTCGGGGTACTTGTCGATAAGGTTCAGGGCGACGTCAATCCGCTCGAGGGTATCTGCTGTGTCAGATATTATCATGTCATGGAGATACAAGACAGATCTGTCCTGCCTTTCGAGCGAGCAAGGGCTTACCTCTGACGGTGTTGGTTGCGTTCAGGAAGTCGGGACCAGCTTCTTCCCTGCAGTCTTCGAAGCTGTCACGTCAGCTCTGTCCTTATGCTCTATGGTATGATGCTAACAGGCCAAGGAGGCCAACTGTCCGCCAGTCCTGGTTATGAGAATATCAGGAGCACTCACATGGACCAAAAGAATCCGCCCATCCGGCCTTTCCGAGCTCGGGGGAGGTCAAAGTGACCGGGCTGCCGGGTCAGATGAAGACCTATAACAGGTACAGATCACAGTGGAGAGGTACTGCAGCTCACCATATTCTTGTTCAAATCCACCTTGTCCACATTGTTCCCATACACCTCTCTCACCAAGATAGGCAGATCCACATGCCCATCAATGACAGGCGAACTATCAATCAGCTAGCTCCAAGTCTAATCCGTAGTCCCTCTCGGCCAGACACCTACGTCTTTAGCCAGTAGTCTGCTAGCTCATTTGGGTCGGTAGGGACCTTCTCCCCTACGAGCCCAATGAATATCGTCCCGCCAACCAAGAGCAGCGCGACGAGGATGGTAGATACCAGTTGGAGGCGCTTTGAGCGCTGCAGATCGGGCGTTTCGGGCTGGAGCCGCGGGATGAGCGGCTGGGATGACATCTTGGATCTTGGGGAGCGAGTTCAGGAAGGAGAGATGATTGGGGGAGGAAGGGCAAAGGGAAGATGCTATCTGCAATTGTCTGCTGTCTGGCTTGGTCAGGGAGGTCTGTCGGTCGGATCTAACCGAGCCAGTACTGTTCCGCATGGACCGAATGACCTGCTGGACTCGCGAATGGCTCTCATCAGCAGGGTCGTGTAACAAGGCTAATAGCCCTCAGAGGCGATCACAGAACAGGTACCTAATACTATACAAGTACATACATCACCGCTCTACCGCTTATCGAGCCTTATTTATCCTCATTTGGCGAGCGAATTTGTTGAATTTCTTGTTGTCACTGGCGATCTTTCGGACCTGAGCTGTATCGCCCTCGTGATGCGCCATCCGCGGCTCAGGGGCGACAGTATATTGTGTCTCCTACGACATTCAGCCTTGCCCGATGACAACTTAGCGCCTTGACTAACCTTAACCTGCGGCATCCTGGCGCCCTTCCGCCCGTGGTTCTCTTTGATGGCCGTAGCCGTGTCGAATCGTCTCCGCCTGACTGCCCCTCCATCCCCTCCTTGACTCTGACTTCTCCCTTGACTTTGGCTTTGACTCTGACTCCCACCTGCAGTCGGCCCATCACCCTCATCCGCCATTCTCGAGGACCTAAAGTCTCCGGCGCCTCCTGGACGCTTGACGATCGGTCTCGACCATGCCTGAACCAACGCATCCGCCGCGCGGGAGATGGCAGGCGTGACGCGCTTGGTCTTGGTGTAGAAGAGGACGATGGGACCAAGGCGGGACTCTTTCAGAGTGGCGGTATCGAGGTCCATCTTGGGGAGGACTTCAAAGAGGGCGGATTGGATACCAACGGCAGGTAGGGCAGCGGTAGCTTCCATAGGCTCGAGCCAGGCCCGGACGGCCTCGAGAACGCCGTTATCCACCACTGATGTCCAAAGAGTCGAGCTGCATAATCAGCTTGAGGTCACTGAAGAGGTCAAAGGGCCCGAAGCTCACTTTCCCAATACACCCATCACCTCGTCCAGCATGGCCAGCTTCGCCGTAGCAGGCATCTGATTCTCGTTGCTCTGCCGGTCCTTGTCGACCGCGTGCATCATACGTTCCCGTAATCTCGCACAGATCTCGTCGTGGTATGTATCGACGACCTGACAGTCAGCCGGAAGCTACACGAGACGGAGCGAGCAGCCGGCTCACATCCACATCATCCTTCTTCTTCCTCTTGGTCTGGGTCGACTTCTTGCCAATAGCGTCTATCCGAGCTTCCAGTTCCAGCCTCTTCTCTGAGACATGATCAGCATCGCCTCCGCCACTTGTGGACGAAACGACTTACGGGTCGCCGCATCAAGCGCTGGCGCATCATCGTCTTCCTCCGGTACTTCCTCCCCCTCCCCTCGCCTCCTCTTCTCTCCCTTATGTTTCGACTTCTTCTTCTTTTTTCTCTCCTTTGACCTCTCCTCCCCATCGTCTTCCTCACCCTCCATTTCTACGTCCCCACTCCCTGCCCTCCGCTTCTTGAATTTCGGGATCTTCGCCGCACTATTCACCGTCCCCGGAACATACGCCCCATCCGATTCTCTATCATCATCGTCGTCGTCATCCGAATCGACCGCCGCCGGACGATGCGCCTCATCGTCATCATCATCATCGTCATCCCCTGCGACAGGCCTAGGCGGGAATGCCTTGCGCTTGGGAACGGCGGGACCTCGCTCGTCCTCCGAGTCGTCGGAGAGTTCTGAGCCACTTCCGCCGAAGAAGGCATCGTAGTTGTCTTTTGCGGGTGCAGGGGCATCAGCCGCGCCCGAGTCTACGGCATCGACATCGATGGGTACTGGCGAGGGTGATGCAGACATGGTAGGTAGAGGTATAGATGAAGGTGAAGGTGGCTGAGTTGGCTGGACCTGTACTCTATGTAGCTTGATAAAGGGGGGGCATGGACAAAGCAGATTAGCCGATAATCAACCGATATGTGACGAGAGTCAGGGCGGGTGGTCCGAGCGCGCCAACTCTCTCTCTGCTGCTTCTCCTGGAGCTCGTCCCATACCTTCTATACCTCATCTATATACACCTCATACAGAGCTACACAGCGCACAAAACAGCGCCGCAGTGAAGCACATCATCCTGATCATACTCTACCGCAAGATCCAGGCAAAAAACGGCTCTACACACAATGGGCAAAGCTCAAAAGATTATCGAATGTACGTGTCTTCTTCCTGTTCACAGAGACCATAGCTGATGCTATAGTGCTGCTGCATCCTGTACGTCCTCATTAGCTCACAACAGACTCATGGACATTCACTGAAACCGCCAGACCGAGGCGCGCGCAGTGATCAACTACAAAATATGGCGCGATACGCGTGATATCACGGATGTCAAGGAATTACCTACAACCTTCTATGACAGACCGACGATGAAGCGGACATGGGACTTTTTGGATATGACAAGTCGGAGTTTTGCTTTTGTGATCAAGGAGCTGGAGGGAGAGCTTGCGCGTATTGTGAGTAGCTCGCACATTGACAGCAGTGACTGGCTTCATATGCTGAGGTAATCGATAGGTCTGCATCTTCTACGTCGTCCTGCGTGCGCTCGACACCATCGAGGACGACATGACGCTCCCAAATTCGGTCAAGCTGCCACTCTTGCGGTCAATGCACCTCAAGCTGCACGAGCCCGGATGGAACTTTGACGGGAGCGGACCGAACGAGGCGGACAGGCAGGTCTTGGTGGAGTTTGAGAATGTTCAAGCGGAGTTTGCGCTGCTCGACCGGAAGTGCGTAACTTGTCCTGCTGTCCATAATATAGCTGATGATCAGATACCAGCTGGTCATCGAAGGCATCTGCCAAAAGATGGGTCGGGGAATGGCCGATTTCGCCGCGCTCGCTACGCCCGAACAACCGGTCGCAGAGGTCAACTCGATTGCCGACTATGACCTCTACTGCCACTACGTCGCCGGCGTCGTCGGCGAGGGTCTCTCCGGTCTCTTTTCCGCTTCGGGCAGAGAACGTCCTTGGCTCGCCGACCAATTAACCATCTCCAACTCGATGGGCTGTCTCCTCCAAAAGACAAACATCCTCCGGGACGTCAAAGAGGATGTCGACGAAGGACGGGGATTCTGGCCGCGGGCTATTTGGGCCAAGCACGGCTTCAACTCGATGAAGGAGCTGGTGGACCCGGCGAGGGAGAAGGAGGCATTGTTTGCCGCGAGCGAAATGACGCTGGATGCGCTCAGGCACGCATTGGATGCGCTCGACTACATGACGCTGCTGAAGTGCCAAACGGTCTTCAACTTCGTAGCCATTCCGGCGGTGATGGCGATGGCGACGCTGGACAGGTGCTTCATGAACCCGTTGCTGTTGAAGAAGAATGTCAAGATCAGGCGAGGGGAGGCTGTCTCCGTGAGCTGCTCGGTATATTCTTTCTGAACCATCAAGCTGACGTATAGATCGTTTCCCGCTCGGTCAATCCCCGCGATGTCTCCTTCATGTTCAAGGGCTTTGCCCGCAGCATCCACAGCAAGGTGCACAAGGAGGACCCGAATCTCCTTCGTCTGTCCGTCGCATGTGCAAGGGTGAGTCTACTTGAGCCGAACGTACCATCTCCCCGCTGACGGTCAGATCGAACAATGGTCCGAGCATCACTACCCCACATTTATCCAAATCGCTCCGGGTCAACAAGCCGCCATCGACAGCGGCACCACGGACGCCCGCGCACCCATGTACGCCAAGATGTACGCCTCGCTCGCTGAGAAGGCCGCGGCCGAGAAGCGCGACGCGGTTATTGCCGACCTCAAGGCGCGGGGCATCATCAAGCCGATGCCGTGGGATGAAATGATCGAGGTCGAGGAGGAGGACGAGAATGGGGAGAAGAGGATGGTGAAGCGCCCCAAGGCGCCCAGGCCGGTCACTGTCCCGACGGAAGATGTGAGCATGTGGATGCTGGTGGGTATCGTCGCGGCGGTGCTGGGGTCGATGATTGCCATGGGGGCTTTGGTGATCTGGTTGGTGGTGAGATTCTCGTAGAAGGGCAAAGGGCACAGGCGTGTTCAGTCGGGTGGATAAAATAGGGGGTCATGGGATTTGATCATGTATAGTCTATCTGGTAGGGCGTTCTGCGGATCGCCATCAAGTCATCCTCGTCGCGACATCCAGCTGTCTGCGGAGACAAGAAGCAACCTCGTTGGCCTACATCTCTTCACTGCCAACATGTGGCAAGTTTCAGGTGATCACGTGACTACGTCCCGGACGGGCCAGGGCCGTTTTGTGCGCCGACACTCACTATATGCATCATTCCGCAAGGCTTCACGAGTCCACACGAGTCTACACATACGACCTTGGTGAATGAGATGGGAGACCATCCCAACTAAGGTCACAATACACCTGGTGAGGTCCATGTCAAAGTCCAGATGAAATCGACTTCCGCGGGAATCACTCGTCGGTCGGATACCGATTCTCTTGGCAGACACTTCTTGGCGCTCGCTTCTCGTTCTCCTTATTGCACTTCCGGCAGCCTCCGGGGTAAGAAAAGATCTAGCCATCGGCATTCCTCCATGGCGACCCCGACCCGCGCGCTGCCCGCTCTGGTGGACCATTTCCCAGCTGCTGTGAACGTCTCCGAGTTACTTTCTCGTCGGTATCACCCCGAAGTCCGCCCTTCTGCTTGGCGAACAGCTCGCATGAGGTACAGATCCAGCAGAACTGACCGCTTGACTTCTGACATTTCACTCAAGACCGAACCACTCGAGAAGTACTCTCCTATACAGAAGTGCGGGGGCAGCGGGGCACCCCCGACTACAGCTAGACACGGATCGAAATATAAGTCGCTGCCCCGTGGGACCCTCCACACCTCCCCATCTCCCGTCCCACTCTCGCCTACCTCCCATCGCTCTCACACATCATGCCAACCCAACCCAAACGCGAAGATGTCGTTCCCCAGCTCGACCTGGTGCGAGCCGCCACCCTGACCGGTATCGACAAGGAAGAGGTCTACATGGTCGACAACATCGACAACCTCAAGGAGGCCTACCAGTACGATGTCAACTCTGCCGAGGAGGTGCTCAGTCGCTACCCTTTGCTTCGGGACAAAAGCGAGGCTGAGCTTAACGTCCTCAACAACCGGGTCAAGAAATTGATGTGAGTCGACCTTTCGGATCGTGCGGGAGCCATCTGGACCTCGGAGGGCACCATGGCTGATTCACAGTGACTACCGCATGTTGCCCATGCTCACACTCTGCCTCTTGATCAACTACCTGGACCGATCCAACGTCACGAATGGTGAGTCCGGCCCTGGTCTATCCCATGGCGCTGCTGACGATATAGCTCGGGTAGCAGGCATGCAAACCGACCTCGGCATGACCGACGTACAGTGGTCCGCCGGCATCTCCATGTTCTACGTCGGCTACATGGTTACCCAGCTCCCTGGTGTCCTCCTCCTCTCCCGCGGTAAACCCCGGATCATCATGCCCCTCATGGTCGTCGCTTGGTCACTACCCACCATCCTGTTCCCCTTAGTCAAGAACGCGGAAGGCTTCATCCTCGCCCGCCTCGCCGTCGGGATCGCCGAAGGCGCCTTCTTCCCCGGTATTGCTCTGATGACTTCATCTTGGTACACCCGGGACGAACTGCCGTTCAGGATGGCCCTGTGGCACGGAGCGCCTTGCTTGTCGTAAGTCATTCACCCTACTCTCTTGAGGTTGACGCTGATCAGCTAGGAACGTCTTTGGTGGTCCACTCGCTGCCGGGGTGCTCGAGACTATGGAAGGAGTCGGAGGTCTGCGAGCTTGGAAGTGGTGTGAGTGTTACCTTCCGGCAGGGACATACAAGGCTTCAACTGATAAATAGTCATGATCATCGAAGGCATCATGTCTTTCACGGTTGCCGGTCTCGCATTCTGGTCGCTCCCCAATTGGCCCAACAACACCCCCTGGATGTCTCCCGAAGAGACCGAGATGGCACAGTATCGACTTGTCATGTCTGCCGGTGGTATCGATGAGGCCGACGCGGATCTCACCGTCATCCAGGGCGCCAAGCTCGCGCTCAAGGATGTCTTCACCTACATCTTCGCCATGATGCACCTCTGGCTCGTCGCTGCGCAGTCATTCAAGGACTTCTTGCCGTCGATCGTAAGTCCTATCGCTCTCCATCCCCTTATCGACACTGACATGCAGCTTCAAACGATGAGCACCAGCAACCTCATGACCTACCTCCTCCAATCACCGCCCTACCTCTGCGGTTTCCTCGCCATTCTCGGGTTCGGGTACACGGCTGGTAGATTCAGGGAGAACACTTGGCACATGGTCAGTCATCGCTTCTTCTTCTCCCAAGGACACAGGCTGACAAACGTAGGTCGGGCCATTGCTGTTGTCCCTCGCTGGCGCTCTCATGATGATTCTCACCTACAACGTCGGCGCTCGATACACCGGTGTCTGCTTCCTCCTCATCGGGACCTCGTCTGCATTGAACTTGCACGTCTCGTGGGAAACCAGTTTGGTTCCCGCCCCTCGTCACAAGGTAAGCACGCCTTGTCTCATTCCCAGAGCACGAGCTGATAGTGCGGAAAGCCGCTCTTATCGCCATTGCCAACACCTTTTCCTCGACCAGCCACTGGTGGACCCCTTACTTCTTCCTCACCAACCAAAAGCCGCTTTACCGGCTCGGCGGCGGGCTCATCATCGTTTCCCTCGGCATCAGCATCATCTGCGTGCTCGCTTGCGCGTGGTGGGCCAAGCGCAAGAATCGCGCTCTGGACGCTGCCGAGGCCGAGGTTCAGGCCACCAGAGCGGCTCAAGGTCTGGAGCCGCTAGCCAAGGGGTGGCGATTCCCATTGTGAGGTGTTGCAGAGCTGGAGGGGTCGGGGACTTGCTTTGTACGACCGGGAGATTGGTAGTTCAGGGTATAAAATAGTTACTCTGGAGGTAGACAGGATGTTTTGCAGAAACATGCATCCAATACGTTTATGGTACCTTCTTCGACTGTCCTGGATGTAAGCGTCAACGACCACTATCGACTGAGCAGTGTCGAACGCGCGCTCAGGCTCACGTCCGAAGGGATCAAGCGATCCTGGTCAGCGCCGCCTTGACGTATTCTCTCACTCAGTCGCATCAGTAGCATGTGCTTTTTCTTGTCAGGAGTGCCATCACGAGGTCAGTCACAGATGAGAAGATGAAGCTGTCCATGTCCACCCTAGTGGATCGTCGTATGTCCACTCCCCTTCTTCTCCGCTAATCGATCTACAGGCGCATCCGCCGCATTCGCAGCGGGCACCTGTCCCAGCTTTGACATGTCCATTTTGGGTTCTTTGGGATCGCCCTTGAACCCCACAAAGCTGATGGCGGATCGTATTCCCGTTGTCGATTCAGACTGCCTCGTCAGCTCTGGGCCCAAACCCAAGTAGGCGACGTGTGGCCTGCATGAGATCACACAGGCGACTCACAAGAGCAAGCGTGACACAATGTACATTGGCCAACCTCTGCACCTTCAATCCCCATTCTTCCACCTCTCGCTCCCCTCCTGGTCCTCTTCTGTACCCCGGAGGCGGAGAAGAGACGTCCAGGTCCATTATTGGCGTGACGCCCTCGAGATCGGAAAAGGAGGGGCAGTGAGGGAGGTTCGCGAACAGTCGTAAGCGACTGGAACGATGTGGGTGGGACGGGGCTGGCGGGAGGAGTAGGAGGGTGCGCAGCCGGAGGGAGGAGATGAATGGGATATGGATGATGAGCTGCGACGTCAGCAACTGGAGTTGGACCAAACTCCGTGTAATGGGTGTGCGGCTGCCCTCGGGCTCTCGACTTCATGGAGCTGTTGCCCACGGTCCCGCCAGTCCAGCTGGAAGCTGTCGAACTCACCTCGTCATCTACGCCTGATTCTACTATATCGTCCGACAATCTCTCATCCCACGTCTTGACGATCAACGGTGCCGATCCAGGCACTTCCAGGTTCACACCCTCTACGCTAGCTTGGTCAGCACACTCTCCGTGCTCAGCCAGCATTAGCAAGCTGAACGTGAGCTCACTTATCCCGGTCGATCCAGCTCCAGAGATTCGAATTGCTTCCCTCGCCCGCTGAGACTCGTTCGAGGACCTGAGTAGAGACGTTGTTGTTAAGATCTTCGACCGTCAGATCGTCGGCGCAACTCATCTCGGCGACGGTGCGATTGGGTCAGGGAGCAGCAAAGGCGATATAGGCGCGACTTGGAGGCGGTGACTTGGGCGTAGGTACGTGCAGCAGAAAGCTCGCCGGGCGGTCAGTGATGTTGTGATGTAGATGGTGAGATGAAAAGAGAGAGAGTGGACGAGAAGAAAGGATGAGTTCGCTGGATCGCTTGACAGGTTCGGGCATTATTGATAGCCTCGGCCGAGGCGCCGAGTGGCGACGCCCGAAGCCAACCTGGGTCTCATAGGCGTTGGCATGTAACGGCTTGTTGCTTGGGGCGATAACTCCGTGACAGACTGATCCCATGGGATGCAAACGAAGAAGTATATCCCAAACAACCTGTATGAGAGAAAACCTATGCCCCAGCCAGCGTAGCAACCCTCATGATCCCGCATCGTCCTCCCACCAATTCCCGCCTCCTCCGCCTCCCCCACCCCCTCCCCCACCCGCCCCTTTCCTCCCCCTGACTTCTCTGGTCCCATCCTTGTGCCTGATCACCTCCGTCACACCACTGCTGATCCCCTTCTGCCCTCCCCCTTCGCCCAACCCACCCGCCGCCGCCGCCTGTTTCCTCAACTTCTTCTTCTTGCGGTTGTCCTCCGTGGCTGCAGCGTGCAGTAATCCGCCCTCGTCCTCCAAGTTGGCTGTCTCAGCGCCCTCATCCTCGTTCTCTTCCGCAACGTTCCGCTTTCGCTTGCCGCCTTTGGCGGGTGGGTCGGTCTCGTTCAGGACGGCAGAAGAGGCCTTCTCCTTGCCTTTACCAGCACCGATACTGGGTAACCCCATCTTCTCGCGGTATGTCTCGGTGATGGACCGGACTTGTTGTTCCCAGACCGTCTTGTGAAGTCGATAAAGCGCCATCGTCGCCCTAGCATCGGTCACCTAAGCGTATCAGCCCCAGTCCCCGTCATATCCCGATCAAAGCGCCAGATCGACTCACCGAACTATGTGCCCCCGTCTGTATCTTAATCCCCAGTTCCATCTCCGCCAACCTCTTCAACCCCGGCCGCTTCGTCTTCGCCTTCTCCCTCAGCGGCTTGCACTGCTGCGTGTCCCTCGTCATCGGTCCCGGATGACTCAGAAGCAACGCCTTCATATCGTTTTCAATCGCATGGCCGACAACGACCCTCCCCTCGCATAGCTCCGATACTTGTTTCTGGACCGTCTCGAACTGGGGCGCGCCGACGACATCGGATGCGCGGATACCGGAGATCCAGGTTCGCCAATCCGTGACGGTCTCGCGGGGCTGGACAAAGGTGTCGAGCAGGACGTGCCCATGATAATTGACGACGGAGATCCGGGCGAGGCAGGATTCGGAGCCTAGTGGACCGAGACCGACCATCTCGCAGTCGAGCGCGATGCTGGATGTCAGCGAGTCCCTCCGTGTCCTCAAAGTGAGTATAACTCACTATGTACCAGGTCTGACATGTTAGCTGTCTCCCTTAGCCAGAGACAAGTTTCGAGCTCACGCTTTCTTCGCCTCGCCCAAGACTCCTTTTCCAGTCACCATCACCCTCAACTCTTCAACCAACCTCCGATCCGTGCAGTCCTCCGGGACAGGCAAGAGCATGACAGATTCCTTCGTGTGCGCTGGTACATTCACGCCGACCGTCTGCCCTGCCGAGCTGGTGCTGTCAGCTTTAGATGCCGCAGCCAGCATTGTTCTGAGCGGGACGGGACATACGAAGATTCTCCAACCTTTTCGCTCATCCCGCTCGCGTACTCTCCTATACCCTGCCGCATCATCCTCTTCCGCTGCTTGCTTGATAGTTCACCAGACATGATGCTCGGACCGCCTCGGGGTTTGGGGGTCGTCGAGGACCGCGGGCCAGGGCTCGAGGAAGTGAGCTTCTGTGGATATTCAGCTCTGCTCTCCTCGCCAATACGATCTGCGGCACTGGGCCGCCAAATGATACGCAGCGGTCAGAAGCGGCACTCACTGTCTGCAGAGCAGCCCAGTTGCTACCTGGCGCAACAGCGGCAGCTTTTGCCTATCCAATCAGCACAACCCTGCCCTTTTATCCCTGACCGACTCACTTTGGCCATCAGGCGGCCGAGGAACGATGCGAGTCGGAAAGATATAGCTTCAATGAGCCCTGCCTACGGCGCGGCAGCTTTGACGGATAGCGATAGAGGGCTATACAAGGCAGGATGAAGGACAACATGCGCAAGGGGTGGACCACCAAAATCCGCCGCCTCCACTTGCTGGCTTGAGTGCGCCAACGGAGATTGCGGATAACTCCAGGCAGTCTATGATCATGAGCTCGCGATCGTCTTCGTCTAGCTGTCATGAGTCGGTCATGCAGATGCCAGAGACGTGATGGAGTAAGGGTACACTATTCATTCATCTCTTGTGTCTCTAATTTACATTTCTTCAATATACTAAGCTACTCCCTTTGCTTCACCATCTACCTATCAGTACCAGCTACGGGTTATACTAATATCACAAACAGCTAAGATCATCCCTCCCTCTGTTCCCCCTCATCACCGTCACTGCAATGTTGAAAGCTCTTCTACATGTCTCCCCTTATCCTTGTTGTAGAAATATGCTGGATGCAAGTATAGCGAGACCGGTGGAGTTGGGGGTGGGTGCGGGCCAAAGGAGGGAGGGGGAAAGCGTAATGTCGTAGTCGTACAGAAAAAGAAAAGGGAAAGTATGGCATTGATCTCGGACCTGGGGAGATGATGGGATTATAGAAGAGGTCGTGATAGATCTGACACGGTCAGCTTTGCCTAAACCTCAACACTCGACTAGACTCACCATCTAATTCTGCGTAAACCCCAATCCACCACCCAACAGCTGTCCCTGTCCCTGCCCAACAATATTCGCATGCACCCTCCCAAAGATGTTCTGGTGCTCCTCATCATTTCGAATGAACGCCTGATCCCAGAAGCCATACGCCTTGTTATCGAGCAGCTCGATGAAGGCGACGATGAGACCCCAGGGGTGAGGTCGGGTAACGACGACACGCTCGAGCAGGACTCGGCCGATACGCTCGGGGATAGCGTTGGGGATCTCGGCGCGGGCCGAGGTACCGAAGAGGAAGAGGATGAAGGAGGTGAAGAAGAGCGTGTGAGCGGAGGGGTATCGAAGCTGGTCGGCGATGACCGAGAGCATGTAGTATTGGCCTAAATGTCAGCGACGTCCTTGCTCTAGCAACAGGCAACTCACCTTCCGCGTCAAACGCAAACACCAAGCTCGTCAAGAGAGCAACCTCCGGCGCCTTGCGATCAAACTCTGCATTCCCCGTCCGGGCCGCCCGGCGCTCCACCGCGGTTGTACCGAGGTAAAACACGGCCGCGTGCAGGAGGGTGTGGTTCCAGTTGACAATAGGACCTTCGGATCCCATCGTCTTGATGGCGATCCGGCTCTTCAACTCGGCGACGATAGCCTGGAGCTGGGGCATGCCCGAGCGGACATACTGGTCGATCGCACCTTTGACGTTACCCGAGTTGAGCGCGTTGATGTAGTCCTGCCGAACGACGGGGATGAGCTGCATTTCAGGGATGAGCTGGTCGAGCCGGCGATAATAGTCCGGGAGGGGGGCTTGGCTGTTGGGGAATGCGCAGAGTACGATGTTGCGCAGCTGGAGGCAGTGCGCGGGGATGGCGGTGGAGAGGGTGTGGTAGTACTCGACGAGGAATTCAGGGAAGTCGTGCATGAGCACAAGGAGGATGCGGGAGGTGGCGCGGTAGATGGACCGACTGCCGACGTCGAGCTCGCCGACTTTGAGGAAAGGAGCGAGGAAGCGGAGGAGCCACATGAGACAGCGGTGGAACTCTGGCCACCCCTCGTCCCTCGCCGGCGTGTCGAGGAGCTTGGCCATGAAGAGCCGGTGGGAGATGATCGACGTGTACCCAAAGGCGAACTTGGGCGCGTACGTAGGCTGGATGACCCCCATGCTGTTGGCGAACGCCTTGAGGCATCCGACGTACGTCTCCCGAAGAGCGTAATTGTCCCCGATTATAGACAGCTCGTTGAGCATCGTCATAAAGAACCGGGCCCAAGGACGCTGGTTGAAACTGTCCTCTGCCTGCACCGAGCGGTGGACGAGCGAGTACGCGATGATGTTGATGATCTTGTTGTAGTAGTAGACCGTCCGCCTCGCGCTCGACGCGTCCGACTTGTCACCATAGTGCTTGATGATGAGCACGATGAGCTTGGCGAGCGAGTCGGTTCCGAAGAACGCTGGCTCCCGCTCGCCCAGCTTGGTCGCGTCAAGGTCCACCGCGCAGTTGATGGCGACCCGGTAGAATGCCGTGGAGATATCCTCGCCGCTGAGGATACCCTCTTTCTGGAGATAGGTGATGTAGGGGATGAAGGCGTCTTCGGGACGCTTGGAGCTGCTGAATACCCGGACCCACTCGAGGAAGTAGTGCGAAAGCCGGTCCTTGTCGATGCTGAGCTTGTCCTCGAGAGGACCGCTGGGGGGCATGTCCGTCGACTTGGGACGGTTAGGACCGATCCGGAGGTCTTCGAGCAACGTCTCGATGGAAGGTGTTGCCCGCTGACTGTCTCGCGACTTGAGCAGGACCGCCAGACTCTGCGCGAAGGCCGTGCGGGGGACGAGAGCGCGCTCGCCAAGGGAGCATTCGCGGATGAGCTCAGCGACGAATTCGTAGAACTCCGGGCTGGGAGATTGAACGATCTTCTGAGCGAGCTGAACGTCCAACTCGGGAAGTGCGATGAAGCCGGCTCGAATGAGCAGTGTAGTGACCGGGACGTTCAATTTGCGCTGCTCATCAGCTCTGACTAGGACTCGGCAGAGTAGAACTTACAGCATCGTCCGCATACACCAGCCACTGCTTGACCTCCGCATCCACCTTTGGCGCCACCTCGCACAGCCCTTGCAGCATCAAGACGTAAATCTCCCTGCCGAGCGGGACCGGCGTCTTGTACAGCAGCTGCACAACTCGCTGTGCAATGACCAGGGTCATCTGCTCACGGTTGCTCGTCTGGCTAGCAAGCAACGGCACCGCCCGGATCGCCTGCCGGACCTCATCCGTGACGCTGGCGATAGTAAGTCCCTGGGCTTGGGCCTGGTTGACATACTTCTCCATCTCGGCGACGATCTCGTGGAACTTTTCAATGGTCGTTTGGGCGGGCACGACCTGTTGAACCGGCTCGAGAACCGCGGGTGTAGGCGCCGGGTCTGGGATACCGCCGGCAGGAGTGGCATTGCGCTTGATCTCGAACCCGTCCGGGCCATAGTTGGCATAATCACCATTGACGGCCGCTTGGGTAACGAGACGCGAGTGCTCGCTAAAGTCTTCGTAGACCCGGAGCTGGGCGGCCGAGAGCCCGCCAGATCGAAGCCGGAGCGGATCGGGAAGTGCGCCGTGCGAGATTTGCACCCCGAAAGATGCGCCGTCCCAGAACGGCTGGGAGCTGCGCGAGTCCCGGTGGAGTCTGCGAGCGGCATACTGCGGCGCCAGATTGACGTCGATATCCTTGACCGCCTTCTCCATCGCCGCCGTCTTGATGACATTGCACGCCGCGTCCAGGTTGTCGTTGACGATCCCCTGGATAGGTACGTCCGGCATGGTCTCCTCAGTAAAGCCATTGCTGACCAGCATGCCGCGGATATTGGTGATCATGCTGGTCCGCAGCGCCTCTTTGCAGGTGACGAGCGCCAGGTTGCCCGCCAGATTCTGCACCATCATGTGCGCCGCCTGCCGCATCTTGTTTGGGTCCCCTTCCATCCCAAAGTCCTTCTGGACGAGGTCTCGGGACGAGATACCGGCGATCGTGACCGACCGCTCGACGACGGGAATGACGATATCCTTGACGGCGCGGGTGACCGAGTGTGCGACGATCCGCTGGAGCGTGGGAGCGGTGAAGATTGGGTATTCTTGGCTGAACACCAAGTGTTGCGGGAGCTCCACAATAAGCTCATCAACCCGACGATTAAACGCCTCTTGCGCCGCAGCCGCCATCTGCTCATTCTGCATCTGCTGCATCCGCACTACCGCCTCATTCGCCGTCGTGTCGGTGTTACGCTGCGAGCCATTCATCATCTCGGTGATGGCCCGCTGCAGCTCCGCGTCGAGCCTGTTCGGCACCTCCGGCTGGGGTTCCGGCGGCGGGACATGTGTCCTAAGGATGTTGGCCGCTTCAAACTTGTCGAGCGAGACGCCGAGCTTGGAGAACAAGACCTCAATCTCGAATTTGAGGTTGAGGCGGAGCTCTCCGTGGTGGTAAAATTCGACGAGGAGCCGGAGGACACCGACGAGCCATGGGTTGGGCGGGTGGAAGACGCTCGACTCGATACAGCTGAGCATGAGGTTACAGACGAAGGGGACGGCAACGATCAGCCGCTTATTGTCGAAACCCTGGACGAGGAGGTCCTTGATATTGACCTCGCGCAGCTTGAGGGGCTTGTTCCGCGCGAGCGTGATCCGACCGAGCCAGAGGGCGATGGTCTTGAGCGAGACCCGTTCCGACGCCGAATTGATGGTCGCCTCCGAATTGAGCAGGTCCCGGGCCTTGCGGTACGTCTCCCAGAGGACGTGCCGCTCAAACACCGCCGATCCCAGCGCCTCCAGGATCCGCATGTACATCTCGTGCCGGTTCGCCTCGAGACTGACGCGGAGATCGATAAAGTAGTGGGCAAACCAGCGCGAGTGCTGGTCCGCAAACACCGCGGTTAACTCGCCCATCTTGGTGTCAAAGTTGCTTTCCGCGATATTGTTGATGATAAACATGATCTGATCACGGTGTCGCGGTTCCGGCTCGACAAATTCGTCATCCCCCTCCTCGATGAGGATCGGCAACTTCAAGGCGGGGAAAGCAAGCTTCACCCCACCCTGCAGATCCAGCTCCTCCCTCTCCGACAACGCCGCGAGAATCTCCTGCAGCAGACCCGGGTGCTGCTCATGCAGTGCCGGAATCTCGATGAGCTCCCGGCAGAGACCCGGAAAGTCGACGAGGGATGCCCGGAGGATACAGAGCGCATTGATACCGAATTGGTAGAGAGCGTCATTGGGAGGGATAGGCGACGATTTGACCGCGTCCAGGACGTAACGAGTAGCGACAAAGGCCGGCGTATCCTTGACGAGCCGCCCGTCGATGATCGCACCAAAGAGGATACCCGTCATGGTCAACTCTTTGGCCGGGTACGACTTGACGAACTTGATTTCGTCAAACAGCGAGTGTAGCGCGCAGGCAAACAGCTCCTGGTCCCTCGTTTCCGCCGACTTTTGCCTCGTCCGCAGCTCGTCCACCACGTCGTCCAGCTTGAGCTCCCCGCTGTACATTTGCTGGTACATCTCATCCACCTGCGCCGTGGCCTCCTTCGAGTACTTGGCCACGCTGAACCCTTGCTCCTCTTTGGACTGAGGCCGGAAATTAAGTAGACGGGGGTGCTGGATAAGGATATCGGTGCGGAGACCCTTGAACCGACGGATATCGTCTTGGTCAAGGTTCCGGGCGTTTCGAATGACGCGGATAAAGATGGAGTAGATTTCGGGACCGAGGGTGTGTTTGAGGGCGGGGGCAGATTCGGGCTGGTGTTGGTGCTCGCCTTCGAGGTGGATCTTGTGCTCAACGAAAGCAAAGATACCTTCGAGGAAGTCGTGGCCCTTGGCCTCGATACCGTCCGCCAACCACTTTTCGAGGTCGATCCGCTCAGCCTGGGAAGCTTGAGCGGCAACGTCCAACGCAAAGTGGAAGTTTTCGGAAGCGATGAGGTTTGACAGTATCTGCAGGTCAGCTCGATCCTGATTTCCCGGAAGAGTGTACTCACCTCGACTTCCAACGCAATATCCATGATCCGCCCAAGATTATCCTCTGCCTCGCTGTAGAACTCGAGCAACACCGCCAACAAGTTCTCCGAGTCATGCTCCCACAGCTGGTGGAACACGAGCTGTGAAGAAGTCGCCTGTGCCGCTGGAGTCGCGAGATATACCGCAAGCAGGCGGGTGTGGATGTTCTGCACCGGTCCAGGAAGGGGTTTCTGACAATTAGCAGATACCCCTCGATTACAGTTTCATATACTCACCGGCAGCTTCTCCAGCGCGATCAGGACCAGCTCTGGCGCTATTGAGCCCGCTCTGTCCAATCGTTCCGTCGCCATCCGCCCGATCTCCACCCTCTCATCCGACGGCAGATCGCCCACCTCCCCTTCCGCCACCGCGCACGCGTGCACCAGAATCTGAATCAGACCAAGCGTATTCCAAAGTCCCGCACCTTGAATATCCGTCGCCTGCTGCCTCGCTGCCTTGCTCCACACCCGATCATGCTGTGGTGGGTTGACGATCCGCGCGAACGCGTCCGGGGAGGGCGCACCGGGCATGGTGAATAGCGGGATAGCGTCTGGGGAGATGGAAGTCATTCGCCAGATAATGTGGAGGAGGGTGATCATGTTATTCCAGATGGGTTCAGAGGGAGATGCGGGGAGAAGGCCGGTGATGGGTGGAATAGGGTACTGGGAGGGTTGGAGGAGGAGGGCGACGAGGAGGGACATGCATGGTTGGTAAGCGGAGATGTCGTTGGGAATGTCGAAGGACCGGACGATGTCCGGGATGGAGATGGATGGCTGAGGGTCAGTTGTAGGCCATGTAATGCGATCCCGGTGACTCACGACTGTGCTCAATCCCTTGACGACGCCATGAACGTCAACTATTCTCCCCTCTCTCAGGCCGTCGCACAGCCCGTAGACCGTCCGAGACGCCTCCTCTGTGACTGCCTTGGCCTGTTCGGCACTTGATAGCCCTTCCAATAGATATGGACCCCACCAGCGTCCGATGACCGCCTCTACGGTCCCTTCATCCTGGGTCAGCCCGTCCCCTAGCTCAAAGAGGATATCCTCGAGAGGGATTGAGCCAGGCGATCTCGGCGGTCCACCTGGTGAAAGCGCCGACAAGCTCTGAAGGATGATGGCGGGGGAAGAGAATTTGGTAGCGAGCGATCCGAGGAGAGCTGCCCGTTGGTGTGAAGAGATTGGGGACGGGTGGGGAGCGGTAGGATTGGTCGGTGTAGGTGGGCGGGAGAGGGTATTACCGCCTGAAGAGGATGATCGGGGATAGAGAGCAAGTATGAGCGTTCTCGCTTCTTGCAAGGTGAGGTCATCGGTATATGATGGCGCGCCCGCAGTTGGGCCCATCGCCCAGAATGGGACGCCTGGAGCTCGTAATTGCTCCATGACGGGCTGGAAAGTCTGGCGGAGGATGCCATGTACCATTTCCGCCGAGGCGTGATTTGGCGGGTAGACATTGGGGGAGGCGAGAGTGTAGGCGGTAAGGGAGAGGAGGAAGGATGGGGGGAGACCGAAAATCCGGAGCGAGGGGAGCGGGAGGGCGGTCGATTGTGCTTGGGAGAGCATGACGGAGCAGAAATGAGGAGCGAGCGAGACGTCCCGTGATGCCCTGACAGCCTCTGTGACGAGCAGTCGCCAGACAAAGGCGGGCGGACCAGTCGACTGGATATTGGGGGGAGGTGCCGCCGGGTCGTCCTTGTACTGCTGGCTATGCTGGATGAGGGTAGAGATGATAGGGTTGGCGACGATAGCTGCGCGGCGCAAGAAGTGATGGTACATCTCCGGTCCGTTGGTTGATGCCAACTAGTCCATCAGTTCTTGTCCCGCTGACATGGAGGAATGTGTACTCACCGCCCGGATCTCATCCGCATGCTTCTCGAACCCTTCCTCCGTGAACGTCGTCAACAGGAACACAATCTGCGCTCTGACGATCGACGCTGGATCACCTCCTCTACTCCTTCCACCGCCACCTCCGCCTCCACCTCCACCGCCGCCGCCACCTCCTCCGTCCCCAGTATTAGACGCTCCGCTGGCATTTCCACCAAAACCGGGCGGAGGGCCGGTCCTGGCGACCCCGCCTCCCAATCCGGGAGGAGGGATTGACATGGGCTGGGGCTGGGGCGGTGGTAAAGGTACGGATGGACCTGTACCTATCGGTTGATGAGTTGTATGCGAGGCGGAGCGAGAGGAGGCATTGCCTCTTTCGCGAGTGGGAAGGAAGGAGATGTCGAGAAGCCGAGTTGTCGAGGTCTGGTTCGAGGGTTGCTCGCGCTGGCTTGTGTTTCCGCTTTGAGAGGGATTCGTCGTTGATTCAATCTCCTCCTCTGTAGCTGGTCTGAGTAGATATGATCAAAGGAGATAGATATAGCTCAGTGTAAGAGAGGACTAGTGTGCGCACAGGACAAGCTGGCACTTGAATTCAACGCAACGCACAGCGGCCAGCAAGCAGCAAGCGAGATCTCGGAGTTTTCGGCAAATCCCGATAACCGTTCCTGGTTTCACCCAATGTGGCACTTGTCTAAATCTGGGGGTATACATCGTCTAGCTAGCTATGCACAGATCATCACTTCTCCTCCTCATCCCCTTCTTCCTCTCCATTGTACATCTCATCCCATGTCCCATCCTCCACCATCTCCTTGAAGATATCCAGTCCGCCTACAAGTTCGCCATTAAGGATGATCTGTGGGAAAGCTGTCATATCAGCTTTTGCTCTGTGGCAGCTTGTATCATTGTCCACTCACTAGGCCAATCATTGACCTTCTTCAATCCCTGCCTAACCTCCTCATCCGAGAAGATATCAAACCAGGCAAACTCAACCCCTTTCTCCCTGAGCAGCCCGACGGTCTGGCGCGAGAACCCGCACTTGGGCGCAGACGGGTTGCCCTTCATGAACAGCATGACCTTGTGCTTATTCATGAGCTGTTTGCAGCGCGCTTCGATCTCGGCCTCGGTACGTTGATGGGGCGCAGCAGCGGGAGTGGCGGTAGACGATGAGAGTGGTGCGGAGGGGGCTGAAGAGGGGGCAGAGGCGGCGTGTTGGGTGAGGAGGGAGTGAAGGAGGGCGGCATCGGCCCCGGAGTGGCGGGCTAGGAGGGTGTGACCCTGTTGGCGAGAAGTGGATGTGGGTATCAGAAAGAGGAAAAGGGTATATTGGTATTACAGTTGATTCCGATATATTATAGGGAAGAAGCGTCAGCCGAATGGTCGAGTCCCATTTGACCGAGTTCACGAGCAAGACCAGACGGTCGGCGGGGCGTAGTGAACGGTTTGCCAGTGGCCGACAGAGAAGAGACCGTTACAGGCGTGTATGTAGCGGGCGAGTCCAGGTTGAGGAAGGGCGACGCAATGGAGTGATCGCCATGGGGAGTCAAGACCGGGGACCGTTCGAGCAGGTAAGCGGGATCAACGATAGGAGGAGAAGGGGGAATGTCGTCGAGATCCGGGCGGCATTTGAGAAAAGCAGGCCGATGTTCCAATGGAGAAGGAACGTCATGGTCAGATGGGCCGGAGATGATGGATGCGGAAGACCGAGATCGCGGTGAGAGCGAGATAGGCGGAGGACAGGGTTTGGGTTGTATCACGTGTTCGTCGAAGGGGATATGAGTGGGTGACCGGTCGGAAGGCGACGGAACGGCGATGGCGAGTCCGGAGAGCGGCGAATTGGGAGGAGGGGTACGCGGCCAGTCATCCGATGACAGGGATGAGGCGTACGTCGACACCGACGAGACCGACGAGGACGGGGAGGATGCCAGGAATGACAGGGGAGAGCGAGGGGAGAATCGGGGGGAGGATCGATCAGGCGTGGAAGGGGCGGATCCACGACGAGCGTACATGTATGGTGAGGAGGGTGAAGACAAGCGGCGAGCGGTTCCGGCCGTGATGGGATGGGCAGAGGCGGGTTTAGTATCGATACCGGGGCCGTGGTTGGGATTGAGAGGTGAGGAGGATTGGAGGAGCGGGCGAGGACGAGAGCGGAAGTGCGGTAGAGTAGGCGGCGAGGAGTCCATATTGGGGGAGAGTAGAGGGCGAGTAAGAAGAGAGAGAGAGAGCTCGGTCAGCCTTGTACTTGGGGTGTGACGAGACAGGTACAGCGAAACGGAAAGAGGTTTTCGTCGAAGGTAGAAGGTTCGAGGAGGCCATAAAATAGAGTTGCAGATCCAAGTGGACTTGGAAAGGCAGAAGCGATAGAGGGGGAACAGTGGCGTCCGCGCACTATAAATAGTAGGCGGAGAAGGAGGAGGCGTGGGGTCCAAGGGCAAGACCTCGAGCGGGGAAGAACAAAGGTGTTGAGACGCGTACGAGCGCCGCACTCTCCACTCGGGTTCCAATCGAGCTGCGCTCTCCTGCCTCGTCAAAGTGGAGTGGATAAGGGGAAATGAAAGGACCGAGATAGTGCGGCGAGTATGGCGCTTTCCGACGTGCGTGAGGGCAAGATGGGGAGAAAGGATCAGAGATAAGAGGTATAGCGTAAGAGACACACACGTGCTCGAACGCTCTCATATGAGAGGAAAGAGAGGGGAGATGGAGTGGGACATACACGTAGGAGCAAGAACGAAGGCACGGCCTCGATGTCAAACGACTCGGATATATCGGCCATTGATTCGGCTTCGATCTGAGCTGTCAGTACAGTGCGTATCAGGACATGGTCAGGGATGGAACGATCAGCTAGCCGCCCTGAAGCGCGAACAAGGCGAGACACAACTCTGCTCTGGACCTCTGGCCGGGCTCGCTTATCAATCACATCTCCTCCATTCCCCTGCGTTCCGACATCCATAAAACTCATCCGGGTCGGCAGTGCCAAACTCACATTCAAGAACAGCACACTCGAGAACTTGCCCGCCTCACTCTTCACCACCTCGGTAAACGCAGCACATGGCTCCGCCCATGGCGCCCAAAAGTTCAGACATGATACCCTGTTGAGATCCGCCGAGAGGAGCTCTTTAAAGTGCTCGGGAGACGTGACGTCTACGAGGTTGGACATGGTTGGTGATGTCCTCTCTTGTCCGATCTGTCTGGTAGTAATGGGTTCTACTACACTGCTATAGAGGTAAGAGCTGTTGATATGAGCCAAAGAGTTGGCCTTCTGCAGCTGTCGTCATGACCTTTGGACGGGGACGGAGGCAAAATTATTGCCACTTGACTTTATCGAAAAAACGTTGACTGCTCGCTCTTGATCATATATACCTTTGTCCTCCGTCCACCACTACAGACAGGTCATATACAGACCTATAGGTTCGCAGCGCGCATACAGCTCGAGTGGACTACATCACCCTACCACCCCCGAAGAAATCCGACAAAATGTCCGAGCAAGAAGTGAGCTGCTCTGAAGAAGTCGGAACGCAAGTGACGCAGCTGATGACTCCAGACTGATCAGGCCATCGAGGTCCGTCTTGACCCTAAACATACTGCTTCTGGTTCCTCACTAACCCAACTGTAGATCTGGCGATACAGGAAGCTCCTGGGGATGCTCGCCAACTCCCGAGGTGCCGGAACATCATGTATCACCCTCATCCTTCCGCCTCGTGAGTTTCCACCGTCCCTGTAGTCCGAGGGTTCAGGCAGCTAACACCGCAGGATCGCAGATCTCTCAAGCGAGCGGAATGTTGACAGGCGAATATGGAACTGCTTCCAACATCAAGTCCCGAGTCAACAGGTTCGTTCGCCAGTCCTTTTCCAATTTCCAACGGCAAGGCCAGAGCTGACATCGTCAGATTATCAGTCCTTTCAGCCATCACATCGACGCAGCAGAAGCTTAAGCTGTATAATCGCGTTCCTGACAATGGGCTGTGTGTGTTTGTCGGAACGGTGTTGAACGATGAGGGCAAGGAAAAGAAGATCTCGTTCGCGCTGGAGCCGTTCAAGCCCATCAACACGTTAGTTTTACAGCACTCTCCGATGGCCACGGGCCAAGAGCTGATGTCTCAGCTCTCTGTACATGTGTGACAGTCGATTCCACGTCGAAGCGCTTGAAGAACTGCTCGAGAACGACTCCAAGTGGGGTTTCATCATCATGTAAGTCCCAACTCCTTTGTCGCCTGAAATCTTGCTAACGATCAGTGACGGTAACGGCTCCCTGTTCGGTACCCTCTCCGGAAACACCCGCGAGGTCGTCCACAAATTCTCGGTCGACCTCCCCAAGAAGCACGGACGTGGTGGTCAGTCCGCCCTTCGTTTCTCGCGTCTCCGAGAGGAAGCCCGCCGGAACTACGTCCGTAAAGTCGCCGAATTGGCCGTGCAGCACTTTATCACTGCCGATCGGGTGAACGTGGCGGGGTTGGTGTTGGCCGGTTCGGCCGAGTTGAAGACGGATCTGAGCGGGAGTGATCTGTTTGACCCGAGGTTGTTGGCCAAGGTGGTCAAGATTGTGGATGTGTCGTATGGTGGTGAGAATGGTTTCAACCAGGTAGGTCTTCACCGGAAAAGACAGATGGAGTAGAAGCTTACTTGCAGGCTATCGAGCTTGCGGCCGACTCGCTCGCCAACGTCAAATTCGTCCAGGAGAAGCGTCTCATCCAGAAATACTTTGACGAGATTGCCCTCGATACCGGCAAATACTGCTTTGGTATCGCCGACACCCTCAAAGCCCTCGATATGGGCGCGGTCGAAACCCTCATCGTCTGGGAAGCGCTCGATACTATGCGCCACACCCTCCGTAATGCCGCCGGCGATGAAGTCATCGTCTTCAACAGCCCGGCCGACAAGCTCGAAAAGGACAAGGAAAAGGTCGCGGACCTCAAAGAGAAATTTATGGACAAGTCGACAGGTCTCGAGATGGAGCAAGCGGCGGAACCGCAGGCGCTCCTCGAGTGGTTTGCGGAAAAGTACAAGGAGTTTGGTGCGACCCTCGAGTTTGTCACCAACAAGAGTCAGGAGGGGAGTCAGTTTGTGAAAGGGTTCGGAGGCATTGGGGGGATTTTGAGGTACAAGGTCGACTTTGCGGATCTGGGGGATCAGGAGGGGGACGATGATGAGTTTTACGGGTCAGACGAGGATGATGGTGAGTTATCGTGCTCCTCGAATAGAGTGGACGAAAGCTGATAAATTAGACATCTGACGATGTCGTCCGGGCAAAAACGCCCTGCTCAGCGCCGCGCGCGAGGAGGGCCAAGGCGTGGCAGAGCAGGAGGTGGAGGGTTGTATGGATGTGAACAAGGACATTAAAGTGGCGGAAAAAGATATCGGAGGTGGGCGCGGTGAAGTGGACGCTGGCGCGGAGGCAGGGAAGATGGCGGAGATAGGGGACGGGTGGGGATCGGAAAGGGTACAAGGCAGCCGGCCCTGGGTGATCTTGACGGAACGGACGGGGGATGGGGAACATGTTGCCGATCGGAGAGTTATCGAGGTCGGCTCGTTCGGTCTGGCGGAAGATTCGGGTGGCGTGGAACCTCGCACGACCCTGATGACTCGAAAACACATCATCAAGCGTCCTAGAATCGTCCCTCCGTAGTCCCAGTATTCCCGTTCTCTTTGCTCCCCTCATGCAGCTCCGTCGTAGTCTCAAGACGAAATGTCAAGATTGCATCCTCCGGCTATGCCCAGCACACAAATATAGGTTATGCTTCCCCGATATACAAAATTGATCTCCCCCTCACCCCTCGCTCAAGTCCAGCTCGAGCACTTCACGCTCCATCCCTCAATCTATACTCAGCCGTTTCGCCGCCGCAGCCGCCGCAGCACCTCCCGCGTCCGGATCGGACTTCCATCTATTGAATCCCACCTGAGTTCGAGGCGATCTTGGGTACTGCGACAGCACTAGGCGGTCAGCGCGCGCCATTTCCTGCTACGACCAGCGAAGCAATAAGCTATGAAGACGTACCGGCTCCCTTCAAACCCTTTCCAAAGTCCCGATAAACCAGCACACTCCACGCCAAGCATGCCAGCAGGCTCAATATGCTCAGTCCGGCAAAGACAGTGAGTGATTTCGAGACGTTCGCGTAGACTGTGAGATCTTGTTGCCAGATCCGGCAGAGCTTGAAGATGAAGTAGGCTTGGCCGAGGGTGAGGCCGGTACAGAAGAAGATCTATACGTTAGCACTCCATCATGTCGGGTCTTCGTGGTTGAGTAGCAACGCGGCGAGAAGAGAGAGATAAGAGAACGCGGGATGAGGACTGACCATGAAGGGCTTGTTCTCATATTTGGCGGCTGTACGCCCGATGACCAGCAAGATGAGCGACAGCGGAAACATGATGAATGTGATGATATACTCCGCGTCGGTCTTTTGGAGGACTATACGTCAGCCATAACCTTGTGGAGGGGAATCAGAAGTAAGGCAGGACTGACCGAGCCAGAGGAACTGAATCCCAAATCCAGCGGTAAAGAACGCGCTGAAGTAGACAAAACACTCAAACACCTGGAATCGGCGATAGTATCCCCGGATCTGGAGGTCGGCACCGAGGAAGCGATACCTTTGCCAGCTACCATATCAGCTTGTTTCACTTCCCGCAATGAGATTCGAGCATGATTTAGCTGGCAGCAAGGGACATACCCAAACTCTCTCCGTACGAAATACGCCAGCACCGTCAGAACAAGACAACAAACAGCCACCACCCCAATAATGACCGCCGTCAATACATTCAACGGCAGATTGAGCAGACTCGTCGTTTTCGATACCCCGGGAGTGGCAGCCTCGACAGCATCGTCAATCAAAGACGTTTGGAGATCGCCTAGAATCGTGCGCAGTTCGGAAACCTGGATGATGGCCCATACGAGGAAGGCGTAGTTGAAGATGGTGATGGCTGAGATTTGGATTGTGTTTTTCGTTCGGATGGCGATTATGGTGAGGACGAGTTGCCAGAGGCTGGCGGTCAGCAAGAAGCAAGGCTGAGGGAAAGGTAGGGAGACATACTGTGCTAATCCGAAGATGATCAGGAATATGGGAAGTCGTCTTTTGTTTTCCAGCATGCTTGGCGTGGAGCTGGCGGATTTGACTTCGGTGTTGAAGCGCCAGAGGATGTTGGCCTGATCAGTGTCAGCAGCATCCATGACCTGAAGCCAATGCGCCATGCTTACCTCGATGACCAGATCGATAATCAGCTCGAAGACTACCGTACCGAGCAGGAGTCGAGTATATAGCGTATCCGGAATGATCTGTCCCTTCAGCTATCGCCCCCCTCTGTACAGCTCAGCCAGAGAAACTCACCCAGTCCCACCATCTCCCCTTCTTGCTCGTCCGCTCCGGCCTACTCTCCTTGTATCTCAGCGTTGACGCCCCTTTCTCCACGTCTCCTTCTCCCTCTTCCTCTCTCTTCCCCTCCCCCTCCGCTTCCGCCCCAGCCCGCTTCTCCCGCTCATCCAGCGGAACAAACGTGACACTCGTGTTCCTTGGGTCATACCCCAATTTCGGCAGCTCCGGTGAGACACTCCACTGTTCCCGTTCCCGTTTTAGTCCGGAGGTACTGCTCGAACTTGGCATACTTGCCAAGGACGGCCGGGACGCGCCCAACCTGGGTTGGTTGAGTTGGAATGGCGGGAGAAGGGGGGAGGGTATCGAGGACGCGATGGACAAGGAGGATGTGGAGGCAGGCAGAGCGGGTCTGGGGGTCGAGGTGTTGCCGGAAGAGGGGGGAGGGGAGGTGGGAGTGGGGATGGGTGGTAGGCGCTTGATCGCGACATTTTCGGAGGGGGAGAGTTGAGGACCGGAGGTAGAGGCGCGGGGCGAGGTGGAGATGTCGGGGACGAAAGCCTCTGGGAAGCGCGAGGACTTTAGGAGCGCGGTTCGTGAAGACGCCATCATGCCGGATGATGAAGAGGACGAGATGGCCAAAGGAGGCGGATAGGTGATAGTTGTAGTCTCCGCTTGTGTCCGGTCTGAGGAGGGCGAGCGGGGAGATGAAGTAGTCGGGATGGTAGATCCACGCACTTGCGCAATCTGACCCTGTACCGCCAGTCCCCAGCTACTCGGTCGTCCGTCTGCACCACTGCCAGGAGCCGCGCCGGGCGGTAGAGGTAGCTCTAATCGCGACGCCGACCGTAGAGTGGGTAGAGGTGGCCTTTCCGCGGTCACGGTGCGCGAGCTAGACGCAACGGCGTTGAAAGAGTGTACAGAGGAGAAATCTTCCCGGTCGTAGACGTAGTCGGTGAGTGTGAAGCGATTGCTGTTGCGCGTGCCTTCCGCGTCGTCCTCCGAGTAGTCCCGATTGAGACGAGCGGGCTTGGATGGAGCCCACCCAGATCCGGAGGGTGATGATGGCATGATGAAGCGCCCGGTCAGACGAATGATGTCTCGTCTGGTGATGTGCTGTCCAGCAGCCGCTATTGGACTGTATGAAGCTTGGTTGGAGCCCGTTTCAGCTGGCAAATTGATTGAAGATGTTTCAGGATGATGAGGCGACAAGGTGATGGAAGAGCATGTGTGCTATTTGCGGGAACGAGAGTGGTCGTCAAGGAGCGTGGTGTCTAGCCAGCTAGATGGGGGCGCTGCAAGGGGTCAATCGAGTATAGGTGCCTTTGAGAGGTTGAGAAGCGAAAGACGGGCAAAAAGCAAAGGCACATCAGCCAAGGAAACCAGGCACGTCCGCGTGGAGCTCCACAGAGTCAGCTCTTCGCGAGTTCCGCTGCATATTTCGTATATCTACCTGTGGAGAGGCTGTACTCGTAGCTGTAGAAAGTCTGCTGACCCATCGCCTTGTATGGTCCCTCGCATGATATAAATTGACGATCCAGAGCATGCTGTGGACGCGATTCGCCACCCACTCCACGCAAACCTAATTAAGCCAAAAGCTAAAGTGGGGGGATGACGGGATCAAAACTGCCTCACCGCCGTTTTCGCCCGTTTCCCCGAGCGAGCCGGCAGCTTGGTGGTGGTGGCTGCGAGCAAGCTGTTGATACTGCATCATATACCCTATCCACCTATCGTGAGCTAGCTCCTGCCCAGCCCCTTGGAGCGACTACGACCCAGCCGCTGATTAATACAGCTGCCCCTTCCCGAAATCAGATCAAAGATGTTCGGACTCCGCGCCTGGCCCACACCCGTATGTCTACTCTCCGGTAGCTACCTTTGGAGGGATTGCTATTAGCCGTCGATCAAGGTTGGGGAGTACATCAGCTGACAGGATCAGATTGTCAAGCCCCTGTGGCCATTCATGATCGGATCCGCCCTTACTTTCGCTGGTGTTTGGAAGCTGCAGAACGTTGCTTTGCAATGTGAGTAGGGAATTGCAGTTGGGGTATGACGAGCACGTATCAGGCGGCGAGGCGGCGAAGGGGATTGTCGCCTTGTGGCTACATACTGGATGGCATGTCGGCCCGAGAAGAGAGGCGGAGGGGACGCGGCGGACATCGAACATTCCAAGGATTATGCTGACTGAACAGCGGAGGAGGCCAGGAACGACCCAAAGAACCCGTTCGGTAAGCTTGCTTCTTGGGTGCTTCCCTGCTGTAGAGTGTAGCTGACTAATAGCCAAAACTGCCAAGTCTGGTGGCCACTAGATGGAGATGCATTAGGTGGTTCAGAAGCGCAGCTGCAGTTCCGTTGGACGGATCAGGGGCCGCGAAACGAGCGCCTGGCTGACGTGCCGCTGATAATCAACTAATGCTTCTTAGCAGGCTTCCAGGAGTAGAATACGTCGAGTCTCCAAGCGCAACCGCCCGATCTCATCTGCATTGCGGCCGCCATCGGACATCACGCACGGGGCATGCCCTCCCGATTCGGGACAGGCCAGTACCTCCCACCTCTTTCGAAATCTGATTCGGGGGATCTCAAGCAGTTTCGATGACAACTACGGTGCGCACCTCCGGGACTGCTTTCGATGGGTGGACACATCAATGGTACGCTAGGCTCGAGCGATATGGCAATCGCAAAGCGCGAGAGCGGGCATGGCTCAACACCTTGACGAGGTCACAGTCAAGGGGAGCTATTTCGACACCGGGCACAGGCGATGGCGATTGTCTCGGGAGCGGCTACGTGTGAAGGAGGAGCCCAGCTACGACCCTTGCACCCTACGGATCCTTGACGAGGCGGTCACAAAGCGGGTGGTGTGTGCTGTCTTTCTGCGGCCCGTACTGGCCACTGTCGATGCGCGGAAATCGCAGACCTATCGTGAGGTTTCGGAAGTTCAATTGGTCCGCAGCTGCGTTTCTGATGGTAGGGGAGAAGATCCAGCGGATCGTGAGCTGACTTGAAGTCGAAGCTCGCAAGGCGTGACCCAACATACGTGGCTAACCGTCACTTCCGCGTGCTTCTTCAGCGTGGAGTCTTCTGCCCCATTAGTACCCAATTTCTCTCTCTAGTTCAGTCCACGAAGGCAACCCTTCATGCACATCCGCATAAGCCTTTCACTACCTCTGTAACGAGCAGTACTCAGGCGAGTCAGGGCCAGGGTCCACCGCGGAATGAGGAGCAGCGGCAATGTCCGGCCGGATATCCGATTCCTTTGAATGCCGTCATTTTCCCACGCTGGCAGTGTTTCTGCTTGTTGCCCAGCCTCTCGCTCACTGCTACCACCACCCCCTTCTCCGCTCTTCTCCTCCATACATCCACTCCACATACAGTCTGCCGCATCTGAGCCCGCCTGTCGCTCCACATCACCCTTATCGATCCTCGTTGACCGCCGGCGAGTAATCAGCAGGAGGCGCGTCTCTGTCGGGATCCACCGGACCGGCCGCCCTTCCCTCCTCGGCTAGTGAACCCCACCAACCAGCCCCGGCCATCCACCACCTCCCGCAAGCCCCTAGTGATCTCAGCCTCCCATCATCATGGCGGCGAAAGGCAGCGACCCGTACCGCCCGTTGAACGTCCGGGATGCGCTGAGCTATCTGGACCAGGTGAAGGTAAGCGCACCCGTCTGACTCTACCCGTGATTATAGAAGGACCCTGAGCTGATCCCTCCAGGTCCAATTCTCGATGCAGCCGGAGGTGTACAACAAATTCCTGGATGTTATGAAGGAGTTCAAGTCCCAGACGTGCGTATCCTCCCTCCCCCTCCGGTGACAGTCACTCCTTGCCGGCCTAGACCGAGCCATTCAACCACGCACGGACAAGCTGACAGCCACCAGCATCGACACTCCCGGCGTCATTGATCGCGTCTCTACCCTCTTCCGTGGCCACCCCACCCTCATCCAAGGCTTCAACACCTTCCTCCCTCCCGGCTATCGTATCGACTGCCCAGCCAACGGCGAAGCCGGCGTTATTACCGTGACCACGCCGACCGGGACGGTCAGCCACATGCCCGGTGGCTTCGCAGCAGCGTTACAGGAAGAACGGCGGAACCAGGCCAACCAAGCCAAGCGGGACGACAGCCCGGCTACCAAGCCTGCTGCTGCCGCACAGACCTCGGCCGCTCAGGCGGGCACTAGCAGCCAGCTTGCGAGCGGTCCCCCGCCATTCAGAAGCACGCCTGCAGTTGGCGCTACCGGTACTGCACGCCCTGCCAACGGAGCGACAAGCACGACCACACCAATCTCGGTCCCGCTCCCTCCTCATCCTGCCCAGCCGAAAGCTCCCTCCGGCCCGTCCACCCCTTCGGCCGCCACTCTCCTCGCTGCGGGCTTGAACCAGCCTGCTCCGGCCGGCGCTCCCCGACCGGCCATCCTCGAGTTCAATCACGCCATCACCTTCGTCAATAAGATCAAGGTCCGGTATAGTAACGATCCAGAGACGTACAAGCAGTTCCTCGAGGTCTTGCAGACCTACCAGCGAGACAACCGGGACATCAACGAGGTGAGCTCGATCGGGCGTAACCACCGAAATGTGGAGGAGCTGGAACGACAGGTCTACGCGCAGGTTTCCAAGCTGTTTGCGGGTGCTCCGGACCTCATCAGCGAGTTCAAGCAGTTCTTGCCTGAGATCAGCGGCGGTAATAACGACAATATCGGGTCGATGGTGCAGGCTGCTGCCAACGATCCGGCGACGGCGACGGTAGGGCAGAAGCGGTCTGCTACGAAGGACGCGGCGGCTCCGCCTGCTGGTAAGAAGAGAAGGGCGCCCGAGGCGAAGACCGGCAGCAAGGTGAGCTCTCTCCTTCATACGGGCGGAATCTTGCTGACTCACAGTCCAAGAAAGGCGCTAAGGCCGACTCGCCTTCTGCGGACGATGCGGACCTCCCGCCCCTCACACCCGGTGCGGCCGTCCCACAGACCCTCGCCTCGCCAGAGGAGATTGCCTTCTTTGACAAGGTCAAGAAGCACGTCGACGACAAGGTCTCGTACCACGAGTTTTTGAAGCTCATCAATCTCTTTACGCAGGACATGATTGACACGCGTACCCTCGTCGAACGCGCCGAGAGCTTTATCGGCGGTGCGGGCGACGTGTGGATCACGTTCAAAAAGATGGTGCAGGTGGATGAGGCGGGTAATCCGCCGCCGAACCCGCACAGCGCGCAGGGTGGGCACGGATTTGGGGGGATGGTGAACATCGATGGTCAGACGGTGGATATGGTGCCTATGCTGGAGAGGGTCAAGCCGGATTTGAATGGGCCGAGGGTCAAGACGTACGGTCCCAGCTATAGGAAGCTTCCGAAGACGGTCAGTCGCAGTCGACTTGCAGTATGGCCATTAGCTGACCAGATAGGAGATCAATATGACGTGCACCGGCCGAGACGCCATGTGCTGGGAAGTCCTCAACGACGAGTGGGTCTCTCACCCCACTTGGGCGGCTGAGGACTCGGCACCTTTCCTCGCCCACAAAAAGAACACCTTCGAGGACGCACTTCACAAATCGGAAGAGGAGCGCCACGAGTACGATTACCACATCGAGGCCAATCTCCGCACCATCGCCGTGCTCGAGCCGCTCAACAACAAGCTCCAGACCATGGACCCGGAGGAACGGCTCCGGTTCAACCTCCGATCCGGTATCGGGCTTCAGAGCAAGAGCATCTACCAGCGTATCCTGAAGAAGGTATACGGCAAGGAGCTCGGGCACGATATCGTCCGTGCGATCCACGAGAATCCGGCGGTGGCGCTTCCGATCGTCCTTGATCGGCTCAAGGCCAAGGACGAGGAGTGGAAGAAGGCGCAGCGCGAGTGGAATCGCGTATGGAGGGAGCAGGACGCCAAGAACTTTTACAAGGCGCTGGACCACCAGGGGGTGCAGTTTAAGCAGAACGACAAGAAGACGATCGCGTCCAAGTATCTGCTGAACGAGCTGGAGATGCGGCGGAGGGCGCAGACGGCGGTGCGTCAGGCCCAGCTCAACACTGCGGCATACCGCAGCCGACCCCAATTCGAGCTGGAGTTCAAGGATGTCGACGTTCTCAAGGACGTCATCAAACTCGTCATCTCGTATCTCGACCGGGTCAACAACCAACTCTCCACGGCCGACAAGGAAAAGATTGAGCGGCAGCTCCGGGACTTTGTCCCTTTGCTCTGGATGTTTGACAAGGACGAGTTTGATGCCGAGTTTGGAGCGGCGGAGCACAATGAGGATGATAGTGAGAGTAGCGAGGAGGATGGGGATGGGGATGTCAGTATGGCGGATGATGACGACATGTCGTCGGCGCAAGGAGCGGCGAAGCGGAAGAAGGCGGGCGCGGGGGATTTGCGCAAGAAGCTCTTGAAGCAGGTGGGGGAGAAGGGGAGGGAGAGGGGAACGACCCACACCCCTGGGCCGGATGATGAGCGGCGGTCTGTAGAGGGTACGCCGGCGATGGATGGGGCGGAGCGAGCTGAGACGCCTCTCCCGATCCCGGATGATCCCGAGGCGGTCGCGCAGGCCGTCGAGGCGGACAAGGCGGGCGCTGAGGCGAGCGAGCAGACATGGGTGGACGTCCGGGCGCAAGGAGACGTCGACGAGGTGGAGATGGAGGATGCGGATGCGGAGGGCGAGGTGGATCCCCGCAAAACGATGCGGACTGGCAATTTCTACGCCAATGCCAACTTTTACGTTCTTGTCCGGCTCATCGAGGTGAGTTGTCTGCCTTGCAACCGGGGATCAAGCTGACGTGTAGCTTCTCTATACCCGCCTGCTCACGTGCAAAAACATCGCGGCGGACCTCGCTCGCGTCCAAAAGAAACCCATCAACCCCATTGCCATCCGCCTTGGCTTCGCCGAGCCTGAAACTGCCAACGGCGGTGTCGAGGCGGGCGACAATCCCGCCCAGCACTACTATGCCCATCTCCTGAGTCTGGCCGAGAAGCTCTTTGAGAATGAGGTCGACGCGGCGACGTTTGAGGAGACGCTGAGGGTCATGTTTGGTACCAAGGCGTATATCATGTTTACGCTCGACCGGGTCGTCGCTGCTATAGTCAAGCAGGTCAGTTGTTTGAGCCCTCTGGGTTGTGTGATAGAGCTGACGGAAATAGACCCAGACTATCATTGGGGATATGAAGTCACAGGAGCTGTGGGCGATGCTCCAGCGGGACCGCGAGACGACCTTGCCCAGCAGCAGGAAACAGCTGGCTTATAGGCATTCGGCGGAGGATATCTGCGGTGGTGGTGCGGACGACGAGTTCTTCCGGATCCAAACGGTGAGCTGCGCGATCTGCTGGACGGGCGGAGTCGATGGGAGCTGACGCGGCAGATTCCTCACCGCGATCTATTGACCATCAAGGTGATGACCAAGTTTGACCCGACGAATGAGGATGAAGAGACTGAGGCGGCGCGATGGCGCGGATATGTCGATTCTTATGTCTTGGTGAGTGCAGCTACTTGTGTGCTATGTACGACGTAGAACTGACCGGGTGTAGACGCACGGTACCGAGGGCTTGCCTCAGCGGATCGATCAGCCTCTTTTGAAGCGGTATGTCTGCTGATTGTCCCTCTGTTCCGAGGCATAAGCTGACTGCCCAGAAATCTCTCCCAGGCGGATCAAGATCCTAGCGGGTTCCAGCGGAAAGATGGTCTCGCGTGCCGCATCGCACTGGGCACATATCGGATGTTCGCTGTCGAAGGTCAGTTAGGAGTTCTGCAAAGGGATGTGGACTATAGCTGATATTCCAGGCACGGAAGACTACTTCCACCATCAACGTCCAGCGGCGCCTGCGACTGAGACCCAGGCAGCATCAGTAGCGGCCAAGGAGAGGCTGGAGGCTTTCGTCAGGAGGCGGATGGAGGAGGATGAGCCTGCGCCAGCGGCTACTGAGGTGGCTCCGGCGCCAGCAGCGGCAGTAGCGGCAGCAGCAACGGCGGCCCCGGCAGCGGCTGTACCGGCGGTATGAGGCGCAGACGGGCAGGCGTGAGGGCGGTCAGTTGTCGCGGAGTTGAGCATGATGTTGTATCACAAGTATATCCTTTAGCGCGTATGGATAGATAGACTGGCCATATCCACCATACAAACAGTGATCTGTCCTGATCGGCATGGTAGACACTGTAAGGGGAAGCAGCTAGGGTCTCGAACAAAGGAAGAGGGACGACCAAGACGTCATCGGCGAGGCCGGCGAGATCCGAAGGAATGGTCAGCGAACCTCCCCTCGATCTGCTCTGACCTTTCGCACATGTCTTTACGCTCAGCAGTGTCAGCTACGCGACACCTCAACCGACAGCTCCTAGCACTTCGAGGCACGCGTACGATAGCCCGAACCATGAGCGGTAGTTCAAGCAAGCAGAAGCCTGAGATATTGGGTACGGAGGAGCTCAAGACGGAGGCTAAGTGGTTGAAACTTGAGCGGATCAATTGGAAGGATGAAGAGGGGAAGGAGGTGAGCTCTTTGCTTGACACGTCTCGGATGTCTCTACTGTACGAGGCAGATAGTGTAGCACGTAGCTGATGGTCTACAGCGGGCTTGGGAGTGTGCCAACCGCACGAAGCGGTCCAAAGCCGGTGTCGACTGTGAGCCGACCATTTCACCGCTTCCTCACGAGCGCTACCATTGACGCTTCTTGGGAGATGACCTCAGCTTACGCACTCAGCTGTCCATATCCTCGCACTCCTGCATCATCCGAGCAAGCCACTATCTACGATCCTCATCGAGCAATATCGTCCTCCAGCAGGCGGGACCTGCATCGAGTTCCCCGCTGGACTAGTGGATGAGGGGGAGGACGCCGCGTAAGCTTTGGCCGTGTCTATCGTGTGATAATTAGGCACAGCTGATCACCTCAGAGGCGCCGCTCTGCGGGAGCTCAGGGAGGAGACGGGCTACGGAGACGGGAAGGGCGGGGGAGGGGTGGAAGTTGCCGAAGTGTCAGATGTGCTCGTCAAGGATCCAGGGTGAGCAGATATCGACCTTAACGATGTCTCCTTGATTAGATCAGCGTCTGACGTCTACAGTATGACAGGCGCAAACATGAACCTCGTTACGGTCAACGTCAAGCTCGGGGAGAACGACGAGGACCCGCAACAACACCTGGACGAGGTGAGATCCATGAACCTCTCACTGTCCGGTCAGCGGACTTGCTATATTGGAGTCATAGCTGATGTGTAGGGTGAGCATATTATCAAGCGGGTCATACCTCTCTCGGACCTCCATAAGACCCTCAAAGGTGAGCCTTTTCAAGCTGGCTTTGTAAAATGGTCTGTCAGACCTCCAGCTAACCACACCCAGACTACGCTTCGAAGGGCTTTGCTATCGATGCGCTGGTCGCCTCAATGGCGGAAGGCTGGCGTCTGAGGGAGAAGTACGGGTCAGGCAACAAGTGAGATCGATGCAACATTCCATGAGGGTGCGCTCAGCTTCAGCTCGAGTCAATGGAGGACCGTACTCGTACACTGATGGTTAAACGCTTTGCCTGCCACATTACAGGCGCCACAGCCAGCCAACAGACGCATGTCGGCATCGCCCAGGAATGACTGCTTCGGGTAGTAGCGAGTGTGTGTCCTCTCGTGTGTCCTCTTCTCCCCTCCTTTCTGGCCCTAATGTGCTCCTTCCGCGAGTTGATGAGACGATGCGACGACGACGCACTTATAACACTGACCTGTTTGAAGGGGGGTCTCACTAATTACTCCCTTTCCCCCGCGCTAGGCCTTCTCAGATGATTGACCACGAACACACCGCGGCTTTAGCAGGCGAAAAGCCGCTCGGACCCTCCGAGTCTACCGAAGACAAGCCTACCCTCTCGCGCGCTCAGTCAGAGTATGATACACTCCCTCGTCTATCAGCACTCCAGCCTGTGCCTTTCATCGCGGGAGCCACGGTTGAGGATGAGCCGGGGGCCGCGCTGGAATCACAAACGGGTGAAACAGGGCTTCCGCCTGATTTGTCGAAGGCTAGGAAGGTCGTACTTGCTACCGCAATGATGATGACTTACTTTGTTGGGGTAGGTCCAGGTATCGAAAGCGACTAACGGATAGAATGCTTCGGTGGCATCAGTGACACTGCTGATTCCGAGTATGGCGCATGATCTCGGAGAGTCCGAGCTTCAGGTTCAATGAGTCTCCTCGGCATATACGCTAGCTTTCGCTTGGTACCTCCCTTTGACTCGGGTCTTGGCTGAGCTGATGATCCTTGGACTCCTCTTCTCCGGACGTGTCGCAGATACGGCGGGGAGAAAGAAGCTGTACCTGGTGAGACTGTCAATGTATGCTGTCTTCGCCATCATCACTGGAGCCGTAAAGGTACGTGTCCTCATATCGAGGTCTGTATTGGCGGTCCGGCTGACGTCCGGAACCGCATCTCTATGTGTGTCACTCGTGCCTTATCTGGCTTGGGACTCGCGATAGCCTCGCCCGCTGCCTTTGGGATCATTGGCGTCAATATCCGACAGGAGCCTGCCCGCACGATCGTCTTTGCTGCATTCGGTGGGTCGATTGGCCCTTGTATACGCGTGTACGACTGACGTCCAGGATTGGGCAACCCGATGGGAGCAGCCTTCGGGTGTATCATCGCAGGAGTCATGTCCAGCATCGGACAGTAAGTGGCCTGTTCTGCGCCCTAGCTGATAGTCTAGGGGTAGCTGGTCTTATCTGTTCTACCTTCTTGCCGGCGCGGCCATCGTCTTGCTCGTCATCGCCTACTTTGTCGTCCCTCCTGACCCTCCGTCGGTGTCTGGCAAGGACCTGCGGATCGACTGGATCGGTGGAGCACTCGTCACTGCGTCCGTATGCCTCTTCACCTTTAGTCTGACCGAGTCCGGAGTTGCGTCAGAAGGGTGGAAAGCACCTCGTAAGTGATATCTGCGTCTCACTATCACCTCGGACTGACAGTAGATAGATGTAATCGCTCTGCTGGTGCTCTCCTTCGGCTGTTTTCAGCGTCTGGTCCCTCCGGCTCGAACGCTACGGCTCTTTCCCGCCCATCATGAAAATGTCGCTCTTCACCCGCCGGCAGGGTCTCATCAGCTACACCTGCGCCTGCGGCTTCCTCCAGGCATTATCAGTCTATGGCTGGGTATACACCTCTACCATCTTCTACCAGAACTACAAGCAGCTTTCGCCACTGCAGAATTCAATCTATATCTTGCCTTGCATCATTGCCGGGGTATGCGCGGCAGTGAGTCTTCTGCCATACACAAGAGACCACTTGCTCATCGATTAGACGGCGGTCATGTTCCTCGCCCCAAGAGTAGGGGTATCTCATCTGCTCGGTATCGGAGCGGGTTTCACAGCGTGAGTCGGATTGCATGGGTCAAGCTGATAGCAGGAGTTGCACACTCCTTTATGCCGTTTGGCCTGAAGGGCTTACTTTTTGGGCAATGGAGTTCCCGGCGCAACTGATGCTGCCATGGGGCATCGACTTGCGAGTCCTCCTTCAAGCTGCATGAGCCAAGCTGACCAACAGCACTTTTGGTCTGGGCAATATCTTGATTTCCAACCTGGTCGAAGAGTAAGTTCCTCCCTCTGTAGACCGGCCAAACCACCTCTGATCATGATCAGAAACGAGCAATCTGTAGGCGGCGCCCTCTTTCAGACATCGGGCCAAGTCGGTGCGGCACTGGGGATCTGCCTCACAGCTCTCATTGCCACCGAGCTGGGCGAGCAAAAGGGAGCCTGTTGGAGGGTCTCAGAGCGGCGTTCTGGTTTGGCGCCGCAGGTGCCGGTATAGGTGAGTACTGCGTCCGTTTAGGTCTGTTCTAGTTACTGATGAGGTAGTTGTGGGGATTGCGTACTTCGATTTCTGGCGAGCCGGGCTAGCCAAGGACGTGGGGAAGATCCGGTAGAACTCCGCATATGGCCCAGCAAGTTTTTCGACGCTGCAGAGGTAGAGGCGGATCAGATAGGGATCGGGGACCTGGAGGTCGGAGGATTGACCGACAGGAAGTTCAAAGGTCAAGGCGCTCCACTGGGGAAAGTAGCTCTCGCCGCGCAAAGTCAAGTTGTGAATAGAAGTTCAGAATTGTATCTGGCTCGCTCTCGTGAATGTACCACTTACTGTGGCAGGACTGATCCCTAATGTCCTATCTCTGCCCGTCGTCCCGTGGTCCACCGCTTGCGCCACAAGTTGCACCATCGCCACTCTCACTGCTAATCCTGCTAAACCCCCTAATCAAACGGATAAACACCCCTGCCGGCATCGCTCCGAGCGGCAGAACTGTGCGGCATTCCACGGTCCACTCTGTAAATTTTGCCCTTATCAGCGCACACCTCTGACCATACGATCGGTAGATCTACTATACCGTCGACGCGTACGAACTCCTGTTTAGCCTGATCGCGCAGCGAGGAAGAGGAAACGATGTACTTATACCTTACCTGACTGCAGGGGCTTCAGGCCCACCCCCATCCCGCTTCAAGTTCTCCAAGATGTCCAAGATCATCGACCACGACTCGCCCGCGGCCTTGGAAGGCGAAAAACTCCCCCTCGAGTCGGAGTCAGCCAAATACAAGCCGGCCCACTCGCGCGCTCATTCAGAGTATGATACACTCCCCATACTGGAGGCTGGGCCGGTCATTGCTGGACTGACGGCCGAGCATGGGGCTGAAGCGGTACTGGAGTCGCAAGCTGGTGAAACGGGGTTTCCGCCAAGGATGTCAACGGGGAGGATGGTCGTTCTCGCCGCGGGGATGATGATGACTTACTTTGTCGGGGTAGGTCGTTGTCTGAGAAGCCGACTGACATGACAGACTGCTTCGACGGCGTCGGTGACGCTGCTGATCCCGAGTATGGCGCATGACCTCGGAGAGTCGGAGTTGCAAGTGCAATGGGTCTCTTCCGCCTACACTTTGGCTTTCGCATGGTATGTTAGCGAGAATGGGCTGAGCTTACGACTAGCGGCCTGCTCTTTTCGGGACGACTAGCAGATACAGCGGGAAGGAAGAAGCTGTACATGATTGGACTGTCGATGTATGCCGTCTTCGCAATAATTACTGGGGCCGTGAAGGTACGTTGCCTTTACGCATCGACGTTAGCATTGAAGCTCGGGGCTGACCCGCAGAACCGTCTATCTATGTGTGTGACTCGCGCGCTGTCCGGCTTGGGACTCTCAATAGCCTCGCCCGCTGGGTTCGGGATCATCGGCGTCAACATCCGCCACGAGCCTGCTCGCACCATTGTCTTTGCCGCGTTCGGTCAGTCACCTCACCACCATCTCCGCCCACAACTGACATTTAGGCTTAGGCAACCCCGTCGGGGCAGCATTCGGCAACCTCATCGGAGGGGTCATGGCCAGCATCGGACAGTAAGCCCTCTTACTCGCCGGATCTGTTCCCAGCTGATGTATCAGGGGTGGCTGGTCCTACCTCTTCTTCCTTCTGGCAGGCTTGGCCATCGTCTTGCTCGTCATCGCTTACTTTGTCGTCCCTCCAGACCTGCCTTCAGTCGCCGCAAAGGATAGACGTATCGACTGGATCGGCGGGGTCCTCATCACCGCCGCTATCTGCATCTTCACCTTTAGTCTCACCGAGTCTGGGATCGCCCCCAAAGGGTGGCAAGCACCTCGTGAGCCATGCCACTCACTGCTGCGATGCGAAACTGACAACTGGAAGACGTTCCCGCTCTACTTGTCCTCTCTCTCGTCCTCGTCGGCATCTTCAGCATCTGGTCACTCCGGCTCGAGCGTCACACCTCCTACCCACCCATCATCAAGATGTCACTCTTCACCCGTCGGCATGGCCTCATTAGCTATACCTGTGCATGCTGCTTCTTCCAGTCTCTGTCGGTCTACGGGTGGGTGTATACCACGACCATCTTTTACCAGAACTACAAGGGACTTTCGCCGCTTCAGAATTCGATTCATACCTTGCCCACTACCATCGTCGGGACAGGCGCAGCTGTAAGTCTTTTCAGATGTCATATAAAGGCAATAGGACTGATGAATCAGACGGCAGTCATGTTCCTCGCACCAAGAGTCCGCACACCACACCTCCTTGGGATCGGCGCGGGCCTCACTGCGTATGTTCATACAGCTTGACTTGGCTGATAGCAGGTGTTGCTCACTCCTATACGCTCTGTGGCCAGAAGGACTCACATTCTGGGCAATGGAGTTCCCGGCCCAGCTGATGATTCCCTGGGGCATTGATTTGTGACTCTTCCCCACTTCCAAGCCGTTTGAATCACGCTGACCGATAGCGCATTCGGTCTGGGCAACATCTTGATCTCGAACCTGGTCGACCAGTAAGTACCTCTTCATACCTGCCAGACCAGCCTCTAATGAACAGAGACGAACAATCAGTCGGCGGCGCTCTCTTCCAAACCTCAGGCCAAGTCGGCGCAGCGCTCGGGATTTGCCTCACATCCCTCATCGCGACTCAGATCGGCGAGCAAAAGGGGAGCGTGCTGGCGGGTGTCAGGGCGGCGTTCTGGTTCGGCTCTGGGGCTGCCGGTATAGGTGAGTACTGCCTCTCCTCTAGACTGGGCTGTGGCTGATCAGTCAGTGGTGGGGATCGCGTATTTCGGGTTCAGACGAGTCGGGCTTGCGAAGGATGTAGGCAAGATTCAGTAGGATCGAGATACGGACGTTCGGAAACGCTTTGATGCTTCGATGAAATCATAATGCCCACCACTCGAGCACTGATGCACCGATGACGCGAGCAGTTGAATCATCTTCTAATTCGCAAGAATGTGACGGATTAGGGCAAGCCATGCCGACAAAAGGACGCTTCTCCTGCCTGTCAGCTCAGAGCCATTCCAGCTGCAGCTGAAGCAGCACTCACTACGATCTATACAGCCCTCGCTGGCTCCTCTCCGACTAGAGCCCCGCCGTCCACCCCATCCGCCTTGCCCTTCCTATACGCCTTGACCAGATACCCCGACCGTTCATTCCTCAACTTCTCCACCGCCGCCCGTCCCTTCTCGCTCCGCTCTGCGATATAATCGAGCTTGAGCGAGTCGAGTCGCTCCTCCGACATATAGTTCTTGAGACAAGTGTTCATGTTCTTGATTTGAGTGCGGCACATGAAGGGCATGGAGACGGTGCGTCCGGCAGAGCACATTGCGAAGTCTGGGGGATCAGCTTATTCTATGCTGCATACGGATAAATTGAAAGGTGAGCAAGGGGCAGTACTGACCTTTGACTACATCGTCACATGCCTTATGAGCCAGATCGCGAGCTATGGCGATGACCTCGGTCTCTTCCCTTCTCGAGAGCGCCTGCATCGTATCTCAGCGCGAGGAATGGGAGATTGACGGATGACCCTCGGACGGAGGATAGTGATGTGCTGCGAAACGGTAGGTCGATGGTTGAGGCTGGGCACTACCGCTGCTCTTCGGCCCTGACAGGGCTCATGTATATGCTCTTGGGGATGCAAGTATGGTCTAAAGGCAAGCGTAAGATGGACCGGTGTCGGTCTGGCTGTCTCTGGTGGAGGATTTTCGATTGGCGAAATAAGCGAAGCCCACCAAGACCTCGATCTGCTCGCTCAGAGTTCTACTCACTCTCTGTTACCTATACAGGTCGAGATCTTTCAGACACAGCTACAAACGTACATCACATAGATTGCAGACCTTCCATCTCATAGATTGCAGACCACGAAGCCAAAGAGAGAAAGACATCTTCGGAGTACCCATCAGCATGTTCGGCTTCGGTTCCTCCTCCGCCTCCTCATCCACCCCTCCCCCCGCCTCCGAACCCACCGTCGCCCCTACCCGCGAACAGCGGAAACACTGCTGGGAGTCCCGCGACGCCTATTTTGCGTGTCTGGATAAGGGCAATGTCATGGTAGCCGGAGGAACAGAACCAGGGGAGGCGGGATGTAAGGCGGAACGGAAAGGGTACGAGGTGCACTGCGGGAAGAGCTGGGTGAGTTGCGATGGTCATCATGCGGATGTCGGGCGGACATTATACACTATGGGAAGACTAGGCCGATACGACGTATCAGAGCCGGGGAGGGGCTATGAATGAGGGCATGGCGTGCACAGTCCTCTGTGGGAAGAACAGGCCAATGGGGCTTCATCCGTACAGAAGGAGCTATGCTGATCGTATAGATCGACTACTTCAACAAACGGAGAACACTCGAGCTGCGGCAAAAGGCGACGGTGGAAGCAGCAGCAAGGCAGCGAGACTCAAATCCAGCCAATAAGGGATTATGAGAGCAGAAGTCAGGCTGGGGAGACGCGTACGGGCGAGGCAGCATCTGGTATCTGGTGACGAGGCGGACATACATGGGTCAATGCATATTCACACCCCATCCTTATGACTTCTGCTTCATTGTCCGACCTGTTTGTTTGTCGCTCGCCCCCATCGCTCTACTTGAACAGTTCTTCCAGGACCTGGTATCGTCAGCTCGGGGACACAATTGTCAGAGACTTCAGCCCGGAGCAGACCAGTCCGCTGACAACGGAGTCGCACTCACTGTGTTCTCATTTATATTCGAAATGTTGTTCCCGCGATAGTTCATGCGCTTTAAGACGCTGATCTACAATGTTAGCTAACCCTACCGGGGATGATAGGTGCCCGTATGACGTACCACCTTTGGCCGCTCAAAGCCCATATCCACAAACTGCGAAACGCTCGCCTCACTCAGCCCCGCCATCTCCGCATCCGTCACCTTCTTTGTGCCACCTCCGCCAGTCACCCCGCCCTGCTGCTTATGCACCGGTGCCTGTGCGTACGCCTGCGCCCAGTGCTTGGCTGTACTTATGAATCCAGCGCGGTCGGAATTGTAGTGCTTGGCGACTTCGGCATCTTGTGGATCTTCGGGCACGGGTTCGTTGAGGAGGGATTGGAGTGAGATGAGGGTGGATTTGAGAGTGAGGACCTGCTTGTCAGCTTGAGTCTGGTTCGATGGACCTCTGAATGGCCTACGGGTGACCAGGCATCTTTCAGAATATCTGCAATATCAGCTGCGTGAACTAGCCGCTGTGATCGGCACTCATCGGCGTACCTAAGCAGATCGCTCCTGATGCTGATGAGACATTTGGGTCTGCCAGGATGTCAGCACAGTCTCCATGACGTCCCGAAAATCCCTCGGCCAGGATACGCACGATAGACTTTTCTAGACTCATCAGCGTTGATCCAATGCTTCAGTCATAAGAGACGGACTCACGTGATGAACTTCATCTTGACGGGCTGAAATGGGTACGTCTCGGGTATATTGATATCCTAGCGCTTCGTCAGCGATCGCCCAGTAGAAAGCTGGTGAACGTACGACTTCGTAGTACCCGCCTTCGTACGGTGTATCTGGCTATATCATCGTGAGCTTCGCTCCAGGAAGCTGTCGGTGCGTGGAGATAGCTTACCGGTCCAGGGAAGGCACCAACAAGGTGGAAGGGGTTCTCATCGATCACTAACACAAATCAGCCAGTGAACGCTCATGACGCCGATTGAGGTGAAAGAGCGCTTACTCTCGATGGATATTTGACTCGTCTTATCTTTCGCACAGTCTGATTGATCAGCTACTGTCCTTTGAGGACTGATATCCGTCACAAGCCGTCCTCGACAGGGGCGTGTGACCAACCTCGGATCTCCTTCTGTACCCGCCGTAATCTTGCGTCCGACATGCTGACGAGATTGGAATTTTCGGGTGATCTGTTGCGGCTGGTATGTCCTCACGGTATATGAGCTCGAAAAGTGCTCGTCAAGGGTGTAGTATGGATGGTAGATTGGTTGACAGTCGTGGAAGTGATCGAGCGACTCGGGCGCGCGGAATGCGGAGTGGGCAATGGCATTACGTCAGCGATCAATGGGTGGAGGTTTCTGCGGTCAAGAGCTTCAGTGGAAATCTCGCTATGATACATCATCAACATGGACGAGGAGGATCAGTATAACGCAGAGGCAAGCGGAAGCCAGACGGCAGAGACTCCGGCGGTCGCGACTGCCTCATCGCTCGAGGCGGGCGAGCCGAGATTGAGCAAGAATCAGCAGAAAAAGGCAGCTCGCCAGGTGGGTTCTTCGATGAGACTGGATTGCGGCCATAGCTATCACGATCAGCTTCATGCGCTGATTGCTGACATGCTATTAAGCGTATGATTGTGACTCTTGGCTGACGGCTAGGCTCGTATGGCGGAGCTCAAGCCTCTCAAACGACAAGCCGAAAAGGTCCGACGCCAACAGCGACATCATGAGCTTTCAACAGGCTATGCTGAGGGGACACTATCAGCAGCGGACAAGGAGATCTTTGAGCAGCGAAGAGCAAGAGAGAGGGAGAAGCGGACTGCCAAGAGGCAGGAGAAGCTTGCTGAGGCGGAGGGTGTGGAGAGGAACCAGACGGTCTGGGGCGGGGCGGTCATCATGGATCTGGGGTTTGATGAGCTCATGACGGAGAATGTGAGCTTCTGTATGACGCTCAATATGGTCGACAGTAGCTGACAGAGCAGGAAATATCATCGATGGACTCGCAATTATCCTTCGCTTATTCTGCGAACCGCCTGTCCTCATTACCATTCTCCGCCATCATCCATTCTTCGTCCTCGGTGTCGATATCACCTCGCCTGTACGGCCGACTCGTCAAGCGCGACATTGCACGTTGGAACCGGTGTCACTGGAACCCTGATGATGTCGAAGCGATAGCGAAGCAGATGAAGAACGAAGAAGGCGAACTACCGAGCGGGCTTAAGAGGGGCCAGGAGCTGGTGTACCTCTCGGCGGACTCGGAGGAGGAGTTGACGACGCTCAAGGAGAATGAAGTGTATATCATCGGGGGACTGGTTGATCGCAATAGGCACAAGGTGAGCTCGCTATGCAACGAAATAGTATGCCAGGAGCTTCAGCTGACTTGGTAGATGTTGTGCCAGAACAGAGCCGAGAAGCTCGGGATAAGGACAGCTCGTCTGCCAATAGGAACATATATCGGCAATATGCCCACCCGAAAGGTCTTGACGGTCAATCAGGTCAGCTTTTGTGCGCATAACCACATGCGACCCAGCTGACAGTGCGCAGGTCTTTGCCATTCTGGTCGAGTACAACATTCGGCAAGACTGGAAAGCCGCATTCGAGGCGGTCATACCACCTCGAAAGTTCGATGATAAGAAGCGGAAGCGGACAGGCGGAAATTGGCGTTACGCCGAAGCAGACGGGGCCGCCAAAGACGGGCAAGACGAAGGGGAAGATTCCAGTGATAATGGCGAATTGGGAGGATCCTTGCCCGCATCGAAGGCTCCTGAGCCTGTTCAACCGGCGGGGGATATCCTTATGGGGTCAGATGAGGAAGCAGCTTTCAATGCATTATGACGCATGCATCACTCAAACGGGTGCCTTTTGCACCGCTTGAACCTCACAAAGGACAAGCTGCAGTGCGACGCGCAGCAACTCCACATTCCTCGCCTGCCTTTTATCTATACCTCGGTCTCGATATCGTATTCAGCAGCTAGCATCAGCAGCTCAAGCCGGCGTACAGTAGCAGCAAGATGGCCGCCGGAATGTTCGCAGCCGCGACTAGCCTCACCACCCAGATCTTCTCCAAGCCCACCTCGCTGTCGGCCTACACGCTTCACTCGGCGAACGGACCCTCCACATCCTCTTCGCCCGCTTTCGGCGCGTCATCCTCTTCGACCGCCAGCAAAGCCTCGCAGGGCTTCGCAGTAGGGCTGTGGCGCGTAGTGGGTGCAACTCACAAGACGACGGGCAAGGACGTGTCGGTATGGATGTTCGAAAAGCGGGTGCTGGACGGCGTAAAGGGAGGGTCTGGGCGGAATGCCGCGGAGGCCAAAGAATGGGTCGTAGAACGCATGAAGAAGGAGGTGAGCTGGTTGACTCACGAGAGCGTGCTGAAGGAACCCAAGAGCTGACAGACAGGCGACCAGCTTATCCCGCCTACGCCATCCCGATCTCTTGCACATGGTCGAACCCCTCGAAGAATCACGTACCGACCTCACCTTTGTCACTGAGCTCGTCACCTCTTCCCTCCAGACACTTTTGAACGAGGCGTCTGGCGCAAATAACTCCCGGAGCAGGCACAGACCACCGGAGGAGAACGGGAACGGGACGCGGCGAAACGAGGTGGATCTGGACGAGGTGGAGGTGCAGAAGGGCGTGCTGCAGGTGTCGCGGGCGCTGGCATTCTTGCATGGTCCGGGAAAGAGCGTTCATCTGAACTTGAGTCCGGAGGCGGTGCTCATCAATGCCAAAGTGAGCTCATTCGGCCCAATGATTGTAAAGATATCAGGGATTTGCAAGCTGATACCAACAGGGTGACTGGAAGCTGTCCGGATTGAGTCTCTTGACGCCACTACAGCAGCCTGATGGCTCGGCGACGCGGTACACTTTCCCGGAGGTCGACCCGAGGGTACCACCAGAGGTGCAATGGAAGTATGACTATCTCGGTGAGCTAGTTCTTGCATGTAAGACAGAACGTGAGCTCACTAAGCAGCACCCGAGTACGCCCTCGACTCGCAGCTGAGCACGGCAAACGATCTCTACTCTCTTGGATGTGTCCTCTATGCGGTACATATGGGCGGGAGACCGCCGTTCCCGAACGGGGCCAGCTTGCAGAGTCTGCGGGACCACGCGGAGGGGTCTTTAATACGCAAGGACTGGATGCGGGGGAGCAAGTGGGAAAGGTGTAGCGGGGAAGTCAAAGGTCAGCTTACTTGTTGAGAGTAGTCGACCGAAGCCCCACCGGCTGACCCTGCAGATCTTTTACCCCGCTTATTGACTCGACATGCCTCGTCTCGTCTCTCCCTCGCCTCGCTACCTTCACATCCCTTCTTCTCCTCGCTCGCGATATCCACCCTCAACTTCCTCGATCCGACCACCTTCGCTTCTAAACCACGAGAAGAAAAGGCAACGTTTCTCCGCGGTCTGGTCAGGGTCTTACCTACCTTTAGCGATCGGCTCAGACGAGGCAAGGTGCTGCCGAGTCTACTGGAGGAGGTACGCACCCGCCATGTTTGCAAGCAGGAAGGAACGCTGACGGTCAGATGAAAGATAGCTACCTCCTGCCGTTCCTACTGCCGAACGTCTTTGAGATCTCTAGGTCTCTCACGAAGGAGGAGTTTACGCTTGTACTACCGAAGCTGCAACCGCTGTTTGCGCTCAAGGACCCACCTCAGAACATGCTCAGTCAGTTACCGTGAGCATTGCCTCGACACGCGGAGCTGAGCTGACCTTCCAGCCTTGCTCGAGAACCTGACTCTATTTGAGGAAAAGACCCTACCCCCAATTTTCCGCGAAAGTGAGTGTGTCTGAAATCATCGATCACAAAGCCAAGCTCATCCAGCAGACGTCATGCCGCTCGTATACAATTCGCTCGAATGCGAGCATCTGCCAGTACAAGAGAAGGTGCTTCAACTGGTTCCGCATCTTTGCGAGATACTTGACTACGGCACGGTGCACAATGTCTTGCTCGTCAAAGTCGCCGTACGTCTGATCTCCCTGCTTACCCTCTCAAGCTGACTTGCAGATCCTCTTCACTCGCACCCGCATCCTATCAATCAAAGTACTCACCCTCCAGACCTTCCAAAAGATGGTCTCGACCCTCGACAAAGCCACCCTGACAACCAAGCTCGTCCCCCTCCTAGCCAAAATAAAGACACGCGAACCGGCAGTCATGATGGCCACCCTTGGCGTACACGAGGCAATGGGCGCCAAAGTCGACCGAGAGGCAATAGCCACGCTCGTCCTCCCTCAACTATGGGCCATGTCGATGGGTCCCCTCCTCAACCAGCAGCAATTTGGGCACTTTATGAAGGTGATCAAGGACCTCGGGGGCCGGGTCGAGAGGGAGCATGGGGAGCATCTGAGGGATGTGAGGAGGCTGGAAAGTACCAGTCAGGCTGGGGCGGCGGATATGAACGGGCTAGGGGAGGGGTGGGAGGGGTCAGCGAACGGCGCAGGGGGGAGTGGTGGGGAGATGGACTTTGAGACGCTAGTCAAAGGAGGATCTGGGGCGATGGCCAAGCCAATGTCTACTGGAAATGGGGATATGTGGGATGAGTGGGGAAGTGGGGGAGAAGACAACTTGGTGAGCGGCAATGACCCGCCTGCGCTTTCCTTTGCTCACTGTCCAGTCACAAGCGTTCAACTCTACCATGACGGCTTCCTCCTCCGCCTCTTCATTCCCTACACTATCCACCCCCGTCTCCCCTCAACCTCCCGCCCAGCTACTTCGTCCAGCTGCGCCTCAGGCGCCGACCGCAAACCGTCTCAAAGCTCGGCCAGTACCGTCCTCCAATTTCAACTCGGCCGCATTCGCGTCTTCATCGCAGCCAATGACACCAGACGCACCTCGAAACCAATCTTCCTCGTCCTCGTTTGCGCCACTACAGCCTAGCTCTTCTCGCGGCGCGCCTTCCGCTGGGCCAAACTATAGCGTCTCGCTATCGCCTCAACCACCAGCTATGAGCTCTTACGCTCCCACGGCTGCCCCGGCCCCACAGCCTTCCTTCGCTCAGCCCATGCGACCACAACAGGCATCCTCTAATAGCGTCATGCAGCCGCAATCTGCCGCCGCGCCAAGACCACCTCCAGGCTGGACACCGGGTCTGATGCAGCCGACAAAAGCTCCTACTGCAGCATGGAACGGCAAGGCGGCACTACAAGGGAGCTGGGACGATTTTGATCCCCTCAAGTAAACAATGCAGATGAGGAGAACGTAGAGCCGTAGCATTCGGAAGAGCGGACCTGGATGCATCCACAGGCCAAGGCCGACCTGATCTAATCTAACGAAATGTCCCCTGCCCAAGTCTAACCTATAGCTATTTGACTACTATCTATAGGCCATTGGCGACCATGCAGAGACGGACATATCGGTTGATTCCGCGGGAGAGCATGTCCCACTTCTCGTCGTTGTCCTCCCGGCGGAGCAAGCTGAGGTCGTCGCCGAGGTGGTCTTGCATCTCCTCGGGGCATGCCTGAATAGTCAGCTCGGTTCTACTGACAGAGAGCAAGAGATAACTCACAATGGTGTTGACAGGCTTGAAGTCCATCTGATCCTGCGCGATACACACGTCGACGTCGGATCCGACCCGGCCGCCCCAGTTGGTCAAGCACGGCATGGTATAGACGGGCATCTTGGTGACGGGCGAGGTGACGCATTGGTACGAGACCGGGAGCTGCGAGTCGGGCTTCTGGACCGCCGGCTCGACGTGGAGAGGGTCGGACTTGACCTATGGGGTCAGTGATTGATGCAAGAGAGATGGGAGACGGAATGGGTACGTACGAGATTGTCAGCGTCGTCGGCCTTGCTGTTCACCGGCGCGATGGCAGTGTTGATGCAGTCCTTGCAGGCGTTGACGTTCTCCTTGGCGAGATCATCAGTCACCTGCAAGTCAGCGGTGACCAAAAGGAAAGATAGTAGGACTGACCTGGTCGGCTGCCCCATCAGGTCCGTTGTTGAGCGAGTCGGTGGTCTCGTTGACATCGTCCGAGGTGTCTGAGGCTGTGGGCTTAACCTGTCTCATCAGCTCAGATCATATCAACAGTCACTGATGACTCACCTTCCCAAGCAGCTTCTTGCCGGAACCGCCAAAGAAGCCATCCGTGTCCATGGGCTGGCCGAGACCGTTGACGATAGGCATGCCCTTGATGGAGTCGGTGTTGATGGGCTGACCCTGCTGACCGACGGTGTTGACTATAGGCAAGCCCTTGGCGCCCGAGACGATGTTGGCGATGCCGGCGCCGTTGGTGAGCGGGCTGACGATCCCCGAGGCGGGCGCGCCGGTGTTCTGGAGGGGGCGATCGGCAAGAGGGGTACCTCCGAGGACGCCAGGGGCGACCAGTGCCTGGAGGAGGTTACCGCCCGAGAGGCCAGAAGCGGCGGGACGGACCGAGTCGGTGAGACCGCCAGCGGGGCGCGAGCCAAGAGCGCCAGTGACGGAGTTGGCGGAGAGGGGGAAGGTGGACTGCTGCTGGGGCTCGGCCTGGTTGTTGGGCTTGACGTGGACGTTCATGTCGATATCGGGCATACCAGACATGGAGGTGGGAAGGCCGCCGAGGAGAGAGGCGCCCTTCAAGCCGTCGAAAGCCTGGTTGTCGCCAGCCAGGGCCTTGTCGACCGACTGACCGGCTGGCCTGTCCGTCGCGTTCTTGACCACGGGACCCGAGCCGGGAATGATCCCCTCGGCGGCGTCGTGGGTGGGACCGTCCGTGGCGTCCACGACCTTGGGACCGGTACCGGGGACGAGGCCATCCGCAGCCGAAGAGACGGGACCGTGAGCGGCATCCTTGACGGCGGGACCGCTGCCCGGCACGACACCCTCGGCCGCGTTGGAGAGGGGACCGTTGGTGGCATCGACGACCTTGGGACCGGAGCCGGCAACGACGCCGTCAGCAACCTTGTCGGCGGGCTTGGTGTTGACGCCGTCGAGGTGGTCGTCGGCCTTGCCGCCGCCGTGTTGAGCCGCCTCGTCGATGGTCTGGCCGAGAGGACGGTCTCCAGCGTTGTCGAGGTGGTCGTTAGTGTCGTGACCAGTGTGCTCGGCGACCGCGTCGTTGACAGCGTTGCCAGCGAGGATGGGGTCGAGACCGCTACCGTTGTTGTCATTGGAAGGGGAGTTGTCGGTGCTCTGAGCCGAGCTGGAAGGGTCGACGACGTTGTTGACCTTGTCCGCCGTCTTGTCCCCGGGAAGCGCGCCATCGACCGGCTCCTTCAACCCCAACCCGCTCTCTCCGTCCTTCGCCTTGTCCTCGACCTTGTCCCCAGCAGCGCCCTCCACCTTGTCCTGCACGTTGTCGAGCGGCATGTCCGAGCTGAGGGTGGAGATGGTGTCATCGGTAGACTCGTCCGAGGTGACATTGTCCACCTTGTCGTTGGTCTTGTCGCCGGGCAGGACGTTGTCTACCGGCTCCTCCGCTCCGAGCGCCTTCTCCCCCTCCCTCGCACCCCCATCGACATCCTCCGCCTTTGCCACCTCGTCGAGACCCGCCGAGGACAGAAGGTCCATGCCGTTATTGTCCGCCGCGTCGTCCGCCGGCTGGTCCTCGACGTTGTTGGTGGTGATGGGGCGGCCAGGGCGAGAGAGACGGAACGCGTTGTTGCCGCCACCGTTGAAGGCGTCTCCCTCGTCGACGGGGTCGAGGGCGTCGCCAGAGGTGATGGGCTCGGCATCCTCGGTAGCCTCGTCCGCGGCGGCGCCGTGAGGCACCTGGACAGTGACATCCTTGTCATCCTCCTGCATGACCGAGGAGGGGTCTTCAGCCGAGTCCGAGCCGAGGAGCTTATCGGCAGCGTCACCGAGGGGCGAGTCCTCCGCCTGGTTGTTCATGCCGCCGAGGAGGGTGTTGCCGCCGTCGCCGGCCTTCTGGAGATTGTCGCCAGCGTTGTTGGGGTCGAGCACCTCGCACGGGCAGTCCGGGCCGTCACGACGAGAGATGGGCACAGCACCGGAGCCGGCAGCGAGGAGGGTAAGGATGGCGAAAGCGGTAGAGGTCTTCATTGTGAATGAGTGGATGAAGTAGTAAGTCGAGGAGGATAGGTGGGTTGATTGGGGAAGTGATGAATGACCGAGTGGAAGAGCCGATGGGTGTCGATGCGGAGGAAGAGTGAGCGAGAGTGATGATGGAGGTTGATGTGGGGTGCGAGCGAGCGGGAGGTGGTCGATGGGAGGTTGTCGGTAGTCGTTAGTCGTTAGGGGTCGTTAAGTCGTTAAGGGGTCGTTAAGGGGAGTCGGTCCGCGCGCTCTCTTGCTGTAGATGCTATCGATTAGGTTGATGGATGAAAGAGAAAGAGATCGCCATAGGCCCGGCGCATATGTACTCGCACCCGATGCCGGCTCGCCGATGTACCGTGTTTTGCTTGTCTTGGTCTGACATCGAGGTGTGAATGGTCAACCGGGCTGATAACAATGTATGAGTGATGATTGACCGAGGGCGCAGGAGAAACAACGAGTGGAACAGAGGTGATATTGAGTGGCTGAAGGGCGGATGAGACATGTAATGGAATCCCAATGAGACTTCCCGGGAGATGTTTCAGTTGACAGATCTGTTCGTCAGGTATGCTTACTGCCGGCAGGAATAGTCCTGCATGTGCTGACAAACACTCACAATGACAACGGGTGCTCTATGTCCGAGTCCGCTACGGGACATGCTACGCTGACTCCTCAAAAACCACTTCCTCTACGACTTGCACCAAGCCCTGCTTCCGCTGTTCCTCTTCAGCCTGTCCCGGCTCCAGCTCGACCCCTTGCAGCATATCGTTGGCGACCAGAAATCGTATAGTCTGGGTCAACTGGGACAAGGTGTTCTGAATGGGATTGGCGAGTAGCTACAGAGTCAGCTTGATCTTACACCGTTACGCATCCTCAGGTCAGGCAAGATGGGCAACCTACTTGACCGAGTAGACTAGGACGAGCGAAATGGTTCTGCTTTGGCTGGGGAGGTTGACGGACCTGCTTCCGAGCCGGATTGGTATGAGCAGGTGCCGGTCGATGATCAGCCTGTCGTGTCAGCCCAGATCCGCCGATGATTATCCCGGTCCACGTACCGGATGAGCCGACAGACATCTATCCCCCTGTCTGCACCTCCCGTTCTTCTCCCAATGTGGGCAAATCGCCGACGGTAGCTCATCCACTACGTCTACAGCCGCCGAGGCCTGAACTACCGGCTCTGACGCCTTGTGTGAAGATGAATGCTCCTCCTTTGAAACAGCCTGAGCAACATCGTCGGTGGATATACTGCTAAGCGAGTCATCCGAGTCCGAATCGCTCGAGTCATCCGAACTCGAAGAGCTAGAGGAAGAGCTGGATGATTCGTAGCCTTCGATAGCAGCGAGACCGGAGGTAGACGCGCTCGTGGGCGGAAATGGCGGAGCCGGGTGACGAGGCATCGCTTCGGTCGGCCGGGGCGGGTTCCGCTGATAGCCAGAGTCTTGAGGACGGCCCGTATCGCCAACCCCTCGTCCCCTTCCCCTCCCTCGTCCTCCCCAATCGCTAGCCTGAGCTTCTCTGTCGCTTTCTCCACCACCGCCAGCTCCACCTCGTCCGCCTCTTGCCCCGCCGCGCCCTGAACCACCGCCCTCCCTATCTCCCCTGCCTCTTCCCCGTTCAGATCCCCGACCTCGCCCTCGCCCTTTGCCCCTTCCCCCTCGGTCTGAGCCTTCAGGCGCCTCAACTCTTCCCCAGTCTTCCGCCCTCGATGCCGCATCGATGGGCCGTCTGTCCCGCTTGCTCTTGGCGTCCGGATTCTCTCCTCGGGCTATCGCTACTTCCCGCTCGATTCTCTGGCTCTTAGCTCGGGTCCTACTACGCTGATGGATTGGGCTCACCTTCTCTGCTACTCGCTTTGCTCCAGGCCAATTCGCTTTCCGTTCAGCTACCCACTTGGCTATTTCCTCTTCGGTGTGCAGCGTAATGCTCGTTCCGAAAACGGGTGGTGGCGGCCTGTGTGATCAGCGCATTCCAAGTGCAGGGAAGTGCTAGCTCACCCCTTGTGCTGCGCATACGCCTGTTCCTCCTCGCTGAGCTCCACTTTAGGCCCATTTCGAAAGATAAGATGCCTATCCCCTTCATGCTGTTCCACCTTGTCCCCCGACCCCACGAATTTGCACCCCTTCACCGAGCAGTTCCGCCACGCCATCGGATCTCCTACCGCCAGAAGCCCAGCATCCACCTTCTGACGCTTGGCTGGCGGCTCGACGTGTGTCGTCGCGGGCATGTGAGGGTAGTGCGGGATTTGGTGCTGAGGCTGATAGAAGAGGGGTTGGCCGACAGACTGGTATGGGTTCGGCATCATTGGGTAGGCTGGATAAGCGGGATATGGGTAGGCTTGATACTGCGGATACTGGGAGTATGATGGAGCAGCAGGATACCCGTATGCCGGATTGAAGACCGGTGCGGAAGCTTGATAGCCCCCATACCCTCCGGACAGGTTGGAGGAGGAGGGGGCGAAGCCCATCTGCGGCACCGGCGCGGGGTAGGAGATGAGGCGGGATTGAGAGGGCCCAGCGCTCGCATTGGGTCGAGGGGGTAAGCCTGTACCGTTGGGTGCCATCTTTGCGGCTATAAGGGTGATCGCTAGTTGCTCTGACAGAAGTAATAGACAAAAGACCGAAATCCTGAATCTCGGCGCCTTGCTGCAGCAACTTTTAAGGTTTGGCTCATCGGATCGCGCCGACAAGAACATTACGGCATGGCGATCACAGGCACCCCATGCAGCAGCTGCAGGCAAGCGCAACTCCTCCTCACCTATCATAGCAGGCACAACCCCACTTGCGAGATGACAGCGACCCCGCAGACAGTATCCCGAGGCTCTGGTATCCCTCCTTCCCGCTCGCGAGGCAACTCCAGCGCGTCTTCGTCCAGCCTCACTTCATCATCTTCATTTGATCCACATGACCCCCGCCCGGTGTCGCCGACACAAGACGAGCGCCGCCCGTCTGCTCTAGGCATACGAGACATCACCAAGCTCTACAGAGCAGATAAGAAGGGGAAGGCGCGGGAACGGGAAAGAGGGGAAAGAGAAGCGGCCGGACCGATAGGCTTACAGCATGAGCCGGGGTCTTCACGGACTGATCTGGGTACGAGTCTGCCAGGCAGCGCTGGGGATCTGTTCGCGGTCGACGTCAATGTGCGAGGCTGGAAGATTGTCGGAGGGAGTAAGTGGACTGGAGAGGCTAAGATGGGTGCCTATGTGGGTGAGTTGGATGTGGCTTGAACCCAAAGTGTGAGCTGATCTCAGTGTACGACATCGAGATCATGAAGCGATCAGTGCGTTCAATGACTCGCTTCGGTTGCGCTCTCTGACCGCAGCAGGGTGGAGAGATAGAGATCCTGCGTCGATATACCGACTTCGTGCGATTACGGAACGCCTTGAAGACTCGCTTCCCGGTAAGTCCACTTCCCAGGCGCAGACTTGGCGGTTGACTGACGAGCCAGCATCTCCGAGGTGCGATACCATCGCTACCTGGGAAGAATCACATGGGTCAGTCCATCTCTCTCCCGAGCCATGAGTCACCATTCAGACTAACATCACAGCCAAATTCGCGGAGAAGCTGCTGGAGGATCGCAAACCTCGGTTACAGCGTTTCTTACGCACGGTCATGCTCCATCCCGAAATGGGCAAAGGAGGTCTAGGCTCGGTCATAGGAGAGTGGGTACTCAGTGGGACTACGACGACGGCCATGTCAAGGCCAGATCGGTGATCTCGGTGATCTATAGCCTCCACCTGATGATCCCGATCTCGACCCCCTCTTTGTCTATGAGATCTGCGCGAATCTGACTTCGTGACAAAGGATGGAAGTCCAAGTGAGATTCAGTCTATCCGCCTTTGTGTCTGATCCTCTGGCGACCTTTCGGCTAACGCGATAGCAAGGGCCTGAAGCACGTTTCAGCGCGCAAGCCAATCCAGATCTGGATAGATTGCGACTTCCAGTGGTTCTTCTTTACAGCAGAATGGAGTGTCGTGATGTTCACTGCTTCGGATGACGCCCCTCTTGACATATAAACCACCCCTCCCCTCAGTCTGTCGCCTTCACTTACTACCATACTTATCTCACTCCCTGTCTACTCACTCTTGCTCACCCTATCACAATGGCTACTGATCCTTCGGAAGCTTCTGCTGACACTGTCGTCATCGGGGAGCCCATGCCCAATGCCGGCTACTCGAATCAGACTGACATCGTCGTTCCCGTGAGTCGTGTATTGCTGCCACCTTACAACAGCTGATATGACAGACCGGGTCTCCTACCGGCAGTGAGCTTTCTCAATGGGTGTGGAACGCGTACGCCAACCCTCTCCCGGAACGGCTCAGTCGCAAGAGAGTCTGGGGCAACAAGAAGAGGCAAGTTGTTGAGGATGAGTTCGACTGGCCCGAGAAAGAGGTACGCAATCAAGACTCTCCCTGTCTCATAAACTTTGTGACCCCCGGTTCAATAACTTCTGCTAACGACTCTGCAGGGTTCCAACAAGAACAAGACTGCGTATACCTTTCTTAGGAATGATGTACCCACTTCCAAGGGTACCATCAACGAGGAGCTTGAGGCTGGCAGTAGGTTCATGATCTCCGAGGCAGACTTGAAGCAATCTCGCAATGAGACTGACGTACAGGCGTCTCCGTCCTGAACATCATTCGCGACAAGGGTGGTCTGGGGAAGCCCAAAATCATTGCCGTGGGACAGAAACGCACGCCTATCAGCAGGTTCACTTTCGGTGAGTCAAAGACTTCCCGCTTGGCATGCACAGGGCAGACACGCGAGGCAGACAGAACGGGCAAACTGACACGAAGCAGAATTTCCCGGTGGAAAGGTGAATGACGAAGACGAAAGCATTCTGTGAGCAGCCCGTCGCGTGGTGGGACGCATCAAAGGTATTGGAATGGCTGACTCAACTGAGCCATTCTGCCGTTCGAGAGAATCACGAGGAGACGGGGCTTCCTGACGTGTTCGACATCAGCAATGACTCGGAGAAGGATCGATGGCGCCTGGTCAACTCTCGTGTCCCCAAAGCCACCTACAATTCGAATTCGGGGCAAGTCGCGTTACCAGGATCCCGAGTCTAGCTGACACAGATTTAGGATTGGAGGATCCGGGAGCAAGCTTGCCATTCTTGAATGGGAGACCGACGGATCGATCAACACGGACAGGGATCTGCCGGCACTGACGAAGCTGAGCCCGGTAAGTCAGCACATACAAGTGACCTTCTCAATGTCCCGCTCACCTTCCAGGGCGAGAAGGCGAGGCGCCTCAAGCGATTCGTCTACCCCGTCAGCGAGCTGTCTTCTGTTCTGAATGGTGACGGTGTTCTGCTCTGCCCCATATGTGTGCTGATGTAATCCAGAATGCACGGACCTTCAAATCACGCCGGACATCGTCTTCTCGCTGGTGGAACCCATGATGGAGCTGACGACCGAGCTCGTTTCGGACCGCAGTGAGCCCATGCCGACGTCTGTGGGCTCCACTCTCGTCGAAGCGGCTGCTTGAGATCGTCAGCGTGCTACGTTTCGCCCTCTTTTCCCCGCAATGCTGTCCGGATCTCCGCTCGATTCTTTCACTATTTGACCTCTGATTTGATGCTACATACATCATGCTATATGTGAATAATGACTGATCTTACCGCTCCCGGTGGCTGCACAACTTGCCAGCGTCTTTGCTAGTGCGAGAACCAATCAACATATTGTAGGGCGACGTGACGGGACGATGCCATGTCTGGATTACTGTACACATATGTTTCATTGCCCTGACCGGCATCAGCAACCGAGGCTTTGAACCTCACCGACGATGAGTCAGGCGAGTTGGAGCTGTTTACATCCGGCAGATACAGAAGCCCACTCTACCTCAGTCCCTCTATATCTACGATTTCTTTTGGAGCATTCGCACTCAACACCCAAGGTCCATCCTTCTGAAACGCCACCTCATCTTCCACCCTGATCCCCATCCCGTGAAAGTGCTTCGGGTAGGCATTGTCAAACGGGACATATATTCCCGGTTCTATCGTGATGACATTGCCCTCTGTCAACCTATGGGACGTCAGCCGGTACCAGACTCTGCGGAAGTCGATGGATGCTCACGCTGCGCTTCGATCTGCGGTGGGGCAGTCGTGCAGATCCGAGCCGAGGTGATGTGATAAGAAGTGGGGATACTGCTCGATCAGCCTGACGTCTACTCGCTACACATTGGGGAACCTACCAGTCTTCTCTCGATATCTCCTACGCCCAGCTTGAAGCCTATCTGCCTCAGTTCCGCTAATAAGAGACCGCAACCTGTTAGTCAGCCCGTGCCTCAGCACTATCAAGATCTCCAGAACTCACTCGCGCGATGTAGCTCATTCATCGATATCCCGTCCTCCACCTTACACCGCTTCACGCACTCCTTCTGTGCCCTCAGGATCGCAGTGTACAGGTCGCGTTGCGGTTCGCTGAATTTGCCATTGGCGGGGAAGGTACGAGTGATGTCCGAGGCGTACATGTGGAGTTCGCAGCCTGCGTCCACAAGAACAAGCTGTTGCGTCAGCTTCTTGTCCGAATCTGACCTGGCTCGACTCTTCATAGCTCACATCTCCATCATCAACGACGTTGTCATTACTCGTGTAATGTATCACAAGACCATTCGCCCTGACAGTCAGCTTGAACCTCTCGTGCAAATGCGCAACTCACCCCGAAGCTATCACAGGCACATATGCCTCCCGCTCACTTCCCTCCTTTGCACACATATACGCAAACTCCACAGCCAACCTGTCCTCCCTCATGCCGCCATTTACAAACCCCATCAATCTCGTATGAGCCGCAGCTGAGATGTCCGCCGCGCGCTTCATGATTGCCAGCTCCGACTTGCTCTTTACTAGCCGTAATCGATGTACCTCTCTTTCGAGCGGACGTGCACGCTCCGAGGCCAGTGCGGCGGATATGAGGAGGTGTGGTGGGTCCGAGGCGGACGACCATGAGGCCGATGAGGACGGATCTGAGGTGAAGAGCTTGAGGAGGGAGGAGCGGCGGCGCGGTGGAGGCGGTTGGAGGGGTTGAGAGGATGGCGAGGGGGACGGTAGAGGAGGGACGGAGACGAAGAGGTTTTCAGAGCGAAGGAGGGCTGGGAGGTGGGCGGCCAATGCGGAACTGGGGAATGCCTGTCAGTCAGATTGATGTATATATGACTCTTTTGATAAACGAGGAGAGAGGACAGACCTCGTCTGCGCCAAAGACGGAGACTGCTCCTTCTACGCCGGAGCATTCTCCCGACCACAGTGTGTCATGGTCATCTTTCGGCGGGACGAAGAGGGTATATCTATAACCTTTGGAAGTGGATGGGCGAGACTCTGCCCTGTTAGCCGATCTGATGGCGATTAGAATTAGCGAGCGAGTATACCTAGAACAAGAGTAGCCTCAGGCTCATTGAAACCGGTAAGGTAGTTAAAGTCGGTCGCTGGGTCGCTCAGCTTACAGTCCTGCTCCATGCTTCTGGTCGCGGAGTTTACGACAGCTGAGACTCACCTTGTCTGAACTTGTAGCTGCCGGGTCAGTATAGCCCGTTCGACCACAGCAATCCAATCGCACGGTCCAAGTAGAAGACTGAGGTACCCACAATATCTCTGCTACATCAGCTCCGTATCTCCCGGAAACGTTCCAGTAGCTCAAATTGTGTAACTCACGCTGGCTGACCAACCTCACTGTCCCACCCATACAGACCACCACACTCCCCTCCGGCAGACTCTCCATCAATTTCCGTCGTCGCTCCTCATACTCCGAAGCCGGTATCCCCGGAGTCAGCTCTCCCGAGCCTACGAGATGCGGATGTGTATGATGTAGCGGCTGGCCCTGTCTTGGCGGCTTCGAGGGGTGCGTGGAGGGGTGCGAGGCGTAGCCCCGGGCTGACACGAATGAATGTCGGGGTCGAGAGGTAGGAGCAGCTTGCTGCAGAGGCGGAGGCGGAGGCAGAGCAGCTCGGAGCTCCGGTCCTGCAGCCGCTATTGGTCGACATGATCGACTCGTAAGCCCACTGAGGCGTACTGCTGGCCTCATTCCCACTATCAAGTAGAGCCGATATGAAAGAAGAAGTAGAGAAGAGTAATATCTGTGATCTTCGGCCGTCCGAAATACCTCAGACTTTCGGTCCGTGCGTCAACCATTAACCAGGCGCAGGAGCTGAGCGGGGGAGCTGAGGGTGGTGCCAAGCGTGACAGCAGAGCCTTCATAGTTCCATACACAATTCCTATGCTACAACCGGGCCAAACCTCTCCTATACCCCGCTCTATCCCGTACCTGCCACAAACGGATGCAACAGCGCATCTCTCGGCGTGATCCTCTTCGCCGGATCCAATTGCAGACACTTATCCAGCAGATCCACAAAGTTGGCCATCTGCTTGATCTCGTCGTCCTTCATCTTGAGCTGGATATTGCTGGACGGCATAATACGTGATCGGATATCTCTGGACGGACCAGAGATCACAAGCGTCTTTAGTGTATCCTACCATATCAGCTCACACCACGACAAGAGAAGTTGGCGAAGCTGAACATACCGCTCCGGTGATCTTGTCCTTCTCGACACTGAGAAAGTTCATGCCTTCGTCAAAGTACATTTCGCCAAAGGTCGCCTTTTTGATCAAGCGGTGATTGATCTTGCCCTTGACTTCCATCATGAGGAGGAGCATGTGGTTGTTGGATCGGCCGGGAAAAAGGATTTTGCCAGTGTAGAGTTCGTACAGCGTGCAGCCGGTGGACCAAATGTCGATAGCAGTATCAAATGGCAGGCCAAGGACTGTCCATGTCAGCTTGGTCCCCCGGGCGGAAGAGGCGATCGAGCTTACTGATCTCCGGAGCTCGGTAGAATCGGGAGACAAGATACGGCGTGATATCCCCGTCCGCAACATCGGAAGCTGAGCCAAAGTCACAGACTTTGAGCGTCGCCTTGTTCTCAGACACCTGAATAATCAGCTTTGGACCGCTGGCAGCGTCAGAGCTTGTAGGACTGACCAAGACGTTGTCGGGCTTGATATCAGCGTGCACGAGACTGCACTTGCGCATGAGCGACAAAGCAAGGAACATCTGATGCGCATAGGCTCGGACGGCGCGCATATTCAGCCCAACGTCTTTGCCGAAGCGCTTGAGAACGTCTCGGAGGTTCATGCTAGACTTGTCAGCTCCATCCCTGCGTGTCTGGAAAGAGAGGTTATGGATGAGCTCACCTTAGACTCTCAGTGACGATACAGAGATGACCGTGATGCTCAAACGTACGCTCCATACGGACGATGTGCTTCTTATCGTCTGGATCGGCCTCGTTCAGCCGCTTGAGAATCTGCGCTTCCTTTCGCCCGGCAACATACCTGAAAGTCAGCTTATAGCTCGCGAACAGACTAGCTCCACTCACATGCTCTCCTGACTCCGAATGACCTTGATAGCCACCTCCTTCCCCACTACATCCTGTCGCCGCTCCTGCCCGACCGCCTTTAACACTTTCGCCTTGACCACCGCCGAAAACATCCCCTTCCCCAGCGTCGTCGTCACCTGATACCGCCCATCATCCACAATCTCCCCCGGCGTGATCCTGTAGTAACCCTCCGCATCATCCACATTATCCACTACCGCCACCTTTGCCTTTTGCTTTTCGCCCGTCACCTCCATCGTCTCGGTCACATCTGTCCCGTCCGCCTGTTTTCTCCGCCTGACCTTGATCTTTCTCTTCTTCTTGGGTCGATCTGATTCCTCAAAGGCCGAGAACATGTCCACCTCGTCTTCCTCTTCGTCCACTTCCATCTCGACCTCCTCCCATTCGTCGTCCGGTACGACGATTGGTTCGCCGATACCGCCGGCGACTTCCTTGGCGTAGTCGACGACTCCGTTGTCGCGATCACGTCGAGCCTGGTCGACCGCGCCCTCGGCTGTTGGATCGTAGTCTGCCGCGGAGACGAGGTCCTCACCTGCAGGTTGGGGAGCAACATCGCTTTTACCGAGATCAAAGTCCTTGCCGAGCGGTGTATTCGCTAGGCTTGGTTCGGGCAGTGCTGGAGTTCGAGAGACCGCGGTGGATGCAGATCCCATCGCCGATCGGGTACCGAGAGCCTTAAGTAAGGGAGTCGCACCTGGTGTGTCAGGTCTGCTCGGCAATACAAGGGAGATCTTAGCTCACCGGACGCAGACAAACCCGTTCTCATCCCTGTTCTCGTCCCCGCGCTGTTCACACTATCCGCACCTGGCCCAGCTGGATCCTTCCCTTCCGCCACAACCGCCGATACCGCCGCCTTCCCACCATTAGCTTTGAATTTGGCCATAATCTCCTCCCTCTTCTTCCTTCGCTCCTCTAGCACCTTGTCCGGATCCCGCTCTTCCTCCAGTAACACCACAGGCTCGACCTCCTCCGCCTCCATCTCCACTCGCGCCTTCTTTGACTCCCGTGCCTCCGTTTCCAACACATTTGCGGCCGGGCGGGTCTGCGGAACGGGTGCCGGCGGTTGAGCAGGCATGTTGAGCGGCCGGAACCCGGTGAGCGGTACCGCGTGTGGTATAGGTCGTGCTCTTGGCGGCTCTACCGATCCGGCGGTCGGTCCAGGATGAGACTGGACAGGTTGCGGTTCGATCCTATAGCGGAACGCGTCAGCGCTTTCCGCACCTCGTACTGGTTGTATGGAACAAACGCACTCGCCTTCCTCTCTATCCTCACCTCTCAGTTGACTCGATGATTCATTATGCCTACGACGGTCACTTTCCCGTTCTTGCCCCCGCGCGGCACCTCCTCTATGCTCACGAGTGGGGTAGTGCCTGCTACTCCCGCCAGAGTATTGGCCTCGACCATTGCCCTGCCGATCGTCTCCCCGTCTTTCTCCATTATCGTATGGAAGTCCACCGCGGGGGTCCCTTGACCGATACCCTCTCTCCTCTTCTCTACTTCCCCGCGCTCTGTCATCGCGTTTCCGATAGTCGTTGTCGCGAGAATGGGATCTCTCCCTCCTCCGCGGCTGATCGTCGTCGAGGAACGCATCCCGCCAGTCTTTCGGTTTCTTGTCGGCGTCTCTGGAGCGATCAGCGCTGCCATCCAGCGAGCGCTTGTATCCGGGCATGTTGATAGCAGAGGCAAGGTATGGTATAGAAGGGAAATAGAAGGCGTAGCGGTTAAGACTATATCTCCGGATGATAACGCCGTGTACCAAATCAAAGTGGCGTTTCAGAATGTGGAGGTCAAACGCCTCCGAGATCAGTCGCGTCCATCCACTCACATTTGCTCTGTAGACTCACTATGAACACAGCAGACCGCGTACAGATAGCACACGACATCAGGAGGACGACCAGGGAGCTGAAGGATAGAGGTCTACTCGTAGCGGCGAAATGGTGAGCTCTCGTGCCTCGCTGTCGACGCGCCAGGGCTGATTCCATAGGTCGTCCGAGCTGCTGGCTTCGCTGCCCAAGGAGATTCGACAAGCTCCAAATATTCCCTTCTCCCCACCTGCACCGCCTCCAGCTACGACCTTCTCGCCGTCTCGTGCGCGTCCGTCAATAGGCGATTTCCTCCCCTCGCCAGGACCGACCTCATTTGGTTTCCACGAACCTCCGCGGGATATGCCTGAAGCGGGGCCTTCTCGGTCACGGACGAGGCATGGCGTCGAGTACGAGGAGGAAGGGGATCAGCTGGAGGAAGACGAGTATCAGTTGGCGAGGACGTACTTTGATTTGAGGGAGTTTGATCGGGTCACTTGGGTTTTGAGGGATGCGAAGGGAAGCCGTTCGAGATTCTTGAGAGTCTACTCTGCCTATTTGGTAAGTGCAATCTGCTATATGTAGCTTCGAGCGAACGATAGCTAATGTATTCAGTCGGCGGACCGAAAAGCACAGGAATCATTGCCACATTTCCTAGATACCAAGGAAGAACGGCTAGCCCTTTATCCCGCCCTCAACCCTCTCATTATGGAGATCCTTGACGATACCGACCCATACATCATCTACCTCCGCGGTCTGCTATACATGCGTATCGACCAACGATCGGCAGCCATCGAGTGCTTCATCCAGAGCGTCCTGGAACGACCATATAATTGGTCCGCATGGAGTCAGCTCGCCCAGTTGATCAAGTCGCCTGATCAGGTATGTTTCTCGCTAGCCTTCGGAAGTAACCAGCTGAAATGCAGTTCATCGACGTCAAGGAGCGCCTGCCACCTACACCCATGCTCGAGTTCTGCGCCATCACCATCATGCTCGACCTCCACACCGCCACGGACATGGTCACCAATATGATTTCGGAGCTGCTTGAACTCTTCCCTGGGAGTGTACATCTCAAAGCGCAGAGAGCGCTTGTATACTACCACATGAGACGTGAGTGGCTATGTGATCAATGCTCAACATAGCCATGCAGGAATTGAGCTTATTGGCAGAATTCGAGATCGCCGAACAACACTTTGACGCCGTGCAACAGCTCGACCCATATCGCATGGAAGAGGTCGATATCTTCTCCAACATGCTCTACGTTATGGACAAGCGAGCCAAGCTGGGCAAGCTGGCACACGAGTACGCCGAGATCGACCGGAATAGAGCCGAGGTGTGCTGCCTGATCGGTGAGTGCCATGCCGGTTGCCTGGGCGCGTCAAGCTAATACTCTAGGTAACTACTATTCATCAAGAGGCGATCATAGCAAGGCTATCTTGTACTTCAAGCGGGCGCTCCTGCTCAATAGGGACTACCTGCCCGCTTGGACATTGATGGGGCATGAGTTTGTCGAGTTGAAGAACAGCCATGCGGCAATCGAGGCGTATCGTAAGGCTATTGGTGAGCTTCGTTGCCATGCGAGGTACTGAAAAGAGCTGACTGTTAGATGTCAACGCAAAGGACTACCGCGCTTGGTACGGTCTTGGTCAGGCTTATGAGCTGCTTGATGAGCCCATGTACGCCATCGAATACTACAACCAAGCTACATCTTTGCGGTAAGTCTCCCAGGTGATGCGGCACGGGACCCATTCTGCCTGATACAACCCATTGCTGATAAGATAGCCCTTACGATTGCCGAATGTGGACCGCTCTTGCGACGGTATACGAATCGCTCCAGCGCGTACCCGAGGCTATCGAGTCGCACACTCGCGCCCTCCTCGGCGCCGACCGTTCTCAGACCAGCGCAATCCTGCACAAGCTGGCCAACCTCCATACCTCCATGGCCGAAGCGCAGCCCGCCACCGGTGCCGCCCCCACTTCCGCCATGAGCGTCGAAGCTACCGGATATCACCGCAAGATCATCGCGTTGGGGGAGAGCGAGGGCCTGGGCGTCAATGACCTGGCGGGTAGCTATGTTGCGGTAGCGGAGTGGGAGATGGCGGGCCAGGCCGGACCAGGACAGGGGGACTGGGGCTTGGCGAGTCAGTATTTGGAGAAGGTGGCATCGACGAATGCGCCGCAGCGGGACAAGGCGGAGGGGTTATTGCGGACGCTGAGGTTGAGGGAGGCGAGATTGGCGGCGGGACAGACATGAAGCTTGTAGAATATCTAGCATGTCTATCTGATGGGAATTGTCCTGTATAGAAGTGTCCTGTATACTGTCCTTGGCTATAGTGTCCTTGATATCACCCTCTTCCCTACTGACCTCGCCCCTATTGCTTGCCTCCCGTGCTCCTCCTCTGCTTGCGCTTGCACTTCTTTGGCTCTTTGGGCGTAGTCACGGCCGCAGATGCCTTTTGCACCGCATACCAGCTCTGGCTGTTGCACACCTCCGCATAAGTCGCCCCCTCGATCTTTGATGCGCACGCACACGAGTATCCGCCGAGTCCAGGCTGGATGAGCGAGACGTTGAGCCCGGCGGCGCCGCAGGCGGAGTAGCAAGCGAGCGGGTCGGGAAGAGTGGAGAGGTAGACGTAGCCCGGGAGGTCGGCTGATGATGTGGGGCCGAGGGAGGGGCAGGTGGTTGTGGAGTTGGAGGTGGAGTTGGCAATGATGCCAGAGTACTGCAATGTCAGCCGTCCATTCCGGTGGCGTCTGAGATGCGAGAACGACTTACCCAGACAGTAGCGTCACCGCAGTTGGCATCCCGGTCGAGAGCATCGACGTATAGCGTGTTCGGCGCCGCAGTAGAGCTGCACCCACACGAGCTGGAGCTCTTGGAGAAGTACGAATAGGGGCTGGCGGAGGTCGCGCAGACACTCTGAGCAAGTCAGTGTGGATCTCTCAGCGACGGAGTGTAACAAGACAAGACTCACTCTGCAAGCCTCCAGAGTCTGTCCACCAGTAGCCAGCGATACTCCGGTGGGCGCAGCGCTGAGACAGCCGAGCTTGATGCTCGACCCCTGGACCGAGGTGTGGAGCAAAGCGAAAGTGAGGAGGGCGGTGATGAGCGACATGCTGGCTACGGAGTGCTGATTGCTGGATGCTGGGGTTTTGGTGAGGGGCACTGTGAGGTATCGGAAGGTACAGGTAGATAGTGATTTGGGCGTGATCAGGAGCTCTAAGCGCTATATTATATAGCCATACCAAAAGCTAAACGACCAACGACCGTCAACAAGTGTCGACCCCACTTGTCAACTCAAAACCCTGCGCTGCCCCACCCGACCGTCATGCCATCGGAGGTAGTTTCCATCCGGTGAGCTAGACCGGGAAGTCTAAAAGATGAAACACGGTCTAGCCGGGTGGCGTTCTCGGGATGACGCAATCCCGATCCCGGTTGTTTGTGGCTTGTGAAGTCCGTGCGTCAGCAGCTTGAGGTGCTGGCGCTGGAGCCTCTCCTGCTGCATCCCTCTGCCTTCCTCTGACCGTGGCAGGAGTCCATTGCACAGTGCTTAGCATCATCAGTCACTTAACCTGCCATCGACGCCTGACAAAGATATCCTCGTACCAAAAAATCCTATTTGCATACGTTTTGTACAACTCTTACTTCTCCGGTGCAGGCGGCCGATATGTGAATTGCCTCGTAAAGCTAGTGAATCAGCTGGTCCTGCCGTCTCAAGGCAGATTGTACTCACTCTCTCCTCATCTCCTCCCTTGTCGTCTCATCCTTCTCATCCGGTAGATCAAACTTTGGCATCCTACATGGTCAGCCCTACCCCTATTAACTACGAATGACTCACATTTCTCTCAACCGCGACATAGCCCTCAGCCTACTCCGCCAACTCGAGATATACTCTGCAGACTCGGCATCACTCGCGTCCCGAATATGCATGAACCGCGCGGCGAGGTCGTTCCCAAGGTGCGCCAGCTGACGGACGAGGATGGGTAGCGCATGGCGCGAGACGAGCTTGCCCTCCCCTAGCGGCCCAAATTCTGGGATTCCCGGCGCCCTCTGAATATCCACCTTGAACCACTCTTCCCTATCCCAGTCTGTCCACCCATCCTCGCTCGGCGGCGTATACACCTCGGGGATGATAGTCCCCTCTCCGAGCGTCAACGGAGTGACGACGACATTGACAAAGTTCCACGCCGTCCGGATCGTGTCGAACGCAAAGTCCTTGCCAGACTCATTGTACACGATCTTGACGAAATCATTGCCGACCAGCCGTTTCTTGCCGTCATATCCAGGCTGATCGGGATGATTAGGCATCATCGTCGGTGTGTGGAAGATGACTTGGTCAAAGTCATCCCACCACGCATAGGCGTACTCGCCGTCCGAGTCGGTATCGCGATTAAGACCGCCGACAAAGACGTCGACCTGGCCTTTAAGCTTGATGAGCCGACCGATACCGGATAAGAAGTCCAGATAGAGGGGAGATCCGTCGATGTTGCCCAGGATCTCGGTCTCGGTCGTCTGGCCGGGAGCGACGTAAAGGACCGCAATCTTGACTGTATCGATAACCGGGGTGTTTTGTATACCGCGTAAAGCCCGCTGGAATTTCTCTTCGGGCGGGACGAGGCGGCCACGAGGAGTCTCGAGGCTTTGATTGGGGTAGGAAGAAAGGAGTTGGAGACCGAGGTAGCTGGGGTGGATGACGACGTCTTTGCGCCGTTGAGAGGGGGTTGCGCCGGACCAGATGAAGCCGTGGAGCGAGGACGCGTCGAAGCCTTCTGGCGAGGGCATGGTGGATTTGGTCTGAGCCAGCTCGTCGGCGCTCTCGATCTGACAGTCAGCAAGTTCCCACGCACTGAAATAGTCGACTCACTGCACTTCCCCCAGCTTTGGCAATCACTTCCCTGTTCGCCATTAAGAATGCCGGAAGTGAGATGAGATCCGCATTTGTCTCCCCTAGCTCCAGCAGCGGGACATTTTCCAGCTTGAGCACCACACTGGTCGACCCCGTCGGCCTCGTACTCGTGATGGTAGCCCACCCGCTCCTCGCATGCGCCGTGATCGTCAAGATCGCCCCGCCCAACAGCCAACTGACCGACTTTGGTACCTCGCTCTCCCTCGAGTCCTTCATGACCGCCTCGGAGAGGAATGACGTTGCCGGCCGGGGATCCGCGTTGCCGTAGGTATACCTCGACAGCCAATCAAAGCATACCTCCGCCATCTCATCCACCATGACCCGCTTCGACCGGCCCTGGAGCAGCTTTCGCGTGATCTCGGGGACGAGATTGGGCCGCTGTGGTAGCTTTAAGGCGAGGAACCAGATGTAGATGCTATAGTAGGCGAGACCGATCACGTGCTGGGACAGCGTGTAGTCTTCGCGGGATTTACTGAGGTCGATGGGTTCGTCCGACCGCGCATTATGGATGGTGATGTAGTCGATGGCAATGTGGAAGACCCGACGGTATTGCTCGTCGGTAAAATTGCGGTAGAGCGACCCGTTATGCCCGAGCGCAATGAGGAATTCGAGGATGTGGATGGCGAGCGCGGTGGTGGTGACGATCCGCTCCATCCGATCAATGATGGTGAGGAGGTGACGACCGACGTATTGCTCCAGCTCAAAGATGCAGAGGGTGAGCGCCTGGAGACAGGGCTTAGCGAGGTCTTTCCGACCCTGCAGACCATCCGCGAACGCCTGGACCAGCTGGTCGCATTCGTCCCGAGCCATGGTGCCTCGATAGGCAATGAGGATGGAGAGGGATTGGTAGGCGATAGCGTTGATGTCGACCCGCTTGATGAAGGTTGGGACATTGTACCGCTTCTCCCAGCTCCCATCAACTCCCAGCACACCTTCCGCCAAGACCCGCACCAACGCCCGCACTTCCGTAACCGCCCGCCGACCGTGGAAGAAGAGCTTGTTGCGCAGCTGCAGCGGCAGGAAGCATAGCACGTACGAGACCAGCTCCCAGTCATGCCCGCGCAGAATGCCATTCAGGACGCGGACGTACTGCGAGACTGGGAGCCAGACCCCATCGATCGGCTTGGCGGTTGGGTCCTGCAGGGCGGGGTGACTGGGGTTGTAGGTCGTCATGATCTCGCTTGGTTGCTCGCTCCGCGGAACCTCGAACAGCTCTTCCTGCGGAAGGATCCAAAGTGGGTTGTAGGTGTGATCCACTCCTCGCACAATGGGCGCAGCCTTAGACCGGCTGCGGCTTCGAGTACTGCTCTCTTGGCTCCTGGAGGCTCGTCCTCTATCCTCCTCCTGCGCTCGAGCCTGCTGAGAAGGTCTCGACCTCCGTCTACTTTCGTCCGCCTCCGCCGCCCGTCCCTCTGCTTCTGTATCCTTTGTCCTCCGCAGCATTGCCGCAAATGGCAAAGCCGCGTCATCGATGTTCCGCCGTACAAAGATGCGATGATGATTGTCCGCCCGGAGCCGCATAAGCCATTCGAGAATGATGATCCGGGCCCTCGGGCATCGCGCGGCCATCTTGACCTGTGCGGGTGTGTTGGTATGCCGCGTCCGGTCGTCGGTCATGGGATAAAGCAGGCCGAGGAGGTCCCGGAAGATAATGATGCTGCGGAAAGATGCGGGCATACGCACTGCCTTGGTGTTGGTGGTGTTGTGGAATGAAGGGGTAAAGCATAGCTTGGTGAAGATGGAGATGAGGGATAGGACCGCCTGGATGGACCGACAGTCTGCGTGGTGTTGGTGGATAGCGGGAACCGGGGAAGCCTGTTCGTCGGTAGTAGCGCCAGCACCAGAGATGGAGGAAATGGACGGTAGTTGGGTGGACCGGACGGGAGGTGATATCGTACCCTTCAACGTTCGCAAGCTCGGCTCTTTTGCCTTGCCGCTGACTGATCGGCTTAAGCTATTCGCCGAGCCAGACTCCGCCATCGAGGCTGACATCGGTATGCCCCCCGCAGACTCCTCTTTGCAGGGGATGTGCGCGACCTCAGCAATGAGCGCTCGGATAGCATTGAAGCTGCCCGCAAAGGTCGCTTCGGTGACCTCTCGACTGGCCTCCGGCGAGGCATCCTCCTCTGCATTTGCCGAAGCCGCCGACTGCGCCCGTATCTCTCGCCTCTCCTCGTCTCGTTCCAGCGTCTCCGCCACCGCCGCATTGACCAGTACCGCCAGTGCATCCTTCTGAAACCCATCATCCTGAGTAGTAACGAGATACTCCTGGAGGAACGGAACGAGCACCTTGTCGACAAGTTCGACACGGTACTCGGGCATATCCTGCGCAAAGCCCGCAATGTCCGTAAAGAGAAGCTTGGCGACCCGTTTCCGGGCGACCTCGAGTGGCGAGAGGGAGAGGAAGAACGCCCGAACAAGCTTCCAGATGTTTTCGGTCCAGCCGGAAGTGAATGGCAAACAAAGGCATTCGCGCTGGTAGTAGTCGATAACGATTCCGGCGTCTTCCTCGTCTAGGTGGGAACCGAGCTTCAGGAGGAGATCGATATAGCGAGGGTGGAAGTACGCCGGACTAGTGCTGGTGGACGGGTGGAGATGGGCGATAGATTTAGGAAGTTGGTGGATGACCGCTTCGAAAAGGGGGAGGAGGATGGACGATTTGGCTCCTTCACTGCTCTTCCGGTTGAGCCAATTGCGATAGCCCATCTCCGAATCGGCTGCGGTAGGCGACATGGCAGTAGCAGCTCGCAATTCGCGCAAATTAGGTTGCCTGCCTCAGCTTTGTCCGTACGTCAACTCACTGTGAAGCCAAGACAACAGGTAGCAGGCCCTCCAAGATATCACACGCCGCCTGCCCTTCGGTCCAGGCATCGCCAGCGATCTTGCCTTCGCCGAGCTGCAGGTTGGAAATCCGATACAGATGTGTCTGCAGCAAGCCAAGAATGGCCGAGTCGACCGAGTCCCAGGCCTCGCTCTTGACGAGCGAGTCTTTGCCGAAGCGGGTGGTGGACTGCGCTCCGATGAGTGACGGAGCTAGTGAAGCCATCGCACATGTAGCGGATATGTCCGTGGTAGCAGAGGGGGTGTCGAGATAGCCCAGCAACGTGTGACTCGCACTGTCATCAGCCACACCCTGTCTTGGACTTACATGACAGCACCCCTCGTCGAGCAGCAATCAATCATGACATCCTTTGCCACATCCAGCTTCAATTCTGCAGCTGTCCTTCCTTCCAGCACCATCCGTACCGCGTTCTCACCACGTCTACCCGCCGCTCGACCCAGAATGAGCTGGATCAATTCCGACGCCGCGAGTTCGCCCTCGACAGCCAGCCCATCCTCGGGTTCTTGGCCAAGCACCAGGCAAGCCACCGCCACCGCCTCCTTGAAAACCTCGGTCGGTATTGCAACCGACTTGGTCAGGATCTCAAAGAAGGCGGTAAAGCTAGTCATGATCCGGCACCATTTCGGTCGGTGAACGGGAGTCGGTCCTAGTATTGGAGAGGGTACGCTACCGCCAGCTGGTTGTGATGTCGGTGACTTGAGTGAGTCCGACGCAGAGGCTTGCCGGTTTGTCTGCCTCGGGCCCGGCTGGGCCCTCTTGACCGATGCCGACCGACGTAGGCCCGGCTCCATGCCAAGCGCTTGATTAGATGGCATCGTTGGGGAGGTGACGAAAGCGGCCGATTCCCGCCGTGCCTGTCCGCAGATGGTGTCGATGTGGACGGGGTGGGGAGACCGGAACTCGGCGACCGCCCCTTTCCAAAAAAGACTGAACATTGGGGAGACGATCCGCCTGAGATCATCAAAGGAGAAGAGGGAGGCGTGGGTGGAGATGATGGCCGCGATGAGATCGATGATGGCACTGGCTGCCTCGGCAGGTGTAGCGGGTTTGATGGGAGCAAAGGGTGTGTTCTGAGGTCAGTGCTGATCTAAGAAGGACTTACTTTTCGCTTGGACAGTTCCTCCCATTCAATGTCCTCGTCCCTCTTGCCACACCACTTTACCCACTCATCCTCCGTTTCATGCAGTGTCCGCACCAACCACCCAACAATCCCTTCCGTCCCATCCACCTCCACCCCGTTCTTTGTTAACGCCTTGAGCGCCCCGACCTCGACGTATATCTCTTCGATACTTGGGTTGATGGATTGAGCGTTCGAGCTCGCAGCCGAAGTGATGATCTTGTACAGCGATACCGCATTGATGGGATCCGGTAGATCGACCGCAATGAAGCCCGAGTCACCTCCGGGCGGTGCGATAGTAATAAGCGCCGCAAGTAGCCGCTTGGTCGCCGTCCTGATTTGTTTTGAACCCCTCGGATTGGCATGACGGATAGCCTGACGATAGAGATGCCTTATCTCCCTCGCGCTTATCTCGTCCGTTGCCGTCTCGTGCTCAATCATGAGACCCGCCAACCACACCGCCGTCGCCTTGATGATCTCGCACAGCTCCGCCTCTGATATTCCCTCCTTTTGATCCATCAACTCTATCGACGACTGGAGGTGGAAGCGCGCCTCGGGCGCCGGACTGGGTGCTCGCTTGCCCTCCGCCATTGGAAGCGGTTTCAAGCGATTATGGGGCGATACAGGAGGTTCGATAGACTCTCTCCGCTCACCAGAGCGTATGGCGTCGCTCGTCTGCCGTATGGCGTCACTCGTCTGCCGCGAGGTCGCCACGGTTGCAGGCCGCCGGCCGAAGAGGTTGGGGAGAAAGGACAGAGCTCCGCCCGAGCCCGAAGAGGTGTGCGCATGGCCCCCTGCGCTCGGGCGATCTCGTGATCGCTCCCTATCCTTATCTGCCATGATGACAGCCTAGATTTTGATTGCGTGCGGCGCTTTGGGCGCAGGTACGACGGACGAGGGCGCAAGGTGTGTGTGAACAAGGGGGTCGACGGCGTTTCGAGTTTGGCTGACGGGGATGGGGCAGAAAAGACCGGGTTGATAAGGGTGGTACCCACGAAAGGCTGGCTGTCTACCGTGGCAAGATGATCATGTTGACATTGTATACTTCACAGATGGGCGTGATGGGGATATGATAGTCTGACCGATAGATGAGGTTGAAGTAAGGGAGACATCAGCAAGGTTCTCGAGGTATGGTTGAGTGGAGTTGGGGTTCCGTCGGAACGAAGTTGATCTCAACTTCTTCTGCCTGCGTTGACTTTCTATCTGCCATTGACACAGCTGGACCAGTCCGCTTCGTTGGTGGGACCAGCTATATATTGAAAGTGCCCAGACCGAAGGGATATCAGCCGAGAGCAGCATTAAGCAAGAAACCCGCGAGGGACACGTCGCAGTGGGGCTTCGAGGTCGCCTATCATCATGCGGTCTATATGGCGCTTCCTAGCCCTCTTCGCGTTCTTAGCTTGCCTTGTGAGTACCTTAGAGCGGCTCATACCGATGTCAAGTAGTCGTCTGACTACTCTCCAATATAACTTACCCGTGCTGACGCGACTCAGCTCCCAGCAGTCAGCGCATCCATCTTCTCCGAACCTGCACTCTCATACTGCAAATGTCAGTCCCCAGCCGCCTAGAAGCCCGGACCGAACATGCCGTCCTATACAAGTACTGATAGTTTAGGTATCTGCTTCTCCAACTCCACCATCATTCCGTTATTCCGCCCATCCGACCCATCGAAGCCATGTCTGTCTTGTACCAAGCAGTTCTGCTTGGACCAAAAGCTGGCTATCTGCAAGAGTAAGTTCTCTCTGAAGAAGATGTGGGTTGTGCGCTGATGTAAAGATGCCGAGCTGCCTGAGCTGGACGTTGACGTCGGCACTGGTACAGAAGGGGACGTCGAAGCAAGATGTTTCAGTCAGTGCAGCCTCATCTGCATGCGGACCATAATGCTGAATCGGCAGAGAGGGACTCCCCTCGAGATGAGCTCATCGTTACCTTCTTCGTCCTTACGGTCATCGGCATGCTCCTATTCGCAGCGGTGCGGGGTCGATTCCAGAAAGCTATCGAGACGCGCGGGCGGCCGACTGATCTTCGGCAGTGGACACATGTGAGCTTGGCCCGAACGGTATCTGTGATTGCTCTCTTGCAGCGTTGCTGACGTTAACAGGTGCTCCTTCCAGAGCAGCTTCAGCCATTATCGGACAACCTCCTGGCTAAGGTCGGAGCAGGACGGGCGCAGCAGTTCGATGGAAGGGAGATGCAAGATACTGGTCGATCAGGCTCTTACGCGCCAATCACCTAGCTATCTGTGGAAATGTTTGTATCATATGTTCTGTATCGTATATTCTGGAGTGCCGTGCGTCTGCACTGCTCAGTATGGAGCCTCATTATCCTTCCCCACTTTCTCCTTGCCACATAACTTACCGCGCTGGGCTATCACATCCACAAGGGCTCCAGCTCCGGCGGAAGCTAAATTTCGCCACCCAAGAGGCGCAACAACTAGAACGCGGACAGCTACGATATCCTCGAGCCGTTATACTCATCACACTCAACAGTCATCCCCCGCTTCGACCCAAGCAGTCGCTCGCAGGAAGGGCTATCGAGCCACCCTATTAGCCTGGCGGCATAGAATACCGCAGCAGTCGCCAAGATGTCCGAGCGAAAGGTGCTGAACGTAAGTCCACCGTCCTTGCTCTTTGCCTCCTCCTCTGAGGGCTTCTCACTGACATCCCAGAAATACTATCCCCCGGACTTCGATCCGTCGAAGCTCAAGCGCCGGAAGGGTCTCAACAAGGACAAGCAGATGGTCATTCGTCTGATGGCGCCTTTTTCCATGAGATGTAACCGGTGTGCAGAGTATATCTGTGAGTCGTGCAGCTCGCTATTGACCCTAGGGCTTTGGCTTACTTTCCAGACAAGGGCAAGAAGTTCAACGCCCGAAAAGAGACGGCCGTGGATGAAGAATACTTTGGAATCAAGATCTTCCGGTTTTACATCGTGAGTTGCCTTTTGCTTTCGAGCAGGACTGAGCTGACTATCAGAAATGCACGCAGTGCTCATCCGAGATCACCTTCAAAACCGACCCCAAAAATGCCGACTATACCATGGAGCACGGCGCCACCCGCAATTTTGAGAACTGGACGGACGCCGACCCAACCGGAAACCGCACATTCGTTCCCGACGCAGCGGCGGATGACGACTATGACTCGGACGGAAACCCTCGGGAGGATCGGGCGGCCAAGGATGCTATGGCGGACCTGGAGCGGAGTCAGGAGCAGTCTCTGCGGGAGATGGAGCAGATGGACGAGCTGGCGGAGCTGAGGCAGCGGAATGCGCGGGTGGAGACGAATAATGCGGATCCGGAGACGCTGCTCGCGCAACTACATACGGAACGTGCAAATAAGGCGGAGGAGGAGAGACTGGCGATGGAGCAAGAGGAGGATGATCAGCTGGTGGCGCAGTACTTTGCCAAAGTCCCAATGGGGCCGCCGGGCTTGCCGTCATCGGTGAAGGGGAAGGGGAAGGGCAAGGAGAAGGCGGTGGCCCCGCCCGGAATCGAGCTGGACGAGCCGGTGGAAGAAAGCGATGGGGATGACAGCGGGAGCGAAGGCGAATTGCCGGCTGCTCCGGATGCAGTCACCATCAAGCGCCGACCACCTCCCTCCGAATCGTCCGGAAACGGTATGGCCGAGCCATCAGTGGCGAGTCTACTCGCGGCGAAGGGCAAGGTCCTGGATAGCGGAGCGGCGGCCGGGAGTGGTTCGGGATCTAGTGCGCAGGCGCAGGTGGTGGCAAAGAGGAAGCGGGAGGGTCTGCAGAAATTAATGGGGATCAAGAAGAAGAAGTGAAAGGACGACGACTTTGTATCAGTACCTGTATGTACATCCTTTGGACTGACCTCCTTTGGGTTCGACTCAAAGGCTCAGATGACTCTACCTCGGATTGGTCTTGCCTTCATCCATCATTCAACTCATCTTAGCTATGGACGACCAAGCCTACTTCACCGAAATCACCAAGCTGGCCCTCGACCACAAGGGCACTTGTATCTCGCTTACTTCCTTACTGGTCCTGCTTCCCAATATCATCGCTCTCGTTGACCCCGAAGCGGATGGAGACAGTCTCACAAAGGAAGACCGTAAGGTGATGGCAGCGAGGCTGCGGGACTTGGAAGCAACGATGAAGGAGCGGCGGTTGGATGTTACGCTCGAGGACTGGTCACTGGAGGCGCACGGCGAGAAGAAGGCGAAGCGGATCGTCAATTTCAAGCGCACCAATGAGAGTCCAGAAGGTCTACACTGTGATTCAGCTTTCGGCCCATTGCTTGAGAGGTGCTGACACAGCTTAGCGGTCTTCATACTCCCGGTCTACAAGAGCACCGCGGGCAAGCTCTGCGCTACTGTCCAGCATCAGTTGCGGCCGCATGTGGGTGTCGTTGCTCATCTTGGTCAGTGCGGCCCCTGATATCGCAAGTGGCCGTGACTGATATAGCAGAGATCCCAGCGGGCAAGTTCGATGATGGGGACGTTAGTACGGAGTACGTCCATCACCTTCTTCAATACTCCGTGACAATAAATCTGCTGACACCCAGGACTACTGCTGCTCGCGAGCTCCAAGAAGAGACTGGCCTCGTTTGGGACTACACCACTAGCCTGCCTATCGCGCGGGGCGGTCATCACGATCGCGACGGAGGGTGAGTGAGTCTCGCGCTTGCAGATCTCGGCTGATGTCCCAGCCTGACCAACGTAATGGGGGAAGTCTTGATCGTCCCGGTTGATGCGCGCGAGAAGCAGAAGAATGCGTTGTCCGACGTACGTACACTTACCCACCTCGCTGTGTCAAGCTGATCACACAGGATGAGCAAGCACAGGGCCTAGGACAGGTGCACGACTTCCCTGTGGAGCTGATCCCGGAATATGTCGATCGTAAGTCAATATCTTCCATGAGGGTGTGCAGTATCGCTGATGACTCAGACTGCTTGGCTCAGGGCTTGGGTATCACTGGGACGATCAGTAATATCGCTCTTGGGATGAAGTTGCAGCGCCACATTCAGATGGCGGGCATGGCCCCTAGCATGTGAGGTACGACACCCACTTCAGATAGACCACCCTCCTTCAGCTGCTGCATGCAGAGTCTTGACGATGCGCCCTATGTCTAGCCATGTCCTCCGCTAGGTTGCCTGTGCGACTACGTGCCATGCTACGCGGCTTGCCGTGTGTGGGAAGCAAGTGCTCCTCATTCCGCACCTGAAACAGACGCACGGACCAGGGAAATGTTGATCTCGAGCTGGCCTTCAGGTCAGATTCCAGCTTCACTTGCTCTCACTCTACATCCACAGTCATGACAGCCCGCACCAGCATCTGGCGCTCGGTAAGGGCAGCAGCACAGACCTATCCAGCAAGGAGAATGACAGGTCCTTGCCGTTCGCTGTCGAGCTCTGAGAGGAAAGGCAAAGGGAAAGAGAAGCACTTCGACCCGGTCATCTTCTCCGGCATTCAGCCGACGGGTACGTCTGATCAATGCAGTATACCTTGTAGCTAGAGGAAGACACTGATGATGTAGGTACACCACATGTAGATCGATCACTCTCTGCCATGAGGTTATAGCTGAACGTGTAGCTCGGCAACTTTCTCGGTTTCTTCCTGCCATATCTCGACCTCCAACGGTCCTCCCCTCCCTCTGTGCCGCTCTACCTCTCTATCGTCGGCCTACACGCCATCACGCTCCCTCAGGATCCTGTTCAGCTGCGACAGGATAGGCGAAATATGCTCGCATCATTGTTAGCTTGCGGGGTCGATCCAGAGCGGACTTGTCTGTACTTCCAGGAAGACGTGAGTTAATGCGATCGGTATTGTGTGCAAGCTGACACCAACAGATTCCCGAACATGCTGAGCTCGCGTGGTATCTCAATACTCTTGCTCCCGTCGGACTTTTACGGCGTATGACGACCTGGAAGGCTCGACTAGCCGTATCGAAGAATGCCAACTCGGAAGACGAGGTGTCCGAGGCGGATCTGCGGCTGGGTTTGCTAGCGTATCCAGTCCTACAAGCTGCCGATGTTCTCTTGTACAAGTGAGTATTCCTCTTCTCGGATCTTCCTTGCTGACCAATCAGATCCACCATAGTCCCAGTCGGGGAAGACCAATCGCAGCACTTAGAACTCTCCCGTACCCTCGCCGAGACCTTCAACCGGACCTTCTCACCCATCTTTCCCCTCCCGCAGACCCGGATCGTCCCCTCCAAACGGATCCTCTCGCTCCGAGACCCCTACCAGAAGATGTCGAAATCTTCCCCGGATGCCAAGTCGCGTATAGGCCTCACGGACACGCCGGGGCAGATATCGAAAAAGATCAGATCGGCAGTGACGGACTCGGACCCGACAATCACGTATGATCCGGTGGGGAGGCCAGGACTGGCGAATCTGCTGTTGATTTGGTCGGCTCTGGATAAGGCGGGAAGGTCGCCCGAGGTCTTGGCGGACATGGCGAGGGAGGAAGGGTGGGGGTCGGCGAGGCTCAAGGAGGAGATCGAGGGGGTGGTGATCGAGCGGATAGAGCCTGTGAGGAAGGAGTATGAGCGGATACAGGGGGATGTGGGGTATCTACAAGAGGTGGCAAAGAAGGGGCGAGATAGGACAAGGGGGGTCGCTAGGAAGACGATGGACGAAGTCCGGGATGTGGTGGGGCTTTCGCCGATCTGACAAGTATCAAGCTACATCATGCACGTCTACAACAGGATACAACTTTACGGGCATTACAATTCTATGCCACCATCTATAGCTGGAATCCCCAACGCCCAAAAAAGATCCAAGATAGCAATACCACCACCCCTACCCTCGCAACCAGCAAGAGCACCCTTCTCACCCTGCGCCGCCGCAACCGCCTCGCCTGCCGCGCCATGCGCATGACTTCAATGCCGAGCCGCTCGGCCAGCTCGCCGGGGAGCCATGTGTCCGCCGTATGATAGTGTTGATGCTCAGAATCGGAAATGGAGGGAGGGAAGGCATCATCGAGTTCGAGGAAGGATTCATTCAGCGGCCGGGGAAGAGGGGGAGAGTAGGTAAGCGGAGAGTCGTCGGCGCGCGCGGGAGGGGTAATTTCGGTACTGTGCTGTATTATGCTGGTATCATCGTGCGCCTTATTCTGGCTATCATCAGCTCTGGTCCACTTGGAAAAGCTTACCCTGACCTTATCATCACCTGGCTCCCTGTGCGCAATGTCCACCTCATCCTCCTCGTACTTGTCGGGATCAAACAAGATCCCCGTGGGTGGCCGCTCCAGGTCCAGCGCCACGCGAGGAGCCAATGGGGGCGAGTCATCCATCGCGACGTCGTCCGCGCTGAGCCTGCGTACCTGCTTGGGCCGATCGGTAAGGTCGAACGGTTCCGACAATACTCGGCGGAAGGGCAATTGCCCACCTGTAGGTCGGTCCGGAAGAAGCGCCGAAATCTCCCGATGCCAAAGCTCGAGCGAATCCTCGTCCGGAGGCGATGGGGTCCGTCCACTCCCCCTCGATCGAGGCCGGATAGTATCGCTGCTGCTATCGCTGTCCTCCTCATCGGCCTCCTCTGCGAGATCATGCAGAATGAAGCGGCCCTCCTCCTCCTCTGGCACCTCATCGATCAAGATTTCCACGCCATCCCCGTCCCGGTCCCGCTGCAGCGCGCTCGCGCCCAGCTGTTCCGCCACATAATCGGAAGGATTGCTCCGTGAGAGCTGACTGCGCCTGAGCGGGTCCGCGCGCAGAGGGATGACCGGTGTTGGCGGAGTGACGGTGATTCGGACAGACGGCTCCGAGGGCACGAGCATAGGAGGCAGAGTAGGGATCGCGATGGGCCCAGACGAGGCTGGCGATTTGCTCCGGGATCTTGTCGGCTCAGTGGGGAGGTCCGGGAGACCGCTCTCGAAAATTGTTGAGCGGGCGAGGAGACCTGTGACGGGGACACGCGGAGAGGGCTCGCGCGCCATGGGTACCCCCGTCGTCGCCTTAGGCGAGTCGAATGTCAACTGACGAGCCGCTTGACGACGGGGAATGACATTGGGCTCGTACGGGGTGTACTGCGGAGGTGTCCGGACAACGCCGGGCATAATGGCCGCACGACGCGCCTCCATCTCCCTGTCCAGCGGGGTGTAGCGTCGAGGGCTCTGGACCGAACCGGGAAACGGCCGCATCATCTCCTCTGGCGGATTTTGCTCGGCGTTGTACTCCATGATGGCGATTTGAGCGTCCTCGTCCTCGTACTCCCGCTGAAGTCGCGCAGCCAGGGTCTCGTCCGACTCAATGATGGTCTCTGGACGGGGTTGTGTCTCCCGAGCCATCGGAGCGGGCATGTTCATCGTCAAGTAGTTCTGGCTGAGCTTTTCGATCTCGCGGTTCATCTAAGAGTCAGCTTGTGACACTATAAGCGATCAGATCGACTCACCAGGCTGATACGCCGACTAAGTAACTTGTTACCCCGTGGTACACCGGGACTACCCTCTCCCTCCTGCCGACCCATATCCGCCAGTTGCGCCTCCAGCCTCGACACCTCCATCACCAACCCCTCCAACTCGACCTGGACGTCCTGTACCGGTCTGGGCGGGCGGACAGGCCGACGAGGTACGGTGTGCTGCCTCTGATCGAGACGAGGAGTACCGTCATCGGCCCTGCGCTGCGGCTCGTCCTCTGGCCTCGCCCGTCCCTTGCCCTTATCCAGGCGAGGCCGCGGCTCCTCCTCCTCTTCATCCTCGTCGGGGTCAGGCGAGACCTTTGGCGCCTCGGATACGGACGAGCTAGCAGGCAGAGCCGAGATGTCTACATCGGGAGTGGTGATGAGCTCATCCACGACCGATTCGGGCGTATCGTCAATCCCGCCCGTCTCCCGCATGGGCGGCGTCGAGTCCGCGTCCCGCGACCGATGCTGCTCCGCCGCCAATTTCTCGATGGCCGCGCACAGCCGAGCCCTCCCTTCCTCCTCGCTAAGCATATCTTGATCGTCCGCGTCATAGTCGAAGGTGAAGTGAGGCGTACGTGTGACGTCCGGTGGTGGCTGGAGGGAGGGTGGGGAAGAGGTGTAGCCGCCGAGGTCGAGCCCGAGGGAGCTAATCTCTTGGACAGAACGCCCAGGTGGGCTGGCCATTGGCCAGTCTTCGACGTGCTCGAGGTGCGCGACTTCCCACTCGCGAGTGCCGGGCGTGGCTGTGGCGCTGTCGCCTGGGAGTGGAGAGCTCGGCGGGGTGCGGCTCGGATCTGTAGTGATGCACATCCGCCGGCCTGTCCGCGGGTGGGCAACATATTGAGAGATAGACGACGATGGGGTACCCGGAGTATTGGCGGTGGCCTTTTCTAGGGAAGAAGATGCGTTATCGGCCGGGTCCGACTGGATAGTGACAGTCCAGTCGCTGGATCCGCCACTTTGGCCGAGATCGATATCCATCTCCTCTTCGTCAGGTAAGTCCAGCGACCTGAGTATCAGCTCCGCCACTGCAGTTACGAATTGACCCACCTCGCTCCACCCGCACGGGCCGAAATCTTGCCCTTCTTGATTCGCCTCTCTTCCGGGCTGACCGCATCTCCCGGCTGCACCTCCTTCCCTCCTCGCTCCATTCCCCTGAGGATCGTCTCCGGACTATATCGCAGCCTTTTGGCCGTCTGCGACCTCTTCTTAGGCGGGAGCGATACCGTCCGATGATAGCTCATCTCCTCATCCTCCCCTCTGTCCCAGCCCAAGCCGCTCGGCGACACGATCGCGTCAAAGCCAGGCGGCGGCGACGCGAGCATGGGCGGAACGGTCCGCATCGCCTTGTACAGCTCGGCGGGGGAGCAGCGGATAGTGACCGTGTTGTACCAATTCGAGATGGCAGCGCAGATCCGAAGGTTGCTGGTGCGGAAATCCTTTCGCCGACCGCCAAGGTAGATGTAGGTCATATCCGACGAGCAGTGACGCGCGGCGTTCCGTCTGATCCGTACACGATCTTCGCGTAGGTCGCGCGGGGTAAGCGGGAGATCCTCATCGTCTTGAATGGCTACCGCGTCGACGTCATCGTCGCGGCCCATGGTGATGCCGGGGAGGGCGGATGAAGAGGATGGGGGACTGAAGGTGGGCCATTCTGGACCGGTACGGCGGATGACGATCTTGGTCCGGCTGGATCCGGGCGAGATCGATACGCCGTGAGCCGCAGGCGACGGGTCCATCGGTGTTGTGGATCGCGGACTGAGATCAGCGAGTACTTTCTGGATTTTGGATACGGCTCACCCTGGATCCAGAGAATCAGGAGAGGACAGTGAGAGGGCCTTGATACGGAGCTTGACGCCTGACGGGCGCTGGAGCAAGGCGGAGCCGCCAAGCTCAGAATGAGCAGGACGAGGCGATGGCGGGGGCGGCGAGTCGGTGCGGAGAGGGGGTGATGTAGGTGGGGGATTCCCTGGTCGGCTGAGTGGGTCTGAGGTCCTACCCAGCCATTCGAATGGGCTACATCAAGTCAGCGTAGCAGATAAACAAGGTCCACGGTCTGTACTTACTCTGTGATATCCGAGCTTATAGCGCTACCCGGAGGGCAGTGGCGCCGATCCTTATTGTCCGGTGATGGTGCTCTGTGGCGGTCCGATCTTGACTGCTCCGACTTTGGTGTGAACGGCGGGATTCGAGGGGGTGTAGATTGCGGTGGGTATGTATGCCGCCTGCCAGTCAGCACCGCCAATCCATAAAGTGATAATGATGCCATGCGGCGGAATGGTAGGACTCACGATGTATCTTCATCACCCACTCGAGCCGGGTACATTCCCTCATGATCGTCCTCGTCCTCATCATCGTCTTCCCAATCCTCATCCATGCCATCCTCGTCCTCATCCTCGCTATCCCCAGAGGACTCGCTCTCGATATCTCCCACAGAGAGCGGCGGAAATGACAGCGGCGACGGCTCGTCCGGTGCATGTCGGTATTTCTCGATGATGGCGGAGAGTGCTGGCTCGGGAAAGTAGGAGCGGAGGGTGTTGAGCGGGGCGAGGGAAGTGGAGGGTCTTTTGTCGAGGCCGGTGGCGGCAGAAGGACCGGATTCGGCATCGGGATTGCTTGCGAGATCGGGCGAGGTTGAACGATCGGTGGTGATGGCTACAAGGCCGGAGGTGGACGCAGAGGTGGACGGAGTAGGTTGGTCGGTAGGGGAGGGAATGGCCATGCTGGAGAATAGGCGGAGTAGAAGGGAGTTGTAGAAGGAGAGATAGTCGCTATCTGTAAGATATGTAAAGACGCGACGAGGGCAATGGAGCAGAACGGGGCGGGTCAGGTACCCAGGTACCGAGTCGGCGCGGGCGGAGGTAAGATGGATGTAACAAAGAGGGATGTTGATTGGATCGGAATGGGTGAAGAAATAGCTACCGTGACAGGCGCTACAGAAGCCAGCTCCATTATCCGACCGCCATCGTCATCGTTAGCTCCACTCCCCCTGATTCACTCGGGCGTGCAAGTCGCCCATTCTCACCGTGACACATTCCTCCGAGACATCGCTGGGTCATTTCTTACCTCTTTGGGAAGGTGGAGGTGTTTCAGCGTCCGTGCGTCAGTGAAGGGTAATCTGCTGCGTGGGGGCTGCAGTAAGACAGGCCAGGGTGAAGTGTAGAGGGGCAAGGTGACACAGTCTGGACCGGAGACGCGATGCAAGTGGTATCTCTAAGCTATACAGAATGTCAGAACGGGTCCTTCATGCTCACTACCAAACGAAGCCCAGACTGTCGCTCGCCGCAGGTCGGACAGCTGCAGGGGTACACTCACTATTTTTGGTGGTGTCTGCTTCTATGCAGGCCCTTACTCTTTGCGCATCGCCGCCAGCCTATCCATCCCATCCTTTCCCTCCACGCGCATCATCTCCCACTCGACCTGCGGCTCTGCCTTGAGGCACTTCTCGTAGAAGTCTATACTGGGCTGGTTCCACTGTATCGTCAGCCACCAGTCCCAGCGCAGGCTTGCGGTCTACAGATTATTGCTCTATACTGAGATCAGCCGGATGGTTCGAACGTACCTTGAGAACACGCCATTCGACCCGACCACACTCCTTCTCCTTGGCCAACTTGCCCAGCTCGCCAAAGAGCCGCTTACCCAGCCCTTTTCCACGTTGTTGTTCGTCAACAAAGAGGTCTTCCAGCTGTATGGTCAGTTGAAGTACTTTCCACACTACAGCCCGCATGAAGAGGCGTAAAACTCACGTAGAGTCCGGGGACACCGAGCCAGGTAGAGTAAGTGTAGAAGTACTACCGAGTCAGCTCGACGCCCAGACCTCTACATCAAGCAAGGAACGGGTCAACTCACAAGTGCAAACCCCACAGCCTTGCCATCGTCCTCCCCGCCTACCATCCGAGCGATAAACACCCCGGCATACCCTTTGCGGAATACATTCTCCGCCATCATTTCGGGTGTGGCCTTGACTGCATCAGGCTCTTTTTCGTAGATCGCAAGGTCGACGATCATGCGGTGGATATCGGGCTAAAGTGTCAGCTTGTGTTGCAGATGACGGTCATAGAGGGTTGCGACTAAGCGGAACCAGGGCAAGGACGAGGGATCGGTAGACAAGGCAACGCACGATATCGGCTTCCGTAGCCTGGGTGATTTTGTAGTCGGCCATTTTTTGATGTCTTTATATGCACAGCTAGCACTGTTCTGTGAGGTCTATGTACAGTGAGTTGGACGAGTGGTATCGATCACGTCGTATGGCTGATGGGCAGCGGGTTTGGGAATTTTGGCTTGAGCTGGCAGCACGTGACCCGGCTATTCCCGGCGCGGGCGATCTCAGATCTCACCCACGACCGTCTGTTCTCTACACCTCTGTATCTTCATTCCTTTGCTCACTGCTCACACTACCTTGACCTTGACTCAGATACCCCGCAGATCTGCCCCAGGAGCATCTGACAGAGATGACAGCCCCAAACCAATCCGCCTGGACTCGCCGTCTGCGTCGCTTGACGTATTTCGCCGGTGTGTTCGGGACATTCTACCTCGTCTCGAGCTATGCGTTGGATCGGATGAGGGAGGCGAGGATGCGAGCTCTCAAAGATCGCAAGAACAAGGATCTGTAAGCCTCCTGCTGAATCCTTGCTGCCAGATAGATAGCGTCGACCAAAGCTCACTCCGCAGGTTGAAAGCACACTTCACTACCCTCCTCTCCACCCTCTCATTCACCCTCTACGCCCTCCTCCCTACTCTCTCCCCCCAACTCGAATCCGCCTATCCCGTCAAGTTGACCAGTCAAGCCCTCCAGGGCCTCTCTAACCCCGCGAGCAGCCAGATCAGCTCTATCAGCGGGGCCGAGACGGAGTCCCCCTCGCATGGGATTCTCGAGTCGTCGGTACCTGATATGCCGGTCCAGGTGGACAGCCGGGAAGGGTCTGTTGGAGGTGCTGAGGATGTGAGAAGAGGAAGTGAGCAGAGTGAGGGGCCAGAGGGGAGCGTCTCGGAGAGTTGGGCGAGCGAGTTTAGGGGACGGCGAGGAGATGAGGAGTCTTCCCACGCGGAAACGGATGATGGGGTGGGTTTACCGCAGACTGTCCGCCGGATGGTAGGGAGGGTGCTGATGTCACAGCTATCCTCTGCTGTCTCTCAGCCTATCTCCCTACCTCTCTCGGACCTATCGACCTCCTCTGGATCTCCACCGTCAGACATGACGGCCAGCTCGCACTTTCACCTCTCACCCTCGCCGCCAAGACATCGAGACGCCTCGCCGACGGGTCTCGAAGCTCTGAGCAGCAAGAGCAAGAAGGAGCTCTGGCGTGATCTCAAAGTCCAAAGTATGTCGTTGCCCATCTCCCCTTTGCACACACTTGCTGATCAGTAGGCTTGACTCGTGCCATCACGACGGCCTACCTCGTCCCGCTTTTATACCTCCTGACGACCTCCCAGCTCTCCACACTCGCTCGAGAGCGCTACCTCGCCGATGTCAGAGCATCACTTCCGCCCGTCGCCCTTGCGAGCCCTTCGACACCCTCCAAAGACTCGTGGCTACCCTCGACTGAGTCCGGCGGGATCTCAGGCCTGATCGCGGAATCGGCGTCCCTCCTGCCGGACCCCTTGGCGCTTCTGCCAACTTTCGTCAGATCCCGCCTCCCTTGGTCCTCTCCTGTGCATCTTTCAGCGGAGGACCAAGAGCTCGCCTTGTTGCGCGCGGAAGAGAAGAGGGAGGCAGAGGAGATGGAACGGGCCGAAGCGGAACGGATGTACCTCACTTATAGCTGGTGGATCCTGCATGAAGGGTGGAGAGTTGTGGCCGGACGAGTCGAAGCAGGTGTGGAGAGAGTGATAGGGCCGTCAGTTCACGCTTTCAAACCTGAAGAGCTTGAAAGAAGCTGACTAGACAGCATGGGTCTCAAGCGGGAATTATCGCTGAATGACTGGGAAGCGCTGACTAGGGATATCAGGCGCTGCGTTGACTATGAGGACGAAAGCAATATGGCATTCAAGTAAGTCTACTCTGGAGTATACGGTTTCGAATTTGTTATGCTGACTTGCAGCTTCACACCTCATCTCCTCCCCTCCTCGCCCCTTCCACGCACCTTCACCCCCTCCTGCCCCCTTCCCTCGTCCCCGCCGTCCCCGCACCTCGCCCGCCTCCTTTCTCAGACTCGCACCCACCTCGCATCGCCCGATGCGGCCTACCTCATCCAGTCCGGTGTAGACAATATGGTCTCCAAGCTCCTAGAGTCGCTGGACAGCGAATTGTATCGTCCAGCCGGATTCAGCATGTTTCCTACGGAACGCGCGGAGGGGGGAGAAGAAGATGAAGGTCAGACGAGGCGTCTGGCAGAGTGTCTCCCGGCGTTCAGCCGGTGGGGCAAGGGCGTGTGGGAAGGGGTGCCGGACGGTGGAGTGGAGGCTGTCTTGGGGATGGGGGAGTTTGAGGGGTTTGCGGGATTGATCTTTGGGGACTGGGCGTGATTCGAGTTGGGTACAGTAAGCAATTGGCTTCAATAAGAGGGCGGTAATTGTAAGAGTAGAATGTTAGGATTCTGAGTGTGAAGCGAGATTAGCACGGGGACCTCGAGCTGCGGCCGTGTCGCCCCATAGACCCCCGAGGAGCCCAAGTCCATTACCACACAGCTTGCATTCCGCGACACCATCCACGCCCAACCAATCCTCTGCCTCCCATCCCAGGTCCAACCCACCGTCTACTGCTCCTCGGCGGGGATGTTGATTTCCGGGTTGAAAAAGAGGGTCTGCATACCCCACCTGTACTGTCAGCGGGTCCGTCACAGCCGGCAAAAGACATTCCGCGCTCCGCCCTATCAGAGCGGAAGGCAGCAAGAGCCAACGAAGGAACATACGGGAATGGCTAGAATGTCAGCTATGTCGCCCTGCATCATCAGGGGCACCCGATAGCAGACATACCTTGTTGCGAATGTTCATGTACGAGTAGACTTTCCGCCCGCCGTGCTCTGCCTCCTCGTCGGTCGCGTCCTCGCCGTGATCGCCGCCTCCGGCGTGGTTACCGGCGTGTCTAGCTCGTCAGCTCTTTCCTCCTCAAAACAGATGGAGAAACGCGAGCTCACGCAGCGTGCGCCTTGTGCGCCATTTCCGCCTTGTATGTCCACAGTGCGCAGACAGCAATTCCGGGGATACACACAAAGAAGCTGATCTTCTTCCACAAATCGGTCGTTTCTGAGGTATCAGCTGCGACCCCCAGTAACACCAGATCCGCGACCGACGGCTTCACAACGAAGCCAGCGGAAGACAGACGCACGAGTAGCGTGCTCGCGCATAGCTGCGCGCTTTGCGACAAACTCATTCTCGCCCGCCGCTACTGTTGATGCGAAACGGCGGGGTACGGCGCGGGTGAGCTGAAGTGCGAGACCTGGGCGGAACATGGTAGCTGTATGTGTAGGTGTAAAGGGGTAAGCGACGGAGATGTATAGTAGTGGGTGTAGCGGTTTTGATGCTCCAGCTGCTCAGGTGATTGGTCCCGGGAACGGCCGCTTTCAACCGAGAACTGCCCAAATCTAAATACGCTCCCCAGATAAGAGAATGGGCCAATCTCCTCCACGTCCACCATAGACAACTTCCCTTTGTCCACCTTAACTCTATACCCTACCTTCCACCTACGCAGCGCGCTCACAAGGCCTCAGAAGCCGCGCAAAATGGCCCCAGGAATATCATACGATGATTCAGGATCATTAGCGAGCTACTTTGGCGTCACAT